TATTTTTTAATATATTTTATATACCAAACGAATTAATATTTTTTTAACACTAGCTGAAATAATATTTAGCTACTAGGTTATATGAAATATATATATCTTTATATTTAATTTTTATAAATTATATTTTAGTAAACTAATTTAAACAGTAATTTGCCTATAATACTCTATTTTTTATATTTTTTTGTGGATATGAATTTTTATTTTTATTATATTATAGTTTTTAAAATTATATTTTACAAACTTAAAAAATATTAATTACTATATTTTTTTAAATAACTTATAATATTTTTACTAGGATACCGAAGATACTAATACGGTATACCCATAGGCAGGAGCCGTTTTAGATATTAGTTTTTTATAGGTTTTATAAAATATAATTAATAACTTATGTAATCTATGTTAAATTATCGGATTTTGTTGGCTTTTAAGCCAATTATTTTAAAAATTATAGTGTCATCCCAGGGATGACTAAGATGTATAGTGCCTAACAATATGGCCACAACACGTAGGCACTCCGAAGACATGATCCCACATCATACGATCCCACATGGTATGATATGGGATCCCACGGCAGTGCACTGGAAGACCTTGGTAGTATCGGAGGATGGTGGACCACTAGACTAACAGGATAGGAATAGCCTATAGCTATTCCTATTTAGTATTAGCTTAGGGGAAATGGGTTGTGAATACTATTCTATAATACTATGAATAAATGAATAATAGCATATAGGTATGAGTTATACCAGGTAAGTATAAGATATAGTAGGCATATAATATAATAACAAAGAATGGCTTGTATTTCCTATTTAGGAAGGTATAGTCTTAAAAAATATTAAAGAATAATTATTCCATTTATATTTTAAGCAGGGTTTGAGCTGCTTTTATACCTTTAACATCCTAGGGTTCTCTTTCCAAATTAATCTCGGGATTAGGATCCGTGCCATATAGTTTCGGAAGTTCGGAACAGGCCGCCGAGATTTCTATTTAGTAATATCTTAATTAAGTGTAAAACACGCAAGCTCAGAGGAAGAACATAGTCAATTTCATTGATCAGTGTGAGGTTGAAGATGGAAGGTGGACGAGGTCAAACGCTCGAAGTATGAACGAACGACGTAGGGTGACCGCTGAGAACCACTTACGCAGTTCCAACCCGTACGAGCGTGCAACATTAAGTAATTTCTTAATTAGATAATTAGAATACCTGAATATTCTGACAGGTAGACACTAGGTTAAATAGCGAGGTAGCACACCAGGGAGAGAGCGAGGGACTCATCAAGGATAGCTTAGGCAATACATTCCTTCAGAAGACTCAATAGAATTTCCTCAGTCCTCCCCAGGGCCACCATCAGGGTGGCCCCTGGGGCCCCCTTCCCCTATTCGACTGTCCCTACAGCTCATAGTGTTATACTACCTCGTCCAGTCCCTTACCTAACCGGCCGTGTGATGAGCGATATTGCAATAGTATTAATAGTCCAGGCTTTGCTTTTAATATAAAAGCTAAATTAATATGGAAGTTAGAAATATATATAGTATTTAAAGAGCTTTGACTATGTATATCTATTTAATAATTTTAAAGGGAAATATAAACTATGTTAATGCTTTTAATTTATACAGTAATATTCCAATTTTAATTTAAAATATTAACTTTATAATTTAAAATTATAGAATCTTCAAAGTTATGAATATATATATATATAGTATTAAGAGTATAAATTTTTAACCTATTTTTTACATTAACTAATTGAGATGTTTGTCTTAGGCTAATTACTATCCGATATATTTACACAATTGTTAAATAGTTAAATTGTCAGAGAAGCGGCAGCTAACAGCTAATCAATCTACTGCGCCGCAGTCGGAGTGGTGACATCACCGGAATAATGATAATCCAGCCGGTTCATATCTATAGATATAATGCTAGACTAAGAAAAGACTCCGGTTATACCTAGGGTATAATATTTCGGAGCCAAGCTATAAAATAGCATTCCAAGAACATCATGGACGTGCATCACTGCATATATAAAGGACAGTTTCATTGTAAATAGGTTAGAATCTAGCCAGTGTCTTATTCTCAGACAAAAGATAGCCTACCTTTCGGAAAAATCTCACAGTGCTGTGGACTAAACAACAACTCTTATTCTTTGTTAATAGATTACAGTATAATTATTGCCTTTAAATAATATTTATCTTTTTTAAAGGCCAAGGTTTGGTTGGTTTAGTTTAATTAAATCCCCAACCCTTTTCGTAATTAAAAAAATAATAATCCAGTTTTTTTGTTATCTTTTCCTTTAAATTTTAGTCAAATTTATATTGGTATTAATATTAATCTGCTTGATATTAAAATTTAAAAATAATAAGTATACTAAGGTATATATAAAACACCCTAATAAATTTAAAATAGTACAGCAATATGGGGGGTATATTAGATAACCAAAATATTTAATAAATAATTGTAAACACGAAAGCTCAGAGGAAGAACGTGCATCATTTCATTGATTAGTGTGAAGTTGGTGGATGAGGTCAAACGCTCGAAGTATGGACGAATGAACTAGGGTGAGCGCCGAGAACCACTTATGCAGTTCTGACCTGTATGAATGTGCAACAATAATAAGATATTAATATAAATAAGAATAAAATAAAATAATATTTAATACTACAATTTTATAACGCAGTACAAAAGGTGCGTAGCTGGCGTACTTGCGCAGCTTGTTTACCGGTTACGTTAGAACCCTTCCACACTGTCGCACCTAAAAAGGGGTGAACATGTAAGTATAATACAATATTAGATTAATACAACTGTATTGTAAGTTCCTTTATTGTGATATAAAGAATTATAGGCCTTTGGTTAATATATAAGTTATAATGCATAAGTTACAGAAACTATAAAATACCTTAATCTATTTCTATGGGATTTTCTAGGAGGTCAATTAGCTATATGACTATATTAATTTTAAAGCCAGTCTAAGCTGGACCTAAATATAGATCTAATTACCTAAAAGGGTAACTAAAATATAAATATAAAAGCAAGTCCTTAAGTACAATTTTTATATCAATACGGCAACTTAATCTATTTATTTTTTTTAACGCATTTTTTTTATATAACAATAATACATAAATAAATAGATTAAAGTATTACTAATATTTATTATACTTTACTTTCCCTACCACCTTTAACAGTTATAAGCCTGGTTTTTAAAATTATAATACCTTAACAGTTAATAACAACATAAGTTATAGCAAAAACAAAAGTAGTTGTCAAGGGCTGAACCCATAGAACTTACAAGATAGGTTATGTACAAGAAGGAATCGTTGAAGAAGGGAAGAAAGGAAGGGGAAAATGAGCGGTAAACAAACAAGGCGGGAGTCACGTGACATGGGCCAAAGGGGCCAACAGGGCCAAAGGGGCCAACAGGGCCAAAAGGGTCGTAGGGACAGTAGGGACAGTAGGGACAATAGGGACAACAGGGATAATAGGGACATTGGCCCGAGAGGTCAAACGGGCTCTAACCCTTTACAGTAGTTACTAATATGTAGGTAATATAAAATATATAATTTACGTGGAATTTTGATACTATTTTTATTCTATAATACAAGAATATTCTAAATACAGTGGTATTTAAACCTTACTCTTTATACACAAAATAAAACATATAACTAAAGTCCCTGCAGGCTGCAGCCAATATCAGTATTTACTATACAATATCTATCCAGATTTAAAAACTTAAGGCCCTCTTGATATGTTGTTGTTGAGATAATTAAGGCCATAAAAAGGGCTATTTAATATGTAATACAGAGTTGTGCAGCTGGCTTACGCGCAGGTTGTTTACCGGTTGAAGACTACGTTAACGTACTCGACGGCCGAGATGTCCACACGGCCGAGCTGTCCATTTTCCACATATTTTTCAATGGAAACATATAGATACTTATTAGTATAAGCACGTATAGTATGTGTAATAGCATCCCTTCCCGTGGAGTGTGGTAAAGTATGCTAGAAATACTATTACTTCTATATGTTCTTCTAGAAAACTCGCAGTCTATCCAGATATTTATAATAAATTATGATTATTTTATAGGATATTACAATATATTATTCTTTTCTCTGTCTGTTCCTTCTAGATAGTTAAATTTATTTTGTTTGTTGCGGAAATCATAAAAAATATGTGGAAAATGGACAGATCGGCCGTGGAGTAGGTAGGTTACCTAGTTGCGTTATTAGTTATTACATAATATATGATGAATCATTTTCCCTCATAACATATTTCACATTTAGGTGACTACTGAATCCAATCCTGTAGGACACACAATCTTCACCGCACCAGTGACAACTATTATCTTCCCCCTTGAATAAATAATCATTTCTTTGAATATATGGGTTGTCACTCATTGATCTGCCCCAAGTTCTAAAAATTTGAACTGTTCCTGACATACAAAGTTTTCAAGACGTATATCACCTACCAACCTGATACCCCACACTTTTGAATTGTTTGGACTTCCGAAGCTGCCAGTTTACATTTGGTGATAATTATAATCTATTGGTTGACAACACTATCTTCCATAGCATGTCGTTCTCCCACCTTGTCTCTGATTTGGCCTTCAGAGACGCCATCGATGATCAGAGTTCCCAGTTATCTCATGTACGGTCACAGGCCGCTAGGTCACACACGAGCACAGCTGCTACTAGTGTCAGCATATCTGGGGACATCTCAAGCCAGCTTCATGCCGGTTACAGCCATCCACTGAGTAGATCATGGCAAGCTGAAAGACAACTTACCAAGGTGCGCATTATTACGCAAAGCCACATAGCACATTATACAAAACAAATTTCAGATCCTCTTTGGAATATATTAACCCTGCGGCAGGAAATGCTAATATATCCCCTATTTATTACTGATAACCCTGACGAGGAAACGCCTATCCCATCCCTTCCCTATCAGCATCGCCGAGGAATAAATCGCCTAGTGCCTTTTCTCAGCCCACTTGTCCACAAAGGACTTCGATCAGTGATGTTGTTCGGAGTCCCGTTGCATCCTTCTGCAAAGGACGCATTGGGAACTGCCGCTGATGATCCTTCGGGTCCGGTTGTCCAAGCTATCCGCCTACTTAGATCGCGGTTCCCTCAACTTTATATTGTGACCGACGTATGCCTCTGCGAATATACAGCTCATGGTCATTGTGGAATAATTCGGGAGGATGGGACCCTTGATAATGCACAGTCTGTTGATCGCATCTCAGATGTTGCACTGGCTTATGCTGCTGCTGGTGCTCATTGTGTTGCTCCGTCAGACATGAATGATGGCAGGGTGCGGGCCATTAAATTGAAACTGATCGAGGCTGGATTAGCGCATCGTGTCCTCCTGATGTCTTATGGTGCCAAATTCAGCGGTTGTTTATACGGCCCTTTCCGTGATGCAGCGGGCTCGTGCCCTTCCTTTGGCGACCGTCGGTGTTATCAACTGCCACCAGGAGGTCGAGGGTTGGCCAGACGTGCGATGCAAAGGGATATAAGTGAGGGTGCAGATATTATCATGGTGAAGCCTGCAGGCAGCTATCTGGACATTATTCGAGATGCTAAAGAGCTTGCAAAAGATCTCCCAATCGCCGCTTATCAAGTCAGTGGTGAATATGCCATGATACATGCAGGAGCTAAGGCGGGCGTCTTCGACTTGAAATCGATGGCCTTTGAAAGTACGGAGGGGATACTTAGGGCCGGTGCTGGGATTGTAGTGAGCTATTTTGTCCCAGAGTTTTTAGACTGGCTTTAATGCTCTTCCTGCTATGGTCTGTATTATTTCTTTATGTTAGGTGGACTATACAGTATATATTATTGTCATCATTAGAGTGTGTAGTAAGTCTATGCTTAGAAGCAGCAAGGTTTTATAAAGCGGTATGCTGTTGTGGCAGCTGCTGCCACAATTGCACATCTAAAGGTATTATCCATGTTGGTTATTTGGCACTATAATTCAGTGACAAATGGAGGGCGGCCGCGTGGTAGTTAACTACAGAATAGCCATATATTGCGGGCGTAGAGATAAGAGCTACTGCTTCTGTGTGATGGAATGTAATGAGCAACAACTTCACAATATAAAGTTAATAAGAAATGGATGACCCTACAGTCTCAACACATTGGTATTCTGGTTACTCCCATTTCCGTTTGAAACTGTATGCCATGAGCGATACTGTTGGGGAGAAAGAACGAACGCTGTTATTTTTGTAGTGAAGGGAAGTTGTGTACATAAAGGAAAGGGATATAGGAGATAGAAAATGCAGTTGTGCGATGCAGGAGCTGAATCGGCATTAGAATATGAGATTGACGTTACAAGCAGGAAAGCCTTAATGTAGCCCATCCTCTTACTTGTCACATGTAGCTTGGTTTGAGTCCCTGAAACCCATAAGCTACAATATCAGATTTAACTACCTCCCCTGGAGCTACATAGGCCCCCCGTCGAAGACGAACGCCAGGATAAATGATGCAGCCGGCACCCACATAGCAATCTTCTTCAATTGCGACAGGGCGTCCTTGGTAGCGGCTTTGCGTGCCTTTCCGCTCTTGCATATTTGCGTGAGCCATCGAGCTCAGTATGGTAACTCTAGGGCCGATCCACGTATGGGCTCCGATAGTGATAGGACAGTCATCCACAAACAGACAGCTCCCAGATACCATCACATCTTCACCAATATGAACATTGTACCCATAATGGCATTGGAAGGGAGCTTCAACAATAGCGCCCTGTCCAATTGTCCCAGTGGGACGAGGTGAGGTGACTCCCGAAGGTGAGCCAACAGCTGAGCCTGGAAGCGCCAAAACCTCCTTTAAAAGACGATTTTGTTCTTTCGCATTAAGCCCGGAGACAGGGTTGCAAGCATTGTTAAACCTCCATAATGCTGCCTTACATCGTTCCCTCTCTTCAACAAGATGAATATCAAAGGGCCGATACAGCTCACCACGTATCATTTTTTCTTTCTCTGTTTCCTCACTAGGAGCGGTGCGGGCGGACAATTGATGTTCAATACTGAGAGCCATTCGAGCCTGTGCCTGCGGGCTGGTGGTGTCCATAGTGCCGGTAAGAGCTGGCCGTTGATCAATCCCGCCTTGAAACAAAGGTATTCCTGGTTTCCCATGTGGTCCATGGGAGAGCTCCCTGATTGGTGGAACAATCTGGTAGTCGACCTTCTGGTGCCCTTCACGGGGGAATTCGTGAATTGAAGGTACCTCCCGGTAATCGGATTTCGTAATATGGTCTGACATATAGGCAGTATGCCCTGTGTTTGACCAAGCTCGTTTTGACCAGGATGCACGAGTAGATCCAGATCCTGTTGGGCTTGAGTTAAATTGAGACGCGGTTCGGTCGCCATCATCGACAATAATTGGCCGTATTTTTCCTGCTTCAAGTTGCTCTGTTAACATCTGCTGGCGATCATTCGGTTGGTTGATGTCATGTACGTATTGACCGCCAATATCGGGGTAACCATCCTTTGATTGCAGAGGAACTGGTGTCTTTGCGTTCGATGGTTTCTGCCATGTGCTCCTAGAGGAGTAACCTTCGCAGAGAAAACCCCCTCTGATGCAATTATTGCCTATGACCAAGTAAGAATTTGTGCATTTTGAAGGGGCAAAAACTCTTGTCAGGGGAAGTTGGGGCGAAAAGATTTTCTGGAAACCTACATGCAGGATGTTGCTCGTCACATTTTTTCTTCCTTCTTCGGCAAGTCATACAGCCCGTTTTAGTTCTGTTGCTGAAAACACGTTTCCTTTTGGGGGCGACTTGTACGGCCTCCTGCGGTCGCTCTTGGGGAAAAGTAGGTATGAGCGAAGGCTGCTCAGTTTGCGCGGGTCCTTCCGCTGTGCGATTAACGGTGCTCCAGTCCTTTTGGCTTGTTTCTTGACTATGAGCTTCACGTTGAAGTGCTTCAGCCAACTGAGCATCTGAGGCATCAATTTGTTGTGCACGTTGTGCCTGATTAACCAATTGTGAATCATAGTCACTCCAGGGAGCATTAGTTGATGATGTCTGAGAATTATCTTTGTCCTCCGATCTAGTATGCAATTTGGGAGACGCGTTTTTAGGTTCATGATCAATGTGAGTTGTGGCAACGCTGTCGGAAGGGGTTGGATGTGTAGCAGTATCTATATCGTCATCTAGGCGAGGTGCTGGGCTCTTCGGACCTTTACGTGACACGTATGGTATTTCTTCTTGTTCTCTTGACTCTGACCTTTTCCTTTTGCTTCTGTTCACGGGTGTTCCGCCTTGTGACAAAGAGCGCCGCGGCCGCCTATCATCTTGATCATTTCCTGTATTGCCGTTTTCTCGGGTTCGCTCTTCATGTCGAGGTAATATATCATCATATACGTTTCTCTTCCAATTCTCGGAGGGGTCTCGATGCCCATCATTGTTCAGTGAGCCGCCGGGCATACATGGAGAAGAAGCAGTTCCGGAGGTTAAAGACTCTTTTCCATTTACAGCAGTAAAGCGAGACGGGCTGTGCTCTGTCCTAGAATCCTTTTCGGACTCATGATCATCCATCACCGACGCAGAGGTGGCAGTGCACATGGTATGTATTCCTTTATAGGTTTGCGTAGATTGGTGTAGCTGAAGTAGAAGTATAATCGCAGCAAAGGCTTCGCTAGGGGCTAATGTTGTTGTTTGGAGTGACTTCGCGATTCCTTTTTGGTGGTGTAGCTCCACCTGGTCTCTCAGTGTACGGCGAATTTCCACCCCAGCGCTAATTCTTGTTCAGGTTGTGGACTGGAGCTGTTATTAGTTATATAAGGTTTTGTGTGTAAACTGTGACTTGTGAACGAACTCGACAAGACAAGACCAGGGAGGAGTAGAGGGATCGAATATAGGTAAATAGAATAAAGACAATTGAACGTCTCCTATGCTCATACCCTGTGCCACTGAGCAAACAAGCCAAGGTGGTGAGGCCAAAACTGGTGGTGTAAGTAATTAATCACCTAGTGAAACAAATGATGCTAAGTATAAAGGCTAAGCAGCTGAGATTGAGTCTGCGGCTTGTTGATATAGTGGCCAAAATCATCTGCTCCTAGGGACGTTTCAAAGGCGAAAGGGAAGGATTTGATGTTGAAAGCTTATTTATGTGTATAGTGTTCTACTTGCTCAGTAGGGATCATATTAGAGGCAGTATCGGATTATGATGAAAGACAAAAGCAAAGAAGTCTCAGGGGTGCCTCCCATTAACATAAAGTTAGCCATGGGCATGAAAGCAAGTATTTAGCGGAAGATAAAAGAGGGGAAAGGAAGCAAAGGGAAGAGGGGATGTAGCGTGGTTGTCCTGTCAGTGGGAAGAGGGATAAGCGGATAACAACTAAAATCAGCGAGTAGTATGTTAGTACGAGATAGTTCTTTTCTTTTCTTTTGCCTGTTTTTGCCGCCCGGAAAGAAAATCAGAAACTAGACTACTTGCAAAGAACCCAATAATACCACACATGCAGGGGCCTCGCAAAAGGGGTAGTTGAAAGATGTGGGGAAAAATTAATATAATAATAGTAGTAGTAATACAGAGTAGTGAAAAAAAGAGTGCAAAGGAGCTCTGAAATTTACCAGAGCCAAGTGTGTATAAAGAAGGGTCTAGATAATGTGAGGTTTCACCCTCCCTAGGGTTTGCGGCTGCCAGAGAGAACTCAAATAGCTCAAAGTTGGCGCGCGATCTACCACTGCCGTGTGAACTAGCCAGTTGGTTCCTTTGCTCACCCTTTCCTCCGCGGCCGCCGGCTGGCCCCCCCAAAAAGAAGGAAAAAAAAGCGAAGCATGCTAGGCGATGCGTCAGAGGTCACAGGTGTGATAGCGGGCTTAGGCGAAACGCCACTTTGAGAAAGGGGCGGGGTCAGCATGGATGTGTTGGACTCTTGATCAAGCAATTTCTTACATCGAGTACTCAGTTGTTCCCTATCCGCGAAGGATGCGCGGGAGGGCGGCGGCCGTGGGGAAGAATATTAATAGTGGGTCTAGAGGAACAGCTTTAGTTGCACATTAAACTTACCCTAGGAATGGAATTACGCCTAGAGTATAGTCGCTTATTATGTCTTTATCCGCCCATGCCATTGGCGCTTGCCAGCGCATGTAAATGCGCTGGGTGAAAAGGGTGTGGGAAAAAAAAAAAAAAAAGAAAAGAAACCTTAATCCTTCTGACACCATGAATAGTACTAATAATTGTAGTAGTAATAACAATACAGAGTAACTAGATAATTATACATACACATTTTACAATCCTTACATCTTCAGAAATTTTAACAGTGACAATAATTAATGAGGCAAGTCTTAGGTATGATTTGTATTACTGGAGTACTATCCTTTGCTCTTCACAACTCAGAAAACGTTCAGCCGAACATTAACTATCTGCACCACCTTTATACTCCGAAGTATATAACGGAGCAGAAATTATAAGCCCTTAAATTGCCAGGTACACCAAGGCAAGTTATGTATTCTTGTGTTCCACTGCACTAGTCACGGAATGCAGCCGCTGCCTAGTAGCTACCTTGTATGGGCCCCAGTCTCTTTGGATATCCAAACGTCCAGGGTAACAAATAGATATTAGGCTACTTTCCCTAAGAGCAATTGCATATATGCGCCTCTGGGATAAAAAACAAGGGCAATCTATGTTAATATATAATGCTAAATTATATATGTGGATAACTTTCTGTAAGCTCATTGGGAGGATTTTAGATATGTGTTTTTATGTTTTTCAATTATTTATGGATTATCCACCTTGCAGACTGGCTTCCTCCTGTGTTAGTAATGTTCTAGTCTTTATATGATGGCTATACTAGTATTGTTATATAATTAGACAAGCATGCGAAGCTTCGATTTCAATAAGCCTTGGTTATCTTGTATCTAAAACTTAGAGATTTTTAGCAGCTTGTAATCAGCTATAGATGCATTATGGATAAATTGAAGGACACAGTAATATTCTGCAAAGCCTGTACCTAAACCCTTTTTAAACAGCCGATGACTAAGCATATAATGGAGATGCACCATACCGGCCCGATAGAGCAAATAATCTGAGCAACACTACTATTCTCACCGCTAGTAGTCTACACAGCGTTGTCCTTCTGACACTAATATTCGTACACTCAGTTCCTCAAATTTCAAAGCTGCAGTACTACAACCCACATTACCCTTGGATATTTGGTTTACTTGCAGTTTGCACGGAAGCAGCTGTAAAGCACTTTTGGCGAACCCCTCCAAGAGGCCCTCAACCCCACCAAAACATTTTATCTCTTTGTCCTATTTGTACATTTCTTCCATACCTGCGACCATTGCTCGAACTAATCCCAGACTTCTATTGTCTCTTCATAGGCCCTGTGCCGTGGCTAAAACCCTACAAAGGACAATATCTCCAACCTCGAGAGCGGAATGTCGGTTTCTTTACAGGAGTTGGACAGCACAGTCCGCGCCTTCTACGAGGGCAAGGGAGACCTGGTAAGTTGCAGAGGGAGGCCCACTCTCTATTCTTCCCCTTGGGCTGTAAACTACAACCCGCCTATTCTCTGCCAACTGTACCCAATCCTAACTTGGTTCGAATTTCTACCAGCAAAAACAAGCCCAGCAGACTTTGACGGAGGTTAGTTCTATCAATATCGCAAAGTAATATCGCCATGGGAAACTGGTTTGCTCACCCTCGACGTTCAGTTTAAGCAAAACCCAGATGCTTGGTTAATTGTAGGGAATATCCTGCAAGAGTCGTCGTATCCACAGACCAAATGTGCGTGACGACCCCTGTCCTTCCAGTTATCTGTTATAGGGTCAAGACTAAACGCTAACGGTTCTAGATCTTGCTCTTCAAGTCCTTGACGATGTGATCATGACGCGTTGGAAGGTTTTACCAAGGGAACAATGTTTAGGTATTTTCACGATACCTGGTTCTTCTTGAGTCGTTTGAACTGACCATTTAGGCATTCGGAATTTCATCGTAAATTTCATCATCGAAAATTCCAATTCGGAGGAAAAGCTAAGGAACGAACGGGCTTTTCTGAACAAGCTTAACTTGGTTCTTGTGTCTATTTTGAAGCAAGAGTGGCCTCATAACTGGCCAACCTTCATCAATGAAATCATATCGTCTTGCCATACAAGTTTGTCGATCTGTGAAAACAACATGGCTATTCTTCGACTGTTATCTGAGGAAGTTTTTGATTTTTCCCAGGATCAAATGACCTCAGTCAAAGCAAGGAATCTGAAGACCTCCATGACACAAGAGTTTTCATCAATTTTCCAGCTATGCTCAGAGGTTCTTAACACAGCAAACCAACCAAGTCTAATCAAAGCCACACTAGAAACTCTTCTCCGTTTCCTGAACTGGATTCCGTTGGGATATATTTTCGAAACTCCTATCATAAATACTCTTCTCACTCGTTTCTTGGATACTCCCGAATTTCGAAACGTGACCCTCAAGTGCCTTACCGAAATTGGCGGGTTGCAAATTGGCAGTCCATATAATTATGATGAAAGACTGATTCATATGTTCACTGAAACCTTAACGATTGTTTCCAAAACCATACCATTGTCAATGGATCTGAAACAGACATTTGCTAAAAGCAATTCGAGAGACCAAGAATTTGTACTCAATTTGGCGCTGTTCTTAAGTAGCTTTTTCAGTGCTCATCTCACTGTAAGTTCCACGCACCCCCTAACTTGATGACAATATATGTCTAGTGATACTGAAGTGGTATTGAGCAGCTTATTGAAAAGCTCCCTAATCGGGATTATCTTACACATGCACACTTTTATCTCATTCGTATCAGCCAGATCGACGACAGAGAGGTTTTTAAGATTTGCCTGGAATATTGGACGCGGCTTGTTCAAGAACTTTATGAAGAGATGCAACAACTTCCAATCACTGACATTAACCCACTAGTGAGCATGGGTGTAAGCGGCCTATCGAATGGGGGTGCGCCACATCCTAGCACGTTGGCCAATTACGCTCTTCGCAAGCATAAGTATGAAGAAGTTCTGTCAAGCTTGCGTACTGTCATGATAGAGAAAATGGTGCGCCCAGAGGAAGTTTTGATCGTGGAAAACGACGAAGGGGAGATAGTTCGTGAGTTCGTGAAGGAAAGCGACACAATCCAGCTCTACAAGACAATCCGGGAGTGCTTAGTTTATCTCACACACCTCGACGTCGTTGACACAGAGAATATTATGATTGACAAACTGGCTAAACAAGTTGATGGATCTGAATGGTCTTGGGCCAATTGTAATACACTCTGTTGGGCAATTGGATCTATTTCTGGAGCCATGAATGAGGAAACCGAAAAGCGTTTTCTTGTCACTGTCATCAAGGATCTACTCGGTCTCACGGAAATGAAGCGAGGAAAAGATAACAAGGCCGTCGTCGCCAGTAATATTATGTACATTGTGGGGCAGTATCCTCGGTTTCTGAAGGCCCATTGGAAGTTCCTGAAGACGGTTGTCAATAAGCTATTTGAATTCATGCATGAGACGCATGAGGGTAAGTTGCTCAGCTGCTGCTGTTTGCCCACAGGCTAATATCCATTAGGCGTTCAGGATATGGCTTGTGATACTTTCATAAAAATCGCGAATAAGTGCAGGCGTCATTTTGTTGCTCTTCAGCCCGGAGAAAATGAGCCTTTCATCGAGGAGATTGTTCGGAATATGAGGAAGATCACCTGTGACCTTTCGCCACAACAGGTCCATACCTTCTATGAAGCATGCGGCTATATGATTTCTGCGCAGGGGCAAAAGGGCCTTCAAGACCGATTGATTGAGAATCTAATGTCGCTACCAAACTCTGCTTGGGATGCCATAATTGCGCAGGCAAATCAAGATCCATCGATTCTTCAGGATGGGGAAACGATAAAGATCATTGGAAACATCATGAAAACAAATGTTGCTGCGTGTTCGTCAATTGGCACCTACTTCTACTCCCAACTAGGACGTATCTACCATGATATGTTGAACATGTTTAGAGCGTCTAGCCAGCTTATAAGCGATGCTGTTGTGCATGATGGTATGTTGCCTCCCCTTCCTGTCCAAATATTCCGCAGGGCTTAGTTTATTCCCCCGCCCCTGTCTTTTGTTTTCGTCGTTTCTGCCGTATTAGCTTTTACGTATTTTATCCGTTAAGGTCTCTAACTTCCCTTAGGAGAAATCGCGACTAAGACACCCAAAGTTAGAGGATTGAGAACAATTAAAAAGGAAATCCTCAAGCTCATTGATACTTATGTACAGAAAGCCGATGATTTGGAGATGGTTAACACTAACATGGTTCCGCCGCTCCTTGAAGCCGTTTTGGTAGACTACAACCGTAATGTTCCTGATGCGCGGGAAGCAGAGGTCTTGAATGCAATGACAACAATTATCCATAAATTACATGTATGTCGTCTTATGATCACTCTGCCTAGCATAACATTTAGTTGATGGAGAAGCTAACGTCATTTAGAATTTAATGGAAGATAAAGTTCCATTAATTATGGAGAGTGTTTTTGAATGTACTCTGGAGATGATCAACAAGGACTTCCACGAATATCCGGAGCACCGGGTCCAATTCTTCAAATTGCTCCAAGCAATCAACTTATACTGCTTCCCAGCTTTACTGAAGCTTGACGCTACCCAATTCAAATTTGTCATTGACTCATGCATGTGGGCTAGCAAGCATGACAACCGTGAAGTTGAAAACACTGGTCTTACCATGTGCCTTGAGCTTATGAACAATATGGCTGAGACCGATGCTCAAACGTCGAATATCTTCTTCCGCCAGTTTTATATCTCAATCCTGCAGGACGTGTTTTTTGTCCTTACAGACAGTGACCATAAAGCCGGTTTGTATTTCCAGTTGATCAGTTCGTGAGTGGTGCTGATTTGATTCTAGGCTTTAAATCACAAGCAATGCTCCTGTCGCGCATGTTCTACTTTATTGAATCCGGGAAGGTGCAAGATCCTATCTACTCCCCCGAGCAGGCTCCCCTCGGAACATCCAATAAAGACTTTCTGCAGGAATATGTTGCAAATCTTTTGCAGAATGCTTTCAAGAATCTCCAGGAGTATGTCTAAACTCACGGTTCCACCAATGGAATCAGAATCGCTGACTATACAACAGGATTCAAATCAAACAGTTTGTTGTTGGGCTGTTTTCTTTTAATGACGATTTTAATAAGTTTAAAACTCACTTGCGGGATTTCTTGATTTCCCTAAAGGAGTTTGCAGGCGACAATGCAGAGCTCTATGCAGAGGAGAGAGAGCAAGCTCTACGCGATGCCAAAGCTGCGGAGCGAGATCGTGCAATGAAGGTTGGGGGTCTTCTAAAACCATCGGAAATGGACCAAGAGGATGAGCTATGACTAGACAGAGAATTGCGTACTGAGATTGCCCCATTCATTTCTGTTGAGGTAGTTGGAGATTCTGGACTGCTGGGACTTTGCTCTGAGAATGACCAGTTCGATGGCTGGTCCTTCTACGGGTTGTAGACCCGAAGAAATACTCACCTCTAAGGGCTTCGGGAAGCGACTTTCTTTCGTTTCTTTTCTTCTTTTGATATAGGCGATGTCCTTTCATTTGCCTTCCCTCACCCTTATAGCACCAGATCTGGCGTGCAACTTCATTGGTTCTCAAGTCATGCAGTACTGTGAGTTACAAGCTCTGGTTCTTCTGGGTGGTTTTTGTTGAGATAGGAAAAATGGCACGAAACCCATTTCGTCTTGATGCTCTTATTTGCTTTCCCTAAGGGCCCTGATAGATTAAGTATTGGGATTAGTGCTTAACCCCTTCTAGAAATTGATATCATTTGTCTACGAGTGGAAGTTGGGTCCTTGTTAGGGTTAGAGCCTAGGCGGTGAGATAAGTGTCAGCGCGATGGTGGCTAGGCTATCTCATACTGGACTATTGTATACTCAATATTTCTTGCTATACAATATTACTGTCCTGGCCATTTGTTTCTCTTCCTGACCTGGCCACCGAGACATCGATGTTAAATTAGTTTATCTTCTAACTAGATTTATGTTTCCCCCATGTCTCGAACCCGCCAGACACCGCAGAGTGTGATATCATCAACTTCTCAAGTCGATCCCACTTCCGAACAACGTACAGACTCTTCTACGGCACATATCTCTGGTACATTGAGGCTAAGAGCAGAGAATGACTTGGTCACCAGGGAAGCAAATCGGAATGGATCTTCTTCTAGGCGCATACGATGGAGCAAGGATGTTGTAGATAATGAAGGATTGGGGAAGAAGAGCTCCAAAGGTATGCTCTTTAAAGCCAGGAAGCGCTCTCCCTTCCTGTTTCCTTTTTGGCAGGACTTTTGTCGCTAATTTTATTCGACGCAATGTCCATAAACTACAGTATGCTGCATTTACCATAAAACCCGACCTGTTGGCGAAAGTAGCTCAGAATCAGAATCATCAGATTCAAGCTCCTATGAATCCGACAGTGACCACGAAATAGATCGCCATGGCCGGATGAACTGCTGCCACATACATAACAATGGCGACCAGAATACCCAAAACCAATCTGAGCAGACGGAGGAGAGAGGGCGACTAGCTTGCTCAGACCCTGATAATAGGAAGTATACTGAAAGAAAGCCAAGCCCTAATGCTTATGAGAAGATGCCCAAGATGGCTAGAAGTCGTTAAAGACCATGTTTGTTAAGTATTTAATTGACTGCACAACCTGCCCTGCTGGTTATTGATTGGACGATGATCACATAATTGAAATGATATTTGCCTTTATTGAATTGTGTATTTTAGAACACCCAACGCAAGGACCTGCTTCAAATATTTATCCTACTTCGATAGCATAATTTTGCCTTCGAAACGATATATACTATGCGAAGAAATATTAATGATTTGGACTATTTTACACAGAATTTGGAATGACAAAATAAAATAGCTTGGGCATGTCAAGGTATATATGTATCTAGTCTAGTCAACACTAAAGGTCGTCAGAGCTGATGCAAGGAATCATAACATCATGCTCTTTCTTCTAGCAGAGGGGCGCTGTTTACGCTTAATCTGCCGGGGTTTTACTTCCAAAGTGCTTGATTTGATAAGGTGACCCCCAGGCTCGTGGGATTTTGCTTCTGATTGGACAGGATTCTCATTCATAGTTTGGGTTCTCAAGTGGCCTTGGCCGGCTTTGGCTGATGGTGATAAAATGGCTCGTGAGCTCGGAGGTGAGGCAATGATGTCGCATTCCACCGGTGGCTCCTGTGCAGACGAGCTTGGGTTCGAGGAGTGTCGTCGGGGCTGTTTATGAAGACGCGTGTTTGACTTTGATGCATTTCTAGCGTGTGTCATGGAAATATCAGTGGGCTCGGCCGGTGGCTGAAGTATACAACCCTTCACATCCTCTGATTGCGATTTGGTAATGATATTCCCTTCTGGCTCCGTTTCAGTACCAAAACTTGCGTTGTTAAAGTGGGTATCTTCCTCCCACCCAAATCCATCGTTTACCCCTGACAGGACATCTTTGCTTGCGGACGGCGAGGGCTTGCGTTTTCTTTGAGATACCATGCTCATTTTTTGCGTAGAGGGGTTTCCCACGGGGGTATCTGATGTGCCCGATCCCAGCAATTTTGAGCTAGCTTTGGAATTTTTGTTTATATCAGCTTCATCATTTGCATGGGGTCTCACAGGCAGTGAATTAGAGTTTCTTCTTGGCTGGTCACTCCCAACCGCAGCTATAAATTCATTGTTTGATCGCCGCATCTTGTCTCTCAAATTCGGCTCTGTGTAGCTTACAACGGCTCTTTGGCGTCTGGTTGGTCGTGATGGAGGGTCTAATATATCCATTGGTGCCTGATATGCACTATGCTCTTCGGGAGCAAGGATCTGCCGTGGGAGAGGACGCAGATTTCCCTCCGTAGATTTTGATTCAATGACGTGTTCGTTTTTGCCATACCCATCTTGCGTAGGCTTGTTGGTATAGAGAAACCCGCGTTGTGGTTTCGATATGTTCTGTCCACAATAGGCGTTTACATTCGGTGATGGGGTTTGCTTTCCACCGTTTTCGACATCCTCTTTTGTTGAAGCGTTCTGATCCTGGTCCTCTATTGTTGTACTCCGACGTTTATTTAAAGGAATGAGATTAATGTTGATACTCTCTATTGTTTGGTTAGCTGGCTTCTTTTTCAGAAATAGTCGACTTTTACGTACTTGGCTCAAGTGCTTTTCGCTTAGGCTGCTTGTGGTTGTTTGAGCTCTTCTCCAATTCGACCGGCCTTTCGACAGGTGAGTAAGTACCAAGAGATACATATCGCTCACATGCCAATTGTGGTGAGGAGACAGGCCGGGTGAATTGGAAATCATCTTCTTGCGGTACTGATTCCAAGGCCTCATCATCTTCAGCACAAAACTTGCGCTTGAAGCCGGATTTCTGTGTAGTTCCCGTGTCGCTTTGCGACACAAACATCTCAGATTCTGTCGCTTCGTCCATCCATGCAGTATTATATTTTCTTCGTTTCCTTGTTTCAAGTGTTGGAGGAAGCATGGAATCATTAATGCTCGAATCGCCCCCAATTGTCTTGCTATCTGTAACACATTCCGGTGATCTCAGGTGTGTACTATCACAGTTTGCGTTGGATTGATTGGTTGGACCATCTTCTGTCTCTGAGAGTCTTAGGGTGCTTGCATCTTTGCCTAGTGACCCTTCTATTGTATACAACCTAGTTCGCTATTAGTAGATGATTTTAATGATTCATCCAATACGCAACTTGAAACTTACCCTGACAGTCTTCTTTGGTAGTAGTTTTCTTCTGGTATGATCGGGAGCCGCCCATCCTGTTCTGTTCCCATGTCAGACTCAAATTTGGTTGTATTTTGTCTGAGCTCCCAGCTTGACTGCCCCGAGTTCTTCTCTCCAGTAGTCTCGGTATTTTCTCTATATGATTGGGTGAATGTGCGAGGTAATGAACCCAAGTCAACAACTAAATTGTTAAGTTCATTCAATTTGCTTTCTAGTTTAGCCTTGATATCGTAGATTCCGTGATGAAGCAATCTGGTTGCCTCAAATCTCTCTATTTCCTGGCTGAGAGCTATGACCTGTTCTCTGAAGGTAACATTTTCGGAAAGTAGATGAGAAACTTCAGACTCAAGGCTGCGTATACGGAGTGATTGTATTGAATTCACCCTGGCAAGCTCGCGATTCTGTCTTACAAATCGTCTTTTTACTGGTGTATGGACATGAGCAAAAAGTCAGGCAATTGTAGAAAAGAAGACAATCAGGCGGGGAGATAAAGTGAATTATAAAAACTCACGAGCTTCAATTGATTCGGGGGGGGCTGCTGATTCATTCAAGCGAGCCATGCTGTTGGTGCAGAGTCTGCTATCTGCCTGCCTTGCTTTATCTCCCAGTCTATTGTCGTATCGACAAGAGCTACTGGGAATAAATCCCTTTAAATGGAGACAAGATCAGCTGGGCTCTATTGTTAGAGATCCCGGAATTACTTGCTCTCTCTGTTGTGTTGACTTCGTGTAATGTGCTAGAAGTGAGGTGGGCTAATGTAAACAGAATAGCTTTCAGTCTGTTGATGTTTATCTATATTAGGACTAGTGCCGGTTCGCAGTTACCTCCCACCTCATTTGGCGGCGCTTCTGAGGATAAGACAATTGGTACTCAAAACCGTCGCCCACAGATGATGTCAAGACTTGGCTATATTAAATGATCTGTCGTAGGTGTGTATAAGTACCCCCCCTTCTAGTGACTATGTCTCTTAACTTTAACCCGAAATCCAAGAAAGAAGAAGAAGGGAAATCCAGATTACCACCCATTTTGTGATTAATAGATATCCATATTTACCATTGCTAGTCTAAAGTAAAAAAGACAAACTCTCGAAAATCTGTCTTTATGTTGATTAGCCCCCAGGTTCTCCGTCAAGTCAAGTCAGGCTTACCTTTACGGTGTACACATCACGTCCTGCTCCAATGTTTCCCGGCCCATCCACCACACCAGCACTTCGCCAGTCAAGTGGACACAGTGCCACACCCCAACAATCATCAGCTTTAACTGCCCGAATTGCTTCAAAACGAACTGAACTAGACAACCTAAAACAACTTCGTGACATGAGTCATACCCTTGCGATACAGATGCAGGGCTTGGAGGATAAACTAGTGACGCTTAGGGATGGTACAGAAGGTTTGACCCTTATTGAACGTTTCTTTCTGTATTTAAAATCAGAATTGACTTTTGTGTAGCTATTGCATGTGTCCTTGCGAACTGGGACAGTGTGTTGCAAGCAATTAGCATGGCCTCTGGTAAGTACCATGTTGCTTCTCTTCTCCTTGCACCGCTATATTTTATGTGCCCCATATGAACATAATTCCATCTAGTATGCTAAAACAGACTGCTAATATTTTCCTCTATCCTTTTTCAATTTGCAGCGAAGGCCGCGGGAATACAGAAGACGTTGGATGAAGGACCTAACACTGGTCTTCAGGATGGTATGCTGACCATGCCCTCAACTTTAGTTCGCATACCTGCAGATATAAAAAGCAAATTACGCCATAATGTTTACACATAGTAATTTTTGTGTGGGGACTCTCTGCATTACTGAGTGGTAGTCTATGTACCACCTCTCGCCTGCATATCTATAAAATTCCGAAATCCAATGTGGAGCCATTTTCAATAGGGTTTGATATGGACAGTATTTTACATGTCTATACAATATTAAATAATTATTTACTATAGAGACTATAAATATATAGAGAATAGTAATTTAAACACAGGCCATACATGTGACTACTGCAATTTCAGAACTTTATTGAATATGCAGGCCAGAGGTGGTAAGGCACATGCGACATAAGTAGCATAATAATAGAAAAATATATTCCTTACAGTACATATGTATGCACCTAATGAATGAGAGGGAAATGGTAGAACTCCGAAGGAGTAGGTCAAGGAGGCACTCTTAGACAGCTCAGAAGCTGTGGACCCAGAGCCCACAACCACAAGTTCCTGGCAGGAGAGAAGACAACATTCCCCTTACGCAGGTGCGCTCCGTGGTCTGTAAGAAGATTGCTGATTGTCTATTACCTCTTCGAACGGGGACTTGATAGTTATCCATACAAATGTCACGTGCCAATACCTCTAGTTCCTCCACTACACTATTTAGGGCCTAAAACAAGGTTTTAATTAGCTTTACTACTGTTTTATTTTAGTTGACATACTTATTGCTTCTCAGGTGTTGTGTGAGTCCCTGAACAAGCTGAAGGCTTCTAAAGAAGTTATTTATTAATATCAGCTCTCTAGGAAACAGAAAACTTCACTCCGAATGCTTAAAAATTCAATAATTGATGCACCAATCTATTGTGCACTAGAAATAAAATTACTAATCTTCCCAAGGAAGAGGGTGAAACTTCAGAGTGCAAAATAAAAGAAAACAATAATGGAGAGTTTGTAACAGATGGTATGCTAGAGAATTTTTAATCAAAAACTATAAAAAATATAAAAACCACAAAAGCTATAAAAAGTTCTGTATAGAGACGATTCTATTCCATTCTTGTATTGATTGTGCATTAGACAACTTAGACATAGGAGATGGTCAAGATAAATCAAGAATAAAAAGAATAATCCAAGGTAACTGACTAGTTAGTTGTAGAGCACTCCATAGTTACATAACATTGCAGTGTTTTAGTCGCAACTGGTAAGCTAGTCGGCCACGGAGAGGGGTCGGCCACCTTTGTATTGCATATAAAATAGCACTTTCTAGGACCTCAATATCTCAACTAAATATTATATATGCACTGGTAATATTAGTTAAGTTCTCTATATTATATAATCAACATGGAATGTAACTACAATGTATTTTATTTGGAAACTTTTTTAATTTTTTCTAGCCTAGTTATACTACAGTGTTATATAATCCAAATACAACTGTACTTAAAAGCCCTCCCTTTGTAATATAGAGAACCAGAAATATTACAAGGTCCTAGACTTAGTATCTGTATAGATACTATAATATTAGTCTAAAATATAGATTTTAGCCCCTATTGATATGTCGTTGTTGGGATACTAAGGTGTTACAAACTGCCATTTTATATGCAATACAGAGGTGGCCGATTCCTCCGTGGCCGACTTAAGCTACTGGTTACGTTAACTATGTAGTGGCAAATATTGTCCGCTTCCTAATGTGGCTAGTTGGAAGAATGATCCACAGACTCAAATACTACTTACTATCGTTTAACACTAGGTAGCGCTGTCGAGAACTGTATGCTACAAAGGACTTTACAATCTCTTTTACTATCTAGCTAGCTTCATTGAAAAACAGGACATTTATTTCGTCCATGCCAGCCTGATAGACAATTGACGTTAACTGATAATTTTACGCCAATGAACCTTGAGCCTGTTCCCTTCTCTGCCGAACAGTATTGGCAGGATAACAAGACTCATATCCTTCTAGCGGCAAGCGGGTCAGTTGCTGTTATAAAGCTTCCCAATATCGCAGAAGCGCTTGGTCGCCACCGAAATGTATCTATTCGCATTATTGTCACAGGTTCAGCGGAAAGATTCCTAAGGGGACAGAGTTATGAGCAGCCTTTCCTCAAGAGTATTTTGCAAATCCCAGGTGTGGACGCTGTGTATCAAAATGACGACGAGTGGAAGAACCCATGGACTCGTGGTGAGCCAATTCTACACATCGAGCTGAGAAAGTGGGCGCACCTACTACTTGTCGCTCCTCTCTCAGCCAACACAATGGCTAAAATGACAATGGGTATTGCCGATAATCTTCTCCTTTCTGTTATTCGAGCCTGGGATACAACTGGGGCAGTGGATTCGACTTTCAGACAGTCCAAGCCCATTATTTTCCTAGCTCCTGCTATGAACACTGCAATGTGGAATCATCCAATTACCCAAAAACAGCTTACAATTCTGCATGACGAATGGGGCCTGAGCGATTCAAATAAGGAGGGTTGGGTTACTGTTCTGTACCCAGTGGAAAAGACCCTTGCCTGCGGTGATAATGGAAATGGTGCTATGATGGACTGGAAAGACATAGTCATAGCTGTAGAACATCACCTCAGTTTAGATAGCACTAATGCTAGCAATAATGGTTGAGAGAAGATCAATTCAATCTAGAATTGTCATCTTAGGAAGCACCAGAGGTCTTTGAATTTCTACCCTTCTCGTACCAGCCGGCTCTTTGCGCCAAATAATCGAGGAACATTCCCAAGGTGATACCCCCGCCTGTGAGCAAACAGCCATTCTTGAACCACCACCAACAGCTCTGGACAGTTTTCAATTCCACTCTCCAAATCATAACACCCAAAGAAAGGGCCGCACTACCACAACTGCCGAGAAAGAAAATGGGACCTGCACCAGCTGCACTGCCTGCCGCGGCAAGTAATGTAACTTGAACAAGCGCCAGGGCAGAGAGAACAGACTTGGTGTTGTGCTTATGACGAAGAGCAATTGACTTAATTCCCGCCGCCGCGTCGTCTTTTATGTCCATGTGGGCATATATCATATCGTACAGCACCGTCCATGCAACGCAGCTGGAATATAGAGCAGTGGCAGCCTCCAATGCATCAAGGCTGCCAAGAAGATCCACGCCTAACGCCGGGAATCCCATTATTGCACCCCACGAAAAGGTGAGGCCTAAGATAGCTTGTGGATAATATGTGACACGTTTGGCAAGAGGGTAACTCGTGACTAGAAGTAAGCTTGGAATGCCGTACCAGAGACACTGAGACGGAAATTGAAGAAGGACGCCCAGTCCAGCTATCAGCTGAACCCCAGTAAACACCACAGCCTTCTGCGGCGATATTGCCCCCCTCGCGATTGGCCGGAATTTTGTGCGTTCGACGTGTGGATCCAGGTTCCTGTCCCATATGTCATTTATTGTGCATCCAGCGCCTCTCATGATCAATGCACCGGTGAAAAACAAAGCGACAGTCCCGACAATTTGCAAAGGCTCAGTGGAAGATGCCATTGGTGCCGCTAAGAGTGTTGAGAATGCGCAAGGGAAAAAAAGATAGTATGTACCGGTGGGCTTATCGAGGCGTATTAGTTCAGCAAACGGTATCCATGACTGAGGAAGCAACGAGATGAGTCCCTTTTTAGGTGGAGAGTACCGGATCGGATTCGGTTTGACTATATTGAATGACTTGTTTGTACATGGCGAAGATGAGTCATGTAAGAAGCGTCTTTCGAGTAGTATACTATTGCAGGCAGCTGACTGACATTTTATTCGCGGTGTAGCTCTAACTCTAGGAAAACTGCACGTCGCCAGACGAGGGTAGGAATAGAACTGTGCTGATGTTGACTTCGATCCTGCTCCCAAAAACCTGCGTGATAGTGCGCGGCGAGGCACTAGGAATTCTGCAGCGCTCATTTTGTAGGAGGAGTACTAATGAATTTGAGCGTAGCGTGGCTGTTTGACCCTCCCTTTCGCAAAACCGATTCTCAAGGACTTGGCCGGTTGCTTAGAGACCCATAGCCTGCCTGAACTTGGAAGATCAATACAGTAATAACTTGAAGTATAAGTGACCAATAACCTTCTATAGGCTAAGCCCTATAAGAGGATGTTAGCGGATGATGGTCCTCAACATTTGCGAGATTTCCTGGTTACACCGGAGGATAGGTGGGAGCTTTTCGCTGTGACCCACATGCTTAACAGCTTCAACAGAACTTCCATCCTTCTGCGCCTCAAGCTTGTGGCTATTTCAAACAGGCTCCTATTATCCTATTCTTACGGTCTCTTATTAATATGCTCGCAGACAAGTGTCTCCAATATCCTAAGAATGTTAAATTAAGTCACGTCTGAAAGTTTGATTATTTAAGGCTCCTAGGAGGTGCAGTTAGTTAATGTCCGCGTTTGTTTATTTCATTCACTATTGTGAGCTAAGTGTGGTTTGGTTCAAATACTTTGGAATTCCCATACCCTCCACCTCTATAAATAAGGGCAAACTGAAAATATGCTCTTTCGTTAATTTCCTCAGTATTACATGTTGGGCCGCATAAGTCACCTTTACACCTGTACCTGGATGCTAACTACGTCGACGCCCCTTTTTGTCTGTCGGAATGCCTACCCAACGCCCTCGAGCAGCTTTTCAGCCAATATCTCCTGAAATAAACATCCCGGCACTAGTGGAATCGACACCAAACTTCGAGTATGTGGCTCGAATTCCTTGTGATTCCATTGACGAGCATGGAGTCGAAAGCTTTGAAAGACTGGTGCACCTCCACGTAGTTTTGAGGGGACTACCTCTAGTTGTTGGAGGATTCAATGATCAGAAGCGGGAAGTTGGCTCTAAGCGGCTGAATAGCTCTATTTTCTCTGAGAAGTGGTTAAGAGAGCAGTTCCAAAATAAAAGTGAGTGACTGTGTCATGTATTTTGTGTGTTTTTGATATCTGACGTTGAACTTTTATCCTAAAAAGCGGAAACTGCTCGAAATTTGACTACTAAGACCGACCTTCAACTAACAATTCCACACTATCTGAAAAACATGCCGATGCTTACTGACCAGTGGAACCGATACAACTACAAGGAGCCCCATAGACAGCGAATATATTTGAAGGACATCGATTGCCCCAAGGAATGGCATGATGATCTGCGAGAAGTCATACCACCCTTTCTCTTTTATCTCAATAAGTCATTGGGGGCTTCTCAGGATATGGGGGCAAAGACTGGCTCGTTGTCAAGCCGTAGAGAAGCTTATTCGAATACAGAGCTCCTACTGAATAGAGCTGGGGATCTTATGAGTTGCCTTCCGCCAAGCATGCGCGCAGAGAATTTGATGTGTTACATTGGCCATGAAGGAACCTATACGCCAGCTCATCAAGAGATGTGTGCCAGCCTGGGTCAGAACATTATGGTTGAAGCATCGGACGGCTCAACCAAATATGGAAAGGGTCGGACAAAGCCTGGCTCCTCGCTTTGGTTTATGACTGAAAGCAAGGATCGTCATGTCGTCTCTGAGTACTGGATGTCTACTCTAGGGCATGACATCGATATTGAGGACCATTTCGCCCAGATTAACGCTTGGAAAATGGCACCCTTTAAAACATATGTTGTTGAACAAAGGCCCGGCGATTTAATTCTTATTCCCCCTCTAGCGGCGCACCAGGTATGGAATCGTGGCACAAGAACAATGAAGGTAGCGTGGAATCGTACCACTGCGGATACATTGAAGTTAGCTCTTGACGAAGCACTTCCACGTGCCAGAATGGTCTGTCGAGACGAGCAATACAAGAACAAGGCCATAATTTTTTACTCGCTTAAACACTACTCTGGCCTACTCTCTAGAGGCAATGAAATCAATATGCGAGATTTTCGAATCCAGTTGCTACTGGAGGACTTCAAAAAGCTCTTTTCGTTGTATACGCAAATATTAATCTCCGAGAGCTTTGCGGATGACACCTCTCAAGAGATGGAAGTTGAATATGTCCCTTTTGACAGCAATATTACCTGCTCGTATTGCCGAAGCAACGTATTTAATAGGTTCCTTACCTGCCCATGGTGTATCGGTGATGAAGATGATACATACGATGTCTGCATGGAATGTTACATTATGGGTAGGAGTTGTGCTTGTCGATCTAGGTTGAAATGGGTTGAGCAATTTTCTTGGACAGAACTAACAGAAAAGCATGAAAAATGGAGGCAGCAGATCTCAGCGTTCAGTGACGGTGATGACAGCCTATCTCCAAAACCTTGGCAAATAAGAAAAGAACTAGGCAGAAGAAGTCTTGCTGAAATATGTCAGGCACAGCTGAAAAGGCGTCCATGGGTGGATATATCTAAGCCTTTTGCCAGTGAGATAGAGAACAAGACCAGCGACTCAGAGAGTATGACCCCTATCCGGAAGCGGAGAAAGATCAGAGCCAGCGAAGAAAAAGGCCGGTGCCATATTTGCAGGTACATGGAGCCAATGTGGAAGCTCGCTTCTTGCTCTTACTGTGACGTGAATTACTGCTACGGCAGCTTGTTCAGAGCGTTCAATATCCTACCCCTGGATACCATGGAGGTGGAAAAGTGGAGATGCCCGAAATGTGAGAAGAGGTGCAGCTGTGCTGCTTGTCGTCGAGACCCTACGATGCGTCCGTTTGAGCCAACGTGCACATTGCTTGGCCACGACACGAGAAAGATAGCGGACCCCCGTAGCGTGGAGAGCTTGATTGATTTTAGACAGTCGAATATCAGATGGCTAAAGAAAGCAGGCGATGATGAGATCGGTCGATTGATGAAGCACCAGAAAGAGGCGGAAGCAAAAAATCGCAATCTGCTGACGGAACATTGTATTCAATTAGAAGAGCTACCTTTAATGGCCACCCCGTCCACAGATCAAACTCAATTAGAAGGGTGCCAGGCAACAGGTTTCTCGACAGACCATGGAGAGATTCCGGTCGACCCTGCGTTGGAACACTTTGATGGGTCATTTTCAAATACGCTGGACTATTTCGGCCATTGATAGCTATGGCAACGCTACAAAAGAACCACAGACAAATATCAAGTAGCCGCGTAGAGGCGAGAATACAATCCCCAGAATGTATTGGTTTGGGACTGCTCATATGACTTGGATTAATGTGCACGCGCTGACGTCAAGTCAGCTAGTCTGAGGTTTTTAAGGTTTACTTAGGTAGTATTAATACATATGCCTTAAATAATTTTGAATATATGAAATCCATAGGCCTCATTCTTTAAAGCAACATAATATAATAAATAGCGTTATGCTTTTCTTTTGTTCTGCTTGTGGAGGGTAGGGAGTTGAGGGTTCAGGACCTGTGTAATGTACACAATATTGTTATTAGTAGTCTGTCTAGGCTCCTTTGTATCCATATCGAAGATCCTCGAGTTGCTTCAAATCCACGGTAGCCATGGCATTCCGCGCAAACACAATACTCGTAAACATTGCTAAAAATTTTGAATTCCTCAACCTCTATTCCTATATTTTAAGGATGGGTAAGAAAGTATACACGCACCTCCTGGAAGTAGATATATAACCCGTTGCGCGTATAACGCAGATTCTATACGAGGACTTATAGCATATGTGAACATTAGCAAACCGCATATTGCAATATTTATGGGGAAAAGCAATTTTATTCCAGCTGCTGTTAGGCGGGAATTTGATATCGATTGCCGATCCCTTTGCTCTGGGTGAGGTAGTGGGGAATATTTCATTGTGCAGGACGTTGCAATCAAGGACAAAACGCCGAGAAACGAAAAGAACCGCTCTTGAAAACTTAAAGATGCCGAGACCATCAACAGAGCGAGAACGATGGCCGCGAACATTGGGATGGCAGTTAAGAAGATCTGCATGTCAACGTTCAGCAGGGAAACCTTCAAATTGGAAAGAAATTGTTACACGGAATTCGGAATCCCGTCGATCATTCTGTAACTTTAATTGCCTGACCACCATCTCTTGCTCTGCAAATGCGTAAGTAAAATGCGGTGGCTTAATGTGTCTTAACGCGGTCGATAGACAAACCCTGTTCATCAAGCTCCTCGCGCGTATGTTCCCCGCCGTCCGAATCATCGGGGTACCGGAATATCCTGCGCAGTCTCGCAGTCATCCTAGAACTTATGTGAAATCGAGTAAATTGGCTATGACTGACTCGCTAATTCGAGGAAAAGAAGGGAGAGAAACGCCACCGGAAGTTTTGTGCTACAGCTGGATGATATTGATAGCAGTTTGCCTTGTTTGACAACTTCCTTTCGCAGCACTAGAATTAGAATTGGACACAAATTGAATAGACACAGCTCTATCTTTCTGCCAGGCTGACCTCGGTCACATCTGAAAACGGTTTTCTTTTACATTCTATTTCCTTGACGTCCGGCATAGGAACGCAGATAGATATAGAGACATTTAGTGTGGCTGCTTTAAAGATGGCACTGCAAGCTATGCTTAGGCGTATTGGGACCTTGCGACTGCCCAACTACCGGGGGCAGACTCTCACTCGTCGCACCTTGATCCCGGCCCCGCGCTCTAATTCAGGTCCTCTAATGGAGAGACGAGCAGACCGAGAACTGCCAGCTGTGAATACAGACCGACGATGGATGCGAACGCTGCCCATATTTGCCGTTGTTGTGGGTGCTGCGATGTTGGGGATTTTCAACTACCAGAAGTCGTCTTCGAGCGTGGTCAGTAGCACTCTTTACGCCCTTCGTACATCGCCACGCGCCCGGGAGATCCTAGGCGATGAGATATATTTTGCTCAAAAAATACCGTGGATCAGTGGTGAAATGAATCAGCTACATGGACGTATCGACATCTCCTTTTGGGTAAAAGGGACAAAATCTCAAGGCAAAATGAAGTTCAGAAGCATTAGACCGAACCGAATGAGCTACGTTAGTAAATTCCTAAATTCTCACTGACGCAATAACCCGTCTTTTAATACACTGTTATTTTGGAAATCGGACAGCTAACGCGCTCTCTGAATGCTTAGTTTCACACCGAAGAATGGAGTCTAGAAACGGAGGATGGAACTGTTATCCAATTACTCGATAAAGGCAATGACCCGTTCCATCAAAGCCATTGATCAATGGGCTGCCATGTGGTTGAAAGTTCCGTGGCAGTAAATTTCATTGTACAGTGCTTCGAGATTTACTATGTATATCATAAAAGTTGCCGCTAATTTTGTATCTAATTTGGCGTTTCAGTCCTTTTTTTTTTTTTTTTTTTTTGTTTTGCTTTTTGCACCTTTTTCTATCTCGTCTTTAGTCGATGTGTAAGATACGGGAAGGGCACTTTTTACGATAAACCCGTGAAAGAAACTTCAGAAAATATAACAAAAAAGCGGAGTAAAAGGGATATCATGTATGTATCATATACAGGCGCCGCTCTAAAATCAACGAATTGTAATAGTACATTTTCAGGTGGAAAGAAAGTCCAATCAATAGGCTTTCTATTCAGATTTGGGAGCAGTTTCGGGCCAAGGTTTCTTGATAGCATCCTGTATCCTGACAACGCAGCCTTTAGGACCACTGACAGAGCCTTATGAAATTTAGTTGTCAGTATCTTATCAATCTCCCAGATATTTAGACATAGGAACGTTGCTTACCGTTAACAACAACAATTCCATTTTCCTGATCAACCTTGAGTATCTTCAAATTTTGCACTGTATTTTGCTCATTTCCCATATTTCCTGCCATTTTTTTCCCTGGATAAACCCTGGAACCACCGCCCTGGCTAGGACCTGCGGAACCAAGAGAGCGGTGCGTTAAACTAACACCGTGGCTGCGATCTTGACCACCAAACCCGTGTCTCTTCATGACACCGGCGAACCCCTTGCCTTTAGAATTAGATCGCGCATCAACGTACTGGCCTTCCCGAAACCAGTCTGCATTGATCGTTTGACCCACGGGCAGGAGGCCACTCTCATCCTTAACCCGGAACTCGTACACGTGCCTTTTGGGCGAGACCCCGTTGGCGGAAAAATGTCCAAGAAGGGATTTAGGAATGTTACTGGGATATTTCCAGCCAGAACCCAGCTGCACAGCGAAATAACCATGTTTTTGACGCGTTTTGCATGAGGTGACTTCGACTCGGTCCAGCTGCAGGACGGTACAAGGGGTCCGTTTTCCAGTTTCCGCATCATATACAGCAGTCATTCCTCTTTTTATAGCGATAACCCCAGTTCGTAAGGGCAGTGTATTTGCTTTTCGTTCCAGTGCTGCCGTGGGAGTCGACTGAAGCACGGGTAGATCAGGTCCGACATTGAACCGGGATGTCTTAGGAGGGCTTACTGATCGTATGCCAAATGTTCGAAAGAGGGTGTTGCTCTGTACCACCAGCTGGAGGATATAGTTCGATAGGAAAGGCCGATTGAGCTTTCCCAGTAGGCGGGGTGGCATAGTAGGCGAGTTATTTGTTTGATAGGCCTGTGTGCAATTCAATTGAGGGAGCGGCCATTTCTTCGCAGCCCGAGATTTCACTGCGGAGAATAAATATACTATAAACAGAAGGCGGTGTAGGTATATATTGTCGAAGCAACTCAAGTGTCGAAGCAACAAAACGTTTTAAGGTACAACAAACATACGGCTTGCCGGCTTGCCGAACATCGAGTTTCTTATTTTCAACACGATAATTTGCAACATATGTCACATTTCTCACAGGAAACATCCGAATTTCTTTTGTTGTTCATTTTTAATTTTTGGAGGTATATTGGTTAGAACTGTTCTTCGATTATAATACTATGATCCACCACGAGCCTCGGACATACTAAGAAAAGAAACGAAACTGCTTCCGCTACTACTACAACAAGAACAATAACAGAATAGAGCCTCTACATAGTGGTGAAATAATCATGTTACCACGGCACACATTGGTATCGCGGTGGAAAGCCAAATCTTCCTCCCTGGCTCAATATATATCGTCTTTACCAATGACCAAGACAAAATTTTCCATTTCGTCCTGTCCATTGAAGCCGACAACTTTTCGCCGTGCATTTTCCCTTCCCTCAAAAACTACATATTGCCTCCAAGGCCGTTCATTTTCTGGTCGCTTGTGGCTTGGAGAAAACGCTATCCCTAACATTTCCCGCCCTCAACAACCCGCTGTATTTCGACGATTTTTTAATTCATCTCGGGCAAAGTACAATAATTCATCTCATCCAGAGCAGTCGGGTTCACTTTCACAGCGGCTTAAAACGCTTTCTCGTGAGTATGGGTGGTCTGCATTGTGGGTGTATCTGCTTTTGTCAGCATTGGACTTTCCGCTCTGCTTTGTTGCTGTTCGTCTCCTGGGCGTGGAGCGGATTGGTCATTACGAACATGTGGCTTTGGAGTTCGTTAAGGACACAGTTGGTGGTGTCTGGCCTCGTGCGCAAATGGCCCAGGAAACCGAGTCGAAAACCGAGAATATGACTACCGAGGTTTTGAGCGGTCAACACAGGGAACCATCGGTTGAGGAGCCCCAGGTCAAAGCCCAGGGCGAAGCAAGTATGTCCCAACCTCTTCAGTTTCCATTCAGAAGGGAATGTGGCTAACTACGATATAATTTTAGGCCTATGGACTCAGGTTGCTCTTGCCTATGCTATCCATAAGAGCTTAATCTTTGTTCGGGTCCCCTTGACAGCAGCAATTACTCCAAAAGTTGTCAAAGTCTTGAGACAGTGGGGCTGGGACATTGTCAAGGGCAGGCCAAAGGGCATGTAGGCATTGTGGTCTACGTATGTCCCAACCCTCCTACTAGATCGACGAACGCATGTTCCGAAGGGTGTCAACATTCTTTTATTACGGCGGCTTGGAGATGCTAAGCCACCTTGACTCTTAACTTTATTGTAAATTAGTATTAGATCTAAACTCTAGAGCACCTTATCTTACATTTTTTCATGTACTTCTCTCCACGCTTGTCACAGCAAAATCATCAACTGATACGCATGAAATAAGTAGCAGCCATCGGATCCACATACGGGACTACAACATCATAATAAAGTGAGCGATGGCCAATAAACATATAGGATAGATGAGAGTTGGATTTTACTACAGCTAGGGGTTGCTAATGGCGAGGGAGATACTATTGTTGCAAAAGTCTATTGTTTTCTCATGTAACCTGCTTATATATATGAGAGATGGCAAATGAGGGCGATGATGTGAGAAGCAGAATATGAGCATATGAGCATTACATATCAATCATATCATTAAACCTGAGAATGCCATTGGCCTTCATAACACGTTCACGCCATCAGGCATCCGATATGCCCAGTCAGCGACACCCATAGTATTTGCGTTTGTTGAAAGCTCCTTTTGCGTCGGTGGTTCAACTTCGTCAGAAGTGTCTGCTACTAGTACAAGGCCAAGCTCCTTGATTGTCTCTACAAGCGCTGGCACAACGTTCTGTAATATCCCAAGAGAACCTTGTGTTAGTAATTTACTTACAAGTCTATTGTTCATATAGTACAATGTAATACGAACGGGAGTAGGGAGAATGAATGCACGCACCAGCAGACTAGACCGGCATATCAGACCCATGAAATTGTTGCCCTGCGCTATCCGTGCTGACTCTTTAATGGACATCGATGCACGGCCACTGCTATTAATGTCTGGCAATGAACCGACGTCGCGAGCTAGGTCCCGAATTTGGCCGAGGTCGTTGCAAAGGAGTACAGGGTCTTCAAAGAGGTCATATTAGCAAGACGTAGCGTAAACCTTTTTCTGGGTCAATGCAGAGGGCTCACAGTTTGGTTGTTTCCAGTTCAAAGCAATGCAGACATTCGGATTATAGGAGGTTAGCACCACGGAACGCATGAAGTCTGGGTTCTGCTCGCGAGCAACGCGGGCATGATCGAAAACTTCTGTAAGAATGGCATCTGCGAAGGTGTTAACGTCTGGCAGGGATGTCATATTCAATACCTCCGCGTCAGCAGTAGAAGGGTAGAGGATAGAAAGATTGACGTTAACTCCGATGGGGAGGTTCCGGAAAACCTCCTTTAGAGAAAGGAACGAGCCCGCCAGCAGCCTATGGGTTCGTGCCAAATCATAAGCAGCATGAGATTGTAAAAATTGCAGTACTTCGAGCCGATCGATGCCAGTCTCAAGGCCAATGGCTTGGAACTGAGTGTAGGTAAGATGGCAGACAGGGACTTCAATCCCATGGTACTCTATTGTAAACCTAGGATGAAGTATGGGGATCTTGTCTCTGGTGAGTTGTACAAAAAGCTGTATATGGTCTCCCGATAAGCTCGACCCTGTTACTAGGCCATTGTGTTCCGAGTCACTAGCACTTGTCGCCTTCCAGTACGTGGCAAAGTGGGTAATCTCCAAAGGATCGCCATGGTACGGTTTGATAACCTGAAATCCAAAACGTAGCTGGCCGATTGACCGCAGCCTCGGATCGAAGAGCGGTAAACAGCACGACCCAGTGCTAGAATCTTCGGCTTTGAAGACGGCCGGCAGAGCAACAGTCTTTGCAATGACTTTCGAACCAAACGTAGGGAAGATCTCGAAATCAACAGAAAATGTCTCCAAATTGTCCACCTGAAATGATATTAGGCGCGAATCTTCCTGGATTGGGAGCATCATGGTGCGTGGGATTAAGTCCGAAAGTTTGGAGGAAATAGTTAATCGAGCAGCAGGGTGGCGACCTGCTTGGTCAAATGAAACCGAGCCCGAGTTACCTGGGTCAAAAAAAACCTGGATGAAAACTTTCTTGTCCAAGAAATTGTGGCCATAGCGCCTTAATGGTATAATGGGCGGTGGCAAGGATAGATCAGGAATCCCATCAGCTGTCTCGAAGGTATCCAGCACAGCCGAGTCGTTCATGTGAGAGTCAAAGTTAGAACCTGGTTCTTGTAATATTAAGCCATCTAGAAGATCGAGTGGCTTATGTGGGGGCCGAGAGTCAGTACGATGGGACCAAAGGAGGAGCATACACTCCAAATTCCCTTCCCAAGCAGCGTAGTACATGGCGGCAAGACCTTTCTCGTCGATCACATCAGCATCAACACCAAGCTCTAGAAGAGTGCGTAGACAGCCAACACAGCCTTCACTAGCGGCGTGGAAGAGTGGAGTCCACTGGTACAACTTGTCACGTTGGTTGAGATCGGCTCCATGTTGCTTCAGTGTTAGAAGTAACTGGGGGGATTGTGAAGCACGTGCCACCATATGTTGAGGATAAAGGCCCTCTGCGTCTGGCAGTAATTGGGCGTTTCTCTCAAGAAGCATTTTTACTATTGCAAGCGATCCATGTTGACATGCTAAATTCAGTGGAATGTGGTCTGATTCTGACGCTGGGTCGATGCGAGCATTGTTGTACAAAAGTTGCTCAGCGCATGCTAACTGGTCTTTCACAATGCTGTGGACCAGCGGAGTGAAATTATCGTGATCCATCATGTCAACAGTATGAGGGCCGGCTGTTAGGAGCTCTTGCACCATCTTCACACGACCATGAATACAAGCATAATGTAAAGGAATTCTGCCGTAGACATCAGATCTAGAGACGTCCACACCTGCTGCAAGGCCAGCGCTGAAAACAAAGTTTCGGCCTGAGATAGCCGCCTCGTGTAGGCAATTGCGCTCATTGATGTCGTCTTCTGCATACATGTCAACTAAGCCGCTATCAACAAGAACTGCAAGTACATCGTCTGAAAACTCATTAATGGCAGCAAGAAAAGTACGCGTGGCACGATCCCTAGCATCGGGAGATACGTGTAACTTTTCAGTCCACTCACGAAGAGTTTGGAGGTTTCCCGCAGTTGCAGATTGCAGTATTTGAAGATCAAGATCTTCCTCATCGGGCCCAAAGCTCTGAACAGCCATGGGCCGGTCTGCCGGTCGAGCAGTATCAAAATGAATATTTTCACCCTCCGCCCATGCTTCAAGCTCTAGGCGTGCCGTTGTGGCTCGGTCTGACAGGTCACGCAAAACGTCACGATTGAAACACGGCTGTACCTCGACAGCTCTGTGGAGATATAGTTCCTTCATACGAGACTAATTGCAAAAAAAAAAAAAAAAAAAGGTAAGCATACTCATGACTGACAGTAAAAAGTCTATCACGCGTAGGGTTGTGGAGGCTTCGGACCTTTGAGGTTTTATCCCACTAACTGCACCGTTAGCTATTCTGAATACAACTCATGAAATACACCGTCTTGACAAACCTTCTTAAGGATTTTAGACATAGCAGTCTCATTGATCTCGACGAATTGCTTTGGACAAACAAAAACAAACGATTAGGAACTTGAGCGAAGCCAATGGACGTAAAGCTCACTTGTAACTTATTCAGGTCACCGTCGAATTGCTGGAACCCTTCAAACAGAGTAACGAAGTTTGCCGGTGCTTTGGAACTAGTCACTGCCCGCGACTGGATGACTCTCTTCTTATCGATCAACGTTTTCAATCGTAACGAAAACTGTAGCTGGTCATCAGCTTATATGGAAAAAAAAAAAAAAAGGGTGCTGGAACTGGGCCAAAGCAGACCTCCGCTTCTTTCTGTAGGTAAAATGTGTTCACTTTCTCTATTTCGCGTTCCTATTCGTAAAATTAATACTGTATCGACGAAAGGGCTTAGGAGCGCCATACAAGTCTGAAGAAAAACACCTCCTTATTTGCGCGAAGCGCAACTTGTGTTTCCGGCACATCTTCGTCTACACCAACACTGGTCTGCGCTGGAATTGTTGGTGTTGCACTTAATTGTTTGATAAGCTGTCATATTTTGCTGTTAGCTAATATAAGGGAACGAGAAGATCGTCGGGGATTTGGTGAGCGGACCTTCTTCAAAGCCTTGTAGTTTACAAAACTCGCGGCATATTCGGGGAGATCGAGTTGTCTACGCTGGATTTGCTTGCCGAACTTCCTATGGGCACCACAATCAGCGACTGAGTATGACAAAAAACGTGAGACGACAGAACTATGGACCATTGGCTACGACAGACAGCTCTTCAGCACTGAGTGTTATACCAACAGACTGAGGTGGAAATACACCTACATATTGACTAACTTTCGTAGAAAGCCAAGACACCCCTTGCACTCTCGTGTACAGTCGAGGGAAAGAGTTGAGGTTTCGGCAAGGACAGAATCTGTTGCAGCTACCTAGAGGACACTGCAATAGTAAAATCGCAAACAGAATTATGAGAAAGGAGAAGAGTGGGTACTTGATGAAGTAGAAATGATTACCCCTCCCTGAGCTCGACAGCACGGAAAGGGGAAGTAATTCAAACAGTGGTATAGAGTAGGGAACGAAGTGGCCTTAAGTGGGGCAGAATGGTAGGAGTCAAGTAGACAAAGAGAGGTTATATTTTGTAGTATACTCCTCCAGAAGTGTTTAAGAAGCAATAGGCACTAGGTAGCAATGCCCAGTGGGGCTGCGTGTAGTTGATGAAGCCACGGGCCGCCTCAGAGAGTCAGGAAGGGACAAGAGAAGAAGCTGAACATTTGCAACGGAAATATGTCCTTATCGATAGCCACAAATCGGTACTTTGGCAAGGTATTAATAAGTTGGAGTTGGTTGTAGGCACTGCGATTGTTTTGAAGGTTTGAGAGGTGCGGGGCACTCTGTCCGAAATGCGGGTATATAGTGGATGGAGGCTGATGCAAATAAAGAACGAGGAGGGCTTTCAGTTAATTATTACTCATAGGGCAATCAGATAGCGTTGGACGAGGGGAGCAATAATTTTAAGTATTGGAATTTAAGCCAACAGGGTATAGCAGAGACGACTAGGTTGAATTGAACAAAGGTGAGTGGAGAGCTTCCATGATTTAGCTGGCTTGGGGCCAATCATCGGCTGCCATCCACCCACGTTTTCCCTTGTCGTGATATTACGACTCCGTACATTCGCACCTCCTTCTATACTACATAGGTACCAAAGAGTAGGAAGTGCACATCTTAACACCTAACCAGTATATAGGAGCTGGCTTTCACTACTCTATATGTACAGTTTAAACCTTTTGTAGGTCTAGCCATGGAGGCTGGAATTGTTAATAATCAGCTTATTTCAAGAGAGACACTGATAATCACTGAGGAATAATGGCTAGAATCGGGACTATCGATGCATGTATTCAATCATCTTAATTTAGCATAAACTAGGCGGCGGCTACCGCCAAACATAGCATACAAGTATAGACAGTTAGAATGCGAGTAACATACTCTTGAACTGAAAGATATCCAGACCCAAGAAAATAAATCAAAGTGTTCAGGGAAAAAAAAGGTAATGGTGATGAAGAGAAATGAAGAGAAGAGAAATGAAGAGAAGAGAAATGAAGAGAAGAGAACGGAAGTGAAGAGAACGGAAGTGAAGAGAAAGGAAAGGCAAGGGAAGGAAAGGAAATGAGAAGAGAACAAAAGGATATGCAAAGATCAGGTTGACACCGAGAGAAAAAAAAAAAAAAAAAAAAGCTGATACAGGATATATACTGAAAAATGCAGAACAGAGCACGAAAAGCTTTGATGAAATAGCAAAAATATAGGTCTTTCCACTCTACTCAAGAAGGGTAAGCGGAGGCCGGAATAAGTGAAACAGAACAGCGAAGATATACAAAAAAGAAAAAGACGGTAACAGAGAAATGAATACAAGAGTAGTAAATTAGAATGACAATGGGTCATACACAAGATTTTGTGCTGGACCAAGATTCACAGATATTCATTGGTATGTATCAAGCCAGCTAGGCTGCTAGAGAGAAAGGGCATTTCCCATTGGAACTCTCTTGCGCCTAGCTTGTAGGGGGAATCAATTGTTTCTTGCGCCAACCTCTCAAGCACGGTGCATAGATATATATGGAATAGAGAAGTCCTCCCATCACTTAAAAATTCTGCGCAATGCCTGCATTCCCTTGCCTGGGAAACACGGCAGGACTCTCAATGCGTGTATTACGTCTTGCTTGAACATCGCGAATCACAGGTTGATTCCCGCTGTAAGGACTATCACCGTAGGCTCCGTACTGTTGTTGCATGTCATTGTAATACGGATTGTCACCGTAGAAAGGTGCTGTAGGATGAGTAGCAGACATATGACTTTCATCAGAGGCTTCCGACCGGTTTGCGGCAGAATATGCGGACGAAGCATTAGATGGACCACGATGAATATCTGTGTTTCGATTGTTCACTGCCGCCGCAGGAGCAGCACCTAAAACACCAATTGGTTCAGTCTCGGCCGCTGCATGTCCTTCAGAATATTGAATCGTGCCATCACTCGGGGTAGCAGCATGTTGATAACCAGGTGCACTTCCAGCTTCAGACATTGCCAACCCAACCCCTGCACTACTGGACAAATTGGTTGATGCTTTACGGCCAGCCGAAGTGGCTCCCCAGCCCCTGTATCCCGAAGTATCGTCCTTGGACTCGAAGGCACTGCCGCCCATGACAGGAGGCAGAGCCGGATCATTGTTAGGATTGAATCCGTACTCTTCTACCTCCTTCCGCCGTTCTTCTTCTGCCACCTTCTTTGCTTTCCATTTCCTCCAAAAGTATAATGCTGCAAGGATAATTAGAGCCACAGAAACAACCGGTACAACGACAGCAACTGCTATCCTACCACCAGCTGAAAGTCCAGAGCTATTTTCTGAACTTCCGGCAGCACTGGTAGCAGATGCTGTGACTGACGATCCACTCGTGGCGGACAAAGAACCAGCCGAATCCTCGGTGGAGAGGGTTGAAGACGTGGCAGTTGATGTGATAGTGAGAGTGCGTGGTCCTGTGGTTCCGTCGGTGGGTGACTGCGTGATTATCGAAGTAACGACCGGAGAGGTGGTGGAAGTCTCAGCCGTGCTAGTGGTAGAAGCTGCTGTTGTAGTAGATGATTTGCTAGAGGTATCGCTCGTCGTTGTCGACCGCGGCGGGCTAGTTGTGGATTTCGATGAGGAAGTAGACGAAGTTGACGAAGTTGACGAGGTCGAGGAGGCGGATGAGGTTGTCGGCTCGGAGGTCGTGGACGTTTCTGGTGCAGGAGGGGATGATGTCTCCGCCTGAGTCGGCGTGGTGTTATCGTTGCTATTTGTTGAAGGCAACGGTACTGCTACTAAAAAAATATTTAGTTGTTGGTAAAGAAGGGAATATATGCGGATGAAGGCATCAATGGCATATCGACCGTACCTGACGATGTACCTGACGACATTGTGGAGAATTAACTGGCCGCTCGCGTCTACCCACGGGCAATGACTCTGCTTGAGTAAACAGTAGGATATACTATATTAAATACCCGTTACCGCAATGGAGACAAGATCTCCGTAGAGATAGAGCGAAACTAGGCAATCTGGTGCGTTGTAGATCAAACGAGCGATCAAACGAGCAAGCAAACAAGAGTCAGACGACTCAACCTTTGAAAAATCGACAGAACGAAATCAATTATGGTGGAAACTGCGCGCGCATAGACCAGGGTACTGGAAGCATCCCACTAGAGGATGGAATTGTAGTCGCGTAGAAGGGAATAACTGTGCTGAAGATCTGCCTGTGGATGGTCAGGGGGAAGAGAGCAACAAGCAACAAAAGTCACAATCAATGCAACGCAGAGATTAGTATGCGACTTACCAAATTCAAAATATATGCCATGGGATGATAGAGGGCGCTGTATAGAGGCTGAAACGCGACCCCGAAAATATGAATTGAAGAGAATGAATGAGTCCAGAGAAGAGAGGAAGTGAGAAGGAAGCGAGAGTGGAGATGGAGGACAGAAACACACTGCAAGCGGCCGGGCCCAGGTACTCATACTACTCTGTACTCCATACATACTGAGTAGGTACCTGATACAGTACATGTATGTATGTGCTATGGTATGAACGCAACTAATACCTAGGTAGTGTATTTTGGAGTATGTATTATTACCTAACTATTGCGCTTCAGGTCGTAGGCATCAATTTCTGATTATCACGTCTATTTATCCTTTTTCTATCAGAACCTTTTAAATTATCTACACACAACCTTTATACACATTCAAGCAAATGAATATTTTTAGCTAGAACTCAACTTCATTAAGTTATGTATGCGATCGGAGTATCATAGTACAGTCCTGTATCTGTACATACTGTATTTAAAAATAGGCTAGTACTGTATTTACATACCTAAGTACGGAGTAGTATGATTAGTTCCCCAGGTGGGGCTTCTTTATGTACTTGTACAGTCACTGTACTGAGCACTTAGAAGTAACTTAGAACTATCTTAGGTACATACATAGGTTACTAGGTAGGCTGGGTACAGTACCATGGATGCAGCTAATATATGCCTAGGTACAGAGTATCTATATATCGTACAATGTTTATAGTATAATATAAGTATGGATATCGGTACCTACAGGGTACATATGTATCTAATAGATTTAATAATTCTCTTATTATAGTGTGGCTGATACTAAAAATGGAACTTATACGGAGTACTATAGACTACCTACAGAGTAGCGCTTAGTAGCACTACAAGCAGTACGGAGTAACTAGGTACCATATTTATAACTTAAGTATACTTACTGTCTTAGTACTATTAATAATACCTGAACAAACTACCAGCAGCCCTTTTCTGAAGTAATTAAGAGTACACTGTATTTTTCACTTAGAGAAAGGCTACTACTAAGCATAGTCTAAAGATAGTTTGCTCCACATAATAGTACTAGTAGTACCTAATATTCAGCCTCCTGTATAATACTATGGAGTAGTGGAATGCAATCTCTATGCCTGACCTATTATAGATCAATTGTAACAATTGGAGGTGTAGAGCACATTATATCTACATATCTAGGTAATACCTATCTACTGTGTACGACCGACACAAATTAGAGAAGAAAAATCCTAATAAATAACAGTTCCAAGTATCTAGAAGGTATATAAATGTACTAGATATAGTCCATCTAGAAATATTATTTCATAATAATCCGGACACCTTGGCGGAGCAAGTGTACTTCGGTACTAAGTCTACGTCTATCCCACTTGGCTTCAAACAGCAATTTTGAAAAAGAAAGGCTTTGCTTGGAACTGACCCATAATCCAACTGAGATCCAAAGATCATGATTGCAGCGTGTATGTAGGTAGACTGCATAGGCGCTGACAACATGGCAACCTTAAGTCTTCTTTGATGTAAGTACAATATGAGATAATATATTTACCGATCCTTTCTCCCCACTTTAGTTTGTATGTAGACGTACCATAGTTATTAGTGTCTAGCTCAATGTTTTGAATCTGTCAGATAATTTAAAAATTGGTTCATAGATTTTACTGCATTCATGGCCCACACTCATATCTCTCTTGCGCGACGACCTAGCGTGTGTATAGTTTGTAGCTATAATATTCGGTATCTATCAATATAAGTGCAATATTTTGGCCAGGAACTTACTAAGAAAGCAATAAGTATCTCACCCTTTTGAAATGCTACTAAATATTATTATATGCAAAAATAAAAGCCTAAGGAATGGGGAATAACATATCAGTGCCCTAATCAGCTTAAGAATGATGGCTGTCCTCTAGTTAGTATACCTAACTGTTTGGTATGGACAACGGGTTGAAAATGTAAGTTATAGTAACATAGCCGCTAGAAGGCAAGGTATCAAGAGGGTAAACAAAGAGCCAGCCCGTTGTATATATGTACACTTGGCCCAGCCCACTTTACTCAAAGAAAAGGAGTGCCAACATATAAATATGACAAGTGAGTGACTGATCGTGAACTGGCATCATGCGCCTCAAAATAATGAAAATCAATCATTACATCGGAAATTAAGGCTTAGAAACATATTTAATATATCTACTGCCGCAAATCCCATGTTGGGCGAAGATTGGATACTAGGTCGTCCTTCGTACCTACTGTTTCCGGGGGTAGACGACTGACACGGTAGGCGCCAGTACGAATGTTGTGCAAATGCGTGGTTGAAATTCCAGTCCGATTGCTGTGAATGCTACCGGAATCACTCGCAGTCTCAGTATTTTTGAAGCGAGGTGGGGGAGCGAAGTCCAAATTGTCGTATGTCCCTGACTTACGTAACGAATGCCTAGAAACGCTGTGAGTTTGTTTTGTTCAGTCAATCTCATCTGATTCCGACACTTACGGGCTTGGAATAATTGATAGTTCGCTAAAAGCAGAGGCAAGAGGGGTGTGGGCTCGCATGGTTGGACTGAAAGGTCGCAAGCCACCTAGGGGAGTCTCTGGCCGACCATCTCTCTGATCCTTGAACGTTTTCCCAGGTGCCCAATCAATAGAAGCCATGATAGAGTCATCATTTAGCATGTGGGGAGTAGGCAGGACTTGAAGTGGTGCTGGAGGAGGCGCTGGTTTACGTGGTGCTAGAGGACCCGTCATTCGGCCGGAAGCGGAAGAGAATGCACGCGGGCCTGGGGAGTAGAGACGATCACTAAAACTGCTGACCGAACCTGATGTCATATGTCTGGCTCCTTGGAATCGTGGAGGCGGGCGCGGGGGTGGAGTCATAGCACGGCGGTTCACAGGCTCAGCAAATGGTGCAGGAATTGCATCGTACCCTCCAGTCATAGGGCCATATGTATAGCTATCGTATTGGTAAAATTCAGCTCCGTAGTCTTCATAGTACGTTTCCCTCCCTGTCTTGTTTTCATCGAAATATTCTTTGTAGAACGATCGGATGCGGTTGGCGCGCTGTTCTGGGTTGTCTGATGGATCCTCAGGAGGCAAAGGACGTAGACCAAGTGTCATCCGGCGAGTGCTTCGGCGCGGATCAACCTTCAAACTTTGGGACTGTGACGGTTCCTCAGGGGGTGCAGTAGGGGCAGCTGAACGGTCACAACCATTAGCATGAGTTGGCGTACCATCTACAGTGTGAATATTCACAGCCGGTATCACAGGCAATTCCTTTTCGTCCTTGAATTCATTCGCCAGAGGGGAGATTATGGGCTTCGGAATTGATGTGGTTTTGGACGGAGTGGCATCTAGTGTAGATGTAGTGTGCTGGGATTCTTGTGCTGGGGGGCTTGGGATATGCTTGGGTGCAACGTCAAAATTTCTTGGCCCGGTATTGTGATCTGCAAGATTACTTTGCATATTTGGAAACAGACTGCCGTGGACAGCACCCGGCCCCGACGAGTCTTCGTTTTCCTCAATGGCGATGGTAGCTTGGCTGACACTGTTTGCTGTCGGTATTTTCCCATTGCTTGTAGGAGCGCTGGGTATTAGAACAGGACTGGGACTTCTTGGAAGATTCAGCTGGAACCCAGTGTCATCTTTGTTGTATGGAAGTGTGCTCTGGACAAAGTGCTCAGCTGGGGGGGTTTCGTATAATGGGGGAGAAGACCGGGACATCCTCTGAGCATTTCGCAGCAATCCCTGGTTCATGTCATCACACAGGCCAGCTCTGTTAGTGGAGCCCGTGAAACTCGATGCATCGTCTTGGAAAGCCTTTTGGTGCAATCGAAGGGGGGCATTGTCTCCTGGCATGTACGAAATAGCGGAACGGTATTTATCGTCAGCTCCACCAATAGACCTTGACAGAGAATGGATAGACTCTTTAGAGCTCTGCAGACCAGGCGGAAGTAAGTAAGGACTTGGGCCGATATCTAGAGAAACTCCCTTGGCGTGATTATAGCTCCCCTCTACTTTTTCGGTAGGCCGCATCGATTTTCCGCTAGCGGTAGGCTCCATATCCAGTCCGAAATCGAGGGACTTATGCTTGTCATTGGCATCTTCATTCCGAAGCTTTTTCACATTGCGCCGATGTAGATAAATGAGAACCAGTATCGCACATACAATGGGAACTCTGGTAAATGGTTAGGAATATTGTTTAATATTTTGATCAAGGAGCCGCGAAATCAGTGAAAAGTCAACCGATCGTGTAACTTACACTGCTCCCAGAACAACAGGCAGGGTAGTGGTTGTTGTTGTACTAGTGGGCTTTTCACATTTCTGGTGGCCAGCTCCACAGGTGTTGGTACTCGAACTATCAGATTCTGTGGTTGGCACAGGTTCCCTTTTCACAAGCGTGGGGGCTTCAGAGCCAAAAAGATATGGTTGTCGGTGACGGGGAACAATGTCTGGTCGACGCGCCATCAGATGAATGCCGTGTTGAGGCGAATACTGATGGTGATCGTACATGGCCGTCCCAGTCTTTCACTACCGATTATAGACAGCCTAGGAGAAATCAACCAGTTCAGAGAGGATATATCCTGGATATGCTTATGGAGTTGAAAATTAACGACAGCAAGACCCCTGAATGTTGATACTTGAAGACCATTAAGACAGGCAGCCGTATATTTCTTAATAAGGAGAACAAGGGACTTGAAGACGGTATCAGTTAGATACGAATTGATGAGATTTACCCATAAAGTAGCAGAAGGTAGAATCGCAAGGTTCTTAAAAATAAATGAATGGACAAGAACCGGGGTTCTCCTAATGAATGGCAGCCTCTAGGCCGGATTGTAAGAAAAGGAGGGTGAAATAAAAAATATATATATAAATAATAAGAATGATAGTGTGTGATATTCCCACAGATGAGGTGCAACCTAGGAAGGAAATCAAAAAGGGAAACAAAACAAAACCAAAATGAATGGAGTTGGGGTGATGGGACAAAAAAGAAGGGACAAGAAGGACGGAATGAGAAAGGGAAAGGGAGAGAAGGAAATTTAGTAATGGAGTACTAGAATCTAACTAGTTAACAACCTTACACTACCAAGAGGTAAGCTATTTAGCGGTCTAGATGACGGGCTGTTTTGTTTTAAACAAGTGTGGGGAGAATTCGCAAGCCCTCTCAGAGGTCTCCACCCAGGTTGGGAGCACGGAACGTACCTACCTTTACCCTGCATTATCTAGGGAGTCCTATTAATCCACAAGTGTAGCTCCCTCATACCTACCTACCTTATTTACTGAAGTAGTTTATAAGGTGATGGCAGTGGTCAGTGTTGGACTGTACATATCTACCAGGTAGGTAGGGGAGCATGGGTTCCTGTATCAGGATCCAGTAGATAATTATATTTGGAAGCTATATTAATAAGGTAGATAGGCAATCCTTCAGCAATACGGAGTACGTACTACGCCGTAGCCACTTAAAGTAAAGCATCGTTGTTGGTAATATGGACTTAGATCCATTACTATAAAGAAATCAAATAATCCAATACTGGAGATTTATTGAGGTGTTATATTCCAGTTATTGCATCTGGTTAGGGAATATACTCCGTACATAATAATGGGTTAGGTATACAGACCTAGAGAGGCGGAAATTTGGGGGATATCTGTCAGGCGGCCGGATTCCCCTGAGACGCAAAACCAGGCACAGAGGGACACCAAGATCCTCTAAGCACTAGTGTCAGGAACCCGCATGGCCCCCGTCCAATAAATTTCCAGTGGCTACCCCTTGCTCCACATCTGGTTACTTTTGTGGCATTTGTGCAGGTACTTAATACTACTAGGAAGTACTGTAAGTACTCCGTGTTTAGTACTCTGCAAGTACCCGGTAGAAACTCTGTATTAATCCCTGGTGAAGGTAAATTGGTACTTGTTTGTCTTCTGAGTGAGCATCTTCTCTCTCTCGGCACCACCCTGGGTATATATATATATCAACAGTATATATAAAGTTGTCTATTACCGGTTTAACTTTAGTGTTTCTTTGAGCCTTACTCCTCCTTTGCCTGCTCAGATTTGCCGACGCATTTTGATATCTTTCAGCATGGTTTTTGACCCACCAGTCAAAATCGCTAGCCTCAAAGATTATGTCGCTTTCTATGCATAACTAACCAAGGCTTAAAGACATTTAATTAGAATAATATTTTTAAGAATAGACTCAGGACACAAATGCTCCTGCTATTAATATTTATAAAGGCGTTGCTCTCTAGGCAAGGCATTCTATTATGCACTGATATCTTTAGCCTTCTCCATAGAAGTTCTGGCTGAATGCTTGACAGCCAGCATCTAGGTCTTTCTAGTTACGTAGTTAACTATAATAACCAATGCTTAGGAAGTAGCTACTGTATTTACTGATGAATAAAGTTGAGCCACAATAAAATTTCACCTTTGTCCGGGGATCATATAATATCAAACTAATACTACTGCGTAGCACTCACTTTCTCCGAGAATTGAATCAGATATTTATTTCAGTTATCTTTTACTACTAGGTTAATTTATCTTTCTTAACAGGTGTCCACCGCACTTTCACTGTGATTATATCCTCACTTTCATCTGAAAACTCTATTCTCCATTCCCATGCCTAGATTGTTAGAGTATGCTAAAGTCTGTTTGCCTAAATGTGGATTGCAGAGTTCTTTATCAGTAGGTATCTCAGTATTGAACTCCCCTTTGGGCTATACTAAAAAAAATTATCTTTATAGCATCTTATATTTTATGTATCCTATATAATGTGAGGGGCATTTCAGTAGCTCTCTCTTATCTGTACTCTTTGAATCTCTGATAGTAGAACAAGCACCCATCCAAGCTTGCACACCTTGTAATATTAAGGGAATTAGACATAAGACCACCTTACAATGCACTCCGGATAAGAGTATACAGGGAGTAGGATAAGTTTTTGGATGGTTTAAAGAATGCGGTATCTAGATGTTCTCGATTGAAAGCAAATGCAGTAATTATATCTATTCCTTAAGAAGTCAGTTGCTGCTTAGTGAAATGGATTTATATTATAAATATGAGCCCAGGTATGGGGGGGAGTATGGCGCAAGACGTTGGAAACGTAAAGTATACTTTGGGCCGGAGAGTCCTTTATAGAAACTCTGGCAATTAACGCTGAACTAAAAAGCCAGGCGCACGAGCTCAAGCTAAGTACCTACGTGACTTATGTAGATGTTTTTGGCTGACAGCACACCTATAAAACTTGTTGGTTTTGGAAAATAGTAGGTAATCCACTTTTATTCGGCTCTTTGACACTCAAAATAAACAGGGAAGAAGGAAAGACTGTAAGGGAAACCCGGCGTTAACATATTCACACAAGAATTGCCAAGTTGCGCAACACAAACAAAGAGGGAATATACACCAACAACTTGTACAAAACAAATATTTTTCTGCATAAAGTTTAGCGTCTCTTCTTCTGTTTTTGTGCACGCGTTTTGGCAATAGCCCCCAACAAAGCCAATAAGAATATACAGGAGAGAGGAAAGTCCATTAAATATGTTCTCTTTCATGTAACCTCATAAGTTTAAACACTCATGTAGAACAATTGGCAGTAGAGTACAAAGGAAAATCAGAGAAGGACATGAAGGTTAGCATTGTTAATTCTGGAGACATTTCAAGCACCATAGCAAGCTCCAAAGCTGGTCAAATTCTCATTAGAAGGCTGATTAAAAATCTGGCTGAATGAGGGACCAGGAGTGTGAAAAGTATTGCTAGAGTCTATTGCAACTCCTTCTGCTTTGCGAATTACTTCTTTTAGGGCACGTGTTACAACACCGGCGCGTACAACAAGATCACGCAGAGATCGTGTGTCAAACGGTAGCTTCTTTGGCCTTGGAAAGTGAGATTCACTGGAATCCGAGGACGCCCGTTGCTGATAAATAAGATCCAGCACAGAATTGGCTTCTGCCGGTATCTTCCTGTCATTTGGCCTGGTAGGTTGAGTGGGATTTGACTGTTCCGAGAGCGAAGGCTGCCAGGATTCTCTGCTGGCACGTTTTCGGTTTTCATTGTTTGAAGACTCGACCTCAGAATCATCGAAACTAAAAGTGAGGGAAGAGGGAGAGCCAGGAGGGGAATGGTTGGTGTCTTCATCAAGTGTGGCCAATTTGACAATACCCTCTGCCTCCTTCCACAACTCACTTGATGGACCGCGCGCGATGTCTAGGAAGCTGGCTTGATGGCGAAGGCGCTTTAGTTCCTCAACCAATAAGGTCAACTCTTGTACCTGTCCAAATTGTCCGTGGAGGCTAGCCTGTCGATCCATTATCGCCTGAGGCACAATCATACTACGCCGCGGAACATCATGATCCCTAGTTGGCTTCATGCTCCCGTTGACGGCACTAACATCTGCATCTTCGAATTCAAAGTCACTATCCCAATCTTCGCTTACACCTTTGCTACCTAAGCCCCAAGTCCCAAACTTGCCTGAAGTTTGACGTGTTTCGTTGGCAGTTGGAGGATCTCTTGACACAGGAACACTTTGACTTCGAAGATGCAATGTATTTGGAGCTTTCCGCCCAGGTGGACGGCTGCCTCTAGACTCAGCCCCATGTTTTCCATGTACAGTCCGTGGTCGGCCATCAGACCCAGATCCTTCACGATCATTTCGCTGCTCGGACCAGTCAAATATATTTATCCTTGGACATGACTCTAGTGTCTCACGGGGAACAATCCAGGCGTCCGCTAAACAATCAGAGATTTGAGGCGTATTATCGGTTAAGAAACGACGAGACTCAGAATACCCACCACGATAGCCACTCATAGATAGGGACGGGTGTATTGACTGTGAATTCTGTGTGCTTGTTTCTTCCCCAGGCAACGCGGCAACGAGACTGAGCGCATCGTCATCATCTGTTAGTTCAGATTGGAACGAAAGTCTGCTGTCTTCTTGCAAACGGATGACATCCTGGGACTCTGGTGAAGATATGGGAATAGAGGTCGCGTTTGCATGAACGCTATAGTGGCATTCTTTCATGGTTCGAGAAACGATGGTGTGAGTTAAACCGGGGTTTTTATGACCCATTGATTCCTCATCTGCATAGGCGCAAGGGGTGTCTTGATCAAAAATGTTTTCGATTTGGGCCGCATGGAGGCCAGAGCTGCTGCTAGTAATATGCGTGCGAATTGAGTCGAAAGCGGTATCACTAAAGAAATCCGTTTCGTCTTCGTCGCCGGATGAGAAAATTCGAGTATCATCTGAGCCTATGATAGTTGAGGCGGGATCTGACGCAGCGATAGAATGCCGCTTAGGACGCTGGCGTATCAAGCCCTGGAAGGTAGATGAATCTACTGTGCTTGATGAGAACGGCCGTTGTCTGATCTCTCGAGAATATCCTATGTTGACACGAGAAATTGACAGTGAGTGAAGAGGTCCCCTTCTGGTACTAGAAGCTAGAGGTATTAAAGAGTCCGCCCGAGTTATGGCTTGGGGGTGACAAAAGACACTGCTTGGGTCAGTGATATTGCGCCTCTCATACGGTCGTGGAAAACCGAAGTGTGTCCCTTCCGGTTTTGTGAGACTCGGAAGAGGGGTAGAGATTGCCCTCCGCTTCCGATGCGTGAAAGATGTGACACCAAAATTTATATCACCTGCAGAGTCTGGAGGACATGCCGGCGACTTAGGATCCGCTTCACTAGAAACTGGTGACTGGATATCTTTAGCATCTGGTGGAAAACATGCTTTTATCTCTTGAGATGAAGTGTCAGTTGGTCTGAATGGGTTGCGAAACTGAACCGGTGAAACAGAGGTAGACTTTTCCAGATTAGCTTCTGCACGTTCTTCATTCGTAATTGAAGTTGCCAGCAGAAGTGCTGGAAAAACCTCCGCTTCAGGGACAATCCGCCGCAAGCCTTGGTCCTTTGGCTTTGTTGCCGTTGAAAACTTGCGATTTAGTCTATTAGATGTGTTGGGGTCAGCATTTAGATATGGCTGCCAGACACCACTGTCTGTAGGTCCTTTAACATAAAGCCGCGCAGTAGCTTCTGTGACTAATCCGGGCTCGAAATTTAAACTATTAGTTCCCTTATGTCTTAAATATTCGGACCGTTGATAACTTGTAGCCGGTCTGCGTAGTGCGGGTGTTAATGGAGATGAAGTTCCCTGTGTGAATAAAGGATGGACGGCTAAATGCTGTGACGGAGGGCGCTTGACAAGCTTGTTTGGCGCTCGACGCTGGCTGGAGGGGCGGAACATAGGGCTTGTAGAGTCCCTAAATGATGGAGATTGCGGACTCTGGCATGAGGAACGCCTATCAGGTTGAAACGACTTTCGTCGCATCCACGATGAAGAGGGCCGTCGACTATGAGAGGCTGTTGAAGAATCCTCTTCGACGCGCAGCGGTAGATTCGATAATGTCTGACCACGGCGACGTAATATTATTCCCGCAAGGGAGGATTTTCTTCGAGAATTTGAGCCATCAGAGCGGTCACCACCAGATACACCATCTGTGTTCACCTGGTCTGATAGCTTTGTATTTAGAGTCTGTCCCTTCTCCCTCATAGATGATTGTAGAATCCCTGGTTGTATAGGATCAGAGAGAGACGATATGGGAGACTCCGTTGCATGCGCGCACTGATTATAAAAAGGGAAAGTCTTCTTTCGGGATCGCCTTGGCTTGGGGCTATCTCGATCTACGCGACCGAGAGCAAAGCCGGTTGCTGCAATACCAACAGTGCTAACTGCACAAAGCTGATAAGGGGCCTGTTAGTCAAAGAGCATTCACAAAATTATGCGAGGCGTTGTACTTGTAGTAATACAAAATTCGACAGGATACTGGGACACTCTCTTCTCTTTTTTCGGCCTCGAAGACATCGACAGACAATGCAATAGGGACTCACAGTTGATACATGCTCCATTGTTCTGGCTGCCAGGAATAATTTCAAGCACCATGAAGCTCAAATTAGCAACATCGATAGTACACGTAACTGACACCCCATTTGCATTATTATGCACGAGGATGTCTAGCTGGCTCGACACATATAGACAGAGGACGTCCCAATATCATAAATAAAAAACAGAAGGCAGATAAAACACGGGAATAGCTGACACGGTATTAATTGTCTTAGGAACCAAGCGCTGCACAGAGTTGGGGTGATTTTAAGATGAGGGGAAAATAGGTGCTGGAAAGTGAAAAGACATTAAAGGAATAGGAAGGCCAAGAAGGAAAAAGCATGTAATAAGGACTGGAGTGGACAAAAGGCCAGAGACCTAGAAGACAGACTACAATAAAAGCTGAAAATTTGGGAAAGAGTAGTAGAAGAAAAATGTTGGACTGCTGGAGGTATGCAAAAAAGGCCAGCGGCAACAGCTAGCAACAACAATAATAACAATAACAACCGAAGACGAGGTAGAGCTACCTCATCGATGAACGGAGCCAGAGAGTGGGACGCGGCAGCCACTTTCTTTTCGCCCACGGGCGATGCTCTTCTGGTTAGATCTAGTCCTAACAAAAGTAGGCTAAACTAACTTGGGAATATCTTTGCTGGAGAGGAACGGCTTATGCTAGGAGTTCCCACCCTCACCACACCGCAAGGTACGAGGTAGGTACCGCGTACTACGTAGGGAGGAAGTACAAACTAGTAGTAGCCATTGTGTAACACCTAGTAGTAATAGCAGTAGAATACTAAAGCTAGATTAGTTCAAAAGAAGGGAGCCCTAGAGATACCAAAGTGTATAAGGTAGACAATGACTTCAATAGCTTTTTGAGAGGGGGAGCCTCTTTTTTTTTTTTTTTTTTTTTTTTTTTTTTTTTTTTTTTTTCAGCTCCGGGAGATGAAATGAAATCCACACTCCGTAGATCCGAATGTATTAATTCTAAGAAGCAAGGCATTTATATTTATGTATTCTGTTAAGGTTATTCTGTAGGAAATACCTAGTATACTTATGCTCCGTCCTGTTCATGTTTACCATTTTGGATGGAGAAGAGAAAGTATAGATCTACTAAAGCATCATCTAACGATCTAGATAATTCCTAGGAAATATACGATTTAATCTACCTAATCCATAATCTATATATGCCAGCAGTAGGATTGGCAGAGAGAGCAACCACAAATTATAATTAGGGATTAGACGCTCAACTTGTGATAGGTGCTCATTATTCCTGTGGTTTAAACAAGGGAGAGAGACAAAGGGGCGAAAATGAAGTAGAAAGGGAAAAAAACTACAATAATAAAATAAATTCTTGTGAGTAAGCCTAGAGCTACAACAGTAATAATAACAGTGGAAAAACCTAAGTACTTTAATAAGCATTATTTAATTATCGGGTGGATTGTTGATTCTTGCAGTTTAATATTTAGGATGTAGCATGCACGATCCAAAGACAGGTATGGTCAAATTCCGAGCCAGCCCGTGTGAGATATAGGAAATAACTAACTAATCAAAACTGGGCTAACTACTTAGAAATACTCATTACCTACAGAGTATACTCTGCATTATAGATAGTGTGGATAAAACTAAATCAAGCCAAGAGAGAAGAGACATCTAACTGCCATTCACTACTTTAAAGTACTACCAAAGTTTCACGGCTTTTCTTCACTTATTCCTAGTTCAGACTCCAGACAAGCAAGGTTCTTCAAGGTGGGAAGCAGATTTAGGTAGTTTCCACTCTTCTTTACCCAGTACTCCCTTACAGTACTGTCAATTGTTCTCCGTAGGCATGTCGCAGTCCTCTGTACCTAAGGAGATACAGTACATTAAGGTTAGCATTAACAAACCCATGTCAGTAACTAGTCTATACCTATAGGTAGGTATGTGCTCTGTAGAGAAGAGTTCAGCCAAGTGTGGGTGTGGTTTTGATGATGCTACCTAGCCTTAGAGACTTTGGAGTACTTCCGTCTTCCGCTCTTATCTGAAACATGGCTAGGTTCTGTCCCCACTTTCGTTGCAGGGGCTGGCTGAAGGTACTACACTGTAGAGTGCCTGGGTAGCTTGGCCTGTTTATGGCCAACCCCTAGCTTGGTACAAGGAGCTCTAGTTTCTAGATTGCAAAATCCAACGCAGACAATCAGTAGAATAGTGGTTGGTTTGGGGCATTCTACTAGGTGATATTGGTTGAGCCAAGGAGCAACAATTATGGGAATACATTGGATGCTATTCTCTAGTTACCAAGCTTTTAGGGCGTTAGGTTTCATTCAATGTCTTTGTTTTGATCCCGCCGTTCCAAAGATAATGACAGGGATAGAAGATCCATATCATCCGACCTTCGCACTTACTTTCTAATCAAGGACAATAAACTTATGTGCTGTACAATGTACACTTTGTTGTAGAAGAAGTATCTCATGATGAAAAGCTAGTAAGCTAGAATCTATTATGATAATGGTAATAATAAGAGGAGAGAGAAGACAAATGTAGTTTGAAAGCAATGAAAAAAAAAAAAAAAAAAGGAAGATCAAATTAACAGGCTGAGCAGCTGAGGGCGCACTGCAAGTTTACCTTAAGTGGAGAACAAAATATTAACTAATTAATGATAGATCTATTGTCTTGGAAGAGAACGTGGCCTGCAAGTCTCAACAGCTAGAATACTTCGCCTGTCCACTTCCATGCCTACAGGTATGTGTACACACATAGCCTATATGCATGGAAGGTAAAACGTAAGTATGGTACCTGTAATTCAAAGGTTTTTGTCATTGTGGGAAGAGACGAGGGCGGTCAACTTGTCTTACCAGGTACTAGACCATCTAGCGAGATTAATTTGTTACAAGAGACGTATAGAGAAAATGAAGGACGCATACATAATAGCAAAATAAAAAATATTGACAGGCAAGTATCAACTCTGAAGGAAGAGGAAAAGAAACAGCAACAACAACAATAATGTTAAAAATATATGTATAAATATATACTGGGGTATTTTAAAGATACCTAGTGCTAGGCAAGATAGGGCGTATAATACAAGTACTTGCAGTGCTCCGTACCTACCGGAGGACCGACTATTATTACAGCCCCCACAAACCCGCCACTAAGGCTCTGCTGCTAGTCACGCTCAAGAGTTGAGAGATCGGGTTTCCTAACGAATAGTACTTTCCGGTAGCTTTGAACTTATATTATAGTACCTAGGCTGCATTGTGCCTACTGGCGCTCATTCTCTGCCTTGTCTTCTTGAGTTCCAACTGCCTACCATTCAAGCTTGTCTCTGAAAATGGAGGCGGAACTTCAATCCCAAATTCCAGGCCTTGACCATGTGATCTCAGAATATTCTGTGGTAAGGGCTCGGTGAAGTGACAGCAGAACAGTTAAGATTTACATTCTCATCAATGATAGGGATACCTGACTCACGCCTCAAAAGCTTATGTCGAGGATGCTAATGCTCCTTCGCCATTGTCAGAAGCTGCTGACATAGTTACCGAGCTTCTGGTTTCGGCATCTGGAGACTTTTCACCTCAGAATGAAAATTTCATTCGGAGTTTGATTGAGAAGTTCATCTCGTTATTGAGCGCTTCTGATGATGTTAATGCTGAGCAGAGGCAGATGCCTTTTACTGCCAAGAAGCTAGACCAGACAATTAATGTCGGCTCCCAGAGGAATATGTCCTCAACCCTAGGACTTGCTGGAGGTAACGTGGATTTGGAATCTGCCAACTCTAGAAAGGTAGAGTCCCGGGTAGACCGCAAGAAGCTCGAAAAAGCGGAACAGAAGATTCGTGCCAAGCAGGAGAAGAAACAAATGAAGACAGTGCATTACGAAGCATCACGTCTTTTGAATCAACCAGATAGCACCATGTCCTATGAAGAGTTTTTCATGGCTGTCAATCCCCTCCAACTGGGGTCGGACTCGCAATCTAAAAGCAAGGATATCAAGATTGACAGCATCGATATTTCGGTCGGTGGTCACCGCATTTTAACTGATGCCTCTCTTACCCTGGCTTATGGCCGTCGGTATGGCCTTGTGGGCCAAAACGGTATCGGAAAAAGTACTCTTTTGCGCGCGTTGAGCCGCAGAGAAGTTGCAATTCCTAGCCACATTTCAATCCTCCATGTTGAGCAAGAAGTATGCTGGCCATTATCCTCTTTGCCCCCTCTCCCCTTTCGAATTGATGTTTGTAGATGGCTAATTATAAATATAGATTACGGGCGATGATACACCTGCCCTCCAAGCAGTGTTGGATGCCGATGTGTGGCGCAAACGTCTTCTAGTGGAGCAGGACGTCAGTATTTCCTTCTATGATATTTGACACCAAAAATCACATACCTATTAACTCCTTTCCAGAAAATCTCCACACAACTGGCTGCTATTGAGGCTGAAAGATCTTCGATGGCAGATACTTCGAAAGATGCGGCCAGGCTCGATCATGAGAGGGAGGGCCTTGATATCACATTGAACGATATCCATGCAAAACTTACAGAGATGGAGTCAGACAAAGCCGAGTCTCGTGCAGCAAGTATATTGGCGGGTCTTGGTTTCTCACCTGAAAGGCAGAAGTTTGCAACAAGAACTTTCTCCGGTGGTTGGCGAATGAGATTAGCCCTGGCAAGAGCCCTATTCTGTGAACCAGACTTACTTCTGCTAGATGGTAGGCTTTATGTGCTTCTTTGCATTATGACAACATTCTAACCTGTTACAGAACCCTCGAACATGTTGGACGTTCCGTCTATCACATTCTTGTCTAATTATCTCCAGACTTATCCCAGTACTGTGTTGGTGGTTTCGCACGATCGAGCTTTTTTGAACGAGGTTGCCACAGATATTATGCACCAACACTCTGAGAGACTTGACTATTATAAGGGTGCTAATTTTGGTGAGCTTCTTGTTCATGCAAATCTACTAAAGCTAATTAACATTTATCAGATTCCTTTTATGCAACCAAAGAGGAGCGTAAAAAGAATGCTAAGCGTGAATATGAGAAGCAGATGGCCGAACGGGCACATCTGCAAGGCATGTAGTCCCAACTGTGCCGCTCAAAACTAAAACTAATGATATTTACTAGCGTTTATTGATAAGTTTCGGTATAATGCAGCCAAGTCATCCGAGGCACAGTCAAGGATTAAAAAGTTGGAGAAAATGCCCGTTTTGGAGCCCCCAGAGAGCGATTATGTTGTGCATTTTAAATTTCCCGATGTCGAGAAACTGTCTCCTCCAATTGTGCAGATGTCAGAAGTCGCCTTTGGCTATACCAAAGATCGCCCTCTGCTTAAAAATGTTGACCTTGACGTTCAACTTGATTCGCGCATAGGGATTGTTGGTCCAAATGGCGCTGGTAAAACAACCGTTTTGAAACTGCTAACTGGTCAGCTTCAGCCATCCTCTGGGTTTATCTCGCAACATGCTAGGCTGCGAGTTGGGTTCTTTGCTCAACATCATGTGGATGCATTGGATCTTACTACCAGTGCCGTGAGCTTCATGGCAAAGACATACCCTGGAAAGACGGATGAAGAATATCGCAGGCACCTAGGAGCGTATGTTTTAACCCTGTCTACTTGGTTTACATTGTGCTGGGCTGGTTACTGACGAGCCTGTTACTCATCACTAGGTTTGGTATTACTGGTATGACGGGCCTCCAGCGGATGGAACTCTTGTCCGGAGGTCAAAAGTCTCGTGTCGCTTTTGCCTGCTTATCGTTGACAAACCCACATATTCTTGTTCTCGATGAACCGTCCAACCATCTTGACATCGAAGGTATGGATGCGTTGTCTGAAGCACTACAGAATTTCGAAGGAGGTGTCGTGATGGTATCACATGATGTTACGATGCTGCAGAATGTCTGTACCCACCTCTGGGTCTGTGACAAGGGTACAGTGCATAAATTTGATGGCACTGTTAATGCCTATAAGAAGATGATTAGTGCACAAGCAAATGAGGCTGGAGTTGCTGTGGCTCACTAGAAGGAAGAGTTTTTTTTCTTAGTGTTTAGTCCCTTGACATGAGATACTTCCAATTAACTTTGGGTTTTCCATTTCCCGTTCACTATGTCTCTAAAATTTTGGAAATCCCTAGTAGGATACACTAGCACTGAGCTATCGTATAATTAGAAAGTACTCTGTACTTCGTACACGATAGTAGAAACACCAGAGTGGGGTGGGGCCCGTGGTCCAACTGCCAACTAAGGCAGGTCCCCCGGCACTTGAGGCATCCACCCATTTTACACCATATACGGTTTCTTTCTTCAATAAGTGCCAACCCTGCGGATTCTAAGAGGGAAATGGGTACGGATGCTCACGCAGAAGAAGAATTTCGAGCGATGAGCTGTGCAGCCCAAAGCAATGAATCAGACCCGAATGCACCCTTACTCTCGTCGAGCTGCGCAGTTACTAGCAATCTCTCTGATGACGGCGGCAACGTGCCAACTCATAATTTACGGACAGGGTACTTGGGAAGTTCGTTTATATGGATTTTGACATGTTCGGCAGGAATAAGTGGGCTTCTTTTCGGATATGAGTAAGTGTTATATTCGCCGGAGTACGCCGGAGTATTCCTAGACAAGCAGCTGATATATGCCACTACGAAGCACAGGAGTTATTTCTTCCACCCTTGTTTCAATTGGATCTGATCTTTCCAATCGTAACCTTAACACCTTGGATAAAAGCCTGATAGCGTCCTGCACGAGTTTGTTTGCCTTAGCCGCGAGCCCCATAGCGGGTATTTTGGCGGATAAAATCGGTCGTCGAAGGGTCATTTTGGTTGCTGATGCACTTTTTGCTCTCGGTGCATCACTACAGGCAGTTACTAATGAAGTATCGGGTATGATAGTTGGGAGGTGCATCCTTGGCTTGGCAGTTGGCGGCGCCAGTTTAGTGACTCCGTTGTATGTCGAGCCTTTATCTGGAGTTTGGGGATAGAGGCGCTAACCAGGCAATTGCTCAGGTATATCTCTGAGCTTGCACCGGCGCCTGCCAGGGGAAGGCTTGTGACGATTCTCTGCCTTTTCATCACCGGCGGCCAGGTTACAGCTTACATTATTGGTTGGTTGTTTTCATCTACCGCTGGAGGTTGGCGTTGGATTGTTGGCGTTGGAATATTGCCGGCGATATTTCAATTCGGCCTTGTCCTCGCACTACCAGAAACTCCAAGATGGTTAATACGCGCTGGTTTTGATGCTAGCGCTATGTGTGTTTTAACGAAGGTCTATAGGGGCCTACCTGACGGTGAGCGGATTGCTAAACAGGTTCTACGTGATATCCAGCAGGAGATAGTGGAAGAGGGTGAAGGGCTCGAGCTTCGCAATGAGCTATCTAGGAATAATATGCAATGGATCCAAAGCATCTCCCAACGTACTCAGGATCTATTTCATATAGGTGCGAATCGAAGAGCGTTGACCATTGCAACAATGTTACAAGGACTACAGCAGCTTTGCGGATTCAACAGTCTTATGTATTTCTCAGCTACTATCTTTTCCAATCTCTCTTTCTCTTCACCAACACTTATATCGCTTTCCGTGGCTATTGCCAACTTCCTCTTCACAATGCTCGCATTCACCTTTATTGATCGAATTGGCCGGCGCCGCATCCTTCTCTATTCTATACCCGTCATGATACTTTCCCTTGTTGTCTGCGCACTAGCATTCGACTCACTGGCACCACCAAAATTTCCCTCTGAATATCAGATAAAAGCTGACACAAGCAATGCCGTTACCGATGATTCATTGCTTCCAATTTTGATTCTTCTTAGTCTCACTGCATATACCGCAGCCTATGCATTTGGACTAGGCAATGTGCCTTGGCAACAATCAGAGTTGTTTCCTCTACATGTGCGTTCACTCGGATCTGCACTTGCTACAGCGACAAACTGGGGATCGAATTTTGTTGTCGGACTTACCTTTCTGCCTATGATGGAGGTTTTAACCCCTGGATTGACTTTTGTAGTTTACGCATTCATATGTACGATTGGCTGGTTTGGTGTGTGGTCAATATATCCTGAATTGAATGGGCTTAGCTTAGAAGAGGTCAAATGGCTCCTTGGAGACGGCTGGGGGGTTGGCAAAAGGCTGGACAAAGACCAACTACTACGTTCAAATGGCATAAGGAGAAGAGAAAGTATTGCAACTTAACAAACGTCCATGTTATTAATATATGGGAGGGCCTCCCCTTCTGGATCTGTCTTCTAGACCTTGAGGTCTTAGCAGTTAAATCAGTACCGATCTTGTCCTGGTTTACATGATCAAAGAGATATATCCAGAGCTCTTAGTCTGTTCCTTTTTGTTTTGCTATCCTTGAAAATAACTGCAGGTCCATCATCCAGTCAGTGATGGTCTTTTGGGTTGACTTTCGTCTCAGCACAAAGACTATGAAGGCGAGATGAGCTTATCAATATATGTCCTATGGGGATAGTCATTTTAAACTGGGTGGTCACCCGGACTTTCTCATTGCTTTCCAAGGGTTATCTGCAACCTTGTTGGTACGATTCATATTACACGAGTTCCTTCCAGTGTCTATCATTCACAACAGAATGCAGAATCTCACATCCAAAGTTAATGGACACATTACTAGCTGAGCTACAACCTTGAGGGAGGCGCATATGAAGTGAATGCATGACTCTCTTGGGGGGGGGAGTAAAAGAGTGACTTCTCTTGACCCAATTTTAGTATATTAAACCCGTTTTTGATTTATTTACCTTTCCTTGCATAAAATCAATTCATAGTTCACATACTTCATGGTCTCTTTATAGTTGATTAAGATCACTGCACAGAGAGAATACTTTCACAGGAGGGTCAAATGCAACAGCAAGGCTCAGGCCTTACAGCCAACTCGAATGGCTACTTATTCAATTCTCTTCTACGACTGCCAACAGAGGTACTTATACTTCAAGTACCTCTCCCCGACGAAGCTGCTAACTAACCCTCAAGTTATTTAGTTGATACAATACATTGCCTACTTGCTGTGGGATGATTATGATATTGCGCGTTTATCATCGTGCTGTTGCTATCTTGCCGCAAGATTTTGCCAGCCCAGTCCTCAATTTGGCGTGAGCGGTTTAGGGATCTGTACGGTGCTCCTTTAGGGCGAACAACATTCGAACTGAAAGCAGAATATCAAACTCTCTCTCATGTTCTTTCACAGCAGATCAGTTTTAAATACGGGCAGAAGGAAGAGCAAAACGTATGGCTGATAGTTATAAGAGATATGCTTTTAGAATCCCTTTCTCTCCCAGATACGGATGGGCAGTTGGTCTCCGAGACATTTGATCGGATTCGGGTGGTTCTCTCCCATTCTGAATTTTTGAAGAGACGAATAAGTGGATATGGATTTGAGCAACGGACCCTGCCTTCAGATTTATTCTGCGCCATTCAGTTGGTAGGTCTGTGTTACTCAACTGGATAGACAAACTAAATGGTAGTGCCCTACTAGTCTGGTCTTGGATCCTGACATTTCCCTCTCCTGTCTCCGAACTGACTATGATATTGCAACGGTCTACTCTTACCAGACCAATATTCATAGACCATTCATTGAACTGGAAAATACGGATTTGAAACAGATCTTGCAAATTTGCAATTTTTGGCTCGAAGTCTTTTAAATCCCAACGAAGCCACAGTCTAGGACTCCTATATAGGACTGCCTGTAACAGGCATGCCTGAAACAGAAGGAAACGTCAAGAAGGAAAGAACAGAGCACGACACTGATAGGCTGGGATATTAATGTAAGTTATATAGACCTTTTCCATTCCATGAATCGATTTTTGAAAGAAGTTAGCTATGCTACCATACAAATAGCGTTCATCCATACTCGGAAACCCACAGCATCCTCGAAATCCGACGTATAGCGCTGATCAGGATACACACTTGATGCAAGTTGAAGCTATGGTGTGTAGCACGAAGTAGTGGAGAAGGTAGAGAGAGCTAATGGAATCAAAATTTAGTCTCTCTAGATCAGGCTAGAGTCTGATCACTTGAACTCGACACCAATCTTCAATACAATCGTCCCCGTTCTCAGTCCATTAGAATCTGAACACACATAGGATTCAGACCATCTAAAGGTCTGTTGACGACTCAACATACCGGGTGCGAGGTTTTATAAAGCCCATTCCAATCTTTCAAGCGGGTTTTCGTGACTGGCACCGTATATGCTTTGCGATGTACGATCCAAACTGTGAACAGATTCCTCTCCAGAGCGATGAAGCTACTTGGTTTTCCCTCAAGACCTGCATCTTCTCGACCTAGAATCCAACTGCTATTGTATCCATGGTTATGAGGGAGGTACCCAGGGAAATGGTGATTGGACAATAAGTTGACGTGATTGAGACGACAGCCAGGGGCCCTTTTATTTTCTCGAGTCTGAATATGCGTTTTCGACTCCCTTCTTTTCTTTTTCTTTTTTAATCTCAAATGCCGCTGGCACTAGGCAGGTTTGATAGATGCGAAACAGAGATTCATTCTAATCCATTATGGCGAACTCATAACGATGAGATGCTGATCTAAAAGATACAGAGGGGCTAGAGGAGTAAGGAGAAACTATTCCTCGATGTCCTTTACCTTTTCCCACTGCCCTTTAAGGTTTTCCTTCCACAGGCTGACCTTATTGTCTCCTCCACCAACAGCAAGGATATTTCCGCTGGGGCTCCAGCTAACCCTCCAAAGGACGCTATCGAACTCAAGTTGCTGGCTGGTCCACTGGCCTGGGTTCGATGCATCGGAAGTCCAGATACGGACCGTTTTGTCTTGCGAGGCAGATGCGATATAGGATTTGGACAGTATGCTCGGCGACCAAGCGACGTCTCGGACCCAGTCGGAGTGACCCTCCAAAGTTTGAGTGAGATTATAGGTTTTTGTTTCCGGGCTATTTGAGTAAAATTAATATCAGTAATTTCTTAGGCGTGAGAAGTGAGAATCGCGATGTGCATACTTATAGTCCCAAATTTTGAGCAGATTATCACTTCCGCCGGTAACAAACCTTCGTTGGTGGCCAGGTCCAGGGTTCGAGCTGATCAGACTACCAGGAGACGCTGCAGGGGCCCAGCTGATGGAATTTACACCCATTCCGTGAGCGTGAAAGATCTGGTGAGTCCAGCTGTTATCGCGGAACTCAAGAACGCTGACATGGCCATCCGAAGAAGCGCAGGCAAGAAGACATCCATTCTCATGCGGAGCCCAGGAGACCATATTCACTGATGCAGTATGGAGAGAGAAATCAAAAACCTTTGTCCAGTAACTGCCAGCAACAGGGGAAGTCGTGCTTTGATGCTGTTCACGCCAGATGAGCACCTTTCCATCGTACGAGGAAGAGGCTAGGATTGTGCCGAATTTGGGGTGCGCCTGCAGAGTCCAGTAGGAGGACCATTAGTTCGCATTCTCATTTCAACGGAATAGAATGAGAGTATCTGAGGAAGATACTGCATACCCATGTGACACACCACACTGCGCCCTCATGTCTGTTTCGCACAAGGTCAGGAGTCGGGAAGCCGGACACACTAAAGACAATGCGAGGCTTACCCTTTCAGAGTTTCAATCAATCTGTGTGTTTCGCCTTCGATTTCAAATATTTTTATTGTTTTATCCGACGAGCATGTCGCCAGTCTGCGGCCATAGTAATCCAGACCGGCATCGTGCTGTGACAGAGGACAAGTCAGCATTCGCGCAGGTCGAGACTACATCCCATAATGGATGAACTAAGCACATACGATCATATCATCATGCCCCGAATTGGAAATAACCTGAGCAGCTGCCTATGCGCCACGTAGAAATGTTAGCATATAGGAGGCAAGACAATACCACCATGTCCTAGAAATCAATTGAAAGGAGAAAAACGCACCATAGTTGCCCAACGCGTTACCGTGCAAGAATCTCACGGTTAGCGCTTTTTAATGATCACGTCACAATGGATGAGTGGGAATGCCAAAGTTCTCTGGTATGTACAGAACAGAATTGGGAAGGGGGGTGTTCAAGGCGGCAGTGGATGAGCGGCAGCGCAGCAGCCAAGTTGTCGTTTTGCAGAGCCGCACCACGATCTTATCTTATCGGCCCAGTCAAGCCCCCTTTCGGCACGTGAGTCTTGCCTCGGTCGGCCTCGGTTGGCTTACCCCAGGTGCCACTCCACACATCTTGCTACTTCCTTCTTGCGCTCTTTCTTCTCCCTACCACAGCGCCCAAGGTATCTTATCCCTCACATATATCTAGCTATTTTGATCGATTACATGACTGGTTGCATTTGATGTGGCTTTGTTGATCATTGACTCGCTTTCCGGCATATTGCATAATAATCTGTTCCTCGATCGGCCTCCAGTCTGGCACTCGTTCTGCCACCATTATGAGCGATTCATTGTGTGGCCCGTCAAATGCTCTTCAAAACCTCCAGAAACATGCGTCTGCTGACCGGACCCTTCAGCAAGATAGACTGGTTTCGCGGCAACCGTCTTCGCAGGTGAGCCAGCCCCTCTCATTTGTGCTGAAGCTTTAGCTGAGACTTTCCCCCCAACTCAGGGCTTCCGCTCTCAGAGTCTCAACCAGGGCATTTTAGATCACGAGTTTGCTGCTTTTGAGTCCAACACAGTGGACACTCCGGTTCCCAATTTGCAACACGCAGCAATACCCTTCTCTGCACGTTCCTCACATCATGCGATACGAAGCTTCGCAGAAAATCAAAATTGGGCGACCGATTTTCAAAGGCTACAGATATCAGGGCCTTCACATACAATCTACCAACATCGAGGACCTTTAGCGGCCTCCGCGTCGGCTGTTCCGCAACAGGGCTGGCAAAATGAGTTTTTGAAACAACAGCAACAACCGGACCCTACCCCGCAGTGGCATCAGCAAGGGTTACATCCAGCTTTTGCCTCGAGCCATTCCTTCCATGCAGCTTCTGTGAATGCTCATCCAATTGCTCAGGAAGCAACCAGCAACCAGCAACCAGCAACACAGGTATTTGATGAGTCTGCTTTTGAAGCTGCTTTTGAACAGGCGAAAGCGGACATGATGTCGCAAGATATCGGGTCTACGCAAGATACAATTGAAGAATCCTCTGACAACACTATCCAGTTGGATACGTCTGCTGTGGCTGAACCTGGAGAGACCATTAGAATTGGATCGGACACTATTCCCCAGACCAATAAAAGCGACACACAAGCACATAATAATAATGCGGACGAGCTCGCCAGAACTGCGGGACACTTGCTGCAGAGTGTCAGTCATGACCAAAGCCAGAAATTTAAAGAAAGCAATTTCCTTGCGTTGATGCGCCGTATACGGGATCGCGAAGTCCATGTCGAGGGAGACGAATTCCGCGAAGTCAGTACCAGTTCGTGATTTTCTGGGATTTCGACTAGCGTGTCCCGAACGCTGGTATAATCAGACTCTTAATACCGGTTTTTGTTTGTGCTAATTAGTATCCAGACTTCGCAGTCTTTACACCCTGGTGGCAGATACTATCCTGAAGGCCAGCAGCCAACACAGCAGGAAATTACTTCAGGACTAGCAGACCAAAGGAGTTACGGCCATGATACACCACCAAGCAGATGTAAGTTCGAGGGTCAGAAGGAGGCTTCCTTCGCCACTCTCTCTACACGGGGCTGAGTCTCAATCTTGGGGATGATCAATCAGAATCCTGACCAATGTGATTTATTATTAGTTAGATCCTGAGCACGAACGCCCATTCATTCCAGCAGAAGTGAAGTCAACTAAAGCCGAGACATTCAACGATGAGCTTCATTATTCGGGTTCGGTGAATGGCCAGGGCTTAGGAGATGGCAACTCCTTACATTCTTCTTGGGCATATGGCGATCGTTGGGCCTAAATGCATTGTATTGCTTGATATCCTGTCTTCGATCGTTTTACGCCTTTCTATTGTCTTCACACACATCTCGCATCCCCCTTCCCTTTCCCTTCTTGAACAATACTGAGGCGCAAGGATTGGACTAAAAGCTTGAGTCACGTTATACTAGAGGAATCATTTTCTTTTCTTAATCACATGGTATAGACACTTTGGATTGACCGAGGGGTGAAAGTACCAGACCGGGACCTGCCATCTCCCCTCCACCAATCAGGGTGACATTAAATCTCCTATTGCCACAATAAGGGGCTCGCAGCATTGTTGCTAGGCAGCACTCCCATCTATTGGTCTGCGAACTATCGTGCTGGAGCCAATATTGCATGCATGTTGTCTGTTTTGTCAGACTATTGGGCTATTGTCGTCTTACGGGTGGTTGGCCTATTGACGTATGATTCCTTACTCTCTTGACTGATGGCTTTGTACTAGCGCAATCTTTAGGCGTCTACCCTGATTACATTTACTTGGTGGGATGTATTCTACTATTCCGTGATGAGACTTGTCATAATTAGGTAGTCATAAATATTAGTTGGGATTCCGGGTCCTTGAAGAGTCTCATAACTCTCCGTCTTGCATGCTCCCGATCTCTTTCCACAACTTACTACACTCCTGTTCCCTCTTTCAGTCTTAGACAACTCCCTCAAAATGCTTCCCCCATCTGTTTCTTTTCTTCATGATTCCTATACATTGACCGAAGTGACGGGAATCGTGGAACAGAGTCCGATGAGAACGACACCCTCATCGCCGTATTTGTCAAGTATTCGGCACATTCCCAACCAGGATGATACAGGGAGCGAGGTCGGCGACGAGGAGGACTAGAAAAGTCGCATGACGATCCACATTGACGCATCCATCGGCATTGTGGGACATGGGAACTCCATCGTGCTGCCCTCCGCTGCCAACGTCACAGATCACCAGGGGTTCAGCGCATCCCCATCGACGTCCACTCTCTCTGCTACTACTACAACACAGATGGCACAAAGTCAGCGCCATTCCAGACTCGCAGATATAGCGGCCGCCATTGGTGTGGCTCTGTACCGTACAAATCGCCCCCCACCTCCGTAGAATCAAAGTTGAAGGGAGCAGAAACATCATCGTGCGGGTCGAACTCTCGGCAGGAAAGATACACCACTTGGTGATACAGACAGGAAGAGACGATCGCACTCAGGATGTATATTTTTATTTCTTTAATTTTTTTTTTTTTGGTTAGGGACTGTGATTTTTGAGCTTTGGTACTGATGTAATAACAAGTATAGGAGCTGGCTGGGGTGCCCGGGTCTAACTTAGGATTTGTTGCTCACTATAACATTAAACCTTCTACCCATTGGAAAAAAAAAAAAAAAAAAAAAAAAAAGAGCTATATGCATGGCACAAGCAGAATTGGACTAGAAATATCTGCAGGGAATGGTTTGGAGAGACAAACATATATACACTGGACTATCATAGCCCCACACCCCACGGTGCATTTCCAGTGTTTTTGAAGTTTAATTTTGATGTAATGTTTCTCTTGATTTATGCGAAAGATATGAAAATAAAATATCTCCGTTGATCTTTCTGGACTACATTAATCGGATACTCATCTTAGTTCCTACCAGACAAAACTGAAGGAAAAATGGGTGGGCGTTTAAAGGGTCAAAAAGACGAAGCTTTCCATCAGTCATTGCAACCAGTATACATAAAGTAGCAAAACATGGCAAATAAGAAACGTAGATCAAAGGAAGGAGAAAGAGGAGGGAAAGAATCCCTATATGGTGTATCTTTCTTCCAATTTTTTTCTTTTTTCTTTTTCTTTTTTTTTTTAAAAAAAAAATTCATAGAAAGTGGCATGAAAAGTGAATAGAATCTGGACTATAAGGATTCATTAAAAGATGTCATGACCGGATTTAAACATAGTACAACTGGGTTCCAAGATTCAGGTGAGACAGACCAAGCATATCTGAACAGGAAGTCATTGAGGACCCTTTCAGTGATAAGAGATGACTCTGGTAGGAATTAGCGAGAAGTTTACCGAGCCTTTGGTAGCCTGTACCAGGTTAAATCCCACCTCTTTCGTCCGAAAGAAGAGATTTGGTGGCGATAGATACAGGGTTTTGGTCATCCATCATCGGCCAATAGGCACGTCGTGTCGGTGTAGATCTCTCGACCATTCTGGGGCAACCTTGTCTCGTTCATACAAAAGACCGCAGTTATGGCACAGGGACTGGAAACAAGGAATTAGCCAACGTCATTCTTCAGCAAAGACTTGCTTTCTTCTCTTACCTTTGTACCGGCTGGGCCATCCCGCATTGCCCAGACGGCGGTACCCCAGACCATGCAGTTGCTGCATCGCCAATTCTGTCGTTCCCTGGAAAGACGGTCAGTCATACAAGCCAAAAATAAAGTACACATTTGGACAAACCAGTCAGGTAGTGTACCACCGCCACCGCCGTAACCCGCTCCTGAGCCGGTGTCGGGAGTGCCTCGCCCACCAGGGGTGCCTCCCCTCGCACCTGGGCTCAGGCTGCGGAAACGCTTTTTTCGTTTGCTTCTTTCGCCTCGACCCAGTGGGGTTTCACTATCAACATCAAAATACCCACTGCCTTGTCGGGAAACCTCCGGAGTAATTCCCGCTGTGGAAGAGAATCGGGCCGTTTCTCGCCTCAAGCGTCGAATCTGACGCTCACGATCGCCTTCTCGCTTTTCGATTTCTTCCTTCGAAAGGGTTTCTACCTTGGGTTCCCATTCATCGCCAAGACCTTCGGGGTCATAACGCCAGCCCGCCTCGGTGCCATTGGCCGCTTGATTATCGATTTCGTTCCCATAGCCTCCTATGCCACTGATGAGCCCGCCACTTTCACAAACCTCCTTCTTCAATTTCAAAACAGCCTCGTAAATGCCGTGTGAGATAGCGCCGACCCATTCTCCACCCAAACCTAAGTCGGCGCAGGTAATTTTGGCAAACTCCTCTGCCATACCAGGAGGGTGTAATAGTGACCATTCGAATTTATCAGTATACAACTTGTTCTGCAAATTGATGTTCAAATGTATCAAGCACCGATATGCATCATCAGGGTTCAGAATACTATCGTTAACGAGAGGTTCTTTGGTAACCGTGACCGCATTAGCTCTGCTATCAGGCGTTGCGATATGAGGAAAGGCCGGGGTCATGGACACCTCTCGTGAGAGGCTATTTTGAGAAGTTGGTGCAGGTTTTGGTTGTGTACTCTGGAACAATGGATGAAGCGCAACCCCGGCAAATTCTTCTAACTGTTGGCGTATCTGGTTGCTGATCGCCATAGTCATGGCTTGTGGATTGGGCAAGTCCATGTCGCGAACAAACCCAATTGCAAACTCCTCTGGAGTCGCTAGAGCCTCGTGGAGGTTCCAAAGGAAGGTATCCTTGATGCGATAGGCAGGCAAGGGGTCGGGACGCCTATACCCAGGTAATGTAGGATTAATTGCTGGATCCACGACAGTCCGTGGCAGGGGAAAAGGTTCCAATGGTTGATGCGCTGGAACTTCCAAATCAATCCGAATAGGTATGAGTGTTAAAGGTAGCTGTGCTTGGATTTGTAATTGGTCCGCGCAACTAAATGATAGAAATTTATGGGTCAGCGCACGTTTGCGACAGAAAATATCAAGACAGACAAAAACAGATATCCAATGTGTATTTTGAGAATAATGAGCAGAGATCACTGGCACATACGCAGGTCGTAACATCCTTTTAATCATCCAATCTCGAAATACACCTTGAACCTCAACGGGAGCATGGATCTCTTTCCCTAACTTCTCCGCGAGAGGAACTTTCTCAAATGTCGATTCTTCTCGTCGGAGACTCCTCAGTCCTGTGGGCCGCCGAGGCCCTTCACTATCCTCGAAATCATCATCATCAAAGCCATCCTCTGCATAATTGATCGCAACGGTCCCTCGTTTTGTCGTTCGTGGTGTAGGGCCGACTTGGCTCGGAGGGATGACAGGAGTGAGGAGTGCATTCCCATACTGGCGCACTCGCGGGGGATAAGATGTAATATAGCCTCTAAGAGGGGACATGTTGACCAATTAAGAAGACAGAAACATGTCCCTTCCAGAGCTAGTCAGGGAGCTTCAATCCGCGAAATCAAAAAGGCCTTCGACTGGATCGGTGAAAGGGTGGATAAAAGAATGCGGAAATTGATTGACTGGGGGAATCCAGCGCCGTTAAGTCCGCTTCGAGGGACAGCGTGACTGACTTGGTAAGTTCAACAGCCTTTTAGATTACTGAGTGATGCCACAGCGCCTCTCACGATGATCGCGCTCAAGCTCCGCCTATTCTGCTGCTTCGCGTTTTCCCAGTAGAACATTTGCGCTAGTCCTATTACAGTTGACTTGCGTCACGTGAGACGACCCTCCCAACCGGGAAATGCCTATATACGCAGATGAAAATAATGATTTCCTACTTCGCTCACAATGGACAAGATGGAGGTCTCTAGCAGAAGCATTGTGCAGTTTTGTAAGTTGTTTATAGTCTGCTATTTCATTTAATGCAAAAGGAAATAATATAAGTCCGCCAACGGACAAGGGCCAGAGAAATAAAATATGATAGGTTAAAGGGCAAAAAGAAAAAAGAAAAATACCAATGGTACAAAGGCCGACCGGCTGCGTATTTATAAACAGAACCACGCTAGCACCCAATAATTGACACGTCGGTCCCCTTTGCCTGCATTTGAAGACTCGAAACTAGTCAATCGGGATATCGTCAACAACGCACAAGACAGGCTGAAAAGAACCACGGAAGAAGAGAAACGCTATAGAAACGATTTATCTGGCATATAGCAAAGGCGAATTGGAAACGCAAGTGCAAGTGAGTGGGGGAAATAAAAAGAAATGAAAATAATATGAAATGGAAAATAAGCCAAAGTGGACGGAGAAACACCATAAGGCAGCCCCTCGGCTACCGAAGTCCAATAACGCTCTGAGAACAGTTAGTCTGACTTCAACTTGTCCGCGCACAAAGTCCATGGGGACTTACCATCTCCAAGGTCCATACCCGACGGATCCAAATCTTGACTGTGCCCTCAATGCCATCCACGTTCTCTAACTCGACACCCTCCCACCAGCATCGCCTGGCTGGCTTTCTCCAAAACAATAAGAGTTTCTGTGCCATTCCTACTGCGTTATTATTGGACAAGTCACCTCTAATGTCGGTACGAAGCTTCGCCAATGCAAGGCTACAAATCACTGCCTTATTTGGCTCAGGGGCACGGTGTCCCCATCGATCATCACGATCAAAACCACTGGGAACGGTTAGCATATGTGAATCAATTAGCTCCAGCATCTTCGGCGTGGTTCATTGGGAAAGGCTATGTTTACCCTGCAGTCAGCATTTCAATCAAATGCTGCTCCGTAGAACCAGCCTCGTCGCTTTTCCTTAAGCCTGAAAATATCCCATCTTGTTTCAATAAAGCTTTCGCTGCTGCACGTTTGACCTCCATCATTTCTGCGTGTTCGATATCAGGGCGTGGCGGTATGGCATAGAAATCGAGATCCTCGCGTAAGACTATGATTCCAGCCCGGTCCTGCAGCATATCTCTTGCCGAACCCTGCATAGAGTCGGAAGACATGTCTAGATCTGGAGACGTCGAAGCGGATGGTGAGGACGAAGGGATAGATTGGGCGACAGAACGAAAGAAGTCCAACATGTATTGGAGAGACGCGGGGTCATACTAGGGAGAAGGAGAATGTCAAAAATGTCCAGGTCATACGACATATACATTGATAGGTAGAACACAAGGGGAACATCTCTCACGTACATCAACAGGATAGATATCTCCCTCATGAAAAGTGCCCATGTGACCATCCGGAAGCAGGCCGTTTGGGAAGAGAGAGAGAAGAACAAATTCTGGCAGCGTCAAGAGCTCATCTCTAGAAAGCGTGAACCGTGTTCCTCTGCAGATTGCATTAGAATAGCTTTATGGAGGAGGAATGGAAGAAAAGGGTTACCGAAGATCAAGAGTGATATGCTCATCTCCCCCAATATCTGTTTTACTCAGTGAAGCAAGTCAATTAGCCAATATCCTTCTACCGATAAGGTCTAACAGCCAATAGACAATCGTACCTCCCAGTGTATTTATGGGGGGCCCTCCCGCCTGCTGTACCTGAGTAATAATACTTGACGCGCCGCCTGCTGCAGCCATAACGTATGTGAATGATTCAATGGGGCTAGAACCTTCAGTATATGGCGGAGGCGGCTCTCCGTCTTCTGCTGCCTTGCCGAGGGGTTCCCCTTTTGGATTTGGGGGAAAAGAAGCTTTTGTTTCGGCCACTAAAGACGATGACGAAGGATCTGGCTCCAAAAGTTCGCCCTCACTTGATGACAGAGCAGGATTTAAGATAGGCACCGACCCGGGCTGGGGAGCTGTAGCGTTAGCGCGATTGGCGTCGGTTACAGGTGTGAAGATTAGGGACGAGAACGGCGGGGGACGTGACGAAGGAAGGCTAGAGGAGGAAGCCTCCGAGGACGGGGGATGCGGCGGTGGAGCGGTATAGAAGTCGTCCTCCTCCACTATGGAGTCCGTCTGATGATGCGGCCGCGCCGTGCGGGGCGAGCCAGGAGAACCTGAATGCCACGACAAGGTGTTGAGGGTAGTCTCGAGCTTGCAGGGAGCGCGTAGAACAGTATGCTCCTGTTGGTGTTCAGGAGAACCTAGCCGTTGGTGTCGTCCAGATGGTCGGAAGGGATCCAGACTCAAGGCGCTCTGTCGTTCAGTAGATTAGCAAGTATCATAGGGGATTATGGGCGAGATGAGCCTACCGTGTCTATCGTGATCAACGCTGTGCCACAACATGTGAGATGCAAGAGGCGGGATCAAAGCAAGCCGTGACTAGGACGATCTTAAAGAGATGGAATAATAACCTATGTCGAAGAAAATAGCCAACCGCAACAACCAGTGAGATCGGGGCGGAGGAGAGGATGGACGGAGGCGCTTAAGAGATGAGCGAACATTGGCAGCGGCAAGCTGGATGAAAAAGCCTCGGCGGAGAGGCTGTTCAAGATATTAGTTATACCATTATCTATGGCTATTGTAGTCAATCTACGACTGCCTCCTTACCCGACTAGCCACTAGTTAGCCTACTATCTTCTCTGTCCTCTAATTTAGTGACACACAAGATATACAAATGTTGGTTGCGATCGTGGATATGGTGATCACATGATCTAAATACTGCCACCCTGGGGAAGGAAACTACAGTACCTACTAATGTTGTTCAGCCATATCAAGCCAGAGAGAAGACCAAAATTTTTAAAGGAGCCACTTTGCGCTAAATTGTTGCCCCCTCTCCTTCTACGTTTTTATTTATATAGTGTGGTGTATATAGAATGCTTTCCACTATGCAGCAATGGTATCTACTATCTACACTAGGTACATAACTAGACTAGAGACATGGCATACCTCTGCTCCCATTAATAAATCATATTGCAAGGAAAATGCTATGACTGCTAACTATGTGCTCGAAATGACTGTTATGTCAACTATACATGACGCTCAGCGAAGCTCTGTATCAAGCCTTCAAGGGTAGGCTCGTATTCCTTCAGTGTCACTTCTTCACCCTCCAATATGGTATTTCCTTGTACAAATACCTTGCGGGGAACCTTATTCTTCAGAACAACATCCCGAACCTTAGTGCCCCACCATTCGTCGACTGAGGTGATATCATCATAGAGCTTTTTGCCCGCTTCTACATCTGCTGTGCTCTTGTAGATATGTAACTTCTGCAAGTACTTCTCCACCGCAGGCCGTCCATGGCTCAGTATCTTGGATCGATCCAGATGAATCTCTAGATCAGACAGGTCGTCCTTGGTGTAAGCAAGTTTGACGAAATCGCCTCCGGCATCGAGGAAAGTTCGCAAGATACTATATCGAGCCTGCATATGAGCTTGCCCCCATTTCTGCGTTTTGGGATCCCAGAACTCCAGCGCAACCAAACCAGCACGTGCCATTTGCAGATATGCCACAAATAGGACATCTCCGGCTTCATTTATAAGGTCTTCCTTTCCATCGCCAAACCCGAAGATCTTCAGAATGTCAAAGTCGCAGGACAGTGCCATAGCAACGCATTCCGCACGGCACTCCTCGTAGGATGAAGCAATAGAACCAAACACAGAGCTCCATGTTTGGCCAGGCTTATACCAAGTGGATACCGGTTGGTTTGTAACTGGACTCACGGGAGGATTTGATACATCAAAGTTATACTCGCCCGGGGCGGTCTCCTGGAGTAGCTTGCCTGTTCCATGCCCAAGAAGCTCATGGATGCCAACCTGGACCTCAAATGCAGGATCGCGGTATTTCCGGTACAGCTCCAGGTCTTTCTCAGTAACGAACGGAACTGGTTCATTAGGAGCCTTAGCCGCAAGTACGTTGCCAAGAGACACATTCTTAAAGCCTAAATTCTGTCGAATATCATCATAGTTTGGTAGATTAATACCAGCCGGGATGCCAGAAGATTGAAAGCTTAAGACTTCAAGCGATGTGAAGTCTGGACTAAGGAACTTGTCCTTTTCGAAGTCTTTGTTCCAAGGGAGCTTGGGGATCATGGTCTCCGCACTGTCCACAAGTTCCCCAAAAGCTCGTGTACGCTCCATATTAACCTAAAGATGTTCTTTAATTAGCAAATGGATTTTTTTTCAGAGGAACCTAGCCCTCATCACTTACCAGTGCAACAAACCCTTCCCATTCACCCCTCACGCCATGAGGGTCCCTATATGTCTCCACAAATCCAATATTTGTCTCCAGAACCGGTTTTTGGTCCTTCACCCATATCCGTTGGCTCTGCTTGAACGCTTCAATCGAGCCCGCACCAAATGATAGAGCATAAGCATCCAGCATCCGCTTCTGACTTTCATTCGCTGCATTGAGTCCGGCAAGCTTGATGCAGTGAGCGATCTTTGCCATCTCTTCTATATGGTCACCGAAAAGAAGACGGAGTTTCTTTCCTTTCAATTGCCCGCTTAGCTCGAAGGAATCAAGGTCACCAAGGTCCCTATCTCGGGAAGGGGGCGAAGAGACTCCCGCAGCAATCAATAGCTCAAAATCACCGGATAAGGTCTTCCTCAGTCTCGTATTCTCTAGTGGCAACCCTTTTTGCTCCATGATATCGCCAATGGCCGTGATCTCGTCTCTGGTTATAGATGGTGAGTCGGGATAGTAAGTAGTCATGTGCTTGCCTTCCGGATAGCCAAGATGCATGAGCGACTGTTCCCCTGTCTCGTAAATACCACCCCCCGTGCTGTTAGCTTTCTTAAAGGCTGCTGCTGTTTCTGGCGTGATCGAGGATAACGACTCAAAAGCTTCTAAAGGCAATCGAGGAATGAACTTCGAATCGCCGAAGCCTTTGTAATTACCGCAGTTCCCAAGGAACTGAGCAGAGTATTCGAGGAAAAACCGGAGGTTTTCATCGCGCACGCCTGTTTTACGGGCAAGGCTAGTCCAGTCCCCGTGGCAGGCCCAGTAGAGGGAAATAATGAGGTCGTAGATTGGTTCTGATTCGGGAGAAACCTGACGTAAGGTGACGCGCGTGCCTTCAAATGCCGCTCTACATGTGAACCAATATCTCTATTGTCAACCACTTATATCAAATCCGAAAACAAAGCATCAGTGAAACAAGAGAGGCGAACCGGCTCATATAGTGTGCGTATTTCCTCAGCTTCACATCCTTCAGGTTATCGAAGTGTGGCTTGACCTCTAGGCAGACTACCGTGGGAGGAGAGTCAGCCAAATAGTTATGTTTAATTTTGTCATCCATAGTGCATTTATGGCGTGTGAGTGAAGGTGTAGTATGCGAGGTTGAGGGTGTGTTGTCTGTTGGGGAGTCGGCTTGTCGGGTGTGACGTAGAGATGAAAGGCGATTGAGGAGTAAGGATTCCGAGGGGCGGTGGGGAGAGACAAAATGACTATGACACGACGGCAGGCGCCTTAGGGTGTTTTGAAGAGCGAGCATCCCTGGAGCTGGGGAGCAGGGATACTATTAGTTCCTCCCTTAGCCACCTCCGCAGTATTCCTCATTCGGGCAGCTAGCTGTCTTGCACACTGAACTGCTTGGCAAGAGTGGGGACTCCATTATTTTTACAAATTACTTATACAAAGTCTTACGTGTGTCTCAAGAAGCGAGAGTGATAGAAGAGATGTAAGATTCTATACGAGATATGGAGAACTTTTGTGCATAGTATTCAAACGTTGCTCAAACCTATAGGGATATAATGCATGATCGTGGACATAAGACTTCAAAGTACGCTTTTGGAACAGATAAAACGTTCACTTGCGTAGAATATAGAGCGAAAGACAAAATGGATTGATCCGCCAAAACGTTTCTTCCCTGCCGATTTCCTGAATATGTTAGATTTTCTCACCACTTACAGCAGGCTCTCGTACTTATCAAGCCCTTGCTTCTGAGATACCTGTGGAATGGGGGTATTGTTCTGTAGAAAAGAATTTGACGTAGTATTCCCAACGAAGGAGGATCTTCCAGGACCTGCACCTGCAAATGACCCCATTGTGGTTTGTGATGACGGTGGCGGTGGGATCGAGAACGCAGAATAGTTCGGGGCTGTGGGCTGTGGGGCGGAGTCGGACATGGAGTTGCCCGTAGTCTTCATGCTGGCGAGTGCTCCTAGGGTTGGACCAGACATGGCCTTTCTCTGAACATGGGTCTGACTATTCGGAGAAAATGACACGCCTACGGAAGCAGATGACGGTTGCAAGACAGGGAACTCTGGTGCCATTGAGGATATCTGTGTGTGAGCCGGCTCCAGGGATGGAAAGGAGTTCAAACTATAATCAGGAGTAATGGACCGGGCATTAAAACCAGGCTGCCTCGATAGAGTATCGGCCCTCCCCACCGAGCCTGTAATATTTGACGACCGCGGCATTCCTTTGGATACTGACTGTTGAGAATGTGGTTGAGTAGCTGGCGTTTCGGAAACCAGGCTACCCCATGGACCCATATTTTGATCAGATGAGCCCGCAAGCCCACGCCCAAGGACAAGGCGCTCAAAATCATCCCTTGTAGAATCTATGTCTGACTGCATAAGGTTCGAGGGCTTTGAAGAGCCGTCGATGCCATTTTGGAATCCGCTCGAGTTTCCTCCTGAGGAAAGCTCTTGAAGTTTCTTTGTCTGTTCACGTTCGATTTTCGATGAGATATTTTTAATCAGCGCCAAGAATTCTCCAAATTGATGTAGGTCAAGAAGGGGGCCAAGACTGAAGCTCCATAAAATCGGGAGAATTTCCATAGCAAGGAAATCAGTGTCAGCAACTGTGCCAACCTGCCGAAACACGCCCAAAGCTGCCATCATAACAGCTGGCTCCTTCGTCTTAATCGCCTTCAGTGATGGGACGAGCTTTTCCTGTATCGTGTATTTATCGAGGATGGACGATTTTGATTGCAATCGGCTTTTCTGAGCCATACCAGACAGGTCATCTTCTGGCTGTCCCTCACCAACAGAACCTCCGCAAAGTACAGTGAAGGCTTCCAAACAGCGAACTTTTATGGCAAGGCTATTTGTTCGACTGAATGTAGCAGCGATCGGTGGAAATACCTCATTCTTGACAGTACTGAAGTCAAGAGCAGGCAGGATAACCGGAAGGCATTTTATTGCACCGTCCGCTAATGAATGAGTGGGTGAGTCCAACCCTAGCCGTATTAAAGGCAGAATATCTAGTGAGGCTATGGTTAATATGTGGAAGAGACGTTGTCAATGGAAGCTAAAACCAACCTTCTTTGAAATCCTTGCCGGAGCAATTTTCTGCCAGAATGTTCATATTATCAAGGACGACAATAAGACCGGCATCTCGATTCGAGTCACGACCCTGCTGAGTCCCTTTGCCTGTCGGAAACACCTCTTTGAATCGAGGTATTATCTTCTCTGGAATTATACGACGTGCATTGGGGATACGCTGCAAAATAGCGAATATATTCTGTAAAATGAGAGACAAAAGCTCGCGGTCTTTCGTCTCATCTAGCAGCGCGCCAAGCATTTTCCTCTCCAAGACGGACACAGGAAACTCGGGGAGTACACGTTGAAGTCCACGCATAAATTGCGATTTTTCGCCGAGGTTCTTGGCTGGCAGCGATTCCAAGAAACGAATTGTTGATACCAGAATGTTATCAAAGTACTTAGACTGCTGAAACTCTCGCACATTTAAACGCTGGGCCGGCCGTCTAGTTATCAACCTAGGCAAAACATGCGTAAAAAGGTCTTTTGGAATGGGGCTTGAGCTAAGGAAATTATTGCCTTGCGACGGGGTTGTAGAGGGTGAGCTGAGTAATTTTTTATATGTAGCCGAGTTGGAATGTGTCTGCAGCGGAGACATATGGGGCGAGTTATAGAGGGCTATTATTACAAGCCCAAGAGAGAACAAGTCCGCGGCGGATGTCACATTCGAATCCAGCACGAAGTCTGGTGATGTATAGTCAAGATTTAGCTGTACTGAAGCAGGAAGTCTCGGGTCTTGGTAAAGCACTTCAGATAATGCGAGAGGCGGGAGTGACGAATGAGTTTCTGAAGAGTCGGGAGGACCAGCGAACCCAAGACCAGAAATTTTCCAGTCCGATTTGGCATTGATATAGATGGCTTCGGGATTCAGGTTCCCATGAACAAGGCTGGCAGACTCATGAAGGAATTCAAGACCCTTCGCTACCTGTAAAAGCCCCTTCTGAATCTCAAGCTCATCAATCTCAAGATCTCTCCGTCTTCGTGTTCCATCGGTCTCTTCCACCATATAGCAGGTAGACCTCGAACTAACACGCGACGTACCCTCACTAACATCTTTCTCCTGCAAAAGCCCTGCAAGAGACGCAGTAATTTGTTCGGTTGCGAACATGAGTCCCCCATTGCGAGTCTCTTCTACAGGCTCAAGAACTTGAAGAATAGATGGATGTCTAAGTCGAGCCAGGTTGCCAGCCTCCCGTTTCAGACGTTCAACAACATCCTCTTGCAACTTCTTAATAGAGGAACTGGAGCGACCGCTAAGGCCATTGGATCGCGGGTCAAGGATTTTTTTATCAAATATAAAGATGGAGGCCGTAGTTCCGGTAGACTTTTTCTTTCCATCATGAATTCTCCAGGGACCAGAAACCACAGTGGGATGCGGAGAGATCTGGTAGTTCGCTGATATGTTTGAACTTAGGGATTTAAGTGCAGATGAGAACATTTTCTTCGCTTTGGCTGACTGATACCATATAACAACTATTAAGATCGTAAAGAATAGTCCCCGCAAAAACGATTGAGTTAGTAACCCATCTTATCCTGTGCGATAAACTGAATGATTCGGTAGTATGCCTCGGCAAGACGCAGCCAAAACAGAGGTATCATAGAGCAAGGCGGGACAGATAGGGAAGAGAGAAATACATGGAGAGAAAATATGGGAAGGGCAGTCAAGAATGGATGAAAGAGCCACAGGGCAAGAAATAAACCGGAAGTGGGACACTTCCAACAGGGCCAACTCTACACGGTATGCCTAATTTTGAACTCGAGGCCATCCACCACATCATGCATTGGATGGGCATCACGTGAAAGGGGATACTCTCGGCGAATCAGAATGAATGACGTCTATATGTCACGTGGACTGACTCACAGCTGCTATTTCAGTCGCTCTAATCCCAAAGAGGTAATTTGGCCTTTTACTCCGACGTCGGACATCCGCCGAGAGGTCGAAACACAGGAGGAGCAATTTCGTCCATTTTTCTGGCGGAAATAACCTGTTTACATTACTAGTTAATAATGCGACTGCCCGCTGGTCCTTGCGTACAACAAATTGTCTTCTGTGGGGCATTGTAGCCGACCGTATTGTTATAATTGGCTTGCTATCTACATCGGTTGTCGTCGGCGCTGCCGGAGTTGTGTCTGGGTTCGTGAAAAAACAGTCACTGAACCCCATACTCAGCTTTTAAGCTCCACTGCCCGCTTGTTCATCGAGTATCCTTTTGACTTACCCAACCTTCGAATTGAGCTAAATCTCTTTTCTCTTCTCCTCTCTTTTCTCTCTGCTTCTTTTTTCTTTGACTGTTTCATCAGTGTGCCGTAGGCGCCACATTCTCGATCACGGCCATGAAGTCCCTTCATCATTTGACTCGCCGCAAGGCACTGCACCATTTTGCTACCCCCCGCGCAACCTGGGTTCAGTCTCCAGCGACGATAAATCAGATATGGCGGAGGAATTTCAGTGTCACACCAGCCACTACTTCGCAATTGGCTGGACTTGACCCTCGTAAACTCACAGTTACGAAAACAACCACACCGAAGGAATTGGTACCTTCTAAGGACCTTGTTTTTGGGAAAACTTTCACCGGTATGTGGATTCTGCAAAGTAATCCTAACGCATTGTTAGCTATTAATGCAAATCACGTTCTAGATCATATGCTTTCTATTGAGTGGTCCGCTTCCAATGGTTGGCACGCTCCTCGTATAGTTCCCTACCAAAACCTGAGCTTGGATCCCTCGGCCTGCGTGTTCCACTATGCGTTCGAGTGTTTCGAGGGTATGAAGGCCTACAAGGATAATAAAGGTCAGATTCGATTGTTCCGCCCCGATAAAAACATGGAGCGCTTAAACAAGTCTTCATCGCGAATTGCCTTGCCTACTGTTGATGGCGAAGCATTGACAAAATTGATCGGCGAGCTTGTGAGCTTGGACCACAGATTCATCCCTGAGTAAGTGTGTGTTCTCTGCATATACCTCGCTCACAGCTGACGATCTCTCGCCAACAGCATCCGAGGATACTCGCTATACCTACGCCCTACGATGATTGGTACCCAGAAGACTCTCGGCGTGGGACCACCGGGTTCTGCTCTTTTGTTTGTTATTGCAAGCCCTGTTGGTCCCTACTATCCTACTGGGTTCAAAGCAATCTCCTTGGAGGCTACTGATTATGCTGTCCGCGCTTGGCCCGGTGGTGTCGGAGACAAAAAGCTGGGTGCGAACTACGCACCTTGTGTTCTGCCTCAGCTGAATGCGGCCTCCCGAGGATTCCAACAGAACCTGTGGCTCTTCGGAGAGGAAGAATATGTGACGGAGGTTGGTACAATGAACCTCTTCATTGCGTTGAAGAATAAAGAGACAGGTCAGAAGGAATTGGTTACCGCGCCTTTGGATGGAACAATCCTTGAGGGCGTAACCCGGGACTCTGTTTTGTCGCTTGCTCGTGAAAGATTAGGATCGAGTGGCTGGACGATATCCGAGCGCAAGATTAAAATGGCAGAAGTTGCTGAAGCAGCCGAGGAGGGGAGGCTCCTTGAAGTCTTTGGCTCTGGTACTGCAGCTATCGTGAGCCCCGTTCGATCTATCAGCTACCGAGGCCAGTCAGTGAACTGTGGCTTGAAGGAGAACGAAGAAGCCGGCGAAATTGCTCTCCAAATGAAAAATTGGATCGAGGGAATTCAGTATGGTGATGAAGATCATCACTGGAGGTATGTTCTACCGTTGAATATTTGCCATTGAGGCTTCATGCTGACCGTCTTTAGTTATGTTCTGTAGATGATAGACTTGAACTGTAAAATGTCTGGAATATTGGGGAGTGTGATCCTGTTTTGTGTCCTGCATTTAGATGAAATATTGTTATATTCTGGGACTTTATGATTTTTTTTCTTCTTTGTTTACCAACTTATACGATATCTCATGAGCACTGCTATTTTAGAGCGAGAAATCATAGTCCATTCAGTCCTGCTCAGGCAACTTAATTTGACTTCCCTGAAATGCTCGGGGCCCAGAGAAAACAGCACAACGGTGATTATGCTTGAATGGACCTAACTCATCCAAAATGAGAATTAGTACCATCTAATGAAGGTGATCGTGGTGGTTCCGGCAAATAGCAAGTGCTATATCGCCAGAGTTTCGATGAATCAAAATCAGTGTTTGTCACGGTAGGAGCAGCCAGAAGGTTAGCTGCTTGTTGTACCATTGGTTTTCTGATCTCTTTCCGGCAAATGCCTTGATTAATAGGTCATCTGGTCTGAGTAACAAGGCCAATGACATATTGCCCATAGAGAACTGGATGTCACAGGCACCATTGAACCGTCTGGATTGGACTAGGGGGATGCACTACAGTGTTGCACTTGTACTCTATTGACATGATCTCTGTTAAATGTATATTTGTAGAGTATCGTCTACAGGTCTATAGATTTTGGCTGTTACCAAGTTTCAAGACATCAATCAGGCAGGCTGCCAAAGCAAACTAAAGCAACAACACAAAAGCCATGCTCATTTCCACCATTGCGCACCAACATAGTGGTTTTAGTAAGTGTAGAAATTCAGCCATCTCCCTTTATACTGCTAGCCGCCTGAAACACAATACTTCACACCCACAGCCTCGTCGACATTGGGGGCCACATCAGTTGCATTCGTTGTGAAGCGACCCTTGGTAACGATGTAGCCTGGCTTAAGAATCAATTCGCTTGTCTTCCTCCTTCTAGCTACGGCGAAGAAAAATTATACCTATTGACTGTTGGCCAAGCAAAGCCACGGCAGCGTGACGAGTACAGGTATCAGCACTCAAAATGTCTTTGATCCTGAGCCAATGACTCCCTCCACTCTTTTACCTAACGAAGTATGGGATAAATGACAATTAGTGCTTGTGTCCTCAGCCCCCACTTCGGACCCATCTAATCAAGCACAAACAGATATCTCTGCCAAGTACTGTCTCAAAGCGAGCAAGTACTAGCGATCCACAATCTGTCGGGAGGATTCCTACCGTCAGTTCACGAGACCACGGAAAATTGGTAATTTTTAGAACCCACGCACATGCACATTTGTCAGTCAAGTCAATTCACTAAACCCCCGGGGCCGGGACGGGATCGATCGATCATAGCAATGGCGAATATACGTGGAGCTGTGGGTACTCAACAGGGTGGGTACATCATCATGACTAGGAGTGTTGATCCCCGCAGGATTACCAAGGCTGTGTATGTGCTCAGTGGGCCCCAAATACGATGGAACCTATCCAAACAATGCGGAGTACCTACACACGCTTGACTCACCTACCAGTTGATGTGTCTTTGTGGTAGAGAGGGGCTGGCGAGCCGCAATGCAATGTTACAATCGGCAATATGTAACTAGTACATATTTTCATCATCTTTGCCAATCATCTCGGTGATTTTGCCCGGGAAAGCATGACGGAAGCTTGGCTGAAGTGATGCCATAGACTAACGAGGAGGTAATTTGTCGCTTCCTTCCGCTACCTTTCAATGATTGCATAATGCATATACTGCTCCGAGCTCCGAGCTTCGGAAGGCTTGGGAAACGAATTCCTAATGAGCACGGAGATCGGATTTAAGTCACCGATACCCGAGTACTAAAACCGCCTCCCCACTTATTGGATTTAATTGGTTTCTGTCAACCCTTAATAACATAGTATCCTAGCTGCCTGTTGGACTAACAACATGTGTCATTATGGGAAACCGTGTTTATTATTAATTATTAAATTGCCATTCTTATTCTCATTGCTGTTTTACAGCACTGGCGTACAGCCATGTATCAATAATTTACTAGTTTATTGTTCGGCCCTCCAAGCAAGCCAGCAGGAAGTCATAGCCTAGCAAATTTAAAAAAAAAAAAAAAAGGAGGTATCTTACCGAGCATTCAGGTTAAGTACTAAGCCACCGTTTTTACCTCTAGGCCACAATAATTCACCCAAATCTCTGTTATTCGTACTTAGTCCTTCCTACTTTAGCCATATAACATCGTAAAATATATCAAGATACAGCCAAAGCCTGGCCCTCCGAAATCCGGATAAGCCGGATACACGAAATTGGGGTCTCTTAGTTAAGAGTCGTTCTGAAGGGTCGATGTGGGAAAATAAGTAAGATGTTTATCTGCCATAAGGTAATCATCCACAGGTACTCCGCAGTGATGGGTCCTCCAACATACTAGAATATTTCAGCAGGAAGTTGCCAAACTCCCAACTATTTTCTAAGAAACAACACATCAGAGTATTCAGTATTACTGCTCTGGTAGGCCTAGCTACAAGCAAGCCAAACTATTTCTGTCAGCCAGCGAGTCCAACCACGGTGCACATCCCGTATACGTCATGTCTCTGCGGCTGAAATTCGTATTCTAGAGATATTTATGGCCAACTCGTAGAATTTTACGAGTGCCGGTGCCTAAGGTATGCTGTCACCGCAATTGGTACTGTAACCCGGGACGGATGGAAGAGCCCCCAACGATACCACTAATGTAGCCACGGCAAGGAATCTACAGTAGCAAATCCATTTACCGATTGAGTAAATCCTTAAAGCGTGTCAAGTAAAAAATGTTAGTTGTACAGACTCTGCTTTTTCTGAAACCAGAATTCTCCGGTCGCTGAATATGGTAATGTCATGCATTCTCCGTCAGACCTACTGCAACACCGGAGCACAGAGCATTAGAGATATTATTAATAGCATTTAAATAAAATCTATGAGGGGGTAGGGGCTAAAATGCTTCCAGATGTTTGCTAGAACGTTCAACTGCTCCAGTAAGCCTCATCGAGTACTCACTATCCTGGCAAATGCAATCTGTCCAGGCAAATCAGCGGGGATTAAACTGGAGAGTTGACGGGCAACGTCAAACATTTCAATTGTTACAGGACGATGATGGGATATACCGAGTAGGTAGGCGCATAGTATTTTCGGACGATGGGGCCTAAAGTGAAAAAGCTGCGGAAGGCTCATACGAGATAGGGTTACATGAGGTAGCGAACTGAAGGAGCTGGGGTTGATTCTGGATGAATGGAAGCGAGCTCAGTCCAAGGAAAACACAGCCAGGATCAACAAGACATTGACGGATTAGGACATATTATTGGTGTTATACTCAAGCTGACCAGACTTAAGAAGAGTACTGAAAGTCCTGAAAGAGCGCCCAGGGTGGTACTCTAATAATTAATCATTTGACCAACGAGCCCACGCAATTTCAGCCCTACACAGGGTGAGGGTCCGGAATGCCTGCCTAGGTATTTCCCCTCTTGGTTAGTAGCTACATACTCCGTACGGAATACGCCCGCTGTCTAGATCCACTATTACAGAATGGGTAAATGTGGGTATTTGAGCCTCATAGCGCTAACAAAGTACCCGGTTCCGCAGTGGAAACTGAGTCGACTCCATCACCTATACTCACCCACACCGAATTCTTGAAACTTATTTCCCGTCCACTTATTCTTACTGCAAGGGGTGGCTTCTGAGATGATAAGTAGCATACCTTGCCTATAGCAGGTTGGTCAATAGGAGTTCTAAATACAGCTACTGGGCCTAGGTGCGTCACCCTGATTTGGCAAGTGTCTCGCTGCCTCTGACTGGTTTGAAGTCATAGCACAACATGTCAACTTCATAGCTAGGGTGCCTAGAGCAGGCCTGTAGGTATTTTGACAAAGCATTCCATAACCAACAACGATTTCTTCAAGGGTATATACCTTGAGACGGTATTTTTTTAAAAAAAAAAAAAAATAAAAACTAAAAATACAGTAAACGTCCAGATGGCAAGGCTCGGCTGTCAAACAAGTTCGTCAGATGACCAGGCGATGATCGCCTCGGCCGCCACGCTCTTTACTCAACGTTTAGCTTCCGAATATACAGTGGAGACATTAACTAAAGATTAAGATAGCCGTCATTTTCAGGACATGTCTGATCCAAAAAAAAAAAAATTACGAGAGAATGATTCTCGAATTATAGACTATCTACTTCAGCAGAACTACCCTCCCGTACATTTGGAGACAGGTGAGATCTTTATCCTTAGTGTGTTGCCAAGATTAAGGGGTGCAACGTGGCAGAAGTCGAGACCGTGCACCTGCCACCCGTAAGTTTCCAGCCGCACCTTCATGGATTTGCCCCTTTGGATCCCGTCTGCAGATGAAGAATGCAGGAGGTCAGTTGGTATCTATTTCCTTAATTGGGTATCTGCTATATAGTGATGTGATTGGATATAGCAGAATTTATCCTAGAGGCCATGCAAAGTTTGGCCATCCTCAGTGTCTCTCATGTAAGGTAGGTGACACTAACCCTGAGGTACTCGTCATCCGGAAACGAAACTTGGTTAGACGGAGGCGGAGCTCAGTCTGCTTGACTGCCTTGTGTTAAACATTCCCGCTGGGGTCCATTTACTGTTATAACAGAGGGTAATGTTGGTTCCAATTTCCAACCTACTCAATAATTCCTGCCCCGCTACTTAGAGGAGTAGTTTCGTGGAAGCCGCTAGACAAGATGAAACCAAAAGATATAGGAAGATGAGTAATTTTCAATGGTAGCAATCATTTACTTTGGTATTCTCTTAAAACAAAAGAAAAGACTTACTGCCCGGTAGACAGCTGTCAAAGAGCCTCTAGTCAACCGTACCTCATCGCATTCAAGGTAGTTTGATATCCGACCTTCTGGCATAAAATCCTCGTGGTGTGTGATGATGTTCGTCATGGCGAGACAGATTCGCAAAACCAAACAAACCCATACAGAATGCTTATGCAGATCGGCGGATGACCAGCATACCCGAGAAAAAAAAAATCAGGAAAAATTAAGTGTAACATATTCAGAAACGGGGGATAGTTACCTTGGAATAGGTGATAGTGATGAGGATTCTACTATGGGGGTATTCACCAACTGTGTAACTGTGCCTTGGATTAATACCGTTGATACTGTCTTGATACCAACAACCTCGGGGCCACCATACCTTCGAAAGGAAATTCCGCCCCCTCCCTGCAGTAACATCCTGTCAAGCCACGCGCCCACCTTTCCTGTTTCATGTGGGAGGACGATTATTGGTTCCCTCGTTTGACCCCTTCTGAATTTACCCATTGCATTTCCAGACTAGGTAAATACTACTTACCCTGCACATCTATGCTGGTCTAGTAGTCCAGTGTTTCCCCCACGCAATATGCGAGGTCAATAATCCCTGCCAGCAAGGAGCCTAAAATGTGCGATAGTGCCTTCCTTTTTCTTTTTCTTTATTCTTTTCTCCCTTTTCCTTATCGACGTTTGTTGGTTTGGGGGGTAATGGTCCAGGAACACTAGACCGATTTGGAAAATGCCCAGTGCATCGTACTTGTTTCAACTTTTAACTGCCTTTCTGCGAGCTGAGGAATTCAGCCCACCCTGAACATGTTTTACTCTGTACAACACTGGGATTTTATTCTCTGTTGAGACTCATAGGGAATGACCAGAACTGACCAAAAACAAAAAAAAAATAGAAAATAAAAAAAATAAAAGAGAGAGAAAGAATACCACCATAAGGAGTGCCGATTCAAATATCATGGCACTTGAAAAATAAATTGACCGGGGTAGTAGAACATTTGAGACAGCAGTCGAAGAGAAAATAATAATGCACCCAACCCCGACCTCGATGGACAGTAATACTACCTCTTGTGGGAACCACATGGCAAGGTCGAGATTGGTTGCTTAACCCTGCGCTGTTGGCTCAGCACTGCCTGGTTTTTGCCTGCCTAGCTGTCTCTCTCTCTCTTTTTTTTTTTTTTTTTTTTTCCCTTTCGGTCATCTTCGGTCATCGGGGACCGCTTCAACAGCCTCACGTCCTAGGATTCCTTCAGCCCACCCGAGCATTAGTGACGCAGCCCTGCGCATCCATTCGGGAAAAGTTCCCTACCAACACATGGTTTAGCCATGCACATGCTGCGAGGCCCTAGGCATCCCACCTGCTACCAAAACCCACACCCCCTCCAAGGAAAAAAAAGTTAATAATACTAATGATGATTTAAAAAAAAAAAAAAAAAAACAAGAGCCATTAAATTCCACGGAACACGGAAATGGACTGTTATCACAACGGTTCAATTGTCCGTCCCTTCGGAGACGTGGCTTAGCAAGCACAAGCTACACTCTCTCCAGCTGATCGGCCGTGGCCCCATTAGGTTTTAAATACTGACTGTTTCCTGGCCTTCGTTTTAGCTTTCCTTCTACGGAACGTGCTGATCATATTGACGGGTACCTAACCTACCTTGATCTGTATCTATATAGTCAATCTTGTTCCTCCCTCATCTTCCACTCTGTCCAGACCTATACTTCAGCTGAACCTACTTTGTCTTTATCTGTAGTCACTATCATCCATCTACTCCATCTCTGCTTATTACTTTTTCAGAGCTTCTGCTCAAGACTTCCTGATAGTCTCGATTTATCGGCGTCGCTTTTTCTATATATAGCACACTTCCAATATGAATCGCTCCACCGCTTATTCGTATCACCAGTCTTCTGGCTCAAGAAGCTCGTCAAGCCATGGCACCAGCAGCGCCTTCAGTCCGAATGCCAACCCCAATGAAGATTGGACCAAGATCTCAGATCTTGCCGAACGACGACGCATCCAGAACCGAATCGCACAGCGAAACTATCGTAAGTGAAACCATAGTGGCCTAAACAGCCCAGCCTGAGACTAACCATCGCGTGATCAATAGGGAAAAAGCTGAAGCGCCGCTTGGAGGATTTGGAGAAGCGCGCTGCCACTGCCTCAGTATCCCCAGAACGGTCTCTTGAGAAACCAGAAGCACCAAAGTTGGTGCAGTCGACGAAACCCCGTAGCAAAAGCCAACGTACCTCCAAGTCTTCGACCTTGAATGCACACAGTCGCAACGCCGCCGAGCGAGCCGCCACTTATGATAGCTACTCTACCCAAGAAGAGCGTGGGACAATGTTCTCTCATCAATGCACGCGGCAGCTCTCCGCATCACCGCCACCGGTGTTCTCCTATCCTTCTTATCCTCACCTGGATCCCTACGGACAATCGACGTACGGGCAATCGCCCCCGTACCATTCCCTTTCGGGTGTCTATCATGATGCGCCTATCCAGGGAGAATACGGACCACCGATACCATCGATTATCCCAGTTACAATGACCACGACAGGACCAACCAAGAGACACCCGGCCTATGCAGATGAAGATATCATAAGCCCATTCAACATGAGCTATGCATCTATGGCTGGGATTGACTTGTGCCCGACCCCTCACCACCTCGCAGAGTCTAATATCCCGGTACATACCCTTTCCCGTTCATTGAATCGATCTGTTCGGAGCCTCCAAGCCAACAAGCGCTAATACCATGCCTTCAGATGCCACCGCTGTCACATGTATACAGCGATGATCGCTCCTCGCCATCCACGCCGGCAGAGCCATCGATCATGGCATGTCCTCTTACTCCGGAGTCTGATACATGCTCCCCTCACTCGTTTCCTTCATTGCTGTAATAGCTTCGGAGTGTTTCTGGATCAGTATTTTTTTGCATTTGCTTTTCTGTTTTCTAACGACTGGTATGATGTTTTGGTTACGGGCTTGGAACGGGATAAATGCTCTTCGTATTTTTTTGACCTTTTTTTCTTATGTACAATTCCCGCTCTTGACATATTTTTATTGCTTGTATTTCCAATCAGCGAAGGAGGCGGAACACGGCTAGCTGGGGTTATGAACGGGTGGATTTTTGAGACCGATAGAGGCACTCCTACGGGCGTTCTGACAGAGTTGGGCCGGCGGCGTACACTTTACGGAGATTCAGAATGCATCAATGACATGGCTACTCTTCTCATTTCCCTTCCTCCACTCCATCCATACCTGGTCCTACTTAGCGAGTCCGCATTCTCTGGTTCTCCAGCGGTGATTGTTTGTTAGTTGGCCCCCAAATACCTGGTGGGACCGCGGGAGCCTGATGGACCGGCGCTAGACAGGGATTCTGCAATTATCTAGGGATCGGGGATCGTTTATTTCTGGGCGGCGGGAGGGAATGTGACAACCTCATGGAGTGCACTGTGGTACTACTACCTACGGAGTACTAACTCGTATCGCGGAACGGATAGATAGGCAGTGACCGACTCCGCCGGGGTGGACTACTGGCGAAATATGGAGGCCTTGTGCGTATTCACTATTCACGGGTCTAATCAATTATTAATTAACCTTATGGAAAATGGACCCCAAACACCCTGGCTGTCTCCTCAAAGGATTCATACCTGGACAACGTATACGTTTCGCCCATGACTGACTGGATGTTCCTCGGAGTGACTTGCCGGGGTTCGAGGATGAAGAGCGGATTGAACCGGATTCGATAAATAATGAGACCAAAAGGTTGAGTCCTCTGCAGTAAGAACGAAGTACAGAGTAGTCACTCACTATTCTTCGCCTGGGCCAGACTCCTCCATGAAAGATCGTGATTTGTAGATTTCCTCATCTGTCTGTATTTTCTTTTTTTCCTTTTTTGACCGTTTTATTGATTTATACTTCCTTACTTGTTGAAAGGGAAAAGAAAAGAAAGAATAGAAAAATACCGCCAACAATGATGATCATGGGGAAAAATGGCCATCTGCATCAATTCAGTGGGGCTCTGCGTGCACTGGAGAAGAAGAGAGCCGACTGCTGCGCCTCCACCGCGCTGGCATGGCGTGGTACAGACGATGATCATTTGATGCAGACGATGCAATATTGCAGGCCCTGGCCCGGGAGCTGTTTTGGGCCAGCAACTATCGGCCCTGTGCTACCCGAAAGAGGGAGGTTCATTTGCTCCAAGAGTGTTAGTTCCGTACTTTGTTTCTCCTCTAACTATCTATTGATATTTGAGTCATCCAGAGTCGATCGACCAGATCTAGCCTACTAGCGCAGATTCCCAGCCAGACTGTCGGCCTTTTTGTTCCCGGACACCATCGTAGTGGGCGTGTTGCCACGAGGTACATGGACTGGGTACACATTCCTTTGTCTGCTTTGTTTGTGTCGATGTTCGTCCATGGGATCCCCTCAAGGACATACTGCTGCTACTACTACTACTACTACAACAACAACAACAACATACAGACTGGGGCCTTACCGGGAGCCAACGTTGGTCGCTTTCCCTAGAGCGGCTATACCTTCCCGAGCCAGATTAACAAACGATCCAATGACGGTCGTTATCCGGGAAACTGAATGCTGACAGTCGGCACGGTGTAGTATATAGTTGGTGGTCCAACATTCCATCCCCATCCTAGCGGCGTGCCGCTGGCTGGCACTAGCTGGGCGCCTAATCCCCAGGCCATGTGGCGACTGGTGATCTCTTTTGTTCAGTGTTGGTGAAGTCCACCAACACCTAGGTTAATTATCTTGTTTTGTGAACGGGAAGAGTGAATACATAGAGGAACAAACTCAGATTGTGATATGCCTTGTTAACAGCCACTGGGCTGGAGCTCGTATCCAGGTGTTGATTTCTTTGCAGTAGTCTTGCATTCGAATGCTGAGCCTGGATTCGTCACGCAAGGTCACACATGCGCGGCTCAAGCAGTCCAATAAACCATTCTTCTTGATGCCGGTGAAATCCGAGAGACACAGGTCTTAAAGGGCTGCAATTTGTGGCTTTACTTGGTGCATGATTATGGTTTACGAAGGATATGAATCAATGCAAAGTATTGCCGTGGAGGGGGAGGGAGATGTTGCAATAATACCTAATGATGGATACGAAGGAATCCCTGCAAGGATGTTGATCTGGAGGCTACTACGGAGTATACGGAGTACTAATCAGTCTTTCATCTTTCATTCAAATCACTAATGATTAGAAATAGAAATTGGCCTATTGAATTATTCCTAGACTGCTTTTCATTTCTCCCCCTCCTTTTTGCCCCTCCTTTTTGCCCCTCCTTTTTATTCCTTTCTGGCTCTTGACTCTGTCTCATTAATTCAAAATATTTAATTAATATCTATTAGAATTCCAAATCATCTTCATCCTCGTCGCCGTCATAAGATGCAGGGATTCTGAAGATTACGATTACGGGAGGCTGAACGATCATTCATTTACCACGTGCGAATGTCATTAGTGGGGATGCTGCCAGATGCTGTCTATCTTTTCCTTGATTAGTCTCGTTAGATGTTAGTTCTTCTGGGCTGTCCTTCCTGGTCTGTTTCAGAAAGCGAGATGGCATCATCGCATTCATCTCGGCTGTTCTAACCAATAATCAATATTTATTCATTTTTTTTTTTTTTTCACAAAAAATATTAAACAAATAAATAAAATAGAATAAATGAATGGATAAATGAATAAAATGTATATCCATGAGTAATATTTATGCATATACCAATCCAAGAGGTGATAGATGTTTCCATTTTACTCTTGAAGCAAAAAAGGTAAATGTATCCAGTTCATGAAGAGGACCTGGGAAAGAAAATATGTATATATTAGATATCTGGATGGATGGATGGATGAAAATAGCCACTCTAGTCTATTCACCCTACCTATCGAGGGAAATGAATGCCAGTTTCTGCATCTCATGATTATTCTAGTGTATGGGTATCCAAGTTCGATCACTATTTACCACTTAGTCTAAACAAGTAGATATTGCTTCCAGTTAGGCTTATCGGAGAACACCGATGGGTTCTTTCTGGCCTTCGTCGCTTATCAAAAGAGACGATATCTACTGGGTTCCCGTTGTCGCCTACTGACAGCCATGTCATTTACTAGTGGTCACAACAATCATTCAGTTCCATGAGTTCTTCTGTACTGTACTCAGCTTGATCTGTACGCCAGGAAGAAGATATGTTCGACTCAACGACGCCTTAATGCAGTAAAAAAAATATGTAAATGTACTTAAGGAAATAAGAGGAGAAAAGGACTTGCGTAACGGATGATATAACTAGGCACTGGACGAGGGAGGAGGCCAAGGTAAAAGAAAAGGAAGTCCATAAAAAAATAGAACCTGGGGCAGAACGGGAGAGAAGACAAAGAGGAATGAACTCATAAAAACCGTACAATTGTTTCTCATCTCCATTACGCTGTTCCCTCTATAATTCTCTCTTCATTGGGAACGAGAACAAAAGTATTAAAAAAAGACAAAAGGAAAAAGTTCATCACCTCATTTACACAGCATCTGCTCCGTTAATATTCATCTGGTTGTTAAACCGCCGTCTTCGCATCGGCGCCTTTTTCCTTTTGGCAATCGCCGAGTTCTGTGCACCACCAGAAGCGACCCCCATCTCGGTATCTCCATCGTTGTCTGCAGTCCCATGATACGACTGATAGAGTCCCATTTCGTCAAGTGCAGTGATATCCCCCCGGCTTCATCCGTAACCACTTCATGCGCGGTCCTGCCCGAGACCGTTCCGAAACCCGGAAACCGTAAATCTTTGCCTCGTAAACTTTGCCATTTCCAAGCCCGGGGCTGAAATTGATCGTCCGTACGCCGTTGATCTCCCTGGGTTGGAAAGACGCCTGGTTGTTTGTTGAAGGCAAGGAGGGCCCAGTGGGTGTCTCAAACCGTGGTCCAATTTCCAGATCAGGGAATGTCATAAAGAACAAGCACCCAAACGTGGTCCCAAAGAAAGCCCCATCAACCGAATGGAACCGACTATTCGGGGGAGTATACAGGTCTTGGCAACTCGGACAAAAGAGCTTCACAGTCTCCTGCCCAGGAGTATCAGAACGTCCCACCGGTAGAACTTTGCACCCGTTGCAGTAGACGCGAGGGCAGATGCCGAAGTGTTGCATCTCATACTTTTCGAGCATTTGCTGGATCCCCGGTCGTGAAGTAATGTACCGCTGGTGAATAAGGCCGTAGAGGAGTTCGGCGGAGCTCTCAATCACGCTCAAATCGCTCGCCACGCGTGTATGTCTTCGTTCACCAGCCCTCCGGTACCCCGGCGGCTTCTCATCACCCAAAATTTCATCATCATCTTCCTCCTCCTCCTCTTCCTCTTCTTCCTCGTCCTCTTCCGGCTCCACATCCAGTATCATCTCCAGCGCCTCCTTGTACATGGGCACCTGCGACTGCAGCCCCGTCAGATTGAAGTCATCCTCAATGAAATCTTCTGATACTTCTGCGAAGTATTCATGGCCCATTAAAGAGCAGAAGGAGGAGATCCAAGACTCCGGAGCACCCTCCGACGACGACATATCGAATGAGTCGGATGCGGATGATGGAGGCGTTGATTCAGACAGTTGACTCAGATCCAGCCTCTCTAGGCCGTCGGCCAACGCCGAACCTGTCGCTCTCGACACGTTGCCGAGATATTGAGGGGAACGGTTTCAATATGCTCCCGTAAAGAGATGGCGATATCTGCCGGCTTTGCACCAGTTGGTATAGGGTCTCGGCAGAAGTCTCGAACTGGGGTTGTTTGACACCAGAAAAATAAAACAAGAACAAGCTGTTGGGAATAAAATAATAAAAAGAAGCAGATAATTACGGAGATCCGTCTAGCCTCTGGGGTAAAAGAAATTGCGTCTACCTAGGAACCTGAGGGGTCATGACAGGATGCGGGCCGATTATTGTGCGATGAGGGCGTTGACGCGGTGGCTATGGCTTGACGGTGGTCAAAGGAGCATCGAAATTGCTCAAAAGTACGGCAGTCGAATGGTGTAGGATTGCAATTATCGGATCTTCAACGACCGGTGCACCTCGTGTGCTGTTGAATGTCTGCTTTTTCGATCGTGCAATGATCGATCGACGGAGTCGAGGGGTCTCCGAAATTAGGTTCGTGGGGCGGTGGAAAAAAAAGTGGTTGGCAGAGATGGAATGGATGGCAGTGCGCAACCAGTGAAGAGAGACAAACCCCAGCACGATGCAAATTCCAAAGGAGTGGATTCACAAACGGTCACTCACCACCTGGAGCATGGCTTTGGTCGGGATGGGATGGGATGGGATGGGAGAAAGAGGCATGGGGGGCAGCCACTCTCAAGAGTCAAGGAGCTGCTGGTTCGCCCCCATCACGTGTACCCCCAAACCGGGAAGGAGGATAGGCCTGGATCTTCAGGCCTGAACCACAACATCATTCATCTACTTGCATCTGTCCAGTGCTAGACTTCCATTATTTTCATGACGAAACCTTCACATAAGAATTATATCGAGAAGAAAGACAAAACAAGAAGAATCTCCCATGCGTTATCCCGTATATAACGCCACATATAACTGAAAATTCCACCAAAACACCTCGTTAGAATAGATCTCGAATGACCCTTGAGAATTCCCCTTCATCTCCTAAAACTCCAGAAAGCCCTTCGCCTGTGTTCTGGATCTCCCCCTCGTGACCAACAAATCCATTGATGCCATCGTGTGTCGTGCCGGGGGCGATGAAGTTGCCAAAGCCCCCCACGGCCTCGAACAAATTGGTGAGCTCCTGGCTCATCTGCAGTCCATTCAATGGGCTATTCCCCAACTCTACCCCATTCATGGTCCCATAAACCGAGATATCCTCCATGGGATGGCCGGCCAAACCGGCCATGGCCACCGCTGCTGTCGAATGTGGGTCGTTCGAGTCGGTCCCAAAGGGACGAACCAGCATGCCCAGTCTCTCCCCAATCTTGCGAAGACCTTTGATGGTCTTCCATAACCGCTTCGATACGTATGACTTCGTACTAAACCCGCTGACGAGATCGAGTGCCATGTAGAACTCGTCCCGTACCTGCCGATTGAAATCGGCCGGTGCGTGGCAGACAGCAAGAAGAAGAACGGCTAGCGCGGCGACAAGGAAATAATTGAAGGTGATCTGTTGCGTGCGGTAGATGTCGGAGGTTTGGTTAAGTCGTGTGAGTACGCGGACCGTATCTTTGGCGACACCCACCACTGTTTGGGCGTGTCCCTTGTCTTCAGCGATGCTTACTGCGGAGTGAAGGACCGGGCGGTAGATGAGAATGCGAAGTTGGTTCATGCGTAGGTACAAGAGCACCCGTAATCGTCGGAGACCACGACTGGCCGGCTCGCCGTGCTTCGGAGACTCCACTGGATAGAACTTCAAGGTATCTGGCACCTGCTTGTACCATTGAAGGATCTGATAGTCTAAATAACCAATCTCATCCTGGCGTATGTCGGTCGCTCCCTCCGAACCTAATCCGGAGTACCAAATCTTAGAACTGATGCGGTTATATGCAACCATACATCTCAGGTACGGCAGTGATGCATCCTGGAAGTCCGATTAGCGTATGGGAATATAATTGGGAAATACTTGGCAGTATATTGTACCGGTTCTGGAAGGTTCGGATCAATGTCTTCGTCCTGGATGACGAATGGTAGCCCTGTTCCAAAGCCCCAACGTCTGTCGAGAGTGTGAATGGCCCAAAAAATCTTGATTACCTCTGGCCATTGCTCCTCATTGGGAAAGGTTTTTACCAATGCGTCTCGTCGGTGAAGGCCCATTTCGAGGCACATTCGTGCAGCTAGACCAATGATGCGGTACGCCATGGCATCATCGTCCGTATGGAAATGATAGGTTGCCTGTCAGAATTCGAAGTTATAACCAAGATTCTCATCACGTTTCTGAGAAACATACCACCATGCCCAAGAGCTGGATTGTTTTGATGCTCACCGAATCCCAAAGTTTGGATTCGATGGCGGGTTTTACGCTCATATACAGTCGCTGACCGAGCTCGCTCTGACCCCCACCCTCAACAATCAGGGTTGTTGCAAGAATCATCTTCAAGAGGTTCGTATTTTCATCATGAATACCATCTGCTCCTGGAAGCCCTCGTTGCGCGAAGCCAGTCCGTGTTGCAGCCTCCATAAATGTATAGAGCAAGTTAATCTGTTGAGTCACTTTGTCAATGTCTACAAGAGGATACATGATGCCAATTTCATCTTCGTAGACCTGACAAAGCCTTAAGGCATCTTCCCGCTTAATGGCCCATATTGGATCCTTTGTAGGATGTATAGAAGGGGCAAGAGACGCCAGCTGAGGTGATTCCATAGGTGTACCATGCGCGGTAGTGATGTCGTCCGTTATTACTTCCTCTGCTGGTGCGATACCCATGTTCTGAAGGCTGGACCTTGCCACATCAAAATTAAAGGCGGAGCTTGTAGGGCCATGGAACCGAGGGGGTCTGTTGCGTGGTTTGGCCAGCCCGACCTGCATAGGAGTAAAGACGGACTGCGACCCATCACGGGAAAAATTCTCAAACCCCGGCGAGTCCAGAGAAGATTTTTGCGTCCGAAGGTCATTGAGGCTAGTGAAGAGGCTGTTGACTTGATCTTGGAGAGTGGTGATTTGGTCTTTCATAGAGCGGAACTCCCTGTTCGTGGTGGCGTTGGTCAGTTGCTACCAGGCTGTCTGGGGAAAAGGGAGGAAGGGACGGGATCAAACGCACTCAGAGTCCTTGAAATTATTATTACAGCAATTCGGCGCATACCGGCCTATCGAAAAAGGGGTCAATAACAGTAGAGATAACAGTTTGCGCATTCGCCTTGCTCACATTCGAGATTAAGATGCCCACAGCGTTGACAGGGGACTTGACCATTGCACTTGATTTTGCGTCGTTTGCATTCGTTACTGATAAAACAAACCCATCAGTCGTCAGCGTCAATCTCCTTGGGATGGACATGGGGGAACTTGGGGAACTTGGCGATTCTAGATCGTGCGTCATACCAGGCAATGGAGATGTAGCGATTCCGCTTCGACCGCGTGTGTGTTCCGTTGTTATGTTCCGCTTTCCTCTTCGCACCGTCACCAGTCTTGGTGGAATTCTGCTCGCCTGACACCGGCTGGGACGATAGAATGTCCACCTGGGGGGACTCGGAAGACATACCGGCTGATGCTGGGGGTGATTGGGTATGTTGTTGGGACTGAAGATGGCGGTAATGGGCGCGGAGAGATTCCTTTCCGGACCATCGGTGCTCGCGCGGGGTTTTCCGTTTCCCCAGACTTGGCAGGCTCGATTGATGCGTTTTTGGATAAATTGAGGGCAAAGGAAGCTCTTGCCAGACCCATCGAGAAGAACTAGAAGGGTGGAGTTTATGTCTACGATGAAACGAGTAGTTATTTCATTTAATATGGACCAATCTCGGAGGGGGATTCCAGAGGGATATGCTACGGACATGATCACGAATCAAGACCGTAAGAATTAAAGGCCCAGAACATCTCGAACCTACTCCGGTCATGATGTACAGTACTAGGGCTTAGTGGCAGTTCAAACAGAGGATCCTGATATATACCAGTATAAACGCATATAACACTGGGATGTTTGTCGATTCTGTTGGTGGAGGTGCGATCGACAGAGACACCGATCAGCCATATTCAAACCACGTGTAAATAAATCTGAGGGTGGATTCCAATTATAGAGAATGTATTCACAATAATCCAATTATCAATATCTAGCCTCCGAATGGTTCATATCCAGTCTACTACTCAGAGTAGGTAAGATCAGTCCTTCAGCCGGAAGCCGGAAATTGAGATTTCCCGACAATACAGCTATCACCAAGTTATGCAGGGAACGCTAATAAGTAGCCAACTACTCGGTTGGAATGCTTTACGTTAACCCGCGGGTTCGACTGCATTTAACATGCGTAGTCGCACGATCGTCCGTAACGAGACGAAGCTGGTCCAGCTCTCGGGATGAAGCTTCCACGTCCTCCTCAGGTTACCACCCTCTCGATATCCTCGAAGGCGTCGATATAGTCAAATTCCGCAAGAGATGTTTTATCCCCGAACTTCCGATTACCCTTCCCCCTGGATACTTCGGTGACTTCCCGGCCGTCGAGCGTTGGTTTCAGACATCCCTATCCCAGCCAGAAGCGTCGCGATTGAATATAGCGTACCTGAAACAGCACGGTGCAGACGCATTGGTACCACTAGAACTCACCCAATCGCATCTAGAGCAGAGTGCACACCAAGAAAGCCCAGGGAAAGATGAGATTGGGTTCCGGAAATTCCACGCACCGCTAAGCCTTTTCTTGGAATGGATCCGTGCAGCAGAGACTCAATCACCGCCTACACGGCTGTATCTGGCACAGTGTCAGCTCCTTGATCTACCACAAACACTGCGCAACGATTTCCCAACTCCTGCTCTCGTGTCCCAAGCAGGACGAGGCGACATTTACGACACCAACGTGTGGATCGGACATCCACCGACATATACTCCTCTTCATCGTGATCCGAATCCCAATCTTTTCGTCCAACTTGCCGGCAAGAAAGTTGTGCGATTGATCGCGCCTGATAAGGGTCAGGCTTTGTTTGCTTCGGTGAGACAAAAATTGGAAAAGAGTGGTGGCCACGAGGCAGCTGCGTTTCGGGGAGAGGAAATGATGCAGGGCCAGGAGAGGGCTTTGTTGGAAGAGGCTGTCTGGGGTGATGTCTCGGACATATCTGGTTCAAAGAACGATTGCAAGGGATACGAGGTGCATCTTGAGGCAGGTGATGGATTATTTATCCCCAAAGCATGGTGGCATAGCATCAAAGGAGTTGGGAAGAGGGTCACAGCTTCCGTAAGTTTTCTTCTATACCATATCATTCTTGATAGTGTGTCGCATACTGATGTATTGCAGGTTAATTGGTGGTTTCGATAGAAGTAGTATATCTTGTATTATATCACCTTGTAAATGAAATACAACAATACCAAAAATAATACCAATAGTCTTAAGAAACTACTCCGTAGCTTCAATGATATCCAAATACATCAGTAAAAGAAAAAAGAAAGAGGCTGAGAGAGAAATCTACCTGACTGTATGCGGGGAGCATATCCGGATACACTGTAAGAGCTCGATCGAATCGTTCTAGAATCCTCCGCCGCAAAAAAAAAAAAAAAAAAAAGGTTTCATCGACAACCCAATCCAATCCAATCCACCTTCAGTTACTTCACATCAGACCCAAAATCAAACAAGACATGTACATGTCTCTCTCCAGCATCTCCCGCGTAACAGTATTCCACCTCATCCTGAATCCGCTCTTAATTCCATCCCGTACATCCACCGCCCTCGCTCCTGCATCGGCAGCAGCAACGATACCACCGTTTCATAATACTCATATTCATATTCACTCTCAGTCGCCAAGTCGGGCTTTCTCGGTGTTCCAGCTTCAGTGTCCACTATCTCCTCCCATCTACCAGCAAGCAAAGTCTTATACGGCCATGAATACTGGATCGTCCCAAAACCGCCACCAGCAGCAGCAACGACAAAGAGAAGACCCAGCTACGCACACCCCTGAAAATAAAGAATATTTAGCCCTCCCGGATGCTAGTACAGCTGGTTTTCAATCTGCGGAATTGGATATAAGTGGTGGTGATTCCACTGTGAAGCTGGATCATCTAGGCCCTCTAGTGGTGAATCAGGATGGAACGTTATCGCGGATTACAAACTGGGGGCAGATGACGGAGATCGAGAGACTGAATACGCTACGGGTTCTGGGGAAGAGGAATAAGTTGCGGATGGAGGCCGTGAAGGCTGCAGGAAGTGGACAAGAGGATCAGGAGAAATAATATATCTGATCGTCGGGCCCATGTGGTTGCAAACTGTATGTTGTAAGATACCTATTTACAAGCTAATCGACATCTTGAACGCTATGCTTTTCGTTGGATGCACGCATATGCGCCTATGGGCTCAGTTCCGTTTCATAGCTACACATTATTCACTGCACTTCATTTGGGAAGGGCATGAAAAAAGATAGTAAGTAATACAACTAATCTTCTAATATTCAGGACAGCCTCCCAAGGACGCGAAATAATTGTTAGGCAAATATCCAATCGGCAAACCTTGAGAATATATTACTGCGCGATGCTTAACCTGGCTGAGCATGAGGATTAATTAGAGGGGATCGGATCTTACCTGGACGGTTCGGCAACGTAATTTCTCGTATACTCCTCGATTTTGTCGACTCCTGTCACTAGGTCGACTTCCTCGGGCTTTTTAATCGAAGTGCCATGCCAAAATTTCCAGGAGAAGTAGAGGATCGGGAATATTCCGATCATTGTGTACGAGAAGAGGAATGTAGGCACATCCCAGTTGCCCGGTAAGAAGACTTCGTAGCCACCCACGAACGCCATGACGATTGTGCACACCATCGCGGTATAGGCAACATAGGGTTGACCGAGACTCTGGTAAGGTAGAGAATGGCGAGGGACACGTTGTGCCATAAGCGCTTTCCTGAACCGAGTGTAGGTGAATGTGACGACTGAGAAATTGATCAGCTGCGATGCAGTGACCTGTGCATACGGTTAGAAATGTCTTCCCAAGGAAGAGGCGAAGTGTAACGGAAATTGAACCCACCAGATTAACGAACCACTGCAGGACGACGGCCGCACCGTTGGATACTTGCAGGAAGGCAAGAAGAGCAATTAGGAGAACAACTCCCACACAGTATATGGGAACGCCAGATTTGGTGCATTTGGTCAAGACTCGCGGCGCTTTTCCTTCCAGAGCAAGTCCAAACAAACTTCTGCTAGCGCAGTAGACATAGCTGTTACCTGCACTGAAAGCCGCCCCAAGAACCATGGCATTGACGATGTGTGGAAGGATAGGAATATCGAGCCGGTCCATGGCAATCACGTACGGTGATGCAGCTGCGCCAGGCAAATCATCTTCAAACGCAGCGGCCATTTTTGGGTCATTATAAGGAACTAGGATTCCGACACACAGAGCGCCCAAAACAAAGAAAGAAGTGAGTCGATAGAACATGCCATTGAAAGCGCTGGGCAAAATCATGCGAGGATTGACAGCCTCTCCGGCAGCCATTGACACATAGTCGGGCCCTGCAATCGTGAAACTGGCTTGAATCAAACAGGCGAGAAATCCAAGCCACCGGCCGAGATCCCCTGTCTTATAATATTCTGCAAAAGCTCCGGGTTTGTTCCAGTATCGGAATCCAAACCGATCCCTTTTAGGGTTGCCACCCAGCATCACAATGAAGGTGAAAAGAATCAAGCCTACACTGAGCAATACCTTCCCTAGAGCGAGCCAGAACTCCGCCTCACCGTACCATTTTACTGCAAAGACGTTGAAAAGTCTAAGATATCACCTGTCAGACACCAGGGGATTGCTGACGTCCTCGTTGGGAGAGAGAGAACACACATAAATAGCACAAGCACAATGACAATGATAGCTGCTACTGGAACGACATCGCTCCAATAATTGATGATCATGCTACATGCAGTAATCTCAAAGGGAACCATGGCGGCTTCAAAGATGAAGAAATTCCATCCAGCTGCTACTCCGAATGCATCGTCGACGTAACGGCTTGCAAACCGAATGAAGGGCGAAGAGATAGGAAGGTAAGTAACCATTTCCGCTAGACCTAGTAAGCGTCTTATTTTTAGTAAACGCTATACATCAAGGGGCATGGGGACGGTGTCGGTAGTAAACATGACCCGCATGGCTGCAATGGGAGGTTGGGCAAGTTGGAGATGCCAACGAATCGTTTGGGATGGGGAAAATGATAAAAGTGGCGCTTTTGGAAAAGAACTTCGCGATGGATAGTATTCAGGGCCGCTTTGGATAGGAAATGCTGCTGGTGGCAAAGGGTTTGGAGGATGGGGCTTCGTACAAACAGTTATAGCCAAGATAACCGCACACCTATAGACAAGAGATATATAAGATTCCATAGTCCCAAACGTGATCAAACAATGGGAGAGCACTGGGGACTGGGGGATGGGCAGGGGAGTGGTCCCGCTATCTTGTTAACAAGGCGCAGCACAAGTCGTAATTAGTATGTATACCTTCCAGCGATAGCGCTTTAGGTTTTCACAACTTGTTACATCTGAAGGCAAAAGTATAGATTGTTCTTCTTTGCTTCTCTCTTCAACTTTGATTTTCGAGCAGTACTTTATATCTCTTTTCATTTTTGACCACGGAAACTCACCACTCACCGCTTCCGATTGGGACTGAGACAGCAACAAGACACAAGCAGAAAGATCAAAAACGACTATAAAACGCATGTCCACGGGAGTGGTAGGAACTAACCAAATCAAAAATGCCAGGAATAAGCTTCCAGGACCACCCTTGCCCAGGCCCTTGCCGATCTGGACGTACAACGCGGTGCCAATTGTACCCCCGATACCGATTAGTTGGATATGTCTGGGTTTGAGCTTCCGGTGAGTATAGTCGAACGCCTGCTTGGTCAATCCACTATCAATCGACACATCGCTGTTTTCAACTACGGCATTCTTTTCCGAACAGTCCGTTGGAGCTCCAATGCGTGTTGTTAACTTGTCGTCTGTAGCCAAACTAGGATGGTTGATGGCGGGGTATGACCCCACTGGAGGGGTATGTTCAAGATCCGAATTGGAATTGACCATTGTCGATAACTAGTAATAGTCCCAATTGAAAATAAAGAATATGGACGTAAGTGAAGGAGAAAGGGAAAACTGTCACTATGTTATAACATGGGAAAGAAAGGGAAGCAAAAGCGGGGAGGGAGAGCAATGAATGAGGGAAGAAGGGAAAGGAAATATAGTCGAGGAGGGAAGGCACGAGACCTAGCCTGGGAAGGCCTTTAAAAGAAGGGTGCAAGAAAATTTGCAGACTAGCTGGGCTGGGCTAGGCAGAGTGTCAGTGTAGTATCAACTTGTAATGAGAGAAGAGAGAAAATGAAGAGGGAGGGGGAAAAAAATAAAAAAAAAAAAAAGGGAAGAAAAAAGTACCTAGCTATAGCTAGCTTTGAATGCATGCATAAACGGCGTTCTCCGTGGACAAATCATAGCTTAGAAAAGTACATTGAAGCACTATCGACCCCATTCATCAAACCCCACAGTGGCAGGCGGCATCATGACCTAAAGGAAATTAGTATTGATTCTAACTTCTAAAACATGACTAGAGGCCAGTATGTCGATCCCTAAGGTACCTATAGGGTACATCCACTGATGGCTAGACGGTGGTAGGAACAGAGATCTTATTAGTCCACTAATCGTACGATCGTATGACGAAAGTAAAGAATCGTTGTCAAAAAGCATTGGGGTGTCCGATATTAGGGACGGCTGGACTTAGTTGAAGGGAAGACTGGTCCTGCCGAGGTACGCTACGCTAGCTAGAAGGAACAGTGGGGCAGTGCACAATAATGCAGTGGTGAGGCTTTTTATGAGGTATGAGGGAGGTAGAATAACCACCACAAAAAGCGAATGGCCCATCATTAAGGTTAGCGATGTCACGCCCATGGCCAGTCAACATTTTGGCAGCTAGATGTACAGGAGATGATCAACTCCACATTACCTTGATTGTGCAGTAGTGCCCTGCATGCTAGAACATGGATTGGATTGGATTGCCAGATCTCTTCTAGATGGGTTCCCAGGCTAATAATACAAACTACTTAGCCTAATGTTCAAGTTCAACTTCCTCTCTGATATGTATTCCCAACCGAGATAGCTAGCTAACTATACATGCTGGCAGTTCCCGTTATATGATTCCATGTTAATCAAGTCGCACTTATAGAACGTGTTCCTGACAGTCACAAAACATACTATAGAATAATAGAAATAATACAATAATATATTGGATAGCCCTTGCTGATCTCTAGCGTTGCAAACTCAGGTCACGCATTCCGGATATTTTGTCTCTGATGTTGAGTTGGCGGTTTTTGTCCTAGACAACTCGGCGGGAAGAAGGGGTCATTGTCTTCATAGTGGAGGTAATGTGAAAAGTCCGACTCGGTAGAGCCTTCTCTGAGATGTCCTCTGCTGGTATTATCTCGCATGACCTGATTCGGAGAAGTTGGTCCTGCCGTTTCAGAGGCACGAGGGAGCAAATCTTGTGGAACTTTCTCTTTTTGATTGGAGGACATCCGGGACAATTAAATTTGCAATAAAATTCAGGGCAGGTGGTTAAAGTCTGGGTATGGAGGTAACCTAGAACACCCAGAGGTGGTATCATCCATCGCTGCCAGTTTCAACATATCTCCGCACATGGATATATGGTTGTAGTCCAAGCGGGGTTGACGTCACATTTAAGCCACGTGAACCCGCAAACGGCTCAACTCAGTGTACCCTCTATAAAAACATTTCCGGATTGAATATGAACGAGTCTTTTCTGATATTATATATGGATTAGTGAGCCCAGTGCCACTGCACTGTTCGATCATAAGAAAAGCCAATATAGACCCACCGACTGCGCTGATTGACAGCCAGTCACAATGACTGCAGTAATATACCTCAGCATTTGAACTGACCCACGGCTGTGCCGACCTCCGACCTCCGCCGCCTGCCCGCCTTTTTCTGCCGGTCCGAGTGGACGAGGCAATTGCGCTGAAAACCCCGAACAACCAACGGAAATACAGACTCTCTACGAGTGTCAGACGATATTACACACTGCAACACAAATACCTTGCCATTGATCAGGCTGTAAACAATGTCTGGCCAGGACCCTGAACAGAAGCGTTTCTCGCCCAAAGTGCCGGTTCAGCTTGACCCTCCCAAATATGATCCGATTACCGTAGAAGAGCTGTCCAAGTGCGATGGTCTGTCTCCTACGATTCGGCTCTTATTGTTTTTATCTCGTTATATTTTGATTTAGAAGACCTTGTTGCTGATTTTGTGTCTCCGAGTTCCCTAGGTACGGACCCAAATCGCCCGACTTTGGTGGCTATCAAGGGAATTGTTTTTGACGTGACCAAGAACTCTGCCTATAGCCCTTCTGGCCAGTACCATGGTACGCGGCCCCATATATATACTCCCTTATCATGTTCTTGTGTTGCTGTTTGGGCTAGCCTGTATTTACACTGACGGACTATGCAGTCTTTGCAGGAAAAGACCCCTCTCGGGCCCTCGCCTGCTCGTCTCTTAAGCTCGAGACTTGCAAGCCCGATTGGTATGATCTCGAAGATAAAGAGAAGACCGTACTGGAGGAGTGGTTCACATTTTTCAGCAAAAGATATAACATTGTGGGCAAGGTCCAAGATGCCACGAATTATTGAATGAGATTATGGTTGGAATAAGGGGAAAAAGAATGAAAACTACCTTAAGAGTTAGGAGTGATCGAATATGCTGTTGAATTGCCCGATACCCACAAACTGACGCCTTGTCTGGTTCTCATGGGATGCATCGAAGATGCGCTGGACTCCTTGTTAGGTGAAAATCTACTCTACCCGTACCAGAGATCGTGTTAAATTACAAATGAAAATTGTGCAGATTATCTATAACTTTTTGCTTTTCCCTCCAACTGATTTCACTTCCGTGACCTGCGTTGCATCCTCTTCTTCGCGATGATTCGGTTGCGCTTAGCGATCTTGTTTTGTTCTTCATCATCTCCATCTTGACCTTTACCATCGTTGCCCTCTGGTCGCTTTCTCTTCTTCCCTTTCGGAGGTGCCTTGTTATTCCTAGGCTCGTCCTTGCTCGGCTTGCCTTCGCCTTGCATACTGTCCTTCTTCTGATTGCGTACTTTGGCTTGTTGCTCAATACGACGCTTGACGACTTGGGCGTTTTCGATGGCGAACTCAACAATGAGCCGCTTTTTCTTGTCTTGAGCATCCTCAGAGCCGGTCGTAGGAGCCTCGACAGCATGCCCGTTGAGCCATCTTAGTGCCATCAGAGCATGGCGATGAGTATAGTATTCAACGAAGCCGTATCCTCTGCTTCGTCCCGCGCCGCTATTCTCTTCGACCTTGCTGCCATCCCGACCTTCGAAAACAATCTTAGATTGTCTCACGACTCCCTGTCCTTTTTTCTTTCTTTGTTGCTCCGCCTCTTTCATTTCCTCGGAGGCCCGCTGCAGTTCTTCTTTAGAAAGGGCCTGACGAATGCCGGCCGAGACATCCTTGGCAAACCCAACAATCGCCTGTCGAGCAAGTTGTTTCAAATCCTTCGAAGTGACATGACGTGGAATGTTGCGGATGGAAAGTCGCGTTAGACTGAGATGAAGTGTCGGGTTCTTCTTGATAAAGTTTTGTCGTTGTTTGTAACTATCCTCTCTCATCTTTATCTCGGATGGCGAAAGTTTCTTATACAGCGCAGAGTTGTGAGGAATTGTTCCCTCAGAAAGCAGATATAGACGGCGCTTGTCAGTGTCACGGACCAATCGTCGAGACACGCCCTCTTCCTCAAGTTTTGTAGCCTGAGACTTGCTTACAGCACGGGAGACTTGCAATACACGGCCCTCCATTGTGTATCGGCCTGTTGGGTCAGCGTTCTCATTTTGCAATACTGAGTGTTTGAGTGCAGTAGAAGGTTTCTTGGCTGTTGACTTGTCTGCAGCGACGGCGTCTAGTTGTTTTGGGGCGTCGCGCACGCAAGACGCTGCATCATCGACCTTCCAGAAGCATACAAAACCTGTTCCACGCGGACGTTCAGTTTCCTGATCAACAACAATGCGTGCATAACGAAGGTTTCCGAATTGAGTGAAGTGTTCGTAAAGAGTCTCGTCCGTACACGTGAAAGGCAGATTCCGGAGAAAGATAGTACATGCGTTTCTTTCATCCTCCACTTCTTCCTTCTCTTCATCTTCGCCCTCTTCATCGTATCCCTCACCATCACCTATACTTTCAATATCTTCATCGTTGTCAGATGAAATATCATTGTCATCGTCAGAGACCGACTTTGTCGACAGGGTATCATCTTCCATCTCGACATCACTGGACTTTTCTTCCACAATGTCTTCCTTAGCCTCGTTTTCTTTCTGCAGATTCTCCCACACATCCTTTTGCACAGCCCAATCAACGGCTAGAGTTCTTCCATCAACTTCTTTTCCGTTCACAGCCTGCAGAGCCTTTTCGGCATTTTTCTTCCCTCGAATAACCACAAAACCAAATCCTGCCAGGTCCTTCCCCTTTTTCGGGAGAATGGCCTGTTTGACTTTCCCGAAGCTTCGGAAAAGAACAGCTAGATCATCCGGTTCTTTGACACTCCAAGGCAAGTTTCGGACGATCAACTTAGGCGGCAGGGCGGCATCTTTCTGTTGCTCTCTCTGCTTTTTCAGTTCAATTGCAGTAGACGACGGCACACTCTTTCCTAGTTTCTCGTCGATCGTTCGGTGGCGTGGTTGGGCGTAATCGACCCGAATTTTCTTGCCATCGAAAACGGATTGATTGAATTCCTCCAAAGCGGCTTTCGCATCATCAACATCGGCGAAGGTAACGAAACCGTAGCCTTTGGACTGCTTTGTTTTCGAGTCGTTTACGACAGTGGCATGTTTAATAACATAGGATTGCGAGAAGTGCTCTGCTAAACTCTCGGTAGTCGCTGAGGCGGGAAGTGATCGAACAAACAGAGTTCTCTTCGGCAGCCCATTATCCCCTTGCGCAGTAGTGCCATTTTTTGACACATCCATAAGAGACGCGGGAACTTCTGGACTGGAGCTCTCTTTCTCCATGGTGGCCTTGTCACTTCCGGCCATCAATGCAGCAGGTGATTGTCAGCTCTTTTTTTCTCTGCCGTGTAAAATTAGCGGCAGAAAATTCCCGCCGATGTTCTTGGAGACAAAAAAGCGGGTCTAGGCGGTGAGATAGGTGGATACTATCTAAGAGGCCACGCCTCATCCAAAACACATTATATGGTTATTGGCTATTGTAGCAACGGTTACCAGGAGCTATGGCTGATGAACATTGGAATAATGCTAATGTTGGTCATGCCTCAGACCCTTCCACGCCACATCCAGCTCCGACACGACCATCGCAGCCAAAGATCCAACAACCCACGCCGCAGGCGCTCGCCAGCAGAAGTGGCCCTTCCGCGATTCTCGTTTCAACCAGACAAAAGGGCAATCCAATCCTGAATCACATCAAGTTACTGCCATGGGAGTACGTAGATACTCCTGCGGACTATGTGCTGGGAGGTACTACCTGTGCGTTGTTCCTGTCGCTGAAGTACCACCGGCTCCACCCTGAGTACATCTACTCTCGAATCCGGTTGTTGGCAGGAAAATATCTACTCCGGATCCTCCTGATTATGGTCGATATACCGAATCATGAAGATAGCTTGAAAGAGCTATCAAAGACGTCGATCATTAATAATCTCACGCTGGTTCTTTGTTGGTCGGCGCCTGAAGCTGCTCACTACTTAGAATTGTTCAAGTCTTCGGAAAATTCTCAGCCAACGGCAATCCGCACGCAGCAGGCCCAATCATATAAAGAGTCGTTGGTTGAGTTTGTCACGGCACCTAGAAGCATCAACAAGTCTGACGCCGCAAGTCTTATATCTACCTTTGGAAGCTTACAGAATGCAATCAACGCACAGCCGGAGCAGATTAGCTCAGTACCCGGTTGGGGCGAAAAAAAAGTTCGACAGTGGTGCAATGCCGTGAGGGAAGACTTCAGGGTCGAATCAACCAAGAAAGCAGCAGCTCCTAAAAGGAACAATTCGTACAGAGAGACGGGGCTTTTGGATCAGAATGCCTTGACTTTATCAGGATCTACATATATTCACGCTCCTCTCGAGGACAATATGGAATTGGAAAAACCAGAAGGGGATTTGGCACAGATGCTGGAATGCAATCCAGAACCCCGTCAAGCGGACGAAACAAACCAAAAAGGAGACATGAGTGAAGGCATAATGGCAGCGCTGGCAAAACTTCGAGAAAATGGTGGCTGAATGCATTGCTACGAGACCTTACTGTTGCTGGATTGAGTGGGGTGATACAATTTATTATCAGCACATGAGAGCGCTGGTCCGTGTTTCCCGGCCACATTCGAGAAAACTTAATGGGCCTCTTCTTACCCAAGGATCACAAATCTAGTGCCGTATTGGTCTAGTTTTCTTCATTCAATTGCTTGCTCGAACGCGAGGGCCCGCGTATCCAGGCAAATGGAACGGCGCAAAAGGCCCAGACTTCTATGTGGCCACTTCCCCTTTTGGGTACTTGTGGTATGGGTTGAGATAAGCTTGGTTAAATCCATGGAAAAGTGCCAGTGGCATCAAAAGTAGTGGTGTCAGCCTGATCAGCCACTAAGAAGTCAGCCTGTGAGGAGAGAGTGAGGACTAATGCAAGGGTTAAAAGCCAGATTACTAGCCTAATCGGGTGGTCACTTGTCCCATGGCGAGCGAACGGGTCAAAAAAAAAAAAAATAAATAAAACTGACGTGGAGCTTTGACATGTTGGGCATTCAATGAGAGATCAATAGGAAGTTGTGACAGGCGATCGGCACGGCACAGTAATTGCATTGTAACACGAACATCCTGTGATCTTGGCATCCACAGCACACTCACTCTATGTAGTACCGCTGTACTCCGTAGTTCCCCAGTTATTCGTACTTACTCCCATACTTTTTTTTTTTTTTTTTTTGCCAGACACTAAATCAGGCACCGGATGAATACTCCTAGATGGATCTCTGCCTGTCTTAACTATTCCTGCGTCCTGATTGGCCTGGCTTGCTGAGTCAAAGCAAGGACCATCACGTGGGGAAGGTGGGGCAGAGCTCCAAAAGGGGAAATCGGGCGGACGGAGAACATTGGAAGTTTTGGAATCCAACACGATTCTTTCTGATATGCGCCCGCGAAATTCTGACGCGGCCCCAGTTACTTGCAGCGTGTGGGAAAAATCCTTTCATTTATCCGAAGAGCAATTCGGAACTCTCCACCGACAAGCTAACTGGACAAGCCTCTTCCCCACTAGACTATTTCCAGCGCACGGTTCGACCTGTGCTATTCATTCGCCGGTCCGAGCCGGATCATGAGACTATGGGGGAAGAGGGCAGTAAGGGTGCTGAACCAAGTATCAAGCCCGACATCCATAGCCAGGAATTGATTGATGCCGGTTCCTCGGGAGCTCCGCCTGCGCGCAGACTCGCCAGTAATCATGCGAGTGACCAAAGATCGCCCAGGAGCAGTCCGCCTTCCAGGGCGAATCAGCAGGCTTCCCAATCCAGGAAGTTCGAGTTTGTCCTCGTAACCGATAGCGAGTCACGCCGGCAAGTCCGCCGGCATGCCATGCGCCAGTATATGCACCAACGGCGCTTGGACAGCATCGCTCGACTGGGGACCTCTCGTATACCGGTTGGCGGTTGGGCCACTCGCCAGGCCTCAGATTCCGCTACACCAGGCACCTCCTCCCGAATAGAAAGTGTGGAGGATGAATCACCTACGAAGAGTGAAAGGGATTCGCCGTCCACCGACGAGGAACAACCGATTCTGCAAAAGGGGAAGTCGCCTTCACAATCATTGGTCCCGAAGTCACACAAGGTCAAACGCGAAGAAGAAACTTCTCCTCTATTGAGTAGCTTCAATTCTTCAGATCCTCTGGTATCTCCTGGGGAAGGGGGTGGAAGGGATCCCTTTAGCTGTTATCCTATATCGATCTGCCATGCAGATCATGAATTGATTCAACATTGTAAGTTTCGACCCTATATTTCACATTTACGTTCCCAATACCTGGGGTTCCGTTGTACATCTAGACTTTTTTTGCTTTTTTTCTATTTAAAATATCACGTCATATGTTCTGGCTAGGAGCTTACGAACAGTAAAGTTGTGGTGACCTACCCATCCATGATGTACAAATTCGTCGATCGCGTCGCAGGCAACCCGATGATGGAAATATTTCGGCAATTTGCATTACACGACGAACTCCCATTTCAGGCTATGCTTGCTATTGCCTCAAAGCATCGTGCAGGTGTAGAAGGCAAGGTGGAATCGGTTCAGAGTCTCACTCACAAGATGCGGGCTTTACGGTTGATGAATGAGCGCCTCCGTGCAGACTCGACAGGTCAAAATGACGGGACGATATATTCAGTAGCTACCATGGCTGTTATTGAGGTATTTGAAATACTCCCGGAGCTACTTATTGAGGCTGACGCAAAGAAGAAATGGTCCAAGGACGCTTCAATTGAGCGTGTACACTTTAGGGGACTAGCGTCGATGATCAGGAACCGAGGGGGGATGCGAGGAATGCGGATATCGAGCCCTTTCTTGGAGAAAGTTCTTTATTGGTAATTTATTGATGTCTGGCTGTTTCCTACTTTGTTGGCTGACTTCTGCCAGGGTCGATTTTAGCTGTGCTCCCAAGGCAATTGTTAGTACCTCCCTACCTTGGACCGGAGCAGTACCAGACTCTCCACCAGCTGGATTTGACTTCCTCTCCCCTGATCTACATCTTGGTATTCCTCATGATTCTACGACGGATGAAGGTTCAGAAAGCCTTTGTGACCACTTCCGAGCATGCGAAGATTTTTTGAGATTCTTCCGCCATCTTCATGAATTGGAACGTGCCGCGTTGAACTCAACTCCCGACTTGATATCTAAAGATGCACATCGCCGCATCAAGCAATTTAGCCCAGGAACACAGCTGCATATCATCCTTACCATGATTCCAGACTATGATCATGGGATCCGAGACGTTCGCTTTATCGACGATTATACAGGCATGTCCTGCCTTGTCTTCCTTGCAGTCGCATTACACGATTGTTATCTTAAGTCCCTCAACTTTGACCACTACCTCGAGTGGCTGAGCATGGAAGTCAAGAAACTGAATCCGCACGCCAACCCAAGCATCACTGCTATTCTCTGGCTCTTCCTGAATAACGGCGGTTACCCGAGGGACCAACCAGGGGATTCTGGGGACCGATGTTGGGTGGTTTCACGATTTATGCGAATTGTCAAACGCCTCGAATGGAAACGCCAAGGGACCATCTGGGATCATATACGACAGGCTCTGATTGACTTCGTCATGACGCAGCAAGAATGCGCGCTCGGCTCGGATGACGTTGATGAAGAGGCCCTAGTGGCTCGACAGTATAGAGCCCGCCGGTCGCCGACATACCTCTGGGACGAGGATCAAATGCGGGAATACATTCTAAACATCAAGAATCCTCCTCCCGCTACGACATATTTTGAGATGAATGCACCAATCATTACATAATCCAACCATCTATGATTCAGGACAGCACCTTTTTTTTTTTGTTTATATTTATATTTTTCACTTTACTATTGTCTTTTCATACCATTTGTTTTCATTATTATATTTATTGATGCGTGACCAATTCCCCCACGACGATGACGAGCAACGATGACGGTACTGCAAGGACATAATTTATTAGGCGGTAGTTCATTCTATGGTCGAGATATCATTGACTACCCAATTCAATATTTCAGTGGATAGGTATCTACTGAGAAATGAATCATACCACTTGTGTAGAGTAGTCTGAACGTAGAGATTGATAGATCCATACTGGACAGGTACTCTGTAGTTAATTACATTCGTTCCAAGCAAGCACCTAGGACTAGGACTTAGTACTGGGTAAGTACTAGACCAGACAATGTGTTTAATAGGCGTCAGAATTACCGCGTCAGTTAGTATCTGGCATTTGTGCTTCAAAATGCACGGTCCAAATCAGGTACGTCCCAAAAGATCTGTGAGATTAGGCATTCTCAATGTTGCTGTGTTGGCTTAACGTGATAGCTACTTAACTACCTATTCTACTAGGTACGATCGAAAGTGCACGACGACTGCAGGTAGGGTCGATTAAACAGCAGTATACTTGCGTTGAATAAGGGAAGTTGAGACGATCTGACGCAGGTTGTCTTCCAGGGATTTTACATAGACAATCCAATCAACCCTTTGTCACTATCGATCGATATGTAATATGAAATTGTTCAATCATGAGAGAAAGTATGCTCGATCGTCAAAAATATGATCCATGAAAGACATAATATTCAACACTGGTATTGATAATACCATGCCTATAAACCATAAGATGAATCGAATAATCAGGTAATCAGATAATCATCACAGTGGAGGATATAATAATTAAAATCACAATCACAAAAACAATAATAACGCCTATACGATCGGCCAAGTTCATGGTATCAAATGCGACAACGGATAAAGACTGAAACCCAGGTGGCATGAAAATAGGGAGTATATGTGTGTCGGTGACTTGGTCAACATCAGTCACGAAGCAATCCATTCCATATCCATAAGAGCATTAGAAAATGAGTGCAAAATGAGAGAGGGTGAGAGAAAATATGTCGTGAAATCAGGCAGTATCGGAGATCTAAGTCGGTTTCTCACAGCCGATTCGTCCTAGTAATGCCCTATGATCACTCTGCTCTCCGAGTCGGACCCGTCCACGTCCTCGAGGCCGAACGGTAGAGGACCCGTTCGCTCTGCGCCATTCGACACTGGCGTTGTCGGTAGGGTTAACGCCGCCATTCGGACTGTCCTTGCGTCTCACGTAGACCTCTTCGTCTTCGTCATCGCTGCGGGTATCTTCGGCGTTTCCAGTACGGAGAACGCCCACGGCCACGCGCACGACCATGGTGAACCAGATGATGGACAACACCTCCAACGCCAGTAGAAACGAAAGGAAGATCCACTTGATCGTACGGTTCATGCAGATAGGGCCATCGAGGTCCAGGAAGGGATAGAAGAGGTAGGTAAACTTGTTGGGGTAGCCATCGGTGGAAATCATTTCTGCGGTAGTGCCCGAGTAGCAGCCATACGCCATCTTGGCAGGTACCTCTTTAAAGATAGACCAGCACAGTATTGGGTACATGATATGACGTGTGAGAAGCCACCCAGCCATAAATACACCGAAAGCGACATTACAGGTGGCCTCATATTTGAAGTATTTGAGGATTTTGGCCGTCTGGACATTGTGTCAGTCATCGCATCTTCCAGCAAATAGGTACGGACATGGGACATACCGGCAGAAGAAGATCAACGATATCCATTAAGCACAGCACCACATTAGAAACATTATAGAAGCTATAGAAATAGGCGGATGTCAGAAGGGTACTGGTGATAATATGGTGGATCAACATCTGGTAATGGTCCTTCCTCCGCTCCTCAATATTGATTACGAAGAATTGTTGTATCCAGAACGAGAGTTGCACCAGAAGGTACCATTTCAGAGTGCCTGAAACGCCGCGAGACGGCCACTCCGCCCAGATGGCGCCATTGTCGAGCCAGTAGTACGAATGCGACCAAATGTACTAACCTCCCATTAGCATAAGATATATAAATCGACCGGGACACGCCCCCGGGAAGGGGCTATAGTACGAACCATTCCAAACGACAAGAAAAACCCATAGTACAGCCACCCCCACCCTTGCTCGGCGAACCGAACCGACGCTTTCCGTTTCAATCCCGCACGTCTCGCAATCGGCTGGAGGATCCAGTCAATGGTAATGGCCCGGATGGCCGTGAAAGCGATTGCCGAACTGGCAACGAAGTAAATATCATCCCAGCCTTGAACGTAATGGCCCTGCTCAGGCTGGTAATAAGATAGCTGGAAAAAAGGAGTGGTGTATGGACGGAGCGAAGGATAGAGATGATGGACTGCCAATAGCATCAAGAGAATTGTCAACGAAATCCCTGTGCTCGCAGACGGTTAGCCAATGCCATTTTGGAATTCCGCTAAAAGCATGGTCATCGGGTTACACATTGGGATGAACATGACATCAGGGAGAGGACAAGCAGGGAACGACGACGGAACCGGAAAGAAAGAAAAGAAAGAAAGGTAAAGGACAGGCCATTGAGGTCATAGTCATACCGATCTGGTTGGCAACCACCCATTCTCGGAAGGTTGTTTCTTTGGTGGTAGGACGGTGGTGATGGGCATTGGTGGACACACAGGCATTGAGCTCTGCGACCGACGACGACGGGGAGGAGACGACGTCCTTGTCCATGACCATGACGAGGCTTGAGTCTTCAAGGAATCCGAATCCTGAATGGAAGGGGCCACGACGACAGAACTGGGGAAGGGGAGCGACCAATGGCGGGGAGGACAAAAAAGAAGACAAAGTAAGGTTGTCCGAGCGAGTCAGAGTCAAGGTCAAGTGGTTCCGGACCACGGTGTTGACGGACTAACCGCGCGGTTCCGCCGCGGAATGTTGGGTGAGTCTAGTATGTATTTAATCGTTGAGCAAGTGGGATTCTGGTCATAGGGAAGAATTAAGAATAGGAAATCGAGTATTGGTATGGCGGAAAGAATCGACCATATGCGGATGGTCGTAGGGAAGAATGAAGAATAGAGGAGAATCACGCAACTGTTAGAGAGATAGAACCAGATGAGAATAAATCTTCTCTTTCTTCAAATTCTCAATAAAAGAAAGGGAAAAAATAGTCTATAGAAAGGAGATGAGGGGACGTTTCAAAAAGAGGGACGGCCCACCAACAGTTACGTACACGGTACTCCGTACCTCCAGTGGTTACGGGACGCCAATATCATTGCCCAGTACCCGAGACTTTCAGATTCACCGCCGTACAGAACTCTGTCCTGTAAGGTTCCCAACCTCCACAGCGCCTCCCAATGGCAGCTTCTCACGGCCTCACACGCTCCGTTCACAGGCTGGTTCGACACCGACTAATGTATGATTGTCTCGGTCTTCTGATCATCCAGATCAACTAGTCTAGGGCTTCGACCGGACCAGCTGAATTCTCAAATGTGGGGGCTCCAACAGAGCCCGATCTGCAATCATCCAAACCTGGGTATGGTATGGAATTGATTGGTTCCAGGAAACTGTGGCTTTCGCATGTATTATCCATCGTACCTAGATACAGTACATATTTATGTAGGTTGTAGACACTGAATATTGGAATTCTCTTTTTTACGGCTCAGCATCATCCAAACCAGCTGTCACCCCATTGACATAGTCAGTCGCACTGATTCCTAGCTTGGCCATGTCAACCCCCCCTTCTCCTGCCATCGCCTGCGACATGGCCCGTACTACTTCCTCTTCTTCCCAGATACTCGTCGTGGAGGCGCTCGGCGAATCATCGTCTCCCACCCGGGTGCTGCTGGGGCGGCCGGCGCTCATCGAAACGACCGTTCGCCAGTATGCATCATCCCGGTCTTTCAGGACCTTGTCTCGCACAACGGCATTCCGGGTCACACTCATGGCATGCAGCTTCGAGCTAGCTCCGGACAATGCTGACAGCGAATTCGACACTAGTTGCTCGATCTGGTCCGCCTGGGACGGCGGCATGAAGAAGAAGCGATGGGTGGCGGTCACGTAGATCAAACAGGCACATAGACCGTCGAAGATCGCAAATACTAGAGGTCGTAGCAGCGTGATCTGATGGTATAAACTCGAGGGGGGTTGGGTTCCCGCCCGTACAGAAGCTGGCGCTGACTGCACCGGGTCCCGAGTGCAGACGATGTACAGGTCGATGACGGCCAGGGCCAGTCCGGCCACAGTAAACTTGTTCCGCCATCTGGCCGCTTCGCGACCCGCAAAGGGTGCGGAGGTCACCAAGCCCACAATGACCATGTGGAACAGATGTGGAAGCAGCGTATAGAAAGGTAGGTAGTATAAAAGGTACGTCTTGACATTATCGAGGGTGCAGAATTGGCATCCAGTCAACACATCTGGCCCGAAGCGCAGGTACACTTTCCGAGCACCCAACGACGTAAACTTGGACCGAAGGAGGATATCCGACTCCGTCAAAGTGTTCCCTGGCCGGAACCGCGCCAGTCGGTTGAAAAGGACATCGGTCGGAGTGTTGATGCGCGACTGCGTGAGAGTGAAGACACTCTCTCCAGGCGCATGAGGGTTGAATGGCAGACTCAGGAGTATGAAGAAGAGGGTTGCGAAGAAGAGAACATTCAGGGCACGTCCAGCGCTCGGAGGAAGAGTACGGGGCTGTGGACGAGTGGAAACTGCAACACGTAGGCTCCGATAGAAATTTATAGCGCGGGGGATCAGGATTGGAGCAAAGAAGATTAAGAGAGATTTGATTCTGGAGGTATAAATAATACGTTAGTTTATATTGTGTCATCTTCGGTCCCAAGGGAGGGATGGACTTATCGTACGTTGCAAACGAGATTCCGAGTTCGACCATCTTTTCAGCAGGTTGTACAATTGTTCTGTTGCATCGCTCAAACAACAGCCAAATAAATAATGAAGATAAAGCTGGCATAAATGCCGAAAATCGCCTTATCGTCTGCTAGTGCCAAGACACTTGCCGCCAACGGTTTAGTTTCCATATTTCGGTTTGTTTATTATGCATACAGTCAGTGTCAAATTATGAGGTTCTGTCTATCATCTTTCATACTCTTTCTAGTCATCACAATACCAGAATGTGACCGTTATCAGGCTCATTGCGATAAGCATGCATTTGAAAAGGACCTAAAAGAGAGAAGAAGAAGAGAAGAAGAACAAAAAGAATCAATTAAATAAGACATGGGTTCAGCATGAAACTCCTCAAATCTCGAAACCCGCTAATTGTCAATCAGTCAACGCCACATGAATAACCCCATAAAGAACGTTCAAAGAAGCTAGCTCAGAACGTCCTACACTATGTCGTGAAAGCATCTCGGATGTCTAGCTATCCCCTACTTAAACATGCCTAGACTGCATGGCTGGATGGTGCGCTAGATTTGGAACGGCAACTCCCGACGAATCCCTGGAGTATTTAGATGACGCCGCATCATTCAAGTTTACGGGACCGGAAATCTTCAGGGGAAACCGTGACACACTCCGTGTAGAAGCCTGTCGTCTCAGAGGCGAATGAGGGCTATACGTGGGCAGCGAATCTTCCCGTTTAACCCCAGATGAAATGAGCGCTGACTGCTAGGTCGTGTGACCACTTTATGAGGCGCAACTGCTCCATACACTCGGACATGGCGTGCGCTCACACCAGCATCACGGTTAGTAAAGACAAGGCTCTGTGGAGTTGTGCTTGTAGTCAGCATATTGGTCCAAAAAAAGTCTACGGAGGAAGCACCACTTACCGCGATTGCATTAACCACACTCATGACCATAGCCAAAATCCCCGCTGAGACAGCTATCCTCCAGAACGCCATTCCGAGGGACTCCTGGCTTGTTGCGGGCGTGTTAAGCTCCCCCAGAACGCTCATCCCAAGCATCATCATCACTATAGCCAAGGTGATAAACCCAGATTCTTGACCAAACAACGGCCAATTCCGATCAAAATAGCCGCGGAAGAAGGGGAGCTCGGAGATGATGAGAAATACTGCCAACAACACCGCTGTTAGTACCTATAAACCACCACAGAGTCCACACCTAGGGCTCAAGCTTCACTCACTACTGACTCCGGCAATTATCGCACGGGAGACTGCCTCGAAAAAGAAAAAGCTGCTCAACAGCGAGATTTTCGCCAGCATTACTGCGCAGGCAGCAATGATATCGAGAAACACTATGATATTCAAGACCCGAATAGCATTGAGGATCACAAACCCTGGACCAGCCAAGGACTCTTTCAGGGACGCCATCATTGTCGAAGTTCCTAAAAGAAGGAGAACTAAGATATTCAAACTAGAAAGTGCAGAAGCGTATACCAGCCAAGATCATACGAGTTTGTATAAGATCACCTAGAAGTTTGTTTAAGAAGGGGAAAAAAAGAGACTCGCTCCAAAAAAAAAAAAAAAAAAAAAAAAAACGGCTGAGTAAAACTACTAGTCAAAGGAAGGTAATGGCGAAAGGACCGGCCGGTAGGACCGTGTACTGAGAAAGACCAAAAGAAAGAAAGAGCTACGAGGTTGACTTGAGGGTAAAAGAAAGAACAGAACTAACAGTGAAACAAAAGACACCTCAGCCTGTTACAATAACAGGCTTGGCCATGGGAATAGAATCAAGTGAATAGAGAATGAATGGCTAAAGATGGAACGACAATGGACACAATAGACACGGTCTAGATGTGAAACATCTTTGAGTATTGATCGGAAAACAATGGCCATTCATTCTCTGGCGCTTAGTTATTTTCGTACCCTTGTTATTATTTCAGCTAAGATGTGCCATATTTAGACGCAACACCTAGTTATACAGATTCCTGTGGTGAAGTAGAAGGAGTGGTTAACATGCAAGTTTGCCGCCCGCCTGAAACTTTATCACCTTGATCATTGGCCATTGTTTGACATCCATTCTTATTGCCTCCAAATTAATAAGACAGCTCAGAGCTAAGCGCTTGATTCTGTCAACAATGCCTTAGCCTCTTCAATAGGGTTCCAATGGAGAGGCCATTGGTTTGCAGTACTGCATGTTACTCTGGTCAGGCATCAATGGTTGTACTGAGAGAACGTTTCCTGATCCAGTTTAGATATCTAATTGTAAGCTACCTGTCTCCAGATTTACCTAGACACCAAGGTGACGGTAATTTGAAGGTTCTATGCACATTTAAGGGATCATTCTCATCAAATTACAATACTATCATAATAATGCGCAAAATATCCTGACCCATTTTTAGGCCACACTCACTTGCACCATTTGCATACATCCAATCATCCGTGCAATATAACCGCCATAAATGAAACATTTTAAAACCAGAATATTCAGGGCATACTGAAAGCCAGCAAACTAAGTCCGGTGCGTGCATAACCCTGTCTCGTAGTGCCTACAAAATGTACATTGAAGTACTCAATAGGAGTGCTCCTTGGCATACAGCGTTTGTTTAACTTCTTCATACTAAGATTTGCATAAGTTTCAAGCGCTTTTCTATACCGTGTACATCCTCGTATCGGAGGAATTAATAGGCTGAAAATGAGCAAAACAAACTGAGGCTTTTATCATTACGAGTGTACATATTTATGGGCAAATGCCGGAGATGCTGACGGAATGCCGAAGTGGCGGCTCGGCGCCTGAGGGACAAGTCTACGGAATAGACAACAAAACTTTCCAACGGTCCCCTTTAACCTCCCATCCGGAACATATCTTACCAGCCAGCCAGAAGATAGTCCCTAGGAGAATACTCATCAAAGCGCCATCATTATCAACATCAGTCTGTAGGTCACCTGTGATCTAAGTACCAGAATAGAAAGCCTTTAAAAATGTCTCGTGGAAACCAGAGAGAGAAGGCCCGCGCGAAGAACCAGAAGGCCGAGGCGAGCGTGGTAAGTTGATCTTCCTTGTCTTGTATTTTCCCTGTCTTCTGCTCTCTTTGTACATCGACTAACGTACTGTATAACGCTTACATTGCATGGTGACTGACTCTTAGTGCCTTTTCTAGAAAAGTAAGAACACAATGAGTGGGTCGGAGTTTCAACGACACAAGGAGAACAGTGCTGCCATCATGCGCGAGAAGCAAAGACTCGGTATGTCGATTCCTTATTACTCCTAACTTCTCATCTTCCGTCTATCAAGCCTGTACTTATTGTTGCTTTTCTATCGTTTAGCCAATGAGCGCAAGGCCGCCGAGGCTGGCAAGAAGTAGTTGGAATGAATGAAACTCCGCCTCTGCTTTTTTACAGCCTCTTGGATTAGTTCGAAGCTCCGCGCCGATTGATCGTCTACCTGGTTCCCGTCGAATAGTGCTCCTTTATCTTCCCTTCCTTTTGGGTTTATTGTGACGTTCTTACTCCGCTTCTGTCTGAGGACACATGGGTTATCGCTTGGAGGCCTTTTGTTGAATAAGAAATACTCATAGTGCGGTACGAGCGCCTTACAGTGACAGATCTGCCCGAATGCTTGTACTAGGATGGAGTGAAGGAGGGATGGGGTTGTCGGCGCAGAACATTACACAATAGTATGGTTAGCGAGGCGTTTTATTTTGATCTACTTTGGCGTTCCAATTCTTCGTAACTAAAGGTGAAAGCTGTCTCATTGTATCACGGATAGCCCTACTATATAATAATTTCACCGCAGGGCTAGCATTACAGCTTCTAGCTGTACCGACCCAAGGAGGGACCCATCATCCATAGGAGTCGACTAGCAGTAGTTATGCCAACTGTGTGGACCTGCCAATATCATTTCCGACTAGCCCAATGACTCTTTGCCATAGATAACCAAGTCTTCCATGATTTCCTTGGCTCTGTTATGTCATCTACCAGCCCTAATGTACTTGTCGAAGCGACGTCTGGAGACGATACTAAAACGTCCATGGCCAGTCCAACTAGATCAAAAGACTCCACGACCAAATCCACGAATGTCCAGAAGCTCTCACCCTCCCAGCCAATATCTAGCGCAAAGCGCAATACTCGATTGAGAACATTTTTCTGGATGTTCCGGTCTTGCACGACTTCCAATAAGTAAAGACTAAACATCCAGCCAGATACGTCCGTCGGGTGCGCCTGACACCAGTTCAGTGCCTCCTCGATGATTGATTGAGCCAACAAATTGGAAGAGGTCTGTTCCTCTTCCATAGCGTCAGACAGGATGCCGAGAAGCTGTCTCATATAGCTAAAAGCATAGTAATTCTTAGGGTGTAACTCCCCAGCACGGAGAACGGTACGCAGCTCGCTTTTCAGTAGATTATAAATAGTTTCCCGTCCTGAAGTTCCATTCTCCAAAGATAGACCCGGACCCGCAAAGCCCAGGATTTGCGAATTGCCTCCTTTCAGACCCATCCCGCGCACATGAAGCATCGCGTTTAACACCCAAAATCGATGCTGCCATAGCGTTGGCGATTTGGTATGTCTATGTAGCGGGGAACAGAGGAAAGATGTCATGAGAGAGATCTCCCCCTCCAGTGCCTGAAGTAGCTGTTCCAGAGCATCGTTCTCCTGCTCAAGCTCATACCGACGGATATAACCGGCTAGTCGTTTCTTTCGCCAGTTGCATGCTGTGAGATGTTCACAGTCAAAAAGTAGCATAATCTCCGACGAGGTGTTAAAGTCGTCGAATCTCTTGCCCTGGCTCATCCAAGTCGGACCCTCATTGTTGTCCAGGGATGTCGCAGAAGAGTCGCATACGCCGATGGAGTTCTCGAAGAAGATAGATCGAGCAGTCACAAAGGCCTGCACAAGATACTTTTTGGTAATCCCTACTGAACAGCCATCTTCCAGAAACGGTCCAAAAGCTGGAGGAAGGATCTCGATTTCAAGAATGCGATTGCATCTGGTCGCGAAGATTCGGGAGAGGTTCTGAAACGCATCGACGGGAGAGGACATTGGGTGTCTATACACTTCACTGACCAGATAACCCGCCCGTGAGCATGGTGGTGCGAGCCCTGTGGTGGTCGTCGTGGTTCGGGCGAATAGCGCCTGTAAACAAGGTATTAACGGGAGCAGAAATGCCGCAGCCGACAAAAGTGAAGCGGGCGGTAAAAGCCCCAGCGTGACAACGTCACTCGCAGTGTTTGCCTTTTCCATTTTGCCATCTTCTCTTCTCTTATCTCCATTTCTCCCTCTCTTTAACCACGATTATTATTCGCCTTGAAGTCGCATAGTGCAGTTCTTGTCTTTTCGGCACAAGTGGGTTTCGTGGTCTCTTCCACAACCCCGAAACCTGCTGCTGTGTGCGACTGATCCAGCCCGGCCCTCATCTTCTACAACTATATCCTCGCTCTCACCATGTTGTCTCTCATTTGGACGGTCCTCTTCGTGCATGTGGCCATCTACCTGATCAATAGCATTGGTGCAGACACAATCGACAGTTTGGTATGCTCTCCTTTACGGCCTCCATTCGCCCGCCGCCCAACGTTGTGAACAGGCTGATTAACTGACCATGTTCTTGCTTCAAGTTATGGCTACTTTATCTGAAGCTGCCGACGTCGACATCTAAACATGCCCGAGAGCAAGCCCAGTTAAAACGGGAGGTTCTACAACTCAAGCGAGATATGAACAACACCAGCTCCCAGGATGAATTTGCAAAGTGGGCCAAAATCAGGAGACGACACGACAAGACCATGGAAAAATGCGAAGCGATGAGTATGTGTTGGAATTATATCCATACAGTTCTGCAGCCTTCGGAACTAGACAGCTAGCTAACCCAGTGAATTCACAGACAAGACGCTCTCGGCCCAGAAAACATCCTTCGACTGGAGCGTGAAAATCGCTCGGTGGGTAAGCACGACCGGTCTGAAAGTCTTTCTTCAATTCTGGTACTCGAAAACCCCCGTGTTTGCACTCCCAGAAGCCTGGTTCCCCTACTATATTACATGGATCCTATCTTTCCCCCGGGCTCCCTTGGGTTCGGTGAGTATTCATGTCTGGAGCAACGTTTGTGCGACAGCGATCTCGGTATTCGCGGAGATTTTCACGTCCTTGTTACAGCGAGTAGCAACACGCCCTACGCCGGCAGCTACTACTCAGAAGACGAAATGATTGATGCCTTTCATGTTACGTATAGATGGAGTTTTGAACTGTAAAATAAAACAGTGCAGAATTTGTGGGCAATAATATAGTATCTTCATTGGTTGTATTTTACAATATTGAATAACAGATAAGTTATCAAATTGTGATATGTTCGTCAGATAAGAAAAAAATCGTTTCTCGTCAATAACCCCATACCGTAGTAGGAGTTTCGGGGCTTGACTCTATGATTGGTATATCATCATATGAACATATGCAATAGGGGGACAAAAGCATGTTTCAAATACTCCTGAGGACAAAGGGAGTCCAACCCATTCGACAGGGCTTCTGTGACAGCAACCTAGACCAGACCAGTGGGGGGCAGCAGTCACCGCTTTTCCATAAGCTACAGACTCGGAAAGTGAAAAAAGAATGAACTCCTCGCCTCAAGAATGAGCCCCATTGAGTTACCTAGCCAGGATAACAGGATCCTACTAGGCAATCGCATGACTATTCAAACACGACGAAAGGCAACCCAATGAAACAACCTCCCTCCAGCACCCCACTATACCACCATTGTTTCCACCAGATTCGCAAAAGAGCCGGGTGTCGGATATAGATATGGATGCTGGGAGAGAATAGGGCAATCAGCCGCTATCGATTTGCTTCTATGGCGGCGCGTTTCCGCATTGCCTGACCGTTAAATAATTGGACAGGGTGTCCGGGGACTTTCCCCAAAGCTTAAGAAGAGGACCTCTCGCTAGGAGAGACCCTGTGTGTGAGCTTTGAATGCGATCCTTTGAGCGAGGAGTTGAGAAAGGAAAGAAGAAAAATAGAGCGGGAACTTCGGTGATTTTTTTTAAAAACACTTCTCGGTTGATCTAGTGGGTGTGCTAACCTTATTTAGAAGTTCTATGTCAGGTGACTGTATAGCAACTGACCAATAATATCACCTAATTCTTAGTATATCACGAGATATGTCAAGACAGAGGTAGACACCATCAGGTGCGTAGGAATAGTAATGACAGAGCACGAATAAACAACTACGACATGCAATCGTCTTACAGAATCAGTATGAGTGGTAAAAGAAACCTCGTTTATGCTATGTACTAAAAGAAACAAAAGAACTACCCTCCAAGCCTACACCTTAGACTTAACCTTGCTTTTCGCCTTCTTGGCCTTTGCTCCGTTCACAGTAGACGAAGCAGTGGCATCATTGGCCGCCTTCTTGGGGGTCGCCTTTTCTCCATCCTCTTTGGGGGTATCTTTCTCAGCTGCAGGCTGGCCTCCCTTCTTCTCCTTCTTGGACTTGTTTGTGGTATCGTTAGCCTTCTTCTCTGCTTTCATCTCCTTAGGAGCCTCGAGAGCTTTGAGATCATTATCTTCTGCCTCCTCAGGGGCTTCAATGGCCTTATTTCCCCCTTTAGCAGGGACCTCATTCACACTCATCAATTGCGGCAGTTCGAGCTCGTATCCGAGAGCCTTCAGCTTCTCAGCCTTGGCAAGGCGCTTCTTCTGCTCCCGATCAATGCGCTCAGACCACTGGTCCCTTGTCTTGCCCTTCTCGAGGCGCTTCTTCTCGATTCGGTTCCACGGAGTGCGCTTGAACCGTCTGTTGGCACCCTTCCAGACCTCCGGGTGCAACTGTTCCGCCGGCACGTATTTGCACTTCAAAATATGGCCGTACATCAGGTAGTTATCCATGGTAGCCGCAACGATCTTCGCTACAGAAGCCGATTCAAACTCCACGAAAGCGTAATGCTTTGAGCGGCCGGTGATGCGATTCCGCGACAGACGCAGACGAGTGATTTCTCCAAATTGCGAAAAGTATGCCCGCATTTGGTGTTCGTAGAAACCGTGGGGAATACGTCTGTACCAATCAGATGTCAGAATCATAGTAAACACAGCATGAGGGAGGGAATTCCTACCCAATATATACAGTGCCAGGTTCATCAGCTTTACCCGCTTTCTCTTCCTTCTGCTTCTTCAAAATCTTGCGCTTGGCTTTCTTCGAATCAGGGATCTTAGGGATGGGCTGGCTAGGATCATAGCCTTCATCGCCAGACTCATCCTCGTCGCCACTACTCTCAAAGCCCTTGATAAGCGCAACAGTCCGGTCGTCCTCCTCCTCGTCAGACTCGGAGGCTTCAGAGGCGGCGAACTTTTCGTCGTCATCATCGGACTCTTCGGCGACAACCTCCGGCTTCTTCGACTTGGGAGTGGCTTTGGCATTGGCCGGCTTTGTTTTCGCAGCCGGAGCAGCAGTACCATCTTCTTTCTTGGTCTTCTTGTTAGTCGACTTCTTCTCCGATTCGGTCTTGGATGCCTTTGCCTCCACCTCGGGCTCACTGTTATCGTCGTCACTAAGGAAATCGGCAGCACGCTTGCGAGGCTTGATCTGGCGCGCTGGCTCGCTGTTAAGCTTTACATTCGAAGCGGATTTCTTCTCTGCGGCAGTTCCATTCTCCTCGTTCTTTTTCAAGATCGACTTCGGGGAATCCTTAGCAGCCTCGGTAGGTTTGGCTTCCACTTTCTTAGTCTTCTTCGCGGGCGAGTCGGCGGCAGCGGCGGCGACGGCAGCTATTAACATTTCATCAGATAAACGGGAACCAGATGAGGAGAAATTTCGATTTAAAAGTTTGCATACCCTTGCGCTTATTATCCTTCTTACCAGGGGCCATTTTTCTAAAACCCAGGAGAATTGTAGGCTGTGATTGAGCACTACAATTTGTCTGTAGTAAAAAAGGAAACTTATTTTTTCGGGAAATTATTTTTTTCATCGATACTGCGACAGGTAGGCGGTGAGCGAGTTTATCTCCGCGGTAGTAACAGCGTCTGAAGAGCAACAAATCCATCTGGAATTATTACGTTTGTTCGTTTATTTATTCCATCGTATTTATTAATATCCGCTACGATGGGAAAGGCCAGGAATGCATCAAAGGCCCTGACGCATGAAGAAGTCTGGGACGACACTGCTCTCGTCCAGAGCTGGGATGAGGCGGTAGAGGAATACAAGGTATGTTAGAAGACTCCATTTCATTCACGGCGCACGTGATTCCATCTAACATTCAGCATACACAGCTCTACCATAGCATCCATGCTAAAGGGGAGAATTTCGAGGATGTTCTGAGAGAGGCCGAGGCTGCGGAACACGCCCAGGATGCCTCGGATGGCCAGGATCCGGACGCGAACGTTGAAGGGGCCATGGAGACCAACGGCGAAGCGGCCGTAGTCAGTGATCCCTCTGAGACTGCACAGACTCTGCTGATGCAGCCGTCGTCACAGGTACGCGGTGCTACTCAGCTCCCTCTTTTTCATGTACATAGCAGAAGTACTGACGTGATTCCAGACTGCGGAAGGCAAAGGTGCATCGTCAGAAACGCAATCAACCGGAGGGAGTCAATTCATGGCCGAGGCGGCTTCCCCCGGGACAGCTATGCCACAAGCAGCTTTAGCGCAAGGTAATAAATATACAAGCATGAGTATAGATCCAAAAACACGGACTGATTGTTTACAGTACAAGATGAGGGTCTGAAGAACCTCATGATGTCCTGGTATTTTGCGGGATATTATACGGGTCTTTATGAGGGACAGCAACAAGCGAATCGAAGCAAGAGCTCATGATGGATGCAGACAGTATTAATATCTCTTTTGGCTTTTAGGGATGAGTAGGTATAAATCCCCCTTAATAGAGTACAGGGCTACGACACCGTATGTTTTACTTCCTGGAGGTAGGACTGCAAATCGCAAGACAGGAATATTCTTGCTTCTTGGATATTATCAAATATGGTACCGAGAAAAGCTTTAGGTGGCCCCTTCGGAATGTGGTTAGGGTGGACTAGTGAAAATGCATCCATCTAGCCTCGCATAATGGTGGAACACGATATCATTGTACGTCTCTATCTAAGGCAAAGACAGGTCGCTACACATTCAGCATTGCCTCCAACCAGGCTAGCGAACGATTACTGTATGTACATATAAAAATGCAATGACCAAGACCCGGTTTTGAGGTCTGACTGAGAAATGCACTTGAAAATGTACACAATACTTCAAGGACCACTTAAACACTTGAACCTCTGTAACCTCAGCTGACGCCCTAGCTGCATCCCATAAAACACACAGGCCGGCAACGAGAGCCACAATGAGTTTCAAGAGTCTAAGAAGGTGCAAAGAATCTAGACCTATGCTAGTATAGCTGTTATGTATCTCAGAAGAATCGGTTCAAGTGCTAGATACTTAAATTGCATTCCGCCGCATCATTGACATACAATCCAGAAAAACTCCCGTCCCAAAAAGGTAAAACTCAATCAAATAAAAGATACCAAGACTAGATCAACAGAGCTATCCCCCGCTCCCAGATGGTGACAATCAGTCTAGCTTAATTCAATCCGCCGCCGCTCAAGAGTTTACCGAGAACAGGGATTTTGGAGAAAAAGTTGTTCGTCACCTCATGGGTGCTGGACGGGGTTGCGGCGGCGCTGCTGCTGCTGGCCGGGCTAGGCGTCGATACCGTGGCCGATGGTTTGGTGGCCACCTTATCAGACTTCCCCGAACGTGTCGGCACTTCATCATTTTCCGGAGTGCTTTCCTTTTCAGGGGCTGGCTCTTGTTTTCCAGACTCGTTCTTATCTGCCCCAGTGCTCTTGTTCTTGCCATCTCCAATGTCCTCGCTTTGAGTATGAGAGGTTTGTGCATTGTGATGTTGGCTGGGCTTACTGGGGTTGGGCTGGCTGGAGCTGGGCTTGCTGGGGCGATGTTGAACGGGTTTATGTTGGACAGGGCTATGTTGGACAGACGCAACGGGCGAAGGCGAAGGCTGTGAGGCCATAGCCTGCTCCTCCTCTTCCAACTGCTCTTCCACCTTCTCTTCCTCCTTCTCTACCTCCTCCTTCGCCTTCTCACTAGCCTGCATTTTCCCGATGGCCTTGTCCTTGATCTTCTCCGCGTGGTCCACCTTCCACATTTCGTTCATATCATCAAAGAAATTGACGGTGGACTGCCTTCATTAACACACAAAAGGCTTACAGGAACTGAACCTAACTTACTTGCAAAGAGTCCCTGGCCACTGCGGCTGCACTGGCCGCGGTCATGTCATCCTCATCGGCCATAGGATCAAAGCGCTTGGTAGGGAGGGCTGAAGCCAGAGCAGAAAGAATAAAGCAGGCAGCAAGAACGGACAAATTAAGGCGGGCCATTTTGTCTGATAGTATTGCAACCCAGTAAAAAGAAACGAAATATCTAAAGGAGTGGATAGGCTAGGCACAAAGATGTTTATGTAGCCAAATTGCAGCAGCAACAACAAGACGATAAGGCGGTTGGAAGAAAAGAACTACGACTTGTGTCGAGCTTCAACACGTCCTTTATACGAAGTATGTCCGTGGCGATTGCAATACAAGAGGGACGCACGCCCACGGACTTGGGTCGCGTTCAAGCACGCCACACGGCATGGAGAATTCTTTACGTGTTGGGAGAAAGCATCTCGTGTATTGCGACATGCATAAGCCATAAGGCCTTTTAATTTTAGTCAGTAATGTGCCTTGATTGTAAGCAAGGGACTAGGAAAGATATCAAACTCATGGCATGAACCATCGTAACCCTCCATTCAAACGCGTCCATGGAGCAGACTAGCTGAGCAGGATATGGCCAATCCTAATCTCGAATTTGGTAGATCTTTCTGCAGGTATCAAATCTTCTCGCCCTTGATTGCGCAACATACCGACATGATCCACAGTAGAGAGCCCCTTCTCGCAAGTCCTGAGACGTTCAAAGGTTTAACCTGCATACTTGAAGGAGAGCAATATCTGCTACGCGCTGTACATTCCGCCAGCCATTCAAGACGCGACGAAACCTTTGCGAAAAAGGAAACTACTTACGAGTTGGAATGTATCTCCCTGCTTTGACACGTACCGCTACATCTAAAAATCAACAGCGGACGCAACACGAGGGAGAAATGAAGTATGGACGGTGTCCAATAGAATTTCTCTCGGCACGAATTTTGACCTCGAAAATCATGGAAGATGAAGGACGAGACTTCGAATATGCCTGCTTCAAGGAGGTGGATACACTACGAGTTCCTAAAGCACATACCTAAGATGTTTAGCCTATATATTAGTGGAAGATCAACAAACACATTTGAGCAAAGGCAATCCTTTCTGATGAGCCCCGATGCCTGTTCCGAACGGACGGCACACCCATGACGAGTTATTTGGTTCACAGAATCAATGACATTATTTGGCATGGTGGTGTTCACATCTCCCACCTTCGGGGGGGTGATGATTGATAGTGTATGCTCTAAGCGAACCCAAACGACCTCGGAGGAGGCACGGTTAACCCGGTCCAGTGGCAGACGATGGGATTAGAACGAGCACTTGTTCATCGCTCTCGGTCTCTGATCTAAATTTGTAGACGGAATTGGAAGCTTTCACAGCATCCATCAACAAGGGTATGTGAGAGACCTGGAATGGTAAAGAAGAAGGGAGAAAACGTTGGGGAAATCGAAATTTTTATTGTTTAACGTAATCGGTAAGCGAGCGCCGCATGAAAGCGAGCGCCGCACTTCTGTACGCCATATAAAATGGCACTCTTTGAAACCTTAATATCTCAACCACCAGTAGATATAGAACATCTTTATAAGACAATAACATATATATGGATTCTAAAAGGTATTTTCATGTTTTTAAATAGCTTTCTTGGCTTTAAATACTAGGACAACTAAAAATATAAAAAATACAGTTGTAATTTATCTTATCTGGAGAAATATTCATTCCTAAAATTTCTCTGCTTAATATATATATATACGTTATTATATTATACTGTATATTAAATTTTATGCCCTCTAGGTGCTTTATTGTTGAGATATTAGACTCTCAAAAGTGTCATTTTATATGGAATAGAGAGGTGCAGCGCTCGCTTTCATGCGGCGCTCGCTTACCGATTACGTTAGTGCAGCTGTTTGATTATGTCATCACATGTGTGTCCGGGGAAACGCTTTTCCGAGCAGTGACCAACACAGGTACAAAGTAGATACTCGTGCAATCATGGTGGACTAGGAGGAATAGAAGCGTCAAATTATATTCAATCTTATTGACAAGTACAATCACATCACTAGAACTACAGAAACGCCACGGGAATTGTTTAATTATGTTAGGTCATGCAGACAACACCTAGAAGTACGCGACTCGATCTTAAAACCGAGCGAGGACCCTCTCCTGAGTGTCAGATAACGCCCATGCATCACTATGATCCTTGCTCCGGACTGTTTGGGCTTGTTGGGCTGTGAACCCCTTGGCCTCGACTGCCGGGTTGTATCCGAGGCCTGTGATCTTCCCAACGGCTTCGGACGATACGGGAGTGGCCACTTTGCCATCGGCTCGCTTGTACACGGTCACCACCACTGCACCACCCAAACCCAGGTTGTGCTGCAAAGCGGCGTCGGTCCCCTCGATCAGTCGGTTGTTGGCCCAGCCACGTAGATGCCAGACCAGCTCTGCGCACTGCGCAAGGCCGGTCGCTCCGAGAGGGTGCCCTTTGGAAATTAAGCCACCCGACGGGTTGATCACCATCTTGCCGCCATAAGTGATGTCACCCTTCCGGACCATTTCATGCGCCTTTCCGGGCTCGCAAAGTTCGAGTGCGTCGATAGTGATCATCTCATTGGCAGAGAAACAGTCGTGAAGCTCGCAGACCTTGATACCTTTAACGTTTACGCCGGCTTCCTTGACGGCCGCTCGACACGCATTTCGAGTCATTCCGAATCCCATGAGGTCGATCGAACTGCGGTTGTAGAGGGTATTGTCGTCCGTAGCCAGCTGCTGACCAGCGATCAAGACGGCCTGCTCCTTAAGATGCGGGCGCGCATCCAGGAACTCCTGAGAAACGATGACGGCGGCAGCAGCGCCATCGGAGGTTGGGCAGCATTGAAGCTTGGTCAGTGGCTCGTGGATCATCGGGGCCTTGAGAACCTGCTCAAATGTGTATTCGGTCTGAAACTGCGAGTAGGGATTGCGTTTGGAATGTTCGTGGTTGATCCGTCCAATCTCAGCGAAGTCTTCGATTTTGGCGCCATACCTGACCACCGATTAGTTCCTATCCGATCGTGTAGTCCTGGTACCAAGCCTGGAGAACATACTTTTCCATATACTCGCGACCAGCGTTACCAAACATCTGTGCCGCGCCAGGAGCATTCGTGACGCCTCTTGTTTCGGCCATCATCATTCCAAACTGGCCGGTAGGGTTTTCACGATCGTTGTAGACCGACTGAAGACTGCCCGGGTTCATCTTCTCGAATCCAACGACGAGGACACAGTCAGCAGCGCCATGGGAGACCAGGGTGCGGGCCATGGCCAGGCCAGTGGATCCCGTCGAACAGTTGTTGTTGACGTTGTAGATGGGAATCTGGGTGAGACCGAACTGATAGAAGACACGCTGACCGCAGGTGCTGTCGCCGTACACGTAGCATGCAACACCTTGCTCAACATCATCGTAATTGATGTGGGCATCCAGCATGGCTTTCACACCGGCCTCAAATCCGAGCTCATGGTAATCCACCTTTCCCCGGGGCTTGATGAATTTGGTCATTCCCACGCCTAGGACGTAGGCGGGCGATGCTTGCTTCTTGCCCATTTTGAACCTTTTGGCAAGGGGTTACAGGCTGGAAGAATTGTATAATCAGGGGTGGTCACAAATAACTTGATAGGTCTCCCCAGTTCCGGATGTAAAGAACCGGGGATAATGACTATTTTAATACGCTCGCTGACGCTACTCCTTGAGGTACAGAACTGACTTGTGGGATATGCGGAGACGAAACCAATCATAATTTCAGCGGGGAGCTTGCCGCGGCCGAGGTCCCGAGGGTATTACGGGTACGGGGCACGCGGGCTATGCCAGGACTGTGCTGCATAATTTGTCATATGATGCTGAATATTTAGGCCGGAGAGTATAACCAGCAAGCATGTTTAGGGGTTGACAAGACAAGTTGGATCGGTCGATCTGCTATTTCTTCTTCTGGAAGCTCCAGAACAAGGAACCGACGGTCTCGTCGAAACTCACGTGAAGGGCATCGTGCCTAGGTTTGATTACCAAGTATCTCAACAACAGACAAGACCTGAGGGATTGAAGTGATCCATGACTTCTTTGCCTTTTTGAGTGACTGTAGATAGAAATGAGAATCGAACAACCTTCTGTGGAGTATGATCCCTCCGTTTGTTAGAATGTGTATATATATATATTTCCCACCCATTCCTATGAACATTCACAGCACGTGCTTGACCCGACAAGAATCAGCAATACATTCGACCTCCAGTAGGAGATACCCAGTGATCCAAGAATTAAAAGTGCATTGTATTTAGGAATAGGAGTTAGATTCACTCCAAGTACAGGAACGCTCTGCCCTACGACACTATCCGAAGATCCGTGATATGCCTTTGTCCGAAATCGTCGGCAATTCGGTACGCAGGGGAGTCAGATGAAGGGTTTCCAAGAACAAAGAGGTAAACTGAACTTCTTAATTCTCGTACTCCAAAAGGGCTCAACAGTACAGTATGCGAACAGCAAAAATCTACCTTAGCGAATGCTATAATTTCAGGCTCCGTAAGGGATCAATAGTCATAGTCAATACACACATGGAGCGTTTCTTTCTGCCGGCACAACCAGGCCGCCCAGAAGCAAAGCTCAGGCCAATCTAGTACAAGCGGGGTAAAGGATGCGGGTACTAGTGCCACCGTCGGACTGGGTTGGTCCGGCGTTCCCTTGCCACTTAGATCATCATTCATTCCCCATACTCTACGAAGGAGGAATGTGTAGAAATATCGCTCAGTGCAAAGGGATGTTCTGAGAAGTGGAAATATCCACTGTCGTTAGTCTCTAGTGCTCGGTAGGCAACTAGGTACTAAGGTAGTAGGTACAGGTCTGGGTATTCGTAAAATAAATAGCTCGTCCTACTGGATGCCTCACGACGACGTCATTGGACAGGGTAGACTAAACCAATTCGAGCTCTAATGGATCCACCATGGCTCTAGATTGGGAGGATTGGGCCACTCATGTCCGCCCGTCAGCCCGATTGCTCTTTGGCAGGGCGGGCAAGTCTGGTCTCCCACTGATCGCTTGTGATGGTGATCTTGGTCTTCTCCCTTTTCGCACAATTGATTGTCCTCTCTCTCCATTGGGCTCTCTCCCACACGCTGGAGTGGATGTCAGGTTCCCTGGAGGTAAGTGTGCCTTTCATCTCCTTTGTTTTCCCTTCCCTTTATTGTCTTCTGACTGTTTGCATCACTCTCAATATGTATGCAGCGATACCATACAGGGAAACATTAGAAATAATGGGTTCAGAATAGCTAATGGTTGGCGGCCAAATAGGTAGCTCCTGACTTATACCACCCTACCTTGCCCAGAAGAACTTGCGAAGCTTGCTAGAAAGGATCTTTGCAGCTTGAGAAACACATTCAGCTGTGGTGTCTTCTTTCTAGAAAACCTGTGTTGTTGCTGCAACAGTCGTCGTTGAAGGATCTGTGGCCTTCCCCCGTCCAACCCCAGACCTCCTTCCATTGACTAGATCGACTGCTTTATCTCATCTCTAGACTAGACGTATAGTTATCATCTTTCAACAGACTGTGAAATTACACAGGGTTGCTCAGGCCCACTTCATGGACAATTGTGGGACGCTGAACGGTCTGCTCGCACGTTGAGAGACCGCTTTGCGTTCCATAGGGTTCCCCAGCCTGCCTCTTCATGATCGGAAGTCTGTAAACATCACGACTAAGCAACCAACGACTAAGCAGGGTCTTTTTGAACCTGCCCCAGATGGGATACCTCCAGGGATGACTCTTGACAAACATTCTGAACATGCACCCTTTTCTCCTTCTCACTCACAACCTTCACCTATGATCATGCCAGCTGGTAAATCCTGGATTATGGACGAAGCCACCCGTAACAAGCTTCTGAAGGGCTACAAGACCCAAGTGGCATCGGCGATTTCGACCATCTGCGCGACACTTGCTGTGGTAGGTCAACCGACTGTCTGGGAAATTAACGACATGCTGACCCGTGAGATTTCAGACACCTTTGGAGAATGTCAAAACTCGGATGCAGACGTAAGTCTTAATGGTGCAATCCCATGTAATCTGAATTGTAGCTGACTCCGTTTAGTCACAATTTCCAAAATGTGTTCACCTGCGCGCGCTACCTCTGGCGTACCGAAGGACCTCGTGGCTACGTTGCTGGTCCGTATTAATCTCAACCCCACCTTGTCAAACCTGGGGGATCGATGATGATTAACCTGGTTTCAACTGTAGGGGCTTTACCACCTCTCGCGAGCGTGACTGCGGTGCGGGTCGTGAACTTTTCCTCCTACAATGCGGCTAAGCATCGCATCTCCGATTTCATCGAAAGCATAACTGGCCAGTCTCCTTTGGAACAGTATCATCGGCCTGGTAGCACTCCCACAGCGTTGACTCTGATCACTTTCACCTCCGCTGGTTTATTTGCCGGCCTGATCTCCGCTCCTCTGGCTTGTAAGTGTTGACCAGCGAGCTCTCACGGTATCATTTGTTCCTGACCCCTTCAATGCAGGCCCGTTTGAACTGGCCAAGAACGTCGTGCAGACCTCCGTCTTGGTGTCCAACCGTGCGCAGGCGTCTCCTGGAGCTGTGGGTGATCCGTCGTTGCGCAATAAACCTCGTTTAGGCACCATTCAGGCGATTCAGCAGATCGTGAAGCGCTACGGATTTCGTGGACTGTACACTGGGTTTTATCTTCACGCTCTGCGAGACACTCTGGGATCGGGGTTGTACTTCAGCGTCTACGAGACCGTCAAGCAGGTTGCGGCGAAGGAGCTCGGCCCTGACAAGTCTCCGTTCGGTGCTCCCATGATCGCGGGAGCAATTTGCAGCACGGTTCCTTGGTTCTGTGTACGTATATAACCACAGGAACCTTGATTCCATTCTAGTATGCACCGCTGACTGCCTTAGACCTATCCGCTTGACACTAGGAAGACGCGCGCCCAGAGCGTGTTGCTGGGGAAATCCAAGGAGGTGGGCGAAGCTTCAGCTGCGGTTGCAAAATCGAGCATGTACAAAGGTCTTTCGATCATCCTGATTCGCACCGGTGTAAACAACATGATTTTGCTCAGTATTTTCGAGTACATTAAGATGAAGATCGATCAGCTGGATTGATGCGATTTAGGGCTTGCTGCCCAAATTTTTGGCGCTCAGGGTGGGGACATGTGGAAATCGGGTTCTGTTTTTACTATCGAGTACATAGTTGCATGAGCTTGAGGCTCACAAATACAGAATGACCTTGTTCATGGAGTAAGCGAGTATTTGTGTGTACCTAGTACTGTGTAGTTACCTATAAGTAGTTAATTGAGTCTGCGTAAATTGATGCCTGAGGCAGCCTCACGTCATGCCGTTGCCCGGCGGGGTTTTTGGGTTTTTGACAACAACAAAAGATTGCTGATTCTATAATCCTGCCTGTGCTCTCGGGCTTCGTTGATAACCCCGACAATGGCATCGTACGTCTTTCTACGGTGCACAGGCTCTGGAATTATTGGGAGAGGCTAACTCGCATGGTCTAGCAATATCCTTCAGATCCCCTTTCGACGCTCCCACTCCGTCTCCTTGTCGGATGCCATCACCCAGTATATCTCGTCCAAATATGATCAGCGACCTGATATGTTTGCGGACGATCTGTTGATAATTGACCGTCTTCGCAATGAAGCGATCAACGTACAGGAACCCCATGTAAGTGGGGTTAGCCGACTGGTCACGTACGCCGCGCAGCTGAAATGGCTGGGAGGGAAGTTTCCTGTGGATGTGCGTATATATAGCCGGACCTAGAATGCGAGCCGACAGTAATGGCTGACACTAGCCCGGGGAACAATAGATCGGCGTGGAATTTCCGTGGTATCCTGCATTTGGATTCAATACGTCCAGACCCAGTAAGTTGTCAGGGATGAACCGTCTTCGAGTATGAGCTGCTAACCCCGGAGTCAAGTTTCGCAGAACAACATCCGGTTCGAGCTAGCGAACATCCTTTTTAATCTGACAGCATTATACTCGCAATTGGCGTTTTCGGTCAACCGCACGACCACGAATGGACTCAAGCAGGCCTGCAATTACCTCTGCCAGGCGGCGGGGGTGTTGGTGCATCTGCGCACCGATATTCTGCCTGATCTTCGCACGTCACCTCCAGAGGATATGGATGAGATGACCCTACTTAGCTTGGAACAGCTTCTCCTGGCCCAGGGACAGGAGTGCTTCTGGCAGAAAGCCGTCAAGGACGGGCTGAAGGATGCGTCAATCGCTAGGTTGGCAGCCAAGGTGTCTGATTTCTACGCAAAAGCGGGCGACGACGCGGTCAAGTCGAACGCCATCAGCCCTGAATGGATCCACCACATGACGGCCAAGCATCATCATTTCGCGGCAGCCGCACAGTATCGGCAGTCACTGGACTGCCTGGAGAAGCGCAAGTATGGCGAGGAGGTGGCGCGTCTCAGAGACAGCGAGGCGTGTGTAAACGAGGCGTTGAAGGAGGCGCGGTGGATTAACCGCACGGTGCTGGGGGATCTCCAGGGACTGAAGAGCCGGGTGACGGAGGACTTGAAGCGCGCGGAGAAGGACAACGATGTGATCTACCTCAGTCCGGTGCCCCCCAAGTCAGAACTTAAGATGATTGACCGGGCAAGCATGGTTGCAGCTCGGGCACCGTCGCAAGTGACGGACGCGATCTCTATGCTTGGGGATAATGGGCCGCTGGGTCAGCCGTTGTTTTCGAAACTGGTGCCATATGCAGTGCACATTGCGGCCAGCATCTACTCAGACCGTCGCGACCGAATGGTAAATGAGACTATCATAGGCGAGCTGGAGACCATGACGGACAAATTGCGGGAGTAAGATGCTTCCCTCTTGTTTACGAGATGATACTAATCGGGGTTTATAGATTGCTCTCGTCTTTGAACCTCCCAGGCTCTCTACAGGCGCTGGAGAAGCCACTTGGCTTACCGCCGACGTTAGTATCCCACGCGGAAGAGATGCGCCAGCAAGACGGACTGTATCGATTACGTCGATCTCTGGAAGACACATCCAAGGTGAAGACCAATGACAAGTCTGTATATAGCGAGGGAGTGGAACTTTTGGCGGCCGAGAAAGCAGAGGATGATGTGTCACGCCGGAAGTATGGGACCGACCGGTGGACCAGAGAATCGTCGGAGGCAGCGGCCCCGAAGCTGTATACGACGTCGCGCGAGATCGATGGGTACTTTACGTCAGCGCAGAGCAGTGACAACCTGGTGGAGCAAAAGTTGCGAGACTCAGAGGCGGTGTTTCGCGTTCTGACAGGCACCAATCGAGACCTGGAGATGTACGTGCCTAGTAGCCGGAGGGCGGCTATCCCGGCGGAAGTCGAGCAGGAGGCGATTCGGCTGCGGGGATGCTTGAGCGAGGTCAGCCGACTGGAGCACCGGAGAAAGCGGCGGGCGCAAGCCCTGAAAGACAAGGCTCGAGCGGACGATATCAGTGAGTGCTATTCATGAGGTTGATATGGTCCAAAGCTGACGGTTTTAACAGGCGAGGCTCTTCTTAAGGAAGCCGCTCGTTTGGAGAGAGAATTCCCCATGCAGGCCATTCAAGCGAGTCAGTTTGAGGATCTGTTTGAGCAGCAGTTGCATCTGTACGATACCGATCTCGAGATGGTAACGCAGGAGCAGCATGACCAGGACCAGATCGCGGCGCAGGTGCGGGAAGCCAACCGGGCGTTTACGCGCGCGCACAGGGGCGATGCGTCTACCAAGGAGCGGGAGAAGGCCCTGCAGGAGCTAGAGAATGGGTACATGAAATACAAGGAGATCATTTCCAACATCGAGGTGGGACGGAAGTTCTACAATGATTTGGCCAAGATCGTGGGTCGATTCCGGGATGACTGTAAATCGTTTGTGCATCAAAGACGGATGGAGGCCAGCCAAATGGAGTCGTACGCTTCCCCCCGCTCACTTTCTCTCTCTCTCTCTCTATTTTATGTATTCTACAAAGACTGACTATGTGGATAGGGATATTACTAGTGCGGCGGCCATGGCATCACTCAACCTTGCCCAACCGCTGCGGACGTACGCGCCCAGCGCAAGCACATCGCCGCCACGATCGGAGCCGTTGACGGCGCCGCAGCCGACGCGGGCGAACGCGATGGCACCGGGGGTGTGGTCTCCTGAGATGGGGATTCGGTTTGGGGCTGGACAGGCTGCATCTGGACCGGGAGTTGGATCTGGACCTGGATCTGGGCCTGGGATATGGGACCCTAGCAAGGGGGTGAAGTTTTCCTAGCCGGCAATTGACTGTACAGGTTAATTTTTTTTTTTTGTACTATACAAGACAGATCAAAAATATAAAAACATAAAAAAAAAAAAATATTACAACACACGTAACATCACAGCCGCAGCCTCCGCAGCCAACTCCCTCGTCGAGATCCTCAGATCCTCACGTAAGCTCATGAATTGGAATCGATCGATCCACATCCTCCATCGATCCTTGGAGATATGACCGCGTGGGGGGAAATCAGGAGGATCAAGCGAAAGACCAACGGGAGACTCGATCTTCAGACCGACTCGTTCCCATAATTCCTCACCCATGATGACGGACCAGATGGCGGCGGAGGCGACGTAGACGTTTAATTTGGTGGATTCACTGGAATCCCGGGCATTATCTCGTGAAGTCGGAGATGTCCTAGTCACGGACAAAGGGGAAGTAGAAGTAGGAGAAGTAGAAGGAGAGGTAGAAAAGAAATGTCTCACCTCCAACGCATTCTTAATCATTTGTATGGCGACGGCCTCTAATCCGTCCCCATCATCAACACCATCTCCATCTCCATTATCATCATCATTTTCATCACCATTACCATGGTGGGTACTATGATGAAATGGTAAATCCCTCGCCACGAAAGCCAAAAAAGCAACTAAATCTTCCCAAGCCTGAACCTCAATATCATCGAATCCGGCCTTTCGACCCGGCTCATCCTGTAAAACTAGCTTCACGCAGTCAATAAACCGGGGTAATGTAGCCCAGACAATCCTATTCACATTCCTATTCCCACTCCTATTATTATTCCGTGATTCGAATGGATTCGTAGAGTTGATACAATAAGAAGAATAAATATCAAGAAACGGATCCCCCGGTAAGGGGATCGGATTCTGAGAATCCATCTGCGGGCGAGGAATAGGATCTGGTTGATCGCGCAAAGAAGAGACTAATTCGATCAGACGAGCCTGAGCCGACGAGGGAAAGTCCGGTGCTGAGCTGGGCGTGCGACGGAGCTTTTTGCTCGTGTGTAGGGTGGTTTTCCATAGATCGAACAGATATTCCTCTATATTATATTATTATATTAGCATTACTGTTACTGTTATTAATATTGTCATGGATACGGAGGGAGAGCTACCCACGTCTCCATCACCGTAGTAGATTGTGTTAATCTCGTTGGTGATCTCGCGCACGGCAAGTTCCAGACTCAACTGTTCGTGGATGTATAGCTCGATGATCGAGGTGAATGGTTTCTGGAGCGATCCTTGAGTCCATGATTTCTGTGTTGCCAGGGTGTCAATCTCTTCCATCTTGTCTTTCTCTTTTGTCTGCGTTGCTTGTTAATTGTAGATAAAACTCATAAGGTGGTGAGGGATGAAGTCATAGTTCATGATGTCATAATGTCATACCATAGTCATTATCGTATATACTATACTATAATACATCACTCCTTCTCCAATCCCTCCAGGAAAAAATCCAACTCTCTAGGCCCCCCTTGCGAATGCTCATTCTCCGCCAATTGCTCCAACAGACTAAGAAACGGGTCTGCCTCGTGTTCCGCCCCCGTTCCCGCTCCGCCCGTCCCCGCCGTCGATCCGCTGCTGCCCTGCGACTGTCCGCCCGGAGTCAGCGCCGTCCCGGCTTCAAACGGGAACGTCGCATATTGCGGTGGTACTGGGGCCGGTGCTGGGGCCGGTGCTGTCCCTGTCCCCGGGCCGGGAAACGGCAACGCCAGGAATGCCGAGGACACCCCGGACGAGAATCCCAACGCGCTTCCATCCGGTACACTCAGGTTGGCCTGCCACGAGGCCGACGGGAAGCCGGTTACATTGGATCGTGATGACTGCGACGGCAGGGTCGGCGTGGCCGAGGGCATACCGGAATACAGTCGGGGGTCGGAGAAATCTGGTCGGTCGAAGATCCTATAAAGGTTAGAAATGAATGGCAAAAGAGCCTAGAAGAAAGAAGAGACCCACCCCTCCACCATTCGCACATGCCCCCCCTCCACCGCCAGTCCCGGGTAGCGATCGAGGAAATCCTCGAGATGGAAGACCGGGGCAAACCGCACCGGTCGCGTCGCCAGCGTGCGCACCAGTTCCGCATGAGCGCCCGAAATCGTCTGCAACGTCTCGCGCTGGTGCTGCACGCCCGCCCACGACCGACGCAACCATGCCAGCTGCTGCATCTCGCGCACCAGAAATTCCGCGCTCGCAGCAAAAACCTCGCCTTCGTCCCCGTGGTAGTGCACCCCGTGGACGTGAACGGTGCCCGCCGTGCACACGCAGTAGGCCACCAACTCCGGCCACTCCATGCGCGGCGCGTGTCGCGCCAGCTCGACCAGCTCCGCGATGGCGTTGGCGTGCGAAAAGCACAGCGTCGTGGCCTCGATCTGCCACGACTGATGCTGCCCCGACCCGCGCAGCTCAACCAGGTCGATGGGGAGGAACGGTCGGTACAGCAGACAGTGCACCAGGTGGTAGATGAGCTTGCTCAGGAGCAGCATGGTGCTCTCGGGATGGCCGAACAGCGCTTCGATCGACACGAACAGGTCCTGCGTGCCCGCCGCCCAAACGTCGAGCTCCTGGCGGATCTTGGACAGGTTGGACAGCGAATGCCAGGGAAAATGCGAATCCCCCTTGACGCCACCCGCGGCTAAGTACCGGTGAGTGACGCCCAGAATGCGGGTGATGTCGACCAGCAGGGTTGGTGCGCCGGGCCCTTTCCGACGGGACGACTCGGACGCATACTGGATGTTGGGGCCGACAGGGTGGAACAATTCTCCGGCTTCGGAACCCGTCGCGGGCAGGCGCAGCACGATCGAGTGATCGGCGATGAGACACGGCCGCTTCGAACCACAGGTGAGAAACCGATCCATGATGTAGACGGTCCAGAACAGACGGCGTCGCATTTCTCGTTCCGGCGCTGGTAGGGGTGCGGACGAGGGCATTTCACGGTACAGATCTAGGACTAGGGCCATGGCCACGGCGTTCGCTATTTCGCACAAGTCTATGAGCGCGGCCCGACGACCGTGAAAAATAAGCATGGAAGTAGGGGCCCAATATACTTAACGTCATGTAAGCCTTCCTGCCATAGCCATGTGCGAAAAAGGCCTGGGATAGGAGCAAGAGGGTCTGCAACCCTTCGATGGATGGCGTATCGATGTCGACCAGGGGTCGCGCCTGTCGCGCGACCTCCAGGCTCTGGGGAGAAGGAGAATTAGGGGAGGTGTATCTGGAAAGTCAGAAAGCGGTGCTCACTCGGCGGTTGTTTATGACAGATCGGAATCGTGCTCCTACCGCAGGGTGATAGCGTAAATCGCCATGGACAGCGCGGGCGGCAATTGTTCGCATTGGTGCCGCTGACGAGTCCCCGCCTCGTCCAAAATGAGATACGGTTTCCCATGAAGACGCGCAAAATAGGCATCGAGCATGGAGAGCGGTAGCCGACTGGGGTTGGGGGCGAGAACCGTCGACGGGAGCGGTGCAGGAGCCGGATCTGGAGGCAATGACAGGGCGACGGAGGGGGTGGACGACGAGGTGGACGAGACAGGAAGATTGTCATCCTGCAGTCGTTTCTCGAGCCCATCAACGCGTTTCAGCAGGGCTTCGAGGACGTCCGTTTTGGGGCCTCGTTTTTTAGGCACAGCATCTGGAAAGTCCGTAGGGTCAGAACACGATTGATTCCTCTTTCTGGCCACAACTGCGAACCGACCGTAGATACACGGGCACTGGAACACCTTGCAGGCTTCACAGCTGGGCCGTAATCGATTGCATTTGATCTTCCTCTTTCGACAGGACTTGCAGTTCATGGACTCTCGAGGTTCGGCAGTGGCGCGACGGGGGGTGAGACGGTCGATGCTGACCAGGGGCCGAGACATGGTCACATTTGAATAAATAAATCGATGGGTAGATCAATGGAGAGGTGAAAAGATGAAAGAAAAGAGGAAACAGAGGAGAGAAAGAGAGAGGAGGATGAATAAGAAAGAGGAGACCCCGGATTGAAAGAAGTTAGTCTTGTGGAGAGACTTGGCGATTGGGGGAAACACCGGGATTTTGCCTGCTGCAGCACGGAGGGTCCGTATATCTTATATAGATAAATAGTTAATTGGTATTTATAATTATAAAATATAGTCTATAGTGAATGAAAGATCTCCCCAGAGGCCATGCGCACAAAATCAAACGGCACATTCTCCCCCACCAGCAATCGTAGCGTTTCCACCGTCGTCCAGGCATTCACATCGTCCATCCCATATGCTGTCCATCCGGCTCGTTCGGCCTCTCCGACTGGATCCCCCGTTCGTTCACCTCGCGTCAAGTCTAGATATACCTTGCCGCGTGTTGACGTCGGAGATGACCGGCCACTGCTGCGGTAATGTCGCAACAGTGGTTGCACCAGCATCGACTTCTCTGCAGGTAGCGCCGATACAATGACAAACGGTTGTTCTACCAACTTCACCGACTGGATGGACGTGAACGGCTCCAATCCCTCGGCCAGCGGCCCGCGTGCTCGAAACCCGACCGTGTAGATCGCGCCCACCCCGAGACTGCGCAACGCCAACACCGCCGCCGACGCTTCAGCTTCATTGCTGGCGAGGATGATCGCTGCCCGTCCTCGGTACGCCGACGGCACGTAGTCGCGAGTTAAGGTGGCCCGGATCCCCCTCCAGGTCGCGTTCTCCCCCACCAGCGCCTCCCCGGCAGCCACAACGATCGTGTCCACCAGTCCGATCGCCCGCGCCGCCTCGCTGACCGCGGGGATGTACGACGTGCTGCTGGAGATGGGCGGATGCACCGACGCTCCGCCAAATGACGGCTGCGTGATGACCCGCTCAATTGACCCACTGGGCCCGCGGTCGATGGACGTCAAGGTGTGCGGCAGGCTGAGCTCGTTGAAGCATTTCTCCATGAACACCGACTGCGGCGTCGACCGGAAGGATCCGATCGCGTACAGATCCCTCTTTGGCAGCGTCCCCATGATGTGCTGTGCCTCGTTGATCTCCGCCGCCGTCAGCTGCCCCGGCGCCGCAATCATCGGCAGCAGCGGATGCGTGATAGGCGTGAACACTGTGTTGAGCGCCCGCGATAGCTGCCCCATCTGGCCCATGTTGACCGCCGAGAACAGCGGATACACTCCATGGGTCTCGCGGATCGTCGACCGGAAATACTCGAGTTCGTAATTCGCCTCGATCGTGTCCACCATGGCGATCATTTTCACGATGTCTGCGTAACGAGCACTCTCCGCGTAGATGCGAGGCGCGTCGGGCGAGGTCCATTTCCACGTCCCCGAAAAGTCATGGAAAGCCGACATGATGGTGCTGTTGCCCCTGTCGGCTGTCAAGCGTCGCCGAATTTCTTCCGGCAGCCACAGCTCCACGTCGACGTACTCGACACCCCACTGGATCGCCCGACGGAGATAGCGATAGAAGAGACCCGGGTCGTCCATGGGGAATTTGCCGTTTTCATTAGTGCACCTAGTGGTGAAGATAATCGGCAGTTCGGTGTGCTGCCGCAGCAGCATCAGCTGCTTCCCGACGTACCGTAGGCTCGGGACGGGGCTCGAGGTCTCCGGGGCGGAAGGGTCTTTCAGCAGATCCACGCGGATCTCGACCGCATCGGAGCCGACGGAAAGTATATCAAGGTTGGGCAACGCCGCGTGGACGTCCGGGAAAGTGGTGGAGATGAACTTGGTGCGTTTCTTAGTCTTCAGGCCGTCGTGCGGCCTCGTCTGCCCTAGGATCAGGGATAGGAATCGGGTCAGATCGCGGCGGAAAAAGGGGCTTCGTAGTGAGTAAAGAAACTCGTAGTGACAGCTCTCGGTGAGCGTTTCGTCGGGAAACGAGCCATCATCTACGCAATGCGTGTTGATGACAGTCCACGTGGATTTGTCGCACCCCTCTAAGCTGCGAAACAGGTCGTCGGCCAGAATCCCAACCACAACAGCACCACTACCATTCCCCAGGGCCGACAGCGACGTTTCCGTCGTCCATGGTTTTCCCAGAACCTCCGCGACCACCTGAACAATGGTCTCCTGGCCAGGGCCGTATACAATCACCACCGCCCGTGAGGGCTCCGGCGGAACAAGATTCTGGACGAAAGAGGGCGGTGACGTTCCTTTCGCAGGTGTAACGGGAGTAGACTTCTCCGGAATAACAGTCATATCCTCGGGCTGATGAAGGCCTGTCTGCATCATCTCATCGTTCAGGCAGTATACTGCGTTCTCATGCTTGAATGTCGGCAATCAGCGGAACAAAACTCCCCTCCGGACTCGGCTCGGTTTCGTAAATGACTCGAGGGAGGGGTTCCGCGATGCTCAGAAGAAGGGAGAAGGGGGAACCACGTCAGGGATGTAACACGTGGAGTCGCATTGATAATTGCGGTCCGAGTTGGAAGTAATCCTCCAGATCTGCTCGAACAGTGGAGGACAATTAAGTGGTACTAACTCAGAGGACGAGACGGTGGCAATTGTTGGACGTAGATGGGTTAATATCAAAGAGAGTTAGAGACAGACAGATGGCAATGCGCCCAATGAATAGAAGTCAGTAATCCGCGTCAAAATGAACTGGGATCTAGAGAGCAGCCCAGGCAACGACGACATTTGCCAGCGACAATAATCACCATGCGAATCGAACTGGATGGAAGAAGCTGCACAAAGTTGAAGTCCTCCGACGGCCAAATTTCCCCGGAATTTCTGCTCCGCGCGGAAGCCATTTATCCGCCAATCAGCGCCGGCACACGCTCACGATGTCTATAGATAATATCTACAGAGTACAGGCACTGGGAAGGGCCATCTACAGGAATCAGAGATAGTGAGACAAGGATAGGCCTCAAGATAGTCCTCATTGCTATCAAGATGGTGGCACAGCCTGACCTCAGATCCACCTCAAGACTGGCTGTGATACGAGGAAAAAGCCTCCCCTGGAGTTTGTCCATGAGTGTCCCCTGTTAGTCCGTGGGACATCCACCTTTCCTACGTTTAATCCTGCATGGGACTCAGGAGAACCGAGCGAGGCCGGACTTGTCCGGCAATCTGCGAACTGTTCATCCGGTGAAATTGGATCGCATGGCTGCAAATTCATGCTGCGACACTCTTCCGGTAACTCTGATTCGATAGTTTCGCTGACTGACAACGAACCTCCAGGCCACTAGGGCCGATAGCATAGCCCATACGGAATGCCAGAGACTGTCTCAGGTCTTGGTGTCTATGTCAGCCTGTCGGAGAGTGTAGATGATCTGGAACCGGTGACAAGTACTAGTACCGTACATCTTATCCCAACCAATATGGCGCATTCTACCAATACTTGTTCTTGTCAGATGCAGTGCAAAAGAGCCGTGATTGATTGTCGTAGTAAAGTGTATGTAACATGACAACAACATAGATCACCATTATTTATTGAGAAGAAGTGACAGTTTAACGAAAAGAAAAGGCTTCGAAATTGAAATACAAAAAAGAAGACAAAAAAGAAAAAAAAAAAAAAAAAAAAAAAAGGCCAACCATCCACAGGGGGTATTGAGAAAAAGGAGCCCAATTAAGTTATAAATTAAAACAGTAAACAATGACCAAGTGTACTTAGCAACTGACCGAATCTCGGAAATAACTATAGGTCGAAGATCGTGAGCAATCAGTGGCTTCGAGATCAGTGCAATGTATGTATGAAGGTAGGTATGTGTACATGAATGCAGATGTGATGTATGTACCACCCGGGGATTCCGTTGCACGTCCTGACATGGCCGGCGATGTGAACGAACTTGAGACAACAGGTCTAAGAGCTGCAGTACCTCGGAATTTCTGCAGGTCAGACGCAGTCTTCGAAAGTTGCATCTCGTCCATCCGTTAATGAGCGGGTGTCGGTGGTTTAGTAGATTCCGCCATCTCTCCACTTAGGCAAACACAACTCCCAACAATTGATATCCAGGAGAACCAAACAGAGCAAGAGCCGAACTATTTTCCGGCACGCTAAAGCAATAGTGGTCGCTCGCAGGGACAGGACCGACGGTGTTTTCAACATTCAGATCCATTGTGCCGTCAATTGCTGCAGTATGCATGTATATGGCATTTCGCATCTGACATTGGCTATGGATACCAGAGATACGACGGGAGAATACGTGGCGGGATCATGGCCCATGAGATCATCTCATATCCAATGATATTCGCTCGGAATTTGTACTCCACCAATGTCCAGGCCTCGTCGATTACGGCGGGGAAATGGCCAGCCCGTTCATAAGCTTCGGGAGTGGTTTCCTACGGGCGTTGTTTGCTGTCTTCGACACACGAGGTGCTCCATGGATCATGCGGGGCTCTCTCATCAGACTGGTATCCAGCTTGGCGGGTGCTAGAAAGGAACAGTCAGCGCTGCTAGTAATTTTACAACAAACGTATGGCAAACCTCTTGTGACCACGCGGGTGTAATCGCCAGAGAGGTTCTGCTGACCACCCCGGCTGCCTATTCCAAACGTAGTGGCGCTGGCGGTTCTCCAGAGATGGTTCGACGTGTCTGACAAGAAGTCCGTCATACTCCGGCTCGAGAAGATCGACGATCGCCCCCGATTCCGTTTGGACAGAACAATTTCATCAAATAGCGCCATCCGCGGGTCTTTAGCTTTGGGATTAACTCTCTCTCGCTCACTAATGAACTCATTGAAGCCTGCGTGTGCAATCCTATCAGTAATCATACCGATATGGAGGAGTCCCAAAGCCAGACTTACCTTGGGTTTGCTGTAGAACGGCAATGTATTCCGCATGTTCACCTGGCAGGCTCTTCAAAAACGCCTCCATGTTGAAGTTGTAGGTCAGACCGGCCTTTTTCTTGTCACCGGAAGCTGGCTGAAGATACTTCTTGTAGGTATAGAACAAACTAGCAAAACATCGAACGAATGCGGCTCGAACCTGTTCCGGATGGAAAGCAGCAGGACACACCAAGCAGACCTGGAGAGCACACCGGCTGTGCACTAGAGTCTTACAGGCAGTGCACCTGTACATACCCTCCTCAGCCCGCTCATCACAGATAGCGCAAACCGCCTTATCATCGACCGGCTGCACCCGCAAGCAGTGGCCCTCGACCCAGCAGGTCCCTTCGGAACTGTGAATTGGCTGGATGGGCGCCTGGGGCATAATTGTCGACGCTGCGACTGTAGATTGAGCATAGACAGACGGTGCGTACGTAGAACCGGAGTTGTAGTCGGTGTTTAGAGTTGTTACGGAGAGGTTTGGCGCATGGCCCAGGAAAGGAGCACTTGGCCGCCTCGGGCCGCCCGGGCGTATGTCCATACCAAAAGACGAGCTTCTCCGGGATGCTGCATCGAAGTGACCTGAGCGTTTCTCACGTAGAGAGGCCTGTAAAGCCAATCCGGAATCATTTCGAGAGCTCGGCGTCGGAGGGGGAGGTGGGAAGTGACCAGATGTGGGGGAGCTGTCGCGCGGTGAGGGTGGCGACCCGGCCTTGAACGTTGAGCCAGTTCCTGGTCGGTCGGCTCCCTTTGACGAGTAACCTCGGGATGAAACCTGCTCATACCGAGCATGCAGATAAGCGTTGAAGATGAGCGGCTGATACGAGCTCGGGGACACTGAACTCTGGCCAAATGCACTGGAGTTGAGACTGACATATTTCGCCAACTGTGTGGACTGGGCCCGAGAGTTAAAGATTGAGGAATTCTCCGACATAAAAGAATCGAATGGGAACGTCTCAATCGCATATGCTGGCGGTCCAGTTGGGACTCCGAATCGACCGTGATGCGGAGCTGCCAACTGAAGTAGTGACAGAAGCTTCCGGCGCTGATGGCGGGGTAGTGGGGTTGGTCGGACGGTGCTTTCAATGATATCGGAATCAAGATCCACCAGGACGAAGTCATCGGAGGGAAGCTCGACCTTCTCATATCGGCGCTCGATGCCGACAATGTATGGACACGGGGCTTCAATTGCCTGGATCAACCGTGCAGGAAGGACGGGAATCAACACGCCAGACCATGGGATGGGAAACAGCAGGTCCACCAGAGCCTTTGTTGCCAGATAGAGCATCGACGTATGGGACGAGAGAAAGATAATACGCGATTCAGTGAGAGCGTACTCCAAGAGTATGATAATATTCGACAACGATAGGGTCCGGAACAACGCATAGATGTCCGTATTTCGGGACCCTGGTAGCTCGTTGGAAGCTTCGTTCCGTGCAAAGAGACGTAGCTCGCGAACCGCCAGCTCCACCTGGGTTTTGGAGGTATTGGGGCTGAACGCCTCGGTGCAGAGGTTCATCACGTATCGCTCTAATGGCTGCCAAATGCCCATGCGCGGAGAACTTGGAGGAACCCGCTGAATGTTGCCGTCGGTCATCGGTACAATAACAGCCTTCAGCCATTCTTTCCAGAAGCTTGTCATATTTGCCTCTCGCCCAAGAATGCCATAGGCGCGGGGAATCCAAAATCCCGTGTCACCGTCCGTCAGCCCTTCAATCTTTGAGGCCGCACCATGGCGTACTGGGCGTAAGAGATCGGTCATCAGCCCGATCTTCTCTTCAACTGCGCTGATTTCATCCTCCAACTGTTCTCTCGAATCCGAGCCGGATGGAACTGTGGGAAGCTGAGCCAGGAGCCTGGAAAGCTTAGCACGTTCAGAAGCCAGTCTTTCTCCAAGACTCGCCGCCAGCTCACGTTCCTCATCAGTCATGTTATCTTTCCGCCATTCTTCACAGCGCTTTTCCAACTCCTCGGCGGCTTGCTGGTTTAATGGAATCCAGATGATAACGCAGATGGCGTGTAACCGCGAGCCATTGTCCGTTGTCATGGCAAAACCGTGCCACGTTGACCGCGGTCTCTGGTCCGATGAGACAATGTTGATATCGTTGGGGAAAGCGAACATCGGTACATAGTCGGGGAAGTTGCCTCGCTGCTTCAGCTCGTCGGACATAGTCTTCGTGGGGTACCGATCAAGAAGGACGGGTTCAAATCTGCGTTTTAGAGGGTGCATGGTAGGTGAGATCTCCAACGGCTGCGGCGCTGGGATCACCGAATTGTAGTTGCTGAGTCGTCGCGAAGTTCGAATGGATGCTATTGGCGGCCCATAATTAGCACAAGCTACAGACATAGGCGGTTTTCTTATACTCCCGAGCATTTCTCCAGGACATTCTCACCTTGACGAGCAACTGACGGCTGCCGCTTCATACTATTCATATCCCTAAAGGCCATATGGCGTCGTACACTCCCGATGCCGGATCGAAGCAGGCTGGCCGGCTGGGAAGGAGTCTCTTCGGAAACAATCTTTTGCGTGCGTAGTCGGGATCGGGGACGAGACTGGGTCGTAATTGCCCCCGCACTGAGGCTCAAGTCAGACAGGAAGGAATCCCTCTCTGACGCGAATTTCAGCAGCGCCTTGTCAAAGTCAAAGTCTTCCAGGAATGACGAGCCTCGAGGGGACTGTGCACCCTTGATAGTCAAGCTGCTGCGGTTGCTGTTGGAGCCATTCTCGTTTGCACCGGGAATTTCCGAGCGCATGGAGAACCGCTGCAAGGAATTGCGTCCGGCGATCATCGAGCCGGGTCGGGAGAGTACATCTAGACGGGGATCGTGGGCCTCCTCCGCGTCCGCATCTTCTTCGATGGTCTCCGAGACGGCGGGACCGGGCGAGGTGGCACTGTTGGCTCGGTACTCATCCCCTAGCTTTTGGAAGGTTTCCAGGATCTCTGACCCATCTACACCGGCAATCCAGAAGTAATCGGCGAGCGGGGTGGTGGACACCTCGGGGGTGGAAGAGGAGTATGGCATCTCGTCAAGTCGTTGCTAGTTGGGCGCGGGGTTAAAATCATAAAATCGTCACAATTTCGTGGGTTCTCGTCACGACATGGAGCGAATCCAACCACTTGATACTAGGAACCCTTCACCGGCATCAATGGAGTCGTGGGTGAATTCTCAACGATCAGAGGTTTCGGAATGGGCAGGAAGGCGGTTGCAGTGGTAGCGAGAACACATAAAGTCTGGGGATCGCGACGGCGTCGCAGGACCGAAGAGGGGGGTCTGTTTGGAAAAGTCCTCCGTCCTCAGTCGGCGAGAAGGCGAGAAGGAGAAAAGGACGAGGCTTTTGTCTTGTTGCGCAGCAAAATTGGGCCGGGGGTGGGAGGTTGGAAGTTGTGTAGCTGCAGCAACATTCACTAACGAGAAAAAAAAGGAGTGGTGGAGAGAGAGAGACGGATGAGGGGGAATAGAAAAGGAGGATTTGCTTTGGGGGTCGACACCTGTCTCTTTGTGTAGATGGTCTGGATCTTCTAATTTAAAAAAAAAAAAAAAATAGGATTTCCTCTTTTTTATTATTTATTTGAATTTTTTTTTTTTGATTCTATTCTATTCTATAGTTTTTCTTTTTGATTCTTCCTTTCTGTGATATTTGACTAGAATGTATTTTACGGGGTTTTTCCCCTCCAATGGAACCAAGAACGGATGGTTGCGTAAGGTAGACTGGACTGGGGAAATACTTAAGTTAGGAGCAAAGCACACGCACGACCTAGGGAAAAAAAGGTCGAGTTTATCTTATTGCAACTGTCAATCGATTTCCACTACCTGTCTATTACTTAACATTACCCACTTGGTGGATAATGATTCCTGAGCGTGGATCTTAGGCAACAGAAACAGAGCTCACCAAAAGCCTGGTACAGATCCATTCACTAACATTATTCCGTAGATCATCAAGTATACGCCGGAGTAGGCCCTTTTCATACTACAAACAGTGCAAGATTCAAAGAGAGAAATCAAAAAAAAAAAAAAAAAAGCAAATAAACGTGCAGGTTGGTATGTTCTGCTTAAGCCACTTGAGAAGGATTTCCGACCCGTCCCATGCAGGAGCAATACCAAGTCCATCTAATCCCAGCCCAAATGGACCAACTACTGCACGTCTACGGGGTCAATTTCGCAGGCAGGGTCTCTCTCTTTTTTTTTTTTTTTTTCCCTCTCTTGTTGTAACTCAGCTTCCCTGGATCAAATCCAGCCATCGCTGAGGCCCCGACCGGTAAGTACCTATCTCGGAGACTGGACCAGCCAGCCAACGCCTAGATGCGAAAGACCATCGTCATGCTGTGATACGTTGCCCTTCAACGTATTCGGTTTCCAACTGATACGTTTAAAGGACAAGGGGGACCGGGAGAATATAACCGTCGGGACCAGGTGGAGCCAGTTGTGCACACATTGGCTTGACTTACCATGGGTACTCGTCCACTTTTCCCATTAGTTAGTGCATCTCGCTAAATTTCTGGGAGCGAACCACTGTTCGAGATAACCATGAAAGTAGTAGTGCTTGACTGGATGTTCGTTCCCTCCGATTCCCTGGCTGCTGGTGCTGAGGAAGTGGAGCGGTCCTGGGAACTGGGAAGTGACCCTTGCTTCTCGGGAATGGTTTCTAAATGCTCTGTTTCATCGAGCCCGCACATCTTTTCCCTCCTTTGGTAGTTACGTTGATATGACACCATTCCAACAGGTTGATGAGAATGATACATAGGAAGGGGATAATTCCACAACCAGGCTCTTTTCTGCCCATCTTGGGGGCCATTACTATATAAATCTACCATGACGACGACACCAGCGTACCGAGACCGGGATTATGGGCAAAGTGGAACCCCCCATGGAGTCTGGAGATTGCCGATGGACAGTGGTTATTGGATGGCGAGCAATTAGGCAGAGCTCTCAATGGAGCCGAATGGCAGAAAATGCAACTGGGGGACTGCTGAATCGCCGAAAAGGGGAACGCAGGGCCGATTCTATCCATGTGTGGGAAGGCAAGTTTGAGTTAGTGTGGGTTGCCGAGGTTTCAGGGCGACTTTCAGAGGATTCCTTCGTAGGGACGGAGACTGACTGTCCTGTTTCTGTTGCTCATTGTCAGCCAGCATACTATTATTAGGTGGGTTGTCAGACTATGCTTGATAATAATAGAATAACATTTGGACTGACATACTACAGTAAAACCCCTATATAAGCAGCACCCGATTTAAGCAAAACTCCGGTATAAGCAAATGAACACGGTGTCTAATTTGATTTTCCATATTAATATGCTTAACCCCCCGATACAAGATCTTTGCTTAATTTTTCGCCCTTTCCTATATAAATTTGCCTATATCGAAGTCACAAAATTGCTTATTCAGATATCACACTTTGCTTTAAAGATGGCTAAGAGGACGCGTCGCGCTATTTCAAATAGCCAGAAGGCTGCCCTACGCGCTCAACATCATTTAAAGCCTTATCTTTCTCTGGCATCTCTTTCTAAGTGGTTTGAAGAGACATATAAACAGCCAATTGACCGCTCCTCGATTAGCCGAATCCTCTCCTCTCGATTTGCCTTCCTTGACGACATTCAAGCGCATCAATCTGAAGATAAACGACGCCGTACAGAATCCTGGCCAGAGCTAGAAAAGGCACTCTACAACTGGATACGGAGGGCTGAGGGACAAATAACAATATCTCAGGAGATTATTCGGCAAAAGCAAGGGATTTCTGGCCGGAGGTCTATCCAGAAAGGGAGATGCCGCAGTTTAGCAACGGCTGGCTTCGACGCTTTCAATCACGCAGAAATATTAAGTGGAGGAGTCAGCATGGTGAAGCTGGAAGTGTATCTGAAGATGCAGCTACTGAAATGGTTATAATCCGTCACGCTCTTAGTATATATGCGCCTCAGGATATCTTTAACTGCGATGAGTCAGGTCTATACTGGAGGATGATCCCGGACCGGAGTTTATCTACACGTTTGCTTCCTGGCCGCAAGAAAGAAAAGGCTCGAATAACTGCGCATTTCTGTTGTAATTCAGACGCTTCAGAACTCCTTCCTATCTGGTTTATTGGGACAGCTAAACGTCCCAGAGCCTTTACTGCAGCTGGTATTAATATTGAGAACCTTAACTGCACTTGGCGCTCAAATAAGAAGGCATGGATGACTGGTGATATCTTTAAAGAATGGCTGCTCTGGTTTGATAGAAGAATGCAAGGCCGAAAAGTTGCTCTTTTAATGGACAATTTTTCTGCACATGAAGCTGCATATAAAGAAGTAAACCCGCAGCTAAAGAATACACTGGTTATATGGCTTCCATCCTGCTCAACGTCACGGTATCAGCCTCTTGATCAAGGGATTATACGCACATGGAAGGCATATTGGAAAAAAAACAGTGGGTTTTATATATGATGGCTGAGTACGACCGTGGTTTTGACCCGCTATCTACTATGACAATCTTACAAGCAATTCGATGGGCAATTTCTGCCTGGGAATTTGATTTGTCTAGAGATACAGTCAGAAACTGTTTTCAAAAGGCCCTTTCAATTGAATATGTCAATGAGCTTAATGATGAGCAACTTATTGACGATATAAAGCAAGGACTTCAACGCCTAAAACTCTCAAATAGTATCCAGGACATTATGGATATTAATCAGTTTTTGAATCCCACAGAGGAGCAGGTTGATGATAGTCTTATAGATATTGACTCCGCAGTTCTGTCTGAAATTGCACCGCCTCCAGCTTCAGATAGTGATGAGGAGGAAGATCTACAGCCTCTACCAATAATTACACCTACAGACGCTTTAGAGGGCTTATATAAACTACGACTCTATCAGGAACAGCAGGTTGATGGAGATAAGGCCCTTATTCGGCTTCTTACACACCAAGAAAGGCTCCTTCTGGAGAGAAGAGCTCAAGCTCAGCGTCAGACAGATATCCGGTCATTCTTTGCCTGACCACCCACCTCCACCTTATTAAGCTGCGGGGCCCCCTGGTTGCCAAAACATGCAGAATATAGGTTATATCTTATAGAATGATTATAATAATTAATATATGCGTTCTTTAATTCAGTATGGTGCAGTAGATTTATATAAAGCTATATAAATATATATATTTATTACCTTGTTCGGTATAAGCAAAAATCCGGTATAAGCAAACTTTTAGCCGGTCCGAATTCTTTGCTTATATAGGGGTTTTACTGTATCTACCTGGCTGGGGTGTGTGTGGGGGGGAAGCAAAAAGGAGGTGGTGGTGCTGGCGTAGTTGCCGGCTTCTCCAGAAGAGAACTGATGAATGTCCTGGGGGTTGGGTCGATCATAAGTGGAGACGAGACAAACGACATGACCATGGAATTTTTCTATCGTTCGTATTCCTTGATCGATTGCAAGACGAGCAGATCCGATCTCCAATATGGAGGATTCAATGCTGTTGGGGATCTATCTCCTCGGACTCTGTATATTCTGATTTATTGCCCAATGTCAAGCCAACAGGGTGGTCTCATCTTGTCTCAGATCCGTCTGTCTCTCAGTCCGCCTCAGAAATCCCTAATCCCTTACATTGGGAGTCTTCAAAAGAAGAAAGGAGAAAGATCAAGGAAAAGATCCCACAAAAAAAAAAAAAAAAAAATAGGAAAACATCTCCGTACAAAGTATAAGTGCTGCACAATTCCGCTCCTTACATGACCCTACTTCCATCCCCAGACTGACCCACAGCCTGCCATGCATAAACTACCACCCCCTTTTGCTCCATATTTCGGTACTTAAAGAGGCTAAGTATTAATGTATAATATGCCTATCTGGTATTCTGTTAGGAAGATGACCACTTACCCTACAAAGTAGAGCACCTAGGTACTTGTATTGTATCACGATCTTGGTATCTACGATATCCTAGGTCCATTCGACGATGACCCGGGGTGCCACTGCCTGCTGCAGTTCTACCTGCCGACTTGGGTATCTACAGGGCAAATACTCCGTATGTTTATCTCCCATCGTTACACAGCACCGGGGATGGTGGCTCGGTTGGCGGTTAAATGGGGTGGTACGGAGTACTGGTAGAATACAGAGTAGAATATGACAGTATAGCCATCCAAGTTGCAGTCCTAGGGCTGGATAGGTATTGCTGCAATGGTCTTAGTACCATATTTAGCTTTTGCCTAGATGTGAAGGCCACCCTGTATTCTACAGAGCAGATGTATCCAGCCCAACTCAAACGCTCTAGAAATAGTTAACTAGCATGGAAAACTAATATTAAAGTCATTGTTTTTCATTGTTTTGTAACTGGACAGTCTAGACTCTTGCAAGCTGTCAGGGAACCTGTATGTTTCAGACTATCTACCAATCAGACATTGGAGTCAAATGGAAGATTCCCTTTGTCTCTCATGATTATCGTGCTAGGATGAGCTACAAGGATTCAGTTGCCTTGTCAGAAGATAGGCCAGCCATTATACTTCAAACGAACGCGTCCTACGATGGCGCATAGATGTGGAACTATATTTTCCCAATACAATTTTCTATAGGGTAGAAAGCTTATAAATTTAGCTGTACTTTGGGCAACCCCTCATTGTTAAGCCAACTGCCCCTGGTGCATCCCCGGTTGTGTGTAACTACATCAATGCGGAAGGATCCGAGAGGGCTGTGCTTAGACCGGTGACAAGGATCCATAGTCCATACTGCCACTGGGTAGTTTGCAGTGCATCGAACTGACATCGAGACGCATGAACCGTAGTATTTGAACGCCGCAGCTGTTTCATGTCTCGTATAGTTCGAGCCCTGCTTGGATGCACTAGACGGTTCCATTCATTGCACAAGAGTACAATGACATCATGCAATTGACTCTGTCAACTCTCATGTCCGCCGTCGTGTGAGCAGGTTTCCGGTCGTCAAAAATCCTTTGTCTCCCATAGCCCCCCTCCATTCTATAGATAGTTGCCCCAATATGGCCCGCCCATCCCGTTTCAGATCTTTCTGCAAAGTCTCCAGTCCTTCCTGCTGTCCTTCTTCCTGTTCAACAAGGAACGCAACTTGCAAGACGTCGCGTGGGTTCAAGGTGGGTGGCTGCGAGTCGGACCGGTCGGGCCGTTCGAGGTCCCAGTTCAAAGAAGCCGCCTTGAATGGAGGCTTGGGGTTTAAGTTTGTTTGCTGGCCGGAGTATTAAAAAAAATCTATTGCCCTAGCAAAAAGACTTTATCCACTTACCTTCACCACGACGGCACCGTCGCCCACATTTTCCAACTGTGCCTCAAGAGCAAAACGGAGTAATCGAGTTTTCCCGTAGGGACCCAACGATTTATTTTCAACCTCCAGTGGGGCCAACTCGGACGATTTCGTCCGCACACTCAGACATGGCTGTGCGACAAACTGATAAAGCTTGCGGAATGTCCTCACGCGTCCACTAGCCGCTTGCGAATCGGAGCCAATTAGAGTCTCCGTATAGCTGACGCTGACCGCTAATATGTGGTTTCCTTCTTCCTTGAGATCAAACCGGACGATTTTCTGCAAAGACTGTCCTTTCTGCAGGCCCTCGTGCGCAGAGGTATCTTCTACGGGCTCCAGATCCAACGCTGCTACCTGTGAGGGGGTTTGCATCTCTGCGACGATGCGGACCGACGTGAGAATGCGCGAGGTCTCGTCTTCCGGGAGTTCATTGTTCGCGCTGAGAGTGCAAGCGAACGTTTCGCCCACATAGGCAGATCCAAAGGCAGGCGGCAGTGTTAGCTTCCACATATGATTAGCGCGGAACACCCAAAAGCCGGGAATGTTAGCCGTACATTAGGAGAGAGGATAAATTGGTCATCGGCGCTATCGGATGGGTAGCTCAATGATGCTTTGCTCGAAATTTTCGTATTTGATGCTGGAAGAGGGTACTGATAAGACAAGGAAGGTCGTGATAGCCTTACGGACTTAGGTCACCACCATCAATAACTGCGAGAAATGCTGCTTACCGGAGCACTAGGCTGATTAGCTAGCTTCCGGGGAGATGTGCAACCGTCCATACCTTTCAGAGAGACTGCATGAGGCTCTTTGGGGCCATCAGCCCCAGAATGGGCCCGTGGACGTGGCATTGGGGAACAGACATAAGATGAGGTGCTTTGGAGCTTTCAAGTACCACAGCCACATTATCGTTATCAGGCTGAGCGCTAGTGGAGGGCAAACAGCGCAAACCAGACAAACACACCAAACCTCCGCGTCATCGCAAGCTCCATCCCATGTCAACAATAATCTTTCTTACCTTGATCGATTCATTTGGCATCGTTCTGGAATCTATATTTCCATATTGCGTCGACATTGTGGGTTTTATGTTTACTGGAGAGTGCTGGGGAATTATATGAGCGCTTGGTCGTGAGATTTTAGCTAAGGAAGCGTCTGTTTAAATTGCCACACGGAGAGAGACCTTCAACCAACTGTTACTTTCACCTCCTCTTCCTTTTTCATGACCTACGGTTCTACGGTCTATGCAAGAATGAGTGCATTAGAAGATGCCGTATCACGTCGACGGGCTAGCACGATGTCATCGCGACGAGGCAACGCTCCAGTCTTGAGTACACTCAGAACATCAAAGAGAAAGCGAACTATTGAAAATGAAACCAATCCCAGAGCTACGCCTGCAAAGAACACCCGACACAGGGGGAGCAGCCATGCAGCAGCCTTGTCACATTCTACGGAAGTGATTGATTTAACGGGCGAGTCTCCCACTACCAGTCCAGCAAAGAAGCGGACAAATGCCAAAAATACCAAAACCAAGAGATCGCCAGCTACATCACCGGTTGAACGCCGAGCTAGAATGTTTCGGGGCCATCCACCTAAATCATTCCTGGAGAGACTGTCGCGTGCAACGACCCAACGGTATGGCTGATCTAACAAGCATATTCATTATTCAGCTGCTAATTTATATCATCATAACTCTGTAGGATGTTTGTTGTTGGGCGTTCCGTTGTTGGAGCGGATGACGTTCCTGAAATGAAATTTGACATTGTGGGGTCAACAGGAAATATTTATAAGACGACTATTGGAAAGGTCCCGACCTGCGATTGCCCGGATGCTCAGAAAGGGCATCAATGCAAGCACATATGTTATGGTATGTCGAAAATCCTCGATTACTGCGTTTGTAATGTTTATGGCTAACATCATTGCCTATCAAAGTCTTGGTCAAGGTCCTGAAAGCCCCTGCACACCTACAATACCAGTTGGCATTTTTGTCGTCAGTGAGTAATATGTACACCGCATTGCCTTTGTCGTCGGGTACTGATACATATTGTTGTAGGAACTGCGCGAAATCTACCAGCAATCATCCCTTAGTGCCGAACAGCCCGAGCCAGAGAACAATAATGGAAAGAGAAAAGCCGTTGAAGGAGACTGTCCCATCTGCTTTATGGAGTTTGAACCTGACAAAGAGGAAATTTTCTGGTGTCGAGCAGCTTGTGGAAATAACATTCATAAGGCATGCTTTCAGCGATGGGCTGCCACCTCGCGAAACCAAGATGTGCGTTGTGTTTATTGGTAAGTTCCTGCATTGATAGCCTGTCTCTTTTATATTTGCTAACTTGGGGCATTATCAGTCGTTCTCCATGGCAGTCAGAAAGCAGCAACTTGAATCTGGAAGTGCTCAGGAAAGAGGGCCAAATGAATGAGGAAGGCTACGTCAATGTAGCCGATCAGTTGGGTCTCTCTGGCGAGCGTGGTACGAAACAATATCTATAGATAACCCTTCTTCTCCCCATATTTCGTTATCTGAACACTAACTGTTATTGTTTTAAGACTATTCAACCTATCACCAGCCATGGGTCTCCCGACAGTCATATCCCTATAGTTGGGGTAGGCGCGGACGATATTTCTAAGGCTATAATTATAGGCGCCGAGATTGGGGTTGTCTGTAGAACATGTGAAGCGCCCACGCATACGTATTTTGAGGATGGCAGCCACAGGTACCAGGATAGTGTTTTTTTTTTTTTATTTATTTTTTTAGGTTCTATACCCTTTGCTTGACTGCATTGGTCTATATCAACATACCCGTTAATTGGAGGTCTATTATGGCTTGGAAGAAACAATCTCAAGACAAACTAATTATCTGGAAACAGAAGAATGAGAAATTAATGTATCAGTCTGCTTAATGGAATTATCTATTTACAGCTATACCGTGAACTTGTCACTCGTAATCTAATCTAGGAGTCATAGCTGTATGTCCTAGAAGACCCTGGAGCGTATGAGAAGAGAGGGGCGGTCCCATATTCCTCTGCAATATCAAGTGCCGAGGTCTCAGGCCGGACCGCCGCCGAAGTAGGGCCACACAGGCTTAAGACCTGAGCGAACCCTCAAACTGCAGACAGGCAGATAAACCGCTGTCTGCGAGGGGCTATTATTTCTATAATGAGAAGCCCGAGCGATCCTCTCCGAACAGGAGAGAGGGATCTCTGTGTCAAGCAAGCAAATAGCTTTTGCTCGTTCCAGTTCAACCACCATTCTTCGTCACGCGAATTCCTCGATGTATGACTGCCACACTGACTGCTTCTTCGCCCGTCATCCAAGACGGCATGCGCTCTGGATCGACAATGCCTAGTTCAGCGAGCTTGCGAATTCCGCTGATGATGTCCGAGCCGGCGAAAGTGAGAGAGAGAGAAGGTTCTGAGAGGTCTGTAGGCGTGTTGCCTGTGCCTGTAGTGTCATCTTGTGGTTCGGGCTTGTCTAGCAGACGGATGTCTAGACGGTCTAAGGGAGCGGACGACAACGAAGAACCAGCAGTGCCGAAACGAGAATCAATGGCGAGTTTTCGCTTCTTGGGGATTTGAGAATCCGCATTCGAATTCCTCGCTCTCTTTGTATTCTGAGGCGAGCTCGGCGATTCATTGAGATCTTGGTCGTTCCCTTGTCTATTCTCCTTCCCCTGGTCATCTCCTTTATTCATGTACTCTTCTGGGGAGACCGTGCTGGATGGCCTAGGGTCCAATGGACTGCCTTCGAGCACGGCATCGGCGAAAATGCTAAATGCTCCATTGGCTCTGTTCGACCGGCCTGGGCCGCGCAAAGCCAGAAGAGCCTGAAGGCTTTTTGCGGTCAGATTTGTCGCTTTTAGAGAGAATCTATTTTGCGGTGCGGATAGCGCCTTGGGGATAGCATCACGCACAATCCGTTGTAAGGACCGAGCATCTGTTGCGACTGCGGATGCGTCGGCCTTGGAGCCCGGGGATGAGGGGATAGATGTGTATATAAACGGACAGCTGTCCGGGAAAGCAACGTAGACTACCCTTGAGGAGTCGATCAGCGTTTCCGGGAGCTGTCGAGGGTGCTTATACGGTGAGTTGGAGACGAGAATGCGGAGGAAAGTGACAGGCAAGGCGTTTGAGCGGGAGAGGTAGTAATGCGCCTTGACTAGCGGGGAGATCTGCTGCTGAAGGTTGTTCAGAAACGTCGAGGTATGAACACGTGGGACGCAGGCAGTTGGCTCCGCCTGAGATGTTTCTAATGAGGGACCACCGTCTGCGCCAATGCGAAAGAGCTCCAACGCCGACCATCGCAGACTGGATGGATGATCATCCATGTATCGTAGGTCGAGCATAGCCAGCTGGCGCAAACTGATTCCGTGTCGCCAATCTCCTTCTAATATACGATCGATAACCTCACGTTTTCCACCCCTCCTGACCTGGAGCTCTTGGTATGCGTTCCGGACATCATCAATGGTTCGCTCGGCAGGGTACGGGCTGAGTTCATCTTCCTCCATTGTATCGACCTCATCTTTCGTCAGAAAAGGCGGAAATGACTGGACATTGTGATCGTCCAACCAGTAAAATGCGAGGTCTAGTAACGCCTGGCGCGAGAGCTTTGAAAAGGACTTCACCAGTGATGGGGTGGTTGAAGGGATGCGAAGGTTACTGGGTAGGCTTGCGGTTGTAGGCGCGCGAATGGACTTTGAGCGCGCCATTGCTGCCTCAATTTGCAAGGACGGCACCCTTGGCTATGATTGCGACAGTGATGGATCTGTATTGGACCCCTCAGGCTAACTGTTGACCCTCGGGTGCTCGCTGCAGGATGGAAAGGCGTGGTTGCCCTGGTTCATCGCGAAGTCACCTGATCAGGATAAACATAGTCACGTGAGAACCAACCCGGTGGATCAGTGGATAAGAGACTGGTTGAGGGCGTGATTTGTCATCGAATTTGGCTTTGAGTCAAGGGTCAGATCAGAAGAGAAGTATCGATATTCGAGCTGGGTAGAGTAGTGAGATCCAAGAATTTTCTCATGAGACTCACGTTGCCTGATCTGAGCTTCACCCATTGACAAATAAGGTGAGTCGCATGAGAGAGGCCTTGGATGAAGCCATTGTGTAATAACCAAGAGTACAAAAATCTCCGAACGAGGGGATTGATTGGTCGCCGCTTATCACGTACATTATTAATTCACTCATGAGGAGCTTAGTAAGCTTTAAATTAAACTACGCGCGAACCGCGCAATGGGCAAAATCTGATCCGACAAATACGAGTTCGACGTGCACTCCTCTATACCAGACAGGTACGAGAACGGGCGCAAGGGCTTGGACAACTAACCAGTTTAATAATCCAGGATGTACTTACTCTGTAGTACATCAGGTGCTTATATACTCCGTATATGCCTGAATGTCGAGGTATGGCATACTCGGTGGGACTGTATTGCCAAAACAGGAGTGTTCTGGATGGGCAGCGATTGGAGGAGTACGTTTCTGATTATTCGATTTCACTATGGAGTACCCACGTAGTTTGTAGTATGTAGAAGGGTTCCACCGAAATAGAGTCACTCAGTGGTTGGGGGGGAGTCTGAGAATCTTTGGTTCCGATTTCCGACTTCGGCCAACTGGAAAGGGTAGTTTCGGGTTCGATGCCATGAACTGAATAATGCGAGTGGCAACGGGAATGGAACAAGGGATTGGCCATAATATATAATCTTGACATGATAGTGTTCTATATTGCCTGGTTCATCGTCATAGAAAATGGTTGTATAGACAGTTTCGTAGTACAGAGTCAGACGTTGGCTCGGTCTTTTCCAGGATTATTCAGCCTCTCCACCCCCACCTGCGCAAAATCCCGTTCCCGTTCATCTCCGATCGCCCACAGTCCGTCCCACTTTCCGGCTTCAGTTGTCTCCTCCCTTCTTTCTTCTTCGCTTCTTTTCCCTTCATCATCTCCGTCCACCGAACCGTCAATCCAGCCGGCACACCTCAACTGTGACCACGGCCCGGTCAGTAGCTACACCCTCGCGGAGGTACCCGTTAAGTCACCTGCGACGCCTCGCAGCGGACGAAGAAGATCGTACAGTGAGAGTTTAAAGAGAATCGAAGCGTTTGGACTTACTCGATTGGATTTCGAAACCCAGAGGCCCTCGAAAGCCTCAAACGGCACATTATGTCCGAGTTCAACGGCCGGCGGGCCCCTAACTTCTCGCAATACCTCAATGACTTGAATGCCATTCCATCCCCGTACGATCAGGCGGTCCAACAGCAGCAGCAGCAGCAAGACTCGTTCAACCTTGACGCCGACCTGTCCCTATTTACCAATGCCGAGTTCTTCGATTTCGACAACTTTGGAGATCTGAATCTGCCTACCTTTGACTCTGTGGAGGACAAGAATTTCAAGACAGAAAGCAAGCCAAATGTGGACCAGAGGTCAGATATGGAGTTCTTGGACTTTCTAAGTGGTGGTAAGTTTGGCATTTCTTCAACATATTCAGAACGAAGCTGTCCTTGGATTCGAGCTGGAGGTCCACTACATTGTGTTTTCTCTTGAGTTTACATTCGCTTCCACCCTTGCTTTCATCCTCTTTGTCCAGTCATCTGGGACCCTGTTGTTGAAGTTTTCTACCAACCATTCCCTCCGATTGCCCGGTTTTCTCTGCCCCTCTATTCCTTTTTTTTTTATTTTTTTTTTCCTTTCGTTTTACCCCTCTGTGCCCACCTGCCTTCTGGTGGAGACCTATATCATACCACCACATCCACCTCGAATACGAACTATATTCTTGGACAATGGATGGATCCAATGGCCCTTATGCATCATCCGCACGTGCTACCATTGGTCCATTCCTGCATCAGCCCCTGTTTGTGCGACGATCACTATAAATTCGTGCTACTCGCATGGCCCTATGACTGGCGCGGATAGCGTGAATAGACGACGCTATGGCGCCATTCCACGTGACATAGTATATCCCGATGGCGACACATAGCTAGTCGGGGTGGAGTCGAGCTGTGTGGTGTTGAAAGTTGTTGTCTCTGTTACTTTGATGCATACTACTTTACCTCTCTCGCATCCAACGGGAAATCCTTGGACAGACCCCTTAAGTTATAAGCCTTACCGTAAGCACAGTCTAACTCTATGCAGATGGCTTTAGCAACGCACAAAACTACTCAGCACATGACTTCGGCTCCGTGAGCACTCAGTCGCAGGCTCAATCATTGTCAAACTACTCCGTCCCGCAGATGCCTAGCGGACCATACAATGCCCACCACAGCCCGAGTCAATCGTCCGCTGTCTCCTCGCCGCTTTCTGCAGCTCCATCGAAAGCACCTGCGTCTGCGTCAGCCCCCACGCTTGCTGCGGCTTCTACGCCCGCCGCGGCGCCGAAGCGCAAGAACACGCAGAAGCCGGCTGCCATGAGTGTCGAGGAGGCTGCACGGAACGCGGCAGAGGAGGACAAGCGTCGACGTAACACAGCGGCCAGCGCTCGATTCCGTGTGAAGAAGAAGATGCGTGAGCAGGCTCTGGAGAAAACTGTCAAGGAGACCACGGAGAAGAACACTGCACTGGAGGCGCGCGTAACGGCATTGGAGCTGGAGAACCAATGGCTGAAGAACTTAATCACAGAGAAGAATGGCAAGTCATCCGAGGAGGAGAAGAAGTCCGAAACCGACATCGCAGACATGTTCCAAAAGTTCCTCGCATCTCAAAAGGGCAACAAAGGACGGGGTAGTTCCGAGTCGCAGATCGATGTGGGCACTGTTTGAGTCTGGTGATGTCAATTTTTATGTGATTTGATGGTTTTTTTTTTTTTTTTTTTATCTTCTCTAGATGTTTGCTGAGCTTTTTTCTTTTCATGTTTATACCTAATTGGCTATGCTTAGGAGACTCGGGGAAGGCGTCTCACGGAGCACAGACGGATGGTGGAGATGAGTTATGTTTATTCATGTGCCTATCTGCAGAATCTTCAGACTCTGGAGAATGATGATATCCTCCAATTTATGGGAGAAGTAAAAGTGATAATACGAATTGATGTCTGATGTCATTGCCATCCGCTGCTGTTTCAAACTCGTATGCCCAGCTTAACAAGGACCATAGACCAATCAACCCAATATTTACAGACTACATAGTATTTATGTACATACAATGATCACCTCGCAGCAACCACCACCACACCCCGAACCGCACCACGAAACTTCCCACGCACGGACAACCTGGCCCTCGCTAACCGCGCATCCTTTTCGCTAATAAACGCCACGATACCCGCAAACACATGGCTCGAGGCATCTCTCATGGTGATCTTATCGATGGAGTAGGCCGCGCACACCAATAGAGCGTGGAGTTCCGCATAGCTGTGTGCTAAGAAAGGCGCTCTCGATGGTCGGAAGTGGTATAGTGCGTCAACGACGAGGAGTCATGTCGTTGGGGTGTTGGACTGCTTCTCTTCCTGTTACTGCTGCTCCTGATGATGATGACCCTGTTCATTTTGTTGTTCGTTGTTATGCTTCGTAGGAGATACTACTTGTTGAAGGTCCTCACTCTAGGAATCTGGGTCCGCGGCATCAGCGTTGAAGATATCTACTTTAGTCCCGTCGTGGATACAGAACGGGAGACGCTGTCGAGCGAACTCAGTCTGATTAGGAAGTAGAGTGACGCCGACGTAGGTATTGAAGAGCGGATGATGATGGGACTCTTGTGAGGGACTGATAGACGACTGAGCGTTGTGTTTCAATCCGATCAGACGCATCGATTAATTATCACATCCGACCCCAACGTCAATGAGTCGGAGTCCACCGGTGGGATCGAGCAAGCCCGCAGTGATGAAAACTTGATCCTGAAGGGTACGGCAGGCGTCTAGAAGGTCTGATCCTTCCCGTTCATTTATCAGTATACAATACCTGTTCAGAGGAGAGAAGGTTGCTCCTTGCTTTCCAGTGCCCCATGTTCATCCACATGCTCGTGGCGGGACCGGAGATTAAGAATGGCACGGTCGAGGCCGTAGAGGGAATAGGTATCGCGCGATGGATAAAGAACAGACCAGATGTATTTAAGGAGGGAAATAAACCAGAGGATTGGGTTCATGATGCTTTGTACTCCGTAGTATCCGTCTCTATCTACTCTCTGAGATGGAGTACATAGTTGCATTTGGTCTGATATTTACCGATCGGGTAAAGATGAAGTCACAGGCAGATGAGGCATGGTATCTTACAGTACTGTAAAGTATATCCAAGAATCTACAAATAGGTACAACCTATAATGCCATAGGTTGTATACTATAGGCTGTACTCATGCAGTTCTTTGATCAAACACTGCCAAAACGATAATAACATCAAGTACAGTCCCAAGGATATCAGATACAAAGCATTTGTTCACCCAGAATCCACCAGCTCCCATCCCATCCGACCCATAGTCCCAACTCCATCACGGATGTCTCTCTATGAAATCCTCCTTGCATTAGTCGTCATAGAAAACAAGGCATAGACAAGCAATAAAAAAGTAAGGGCAAAAAAAGAAGAAAAAAGATGTACACCACAAGCTCCGTCTGTCGGTATCGCTGAAAATTGCGCGTAACTTCGTCTATCATAAATTAGTTCTTTGCGTTCAGTTCATCCTACTCCTTTCTCTCCCCGGTTCTCTCTTCCTCGTTCTCATCGCCCGTAATCTCTCCCCATCCCGAACTGCGACGACTGACTCGTCCGGTCGATATGGGTTGGCTGATTGACGGTCCATTTGGCGGGCTGCTGACACCCCCAGAGATACTCGCCGCATTGCTGTCATGCCGGCTATGTGACTGAGCCGCACTCCCAATGCTGGCACCGTCCCCCGTGACGGAACTTTGCTTGTTTGCGTAGAAGCTGCCGCGCTCGCCGGTTCCACCCAAAGGCGCTGCACCGGAAGCAGAGTAGACACTGATCCGCTCTGTGCTGGCCAGACCGACCATGCTCGGTCGGCTGAGCACGCTGGGATTGTTCGGTGACTCGCCCACATTTCCGCTGAGCACGCTTAGTGGCAGGCTCTCCCGGCTGCCACCAAACACAGACGACGGTGCCAAAGCGCGCACGGAAGCATTGGTATCCAACGAGTTCCTCCGGCGCCTCTTAGATGAGGATGCTAGTGTCAGAATTGAAGCGTTGTCGGTTAAGATGTTGTTGGCGGTCGCCGTGCTGTATGTGACGGAATGGCTGTGAGGGGCAAGGTGGGGCGGCACGGCGGTAACTGGAGACGAGGGAAACTGGTGCGAAAATTGCACCTGCTGCGTCGCGCTTCCTTGCATTGCGTGCGAATAATGATGTCCATGGTGTGCATTGTAGAGATGGCCCGAAGGTGCAGCCGATTGCACGGTGGTCAGTGTCGTAGTTAGAGACCGCACAGATGGCGCCGGAGAGGAGAAAGTGCTGCCTTCGCCTCCGCCATTCGAACTGATACCTCCGCCCGCCGTTGCCATGGTCCCTGCCTTGGAGTATGCGGCATCCGATATGGCAGTGTCGCCGTTGGTGGAGATGGTGGGTGCAGTGGACTTTGCACTGGTTGCAAGAACCTGATTCTCGTATCCCGAGTATGCAAGGGAGGGCTCACTCTGCGAGCCCGACCGTTGTCCACTGGCATCACTGGCGTCCGTCGTATTGTTGTCGCTATTGTATTCGCTGATAACATGAGTGGTGCCCGAAAGCGGGTAGGGGTTGTTCTTCCGGCTTCGGCTTTTGTCTTTGGGCGTGGAGTGGAGTTTGTTAGACCATCGGATGGTACCTGAGTCGGTGGAGTTTTTGAGATTGGCGAGTCGCTTCATCCAGCTTGAGAAGGGGCGACGACGGCCATTTCGATCTATGGAAAGTTCAACGTCAGACAGCAGACACTAGCGAGACACCCTAGGATACCGTACCATGTGCCCTCGCGGGGCCTTCAGCTGTGGCCATTTCAGCCGTTCAAGGGTAGGATTCTTAGATGGCCAGTATCCCTCAGGTACTTCAGCGAACAAGGAGAGGAGATAGACGTGCGAGTGCGAGATATCAGATGAATATTGCAATGGAGGGATCAATCAATAAGTAGGTCCGAGCGACGCTGGGGCAAGATAATCGATTCCGGGACATCAGAGGGTACCAAGAATAGAGGTCATTCTCAAGGCCACTGGGCGCGCACAAGAATCGATCTCCAGAATAGAGGCTGCGTCTCCCGGAAAGAAAAGAGGCGATGCCAGCCCTGCCTAGGTTGGGAGTCAACAGGGAGTCGATAGGAGACGCCGAGACCAACACGTGATGGCTTCAGATGATAACGTATTTCACAAGCGAGCGTTCCAGACAAAAAGAGCGTTCCACCTCTCCCAATTTCAACACGTCAAATTATTTGAAGCAATTCAACCACCCGCCATGCCATCAAAAGCGTGTATAAATGCAAACAATTCAGATAAGAAGGAGAAAAGGGTCCAATGTTGAAATTGAGAGGGGTGGAACCAGGTTGCTTGCGAAATATATCGGATGACTCAGCGGGGTGCTTAACATTAGTCAGGACTGAGTTCAGCAACACATTCCTTTCGCGATTCTGTCGATAGTTCCCAGACATGAGGGTTATTTCCGCCAGCGACGTTGTTCCGATCTCCGATGAAAGCGAGGGAAAGTTAATCTGTCCCTCGGTTCACTGCGCCTTCACCTGTAGACCGAAAAGCAGGAATAACAAAAACGTTGGCGGATGATCATCTCCCAACATCCACTTGTCTAGAGGCTAAACCAGTGCCAAGCGCCCATATAGAATGTTTCTGGTATGTTCACTAAACACAATGAGTTCAAATTAGCCGAGGCAACTTAGTCTCGCTCAGCCTAGCTAAGTTTCCCACATTCTTCATGGCGATATATATCACAGCTAGGCATCAACTGGACATGACGCACTGATCGTGGATCTCAAGCCTCCTCGACATCTGGGTGGTTCGATCATGGGAGTGGCGGGTCCATGTAGCTTAACCGAGGCTGACTTCAACTTTCACCGCAAAAAACAACGCCACGACTGGAACCCCTTAGTTAAAGTGGCGTCATATCTAACCACGCCCTCTGCGATCAGGTCGCTCTGTTCTACCCCCCATGATGTCGACTACACAAGAGCCATCCCGGAAGACAGTTGCGGTCATTGGTTCTGGAATGGCTGGGCTAGTCTCTGCCTTCCTGCTAGCCAACGACCGCCGCCGGAGATATGAGGCGGAAATATTTGAGATGGTATTTGGACCCTGGATGGGTCAAATAGTACGGGATCATTCCTACTAATTGATATATTTTGTGAAAATACAGCAGGATAGCCTATCACTTGACTCTGCATCGCATACCCTTGCGGCCAAGGACGGTCAACGTCCGAAGCAAGACCGACTAGATTTACCAATGCGGGTGTTTGCGAGCGGTTACTATGAGAATCTGAGGCGCATGTACGACTATCTAAAAGTCGAGTACACGTCACCGAAGTTTATCTACACGCTATCAACCCTCCCCAAAGCCGACGCGAAAGTAATCTCTCCCTACTTCGTGCATACATCGAATAACCACCGGATTCCTCCACTACGGCCCAGAGGAAGTTCGTTTGGTACATGGATTTTGGAGCTACTTTATTTAACAGTATGCTACTTTTGGTTTACTGCCTGCTGCTTTTTCGTCAGGCCTCGCCTTGATCATACTTTTGGGGAGGATGAATCGCTCCGACACTACCTGGAAAGGATCAGACTACCACGGTACTACACCAAGAATTACCTCCTCCCGCTGATGTCAAGCGTGACGACATGCTCCCATGACGATTTGCTCAAGTTTCCAGCGGTCGATATTGTGGACTACGCGAAAAGGACGTTCAGGAGGCCCCATTTCCTTGTTGTTGGCGGCGTTCGTAAGGTCCAAGAAAAGCTCTCGGAGAAGCAAAATGTGAATTTTGGAACGAAAGTCACGTGCGTCCAGGAGGTCGGCAACAAAGTTCAAGTGAGTTGGATCACGACGGAGAACGACCAAGCACACACAAAGCTGTTCGACTATGTTATCATGGCCGTGACTCCTGACGTGGTCGGTTCCATATTTTCTCCGCTGCGAAGAGCCATGGCCGATATACCTGTAGTTCCCGTGGAGTCGATTGTGCATTACGATTTCACCCGGATATCACACTGCAGCAATCATTTAAAAGGGGAGTTGCGTTCTGAATGTGCGGGCTCTTCTTTCGATTCCCTACCAGGGCAGCCGATTCACATCTGTTCCAACTCATCGGCAACAGAATCAGTGCACGAACATCCATCATCTGCCCTTATAACGACCTTCCCTATCGGTCCCATAGATCCGGAAAAGGTGGTTCATCGGGCCAAATTCACCCGTGTTTTACGAACGACCAAGAGCAGGCGCATAGTTAACCGCGTCTTCGATATGAGCTCATCCCGGCACAGTCCTGAGGGAAAGCAACAGATCTGGAAGAATGGCGACGGGAATGTTTTTCTTGTCGGCGGGTGGTGCTGGGACGGCATGGTCATGCTCGAGGGCTGCGTCTTTTCAGCCATGCGAATGGCCTCCAGCCTGGGAGTAGAGGTACCATGGGTGATCGAAAGACCTCATGCCTCATGAGCCTGTGGAATTGAGCACTGCATCTCGCAATTCAGTATGCAGTGTTCCAGCCGCAGCAGCTTTCTTTTCATGAACAGCCATCTCCAGGTGTAATAAATAGTAATGATCAAGGTGATGGGGAACATATTATATACACATTTTTAATCTATATATTGGTAAGGAACTTCTTGGTATATATAGATCATGAAATATATTGTCATTGTATTACTTCGTTAATGCAATTTTCCCGCCGAAGTCTAGGCCTATAGATGAGTACAATAGCCTTTGATAATTATAGCATAAATAGATCCATCCTTCAGCCACTGTATTCTCATGTAGGCATATGGAACTCGTGAGGGATTCTTGCGACTACTCGCAGTTCATATAACCGGGGCAATTGTGCTCTGTGTAGATGATCGTTAAAAGTGCCCTGCACCTGTAGTCCCGCTGGACATATCAAATATCACGTGACTAATTCTTTCATCCTCCGCCGCTTCCCCGAATCCAACCCCAAATACTTCTCTTCCCGAACAACTCGCTATGAGAGTGGCTTCTATTCAGGAATTGTTCTTGAGAATATGATCTGCCCATCGCCCATTATGCTCTATGGCCATTCTGTTCCCCCTGCGACGTTCAGTGGGTCGTTGATTGATACGTTCGCAGTGGCAACTCAGCAACATGTGGAATGAAATCCTATCCAAACACGGCATACGAGACAATATAACGGCTCCGAAATGTCACAGAGGGTTCGCAGAATTGAGCCACTTCCCTCTGAAGTGGTGGAGAAACTCAAGTCCTCTACATCCATTACACACCTGAATGACGTAATTGTTGAACTGGTTAAGAATGCGTTGGACGCGAATGCCAACACGGTCTATGTGACCGCTGATTTCAAACGAGGTGGCTGCATCGTGGATGATGACGGGGATGGAATCCCGCCGACGGAGTTTGAATCCAATGGAGGCTTGGGGAAATCCTATCGTAGGCTCGTTACTCTCAACGAATGCTGGACTCCTGGCTTATTCGCATACAGATACTTCAAAGCTTTTTTCAGAAAGAGACGTTTATGGTCGAAGAGGCTCGTTTTTAGCTTCATTGTCTTCCCTCTCGTTATTGACCATCACGTCTCAACATGTGCATTATTCAAGCACGAGTACTGTCATCTTCCACCATTCGACGCCGGTAGCTCGTCTGATCCCGGCTCCAGCCCCAGGGTTGAGATTTAGAAATCATGGAACCAGTGTTACCGTCAATGACCTTTTTGGGAATATGCCTGTGCGCGTGAAAAATCGAGCACTCGCCCTCCAAAAACTTGATCGCCAGTGGGACGAGCTGAGGCAACTGCTGGTCTCGCTCATCCTGGCAAACAATAGCTTGGCCAAACTGGTAGTCTATGACGCCAGTAGAGACCGAAAACTCATAATTCGTCCCCGGACTGGGGGCAAAAGAACCGACGGTGAGTTGGACCTCCAGCGCGTAGGATCAATCCTTGCACAAGCAGGCTTGATTGAACCTCGAACCATTGATTGCTGGAATGCCGTATCGGCTTGCGTCCCGGATCTCTCAATTCATGCTGCCATATCCCTTGTGCCCAGCCCTACCAAAAAGGTCCAGTTTATATCTGTTGGAATAGACCCAGTCTTCCCACGGAATTGTACAAACTTCTTTTTCGGCGAAATAAATCGGCTATTCTCCCTATCAGATTTCGGTACTATAGGAGCAGTTCCGGTGCCCACTCATGAGACAAGCTCAGTGGAACCTCCTGGAGACTATAATACGAAGATGAAGTCAGCGGCTAAGACTGTTAACAAGTGGCCTATGTTCTACGTGCGGATAGACACAAACGCCCCGCAGAAGTTTCGTGGCGAAGGTCAGGGTGTTCCAGAGTCGGACAAATCCGTCCAGCATATCTTGGATGTTCTCTCGGCGATGATAAATGAATTTTTGAAACAGCACGGTCTACTTCCACGCGCCGCGAAGCGGAAAAGGAAGGGAACTCACGTGCAAGAGGATCCGGGAGAAGGTAGCAAATCAACGGTTGCGCCACATTGTTTAAATACAGCTATCGGTACCGAAGAAGCATTGAACATCAAACTTCCAGATTTTTCGAAATTCCCCAGGGGTATCGGTCGAGACTTAGGGAGTTGGTCCAGGGTCAAAAGCGCCAAAGAGTCAAACAACACAGATTTTACAGATCGTTCACAGGGTAACTACGCGGGCCTCCCATTGGGAACTGTCAACGTAGAGCCGGTTACCAAGCGGCCCACCCAAAAATCTCCATTGTCAATATCAAAAGTGGCTGCGGAATCAAGCTCTGGAGTACAGCAGCAAGTGGACATAGATGCCGCTTCTCCAAGGTTTGGCAATATGGATACGTTGGGGACAGATAAGGTAGTTCCCTGGACCGATCCTCATACCGGAAGAAGTCATTTGGTCAATTCGCGAACCGGTCAATCAGTCAATGTGGAGCCATCCTTGACTGCGGCTCTAATGGACCAGAGACCTCAATCGACAGGATGCCTCCAGTCAGTACGGATACGGGAAAATTCAGAGCAGCCAAGATCGGCAATGTCTGTCCGAACTCAGAACACATGGGCTGAGAATCTTTTGGACCGCTGGGAAAACCCTGCTCTTCGTCGTCCCGAACAACCCATACATGCAATTGCCACAGGTCGCGAAAGCGTAGCTGATAGCCTGGAAGCTAGGGTCCGCGACAGTTTAGGTGGGTTGTGCGGTTTTAACACTTTGGGGCTTTCGAAGTTTGGGGGAAAACTACACAAGCAAGACCTTGAGAGAGCAGAGGTCGTCTCTCAAGTTGATCAGAAATTCATATTGGCAAAGCTTAGACCAACACCTGCTCACAAGGCGGGACGAGACTCCGGCGCTACTTTGGTCCTTGTCGACCAACATGCTGCGGATGAGCGTTGTCGCATCGAAGGGCTTTTCGAGGAGCTATTTAGTTCTTCAAAGGGCGACTCTAGACCAATCCAGACGGTCTCCCTGGAGCGTATGGTGTTTGAGATACCGCCTACCGAGAAGTCACTGTTTGTAGAAAATACGGAATATTTTGGATCCTGGGGGTTTGATTACACCGTTGAGCAGAAAGCAGGGGAGCAATCTGCTTTTATCTTTGTTCATACAATTCCTGTGCTTATTGCCGAACGATGCCGGATCGAGCCGGATCTAGTCATCGAGGTGATTCGCACAGAGATTTGGAAGCGAGAGGAAACAGGCCGGCTACTTGGGAAAACAGACGAGGGCCAGGGATGGGTGGGACGACTCAAGGGCTGTCCCCAGGGGTTGGTCGACTTGCTGAACTCACGCGCTTGTCGGACGGCAATCATGTTCAATGATAAGCTAACTATCGATGAATGCCAGAAATTGGTGCAACGATTGGCTCGGTGCGTGTTTCCATTTCAGTGTGCGCATGGACGACCATCAATGATTCCGCTACTAGTTATGGCACATGAATTGGATGGAGATGGAGATGGGGAGGTTTTAGATGGTCGTGGATTTTTGGAGGCGTTTAAAAGTTGGTATTGACTAGGAATAGCATATACCTTGGGACAAATCTTAGTATTTGTGATGATTTCAAGTGCTCCTACATTGGAATTCATTCACATTCATCCATGAGAGCATGAATAGCACTTTGATCTAGACACTTGACAGGACTGTACTCGATTCTGTATTGCCTATCTGGCTAAGCCTACTAGGATATTGGATACAAATGAGAAGACAGTACACATCAAACAATGTTCTTTCGGTCGATCAATCAGCCATATGTACAAAATACAATACACATGCACCATCCAGCCATCCAATCCAATCCAGCCCAATCCCAATCCTAATCCCAGTCCAGTCCAAGAACCAAATAAAAACACAGTCCCTGCGACAAGTTAAGCCAAACCAAACAATCAAACCAGGGCCATGATGCGATGCAGGAAAATAAAATAAAATAGACAAACATTGAAAAGAAAAAATGAAACAAGAAGAAAAAAACATGGGGAATCATAGAAAGAAACATTTCCTTTTCCCTATTCCCCAATCCCTATTCCAGCCGTGAGGCATTGTATAATATCCTGTATATAACCCCATATCAAAACCCTGTTAAATCCTGGGTTTAGCTTTTGTTGTTGTTTTGGTTCCTGGGTACCCATTGTTTGTTTTTAAATGAAAACAAAACAAAAAACAAAACAAAATGCTTTTGGAGAATTCGCTGGACTAATGACTCCGTCTAGCGTATCCTGATTCTGATCCTGATCCTGGTCCAGTTGCTTTTGTTCAGATAAAAAGAATCTGAATGGAAAATAAAATGTCACGAGAGCCTCCCGAAATAAGATAAGAACAAGAACTTATGCACAGAAACAAATGCTGAATAGGTGTGGAATGGAATAAAGAAAAGAAACAAAGATAGAAATAATAAAAAGATAAAAAATTAAAAAAATTACAACACCGTATAAGGCATAAATGATAGGTACTTGCTGTCGTAAAAGTCATAAAACGGCCGTAACGAATCCCAAGTCTACCTAGGTACCCTTCCTATCCATTCGTCGCCACGGACTTGGCCTTCGAGGGATGTGTCCAGGATAAGAAATCAAATTTATCCTTGGCATTCTCCAGGATCGACGAGGACGAGCTGGTCTCAGTTTGGAGGGTAGGTCGGGCGGCCGCATGGGTTTCACGCGGTTCCAGCACCAACGACCGTCGGTAGTATGTCTGTAGGGTCTTCTCGCCGTTGGACCGCACGCGGATCAACTCGTTCTGCATCCATGCCTGTAGCTCCGGCACCTCCGTCAGTCGGTACGGGATCTGGAAGCGCTGCAGTTCGCTGATAATCCGGGCTGTTTTCATGTGCTTGTCGAAATTGATCACAGCCATCTCGCCATCGTCTGTGGGGAGGCTACGCAACGGTGGGTTTCCGTGGTCAACAAACGTGAGGTCCGTCAGATATGTGCCGACGAACGGTAAGCATGGTGGGACGTGTCCTTGTAACCGCTGTCGGAGCACTGCGTAGTTGCGCGAGACATCCACGATGCCTCGGAGGACTTCGAGGGTGGTCTTGGTCTTCTGCGACACCACCTCCCATGTCCGCTTGAGACGGGAGATCATCGACGAGTTCAGTGAGCAGATGATGGCCATCAATGAATCGTAGTTGTTCAATTCGAGACACTTGTTGGCGATCTTGACCCAGTGTTTGATGATTGCCGCACGCTTCTTGGGTTCCTCCAGTTGAAGGATCGAGTCCGCCACTAAATGCGCCAGGTCTGTCGACAACGTAGACATCGCCCGCACATTGACAGCCAGTGAGGCCGATCTCTTCATCCATTCCGTCGCCAGCAATTCTTCGGGAAGAATGGCACAAAATATCCTGGATTCCTTGATGGTGAGCTGACGGGCCAGCTCCATCGGATCAAAGTCCAAGATGGTGATGCTAGTCTCGCCGTTCTTCCATTGCTTCAAAAGATTGGCCTCCTTCTTCGTCAGAATCGGAGGCGGAAGGGGGGTATCCGGATGCACGTAATGTGCTGTTGCCGTGTTGGTCTTGCCCATGGAGGACATCAGACGTGGGACAACCGGACCGTGTACCATTGAGACCTTTTCAGCGAGCTCTACTAGGCGTTTGCCGGCGGAGGGTAGGTTCTGCATCAACGTTGTGCTGGCGAAGTTGACAATATAATCCAACGCCGAATCGTCACAATCATGACGCCAGTGAGCCTCCAGCCAGCCCTTGAACACGTTGTATACGCGGAGGCGGACGGGACCCGCAGCGTGAGAAGTGTCGCCGATATAGTTGAACCGATCTACAAGGGCCTCCGCAAACTCCATCGGCGTGGCGAATAGACGGAACGTGAGATAGAAGGTCGAGACAAACATGGCGTCTGGGGTCGACTGATGCGCAGTGAGTTTCTCTACCAATGCGCGGAGGCTTCCGCCCATCACCTGGCCGTCCTTGAAAATTAGTTCATGTGCATAAGTCTTCTCAAGAATGTTGACCTCTGTCTCTTCATTCTCCTCGGCGAGGGTCGAGTGGCTGGTACTGCCTTTGAGAGACGGTGCCTGGTACTGGCTGCCAATATCCGGGGAAGTGGCCCGGGTCGATGTCTGAGACACCCCGCTCATTTCTGAGTCGCGAAGGCGGCTGTTATACGTGAAACTGCTCCCAGTACTGGTCACCCCCCGACCGAAGGACTCATCGGCCTCCGACTTGGGGTGGCTGTTGCGATTCAAGGCACAGTCTGCAGCATCCTGTGTCGAAGAGAAGGAGAGTTTATCGAGGCTCGTAGACAGGACCGTTGTGGACGGAAAGGAGGACAAGTCGGAAATGGCAGTGGCCGGACTAGCCAATCCCGCACGGGAAGTGAATGATGATGGGGTGGTATCATCGGTCAAGCCGGGCGTCGAAGGAGAAGAACGGTTATTGCCAATGGGGATGTCCAAAGGCGGAGGAGGAAGTCGCAGGGTCTGTTCCTGAGACCGACTCAGCTCACTGGTCAGGTCACCAGTCCGCTGGGGCTGAGGGGTCGTGTTGACATCCGGGGTCATCGCAACATCTGTGGGGATCGCCTCCAGCTCGAAATCACCACTCTGCTCCAGCACCCGGCGAGCTTTAGCCAAACAGTTTCCAGCCCCTCTCACACAATCCGTGGCGGCGTCCACCAGACGCTTGCCCTCATCAGGCATGAATACCAGCTCATCCTCCGGGGAATGATCAGGTCGAAAGGCATCCCGTGCCGCATAGACAAGCTCAGAAAGTCTCTCGTACATGGTGTCCCGCGCTTGCTCCAGAAGTCCACTGCCCTGCGGGTTATGTTCACATACAGCCTCCACCACTGTCAGAAGGCCTCGGCAGGACCGCACTGCCTGTTCTGTGGTAACAACCAGCTCCGTTGAGGGACGGGACTGAAGATGCAGGCCAATGAAAGACCCCAACACCCCGAGAAAAGCGTCGTACGTTGCATTGAGTCGTTCGGACGCCAGGTTTGGGTTTCGGGCCGCTGCAGCAGGTCCAGAATAAGACACTCGATGGGAGATGGAGATCCGTTTCGTCGAGACCGATACAGGGCGAGGCAGCGAGTCTAGCGTATCCGTTCGGTTGGATGCACGACTCATGTCCAATCGGCTACGGTTCAACAGTCTCGACTCGTTCCGTTCGGTGTCGGCTTCCGACCCGGGTGCCTCGAAAGTCTCAGAAGCTGGGGTATGCGGTAGGTCAAACGGGTCTGAATGCTGTTCGAGCTCGGCGATCGTTCGACTCAAGCCAACCTTCTCATTCCATACGTCAAGGAATCGAACGCCTCGGGTCACAATGCGGAACGCTTTGAGTAACATTTCATCCATCATGTACACCTCATCCTCGGTTGCATCCGCACCGGCCAATTCTTGACACTTCTTGGTAGTCCTTACCAGGGACGACAGGTCCGCGAGTAACGCTTTACGGTTCCGACGTAGACCATCATGACTCCTTACGAGAATTGAATCGCGAGTGAGGCACTCGGATTTTTCCTGGTGACCATTCGCATCAGCTGTTTAGCACTCAGAATCCCCAGGGAACCCGCACCTACCAATAGGAATCGGACGCCCGCAATCAGACCCTTGACATTATCCTGGTTACAAAAATCCCGCAGAGGATAATCACACCCTCCTTGGATGATATCCCACAGGTCGGTCAACGCCTTCAGAAGTGGACGCATCTGTAGTTCGTCGTAAGCTTCGCAGTAGTTGGTGGGTAGCCAGCCTCGAGAGCCGGTATCTAGTAACGTGCCATCTGCCCATCCATTCGTGTGGACCGAGTGCACCAGGATAATATCCCCCTGGTCCAATGGCAGAGTGACTGTGGAAGGGGATACATCCCCGGTGGGGTGGAAAGGATAGAACGCGCGGAGATAGTTGTGAAAGACGGCTCGGGGTGTTTCCGTTCGATCCATGCTGTTGCCTTGAGAGGTTGTTGTTGTTGTTGTAATAGAGGTCGTATAAGGAGTTAAAGGAGGTGTAATTTGAGATTGCTGAGAGTAGTAGCGGTCTGTATAGAAGTTGGAGTAATCCTTTTCAATTTTCAACGGCGCAACGTGTGGCTTCATTGATTCCATCTCTTCTTCTTGAGTCTGATTCGATATCTGAACGTCCGCTTCTTTTGAGTAGGTCCAGCCAGACGCGAAAGGCCACTGACCGCAATTTAAATAGAAGAGAACGAAATGAACATCCTCAGATCTCCAAGTCACCGGAAACACAGGAAATAGTTAGTTGGTGGGAAAATGAGAGAGAAGTCAACCGAGTTGACACTAATGCAGTTTTCAAAGAGGCTACAGTGATGTATGCGGCCACAATGGATGATTACCGTGATGGTTTCACAACGGAAACTGTCGAGCACTAACAGGGCTCAGTTGTCAACCAACAGAACTCGCCGTTGCACAGAAGGCTGGGAGAGGAGTGTTTAGAGTGGTGGGGGGGAAGGGATTGTTTTGGAAGGGTGTTGCATATCACCTAGGGAATGCCAGATTCTAGGAAGGAAAGGTATGGGAGGAATGCTGGGGAAGGCAACCTGGTAACCAGACGTACCTCTCAGTAGACAGGCATTTAGAGACAAGGATGGAGTATCCCCTAAAAACTAGTTGACCGATGTATTTGCTTCTGGATTTGACCGCGGACACGTTCTTCCAGGATCCAAACGAGGGTTAAAGGAGGCAGTCGACAGGCACGAGTATGGGGAATTGAAGGTGGTTAGGAGAAAAACAAACAAATAAAAACTTCCAATTGACGTAGCCAAGGGAAGACAGGGAAAAATTAAAAAAAAAAAAAAAAAGTTAAAAGGGTTCTGTCAGTGGACGAGGGAATCCTGCCTCCTGCCTCCTCGAGCGAGATGGGATGGCAGCAAGGACCACGATCCGAGAGAGTCCGGGGGTTCAGATCCAAGGTAGAAAACAGTAACAAAACGGAATTCAAAGACGATCGACGAGGACAATGACGAAAGAAGGAGCACCGAGAATCTCGCAAAGCCCGAGCGAACGCGGGGGTCGCAATGTTAATCTTTTTCGTGGCGAAAACACGTAAGGGCTACGGAAGGACGTTCAAGACAGGGCTCATCAATCCGCGAGGAATGAATGTTTCTGCGGATGAAGATCGGTTAGAATCGTCGAGTGGGTTGCCACCAGAGACAATGAATGACGGAAAGACCAGCAATGATCCACAGAAGGAGAGGATGAGAAGTAAGAGAGGGAGGAGGGAAGAAAGGGCCAGCGACGAGGGAGAGGTAGAAGGGGTGGTTAAAGGGTCGATGAACGGATATGGGGGATTGTTCGATAATAAAAAGCACAATCGATGATCACATCGGCATTATAATCAGAAATACAAAATGGTAGTAATAGAAATAATAATAAGGAAACGGGACAACAGCAAGCAGGTTCTCCAGACTAGTCAAGTCGGGAGCAATTGGAGCAACTTACAGTTGTTTATCCACCGGTTCCCTGGTGGATCATGTCTAAATTAATCCATAGGTCGGAACTAGTAGAACATCAATCACTCGAATACACAGCTAGAGTTTAGTCTGAAGACTAAAGGATTATTCCCTAATCGAGGGTATACTTTCGACGAGGGAGGGAAGATGACCCAAGTAGACCTAAAGGATAGAAGAATAAAATAGCAATGATGATGAATGAATGAAAAGGAGAGAGGAAGAGTATCTAAGTACTCTGCCAGTATATCTTGATCAGGAAAGAAATACATCCAATCCTCTTCCCCGAGGACCAAAACCGAGTTCCCATGCAGCTAACCTTTTTGGTCCCTGCCCAAACCGTCCATGATCTTCCATCACGCCTTCAGATGGTGTCGTGTCTGTCTCTGCCGACAGGGTCCTTTTTTAGTTTATTTTATTTTTTTTCTGAAGTATTTGTACCAATTGTATGGAGTTCCCCGTTTGTTTTTTTTTTTTTTTTTTTTTGATTTTTTCAATTTTTTCATTTTTCATTTTTTCTAATATTTAGGTCTGAATCCTACCGCCTTGCCATTTACAATTAATCTATTTTCCCTCTCAGTCTCTCTCACTATCTCTCAATCAACACCAATCATTAATTTATGTCATATTAAAAACGGCTCACAAGAACCAACCGGACCACGTCCAGCCCCTTAACTCTCGGTACTTTTGCATCCTTATAAGAACCCTAAAATGGGTCTTCTGTCATGCCATACTAAATTCCAATTCTGGAAGTTTACCATATATATATTTAAAAAAAAGAGCTAAAAAAAAAGTCACCTTCCCCCCAGACGAACCAACCCGTTCCCACGCATGGTTTCACCGATTGGGTGTGCAACAACCTGCATGGACAAACAGGGGTTCGAGTATCTTTTTTGGGGGGGGAAGGGTAGGTTTATTTTTATTTCAGTATATCAATTTTTTTTTTTTTATTTCATCCCATGATTTTATTTATTATTCCTGTCGAAGGATTTCTTCTCATTAGGATTGGCCATCCCAACCAGCCAAGGCCCTAACTAAAGGGCTGGTGGCGCTGCTTTTGGCTTCCCCCCTCACATTGACCTAAGTTTAATATAGTAGACCTAAACTGTCTATGTCCTAGGAGTAGAAACTATCAGCGAGAAGGCAAGCCTACTACGGAAATCAAAATAGAATTAAGAACAATGATAAATATTGGGCTAAAACGTCGAGTTAGATCGACAACGCGGTAACCGTCCCACGGTTGACAGAACCTTCTGTCCCGGTCGACAACTCCCGTCAAATCCAAAGCTCCATGGCTCATGCGATGAATTTAGAAGAGGGAATAAAACCCCCTCAGTGAGATTTGGAGTAAGGTCCCAAAATCAGAGCGATGCGATCTCATCTCGGAAGCTGCAAGCAACCGTCGAAAACAAGATACAAAGACAGATCTAAAAGAGAGCTATTGAGGCAGGGATTAAAAGGTATGGAGTACTACATACGTACTTCGTACATCTCGAATAATTCGACCTGTCGACTATCACGGCGGAGCAGGGCGAAAGAAATCCTTTAGTAATAATTTTGGATGATGCATCACGGCCCACGGTATGACGCGCCCGACTAGTACTTCTGGCTCAGAAGGAACGAACTAACTTAGTACATACTATAGTGCGTACCTAGTTAGTCAATTCGGCCAACCTGACAAGTGACAACGACAACGGCCAGATTCCAGACTCTTTCCAAGACCCCGGGCAAAGAATTCTTATCCTCAGCCTTACTTGCCATGTCAGAATCATCCTGACGTTTGATGGACGTCAGTCATGTCTTGGCCAAGACACTGTTAACACAGTACGACAAAGGAGCAGTTAACCTGTTCATCTGCAGCTGCAACCCACACCAGCTGGGGGGATACCTTTCGTTCCATGACTCGAACTACACCGTACATACGGAGTACTCCGCGATTCGAAATGTTTGCACTGTTTCTATTAGAGTGGGAGAACTTACTCGTCAATCCTAGTCAGTCATGGGACGGAAGTTCACAGAGCTCGACTCCGTAGAAGCGACGCAAGGGCAACGCTTATGCTCGCCAAGTGGATTTATGACCCGAGCCCATTGCCCCGACCACTAGATTCCGATCTGTACGATTGAAGTCAAGGCCTGCAATGACAAATTTTCAAATCTTGTCCTCTGGTAAAAAGCTCTGTCGGATTAGGAGCTAGGTGAGATCCTTCCGCGGAAGAGGCCATTCGAGATATCACTATCCAGACTCCACTCCACCCCTTGTACTCCATGCGCAAGGTTCCGTATCGGTTCTACGGCCCAGTCAATGATCGACGGTCTATCTATCATGGAGGGGAAAAAGAGAGTATTGAGGCTATGAGCAGGCAAATGCAATGTTAAACCCCTCCATACATAAACCACCACCCGCGGAGACAGTAGAGATATCTCTACTCTATAAGTTCTAGCGTACCTGCAATGAATCCATCTGCCTGGTTCTTGGGTTTCGATCGTCCCAGAATAGGGGATGGACGGGTGGGATATGACATGACACATGCATCGTGCCATATCCGAGGCCTTAGGCTTCCAAATCCATCAACATATACGTATCTTCACTACTCCGTACCCAGAGCTACTACCGTTCCCCGACTGATAAAGTTTTCGACCATTTGGAGGCCAGAGACAAAGACCTCACCCTCAGAATTCCTGGCTACCTAGGAATCGAGGCAAATGTGGCGCCAGGGCCGCGGGCCGTGTGCCGTGGACCCTGGAGTGGTACCCTGGGGGCTTACGCCGACTGCATATTTGACAGTTAATTGCCATGCCTTGGACGCAATATGACAGATCAAGCACGGTCCGCCAGATCCTCGACTATTTAGTAAACTAAATAGCTATCTCTTTTGTGTGGAAATGCACGGAGCCCCCGAAGGTTACACAATAAGTACCAACAAGCGGTAAATGGCGAATCAAAATACCTAACTGGTCCTGCCACTGCCGACCGTTGCTGTCGGTAGTGGTCTAATCAAGTCTAGGCACTCCCTGGCACATCCTCATACAGGGTAGTGCTGGCGACTATTCGCTGGGAATCACTAAAGGCAGCTCTTGCTCCGTCGTCGGTCAATACTTCCTCCACTCAGAGGCACGTGTTTACCGTGCTATGCGGGACTAACGGACCACCTTGTCGCCAATAGCCACTAACGATCTGATGCCACCGACCAGATACAGAGTAGTCATAGTTAGTGGTACATAGTGCCTGGGTCTGGATTCGGGGGAGTTCCGGAGACGTGAGTCTTCCAAGTTCCAACTTATGAACAACACGTCCACCAAGCCCATCAGGATGTGTTCTCCTTTGTATGCCTTTTTTTTTTTTTGGTGGACAGCCATAATCCTGGTTCTGAGCCGGGAACGGGGATCAGGACCCAAGTTTAGGTCGCGCTCTGTGCCGCGTCGCTCCCCACCCATTATCCTTGGTTGCGTTCCCTGGACGGGAGGCACCTGAACCAACAAATGGCACCTTCGCGTAAAATTGGCGAGCGCATCACCCCACTCGAGACACCATAGCAACGCGGAACGGCACGAAATGAATGAACTTGGCTTGGTTATGGTGTATCCTGATCCTTTACAAGAACAAAGAGGAAGAGCGGTCGACCGCAGAGACTCCATACATACCTCGTAACTCATAAGTCCGTTGACAATGGATAAAATGCTACCAGGGATAGCACCTGGACTGGGCGATGTTGAACCATGTACCATGCGCATATATATGTACTGTTGTGATTGAGTGATGAAGAGCAACTGTCCGACATTCGGTCAGGGGTTCCTGGATGCTCAGTAGATGATCACGTGACGTAATGACGGCATCGTTGCCTTCTGTTCCTAACTTCCTGGATAAGAACATCGCTTTCGGGGACTAATATTATTACTAGGAACTCTGGATCTAGAAACCACACGATATCGGGTGTCGATCGATTAAGTCTCTCCCGTGCCAGGTCCCATGATATGTACTTCTCTATCCCACGGGATCATCGACGTCCATTATCTATGGCCTATGCAATTGACGGTGCGTTTCATCACCTTGGGGGCCTCTCCACCGCCCCATCAAGTCCACGGAGAGGATGAAGATAGCCCGTTCTAAAAGTAGATAGATAGGAGGAAAGAAGGTGACAGGTTCCATGAACTAACGATACGCGAAACTAGAACTCACTAATGACAAATCCCGCGCAGCGCGGGTGATTCAATCAGTATTAGTAGTATGGAGTAGTCCTACAATCCACTCGATACTCCGAATAGTATTAGACTCCCTATCTGCTCGGTTCGCCTATGAACGAGAGCCAGATCAGATTGAACGATGTCTAGATTTGCACCTGTTCGGGATATGATGAAACGATGGATCGGCATGGACGGCACATGATGCGTATACACTGTAGCTCCTACGCGTATTGGCTTGCCATAGAAGATGTCTATAAAAGGACGTATTTCAAAACGCTCCACGGCGTAGAGATTGACGCTGACAGGAGCAACAACAATGCATACTTCGCTCCCATGTCTCTGCATAAGGAATGGGGTTCCGATTTCCGAGTCACAGCAAATCGACCGGTCGCAGCGAATCCCACTTCAATCAGTGGATATTGGTGGAGTTCTGGACGTCTCTCCAAGGATCTAGTGCAAAGACCAGGAGCCGCTTGGCGAGACCGGGGTTGGTTGATTAAACTTGTATCCCCCATGCGCTCCACTTCCGTCAATGTCATGAAGGATTCTGCACGAGCGAAGATTAATCCATCAAGCAGGGCGAAAAAGAAATACACTTCAACACTTATGTATGTATTGACATGGTATGGAGTACTAAATAATAATAATAATAATAATAATAAAACTGAACTATCCAAATGCTAGTACGCTCCATGTATTTACCTGCATGTGCAATGTTCCCCGTGGCTCTCTATTGGCCTTTGGGCTCCGACTTTTCTGTAGACTGTGAATTAACTGCACTATTCACTCCCGTGCCTACACAGTAGACACAGCTTACAGAACAGGGGTAATTGGTAATGACTTACCCCCCACGCAGAGGATTGCAGGAAGAATGTGATACTGACAGCTCTGGCTGGAGTGGCCAGTCAGTTCCTTTTCTACAGGGGTGCACTCCTTTACTATCTGTAGGCACGGAGTGGTCTAATGCATGGTCCGGTCCGATCCTGCATCGCCGATCCAAGCAGACTGCCTGGATAGGAGTTCCTACTGTCGGATCAGCAGTGTGAGGTCTTCTCTCGAATAAGGGACGGTGAGCATGATTGGGTTCGGGACGAGCTGACTACCCTATTTACTATCTATCCAGATACTCAGCTAGGACTCGACCTTGCTTAAATCCGTCATCACATCACATTCGGTGGCCAGTCGCACACCGACTCTCTCTGTCTGACTGTCGTCTTCTTCGGAGAATATTCAATTTATGCTTAGGGGGAAATATGCTCGTGATAGTCGATCTGTGCTCCTTCATCTCGAGCTTATGACGGGAACAGTTGAGCCAACTTAAGGTCTGTGCAACTGATATACTCCGTGATCTATTCTCTTATAACTCTCCATATGAAGTGATGTTGACTGATTGGTCGATAGTCATGACGGGGCCACTAAGCTGAGATCTTTAGCAAAATAGTAACAATAATAGGAAAAAGAAAAGGGAAAAAAAAAAAAAAAAAAATTAAATCTGAGTCAAAGTTCGTCAGACCAACTAACCTTGTAAGAATATTCCGCAATGCTGCAGAAATGACACCCTCCTTTTCTACCCCTGGACCTATCGCGTCGTTAATTGAGTCCAGTCAAGCCGAGTTCAGCCGCTGCAGTGCCACCAAATCGCCGGGTTGCACGAGAGTGTATCCTTCCACCGAACAAACAAGACATTACCGGACGAGATAAGCTACCCTTCCCTGTCGTTTCCCCTGCCGATGCCTACCGACGCTTTTGTGCCCGAAGCTTCATCCCGTAAGGCGCTGAGAGCCCAGAAGTGCCAAGGTCTAGATCTTGCAAGCGCAAGGTATGCAGCAAACATCACTTCGCGGATTCAAAATGAGCAGCTGCTACCGGCATACGACATTACTGTACCCTGGAAGAGACCACACTACGGGTGGCATTTAGCAAGCACAGCGCCAAGGATAGTTCGCTGCAGAGCCATATTTAGACGAGGGTGGAGCTGCGTATGACAGGACGAGGGAGGGAAGTCCAGCTCGTGGGGGAAGATTTGTGCGATGGATTGGATGCGCCGATAAACTCGCGGTGTGGGAGCATTGACAGTGCCCCTTTCACGTGCGGATGTGATTCCTCTGCATATGCAATGCAGCTTTCCATCACAATGTCTGGCGGATCGAATGCATGGATTGTTTGTTCTTCTTTCTTTCTTTCCTTCTTTCTTTCTTTCCTTCTTTCTTTCTCTCTATTACATTCTCTTTGTTAAGCCAATAGATCGACCTTTCTAGCTGACCAAGGGTTAGATCATTCACTGTTAGCAATGTCCCTGCGAGACTTGGTACGTGGTTGGTACAAGGGTCTACAGAGGTAGTAGGTATGCGTACATCCTTACTTTGCCGCGACACGCGTCAAGGCTTGATTAACTTAGTCGTCTACAAAGCACTCGCATATAACTAAAGTCTAATGGAGATAAAAGAGTAGCATATTAAGAAAAATGAAACATCGTGAAAAAAAAAAAAAAAAATGAAAGGTTAGGTATTGTATACCGAGGAACCATATCCTATCTAGAATACTACATAACAACAACGCGTCGGGCATACCTTCACGCAACACGTACCATCCACCCAACCCCTTGATTAATCTACAGGGCGTATATGAATCTGATTAACTCATGGACCTTGTTATCTCCTATTCCTTTGACATCACTTACTCTCAAGGTACCCCTAGCTATACTGCTACGCTCTACCAAGTCCGAAATATAGCAAAGACATAAATAAATCAATATGAACCTTTCCACAATTGTTACTATCTCTCTCGCCTCCCTCGCTCTCTCTGCTCCTATTCCTATCCAATATCGTCGAGGGTTGGAAGCATTGAATGCGTGGGCCCTGACAGAAATGCTGATGCCTCATTCGGGGATCCCTGAGACGGTCACCAAGTTGGATAATGCTTTGGGTTCGGAATAGTATGTTCCCTCCTCTCTCTAGCTAATTGTGTACTAATTGATTGGTGATGTCAGGTCGGTTATGGTGGTTCATGCTCACGGGTTATGATTTTGTCTGATTATACGCGATACAAACAATGGGATATACTTCGGGACTGAGTGTACACTCACAATTATCATCTACTTTCTCATCCATTTAAACTTCTTTCGTACTCAATCTAGGATGATTTCTGTCTCAGACCCGAGCATTTCAACACGTTCATATCAGGAACATTCATTGCCCATACTCGTCGACCGATATCGTCATTGCTTTATATATATAGTCCAGTCAGATCAGCACTAATCTCGCTAGAGCATGTCCTGGTATTTGCTGGATCTGCCGGATCAACCTGGTATGTCTATATCCAGGTAGGAGCCTAAATTATGTCTGACATTGTAGATAGATAGAAATGTAATCATATTTAACAACAATGGTTGTGCTCATTAAAGTTTAAGAGGAAGACATCAATGTTCTTTCTGAATGCTGGCAGAGCGTGTCCATTTTACCACTGTAGAACATTTGTTAGAATTATGTCTAAGCAGGTCCTGTTGACGAATAATGCTATAGAATATGGTAGGATATTTATCAGGTCCATATGCAATTACGTTCATCCACAGATTCAAAGACCGAATCAGATGGCAATGGTACGGCCACTCACACTAAGATAGTGGACAGTACCAGATGAGGAATTAACACTGAGTCAAAGAATTAATAACTATCATGAGAACAAAAGCAAAGTAGGAACAGAGTCTACCTGACTACGTGGCGACACATTAATCTATTCTATCCATATTATGTTATCTTGTCTAACGCGGAGTTGATATTGTTGGCCCTGATTCTTGCTTGACAGGAGCATCCATAACTGTTCCTAGCAGCGCACTACAACAGGTATGGAAATTCGACCGATTACTTCTATCTATATTCTTAACCCTCTCCATAGGACTAGGATATATGATGATATTCTATTTATCCCTGATCAACTTGTCGACTTTCATCGATGAGACCTTCTTGCCAGGAAACGGTGAATCTTTTGACTTGCGATTTTTGCACCAGTCCTTGATAGCAGAATCTCCATCATAACTCTTCAGGTATTGATGAACATGCGCCATCTTCATCGCTTGTCTCTTATTTTATTGATGGTTGTTTATACTTTTGTCAGGTACTTTGTGTGATTGGTCCTATTCATATATTTATTTATTTTTATTATAGGGTTATTGGGCTGCAGGTTAAATATCAGAGTGCTTAGATATACTTACTATGTCTGGTTAAGTAACTAGAGAAATCAATGGACATAATACTGGATTTACTACTGAATTAAAGAATGTCCATGTTCACACTTATTAGCGATTATTGTGTACAGGGTTTCTTTCTCGGCAGTCCAACCGACCAAAAATATTAATTGGCACTTGGTCTGGTTCTATCTAATGTTTTCTTAATCCTGGTTAAGTAGCGTTACCATGCGATAGAATCAGTAGACTGCAAGCCAACATAGTATCTTTAATACTATCTTGACAGTTAAATAGAAAAGCTCTTTCCCATCCTATATCTTGGCAATATCGGTTCCCAGCATAAATAATATGTTAATGTCGGTACAATTCAGAAGCGATTCTAAATATGCAAGTTGAATTTAATATTTTTGTCAATCATCTCCAAAATCTAAGGGATATGGGTTCATGACACTGTATATGTACGGTTAGAAAGTAGTTACCTTTAACTTTTCCATGCCCTACCTTTCCTGTCTTGCTACTTATATAAACGTAGTTTATGCTTCAATAGATAGACTACCATTGCTGTTACCACTGTATGCATGACAACGCTGGCAACGTACTATATACGAGAGCGCCTCTAGGTCTGGCGTCCTAGAATACTAGTCTTTTGCTCCTGGCGCAGCGGTTTAGCTTCTGGAACGCTCTCTAGAGGTTAGGTCGTGACAGAATGTATCCTCCTTGCTATATCCATTTCCCATTCTTACCAAGGATGATACTTTCCTAATATAGACAAGTTGGGATCTATGTACTTTATATGAATATCTTGACTCTTGTCAGGTTGATGTAGTCTATGGTGGACCTGTTTTCTGTCTACTGAGTCCAGATCAATCCAGAAGTCATTTGATACCAATCGACTTGCATTGAATATCGAAGGATCAGATATTGAAGACAATAAATTGTAGCAACTGTAGACTGCAGTGTAGAAATACATTTACTAATAAAACTGCCAGAAGATGGTACAGTTGATGGTCAGTAGGATATCGTACGTTCTGATATACAGAATTAAAAGTACTGACGGAGATAGTGGTATATCATTATACATTGAACAATCCATGATTCCAGGATAAATAACATTACAGGCTAGTACATGTTATTCTGGAGGAAAAATCCCTTATAAAAAAAAAAAAGGAAAATAAAAGTCCGCTTTAACATGTTAATCTCCTGCATAAGCCTTCAGCCCTACACGTGATTCTATGTCATATGGTTCCCGATAACAAATATATGCAGGCAGACTTCGTTGACAATCCATGAAGACAAACTAGACAGTGTATTACAGTGTATTACTAGTTAATTATACTACATATTCCTCGCATTAACCCTAGATTATAAAGCCTCCGGAATATGGCATACTCTGTACAGAGTATGGAGTACTTGAAATGCCAAGGATATTCAAGCCCCAGATCCTGCCAAGTTCCGCCCAAGTCAAATCCCGCGACTGATCCACATCACCGATTCGGCAATCGATGCACCCATGGAACTGCAACGACCCCAAGTGACTGTAAGCATATACTGCCGTGGTAACAGGGTGACAGCTGTCATGGAAATGGCACTATCATTATTATTAATTCTGCCCTGCGGACGGATTCCGCAATTGAGCAGAAAGCAGATATAAATGCCCCATCTATCTGCCCTAGGTACATACTAAGTTAGTTAGACTGGATTCTCTCCTTGCTGATTGATCCCTTTGCAATGATTAATCTCTCTTGATTAGCGAGCTGGGATACTTGGTGTACTACTCCATACCTAATATATATAATTAGACCTGTATTCCGTTGTTCTACTAGATCAGAACAAGGAAAATGAAAGCTTCCTTGCAGTAACTTTATTTTTCTTTTCTTTTTTTTTTAAGAATGGCGTCAGCAAATACCAACAAGATAGCGACCAGCCATGGGAATGGCATGGCTTGCTTTTCTGTATTCTAGGAGAATATCGAATACCGATATATTACGGGATATCCAAGCCTCGAACTTAAATAATATTGAACGGGATGACAACCCCCAAGAGGCCCTACCGAATCGGCAGATCAACATCCCTAGCCCTGAGCACGACCTGATATGCACGTATAAAACAATAAAGGGGTATAATAGCATTGACTATCGATTCTATACTGGTTCTAGAAACTGTCACCATATTTATATTATGTATGCACCAACGTACAGACAACATGACGTCTACCTACCTACCTAATAGTTAACTAATGAATATATTGGTCATACGGCCAGTTGACGTGTCAAAAATATGATTAGTAAAGAAAAGAAAATGAAAGACAGACAAAAGAAGGGGTAAAGAAGGAAAGAAGGACAAAAGACGGGAAAAAGAAGGAAAACGAGGGGGAAAAAGAAGGAGAAAAGAAGAAAAGAAGAAAAGAAGAAGGAAAGAAGAAGAAGGAAAGAAGAAGAAGGAAAGAAGAAGAAAAAAGGGACAAAAGAAGGGGAAGAAATCTCCGAACCACGCTACCAATAATTCTTTCTTGTGCATGGGAAACGGTTACCTGTCGAAAGGGTGGCGAATTATAGACATGTCCATATCTATAGTCTATAGTATAGGTAGGACAAACCATTCACAGACTGAGTCGATTATTGTTTTCAGCCGTGATCAACCCCTGGAAGATAAAAGGAGAAAAGGGGAAGAGTGGCAAGAAGCAAGATCTCCAACATTATTGGTCAATCTAATTCAGGTCTATCAAACGCCAGAGCAAATAACAATTCAGAATTACCTGAAAGGATACTCTGAAACGGCAGGACTGACCGTTTTGTTTCAGTCCAGAACAACCAATCGTCGTGTTCAGATGAGGAATCTGACTCGTTGATTGCTCAGAAGCAGTATACCATCTAGGTAGCTGGTGGATCTGTCACTCCGTATAACGTTCAGCCTGACTTTCTAGTACTGTATATAGTAAAATACGCGTACTGCGTAGCATGCTAAGGCAGGATAAGAGCAACCACAGTAGACAGTCTCCCATACTAGTCATCCTCCCGCCTTACCCCATGAAGCCTATTTCGGGGACGGGAGCTCGTAGATCTACAAACTTACACAATAGGTACTCCGTTAGTAAGCCGTATTAAGATAACATTCTCGCGCGACCAAATCAACGACTGTAGTTAAATGAGCGGCCCCGCCATTCAGCCCGCCACTGACAACCCTCAATCCCAGTGGGAATAGAATACTCCAGAAAAGTTAAAACCGCAGACCTTTGGAGTTTGTAGTTTGCACTTGTCCCAGGTTCTCTTTTTCCAGGTCAACAATATCCAAAGACCCTCTTTGGTAGCCGATGAATCGGAGACAGAGCGGCTCCTCTCCACCGCCAACCAAGGGACTTGAGCTTACCAAAGACAAACCGGTGGGGTCGCTACAGGCCTAAGTTTGGCTCGGCTCAGCCTGTAGGCGAATCTTGTTGGTCATGGGATATTTGGAGGTAATTGGAAGGATCCTACGCTTTATGCCGAGTTCGTGCAATTCCGCCGAAGCAGGGGGGATACTCCGCGTCTGCTCCGTACCAATCCCACCCTTTAACCCCTGGCCATATCATCCAAGTATTTGACTAGGCAGGAGTCTCAAGAGCCGCCTCGTAAAGGGATGTCAATTTTTTTCCAAAATGATAATAACAATAATTAAAAGAAAAACCCAAGCAATATGACAGAATCAATGATTTTATTTAGCCCTTTCTTCAGTTTTCGTGTAGTCTTCACCCCTAATTCTCCCGACGCAGTAAGAAGTAATATATAGGTGGACCCACAAGATCTATCGCGCTCAATAAACAGAAAATAGTATGATCGTCGTTTCATGTAGAAGAAGATAACAAGGAAAATCCAAATGCGCTGTATGCATGATTCCACAGAACTCCATCGAATTGCCCGTGGTTTCAGAGGTAGAAATGAAGAAATAAATAAAGAAAAAACACAATTATCCATCAATTCCGGGCACTGCGCGGTCGTGACACCTGAGAGGAGGAATCTCGAAGAATATCAGGGGCGCGAGGTCCCACCATCCAATCTTCCATCGCCAGCCAGTCACTCCAGCTCCTCTCGGCGGCTTCGATTTCCGAATCTAACGGTCCTTGCAATGGACGTAAGAACGGAATGGTCTCCAGAGGCGGCATGTCGTAGTCTTTTTTCACGGCAGCCCAGCCGCCACTTTTGGCCGCAAAGAGATAATTACGACGCTCCTGTTCATGTAGCATCCCAATCCCAGCCCCCCATTCGTCCCCGAAAAATCCCTGTAGTACACCAGGGAAGTCCATCCCCGTGGCCACCAGGCGACGGATGTAGGGAATCAGTGAGACCGCCGGGGGTAGGCTCGAGGTCGACGACGATTCAGAAGACGTTTGCCCACCGGCGGCAGTTGAAGGTGAGTCGGTAGATGAGTTGAAAACGGGGTGGGGTAGCCGCTGAAACGGGAGAAGAATATTCAAGAAAGCAGAAAGTGCTTGGACCGAAACACTGTGTTGCGCATGATCCAGGAAGTACCGCTGGCAATTCTGATAATGGGGATACCATACGAAGATATCGAGACTGCCACCTGTCGCTCCCTGAGAAGCCTCGGTGAGCCCAATCATTGCAGACGGGTCGATTTGCTGAGCGGAGTTCATCTGAGTCCCGGACGAATGATTCAATCGGTATACTGGTTGTCTGTTTGGAGGCTTGATCTTAGCGTTTCTGGTTCCCTTTTTTTCCCTTGTAGTTCGCCTTGGGTTTAGATCTCCTCCTCAGTCCTGTGGGTATTCCATCTCTTACCCCGCAAGGACGTAGACCAAGGAATGCAAGCAACAAGAAAAAAGAAAGGGAGAAAAGCAATTGACATGAACCACGAAGAACAGCAGGGGAATTTACTTGTTCGAGAACACACTCCTGCCTCGGCGGATTAGGAGGGACACTTTGCGTCGGGGAGACGGGGACGGGGAACGAGAGGAACGGAACAAGTTCCTGATAGAAAAGCCTAGAGCTCTACCAGGATGAGATTCGTTCACGGACATCTGCTAGGTGGTCCATCTATAGAGGACACCCACGACTCATGACAAGAGACGGACCCAAGACAAAAAGGGTAGAGATTCAATGAGGGAGAGAGAATAGTCCACGACACAGGAAGCCCATTGGAAAATGCGATGATGATTGGGAGGGTTGCATGGACCATACAAATAATTTTTGGAAAGGAAGAGAAATAAGGACGAGGAGACAGACGAACGAGGATTTAATAAGAAAGAGAGAGAGAGAAAAAAAAAAAAAAAAAAAAAGGGACAGAGACAGCAGTGCGGAGCAGGCCTGAAGTGGACTTGTATATTTGAGTGTGACTAGAACAGTAACGGGTCTACCCGATGAAGTAGGCAATCTCTGGATCGTACCTGCAAAGTTGGATGGTTGGTTCGCGGTGATGGAATTGGCGCCAGTACTAAAATTTAATAGCCTTTTTCATTTTCGTTTTTCATTTTTTTTTTTTCATTCGGGGAAGGGGAATTGATTTTATTTTATTAATAACCAATAATGGTGAGTGCGCAGGAATAATAATCCTTCTCACACCTAGATCTGGTTCGGTCAGGGCCAATCAGTGCGTGCAGTTGGAGGACTCGAGGGTGAAATAAATAAGCAATATTAAAAAAGAAATCAATAAATTGCAGGCAATATCAGTGCGTCATGAGGAATTGGCATAAGGTTTTAACGTGCTGTATTATAGGGGAAAAAATAAAAATAAAAGAGTATGAGGATTAGGTGCGATAGATGCAGATGTTATTCCGTGCTTAGTGGATGGCAAAAAAACGACATGGGCATCGCGTGCCCCTTCCTACTTCTAGTGGATCCGGGAAAAGGCAGATCAGAGATATCAATGCAGGTATGTACATCCTAGGCAGTGGGTAACTAGATAGTTCTACCTACTCTACTCCCGGATCCAGGATTCTCTACCAACACAGAATACAAAGGACGCATTTCTACGGAGTCCACTTATCTCATTGGAAACTAGATCTGTGGCTTACTTGGGATTCTTGGAAGGATCCCCCGTGCTGAAGTATTATTCTTATTCTTATTATATTAAGTTTAAGGTTTGATTATTGGTTCGTTTTTCTAACCAGGTATCTAACAACATGCTGGCAACGTACCAGCACAGGTGTAAGATAATGACGCTTTTTGATTTTAGTTTACGTTTTACACAGTACAACTATACAGTAGTTAGTATCCATAGGTGTAGGTACCTAGGCCGGATCCTACCTATGATTAGCCTCTGTAGATCGTTCTAACATTCTAACAGAAAGAGATATAATACGATTTATTTTTATTTTTTCCCCCCTCTTTTCACATTTCCTAGACCACCCCGCGGACACAGAAAGCCCCTCACTCAATGCGAGATTCACGATCGCCCAATCCGATCAAACCCAGTGCCTACATGGGAAAGCCTCTTTATGGTAGCAGACCGTACCATGGTTGGGATACTATTATTAATATCAACACGGACCCTTTCCGATGACAATTAGCCAGTTACGAACATGATCCCAGGCCTCGGTAATCTGGTCTCCATCGTCTAACCTTCATCTGGAATTGGATTCCAATATACACTGCCATTATACTATAAAGGAGGGATGCGGTGTAAGTGGCGTTTCTATAGTTTTGCTTCTGTGTAGTACATGCTATGCGGCGGTCAGAGCCCTTTACAGATTAGGTACAGTTTAGGCATTATGTTTTTTAGACAAAGTAGGTACTTTAGAATGATCTACTGCGTTTCATTTTTATTTATTTTCATTTCATTATTCAGGTCGCTGTGTGGAGACACCAGCTAGGGCCTTATAACCAAAGAATCCGATCAACTGCAAGGAACAAGAGTACAACCGTACTCAGGATGAGCTGGTCAACGGTAAAGCCTTGATTCAGCGGTGCAGCAAGCCAACCGGTGCATACGCCTACATCTGCATGTCCAAACCACTGGATCCTTCCTGTAAGCTGACAGTTGTAAGGATCTAACCAGACAGATAGAAATCAACCTGTACAAGAGGATAAGAAGAAGAAAAAAAGGATTTAAACAAGCGACGATTCTACAAGGAACTATCACCCAGACCAAAGCAATTCCAGAGAAGCATCCAAGTATGGACAGCGTACTGGAAAAGCCCGGTAGACATCCTTGTCTCCACCGAATCTTACACTCATGCACACAACTCTTTCAAGGCCCAGGCGGGATGTATTTATGTACGGAGAGAGTGCCTAACTGCCTCAATATGCACCTTTCTGATGGGGTGAGATGTGTATGGTACTGTAAGCCCGCAATATTTCCCTTTACCCAAATGACATGACATGGGTGCAATAATGTTGGATGAAACTGAAACACCCACTTGGGACTTGGGCTCCGCTCTTGCTTTTTTCTGGACCTGCGTTTCTTCGCCCTAGTCAACCTAGTCGATTAGATTCAGTTTAGTACACATCAGCTTGCAGATTCCTGGAATTCCAAGATTCGCCACCTTAGGCTGCGGAGTTTTGACACCAGCCTGGATCCACTTGCTGCAATATCAACTGCATTCGCCACATTTTATATGCTACAGCTGATGTTGCTATTTTTACTCCGTATAATCCAGTCAGCTACACGATATGGGCTAGATTGTTAGATCGAAAACTGAATAAAAAGGGAAAAAAAAAAAAAATAAAAAGACGGAGGATGGGAGAACACATTGGGAAACTTCAAATTAGAGACTAACCTATTGGTTCAGCTCTTGAAATCGGTAGTATTGGGTGGATTACAAGTACTATACATTGTGTATGCATCCATTCCCAAGCACAGCCACACATACATGTAAAAGAAATAAGCGGTGAGTCTGCATAGCTATGCCCCGTGCACAGTGATGCACAACCCTTATCCTGACAGCTTCTGACAGATAAACCAAGACATCTGGAATCTGATTCAGTCAGACTTGATGCATCTCATTCGTGTCTGCACCTCGGACCATGGTTCGATACTATGACCCTCTCTGTGGCTGTTGTGTCTTGATACCGTTGGTGGGTATGTTGACAGCAATTTATCCCTTCTATAGCTTGGGACCACATGCGGTGAGATGGCACCGTAAGGCCTGGGACTGCATCATGCCGACGCATCAAGCTTTCTGGCAGTTCTAGCCATGCGAGATCACCGTTGGTCATGTCTTGACTAGATTCCACTGTCTTCAACTGCGTCAAAGAAGGCATACAAAAGATGTGAGAAATAAAGATATATCTAAATAAATTGGAGCGTGCCAATATGCCATCATTTTTGTTATTACCTTGACCGAATCCATAACCAACGTATATGCAGGTAGATCGCATCCTTCGACTTACCCCGAAGTCAAGGATGTAAATTCCAGGAATTCAGATACATGAGCTGCAACGGCACGTTCCATCAATTGACCCCATCGAATGTTCCAGCTTATCCTATTGGACACCTGACATTCGCGTAAGGGGCAGGGGGCGAAGGGGCATGCATGTCAATTTGCCACTCAGCCATCAATTTCTCTAAAAGAGATGGATATGCGATAGCATGTTACTCTCAAGCTTGGTCCGATAGAATGGATGTGGTATTTGATCTAGATGTTCGTGTATACTGAATCTATGATAGAGCTTGCTACCAGGGGTATGCAATATGTCCCAAATATGCTAAGGCCCATAATCCCGAGGTGACTTCAAGTACTTGTGGTCAATACAGCATCTGATTCCAGTGAATACGAAGAAGCGCACTGGTCTAGGAACTAGGCATAACCTTCTCTGTATATCTTGCTAGATTCAGATTCAGAGTATATCATATCTGAAGTGTGCGGACTGGTTTGATATCCCCCAAATCCCGGTAAAATTTGTCATGCTTAGTTTAACCTCCAGTCGATCAGTAAATCCCTCAAACCCCAATACACCTGTGAGGATACTAGGAACAACAGTCTGCGCAAGGAACAACCCCCTGCTATCCAAATCTGCTCAGTTCGAGAGTGTCGTGTCTGTCTCTATTGGGGAACTGGAAGCCGACCCCGACGCCACAGGATTAACAACTCAGCCTCAGGATGTATTCGCCACACTGACGCCACGCCACGCCACGCCACGCCACGCCACTAGCCTCATTAGCCACATATCTTTGCATGCGCCACCTAACGGTCTGACGTCGATCTGAGCATTGAGCATCAAATGATAAGTACTAGCGGTGAAGTATCTAGTGGCACGAAGTTGAGTTTGGACTCGAGACAAGGAGACTTTGATCTGGTTGGGATGAGCAAGCGCCCAGAAATAAGTTGTATTCATTGCCTTGAATCTAAATTTATATCAATAATACATAGTTTATCGAGCAACCACTCTTCAACCTGGATATTAGCATACTAAATAGTCGTCCAATCTCAGCCAGTATGCAGTGGTCTCTTAATAGCAAGTACTTGGTTTTATATCTGTTATAATGATTAGTGATAGTGAGGCATCCGTGGTCATTCTCAACGCTGGACGAGGTCATCTGGAAGGTTAGACAGTTATCAATGCCATGACTGGGTAGGGCAAGGAGAGATATTATTTATATATTTATCAGAATACCCTATAGGCACCATAGCATACGCTGCACTATAGCAGATTTAACATCAAAACTAGCATGATGGACGGGTGATATGTTCTAATATCAATGTACAGTTGTCGAGCAACCGTTCAGCCTAGTCCATGTCTGAATGCTAAGTATGGCCTTGAATTTGTCTGTCCAGAAGCAGAGTACCCGCGGCCTGCACAGTATATATATATGATGCAATGAGATTCAATTTTAAAAATAATAAGCTAATTGGTCATTCCTATCTACCGATATCGAGGAATAGGATATGGTCATGTGACAACAGTAAATATAGTTATTGCTTTAGTATAGAGAGACGGGGGTTATAAATATATTATCCAGATTATCTTCGGTGATTTTTACTATAGAAATAGATAGTCGGATATAGTTGTACAGCAAAGATAATCCACATGAATAAGGTCGCAGTGAATAGATGCTATTTCTAATACTCGGGGTAGATGCAGTCTAAGCTATTATAATTTATTAATCTAGAGAATGAATACACGGTTACTTTATATCATTACACAAGGATAATCAGACGAGGCTTGCATCACCTTGAATGTAACCGGAGGACACCGGAGTCGATATCCACATTATCAATAACATCTGGTCATTCTTATCACGCTGCAAGAGGCTACCATGACCGTACGACACTGTAGTCTGGAGTGGTATGGTCTGGTGTATTCTTGTCTTAATGCATACAACTGTGTATAGGTAGGTGCCTGAGGTAGGATCGAGAATGACCGGATATGGTAATGAGGGGAATGATTCATGCATGCGGCGATGGACTCGAATGGGTTAGACCAGGGGAGCAGTACTCCGGCCGGGGATGAGGGAGGACTCCGAAGCCTCGATTGTATGGAGAAGACAGAGCCTAATAGAAATGACAGCCTGTTTTCGGAGGAGCCCCGGGCGGGAGCGGGCGATAAGGATGTGTAAAACGATTGATAAAGATAAGCTTGGCACTCCTCCACATATTTAGTATATTACATTACATATAATATATTATATTATGTATAAGGATAGATAGATATTATAAATATTCTATTCTATTCTATTCATATCATATGAATAAAACAGGATGACGATGAATAAATATATGAATGAGTAAAGAAAGAACGGGAATTCTCGGAGCGGGTTTCCGCCAGAGATAAGAGAAAAAAATGACCTCAAAGCATCGAATAAGACTCCCGAAGTTCGGACATGCCGGTCTTCCGCCTTTCCCTGTGCCACTCCTGTCCGACTCCGGGGATCTTTTATCTCTATATATACCTCTATCTTTCTCCTTCTCATTCTATCTATCTTACTTTCTATCTCTCTATCTCTCTCTATATCTATCTTATCTATATCTGTCTATATCCCATCTTATCTATACTATCTATATCTTATCTATCAGAATGTCCAACCTCCCTATCGAACCCGAGTTCGAACAAGCCTACAAGGGTATGCTACACATCCTATACTACTTATACACAACTAACAAGATAGAACTCGCCTCCACCCTCGAAAACTCCACCCTATTCCAGAAAAACCCGGAATACCGCAAGGCCCTAGCCGTGGTCTCGGTCCCCGAACGTGTCATCCAGTTCCGCGTCGTCTGGGAAAATGACCAAGGCAAGGTCCAGGTCAACCGCGGCTATCGCGTGCAGTTCAACTCAGCCCTGGGTCCTTACAAGGGGGGTCTTCGCTTCCATCCGTCGGTCAATCTGTCCATCTTGAAGTTTTTGGGCTTTGAGCAGATATTTAAGAATGCTTTGACGGGGTGTATGTCCCCCTTTTTCTTTCTCTCCCTTCTATCCATTCTGTTCCTTTCTATCCCTTTTCTTTCTTCTTTTGATTTCTCGCTTCGTGCGCTCTCTCTAACGATCGTAGTAAACATGGGCGGTGGAAAAGGTGGATCCGATTTCGACCCCAAAGGAAAATCAGACAGTGAGATCCGTCGATTCTGCGTGTCGTTCATGACGGAGTTATGCAAGCACATCGGCGCGGATACGGACGTTCCCGCGGGCGATATCGGCGTCACTGGTCGCGAGATCGGATACCTGTTCGGTCAGTACAAGCGCATCCGGAACCAGTGGGAGGGCGTCCTCACAGGGAAGGGCGGATCTTGGGGTGGGAGTTTGATCCGTCCGGAGGCGACGGGATATGGTGTTGTCTATGTATGTCTTATTTTTATGTGTTGGGGAAGGGGAGATGCTAATGAAGTGAGAATAGTATGTCGATCATATGATCAAGTACGCATCCGGGGGAAAGGATTCATTCGCTGGTAAGCGAGTCGCGATCTCCGGATCCGGGAATGTGGCACAGTATGCGGCGTTGAAAGTGATCGAGCTGGGAGGTTCCGTGGTGTCCCTGTCAGACAGCAAAGGATCGCTCATCGTGCAGCAGGAGGGAGGCAGTTTCACTCCCGAGGAGATCAACACCATCGCCCAGCTCAAGGTCGATCGGAAACAAATCGCCGAGATCGTCGATACAGAGACCTTCAGCGGCGGCAAGTTCCGCTACCTCCCGGGTGCTCGGCCGTGGGTTCACGTCGGTGCTGTCGACGTCGCTCTGCCCAGCGCCACCCAGAACGAGGTCTCCGGTGAAGAGGCCCAGGCGCTTATCAGTGCTGGCGCAAAGTTCATCGCTGAGGGGTCGAATATGGGATGCACCCAGGCCGCTATTGATATCTTCGAGGCCCACCGTGAGGCTAACCCCGGCTCCGCTGCCATGTGGTATGCCCCTGGTAAGGCCGCCAATGCCGGTGGTGTGGCCGTGTCTGGCCTGGAGATGGCGCAGAACTCGGCGCGGTTGAGCTGGACCTCCGAGGAGGTGGATGCGCGTCTCAAGGATATCATGGACTCGTGCTTCAAGAATGGTCTGGAGACCGCGCGCGAATACGCCACTCCCGCCGAGGGCGTGCTGCCGTCCCTGGTGACGGGAAGTAACATTGCCGGATTCACCAAGGTGGCCGCCGCCATGAAGGAGCACGGTGACTGGTGGTAATTTTTTGTTCCTAATTCTGTTTATGATGACGACTTGATGGTTCTGCAATGGTTCTGAATTTCCGGTTTGTCGGTTTCAGCGTTGGATAGAGGCGCCGGTTTGTAGATAGGTTATGATTATGTAAATTCTGATTTGGTTATGATTATATTATTATGCTCCTATAGGTAATCTATACGAAGTATATACGAGCAATCTATCACCGTAAATCGTGGGTATCATACATAATTTTTAAGTTTCAGGCCACGGCGCCAAATCGTGCATGATTCCGCCTTCCTTTTTCGAAGGCGGCGACGTATCATCCGCCAGCACACTCCGCCGACGCGAGTACACTCCGCCGACGGACGGGTTCTCCAGGGGTCGCGAACAACGCCGCCTCGGTCGACGCAGCGTCTCGCCCGGCACCGGATCCACCTGCTTCCGCGCGGCGGGCACCAGGTTCAGATACAGCGGGAAGACGGCGCCGGCAGCGAATAGAGCCACTAACACGCTGTAGGAGGAGGCGACACCGTCGGCACGCTGGGCGGCGAACTGCACAAAGGGGAAGCAGGAACCGCCGCCGATCGCGGTGGTCAGTAAGGTGGCGGCGGTCTTGGTGTGACGTGCGGTGCCGCGCAGGCCGATGACGAAGATAATGCTGAAGGCACCGCTTTCAAACAGGAAGACGAGCAGGCCCATCGCGACGGCCGCGTAGCCGCGCGTGGTCATGCACAGCCCTGCGGTGATAACCATACCGACGTACGCGAGGAGCAGGATCCAGCGTGGCTTCAAGAACGCCTGCAATAGAGCGGCCAGGAAGCGCCCAACGGCGAAGACGGCGCGGCCAATGGTCAGGTAATCGAAACTGTTGAGGGAGGAACCAGGGGGCAGGGCGGCGCCGACAAGGGTGGTGAAACTCAGGGAGAGCACCTCCTGGCCGGCGACGTAGAAGAACTGCGAGGCCACGGCCAGGCCCAGGGTCAACCAGACGACGGGCACGCCCAGCACGGGGGCGTGGTTCTCGTCGCGGCGACGGTCGGCCAGCTGCTGCAGGTCCTCGTCGGAGGCCTCGGGGATGGGCAGGTAGTAGAAGGCGAGGGCCAGCAGCACGTCGAACAGGGCGATGCCCAGGTAGGTCCACTGGACGCGGACGAGGGCGGCGACGTCAGTGACGTTGCGGAACAGCACCTTGCGGGCCAGCAGCGGCGAGACGACGCTGCCGATGGCCTGCACGCCCTGCGAGAGGTTCAGGCGGATCTCGGCGTTCTCGAGCGGACCGCAGAGGGCGATGAAGGGGTTGGCGGCGGTCTCGAGCACGGCCAGGCCGACGCCGGCGATAAAGTTGGAGACAGCGAAGGCGGAGTAAGAGGTCAAGACGGCGGAGGGCCAGAAGATCAAGGTGCCGCAGGCATAAATGCACAGGCCGGTGATGAAGGTTCCCTTGAATCCGGCGCGCGTCAGCACGAGGCGGCCCAGCAGCAGTGGGCCCAGCAAGTAGCCCCCGAAGTAGACGGCGTGCAGGCCGATCGAGCGCCAGGCGTCAAGGCGCACGATGCGCTGGAACTGGGCGTTGAGGATGTCCAGCAGGCCGTAGGCGAACCCCCAGAGGAAGAAGAGCACGGTGGTCAGGGCGACCGGGGCGATGGACTCGCGGTTGCTCAGCTTCAGCATGCTGGTGGGGGTCTTCAGGTTGACAAAGTCAAAGAAGGCGATGGTCTGCGGCTCCGAGGCGCTGGTCGTGGGCACGGTGAGGGAGGCCTCGCCGGCGAGGAACTCGTGTATGTCGACGGGACGGTCATCACTGCGGCAGAGGCTCGTCGTCGCCGCGGCGGCGGTGGTCGGGGGATCACTGGGGTTCGAGCCGCGGAGCAACTTGGGGACGAGGCGGGCGACCAAGGGCTTGAGGCTGGGGACGCAGGCGCAGGCGATGGAGATGTTGACCTCGACGACGGACCACATGAAGGACAGCGAGGCATACCAGTTGAAGTCGTCGCCGGAGGCGTCCTGTAGATGCAGCTCCTTCAGGGCGACCTGACGCTCGGTGGAGGCATTCTGCAGATAGGCGATGCGGATGACATCGACGACGGCGACGAAGAAGCCGCCGCTGAAGGTGACGACGAGGATGATCTTCTGGCGGCGCGGCAGACGCATCTGGGTCAAGATGGGCATGGGCAGCACGAGGATGGCGAGGTCGGTGACGATGTTGACGGGCGAGGAGGAGAGGTAGAGGGTGAGGATGTCGCTGCAGCGGGCGTGGGGGGACGGGGGCGAGGCGAAGGCGGCCCCGACGGGGCTGCACTGGAAGACGTTGACGAGGGTCAGGGCCAGGCCGGCAGCATTGACGACGACCAGCGTGGCGTAGGTGGCCCAACGAAAGGGTTTCTCACCGCGGGCCAGGGTGAGGTAGAAGGCGAGGATCGAGGACTTGACGGCCATGAGGGACGGGTTGTAGAGGACGGTGAAGACATAGTTGGCGCGATTCAGACGGCTGCGGTGGACGTCGGGGATGTCTGGATCGTGCAAGCCCAGACCCTGGGAGGTGGCATAGAAGAGGGCGAGACAGAAGCCAAGATCGAGCAGCCAGGCGAGGAGGATCAAGCGGTCGTGCCAGGCCAGACGGCGGGCAAAGACGAGACGGGAGACGAAGCGGAGGACGACGAAGATGGAGGCGAGAAGGAGGGAGACAATGGAGACGATGAGGACGGAGGGTCGACGGTCCATTGCATGATGATAGATAATAGGATGGATGGATGGGATGGAGGATAATAGAGATGATAGAGGTGATAGAAATGATAGGGATACGGAGAGTAAATAAGGATAAAATAGTCAAGGAAGAAAGTAAGGAAGGGATAAGTGGGTCCTGGGACGCGTGGGATGAGTAATCTGCATGAGATGGATCATATTTAGATTCAGATTTAGTTTTATATGATGATTGATGATGAGGAGGAGGAGGAGGAGAAAGAGGAAGATAGAGATGAATATGATAAAGATGGATCGATGAAGATGAAGATGAAGAGAAAGAGAAGGAGACACGAACGTCACGGGATTCTCTGAACCCTGATGCCCAAAACGGAAAGCCTGACTTTCTATCCAAGCTCAAGACTCAGACTTTAGACTAAGTGGAGAGTCCCTTATTCAGGCGATTATTCAATTAGTATTATCTTCCGATTCGATCTCTTCTCGAATATGAGATCCTCGGCAATGGATCGACACTCCATCACATGGCCATTTCCAAACGTAATGCCATGGCTCTAGCTACGGATTCCGACGGAGGGGATGGGGGGTAGTATGCATAAATCAGAAGATAGAAAAGACATAAATAAGTAGATAGATCCTGATGGTGCAATACTAGGTTTATATGGCTAATAAAAATGAAGATCTCTCTCCTCCTGCCCCTCCTCTCATATACGGTGGCCTCGGTCCAAGCCGACTGGGTGCAAACCATCGTGAAGGACATCAAGAATGCCATCACTTGTGCCGGATGTGAAGGACTCCTGGGGGCCCTCAAGTTGGTGGCCGACATTGGGGAGGGGACTTTGATCCGGGTGATAACCGACGTGTGCATTGTTACCAATGTATTCCCCCTATACCCTACCTAACTATAGCTATACTAACTGAAGTAGATCGAAGACAAGGACGTCTGCACCGGTCTCATCGCCGAACAAGGCCCTTCCGTCTACTACGCATTGAAAAACCTACATCTAGGCTCGGACACCTCGCACAGCTTCTGTGCCCACGTCCTAGGCCTGTGCGAATATCCCCCCGTAAATACGAATCTCAATCTATCCAAGGCCCCTGCGGCCAGTCGTCCCACTCCCAGCGGTAAAAATCCCCTTCGCATCGCCCACATCAGCGATACACATGTCGACCATGCCTACGAACCGGGAACGAGCGCCTTCTGCACGAAGCCGATCTGCTGCCGTGCATGGAACGACGACAACAAGAATGGAAATGTCGATGCCCCCTGCGGTGTCTGGGGAGATCCGCATGCTGATCCCCCTGATCGCCTCGAAGCCAGTATGATTGCCTCTGTAGCGGAACATGACCCCGGCTTCACCTTGTACACGGGCGACGTGCCACCGCATGATATCTGGATGGTGAACAAGTCGGAGGTTCTCTCGGACATCCAGTCGACGTATGGTCAATTAGGGAAATTGGGAACCGTCTACGCTGCCCTGGGGAATCACGACGCCGCGCCGGTCAATCTTTTCCCTGCGCCTCCCATTCCAGCGGAATATAGTCCTCAATGGGCATACGATGCCCTAGCTGATGAATGGACCAAACTCTCCTCGCCTAAATCCAAATCCTCCGCTCCAAATGGATGCTACTCAGCAATCCACAACAACAGACTCCGAATCATCTCCTACAACAGCATCCTGTACTATAAATACAACTTCTATGCCTGGCAGGATCCAATGCCCACCGACCCAGATGGCGTCCTCGCCTGGATCAAGAATGAGCTCTCCGAGGCAGAATCCGCCCATCAACGCGTCTGGCTGATCGCCCACATCCCCTCCGGCGGACCAGATACATTACACGAATACTCCGCGGGACTGGACCAGCTCGTGACTCGGTATCGGAATACCATCGCGGCCGTGTTCTACGGACACACGCACACAGACGGATTCCAGATCTCGTATACGGATTATGAACATCGCACGGCTGACTCGGCCGCAGCGATCGGATACATTGCGCCTTCACTAACGCCTACATCTGGACCCCCGGCGTATCGGATCTACGAGGTCGATCCGGTGACTTTCGCGGTGTTGGATTATACAGAGTACGTCGCCAACGTCACCTCGTTATCCCCCGAGGATCAAGAGGAAGAGAAAAATCCCCAATGGACAAAATATTACTCTGCCAAAGAAGCATATGGGAAACATCTCGATCCCCCCATTACCGATCCAACGGTGGAATTGTCCCCTGCGTTCTGGCACAATGTCACCCTCGCTATGGAGAGGGACCCCCAGATCTTCAGGGACTACTGGGCCCGTACGACCCGCGGGTATAATGTCACCCAGTGTGAGGGCGATTGTGCCACGAAGGAGATATGTGCGTTGCGCGCGGGCGATGCGCGGTTCAATTGTGATAAAGGGGGGGATTTTAGTGGTTTGAAGAGAGAGCTCCCGGACAGGCCGGTTTGTGACGATGGGTTGGCCCGTCTGCTGAGGAAGATGGTCAGTGAGAGGGCGGACCTGGAGCATCTGATTCTTAGACATCCGGAGATTCGGAATTGTACTGCATGATTTAGCATAGTATATATTGTCTAGCATACGTATAGATCTATGCTCATACGATACGTCATTCCTCATAGATAGACCTGTCTATCGTAACTGTGTTCAATGTATAGAGTGAAAGAAGGGTATAACATGTCAAGTAAGAAGTAAGAAGAAGTGAAGGACACAAAAATCATGAATCGAAAGTCAATCGAAAGTCTAGTCCAACCACCACTCAACATCAGACAGACGTCCCGCATCCTCCGACGCCAGTTCGTTGAAAAAGTGTCGCGACAGGTCGATCGACGACCGCGAGCATCCCATGCACTTGTCCACCACCTTGCCCGTCTTGACGCTGCCGCCGTACCGGATGCTGACCTTACGGCCGCAGTCGCTGTCGCTCATCAGCTCGTGCGATAGCGCAATCACATTCTCCGTTAATCCGTCGCTAGTGAATCCGCAGCTGCTGGGCGCCGACATCGAGGTGGCCGTGTCGTAGAAGGTCACATCACCAGCGCATGGCGAGTCTTTCGTGCAGGATCCGTTGGGGCTACCGCCGCTGCTGCCACCTCCGTTGGCAGGAGGGGGATTGGCAGGAGGAGGATTGGCAGGAGGGGGGTTGGCAGGAGGAGGATTGGCAGGTGGGGGAGGTGGAGGAGGCGGAGGGGGAGCAGCAGTAGTAGTAGACTGAGTCGAGCTGGTAGGCTCGGGTTGCGGCTCAGGCTCTTGCGTGATGACAGGAGGGGCCTGAGTGGTGGTCGAGTGAAGGGACTGATGTTTATGTCCGTGCTTGTGCTCCGGCTCGGCCTTGTGGCCGGCAGGAGCAGCATCCTCAGCGACCACTGCGGTGGCGCTGGGAGGGTTGGCATAGATGGTGGTGGTGATATCTACGGTGGTCCAGACGACGGAGGTCGAAGTCTCATAGACAATCACCACATCCCGTTTCTCCATCGGAACAGCAGAGGCAAAAGTGGCCAGCAGAGAGCCTGCAAGGGCGAGAGATTTGGCCAGAGGGGCCATCATGATTGATTTTTATTGGATTTGATTGATTTTTGGTTCGTATAAGGAGTGTACAATCAACAAATGACAAGGAACGATCAATCAGACTGCACAGCAGTGCGATCGAGAGCTGGATAGAAGGAAGGACACTCGAAAGTGAGAAAGAAGGAATGACAGGCTGGACCTGAAAGAGTGTGTGAAGAAGGAAAAAAGGAAAGGGAGGAGAGGGAGAAGAAAAGAGGAGAAGGGGGGAGGTTAAAGTAGGTTTAGTTAAAGACTGCCTAGAGATTAAGCGAAAGACACGAACGACCCACGGAACACGATCGGGGATCGGTGGACCACTGGACACGTCCCGGCGGTTCAGGCACAGGCACAGGCACAGGCACAGCCAAGTACAGAGGAATATAAGTACCTGCAGACTGACGTGGTCTGGCAGTACATGCTGGTCGATAATTTCCGGTTTTATTTCAAATATTACTGTACTTATTTTACCAGCACCTACAGAGTATCTCTTTTACAGTCTTTTACCGATATTATTTTACAACGTCTGGGCAGGTACCTGCAGCGCCACTCGGACACCGGTGTTACAGCGTGTCCCCTCTTTACTGGTTTCAGCCAAGATTGTCTCCTTTAACGTTTGACCGTCGAGATTAGTTCAGGCTTAACCTTGGCTCACATCCTGCATCTCAAACCAGGAATCGACTGGAGTAGGTAATAAGGTACTAGTTTTTGCTTTGTATAATAGTATTTCGTATAGACTAGTGCTAGTCCCACCCTAGTCCAGACCAGTCGAAGCCATCCAAGACCAGGCCCCTTTGGCACCACGCCACGCGCAGAGTTTTCGTTTAATCTCGTATTGTCGGAGGGCAATTTGCTCCGGCGAACGGGAAGCGATCCGGACACTCCGAATTAGTACTACAGTCGTACCAGCACTACTACCCAGACCCATTACGATACGTACCGATGAAAGAACTTATAAGTAGAATTATTTAAACAAACAATTAAAAAATAATTTTTTAAAAAAAGAACCATTATCATAAATAATTACATCCAATAACGCCATCCTTCGTAAATTCTTGTCGGATCTACCCCTGACACATCAGGCACGCCTCCTTGTTCTCAATGCTACACTGAAGCACCTTCTGCGAGTAAATGTCACTCTCCCGCTCCTCTCTCTCCACCGCCCTATCCTCCGCCTGCCCCTCGTCCTCCTCGTCCGCCGCCGCCGCCGACTCACCCGCCACGATCGTCCGTGGGCTGCTACTAGTCCTCTCCTCCCCGTTCACTACCGACGACCGTGGCACCGCCGGGTACATCTGTGAGGTGGTGGGGGTGGTGGTTGCCGTGGCGGTCGCCCCCGCCGTGCGCTTCTTGAACGCCCCGTTCGCCCGAGCCACGTTGGTGTCCGCCACCTTCAGTTGCTCCTGGTCAACCGTAAACTGGATCGGCGCCGACGCCGCCATCGTCCGCAGGTAGTACATGCCCGTCTTTAACCCCATCTTCCACCCCGCGAAGTGCATGCTCGTGAGCTTGCCCATCGTCGGCTCCTTCAGGTGAATGTTCAGCGACTGCGACTGGTCGATGAACGCTCCCCGGTCTGCCGCCATCTGCAGGATCGACCGCTGCGAGATCTCCCATACCGTCTTGTACAGCGCCTTGATGTCCGCCGGGATGTTCGGGATGTTCTGCACCGACCCGCCATCCGCGATGATGCGGTTCTTCATGTTGTCCGACCACAGCCCCAGGTCCACCAGGTCCTTCAGCAGCCACGGGTTCACCACCTGGAACTCGCCCGCCAGCACCCGTCGCGAGTAGATGTTCGACGTGTACGGCTCGAAGCACTCGTTGAAGCCCAGGATCTGGCTGGTGCTGGCCGTCGGCATCGGTGCTACCAGCAGGCTGTTCCGCACACCCGTCTGCGCGATCTTCGCCTTGAGGGTTTCCCAGTCCCAGAGGTCCGTCGGCGTGCGGTCCCACATGTCGTACTGCAGGATGCCCTGGGAGACGGGTGACCCCTCATAGGTCTCGTACGTCCCGTATTCCTTGGCCAGGTCCGACGAGGCGCTCAAGGCTCCGTGGTAGATCGTCTCGAAGATCTGGGTGTTCAGCTGCCTCGCCTCGGCCGAGTCGAAGGGCAGACGCAGCGCCAGGAAGGCATCCGCCAGACCGTTGACGCCGAGAGCAATAGGACGGTGGCGGAAGTTACTCTTTTTAGCCTCTGGGACGGGGTAGTAGTTGATGTCGATGATCTTGTTCAGGTTGCGGACCAAAACCTGCACGACTTCATGGAGCTTGCCAAAGTCAAACTCCCCGCGCGCCGCGTCAACGAAGGTGGGCAGCGCAAGGGAAGCCAGATTACAGACAGCCACCTCGTCGGGAGCGCTGTACTCGACGATCTCCGTGCACAGGTTGGAGCTACGGATAGTTCCCAGGTTCTTCTGGTTGCTCTTCTTGTTGCACGCATCTTTGTACAGCATGAACGGGTTTCCGGTCTCCGTCTGAGCCTCCAGAATAGCATACCAAAGCTTTTGGGCCTTGATCGTCCGACGGCCTCGACCTTCCCTTTCGTACCTGCCAATCGGGGTCAGTATATGGGGCTAGTAAATCGGTCACGTGAGGAACAAGACCTACCTTTCGTAAAGCGTGTCAAACTCGTCGCCGTAGACATCCGCCAACCCAGGGGCTTCATTGGGGCAGAAGAGGGTCCAGTCGCCGTTGGCCTCGACCCGTTTCATGAACAGGTCCGGAGTCCAGAGGGCGTAGAACAGATCACGTGCTCTAACCTCCTCCTTGCCGTGGTTCTTTCGGAGATCCAAGAACTCGAACACGTCCGAGTGCCAGGGCTCCAGGTAAATGGCAAAAGCGCCGGGGCGCTTGTTGCCTCCCTGATCGACGTATCTGGCAGTATTGTTGAACACACGGAGCATGGGGACAATACCATTGGAGGAGCCGTTGGTCCCACTAATGTAAGATCCTGTAGACCGGATTCGGTGAACATTGAGACCAATGCCACCTGCAGTCTTGGAAATCATAGCACATGTTTTCAGAGTATCGTAGATACCCTCGATGCTATCCTCCTTCATGTCGACCAGGAAGCACGAAGCAAGCTGGGGCTGCGGGGTGCCGGCATTGAACAGAGTTGGGGAGGCATGCGTAAAGTACTTCTGAGACATCAAGTGATACGTCTCGATGGCTCTCTCAATGTCCTCACCGTGGATTCCAACGGCCACACGCATCAGCAGGTGCTGAGGACGTTCGGCAACCTTACCATCGATCCGCAGCAAGTATGACCGCTCAAGGGTCTTGAAGCCAAAGAAGTTGTAGTTGAAATCACGGTCGTACACAATAGCGGAGTTCAGTTCATCGGCATGCTTCATGACAATTTCGTACGTTTCCTCGGAAATCATCGGCGCGGGCTTCTTGTTCTTCGGGTTCACATAATGATAGAGGTCCGAAATGACCAACGAGAATTGCTTCTTTGTTTGCTTGTGAAGGTTCGACACGGCTATACGGGCAGCGAGGATGGCATAGTCGGGATGTGTAACGGTCATATAAGCTGCAGTCTCAGCGGCCTATAAGAGAGTCTATTAGCAAGTATCCCTACTACTGGGAGTCTCGTGATCATACCAAGTTGTCCAGTTCAACGGTGGTGACACCCTGGTAGACACCAGAGATCACCTTCTGCGTGATAGCAGCGGCATCGACATGCTCCGGGTCAAGGCTATAACACAGCCTTGACACACGAGCAGTGATCTTATCAAATTGTACGCGTTCCTTGCGTCCGTCTGGTCAGGGCAACATTAGCAAATGCTTCGTGGGAAAATGTGGCAACAAGGACTGCAAAGCAGTCCCTTCAAGAACATGCATAACCAAACATTCTCCAGTTGGTGTGGGGTAATCATTCTTCCTTCCTTACCTCTCTTGTAGACAAACATTTTCACGGGTGGCAGGAGTAGAAAGGTGATGGGTACGTGAGACAAGATTAGAAATACAAATATACTACTAGGGAGGTGAACAAAAGAAGTATTGAAGCTCTGCAAAGGGTATGAGGAAAAGAAACGTCGTTGATAGATGGAAAGATGTACTCCGTACTAGGGTAGGAGTCGAGGAGGGATGGGAAGGGAAAAAGAAGCAAGAGGGGCAGAGACAGCGGTAGATATTTGATGTCGCCGGGGCAAAACGCGTTGCCGGTGGATATCAACGCGAATTTTCGTGTTTGGCCTAAATGGCTTCCCTTGCATACCTTATTTGTAAGCTAGCGGAGAACGCGCGGTAAGTGTTGGTCACGTGCTCTATCCCATTCCATGAGACGAAGTCCGATCTCATCGGAAGATTGATCTACTAGGTATGTACATTTACGGACTCGACACGCGTTTTTATTATTCCTTGAGGCATATTCTGGGTCCTACGTGGTTTCTTTTATAAGCAGTGCAATGTTGTCATATGTGAGAAGTGAATTCAACCTATGGCCAACTGATTCATATATTAGACGCGAATTGAAAGACGGGCGCACAGCACTAAGTTTACATATCTGTACCACAGCTGGATATAATAGAAGCGATTGGAGGTTTTTACAACGCGGCAGCAAAGCCGACGAAGACGACTGCCGCAAATGCTGCAGCGGAGACGTGTTTGTCGGACGAGCCAGCCGAGTTAGTGTGCTGAGTTCCATCGGAGGCCGAGCTGGGGCTGGACCCGGAATTGGAGCTAGAGTCGGAGGTGCTGGTCGCAGAAGCAGAGAGAAAACCAGTGTTGGTGCCGGTTTTGGTCGACTTGGAACCGCCAGAGGTCCTGGTAGACGTGGAATCGGCGGAGCTCGTCGAGTGGATGACTGAGCAGTCATGTTAACTGACCAATTCCATGTCATATGACAAATATCCATTGGAGTAGTTGGAACTCACCAACTTTGTGGCCAGCAGCAGAGCAGGTGTCGGCGAATTGCTTCAAAGCTTCCTGCTTGTCATCACCACATACATCTGCGATTTTCTTCTGCACTCTATCGACGCACACAGCCTTCAAGTCACCGGGGGTTTTCTCGGAGCTATCCATCGATGCTGTCAGCACAAGCGTGAAATTTCAACGTCCAACTTCTCATAATGACAATGATGTACCATACCCCAGAGCAGAAATAAGGCAAGCAGGGGACTGCGCAGCAGCCGCAATGTTGCTGAGGGCGAACAACGATAGCAGAAAGGTGGATTTGGCGAACAACATAACGGCGTAATTGAACTGTGGAGGCTTGATATATCAAGGGGTTTAGGGGTTAGGGGGGGTTAAAGGTCAAAATAGCCGCGGAATCCAGATGGAAGAACGAAAAGATCTGATAAAAGAGTGACAAGCCTGTAGTAGGTAGCTGTAAGGAACGTAGTGGGCGATAAACGAAAGACCGTGTACGAAATAAGAGCGACAGGCAACGATAAGATCCCTAAGATGTTGGGGAGAGGAAGCGGGAGAAGCTGAAGAGATCACTATCTTGCCCAATGTGGCAGCGAACCCTGTTGATCCCTCGGGCTTGTAACATATTGGGGCAGCTTGTCTCATTGATACCGCCACATTACCATACAGGGCAGGATTTGGGGCGGTCCTAGTGTACTGTATTAGCCACCAAGTAGAACGGCGGAGAACGCTGGCATTTTTATTCTTTGTGCAATGTATCAGCAGGTATTCCTCTGTAATTAAAGCAACAGGGCCTCGATACCACGCATTGATGCCCTTGTCTGAGTGTAAGGAGTGTGATGATACAAGCATTGCTCCCTTGTTACTCTCTGGTTGTTTTCTAACAGCATTTGATACCATGGAGTCTGCTTCTACAGATCAAAGCTGGAACACATTCATAGAAAGTCTGTCTAGCAGGATGCATCCTGGATAAATACATCCGAAATTCTTTGAACAGCAGATAAAATAGCTTTAACGTCATAATCTGAACCAGTTCATTTGTCAATTCGTCAGTCCCATTAAAAGACACCATCACCTGTCCCATCCGGGGTCATAATTACTCGTGATAATCTCCTGCACGTCCATGCGCTCCTCTATGATTTCCCTACCATTTACAAAGTCATTCTCCGTTACTCTCTTATCCGCTTCAGCCTCGTCCTTTGCAATACCAGCTCTGACATGTCTCCGAACGAGCCTCTTCCGGGCCGTATCGAAATCGACCTCAACAAACCAAAGCTCATCCATCAACAGCGCCGCCCTGTTCCACGGCTCTTTATTCAGACTGAGATAATTCCCCTCAAAAAAAAAACTACCCGACAGACAGCGGGGATAGCGATATCCCCATCCACTGGATCCTTAACGGCATGGTCAAAGCTCGGTGCATACAGACTCGGCGTCTCTGCCGTCAGCGGTTCACGCAGCGCTCGCACGAGGGTCAGGAATTTCTCCCCGTCAAATGTGAAGGCCGCCCCGCGGCGGGCGACGGCGTACACGGGGTCGGGCATCTGGGCCAGCTGTGCTCGTGTAAAATGGTACCCATCCATAGGAACGACTGTCGCGATGGGTGGTGAGTCGGGATTTTCTGCGGTATAGAGTTTGTTGATACGATTGGCCATCGTGCTGGCCAGTTCGGTCTTCCCGGACCCTGGGATGCCGCTCACTGCTACCATTAAACGAGCATTGTTGGGTATGGATTGGAATGTACCTTGAACATGATGGGTTAGTTAGTCGTCTTGTTATCATATTGCAGGATTTGTTTATTGAGGGCCGTAAGATCAAAGGCTGTCCCGTTGGAGGTTGCAGGCCGTCGAGCACTAGGTACGGAGTGCTTACCCCAGATCTTATTGACTAGCCTATCTACTTGCGGATCCATGGCTGGTATGGGGTACCAATGAGCCAGCTGTGGCAGCCTAGAGGGGTAGAAGGACTCGGTAGTATGAGGTTATCGGCGAAAACCTCGGGGTTGTAGTTCGCGCACCCGACGAGGTAAACGAAAGTACGGGTGACAAAGAGGCAATCGACCATATAATCTCCACTACTGAAGTCTTCTTCGTCCGGGGGATGGATGGAAGGTGATGTGGTGAACAGGTTGACCAGCTCCAAGGTCCATTGAGGGACAAATAAACGTTGGCGGGGCTTGTCATCGGAGTGGGGCTTTGCGATCTGTTTATAGCATGAGCCTTTACGTCACAGGAAACTATATTTATGTAAAATGGCTACTCCAACACAAGTTGTTCGCTTCTATATAGGTTGGTCTATCTCCAATGGAAGACAAGGCCTACATATGCAAGCACATGCTTCATCCTGTCAATCTTGCCTTGGTATACAGGTATACAGCTCAATACCTCGAGTCTTACGACGTTCTCGTTTCTTTTTTTGACAGATGGCAAAAGCTACATGGAATATAGACGGACTTCAGGGAATCAAAGTAGTTGGATCCTGGAACCCGATTTCTCACTGTTTCTAGATCTTTCCCAACCGTTAACAGACTCAATACAAGTCCAGGGTGCACATTGCTACTAACACGTAATCTCACGAGTATAGACACAGGGAATCTGACACGCATACACGAGAACCAAATCTTATTCCCAAAGTCTCTCACTACTGTAATCCGGGAGTGACCGCTCGAAAAGAAAAAAAGGATCCAACAACGCCTAGCATGATATCCTGCCCAGCAAACCCAATCCAAACCTGCAATTTCCCTCTCATCTTTAGATCGGGAAAACAAAATGTTCAATATGTAACACAGAAACAAAAATATACCGGGTGATTTTCTCGCTACGGTTACCTCGACGGTCCGTCAACGCTATCGGTGTTGCTAGTCTCATCATTGGCACCGACCCTGTGACCAATGGTTCGAGCCAGCCCGGCGGCTGCCCACCAGTCATCAGGGATATCTTCCCGACGCGCAAGTCGGTCCAGTATGGCCTGCATCTGGTGAAGATCTGGGTCGGCCGAAGTGTCGGGAAACGAGAGCGATATTGTAGGGATAGGAGGATGGCTACTCGTGGTGGATTGAGTGTTTTGGGAGCGTCTCAGCATGTCCATCTGGCGCACTCGGCGACGATAGTTCCGGAACAACGAATTCTGACTAGCCTCTTCATCGGAATCCAACTCAGAGTCGGTCGAACTCGGGTAGTCACACGGGTTGAGAAACTCGGGGTAAGGTTCAAGGACCATTTGCACAGTTGCTGAGGTCGAGTCTAAAGAGCTCGGATGAGTCCCGAACGAAGTCGCCGAGCTCCTGGAAGTTCCATTCATCGACGCATCCGTTCCAGACGCTGATGCTGACGTGAAGGACGAATTCGCGCTTGGAAGGTTGGTGTCGGGGGTGATGGTAGTTAGAAGCGTTTCCCACGCGTCATTCGCATGGTCATCTGGGCTCACGCTCCTTTGGCGGTCCCCAAGGCCATCGACGACTGATTCACGGTTGGCACGACTTGCCTCGTTAATAGATCGTTGGCCAACTCGCCGTAGTAACGGAACATTCGAACCTACCTCCCCACCTAGGCTATCGGGTCGAGGAAATGGCGACAAGCGAATCACGTCCTGGTACACTCGAGGGGGAACAGTCCAGTGTTGTGCGCCTGCAGGGGTAAAGCGCGGCGCGAAAGAGGGAGGTTCTTGGTCCTGTCGATTGGTCCCGTCATCCCCGGGAGATGAGCGACGGTGCAGATCGGGCACTGTCGTGTTACGCGGTATTCTCAGCCGTTGACCAGGGCGACTATGTCGGAGGACATCGTTAAGCAAGCGCTGACCGGCCTCTCGTGCGCTGGTGTCCGCAAGGCTACTGGTGAGATCGAATGGGTCTTCGCCGGAGCCAGTGTTCGGAATGGGAGAGCGCACATGACGCTGTAGCCCGTTTGCTTCTCGTTCGATCTCATCTGCCAAGGGGCGAGGGAATGGGGGGCGTAGCGTTGCGCTGCGCAAAGCGGAGGAGCTACTGTAACGCGACGGACGCCGAATCGTGGCCTGACGACGGATTGCCGAGCGCGCAGCGGCACAGGGGTCTTTAATGGGATTGTTTTTAGCTGCCTCGATAGAGGTTGGCTCGCGGAACATCCTGCAGAACGTCAGTTACGGTGACGGCTCCATGCGCCAGAAGGCCATGTCGGTAGCGCGTAAGCCCCCGACAGTTGCCAACAAAATATACGACAAAAAAAGACCAGACAAAACTCACGGTATGCCCATGATTACGAAGTATAGATAGATGGATTCACCACAGGGGCGGGGAAAAAAAAAAAACAAAAAAGGAAAGAAAAGAGAAAAACGACAGAAAATCCTTCTCTAAGGCTGGACCACACCCAAAATCGCGCTAAGAAGAACGCGATTTACAAGAGAAGGAGATGCGACAATTGCGGGGGGGAGAGAGCGACGAGGTTGGATGTTGATGGAGAAACGGCAAGATTTGGTTTTGCTTGGAAGGGTAAAAAGCGGAGGCAAAGATATTTGGGCCTGAGGCTGCGCTGGTCGCGCGGTTCTGCTGAGAAAGGAAGGCTGGGATGTGGCGCAATGACTAACTTAGTGGCTCTGCGTATAATCCAGTACGGCTGTTCTTGGTGACTGAGGACACAGTAGGAATGGAGAGACAGCCAGACATTAATATCAAAACATCAAAGAGTAACGAGAGGAGCAATAATACAGTCTGTAAAAGTTTTCACATCTTATATGTAAGTAGAATTAGAGCAGTAATGTTACCACTTCCTGAACAGGATAGCGTGTTGTCTTGGCCGCCTGAGGCATGCTCCGTGGTATCCATCACAACACGCGGACGGGAATTTCCACTCTGATAAGACTTCCCGAAAAGATACCAACAAATCGTGGGCAGCTTCGGTTTTGACCGATAAAAAGACATATATACCGGGTACTTGTGCAGTGGCCATCATTATCACACTCCCTAATGTCAATTTGTGAGAAAACCTGATTCAGATCATGACATAGAGCGCCTAGGCCAGCAATAAAACATCGTCGGAGAATGATTGAGCTCGGCCTCAGTCGGATTTCCCGGCTGGTTCAGCAGACGTCTTTGTCGTGGAAGGCCATCCATATAGCGGGAACAAATGGCAAAGGCTCCATCAGCGCGTATTTGTCTCATCTATTGACTTCTGGGGGGGTCCGTTGCGGTCGCTTCACCTCCCCACACTTAGTCGACCGGTGGGATTGCATCACCATCGGGGAGAGGGTGGTCCAAGAGTCTCTATTTCGCCAGATTGAGGCCGAAGTCAAATTAAGGGACCAGACCCTGGGGATTGGGGCAAGCGAGTTCGAGTTGCTGACGGCAACGGCCTTCGAGATTTTCCATCATGAAAGGGTTGAGGTTGGGGTGGTCGAGGTAGGCATGGGTGGTCGACTGGATTCGACGAACATCCTGAAAGATGTTCTTGTGTCCGTTATTGCCAAGATAGGGTTGGACCATCAAGCCTTGCTCGGTAATACCATCGAAGAAATCACCCGGGAGAAGGCCGGAATATTGAAGAGCGGAGTTCCCTGCGTGGTTGATGGAACTAATTCCTCGGCCGTGACGACCACTCTTGAAGACCGTATCAAAGAGCTTGGTATCGATGCGACCTATACTCGTCCGGAAGCTCCGGACGAGCACTCACCTCCCCTCGCCCAACTCTTCTCAAAGCTTGACCTTTTACCACACCAGCAAGCGAACATGTGCTGTGCCGTTTCGGCTCTGAAATTTGCCATGCCAAAAATCCGTCCGGATATCGAGGTGGACTCACTTATTCCACAGCTCTCGAATGTTGAGTGGCCCGGACGTCTACAGAGTATTATCTTGCAGCCTCTGGCCACCCGTAAAGAGCCCGTTCTACTGGATGGGGCGCATAATGTCCAGTCTGCTGAGGTTCTTGGACAATATGTCGACCGCAGGTTACGCCCACTGGGAAAGCCCATTACTTGGTTAATTGCAGTATCCAGTGGAAAAGACGTCAACGAAATATTCCACCCTATCATCAAGGAAGGTGACCATGTCGCAACAACTGCGTTTGGGCCAGTTGATGGAATGCCCTGGGTCAAAGCCGCTGATCCGGAGGAGCTCGCCTCGTGTGTCAGAACCATCTCCGGAGTTGGAGAAGTGAGGTCTTTTGGGACAGAAGTTGTAGATGCCATTGATTGGGCCAGTGGAGAGGCTAACGGTGGTCCGCTGGTCATTGCTGGCAGTCTTTATCTTGTATCGGACGTTCTTCGTCACTTGAGGGAAGCCCGAGACCCGTCAGGTAACGTGCATTAGTTGTAGAGCCGAGGCAACTCTTTCATTGATAGCAGCAGCCGCAACAATGGGATTATTTGTAAATAATTATCATTTCTCTCAGGTCGATTGATTGCGAATTCTCTAGCATGATTCATAACAAATATAGAGTACAGACAATATAGGCAATACAGACACAGCTGTGAATTGCCCGGTACTATTAATCGCATCGAAATTCAAGCAAATATGCCATTCTCAGCTTAGCGAATACCCTATATAGCAAAGAGGAAAGTGGTGCAACTGGGGAGAAAAATGATGCTAGATCCGATGGGATTCGATAAGGCTGAGCAGAAACCGGTCGCTGCGTCATGACCCAAACAGGTGCTCACCTGTGGAGAAGGGGAAAGTTCAAAACACCTCCAATTTGCTACATTCCGAACCAGCAAGCACCACAGCCAGCGTAGATTCATTCATTTATTCATTATTTTATGCGCGTTCCAGTGCATTCCTTGCTAACTGACAATTGGAAGATTTGAAACACTCTCTAAAGCCGCAGGTATCTGATGAGGAGTGACGCGTTGATTCAACGCGGCTCTATGGGTGTGAGAGCAAGAATCCCTTCTGTAGGTCTTTCTCTAATTTATTTTTTCCCTAACCGTTGATTATGTCGTATTTTTTTTTTTTTTTTTTTTTTGGTGACCCTTATCACTTTGCAATATAGTTCTTCCCCACTGTTTAAAAAAAAAAAAAAACAAGACTGACAATGTGACGTCCAAATTACAGGCTTTGCTGACATGAACGATTTCGACCGATCCTCTGGCTCCTGCCTATCTCTGCCTGCCGTCCCTCATCTGAATCCCTGAAGCGTGAGACAGGTCGTTGAAATTAGAGTGAACTGGAGACATCGAGGGATCTGATCCACATCTCACCTGACGATGGTCTCTCGATCTGGTGAAGGGAATGAGGGGCCTCCTCCATCCTCCAGGACACCGAATACGCCCGCCAAAACACGAATTGCGAGACTTGGCTCCAGCCCATCCAAACGAGAAGATAAAGGAAAAGATGATAGGGTGATTAAGTCATCCGCGAAGGATGTAGCAGAACTTAAGGATTATGTATGGACCGAACCCGGGAGTTTCTCCGTACTAAGATGCGGCGTCGCTGACATATTGAAGCAATTGGGGGATTGCTTGGGCAAGGGCGCCTTTGGTTCGGTCTATAGGGCATTGAATTGGAACACCGGAGAAACTGTCGCTGTGAAGCAAATCAAGCTTGCAGACCTTCCTAAGAGTGAACTGCGGGTTATTATGGTATTGGAGCCTCCATTCTTGAAAGCCATTTTATCAATCGCTAATAAAGTGTCCCGCAGCTGGAAATCGATCTCCTAAAAAATTTGGATGTGAGATCAAACTGTTAAGGATTCCTATGGACTTTGGCCCCTGATAGAGCTGACCCTATGGCTATAGCATCCTAACATAGTGAAGTACCAAGGATTCGTGAAGTCAGCTGAAACTCTAAATATTATCCTGGAGTATGTTTAAGAAACCCCGAACATCCGATATTAGGTTTGCTAATAGAACCAGGTACTGCGAGAATGGTTCTCTACACTCAATCGCAAAGAATTTTGGCCGTTTCCCGGAGAATCTCGTTGGTTTATACATGTCCCAGGTCCTTCATGGTCTCCTATACCTCCACGAGCAAGGTGTTATACATAGAGATATCAAAGGAGCAAATATTCTCACAACCAAACAAGGTCTCGTCAAGCTTGCAGATTTCGGTGTAGCTAGTCGGACCACTGGGCTCAGCGAATCCAGTGTTGTCGGCACACCCTACTGGATGGCTCCTGAGGTGATTGAACTTTCAGGTGCTACGACAGCCTCAGATATATGGAGTCTTGGCTGTACCGTGATTGAGCTGCTCGAGGGAAAGCCTCCCTACTATAACCTTCAGCCTATGCCGGCTCTTTTTCGCATTGTTAATGATGATCATCCCCCACTCCCGCAGGGTGCCTCTCCGGTTAGTTTTATACTGCTCTATGTCCTGCTTATGCCTGACGATATCTATAGGCCGTCAAAGACTTCTTGATGCAATGCTTTCAGAAGGACCCTAACCTTCGTGTTTCGGCGAGGAAATTGCTGAAACATCCTTGGATAGTCAATGCCCGCCGATCAGATTCAGTAGTCCCTAAAAAGTCAACGGAGTACGAGGAAGCAGTAAAAAGTGTTCAAGAATGGAACGAAGCACTGCGTTCGCCTAGTGCAGGAACCCTACGGAAGACATTTAAACATGACCATCAAAATCCGATGTCGCTGCCATCAATTCGGAATGCCCCAAGTAAGGACTCGCCAAGTCCAGTTGCTAATCATTTGGCGGATCGATATCGATCTCAAAACTCCCCGGAAGAGGACAACTGGGATGATGACTTTGCCACTGCCATTTCCCCTAGTGCTTTACAGCTGCCTCACCTTCGGCCACAGGACAATTTCGGAGGGATGCTGTCCTCTGAGAAGCTCAAGGCTTTTGCATCTCTTGATGGGACAGTGCTGAGATCAGAGGATAGCTTTGATGAATTTGAGGACTCATTCCAAGACTCATTACCATCGGGGGAATCAGATCCTTTAGAGACGATCCGGCCGTCCCTACCGAAACTTGCTTCAACTGAAAGCATTCACTTACAGGACTCCCCCCTGTACAATATTGCTAAAAGTACGTTTGCGTCTATGCAAAATGTGCCAATTTTAACACAGAACCCGGTCCCGCCGATGAGACAACCGCGTCCCGCCTCATTTTATAAAGAAAACCCCGTCGAGGATTACTCGGATCTAATTAAAGCGAACGAGGACGTTCTAGACCGCAAACTGAGCGCCTTCCATGTGAGTACCCTCTTGTTTTAGCTACCGTCAAGTTATTTTCTTACGTGTACTAGGAGGTTGATGAAGATGCTGCTCTGTTGGGAGATGCGTCTTCCAAAAAGATAGTCCGCTATCAAGAGCCCTCTGACGATATGGAAGATCAAGAGCCTCAGCTTAGGAAGCGGATTTCTGTCAAGCGACATCGATCAGAAATAGAGATTCAACGGTTTGCAGAGAATGAGACCGATGAGGATTTCTCTGACATTTTAGGTGCCGACGAGGCCGCCCTGGATAATCTTGAAAGTGATGGTAGCTCGGACCAAAGCACTCTGCTACTTAATTCTAAGTTGTCAAACAATTCTTGGCTTGGAGACCAGGACGATGATGATGACCCGTTTGCCCAACTTGAGGAAGGACTTGACGAAATGGACCTGGAAGCTAACATCGCACGCGACAAGCATGCTCGACTTCGCAATCAGGTTGAGGGGCTAGTGAGCTCTCTGAAAACCTCCCAGGACGAAGATGTCCTCGGAGAAATCTCAGATCAGCTGCTGACAGTTTTCTGCGATCTCCCGGAAACGAAAAACATAATCATAAGCGCCCACGGTATGCTTCCGATATTGGAGATCCTCGACATGTGCCGTCGACGGGACATTATCTTGAGTCTCCTGAAGATTGTCAACGCGATTATCTATGACGACTATGAGATACAGGAGAACCTCTGTTTTGTGGGAGGTATACCTATTATCAACGAATTCGCTTCAAAGAAGTATCCGCGAGAGATTCGGTTGGAAGCGGCTGCGTTCGTGCAGCAGATGTATCAAACATCTACGCTTACTCTGCAAATGTTTGTCAGTGCTGGAGGACTGAATGTCTTGGTTGAGTTCTTAGAAGATGATTACGAAGATGAACGGGACCTGGTCTTGATCGGTGTGAATGGTATTTGGAGTGTTTTCGAGCTGCAGGTGGGTTGTCCTGTACAATGTGTGTGCGGATATTCTGCTAATCGTCTAGGGCTCAACACCGAAAAATGACTTTTGCCGAATCCTCTCCCGTAACTCTGTTTTGGACCCCTTGTCACTTGTCTTGAGCCGGGTCTTGGATGAAGAAGGGACCTTGGCGGAGATCGTCGAAGGCCGTATAGCAAATATCTTCTTCATTTTCTCTCAAGCAGAGAACCATGTGAAGGAAATGGTCGCTGAGCGGACAGTTCTTCACAGTACGTATGGCCACGCACTTTGTAGCAGCTATGCCTGATGCTAACGGTTCGTCTCAAGGGGTATTGAAAGAATTAAAACGCATGACACCAGCTCATCAGATCACAATGCTGAAATTTATCAAAAACTTGTCCATGCTATCCACAACGTTGGACTCTTTGCAGAACTCGAATGCAATTGACGTGTTGACGGATCTGCTGAGGTCGACTATCAGACGCCCACATTTCCGAGAAGTGTCGAATCAGATCTTGAACACCATCTACAACATGTGTCGCCTGAACAAGCCTCGACAAGAAGATGCAGCTTTGAATGGCATTGTACCCCTACTCCAGAAGATAGTAAAGACTGAACGGCCACTGAAGGAGTTTGCACTACCAATTCTCTGCGACATGGCAAATTCAGGCAAAGTCGGCCGCCGTGAGTTGTGGCGGAACAAGGGCCTCTCCTTCTACATATCCCTGCTTTCTGATCCGTATTGGCAAGTTACAGCGCTGGATGCTATCTTTACTTGGTCAGTAGATATTCACTAAACCAGGAGAGCGCAGCGCTAACCTCAATAACAGGCTTCAAGAAGAGACCGCCAAGGTGGAAGAGCACCTTCTGGAGAACCGCCATGATAAGCTATATTTCACGGATGCTATTGTCCGGTGCCTGACCATATCAAAGGCCAACTCATTCGAGAATCTTCTCGAACCTTTGCAAAAGCTACTGAGACTAAGCCCTCCGATTGCCTACACCTTCGCACGACCAGACCTGTTTAATCGAATCGGGCAGAAGTTACACCACAATAAAACTGCGGTCCGGCTAAATTTGCTCCGGATCATATCAAGTATCTGTGATTCAAGCGAGGAGCAAGGCGGCCTGCTCGCGAAGTATGGCCTCTTGGATGCGATTGCAGAGCTCGAACATGATCCCGCCATCCTAGTTAAAGACATGGCCGGAAAACTAGTACAGTCTAATGAGCGGAGCGAGGCATATGGGCTGGGCAAGCGCAAGCCAGGTGTGAGGCGACGGAGCATCTCCACCACGCCTCCTGGTCTGCTCCCCGGCCAGTCGGCACCATCCACCCCCCAGATTAACCGTTCCAGTCAATCCAAAGCGTATTTAGATGGGAGAGATAGTCAGAGACACCCACGAAACCCGCTCACTGGGTCGGCGCTGGCACTGCGGCCTGGAAGCCGGGACGGTGCCAGCCCTGGCCTTGCCGGGGGGCTGAATGGAAGCTCCGGCGCAGCGAGGAATCGGCTGTCACGAGTAATCCCCGACAGCAATAGATTATCACATGTTGACATGTTACCTGAAGAAAGCACAAGGCCACCAAGCACGGTGTCCCGTCGACCATCGATTCTCCCCCGGCGGCGGCGTACGACTCAAGTAGATGCCGACTGGGCTTCGTGAATTGGATAGTCCAGCTTCTTGTCCATCGCCTTCTCTTCTCGACCCTTTTCTGATTATATTCCTTGCTCGATTTGGCCTTTGTGGCCTCACATAATACGGTTTTTATTGGACGTCGTTTCGAGTGCATTGCATAGGAAAGGCGCATTGGGGTTATTGTTTAGGACTGTGTTTTGACTCATCTCCGAACTGTCCATGTTTGGTATGTCTCATTTTCAAGGGATCTTGACTGGTCGATTGGTGATGTCGAGAAGGAGTTCTCCGTTGTGCATACTATCTATCTCATTCACGGATACTCCATACCTGTAGACCATGGTTCTGCAACCTGACCGACGTAAATGTACCTAAGAATCTAGACATGATCCTCTGTATCTCTGGAGTTTTCTCTTTGACATACTTCCTCCTGTGTAACTAGATGGTACAGTATGGCCTCGGCACTGCTAAAGCGGCAAGTTGTGGAGCAACGGATTCCCGTGCGTTTCTTTTCCGCCCCGTCGCCGTTTCTACTCTGAGTTCTTCGCATACGACAATGGCCTGGTGTTAGCCGCACCGGTGAAGCACAGTTTCTACTATCAATCCGGCGTTCCTCCTCTGGTCGCTCTTCATACGGCATCGGTGGCGGTCGGTATGAGGGCGGCGCTCCGCGCACTGCTGCGGGCATGCGATTTTAATCGTGCAACTGCCATCCGATGTTCGGCTTCTGCTCCCTGGACGCATTTTTTTCAACGCCCCCCGATCTCCTCTATATCTAGCAGATCAATCTCATATTCGACGCAGAGGTCTCGGGGAATATGTCGGTACCGTTATCCGTGCCAGGTCGGTCGGTCCGCTCCTCCTTGCGCTCTTTTTTCCGCTAGAACATCCGCCGCGTTTGGGCCGGGGAATACTGGTAACAATGAAAGGAAACGAACCGGGTCGGGTCAACTGCGGGATCGACTCGTCAAGTATGTGGTTATTGGGGGTACAATGGTTATTGGAGCGGTGGCATTCTCGGACGACGCCCAGCATCTCTACCGCGCTGCGCAGAGAACGGGACGAGTTGTTAGCACCTTAGCCGTGTGTATCAACGAGTAAGTTGACGGTCATTTGATGTCTTTTTAAGGGGTAGGCTCTTTTGTCTCAGTTGCTCACATAATTGTTGTAACCAGTTACCGAATCACCCTTAAGCAAGAAAGCTCGTCCACCGAAGAACGGAGTGAAAGCATCCGGGCCTGTCATAAACGTTGCGCGGAACGAACTCTACGTGTTCTCGAGAAAAACGGCTCCATATTTATTAAACTAGGCCAGCACCTGAGTAGTATGGGATATTTGCTTCCTTTGGAGTGGACGACGACATTCATTCCATTGCAAGATAAATGCCCCGTCTCGTCAATCGAATCCATTGAAGACATGTTTGTGGCAGACACGGGTCATCGAGTTGACGAGCTGTTTTCTTCATTCGAGTCGGAGCCTATCGGCGCTGCGTCTCTTGCCCAGGTTCACATCGGCACGCTGAAGGAAACAGGACAGAAAGTCGCGGTGAAGGTGCAGCATCCCGCGTTGGCGGAATGGGTACCCTTGGACCTGGCATTGACCAGGTTCACTTTTTCGATGCTGAAGCGCTTCTTCCCCGAATACGACCTAGAATGGCTCTCGCAGGAAATGGACCTCTCTCTTCCACAGGAATTGGATTTCCGCATGGAAGCGGACAACGCTAGGAGGGCGAGCGAGTACTTCAAGAAGCATTCGGATGCTCCATTGGTTATCCCAGAAGGTGTGTGTTAGACCGTCGTTTATGGAACGGTCTTCTTAATATGTACTGACGCCAACTCAGTCATGTGGGCGCAAAAGCGCATCCTTGTAATGGAGTTCTTGTCCGGTAGTCGGCCGGATGACCTGGAATACTTAGACTCCAATCACATTGATCGAGACGAGGTCTCTGCTGCCTTAGCTCATATCTTCAACGAGATGATCTTCGGCGACAATGCCCCGTTGCACTGTGATCCTCACGGCGGAAACATCGCCATCCGAAAGAATCCCAACCGACGTCATAACTTTGACATCATCCTTTACGATCATGGGCTCTACCGTGATATCCCTCGTGACTTGCGCCGAAACTACGCAAAGATGTGGCTAGCAGTCATCGAAGCCGATGAACCCCACATGCGCGAGTATGCACGCAAAGTGGCAGGAATCACAGACGATCAGTTCCCGCTCTTTGCCAGCGCCATCACGGGTAGAGACTATACCAAAGTGACGAAGAAGAATATTGTCAGTCAGAGAACTGCCGCAGAGAGGGACAATATGTCCGGCGCATTAGGCGAGGGTATGCTACAGCAATTGGTTGAGTTGTTGGGTCAGGTTCCTAGAATCATCCTTTTAATTCTAAAGACCAACGACCTCAGTAAGCTTTCTCTCTCTTTCATTTTTTTTTTTTTATCAATTTAACATACTAACATAACTGATATCTACAGCCCGCAGCCTTGACGAAAATCTGCATACGAGGCAAGGACCTGTACGTACATTCCTCATCCTCGCCCGCTACGCTACACGCACCGTCTTCGAGGAACAAATGGAAATCATTAATGAAACCGGTGGAATTCTGCGGTTCTCGAACTTCTTCCGATTTCTCCGCGCCTGGACCGGTTTTCTTCGCGTCGAGCTGAAGTTATCTGTCTATGAGACCGTGCTATCTTTCAAGACGCGGCTCGCACAACTCTGGTAGATGTTGGAAGATATATCTCTCATAAGTCAGTAGTGCTATGGCCTTGTATATGTTATTGTTATTGAGTCTGTTGATTATTTATCTTATCGTCTCTTTGGATTCGAGTTGATAGAAAAGCACGGGTGGGTATTTGTGCATCTGGGCGTTTTCTTCTTTCTTTCTTTTTCTTTCTTTTTTTTTTTTTTTTTTTTTTTTGGTTGGCTTGGTCTGTCCTTATACAGGGAATAGACCATATGTGTACATTTACATAGAAGTGCGGACTAGATGGATGGTAGGTTTATCTGGAAATAACTAAACTCAGCTCAATAATATGTATATATAGTACCTCTTACCCATGCGCTGCACTAGACTAGACTTGCATCAATCAAAGCTTTCATTCCAAAAAGAGTATCCGATTGTATGCTGTATGTCCTGTCATTAGAAAGACAGACAAGCATTCTATAACAAGTATTTTATATCAATTTCCGTGCCATTTATTATATAACTACCAGAATAGCTCAAAAATCCGCCAGAAAAATAAAAACCAGAGAGAGGAGTAACTAGTAAAGAGATAGGAAGGGCCATTTCCCATCATGCAAGCAAGTGCTTCAATTAATAACTAACATCAAGTTATATCGTAATGCTTTCTTCTTGCTTTGCCATTCTGTCAGCGCGGAGAGGTTAAGAAAAATAGTTAGACAGGGTAGAAAAGGAATCTGTACATCATGGAATGGAATGAAGCCTGACCCAATCCAATCCAATCTCAATTTGGAAATAAAGCATTGGAAAAAAATAAGCACGATAAGGGAATCATATTTGGTATCGCCTTGTTCATCTGTCTTTTAATCATTTGTTTTTCTTTTTACTTTTTGTAGTGGTGCCTGTTCTCCTGCATATCTCTACAGGCTAGCGGAGGCACCGTCAACCTTGACCTCTGGCATGGCAGCGCCGGTGCCACCCAAGTCAGTGGAACGAGCGTTAGGGTTTTTCGTGTAGTAGTCGGAAATGGCCGACTTGATGGCATCCTCAGCAAGCATAGAGCAGTGCACTACATACATCCGTTAGATATATTATACACCTTTCGTGTTTGTTGAAGGGAAGATACGACTGAACTTACACTTCACAGGAGGCAGACACAGTTCCTTGGCGATATCCGTGTTGCGAATCTTCCCGGCCTCTTCGAGAGTCATTCCACGCACCAACTCAGTCAGATAGCTAGAGCTGGCGATAGCGCTACCGCAACCGAAGGTCTTGAACTTGACATCACTGATCGTCTTGGTGTCCTTGTCGACGCGGATCTGAAGCTTCATAACATCCCCACAGGCGGGCGCACCAACAAGTCCGCTGCCGACATCCTGGTTGACTTTCATGGATCCAGCGTTGCGAGGGTTGTTGTAGTGATCGAGCAGTGCTGAGATGGTCAGTTCGACGGTCCGTCGGAAGTTTATATGGACTCTTTCCAACGTGTAAATAGGAAATACTTATCTTTTTCATGGTAACCCCTTCGCTGAGGAGCCGGGGATCGCAAGATCGACTGGGTTTGCACGCCGGAGAAGGCCGGTGTGATGCGAGGAGACACAACAGTGCCGATGGATCGAGGGGCGACCGTTGCGAGACGACGGAACATTATGATCGATGTGATTAGGAGAGGAGAATAATGGAGTATTTAGAGATAGTTCGATGGTTTCCAGTGCTGTGTGTATGGGATGGAAAAGGTGGTTGATAGAAAAGAGCACAGGGAGGCGATGACCGAGGTTGTGATGTCGACGAAAGATTGATTGATTGATTAATTATTTCCTCTTCTCTTCGCCGGGACTAAACCGCATGCGGGAACCCCGTTGCCTTCGCTCCGGCCTCGGAGATGACGTTAAACCGAGCTCGAAGCCCGGGACATCCACGGTCGCTGCTACTCAATCAGACTCATTCTTGTCATCGTGTCTGATTGATAGGCCCCCCGTTCCACGGGTATCCAACTGATTGGCCGGTCGGCCCTGACCATCGATCCTCGTGGGATTTTGCCCATGGCGGGGGACTTGTATTAGCTTTCCACGGAGATGGACATGCATTACGAAAGGAAAAGTGCCCAGGCCGTTGCCCCGACTGTTCGTATCTTCATACCGTACAGAACATAGCTTTCCCGATAAACGGCACTAATCCCTGCTGCGGCCAACAGGAAGAGCTCCGGTCAGTATGAGACACGTACTGATACCTTATCATTTCTGGATGCTGGTCACCCTCCATCTGATAAAAATTCTCGTCACGGGAACACAACCTCATAATCCTCTTTAGTAACATTAACTATTTAAGATGACCAAGAAGACCCTGGGTCGTGCTTCAGGGGTAAGTTCCCCTTTTTTTTTATATAGCATTACTTTCGTGTATATATTTTACTTTTCCATAGTAGTATATCTAGCTAAATACTTCTCATCAGTCGCTTAATGCCCCCATCGCTGCTTTCACCATGGCCATCCTCCTAACCACGTACTGCGTCAGTTCAATCAACACCGCCCGTCGTGAAGCGCAGACGTCATCGGGTACCACTGCAGCCTCCTCCCGTCCGAAGCCTCCAGCAGACAGGAACGATCAAACATCCTGGGTCCAGCAGGCCCTTGAAGAAAGCCGTGAAACTGAGCGAAGGAAAGGGGCTTAAGTGATCTTGTGTAGCTGGCTACAGTTCTGTATTTGTGGAGTTATCATGTTAATATATTCTATTAAATATTTAATACTTTGATTCGTTCGTCTAAATTACGACAATATACTGGGAACGGGCCAGAATCTATATAAGCATAAGCATTAGCAAAACAAGACTCGAGGCCACATAAGACCAAGACATATCCATGATCAGAATTTTCAGTGTATTGTAATAGTCACGTCCAGCCATTAAGACCGGATCTACCATTCAAAAAGAATTTTCATCATATCAAATGGATGGCTAATGAAACCCAAGGCACCTAGGTAATCCTGGAAGGGCAAAACAGTACCTATAAATGCAAACTGATACGACGATTCAACGCCGACTGTCAAGAAATAAAACATCTTTTCAGAAACTAGAAGAAATGACCAACTTAAGGCCATCTAATGGAATCATTATACAGAAAAACGGTTCCACCGATTGTTGTTTGTGAGAAGTTAAAACGGGAATTCAATCCTCAAACTGGAAATTTCAGTCAAATTTCTGTGTATCACGTGACCTTCGCCAAACGGCTGACATCATCTTGCCATCCACTAGTTAGTTAACTTAACTAGTTAACTACGGATTAGCCAATGCTTTTTTTTTGTCTTGCACCAAATTATAGCGATAAGCCAAAAGTCCTATATAAGTGGTAGACGTATGTTGTCCATATTCAGCATTTGTAAAGCTAAGAACGGAAAGTAGGTATAATTGATGTATGTACATACGTTGCAAATCAATGCAAAACGATTTGAGAACAACGCTCAGAAAACACAAGTCTTTCGCAGAAATCAGAAAGCCCACTGTGTGACCAAGAAAATAAACAGGCAGACCCTACCTTTACATGCTAGAAGAGGGTCTAGCCACTCTACTCATAATACCATGACCCGAACACCATCGATGCCGTGCAAATGTTGGTCCGCTCCATGACAGCTACATGGCAAAAACGAGCATGCAGCCGAAAAGAGAGTACGAGAAAGCGAGTGATGAAATCTAATGAAATCTGACCCGGTATTGCCAGCAACGAAGGCGGAGCAAGTGAATCCCCCGGATAGCCGAAGTGGTTACCCAAGTGAGCTGCGGGATAAGACTCTAAATAACTTGCGCTTATCACTGCAGCTTCAACCGGTCAATTGAGCCGTTCTATCCATCCAGTCATATACCAACTGAATCTCCCGGCTTCTCCTCCTCCATTTTGCGTTTCAATGCTCCTTCGTGCTGAAGGTGGCTAATGAGCTTTCGGAGGTACTCATACGTCAGCATTGTAGTCATGGCAGCTGGAACGGCACGAAATAGATTAGTGCCGATTCCAGAGTAAAATGCGCGCCATCCCTCTTCCTTCAAAATGGTCTGGCAAGTACGGATAATCCCTGCATATCGGGGTCGGTTAGGCATGCCATCAGATGAAGCGGCACCCGGAGGCCTACCACGGTCCGGGGGGTGGTCCATCCCTCCGCGGAATGTGATCTCTTCTGGTGAAGGCGCAGGCGACGTTCTCTGTTGGGTCTGCAATCTTGTCCGTAGTACTTCGTGCGGATATGTCACGGTGCTTGCGCAAATTTTGCTCAGGAATGTGGCAAAAGATATCCCAATCCAGTGAGAGTTTCCATTGTCGGGGTGTTCGCCGATTCCATATCCGGTAAAGGCCATTTTCAAATATTCATAAAGTGGAAATTGTATAGCAACGTGTGTCAGTCCTAACAAGGCGGGCGTAAGCCCGGAATAAAATGAGCGTATCCCTTCTGTCCTATACATCTTGCGGGCCGCATCCCAGGTGCTAGAGTACTGCCATGGAGCTCGAAAGCCTTCGCTATTCGATCTGAGGCTCTGGGACATAAGTCGTGTTTTGATCACCCAGATAGGGTTTGTCACCACTGTGGAGCAAGCACCAGCCGTTATGGAAGCATAACCCCTTGCAAGCCACCAGCTATCTGTATATCATATAAAACTCAGTAAGCCAATGCCTCGAACAGGCCCAAATCGAGTATAACTAACCAGTAGTTTCATAAAAGTATTCCCGAGACCGATCATAGACTGCCAAATAGACCGCCCATGTAGGCAAGTATCCTAGAAGCATGGGACCCAGCCCTTGGTAGAGACCTCGAATACCATCTTCACGCCATATCATCCTACCTGTACCTAGCATGCCTCGATATAACGCTTTGGCTTCGACCACATTGCCTCCTCTTCGTGCAAACCCTCCCTGAGCCTGCAGCTTGGTCTTGATCACGTCGAGAGGACATGTCACGATACCTGACGCTACGCCTGCACTGGCCCCGCAGAATGGAGGAATATAGAAACCGGGGACGCGGGTGGAGAATATTTCGATGCGAGTGAGGAGCGAACTTGACGGGACCTCGGGGGTCACATGAAGGCTAGACGATGGAGGGCCGTCAGAATGTGTAACCTGCTGCCCTTGAGCGCTGCTGGCACTCTCTGAAGTGCCGTGTTCTTCTGAAAACATCTTTCGCAACTAGCACTCAAAAAGCAACCTATGTGTCCGTCTTAGATCTCACAAGGGCTCCCGGACCCGAGCATGTCGGTGCTCGCTCCGGAACCCAATCGGTCCTATGCTAATCGCGATGTGGGCGTATTTTCTCGATTGGAGCACTTCTGGGCTAGAAATAAAGTTCGGAGGAGAAAAATTGGAACAGGTTGTCGGTCGTGCCAATGCTACTGAGTCGTCTAATGGTTTCAGCGTTGCCCTATCCGGAACACAAACGGGGCGGGGTCTGTTGTAGCAGCTCAGCTCCTCTCGAGGAGCAAAACAAATAAAAAAAAGGATTCAGCGCTTAACGACCTCCATGCCCGAAAATGTTGGAACGGAGACAATCGGCGGATACAAAACGCAGGGGTGTGTCAGCTGGGGATGTTGGAAAGCAGTGCACGAACGGGAGATCGCGGAGGATTGTGGACGAGATCAAATGCAGATACGAGTCTCTGCCGGTCAGGTGGAGAGAGAATCCACCGCCGGTCCCAAGAGTAGCGCCTGAGGCAGCACTTCGCAAGCAGGCCAATCACGTGTCTTTGGATCGGAACCGGTCAGGTATTTCTGCCTGAGGCAGAAAAAATCGGATGTTTTTGGGAAAGTTCACTCGCCGAACCTCCGTTTTGCACACTCCAACATCGGGCCAACTCTCGCTCAGCTTGACTGACATTTCGCGATCCCCCTTCCACACCACTCCGCCAATTGGACCCAACCCATCTCCATTTGGGATCATTCGCCATGTCCGCTCCTTCTCTTACCAGCTACATTGTCAAGCGCCCGTGGCTCAAGCGCTGGATGACGCCAATTGCCAACTGGTACGCCGACGCAGCCGGTTACAGGAGGCTCGGATTGAAGTAGGAGCACACACCTTTTTTTCTCAGATCCATGCGGTGCAGGGTGGATATGTGAAACGATAGACCTCTGTTGGATATATCGAGCGTTGTCTATCAGTTTTCGTGCCATATCCTTGTCTCCGCTTGGGCGGAGAACAGTTTTATATCATGTCTCCAAAAGTGACCTGGCTGACTCTAATAAGGTTTGATGACCTGATCCCCGAGGAAAGCGTGGCCGTTCAGACGGCCATCAAGCGTCTTCCCCCTAAGGAGGCCTACGACCGTGTTTTCCGTATCCGCAGGGCATTCCAGGTTGGTTCCTATCGTCCGTCTTCCAGAGGTGACCAGGTGTCTAACAATGCTCGTCAATTAGTGCTCTGTCTCCCACACCCTCCTTCCAGCTGCTGAGCAGACCAAGCCTGAGGATGTGAGTTGAATTTCGTGCATTTTTACCTAGCAACCTTCCCCATTTCTCCGCATGAAATATCAGCCAATCCCGTGAGGAGGATTTGTAACCCTATAGAAACTCCATGTATGGTGGGGATACTCTCCGGGAAAAGCATCTAGAATCCCTTAAGAATGATTCGGTGGACTTGTCGCTGATAGCTGTCGATAGGATGTTGAATACCTGAGCCCGATCATTCGCGAAGTCGAGAAGGAACAGAAGGAACGTGCGGATCTCGACAACCTCATCATTAAACGGTAGACGCTTGTAGCCCTAGCCGATACTGCCAAGAGATTCCGAAGAAAAATGTACGTCAGGGCAATAGACAGGCTGGATAGAAACGAGGAGGGATTTTGTGTGTTGCGGTTCACCTGCTGTCCGTCGCTGCGATGAACATGCGCTGGAGATTTTGATATGTCGTTCAATCGTGTACTGATACTGTACAAATTCATCCGTCCCATTTTGTTGACTATGGAAGTTTCGGTTCCAATTTGGAGTATAGATCAGTAACATACCACCACACAGCAGTATCTATATGGTTCATGCTAAGGTGAAGCATGCTGGAGCCCATCAGACTCGACTCCTAAAACCTATCGTATAACTATGAAGACAGGGTAATAGGGGTAAGTCGGCTCTGTTCTATTGGTTGTAAGTGTGCCATGTCATATGTGCATGTTGCTGCTACCTAAATAGCAGTTGGGTTCATTCCACTCAACGCTGTCATAATACATGCTACCATTAAATATACTGGCTAGATCAACATCGATAGATAATGCAATTGTATAATTGCGCTCACTTATCACTAATTCAATACGGCGATGTCTACGTTCTCTATCCGCCACATGTACCACATAAAAAGAGTCCTACATGTCCGTATAAGAATGGTGGCTCTATGTATTGCCATGTGCTAGGGAGATTTACGTACCTATATGGGGCAAATTTCGCTGCCAGCTCAAGCATGTCTTTCTCTGCCATGTACTTGAACTTACCACCTCCTTTTGCTCTGAGTTTGTTCACGTCTTTGCCCGTGAATGCCGCACATCCTCTTCTATTTTATAGTTAGTCAAGTAGGTATAAATCGGCGAGCTGTCTTTTTTTTTATGTTTTTTTTTTTCTCTCTTTTTGCGGACGCTCTTAGATATAAATGTGAGGAATCAACATACTGCACACCAAGATCACCTGTAGAGAACACGTCCATTCGCTTTAGGGCGAAACAAGCAAACATCTCAACGGACCATTTGCCCAGACCCCGAACAGCAGTTAATTTCTCAACGAGTTCCTCATCGCTGGCACTCAGCAGCATCTGAGCACTCAGTTCACCATCCGCAAACTTCCGCGACAGGCCTTGGATATACTCGGCTTTCCGCTGGGAAAGACCGGCGGTCCGCAGCGTCTGAATATCGAGCCGAACAATCTCTTCCGGTATGGGGAAGTGATTTGTTGGGTTTATACCATCTCTTTTACCATCTTGGTTGAACAACGCTATAAATTTGTCTCTGATCGACCTGGCTGCAGCGCCCGACACCTGTTGACCGATGATGCTGACGACCAGACTTCGAAAAGGATCAATCTCTTCCGCTAGTCCCTCGGGGGAAAAAAGGGGACACGGATGCTGTTTTATAATGGACTCTAGCCGTGGGTCCGTAGCAATTAGATGTGCAACGGCTTTTTCAAGGAGCGTCCCCGTCGTGGCTGTTGGGCGAGGCCGGCCTGTCTTGCTGGGGGATGCCTCCTCAGCCCCAGGAGGGTATGCAACCAAGGAGGACCCATGGGGTGTGAGGAGGGGAACAGTTGTTGTATGGGGTTCAACGGGTCGATCGAGGGGAGGAGGGGTAGTATGTGGCCTACTTATAGTACCACTAGTAGCCGATGATGGGTTGAAGACGTTATCGACCGCGGTAAGTGTTGTAGTGGCTTTGTTTTGGCGAATATTCGAAACAGTGTTTTTCCGTTTCGAGTCCAGAGACGCTTTTTTCCGTTTGTTTGAGGGTTTTCGCACTTTGGTATCTTCATTGCTGCTCCTGGTCGCTTTGCTTGCTTTGGTTTTGGGTTGCAATAAGGGCGAAGCTGCATTGCTGGGGGCGCTCAAGCGCGCGGAGCGCCTAAGGGCCATCATAGAAAGCTATTTATATAAACTGATGCGTTCAGGTAGATAAGAACATTCATTAATGTGGACCTGATATCCGGATGATTGGAGGCAATCTAGGGGCTCTGATTATTGACAGACATGTATGAATGCCTGGTGTTTTTTGGGCATCGCATATTATAAGTTCGGGTAAGTCATCCATGGTTGTTCTCCACAATCTTACCAATCAATGCGTTTATACGAGTATGCTATTTCGAAATGTGTCTAAGATATACTTAACGTAAACATTTGAAATAGGGCTTTTAACATAGTGCTTTCTTTATGCAGGTCTTCGGTATACAACATATGTGCTTTGATATGTATCTAAGATGTGACTATACAGTTTGTCGCTTGTTCTCAGAGACTGTGAGAATGTAAAGACCTTAGCATGATTATATTGATTCTATACGAGGTCTATGTTGTTAGTAATCAACATTTCATAACTATCAAGCATCTACAAAGTCACATGCCATGAAACACTGGCACTGCCGTTATTTCCCCTCACCGGATGTCTCAACTTCTTAATTCGTCATGTCTCGTAGTTATCCTAGGTTATATTGCTCAGCTTACTCAAAATTCCACATGCAATCACATTCCGAGAATCTGACTATGGGCAGGCATGTGGAATGCAGAGAAAGCCTTGAGATCCTACAGGCCGTCGAAGCATGTAGGTGACACAAAAAGTGCGTAACAATATTGATCTGTGTTTTTCATCGGACGCGAACCAAACCCAAGTCTGTTGGATAGATGGCCACTTGTAACGTAATCGGTAAGCGAGCGCCGCATGAAAGCGAGCGCCGCACCTTTGTATTCCATATAAAATGACACTTTTTTGAGAGTCTAATATCTCAACAATAAAGCACCTAGGGGACATAAAATTAAATATACAGTATAATATAATACAGTGTATATATATATTAAGCAGAGAAATTTCCAGAATGAATATTTCTCCAGGTAAGATAAATTACAGCTGTATTTTTTATACTTTCAGTTGTCCTAGTATTTAAAGCCAAGAAAACTACCTAAAAACATGAAAATATAAAAACACCCTTTTAGAGTTCATATATATGTTACTATCTTATCAAGATGTTTCTATATCTACTGGTGGTTGAGATATTAAGGTTTCAAAGAGTGCCATTTTATATGGAGTACAGAAGTGCGGCGCTCGCCTTCAATGCGGCGCTCGCTTACCGATTACGTTATGATCCGATGCAGTTGAATTACTTCAGCAAGAAAATAGAGCCGCTCCACAAGCATCCTGGTAGTACCTCGGTCTTCTGTACCGAGTTTTCTTCGGGACATACCGCAGTAGCATAGCGAGACCTAAGGGCCATTAAAACCTAAAAATACTCGGCTAATAAGAGTGTAGAAGATCAGCGATTGGATCCAAAATTAAGACAAGATACTTGACAGGATGGAAGGCCCATCGACGTGTAAGACAAAAAGCTTCGCCCCGATGGAACACAAATCCTGGGGGTTTCACATGGCCAACAGGTACAACTAATACCTAAACTAGCAATGTCAGTGTGCTTAGGTACGGAGTAGTACGTTGTAGTGTTACGAATCATTAAACTCTTCGGGGCCCGACGCTCCAGTAAGATAATGATGGTCGCTTTGAACCCTGTTCTGCTCATCCCGAGTCTATCCACCTACCGTCCATATCGACAGACGGTTATACAGGGTGGTAAGCACTCGTCAGCCAACTTCCAGTTCTCCGACTTCCAGGGAGAACGATGCTGTGCAAATATATAGTCCTATGATTATGGTGACTGTCCACTCTTATCAACTCTGAACACATCTACCCATGCCTGGTGGCGTTAAGGGGAACGTGCCGCTGTTGTGACTATCAGTATCATTTGAAGTGTATTTACCAGACGTGACCATTGTAAATAAGTGGTCCTTTAAAACATCGGCTATGGAATGCTAACAACAATGCAACGGAGGAGCCCATGGAGCTGAGGATGTTACTATAGAAAGGAGAAATGAAGGTATGCATAGTCTTGATAGAAGGATGTTGTTTGTGATGTAATCCCTAAAATACAATGCTATTGAGACGGATAGCTGTGGAGTATGCGATGGGATATCCACATGGGTGGAGTGATAAGGGATCAACTCTAAACCGTCCAAGCGATCACAGAAGGATGCTAAGCAATTGGGACGGGTTATGAAAGAGGGCAGTTTTGACATCGAGCGTAAGATGAACCATACCGTAGGAAGTAAGAAGGTGAAAGGACTCCTTACTGAACATATAGGAGGTGAATTAATTCTATTTTCATATACTGACTATCCTATCGGGTTATGATATGAGAGAGTCACCACTACAAGGCAAATAGCCTTACAATCTCCATAAAGGAAGCAAACGCGCTGAAAGTGTCCAAGTCAAGAGACGAGACTTTATATGTAATTTTGACTACGCGCAAGATGACAATTTCAGGAGCTGGAAATGGGTCCAATTTTAGATGATCGTTAAGGTGGGTCAGCCTAAGGCATGTTACGATTTGTATCTCTAATACCGACATAGGACAAGCGTATTACCATACACATGACGGCAATGCTATTGGGTCTGGAAGCCAGTCGACTTTGCCACTTGGCAGCGGGTTTTATTAGTATTCAGGGATTGTTGTCTTCGTTCACCATTGTATGGCACATTTCTCCATCTTATGATCCACTGTCTATGGTACCTGGCCGAGAAGGTACATACCTAGCCGAATCAGCACTCAATCAGTGGCAAGCCCCGCAGAGAAACAGAACTTTGCAAGAGCCAATACACAACATACACAGTGGGATTTTGCCATGACTAGTACCTACTAAAAACGTCAAGAATGGGATGATGACCACCACCTCTTGTACATACATATTGCAATGAGGCTAGGTAGCGGGAGGTGAACTGACGAAGGAATTTGAACATGATTGTATCGCTACATACCGGAGCGTCCGAGTGGCAGGAAAGTGTCCACGACGAATTCCAATCAAACCCAGCTGATCAGCGGAATTCGTCATTCATATTTTGTTGGTTTATTTCCTTCAGTCTTCGTAACGACAACATTCTGGATCCCTTTAGAATATGGACAAGAATGAGTAGGTTATTAGGATGATGGCTGTATTCCGTACATTGTACGAAGCATACTCCATCGAGGAACCTGTTATTGCTGTATGTACAAACCTAAAATGAGTTATGCACATACAATTGAACAATTGCGGTCGTAATAATAATTGAATTGCTTAACACTAGAGTCTGGCCCTTCTTAGCGGCTATACTAGTTGGCTAGTAGATACTAGACTACTATGTAATGTTGGAACCGATCATCATAATCTTGAATATTGAACGGATTTCATTGAATTTATGCCAGACACTGAGTGTCGTTCCTTGTTGGTAGAGATCCAAAAGAAATTATTTGATAGATGCCGTACTTATCTATCAACCCCATGTACACATGTCTGGTCTACTTGGAGACAAACCTCATGTTACCAAGATACTCTAACATAGCAATTGTAGATAGGTAGTACAGAGTACTTAGGCAGCTTGTCCTGCAGTAATTAATACCGACCCATGGAATATGTCAACCGTGCAAGGTAAGAAAAAAAGAACAGAAAATAGAGAGGGACTGTTAATCTGGAGCAATATTTGGGTTGTTTCAAATCAGTCGCAGAAATACAAGTTGTGATTTGATGAGTGGTGAGGGAAAGGGGTTCTGGGAGCGAATCATTAGCGAAGTGTTACAAGAATGGGGCGGACTAGCCACAACGGACTATTTCCAGCTAAAAGAAAACAGGATTAATCTGTAAGCTTCAAGAGGGATGCTTTGTCCACTTTCACTTTGACCTGTAAGTACGGATTACAGTAGGTAGATAGTAGGTACCTTAGGGTAGACAAGGCAGTCCTCTACATTGACTGAAAAGGATTGTACAGTTGAGATTCCTGGTGTTAGAAAGGGGGCTGGCCAAAGAAAAGAAAAAAACAAAACAAAAAAGTGCCCGCAGTACCATACCATACTGTACCGTACCTGGCCAATACCCCGTTCCATACCTCCTCAGTACTTGGACAGTGTCTTGCAAGGAGAGGTCCACCAACCCGCGGGCCACGACTCCTTTCTTGTCCTCCCTGAAAGCCTTCCTTCCCACTTCTGTCTCACCTTTTGCCATCCAGTCCTTCCCTTTCTTTTCCCTTTCTCTTTTCTCTTCATTCTGAGAACGTTCTTGCCTAATCCGTGCATTTCGTTTCCCCTCAAGAACGCGCCGTCTTAAGCTTCTCCTTCGTTGAAGCTTTCTTTTTCTTTCACTCGTTTATTTAGCCTTTTGATTCCCATATTAAGCTCTTTCGCTGCTACTTGACCATACTGTTTACAAGGGCCGAACATCGCCCGATTGATATATCTATCCGAAGCGCTATTGGTAGGTGAATACCAATATTATTTATCTCCCAAATCCTGTTTGCTTTTAGTTATCTATCTTTATCTACATCTCGACGGTGGTGTCCCTGCGCGAAAAAAAAAAAAAAAAAGAGATAAAAACGATCCCCGAATTGAGTGACAAATGCAAAGTACTGACCTGGGCTTTCTGGCAGCAGTGTGAAAATCATCCTTTACAATGGGTCTCCTCAAATACGCCCTTCCCGCATTTTTGGCGGCGAACTCCGTCTTCGCTGCTGATGGTAGGTGAACAATGGCGCCGCCCAATTTTTTGACAGGATTCAGAACTGACGGTTGGTGATGTAGACTGTGGTAGCGCCGGCAAGACCATCACCATCGAAAGCCAGGGTGATGCCAGCAAATACAGCAGCTGTAAGATTCTTAAGGGTGATGTCGAGATCAGCAAAAGTATCACCGGCGACGTGCGCCTCGACGGTGTCCAAGAGATTGCTGGCAGCTTAACTGTTGATGGTGCTGTCAACCTGACCTCTCTGTCTGCCTCCAGCCTGAGCTCGATTGGCGACACCATGCACTTGAACAGTCTAACCAGCATGACCACTCTCGAATTCGCTGCTCTTACTAAGGTCGGAAGCATCAAGTGGGCCGTTCTTCCCATGTTGCAGACCCTCGCCTTCACCAAGGGTGTTACTGAGGCCAGCAACGTCGCGATCACCAACACTGGCCTGACCAACCTGGATGGAATCTCCTTGAAGACCGTTGGTGACTTGGACGTCACTGAGAACTTGTCCTTGGAGACTGTCAACGTGAACAACCTGAAGAATGCCACGGGCCTGATCAACTTTGCTGGAAATAAGCAGTCATTGGAGATTGAACTCCCCAACCTGGCCGGTGGTCGGAATATGACCTTCCGTAACGTTTCTTCCGTCTCCGTTCCTTCTCTGGAGCTCCTTAGCGGTCAGCTTGGCTTCTGGGGCAACTCATTCAAGTCTTTCATTGCCCCTAACCTCACCGAGACCGGTGACTTGGTGTTTGACAACAACAACAAGCTCACCAACATCAGCATGAACAAGCTCGAGACTGTCCATGGCGGCTTCCTTATTGTCCGTAACGACAAGCTGGGTTCCGTCGACTTCCCTAAGCTTGCCAAGGTCACTGGTGCTATTGACTTCAGCGGTAAATTCGATGAGTACGTTTTTACCCTTGCTACGTATTGATGCTTGATCCCGATCTACGCCGCTAACCGTGAGACCATAGGGCCGATCTCCCTGCTCTGAAGACCGTTGCCGGTGGCTTCAACATGCAGAGCACTGGTAACTTCAGCTGCGATACCTTTAACAAGCTTGAGGGCAATGCCATCCGCGGCAAGTACGAGTGCAAGGCTAAGACGCCCAACCCTACCACCAAGGATGGCTCTTCTGGCTCCACCACTAGCGGCGGCCAGCCCTCTTCCTCCTCTAGCGAGGGTGCCTCCGCCATGAACGTTGCCAACGTGCCCGCCATGGGTCTGGCTGCCGTCTTCGGTGCTCTGGTTCAGTATGCCCTGTAAAGGCAGATGCCATGCTGTTGCGTGAATGCGTGTACTTTTTGTGCTTTTTTTTTTTGAAGCCCTTTTCATGGTTGTGTAGAGTCGCCTGATCACCGAAGGGGTGTCCAGTACTTTGCTGTTCTTATGATAATAATTGAATCTTGTTTGAGCAAAATTCTTAATTTGGTTTTGTTTCTCGGAGACCATCGAAAAGAAGTTGTATTCCCCTCTGTTGCTTACTTCTCCAGATGTCCCCGAGCAGTGGAGCCGGTCCCATGTCAAGTTTAAGTTCTCTTGAACAGGGTCGATGGCGTCGGCCTCAGTTGTCTTGTGGTTTGTGTGATAGACATTCCTTTACAAATTGTGGTTACTTGTTGATGATAGTCGTCCCTTTGAATTTCATCAGTTAATATTGCTCTACATCTCCGACCTAGAATCATCGAGCCTGCTTCATAAACCTAATGGATCCCGTGCCATGTGGGAAGAGGTAGATTGGGTTCACGGGTATGCGGTCATGCAAAACTAGGAGCGGCAACTGATCTCTGCCCCGAAGAGATGGATAATGTGTCTAACTCCATGAGGCGGTGGCAGAGGCGGCGGCCCGTGAAGGGTATGTGCCTCGTACAACGCATGTAGCCATCGCGATCGATGAAAATTTCTTTTCCCTCCGAGATGAGGAGGCGAGGAGAAATGACCAGTCCAAAGCGGTGAGTGCCAGGTGTCCGGACGCATGGCTCGGGTCTCCAGAGGGGAACCACTTTGGGATATCTTGGTGGAGCATACGGAGTACTTGATTGGGTAGCTAGGGTGTTACGCATGATGTTGGATGGATTCAAAGTTACTGAGAAATCTCTATAAGCATGGATCGTGGCTTTTACTTTGATTTATCGACGGTGGGGTCAGTAAACCCTATACAGCGGATTGTATAAAGACCTGAATCGTTACTTGAATAGAATATGTCCAAGTGTTGAGATATCCGGATGGGTTGGATGGAGTATAGAGGGGCTGTCTTTTATAAGAAAAATATATTATTATTATTATTATCATCATCATTATTATTAATTCAGGTCTAATCATTTGACAAGAAAGACTAGATGGCGGGTGAACGGGGCCTTTCACCTCATGTCCATAGGTACATACTTCAGGGTAGACGTATGTACGGAGTAGGGATGGAGTCCTCCGACCGTAGATACTCCGTATGTAGATCTATTATAGACGACAGAACACCGTGTCAGCTGCAGGCACGAGAGGAGGGAAAGAAGCTATCTACGATACTCTATGCGAATTAGCTAGATCAATGGTAGGTATCTGGACCCGCAGGCAACCGATGGGTAGCTCGTACTTTTATTTCCGTTCCCCGTGGTAAGGTAGGGGAATCCTAGTCATTTACTGGCTCGGACATACCCGACTTAGTCTTTCTCTGTACTACAGAGTAGGGTAGAAAAGAGGTCGAAGCACACACGACTGGATTCGATTGATGGATTCTTCTCTTTTCCCCCGCACGCGAAGAAATGGAGGCGATGATCTCAACTTTAATGTCGGACGCTCCGTACTTTTGTCTTCTATTTCATAGCTCATGGGTAGTATTTTTACATACTTATTTAATTGTTTAGGTTTTAATGAATCCTGGCAAAGTCACAGGATAAAGAAAGAAAGAAGAATCATGATTTGAAATGATAGAATACGATATATAGAAATGCTACCCATCGTACCTTGCATGGAGGGCCAGATGGGCGCCTGAGGTTCCATCTGGTAGGGCTTTGATCGGCCACTTTCCAGGATCTGGTCTGTCCACTGGATCGCACGGAGTATCCAGTGGCGATGGGAGATGGAGAAAGAAAGAGAAGGATCGACCATAGAGAATCATCGAAAGCGAGAAAGGCCGAAGATGAAGCATGGCACGAGTTGAATCTGGAATATGTATCTTCCCTGCATTAACTTTTATTATTATTCCTATTGTGGCTATGTTATTGTTTTTATTACTATTATGACCCCTTATTTTAATTCATTTATTCGATGTGGAGTTATGTATGCACTGCTGCATGAGTATGTGCGTTGGAAAAAACCGGTAGAGAAAAATCGACTGGTCGACCGAGAAATGGCAAAATGGGTAAGGGATGAACAACGCATTGCATCCATTGCGTGGGGATCTGATCTATCATTTTTCTTTCTTGTTATTTGTTCTTATTAGGATATTGAGCAGAGTATTATTGTTGTAGTTTAATCGTTTTGTTGTATAGGGATGATGAGATGAAAAGTACTCCGTACATCCGACTAGGACATCTACTGTTGAGATCAAGGAGATGTGTAGAGGGAGGGAATATCAAGGCCCTTGCACCATTAAGGTCCATAGCTTCGAACCCCTGGATGATTCCAGACCATGATATATCGGAAAATATCAGAAACTGATCGCGTCAGAACTCGTTCGGACATTTTGGTTGGACTAGCTAAGTCAGTGAATTTCATCTAATTGGCAAGTCCTCTTCTAGTCTGGTACATAGTTTCGTTGATCTTCAGGTAGAAAGTTATTCTGTCCTCTGTATTAGCTAGAATAACCATATGCTTGGGAGAAGTCGTGCTGCCTCTACGGAGTACGTTGTTCGTGTCGTTTAAATCTTTATCAGTTCACTGAATGTTCATATCTGCAGTTGGGATTTGGATGAATGGACTGCCAAGTCACCGCTTATGCGCGTGTTATAACTGAGAGCCTCCCACTCCTTAACAGTAACTGCCAGTGCCATAGTGCCAAACCGTCCACTCGCTTGGTCCATCACCGAGTAGGTCTAGTCGATCGTTTCCCCCATATGGGTCAACAGCGCCTTAAGGCAATCCCGACCACAACCCCCAAGTCCACAGTCCATAAGTCCACAATGCTAAAACCGCGCACAAGGGATGGCCCAAAGAACAACGTGGGGCGGCTGAGATCCATTGCATTGTTTATACCCGTCTCTAGATCAGCTGGCTACGAATATGACAGATCTAAACCCTCTGCCATGCGGACCCGCCACCCCTTCCTCGATGGGCATGGAAGGGGTTACAGATCACCGTGGCAAGTATTCTGTTTGGATGTTGAATCTCTGCTTCTTTCTCCCTTTGCCCCCTCGGATTGACTGACTGACGTACACGGCTTCTGCTCTCAGCCTCCAGAATGCTGGACTGGGATCGATTAGCATCATCATTGGCGTTATTGAGGCGATGACACTATCCATATGGATGTCCATTATTCTCAGCCTCCTTTCTAGCTGGTTTCCTCTGCCAAATTCGTCCGTTGGAGATTAATCCACGTAGCTATTCCAAATCACCCATTCCCTGGTTCCTGGTTTAAAATGAATCAACAGCACAGCCTTAGCATAGGGGGAGAGAAGGGGAACTCACCCAGACGGGAAAAAGTCCAGAACCAACGGAGACTGGGTCTGACAGGCGTCAAGTCAAAACCAGGTCACTGGGACGTCCCCTCGGGGGGGTGTGGCGATCAACATAAGAAGAAGCTGTGGCTTGAGTTTTGACCCCCTTGTTCTCCGGAAATGGTCCTGAATTGAATGAACTAACTAGCGAGCTAGCTAACTGTTCCATACTTCGGCTCCATTCGGCTGTACGCCATCGACGAGGATCCAGGATCCGGGAACTTGAGTAATTCGATGCCAATGACGGCGTGGTGTCCCCCCCTCTCCACTCCCTTCCCTTCATTCAGTATGGAGTATCCCTCGTCCGGTTGAGAGGCCTGCAACTCCTCGCAGAAGTTTGTCTCATATATGTACTTTTGATTCTCGACGGGGAGCTTCCTTGTCCGGGTTCCCAAAGTCCTTGCTTTGTGCTATTGGTCTCAGATCTTCTGCAGATGGATGATCTTCCCTCGGGAGCCTGCCTGTGCGTCGGATGTTTATGTGTAGTGTAGCATACTATTTTACGGAGTTGTCTTGTTCCTGGGGAGTCCGCACTCATACAGAGCACAGATATCTCTGTTTTCTTTGCTATGTACAGGTGGAGATGCAATGATTGAGTCTCTGCGGGCGATTTTTCTGCATGCCTATTTTTTTTGGGGATCCCTTCTAGTCTACATAGGTATATTCCCGAATAATAGTGGATAGCCACCTGGATAAGCGCCGGAAGCCTAGTTCCGTGGCCGCCACGGAGCATGGAGTGGTCGCGTTAGATCAGACAATGGGAACGTTTTGGATCATGGAACGCTATTCTCGAGTGGAACGCAGCACTGCCGGTTGTGAGGAGAAATATAATAAAATAATCAGAAGGGAAGGAAGAGAAATCCAGATCGTTGGCCACAGACTATTGAGGACATCGATGCAAGGGGAATCGATATCCTTGGACCTGTGTAGGAGATCGAAAAACCCGCTGTAGCGGTGACAAATCAAGGGACTTGAAGTAGCCCATCTAGTCTTGTGAGTGGTGAACTCTGGATATCGCGATCAGAGCACGTTGATTCGTCGATCTGGCCGCCCGTTTGTGATAGAGATTCTGTTCTGGAGGGCTATCATGGTATAGGGTTCCACTGTCGAACTCTGCCGGAATCTTCTTGGTCTTCCGAGAAGAACATCCAGTATGTATCCATCTAGTAGGTACAGAGTATCTAGAAGCATGATCGATGCCATCAGAGCCTAATTGGCATCTGACTTCCTTCCCTGTTGAGGGCGTCGCAGATCTGGATGATACATCCTGGATCAGTACTTTCTATGTCGATAGATTGCTGTAGTTCATCGTAGTCTGAGCGCCATCCTCTCGCTCTCCCCCGACCAAACCCCTCGTTCACTTTTCTGCATTCGTCTCGAGATATAAAACATGCAGCGGATCGCTCCGTATCCCTGGGGAAGTTCGTCTTTTCTGTCCCTCGTGGATTGTCTCCCTTTATTGCTTGCTCGCCATAGCAACCTCCTCCTTGATTGTATTATTGTGTCTGACTCCTGACTTGTCCGTATAATTGACGTTTATTATTCTATTTTATAATTTTTTTTTTTTTTTTTTAAGGAAAGAAATTTAATAATTATTCCACTATCAGCATTGTCTACTTTTGTCCAGACTCCTTGATCTCATACATATACCGATATCCTATCCACTCCAACACATATATATAAGACACATCTCAGACATACAGGTTCAGACAGAGACATACAGAAATCCCACCTACCAACGGACATGTTTGAAGACATGAGTCCAATTACGGAAGTCTCTCAACGCTGCTCTCTTCCGTGAGTTTGTCCTTGCCTCCCAGGTCTATGTGGAAATGAATGACTGACAGGTCTCACATAGTGGTGTGCGGTCTATTTCTAATACTCCCGCAGCTGCAGAAATGACTGAAGACCGTCGGTTACCGCCGCTACCACGCGTCGAACCATTGCCTCGGGGTCCCTTTAACCCCTTTAATTCCACCGTGCTGGCTCATGGTCCCCCCAGCTCTCATGACGCGCTCCCCGTCAAGACATCGTCATGGACCGGGACCGAACACATAGTGACCCCTCCATCTCCCGCCAACTCCGCCGATAGCTCGTGGACGGAATCCTTGCAGCAGCACTCGCACCGGAATTTCGAATTCCCCCAGGAACTGACCCCGGCCGACCTGCTGAGCCTGATTGCCCCGAGGCAGATCAACCGCAAGCCTCCTTTGCAGCAGCTGTGCGGCCGCAAGCGCAAAGGGAGTCTGATCTCGGACTCGGACGACCAGCGCGAGAAACACCGCATTGCGGAGGGGAACCGGCGAAAGAACCTGAGTCTTTTGCATCGCGAGCTGGACGCCCGCATCCATGATTTCTTCCTCGAGCGGGCGGGATGGAACCCGGCCAAGAGTCTGCCCGAATCCAAGGAGCACATCGTGCAGGGGGCCATCTACCTGATCGACTTCATGCTCCTGGTCATTGTGCATCTGATCCGACAGGAGAATGAGATGCCTCGACAGCTATCGGAGAAGCTCCAGCCGCAAATCCGGTGCATGCAACTGCAGCAGCTGGTGTCGAACCTGCAGGAGCAGAACCAAACGGCGCAGCAGCAGATCAAGACCCTAAAGCAGGAGAATCAAATGCTGGAGGAGCGCAACCAGGCTCTTGAAATCCAGCTGAAGTCTTACGAGCATATGTTCCGCTCACCCAAGACGGAGCACTCGACCCCCCAAGCACTGGCTCCGCTTCCTGATCACCGGCCACGTCATATGCTGCCGGGTCTGCGCGTCTTCTGCGACGAGATCACCGCCACCAGCGTGGATGCGTCGCGGTCGGAGCCCCTGACGGCTTCTTCGTCGCAGTCCTTTCCTCCTTTGATCAGCCATACTCCTCCCATGACGGGGCCGTCGTCGCCTATTTTTCCCCAGGCCTATTCAGTGGTGCCTTCACGGCGTCAGTCGGTGATGCCTTCGCCCTAATGGGATTCTTCTGTGATGAAATTTGTTTCCTTGAATATCTATATCGTATAGACTGGGGATGATTTGGAGCCAATTTCCCTTTTCTTCTCTTTCTTTTGTAGCATAGCGTGTGCATTGTATCATTTCCGGACATTATACAGGATATTTTGGATCTCCCTTTCTCTCATTTCTACTTTATTTTTGATGTACATCAAGACCAAAAAAAGTTGGTTAAGTACTATGGGTGTTTGTTGATCCTTTATATAATTAATTCTGTTCACTGTGCATATTGGAGGGGGTCCGCCTGCTATTGTTGACTCTATTTTCTACATACTGACATGTATAGTCCATTTCGGTTTTTCTTTTGTTTCTTCTCTTCCGTCCTTTCTTTTGTCTATCTCATTAGATGTGACTTATGGCGTTATGGATATAGAGAACGATAGAATCTTATATAACTGCTTAATAACAAGTGAAGAGCGTAGTCATCAGCTATAAAAAGCAACCAATCAGTCTGCAGCCCGTCAGGTCCAGCAAATTGAATTGCCAAAGAATAAATCAATTCATTCATTCATTTCTCTCCTTTTTTCTTCTCGACTTCTCTCGACGGTCGGTCCATTCGTTTACCATTCGTTTTTGTTTTGATTCATTTGCTTTGATTTCTTGGGATTTTCATCTTGCCCGTTTCTAGGCCTTGCCGCCCAATCCCGCAATCTTTTTTTTTTTTTTTTTTTTTTTTGGAAGGGAAAAAAACCCTTTCTCGACGATCGCGGACTTCCCCCCTTCTCCATATTCGCTTTATCGACGTCCTTCCGCGTCGTCCATCGTCCTGATCGAACCGCATCAGATCTCCTCGAGGTTCATTGCCATCCTCAATCAGAGCCGTTCGCCCTCTCTACGGCAGACTACGGTCGCACCCTTTTCCTCTCCGGCCCGCCTCGTCCCCCGTCGACCCTATCGTCAGCCAACGTCGCTCCCGCGATCGCCGCCTGTCATAGGCGTCGACTGCTTTTCACCCATCGAAAACCACTCCATCGCCTCCGATTTCTATCCTACTTCCACCTCTCTCGCTCGCGAAGATGCTTCTCCCCAAAGGTGGCGTGACGTGGAAGTCAGCCAGGGCGAGATTGCCTCCATGGAGGGCAATTCTATTCCTGGTGACGAGGACTCGCTTTCTCGTCTCGGTCGCTCTCACGGGTTTGATGATTCTCTTCTGGCGTGGAATTAGTCGGTCGGCGTCCGAGATGCAAAGGTAAAACAGTCTTTTGTCTTTCTCTTGTCCGAGATACGTTTCGTCTGCCTTACAGGGCTAACGGTTGATGCGACTAGTTTCTACTGTTACGGTCCCCCGAAATCGCCCATGGAGATGTCCCTGAACGAGATGGTCGAATGGCACGGCCATGTTCAAGCCCCTGTGCTCCTCAACCACCACGAGCCGTACGTTGTCAATTCCACCACCATCAACCAGGTCGAACTCGATCCTATCGCCTCCACCCCCCAGGCGGCCAAAAACGGCGAGCGTGTCCTCATCTTGACCCCGTTAAGGGACGCGGCTGCTTACCTGGAGAAGTACTTCGAACTGCTCTACAAGCTGAGCTATCCTCACAATCTCATCGACCTGGGGTTCCTCGTCGGCGACTGCAAGGATAATACCCTGGAGATTCTGATGTCGGAGCTCAAGCGAATCCAGGAGGAACAGGGTGATAAGGTTGCGTTCCATAGTGTAACGATCGTGAAGAAGAATTTCGGCGCCGGTATTGATATGAGCGTCGAGGACCGCCATTCCTTCGCCGCTCAAGGACCCCGTCGGAAGGCCATTGGTCGCGCTCGCAACTATCTGCTCTACTCGACTCTGAAGCCGGAACACTCCTGGGTCTACTGGAGAGATGTTGATATCACCGACAGCCCGGAGACCATCATTGAAGATTTCGTCGCGCATGATCGCGATATCCTTGTTCCCAGTATGTCATTTCATTTCATTTATATTTTCTTTCTCAGAACGAAGCTGATTCTGGTAGATATCTGGTTCCATCGGTATAAGGACGGTGTGGACATTGAGGGTCGTTGTAGGTAGCTTCATTCCTCACAAATGACCTCCGCTTACAGTTGACAGTTGACTACAATTCGTGGGTTGAGTCTGACAAGGGTCGGAGACTCCGTCAGACCTTGGACCCCGACACTGTATTGGCCGAGGGCTACAAGGAATATGACACTGGCCGAGAATACCTGGTTGGCATGGGCGACTGGAGGAAAAACAAGGATGTAGAAGTTGAGCTGGACGGAATTGGTGGTGTCAACATTGTGGTCAAGGCCGACGTCCATCGTTCCGGTACGCAGCCTCCCCGTGCTAACCTAAGGCTGGCTCTAACGCTGTCCAGGAATCAACTTTCCCTCGTACGCCTTTGAGAACCAGGCGGAGACCGAGGGATTCGCACGCATGGCCAAGCGCGCCGGGTATCAGGTATACGGCCTGCCGAACTACGTCGTCTGGCACATCGACACCGATGAGAAGCCAGGTAACCTTGGAGGTCGCAAAGCGTACTAATGGGCCTCGACTGGGTTAGCTGCGCTTATTTGTGTGTTCTACCAGCACCAAATACCCGATTACGTGTACAGCCGATGCTATTGCGTGGTCGCCATTATTCTATTTTCTATTATCTATTTTCCTTTTTCGGTTCTCCCAGTTTTGTCGCATTTCACTACAGGATCTCAAGATTCCGGTAATATTCTTCACGTTGCATGCAGGGATAATTTTTATTTTTTTTTTTCATTTTTTATTTACTCGGCGCTACGGAGAACAGGTGATATTCAGCGGTATTAGGCTCATAGAGTGATGGTTGATTTGAACTCTTGGCATGGCTGGAGCCGAGCTGTGCTATGACTCTTCTGCGTTGGAGGCCCTGTGGGGTTGGGTCGTGTCTATCATGTCTTGGTTCTTGGACTGATATTGCACTATTCTGGTTGCAGTCGTTCAGTCAGTTCGGTTCAGTTGCATAACTAGGAGAAGCAGGCAGAGCCAAGAAGAGAAGGGAGACAGGAGAGTGGTCACGACAGACCGAGGACACGTTGATTGCCCGAACGCAAGAAAGACACCATTGGTGTCCATGTATATATGTACCAGATTAGACATGGATTCTGTCTACTACTATTTATCTGAAGTAGAATAAGTACGGATACTTATAATTAGTAGCTGATACCCGTAAGAATAATAGTCATAGTACATAGTATCTATCTATCTCTTTGAGATCTTTATTATATACATAGTATAACCAGAGTATAATAATATCTAGTTATTTAGCGCCTTTCTTAATCCTTAATACTAAAACTACCCATATCCATAGGTAGACACTGTACATACAGAAGGATAACCCCGGAGCGGATCTGTTCCGGCTTTGCATTAATCCCCAGCTGATATACAGGAGTTTTGTGTATATTGTACCTATATCTAATCATACTAGTCATCCATATTCAGATAGCTAATATGCATATCTAGACTACTTTAATCACCCAGTTGGCAAATCTTATATTCAATGCATTGAAATTCTATACCAGACCATGGCTCAGCCTTCTTAAGCAACTTGGCCATGTTCTCATGACGTGGTGTCAACTTGACACGGAATGGCACCGGAGACCGACTAGAGAGTCTATCATATTCCTTCAGATCAATAGGTTCACCCGGCATCTCATGCATATCGAACGCCAACGGCATGCGCGAAATTGTCAGCCAGATCTCCCGCTCCGCTACGATCATACCAGGACAGATCTGGCGACTAGAATGCGAAGTATCAGTTGATTTGCTTTCGGAATTGAAATATGTAGGGACGAGCTTACCCGGCACCGAATATCCAGTGGTCACGCTGCATCGAGTCCGCCATGTTGGCACTGTCGGCGGATGTGAGGGTGTCGATGTATCGTTCGGGCTGTAGATGATTAGTTAGTTTTTTAGAATTTTTTTTTTTTAAAAAAAAAAAAAAGGGGAGGGGGGAAGAGGAGCTTACATCGAACTTTTCAGGCTTGGAGTACCGCGTAGGATCATGGTGCATCGTTCAGCCGTTCAGAACTACTACAGTATCCTTGGGAATATACTGGCCGCGGTAGACAAAGTCTTCGCTTGCAACGTGCAGGGTTCCCAGCAAAAACGGGCTGTCAACCCGTTCAACCTCTTTGATAATGGCATGGCAGCAGGGGAGATTCTTCTCGTCTTCAATATCAGGCAAACGATTGCGTCCGACCACCCGGTCAATCTCCGCCTGCGCCTTCTTCTGGATCTCGGGATAGGCGCGAATTAGCGGAGAGAACCATTGCATGACAGCCACGGTCTATACCAGGATGTTAGTAGAAGAGACGCAAGATTGTTACTCGTGCAAGCTTACCGTCTCGACACCGCCAATCATTAAAGAAGAGGCTAGAATTGCCATGTCCAAGTCGTCCAACTGCTCCTTGCCACGGACTTCGCACATTGTCTTAGCAAGACAGTGGGGAACCGCTGTCCTATTTTCACCTTGCGTTCAACGTCCTTAATGAAGCCTCCGTAGATCTCAACGAGGCCGTGGTGAAGCTTCCTGCTACGTCTGTGAGGGTTGGGTAGGCGCCGCAGGAGTTGGAAGAAATCCACCAAGTTGGACATAGGACCAGCGCAATTCCTGCTATTAGTTAATATTCGATGTGATTTCCTTGGCACCGTGAGAACTCAGACATCGCGACTGAGCTTCAAGGCAAGCTTAACAACGGGATGATGCGTGCGGAAGCCAAATGTAATCGTTGTCATGTTATTTAGAGAGCGGCCGGCATGAGGCTGAACAACATATTAGTCTAGGCTGATCATAATTCGACATGTAGACATTCACGTACTTGAGGATTGACCGGAGTTCGTCCTTTCTGGCTCTTGTCAAACAGTGTCATACCAAGGACATGGACTCGCGGTCCAGGATGCCGGAGTGAGAATCAACGGTACGCTGATACAACCATATGGCTGCAATACGACGATTTTTACGCCTAGAAGTACAAGCAACGGTGTCAGTGAAGGTGCGATACAGGCAAGACATTGCCGTTTCCCACATCAAATTAGCAATGTGCGGATCCTAGACAATAACAAACAGCTGGTTTCCTAGCCAGACCGAGTAGAGCTCTCCAATTTTTTTTTGCCCAGTAGTCTAACTTAAGTTCGTAGTATCTGGTCTAGAAAAGGAAACAGCCTAGATGGGAACCTATCAGTAGTAATCAATGCAGGCCTGGAGGCTCATAAAACGTACCGACAATAGGCAATCCCCGTGCACCCTTGGGGATTTTGTGGTCTTGTCATCACTCAAGGGCCATACAAGAAATAGAGCACCAGACCCAGCCATGCAGTGAAGGCCTAAACAAATGGAGTCAACGTTTCCGATCCAAAGAATACCCCAAGCGGAGAAGAGGAGACGGTCACCACAGGGACAGCTCCGGCGAAGAGTTCGGTGTTATTGAGTACACTGGCCATCTGGAATTAAGCAAGCGGCGCAGGGTTGAAGACTTCGTCATCGTGAGAGACACCAACAGCTTTATACTTTAGCAACTAGGTCAATTTCTTGCTTCGAAGCGGTCAGGAAAATCCTAAAGGAAATAAATAAAATAAAATAAACATGCTCCTTCAATGGTCCCCGATGATACTCAGGTAAGTGGTAACCAACACCATTGTTATACTCCGGAGTATTTCCTAATTCTTATTGCAATCGGCGTCAAAGGATTTGGGGAAAACACCCTGCAATAGCCTATGACAATAAGCCTGTATACTCTGAATTTACAAGTTCTGTCCCGTTCTCATTGGTAGCCGTTGGGCTTCTGGATCGGGGGGAAGTTATTTTCGACCTTCTAGCGTTGGAGATGGCTATCCTAAGACCACCAGTATCACAGCCGGTATCATAATATACTCCACCCTCTGTGACGCAGGCTAAGCCCTTACACGAGTTGATTGTTTCGTCATTTAGTTTTACGCCATTAGCGCTCATCATGATCAGAATCACCTGCGACATTCATGAATACTATGGAACTATGCTGAGAAGCACAAGCTGGGTACCTTGCGTCATATTGAATCTAGAACATCAAGGTGTTAGACACACTTATGGCTACCGTTTCGTATTCATGATTACAACGCAGTTGTCGACATGTCTAGAAAAGGCGCTAGTCTCCTATCTATCGTAGACTTGGTCTCGGGGGAAGGAGGGAGGACAACGAGAAACGTTTCATGAACTGATATTTCCTAACTGAGGATACTCAGCACAGACGTCGGACATGCCCGCTACGAACATCGGAGGTAGAAATACCTCGTCATCAGGACATTCCATTGTTTACCAGCCCGGTCCCTTGCAGAGCCGCGGTTATCACCGACTCCAACATCTCCACTACCTTACTTTTGGTTAAGACCCTGGGGCCAAACTACCAGCGCAGGTCCACGGTCAACAGAACCATCCTGAAGGAGACGGGAAGTCGAGATATCTCCGTTGGATATTCCACTTTAAGGATTGAAGTTGCCTGTAAGGAGGAAGAGTGCATTCTGCATGTTGACGGATCTGACGTGAGGGCTCCACAGTTTCCAGAAAAGGATTCCGCGGCAAAAAAAATAAAAAAAAATAAATACAGCCTAGTCCAAGGAAAGGACATTAAGCTAAGAAACATCTATATAGTTTGTCGGATCCCTCCGTCTTTTCCTATGCATATCGTTTCTTCTCCTTCGTCAACTGCTCGCTTTCCCCTACCAGCAATTCAAATGCCTGAACAGTCTCTTTTAGCCCGACTTCCCCGATGGCTCAGTCACTGGCTTGGCTATCGTCCAGACCCCCCCAAGCCTCTACCGCAATATTTGGTCTGGTTCTGGTCTTTCATTTCCGCATTCTGTGGGCTGTCGGTGTTACAGGCCCTCTTCAATTACTCCCAGTACTTCATCGACCGGGGAGTGCCTGGGATTATAGCCTCCTATGTCAGTATTTTCTCTCTCCCCTCTGTTATGATTGCCACTAACACTAAGAAACGTCAGGGAGCGTCGGCGGTTCTCGTCTTTGGTGCAATTGAGAGTCCGCTGGCTCAACCTCGCGCCTTGATCTTTGGTCATTTCCTGAGCGCGTTGGTCGGGGTCTGTATCACGAAGCTGTTCAGCTTAATTCCAGACGAGGAGAGATTCAACTCGGTGCGATGGTTGGCCGCATCACTATCATCTGCCATAGCGATTGTGGTCATGCAGATCACGCAAACCACCCATCCTCCAGCAGGTGCGACTGCTCTGCTCCCGGCGACCAGTGATGCCGTGTGGAATCTGTCCTGGTACTTTCTGCCTGTGACCCTACTGTCTTCTACCATGATTCTTGCCGTGGCGTTATTGGTCAACAACATCCAGCGCCGGTATCCCACGTTCTGGATTGCTCCACCCAAGCCGAAAGCCGCCCTTCCCCAGACAAATCCGCCTAAATAATAGGTATCAGGCGATGTGTTCCGGCCGGGTTGAATGCTCGTCACTCTATTCCGAAATTCCAAGAACGGAAAGGGAGCGACCTGAGGTGGTACCATCTACTGGCAATAATAACTCAGATTGACTATTCGCTTCGAACATAGTTACATTCATAAACAAGTTGAGGATGCGTTGTTTCGTTCTACCCTGCAGACATAGTCCACATTACACTTCTATGGGAAGCCGTCCGAAATCATGTAACGGTTTAGAGACACCGAGAGACATATGGAGGATTCTATCCATTCCAGATGGAACCGTTGGCTATAGAATTGTCTCGAGGTGACTCATAGATTGGTAGGTGAATGTATCTCGTTTCGGGATTTGGGATCTGGGCTGGTAGTAAGACTCTCATACACCACAAGCAATCACCGAGCCAGCTGAATCCCGCCGGGGTTTGCTTTAAGATTATTATTATTAAATTGGTCGGACTGTTTAATGGTCGATCACCGGGCCGACCGATCCAACCAACGGATCCGACAACTCTCCATTTCAACGGACAAAATTACCTGTTGATGGACGCATCTAGGTCCCACGCTAATAATACAATTTCAGGCTAGAATCTTATATTATCAGCGTGTTCTATCCCGGGAAACAGAGCCGGCAGCTATACTCGGCAAATTTACTCCGTGCTTTCTACGGAGTACACTGCATATGTATACTGAAGGGCGCGACACTTCTCCGCTGTGTACGTCAATCCTTCCAGTTCATTTTCAGACGTGTTTCCCTTTTAGGAGAACCAGACGAGGACTTCAAGTTACGAGGCCAGTTGTAGCCCTGGATGCCTGAATTGGAAGTCTAGCGTTGCGAGCCCTCGCTGCCTATGTAAAAAAAGACAGCGCCATTTTGCTGATTTCCCTGTTTATTTAATTCTTCTGTCGTTTATACAGGAAACAGCCACACCTTTTCTTAATTGGTCCCATACCACGCCATAAACTTGAAGACAGAGGACAACAAAACAAGCCCTCCCAAATGAATATCTGCTCTCCGACATCTAGAAACGAACCACGTTCCATTTCACCACCTGCTACAACATCAGTATACCAGATAAATTATTACGTAGGCGGTAATTTACAATCTTGGACCCTCTGTTCGCTTGGTTCAATTCGAGGGTAACCTGCCGAACCCAGAACTCTCCGAAAGATATCTTGTATGTACGGATCACCGAAGCAGCCAGACACTAACTCATGTAGGTCTGCCAATAGGAAAGACCTAACATGTCTGACCTGGTGGACTTGAAACAGTACCCGTTTATAGAACACGAGATGCGGAGCTGCGGGCCCGCATAACCCTAACTGCCCATCCGCAAAGCTTAACGGAACTCGACTAAAGATAATGTGTGAAGGAGAAAGGGATATCGGCTATACGGTGGAGAGGAATGATTGTATTCTGTGTAGTCAATTCGTGGGATTTAATGAATTCTATGTATAGGCGACATAGCATAAATTTAGAACCTTATTCTTGCAATTTGTCAAAGCTACAGAACGAAGATTCCGAAATTCGCTGTCTTTATTTGGCACTGGAATATCCCTATTAAAGTGCCTGGGCCTTTGTGCCTATACATATTAGACTATGATCATGAGCTCTACCCTACCAGAAAAGAGACTTGCCGGTCAGGGGGATTTCTGTATCTTTCCTGTAGCAGGCACTGCGTGATATCCACTAGTTGCCCAAGAATCTTTGTAATCTTTGCCGTGTTGTTGCCTGAAACCCAGCTTGTTATCTCTAATCTGATAAACAATATATTCAAGTAGATCCTGATAGCGACTCTTAGGATACAATACAATTAGTCTCGCCAAAATGCAGGCTTCTAGAAATATTCTTCTTGGATCAAAAATAGATTGATCTCAGATTCTCTTAAAAAATTTATTAGCTGTTCGCAGCTCACGGCACAGATTTTCGGTTTTCAGTCAGATATAAACAAAATATACTGTTTTTAAATGTACATGTAGAAAGTATTGTTACATTTTGATTGTTCTGCTGGCATCCACCACGAATAGGTATCCAATCTAGTTATAATAGTAGACTGGATATGTAATATACCCTTGGTATTTATACAACTAGATTTCAGCAATATAATTTGTTCTATTTATTATCTGCTGTATTTTGGAGTGCCGATTGCTGACATTTTGAACCTTAGAAGCAGTATAATTGCATGTTTCACAGCGAGTAAATCATAATAAGGGTAAAGAGTGTCTACGCAAATCCACCCACTGTGACATTAGTAGCAGTATCTTAGTCCTGTGCTATGAAGCGCCGATAGCTCCTGCAGCTGCATTGGCTTTATAGGATGTGAGATAATCTGCCCTGCTATACATTGCCGCATAAAAATTCCACAATAAGTCAAATAGCAAAAGATGGCCCATTGGACATATGTAATTCAATGCTTTTCTTGCAGGTTTAAATAGTTGATATTATCCGTTTCAGATGTGTACAGCACACAGAATATAATATCTGCTGTTGGTTTTCTACCAATATTATATTTCTGAACGGTATATTCATGACGCTTTAGTCCCTGCCAAAATTATATTAGAACTGGAAAAAGGGTTGGTAAGCTGTTTCTAGTGAGTATATTTAGTTTTATTTACGATGTACTGTATTTATTTGTGATATACGTTTTAGACTTGTCCCATAACACCCAATCGCAACCTGACTTCTCAAAACAGCGCATTATTTAATTATTCTGTGTACATTCAAACGTTCTTCAATCTGACTTTTATCGCACATTCGAGGGTCGTATAAAGTTTGCGCTTAAGCAGTAAAAACTGGTATAGAACGCATAATCATGAAAATTTTCTCACCTATACATAGAGGCAATAAGATACACATATGCACTCTTCTGTACACCTGATGCATGTACTACATATAGAACTGTTATCGAATTGTGGGCAACGTATAAAATTCAAAATAATCCGCTCCTATGGATATCTTCTATATCAAATGCCAAAACAAGAGTTTAGGATCGGATGTGTGAGCTGGATGATGCCATGAGCGGCACCAGCTACCAACCCAATCACCAAGCAACATAACCTCCCCCTGCAAGGCCCAAAAAAAAAAAAAATAGATGCATAAACATTCCCCTTGGAATACCCTGCTTGGTCCCGCCTACCATGTGCCTGTGGATAGAATCGGTTATTCCCCGAGGCCAAGCCCATCTACCCCACTTCCAATGTTTCCCAATCATCAATCGATGACTCGAACAATCCTCATTCTCAATCAATCACCCAGATAGATCAAAATACAGTCCACGCAATGGCTCCTAAAAACGAGTACATCTGCATCATCCCTGATAAACCAGGTACACTGGAGACGCGGTTCGCGGTTCGCCCGTAAGTTCTATCTTGCTTGTCTGCCTTCCGCTAGATTGGAGACCAAATCTACACCGTCGATTCATGGAATAGGAACTGGGAAGTATATACGTTGATAATATTGACTGATGTAGACAACATCTGGAAAATATAAAACCTCTTGTAGAGGCTGGATTGGTTTTTATGGGTGGTATGTTCTTCTCTTTCTTATTTTTCACAGTGCCTTGCCCGTTGCTGGTGTTTGCTGGACATACTGGAGGTATTGTAAAAAACAACAAGAAGTATGGGACTAATCAACGATGTTTTATCAAGGCGCCATGCTTGATTCCCACCCTGTGGAAGGTCAAACCCCCCCAGTCAACGGAAGTATCGTCATGTATGTGGGGGAATCCAAAGACGAGGTTCTGGACCTCATTAGGAAGGATATCTATACTACGTCTGGAGTGTGGGATTTGGATAAAGTGCAGATTATCCCGGTATGTCTGTTTTCGTTCTATTTTGTTATTCTGATTTCCTTTTGCTGATGTGTATAGTTTAAATCTGCTGTGAGGGTGTCGATGTAGTAGTCGTTCTTTCTCTTTCTTTTTAAAGGGGTCATTGTGTTGTATTCATTGAATAACGCTATAGAACTGATGGTTTAAGATATGTATCAAGTACCTTTGTGGATAGTTCTACAAACCGATGCATTAGGCTATAGCTTCGCCTTTGGCGTCAACATCGTCTCTGCTACCTTGCGTCGTTGGATTTTGCCCGTGGCCGTTTTGGGGATCTGCGCAACGAGCCAGACCTTTTGCCACGCATGTTAGATCCCTATCTCATAGTATTTGACTTGACTCACCTTCTTTGGCGTCTTGAATTTTGCCAATCTACTACCAACCCACCCCTTTAGTTCATCATCGGTTGCTGTTCTGCCGCTCTTCACCACGACTGCAGCCCCGATATCTTCTCCATAGTGTCCCTCATCGGGGATTGCGAAACACACTGCTTCCGCGACCTTGGGATGTTGTAGCAGCGTGTTGTCCAGCTCAATGGGACTGATCTTCTCGCCTCCTTTGTTGATTAGTTCTTTGATACGGCCGGTAATGATCACGTAGCCACCCGCATCCTTCTTGCCCTGATCTCCGGTACGGAAATATCCGTCCTGCGTGAAGGATGATTTATTGGCCGCCGCGTTGTTCAGGTACCCCTTCGTCACGTTGTCGCCGCGCACGCAGATCTCGGCCTCGGTGCCTTGTGCCACTTCTTTCCCGGCCTGGTCGAGGATCTTAACTTCCACCCCCTGTCCAATCCCAACACTTCCCGGTTGTCGCTTCCTGGGAGGGAGGGGGTTGCTTGTCATCTGATGGGCGGCCTCAGTCATCGCATACGCTTCCAGCACCGGGGCGTTGAATGTCTTCTCCAGGTCCTGGAATGTTTTGGGAGAGAGTGGTGAGGAACAGGAACGAATAAAACGGATCGGGGGAATTGAGTTGGGCAACGGGGTCTTGAGCAGGATCTGGTGGATCGTCGGCACGGCCGTGTACCAGTTGGCTTTGTACGAGACGAAGTCCGACCAGAATTCTGAAGCAGAGAACTTTGGCGGCACAATCACAGATCCTCCAGAGTAAAGTGGTGCAAGGAATGCCGCCAGTAAACCGTGAACGTGGAACAGGGGCATCACCAAGTATGTGCGGTCTTGTGGGGTCAATTGGTACGTATTGCGGATGTTTTCTTCTGCATAGTCAGAAAAATACTGTCACTGAGCTTGGAGATACAGATACGGACTCATGGTTGTAGTGAGGTTTCGATGGGTGAGTGGAACCTGTTTGTGTCAGCATCTACATGATCCTTGGGCAGGTAAACCAATGGTCCGTACAGCTTTGGGCCTGCCAGTCGTTCCACTCGTATGTAGCACGAGCGCCACATCATCTGGTTGTGCATGCTGAACCTCAGCCCCGCCATTACCAGCTAGTTTCCCCGATTCTTTGACGTCCAGAACGACATCCGTGCCGTCCCAATAGCACTCGGCAATCGCCGCATGGTACTTCTGCGCAGCCTGGACGGCCGGACCATTCTGCAGAAACGACCCCTCGGGGATAAGCACCAAGGTTGAGCTAAGATCGTCAATGTAAAATTCAAATTCCTCCCGCTTATAGGCTGGGTTGAGTGGAGCGGCAATGGCGCGCTGCCAGGACGCAGCCAAGAATGCGACGATGAACTCGTAAGAGTTCCCGAGGGCCAGTGACACGGCGCCACCGTGAGCAACCCCGAAGCTAGCGAGCTTGGCCTGGAAATTGGTGACATTGGCATACAGTTGTTGGTAGGAAATCGACAGTGGTGTTGGGGCCTTGGGAACCAGGATGGCCAGATCAGCGCTGTCAGATGAGAAGGACCGGGCCAAAGTATTCGCAGCAGTAGTCATCTTGTGGATAATCTCCGCCGTACTCCGTACGACGTCTTGGCTGTCAGGGATTAGGAATGAAGAACGTAGCAGCTAAGCTTAATAGGAAGTACCAGTACTGTTACTACGGAATGGAAGAAAAGAAGAAGAACTTGGGGGATGGAGGATGAATGCAAGTGTTAACCGAGTAACCCCCTAATTAACCCAGGCAACTCCACGGCTTCCTCCGCATTTCCCTCATGAGTGTGATCGAGCCAGCGAATGCATTTCCGTCTTTCCACGATGACGAACGCATTTCGGACGTTGTTCCGAATCGGCTGGATGTGTCAGCAGGACAGCAAACCAGGCAAACGGGACAAACCAGACAAACAACCGTCGAGATGGCTCTCCATCCTTCAACGTGCCGAATACATGAGCTCTTCTTTTGCTAAAATTATTGTCCACTGCTTTTCCTCATACCACTATGACATCTGATTCGACTCCCTCAAAACCCGGGGGCGTAATCTCGCTGTATGCCAACCTGTTGGATCCGTCTGCGGAGTCAGCCTCGCCTGGGACGATTTCGCGCGCCCCCGTTGTCTTCAAACAAGCTGCGGAGGGCGAAGCGCAGTCGGATGAATCAGCTGCCAAAAAGCAGCAACAGCTCAGTGCCGGTAGATCTCATACCCTCCTTTTATAATCGAGAGTTACATGTTCCGTCTTTATTGGTGATTTGATTGCTCACTTGTCCGTTCCTGGCTTTGGTGATCAGCCTCTCTCCGATTTCAGCCCACAAAAAGACCACAACTCTCAGCTCAGAAGCCCAAAGCGAAACCGAATCTACCCAAGACAGCGCCAGCCCCCGCTCCAGCAGCAGCCCCGGCTAAGTCATCTCTTGCTGATTGGGCCGCTACCGAAGACGACGATGTCAATGGGTTTTACAACGGCCCAAAGAGACAGCGCGGCGGACGTAAAAAGCGCAAGAAGAACCGGGAGGCGCAAGAGATAGTGCAGAACTGGGACGATATCTACGATCCGTCACGACCAAATAACTATGAAGAGTACAAACACAGCGACGAGCAAATATCCGAAGTCCGGGAGTGGAAAGACCGCCTTTACGCACATCGTATAGTGCGGTCGCCCAGCCGAGAGTCGTTGAGCGACGATGAATATAAATCTCGGATGAAACGTGCGTCGAGAACCTTGCATGTTAAATGTAGTTCAGCGGCTGAATTTGTGCAGGACAATTTGCCCCTCCGAGCAGTTTCGCGCCGCCTCCCAACCTCAACGATATACCACCCGCACCACCTGCCGAATCGCCACCGCCGGAGCCTTGTGTTTCTGGCCAAGTTGCCGCGTCCGGAGAGGATGCATTCGCTCGGCGCGCTCGGCTTTCTACTAACCAACATGACACGTCGATGACTGATTATACCGTTCCCGAAGTACCAACTGCCCCTGTTCTGGAAGACCTCACGGGGGAAGATGCCTACAAGCGACGCCTTCAGATGTCAGACGCTGGATCTCAGCCGACGGCTGAGCCTGCTCCTCCGCCTCGGGCTCTGGATGCGCTGCAGCCAGCCTCCGCAACGATATCTCGCGCACCGGTCCGATACGCTCTGCCTCCTGCCCCTGAGGACATTCCCGCCTCGGAAGCCGAGCTTGAGGAAGTTTTTGCCAAGGAGCAGCCAGTGGGTAGCGGATTGGAAGCGGACGGCCAGCGCTCGCTACGACCGGGACAACAAGGATTTGCCGAGCGATTGTTGGCTAAGTACGGTTGGACGAAAGGCTCTGGACTGGGTGCAACAGGCTCTGGTATTGTGAAGCCATTGCAAGTAAAGGTTGAAAAACAGAAGAAACGGCCAGACTCGGAAGGTGGTGGATTTGCTACTCCTGCCGGTAGAGGCAAGATCATTGGCGGTACGAGGAAGAGTGAGGATGACGGTAAGTTTGGACGAATGAGTGAAGTCGTTATCTTGAAAGGCATGCTTGATGGCATGGACCTAGAGGCCGAACTGGAAGGGGACCAAGAAGGCGGCCTGATGCAGGAAATTGGGGAAGAGTGTTCCGAAAAGGTGAGTTTATTGTCGGATGAGATTTGTGGTGAGTATCTAATCTAACCCGGGGCAGTATGGCAACGTTGAGCGAGTCTACATTTCGCATGCCTCAGGGCCTCCTGTACCAGTGTTTGTCAAGTTTACCAACCAGTTATCAGCTCTGCGAGTGGGTTCCCTTTTTGATATTGCCGTCCATCCTGTTACTAATACAATGATGCCAGGCCGTAAATGCTCTGGAGGGACGAATATTTAATGGCAATGCAATCACAGCTCGATTTTTTGACACGCACAAATTCGAGCAGGGTATCTACGAGGAATGATAAACCATAATTTAGCAATGAGTATCACTTCTGCTGCTCACAACTGATCCAATGACATTGCCATATGATACAACAATGAAAGAAATTACCAATTTTGTCAATTACATAACATAGCTTTCTCCTTACTAGAAATAAGCCACGGGAAGAACTCTTGGGGGGGGAGGCGTCAGAATGTAATCCTGTCAAAGAGTTCTAGCCCACGTACTTCCTCACCATTTTCAAGAGTAAAACCTGATGTGGTACCTTGGATTTGGATGCTCTCTTCATGGTCTGAGATGCTATCAGCGGTGGATGATCGATCATCTTCCTCCATCGCCAATGCGTTTCGAAGCGTGCACTCGTAACACATGCCCATCGTGGGGAGGCATAACGCTTCTACTCTGGGGCAGTCGTAGCCTGTTTTGAGGAGGCGATCACATGGGAGGCACCAATTATGGAGAGAATGGGTATGGTAACAAAGAGCATGATACCAGGTGACTTCTTGGCACATTGCCACGGACTTCGTCTGTACATGAATCGTTGACAGGGAGGAAGGGATATTGTAGTTGGGCAACTTCTAGGGGAAAAGATACTTCATCAATGGCTGACTTGGTTGATCGTGTCGGGCTTTTATATTGTAGGACTTGGTAGAATTATGCTACAGGGTACCTAAGGTGGGATTCCCGGAGATGCCCAACAGATGAAGCCTTGTACTTTGTCCTTGACCTGGAATTGGTCGCGTTACCCTTCCATGAGCCTTTATCTGTGATGTCTTTGTATTGCAGGATAAAGAGTGGCCACGCGGAGGCTGGCTGCAAATTCTTCTGGGCGTCAACAGTCCCTGGGGAGATAACGAGTGAATACCTACCTAATACGTAATACAATTATGGAAGGGCATAAAATGAACTGGACCGATCATCATCCACTCAGTGTCACCTGCATATTGGTCATGTGACTGACCTGGACATATGGAATGATTGGCTGGGGAAGTACATTCAACAATTTCCATTCACGGAGCCTCAGTTCGGTGACGGTCTACATTTACTCTTCTCTTCTACACCCAGCTTCTTCTTCTTTTCTCCTCCTCCTCCCTCTTATCTCTCTTCTCGTCACTCCCTCAACTCCCGTTATCCTCCCACTGCAGTCTCTATTACTCAGTTCTGCCTCGTTCTAAACTCCTCTACCGTCTCTACTGTGCGCCTGTTTTTAGAAAGTCAACATGTCGCTCTGCCAGAATCGCCTAACTGAGGAACGGTATGTAAGAATGTGACGTTGGGTCATGTCGCGCATCCCCCAGCTGTGTCACTGTCGCAAATGCTGACCGCGAACCCTTAACCCCGCTCAGAAAGCAATGGCGCAAAGACCACCCATTTGGATTCTACGCGAGACCCGTCCGGACCGGCCAAGGAGTGTTGGATCTGAAAAAATGGGAATGTGGCATTCCTGGAAAGAAAGATACCATATGGGAAGGTGGGCTGTTCAAGTTGGATGTGATGTTCCCCGATGGTGTGTATTGACCTTCATTTCTTTGGTGGCGGGATTTAACTAATCCGCGGTTCTCGCTATAGAGTACCCAACCAAGCCGCCGAAATGTACGTTTGCCACCTCTTCCAAAGGCTTGAAAATGGGCAGAAGATCTCCTACTCTCTCTTCTTGTGTTCTCGCTGGAGAAGCACCACTGACCATGCAATCCACACCATCGCAACAGGCAAATTCTCCCCTCCACTCTTTCACCCCAACGTTTACCCGTCTGGAACTGTCTGCCTCTCCATTCTGAACGAGGAAGAAGCCTGGAAACCAGCTATCACCATCAAGCAGATCTTGCTCGGCATTCAGGATCTTCTAGATGACCCGAACCCAGAATCACCAGCCCAGGCCGAAGCGTACAATATGTTCCGACGGGACCGAGAAGGCTACACTAATCGCGTGAAGCAACTTGTGAAGGAAAACCCTGGGCATTAGGAGCTACCGGGACAATGAGCATGCGACTTTCCACTGATTCCCCCCCTTTCCGTTCTTGTGCTTTTTCTGTCTCATTCCTTTATCTTTTTGTTTTTATCTCTGTTTCAATGCGCCAACAGATGATATCATTGTTGGTTGTGTCATGTTCAAATGGTTCTTAAGATCTATTTCGGGGTTCAGGCGATTTTGTGGCCGACACTGCGGAAGGATAGACTCAGTATGCTCATGGAGATGATACATGATCGTTTCAGTTCTTTCAGCATTATCCTAGCGTTAGCCCGAACGAGGGGGACAGCGAAGTGGATGTTTAGCCGGATTGCATACCTCGTTGGGTTCGACTGTATTTTTTTCGTTTTTACTTCTTTTCGATTCTTTTATAGCGAGAGCAAGGCGTCCTAGAATTGATCAAAATCGGCGGATCCGCATGGAGTTTTAAATTCTTCTATTTTTCAGTTAGAGTGTACTTTCTAGCCCGCCTCGGGTATTATATCAATAGCGACCGATGCAATCTACTGTCCAAGAAGAATGTACTACTAGGAACTAGTGCCTGGAGCTAAGGCAGGGGATCTTGTACATGACTTCACTATGTACTTCTACTATGTAACTACCTAGTAAAGGTACTTCCTAAGCCAATGACAACCCGGGCGAATGGCAGCGCCGGCAGCGGTTATCTTATCGTGGTGAGTCAGTCGAATTGTGTGGCCGAAATCGTCCCTCGTCGATTCCCGCCCCGCAGAACAATTAAAATCAGTTTTTTCCTTTCTCCCCCATACTAGCTATACTCCCTCTTCCTGCTTGGTTCATTCATCTGCCTTCTTCGCTTGGTCTTCTTGTGGTCTACTTTTGTAGTTGAGCATCTCAATTGCTTGTAGCCAGCATGTGTGGTATCTTCGCGTGTCACCAGTATGTCTTTTTTCCCCCCTCTTTTCTTTTGTCCTCGTTTTGCCCCCGGCCATTCCCCGCCGAACTCCGGGGCATAGAAGGATGAGGATTCCTTCGAGTATAGTGTCGCATGCTGACCATGTCCCGATAGTCATCCCGATGTGCAAAAATTTAAGCCTACGGCCTTGCGCATGGCCAAGGCGTAAGTCTCGAGTTCTTTCTGCGGATTCCTTGCAATTGAGGCTAATTGCCATTTCAGTGTGCGCCATCGTGGACCCGATTGGAGTGAGTCACACTGTTGGGTGTCCCGGAAATGCATTCCTCTAACCGATCAACTACAACAGGCGGAAACTTCATCTCGGAGAGCACTAGTTAGTCAACCCTAAATGGTCGTTGCAATGGTTCTGTGAAAGTTAACTGGCCTGTAGTCCTCGCGCACGAGCGTCTGTGTATCGTCGGTGTCGGTACGTACCCTGCCAAGCTTTCCGCTGCCGAACTTGTCGGACTAAGACTCCCTCTTTTTCTTCACCTAAAGACTCTGGAGCTCAGCCACTCGTTAACGACGACGGCTCCCTCGCTCTCGCCGTCAACGGTGAGATCTACAACCACCGCATCCTGAGGAAACACCTCAAGACCCAGTACAACTTCAAGACACATTCGGATTGTGAAGTGGTCATCCCTCTGGTATATGCAGCACATTTCATGTGGTGGGCGCACATTTGGCTGACAAAATTCAGTATATGGAACATGGCCTCGACGCTCCCAAGTACTTGGATGGCATGTTCTCCTGGGTCCTCTATGACAAGAAGCAGGACCGGGTTGTCGCCGCGCGTGACCCGATCGGTATCACCAGCTTCTATATTGGCTGGTCCTCCGAGACCCCTGGTGCCGTTTACTTCGCCTCGGAGTTGAAGTCCTTGCACCCCGTTTGCGATAAGATTGAGGGTTTCCCTCCCGGCCACATCTACGACTCCAAGACCGGTTCCATGACGCGATACTTTGAGCCTAAGTGGTGGGACCCCACTAACGTCCCCTCCGCCCCGGTCGACTATATGGCCATCCGCCATTCATTAGAGAAGGCGGTCCGGAAGCGTCTGATGACGGAGGTTCCTTACGGTGTGCTGCTGTCTGGTGGCCTGGATTCTAGCTTGGTTGCATCCATCGCCCAGCGGGAGAACCTGCGCGTGCAGGAGGCCGCTCAGAAGGCGCTCCAGAACCAGACCGGTACTTCCGATCTGGTCGGTATCGACGATACCAACGAGCTGTCCAACGTCACTACCTTCCAGCACTTGCACTCTTTCTCCATCGGTCTTCCGGGAGCTCCCGACACCGAAGCTGCCCTCGAAGTCGCCAAGTTCCTTGGAACGAAGCACCACGCGTTCACCTTCACCGTTGAAGACGGTCTCAATGCCCTTTCCGACGTCATCTATCATCTTGAGACCTATGACGTGACCACAATCCGTGCGTCCACCCCCATGTATCTGCTGAGCCGCAAGATCAAGGCCATGGGCGTCAAGATGGTTCTGAGTGGTGAGGGTAGCGACGAGATCTTTGGTGGCTATCTTTATTTCCACGCTGCCCCCAACAAGGAGGAGTTCCATAAGGAAACCAACCGGAGGATCAAGAACCTGCACTTGGCCGACTGTCTTCGAGCGAACAAGTCCACCTCGGCTTGGGGCCTGGAAGCTCGTGTGCCCTTCCTGGATAAGGAATTCCTTGAGGTGTCCATGGGCACTGACCCCCAGGACAAGATGATCACAAAGGAGCGCATCGAGAAGTACATCTTGCGTAAGGCATTTGACACCACCGATGAGCCGGACAACAAGCCCTATCTGCCAGAGAAGATCCTCTGGCGTCAGAAGGAGCAGTTTAGCGACGGTGTTGGCTACAGCTGGATCGACGGCCTCAAGGACCAGGCTGAGTTGCACGTTACGGACGAGATGATGAAGAGCCCCAAGCCCGAGTGGGGTAACGACATCCCTGACACCAAGGAGGCGTAAGTGTTGCCTCTCTACAGGTCGGTCTAGCGACGAACTAACCCACACACAACAGGTATTGGTACCGTATGATGTATGATGAACACTTCCCGGCGTACTGCGCATCCACCGTTGAGCGTTGGATACCTAAGTGGTCGAAACAGACGGACCCCAGTGGCAGGTGAGCATAGTATTCATTTACTTATTTTCGCAACTGTCGCTGATGTGAAACTTCCCAGAGCTATTTCCACTCACAACGCTAAATACGACGATGCCGAGTAGAATCTTTGAATGATAGGTTAGAACCTGTATAAGGACGGGATTTTGGTATAGAAGTATGCATAGATTAGTTATCAGAGGTGCCTGGTTTGGGCATAAAAGCTTATTTCCAACTGTCTCCGGGGAATAATATTCACTTTCATTTCGGGTCAATCTAGGTAGTCTCTTTCCGATGCCGGATAGAATCTATCTGGGGTAAAAGAACGCTTCATCAAACCTCCTGACGTGATTTGTCATTTGATTAAGCTCTGGTGGTGATCAGGGGCCGTGATGGCGTGAAATCCATGGATGCGCCATAGGACCAAGGGGCTCCCTGTCCACTGGATCGATCACTGGAGCTGGGGTTAACGTCGCTCCCAAGAGCAACCAGAGGTAATATGCTCGACGATGTAGTATTAAAGATTCAAGTACATACAATTATTAATTACTGTCGAGATCGAAGCCCCAGGCATCGGAATCACGGGACTTTGCGACTTTTGCCGGGCAGGGGAGCCGTAGCCAATCATGTCCGGCGACGCTACCCGTGGGTTTCCCCATCATTGTTTGGCGACTTAACCTCACTTGTTCTCCCCATCGCTTTTCTTTCCCTCCATCTTTCCTCTCCCCTCATAGTTCTCCCTGCGCCTATCAATCACTTCATCCCCATCTTCACCATCTCCTCCTCAGTCAAAATGTCTGCCCCTGCTGCTTTCTCCGACATCGCCAAGGCGGCCAATGATGTACGCAATTCTCCTGCATTCCTCTTACCGTACTGTCAGTTCCTCGGGAAGGGATTTTCGTGCTAATGCTCGCCGCTGCAGCTCCTGAACAAGGACTTCTACCACACCAGCGCTGGTATGTGTCTTCACTCTTTCCTCTCCAGCGACCATGATCGGTCCATTCACTTCTTGAGACTTCTTTGGCTAACTTGAATCCACTCTAGCTAGCCTGGAGGTTAAGTCCAAGGCTCCCAATGGCGTCACTTTCAACGTGAAGGGCAAGTCTGCCCACGAGGGTCCCATTGCTGGCACTGTAAGTCTCCTTGGATGGATTGTAGGATATGAATGGACACTAATGATGCCCTCCGCACAGCTCGAGGCCAAGTATGTCGACAAGCCCACTGGTAAAGGCCCCCTACGACGCAGACCTCCCGACCCCAGTTGCACTCCGCAGCACGAGCCTCGGTCGTCCATGTTTTCCTTCTCATGCGGCCACACCTCGTCTAAGCGTGTTCATTTGACTTTCACTTCAAGGATTAGCGATCATGCAGTCATGCTAATGTTGCGTCCCTGCCCAGGCCTCACCCTCACCCAGGCATGGACGACTGCCAACGCCCTCGACACCAAGCTGGAGCTTGACAACAACATCGCCAAGGGCCTGAAGGCTGAGATCCTGACCCAGTACCTGCCCGCCAAGTCGTCCAAGGGCGCTAAGCTCAACCTCTACTTCAAGCAGCCCAACCTGCACGCTCGTGCCTTCTTCGACCTTCTCAACGGCCCCTCGGCCAACTTCGACGCTGTTCTCGGCCACGAGGGCTTCCTCGTTGGTGCTGAGGGCGGCTACGACGTTCAGAAGGCCGCCATCACAAAGTACTCCGCTGCCGTCGGCTACAGCGTTCCCCAGTACACCGCTGCCATCACCGCTGGCAACAACCTGACTGTCTTCGCTGCCAGCTACTACCACCGTGTCAACGCCCAGGTTGAGGCCGGTGCCAAGGCCACCTGGGACTCCAAGGCCGGTAATTCCGTCGGTCTTGAGGTTGCCAGCAAGTACCGCCTCGACCCCTCTTCCTTCGCTAAGGTAAGTTCTCCCCTTAAAGTCGATAATAATACATCCGAAAGCGAGCTAGTCTAACTCCTGTCTTTCCGCTATACAGGCCAAGATTAACGACCGTGGTATCGCCGCCCTGGCTTACAACGTTCTCCTGCGCCCTGGCGTCACCCTTGGCCTTGGTGCCTCTTTCGATACCCAGAACCTCAACCAGGCTGCCCACAAGGTTGGTGCTAGCTTCACCTTTGAGGCTTAAATCTGTCATCCGATGTCATTAGCGATAAAGAAGAGCTAGAAGTTATATCTGAATTTGCATTCTGAACGGCCCCTGGGGGAAAGGATGGTCTGGCCTGCTGGGTTGTTCTTGAATGTCATTTTCATTTAATCATGTATCGTAGTCATCGACGGTAATTGTATATCAACCAAATTTAAATTTCATTTGTTCCTTGGGAGATGTATTGAAGTCTTTTATTATTTAGTCCTGTTTCTAGGTTGGTGATATAAGTGTGTCTATATATACATGGGTACATTCTGGGTATGTTGCATACTCCTTCTCGGGCGTAGTAGTCCACTCCAGCGATGTTATCACGTCACGGTGTAGGACATCACTCAATGTTCGATCTATCCGGAAGGAAGCCTTGCCAGCCTACCCGTTCGAATCCTCAAAAAGAGAGGAGGGGGGGGGGGAAGAATCTACTCTTCTTTCCGCCGAGAAGACGTCTTGCTAGCCTTACTGGTTCGCTCCTCTGACGAGTGGAACATTCCCGTCATGGCGGCTGCCACAATCAGGATGCTACAGACCACGGTGAACCGCATGATAAAATCGCCCGAACTGCCGATATGTCTCTCATTGAACGTCGAGTCCATGGCGCGAGAGCGGCGTTCCTGACGCCGAGCGTCCTCAGCCGTCTGTGTCCGGTAATGCCCGCGGGCATTGAAATGGTAGATGGAATTCCGGTCAATGAATGACGTAGGGTCATCGTTGTGTGTACTGGCCCCGGCACCTCTCCCCGCCGACGACGACGACGTCCCCGGTGGGTGTTTCCGATTCCCATAGCCCCCGTGCGCGTAGAAGCTCGGCGGTGGACCACGGAAAGCGCCCTGTCTTTTACTCAGGCCGCTGGCGGGACGGGACCCGGCGTACGAAGTGCCCTTGTTGTGGAGGTTGGCACCGTGGCTACTGTAACTGCCCATAGGATGCTGGCCCGGGTTGGCTGTGCTGTGGGTCGAAGACATATGGTGGGCGAGAATGCCATGGTCACGGTCGTAGGAGGCGCGTTTGGTGTGATTCCCGAGGACATTGTAGGCTGATGAGATGTGGGCAAATCGTGACGAGGCAGTGGGATCATCACGGTTGCGGTCAGGGTGGTGGCGCAGGGAGAGGGAGTAGAATTGTCTGGGATTATTGAGCTGGGTGTTAGCTATGAGTATTGATTGGGGTTTCATGTTTCCACCTAACAAGATTAGATCGGGCTTTAGAGGCCGCTCACTTTTTTATCTCAGCTGTAGATGCCGTCACCGGCACCCCCAGGATTTCATAATAGTTGGGTTCTCGACTGGCTCCATAGCGTGTAGATGTAGTGGTGGAAAAGGTCACCGTGGAGGGAGGCAAATGACGACAAGCGGTATGGACAATCGGGAGTCGAGGGAGAGTCCTCACACGAGGAAATGGCATTCCGCTTGCTAAGCGTCCTTCACATTTAGTTGTCGACCATGGACAATGAAACTGGTGATGAGAGGGAAGGTGCAGATGAATGGGATGAATGATTCATGCACAGTCGGGTATGAGATCGATCGATCGAGGCCTTGGCGCCCCAGATCCCGACCTGCCTGTTCCCCCTCATTTTTTCTTCCCTCTTCCAGTTTCCTTTCCAAGTCTGCCCAACCCACCAACCACCCTCAGGTTTTTGTTTCTGTTCCCGCCATGGCTGCTCAGACTAGTGAGAAGCTGCAGAAGCTGGACCGTGAGTCGCCATTGCTCCTGCCTCCTTCCTGGATCGCTGGTCTGATATTGATATGGTTCTAGTGAACGGCCAGAGCGGCGAGGCTAAGGCCGACGCTCCTGCCGTCGGTCAAGCCGAGGCCGGGGAGGCAGACGACGATTCGGATGACGATGCAGATGATGGAAATGTGGCTCCCGAGGGTGCCGCCAGCGGAGGTGCGTTGGTTTGATCAACTCCCGTCTTCTCTCATTGTGTTCGGAACATTGCGCTGACTCGGGCGGTCCATTTTCAACCATCACAGCTGCCAAGAAAAAGAAGAAGCGTAAGACCAAGAAGAAAAAGAAGGGTGGCGCCAAGGTCCAGAGCTCCCCTCCGAGGGTGCCCGTTGCGAACCTATTCCCCAACAACCAATTCCCCGAAGGCGAGATCGTTGAGTATAAGAATGAGAATTCATATCGGACCACCAACGAAGAGAAGCGTTATCTCGACCGTATGGACAATGATCGCCTGCAAGAATACCGTCAGGGTGCCGAGGTGCACCGTCAAGTCCGCCAGTATGCGCAGAAGAACATTAGGCCTGGCCAGACCCTGACGGAAATCGCGGAGGGCATTGAGGATTCGGTGCGTGCCCTGACTGGCCACCAGGGCCTTGAAGAAGGTGACAACCTTAAGGGAGGCATGGGTTTCCCCTGCGGGTTGAGTATCAACCACTGCGCGGCTCACTACACCCCCAATGCGGGCAACAAGATGGTGTTGCAGCAGGGCGATGTAATGAAGGTGGACTTCGGCGCACATTTGAACGGCCGTATCGTCGATAGTGCATTCACCATGGCCTTCGATCCGGTGTATGATCCACTACTGGCGGCCGTCAAGGATGCCACCAATACTGGTATTCGCGTATGATCGTTCCCTTCTCAAGCGTTCGATGGAACTTGGAACTAACGGTGGCATCTAGGAGGCGGGTATTGACGTTCGCATGAGCGATATTGGTGCCGCCATCCAAGAGACCATGGAGAGCTACGAGGTGGAGCTGAATGGCACAATGTATCCTGTGAAATGTATCAGGAACCTCAACGGTCACAACATTGACCAGCACATCATTCACGGCGGCAAGAGCGTCCCGATCGTCAAGGGTGGCGATCAGACCAAAATGGAGGAAGGCGAAGTGTTTGCCATCGAGACCTTCGGTAGTACCGGAAAGGGTTACGTGAGGGAAGATGTAAGCAGCCTGATCTTCCGGCGTTGGCGATGTACTCACCCCGTTGCTCCAGATGGAAACCTCTCACTACGCGTTAGCCCAGGATGCCACGCCAGTGCCTTTGCGTCTGTCATCGGCGAAGAACCTGTTGAACGTGATCAACAAGAACTTTGGTACCCTCCCATTCTGCCGTCGGTATCTTGACCGGCTGGGGCAGGAGAAGTACCTTCTAGGGGTAGGTGGATATCAGTCTGTGGATGGAACATGGGAAATTAACGATACTTCCTTAGTTGAATAACCTCGTGTCATCTGGAATTGTCCAGGACTACCCGCCTCTCTGTGATATCAAGGGCTCCTACACAGCCCAGTTTGAACATGTAAGATGCCCCGACTACTTTTCTGAGCTATGGACTAACGAGGTCGATCCAGACGATTGTTCTCCGACCCAATGTCAAGGAAGTGATCAGTCGTGGAGACGACTACTGAGGATTTTGAATTAGACATAGTGGTGTTGATAGTATATTGACTACACGAGCTGAGATGCCGTGAATATTGTCGAAAAGAATCCATTTTACGTAAATAACGAACAATCAACCACGCTCCATTGTTATTGATTCTCCTTTTATACTAGAGCTTTTATATTGTATTTATTTTAGTAGAATGCGGCTGGTACAGTAGGTAGAGTGGGGAGTGTGGGTCGAGTAGATTAATTAACTGTGCCGTATTATATCCATGAGCTAAACCGATGACAGCTTTATATCCTGCTGGCTTTTAATCACACAATGCAAAAGATACGCGGACAACCTGGTGTCTTCGTATCTCATCCATGCTCCATGATTGGGGCTATATTTCACTGGTTGGAGTACTATGAAAACAGCATGGATCTTGCGTTTAGGCAGCGTCTCAACACGGAAGACGTGTGATGGCAGTCAATGCTGATATTGTGTTGATTGAGTACTCCTTACAAGACCAAGTCAAGCCGTGCGCAGCGCAAAACAAAAAGGGTTCGAAAATGTCACAGCAATTGAGATATTTGGGATATCTCAATTGTAGGAATTTATAATTAGATCATCCGTTTCATCTCCATATGCATATCCCCTTATATATTGCTAGGCAAATGCAGTAGAATCAGTGGATGCGCACAAAGCGAACCACCGGATAGCCCCACGTGGAAGGCGTGTCTCCGAGCGCCCTCATGTTGTTGCAATTAATCAGTCGGATCCCTTCCACTCTTCTTCTTTTTCGCTCCCCGTTTCTTCAACCCTCTCGTCCATGGCGTAGACTCTCTGTCTCCCTTAAACTCATCTCACTCTTCCATTCTCCCTACCATGTCCCCCGTCATCGCCACCGCTTCCACACCGCAACTCCGCGGATCCGCAGCGACGAGCAATGTGGTTGAGAAGCCCTCGATCCGAGTGCCTCCCGCAGAGACATCCGCAGTCGACGACCATTTCTTTTGGACATATACGGAAGAGCCCCATCGATCGAGACGTCTGGCTATCATCAAGGCCCATCCCGAGGTACCCTTCAATCCCGACCCGCGCCGCTGGTTGTTCTAACGTCTTGTCTGTCCATCAGGTAACCAAGCTCTGCGGTCCGGAACCGTTGACAAAATATGTGGTGCTGGGCGTCGTCTTGCTGCAGATATGCTGCGCATACCTCCTCCGTGATACACCCATGCTCTCCTGGAAGTTCTTGGCGACCGCATATGTGATCGGAGCGACTGCGAACCAGAATCTGTTCCTGGCCATCCATGAGATCTCGCACAACCTGGCTTTCCGCTCCCCAATGGCCAATCGCCTGTTGGCCATATTCGCCAACCTCCCCATCGGACTGCCCTACAGTGCAGCGTTCCGCGTAAGTGGGAGATTAAAAAAAGCTCTCCGAGAGCCGGAACTTCATCGCTGACACGGTGTCCGAATAGCCGTACCATCTCACCCATCACAAGTCTCTAGGCGTCACCGGTCTTGATACCGACCTCCCTACAGCCTTGGAGGCCTTCGTGCTCGACTCCCTTCTGGGCAAGACGTTCTTTTGCACTTTTCAGATTCTCTTCTACGCCGTCCGTCCCATGTTCATCTACAGCCCTCCTTTCACCGCTATCCACCTCGTGAACGTGATCGTTCAGCTGTCCTTCGACTACGCCCTCACCAAGATCTGCGGCGGATCCCTCCAACCTTTCCTGTACCTGATCGCCAGCTCCTTCCTGGCCGGTTCCTTGCACCCTTGCGCCGGCCACTTCATCGCCGAGCACTACTTCTTCTCCAACTTACAACACGGCACCGAGTCTATCCAGGAGCAGAAACAGAAAAAGACCCAACAACCCCATCCGCTCGACTCCCTACCTCCCCCGGAAACCTACTCCTACTACGGACCCCTCAACGTCCTCACCTACAACGTCGGCCTACACAACGAACACCACGATTTCCCCGCCATCCCGTGGACGAAACTCCACGCACTGCACCGTATCGCTCGCGAGTTCTACGAACCCTTGCCCTCCCACCGCAGCTGGGTCTGGGTCATCTGGACGTTCATCCTGGATAACAACGTCGGCATGTGGTGCCGCGTTAAGAGAGCCCAGGGTGGTCGCATTGTCGGCGGTGGCGGCAAAAGCAGTGGGCGCGCCGGTGAAAGCATTTCTGCCTCGTCGGCGGCCGCAGATGAATCAGGCAGTGGCTGGAAGGAGAGTGAGATTCAGAATTAATCAATTCCCATCCTGCTGCTTTCTTTCCTTCTCTCTTTCTTTCCTTGGCCTATTATGTTACATATGTGATATTATCTAGCTGGTACTTTGGGATGGTTGATAATATGGTAAATATATGTATGAGAACGATATACGTTTGTCTCTCTTTGTCGTAGAGGATTCTTTTTTAAATAAATACCATTCTTATTAGATTTAGGACCTGCATTTGTAGGTGTGGAAAGCCCGTGTTGGCAAATCAAATCACTTGCCCCTCCCTATAAGGTCAGGTGAGGCGGCTTATATACCGCAACATCAGCTCGTAGGGTTTCATCTTTGTCATTCTCTCTTCTCCTTTCGAAAATCGAACGCTATTCATTCTTGTTGCATATTCTGCATCTTTAGCTTAGTATCCATTCCTTTATTAGGGTTGATTCCCATCATACCTACTTTCTCCACATCGTATTACTACAGTAGGATGTATACAGAATACATACCACCTATGTGGCTAATCCATATCAACTAGAGGTAGGAATACACTGGACAAAGACTAGAATACCATGTAGCACTAAACAGAACCAGGTACACACACAGTGCATACAAACAATATGCATCAGTTTGGACCGACAGTTTTGCCTATAGAGACAAGCTCATTCAATTGATTAAGTACTCGCTATCAGAAATAAACAATAAACACAAAATAGAATAGGAATGGCATGCGTGGTTGGACGTGAAATATCATATGGCAGGATCAAAGGACCCAGGCACAACCGACTGGTACAGACGTTGTATCACGTCGGACTTGGGTGTCTCTAACATGAAGATATAGAGTATGGAGAGGTTTGGGGAAGTGTTGATCTTTTGTTAATCATATTTATGTGGAAGTGGATTGGCTACCTCCATCGGGTCATCTCATGATAAAATAAAAAGAAAAGCAGAAGAAAATATAAAGGGGGAAATGTGGTAGAAAGGAGTAAAGAACAGGTAACAGGGGAAGAATATAAACCGGTCACATGGAAAGTAGAGTGCTGGAATAAACGGACGTAACTCGATGCTGATGCTAACAGAAACAAAAGAAAACCACAGACTTAAAGAAGAGAATCCAGTTGGTTGGGAGAAATAGAGAACAAGCAAACGGATAGGGCAGAAGTGAATTAAAACAGGAAAAAAGAACGGTTCCGCGGTTAGAATAGGAAGTACGCAATCAAGAAACTTAGCAGGCACAAACCAGCGACTACTTGCACCGGCACACCTGACTCGTTGGATTGGGCGGATTGCTGTTGCAGCATCGGCGCGGTCGACTTCTCGGTTTCACCTCCAATCTTCCTCTGCCTCAGGCCCTGGTCGGCAAGCCTGTCTTTCAGTTTCTGGATCTGGAAGTTGGCCTCGGCAAGTTGGGATTTCAGGTCGCTAGAGGAGGGCGTAATGCCTACTGCCGGCGATTTGGAAGACGTGGCAGATGCATCATTCGTTTGTGAGGTAGAAGTGTCCCGCTTGGGCCTATCGCTGAAATCCGGCGGTGGGATAGGTGACGTGTCGTTGGCGCTTTTGCTAGTCAATCCAACGGCGGGAGTCTCGTAGTTGGCATTGGGAGAAGTGTAAGCAGGGGGTTCTTCGTCAAGGACATTCTGGAGGTGAATCGTCAGTTTTGTTGCCTTCGAGGATTTGGAAAGCCAGATGGGATCAAGGAACGTACAACGGTGCCATTGGCTTCAGCCTCTTGCTCGGCAGGCGCGGAGTCCTCCGCGGCCAACCAGTTCACACGGATCTTGCGCTCTTGGATCGAGGATTTGGAGGCCTTCTCGAACTATATAACCGGGTTAGAGACTTGTGTGAGCAACACTCTTCAGGGAGATTGGCGTACAATAGAAGTGACATTTGCGAACTCCATCTCACCAGTAACCGCGACGGTCTGGACGAGGAACTTATCCTTGCACTTGGCATCAACCGCTGGTTCCTCCTTCATAGCCTGCAGGAGCACTGATTTGAGTCAATAAAGCCGCTTAAACGCACGATGTTCATGTCCTTGGGGTAACCCACCCTGAACCTCTACATTCTTCCCAGGTTCTATGCGACCCGAATTTGGACGGACACAATAACTTGGGAATGATTAGTTATCGCCTAGCCACCGCCACGGAGAGAAATGGTATGACATACTGTTTAGGGGCGGTTGTTTTGACCTAACATATATAAAAGCGTGGTCAGCATGCGATCGACAGACAACCCGAGCTAACTCTGTGCATACCTTAAAAACAACTGGCTCCGGGTTGTCATTGCTAAGGTGCAGGATCTGGCACACTTCCCGGTTGAAGGGGCCTAGATTTATTCAGCATAAGCATCCTCAGCAATTTAGATGTCATAATTCAGAGAGGGGCTCACGTTGGAAGGCCAGCTCTGGCGGCTCAAGGACGATGGACATGGCGAAGGCGTAGACAGGAGTGCGAAGGGTTAGGGATGCGCAGGCAACGAAAAGGCCAGACAAGGTATTCTGAGGGTCGAAAGAAGACGAACGCGCGCGGTGGGGAACGATTAAGCGGGTGCAAGCCGGCTAGACTGAAGTGGATAATGGGTGGAATAGGTAGGAGAGAGAGCGCCCACACACGGCAGGCAGGATTATTATTAGAATTTGTCGATAGTGAGCGATTGTTATTCCCCATTCGTTTGGGGATGAATTGCTCGATCGCAGCTGACTCAGCGCCGTCACAGGCAGGGCAGTCAGGTGATGTCATCAAGGGGTTGGCTCGAAGTCTCCCGGCCATGATCTAGATACGTACTTAATATAAAGTAGGTGGATTTCGTCTATCTCTCATGTCTTCCCCAATGTATCTAGATCTATCGACTCATCCGTTCCTGGGACGCTCCGTCGATCGAACTATCCCTTTCGTCTTGGTTCCTCGGGATCCACCGCTGCACATTCTCGGAACCTTTCTAATAATACAAAACAAAGATCTGGAGCAGCACTAATTCCTCGACACATGTGATATGAATCTTGCGTCAGGTGGTGTGCTTAAATGCGAGATCATCCAGATTGCACCCTGGCCACTTTCTGGTTCTAGCGCCTGTCCCATGAGCCTAATCGTCGATTCTCCCGTAGAAGGCCTCTTTGTATGAGAGAGAGAATGCCTTTCTTCTTGACACCTCTCGTGGAACACTACTAACCGGCTCCCAAACTCGAGTACCTCGGAGTAACATCAGCCCTGCTAGTTGGATCCAAGAGAACTACCGCCAATTTCCTTCTCGGTTTAGGCTGATTCGTGCTGCGTTAGTTATTTCCAGAGGATAGCCAGCTCTAGTACATAGATTCCAGATTAGATATTCCTATTCCCCTTATGCAGGTAGACACATGGTTCTGCTTTTCAAAGGCGCTGGAAATCAATCTTAGGTACCTAGATTAGGTATCTCTAGTAATGTACTTCGTAGAGTTGTGGGACGCCTCGGTGTGTAATACATGTATGGCCCATACATACGGGAGACGGCTACGGACCATTCCTCCGCACAGGTGACGTATCGCTTGCTGGTGCTCCACGGTAGAACTCTTACCTTTTTGATTCCCTTCCACTTGTTGCTCCTGTCCTCGCCTTTAATCACCCTATTCTTCATCACTCAAGCATCTTCTCTGTATCATTCCGTCCTCAGTACGTCAACAAGCAACTACTTTTCATGGTACCCCGCATTCAAACCTCAATTTGTTGTTCACCTCGATCGCATCCTTCCATCTAACGACACCATCGAATACAATGTCCTCCGATTTGGACCAGCTCATTGAAATGGGCTTTGACAATGAAAGGGCGGAGCTAGCGGTCGCAAGAGGTGGTGGTCGTACGTGTTCCTTTAATCTACACAGATTACATTTGTGCTCTGTTGGCCGAGAGAACCCCGCTGATGATTCTTCATAGTCCAGGGTGCATTGGAATGGCTAGAGCAAAACCAGGACAAATCCATTGAGGATATTAAGGAGGCTGTAGCGGAGGAGGGCCCTGCGCTTCAACCGGGTGAGGAGGCGAGGAGCTTGGTCTGTAATGAATGCGGCAAGCAGTTTCGAAATCATGCACAGGCCGAATTCCACGCCTCTAAAACTCAGCATGTGGACTTTGCGGAATCAACCGAGGAGCTTGCACCCTTGACTGAGGAGGAGAAGGCGGCCAAACTACAAGCGCTGAGAGAGAAATTGGCAGCCAAGCGGGCTGGACAGTCTGAACAAGATAAGGCCGACCAGAAGAGAAATGAAGTATGGGGACACACCGGATACGTTTTGAATCGGCAGATACTTACCCTTATTTAATGCAGGAAATCCGGCGGAAGAGCACCAAAGAATCACAAGCCGCCAAGGAGGAACTCCAAAGGAAGCAAATGATGAAAGAAGCCGCGCAGAAGAAGAAGGAGAAGCAAGATGAAATTGAAGCCAAACGGCGAGTCAAGGCCAAGATCGAAGCAGACAAGGAAGAGCGGCGACTAAAGGCTGAGCGAGAGCGAGCTGAACGGGCTGGCGCAGTACCTGTTCAACCGGCACCTGCTCCATTGGCTACCACTTCCGGGCCAGTTGCATCCAAACCGGCCTCGGCATACACAGAAACCCGCCTGAGATTCCAGACCTCCAAAGGAAACGTCATGAAGACTCTCCCGGTCACCACCACCCTGTTTGAGGTTGTTGTAGCCTTGGAGAAGGAAGATGGGGTTTTAGTGCAGAGCTTCTTGCAGACGTTCCCAAGGAAAGTGTTTGACAAGGAGTTCTTTGGGGAGTCCCTCAAAGACCTGGGTCTTATTCCCAGCGCAAGTCTGGTAGTGCAGTGATTGTGGCAGCTTGACTATTAATCACATTTAATAATAAATCGCCCCTTCTAACATACTAGAATAAACTCCAATGAAAAGGAATTTGTGCCAGTTAAGCTATTAACGATTTGTTTTAATTAATAGATCAGTATGTAAATGTACACCGAGAACATCATCTACCGCCCAATACCGGCTCACGTGATATCGTGATAAGGCCGTGTTGGTATCAGTCCTGTCACGCGTCTGCCTCTGCTGACGCCTGCTCTTGCTTCCTGCTCCTCACCCACCTCCATCATACATTTTGGTCACTGGGCCGCTCAATGATTCCTTCATTGTTTATATATCTCTATTGTCACTATGCCCGCGTGAGCCCACCAATACCCCTTTGTCCCTAGCTCCCAGACCGCAGAGCTAACCGCGTATCCAGCGTTGGTGATCAGCATCGTGGTGGTCCGACTTCCGTAATGATGCCAAACTCGACTGGATCAATTGCGGGAAATCCATTTGAAGATTCTCAGCGCCGCATTAATGAGTACACAGCGCAGGAAATTGCCACACTCCAAGCGCGTCTTGATAAGAAATTAGGGCCTGAATACATCTCGTCAAGACCCGGTGCCGCGGGACAGAGAGTGCATTACCTCTCTGCCGACAAATGTATCAATCTAGCAAATGAGGTGTTTGGCTTTAATGGCTGGTCGAGCTCGATCCAGAATATTCAGATCGATTTTGTATGTCCTACAGCATTCTCAATACAGCCGAATATGTGACCCCAAGCTTAGGAGACTGGGTTTTCTCCTACTAATTACAATTTTCTCGACAGGTGGAGGAAAGTCAAAATACTGGAAAAATAAGTTTGGGTTTGTCCGTGATAGTAAGGGTAACCTTGAAGGATGGAGCCTATCACGAGGTACGTCGACTTATCCCGGCTCCCAAACTGGGCCCCAAGCTTACCCCTTGTGTTTACGTTAGGATATCGGTTATGGCCACATCGAAAATTGCAAAGGGAAAGCTGCAGCTTTCGAAAAAGCTAAGAAGGAGGGTACGACGGACGCTCTCAAACGCGCGCTGAGAAATTTCGGTAACGTTCTCGGAAATTGTATCTACGATAAAGACTATGTTTCAAAAGTTACTAAAGTCAAACCTGCGCCGGTATGTGGTCGCTTGACGGGTGTATCTTTATACCTACTGTTACTGAACCTTACTATAGACTAAATGGAACGTCGGTGACCTCCATCGTCACCCCGACTACGCCCCGGTCAAGAAGGAACCAGTTCAACCGCGACCAACTCCAGAGGATGACGATCTTCCTCCTCCAGCAGGCGCTCATAGAAATAGCAGTTCCAACGATTCTGCTGCGGCGTTTGATGCGGACGGAGAATTTGGGAGTATGTAGTGCCAAAATTATCCTCTGTGTATTCGCTAACAACTCTAGGTGATTTATTTGATGAAGCCGATTTTGGAGTTACCGGATCTGGAAATCCAGACGAGATAGTCTTGGAACCAGAAACACACAAGCAACAACCGCCAACGCGTCTAAACATACCCAACACGTATCAGGGACACCAAGGGAATTATCCTCGACCGCCTCCAAAGGCTAATCCAGCGGTTGTGACGCCTTCGAACCCAGAGCGATCCTTCAATCCGACTCCTGGTGCCAGGCATATCCCCCCTCCTGTCCCCAATAGCCGGCATAATCCACCAGCATCTCTGGATTTGCAGCAAAACCCCCCGAATGCGAGAATGATGCCGCCAGGGCACAAACCTAACCAAGCATCCGCGCTACCTGTCTCAGACGGTCAGATACCTGTCAAACGAGAATTAGGGCCAATTAACAATGAAATCAAAGCCCATGAAATAATTCCACCTGCGAGTTCACCGTCCATTCCATCGGCCTCTTTCTACTCCGCTCGAGGGGTAGACATGCTACGGGAAAACCCTCACGGTTCTTCTATAGCACCTGCATTCGACCCTCATGCCGAGAGCCCGTCCATCCGCAAGACTGCAGGCGTTGACCACAGCAAAACTGTCCCGATCTCCAGACCTATGATTGCCTCACCTGCCACAAATAGCACACGGGACTTCGTCAATCCTTCCACAGATATTCATCGAAAAATTGGTGCACCCGGAGCTGCTGGTGTTGGTAGTCCCATGAACAGAGGCCAGACGACTTCATCCTACCGCCCATTGACTCGACCCAACTTAGATCCTCGAACTGCTGCCAACGCTGCAGCTGCAGATCGGGCAAGCGTCGGACCCCAGATTGCACCACAAAACGTGAATGGGAAACGACCCCCTCTGAATGACGTGACGAATGCATCCACTCCCGGTGGTAGCGGGCCTATTCCTGCGAGTGGAATTAATGATCCTAAGAGGGTAAAGTTTGCTTGCGGTCCTACGGCACAGCAGCCACAACAGCCACAGCCGCAGCAGCAATAGCTACGCATATACCACACTTGCAATACCTTAAGAGAGCCCAACCAGAAGAAATAGAATACACGGGCCTTATCTCTACGCATTGTTTGGCGATCTGTCTAATTTGGTACATTGAAGGACAACCGGCGTTCATGGAATAGGAACGGGAAAGGAATGGACTGTTATTTGAATCGACCATGTGTACCTTTATCTTCTTTTGTTGATCTGCTATTCATTCAAGCCGTATTCTTAGGATACAATCTTATCATGCATTCAGCATTGCCATGGTCGTCCAATCGATCTAATGCTCATACGGTGGATTTTCAAAGAACAGATGATAGCTATAGGCAATCAAAGTATACCAGGTTCCGTCTTCATGTGGACATATATGCTTAATTTAATCTTGTTCTTTTCAAGTTTGTATCTGGAAGTATTCCTCTGGCTATATAATTTCAACATTTGTCAGCAATTGGGACAGATGGTATGAATATTGGTATCAACCTACTATCCAAAGTTCTATAGGTATAAATCTACTACTAGACATTTACAAAGTAGAAAAATAGGTCTACAGTCAGGATTCTCTTTCATTTTCATCTGATCCATGTAGACTTAAGCCTTACAGTATTGTACACACATGTTCCTAACCAGCTGTCTTTTACTTTTTGCATTGTTTCTAATATTTTTTTTTTTTTTTTTTTTTTTTTTTTTAGAAAGTGAACATCAGTCAACATAGAAAAGGAAGGCCTGACATGAATACATAACCAGGAACAGTGGGAACAATTATTTCGCTCGCTGACCAATAATAGGGATAGGGAAACAGAACATGATCATACACAATAGTTGGAAGATACGCAAAGAAAAGACATGAGGTAGTACTGGCAGCTATCCACGTCAACGGAAAAGTTTGACGTCCTCTCCCATTGCGTGACTTGAGCTCTGGAGGTTATTAAGCTTTTCGGTTTCCACTATAGGTAGCCGGTTCTCTTGAGAGGAGAAGGGTGCGTGCATTGATTGTTGTAATGCATTCCACTTTGGATCCGTTATCTGGACAAGCTTGCTCGCCGAAGGCACACGGACTGTAGGATTGGCAGGAGTGCCAGCCGTGGGAGCCTTTTCGGAAGTACTTGGAGTCGAAAGAGTTGAAGGGAGAGTTTCGAGGTCTTCAAATGCCGGGTGGGTGAATTTCAGACGTGAAGGTTGTCGAGCCGGAATGGGAAATTTCAGATGCATGCAGGTATCTAGAAAATTTAAGCCGCTATATCTAGTAGGAGCTGGTCGCGATACTTACTGCGCACTGCTTCATCGTCGGGATGTCCACGTCTGCCTGGTAGTAAATGATTGCCGTATATATGGGCAACTTCTGGATGTGTTTTATCTGTTTTATTGACAACAGAAAACCCAAGGTTTGTAGAGTCGCTTGAAATGCTAGCGGATGGGGAGCGATAATCTTCAAAACTGGATTTGGGGACAAATGTTGGTGCGCCTACGTTGAGACGACTTTGCGGACTTGAAGTCTCTGCTACATGACTACCTGATGGTGTCTTGTTTCTAATCAGTGTATTGTTATCCACAGAATCGCTGTTGTCCTGCGGTCTTTCAGCCCGGGTATGTTCAATTGCAGGCGTTTGCTGTGACTGCTGCAGCCTTGCTTCAAGACCCTCTCTCCATTCCCTTGCATCAGCAAGACTCATTGACGCTAATACTTTACACACCCTGTCAATTTCTTGCTGGTATTCTGAGTCCACAGAATGGCTGACTGGTGCCGAGTTGCTCGGGTTATCCGATTTGTGCTCTTTGTCTTGACTTGAGATTGGTCTGAAATCAAGCTTTCTTTTGGGACCGAAGTGTATCTCTAGAGGTGTCGTCTTTGGTGAAGAGGGAGAGACTGCAGGCTGCTTAAATTCTAGACCTTTCAGATCCTCAAAGGTAGGACTCAATATAGGAGTCTCTTCTAATCCCAAAGAGCCCTTTTCAGAAGGCGAATTATTGATATCGACCAGTATCCCGTGCTCTCCGTAGCTAGTATTAGTGTTCAAATTGCGTTGCTCGGCCTTTTTCTTACCAGATGGGGGTGTGGATGGACCGCGTAATTTGGGACCAGACATACTTTGTTTCTCCCTAGTGTCCAGGGGTTTACCTGCGGGTGTAGATGGTATATGCTTGCTGGGCTGGCTTCTGCAGTGGTCCTTCACGGAATCGGCGTCCTTTGGGGCCCGATGAATAGAACGATCCAAGTCTGTGATAGGAGAGGTTGTTGTTTTATTTCCCTTGATCTTTTCTTTTTCCTTCGGAAATTGTGCATTCGCTGGAGTGATACTAGAACTTTCATCATTAGAGCCTTTTTCAGTAAGAGGAATGGCTTGTGGGGGATTTAGGTTCATCATGCTACGGGCTGCAGCCAGGAAGCTTTCAGGTGAACTGATGATTCCTGCAAAGTCATTCCTGGCGCCAGGGGTTAGACAGGAAAATGGAACATGAGATCAGAACTTACGCAGGTCTCCTGGCTCTAAGAGACACAGGCGCAGGCCTCTTTTTCCATTTATTATCTCCTTTGACTTGAACCTGCTTCTTTTGAGAATTTGCTTCACGGACTTTTTGGTGGGGATCAGTATAGAGATGAGAAGCATCTACCAAAGACTTTTGAGTACTATGGCCCTTCCTAGGCACCGTCACTGGGTTCGAGGTCCTAGCAGGTATGCTCCCATGATTAGTTCGCGTACACCATCAGCATAGGAGGAGCAGGCTCATACGTGGGAATTTCCTTCGGCACTTTGGCCCTGGCGACATTACTTTGGCCTGTAGAAGACAAAGCCCTGGAAGCTGCAGTTATTCTCTTGGATTTTGTCTCTATTATTTGAGAGGATTTGTCTCGTTTGCCTGCGGTTTTCGCGTAGGATTGACCGCCAGCTTCAAGTACGAGAGCGCTCAAATGGAGCCGGTGAGTTTGGCCGTCTAGGAGGTTATCGAGACGTTCAGAGTCAGTGTCGCCTATTTTCTTATGCACATCTTCGGTTGATATTAGCATCAAAGTTGCTGTTTCTGCACAAGACAAAAGTGCTTACTATTCCATTCTGAGAGTTTTTCCTTGTTGGCTTGGGCCGTACGTTGTGCCTCCGAACCAGCCACATTTGACATACGGGATGCTTCAATATCGCTCAGGGAGACGTTTCTGAGTTTAGTTTTGTCCGATGTCGATATGAACTCTCTCCTAGCCGTTCCAAGGTCCTCCTGTCCACAATATAGTCAGTTGATATGAAGGTTTTGTCAAGCTAGGAGAGGGCCATGCTGGCAGCTTACCATCTGCAGATTCTTGAGCCGCTCGGCAGCTTCTACATCCATCTTCCTTCGCGCGAGACTCTACTATACAGGAGAAAGAAAACAAAGGCTGATGGGGAAAGCGGAAGGGAGAAAATGATTGCAAAGAACAAGGTGGAATATTGGACGAAATAAGAGCGGTAAGTAGGAAGAGAAGCCTTTCCTGACAGCAGGAAAGACTGGTCGAGAAATTAGCTGATGGGAATAGTGAATTTAACCCTGCAGTTTGGATGTAAGACACAGGGCCATATGGTTTGGCGTAATGATAGACAAGAGCCCCTCTAAATGAGATGCAGAGTGTGCAAAGACAAGAAGGCACCTTCTTAGGCAGACTTAATATAGCTTATATTCGACCCTTAGATGGGAATGCGAGAAATAAGAGAAATATGGGTGTGGAGGGAATAAAACAGGAGTGAGAAGTAGTAAAAGGAAAGGGAAAGGATAGAAAATTTAGGCGTCGCCGTGGCAGCAAAAGACCATCAAGACAAACGCCGAGATATTTTACAGAACAACAAACCTGATTGGAGCTGTAAAGGGATGGATGTCTCCCCTAAAAGAAGCCAAAGAACTAGGGTAGGTTTTTTCCCCAGGAATATCTATTTATGTACATATGCAAAATGTTGGGCACTTTTATACCAAGACCAGGCATCACTTACAATAAGGATAATGAAGGCAACAATTGAGGTGATTGTGTATGGTTTGCGGTGTACTGGGTATCAGAGTCTCCCACTATAGTGGAGTTTAAGGAACGTTTGATCTTTGTTACCATAGGCTTAGAGTCAGACAGGAGAAATGAGAAGAACAAAGAGAGGGCCCTGTCAACCAGCAACACTAAGAATATTTCTACATCTTGTACAGTTCCGTAGTGCGGAGTAAGTGGTTTAGCAGACATATAAAGCACAAGATAGAAAACGATGGCCTACACAGCCCGTGGTACCTGGGGTTACAGATTCTGCTGACATGCAAAGTCTCCGAACGAAACCGTAGATCTGGTTAATATCTGCTTAGGATCACGTATGGAATCATTACAGCTTCCTGGATAAGTGATTTCAGGAATATATTGAATACTTCTTCGAATAGGAGGTATCACAAGAGCGACAGGGTTGCCCACTGGAGATGACGGCTATAGGTAGTATAGGTAATATGGGTTTATGTATGTACAATTCATTGCCTAGCGCAAGGACACAAAATCTATCCTATTGATAAGACACAAATTTTGAATATTATAGTTATACTATACACTGGTTAAGCACTACAAGTGCTTGCACCCCCGTCATCTATCACGTAGAAACAAATTGTTAGTAGACTTCTTTCCGGAAGGCACTCGGGGACTTCAGATTATGCACATACTTCTAATCATCTTAGCAACGGCCTGCAATAAACTTACTCCCATAACAATCACTCCAAAGGCTATGCACAAGTAAGCTGGGACTTTGGCTTTGCGGCTGCTGTTGCTGAGCTTGATATAGCAAAGAGGGGGGAAGATATATGCTAGAGAAGCGGCACTGGTTGCCCCGATTAACTCAAATACGGCACCCAGGTCACAGGTGATGAGAGCCATGATCATCGAAGTCAGAACTAGTGCAGTCGTGAATATCAGATGTCGATTCATATTGAACGGTTCCTCCGGAAAGTAATAGGTTGTCATGACTGATCGGCATACAAACGCCTCCAGGGGTAAGGTAGTGAGCATGTTTAGGCCAAAGCAACTGTTGTAGTTAGCTTGACTTGTATTGTGAGCCTCTCGATAAATCCTTACAATCGTGCGATGTTTACCATAATGTTATCTGACGGGAGGTTGTTGAGTACATTACCCTGGGTCTTCGAGCCGAAGAAAAGAAAGCCAGAGATACCCATGGCCAAACACATCACGAGTGAAACGCCAGTTGAGTAATGGGTCACCATTGCAAAACGATCCATGGTTGGTTTTTTCAGAGAGCCATAGATTAAAAGACTATTGTGATCTTTGGACGATTAGTCTTTGGCTTCCAAGTGTTATCGAGGGACATACGGCAAACAAAAGCTGCACAATATTAGTATACTGGGCCGAGGATTCGCATGAGCAGAGACATACCAAATGATATCACGCCGACAGCCTGGAAGAAACCCGAATTGACTAGCAGTATACTCTTCACTTCTCCCCGAGATTCTGATGGAACACGGAACCCTTGGGTGATTACAGCCACCAAAATCACTACCATGCTTACTAAAGCCAGAGTGGATGCTTTTGCCAGCTGGGTGGCCGTTAGCTCGGCACATCTCTATACTATTGGGTAGCAAACCTTCGCGATATCCCGGTACAGTGACAGCGGGTATGAAACCCCCAGAACAAAAATCACAATGATGGCCCGCCTGTCGGTCAGCAGCCAGAGGAATGACATGTCTCGAAGTGAGGGGAATAAAGCACTGAAAACATGCGGTATTGTATCTCCAACAATAATACAAAATGCAATCATACCTCCGAAGGCAAAAGCCCATTGCGCAACAGAAATAGCTATGAGGCCACTCTTGCCAAAGCAATGTTGCATTGTTGCCTGGAACGAATCCGCACCACTCAATTTAGAATTGATCACGATCAAGCGAATTGTCCAATCCACCGCAATTGTAAGCACAATCAACAGCGCCATACCCATTATCATACCTGCTTGCTTAAGCGCGTAGGGTTGTCCTATGATCCCAGCACCAATGATGCTGTTGGCCATGTTCATAAATGCCATTCGCATTCCACTCCGAGGCCTAGCATCCTCTAGATACTCCTCCGGAAAGAAGTCATCGGAAGTTGCAAGGGTTACGCTCGGTGCCTCTATGTCTGTCAACAAAGGAACCGTTTGCCCCCTGGCAGCTCCTCCACTGTCACGAGCGTAGTCCTCTTCCTCCAGCCACGACGAGTCTTCCGGATTGTGGGCATGTCCGGCTGAATGACGCTCATCCTCTGCATCATCATCAAGGTCAAACCGAACACGATTCGTGGTACGAGGAGTGCGCCGTTGTCCGTTTGGAAGCGGCTGGAATATGGAGGGCTGCTGCGGCGCATTCGGGGGAGAGACGGGGGTTGGGTGGGTTACAAGCTCATGTTCTTGGCCAGAGGAGTCCGAGGGAAGGGTGTGCGTTTCTGGCCCTTCGAGGCCATCATGATCAGCCAAAAGAGCCTCTTGTCCTTCATCCCTGGGCATTGCTAATATTGGTGCTCCAGAGAGTTACAATTCCACGTGTGGAGGAAGTTTAGGCCAAGTAGTCATGAGATCGGTCACGTGTTTTTATCGATAAGGAAACTATAGAGATAAGCGCCAATAGATGAGAGAACCGTCGATGGAAACCAGGGGTCTGAAATAATTTAATTCTGTCATCTTTGTCGTGAGTTCTCTTCTGGTATTTAATTCATCTCCGGAGACTCCATAGATGAGTTCCGCTAGAAGTTTGTGTGGTGCTATAAATAGATGCAATCGTGGAGCCCTTCCGAGCTACACTCTACGTATCTTTGTTCGAGGTACGGAGTATCATTACCGGATAGTATCAGATGTGTAAGTACTGTACGGAGTACTTCTGCCTTGTTGCCTACCATGTCAGGTGCCTATAGTTCATGGTATAGTTTCGTGGCTCCCTGGAGCACTCCTTATTCCTGATACTTCAACCCATAATGGTATGGTTTGTTTTTGTCTTGGCAGTTACTATAGAAATTATCTAGAATGTCTTGCTGTTTTGATATTGGAAAAGAAATATTCTCTTCCACCAGCTCCGACTTAAACCTTACTCTACACGCTGCGGTGGAATTATCCATCCCGTCAGGAGCATGGGACCCAAGGAACGCAGAATGTTTCAGAGAAGCACTTGATTCGGGCAGGATATGGGTGAATCAAGCCTGCAGTCTTCGATTCCTCCTCAATATAAATTTTGATCCCAAGTTACATTGTTCACATTCAGCGTTCGTCTCCCAAATAGGAGACGCATTTTGCAAATCCAAGGTACAGTAAAAAGTGACAAATATCTTTCTATGCTGGCCTTTTCTTACTCCCATCATATAGTTTTGGACAGAGCTCGGCCTCGTGGTTCTTTTCCAGAGTTGTAATCGTTGTCTGCAGGAACATGGCTCTGCGACGTACCAGCTGTCTTTCGCATTACCCAAAAGTGCCAGGAGTACAAGGACAAGGACCTCGAAAATACCATCCACACCACAAGAACCGAATGATGATGTCCCTGCTGATATTGTCCCAACCGCTTTTCTATCAACTATAGTTGTATCCCTAGTGTATAGCCGCCCCGACCACGTGGTAACGCCAGTATTACCGAAAAGTATGCACTATAATGACCGAACGGTGGCAGAACTTCGACAAAACAGAAAAGGCGAATCTTTTGTTTTCCCAGAACTTATAAGTACCATCCCCTTCGAGAATGGCCGAGTACCCGAGTTCACGGAGGAGTTACATCATGTCGAGGATGATTGGGAATATTTCCATTGCCTAATCCCACAAAACGACCCCCTGGATAGATACGACTGCACCGTCTCATCACAAGAGCTCATTTCACTATTTAATATCGCACTCAGAAAGTTGATTTCTGGACAATCGCACAGAAAACATGAGAGCGAGAATGAGTCCGAGGAAACGGAGTTCCAACCTCTATCTCAGATTGCACCTTCGGTCTTCAACCCGGGATACCGCGAAGTGAGCTCCTCACCATACTTCTCACATTTATTCTTATCATGTAGCTAACCCAACCAACCACTAAACAACAGGCCATGAGTCAGCGATCCCAGTTTATCCCATCACTTGCCAAATCCATGGCATCGATCTTCAACTTTAACCGCGACCAACGTCTACAACAAATGGTTAATGAGCCTAGATTCGCACATCAGCATCAACTAGACGATTCATTTCCGGACACAAGTACGGTGAACATAAGACGGAAATTTAGAGTTTCTCTTTGGATTATTGCAAGGAAACAACTCTACAAGCCTCACAATTCACAAAAGTTCAGCCCGCTATGGCCTGAAATGAACTCCAGAGGAAAAGATGAGAAGTTCGATGATGAGGTTCTCGTTGCTGAATCCCCAACAGATCAAAGCATGTATCTTGATGATAATTGTGTTACAGAACACGTGGACTCAGATTACTATCTAGGTACTGACGAAGGAGACTATGATTTATATAGTGTACACGAGACAAGCTCACTCCTGACCATTGACGAGAGGTTCAGCGATTGTTCTGTGGGAATAATTGATCATAATGATACCGATGCGGAACTAACGGAATGCGATGAAGTGCCCGCAGAGTGGGTACGAGAATTCGGAGAGGATAGATCATGTATATCAAAAGTTGCTCCAAGGAATCTTCGGTACTCACTGTCGCCAGTTGGCCATGAAATGCTTGTATCTGATGATTTCGGATGTCCAATGAGCCCAATCCTCTTATCAGATGGGGCAGCCTCGATTGGATGTGGACCTGACGCTGAAGCTTGTGACTATATGTTGTGTGAATAGTACAATAATATACCTAAGCTCAGAGACAGATATACAGAGAGATTTGCTACTGGGTCATCATGAAAAACGGGTCCTAGCAATATTGAACAGGAAATATGATCATCTCATTGATGCGGAGAAAATATCTTCTTAATACATAACCATATAACAAACACCTTGTTAAATGGGACAAGAATAAAATCACTGAGGAACTGCAAGTCAAAGTTCCTCTCTAATAGCAGGGTAGTAGACAGCAATCCCATCAAGCTACATCCTGCGCCCTATTGGGGCTAAGAGATGAAAGATATAGTGAACAGATTAAAGATTAAGCTGAATAGTCGCTAACATGCTCCATTTCAATGCATCGCTCTCTTAATTTCTTGCAGTGTCATGCCTTTTCGTAAAAGTTCGCTCATCATGGTTACCATAAAGCTATTGTTGAGTCATTTGTTGGCAGGTTATTATGACACCTTGACCCCGTGAGATGAATGAACAAGATTTTTTGACGAGTTCTTCCTGTGGTCTTGTTTCTCAGAGGGGCTTGTAGGTTGCCATAGCTTTGCACCGGAGATCCGGGCCAAGCGCACAAGATTAGATGTGTCGAAGGTCTCAATAAACCTCTCATCTAACACTCTAGATTTAGGCCATGAGTAGTTTAGATATTCACGGAGGATATCGCCGGTCTCCCAGCCCTGGACTTTGCGAAAGCAGCCGATCACACAGCCAGTACGATGCTAGAAAGATAATCAGTGACTAGATATAGAGTATTATATTACAGCTTGAGGCTAACCTTTCCTTTGTTGCAGTGGACAAGGATAGGATGGTTAGATTTGTTGAGAAGAGCCTCAAGGATACGGACCATAATATGATCAGGAGTCTTCGCAGCAGGATCCTTGTTTGCTATGACTGGGATTCGAAAGTGTGCAATGCCGTTTTCTCTGAGAAAGTTTGCATGACAGGCGGTATACGGCTCATCCACGAGAGTGCTATGGGCTGTTAGAATCAAACCAGAGCAGGACGTAGCAGAGCTACCTACAGTATAGTCTTCAATCCCAGTTGCTCGAGAGCGGGAAGGTTACAAGGATGAGGAAATGAGCTGCGATAGATCCCCTTTACAACCTCTCCAAAATTTGGAGGCAGTTCTGGTTCCATCGTCGAAGTGATGCAATGGGCCCGCTTCTCTATCATAGATACATCGTGTTAGTTTATTATTGATGCGCGTGTATGGACACCATGGCCTACCGTTCTGGCCTCCAAGGGAGCTGTTGGAAGTTTTCTCTGTCAATGGAAGAGCCATAGCAATGTCCGTCATTGTGCAAAGAGTGGAATTGGGATTCGACATCTCAGGTAGTGTTTTGATAGGCTCCATTTGATAGAGAATCTTTGTCTGGCTTGAAACCTGAGAAAGGGCTCCAACTTCTAGCAGGACAAGCTTATTTCTCACCAGGGAGGTTGCCGAAGGCTCGACTCGGTGAAACTAAACAGACGTAGTCTAAGAAGTTCGAGAAAGACTTGAGAAGCCTAACTCGTGGGCTTCAGATAGACACGAGGGCTTGGTGGAGAGTCATTGTGAACAATGGGGTTGAGGGAAATCGTTAAAAGTGACGATAAGATGCGTAACAAGATGATCTCTTTGGAAGCAGAGCAATTAACAAAGCAAGAAGATGGAGATTATAGAGGCGAAGAGGGAAGAAGAGAAGAGGTGGTGGTGCACTTGCAGATATGGGGCGGTGAGCTGATGAGAAAGAGGAAACAGGGAAATTGAGCAGGAATGGCTTCTACCAGTAAAAATTCACGCTAGTAGAGCCTGAATAGGCGGAACGCAATGCCACAAGATCAAAAGTGACCTAGATTCCAGGGGCCGGGCATGGTTTAAGACGTTTATTGGTGGGGTGAAGCTATATAGCTATCCGCTTTGATCATCGACTGTCGTACCCACAAAGGGGCGACCAGTCAGGCCTCTGATGCCGGATAGACTCATCCATGCTGGTAAGAGACTGGTCAAACCTGTAATCATCAAGGCCCAGGAAACCATGGGTTGACTCACGGGTCAACCACTGTGAGTGATCCAAGGTTCTGCTGAGCCAATTCGGTTATAACAAGGCGCTCACTTGATTCTCTTGATTAGAAATCTCATCAACAGATAATGATTAGGTCATGAAATGGTCTAAAGATTGTTCTATAAGGAGATAAGAACCAATTGGTTCATCTCTACGCTCTAACCATGAAAACATACTGCTGCGTGAAAGACGTTGAGTGGAAAGCTACGGCGCCTCCTCCCCAAGCCCAAACATTCTAATCGAGTTGTTCCATGCCCTGGTAAAAAAGATTCATTAATGAAAAACCCTGGAAGCACGGGGACATGGAAGGACTTACGCTTCGCAAACCTCCTCCACTGTGATCCCCTTGACTTTGGCAATAACATGGGCGACATGGGATATTGCCACAGGCTCATTACGGCCTTTAACCAAGCACCCTTTCTGCCACCTCTCTTTCTTGACAGCCTTTGGCAAAGCAACTGCCCCTTCCAAATATTTAGCGGATGCATGGGAAGGGCGGATTTCACACTTTAATAGACCAAGTCAGCAAGGGATGTCACTTAACCCATTAAGTCAGGACCTGCGTACCCAAGGACCGTCGGTTTCGATCTGAATCCGATCAAGTGGAATAGCCTTCACCACCTCAAGGTTTTCTTCCGTCTTCAAGCTGCAGCCGTTAACACCGATGTGGAGACCCATGGCTACCATTCGATTCATCTCTTCGAGAGTCCCTGTAAAACTATGCACAAGACCACTCCCAGGTAGTTTCTCAAGCCGGGGCATTAATAACTTCTCAAAATCTTCGCTAGCAGCTCTGGAATGGAGGAAAAGAGGGAGCTGAACCTCAACTGCCAAATCTAGTTGAGCTTCGAAATATTTCAGCTGCAGCTCTTTCGAGCTCAAGAACAATCGGTCATAGTCAAGGCCTATCTCTCCGAAGGCGACGGCTTGTCCGGCTTGTTTCGACTCTAGGGCCAGAGTTTTGACATCTTCAAGCATTTTGGAAGCGCCTCCGGGGTATTCATCAAACAACTTTGCCTGGCAAGGATGGACCCCAACAGTCGCATAGCAGAATCCCGCTGGAACGTGGCTTGTTAAATCACCGTGGGTCAAAGTAGCTGAGACTATACAACGTATTGCACTTACGATATTTCTGAGCGAGCTCCACGGCTCGCCAAGACTCCTCTAGGTCAGAGCCAGTGACCATAAATTTTTGACAACCCACATCCCGGGCACGCTGAACAATGTCATCCAAGTCATTATCGTGGACTTGCTTTCCGTGATACTCGCCCCTGAAAACGGGATCGCTTAGATTGATCCCAATCTAGACATATAGGAGACTCTCCATCAGCTACTTCAACCATATAATCCACGCCAGAGAGGAAAACCCACATCAACGTATCTCAAAGTTTTACTAGAGTCCCCCATCTTGATCGGCCGGCTATACCTGTGGGGGTAGAAAGAAAATCCTCGCCCGGCTTTAACAAGGCAGATGGAAGAACGACGTGCGTCAAAGAAACTACTGCAGGATACTGTGTCTAATGTAAGTCTGGACCCACCTATCCATGACTGTCCTCCATGGAAACCAGGCGAGGAGAATCTTCCCATAAGCAAGTCCAGAACATACCTGGCTTGGAAAGAAACAGACGTGGATGCAACCAAGCAGTGTTTCCTACACAACTTAGGAAAGACACGTTACTATCCCTAAGAGTTCTCGGGAGATTGCCTACACCAAAAGCCACGGGCATTGAAGAGGGCCAAACAGCCTGTCCTTGCGGTGTGCCTAAAGGCTAGAGACAATCGATTAACATTCCGAGAGAAAGTCGAAATCTGGAATCGCAGCCACTGTTTGCCATGCGCCACTGTGGCTGTCTATATTATATAATCACTTCGGCCGCCACATCGGCGTTGCTCCGACTCGACCAGTGATGAACAATTAATTTCTTCCTGTTTATCGAGCATAATTGGGCTCTCAGTATCTCTCAGTATCTCTTTTGGTCATATAAGGCAGTGGTTCCTCGCAATATTCCACATGAACGTATCCTTCAAGTGGTGGTCGAAAACAAGATTGGAGTTACTGGAGCATACTACAACTGAGTACTGGGTAATACCGGGCGCCTAACTGGTGCATTGAGCCTTGTGCCCCGGAATCAAGTCCGCGCGGTGGAACCGGTACCCGTGGAATCTACTGCTTCTCCACACTTGTTTCCCTGATATTGCGGAGGAGCTTACTTCTCGCCAGAGGATTCCGCTTAAATACAGTGTCTTGGAGAGGTGTCCCGCCATACTGCTCCACTACTTTAGGTACTAAAGCGAAAGTAGTGCTCACTTCATCTAACGGTTATAGACATCACCAGACTCGGGACCTGGATGCTCCAACGACCATAAAGATGCCTGACAAGAAGCTTGTGTCAGTCCAGCAGGTCTCGCAAAACAATACCGCAGAGCTCTGCTGGATTGTTGTTAACAATCAAGTGTGGGATGTGACTGATTTCCTAGAAGAGCATCCAGGAGGGGCTAGCAGTAAGATGGACTGATGTGATGGACTCGAAGATGCAGTTACTGATGCGTGATCATTTCATGATTTAGTCATTCTGAAGTATGCCGGTCGCGATGCCACCAAAGCCTATTCCGAAGTGCATACTCCTGGCCTCCTGAAATCCAACTTGCCTCCTCACAAGTTCATGGGCGTACTTGACGAGTCCACAATTAATGATGAATGGGTAAAAGAGCCGCCCATGGAGTACCCGCAAGTGGTACTGGAAAATGAGAAGCCACCGCTAGAGACATTGATCAATTCCTATGACTTTGAGGTTGTGGCGTCCAAAACCACTAGTAAGAAAACATGGGCATTCTACTCCAGTGCCGCGACAGATCTCATCACCCGAGACGCAAACAAATCCTTTTTCGATCGGATATGGTTTCGGCCGCGAGTGTTGCGCAATGTCCGCTCGGTGGACATCAAGACCAACATGCTTGGGATAGACTGTAGCTTTCCCCTGTTTGTGAGTCCTGCGGCAATGGCGAAGCTCATCCACCCAGACGGAGAGTGTGCTATTACTCGAGCTTGTCAGAACAAAGGAATCATGCAGGGGGTACTGTCCAATAGCCATATAACAAAAATGGCCATTCTGCTAACAACGGGCGCGTAGATATCCAACAATTCGTCATATACAGTGGACGAATTGACACAGGCCGCGCCGTCTGCGAACTTTTTCTTTCAACTCTATGTAAACCGAGACCGTGCTAAATCGGAAATTCTCCTTCGACAATGCTCCGCAAATCCGAATATCAAAGCCATTTTTGTGACGGTTGACGCTGCGTGGCCAGGTAAAAGAGAAGCTGACGAGCGGGTGAAGGCCGACAAGAGCCTAGTGGTTCCAATGGCACCGGCCAAGGCGAAGAACGACAAGAAAGGCGGCGGATTGGGTCGTGTGATGGCCGGTTTTATTGACCCTGGACTAACGTGGGATGACTTGGTGTGGGTGCGAAAGCATAGCCATCTTCCCGTGTGTTTGAAAGGGGTGATGTCTGCAGACGATGCCATCCTAGCGATGGAAGCAGGGCTTGATGGGATCCTGCTTAGCAACCATGGGGGCCGCAATCTTGACACGAGCCCTCCATCGATTATTACTCTACTGGAACTGCAGAAGCGTTGTCCGGAGATTTTCGACCGCATGGAAATCTACGTGGACAGTGGAATCCGACGCGGCACGGATATTTTGAAGGCAATTTGCTTGGGCGCGACTGCCGTCGGCATGGGTCGAAGCATGCTCTTTGCTACTAACTACGGTCAGGAGGGGGTGGAGCATCTAATAGACAGTGAGTGACGAAAGTCCCTGCTTGGCCTTATCTCACGTAGTTGTTGACAAGACTTCAGTTATGAGAGACGAACTCGAAACTGCGATGCGCAACACTGGCATCACTACCCTTGACGAAGCTGGGCCGGAGCTGGTGAATACAGGTGATATCGATCACCTTGTACCTCAGTTCCGGCAACATCCATACGCTCGGAAGATCGCCAAAGGACGACGTCTTCCAAGCATTTCGAAGCTCTAGACATGCTACAACGGATAGATTAACAGACTCCTAACATTTACGAACAAGTATATGCCCGTTCAATATGTCCGGATTTTCGATGAAATAGAATATTGGATAGACGCATGCATTTTTTCGTATTGATTTCGAACCTTCATCTGCTTTTTTTCTCACGGCAGGCAGAAATACTCCTCGGGGCTATGCACACCATACTTGGAGGCTGCTAAATTCAAAAAAAAAAAAAAAAAAAAAAAAAAAAAAAAAAAAAAACATGCCTCTCGCAGGATGATTGATTAGTTAAATGGTTTAGCTAGTTAGTTATCTATCGTTTAACAATTCCGCGGAAAATTTGGATCTTACTCTTTCTAAAAGTTTCTATTTTTGGCTCGACTTAGGGCCGCTTTTTGCTCACGAAGCAGTCTGGAGGGTGGGGGGCACTGTAGTGTGCGTGCTGAACAATAAGTGAGCTATGGCGAAGCGCTTGAGAAGTGATCAGGTAATCGCCGATCACCAAGACTACAACCACAATACATCTATTATAGAGCCAAATAAAACACTCACAGCCAAGCCTGTGGCTTCAACTTAAGAAACTGAACCCCTTCAATTTAGTCGTTCTATAGAAAGCAAACGGTGACCACTTTGCAGCTATAATCTACTTTGCAGTGTCTATTACTGCCAAACAAGGTTTAAACTGATGCCAAATATGCTAGCTTGGTGGCTCTAAGCCCTATTCTCATGAGGAGTAGTTGTAACCTAATAACTAACTACTCAACTAAGTTAACCCTAACTAACTTACATTAGTTACTATTATAAATTTAATTTTAGATCCTCTAGAGATTTTATTGCTAAGATATTATGTACTGTCATAAAAGTGCTATTTTATATGGAATACAGGGGTGTGGCCGGCCCGGGGTGTGGCCGGGCCGCTGGTGAACTAGTTTGTAACTAACCTATATTTCTCATCTGAGTCAGCTTTCATATTTCTAGACCTTTTGTTTGAGGGTTTCGGGAATTACGGAGTACAGGGAATGGAGCACTAAGATACGAGCCGACATTCCTGTTTATTATCCACCAGCCAGAAATGGAAACAGATATGAAAGCGAGGGTAGTGTGTAGACAGGATGTGATGAGACAAATCTGATTTGTATGCAGCACCGAATGAGAGAAAAGAAGGATCAAGTGACCGAAGGGCATCCAAGAAAGAAGTTCCAGTGCGCGGAGAGGAAGGCCAACTCCGCCAGGATCGCCCTCACGTGCCCCTTCCTCACCGCCTCTCAACAGTTGAGATATGAGAGTCATCGTTGGCCCCGAAAGACAGGCAATCGCCTCCTTTTGTGGCAGTCGGTCAGCTAGCTATTTGTAACTAGTAAGGAATTATCCACAAGAGAGAAAATGGATGCAATCCAACTCAACTCATCCGAGGCTAGCTCTGGTTATTATCATCGTGAAAACCAATGCTTACCGTCGCCTTACAAAAGCCCAGTACTCCGTCCCTCATGGATTATTGGGCAAGATGAATTAACTTTGCTGACTTAATCGCTTCCCCGCGGTTTTCTGCTGAATCATTGCGTCACGTTCCCGAGACACGGAGACTTAACTGAGTTAACGTCTGTATCTGTGAAACCGTCCTGGATAGTTGTGCTTATCCTTCTATAGAGAGGAATTTCCCGTAGACACGGTGGTATTCTTCCTTTCCTTTTCGGCTCACCTATTCCCTCCCTTTCCTTAGTGTTTCCCATCAAAGTCATCCACGTCACGATGGTATCGATTACATGATATAGGAGACCTACCCACTTGCAGTTGTCATGATCTACTACATACCAGGTAGATCGTTTCTCATGCGCCATAGTGAATCAACTTTCCTTCGAAGTTTCAAAAAAAAAAAAAAAAAAAAAAAAAACGCGGGGAATGCACCATCCACCCCTGGTACGGAGAAGGATTTAGCTCAATACTACTCGTAGTGATGGAAGGATCACCGACGATGTCTCCTATCACGACTCAAGATTAACTCTTTCCGTCGTGTTACCGGGCTCCTAGCACCAAAATTACAACAAGGGTTGCAGGGAGGTGATGCGAAGAAAGAGGTAAGAGGGTAGGATAGAGGCGGGGAAGAGAAGAGGGGATGAAGCCAGATAGCCAATCCAAAATTTCAGGGATCATCAACTGACATCTGGCTGCGTTGCCTGATCGATTAGTTGTTGACATGTGGTACGTATGGATGATGGAGGTACTCCGTAGAATTACCCTGAAAGTACTTGATCCCATCCTGAATACTCAGGCAAAACAAGCCGATCAAAAAAAGGAACCATTATTAGATTGCCGCCGTCTTGGCCAGAAGTGCCCCACTTACAGGTGGAGTCCCCAGTACTTGCTCTACTGTGTAGATTAAGTACCTTCTTACCTTACAAGTCGACTTCATTGCTCAACCCCCAACCATTCATTCCTCCCATCGCCTTAAGTTGACCTGTCCCCTTCGTACTCTGCCTCTTCCTCCCCCTTTTCTTCCCCTTCCCCTGGTGCCTGGTTTTCTTCCTTGGTTCTCCTCGACTTGGCTTGGGGCTATTCATCATACCTTGCTGCTTGATATCTATCTTCATACTCGGGTACAATCTTGAACTCAACTATTTATTTATCCATCCATCCATCTCCTATCTCCTTGCACAAGTCCCAGAATCCGTATTCATCTTAATTCCAATGGCTGCTCCTCGGTCTACCTCACTGCGTGCTTTACGCATCCTCTCCCAGCAGCATACTGCTGCTCCCAGTATTCGCCGGGGTTTGTGTATTACGAGCGCTAAGGAGGCCCAAACGGCCAATATCTCGGATAGGAGCTCCTTGTATACTGCTCGCAGCTTGCCTGATCTCAAGAGTGAGTGCCAGCGGAGATCCCTGACGTCCAACGGCAGCCATTCGGAGGTATGTCCTGCCGAAACGACAGAACATGATGACCATTCCCTGTTCCTGAACTAACCAGGTTCTTGGCTGTTGTAGCTGGTGGAACGCCTTGCAAACCATGACTTCCTTCAATCCCGCGCCTTTAGCATTGCCATGCGGAGAATCAACGGCAGCTCTACCTCCCAGTCTGTGACTTCCCGTCGTTCCGTCCATCTTAAAGTTGCAGACTGACATTGTTCCACTTCCAGGAATACCGGTCGTCAGTTCAACACTTCTCGTGCCCAGAAGGCCGTAAATGACTCATCCACTGTGGATTTCGCGTACCTGCCGTCCATGGCGGACATTGATGCTCCTGCTCCTCGCGCGGATCCGCGCATCCCGATCCCTCCCGATGCCTACACCCACCATGACTCGGCCCACTTCTCCAGTCTCCCCATGAAACCCCAGGTCTACACGGTATCCGGGGAGGGGGCCGATGTCTCCGCCAGTCCGATGACGGAGGTTGTGGACAACCACGCGGTAGATATCGACCCGTTTTCCCTGACAGAGACGGTTGGCAAGTCCCGCTTCGGGGAGGAGATCCAGCGACACAGGAACGGGTCCAACGAACGGGGTGTAGTGCGAGAACTGTGGACCGAGATGCTGGACGATCTTATAGGATCCAAACAGCCGAGTCAGCGTAAACATTGAATAGGCCCAGTTCTTGATTCTATTAGCGATATGGCAATTTAATACATGTTCTACATTCATATCATTCTAGTAATTTCCACTTTTCTCCGTAGTTAAAGCTATGTAAGAGGATGGATCAGACCATCAGATCGGACAAATACTACCTATTTGAGGCCTAGATAACCGAAACTATCTAACCTAGGCAAGACTGAAAACTGGGATTGATCCAGACTCAGATCAGATTCAGATTCCGTCGGACGAAGATTGACTGATTGAGTTGACGTATGTCTTGGTCTGGGTGGGTTCGTTTGAATTCTCCGATCCCTTCCGACGGTTCTGCATGTGATGTCTGTCACATGTTGATCTACATTGTGTACTAACAATATATGCAGAGTGTAGAATGTATACTACTCTGGATACAATCATCCTTTTCTGAACAGGTGCATAGAGTTATGATATAGGCAGTTGGTGCATGTGAATGTGAAGTGAAGTGAAGTGAATCCATGACGTATGACTCATGGTGTCCAATGGATTATGAATCGGGATATTTACGTTGTACCCGTTCAGATAAAAACTCAATGGCGTCAGACTCTAAATGTACCTACTTTACTTCGTCATTGAGATAGGTTATGGATTTCTTGCTAGTTTATACAGATATAATTGATGTAGATTGTATGTACCCAGTTAACTATGTAATCAGTATAGAATTATATAGAATCTACAGAGTATTCTATAGACTTCTGCAATCCAATATGTACGAGGTAAGTATCTAGGAGAATTCTGAAGTCAAAAATAATCGTCCGGTTCATGCGGTGGGGCTAGTTCAGTCAATGGATGATATTCTCGCTGAGATGTGATAGATTCTACGATGCTAGAGCTCAGTTGGTATCTTTTATGTTCTTTTGGATATTACATGAGCCAGGTACTGTTCCTCAAATGTGGACATATGCTTTCGTAACTGATAGGCTGACTGCATTGACGAACATACCTGTTAAGATATTTACACTGATGGAACGTTTTGGTAGAATTATCTAATTTTATATCTCTTATTCTCGTAAGTTTTGCGATTAATCTACTTGTACAGTATATAAGATGGTCCAGGAATGAAGATACTAATGCCGATAAGGTACCGCTCAATTAATTAAATAGATTGTATCAGACTTGTCTGAAATATGTATAATCTGTGAAGCGAAACCAACGTTATAAACAGGATGACTACATCAGACCCAAGCCAACCACACACAAAGCCGTCAATATCGGCCAGGAGAATCGAGGTCCGATGTTCGATGCCTCGCCCGACGCAGTCTCGTTCGAGCTGGACGAACTGGACGTGCTCGAGCTAGTCGCGCCAGTCGAACTGATCTCCCCTGTCATGGCCGTCGACGTAGTGGTCGCTTCCGAACCCGATCCTGTCGTCGGGTTCGAGTTTGAGTCCGAGCCCTTCGAGTCGGTAGCATACGTACGCTGAGCCAGCCCGATCCGGCTTTTGTCAAAGTCGAACACGGTGTACACATTCTTCAGGAAGACGTCGCCCACCAACCAGATATCGTCGCCGAAAATCGACTTGCCAACAATGGTCGACACGCAGTTGTCGTTGGTCTTCGACCCTACGTAGTCCTTGGGCGAGATCGTGTAGCTGACCCCGGAGAAAGTCAGGTTCACCTCGGCGGTCGAGTCGCAGGGAAGTAGGTACCCCGTGTCGCTGTAGGGCTTGGCGCCAGGGATCTTCCCGTGCAGCGCTTTGGCGTCGGCAGGCGGGATCAACATGAACGAGGTTCCCGTGTCCATGATGGCCGACTTCTCGGAGAACTGGCAGGCGGATCCATCCACACTGGCGTCGTCCAGTGGAATGCGCCATTGGTCAGTGTTCTTCACCGTGTCCGTGTAGGTGATGTCCCCGGTGAATTTGGACTTGTCGACGTCGCCGAAGGTGACCGAGCCATCCTGGATCTTGTCCTGGCCGCGCGAGAGACTGACGCTGACGATGTTGGACTTGAGGAGCTCCTTCTTTGCGACGACGTCCATGAATGTGTCGTGGCCGAAGACGCCCTTCTCGGCACGGCCTAGACCCAGGATGCCGTCCATGGGGTACGACTTTAACTCGTCCGAGGCGTCACTGGCCAATCCGAAGGTCATTTCGACCTCCAAGTTGGCGATGGACAGCGTATCGGAGCCGAGGAACCCACTGACCTTGCCCGTCCCGTAGCCGACGTTCCATCTATCGCCGGTCATCTGGAGACTCGAGGAGGCTTGCTCGCCGAAGGTGTTGTGCATCTTACAGGCTTCGGTCGTGCAATCCGAGGCAAACAGCCAGGTGTTGCCGGCGCCGGTATCCAGTAACATCCAGAGGGTCTGGTTTTGCGAACCGACATTCACTGCGGAGATGTACGACCGGTCGTTCCCGTCCTGGTCGAGGGCCGCCGTATTGGGTGTGGAGGAGTTCTGCGAGTGCAGCATTTTGTATTGGTTGTCGCGCCGCACCGGCACCCGTCGGATGACGAGGGATTTCGGACGGTCGCCCGAGGATGACTGGAGGTCATCTTGTAAGTCGTCCGTGAGCGACCATGGAAAAAAACGACGTACGCGCCTTTGCGGGACACTCTCACTGGAGTCTGGGGGAAGCTCCAAGGTGTAGGGAATGAAGGCGGAGACGCCGGAAGAGAGCGCGAGAAGGCATTGTAGAAGATGCATGGAGGGAGGTGACTACGAGAAGACACAAGAAAGTGTCGAGTCGAAGGAGTTCATTAGCGGAGAATCGAGGGTATTAATAGTGAGGGTAATAATAGTCCCGTATTAAAACTGTCGATGAACGAGGAATCCAAAAGAACGCCAATGCAAAGTTCTCCCGACAATGATGCTGATGCTGATGACGAGGATAACGATGACGATGCTGATGAACAGAACAAAAGAACCATGCAGGAGTGAATGAAAGACCGAGGACAAAAGAGATGTAGTGAAATGAAGAACCCCCAGAACGCGTAGAGGCGAATAAGAAGGATCCAACGCTGAAGGAAGCGGATCACCAAGTCGAGTCTAGAGTGTCTGCATTGCAGCAGTCTGGTCCAACCGATAGATCGACAGTGGAGATGAGAAGAATTAATGAATTATCCCCTGAAGGCTGAAGACTAAACTGGGCAATGTGGGACGGTGAAACAGACGACGAGGGTCTCGCAGAGTCTCAGGCATTGTGTATCGCTGTCCTGCCACGACGGATTTAGATTCCATTCAGGGTCCCAACATGACTCTGGAAGCGCTCAATGGCGCCGATCGACTGCGGAGCGCTGATGGTTACATTCGCCGAGAGTCTTGAAACTGTCAGATGCGTTGGAGGACCCACCATTGGATGGCAGAGGAGAGAGTGCGAGGAGAGAAAAGAGAAAGGAAAGAAGAGGAGAAAAAGGCTGGTGATGCACTCCGCCTGACTATCTTTAGCTGCCTTCCATGTCGAGCACTAATTTTATCTTTTTGTCCCAGAAAATAGGCACGACATAATCATGCCTTTAACAACCTATCTTATTATATCCATCTTATACTAGAGAGAGAGGGTATATACTCTGTATATATCATCCCGAAATGCTCCGGTATGCGACCGGATCGGGCGAGACCTCGGAATTTCCGCCCGTCTTTCGCTCTATCCTCTGTTTTTCATCTCGATTGTTAACATCTCCCAATCTGATTGACAGTCATCATCTTCGTCATCATGCTGGGGTTAAGCGCCCGACGATCCACTGTTGCGCCCGCCAAATACCTAGCCACTACCACCATCCGTGGTAGTACTGCAAGGACCGTATCACCATCATGGATTGCACTCAAGAATGATTTCCATTCCAGTCCATCCAATTCTGCTTTCCGACCAACATGGATGCCGATGCGCGTAAAGACTCCGTGGATCGAAGCCTTGACTAAAAGTCGCGAGAATGCACAATCCGATCCGACCTCGGCGGTGCGCGCCCATCCCGATCTGTCCCCGAAGAAGATGTCCGATAGCTATTATCGCGCGGTTAGTGAAGCGCCCCGTCTCCCCATATTCAATCTCATGGACTATGCGCTGATGGATGACTGTAGATACTGCCTCTGGCACAAGACAAATGGCTTCTGGATACCTATCTCAATGCGTCGGGCCATATCAGGTGTGTGCCATACACCTCCCGGAGTCGAATCTCCTGCTAACCGCCTCGACAGATTGGGATCCTTGCTGATGGATCTGGATGCCCTGGCCGGTGTCATCGCCTACAATTACACCGGGGACTCGGTGATGACAGTCACCGCCGCCGTGGACCGCATCACCATCGAACATCCTTTGATGGAGATTTGTGATCTCGAACTGAGCGGGCAGGTGACGTATGCTACCGGCCGTTCGAGTATGGAGGTATCACTCCAAGTGGCCAAGGTCCCAGCACCAGGTCAGCAAGCAAAGCCTGAGGATGTTCTCATTACTTGTGCATTCACGATGGTTTCACTGGACCCTACCACGAAGAAGTATGTCTCCGACTGGACCCTCCCTTCTTTATTTTTGAAGCTGGATAGAATGGTTGCTCACCCTACGTAGACCAGTCTCGGTTGCACCGCTCTTGGTAGAAAGCGAAGAGGAGCACCTTCTTTTCAAAAAGGGAGAGGAGAACTACCAGGCCAAGAAGGCTCTGCGAAAAAGGAGCTTACTCGAGAAAGCTCCTGGCGATGAGGAGAGTAACTTGATCCATTCCATGTGGACCAAGGAGATGTCATACTTAAGTAAGGCTTCCGGGAATGAGGCGGTTTCAAGAGAGATGTATTAATGTCAACCGCAGACCCGGAATCGCCCGCTCAACGACCATCCAATATGATCTTCATGAGCGAGAGTGTGTTGAAGTCAGCGATGATCATGCAGCCGCAGGACCGCAATCGCCATAACTTCATGATCTTTGGCGGCTTTTTACTCAAACAGACCTTTGAACTCGCGTTCTGCTGCGCCGCTTCTTTCTCCCACGCCCGCCCGAACTTCATTTCCCTGGATCCCAGCACGTTTGAAAATCCTGTTCCCGTGGGAAGCGTACTATACCTCCGTGCCACGATTGCATACACCGAGCCACTGGAGCGAGACGGCAGCAAGTACACCAAGGTCCAGGTCCGTGTGGACTCGAAGGTTCGGGATGTAGAGCACGGGACTAAGAAGTCGACTGGGCAGTTCAACTATACATTCCTAGTGGAGAAGGACATCCAAGTCATGCCCAAGAGCTACGGTGAGTTCATGCTGTGGACGGACGCTAGAAGACGCTCCCAGAACGCTGCGGCTATGTCGGGGTCAAAGGAGCCGAGTGCACTGAGAGGGATCAAGGACAGCGTAACAGAGTAAATTCCCGATACGATTGATACACATTTCTACTATAGCTCGGTGTAATCACTAGGACTAGAATAAACATAATCGTTATGTGTGAAGGCCGGTCTTTTTTTTTTTTTAAAGAAAAAAAAAAGGTATAAAATAAATGGCAAACCATCCAGTCACATGACATGGGGGCCACATGAGATAAAGAACGGCCCAATCTTATCGCCATGGACAAACCATCATCAATGATCCCTCTCCATTCTACGCCGTAGAGTGCTGCAATGTCGCTTCCGAATATCTGGCATCTACGTCGAGTGGCAGAAACGGCCGCCAAGGCCTGTTCTGTCTGCCACAAGCCCTCGAGCAGCGTGTTGATCACGCCAGATAACAAGGTAAATCCGTACCTGCCTGTTCCTATCTTCCCTATAAACTGGTTAAGCAGGAATCGACCCGCGAATGATTTGATGCTGACAGCGAAGGATTACTTCTACGTCTGTCCGATCCATTTAAAAGATCGGAATTTTTGCTCACCAGTGGTAGACTCAGAGGGGCAAGAAGCGAAGAGAAAACAAGAGGCGATGGCCCAGGAGATTGAGAGGGTAAAGAAAGAATATGAAGAGAAGCAGCGAAGAAAGAAAGAGAAAGGTAAAGAAAAAGGGAAAGAGAAAGACAAGAACACCATAGATGACTCGAAGAAAGATGAACAACCTCAGGAGAGGGACAAAAATGTAGATGACAGCAACAAGGCCGATGAGAAAGAACGAGACTATAAGGTGGGTGGCTGCTCTTCGTCCTCTCTTTTGTTTGCCTGCCACCATGAGACCACACGGAGAAAGCGATCCGTCAATGCTGACGTGCGTAGATTGCATCCATCAAAAAGTCCGAGGCCCCGTCTTCGTCGGATGACTCGCCTCGTATTTTCACTTTGCACAAGTACGTCTAACCCGATCAGGAGGACACAACGTCACGGCCGGTGACTCAGTGACTTGGCTAACCGGTTGGGCCAGAAACTTCTATCAAATGCGCCTTGAAAGGCTGCGTAGTATCGAAGCGGCCAAGCGAAATCGCCAAAAGCTGCAGGACCCTTCCTTCTTCCCGTCGGTTCCGTCGGGAGGGATTTAATAACTGCATCTTACGCTGCGGGATTCCTTGTGGATTGAGTTTTGTGGTCCTTGTCAGTGATGTGATGACGAGTCCATCAGCCTGAACAGGGATAATAATATCGACGTGTTTTCCGGCTAGGTTTCATGCTCAAGGGCCAAGATCCTTGATGCCAAGATGAATCATGTGCGGAATGTCCAGCTGCCTTACAGTATAGCCTTTGCCTAGGCGTATACCTCGTTCCAATTTCATGGCATTGCCTTGTGACAGGCTCGGCATCATATTTGGTGCCCTACAGCTATATTGGCTGATGAGTGGAACAGTCCGTCTGATTGCATAGACAGGTCGCAAGGTATCAGTCGGTAATTTTATACTTGATTGCTACTATCCTACTATTTAGCACTGCACTGAGACTGCTCCATTGGGATTTCATCACACATAGCATAATGGCCAAGAACGCTTCTTAGACAACTGCTAGTGAGATATGAAGGTACATAATGAATGGAATTCGTACTCGGCTTCCCATTCAATGTAGTCCTCAATTTAGAATACCCTCAATATAATTATGATTTCATAGTATGGAAGCGTTAGACTTGATATACATTGTATATCTTTTATAGACACTGTATATTCTTAGATCTGCATGAATACCTAACTTCTACTGGGCCGCGGGGAAAAAAATGAGAGGGCAACTATTATGGAATCTATATATAGAATAAGAATCAAATATGGTGTGTGGTGCTGAACATACGATAATTAAAAATATCTAGAGTTTTGGAGTTCTACAGGTACATACATTATTATTCTTAAAGTAGGGGTGTGATGTATAGATCAGGCCATATGCCATGGCAATCTACTAAACAATAACTTTGATCCTTGTAAACAATAAATTAACAACGATGTTACTCCAAGGTCAAAGTGGCTATAGCATGAGGCCTGAAATAAATAGTCACATATCCAAGAATCACGAAACCACAGTCCACAATGAGTTAACAACCAGCCAGAACAGCTAACTATACTGAGTACTTCGTAAACAAGAGTGGATAGGCCACGAATCCACCGAGAAAGCCGGAGAGAATGATGGGGATAAACTCCCATTACCCCTGAGTCAATCTGATTTAAATATCTGACTAGTTATCAACTTCGCATTTCCTCCGGAGCATATACGAAGTATGTCCTTGGTAGATAAACTGTGTACTGTATCTGTCTGTCTGCTCTGTTCCTAGACATGGAGCGACGGATGCCTAATCCCACATTATGTATGTACACAGTATGTACTATCCACAGAACCGTGATGTAATGTTTCCTGTGGGGAAAGAAATTACTACACACACTGAACATGTTTTGTTCAGAGACAAGATGCAATGTAGTGGGGACCGAAGGAGGCAGTGCTGCTTAGTTCTTCCAGTGAGATTGAATGAGCTGGTTCAGCGGTAGGGGTAGGGAGGGGCAATGACTTTGTTTGATGCCTACGGAGTATCCTCGGTTGAATGCACGTATTTCTCTATACTCTGTGGATACTTATGGGGAAGATTAGAGTCAGAAGTAGGGATAGGGTTCATTGGGTTGGTTTGATACAGAGTAGAAGTACAAAGTATATCAATTTAATTTCTATAGTGGTCTCGTGTTGTCTAGACGCGGTGACGTCACTTTCTACTACAGTCAGATAATGATTTGGATTCAAATGTTCCTGAATAAGAATCATGGACCAACTAGCTGCGGAGTACATTCCTTAGTAGTGCTTCCTTAGTAGTCACTTTCGGAAATGTTCACTGGTAGATGCAATGGCCAAGCAGATCAGTCAACACTTGCTCAGGATAAAGCAATGGAAGGATTAATTCCCAGCAGTCTAGCAGTATTAGAAAATACGAGGAGATTATCAGATACGAGATAGATATTAAAAATACGCAGACGTAAACTGGGGTTACAGGAATATGTTAGCTTACATACCCAGGTACGGTACCTCAAGGCTGGTACTAGACTAGACTGGGATTACGGATAACGGAAGCGATTCCACCCATGGGTCTTGGATGCCCCAGTTGCGTAAGAGCAGTTTGCACAGCCCCCGTGCCGGAGCTAAGGAGAGACGCTAGACTTTATCCTACCTTACCCCCCTCCTTTCCCATCCAGTAGGATGGTAAGAGTGACATCCCTACTGGACCAGACTAGGCTGTGAAAAAGGAAAAAGATCCTAACCGCCCGCCTGCATTAGTAATCGGACCCAGGAACTGTGCCAGAAATGTGAAGTTTGTTTTTTCCGATCTTCCACACTGCAGATCCCCGGTTGGTTCTGCCGTTTTATTGGTCTAGGCCTTGCTAGGGTGGGGCTGCCTTAAAACAGCCTCATGGGGACGTGGGGTTAAGCCCTGAATCCTGACAGGTTCTAGCGCGTAGGACATGGTGATAGTGGAGTCCGAAGAACAGCCTGAACTCCGTCCACAGGATGTCCGAGACTCGTAGCTGATTGGGTGTGGTCGGGCGAGAAAAGTGCCTTCCAAGTCAGTTGTCTGAAGTACGGAATATACTCTGTAGGTACCACAATAGTATTCTTAGTCTCGATATAATCGACATCTAGGGTCTTGTGAAGTGTCGTAGTTTCAAGGCCAGCCTGAAACATCAAGATCGGTGTCTATCTATGTTGCCGCATTGTTTAGATAGCCAGAGTCTCCGGCATCTTTATATACAGATATATCGGTCTGAGACTTCTCCTTGTCTGCTGTTCCCAGCTGGACATTCCCAGACTTATGGTGTCGAACAAACAATCTCCCCATCTGCCGATTCTGCCAGTTTGTTCGGTAATCCCACAGGCCCACTACCACTTCAACCAATTAAAAATCCAATCCAATCTTCCGCTGCCGTTGAGTTCGAGAGATTCCATCAGGGGAATGAAATGAAATGAGCCGGCGATGATCGTAATACCACGTGCCTATGTGGATGTATGTCTCTCATGCCCCATAAATGTGCCCAGAATGGCCTTCCTTCAGCTTCCGAGAGTACTCGAGCGATCGCTCGTAGAAGCTATAACCATCGGACTAATCTGTACCGTAAGTTATCATCGTCTTCACAGGCTTCCCCTTCCAATGGTCGGTTCATCGACGCTATTGGGCCTCATGCCAGGAGGCAACCGAATCCCCAGTGCGGCTGGTGGCAATCGTCCGGGTCCATTTCCAGTGTTGACTCGATCAAAGATGTCGACTCTAGCTCTAGCGAGGCCGAGGGCAGGGACCATCCATTCGCTGCAGCTACATTGCATGCCCTGCCACGCAAACTTCCCGATGTTGAACCCACACGAGGAGTTTGGGCATGTCAAGCGCCCAGACAATGGTGCGTCATCAGTGGGGGACGCATACGAGGACTCCGAAGAGTCAGGGGTACTGTTAGGAAAGAGACACGGGCGCATCCATGTCAGCGGGTGCAGAAAGATATGGGCACAGTCGGTTGGTCCTTTCGCGCCTTTCTGCGGAACATGCGGGATAATAAAGGGTGTTGTCGCGAGTGTTCGTCTATTCAAGCCATTGTCAGCATTTTGAGCTAGCCCGACATTTGCGGAGGAAGGGATATATGCCTCCCAGGAAGACTTGAGACTGACCGACACTTCCGACATTTAATCTCTGTTGTTCTGTCGCTAGGCTCTGGAGGCTTATGAGGCTGTTCATCTTCGAAAAGTACGGATTTCATTTCAGGTGCCCGTCCACATGCTACGCTCTCCTCAACTTCGCGACGGTAAAGCCAACGATTGTAGAAAGGATGACCGGTGACATCATCAGGGCATCCCATCTGATGGTAAACAGAAAGCTGTTCCATGAACCCATCGTTTGGTTCGCAGAGGGGTCGGCTCTCGCGAATTACCGCAAGGGCCGACTGCGGTGTTAATACATTGGGTTGTCGGTGGAGCATATAGGCAATGCAGACGGTTGCAGAGCGGGACTTCCCCATTGCACTGTCCAGTGTCAGTAAGGCAATAATTAGTGTAAAGTCTCATTTATATGATCCATGTCGAAGCCCTGGGTAGATACATATAACATATAGCCAAGGCAAGGAAATCATGTTATATTCACGTGATAGGATATGTAGAAGCTGTAGTAGATGAGAAATGCAATTTTTTTTTTTTTTTTTTAATTAAAAAAAAAAAGAAATAAATTTTCAAGAAAAAAGAAAAGTTTCAATGTATGAGCTTTGTCTTTCTCTGAACAATACAACAGGGGATATCTGGACGGGATATAGAAGAAGAGAAGTCAACTAACCAATGGACAAGCACGCTTCCGCCAGCATCCAGGCCCGACTGGATGAACCTTACGGCAGATGGAAAATGTTCCAGCAGATTCTCATCGTCGACATCATCCACTTCAATCTTATGATGTTGGAAAGGTGCAAAAGTATCATCCTCTTGGTTTAGCCGTAACACTGAAAGAATGTGTGTAATGTTTGCTCTACTCAAAGCGGCTTTGTTCTTGAGTGAGAAAATGCTGTAGTTAAAGTTGGTCCGTCAGCATGCACTCCATGAAGTTGTTCTTTACCTCCCTTCTATCCCTTGCGTCGCCTCCCCTCCGCGTTTACATGATTATGGCATGGTATGATACAAAGACTAGAAAGAGACCAACCCTCCAATATAGATATTGTGGCCAGGAATCAGATCCATGGCCATTTAGACAGAGCTAATAGTCTATCCAACAAGTGAAAATAGAAATATAAATGTCGACAGCGATCCTAGATTATGTTATGGGAAGGCATATGACAATAAAGAATGTCGATGATGATCCCCAAGGCTGGTTTTGCTAGATGCAAGGTTGGATGATATTGAGCCAAGAAATCAGCATTTGTCATGATTGGCTGGCACTATGTGGCCACATAAAGCACGGAACGAAAAAGGTTAGCGTTTAGGGCAAGGGCAAATTCAGGCCTAACTTCTAAGGCATGAATGATCGGAGACCCCCACAAACTCTAGTCTAGCGCTGACTACGGAGGATTGCAAGTAATTAGTATGTTGATGAGAAGAGCTACCCCTCTCATCCTACGGCATACTGTGGTATAACCCGGTAACTTCGTTAAGTCGTTCCACTTTTTACACTAACATTCTGCCGTTTTTATGATTATTTAATCAAAACCAGACACCTAGAAATATGCAGCGAAAGCAGGCATAAAATTAGTGTTTTGTATAGCAACCTTGCACATCAACCACTGCCTGGCAACATACCTGTGTAAAATTGACTAAATACCGAGGAAATTCTTCTGGTAAAGTATCCCAAGCAGGTCGTATGAGCTGACGTAGCCTATCATACGTAAACTGACTGTCTGTAGAGTAGTGCCTTTCAAGGCAGGCGGTACTAAATAGGAGCGCTCACCGCCCAGTCAGGTTTTAGTGTAAAAAGTGGAACGACTTAACGAAGTTACCGGGTTATACAGTATATCTAATTAAACTACCGTCTCAGTGTTGTTAGTGTTGCGTTATCCTCGATTTACTCATTCGAAGCCAGCGAATTAGTGCGCTGAGTGCTTGTTTCCTTGCTTGGACAGACCCATGGAGCCTGCATTGGAATGTAAGCCAACGCTTCACCATGTTGAAATATCTTTGGAAGAGCTCCTAGTCGACAGGGTCTAGAAGGCTACGTCAGTCTGGTTGTGGTAAGCAAGCAAGCTTATTCCGTCAGTACTGTGCATAATGGAGAATCCTTAATCTGGAAGATGCAGCCTATACTCTGTTTTGTTGGTTTATATTATTTACTGTGTTTCTGTCGCAGGGTCCAACAAGTGCGAAAGGATGCTTATAATAGGGGATATCTTGTCATATTCATCATCAGCGCATACGCAAAATGGAGAATGAAACCAATAACCTCAATTCCTTCAGAGGATGATTGGCGTTGGGTTGGCGCCAAGGTTTCAAAGACTGGTTTCAGATAGGCATTGCTCCATTCGTAGGTACCTGGTACGAAGGCCATGTCGATCGATGGTCCACATAAGTATAGACAATCATGAGTCTGTGCGACTCCCTCGGTACAGAGTACGGAGTACAGTCCGTCTATCTATACATACAAGTCTACGAAGTACGGAGTACTGCCAACCCTTTGGCGCTGGCGCCGTATTCACAGAACAAGGGAGATGACTATCTCTTTTATAAACCGAGCCACGAGTCAACTGTAGGTAGTATCTGGACCCAATGCTTGGTTTATAGGTCATAAACTTAGTGGTAATTTAATGTAACTACCAAGGCGCAATGGTTTCGAGCCAAGAAGTACCACAGCTATTTGGCTTGGTACATAGTGCTTGATTTCCCTCAATCAGACATGAAAGGAATGAATAAAAGATCACCTGGTTGAACTAGCATCTGCAGAAGCACCGTATGTTAAGTACATACTTGGCAGTATTGTACGTACTCTGACCATGGATGTAATATTATTACTCCCACAATACGGAGTCCCTGTGCACGAGACTTAGTCTGCAGCCTTTTAGGGCTTAAGGCTGATGGCATTTCTTACAGACTACGGAGCATACATAGTCTAACCTTGTTTGTTCAACTGCCTTGTCTTGCCTCGCCCACTGCCTGTCCTTGTGCTCCCATATACATGTATTCTGTGTATAAGACAGGGAACTTCGCCATCCAATCATACTAGTTGTCTGACTTGCACTGCAGAGGCAAATTCCGTCTCGATGGCTATTTTTATATTATCCATTGGCTCAAAGTTTCGGCTATTGTTCCTAGTCCTTCTGTATACTGGGCTGCTAGGTCTCTTAATCGTTTAAAAAAAGAAACAGCATCAGTTTGAAAATACAGCTCCGTACTTCAAACGGTGGCGGTTCCCTTGTCCTATAATAAGACAATGGCAAAGTAAAGCAGTTCTCGCCATACAAGTGGGAGACTAAATAAGATGCAAATGCAATCCGATGGATTGCCACCTGTGGATGCATGCGTGCGTGTCCTGCTCGTGTGGATTCGTAATTATAAAGACACATGATTAATTGGCTTTTAATAATCCGGAATAATTGGTATCAAGGGAGACTAAACTGGGTAATAAATCTGACTGCCATTGTCATAAACAAACCACTACTATTAAAAACTAGGTGGTAGCGAAGAACAATTAAGTTCGGATATACAAAGTATTATGGATAGTTTATTGTAAGGGCATAAAGGGGTCCTACTTCTTGGAGATTCATTTGACTGCCTCTATTCAATATTTAAAGCTATTTTGCTTACTATTTGCACGTTCTATCCGAACCGATAAGACAAATGTCTTCCTCGGCTCTATTTAATGTACAATTTCCATGGTACTTCTCGAGAGGGAGGAGTAGGCAGATCAGGGGAGAAAAAAGGTGTACGACGTACAGACTCCAGAGTGGTCTGTAATGGAGCTTCGAAAAAAAAAAAAAAAAAAAAAAGCTTTCTCCGGAGCTAAATTTCTGGGTTCTTATTTCTGGCCTCTAAAGACATGGATAACTTGTATGGAAATTTAGGCCCTCTTCTCACCGCAGCGCGCACTACCTACGGGTATACCGAAAAGGATATTATAGGAACATGATTACACTATATTCTCTATAATGATTCTTATTTTATTTTTATTTTCTTTAACTTTCGCCTTTGGCCCTCTTAATTTCTTTTTTATTTTTTACATTCTCACTGTATCAGAATATTGTCCGTTCGTATTCAGGGAGTTCCTGGGATTGCAAGGTGCGACGGACAATGCCAAAAATGACAGCAGTGTGGCAGTGCATGTATCTAAGGACCTAGTGGATCCCACTAGACCAACATTCGCTGCGGGTCAAGCTCGACAAGGCCACTGATTGTTGGTTGCCGCCCGCACAATTCGAGGTGGGGCCACTGTGCATGTTGTCTGGTTGCATGTACTCGGTACGGACGACTACGGAGCGTCTTCTGGGTAAAAGCACTTCTGTTCTGGACAATAAATCCCTGTGTGAAATTGTTTTGCTCCCTTCTCGGATCCCAGATGCAATAGCGCTGACGTGTATTTGCAAAGTTGACAGTTTGGTACGGAAATGAAAGGAAAGGGAAAGCATTGGACAAGAATAGAATGAAGTAAAATTGCTTGCAGAGGCCAATGCCTAGTAATATATGTGAGAAGCAACTAGCAGTTTCAAACTCTTTGAACGGAACATAATGATACTTTACGTAGTAGACATCAGAACTGGTTATCTCAAGATGACTCGACCCGCACTTGACGGTGTACTCCGTAGGAACAGATACGTTTTGTTGTCCTGTATTTATTTACTTCTCGTAGGTAGCACTTGGGGTCAGCAAGTCTTGTTTGAGAAATATGCTCCGGTAGTGAACATTTACTTAACTACCAACCGAGACCAACCGAGGGGCAAATTCGTGACGACGTCGATTATTAGGCATTATTAGGCATTGTCGACGTTGTCAGTATTATTGTTAGATGAAGGCAAGGCTGTTGTAGAAACCTTGATTGAGTACCCCATATCCATAATCCAATAGCGTGATGGGGTTGAATGGAGCATGGACAGTGGGAGTCGCATTATTGTCAGTGGTATTCCCAGTAATCTAGCAGGCTCAGCACTGCCTCATTCCAAACTACCCGTCTCCAGTCGTAGCCTTCAAATGGCAAGACTAAACCGGCTAGTCTGGGTAATGCACACCGCTCCATAATTGGCTTGAGTGTGGGAGAATACAATCAATTTCATACTAATTTGACCCAAATAAGAGGATAAAGATAATGGACACCTCAACTGTTAGAGCAGTTATAAAATGCTCTGCTTGAGTGTCCAGGTGATGGCAGAAATAAGAAGGTAAACATACCATGTAGGAACGCCCTAAGAGGACTGCGGATCTTTATGATTTGGATGTATGACTGAGTGGCCTTGGCATGGATGCTGATAGGTATACTTTTGGAACAACACCCAACCCACCCATCTTTTTCGGTTGCCACAAAAAGTCTCCTAGATCAATAATTGCCTTGGCGATCCATCCCCTGGGAGTGTGCTATGGCTGCAACTTCAATATCCTCTTCGAGAAGCAGTGAAGTAAGGCAAGAATAGATCGGTAGATGTGTATTACTAGATATGGAAGGTTATCTCGAGCTTATTTCTAACATCCTCTCTGTATATCCCATAGAAATTGTATGGCTTACTAGGTATTCTGTACTAACGTTTAGTACTGCGTAGTTCTTGGTCGATATCCTTTAAGAGATTTGGGTGATCTGTTTGAAGATAATATGGGTAGTACTGGGTATATCGGATAATCAGTAGTTAAAATAGAACATAGATGTCTTAAACTGACACCTTCACTACCTGTTGAAATGATTTCTGAGTAGGCTTGGGGCATTGTTATGTTTTACAAGGATCTTGTTTCCAAAATTTCACTCCATTGTATGTTCCGTATGTATGCGGTAAGTTTACACACATTTCCAGCAAGAATCTGACAAGCGACAATCTTTCGAAGTTTAAATAGTACGTAAGGCAAGGCAAAAGGTGAAGGGGCAAAAAAAAAAGATAAAAATTAAGGGAAGAGGAAGAAAAAGAAAGGAACGAGGGCACCCCTGGGAATACTTCTGCCCTGCCCTTTCCATCCATCGGATCATTTCGTTAGGCTTCCACTTACAAATTTCTTTGCATTTTATATTTTTTTGGTCGCCTTATTACCGTGGTGACATTTCAGTCAAGGGACTTTATTCTAGTTGGCTACTCTAACTGGGAAAGGTGTCCACCCAAACCAAACTGCAGCTTGAAGCGCACTCAGATACCAGTGCTGTATCATCTTGAATGTTATTATTCTATGGGTTCCTAGCAAGATTTATCCTTCCATCCTTTTTTCCATACATTCAAGTTGTCCGAGGAGATATAACATTTATTTTTTCTTTTTTTTTTTTTGGTCTACAACTGATACGAAAAAAAATAAAGAATAAAAAATAAAAATAAAATAAACGGGATCGTCTCAATCAGACCAAAGAAGGGAACCTCTTCTTCCAAATTACAGTCATTCCTTTCCCCAGTCTTGGGAGGGCCAATGAGACCGTCGCCTGCACCACCCTCTTTCCCATATTTCGCCTTACCTATACTGTGCCTTTTTACCTTACCTCCTGCTAAGGTACCTGACATTTAAATTTACCTTCCCGTACTGTACCGAACTGAACTGGAAGTGGTACTTGCCCCAGTGCCTTACTACAAACTGGTCCTTCCCGTCGCTTGACTCGGTCTCTACATTGCCTTCATTTTCCTCGTCTCACTCTCTCACCCTCTCCCAACTCCATTCGATCTCTGGGAGCAAAGCGCATACGACACGTGCGCTCTGTTCACTTCATTCCCTCTCCTACCGTCCTATCCTCTGCATTCTTCCTTTCCAGCTTCGGACAGAGCTGTTCTAGAAGGGAAGTGTCGCTCTAGACGAACACCCTGCACTTCTTGTCTAACGTCTGCTCTGTCGCTCCTCTTGAGGGCGCTCATTGCAACTTCTGCTTGTCCTTCGTTGTAATACCTCCGCCGTTGGATCCCCCAGCGGCTATTTAAAACACAGGTCCCCCAAACCAAGCTTTCAGCATGTTTTGTGGTCCTTGCGCTGTTCTCCGTCATTAAATTGCCGCTGTCCGGCGAATTGATGGCACACAAACTGTTTCGCAAGGTTGCGCGCGACTGTTGTAGAGAGCCATTTAGGTAGTGAATACGTGGTTCGACCTACTGGGAATTATTCTCAAAAGAATATTTCGAAATTTGGGCGAGGTACGTTGCTTTCAGCCCTATCTATCCGCCATCAAACTTGCCTGACTCCTGTTCCACTGCCTGTTAGACCCAAGACTATCCCACCAAGAGTCACTTTTACTTCCTGCGACAAGGTGGTCTTTCCCACCATCTCATTCTTTAATTTTTTATTCTTTCTTTCCTTAAAGCCTTTTAGGCATTTCGATTCGGGTCTTAGAAGCGGGATCTTCTATCGGTGCATCAGAGAGCCAGCAAACTAGTATTCACTTTTGGCTTACGACCGGAGGCCCTTCCGACGCTTTACCGCTTGTCAGTTTATAGAATTCTGTGTCTTGCTCCTTGGACGGTCTTTCCTTTTCATGCGAATGAGCCAGCATACTGCGAATTTGCTCTACGATGGACTTCCCGCGACTCTCGCCTCCTTCGATCAACGTGCATGATATCAGTACTCGTTTTGATTATCCCGGCTCTACCGAAAGAGCCCCGCATAGTATGCCTGGTCACTCATATTCACCCAACGGGCCCATGCCCATTCCAACTAACTCAATAGCTACGTTTGCTCCTCCGCCGTTACCTCCACCGCCACGCATCAGCGACTTAGAAAATGGATATGATGCTGGCTGGCTGCATGCTAACCCCAGAAACTTACCCGGAGCAGCTAAACTTGCGCCAATTAGTCCCAGTTCGAGTTTATTTGGGGGTCATCGTCGTCCCGAACCTGTTCCCCAAAGTGATCAAATGGCAATAGACGAATTAGATGGCAGGCAAAGTGGCTTGCCTATTTCTAGGAGTCCTGAAGCCCACATAAAAATCGAGCCACCGCCGCCTGCCGACGAAGGTTTTCGCAGCTCAGTATTGATCAACAATGCTAGTCCAATCCTGAAAGGCGAGCGGGACTTCTCACGGCGAAGTGTGAAGGACTCGTCAGATGCATATGACCAACATCTCTTATCCAAGATAGGAAAACCGCTTTCTCCACGGCAATCAATCAGCCTTGGTGCGGAGAACAAAAACTCTCTTTCGACTCTTCCCATCCCGTCCCGGAATGTTGGAAGTTTGTCCTCTCCTGGAGGCTCTGACGGCCCTACACTCGATGTCAGGTGGTCTACTGGCTCCCACTCTGGTGCTATTTCACCTGGCACCAAAATTGGCTGGAGAGATTATATTGGGTACCGAAGCCCAAGTGTTGAAAGCAGCGCCCCATCTTCAGCGGTGGATTATGATCATTCAGCCTATCTACGTGATGTATCCCGCCGCCGGGGGGGTGGAACGACACCCCAATACGAGGAGACGCTTAGTCTTCCTAGTCGATCGAATAGAGGGAGCTATGACCAGGGCGTCTTTTCGGACATTGAGGGCGACTTTTCCACGGATGAATCCTTGCCACCTCGATTATTTAATGTTCGGGAAGCAACCCCACCGTATCTGGAAGCTTCAAAACCGGGCATGAAGCGAAGGGCGTCTTCTCCTCCTCGTGAATTGATAGGTGATGATAGACATATGCTCCATATAACTACTAGTAATGGTGACCCCGCTCAACGACGAACAACTGGTCACCCATTCACAAACAATCTTTCCGTCAATGGTGGCTATCCCCCCAGCCACGGAAGCATCTCAGCTGCTTCCTCCCTTAGCCTCCGAACATCTGGGTCGTATTCATCAACAGCTCTTTCGGCCGGGGGAAGTAGTATGACAAGTATGTCAGTGTATGACCGCCCGTCGCCCGGAGGGCTTTCACCAAACTCCGATGGTGATCTATTTAGCGACAAATCAGCTCTCCACCCTAGCTCTCCTGGTGGAGCCATCAGCCCATCTGTTGCAAGAGCTGCTCAGGGCCAGAGCACATTGGAGTCCTCAGGCAACAACTCTGCGCGGAAAATGTCTTTGCAAACGAGTCTTAATGCGCCAAAGCCAGCAGGCCCCAAGATGGGCGGGCTGTATATATGTGACTGTTGTCCTAAGAAACCTAAGAAGTTTGACAACCCAGAAGAACTGCGGTAAGTATTGGTCTCTTTGGTAGGTGAATGACTTGTCTGACATTGAACATCGGAATAGAGCACATGAGATGGAGAAACAGTACTCGTGTTTATTCTGCAACAATCGGTTTAAAAATAAAAACGAAGCAGAACGTCATCAAAACTCCCTACATCTGCGGCGTCACTCCTGGTCATGTGCAGCGTTACCTGGGTATCAGGCTGCATTCCATCCTTCATCTTCTCCATCGTCTCAGACTAGTTCAGGCCCCTCCCATGATACCTGTGGCTACTGCGGTGAAGAATTTCCGAATTTTCCCCAGCCAGATTGGGAGCGTAGGTTCGAGCATCTAACTGCTGTACACAAGTTTGGAGAGTGCAACAATGCAAAGAAATTTTTCCGCGCTGATCATTTCAGGCAACACCTGAAACATAGCCATGCAGGAACGAGCGGGAAATGGACCAACATCCTAGAAAATGCTTGTATGAAGGAAGAAGCACCGCCAGAACCGAAGCACCCCGGTAACGGCGGAGGGTCGGCTTCCGTATCTACAGCCTCAGGAACTCTCACGTCAAATAAGATTAACGAGGTACTTGGGGGTTGTTGATAATTTCGCTTCTCTTCTGCCGGTATTAACTATATCTCCCCCTGCAACTTGGCAATACTCGAGTCGAGCTAAGGATTCGACAAAGTCTCGTCTGTTCCCCTGCTCACCACCACAAGTCATAGAAAAGTTGCTCTGCCCATCATTTTATTTTAAAATACCCCCGAATATGTGCATTGCATGACTCTTTGATTTGCTAATTTTCCCGTATCTATTGATCTATTTCCATGGCTAGAATTTCTGGCTCTGGGTAATCTATGCCGCAGCTCCCTCGGTTTTATCATTCGAAGTGATTGGTACAACTTTTTTTATATCCTTGCCTATGGCATGTCTCTCTTCCAAGGTTTTCATTCTCACTGTTGAGTTCGCATCCAATCAAAAGATCTGGATTCCACAACGTCCAGTCACACCATATATGCCAAGGATACGGTATACAAAAGACTCGGAGAGAATTTAAGATGACTGGAGAGAACAGTGATTGTGATGTGACACGATTTGCTTGTTTTATTGGCTTCTCAAGCTGGGTCTTGGTGATGGAAAAATTGGAGTCTCGGGGATATATCTTCAATGGGAGGTTGTTCTGGTTAGGTTGTATGCTGCACACATGGACTTTTTTTTTTTTCAATTTATTCTTGAATTTGTTGATATACCTTGATTGGTCTGCAGCTTGAACCTGTCTCCCAGTCATGCCTCTTCCCGATTCTTACCTGTGCTTAGACATGTACGATCCCTGGGGCTGGGTATGTGTACATAAAACTCTGTATATGGAAAGATATACCGATCAACGTACTGTTGCAGGGTGCATAATAAGACAAGCGGCTAGACAAAAATCGTTGAACAAACCCATGAATGAATTGATATATCGATAAAACGCCAGACCAATGCATACCTTACAAGGAATCTAAGTCGTAACTTTTCAACGACCATGTATCAAAAGGATAATAAAGGGGGACACATTAAGACACGTTTTGAAGTCAGGAAGATGAAAGTGAAGAGAGAAAAAAAAAGGGACCGCCAAATATGAAAAATGTGTCCAAGTCAATACGGACGGAAATATATGACGCCCGACTTGCTTTCGGAATCCTCCTCCCGATTTAGTTAAATTCCCTCCTCGACTAAGCCGGCCGCTTCTCTTGCGAGTCGAAGGTCTCTCCCTACGAGCCCAATGTCTTTGAAGTAGAGGTTGAATGCAGATAGAAGGTCAGCGAGAGACCTTTTCAAGGTATCCAGAACAAGATCCACGTCCTTGACTCGACGTGCCTCGGCCTGGGCATCGGGTTGGCTCGGTGGCGGGAAGGATACATCAGTCCAGTGGGCATTCATTCCACCGTTGATGAATGGCTCCAAGGCCATGATTGTTTCTGTATAGAGGCGCACGACGCCCGGCACGTCCGTCTGGACCTTGCCGTACTGGTCTTCTTGCAAACTGGCCACCAGAAGACGGGTCAGTGAGTCAACGGCATCGACGATGGAGCACACATTCGCGTGCGGAGAGTCTAGAACCACGGCCGATAGGCGACGAGCATACGCTTGTCGAAATAGTTGGCCTACCGGGGAGCGGAGAACTTGTGCGATGATCGGGTGTAGAGTTGTCGGGGTGCCGGTGGAGGATCCTGCAAGCATCTTGAGCTCACGCGACGAGGCAAGGAGTTTCTGCTTGCGTTCCGGGCTCAGCATTGCAGACGACGCACGATCGAAGACATCGCGAGCGCGGGCACGGGCGGTTGGTGTCCAGTCCGGGGATTGTCCGTACAACTTAGCTGCTGAACTGAAGGCATCTCCAAAATTGTGGGGGCCCGAGGAAGAGGGAGCGAAAATATTTTCCTCTTTGGGCGGATCAGTCAGCCGCGGCAGGGTTTGAAGCACGGGCTGCTGGGCCTGTTCAGTTTGTGGTGGTTTTGAACCCGGCGGATTCCTGTTCTCTTCGATCCGAGTTGAAATGCCTTTGATCAACTTGGTGGCAGACTGCAGGATCTGGGTCCAAGCCGGGCCACCTTCGCGGTCAATGTCGTTGAAAATCGCCTTGCGTCGGTCAGGGAATTGCTGGCTGATGAAAGATAACTCCCAGAATGCAAAAGCCCGGACGGTCTCCTTTTTTGCATTTAGACCGGTCAACAGGCTACCGTTGGGGTCCTTGGCCTCCTCTGTCAATGGCTGGCCCCGTTTGAGTGGCTCCTTGCTGAGAAATACCGAGAAGAGAAGGTTAGCTGTCTGCCAGCAGATTACCAGCAGTCCTCCCGAAAATAGAGGTCGCAAAAGAAGTCCCACGCTATATGGTGGGATATATCCCGGGGGGTCCGCGGCAGATCGAGGAAAATCCCAGAACAATTTAGCGAAGTACAAGGTGAAGCTCCATGCCGGACGCCTCAGGAGGAACGCGTACGCGACTGGGGAGATAGCTGTGACCATGGCACTTCTTGTGAACCCATCTCGAATCAACTGAGGTACGGCGAGCTGGATCCGCTTGGAAACCGTCTCGACGGGATGTGTCCTTTGGTCAGCAGCGCCGGTGACCCGTTTAGCAACAGGGATGGGAACGCGATCGTAATCGTAGTAGAGATGGGCCACCGACTGTACAACCGCTAGGAGTAGATGACTGGTATAAAGGTATATCGGCCGTTCGTTCAAGCTTGGTCGTTCGTGGGGCCTAATTTCACATCGTTCAGAAGGAGTTCAAGTGTTCAGCAAGAGTAGCCACCGCGCAGCAACGTACCTGGCTTGCTTTACCCATTCCAATTGTGCACCCGTAGGGGATGACCATTTAAAGATCTCGCTGAACCACCAGGCAGAGAATAGATACCATCCAAAAGTCTGGAGAATATCCAGCGGGACAAGATATTTCAGAGTGGCAATCGGGGAGGAGGTTGTTCTTGACCCAATATGCATTTGACCGACACGCAGGACAAAAATGGAGAGGCTGGAAATAAAGAGAAGGACGGTACGAATGCCACATGCTCCAACTGGAAACCAAGCCCATAAAACTGAAGTGTCAAGAGAATCAGCAGCCATCTTGGACTCGTCCATTGGGAGGTAGCATCCTATATGGACGACAATTCTGCTATTGCGGCATGGTGCCACTTACAGGATGACTTATCACCTATCAAGAAGGATGTTATGTAGCAGACAAGCAGCGCCAACGCCGAGGCATGGACGAATCTTCGGTGGAGCGCGGAGGTTAGAATGCGCCTATATGGGCGCGGTCGGGGGGCGGCCATGATGCAAATTGGGGGAGGCACTGCAGAATTCTCTAGATTAGAGCAGGGACCAAAACTTCATAGCATGATCAACTGAAGAACGTGCTCCAGCTTCCAATATTTCGCCGAAAAATGGAGAAAGAGCGAGGCAGGAGGAGAAGTGTTCATCAGCTGAAAGGGAGACGAAGTTGGCATGCGACGATAAAATGAAGCTTTTTGGAGCAAAGCATCAAAACACACTAGCCACATCCACACCGCCCCTCAGGTGAAGGTCTGCACCAGCCACAGATTGCATCATGTGATAGCGGCCTGTAATTGCGGGCATCAATCCCAGGCAACGCTCTGATGTTGACCTTCCACTCCTCAGTCTCTCTCTCGATCTCTTATCCATCTTTGCACCGCCGCATGCACTATGTCTTTCGACCGCCTGAGCTCTCTAGAGGCCCAGCCTTCTGTAAGCCGATCTGAAGATCCGCAATATAGCGATGACCCCGAGTTCGACCGTCTCACCGAAAGCCTCTCCAACAAGCTGTTCGGTCTAACGTCTAGCATCACCCGGTTGTCGGATCAGATCGCTCTTCTAGGGACAAGGCGAGATACTGAGCGGGTTCGCGAGCGAGTGCATAACCTCCTGGAGCAAGCGCGCGGGGGATTTAAGGAGGTGGGAGAGGGGATTAAGAAAGTTCAAACATGGCAGGACGTAAATGTACGTGAGGCCGAATGTCGTCCTGATCTGCGCAGTATTATTGACACCGAATTTCCAGCCCTCCCAGAAGTGGACACAGCAGAAGCTGTCCTCCGAGTTCAAAGCTACTCTGGAGGAGTTCCAAACCGTGCAGCGTCGTGCTCTGGAGAAACAGCGAGCCTCGGCAGTAGCTGCGCGTGCCGCCGTGGAAGAGGGTGAGCTCCCTTCGGCAGAAGTAGGTACGGAGCAACAACAGCAAATACAACAACTGGAACAACAACCTCGGCTTGCGAATCAAGATGAAGTGGATTTCCAGGAATCGCTGATTATCGAACGCGAGGCGGAGATTCGCAATATTGAGCAAAGCGTAGGCGAACTCAATGAGCTCTTCCGTGACGTCGCTCATATCGTTCACGAGCAAGGAGGACAGCTGGACATCATCAGCGAGAATGTCGAGCGAGTCACTACTGACACTCGCGGCGCCAATGTTGAACTACGTGGGGCAAGCCGGCATCAGAAGAACGCACGGAACAAGGCTTGTTGTTTGCTTGTCATTCTTGCAGTCATCCTTCTGATTATCGTGCTGGCTGCCACTCTCGGATAAAATGGGTTGTCTATGCTTAGGTCCCTGGTGGCCTTCGTACCACATCGGTGATGCCTTTCAATATGTTCGTCTTCTCTTCATGATATCCTCCGATGTACGGTTATGTGTCTCTATGCTTTGACTTTCTCCCCGTCTTTTTGTTTTGTCTTATTTCGGCTCTCATGGCCGACGGCGTATATGGAGTAATGGGAGGTGCTATCTGCATCGTCGTCCTTTGATCGTCTTCTTCGCTCCTTCTAGAGATGAATATCGTACATAGCTGCTTTGTTATACAATAATTATACATCAAGGTCATTGCCTAAACCGGAATCCCAACTCCTGTTTGGCCTTTATATGTGCACGGTGGAAAGATATGTGGATCGCAATGGGGGAATGGCCTTTACAGGCCCGCGAATCGGCTAAACCTCATTCTACAGCCTTCCCAGCTATTCAATTTCGGCCGTACGTCCAGGTAGAAGCTCAGCTTGCCTGGTCCAGCGTTGGCGGCCAGTCCGCCCGAGGACCTGTTTCCACCGGACGTCTTCCCTTGGTAGAAATCAATCACGTACTCGATCCTCTCCCCGCCACAACGCTCCACCACCCAATCGTGTCGGTCAAAAGGCAATTGATACCCCATGAGACTATTCATACGGGCCCGCGGACTCACAAACTGCGACTCAGTCCCCAACCCACGGAAAGAATACAGCCGTGGGCCTCCACATTTTTTACTGCCAGGATCCGAGCGGGGGGCCTGTTTCTCCCATTCTAGAATCTGCTGCCACGCGCGTTCATTGACAGCATTGTGGATGGGAATGATGGATGCCACGGAAGTCGCCAACTCGGAGGCGGAGCTAGTGGATCCGGGGGTATTCCCCTTGCGCATGAGAGCCTCGAAGAACTGGCGTTCTGACGGGTAGATCCAGTTCCCTGTTTTTTGATCATGACCCGTTTCGGATTCTGCATTGGACGGAGTTCCATGCGACGCAGCGGACGCGGCGTATGGCGACAGAGCTGGACTCGGGACCTCGGGGAATGCCTTCACGGCAGCTGGCCCGACGGCTCGGGGGATCGAACTCACTTCACGATCGGTGGAAAGCGGACGATGTAACTTTTCCTTGGGTTTGTCATTGTCCGGAGGCATTGGATGAGGAACATCGCCTTCGGCCCTATGTTGTTGCAGCCACAGTTCGCGGGATTTATGATCCACCGGACATGTTGCAGGAGCAGAGGATTCTGGAGGAGAGGACGACGGAGTACTTGCACTGGCTCCCATTGTGGGAAGAGACTTTTGGAAATGATTAATTTGCGACGCAACTTGACGCGACAAAATGAGAGCAGAGGATGAGTAATAGTTATGCTGTCACGGGGAGAATTTCGCCTTCACCGCCTTGGCCCCTAATGGATTTCCCGAGTGGGTAATTGGTATTTATTCATCGTTCATCCATCCCATCGGTATTGAATTGCATCCTCCCTCAGTATTCTCTAACCACACCACTCGCTTCTTTCTTGTTGTCTGCAGGTGGTTCCATCGCAATAATGACTTCCTCGCAAGATAACAAGGTCTTTCGCGCCACCACGACGGCTCCCGTCAATATTGCCGTGATCAAGTCTGTGACCCCTCCTGACCCCTCCTTTGTGTACTGGTCGAGGAGACATCCATCGGTGCTAATTAGAGCCTGTATAGATATTGGGGGAAAAGAGATTCCACCCTGAATCTGCCCACGAATTCGTCGCTGTCCGTTACCCTGTCTCAGCGCTCTCTCCGCACTTTGACCACTGCCTCCTGCTCCGCCAAGTACCCCGCTGTGGATGAGCTTACTCTTAATGGGAAGCCTCAGGACATCCAGTCTTCCAAGCGCACCCTTGCCTGTCTCTCCAACCTGCGTTCGCTCCGTCAGGCTGTAGAAGCGGCAGATTCCTCGTTACCGAAGCTTTCTTCTCTTCCCCTGCGAATTGTGTCGGAAAACAACTTCCCCACCGCGGCGGGTCTTGCCAGCTCCGCCGCCGGCTTTGCAGCCCTTGTTCGTGCCATTGCAGATCTCTACCAGCTTCCCCAGTCCCCGCGTGACCTGAGCCGTATTGCTCGCCAGGGATCCGGCTCTGCATGTCGGTCACTGATGGGCGGGTATGTGGCTTGGCGCGCTGGCAGTCTGACAGATGGAAGCGATAGTCTGGCGGAGGAGGTTGCTCCCGCATCACACTGGCCTGAAATGCGCGCAGCCATCTTGGTTGTTAGCGCGGAAAAGAAAGACGTCCCTAGCACCGAAGGCATGCAAACCACTGTGGCTACGTCAACCCTCTTTGCTACCCGGGCGGCTTCCATTGTCCCCGAACGGATGGCTGCCATTGAAACCGCAATTCAAAACCGCGATTTCCCCGCCTTCGCGGAGATCACTATGCAAGATTCCAATGGGTTCCATGCTACCTGCCTGGACTCTTGGCCCCCGATATTCTACATGAACGATGTCTCTCGTAGCGCCGTTAGACTTGTGCATGGTATCAACCGTGCTGCTGGCCGTACGGTTTGTGCCTACACTTTCGATGCCGGTCCGAACGCGGTGATTTACTACCTAGAAAAGGACACAGAGCTCGTTGCGGGCACCATCAAGGCTATCTTAGGTGCAAGTGCCGATGGCTGGGACGGACCTTTCTATGAACCACTGAAAAACATCACCGACCCTGGTGTCGCCCTGGACCAGCTTGATTCCAGAACTGTGGATGTGCTCAGAGAGGGAGTCGGCCGCGTCATCTTGACCGGGGTTGGGGAGGGCCCGGTCAGCGTGAATAAACATCTGATTAATGAAACCGGTGATATCATCTCTCTGTGAGATAGCGCACACCTAGGAGACACGATTATATCGATCATGTTGTGATTGGATTCCTTCTCATCTGTGACTCGAGCTTCGTTGCATAGGGGATTCACATACGATAAGATACTCATCCCTTGCATTCGTCTTATGGTTGGATGAGTTGTCACAGCACAATTGTAGGCATGGTACGAGACGCGGAACACATATTTCTACACGAACAGTCTCGACGATTTATCATATTTCCTTTAGCTTGGTATACTCTAATTTTTGTCTATATGAAGAAAGTATACTATTTATAACTCCAAGTTTATCACGGCCAGATGATCCAGAAAAAATATAATGATGATGAATGAAAGCAATACATGATGACTCCCAGACTTTTTAGATGCCTAACTTTTCTATGACAGGCTTGTAGATCCAAAAACATTTAGACCTAGCAACACGACACCTCTCCTGAATCTAACAAGCTCAGTTCAGCAGTGCTGATTGCTTCAACTTTTTGACCACAGGCATTTGGACACTTAGAGACGCAAAGCTGGTCCCAGACACCAGGTGGACAAAGTCTGCTCCCTGGTTCCCGGCCTCGGGGTCTTCATTCAGTTGTCCACGTCCGTCCTCGGCCACAGAATTAATCACTTCGTCTCGACTTTCAGTACACAGACTCAGCACCTCCTGCATTGTCTTCTCGATCACGGCGGCCCGTTCCCGCATACCCCGTCGGAGGAGCGCATCCACAAGGGTCTCGACCTCCGGTACGGTCGAATTCGCCCGCTCTATCAGTCGTCGCACGCTATTCACCAGATACTCCTCCTCGTACACGGTGCCTTTCTTGCCGCTGGCACGCTTCCGCTCCTCCTTCCGTCTGTTCTTCGCTGACATCCTCGTGGAGCTGGTCAGACCCGTTTTGCCACTCTGTCCCGTGTATCGGGTGAATATACTGCGCCCAGCAAGGGTGGATGCGTTCGTTGGAGCGAGAGAAACGTTATCCGGAATATCTCCCTCCATGTCCCCTGTGGACGGGTCGCCTCCGAAATACGCCAGTGGGTCGGTGGCGCGACGGACGCGCAGCTCCCGGATCCGCGGCACTTGAGCATTCAGTTGCGATCGGAAGTCGGCAAGGAGATCCGTCATGGATCCCATGGCGTCGGCCAGTCCGGTGTCCACCACCTCCGGAATGAGATCCTGCTTGTCGTTCAGGGCGAGGAGCCGGGTAGCATCCGCGAATCGGGAGCCACGGCAGAGGAGTCGAGCTGCGGCTGGGACGTCACGCAAGTGCTCGGCGTGAATATGCGCTGCAGAGACGTAATCACGGCTCTCTTCCGTCAGGCTTGTCGCCAATGTCTGTGCATGGATCTTCAATTCTTCCTCCGAGATGGGGACCATCATGGCGCAATATAGGGACTCCCGCCAGAGATGCGCGCGTTGGTAGCATTTGTATGCATCCGTGTAGAGGGAGAGAGACTCGTAAGCTGAACACAAGTTAGTGTCTCGTTTGATGTGACTCTTATTTGGCGTATCGATGGGGGAAACGTACCTATGCCCGCCTCCCTGTACTTGGATTGATCGTAGAGGTAGTCAGCGTAGATGTGGGTGGTATCACGCAGCTGCTCTGGCTGGTACTTGTAGGCATCAATGGCTTCCTTATACAGAACATGCTTGATGGCATATGCTCGGAGCTCATCATGGGCGTTGAGCGAATGAAGATGTTTTAGAGCTTTCGAGTGGCGCCCAAGGTAGTTGTCGATTTCAAAATATCGTCGGAGTTCAGGAAGCTGTTGCAACTTCCGTAAGAATGGAAGATACTCTCGCGGATCCTGAGCAGTGTGAGTATTGAGTCTTGCATGTCTTCATGGACTGCTTACCCTCTGCGCCTGCTGTGCTACCAACAGCGTGAGGTCAAGATCATAGAGTCCCAACGTAGTATCATACAGGCGATTGGCATCAGACAGGAAGCACATATGCTCAATTGCATCGTCCGCTTGTTCAGGAGTTTGTTCTGTCTTTAATCAGTTACAAGCCAAGCAGTCGCAATCGATTGCTAGACATACCCCTCAGGCGTGCAACCAACTGAAGTCCGGCCTCAAGAGCCGGCGGCGTCTTGCACACATGTGCTGTGATCAGGTTCTGAAGATTGGTGTCCATTCGCTTCTCCAGAGTGACCAGAAATGCGTCGCATATTTGGTTCACCTTGCTGCCTTTGCTAGCGGGGTTGACGGGAGTATCATCAGCCTTGGGTGTCTGTAGTGTATCTTTGTAGAGAGTTTGCGAGACATCCTCCTCCCTATATATGTCAATCACTCAACTCAACTTGAGGGAGAAAAAAAAGAATAAAAGAATAACAGAAAAAAGGAAAAGAAAAGAAAACTTGTACTGGGTTAAAGGAGTAGACATACCTCAATCGAGAAAGAAATTCATCAATGAAATCAATCCTCTTAACTTGGTCAATAAATAGTGGAATATTTTCCATGAATTGCTCGGGGGCATAGTCATGGAGAATGTTCATGTCCACCATCTGGCTGCGACAGCTAAGGAACGCAGACCTGTAATCTTTCCTGTCAATAAAAGCCCGGACACCTGCCAGCACCAAAGCACGAGGATATATGGTCTCGAGGTTACCCCGAGGCGCCTGCAAGATGACAGCGAACGTAGTTGGGATCACGGTCACTAACCGCCCTCCGCGTTCTATGCTTCGACATCTTTCATCTGTTTCAGGGGTATCGGGAGGAATATCCATGTCTATGATGATAGATTAGCCTTTAACCAGGCAAAGCGAACGCAAATACTCACCTTCTGCCTTAGTTAAATGAACAAATTTTAGAAGATGCTGGGAAGTGGTAAATAAGACGTGGGCTTGGGTGATGAGGAAGGATGTGCAATTTTTGGCGAGCAAAGTATTATTCGCATACAGAGCACCGGCCCTTGTCAAAGAAACCAAAACATGCTACGAACTTTTAGCAGTCATACAGAAACCGGGGAGTGGGACAGCACTACCTCGTCCTCAGCGATCTGAGCAGCCTTAGCCCAGTAAGTTTCAACTGCAGGGCTTTGAGTATAGGGAACAATGTCATGTTCACTTGGGGAAGGAGAACTGATATAAGAGTAGGAAATCGGTTGGCCGGACGTGCTAATATGTGAAAACCATACTGTTTCATGGTTAAGCGAGGGAAATATTGAAACGAGCTGCTCTGAGCCGGCTGTCTGGTGAATGACGCTGGTTATCCGTGTCTCTAATGCCGTTCTCTCAATATCAGTATTGTTGAGCCCGCTGCTTTTCATAATATACACTTCATTCTCGTTGATAATTGCGATTTGTCGGGGTCGGCTGCTAGGTGCATTGGACAACGGATAGCTTGATTCAAGTATAGGAGTAGCAATGGGTCGGGTCTTAAAGGACCATAGGAAGATAGAGAAGCTGTCTTCTGTGAGAACCGCAATCCGGGCTCCCGACTTGCTAAACGCGACATCGATAACGTTTGAGTCTAATGTCAATTCATTGTGAGCCATCGGGGGAGGGACATTCGCCAATCTCAAGGGTGTCAATTTCAAGATTTCTTGGCTGAGTTAGAGAGACTTCTATATATCCTATGGAAGGCAAAAGACTTACTCCCATCGACAACAGCAACAGCCCCGACATCCCCTGGAGCAGCCGTCGAACTGTGCGAGACATCAAAGACAAATTCCACGTCTAGTATAGACTCTGTGAAGGCCATCAGCAAAGTTTCAAATGGCTTTCAATTGCGTAGCGTACCTGAAGCGCCAGCGACAAAGCGCAATGCTTTCTCGTGGTGCCACTTGAAGGCAAAATGGTACGGATACTCGGGGCGTACCACCACAGGGACCTCTTGCTTAAGGTAATAGTGGTAGTTGCCCATTGTCCATAACTGAATCCGATCTTGGAATTGGACTGCGAGAACTGTCGAATCGACGTTCCAAACGAGATCAATCTTGGACGCCCATGACGTTCTCTCCTCCTCCGTCAAACGGAGACTAAACTCTCCATGACGCAAGCCATTTCGTTCAAAGAATACAACGTCAACTCTATCTTCGCGTTGTTGAATACCCGCAATGAGGTTGCCAAAGGGTCTCCAACTGAGAGCACCCTCCAAACCATCGACTGGCTCGCTCACGCTGTCTAGAGTCCCTTCTCTCGAGTATACCCTGATGGAACGGCGGATGCCGAACTCAATGTGGTTCACAGCCACATAAGCACCGTCTCCTCGCCAACTTATTGTAGTCCGCCCGTCATCGTTGTTGCTTAGTTTTCCCTCGTCCACCTTTTCGGGAACTGTAGGGTCACGAAGAGCCTTGGCTCTCTTGCCTTGGAATTGTGTTTCTTTTTTACCCCAGCCCACAGACACATGCTGGGACTGCTGGAGGTCCTCGGGGGTGAAGGTGATATCGGCCACATTTTCGAAGTCTCTCGTCATGTACAGGAGCGTGTTGGCCCGCGTGGTCAAAGCCAACAGCTCCTCATCCGGAGACCAGGCAGCTGCCGTGATACCAACATCGACTGAGCCCACAATCTCGATCTTGTCTTCACCGGGGAGGGGATCCTCGCGCACGATGACAATGTCCCCTCCTTCCAGCACCAAACACGCAGTGAGGTTGTCGGCGAAGTAATGTAGCGAAAGAACACGATCGCAGGGCAATTCTGGTAGCGGACAGGGCGCATCCCAGGATGCGATACATTCAAACACATCGGCCCCTACTGGGTCTGAAAAATATGCATCCTGTCGCTTTCGCCTGAGCTCAATGACTGGATTGGCCTGCGTCGGACCAAATGTACAAATCACAGCGTCGGAAGCCGTATCCCATGCCGTAGAGGTGAGAGGAATCTCATTCTGAAGCTGCACCTCGGCGAGGCGCACGTTTTTGAGGTTGCGCATTCTCTAGAGGAGTAGTAGTATTGATAGTATTGGGAGGGAATGGTTTACCCCGCCATGAATCGACAGACGCTGCACTGTAGGAAATCGATATTCGATCGCGCCCGAACAAAATCCAATTCAATTAAAATTAAACCCAATTCCCGCAATCCCAGTAGCTTCTGCTCGGTCGCAGAGGAGCTCTCAAGAAGTCGAATGCTTGGTTTGGTTCGGGGGGGAGCTGCAAACGAACCAAAGAATTTTTGATTTTCACGGACAAAATTTCAGCCAATGACTTCATCCATATTCTAATCATGACAGCACTGGCCCATCCACTTCGTCCCTACGGTCCTTCTTTCTTTCTCTACAGGTTAATATACCGAATCTAAAACACATTCCTCGGTTCCGAATTTGATCAATTCGCTAGATTTATACAAGATATCCGAACACTTCCAAACTAGGGTACATTTTCGACCATTTCCGAGCGCTCCCAGGATCCCAAGGGGCGAAGAAACACAGCACGAAAAAGCATTTATTTGGTCTTGTAGGTCTGCCAGACTGTAGTGAGAGGGCATAGTTAGACCATGGAACTGGATAGCTGGGGATTGACTCTTAGACAACAACATACCAGCAATGGCGAAGGGAGCACCGAAACCGGTGACTAGAGAACGAGAAAGTCAGCGATCCAGCACCAATGATTCTCTTGGTCCAGGTCAATTGGAGACCCCTACTCATGAATGCCCAGTATCTGAAAAAGAAGAATTTTGTCAGAGGGTTGAAGGGAATGTTGGAGCGAGGGCCCTCGGCGTAGTGGTACGGGCTGGCGAGTTGAGCACGGGTGGTGGAAAAGCCACGGCGGGCGACAAGGGAGGTGGCCATTCTGGCCCGGAGAGCAGTAGCGGCATTCATCTTGGAGAGAGAGAGTCAGAGGTAATTGGGCTGAACACAGAGCATGCATCAACGCGCACCTTGAAGAAAGCAGTAGCGTACGGATGGGGGTATCAGTCAACGGGAAGAGCAAGACGAGTGGAACGAGCAGCAGCTGGCGGTTCTCCGGATGCCGGTGCACGTGATACTCCTAAAAGGGCAAGTTTTCCCGGCGGCGAGCCTGCAATTGCCCGGCCCAATCACACGCCGCCTTCCCAAAAGAAACAGTGAAATTTATTTCGCCGGTGGAGTTTGAGGAAGTACGAAAGATCATCTCTCAACTTTTCCAGTAGCTCATCCTCCATTTGTGCCCTCAGGTGGCTGGCCCTTGGCAATGGATGAGCTCTTCGATGTTTTTGAGGATCAGCCTCAGGCGCCTAAACCCGCCGGGGGTGCGCCTAAACGGTCGAAGAAAGATAAAGGCAAGAAGCGTCAGGTCAATGGCGATGTGAAGGGGAATAGTGATGTCGCGGAGGTTAAGGAGGAGACACCTGCCGCTGATGCGTCCGCCGGGGAGGTGGTGGAAATGGAGGACGTACAGGCCCTTGCTACGAGCGACAATAACGACCAACCGGAAACCAAGCGGCCGCGACTGGACAAGGAACCAGAGCCTGTGGTGGCGGATTTGTTTGAGACTGCACAAGAGCGTGAGGTTGCGGGATCAGCAGGTCTTCAAGCAGCGAAAGACTCTGCATCGGTTGTGCTATCCCATCAGGTTCGACATCAGGTTGCGATTCCACCGAATTATCCATACGTACCCATCTCCGAACATAAACCGCCAGAGAACCCCGCCAGAGTGTGGCCATTTACCCTCGATCCATTCCAGCAGGTTTCGGTGGCATCAATCCAGAGAGAAGAAAGTGTGCTTGTTTCCGCCCACACGAGTGCCGGAAAGACCGTGGTTGCCGAATATGCTATTGCGCAAAGCTTGAAAAACAACCAGAGAGTCATCTACACCAGTCCTATCAAGGCTCTTAGCAATCAGAAGTATCGAGAATTTGCGGCGGAGTTTGGGGATGTTGGTTTGATGACCGGCGATGTTACCATCAACCCGACTGCTACTTGCCTGGTCATGACAACGGAGGTAGGTCGCCCCCACCAACACATATTTATAACCTGCCTTGTCTTAACGTGTCCGCTTGATTAGATTCTCCGCTCCATGTTGTACCGTGGCTCCGAGATTATGCGTGAAGTTGCATGGGTGGTGTTTGACGAGATTCACTACATGCGCGATGCTAGTAGGTCTTGCACAAGTGACACCGATCTAGCGGGTTGCTGACTATCGATACAGCTCGAGGAGTAGTATGGGAAGAAACTATCATTCTATTGCCAGATAAAGTTCGATATGTGTTCTTGTCTGCGACCATTCCCAACGCCATGCAATTCGCCGAATGGATCACGAAGATGCACAACCAACCTTGTCATGTTGTATATACCGACTTTAGACCGACACCACTGCAGCATTATTTCTTCCCGGCGGGTGCGGAAGGTATCCACCTTGTTGTGGACGAGAAGGGCGTGTTTCGTGAGGAGAACTTCCAAAAAGCAATGAGCAGCATCGCCGACAAGAAAGGTGACGATCCGGCGGATGCGATGGCGAAAAGGAAAGGCAAAGGGAAAGATAAAAAGCTTAATAAGGGCGGCAACAACGACAGCAACAACGACATCTACAAGATTGTGAAGATGATCATGCTGAAGAATTATAACCCGGTCATCGTCTTCAGTTTCAGTAAGCGCGAATGCGAGTCAAATGCACTGAAGATGAGCTCGCTGGCGTTTAACGACGATTCCGAGAAGGAAATGGTTACCAAGGTCTTCAACAGTGCGATTGAGATGCTGTCTGAAGAAGATCGCAACCTGGGCCAGATCCAGAATATCCTACCCCTACTTCGGAGAGGTATTGGCGTCCACCATTCCGGTCTTCTTCCCATCTTGAAAGAAACCATTGAGATTCTGTTCCAGGAGGGTCTCATCAAAGTTCTCTTCGCTACTGAGACATTTTCTATCGGCCTTAACATGCCGGCGAAAACCGTCGTCTTTACAAGCGTACGCAAATTTGATGGCTTCAGCCAGCGCTGGGTGACGCCATCCGAGTTCGTCCAAATGTCTGGTCGCGCCGGTCGGAGAGGTCTTGATGACCGTGGTATTGTTATAATGATGGTTGGCGAAGAAATGGACCCTGCCGTGGCCAAGGAGATTGTCCGCGGTGAACAGGACCGATTAAATTCAGCTTTCCATTTGGGTTACAACATGATCCTGAACCTCATGCGTGTGGAAGGCATTTCCCCTGAGTTCATGCTTGAGAGATGCTTCCACCAGTTTCAGAACACGGCCGGCGTCTCTGAGCTCGAGAAAGGTACATCCCCACCCCCCTCTCAATTTCCTTCGAATATCATATTCTAACGTAAATATAGAGCTTCACGAGCTGGAGGATAAGAGGGCCAACATGGACATTTCAGACGAAGGCACCATCCGCGAATACTACGATCTGAGAAAGCAGCTGCGCCAATTCACGGACGAGATACGGGTGGTCACCAGTCACCCTAATCATTGCCTAGCCTTCATGCAACCTGGACGCTTGCTCCACATCCAGTACAAGGACGAAGACTTCGGCTGGGGGGTGCTCGTTAATTACAAGCAACGTAGACCCCCGAGGAACGCGACTGAGGAACTCAACGACCATCAGAAATACGTTGTCGACGTTCTATTGAACATTGCTGATGGACCAGCTGTAGGCACCAAGACCTTTGATGACTTGCCTGCTGGGGTCAGGCCACCAAAGGAAGGAGAGACGTCTCGTATGGAAGTTGTCCCAGTTGTTCTCAGCTGTATCCATTCCATTTCACACGTACGGATTTTCTTGCCGAAGGATCTAAATTCCAAGGATTCGAGGAACGGGGTGAAAAAGGCCTTGGGCGAAATACAGAAACGTTTCCCAGATGGCATTGCTCTGCTAGACCCGATAGAGAACATGGGGATCAAGGATGACAGCTTCAAGAGACTGCTCCGGGTAAGGTTACCTACACGAGAGATACCATGATGCCTAGTACTAATACGCAATCCAAATACAGAAAATCGAGGTCCTCGAATCTCGCCTTCTCTCGAATCCATTACATAACTCGCCACGGCTGCCAGAGCTCTACGAACAATATTCCGAGAAGGTAGATCTAGGGTCTCAGATCAAGGCCACCAAGAAGAAGATTGCGGAAGCGATGTCAATCATGCAGCTTGACGAACTCAAATGCCGGAAACGAGTACTGCGGCGCTTTGGGTTCATTAACGAGGCGGAAGTGGTCCAGCTAAAGGCACGGGTCGCCTGTGAAATTAGCACTGGAGACGAGCTGATGCTCAGCGAGCTGCTTTTCAACGGATTTTTCAATAATCTCACCCCTGAACAGACTGCTGCCGTTTTGAGTGTCTTTGTGTTTGAGGAGAAGACAAAGGAGACCCCTGCTCTGACCCGCGATGAGCTTGCAAAACCCCTCAAGGAGATCCAAGCGCAGGCCCGGATCATCGCCAAGGTATCGCAGGAATCGAAGCTGGCGGTCAACGAGGAAGAATACGTTCAAAGCTTCCACTGGGAGTTAATGGAGGTGATTTATGAATGGGCCAATGGCAAGTCATTTGCCGACATCTGGTACGATCCCCTTTTTTTTTTTTTTTTGGCTTTGAGGTCGGATTAATTACTAATGGGTCGAAATTCAGCCGGATGACGGACGTTTACGAAGGTAGTTTGATTCGAGTCTTCCGACGATTGGAGGAGTGTCTGCGACAGATGGCACAGGCCTCCAAGGTGATGGGAAGCGAGGAATTGGAGAGTAACTTTGAGACGGCGTTGACCAAGGTCCGCAGGGACATTGTTGCTGCCCAGTCGTTGTATCTGTAGGGAGTGAGGTTGATTCGCAGTTTGGCTTGGGGTGCATTTCCTGGCGTCAGGCTTTGAAAAGAGAACTGTATTCCTTGATATTTTATTATTATTATTCTTCCTCTTCTTAAATGAGTGTACTCTCTGTAAGTGTAAGTGTAAAGACCTGCGCATCTGGCCTGCGTTGCCTGCTGCAACCGCCTGTCCACCGCTTTTCTTCTTTCTCGGACTTTCCCCACCACTCTCGTCTTTCTCCTTCATCACTTCATCCTGCCTGCATCGCTTGTCTTGCCCTTGCGTTATCTCGCTCGCTTCTCCTCCTGCCTTCCTTTTCCTCGTGCCAGATTGTGAAATTCCTAGTCATCTCTCTATCACTGTCCCTTTCTCTGCCAAACGGGTCCATTCGCTACCGTTCTGTCCACCAGCTGTTTGTGGCCATCATGAACAGCTTGGTGGCTACACCACCTGTGCCTCCTCATTTTTACGAGTACTCTCGTCTCTCTTCTCCTCGTCCAAGTAAGGACTAGCCTTTTTCCTGTGGCTATCACTTTCTCGTCCGGCAGCTATACTGACTCGCGCTCCGTAGTGTCTACTCCAACCTACACCCCTAACAGCCGCAAACGGAAAGCCGACGACGATGGCAACGATCATGATGGACGAATGTCAGCCTCTCCGACCAGCTCCCCCGCCTTCACCCCGAGATCTCTTCCCGCAGGCAGGAATTTAAAACGTTCTCGCCCAAATATCAGCGGAAGACCTCTCTCCCTCCCTCGGTTGTTGGAGACCTTGGACACGGATGCCCTCCGGGGCGTCCTCCGGTCGATGTGCGAACGTCATCCAGGACTGGTCGATGAGGTCGTTCATACGGCCCCTCGTCCCAGCGTGTCGGCTGCTCTCCAGGTGCTCCGCAACTATCAGTCCACTCTCCAGTCGGCCTTCCCCTTGGGTGGGAACCCCGAATCCGACTATGCGTACAACCGAGTTCGACAGCCCCTCGGCAACCTTTTGGATGCCCTGAGCGATTTCACGCCCCATTTTCTTCCTCCCAATGAAACCCAGGCTTCGACTTCTTTGAGCTACTTAGACGAGGCCACCGACATCATTCACGCCTTACCACGATGGAATACGCCCCAGAACAACATAGAGCGGGACTCTGCGTACGACGAAATTTGCAAGGCCTGGATTTTGGTGATCCGAGAGGCAGCCAAACGTGGTGGGGGGATACAATTACAGTACGGTGGCTGGGATCAGAAGCTAGCAAAACACAACCACAGCTGCGGTGGAAAGCTGCAGGCAGCCGTTAACGAGTTAGGATCCAGTTTAGGGTGGATGCACGGCCCAGACTCCCAGAACTTGGGGGGCCCAGGGGGCACTGAGTTTGGATCTATCCGGGATCAACTTCTCTCAGGCACCTATGGCTTGGGAACTCCCGTCAAAGTTGGGCCATGGTAAAGGGTCTTTTTCTCGACGACCGATTCTTCCCCCTGAAATTACCCAAGCGTCATGCAGAAAATTTTCTTTTAAGAGTGACTCTGTGCAACCGCTCGATCGCACATGTCCACGTATGATACGATCACGATACCAGCCGCATTAACTACTTAGACAACCGGGGTCAGCTTGGCGTTTACGATGTGCAAAGAGACGTTTTTTCAATCTTTTTGTTTATGTCATATTTCTGAAAGTCGAAGCCAAATTCTTTTCCATTCTTCGTCCTTCACATCCAATTGAAGGCCCAAGTGCTCTCTCCTACTAGCCTGTTTTATTTGCATCATGCCACTGCATTGGTCTGAAAGAACAATATCACGCCTCCATGGGCTCTTGCCACACATTCGTTGATAAATTTCTTTTTTGTTCATTTCCCATTCTCCAGCTACATTTCGGAAACTTCGAGAACGTTGTCGCTTATTACTCTGACATTATATGTCATGTATACCCCTTGTTTATTCATTCCTTTTATCCTGTTCGTTCTTTTGACCTTTCTCTTTCCCCCGCAATTATCCCGGTGTTGGCTTGGCTTCCTGTCTCTTTTATTCTTAATTTCTCTACATTCGTCTTTGATTTTCTATTGGGAGGAACCCGTTAGCATGGCGAAATATGCAATCCCGGGTCGGTTACGTGCAAGAAAAATTGAAGGATATCCCCATGATCTGCGCCAATTTTTATAAGCAGATTACGCCAAAGCTGAAACCAGCCAACTAAGAGGACCCAATGCATGAGCGTGGCTCGCCATGGCGACCCAAGCTGATGAGTCCTATTAGAGCAAGCCAAAGAAGCAGTATTACTTGGAGAACATGATGTTGTTGGTTCAATGTTGGTAGTACGGTGAAAGAATAAACGAAGAAATACAGTTTCTGTTGAATACCAAAAACTTGCTAGCATGCGTTGTGCAGTAGTTGTTCGAATATATATAGAGTTGGAGGCATTTCCTCTCTCATTCTGAATATGATGGCTTGTAGAATTGGTACTCGCTTTCGTAGGAGGGGATAATTAATAAATAAAGCTTTTGGTTGCCAGTAAAGATCAGATTAAAACGCGCTTCATCGTCCGGAATAACCAGCCTGCATCTTCCCAGCCTCCATGTTCTCCTGGTTTCTCGGTCACAGAGCTGACTTCCCACTCGCTTACCACGGACGCATCATCATCGTTGTCGGCTACCCCAGGGCTAGAAGCACTATCTTCACGCTCTTCGATAGTCAGTGCTTTTTCGGCCGCGATTTCAACATGCTTTGACGGGCGCTCGACTGGATCATTGGACCAAAACAGAGGCCAATCCTCGACCCCAAATAACGTCCATTCCACCATACGGTCGATCCAACTTCCCAATCCGAACCCTCTCTCCCGCGTCAGACGCTGCAGCTCTTGCTCATCCATATCATCCATATCATCCTCGGAATCCAAGAACTCGTCGGAACTGGACGAATAATAGCCCTCCTCATCCTGCTGAAGTATTGCCATTTCGGCTCGGACATGCTCGTCTACGAAGTCCGGCACAAATTGCCGCACATCCTCCGCGGGACTAGCTCCTGCACTGTGAGTACCGTGGGCGTTATTATTGCAGCCCCCCTGCTTCACAGCAGCAGCAGCAGCAGCAGTTGTTGTTGTGTCGAGACTAGTCATAGCAAGATCCATACGACTATTCCTGCGACTAACGTTTCGCGATCCCCGTCTGGAATGCATAGCCGGGGTCGACCGTCCAGATTTCGTCTTTCTTTTACCCACTCTGCCATGCTGCTCTAGACCTTCCACATCGTAGTCCCCTTCCGAGACGAGACTCGTTGAGCTCTCCCGTTTCGCCAGCCAGCTCTGGCCTTTTTCCTCCCGAGTAGATGAAGCCAGTGCAATCCCGGCACGGAGCATCCATTCCGTATCCAGGCGACTACCACCACCACTACTCAACTGGGGTGGCCGACGACGAGAGGACCCGGAGAGCTGTTTCGCCGCTCGCTGGTCTCGGTCCCCACCATGATGGAAGGGTCGCACCTCCGCCGCCCCTTGACCGTGCAGATTCGTGTCGCTCAGATTCATATGACTGGAGCTCTTGCTGCGCTGGTGGTGACGCACACGCGACCCGCTCCGGGACTGGGACAACACCCCTGGAGTCCCTGGGACGGAGAAGCTGGAGAGATACGAGGTCCTGGCTGTGACCTCGTGGGCGATGTAGGAGGGCTGATTGTCTTCATTGTTATTCCGTGCGGTAAAATAATCTGTCGATTCATTGTTGTTCTCCTCTTCGTCATCGTCAACGGGGAATCGAGGCGCCAATGGAGCCAGGGAAATATGATTCAGAGCTGGATAGGAACGACGGGGGAGAAAGCCGCCGGGCGACGACTGGGAGAGCTGGAAGATAACCATCAGTAAAATAAAACACGCAGCGAGAACTAGGATTTATGGGTTAAGATGATACGCACATCCATGATGGAGATGGATATACCGAAGATATAATAACCCCCTGGAGGCGAAAGCTGAACATCGCATTATGCCTGGAAGACGAGAGAGAGAGAAGAGAGAGTAGTCGGATGCTCCTCCGCTCGGTGGCATGTGAACTGCGGGCACGAACGGGGTTGGTGCCGCGTTGGAATCGCCTACTGTCTGTGCCTATTGCGTGGTGCGCTTGGCCGGCTGATTGATGTAGTGCAGGATGAAAGCATCGGTTCTATGACCTCTATGGTCTTTATGATCTACAATGCTAGACATGTCATACGTGGATTCTACGGTGGATTCGATTCTCTGCGGAAATAACCGGTTGGGGTATCTTGTCACTGTTTTTCCTTTCCTTCTACTGTAACTACGTGTTATCTAAACACCTGTCTTCGCGAGTGTTATGATTATTACTCCATGAGTTTCTTTTTATAGAATTTCGTTTTCGTTCCCCTGGCTGATCTACTCGATCTTTCCTTTGTTGACCACAAATCCCTCCAGCGCGGAGATCGCAGCCCACAGCCGATTCTCTGCCTCAGGGAATACCAATGATCGGTGGCCATAGAATACCTCGTCACTGACTTCCTCCGGGTGTCGAGGCAGGCAATGCATGAACTTCCATCCCTCGTTGGCCCCACCCCGTTTGGCTAACTCAGGGGTTATCTGGAAGCCCTCGAAGTCCCTCAACCGTTGGATCTTCTCCACTTCCTGTCCCATCGAGATCCAGGTGTCGGTCACCAAGACATCGGCTCCTTTGACGGCTTCCTCAGGGGTATTCGTTTGGGTTAGCTTTCCCGGCTTGGGGGCCGTCTTGCCCGCATCCGCAATGATCTCCAGCATTGACGCGGGGATCTCATACCCCTTGGGAGTAGCCACCGCCAGATCAATACCCATCTTGGTGGCCGCGATAGCCATGTCGAACAGAACATTGTTGGCATCGCCCACCCAGGCTATCTTCAGTCCCTCCAGACCCAGACTGGACATGTGGTGGGACTTGGGTGTGAAAGTCTCGTACATGGTCTGGAAATCCGCAATAGCCTGGAGCGGATGGAAGGAGTCGCAGAGGGCATTGATCACTGGCACGGTCGAATGTTTGGCGAGATCTGCGACGTCCGCGTGCTTGGCAACTCGAGCGACCATGCAAGATACCATGGATGAGATGACCACCGACGAGTCGTACAAGGATTCATTGACGCCCAATTGAATATCATCCTTGCCCAGAAACATCGGATGACCCCCCATTTGTACCACGGCGCCTTCGGTCGATACCCTGGTCCGGGTGCTTCGCTTGCTGAAGATCATAGCCACGGTTTTCCCGGTCAAGGACCCCAGGAGGCTCTGAGGAATTGATCCCGACTTGATCGACCGTTTATGCGAAGAGGCATTGCGAACGAGCGCAGCAAATTCCGCAGGGGAGAGATCGGCAATGGAGAGGAAATGACGAGGCGCAAATGGAGAGGTGGGAGGGACGGTCTGGGAGGAATATCGACGCACAGTATTCAGAGAGATCCTCTGGCGCAAGACGCCGGACCGAGCGGTGGCCAAAGTAAACACCATGGTGCGAGGATTGGAGAATGGAAGGAAATGAATGAATAGATGAATGGATGACTCAAGCATAAAGTGAAGCCAAATCGATGCAAACAACGCTCACCGCCTCAACCTTGGGTTCTCCACACCGCCCCTTGTCCCGATTAGGTTAGTCAATTACTGGTCGATCGTCAACCTTATTAGGTACTCAGGTACTGTGACTTGCCAACTCTACTCTGTATCTGTATAGAAGAACCGAATCATTCCATCACTCTGCGTCTCTTTGTGGGTGAAAACTTCACGGTTCTCATCCCACTCGGTTCTCTTCAATCCTTCCTGTTATCATTATCGTTGCCTCTGTCCTATCCTTTCTTCTCGACTCCCGCCATCATCGTATCGCCTCTCCACAGCGTCTCCCCACTTCCCGAACCCACCCATAATGGTTGAGGAGGCAAGCCAACCTCTGTTGAATAAGGATATCGACAGTCTACCACTTCGTCGATCATCTTCTACAGACAAATCGTTGCAGGATCTTTCTGCCGAATCTCCTCAACCGTTAGAATTACCCTCCGAATCGACCCCCCTTCTTATACATTCGAATGACGAACTATGGTCTTACGGTGGCGTCGAGCCCACAATATTGTCTTCCTCTGAGCAACGGGATAATCCCCTGTATGTAGATCCGAGGCGACGACGCAGCAGCGTGCGATGGCGGATCTTGTGCATATGTTTGACACTGACCGCTGTTGTGGCCATCCTGATCTTCGCCTTTGTCGCCCCAGCGGTTGTGAAACAATACGTGAAGGAGGCTGCCGTCTTCAGGCCGACCAGTGTGTCAATTGAATCGGCCACGGCGAATGGGGTGCAAACAAGGGTCCAAGGGGAGCTCGTGCTGGATGCAAACCGCGTGCAAAGAAGCTCGGTGCGCTACCTGGGTCGTTTGGTCACCTGGGTGGGAAGGGAGATCGAAACAAGCGAGTCGGACGCCCAAATCTATCTTCCGGAGTATGGGAATATACTCGTTGCCACGGCATCCCTACCTTCTATCAAGATTAATATCCAGAATGGCCACATGAATCAGATCGGGGTTTTGGCAGAGCTGGTAGCGGGCGACATTAACGGAATCCGGTCGGTGGCGGTGGACTGGTTAGAAGGAAGACTGGGGCAGCTGAAAGTCAATGGGATTGCAACAACACGTTTGAAATCAGGACTGCTGAACTTGGGAGATCAGATTCTAATGGATTCGATTACTGTGAAAGGTCAGTTTCCCCCCTCACCTTGTGAGTGCGCTGTATTTCTCACGCTTTACTACAGAGGATGATTTTCCACAGTTACCCGCCGTCAGTATATCCAAGTTCAACGTACACGATGCAGACCCGTCAGAAGGGAAAGGGGCGATGGTAGTGGATCTTTCGGTTGCTGCCATCCTTGACTCTCCTTTCTCTCTTAGAATCCCACCCCTTGGGTTCGAAGTGATGGTCCCTAATTGTTCTCCTGGGGATCCGTATATATCCGTAGCGGATGTCATGACAAGAGAGTTCCCCGTTGTACCAGGTCACCACGTTTCCTCCGTTGAAGTTATCGGGGATATCCGGGGTCTTTCCAATGAGCTAACGAGGACATGTTCCGGGAGGAAGAAATCTCCCCTGGATTTCCTGGTTAAGAATTACATGCACGGTCTTCGAACCACCGTCTATGTCCGTGGAGCGGACACCCCTATAGTGGGCACCCCTGAGTGGGTGGTAGACATTCTGAAGAGCGTAGTAATCCCGTTGTCCTTCACCGGGCGTGCTCTTGATAACCTGGTCAAGAAATTCACCATGTCCGATGTGCATTTCGTTTTGCCGAACCCTATGGCAGAACCCGACTCTCCTGAATCCCAACCAAAGGTTTCTGCACTGGTAAAAGTGCTCCTTGGGTTACCAAAACAACTAGACTTTCAACTTGAAGTCCCACGCGTTCGCGCCGTTGCCGACGTTTACTACCGTGGAGATAAGCTTGGGGTTTTGAGGCTGCAGGAATGGCAACCGGCTAATTCAACTCTAATAGAAGATGGTCTACTCGTGGATTTCGCCATGAAGAATGCGCCCCTTGAGGTGACCGATGCGGATATCTTGACCGATGTCCTCCAGGACTTGATCTTCAAAGGAGAAACCGTTAACCTCACCGTCGCCGCAAACGTGGATGCGGAAGTCTCCACGAGACTGGGACGGTTTGTCATCCGTGAAATTCCAGCAGAGGGGCAGGTGAATGTTCAACGTAAGTTATGACGAACCCCATGATAAGGAGCCAGATGGAGCTGATCATTGACTCGTTGCTAGCACCATACGGTGGCTCATTCGACCAGCTTAATCCGCAGATCGAGTCGCTGGAGCTGGGTCCAACAACCGAGTCGTCTCTTGTCGTGAAAGCGAAAGTTAACATTACAAATCCTTCTCCATACTCTGCATCGGTGCCATTTGTAGACCTCCTGTTAATCTACAATGCCACTAAAGTCGCCCACATCACAGGTCGAGACCTGATGCTCGTTCCAGGAGTAAATACAGGCCTCTCTCTCGACTTAGAATGGAGTCCATTAGACCTAGACGGTCCAACTGGTCAAAATGCTGGTCGTGAGTTGATCTCACAATATGTTTCAGGTAAGCTGCGGATGCCTTCAGTGGGGTTGTTTATATCTAACCTCACTGCCATAGGATCTAACGCCACCGTTACTGTGCAAAGTCACAACGGTACTATCCCATCTCTGCCACAACTTGGACAGGCATTATCCAGATTAGGATTTGACTTCCAGGTCCCTAAAGTCCCCGTCCGCCGGGCGCCTGGCAAGGAGCCGGATGATGACGAGGGACCGGGATTCGTTCAAGATGCCACGGTATTGTCTACTTTCATGGAAGCTGTTTCTCTTTATGGCAATTACAATTAGTTTCTTGTATTTGTGGACAAGTTGTTCCCCAAGTAACAATTGTCGTTCAAGAAGAGACATTCTTCTATTTTGGCTAACTTGCAGAATGCTACTAGCTACATCTCTGGTCTTCAACGGCCGAATTCACATTATCCTCGCCGTTACCCAACACCACTATCGTGGTTACCTCGATAAAAGCCACTGCGCTTTACCAGCAGTACGTAGAGGTGGGCAAGATCAACTACTACCTTCCCTTCCCGGTACCACCGGGTCTCTCACAGACCCCTCGGTTACCCGTTGATTTGGACCTGAACGGCATTGGTCGTGATGCTTTAAAGAAAGCCCTAGGGGGCTCGCTCGCATTGGATGCAGTGGCGGAAATTGGCGTTCGGGTTCGTAGTTACAGCGATACCATCTTCTACCACGGCAAGGGAATTACATCGCACGTCAGGCTATAGGGCTTTTGGGCTCTATTACTGTCGTTTGGCTTATTTTCTTCCGCTTTTCCCTATACATTATTATATTTGCCTGCTTGGGGTTTCTGGGCTTGTCGAAGCGTGGCGTTCAGGAGTAGGCTTACATCATTTTCGCTCATGAGACTGTTACAAAATCCATGACTTTTCCGGAACCTGGTATCCCTCCTATTTGTATCCGCAATCCATCAACTAGTGTATCTTGAGCCACTTGCACACGGTCGTGGAGCTGCATTTTGGCGGTCTTTCGCTTGCAAACGGGAAGATGCTTGGCGAAAAGTTCGATCTTTCATTCACAGTATCCGATTAGGGTGGATTTTCTAAAGCCGAAGAATAAAAGAGACAGGAACAAGAAGATGGAATATAGTAATTTAGAATTATTGACCCGAAGTAATTGCCGATGTTACAATAGAACTATCTCTTAAAAACAATTTCTCACATCATTCATACTAACCAGGAGGAAGGGTGCTTGCATCAACCACGTCAGAAGCCTCCTTCTCAATCTCCTCATTGGGCTCGAAGAGAGGAGAACGGGGAAGGGCCATCAGGCCGGTTCGGGTGGACTCTAGAATACCGAAGGGACCGATGAGCTTCATGAACGAGTCAATCCGGGTGGGTTTGGCGGAACTGTCAATCGCAATTAGTTTCTTGTCCGGCGCCCATGCCTGCGCGTGTTGGAAGGTGTGCTAAAACTTACAGCTCCACGATGCAGTTATTGGTACTGATGTCCAAAACCTTGCCGCCAAACTGATGAGTCAAGCGAGTAATAGCATCGAGATGCTCATGTTTGTGTCTCAGGGCCTGACTGGGAGGCAGATTACGAGGGTGGAATTCAGGCTTTTGGATCTGAGCCTGGGCGACCTTGTCCTTCTGGCCATCGGCCGTCTCGCCGGGGGTTGTGATCTCGCGGTGGTGTTGAAGCAGCTCCTCGAAAAACTCAGGACCCAGAATGCTAACCTTCGCCAACAGCAGTTCGCGCTGCACCAGCGCCGAATCTGTGTAGTCTAGAACCGCCCAGACAGGAACAAGATCGTCCAGTTGCCGACGGGCCTGCTCCACGACACCGTCCTGTCCCTGCAACACGATGGTCATGCGAGACAGATCCTCGACCTCGGTGTTGCAAACAACCAAGCTGTCAATATTGAAGCCCCGAGCCGCCAGAATTCCCGACACCCGGGAGAGCACACCGGGCTCATTCTGCACGAGGCAATTCAGAATATGCCGCTTCGGAGGGTTCGTCGGGGCAACGGGGGTCTCGTACAAGATCGACGAGACGGCCGTAGGGGCATCCCATTGCGGGGAGGCATCCGACACAGGCAGCGGAAGAGGGGAACGACGATGCAAAGCCTTGTAGGCCAGGGCCGAGGTCGAACTGGACGAGGCGCGAGACGTGGTGAATCGAGGAAGGGTCGCCGCAATTTTAGAGGTTCTGGAGGCTACCGATCGAAAGGGCACCGATGCTGTCGTGGACAGCATCATAGGATGCCGGAAAGCCATTGTCTCCCAAATGGACCCGCAAAGGACCGGTAGGCAAGGGAGTCAGACAGGGAGGAAGGGCCGTCAAGTTGGGAGAGTCGAGGATTACAGTCATCGATCGCGTTTTATATCTTCTCGTCTTCCGACGTCGGCTGGCTGACTCAGGCGTATGTCACTTACGCCGTGACAGTACCGCTAGGACTTATTTGATCTAGTGTCGAGGCACATGATCGCGAGCGTCTGCAAGCTTCGACATCCGTTTTCTTCGGCTTCATCCATCTTTCTATCTCTCTCTCTCTCTCTTGAGATCTACTCTTCAACTCTTAAAGGAATTATTTCATTCCTTCCAGCGCATCACCGCCCATTTACCATTGCCTCTATTACATCTAACTCCCTTGCTCTTAAAACCCCTACTTCCCTACATCTTCCTTACTATTGGTTCCGGCGTACTTTAGTGCGCTAGTGTCCACTAACCAACCGGACTCAATGAACTGAAACTCCACCCACCTCCGAGAAAGTCCTTTATTGTTGTCCTGGCCTGTCTTACTTCGCTGGCTATCCCTCATAGTTTCCCATTTTTACCATTCACCTCTGTCGTCAGTTGTCTGGTTGCTTATCTGGTCCCTCTGAGCTCCCACTATGGCCGACGATGACCGCCGTACCAAGCGTTCTCGCTTCGACCAAACCGAGCCTGAACCACGACGCCCTTCGCGGTTTGACCGTCGTTCTCGGTCTCCCTCGTCGCGACAGTCTGAAACTCGGACTCGCAGTCCCCTCAGTCGAGAAGCACGCAGCCCTAGCGCAGGCGCACCCAAGAGTTCCACTCCCTCAGATCCTGCAGCCGCAGCTGGTATGATAGATTCATTCCCCCTTTGTCCCAGGAGAAATCGTCACGGTGAGATTGACTATTAGCATTAAAAAATACAGCTGCTGCTGCGGCCAAGATCAATGCGCAATTGCAAGCGAAGAAGGGAATTCAACATGTAGATGTTCCTCCAATCCGCTCGGTGAGTATTGGACCGCATGACGACCCCAAAGCCTGCCCTTTTCGTACTAACCATTCCATCTCCTACCAAGACCTCGAGTCCTGTACCCCCGCAATCAGCTTCGCCGTCTGCTGGAGATGCTTCGGGAAAGTTGAACACCGAAGTTTACGTGGCGGATGGAGATTATATCAGGGACATTGAGATTAATGACTTGCGCAACCGCTATACACTGACCAAGGGCTCTACTCAGAAGATGGTAATTATTCCTGTTGCATCCGCTGATATTCCAGGCTCCACGTGGCAAACTGGCTTACGCCGTGGCCAAGTTTTCTTTCCTTTGTTCTTTTCCTGCTTCTCTTGTGGCTGTGGCCGTAGCTTACCCGAGTTTAAATCATTCATAGCATCCCCTCATTTGCATCTGCTGACCTCCGCTGCGTGACATCTAGATTAAAGAAGAAACTGGCGCCGGTACGCCTTCATTCCAAGTCTTACTGTTGTCAGCTGTTTAGTCCAGGAAGCTCATGATTTTTCTTACTAAGATGTCACCACTCGAGGAAACTATTATCCGGATAAGAGCATGGCCACTGCTGCGGTATGTGATTTCTCCCTGTTAGGTGAATGCTTCGTCTGACACGGCACTTGGATATTTTGACAGAATCCCCCACTGTACCTGCATGTAACGAGTACAAACAAGGAAGGCCTTGAGAAGGCCGTGGTCTTAATCGAAGACCTCATGAAAAAGGAACTTCCCAATCTGGTGGATGAACGACGATTCCGCCGTCGGGAACCAGAGCCTGTGGAACGTGACGAATTTGGCCGTGTATGAAACCCCGGCGGAAACGGTAGTGCACTAGCAATAACTCACTGACTGTATGCAGCGTAAATGGCCCGAAGAGCGGATTCCCGTGGATCTCGAGCCGCTTCCTGGATTCAACCTTCGTGCTCAAGTTGTCGGACAGGGTGGCGCGTATGTCAAGCATATCCAGCAAAAGACTCGGTGCAAGGTGCAGATCAAAGGCCGGGGCTCTGGTTTTATGGAGCCTAACTCCGGCAGAGAAAGCGATGAGCCGATGTTCCTTCACGTTGCGTAAGAGTTCCCGCTTCTTGGTGAGCATAAAAGAGAGACTAACATATAGGCAACGCAGCGGGCCCGACCCTAACGAGGTCAAGAATGCAAAAGAATTGTGTGAAGACCTGTTAGCCAATGTCCGAGAGCAGTATCAACGCTTCAAGGAGAACCCACCCCAGCACAACTATGGAGGCTACGGTCAGCGAGGAGACCGTTATGGATATGGTGGTGGTGGCGGGAGCTACGGCGGTGGATATGGAAATCATCAACACCAAAACTCGCCCCCTACTTCTGCCAGTCCAGGTCAACAAGGAGGAGCCGGGGCAGGGGGGTCAGGAAGCCCGGCCGACTACAGCGCGCAGTACGCGCAGTATTATGGATCCGACCCATATGCTGCCTACGGGGGATATCAGAACTATGTCGCCTACTATCAATACTACCAGCAGGCTGCCCAGCAGCAACAGCAGCAACAGCAACCACAGTCACAGAGTCCTGCACCTCCACCGCCCCCTCCGGCCAGCGAGGCACCACCTCCACCACCTCCTGGGTCTGGTTCTCCCCCACCTCCCCCGGGTGGCAGCAGCTACAGCGCCGTAAGGGACCTCCGAGACACTTACCCTGAAGCCATGCACTGATTTCGGAATTCTCTAGGTCCCGCCGCCTCCTGGACTGTAGTGTCGTCAGTATCGTTAACAAAGATTAATCATACGTGTTGAGACTCAGCCATGGATGGTATCTCATATAGTAGGCCACGATGACATACATACCGTCATTTGACTCGACAGATATCCATTATACCGGCATATTTTTGTAACCTTACCTCTCCTTTCTGATAGTTCTCTGTGCTATTCAGAATTCAACCCCAATTCGGGGAGCAAAAACGTTGGAATCTAGCGCCTGTGTATTTTGTGTGTGTGCTGTTGTTGTATGCTGTTTTTGGTTCAATAAGAGACTGTTGCTTAGAGACAACCTTCTCCCCCAAATCTAATAGCTCAATCAACCCTATTAGCACATTTCAGATGATCATTATCACATTAGAAGAACAAAGTTAAGTACACGCTCGTCTGAGCTACAAGGGTATCGTCATATGCAGGGTAGAGAGTGAAGCGGCCCCACCAGACAGACCACCTCCTAACTTATATATCGAGTTAGAATTTTTGGACACTATTCACAGGACTTGCACGAGCCAAAGGAGCCAGGAAACATCTCCCGCAAATAATACGAGATATTGCAGTCCGAAAAATCCTGCAGAGCACTCTCGGGGGGCATTTTCGCCTTGCGTTTCGCCAGATTATCGGGACCGTCTTTGCAGAAATCACAGGCAAAGTCGCAGGGCGACGGGCTTGCACCGGATGCATTTGTCTCCGGTGCTGCTGGAACCTGCGATCCCATCCTCTCCAGTTCGAAGTCTCCGAAGAATTCTTTGATCATTTCGTGTCTGCATCGGTTGGTGGTTTCGCAATATTGGATCACTTTCTGGAAGCTCTGCAGTCGGGCTGTTTGGTTCTGGATGTCAGAGAGTCTGCTGCTGCTGCTGTTGTTATCACTGGAGTTCGATGTCCTCGTTCCTCCTGGTCCGCTGCCTCCAGCACGGGTGTGGGCATTCTCCACGTCTCGTCGAAGGCGATGAAGTATCCGGTCCCTTTCCTGTGTGTTGTAGTAGACAATTGAAGCAGCTGCGCGGTTGTCCCGGCCTGCACGGCCGGATTCCTGCACGAATCCCTCGAAGCTTCGAGGAGGGCTCCAGTGGACGACGAAGCGGACATGGGGGTTGTCGATTCCCATGCCAAATGCATTCGTCGCGACTATCACGTCGAATGCGGGAGGAGTCCAGTTGTCTGCTTCTGAGACCGGCGGTTGCGGGGACGTCCATTCCATTTGGATGCGGGTTCGGTCTTGAGAGGACAAGCCGGCATGGTAAGCCACGGCGCGGATATTGCCATCCCACAATGACGAAAGCTCGTGTGCAAGCCTCTCAGAAATCGAGCGCAGGGATACATAGATGATTCCGGAGATCGGAGGGAGGGGAGTAGAGGTAGCGCCTAATCGCACCTGTCGTCGAGCATGAATGGATTTGAACCAGGTGACTAGATCGATAATCTGGAACACCTCAGGCTCTCCAGCGTCTTCGGCGAAATCTTCCAGATAGCGGATCTCGTAATGGATGTTTGGACGGGCAGAGGGGGTGTTGAAGATCTTCAAGACGGTGGGATCTAAACCAAGTAGGTTGATAATGTCGGATCGGACTCGCGGGGTCGCCGTGGCCGTGAGGGCACTGATGGGCACAGAGGGATTCTTTAAGAACCGCTTGAACCAGGAGAGTTCTTTATACGCCGGTCGGAAGTCATGACCCCATACACTGATGCAATGAGCCTCGTCAATCGCGATGCGAGTGAGCTCTCCCTGTTTGTGAATGGTCTGGATGTTTCGTCGGAATGTCTCAGTCTGGCATAGTTCTGGGGTGACGTAGAGTAAACGGGTTCTGGGATGACCTGAGAGGAGATCGTCTATGATATCCCGTCTCTCTGATGTCGGGGTTGTTGAGTTGATGGTTGCCACAGGTACTCCTAATGCTTGTAGTGCGTTTACTTGGTCTGTCTGTCTGGACTTAATATACGATGTCGTTTCGTTCTACGGAAGGTGTCGCACTTACCATCAGAGCAAGAAGAGGAGAAACAACGACAGTGACTAATGAGACAAAACACCGCGGAAGAACAGATATCCCAGTCAGATGCTACTCCTGACCGACACACTAGTGGGGGGAAACCAACCGCCATGGTTAACCACTGCGGGCAATTGGAAACACAAACTCTTCCCGAAAGATGTCGACGCCTGCAAAAAGACATCATAACCGTCAACGGCTGCTGTAATAACCTCCCGCTGCAGAGGACTAAAGAAAACCCCCCCAGATTAGAGCGTCATTCGTTAGCCTGTGATCCCAGTCCACGACGACGTGACATGCTCACCGGAACGACTTTTTGCGGAATACTCGATGCAAGTAGAACTCCAAATCCACCTTCCGACGCTTAAAATTGGCGCCCACCATGATCTCCGTCACATCTTCTGGGACTGAGGAAGTATTCTGAAGTTTTTCTCTTTTGTTTATCGCGAGTGTTGACCGCCTTGCCAAACATGTGACTGATTGGCAGTATTTATCTATTACTAATCTTATCACCTGACTCTAGTTACTGATTATCTACTTTTGCTTCATCAAACTGTTTGAAGAACTTATTCCACCAGGAAACCACAGACCACGATGCCCCCCACAAACCAAAAGCTGGTTCCGAACCACCACAAGCAGCTCTGTTGGAAAAGGCTTGGTCAGAAGCGCTCCATTAAGTAGACCGAATACATGTGGGAGGAATACTAGGCAGGAGCCTGCCGGAGGGATAAGCTGGATATACGGTGCCCATCCTGCTGGGATCCAGGTCAGTAAACCGCTGGTTGGGGCCTGGTTGCCTGAGTACCTGTTGACCACCTTCATGATCGCAAGAGAGTACCAAGTAAAGCAAATACAGTATTGGTAACCTTGGGGTGTATATGTGCTTATATCTATATGATATATAGGAGAATCATGAAATTAGCACCCCTCATATCTTCTAGTAAGCCCTAATGCATCACTACTTCGATATTGCTCCCTGTCTTACGATAGTCCATAACCCATTGAATACTATATCCCTCTGTTAATTCTTTGTTTCAGCCTTGAGACCATCCAGAACCTGGTTATTATCACATGGCATAATACACATTTGTACCCCGTAGATCAGGTTGGCTTACATTCCAACTCCTTGTATATAAACAGGGTCCAGGGATTCAGAAGAGTACAGCTAACACGGAGTACTTATGGCCAGGACTAGCTAGGGGCCATGCAACCAGCCTTCTCAGCCATCTTTCCATTCCTGTTTAGTTCTGACTAGACTTGTCCTTGGTCTCTATCTCTTGATGTCTCTACCCAGAATGCAACGGATCAGTTTCGGTAGTGTTGGTACAAATACGCCAATAATAATGACATCCCTTTCTATGCTGTACAGACATGGGGCATTCTTAGCTTACTCGCTTTCAGGACTCGACCTCCGTGTGTGCCTACAATGTAGCGAAGAAAATGAGAGTTGATTGAGGTCTCCCTTGGGCAGGATTCGCTAAAGTTATAGCTACGCTCCTTTAAGGAGAATATTGGAGTTCTATCACAGTTAGGGGCATTTACTCTTTCGGGGACTTTACTAGACGGCTTGTAAGTAGCTAACGATTAATAAAAATAGCTGGTTCCCTTATATTTTTTTAATTCAACAAGTAGAGCATAGTCTACCAATACTACTATTACTTGGGTCGAGAAATAACCGATCATTTATTCCTACACGACCAATTCAACTTACAACATCAACACATGCAAAGACAAAAAAATCTGGAGGGTATATAAACAGGTCTATTGTATATACTAATGTACATGTCCTAAACTTACTCAGTCAACTTCAATACCGCCGCCGGTGAATCTGTCGCTCGAGTTCTTCCTTGACAGCCAGCACGTCCAGCGCTTTACGTTTCTGAGGCTGCCATATGCTCTCCATCCTAAGCCAGACTTCCATAACCGCCTTGGGTCCACAGCAGGCGCCAAAGGCCCGGAGAATGATGATGATCATCCGGCGGCCCAGAAATACCCCATTCTCGACCTGGCGTTCCAGAACTGCAAGATAGTCGTGCTCCGATTGTCTGCTCCGAGTTGAGCTGTCAAACAACGCGTCCATATCCACATCCTCCTCTGTCTCGACCATCCTATTGTTCGCATAGCGTTCTGTTTCTTCCCTCGGTGTTTCTGTTCGAGCATGGTCTTCAACGTGGTCATTCTGATTCGACTCGCTGGACGGCAACGGGGTGTATAAGTCACCGGGTGTCCGTGTGTGTGTACGGGAATCGCCTGGAGCATGGCTTTCCAGGGGGTTTTGCCAGATCAACTTCCCCGAGGTGGGGAAACGCTCCGCGAATCTCGCTTTGGATTCGTAGAGGACAGCCAGATACGCTCTCCATGTTTCCTGCAGCCTTTCAGCAGTCCAAGCCTTCTTCTTTCGACCATGGTGAGCGAATCCATCAAATAGTAACAAATATATCATGCCGCGCGGTGGAATCGTGTAGATCGTCTCCATGTCCTTCAATATCGACATAAATGACTCTAAGCTGCCTGTCTGATAAGCATGGTAGGACAGAAAGATATGGAATGTCCGCGTATCGGGAACCATAGGAAAGGCCTCTTGGAGAACGCGGTGATGGTCGGGTAATCGGTCCTTTAGAGCCTGAGATAACTGTAAGACACGGTTTACTTGCTTGGATTTCGCCCGGTAGTCAATCAAGCCGGATGCGTAGCTCGGCCCAAAACTGTGGGACGGCTCCTCGAGCTTCTGCCCATGGATCATGCGACGATACAATTCTTCGGCGGTCTTTACCTCCCCGGCGCGAAGAAACGATACTAATAGGCAGTTGAGGACCACCGTATCCACGATTTCTCCGCTAGACACGAACTCATCGAACATCCGGTGAATCCCGTCAGCGTCGTGGAGCATGCCATAGTAGTACATTTTCGAGACCTTTCCGGAACGACCAAAGCTGATGTTTCGTTTCGCCATCTCCTCCAAGAGCCGATCCGCGACGGTGAATTGGCCGGCTTTAATGGCTATGTCGAACAGAATAGTGAAAACCACGCTATCCGCCTTAATTCCACCCACGTGTTCCATTTGCTGCCAAATGCCAATTGACCTCACCAGGTCTGCCTTGATCACTCTGCCCGACGCTCGCCCTGCGAGATGAATCGCTGAACTCCACAAAGAACGGGACATAGGGAGTTTAGCAACGATCATATCCTCCACCAACGCGAGATAGCGGCGAGCGTCCACCCAACGGCGGTTGGGAGGGTTAGCGAATCGACGTAGGAGCGCTCCCCGTGAGCGCTTCGAAAGACATGCGACTCCAGGATGAGGGAGGTCTCTGTATAAACGAAAAACATAATGATTCAACTTCTTTTCATCCCACAGTACGTCAAGAAGCCTCTGGACCGACCTGATGTCGGTGGCATCTCGTAATTCTTTCGCGCGAGGTGGCTGTGGTTCGACCCAACTATCATCTATAACGCTCTTCAGAGCTGAGTCCCAGTCGAGTGATTTCCCAAGAGACTGAGCATATAATTTCCTGGTTGATCGCAATAGCGACACTTTGGGGCTCTTTCTCCCTTTGTAACCATAGCACTTTAGCTCGCCATGCTCCTCCGGTTGTGGTGCATCTTTGTGGGCCTGATTCATGGCAGAATTCGAATCGTTGGATAGCTCTGTACTGGCGGTTTGCGGCGGTTCCGGATCTGAGACTTTAGAGACATGTTGTGATGACGAATTTTCGCCTAAGCGTTCCCCCCAACCCGATTCCACATTTTCGTCGGGTCGTCCGGTCAATGATAACCTCCCAGTCGCTCTATTCGATATCAGGGTTGACCCATTTTCATCTTCTTCCACTCGTTGCGCAATCCCAGACCCAAACAGCCGGTGAACTTTTGGATGTTGTTGGGCCTCTCCTAGACGCTCGACTGGGGACCCCATATACTTCAGTCGAGTTTTCGACAATTGTCTAGTAGTCAGCATTCTCTTGTCCCGTAACGCTCCCATATTTCTCCTTGACGCCGTCATCGATAATGTAGATAGCCCTCGGCCACGAGGGGAGTGCTCGTGGCAGTAGCCGGCCATCACCAAGGAGCCGACAAAAATATCTGCTATCGAGGCAACAGTTGGACGAGGACGTCGGGAACCGAGTCTTCTGATCGACACATTGTAGGGGAACGACTCTGGACTAGACATGGAACTGCAATGGAGAGAGACACGCGAATCCAATCCCTGCGACGAAGGCGATCGCGGGTTGGGAGAGCTCTGGGACCTAATGGGAGAAGGCATGAGATGGCAGACATCATGGCATCGAGCTAGCCCTGCATATCCCCCAGAAATCTCACACAGATTGACAGGATGGAGTGAGAGTACCTCCGGCGAAGAGGGAGTAGAAGGGACGAAAGGGGGTGGATTGAGAGAAAGTGGTTGTTTCGTTCTCTTTCTCTCTCTCTTTCTGGCTTTTGCTTTTGCACTTGAGCGGAGCCCACGTCGGTCCAATCGGAGCCGCCCATTGCCAATCCTCTTTTTCTCCTCCCGACACACTCTTATTGAGGATTGATTATTAGGTATCATCATCATTGATATTCCCCTCCAATTCCTCGTCTATCTTCCTAAATCCCGGTCAACGGCCCTCTTGGCCGCCCTTGTTCCGAATTCGCCATGGGCAAATACAACCTGACGGCTCTGCGTGTCCGCCAGACGGCCCTCCAGCAGAAGGCCACCGGCAAAATCTCAAGACTTCCCAAGTGGGTGGATGCAGTCACCGATATTCCTCCAGCTCAGGTCGTAGTGAGAAACCAGCCACCTCAGCATCAGCTCGTTCGACAGCGCATGAGGACGCTACCGGGATCGTCGAAGTCGCAGGTCGTTTTCGAAACCCAAGAAAAGCGGACGAAGCCTAAGAAGGCGAGTCGCATGTTCCTCCCTACCGAGATTAAGTTCGAGGAGGATCAGCTGCGAAAAGAGTTCTTCCGCGACCATCCCTGGGAACTTGCAAGACCCCGGATGTTACTGGAAACCACCGGCCGAGACTTTCAGAGATATGACTGGAGCCGGCTCCAGCAACCAGGGAAAAAACTAGACGGTGAAAGGTGCGGCGATCTGTCATCAGATCATTCCTCTCTGGGTTTATTACTCTGGACTTGTGCTAACCTACGTTCCTTTTTTCTGTTATCTGGTTCAGTGTGGTTCAACGCCAACTTTGGCTCCTGAATAACGTTCCCAATATGACCAAGAGCATGGCCTATGATATTGCTCGCAGCGAATTCTACCGTCTTCGATTACAGGAGGATATTGAGCGACGAGTTTCCGCTGAGGAAGCTGAAGCCACCGGTGCCACCTTTGGGCCAACCCGTCTGGAAATTGGTATGGAACTTGAGAACAAGGAATATGAACGCTGGAAGGAATGGGCGAAGGTGGAAGCCCAAATCCAAGGTCAGAGAGCAGCCGCATTTGTCGGTGCTCCAGAGATCTCGAGTCTGGAAGAGACTCTGGAGGCGGACGAAGGCGCCAACGCGAAGGCACCTTAGGCGGCATGAAAGCGTGACTTTCAGAATCGATTAATATTTCACTGGCTTTGCCCAAGGCTTTCTGTTGAACATCCTGAGGGCTTATGTATACTACGGGATTACTGGATGACTTTTTTTATTTTATTTTATTTCTTTGTCTCTTATTACTCTGATCTGCCATAAGTCCCCGGTTAGATCTGTCGTTGCATAGAAAATGCTATCTGTTCTGGGACCATGCTCGACTCGAACGGGATATTGTAGATACTGTACAATCACAGTTCTTCTATAAATTTTATATATTTATGTATTATTATATTACTATATTAAAATTATATTCTGTCTCATAGGTTTGAGAAATTCTGTCTATTTATGGGCTGAATAGCATCCACTAGTAGGAGTAGCTGTCGGGCCAATCATCGCGGCCAACTTATCGCGCCTCCCGTGCCGACTTCATCCTGCATCCTGAAACTCTCTCGCCCATCCTGCGACGCTGTGAGTTATTCCATTTTGCTCGCTCCCACAATCCTGTCGTTCTTCTCTTGTCCGAGCGATGGTGGCCTTGAGACGTTGGTGATCCCACGGCCTGTGGACGGTGGCGTCTCAATTGACTGCGGCACTTTTATCCGCGTTTCACGAGTGCCTCAAGTCGCACTGACTTCAGCAAACCATTCGGTTGCAGGTTAAACAACCGGGACCAGGCCTCCGACACAACCTGTCAGATTGATACTTCCATCATCACTTCACCGCCGTGATCGATACTCCTCCCCCTTCCCCTTCCTTCAACCTTAGACGAACCTCTCTCGATTTGGAACCCGCCGAACACATCAGCCTTGTCTTCGAAACCAGTCCCTGTCCCAAGAGTATCTACCTTTGCAATCTGTCCGCTCTTTCGAACACGCCGATACTACTGCTGTTGCAGCGTTGTTGATCATGCTTCGTCGCGGTTTTCCTGCTCGTCTCGGAGATACTCTAGTCATCTGATTTGATCATACAAATTCAAAGATAAAATCCCTAATATCAGGCCAGGGTGTGAACGGGGGCTTGACGAGTTAGTCGGATCGACTGAATTCATCAAGCATTAGCCATGCTCTCTACTATGGTTCGGCCGGAAGATGCGATCAGAATGACTCGTCCATACCGTGGTGAGACCGACGAGGAGGATGGGAGCAGGCGGACTCCAGAATATAATGTCCCTGCTTCCTCATCATCCTCTTCAATCGCCGAGGGATCAGCCAGAATTGAGGACGAAGCAACGGTGGTCAATGAACCAATGGGCGATGGAAATAACAGTGGCAGCAAGTCGCACTCGGGTCCGCGGCTCCTCTCGCAGGAGGAAACCATTGAGCTTGCCCGCCGCGCGGTCGACAATGGGATACAAGAAACAAAGCGCTCATTGGCAGGGAGCGAAGCAGTTACTGATGTGGTGAAGCCAAAATTAACTATTGACCTGGGCCACTCCAACATTTCCCGCATTCCCGAGGCGGTAGTGGATGCCATCAAAGATGAAGTTGAAAGGTACGTGGTCTTAGAACTGAGCCTATGATATTCTTGTCGGGATAGATCCCGCAAATATCCAAGGCCAGATGAGTGGCTGATGATTTCTAGACTTTCCTTATCAAATAATCATTTATTCCACGTCCCGTATCGCTTTGCGGAATGCTCTCATCTCCGATATCTTAATATCCGGGCAAACAATTTCCGGGAATTTCCTAAAGGAGTATGTGATACTCTGAACGCTTAGACGAATAAAATTCCTACGGTGTTGACTAGTGTTTCTAGGTCTATAAGTTGCCGCTTCTGGAGATCTTAGATATCAGTCGGAACAAGATCAGCCATCTCCCTGAACAGATCAAGAAGTTGACCTCCCTGCGAGTATTGTCGGTAATGCAAAATCGCCTTGATGACCTACCACTTGGAGTCTCCGACATGAACAAGCTTCAAATCCTGAAAGTGGCTGGAAACCCCTTGCGGTATCCTCTACGACGAATCCTGGAGAGTTCAGAAACAGAAATTGGCCCCTCTACTATAACCGACAATGAGAAAGAGGTGGCGGTCACGGCGGAGCTTAAAAGATTCTTGAAAACCAAGCAGTCTGTTGCATTCCCGGAGAATGACAGTCGCAGCGATATGAGGTACGATGTCCTGCCTAGCCTATAGGTTTCGGAGGCTGAGCTAATTTTTACGCTCCAGCGAGGGCGTGCCGGATACACCCAAACCCTTCAAACGTGGCATGAGCAGCCGCTTCCCCGTGATTCCGAGCACTGGTGACAGTGCTTCTGACCCCAAGTCGCCATCTCTATCACGTCCCCCACCGATTCCAATCAAGTCCCATTATCGCATTGCTTCGGGGCAGGGCCCGGGCTTTCAGAGCAGCATGCTTCAGCGACCTACCGCAACCTTCAACGAACGCAACCGGAGTAACAGCGAAGGCATCATTCAAGGCTCCTTCTCTATGCGAAATAAACGAATGGGGGTCATCAATCGGAAGAATACCGATTTGGGGACTCTGGACGAAACCCGGGCGTATCGAAACAGCCATCTGCGTGGTCTAAGTTATGGGTCAATCCTACGGCCTAGGCCGTCCGGCACCGGAGGTGGCAGCAATTCCTCCAGCCCTAGCAGTCCCAGAGAACGCCGACGTCTGAAAGAAGGCTATGTGAATCGAATGTCAAGTTTGCCGGAACACAAAGGTGAAAGAGAAGCAGGAGATCCTGTCATTGAAAGTGCCAAAGGGATTCTGTTTGCTCTATTCCAGGTCCAATCCCATGTTTCTGCCTTTCTCGATGTGATCAAACGAGGCGAACCCCGACGAAACAGCCTTGAGATAGTATTTTACAACGCTTCCACTCACGTTTATCAGCTCAACGAAGCGCTTGAAGCGGCGGAAAATGACCAGCACGGCGATACAGAACTTGCACGGCTATCAAAAGAGACTGTCAAGAGAGAGTGCGAAACGTGTGTCATAGCGTACACTCACGTCGGGCTACAGCTGCGCAACAATCTCGAAAAGATTGTCGCCAACGGCGACGCGCGCTACGTACGGTCGCTCATGCTTATGATATATGGCAGTGTGATTGAGCTGCGCAACGCTTGCGTGAGCCTAGGGGTCCCCGTAGCTCGCAAACGGCTCTCTGCCAATAAGCCGCCTATACCAGAAATACACAAGGTGTCCGTGGGCTCAGAGCGGTTTCTCGGGCCAACCGTAACGCCGACAAGAGGAAGGGCACCATCTTTTGCCGTTCGGCGGTTTCGGAGCGACACTACAATCCAGCACTCCCAGATCTCTGCAAGTGGGCCATTGCCCGCCGCCTCGAATTACCAGTCTACAGTCAGCTCACCAGGTTTTGCCCCCACTCCGTTCAGTTTCGGCGCACGGAGTCGGTCGAGCAGTCGATCAAACCAAATCTACCCATCTGTGCCCTCCTCCCTTGCAACCCCACGTTCAGGGGAATCATTCCCGCCAATGCCGAACTCGGTGGTTCCTCGTATCAACCCCCTAACCGGCTTGGACGAGATAGAAGAGGAGCGCCACTTCGAAAGAATATTCCACCAACTTACTTCTGCATATACCGCCGCTCTCCAGGCTTTGCCTGCAGCGCGTCGACATTTGACGCGATGTCTCGAGGTAGCTGAACAGTCACGGGAATGCGAGGGGATTCAGCTACTCTGGAATAATCTTATCCGCCGCTGCCGTGTGTGCTTGGAGGTATCCGAAGCCCTAGGGCTGCGCCTATCTAATATGAAGGTGAAGGAGCCGGGCGGTGGAATGCGTAATCAGCGCGAATTTTGGCAGTTATGCAAAGGGTTCATGCAATCTTTTGTTGACCTTGTGACTGACATGCGCGAAGTCAGAGGCATGCAGCTTCTTCCATTTGAAATCGTCGTGAATCTTCGTCCGGTTCAGAGGGCATGTAGAGAAGCTGGTCGGCTAATCGAAGCTTCTCCGTGGTCATATCTCGCGGATATGGCCTCTGCGAATCCAACAAATATATATGGGCCCCCTCTACAATCTCAACATTCGCAACATCAAACCTCGGTGTCCAACTCAAACGCCTTCCATATTAATTCGACCCTGTCTCCCCAATCCAATGCCCTCCCGGCAACCCCTTTGAGTGCGGCACTTGGACCCGCTGCCCAGGCAACCGTACCATCCACTCCTGCAAGCGCGTACAGCGATAAATTCTTCGAGGGCGACGTCTTTCAGAGAGCGGACTCCTTGCTTTCCATGCCTAATCAGGCACCTTTTTTCAGCCGTCGGTAATATTGGGGGGAAGGGCAGGGCACTGTTGACCCCGCTCTTCATTCGTCTCGCGAGGAATCTGTATTCCCTAACATACTTTTCTGTGTTACGCTGCAGAAGGCTGCACCCTTGTTCTTCTGATTGTGCGTTACCTCTCGTTGGCTGTCTGTGGGCGAAGTTTGAAGTCTCTCCAATCGATGATTTGTGGAGCTTCGGCTTCCAACTTGGCCGAAAGGCCCGTACAAACCCCAAATCGGACGACTGCGTCCACCCACGCTTGAATAAGAGGGCAAGCATTGCCCGGGTCCGGCAGTGGCGAACGACAACTTACCTAACAGCCTTTTATTGACGGCAGGCCATACTATCCAGTGCAATTTGATTGGAAATTAGATGTACACATAGTCTCATGACTTGTTTCGGGAACAAACAAAAGAAAGGATCGCCCAATTCGGATGGTGTACGGATATAGCGTTGACTCTTTCTCCCTGAAATAGTTTGCATAGCGTGTGTTTTATAGTAAATTAAGATGATGAAAACAAGGCGAAATTCAGCACCGGTCATTTGATACAGGGCACAGCATGTGTACGTCAGTAGATAGATGAAGTCACCATCACCATTGTTCCTTAATATGCACATTATCTGATGCATGGAATGGCCAACACCAATATCCATTATCTTTTAACAGTGAATCGACGAACATGGCATCCATAGCCACAGCGGACGTAGAGAACCGAATCACGCCCCCACACTCTTTTGTCCCCCAGACTCCATGACCCCCAGATGAAATGTCACTCTTGTGACAGGGACATCCACATCACTTAGCGACAAAAAAACCCCTAGAACACTAGGAGATGTTCTGGATTGCGTTACCGAAGAGCAGGTAGGCAAGCAGCACGCGACGTAACCATGACCAACCCGGAAGTCGGACGAGACGGCCAGCAGCACGCACCTTTCTCTTTCGAAATGTTGGGGTCCTGTTCAGATCCTGAGTACTTATATTATAGCTATTGTGAGTGTTGAGGTTGGTGGTTGGTTTTTGTCGGTTGAGGGGGTTGATATTAAAGCATATATTATTACCGGAATAGCGACGGATATATATTCGAAGACCAAGGATCATTGGATTTCCATGCTAGTATTGACAAAGGATTAAAAACAAGAATGCAAGATAATCAGAACAGAGAAAATAATAATAATAGAAAGAAAAAGATAAAAATGTATCTTCACGGTAGAGCATTGTTCTTTTGTCTTTCGGAAACAATCACAAATAATACACACAATACCCCGTAGGCCTGTAGCTATAAGGAATAGTCTCAAAAGGACAGTCGATCTGATTTATTTCGAAACTAAAAAAATCTGTGCCACAGCATAAGTCCAAGGTCAGCGTTGTGTCTGTCGCCTTCCACGATCACATGCCCCAGATAGGGCTCAGGGCTAGGGCCTGTCAGTCATGAGGTATCACGGGACAGAAAAAGGCCTCGTTTTCAGCAGCTTTTTCTTTCCTCGTCCCTCGAGAATTTGGATCATCTAGATCGGGTCAATAGACTCGGATCCCATCCCTCATTCTGGTATCAGTTTCCTCTCACCCCGATCGTACGATCGAACCTTCGTGATTGGTGTCCCTCCACCCAACACATCGCCTTGACGAGTGCAGAACCCCAACCTCAGCCCAGGATGAGCGGTTTATCTGGAAGACCCAAGGAAGCCAAATGAACACCGCTCTTTATGGAGGCTTTAACGCGATTCGTCTTGGTCCTGGCCTCTGACTTCATTGATACTCCTCCGAACAGTTCCGGAACAATGAGGCGACCACACCCACAGCGATCGTTGTGACCAGTGCCCTCCGAAAAGTGAGGCGGTAAGCGTATATGCTTTCCCATGCTCCAACAACCTCCTTGATTCGCCTGGTCCTCCCATTTCCCCAAGGATCCAAATCAAACCCTGAAATCTAGAGAAAGGACTGCCTCGCTTCTTTTGCGGCCCCTGACACGGTGGCCTTTAAGATTCAGGTCTTAGGGGAGCCCCGAGTTTAAATGATGGTCTCCTTGTCGATCCACAGAGTGTCCATCCCGCGCGTTAATCGGCGCTTGCAGGGGGTCAAACCACTAGTTACTCAAGTCCATCCACGCAGGAATCCGCTCTGACTAGTCTAGCGCTCTTGGAGATTTTATCTATCAAGTACGGAGTATCAATCTGTTGGGATACTTCCCCTGTTCCCTGGTGCCATTCGCCACTACAGTATTTTCTGGATGGAATCCACGGTGTAGCGCGTGATCCTGACCGCGGCCACAACAAGACACAAATGCAGCACCGAAATGTCGGTGGGCAGAACAGGCTTGGTTTCTGAAATATTATGCCCAATGTTGCGTACGATAATCTGGAGTAGATTACGAGAACTACCTACAACAGGGTGGAGCATTTGCTTTTTAAAAGTAATTTGATGGCCTTACAGAAAGCCGGGAGGAACCCGGCCAGTTCGGCCACCGATCGGGAAGTAGGAGCCATGCCTCCAGGATAGTCGAGGGTACTTAGATGAAGACTGTGATGGCCGCATGACCGTCAGTCGAATATGCTTATCACGATGGACAACCCTGGCACTCGTTTTTCTTTCAGAGACCATTTTATTGGGACTCCAAAAAAAAAAAAAAAAGGCAACAAAGGCAATCACCCCAATCAATATTCAAAGTAATGTCCTCTGTACTCTGTACCGAGTCCGTCTTCGCCTGGAGAGCTATGGTGGAAAGAAAACGAGGATGGATGCATAAAGGATACTCGACTTGGACATCTCTTTAAAGAGAGTTTGGCCTTGAGATCGACGGATTGAGACTGGAATGTCCACTTGCTATGCTCTGTGCCCCCTGGCCTGGGACTCGCTTCCATTTCATTCGAAAGGGGAAATAACAAAATACTCCTATGTACACCCTCTGCCAGAGTGGGATGATTATCTCCAACTAGTAGGTATCGACAAATCCATCTGAACACAGTGGCGGCAAGCTGCATCAATCTGCATATTGTGGGTGAATACACCGAAAAGACTCCCTATGGCAGGAAGTAATACATTCCATGACTGACTTGTTCCTGCCTTTCTTCTCATCCACTTCTCTGGTTTAGTTATCGATTTGACAGGGTTGATTTTTTTTTTTTTTTTTCAATTTATCTATTTCCCCAATCCTTTTTTATCTCCTTTGTCTTATTACTAATGCGTCTCCGACTAAGAACTGGTGGCGCCTGAGGAGTAAATCCCTCCTTTCTCCTCCCCATCACATCTCCCTGCTTCAAGGGACCGTCGCTTTACCGGGTAGCAGCATTGTGTCTGGCACACGTCCGGCCTCGGATCGTACACGATACCGTGCCCTGTCATTGTGAGGAATGCAGACCTAGAGAGAGTCCAGGGATTTTGGACTTGGGCTCCCTCGCGCGGCCGTTAGGAATGATGCCTTTTTACCCATGCCCACTCATTAGCACCAGACCAGATCGGAGACGGTTTCGATGTAGGGTGAACGAGCAATGGGCCGCTTGCGTTCCGCAACTTCATTGCCGAAATACTTCTCAGTTCTCCCACGTCATCCACTATGCGACTAGGGGTGTCGGTCGTCGTGTTAAAAAACGTTTTCAATTTTCTTTTTTGTCGGCCCTCGTTTATTGCAAACTGGAGCCGGGAAGTTCGTAGCTGCAAGCGTTTACTAGATCTCTCTCTACTCAGCCTCACTTTTTTTTTTATTTTTATTTTTATCTCGGATTCCCTGGACTTTTAGTCCGTGCTGTTCTCGATACTGAACCCAGCAACTCCCCGTCACGATCTCTTGGCTAGGGATTTTTTTTTAATTCCATTCTATTTATTTTATCTTTATTTGGGCTGTCTTCATTAGTCCGTCTCCAGGGTGTAATTTATTTTCGACCTTCCTAGAATGTCCTAACTCCACACATGGTTGTTCTCTATTGTCCGAATGCCGTCATAAGTCATTGGTTATATCAAGTCTCTACTGTCCTATCCTGGCCCCTTTGCCAATCTGATTTCGCCGATTTGTTGGTGGGTGTCAACTTGTTTCCTTTCAGCATTGCAGCGAAGCTACCGCCGTTTGTTTGCTATCCTGCCCTTTGATCATCGATATCGCTGTCGCATAGATCGCTCGCTCCTAGCACAGGGCAATTCTCTCTCTCCCTTTCTATTTTCGCCCTTTGGACCTGTTCTCCCTGTCCCATACATACATACTGGCCTGTTTGTCCCTACGTGCTTGGTTCTGCGGGGGGAAGAAGAAGACTATATATCCCTAATCTCCATACTCGAGCATAGCTTGATCTGCCTCCAAGGAGAGAACCCAAAAAAAAAAGAAAAAGAAAAAGAAAAATATTAGGCAGGAGCTACTGTCCATTTTGGATCGACATTGCCGATCGTCCGCCAATCTCAGGTGAGTACAGAGTACTATTCTTTCTCCCTCGCCTGGTTGCCCCTCGACTTCGGTAAGGACTGACACAAAGTCAATAAAGCAAAAAAAAAAGGGCTAGTGTAGGGCTACGGTGCCTTGCTTCCGTTAACAAGAAATGTCCGTGGCCTTTTTGATCTAACGCAGCGAGGTCAATTATTATAGTTTCTAACTCACTCAAGCTCTCCGGGGTTTATTTCGCTTGTCTGTCCGTCCTACGCCCAATCACCTGGGAGATCGATTAGCAACAAACCCGGATGGAGATGGATCTCCAGAAGACAAAAGAGGCACGGCGGGACACGCCTGGGAAACAGGAGGAAGGTGCGGATTGTCCTCTGGAGACATATGGGGGAAGCAGCCACTCCAAGGACTCGCCAAAAAATGATTCCCTGGATCACCGGGATACGAATAGCACTAGGGGTGCGCCAAATGTCAATCAACGTCGCCGACCAGCGAATTTGACCTACGATGACGAAGCATGTCAGAGAGGGTCAGGACCCCCTCAAATGGCCTCCAGCACATCTCTCTCGTCTAAAGCAATGATGAATATTCCGACGGCGCTGGAGCTCGGTGCCAAGGAACAAAGGCTGTTGGCATCAGCAAAACGACACCCTCCCGTCACCAAAAGCACCTTGAGCGAGCTCGATTTACCCTGCATCATGAGCAATATCAACCTCCGGATGGATGCCAACTTTGATCGGGACCTGCATTTCAAACCGGATCTGGACGGTGAAAAGGGGCGACGAAAACGGAGGGAGGCGACAGACTACTGGGAAGCTATGGCAGTGGAGATCAGCATCTACGCATATTACGCCTCTCAAGGGGAGGACGACGGAGGTCAGGATGCTCCGGTCGATCAGCGACAGAGTTTTGAGCCCCGTCTGCCTGCCATGTTCGAGACGTTGCAGGATGTCCTGAAGACACTCGTTCCCGAGCGCGACCACCCCAGTGTCATGCAAAACCTCGAGGTGGCCTTGTTAATGCAACAAATCCAGAAGGGGGTTCTGGATATGGTAGGCGTAGCTAAATGGCTGGCGGCCTTACTCAAGACTCATTGCGCCCCTATGCGAGATGAATGGGCAGATACTATGGTCGAGCAGATCAGCTCGGGCTCGCGATCGCAGAATTCCACCGAGGTCGTCTGCGGTCTCCAAACGCTATTCGCAATCTTGGAGGCTATGAAATTGGTAAGCGGACGGGTTTCCGCCTCCCCTCCTAACACCCTTGGTTTGGAAGCGGGCATTCGGGAGAGGATAAGACACTAATGGGCTTGGTAGGACGTGGCGAACCATCAAATCCGCGCATTTCGGGTACTTCTCATCGAGGATACTATCCCATTTCTGCAGGAGTACTTCCGGGGCAAGATCGAAAGGGATAATTTCCGCGTCGAGTCTTCTCGACTTTGGTATCTCAATCTCCGTGAACGAGAGCTCCGCCGGATGGAGAAATCGGCTCAGACCGACAGCTTTTGGCCCATCTCATTGCTACTTCGAGGCATATCTGAATCCCTGCTGCAGTTTCGCAGCCCCGAGGCGTTCCCGGAAACGTTCATCTTTGACTCGGATCGGCTGTGGCAGCTTCGGGCCTGTCTCCAGAACCTCATCAACCTTGACATTTGTTGGTTTATTTTTGAATCGTACATCCATACGCAAAAACGGTATCTTTCGGCACCGGCGCAGACGTATGCCACGTTTCGCTCGCGCATCGGGTCGCTGATGGAGGAGAATGAAGATTGCTTCCGGGGGTCCCCTCAATGGTTAAAAAATGTACGGTGCATCGCGCTGGAAATCGCACGGTTCGCGTGCGCGGCATGCTGCTGCGACGCCATGGTGTCGGACAACGTGATTGCACCCATTGAGGCTGCCTTGGAGTGGCACCTGTCAAACGAGGCCGGATTGTTTCAATTTTTCCAGAATTCCCTGCGAGAAAAACTACTGGCTGCCACGTTTAACTCGGCCAAGAAGTATCTGACGATGTCACCTCTGGCGATCTGTGAGTCCCAACGAGGCCATCCGCAGTCGACAGTATCACAACAACATTACGACGTTGAACGGATCTCAATGCGACTGGCACACATGGGCGTTCTCCACTGGAAGGTATGGGCACCGATTCTCTACGTGCGCGAGAGCGTGTCACCGACTGACGTGGCGACATCCCATGTATCTCCGATGGAGATGACTGACGTGGCACGTTCGTTGACACGTTGAGGCCGGAGCATCCTCTTGGAGATATTTTCCTGCCTCTTTTTTTGTACTTCTGGGGATCTATTCTGGTAACTCTTCTAAAAACAGATATGATCGCCGAGTGAAGTTGAACGGAGTTGGGTGTTTTGTGCGGGCTATTTTGTGACTTTGCAGCGTTTAGCATGAGGCAGTTATTGGCGTCGGTATGTCAAGGTTTTGGTTCAGGATATTCCAGCTGGGGCATTGTTTTAATAGACTGGGGATGTACGGGTTCTCCCGATGTCGGTGCCGGTGTATAGTAGGCCAATCAGTAATCCAAGGGTTCTCGAGTCAATCGTGTGCAGTTTCAACGTAATAACTAGAGACAGTACTGTGATGCTGATGTAAGCGGAATGGCACGTGCCGGTCCAATATCCTAGACCTCGTCTTCAGCAATGCATCAGACTCACCACCATGCGTCTCTCGCCAGCATGTCTCCAGTCGACATCGTCCTGGCTGCATTCACTGAAAGTCGCCCAGCTCCAGAAAATCGCCCACACAACGGGCATCCGATCATCTGGTCCCAAAGCCGCGCTGATCCAGCGACTGCATGCCGAATTGACATGCAACGTCCAACCCGACTCCCCTGGTCGGGGGATGAGCATTCTTAGTATTGATATGGGGATTCGAAATCTGGCATTTGCGCATCTTCTTGTCCCGAGAGGTGACCCTACGAATGTAGACAACCTACCTCCAATCCCAATCTTGAATGCTTGGCAGAGACTCTCCGTATCTAGTCTCCCCCTGGACGACCCTCTCTCGTCTTCAACTGAGGAGAAAGGTATCCAAACAGGACCAGACACAGAAACAGAAACAGGGATAGATACAGGGAACGAGCCAGAAACAGAAAGAAAAGAAGACTTCTCCCCTTCTGTATATGCCCCGCACGCCTACTTCCTGCTTACCACGCTGCTATCGACCTATCGACCGACGCACGTGCTGATCGAGCGGCAACGGTTCCGCTCAGGAGGCGCCAGCGCCGTCCAGGAGTGGACGTTACGCGTGGGTGTGTTCGAGGGCATGTTGTATGCGGTTTTGTGTACTTTAGCGCGTGAACGAGGTGGTGTTTTTGCCCCTGTTGTGGTGGGGGTCGAGCCGAGGAGGGTGTTGAGGTTTTGGAGTTCTTCTTTTCCCTCTTCTTCTTCTTCCTCCTCTAATTCGTCTTTGTCTTCGTCTTTATCTCAGGAACAGATGGAAGAGGATCAAGAAGCTGGGAAGAAGAAGAAAAAGACGGTTAGTTCGCGGGATGGAAAAAAATTGAAGATTAATCTGGTGGGCCGGTGGTTGACCTCTTCCTCTTCCTCAGAAATCGTCGATGGTAACGATACGAGAAGGGTAGGGAGTAAGATCCAGATTGGGAATGATCCCGACCTTCGACGGTGGGTCGAAGCGTATCTGGCACAGTGGCTCGGTCAGGGGCAGGGGAAGAAAAGGTCCAATTCGCCGTCGAGAACGAGGACCCAGATGGATCCATCAGTTGAGATTGGCAAGTTGGATGACCTGGCGGATTGTTTGGTTCAAGGCGTGACCTGGTTGGATTGGCTAGTCATGAGGGATCGCGTGTCGAGAGGTGTGGGCGCCGTGATGGTGTGATGTGATTCTTCCATGTCCATGGGTTGGGCGTGATACCGCTATCCAAATTCGGGATATTAATTAATGTATATTAACGGTTTATTACACGCAATTTCAGATCTGCATCTACTGTATATGGTATGACCTTACGATGTCTGGTGCTGTCTGAAAAGGGAAAGGAATAAAAAGAAAAGATTCGCATTCGTGACAGTCTATAAGTTCGTGATGTTTTGTTGGACCCGTAAGATCCAAGATAGCATTCCACCCCTAAAATCACCGCGGAGTTTAGAATAGGCGATTGTTGACATCCTGGTTGCCCGAAGCTGAGCATGACCCCTCAACACCAAGACTTCCAAAAGGTAGGTTTTCTTCTCCGGGGAATGAGAGATCAACAGAAACGAAAACAAGAACACATCTGTTGTTTTAAAGGCTGGATAGATTCCAAACCGTAAGAATAGAAAGCAATAAAAAAATTTCGATCAACGACGTCTCTCGCCGCGTGCAGTGGGAGAAAGGGAATAAGTTTAAAAAGGAAACGATTTATCAACGACCAAAGTTTGTACCGGAAGTAAATCAGGACGATCCTCTCATATAGATACACTGCCTGCGCGAATACTTGAACGCGGAGAAGAAAGACAAGGAAACCTTAGTTACAGATGGTCAACCTCGATGCTCCATGAGTTGTGTTCGCCTTAGATGATGCGGCGACGGCGGACAATGGTAGGCAAGGCCACGTTGCTGCTGGTCAGGGAACCCGAGGGCGTGGGGACACCGGAGCTGCTGGGTGTGGGGATAGCGCTGCTGCTGGGTGTACGGCGGGCAGTAGTGGTAGAAGTGGTGGTTTGCTCATCACCATCATCTCCCTTATCGGCGCCGTTGCCTCCGTTCGAGGAACCAGGGTTGACGGTAGCAGCAGGGGCAGCAGTCTGATATGCGTCAGTCATGATTCTGCGTCCTCCCAGCTCAAGAAACTTACCACAGTGACGGTATCAGTAGCGGTGACGGTGACAGTGGAAGGGACGCATTGTCCGTTCTGGCCATTCTCACCCTGACCGTTGTTTCCGTTACCCGCGCCACCAGTAGGAACAGCAATAACACTGACGGTGGAAGTAGAGGCAGAATGGCGAGTGGTGACGTCCTCGCCAGAGCCGTTGCCAGAGCCGTTGCCAGAGCCGTTGTCCGAGCTACCGGAGCCTGCGCTGGGGGTCTGGATACGATAAGTCAGTACGCCTATCCCAAGCGGATCAAGGAAAAGAAAACAAGAGTAGAACATACGGCGTAGACGGTCTTCAAGTTCGTAGCAGTCTTGTGAATGGTCGTGACCACAACGGATTTGGAGGTACCGGTGCCCACAGTGTAGGTCAGGGTCACATCCTCGGTTCCAGGCAAGTTGCCATCAGAGCCGGAACCACCAGTGGAACCGGTGGACAGAGGAGGAACGGGCCCACTGGTGATGGTAGACGAAGTCTGGCCATTGGCGGCGGAAGAGGAGGGAATCTTCGAGGACGAAGGGTAAGGCGGAATAGCGGACGAGGAGGATCCAGCAACCGGGGGAACAACCGGGGGCTCCTGCGGGACTGCGGGAGTTTGAGCGGCCGCAGTGGTACTGGTGGTGCTCTGGACGGGAGTCGGCAAGACGGTGCTGGACGACCCGGGCTGGTTCAGTTCGCGGTGGTGGATAAAATTCTTGCGAGCATGGATATTGGCTTCGGAGCTCGCAGCCAGCGCGGCAAGCATAGCGATGGAGAACTTGGCGGGAAAATGCATGATGGATGGGACCGACAGTCAATGTCTGGTACTAAAGTGAGGCCGGAGAGGGTCTGCCTGGGGCTTGCAACGAGTGGGACGCGAAATCAATTCGCGGAAAACAACGACAGATAAAGAGTGACGGAGGGTAAAAAAACCGCAGAAAGAGCGTGTACGGGCAGGAGGGTCTCTGAGAAAGAGAGGGAAGAAATCGAAGATGAAAGCGGACGTTGAGGGAATAATAAATGGGATGCATAGATGCAGGGGAGGGGACCGAATCATATCGTCTCTTGCTAGTTTGATTAATATTCTGGGTGCCACCCACACCTGATACGTTTTGCGGGGCCTGGACTCTAGGCATCAATTTTGGATCTTCCTGAGGGTCTTAGTTGACGTCTCTCTAGTACGTAGGAGATACTAGGTACCTACCTCGTACGGGGTATAGTAGTAGGCGATACTCTAGATACCTGGAAGTACGAGCAGACATCAGTCTGACCCTCAACCACCATCCTGCTGTCCATATCCGATGAACGATACTGATGTCGTGCGTACAGAGTAGGTAGGTACCTATGGTGTGTTCGGTACCTCTCACTATCCATGGTTTTCTGGAGATCCCGTCGTTCCTTCCTTCCTGTACTTTGCAGTTGCATCGTGGTGGGTCCAGGAACTTGGCGTCCATTGGCTGAGATAGGGACATCCGTTTCACCTCCCCCCATGCCTGCCGCTTATTGGTCCACCATGGTAGGCTTTAATCTCGCCGCGTGCCGTCCAGCCGCACGGATCCATTTGTTTTGGATTTGACTTTCTGGGTTGATTCTTGAAAAGTCTCTTCTCTGTGCTTTCCCCCTTCCTTTTTCCAGTATTTTCTTATTTTTGTCTTATTTATTTTTGTTTTTTCGAATTTCCAGGCCCCTTGCGATGGCAAATATTTCCCCGAGTGACGTGGTCTTTATTCTACCTATCATCCAAAACATGTAATCTCCATCACCTCGCTCGCTCATTTAACACTGCATGCGCAAGGAATAGGTACAGTAGGTGCCTACGGACTAGTAGTGCCGCACGGAGTACGTCGAGAACTAAATTTTCCTCTCTTTTTTTCCGAGAGGCAAATAAGCTGTTGTTGCATCAATAGTCTACGTGCTACTAGTGGATAGAAGTGCCTAGGACACTTAACTAACCGCCACTACTTTAGTAAAGGAACTAATCAGTTAGTGCGTGACTGGTGGCATCATCTATGGATTTGGCCGTGATTTGCCGTCCCCTCGCCGGCACAGTGGAAATGAGCACAGTCCCAAGAGTAGTAATCTCCGTAGGTTGAACTATTGAAAAGTCCCTGTAGCATGACGGAGATGACCGTCATTCTCAGAGGACATAGTGGGTAATCCCATGTCCTATTGATTGAACAATTCAGGAGAAGATCCATATTCCATCTACATCCTAGAGAGAGGCAACAGGAAAAAAAAAAAAAAAAAACTTTTATCAGACTCAGCCTAAGACAGGAGGCGACGGTTCCATTAATCTTTCTGTGCGAATATTGTACCGTAGTTGTACCGAGAAGTACCAGTAGCAGAAGTACTGTGCTCTAGACGATTAATTAGTTCGAGTCCTGGGCTGTTAAGCGAGAAACATGACGACTTGGATCAATTCCTCCTCGGGACGCAGAAGGAAAGTCAATTAAATTCTGAATCTTTCATTTGTATTATTAATGTGGGTAACCAAGAGTATTAACTAATATTACGATCATACTATTCTTCCAGTCGTCGATCCAGCTCGTTCAGATAGACAAAGGAAGAGTTGACAGATGCGATCTTATAATCCTAACGGTTCACGCTGATCACGGTGGGGAATCGGGAAATAAGTTAATCTAAGAGATGCAAGACAATCCTCTCCTTTTCTCACCTCATCTTCACGAGGGTAAATTGTAAGATATAGTATGGTACTCCGTAGTAGCTAAACAATGAATCTTGGTGGAACTCCCCCATACTGTACATGAGACGGCTTGATATTGTTCTTCCAGATAAACTCATCATCAATAACATTCCTCGCATCGGAGAAGTGTCTCGATCGGCCTGCCGTGTTTCAGACAGATTAAAACTCAGTGCAGCCTCTGTCTTTGCAATCTGCTTTGCGAGCCTCTCCCTCAGGATGGCTCTTTTTTAATCTATGTGCTTGTCTAGACTCTAGTGACCTTGCACGGACTCATCCATTCCCGGCCATACGGACAGAACGTCCCGTGATTGGGATCATCGGCAAAGTAATCTCGTCGCAGAAGCAATTTAGACATTGGATTTCATGGCAGCCGATATTCCGAGAAATCCTGGCAGTTCTGGACTCTGGATCCTGCATCCTCCCGCACAACGCTCATCCTTGGGGCGCTTTCCCGCTCCACTAATTAATTGCTTATCCATGGATTGCATGTCGCACCAACGATGACCTCATACATAGTCCCAAATCCTGCACCGCGCTAGGTGCACGATTGACAGGACCTATCTCCTTCCCAAATACCAACAACGCCAGTAGCAACTTGACCTGAAGATCGAGAACCTCTGGCCCAAATGATTCTATTCTGTCTGCACCCTGCGCATGGCAAAGCCACATGAACACGTCGCTCATCGGCCTTATCTATCAGCTCCCAACTTTTCGGGTATCGCAGATCTACCCCCTTTCCATCCGTGCCTTCGCCATGTCCACAGCCTCCTTTCACGCTCTTCGTGCCAAATATAGTTCAGCCCTAGCACGTTTCAGCCCATCGACGAGGACCTTCGAGATTTTGTCCTCAGTCTCAGCCGAACGCTTCCAACAATCATCCCCAGAAGTTCTGTTCGTGTTGGATTCGTCCTTCAACCCTCCGACTCTTGCCCACTGTCACATTGCCAGCTCGGCATTGTTAGAAGATCCAGACCGTCCATCTCGGCTCCTACTGCTCTTAGCCACCCAGAATGCAGACAAGCCTTCCAAGCCTGCCAAGTTCGAGGACCGTCTGGCCATGATGGAGTTGTTTGCCCGACATCTCCTATCGTACACGGAGACGCTCCTACCGGTCCCGGAGCGCCAGCGTCTTCCCGGCATCGATATCGGGGTCACCAAGAAACCGTATTTCGTGGACAAAGCAGCCGACATTGATGCCGGCAGCGTTTACCCGCCGTCACTTGAGCAGGTTCATCTGACGGGCTTTGACACATTGGTCCGCATCTTCAACCCCAAGTACTATCCACCTGAGCATACCTTGCAACCCCTGGAACCGTTCCTTTCGCACCACCGGCTCCGAGTCACGTTGCGCCCGGACGGCGAATGGGGCGGTCGCGAGGAGCAAGAGGCTTTCCTTCTCACCTTGGCCCAAGGAGGCCGCGAACATGAGGGCGGGAAGCGTGAATGGGCCCAACGTATTCAGTTGGTTGAAGGGAGGAGACCGGGTGGTCCGTCGGTGAGCTCTACCCAGGCGCGACAGGCTATTGAGAACGGTAACCCCCAAGATCTGGATTGGCTGGTTCCCTCCGATGTCCGGAATTTTATCCTATCGGTTGAGCCGTACACCAAGTAACTATCAATGATATCTACGAATCGTCCACGCCGACATGTCTATTGGTACAGTAGAGATGATCCAACGCACCGTGCCACAATCCTGCTATTTGATGCTTGCCTTTCTGACCCCATACTGTACCTTTGAAGCGTCCGCAGGCCACGAGAGAGACCTAGTTTTGGACTCGTACATAAGATAACATAAAATGAACCAACCGAAACACCGTACCGCAAACGACGCCGACTCCACGTCCAAAGGAGAGACATTAAAGAAAAGTAGTAGTATGATAGATACCGCAACCGTAGCCACATATTCCCGTGCCATTAATGCCACTGACCTCTTTACTCTTCCTTGTCTTCTCTCTTTCCGGCTGTATAGGCGATTCCACCGCCGACCAAATTGACGAAACAAAGACCCATAGTCAGGCCGCGAACAATGCCACGAGCGCCCCATTTCTTCATGAACGGCTGTCGTCGCCGACCAGCGAGAAGCAGATAAAGCCCTGACCAGGCAGCGCTGATCCCCGCACCATCGGTCCTAAAGCCCAGCACATTCGCATAGCTTGTGGTCAGCAGGATCGGGGCGAATAGCAGCGGTAGCGGCTGAAGGGGACGGGCGTGCTGCGCAGTGATGAGGGTTGCTAATAGAGTCGGTGGAAACGGGTTTTCTGCAGTAGACAGGTGGTGGTGTTAGAAGAGCAAAACTATCGAACCCGATCGAGGGAAATGAATGTCTTAGCTAGGAAGGAAGTGGTCCATAAGAAGCAATGCAGTGGTATGACGAGCACTCACCTCCCCAAGCTTTGGCCCTCTGCAGGAGAGACTTTTTTGTGTCCTCTATAGGTGATTCTGTGCCGGCCATTGTAATGAATAATTACGATTCTTTGGGGGAAGAAGTTCAAAGAAAAGAACAAGAGAAACAGAACCTTACCAAAGGAATATAGAATGGAGCTTTGTTGCGGCAAGAGGATTGGCGTATCTTTTGCCTGACTAACGCCCGCTTAGCGTCGACATCTGAACTTCCGGAAGACACCACGTTGATCAGCAAAAGCAATCCAACCTCTCTCCCTTTCTTGCGTTCTAGGCCAACCAGTTTTCCTTGACCCGACCGCCCTACTCGCCGATATTTGTATCTGTGCGTCGCTTCCTCTCGATCGTTATTACTGTCGACGGAAAAAAGACCACCATCTCTTCTGTTCGCCATCGCTTTCCTTTTCCAGTGTTCGCCTTCCCCTCGCCTGACGGCTTGGGACGTCATCTCTCATCTTCTTGACTGAAGAGGATAGAATCCGGACCAGGGACACAGCAAAGGAGGGGAAAGAATCACACCGTCGGGGTCTAGTTGCCATGCCGTCGGCCACTGCATCTGGGTCAGACAATGGGGGCCCAGCGAAATCTCGCGAGCATAACCAAGGGAATCAGGACCGTAAATACACTCCGGAACAGAAGGCCGCTGTGCTTAGGATACGGAAATGCTCGACGACGGCGTTTTACGAGATCTTGTCTCTAGAAAAAACCGCCTCCGACGGCGAGATCAAGAAGGCCTATCGGAAATTGAGTTTACTGACACATCCGGATAAGAACGGGTATGACGGGGCGGATGAGGCATTCAAGTGTGAGTTGAGTTGATTACAGTCGGAGGCATTCGATGTTGGGGTTACTGATGTCGAATGTTGATAGTGGTGTCACGCGCTTTCCAGGTCCTGTCAGACCCTGATAAGAAGTCCAAATACGATAAGTTCGGTGGTGATCCGGATAGCAGGTTTCCCCCCAGTGCTGGTCCCTCGGGAGCGTCTCCCTTCAGTGGCTTCGGTGGTGGTGGCTTCCCGCGATCTGGAGGACCGGGTGGCTCTGTGTTCGAAGAAGAGATATCACCAGAGGAGTTATTCAACCGGTTCTTCAACGGAGGATTTGGTGGTATGGGAGGTGGTTTTAGCCCGTTTGGTATGTTTCTTTCCCTTTCCTTCCCCTCGTTAATTATGATCTCTGCGGCAGGTGACTGAGAGGACCCTTGGGCTGATTGATTCTTCTCTATAGGTGGCCCCCAATTTGTCTTCAACATGGGAGGAGGCCCTGGCTTCCGGGTTCATCAATTTGGAGGTCCTCGGCCGCGGAGACGACCCCGTGAAGCCAATGCACAATCCGAGCCAGCGCCGTCGGGCTGGGCCACGTTGCAACAGCTCTTGCCCCTGATCCTCCTTTTCGTTCTTCCCTTGCTCTCCTCGCTTTTCTCTGGCTCGTCTACACCCTCCGGTCCGTCCATTCGATTTGATATGGCAGTACCGCCTCACACGATGCAGCGAACCACCCCAAAACTACACCTGAACTACTTTGTCAACCCCAGAGACGTGGAAGACTTCAGCGCGCGGAAATTCCGCAATTTAGACAAACGGGTCGAGGTGGACTACGTCACTAAACTTCGGTACGAATGCGAGAAAGAGGTACATTCCCGGGAACGGATGATCCAAGAAGCTCAGGGCTGGTTTTTCCCCGATGTAGAGAAGATGAAGGAGGCAAGGGAAATGGAGTTAAAGAGTTGTCGACGGTTAGACTCTTTGAAAGGCCGGTATTAACCCGTCGTGTCTATATGAGCAGCGCATTTTTATCTAGCCATGCTGCGTTTATACTTAATTTTTTTTTTTTTTGTCTTCTATTTCAGGACCTTCCATCTCCCATTAGATGACTTGGGGAATGTGAGGGATTTGGCGGCGTTCCATGGGCTGAAATGCGACTGCAAGTCAGGGAACACCGGTCTGTGGGATATTATATGAGTGAACTGCCTTGTATATGAGAAGAGAAGATTAAACAATAAGACAATCCAACGTGCGAAATGATGATGAGGAAAGAACCTGATGCATAAATTCCTGGGATTGCGAGAAAAGGCGGTAGCCTGCAGCTTAGCTTAGTAAATGCGGGCGAATCCCAGCGATCATCACAGAAAGCCTGGTTCAAGCATCATCAACCATCGCCTGCCCTCTCTCTTCTCCTCTCTTTCTCCCCTCTCTCCCCTAGGCACTGGCATTTTCTGACCCCTCGCTCATGTCTTTCTTCTAATTCCGCATCTAATTCTCCTACCGTTGTCGCTTGGACTCCGCATCTCTGCCCCTCCCAGTGAAGTGGTATCGATAATAATAATCGCCGCAGATGTCTGACGGTCTCTCTGAGGCGGATAAGGTTCGATCGTCTCTCGTTTGTGGGCCCAAATGCGTCGCAATCTAACCTGTATAGATCCGCAACAAGCGTCTGGCAAAATTGGGAAACCCAACTCCATCGTCGCAAGCCGAGGGTGCTGCAGAGTCAGCTTCAAACCAAGCCCCAGCCCCGTCTCAACCTGCTCCGAATCGTGGAGCTTCGGGATCACAGTCCCGTATCGGAAGTGTAGCTGGTTCCCGTCCGTCTTCACCTCGCCCCGATGGGCCACAAACAGAAGGGAAGCGGATCAAAATCACACCCGTAGCGTCCACCAGCAATGTCGCTGCCGAGCGATCACGACCGGCCACTCCCGTTTCCAACACCCATACACCCCCGAAAGCAGAAGAGAGCATCGAGGCCTTTGAGGATCGTACATTGAGTGCTGTATTCAAGTTGACACTGAATGAGGATCGACATCAGGATATCCACGCTCAGAGGTTGACCTTCTTACCGGCACTACGCAGCGAGCTCGAAGATGATGGCCGGGAATTGCGCATCGACACGTCGGTTTTGGATCAGGCTATTTTGGAAGCGGCTTCCAATGTCCCCGGCCAGAAACCACTTGATTACTTGCTACCGTGTTGGAAGAGGGTATCCCGGTTGCACAAAGGGTTTCGCCGGTCTCGAGATGATGATCCTAAGTACCTTGTTCTATGTGAGGCTCGTCGACTGTGCTTAAGTTATTGCATCTTTGCGATAACAATGCCCGAAATGTTTGGGTGCGTTCAACAACCTGCTTTTTGCTTCCTAACTGAGCTCTAAGATCACCGACTAACTGGCTCTCTCTCGCTCCCCTAGGCTTGATCCGTCGGGACGATCACCCCTGAAGCCCTATTTACTCTTGGATGTCGACAGCGAGAAGGGTTTGGACCTTGAGTTCATAGGCGAGGTTGTCAAGAGATTTGATGAGGACGAGAGTATCAAGCCGGCCATTGTGACCGCTGTAGAGGAAATGAGTCGGGAGCTGGCCGCCTTGAATATCACCGATGATTACAAGCCCTATGTCACAGTATGTTCGGGTCCTACGTCTTATCCTTTCCTTCCCAGATGTCTCATCAACTCTATTTCTAGGCTTTGCAAAATCTTGTCCGCCACGCCAGTATCGGCACTGCTATCACAGAGTCTTCCATGTTTAATGCCTCTCGCGACCCTGCTTTATTTGAGAAGGAGACTTTGCTGGGGCCGTGGTTTGGCCTGTCACCACTGCAGGGCAGTGCCACCATGTCATATTTTTCGAGTCCAAAGACGAAGGACCAAACGTATATTCTCAACACCCAGCAATCGCTTCGGATGATGCAGCGGCTAATTAGCACCGACCTCCTGGACATAATAAACCACATGGTCCGGGCATCTAAAGAAGCCAGGGAAAAAATCCTAGACTGGTTTGCTGCGGCGTTGAATATCAATCACAAGCGACGAGCCATGCAAGTAGACCCCAACACCGTGTCGTCTGATGGATTTATGCTCAATCTTACGACGTGCTTGGACCAGCTCTGTGAGCCCTTCATGGACGCGAGTTTCACCAAGGTAGGTCCTGCCTGGTTACGTCTGAGCATGACATGGATTTGTGGTCTGACCAATGCTCTAGATCGATCGGATTGATGCAAATTACCTGCGCCGCAGCCCCCGAATTGACCTGAGCGATGAGACTAAGATCAATGCTGACAAACATGCCTCGGATGCTTTCTATTCGAAGAAGGCCGAAGGCACTTCCAATTTCATCACGGAGATCTTCTTTCTCACTGTCGCGGCCCATCACTATGGCAGTGAATCCTTGACCTCGAAATTGGATCAGCTAGAGAAAGACCTGCGACATATGGAATCCACCATCACCAAGTTTGAGTCGGAACGGCATAAATATGTGAACAATCCAATGCAGTTGAGAGTGTTTGAGCAGGCTTTGAAAAAATACAAGGACAAATTAGATCTTGGCCTTGCGCTGAAGTATAGCCTCCAAGGGGTATTATTCGACGATCAGTGGCAGGCCCGCTCCATGTTGTTTATGCGCTACGTTATTGTTTGGCTGCTTCGACTCGTATCTGGTGGAAATTTCCCCAACGAAGAAATTAAACTGCCCCTCCCAGAGCAACAACCAGAAGTCTTCCAGTGCCTGCCCGAATATTTTGTGGATGACGTTGTCAGCAACTTCAAATTCATCATGTGGTGCATGCCTCACATCATTACCGCTACGCAGGGAGATGAGCTAGTCATGCTCTGCATAACCTTCTTGGAAAGTTCTGGTTATATCAAGAACCCCTATCTCAAAGCAGGACTTGTTTCTATCCTATTTCGAGGCACATGGCCGCGCCCTGGTGGCGCTCGTGGTGTCCTCGTTGATCTCCTTAACTCCATGCCATTCGCCAACGATTACCTGCTACACGCCCTGATGAAGTTCTACATCGAGGCCGAGCACACGGGTACCCACACCCAGTTCTTTGACAAGTTCAACATCCGATTCGAGATCTTCCAGATCATTAAGTGTATCTGGCCCAACACACTGTACCGGAACAAGCTATACAACCAGTCCCAAAAGAACCTGGACTTTTTCGTCCAATTTGTGAACCTGCTCCTTAACGATGTGACGTTCGTGCTCGACGAGTCGTTCGGTGCATTCATTACCATCCATAAGACACAAACTGAGCTGCGCAACGAAGGCGCCAGTATGGATCCTGCCGTGCGTCAGCAAAAAGAGGAGCATCTGGCGTCTGCCCAGCGCAATGCGAAGTCCTACATGCAGCTCACGAATGTCACGGTTTCCATGCTGAAGCTCTTTACGGACGCCTTGGCAGATTCGTTCACCATGCCTGAAATTGTCCAGCGGCTGGCGGACATGCTGGACTACAATCTAGATGCCATGGTGGGACCGAAGAGCTCCAGCCTGCGCGTGGATAACCTGCAGGAATACGGGTTTAATCCGCGAGCCTTGCTGAGTGAGATAGTCGATGTGTACCTGAACTTGATAAGTAAAGAGAACTTTATCATCGCCGTCGCGCGCGACGGACGATCATACAAGCCGGCGAACTTTGAAAAGGCGGCGGAGATTCTGCGGAAGTGGTCGCTGAAATCTCCGGATGAGTTCAAAAGCTGGGAGAAATTCCAAACTATGGTAAAAGAGGCCAAGCAAGCCGACGACCAAGCGGAAGAGGATCTCGGGGAGATCCCCGATGAATTCTTGGGTATGATTGTACTGCTGCTCAAACTTTCTGCACGTCTACTAAATAGCCCTTCTAGATCCCTTGATGTACACCCTGATGGAAGACCCAGTCATCCTGCCTGGATCGCGGGTGTCCATTGACCGTTCCACTATTCGTTCTCACCTCTTGAGTGACCCGCACGACCCGTTCAACCGAGTTCCACTCAAGATAGAGGACGTCACGCCAGGTAAGCTATTCTAAACGGTCAATGCAACGACTGACTGACCTTTTCCGCAGATATGGAGCTTAAAGCTAAGATCGAGGCATTCAAGACGGAGAGAATTGCCGAGCGAAGAAAGGCGAGGGTCCAGGAGGTGTCCCAGTCGATGGACACGTCTGCCGGTTAAGTAATTGTGCTATCTTGGGTGTATGCTGATCAGGCAAGTTTGCTGCTGCATTCATGGCCGAGGTATGACTAGAATATGAAGATCTTTATTATTATTATTTTATCGTGCTCGTAATGAAGTCGGATTGGAGCAGGCGTTACCATTCTTATACTACCTATTGGTCTACGCCTACTGATTCTACCCCACTTAAGGCCACTAGCACCACAAGCTTGCCAGTAGGACAGACTATTTGTGATTGAGTATCTTTCTGCTAGGACGTACAATGTAGGACTCACAACCAGGAAGGTTTAAAGGTTCCCTTGGAGATCAGCCTGGTACAAAGTCGAGGACGGGAAGGCCTGTGATTTGAATACCAAAGGGACTGGAGGAACAAGAGTTTACGCCCACGGCCCTAACCCCGGGTGCTGATGACCCGTGTATTAAGATGGGGAGTGTAGGCTCTGTGATGTAGCATCAGGCGTGCTAGACCCTACGCTCCCGACTACTTATCTTGAGAGACCGCGGTCGTACAACCTGCACATTTTAAGGTTCGCCAGTTGGCGGACACAACAAATGCAAGGCCTCTATGGTTGTCTATCTGCTATTAATTGTGCAACTACTCTGCCAACCAGTGCGTTAGTTCTTGTTCTCTGCGTTTCCCTTTACCTCGCTGACAAAATAGTAGATTACCCTGAGCCAAGGCTCATCCATGCCATATTCCAAAATGACTACACGGAGTTGCATATGTTTAATAATCAAAAGAAGCTCTACAGTCCCAAGGTTGGGTTCTCTAGGCTGTACTGATGACAGCGCCGCTCTTAGCGGCTGTCGAGCGTCACTCATAGCCAGCGTCGTACTCTGAGAATGAGATAGCTCAGTATCAGGGGATTAGTTATCGCCTGCAGATCCATCCATGGCGGCGAAGATCCTCGAACAAGAATATATGGCCCACAGATTAGAGAGAGCTTACATTCTGGATTCCGAATACTTGGAGCGCCAATAGCAGCTGCCATGTCTACAGGACCGTTCTGTATGTCACATGATTGGCACGACCAGAGCATTTAACTCTGAGTAAATGGCCCTTACAGCTTTAGAAACGAGATATGAAGAATGCGGATCTGATCTGCCAGGGCTTGGAGCTTTCCTGCACCCTTAAGTGACGCTATATGATCCCCCATACGAATGGTTATAGCTTGCTAGATATCTTTGTAAAAGGTGAACAGATTCTATTATGGGCCATTGTAATAGATTAAATGAACTGCCCACCGAGACCTCGGAAAGTAGAGTATCCAATAAAGACTGGAATAAGTCTGGCCTCGGATGTGGACGGATAGGGTTGTTCCATTTAAGAGCCATGGTCCCCTAGCTGACAAGGGATCGCAACTGCACTGAGCTTGATTACTAGTAGATTCCAGGACGGCCACACCTGTATAATCGCATATTTCTGTTGTACAAGAATGTTGTATCTCCACGTGCGAAAACGCAACATACATCTTCTGCCCAAGTTGAAGGCGAGGATGTGAAGATATCAACGCAGATGTCTGTTGATCATAGACATCGGGTAGGTTGTCCTCTGCAGACAAATGGACACATCGTCGTCTGTCTAACAGGGTAGGCATGGGCCTGCATTTGGGCCGGGATACGTACTCTCTCGTTCCTTATCTGAACGAGTAATCTCTAGCTCTTTGCTAGTGGGGCTATAACTGCTGTACTCCGTAGGGGTTTATCTGGCATCTCCACACCAACGTTAGTTCCAAGGCAGTCGGCTCCAAGGGAAGAAATATAGTTAAGAGCGGAGATATCGCACAAATATAGTAACAAATGACGTACACATCTGGTAAACTATATCCAGCTCTAGGGTAAGGATCTGGTGTACTGGCGTCTCTGTGCGGCTTAGGTCACTTGAAAGAGAAAACACGGGAATAATGCAACCTTAGATGCTAGTCACCGAAGCCAAATATTCGCTAAAATAGGTGAGAGATAGGTGGAACCTACGACACCTAAATTTGTTCTCTCGTTATCAAGAAGACAGTCTGTCTTCACACCAGCTGCAAAAGACGATCGTCTCCTGGAGAGTTGTCGTCGAAGGAATAAAGGAAACGAGCATCAGCGCAGCCTGCTCCTTCATCAACTGACCCCTTCTGCTCTTCAACTTATCCTAGTCGAAACACCCACCTCGGAGGATTGAACAGGTAGAGCTCTCCCTGCCAAAGGCGTCCAACTGAGTTAAAGCCAATCACATCTTCTGGTATGACTCGGATGTTGGGTGAATAGCAAGCCGAAGGCAGCATTTAACAACCTATTCACTTGTTGTTGGAGCCTGCTCCATGCAAAATCATCCCAAACTAGGGCTGAACATCGTTACCACCACCCAGGGGGAAGGTTCAGCGCAGGTGGATTCTGAGGTCATGATCACGCAATCCTTATTATGTACAAAGAACAATCACAAAATTGAATGGACAGGGCTGCAGTATATAGAGACAGAGTACACAAAAGTTCACAATACCAGGACTGTAGTGAGAGCCCTGAAAAGAGACAGGCGAGACAGCTGCGATGTAAACAAATAGGCTGAGAAACCATAGATTATGACTTGTGTTAAGCCGAATCCAAGCGAAGGGACACAGTGAAGGGAGCCATTAGTAGGGCGAGAGTGTGGAAAGGTCCCAATACCGCAGGGAGGGCTGTGCTGAGGAACTTGCTGAGGAGGCCTCAGTAAGAGGTGGATGGGTGTAGAGATCCAATCTGTCACGTGGGGAATCCCATGACATTACTGCCAAATTGAGCGACTCCAATGTATCACAGAAACCACATCCTCTTTCTGCCTCCACAGGCGCCTTCAATCCGTGGATCTGTGGCTCCGTTTGGATCCTCCGGACCAGTTTTTTGAGCTGTGGCCTGAGAATTGAATTGTTCTTTCCTACAGTTCTTCTGTCACGGTTGGAAAAGTCGGTACTGAGCTTCACCCGATATACTACTGTACATTAGTACAAACAAAAGTACCAACATCGCCTGCCCACATCCTCCGCAAAAACAACGAGCCATGGGTTCTGCAATCTCCTCCTGTTTGGATGTCACTCCTCCGCTGCGGGACTTCTTCCATCTGACGGGGGAGGCATACATGATCATTCTCGACATCTTCCAATACTTCCCCCTGGTACGTTGTAGGCTCTATAGAACCTTTTTTCGTTCCGTCCTGACAGACACTTACTAAATCATTTCTAAAAGGTCAGCATCATTCAATGGCTCTCTTCCTTTCATCCAGCGGGAAAGACTTCCCTCAAAAAGTCTTATCTAAACCTTCCGGGCCGACTGGGCTGGTTCATCATGGAGATTGTCGGTCCCATCAATCTGCTCTATATCCTCTGGACTCTACGTCCAGCCCATAATCCCACCTCCCTACCACTTCCCAACAAGCTCGTTGTCTCCCTGTACCTCCTCCACTACCTCAACCGCGCCATCATCTCCCCTTGGCTCGCTGCCCCCAGCATGTCCCCCATCCACGCTCTCGTCTTCTGCTTCGCTGTGCTCTTCAACTGGCTCAATTCCACCTGCCTAGCGGGCTGGTTGGTAGGCTATCGTATCCCAATCATATCCACATCCCAGACCATCACGGAGGTCCCTCTCCCTTCCACTTCTTCTTCCTCGTCCCTTCTCCTCCCTTCCATCGGCCTCGTACTCTTCATCCTCGGAATGACAGGTAACATCCACTCCGAACGAACCCTCTTTCGACTCCGTCGCGAAGAGGCAGAAACCCGCCTCTCCAAATGCTCAGATACCCATACTCCCTTTTCCGCGCGGGACAAGTTCTCAAAAGTCTACGTCATCCCGCCAGCAACCGGCCTTTTCCGCTCGATCCTCTACCCGCATTACGTCTGCGAGTGGTTCGAATGGCTCGGGTTCGCTCTCGTCGGCACGGCCGTGAGACCTAGTATTTCTCTGATTTCATCATCCCCTTTGCGTCTCGCGCCGTGGTTGCTCCCTGCGGCTGCGTGCGCGGAAAGATATTCCCTGGCTTTGCCGTTGCCCGCCGTCGTGTTTTTAGTCAATGCCGTGGCGAATATGTTACCGCACGCCCGTTGGGGGCGAAAGTGGTATGTTCGTCGGTTTGGAGCTGATTCCGTGGCTGGTAGGGGTGCTGTGGTGCCGTGGTGTGAATGGATGTAGTGTTCTTCTTGGTTTTGGTTCTATGTTTTTATAGTATGCTCTGGCAATTATCGGCCGAATATACTCCTGCATGAGAGCAACCAGGGTGGATGTGGCCAGGGACGAAAGGCTCAGGGGCTAAGAAGCTTAGCTGAACCATCTACGGAGCATAATAAGACTACATGGTTCTTCACGGAATAAACTGTGACGTTGCAATACTGTCCATATGTATTAAGTGTATAACTGGGAATTGATGCACAATACCAGTGTGATATACAACACATTGTTGAAATTGAAAATATCTGCAAGAGCTAACCATCGACATTCCCAGTTCCAGATCCCCTTCGAAAATGCAAATGCAAAATTAAAAAAAGCACCCAACTTTAAACAATACAGCAAGCCGTATAATGGGAAGTCCGAGTTCTCCCAGGCATGTCGGTGTTTTGGCTCTCGCCGATGTTGAAAATAGTTAAATGTTGAAAACTCCGTTGACCCCCGGATATCTCTAGTGCAAAACCATGAACCCATATGTTGAACTTTTGGTATCATCATCATAACTCATCACATTAAAAATGAAAACTCGTCTCCCCCGAGGCGACAGGTTGACAATGTCGCCCCAATCATGGGTTTATTTTGTATTAACAACACACCATTTATTGGGCGTGCTTCTGGCGGTAGAACTTGGCAGCATTGACCATGTTGGTCAGCGCCGCCTTGGTCTCGGGCCACTGGCGGGTCTTCAGACCGCAGTCAGGATTGATCCACAGCTGGTCAATGCGGAGGAATTGCAGCATCTCCTCAATGCGGCCTTTGATCTCCTCCTCGCTGGGAACACGGGGAGAGTGGATGTCATAAACACCAGGACCAATGTGGCGGGGATAGGCCTCATCAATGAAGACCTTGAGCAGCTTGGCATCGGACTTGCTGTTCTCAATGCTCAGAACGTCAGCATCCAGCGCGGCAATGGCGTGGAAGAAGTCCTGGAACTCGGAATAGCAGAAGTGAGAGTGGATCTGAGTGCCATCGGTGACTCCAGAGGTGGCCAGGCGGAAAGCACGCACGGCCCACGAGAGGTAGTCCTCGCGTTCCTTACCGGCACGAAGAGGAAGACCTTCACGGAGAGCAGGCTCGTCGACCTGGATGACCTTGACACCGGCAGTTTCAAGGTCAATGACTTCGTCACGGAGAGCAAGAGCCAGCTGCTGAGCCTGCACAGACTGGTGGACATCGTCACGAGGGAAGGACCACCGGAGGCAGGTGATGGGTCCAGTAAGCATACCCTTCATGGGCTTCTTGGAGATGGAAACAGCGTACTTCGACTCCTTCACGGTCATAGGGGCGGGGCGAGAGACGTCACCCACGATGATAGGAGGACGCACGCAACGGGATCCGTAACTCTGGACCCAAGCGTGGGTGGTGAAGACGTAACCGGTGAGACGCTCACCGAAGTATTGGACCATATCGTTACGCTCGGGCTCACCGTGGACCAGAACATCAAGGTCAAGCTCCTCCTGAATCTTGACGACGTCCTGGATTTCCTTCTCGATGAACTTCTCATACTCCTGGGCAGTTATCTCACCCTTGGTGAACTTATTCCGCTGGATACGAATCTCCTTGGTCTGAGGGAAGGAGCCGATGGTGGTGGTAGGGAAGAGGGGAAGGTTGATGGACTTGACCTGTTCAGCAAGACGGACAGGAAAGGGGGACTTGCGGTTGTGTTGCTCATCAGTGACAGCGGCCTGGCGCTCCTTGACCTTAGGGTCATTGGTACGCTTGGACAAGGCTCGAGCCTGGACAGACTTGGCATTGGCCTCGAGCTGCTCACGAACAGTAGCAGGGCCCTCGGTAACAGCCTTAGCTATGACAACAACTTCGGCAGTCTTCTCGACGGCAAAGCTGAACCAATCCCGGACCTCAGGATCAAGGTTCTTCTCGCTCTCGAGAGTGTGAGGGACGTGAAGGAGGGAGCTGGAAGTGGCAACGATCACACGGTCCTTGCCCAGCTTCTGGATGGCAAGCTCAACCTTCTCGATAGCAGTCTTGAAGTTGGTCTTCCAGATGTTACGGCCATCAACAACACCAGCGGAGAGGACCTGCTTAGGGCCCAGAGAACTGATGATGGTTTCAAGTTGTTCAGGGTTGCGAACCAAATCAACATGAATGCCATGAAGGCTGTGAAGAGAAGGAAGAACATCGACGTTGTGGACAATATCACCAAAATAGGTAGCAAGGACAATGCGCGGAGCCTTGGCACCAAGGGCACCCAGCCTCTCGTAGGCGGGCTTGAAGGCAGCCTTGGACTTGGCAGGGAGGTCGAAGACGAGGACAGGCTCATCAATCTGGACATCCTCAACACCGGCCTCCTTGAGCTTGGTAAGAAGCTCGACGTAGACGGCAACGAGATCATCGATCTTGTCGATGGGGTCGATGGTCTGACCACGGTCGGCCTTACCGAGAGTGAGGAACGACACAGGTCCCAGGATGACGGGACGAGTGACAACTCCGGCCTCCTTGGCCTCAAGGAACTGGACAACAGGCTTGGGCTGGTCGGCCAGCTTGAAGGTCTGGTTGTTCTGCAGAGTAGGCTTCACGTAGTGGTAGTTCGAGTCAAACCACTTGACCATTTCCTGAATGGGATTGTATTAGCCACAAGATGATTCCAGTAAGACCCAGAAGGGGGTAATGTCAGCTTACCAAGCTAGGAACATCGACGGCAGCCTCGCCATCCTTGGCCGGCTTCTGGAGACCTCTACCCATGGCAAAGTACTCGTCAAGAGGGTGAAGATTGTACTTGCTGTACCTCTCGGGGATGACCTAGAAGGCAATATTAGCGAAAGATACAAGTGATGGACCATGCGGGGAAAGACGTAGTCACATACACCGAACAGCTGGATGTGGTCAAGAACCTGGTCATAGAAGGCAAAGTCATTACTGGGAATAATATCGACACCAGCATCCTTCTGGATCTTCCAGTGCTCCAGGCGGAGTCTCTTTCCCTCGGCCAAGAGCTCATCTCGAGAAATCTTGTCTCCCCAGTAAGCTTCCGTGGCCTTCTTGAGATCACGGAGCTTTCCCATACGAGGGAAACCCAAGACGGAGCTGTGACAGACATCCCATTAGTATCATGAGGAACGATTGACAATTAATGACAAATGACTGATACAGATAGAAGAGATGGAAGTTGACATACGATTGGACCATCTTGATGGATACACTTGAGTAATGCGGGATGGAAATAAAGGGAATCTAGAGAAGAGAGTGCAATGATTCAGAGGAAAATGGGTGGAATGAAGATGTACAAGAGACAGGTAAGAGTCTCCCGTATCCAGAAGAAGAAGACGATGGGAGGAGGGAGAAGAGAGATGGAGGGAGAAGGAAGAGAAGAAAATAGAATAGGAAGAGAAAAGGGGGGGGAGGAAGATTAAAAAGGAGGGGAATCGATGCCCCTCGTTTGATAACCGCCCGTACGGCGCGATACTGGCAGGACCATACCTGCTGGGGTTAAAGGTCAAATGGCGTGATTGCAAAAGTCCCCGATACGTAATTTTGCTTGTCATACTCCATCCATGTTTGTCACAGTCAAAGTCTGGAGTAGTCGCCTGGCGGCCTGAGGCTGCCACCGGCACCTCATCGGCGTCCGGGATCGGCCATAACCAACTAGGAAACTAGTAATAATTAATAGTAACTAGCCCATCGGTAGCGCTGACTCACCTCGGATAACCAGGGAAACGTATGGGTACATTCCATACATCCATCCATACGGTACGGCGATACATCATACGGACCCTAGTTCCAGAGGTACAGTACTATCCGTAGGTTCCATTGATTAGGTGCCCGGTACCAGCTACTGGAAAATGCATCCTCCGAAGTATCTGGCTGAGACCGAATACGAGCACACCTGCATAGAAAGCCGTCCATCATCTTACATAGCAACTTATATCGTGCATTGTTATCGAAATAGTCACGCGCAGTAGAAAGGCACTACCATACCACTATCTATAGCAGGCTTATTGGCTATAAATACCTGAAGTATGAGGAAGCGTGGAGCAGCCTGTTGGGACAGTAAAGCCTCGCGGTTTCCTATAATGGCAAGAGAGATGAATGATGATGGTGTTGCCTGCCTCTTTCCGTTCAGACGCTGCAATGTCTGGGTGGTCTTTCCTATCCTTAATCCATAAAATCATTCCTGCCACATCCACGCCGCCCGTGCTCCTTGCATTGTACATCACTTGTACATGGTAGTCAAGCCAGAGAGGTGGACCACACCGAGTTGTTTTGCATGACTCCATGAGGTTCTTCTTTTGCCCCCGGCTCTTCGGGAGCCGCAGGTCTTCCGCCTCGTCTGACACCGCGCACTCTGGCCAGTACCAGTTGAGTCGGCTAGAGTCACGATCTGCCCCAGATGGACCTCCCGAAGGTAAACTATTCGGCTTGGAATTCTTCCGTCCTCAGACTCCATGACCACTGACAGCAGCCGCAGGTGTATCCTCGTCAAGAGAGGAGTCGTCAGTCCACAGGCAAAGTGACTCCTCTGGGGGCTTCTCGAACAGGCTGCGGAGACGATTTTCTCGAGAATCAAATGGGTTTTCCATGCGGCCACGCAGGTGCGACCGGAAAACTGGGAATTCTCCTTTTCCCTTCTCTTCCATTTCCGTCAAGTATGGACCAGACCGAATCGCGTCAAACGATATTGGAAGTAGCTTGATTAGTGAACGAGGCTATGATAGTGATGCGCAATACATTACCACCCCAAAGCAAGCCAGCTACATCAAGGAAGAACCATCTCCCAGGCCCGGTTTGTGGAAGAGCATGTCGCCTCTTGGACGGCCTCCTTACGAGACAGAACAAGAGCACCTGAGTGGAAACTCATCAGGGTCAATGTATGGGAGCTACAGGGAAAGACATGGCCACCACATGAACCATAGGGAGATGGAAAGGCCACAATCACAATGGCGTTCACGTAGTCACCCACGTTGGGGTCCACAAGCATCTCATGGGTTCTCTGCCTCTCGTGCACCCTATAATGAATACCCCCGGGGAAGGGCTGGAAGTCCTTGCCAAAGTATAGCCAGCGGCGTGTCCCAGGAGGCAGGGACAGAGAAGCCCCTGTCTGCAACGCAGGGCTATCAATACCCTCGGTATCGAACGGGTAGGACATACCCTTCAATATCCATCAAATGCTCCAGAATCAAAATCTGACAACCACTAACAATGGACAAGGTCCGAGTTCCTCGGGCTGCACGCCCACATATGCACAGCAGAATCCAACATCTGCAGAATCTTTGACCAGTCCTCCTCCACAAATTTCGGTCACGAAAAGAAATCAGCGGCATCAAAGGGAGCTGAATTCCGACGGGAAATCAATCCACCTAGTTGACATGAACATTCCCAGAGCATTAGCGTCCCCCTCATCGTCACCTCATGCTCTATCCCAAAATCAATCGTTTGACGAAAACGTCCGGACCAATAAGGGGGAATCACGGAACACGCCCCATCTGCATCAGGACTTTTCCAATTTGGAAGCGACAAAGATGCCATCCTGTGAAGGACAAGGCACATATCTCGGTGTGCTGCCCATGAAAGACGCTTCGTCGTCTTATTCTCGCGGAACCAGTTTCTCCTCGAATTTTCAGGGCTATCATTGGGAACCAAAAGTATTCAACCATTCCCTTTCCCATCCCGAAAGAGCATTTATGGGCTCTGGTAACGATGTTCAATCTAACCGTAAGCCCTCACCTCGGCCACAAGAAATGCACATCGCCCAGCCAAGCGAAACTACTGCTCCAGAATGCGGGAGGACAAGCATGGCCAATGTACAAAAAAGCAAATTCATCGAGCAGTTTGGGTCGGATCGATCGCTCTCATCTCCCGCACTGGGTGCTGGTGGTAGCATACAAGAAAGCCTGGTGTCTCCACGCCAAATGAGCGTGGGTTGGATGTCCGGGGGTCGTCGTCTTGGGTATGGATACACCCTTGTGCCAGCAGACGAGGCAGATGGACGACCGTCCCATGGAAACCTTGGGGAACCCGTGGTAGGAGACAACAAACAGGGCACCGAAGTGGTTTCGGACAGTCATGACAAACAACGCACGGAGACGACTAGTAAGATATCACTAAGAATTGGAGACTCGACTTATGATATCTCCAGCATCATCCATCGCTTGAATCCGCGCCATCGATCTGGCGCAGCGACATCTGTCGAGGCAACCAATCAAAGCGATACAGCGAGTTGTGATTCTGTAACGTCATCTCTATGGGAGAAACTAGGATATCGGAAAAAGGGGCGAAACGACCAGGAGACGGAGACTGACAAAAAGCCCCCATGGAGTCATTTCTGCGGCGTAGGTTTAGAGCAGACTTTGGAGGAGCCATCGATCTCCCGCAGGGACGCCTCGGGGAACGTCGACGGCGAGGAAAGAGGCCGAATGGGATTGAATCACGCGCGAAGCATATGGGCCAAAGGGCGCAGCATGACTGAGCTCGCCCGCGAAGTAGAGGCGAAGATGGCAATATCTGCCGAGCAAAACTCCATCGCGCTGAGAAATGGAACCCGAGTCGTGAAATACAAAATCCGCGATCTCAGGAAAAGATGCCAGAAGGCGGACGATGACCACCCTATCTTTGCCGTCGACAGGAAGGATAGCTTTGGAACTTCACAAGAGAGAGCCTCGACCCCAGATAAGCATATAATCGATCGAGAAGAACCAGAAGGGTCTGGCTCAGACGACGTTGCAGATAACTTGGCTGACACATTCCACGAATTTCCAGAGATCCAACCAGTCCCCGAGTAGACGACTCCTTTTGGGGATCTTCGCCCAAGCTTTCATTCTACCAATGGTATGGGTGGATGAGCCCTTTGAGTAAATCTTCTCATGGCAGGTTGTTTTCCCTTTTACTTGATACGCGATAGGATATCATCTGCAGTTGGTGGAGCGTTTGGGAATAATCATGAAATTGTCGTATTGGAACCAGCAGAATATTAATGTCCATTGACGGTAGTTTGGCCAAAAAGACCTAGCGAGTATGTTCATGGTAGTCGTACATAGGTATATGGAAACACGAGAAAAGCCAGAAACCCTAATGTGCACCCTTTACTTCCTCTGTCGCTTCGTACTTTTATCGCTCGAGTTACTCAGGACACTGGCAGAGCGTTTATGAGGATGGCCCTCTCGATCCTTCATCGGTGTAGTATCAGCAGCAGGACCGCGACTGGTGTCACCACCAGATTCGGCGGCTTTGCTGTCCGCTTCACCTGCGGTGCTCGAAGGGGCACCGGCCAAGGCGCCGGATGCAGACTCGGGTCCTGCGCTTGCTTGTGGTACGGAGTCATCATCCTGTTCAGCCTTCACCTCCGGGTTTGCCTTCTCCCTCGCCTCTCGTGCTCTCCGCTCCCTTTCCTCCCTAGTGGCCTCGAGGACGCGTATTTCACTGTCTACCTTCTCGGCCGCCTTACGCGCATCCAGCAGCAGATTCACTGAGTGGATAAGTTTTTCGAACTCCTTGCATACCCGTTCCGTGGGCATAACCAGTCGGAGGGGTATCTCCAGCTCTGCGAGGGCGGCGGCCAACTTCTGGGTCTGGACGTTGGATTTGGCCTGCGTCAACTTCTGGGCCCGGTCACTCCGGAATTGTACGCTTGGAGCCAATCGTTCGTGATGCTGTACTCCGTACCTGGCCTCTTCGGCCGGTGTGAGGGTCTTGACAGCTTGCTGCATATCTTTGTTCGCTGCGGCGGCCGCGGCAGCAGCAGCCGCTTTTTTGTTCGTGGGTGCAGGGGCTACGGAGCTTGGAGTATCAGCACGACTTTCACGGGCGCCCGCTGCGTTCGGAGCAGGAGTTTGTCCAGCCGGGCTCGGTACCGTCCCTTCGGGGCCAAGTATCGTCCGTCTCTTCTTGCTCTTGTCGGCCTGTAGGAGCGTCTGTAGGAGTTGGGATAGCCCTTGACTGGATTGATACATGGTGGTGTTGCCCACGCTGATCGGAACCTCGAGGCGTGCATAGAGCTCTCTGCGTTCGGCAAGGAACTCCTGCTCATTGGCGGTAATACGCTTCAATTCCTCCAGGAGTATGCTTTCCTCGCGCACCTCGTCCGCCGTGCGATTCAGCTGCAGTGATGCAAGATCCTTTCGGGCCCGCTCACGGTCGGCGTCAAATTTCATCATCTTCTCGTGCAGTTCAAATTCCGCCTCCGACATCTCTGAGGGCGGGTGTTCGAGGGCCAGCATCGAGGCTGCAACAAAATAATACCGCGCTTTCATCTGTTCCATGGTGCGACATTGCTTGGCCGGCACGAGCGCACTGGCATTCGTTTCTCCATCGACGGGGTGCGGCTGATAGTCGTAGCGATCAGCGATCACCATCCATCGTAGATCGTATTCTTCAACCAAGTCCATCAGGTAGTCGGTTTCCTTCCGTGACCAGTCGTCGCTCTTCAAGTGGCGGTTGTACTCTTCATCGGTATATCGGTTCGCGACCCGGGGTTTGATATTGTACTTTGCAAACGCATACTGCTGGTCAGCTGGTTTGGGAGCGCCTTCTTCTTGCATTTGTCCGTCTATCTCCATCTCGGATTCATCCTGTGCAGCGGGTTTTGCGGTTTCCTGCTGTCTCTGCCAGTGGCGTAGGATAAGACCGTCGGACCGGGCGTCGTTGGAGAACGGGGTCAAGCGCCTGAAGGCAAAAATGGCGATTAGCAGTTACGGTGGGTAGCAGAATCAAGAAGGGGGCCGATGATACATACCATGGACGAACCCGCAACTTACTCATCCACTTGGGGCGTCCTTTGTAACGATTCTCATTGATGGCGATGGGAGGGGCCCTTTCGCCCAAAAGGGCGTAGAGCTCGCGAGTGATACCCTCTAGACAGACGCATTAGATTGGAATGCCTTCGACTACTCATTCGCATCAAAATAATTGGGTACAAACGAACCTGGCCTTTTCTCGACCACTTTTTGTTTCTTATGAGGTCGAGGATGGCTCTCCGCGGGCAAATCCAGCATGTCACGAACGTCGGCGGCGGCCATGACGAAGGACACCACAGAGGGTAGGAACAACAACAAACAACGAACGACGGAGTAAGGATGGCTTGGATGAGATCAACTGAGCAGTGCAGATAAAATGACGGATAGTCGAGTGATGGACGATGCAGAGAGGAAGGAGGGTGGCCAGATAAGATGGGGCGGAATATGAAGGTCAAGAATTCGCGCCAAGACTTTACCCGTGATTTGCTTCTTGTGACGGACAGCAGCAGTATGCACTGTCCTGTCGCCCTCATATTCCCTCTCCTGCTCGTCCTCCCCGTCAACCGCTTCCTCCTCATCCCACGATCCCACCATGGCCTTGTCCACTTCTTCGGCCTCATGGCTGTCGTCCGTTTTGGCCCTGTGCGCCATAATGTGTCTCTCAGTACCCACCAACGCACTCTACTTCTATATGGAGGGCCGTCAAGCCAAGTGCTTTTACGAGGAGCTCCCCAAGGACACCCTGGTTGTTGGTGCGTCTCTGTTGGCGGGATTCCTCACTTGGATCCCCTGTCGAATTGTTCCTGCTTTATCTAATTTGAACCCCGAGCAGGACGCTACTCCACCGAAGTGTTCAACCCGCAATCGAACACGTATCAAATTGACACCAATCTGAAGATGCTCATCACTGTCGACGAGATCTTTGACAACGACCACCGGGTCGTCTCCAAGCGAGACAGCAACGCCGGCCGCTTCACCTTTTCCGCCGCTGATTCTGGCCTGCATAAGATCTGCTTCACGCCGGACACCGACGCTTCCACCGGGGGCTGGCTGTCAGGAGGCCCCGCCGGAGCCGTGCGGGTGTCGCTGGATATTGCCATTGGCGAAACCAGCAAGATCGAAACGGAGGATAAGGGAAAGATACAGGACATTGTCCAGAAAGTTAAGGATCTGAACGGTCGGCTGCAGGATATTCGTCGCGAACAGGTGTTCCAACGGGTACGTTACGTTATACTATCTCTATCCCCAACGGTGACGGCTAATCCCGTCCATTGGGGGAATGACATACTAATCCGATGACTTTCTTTCTATAGGAACGCGAGGCCGAATTCCGTGATCAATCTGAGGCTACCAACTCGCGTGTCGTTCGCTGGACCCTAATCCAACTCGCTGTTCTATCGGCTGCCTGCGCCTGGCAGCTGTCTCATCTTCGCTCCTTCTTCATCAAACAGAAGTTGACATAAAGGAAGGACAAATAGGGAGATAGAGGGATGAAAGAAGGATGGAAAGAGCATGTGTATGTGTGTGAGAAATTGTTCGGCGCACCTAGAGCTTGGGATTGGTCTGCTTTGGGTTCTTCTCAATTCTTCTGAACGTCAATCGAGAAATTTTCTCGCAGTCTGGTCCTTCATGGATAGGAGGAACAGGGCCGTAGATCGGTCCCGGTGGCATTCGATAAGACATCCCTGGCTTGACTTGTCGGTTTGCCTCTGTGATATAAATGAGTAGATTGATGGATATGGATATAATGACGAAAGTTTTCTATTTTGAGCCAAATGACTCTTTTACTATCCTCGGCGACCTCCTACACGCCATGTCTTTCAGTACGAATGTTTACAAAATCAAATGCATGGGTTATCAACGTTCCAGTATCATTTTTATGTACCCATCCAGGATGATGCATCAATTGTAGCACCCTCCACCAATCGATATATCTTTCCCCCTCTCTTTATATAATTCTCTTTTTTGTCCTGCATTCCAAATCATGGTCATTATAAAGCCTGCTAGTATGTCGCTCATACATGCATCAGACTAGATATTCTAGTGCCAGCCCGGATTTTCGTATAAGACATATCAAACGTCTGGCGTAGATTCCAACAAAAAGGAGAAAAAAAGAAACAAGGTATAAAGCGGGAATTGGGCGAAGCGCATGCCATGACGAAAAAGAAAAGAAAAGAAAAGAAAAGAAAAGAAAAGAAAAGAAAAGAAAAGAAAAGAAAAGAAAAAAGGCAAGCCAAACTAAAACACCGTATCTAGATCATATGTTCGTCGAAAGGGGGGAAATTATATTAAATTTTTTGTCCCGTGTCGTTGCAAAATCCCATAATCAGTCGTTCCAGGTCAGAGAGTTTATACGGCTTGGTCATGTAGCCTTTCATACCAACCTTCGAAGCACGCGCCAGCGCCTCATCAGTTACGTCGGCGCTGACAGCAAGAACTGTCGGGGATCGAGGCTCAGTGCCTTGTCCCGGCAGGTCACATGGGCGATTGGGAGGAATCTGGCCGTGGTATTCATCGACCAGCTGAATGATCTTCGAGGTGGCTTGGTATCCATCCATCTCCGGCATCCAGAGATCCATCAGAATAACATCCACCGGCTTGAGTTTCTTGCGATGTTCCGAGGGATCAGGGAGCGGAGAACCATTGGCTTCGTTTCCACGAGCGCTACCGTTTGGCGGATCTGCATTTCGCTGTGAAGCGAGGACATCCTGCATAACTCGCACGGCCTCCTTCCCGTTGCATGCTTCATAGACTTCTTTATAACCGAGTCTCTTCAGCATATTCACTAGCACGCGCCGATTGATCTTATTGTCTTCAGCCACCAGGAAGGTGAGCGGGTGTTTCTCCCCGAGCTTATCATCATGGGAACCTCTCCTGGGGAGGCTCTGCAATGTCCGGGTAGAAGGCGCCGAGCGGGCAGGGACGGACCCTGGCTCGTCCGTGAGACTAGGGGATAGTTGTTGCAGCGCTTGGCCTGCAAGGGGCGAAGGAGTAAACAGGGAATCGAGACTTGAACTGCTTGTGCTGCTGATCCCGGAGGAGTTGCTGAGATTAGGAGGGGTTAGTAGTCTCGTTGTAGGCGCGGACTTAGTCGGTGGCTCAGACTGATAGACCGGGACTCGAATTTCAAATTCCGAACCACGGTCAGGGCCTGAAGTCGAGGAGCGAACACAGACCAGGTCGCCGCCCATCTTTCTTGCAAGTCCTTTCGCGACAAGAAGCCCCAAGCCGAGTCCGTCTTTGCTTCGAGTAGTCGATGCATCCTGGCGAGCGAAAGGTTTGAATAACTTAGGCAAGAAGGCCACCGGGATGCCCGGTCCAGTATCCTGCACAGTGATTAAGACATCGTTGACTTTGCAACCAAGTTTTGCATGCACCTTGATTACTCCATGGTTGGTAAATTTGATCGCATTCAGGAAGACACAGGAAATCAACTTCGCAAGGTCACGGTCATCCACGAAGAGCGTCTCTGGCAATGCAGAATCCACGGTCCAATCTATCGTTTTAGAGAATACCTCCCCGCTGGAAGACCGCGACCGAACTTCGATTCTCTCCCCTAGGTCAGTCGCACTGGTCACGGCAAAGTCGGGTCGGCCGCCAACATGTAATGATTCGTTAATCACCAGTCGAAGCAGATCGCGGAGCTTGGTAGAGCGGACTGCCGGTCCCCGGAAGTTGACATTGATACCCTCTAACATGAGGTGGGATGCTGAGCGCCGCGCCGCCAGGCATGGGCGAGGCTCCACCATGCTAGCCATGACTGCTTCGATCTGACGTGCTGGAGTCGCATGAATGATTTTCTCGCTTTCGTGGACTGCATGTTTCACTTCTTCGCTCCGGGGCGAAAGACCCTTTTGTGCAGAAGCGCGCGGGATCTTGTGCTTCGGTGGTAGCCCGACACCGTGATCGAACGGGTTACTCCGTCGCCGTTTATACGGGTTGACGGTTATGTTGTTTCCTTCAATGAAAATATTCGGCCGATTTTCACCCCCATGTAGGGGCGACTGGACGGGCCCTCCAAAGCAGTCGTTTTCCCGCTCAAATTGGGGGGTCTTGGGTACCTGCATGTTCAGATCGTAGGCGTGGACCACGTTATCGGCAGCTTCAACAGCTCGTCTAGCACTATCTGCATGGGGGTTAGCTGTGGAACCATTGGGGAAATCGATCAGTCCCCACATACCTTGAACCATCTCAATGTTTTCCTTCAGAGTCTGGAAGACATCTCCAGTCTTCGGCGATGGCTTGCCCTGAATGGCTTCGCGGACGGTAGCATGCATGACATCTAACATTCCAACAATCCCCTGCATTGGCGTCCGGAGTTCGTGGGACAGACTCCTAGCATAGGGCTTCAGAGCGTGTGAAGAAAAGTCCACGTGCCCATGAGGCAGGTTGAGATGCACATCATCGACGATTTTCTGGCCAGCAGAAACGCTCTTGACTTCTCGGTGGCATCGATCTGGATCTACATCACCTGCATTGTCGACAATTCGCTTCACAATCAAATCTTCCAACGAATACAATATCATTTCCAGAAACTGCCATGAAAGGGTTCGTTTCTGTAGACCGGGGCCCGACCACATCAGACCAAGATAAGCTGAACATTTCGTTTCCGAGAACAAGGGAACTGCCAAGTAACCCTCCGCGGCGAACGGAAGCTTATCTTGATCGAACAAGAAAAATGATCCCAAATTCTCGGGGATTAGACAGGGCTTCCCGTGATCCATGTGAGACTGCGGGTTGCCGCCAGCAAAGTAACGGTTTCTCTGTATTCCCTCCGTCTGGTGGCCATCGTTGTAGTAGAACACAGTGCCGTATAAGCATGGTTTGCGGCCCTCCACCTCCATCACAGGCTCATTGTCCCGAACTCTTCGGGCCACGAACGTATACTGGGCACCACAGATCGAGGCAAGGCCCTCCATTAGCTGCTTCCAGAACGACTCCGCATCCAGAGCTCTAAGTTCCTGCTTAAGTCTCACCAGTCGATCGACAGCGACATTCTGAGATCCGTGGGCAAATTGACTGTTAGATGGGTCGGCTGGCGAGGTGACGGGAGGTTCCCCAGGGAGACATCCGGACTTGCAGGGAAGAAATGGCGTGGCAGGGCCAGAGTGAAACGATTTGGACCATTCCGACTCGACTGAATCAGACATGGTGCGCCCGGATAGGTATCTCTAGCGAACGACCGATTCGGGATTCCCGGACGAGTGGACTCGGGGAGTGAAACGTTCGATTACGGTATAGGAGGGCGCCAGGAGAGCGTCGCTGAGTAGTGGACAATCGACAAGTGACGCGATGAGTATTCGACCAGGACACAACGCATGGCTCTCAATCTAAATAGATGTCGCAGGCCGTGTTAGCAATCGGTCTTACCATAGGAGCAATCCGAGTCGCTTTCTTTCTTTCTTTCTTTCTTTCTTTCTTTTGTTTTTCTTGTTCTTCTCTCAAACGATTACCGAAACATACATCACTCTGGTCCGACTGAGGAAGATGAAGCCCAGAACGAGCCTCACCACGAGGTTCAGACGCACCGCACGAGGGCGTCTAAGGGGATTCTAGATGACTTCGATAGGTCCTGGCAGACTGATTCAAGTAGGGCAAGTTGAGGATGTCCGACTGAGAACGAGGAAAGGCTGCTGTGGCGATGATTTCTCCAGAATCAAATTCCGACCAGATATATCGATGAATCTCTCTTGGGATTTCTCCCCGGAAAGACGAAAAGCACTGATCAAATGCCGTGACTAGCGACGGGGCCGGGAAAGTGTCCACAAAAGATACGGCAGAGGGCCGTCGAGACCGCGGATAGAGATGGTTAGTAGATCGACGACCCAAGACGAGATGTATGACAAGCGTTGGTATTGGGAAGAGAAATGACGGAAGAGCGAAAGGATAGAAAGAGAGAGACAGAAAGAAGAGGAAGAGGAAGAGGAAAAGAGAGAGAGCAGAATCGGATTTGCCGATCGCCCAGTCTAGACGCGGGGAGCTGAAACGAATCAATACGGTATCTCGACTCCACAATTATGGCTTTAGAATGGGTTTTGTTTGAGGGACTAAAAATGGATGAAAGTATTTAAAAAATTAAAAATTAAAAAAAAAAAATACAAATATATACCTATGGATATATAAAGAGAGAGATTTTCAAGAGTGTACATGTACATCCAACCCATCGATTCGCATTCCATCTCCAACTACAATGTCAAAAACCATCCTCAACCCTGATCATCCTACTCCAAAAGATCCCCTTCCATGAAGAGAGGAACAAACCAAAAAACAGCCCATGGGTCTCCAATAACGATCGTCAATATCGAGGGTCCCAAACATCTCCCCTCCATTCCATCCCACTTCACATGGACCGAGGCTGTACGACCAACGATCGAATCACCCTAGATCATCTGCGGATGCTATAGCGGATGCTATATAATGGCGAAACAATCACAGTCACAGAAGCCAGGACTGGTACCGTCAGTCAAAACAACCCCAACCACGGAAAACATGGCAAACCCATTCCAAATCGCCGTTCCCGATACCCACCTAGAACGTCTGCGGAAAAAGCTCGAGACGGCTGTCTTTCCCGATGAGCTGGACGACGCTCAATGGGACATGGGCGTTCCTCTGAATGAGATGAAACGATTGACCGCATACTGGCGCGATGGGTTCAACTGGCGTCGACAGGAACAAGATCTGAATGATAAACTAAATCAGTTCCTGGTTCCCATCGCTGTGGCGGGATTTGGTGAGCTGGACATCCATTGCTTGCATCATGTCAGCTCCAATCCAAGTGCTATCCCCTTGCTCTTCATCCATGGCTGTAGGACGCCCTAGACCCTGTCCATTAATGGGACCCGTAAATGTAACCATCAGAGAGGACTCTAGGGCCGGGAAGCTTCCTCGAAGCCATCAAGCTGATCCCTCTGCTGACGACCGGCAACAACGATCAACCGGCATTTCATCTGGTGGCACCTTCGTTGCCCAACTTTGGCTTTTCTTCGGGCGTGAAACAGGTCGGTCATATGTGTCCTTTCAATTATCTTCTAGATGTCTTCCAGATATCTTCTAGATACCCCGATCTAATCCTCTATAGAAAGGGTTTGGTTTGGTCCAGTATGCGGAGGCGATGCATGCCGTCATGTCGGCCTTGGGCTACGACGAGTACGGTCCGTGTTGTCTTCTCTCTTATTGTCATCTTATTTGTAGAAAGAGCAAATATTGATACGTTCTTTCTTTTTTTCAACAGCCATCCAAGGAGGCGACTGGGGCAGTATCCTCGCCCGTGTGATGGCCATGCGCTATCCCAACCATGCCAAAGCCATCCATCTTAACATGTTCCCCGTGGCGCCTCCCTTCCCGTGGCGAAACCCCCTTCTCTTCCTTCAATCCCTGCTGACTATCCCGTTCTCGTCCACGGATAAAGCCCATCTTGCCGTCACCAAACACTACCTGACTCAAGGGAGCGGGTACATGCGCCAACAGGAGACCCGTCCTCAGACCCTGGGCTACGCTCTCCAGGATAGTCCCGTGGCCCTGTTGGCGTGGATCTACGACAAACTACATGCCTGGTCGGATGACTATCCGTGGACGGACGACGAGATCCTCACCTGGGTCAGTATCTATCAATTTTCGACTGCAGGCCCCGCGGCTTCCATCCGTATTTACTACGAGGCCACACGGAATGATTCTTCCTCGACCCCCCCGGGCCTCTCGACCACCGAGGTGTTATCGACCGCAGCTCCGAGTTGTGTCAAGTTGGCTGTGGCGCAGTTCAACCGCGAACTAATCAAGACGCCTCTGTCCTGGCGGGGGTTACTGGGCTCCGTCGTGCGTGCCAATGAATATGACTGCGGCGGACACTTTGCTGCGTGGGAGGTGCCGGAGCTGCTGGCGGCAGACTTGAAAGGGTTTCTGGGGAAGAATGGACAGGCTTATGGCGCTGTCGCTGGGAAGGATGGGCACTGATGGACCTTTCAAAGCCACGGTGCAGAGATTGAGAGTTTTAATCCCCTACTTAGGTACTCATCCGATAGTATGTAATATCCATGGAGACCACAGACGCCAGAAGCCTGCTTTTGCTACCAGCAAATGCCAATCAATGGTAGTGGGACGTAAAATTAGAACATCGAACAGTATGAAGAAAGACCGCAAACAAAATAGAAGAAAAAAACATAGCCCGAAAAGAATTCCTCTAATCTTGTCTTCCCTTCAATAACCGCTTGGTCACGTTGTCCTTCTCTATGATATACACTTGGGCACCCCAACCGGACAGGGCATCTCGGTCGACCGCACTAAGGAGCGCCTGGGAAATGGTTTCGAACAGATCGTCCGCGGACTGAGTCATTAGAATCGATCGAAGAAATGGGAGGGAGATGGGGGATATACCAGATCCGGCTCCCACAGACTTTCACAGGTACCAAACAGCTGCTCACTAGCCGTCCCGCTCACGATGAAGTCCTTTGCAAAATCGATACACCCGATACTGTCAAATCCGCAGATAAAAGGCTTGCCCGTTGTTTGGTTGATTCCGGCCACGACGGGGCTGACAAAGAAAGGACCGAACCGCCGCTCATAAAGCGACGAACTGACCAGGTTGGCCAGGGTCTGGGGAGCAATGTGCCGTTCCTCCCGGAGTCGGTACATGTTGACCTTGTAGCGGAAGAGGTCCGAGACGGTGGCGACGTCGGTACCCAGACCGGTCAAACCGAGGAAGGTCGCCGGGCCGAAATTGAAGATTTTGGGGAAGTTATTCGAGACGGTCAGGGCCTGCATGCCCAGTCGGAGATCACAGGCAATTGCGACGCAGTCCTTGCCCACCATGGCGACGCAGGCACCGCCGTCTATCAAGAGAAGCGGTTAATACGGGATTAAATAAACGATAAGGATCAGATGGGGGGGGAGAGAAGGCATACTGATGTCGAAGGGAGAGCTCTAGGAAGATCGTCAGCTTGCTTGGCCTGGATGGTCAGAGAGGACGTCTACATACCATGATTGCGACTCGATCACAAAAATTGGAGGCGGAATAGAACCCTCCGACGAATGAGGGAACTGAGGAGGAAATATAACGACAGAATGGGAGGAGTGGGGGAGGTGAGGGCGATGGAGAGAGATGGAGGAGGGAAGATGCTGTCGGAGGGAAGCTCTCACTCTCGCCAACGCGTGGAGCCGCCGAGCTTCTGCGGATGACGATGCACCCGCTGCCTAGAGTACTTGTTAGTTCACTCTTGCCTCGTCTCACCAACAAATCCAACACCGTCGGTGCCCTTCTCTCGGTGTTCGATCTTTCTTTTCCTCGGATTAGCTCGTTTGTGCCTAGAGATTCTACTGAGATCCGCAAGCTCACCCGCCAGATCTCAACTGATCATCCTTCTCACCACCAACCCCCACAATATCAAAACGACCATTTCAGAACCATGAGCTCTCATGTCGTAGTCCTGGACTCGACAGCTCGGAGAGCCACTGTCAAGACAACCCCCGGGAAGCATTTGGCGGATATCTTACAAGAAGCGTGCAAAAAACTAGGCGTCAACGCCAGTCAGTATGGGTTGAAGTAAGCTTCTGTTATTATCAAATCATCGATCCAGAGACTGACTCCCTCCAAGGTATAAAGGAAAGCAGCTCGATCTCTCACTGGTATTTCGCCTCTCCGGACTCATCTCCGGCGCAAAACTCGAGTTGGTGCAGCTCTCCCGGTCTCCTTCTGTTGTCACCGTAGCTCTACAGCTCCCCGAACCAGAAGCGCGAGGGACTCCGAATGGACGCATTCTGGACAAGTTCCCCAGTACGACTACAATATGGTTGATCTTGCGCAAGTTTGAGGCGGGTGTCGCGGGTGCATCGTCTGCTCGGAATCTCACAGCTCGAGGCGTCCCTGCCACTGGGGGCAACAATGGATCGGGGAGATTGTTTTATGAGACTCCAGTGGTGCAAATATTGGAACGAGAGCTATCGACTTTTACCGATTTGCAAAAGTCGCTGGCGCAGCTAGGGTTCAACAATGGGAATGTGCTACTGAGGCTGAGCTTCCGCCGCACAGAAGAACCGCTGGAAGAGGCGATGGTAAAGATCCAGGACTACTTCAAATCTTTTGACGACTCTGCTCCGCCCCAGCAGCACGAATCGTCCGCTGAACAGACGCAGACAGCTAGGGAGCCAAATCAACCGGAACAGCGGCCACCAAGTTTTGCGTCCAACGCTACCTCGAATGCACCCACTCCACCAGACCAACCACCAGAGACTCAACCCCACGTTATCCCTGCCCCTGTCGAGTCATCCGAGTTGCCAACTATTTCCTCACGCTCCGTCACTGTTTTTGCGCCGCCGTCTAGCAGTACACCCCAGTCGGCGCAAACCTCGTATAATGAAAGCGACTACGTGCCGTCGGTGGATCACGCACAAGCGCATCAGCGTCGACTCAACATGGCTTCCCGAAACACACGACTCCCATCGGACGCAGAGATCGCCGCCAAGGCTGCAGCCGAGGAGGAGAAACTAGCAGCGGTCCAAGGCGTAGATGTGAAGGTTCGTCTTCCCGATCAGAGCCAGATCGTGGCCAAGTTCAACCAGGGAGACACAGGCAAGACCATCTACGACTTCGTGCGGAACTGTCTTGCTGAGCCATTTGCCGGAGAGAAATTCATCATCACCCACCTTCCTACAGGTACCCCTGCTTCTAGCGGGAGGAAGATCCAAAGCGAAGTCCCAGACTCCGATAAGATTCTCTTGATCAAAGACCTTGGCATGGTCGGCCGAGTCCTTGTCACCTTCACCTGGGATGCCAGCGCCTCCCTGGCCGCTCGGCAGAGTCGAACAGAGCTCTTGAAACCGGAACTTCGAACCAAAGCACAGGAGCTCAAAGTCGAACAGCCTCCCGAAGTGATGGACACATCCGAAGACGCGGCCGTACCCAAGTCAGGCACGGATCGCCAGTCAGGGGAGAAATCTGGTGCGCGCAAAGGAGGACTACCAAAGTGGTTAAAACTCCCTGGGAAGAAATAGATCCTTACCTCCAGTGGGCCTGGGTAATAGTGGCTTGAATCACGTCGTGTATGTCTTTCTTTACGATTACGAATTCTTTGGATTGTAGATATGACAATATGTTCCAGTCAGTAGTCGTGACCTACTCCGTACGTGATAGATGGGTTGTAGTACTAAAACTACGGGTCGTCGTAGTCAACTTGCTATGTCATGTGGGCATTCGACAGTGTTCCTACGAACTCGAACTGGAACCCCGAAAGTCATGTACCCATCATATGCTACGAAGAAGGAGAAGGAAAAATGAATTTGAAAAAAGCCTGAATCCCAGTGGGTATTGCATTAGATTCCAAAGAACCATTTTTGTCCACCTGTCCACGTATACGAAATCAATCCCTAGAACATATCCCTCCTCTGCCCCTTTCGTTCTCAAAAAGGAGAGTATCGGATGATGTCGATAGGTCGGCTATTCATTAAACAAGGAAAATGCCATTTGAAAATGCCATTTCCCTTCCTCGATTATATGGACAGGTGCTCCCTCATTATCTCTCATTTTTTGTTCTGCTCTTCTACAAACACACGCCATGCCAATCAGCCACCAATTCTTATATTCATTTTGTTTTCTTATTTTTTCGTAATCTCGTTGTGTATTGGCTAATAGGAGAAAACTTTATTGGAGAGAAAAAAATGAATTTAGTGAGCACCACCGGCCACACGGCGGGACTCGGCAATGACGCGCTGCATGTCCTCAACCTTCTTCTTGCCACGGGTGAAAGTGCCGAGCTGCGTTGGAAAATTATGTTAGCTGCGTCGTACTTCTTGTAGATAGGTTAAGAAGAGGGTCCACATGTCCTCGTTGCTCTGGTCCAGTATAGTACCCGTGAGTGTATCCGTTGGTATAGCCTCGTGGCAACTGGATAGTCTTCTCGAAGCTATTTTCCTTTACCCTCCAACCGATACACTGTAGGGCTCCCATACCAAAACGACAAAGCAAAGTAGACATGCGAATCCTCCCGACGAATCCAAACATACCCTCTTCTTCGCGAGCTTACGAGCACGCTTGTCCTGAGTGTTTCTCAGGAGTTCAATAATGCGGCGCTCATAGGGAGCAAGGCCAACAACCTCGCGGGCGATCTCTCGGACGAAGGCAGTGCGGCGAGAAGACTGGCCCTTGGTACGGCTGATACGGTTCTTGGGCGACTGGAAGGGGGTGGTTTTCTGTTATTCCAAGAAACACAATATTAGTCTCACTGTAGAAGCAAACAAAATCCCTCGTAGAAAGTCCCGGTCTTTGTCCAGTGAGTAGGTTTTGGGGTCCGAATTTGTCGATTTTCCTGTCTTTCCACCCCGATTGAAATCATCCTCATTCTTTCTCTTCCTCTTTCTTCCCCCTTCTGTATTTTGCCCATTGAATTCAATTCAATCACAGGAACAATACCCAGCCCTATTCCATGCCGCTCGTTCTCCATATCTTCTCATCTTGCATCTCCATTCGTCGACCAAACTCAAATGACAAAGACCGGGCGAAGGAAACAAAAAATCAAGCTGCAGGGAGACCTACGTGGCCCTTGTTCAAGCCGACCACGATTCCGGAGCGTTCTTGCGCCATCTCGACGGTTGTGACTGGGTTGGCGACGACGGTGGTTGCTGAGGGAGTTGTCGAGTCGATGGGCGTCGGTGCGGATCGATATCGCGATGGAGTCTGCCGGGTTTTGGTTGGTTCTGCCGGACGTGCGTAGCGAGTCTAGGGCTTAGGGCTTGATGTCTCATCGGGTTAGTGCTCTTGGCAATTTTGCCTCAGGCATGAATATGGACTGCCTAATACGGTAATGACATCTGGTCCGTTGCAGTCTTGGAATTTCATGGAAACGGATTTAGGGAAGGTGTCTAAGGAGTTGCGGAAATGAAGAGTTTTTCAAACGGACATCAAATGTGGAAGAATATAATGATTTTGATCAATGTATCGACAGCTAATGTAATGTATCTTTTCGCTACATCCCATATCCTATCATAGAGTCACGGTAAGGAGTCCAGCGAGTCCCTCCTCCCAGCTCTCCATCAGCTCGCCACAGAACATCTCCACGGCAGACATGTCTAGAGTCTTTCCCAGCTCGAGCCCAAGCTGGGAACCGCTGTCGCCGGCATCGGTACCACCCATGACTAGGTCGGTCAAAGACCCGAGCATACCAGGCTCGGAAATGCGTAATTTGAGCGCCCGGATATTCTCCCGGATGGATTGGTGAACTTGGCGCGTGGATTCGGCCAATCGTTCGACTTGATCCTTCGGCAACTTGGTGGCCTTGGAGCCCTTTCTGGTAGCAATAGTTGATATGAATGACGCTGCCTTGAGTGACTCCAGAACGGTAAACAGGCTGTGGAAGCTCTTCCATGATGGGGCAAATGATGTCTCGGACTTCAAGAAGATCGCTGTGTTTAAGATAGCAGGAGAGATCTGGTCATCGCGCATGGCATACTCTTTCGACTTACCGTCCAGCCATTCTCCCACCTGAGATAAGCAGCTTTGGACTTGCTCAAGTAAGACGGATTTTGAGCCACTGAGGAACAATGCCACCGTGAAGAGGTTCAGATTGACCTTGACACCCTCTATCTCCGGCTCGGTCATCTCAGAAGTTGCATTGGATCCGACAAGATCCCCCAAATCAGGTAGTTGGGGTTCGGCTGACATTGGTTTTTGAAGGATCGAGTCTTTGAGCATTCCAAATAGCTGATCGACCATTCTGGCCGACTTCACCCATTGTTCCTGTATCCCATTAGCCGTCTTTCGCGAATTAAAACATGGAGGATAAACTCACCCGCGGCAGAGGTCCCAGACGCACCCGTTCCTCTAGAGTCGGTTGACCGGGGGCTTCATAGTTCATAAATGCGTCGAACACGCGCTGGTCGACCAAGGGAGATGAGTCTCTCGCTATGTTTATCTACATCAGCAAAATATGAAGTCACAGGGTCATCCAAAACTTACCAACGTCCTCGTAGCGACTCATAGGGTCTCCGCCGACCAGCCTCTGGATACGTCGCACTTCGAGTGCCCACAGCCTTCGGCAGATACTGTGCTTCAGGCGTTTCTGTAGATCTATTGTCCCCTCAATATTCACATAGCTGCCATAACCTAAGCCATTCGACCGGTTCCTGACCGTCGTGATTTCGGCTGTTCGATAGAAGTTCAGAGCCTTTACAAATGCGGACTGCGGGTTGAAGTCCTTGTATTCGGCGCCCTCGATAGGCGGGGCCGACTGCGGATGGATGGTGGAGAGGCGCGTGAAGAGGTTATGGGCAACCGTTTCGAATTGCAGCTGCTTAACGGAAAGCCTGCTGAATGTTTTCAGGGCCAGAGATCCCGCTCCAAGACGGAGGTAGATACGCGTAAGTGAAAGTAGTGCCTGGTAATTATGGGGAGAATCAATGAGGAGACGTTCCAGAATGGCTGCTGCGCGGATGAGGATAAGATTGAGCACTTGTTCCTTATTCTCCGAGACTAAGACTGCGCTGAAGCGGATCAAGCTCGTAGCAGCAAGGAGGCACAGATCATCACTCGGCTGGCTTTCAATCGTAGATGAAGCAGCGGTTTGTTCAGGGCGGGCAGTCTCGCGGTACTTTTGCAGACAACGCGAGACATACTCTTCCACTTTGGACTTGGACACGTTGGGTTCGTCAGCTGAGAGCAGGAAGCAGTACTCAAATTTGAGTGCATTGATAGTTGAAACCCCTTTGTTCTTCTGTGATAACTAATGTTAGCTTCCTGATGAAGGATGCAAAGTTGCACTAGCAGTCACATACCGCATCTGCTTCCCCTTGGGCTTTGGCTGAATATTCCACAAATCTTGAGACAGAGTCCCTATCCAGTGCTGACAGATAGTCCCGTAAGTCACCAAAGCAATACAGCTTATCCTTGTTATAGTCAAAATATCCCTGACAGGCAGAGATCAGGTCATCCGCGTTCAAGTTCCCCGACTGGAAACTGAAATGGGTCAGATCAAGACGAGCCAATTGCGCATTGCGCGACTTTGGCTGATGTTCAATGAATTTGCTGATGAAATTTTGAGTTTCTGCAATGATTCTAGAGGAAACCTCTTGTCAGATATTCCACGGAAATGCTCCGCCGGCTGGTTATTGGCTTACTCTTGGGTGTTGATATTCCGGGCTGCAGCAACTAGCAGGCTCCAAACCGCCCAATCATCACGCTCTTGAAGGGCTTTCTGTTCCACTTCGTTGGTGGGAATTGCAAGAAGACTCTTCGCGTACGACAGGCCTTCTGGCCACATCTGTGCCCTTTCTAGATTGGCAAGTTTTACCCCAACGAAAGTCCAGTCATTCTGAATGACCCGAGAACTAATTCCAAGTGTTTCGCTATCAAGGATTTTTACGACCTCGGCATGACGCCCTTGAGACTCGAAAATCTTAGCAAGCAGGAGTAGCTCTTCAGCGGTTTGAATAGCTCTCGGAGGGCTCAGCAATTCTTTCTGTTCGCATTGGAGTAAACGTCAACTCCTTGTCCCAACACACGGATACAACACTTAGGGCTAACTAAACAATGTGTACTAAAAAAAAAAAAAAAAAAAAGATGGGAGACGTACTGAATCAGAAGGAACATTATCAGCGGCCTTAGACGCCATGCGATACGCCAAGGTACCAAAGAGCTTACGGTCGGTCTCGGAGCTGGCACCATCGACAGCAACAAGATAACTGAGGAAAATGGCCCAGAAGTAGTATTTCCGGTTCTTTGGGAAATTGTTCTGGAGAGTCATGGCGGCCTGTTACTCGCCAAAAAAGACACTCTTGTTAGCTTCAGTTGTTCCAATTGCTACGAGTATGGGGAAGAATCACCGACCTTCTGCGCCGATTTCCAATCATCGCCATCGAACGCATATGTAAACCACTTCATTTGAAGATCCAAATCTTGCGGCTTCGCCTTGGAGGCCTTCTCCCACAAGTCTCTCACGGTATCTTTGTGACCACCCATCGCTTCCAAGGTCTCGCACAGAATGTCGAGAGTGTCGAGGTCCGTCGTCGGGGGTTCAGCTTTGCACAAATCGAGCGTCTCTGCGATACCCCGCTGGCTATGGGCATTGTCGACATGCCGGAAAAGAATATGAGCCTTCCATACCTATTTTTATTTTCAAATAAACGCACGCAATTCCAATGATTAGCAACTCTGGTCCAAACATTCGATCCAGTTCAATCAAACACCTACCTTCAGAAATCGGGTATCCTCCCCTTTCTTCATGCGCTTTTCAATTAGCTGCAGGGCCTGCTTGAGATTCTGCCCGTCAATGGCATCTTGGATTTGCTTGTTCCGCCGTTGAAACACGGCGTCATTAGTGGACATGGCGGAACACAATCGGAGAAACCAGTATTACTGCAGACAGCGGCGTCCTAGGGCTTTAGACTCGACGACAAGAAAATGAGATGCTCGTATGCTGCGCGGCCAAGCACAGCACACGGTGTGCGGGGAGATTGTTCGGTGGGATGGTGGGTGATTTATCCTCGTCTTCGGCGTTTGTGCACGATTTCGGCCGGCAATTTGAAAGGCGGTGATGAGCGCCATCGCTGATGTCAGTCGGGACCCACTTCAATTATACCTAGCTGCCATACAGCCTTGTTTTTATTCACTCTATTCCTTATGGAAACCTATTTAGTACATACCCTGAGGTGTGCGGCGGTGTGCTGAGCACTTCAGTTGGGTAACGCTACGACATTTGACACGAATATACCACCTGAATTTAACAAAGAGAAATATATATAATACACACATTAAACGATCTGATGGTGGTAGCGTAGATTAAGACCATGAGGAATGTGGGGTAAACAGATCAAAAAGCAGACGAAGCACTTATCTCGTAGATCAGTCCAAATGCCAAAACCAAGGCACATGTTTGCCTGCAAACCCAATGCCAATTGGCCGAGTGGCTTGTAAGTTGCCCAGAAAGTGCCCGTGGATTATTTCCATATAGTGAGAATCAGCCCATTGATCCGCCATTGTGACCATCCTTGCATTTACATTGTCTGTAGATGATAGGATAAGGCAATGCGCTTCTGATACGCAATGCCTTCCTGATAGAGTAGTCGCCTGACACCAGCAAGCCGACTACCCGTGGACTCTTATGATACCGTGACCGCCCCCAGGGAGACCATCGTCACCCATTATGATTGCTTCTGACTCGGAGACCCAGCAAGCTTTTTCTGCGTCAGCTGTAAGAGTGTCAGCTACTGTAACCTCGTCTTAATTCGCTGCTCTGTAGTAAACTGTGCTTTAAGCCGACTCAGGTCCACCAAGGCAGAGAAGTCGGGGGAATGACACGCCATAGAACAGCTTCCGGGTACCACCTACCCATTGCTTTTTACAATCGCGATACGCTCTAGGAGTTCAGTTAGTGGCAGTGTTACAATCCATAGCTAATATGGACAAGATAGAATGCAACTGAGAGGTGGGGCAAAACGAATCATAACAGGCCGAAGGAAGATGACGGCGTGGAAATGAACATAGCTACTGAGTTGAAAGGAAATGAACGGACGTACTGGAAGTAATCATGACACATCTCCCGGTCGTAGGCATTTCGTTTCATACATTTCAGGCTGCGATCTGCAAAATCCTGACAAGGATCAAAGTACTCGCTTGCACTTTTACTATGGGAAATGAATCCTGATCAGTCGGAATGGAAGACGAGATTGGGATATGAAAGCAAGATCCCAGGGGAAGAGCGCAAGTGAGAAAGGAACAAAAGAATCCCAGCCCAGCCCAAGAATTGAAGCTTTGAGCAACAAGTAAAGGACATAGAGCCCCAATACAGCATCAAAGCTCAAGGTGGGAAGGAAAAGACAAAGGAGGACTCGAGGGAAGACACCCCGAAGTAGAGAGGTAGATAAACCTACTTGGTGAACTTGCGCTCCACACTTCCCCATGAGTTTGGATGGTCCTGTGCTGGAGATTGCTGCGCTGATTGGGATGACATGGCAGATAAAGGGACGAGGTCGGGGATTGGCCAAGTCTGCGGAAGAAGGCAAGCGAACAGGAATCGCAATCGGAGAGTATCTACAACCACCGGAACAATCCAGAGATCAGGTGGAGGTTTGGTGAGCTAAACCCCTTTGGGCGGTCCCCACTGGAGAGGAGAGAATTCACTCGCTTAGTCAGCCTGTCATCGCCTTAGTTAACTGGTTTCCTAGTTGGGAATTTCAGGGCGTAACTGTTCCCCAATGGTAGGCAAACTAAATAGACGCAGTATGCGTGATCATGACCCTGGCTGGCATTTGACGGATTCGACTTCCGTTTGTCGGCAGGGATCTTGCCCTCCTAAATGTATGTAGTACTGCTTGTGAGTACTATGTCGAGTTTGACTTATTTGGAGTTGGGAGCTCATTTGGCTATCAGGGGTTCAGTGATCCATCATGATATGAGAGCGTTGTTGTATATGTATATGATATGGTAGGCTATTTGTGACTATAGCCACTGGGCAGTCTCTGGGGAAACGTGGATCGTGGTCAAGGCTAATAAGATATTTGAAGTCAAGTAACGGATAGCGTTAAATACCAGAAAGCTAATTTTAATTGCAGGCGCTGCCATCCCTGATTGGATTGATCTTTCATGTCGTTGCGAGGATCTCACCATTATGGCCACTGCCATTCTGGCCAAATTGCCACTGCTAGCTTTTATGAATGCCATCAAGTTTGCACAACCTATAAGCTTCCAATCCCAACCCAACCTAACCAAATTAACGGGGTGGTTTATTGCTGGGCTAGCAGATGCCGCCTGCTTTTGCATATGCAGCAGTTGTTTACCCCTCCCACTATGATATTCTTCGTGATCGCATTTGTACTGCCGTTTATCACATGGTTTCGACTCAGTCCAACCAGTTCGTCGAACAGACGCCGATTGTGAAGTAACCATTAAATAACTGGTATGGTGGGAGGGGTTGACTCCAGACACTTTGACGCTGAGCATACTTCCAAACAAACGCCACGTCTCCTAGGCAGTCGAACCCCCACTTGAGTTTTACGCTGCATGGTGCTGATGGTTAGAATTCGACAGAGTAGATGGTAATGGGAACGCACTGGTTCCAAATTCTCCTATAATAGATCCATCAAATCGATTGAGGGAAATGCAAAACATTACCGAATTGAATAGAAAACTAAGGAACTGTGCTCAATACGGACGAATAGGTTTGGTCAGCTGAACAGGTAGCACCACGTCCGACGCCTTTGCCATGGTCTGGAAGGAAATAGACAGAAAGAGCCCAACAGCCTAACAATCTCAGAGAAAAAAGACATTAACATATATAAAGGAGGTTTACGGTAGCCGTCCCAAACACAGTAGAAGGGGGACTCGAGTCACTCGACAACTTGCCGCGATGGAAAAATGGGTTCCGTTTTAATTTAACTCGAGTATCAGGGCGAGTCACTTTTGACCATCGGGTATTTTGTCTATGCTCCTCCTTCTCCAGAAATACATACTATACAAGACCTTTGAGCCGTGGTGTGTCACCATCTGGAGCCTCTACTGTTCCCACACGAAGCTGTCCAGAAATGAGAAGAAGTCCTGAGCGAAGAATTATTTGCCAAGCACCAATACTCCAGCGAACTTGCACAATGTCAATTAAGAGGTTATACGCAGGAATAAGTCATGCCTTACCTCCACTGTTCCTAACCCTTCGTTAACATGGTTCACAGATGTCCACCTTTTATTTACGATGCGGAAGAAAACCAAGACCCTCTCCATAATCTCCAAAATTGCTGGAGTTGATCTTATTCCCACCGTGGACCTCAAAATTGGACGTGTGAACGTCTCAGTCCATAGCGAGGACGAAAATTCAAAAGTTCTTACCGCAGCCATGGAGAAGATCAATCGGGAACCCGACGGGGGATTCCAGGATGTCCCTGGGAAAAGAACGACCCAGTCGTGGTCTAGTACACAGACAGCTATCCATTTGTCTGCGTGACTATGCTTGATATGATAGGAGGCGAGACAGCACTGAGAAAAGGAATGGGGAGGTGGTGAAAAATAGAAGCTCACAGATGGTAGGTCTCATCATCTGCATCTTTTGATATAATTTCAAGCCTATAGACCCTATTACCTTAGGGTTCAGTAATTATTCTCTAGGGACGATGCTTTGAGCATCAAGCCCACCGAGCCCTGAGAACAACCACAAAAATATCCATGGTGACTTCGTCCCGGTCCTGATCCGCTGCCATCAAAGATGGCATGGTCCTCACCACGGTTCGTCTCATATCAAATATTGGGGAATCGTATTACCAGTTCACGGAGTACCGATCTGAGATGCTTCAGGATCGATCCGTGATGCCAACAGATTGGTCCGGCGCCAAATGTGATCGTTCGATACGTGCGATCTGAAAGAATTTATTCGCAAGCAGATCGAATTCCTGAAGCATATGGACAAGGAAATTGTCAAGAATGATAAAGTCATGAAAGGGGTCGTTGATGACAGCTATTTGATCCCAGAAGATCTCAAGCTGCAATTGTCAAGGGGCATATTTTAGTTGCAGCTGAGCTTTATTCGCATCCGTTTCTGTCTGCCGCTGGCGTTTGGTGATTGGGATTGGTTGATTCGCATTTTTACTGAAATAGATATGTAGCGACATACTGTAGGTACTGAGAAATCCCTACAACTATATTTCTCATTTAAGATCGCTTTGATAATCTATGATTCTCAAACAATCAACAGAGCCCTGGAAGTATGCTGAAGTTTTGCCGGATAGCACGATGTAAAAAGTTGTCAATAATTGTTTAGGCCGATATAACCCCTGACATACAGGTGTTTTAATATTTCAAACCCCTTTCTCGTTCTGATGTCGAACTGGCAGCAAGGCGAGTTTCGCCAGTACGATATAATGCGCTGACGGCCTAACAACAGTAACCTCTCTATGGAGTTGACTGAAGAGGGACACACACACGGAAGGCTCAAGAGGCGAATGGATCAAAGACAGTCTGTTACTCCCCAGGATACAGATCTGGATGAAACTACAGAAGAGAGGTGAGGTGAAGTGAATTGAGTAATCTAATAGGGAGATGTGTATGGTGTGTTACTGCCACGACTGAAGCGCCATTCGGGATATATCACATCCAACCCTGTTACATCGTAAGGGCTGAGCACGTAGGGCGAGACGAGGGAGATGCAATACTAGTTCCGAACAAACGCTTATGGACCTCCTTCAAAAGCATCGTTGTTGCAGCTAGTGTAGCTGCTGCTATTGCTTCCTCTCGCTTGACTGTCGAGCTCCCATACGTAGATGCTCGTTGTACTCCATAGTTAGGTATGTGCAGATGTGTAATATTCGATCAACACAACTTTTGCAGAGATCCCAAGTCAAGTCAATCTCAAACGCATTGATGAAGCTACCTCGCAGGATTGATACACTTCGAGTTCACGATCCGATGACCATGGTGTTGATGATGAGCGACATGAGTACTGGCTTATGCACACGAAGGCGACCAACTTAGCTGACCGCACTCATCACGGCGTCAAGGGCAGATCTACATTGACGATCCAGGATCTTATTGTAGATTGGCTTACTGATGTTGGACTGTGGGGTTGCGTCGGTGGATGGGTAGTTCGAATAGATGAATCTATTTCGCGCTTGTTTGTTCAGTTTGCGCGCGGAATTTCCGAAAAGAAAAGTGCCTGGCGGTCGCCCTGACATGACAATGACTTCTGTGTCGTCTTGTTTCCCCCTCCTTCTCTTCTCCCTCTCTCTCTCTTCTCCTGTGCTCTCCTCTCCTCCCCGTTAAATTCTTGAGGCAATCCGGCATTTCGTTCCTGTTCGTGCGACCTGATCCCCGCGCCCTATATTTCGTCCCGTCGGATCATTCATACAGAAGTGACTTCCCACCCAGCCATGCCAACAGTTCTCTTCGTTACTATCTAGTACCACAAGAAATAAGATTTCTTCGTTGTGATTTATTTCACCTGAGAATTTCCTTCTTCCTTTTTTTAAAATCTGTTGCTGTCGTCGTTGCTGTTGTCTTCGGCGATACAAAGTCTTTCTGTCGCAACCAAAGCAAGAAGGCGAACGCCACCCTAATACAATTCCTTGGATTCGATCAACAAGCGGAAGTAACCGATGTCGACGCCTACACCGACGGGAGCAGCATCTAGCAATGGCTCCTTAAACGGGATAAAAGCCACAATAGATTCAACCGGAGATTCTTCGGGGGGGTAAGCCAAGCCCGCGCCTGGCATGCCTTGAAATGATGGATGCTGATGCTTTTGTGTCCAGCTCTCTCACACCTTACAAGGACATGTGGATGATATTCGCGCTCTTATACAATGTGGTATCTGTATCAGACCACTGTACGAACCTTTTACCATTGCTTGTGGGCATACATTTTGTTACAGTGTATGTCAGACCTGCATTATCAATTCTATGGCGAGCCTATGGGAAAGACTGACTTGTTTACTAGTGCCTAACCTCGTGGTTTGCCGGCGGTAGATCCAATAAAACGTGTCCGGATTGTCGAGCTCCCGTGAAATCGGAGCCGTCCCCTGCTTATCTGGTATGGCCTGAATTTCCTGCTTCCACGGAGTTGTGATGGAGGGTTTGATGATGTTACTGACGGGTTCCAGGTTCGCGCGGTTGTCCAACTGTTCACGAGTCGTGCCGAACTTCTAGACAAGGGCGAGACCACAGCCGAACATATACGCCATCAGCGCGATGAAGCCGAAAAGGTAGAGAGGGACAAGAAAAACACCCATCATAAAGACGGGGGCTTGTTCCGGGGCATATTTAACAAGGCAAGGCTTTCGATCCCGGCACCTGTTGTCGATCTCGAGGACAATGTCATCCGTTGTCCGGTTTGCTCCTGGGAGCTCGAGGAGGAGTCCGGATGCGCCCAATGTGGATACCGCCGGGACGAAGGGTCGACAACTAGTTCTTCCGACTATATGAGTGAACTGGATGAGAATTCGGACATGACCGACTACCTTGATGATGACGACGTGTTCGAAGATGGGTTTGGTGAAGTTGACGATTTTGACTTGAATGCTCTTTATCACGGTGCCCCTCCTAATGGGCTACCCTTTAACATTACCCAACAACTCTATGGGTTGCTGCCTAATCTTCAGAATCGTCATGGACCTCTGAATGGTCCCTATCACGTTCCGTCGGATGACTGGGATCAGCATGATGCCATGTCCTCGATTCCTGACAGTGAAGATGAGGAAGATTCCGAGGATACTGACATGGACTCCTTTATTGACGATGACGAACATTTTGGTGGTATGCATGATTATGACTCGGACTTGGAGTCGGATCGGTCTACAGTCGTGGGACCCGAATATAACACGCAAGCCCGCTATGAAGAAGTGCTCGAGCACTCTGATATTCCAACTTCTCAGCTTGGGGACTTAATAAGTGATGGATCGGTGGACATTTCAAGCACTGACTATGGGAGTGAAGACATTGATGACGACGATGACGATGACGATGATGAGCCAATCCGACCTCCTGTAAATGGAGGTCGGCGTTGCCCAGTTCCTTTCTACCAAGAACTGTTGAGTTCTCCCGGACAATCACAACTGCAGAATACGAATTTCGATCTCGCCAATCCTCGTAGTATACCACAAGCTCAGCGTCCACATACTACAGGAACTACGGCGTCGGACGCGATCAGCCTGGAGGATGATTCAGACGAGGGACCAGTGAGACCGTCAAGGAGAGCTAAAGATGGACGGAATCGCAGAACTACGGCTCTTTGATCCGTTACGTTCATTTATCATATACGATTTAACGACTACCCCTGGCGTTTACTAGCGAAATTGATTGTAGTTACCGTGAACTAGTTCTTTGTGAGTCTGAGCAATTAACTCACATGACTGGTATCTTTGGAATTTCTGGTCATGGCTATGGATTGACCTAGCTAAGTTGAGTGATAAGGATAAGCTCATGGACGCTGTTTCTATCCTTTCGTTTATTCGTTTATTTGCTTATTTATCACTTCGGCCGGCTCAATGCCATGTTTCTTGACGCTTTTCAGCTATACCTTTATCTTCTGAAAAGTGGTACCCACTAATACCCACCTCCTGCTTAATATGTTATATTCCCGCCAGCAATGGGTTTCTAGTGACTCGTGTTCTGTGTTGCTGGACGAGACGATATTTTGTCATGCGTGAGACCTATGGCTCGTCTCGCTGAGACTAGAGGCCGTAGCAGTTACCAAAAGTTTAGGGCTGTACTTCATTGCATTGTTAACATATACCCGTTTTCTTAATCTTTGGACCCTTTTTTTCTCTTGACTTCTACACTTGGAATCCGGATGAAAAATCATGCTGCAGTGGCTCAACTTGAGCCCTACCACCTCGGATCATGTGATTGGCGTAGCCTCGTATCCAAGGTGGCGATGCTAGAGTACCATTTCGAACTTTCTCCGCCTAGAGCCTCAATTATTCCCTTAAATGTGCTGAGCAATTCAAAGCTGGCTTCTTCAGTATCTCTAATCCGTCTCGGCGTAAAAGTCGAATGTCATGTCTGCGGCACGTCAACAAGTTCTGGTCTTGCATCCTAGCAAAACTGAGCGCATGAATAGTAGCAGACTCGACGATGACGGTGCGCTTCAGACGGTCTTCCGACTAACAGACGCAAAAAACCCAACGGTTTATCACGCTCGACGACCCCATAAGAAGTCCCGAGGGGGTTGTATCACCTGTAAGAGGCGGCGGGTCAAAGTGGGCTGGTCCCAACGACAGCATCCACGATGATAGTTCTGCTAATTCCGATGGTACAGTGCGACGAACGCAAGCCATGTTGTCGAAGATGCGAAGCTCGGGGTACCACATGCAGTTATGTCACAGCGTCGGAGAGCCTACTGAGTGGCAGTGATAAGACTGAAGCATTCGCCCTCGAAAAGCCCAGCAAAACGGGGTTTTCCTTGTCGCTTGTCGATATGCGGTCCCAGCTGGAGGGGATTTTGAGCGTCGGATCAGGCTCCAAAATTCAAAGGTCGTGTCAGCCCTTTATTATGGATGCGTTTCAACATTTCTTTACCTGGTCTGTTGAAACAGTCGGCCAACCTGGTATTCGAGATGTGATGAAAAGGGACATGGTGGAGATTGCATTTACCGTGAGTTTCAGCGTCGATCCAAAGTTGTAGCGCCAATCCATGCGCTTATTTTACTAACAGAGACGCTCAGAATTCACATTTAATGTACACATTGCTTGGGGTTGGTATGCTGCACTTGAATCGTGTCAAACAACCCGTGGAAGCGAGCCCGAAATGTGCAGAGGCCTATTTCTGGCAGCAGGCGATCCAATTATACCAAGCTGCACTACTCCCGGGAGTCAGTCGGAAAAATGTGGATGCTCTAATCTCGACGTGTATGTTTATCAGCCTCGTGTCGCTCTGTCCAGACGACTTCAAACCTACCGATTCGTGGGTTTTTACAAACAACCCTGCAGACATGAACTGGCTCTACTTGCAAAGTGGATTGCGATGCATCTTGCAGCAAGCAGAACAGTACCTCAATGGATGTATCTGGGGAACTGCATTCATGGGATTTCATGAAATAGAATGCCAACTCTTTAATTACGAAGGCCACTGTGGACCAGACGGCCTTGATCCTCTTTTCGCCGATTTCTGCGGCATTGATGAGTATACGAACGAAACTACGAGCCCTTACTATACGCCCCTCAAGTCTCTGACCACGCTGCTTGAATTAGAGAAAAATCTTTTCAATGCATCCATGTGTACAACTTATATGGGGCGATTGGAATTTGATTTTCTTGCCCTGCTTCAAAAAAGAGATCCAGCAGCTCTTATGATTATTGCGCACTGGATGGGCTTGATGTGCTTGCTGACGAAGTGGCAACCGTGGGTCGAGGGTAGGATTCGAGCAGAGTGTATTGCTATTTGCATGTTCTTTGAACGCAGTACAGACCCCAGAGTGCCACCACTGCTTGAATTTCCTGCCTTTGCATGTGGATATGCTCAATTTGAGTAGGTCGTTTGGCCATAGGAGGAGTTAGGAAGGGGCTAATTATGGACTTTCATAATTTTAATATTTTCTATGGTTTTATAGACTGCCTTTGTATTATAGCTGATGACCGTGGGAATAGACACATTGGTGGAGTGGATACATTAGTGCTACAAATGATATCCAGTCAATGCTGAGACAGTCATTCGTGTCATTTCCAGAGCTAGTTATTCTATCAACGCTCGCAAAGATTGAAGTTACTACTTTTTCAAACCACTCGTTCTGCTCCTTAGAATTAACGCTTCTCTCCTCCATGAGTTCCAGTCGATATTGCTTTGCCACATCCATGGTGATGATGGGTGGGCTGAATAGACCATCGTTCACCATCTCCTGCAATTCGACTGTAATCTCGACTGCAAAAACCCGTTGAACAATTTCTCGTTTTTCCTTCCCCCGGTCCTCCTGCGGCGGAGGGATATTAGCGTACGAAATAATGCGGATGTTCGGATCCACCAGAAACAAGGCAAGGATCTTACGATGGCCAGGCTTAGAGCGGTCCTCCAGTTTGACTGGGGAGACTCGATACTGTGAATGTTAACAGAGCCAGAATGAATCGACATCTAGAGCATTCGGAAAAGAAGGAAAGAGAACTTGGTGGTTTTTCTAGGGTATTATGAGTACAAATAAGTAGTTAGAAGCCACTCACCAGTGGCTCACATGCTAGAGGCAAGGTAAACCCAGGCAGGTCAAAACGGAACGACTGAGTCGAATCCATTGCAGCAGAGTGGGTGGATGAAGTTTGCTTTTATCAGAAGTGGTGTTGCCGGCAGACTCGCTCAAGCAGAAATGGAGGTCTAGCACAGCCTGGCCCATCCTAAGGCAGCCAGTTTCTATCTTCTACTTTTCTTCGTCCGGAATTTCAAATGGGAAAGATAAACAGAAACTCCTTCGTGGATATCCGATGGATATGTAGGTATGTACACCTGGACCCTGCGAGCCCAACATCATAACGACAAAACGAAGAATCCCTCTAATGCGAAACTTTTGAACATGTGCAAAGACCGCCATCCGGGAATACCCAAAGTACATAAGAAACACTGAATAGTTAGACAGAGATGGATAGATAGATAGATACATGCACCACATCGCCATGATGCGTCCCACTGACCAATTAAGCCTCCTTTGGGCTCACATCCGAGATGAATGGAACTTCGAACACCACGGCTCCGTTCCGGCCATCCACTGTCGCGCCGTCGTGGAAGTTGTTGGCAAAGCATTTCCAGCGTCCAAAACGGTGCTCTTTGCCAACAGCCGCCACTATGCAGAGACCCCGACGTTCAGGGTCTGAGGATTTCGACTTTGACTTGGATTTGGGCTCGGTTGGTACCTGTCCAGGCTTGGTAGTGTCGAGGCGGCGCTCGAAAACTGCAATATCGTTGACCACGCCCTTGATCAACGGCTCAGTACCTTCCTTGGCTTCGTGAGCCTTCTGATTCCGTGGTGTGTCGATAGCCATAGGATCAGAATTGTTTGGAGTATCGAAGGCGAGCGTCTGTTTCAATTGAGCAGAGGGAGTATCGGGGGTAGACGAAGCCAGATCTCCCCCACCAATCGGCCCCAGAGCAAGGATCGTCTTCTTATCTTCGGAAACCTTCCATGCGCGAATCCAGCCATCCCAGCTACCGCTTAGCACAATATCCGTCCCAGGAACTGTGGCCAAGGCGGTGATCCAGCGAGGCATCCGTCGAAGATGGCGTGAGTTCGACGATGCTTTATTTTGATCAACCTCCGTCGACAGCTCATCAAGCGGAGGGATGGGGTCGAGACCGTGCGCGAGAGGGATGGTATAGAGAGGCTTTTTCTTATGGATGGACCATAGACAGAGAGCACCCGAGTCTGAGCCTGTCACGAAATGAGTAGGAGGCAATGGAGCCACACAGTCGAGATTATTTTCTTGGTATGAGGCGTTCTTGGATCCAGCGCGGAAGACCAACTGCGATTCGTCCACAACCTTCCATAGCCTGGCTGTACGATCGCGTGCACCCACACTGACACACTCGTCAATTGACATTGCCGCCAACGACGAGACGTTGTCTTGATGTCCGAACAATGTCTCGACATAGGCATGACCGGCGGAGCTCAGAGACCACGTTTTGATCGTGCGGTCAAAAGAACCCGTGAATAGTTGCTCACCAGAGCTCATGGTTGAGATATGTCGCGCAAAGGCAAGCCCGCTGACAGAGTCACGGTGTTGCGTGAAAGTCTTCATCGGTGTCAAAGTCGCCGCGTCCCAGATGATCAATTTGTGATCCTCGCCGCCTGTCGCAATGAATTTCCCAGACGGCGAGACTGCAACCGACAGGATATTTTTTGTATGGCCATGCTCCTCCTCACTCTCGGAAACCTTTTGTAGACCTCGCACAAACTTAACTTGTTTTGGTTTCTTTCGCTGAGGTTTCGGAGGCCGTTTGGATAGCTTGTCCTGTCCGTTTATTGTGGCAGCCGTCGTTGCAGGTGTCGGGGTCGCAAGTTCCCATTTGATTAGTGTTCTATCCTTCGACACCGTGTAGACATAGGGTGGGTACACTGCAATGGAAGTAGTCGACTGGGTATCTGCCCGAAAAAAAGTATGCGATGCCGTAGGGAAAGCTAGATCCGAGGCAATTTGACGATATACACGTCCTTTAAACTCGTCCTATGCTCATATCAGATATGCAAGGATCTACTGGGGATGGAAAGGTGGAAATATTCGACAATACATACCACATCCTCTTTTAGCCTCTCAGCAATGAGATCTCGATCGATTTCTGCTGCATCAAACCCAATCTCATCCACCTCATCACGGACATTCTCTAGATACCTCTCCGCCAGCTTCAATCTTCGGTCCGCTGCTGTCTCTCCTTCGTCTGATTCCGAGCCACTCTCCTCTCCGGATAAGGCAGACTCCACACTTTCCACATCTTCATCCACATCGCTACCTGAAATCGACTGATCCCTTTCCATAGATCTTTTATCTGCATCGACACCCCGTTTTTTGAACGCGGGGGCTCCGGCGCGGTCTTCCCTCTTGCGTTTCCGTTGGGAAGCGGGCAACGTGAAAAAGGACGACATCACTGAATTGAGGTACCCTAGGGCACTGGTCAACAGAGATCCGGGCGATCGACTGACGGATACTGGCGGGGGAGGGAGCAAGCGAATGAGGAGAGTTCGCAGAGCTGGAATACTAATTCTTATTCTTTGAAGCTTTCGCTCTCACTTTTTTTTGCCGGTGGTCCGTGCATACGGAAAGCGCATCAATATTACGCCTAAATACTGACTCAGCAGACCAGCTGCTACGCCTCAGGCCCCCAGGCAGCTGCAGGCAGTCAAAGCTCCGCGCGGCCTTGCTGTATCCTTCCTCACAGTAAGACAAGACCATCATCAGCTTCCTTCTCGTTCTTCCCTCCTCCTACAGACGCGTGACACCGACGACAGTTATGTAGGTTCCATTCAACTCTGCCAATGTGTGTCCCCTTCTCAGCTGACCGATCGTTTCCGTAGGGAGGTTCTACTGGGCATTACTGGCAAGGACTTTGTCCTTCTGGCGGCATCTAAAGCCACCATGAGGGGTCCAACCATTATCAAAGCTGAGGATGATAAGACGCGCCAGCTGAACAAGCACAATCTGATGGCTTTCTCGGGAGAGGCAGGGGATACCGGTTCGTGCAGTTGACCCAACAACAGACGAATATTAGGACGAGTAATTGAGATGGGCGAGCTGACTCTTGGATCGGGGACAGTGCAATTTGCGGAGTTTATTCAAGCCAATATTCAGCTCTACACAATGCGGAATGACACCGAACTGGGGCCGAATGCAGTAGCCAACTTTGTCCGGGGGGAATTGGCACAGAGCCTGCGATCGCGGAGTCCCTACACGGTCAACCTGTTGCTGGGAGGAGTGGACCCCATCACTGAGAAGCCTCACTTGTACTGGATCGACTATTTGGCGTCGTTAGCCCCAGTGCCATACGCAGCTCATGGATATGCCCAGTAAGTCAGGAATTGAACCTCCCTAACAAACCTAGCGTGGCATCAGGTGCGGGTGGGATGAGAACTAAGATGCTTCAGGTATTACTGCTTATCTACTCTTGACAAACATCACCACCCTGATATCACGCTCGAACAGGGTCTGAAGCTTCTAGAGATGTGCACAGATGAGTTGAAACGAAGACTACCAATCGACTACAAAGGGGTATGTCACTCGTAATCACCCAGTCAGTGAGCATGGATTAATTTACTAACATTCTCCAGGTTCTGGTGAAGGTTGTAACCAAGGATGGCGTAAGGGAAGTGGACTTTGACAATGAGAAGATCGTCAAGAGTGCTTAATATGGTGTTGTATCATATCAATACTTATCTCATGTCTTTTGTTTTCGGCTTTACGGGACTTGGTTCTTCTCTTTACCTTTGAAGATCGGTTGCATGGCTAGATATTGTTTCCATGAATGTGCTCCAGATGTAGTCTCTCTCTCTCTCCTTTAGCATAGTATATAGCATCGTGACCCTGACTGTAAGAGAGATGTTCATATGTCATAGTGCCGGTTGTTTGCCTTGTTTGCATTCTGCCGTCCATCGCATTTTCGCCGGTTGGAATTCCCGCCGCACCAGTTTTCTCCTCTAGTCCCTAGCTACCCACCAAGTCATGATGCCTAAGAGACAAGCGGAGTTGTCGCTGGAGGATGGCATTCCTGCGGGCTCTCCTGTCTCAAAGAAAGCCCGCGTGGAGGATGAGCCTGCGGAGCAAGAAGACGCGTGGCATGGCGCCGTACCGCTACGCCGGGCCAGTGGGCAAGAGATGGAACAGCACGAGCACAAAGGAGAGGACATCCTGGCCGCTGCAGACCTGGAGCAAGAGGAACTGAATGAGGCGGCGCTGAATGAGAAGAGTACAGAATCCTCCGACACTATCGACGACGACGACGCTGACAACCTACCGGCAATGACTGTTCCAAAACGTCAGACCAAGCCGATGGAGGGTTACAGCGACCTATACCTTGATACGATCAATCGCGAAATTCTCGACTTTGATTTCGAGAAGCTGTGTTCGGTCAGTCTCTCTAATATCAATGTATATGCCTGTCTCGTGTGCGGCAAATACTTCCAAGGCAGAGGCCCCAACTCGCATGCATACTTCCATGCTCTGGAAGTCGGGCACCATGTATTCATCAACATGGGCACGAAGAAGGTCTACGTTCTCCCGGAGGGATATGAGGTCCAGAACAAGAGCTTGGACGACATTAAGTATGTGGTCGATCCATACTATTCCAAGGATGAAGTGTCGAAGCTGGATAAAGAGGTCCACGACGCCTTTGATCTGGCAGGGCAACGATACAGACCAGGTAAGTAAGGAGCGAACAACGGTCGGTATAGATCTCCATCTACGGACTACTAACTCTTGACTCAGGCTTTGTGGGCATGAACAATATCAAGGCAAATGATTATCTCAACGTCGTAGTCCAGCTCTTGGCTCATGTCTTCCCGATTCGCAATTATTTCCTGCTCCATGATTTTCAAGCGCCTGGAACGCCACAACTGGTTCAGCGCTTCAGCACGCTTGTGCGGAAGCTGTGGAATCCAAAGGCTTTTCGATCCCATGTGTCGCCTCATGAGTTGCTACAGGAGATTGCCCTTCGATCATCGAAGCGTTTTACGCTCACTCAGCAGTCTGATCCCGTAGAATTTCTATCGTGGTTCTTAAACAACCTCCACTTGTCCCTCGGAGGATCCAAGAAGCCGTCCAAGACCCCGACGAGTGTAATCCATGCCGCTTTTCAGGGCCACTTGAAGATCGAAAGCCAAGCGATCACCGCCCATTCCGATACACAAAATGCGCGCTTGGTATTCACCGAATCCGGCTCCATCAACGGCCAAACCATCCCGTTCCTCATCCTTACTCTTGACTTGCCTCCCACTCCCCTCTTTCAATCCGCCAATCGTGAATCAATCATCCCTCAGGTTCCGTTGACAACCCTCCTGAACAAGTATAACGGGATCACCGCCTCGGAGAAACTGGCTCATCGAGTCCGACACCGTCTCCTCCATCCACTTCCCCCCTATCTCTTTTTCCACATCAAACGCTTCAGTCAGAACCGGTTTGTCTCGGAAAGGAACCCGACGATCGTAACCTTCCCATCGCCTCGCTCCCTAGACATGTCTCCCTACGTGGAACCCAATCCTGAAATCTGGCCACCAGGCGAGCCAATCCTTTATGACCTCGTCGCCAATATCATTCTCGACCCCTCAGTGGCCGCCTCCGGGGCCGCCGAAGATGCAGCAGCGGACCGGGGTGTCAACGCCGCAGGTGGGGGCTCGTCTACCGGAGCCGGCGCAGCTAGCGAGAAGGTTGCGTGGCTCGTCCAAGTTCAGGACAAAGCGATGGTGGCGGAAAATGCACGACACCAGAAGGAACACGCCGGAGAGCAACAGGGCCCAGAATGGTTGGAGATCCAAGATCTGTTTGTGAAACGAGCCGAGAGTGAAACCTTGTTTACGAGGGAAGGATATCTAATGGTTTGGGAACGCCGAAAGATTCCTGGCATGACGAATCAAAAGGGGAAGAATCCCAAGTAGATCTGTTGGATCAGGAGATAGACATTACCTGTAGTGTCGTGTATTTAATTAATTATATCTGACTGATGTGTGCATGGCAAGGCTTAGTGTTAGGATCAATACTTGTATAATTAAATCAAAATTTATGATTCGGATGAGCATGCATTTTTTTATCCATTTTGTAGATAGCTAGAGAATAGATACGCGTCCAAGCAATGATTGGGGGAGTGATTCGCCTTGTCGTGCAATCTCAACTGGCGTCATGATGAGTACAGTCTATAGCGCATTTTCGGAGTAGACGACTAGCATCACTAAAAATGGGAGAAGAACAGGTGAATTAGATACATATAATATAGGGCAGATCCAAATCCAGCATTTCTATTAATGTCGAAGTAGCTAGGTCACAATGCACTCATGCACACTCATTCCACCAACGTTGCAGAGCATACGGTCATAAGCTGCCCCAGCCACAGAACTTCCTACCAATTTTAATAGCTGTGCCAGCTATGATTCCCCATACGCTAGCATTCACAGCTGCCTGCATGCCCACCGTGAGAGCTAACTTTCCCATGTAGACAAAGGCGTCGGATCGAGAGCCACCACCCCATACACCCAACGGGCGGACATCAGATCGGAGAGCAGCGGAAGAGTTCGCAGATGATAAATAGGACGAAGCAAGAGAGCGTAGGTATAGGGATTCAAGTGGAATAAAAATCACGTTGGTGAGCATGGATGCAAGATGAGATGCAAGAGAATCAACGGGGTGAGAGGAGAGGATCGTGACTCGATGAGCAATGGGGGAGGTAATAGTAGCTGTCATAGACTGGCGAACATTGGGATCAGATATCCGTGGGAAAATCTCCGAATCAAAATCATTTTCAAATGATGTGTCCGGCCCCGGGGATTCATTGTGTATTTCTTCCGGGCCTGGTTCTTCCACACTATCCGGTAAGATATTGGCAAGCGTTGAAATGGGACCGGATCCAACAGCCGGAGTTTCTGCTCTTGGACTTCGCGGCTGGTCTGCATTAGTCAATGGGGTCTCTCCTACTTCAGGAAATATAGCAGCAGTCATGTTGGACAGTCCATCACTATCAACCGTATCTGGGTTGTTGACGGCAGTGAAACTTTGGCCTTGATTGGCTAGGAGAGCATCCAAAAGGTCCGAGAACGACCGACGGCCAACTGGTATGCCACTGGCATTTGCTTGATCAGCTTCGACGTCAGTCCTAGCAATCAACTGGCCCTGGTTTGAGGCATGTCGGTTCCCTAAAAGCTCCAGCTGCATGGTGATGACATCAGAGTTCTGGTGAATCAATGAAGCCCTCACGCGGGGGGACGTCGGGGAAGAAGTTGCAGGGGACGAAGGTCGGGAGAAAAGGGTGTTTGAGCGGGAATGCCGTCCACTCTCGGCAGCATCCAGATCTTCCAGGCGACTGGGCCCTGCATCATCCGCATGGTTGGATGAGCCAGCAACAGGGGACATCGTGTTCACTCGCCCCATTGGGGCCAGCTCTGGAAAGTCATCGGCACTCATCTCCGCGGGTGATAGCGAAATAGGGTTTTCTTCATTGGACAGAACACGATTGCCGTTGAAGTCGCCCCCCGGATCCTGTGACTGTGACCTAGGAACAGCTCCATGGGCCCGGATCACTTCCTCTGGAGGCGGTGGGACCGTCGATTGAAGCTGTAATTGCCGGGATAACGACTGCCTTTCGTTCTGCAATTGCTCGATGCTTAACGGTAAAGATTCGAGCCAATCTCGCCTGTGTCGGGCATCCGCAGCTTGTTCAGATGCCTGAGCTACCCGCTGTGATTTGAAGCCAAACCATGATAAAACCCAACGTCGAAGGAAGTTCACCTCGTACATGATATCCTCGACGAGTGTCATGCTGTTGCGACGACTTTCTTCCTCGGATCTGCGTCCGAGAGTCGGAACCATCCAGTCTATAAGATCATTTTCAAATGCCACTTTAATAGAAAGTTCGTCCGCCACGGTAGGCTTCGGTAACCGTCGACGTATTAACCGGTAGAGCCTTATCTCTATCACTGGACGCAGGTACATATAGATATAAAGCAAAACCGGAGGCGCCTTTGCCAGATTCAAAAGATACATGCTGAGTGATTCAAGTGACGAGTCTGTTGGTAGGGAAGGAAGCTGAATCGCGGCATGTTCGCCAAATGGGATTAGAAGCTGGACCGCTGGCAAAAACGACGGAGGGACAAGGAGGAGAGATTGCAGGAGAGAATACATGTATGTCTGTATCGCCAAAACAAGCAACGTCCCTCTCGCCCTGGACATAGGTTAGGTGGCTGTCTGTGTTCTATGGGATATTGCAAGTTACGCACGCAGAATGTAAAAGGTTGAATGAAGCCCGAACAACTTTTGAGCCCGTATCGTCATTAGGGAAATAGCTCTGTATGTACGAAATCAAGCGCTCCAGTGGATGATGTCGGCAAATGGAGAGGCATGTTGATATCGCCCATGCCGGGATTCCTGCAAAATAGAACCCTTGGATCCCCCAAGACGCACGTTCATGGCTTATAATAGCCATCAAAGGGATATGCGTGTAACTTTTGAAAGTCTAACAGATCAGCCTTGTGAACCTCTGACCTGAAGCTATGCATCAAACTTACTTGTATCCGGCCGGCAAGTGACGACGTCCACCATGAGCCGAGGAAGACGGACACTTGGTCTAGGGTAGCCATGATCAACCCATAGTCGTTCTCCGCAGCTATCATCTCAACCTTCTGCCGGTCACTCTGTCCACCGGCATTTCCATCCTCACTAACAACAATGCCCATGGTTGAAAGGACGTCATTTTTGGCCCTCCGAAGCGCTTTACCAAATACTTTGGATTCGGGATTAACTGGATGACCTCTTTCATCGTAATGCTGAGCATAGTCGTCCGCAAACAGAGCGGACGTACTCTGCTGGGTTGGACGAGCACGATCCGATGTGGGATCTGCAGTGCGCTCTGGCACTTCATACGGGGACCGGCCCTTGATATTCAGTTAGCCAAGCAGTTCAGAAAGTGGAAGGTAGCAAGCGCCATTGGAAAGTGAACAAATGGAAGATACATGGTAGCCATAGGTATGCCGAGAGGATCATTAAATTTAGGTGCAGCGCACGTTAACAGGCTGCATAAAACCAGAAACAATGTACACTATCTATCTTTCGCTTCGCCTTCCAAGTATACTAGATACAATTATTCCTTCACACCCTATAGTTAGGGAAAAAGTGTAGTAGAGTAGGAAGTCCATCCCAACTGGGCCGCGCCCACTATACCAAAGCGAGGTGAATCATGGGTGGAAACAGAAAGTTGGAGCCTACCAGAGCCAGCCTATTCAAGTACGCCTGTCGCCCCATCACGCAACAAACCGACGAGATTCATCGCTGAGGAATCAAGAGAGGATGATGGTTGTCAATGCCCTGATGGCGACGTTTCTCCGATGGCAACAGGCGCCATTTTCACATGGGCGGCTGCAGCGGCTCGAGCACGGGCCATTGCCGATCGGCCTTTTTTCGACAAACAAAGCAAACATCTCAAAAAAAGATCAAAAGTTTCCGTGCGACAACGCTTGCGACGCCGAACAGCTCCCCTCTTTTCGACCGGCGAGAATTTATTTTCTTCAGGATATAGGATGGCGCGATAGATCAACAGAGTCACGCTTGTTGAGAATCTCCGCGAATCATGTCTAAAGCTGTTGTCAAGACGACCTTCGAGGCGTCTAGGACTCTTCGTCCCATATACACCGGGGGAAGTACTGCACTGGATGCCAGTGGTCGATTGCTGTTGACTTGTGTTGGTGAGGATGCTCTCGTCGTCGATCTCGAAACTGGCGACCAACTTGCCAGTCTGGAAGGAGTGGGTTCTTAGTCCACCTTTATTGCAGCGACAATCGCTAATCAGATTTCTGTAGGATGGAGAGGTCATCACCAGTCTAGCCAGTACGTCACGCAGACTGCAGTTCTTCGAATTTTCTCGTCTTTGCTAACAATTTTCTTAGTTACGCCATCGGCCTCTCATGCCATTGTTTGCTCGCGATCCATGGCCATGCGAATTTACGCTCTGACACCTTTCGATGACACAACACGAACGATCGAGGCAGAACTTATTCGAAGTTTAAAGCCCCATCCATCACCAGTTGTCACAACCGCAACCGATCCCACCAGCACATTCCTAGCCACTGGTGCTGCAGACGGTTCAATTAAGATCTGGGACGTCAGACGTGGCTATGCTACCCATACGTTCCATGGCCATCGTGGTGTTATTTCGGCCCTATGCTTCTTCCAAATACCGTTTCAGGAAGAAGAAAATAAGACGTCTTCCAAGAAAAAGAAGTCAAAGAAACAGTCGAATGATGTCGACTCTGACGAGGATATGGAGGACGCCGGCATCACGACTGTTGATTCGACTGGTATTCTTCGACTGGCCTCGGGAAGCGAGGAGGGCACGGTGCGAGTGTGGGATTTGAACAAGAGGAAGTCTATAGTGACTCTTGAGTCCCATCTCTCAGTTGTACGGAGCTTATCGTACTCCTCAGCGGAAAATGCACTGCTCTCCGCAGGCCGAGATAAGACGGTCATCGTCTGGGATGTGCGCACATTCAAGACGCGCCGGATCATCCCAGTCCTGGAGAGCGTTGAAGCAGCTACGTTCGTTGATGACAGTGGACTATGCTTGGTGGGAGGCGAGAATGGCAAGTTGCGTGTATGGGATTGCAACCGAGGTGGAGAAGTGACCTATGAGCAAGAAGCTGGGGAAGAGTATGAGGCCGTGGTGGCTATCCAGTATTCCCCGGGCATGCCGTTTGCAGTGACAGTACATGCCGATCAGACCTTGCGTCTTCACTCGCTCGAACCTTTATCTAGCTTCAAGCCCGGGTCTTCAATCAAGCCCCTGCCCATCATCAGGCGCATATCCGGCAACGACGACGATATCATTGACCTTGCATACGTTGGATCTGACCGATCCATGCTTGCATTGGCCACAAACACTGAAAGTATTCGGGTGGTCTCCGTAGGACCGTCAACAGACCGACCATCTGATAGTGGAGAGGACTACTTTGGTGCGGATGTCACCCATCTGGAAGGTCACGACGACATTATCATCTGTATCGATGTAGATTGGTCGGGCCACTGGCTGGCAACAGGTGCCAAAGACAACACAGCACGTCTCTGGCGTTTGGATCCTAAAACATCATCGTACACCTGCTTTGCAGTTCTTACGGGTCACGCTGAATCCCTGGGGGCCATCGGCTTCCCTCGACTCCCTCCGCCGATCAACACCCCAGCTCACACCGATCCCCTGAATCACCCTCCGTCTTTTCTGCTCACGGGTTCTCAAGACCGTACCATCAAACGGTGGGACACGGGCAAGCTAGGACCTCTCCAATCCTCAAAACATCACACTCCGAAGGCGATATATACCCGCAAAGCCCACGAAAAGGATATCAACGCCTTGGATGTTAATCCATCATCGACGCTATTTGCGTCCGCCTCGCAAGATCGTACTGTCAAGATTTGGTCTGCTGAAGATGGCTCGGTCGTAGGGGTGCTGCGCGGGCATAAGAGAGGCGTTTGGTCTGTACGTTTCTCCCCTCGGGGCACACCGATCCTCAACAACGATGATCGGAGTAGTACAAGTAGAGGCTTGATTGCCACTGGGTCTGGCGACAAGACCATAAAAATCTGGAGCTTATCTGACTACAGCTGTCTCCTGACGTTCGAAGGTCACACCAACAGCGTGCTCAAAGTGATCTGGCTCCCACCTCCAGATCTGACTACGAAGGGAGACGAAGAGGATGAAGATCAAGCAGCACCGGTTCCCAACCAGGCCGCACAATCGCGGCCTCTTGTGGCATCTGCTGCTGCAGATGGCTTGGTGAAGATTTGGTCTCCCTATACAGGAGAGCTGGAGACCACTCTCGACAACCACACAGACCGAGTGTGGGCACTTGCCAGCCCAACCCCCTCTGGCTCTCGTGCCGACTTATTATCGTCTTCCGCCACTCAGGGCAACTCTTCTCCCTTTGCTCTTGCTTCCGGTTCTGCAGACTCTACCGTCACGTTCTGGACTGATACCACTTCCGCTACGTACACTGCCACAGTCAGCGCCAACTCGGCTCGCATTGAGCAGGACCAGCAGCTGCAGAACTATATCAGGGCCGGCGCATACCGTGAAGCCATCACCCTCGCCCTCCAACTCAACCATCCTGCACGACTACTCTCTCTTTTCACGACTGCGATCGATGCGGCTGATGATCCTTACTCGACCGATCCCAAGACGGAGGAGCGTGCCAACAGCCTGACTGGCAACCCATCCATTGACGAGGTTCTCCAAACCTTGGGGCCTGAGAACCTTCAGAATCTTCTCCTCCGACTGCGTGACTGGAACACCAACGCGCGCAACTCCCGGGTTGCGCAGCGCATCCTGTTTGCTTTGTTCAGATCTTATCCCGCATCGACCTTCATTGAGCTGGCCACTTCAAGCATGGCCAAGCGAGGGGCTAATAGTCGCATTACAGCCGGCATGAAGGATATCCTACAGGCCTTGGCCTCTTACACAGAGCGACATTATCGTCGAGTGGAAGAGCTGACGGACGAAAGCTATCTCGTCGAGTGGATTCTAGGGGAGATGGATGGCGGTGTAGGGTTGGGAGGATTGGGGGTTTCGGGCTCACACGAGGTCATGTCGGATGAAGTCCCTGACCACGAAAAGGATGTGATCATGCTCGGAGTGTGAAGAAAGATAGCAACCCCCCCGGTGAATGATGACATGTATAAATAGACGAGATGGCTTTCGTATTTGGATTGTTGCAGTCTATATCGGCGCTTTCTACTGGAGTACCATGTACATTTTACATTTGCAGATTGTCTTTCTGGGAGAAGACAAGGTATAGAAAAAGTTTTGTCTATGAGCGTACTGTCTCATGCTTGTCTATAAGTATATTTGATTCCATATTGAAGGTCTATTCACACGATCTTCAATACACGGGCTTGCGTCTTCTGTTATACATACGTAGCCAAAGCCTTTCTGTCCGCTCGATGACCCTAGATATAGGCCTCTGTGTAGATTGCTCGACAAAGTCTTCTACATATAGACTCCTGGAAGTACATGCATCTTCCCAAATGACCTGCCCCCTCGCTACCCACGCATCTGTTGGTGGGTTCCAGAAATGGCAATCTGGTTCCAGACATGGACCAAAAAAAGAGGTCTGTATGACGGCAAATACCCTATGATCACGTTGCACGAAGACAATCCAAGTCGTCTGGTCATTCATACGTCCAACATCATCTATCATCATGTCTTCGCCGACGATGGGAGTCGCGACCACTTTCCCGGTCTCGGTTACGATCGTGCCTGCTCGACGCATTCGACGAGTGTCGGGAGCTGTAACGGTCATCATCACCATATCGACGGCTCCTCTCATGATCTCGATCACGATAATAATCACGGTGATCGCGGTCGCGCTCTCTGTCTCTCTCTCGGCGGTATCGATCCTCTCGTCTGTCGCTATCGTCTCGATCATCAGCGGACATTTGTCGTCTCAAATTCCGATCACCCGACGATCGGCTCCTATCCCTCCTTGAAGACCCTTTTCCCCGTCGGTCATAACGATTGCTGTCATCATCGTCGTACTCGCGCCGACGATAGTCCCGATCCCGATCTCTGTCTCGACCGCTTTTTTTAAGATTACGATCACGTCTCTCTTTCCAGTCATCGTCATCACGTTTCTTAGCCTCCTTCCGCAACGCCGCAAGCTCTTCTTCCGTCGTAAATTCTCCGGTTTTCTTATTTTGCATAAGAACCGGCATGTAGACACCCTCCGTATTGTTGTCGCCTTCTTTCCCAGCTTTCCTAGATCCTTTCCGCATTGCAGCTTTCCCCCATGCGCCAAACTCCGCCTCAGCGCCCTTGCCACCCGACGTATCCTTCGCTCCAATCCCGAGAAATCCGGGCCGACGTTCAGGGATCCGCGGCTTTTCGGCGGCAGTCGAAGAGCCGTATTTCCCTTTTCCAACAGGTTGGCCTTCTTTCCAGCCCATTCCTCGGAGTAACGCCGCACCAAACTCCTCCACAGGGATTGCATTATACTGATCCAGCGACGCAGGTTCCGGGCGAGAAGCAACATCGGTTCGGAAGGAAGTAGTCTCATCGTAACGTGCATTCTGGTCCCCCTGGGCAGACTCGATCACAAGATCAGACCGGCCCTCTGTCTCCCCCTTGCTTTCTCGTATCAATGCCTGGAGCGCAATTTCATCCTGCGTAAGAGGTTTGCAGGGTTCATCAGTCGTAGAAGCTCCAGCGTCCGCACTCTCCACCACCTGTTCACCACTCGTCTGGCTCTCATCTCCCTGCGCCGTCTGCGCAAAACTGAGACCATATGACATACTCGGGCCATCTATCTCGACATTCTCCCCAGCGACTTCGCCTCGTTGTTCCGCCTCGCGTATCGCCTGCACTTCCTTCGGGAGCAGGTTCTTCCCTCGGGGCCGTGGACGGTTGATACCAGGTCTATCGCGCCAGTTGTTATTGCTTGCGACAGGGATAACTAATTTGCGTGGTTCATGTGATCCATCGGCGGAGATGGCCGTTCCGGTAATTGTGTCGATTCCCGTCACAGCTTCGTAGGCAGGTGCGCCGCTGTCGTCGTCGGATTCATCATCATCCTGGAGATTATGCGGTCGCCGTGGAAGTGTTCGAGTAGACTGATTGGTTGCTCGAGATGATTCCTGTATATTAAAGGAGGTTTTCTTGATCGATCCATTCGAAACAGAGGAACCTTGTCCTCCTAAGGACAAAGAGAAGGGTTTTGCCGACGAGATTGGTGAGCGTCCCTCCCCATCCGCCGGCGGCTGAGACGAGGGCATGGCAAGCGTCCGTCCAAGTACAAGCTGGCGACAACAAAAGAAGTAGAATGGGATCCAAGGGGGGGAAGTTTTGCTCGTGAAGAAGGAAGAGAGATGACTTCCAGAGCCGGTGGCGAAACTTTTAAGCGCGCGCCTGGATATCTTCGGATAGCCGCAACATCCAAAATCCGGTGAGATTACACTACCAACTACGCAACGGCCTTTAAAACTTTTTTTTCTATCTTTCTGGTATGGAGATAGAGAGCTAGCTAATCGTACAGTCGTGGTGGATTTCATTTCATTCCTTGCAATTCCAACCTTCCAATCCTATCCGCCGTACCTTGTATCCGCTTTATCAATACATGTAGTACAAAAGTACAAAAAAAACATTAGGAAACGGCAAAGTCACTGGTCTTACGTCTACACGGCCAGTATTTCGGATGGCTCATTGCATGCCAATGTAATGGAACCCCAAGGAGAGCGCCATAGAAAGCCATAGTGTGGGGGGAGGGCTGCAGCGGGGGTTAGAGAGTCGTGATGGTGAGAAGGGTGGGAAGGGCGAGAAGGGCGAGAAGCGGACGAGAGAATCAGGCAGTAGAGGGCGAAGGAATGTCAAAGACCAACAATCCGGGCAGCGAAAATGATGAGACTCCGGCTGAGAAAGCCGAAGGACAAACAGGTTATCAATAAAAGGGGTATGGTAGAGCGACAAAAAAATATTTACAGTTGAAAGGCAATGGGAAGCGTAGTAAAGAGGTAGGCAATAGGCCCGTTCAGGTCAGAACGTTGTCTAGCTGCCAGCGGTCTGAGCCTGTGGCGGATTCGGGCTCTTGCTCGAACCAGGCATGGGGCCAGCCTGAGTGCTACCACTGCGTTGGGTTTGTGGGGTGGCGCTTCGACTAGGCTGAACGGTCCCATTCATGGCTGGAGAGCTTCCGACACCCACACGACTTTGCTGCGCGTTTTGCGCAACACGCATCATGGGAGAATACCCCTGTGCTTGTGGTACTTGCATTCCGGGACCGCCGGCCATGCCAGGTTGCGGTGGTGTTTGGAAACTCCCATCGTGAGGCACCTGGTAATTGGCCTGGACAGTACCGATATTACCTGCAGCGGCGTTCATAGCAACTTGGGACATGCGCTGCTGCTGGTATTGATTTAAGCGTTCTGTAGCGATCCTGTTCACTTGCTCAAGGGGCATATTCGGGTTGCTCCTCTGGATCTGATTTTGGATGGTACTAATGGTCGGGACAACACCGTTCGACAGGAGGTTAGGCTGACCCATGCGGGGAGAGGGAGTAGAAACCCCTTGGGGTGTGGCGTTGTGGAAGGAGGGACTTTGCATGCCACCTCCAGCTTGGAAAGCGGCCATAATAGCAGGATTGTTTGTAGCCCCATTAGCGTTGGACATGTTCATGTTTGGGGAATGAGATCCCTGCGGTACAAATTGCTGCTGACTGTGGAACTGTTGCTGAGCCTGTTGAGGTTGAGGCTGTTGGTGCGACTGCTGCGGTTGCTGCTGCGGTTGTGGCTGTCTAGACTGTAAAACACGCTGCTGCTCTTGAAGGCGATTGGCTTCGCGAATAACTCGCGTATTATCTGGAGACGTCTGCATTGGCAGTCCAGGACGAGTCCCATTGTTCTGTGGCATCCCAGTCTGTGGCATCATCTTCATTGCCATAGGGTTTGGAGGCACCGGACTATTGACAGGCCCCCCAGCAGGTATTCCTTGCACAGGAGGTCGTCCTTGATTGACGCCAACAGCGGCTGGCATCCCGTTCGGTGTGCCACTGGGCATAGAAGGAGTTCCAGGATTAGTACTGCTGTTATTAGGCATACCGTTCTGATTCCGCCCGGGAGCATTCATCATTTGCTGCTGGTTAGGCATCTGGCCAGCGCGCTGAGCTAGGTTTGCCTTGGCTCCATGTCAGTAAAAGATACAAGTCCGAAGATACAAAGGAAGCCTCACTCTTTGCTGGGCAATCATTTGCTGTCGGTACTGCTCTTGTCTCTCCTGCAGCTTTAGTTCCCGCTCATACTTCAGCCGACTAAATTCAGCCGGTGTCGAAAGTGGAGGTTTCGGTTGATTTGCCTCATTAACTTTTCTCAATGAAGCCAATTGGGAGGCTGGAATCCGTCATGAACATTAGTATCGTTTTCAGCCTTAAGAATGAGTAGCATTGTATTCCTTACCGTGCTGTTGCTTTTGAAGCATCGTTTCACGCTTCTTAGCTAACTTTCGCATAGCGTCGAGCAATGCTAGGTGTTTAGAAGATCTTCTTCGATCAACGCGAACGGGCTGCGTGGTCCTCCTCCGAACTGGCGGTACTGCCTGTGGATTGTTATTGCCCTGCTGCTGCTGTTGCTGCTGCTGCTGCTGCTGTTGTTGTTGTTGAGCTGCCTGCTGCGCCAACACGGTGCGCTGTGCAGTTTCCAATCTTTGGTGATAAGCTCGGAAGTATTGGGTCTTCGCCATATCCGTTGGCAGTCCTTCCAGTCCAACCCATCGCTCAAAACATTCCCAAGGGGTCCTTCTCTCCGCCCCAGAAATAAATTGGGACGGAGGAGTAAGCGAACTTGATATTAATGACCAGTTGTAGGAATATTCCTTCACAAGACGACGTAGTTCATCATCCTCTGCATAGGTCCATTGAGATGATTGTCTCGACTCGAAGAAACCAACCAAGGGCATACTATATTCAGTCGGTGGTCTGAAACTATGGCCTGGGTGGATACGGTCACGCAACTGCTTGTTCTCAGGCCGGAAAAGTGCTACGTTGGTCTGCTCAGGAGGCAGCTCCAGCATCTTATGGTCCGGGTCGGATTGATATTGCGTATAGTCATACCGACTACGCTTCCGAGGCGGTCCATCATCGTGGAAAGCTATCTTGCCAGACACATACTTTGAGAGAGGTAATAGCTCGGTTTTCCAAGAAGCATCAGGCGCCTCTTTAAACATCGGCAAATTGGTGTCGGGCGCGATCTTGACAGGCGCATAGATTGGCAATTCATCCAAGAGCTTCTGGGCTGCCGGAGTCATGTCAAGAGAGAAATTGAACTCGTCCGAGCCAAGCGAAAATATAGCTGCAGGCGCTATCGTATCGCGTAGGTCATGGCGAGGTTCGTCGCTGTAACCCTCACTAAGCGAGTCGTCTTCCATCGAAGGGACTAGGTCTGGTGTAGGGTGAGGCACAGCAATAATTTCATCAGTGGTATCCTCTGGGGGCGACATCATATCGGAATTGGGTGAAGTCTTCCCCGTTGATTTCTCGGGAGGAATTCTCGCATGAAAACGCAACAACGACCGATGCTCTGAATCGCTGTTAACGTACTCCGCACACCAATCCGCACAGCTCTTTGCCGCTGCGATCTTCCATTTTCGCTCTTCTCGAAAATCGGTACGCATCCACTTCATATGATCCAGAAGAACATCCCAATGAGCTCCTTGCCGGGGAGGTTCCACCGAACGCTTTAATTGGCGCAAGGGCCATCTGTTCGCATTCTGTAGTGCATAAATTCGTCGTAAGGTACGGCTGTCCATTTGCTCATGATATTCCAAAAGGTGATTTTCAGTAGTAAGGGTTTTATGAGCAGATGCTAAGAGCGTGCTGAGGGCCGAGCCTCGAGGGGGTGTATATGCCCTATTCTGGAACAGAATGTAAAGGTAGTCCTGTTCTTCGTTTATCCTGGCAAGCTCACCAGCGTGCTGACGAATAAGATCCATCGAGTCGTTTTTGTCTTGTGGCTGCTGTGGTTGCTTCGGGAATACAACTGTGGACAGTTTACTCCGTTCCCTTTCTCGTGCTCTTCTATCCTTGAGGCGCATCTTCGCTGCAGAGTTGGCAAGAGCATCCGATGCAGTTCGTATCGTCTCCACGGGTCTTTCGCTGGCATGGCCCTTTTCGGACTGCGGTACAGCCAGTTTCGGCGTTTCACCAAGGATCTCAGAAACCGACTTATGGCGGATAGCACCCGAAGACACCCTAGTTGTCATTCTCTCTGGTCTTGATGTTGGTGGATGAATTGGGAACGAGTCTTTCTTCGATACCGGAGTCTCTGGACTTGTTACTGCTTCGACTTGGAATGCAGTCGGCACATTTTGGTGTTGCATTGGTGCCGGAGGTTCCTGAACGGTCTCGGCTTTACCGACTGGGGTCTTCTCCTCAGGAGGTACAGGTGCCGCAATCGATTCCTTGGGCCCTTTTAATGAATCTTTAGGGCCAGTTGGTGAAGCAACGTTCTCCTGGATTATTTCACTTGTCGAAGGCAAAGAGTCACCCCTATCCCCAATAGACCTACTCGCCGCTAGAGTGCTTTGTTGAAGTGACTGGGCCTCCTCTAATCGTAGTTGTTCATCCGGCGTTGATGGAACCAAAGTCGGAGGAGCTTGGGCAGACTCTTCATGGATTGGTTTCGGGACAGCCTTATCCACTGGTTCGGTCGCATCTTCCCCAGGGCTGGTATCAGGAGACGCGACAGCCGGGACAGGGGTGTTGCTGGAGTACAGCCCAGCAGAGGAAGCAGGAGAAAGCGGCTGTTCCGTGACATGAACTTGGCGCCCGGCCTGCTGCTGTTTCTCCTGATCATTTTGGAAGGTCGGCACCTCAGTGCTCCCAGGGGCAACACGAACGACATGATCCGGCTTCGACTGGGCTGGTGAAATACTAGCTGCCGCGGAATCCTGACCCCGGCTGCTCTTCGGCGTTTCCGGTACAGACTGGTCCAATTTTTCATCAGAAACTGGCAATTCAGCGGAAACGCCAGCCACTGGCGTTGTCGCATCAAGGCCGCGGTCGGATCCGGATGTAATATTTGGCGTAGGTTGGCTAAGAGGTTGCGCCGATTTCAATTGCTCTATTCCAGGAGCAGGAGGTTGCTGTTCGGGTAGTTGCTGGACTTCTAACTTCTGTCGGTCGGTGCTAGTAACAGCCTGGGGAGCAGAGGACTCTCCTGCTGATGGTGGGCTAATGGGAGCGGTACTGTGAGCTTCAGATGGCGTCTCAGCAGCCGGTCCAGCTTCCTTGATCTCGCGTTGCCGAATTGCTGCATAATTAGGGAATGGCGGAAGAGTAGCTTCATTAAAGTAGCGCCCTCTAGTAATAATCGTCAGCAAATGCAGACAGTAGGATATATATGCTTTGTTACGGGGCGTATCTAACGATTATTACAAAGTAAAGAAAGGGACAGGTAAAGCATGAGAAAGCTAGATACTGGGGAGGCGAACCAAAAAAAAGGAAAAAAAAAAAAAGAAAAGAAAAGAAAGAAAGCAAAGAAAGAAAGGAAAAGAAAGGAAAAGAAAAAGTCAAGAGACACGTAGGATCAGAGATGTATGAGAAAAACAAGCGCAACATTACACTTACTTGGACAGATCATTGGCGTCAAGGAACGCCTGTTCGTTTTGGTGATAGAAAGGATCGTTCCCGGTCGTGCCCGCGAAGCCTACGGTCGCAAAGTAGAGCTCATTCAATTTGCGCTTCCGCGACAACAAACAGCGTCTAAAATTCCAAGTAAGCGATAAATCGACACGGGAGGATATACAGAAGCGTAATGGGTCGGGAAAAATTAAATACTTACGCGATCTCATCGTTCTTAGACTGGAGAAGCTCTTCCCGGAGCATCGAGTCTATTTCGGGAACACAGCATCCGATTAACGCGCTAAAATAAAGGGGGATGTATTGAGCGAAGTCATCCAGATGGAAAAAATCGCTCGGAATAGATGAAAAGGATGTGGTTGCGTTGTTCTGAGATGCAAAAGAATAAGAGGCGCAACGATATGGCTTGAAGGGATTTTTTTTTTTTCTGAGGGGGATTGGTAGAGAGGTCCCGGACGGGTATTACAGGGGGAGTTGTGGTTGGCTGTTCAGGCTAGCAGAATGGGAGGGAAAGGAGGGAAGAACACTAACTTTGGTGGTAAAAGGGCGCTGAGAACAAGTCCAAGCAGAGTGTATGTATGTCGAGGGAGGATCAGTGACGGAAAGAAATGACGGCCTCAGGCAGCTCTTTTTCCCTGCCGCCGTCGAATATGGGATGCTAGCTTTTCTATTTTTTGGGTCGGTCGAAAACTGTGTGCCAAGGCCTACGAATATGGAAGGTAGATACCACAGGCAGAACCATTCTCCCCCAAGATATCTCACCGCCCATAAAAAAGAATAATATCCGGCAGAAAAAAAGTTGCCCGCTTTCTAAGCTATCGGTCTTCCCAGGATTCTCAAAACATTCATACTCAAAAAAGGCTCCTATTTTTCAACCAACCTCATCATGGCTAAGCGCAAGAGGGAGGAGGCCAGTAAAGAACCTCAGGCTACTACAAAACCGTCGAAAGTGGTCAAGCCTACCACCAGCCCTAAAGCAACCTCATTGTCCGCAACTAATAATCCTGGTGTCACTCTGCAAATAATTACGGGATCATACGACCGAATCTTGCACGGTTTCACTGCTGCGATCTCTCCGGACAGTCTTTCATCTCAGGGGTCTGAAAAGTCCCCCACCAGCTCGGTGCAATTTACAGATACCTTCCTCTTCGAGGCTCATTCATCGGCTATCCGATGCCTTGCCTTGTCTCCTCAGTGGAAGACAGACTCGACCGAAGAATCGCAAAAGATTATCCTGGCGACCGGTGGCACGGATGAACGCATTAATCTGTATTCATTGTCCAGTGCACCTCCCGCTGTCAACGACGAATTCCCTTCGATTCCAACGCTCAGCGGTAACAAGATCCTCGAAAACCCTAAAAACCGAGAATTAGGCGCCCTGGTCCATCATTCAGCCAGCATTTCCGCTTTATACTTCCCATCCCGCTCGAAACTTCTGACGTCCTCGGAGGATAACACCATCTCCATCACTAAGACCCGTGACTTTACCGTGGTCTCTACCATCAAGGCTCCTCACCCGAAGGTTCAGGGAAGGCCCAGCGGTGACACAGCACCCCCCGGGGGGTCTCCTTCCGGCATTAATGACTTTGCCGTGCATCCTAGTATGAAATTGATGCTCAGTGTTGGGAAGGGTGAGAAATGTATGAGGCTGTGGAATCTTGTCACCGGAAAGAAGGCGGGAGTGTTGAACTTCAGCCGCGAAATGCTCCAGGGCGTCAAAGAAGGCAAATGGAGTACCGGGGAAGGGAGAAAAATTGTGTGGAACGCTAAGGGGAATGAGTTTGCTGTCGCGTTCGAATGGGGCGCCGTCGTCTTCGGAATAGTAAGTAGCCGTGTTTCTCTGCCCTCTATTTGCGAAACATTTCCAACTATATTTCCAGGATTCGACCCCCATCTGCAGGATAGTACCCAGTCCGCGGAGTAAACTCCATCAGATGAGGTATATTGCACGAGATCCATCTGCCGAGGACGGTGAAGAGCTGCTCGCTGCCTCGACTGAAGATGGTAGAGTCATTTGTTACTCTACCAAGAAAGTACAGTCACCCGAAAACGATCCCGACTGCTCTATTCCATTTGGTGAGGCCGTTGCCCAACTCGGTGGCAAAGCCCATGGTTTCCCCGGGAGAGTGAAGGACTTCGAAATCTTAAGCCTCCAGAACGAGCCATCTGTGCCCAAGGATGGTTTCCTGGTGGTGACTGGAAACAGTGAAGGTGTTGTACGCGTATGGCTTCTACGCAAGGAAGAGCTTATTGAAAAGAAGAAGAAGAACTCCAAGGAATCCACCAAGACCCAAGACGGCAACGGTTCCGGAACGGCACAAGTCGGGAAGTTGCTAAACGAGGTCAAGACCGAAAACAGGATCACTTGTCTCAAGGCATTCATTATGTCACCACCCGAAGATCCATCAACCTTGCAAGTCTCGGACGAGGAATCTGAGGAGGAAGAGGAAAGTGAGGAGGAATCGGAGAGTGATGAGAGTGATGAGGAATAGTGGCCGGTAGTTTATGGATTATTACTTAACTTGTATACCCTAGGTCCCATGTGTTGATAGACATGTGTACGATGATAGTTCACATTGCATAAAACAGATTCTCACTCTTTTCTGTATCTCAATCTCTTTGCTTTGCATGTGAACACTACATGGTACGCCAAAATGTGATGAAGAACTATGTAAATGTATGCCTGATGAGTCAGGGAAATGTCCAATCACTTGTACCTTCTATGTATAAGAGAAAGCACTATTTTTTTAGTATTCATATTCGTATACATTTGGCTGCAGTTGATAGTGTGAACTGGATGCTCTGAGTCAGCCAAGCGGCAGAAAAAAAAACATCGCCCACCGCCTGCTCGCACTCCACTGCACAAAATCAAAGAGAGAACCCCACTGACCGGCCAAACCCAAGCCCAAACCGAACTATCATATCGCCTCCAGCAATTTTCATCCCCCCCGTTAATTACGACCCGACATCGTCGCTCGGCCCCTCCTCCTTCTTCAGAAGATCCTCCCCCTCCCCTGGTACCTTTTCCATCGCTGTTGCCGTCTCTGGTTTTTGAATAGCAATCATGGCTACCAACGGCGATTTCTCCGACGACGAGTCCCAGCCTGGTTCCCCCGTGCTGGATGCGAACGGCCATGATGACATCGAAGAGCAGGAGCCCCTTGACGGAAAGTCCCTCAAGTCGGCAATGAAGAATACGGGCTCAGTGCTCCCTCTTCCTCAGTCGAAGCGCCCAGAGCTGCCCGAGCAGCCAGACCCGGAGACTCTCGACCTTTCGAAACTGACTCCTTTGTCGCCTGAAATCATCGCGCGCCAGGCCACCATCAACATTGGTACCATCGGTCACGTCGCTCACGGGAAGTCGACAGTGGTCAAGGCTATCTCAGAGGTTCAGACTGTCCGATTCAAGAACGAACTGGAACGAAATATTACGATCAAGCTGGGTTACGCCAATGCGAAGATCTACAAGTGTGACAACCCGGAGTGCCCCCGGCCGACATGCTTCAAGAGTTTCAAAAGTGAGAAGGAAATTGATCCGCCCTGTGAACGGCCTGGATGCGCTGGCAGGTACCGTTTGTTGAGACACGTTTCGTAAGTGGCCTTCCTCGTCGTAGATCAGTTGGGAAGATCCGTTTGATACTGACTTTTGATTTTCCCCTCCCCAGGTTCGTCGACTGCCCGGGGCACGATATTCTTATGAGTACCATGTTGTCAGGTGCCGCCGTCATGGATGCTGCCCTTCTCTTGATCGCCGGAAACGAAACATGCCCCCAGCCCCAAACGTCGGAGCATTTGGCAGCTATTGAGATCATGAAACTCAGCCATATCATCATCCTGCAAAACAAGGTGGATTTGATGAGGGAGGAAGGAGCCATGCAACACTACCAGTCGATCTTGAAGTTCATCCGCGGTACCGTTGCCGATGGCTCTCCCATTATTCCAATCTCTGCACAGCTGAAGTACAACATCGATGCTGTCAACGAGTACCTTGTGTCCCACATCCCCGTTCCTCTCCGTGACTTCACCGCCTCACCTCACATGATGGTCATTCGGTCCTTCGATGTGAACAAGCCGGGTGCTGAGATTGAGGAGTTGAAGGGTGGCGTTGCTGGTGGTTCCATTCTGACTGGTGTGCTGAAGTTGAACGACGAGATCGAAATCCGTCCCGGTCTCGTCACCAAGGATGAGAATGGCAAGATTCAGTGCCGCCCCATTTTCTCTCGGGTTGTCTCCCTGTTCGCCGAGCACAACGATTTGAAATTCGCTGTTCCTGGTGGTTTGATTGGTGTCGGTACCCGCGTGGATCCCACTCTTTGCCGTGCTGACCGTCTCGTTGGTTTCGTCTTGGGTCATCGTGGGCGCTTGCCTGCCATCTACACGGAAATTGAGGTCAACTACTTCTTGCTGCGCCGACTCTTGGGTGTCAAGACCGCCGATGGCAAACAGGCCAAGGTGGCTAAGCTGAGCAAGAACGAGGTTCTCATGGTCAACATCGGTTCTACGGCTACCGGTGCTAAAGTGCTTGGTGTGAAGGCCGATGCGGCCAAGCTCAGCTTGACCAGCCCAGCATGTACCGAAGTTGGAGAGAAGATCGCCATCAGTCGGAGAATTGACAAGCACTGGCGTCTGATTGGATGGGCCAACATCGTTGCGTAAGTGCTCATACTTCTTTGGGACTTGTTTTTGCCCCTTGTTCCCAGAAGAACGACGAACTAACCCATGTGGGAACAGTGGTAACACCCTCGAGCCTATCTTAAACTAAATAACTTCTCTTTTTCTTCCTTTGCTCTGTTGTAAACTCGGCTCGGTCCAACCGAGTCATGGTCGGGGGAGACGGAGGCTTTCGACTTTTTGTTGGACTCCTTGCCTCTGACAGGGAATCTGGTCGTCCAAGCTCGGAAGGGAAAAGGTTTGATTTCTTTTTTTATATTATGGTCATGAAAGGGAGCGTCGCATTACCCATGAATAGAGTACGCAGGCATTCCAGGATTCGTTCTCATCCACCTGTTGAAGGGCTTTAGTCCACGTTCGTGGTCCCACAGGACACTCACACAGGAAGCCCGGGATCCCATATCTCCAGCGGGAAGGAAGATGAATTTGGAAGATGAGTTGACTGAGAAGGAGTAGAGAGCTACTTCTTTTGACGTGTGTTACGATGCAGTTTTTTGTGAGAAAAAATTTATTTTCATTTGTTTATCTTTGATGAGTTCATTTGCCTTTTTTCGGCCGGCATGGACCTATGTAGAAACGATATAGGGAAATGACGAGATACAATGGAAAACCAGACCTTGAGCCACATATGCATGAGATCTCTATGTTATCGATTTCGTAATTACGTTGGTATGCCATAAAAATAGAGTGGAATCCGAGGATGACTAAGTCGGCCTCCGATCAATAGTTAGTTAGGTAACTAGCTAAATTACCAGGTTGGTCTTGCTGTCCTCTTCCATCTACTGCTTCGTCTTGGGATCAACAACGCTCCACTCAGCACTCCCTTGATTCAAGTCGCAGTGCTGTGTGTTCGTCATGTATATTCTTGAGGTAAGTTTGGTGCTTTTTATCACCCTAGTGCCTAGCAGACATGAGCTGAGCTGGCGGCTTTGACAGCAACTGGCGCGTCTACTCGACCGCCCCCTCTTCCCTTGGAAGAATGTTCTCGTCGGGTTCTCGTTGGGTCAGTTTTTTCTTGAGGGGCTGCTGTCATTCCGGCAATACAAGGTCTTGCAGCGGACAAAGCCTCCGCAAGTCTTGAAGGGTGAAGTGTCTCAGGAAGTCTTCGACCGCAGTCAAGTAAGCGTCTCTCCCATGCAGTAAGGATCGCATCTAATCGAGACCAATCGTGCCTAGTCCTACGGTCGTGCTAAAGCCAAGTTCGGTTTCATTTCGGGTCTGTACGGTCAAATCCAGAATCTTGCATTCATCTACGGCGATATCCTCCCCAAGCTCTGGGGCGCTAGCGGTCTTCTACTGGCACAATACTTTCCTTCTTCATTCCAGGGCGAGATCTCACAGACTCTTCTATTCATCTTTGGGTTCAATTTAATCACCACGATTCTGTCCTTGCCGATTTCGTACTACAACACTTTCGTCCTTGAAGAGAAATTCGGCTTCAACAAGCAGACTCGCAAGCTGTGGGTCACGGACCTGCTGAAGGGTCAGATGCTGGGCATCGTGCTAGGAACTCCTATTATCAGCGCGGTGCTTAAGATTGTTCAAAAGTCTGGCAACTCATTCTTCTACTACCTCTGGCTCTTTGGTGTTTTCGTTCAGATCTTCGCCATTACCATCTACCCGATCGTCATTTTGCCCTTGTTCAACAAGCTGTCTCCCCTGGAGCCCGGCCCGCTGAAGACTGGTGTCGAGGCCCTTGCCAAGAAGCTGGAATTCCCTCTGAAAGAACTGCATGTCATCGATGGTAGCAAGCGGAGCGCCCACAGCAATGCCTACTTTTACGGACTCCCCTGGAAAAAGCACATCGTGATCTATGATACCTTGATTGAGAAGAGTGAGCCGGAGGAGGTTGTTGCTGTCCTTAGCCACGAACTAGGTCATTGGAGTTTGAGCCACACTACAAAGCTGTTTGGTATTGCTCAGGTATGATCGGTCGAGAACTCTATACAGGACTACTTATGCAAGGTAGCAAGCTGACCTCTGGCACTGCAGTCTCACATGTTCTATATTTTCGCTCTCTTCTCAGTGTTCGTGAATAACAAGTCGCTGTATCAATCCTTTGGATTCTACAACGAACAACCCATCATGATTGGCTTCCTTCTGTTCTCGGACGCTCTGGCACCAATGGATGCTGTGGTCAAGCTCTTGATGAACATCCTCAGCCGCAAGTTTGAATTCGAAGCCGGTACGCAGTCCACCTGGTGAATTCTAGGGTTCATGACCGGAAACATGCTGACGATGCCACAGATGCTTTTGCCGTGAAACTTGGATATTCCAAGGAACTCGCGCAGTCTCTGCTCAAGCTTCAGATCCAGAACCTGAGCACCATGGATGCGGATTGGATGTATGCGAGCTACCACTACTCGCACCCGATTCTTTCGGAGCGCCTTAAAGCGCTTGGCTGGAAGGGTGGGAAGGTCACCAGCAACAAGGAGGTGGACAGTGAAAAACCAGTTAAAGTGACTGACCGAGAGTTGTAGGAAATGATGTTGATCAGTTTCCTTGCTACCTGTTTTTATTTCATTTGCTTCCCGGGTATAGTGTTTGGAGATTGTTTGGTGTTTGGAGGGCATTAGAGTATGCAAACGATGCATTTGTGACCGTAGAGATGTTGGAAACCTTCGTATAGGAATATTGAAGCAAACAATGAAAGAGAAAATTAAGAAAGACGACTCCGAGTACACCCTAATGTCAAATCGTCCAAAATAGAAAAAGAAAAGAAAAACGCCCATCCCATATGCACTTCTAATGACTCCTGCAAACCAATCCGTCCCATCGCAGAGCCGATACAGGGCAACAAATAGCACGTCGATAACTGTTGCAGATGTCCTGACACTATTTAAGCCTCTGTCTTCGCCTTTGCCCTTTTCTCCGCGAGTCTGCGTTCCTTCTTCTTGCGCTTTCGCTCCTCCTTATCGACACCTGCGGGAGCGTCTCCATCCTGCTCCTGTTCGACAGGATCGACGTCCATCTGGCCCTCCTCCTGATCGTCCGCATTCATTGACTGTTCGAACTTCTTTGCCTCTTCCCAGTCCCCATTCTCACCGACGACAGGTTGCACATCTCCCTCCACTACTCCGTCTGTCATTAAACTCAGATCCCGACCCAGAACTTCCCCGGCAAGGCCTGCCTGCACGCGCTTCAAATTATGTAGCACGAGACCGGGGGTTCTGGCCGTGCTGCGCGAAATAGGACCATGTGCGCTGATCCTGGCGCTCGGCTGCAGAGCAGGATCGGTAGATGCGCGATCAAGATAAGCGGCGAGGAAGTCGTGCGCAGCGGATTGAGAGATCGGGGCGGAGGAGCGGATGGTGGTGGGATGGTGGACCGTGGGATCGGCGGTTAAGATCATGTTGAGGAGTCGTTTAAGGGAGGAGGGGAGGGTTTGATTGTTCCTCTAGTGGTATCTTCCGAGAAGTCGTGGGTGAGTTCGAGGTCGAGAGCGAAATTGATATATTCCAAAAAAAAAAAAAAAAAAATTAAAAACGAGTCGGCACGTGGCCCGTGCACTGCGGAGTTTCCAAAGCGAATCGCTTCATTCATTCATTCATCCTCTCCATCACCATCCTCTTCGCTATCCAGTCTCATTCCTATTCTCTCACAATGCTCTGTCTCCGCTGCAGTGCCTTGCCCTCCGCTCTTCGGATGTTCGCTTCGTCTGCCCTGACTCGGTACGTTCCCACCGGAACCACCATCATTCAATTCTCCAACAGAAGCACCAGCAGAAAGAACCATATCCGAAGTTCCAAAAACTGACACATAGTTCGAATCAACTAGGCCTTCTTTGTCCCCTCTTTCGTCTCCTCTCCGCTCTCTAACTGCTACCAACATTCCTTCGATACACGCACAGCCACCCAGTCTCGCTTCCCTCCGTCCGCTGTTCCCCAACCACAACGGCACTACATCCGCCCTTCAAACCCGTTCGTTCTCTGCTAGTGCTTCTCTCGGTGTAAAGCGTGATACCTACAACCCTTCGCGACGGGTTCAGAAGCGACGCCATGGGTTCCTGGCGCGGTTGCGGTCGCGTGGAGGCAGAAAGATTTTGATGCGTCGGAGAGCCAAGGGCAGGAAGAATATGAGTTGGTAGATTTCTTCTGAGGGTTTCATTTTTTTTTTTTCCTTATTGTTTGGTATTGTCTGAGTATTGATGTATGGTTGCGTCGTTTTCTTTCTCTTTTTTAGGCCTCGTTCACGTCACTACGGACAATGACGGTTCATGTGTTATAGATATCGCTGAGACTCCTTGAGTAGGGCTGGGTTTGGCCCTCATGTACCATACATACATATCACATAGAATGGTCGATCTGGATTCAATTTAACTGGTATAGGTTGTCTGAGGTCTCAGTGTCTCCGTGTACTCCGTAGATTCGGAAAGGCTATCTAGAGAGGTATATATCCCTACGGTAACTGCCAACTTAGTCCCAGGTATTGGTCAATTTGCACTTTATTTCATTGCCTTTGCCTTTTATTTCTACGTCTCTCCCTTCCTCTATTTAAACAATACATGCTGGCTTTTTTCTGCCCATACTGTGTTCGTCTTCCTTTCTCTGATCTAGCTGTATGTCTCTGTATGTGTATATCATCCGCGTACCAATCAGTTCCCACATGCACTTATTTCGTTATATAAAAGCATCACTCATCATCGTCAGAATCTTCGTCTTCAGATCCGGTCTCATTCTGATCGTCTTCGGATTCTTCATCGTCTTCGGATTCTTCATCCTCACCCTCCCCGGTTTTCAATCCATAATCATCCTCGAATTCCTTCAGCGGCTGCACCTTGGGAGTAAATCCAGACGCCTCCAGGCCTTCCTTGATGGTCTGAGAAATTAAGAGTTAGTATCCAAACAATTCATTACAGTGGGATCCAATTGGAGAAGAAACATACCGTTTCAAGCATGGTCGTGCAAGTGATCACGATGTTGGCTGTCTCCGGAGCAAACACTGGCAGGATGATGTTCCGCAGCGCCGTTTTGACATCCTCTATGCCGATATCCCGCACGTGCTTTAGCATCTTCTCCTTGTAGTCGCTAGGCAGCATGCGGATCACCTGGCGAATGAAACTGCCCTGCGCCGCGCTGGCGATAGTCGCTTGCTCGTTGGCGAAACTAACTACGATGCTGCTAATCGCACCCTCCAGCATCAAGGGATCGAATGGAACCGCCCCCGAGACGTGATCCTTGACGATCTGCTTGCTCGACTCGAACGCCTTATATGCATTCGGCGACCGGTACACGTCGAAGTTAACAAATCCTGTGTCGATATTGTAGGCGAAGGTGGTGCCATATGCGAGGCCTGTACCACGAACCGCCACCCAGAGAGGTCCCTCGACAGCGTTCATGTATGCGATCGCCACCAGCAGCGCTGGGAGTCTCGGGTCGTCATACGAATCAAGACCCCGGGCCGTGGCATAAGCAAAGGAGGAGTCAATGGTCGGCATGGGGACTACAAATGACTGGCCGCCCAGGTTCTGGCCCGTCTCGCTTAGCAAAGGTCTTCTAGACGTGACAGGTTGAAGTGGAACATGGGCACCTAGTCGCTCGGCGAACGATTTCCAGGCCGAAACCGGGTTCTGCAGTTTCTCGAGGTCGGCAATAACCAGAATCCTCATGTTCTCGAACTTGAAGAGAGCTTTCCGAATCTCTTCCATACGTGCAACAACGGTTTCTGGTTCCTCTGCCAATTGACGCTTGATCCGCTTGAGATATCGCGCCTTAACCAGAGTGCTCCGGGCCCGAACAATTGACTCGGCCGCATAGTGGACCATAACATGCACTGCCGCAAGCATATCGTCGCCGCTACGTTTGGAATCAGGCACGTCGGAGAGTAGACGGCTAGTGATCGCACGAAGTCTCTCCACGTCGAAGACAGAGCTCCAGGAAAGCTCCTGAAGCCATGCAATAGCTGCGCTATACTTTTTCAACTCGACCTGGAACGAAATGCGCAGCATCTCCGAGTTGCCCAAGCTTCGGGCCCCTTCCATGCCGTAGCCAACTGTGTCCCTTTCCAACTCGACAACGACTTGTTCGAAGTTAACGGTCCTGCCATCGCGGTAGACCGGTAGGTTGAAAAACGCTTCTGTGTAGATAGACAAGAGAGGACGGAGCTGAACTGGCACAGACTGTGCAGAGATGAGGAGAGAGAGCTGGACAAAACTGCTAGGGATGTGCTCGAAATGAATAAACAGAGGCATGTCAGAGCCATCGGCGTCCACAAGCTTTTGGGCCTTGTGCTCTGGGTGTCCAGCCTGCAAAGCAGTACCAGATCGAGCTGTTGTGGTTTCCACGAAATGGATCGACTCGATTCCAGGGATTTCAAACTTCTCCAACATCGCCTTTGGGATTTCCTTGTCATTTTCGGCCTTCGCTTTCTCAAGCTTTTCAGCCAGCTGAGCCAACCCCTTTTCGCCAAGCTGCTTCTTCTGCGCTGCAACTCTTGCTTCCTCCACTTTCTTCAGTGTCTCGGACATCTTCGATGATGGCACACCCAGGATGCTGACGTGCGGAGCATCGGAAATCCACTTCTTGATAAAGTTGCGCCATTCCATCTCAGTCCATTTCTCCAGAACGTCGTACTCCTTCAAGGTGGCAACGTCGAGCATCGTCGAGCCATCCCGCTTGCCAAACAGGAAATCAGAAATGACATACTCGGCAAATGAAGATGCAGAGCTTTCGGTGTTGAACTTCCAGCTGCGTCTCTGCCGGTCAATACATTCTTGAAGGTATCTCATATCGATCTCCTTTTGCATCGCATCCTTCAGCACATCGAAGAATCGTTGTTCCACCTTGGCAAGTTTATCCGTCTCAACACTTGTCAGGGTGAAGCGGATCTCCAAGCTAGGGTGTTCTTCAGTAGCGTAATAGACAGCACTTGCGAGTTGTTCCTTTTCCACAAGCACATTGTCCAATAGAGAAGCCGACGATCCAGCCAAATATAGCAAAACAACGTTCAGTGCTCCAGCTGTATAAATATGTTAGATTTACTGGAGGTTCATGATTTAGAGAAGAGACTCACTTTGTATAGGATCTGTGCAATCCGGTCCCAAGAACCTGATCTCTATTTCGCCAAAAGATTCATCCTCTTCAGGGAACTCTACAGTCTGTACAATGGATTCCTCCAACGGAGGCGCCTGCTTGGAGTCCACCCAGGGTCGTTTGAATGGCGATCCAGGACTCGGGATAACATCTATAATGGCATCCTCAAACTTATCCAGAGTTTGCAGCATATTCTCATGGTCTACTTCGCCCGTGATAATCAGACAGAGATTTTTGGGCTGGTACATGTCACGGTGGAACTCCCTAATTCTCTCGGCCGTGAGGACGCGAAGTTGTTCCATCATGCCTCCAGTCTCGTAGCGAAATCCCACTCCGTGCGGGTACATCAACCGTCGAGCAGTTAGATCAATAAGCTCTGCAGAGTTGTTTTGCACGCCTTGCATCTCCGAATACACGACCCCGGCATCATTTCCGGTGCCATCAATGTGATGCACTTCGGTGTAGCAACCTTCGTCTGTCAACGTCGGGGCTATCACATGCTCAAGGTATACGGGTAGGATTTGAGCAAATCCCTCCCAGCCCGCCGTGTCTAGGGTATATGCTGTATGGTCTGTCGCTGTCCAAGCATTAGTATTCGAGTAAACCCGCGTAGCGAGCTTGTCAAGGAATCCCTTGTATTTGTAATTGCGAGAACCCATAAAGCAAAGATGCTCCAACGTATGAGGGGCTCCCGAATCATCGGAGATTTCAGTAGCTAAGACGAAATAGCCAGTTACCTTAGGGCCTTTCTGGTCAATGACCACGACCCGCATGCCGGTCCTCTCGGATTCATATTGAACAAACTCGCTAGGTGAGTAGTCCGGCTTGAACTTCTGAAGAAGTTTAAAATGACTATTCTGACTAGGTGACATCGTGTTTAACAATCCTGAGGACCTCTGGATGTACCCTTTGACCGCAGGTCTTATATTCACTTCCCCTAGCAGTCGTCTGTACGACGGTCAGTTAGCGATGTAATATAGACGAGCACACGAACAATAAGTCCATGTATACGCGACGGGTTTTAGGATTAAGGCAAAGATAAGGATATTGAATCTTGGTTTAACTATATCCAAAGCACGAGCTGCATACAAATAAAGGCGACAATCTCAGGGCATAGCATTGGCGTCATCGGACTTTTGCTGGAGGGGAGTTTTTTTTTTTTTTTTTTTTTTTTTTTTTTTTTTTTTGGGGGGGGGTTTTTTTTTTTTTTTTTTTTTTTTTTTTTTTTGCGTGTGGCAACTGGGGTGATGACTTTGACTCACGTAAATCGAGTAAATTGCGCCCTAGCCAGGCCTCGTGTGGAAATTCGAGACAACACAGTGAATGTTGCTCAAGATCTCGTCTCAACGATGCAAGGACGTGGGCAATGGACAGCCTCTGGGTTGGTGCTTCCCTTTCAGGCTGTGACGCGATGTTCTGGAGTGGAGTCTGGGTCCCGTCAAGCAGGAAACGGATCGGCCTGTCAACAGATTGTCAGAAATGCTCATAGAGAGATCCAAGAGAGGTTCCTCGTTTAGGACAATCAGGAACCCAGGAAGCCCAAAACCAGACAGGAAAAACTCACCAGCTCACCCTCGCCGCAGAATAAGCAATTCTCCCAATCGACCACTTGCCTGTATTGGGCCAAGGCGGTGAAGAGAGAAGACTGAAGGTGATGGAGGCGGTGAAGTCACATGGTGTTGACAGCTCGTCCTCTTCGACTTCCACTTCTTGCGCCGGAGACCATGATCTTGGGAAGTCGCGCGATATTGCCGATACTTTGGTTGTTAGTATACGGTATTTGGGTTTACCTGTTGTGATCAGTTGCGGAATAAGAGCTGGTGCGCAACAAACCTCATCCAGTATGGCCAGTAAACCGTCGGATCAAGAGATATCGCAGTCAGTACTGGATTTTGTCACAAACGGTACTTATCCAGAGTCGGAGAAGGTTATAGCCGCCGAATTTCCCGTGTCTGCCCTTTCCAAGGAGTTGGATCTTCTAGCGAAAGCTAGAGCGCAAGTCGAGGTAAGTAGCAGGTCTCCCCAGACCGAGCTAAACCTATGGCTCAATAATAATATACTAATTGTCTATTTCATATAGGCCGAGATTAGCTCATTAAGTCGAGAGAATTATTTCGATGCAGATGGCTGGATCTCGCAAGCCAAACAGCTTCACGCGGACATCGAACGGTCCAAGGTTACTGCACGAGAGATAGTCGCGCAGCATGAGAACACAAAACCACTGCAATCCAAGGTTGAGGATGCCGCTGCCAAAGTTCAATTGATTGAAACCGAGATTGCATTTAATCAGGCTGTGACGAATACTCTGGAAGTAGTGCAAAGACTATGCCAGCAACTTGACGACGGAAGGGCCATCCTTAAAGAAGGCCAAGTCATAGACGCAATTGATACGTTGGAAGCAGCAGAGTGCTTTATCAAAAAAGACAGTCTCTTTACTAACACCACTGTGTTGCTCCTATTATCAGAAAATATTAGTGAGCTACGGAGTGAGATTGCTGAGTACTTGCGTAATCGCTGGAATGAACAGTTAAGCATTGACGAAAAGGAAGCTAAATTAGTCGTTCTAAAAGACAACGGTGAGATCCTTCCGGGGTAACATTTAGAAGAGTATTACTGACAGTACTCAGACCAACTGGAGGAAACTATTACAGCACTGACCCGATTGGAGATACTCGCTCCTGCTAAGAGTAAATTCCAGAAAGATCTGGTTACTGCCATTATCGAACCGATATTACTACCAGGTGTCGATGGCTATATCCGTGAAGTGCATGTTGAGGAATCCACTATCCAGGTTGATCCCCAACCATCAAAGGCCTCTGTTCCTGATGCTTTGGGACACATAGCCAGTGTCCTAGGCTTCCTTCGCAAACGCCTGCCCACATCAGCTCTGGATTCGTTTTCGAAAACTTTCATCCCTATACTTTCATCAAAGATTATAGCATCCTTGTTATTGTGTGCGATTCCTACGGGACTTGAAGGCCTAACTGAATTTGAGAGCACTCTTGACCACGTTCTGGAATTTACCAACACCATTAAAACCTTTGGTTGGCATGGTCAGGAAGAGCTTGTTTCTTGGGTCAATCAAGCCCCTCGACTCTGGCTGACGAGACGGCGAGTTGATTCATTGGATCAGGTTCGCAAGGTTCTAGCTGCCAGTCAGGGCAGCACAAAACGAGTTGAAAGAGTAGAAAAGGAAAAGGTTTCCGATACAGATGAGGCTTTACTGGAAAACGCTACTTCTGATGACTGGGATGCCAGTTGGGATAACGATATCGGAGATGAGCACCAAGAAACGCGTGCCGAAACCAAGGACGATGAAGAAGACGTTAGTGCCTGGGGCCTTGATGACGATACCAAGGACATTGCGGAAACACCAGCCGATGCCTCTGTGTCTGCCGAGGACGATGGGGCTGATGCTTGGGGCTGGGGCGACGAAGACGAGGAACCACCAGTTGCTGATTCTCAACCTAAGCACTCCGACGTTGGAAACTCTGTGAACAGCAAGGGTACAGCACAGCATGCTTCCCCGCACGAAGTCACCTTGAGAGAACAATACACTGTAACCGACATTCCCGATGCTGTTCTCGCGATCATTCGACAACAAGTGATTGATTCTAATTCAATAACGCATCCCGCGTATGTACTACCCGGTAATCACCTGCATACCTCTATGTACTCATTTTATGTCAGGCATTCCCATTCGCGGGTAGTCTCTTCTGGGACTGGTCTACTTGCGCTTCCGACTTTAGTTCTGGCCATGTTTAAAGCCACAGCAACGTCATTCTATGGTCTTAAACTCAACGCCGGGCAGATGTACTTATACAATGACAGTTTATACCTTGCAGACCAAGTCCGTGGTGTTGCAGATGAATATCAGCTCACAAAACTCCGAACTGACATCGAGGCCCTTGAAAGATTCGGCAAACTAGCCTATAGCAAGGAGATGCAGACCCAACGTACTATTGTGACCGACCTCCTCGACGGCACGCAGGGTTTTAGCCAGTGCTCAGAGCAACCTTTCTTAGGGGAATGCGAAAATGCAGTAAGCGCGACAGTTGACAGAATTCGTGACGTCTACAACGAGTGGCAACCAATTCTATCTCGCTCTGCGCTTCTCCAGTCGATCGGGTCTCTAGTGTCGACGGTCATTAATAAGATCGTCATGGAAATAGAAGAATTAGGTGATATATCGGAAACTCAGTCTGGACGACTTGTGTCATTCTGCAATCAAGTGTCGAAACTAGAGGATCTGTTCATACCTGAGATGCCAGAGAACGCTGAGCGCGTACCAATGACCGCCGTCTACGTGCGCAACTGGCTGAAGTTCCAGTACTTAATCAACATCCTGGAGAGCTCCTTAGCGGATATCAAGTTCCTCTGGCTGGAAGGGGAACTTCGCCTAGAATTCTCGCCTGAAGAGGTGATAGATTTGATTGAGGCTCTCTTTGCCGAATCCGACCACCGACGAAAGACAATAGCGGAAATTTGGCGAGTCTCCAGGAATCCGTAGTCCTTCATGTGAGCGATATGTATGTAGTAGTTATCAATTGTTTGCTGTTCCATAGGAAATTCCATGCATATCTAGTCCACTAGAAATCCACGCATGCGGGGGATCTCCGCGCTTTGCGCAAATGGCCGCGTCGATTCCCGTAATTTTTCCCTCGCCCGTCGCAGTTTTTCCATCCACGGCATATCCAGCACCACACTGCTTCAGAAACTCCCTTTTGTGCTACACGCCTGCAATATGAACGGGGATCCAAATCCTACCGATGCGGCCTCGTTGCAGGCTGCACAGAGACAAGTTCGTGTGCAACTCACGAGCAAGCAAGAAGATATTGCACTGCCTGAGAATACCGGCCCGATTCTAGTTCCTACTGGTGAGATTCTACCTTTAGATATACTTGTTCCAGTCGCTCCAAGTCACTCTTCTGGTGCTGATGCTAGCCTTCTCTAGGCCTGCGGAGATATGCCCTTTCGACGTTGGTGAACAATCTTCTCGGGAGCGTCAAACCAATCCCATTTGAATTCTTGGTCAATGGGTCATTCCTCCGAACTTCAATCGATGAATACTTGACAGCCAATGGCATCTCTGCTGAGACAACTTTGGAGATTGAGTATGTTAGGGCTCTAATACCACCTCTTCACATTGCGTCGTTCGAGCATGATGACTGGGTAAGCTCAGTCGATGTGCTCTCTTCCACATCGCCTGCTGCTTCCTGGGCCTCCGCATCCATCCCTCAAGGCCAGGAAAGGATTCTTTCCGCCAGTTATGATGGTCTTCTTCGGGTATGGGATATGTCTTCGCAGATTGTAGCAACCTCGCCGTCAGCGCCTGATGGAGGGCATACCGCTTCCATCAAAGCGGCCAAGTTCATCTCTCCTAATTCGATCGCTTCGGCGGGACTCGATCGGACAGTCCGTCTATGGAAGTACTCGGAAACCGATGATGGCTTCTCAGGAAAGATTTCTCCCCAGCTAGAGCTATACGGGCACAAGCTCGGCATCAACTCCTTGGCCGTCCACACTCCCTCGAACCGTATTCTATCCGCCTCTTCAGATCATAGTGTGGGCCTCTGGTCGACAAAAAAATCCGACGCCCCAGCTGCCCCAGAGAAATTGCTTCCGTCAGCCGTCTCGAAAAGTTCGAAGCGAAGGAAGTTGAACTCATCCGTGAGCACTCCGCAACGCGGGCCATTGGCCCTCTTGTCGTCCCACAGTGCGCCAGTGTCAGCTGCAATTTTCGATTCGAAGGACTCTACGGTTGGATACTCGACTTCTTGGGATCATTCCCTACGCACCTGGGATCTTATTACCGCCACTTTAGTTGATACTCGGACGACATCGCACTCACTTCTCTCTCTCGAACACCTCCCTGACCACCATCTCCTTGCAGCGGGCTCTTCTGCCCGTCATATCACTCTTATTGACCCTCGGGCATCTACGACAACCATCGCAGCCATGACACTGCGCGGCCACACCAACGCTGTTGTAACCTTGGCCCGTGACCCTAACAGCGCGTACGGTCTGATCAGCGGTAGTCATGACGGCACATGCCGAATTTGGGATATCCGATCTACCAAGACAGACAAGGAAGGCGTTGTGGGAGAGAGTGTCTACTCGATCTCGCGTAAAAGCCTGGAGGAAGGGGGCAAGTCCGATGCTAAACGTGTTGGTGGGGAGGGCGTCAAGGTCTTCGGGGTGTGTTGGGACAAGTCAGTGGGCATTATCAGTGCTGGTGAGGATAAGAGAATTCAGATCAACCGCGGAGAGGGCGTGCTATCTTCTGCACAAAATTAAGCTGCGCAATCTGGGCCCGGCGTTTTATTGAAGGATGAAAAGTTGGACTTTTATCGTTGGGCTTTATTTCGAAAAGCTGCCAGACCTTTTGGTGTTTCTTAATTTTCACGTGGTGTTGATTGCCTACCTAGACATGGGAATATTCCGCCTATTTTTTCCTTTCATTGCCTAAATATAGTACATCCCATAAAATTTAAAATATCGGAATATTCAATTACAAGAAATGAACGATAAACGCCGGTTCATGCCCCTCGCACATAAAAAAGACACACAGATCGACCAACCACAAACAATTATAGCATATTCAGAGCCTTCTTTCCATACGGTTGAGTTTGACAGCAGTTTTGATCTGCCCAGACAGAATCAGCACCCATTACTGACAACACCAAAGATGGAACACCTACCTGGGTCCTTGTTCTTTGTCCCCGGACCGGCAGTCCTAGAGCATGACGCCTACCACGATATGTACCCGTCTCCTTCAATCGTTTAATGTTGTCAAGGATTGATCTCCGGAGATCGTTCTCGATTTTCATGTCGGATAGAGCAGCAGTGATATCGAGGACTTGCTTGTTGGCCAGCTCACCAACCTTGCATGTCGGGTGGACGTGGAACCGGGCAAGGAGCCGCGACGAGGTGTGGCAACCAATGCCAAAGAATGACTCAAGCGATTTCTGGAAGGAAATGTTAGACCAAGCTCGACACAACGGATGCTGCTAGTATGCAGGAAAGGTTAATATTTGCCTTGACAAGGTTCCGCTCGGGGAAGTTCACGCCGAGGATGAAGACCTAGCAAGCGGTTAGCTTCCGATTGCGAGTTCGACTTAAATCAATTGAGACACGGCATACCATCTTGAGCAAATTGCGTGTGCCCACCCTTGTGGCTATACTGCTCTCTGCGGTGTTAGATCTCCAGCGGGCGGAAGAAATTAACCATCCCGTAACAACGTTTCTCCGCATGTAGCTTGTCGAAAGTTTCGGATTATGAAACAGGAATGTTGTAACTAGTTAGTTAACATTTCCCTTAGGCCCAACCAATTGCGTAGGATAAGCGTACCGAAATACGCCTTTCAATTTTGAAAATTACACAAGTTTTCCATAATTGGTTGTAGTGTGGTCTTGGCACCATTGCATGCCGCCGACCTGCAACCTGGCCTTGCTGGGTGAGACAGTTCCTTATCCGCTGCGCTTTGCAAACTATTCCTAGGGCTCTCCTACAAACGGAGACACTGTGCGAAACAATGAACTTCAAAAACCTCTTCCTGTCCTTTTTCTTGGTCTTCGCAGTTGGACTCGCCTTGGTCCATGCCGAAGAGGCCAAGGAGCCTCGGGGCCCCAAGATCACCAACAAGGTAGGACGCTGGCTACTATCAATTGCAGAGACGAATGGTCACCATGCTAACCGGAATACTGTGGTCAGGTCTACTTTGATATTGAACATGGTGACAAGCCGCTCGGTAGAATTGTAATTGGATTGTACGGTAAGACCGTTCCTAAGGTAAATGAAACAACCCATTGTCTTCACTCCTATCTCGGAATCCCAGGCTAACTGAATTGATGGTTTCTAGACTGCTGAGAACTTCCGGTACAGTGTCTCTAACCTGGCTCTAAACAGCCTATTTATCTCTGCTAATAATCGAACGTCTCCAGCGCTCTGGCTACCGGCGAGAAAGGCTATGGCTACGAGGGTTCCACTTTCCACCGTGTCATCAAGGAGTTCATGATCCAGGGCGGCGACTTCACCAAGGGTGATGGTTAGTACCAGGCTCTAGAGCTGGCCCAGATATGATTCATGCTGACCACCTGCACGAAGGCACCGGCGGAAAGTCGATCTATGGTAACAAGTTCGCGGACGAGAACTTCAAGATCAGGCACACCCGAAAGGGACTTCTCAGCATGGCCAACGCCGGCAAGGACACCAATGGGTCCCAGTTCTTTATCACAACCGCCATTACCTCGTACGTCTAGGTTTGACTAAATCGAACGAGAGTGCGGCTGCTAACTATTCATGTTACTAGGTGGCTTGATGGCCGTCACGTTGTGTTCGGCGAAGTCCTTGAGGGCTACGAGGTTGTTGAGAAGATCGAGAATGTGCCGAAGAAACCCGGCGACAAGCCTGAAGAGGTGGTCAAAATTGTCAAGAGTGGAGAGCTCAAGAGTGAAGAGCCCAAGACTGAAGACAACGCCAGCGGCAAAAAAGGTAGCCATGAGGAGTTGTAGGCCTAGTCCCAGTCAGTCCTTGCTACTTGAGGAAGTCCCAAATATGCTGATGCTCGCTGGCCTATGAAGAACCGTAGACCACCAGCCGGAAATCGTTACAACCGCACCAGCATCTTCCTATCTTTATCTACCCAGGTTTGCTGTCTTTCTCGTTGGCATCGCAGTCATTGCGATCATAGTCAAGAAGAGCTGTGGGGGACGTTCCCGGGCAAAGGAGGACCATGAAAAGAGCATGGCTTAGGAGATTCCAATGTGATTATATTTACGTGAGCTGCCATGTTGGACTATTTTCTATCCAATCATCCCGCCTTATCGGGTTGCTTCGTAAGAATAAGTCAGTGCTGCTAGCCATTGGTATGTGCCATTAAGAAGTAGTTAATAGAAGGGCCCAGTTCAGCAGTGGCGACACCGGTCAGATGTCCCAGAACGTAGGTGAGAAAGGTGGCAAAGTTCTATGTTGTCATCGACTGTGACGGCTGATATCCACTCTATAATTTGACATGGGGATACTAACGGCTGATCCTAGATTAGATCCTTTCTACGGGTTTGTACTCACTACTCAGGTAGTCTAGATAGTAAATAGGTATTTGACTGGTAATCTACAACCAGCCGAAGTAAATATATTCTGGTGAATAATGTGGGAGGGAATATTCCGTAAGCAAGCCTTTTTTTTTTTTTTTTTTTTTTTTGGGAAGTACGTGTAACACCAAAATATTCCCCTGTCTAGGGACAACGATAGTTCAGTGTGTATATGGTACGGAGTAGATTAGGTTGATCTGTACGGAATAGTTACTTTGGACATCATTTGGGAGGAAAGTACCAACTATGAATCCAATAAGCTTCGCCCAGTAAAGCAGTACGAAGGGTGTCTACTTTACGATGCTTTGGTGAAAATAAGAAAAATAAGAAGAAAAATAAAAACGGTCATCAACTTCATTCCTAGTTGGCCACCAACTTGGTGGATTTTCTCATTTTATTTTATTTCATTTTTAAATTTTTTTTTTTTTTTTTTTTGCCCTTCGCTTCTGGATTCTGAATCAGCAACGGGAGTGAAAAATCAAAATAAGAAAAAAATAAGAAAAAAATAAGAATAAAATAAAATAAAATAAAATAAAAAAGGTGACATTAAAGGACAAACACGAAGAGAATCGGATTAATTTACACCAGGAAGAAGAGAAAAATTTAAAATTGATTCCAAGTTGCCTCTTGTCAACCCACAATAGTCAAACTCTTTTCTCTCTCTCTTTTCTCTCTTCCAACTTCCATCTTGCTCCCTTTCCCCCTAATCCAAATCGGTTCATTTTTTTTTCCTTCCCCCATTTTTTCTTTTTCTTTTCCCATTATCTCCACGTCTTATCCTTTTTTCTTCTCTCTTCCCTTCTCCTCGTCCCTCTCGTTGCCCTTTTTTCTTCTCTTTGCAAATTTAATAGAGGGTTAGATCTGGGTGATCACCTTGTGGTTTTTTTTTTGTAATACAACTGCTCAGATCACTTCTTTCTTTTCTTTCTTTTCTTTTTGTGATCGAAGTGTTCTTGTTCATTATCGCCACTTGATAGAGAACGGGAACTTGTGTTTTTTTTTCTATTAGTTTTTCGCCTTTGCACCACGTTCTCTTTTCCTCCTGTCCTGTACAGAAAAAAAAGAAATTTCGGGTGCGTCAGATAGCGCTTCTTCGACAAAAAGGAAAAAAACACACCTAGTTCGAATTTCTGAAACCGTACGTCCCTACATCGTTGCACGACTCAACCGAACGTGTTGCTTATCTGTCATCTGTTGCCACAGTCCGTGAAATACCCGCAAAGATGGCCGACGGTTTGAAAATGGGAAACCTCACCCTCAACGAGTCTCAGCATGCCCCTGCTGTCCCTCCTACTGGCCGCGCTGCCTACATCCCTCCCCATCTCCGCCAACGCCAAACGGGCGCGAACATGGACGGCGCTGCGGCCGCCCCTCCTCCAGCCCCAGGATCCTGGAGCGCCAGGTACGTGGTTTCTTCTATTCCTGATCCGACGATGGCGATCTATTTGCCTTGGGGTCTGAGGATGAAAGCTAATGGTACTGGAACTTATAGAGGCCCTCGTGGCGGCAACTGGGCCAACACCAACGCCCCTGATTTCAGCCCCCGCGGTCCCAATGGTAACACTAGCTGGAGCTCCCATGAAGGTCAACGCCGGTCCTTTAACCCAAATGCTTACGGACACCCAGGTCATGGAGGCTCTTACGGCGGCAGCAACAGCACCGGCAGCGGCGGTGCTGCTGCCAGAGGCTCTGGAGATGGTCAATGGCGTGACGGCAAGCACATCCCTGGACCCGCCAATACCCGCTTGGAACGTGAACTTTTCGGCCTTCCCAACGATCCCACCAAGCAAAACACCGGAATCAACTTCGCCAACTACGATGACATCCCCGTGGAGGCTTCCGGTCATGACGTCCCCGAGCCTGTCAATTCTTTCACCAACCCTCCCCTGGATGACCACCTCATTGCGAACATCACGCTCGCCCACTACCAGACCCCCACCCCTGTGCAGAAGTACTCCATTCCCATTGTTATGAACGGCCGCGACTTGATGGCCTGTGCTCAGACCGGTTCCGGAAAAACGGGTGGTTTCCTCTTTCCCATCCTCTCCCAGGCTTTCAAGAATGGCCCCTCTGCTGCCCCGGCCCAGGCTCCGGGCCAACTCAGTTACGGCCGCCAGCGCAAGGCTTACCCGACCTCTCTCATTCTGGCCCCCACTCGTGAGCTTGTGTCTCAGATCTTTGACGAAGCCCGCAAGTTTGCGTATCGCTCTTGGGTTCGCCCGTGCGTTGTTTACGGTGGTGCTGATATCGGCTCTCAGCTGCGTCAGATTGAGCGTGGATGCGATCTGTTGGTGGCCACGCCCGGCCGTCTCGTGGATCTTATTGAGCGTGGTCGTATCTCCCTTGTCAACATCAAGTACTTGATTCTCGACGAGGCCGACCGTATGTTGGACATGGGTTTTGAACCCCAGATCCGTCGTATCGTGGAAGGTGAAGATATGCCCCCTGTTAATGAACGCCAAACTCTCATGTTTTCGGCCACCTTCCCTCGGGATATTCAAATGCTCGCCCGGGACTTCCTCAAGGACTACGTGTTCCTGTCCGTGGGTCGTGTGGGCTCCACCTCTGAGAACATCACTCAGAAGGTTGAGTATGTTGAAGACCACGACAAGCGCTCCGTTCTTCTGGACATCCTCCACACCCATGGTACTAGCGGTCTGACCCTAATCTTCGTTGAGACCAAGCGCATGGCCGATTCCTTGTCGGATTTCCTTCTCAACCAGCGTTTCCCAGCTACTGCCATTCACGGTGACCGCACCCAGCGTGAACGTGAGCGCGCCCTGGAGATGTTCCGCTCCGGTCGCTGCCCTATCCTGGTGGCTACTGCAGTCGCTGCTCGTGGTCTTGATATCCCTAACGTCACCCATGTGATCAACTACGATCTCCCCACTGACATCGACGACTACGTCCACCGTATTGGTCGTACCGGCCGTGCGGGTAATACTGGTATCGCCACTGCGTTCTTCAACCGTGGCAACAGGGGTGTCGTCCGTGACCTGATTGACCTCCTGAAGGAAGCTCACCAGGAAGTCCCCTCGTTCCTCGAGAGCATTGCTCGTGAAGGCAGCGGATATGGTGGTCGTGGAGGCCGTGGAGGCCGTGGCCGTGGTACCAATGCCACCCGTGATATGCGCCGCGTAGGCGGCGGCAACATGGGCGGCGGTCCTCCTTCCTTCGGCAGCGGCTATGGTGGCGCTGGAAGCTACGGCGGCGGCGGCGGCAGCTACGGTGCCCCATCGTACGGAGGCGGCGGCTACGGCTACGGCGGCGGCGGTGGTGGCAGCTATGGAAATCCATCCGGCCCTACTGGACCTTCCTCTTGGTGGTAAATCAGATTGAAGTTGTGGTCTCTGGCGAGGCCGTCAGGTCTGATTGGCTCCCTATTTTCTCTTCTTCTCTGCCTCTCATTTTGACGGATACGATCAGAACGAGCCCTGAGCTTTTTCTTTTTTTTTGTTTGCCTTTGCTTTTCTCAGGACCGGCTTTGTCATGACCGCCACGACTTCCTTTTAGAGTCTATTTATTTCCTTTCTCTCAATTTGTTCTGTAGGTGTTGTTGTTTCCGAGCATTTGGCAATTTTTTCTTTTTTTTTTTCCTTCCCGTTCTCTGTTTTCTTTGTTTAGGCATGGTCTTGTGATGTGGGCCGATCTCACCATATTACTGCTCCTGATTATACCCACCATATAATCGAGAGCATCCGGATCGGCATTGCTTGAACATCATAGATTGCGTTGTCTTTCTTCTGCAACCACTTCCATCAGATACCCTTTTTGTTTTCAGGCGGCCACGTGGAGAACCGCTTGAACGGCACGTACCGGGCAGAAGTGCTGGTCTTTCGCGTGCAGAAAAGTGCTTTTATGATTTCATCTGCTGGGCGCGGTGGCATCTGCATCGACCGTGTCTCGCAATATAGATTTCTTCCGGTTTTCGGTATCTTATGGCAGGTTGTTTTCCCTTTCTCCCACTTCCCTTGATCCTCGGTTCGTTCTTGCCTACATGTATCCTTCCTGTTTTCCCTCTGCGAATAGCCTTCTTCGGCATTGGGTACTGTCGACGGCGCAACAACGGCGCGCAGAGAAGCGACACGGGCCACCGGAACCGTGCTTGGAGACTATGGACTCTTTCTTATTCGGCGGGTGCTTGTTTCTTTCGCATTACATCTGAGATCGGTGATGCATGAAAATGTGATGTGAGTGATAGAGATGGGATTCTTTGCATTCTGTATGGCGTTGGCTTGAGGTGTTGTGTCCACAAAAAATATTCTCTGCACTGGGGTCCGCGGAGGTTGCCGTCAGATGGGTTTCTGTTTCATGTCTCGGATCCGTGGAGGATGGGAAGCTGCTTTTGCTGGCGCTTTTTGTGTTGCTTTTTGTGGTGAACATCGTCTCATGTCAGTTGCAGTCTGGGTTCGACGGGATCTGCCGAAAATGGCCCTACTTATCAAGAGGCTCCGGGTCTCGAGAGAAGGGAGCTTGTTCATTAAATCAAAAAGTTTGATTCTGGTCATGTGTTTTGGTAGACTTGTATACTCTGTTAGATCGTAGCTCTGCGCGTAGCGACTTCGGCCATGCCTACATCTATTAATGGACTGCCTAATATGTATATAGGAGTAGAGGATCACCAGTGGGCAAGAAAGCAACTCTAGCCCGGGTATCTACAAAAAAGACCTACAAAACTAGTTGAAGATTTTATATAATCATACTCTCTTGCAAGCATGGATGATTATAATAGAGAAAGTTACAGGGTCAGCGATTGATTTCCAATTTAGGTTATTAAAGTTCTTTATATCAATACAACAGGTCCTTGTATAGGAGCTTCATGAAGTAGGCGAGAGATTTATTAGCAGCCTCAGGTTGATTAAAGAAACTGAATGACAGATGACAGAAGATGCGACAGTTCTATACAAGGTGAAGCTCAGGCTGAAAAGGGTTGTCAACGCGTCTAGAAATCCGATCCAAAAGTAGTACTGACTAGTTGGTATAGGATCGGTATCCAAGGGCCTTAGTTAAGGAAAGAAAGAGACAATAGCAATTGATAGCCATCCATGGATGAATCAATTTCAACCAGACAGATGTCGAGTAAAATGGCCTTTTGACTGGAGACGGACTGATTGACTTCCGGCATTGCGATCACCGGATTACGGAATTCACAACTTCTCTCTTTCCTCGCATCGCCTTCTCGTCTCCTTTCTCTGTCCTTCTCCTCCGTCTAGCCCCCACCAATCTCAAATTTTTTCCGGCCTCCCCATCTCTCTTCCCCCCCTTCCCTGCCTCTTCTTCAACCGCGATTTCTCTCCGCTCCCAAACTGAAAGCCAATCTGCCTCTTCTGCCGCCGCTTCCTCTAGGCCTTACCGGCCCTGCGCAGGACAACGCCCTGGAAGGGCCACACAACCGTCGACCTACCATCTTGTTAAATAGAGGTCCGGACTCCTTCAGATTCATCAGTTACTACGACCCATTCAACCAGCAGGTCCTAGCCGAATAATATACCTTCCAATTCAGGATGGCCGAAGTTGATAACGCCGACGCCACGTATCCGCACGCCGAACCAAACATGACGGTTGGCACGAGGCGTCAGGCCAACGGCACGATCGGATCCGTATACTCAGGAAACAAGATCAGGCATTTAAAGAAGGAGGACGGCATCCCCCTCTGGCGCAAGGACATTCAGTACCAGTTTCTCAAGCTCGTCTTCGAGGACAAGACTCCCGTCTTCTCTCGTTGGCCAGATGGGCAGAAAGGTTTTGATTTTGCAGATGTCTACATCGACGCGATGGCACGGAGTAGCAAGACGAGCAAGATTTTGAAGGACAAGCTCCAGAACGATAAGCAGGCCGCTATTAGCATGGCTATGGTTTGTCTGCTCGTTAACTTTGGGAGAATGAACACCACCCTTAACTGTACGTCCTTCCCCCTTCTCTCCGTGATTCCTTCCTCAGCCGACGTCTGTCGCTCGCTTCTTTATTATCTAGTATTAACTCTAGGCTACTTAGTTTTCCCCGAGATGCGGGCTCAACTACGGACATACCACTCCATCCCTTCGCTACAGGCGCACCAGGACCCTAATGCCTACAAGCAATTGCAAGATGCTCCTCGCCTCAAGTCTATTCTCAAGGGCGCATCGGAGGATGTCGACCAACCAAATACCCTCGAAATGATTAAAAATACACGCATCCCGCGAACGAATCCGGTCAACTTGATTTTCGTTCTTGCTCAGTACGCTCCTAAGGTGTCCGAGTTGCACTTTTTCCCGCCCCGTGATTTCTTTGATCTTGTCATGAGATCCACCCTCAGCAGCAAAAGCCGTGCGAGGGCGTTCCTTTGGCTGATGTGGTGGTATTTGGAGAGCGACTTTTCCCACGAGGCTGCCCTCAATAACCCGTTCGGTCCGGGTCTGGATGGTGAGGGAACCGGGGGGCTGCCGATTAAGGTGCCGAACTTCGAGAGCCTCACCGAAGACCAGGCGAACGATGAGAATGTCGATACACAGTCTGAAATTGAGTATGGAGAGGCCAAGCGCCTGGAACGGAAACGTTAGTTCTGTCGTGGATATTCACTCTATGGAGCAGTAATCTAATTTCAGTACATAGGGATCTTGGAAGAGGATGAGCCCTTACCCAGAGTGACAAAGCGCTCCAAGAAAGGTACACTTTTGCAGGTCTAATCATGCTGTTTTTGTCGACGCTGACTTTCTTTCGGTAGTATCGGATTTTGGATACGATGACGATCAAGGGTCGGGAGACATCTCCGGCGTTGCTTCCGGTAAGGACGTCCTTATCGCTGAAGATCTTTCTGTTATGTACCTCCTAACATCCTATCTTTCACTAGGTCGAGGTGATCGCTCTACCATGTCCACCCCACTGCATCCCTCCTTCAAACGCTATCCACAAGATGACGAGGACGACTACCAAACCCCCGGCCAGTCCTCTCGTTCTCGGTACAAGCGACCCAAGCGCGATTCATCCCTCAATCGTTCTGTTGGTCAACAACGTCTTGTGTTAAAGACTAGGATGGAGCATACACCCGATGCGGCCTCGCCTGTTCCGCCAGGCTCCAGCCACCCGGTCCTAAACCGGTTTGTCAATGAGCCTGCCTTGCCACAGCAAACCTCTGCGCGTCGACCTCGGCCGCTCACCCAGCACCAACTCGCCGTCGAGCAGAATCGGCGTCAGCGTATCGAGTATCTTCTTGCCAAACGAAAAAATGAGGCATACCGGATCCTTCGCGCGAAGCGGGAAAGCGAAATCCCATTCGCCCGTTATGGCCGTCTGCTACAGGGCCTCCCCGACGGTTATGACACGGAGGACGAGGAGAATACCTGGGGGAAAGGAGGCCTGATTCCTAATCCCGAGGAAGAGGAAGACTTCGGGGAGAATGCCAGCTACTTCTTATCTGTGGTCCGCAAAGCTGGGAGGCGGCTGGACCGATGGGACCTGGACGATGCGAATGGACCGAAGAGGGATCGGAAAAAGGAAAGGGAAGAGCGGCAAAAAGACCGGTTGAATAGGTTGACTGAAAATGCTCTGGACGTAAATGGCCGTGCCCCTACCTCGGCTCGCAGTAGGGCTCGAGCTGCACGCAATGCCCGACGCAAGCTTGCCGGAGCGGCCGCAGATGCCTCAGCTGAAGCGAGCGTCAAAGGACAGGCCACGTCGGCGTCTCGCCCGAAAAGCAGCCGGAGCCGCGGCCATCGTGATGGAGCCAGCGCACGAATGGCCGCGGACAATGCCGCCCTCGATGGCCTGGAAGCACCCTCCCGGGACCACGACCTCTCACCAATGCCCGCTTCGGGTCAATTAGGGGACGATGATATCGAGGGCGAGGTCGAAGAAGGGCTTGATGATATCGATCGGGAGCTCCTCGGTGAAGGAAGCGGTGACGAGGACGAAGGGCCCTCGCGGATAGGAGGAGCCTCGCGGCCCTCGGAGCCTGGCTATGAGGATAGTTTCATGGAAGGCGCCGACGAAGATGCAGAAGCGCTGTCCTCGGACGACAACGACGAAGAAGCCGATGAGGACGAGCTGGACGAAGGCGAGGGCGAGATTGACGACAACTCATCCACGTTCGAGGGCGGACACGGATATGCTGCCAGCGAAACTTCGAGTGTCGGCCCCGAAGCCGGAGTGGAAGCTGCTGGAGGAGACGCTGGGGGACGGACCGGGGAAAAGGACGACGATACAGTGGAGAATCATTAGAGGAGCCACGTATATCGCCTGGGTAGATTGGCCGTTTTGTGTGACGCAGTTCTGTTTCTCATGTCTCGTCGGTCTGTTCCATGTCTTGTTGGGGCATCCGGTTCTTTCCTCTTTCCAACCCGATATCTTCTTTTCTCTGACTGTCTTATTGATTTCTATATTTTGTCTTTCTTTATTTTTCTCATCTTTTCTTGTTTTATTTATTGTACGTCCTGTCATGCCATCCACTGAACCCCGATAGTCCGAGCCTGCAGTGAGATCCCATGGATGAGGGACGCATTGACGGAGGATTCACATGCAGAGCGGCACGAAATGACCAGGGGACCAGAAGTTGCGTCGAGATTGAGCGATGTAATTAATCTATTATTGATCGAGGGGAATCCAGTCCCCGTAGTAGATAGGTAGATCGTCTGATGATGAATGAGCGCGCGACCGACACTTCCCAACAGGGCAAGAAATAACACATGATCGATAGACTTTGTCCCTCTCACTCTCCCTCTTCTCTCTCCATCTCCTCTACGCTCTCAAATTCATACTTGTCAGACTCTTAGAATCACATCGGTTATATCTCTCTATTAATAATCCTACCCATCGGTCCCTCGGTCTCCTCATTGTCAGGTGGTAACACCACGGCCGGTGATTTCTTTCCCCAGAGGCAATTCCGCCGCCGATCCACTGCAAAACTTGCACCGCGCGACTGCAACTCATTGTCTCCACCACGCTTCAACGAACCGATTCTCGCCAACCAACACCCCCCCCCCCCCCTTCTTCATCGTTGTTGCAACTGCTGGCAGCAAAAACTTCCTGACAAGCACGTTCTCCTTTCTTTTCCCCATCGTCGTCGCTCGGGAAGCCAACCCCTCCTTGCCCACCTCTAGGACAGGCCTCTCTCGCTGGCCCCATTCCTCAGAGGCTGCATTTTGTTCTACTTGGCGATTATTTATTGAAACCCGCCCCCGTTTGTACTGAACAGTTCTCCCCTGTTTTCATTTCTCCAGTTATCACCGCGCGACAAACTTTACATTTAAGTGTCTTTCGTTTTCTTGATAAGTGTGCGTCACCGGTTGCCTCAGGTACGATCGCGTCTGATCCTCCGGTCTGCGCCCTCCAACCTCCTACTCGGCTTGGAATCGCCTGCGTACCGCAGCTTCTCTTTCACCCGTCATGTCCGACGAACCTTCAATCATTCGCCCCCGTCCGCGACGTGTCTTTGATCTCGCGCCCCCATCCAACGACTCGTCCGAAGCCTCAACGCCAGCGGAACCCACCAGCCCGGATCTCTTGTCGCCGAGGGACACCGCTGGATCCACCAGCGTCAGTAGGAATGGCTCGATCATGAACCTTACATCCCCGACGCTGTTTGGTATCTACTCTCCGACGGCGTTCGAGGGTTCCCGGGATGAATCCAGCCCCTGGGGAACGGAGGCCCACACCCCTGTGACGGAAAGTCCGAGGCTTCCTCAACCTAAGTCGGAAGGCCCAGATCGGTTTGCTCTTCAGAGGACACGGTCACGGCTCACCCATGGACTGTTCTTGGGTGTCATTCTCCCTCTGGTGGCGAAAAGTGCCTTGTTGTTTGGATTTGGCATCGTTTATGGGGTAATTACAATTCATCTACATGAAAACCACTGGATTACGCCGGTGAAGCTAGAAAACGCCCACTATTACGGTTCCTTCGAATACCTGGCGTTCTGGGGTTTGGCCGGGATCGCTCTGGGAAACGTTCTCCCTTGGCTAGACCTTTTCTCGGAGGAAGCAGTGGTTGATAGCGGTCGGCCGAAGCAATGGTCAAGCAGCGACCAGAGCACCGAGGAGCGGACTCTCTCGTGGGTGGCCGTAGTACGAAGCGTCGGGGCCTTTGTAGGGATAGCATTTGCCATGGTAAGTCATTCAACATGCCGTTCGTGCTCAATTGAAGCCAGTACTGATGTTTTTTTTTTTTTCTCGTCCTGCTATAGCGGAGGCTACCCTGGCAATCTACAACTCAAGCGTCGGCGACGCTTGCACTCGCCAACCCGGTCCTTTGGTATCTAATCGACCGTACCAGAACAGGCTTTCTGATGTCAACCACGGTCGCCATAGTGGGAATGGGGGTCATTTTGGGCGTTCGGCCGGACCTTGTGCCTCCCTCGGCAGACACACCCACGTCTGCGCTCCCCGCTCTTAACAACACCCTACGAGAATATGGGCTGGTGACCGAAGTAACGCAAGAGGGCGTCGCAGTTCGGATCTGGGTTGCAAGTGTCCTGTTCTGCGCCTGTGTCTGCTTTGGCAACATCGGCCGACAGTGGGCCATTGGGTCTCGACGAGAACCGTTAAAGGCATGTTGATGGACGTTGCGGAGTAACCTTTGTTTTATGTGTATGCCCATCTTGATTGTTCCCTATTCCTCCGTTTTGATATTGGGCATGCTCTTCATTCATGGTTATTTTTTTATATTGGGTTGTGCCATTTGGGCTCGCGTGATAGCATGATAGACTAGGAGGTAGAGATAACACCATAGTTCCCCAACCAGGGCCGCTGGTGATGAGCTACTTAATGATACCTTCAAATTTAGACCGTACGACATCCTCACATAGTTGTAGGCTGGTACCTCATTAAGCAAAGGCATATTTCCTTCCCTAAAACGGGTAAAAAAATTTTGTAGAATCAATCATTGCAGTTCCTTCCACAGGATTTAGTCAGGCACTGCACCCAAGATCGACACCCTGCGGTCTGCAGTCCCTCTCCATTCTAATAGACGATTTCCATACTTCATAGGCCATTCCTCCTTAAAGAAGGAAGTTCCTCGTAGGAACGCTTTTGGAAGAATGTTGATTTTGCGTTGTTCATAAAAAAGAAAAAAGAAAAGAAAAGAAAGCGGGAAGTTGCAAGCGAGGTTTTTGTGCTACAGTGCGGTGGTCTGTGCATATGGTCAGGTGATGTACAGTGTTCTTATGTAAGCTATGCAGTAATTAACTTAGTTAACTAGTTAACCTAACTAGGTATGTAGCTTTCAGATCCATACTAACTAGGTACGGTAAAGTTGTGATTAGTAATAAGTTTGTATCCTAAGGCATAAATCCCTGCCGAAAGCGGCAGCGACCCCGCGGTGGGACAAAAAGTGAACGTCGTTGACGCCCAAGTCATTGCTGCGACTTTTGCTGCTGCTGCTGTTGCTGTCTCCAGACAGAGCATCTGTCGTCCTTCACCGACTAACTGTCCATTTAGTTTCTCCCCAGGTACGAAAGCTCTGTCTAGTGTCCCGTCACCTACTCTGTGTTGCATCCAATTCCCTCCACTGATTCTCTGGAGAGCGTGTGGGGATTAATCTTTCCCCTCTTTTTTTTTTTCATCTCTAATGCCCTCTGCTCTAGTGTCCTACACTTGTTGGTGTGTATCAGGATGTCTCAGCAAAAGTCAGGTATAACAAGCTACTCTTCTCCTCACGTCCTTCGTTTCACTCTCTCCCCGCCTGCAAGCTCCGTTGTTTGCGAAGCACTGCGTAGGCTTGGTTCGATGCGTCTCCGCATCCTGCCATTTCCGTGACTCGCATGAATTGAGGCTGACTCGAGAGTTCTCGTCAATAAATAGCGATCCTCTCCGTATATGACAAGACCGGACTGCTTGATCTAGCAAAGGGACTTGCCAAGCAAAATGTCCGCTTGCTCGCGTCCGGTGGCACTGCTCGAATGATTCGAGAGGCGGGTTTCCCCGTTGAGTGAGTCTCCCTGGGTTATTATACTTTGAACAATGGGGTGTTTTATATCGAGGAATGCGCTAGTCCTAGCTATCTAACAATCCATAGGGATGTCTCTGCCATCACCCATGCTCCTGAAATGCTGGGTGGCCGTGTCAAGACCCTTCACCCCGCTGTCCACGGTGGTATTCTCGCGCGTGACATCGAGTCCGACGAGAAGGATCTAGCTGATCAGAATATCGCCAAGGTGGACTTCATCGTCTGCAATCTCTACCCCTTCAAGGAGACCGTCAATAAGGTCAATGTGACCATCGAGGAAGCCGTCGAGGAGATCGATATCGGCGGTGTCACCCTCCTCCGTGCTGCGGCCAAGAACCACTCGCGTGTCACCATCCTTTCTGACCCCCAGGACTATCCCGAGTTCCTGAAGGAGCTGGAAGCCGGAGAGATCACAGCCTCCAGCCGGAAGATGTATGCTCTAAAGGCCTTCGAGCACACCGCAGACTACGATACTGCCATTTCGGGCTTCTTCCGCAAGCAATATGCTGGCAATGGCGACCAGCACATCGCTCTCCGCTATGGTACCAATCCTCATCAGAAGCCTGCTTCCGCATACATGTTGCAGGGCAAACTTCCTTTCAAAGCCCTGAACGGATCCCCCGGCTACGTCAACCTACTTGATGCCCTCAACGCCTGGGCCCTCGTCAAAGAGCTTAAGCAGGCTCTGGGCTACCCCGCTGCGGCCAGCTTCAAGCACGTCTCCCCGGCCGGTGCAGCCGTGGGTGTTCCTCTGAACGAGAAGGAGCGCAAAGTCTATATGGTTGACGACATCGTGGGCCTCGAGACCTCGGGGCTGGCTCAGGCTTATGCCCGTGCCCGCGGCGCTGACCGCATGTCCAGTTTCGGAGATATTCTCGCCCTTAGTGATGTCTGTGATGCTCCCACCGCCAAGATCATCTCGCGCGAGGTGTCGGACGGTGTCATTGCGGCCGGCTACTCCCCCGAGGCTCTGGAGATCCTCTCCAAGAAGAAGGGTGGCAAGTACCTCATCCTTCAAATGGATGAGTCCTACGTTCCTGCAGCCGAGGAGACCCGGACTCTCTACGGAGTTCAGCTCGCCCAGCACCGTAACGACGTCGTGATCTCCCCCCAGAAGACCTTCAGTACTATTGTCACCCCGAAGGACCTGAAGACTCTTCCTGACTCTGCTCTACGGGATCTCACTGTGGCCACCATCGCCTTGAAGTACACCCAGTCGAACTCCGTCTGCTATGCTCTTAACGGCCAGGTTGTTGGCTTGGGTGCCGGCCAGCAAAGCCGTATCCACTGTACCCGTCTAGCCGGTGACAAGACTGACAACTGGTGGATGCGCTTCCATGACCGCGTGGTGAACATCAAGTGGAAGCAGGGAACCAAGCGTGCGGACAAGAGCAATGCTATTGATCTGCTTTGCTCGGGCCAAACGCCGCGTAACGAGGCGGAGAGGGCTGAATACGAGCGCGTTTTCGAGGAAGTCCCCGCCCCCTTCACCCAGGAGGAACGGGAATCCTGGATTCAGAAACTGAGCGAGGTTGCCGTCTCGTCTGACGCATTTGTATGTCCTCCTATGTTGATTTGCGAGTTGTGATATATAGCAACTTACTAACGATGGGCGAAAACAGTTCCCCTTTATCGACAATGTGTTCCGTGCCGCGCGCTCCGGTGTTAAGTATATCGCTGCCCCCAGTGGTAGCCAGAACGATGGTCCGGTCTTTGAGACGTCCGAGAAGCTCGGCATGGTTTTCGTCGAGCAAGGCACTCGTCTCTTCCATCACTAGATTAGTACCCTTGCTGCGGCAGTACGAGAATAGTACCAAATTTTTCAGTTTACTCTCTGTGACGACGTTAGTGTGGCTACTTTCAACTTCATACCTATAAACTGGTATGGGAATGGCAATTCAACCAGAAAACCGTTGAGCTAGATAGCTCGGGGTGTATCATGGCTTAATATGTATGCATGGTGTCATTTCGCTCAGTCTGTATTGAGATGTCTGGTAATGAATGCATGTCTACTTGATGCTTCTCCCGCTCATACTACCTAATGCAACTAGAGCAACTTTTCAAACATGATAAAAAGGAAGATTCGAGATAAAAAATCTAGGCATCCTTATATGCTCCCACGCGGATTTGAACCGCGGACCTCATGATTACTAGTCATGCGCTCTACCAACTGAGCCATAGGAGCGTAAGAGAATCGTATAAATCTGGATTGGGGACCCAATATGTTACGCGATCCGTATATTGATGCTGCTCACATGCGGATTCGAACCGCAGACCTCATGATTACTAGTCATGCGCTCTACCAACTGAGCTATGCGAGCTGTGATTGGATAGTATGGTCTTTTTTTTTTATTCGTAAATCTAAGACGTGTGAACCAGCCATCTGCACATTGTAAAGGTCGGGCGTAGTATGTTGTGACGTCAATTGGTTTTGGATATCTATTGGGGATATGTTATTTGTTGTTTATTTTGGTGTATTTGGTTATACGATTCCGTCCTAGTTTGGTGCTGCTACAGTAGTATAAACATTGGGTTTGGTTCTGATCGGTTGCCTGAAGTATGAGGTATGAAAGTTGTCTGCTGCGTGGCTTTATATGTGTGGTGATGTTGATATTTGTGTCCAGGTGGCTTTGTACTGGTAGAGTGCGAGGTCTGCTGCAGTGGTCTGTCGATACGGTATTCTAGAACATTAGTTACTCCTATCCCCAGGTATTTATATATATACCCGTGTCCGACACTGGCATACTGTCTGCACAGATACCACCAATCTATTAATAGCACCCCACGAGACACTACCATATAGATACAATGGCAGTAGATGGAGAATATCCATGGTAGTGTCTCTCGGGAAACATGCCGACTTCATGGGGTGGGTAGCTCCCTAAGAGGACCAAGGTAAAAAAACTGCAGCTCTATCCAGCAATGTAAAATAAATACTATAAGCATGTCATCACTAGGTTGTCCCGATTTTAGCTACCGTCGAATCTTCAACTGTCCTGCAGCACCATTGCATGAACCAAGTACCCAAAGTAGACTAGAGAATTGGCTCACCTACCAGATTGTATATCGAACTATTTATGTCCATGGAATGCTACACTCCTCTCAGTAGGGATCATAAATAGATCTAAGGACAAATATAAAGGTTTGAAATGGCACTGAGTGCGATAATATGGAGGGAGCTAAATACAGTACCAGATGAATAGATGTACCATTCGCTACAGCCAAGTAAGACACGAGGAATTCGTACGGGAAATAAGTGAGGCAGATTTGCATCAGCCTTAATATAGTGGAAGATATCATTCCATCCCAAGCGTGGCTCCTATGGCTCAGTTGGTAGAGCGCATGACTAGTAATCATGAGGTCCGCGGTTCAAATCCGCGTGGGAGCAGTGAATTATCCATTTTCAATGGATTGGCTTTTTTAATTCCATGGATGATTTTGTAGTTTGTACCGTATGGTACATAATTTACTACAAATAGCATTGCTAATTGAGTTTACCTACTCTACTGCATGTATGTATGTATGTTTCTTGCATTCACTCAGGGTTGATCGTCATATGCCGGTGACACGTTCTTCAGGTAGCTAGGTTTTTATGGGCCATGTGCTTTATTTATTTATTTATTTATGTATGCTATGTTGGAGTCGATCCAACCGACTATCTAACATTCTTACCTTACATCCCATTGAATGCCAATAGGTCTTCCTGTCTCAATATTGTGTCATCATCTGGCAGTATCTGTGTAGTGGCTAGTGAAGCAAGCGAGTTGGATAAACGCGCGCCACCTCTTGACTCTGTATCGGCTGGCAGATGTGGGTGGGCCGTAAGTATGCAGTGAAGAGACAGTCCGTATACAACAACTGGCCTTCAAATGGTTGATCCCGGGTGATAGACACTGAAAGTATTGGAGCCCACAACCTATCCGCTGTCTCAGGGCCGCATCATAAACGGATGCCTCTTCTCGGTTCTTGGATGGCTCCATGAGGAAGCTGCCTAGAGAAGAATACTCTGCAGCAGACACACCCTATATAGGAGAGTTTCTGAGGGCAAGGGCCAAAGTGGTAGGAAGACAGGTAGAGGTTCAAGGCGCCAATTAATTTTGCTGAAAACCAGGGTGTACGAATATCAAGCCCGTGAATCTGGGCCAGGCTAATGATAGCTGGTTCAGTGAGAATAGCTGGAGGACATAAGAAAGATGCAATATATAATTGTTCACTTTTTTCACTCTTCTTTGTACCCATGCGTTGGTGTTTTCGATGATCGAAAACAGGAACTTGGCTTATTTAGTCAGCTTAGAATATTACATAGGAGATATGAGAAGTTGTTCCTCTCTACAAATTCAATGACGTAGGGATATAGGTGAGGGCAGGTATTATTATAGAGGAATTTAGACAGATCCAAGTATTCTAAAGGACAGACATGTCTTGAAGTTGGACGCTAACATAGATAAGGACGTACTAACTATATACTAGTGAGGAGAGACTGATATAAGAGTATTGGTTGCCCAAGGATCTGAACCATAGATCCATTCCCAGTAAACGTAGACAGCCAGAACCAGAAATATCACTTCACTAGCAGCCCGACAATTGAATCTACCACGAAGCATTGATACACGTGTGGCATATATTCATATTGCTGGCACTGACCAGGCCCAGCTAACCCCTGGGTGCACGTGACAGCCCCATAAGCGACACCTCAGCAACGACGCCCGCGCCGGTCTCCTGAGGTCGGCCGCTTCTCCAGTTATCTACAACCCATCTCACCTTCCTCCAATCCTCCTTTTTTCTCTCTAATTACTTTCTTTTCTTCTTCTGTCCTTAGTTTCCATTAGATCTCCTCTTCTTCTGTTCCCTTCGTTCCGGTGGAATTTTTTGCGTGGCGTTTCCTTGGGTGGATGAGGTCGTCCTGCGGCCCTCGTAAATATGGCTCCTCTACCTATTAAGTTCACGGAGCTTGTTAATGTATTTCCTTCCCAACGTCCAAACCGTCTGGCGGTTGACGAAGAAAGCTGACCTTGACTTTTTGTATTATAGTTAACAAATGTTGATATCGCGGTATGTTTTGTTGTGTTGCTAGCCTGCTTCACACTGGTGCCTTGTTGCGCGCCCGACTTCCACCCAGGATCATTTACTTACAATTTATTATCTATAGCCGGCATCAATTGGATTCAACTCATGTGTAAGTTCATTATTACCCCACTGCCTCCTCCAATTGCCACCTTCACTTGCTAATTATTCTCTTGCTGCTTGACAGACTCTAGAATCGGACCACTTCGTTTGCATCCGGCAAAAGCTCAACGAGGAAGAAAAGCCTCAAGTTATCATCATAAACCTCAAAAATAACAATGAAGTCATTAAACGGCCGATCAACGCGGACAGTGCTATCATGCACTGGGACCGAAACATCATTGCTCTGAAGGCCCAAGGGAGGACAATCCAGATCTTCGACCTGACAGCAAAGCAGAAGCTCAAGTCTGCAGTCATGAATGAAGATGTTGTCTACTGGAAGTGGTTCAGTGAAAAGAACCTAGGCTTGGTGACAGAGACTTCCGTCTATCACTGGGATGTTTTTGACCCCACCCAGTCCCAGCCGCTTAAGATCTTTGATCGGCTCCCTAACTTGAGTGTAAGTGTTAAATATACGTGGCTGCTATGCTTGAGCTGACATTATATTTGCTTAGGGATGCCAAATCATCAACTACCGCGTCAACGATGATGAAAAATGGATGGTGGTAGTTGGAATTAGCCAACAGCAGGGGCGTGTCGTGGGCTCAATGCAGCTCTACTCCAAAGAGCGTGGTATCTCACAATTCATCGAAGGACACGCAGCTGCATTTGCTTCCATCAGAGTTGAGGGCTCTCCTCTGGAGCATAAGCTCTTCTCTTTCGCTGTTCGTACGCAGACCGGTGCGAAGTTGCAGATTGCCGAAATCGACCACCAGGAGCCTAACCCTCGGTTCCAAAAGAAGGCCGTTGAAGTATATTTCCCCCAGGAGGCAGTCAATGATTTCCCCGTCGCGATGCAGGTGTCCAAGAAGTACGACATCGTGTACCTGGTCACTAAATATGGCTTTATTCACCTCTATGACCTCGAGACCGGTACCTGCATCTTTATGAACCGAATCTCCAGCGAGACGATCTTCACCACTGCTCCCGACTCCGAATCGGCTGGCCTGATTGGTGTGAACCGTAAGGGTCAAGTATTGTCCGTCAGCGTCGATGAGAACACTGTTATTCAATACTTGATGGAGAACCCTGCCATGTCGGGGCTTGCAGTTAAGCTCGCATCTAAGGCTGGACTCCCCGGTGCGGACCACCTTTACCAGCAACAGTTCGATAACCTCATCGCGCAAGGCAATTATTCCGAAGCTGCAAAGATCGCCGCCAACTCTCCCCGTGGATTCTTGCGGACGCCAGAGACAATCAACCGCTTCAAGAATGCCCCGCAGACCGGACAGCAAATGTCTGTCATTCTCCAGTACTTCGGTATGCTGCTGGATAAGGGATCTCTTAATCGACACGAAAGTATTGAGCTCGTCCGCCCCGTTTTGCAGCAGAACAGAAAGCACCTGCTGGAGAAGTGGATGCGCGAAAACAAGCTGGAGGGCTCCGAGGAGCTTGGAGATATTGTTCGACCTTACGACATGAACCTGGCTCTAAGCATCTATCTCCAAGCGAATGTTCCCCAAAAGGTCGTCGCTGGGTTTGCCGAAACTGGCCAATTTGACAAGATTCTTGCCTATTCCAAGCAAGCTGGATACCAGCCCGACTATACCCAGCTTTTGCAACACATTGTCCGCGTGAACCCGGAGAAGGGTGCTGAGTTTGCCTCCCAGCTTGCTAATGAAGAGAGTGGTGCACTCATCGACTTGGACCGTGTCGTGGATGTTTTCCTGTCCCAGAACATGATCCAACAGGCCACGTCGTTCCTGCTCGATGCCCTTAAGGATAACAAGCCTGAGCATGGGCACTTGCAAACCAGATTGCTTGAGATGAACTTGGTCAATGCCCCACAAGTTGCAGACGCCATCCTTGGTAATGAGATCTTCACTCACTATGACAGGCCCCGCATCTCCCAGCTTTGCGAGAACGCCGGTCTTATTCAGCGTGCACTGGAGAACACTGACGATATTGCCGCGATCAAGCGCAACATTGTCCGTACTGATAAGCTGAACTCTGAGTGGTTGATGAACTACTTCGGCCGTTTGTCCGTGGAGCAGACTCTGGATTGCATGGACACGATGCTGCAAGTGAACATCCGTCAGAATTTGCAAGCTGTTGTCCAGCTTTGCACCAAATTCTCTGATCTCCTGGGCCCTGGCCAGCTCATCACCCTTCTTGAGAAGTACCGTACTGCCGAAGGTCTTTACTACTATCTGGGAAGTATTGTGAATCTCAGCGAAGACCCTGAGGTTCACTTCAAGTACATCGAGGCTGCAACTGCTATGGGCCAGACGACCGAAGTAGAGCGTATCTGTCGTGAGAGCAACTACTACAACCCAGAGAAGGTCAAGAACTTCCTGAAGGAAGCCAAATTGACCGAACAGCTTCCATTAATAATTGTTTGCGATCGCTTTAACTTCATCCATGACCTGGTCCTTTACCTTTACCAGAATCAGCAGTTCAAGTCCATTGAAGTCTATGTGCAGCGCGTGAACCCCTCCCGTGCTCCGGCTGTCGTCGGAGGGCTACTAGACGTCGATTGTGATGAGAGCATCATTAAGAATCTTCTTTCGACTGTCGACCCATCTGTGATCCCCATTGATGAGCTCGTTAACGAGGTAGAGACCCGGAACAGACTGAAGCTGCTTCTGCCCTTCCTCGAGGCGACCCTTGCTACTGGTAACCAGCAGCAGGCCGTTTACAACGCCCTCGCAAAGATCTACATTGACAGCAACAACAACCCGGAGAAGTTCCTCAAGGAAAATGATCTGTATGACACCTTGACGGTCGGAAAATACTGCGAGAAGCGTGATCCAAACCTGGCGTACATTTCGTACCGTAAGGGCCAGAATGATCTGGAGCTCATTAACATCACCAACGAGAACGCCATGTACCGGGCGCAGGGTCGTTACCTTGTCGAACGGGCTGACCCTGAGATTTGGTCGTTTGTCTTGAGTGAGAACAACGTGCACCGTCGGTCTCTCGTCGATCAAGTCATTGCAACCGCCGTACCTGAATCGACGGAGCCTGATAAGGTGTCGGTTGCTGTCAAGGCTTTCCTCGAAGCCGATCTTCCTGGCGAGCTTATCGAACTACTGGAGAAGATCATTCTTGAACCGTCGCCTTTCAGCGACAATGGCAGTTTGCAGAATCTGCTGATGTTAACCGCAGCTAAGGCTGACAAGGGACGTTTGATGGATTACATTCACCAGCTCAATGAATTCAGCCCCGATGAGATTTCAGAGATGTGTATCTCGGTAGGCCTGTACGAGGAGGCATTCGAAATCTACAAGAAGGTCAACAACTATATCGCCGCTGTCAATGTTCTCGTTGAGAATATCGTCAGCATTGACCGGGCGCACGAGTTCGCCGAACGTGTCGAATTGCCGGAAGTGTGGAGCAAGGTTGCTAAGGCACAGCTGGATGGACTTCGTGTTTCCGATTCCATTGAATCCTATATTCGTGCTGGTGATCCCTCGAACTACAACGAGGTTATCGAAATCGCCACTCACGCCGGCAAGGATGATGATCTCGTCAAGTATCTGAAGATGGCCCGCAAGACCTTGCGTGAGCCCGCCATTGACACCGGCCTGGCGTTCTGCTATGCTCGCCTTGATCAACTTTCGGAACTGGAGGACTTCTTGCGGTCCACTAACGTTGCCGACGTTGAAGCGTCTGGTGACAAGGCTTACGAAGAGGGTTACCATCAGGCCGCCAAGATCTTCTACACTAGTATCTCAAATTGGGCTAAATTGGCGACCACCTTGGTGCATTTGGAAGATTATCAGGCCGCGGTGGAGTGTGCACGGAAGGCCAATAGTGTGAAGGTCTGGAAGCAGGTCAACGAGGCGTGTGTTGCCAAGAAAGAATTCCGCCTCGCTCAAATTTGTGGTCTTAACCTCATTGTCCACGCGGAAGAGCTGCAAGACCTTGTGCGCCAGTACGAACGCAACGGCTATTTCGATGAACTCATTGGGGTTCTCGAGGCCGGTCTGGGCCTGGAGCGTGCTCATATGGGCATGTTTACGGAATTGGGCATTGCTCTTTCCAAGTATCATCCTGACCGGGTGATGGAGCACCTCAAGCTCTTCTGGTCGCGCATCAACATCCCTAAGATGATCCGTGCCTGTGAGGAAGCCAGCCTTTGGCCTGAGCTGGTGTTCTTGTACTGTCACTATGATGAATGGGACAATGCCGCTCTGGCGATGATGGAACGTGCCGCTGATGCCTGGGAGCATCACTCGTTCAAGGATATCGTCGTCAAGGTTGCCAACCTGGAGATTTACTACCGTGCACTCAACTTTTACCTGCAGGAGCAGCCCCTACTACTCACGGATCTTTTGCAGGTGTTGACACCTCGTATTGACGTCAACCGTGTTGTGCGCATTTTCCAGGCCTCCGACAATATTCCTCTGATCAAGCCATTCATGTTGAACGTCCAAACTCAAAACAAGAGGGCGGTGAACGATGCCATCAACGATCTGCTGATTGAAGAGGAGGATTACAAGACGTTGCGTGATTCTGTGGACAACTACGACAACTTTGACGCCGTGGATCTCGCGCAACGTTTGGAGAAGCATGACCTTATTTTCTTCCGACAGATTGCTGCCAACATTTACCGCAACAACAAGCGCTGGGAGAAATCGATTGCTCTTTCCAAGCAAGACAAGCTCTACAAGGATGCTATTGAGACCGCAGCGATCTCGGCTAAGTCCGATGTGGTTGAAGAACTCCTTCGCTACGTATGTCCCCCCCTCTCTCCAATCACATATCTTTGATGGTAGGCCAATTATTTTGCTGACTCGGATTAGTTTGTGGATATTGGTAGCCGCGAGTGCTACGTTGGCATGCTATATGCTTGCTATGATCTCATTCGTCCGGATGTGATCTTGGAGATGTCGTGGCGCAACGGTCTCCATGACTTCACCATGCCCTTCATGATCAACTTCCTCTGCGAGCAGACGCGGGCGATCGAGACGCTCAAGAAGGACAACGAGGAACGAAAGAAGCGGGAGGTGTCGCAGAAGACGGAGGAGGACAATACGCCGATCTTGGGTGGCTCGCGGCTGATGCTGACCCAGGGCCCAGCGGCACCTGCGCCAAGTCCCATGGCATACCAGCAGACCAACGGGATCACGCCGCAGGCCACCGGATTCCGCCCCTTCTAGATGCACGTCCGTAATGTCTCTCTTCTCATTTGCGATGGATTTAGTGTATGTATAGCATAAACGATGGATGATCTGCCGCCGTGCTTGGGTGGGACAAGGCAGCTCGCTGATGGGGGCTTACTGTTTCTACTACGGTGGTTATTCCGGAGACTTTTTTGATGGTTCATTCCATTGAAGGAGAGCTCTCTGTCTTGTTCTCTTTTATTTTTATTTTCTTTTATGTGTCTCATTTTAAAATTCTTCTTCCCTTTATCTCCGCCCTTTCTCGTTTCTATCTATTTCACTCTCGCTGTATTTTGATAGGCTTTGAAAATTTGTTGATGCCGTGAATCCAGTAGTCTCACGACGTTGCATTTAGTTAATGGCATTCTTTGTGATCGATTTCGATGTCGGTTCTGGACCGCTGTAAGACCTGCATAACCTCGGTGGAAAGGATGAAACGTCCGCGGGAAGTGTAATCTTTGCCCTAAAGATAAGATGGTGGCTAGATCACGAGATGAATGGGTGTGTAGACACGGGCAGACGGAGCTTACGTGGGAAGGGGATCAATATCACCGAAGTAGATACAGAGTAATTAGATAGAAGGATAAAAAAAAAAAAAGGCCCGATGCAGTCAGTGACAAGGGTGGGTCATATCAACCAAAAGGAGGAGGGACTAGACTCCGGTGTGATCTTTGGGCAAAAGATATGTTCGCCAAGACGCAGACGGAAGGCGCAGAAGTTTCGTCCCGTCTTGTCGGAATTTCCTGAGCAAACGCTGACGTGAAGGACGAGAACAAGGGTCAGGGTTCAACGTTTTGGGGGGGGTTGACCGAGGTTCAGAATAACATCTGGCCCTAACTAACGGAAAGCGTTCTCCGGGGGTGGACTGAAAGGCGTCGATCCATTTGAGGCCAAGGCTCTTTTTTGTCACACGTTCCTCTGAATTTTTTTTTTTTGTTCGAGGGTCCTTTTTAGTATTGTTATTATTTTTTTGCCCTTATCTGGTCTCTAAGGCACTAGAGAAAATGTAAACATCCTCGGTGTCGATCATTTTTATCCAATGATTCAACCAAGTTCAATCATGCCCCAGGCTCATCGTTATCGGATTTATCTCTCGCCTAGCTTCGGTGCAGAGACCACATCGTTGGCCCGAGCGTTCGTTTAAACTCGGTGACGCAGTACCTCAACCAGGTGCATGGCTAGCAGGAGCAGGAAATTAACCCGAGCACCCGAGGTAGCTAGGGAATTCTCTACCTGAACCACCCGATAGATTGCTGTGTCGGTTATATGTACGATACTGATCATGGAATCTCTGGTCGTGGACTATGGGGGAAGGGGGATTGATTGGCTGGTTGACTGGAATGATGACTAGTCGTAGTTCGTGCAGAGTATCTGGCGGACTATACAGTGGTAGGATAAGCCGATCTGTACAGTTGGTTAGAATCTATCAATTGGTGCAGATCTCGTAGGGAATGGGGTGTGTTTATAGTGATAGTAGCAAAAGAGAAAAAAGAGAATGACCAACCAGATAATTTCTCGGACCAACGGAGAATGGGGTAATACCCAAGGTTAACTCTTTCAAAGCTGAAGGAGCGGGTGGGACATGCCTGGGAAATCATCCCCCTTGGAGCTGCCCGGTGTGCCGGTGAGAATCTCTCATCATTTATTCCCATCAAGGACAGAAAGGCGAACAGCTTGGTCCGGGTCATGTGCCCGTCGTGATCTGACCTGAGGCATTCCATTCCTTCAGTCCCTCTGCCCCTCTTCTTCTTATCAACTCGATTTTGACCTATTTCTCTCTCTCTTCCTCACCTTCATCATCCCCTTGGGTCGTTTCTTCTTCAATTTCATCTTCATCCTTATCATTATCATCTCTCCGTACATTTCCTAGTCCAGCGATCAACCAATCCAATCCCCACTGGTTGATCTTCACTTCCCCCCGCGTTCTTCCTCCCATTCCCGTTCCGAAACCGGGCCTTTTTCTTTGCCCCGGTATTCTACCCGGCGGGATTCTCCTAAGGTGACTCACGGTTTCCGTCTAATGCCATTGGTTTTCCCCGGCTAACTTTATATATATCCGTTCTCGACATATAGCCCCCTTTAAACCTCTTCCGGAACATCCTGTGCCCCTCCTCCCTCTTTCCTCTTCTTACCCCTCCTCCTCCTCTCTTTCCTCCTCTCCTTCCCTTCCCACTCACACAATGGCTGCGCCCCATCGTCAGCCCGAGGAGGCTGTCGATGATACCGAGTTCATCGATGACCACCGCGAACACCTCCGCGACACGGTTCACCATCGTCTACGCGCCAATTCCGCCATCATGCAGTTCCAAAAGGTCCTCGTGGCTAATCGAGGTGAAATTCCCATTCGTATTTTCCGAACAGCCCACGAACTGTCCCTGCAGACCGTTGCGGTCTTCTCCTACGAGGACCGCCTCTCCATGCATCGCCAAAAGGCCGATGAGGCCTACATGATTGGCAGGCGTGGCCAGTATACTCCCGTCGGTGCCTACTTGGCAGGCGATGAGATCATCAAGATTGCCCTCGAGCATGGCGTGCATCTGATCCACCCCGGTTACGGCTTCTTGTCGGAGAACGCCGATTTTGCCCGCAAGGTTGAGGAGGCCGGTATGGTCTTCGTAGGTCCCACTCCGAGCACCATTGATAGCCTGGGTGACAAGGTCTCTGCCCGTCGGCTGGCCATCGGCTGCAATGTCCCCGTTGTCCCCGGTACCGAGGGACCGGTTGAGCGCTACGAGGAGGTGAAGGCCTTCACCGATACGTATGGGTTCCCCATCATTATCAAGGCGGCCTTTGGCGGTGGTGGCCGTGGTATGCGTGTGGTCCGCGACCAAATGGAGCTGCGCGACTCCTTCGAGCGGGCCACCTCCGAGGCCCGCTCCGCCTTCGGCAATGGCACCGTCTTCGTCGAGCGTTTCCTCGACAAGCCTAAGCACATCGAGGTTCAGCTTCTCGGTGATAATCATGGCAATGTCGTCCATCTCTTCGAGCGTGATTGTTCCGTTCAGCGCCGGCACCAGAAGGTTGTCGAGGTCGCCCCCGCCAAGGATCTCCCCATCGACGTGCGGGACCGCATCCTGGCTGATGCCGTGACCCTGGCCAAATCCGTCAATTACCGCAATGCCGGTACCGCCGAGTTTCTGGTGGATCAGCAGAACCGTCACTACTTCATCGAGATCAACCCCCGTATTCAGGTCGAACACACTATCACAGAAGAAATTACTGGTATCGACATTGTCGCTGCCCAGATTCAGATCGCTGCTGGCGCCACATTAGAGCAGCTGGGCCTGACTCAGGATCGCATCTCCATTCGTGGCTTTGCTATCCAGTGCCGTATCACCACCGAGGATCCCTCTAAGGGGTTCTCTCCTGACACGGGAAAGATTGAAGTCTATCGCTCCGCCGGTGGTAACGGTGTTCGATTGGACGGTGGTAACGGATTTGCAGGCTCCATCATCTCTCCCCATTATGATTCCATGTTGGTCAAGTGTACTTGCCGTGGCTCAACCTACGAGATTGCCAGACGTAAGGTGGTGCGTGCCCTGGTTGAATTCCGCATCCGTGGCGTCAAGACCAATATCCCATTCTTGACCTCGCTGCTGAGCCACCCCACCTTCGTGGATGGAAACTGTTGGACTACCTTCATTGATGATACCCCCGAGCTTTTCTCCCTTGTCGGCAGCCAGAACCGTGCCCAGAAACTTCTTGCATATCTGGGAGATGTGGCCGTCAACGGGAGCAGCATCAAAGGTCAGATCGGTGAACCTAAGCTCAAGGGCAACATTATCAAACCCAAGCTCCTCGATGTGCAGGGCCAACCTATCGATATGTCAGCCCCCTGCACTAAGGGTTGGAAGCAGATCCTGGATCAGGAGGGCCCGGCAGCGTTTGCTCGCGCCGTGCGTGCTAATAAGGGCTGTTTGATCATGGACACCACTTGGCGTGATGCCCACCAGTCATTGTTGGCAACCCGCGTGCGTACCATTGATCTGCTGAACATTGCCCACGAAACCAGCCATGCCTTGGCCAATGCCTACAGTCTGGAATGCTGGGGTGGTGCCACCTTCGATGTTGCCATGCGATTCCTTTACGAGGACCCCTGGGATCGCCTGCGCAAGATGCGCAAGGCAGTGCCCAACATCCCCTTCCAGATGCTACTTCGCGGTGCCAACGGTGTGGCATACTCCTCGCTCCCGGATAATGCCATTTACCACTTCTGTAAACAGGCCAAGAAGTGTGGTGTCGACATCTTCCGTGTCTTTGACGCTCTGAACGACGTAAACCAGCTCGAGGTTGGTATTAAGGCGGTCCATGCTGCCGAGGGTGTCGTTGAGGCCACCGTTTGCTACAGCGGTGACATGCTCAACCCCAAAAAGAAGTACAACCTTGAATACTACATGGCGCTGGTTGACAAGATCGTCTCCTTCAAGCCCCACGTGCTCGGGATTAAGGATATGGCTGGTGTCCTGAAGCCGCAGGCCGCCCGCCTGCTGGTGGGCTCGATTCGCCAACGTTACCCCGACCTTCCAATCCACGTTCATACTCACGACTCTGCTGGAACCGGTGTGGCGTCGATGATTGCTTGTGCCCAGGCTGGCGCCGATGCCGTAGATGCAGCAACGGATAGCTTGTCCGGTATGACTTCACAACCTAGCATTGGTGCCATCCTTGCCTCCCTCGAGGGCACCGAGCACGACCCTGGCCTCAACTCGACTCACCTGCGGGCTCTCGATACCTACTGGGCGCAGCTGCGGTTGCTGTACTCCCCATTCGAGGCCGGCCTGACTGGCCCCGACCCCGAGGTCTACGAGCACGAGATTCCTGGTGGTCAGTTGACCAACCTCATCTTCCAAGCTAGCCAGCTTGGGCTGGGCCAGCAGTGGGCTGAGACCAAGAAGACTTACGAGGCCGCCAACGACCTGCTTGGTGATATTGTCAAGGTCACGCCGACCTCGAAGGTAGTTGGTGACCTGGCGCAGTTCATGGTCTCTAACAAGCTGTCCCCTGCGGATGTGGTGGAGCGCGCAGGCGAGCTGGACTTCCCTGCCTCCGTGCTCGAGTTCCTCGAGGGTCTCATGGGTCAGCCTTTCGGCGGGTTCCCCGAGCCTTTGCGCTCGCGGGCCCTGCGGAACCGCCGAAAGCTCGAAAAGCGCCCCGGTCTCTACCTGGATCCCTTGGATCTGGTTGGAATCAAGAACCAGATCCGCGAGAAATTCGGCGGCGCCACCGAGTACGATGTCGCCAGTTATGCCATGTACCCCAAGGTTTTCGAGGACTACAAGAAGTTCGTCCAGAAATACGGCGATTTGTCTGTGTTGCCCACGAAGTACTTCTTGGCCAAGCCCGAGATTGGCGAGGAGTTCCACGTTGAGCTGGAGAAGGGCAAGGTGCTGATTCTCAAGTTGCTAGCTATTGGGCCCTTGTCTGAGCAGACTGGCCAACGTGAGGTCTTCTATGAGGTCAACGGCGAGGTCCGTCAGGTCAGCGTTGACGATAACAAGGCCTCCGTTGACAACGCGGCCCGCCCCAAGGCCGAGCTGGGAGACAGCAGCCAGGTGGGTGCTCCCATGAGTGGTGTGGTGGTTGAGATCCGTGTCCACGACGGTTTGGAGGTCAAGAAGGGTGACCCACTTGCTGTTCTGAGCGCCATGAAGATGGTATGTTGAACCTGCCCCTAAGGGGCTTGCCTTTCCCCTCATCTCTCGGTTGTTTCTTGCCCACACCCTGCTAACTGGCCACTTTAGGAAATGGTGATCTCGGCTCCCCACAGCGGTCTGGTTTCTGGCTTATTGGTCAAGGAAGGTGACTCCGTGGATGGCCAGGATCTCATCTGCAAGATCGTTAAGGCGTAAGCGGACATCCCGAGATCTCATGCATATAGAACAACAACAGAAAGACACGTGCCGAGTGCTACGTGCAATTAAAAACCTTGAACGAATTGATGTTAGACTAGAGCGTTGTTTGTTGGTTAAATGTTTTGTATTTGGGCTGGGTTTAGGATTTTTTTTTGGTACCGGCGAAGACACGCAAGGAACGGTCTCGCAGCCATAGTGCAATCAATTGAGTTGCTCCTTCACTTCAGATTGGTTCTTTAGAAATCTAGTTGTCTATTGCGAGCCTAGGGAGTTGATTGTACCTGTGAACACCCTTCTCATGATGAACACGCCGTATATATGGGCCGGATTTTCTAGGCACATAGATCGCTTTTCTTTACCATTTTAGTGCTCAACTTTCTACAGTAGCTCCCTGTCACCTATGTTTCCTTTTATTTTAATATCGTATTTTACGTTCAGACCGTAGAACCAGTTTCTATTCTTGAAGTTATTGTCAACCTTGTCCTCTTGCATTCGTTGCCGGAAATACAGGTATGCCTGTGCATGTGTTAGAGACTGAACGAGTCCGTGTTATCTGTGATGCATGTAGAGTCGTACCCCAGAGCAAATGCAAAGCACAGTACTTTTATAATCAGAGCAATATTGGAAGCGTTGGAAACCTGTCGAGGATTTTGCGCTCTCTCATTATGCTCCCTGGGTTTCACACCACTATTTCCCGAGTAGTTATATCGAGGACGCAGGAAGGTCGTTGGGCTGCTCCTAGCACGGTGTACTCAGTCCACAAGTGTGATTAAACTGAGCTGTCCAACAGGCTGTACGCTTCAAAGATCGCCCAAAGCTCCACTGCGTACGCCAACTGATAATCAGTAACATGAAGTAAGGTTCTGGAAAGTTTAGAGAAATCTTTCAATTATTGTTGAGATGGTCATATCCACGCGGAAAGAGAAGTAGAACCGTTGAAAATTGCTGGGTGGGATAGTTTATTGAGCTGTATCTGTTCCAAACCGCTGGGTCTCTCTCCTTGTGTGGTGTTTAGATTTATATTGTCATGTGCTTGTCCTTGTCGCTATCCTCATCACTTTCAAGACCCTCTAGCCACTTATCTTTGTAGAGCTTCTCCGGAGGGAAACTCCCGCCATTGACTACGAACCAGCGAAATATATCTAACGATGCTTTTCGCGATGCTTCCTGGTCGAGGGGTTTACGGGGAAACTGACATGGTCCTTGACCTTGGGTCACTGACAGTAGAAGGACACAGAGAAACAGACTGGTGTGTGTGTGTGTGTGTCCAATGGCATAATTTCCAGGACTTTGTTTGATGTCTATTGTCAGAAGTAGTAGTCACAGAAAGGAACTGAGAGGAATAAAAAAGACAGATGACAGTTCTAGGAGAGGAAGCAAGTCCGTATATGTACATTATATCCACCCCGAGGTCTTGTTATATACCGGAGAGATCTACAGTTTTGCCTCTTCCACAATTTCATCCGACTCTCCCACCTCTCGCAGTGCCTTCCAGACCCGCATGGCTTCCTCCCAGAATCCATCCTGCCAAATTTGAACCGACCCGTCTGGCTTGAGTGTCCTTATTTCCCAATGGTTCCGAGTGCCCCAGTCAATGTCCGGTTCACCATGCACGAATTTGATCCATGGGTCAATCAAACCGCGCTTAATAATGAGCTTTTCTCGAGGCTCAATAGTCTCTCCATTCCCCCAGAACCAAATGTACTGGTCCGTGGCGTGGGTGACGCCCCAGTCAGGTGGGATGGATTTATCCGCGCACTTAAGACGATATTCGATGCGGTACCGGTAGAGGAGATGGGCGGCGCCACCCAGAGCTAGCGAGTGGACGAGTCCTCGTTGTGTATTGTGGACTTGCATGTCAGCGTACACACGACCGAAGGCGTCGTTGTGCCAGTCTTGGCAGTCGGAGGGAAGCTTTCCCTCCGGGTAATAGAGCTTCATCAAAGTGTCCACGATCGGACGGGGGTAGTCCGCCAGGAGACGTTTGTGCAGGGACAAGAGGCCCTTGTGAGGAGGGAACCAGGTGGCATATAGAAACCTCTCGTCCTGACATTCACCCAGCATGATGCGGATGCTGCGTGCGGCAACCCGACGGCCGAAGTTGCCATTGTCGAATGACTTGAAGAGGGAGTTTGGGATGAAGACAGAGTCCGAGGTGGGACGGAATTGATTGAGGTCCACGCCTACTGCCGCGGAGATAAGGTCTTGACTGGTGACAGAACGGAGTCGAAACAGCTTCTCCGCCCAAGGAAGAGCCACGGGGATGTTCAGCGCAGAAAGAATCTGGTTGAATTGGACCTGGGCAGCGGCTGGGCTTTTGGGCTGAGTCGCAGGCCCATTCGACCAGATGCAGGCTTGTTTGACAATGGCCTTGTCGTCTGGGAGATGGACATCATAGGCTAGCTGATAGAAGACAGAGTATGCACCTAGTGTTACGTGGTTAGGGCTACGCACTCGTATGGGTATTGGGGGAGTAAAAAAGGACTCTTAAGGCGCCTTACCCGCAGAATACCCGGAAATGGTGATCTGTGATGGGTTGCCTCCAAAAAGGGAGACGTTGTCCTTGGTCCATTCCAGGGCGAGACGCTGATCCCAGAAGCCTTGGTTCCCAACCGGCTCACCGACAGATGCGGCATCGTTCTGGAGCTCCGATGAGTAGAGAAAGCCGAAGACGCCTAGACGATAGGCAGGCATAACAATGATCGCGTCTAAGCCCGCCTCACCTAATAGGTTAGTGGCGGAGAAGGTGTTTGGGGTTCCGAACTGGAGGAAACCGCCATCTAATATATGGTTAGTCCAACCTGGCCTGATACTACTCGAGGACATGTAAGGAAAGACATACGAATGAAAATGAGCACCGGCCACCCTAGTTGACCACCAGCGCGTTAGCTAGGGTTCGAGATGGGGAATGAAGTGATGTACAACATACCGTCCTTGGGGGGCTCGCCGGCTGGCACCCAAACATTGCACTGGAAGCAATCTTCCGACCAGATGCTTTCAACAGAGAGATTCAAGAAGCTGGGCTGCGGGCAAACTCCCGAGGTCCCCGTACAGGGACACGGTTTGTCTTTGGTGCCATAGGTAAAATTCGACGGGAGCTTCTGAGCCTTTCGCCACCGCCTGGAGGGAGGGAGAGCATAGCGGAGGCCGCCGAAATAATGACAAAGGGCAGTATCGGTTGATTGATCGAAGAGGGTGATACCTTGAATAAAGCCCCGATGGGAGAGGGACTTCACGCATGGATGTCGGTGCATGTCCAGGTTTTGCAAATGATTGATCAGAGAATCCGAGGAGAAATGCAGACTAAGTTAAACAGTGGTGGATGAGAAGTACGACGACCGTCGTCTCAAGACAGATAGATTCAGACATAGTGCTTATATATAAGTATCCAAGTTTATCTCCGCTCCAAACAAAGCAGGCCCTAGGCTGTTGAGCTCTGCCTGGCCACGATAGCCGAGCTTATAGTCATCTGGGTGGGGATGGACATGGAATTGGACGAATCTCACGAGCAGACAGGGCAAACAGGTCGGCAAAGGAGCGGAATTGGAGTCGTCGCGGCGAGGAAGACACCAAAAAAGTAGTCCACTGTTGCGGGGTGTCACGTTCTCCATCGGCGCCAAATCTGGGCGCCGGTGTCTGCCTGAGGTATAAGTACCAAAGAGTGAGACGAGAGCTACGTACTATTCAATTACTTGCCACTCGTATGTCTTAATATAAATCTCAATATCAGGAGACTACACAGTAGGGACTGAAGAAAGAGAATGATCATGTGCCGATCAATCACGCCAGGCATAGGTATCGGTGCAGGGTGGCTCTAATACACAAGTAAAGATCGTGCTCTCATAGGTAACTATTGTCTGGTAGACGCTCATCGGGGTATTTACACAGATGTGACTAACCACAATAAATAATACAAATGCTTTTTCACGTAATTTCCCATATATAAGTGCAACATAGCATTCAATGATTATTAAACATTAAATGCAGCGATTAAAAACATTTTGAAATTCGGAGGCCTTTAGATCGAGATGCACGCCTTTTACCTCTATCACAGCCAAGATATAGGGCTTCATCTTGCTTAACTCATGTCATTGACAGGGGAGAAGCTCGGACTGCGGTTGAAGCCCTCGGAGCTACGATTAAAGTCGATCGGAAGCAGGCTCTGTTGTATGTTAGAGGAGAGGGTGGTACCGGCAAGAGCCAGATCATCAAGGGTATCATTGCTGGCATGGATATGCTCCAACGCAAACGTAAAGTTACTGTCATGGGGCCAACCGGCGCTGCTGCGGACAACGTTGGCGGGAATACTTATCATACTTCCCTGGGCATATCCATCAACCGTTCTAGAAGATCCGTAATGCCCCTTCGGGTGCGAACGCTCTGGTCCTCTAAGACAATTATAATAGTAGAGCTAGTAATTCTTTTAGCATGGCACATCTAGAACGATCAATCTAGACAGGGCTTTCAGGTTCCCTTAGAATATGCGCAGGAGCTGCAGAAGAATATTGATTATGTTAGTTTAAGATAGTGTGTTGAATCTCCCGTGGACTTCGCAGTAAAATTTCAACGACTCCTTTATTTACTGGAGCCTCCGTTATATAAAGAGTGGTCGGAAGATTTGTGAATTTGAATTCTTCATGCCTAGCATGATTCATTGTCCATATTATAATAATGTGGGCTATTTTAGCTGTGTTGCTTTCTGCTGATCAAAGAATATGGGCCTTTAACTTGCTAGAGTATACCAGCATATAGTAATCGCTATGATAATAGAAGGATTGTTCACTCGAAAAATTAATATAATATAATCTACTATCCCCAAGATCAGATACATAAGTTGCCCCAGTACATAAATCATGGAGTGATAATCTGTACAGTATTGTTTCTGGTTATCTTGTTATATACTATTTTAACGAGGGCAATGCATACAACAGTAAACATACTATTCGGCACGTTTATCAAAGCATATCTGGTTCTCTGCTATTAAACTAGAGCGAAGGAAATGGTGAATTTATCAATTCAATAAACACGAATTAGCTGGGTGAAATTGCTATATCAAGCCATAGATGGAGGCACATCCTGTATGGAGAAGTACTACGATACTAAGAAAAACTAGATTATTAATGCAATAAAGTTGTACACAAACCCAGTCAAAAGCAATAAAATGAGAATGGAGCTACCCTTGCATTTGCAGAAGGAAATGGGAAAAACCCAGAACACTGGGGCAAAAACCCATAACAGAGTCTCCCGAATACAACGGACACATATTCAACGTCTCTCTATAACTTCGCCATTGTGATACTTGTGTAACCCCTGGAGTCTAGTTTATATTATTAGCATAGACAGTATATTTCTTTTAGTAGGTTTCTTACATACCAATAGTAACACCAATCATCTATGCCTACTCCTGTATACTTACAATACCCGCAGAGCTTGATAAACCTAATGTCATCAGGATGTCTATGATCGCACTTGAAGAAGGAGTTCGCTATATTAGATTTATCATCTCCATCATAGCCCTCGTCGTAAAGGCGGTATTTAATTATATTATGGTATTGATTTCCTTAATAAGGTCAGGAGTGTTAGCTAGAGCAAGTATTCTGAGGGATATAAAATTTGTGCTGGGTTGTCTAATACCAACGGTTTCCAGGGTATGTCCACAATACAGAAGACCATCTGTGCATTTTCTGGAGAAAGCAGTTGGTGCCAGAGCGGCAGCTATTAAAACAAGGTGCATTAACTGCATAGTGAAGGACACTGTCACTGAGGGTAAGGATTAAAAATGTTTGTACCGGCTTTGTTTAAGGCCGAAGAAGAAAATGAGCGGTCGAATAATAGGGGACAGTGATATTTATCATCTCTCTGGGGTAAGCACTTATTCACCTTACCAACTCCTAACTAATCTGCATGCTATGTGCCCGCATCATATTTACATCAGGATCCTCAGGGTGTAACTGTGACAACATATACTTGACCCTGTACCAAAACCCATTTCCCGAATAGGTTAGTGGCATTATGTGACAAAACTTGTGTACTTCGTCGCACAAACACCTGAGTCAACACCTAAGTCCCTCTCGCTCCTCCTTTTTATTCTCTCTGTGCTTAAAACCTTTGTTAAATAGCCTTCTAGATACGATAAATGCCAATCTAATTAAGGTCATGACAGTAATGTACTACAAGTGGATGCTAATAGGTTCTAGATTATACCAAGATAATCAGCACTTTGTAAAGGTTCTCAGCATTCTCAATTTTCTGTTTGTGAATTTTATGTAATTAGCATTTGATGAATCATTGACAACATACTAATTTTGCTAGTTGGCCTAGTTCGGCAACTGCGGACTTTTATTACCTTGGGCTGCTTAAGACTGCTTAAGAAAGTTAATGCGGCTTTCATCTCCCTCCCCTCAACCAGGTACATGCGATGTGTATATGTTATTGTCAGTCAGCTGAATACATGTATGAGCTAGTATCGCCGATCATATAAGAATATGGATCTGCATTGAGGAGGATAAGGTTTCTAAGGTCTCTAAGGTCTCTAACTAGCTGAATCTATCTTGGAAAATTGAATAAAAAGGTGAAAAAAACGAAGGAATAAAGTCGGACCGAGCGGATACTGAATAAAGGGTAATATATTAGCCCACTTTGGTCGACAGTCATGATACAAAGATCCTTGGAATTCCGTGTATTTAAAACAGCAAGTTAGTTCTAGATTACATTAAGATTGTCCGTAGCCGAATGCCGAACCTGTGGACCATTGAGACGGGGTAGGCTTTATGCATGAATTGAGGAGGGAACAGATCTATAAGAATTAAACACTATTTTTTGAGTTTACAATGTACAGGGAAGGTTAACTATAAACACCCTGTTATTAAGGAAGTTTGGGTTACTACGGAAGTATACGGCTCTATAACAAGTCTATGACTTTGATATGACATCTTCACATGCTGAGATATAGTAGCAAACGTGTCACATTATATACCTCTTCTGGGTTCTAGGCCAACATACCTAGATAAAGTTACCTGGACTGACGCATGCATCGAAGTTCTTGTTACGGGTTACGCTAATATATGTTAATACTGTAAACTGGACTAACAAAAGGGTTCAATTTCTTCTTACCCATCATACCTGTCCAGAGGCAGATAGATACATTCCATAGACAAATATAGTTTATAGATAGATAAAAGCCTGAGACTATTAACTGGAGACCCGTCATATCCATAGACAGCATAGGAAGTTGGTCAGATGCATAAATATGGTTTCTATGTCCGCAGCCATTATATGCCATTCAGATAATGCCGCGCTTTGTGTACAGAGTACAGTATATCACTAACTACCCTCAGTATTTTCGCAACTTTAAATCATTATCTTTACTTGCGAGTCCCACCTTTGCATTCGCATAAAAGATATAGGAAAACCTAACATAGTAGGGGAAAACCCATGTCAATGCAACTTAGAAAATCAAAATCCAACCAGACCAGGGCGCAAAGATCCCCTTCGCGGGACTCTTTCTGTTCACTCGGAACATGCCGTTCATGATCCTGACCAACATGTGTACTCGACTCGGCCTAATTAATGGTGCACTAGGCACGGCTGTAGGCATCGTAATAGATCCAACTGGTAAGTCTGCTTTATATCAGCTGTGTACATAGGCCTAATGCTCTCCAATCAAGCACAATTTTCCCGCATCAATGACCTTTTTTATCATGTGCAACTGGCCCCATCTTGTTTTCTATATAGACAGGTGAGATCTGCTAGGCTAGAATTTGACGCCTGGAACCGTCAATTGTCCCAATTTTCCCTTTGGAACGATCTGTCATCATTAAAGGTCTCTTGGTAGCGAAAACAAGTGCCAATGTGTCCGGCGTTTTGTCTCACCGACTACAAGGACCGGGGCTCAACCGTCAGAACGGTCACCCTCGACCTCAAAGATGACCCCAGAAGGCGTGGCCAGGATAGACACAGGAAATACTGTTCTATGCACGCCCAACTATCCAGGCTGAAATCTTCCAAAGGACTCCATCTTTCGCATAGGCTGGACATGAAGGATCTCCAATTTTTACGCCTGATCTGGAATTGACCAAGGAAATGCAAAGATTTCACGAACTAGAAAAAGAAACGGTTGATGAATGGACTTCCGAGATGACTTTACATAACCACTACATTGATGTATCAGACTCATCTGTATACCGGATTTGTGACTTTACTTTTCCTACTAGGTCCCGTTTTCTTTTGGTGATATACATAAACGTTTTAGTGTAATTTTCAATTTTGACGCTCAAGCGTGGTAGAACACGTAGCAGAACAAATCCAACCTTATATTAAAGTTTAATTTACTCTCCTTGATCAGCAACGAACGTCATCATATATAAGAGCTTGTGGATGCAGGAAGCGGAGGGAGGAAGAACCCGCAAAACAAGCTGCTGTACAGCTTCGGAATGATATCAAATAGGCTAATAGAGGTAAGAAAAATGTTATAGAGCTAATTGTAGTAATAAAAAAGGAAGATGCTCATGAGAAAGTAAGGAAGTGGAAGAGGTACCTATTACAATAAACAGTCGAGGAAGACAAATAGGGCTTCCACAGCAATTCTATGACTCTAAAAACTAGTTAAATAGCTTCACTATATCTTGCATTTGACTCTACAAGAAATCCAATCATTTAATGTTTTCGTTGTGGCTGTATAGCTTCATTTCTACTAGAGTAGTTGACCCGAAAATCAAGCGTCAGGTGATCGGGTACGGTATGGATCATTCTGTCCCCCGCATAGTTATGGAATGGGCAATCCACCCTGACGTCAGCTGGTCTCCCTGCCATGTTTTTCAGTGGCTCCAATCCGGCTGGAATGAGCTGGAATGAATAATTGTCTGGTCGAGCGTTCATGATTCAGCACTGCATCCATGGTCAAGGCTCGATCCCTCGTGAACTCTGTCCCATTATTGGATCATCCTGACTCTCGACCTTTTGCCATCGAGATCCGGGATGAATGACTGGGAAGCTAGTACCAGGATGATGCAGCAGTAGCAGCAATCCCTTTATTATCCCAAGGCTGACCGCCCGACCCCTCTTTGTGGACAATCGTCTGCTATATATGTACCACTCGACTAGTTATTTGACTCCTTGGTCAGAAGTTTGACAGATAGAAATTATTACTAGCCCTTGAAACCAGTAAGTGACTGTCCCGCGTATTCCTCTGGCATCTGGACAATTTCCACTTTCGGCGTTTTATCTGCTGGATGACGTCTGTATTTTTATGATCGACCACTTTAACCACCATCAAGAGGGGTGCTTTAGGTTCTGTGTTTGATGCATTACTTGCCTCTCAGCTGTCTCACCCCTGCAGCAGGCGCTCACTGATTAATTCAAAAGACGTACACCCCATTACTTCAATCCAACATGAGCAACCAGGATCCGCAGTCTCCTCGTCACTGGCACGGTTCCATTGGTGATCGACATGAGCATCACAACGTCTGGGTAGTAGGTGGTCCTCCACAGACCTACGTCGGCCACCGACCTTCTATGAGCGAGACTGCCAATGCTATGGCTGACAGGCGTGTATGTCTGGATAGTCCTCTGCATAGCAGATAGTACCTAGTGTCGACTGCATGCTGACTATTGGGAATCAATCCCATCCAGGACTCTGCGTCTTCCGCGAGGCCTGCGACTAATAACACAGGCAACAGTCCACCCGTGGCTCCGGACAGGAGACGCTCCAGCGGTCATGGACCGTCGACCCTCTTCGAGAGTTTGACCAGCCAGAAGCGAAATTCAACTGATGCTGCCCGCCGAGCGAGCTTCCATGACCAGTCTCAACAAGGAGGTTTCTTCTCCAAATGGTGGGAAGGGTATACACGCGGCAAGTAGCCTAGCCTGAATGCTCCGATGTCGAAAAGTTCAATAAGAGTATGGAGAGTAAATGTCACCGGTTGCATCTACAAATATAACTGTCATTTCTCTGTTGTATTGCTGCATTGGTATATTTGGTTTCGTGAATGATGTGGTAGCTTATTCTGCTGGCTGGAACAGGATGGGAGGAATTCAGGGAGATTGATTCTTGTGTGGAATACATCCATATTATCTCAGAACGGACGATCGCATTGTCTTCTGACGCACTTTCTTTCTCCTGCTGGATCTGTGATGCTGTGTTGGCTTTCTGTAATGCAAAGTATTTGCAACTGACCTGGAGGTGCAAGTCAACGCGTCAGGTAAATCTGCTTAAGAGGTACGATGCTCTTACTTTGAGCATGGCTTTCATGGGAAGGTACAAGATACCCCACCGTCAGGGGTGTGCCAGCCGCATAGCTGAATAGGTCGTCTACGACTAATACAACTACAGAGGCCATATGTGGGCCTACCTGCTGGACAAGGGACTATGTGTTCGGCAGGATCGTCGGCCGAAAAAGAACCAGACAGGGAACTGGACGCCGAATGGTGCCATCTCAGTCAGGGTGGGCAATTCTTACCCTCAAAGCAAGTGCTGGTCTCGAGCAACGTTGCTAGGATTACAGGGAGAAGAATGACCCGCGGATCTGAGCTAAGGACGAGTCCCAAAGGCCAGGAAGTAATCCATGCAGCACCATCTAGGCGATTATGCACGGGAAGCATCATGTAATACTTTTCATCAATGGTTATGCGGAAATCATCACCCTTTGTGAAGCCTTCATTGTGAAAAGTGGATGCGTTTGAATATTGGTAATTTGATATCTAACACGGTTATTCCTCATGTCGTGATAGAAAAGAGCATTTTCAAGCAGACCGCCCCCATCTGCCTTTTTTTTTATTGATTCATCATAAACACAAGCCCAAGGCTTTCCCCCTTCTGAAGACCCCAATCGGATAAAACCATTTACCGCACGATACCGTCGAAGCGGTTCTTGAACCACTTGATGGTCTCGGTTTGGGTGATGCGGTGGTTGGTGCCAATGCGGGCCTTGCAGCGGCGGCGCTTAGCAACACGCTCGCCAGGGCGAGTCCTACAAATTTTAGGTCAGATTTTCTCCGAGTTGTTTCCATAATTGGGGGGAACACTCACATGCAGCAAAAGAAGTCCATGCCGTAGATACCGATGCCGGGGTCGTACTTGATACCCAGATCAATGTGCTCGCTGATGCCGAAGCCGAAGTTACCGGTCTCGGAGAAGTTGCGCTTCTTCAACTCGTACTCCTTAACCTTGAGGCCACGCTCGAGAATCTCCTCAGCCTTGGGGCCACGGACGGTAACGTGAACGGCGATCTTTTCGTTACGACGAATACCGAACGTACGGACGGTGTAGCGGGCCTTGCCTATAGATCACAATAAAATATCCCCCGTCAGTCACACCGTCCCTTCTCAAGCATTTCGATATTTTTAATCGGATTCGATTCTATTGAAGTTGGGCGTCCTTACTGTAGACTGGAGTCTGACCGCTCAGCTGCTCAAGAACCTTAGCAGCACGAGTAAGTCTGTCACCAGACTCTCCGACACTGATGTTCAGCACGAGCTTCTGGATGCGCAGCTCGCGCATGGGGTTTGCGCTCTTGTCCTTTCCTTCCGACTGCATGGCGATTAAAACGTTAGAGTCAAAATTCTAGCAGGTGATTGATTTGAAGGTTGTTGCGGGAACGGTGGTGGTGAGATGGGGCAGTGACATACCATGGCGACGGCTTTGGCGTGAACTGGTCGACTCGTTGGATGCAAGATTCGAAAGATCGAAAAGTGTGCAAAAGGGAGTGTGTGGGTTGGGAAAGGAAGCGAGAACCCTTAGCGTCTTGGCGCTGTCGACTGGCGCTAAACGCAGAGCCGCGTCTGGATCACGTTTGCCGCAGCTTCAGTGAGCGACTTAACACTCCGAGCTCCAGCCTGCCTGAACCTCAGTTTCCCCACAGGCGTATCGTGCAGATCTAGTAGAAGGCCTCTCTTCTACATTGTCTCACGTCTATTCTTTGGTTTTAAAATTTGGGAGTCGCATTCGTGCGCACCTTTGTAGCCACCATGGCGGCCAACAAACAGGGCAAGATGGTAAGTCTGTCCAACTTCAACTGCCTCAGTCCATTCTGTCGTCTGCTATCTAGGTCGGGTGTGCTAACTGGGCTTTTCTTTTAGCAAAACCTTGTAAGTAAATGAAGAGCCTTGTTGTGTGGTGGCGACTAGAAGCTTAACGTCTTTCAGATCAACTATCGGATGAGAGTGACCCTGAACGATGGCCGACAGATGACGGGACAGATGCTCGCATTCGACAAGGTAAAATCAACTTTAATCACCTGCATGGGCTTCGTTTGCTTCCTTTTCCTTTTTGTGTCGCATCACTGACATGTATGCCCCTTTAGCATATGAACCTTGTCCTCGCCGATACAGAAGAGTTCCGTCGCGTTAAGCGGAAATCCAAGCCTGCCGCTGGGCTCTCGAATGCTCCCTTAGTGGAATCGGAAGAAAAGAGAACCCTTGGCCTTACGATTGTGCGTGGGACTCATGTCGTCTCTTGTTCGGTTGATGGACCACCCCCCGCCGATCCTTCCGCACGACTTGGAGCGAGCGCCCCTGGCGCCGCTGCCACTCTCTCTGCTGGCCCTGGAATTAGCAAACCCGCTGGACGTGGTCTTCCAGTTGGCCTTGGTGGCCCGGCTGCCGGTGTTGGAGGACCTCCTCCTCCACCAGGTGGTTTCCCCGGTTTCCCTCCAGGTGGTTTCCCAGGCGCTCCGCCTCCAGGATTTGCTGGCCGTGGAGGACCCCCAGGAGGACCTCGTAAGTGCCTTGATAGCCCCTCTTTCAGTATTCCTATGAAGATGCTAATCCGTGTGATTTAAAGCGGGCTTTGCTCCGCCTCCAGGATTTGCACCCCAGGGTGGTCCACGTAAGTCTCTATCTTGTCTTTGCTACAGTAATCCCACTAATATATCTTAATCTAGCGGGCTCATTCCAACCTCCACCAGGATTCCAGCCCCCCGGTCAGGGTCGGGGATTCCCTCCGCCGGGATTTGGAGGAAGGTGATTTGATTGTCTGGCGGACTAGGTATGATTGATTCTTGTATTTCCGGCCATGGGCGAAGTATGGCAGCGTACATGGGTCGGATCAAGAAATAAAATACAAAAAACCCCTATCATATACACACGCCTGTTCACGGAATAGGCCCAGCACCCCTATTTGAATCAGGCAAAGGCGTTGAGGCGTGTGCGGATGCTGGGAAATGCCGAGAAAAGAAAAGGTCGAGTCGAGAAGGCATTCGAGGACCGGCGGGAGTAATGCTAGTTTATGCTGCATGCACTTATTCTACTAGTGGAATCATAATACTCGTATGGATTTTCCTGGGAGATTTTTATCCCTCTCTCTTCGCTCTGTAAAAGTACCTGGGACATGTGCACGTGACATCCCCGGCTGACTCCGCAGTCGGTGATGGCAAAATAGCTTTGTGTTCCTGAATCAGCTCGCGTTCATTTTCCCCTCTCCTAGCAAACTCCTATATCCGTCAAAATGGCCGCTGCGATCAAGGCAATAAATGCGAAGATCCGTTCCAACAAGGTCCTGGATTATTTCTGCTCAACACGTACGTACACTCTGTGCGCTTCCACTTCCATATTCGTTGTCACCGAGATCGGCTGGCAGCGAGAACTGCAATGGTACAAAAACAATGGGCGGAGTCACGGCGGTGCCGTCAATAATGAGTCGCTAGGGAAAGACAAAAGGCCCTGGTTGACTTGTTTTTGTTTTTTGTTGAGGACGAAGAGCGAGTAGCTGACTGGATCTGTGAATAGATTTCTGGGGCCCCGCGTCCAACTTCGGTATCCCTATTGCAGCTGTTATGGACACGCAGAAGGATCCTGAAATGTACGTCTGACTGAAATTGACATTATTTCCCTGAAATTTGTTGAGATACTATATTGGCCCTGATGTCCCTGATGACACTGTATCTAGCGGGGAGGGAAAAAGAATGGGAAGAATAAGAAGAACTGACCTTGCCACCAACAATCGAATAGTATCTCTGGCCAGATGACCGGTGCTCTGACCATTTATGCCGCGACATTCATGCGCTACTCTCTTGCCGTTACACCCAAGAACTACCTCCTTTTCGCCTGTCACACGACAAACTTAGGCGCCCAGCTTACTCAAGGATACCGTTATATGAACTACTGGTAGTATGTTGGCACTCGAACTTTTTTCCTTTCAATCCATACCCACTCCTTGAATTCACGATGCTAATATGGTACCGTTTGTCAGCTGGGGAGGTCGTGATGCTAAGCTCGCTGCTGAGGCCGCGCAAAAAGGCAAGGAGGCCACCGAGGCCACCGCATAAGTCCGATGTGGGTTTGATTCCCTTCTTTATTTTTTGTTCCTTTTCTGGTGAACTGCCTGACTGGAAGGAATCCCATTCTTATATATCAGCTTTAGTTTCTAGACAATACGAAGATTTGGAAATGACCGCCTGAAAGATGGACAATTCTGCAGTGCCTATGGGGATGTATAGATATCTTCTTATCTACTCTGATCATGGTGTTGAACTGGAGGATCAAAGAATTCCTTTTGGCAATGGTGAAATAGTTCATGCGGCGTTAGCCATTGGCATTCTGGTTGGCTTAGACATTGACACTAGGACATGCTAAAAAAAAAACGAAAAAGATGAATGATCAGTGTATGTTCTTGTTGTGAGTTGAGGGCTGTGTATGATGTGGCTGTTCTCATAGCAAGGTCTTCATTTGTCTTTAGTTATTTTTTTTTCTTCCTCTTTTTTTGTATATATCGTTATGCTAACACTAGAATGTACTGGTCAATCTCATATTTTTCAATGCATCTATAGAGTACTTGGGTCGGGGCTGATGGACAGAAAATTTCTTCGTAGGAAGCAGGCTATATCTATATTGACCAATTTAAGTACAATGTCTATTCAGGGTACATACACGATGACACAACCAAGCCGAGAAACAAAGAGAGAGAAATGTGCTTAAGAACGGGCATTTGGATTGCAGAAGAGTTTTGCAACATGGCAGCAGACATTCACATGATTGGACGCCTATTCCAAAGCGACCAGTGCTTTAGCACAGAAATGTTGAATATTCCACGATGACAGACATAAGTCTATACCGAGCGCGAGTCGCAGTATCCAGGGGCCTTATCGTCTCCTCCTCCCACCCAGTTGGACATCGTCAACGCGGTCGTATAGATACAAGAAACCACTCCAAAGCAGGAAAGAACGATGTCAGCGATCTGCTGACGTCTTGACTGAGCACAGGCCTTTAGGTGCAATAGAGGCTACATACAATTAGTTAGTGATGCGTTGTCCGTACGAAGAAGATTCCGCAATGGATGACATACCGGATACACGTAAATCAAAGGGACACAGGCAAAGCTGCCCACGAGTGACACAAATTTGTCAAGATCATCTGCCCCGCCCCAAGCTACAAATGCGCAGACCATAACAAGGAGAAAGCGAAAGCAATTCTTCTCCCATTTAATCTTGGGGTTATACTTGCCGCTGCGCGTGAACAGCTCATTTTCCATGATCCGAATGGCAGGGAAGAGCTGCAGTGGTGTACTCAGCAGAATCGCCAGAGAATAGAGGAATTGCACGGCGTTGACGAACTTGTCGTCCTGAGGAAGGTTGAGAATGACCACCGTCTTCGTTGCAGATCCATATGCTGCGTAACTGAGAGCACCTGCAGAAAGAAAAATGATTGTAATGATGACCATGACTCCAGCGAGGACACCCGGAAATTGCCGCGGCCGCTTCATGGACTCTTGGATAGGGATGATGAGCCCGATTCCCTCATAGGTAAAGATAGCGGTGCCTATGAAGAGCGTCCATGTGGAAGGGTTGAAGGAGACGATGTCGGAAACGCCGTTCTGCGCAGTGATAGTCAAGATGTCGTAGTAGTAAAGATATATCAATCCCATCAGAATAAACACATCCGCAATCAACGCAGTAAAACCCAGCTTGCTGATATCACGAATCAGCGAAAGAGGCAGAAAAATGACCAACTGCATCAGCACCATGAATTTGATGTCAATGAAAGACTTGCAGTTGCTAACGGCAAGAACAAATGCCTGCAGGTTCTCCGCTGTAAACACAATGTATGCAGACACAAATCCAAGCTGGCTCAGCACGATCGAGCCAAGGATAATACGTCGCATGTTCTTTCCATACAAAGCGCCACCAATGTCACCAAATGACCCGTCCACTTTCAGCCGCGTGTTTACCAGCAAGATGAAGGCATAAAAGCTAAGCAAAGATACCCCAAGCAATACGATACTGCTGAAGAGCATGCCGCCATTGAGAAAAGCCCTAGGCAAGAATAAGACCCCTGTACCGACGAAAGATTTCAGTAAAAGTAGAGCCGCTCCCGTCCTCGTGTTGGTACCGGTTCCTCCACGCGGTTTCCGCTTCCTCCTACCATGAGCCTCCGGACGAAGAAGGGCGGACTCTTCTCCGGGTTCCCAGACTTCCTCATCCCACGTCCCGGAGGAAAAGTACTCATCAGGTCCTAAGACCTCATCATCTTCCTCCAGCTCTTCGCCTGCGAAATGGCCGTAAAGGGTTAGGAACTCTAGGAAACTACTGGTTGGAAGCTGAGGTTGGAAGGCGGCCGTTTGCAGCTCCGAGTTATCCCCTTCTCCAGGAAGAGGCCCTGCTGCCCTTCGTATATAGTCACGTCGAAATCCTCCTGGTACTCGGATGCTATTGATGTTCGTCGTCTCATCTTCTGGTGTGGGCCGATTGAGGCTAAAACTCTTGCTTCGGTGGGGTCGTTTCGCAGAGTTGCTCGATTCTGCATCCTCCGCCCACCTGTAGACCTGTCTCGTAATGTCACCTCCTTGCAGCTGTAAACTAGAGAATTCATCGTCGGCGTTGCTCGTAACGTCGCCAGAAGAGTGAATATCGCGGTTCTCAATGACGTTTTGCGGGTTCACCAGGTGCCTTCGAATAACTTCGGGGTCTTCGTACGGTCCTGCCGAGTACTCTGAGGTTGGCTTGTTGTCGAATGAACCATAATTGGATTTGATTGGCTGGGGTTGTTGCAAGAAAGGGGACGCGGTGCGCCTGGGTGGTGTCCCAAGCCTTGGAGGTGAGCATCCAAGGCTTTCTTGAAGGCCAGAAGCGATCATGGACTGCCCAGGGCCCGGTAGCGAGGACGGGTTGTCGACTTTCCGGTAATCATGCTCGGTGTTGGGTGCCGCACTGATCGGCACTGGCACTTGTCGGGACGAGAAGGAGGTGGATAGAGAAGGGACTGGTGAGGCAAGGCGTGCTATGGAAGCTTGTCTCAAAGCGTCTAGACCAGGAGACCCGGTACGCACGTCGGCCGTAGAGATGGGCGTGGAATGATAACCCTGTTGGGATGAGGAACCCTCCCCATTGCCTGGGATGTCGGAACAGGCCATATAGGACGTAATTTAAGCGGGTTGACAAGGAATTTATATACCTGGATATCGCTTGCCAAACACGACTTCTCATCTGATTTCAAATCCTCGCTTTGGTGCCCAGATGTAAAAAAGCGGAGATGGGAGGAAGAGATGGGAATGGTTGGGTTGGATCGATACCTTAGATCGGGAGCAGTAGATCCACAAGAAAAAACAAACAAGAGAGGTAGAGAGCTGGTCGAATCCCTTCTCCCGGATGTGGACAAACAAGAGACAATCGTCGAGTTCTGTATAGACGCCCCGAGAAGTCACTGGACCGGGACTTTGCACTGTTTGCACCGCATGAAGTCATCGACCCTCGCCCAGGCAAATCACGGCGATGGACGACCGCCTCCATCCATTACACTTGACTCTGTGTTTGGATTTGATTGTTGGTTCCGATCCACCATAGTCTTGGCTGTGTGGGAGTGCCCCCTGTTAGACAGGGTCGAATGTGTACGCCATTCACTCCTCCACTGCTCTTATTTTCCCACTTCTACCAGTTTGGAAGCCATCTTCGATGCAGAGCGGGCGGAACCAAATCGCCTCAGAGCCTATGCCTCGGGGAAGGCCGAACTTCTCCACACGAACGGCAGAAGAAGATGTTTCTAGATTGGCTCCTGGTGATTCAACACATGCATCTCCTGAGGAGTCCAGGTTTACCGACCTGAGAGCTGCGCTTTCTTTTCGTCCTTACGAACCGCTGAATTCATCGTCTTGCTCCTCCGGACGACAGCGTCACTCAATGCCTTGGAATTTCTTTGGGGATATCTATCGGTGGCGGAGTCAACCTCGAGATGATGGAGAACAAGATGCGTCGCCGGAGGAAAGGATGCGTCCAAATGTCTCTCTGCCTCCTGGTCCACTCCGAGAATCAAGCGTGAATCCAAAGGAGAAGAATGATCAGAAAAATCGCTCCGTCGATGGTAGTGAAAAGTTTGGAACGTTCTCTGGGGTGTTCGTCCCCACAACACTCAATGTCTTGAGTATTCTTATGTTTCTTCGGTTTGGATTCATTCTTGGACAAGCTGGCGTATTAGGAATGTTAGGTACTGTCACCCAATCTCTCTCTTTTGCAAGGATTTCAACTAGACAGATACTGACTCGGCCTGAAGGTTTGCTTGTTGTATCGTATACAATTAACCTGGTGACTACAATGTCCCTTTCTGCCATTGCGACCAATGGAACGGTCAAGGGGGGTGGTGCGTACTACCTGATATCTCGATCGCTGGGGCCAGAGTTCGGTGGCTCGATCGGAATAGTATTCTACCTGGGCTATGTGCTGAATACGGGTATGAATGCTGTCGGTCTAGTTGACTGCTTCACTCAGAATTTTGGGACCAAGTCCGGCACCTGGGCCAATTTTCTTGAAGAAGGGTTCTGGTGGCAGTATCTCTGGGGAACCGTTGTCCTGGTGCTTTGCACTACCATTTGTTTGGCCGGGAGCTCGATCTTCTCTAGAGCGAGTAATGGATTACTTGTCATTTTACTGCTGGCTATTTTCAGCATTCCCGTCTCCGCATTATTCATGAAACCATTCAGCATCCCGGACCTTGGAGTAAATTTCACCGGTGTCCGGCTTCAAACGCTCCTGGAGAACCTTAAGCCTAGGCTCACCAAAGGAGCTGCTGGGAGTCAACTCAAGGGAAGAGAAAATTTCCAGGACCTCTTCGGAATCCTGTTCCCAGCAACTGGAGGTATATTCGCGTAAGTACCTTGCTGCTTAAGATAAGGACATAAGACTCATGCGGCTACAGTGGTGCAAGTATGTCCGGTGACTTGAGAAACCCCAGCCGATCTATCCCCAAGGGCACGCTCTCGGGCTTGGCTCTGACGTTTATCACTTATACCGTCGTAATTCTGGCGATGGCGTCGTCGATAACAAGGGAATCATTCTATAAAAATACGAACATTGTTCAAGCTGTAGGTACTCAGGGAGACAGGGGGTTGGTTCATTTATTACTATTGCTAAAACCAAGTGTTCCAGACAAGTCTCTCGGGCGTGGTTATCCTTCTGGGTGAATTCGCTACGTCTTTTTTCTCCTCATTAATGGGAGTCATTGGCTCTGCAAAGCTTCTACAGGCAATCGCACGAGACAGTTTGCTTCCTGGACTAAACTTCTTTAGCAAAGGCACCATGACAAGTGACGAGCCAGTCCATGCGATTTTTATGACTTTTGCAGTCGCTCAGCTCACCATGCTTTTTGATATTAATCAGATTGCGTCCTTCGTCACCATGACATACCTTATGACTTTCTTGGTAATGAACCTTGCATGCTTCCTCCTGAAGATCGGGTCTGCACCCAATTTTCGGCCGTCCTTCCATTACTTCAATTGGCAGACGGCTGCAACTGGCACGTTGGTGAGCGGGGCCAGTATGTTCTTTGTCGACGGCGTGTATGCTACTGGTTGTGTAGGCATCTTAGTCGTGCTGTTTCTGCTGATCCACTATACTTCCCCACCAAAGCCCTGGGGCGACGTCAGCCAAAGTCTGATCTACCATCAAGTGCGCAAGTACTTACTGCGCCTTCGGCAAGAGCACGTCAAATTCTGGAGACCCCAGATCCTTCTTTTTGTGACTAATCTGGACGATCAGTTCAAAATGGTCTCGTTTTGCAACTCCCTTAAGAAGGGAGCCTTATTCGTGCTGGGCCACGTTCTTGTGACCGATGACTTTACTTCTGCAGTACCGGAAGCTCGCCGCCAGCAGAGTGTGTGGACAAAATTCGTGGAAAACTCAAAGGTAAAAGCGTTTGTCAATATTGCGGTATCTCCTTCTGCGGAATGGGGCGTCCGAAACGTTGTGTTGAACTCTGGCCTTGGGGGCATGCGACCAAATATCGTGATTATTGACCAATTTCGAAGGGATCGGTCGTTGGCTGAGATCCTACAGCCTTCCATCTATAAGAGGGATCCCAACAGCCGACGTAACTCTCGCGACTTGCTAGCAGAAGCTTCGGAGAATGACGTACAAAGCCCGCCAATGAAATGCCAGAGCTACGTGACGATACTGGAAGATCTTCTGTTCAAACTGCGAATCAATGTTGCTGTGGCTAAAGGGTTTGAGGACCTTGAGCTTCCTGGCCCCCAAGGCCAGCACACGAAGCAATATATCGACCTTTGGCCCATTCAAATGTCTGCCGAGCTTGGGGCCGACAGTGAGAGCAAGCAGAATGTCCTGACCAGCAACTTTGACACGTACACGCTGATACTTCAGCTGGGTTGCATCCTTAACACTGTCCCATCGTGGAAAAAGACCTATAGGGTTCGGGTGGCGGTGTTTGTGGAGTACGAAACAGATGTTGAGGATGAGCGCGGAAGGGTTGAAGCACTCCTCGAGAAATTGAGGATTGAAGCGGAAGTTTTGGTCTTCTGGCTCGCATGTGGTGACCTGCATGCTTATCGAATCATAGTGAATGGTGATACTTCGCCTGAGACTGAGGACTTTCAAGAAAGAGTCCACACCACCCTGAAGGATGAAGAGTGGTGGCAAGACCTTCAGACAGCACGCCGGACCGTAGGAGAGTCTCCAAGCCGGGAGAGTGTCCCCAGCTGGCATGGTGCTTCAAGCCACGACCATCAGTCAAAACAGTCGAGCCAATTGGTTGGCGGGTTGAGGAAATTCGTTCAGTCCTCTAAGCGACGACGCTCCATTTCCAGCGTCAGGGGGTTTGGAGGTGTCAGCCTCGGCATGCAGACCCAACGCTTACTTGATGCCTTCGTTGATTACGATAAATCGGATACTTCTTCGAGCAATTGTAGTGACGATGGTGAGTTCGAGCCTTACTGCGATGACAGCGGGGAAGATGATGTTGGCGAGGAATCGGGCGATGAAACTCAGGACAGTTTGCCTGGGCCTGCAGCATTACACAAAACAAAACGGAGGGAGTCTAAAGGTACGCCTGTCGCTCGACAGGATATTCCAGCCATCGTCGTCCCGGACGAAGATGGTTCTCCCAAAAGTCAAACGAAGACTGCCCGGCCACCTGCGGCCCGTTCGCCTTCCAGTAACCGATTCACCTCTTCACCAATTCCCGAAGCTCGGGTCAATACGAATGAAGATGCGGGCCCATCAATCATGTTTGCGCCGAGCTCATCACCTCCGCGGGCTGGAAACAAAATGACGGAATCGCAGTCTATTTATACGCGCCGTTCATCTTCAGGGACGTCCAACCAACGAATGGCATCGGGGTATCCCCGACAGGCGTCTATCCCGTTGTCATTTAATGATCTCCCCAGTCGGGCGCAGCATCTAATTTTGAACGAGCTGATGGCTCAGCACAGCGGTGATACGGCGGTCATCTTTACGACGCTCCCTTCTCCATTCGAAGCCACGGCGCAAAGTGAGGCGACCAGTGAATCGTATTTGAGTGATTTGGAAGTCCTCTGGCAAGGGCTGCCGCCATGCCTGCTGGTTCACAGTAACAGTATGACTGTGACGATGAACCTGTGACGATGTTATGACAACGTAAACTAGATTTGTGTGGATTAGGTAGAGTTTACATGCTTTGATAATATAACTATAGATAGCTTAAATGCGTGTGGATTTACATCTCGTGTGGTTCCACTAAAGGGTATTGTGATACACAGGATGATGCCTGAAGAAGTTGTCTGATTGTCTGAACTAACCTCTACTGCGTACTTTCTCTGCTCCAGTAAATATTTCCCAAAGTAGACAGTATGAGGCTGTGACCTCGAAACGGATTAGTGTCAAACATGGTATTTCGCGTATACGCAGGAAGTACCTTAATATGTACCTTAATATGCACTGGATCGTTCGAGAATACCTTTAGATACCTTCCGTGCCTAGTATTGCTCTTAGCCTAAAGCAGGCCGTTGACATGGGAGGGCTAATGCACAATTGGGGCACGGTGATTGGTCCCAGGGTCCGGTTCGTCTGTATGGTACGACGAGTATCGTACTAATAGGTACTATACTGTACTGAAAGAAGCACTGCAACTTCAGCTCTCTTCCTTCTCCTGATTTCGCCCCCTCCTCTTCTCTCTCTCCCCCTCTTTCTCGCTCTCTCTTATCAGTCAGTCTTACACAGCCCTCGCGTGATCTCTGCCATGTACGCAGCCAGTCTGGACTAAACCCGACTATCCTCCACTCTCCCCCTTACTAGAATCTGCTTACTGGTTGAGAGCCACAGGCCGCAATGCAGAACGGCCGTGGACGCCACAAGAACGGCAGCGTCAAGGCCTGCAAGGGTAGTCAGCGTGGCTCAATCGCTCCTCTTGTATCCCAGCAACCTCTGACAGCCCGACCGAAAGCCTCCTTTGCCAGCGATAACAGTGTAGACAACTCCGACGCTGCCTCTGTTGCCCTGTCCACCTCCACTGATACCACCACAGCCGGCAGTCCTCCCCCCCAAGCAAAGGCCATGTCTAGGAAAACATCATCGCCGATGGCGCCCCCTTTCATGGTGTCTGCGCCGGGCAAGGTGATCGTGTTCGGAGAACATGCGGTCGTGTACGGCAAGGCTGCCATGGCCGCCGCGATTTCACTCCGATCCTATTTCCTCGTTACCACCCTCTCCAAATCGCACCGCACCATTACCTTGAACTTCCGAGACACGGGCTTGGACCATACTTGGAATATCGATGAATTGCCCTGGGACGTCTTCCATCACCCATCAAAAAAGAAATACTACTATGACCTCGTCACCTCCCTCGACCCTGAGCTGCTCGATGCAATCACACCCCACGCGGAGAGCGTCTCTCCAGGATTGCCAGAAGAGCAACGGAAAACCCATCGACGTTCTGCGCTGGCATTCCTCTACCTCTTCTGCTCTCTGGGTTCGCCCCAGCATCCCGGGGCCATTTACACTCTTCGGTCCACTATCCCCATTGGCGCAGGTCTAGGCAGCAGTGCTAGTGTTTGTGTCTGTATGAGTGCTGCGCTGCTTCTCCAAATCCGCACCCTGGCCGGCCCCCACCCCGATCAGCCTCCCGACGAAGCTGAGACGCAAATCGAGCGGATCAATCGCTGGGCGTTTGTGGGAGAGCTGTGTACTCATGGGAATCCGAGCGGGGTGGACAACACGGTGTCCGCGGGCGGCAAGGCCGTGATTTTCAGGCGTGAGGATTACTCCAAGCCTCCGTCGGTATCTTCGCTACCCAATTTCCCCGAACTGCCCTTACTTCTGGTGGACACCCGCCAAGCCCGTTCCACAGCCGTCGAGGTCGCCAAAGTCGGGAGATTGAAACAGGAACATCCTGTGGTGACGGAGGCCATCCTTGACGCGATAGATAAAGTCAACACGTCCGCGGAGGAGCTCATACGGGACTGTGACCCGAAGGGGGTTTCCGAGGAGACGCTCCAGCGCCTAGGAGCGTTGATCCGGGTGAACCATGGCTTCCTGGTCTCCCTGGGAGTCTCTCATCCCAGACTGGAACGGATTCGTGAACTCGTTGATCATGCCGACATTGGCTGGACAAAATTGACCGGCGCGGGTGGCGGTGGATGCGCTATAACACTCCTACACCCGGATGTGGACCAAGCCGCCGTCGGCGAGCTGGATGACAAGCTCTCCGCGGAAGGGTTTCAGAAGTATGAGACGATGTTGGGAGGGGATGGGGTAGGTGTGTTGTGGCCTGCTGTGCTCCACAATGGAACCGATGAAGAAGGGGGCGAGGAGATTGACCAGCAGAAGTTCGAAAACGCTGATGGCCCCGAAGGAATTGAACGGCTTGTCGGCGTCGGAATGCAGGAAAAACGAGAGGGCTGGAAGTTTTGGAAACGAGCCACGCACTGAAGGGATGCTCCATCTCTATGGTAGACTGTCACCCGATACCCTTGTCGCAGGCACCCTATTCCGAATCGTTGCGGTGCATCTAGATGGCGATTCTTGTCGGTTCTGCTCGTCTGTTACGACCGTTATTTCCTTCATCCCTCCTGTGTTGGGCTCAAAGTTATCTATCATTCATGGCCCGAAGAAAACGGGGGTTCCTCACGATATGCATTTAATCGACATGTTCAGATCTTTTCTTATTTCCCCTTTCTCTAGTATTATTTCTCCAAATTCTCTGTATAAATAATTCATATTCATTTCTATTTCTATTTTCGTTGTCTTATTTTCCCGCCATTTTTCTTTCCTTTTTCTTTCTTTCGTTTTATTTCCCTTTGACGAGTATAGGGCCGTTCCATACTTTTGCATCATTGTGCGATTCTACCACATTCGGGTCCACTGTATTTCCCACTCTTCTCTTTTTCATGTTAAGGGAATGAATCTCCATGTATGGGTGTGTAGGGCTTGGTTAGCATGGAAGGGGCAGGCAGATAGGATCAGCATGAAATGGTTGAATTGATCTCCGTCTCTCGCAGGTACTCACGTAATGTTCATATTCCTACGTGATGTGAAGGTGGCCGCCATCAATCGAATGCATAATCCTTTTAAACAAGAGTCAGGCTCGCATGAGGCCGTGTTTTGCTCCCAATACATTGTTTCTATTCTTGCCCAATATCTTCTTCTGTTTAAGATCCAACCGTGGCCAGGGTATATCGTCCATGTCCAAAAATATTTACAGGTCACAAATGGCAATATACATCTCATTGCATTCATAGGGGAAAAGGCCGAACCCGCCCGTCTCCTATCTATCCCATGGTCGTCTCCCAACATTTTCAATCATGACATCCATCCAGTAGACCCTAGGCTCCCTGGCTTCCAGCAGCCACCGAAACCGATCGAGATCTGTCTGCTGCTGGTGCGGGAGGTCTGGCGTCGGATAGGTTGAAGGCATCGGGTGCGGGATTCTATAGGAATTGTCTTTAGAGGATAGAGTATGGTGAGGATAAATTCAATCAGCCACTCGTTGTAGTAAGCGTCTGTGGTTGTTGCAGCCGTGTCGGTTGAGTCGGCGCGATTCGGATGTATATATGGAGGATCGCAGAACCAGGGCGGTTGTTTAAGCCTGGCTCGGCCATAGTGAGGTGCCAGACTGGGTCTCAACGTCACCGGGGCTGACGATACCAGTCTCTGCGGGGTGGGCCAGGCCGAGCAGTTGTTCTTCTAATTCTCTGGCTCTGTCAATTGTTCTCTGTGCCGGGCGACGTCCTCATGGGAGGTGAAGGCTCTGGTGTGAAGCCGTTTGCGCTCGCAGAGCACGAGTGATTCTTCTGTGTTTGTGGACGTAGTCCCTGACAGGACTGTCACGTCGTCCGCTACAAATGATAGGAGCATTTCCCAGTAGATCCTCTTCGAAAAACTGGTGGTTGTTGCCGTGGTCAGTCCCTGATTCCTTCGACGGGTTGGTATCAAAGTGGTTCCGCAGCAGGTTAAAGAATGAAAACCCCAAGTCTGCTGAATCATGCTAACTGGCAGTCTGGCCGAGCATAAGCAACGCCAAAAGAGACTTGTCGAACATGGTGGCCTCTTTGGTGATCATTTCAATGGCTTCGTTGCGTAATTTGCGGCCCCTGGGGCTGAACTGTGGGGGGGGGAAGTCATTTTACCAGGGTGGCTGCCGCCATACTCTGCATGGCTTTACATATGGCTAGCGACGAGCTCCAGAGATGGGAGACGGTTGTCCGGAAAGGGTTCATCTGGCTGTCGTAGCTTGAGAACAGCACTGCCACCTCTTTAAGGTAGTACTCGATCAAGGACCTGGATGAGTTGTTCAACGGTTGGGGAATTGAGAGGAAGGTCGGTGAGGGGAACTGGATGATGAAGAAAGGTACTAGCGTACGATGGCCGATGGAGAGAAATCCGGAAAAGCTTGCGTTTCATTCTGAAGTGCTGGTGCTGCCAAGGAAAATAAACCCAATGGATTGTTATTGTCGATTTGGCTGGATGTTCCGAAATCAAAGATCGAGTTGCCCTGCTGCGATATTGGCATAGAGGTCACTGATGTCGGAGACTGAGCGCATAGATTGGTCAGTTCTGGAAGTGAGCCTGTTTGCGGAAAACTCCGTAGATCGTCACAAAGAGCGATTGTCTCGTCCACCGCAAAACCCGGTGAGATGGGGGGAACTGTCGGGGTTGAGATTGTTATCACCGCTGTCTGCGACTTGAGGGGACTGCGGTAGTCGATGATCCACAAAACCCAGAGCCCTCTGGTCCAGAGCAACATGACTGAAGTCCAACGATGTAGTATCATGAGGTTTGCCGGTATCATTACTCTCTGGACTCTCATCGGTAGGACACTTAGAGATTGAACATAACCGGGCATTTCACTCCCAAACGGGTACACAGATTACACCGCGGTTTCTCTTCACCATATTTAACCTAGAACGGTGGTTTCTATGGGCCTCCCGCGAGTCGTTGCTTAAAGTAGCAGTAGTAGTAGATTTATGGGCGGGACTAACTCGCTTGCTCTTGCATCTTGCACAGCCGTTACGGCATTTCTTCACCCTGTGCATTTATCGACTCACCCACTGGTGCGGAGATTGAGACGGTGAGGATCGGGGAAGAGCGTAGACCCATGGTCAGCCTGGGTCGGGTTAGATGCATCGCCCATCATTGGAACGAATGACTGGAAGAGGAGAGAGGGGAGAGGGTTTAGTCAGCAGGATTAATGCGGGGGATGCGCCTCAGGCCGCAATCAGCAGGCATTGGCGACCATTGGGGAAGTTTTGCCTTATTGGGATTTCTGAATGCTTGGCACGACGAGATAGACCGGATCAGCAGGAGAGGAGAGGAGAAGGATGAGGATGAGACTGCAATCCTGGAATTGGACAGCAGAATGGTCGGTCAATGGACAGTCATCCCATTGTTGTCCCAGGTCAAGTGACCGCCGCCCAATTGTCCTGTTGCTGCCTCAGGCCACCAGTGGCCACGAGGCCGCCGCCATTTCTGCGCCGCAATTTGTTATTGTTCCTCGGTAGACATCACGTCGAAACACCCAGTATCCTTTAAAAATGTCCGTGTCGTATTCGACAGACCCTGAATGGGCGTCGATTCAACCAATCCAACTGGACGAAGGGTCAGAATCAGGAGCTTTGCCACTGGCGACCATAGCCTATCCACCCGAATATCTGGAAGCTACTTCGTATTTACGAGCTGTAATGGCAGCCAACGAGATGTCGGAGAGGGCACTGAAGCTAACAGAAGATATCATCTCGATGAACCCAGCTCACTATACTGTATGGTACGTGATGCCCTTTTTGTTGAGGTCCCTCGGCGTCTCTTGGACAGAACGACTAATCTGGTGGACTGTGTAGGATCTACCGGGCCAAAATTCTTTTTGCCCTTGAAAAGGACCTCAATGAAGAACTCGAGTGGTTGAATCGGGTATCATTTAAGTATCTTAAAAACTATCAGATTTGGTACGTACGAAGGACCATCTCCAAAGCCATACCTCTCTAACTACCAACCCCAGGCAACATCGTCAGGTGTTGATGTCATCTACAATTCATTTCCCAACTCCTCCACCAAAGGAGTTTGATTTTTTGATGAAAATGTTTGCCCAAGACTCAAAGAACTACCATGTTTGGACCTATCGACACTGGCTAGTCCGACATTTCAAGCTCTGGGACGCTCCCCGGGAGATCCAAGACGTCGAGAGCCTATTGACGTCCGATGTCCGCAACAACTCCGCCTGGAATCACCGATTTATGCTTCGGTTTGGACCGCGCGGTGATGACGAGCCGGATGCCGGGGTACCCAATAGCAACGGCCCGCCGTCCGAGAAAGGCAAGCTGGCCATCGTGGACGAGGACCTTGTTGATGCTGAATTGGAGTACGCGAAGTCGAAGATCATCTGTGCCCCTGAGAACCGCAGTCCCTGGTCGTATGCGCGTGGCGTCCTCCGGGTATCCGGGCGACTCCTCTCCGAGTGGAGAGAGTTCGCACAGAAACTCGTCACGGAGAAGGTGGAAAATGACCAGTTGGTGGATGTGGAGGTGAAGAGTAGCCATGCCCTTGAATGGCTGGCGGATGTGTATGCAGAGGAAGGTGACCATTCATCTACTGCAGCCGTCCGTATGCTCACGCTCCTGAAGGAGAAGTACGATCCCATCCGGAAAAATTACTGGGATTATCGAATCCGGACGATCACGACTTCTGTAGCATCGAATCCAGAGGCTGTTGCTTCGGCATGAAAGATACTATTTAATGAGACTTCATGTGTGAATTCTGGTACCCAACGGTCTTTAACGACTTATCCCATTCTTTATTAAAACCCCGCTTGTATACTGGTAAGACGAAAAGAAACAAGGTCATAAACATTCGTAGCAGACAACAGTGGACAAAAACGAATCAAACCGCAATGGCCCGCCATAAGCATCATGAACAAAACAGAATGCAAAAGTCTATTATTAAATCTTAGTTGACCCAACCTTCCTGGAGCATTTTCCGCCATTCCGCTGCCGTATCGATCGTGATATTGCTCCCACCGCACACGATGATGACCACCCGGCTGTCTGGACACAAGTTAGGGACCATTTGCTTTAGTTTCGACTGCAGTGGTGGACATGGGGAAGCAGCCTCGTCCGCCTCCGACGACCGATCATCCCCATATCCCTCATCTCGCTGCGTGAGGTAATCCTCTGCTTCTCTCTTTCGCTTCTTATTCTGGCCAGGGACCAGGGAGCCCGAGCCTGCGGAGACGGACGCCTTCGCCGCGTCCCCGACGGCAGCCTCTACGCATACTCCGCACGCCAACTCTACCAGAACCCTCTCGTCATCGACGAGACGGAGCACGCCCCTCGCCGCGTCGGCGTCAGAGAGTACAGCACTGTGCACGGCGATGCCCGCCGGCGGGGAGACCGCATACTGGAACGTCTTCTCGGAGACCCGAATGGCGCCGAGCGAGGTGGCCTGGGAGGTAATTTTAGGGAGCGAGACAAGGGAATTCTGAGCCACAGCGGTAGCCAGAGAATCTGTGCCCTTTGTTTCGATGGCGAGGAGATGAATGGGTTTCGATTGTGTCACTGTGACAAGTTGGTTCTTTTTCTGGGTCCGACGGTGTCGTTCAATGCCCATGACCAGTCCGTTCAGAAGTCCGCCACCTCCCACGCTGCAGAGAACAGCGTCAACCGGTAGAGGCCGACCCCGATGTGCGGCCTCTTCCTCCTCCCCAACGGCGGGGGGTAGCTGCGTGACGAGCTCGTCGACAATGGTGCTGTTGCCTTCCCAGATGGGTTCGTTGTCGAACGGATGGAGGGCCACCTTGACCACGTCGGCGCTCTCATTGGCATCTCCGTTCTTCATGATCACGTCTCGCATGTACTCGCCGGCCTCGGAGAAGGTCTCACCGTATTGTATCACGTCGGCGGCGCCCGCAGAGCGCAGCTTCTGCACCATCAACGGTTTGGTGGATACTGGCACCACTACAGTACATGGGTAGCCCAGGCTACGGGCAGCACAGACAGCCGCGAGGCCGGCGTTGCCTCCCGACGACGCGAAGAAATGAACGGGTCGATTGATGTTTTCCGGCTTGATGAGGTGGGAGAGGATCTGGTTGCCCATGGCACGGGACTTGAAGGAGCCACTTGGCTGCACGTTCTCCAATTTCAGGAAAACTCGACATCCGGCAGCACGCGAAAGTGATGCAGATTCCACCAGCGGTGTCTGTATCCATGGTGTTTTGAAGGTAGGCACCGCCTCTTCTGGCGCAATGCTGCCCATTGTGAGAAAGGGGAGAGGTCACGAATGTTGTATTTTGTGTCCGGGAAAGAAGTAAGTTTTCAGAGAGGAAATGTTAATTGGAAATTGCGGGAGAGGCTGGTGGTATTGTACACGCTTTGCAGACGTAGGCTTGTTGAAAGACGCAGGGAAGTATATGAGAGAAATAAGGAGTTGGGGAATCAGCGCCAGAACCAACAATCAGAAATCCGATGGACCAAGAATAGAAAAATGTACTAGCCAAAACAAACCCTTGGATTATATGAACACACACACACTGAACCGCGTATAGTTCTGATATCCAACTTGACCTCTTCCCGAAGGCGAACATCCAAAGTTTGCCGCGGGAAAGTCCCCCGGTTTCCCGCCCCGATATCAAATAGGTTTCATCACCGTGGATCTGGACCATTTTCCGCTGATGACCTTGTGGACAGTCGAAAATTTAACCCCGTGGGTCATGACATAACATAAACTTGCTCATTTGAGCTCTCACTGGTAGGCAGACTAACTCCATCGACGAGGATCGGAAAAGCGGCTCACCGTTCCCAACCCCATCTAGCGTAGGCGGAGAACGATAGCCGTCTTACATACCACTCAGTAAGATTTTCTAGTCTACATGTTGTGGTTGAGTCTGGCCACCCCTTTTTGTGCCAACGGGTGGGCATATCGCGAACCTTACTCCTCAGACAGAAGAGGGGGGAACAGAATTGACTTCCTGACACCTTCCCCATAGTTTGGATCCGAACCTACTGTTGCAGCCGAGAGCCTCCGCTTTGAAGGATCCGTGCTGTCTACACAAAGGAAGTCTAGGATCTCCTTGGCCTTGGAGGGCATAAATGGCTGCAGCAGGATTCCGGAAATCCGGAACGTCTCAGCGATATTGTACAAACAACGAGGGGCGTTCTCTGCGCCCTTCCATGGCTCCGAGGAGTGGATATACTTGTTCGCCTGGTGAATACGCTTGTTAGTATAGAGCGCGTTGATAGCGAATACCCAAGGGAATTTTTTTTTTTTTTTTACCTGGTCAATTAATCCCACGATATCTTGCAGCGCGGCACGAGGATTGAGTTGTTCCATATGCTTCGCCGCATCGACTGGAGTCTTCTCCAGCAGCGCCTGATACGTAAGATCATCCTGATTCGCCGGTGGAAGACCATCGGAGGTCCCATTGATAATGTGCATCCGGAGTTTTCCTTTCGAACAGCCGACCAATCTTGAAGCAAGATTTCCTATCCCCCACTGGAGCAGTTTCTTATAATCGCGAATAATGTACCCATTTTCATAGTCGGAATCCCCCGCTAGACCTCCTTGATAAGCAAGGAAGAAGCGCATGGTATCAACCCCGAAACGGTCGATAGCAAAAAATGGGTTCACCACGTTTCCCGTCGATTTCGACATCTTTTCACGGTTCATGGTCCAATGTCCGTGAACGAGGACATTGTGAGGCAAGGGAAGATCCAACGCCATGAGAAATGCGGGCCAATACACGCAGTGGAAACTGGTACGATCGTCAGTCTCGCACATACCCCACTGCCAAAGCAGAGGCGGGAAAGCCTACCGAACAATGTCCTTGCCGACAACGTGCACATTTGCCGGCCATCCAAGTCGTCCTTCTTGGCCCGGGGGAAACGGATATCCCGCCCTGGTCAGGTAATTGATGAGCGCGTCAAGCCAAACATAGATTGTCTGCGTCCTGTCCCCCGGGACAGGGATGCCCCAATTGAGCCTCTCCACAGGTCTAGAGATTGACAAGTCCTGGAGCCCCGAGGAGACCGACTTGACCACATCAGTTGCGTAGTTCGAAGGAGTGATAAAACCCGTCTTATACAAATCCAGCAGACGATCCTGAAAGGAAGACAAGCGGAAGTGATAGTTCGTTTCCGAGGACCACTCTACTTCTTTCCCAGTCTCAACTGACACCTGTACATGGTAAGTCAACGTGCTGTACGAAGTGTAATAGATAAAATCTTGAACACGTTACCATCCTTTTCCGTCCAGTGGTTGGGTCCAAAGATAATTGCACCTGTGATTTGGGATAAAATGTTTCGTCGCTGACCGAGTACCATCCTTCATGCTTGGCAGTGTAGATGTAGCCCCGATGGCTTAACATTTCCTAGGCACCCCATCAGATTTACCGTTCGAGAATTCGAGATATCCCTCACTACATACCCAGAAGTACTGAACTGCCTCCTTGTGCGCCGGCTCGGTGGTTCGAATGAAATAGTTATTATCCAAATTCGCAGCTTTTGCCAAATCCTACAGACCGGGTGTCAATAAAGCCATTGGCAAATACATATAGTCCTTGAGAGAGATGGCACGAAGCAACCGACCTCGAATGTTTTGTAGTTCTTGTCACAGAAAGCTTGAGTGTCCATGCCGGCGGCGAGTGCTGCCTGCTGAATCTATCGCGTATGGTCAATACTATGAAAGACCCACGCCTACCACAAGCTCAGAAGTACCTTCATTCCATGCTCATCAGTTCCAGTCAAAAACTGAGCATCTTGTTCACCGCTCAGAGTCCTCCATCGCTTAATTATATCGGCGAGGACCATCGTATACAAATGACCGACATGGGGGGCTGAGGAATGGAAGTTCCGTTAGTACAACAACAGTACAACGACCGAGTAGCTGATAGCCAGTGGCTTAGCAACTCACCTGCATTAACATAGAAAATAGGAGTCGTCACGTAGTAGGGTTTCTTTGTTCTTTCAGATGCCGTTGTAGCGTACATGCGTGGAGGAACTGTGGAAGTTGGGCGAACGGTTCTGCAGGAAGCACATTTCCAAGAAGGGCGTGTATAGGCCAGAAATTGACCGGCCCATGATAGAGCACGGAAACGGTCTTTACATAGAGCCATTGGGATGAGGATTACTGAGGTCGCATGAGAAGACGTTGGGAGGATTAAATGACACCCTTCGGACGTGAATCACCGAGTGGTCCAAGCTCTCGCCGTGCTTTTTTTCCGCCGCTCAGTTTGGCTCCTTTCTTTTCTACCTTCACCTCCGCTGTTCTTTTTTGAACTTCAGGTTATTATTGCTATCAACACGGATATTGTTAATATTATTATTGATTTATTTACACTGTCAGCTTCTGTTTGGATCCTATCTACTATATAATACTCTCCCTTCATCGCCTCGGCCGTGGTGAAATCTTACCCTTACAAAATGGCTCCTGCAGGTGAAGATGTACTGACGAAAGTGTCCACGGATGGTATGCGAACTTGACTTGATATCTCCTATTCCTCCTCCCTAACATGTGGTTCCTCTTTAGCGGCGACCGAATTTGTCCAGTCCTTCTACCCTGCACTCCAGTCCAACCGCGCCGCAATATCCTCGTTCTATAACCAGCCCACCGGAACGATCTTGTTCAATGGAAATACTGTCGCCGATGGTAGCGCAGTCCAGGAGATCTTCGTCAATCAAATGCCTCCAACACATTACGAGGTACAGTCATTTGACTGCCAGATCATCAACCCCACATATCCTACTCCTACGACAGGTGGTCTGAAACTACCCAGCCAGACGACAGTGAAGGACATGTCCATTCTGGTGGTTGTGAGTGGCTTTGTGCGCTTTGGAGAATCGAGAGACCTACCACAACGAGGGTTCAGTGAAACCTTCGTACTCGTACCGAATCCTTCAGCTGATGGGCCTAAGGGAAGGCGTCGGAAAGAATGGCTTATTCAAACACAAAACTTCCGACTTGTGGTTTGAACAGACGCGGTATTTAAGAAGAACAAATATGTTTATTATGGAGGTGGAGGTGGTCATTATACACCCTAGCACTATGAAACGGGGATGATTTTTGGGTATGGGGCTCAAAAACCAGTGGACTCAATTTGGTTGGCCGTACGGCCAGAAAGGACAGGAGATTTCAAGAGCGCCAGAAACGCACGGAGCATGCGTGAGGATGGAAATAAACGAAGAGCAACTTGCGGATCGACTAGGACTATGAGCTTCCGGTCTTCGGTGGTACACGCAAGTTCGCCTTGACCCGTTCGAGCAGCTCTTCACGCGAGGCATTTTCATTCGGCAAGAACCCTCTCTATGAGGTTGTTGTCATTGTCAGGATTACCCATTGCTATGCGCCTTGTTTTTATTTTTGGAATTTGAACTGAAGGGAACATACAACATGAAGCCATCTTCGCATTTCATCGATAGTCCAGTTGGCAGGATCTTTCTTTGGGTCAGTTCTATACGCCCCGGGTCAAATGGGTTGGAGCTTACCCCCTGTTGGATCTGATTCTGTAGGGAACATGTCGCTACCCCAGATGGACCAGGCAGCCGCAGCTGCGACCATTCCGGCAAACCCTAGAATATGATTAGATTGGAGTTTCGTGGACTTTTGTCGAGGTATGATATATGGTACCTAGGAAAAGGTTCTGGGAAACATGTCAGCTAGTGCATGTGATTTGGTCCTACATCTGGAGATTAACCTTGGAGTGCATTGCTCGATCTAACATAGTTGGCATATTTGGAAGATAGCTTAGTATGATCCTATGTATGAATAAATAAATCTTTGAAACCGTCCGTCGATGTAGACACCTTAGACATGCTCATGTTCCCGATCTAGATACCCATTCAAATGAATAGTGGCGCCTAGTCCCCGCATCATCTGCCTCAGGCACCAGACATTGCAGCCACTGCAGCCACTGCAGCCACATGGCGCAGCACTCAGGGCTCGGGCCGCACAACCCTAAAGCGGCAGAATCCCACACAACCGCCTCGGTCAAAGACGACATCGAGATCGACTCGAGAACGCCCGATTCCGCCTCTCATCACGACAAACTCACGTCTCCAATTTCTGCCCACCATGCCTCGTGAAGTCTCCGACATTAAGCAGTTCATCGAGATCTGTCGGCGCAAGGATGCCTCCTGTACGTTTTTCCATGCCTCTATCCGTACACGTCTCGAGGGACCAGAGCTCCAGGCAGGAGCTCCGGCTGGATGTTGCGAAGCTCTCGGTGCTAACCATCCGTCCGTCTGTCTATAGCTGCCCGCATCAAGCGCAACCGCAAGTCCCAGCAGATCAAGTTCAAGGTCCGCTGCCAGCGTTTCATCTACACCCTTGTCCTGAAGGACTCCGACAAGGCCGACAAGCTGAAGCAGAGCTTGCCCCCAGGTGCGTTCCTTTCCCGAACTATCCGAGATATTTCCAGACGAGGCAGCCGACTAGTTCAATTCGCATGCCACCTGGTTGGTGTGTATCATGGGACGAGAGGCATTTACGTTGCCCATAAAAGAGGAAGGATTTTGCGCTAATTTGTGATTTGCACCAACAGCTCTCAAGGTTGTCGACGTGTCCAAGGGTGACAAGAAGAAGGCTCTGTAAATACCTTCCGTGGCGGGAACTAGGGTGATGGGAGCTTGGAGGACGTTCGTCGAAGCATAGTCAAACTGTCAAATAAGAATTGGCGTATGGGCGTGAATGGAATGATCGATCTTCACCTTAGATGATGTATGGATTGGACATTCTCGCGTCTGTCAGCGGATGCTGTGTGAGATCAGTCAGCTCAAGCTGCACCTGTTCTCACCTGCCAGACGACCTACAAATCTGAATAAATCGCCAGGGTGTGCTTTGTCGGGGCGCTTGGGACTCTACAATATAATGAAGATCAAGAAAAAACAGTTGAAAATTCCATACAGCTTTTCGGCATTCTGTTTATTTGATCCGGGAATGGTGTTGATCGTGTAGATCAATGGGCATGATTCAGTACTTGATAGTCGTTGCCGATCCTTCAGACGGAGCGTTTGCTTGTAAGGATCACATACAGCTGAGTAAATAATTATTCTGGTGCATCGGTTGTCGGTAGAGCCGTCAGAATCAGACCCCAGCCAGCTTGGCGTACTGTGGGGCGGTCTAAATGCTATCGTCAAGTGCCGATTTGAGACAAGATGGAACATGCCAGGTTCGAGGTCAGATGACATTGAACATCTGCCGTAGTCTAGACGGTCAATTCCGTCGTTGATTGATGATTCATGCTGACTTCAACCAGCAGAATAGGCTATGTTGCAGCTTGGCGGACTCACGCTGAAACGCGTGCCAGCTTCCCTCCAATTCCACCCTGTCGCAAACTGACTGGTCCCTCGAATGGTGTAGAAAATATATTTTTGGCATAAAGTTAAGAGGGGGGGCGTTGCGCTGACAGGCCCCAGTGTGTACCATGACGGAGTTTTATTATATCAAGATGCCCCATACTTCGGTGGTCGGGAGTAAATCTCCTCAAATCATAGCTGCAGGCGAGCGCTTGGATGCTAATCATTTCTCTTCAGGTCACGGCAAGGCCCGGCGTGATACCTTTCAGGGCTGGATGGACAATGCAATGCTGGAGGCATCACAGTCCTCCCAGAGATTACTCTATCTCGTCATCAATAGAAACCGCATCAGTCCTCCATGAGCTCCATTGTCGCGCCGAGTATTCTACATTATAGTCGATAAACTGTTTGAACAATTCTGGCTGGTCTGCTAAGGAAAAAAAAAAAAATTTCCTCCTTTCCAGCATTGAGAGATGTCCTACAGATTTATGGCGGAGCGCATTGCACTTTCATACTACCAGAAGTTGAGGAAAGGAGGTCCGAAGGCGAATGTAACTCGATCGATAGATATTGTAACCTCGCAAGCGCTCAGATTGATTACCAAGGCCCTATTGGTTTCTTAAGACGAGTTGTTGAAGCACCCCTGCACTGTTGGATTACCGGATAATTCCACTCACTGATCTGGTGCTACAGACAATTCAGAGCTAGGGGTGGAGTAAAATCCTATCTCTCATGCCAGTAACAACTACAGGGGTCAATGTCCATGGGATGAGATATAAAAGGCCTCCGAATACCCTTGTGCCATGCCTCTGTTCCATCCACTCTCCATCTTATTGCACGCTACACCTTTCTCTTTCTAGCCTTTGGTCGAGCAGGCTCTTCAATCATCGGCTTCGGATTTGACATCCTTCTCTCCCTGATTCTGAGCTGTTGCAATGTCTGTGTCCAAGGTTGCTTCCCTCACCGGTCTTCTGGAATTTGCTTCCCTCGTCGCTGGTCACGGTTATGTCTCTGGTATTGTTGCCGATGGCAAATAGTATGTCCCATCCATATATCTGTCATGGGAATAAGCGGTCCTAGTTTATGCATATCTATGACAACCTGGAGCTGACAACCCACAGCTACGGCGGATACATTGTCAACAAGTACCCCTACATGGAAAATCCCCCCGACACTGTCGGCTGGTCTACCAGTGCCACTAATCTCGGCTTCGTGGACGGCACTGCATACCAGACAGCGGACATCATCTGCCACAAGGACGGAAAGCCCGGATATTTGTCTGCGTCCGTAATGGCCGGTTCGGACATCGAGTTCCAGTGGACTGAATGGCCCGAGAGCCACCACGGCCCTGTCATCACATATCTTGCCTCATGCAACGGTGACTGCTCGTCGGTGGACCCCGTCTCCTTGAAGTTCTTCAAGATTGACGCCAAGGGCCTTATCGATGGCAGCAGTCCTCCCGGCCATTGGGCCTCTGATGACTTGATCAGTAATAACAACTCGTGGACCACCACTATTCCCTCTTCCGTCTCCAGCGGCAATTACGTTGTGCGCCATGAGATCATCGGTCTTCACTCTGCTGGCCAGGAGAACGGTGCTCAGAATTACCCCCAGTGCATCAATATCAAGGTCACGGGGGGCAGCGATGCCAAACCTGAGGGAACTCCAGGAGAGTTCCTGTATAAGAATACCGACAAAGGAATCAAGTTTAACATCTACTCCGATCTGAGCGGTGGATATCCCATCCCTGGTCCTGCTAAGTTCAATGGCTAGATGTGGGGTATTTTGATGCGTGATTCTACCCATACCTTTCCCCAGGGGGATTTGTTCATGGGTTGAGAAGTCTTCCTGGATACTAGAATGGAGAATACTTTGAGTGCTCTGGCTATCTGTGATAGTCTTAACGTGTATCTGGGAGTTCAGATGTGAATATTGAATAGTCAGCTCATGGCTTGTAGTAACGACTCTTTCTAGATTTCCCTTCTAGTTCCGCTAACTGTAAACTTCATATACAAAACTCGACTGAGGCTACATATTAACGATTCCTACGTTGTATAGCGACATAACGAAGATCTAAGAAACCATTCCAATATATCATAAACAACCAAATCACAATTCATTCCTTGCATAAGCCAACTCCACGTACCCACGCACTCCAGCCCTCTCCAACTCCTCATCCACCGTTTCCCTTTCCAACTCCGTCCGTCTCAACTCAAACTCCCCAAAATAATTCGGCTCCGCCGCCACCTTCCTGAACCTCGCGCCCTCAAACAAAGCCAGACTGCGTCCATTCGTCTGTCCAATCTTCACACTCAGACCGGCAAACTTCCACGACGCATCTTCAGTCATCCCCATCTCCATCCCTGCTCTTTTCATCGCTTCTGACGCAGCACGATCACCACGCACAAATTCATCCAGAATCTCCGATTCATGCTCGGCGATATACCGAAGGAAAGTAAGCAGAGTCGCCCTCCCGAACCCTTTACGCTGGTTCGTCTTCTCTGCAATCATCAGCTCGATCTCCCCGAGGATCTGCGGCGCCGAGACACCTTCTTCGCCGTCATCTACCCGGAGAAAGAGATTTATGTCTCCGATCATGCGCGCGGGGGTATCGTCTGGTTCTGTGATGGGGGTGCATGTAGATGTAGATGTAGATATAGATCTTGACATAGCTACGGGGAGACAGACAATAAAGGTGAGTTTGTCGGGATCTTGCCGCCAGCTTTGTTGCATGGTGTATTCTTCTTCCAGAGAGAGTGGTTCCGAAGCGGTGGCTTCTTGAATTTCCTAAGGTTGTTTGTTAGTTAGTTCAGGGTTAAAATATATCTACGTCTTATGGTTCTTATCTAGAGATTTCTATGGCATGTCTTTGGTTTTGTTAAAAAAAAAAAAAAAAAAACATACAGTGTCTTTCATCCATTCATGGTATCGAGGGACATGCCATTTAGAGTATGGAACAAGAAGCACCGTGGAGGTGGAAATTGCTGCCTCGAACTCCAGTTAGCACGCTCACCACGCCAAGAGAGTGTGTCAACAGACCGGTTTTCGCATTGAGAAGCATCCTGACTATGTATGACCGAGCAATGGGCGGAATGTAGAGCGAGAATGAGGGAACGAAGTAGAAGAACGCCAAGCGAAAAGAAGGTCGATTGCCTGCGCGGGTCTTGGCGCGCGAGTGTCGGGTCGTGCGGCCTGAGGTATACACCATACATGGAATATACATGCTTTCATTTTGGGGACTCTCGCAATAGCTACATTACACTCGCTGGGATATCTATATATAGCGGGAATTATTGCTCCTCCTCCTTTCCGGAAAACGTGCCAAATTTGATCACCTCCACCTCCAATGTCTCCGTATCGACCAGTATCAGTTCTCCGCTTTCGTGGAACTTGGGAATCGACAGGAGACGGACTCGCTGAATGTCTGTGTCATCGTTCGATCCGGTCATCTCTGTATCGGCTCCATTTAGCCTCCATGGGGTCTCCCCTTCGATGACGGCGGTTTTGAAGCAGGGCTGATTGCCAGCAAAGAAAATGTGCGGGCAGGATTCCATCACAAATGGATCATGGGTTTGGAAAGGATAAGACCCTGTTGCAAGACATTAATCATCATAACATTCATCCAAAGCAAACGGGACCACTTACAGATCGTATCAGGCGCTGTAGGGGCTCCACATCGCCAGCGCAGCATGGCCTCCATGATCCGTAGCCTGGCCTCGCTATCTCCATTGGTGTGAATGGATTCGTCATCATCATCAGCAAAGTCCAGGTAGCGGAGAACATCGTCCACATTCTGACCACTAGATCCCCACAGACGCCATCCTTCGATATCACCCTCCCATGGATTCGTGACACTATCGAACCAGCCTGGCTCAGGGGTCTCCTCGCCAGATGGAGATGCCGCGCAATATGCCCTAGCCCGGGGAAACATAGCGCGGTGGATCCCTTGTTGGGGAAGTGAGAAATTCGCGGGATCACTTTCGCCCGGCATAAGAGTAACAGGTATGCTGGGTAGTATTTCCGCGAGAAATGAATCCAATTGTGTAATGGGCGACGCATTGTAAGTAGTGGAGTCATATCCGTACTTTTTCGCACCGCTCTTTTTTTTTGGATAAGCAAGATCGGTGGCATCCACGGTCGTACTGGCTCCCAGCGAGTTTCCAGCAATGACCAGTCTCGTAATCGTAGACGCATCCGACAGCGCGCTATCTTCGTTCCCGGCCGACGAGAAGCCGGTATAGCCGAGTAGATAGTCTGTCAAAATCTCCAAGGCAAGGGTGTCGCCCGACGTCCCCGTAATCCCAAGACCACTCACGAAAGCAATCTTGCCTTTGCCCATTTTCTCGGGCGATTTACCCTCCCACCGACGAGGCTGTCGAGGCAAGTCGGGGACCTTCATATCAATGATTTCGAAGTCCCCGTTCGCATTTTCTGTCCCTAGCACGGCAACTACAGCTCCAGTTGCCAGCTGATATGACCTAAGCATACTCCCTGTTAGCCGTAGGCGACCTGATTCGTCTTCGAGCATAATTTGAGTCGATTCAGGATCTGAAGAATCCCGGTATGTGCGACATGGCGCAGGGGCCGATGTAAAGTTCTGCCGGTCAAACATTAGCAGCTAGATACCCATGGGCTTGATTAGGTCAATTCTCACTTCCTTGGTTAGGTCATCTAGAATGTTCGGTTTTAACGGCATGTCCATATAGATTGTCCCTGCCACCCAGCAAAGCTCTCCCTGTCTCACATCTAGTACTCTGTCCACACGACGTGCATGTTCTCCTGCGATCTATTCTCGGTTCCAGAGCTATTAGCGCACCTGCATGTGGCCCGTACGGATATCATCACCATTTACCCTCTCCGCGAGTTTATGTACACATTGTTCGCGAAAGGCACAATGGTTGGGTGACGCTTACACTGAATCCTTCCCATGCTTGGACCGCAATCTCTTCCGCCGCGGGCTTCAATTTTGCAAGCCGTAGGAAATACATGTCGCCATATTGTTGTTTGTAATGTCGTCCTTGACCTGGAGGGAGGCGGAAGGTGTGGAAGGGGTTGTAATGGGAGGTTTCCCGGTATACCAGCGTCGGTTCCATCTCACTGCAACCGGCCGTCTATGATTAGTAGAGGAATCGACTAATTTAGAAAATACACAAGGTACAATCTGGATCGAGTGATCGAGTCAAATCAGACCAGGGAGCATACCTTGGAGGCCGCAGAAACTCGTTTTCTGCCGCGCTTGAGGACATTTTGTCGCACAGTCCTTGACTTCATGAACTAGAATAATCCAGCAGGAAGAAGGAGAGGGGGAGTCTGTAGGGAGCAAGTGAATGAATCGTGGTAGTGGACGAGCGTTGAAGTTGCTTCTTCCTTTCGGGAGACGCGAATCACGCGTCTTTTGGCGTTTTGTAATTACAGTCCCGCTTTGGGCCTCCGCCTTTGCCTGCGCCCTTCCTCTATCAGCTACTTGCTCTATGCTATGTTTTGCTTTGAATAAAGGTTCACGCTGGAGGTCGTGAAAATACGTAGTAGGCATAAAATATAGCATCTGAAATAACTCACATAAGAACCTGGTGGCTTATGGGTCAGTGACATGCATTGAATGCTTGTCCACGACTTTATACTACGCACTTGGACTGCAGCAATTGGAGGCTCTTTCGCTATCTCAGTATAGCACATCTGGCAATAGCTGATTTCAGTCCTTGGTAACCTGCTCTGACCAGACTACCTAGAATCAGAGACCTCGACATGCTATGATTCACCGTTACAAATTGGCGTGCCAGGGGGCAATTATGCATACCGCACCTCCCCTCAGCCCACATGCCTGTCTCCTATTCATGGTATGTTGAATATTTTCTTCCTAAACACTGCATTATACAGTTTTGATTGAACGTGTTCCTGGATAATGGTCGACATGCTTTTGTCCGGAATCGAGAAGGAGCATTTGACGTCGCTGTAACAAGAATGGGCCCAGACACAATGTCTTGGAAGTGCCCTGGATTTGCATTTGCAGTTGCATTTATGTATTATTGATTCAAGTCATACATTGCTAGATTGAACCCTTCATAACTCTTGAGAGCCCTCTTCTACCTTCTCTTCGTTGCTTTCCCAGGGCTTCGCAAATGTCCTCCCTCCTGCACAGCAAGGAACGATTTTGGAAGTCGCACTTGCTCTCCTAATCAGCCTCGAAGATGAGGATTTTTAATTCGTTTAACGGCCTAATGGGCAAACTCTTTACAACAAGCATCATTCTATGTACTCTCGTCACTGCATTTCGATATGATCTTTTCCGGCGCGACTGCCAATCATTTTTTAGACGCAGTCTACCCGGGTCTCTTGTGATCGCTCCCGAAGGTGCAGTGGGGGATTATCAACCTCCACCGGGGCCTGTCACCTACAATCCTCTGCCAATGCAGACGTGGCCAGTGGCGGGTACTGTGGGTACTACATCCACTCCCACTACAACTCAGGATATCTCCCATGAGCCAGAAGTGGTGAAATCCGATGGCAAGCTGGGGACCAATGCGTAAGTCTAAACCACATCTCGGACCAGACATGAGGTAACTAAACTTCGTTTGCTTTGTATACACAGCCCGCGGAAGAACATTGCCATTCTAACGGGCACCGTGACGAAGACACAGGCCATAATGGCTGCGACCCAGACAGCCATGGCAGGGAGAGACATAGTTGTGACGTCAGCTAGTCTAGCGCTCTCTGTTTTCTTTGCAGCGGTACTGATTTAGTGGGTATATGCGGTATTGTTAGGGAGCTTTTCCATTGTTTGATCCTGGTCAATAGTCATGCACAGATCCTTGCCGCTTGTCTCCGAGGTGTCATGAATCCGGCGTGAGCTTGTCCGGCTATGTTTGTGTAGAAACATACCCGAGTCCAATACAAGACCAGAAGCCGGGACGAACCACTATGTGTATATATATAGGAATGTATGCAGAACCGAATTCCAGCTTGTCCCATTCCCTTCAACTGCCTCGGTCCGGGGGATCAACAAAACGCCTCCACCTTCCCCGCATTGCGGCACGTGCATTTAATACACGTTTTATGCTTTCTACATTTCTATTTCAACCTGGCTATGAGGTCGATAGCAGCCGTCTCCTGATCCTCAACAGTGGTTGCTCGATTGGTCCCAATTTGCCCCTGGATCTGCTGTTATTCCCTTTTGATTTTCCCACAAGACCTCAGACGATTCAAGTCCCAAATAGCACTACTCGTAATATAGTACCGTCCGATATCATGTCCCTTCAAACACCGCTGTGCTCATTGCTCAAAATCAAACACCCTGTCATGCTAGCGGGCATGGCACGGGCTTCTGGGGCGCGTCTCGCGGCCGCTGTGTCTAATGCAGGTGGTCTCGGGACCATCGGCGGCCTGGGCTACACCCCGGAGCAATTGTCGGACATGTTGACGGAGCTCAAATCCCTCCTGCGGGATCCATCTCTCCCCTTTGGTGTTGATCTGGCGCTACCGCAGGTCGGTGGTGGAGCACGCGCGACAAACCACGACTATACCCACGGACAACTGGATCAACTAATCGACGTCGTCATCTCCCACGGCGCCAAACTGTTCGTCTCCGCCGTCGGAGTACCCCCGGCGCACGTCATCAAGCGCCTGCACGACGCGGGTATCCTCATCATGAACATGGTGGGGGCGCCCAAGCACGCGGAGAAGGCGTTCAAATTGGGCGTGGACATCGTCTGCGCGCAGGGCGGCGAAGGGGGCGGCCACACGGGTGAAATCCCGTTCTCCGTGTTGGTGCCTGCGATCGTGGATGTGGCGAAGAAATACAAGAGTCCACTTACGGGGCAGCCGGCATTGGTGGTGGCCGCTGGTGGTGTGAACGATGGGCGAAGTCTGGCTGCGTCCCTGATGCTAGGAGCGTCTGGTGTCTGGGTAGGTACTCGATTCGTGGCCTCAGAGGAAAGCGGCGCTAGTCAATTGCACAAGGAGGCAGTGGTTGGAGCCCAGTATGGGGAAACCCGGCGCACGCTGGTTCTTTCCGGTCGACCACTGCGGATGCTGCCAAATGACTATATTAAGGAATGGGAGAAGCGTCCGGAGGAGATTGCCAGGTTAACGGCTAAAGGCATTGTCCCTATCGAGCATGACTTCAATAACGATAAGGAGGTTGACATTCCTTTCTTGATGGGCGATGTCTCGGCCAGTATCAAGGAGATCAAGCCCGCTGGTGTCATCGTGCAGGACATGGTGCAGCAGGCTGTGGAAGAATTGAAGAAAGGAAGAAGCTATATTATCGACGCTGGAACCAGTAAACTATGAAGTCGACGATCGAGCTTGGATGTTTGAAATTTGCTTCTCTCTTCCTTCTACCCTCTCTGTACAGCTGTCTGCTTGATTGGATCTGAAACCTGCAATATATTCTTTTCATGAAACCATGATAAATACGTTTAGATGTTGTGATCTAGCATGTACAAGTACAGGAATGAATTGAACCAAACTAAAAGAAAGAAAGAAAATGACCACGAATCGCAAGAACCCTCAGTGGGGACTGTATCAGACCATAAAAGCGGTGTGCTTATAACCGCCTTTTGAAAGCCTCGTTGTTACAAGATTTGCAGAGAGACATCTGACACCACCAAATATCCCAGAGTTACGCTAATGGTTTACCGGTACAGCTACCTCTCAGAGATGCTGAACCCCCAAGGCCAAAGAACAACCGATACGAGGAAGTACTCTCACTCACATACGTAGAATGAATAGAGCCTTTCCCTCCCTGTTGGCCCGGTCTGAGAACAGAGAACCGCATGCTCGAAACGACCGGTCTGTCTACCAGAAAAATTTCACTAATGACATCCATTGATCATGGCCTTGTTTCCGTTGGCCCGTGCTTCCAGAAGGTTGGGTGGAGGGGGTGGTCCGAATACAGGCTTCTCTGCTTGCTGCGGTACGTTGCGGTCCCCATTTACGTCGCGGTCTGCGGTTTCAAGCTCGTATTCATCGTCACTGATTCCCTCATCCTCATAGTCCTCATCGTATTCGCTCTCTGTGCCCTCGTCGTCCCCGTCTAGATCGGCCGCAAGACCTTGGCCTCGGCCTTGGGCTTGCATTCGTCGGCAAAGAGCTTCGAGGTGATGGCTCTTCTTTCGCCACTTGTCTAACTCCTCGTGGTTCCTTGTGCGCTCTTCTGCCATCTCTAATATGTTGCGATTCGTCTGGTCGTGTTTGCGGGTGAGGGTGAGATTCTCCTTTTCCAAACGCTTTGTCTTCTTCGACATTTCTTCCATCTCTTTACGGAAAGTAAGGAAGAGTTCATTGCTGTTGTTTAGCGTATCCTCCACCTGTGATATTATTATTACCGGCACTTTGAATCCCGGGTGGGCAAGAGCTTACCTGTTTGAACTTCTCCACATATATGTTTAGCTGGCTACGCAGTTCGGCTTCGGTATGTGAGAACGTAGAGACTTGGGAGCTCAGGGCGCGACAACGAGCGGCTTCATTCTCGGCGGTACGGCGTTGTTCCTCGTACTTGGCGGTAAGACATTGGATTTCTGAATCCTTGCTGCGTAGGAGTGACTTATAGTGTCCCTCGCGCATTTCAAACTTCTCGCCAATCGTCTTGATTTTTGCACGCAGACTACAATATCAATATTTAGTGACGGCCGTCTACTGTACAGGCGGGTTGCCACATACGCTTCGTCTAGGTCAATATCCACTTTTTCGCTCCGTGGATTGCCCTTGGCAGCCATGACGTCTTGAATATCATACAAGAGAGAGTCCAAGCGTTCGTTGACAATCAGTCTTGCCTTCTTCTCTGTATCTTCAAGTTTTTTGTTTTCATCCTGTAGATTCGGATGAACATTAGTAATGGCATTGGGTAGGCAAGTAACGTTGAAAAGTTCGAAATTGACACACCTTGACCTTTTTATTTTCTTTAGTGAGCTCTCTGCACAGCTTTTCAAGTTTGTCTTTCATGGTAACGGTTTTGTTCAACTCTGATTTTCCCTTATCCTGGTCCTTCTGCAGTTGATCCGCCCGCTTTTTGCTCTTTGAATAATCGCGATCCAGCTTTTTCATATCGGCCAAAAGCTCCGTGTACTTCTTGTGCACGGTCTCCAAACGAGTCATCGGTGATTCAATGTTACTGAGGAGTTGGTTCAAATCTCGAGTAGCCTTCTTCACTTCACGCTCTATAGTGAAATCACCGTCAGCATCTCGGCTCCACAACAAGAAACTAGTAGAAGGCATGAAGCCAGTTCCGGACGGGAGTGAGGCATATCACGCACCAATTTCCTGCTCTTGATCCTTTTCACCAGCGGCATCTTGTTCCAGCTGAGAAATCTTGGCCGCCAAGAGCTTCGATGTCTCATTGGGGTCTGCCATCTTCTTCCCCTTGTTCTTTTTGGACATAGCAGCTGATGACATGATTGATGGTTCCTTAGTCGCTGAAATGGACCCCGTTGTGCGGTTTAAGGCCTCGTTGGCGGTTGTCGCGAGGCTGGTTCTCGGAAACGAAAAATGCGAAGACGGAACTGTGGGTGAGGCTTGGTAGAGACCAATCAGTTGTTCTGACGCAATCCCACCACCACAGTCAATCCCCAGCCACGGCTACACCGAAGCCAAAGAAATGAAATGACAGGGGAGAGTGTGTGATCGACGGTAACTCTCGAATCGACGGTCGACACTAGCGGAGAACCTGGGTGGCCTATTGCCAGACTTGCAGAACTCGGAGGTAATGGGATCACGTAGAACCCTATGCAACCAAGTTCTGCAGAGTCAACGAAAGCCGCACAGGCGGATGTTCACAGCGGTTGAGATTTGGAGACTGGAATCGGGTCCGTGAGAGGTCGCGAGAATCGAGATGTATCGAAGAACTTGCTGGGGGGAGAGGATCGAATCCGTAAGAGGGGGTATGCGCAGTGGACTAGCACTAGCCCAAATCGGCAGCCGGCCTTGGCATCGAGAATTGTTCGCTTCCACTGAACTGATACATCCAACGTTCTACCCATCAATAAGTCCCTTGTCGTCCTTCTTCCCTCTCTCCTCCATCTCATCCGGGTCACTTTTTTGTTGATCCTACTCCTCTCTTTCTCTCCGGGTCCTTCTGATTATAGGTGGTTTGGTTGTGCTTTTCCTCCATCGCCACTTCATACCGGTCCGCCCGATCGGTACCCTAGAAACGGCCTCGCTAAAACAACGCGCGGAGAGCTGTACAAGGTTGTGGTTTGACGGAAGGTGACTGTGAAACATAGCGTCGCTTTCCTTCTCTCTCTCTCTTTTTTTTTTTTTTTTTTTTTTTTTTTTTTTTTTTTTTTTTTTTTTTGCTGTTGAACATCCTTTCTGCCGACGCTATGTTCCGTTCGTCTCTAGAGATAGGCAAAGGCCGACTACCTGTCTTGCGGCAACCTACAATCCTAAGCTCCAGGAACACCATACCTCGGTGGAGTCAGACCAGAAGATCAGCTTCTACTGTGACTAGCCTTGACAGCTATCCGAGTGTAGGAGAGAGACTTCACGGATTTACTGTCCAGGAAAAGAAACATGTTCCAGAGTTACACCTAACGGCAGTACGGCTAAAACATGACAAGACAGATGCGGATTACCTCCATGTGGCAAGGGAGGACAAAAATAATGTTTTTGGTATCGGATTCAAGACCAATCCGCCAGATGCTACTGGCGTGCCTCACATTCTGGAACACACGACGTTATGTGGCAGTGAAAAGTGAGAATAATTCCTTGGTTGTGTTCTACTTAGAGTCGAGAAACTAACCAGCCTATCTTCATGAAGATACCCAATCCGTGACCCCTTCTTCAAGATGCTTCCTCGATCTCTTTCAAACTTCATGAATGCTTTCACTTCCGCGGACCACACAACCTACCCGTTCGCCACGACGAACCAGCAAGATTTTCAAAATCTTCTTTCGGTCTACTTGGATGCGACATTCCACCCTTTACTCAAGGAGGAAGACTTTAGACAAGAGGGATGGCGCTTGGGGCCGGAAGATGCACGTGCCGTGGGGTCTAACGGCGGAAAGCCAGAAGACGTCCTATTTAAGGGTGTGGTATATAACGAAATGAAAGGCCAGATATCGGATGCAAACTATCTGTACTATATCCGGTACAAGGAGAACATCTTTCCTGCTATCAATAACTCGGGGGGTGACCCTCAGTACATCACCGACCTGACGCATAAACAACTCGTGGATTTCTCCAAGCGGAATTACCATCCCACCAATGCCAAAATTTTAACCTATGGAGATATGCCTTTGGCCGGCCATCTGAAGCAGATTGGCGAAGTGTTGGATGGCTTCAGCAAGGGAGAGGCCGACGCTTCCATCAAACAGCCCATTGATCTTAGTCGCGGCCCCCTGGACGTTAGAGTTCCAGGGCCTATTGACACCTTCTCTGGCGAAGACAAGCAGTTCAAGACCTCAACCTCGTGGTACATGGGAGACACGAATGATGTTGTTGAAACATTCTCTGCTGGGATCTTATCCTCCTTGCTTCTGGATGGATACGGCTCACCCATGTATCGAACCTTGATCGAAAATGGCCTAGGCTCCTCGTTCACCCCAAACACCGGACTTGATTCATCGGGAAAGGTGCCTGTTTTTTCGGTTGGCGTTAACGGCGTCAGTGAAGAAGAAGTTCCTAAGGTGAAAGAAGCCATTCAGCGAGTGTTTCAGGAGTCTCTTTCGAGCGGTTTCAATAGCGAGAAGGTCCAAGGATTACTCCACCAGCTGGAACTGGCCTTGAGACACAAGACGGCGAACTTCGGCATCGGTGTTATGGAGAAGACTATCTCTTCATGGTTCAATGGCACCAACCCTATGAAGGAGCTTGCCTGGAATGAAGTCATTGATGAGTTCAAGCGGAGATACCAGGAAGGGGGATACCTTGAATCATTGATGCAGAAGTACCTCATGAATGATCACTGTCTGACGTTTACCATGGTAGGCACGCCTACTTTCAACAAGGACCTAGACGACCAGGAGTCGGTGCGCAAAGAGAAGAAACTTGCTCAGCTTGTTGAGCAGCATGGCTCTGTAGAAAAGGTTGTTGTTCATCTTCGGGAGGAAGAGCTTCAATTGCTTAAGACACAGGAGGATGCCCATAATGCCGACCTGGGATGCTTACCCTCTCTGCGGGTTGAAGATATTTCACGGGAGAAGGAGCGGAAGCCAGTGCGTGAGACTCGTGTTGACGATGTAGAAGTCGTCTGGCGGGAAGCTCCTACCAATGGATTAACCTATTTCCAAGCTCTGAATAATTTTGATGGCCTTCCGGATGACCTCCGACTGCTCATGCCACTGTTTAACGATTGTGTTATGAGACTGGGCACTGCCAACAAATCGATGGAGGAATGGGAAGATCTGATCAAACTGAGAACCGGCGGTATCTCATCGTCCGCTTTCCATACGTCTTCTCCAACCGAGCTCGGGAAGTTCAAGGAGGGACTTCACTTCTCTGGATATGCTTTGGACCAGAACATCCCAGAGATGCTTGAGATCCTTACCATCCTCATTACGGAGACTGATTTTACTAGTCCTAATGCCCCTGGCATGATCCAGGAGCTGTTGCGACTCACTACCAACGGTGCACTCGACGCTGTTGCTGGGTCAGGCCACCGTTTTGCTCTAAATGCAGCCGCAGCGAGCCTTTCCCGCGGCTTGTGGGTTCAGGAGCAGCAGTCCGGCCTAGCGCAATTACAGGCCACAGCCAACCTCCTCCACGATGCGGAGACTTCACCTGAACGCCTTGCCGAGTTGATCGAGAAGCTACGTCTCATCCAGTCTTTCGCTATCTCAAAGACGCCTGGGCTCCGTGTTCGCATGGTCTGTGAGCGAGACAGCGCCTACCAAAATGAGTCTGTCCTACAAAAATGGCTCGCCGGCCTACCTCGAACTCCCTCACCCACATCTGCTCCGGGAAGCTCCTTCATGAGCCGAGCGATCAAGAAGACATTTTATGACATGCCGTTCAAAGTATACTACTCCGGACTAGCTATGCAAACGGTCCCATTTGTCCATTCGTCCAGTGCACCGCTCAGTGTCTTGTCTCAACTCCTTACCCATAATTATCTGCACCCTGAGATTAGGGAGAAGGGCGGTGCATACGGCGCAGCAGCTAGCAATGGCCCTATCAAGGGAATTTTCGCCTTGACGAGTTATCGGGACCCCAATCCCAATAACACTCTGAAGGTTTTCCAGAACTGTGGCCTTTTTGCCCGGGATCGCTCTTGGTCCAACCGAGAGCTCAACGAAGCGAAGCTTGGCATATTCCAAGGCCTTGATGCCCCCATGAGTGTTGATGAGGAGGGTAGCAGGTATTTTATGAGTGGCGTTACGCATGAGATGGACCAACGCTGGAGAGAACAACTGCTGGACGTCACTGCAAAGGACGTCAATGAGGCGGCAGAAACCTTCCTGGTCAACGGCACTCGGCGATCCGTTTGTTTACTTGGTGAGAAGAAAGACTGGGTAGAATCGGAAGACTGGGAGGTGCGGAAGCTTTCCATGAATCCTTCTGAGGGTGAAGCGAATGGCGTCGATGCGGAAAATGCTGCTGGTTCTGCCTAAGTTCTTTCTTCCCACGTTGTTCTATACCATTTCCCCCCAGGTAAAGCCATGTACCATATATGTCCCCTGTATTTCTATTGATGTGGATACGCATGATAGACCTGTATATAGACCCCCCTGTTTGTACAATACCTCATTCGCACTCTTCTCTTCTGTTGGATTTGCCATTTCCTAAATCGAGTTTACCTCGTCTACGCGCGTCTCAAGAGCAGAAAATTACCCAGTCGCCGACCCTTGGATCCATGGTCGGGAGATGGCTGGTTTTCCCCGTCCTTCGAGGGACTCGGAACAAGCGCAAGATCGATCGGAATGTGAACCCGCCGTGGTACACTTCTCATCTCCGTTTTTCAGACCCTTCCTGGACTTTCTTTCAGCCTACGCAGGACGGACTAAAAACGCGAGAACATCATGTGTAGATATATTTTTTTGGTTTGTTCCCCTACGTTAATAATACGCATCAACGAAGGAAAGAAAGTAGGTATATAGCCGATGTGAACACAGCACAGTTGTCCTGTGTCACCTTCGCAGGACCCCTTGGGTGGATATGAATATATTTTATTTTTTTTGTTCTTCAGCCAAACCATTTTCTTCATCATGATTTCTCCCTTTCTCTAACCATGTCGCATTAAAATAATACTAAAAAGCCTAGGTACTTAGTGCCGAATCCATTAAGCCGCCTCTCACGTGGGCAGCGACAGAAAGCAACTTCAACTCAACTCGGCGGATGCTCGGGTCTTTTCATTGATTCATGCCAATGAACTGAACTTGAAGATCTGCCCGATAATTTGTCATAGAGCCTCATCGCTTGAGTGAATCCCCCGCAAGTCATGCACGACAACACCAATTGTGCTCATCATTATGAAGAAGACTGACACTATCGTGTTGGGGCCGAAGCCGACTAAAGCATGCGGTAAGTGGATCGGGGATCGATCGGTTGCATGACCGCTGCGATGTATGCTGTGCTGTGAATTGTCCAGACTAATGCGCCCTCAATGCAGTTAATTGCCGCAGGCTGAAGGTCTGACTTTGGGCATGGGCTTGACCTGACTGCTTCAATGCTGATTGCGATCTAGATGAAATGCGAGGTGGATGGAACCCCCCCATGTCGTCGATGCCGCCACACCAACACCGCCTGTTTGTTTAAACCTAGATCCAATGTCGGTGTTGCTATCTTCTTTTGCTCTGGCCAAAATTCAATTGATGCTGACGAGATTCTAGGCCGCAGCTGCCCACGAGGTGGTAACCGTGCCACCGAGTGCCCAAAACACTGCCTTTTATCATCACCTATCTACGCCTGATCAAGATGCGCAGTCAATTCTGAGCCGACTAGATCGGATCGAGGCGGTCCTAGGTATCAATAAAGAGAGACCTACCACCGCCTCAGTGATCGGATCAGACCCGGATGACGAGGTTGTTGAGGCGCCTCTCCCAGAGCTGTGGGCAGCTGCGAAGAACCTACGATCTATTACTCGCCCACCCCAAAACGAGGGCATCTGGTCGCGATCTAGCATCAGAAGATTATGGGCTTCGTATGTACCTTTTGCCCAGTGCCATTGAATGCCTACTCCCAATGTATGAGGCCTAACGTTAGCCCAGTTTTTTGGATAATCTGCCGCTTTTACATTTTTTGAAAGATCAAAACGCTTTTTCCTCACCTTCACCATTATTGCTCGCTTCTGTTCTCTATATATCCGCGCTGCATAGTCCATCGCCCGAACTAACGTCGATGGCCGGTGGGTATTTTGTAGCCATTTGCAGTGCGATCGCCGAGCTTGTCATCCCGAACCCTTTGCCTAACCTTCTTAGCCTGTCTAACACTAACCCAAGGGATCACGAGTCTGGTACTGCAGAAGAGTCTCGAGTTTTCCAAAACATCCTTGGCTTAATAATGGCTAGTCTATGCTCAGAGGCTTTCGTAGAGACCACCGACAAGTGGATCGCCATTGCCTATCGACTGTTGCTTGATCATTGTCCCACCGCTGCAGATAGTACGACTCAAGATTGGCCCGGTCTGTTCTCGGGGATCCAGGTATTTAGTCTTAGGCCGATGTGTTCTGCTTGATGGTATAATGCTAATTGCGGTAAAGGTGATTGATATTGAGCATGCGTCGATGCATATGTGCCACCCTCTTCTTCCTAGGCAGCCACCCACGTCAGCCCTCCAGCAATTGAACGGCCACGAAGGGGATGCTTATCGTGGTCTCACACAGATCATGCATCATGGTCTCAGCCATTTTGTTAGACGAGGTCTACCCACCATTTGGTCCTTCGTGAGCGCCCGGGAACCCGACACCTTATCTTCGGTGCGCGCACCTTTCACGGACGAAGACTCCCAAGTCATAAGGCTTTGGGCAAAGAAACTGGATGACTGGCTGGTTCGGTACAACGGAACTTCTCGTGAGCCTTTTTTTTTTTTTTTTACTAGTAGTTACCTAAGTATTATGTTAATTTCGTTTCTTGCTTCAGAACCGTCTCCATCAGACCGACAAGGAATTGTCATTCTTTTACAATATCACCTCCACAAATTATACGTCCTATCAATATATCATCCTGCACGAGGATTTGATCTTTCTTCTGCAAACATTACTCCTGCGGAAAGACATGAGTTGTTGGTGTCAGCTCGTGCCGTGTTACGACTTCGTCAGGACGACGCCAGCATATGGTCCAACTGGGATCTTATAGTAAGCATTCATTCTCAGCCCACCGCCTATCCGGGTCAATCCCTAACAACACAGATGATAACTTGGGCTGCGCTGCTCCTCCTGCGTGGAGTCGAGGATGGGGTAACGCATCAAGATGGTATGCTTACTGTTCCTGAAAATAGAGAGTGAAAGCAGCACACTAACCTATACTTTACTTTACTGTCTCTAGACCTTCGTCTGATTCAATCTCACCTCCAAAGCCTAAGACTAAGCCATCCATCTGCACTGAGCATTCATGCTGTTCTGGCAGACCGACTACAATCAGGGATCCAAAGCATGAACACCCCACCTGATATGGGGCCCGAATTGTCCTTCCCAGGGCCGCATGGAGACTATTCCTGGACCATATTCGATCAAGAAATAATGTCCCTTGCAAACCCACCTTGGCTTTTTGAGGGCGCTTCGCTCGCGTCGGTCCCGCCACAACTTTCACAACAATCGCCAATTCAGTCCGTGGCTTATAACAGTAATATGGCGGCGGCTGGTCACCCCAATAATTTCCCTGCTAGCGAGCAGTGGGATCATACAGCGCAGGTATCGTCGGTGCGGCCCGCGGGTTTCAATCGAATGTTTAGTCATGAGAATGTAACGAGGGATAGTAGCAACTATATGATGTGATGATCTATGCACAGGCTTGGCGAGACTTATGAGAGCATTGCGTTGTCCTTTGGTACTTCGTGGAATACTAAATGATTTATCCATGGAGTAAGTGGTTTAACTACGACCAGGGATACTTCCAATGGTAGCACAACGCCAGATCTCAATGACGGGAAACACCAAGTTTGGGCAAATTTCATGTCTTCATTATATTGGGTATATAGTATTAAATCATGAGTCATGTCATTACTGTACAATGTTGTACGTTGCAGCTGTTCCTGCCAAAAGGCTTCTGTATATTGCAAGAAAGCGTGACTTGAAGAGGCTTGACCTGCAAACCAGGCTAGTTTTGCATGGCTGATTGCTTTCTACCTCGACTGGGGACTTAGTCATTATGGGGCCCATCGTTGGTGGGCTTATGCGAATGGCCTTCCATAGAATCTACCTGGGGTTCATGTTCCGAATAGTATGTTTGGCTTGGTGTATCTGTCGTAGAAGGAGTCTGAGGAAGAGAGGGAAAAGGCTCCAATTCAGACTGATCGACGGGTTGAGAAATGCTGGCAGCATCATTAGATGGATCGTGTCTCCCTGTTGGCTCGAGAGGAGTGTTCAGAGATGATTCGTTGACGACATCGGACGAGACAGCCGGGGAGCGTGGGGATAGGGAGCAAGAGGTGGCCTAGATGAATTGAAGATTAGCATAGATTGCTGAAACTAGAGCAATTGGTCGTCACGTACCCATTCTTTTCCTTTTTCTAGGCCGTGACTGGATGCCAGCTGGTGCGCCGCATGTCGTTTCCGTAGAACCTCCGACTCTTCTTCGAATGCAGCGCGTTCGTCTTCCTTTTGCAGATCTGCCAGAGAAAGCGTGGCAACTTGTGCGATGTCGACGTATGAGCCGTGGGAAGATCGAAGCCGACTGTTTCGCTTTTTTTTATTTTTGTTCTTCCTGGAGTCCTTTGAGTCCGTCGTCGCTAAACTGAATGTTCCGGAGGTCGACCGTATGCTCGCAGGTTTGTCCCCTAGTTGGTCATCCGACTCTACTCCAGTTCCTCGACGACTATGCAGTCCCATGGCAAACTCGTCGTCCAATGGTACCGCATCTTCTTCCTCATCGCTAGGGATCAGATCCCCACGTGAACTCAGCGAGGTCGCTGTCTCCTGCGACGACTGGGTCGAACTACGGTATCTTCCATTCTTGCCCGCTGCGGAGCTCGGTCCCTCAGCTTCCTCGGCTGCCTCAATCAGAGGCTCTTCCTCATATGCGTCCCACCGCAACCCCTGAGGATGCTCCTGGAGATCTGCGGCAGACGGTCGATACTTCAATCCTCGCGCTCCCCACCTCCATGGGAACCGCTCGAGAAAACCCAGGAACGACGAGCTTGGGATAACCGTTGGATCATTACCATCATCGGGAACAAGAAGACCGCTTTTCCTTCGAGTACGCCGAGCACCATAGCTCATTCTCCGCGGTCGGCGAGGCTGCTCGGAGCTTGCACGCGTCAGGCCACTCCCTGCCAGCAACCGATCGAGCTCGTCGGTGCCCCACCCTAATAGGCTGTCGTTTGTGTCGTCGTTATCCCAGTCATCATAGAAGTCAAAGATGGATTCTGCTCGGCCCCTTCTACGGCGACGGAGCTGATCCTCGCGGCTCGGAATGCAGGGCCCCGTGCATGCGGAGATGCAGTTCCCAATGGTCGCAAAGCATGGCAAGATGTACTCATGGGAGAAAGTATAGAGACCTTCCTGGGCCGTCTCATTCGCGGCCTCGAGGTTATGGGAGATTTGGTTGATCGTCCGGCGGACTCGCGGGTCTCTAGGCCGCATCATTCTGAATAGAGGGGGCTGGGAGACGATGTAGACGTGGTTTCTGGCCACGCAACAATACGGAGATGTGCGCACGTCACTTCAGCCTGGCCAGAGAGATCCCATTGAAGTGCACAGGATGGGCGGAGTGATGTGGATTTGGGGTAATACAGGTGGTGCAGTGATATCATCGAGCCTTCATTGGAGAAGGTGCAGACAGGACGGAGATGGAGAGCCTCAGGAATAAACACCAAAGCCTTAGTCAGCCCGCACATGCTGGGCATCTTTCAACATTCCCCGACAACTACCGGAGAAGACGCTTCTCATATTCCACCATGGTCTACTATATTCGCTTTCTCAAGACTCCCAGGATCCAGAAGCAAAAAGCAGGCTTACCCATTGTCTCGGCACTCATCTGCATCACTACAGATTTAGGAGATGCCTTTCTGGCCCAAGATGTGGATCTACTAGTGTCACTGATTGCTAGTCGTACCGAACGAGTGCTGTATCAAGAACCTCTCAAATGGAAGGCTGGCAAGCGTGAGCTGCCTATATCAATGGGTCCTTTCCCTGCGCACCTCTCCCAGCAGACAATTATTCTCAATGTGGCCGCAACAAATTCCGACAAGCCCGGACCACCCACCCCGAACCGCCTCCTAGGAAAGCCCGGTGTCCCTCTAGTTCTGTCTTGCTGGAGCGCCCCTTTTGGTGGTTCGGAATCGCTGGTGGCAGACAAACTTGTGGAGAGGAGGTTTGGCCCAATTGAGACCCTAGACCTACGGATATGGGAAGAAACCGGAAACAGTATTGCTAGGCATATCTGGTGAGGTCTCTTCCCCGCAGATCCTGTCCTCGATTCTAAGACAGGATGTTTATATTTACAGGGATGCTGCCATTGCTTCGGTGATATATCTCCAGCGAATAGTCGCCGGAGACCGTGTAGGGACGGCACCACCATTACAGGATCTGCTACAAGGACAGCGTAGTACCCCGCTTCATGTCATTGAATTGGGGTCAGGCTGCGGCATTGTTGGGATTGCTCTGGCACAACTACTTCCTCAGTGCACTGTACTTCTCACGGATCTCCCTGAGGTTGAGGAAATAGTAACTCAGAACGTAGCGAGCGCCAAACAGGTTCCTTCTTCGTCTGCAGTCCAGTTCCGGACTCTGGACTGGGACGAGAAACCCCCAGATAACCTCTTGGATGGCTCAATCGACCTGATCCTTGTATCAGATTGTACTTATAATGCAGATAGTCTACCCTCCCTCGTTTCAATGTTGCACCAGTTGGTCCAGATGGCACCGGATGCAATCGTCTTGGTGGCACTCAAACGGCGACACGAAAGCGAGACCGTCTTCTTCGACCTAATGCACTCAGCACGGCTCTCGACTCTTCATCAAGACAGCATTCACCTCCCATCGCAGCACAATGAGATGGATGGGATCGAATTGTATTGTTTTGGACGACCGGGTTGACTCCCCGTACAATGTGACCCGCCCAGCGCAATGGCCTAATGACCCGTTTCACCTATATTTAATTAGAGGCGAATCCTGCAGTTTTCTGATTCAACGGACCTCGGTGCTCATTCTTCTGGCGCCTAGTTTTGGCGTGCACCGGGATTGATAGACTCGAACGCCGACGGAGGGATTCCTTCATCGGGAAGAAACTCTCTGACGGCCTCAGGCGGGAGTACCATGGGATCGCCGACTGCTACAACAGGAAAAACAGACGGTCCATTCAAACATGCCTATTCGACCAGATCACAGAGTCCGGCTGCAGTGCTGTTTGGCCAGAGTCAAGTAGTGGCGTTCAGACATATATAACAACCATACGCAGGGGTCTGTTGATTAACATGTGAACTGTTTACCTCACCATGACCTCCTCGCGACGAACCATCCTGGTCACTGGTTGTTCAGGCGGTAGTCTGGGCTCCGCTCTTGGGGTCAGTTTCCACAAGGCCAAGTCGCGTCCGTGCGTAACATGCCCAAGTTGAAAAAGTCGAAGATGCAAGCACTGAGACAGTGCAGCAGAACACCCTGTCCGACGAGTCCATCGTCCACTGCGTGCACGTCCCGCGCCCAGAAGCTCGCAAGCGATGGCGGAAATAGTAATGGTTGTGGTGGATCCCTCGACGTTCTTCTGAATAACGCCGGTGCGGAATACTCCATGCTGCTGATGGATATGGATATTGCCAAGTCGCGCGAGCTGTTCGACCTGAACGTGTGGTTGCTGATTAGCGTGACCCGGGCGTTTCTGCCGCTCCTGGAGCTGATCCAACCGCACGGTATGGCAGTGAATAACACGGCCTGTACGTCGCTGACGGCCGGCACGATGCCCTTCTCTGGGGCGTATAACGCCTCCAAGGTCGCAGCGGCAAGTCTGACCGAAGACTTGCGATTGGAGCTCCAACCGTTCAGGATCAAGATGATTGACATGATCGGGTGCATAACAATGCCTCCGCCGCCACGCTACCGCCGACCTCGCTGTACAGCGAGGCTAAAGAGAGGGTGGAGGGTACCATATCCGGCGCGAATGACAGCACCGATCCGGAATAGTGGGCAGACCAGGTCGTTCAGGATATCAGCAAACACAACTCATCCCATTGTGTGTGGCGCGGCAAGTTTCCAGGCGCATAGCCTCACACCTGCAGGTTGGATCCTTGGACGGCTCAATGAAGAGCATGGTGGGATTGGATGTGGTAGGGCAGAAGATCAAAGAACTGGAAGTGCCAAGGAAGGCCAAGCATTTGTAATTGTTCATGCTTCATCTACACTTCCCTGTCACCCATGGGCAGGCTGGTGTGAAGTCTCTTGTATAAAGTATTTCTCAGTCATAGAGATTGTTGAAAGAATCTCTTAACGAAACTACCCTAAAAGGCGAGGCACTATCAGGAACTTGGCGCGCATTTACAAACGGGCGAATGCCTAGTTGGCCAAGGCATCTAAGAAATATGTCTAGAGCTAGATCAATTCAAGTACGAGTAGCACGCTCTCAATCTATTCTACTTATAGCCATACACCTTGTGCGTAGCCCTATGCTGACAACATATCGAGTCATTCGTGACCATACAATCTAGAGATAAGGCTTCGGTTATAGCCCTACCCCAATGCGACAGGTTACCACTATAATGGAGTCCTGTGGGCTCTAACAACGCTCCTATCTCATTTCAAGAGATGGAACATTTTCCGTGCCTGGCAAGGTGTTTTAGTGAGAGAGTCCGAGCAGATCTTTCAATAGCTGGCTGGCTGGAGAAAATGACCTGGATGCCTTGTGCAGGGGTTCATATCCATCCTTGGACAACCCTAGTTTTGGGCATGGAGCACGTGGTAAAGGGTGCCACTGGCCCTTGTGCGGATATTTCCAAATTTCCGAGGATTTGATGCTACTCCAGATGTTTGGAAGCACTGGGTGGCTTCTCCACCGTCCGAACCAGCCTCTCCGGGTTTCTAGTCTAGAAAGAATTTGCTCCAACGTAGAGTCTAGGGGTACGAAGTCCGTATCGTGCTCCAAATATGAGCTTTTCAAGGGGGTCAAGGCCGTTGTTGGTAATGCAACCCGAGCCCTATCACCTTGAAAAACCTGCTTGCTGCCGTTGAGACTATGCGAGCGCATCGGGGGTAGGACAGGCAAGCCATTCCCGGGATACCTCGTCTCAGTGGAGTGACAGTCGCAATACATTGAACTTCGTTGGGCAAAAGCACTGAAGTTCGCCGCCAACGTCACGGCACAGAGAGGAATGAAACCCAGATGAAAGGGGGCTGTAGTTGTGGTTCCGCAAAAATGGCTCTCAGACAGATCCATAAAAGATGCTTTGGCACAGAGCGCCCACAGATCCGCATAAATGCGACAAACAATGTACACATCGCCATTGACCATTTCAAATTCATCCGGTCGGAGAGACTTGTTGCCAGTGATGGTATGCGATGGATCAATGCAAATCACCAGTGACCCTTCTTGGATGGCCCACCTCTCCCCCCGTCCTAGCCGTATGTCTCGATAGGATCTCAAACGCGTACAGAGCCCTGGTTTCACCTGGCGATAAGAAACTTGCAACGGTGGGATATTTAGCCAGTGCGCATTTGAGAAATTTTGAAATTCGGACCTGGGGCGTATGTCCTTCAAAGGCAGATTGTGCCAGCTGTTCAGGTCACAATCTTCCCAATCATCCTCCACCCTCAGTTAGCGAAACATACTTCTCACTGGCCAAAATGAGGGATCTTACGAGTAGAGGGATCCCCTGATCCGACTCCGACGCAGAGGCATCTAAATCCGCTGGGACACTTGCATTCGCAGCTCCGGCTTCCTGACATAGTTGCTGTTCCCGATCGAGGATCGACGAGTATGAGTCGGATTGTGCATCTATTACATTGAGTACTCGCTCCGAGCCACCGTGACTACACACTAACCACTATATCGACAAGGGGTGCAGATGCCGGGTGCCATTGACGGGCTCACCCTTGGGTTGGGATTGGACTGCCAGACTGGAGGACGATGGAAGTAGACGGCATGTCGACGCCTTCCGGTCACGGAGTCCTGAGAACTTTCGGCAGCCGACCCTTCGGTTGAAGCAAAATGGATCTCCGACGAGAACGCCGAGTTCTGTGAGCAGCTCAGAAATGTCTCGAAACCGGCGTCATCTGGTTTCCCTATGTGGTGCCTAGACGAGTCTGTCCATAAGCCAGTCATCGTTATGGATGGGTCGCTAGTGTATGTTTTGTTCAGTAAGTCGTGGGGCTTTATGAGCAAGTGATGCAAAGCTTATGATGCTGTTCAAGGTAACAGTCAAAACTGATGGATTGAGAGAGACATGGTTGCAGTCTAGATTCTCTGGGGGTGATAAACGCTAGATATTCATGCATCGTTCTTGCCGTGAAGGCTGGACAGACGATGGAAGGGAAGGTGCATCCATCAACCTCACCATACCTGTCAACCATCCCTATTATCAGCCATCTTTGAACCAGATAGCTAGTAGTAGGAGTACCATGGAAGAAGAGAAAGAGAGGATGGACAACCCGAGGCTACACTCGGCAATGGCTGTTGCTGAGTCAGCCTGCGGGGGTCGTATCTAACTAGATATATTGGAGTCATTCCTGGCATCATTTCCATCATTCCCATCACGGCTGGCACCTGGAAGACATTCTGATACAATAGATCTAGACGATCTCCGACATTCTGATAGAGAGGATGGCCGCTCCCCGCATTACCCTGTACCTGGACATCGTCAGCCCATTTGCATACATCGCATTCTATGTGCTGAGGGTTAGCCGTATCTGCATTCTCTCTATGAATATGCAACTGACCATGTATAAAGCACTCCCCCGTGTTCTCCGGCTGCAATATTACCTACGTTCCCATCTTCCTGGGTGGATTGATGAATGCCTGTGGCAACACCCCACCCATCAAGATCAGGAGTATGATGCTATAGAATTCAAGCCTCGGGGGAAAAGGAACTGACACGGCATCTTTCCCCAGACAAGGACGTATGGATTGACCAAGAACGGACCCGTTGGGCACGCGCCTTTTCCGTTCCTATTTTGGAACACCGACCCGAGGGCTTCCCACCATTGACCTTGGGACCGCAGCGCGCCCTCACTGCAATTTCTCAGAAGTATCCAGCTCAACTGGTTCCGGCCTTCGAGGCTCTCTTTCATGAATTCTGGGTTAAGGGAAATGCTAAGATCGGACAACCCGAGGCATTCGGTCCCGTCCTGGAGAAGCAGCTAGGGAAAGCCGGCTCCCAGGATGTCTTTGAGGCTGTACGATGTCCATAGCCAAATCAACGTTTATATATTCAATCATGCATGCTAATACGCGGTGGCAGATGAACCAGCCGGAAATCAAGTCACTCTTGACATCCCGAACTGACCAAGCCTTCAAGTCCGGTGCCTTTGGTCTCCCTTGGTTTGAGTGCACTAACGCCAAGGGCCACACGGAAGGCTTCTGGGGCGTCGATCATTTAGGCCAGGTAGCGGACTTTTTGGAATTGAGTCGGAATTCGGATAGGGGCTTTAGATCGTTACTGTAAGGAGAGGGGAACAGAATATGGAACCCCGGAAAGTCGATGTTGGCATTCTCATCATCCTTTCTCCAGCCGTGTACGGGAACCCTAGAATGATATGTATATACGTAGAATAGGGTTATCGTAATTTTCCACTCCACCTACGACTGCCCTTGTGTCTGTCCTGTAGGAATCCAATAATCCTCTCCTTTTCTAAATTATTGATTCGTTGAATTTCCTCTGCGTCAGGTTCATCTTCAATGTACACATGTCAGTTCCACCGCACAGATTAAGATACACCAGACAACCTAGATGTCTATCATTCGTGAATTCCCTCTGCCGTAACAAGAGACCGTGCGTGCCCCCAAATACTCTGCACCAAATTGGAGGCATAAATGGCGTTGAATTTGCTCTTCATCCCACTGGCCGAAGACCCTGCGATGTTGGCAATGCTATTTCCAACATTTGAGATGGAGTATTCCGGCGTCGGAGAGTCCTGCTGGATATGGGAGCTTTGCTCTGGAAGGGGATCGTTCACGGCGGATATTCTTCGTGATTATTTATCGACCAGAGCACATTCGTGTATACTATTATACTGTATACTGTACTAGTATTAGTATTAAGATGAGACCCCTTAACCGGGCACCCCGCTGACGTCCGAATTTGGCACCAAATTGAACATTTGAAGTTATATTTCACCCCCAACTATCTAGGAAATAGATGATCCTCTAGAGGTACCTTGGACGCCTCTTTTAAAGTCTTTTCTAATTTCTCCAATCCATGACTAGCCTTATATACCCATCTTTGCTCTTCTGCCTCCACCAAGGCCTTTCTAATACTGTCTATATTAAAAGCCGTGGTGTTTGGATCCGTAGACACCTTCCTTCTTCTCTTTTAAGTAGATAATCTCTTATTATTTCCCTTTCACCTATAAATAGTGGTATCCTTTAATGTACTCTCTGCCTGAACCTTTTCATCTTCTGCCTGCTTTATAAAGGACTAGTCGGACGTTCTTAGTGAGCTCCTGCTTCTGCCTAAGCAGCTCTATATTAATATAGATATGCCGGTGACATCAAGGGATTATATATAACAGAGTAGGATCTATTTTAGACTGCTTTGGGCTAGGCATTTTAGGAGCATCTTAATATTTTCATTGTATTCGGAGTGGGAGATTGTAGGCCCTTAGACGGATTCCAAAAATATAATCTAGTTGCTTTCTACCTACTTTTTAACACAGCCGGAGTAAATAACTCTATTCTTGGCTTCTAACAGCATTAAGTAAATCTTTCTTAATTAGCAAGATATTACCTAATGAGATAGATTTCTGTCTCCTGATAATAAGCCTTAATTAAAGAGAACCAAATCCAGTGCTTGAAGAAGTTAAAAAGAGTAAAAAGCAAAAAACCACATAGACTTGGTTCTGATAGTATTCCTAAAAAAAAAAATCTATGTTTTCATAACTTCTGTGGCTATCTAGAAGTAATATCCGATATCCATTATCTAGTCTCGTTTTAGGTAGAAAGGATAATTGTAACTAATATAAAGCAATATCTTTAAAGGATTATTCTAGGTGTCACGGGCTGAACCCATAGAACCTACAAGATAGGCTATTATGAAGGAAAGGAAAGGACGGGTGAACAAATAGGAAGAAACCACGTGATATAGGTCTTCGAGGATCAATGGGGCCAACAGGGACAGTAGGGTCTACGGGGACCAAGGGGACAACAGGGACCATAGGCCAGAGAAGTTAAACGGGCCCCAGCCCTTAACGTATTATCTCCAAGCATGTGTAGAATTCGATGGGCCATTTCTCGTACACGGGTATAGGAGGGAGGAAGTCCTTGCTGGCCTTGCTCAATCACCCATTGAGCAAGGAATTCTTCTTGGTATAGGACTTCATCTCTGGTGGTGGTGGTGGTGACTTTCTACCTGCTTTGATGACCAACTAGTCTTCGCTGAAGGGTAGTTCGGGGGATTTAATAGGCTTTATCAGGAGCCTTAACAGAAGCATAATTGCCATTTTCATAATCTTTAATGGCTAGAGCTGTATTATTTTATTGGGAGGCATGTTGGATGGTGGTGGTGGTTGAGGAGGAATGAAGTCAAATTCGATGAATTTCGACGCGTCGAACACAGGTCCCCGGACACGGAGGGACCCGATTAGTGAAGTTCCAACTTATAGTGCGTTCAACAATGCAGATGCGAAATAAGAAAACCTAGAGGACGAAGGTCAAGGGGGAAGACAAGCTATGGAGATATTAGTTGTTAGTTGAGGTCTGGCTGATTGCGTCAACCGAGCGACGATATCATGCGCATCATTGAACATGGAAGAGGCCGGAATTGTACCATTTCATTCACAGAATATTCAGGTCTGGTTTTAGCAGGGAATAAATCGATCCAGTAAAAAGCCTGTCTTGAACCACTGCATTGTGGGTGGAGAAGTGATCAGTCTAATGTGGGCTAAAGCCGATACCCGCGTGGAAGACACATTTATCAGGGTTTCTCATGCCCCCTAGTTAGATAGGTGGGCATGAAGTAGAGGTCCTGTGGATTTATATAAATCAGGCTCCTGACCTTCCAATCAGTCAAATCCTATACCGAAGAAACTAATCTCCGTTGGATTCTTGGGAATATATTATATTGCCCGAACAGGTCAAACTAATAATGGCCTTCCCATACAAGCATTCCTAGTCGTGGGCGCCACTTCAGGCATCGGCAAAGCCGTGGCAGATCGGCTGGTCGAAAATGGCGCCAAAGTAATGACAGTCAGATGACGACAGGATCGACTGGACGAGTTCGTGAGCCAACAAGGTCCGCACAAGGCCAGCAGCATCGTATTCGACATCAGCCAAGCGGCCCAGATTCCTCACTTTGTCACGGAAGTCACGACTAAATTCCCCGGAGATTGACTGCGTCTTTCTCAATGCGAGAGTCCAGCATCGCTACGACTTGACCTGTTAGGAGGGCTTAAACTTGGAAGACTTTCAGTACGAGATCCAAGTGGATTTCACCAGCGTCGTGGCCCTTACACATGCCTTCTTGCCATTTTTGAAGGCCAAAACGACACTGACGAGCTTTCTCTTGTAAGTCTCGATCAGTTCATGCGTTCTTTCATGAATCTCACTTAACTCGGAGACTCCCCAGTACTGGGACCAACCTGGCGCTTGTGCCTGCGACCCCGATGTCAGCTTATTCTGCTGCCAAGGCAGCATTGTATGGCTCGGACCACGTTATTGTAGACAGCATTGGGGAGCAAGAGAGGTTTTACGATATTGTCAACGTCGGGCGTCATTCGAGGATCTCGCCAACGTACTCCCATAATCATCCCAGCCGTGTCTCAGATGCAATGTAATTAATTATAGACCAGCGCCCAATCAAAGCGCATGCAGTAAAGCTTGTTCCACGTAATACTAACGCAATAGAACTTACTAGCCGGAATGCAGATGAATCTAGAGGCATTTTCAGGTCCAATCGGACGACTGTAGATCTCTATCAGGCTCATCATTTTCCTAATGTAGCCGAAAGTCGAATCCCACGACGACTCGAGCATCGGTTCCCTTCTCCTCAATCACCCCAGGGGGGTGAAACATGGAGATCGGATTTAAGGTTGAAAATGTCGGAGGCGTCGGACGTGGTGTCTGGGAGTCACGCACATAAAACACTGCACGTTCCCCTTGGAGGGATATGAAAACACACGTCAACGATGAAGCTCTCCAACGCTGCTGTCACAGTACTTCTCCCTGGCTTCGCCCATGCGGCTGGTTCTGCGGGCTGTGGGAAGCCATTACCCAAAGATCAAAGCCCTGGAGGGAACAGCCATCCAACAGACTTCATCACGTCGGACGGTACTCCACGGACTTATTTAATTCACATCCCGTCCAACTACAATGTGAATCGACCGGTACCGTTGATTTTTTCATTCCACGGGAGACATAAGACCGCCGAAAGCCAAGAAGCTCTTTCACAATTCAGCAACGAAGATTGGAACCCGGATGCGATCGCCGTGTATCCTCAGGGGCTGGACGTATGTCATTTCACCTTTCGTCTGAACTGATTTCCGAATCCTCCCTAACCGTACTCCTAGAAACAATGGCAGGGAGACCCTGACTCTGAAGGGGTGGACGATATCATGTTCACCATAGAAATGCTCGAGCACTTCGAGGACCGATATTGCCTCGATACATCGCGTGTCTATGCCGCTGGGAAGTCCAACGGAGGCGGATTCACCAACCTTCTCGCCTGTGACACCACCGCGTCCACTCGCATCGCTGCCTTTGCTCCGGTCTCGGGCGCCTTCTACCAAGACGAACCCAAGGACGATGATAGTGACTGTGATCCAACCACGGTGCCGATTCAGTGCAGTCCCGGCAGGTCTCCCATTCCGATCATCGAGTTCCACGGCGCTGACGATCACACGATCCCCTACACTGGAGGAAACCGACGGGGTAAATGCCTCCCTTCGATTCCGCATTTTGTGAGCGAATGGTCAGAGCGCGATGGATTCGGACTGCACAACAAGACGACGGATCTGTACGATGGCCATGTGCAACGATACGAGTATCCGAGCGGCGTTGGTCCAGGCACGGTGACGCACTATCGGATTGGGGGGTTGGGACATGACTGGCCTAGCAGGGGGCCAAATAGCGATAATCCAAATGGCACGTATTTAGATGCGACGCCATTGATTCTGGATTTCTTCAATCGATGGACATTATAAGCTCAATATGATAGAAGGACTCAAATAACAAAAAGCCAAACCGCCAAACACAATATCGGTTGTGTAGTGTAATGGTTAGCACATCAGATTCTGATTCTGGTAATCCCGGTTCGATCCCGAGCACGACCTTTTTTTCTTTCCCGATTTCTTTCCCGATTTCTTTCCCGATTTTTTTTTTTTTCCCTCTTTATTTATGTTTGAATTTATGTCCTGGATTTCTTGTCGATATTTTATATGATGAATTTATGCCTGATAAATCTCCTATTCTGTCTGTCAAAGAAATCCATCGACAGTCTCAATGTGGAATAGTGTCTCCCCACCATCCATTCGTTCTTCATCTTCCATTCAACCTCAAATACCCCTCCGTACTTCACCTACGGCATAGACACCAGAATGCCCCCCGTCCCCATCACCATCGTCACGGGCTTCCTCGGCTCCGGCAAAACCACTCTCCTACTGAATCTAATCCCACAACTACCACCATCGTACCGCCTAGCGCTCCTGAAGAACGAATTCGGCGACGTCGCCATCGACTCCCAACTCGCCTCGACGCAGTCCATCTCCGGCGTGCGCGAGCTCCTCAATGGCTGCATCTGCTGCAATCTAGTCGGCCAGCTCAGCGATGCGCTGCATCAGTTGCGCTCCGAGGTCCAGCCGGACCGTATCGTCATTGAGACCAGCGGGAGCGCATTCCCCGCAACCCTGGCCATGGAAGTCAACCGTCTGGCTCGTGAAGAGCCGGGCAGTCTGGTTCTGGATGGGGTGATCAGTGTCATTGACGTCGAGAATTGGCAGGGCTACGAGGATACCTCGTACACTGCTAAGCTGCAGGCCAAGTATACGGATCTGATCGTCTTTAATAAGTGGGAGATTGTCTCGGAGATGCGGTTCGATATTTGTCTCGACCGGGTTGGTGATCTTGAGGTGCAGACGCCCTGGGTGAAGTCGGATAAGGGAAAAGTCGATAAGGATGTCCTTCTGGGTATTGACGGGGCGCTGTTTACCAAACATGATGACAGTGCGGAGGCATTGCGGTTGACTAGTCACGATGATGGTCATCATCATGACCATCGTACAGACCATCAGTCCGAGGTGGAGGTACTTTCCGTCTCGCTGAAAACGGCCCAGCCTGAGCAAACCGTCGATATCGCCGCGTTGGAGCAATTACTCCTCAACGCTTCAAGAGACGAAGTCTACCGAATCAAGGGAGTCCTGCGCTGTTCGGCACGGTCGCCGCCGGCGGAATCGTCAGACTATCTCGAGGAGAGGAGGCCTGCAACGGACCGGAATGGAGCGACCCGGTATTACATTCTCAATTGGGCCTTTGGTCGGTGGACGTTCACCCCATCCGACACGGTCGCGGAGACTGCCGACGTCACGGTGGTCGCGCGCCTGACGTTCATCCTGGCACGGTACGAGTCGGCGAAATGGAAAAAGAAGCTGGAAGCAGGAGGACTCCTGCAGGCAGCCGCAGTGAATGACGACATGGAGCTGGTGGTGGATCGACTGGTTTAAGGCACCTCGCCGACCAAGGAGAGTGGAGCGGGCTCCAACGAGGCCAAAAGAGGATGTGGATTATATACAATAGAGGATAGACCATGACCTGTACATAGATACGTAAAGACGAAACATAGCTTGATAGAGAAAGAGACGTTAAGCCACCATACTGGGCCAATCATTTAACATATAACAGGACAAATATGCACAATTGAATTAAAATCCCGAATCTATTCTATCGGTAACAATAACCACAAGGCCAACGGAAGAACAGGATATAGATATGCCCGAAATCAATGTACGTCAAATACAGAAAATGCAGTGAACAAATACACACAACCGGTACAGGATAAAATAATCGGAATTCTAGTATTCCAGGAGCGCCGAGGCACCGGCTTCGCTCGAGATGTAGATCACCTCGTGGTTGTCCGAGAAGCCGTTGAAACGCGTTGCGCTGCATTTGGTGTAGGCGCCCATGTCCTCAAAGAACAACCAGTCGCCTACATCCAGCAGGCCGGGCAAAACGATCCGCTGGGTGATGTTGTCAATGCCATCGCACGTGGGCCCCCAGATGGAATAGGCGATTCCCTCCGAAGTCGCAGCAATAGGGGAATTCGCCATGGAGCCCGCCGCACAGCTCAAGATCTGAGCGACCGGGTGCTGGTGATCGAAGATGATGTTGGAGAAATTGCCGTACACTCCGTCGTTCAGGTAGATCATAAAGGTATCGTTTGCCGGTGTAGTAGGGTCCCGCACGTCGCGACGGGCAATCACGTTGGCCGCCAGGGTGAACGCACTGCCGACATAATAGCGCCCCGGCTCGGCGATGACGCGAATATGGGGCGGGAAGTATGTCTCGAGGGCCTCACTCAAGACACCGGCAAACTTCTCAAAGGTCTCGTGACTGAAGCCGCCGCCCACATCCAACGTGTGCAGCTCATGGCCCACGTCGGACGCCTGGTCGAAGATCAGTCGGGCGTCCTGGACAGCCTTGAGGAACGCAGTAGGATCCTCGGCTCCGGATCCGACATGGAAGCTCACGCCGACAACCTTCAGCTCAAGCTCGTGGGCGAGCTCGAGGAGCTCACGAGCCACATCCAACGACGCACCGAACTTCATGCTCAGGCGGCAGAGGCTGGTGGAATCATCGGTGAGGATGCGTAGGTACAATTCGGCTTCGGGGTAGCAGGCCTTGATCTTGTACAGCTCGTCGGCATTGTCAAAAGTCATCTGCTTGACCCCCCTTTGGGCCGCATAGCGCAGGTATGACTTGGTCTTGCAAGGCTGTGCGTAGATGATGCGGCTGGGATCGATGCCCGTTTCGAGAGCTAGATCGATCTCCGCCTTGGACGCGCAGTCGAAGCCGTTTCCCAGTTTCGCCATGAGGCGGAGGATCTCCGGGTCGGGATTGCACTTGACAGCTATTTGCCGGGGTCAGTCGAAGCAAGAAAGACAAAGATGTAAGAACATCCCGTTGAACGTACCGTAAAAAGGCTTGACACGACCCAAGTTCATTTTCCAGCGTAAATGCTGGCGGTAGACCTCGCCCATGTCTGCCACATAGAACGCATCCTCATCACCAGGACCGCAACGGTCCACATCAACTTCGGCGGCGCGCTTCTTCAATACATCCAAGACGAGAGCCTTGGCAGCCAACCTGGATTGCGGCAGGTCGTCCCCTCCATAACTACTGAATTGTGGTTGACTATGATTCAAACTGAAATCATAGTCTTGTTTGTCATATGCGTGTTTGGTCACGCATACTTCAGCAGGTACACATGCAGTCGGTGCCATAACCATGTGCGCTGCGACGAAGCACACGGGATAGGACTTTGTGGGGAAAAGAAAAAAAATGTAGAAAAAGAGAAAGATACGCGACTGCGTGTTAAGGAGGGCGAAAACTTTCGCAACCGAAGTTGACTGGACCAAGCCTCCTAGACCCTTCCTCTTTAAGAGGAAGAACCTTCAGAGAAGTCCTATGCGGCAGCTCAGGGGGCGAGGGAATAATTTGGGAGGGGGTCAAATGGTTAACAAATGGCGCACCGGACGAGACGGGAGTCGAGATCAGCAGGAGGTGGAATGTTGTTAAGAGTGTTACGGGAACGTCGATGCGATACAATTTGACGGAGAGAGAAATTGGAGGCTACGAGAGCCGTGGTGTTTTTTTTGGTGGGGGGGGGAGCCTTTGGAACGGGGGAGATTCCAAAGGCCGAGGGGTTGAAGTATGGAACGAAGCGGGAATAAAAATGGACAAATCACGAGGGATTGCCCTAAAATAGAGGATCTAAATAGCAAAAGAGCTGCGGTCAGTCACCTTGAGCAACAGGTAAGGAACCAGGAGTGTTCGAGGATAGTATGAGAGATTTATGGAATTAGGGGGTTGGCGGTCGATGGCGCAGCGAGGGTGGGTGCAGAGTTTTTAACGACGGCCAAACGAATTTAGGGCAAAGGGCACATTGATCAGGCAGAAACCAGACCCCTGGACCAATTGAGGAGGGGATACGAGACGAATCTTATTTGGGAGAGAGAAAGAGATAATGCAAGGATTCCTGCAGGACAGAGGGGAGAGAAAATGACTCACCTATTGATGTTGATATGATGGAAATGTGTGAGAGAGAGAGAGAGAGAGAGGCGAGAAATGGCAAAGCTGAGAAAGTGCGGAAGTCTGGTTCCTGTGGGGTCGTTGCTTACGGCATGCTCCAAATTGTACCTCCGAAGTATCTGTTTGCTGTCTTCACCGCTTTGGCGTTACACACGACGAACCTTTTGCAGCACTCGTCAAGCAAACTCTCTCTCTCTCGTCGTTCTTGCTTGGTTGACGTGTTCCTCTCACATTCCTTGGAACCCATCCACCCCTGATCATCCGGTAGATCTTGTTTTCGGGCGTTGATCATTTTCGAGCCATCGGTTTGGAACTGACTATCCTCATAATTTGCAGTGCTAGCTAGTCTCAGAGCCTGATCTGTCTGCAGATGGTCTGTCAACAGCGGGAATCACTGCCTCACATGGCATCTACTTAGCTTTCTTGCATATGCTTGTCTTTCAATAAGCTTTGTGACCCGGATTTCATCTTTGCCTCTCCAAACTTAATTATTGCGTATCCTTCCAGGTCCTAAATTTCGGTTGTCCCATTGAAGGCAGCCATAAGGTCACCAATCGCTGTCTCGTGATTGGTCGAGCTTGTTCTGGCCGCCCTTTTCTTGCCGGCAGAATTTAATCCGGTACTCGAAAGGCGGGGAGAGTCATTTGCCAATGAGAGTCAAGATATTTCCACATATGTCCTTAGCAATCAATAACTTTATGGCTCTGAACTATGAACAAGACCATAGTGAAGGATTACTGAACTGTTACTTCCTACGTGTCATTTGCAACTACGAATGCTACTACATAACAGTACGGATACTACTGGTATAATTTCAGGTTTCAACACTTAACATTGACTAAACTAATCATCACTGATAAGAAATGAACTGTATTAAATAAATAAAAAACAGAGATATGGGGAAAAAGAGAGAGGGGAGAGGAACATAACTAATGCCTAATAAACATGCCAAAAAGTAAGAGAATCACACTGCAATCTGATAGTCAGTTTCTCTACCCAAAGCCTAGACAGATTCAACTGATGTAATCCTCTAAAAAAACGAAAAGAAAAGAAAAGAAAAGAAAACAGAACCAGCACTGTTTCATCAGAAAGTCCGCAAATAGACCCATTACAAGAGGGAGTGCTGTATCTAGGGTTGTCATGAACCACTTTAATCTTACGATGAGGCCCTTCAACTCAACCTTATGACAACGCACCGGAGGAACTATCTCGGTATCACCGGCCTCGATGGCCCGATACAAGGGTTCGCCGGTATCACTGCGCACGTCCAGAATGCGAAGAACCGTGTACCCGATCTCATAGTGGGGTCTACCCTCCGAAACCATGGTGGTGACCATCTATGAAAGAGAGAAGTCTCTACCGTAGACTGTCTGGCGTAGAAGCTCACCAATGGCGCTCGCCGTCATACCGGAATTCACCCACTCTTCCAGATCATGGGGCAATCATGGGGCAGGCGGCGGATTTCGTCCCAGGTCATGCCACCTGGCAGGCGTGGCGCGTCGGGCATGGAAGTGGTCGTGGACGCTGAGGTCGAACCGGAGCTAGAGCTCTACGGCTCCGTCGCGCGAGAGGTAAACTCGTTGGCCTGCTGGTTGTCCATTTTGGTTGGAATTGCCAGAGGCAAACTGACTGAAGCTGGGTTCTGAGGCGAGAGTTTGTCTCAAGGGAAGTTCGGTTTGGAACCGGAGAGAGAGAGAGAGAGAGAAGGTAGAGTTGTGTACTCAGAATGAGTCTCTGACAGAAGGACAGCCTATTGTGCAGTCATCGTCCTGCCTTGTATAGACCTTCAGGAACAAAGGAATGGTTCATGATAAGGGTACAAAGACGACACACCATGGTGTTCTGACACGGATCCTTTAAACAGTGGGATTGTATGGGACTTGACATGCCATCAGCGTGAGCGAAAAGGCGATAGGGGTTATCATGCGAGCCCTACCAGAGTCTTTCCGGGCGTCAGAGTGTTTACTACGCCCCTTCCGATATTAGATGTGTGAAATATGATAATTTCCGAGATCGTTTTTGATCTGGACGCTGTTTTCCGCAAGACCACTTCATCGTTGGAAGTATTTTCCTTTAGATGATGGAGCATGCAGGGTATCCGAGCACGGTTACTTTGACCCTGTCAAAGCCTTAAGAGGCATTCCAAAATGGCTTGTTTTAAGTGGACATAAATGGCGGAAAGCTTCGATTTCCATATGGCGGCAGAGTATCATCATCAATAATACAAATTCCAAGATATATATACAGAGAGCCCAATTGAACCAGCAAATGGTTTAACCTAACATAGTGACGAAAAGTAAAGAGTAAAGAGAGCAACTAAATAAAGAATTGTAGGAGTGAAAAACAAGGGGTATATTAAAAGAAAATACAAGCCAGGCATCCGAGGCTTGCAAGGAGCAGTAGTAAATAGCAATCACAGCCATAGAACCCATCTAGCAGCCGAAACCAGGCCCCGAAGAACACCTCGAAGGAGCTTAAAGGCCATGACAATCAACCACACCCACCATAAAACTCCCACGAGCGCCCATTCCAGCATTCCAAACCCCGTTCGGCGAAGCCAACGCAGCCGGCGATGGCGCTTCCGGATCCCTTTGTCAAGTACGTCACTGAGCTGTTTGACCGCCAGGGTGCTGGTGGTGTTAAGCTGGATACTTAAATCTTCAGCATCCTGAGCTGCGGCTCTGACACGCGGATTCAACGCGTTCTGGACCAGATTTTCAAGGTCGTGGAGTTGAGACTTTAATGCCGACGAATCCTCTCCGGGGTAGTTATCGATTGACCGCTGGAACCGGTTATGCGATGCTTCGACTCTGTGCAGCAGGGTCTGCACAGCTAGTTCGTACTCATGGCAGCGAGGAACTCGAGGAACCGGAGTATTTGGCTCAAATGCTTGTTGAAGGAACTCGGGTGGATCTTGCACGCTCTCAGCCCGACGAGTAATCTCACGCGCCTTAATCCCCGAAGAAAGCAGGAGAGCTCGCGTGCGTGCAACCTCCCGTTTTCCAGGCAACCCGATATCTACTTCCGTAGGTATACTGCGCTCAGAAATACTCCAGCTCTGTGACTGATCTGAGCTTATAGGCTGTCTTTCTTGAGAAGACGACGCAGGAGTCACTTTTGCTTGCGCAAGACCCGTGACAGGGGGGCGAGTCATGCTGAACGGGACAGATGGATCCTTAATTCGGCCTTTCCGTATTTCTTCCCTGATGGTGTGCAGCTCAGGCCCAAAGCCAAATGATTTCTCGGGGCCACAAGTCGGGTGATGGTGGTGGAGCATTGAAGTCGATATACCTCTGTCTTTTCTCTGCGATTTTATCATGCCATAGTTTTGCGATTTGAGGTCATCTTTGGAACGGCGACCAAGTTCAGATACTCCACGATCTTCATCGAGGTCCCCTTGTCGGATGGGAGAGGATAACCGTGATGGTAATCGCACAGAACCCTCCGCACCTGCGTTCTCCGGCCCTCTGCGAGTAGGGCGGCTCACGTCATCTGACGACGTGGGGGCTTGGTGTGAAGGGGTCATGGCACCGAGATTGTTGTCCTTATTGGTGTCCTCAAGCTGTGTAACTTTGTTCTTGTCAAACGGCTCTATGCTGTCAGAAACGTCCCCTTCGTCTGCACCAGCACTGGTCGCAAAGGATGACTGCCGAGAGTGTACGGTACTGTCTTTCTTCAAAATGAGACCGCCCATTTTCGACACTTCGTTGCTGACTTTCTCTGCAAGCTTCCCTGGACCTCGGAAGATACCACGTAGTTTGGACTCGTGTTGTCCGGAAGATCCTTTCCGTGCATGTACGCCAACTTTTGTTTGGTCGCTGTGATGAACATGGGGAATTCGGTCTGGTAGAGGACTTGATTCGACTTTACCTGGCCGAGGCCAGGCATCTGTGCGTCCTGGGGTACTGTATTTACGCAAAGCCTCAGAATCGAATGAGTTGTCCTCTGCAACAGGCTGAGTATTGCTTTTGCTCCGGTCATGCCGGGACGTGATAGACCGCTGGAGGCGCGCCTTGGATGGTGATGGAGAACGACTTGATGGAGACGATAAATTGGACGCAATGCCAGGGAAAAAGCCCATATGAAGAGGCGTAGTAGGAACTTTTGGGTCTACTATGGTGGAGGATGCCAGAGGGCCGTATCGATCATCACGACTTGGAGCTGAGGATACGGAGCCGGTTTTCCCCTCGACCTTGCCCGCGCCAGCAAAACCCTGAGTCGGTACAGAAGTCTCATCTGCAGAGCCTTCGTCGTGTGGCGCTGCAGGCTCTTTCTGTATGGACATACTGTACGTTGGGGAGATCGATCGTCCAGATTGTAGTACATCATCCATACGAGAAGCCCAAGAGGGTCTTTCATCCAGGGTAGATATACTTGAAGAGCTGCTTGATCCTATTCCTAACTTGCGCCTTCGGGAACTTGAACCTTTCTTCGAGATACTTTGGCTGTGAACGACACGCGAAGGGCTTTTGAATCTATGCCGTCTCCTTCCACGACCAATCCTTTTAAACTCGGCCAAACCGGGATGAGAGTCGGAGAGAGAAGTACGAGAAGCAACCTCTGCTTCCATAGGCCTCCCTGTGGCTGGAAGCTGTTCTTCAGATTCTGGGATATGCTGATAAGTATCGTGATCAACCAACACGGTGGCATCTGGGTACAGATTATTTCCTTCCCGATCGACAATCCTACTCTTATTTGCGACGTGTTCAACCCAAGCAGCATCCGCCAGTAGCTCGGCTGGAGAGAGTATCCAGTCAAACCTCGGCCTGTAGGCCTTGGTACTGCTCGTACGGCTGATTTGCTTCAAACTTGACGGTGGGGAAGCGGCCCAAGGTTCCTTTTCATTCCGCTCTTTCTGAGGCACATCAAGCGCCCTGTGCCGAAAAGGAGGCAACCTCAGGCATTGTGAAGTGTTATGATCTTGATGGCTGTACTTGGTCTCAATGGAGGTAACCCAATCACGAACATTTTCGACATCATGCCATCCTTCTGCCTCCGGGTCAATCGGGCATCGCTCCCGGAATCTAACCTTCCGATTACGGATAACCTGGAGAGGATTGTAGACTCGACCGGAGGATGGTCTGTCATCATTGGCTGGGTTGGAATCAGTTGTAGAACGTGTGTCATGCAACTGGAGAGGAGGCAGAGATGGAAGTAGACGTAGATACTCGGTGAACAGTTCAAAATGCCGTTTGGCGTTTTCTGCCCGAGCTAGGGTGCTGTCTGAGGCTGTATGGGGGGAATAATTTGAACCTGCTGATGGGGGTAAGAGACTCAATACAGAGGGTGTCGCATTTGCCATGGGGCCCTCGTGCCATAATCCCACTGGCTTGCTCTGACCTTCAAACGGTTGTGGGAGGTTGCGATGTACGTGAGAATTATCTTGCCCGAAACCACTCGCCGCCACTGGTGCATGACTTTCAGCAAAAGGTACAGTGGCTTGACCAGCCGATGTGGACCATCGACCTCCTGAGAGACGATTCGAGGCGGAACGACCGAGAGTATTGAATTTCCTTGATTCACTCAAGTTCAAGGCCAGATTTACAATTTGTAGCGAGTCCTTATCAAGGCCCATAGAAGCCCGGTGTTCAGCTGGCATTGGATATAACGCATGAGTTGTCGCATCCTGTTGCACATGTTGTTGAGGAGCAGGCGGTTCCCGGGAAGATTCACCTTCTATCGATACGGGCGGTGTTTCTTTCGCAGTCTCTTTCTGGCGACTCCAGGGAAAACGCGACCGCTTCTTTGACACCGTGATATCGCTTTCGGGAGCTCCACGCTTCTCTCTTTGGTCCGGTTCTGAGCGACGGGCTTGATGATGACTGGTTCGGAGACTTATCGATTTCGGTAGAAATGATGAATCGACTAAGAAGCCACCGGAACTGTGCACTCGCCGTTGGGCTCGACCACCTCTGTCTGCGTCGCGGGAGCTGCCACTGAGCGTGCTGCCCTCTAGCGAGCTCCCCCGTCCATCCTTCGTTTGTATCCCTCTGCGCTTATCGGATCTATCATTCGACTCGAACTGGAGCGTCGGTTGCCATGTAGCAGATCTCATCTCTTTCTCAAACGCCCTGGACCGAGGGTGTAACGCCGTATGCGATTCATCGGTCCCTGGCGACATAAGATCTTCCGTCCCGTCCGATAGATAAGGGGCGTTTGACAGTGAAAGAACGAACTCATGAGTGCCGGCAACCGAAGCGGCAGGAAATAGCCATTCAGCGCAGACACATGAGAACTTAAGGAATTTACAGCGGACGCAGGTCCGTTGTTGTTGGTATTGTATGGTTGACACATGGAGATCAGCAATCAGCAGATGTCGGGGGAAGCACCATAGTCCATACATGCAGATGCAAACCGAACAAACATATCTATGTGCATTTACATCGCATACAATAAGTACCATTGTACGTAATGACTACTATACCACAGGTCTCAGGACAAATGAAACATTTCTAGCATTGAATCTACAACTAGAGGTACAAGTCCTGTAGAAAGGATAAAAGAACTGCAAAGGAAACCAAGGAAGCGCTGTGTTTTTCGGTTTATTCAACCCGCAGGCACTGAAGGCGCGCTTCGGCTTCGATCACCTGGAGAGGGAAAATATGTTAGTTACTCATTCATAGAAGATTCTAGTTAACAGCCTCATAAGTGGAAGTGGGGGAATACCTCAAGTGCTTGTCTCACTTCCAAAACCCTGCGCACTTCGTTGAGCCAATCCTTGCTCAGGATCTTGGCCCAGCCATTAAGACCATTCATCTCACGAGCGGCGGCGTCGAGGTTGCCCTCTTCCAAAAGGTTCTCGGTCCGGACAAGGACACTCTCCACATCATCACTGCCAGCAGCCGCGTCCTTCTTGAACATAACCTTGCTCAGAACAAAGCTGGCGGCGTGACTGGCAATACCGGCGTCCTCGGGCAAAAGGCTTGCCTTGCGGACCTCATCAGCGACGCGGCGGAAACGCTCGATGACTTGAGGGGTAGATGGAATCCCGCGTTGGTAAGCAGTAGGGTTGATGGAAGCAATGGCGGCCTCTACGACTGCGTCGTCCGCGGCCAGCTCCTTCACAGCGACAAGCTCACGAATAAATGGCCGAGGAACGGTAGAGCGTTCCAGGACAGAGCGCACCGCATCCACGGCGACCTGAAGCTGCTGGGTCTTGAGGTTTGTGTCGATCACATCCCTCCAGCCAGAGGTGAGCTTCTCCAATTCACTCACATTGGTGGTGAGCTCATTGAGCTTGCTCAGACGGCCCTCGCGCTCCCGCTCGACAAGATCCTTCACGTCGTGAAGATACTTGCGGTTAAGTTCAATGGCTTGCTCAACCAATTCATTTTGAAGGCGCTGTTCGGCCAATTCCTGCGCCCTCTGCAGTTCCGTCTGGATCTTCATCTGGTACGCAGAAACCAACTTTTCACGCTCTGCCTCGAACTCCTCCCGGTACTGAGCAGCATCGTTGGCGCGTGCTTCCTCAAAGCGACGGATGAGTTCACGAGCAGACTCGTCGAAAGTCGAATGGGCCTGCTTAATCTCTTCCTGGGCAGCGTGACGTGCCTCCTCCCGAACAGCGATAATCTTCTCTCCAACCTTTTGAAGTTCCTCTTTAGCCTTGTCGATAGAACCAGCATACTTGGATGAGTTCTCATCAGCACTGATAACAGTGATGATGTCGTTAAAAGTCTTCACCAGCTCTTGCACAATAGCCTCATCCCCCTCGTTGACCTGGGCGAATTCAAGAGGTGTCACAACAGGGATGGCTGGTTGTCTGGGCTCTTCACTCGTCTTCTCAGCGGCCGGTTCCTTAGCCGCTTTGTCGCTCTTTGCCTTTTCCACAGCGCTTGTCTTATGCCCCATCTTAGCAGTGTCGGTCATAGTTTGCGCTTCGTTACCCTTACGGCGGGCTTCGACAGCGCTCATATGTGGACCTTTCTGTGAAACATCACTGCCGGAAGGCTCTTCCTCTGCGACCTTAGAAGAGAGTCCGCTCTTGCTCGGAATTGTGATCTTGCTGCCCTCATCCTTGGAAGCACTGCGCTTGGGAGCTCCGAGAGTGTTCGGGAATCGGCGGTAAAAATCGCGTTCTTCGAAATAGAGAACGGCCTCTTCACCATAAGGGACGTACTCCGTGAAGAAATCATGGAAATTGTCGGACTTCAGGGCCAAGAAGATACCTCCACCGTATGCAAGGCCCGATGTGAGGGCCAAATAGAACAGAAATCGGCGGAAACGTCCTGTTTTGGGAACCGAAGCGGGCGGTGGGGGTGGAGGAGCCTGTGAACCTGTAACTGGCTTAGCATTGGAGACCTGGATTGTTTCAATTGGCAAATGCTGTCGAACCTTGCTCACTGGGTGACGCCTTGAGGACGGTCTCCGAGGGGGGGACGGAGTCGGAGGATGGGGTAGCTGGAGTGGGCGTACCGGCGGTAGGAGGTTTAGAATCGGCAAAGAACCTCTGATTCAGAGAGAAAAGCCAGTTAGTAGATAACACAGAAGGAGCTTAGTACATCATCACCATACCTGACCGGAGAGCCGGGTGCTGGCTCCGGCTTTGGACAGCCATTGGGGTGCCGTCCGTTGACGAGTCGAGGACAACAGCAGCTGTCGACCATGTGCAGCAGATGAGCGCAGCATGACGGGCTGCCCTACTGTGGAAATAAGCGCTGAAGGCGGGTGTATTGGAGCGGATGGTGTTGGCGAGACAAAACGCGGACCGGAATTGAATGGATTGATGCTTTACGATCCGCTCCGATCCTGCACCGCCGTTCGGTGGCTTAGCTCGGCTGTCTTTGCACCGCCTCGGCCACCACCTCAGCTCTATCACATTATCGAGATGAACTACTACGAGAAAACCTCAAACCTGCAAATAAAATTGGTACTGATTCTCCACTAGAGAAATTGAAGAAGTATTATATAGGCCTAGCATACGGGGAAAAGAAAAAGAGAAAAATCAGACAACACTAGACATCGAAGAATAAAGGAAATGTAACATGGATTCAGCCCAACAGAGAAGATGGATGCAGACGCCGGTAGCAAGGAAAACAGAAGCAGGTAAGAACGAGGTTAAGTAAATAACTATGCCGCAGGGATAGATAGCCCTGCCACATGAGGTCTAGAAAACCGGATCCAAATAGGACATTGCACGGCATCCGAATCCCCACTCCCAATAACAACAACTGAAACAAATATCTCGGACGAGAACGTAAGCAACGGGAAATCAACGGGCCATGGAGTCCGAAAACCAGAGTCCATGACGATGAGCCTTGGAATCTCTTAGCAAGCAAGCAAGCACAGACCACTTGATTCCAGCAGCCGATTTCGCCAACATCAAAGCACCATGAAAACGCGGAACAGTCTGGTTAAAAGGTGATTGATGGTGCCACCGATTCTGCTCGGCATACTGATCCGTAGCTACACTTGAAGACGTGTACCTTCCGTATCTAGGAGACAAAATGGAAACGATGGGATAGATTAGGGCGGGAAAGGAAGATACGAGTCTTCACACGGCTTGGCCAACGTTAGAAAAACTAGCAATTGCAGGAGCCAGCGCCTTGGGTACCAGGGGCCTCCGGGCGCAAGTCAACACCGGGACGGGGGGTTGTCCGTAGGTTCCGAGGTCCGGCTTGATCAAGAGGAAGTTTCTTTGCGATCGCTGTGAATAGTTCCCGCACATTCTCGGAGGTCTTCGCCGAAGTCTCAAAGAAGAGCAATCCAGCTTCACGGGCATATGCCTCGGCATCCGCCGTCGGGATAGCTCTCTTGTCGGGACTATCGGTGACCAAATCGAGCTTGTTACCCGCGAGAGCAATGACAATATTTTCGTTTGCTTGACGCTGTAGTTCCTTCACCCATGACTTGGCTTTATCCAATGACGACTATTTTACAGCGTGTGAGATTAGCACTTCACGAGAAAGACCTGAAGTTGGAACCCGGGACCATACCGCTTGTGTGATGTCGTAGACAACGACGGCACAGTTGGCATTCCGGTAGTACATCGGAGCCAAGGACTTGTATCTCTCCTGACCAGCAGTATCCCATATTTCAAATTTGACCGTTGTACTTTCGTCCAGAGAAATCGTCTGAGTTAGGAAGGCAGCGCCGATCGTCGACTCGCGGTAGTCATCGAATTGATCCTACGGTATGTGAGCCTCGGTACACGTCCAGCAACTATGCTACAGTCCTCTCCAGATTCAAAGGGAAGAAGGAATCAAGGTATACCTTGACAAATCGTAGCACTAGCGAACTCTAGTAGTAGCAATGAAGTCAGCGACCGCCCGACAGGCAAGAACCACATAACAGGAACCCTAACCTTTCCAACAGCCGACTCCCCTATCCGGATGAGAGAAACAGGTCAGCATTTAAACCGTACCAAATACGGAGTGGCAGGGCTAGTCGAAGCTCACCAAGTAAGACCAGTTTAAACTGAGCGAATCTCGCACCGGGTCGGGCGCTTGCTGCTGCTCTGGATGCCATAGTTTGTATGGGGTCAAGAGAGCAACTGGAAAAAGAAGATCTCAGAGGTGATCAATATACACAGCTGTGAATGTTTTGAAGTTGATAAAACGGGGCTAGGAAGCCAAAGGGGAGGGGAGGAAGTGAAGACGCTGTGGTTTCGGGGGTAGAAGATGCTGGGAGGTTTGACGGCGGCCTGCCGGCAGTGGTCAGTTGTAGATGACGAAGGTGATTAGCCACCGTTTGGCTGCTACGGCGGGGCGGTGTGTGGCTTATGTCTTTCCCGTGCTTTCCTTCCACATGCTCAAGCGTTCGGCCTCAATCGCCAGCATTGGTTACTGAGTTACGGGTTCCTAACTTCTTGTCCTCTGCTTCTGCCTGCTCGACTCTCCTTCCATTCCCCTCAGTTTCTCTTATTGAAAGAGTCATGCATTGAATTTCCACGTTCCTTGATCCTTCGGTTTCTTCATTTTTGTCGTTTGCAGTTATCATTGTTTTCCACTTCTTTGTTCGATCGAGTCTACTCTTCCCCTGCCCCCGATAGCTGGTACATAGTGGGTGGCACCAACAATGGCCACTTCTATCCTCCCGTTTCGGGACATCAACCTCCATGCCTCTGCCGCTCATTACGCCTTTACGTCCCCGTCGTCACCCAATGCTCCTGCGCTGGTAGTTGACCGTCCGACCGGTGACTTGCGTCTCCACAATGGTCCTCTTTCTGGTGCGAAACGCATATCCAGTATTGCTGGTATCTTGGGTATTATCAAGTTGAAACTGGGTATGTCCGTTGGCTACGCAAGCCCCACGTTGCAGTACTAATGGCTGCAGATAAATATATCATAGTGATCACCAAGGCTCAGCCCATGGGCCGGCTGCGCGGCCATATGGTGTACAAAGTCGCTGGAACCGAGTTCTTACCCCTTCGTGAACGTCCGTTGCATGATAACGATGAAGATACCTATCTGGCGCTATTGAAGGAATTACTACGAACGGGCCCGATGTATTTCTCGTATGCGTTAGATCTTACGAGCAGTTTCCAGCGCCAGTCGCAAAGCGATGCGAGCCTCCCGATGTGGAAGCGGACGGACGACCGTTTCTTTTGGAATCGATTTATCCAGTCGGACTTGATCGACTTCAGCCTAGGCGGGCAGGACACAACAAATCTGCGCTATGGAGCCCAGCCCGGGGTCGATCCCTATATTCTGCCGGTGATGTACGGAATGCTACGTATCACTCCAGCAAGGGTCAAGTCGACTACGTTCACATTCGCACTCATCACTAGGAGATGCCGTCATCGTGGTGGAACGAGATACTTCTCACGCGGCATAGATGAACATGGCCACGTCTCCAATTATAATGAGACCGAGCAGGTCGTCATCTTAAACGATGCAGCCGGGGGCCTAGCGGGTTTTGCGGGCGGCCAGTCGATGAAGGAGAAATCGAATGCACCGGGCCAGGACCTACAAGTGATGGCTTTTGTCCAAACCAGAGGAAGTGTGCCGGTGTATTGGGCCGAGGTCAATAACCTCAAGTATACCCCCAAGCTTCAGGTTCGTGGAGTGGAAACGGCCGTCGAGGCTGCTCGGAAGCATTTTACCGAGCAGATCCGATTATACGGGGAAAATTATCTAGTCAACCTGGTCAATCAGAAAGGAAGAGAAGAGCGTGTGAAGTCGGCATACGAGCAGCTAGTACGCACTTTGGTATCGTCCTCAACCGAAAGTACCGAGGCTGACGCACAATCCCCCGAGAAAGTACACATTTTGGAGTCAAGCCAGAAGCAGAAAGAGCTCGACCGACTGCATTATGTGTACTTTGACTTCCACAACGAAACCAAGGGCCTCAAGTGGCATCGTGCGGAGCTTCTGATGGACCGATTGCTGGAGGGACTCACGCGGGGTGGTTATTTCCGTGGTGTGGAAGACCCCGGTGTCCCTGACGGGCGGTTGGATATTCGATCTTCGCAGAGCAGTGTTGTCCGCACCAACTGCATGGACTGCTTGGATAGAACGAATGTGGTGCAGAGTATGCTGGGGCGCTGGGCCATCACGCGGCAACTCACCGATGCCGGGGTTCTTCGAGCCGGGGAGGCGGCGAACGACGATCGGGGCTTCGAGAACTTATTCCGGAACATCTGGGCTGACAATGCAGATGTCGTTTCCAAATCGTACTCTGGGACCGGAGCATTGAAAACCGATTTCACTCGCACTGGCGAACGCACTCGGGCGGGAATGCTGCAGGATCTGAACAATTCTATCACCCGATATGTGCGCAACAACTTCATGGACGGACCCAGGCAAGATGCATTCGATGTCTTCCTGGGCACGTACCTTCCGCCGGATTCAACCCTTGGAAGCTTGCAGGTCTTTACTGACCGGCGGCCGCTTACTATCCAAGCCATCCCTTACATCCTGGCTGCGGGCGTGTTTTTCGTCGTGGTTTCTATGCTATCAAAGCGGTTACCTGATGCTGCAGTGTGGCCACTACGCTTATTCGTTATTGTGTGCCTCGTAGTTTCCGCCTGGTGCGCGCGCTTCGTCTTTGGGCATGGGATGCTTTATGTACGTTTCTTCCTATTGATTTTTTCTTTTTTTTTTTTTTTACATGGCCGTCCGCTAACATGGTGAAATTAGGTAAATTGGCCCAAATTAAACACTCCTACGGCTGGCTCCGAAGGTTATCAGGATGCGCTTCTTAAGGCTCATACGGACCCCGTTATTGGACGGTTTCTCCCCTCGAACAGACACCAGAGAGGCTATAGCAGTGCTCGGTTGGGTTTTCTGGAAGAGGGCAAAAAAAGGATCGAATAAAGACCGGCTACTCATTTTCATGGAATCATCATCATTCTTTTCGTTTGTCCCAGGGCTCAGTCGGCACCTGGTCTAGTGTACGGCTCTGGTGACCTTTCTACTGTATTTACTTGTCTCTTGTTCCTTCCTTTCTTGTCTCTTTTGTTTTCAATATAGCCTCTTCAAACTTCAGTATGATTAGCTTTTGAATGTATAGAGAATATCTTGTTTCATTTACTTTACATGCCGCTCTGTAAACTTGGCGTCCTCTCCACATGCTATCCCCACGCCGATGCCGTTCACGTGATAGCGATATGATTCAGACGGCGGAAGCAGTTACGGAAGGGAACACACAACTTTTCGGGCCCCAGATGGCGTTGTGAAGCCAGCTGTTTTCTTGCTTGTCCCTGATGAGAGGCCCCCGTATACTTCTTAGGCTTGCAGTCAGTCAGTTCCGTCGGTTCTCGTCGGGTTACCCCACCGCCATGGCTCGCAATTATGAGGTACGTGAAGCCTCCCTTCGGATTGCCAAAACAATGCTCTGATGTCATGCAAACTCCAGGCTGCGGTCGCGGCTCTCAATTCTCTCCAATCCAATTTCACGACTGTCCAGCTCCTAAATGTGCCAGAAACGAGGCATGCTATGAATTTACAGTCATTGCCGGAGACTGTTGAATGGCTTCGACGCATTGGTTATCAGGTTCGCATTCCTTGCTTATGTTGTGAACATGCATTTTTCTTCATTAGCTGCAATGGACACGGCTCGGATTGACCTCTCTTCTATTTTACTGGCATAGCCTTCAGATTTAAATCGCCTCAATCCTATTCATGTTGCTGGTACAAAGGGCAAAGGTTCGACATCTGCCTTTATCTCTTCCATTCTTAATCAGTACACGATCTCGGAATCGGGGGATTCCTCGCCAAAGCTTCGGAAAGTCGGCCTTTATACCTCCCCGCACTTGCGCTTTGCTCGGGAACGCATCCAAATCAACAATGCCCCGCTCTCCGAGGAGAAGTTTGCTCAGTACTTTTTCGAAATATGGGACCGACTTGAGGCAGCCGCTCTGGCGGAGCGTGACACCCGGACCAGCTTACAAGGGAAACCACAATACTTTCGGTATCTTACCCTGATGGCATTTCATGCATATATGAGTGAAGGTGTAGATGCTGCAGTAATTGAGTGTGGAATCGGTGGAGAGTATGATTGTACAAATGTGATTGAGCACCCAGCTGCGGCGGCAATTACGAGTTTGGCTATCGATCATACGAACATGCTTGGGAACACAATTGAGGAGATCGCCTGGCATAAGGGTGGTATCATCAAGCTGGGGACTAAAACATTCAGTACCCCGCAGATAGCCAGCGCGGAAAAGGTTTTGTATGATCGTGCAGCGGAGAAGAATACGGAGCTAGAAATAGTGACGAGCCATCCCGATCTAGCCGGCAACAGTCGTGTGAAGCTTGGTCTGGCCGGTGATTTCCAGTATGCAAATGCAGCTTTGGCTGTTGCAACGGCTGCGGAATTCCTCAAGAACGTTGGGATTGATAATGTCACGCATGATTTTCTGAGGAAACCTCTGCCAGCTAAATTCCGCAAGGGATTGGAGTTGGCTCAGTTGGGAGGCCGATGCGAAACTCGACAAGAAAGGAATATTACTTGGTACGTCGACGGTGGCCATACCCTTGAGAGCATTAAGCTGGCTGGTCAATGGTTCGCTTCCCAGATCCAGATCAACTCGTCCTCCACCGCTGCAGCCAACAAGAAGCCGCGAGTTTTAATCTTCAACCAACAGAAACGCGACAGCAACGCCCTAGCTCAAGCTCTTCACGACACTCTTGCTGTGTCGCTTGGTACTGAACAACCGTTCTCTCACGTCATCTTTTGCACCAACGTCACTTATAAAGATGCGGGCTATCGACCTGACCTTGTAAGCATGAACACCAATGCGTCGGTCGTGGATAAGTTGCAAGTTCAGAAGGGCCTTGCTGAGAAATGGCGCTGCATCGACCCGAGTGCGGAGACCAAAGTATACAGCACAATCGAAGAGGCCGTGGACTTTACGCGAGAGTTAGCACGGCAAGAAAAGAACCGCATGGATAGTGACGAAGCCCCCGTTATGACTTTTGTCACTGGCAGTCTACACCTGGTCGGTGGGTTCCTAGACGTGATTGAAACCAAGCCCAGCCAGGAATAAAAAGCGACTCTTCCGATTTTCATCGAATGTACACCGGTCCCCGTGATCGACTGGACTCTCTACAATCTCTTGATTTACCAACTGGTGGTGTTCTCAACAACATGTTTAACGATACCCAGCAAGGCTGATCTGGTCATATATATATATGCGCCTTGTTAGACCTGTGAGGAATGACTTGGGTATATTGCAAGGCGTTTGTTTTGGACTTCAACAACTTCTCAAATTTTTTTTTTTTTTTTTTTTTTTTTTTTGGTTTAAAAATACAGATACACATTGGGACTCCAATTCGAGCCGAGAATTGCCATTATCTTCTAGCATATAGACCAACATGTACCTGTATTACCCATTGCTCACTGCCGAGGTAAGACTGTGGGCGACACCACCCACTGTATGCGCCACACCAAGCGATTCAGGATTAATCGTTGAGATACTCGAATCAGCGTCTGACGGTGATGGCCACCGTCCCCCCAATGAGAAACGATTCATTTCGGGGTGGACACCTATATAGAAGGTGGTGGAGGAAATACATGAGGGAGTAAAGTGACGTGGGGCGGACAAAAGCTCCACACGCTTTCCTTCCCGCACGGAACGCCATTCTCTCCTTCTCCTCACCATCGCGCCCACGCCATGCCTGACTCCAAGGATACCAAGGGCAAGGCGCCCCAAGATTCTACATCTGAGGGCGACGCAGCTCCTAGCCCCAACCCTTCCAACAACAATTCCAACGATGCCACTCCCCTGGGAAAGATCACCCCTCAGATGGCGGAAACCCTTCTAGAAAACAACCCCGCTTTGAAGAATGAGATGGTCGGAATGGACAGAGAAAAAGCGGCAGAGGCCTTGCGCAAGATGGATATCGCCCAGCTGTTGACGGGTCTCTCCGTCACCGGAAAGAACCAGAAGGACATTGCTTCGTACAAGTTCTGGCAGACGCAGCCGGTGCCTCATTTCGAGGACACCAGTAGCGCCACCGGAGGTCCTATCAAGATGATCGACCCGGAGAAGGTGTCCAAAGAACCGGATCCGTTGATTGAAGGGTTTGAATGGACGACCCTTGATCTGACGAACGAGACGGAGCTGCGGGAGCTGTGGGATTTGCTGACGTACCATTACGTGGAGGATGACAATGCAATGTTCCGGTTCAGATATTCGGAATCGTTTCTACATTGGTATGGACATCGGAATATGCCCTTACCCCCCTTCTGCGCAAGGACACGCATTGATACCCTGGATTCAAAATGCTAACAATCGTCGTGATCTAGGGCTCTAATGTCCCCCGGTTGGCGGAAGGAATGGCATGTGGGTGTTCGCGCTACCAAGTCCCGGAAACTGGTCGCCTCCATTTGCGGTGTGCCGACAGAAATCCGTGTTCGTGACCAGAAGATCAAGGTGACGGAGATCAACTTCCTTTGCATCCACAAGAAACTCCGGTCGAAGCGGTTGACCCCGGTTCTGATCAAAGAGATCACCCGTCGGTGCTATCTGAATGGAATCTACCAGGCTATCTATACTGCTGGTGTGGTGTTGCCCACTCCGATAAGCTCCTGCCGATACTACCACCGTCCCCTGGACTGGTTGAAGCTTTACGAAGTGGGCTTTTCGCCCCTGCCTCACGGTTCCACAAAGGCCCGTCAGATCACCAAAAATCATCTTCCCAGTAACACGTCCACCCCAGGTCTCCGGCCGATGGAGCTGAAGGACGTCGATGCCGTTCATGATCTGCTGGAGCGCTATCTACGGCGCTTGGCCATGAACCAAGCCTTCTCCCGAGAAGAAATCAAGCACTGGTTGGTACATAAAGATAACGCGGACAAAGAGCAGGTGGTGTGGTCGTATGTCGTTGAGGATTCCGAGACACACAAGATCACCGACTTTTTCTCCTTCTACAACCTAGAGTCCACCGTGATCCAGCACCCAAAGCACCAGTGCGTGCGTGCGGCCTACCTGTATTACTATGCCACCGAGGCCGCGTTCACCGACGACCCTAAGATTCTGAAGGAGCGGCTCCTGCTGTTGATAAATGATGCGCTCATTCTGGCCAAGAAGGTACATACCTGCTGGGTTCCTTTCTCTTTTTCTTTCGGAAAAGACTAATCGATGTTGGCATCATTCTAGGCTCAATTCGACGTGTTCAACGCACTCACCCTCCTGGACAACCCGCTGTTCCTGGAGCAGCTCAAATTCGGCGCCGGTGACGGCCAGCTGCATTTCTATCTCTATAATTACCGGACTGCGCCAGTTCCCGGGGGAGTGAATGAGAAGAATTTGCCTGATGAGAAAAGGACTGGAGGGGTTGGTATTGTTATGCTGTAGTGTCGTGTTTCTCGCATTGTATCTAGTAGTGATGCTGTATCTATTACGCTACAAGGGGTGGTCAAGAAGTTACGAAATGAAAACTTGGTCTGGCTGGGATAGTTATCAATATGTAGTTGTAAGATAATGATGTCTTAATTTCATTCATAAGTGGGAGAAGACGATGACCGAACGACTGCCTAAAATAGCCGACATGCCCCGAGCGCCAAGGCCGCCATGTATCCGCATCCGTGACGTCGTTGTCGCCTCGTCCACTATGTCTTGCATCAACACCTCCTCAGAATGCTTGGCCAACTTGAGGGACCCCGATTCTATAGATCAAGATCCTTTATCGTGGGTGATACGCTTCATCAGCGGATCCTTTCCTCTTCATAGGCTCCTAGAACGGTCTCCGTTTAGCACTGGGTCTGAGTGTTTATTGATCTCGATTACTTGGAGGTTGATTTGCCTACCATACCGACCCTATATATTTTAGACGGCTTGTGCCATTTCTTGAAATTTTATACACTAGAATTGCAGTTGTTGATAGTACCAAGATGGGTGTAGGTCCATCGTCTGAATATCCCGGCAAAGCGTTCTCGCCAGGTTAGTACTTCGTCACCTCGTCGTACGCGGTGTTATCAAGGGATGTCAAGGGATAGGACCTTCGGGAAATATCTGACCAGAAGGGACCAAATGGAACTAACAAAAGGTGTAGAAGAGCTGAGCGTTGCGCTCGCTGAACGTTTCGCAACTAAATGCTTCACCCCCTTGGAACTCGCACATTTCAAGGACAATTTCTTCAGCCGCGCAACGGACCAGGGTGGCATGAAGTATTGGAACGAGAAAACTCTTTCTGACTTCCTGGGTATTCCAGATAGCAGTGATGCTGACTGTCCATTGGATGCTGGGCCCGTGATCTTTCGCATGGTTTCGTATCTTGGCGCATTTCCGTTTCAAAACACGTTGGCTCCGAGCGTTCTGACGTTTGAGGCCATGGTGAAAGTGGTTGTGCTGCTGACGGAACGATATGGGAAAGTATTGAGACGAGCAAGTAAAGACCGGATTAGACTATTATTTGGTAGTCTTGCCGATGTTGGCCGGAAGGATGTCGACCGTCACCCAACGCCTAACAAAACTGTCGAGGAATATGGGAGTGGTGATTCTCCGGTTGTCAAGTCCCATGCTATGGGTTTCTCAATTGATGAGCCGGCTAATGACAGCTACGAAGACGACGAGGACGACGATCTTGCTCTTGCTGCGTTGGAATCCTTGGATGCCATCGAGGTGTTTAGACACGACTCTCGCATTGACAAGGCTGTCTACGAAGCTCGGATCTCGATTGCTACATTCCGCCGTCTCTTGATGCTGCTGCTTGTTATCTCGCCTCTGGAATCGACCCAGTCTGTGGAGATATATACAACGGATTTGTCCAAAGACCGCATGGAGAGTGTTCGGAAAGAAGCTGATAACCTCCTGGCGGCTTTCCCACAGGAGAAATCCGGAGGCATCAGCTACGTGACATTTGCTAAGACCATATCAACCTCCTTGCCGTTTATTTTTGATCCTTTGACGCCTTTGTTTGAGCATCTCCTCTTCAGTAAAAACCTAGATTTATCCCAAAAGCGGTCTCCAGATGACCCTAGAGCAGCAGCATCATCATCCAAGGAAGCGTCAGAGACTTTACTTCTACCACTTCCGGAATCTGTCATGCTCCCTGGTAGCTTCAAATCCGTGATTCTGAACCCCAGCATTATATCTCATCTTTCATTCTTCCTTCCCTCGACCACCTCCAACCAGAACCTCCTCCGTGGAAACACGCGCCTGCACCCGGTATTTTCAACCGCGGGACATGGCACTTCCTTGACATCCTTCTCCCACAACGTGCTCACCTGGCAATCAGGCACTCTACTCCTTCTCGAAGGCTACATTTCCGGGTCATCCCGGGATCAGGAAACCCCAATCACAATAGGCGCCTTTCTACCCCAGCCCTGGAAATCCGGAACCTTGACGACGCATTCCACCAAGCCAACAGAACCGTCCACACTTCCGTGTCTATTCCAACTATCGCGAAAACATCTCGTCCTACAGGGAAATTCATCCCCCTCTGTACAGAAACCCAACATGCCTACGGCATATTTCTCAACCCACTCCGGCATCTCCATTGGGTGTCAGATCCCTCCTTCGTCTCGCACCCAGCAATTACGCCCTTCGCCTCTCGGTGCAGGCAGTCTGACCATCGACGTTGGTCTCGAAACCGCGAATTTCCACGTCTCCCCTATTGGTCAGAATGGCGTATTCCTACCCCCTGCTACCGGCGGACCCTCGGACACCTCGACCACTCGCACCCATATTGACATCTACAATCTCGAAATCTGGGGTCTTGTGCCTGATCCGTCGACCTCGACCGCGTCGGAGCCGGGTCAGAGCGCTGCCGAATTACAGCAAGCGAGATGGGAGTTCGAAGCCAGAGAAGCTGAGAGAAGACGGAATTTGAATCTGAAAGCGGGCGCGGGAGATAGCGCCGCTGAGAGCGCTAGATGGCTTCTGGAGACAGCTGGGTTGATTGGTGATAGTACTGGGCGACCCAGGCAAAGTGCTTAGAAGATGAGGTGTTGGTGTCGCATTGGTTGAATGACCTCAGTTGTCTGGCCTGACTTGTGGCGTTCTTTAGGTTTTGGGAGAGTTTTTTAGGGAGTTTTGTAGTGTGGAATGCTTTTCTTTTGAACTTATTTAATGCTTTCTCAGTACCCTTTCTCAGTACTGAACAACTCCTACGATGCATGGAAAGATGGGAAGGTCACTATATTCCTTATTTGAGCGAGTATGCTGTATATATGGGCGTGGTTTAAAATAGTGACCCCGGAAGCACAGCTGCAGGACGGTGCTAGGCAGAGTCCAAGAAAATTACAGCTATCCATCTGCCAGCAATGGCATTAGGGTCTGACTGAGATAAGGCCCATTGGAGGGCCATAGAAATCTCTGAGTTCTTCCTCCTCTTCCTCTTCCACTTCCTCGACAATCTCGCTATTCTCCGCTTCCGAATCATCAGCAACAACAGCAGCTTTGCCCCGGGATACCCGATTCTGGCCTGTTGGAACAGGAGTCCCGCCCTTCTTGCTCTCCTCCACTTCAGGACCTTCGCCAGGTTCTTCCCGGGGAAGACGAAATGCAAGGAACCCGTCAGGAGCGCGCTCAGCGCGATCCATAACCTCATTCATGTATTTGCGGACCTCTTCTGGAGGTTTCACGACGCGAGTCAAAGGTTCTAGAACCTTGGGGTTGGTACTGTGGATGCGGAAGGTAACTGGTTGGTAGTACTCTTTCAGATTAGAAGTGTTTTTCGTATCATCCGGTTTGTCTTTGGCCGGCTGTTTATCAGAATCCGCTTTGCTGGGAGTCGCTGTTGTTTGGCCTTTTTGTTCGCTCGGTTCACTTGCTGTTTTGCCCCCGTCGACGGTAGGCTCTTTGGACTCCGTGGTCGCAGATGGATCTTGCGTAGATGGCGGGTTGACGGCGTCTTTCTCTTCGCCTGCCTTTCCGTCTTCTTTTTGCGTTTCTTTTCCATGTTCGGTGGCAGTAGCCTTGCCTTTATTCTTCTCCGACTTTTTCGACCTGGGTGCTGACTTTCCCTTGCTGCGGGAGTTTCCCATGTCTGACGCGGTCTCTATGGGAAACGGCGCGTTCGGGTCCACTTTCTTCACAAGCAAGAACGATGCAAGGACTGTATTCCCTCCTGGAAGCCATTCCAAGATCGTAAATTCGGGAAAAAGGTACCGATCCCCGGAGCCGGCATGGCCAGAAGTGCTGCTTCCATATGGCGTGAGTGGTGATGTGAATTCAAAGACCACCGACTTGTAGTTCTGCCGCGGCGGGGGAGGAGGTGCAGGGCGATAATAAGGAGCTGGAGATCCGTATTGCTGCGGTCGGGACTGGATTGCAGCCGGGTGGTTTGGGTACGGCTGCTGCTGGTATGGGGGCCCTGGCCGCGGGCCCGCTCCTTGATGTTGTGGCAACGGTGGCATCGGTCGAGCCGTCGGACTCGTCGGCTTAGCACTTGAGGATGGATGAGCAAGAGGCGGTTGGCTCGTTACAGCCGTAGGTTCTTGTTTCACTTTAGGGGTGGCATCCGGTTTCTGTGACGAGGGGGTTGGAGGCGGACCGGTCGAGCTCGAGGTGGCTTGGGAAGTGACAGATGCTGGCGCTTTTGGAGTCTGTACTTCGACTCGTGGAAGCGGCTGCTCCCGCGGCCGTGATGGAGCCGACGACTGCGCTTGCTGCTGTTGCTGCTGAGCGGACTGTTTCCCAGACTGCTGCGCAGGTTGCGGGGTCTGCTGCGGTGTCCGAGGCGATGGTTGAGACTGGCCAGGAGTGGAAGCATGGGACGCTTGCAGTTGTTGCTGCTGCCTCTGCTGTTGTTGCTCCCTCGCACGGATGATGGCATTGAGCTCATCGATGTGGGCCTGGAAGGCCCGCAGTTGCTCCTGTGACGCCTTACTCGAAGCCACCACTCTCATCAAAGCCTTGAGGTCGGGGTCTGAAGCTGCGCGGGTGGCAAGCATCTGAATGACCGGATCTGGGCTTGGTTTCGGCGGCTGGGGGGGCTGTGGATGTTGCGACGGGGATGGTCTCTGTGCAGGCTGAGGGCTGGGAGGCGGCCGGGAAGGAGGATGAGTTGGGGTTCTTCCCGGAGTAGGAGGTGGCGGATGGCCGATAAGATGATGGGCTGGTTGAGGAGAAGGCGCATGTGAGGGAGGAGTCTGAGAAGGATGTTGTCGTCCATTTGGGGGGGGTGCCGGAGACGGATAGGGATGGTATTGCTGGAAGTTATTCGGATGCCCATAGTGTACCATGGGCCGCTGGGGGGGAGTGTATTGGATCGGCGGAGGCGCATTGGGATCCTTGACAGTATAAATCATGGCGTCGAAGAGGTGAGGGCCGACCACGATATTGCAGGGACCGACCTTGGACATGGACTCCTTGGGCGGATTTTTCCCTTCGATTTGGTCCCTTTTGGTCTTCTTAGGTTTGGTCCAATATCGCACCAGGATGCCGTCACTCAGCCATTTCTTCTTCGATCGTTCCAACGAGGCGAAGAGAACCGCACTGATTCGCCCAAAGTTAGTTCCTCTCCTCCATTTGAAAGCCTACTAGACGAGTCCATTCAGTGCCTTACCTTTCGGCTATAGACTGGTATTCCTTGGGGGACAGGGTCGCCGGCTGCGGTGAGGACAAGATGGGAAGCCCTTCCCCATCTTTAATTTTCGTCGGAAGAGGTTTTTCGACAATCTCGGGAGCTGGAGCTGGCAATGGAGGCGCTGTAGGTGTCGAGGCCTTTCTCCTCGAGGACGGGGGTTGGGATTGAGGCGTAGCCTCGGAGACTCGTCGCTTTGCCGCAGGTTCGCGACGCTCGCGCGCAGACAGGCGGCGTTTCTGAGCCATGATGAAGAGTGATTAACAGCGAGCGATTGAGGGGAACGAGGCCAACATGGCGACGGATGATGATGATGGGAGAGGATGAAAAGATGAAAAGAAAAGAAACGCGGAAGGAGAGAAAAGCGGCTAGTCTTCCCGATCGGGCACTGACACTGACATCACATGGTGAAGTCTATCATCTTCTCGGGTCTTTCCTTTTCTCTTCTGTATCTCATTCCATTCCCCAACCATGGTCGAGCTCCTTCCCATTTTCAAAAAGGCCTATTGGACTCTAGCCGCAGCCGGTCTCGTTTACGTGGGCCTGGTCTGTTCCTTGACTTTTCCCGGGGTTCAACGCTTGTATGTATAGACGCATGCTGAATGCATCCTGGCGCTGACCGTCTGTCTAGTGCTCTCTACGCAAATAAAATCAATCCCACGGCATGGCAGGATGTCAATCGTGTCGAGTCTTTTGGGTTCTTGAGTACGTGGCTGGTAGAATGCATGAACACGAGCTACTCGGACAACAGTCGTTAATGGCACCCTCCTAGAAACCCAGGTTCAGCCGTTCAATCTGGTAACCCCGGACAATGAAACGCTCTACGGATGGCACCTGATCCCTCCGCATCTGTGTCGAGATCATGAAGAAGAATTGGAAGCGAACGAGCCGTCTGGTCCTGCCAAGGACTATACCAAAACACCCGCATTTAAGCTCCTGGCAAATGACCCTAACGCGAGGGTGGTCGTCAGCTGTAAGTAAACAATCCTGCGTGGGAGAAAACAACCTCGAAAATGTGACGCTGATCTCCGATCTCCTCTCCGGCAGTCCACGGCAACGCAGCTCACCTCGCCTCGGCCCAACGACCGGATACCTACCGTATGCTGTTGGGTTTGTCTGAGCCTTCTCATCCGATCCATGTATTCGCTATCGACTACCGCGGATTCGGCGTGTCCACGGGCTCACCAACGGAGGAGGGCCTGATTACGGATGGCGTGTCCTTGATCAACTTCCTGACCGCTGGCCCCTTGAAGATCTCCCCATCCCGGATTGTCATTCTAGGCCAGAGTCTGGGAACAGCCGTGAGTGCAGCCGTGGCAGAACGCTTTGCTTTTGGGTCGCTGGACCCCAGTGCCATCCAGCCGGCCCTCAAGGATCCCGAGCCCTTTGCAGGAGTGATCCTGGTGGCGTCCTTCAGCAATTTGACCAACCTGGTCGAGTCGTACAGTTTCAAGGGCATTACGCCGCCAATTCTCTCGCCGCTCATGGGCTACCCTCGCGTTCAAAACTGGGCCCGACGTCATATTGTCGACCGTTGGGACACGACGGCGCGAGTCGCGCGCTTGACAGGGGTTGGGCCGACCGCGCAGAACGACTCCTCCACCGGATATGCGAGCAAAGAGTTGGACCTCACCATTGTACATGCCTGGAACGATGTCGAAATCCCCTGGTACGAAGGTCGTCGCGTTTGGACTGCTGCGACGGGGGAAGATAAAAGGGATGCCCCGGGTACTATTGTGCTGCAGAAAAAGGACGTCAACGGCCCTAATGAAGTATTCCTCTGGGAAAATAGGTCTCCGAAGGGAACCGGAGCTGTCAAAAGGGTCAGGTGGGAACGCGTCAACTTCGGGGGTGAGTTAAAAGACTCAACTATTAACAACCTTGGTGACAAGCCCCCTGAATTCACTGACATGATTTAGGGCATAATCACGTCGCCACATACTCTACTGCGGCTCTTGCCGTCCTCAGGGCTTTTGAAGAATAGGGTTTGAATATATAAGTGGCTCTCCATATAGAAGATTTCGCCAAATCATGCCCAGGACATAATTACAAAGGCCAACACCGAGATGAATTTAATGAATCATGCTGCATCATTATTCAGGTAAGAATCGAACGCTAGAATCCACTGAAGATTGCTTTTGCACCAAGACAGAAGTGGGAATAACAGGAATAAAACCCATCCTTATCTTGTACGTAGATGTAATGAGAGGAGATGCTAAATCAACAAGAGACTGATATTATGTACATTTTTGCAGCCTATTTCCCAGATATCAAACTGCTTTTATCCCGCTTCCAATCATACAGTATCCTTCGCAACGAACCGAAAGCCCAAAAATAACCAATTGACAGAGAATAATATCTTCGTGATCCTGTCTAGACTCTCTATATTGGCAAATAATACATCGCTCTCATGTCTTTCGAGCCGAAAATAGTAATAGTAAAAATCTGCACCAAAAAGGAGAAAATGGGACAAAAGTGAGACGCTCATACTCCATTATCTGCTATTCAGTCATTTGGTGTAGAGTGTAATCCTGTGGATGAGTACGTGCCCTGCAACGTTGAAATAAAGACGTGTTAGCCAAACATTAGGCGACCAGGTAGTCTTGTTTATTTCTTGTGTCGGTCAGCCTGGGCCTTCAGGTATTTCTGGATGAGTTCCTTCCTGTAAGTAGAAGATATGGTTAGTATGATGCACGAAACAGAAAGACAGCGGGGCAACATACTGGAGTTGAGGCTGCGTCTTCTCATAGTGACTGAACTCCATGGTGAATTCACCCTTACCCTGGGTGGCAGCACGCAGGTGGCTGCTGAAGCCGAACATGCCGTTCAAGCTGCAGTCAGCATACACGGTGAACTCGTCGACGCCCACTTCGGAGTCGTTGATGGTGGCATTGCGCTTGTTCAGGAGTGAGATCACATCACCCTGGAACTCAGCAGGCGCGGTCACTACGGTCTTCATCATGGGTTCGAGAACCGACGGGTTGCTCTCCACGAATGCCTTGCGGAAGGCCTGTTGGGTGGCGTTCTTGAAAGACATTTCTGATGAATCCGTCATGTGGGTGGCACCGTCGTTGATGACCATCCTAGTTCCAAGCACCTTGTGTCCGATGAGGGGACCCTTTTCGCAAGAGAGATGGAAACCCTTTTCACACGCGAAGAGGAACTTCTCAGAGATGCTGCCACCGACGATCTGTTCTTCGAAGTTGTTCTCCTCAAGCTTCTCCGAAGGCTCCAACCAGCCAACCACACGGGCATAGTCACCAGGACCTCCCGACTGCTTCTTGAGAAGGTGGTCGAACTCGACACGGTGGCCAATGGTCTCGCGGTAAGCAACCTGGGGAGGCCCGGTCTCGCAGTCAACATTGTACTCACGGCGCATACGCTCGACGTAGATGTCAAGGTGCAATTCACCCATTCCAGAGATGAGAGTCTGTTCACTTTCGGCTTCGTAGCTCACTCGGAAGGTAGGATCTTCTCTCTGAAAACGGGACATGGCCTTAGAAAACTTGGCACCATCCTTAGAGCTCTTGGGTTTGATAGATAGCGAAATGACAGGCTCAGGAACGAACATAGACGACATAGTGTAGCCCAGCTGCCCGTCCGTGAAGGTATCACCGGAGGCACAATCAACACCAAAGACGGCACAGATTTCACCGGCTCCGATTTCAGAGACTTCTTCCATTTCATTCGAGTGCATTCGCACAATCCGAGGGATCTTGACCTTCTTATCGTTTCGCGCATTGAACACGTTCATGCCTTTGCGCAGGGTTCCCTGGTAGACACGAATGTAGGTCAACTGGCCGAAGTTGCTTTCCTCGAGCTTAAAGGCAAGTCCGACCAGTGGGAGAGAATTGTAAGGGACGAGCTTCACCGAGGCTTCGTCACGCTTCTTATCGAGGGCGAGATTTTGCACTTCGGCTGGATTAGGAAGATAGTCAACGACACCATCCAGCATGGGCTGTACAGACTTGTTTGCCAGAGCAGAGCCCATAAATACTGGAGTGAACTTCAAGCCGATAGTCGCGCGGCGAATGGCTTCCTTGATCTGCTGTTCAGTGGGCTCAATTTCACTCAGGAAAAGCTCTGCCATTTCATCATCAACATCGGCGAGAGTTTCGATGAGCATTCGCCTCCTCTCTTCTACGATACTCTTGACTTTCTCGGGGATTTCATCCTTCACCGCAATCTCTTCACCGCTAGGACCAACGTTGTACAGGGATTTCATTCGGATTAAATCGACAACACCTTCGAATTCGTCTTCAGCCCCGATAGGCACTTGGACTGCTGCGGCGGGCATCTTGAGCTTGCTGTTGATTTGGTCAATAGCCTTGAAAGGATTGGCACCCATGCGGTCCATCTTGTTGATGAAGGAGATTCGAGGAACATTGTAACGTCTCATCTGACGGTCGACGGTGATCGTCTGGGACTGAACACCAGAAACAGAGCACAGAATCATGACCGCGCCATCGAGGACACGCAGCGCCCTTTCCACTTCGATTGTGAAATCAATGTGTCCAGGTGTATCAATCAAGTTAAAGTGATACTTGTGCTCTTTGCCTTCATCGTCCTTCTTCACCCAGTCACAAAATGTAGCAGCGGATTGAATAGTGATACCCTTTTCACGCTCCAGATCCATGGAATCCATTTTTGCGCCAACCTTATCGCCACCACGGACTTCATGGATGGCCTTGATACGACCTGTATAGAAGAGGACTCGCTCCGTACATGTGGTCTTGCCGCTATCAATGTGTGCCTATCATTGGCCAAGTCAGATTGCGGGTTGCCATAATAGAGAGCTCCCACCAGGTTCCTTACAGCAATACCAATATTCCGAACTCTGGACAGACGCTCCGCCTCAACAGGATTGAGGTTTTCAATGATAGCCTCTTGGGACAAGGTTTCCGGGGTCGCGGCGGCGGCTTCAAGACTGTTTACATAACGACAAATTAGCAATTTGGCATTTTTAAAATTTATTTATGCAGGTATTTATTTTTTTCGAGGGACTGGCAAAGCACGTCAAGATAGAGTAAAAGAGACGTACACAGCAGCGGCGGAAGAAGACGAGGCATTCCTTCTCTGTTGTAACCGCCTGTTCAGCACAGACTGATAAGCTTGAGCAGCAGTGGGTGTCCGCAGAGTTGCCGTTGACGCGCATCGCAACCGTTGCGACAGGAAGTTCTGAGACTGGAGACGGACGGGAGATCTGACAATTCCAGGGACAGTATGGCATTGCAGCCGTGTAAGAGAAGGACACCTCATGACTATCGTCCACCCACACCGGGAATTGATCGAGTGCTGATGGAAATCCCCGACTTTTTCTGCAGCCGAAAAGAGAAAAAAAAGTTTGGGGAATCAGGAACGCATCACGTGATAGATGGTGGACCATTTATTGTCTCCTGAATGTTAAGCAGGTTTGCTAGGGTGTCAAGGTCCGCGATGGAAGGGGACGCAAACATACAGGCTACTAGGTCTTGATTCCATTCGCTATACCCACTCCATAATACCATGATGCTCATCTTCATTTTCCATGCATGTTCCTGCGTATTTCCCCTGTTCTGGTAGTGTATGGTACGGAAATATTTCAAGACGGTACAACAAAGCAGATCTCACCGCCTTTGGTTCCGCCTTGTGCCTCCCAGTATCTTCATCCTGTCCTCCGGCGCTCAGCTTGCCAATTTCTGAGGAACAGTCCCTTGTCTATGGAGTTTGTGGCATTTGTCGCCTGAAATGCGGCCTTCTGTCCAATTACTCGCAGCCGTTTCCCGCGGACAGCCATCGAAGCTGAGAAAGCCGGCAGTGAGCTTGGATCATGTTAGTAAATCTTCCAGCCTGATCTAACATGTCACTAAGGATATTCAGTTCATCCAAAGACAGCGAGTGCTCGGGCTCTGGCGTGATATTATTCGATCGTTGAACAGTTTGTCTCTCCAATTATGGAATCTCGCACAGGCTAATTCATTGACGTCAAAGAAATTCCGCCGTCGTCCACACGGGATGAATTGCGCACGTACGCTCGCCATGAGTTTGAGAGGCATCGCAATGTAACAGACATAGTTAGTTGAGACCTTGCAATCTGTGGTTTTATGACTAACATTTTCTCGATAGCAACATATTCGGTACTTGCTCTCGGTAGGTCAATATCCTTACATCTTCGGCGATTCGCTAATGTCATACAGACAGGAAAATCAGAATTCGATACCATGAGACGATATATTGACGAACAGGCTGTCGGCTGATGGCACTATTAAGATGAGAGATATGGTTGCGTTGCAGATGATCGTCAAGATGACATTGGAAAAGACCTTGAGATGAGATGATCCCATGCAAAATAACCCTTCAATGTATATAGTATATGTACAATATGATACCCAAATGCAAAGAGGAATGACACAATACCAGCTACTTTCAATCGTTTCTTGAACCCTTATTTTTGCCGCGACATCAACTCCTTGACGGCATCCAACACTCCGATCGACTTCCGATCCGAGGACTCAACCACCGACCGAGCAGCATCCTGCTCTGGCATCGATTTTGCAGCAGGCATCTTGCCTACCTCTTTGGCCGCCGCCTCGATGGTAGCATGACGCTCCCGCCAGCCCTGATCCTCTTTATCACGAATCTCCAGCTCACGCAGCCATGCATCCCGCTTCTCTTGACTCTTGCGCTCCTCCACCATTTGATCGAACTCTCGCCGCTGCTGTCTTTCCGTCTTGTAATACATGCCTCCTGCAACCACGGCAATAAGCGTGAAAAACTGGGCGTAGATACGGGCCCGAAACATCTTGTTCATCTCAGCCGAATCGCCGGCCTTCATGGACCGGTAGGCTCGGTACAGGGCATAACAGGTGGCGGCACATCCTGTCGTCCGATGAAAACGTCAGCATTGATCCTGAAAGGCACATGACATAATTCGGAACTTTATTGGATTACCTAGTGGAATCAAAGGTTCTTCTTTGAGTCGTCTGCGGAACTTCTGAAGTGAAGTTTCTTCTTGGAATTGACTGGTAAAATTTCCACCTGAGCGTTAGCATCCCCACACTTGTCGCTCCTTCTAGCTAAACCAACAGGGTCTAGGTACATACGGATTATCATCCAAAGATGACGGGAGAGGTTCGCTAGACATGATGCAAGCCAGACGTATCGTTGATGCCAATTCAGCTCTGGGGCAGTGAATACTGACTTGGAGAGGAGCGAATTGGAGAGAGGTGGTATGATGTTGAATGCCGCGGCCAGCCGAGCTCTAGTCAGTATCTTCCCAACATATCAGCTCAATAATCTCTGTACGAATTAGCAGTACGAATGACACTAACCTTTTCAGAACTCTTCTCCACTTTTGCAAAGATGCAGGAGAAAAGGCTTTGTAGACATGACGTCGCGACGAAGAATATTCGGATTGCATATTTCGGAACCATTCCGTACCATACCATACCATACGGTATTTGTTAGTATCTGTTAGCGCTGACGATTGATGGATTGATCGTACGATCCTGTAGCTCTTCTCCCTTGGGCTGGAAGGAATACGAGGAACTCTCTAGTGGTCTACAGCTGTCGAATGCTGGGAGTATACTGTACACTGGACTAAGTTATGGCAGGCTCAATTCTAGGCTGGCTACAGGCCGCATTGGCTCCGATTTTGGGCAAACCACTACGTATATCGTCCCAAACAAGACCGATGGCCCAAGTTTTGCTGATGATATGACAGTCATCCAATAAATCCCCATACAATATGGAGCACTAATTTGAGGACTTTCTATGAATCTAAGGTTACTGGCAAGACCCATTGCATTCTTAGTTAGGGCTCAGGGTCAGGGTTGATGACATAACCCATTCCGCTCCGATCACGGAAAACTTCTGGAAGAGTCACTGATTCTTTTGACTTCACTATCGCTGTCTCGATTTCGTCCGCGACAGCCCTGCACAATGTCCGAGGACTCATCCACCACTGGCGTCGCGACTCCGGTGTCTGCACAGATGAGCAACTTAGCCCTGCACCTGAATGAATATTCCCCCCAGTCGGAGCGGGACGACCGCAAGCTGTTTGGGCTCAACTGGGGAATTCCAGATGCATTCTTACTCCCCAACGGATATCCAGATGTGAGATTGTTGATCTACACCCTCTGAAGAGGTTGCGGTCTCTAATATGATTAATCCTTCTGCGCATAGTATCTTCGGCTCATCTTAACCTCCCGAGTCTACGATGTGATCGAGGAAACTCCCCTCCACCATGCCGTCAACCTCAGCAATCGTCTAGAATGTCGGGTACTGTTGAAGCGGGAGGATTTACTCCCTGTCTTCAGTTTCAAGCTTCGTGGCGCCTATAATAAAATGGCTCATTTGACTCAAGAGCAGCGGTGGAAAGGCGTCATTGCGTGCTCCGCAGGTGAGTCCCTTCCTTAGGCCTGATTGTCGATGATTGCGTTAATACGTGGTAAAGGCAACCATGCGCAGGGTGTTGCCTTCTCTGCACGCAAATTGCAGATCCCCGCCACCATCGTTATGCCCTCTGGTACTCCCGCCATCAAACATTTGAATGTTGCCCGCCTCGGCGGTAGCGTTATTCTTCATGGAAACGACTTCGATGCGGCCAAGGAAGAGGCCAAGCGCCTGGAGCAGCAGCATGGGTTAACGGACATTCCTCCTTTCGACGACCCTTACGTGATCGCGGGCCAGGGAACCATCGGAATGGAGATCCTACGCCAGGCAAATCTGCAAAATCTAGAGGCGGTATTTTGTGCGGTTGGTGGAGGAGGGCTGATTACAGGCATTGGGGTTTATCTCAAACGCATTGCACCTCATGTAAAGGTGGTCGGGGTGGAGGCCAATGATGCTAATGCCATGGCCCAGTCTTTGGGTTCCGGCTCACGTGTGCAGCTCAAGGAAGTCGGGCTCTTTGCCGATGGTGCCGCAGTCAAGAATGTCGGGGAGGAGAATTACCGGCTGGCCCGTGAAGTTGTCGATGAAATCGTCCAAGTCAGCACCGACGAGACGTGCGCTGCGATCAAGGATGCTTTTGAGGACACTCGGTCTATTATCGAGCCCGCGGGTGCCTTGGCTCTCGCCGGTCTTAAGAAATATGTTTCTCTGCACCCGAGCCCGGACACCAAGAGGGAACTGGTGGCCATCACCTCTGGCGCGAACATGGACTTTGACCGACTGCGATTTGTTGCCGAGCGTGCCGCTCTAGGAGAGCGCAAGGAAGCGCTCCTGAGTGTCAATATACCGGAGAAACCGGGTGCGTTTGCCAAATTGGTGGAGGTCGTTCTTCCTCATGCGGTGACTGCGTTCAACTACCGCTCTGCGCAGGCCGAGTCCGCCGATGTCCTGATGGGCGTTTCCCTGTCAGCGGTGACTGGTCGGGAAGACTTGGCCAAGCTCATGAAGGAGCTGGAGAGAGGTGGTATGAGCACGAAGGACCTAAGTGACGACGAGCTGGCCAAACGACACGTTCGCTTCCTTGTCGGTGGACGCAGCAACGTGTCGGACGAGCGCTTGTTCATGTTCGAGTTCCCAGAACGCCCCGGCGCCCTCGCGAAATTCCTGACTACGCTCCGTCCGAACCAGAACATCTCCCTGTTCCACTACCGTAACTATGGTGGGGATGTCGGCAAGGTACTTGCAGGAATCCAATGTCCTAGTCCCGAGAAGGAGGAATTGGAAGCTTTCTTGAATGATTTGGGCTATCCATTCAGTGAGCAGACCGATTCCCCGACATATCGCACGTTTCTACGCTCGCAATAAACGAACGGATGATTCTCTCTCTCTCTATCTATTACTTATGACTCTTACTGTTGTGCAAAACTTCGTCTCGGCGTTGATTTCGGGCGTTCGGATCGGAGCATTAAACGATAGATATAATTGCCTCTGGTCGCATAATTATACAATTGAATTGTTAACGCGCAACGACGCAGTTATTCTGTAAACTCGTCCACAGTAGTGGTATTATCGAGAAATTAACATGAATCCATGAAATACTTAGTAGCACTAATAAGTAAATTCAGACCTGTGATTGGCTGCCCCTGTAAACCAATCAGAGTGTTTCCGGGACGGCCATACAAAATCTCCGACTTCAACACCGCAGCGGAAACCACGATCCCGACAAGACGCTCGAGAAAGCCCAAAAAACCACCCCAGTCTCTCTCTGTAGGGGACGACTGCACAAATCCTACACCATGTCGCCTCTTCGCTCCATCATCGGCCATTCGACCGGTACCCTCCGACGATTTCTCCCTTCCCTGTCGCACCAGTCATGGACTAGCGGCCTTTTGTCACGGTCGTTTTCACAACTAGCAAGGCTTTCGTTTACGAATGGATTACGGGCTTTGCGTTCCAGGTCGGCGCAGCAATCGGGTACCGTGGGTGTCATCGTGTCGACGGCTCGTCAGGTCGAGCAGGTTCGGGGAATGAAGACTCGGTCGTCTGTGAAGAGACTGTGTGATGGGTGCAAGGTATGGATATATGTTCCAATTGGGAGTGGTTGACCGCGACGGTACTAGTATAGCTAACGTGGATTTTGGAACAGCCTGTCCGGAGAAAGAATAGGGTTTATATTATCTGGTAAGTCCATCTTTGGGGGGAATTTGGGTATTTCTTCGATGTAAAAGCTCACCGGATTTGATATAGTTCTAAAAATCCCAAGCACAAACAACGTCAAGGAAAATAAACAGTCATGGAATGAGCAGAAAGGATTGAACCACTCTGAGAGGACAGCGAACGACGATGAAATATGATTGTTGATACTAGAGGGATATTCTGTGCTTACGTCGGATACATGGTCTCTTCTCGACAACGGGAATCTGCATTTTTCTATTGTGACTGGGTTATAAGGCGCTTATGTTGTATTGTATGTATATTAGGTCTATTCATTTTCATCTACGGTCAAACAAGCTCTTCCTGAAATACTTCCATTAAATAATCAAGTCTATATCCAAATTGCGCATACCAGATACATTCTTATCTGCTCCCCTTTACGACTGCAGAGGTCCGCCCATGCCGCCGAACGTGACACTCTTGATCACAAGGAACTCGTCAATTCCATACTTGCTGCCCTCCCGGCCAAATCCGCTCTGTTTGACACCCCCGAACCTGCGAATCGTCAGTTACTGCTGGTATTCTCTGAGTCACAAGGTATACTTACGGAGATGCAACATCACTGATCAAGCCGGTGTTCACACCAACCATACCCACTTCCAAAGCCTCCGCAACCCGGAAGATACGCTTGATATTGCCGCTGAAGAAATAGCCTGCCAGACCGACTTCCGCGCTGTTCGCCAAATCGACCACTTCCTTCTCCGTCTCGAAGGGAAACAACCCCGCTACCGGACCGAATGTCTCCTCGGACGCAATCAACATGTCCTTGGTCATTTCAGTCAAGACGGTGAGGTCGTAGAAGTTGGGTCCCATCTCGGGGACCTTCCGGCCTCCAACAACTAGCTTGGCGCCCTTGGACGTGGCGTCCTGGACATGTTCGTTGACCTTGTCAATAGCTCGTCCATGAATGACGGGGCCATGAGTAACGCCTTCTCCGAACCCAGCACCGAGTTTGAAATCTTTGACCTTTTCAACAAATCGCTTTACGAATTCGTCATAGATGCCCCGCTGCACGTAAATGCGGTTAGCACATACACAGGTCTGGCCTGAGCTCCGGAACTTGGAAGTGATGGCACCGGCAACAGCGGCGTCAAGGTCCTCCACATCGTCAAAGATAATGAAGGGAGCATTCCCTCCAAGCTCCCATGAGACTTTTTTGATCGTCGAAGCGGATTGCTTCATGAGAAGCTTGCCCACATTGGTCGAGCCGGTGAATGACACTTTGCGAACATCCGAGTGGGTGGTGATGGTCTCACCCACCTCCGGGGTATTCTTCAGAGCAGTCACGACGTTGAAGACCCCCTTGGGGATACCAGCGCGGTGAGCCAACTCTGCAAGAGCATTTGCAGTAAACGGCGTCTCTCCCGGTGTCTTTACAACAACAGTGCAGCCGGCCGCGAGAGCAGGGCCAGCCTTTCGAGTAATCATCGCTGCAGGGAAGTTCCATGGCGTAATAAGACCACAGACACCAACAGGCTGCTTGAGGGTAATCACCCTGTTGCCGGCCACGGAGGAAGGAATGGTATCACCATAGATGCGAGGTGCCTCCTCACTGAACCATTCGAAAAACCCAGCGGCGTAGTTCACCTCCCCCTTGGCATCCGCCAAAGGCTTCCCGTTCTCCCATGTAATCAACGTGGCAAGATCCTCTGCATTATCGATCATCAACTGGTACCACCGACGCAACATACGAGCACGTTCGCGGGCTATGGTGGTGCTGAATTTCGGAAAGGCCTCAGTGGCGGCCTGGATGGCTTTTTCGGTGTCTGCAGCAGAGAACTCAGGACATGTTCCAATGAGTTTTCCCGAAGCCGGATCTATGAGGGATTAGAGGCACCATTCTAGCAATGCACAATGATCTGAATGTGGTTACCATGGACTTCGAATGTTTGTCCCGACTGGGATCCTACCCACTCGCCGTTGACATAGGCCTTCTCGATAAGGAGAGACTGGTCTTTCAACTATAATTTGGCAACATCATCAGCAACATGGGGCCACAAGAGACGCATGCAGATCCATGATAACGTACAGGGGGCACGGTATGACCCATCGTGTATAGCCGTTTGGCGTAAATAGGCGGGGGAATCGAGAATGGGTAACGCGGACGGGATCTCAAAAACTGCCTTGAAATAGGACGAATAAGTATTTCCATGATACCAAACAGGTCTTTTTCACTTTGGGCCAATTCTCCCAACCCCTCAGCGTCTCGGATAGAATGCCGACCTAACTGACTTTCTGCAGATAGATGCGGGGGATACCTCGGTATACTGGTCGATGAGGAAGTCTTTCAGCAGCAGGTAGAATGATTGGAACGCCAACACAGAAAACACCGAGATGGATGCCGGAACAGCACTTTATAGCACATTGGCGAGTCAGTCCGTCCCCAAGTCATCGAGGTTAGACGTTTGCTTCCTCCGAGCTGCTTTCGTCATTTCGGCGGGCGGGGAACCTCCGCGTCACGTGGATAGATGTCATCCGGAGAGAATGCAGGATTGTTCTCCTTCTTGGTCGAAGTGCATGTTTTCTAGACCGGGGATGCTGTTATGACGTATCATTTATGATGCTCTGCTTTAAAATTATGCATATACTGCCATTGCGGTGCTACAGGATACCTGTCTTCTATGCGGCAGAGCGATGGCTCGGTAAAATACGATGTTGTATTGATAATACTATATCAGTATGTCGATCTATCCTCGGCACTACCAACCAATAGCACTTCGATTATAAATACATTTCCGGGAAATATTGTCCAATAGAGGCTAATTTCGCTTCTCATATGTAAACATTGATACATATCGATACAGTATATTCTACCTTGTCTATTGCGCTACGGGGTGCATAATGCGATTGTTTTATTTTCAGTCTATTCTCATTAAGTACGTACTCGTTTGAACATACTATTTAACATTACTTCCCTCCCATTGCTGAAGTGTGAATATACACAGTGCATACAACCCAGGACGAATACTTCATTCAGCGTCACTTTCATCTTCTGTTTGCATAGCACCAGGAGATTTTGCATCGGTGCTTTTTCGGTACCAAGGATGCATGCTTTTGATATGTTTATTGAGATTCCAGCGCCGCGAAAATCCATCCTCATGTCGCGGGCATGTCTTGATAGGGCAAATTATGTCTTTCTTGCGATGTGGCCCCTTGCCCTTAGGTTGACTCACTTCCTCTTCGTTAACGTTCAGTGTAGGGCTTGTGGCTCGAGATGCAGCGCGCAACGTGGCTCTAGATGTAGGTCGTGAATTGGAGCCGACTTTCGCAGACGCCGCACGGGAGGTCGCACGGGATCGTGACCGTTCGCGTTCAGGTGGTGGTAATGGTAGAGAAGACTCGGGTTCTCTAGATTCGCTTTTTGCGTATTCCCAAACGGCAGCATCCACTCCCCCTTCTTCTTCTTCTTCGTCTTCTTCTTGGTACTCTTCTTCGCTTTCCTCTTCGTCCTCTTCTTCTGTCTGCAATGCCTCCTCGGTAAAAGTTCGAAATACCATATCCTCCCCGAACAGAGTTGCGCATCTTTGGGCCGTACGCATCACCACGGTTGGAGGAAATCCTACCATAGAAGCTACCCCCAATACTTCACTCCAGTCTCGAACACCGGGAAGCACACGACTGGCTGACCGCATGCTGCTTTTGCTGCCAACAGAGCGGCCTCGTGAGCATGTTGAGGCTCTTGATTGTGGAAGCGAGTTTGGGACAGAACCCAGCCCCATCGAGTCTCCAGACCGGGGCACGCGGATCGATTTGCAAGTGCGTTTCCTCCCCCGTGATTGGCTTCTTTCAGACAATCGGCTTGCCCTCCTCTTTTGGGGGGATGACATGCCTGAAACGATGCTCTCCGTATCGGTCTGCCATTCACTGTCCGAGCTATCTTCAACAACACCCTTGCGCGCATGGTGAAGACCCATCAGAAGGCGATCCAATTGAGTAATTATATTGCGCGTGAGAGGACGTAGCTGTAGCCGTGATATTTCGTCATCGGCCTGCATGACCGGGCGGAGTGGACGCTCATCGCCAGAGTCAGGCTCAATTTTCATGCTTTCGTCTCTGCCAGAACTGTCATCCTGGGTGTCTTCCTGGATGTCTTTCAGGGTATATTCTTGAGACGCGACGCTACACAGCGAATGGTTTTCAGAATCCCACGGTCGTGATTCGTATCTCTCTTTTGCAGACTTGAGCATAACTGCAATAATAGATTCCTCGAGATCCGCACTTGGTGGAGGATCGTGTGGCATTTTCCGTGTCCGATTTTCACCTTCTCTCCTTCGGAAATGTTCACTTCCACGAAGAACTTCATTTGCAGGTAGGGGCCATGCTGTCCACCATTTTGGAGGGGCAAATGCCTCTAGTGGATCTAGTTGCTCCTCATTGCCGGCTGCTCTCCTGGCTATCTCCCCGGCACGTACTCGGAGTGCATAAGCATTAAACAAGTGGGCGGCAAGGTCCCTGGCCCGGAGATTCTCAAGTGCGTCGGCAATCTGTCTGTCCCCGGCGGTTAGTTTTCTCCACGTAGATTCAAGACCTCGGAATCTGTTGGGTCGATATGAAGGTGACGATGGGGGGCTATTTGGCTCTTGGGTAGACTTCTTCTGGTATTTGCCATGGATACTTGGAATGTCGTCTTGAGTAACAGAGTTCCCGCCATCATCACTATCAAAATAGCCTGCATCACCAGAAAAATCACCATCACTACCAATGTAGTCTGCATCCTCATCAGAAAAACCATTATCAACTAATGGTCCATCTTCCGTGACAGCGTTATGTGGATGTTGGTCAAAGGCAGCATCCCGCTGCGGCTGGGAAAGTGGTCCCAGATCGGCGACATCATGACTGCTTGAGCCTCCAAATAAGGATCTGTACGGTTGCCCAGACTGAGGTGGTATGAATTGCGAAGATTGATCGCCGGAAACTGAGGACATGCCTCGACGCTTGCGTAAGAAACCCCGCGGTCTTCTTCAGAATAAAAATCCAGACACAGAGGCAGGTATTAACAGTTGAGGAAGATTCATATGATACTCAAAAGTATAGAAGAACACCGTATCGCTGGAGTAGAGGATTGGATGCTGCAAAGCAGCATGTTAGTAGGACTTCTTGACAGCGAGACGCGTGTTCCATCAAGCAGGGCAAACAACGGGTTCAGAGATATCAGAATAGTGAAAACTTCCTCGGCTAAACCCTGCAGTGCAATAGCTGGATCTGACGGAACAGAGCCACCAGAGTGCGAGCAATCCGAATGTGACCCAAAGAGAAAACGTTTATATCACGTGATTATCCACAGAGCAACGGTATGGACGGCCCTTGATAGACTCACTGGAAATGGCTCTTCTTGGAGGATCTTTACATCAATTATGGAATCTCTAGGGAACCAAACACGCGCATTATACGCATATGCCGAGAATGCACATTAGGCTACATTCTATGTCGGAGAATTGAATGCTATAAAAAATGAAAGACGCCAACACATTTGGTACCAGATCCACGTAAGGATATCATTGTCACAAAGCCAACTTTTTCTTTCTAATTTATTTTTGCCCAGCCTTCTCAATCTTCCTCCGCTTAGACCGCAGTTTCGCTGCCTCTTCGGACTGCTTCTTGTTCGAGTACATCATCTTTTCAAGCAGCTTCCGTTTCTTCCGGCTCATCATCATCTTCTGCCGCTCCAACTCCTCTTCTTCCTTACGCTTCTTAGACGCGATCTTCTTGGCCTGTGAGTTCTTCTTCTTCGTAGACTCGTCGGCCACGCCGTTTGATGAGAAAGGAAGGCCAGCAGCCTCGGCCTCTAGCTCCTTCTGGTGCTGTGTGCGAGCAGATTCTTCTTCGTCTTCCGATTCAGAAGCCGCTTCATCATCGTCAAATCCGCCGAAGTCGTCATCTTCCTCACTCTCACTCTCGTCCTCGTCGGTGCCAGCAACGTCCATGCCGCCATTGGCTGAACCATCATCTTCGTCACCCTCCACTTCCGATCCGCTCTCCTCGGCATTAGCCTTCTTATCGCCGGCGACCTCTTCCATCTCCTCGTCACTATCCTCTTCTGCTGCCATTTCCGCCTCGTCTTCTTCTTCCTGTTCGGCCAGGCTGGCGCGAGGATCGTAGCCACCCTTGGTAGGCTTCACCCATGGGCTCAAGTGAGGTGGCAAAGTAGCACCTGGGGCATACAGATCAGGTCGGAGAAGCTTTCCCTCGTTGATGCAGTCCCAGATCCACTGGGGCTGAATATAAGTTCTACCTGGTATCCGGGTGCCGGGCTTAACTCTCTGCCCATCACCGTCATCGGAGGCAGCCGGGACACTGGGAAGAGAAGACTCTGGCAAAGCGGGCCGGTCGACGACCTGGTGAGTAATCCGAGTGTCCGCCTCATTATGTGTGAAAGCCCCGTCACCGAGTACAGTGTCCCAACCAATTCGCTTGCATCCAAAGGAACGGAGGATGAACTCCAAGGGAGCCTTGGGAGCCTCTCGGGAGATGTAGAACGTGTATGGTGCGAACAGAGAACCAGCGCTATCTCTGCTCAGGTCAGGCTGAGGAAGCGTATCCGCCTCGGGAGCCGTGGGCTCGAATTTATCGATTGCATCAGTGTTTTCCTCGGCGGTGTCCAGAGTCCGGTCATTTGTCTGGTCCAACCCGGCGGCTTCGATCACCTTATCAACCTTCGCCTGAACCTCACTAGAAACCTCCTTGTTTTGTGAAACGTTCTTCGGCTTGTTATTCGCTTCAATTGCTTTGAGAGCGTCACCGACTGCGTGACCTTCGAGGGTAAAGGCTGCCAACTCAGCGCCATTTTCGTCGCTCCTGGTGTCAAATTTTGGTGGGTATCGCAGACCAATGGTGGAATAAAGACGGAAATTGACAAATCCCAAAAGGGTTGTGTAGAAGTCCACGAACGTGGCCATAATCCGGTAATCGACATCACCATTGACACGTTGCACGAAGCGATAAGGAACCAACCACATAATATCCTGGCCCTGAATAGTCGCCTGGTAATAAATACCCTTAATAGAAAGGAAGGACTTTCGCAGCGAGTTTGTGGTGATCAGATAGTGCTGAAACTCATGGCATAGCCGCTGGCAGAGCGCAATCGTTTTGGGAGGAACATGATTGGTGGATGGAAGATTGGCGAAGAGAAATAGAAGCGACAAGGCGTCATCTAGATCTCTCAGGGCATCAATAAAGGTCGGATACCGCTCCTTAATGACATGGTCCAGAGTGAGTTTCGGTGCATGATTCTTCTCCAAGCGAGCTGCATCGCCGACTTCTCCACGCCCAAGGGAACGAGCAATCTTTTTCGTAACCGCTTTCTGCTCACGGAATTTCCGAAGCAGAGGTTCATGGAGAAGATACTGGATATCCTTGGCGTAGTAGAACGTAGTGTTGGGGGTCGACGTCTTCGAGGCCTTCTTCTTACTCCGAGGCTCACGGGGATAGATACCTAGACGAGACCAGAAAGAAATCTCTCATCAGAATCACATCGCGCAATCAGAAGCAAATGCATTTTTCATACCTTTGAAGATACATAGTCGACGGAAATCAGGCAAGGAGATCTGGAGCTTGCGCACGGCTTGCGTCCGAGTGATGTAGTTTTTGGCCTGGCCAGAGACACCTGAAAGCAGTCAGTATTAACAAGGCAATTATCGCAAATGTTGGCGGCCAGAAAACTTACCCTTCTTCTTAATTTTGCCCATGGTGGGACGATACGAAGGGGTTTGCGTTTAGGGTAGGGAAGATTGAAGAAAGCTCAGTCTGATAAACCCGAAAATTTATTGGCGATAAGTTTTTTTTTTTTTTTTTTTTTTGTTTTGTCCTGATCGGGAAGATGGCCCGTGCGCTACAGAAAAGGGAAATGCGTGGAGTCTTGGCACGTGGTCGAAAGGGACAGCTGACTTTCGCCTCTACGAGTCTTCTCCAGACGGTCGATGTCTGGCCGTTCTATTGTTTTCGCCATGCCAGTCGGTCGGAGGAGAGCAGCTTTGTTTGCTGCAGCCCTGTCTCTGCGGCTTCTACTTTTGGTTCTTTTTCCTTCGCTTCCAGATCTGTTGACGGGACGAGTCGAGGTGTCTACACCGGTCAATAGCTTCAAAAGACGTGAGTCGAATTGTAGTTGCAAAGCAACATGTTTCATAGATGGTAGAGCTGATCGTATGTTGTAGTTCAGGAAGGAATTTTTCTCTACACGCGCAATGTGTCTCCCTATGACGGAGGAGTCTACCATCAGGTACGGCAGCAAGACCTCCCCGCAATATAGGTCTAGTTCCCTCTAACGACTACTGCTATAAAGGCACCCCTCCTACTGCCCATCTTTTCCTTACTACCGAATGCGCGAGACTTTCCTTTGCCAACTGCGCTTATCTTCTCCGTGATCGACCTTGTCAATGCGAACGCGCTGATTACCATATCGGAGTCTGATCAGGCGGTCTCGGGAAGGTTATATACGGCGCTGCGCAAACATATCCGGTGGAGTGGAGTGGAGATTGCAGCATGGTACGGATGGATTTTCCACCACCTTGGTGTGATGGTGCTGACATGCCAGGTTTTTGTTCAATCCTTTCACCATCGCGACATGTCTAGGCCGGTCCACCAGTGTCTTGACTACCACTGGGATCCTGTACGCTCTGTCCAATGCTGCCAATGGGAATAGTCTGAATGCCATGCTAGCGCTTGGATTTGCATCGTACCTGTCGATATACCCAGGTCTCTTATTTATTCCACTGGTGCTCTTGTGTTACGATCGACATGCTCAGAACGCCAAATCTCCCTTGGGAATGGCCATATTTGCAATGCAGCATTTCGGCATTTTCCTTTGCAGTGTCACCGGTCTACTTGCGGTCTCGTGCTTGATCATAGGTGATTTTTATGAGTTTGTTTCTGCGACGTACGGGTTCCAATTGCTCGTTCCTGATCTCACCCCCAATGTCGGTCTTTGGTGGTACTTCTTTATCGAGATATTCGACTCCTTCCGGGAGTTCTTCCTCGGCGTTTTCTGGCTTCATCTAGCGTCATATGTTGGAAGCCTGTCTATACGGCTACGACGTCAGCCTTTGTTCATCATCACCTCCCTCTTGGGAGTGTTTGCTATCTTCAAACCTTATCCCAGCATCTCCGATGCCTCGCTGTATCTTGCTCTTCTCCCACTTTATCGGCATCTTTTTCCTTGTAAGTGCTTCTCCTTTCCAGATTTTGGACTTGTCTAATAGTGAGCAGTGATGCGATATACTTTTTTTTCCATTTCGGCATTGCTGTACGCCGCTCTTCTCGGTCCAGCATTCTACCATCTCTGGATCTACGCAGGTTCCGGAAACGCCAATTTTTTCTACGCAATCACCCTGGTATGGAGCCTGGGTCTCTCGATCTTACTCGCCGACACCATCTTCGCTGCTCTCAGAGAAGAGTGGGAGCAAGAGCACCCCGAGGTGCGGGACAAAGACGTGAAACAAGTTTAGTAACTGATTCCGTCGTTGATTTCTAATGCGGCGGCATGGGCTACATCATGGCACCTCTCAACTGTCTGTATAATTTCTGTCGATCTCTCGCAATGGTTTGGACATGATTCGATAATCCGGCTCCTTGACCAATCCGTTTCGCAGCCTGCGTGGCTTCGGGGAGAACTCATCCTCCGTGTAACCGAGCTTGTCGTAAAAGCGCATGGCCTGGGTATTCGATTTGAAGACCGTCAGCATGGCCTTCTCCAGACCGACTCGTCTTCCAATGTTCTCGAATCTCCGCATCAGCTGCTCGCCCAGTCCCTGTCCTTGGACTGCGGGAGCCAGGTGGATCTCATAGCAGTAGATGACCTCCTTCCCATCTTCGTACGTCACCATGAAGGAAAGAAAACCTAGAGGATGTCCGCTGGGGTTCGGGGAGACATCTCGTAGACCTTTTCGCAGGATCATATACCTCATGTCCGGCAATCGCATCTCCTTCCGCTTCTTTGACGGGGACCATCCAAAACTGGACCCTGTATAGGCACTTGAGGACGTTAGTTGGATGAGGTTAAAGCATGCCTCGAAGTCGGCCGCCGGTATTGATTCAGCGGTGTAAATATCCAGTATATAATCTAACCCTCTCTGAAATGGATCTTGATCATGATTCCCAGTAGCTCTATTCTCTGTCGATGCGCTGATATTAAACGCGAGTTCATCGCGTGGCACGTGCAATGAAATGAACTCCTCAAGTGCCAACTGGTTGGTACGCTCTACCAACGGTAGGGGGCTGGTGTCTAGAACATGTTCCATTAAATCGAGTCCAGTCGATCGAGTATATTCCAGAAACAGCAGATTAGGAAGGGGAAATCTCCGGTCAAAGAACCCATGACTCCGACCATCCATCCCAACACCACCGCAGGATAGAAAATAAAATAAACAGCCAATGTATCATGCAGCCTAGAACAGTATTCCTTACCTGGTTCCTGTTCCTGCTCCTGTTCACTCTCTGTTAATCCTTTGGTCCTCTTCAAACTGCGCAGCGATGACCGCTTCGGTGTTGGTTTTGGCTTGGTCACCCTGCCATCGTGGACACATGATGGCATTGCAAATGCCTTTTATTCCAAGGTTGTATCCCAAGTGATGGAGATGTTTCAGTTTCAATTTGAAATTAATGCCGTTGCAAAAGCTTAAACGATGAATGTGTTTCGTTTGGAGGCTGTCTTGGCGGTTGATGATTCAACAAATCCTTTGTTTTTTCCATGTGGGTGTTTTCTCCCGGGCCGCGCACCTGCTTTTTAATGTATGTACTTCGGGTTCGCTCAACACCGTCAGGTTTGCATCTATATGCAGCTGAATAGTGTTTTAGTTATTCCTGTATTTAAATTAAAGTGGTTGAAAAGTATAGTAGCTAAGGCAAATAGCTATTTGACTCTCCAGAACGATAGGCTCTTCGGTGATTATATGTACTCTCTGACCAATTGTACGCACAGAAACGATCACTATATTCTACACCCCTGGTCTATCTGCCCCTTTGACGCTCAGTATCAGTCTATATTAATCATGGGATGTACTGTCATGAGAATGTCTTGCTTATGGCACCTGCTTTACAAATACCAGGTAGTTTCCGTGACACCCCTGCTCGGTCCTTGCCAACACTCTGTCATCTTGCCATTCTGCGTCTGTCTGCACCGGCATTTTCAATCCTCACTTCTACGCTGGATCTAAAGGAGTTACAACCCGTTTTAGTGAGCTTGGGCTTCCAGAAACAAGGAGATCTACGGACTTCGAACGGAATTTTCCACATTGAGAAACCCCAAATCACGCACTCTTCGTTTATCAGTAAGGGGGATCATCAGCACCTCCAGTCTCATTCTATTTGCGGTATTCGAGTATCGAGAGGATTTGGCTTGCAGAGCACTCTTGACTAATCCCTTAAATAACTAAATTGTTAATTAGGCATCTCATCATGCTTGGAGGTGTTACACCAGGATCTTAAGCTGCTACTGACTATTACCTAACAGGACACTTTTTAGTAGACCGGATGCCCTTCCACCAAACATTCCCTAGTCCATTCAACCCCTTAAATCCCTTTAGCATATAAATCCAGACCAATGGTAGCAGTCAGAAGTACAAAGCAGTGGAGTGTGGTAAGCAAGGAGAAAGATTTTGACGGTCTTGTGTATGGCGATGCCCAAGTTCTCAAAGTGGACAAGAACAAAGTTCTCGTGAAATTCCATGGAGAATCGCTGAATTATCGTGACTTGATCATCCCCAAGGTATGTGGATATAAATATCTTGTGGATCCTGACCAGTGGCAGACTTTTTCCATACTCCCACCACGATGCGCTGCCTACTATACGATACGCGATGCTGACATTCGGCCCTCTACCGCGGGATTGTTACCCTTCGCCTAGTCTACCCTCGCCGCCCTGGCTTGTCCTAACTATGAGCAGCTTATGTTTGTGTCAGCAACCCTATGAGTAAGTTCAGCCAGTAAGAAGTTTCACATGGCTGTGATTTATCTTATGCCAAAGCATCGTTCAAGTGGACGTTCACATGCTCTATTTCCTCTCAAGAGGATTCTCACAAAAAAACAGTACCAGGCATAGAACAAGCATCACGAGGTGTTGCTTTTGAGACATATTATATCATAATATCGTCTACTTGTGAATATGATACCATATCTGTCCTTCCATGAATGTGTCATCAAGATATTCTACATGTATCTAGTCATCATACAAGATATTTCTCTCGCGCAGGATTCAGGTTTAAGAGCTTCCACTTAAGCCGATCAGCTACATACACCTGGACGATTGTATGTGTTTAGTGTGCTCTAATATTTTTTTAATCTCTGGTTAAAAAAAAAAGGTCTTGGACACAATGTCGAGCATTATAAAATCCGGCTCGGCTACGATAGACAGCATGACACTCGTTGCAACTCCTAAATGTATTTTATAACTGATATGTAGCTCACAGTTGACGTGTTCCTCACTTACATATGCAGAAATCCTAAGATCGCCGGTCGGTGAATATAAATAGGTCTTGGTCCTATATCTACTGTACAACTGCAACATATTATTTAAATATAATTTTTGTTGCTCTGGCTGAACAAGCATGATAATAACAAACGAGTCTCGCTTCATTTGAAAAGTGTTTATAATGCCACTGTAAAGATTGCTATGACCTACCAAACAGAGATGGAAATGAAGCTAAGCCAACTCTATTCAGTGGCAACGAGAACACTAAGCAAAAGAGAGGAGAGGAAGAGAACCAAGGTGAGCAATGGGAGTATACATCTCCATTGCTACCACGGTCCTCCACGACCAAACATAGTAGATAAAACAGACAACGAACAACGCAAACCGACATCGCAAACCAACACTGCAAGACCGACCCCGCGCCGGTCGTCACAAAGATAACATAAACAATATCTGCCTCATATATTATTCAGAAACACTAATGAAAGCTTGACGAACACATATAGCAATCGCTGTAGGTCTGACAGAGAGCATGTGTATGACAGCGTGGGTGAGGGCAATGATTTGATAGACCAGAGTTGGCTGCTTTGGCATTTCGAGGTGCAACATCCTCGCCTTCATTATCAGAAACTGGGTCATTGCTATGAAACCTCTTTGCCGATTCCATTGAGCAGTTCTTCACAGAAAGAATCTGATGCAACAGTTAACACTGTCCCATCATGGTCTAGCAGATAGTATCTGCATTCCTATCATCCAAGGTTCCCATAGGGTATTGGCCTGCCATGTCGTTAAGTTGCTTGCGGGTCTCCAGAATCATGATTCTCTCGGGGATTGGTAGAGTATATCAGTTTGTCGACATCGAGAAACAACTTGCGGCACTTGCAATTAGGAATAAGAGTCCACTAAGGCCCTTCAATGACATTATAAGTGTTTGTTAGATAATCTTAGCAAGACTATGCATGGTATTTATGCAGAGTGAGTGTTATACAACAAAAATACTCTTTCAGTCCCTTGCTTCTTTTGCACCCTTGTTGCTACCTTATATATTCATTAATTGATCACGAATGTAGAACAATCTTTTATAGAGCTGGGGATGTACATTACTTATATAGTGCACCTGAGATGGCTGCTTATATAAAGATACTACTATTAAACGCATATCACCGCAACCCAAGTCATATTTGGATTTATATTCGGCTAAAACTTCCTGGAAAAATATGAGCGTTACTTAGCCGCATGCTTTAGTATGTAATAATTCATAACAGGTGGAGCCTATCCTAACTCCAACATTTGTAGTCTTGCCATGGTTTAGTGGTTAATAACAGGCCAAAAACAGGTGGTTGTTTAGACTCGGCAGTGAAGGTACTAACAGATATAAGCCACTATCATGCAGACTTATCTATTATTCCTATGTACACGCACTACAACTAATTATAGTATGATGGCTAGACAATCCACTGCTGTAATATTCTTGACTAAGGCTAAATACAATACTACCTAAACTTCCTACCAGTCTTATGAGATTAGTACCAGACTTAGATCTAAAGCACTAGGTAGCTAACCTGTCTAACTGGTCCTTTTAAAGCTAAGGATAACGCTACCACCAGATCCCTGCGAGGCACATTATTGAGTTAGTGAGCAATCTGGGGGGTTTGGTCTGATTAGGGGGAGATAAATTAGCTTATTGTATGCTTTCAATGGAGTATCGGGATAAAGCTTGTTGGCTCCAGGCAAAACACGGGCAAGCAGCACCCTGCGTGGTAATATCTATAAGTGCATGACACGGTTTTAGGAAGAAGATAACTGCAGTAGGGCAGTAAGTAGGCTAGTTATAAAAGAGAAATCTGCATACGAATCTCTAGAACTCTAACTGTAAATGTGATCTTTCACAGCCATTAGCCGTCACAACTCACATCGTCGAGTGGAGCAGATCCAATGATAGTAATGACACCCTCGAATTTGATGCACTTGAAACTCTAGTTGAGCGTGCCGGAACCGCCAACCTCCACAATGTGATCAACACCAACATTGCCTGGAGTCAGCATGTGAGCGATCTCGCCCCAGTTGGCGCCCGACTTGTAGTTGATAACGTGTTCGGCCCCAAGCTCCTTCAGTTTCTTGGCCTTTTCGTCCGACGAGGTGGTTGCGATGACCGTGGCACCAGCCGCATTGGCGAACTGCATTGTGAATTGATCTTTTATTGTGCCCCAGGGCCTTTATCGGGTGACCTACCTGCAATGCGAGGATGCTCACACTACCGGTTCCCTACGGCTTGCTGCAACGCACGCTTCTCATTCGTCACCGGCTTGCCTTCTTATGCCTGACTTGTATTACATTTATGGCACTGATGCCAAGGGCCAACCCCCAATCGTGAGTACGCTGAGCAACATTTGCACGTGAGAGGCATCTATGTTGGAAGGAAGGCCTCGATGAAAGATATGGCCAGGGCGATCGAAGTGAACAACATCCACTCGGTGGTGGATAAAAAGGTCTTTCCCTCAGTCAGATCAGAGAGGCCTATGAATACATAGTGAGAATGTCTAACGCTTGGGAATGAACTGCCATGCTAACTTTGCGATGTAGTGGGCTCAGAAGCACTTTGGCGATCTGGCCATCAAGATCGACTGAATGAGCTGGAGGCACGAGGATGCATGAAAGAGGAGTTTTTTATGCTATTTCAAATTTAGCAGAATCCATAATACCATAATGTATACTCGCAGTCTCTGTTTGTAGTTTTATATTGTAGAGCTGCTGCTCTTGTACAGCCTCAGGCCGACCAATGACGATCCTCTCTGTTTCCCCTCACCGCATCGTCACCTCTCCAACCCTGGAGGCATCACCATCACCATCATCACGATGCAGCATATTATGCCACCGAAACTATCTCATTATACCATCACCCTAATCCTGGTCAATACGGCTATTGCTGTTTCGCCTCCTTCTGATACCTCCAGATGCCGCTAACTACCCAGAAGTCAACCCGCCCCATCTCCGGGCCGAGTGGCAGTCAAAGAGTAGCACAGGCTGCGTACAATCGTGCATACCAGGCGAGTATGTTTGCCCGGGTTACATGCTATCCGCCCGTGGGACAAGTTACTTGTCCCAAGAGGATTCAAAGGGCCTTGGAATCCGACAAGGCTGATACGGTGGGTCTACGAACTCTGGCTGGACCCGCGAATAAATGGTAATCAGTGAAAAGCTTCGATTCGTTGTAGTGATAGAGTCGAGCTGTGCATTCCCAAAGCAATGTTGGGAAGCCGACATTTGGCATAACATCGTGGGCGTCGAATGGAGTGCCCTTCCGCTGGAACAGCACCATGGCCACATAGCACCGCTTATGAATGGCGAGGAGTCTACTTACCAGTATTATCGTCATGTTTTCTTCAGTGAACTTGCCCTTCCTAACCATGGAGGTCGTGCTCAGTTTACTGTGCGCTTCCGGCCCGGTCCTAATGGAGATTGGCAGTGGCTCAATGAACAGCAGCACGTGGGCAACGGGGAGCTGGTCTTCGCTCCCAGAACCGCTATGCAGGATTATAGCGGCTCGATTGAGATTGGTGTGATCTCGGCAAAAGACCATTTTGGTGTCTTTTTCGAGCGCTTGTCGTCCGAAATAGATGTTGAACCACGCAAGAGTGAATCACCGGGGTCGTCTTTGTGGCACCTTTCTGGGGAGGTTAATCCTGCCCAACAAGAACAGTCAGGACATAGATCCCTAATTCTGGGGATACCCTCTTCGATGGTCCGGTATTTTGCCTTAGTGCGGGTATGGACACCGTGGCTGGGACCCAGACATGGCGGCAGCAAGTTTAAATTATCTGAGGATGCGATCTTGCTTTCGTTTCTTCGAGAGGATGGAATCCATGTAGTTCTTCTGGCAGTTTCGGGAATAGCCAACGTTCTAACACTGCTTTGTTCCGGAGAAGACGGAGAGGTGATTATTAAGTCGCAGAGTGATGCCACCAATGTTTCTAGGTTTCAGGTTCTAGTTGCGGCAGCAAATGATTTCGACGTGGCCATGAGTTCTGTGATGTATGAAGCACGGAAGGTCGTTCGGCCGTATAGCGAGGATGTAGCCTCTGCTCGGGTTCCAACTCCCGTTTCACCCCCTGGGGATGATTCCGTGATGGTCGAGAAGGACGACGCACAGATACAGTGGCTAGCGAATTGGTACGACGGCTTGACGTACTGCACTTGGAATGGGCTGGGACAGAAATTGACCGAGAAAAAGATCCTGAAAGCTCTGGAAACGCTCAAGTCCTATGGTATTGAGGTCTCCAATCTGATTATTGACGACAATTGGCAAGCGTTAGACAACGAAGGCGAACCCCAGTTGAAGCGGGGATGGAAACAGTTTGATGCAAATCCAGATGGATTCCCGCGGGGGCTAAAGCAGACGATTAATACTATCCGCCGAAGTAACCCAACGATTGAGCACATTGGTGTATGGCATGCCCTGTGTGGATATTGGGGCGGCATTGCGCCAGACAGCGAACTGGCTACAAAGTACAAGACTAAAGAAGTGAAGATACGATACCCAGCAGCCAGTGGACCCATTGGCCATGCGTCTGAAAGGGAGTCTCTTTTGGTCATTGACCCTGACGATATCCAGCGTTTTTACAATGACTTCTATAGCTTTCTCACATCGGCCGGGGTGGACTCCGTCAAAACGGACGCACAGTTTTTCCTTGATCTCCTGGCGGATCCAGAGGATCGAAGAAGATTCATACCCGCATACCAGGATGCATGGTCTATTGCCTCGCTGAGATACCTCAGCACCAGAGTTACGTCGTGCATGTCGCTGTTTCCTCAAGCAGTATTTCACTCCCAACTTCCAACCAACAAACCCATCATACCGCTACGAAATTCAGACGATTTCTTCCCAGAGATCCCCGAATCCCATCCCTGGCATGTTTTCTGCAATGCTCACAATGCTCTATTCACCCGCTATCTGAACGTCCTACCGGACTGGGACATGTTCCAGACTAGCCACCCGTACGCCACTTTTCATGCGGCGGCACGCTGCATCTCCGGTGGCCCAATCTATATCACCGACGAGCCCGGAAAGCACAATACCTCTCTCCTCAGCGAGGTGACCGCCCCGACCGTTCACGGGAATACCGTGATCCTGCGGCCCGATCTAGTCGGCCGCACGATTGACACATACAACGGCTACCACGAGGGCCACGTCTTGCGCGTGGGAACATACACCGGATGGGCACGAACCGGAAGTGGCATTCTCGGCCTGTTCAACATATCCGCTTCACCCAAGTCGAGCCTCGTATCCCTGCTAGATTTCCCGGGCATCCACAACGACTACAATGGACAATACGTTGTTCGCTCGCATACAAGTGGCAAGATCACGGACCCCATGCGCCCAAAGGATGCAAATTCCGTTGTAGCTGTGAATCTAGGCCCGAAAGGTTGGGAAATCCTTACAGCGTATCCTGTCCGCAGCTTTACCCTGCCAGAAAACAAGGACAGAAATGAAAAACAAACCCACGTGGCGGTCCTCGGTCTAGTGGGCCAAATGACTGGCGCAGCGGCGCTCACCAGCTCAGACGTGTACATCCAAACGAACGGCCGTCTCCGCATCGACGTGAGTCTGAAAGCACTCGGGACGTTGGGAATATACCTTTCCAATTTGGGGCAGCAGAACATCGCAGAGAACTTGATGATCACGATCCTGGAACAGCCGATCCCGCAGAAGATGGTATGGATGGAAGAAGGCGAGAATGCCAGGGTCCTCTCGGTGGACGTTCTGTCCGCATGGAAGATCATGGGGTTGGAGGCAGGCTGGAGTAATGAAGTTCTTATACAGATATTTGTTGGGTGATTAATCTATGGGTTGGATTATAGAGCATTAATATTCAATATCCATCAATATGCACAGTTAATCTAATACTGGCCTCCACCCCCGTCTCGCCACGAACCCCTCTACCCCTTCATCGCGTAGTACATCACACCCCAAACGCCCCGTGACGATGCTCCTCTCCCGTTCAGGTCCATGGACATAAAATGGATCAAACCCCAGACAGCGCCCCGTTCTAGGATCAGGATCGGGATCCTGTTTTCGCACCCACCATTTCCCCGCCGGGCCAGGGCCCGGCTCATGCGTGAACCCGGAGTTGTCCCGGTCCAGCGTGAGGAACCACCGCCGTTGATGAATCGAGCCGATAGAGTTTGTAGACCCCGGGTACGCATTGTCGGTGCGTATTCGGTGATCGATATCATCAGCCTCCGCCTCAGCCTCCGAATCCCGGGTCTGAGCAGCGTCCAATGGGTTCTTTTCTTCATCAGATGAGAGTTGGGTCGACGACCCTGATGATGAGGTACTGTGTTGCTGGGCCCGGGTCCGGGCGACTCGTCTAGTGGATCGACGTTGCGGTCGAGATATTGATTTCCGCACATCCGTAGTCCTGTCTAAACGCAGGATGATGGTGTAATTGGATGGAAGACGGGTGCCGTGTAATCGGAGACGGATCTTGCGCTGGGTAGTGTCAATGGTATGCATGTATTGTATGTATAAGTATTACTTGTTAAGAATACATACGTTTCGAAAAGCCAATCGAAGCTTCTCACTCTCACTCATTGCACACTCCGCAGAGGGAGAAGGAGGAACGTCAGAGACTTCCGATTGGGAGTCATCTGTTTCCTGCACCGACGACTCGATTTGATACGGTAGGATCTCATACTCTCCTGTATCCCAGATGATCATACTGCCTGTTCTGGACGAGGCAGTTTCAATGAGATGATTCTATAGGGCGATAGATTAGCAAGTGGCTATCAATCAATCAACTTGATACGGAAACGGAGGAGACAGCCATCGAATATATAAATAAAATATAAACATACCCATAGACAATGGACCCTCGTTTCGATCGCATTCCGATTCACGCGACGACTATTCGGATTACCCGGGAGACCGTACATAATGGACCAGCTCACGGAGCTGGAGGCCGAAAACTGCAGCCGGAGATCATAATGCGGACCGGCGATGGGATGATCATGTTGATGGATGACGAAATGTCGACCCTGGGGATGTTGATTACGCAGATACAGATCCACCCAGTCTGGGATTTGTAGACGCGGGACCTGTGGTTCTGTAGGACGACTTGCTGCACTCAGTTGCGCGGAGCAGATGGATAGGTGGTTGGGGACTCGGACATCGCCGGCCTCGATGGCGGCGAGACGGGATGTGCTAGGTTCTGGTGGGTATGGTTTTGGACGTTTTCTGGGCGGAGATACGGGGGCGTGTAGAGTGGATAAAGGGATGGGTTCATAGTTTCGCTTCATATTGTTTGTTGTTGAGGTACGGGGGTTGTTGATATAAGGAATATAAAAAATATGACAAGAGTGGGATTTGAACCCACGCCTCTTTCGAGAGCCGAAGTGACACCTCAATATGCGAGATAAGAGTTAATCTTGACTCGGCCGCCTTAGACCGCTCGGCCATCTTGCCATGCTGATTGGAAGTTATAATTAACTTTCTTGGTTAATAAGGCAGGTTAACAGTTTCTATGGTATACTGACAAAGAATGAATGCTAAGGTCAATGAATTATTGTCTGTCGACAATTATGGTAATATTGATTATTCAGCACCTTTCTCGGTCAAATTTTGTTGATGATACAACATCATAGGATTGCTTATATTTCCTGTATGATGTTTTGGTAGTTAAGTTGAATCAGAGACCTAATTCTATGGAGGATCGATACTTGCGGATATGCGTATTTTTTTATGGTCGACATTGTCACTGTAGAAAAATGCACAATAATACAGAACTAGGGCTCATGTAGAGCTAATGGTGCTTTTGTGGCCGAATTGTAGTTCGCATACCCTATACGTCCACAGCCTCGGTTTGTATATTCCAGATGGCTGGCGAGATAGTCGTTAAATTCCAACTCCGTATTGAACGGCCCACCACGTCCATCGTCAGGGATACTATGGACGATCATGTTGCCCTCGACGGTGTCTCCAAACAGGTAGGGTATGTCGTTGGGAATCTTTCGCAGCTATGAAACGCAGGCGTCCAGGTCATCTGCAAAACGATCCCGTTCAGCGTAGGACATGGGATGAGCCACATCTCAAGATGCTGTCCGTAGAGATGTGTCGTGACGAGATAGGTTTTGCCGTCATGTTCTCCCACATCAGCCACTCGAGGCGCGGGGATGGTTGTGTACTGTTCCGCGAGCCAGAGGACATGAGGCTCGCTCTGAGGAGCGTGTATGCACCATTTCAGAATCAATCCGAATGGCAGTCCCCAGACCCAGGGTAGGATTTCGGGTCCAGTCAGCCAGCGTCCGATTGGTTGAAGAGCAGAATAAAATCACATTCGTAGCCGTAAGGGTACACAGCGTGACAGACGATACAAGGCTTGTCGGACGAGAGGACTGATAAACGCTGGGCTTCGTCAGCTTCTGCAATATCAGTTGTTGAATGGCTTATACATTTTTGGGGGCCTAGGCCATCCTAGCAAGATCGTGTCCTCAATGGAAAAGAGATGCAACCAATTGGCCGTTCGCAAGTGAACCTCAAATACAAAGTGGCTTGGTAGGCTCAATATGGAGTCTCGTGGGGAAATTTAGAATGCCATGTTCCGAAGTCGTATTTGGTTCCATCCCCAAAGAACAGACGGGAGGGTTCTTCGGGATACAGCTTTCGTAGAGAGTACCGCCAGCGCAACTGTGAGTAGTCCTCTATGTTGTGGCTTGCGTACTAACCCGATTAACTAGATCGTAGTCCTCACACTCATCGCTAGGGTAACCCAGTTCAGCTCGTACTTAAGCCATTCCCGGTAGGGGGGTTGCAGTTGGGATGTCAAGTGGTGGACAAATTCGTGGACTCCGTCTCACCTCATTTAAAGAAATCGAAGCTGGAATAATACATGCGGATTCGGCTGTCGCCTTCACCGTCCCTCCATTGGATCCTTGGATATGGAACGCGACGGGCCATCTTTCTGGCGCAGTAAGCACCCAAGATTCTTCGGAATAGGATCAAACTGGATATTACGATAATTAGCTCGGAAGGAAGCAATGGACGGGGTGCCTATGTTTTGACACTAGGAGTCTCCGAGTCTCCAGTCATGCTTGAATAAACGCAGACCAGTTTCCACATCTCCGCTTGGATTGATTCTCGAGCTTAGATAGCGTGCGGCTAGCTCTCATCAACGACAGATTCGACAAATTAATTAGAAGGAGGTTTTTAGTGGGCAAGAGATCTGCCACAGGGATACTTTCCAGTACAGAGGCGGTAGCCATGGGATGTTAAGGGCTGTGGGGTGCTATAAATATGAGAATAGTGGAATGAACCAGCGTGATGGACATTCGGTACTAAAGGATAAGAAGTAACTTCAAAGTCTCCAAGTCTCTGTTGATATGCACTGATGGTTGCTTGTCGTTGTAGTCATAAAACGATGGCTGGGGATGTGGGCTGGCGCCAAGTGACTGCATGGCAGTGTCCCATATGTAGTGGTCCGCTATTTTAACTAAGTGGCTAAAAAATCTCTACTAGAAACCTCTTAACGCCCTCAGGACAAAGAAGCAATTTATCTTGGGCATCTATACTCAACGATCGTTCGTTACCATCTCCCAGATGATCAACTCTTCGCCATTTCCCCAAGTATCTCCAGCCTGCGGGCCAATATATTCGCGCTCTAGCTCGAGACTTGACTTTCGCTCCTCACAAGAGAACACTTGCTCGTGGCCTGGAAGGGAACGACGAGGATTCGTGCTCTTGGAGGGATCAAGGTCTGGGATGTAAGACCAGTCAGCGCGACGTGGTACTTGTGATGAAGCCGGTTTTCCTTTGAAGTTAGCCTGGGAAGTCTTGAAAAGATGTAGATCCAGAGCATATAATATAATGTGACGTAAGACACTTATACGGGATGATGTTCGTCAAAGATGATGTTGAGTTGTTTGCAGATCCTGGTGAGGAGCAGGGCGTCGTCAATATCGTCGAGTTCTTGGTAGATGAGGAGACGCAGTTCAGCAGGGATTTCGAGGAGAGTTTGCATGGCCTTAGGGTGATAACAGCAAATTTCATAATCCACTGTCTTGTTGAGGCTATGGAAAGTGTAAAAATCCCGAGTAAACATAATTATTTGGGTGTATCTCCTTGAAAGTAGATCGAGCCAGAGCTTGAAGAGAAATCACAGGTAAACCAGTGAACTACAACTCGTATCAAGATTATCCCTAAAAAGTATGCTGTATACAGAGAATTGTGCTCGTCTCCAATAACTGCAACCTCAACTCCGTTTTGTTTGTCTAAGAATAGTACCACCAGGCAGCTGCGGCGACTACCGGAGCCAACAATATCAGGCCTCGCTTGACCAGACCAGCAACTCTCACCCAAAAAATAATGATATGGAATCGTGTGATAAAATCACCTTCGTTCACATGGGGGAAATAACTGTCCGACACCTTTCCTAGGAACTGACACAGGGGCGCCCAACCATCCTGGACTTTAAATTCAAGTACTTCACGCCCTCGTTTCTGCGCAGCGGTCCGTACAAGGTCGTTATGTGCGGCAAAGCCAGTAGTCAGACGGCTACTAGTCTGCCAGCTCCCGTCCGTCCACACGGAAAGTGCGGATTGTAAGAGTGGGATGTAAAGGCCGATGTATGTCTTAAACATAGAAGCAGTTAGTAGGTAGTAGTCTACGTCAATAAGAACGAAGAACAGAAACAAGTTGGGGTCAATAGTACTCGATCAAAGAACTCCAAAAATCTCCAGCGTTTCCAGCCGAGGATGATATATAGAACGTACGCTGCATGGAAGCCAACCAGGGCTCGACAGCACGGGTAGTCAGAATAATCTTCGCGTCAGGATAGGCGTCCATCAGCTCTTCCACGAAGAGAATACATGGAATATCAGTAACAGCCTGGGGCGGTTCTCAGCCACAGCGCACGTACGTGTACATACATGCATAGTAGTGCGCATAACAGTAAGACGGGTTCATACTCATACGTCGTAGCGCCAGAGCATCGGGTTGAAATCCTCGCCTGAAAACTTGCGGCCATTTCCATAAAACTTGGCATCTATAGCACGGTTCCAGAGAACCAACGAGTTATTCTGTTGGTCCAGGGAACATTCCGCCATGTGATAGCAGGTTATCCCGGCTCCTTCAGCGCAACATACAGGGCTTTGGACACCTGTCAGCAATGAATAGTTCGGATGTATTGGAGTATCAACTGGATGTACACATGGTGCCGGCCCGGGACATGCCAAACGCCAGCACTTTCATCTCCTTCTCACGGTGAGCAGGAGGCTCCATCCGTGGATAAGGCTTTGTGGGAAAGGGGATATTAGCCATCTTGCGTGTAGTCAAAGTGCGAGAACGGACAAGGAGGTGGTAGACTGGAGATATGGGAAGAAAGTCGAATGAGTAGGTCGGTCGAAGTTGAAAGGGATAATAGCACTCTGTACTTTAACAGGTTCTTTGTTGGCCTGAATCGCTTCTCCACTAAAGAAACAAAGAAACCCCCAACCGGCTTAGTGTAACTGACCAGGGATACTGCCATATGCAGCCAATAAGTCTTGGACTATCTGTTGGTATTAGTCATAAATCTCGAAGACAGGTGTACTTTAATCTCCAGCGTGGCTTGAGCTATATTTAGTATGTATATCACTCTCCCTAACATTGCATGCATAGACATCGAATTGTGTCGATTAACGTATTCAGCAGTGGACCGGTCCACACGGCCGTCCCATCCATTTTCCACATACCTTCAAACAGAGTAATTCAACTACCTAGTAGTAGAAACACATAGATGATTATTAGTAGAAACCAATATGTATAATGGCTTCCCAACCTCTGGGGTGTTGTGAAGTGTGCTAGATAGTGCTGTTGCTTCTGTAGGTTCTTCTACTCTTTCTACCTAAGTCTGTTACCTAAGAAACTCTCAGTTTCTCTAGATATTTATAATAAATCATTACTATTTCATAAAGCACTATCATTCTTGTTCTTTCTTAGTCTGCTGCTTCTTCTAGATGGCTAAATTTATTCGGTTTGTTGAAGAAATCATGATAAATATGTAGAAAATGGGCGGGACCGGGCGTTGAATACGTTAACCAACAAGCGAGAATCAGTAATCCCCCGTCGGCACCCCCCTCGTTGGAATATGTTGGCCGTGGAATCCAAACGCTACCGGCCCGCCGACATTCGCGCGCCCCAGCTCTGTAAGGTTATGGGCATCCAGACACAGAAGAAAACTCTTGCCTGTTCTGCCATTCAGCACCACGCTCAACAGCACCCCGTCATCTTCCTTGGAGCCGTTCGGGTCCGCAACAAAGATGGGTTCTCCAGGGGACTGCGCGTGGTGCGCCCATAGCAGGACTTTCCTGGTCTCGCTGTCGAATTTGACAATCCCGTCAAAGAAGGTCGATTCACCGCGATTGACCACTGCGTACGTGTAGCGATGCTTGCGAGTGACTAGGTTCGGGTTCATGGTGGGCAATTCAGGCGAGAGTCCTCTGCCCTCCTTCCATTCCACGATGGCGGTTTGCGTATCTGTGCTGGGAGTGGACGGAACAGAGGGCAGACGGAACCGCGAAAACGTTGCGTGTGAAATATCCTGCTTTGCCAGGACGAGGGCTTTTGCTTGGGGAGAATTCGATATCATGTTCTCGTACAGCGTTTGATGGAGAATATCTATGTTGCCATACGTGACCAGATCAGCCACGATATCGGTTTTGGTCTGGTCGCTCGGCGAAGGTTCCTGCCACGCATTGATGGTGTGGAAGCAAAAGAAGGGACTGCTCTCGTATGTCGCTACCAGTCCCCGGTCTCCCTTGCGGTCCACAACATACCACGTTGCTGGTTTGGACGGGTCATAAGGCTGGATGGCCTCGAGGAAACTGCCTTGAAAATTGGCCGGGGAGACATGGGAGTTCCATACGCAGAGAAGGACGTAGTCCTCGGTGAGTAGGAGAGAATGGAGGTATGCTGGGATCCCGGGGAAGGTGGCCAGGATCTTCGTTTCACCGGTCGAAGCGGACGCACAGAAGATGCGATAGATGGGAGCAGGGCTAAACGTGAGATTGAAGTTATACATGCTTCCGGTGACTGGATCCGACCGTGCATGGGATGCCGAGAGAGGTCCATCCAACTGGGGATGTAGATTTGCCTGCGTGGCTAGTCCGATCGGTTCCAAAGTTTCGGGGTCGATTTTCTTGTAGTTGCTGGTGTCCGTCTTTCCATACAAGGTTTTTATTCCGGAAGCGCTGGTCCAACGGCCCCCATTGACTTCATTTATTTCACCACCTGAGTAGGGACCATCAATCACTGGCATGTTGATCGAGAGGGTCACACCGATGTTATGCATGGACGGATCGGTGGGATCATAGGAACTTTGCACTTTCTGGAAGACGGTCTTGCACGGATCCCGCTTCTGTCCAAAGCTTATGCTGGCCAGTTGGCCAGTCCGCCGAACCTCCTCAATCAGATGATCGGTAGAGAAGCGGGAATTATAGAAAACCCGTGTGGAGGTTGGCGAATCATCCGAGACAATGATCTGAAATCGATGGGTTTGGCTAAACCCATCGAACCAGTGGGACAGCTTGAACGTTTCACCTTGCTCTGTGTCGACCGAATATCGTCCTGGTCCGGTTCGATAGAGAATCCCAGCTGCATACGCTGGGATATGGCCGGCGACATCCAACTCAACTGGAGTCCGTTCCTCGTAATTTGCGTCAAACTGTTATTCGATCAGCCTTTAATAATCCAAGGTGTCGCAGAACGTACGCCTGGTTCATTTGGCCAGTCATTGAAGTGATCCTGGTCATCAGTTTGTTGCAGTGCGGTGGCCATATTGATACGTGATGCTGCACTTTCTGGGAGTTACAACGGCTCTTACGGTTGAGGACGCCTTTATATCCAACCGTCCATATGCCCTGTGGGGGAAACCCGACGGACATCATTTGATGCAAGGCAATGCTTTGATCGTCATCATCCTCGGCCCCAGAATTTTGGCTCCAGGTCGGCATATCTCCACGGAGCTTACCGTAAACTCCAAGGCAGCACTTGATTATTTCGCTCGCATGGGATTGGTCCCCGGAATATGCTCTGTTGAAGACATTGACCCACGGCGGGGTCAGTGCAATATCAGCTTCCCTGACTTCATCCCTCTTACAAACACACTCAGATTCCCTTCTGGGGTATTACCATCCCCAACATTGGGAATAACCCTCAGTCGGTGTTCCTAATTCGACCACACCTAAACAGCGGAACGGACGCTAAGATGAGCTGTCCATCGGGAAACCCTCTTGGCTCGACTGGAACTGCCTCTGAGCCCGAGCCCATATATCCCGTGAGGGATAAAATGTCTGATGGCCGAGGTCCCATTTCGAATCACCCCCGCTCCCGTCTTGATAGCTGGGATGCTGAAGTTCTGCCGGGTTGGATTCCTGATACGGTTCTCCACTGGCGCGGGGAAGGGCGATTTGATCCACCCCTTCGATATCATGTAAACGCTGATATGTGCATTGCTTCTGTCGAAATTGACACTCGACGCAAGGATGTCCCCCATTACAGGACTTTTTGAGTTTTGCACAACTGTCACATGCATGTTTTTCTTTACCGCCTTGAACGGGCTTTGGCATCTCCCGCCCAGCCCGTATACGCGTGGAGCATGACTTCCAGTGACGTCGCAGTGCATCCCTTTTCAGAATGTTGTGTTAGTTTAAACAAGTGTGCAAGTTGATGGCCCCATGCGCCGTACCGTCTTTTGTAGAGCGAACTACAAAACCCACATCGATAGGGTTTGTCGGTATTATCTAGTTACGTTTAGGAACCGTGTTGGCGTAATAGTGTGCAGTAGACATACGGGTATTCAGATGGCGCTTGAAATGGTCATATCGTTGGAAATTCAAGCTGCATATCCTGCAGGTCCATTCTCTATTCTGCACTTTCAACGATTGGCTCTGGGTTGGCTCGGTCATAGTGGGCAGGACAGAAAGGTAATCGGGGACAGAAACGACGCGTATCCACTGTCGCCATATACAGAGGTGTTCCTCATCCACCGAATAGACCAAAGAGCCGACGGATCATGAATGAGGCCGACTGGAGTGAGTTGAGAGGAGAGGAGAGGAGGAATGGTGGAATGAAGTTCGGGCCGCGTCCAAACCCCGTCGGGTTCCCCCACAGCCGATCCTCCCTGACGTATTAAACTGGCACGGTCATAATGTAATTTTGGTAATCGCAGTACGGAGTACAGGCATTTGAAATAGTTCTTAAATCACTTCTATTCAATAAAAGAATACAGATAAGCAGTTTAGCGACAAAAAGGGACTAATGTAGTTGTGAAAAAGTGAATGGGGAATATCTCATTGATGCATTTGATTAATGTTTGTGTTGACAGGGGGGAATATTAAGTAAATGTTTAAAGGATCTAGGTCTTTGAATATAAGTATTAGAAGCATTTATAATACTGCCCATTCATAGGTTCTGTTGAATTACAGCAATCCCATTTAGACACCATCAGAATTGAGGAAATTACAAACCATCACAACAAGACTTATAAACTCCAGTGTGGCAGAATCTCTCCAGATTCAATCCCAAATGTCTCCCCTGATGGCTGAATCCCTCAGCCATTCTTGACAAACAGCAATTTCGTCATCTTGCCGATCTTCAGGCAGGTCCACAAGAATCATATCCAGTTCAATTCCATCGTACAGTCCTGGAACCACACGACTCCCCTCTCCGGCCCGAGAAGCCATCAATCGTCCATAGAAGCTTGTCATTGACTCCATATCCTCCCCAGACGGGTATTCAACGTTAACCATAGCCACTCGACGCAGAGATCCAAAGTTCCACGATTCCAGGGCTTCTGCTTCTTCGTCTTCCATTACATAAGTCAACCCATCTCCTCGTACCAGTACCAGCTGCGCCAGGGCCGAGCAACGCGTCACGTTCGTGTAGAAATATAGTGTATCAACCGCAAGATTGTACAGCGCCAAACGGCGCAGACCTGGCCATAGTGACCAGACCTCGGGTTCGGACCTGGAATCTTCCATGGTCGCTAGGTAGAGCTCGTCTTGAGCGGAGCAGAACTCCTCAATTGCTGTTAGGCGTTCGAATGCGGTGCGGAGAACCGGTCGCACCCGGTTCTTGTCTTCATACGGATAGAGACGTCGGAGTGGCATGTCGATGACGAGACGTGTTAGGCTAGAGCATACTTTGGCACATAGTTGATCTATGTGCTGCGCAATGTCGAGATGGTCGAGATCATCTTCGGGGAAGGGGGCGAGGAAAAGACCCGGTGAGGGGAGCGAGACAAGTGAAGAGGTGTTGTCGAGAAGGGCCTTGAGACGCTCATGAGAGTCGATGTACAGACAATGTTTGAGAAGGAGATATTGTGATTTTGCCCGGGTGAAGTTGCAGACTAGTGCCCAGCTGCGAAGGGTCTGAGTGATAGGGTCTGAGGGAGAGAATGCCACCGGAACTTTGGATGATGGGATGGTATCATCAATGATCTGCAGAATTATCTCCGGGGGAAGCTTCATCTTGATGGAGGGGTTAATATCCCAGGTTGCCAGAATGAAGAGACTGTGCGGGGAAAAAGAATTGAAGTGGAGCGACCACCAAATCCCGTTGGCGAATCCTTCGAGCACCAGGCTGCCAGATACTATTAGATACCCTTTTCTGCTATTTTATATTACATTAAGTCTATAGACTGCATAGAGCTAGTATCACGAGTTGTTCCCTGTCACTGCTCCCCATATATACGCCGCCCAACTGCCCACGGTAATCATCATCAACACACTGAAACAGCAGATCGAAATCCACCGGCTGCGAAGAGAATGCGTTACAAGATGATGATCACGAATTCTGGCTATGATATCCGGTCCTTTAGTCAGCCGTTGTTTCCTGGTCCACTGCAGTGGAGCCAAGTTGTCACTCATCATGGCCCCGATTAAAATTGCTGAACCTACAGCAACCGACCCTGCAGCTAGGAAAAGATAGGCTCGCACCACTCGACGGTATGAGTCATTGTCGGCGTCCTGCAGCGCCCCAGTGATAATGCGAACAATAATGCTCATCCTGCCATGGTTGTCAGCGTGGAGCTCTCTGTTCGACAGGCAGTCAAGCATACGCGTTGTTCATTGTAACCTTGAGGGCATACGCAGACCCAAAAACCGATTGATGCCAAAGCGTTGCGCGGATGCTGTCAATGACAGATGTTGGTCCCAGGGACATGGCAATGGCGTAGATACCAAAGGATGCGGCGGTTCCAGATTTGGTTGTCGCAAAGTTCACTAAGGTCATGCTTAGGAACATACCGATTCCACACAGGCATACTAATGGAGTTAGGCGCTTGGTTGGGGCGATAACAGTCGTCAAGAACTAGCTTACAAACACTTGCTCGGTTCCCAAGGACATCGATGAACACACCCAAACATGGTACCAAAAAGAACCCTGAAAAGCATGAATGCCATCGCTGTAGTGGACATTGAGTACTAGATCAGGGCGTCTCACCTGCGTACTGCGACAGAGCGCTATACCATCCCGCCTTGATTGAGTCGACATTGAATCGCTTCTCCGCCAGTTCGGTTGCATTTTGGCTAAAAACGGAGGCAGTGCTCGTCTGAAAGAGGGAGAATGCCATAATCGACCAGAACATCCATGGCAACTGGAACATCTTCTGGAACTCGAATTTCTTATTTTTCTCTGTCAAGGGTTCCTTAGTCGCTGCATCCTGTCTGCCCCTATAATGGTCGTTGCAGTAGCGGTTGAAAAACCAGAAAACGAGGGTGGCAGCGTTGGTAAACAAGTTCATGAAGACAGAGGTCCAGAAGACCCAAGAAAAGTTCCCGGTGTTCTATTCCTGTGAGATCCTGTCCATCAGGTGGAACATATATACCTACCTTTGCAATGACATTGGCTGTGGACTTTCCAACGAAACCACCGATCTGCATTACAAGGTCAGACTAATAACCTGGATACAAGGCTGACGCGAAGAAGCCAACTTTTCCAATAGCGAGCTCAAATCCAAGTGTTGAGGCAAATCCATTGCTGGGTGGGAACCATGAGGAAAACATCTTGTACTGGGCAATCTGCGTGGCGATATCTCCCAATGCCAGGATGACGCGGCCCCCGATCATGAATTTGAAGGCACGAACGGTCGTTGCGGCAGCGACCAGGATCGATCCGATGGTGTATACAATATTTCCATATACAATCATTCCTGCGTAAGAGCAAATCAGATTAGCACAAGATAGGTTCTCCACGGGGTTGAGGAGGTCGACACACCGGCGCCTCCAACGCGATCTGTAATCACCCCACTGACGAGCAGGAGTAAGGTCGCCATGAAGTTCTCACTCGCTTCTAGGAGGGAGAATTGAGTATTAGATATGTGCATTTTCTATAGCCGGTCAGTTGGGCTATACCACACGCATTTACGAATCCCTAAAGTAACCGGAGGTACCTTTTTGATGGTGCTTTTCATTGCGCCTGTGACACCTGAACTCCAATGAGACCCAAAGCTGATGCAAGATATGAGGAACACGGCAAAGAGTTTCGCCCACAGTGGCGGCGGTCGCTTCCCCCTATTTTCATCTTCGGTCTCAGATCGTTCTATTGGAGGCGAAGATACCACCAGATCTTTTGTCTCCATTGCTGATTTTTCCAACTGCACGGTGTTTATCTGCGGACAGCCTTCGAGGTCGAGAAAATATGACCGTAGGTTGGGCATGGTGGCAATACCGCTAAATATAAACAAGATACTGCACATCTCACCGAAAACCGCCGAGACGGTGGGCTGTGGATCTGACCTAAGTGCATTGGGAAGTTGGTGACCCAATCGCATCAGATAAGATTTGCCTGGACCCTTTGGGAAAGCCGAGTGGGACGATAGAATGGAAATGGATATTTTCGTTGGTCGTTGTAAACGCCAAGGATGCTGATTCACCGTCTATGAATGATTGATAAGATCGGAGGCTCTCCGAGACCTGACAAATGGACCGGCCACGTGGGAATAAACCCTAATGGACTCTATGTATAGGAGTGCTTCCTATGATAGCTAGTATAAGACCTAAAGATACCTATTTTAACCTAGACAAATCCTAAGAAGGTACAGTACAGATTTAAATCGAGAGACGGTACAATTTCTCCCTCAGGCTGTCTATGCTTTCGAGCTCACTTTACTCCTAAGGCAGCTCTACTCTACGGCAGCTTCACTCATTTCAAGCACCGATGTAGCAGCTATTTTAGGCCCGTGTCTTGTCCTGCAGACCGACTTACTACCAGAGGGGCCCCTGGCCACGAAAACGGAATTTCCGAAGCGGCACCACTTTTCTACTACATAGGTTCATACTTCCAATCACTAATGATGGGCTGGCATGTAAACAAAGAGTTAAACTGCATATCAAATATAGTACTCTTAGCATCTCGGTTATTCTGTTTTATGGCAGGGTTACTAGTTACAACTAATATACTTACAAGTAAGCTTAATTGCCTCTAAATAAGTCTTAAGCAGTTGGCAGTGCTCCGGCAGAGCACCTCTAGTTTTAATTTCCAGGTGAGAATTCCATATCATTTAGGTAATAATCCAGGCTTCCTGCACGACTCCAGCTGGCCAATTGCCACTCCTCTCCCGACTACATACTTTCAAAGCAACTGTATCATCCGAGCAAGTGACCAGGATCAATCAAAGAACAATAATGTCATCACGGTCCATGACGTCCTTCACCTTATCCTTTTTCATTTCTTCCTGCTTGGACTTTTCACCTTCACTGTCTTCGATGATTTCCTTTTCCAAGAGACAAATCCGATATTTCTTCCGCTGACACTCGAGCTCCTCCCTCTGCAAGGCGCACAGCAACCGGTCGACTTCCTCCTCCTGACAATGTGAATAGACGTTAGTGTGGCTGTAGATAACTTTGAATATATAAGAAATAGGAAGGAAGGATAAATCACATGCCTTTTGTTCTTTGGTTTTTGGCTTCTTGCTTTTGCTCCGGTGAGACAGTTTCTTTCGCTTGGTAGTTTTGGAACTAGCATTGAGTACGACTATCCTTGTTGACTATCTTTCCCCATCCTTGGTCAGTGTGTTTTTAGGAGTCTGGGAGAGGAAGTGTACCTTGAGAGGCATTGTGGGATATGTGGTCGTTAATGGGATGATAGGGTGTTTGTTGGATAGAAACGTTGTGTAAGTAGGATTCTACTTTGGCACTGTAGTGTTGATTCATGGAGATAGTGGAAGGAGAAGTGGGAAGATGGATAGGAGAGAGAGAGTTAGAGGTGTGAATGGTATCCATGGTGAAACTATGATGAATTCGCTGCTATATACTTTCAGTTTATCTAGTATCTAAGTAGAGCAATAAACAATAGCTTTACTATATTACAATAATGTTACTCGTATACGTCTGTTTTTACTCTTCAGCACCAGCATCATGCTTTCTGCGATGAATAAACACGCTGCGGGTCTGTTAATTCCAGACCTAATAATTCTGTGCATATGTACACCGGTAGGAGTGTTTTCCACTCGGAGGTGATCTCAAATCGTAGGATTATTTCTAGTGTGTCGTTAAATTAACACCCTGTATTGGTAATTGTCAGGTATACCACCACTAAACCTCAAAAAATTAATTCTGCCGATTTTTTGAAAATTTATATATCCCTCTTTATGCACAACACAACTAACTCACGGCTGGCCACTTTTGCAAGCCTTGAATTGTTTAAAAATACAACAAAACTTAACTACCATCTATTTCCTATTCTAGACTAGCCTAAAACAATTGGATCGGCCTGACTACCTCCCTGACTGTCTCTTCCACGCCCGCTCCTCATCCATGTCCATATTCAGGATCGATCGGAATATTAGGATCGGCTGAATAGTCAGACTTAATAGTATTATGTATTAGGATCATCTCATAGTATATCAGGTATTGTATTAATATGTTTATTTGAAAGCTTTAAGCGATGATATTTTTATTGAAATGTATAATATGAGTATGACTACATTCCTAGAAGTAGAAGTGGCTGGAGAAGCGTTTATTTTAGTATTCCACATTCCTAAATGGGTTAGGCTAGGTGTAGGAATATCAATACGTGGTGGTAATTTAATAAGTTCTATTTCGTTCTCTTTCTATGGATGATTGCCTCAGACTATGTAATATCCATCCAACTGTGCTAAACGTATCTCCAGGACACCCTTTGGTGTAAGTTACGGCAGTCCCATCATTCCGATTGGCCAAGGGAGAGGTCCCCGGAAATCGCCGAGTACAACACCCCGTGGATACTTACCGGCGCTCCTGGCGTGGAGATGCCGAGCAGAACCAGAATAGACCGTACAATGCATTGACGAATGCAGTTCTGCACAGGACATGCAGGACAGTGTACGTACCCACTCGAGCAATGAAATCCCCCTCTCGGGAAGCAGACTTAGTCTCGGGGACCTGCATGCGAGGGGACGGTGACTAGCTAGTATTGACTCTGGAAACGCAGGGTGTGTTTAGTATACCGAAGTACCAGAGACGCTCGCGATGTACATATATATACATACACGCCAATGATCAGACTACATCAATATGTACATTCTCAGATATGGATGGTTATCCTACGGTCTTCCTGTAGACGGCACAGTCCCCGAGAAGCGTAAACTTTCTTTGCTCGGGGACCACTGGGCTTGACGTAATAACGTCAACAGCGTCAATCTGGTCGCCGACTACATCCCCTACATAGGAATCGATGAACCTCTTAATTATTCCATCGCATACCATTCGATCAAATCCAATTAATTGATCTCACCGCCTCTGACCATGTTTACTCCCGTGCATACCTCCCTGGGAGCCCTCCTGCTCTTTCAAGGGTCTTCGAGTTTGCTCCTTCACAACGGTGCCATTTTTGGCATCTCCTCCCTGCTTTCAGAGTGCGTCTTCAACCCAAGCCGCCAGAATGTGCCCATCGTTGCCGGTATAATCTCTAGTATTGCGCCCATTTGGATCTTCGTGCCGTCGTTAATCCCCAATTATCCGCCGGCACCGAGCTCCTGGGCGTCGTTGGTCTCCACGCTCGGGGCTGGGTTCTTGCTGGGCTGGGGCACAAAGGTGAGACAGGTCCCATTTCTTCAGCGACCCCCGCGGACGTATCTAACACTTGCCCACGTTCTAGAATGGAAAAGGTTGTACCTCCGGCCACATGCTCTGTGGTCTGTCGCGTCTGTCGCCGCGTTCTTTTATCGCAACCGCCATTTTCTTCACTACCGCGCTCCTGACGGCCAACGTGGTTTCTGGAGGGCAGAACATCCCGCCCTGTCCGGGAGACGTACCCTGCTACACACCGGTATACCCCTCGACGGAGGAGCTCATGTTCATGGTCGGCACGACTATCCTCACCTTCATCACCAATTCCTTGGTGGTGGCCCGGGTTTTAGAGCGATCGGAGACGTCGACGACGATATTCGGCTACGTGGCCGGCCTGCAGTTCGGTATGGGCCTCTTTTTCTCGGGGCTGGCGGATCCCGCCAGGGTTCTGCAATTCTTCGCCTTCCTGACGGACACGTCTCGGTTCGATCCTTCGCTGGGTCTCATTTTTGTCTTCGGAATCGGCCCATCACTCATCGTATATTTGTCGACAAAACCCGGCCAAAACATTTCCAACACGGCGAACAAACCAGACTGTCCAACTCTGGCGGAGAACTGGCGACTTCCCACCACCACTGTCGCCGATATAGATTGGCGATTTGTCGCTGGGGCGGCGGCCTTTGGAGTAGCTTGGGGACTACGAGGAGTTTGCCCGGGTCCCGCGATCCTCCGTGCCGTGCTGCAGCCAGCGTGGGGCCTCGCTGAGATAACGGGGTATCTGATGGGTAATCTGCTTTGAAGGGTTTGACTTTCACTCTCTTAACTGGGATGGGTCTTCGTCATGCCAGGGTGAGTCACCGGGTCCCCCGCAGCCATGGCCTAGGTACAGGGTCATCTGGAGTTGGAAACGAGCGGAGTCGCTGTTCAAAAGCTATACAGACAAACCAATGTCAGCGCGGTTCACCAGCAGCAGGACCATAAACTGTAACATATGTAACATGTATTATACATATCAAGGATACATATCAAGGGCTTGGTAGTGCGACTGGAAGAAAGAAGTTGAAATTCAGAAAAACCTTACAACTCCGTTTTGTCCCAGGAGGAATCCTTCTGCGCTGAGCGTTTAGTACCCTCATGTTCCTCGCCGCCCGAAGTCGGCATGAAACCCTCCAACTCCATCCACTCGGCCGCAAACGCGGTTACAATCATACTCCAATCCTCGACAGTGTTGCCGTCCAAATGCTCCCCATCGTCCGGTGTACCACGGAGGTTGTGCCATACCTCAGGAAATCCATTTGTAGGATGCGCATCAATCACATGCAGAACCTCCACACCACGGAATAGGAATGGGATATGGTCATCCTGGATAGCGAGGAAGGGCAGAATTTCATGTTCGTTCTTGGAGTCGTCTATAAACCATGCCTTTCCGGGGGAATCGTCGGGGGAGGACTTGAACTGATTTAGGGCTCGAAATCGGCGTTCAAGGGCAGCCATTTTCCGGTATGCCCAGTGCGTCGTTCCAAAAAATGACTGTATCGTAGGGCCTTTAGAACCCAAGAGATCGAGAAGCACAAATAAGGATATTGAGGAAAGCGGGGTCTTATAGGTCGACATGGCCGGGTGGACGTCAGTGTCCCATTGTTCCGCCAGGGAACGAGCCCCATAAAGTGAATCCATATCAGACCACGACTTGAACGCCTCTTCACCATCCAAAAAAATTATTTGGACGCCCTTCTGTTCCTCCAACGATGCGTGTGTATGCCCTTCCTCCTTCATAGCCTCCCACTTTTTTGTCAATGCCACGTCGATGCTGCGCATCGTGTGCATCAGCATAGCGCAGGGAGCGGCGCTGTCTATGGCCCCAATAAACCCCTCCGGCTCGTATTTGCTATCATAATGTGCAACCAGCGTCAGTCTGCTGACATCTCCCGTCTTCGCCCAAGGGGGATCACGGGACGCAATGAGGTTGACAAAGGGGACTTCCTTGCCCTTTGAAATTGGAGTCGTATACGTAGAGTTCTGGAACTGAATGTTCCAGTCGGGAAGCGATGTGCGAATAAAGTGCGTGAAATGGTTGAGGACGGCCGTCGAGCCTTCGGTGCCAGAGACCCGGGGCCTCAGGATGGGCGACAACAGAGCTCCATGATGGATGTCAAAATCGTCTTTCGGGCGAGGAAGGTATTTCAACGTCTCATCAGAGATGGCTTGATACGCGTATCCCCAACGTAGTAGGAAGGATAGCCCAATGTAGAACCAAAAAAAGGGACGCATAAGGCTGTAGGTCGATGACATTGTGCAATGGTCAATGCGCTTTCATGGCCAGAGGCGTAGTTCGTAGAAGAAGCTCCCCGGTTCCCGTGGGAGAGAGAATAGAAGAAGTAAGATGCAGCAAAACGCAGTAGAAACAGGAGGGAGCTAGTGACGATGGACTGGGCGAGTGGTCTTTGATGTAACTTTCGATGGACCTCCGGAGTTGTTATCGAGCCGAGCAATGCCAAGTCTCGTCACGTTTCGGCATCACCTGCTTTGCTTCCGCTTTCTTCTGTTGTTCGCCTCGACAATCCATTGAGACGCTTTCCCTTTTCTCCATATCATGCTGTCGACAATGAGGCTGCGGCCTCCGATTTTATCCCATCTGCGCATGTCGATTCCCCGAACCGGCCGGGGAGATCTCGGCAGCAGAATGGTTACTCGGAGACTTGCGACACAAAACCGAAGCTCTACGCCGCCAACCACGACAACGTATGCGAGGAGCACACTTCAAAAAGGTATGCAGATCCACAATGGGTCAATGCAAATAAACATTGTTAATATGAAGTTGCAGGACCTCCTGAACGAATTTTGCTCTATCATGCTGGAAATGGAAGGATCATGTTTCTCGGAGCGTTGCGGATCACCACCATCCTCCTCTTTGGATTTACATGCATCTTGGGAGTGCCAGCTATGGAGATGAGTGGCGAGCCGTGGTATAAGAGTGCTGCTCGTATGTATTTCGACTGCCTTGGTGGAACCGTGGGTTAACTGTTATCTGTAGTTGTACTTGGAAGCGCCATTCCAATGGTTTTTGTGGCCTATACTGGCGCCCCATTTGTGAACTTTGTCCACCTTGCGCTTCCTGTTTTTGCTCGACAGTCACGGGAAAAGACGATTCAATACGCAAAGAACCTCCCCCCGACAGCTACACTTTATATCAACACGATGAAAATCTCTACTGGCTCCTTTCAGACCTCGGTGCGACTGGGGGACTTAGCTTATGCCACGGATCGCTTTCGACCGGTGACTTTTCAAATCACCAAGGAGCCTCTTCCTGGCCGGTTGACATGGCTTACCCCACGGAAATTCTTTGCCGAACCACACAGTTCTCCTGGTCACCCTGCCCCGGCATTCTATCCCCAGCTATGGGAGCCTGTATACAAACAAATCCAGAGTCGAAGGCTACCCGTGAAGAAGTAATATTGGAAACCTGACATATAATAATGATGTCTTATGGACTGCCCTGTAATTGTAGGCAAATTCCAGTATGCGGGCTCTGGTGACTGGTCATTCACCGGCGCGGTTTGGAAGACCCTCCACAGCACGTTCAGTTTCAGTTCACTTTGTCTTTCCCTCAGTTGTGCTGGAATTCCCCCGCCTATCTCCCCAGGAATCTTTTCCACTGCCTCACTTCACCTCAGGATCTCTTGCCTGTTCTCTTTATTTAGTCTCCCCCCTTTCCTTCCTCCTGCCCAACAGCACCTTTCTCTCTCCAACTTCCTCTTTATTCTTTCCTCTTTCTTCAACAACTTCACGCGTTTCTCCTGTCCACTATTTTCATCCGCGATAAAAAAACTAGTTGACCTTCAGACATGTCTTCTGGAGCCAAGGCCAAGCCCGAGGGCCTGCTGGGTCTCTCCTTGGCCGAAGCAAAGGCCATCCTGCTTGGTTTGCTCTGCATGGATGAAGGTGGCAAGGCAAGTAAGCGATGGTCTGCAGTCGGCTTCAGCCATTCTAATGCGTTTTTCTACAGTTGGATGCCGAAAAGCTTGCCCAGAGAGGCGGCTATAAGAACGGTGCTTCTGCGGGCACTTCCTACCGTGCTGCGAGACGCAAGCTTAATGAATACAGTGCCAACTTTGAACAAGAAAGTCTTTTTGTGACTACCAATACTGAAGCCGCTCCGATCAGTGCGGCCAACACTCCCAAGAAAACCCCTGGGAAGCGCAATAAGGCTGCGGCTGACATTGAGGGTGCCGACAATGAGAAAACCGAGTCGCCTAAATCAAAGCGCCAGAGGAAGACCCCCGTTAAAAAGGGTGCTGCTGCAAAGCTCAAGGGCATCCCCGAAGAGAAGTGCGTAAAATTTTCCCTTACCTCCTGGCTTTTTCACATGCCACAGCATATCATGCTAATTCCTTATATTGATAAGCAGTGAGGATCAGGACATGCTCAACCATGAAGCCGATGCCGAAGACAGCAAGAAGGCTGTCAACGTGAAAACTGAAGACGACGGGTTGATGGCCAGACAAGAGATTGATGCCGACAGTGTCATGGGAGAGATCGATATCGATGTCGAGTTGGAGGCTATGGAGTCTACCAAAACTTCCACTATCTAATAATCCGATTCTGTTCACTTGTACAAACAGTCATTTCAGAAAGGGTGATTTGCAATGCCGTACCGTCATATTCTCCTATTTTCACTTTCCTTTCTTCTGTCCTCTCTTGTTATTTTCTATTATCATGTCTCATCTGGAATTGTGTACTATTCTCATGTCTTACCTCATTATGGATGTGAGAATAGGGAACTTTACAGTCAAGGATGGGGGTTATTTGAAACATGGGTGTTCAGATCCTCTATTTTCTAGTATTAAGATGCGCTGGAATGGGGCTACCTGTCCTGACGCGTCAATATGACTAACTAGTGATAGAAGGAAATTGACACAAGTTCTAATTATTACCGTAACTCCGCAGTCTGCATGTGGTTGTAACTGTGAATCTATCAGGAAGCACGGAAGACTCTCTTGCTACGAAAACACAACAGGAAACCGGAGAATTTTTATTATACCTCTAGCATCATGACTATATAGCCGAAATACATCTAACCTTGGGCATTAAGTCCCCCATCTGAGACAAAGAAAACATGAAAGCTACCCGAAACAACGCCGTTCAGCAACGTGCAAGTTAAAATAAAGTAACAATAGCAGAAGAAAATTCAGACTAACCATATAGGTAGAGAATATTAGACATCCACGAGGACCTCTTGGTCACTTACAATGGAACCAAATCATAGAGCTTCGATGGCTTTACGGAGCACTTCCAAGCTACGCTCGGAGACTTCAGCGTCGATATCAGCATCTGATGACTCACGAAGAGCCCATGCTACATCGCTCCACCAGCCCAAGCCGACGAAACCGCCGCCCTTTCGGCGCTCAAGGCTCTCTTTCAGACGACTTGTATGTTCCCATTGTTTCGCGGCATCCTCCGCCGTCTCGATGACCTTCTTAGGTATACCGCACATGGACGCACAATGCATTCCAAAACTGCCCTCTGCGACACCTTCCTCCAGCTTGTAGAGGAAGGTGATACGTTTTTCCTCATCATCAACATGGATCTTCATCCGCTTCGGAGAGATTTCAGGATGTCCTTCGAATTCAGCCGCGAGGGAATGGTAATGCGTTGCGAAGAACCCCAGGGCTCCAATATGGGTGGCGACATGATGCAGGACCGCTTGAGCCACAGCCACTCCATCGTAGGAGCTAGTTCCACGTCCCAGCTCGTCCAGAATGACGAGCGAACGGGGTGTAGCTTCGGACAGGATCTTCTTAGTCTCAGACAATTCTACGAAGAAGGTCGACTGTGCCGCAAAGATGTTGTCGTTGGCACCCAGACGAGACATGATGCGATCAACAGGAGTCAGCCGGGCAGACTGGCAGGGCAGGTAGCAGCCGATCTGGGCCATTATCACCGCTACGCAAGTCTAAGAACACCTTAGCGAAAGTATCTCTAGAAATGTGAACAAAAAGATTAACATACCATCCGAAGAACAGTGGACTTTCCGGCAGCATTGGCTCCGGTAAGGAGATCAATGTTGGCGCAGTCACCTCCCAGCCTGACATTATTGGGAATGAAATCGTCAACTGAAGAGAGGAGGCATGGGTGCCGCAGCTCCTCGAACTCCAGGACACTCCGTTTGTTATCAACGAACATAGGACGGCAGCTAGGTTCACCCAACGCGGCCGAAGCTTTAGCCAAGCTGATCAAGCAATCCAGATTGGAGATGACTTTGACAGCTGTGAGCCAGACAGCATAGTGCTCATCAAACCGTGCATAGAATCGGCCAGCGACTTCCTTCACGATCTGACTGTGTGTCTCCTGAGCTTCCTGCAACCTGCGAATGAGAGCCCGCAGTTCAGGAAAGTAGTAACGTTTGACTTGCTTGGTGGCAGACATCTGGTCCCAGCTCTTGGGAATATTCTTCACCTTAATCGGCACCTCAAGCTGATAAATTTCTTTACCGTTGTCCTTGTAACAGATCGCGCTGGATCCAAACTCGCGACGTGTCCGTTTGAGCAGATCATCCAGTCCTTTGTGCAATTGCTCAATACGGTCCTGTGAGCCATCAAAGTCTTCTTCAACCCCTGGTTTGGGTACTAGAATACCATTTTCTTTGGCTTTGGTACGGTCAAATGCCGTTTTCCAATACTCAAGCAAGTCGCTCAAATCGGGCATGCCACTGATCAGCCTGCCGATAACGCCTTCTCCTGAGCCGCTTTCCTTCAGCAGGCTCATCGTGTATTCAATCTGCTCGAACCCTTCTAGCACACGCACAAAGTCTTGGGCTTTGCAGTTAGCTGCATGGATACGAGAGATCAGACGTTCCAAGTCAGGCATCTTGGTCAACTGCGAGGAGAACTGATCTCTGATGCTTGGGTCTGCATTTAAGGCATCGACGGCATCTAGTCTGGCATTGATCTTCTGTGTGTCCACGAGGGGGTGGCAAACCCACTGCTTGAACATCCGTTTACCAAAGGGGGTGATGCAACGATTCAGAAGCTGGAATAGTGTTCCATCTGCGCCACCGTCAAATGAATTGGCGAAAATCTCCATGTTAATAAGCGTTTGGCCGTCCAGGACGAGGCTAGATGCTTTCTTGATCGGATCGTACGACGAAAAGTTGCCAATTGTTATCAGATCACGGTCAAGTTTCAGAACTCGGAGATATTGGACCAAGGCCCCGAATGCGGACATGAGAAATTCCTTATTACGAGCTTCCCGAAGAGGTTCAGGCCACGCCTTGAGATTATCATCGTCCTGTGAGACAAAATACTCGCTCACATCAAGCTCCTTGACCGTGATTTCGGCCTCCCAGAACTCCTTTCCTGGTTTTAGGTAGTTCCATATCGTCGTGGGCCCGGTGTTGTTTTTCAAAATTCGAAGAGCCCTAGTTGAGATTGTGGACTTCTCAAGGAGTAATTCCTGCGGACGAGTCTGCGCAACAAAGGTTTCAAATTTTGTCATGTCGGCATCATCTCTAAACTCGGACAGGAAAAACTGGCCGGTGGCGGTGTCAACGAACGCAATGCCAAACGTCGGAAGATCGTCAACGATAGCTTCTTTGATTGCAACACAGTAAGTGGACATATCATCCTGGAGCATAGATCCCTCGACCAGAGTACCGGCCGTGAGCACACAGGCAAGCTCTCGTCGAATGATCTTGTCCTCTTTGCCGCCCTTCTTCCCATCTCTCTCGCGCATCTCTTTGCCTAGGGCAGATTCGGCTTGGTCCACACGGGCAATCTTGTATCCTTTGGCCACAAATTGATTTGCCCAGTGATCCAAGCTCATTTCGGGGACACCGACCATCCGCATGTTGACACGATCAGTGAGTTTGAGATCGAACAGTTGGTGGCCGATTGTGGCGTCATTCTCATAGAGTTCATAGAACTTGCCCTTTTTGAAAAAGACGACAGTGTCCCAGAACTTCTGCTTAATCTCCCAGTATTGCTTCTCGAATGGAGAAAACTTCGTCCAGGCCAGCGGGGGTATGTACAGGGTGCGAGGATCATACTCGGGGTGACCTGGGGAGTGGCCATCAATATCTCGAATGTTTGCCAACCAAGGGTAGCGCTGTTCGGGTTCCGTGAGATGCGCTTTCTGATTGGCTGCACCGGATGAACTCTTCGAGGAGGGCGGAGGCGTTCGATTCTGGCGAGGCTCTGAGTTATCCGGGTCGTACGTCCACTTAATGGCGGAGCCGGAAGAGGCCTCCGGTATATCTAGATCTGGGCCGTCCTCCATCGAAACTGGAGGCGGCAGAGATGAGGACTTGCTTTTCGGTTGGACCGAAGGTCTTTTGCGCTTTTTAGCGGGTTTTACCTCCTCATCTGACTCGTCGGCAACGATAAAGCCATCCATCTCTGTAAACCGTTAACATTTCCCCAAACACAATTAAGGGCGCAGTGAGAAATAAAACGAACCATCATCGGAATAACCGGCATACTCTCCGCCCTGATCAAACTCGTCATCGCTGTCAGGAGCGGTCTTTCTCCTTTTCGATGCCCCGTTGTTCCTCCGACCTGGGCGAAATATAACTTCGTCGTCATCCTCGCCTTCGGAGTCAGATTCCGCATAGTTTACTTTCTTCTTGGTCTAAGAACTATTAGTACCAGCGAATCCCAGAAGCAGAAAAAATGTCAATAACGCACCCGACCAGACGGCGAGGCAGTCTGCTTTTCGGCCTGTCCATGGGGGCTGGTCTGCGGCTCGACCACGCTATTAGCATCCTTCTAGCAAGTACGGCCAGGGTACCACGCATCACACCTGAAATTTATCTTCATCCTCCCCTTCTGGTAATGCTAGATCACTGCTGGGGACGGGAGTCAAGCCCGAAAATTGCGGAACACTCCTTTTCTTCGCTGCCCCTGTGCCAGCGTTTGACGTCCGCTGCTCTGAGGCTCTCTGGGCCGGTGACGACGCGGGCTCCGCGTTGCGAGCCGTTCCTGGAGTCGAAGGGGATGATTTTTGGAAAAAGCCGAGAATTGACTTTTGATTTCGCATGTTCTGGGTGCTGGGGGTCGTTCGTTTTAACGCCCCAGAGGGAGGGGTCGCGGCGGTGGGAGAGGACGTGGCGGGCGCTCCTTTGGCCATTATGCATTAACGATGGCAAGAATAGGACCTTCAAAGGTTAGACTATAACATGTCATGTCATATGCAAATAGAGACCATTGCACATAGAAGAGCGGAGTAGATAGGGAATCACAGAGGGAGGAGAGTCGACGCGGAATGTCGAGGCGGAAACGGGACGTAGATCTCAGTCACGCGTCGACGCGTTTAGTGTTTTCTGCCGGTACATCCATGATTACTATCTACCGAACTTGACTTGAAGACTGGTTTTTTATAGGTACACGGTTCATTATATACACAGGTTTATCTTATAATAATACACAGATGGTGATGTCCAGCGGCCATGCTTTCTGTCTCACTGACTCTTAGTAGAATCCGGAAAAGTCGATTCAGGCTCCTGCTTCTCCGGCTCCCATCCAGGCGCACTGAGTCCCAGCTGTTTGAATTCCTCGTCGCTAACGATTGTCACCACTTTAAATTTCCATTTACCCAGCTTCAGGAATAGTTTGTTGCTGTCCACTATGAACTCCTTCGTTCTTTCCGCGGGCCATGTTAAGATAGGTGTAAAGGTTAATGAGTCCGTCATATGGCCACTATCTCCCGGCCGACTTCCGACATAAGCTCCCTTGTTAGAAGCGACCCGGTGTCCCTCGCTCTTGGACGACACCATTCCTGCCGACCAGAGAATCTTATGGAACTGTTGGTTGTAGACAAGAGACTTAGGCAGCGTGACTTGAATGCTAGGCATGTTGGCGAAGTTTGTCTGCGCTGCATACTTATTGCCAGATTGCGGGTTCGCGAAAGCTGAGGCAGGAGACTTCGCATAATTGGCAGGAATACCAGAGGTCTTGAGCAGGGGGCTTGGTTCCGCTGTCGATGACCGTGACCGGAACAGCTGACGGTGCTGTATAGCCACGGCGTCCGCCTCAGCTTTGCCATGAATAAGCTCAACAAACTCGGATGCCAGGGCGTGCTGTGCAACCCGTTTCGATGGGTCTTGATTCTGTTCCTCCATGATCTTGGCGATTTCAGGTAAGGGCAAGAAAGTGAACATCTTGAGATAACGCTCAATAGTGTCGTCGGGCGTACGAACGAAGAACTGCACATCTGGTCAGAAGGGCATACGAACCCATAACGGATACAGCTCAACTAACCTGGTATAGCTCAAACGTGGAGGTCATATCTTTATCGAGCCAAATGGCGTTGCCAGCCGACTTCCCAAATTTTTCACCGTTGGGCGCCGTCAACAATGGCGTTGTAAACCCAATGGGCTTATCTATATCGTTTTCCAGAGGGTTCTGGTCTTGCTCCATGACCGTGTTTCTGCTGATTGCTTTTACGGCATCCATGCCAAAGAGAATATTGCCATACTGATCTGTACCTCCGACTTGGACCTGCACACCTTTCTTAAAGAGAGTCCACCAGTCCCATGCTTGCATCAGAGGATAGGAGAACTCAGAGAAAGACATGCCGTCACCTTTTGTCAACCGATTCTTGACACTAGCCATATTGATGAGCAAAATGGTCAACGGAGCGTGGAAGTTGCGAACTCACGTTTCTCTACCCAGCATGGGACCAAGACGCATGTGCACCCCCAGATCTCGGAGCACTTCGACAAAGGGCATACTATTCCACCAAGTGTTGTTGTTTGTCAAAGACCGCCTCCAGGTCTTTTGTTTCTCATAGCCGTGTCTCCTTCCATATGCTTCGATGCTCGCGCCCAGTTTCTTCAGTTGCATATGCATACTTGCCATGTTCGCTTTCCGGACTGAAGAATGCACCTGTTCTCTTCCTTTTAATCTTCCTGTCGGATCACCGACTCGAGATGTAGCCCCTCCCAGCTAGTTTTCGTTAGCCACATGCCAGTGGACGCATCCTGGAATATTCAAATAGAGTATCACAGACCAAGAACGTGACCGGTAAACCCCAGACGTATCCCCATGCCAAAACCATAAATGGCAGCATATGGCCCACATGCATAGAAGGTGCCGTCGGATCCACGCCGACATATATACCTGTCCTCTTTTCAGTAAAAACCCGATGCAGTAGGTCTCGCTCCCTGCAAAATCCACGTCAGTTGGACAAGACTCCGGAGCAAAGTTGCGATTGAAGCGGGTGATCACTCACCCCACAACGTCATGTATCAGCCCTCTCTCTTCCAAGTGCTGTGCAAAGTTCTTCCTCTTGCCAGCTTTGATGTCCTTCGCAAATTTAGCCCATTCCATTTTTGCTTCTTCCACCCGCCTGAGGTACTGCTGTGTGACCCATCTTTTCTGTCTCGAATCACTCTCAGTTATATGACTGTTCAGTATAGGTCGAATAGCTTCGGGCTGGAGAGCATTCGCCTGCGTTGTTCGTGAATAGGCGCGAGCGACGCATATTGTCCGACGGGATGAAGAGGATACGACTGGAATACGAAGGCGTGCCATGTACGGCAGAGACCTTACCCGTGGCCACATGAAGCCGGTAGTGTGCTGGATACCGATCAATTGCTACCGGTGCAGCGGACTGATTCTCAATTGTGAGGGCGGTATAAGTGAATACTCCGTAGATTTTGGAGCTCCGGCGATAAGATACGGATCAGTGACGGAGAATCTTTGATGCGGAACCCACACGCTGCGGTGCTTCGATCCAAAGCGGTTCAAACCCCGATCAGGTTTACACATTACCTGATATTCTTTGTCAAGTCAAGCGGAGGGTATTAGGTAGTCAAATGACAGTATACTTAAGCTAAGAGGCTCCTCTACAGTAGGCTTCAAATACGACAAGAGAGTTAGGAGGACTGAATTGGATACTAGGTAATCTTTTGTTTCAAACTCTAAGAGCCAAAACTAATTCATAATTCATAATCTAATCACGGGTTGATTTCCAAGAGCCCTTTCACCATGCACTTCAACCTCTCTGTAGAAGAGAACAAGGCACATCCAGGGTCATTCGGCTCAATCAGGCCCCGTAAAGCAGTACACCACCAAGTATGTTGTATCAGAGATGCCTTCATCGCGTCCGTTGAAGTAACAAGGTAGTTGTGCCGAACGCCTATATCAGTCTCCCTCCATCCAGAACCAAACAGCCCTTAAGCCCCGAAAGGAGAGCCGCGAAGCTCCAGGAGGAGAGATGTATCAAATAGAACACGCTAGGCTTTCATCATCTATCGAAATACGACGTTAGCAAATTGTCCAAGGTGGAGTCACAGGAGCGTGCTCAACAGTAAGACTTACATGTTCAAAACTTGGAAGGATGGAGAAAAAAAACTGAACCAGTGAATTTCGAGCTTTTTATTTTGTCGTGCGGATTAGGCGCTAGGCTGTGTTTGGAAAGGCGGAGGCGTCGACCATGAACTGAGGATCGGCAGTAAATTATCGCCGCGTTTGCAGCGGACAACATTTTGAGCAGGCATGTGTTGGTGAATTGGGCTCTGCTGGTTCATTGCTTGTCCAATTCCCCCTGTGCAATTGCATTCCTTCACAATAAGTGCCAGCATGCTCCGAAGCAGAGTGGGGCGACTTTCCCCTCGCGTTTGCTCCAGCTACATCAAGAATTCCAACTATGTCCGCAGTAGATGCACTGGGCTGCAGTGGGGGATAAATGGTAGCATTGTATCAAGAAAGGCGTTCCATGCAAGATGTGCACTGCATGAAGAATTGAATGCGCACACAGAGTCTCAACAATTGCTAGAGCAGTATAAAGCATCCGGTATTCCACCTTGGCTTGTTGTTTCAACCGAGCTATCTTTTGGTTCCTCTCTTTCTATGAGCGCGGATATTGACAAATTATAGTTGAATTTCCTCCTGCCACATATGACTTCGAAACGTTTCTCTCGCAAGCAGCCCCGGAGCAAGAAGTGGTTTTGCATGGATATCTGGGAGATCGCAAAGATCTGTCTAAAAAATTATCATTTGTGCGCTTGACCGACCCGACTATGAAACACAGCATTCAGATTGTGTCGTTAGCAAAGAACGGGGCCTTGGAGAAGCTCAAGACAATCCGGGCAAATAGTCCCGTCGCAGTCCGAGGGAAAGTTCAGCAGAAACAGGCAAAAGGGGCTGAAATGGAGAAGACCGACCCTTGGGAAATTCAGCTGGATGATATCCAACTCCTGAACGACTTTCCAAAAGACATTTTCATGAAGTCCGACACAGTCTTCGCTCCCAGGCACAGATACCTACAGCTACGAGCGGATAGTGAATTGCGTGAAGCACTTCGATTCCGAGCTCAAGTACACAACGTTTGCAAGGAAGAATTAGAACAGTGCCGTCCTCCTTTCGTGGAAATCGAGACGCCTCTTCTTTTCAAGTCAACTCCTGAAGGTGCTCGTGAATTTCTAGTGCCGACGCGGAAGCGGGGATTAGCTTATGCGTTGCCCCAGAGCCCGCAGCAATATAAGCAGATCCTGATGGCAAGTGGGATCCCTCGATACTTCCAGTTTGCGCGCTGTTTCCGAGACGAAGATCTTCGTGCTGATAGACAACCAGAGTTCACTCAGGTAAGGAGATTCCACCCCTTTCAGCTGGAACTCCAATACTCACTGGTACTGTTTCCGTAGCTTGATTTGGAAATGTCTTTTGCTACCGGTGAGGATGTTATGCGGACCGTCGAGGGTGTCATCCGCAGGCTTTGGTCCACATTATTGAGCGACCCAGCTCCATCGGGACTATTTCGAAGAATGGCTTACGAAGAAGCAATGAGTCGCTATGGCTCAGACAAGCCCGACACCAGATACGGGATGGAAATCACACGCATTGGTCATCTCCTTCCCGCAGACCTGGTCAACAAAATTACCCCATTACTGGATCCGATCGTGGAAGTTTTCAAATTGGAAAACAACGACAACGACCCTGTCGCTATGGCGCAATTCATCACCCAATTTCTGGACTCCCCAGCGGGAGCGCCGTTCAACGACAACCCAGAAGGGGGCCCAGGAGTTTTTGTATACGACGCAAAGAAGCCTCTTTGTGGCCTACAGCCCTTCGGTTTCGAGGCTGCCGAATTCTTAGAAGACCTCTTGGTACCCGATCATGGCGACTTAATCATTCTTCAGGCCCGCAAACAAGCCCCTTTCGCTGGGGGCTCCACTCCCATAGGTGACCTTCGCCGTGCCCTCCACTCCGCGGCAGTTGCCTCCGGATTCAAACCCGCACCCACTGGATTTGACTTCCTTTGGATCGTGGACTTCCCTCTCTTTTCCCCATCGTCTGATTCCGAACCGGGCCAAGGCGGCGCCGCCGGTATCTCTTCCACTCATCACCCGTTCACTGCACCCAAGAACGCAGCGGACGTCGATCTCCTCCTAACGGACCCGACCAAAGTTGTAGCGGACCACTACGATCTCGTCGTCAATGGTGTCGAGCTAGGCGGCGGCAGTCGGCGTATCCACGACGCAGCGGTGCAGGAGTTCATCCTGCGCGACATTCTCCAGATGCGGTCCGAGCGGCTGGCCGACTTTGCACATCTCCTCGAGGCACTTCGCGCCGGTTGTCCCCCCCATGCCGGCCTGGCGTTGGGATTTGATCGTCTTGTTGCCGTCATGCTGGGAAAGGAGTCGGTGCGCGATGTGATTGCTTTCCCAAAGATCGGGAAGAGCGGCGAAGATCCAATGGTCAAGGCACCTAGTGCGATAACCGAAGAAGCGTTGAGCACGTATCACCTTCACCTAAGGGGGGAGTAAAGATTTCCATGCACTGTATAGACACCTTTAGATCCTCTAGCGCAATCGCTGTGTATATATGGGGGTTGATGTATGACATAGATGATACCCTATCTCATCTCTTTTCTTGTCTTTGCCACCAAAAGGATTCAAAAACTTCTGTACTGAACATCATAGGTTTATGGATGACGAGAGAGTAAGTCACGACCCCCGCAAGCACGTAAAGTAGGGTTCGTCAACTATATATATCTACACTAGAAGCCAAAACAAAAACACGTAATAAGAGCTGTTATACAAAACGCCATCTCGTACCGGGAAGGGAATCTAATACATGCACGAATATGACAAAAGTAGGCGTTTCTGGATTGTACAACTTTTCGCAATATATGCACTCACACCGAGGTGGCAGAACGAGAAACCGCCGTCGAATGGGATGAGGCTGAGTTCTGATTTAAAGCATCTTCAGTTTCTTCCTCATCATAATAAACGTAGTCATCCTCTTCCTCTTCTGGTAGACCGAAGGCATTTCTCCAAACACCATCCCACAGGCCCTTCTTAGTGACGAGACCGCCAATGAGAAGTACCGGAAGTTGCCAGATACTGGCCCAGAATAGACCACGTGCAGTGCCGTTGGCACCCTGATGTTGCCAGAATCGGTACGCCTCCTTGACTAACCAGCCGTTGGCGATTGTGCTGCCAACCAGGAATCCATGGCCCATGACACCGACCCACCAGAGGCCGATGGAGATCGGAAACATGAGAATGGAGTAGCGTAAAGCGACACGGGCGTTCCTCGCTGGGTTGGTCCAGCAAAGCATCTTATATCCAGCATTCTTATACTCTTCACGGATGGTATGGGAAAGGGCGTTAAAATGGGGGAATTGCCACGCAAAAAGAACAGCACCAAGGAGCCATCCACCAATACTCTCCTCACTAAAGAGCATGTCACGCCATGTGTCATGGCCCGTGGTCGCTGTCTGGCCGGCCGCCGCCACCCAGCCCATTAGGGGAGGGATACCTCCGACAATAGCCCCCACCCAAGTATTGATAACATGCACACGCTTCAACGGGGTATAGACAAATGCATACAGGCAGATGTTAGCGGCCGAAAGCGCTGTCACCGTGGGATTCGTTCCGAAGTACAACAAACCAAGACCCGAGGCAGCCGTCGCAATCGCGAACAGAACAGCGGCGCGACGGGAGACCAGGCCCCGTACCAAAGGCCTGTTTCTTGTTCGCGACATAAGCGCATCATACTTGGGCTCGAATATCATGTTCAAGGTATTGGCACTGCAGCTGGATAGAAACGTGCCCACGGTCAAATAAAGGAAGGTCAGGGTGGATGTCGAGAGAGTCGGAAGTGGTGCCATGGATGGATCGAGTGTGAGGAGAGAAGAGATGGGATACATCCCATATGCAGAGGTCGTAGTCAATATGATCAAGAAGGAGAGACGAGGCTTGGTGAGGGCGAGATAAGCGGCCAATTTGCGGCGGAGAGATGTTGCGGGGAGTGCGGAAGAAAGAGATGACAACTGTGCGGAGGCATCGGGGGGGATTACGGGCTCTTCCGCATTGTTTCCACCAGACTCTTCCTTTAGACGTTTCCTCCGGCGATGAGGCAACTCTGATCGGTCCAATTCCGAAGCAATTGGTCCGGGCTTGGTCTTATTCTCTGACAATGATGATATTGGGTCCGCAGCATTGGTGGGAGGTAACGAAGAAAACAGGCCATCCTTTCTTTCGGAGACACCCACACCTTGATTTGCCGAGAAATATGACTTGTTTAGGCTCGATGAAGCCTGTGGGCTACCTGCAATACTTGATTGTAGGCGCGAGAACGAGAAGAAACTGCGTGCTGCGGAGGGCGCATAAGAGCGATTGGGACGTAAAAGACATCGGGAGCACACGAGGAAACCCTCGCGAGGCGGTCCCAGCCTCCGTAAGGAGGGACGGAGGAGGATCATGGCGAGGAGGACATGTCAAGATCGAGACTCGAAACGCGACGAGAGAGAGAACGAGCAAGAGCAAACAAGAGAGAGAGAGAGGATCCCGTGATGCGGAAGAAATTCGTCGGGGCAGCGGTAGTGACCACAAGCGCCGTTATCAAATCCCGCTGCTGCGGTTGGTTGTCGATCGGTCTTTCATGTCAGTTGTCCTGTAGTCGTGAACCAACTCAAGGAGCCTATTTACAGTCATGGAGTCCATCCAGAAGGCTATCATCGATCCTCTCCAGCCTATCCTTCGTCCAGTTGTTTCGTCGCTGCCAGAACCGGTCCATGATGCCATCATTTCCCTGATTGGATCTCCTTGCTACAGAGCCCTCGTACTCGATCTCGATGTCACCAAAGATCCTTCCTGCACGTCCCTTGCCATCTCCAAGGCACTTGGGATTGCTATTGTGGGCGCAAGTGCTATTGTGAAGGTTCCCCAGATCTTGAAGCTGATCTCCTCCCGCTCGTCGGTCGGTGTTTCGTTCGTCTCGTACGCCCTGGAAACCACCAGCCTGTTGATCACGCTGTCTTACAGCGTGCGTAACCAGTTCCCCTTCAGCACCTATGGCGAGTCGGCCTTGATTGCGATTCAGGACGTTGTGGTTGGAGTGCTGGTTTTGACCTTTGCAGGCCGTCCGGCAGGGGCGGCGGCTTTTATTGCTGTCGTTGCGGCCAGTGTGTACGCATTGCTGGTGGACCACACTTTTGTAGATGCGCAGACCATGTCGTATCTGCAGGCTGGTGCCGGTGCTTTGGGAGTGGCAAGCAAGGCGCCCCAGATCTATACGATTTGGCGTGAAGGGGGAACCGGACAACTGAGCGCTTTTGCTGTAGGTGCCTTATGAATCTTAGTGTGATATGACAAGCATTGATCTGACCGGGATTGGTCTATCTAGGTTTTCAACTACCTCGCCGGCTCCCTGTCTCGCATCTTCACCACACTTCAGGAAGTGGATGACCAGCTGATTTTGTATGGGTTCTGTGCGGGATTTGCCTTGAACTTAATCCTGGCGTTCCAGATGCTGTACTACTGGAACAACCCCGTCAAATCAAAGAAGAAGCAGACATCCAAGCCCAAACCCGTGGCGAACGTTACTACTCCAGCAACACGCAGCTCCGGGGTATCTCCTAAGCCATCCGGCAAGACACCGACCACGCGACGACGGGGTTAGTCATGATGCTTTCTTTCTCGCGTTTGCAACAAAATCTCTCTAATCAATGCATAATTATTCCATCCATTATACGCGGGCATGCCAAAAGGAAACCCAGCCCCCTTTGTAACCGTAAATCCATCCACCGTCACCGCTGCCCCGGAAGCGTCCCTGTAGTCATATATCTCAAGATCTCATCCAAGGGAACCCCCGGCCCCGTCGGCTTCTGATGTGTCGCCTGTGCAATGTCAAACTCCAAGCCACTTCCCGAGCCCGATTTCCTCCTCACCCCGACGACCTCCATCTCATCTACTTCCTCGTCGTCCTCATCTTCGTCGTCCGACCGCTCATCATCCTCCAACTGTCTCTTCAACCCGGTCGCCACATTCTGGATGCCCAATTCCCTCTCCTCGAGGGTGAAATTCCCGCCCCAATTCCTCCGTCTCGCTTCCTGGTTCGCCTCCACAGGCGCCCAATGCCACAACTCCATCAACTCCATCTCACTGAGTGCCGACTGGTCCTGCAACGCGGATGTCCCGGCCTTGCGACCGCGCGCAACCCAGTCTTCGACACGGGGATCGAGCTTCGTCCGCAGGAGCTGCTCCAGGGTATTTGCCTGCGTACGGCCCGGGTATTCGGGGCCGGGATACGTGACCAGGGAGGTAAGGAGATCCCGGCTTTCGGTGAGGTGTTCAGAGACGCTGAGTAGGTTGTTGGATATGATGCTTGCTTGGGATTGGAGGGAGGACCTGCCATGGATCTAGTGGTTAGTTCGTTTTATTTTATTTTATTTCATTTTTGATGGGGGTTAGGTAAGGTACCATGAGGGGAGAGGGTTGCTTTGATTGAGACTGGCGATTAGAGAGGCTAGGGAGCGCGTGAGCTGTGCCAGACGCTGACGCGATTGCTCAAGGGACCTGATCTGGTCGGGAGTTGGAGCGGACATTGGGATGTTGGTAAGGACGAGGGCGGAAATATTGAAGAATGGCTGGAATGAGGATTGAGATGGAGACCGAGATGTCCGAAAGGGGAATAGTTCGTACGTATATATGGTCGACACTATACTTTCGATGTGCCCGAGAAGACAGGTTTTCGAACAACTAGATACTTGATTTGACAGGATGTGGGATTCCTGTCAGAAGCCTATGATACAAGAGTAAAGACACAGAGTAAATATTTTATTTAGGAATACTGTGGAGACGATAGTGTCTACAGGTGACGACACAGGTAGGGCGGACTCGGCGTCAATAGACTAGTCCAAATTATGTTTATCATGTGACTTATATAGCTGACGAGAGCTGTTCTCCAGCTGGCGTGACCTCCCTATTTCAATACATTACAACTTCTGGAGGTCTCTCTTCCCCTATTTTCGCTATTTTTTGTGACTAGTTCAAAACTAGTAGGTTTTACTCCCCGCTACACCCCTGCTGTGCTGCCATGTGGCTGGTTATGATACTGTGAGAAGAAATCTTAATTAGTTGTTAACTAGTTAGGAGCTTGTCGCTCTGGGATAAAGTAAGTTAGGACTAGTTGTGAACCGGGTCACCAACTGGTTGCTAACTAGTTCGCTACTGATTAGAATTTTGAGGATAATAAAGAGATAAAAGATAATTTATTGTAAAGAGGTGACCAGTGTGTACTTAAAAGCCCCAACTAACGCTAACCTCCCAAACTAGCACGTGACATCCCAAATAGCCTTAGATACCGGACGCCAAGTCCGCCTGGAACCTCGACGATATAGATATAACAATAACCAGTTCTGCTATGCTCCGCTACCCTGCTGCCTGCCTACATTATCTTACTATATAATGTCTATTCTACATATCTGTCTATTTCTAAACTGAGCCCCCTTCTAAACTCTGTTCTAAATGTTGGATTATATACTACTTACGTATTTATCTGGAGATGGTTGGTATGTAACTATGGTTAACTAGAACCTAAACCTGCCATAGTGTGCTATAAAAAGGCCGCCCACCCACGGGGACCAAAATCCGGGTCTAAAAATCCTTCTTCCTGATTCTAAAGATAGAATCAGCGTGGTCGCAAAGGATTTTTTTTTTTTTTTTTTTTTTTTTTTTTTTTCATTTTTATTACCATCGCAATAGTGGTACTTAGCAATTAGCACTGAGTTGCCTATTAATGCTTGCTCCGACAGCAGGCCAATCTTCAGGATCGAATCTATCGCTCATCGCATTGATTGTGCGGAGAGAGCAAAGAAAATGTACGGTTTTATTTATTTTCGTAGCCTGCTGACAGCCAGAACTAAGGCCCCATTGGAAGGATTGATAAGGCCCCATTGGAAGGACTGAAGCCGAAAATGGATCGCTCCAGCATACTAAGTTAGATAGATGCTAGCGGCCTCAACGGTGTCTTAGAAACTGTCAACTATCTCGTTGTTGAGAATCTTTCATTTCTAATGTATCGATCGGAGAGCACTTCATTGTTTTCTTTATGATATCCTTTCGCAGTCGTACCAAAGCAGCTTTGCTTATTTCTCCTGTTCTGAGCCTCCTGCTCCTCTGCTATATCTTCTGGCCAGGTTCATCAACGATCCTAGGCAGAGTTATCATTCCCCATGCACATAAACCGCCGACCCATTCATCTAAGAACTCTTGCCCCGAGCTCCCCGGCATCGCAGATGTCCAGGTGGTGCTAAAAACGGGGGCCACAGAGGCCATGCACAAGGTTCCCATTCATTTTAACACAACTCTGCGATGCATCCCTCACTTTGTTCTGTTTTCGGATTTCGAGGAAGACATTGGAGGGTTCCATCTCCGCGACGTGCTCCGCAACGTCAATGAGAGCATAAAACAGACCGTTGCGGATTTCAACCTCTACAACCGTCTGCGAGAAGGCGGACGCAGCGCCCTCACGACGGATGACATGAATGACGACCCCAGTACACCGAATGGGAAGCCTGAAAACCCCGGGTGGATACTCGATAAATGGAAGTTTCTCCCGATGATTGACGAGACCCTCCGTATCCGAGACGACGCGAAGTGGTATATCTTCATGGAAGCAGATACCTACTTGGTGTGGCCCAATTTAATGGCCTGGCTGGAACGGTTCGACTCCAGGAAGCCGTATTATATGGGAAGCGCGGTGCAGATTGGCGATGACGTCTTTGCGCATGGTGGGTCTGGATTCGTGCTGTCAAATATAGCCATGCGGAAGGTCTCTGAATACCGCGCTGCTCGGATTGCAGAGTGGGATGCATTTACAAATGGTCACTGGGCGGGAGACGGTGTGCTGGGGAAGGCTTTGAAAGACGCAGGGGTCAATCTTCTCCGGTCTTCGTCAATGCTTCAAGGTGCCACTCCTTGGACCTTTGGTTATCTCGCCCCAGGGAAAGACAAGGGCTCTTGGTGTACTCCTGCAGTGTCATACCACCATATGGCTCCCAGTGAAATTCAAAAAATGTGGCTGTTCGAGCGGGGCTGGTCTTTACAGGTAAGTGCCAGATGTTAAATCTCATTTTGTGGTGTGGTTCATAACGAGCTATATCAGGGGAAAAATTCAACCCTCCTGCACAGTGATGTCTTTGAAGAGCTCATTAAGCCACGCTTAAACAAGACTCAAGATAACTGGGACAATCTCTCCGCGGATGAGACCAAACATGTGGCTGGTAATCTTGCGGAATGTGAAGCGCAATGTACTAACGATCCGGAATGCCTTCAGTATTCCTATCAGGCGGGAAAGTGTCTGATCTCGCATTCAGCCAGATACGGAGAGATCAAGGCTGGGGTAACCTCGGGTTGGATCCCTGAAAGGATCAGGAAAGCAGCTAGGAAGTTGGGCTCGTGTAGAAAGGTGAAATGGATTACTTCATAATGAAATAATGAACTGGATAGTTGTATTGTATGCGATACTCGACTTCTTTCTGGTAAAGAATGACACATGTATTCTAACCTCGCGGCACTTTTAATCCTGCCGTTGTACTGGTCTGTCTGCGTTCCTGCCCTCCATACCTATCATAGTCTGGACAGGAGGCATACCGATCTTGGTAACTCTGTATCCCTCAACTGGCTTGACTGAACCAGGGATGCTGTAGCGCCTCCCTCGCAGTTATTCTCTGTGGATCTAGACTTGTCATCTTACCCACCAGGTCTAAGACCAGGCTCCACATTAATCCCAACGCTCAAATTGCTGTTTGGGATTCTCTTGGCCAAAACTGGCGACAAGAACCCACGCCCGAATCCCATCCCTTGTCGATTCAATTCTGCCGATATAATTCCATTCACCGGAAGCAAGAATCGGCCAACTCGAGTAGTAGACAATGTATTTTCCAATAGTGAAATTGCTGGAAAATTAAAAAACCAGCTACTAGAACCAGAATAGAACTAGACAAATCGTCCCCAGAATCATCCCTGAATAAGTGTTCACACCCATAGATCCAGACATCGAAACTACACTTTGTGGAGCACCTCCCGATGGTCCTATACAAACCCACCAGATCAAGCTAACCACCCATTCCAGAACGTCGCTGCCTAAGAGACCCAGAAGAACCCCTCAATACTATAATATCTTACATTCTTCAGACCTATAAAAATAGCTTGAATCGGCCAATCAAGGGTCTCTTGGCAGGGCATGGCTATCTTTCTATTTGTCGAGATTTGGACCGCCCATGTTTATTTTTAGCGGGCGCTTGGGGTGCTTGGCTGATTCCTCTTAGTTACCTATATATTTCTTCCCTTCTCTACTGTTCTTTAATATATACATCGTTCATTTTTACTATGCTAAAACACCATTATCGCGATCAATCAAGGCAATGTCATAAACAGTCAACTCAGCAATCAAAATCCGATGTTAATGCTCGCTTATAGAATGGGTATATCGTCCACTTCGCATCAGAACAAGGAAATGGGAACGGATGCACAACGACAGCTTCCTCAGGTATGGACTGCCCTCGCTACCTGCAGTCCAGTACGTCATTCCACGGATAGAGGACCTTTGTGGCCCCTACTTAGGCCACGCCCACTACTGTTTCTGCGACGGCGGTGCCCCAGAATAATGTTGAGGCTCGACCCCCTTCTCCTTCTCGACTGAATACGTCGTAGACGGTGCTTGCATTGACGACTCACTTGCTGACGCATAGTGGGATTTGGAAAACCCCACAGTCTGCTGCTCGCGGCCATCGCTGTCCACGAAATTGAACCCCGCTCCATACCCGTGCTGCGTGCCGGGGCTATACATATCATGGTATTGGCCCCAATTGCCCTGTCCAGGTGTGCTGATGGTGGTGTCGTTCCATCGTGCGTGCAAGTGTCCCGAAGCACGCTCCCTGCGGGCTTTCCGGCGACGCGACCTGATAAAGAAAAAGCAGCCGACAGCCAGGGTGCACACCAAGATAATGAACCCGAGAATCGGAAGCGCAATTACCAGAGCTAGATTCTTCACGCCAGAACCACTAGTGCCCGACGGGTTGATCAGATCGACCGTTGATTCGGGCAGAAGAGACTGGCTGAAAATGCGAGTCGGGTTGATGGGGAATTCTTTCCCACTGGGGACTGGGAAATGACAATTATAACGAAGAGCTTCGAGGACTACATACGCCACGTTCGACCCTGTTAGGCACAGATTTTGCAATACGAAGGATAAGAATGGGAGGCACTCACAATTTGCCATGTAAATCTGCCCTGAGGTGAGATTGTAGCAAGACTCGCAGTCGCTGATCACATTGTCAGCAAACGCCGTGGAACCGCACCAGCTGTCGAAGTTGTTGCCACTGGGATTCTTGAGGTCATATTCTACCGCCAAGTCGAGGCTTTGGCAATTCACCGTGCACTGGCTCGACATATTGTTGATATTTTCCGGGAACCCGTAGACACAGGTGGTAAACGCGTATCGGAGGTTATCTGGGGGGTGCATTTTGCGTCAGAAATGGTCTTCTTGCCCTTCAAGAGCGCTGGATACGTACAGAGTCCCCAATCCACATCTGTCTGCCCGGAAGCTTCATCGGAATAGTTACTGCGCAGTTGACACTCGACACATGACTGGAATTTCGAGCCCCTCGCCGTGTCACTGAAATCTCCATCGAGACAGACAATGTCGGAACCTGTCGTGCTGTTCGAACGCTGATTACACTCGTCCACGCAAGGAGAACCATGAGTGGTGCGCAGTGCAACCACCGGAGTCAGCTGGCCGAAGCCGAAAAGTAGGAGGGCTACCGCCCAGACCGTAGTAGGCCTCGCTGCGTCCCAAGAGCCGAGCATCTTGGTATCGAGATCGATCGTTCCCCGACGCATTCGGTACTAGGAAAGTACTTAGGTCTACGACCACCGAGCAAACAGGAAAGTCGGATGACGTATAATCAGGTCAACTGTTCTAGCATCGAACTCCCCGGCTGGGCTTGGTGATACAGCAGGACGAAGAGACAAGGAAGACGAGGAGAATCAGCAGGAGTGGCAAATGTCACGACGGTTGGCCGGGTTGACATGCTCGGTTCCTTCCGTGGACTGATAAAGTACCCGCAAAGAGTCTGGGACGAGGAACATGGCTCGTAACGACGTCCAAGGACTAGTCAAGTGAAAACAAGCATGGAGTGCGGGTATGATGCGTGCTGGGCGCTAAGAGAACCTCTCAGAGCTGCCGACGAGGAGTGGCACGGTGATCCGGCCTGTGCCCCGGTCCACTGGGATTGAAAGGAGTGTGATTGTGACTGTGACGAGTCGTGCAGCACGCATCGACGCTCGTTGGAGCTCGTTATTTGCCGATCTCTCGACCCCTCATCATGGCGACATAGAGCGATTGGTGGACACAATAAAGTCCCTTGTCTCTCAGGAGCATCGCCGAAGGATGATTAGTGCTGTCAGAGATGGGATGAGATGGATGAGGGGCGTTTGACGCCGTGATGGTCGAAAAAAAGAGGAGAAAAGTCTACGAGCGAGAGAATCAATAGCTTAATGGAACGGTGCAGGGTGCAAAACGGGGGCCCTCCCCGCCAATAGTCATATAGTATTCCAATGGTGAACAGGGAGGCTAACTGGTATTACCCAAAAGTCCTATAGTAATATATATATATATATATATATTTTTAAAAAAAAAGAGAAAGAAAAGAAAAAGAAAAAAAGAAAAGAAAAGAAAAAGGAAAGAAACCAAAACAAACATCCGCCCCAAAAGAGAAAAAAACAAAAAGAAAAATAGACAAAATCGAGACGCCTCAATGCAAAATAGAAATAGTCCCTTTCTCGCTGGCGGTAACCAAAGAAGCCCACTAATAAAACGGCCAAACAAAGGGAAGAAAAATCAACCAAAATGCCATCCATGACTCGTAGTACAGTCCCATCCTCTTCCCATCCTTACCCATAGAGCTCGTCGTACGATGGCACTAGTTCCTGGACAGGTTCGGGCTCTCGCCGTCGAGTTGATTTCTTCTCGTAGTGCGTAGGAGGATGGTGATTATGGTGATGATACATGAGTCGAGGATCCTCCGATGGTAACGAGGTGAAACTAGTATGGTGCGAACTCGCTGTCGTGGGCTCCGTGGTTGTGCTCTGTAGACTACATCGACGCATGCGAGAGGTCACCGACAACGGAGGCGATTTAGATGCCTTTCCATAGGGATCTGCTTCGTCTCGGGCTCCTGCACGAGATGGACCCTTGGGATATCGATCTCGAGGTCCAGCCAGGGCAGATGGAGCGTCATTCCCCTCATCCTCCTCTCTGGAACCGTCGTTGGAATCCGCGTCCCACGTCCTGGGCCTGCTCTTGGATCGACCGCGGACTTTGGAGTCATAATGGCCAGTGGGGATGGTCATAGTTGAGTCAACGGAGGCTTTACGGTCCCCTAGATATAACGGAGTGGGCATACGTGATGAACTGCCTGATCGATCGAGAGCATCCACCGAGCCATGCCGTCTGCCATGCTCCGATGGCCTTCCGGGTATCATATTAGACACGCCCCCAGAGGGTTGATCCCACTGACTCCAGGAGCCTTGGGTGGGATAGGTGATGGACACATCGCCCCATCGAGCATGAAGCTCAGATGATAGCTTTCGTTTTCTTCTTAGTTTTTCGATGATGGCCGTCATGATCCTCCGTGGACGTTTCATGAACTGACGCCTGGAGAGCCGAGGCTCGGTCAGCATGATGATATACTCTTTATGGATTACAGAAAATCATCAAGTCATACACACGACAAGACAGCGTAGAACGCTGGACCACAGTTCCCAAAGCAAGGCCAAATAAAATAAAAATTCATAAAAGAGGAAGCCGAGAATGACGCATAACTGAGGACAGCTGAGCCACGATGAACAGTTCCCGGGTCTTACCAATACCCTCCCCCCCAAGAGACCGGAAAGAGGGATAAAGAAAACGCGTCAGAGGTCGAGAACAGCCAACGGCCTGCCTGCATGAAGAGAGGATATATTAAAGCATATCCCGTTGAGCGCAACCGCTTGCCGTGCGCATCGCTTCGAAGCCTGACCTAGGAAGTTCAAAAGGCGGGAATCCCCCAATGTTTTTTTTTTTTTTTTTAATCAAATCAAATCCGAATAATTAAACCGCCAGTCCAACGGCAACGGAAAGATCACCTCCATGAAAGTCCGACGAGACCTTCAGCAGGCCACCTTCTCACCCAGTGCGACGACGCGTTACGGACCCGGTAGTCTGGGTCCTCCCCCTCCTTTACACCCTCCTGTCGTTCCGGTGGGAGGCCCATTGGATTTGGGGGGGATCACCACGGTGGGTTGGAAGACGGCACCGGTAGCAACAAACTATTACTGGCCCTTCGCATCCGGGCTGTGGCAGGCGGCGCAGTCATCGTGCTTTAGTAGACATGGATGTCGGATGCGTCCGTCGGCTTGGCATGGCGCTTCTCTGACCAGCTCGTCGTGAGTGGGACGATTTTCCTGGCCGTCGTCGTATCAGCCCCGCGAAGCAACAGCCCCCGCCAAGCCATAGAGGCTGCATGCATTGGCCTGACTGGCGAAGTGTCAGGCGTCATGACGAGATCATCGTCCATGGCGCTGGTCGGGCGGCCAAGTCCTAAAAAAGAGGGGGAAACGACAGCGCGATCCAACGCCGTCACCGCGCCGTCGTTGGCTGCTCACGGATCAAGCACACGGTTGATCGTCACGGTTAGCCCCGAGCCATCCACAGAGCTTATCTACGCGCCGTGACGGAGTCTTCGTCTTGGATCCAGCTGGTATCACTCTGCAGGTCGTCGAGTTGGTCAGTGTACGGACTAGTCGTTATTGTACCTGGGTACTTAGTTGGCACCTAATCCCGTATCGGGGCAGGTATGGCTGGACTCGACTGGACTGCACTGCACTGTACGGAGTACTTTGGGGCCAGTGAACCCAGAGGGGAAGACGCTTGTCTGCAGGATGGACTTGGCTGGCTCATCGGGTGACCAGGAAAATCCAGACGAGCAGGGATTGGATTTGGAATCGCATCTTGAGACGAATCAGTGGTGGAAGACAGACGACGGGAGTTCCTCCGTGGCACTGGCTGCAGGAAATTCTCCATGGCGAGCCATTCATGAGTAATTGTTAGCTCTTTGTCTTGTATGTACCGTGGTTAGGAAGGAATCCCATTAATCCGTCCATGTCAGTCTTTGGCCTTTCATCTCCCCGGTTCAGGTTCAGGTTCCCATACTCAATCCAGATCTTATCCTGCAATTCCAGATGATACTCCAGGACTGAAGTAGGCAGTGCTGTATCTGTATCATAACGGTCGTTTAGCATTCGTCCAGGTCCATATCCACAATGCTACCTGGCAAATCGGTGGCTAGGAGCACCATCATCTCCAGAAAGATCTGAACTCCTTATCATTATCATCATCATAGCCACAAAGAACTCTAGAGAAGTCAAACCATGTTCCAAGCGCCATCGCAAACCAAATATAACGGCATTGAGTCCAGAATATCTAGAACTGACTCTCCCGTGGTATCTCATACTCAGAGGTTGGTGTTCAGCTTCGACAGAGTCGGTTTTGGCCGTCGAAGAGGATTCGGCAACTGCGTCGACCGAGACCCTTCTGGCGATGAGCTGGCCAACGGTCCTCCCTGGTCGAGTCCACCAATATACGTTGTCGATCGTCGATCCGACCTCGAGTCCCAGGGACTCACCATCCAGGACGGCTTGACGGTCGCTGGCAACCGGCTGATCCCAGAGTACCTGGACGGGTCATACACAGGTAAATGTTGGTACACTGGTGGAGGAGAATCGTGCGACGTTCTCCCTGGGGATGGATTTTGGCTCTGACTCTGACTCTGCACTTGTGACTGCCCTCCAGGACCATACGATAACGACGACGAGGCTCTCGTCGGTCCCATTTCCAGATCCCCCGGGGCAAATCCGTACGCCTTGTATCCCTCCGACGCATGCATAGCCAATACCTGCTCTTCAAAACGCCGGATTCGATCCCACTTCCTCTTCTTGAAGAGAACAAAGAAGATCCCCGCGGTAACTGTCACGGTCAGTCAACCGAACCGCCCATTGTTGACGTTGACTCCGTGGAACGCAAAGGGATCACTGGTACATACTGGCTATGACCACGACACCTCCTACCACCACTCCTATGATGATACGATTTTGAGATGCCACGGACGAGGATGATTCGTCGGATGATTGGTGATCTTCGACTCGGACGCGAAGAGGGAAAGCCATTGTTGAGAGGAAAGCAAAGTCCCAGGGGGAGAGGGATTGGCTTCTCGAGAAGTGAATCTATCAGGAAACAATGCAGGACGGCAAAAACCACCTTAAAGAAGCACCCCTCCCTCTCTCACACACACAGACCTCCGTTTCAGTGTGGTGCTTGACGAAATCTATTTTAGGTAGTCTCAGTACACCGGCAGCAGATCCATTGTATAGATGGAGAGGGGAATCACTCCCAACCGATCTGTTCTCGGGATCCTGCCAAAAATAGCCGTCCGTTTAACAGAAATAGTAAACAAGAGACCCGTTCTTCTGCAGACATCGTCGGTCCATTGGTTGGGGGGGAAAGTTGAATGATGCTTTTTCCACGCGCCTACTTCGTGTTGGCGCCAATGAGAAGTTGCATCCCCCGCATTAGACTGGTCTATTTGTAGATGAGATGCTATTAAAAGACCATATCATGCATGAATTAATTCGCTTCTTTGTGCCTTCTACAGGATATATATAGACCTGTGTAACTAGATCGAGATGAGATCTTCAGTGCCACTCCGATCGCCTTCTCTCTATATAGGATCGAAACTGACCCCTCAGTAGTGTACGGAGTACAGATCCAGCGATACCCCCTATGCAATGAAATATACTTCTACTGCAAATTCCATCTTCTCCCATTGTGACAACTAAGAGGCTAGGCCCTTGCAAACAAATCTAGACGGTCGCGTTCTAGCGGTGGATAGAACCTGTAGCGCATCGCTGCTGAGAAGCAATGCTCGACAGTATGGCTAGGAGTGTCATGCAGATGTGATGTACCTAGTACTCCGTACTTTGGTTCTGAAGGCATCGGGGAGCGGCACGTAAGGCGTATTGCAAGAGGTAGAGCTGTAGCGAAGAAAAGGAACTGCGATGGTTGAAGATATGTCCTCATACGCACAGTGTATACATGACAAGGTTACTTACCTTGGGAAAATTCGAACCTCCGGAGTGGATTTCGCTCGAGAACTCTTGGGCTGATTAGCTGTGAGTTTAGCATGTAACTCTCCATTTGAGAGAAGTCGAGAGGGAGTCGTAGCATCTATATTCAGTATCCACGTTGAACCTGGTAGGTTGCTGGATAATGGATCAGATTCCGTTCGTAGTGCATCTCTATATCCTGCAACTCCCTGACCCGGGAATTTGGATATTAGTCTATAGATGAGAGTGTAGTAAACGTTAGATTTCGGGATGTGGGTACTTATACAAGGAGCACATGCATCCTATAATATTACCAGTTCATCATGCTGGCTCGGGGACAGTCATCCTTAGTAAAATATCAATAGAGAGTAATGTATAGCCGTAGAATTGGTCCATCGAATTAGATAATATGAGTTGAACAATATAATGATTAATCAGTTGAAATCAAGTTGAGCAAATAATTATGTTCAAGATATTCGACATATTTATGTTTCATACCGAAATATTCAAATTCAGCTACAAGCGCCATGCCATGACCTCATCAATTAGATATGCAACCATGATATCCTGTAACACCATGCAATAAGCCAAAAAAGAAAAAAGATTTTTTATAAAGTAACATCATCCATAAATGTCTTCCGGATCAGGCACCATAGTCGTCGTCAAGTATCTCGACATTCGCTTCTTCTTCTTCCCCCCTGGTGACGAGCTCGTTACAGAACTATAATCCGAGCTGCTCCTATACCCAGATCGAGAAGACTGACAAGATCTTGCATACTGATACGTATGAGAGACATCATCTGGGTGGGATGTACGTCGGTCCCGTCTACCGCAAAATCCGCTATGAACGTCGTCCCGCGAGCGAGAGCACGCAATTGGCGACGCCGCCCGATCCTCCGGGTATTTCGTTCCAGCAGGGATGTACTTGAATCGAGGAGAAGGGTGATCCTGCGTGGCGACATGCTCCGCCACCTCGGTGGGATAGTCCTGATGGATGGGCTTGTATGCGAACTCGGTCCTTCGCTCCGAGGCACCACGATCGTTGCCGGGATGACTATCCGCGGACTGTTTGGACCGAGGCACCAGACGCACTGAGAGGCGGCGAGGATTCAAGGTACTCATGGAGAAAGGCCTTTGTCGGGATGGAGTGGTGTTCTTGGTTGACTGAGGCGCGTGATCGTCGGCGTGGGGGGCCCTGGGAGGATGGTCGGGAACGAATCCCGGACCGTATGCCCGGGTACGGTGGGCTTCTTGATGAGGATTGTCAAATTGATTCCATGATCCATCTGTTGGAGCAGAGATGGTGACATCGCCCCATCGTTCATGGAGCGGCTTGTAAGAGTCAGGCTTGCGGAACCGGTTCAAGGGACGACCGACAATGCCTGCCATAGTGATAGATAGATGGGTAGATAGAAATGGGAAGAACTAATGTAGAAGATTGATGCCAAATCCAATAAGTTATGTGTACGGTCAACTGAAGAGCTCTGGGCAATGGAACAGCACAACGTGAAGCTCAGTCTCTCAACGTAGGTGAGCTAGAACGCAAGGAAGACGAAAGAAGAACACAAATCTTTAGAACCCGAATAAGAATAAGAGTAAAGGTCAAGCCCAGACCAGAGCAAAAGCCAAGTATGATTTCGCCCAGACTCTCGTGGTCCGTTCGTTCGTTGTCGGCTAGGACGGCGAATGGAGGATATAAAAGCTTGTCCACGAGCAAGCTATTCCTGAGGATTGCTCTGTTTCATCGTCTCGCCAGAATATCACACTGCTTCATGCATCCCATATCTACGGTGTTGTTTCCAACATTAGAAACAAAGCAAAACACCGTCGTCACGCTCTCTGGTCATATGTAGGATAACCGCCGGGTCGGGGATGAGCAGCGGGCAGATGCATTAGTTTGTGAATGATCGTCACCCGGAGGCATCCTGATTGCTTGAGCTGTTTTATTCTTAGCCAAATCTCCTGGATGGAGGTCTATAATAAGGACATAAACAGCGTAATTAGCCTGGTCAGAGATGTTAATTAATTCGCACAGGGGTCCCAAATTTAGAACCTTTTGACTGAGAGTCGCTTGCGTCGAGCCAGGCGCCGACAAGGATCCTGAAACAAACCATTTCGATTCACCAGCTTTGTTTGGGGGGGGGAACGGGTTGGTTCTAATTTTATCACCATGCATCGTGAGAAGTTGAGTTAATCACTACCGTAAATTTTGGCGGTTATGCGAGAGTGGTCTATCTAAGTCTTCGAGCGTTGCGAATACATACACTCGCGCTCCTATATACATAGATCCACGAAAGTACTGTGCATCGGGTGATAACATGTAGCCCAAGATAGATTCTCCTCAATAACGCCGGTGTTCGAGACAATGCAAGTGCTAGCGCTAGCCCGACGTGAAACATATCTAGGCAATTCACAAGACGACCGACCAAACTCCAGGATTCGATGTTGTGTAAACAAGCCAGGGATAATAGAATGCGAGGGTCCAAGACAAGAGAACGAGAAATGAAAGTGCTAAATACAATGGACTCAAGGTCGAAAGATAGCAACTCTTCCAAGGTAAATAGGTAAAAATTGATTCTGGGATCGAGAGAATGTCATCGGTCAAATTCAAGTTGGCCAGGTTCCTCAATTTTTGTGGTGGAGCGATGTGTAGGGGGAACCGTAGGCTCCAGTGGGCGTCATTCGAAGTATGTGGCTTTGGGAAGCTGATATCGGTTTGGTGGACAATGTATGATCCAAGGAAGAGGGAACATTCACCGGGTGGGGAGGACACAAATAAAATGCACCTGCGGATGACTGCCTTGCGTACGATATGCGATGCGGAACAGGCCGGTGGAAGGAATGGTCGTGAGAAGTCGGTTCCCAAGAAGCTGGCTGTCCCATCAGTCTGGGTCGTTCGAGGGATGGCAGTTGTGAGTCATCATCGCTGTCAGAATCTGTGAGGGACCACTCATCGTTAATGAAAGGAAAGAATCTCTGATGGTTATCGGCCCGTTCCTCAGTCGAACGATCTGGTGAAGTGTGGCTCATTTGCTGATCCGAGGATACGGCGCTACAGGTTCTTCTCAGCTCTGGCTTCAGAGTCTGGCCAGTCACCTTCTTGGACTTTTCAACTTCATGCCCATACGAGCTTCTTCGGTTCAGCCACTGTCCTCTCTTTCCAGTGTGGCCAACAGCCTCTGCCCGATGCTTGGAAAGGCCAAGGATTCTCAAGTCGACCTGGCTAGGACTGAAGGTGACTCTGGCCCGCATTTTCTGGATCGCCGAGTCCAAAGCGAGTTCGATGGCACAGTGATTTCGAATCTCTCGGATCTTGGGCCAGGTTGCGCGTTCCCCGCTGAGACACGCCTCAAGCATAAATTCCGTCGTCGGGTTTTTTAGTATCCGAGGAAGGTTGGTGTACCGTACCTCGGGATATATATTGATATCTCCTGAGTATTTCTGATTGACAATAGAAACAGTTTTACTGAGGGAAGTCGGAAAGAAGCCCAGCTCGGACAGTACCGTCATCCGATGCAACAATTCATCTTTAGCAAGTTGCGTCATAGTATGGACCCAACTTGGAGCGGACGAAGGGTTTCCCTCCCTTGGACTTGGATTGTTGTTCTTTGGAAGAAAAGGAATAACGTGGGGATTGACCTGCGACACGATGAAATGATTCACGTTGAACATTTCTGACAAGCGCGTCATTGGTAGATCGCCATCGACAGACCCATCGATATATTGCCGGTGGAGGTCATACCAAGGAATTACTTCACTGGTCTCGGGATCCTTCGCTTTGAGCATAAAGGGTGAGAACACTAGGGGGACTGAGCAGGAAACGGCCCTAAGTAAGAGTTAGTTCTGCAGGGATCAAATTTGGAGTAGATTCGGGGGGAGCAAGCCTACACGGCAGACCAGATGAGCACATTAGGAGCCGTGATATAATTCAGTAGCCTGGGTAGCTCGTAAATCCCAGCACTGGAGACACAGATGTTGAGAACTTTGCGCGTTCTGTTGTATGCTTCTTGGAAGGTAATATCACCCAACCAGCCTCTCATAAACTGGGCCAGGTGTTGTATATCCATGAAGGTCCCATGCTTTAAGAACCGCGATATCTTCTGCAGGGCATTTTCTGCTGGATTTTCCTCTCCAAAAACATCAAAATCCCCATAAGCGAATGTTTCCAAGAGCTCGGGAATCTCGTCGTCTGTGCGAGTGCAGAAAACAGAGCAAACAATGCTGCCTGCTGAAGCGCCTGACATAATGCGAGGAAGAAGCTTCGCCTGCCAGAGAGCCTTGAGCACCCCAATATGGTACATCCCAAACGTTCCCCCGCCAGAGAATAACAAAGCGCTTCGACCAAAGGCTTGTCTGGCCGCTAGAAGCTGGTCAAGAATATGCCGCAATTCTAACCCATCACATCGATTCTTTCCAGACAGCTCCACCAGCGTCGATATTGTACCAACCGCCTCGGTGATGTATCGATCGATCAACGCCTTGGTGCCAACATGAGAGTGGCTGTAAAGGGAAGTATTGGACATGTTGCCCAAGTCTCGACTCAGGGAGGTCCGAATGAGATACAGCATGCGACTGACATCGCAGCTAGCGCGCGCATCTTTGAGCTGCTTGAGGCGTTCTTGGACCAGCTGAGGATCATATTCCGAGCACTCGAACATATTCTTCCAGGTTTCGTTGTCCTCCAGCTCGTCCAACCTGCACGCGCAGTCTTTCCACTCCTCATAAGATACGGCCTAAAACGCGTCGTCAGACATACCATGCGAATGAGATCAGCCAGAATCCTGTCAACGTACATTGTGCATCTTGAAATACAGAGACCGGCGGCGGTCCTCCTTGCTGGTAATCCCCCTTCGGTTGTCACTGGAACGATCGTTCCCGGGGGAGCCATACCACCATCTGTCACCGGCCCAGGCCAAGGAGCCTTTCACCACCGAGGATAGCGACGGGAGAGAGGTGAGCTTGAGCAGAGACCCTCTCTGAGTCAGACAAACCGGTTTCGACGCCAGCACGCGTTTGTCCTTGCCATAGCAATGAGGGCGCACTAACGTACGATCAGGAAACAGGGACATGACATCCATCCATCCGTCTATAAACCCGAACTAGAACCCTATCTCATTCGTAGAAGAAGAAATACATTGATTGAAAGAATTTAGAGACCGAAGAATGGAGGGGTATATGGTAGCAATGAATAGTGAAAGAATGCAATACGTGGCTTGGAATGAACCGTTCCACTGTGCGAGCCGAAATAGCGGTAAATTTGGGTTAGTCTCGCTACCCTAGAATCATCTCTTATGCCCCAGAAAAAACCACCTGGGGGATCGATGCTCCCAAATATATGAATGGATGGATCCAAGGCGGCCCAAAGGAGTTCCACCTTGGTGAGTGGTCCAGCGACGTCACGAGGGATCCCGACTAGCCGGCGTGATTTGCCTCAGGCCCGGTTCGGTTGCTGCCGATCGCCACCACCAAGATATCATCATGGGATCCTTTCTGGTTGGGGGAGGGATGCGCGACGGGCCAGGTTTCCAGCTCCTATTACGTAGAAGCCTACTGTGCTGATGTTGTGACATGTTTCTGTTGAAATAGTCCAAATTTGGACACCAAAGATGTGGCCAGGATCTTCAGCCTTGTCTGTGCGGTGACCAGCGCCGCATTATTTCGACTCCCCCACCCCCACATCTTAGCAGTTACAGGTACAGACAACGGGTACCTTTCTTTCCTTAAGATTCTCGCTGGTAGAGTCCCCAGTGTGGATGCATTGTCTCGTGTAGTTGGTGTCTAGTCTAATAATAAACATACAAAGTATGTTCAAGACCAGATATATGTCAGTATTATGGGTATGCCGATTTTTCGTGCCTTACAACTTGGAGTGTGGGGAAGTATTGGGGTACATCTATCGTACTTGCATACCTTTCCTTTTCCAGTAATCAGTCAGGATGCTCATGCACAATCACGTCAGATTCCTCAGCTGAACTGTGAAACGGATCGAAACACGAACATACATTGGATTAAGCTGGTTTCGGTCTACCAATAATACTAGAGTTCCTGTCTCAGGCTAATATCTCTGACATCCCTATTTAGTAATATTGTAAGTAATAGTATCACAACCTACACCGCTGGATGCGCAAGCCTCTTTTAATCAGAATATATCAATCCTTGAAAGTTGTTTTTGCCACTATTCACTATTTTCATCTACAACGTAGTACATTGTTAATGTATATATATATAAGGCCAAAAAAAGGGACAGTATCAATTCCGACCCTTAAGCTACTGTGGCGGTTCAAAATGATCGGAGCACATGCTCTAAAAGGTTGACAATAGTCAAGAATTCCCATGATCATTACTAAAAGGCACAAGAGCTAAGGGAAGTGATGACATGTAATCAAGTGATGATGTTCTAAATTCACTCAGCCACACCACCCAAAGTCTATCCAGGCAAGGGCCCTTGCACAAAAATTGCGGAATTGGCATGCTGCGTATGTTGTACAACCAATCTAACAACAATTATAATACCCCTCTAATCATTTTATGTGAAGGCAATGGTCTCATCAATGTAAGTGGTCGTAGTTCTATAGTAGCTTTAATCCTGATGACATATGACGCAATCATCCATGGGCGATGAAATGACTGATTTCCAAACTGCAGAAATCCTTTTGGTGTGATACTCCAGCCCAGTCCATAGTGAAGGATGGTAGTAAAAAGGAGGATCCTGCTCGGCCAGCCTGGGTGTGCGTCTCTTTGACAAGGATGGTCAGGTGAACCTACAATTTCACATGCTCAAGGCAGCTTTCCCATGTGAAAGGCCAGGTCTGTGGTTTGGGACCACCACCGCATACCTCTGTTCCCCAGTATTGACTACAGACCATTGCTTCATTCATATCAGCATTAATCTTTGGCCAAGAGATTATGAGCAGGACGTCAATGCATTTCGCGACACCATTTCCTCAGTACGTCTCTTGCTTGAGTCTCCGCACCAATTTCCCTCCAAAAGTGGCCAGCCCTGTCAACCTCGACCGACCGGAATTGACTGCCTTGAACCCGGGTAAGGTTTTCTGACCACCTGTGCAACTTACTGGCGGATGTAAAGGCATCCTGGTTGCCATAGATGGCCATTGTTGGGTTTGCACTCAGCTGGTCGGTCGGGCTAGGACAGGGAACATGTTTCCCTTCGGCAGAAGTATGAGTTCCTACCTCCAGTGATAGTTTGGAGAAGAATGTCAAAAATAGATTAATAGGAGGCAGAAGAGGCGAAACAAGAAGGTAAGAAATTTTTGTTCTCGAAACATGTAAAGTTCCTTTCCGATCAGAAAAATCGCCAATTGGCGGCAATTTTTCTTGCACTTTCTTGATATTCGTCGACAGCACGAGGGCTTTCTCCGCTGCACGGGAAATCTCATGCGGTGCAGAACCGTCAGAACTGTTCTCAAAAAGGTCTGCAATAATACCAATCGCCGGAAGATGTGAAGTAATCATTGACCCATACGAATATCCGCCCAGCACAAGATGAACGTTCGTGCGTGCGTCTTCAGAATTCTCCTCGGAAGACATCTGTCGGATGGCATCTGTCATATTTTCTCTCCCTCCCTGCGAAGCGACTTGTAGCCTTAATCCATGCAAGTAGAACAGCATGAACCCATAAAAGGAGACATAGTCGGCCAATTCAGGTCGTGCAGTCCAGCTAGTGCTTCCTTCTGAGCCACCCGCTCCTCTACAAGATATATTAGCATAAAATTGTTTAGATCTAGCTTCGGGAAATAACTTGAAAGCTGCATAAAGTAACTGGACCTATTGATAAAGTGGTAATTACCGGAAATTGAAAGTGCCAACAACATATCCAGCTTCTAACAGCTCGCCTCCAACAAAACCCACGACCGGGTCATCGTAACAACCGCCAAGAGTAGCATAAGGATGCGCAACAATAGCTCCGCGTATGGGACCACTGAATGTATATTCTGTCTCACTCAGTTCACGGGGCAGATACAGGCGGCAGTCGAGTTGGATTTCATCGTACACCGAGGGGATGGTAAAGGCATACGTGGGCGAGGGGAGATCCATACTATAATATTACCGAATCTAATAATCGGTCCTGTTGTAGATATCGAGCGACATATTCCTTAACCATGGATCACGGAGTGGTGGGATGACAATATCCTGGGAAAAGGTTGTCGGGGGAAGCTTTTTGAATGACTACTGCTGCTGGCCCAAGCGTCTGCTAGGGATTTGGGTGACTAGTGGCCACCGCACACTGCACTGTTGCCGGTAGAATACAGCAACACTCTCGAGCAGAAACATTTCATGCCTACGGTAACATTCTTCAATTCTACGGCTGGTATGAATTATCCCTGGGAATACATACATATCATGATATTCCAACAGTCCTTTCTACTACCAGTCTATGAAAACTATATACCTCTAGGACTCCGGAAGAAGCCATGCAGGATCAGGGTCTTCGTCTTCGTCTCCGGATTTGGAGATCACATCGTGTGAATGCTCTTCCGCATCCTTCAGTAAATCAGGAGGAGGTTCAGGATTGTCGACACCAAGAGGATCTGCCTCGGAGTCATTATCGTCGTGGACCCGGCTTCGACTTGGCCCTTCCCGATGTGGAGACGGCCATATATCTTCCTCGGAGACGTTGAAAACACCGAGGAGCTTCTTTCGCGCTTCTCGCAGCGCTTCCAGTTCGGAACCAATACAACAGACGAGCAGTTTCCAACCCTTCTCTTCTGCAATCTCCAGATGATGTTCTACACGACCTGTTGTGTTGTCCAAATCGGCTAGGATACTCCGGGCCTGTTCCTCGTCGGATTTGCTTCCAGAGGGTCCATCAGGGGACAGGAGCTGCGATTGTCTTTGAATTGAGCGACGCATCGCCATCTCTAGTCGCTTCTCAAACCCTGACACTTCCCCAACAACAAGTTTCCACATACCGCCACCTTCCTCGAGTGCTTCAATCTCGGTATCCACTTCTTGTTGTCTTTTCTTTAACCGCATTTGCTCATTTTTCCATTGTTCTTGGGCCATGTCAAGGGTTCGACGTTTTGGATTCAACGTATAAAAGGTTTGGTGGTTAGTGTTAATTAAATGAGGGCTGACAGGGGGGTTTTGGAGAAAATTCCAGATGTCAGATTCAAGTAGTGATAAAGAAGCCTTGTAAGAAGACAACTTCGATTCTACTGTATTCTCCATCTGTGATAGTTCTTGAGTAACCTGCCTATGTCTCGCTTTCACCTGGGACAGTCGAGTCTCCATTTCATGAATATCTGACTCCAGCTGGCGACTCTCATCTCGAAGCTCCTTGGAACGCTGACTTTCCCTGTTATTGTGAATCGTAGAGAGAGCGTCCTCTAGCCCTTCCCGTTTGGTACCGAATCCATCAATCTCCATCAACGCATCTTGCCGTTCGTCAAACCGAGATGCAAGCACCTCTCGCTCTTTTTCCCTTAGTTTCAGCAAGTTGTAAACGGAACTGAATATCCCTTCTCTCGCAGCGCGCAACCCAATCTTCTTTGGGACTGGCTGTCTCACAGGCAGCGTCGATGGACCGCGGACATTACTCAAGTCCGAGTTAGGGGTATATCCTCCACTGGACAGAGAACTGTCCTCACTTTGGTCTCTGAGGCCAGCTAAGAGACCTTCTCCCTGCGCATCGATAAGAACCTGTAAATTACGCTGAAGATGCTTCGCTTGACGGTCAATGTAAATCAAAGGATCCTGATGATAGGAAGACGTTCTAAGAGGTGGAGACATTGAATGACTCTCCCGGCTTTGTGAGAATGAGCTTGTCATTTTGGATCAGGAAGGGGCTATTGAGTGGATGTTTTGGTAAACTAGTATCTCTAAGGTGGGAACTTCTCAAGACACGAGATCAGAAAAGAGCGAACGTGTATAAAAGAGAGCTGGGGCAATGGGTCTGAGTGACCCTTAGCAGCCCCAATGGTAAAATAGCGTGCTGCCTGTTTTCCCCATCACGGGCTCGTGATCGTCAATTGATCCCATGCCATCATCATTCACGTGACTATTCTAGGGGTTTCTGCAGGAACCACGGGAACCTTTCGACAGCTTCCATCCGCCTATCCGTTGCGTTGACGTGTGTCTCACTGGGTAAATAGCTTCCTGATTACTTTCCATCTACCTTCTTTTCCCCCATCCGACTTTTGTTTTTCGTTTCACTGCTTTATCTACCTGCTAGCAGACTTCGCCCCTCCGGTCTTCTGTTAAAATCGAAGGTCGCACTGATTAACCCGGGCCAGCTAATCCATAGCTCCGTCAAAGCTGTTGCCTCACCCCCTGCGATAGCACAATTTTTCAGAGATGGTTGGTCTCGCTTCGGCCGCTGGCCTCGTAGGATTCCTCTCGGAACCGGATCCTGAGCTGCGAGTTTTTGCCTTGAAGACTTTGGATTCTCAGATCGACCTACTCTGGACGGAGGTCGTGGATGCTGTCCCCCAAATGTTAGTCTTCGCTACCTTAGTCTTTCTCTCATCACTTTCGAATCAACCCCATGAATTTACATCCAGTATAAATGGACTCTCTGATGATGTATTCTATTTTCTAACCTTCCCTTGTACAGAGAGGCGCTCTACGAAGATGAGTCTTTCCCGGAACGTGAACTTGCCGCCTTGGTTGCGGCCAAAGTTTACTATCACCTCCAAGAATATAATGAGAGTATGGTTTTCGCTCTTGGAGCAGGGAAGTTATTTCAATTAGACCAAGGTGGCGAGTTTGAGGAGATGATTATTGGTAAGTTCATGAAGTTCTCATCACGACACCTTGGCTTTGATCTGATATCATATATTCTCCAGCCAAATGTGTCGATACTTTCATTTCTCTCTCTGCTGCCAAAAAGCCTGCTGCGGGTGACCAGCCGGTCAATTTGAACACTGCATTCCCAACTTCTGGTGAAGGAGCCACGAGCACGTCCGCCAGCCTTACGTCCCCGATTACTCCATTCTCGCAGTTAGCTCTGCCATCAAAATCATTACTTTCTCGGCAAGAAGTTCCAGGGGTTGATGCGGCTTATCCTGGAGGCGATGATGTAAGCGTTAAACAGGTGGAAACACCGTTGGTTATGCGACGAGGGGTCCAGAGCCAATTGCAAACTGTTATCGAGCTCTTATTTGAACAATGCTTCCAGCAGAGGCGTTATCGCCAAGTAATTGGCATTGCCATCGAAGCTAAGAATCTGGATGTTCTTCGAAAGGCTATCCTTCGGGCCAGCGAAGATGAGAAGAAGGAGAACGGTGAATCTCGCCGGAGCGAAGAACTCATGGAATACGTTCTAGATATCTGTATGGGTATCGTACAGGAGCGCGCTTTCCGCAACGAGGTACGTAATTATCTCATAGAGGCCAAAGGCCGAGCTAACCGTGCTTCGTAGATCCTGAAACTCATTCTTGACCTTCTCAACGAAATCCCCTCGCCAGACTACTTCTCAATCGCTAAATGTGTTGTTTATCTCAACGAGCACTCGATGGCATCCGTCATTCTTCGCCAGTTGGTCGAGAAGGGTGATGCCCGGTCGCTTGCTGTGGCTTACCAAATTTCTTTTGACCTTTATGATAATAGCACACAAGAGTTCCTTCAGAAGGTTCGACAGGAAATCGCCGAGCTTGTGCCGGAAAAGAACGCAACCGAAGCCGAGAGGAAACAGGACACGACAGTAGATGAAAGTGAGCCGAAGGAGTCTGACCCTTTACTCGAAGACCAGTCCAATTCTGAACAACCCAAGTCTATCGGGGTCAATGATGACGGGCAAAAAGCCTCGCCCGAAGCACATACGGCCCTTAAAAATATAATCGACATTCTTGACGGTATCAAGTCTATCCAATTGAATTTGGAGTTCTTATACCGGAGCAACAAGGCCGACATTTCCATCCTCAACAAAGTTCGGGATAGTTTGGAGGCCCGGAATTCGATCTTCCACACCGCGGTTACGCTCTCAAATGCCTTTATGCATGCCGGAACCACCCATGACAAGTTCTTCCGAGACAATCTGGAGTGGTTAGGCAAGGCAGTTAACTGGTCCAAATTTACAGCTACAGCCGCTCTTGGTGTCATCCATCGCGGCAACTTGAGCCAGGGACAGAAGCTCTTGCAACCGTACCTACCTAGGGAGCATATTGCGGGTGTTGGGGGATCAGGTTCTGTTTACAGCCAAGGTGGTTCTTTGTATGCGTTTGGTCTGATCTACGCCAACCATGGTGGAATGGCTGTCGATCTCATTCGTGACCACTTCAAGAAGGCTACTGAGGAGGTCGTCCAGCATGGCGGTGCTTTGGGTTTGGGGGTTGCGGGCATGGCCACCGGCGACGAAGGCATCTACGAAGATCTGCGGAACGTTCTCTACACCGACTCGGCACTTAACGGCGAGGCTGTCGGACTCGCTATGGGTCTGGTCATGCTGGGGACTGGCAACATGAAGGTCCTGGAAGATATGATTCAGTATGCCCATGATACGCAGCACGAGAAAATTGTTCGTGGTTTAGCGATGGGAATGGCTCTTATCATGTATGGCCGTCAAGAAGCCGCTGACGAATTGATCAATGGCCTCTTGGGCGACCCTGACCCGACCATTCGCTATGGCGGTATTATGACGATCGCCCTTGCTTATTGCGGCAGTAGCAGCAATAAAGCCGTCCGTAAACTCCTTCACATCGCTGTCAGCGACGTTAATGATGACGTCCGACGTATTGCAGTGCTGAGTTTGGGCTTCATCTTGTTTAGGAAGCACCAGAGCGTGCCTCGTATGGTGGAGCTGCTTTCTGAGTCGTACAACCCCCATGTGCGTTATGGTGCTGCTATGGCCCTTGGTATTTCATGCGCTGGCACCGGGCTCGACGAGGCGATCGATCTCCTTGAGCCGATGCTCAAGGATTCCACCGACTTTGTGAGGCAGGGAGCCCTGATTGCCTTAGCCATGGTTTTGGTCCAGCAAAATGAAGCCATGAATCCCCGAGTGAGCACATTGCGCAAAGCCATGATGAAAATGATTGGAGACCGCCACGAGGATGCCATGGCCAAGTTTGGTTGTGCGGTTGCTCTTGGCATCATCGATGCTGGTGGCCGGAACTGCACCATCAGTCTGCAAACACAGACCGGTAACCTGAACATGCCCGGAATTGTCGGGGCTGCTGTGTTTATTCAGTATTGGTACTGGTTCCCCCTCACTCATTTCCTGTCGCTCAGTTTCTCCCCTACGTCGGTCATCGGCGTGGACCAGAAGCTCGAAGTACCTTTCTTCAAGTTCCATTCGAACACGAAGCCTAGCCTTTTCGATTACCCACCGGAGCAACAGGTGAAGACTGAAGAGGCACCGGAGAAGATCAAAACCGCTGTTCTGTCCACCACTGCCCAGGCTAAGCGTCGTGCGCAGCGGCGTGAGAAACAGCAGCGGCGCGAGAGTATGGATATTGACCAGACACCTGCCACACCCAAGGTCTCGGACCAGGCGCCTGATCGGATGGACACCGAGGACGGCACAACCAAAGGCGATGAAGAGGCAAAGGAGGGAGATAAGGAGCCCAGTGAGGGCCAAAGGAAAAGGGTTGAGCGGGAGAAGGTTGGATATGAACTTGAAAATATGTCGAGAGTGCTTCCCGCTCAACTCAAGTATCTGACTTTCCCAGATCCTCGGTATGAGCCGGTCAAACGGGTACGTATATCTTGCTTCTCATGTGTCGGATATATATGATGTGATCGGGTTGCTGACCGTTATTACAATAGCCTACTGGTGGAGTGGTTGTGGTCCTGGATAAGAAGCCCGATGAATCGCGAGAGACCATCGAAATGAAGGCTAGCAAGGAAGTCAAGCAACCCGCTGCCGCAGGTGAGACGCTGCAGGACCGACTGCAGGCTGCCATCGGGGCTGCAGCTCTCCAGACGCCTCAACGGGGTGGTCCCGGTCAAATTTCCATGGGTGCCGGTCCGACAGCGGGAGCGGCGGCGGCTGCCGGTGTTTTGACAGCAGTGGATGAGGATCAAGAAGGCGGCGAGGAGGCCCCCGTTCCTGAAGAGTTCAAGTACGAGTCAGAAGGCGAGGAGTAGAAGGATGGTGTGCAGTTTTGGGTTGTATTACTAGATTAATCGTGGATCTATTCTGAGAGGCCAGTGGGTATCGCTGGTGCCTGACATTACACTATTTATTTTGTAAATGGGGTCAATATCTACACTAGATGAGCTACTGTATAAACAGCATTTGTCTCTGATGAAACAATAGATGATGTACGGGAAACGCTAAGTGCCAACATCAAAGGTAGTCTCACCTAGAATTACTGTGTAGCTAGTGCTTAGTATGGTCTTTCCCTGGGGAAATTTTCAGCTATAGAGGTGCCTCGGGGCATATGAAATATGCTCCGTATACGTTCAGAAGAATACAGCAAATCAGAGACGTGCCGATGATAATATCAACTCGGTAGCATCTAGCGGCCCCTTTCCCCTGATTTTCACATGCCGATGTCGGTTCTTGGGGATGATTTACTGGGCTTCCTGATTTCCTGGGCTTAAGATCGACATGATGGGTGCTCGAATCCACGTGACCATAGGCAGCCTCGGCACATTCCCCAAAGGGGAGTGCAGAGCACGTGCGATGGTGATGCAGAGAACGCTCAGTCAGCCAATGAGCGCGCGTGCGAAAACCAGCAGATGACCGGTAGAGCATTTGTCATCCGGCCGAGGTGGTCGACAAGTGAGCCTGATTGGACAAGGTGCGGTCCATTTGCTTTCCTACGTTCCCAGATCGACATGTGAAGAAGCGACGGTAAGCTGGGACCCAGGAATGCATCTCGCTTTGAGAATTCTCCGAGGACACAGAGCCTTTTTGGGCGGTTGGTCCGAAGCCTGTGTTCCCTAGTATATCTATCGGTCCTCTCCGCCCTTTCCATTTTCCCTTTTACCCCGGATTGTGTGCTCCATACCTCTCTATCTTAGCTCTATCTTTGCCCGTCCGTCTCCATCCGACCCTGCACAATATGTCCAAGACATTCTCGAAAGACGACGTCGCATCGCATAGCAAACCAGACAACCTCTGGGTTGTTATTGACGAGGATGTTTATGACTTGACGAAATTCCAGGATGAACATCCAGGTATGTTGCGAGGATGAGGGTGCGATTCTTTACAATTCCCATGCTAACGTGGTTCTCGTGAAACACAGGTGGAAAGAAGAGTATGTTATTAGCCACGGAAATAGCCACCAAGCAATAAGTATTAACTATGGTCGTGAAGTTCTCCAGCGAGTTGCCGGGAAAGATGCATCGAAACAGTTTTGGAAATACCACAATGAGGGGATTTTGAAGAAGTACAAGAGCAACCTGCAGATTGGATCTTTGGACAGCAAGAAGGCCGCAGCTGCTCCTGCTCCGGCAAAGCAAGAGCCTCCTAAAGCCCAGGCGGCCCCAGTCGATGTTTCTTCAGCCAAGTCATCGGATCCCCTCGACCCTTATGGCGAGCTGATTCCATTCGCCGATCCTTCCTGGTACCACGGTGTAAGTTTATCATTGACGCACTACTTCCCGCTTGGCAGAAAGATTTCAAGAGACTAACTGCGTCCTCTCTTGGACAGTATCATTCTCCCTACTTCAACCAGACTCATGCCGCCCTTCGCGCGGAGGTACGGCAATGGGTTGAGTCGGAAATTGAGCCATACGTGACTGAATGGGATGAGGCCAAAAAAGTGCCCGATGAAATCTACAAGAAGATGGGAGAGCGTGGATATCTTGCGGGTCTGTTGGGAGTCAAGTATCCTGTCAACCATACGCCGCACCGCGTCCAATCCGTCGCTCCCGAAAACTGGGACCTTTTCCACGAAATGCTTCTCACCGACGAATTATCTCGCGCTGGCAGCGGCGGTTTGGTCTGGAACTTGATCGGTGGCTACGGCATTGGATGCCCTCCGCTGGTCAAGTTCGGTAAGAAGCCTCTCGTGGATCGCATCCTCCCCGGCATCCTGGCTGGCGACAAGCGCATCTGCTTGGCCATTACCGAACCGGATGCTGGAAGTGACGTTGCCAACCTTACCTGCGAGGCTAAGCTGACCCCCGATGGCAAGCATTACATTGTCAACGGCGAGAAGAAGTGGATCACCAACGGTATTTGGTCCGACTACTTCACCACCGCTGTTCGCACGGGCGGGCCCGGCATGAATGGTGTAAGTGTGCTCCTCATTGAGAGGGAGGCGGGTGGTGTGAGCACACGGCGCATGGACTGCCAAGGTGTTTGGAGTAGCGGAACCACGTACATTACATTCGAGGACGTCAAGGTGCCGGTAGAGAATCTCATCGGGAAGGAAAACCAGGGATTCAAGGGTATGTTTAGCTAGACCCTTCTCCTTTTTGGCAAGATTTCTAACCTTTGCCATAGTTATCATGACCAATTTCAACCACGAGCGAATTGGAATCGTCATCCAGTGTGTCCGGTTCTCTCGAGTGTGTTATGAGGAGTCCGTGAAATATGCGCACAAGCGAAAGACATTCGGCAAGAGACTTATCGACCATCCCGTCATCCGTATGAAGCTTGCCCACATGGCCCGTCAGATCGAAGCCACGTACAATTGGCTGGAGAACATCATATACCAGTGCCAGTCCATGGAAGAGACCGAGGCAATGCTCAAGCTCGGGGGTGCTATCGCTAGTCTCAAGGCTCAGTCCACTGCCACCTTCGAGTTCTGTGCCCGAGAGGCCAGTCAGATCTTCGGTGGCCTAAGTTACAGCCGTGGTGGCCAGGGTGGCAAGGTGGAACGTTTGTATCGCGATGTTCGTGCCTATGCGATCCCTGGTGGAAGCGAGGAAATTATGCTGGACTTGAGTATGCGCCAGAGCTTGCGCGTGCACCAGATGTTTGGTATGAAGCTGTAAATATTGATATCCATTTTATTATATGTAGTTTGGGGTACATAGAGCTTTCCCTCGTCAAGGGCCCTGATATCACCCCTTTATTTTCTTTTCATTTTTCGTTTTAATTTATTTCCCAAAGGCATCTCGCTGTACTGTACTATACCTTGAGAAATATGATGATAAATTGGTTGGAAATAGCAGCATAGGGTCGGACTTCCTGTGGACGGGACTGTTGACCTGAAATGGACCATCTGTTCGGGATAATGATGCCCCTTTTATTACACAATAACAATTATCACCATATGGTGCCTCTGAATGATCTATTTGAATCTACTGTCGCCAGGCAAGGAGAACCTCAGTGGCCATCCGGAAGGGAAGGGATGGAAGAAATAGATACTCCGGTGGCGGATGCGGACCACGTGCGCAACCCAGCGCTCTTCACTTTGCGACTTTCGCTTTAAGCTCCGTGGCGGATCCAGTCTTCCCTTTCTGTCATTTCGGATTGCTGTTCTGTGTCCGTTTGGGTTTGGAGACAGTGCTGTTCACTAGACGCAATATCCTCTCGAATTTTCAACTGGTCCTATTGCGTCTTCCCGTCCTGTCGCGGTCGCGGACTCGGGCGATCGAACCGGACCGCAATACTTATCCCGATACCTTCCTTCCCTAAGCCTTGCTGCCGATTATTACCACGCAGCTGCTGGTCAGATCGAGGTATTTACTCCTTCTTTTCTTTCTGCCTTTGTCAACCCATCTGTAAGCCAGTGGTTTCTATAAGATCAACATCTTCATGAGGGATCTAACCATTCGCTGTGCTACATCTACAGCCCAGCTTTGTCTTCATACAAGAACATATCACGCATACGTCCTATTTCGACTTCTGATCCTTAACGACTAATTCAGCCTACTCCCTTTTCAAGACTTCCCTCGAGAAAAAATGTCGCGGAACTTGTTGGACCAAGACTTCGGTTCCGAGGAGGAGGACGATGACTTCAATCCTGCGCCCGCAAATGAATCAGAGGATGAGGAGGAACAACCAAAGGTTGGTCTCAGAAAGGTGGCAAGTACGATTGCTAGTGCTGATGATGACGGACAGCAGTCTACGCATCACGGCCAAGACGAGGATGAAGAAGACGACTCGAGAGTTGGACAACCGAATCGAAGGGGAAGTGAGGATGATGGTAGAGGAAGGCACATTGACGACGCTGAGGATGAAGACGAGGAAGAGGCCGAAAATGAGGTGGCGGAGGACGGGGGAGACGAGGACGAGGAAGAGGAGGATGAAGATGATGAAGACGCTGTTTCTGTGAGTGCAGGACGTGTTTGAATAACTATCCTATAAGCGTGACGACACTGACAGTCGACTGCCTAGGGTCGTCCACTGAAACGAAGAAGACACCGAGGTGTTCACAACTTCATCGAAGACGAGGCAGGTGTCGACGAGGACGAAGATGAGGCAGAAGAGGAGGAAGATGAATTGGCAGAGTTCGGCGGCGAGATGCATCCGGACGATATGGACGCGCTTCCTGTCGGCGCAGAAACCGACGACCGTCGGCATCGTCAACTCGATCGCCAACGAGAACTCGCGGCTAGCATGGACGCCGAAAAGCAGGCGCAAATGCTCAAGGAGCGCTACGGACGGAAAACTGCTGCCGCTTCTGATTCGGTCGTTGTTCCGAAGCGATTGCTCCTCCCCAGTGTTGAGGACCCAAGCATCTGGGGTGTACGCTGCAAGGCGGGTAAGGAGCGAGAGGTCGTATTTGCAATTCAGAAACGTATCGAAGAGCGGCCTCCGGGCTCTCGCAACCCTATGAAAATCATATCGGCCTTTGAGCGCGGGGGAGCTATGAGCGGATACATCTATGTTGAGGCGCGCAGACAAGCCGATGTCATGGACGCGCTACAAGATATGAGCAACGTCTACCCGAGGTCGAAAGTCATCTTGGTTCCTGTGAGGGAAATGCCAGATCTCCTCCGAGTTCAGAAATCCGAAGAACTTCTGCCCGGTGGATGGGTTCGGATAAGACGTGGCAAGTATCAAGGGGATTTAGCACAGATTGAGGAAGTTGAAACGAACGGCCTAGCGGTGACTGTTCGTTTGGTCCCGCGACTTGATTATGGCATGAATGAGGATACTGGTGCTCCTCTTGTTGATCCCAAGAGGAAACGTCCCGGCGCGAACCCTACTGTTGCTCGGGCTCCTCAGCGTCTATTTAGCGAAGCCGAGGCCAAGAAGAAGCATGGCAAATATCTCTCCGCTACATCCGGTCTTGGTGGCAAGTCATGGAGTTACCTGGGAGAGACATACATTGACGGGTTTCTGATTAAGGATATGAAAGTTCAACATCTAATCACAAAGAATGTCAACCCTCGACTCGAGGAAGTCACTATGTTTGCTCGAGGCTCGGAAGACGGGACCGCAAACCTGGATCTTGCGTCTCTCGCCGAAACGCTCAAGAATTCAACGGCCGAAGATTCATACCTCCCAGGGGATCCAGTGGAAGTATTCCGGGGTGAGCAACAGGGTCTGATCGGTCGTACGTCTTCCACCCGAGGCGATATAGTCTCTCTGCAGGTCACGGAGGGAGATCTTGCCGGGCAAATCATCGATGCACCCGTCAAATCTCTCCGGAAGCGGTTCAGAGAGGGTGACCATGTGAAGGTCATCGGCGGCAGCAGGTACCAAGATGAGCTAGGTATGGTGGTGCAGGTTAAGGATGATACGGTGACGTTACTCAGCGATATGAGTATGCAGGAGATTACAGTTTTTAGCAAGGACCTCCGGCTGTCGGCTGAGACGGGCGTCGACGGAAAACTTGGAATGTTCGATGTGCATGATCTTGTCCAACTTGAGTAGGTTGCTGGCCCTTGGCTATGGTACTGTTCTATGTCCAACCGCTAACTGTTATCTAGTGCTGCTACCGTTGGTTGTATCGTTAAAGTTGACCGTGAATCCTTGCGCCTCTTAGATCAAAACGGCTCTATTCGTACCGTTCTTCCCACACAAGTCACCAACAAGATCACGCCGCGCCGAGATGCCGTGGCCACCGATCGTAACGGTGCCGAAATCCGACATGGGGACACTGTCCGAGAGATCTATGGAGAACAGAGGAGTGGCGTGATTCTCCATATCCACCGTTCGTTCTTATTCCTGCATAATAAAGCCCAGGCTGAAAACTCCGGAATTGTGGTTGTGCGTACCAGCAACATCGTCACGGTGTCAGCCAAGGGAGGCCGGTCGACGGGTCCCGATCTTTCAAAGATGAACCCGGCATTGATGGGAAATCGCATGCCCGGCGGTATGATGGGGCCTCCCAAGAGCTTTGGAAGAGACCGGATGGTCGGAAAGACGGTCATGGTTCGAAAGGGTCCCTTCAAGGGCCTTGTGGGTATTGTGAAAGATGCCACGGATTCTCAAGCTCGCGTGGAGCTCCACTCCAAGAACAAATTGGTGACAATCGCAAAGGAAATCCTGGTTGTGAAGGACCCTGTCACCGGCCAGACAGTGGATATGTCTCGGGGCAAGGGAGGCCACCGCGTTCCTTACGGTGCGTCTGCGGCTCCTAGCTCTGGCTGGCAAGGAAGCCGCACCCCAATGGCGGTGGCGGATTCCTCTAGAACTCCTGCCTGGGGTGGTCCATCCTCCGCTCGGAGTAAGTGTTACTGTACCCCCTGTTCGTAAGCAGTCGTTTTTCTAACAATATCCCTTCTAGCACCGGCCTGGTCTGGTATGGGTGGTTCTCGCACACCGGCGTGGAGAAATGACGGGTCACGTACCTCCAATCCCTATGATGGTAGCCGCACTGCATACGGAGGTCACGGCTCTCGCACGCCTGCCTGGAACTCAGGCGCACGAACTCCCTACGACTACGGTTCCGGATCTAGCGGCTTCGATGCGTTTGCAGCGGGATCCAGGACCCCAGCCTGGGGCGCAGCGAACGCCGGCAATCGCACTCCCGCCTGGTCGGCCGGGACTACAGCCAGCAGTGGCAGCAAAGACCGCGGCTATGATGCTCCCACGCCCGGGGGGAACTATTCCGCTCCGACTCCCGCCGCATACGGTAGCGCTCCAACACCAGGAGCCTCGGCATCCACGCCTGGTGCATGGGCTGATAGCGCCCCGACGCCAGGCGCCTTCAATGCTCCCACGCCCGGAGGCCCGTCCAAGAGAGGATATGATGCGCCGACGCCAGCAGCGTTTGACGGACCCAGTCGTCCGTACGATGCCCCAACGCCCGCTATGGGCGGGATGGTGTCGACGCCTGGGGCGGGAGCATATGGAGACGGAGATGACGGTGGCCCACGCTATGAAGAAGGAACTCCGAGTCCTTAGATATGGCTATACCAGTGGATGTGGATGGGGAAGAAAGGGGAGATGCTGGAAACGCGAAATAATTGTAGGGGGGCAAAAAGAAGAAGAAAAGAAAACCAGAAAACGCATCGACGCATCGACTTCTTCCGTTGTGTTTCCATTTGTTGCAACAGATAAATCTAGGCATGGTTAGTTGGTCATTTTTGTACTTGTGTATGTACTATTTCCCGCATTTTAAATCGGCATCATGACAATGTTACAAGGTGCAACTGTGTGGAAAAGAGCCTTTCTTTATATATTCCAACCGTAAGCAAGATAGAAATAGAATGCCAGTCATCGGCTGCATATATTCATACAATTGAATAAAGAAAGATATAAACAGCAAAGCTTATCGTTTCACCCTCGAAAAAAGATATTCAATCCGATAGAAAACATCGTACATGGCAAGCAAGCCACAATAAAAAAATATAAAAATAAAAAATAGTTGTACTCGAGGGTTTCGGAGAAGAGAAGAAAAGATACATAGCGCATCAATCATTCTTGCAACCCGGTATTTCATTCCAGGCGAAGAAGGCAAATAGGAATAAGTCTCCGGAGATAAGTAGATAGTAGATATTATTAAAACATAATTTAGAAGGGGCCGCAGGGAGGAGGATCCAAAAAAGCAGGCAGGGCCGCGATATACTGTTTGTTGTCTTGTTGGGATTCGACCTGCCGTTTCCTGTCCGTAGAACAAGGCTAGTTCTCCGGCTACTAGGGTGGAATTCAAAGTTCATAGAGCACATGCACAGGCAGGTGCTTTGGACCTCTGTCTCTGTATGTGCTAACACTGGTAAGATAGGAAGGAATAAATTATGGGCAGAAATCATGGAGGTACAGCTCGCGCCAGGACGCGGATATTATCCACAAAACCCTTGACTAGATCTTCGTACTGATTCTTGGGATCACCTGCCATGGCTAGCTGACCTTGACGGCGGATTTCGGCGGCAGAGACTTCGATTTCGAGTTCGTGTTCAAAGTCGCCTTTGGAGGACTAGACCGGAGTTAGAACAGAGCTTCGAGGTATAACAAAGAGACGGAAGGACCTTCAGCTTACCTCCGATTTTGCGACTTGTGTGAGATCAACCTGATAGGCGAGATGTCGATAGCTCATCCGATCCTTATTACGTTCTCCTCCACGCCCTCGACTACCGTCTATCACGGGTAGGTGCTGAACGTCGCCTTCGTAACTCATTTCTAGGTTGACGCTAATGCGCCAGTCGACACAGGTGTGCGGACTGTACACGTCAAGATCAGCAACTCGGCATTTGACGATCTTGGCCAGGACTTCGCCCGATCGTTGGTCAACGGTCACTCGCACCCTCGGCTTGTGGCGCGGGTTGAGATTCTGTCGGATGACGGGCGGGAGATCGGAGGGTGACACCTCGTAGAATGTGTCTCGTTCTTTCTTATGTGCGTACGAGAGAGGAATCCGACCTTGATTGCTGTGTGGTATGGACGCTTTCACGGCTTCATTCAGGAAGTTATTCATGGCTCGATGTTGTGCCTGTCAGATGGTCAGCGGTGTGCAAAAGCGACCTGGAGATGAAAGAGAGGGGCTCTTGGGCTAAACCACACGTTGAGGGTTGCAGGGTAATACTACTTACCACCGTCATAGTGCTTTCGAAGGCCGTTCGCAGACGCGAATTCTCCCGGTTCACTACACTTTCCGTCAGGATTGGCAGGTGAAGCCTCTCCCCGCGATCCATGTCTACTAGCTGCCCCAACTTGGCTTCTATCTCAATAATGGCTCCCTGTCCGGCGGCCGATGAGCTCGCTGCAGCTGCAATGGCATCATTCCGCAGGACGACATGTTGGAACAGGAAATCGCAGACCAATTTTGTGACCTCTTCATACGGGATGTATCCAGTAATCGACGGTTCCCATGGTCCCAAGCTGCCCGTCTGAGGGCCTTCCGGGGCCTGACTGGGGACGGAAGGGCCATTGACTGGTGGCGTCTCGGCCTTCGTTTTGACGAACGAAGAGTCGACCGTGGAAGGGGGGGCCTGAGAAGATACGGACCGCTGGCGCAGTATCCATGGGTTCTGGGCCGAGTTTCTGGCGTGTTTCGGAATGGGAGGGAGTTGATTCTGGATCATCGGACATCTCCCTTTGGTACGCACAGACCGTCGAGCGTAGATCGGGGGCTCGTGGTACCTCCGCCTCTTCACTTTGGGGGCATGCGGACTGCTCGTAGTCGCACCTGGCTCCGCTTTCACTTTCACGGGTGCCGTTTGCGCTAGCGCCTCCACCGGAACTTCGTGCGCTATTGACCCCCGAGCGGTCGGGGAGCTGTTGGTCTGAGATGCGGAAGGGGCCGCGTACGAGCTCTGGATACTGGGACGGCGTTCCCTTGCCCCTGTGTCGTTTTCCACAGGGGTCGATTGTTGCGGTGGGATGATCTGATCCGGATATGCGCCGAGCGCGCTGCCTTGCCGAGAATGCGACGGCGGGAGAGCAGACTTGGGGCTCACATTGTCATCCGATGCCCTCCGGTCGACTGATGTGGACAATTGGCGCGGGGTGAAGTCCAGTGGCCGCGAGTCCTGGCGCGAGACGCGGGGGACCGCGTCCGGGGATCTGTGCAGCGGTGCATCCGGTCCAACCCATGGGCTCGACCCTTGGTTGGAAATGGTATCATGGCCGGAGGACTGGGGTCGGCCGGATGGCGGCGTGTGACGGGGAAACGGCGCAGCAGCAGCAGTGGCACTAGACCCTCGAGGTGTCATCGGCATCGACGGTTGCGCCACGAGTTGCGACGGATACGGTTGAGGCGCAACTGCAGAAGGGCTGTCCCTGGGCTGGAATGAGTATGTGGGAGAGGAATAAGGGGTTAGGACAGACTGGATGGATTGCGAATGCTGCTGCGCGTAGACGGGGGACTGCTGCTGGGGATGCTGCTAATGTTGTTATTATTGTAGGGGCCCGGTGCGGGATACGGGTCACGCGACGTGGAGGAGCCATACGGAGGAGGAGGAGGATGATGGTACTGGTAGGGCGATTGGAGAGACCCGTAGGACGAGGAGCGCTCAGGGGAGGTATGAGGATATGCGGATGGGTAGGAGGTGGAGGAGGGCGCAGGTTGGTCGCGAGGAGGATAAACGGAATCGGACGGCTTCGCAGAAGAGGCCGCAGCATCGCTGTTCATGATCGTGCGGAGATCCATGATGGCGGTGGAAGTAGATAACCGGCCCAACGGCCGGGTGGATTGAGTGAAGCTGAAGCTGGGAGAGAAGCTTTATCAAGGCAGGTCGATGGACCCCTGGCAGGAGAAAGACGAGAGCGATGGACGGAGAGGCGTCACGACATGAGGCGGATTGAGACGGAGTGAGGACAGAAGGAAGAGGAGAGAAGAGGCGGGGGAAGAGAGAGGAGAAAGGAGAGGCAGAAAGGTGAAGTTGAAGTCGAAAAGCGAGAGGGACGAACAAACGAGAGAAAGAGAAAATAAAAAGAACAAAAAGATTGAAAGTTCACGTTGGGCGGGTGGGCGCTGATTGGTCAGCTAGATGGATTTGTCCAGTCTATACTCAGTAGTGGTTAGTATATGAAGATGGAGATATAAAGAGCCTATTAAAGATAAAATGAGAGACTTGAGAGCGGAAGGAAGAATTGTATGTCATGGTCTAGCAGTGGTGTTGGTCCTATTCAGATGTCTCCAAGTGTCGCTATACAACTACTACTACCTCTGCTAAGTTACTATACAGATCTCGACACCCCATTCCAACAGCAGTTACACCCAAAGAGTCATAACGATCAGTAAAGACAGATATCTACTAGTAATATATTGTTTCTATGAGAACCACAATACAGAGGAAACATAGAGGAGTGCTTGTTAACGAAGTGGGAATCAAGTTCTGGCCACATGACCGGAGATCCCGATCGGGTAAATCCGCCCAATTTGGTCGCTCGCGATCTCTCTCTCCTTTTCCTTCGTCTTCGGCTCGTCTTCGCAATCGGCTCGCGATTGCCATCGGACCTCGATCGATGTATGGAGGTTCTCCAGGTAAAGTGCAGCCCCCACTGATCGCTCTATGCCTCCACTAATCAATCACTTCACCTCCCTTGTTCAAGCATTCAGCATGCTCCGCCAACTGTCTTCTCGAATGACCTGCACATAGATAGATAGACTAGACATAGACATAGCGCGCATTGCTGCATCTTTGTCCGCCTCAAACCTCATCTTGGGCTACTTTTCACGCTCGCTACCGTTGGTGGCCCACACTCACCTTCCTTGTGTTACGCAACTCTCCTTATCGATCCACCTACGGCAGAATCGTCCACGAAGAGCGCACCTCCCATCCTTCTCTTACCTCCCATCATGTCATATATCGATAATGCCCCTCGAGGATCGCCGGCGATCCACAACATTCCCTTAACCGATCTGGAATCCGGCCCGGATCGCGCCTCACAGCCGTCGTGGAACTGGTCGAGTCTGGCCGAGTTTTCCCCGCCGATCAAGCAACTCTCCGTCCACTGGCAAGAGTATCTGGAACTTTTCGTTGCGAAATTGACCGTTGCTCTCACCCCAAGTTATCTGCAGCATTGGGTGGGTGGCCAACCGCCCCAACCGACTAAACTCCATGGGATCGCAGCGCTGGACGGTCTGCGTGGTTGGGCCTGCCTGCTGGTCTTCAACTTTCATTTCCTATTCACGTACACTTGGAAAGTCGCCGTCGGCTGGGGTTTTAATAGGGAGAATTACTATTTCTTCCAGCTTCCCATCATTCATGTGCTGGTCTCCGGACATATTATGGTGGCCATCTTCTTCGTGCTCTCGGGGTATGTCCTCTCGTATAAGCCCCTGAAGATGATCCGCAGTCGGTCCTGGGAGCAGACCTTCACCGTTCTGGCTTCATCCACATTCCGCCGGGGCCTCCGCCTCTACATCCCCTCGATTATCGGCATCCTGTTTGTCATGCTGGCCGTGCGTCTCGGGGCGTACAACTATTCGCACAAGGTGGTCAACCAAGGCTTGACCATTCTAGGGACCAACGAACAGCACCCGCATATTATGAAAACCTTCAACAAACAGTTTTGGGACTGGTATTTGACGGTGGTACACCTGATCGATCCGTGGAACTGGGCCCTCTACTACAACTATTATAACCCGCACCTGTGGACGATCCCGGTCGAATTTCGCTGCTCGATCGTTCTTTTCCTCACCATTCTGGCCACCTCGCGGGTCACGACCCGGGTGCGTCTCTCTCTTGTCAGCATTCTTGTATGGTTCTGCATGCGATGGGGCCGGTGGGATGTGGTGCTGTTTCTTTCCGGGATGATCATGGCCGAAGCCGACCTGATAAACGGTACCTGGGAGCGCCCGTCGGCAGACGAGAAGCCCTGGAGCCACCGTTTCCCGTTCGGGCAACGTATCTTTTCGCGCCTGCTGTGCCGCAGGCTCTGGATTGGGCTCTTCCTCGCAGGCCTCTATCTGGGATCAACGCCGAACACCGGCTACAAATGGACCCCGTTTTACATGTGGACCTGGAAGATTACCCCCAAAACCTATCCCGAGCCGCACCGGTTCCCGCAGACTCTGGGTGCTATTCTAATCGTGTTCAGTATCAACCACTCCAAGGACATCCAAAAGCTGTTCACGAATCCTCTGTCACAGTACCTCGGCAAGATCTCGTTTTCGTTCTATATTGTGCACGGTCCTATCCTGCACTCCCTGGGATACTCCATCATGCCCAACATCTGGAATATTGTGGGCAAGGAGACCAACTTTCAGTACTGCCTCGGCTTCTTCCTCGGCTGGCTCATTTGTCTGCCCCTGTCGCTGTGGGCCGGTGACGTCTTTTGGCGCGCTGTCGACATCCCCAGTGTCAAATTTGCTCGCTGGGTCGAGGATCAAGTCATCGTTAAGACGAACAGGCCTGCGAATGCCGCTCCTGAATCCCATCTACATTGAATGTGTCTTAAATTGGCTGTTTGGGAGATATTGTTCGCGGCACAGGCATATTATATTCCAAACCCGACATACTGGATAGACGTGGAAGAAGGTTTATGCAAGATTTACGTACATATATTGATACTCCTCTTGGGTGGTGCCTTTGACAGGTCCATTCTTAATATACGTGTTCCTCGTATCCATTTGGGACTTGTTCCGGTAGAGGTTTGCACTTGATGTTGGATTGGTTGCCCAGCAGAATTTGTAGGTCCATGAATTGGCCAAATGCCGAATTATCGCTGCCCCCTCAACCTTGCGATGCAAAATATCCACACCTGTAAGTGATCAAGAGCAGCTGCTTGATTTCCGCGGTGATATCTTACCTTACTGACGATGCATAGGTGCTTCATAAGCTCAAGTAGTACTGGAATTTGAGCTTTTTTACCGTGAAGCTATATTACCATTGGATTCTAGCCACTATACCTACTCCATAGTGGCAATGCTCCGCAGATCCCAACGGAGCCATACATGCGACTGATTTTATACATTCTATGAAAACTGACCTCTGGATTGTACGGAGCCACTGTTTGATATGGTGGATTATCTGTCGCATCCAAGGGCATCGAATACAAACTACATGATATTAAACCTGATACTGACGAGTTCGGCTCTCAGCTACCTTCTCGCTGACCCAAATTCATCGTCAAGTTATGAAATCCCAATCCTTGAGTCAGAATCATCTACGAGTTCTACAAAATTGCAAAAGAAGATATTGAGACCTCACCATCTGAGTTTTATTCTTATATGATAATGATAGTAACTAAGAAATATAATTAGCACAACTCACAATAAAAAAGAAAAAGAAATACTTCTGTCCAATAACCTCCCTTTTTTCTCTCTATTCCCTCCTTTTCGCTCCTCTTTTGGTCTTGTGTACAGAACAATTTTAAAAAATTGTTTCTTTTTCTCTTTTCTTTGTCTTTTCCGTAAACAAGTGTTCAATAGCAATCAATCAGAATGAAACTATTTCTTCAAGAGTTTTGCCTTCTTCATTTTTCCAGGATATTTTCCAACCCCACAAAGACAGAGAGACAGACCCTGAGCCCCCGGAGAGTTCTTCCGGATAAAACCACGATGAAGAGACGCAAGTGCTGCTCTGGTATAGGATTCAACTGCTCGAGAACATCAGCACAAAAAAAGGCGTCATGTTCCTCCTCGGGGACAACGGTTGGAAACACAGCCCAGAAGACACCCCAGTCTCCCCCGGAGATCTCGGCTTCGGCCTTGTGGATAGAATAGATACCGCGCTGGAGATCGATCCGGGCTCGCTGGTAGCACTCATCTGGTATCTCCCATGACCCCATGTGGGGAAAGAAGATCACATACACTGTTCAGGAGTCATCCTCGATCTAGTCCTCGAGCGGTTGTCGATCTGGTCCGCCATTTTGGTTTGTTAGGCTTCGAAAGAGATTGCGACTATGAGAGGATGAGAGGATGAGAGGATGAGAGGATGAGAGGATGAGAGGATGATGAGAAATTTGACGGAGACTTATGAATCTATTTTTATACCTGAGTCATTCATCCTGGATAAGGATATCTCCATTCTACAAAGATGGGATTCACCAGAAAGCTGAAGAAAGTGACCGTCAGTAGAGAGGATCTATCTATCGAATTCATCCAGATTCTTAGGAATATGCGGTATTATTCACGGAATTCAACGAGAAATATAGAGAAATATACCGTTCGGTCATGGACCAATCCACCGGATAGATGGATATCAGCGACACAGGGCACTTGTGACGTTAGCGCGGTGGATTTGTCCATGAGACATCCGGGACTGGCTGTTTGTGTAGAAATGAATTCCACTGAATTATATTGGTTCATGATTGAAATGGAAGACTCATGATTCGATATAACTGTCAGTATTCTCCATGGATAGTAGTACCCCACTAGTCCCCCATGGAAGATAGCGAAAATAATCAAGAATCTCCGTAGCTTCATGTTGGTACGGCATTTGGATGGCTGGTTCGAGCCTGTAGGATTGATGGAAACCTTACAGTCTTGTGAAGACTATATATCCAGCATATCTAGTTCTCCTCCATCTAGTAATACTCTAGTACATATTTATCATGTGCATTCTGGTTTCTTATTACTAGCGGAAGTTTCATTCATTCATTCGTTCACTCGTACTATAACCATACCATATACCAGATCATGCCAAACAGACAAACTCCATATCGATCATCTATCTCATCCGTGCACTGGCAATAGCAGGGATTTCCATCCAAAAGAAGAACCCCTGACAGGCGTGTCTAATATGCGAGACGAGATTTTTTTCGCTTTTGCTTATTTATCTTCTTGTCTTCTCAGACGGCCACCCCCCACACGCCCCGACCCCCGCACACACCCAACCAGTCTCGTGGGTGTCCGCTGGATGTGCGGCCTTGAGGTGACCAGGTGATATTGGAAACTTCATAGTCACATTGCCATGCAGCCGCGGGGCCGCGTTCGGAGGTGATTGAGGGAGCACCCGGATTGTGCACGGCGGGAGGAACGGGTGCAGCGTTTTGCTGGTTGATCAGGTCCCAGAGAAGCACAAAGCAGTCGTCTGCACCGGAAGCAAGAACACCACGGCGGTTGGGAGACCATTCGACAGAATTGATGGGGGCCGAATGGCCCTTCAGTTCCAGGAGGGCCTGCCCCGGCTGTCGGACATCCAGTACGCGCACGATGTTGGAGTCCTGGGAGAAGGTGGCCAAAAGTTGGGCATCATGTGGGGATGCTAAGGCCCATTAAGGTCAGAAGATGCATCGGGAAGAGTTAGATAGATGTCCACGCGGGTCCTTACCGGCAATTCGGAGTAGTGGTGGAGGCCATACAGAGGCTGGGGCTGAGGGGCTGCCATTGCCGGGGCTGATCACTGTTGAAGAACATCTAGGTTAGAGTTTGACAGGGGAAAACGAGGGCTCGGAGGGCACAGTGCGAACATACGCTTCTCATTCTTGTCGGTCGGCTCGTAGATGATCGTGCTGTGTTCCAGACTGCGGAGATCGAACATGCGCACGCTGCCATCGGCGCCACAGCTGACAAAGACGTCGACACTACTGGCGCAGAAGCGAACGTCGTACACTTCCTTATCGTGTGCGATTAATTGAGTCTTGGCCGTAAGCGTGGGAATGTCCCAGATGGTGCAGGTCGTGTCGATGCTGGACGTGATGATCAGGCTGGGTGAGATTGTGTTCCAGTCAAGTGAGGTGATGGGGGCCGTATGCTCGGGAGACTTCGAATTTGACAATAGCGCCAAGGGGGAAAGCTTTGCAGTAGGAGGCTCTCGTTGACTGGCCGCTCGCGTAATGGAATTGGACTCATGCAAGGTTGTGGCCGGAAGGGACCACAGCCGTAGATGGTCGCCCGAAGTCGCTAGAAGATCAGTTGATTGCTTTTGGGACGTGGGAGGTTCCCAGAGGATTCGCGTAACAGGATACGAATGCGAGGCTTCCGCAGTTTTTACATATTCCAGCTTGACGTCGCCAGCCGCAGCGTCTTGCGTGTCGGGGTCAGGCTGGGTCAAGTGGGTATCAATGATTTGTATCTGCAGGTGATCAGAAATTGGACAGGACAACAAGACGGGGAGGACTGTACATAATTATGATTGTCTTCCAGGTAGCTTCCCAGAGCCAATTTGCCCCCGAATGAGCTAGCGCTTCCTGTAACGGGCCATTTACACCAATCCACTGCATACACCGGCCACGGTGCGATGTAGTTACTGTTCGTCGGCACCGGGTTGTCCCCATTGTGAAGCTGCGCCCCTGGGCTCATGAGATGGTCGCTCAGAAGGTCTGTCGACGGGCGGATATCAGATAAACCAAGAGGTGAGATTTTGGCACCTTGTGGAGTGGTCGGCGGGAATCCAGCGCCGGGGGATGACCCGTAACGGGTAGTGTCTGAAACGCCATGTGGCTTGTATTTCGACTGCTCAACCCCCGCCGGGCTGGAACGGGAGTGACCATGAGAATTGGACATGCCAGAGCGAGGGGTGGATGGGGGTTGTGGATGTTGCTGCTGCTGCTGCTGCTGGAGCTGTGTCGACAACTGAGGCAGCGTGGGTATACCGGACGGGGCAGTGTTCACAGACATGGCATGTGGTCGGTTGGCATTTCCTGGCTGCAATGCCCCTGGTAGTGCTCCACTAGCACTATTCCCACCCCCATACTGATTCGGTTGAGGACTCGTCGGATGGAGATTGATCGAAGGAACATGGTTATCGGTACCGGTCGCGAATTCATGGGACATGGACTGTCGCTGCAGGGGAGCACCACCCGAGGGGATATGAAGCTCCTCCGGTTGTCGAGCATACACGGTGGCTCGACGAGGGTCATAGGCCGGTCCAGGATTCGACATGATGACGACACACGAATCGGACCTCGTGGGCTGTTCTCAACAATTGCAATCGTGCAGTCGGATTGCAACACCAGTGACGTCTCGCGGAGACGGAGGGATATCAGGCTGACTCTGGCGGGGAGAAAGGGGCATCAGCTCGAGAGTCCGACTGCACTGGCGACGAGTGCAGAGAGAGTCATGCCCGAGGGAGAGAGAGGGGGGGGGGATTCGAAGAAGCTGCTGGCGATGTCGAGATGAACAGCAAGATTAGGAGAGTGAGTGCAGTCGGACCGTTGGCGATTCTCGTCCCGCTGACTCAGCTGCAGGGTATCTATCCATCGCTTTTATTCTTTGGAGATTTGTCTCTCTTTCTTTCCTAGTCTCTCCTTCTCTCTTCGTTCTACATCTCGTTCTCAGTCTAATCATCATTCCTTCATTTCTATCGTTCAATCCTCTCGGTTCCTATCATCCCGGCCGTGGTCCCTCATACTCATTGAATTCCATCTTCTCCCTCCCCACCTCCGCGTTGAAGCTCTCCCCGCAACATGGCAGCGTCATCCTTTGACCAAACCTCGGCTCTGTTGCTTCTACCACCTCCACCGTCGACCTCGTTCGAGCAATTCCAACAGGTCTACGAGTCCCTCCTCTCTACCGTCTGCTTACGACTCTATCAAAACCTTCAAGGTGTCAACCGGACGGCTATCTTGGATATTGCCCTTGCCCTTCCCGGCTTGCATTCCCTGTCTCGGCCTCGGTCCCAGGTGTTTGGCAGTCTTCAAGCTTGTTTGGCCAACCTATATCGACTTCTGGGAGTTATTTCCGTGAAGAAACGGATCGAATTGGATGTGCCTGATGGTATCGACGCACGAATAATATTCCTGGATCTCGACTCTGTCCGGAGCCCTCCAACAGACTCGTCACCCGGGAACTCTCCGATCGGCCCTATTGTCCACTTGCAGACGCTGGCTCGGTCGTCACGACTGTGGAATTGGATCTTTTACCCGGATAACCACGTAGGTCAGACGCTGGCAACGGCCTTCAGTAGTATCTATTCCCAGGCCAAGGATCCCAATGCGGGCGATGTACATCCCATCTCGGGGGTTCCCAAATGGACCCCCTCCGACGCTCTGGTGACTACTGAGGATACCCAAGAACCGATCTCACATTATTCGGTGATCGTGGGAGGCACTTTCGATCATTTCCACATCGGACACAAGTTCTTGCTCACTGCCACGGCGCTGGTCTTGCAACCTGCTTCCCCCGAGCAAGATAGGGTCCTCGCAGTGGGGGTGACCGGCGATGATCTATTAGTGAACAAGAAGTATGCCGAATTCTTGGAGAGCTGGGACGACCGGTGTAGGAGCGTGGCCGGATTCCTCTCAGCCATCATGGAGTTCGACCCCCCTACAGATAGTGCAGCGAGTATCAAGCAAGTGACCCGGCCAGGCCCGAATGGAAAGTATATGCTGGTGAAGGTTCGGCCCGGACTGACCATGAAGCTGGTTCAGATCCTCGACCCATTTGGGCCTACCATCACCGAGGAGAATATCAGCGCTTTGGTGGTTTCTAAGGAGACTCGTGCGGGAGGTACTGCAATCAACGAGGAGCGTATCAAAAAGGGCTGGAAGAAGCTCGAGGTGTTTGAGATTGACGTGCTACTGATGGGCGGCATGCCATCGCAAGACGTCGAGGATTTTGCCTCCAAGCTAAGCAGCACAGAGATCCGACGGCGTCAGATGGAAATGGCCAAGAAATGACTAGATTAATCCACGGCTGTTGACTGAACGCGGGAAGCTGCTGATTCTCTGCCATGGACTCATGCAGCCCTCGGATCTGGTCACCCCCCTCCTCCCCCCGGTCCCTCTTGCGGTCTATCGGTGTCACAATTCCTCCTGTATATACCGTACACATCCATTCCAGCCCTGAGAAGTGCCCACGGAAGGGATGATTGACTTGAGATCCTGTAAACCAAAGGCGATGGCAAAAGAGAAAGGGAAAAAATGAAAAAAAAAAAAAAAGGAAAAAAGATGGCTCCAACGTACATTCAATCAATACCTGTCCATGATGCACCTAGACGCTGATGATGTCTCAGATGGGGGCGTGAATCTGGTCAGCAGTTGCTGATCCTGGCCAGGCCATCGCAGTATAAACCGACCTGAAGACGAATGAATGAAGATGCGACCGAGCCTGGGAATAGGATTGTGGGTTGGCCTCCGATCCCTTTCTGCAAACTCACCCTGCTGGCCAGTCGATCGTCGTCCAGGCGGGGTTTGGCAGCCGTGGGCGTCTGCATGCAAGTCGGAGTCTAGTCGATTGGCTTCTCTCTCTCTCTCGTCACATCGTCGCTGCCCCCTTTCTCCTGCTTCCTGCTTGTTCCTCGACCTTCATCCTCCTCTCTACCAATCCCTCGCTCTCGTCACCTCGTCGTCCTGCAGGTTCGCGCTGGATAACCGCATGCTGCTTCAATCATGTGACCCTGCTGTCGTCCAGTATCGCGGCGTGCAGCTCAAAAAATCGTGCTGGTCTGGTCCAGGTCGCAGTCCGTCAGTCTGATGATGATGATACCGCTGTCGATCGATGCGGGACGCTGGCCATCTTGTAAGACATGTCGCCCTCCAAGCGCTATGTCTGTGACCGTCTGGGGGAGTCGAAGACCCGCTGTATTACTTGCTTCTCGTCGTTTCTTTTTCGACCTGATTAATTAATTTCCTATTTATTTATTCGAGTCGTCTTCCCTGTCCTCTTGGACCGTCCCTCTTTGCTTCTTTTATTTGGTTTTTTTTCTTTTTCTTTTTCTTTTTTCCCGTGCCCCCTTCCGACCTCTTTTTTTCTGGCACCCAAGTCTCTCTCTCTTCTCCCATCACCTCCACCTTTTTGCTTTTCTTCTTCCCCTCTCACTAGACTGCGATCTCTACTTCAATCCTCGTTCGTTTTCTTAATTTAATTTTATTCCCCTCCCACCCTTGGATTTCCCCCATCTGTACCCGTCGCTTCTGGTATATCGCGAATTCCTGTTCTCTCCCGGACGGCCGGCTTTCCATGTTGGTTCGAGTTTCCCGAGCAGCCGAACACACGGCTGCCTCGCGGAGCAGACATGATGGACCCCCCACGACGCATTGATGACTTGGCCGACGAACTCATCAGTGACATTCTCTCCTTTCTCCTGGGCACGGAACCCGTCGCATACGACCCCCCACGATCCTTCCCGTGGACCCAATGGACACTCCCGCATGGCATACGGCGAGAAGACGGAGCTGGATCGGTTCAGACTCGTGTGTAGGAGGTTCATGCTCATTGGGACGCCCCGGAAGTTCCCTCGGTTTGTCCTGCGCTTTTCGCGGGACGGATTTCAGCGGGTGGAGGATCTTCTGCACATGCAGCTGGCCTGTCATGTCAGATATTTCACGTACATGGTGCGACCCTTCTACCAAGGAAGCGGTACCGTCTCTGCAGACCCGCCCACCTGGCCTGGTCAATCGAGCTGACATCTCGTCTAGGCTGGACCCAAGTCCTGTCCACCGTCGAATCCGAAGACCGCACCATCTCGCACATCCACAAGCATCGACTACACGAGCAGAGATACATCGTGGACCGAAACCATGATCTAGCACTATTGCGGCGGGCGATCGCCGCGTTCCCCGCTTTGCAGCAGGTCAATTGTTGCGCCTGCAGGACGAAGCGGACGAGCGATTACTTGAATATCCGGCAACACTCTCTGGAAGAGAACACTCGGCTGGATTGGGAGTCCGCATGCTCGCGCGCGGTCTCTAGCCTCGGGCTCTCCTTACTCGAATCTAAATGTTCTTCTGTGCGTTTTGTTGCCCCGCAAATCTGTCCCGAGGCAACGGCTCGATTGTTGCAAGCCCCCACGACAACCCTGTCGGCCCTGGGAGCGCGGCTGACGAGCCTGGATGTTACATTCCATTCGCGCACCGACATGACTACCAGCATGGAGACGCTGTCCCATGTATTCTATGAGTTTTTCCAGGCCACGAAGAATCTGACAGCCCTCCACCTCGGCTTCCCCGCCAATCTCCCGCTCGATCTCTCTCTCGAGCGCATCTTCCACCGCATGCAGTGGAAACGACTACGCACCTTGAGCATCCAAGGCTGGCGCCTGGGCTCAGACGAAATCATCTCCCTGATCCGCCGCCACCGGCGACCGCTGCGCGACCTCCGACTCGCCAGTGTTTACCTGCGGACGGGCAGCCGATGGCGCGATATCCTCTCCGTACTCCGCGACGAGATGGACCTGCTGGAACGCATCGATCTGCGCGAGATCAATTACGCCGCGCACTTCGACGCCGACCAGCCCATGAATGGCCATGGCCACGGCGGCGGCGGAGGTGACGGAATTCCTTCCCCCGACGCTCCCATCCTGTCAGTGGTCGCCCAACCGACCGCCGATCCTTTGCCGTCCGCGACCGCCCTCAACACCGACTATTTATCGTTCGCCCCACGCGGGAACACCCGTCGGTCCTTCTCTGACGCTACGTTGGAAAAACTTCGGCTGTTGACGGTCGACGATCTGGGAGATAACGGGGTGAGTGTACGACGCGGACAGCAGATCTTCTGGGAGGCATGGGTCCTGTCCAGTTCGCGAAACCTCATCCGTCGACGAGGATAACCAACAAAAAAAGAACCAAAAAGCTGATCTGGAGATTTGTAACCAGCCAGATAGTTAACTACGAAGTTAGTCCGGCTGAGCCTTACTTGTACGCCATTATGATCATGTTCTTTATTCAGGTTCAGACCACATGAAGAAGATAGAATAAAGAGGTGTAAACCAAGTGCAATCCATGAATTACTCATTTCCAATTTTTATTTATTGTTGAACCATAAATCTGTAGTATGGTATAGTATAGTATAGACAGAAAGGGTTCTCGATCCAGCACACTATATACGAGGATCTAAAACAGCCAATAGAGAAGATAAAGACAAGGGCGCAGACCATTCAGCCAGACAAGAATGAAAAGCACAACAGTGATATATCATCATGTCCTAAGAAAAAAAGAAGCTAAAGTCAAAACTTGGAGGGGACATCAATAAAACCCGATCGATGAAGACATAGTTAACTACCGCCCAGACTAGAGCTCAAAGTCCTCCGCAGCAGACAAAATAATACAGAGAAACGGAGCAGAAGTACAGATAGGAGAGGATGAGGAAGAGAAGGGCAAAGATATGTATGTATCGTATCTATTTATATATTTCGATTCTTGCAGTGCTTCGGCTTCATCTTATAGAAAATAAGGAGGAAAAACTAAAATCATCCTGATGCTTGGCATGAGATAAAACAGATGGAAAGGAATAGGGCATGTACAATGATACGGATGAATAAGAGAAAAGGGGGGAGGGGGACAGTTTAGGTCATAGCAACAGAAGTAGTCAGATCGCCAGGGACAGGCAAGAGACCACCCGTACTTGGGGGTTTAGAAGTACGTTCTCGCAACCGACGGCCTTCCATGAGACCACGCAGACCGCGCTTCTGTAGACCAATGACGCTGCTGAGTTCGCCGGTCCAGATCTCCCGCTGCGGTTGGAGTTCGGCATCGGTGTCACGACGGCGATGGTTGGAACCCTGATTTCCGGGGAGGTCGGTGTCGGAATGGTCGAAACTGGTGTTGGTGGATGCGGAGGTGGCACTAGCGTTGCTGACGGAGTCCTCACGGTCGCGGTCGCGATCGTGGCTGGCGTTGGTTCGATTTCGGCGACTGAAGATGTTGGTGTTGATGCGCAGCGGGATGCCTCGCGAGTGCGTGACGCCGCTGGTGCTGCTGGTCGCGGACGCCGTGGTGGAGGTGCCGTGTTCGGTGTCGGAGGAATCCGAGGTGAGTTGGCTGTGTTGAGAGGTGCTGGTTCCGGTGATCACGGAGGAATCGCTAGCCGCATGGGCGCCATTGAGCGCCTCCAGGGTGCCGCCTGGCCCGCTGGTGAAGCCGGTGCCCCGACCTCCGCCGGCGGCCATGGCAGCGGCGTTGAAGACGGCGGCGGCGTTGCGCCCGTCAAGCATCTGGTGTAGCCGTTCGACGGTGGCCTCAAGAAGGCCATCTACCTGGTAGGGCCGAGCGAGTTGGAGGAGAGAGCAGAGAATCTGGGGAGTGCAGAGCGGGGAGCCAGCGGGCGGGAGGGAGGAAGTGTACAAGTAATGGACCAGAGCCTGGAGGGTGAGGAAAGTATGCGGGAGATAAAGAACACGATGGCGGGAAGCAGGAGGTAAGCTATGCGCAGAGGGTATCTCAAGATTTGCTAACAATGATTTGTAAGGAGAGGGCTGGTTGCTGAGGAGGGTGGTGGCATTGGAGTAGCTGATGTTGTGGCCAATGGACGGGGTGATGGTGATGCTTGAATTGCGATTGGGATACATTTGCACCGCTGGTCGAAGTGTAGCCGAGTCGGAGACACCTCCGTCCGCGGAATCGCGCAGGAGCTGGATGAAGTAGGGGCCCCATCGTCGCGTTAAGATACGCGAGCTCACTGGGATGCGCTCTCCTCCCACCGCTTGGAGCTCCATGTCGGCCATCTCGGGGATGGACTGCGCCAGTCTGCCCAGCTCATCCGATGATGGGGAGAATGGCCTGCCGCCGGAGGTCAGTTGAGTCAACTTCTGCTGCAGTGAAGCCGGAACCAACGGGGCGCTGTGCGAGATATATCCCGACGTCGGTGAGATCCTGCATGGGTTGTGGTATAACCCGTACGCCTCCAGTTCGACCATGCACACATGCGAGAAATTGAGCCGCCGATGATTATAATCATCCACCAGGCTGCGCTTCCGATGCCCGAGAATCACGAAAGTGTTCCTCCTCGACCACAGCACACCCCTATTCCAACTGCCCTGACCAAACACCGCCCCGCCGGCATCGATACGACCCCACGTGAGCGTTTTGAGATCCAGAGCCCACAGAGCATATTCCTGCTTTGACGAGGTCAGATAAGTGCCGCTCACGACGAAGTGTCCGTTGATGACGCCGCCGTTCGGGAATCGCAAGCCCGGCGGCGATGCCTGGCTCTGCATGTGCTTTTCCACCAGCCGGCCATCGGGAAGACGGAGCTGGAGCTCCAACTTCACGTCGAGGAAATTGTAGTTGGAATAAATCAACATGGGTGTGCCTTCGACCTGAGACTCCTCCACCACATCTTGTGCATCGTTGTCAACGGAGTTTGACCCGACATCCAACACATTCATACCGGTCAGTGGAGCCACGACGCTACGATAAGCACCACAGCTTCTTCCCAGTACGCTGGTGTTAGTCCACTTCAGGCTCCGCAGGTTAAACACGCTGACCTGCTCAATGTAATGATTGGAGCTGTCCTGGCCGCCCACGACCACCATTTCCGCGCCCCCGAAGCCATCGATATCCACACCGATCGAGCCCTGATGAGGGTTCGATGATGCAGGGTTGTGATGGATCGCCGAGAGTGGAGCACTAGCGGACGTGAAATGCGCGCTGGAAGGTAAGATCGTCGCACAATGGGCATATCGGCCCTGAGGCGATTCGGTCGCAGGGACTCGGACCCATGTCCGAGAAGGCACGTCCAGAATATGAATATCGGACATGACGACGACCTCCGGTTGCGCATCCTGACCCGCGGAGCCATTGACTCCTAGATCCTTGGGAGCACTTAGAGAAGGAGACATGCCACCATAGCACACCAGTTTATTGTCCCCCAGGGCACACACGCTGTGGAAGTATCGCGGACGAGGGACATCGCCGGTGGTTTCGACCTTGGTCCAGTGTCGTCGAATCAAGTCCAGCTCATACAAATCGGACGTCAGCTGCGGCCGGGTCTTCGACAAGATGCGGCCTCCGAATACGTAGAGTTTATCCCCCAGAATGGTGGTCGTCGCCCCCACCAGAGGATATGGTTCTCTGCCGGTCGTGCGTCGTACATTACACACTAGTCCTGACAAATTGATGGGCCCTGAATTCGAAGGCGGTTGGGTATATCCTGGCATAACTCCGGAGCTAGAGGAGTCTTCTCGGGGGGTATCTAGATAACCCAAACTCGACTGACTCCTGGACATCATCTTGGCGATAATGGATCCTCCACAGAACCGACCTTCCCACGTATCACGTTGTATCCCACACCTCGATTCGCGATGACTCGTTGCCGACGATATCCACACCAGTTATTGCGGGCAGATCATGAGCCACTCAGCCTTGAGCGAGAAGCTGAATGCCGTCTGGGCGGCCAAAAAAACCCACACAGCGAGTGCGAAGGAGTTGGATCCAAGCGAAAAAGAAAAAGACAAGAAAAGGAATACGATCCGATAGGAAGCCCGTAGTCCTAAATCCCTAGCGATTCAGCAGCAATGTGTCACGGGCGGTCTGGTGTGCCCAGATCAGGGGCGGCACGAGTACGGAGGCAACCACAAAGTCGGTGGGTGGCTTTTTCTGGGTGCCCGCCTCTACCGACGGCCGTCCAAACAAGAACAGGAAGAAAAAAGGGTTCCGAGTCGAAGGTGGCCGCAAGGGATGCACACAATTGCCCGGACGAGATGAGGCTTCGAGAGGGGAAAGAAGAAACGGAAGCGAAAGTGCGGGCGTTCTCAAGGCGGTCTCCAAGAAATCGATGGTCCAGTCCAGGCACCGAGTGCTAAGAGTGGAGAAGAGAAAGCGACGCTAAAGGAGTTCAACGTGCCAAAGACAAAGTTTATCCCGGTGACAGTTGGGATCGGATCTAGAAGCAATCGACGAAGCGTTAGAGGCTGAGATGGTGAAACGCTCGTTCTTTATTCCCCACCTGGATTCGATTCAATTACAGAGTACGCTGGTCTGGAATCCTATACCACCATAGAGTCACCTCCCACAACATCATGGCACCCTTCCAGAGGACAGTGATGATCGATCTCGTTTATTTCAGTCCCACACTAATCCGATACCTCTTCTGGAGGCAAGAAATAGGTCAAGGGGAGGAACAGTACCCATGCTTAGAGGCCCCAATCGTCGATGGTCATCCATCCAACCTGAGGGGCAGAAATCCAACGGATGAAATAAGCACAACTGGCTGACGGCAGATTTAACAGAGGATAATGAGGAAGGGGAAAAGGTCAGATATTTAATGGAAGAAACAACTGGGGATAGAACGGTGAAGATGTTGGGAGAGAGAATTGATCCCCTAACCCCCTCCTCATCCCCAAACGATGGGTACCAATCCATCACCGTCTTTCTCGGAGCGGTAAATGCATACTAGACGTGGACCGGAGTTCTGAAACGGACAGCGAATGTGGTGCTATGCAGGATGACATCGCAGCTACATCTGCTACGCCACAACTTCCGCCCCCGCGATTTAAAACGTTCAGTCGTACTCCACCCTGTCCTTTCCATAGTGGACGGCGGTTGGTCTGCAGGACCCCGAAATAGTAGGGCGCAACTTTTACACGACAAACTAGGACGACAGCCTCATTGACTGCAGGGAAATAGTTTAGCTTGATAGAGATCGGCGTCACTACTGAGGGACACGATCATGTAAATTCGATTATATCATCACGGAGGTATCAATGTGCTAGAAAATTCATATCCATAACTCTTTTTTCCCCACTACGAAACGGAGTTCACCCCACATCCTATCTGTTGCCACGCCTTCATCCCTTTTGAGTCATGAGGTTCGAATATTGCGTGAGACGGACCCCATCGCAGCTTACTGCTTATTATTGAGGTTTGTGAAGCGCAGGTACCTAGTCGGACCCAAGTCAGTCGTGTTTCACCTCCCGGAGAAAGGCATGGATCAAAACACTTACGGCTTGACGGCGCGGATTTCGCCAAACTTCTTCTGGGCATCCTCAGTGGATACGGGAGGAGGGATGACGACGTCATCACCTGGAAGCCAGTTGATGGGGCAAGTGACACCGTACTTGTCGGTGGTCTGGAGGGCATCAACAACACGGAGGACCTCAGCGGTGTTACGGCCAGTCGAGGCGGGGTAGGACATGATCAGACGGATCTTCTTGTTGGGGTCGATGATAAAGACGGAGCGGATAGTCAAAGCCATGCCTGAGGTCGTTCGTTAGCTGGGAGCACAGTGATCACGGAAGGCGAGCGGAACTCCATACCCTTGGAATCAACGTTGGTGGTGTCCTGGTAGTCAACCATGTCGTACAGATAGGCAATCTTGCGGTCCGGGTCGGAGAGAATGGGGAAGGTGAGCTTGGAACCGTTGACCTCGTCGATGTCTTTGATCCAGGCGTGGTGAGACTCGGTGCCGTTGGCGCTCTATAGCAGATTACTAGTTAGCAAGCTGTCCCGTCCAAAGAAGTAAGGACTGATCCTACTCACCAGACCAATCAGCTTGACACCACGAGCAGTGAACTCGGGCTCGAGCTTAGCGAACGCACCGAGCTCGGTAGTGCAAATGGGAGTGAAGTCATCCTATTGTGGCTATCAGCTCAGTTCCGGATCCGACGAGGACGGAGACGACGGGGTACAAACAGGGTGAGAGAAGAGGATGGTCCAGTTGTTACCAATGAAGTCGTGGAAGGAGATACGGCCGTTAGAGCTATCAGCCTCGAAGTTAGGGGCAGTGGAGCCGAGACGAAGGCTGCCATACAGTAGGTCAGTACAGCTCTTAGAATTCAACAAAAAAAGGTGGGTAGGGTTCAACGAGAGCGACATCACTTACGGAGCGCGTTCCTGAGCCATTGTGGATGGGGAGGGGATATGAACTGGATGAAGCAATCTAACGACGGCAGATGAGATGGAAGAGAAGAATAAGGGGAAGAGAGGGGTTGGGATGAAAAGGGCAGATAAGTACCTGAGCTGAACCTCCCTCTGTCGACCCCTCCAGATTGCCCATTGCAGATGACGGGCTGTCAATCCCCGATCACGCAATCAGCCACCGCCTGCTTGGCAGGACGTCTGTGATTGGCTGGAAATGAGCTCATCTGTTGTGGGATGTTTATCGCTCTGCCGCATTGGGCAATTCCCGGCATTGTCACTCACCACTAAATTAGTATGGGGTAGTACCTGCTCATATCCATTAATTCAACAGTCCATAAACTAACCTATGCCTTTGCTCCTTTAATTACACCTTCATTGTTCTGGTGGTGCAGGTCCAAATACATCGGAGGTTGAATCGAGATACTCACCGGATCTCTCATCCGAGTCTGTCGGCCGATTACTGCATCTCGTTGAAGATGGGGCTCGGCCGACAGCATAGCCGGTGGTGCCTATGGTTTGCCGGGGAAATTGGCGCAATTGCGTTTATCACTTGCCTCGTCTTAAGATCATTACTTACGAAGCATAATGAGAAGTTGACAAAAGGTCAAGGAAGGATTCTTCATGCACCCGACCACTGATCAACCCATCGTGGAGGCTCGGTACCTAAATTAGTATTCCGTCGATCCATGCCAGACCCACCTTCCATATACTTTATAGTTCAGTTATGGTTATTGAAAATGATCGGGAGAGATCCAACAAGGTGCTAAAAGATAGTATTTACTTATCCTTCGCGTATATATGGAGGTTTGACCCCTTCGAACTAGCATATACATACATCGTCTTTCACATCACCAAGGTCACACTTCACGGCCTAAAAATTGTCAGATTATCAAGCTCGCTCATCGACAACAGCACTCATCAGGCAATGCTTTCGCTGAAACTTGTTCAGAGATACAGGAGAGATCATGCCTGTATTGCTGATGGTCAGACTGTATCCCAACATAGTAACAAGGTTGTTGTTCATGGTCAATAGTGCTGCGTAATTTCCTATACACAGATGAGAAGAACCCCATTCACATGAGGAAAATATACTTACGCTGGTAAATTTACTCCGAGCTCGAATCCGAGGCCCGTAAAACACCAAAGCCCACGGCACAATTGTAAGTAAGACGCCCTGGGAAATATAAGCACGGAACGGAAGTCTATCAGCTATGGAGGAGTGTGTCCTTACAATGCCACCTAACAAGCTGGAAGCGGCAGGGTAGCCTAGATTCTTAAACATCGCGTTGGTCACGAGAGGGAAGACACCCGCAAGAACGTTTCGACCTGTACGTCGATAATTAGTCCTGATAACGACCCCATCCCCGGTGCAGAGGGGACTCATACAGAATGATTGGGCGGCAATCGCAGGGCTGGCATATCGGTGGTAAGTGTCTGCCAGGTAGTTGAAAGATGCTAGGTAGATGGAGAAAATCCCCATAGTCGCACACCCGATAGCGACGGTTGGTACAATCCAGGGAATCGAAGGGAAGGATGTCCATCAGAACCAAAATAGGCCAATGGGCATCAAGAAGGACATCACACATGTGAAATATAGACGGCCTTCTGGGGTACTCGACACCTTCCCCATGCGGGCAGTCATTTTCTCTTGATATATGCTCAAAATTGTGGCCAAAATAGAGCCGATGGCCACCGCTACAAGCAATACTCAGTGACTTCTTTATGGCATGCGTTGTATGGTAGGATAGAGAGCTCACCGGAGAAGAGCGCCCCGGACTGCTCTACACTGAAGTTGTGGTTTGTGGAGAAGACGAGGGGAATGGCACTGAAATTGAGGTACAGAATACACCAGCTAAAAGAGACCCAAAGGGAGAAGAAAAAGACCACAGGCTCGGTGAACAGGAGGTCTTGGCAGCGAATTAGTCCCGAATACACCCAAATACAGGTGATCAACTAGGAAGTGGTGGGACTTACGGAACGGTCTGTAGCAGGAAATGGAAGTCATCTTGGCGATGCTCTCACGGCTCTTCATCGCTCTTGACCTTCCACCTGATGCGTTGCACGCGGTCCTTCCATACTGATAGTAGCCCGCACTTTCCAGTGCATCATAGTGTTCGTTGAGGGCCTTTGCCTTGCGACTCAGGAGCACACTGCCCCGAGTTTCCCTAAAGAAAAGGGTAAGGGCAACAAGGAAACCGGCGGCTACAATGGCTTGCGAGTAATACATCCACCGCCAGCCCGCCCGTTGTTGGATAAAACCGGTGATGAGCGGATCCAGGCCTGTGCCAAAGAGGACAGCTCCTGAAAAGTACGACATGGGAGCATGTCGGTCTTCGGCATGGTAAATATCGCGAATAATGCCTCCAACCACGGTTGAAAATGTCGCTGGGGCGAGTAAGTATGGTGTTAGCGACCTATAAACAGGCATACGAAGAATATGGATATAACCATTGACATACATCCACCAATGCCTAGAAAAAATCTCGCCACAAGCATACCTGCTAGGGACACCGTAGCTCCACATCCCACCAAGCAGACTGTTCTTCGTATCAAACCTAAGCATCAGTCTGGTACACACCTCCCATCGCGGAGCATGGTGACAGAGGTGAGGGAATAGTATACCGGTAAAAACCAGCCCACTGGATACAAAAATCGGCCTTCTCCCATTAATTTCGGAGAAAGGCGCCAGCACCATAAGAGCAATAGCAAACCCAAACGTAAAGAACGTGATACCTAAATTGTAGACAATTCGGCTAACACCCCATTTGAACGTCAATTCATCTGCAGGCGGAGTATACTCACCCGCTGCATAGGCTGCCATGGTCGTCACACAGCAGCAGGTCACGGTTATCACGCTCTTGCGGGAGTTTGACCACAAGAAGGGCGAGGCATACTTGTCAAGGCTGGGGCTGGACGGCGGTTCCTGCTGCCCTTGTGGTGGTGATGAGACTCCCACAGGCTGTGGCAGCGGTGCGTCAAATTTGAGATACAGATACTCAATCTCCTGCCGTGAGATATCCGATAGACTGATAGCCTGGCTATCGTCCAGTTGGTCCAGTCGACCTACATCGGTGATAATCTGTCATTTCCCAGTTGATTCTGTTCTCCGATCGGGATTCATCCCGCGGCTGCCCATTACCCACTAAACCACGGCATGTAACTCCGTCAACGAAGTTGTGGACGGAGATTAGAGAGTCAGCTTGTAGGTTCCAAACCAAGAATAAGATGATGAGGGGAGAGGGGAAAGGAAAAAGGATTGGGGACTAATTTCAAGCGAAGATCGGTGGACAAGGTACCTTAATCTAGTATTTGTTAAGTTGTGACCCCAGGCTCTCCCACTTGGACCCGGTGGAGACTGGGTCCGTCTGCCATCGCCCTAGGGGCGGGAGGCAGTTCCGCGTGGTTCGGAATATACCAAAGTTAGGCACCTCTGTAGACAGGCGCATGCACTGAATGCAACCTCGTCGGTGGCTAATCTCGTATCCAAGAAGCCGGAGGTGAGCATCCTCTCCCCGATAAGCCGTTCACTCCAAGCGGGAAACATTCAGTCGAATTTTGTGCTGATTGTGTTGTTTGTAGTATCTTGCAGAGAGCAGGCCAGCTCTTGAGTCATGAGGTTCTACAGTGACCCCAATCTCTTGGCACAACTTTAATTTTGGGAGGCTTGCAAGTAAACCCATGGCAGAGATATCGACTGGCTGTCAGCGATCATCATGATATCCTTTGTCATTGTTTATCTTCAACGTAGGTATTGGCACTGTCACCCAGATTGTGTTCTGATCACGTGTATACGTGGTCTTTGCTTTTGCAATGTTATTCGTGCCTCGAACGCAATAATGAGGCCAGGCAATTAGGTAGCTGGCGAGCTATCCTCGTACTCTGTAGATGGACGATACTCGACAGTCCCATCACGTGATGATCGCCTTAGGCACGTCGCGTCTGGCGCCAAGCATGATTCTTTTCTCCAGGATTAATTGCGATGAATGATTCTGAGGCGTCTTTCCTCCTTCCCGGGCGCAAACATTGAAAGCTCATCTTTCTTCCTTTTATGGAGGACTTCCCTACTTATTCACTTCCGTAAGTCGGTAGTCGAAGCAGGTATGAGCATCTCCTCCTTGATTTTCCTCCCACGAGGAAGACTTGACTGACTGATTCTCTCTTCTCATTCTTCCTTTAGGCGCGCCCAGTCTGGAGTTGCAGCTGGAGATTCTCTCCCCCGCCTCCTGCTTTCTGACTGGTTGAACCTCTTTCTTTCTCATTTCCCTTAGCTCCTTTTTTTTCCTTTTTCCTTTTTTTTTTTTTTTTTTTTACTGTTTTTTTTTTCAATTATTATTTCCCTCTCCCCAGAGGGAGCTTCACTCGACTCTCCCTCCTAACCTCGCAAATACTAACGACCATGCCACCAACCAAGAAGCGCAAGTCGGAGGCCTCGCCCCTTACCGAGGAAACCAGTTCCCCTAAGAGAGTGAGTAAATGTGGTTTCCCTCACCTAGTTCCTTTATTTTATTTTTTTATTTTTTTTCCTTTTCTCCCTCCCTATTGAACATCTTGATTTCCTTGGATCGACGGGTCCGACGTGAGCGAACGCGTTCTGCCAGGGCACTGACAATGGCCAATTATTGATCGCCGCTCACTGGCAATTCAACCCATTCCTTGTTACACGCTTTCCCCTTTCTCCCACCCAAGTACACGAATTTCCTCCTCAAAAACAGAGGGAAAAAGAAAGAAGAAAAAAAAAAATTTTAAATTAAATTAAAATAATACACACCAGTGTTACCTGCAACAGAACAGAAAGTTCTTCTTCGATATAGAGTTTCTCAAATAAACAAGTACTAATGTCTTCTTCTTCGCCGCCTCCGCAGGCTGCAGTTCCAGTTACTGGAGAGAAGAGGAAAAGGGGTCGCCCTCGCAAGTATCCCGAAGGCACTGGCCCTAAACCCCCTCCAGGCCCTAAGAGAGGACGTGGTCGACCCCCTAAGGACCCGTCCGCCAAAGGTCTGTATTCTCTCTTCATCCTCTCCTTTCCTTTCCATCGAACAGGCCCACGCGAGAGTGGCACCAGGGACGAACATCACGGCCGCTAACATGAGACAGACACCCCGTCCAAGCTGAGAACCCCCCAGGAGGGTAAACGACCAGTGGGCAGACCTAGGAAGTCGCTCCCGCAGAACGGCGCCGAAACCCCTAAGAAACCCAAGTCCGCGTCGGCAGATACCAAGGCAGAGGATGGTGAAAGTTCCGGCCGCTCGTATTGGTTGATGAAAGCAGAGCCTGAGACCCGTTTCGAGAAGGGAGTGGATGTAAAATTTTCGATCGATGACTTACGTGAGCGGAGCAAGCCAGAGCCATGGGATGGTATGTTCCAACGCTCCCCTCTCCCTACGGAAGCAGGGATACTATTGCACTGATACTAACTATGGCCAGGCGTACGAAATGCCGCTGGTAAGTGCGATCGTGAGTAATAAGTCCCCCGGCATGATCGGCTCACCACGAATAGCACGGAACCACCTACGGGAAATGAAGAAGGGCGAACTCGCTTTCTTCTATCACTCGAACTGTAAAGTCCCGGGTGTTGCGGGCACTATGGAGATCGTTCAAGAACACACTCCGGATGGTACGTGTTGATAGAAGTTACCCCCTTTGGTTCCGTGATGTGGATCAACTGACGCGGGAACCGGACTCTAGAATCAGCATTTGACCCTACACATCCATACTACGATGAGAAGTCTACGCGGGATGACCCGAAATGGGATGTTGTTCATGTTGAATTCCGCCGCAAGTTCAAGGACCTCGTTCCGCTAAATGACCTCAAGTCCCACGCGAAGCCCGGGGGCGCACTGGAAAACCTCCAGATGCTGAAGCAATCTCGGCTGAGTGTCTCGCGAGTGAGCAAGAAGGAGTGGGATTTTATTTTGAAGCTGGCAAAAGGGGAGAACGAATCTCAGCAGGCGACAGAGGATTCATCGAAGGACGATGGGAGTGCCGAGGAGGATTCTAGCTAGTAGGACCATATCTGCGGGATTTCAGATATTCTTATCATTCTAGCTATTGCGTCTAAAGCGAGCCCTGGCTTGGATTCTCGCAGTCACTCGATATGGGTGTAGCTATTTCCTTATGTACAATGAATGGGCGATTAATCTACTTACGAGGGCGTCTTAATGCACGGTTTAGTCCTGGCGAATAGCCTTTCCAGTCCACCCATTGTAGATATAAACATCCTCCGTATACAAGGACGAGCGGGACCGAGAGACTTAGCTGGGAAAAGAAAGTGCATCCGATGAGGGGCCCGCTTATTAAGGCCTCCATTTTCCCCGCGAACAACAGCGCTGGCATTCAGTCCCTGGCTTTGCTTCAGCTGCCCATAAATACTCCATGCTCGCCACTCTCCTTCCGCTTCGGTGCCTGCGAGCTTCTCCTCTCTCTTCCTTCTGCTTCATCCCCCGACGTCGCTTCCACGCCTCTTCCATCACCATGTCCGACGTCACCCTTCAGCTGACAGCTCCGAATGGGCGCAAGTACTCTCAACCCATCGGTCTCTTTATCAATAACGAGTTTGTGCCGTCCAAGTCGGGTGAGAAGTTTGCTACCATCAATCCTTCGTAAGTAGGCTCTCAGCGTATCCAGTTTCTTGGGATGAGCTCTGACCCATCATGCGCCAGGGATGAATCAGAGATTACCTCCGTCTATGCTGCCGGCGCAGAAGATATCGACATCGCCGTCAAAGCAGCTCGCAAGGCCCTCAATGATCCGTCATGGAAGTTGTTACCCCCCACAGACCGGGGAAACCTGATGCTTAAGCTGGCTGACCTCATCGACCAAAACCGGGAGGTCTTGGCTACTATCGAGACGTGGGACAATGGTACATTCCATTCCAGTCCCCGGGTTATCTATCCATTGTTTGTTCTCACTGACTGATCCCTTTCAGGCAAGCCTTATTCCGTCTCGCTGAATGACGACCTGGGTGAGGTCATTAACACCCTGCGCTATTATGCCGGTTGGGCGGACAAGATCCATGGGCAAACCATCAGCACCACCCCCGCGAAGTTTGCCTATACCCTACGTCAACCTATCGGTGTGGTTGGCCAGATCATTCCCTGGAACTTCCCACTAGCCATGGCAGCATGGAAGCTGGGACCGGCACTGGCATGTGGGAACACGATTGTCATGAAGCCAGCCGAGCAAACTCCTCTGAGTATCCTTTACCTCGCCAGTCTGATCAAGGAGGCGGGCTTCCCGCCCGGTGTCGTCAACATCTTGAACGGTTTCGGACGGGTCGCAGGTAGCGCCTTGGTCTCCCACCCCGAAGTTGACAAGGTGGCCTTTACGGGTTCGACCGTGACCGGAAAGGAGATCATGAAACTGGCAGCGGGCACGATGAAGAACATCACTCTGGAGACCGGAGGCAAGTCTCCCCTGGTGGTGTTCGACGATGCGGACATCGAACAGGCTGCCAAGTGGGCGCACGTCGGGATCATGTACAACCAGGGACAGGTGTGCACGGCGACCTCGCGCATTCTGGTACACGAGTCGGTCTACGACAAGTTTGTGGCTCACTTCAAGGAGGCCGTAGCATCCACCAGCAAGGTCGGTGATCCATTTGCGGATGATACTTTCCAGGGACCGCAAGTCACAAAGGCACAGTATGAGCGGGTGTTGTCGTACATCGAAGCGGGCAAGTCCGAAGGGGCGACTCTCGTAGCCGGCGGTGAACCGTTCAAGAACGTGGGTGACGGCAAGGGCTTCTTCATTGCTCCAACCATCTTCACCAACGTCAACGACAACATGCGCATCTACCGAGAGGAAGTGTTCGGTCCGTTTGTCGTGATCGCCAGCTTCACGACGGAAGACGAGGCCGTGCGACGGGCCAACAACACAGACTACGGACTAGGAGCCGCCGTTTTCACCAAGGACATCGAGCGTGCGCACCGGGTAGCGTCGGAAATCGAATCGGGCATGGTGTGGATCAACAGCAGCAATGACAGTGACTTCCGTGTGCCATTCGGTGGCGTGAAGCAGAGTGGAATTGGTCGCGAACTAGGCGAGGCTGGTCTGGAGGCATACTCGCAGATCAAGGCGGTTCACGTCAACATGGGAAGTAAGTTGTAGACAGAAAGTATGACCATTGCCTTGATGCGAAGATCTGTATAATGAGAATGGATCCCGTAGAGATATCCAGTAAACACGGATGGATTGCATTAGTCTAATGGTATATCCAAGCCGTACCAAGTGGCTGGGTTCTGCATGAATGCCGCAGACTGCTATGTGGCTTGACTACACTGGGTGGGATGCGGAGTACAATGGTTAATCATAGTCTGTGCTACATGAATTTGAACCGTGAAGTTTACCTGCTTACCTACATATTATACCGTATTTAATAGGTAGCCCAAGGATAGGATATGCTTTTACAAGATTGAGATCGACGCCGTCGACTAGCTGCATTCATTATCTGTACTGTATCTCTTTGCTCTCTTAGGAATGCACAATGAAGTGTAAGTCGATGCATATTGTTAAACTTAAAGTTAGTTTGGACTGGCCTGTCTACAGATTATGATTAATACTACATTATCAAGAGAATAGGTATTATATGACAGGAGTGAGGCAGTATTGATACCCAGTTACATATAACTATATAGAATCAAGAGTAGAGAGCTACATGTACAACTCAGGAAACATTTTAACAGCGTAAATAGATAGGTAATCCAACCTAAAAGATTTTTTATCTAATCCAACCTAACCTGCCTAATAATACTCATTCATACATAGTATGTATGTACCTAACTAACGCCAATGGATGCCAACTCACCAATCCACACCTCTATACCACCAGTCCAATCCAATCCAATTTCAGACGCAGCAAGCACATGTACATTGCCGTCTGCCATAAGGTAAGCTGAGATGAGGTGGTCTTGCCATCTAGCCTATCCACGTCGACAAAGGATCACCCTGCGTAGACAGCAGGAATAGTAACAGCGATAGTAGTAATGATGGTGATGATGATGATGATGATGATGATGATGATGATGATGATAGCAGCATGCATATGCAAGACACCAAAATAAGACACTTGCATTGTTCTTTTTTTTAGTATTGGCACTAGACGCAGATAGGTAGGTAGGTAGGTAGATAGATACCTAAGTATATGTAGATACATGAACAATAGATTAGGTAGAATTAATTAATATACTACCCACATCTGTAAGTATCCCATGCATCTACTTTACTTTCGTACTTGGGATGTGGCTATTGATTATGATAGGTACACATCACCATTACTATTAAGGATTAGTTTCTGAGTATGCAACTAGATACTAGATACATTAAGTACGGTCTAGTATGGAGGGAGGAGGCAGACTTTGATACCGAAAATGAGGCAATGGATTTGATGGTTCTGCCAATGGGAAAATCTGTAGGTTGCGTGGTTCTTATTTGTGTTTTATCTAGGGAGTATACTAAGTACTATCTACAAGGTTGACTACGTATATAGGCTTTACATCTGTGTTCAGTATTTTCTATTCTTTATTTAGGAAAGTGTTGTGTTTATAGATGTCTTTATATAAAACTATCTAAGTACTTAAGATACAGACTGGGAGGTACATTTAGATGGAGGACGTACATAGATACTTCGCAGATACAATAGGCTCTGTGTAAGACCATTACATACAGCAACCATACAGTACATCAATAATGTAAATAACAGTACCATATATTACATACCATACAAATGCAGACATCCATGTAGGATACGTTGTCGTGCATTGCATGAAGAATCAGTCATGTGAGGTGGTTAGAGATAATCACTAATGTATTACTTTCGGATGCTATACAGACAGATGTACATATGCCGAGGGCTGTCTGTCTATCAGGCCTGCATACATCCTGTCAACAGGATCAAAATAGAAGCCCTTTCCTCACTTTCGACAGACGGGCAGAATATGGCTTACTTTCAACGATTGCACATTAATTGTGAAGGTCAGTGCCCAACGGGAGAGAAGTGGGCGAAGCAAAAAAAAAAAAAAAAAAATATTACAGAGTAGAAGAAGCCAAGCCAAGCTGACACTTACACCGCATCTTTCCCACCGATATCTGTCGGGCGATGGTGGATCTCACTTACTAAAATATCAGGCCGCATTGATTGCCTCTCCCCTGCTGCTGCAGTCTGACCTTTCTCTTACTCTGTGCCCAACGGAGGGAGAAAAACTTGTTATTACAATGTTGACTTGTCCTGCCCTGGTGACATCCTGAGGGTAATTGCTGCTACTGCAATATCCGCGAGAATTAATTACCCCGGGGTTTCTATAGCTTCCGACTCTCCGACCGACGCTAAGTCTAATGGGGGAGCATCAATCGTGCATCTATGGAGCACTCTCCCAGTGATCAAACAGCTCAGTATCAACGGTATTTGGCATGCTTCGTTGATTGGCCTTATTGGGGGGTGATTACCCCAGGTAATTAAAAAGCACTTAAGTCTTATTGAAGCAACTAGGTAAGTACAGACTACTCAGCCTGGGTCCGTTGAGAATGAAACCAAGCGTCGAGCTATCCGATCCCAAGCTTGATGTAACACTTGGTCTGACCATGGACGATTTCTTTCGCACACCGCTTGGATTATCCAGAGGCTCATCGCATGATCCATTGCCCCAGAATTCGAAAACCGACTCCTCTTCGGAGAAGGATTAGGACGTAAGAGTCCGTAAGCTTTGCTGTCTAGTGTACCCCTTCGAAGGAATGAGACAAGCGCTAGGAAGGTCTTCCGGACCATTTGGGTCTTTGTTTTGGTATGCGATGATCTAATTTTATCAACCTCTCGGCCAAGTGGTGGAGAGATTCAAAGTCCTAAAAAGAGGGAGACAACCATAAAAAAAAAGGCACTTAGGATAAAGATGTAGATAGAAGAGAACCGGTGATCAGTGCAGCGAGCAATGCACACTGGTCGTTAAAACGGCTGTATGTCACAGGGCTAGATTCTCACTGGGTTAAAAAAAGGGGGGAAGCAATTCCTCTTCCCCGTTCAAGCTATCGGACCGTGGGCGAAGACTGACCGTGGATACGCGTGCCGTGTCTGCGTCTAAGGGACCCAGGGACCCGCGTTGGACCCATCTACTCAAAAATCAAGCGCTTGCATTTCTGTCACACAGCTGCTCTAATTAAAGCCTAACTTTGGGGACAGCTGCCGGTAGCTCGATATTCGTTTTCAGACTGCCACGGCCCCAGGAGTCTTGTCGGATGCATTCCTATTTGCTCCTATTGCCCCATTTTAGGATTTTCTATTTTATTATGTAGTTGGCTCCACTGGGGCCCTTGTCTGGAACAAATGAGGCGTAACACGGGAAGGATGCCGTACTCTGGCAACTGTCAACCAAAGCTCCAAGACAGATAGTCGTTAGTGATGGAATGGATGGAAATTTCAACAGAAACTCTCGACGTATCGACCCATTTACGGAGTAATTTAGTAAGTATTAATGAGTGACTCCCAATGGAGCCACCCGGCTTGTATTTAATGATCACGTTGTCGCAGACTCAGACCTCCCACGGCTTCCTCATATGACATGTGATAGGTCAAATGGTGGAGACAGGAGGTCTTTGTTGAAGATTTCAATAATGAAGTTCACCATCGAACTGACAGACAATAGTTCGAGTAGCACCGGGCCCGAAGATGCACTTCTGACGGGTAGAAATGGCCGTCGTATCTTTCGTATTTATTTCTCAAGGGAAGAAGCGAGAAGGACTACTGTGCCTTTAGGAGCTTCCTTCGGTCCAGAACCTGACATTCAACGAAACCGCAATCTATCGAGATGACCATAGCGAGCCATCAATATCGACGCACCTTAGTGAGAGCGGTAAACGTGGCGGCCCACTGATGGGTGCTGCTAGCAGCCTAGTTGATTTAGGGTGGTTTTGGGAGAAGCGACGACAGAAGAACGTCCTTTCGACGACTCGAGTGGGGCAGATATGGTCTATGTGATATTTCAGACTAGTGTCTCTGCCTCTTGAATACAGGCTAGATACGAAGTACGGTGTAGAGAGGTATAATTCGACTGTGAGAGACATGGACAGAGCTGGTCCCAAGCATCTGATATATTATTCCGTTGTGATCTCTCTTTCACCCAGTATATGGCAGATGTGATCATCTTCGAAACTTCTTCTGGTACGGCACTTGACCCAAGAATCACTGGACTGCCGTACTTCCAGATTATCTGCATGGGCTTCTCCCAAATACGGGAACACTTACAGTTCTTGTTCTATTCGCTTGATTCTAGTCGATAATCTCCAGACAGCTTAAACACCGATTGAGCACTAATTGAGGTTTGGGTATGATCCTGGTGGGTCGAATGACCCCGCCAAGTCCATCACGTGGTCAGGCGGGAGAATGAAACAAGTTCAACTTCAAGTTGCTCTTCTTGAAGCTTGAATTAATATCTGCCTCTTCTATTGACGGATCAATTTGTCGGCACTGTCAATCCCGGATCTGAGTTACAACGGATACCATAACGTATTGGACTGTTCCACCGTTATTCATTATGGCCACGTTCCAAAAATGGACGGTTTCTGAGGTATGCACGGGGCTTGTTTTGAGATTTGTCACGTCTGGGTTGACCCCGGCATGAATATCGGATTCATTCTCACGTCTGTCTGCTCTTCAGCCGTATACTGATGTGGCGGGAACTTTACTGGAAGGCCCATTCTATGACGATGTCAAAAACGAGTTCCGCTTTGTCGATATTTGGGAACAGAAACTATACATTATGGACCTGGCCAAGGGCCCAGACTCTCTGAAGACATTGGATACGTCTGCGTCGATCGGGTGTGTGGTAGACCTCTCCCTCTAGATGGTGATCCCTGCTAATCAGCGGATCCGGACTTTTGATATATTGTCATGTAGAGTGACAGCCAACATTGAGCATCCTGGTGATACCCACCGGGATCAAATAGTCGTAGCAGCAAAGTACGGATTCGCACTTGCCAACCGCAACACAGGGGAGCTATCGTACCTCTGCAAAGCATGGGAGGGTCAGAATGAGCCGGAGAAAGCCCATAGGTGAGCGCTGCTGAGATCTCTCATCCGCTTAACTACCCCGGAGCAATTTAACTCATCCGGAACGCAAACTAAAACAGAATGCGTTTCAACGACGGAGCGGTGGACAGCCGAGGACGGTTTTGGGCTGGCTCCATGAACGACCCCAAGGTGCAGACCCCGGTCAACGAGGGGGTGTTGTTCCGGTTGGACCCCGATATGAAACTGCACTGCATGCTCGAGCAGGTCACGATTCCCAATGGGATTGGGTGGAATCACGCCGACGATACAATGTACCTAACCGATTCCCCCACCGGGAAAATTTATGCCTTTGATTTCAACGCCGACACCGGCGAAATCAGCAACCGCAGAGTCCATTTTGACTTGGGCGAGCCTAAGGAGCCAGACGGTTTTGCCATCGACTTAGAAGGCTGTATCTGGAGCGCGATTTACGGAGGCGGTAAGGTAATCCGAATCTCGCCCGAAGGGAAGATCATTGGTGAAGTGTCGCTTCCCACTAGAAATGTCACTTGTCCGGCCTTTGTGGGGACGGAGCTGTTCATCACTACGGCTAAGGATGAAGTGAACGATAACCAATTCCCAGAGTCTGTGCGGTATGGTGGCCGATTGTTTAAGATTGATGTGGGCGTCCATGGCAAGCCCAAGAATAAGTTCCATTTTCAGAGCTGATCCAGTAGTGTTAAAAGAGATCAAGGAAATCAATAGAAAGAGTTTCAATAGAACTGCGCAGTCTGTAAGCCGGATTGTGTGAGTAGAAGCTTGAATGTATTTTCTGCTTAATCAGTCCATGTGCATACGATGAATCTGGTGTATTGAATACACTAACATTTTGTTCTTTCCTGTCTCTAATCTACTCGAAGTTAGGTATATCTTGACGGGGGAGTTTCAGCTCACAGCTCTTGCTTTGTTGGGGCCTTGGCATTCAGAAATGATAGCAAGAGTTATCTCTGCAAAAATGAGAGAGAGGCAGGGAGAAATGAGACGATATAGTTACTCGTATGGACATTGCTTATGTGATTCTGACTGAGAACATAACTATCTACGGAGGAGGGTTGTCATTCTGGTGCTCTTCTTGCTCTCCTCTGCTGCCATCCCAGTATCAGCTACTCCATTGCTACTAACCATACGGTCATACCCTAGGACATTTTAATATGCCCATACGCAGCCAAACCATCCGCAATACACTGAAAACTTCTTGCGGGAGAGTCTGAGGAATGGCAGCAGCAGAGCCATGGAGGACGGCCACATTTATAATCTAAGTGACCTTGACATCTTGTTTTCCAGTATGACATTAAGAGCTTGGAGTGCGTCTCCTGATGTGAAAACCCGCCGACTTTGTGTTAAATTCTCTCTAGGAACTCAAAAATCATCCAGTCCACTCTAATAAGGCAGAACATGGTGTCCTTTTCATGAACATGACCCTAAATGGGTTGCAAGAGATCTGACAGCGTGTGTTTGTACCTACATGGATGCATGGGCAACTCGGTTCACAAGGCCAAGCGTCTTATCATCAGGACACTTGTCGCTTCTGGAAATTCTAAAACTGCGGGAAATAAGGTCAGTGATTGTATAGTATCTCCACAGAAAGTGTATATAACATTAACAAGATCCTTCTAGCTACCCTAGCCCTTTCTTGTTGGGATCAGGATTGCATGGGTACTAACCTGACGCACAGTTCTCCAGCGGGAACAGTGGAGTTTTGGAAGCTGAAAGGGGAGATAACCAGTCTGCATATCCTCCCGTACAATCCAGGTATGCCAACCCTACCATGGCAAAGAGAATTCCATCGTGTATGGCGAGTTAGCCACACTGATTTCGTGCCAACCAATCCAAGGTAGAATTTCTGATGGTGAACAGGAAGCCCTTTTTGGTAAGCGAAAAGATGCTCAAAAATATAAACTTGAGTATCCGGAAGAAAAACACTTCCCAGTCTTGATGCCTTCCTATGTGGGCCCTCAGCACGGATGATTGTTCTATGCTTCCGTGCTAGGGCGGTGGTTAGTGATCAAGCAGTCAAAGCTTTATAGTTATGAGAAGAGGTCAACTGCGCCAGTCGAGTTGTTCGCGCGCATGCTTCTGAGTCGTCTGAGCTAGGGTCTGACAAGAGTTTGCTATCAAATTAGTATCAGCTCAAGATAGTAATTAAGGCATTGATGGCGTATGAGATGAGGAGTCTGACCTCAACAGCTCTAGAAATCCCGAGAGCGAAATTGCAACCTCCATGGGCAACTCGACTCCAATTCTATGTAATAAGCCCCGCCGAACTGGCTGGGGTCATCACAAATGTACACTGGCACCAAAGGACGATAAGATGGATATGGAAATCACCCAGTAAGTATCTGATTTGTTCCGCGCGCTGAAGAAATTCAGCGACTATAAAGGTCCCTCCACGCCCCTGGCGCTGAAAAGTGCCCGTGGCTAAATTTTGCTGAGATGCAGGTACGTGGTTGCCAGGTATGGGTGACAGCCAGGTCTCCAGCAACGGGTTCGAACCTCATCGTGATGGTGGAGTCTAGTAACCATATAGTCTGGCGAAGTTAAGACAAGCTCCATTTCATTTTTCCTTAATGCATTGCTTCTTGCTAACTAGGACTGGCTTTTCAATAGGTGAGCCTTGCATATTGTAATCTCCGACAAAGTTGACTAGCATAACGGTCGGTAGCCCATACCCGGTGGTTGTATGTATTCGACTAAGACAAAGACTAATTGATATTCGCAGGAACGCAACATAGGTTATGGGCCGTACTTGACAACTGTGAGTTCAACAGGGTGCGGCATTTGGACCAAAATCTCAATTTCATTCTACCTTTCCCCGTTGGACGACAAGCGACAAGACATGGCGCTGAACAGGGGCTAGATGAATGGCATAATCTGATGGGACAAAGAAATAGACTGTAGGGACTGCTGTCTGTCATCACCTTTGTTTGCTATTGGTTTGTATAGTTTCCTTCGTCTGATCTGTTTGCTGTACATGTGTTCTGTCATCACCAAATGAGGACGTTGGATCCATTTATCCTTTTTCCCGTCCTTGTTTAATTTTAAGCAGAGAGCTAATCAGAAGTGGGAGCTTACTTTTTTCCAGCCTTTTTAAACATATATCTTTGTGGGACGGGAACCCAATGGGTTGAACCAAATAAGGGATGAAGGGCGCGAGTTTACACGTCCAAAGTCGACACAAATGGACCAAAAAGCAATCAACTAGGTAGAACCCGTACGTTGCACTAAGTACAGCATACCCGCACAGCACTCAGCGTGCAGAGAGGTACACACATCACAAGGCACATACGTACATCTAAGTAACGTACCTCAGTAGGTACTTTGTTTTATACCTGATTATAATCCTGCCCATAAAGCTACTGTATATAGCAGGCAATGATATCGTACGGCAGTACCCAAACAGGCAAAAGACAAAGGACGCGACACACATAAATAAGGATGCCTGCAGAACCATGCTCACCCATATACCCACGTCTTGACAGCCCCGTGCTACCACTGTACGATGAATGCAGTCTATCTGAAACCTCAGATGGCGGATGCAAGGCGCCGTACTCCGGGTAGACATCCGCTTTGATGGCCCATCGGGATTCGAGGATTCCAAATATATTGGCAAGCGACAAATGTGAATCTGTGTCGTCTGCATGCATATGCATATTCACATACATAGTACTTGGGTAAGCACAGCGACTCACAGATTCAGGATCTAGGTCTGCACTGCATGTGGTCCTATGGAGTGATAGGACCACGCCAGCGCATTGGTGGTCCCAGACATGCATGCAGATGCTCGTGGAAGTGCTAGGATTTAATGATACTCAAGTGCAGAGTATTTGTTTTCCTTTTTTCTTTTTTTAGGACGCTGCTGTATAATTCAAGGTAGGTATGTACTTTGCATATGCGTACTACTGTACACAATACAGAATACATAATACGGCTGCTCCAAGATGAGCAGTGTTACTTTACAGTAGCGTGTCTCTGAGATAGGTAAACGAGAAAAAGCAAAGGAAGAAGAAGTGGCAGACTTTAAGCTCGACTCTCACGAGATGGGAGGTGACTATCATTTCCCATGACAGCGGCTACGGCGGCACAAAAGTGGATTCGTAAAGGGGTTTTTTTTTTTTTTTTAAAAAAAAAAAAAAAAAAAACCAAGAAGGCCCGGGTGATGATGGTCGAGCACATCACACAATACTCATTATTGATTGAATACGGCGTCAGGGCCATTGACAAGGATCTCTTAAAACCAGGAGTAGGCCGTCCGGTGGATGCCCTGGTGTGACGTGCAGCCATGCTGTCGGAGATTCGAGAATGCCTACGGAATCCCTCTAAGTCCAACTACTCCGTATTCTGTAGAATCCATTCCTAGCACTATTAATTACTAGCTGACCTAGTGTCACCGCCAACGACCAACTCGTACTTTCTCTGTCTCATTAGGGGCTACATGTACCAAGATTTGAAGATACAACCCATAAACCACACTTCTGGGAAAGGCTTTCCCCTCCCAATATCGAGCATCAACCAACCACCAACCACCACCAAACCCGCCCCGGTTACGCGTCGAACTAATGCATCCACTCGCACACTCTCCCAATTTCCTCCTTTCCATATGCCCAGAAGGGGGATTCAGAGCTAGGCAGGACCTGGCCCATCATAAGAAATGAGATCAAGAATTAACGGAAGCATTAACGGAAGCTATTTCCGCAACGTTTTGTTTTTTATTTTCCCTTCTTAAATCAGTTTATTTACTTGATAATTTCGCGGTTCACATTGGTATGGCCACATCATTTCTTGTGGGAAATGCTGTTGCAAACAGGTACGGAGTACCTTTACATGGACCGAGTCGACAAGTATGGCCTACCCCTCTCCACTCCCTACTAGGGTTCATAGTATCTACTGATCCCATCCAGTCCAGGAAGTCCTGCCCTTCTTGTCTTCCCCTGGCCGCAACCAGTTAGTAATAGCTTTGTCTGGCTTGATAAAACTAAATCCAAATCTATAACTAGTTAACTATCGCCTACTAATATGACCCGCATGGGTCCAACCGACTGTCTCATTTCCTGATTCCAGAACCTCGGCCGGTGTTTCTTCGGCCCACACGATCTACGGAGCCGGTTGTCAACTATTTATCTGTATCTGCTTGTTATAGGCATGGCGTTCTTTGAATTTTTCTCTCGGAATTAATCAATGCCTCTAAGCTAATGCCATCATGCTTTCACCACCGACTCGAGAAACTATTATCCGCACTGTTGATCATTCCCTGAGTGGTGCCCTGGCAAGCATGCACTGTTCTGTGGGGGTTCAACCCAATGAAGCCACCTAGTCAAACGCACCTCACGTAAGTGGGTTTCAATGGATGCGATTTGCCTCGTTCCTACCGGGTAGTTCCCGTCTAACTGGCTTCTTCAGGGTTAGTTCCAATGCTCATGACTCTATCTAGCTCGTCCAATTCACCCCCAGAGTAATTACCCCAAAGCGAAAACGAGTGACTTGTTCATGTTGATTGATAGTTGGGCTATAGTACAATGAGATAATAGGAAAATACCAAATCTGATTCGCTGCCGAAAATGGACCTCACCAAGCCCTACTCGACAGATAGTTTAAACTCTTTTTATCAACAAATAAAAATAAAAGGAGAGGAAAAGAAAAAGAGCTCAATAGCGTGAGGAGTAAATATCCTAATGCCTCTGATAAACTACTCCGTACGGCGCCGGCGACACATCCTGCCATCGCACAAGCATGTCCGAGATCGGAAATCTAACATATGCAACACAACCTGACTAGTGATTTCGGCTTCGGGGCTGTATTACCGACGGAACGCTTAGGAACTCTTCTCTGTCTTCTCCCAGCTGCGGTGGAGTATATATACCAAGGATAATGGAGGCTCTAACCCAGCATTGTTTTTGTTTACCAGTATACCGAGGTCACCAATTGATTTATTTCCACCGGCGAAATCGCCGTTGAGAGCCATTTCAGTCGAAAAGTACTATAGGAGCAATGCTCTCCGAACTTTGTTTCAATTGGTGCCCAATAATGACGTAGCTGAAACACGCCTCTAAACGAAGTTTTGACCGACCTCACTGAACCCCCAAATTTGAGCAGAAGATTCATCGTGGACCGCTCACGAGGGAATTGGAAAAAGTTCGTGTCCCTGAAATGACCTGTCCACTCATTATGCTACAGCAACTCAGGACCAACCTCGTGGTCCGCAATTGCCGCAATACTTTTCCCCCTTTCTTTCTATTTCTTGCCTCCACTAAGCCGAGAATAGTATTTGCTCCAGTATGAGAATTAGATATACGACTCTATACGACTCACTTAGAGAGGAAAATCGACATGAGTTGGCTACGCAGGATAAGCAACATTCTCCAGAGCAACTGCCCAGCCGGGGGGAGGGAAAGGGAGAGGGGGGGGGGGGGAGAACATTGCGGAGGACAAAAAAAAGAGAGAAAAACGGTGATCGACAGAGACCGTCGATACCCTGGAGACATTATGGGGCTATCAAAGCACATCCGTGTGGATACAGCAAAGCCAGCCTGTCAGCTAACTTTCGGGGGAAAGAAAGTGAAGCTCGACATGCAGGTAAAACATCGTAGTTCGAGTCTGTTCAGCAGGAACTCTGACTGGATGACACCAGTTTTTTTGCCCCATTCGGCGATCTAAGCTAGACAGGCGTCTTGTTTTAGCTCCTTAGTGGGTGCTAGGCATCGGCATTGTGCCTTCAACTCTTACTTCGGTGGTCTAGATAGACACGCAGAGCCGGCACGAGTAGGAACTTTATTAGTTTCCTGCTCTTGGCAAGGTTAATTAATTAACTTTCCCAGATGGCTAACCCGCTGGACATACGAGCTCGTCTAGGCCTGACTCGTCCAGGGATGATGTTGGTAAGTAATTTGAAAAAATTTCATTAGGTCGCCACGGATCAACGGGATGCACGTAAGCTTCGCGTGGAGGTAAATACGAATGATATAGACATTTATTTCTATTTTGGATGTCCCATTTGATGCGTCGGGGATTATATAATCTCGTTCTGATAAGCAATAGAATGATCATCCTTTGAGGGGGGAGGTTAGAGACTAACAGTAAGTAATACGACAAGAGAGAGCTAGAATCCTTTTTTAGAGAATGAATGCCATGATCAGAAGAAGAAAAAAAAAAACAAATATATATATATATGTGTGTGTGTATATATACAGAGTGGCATGATAAACGTGGCAAGGATGGTGGTTATCGAGGCGGTAAGCACATCTATTCAAAAAAAAAAGAGGAAAAAGTCCCTTCGACTAAGATGGATTTAGTCAGGCCTCCACCGATCCCGGTCACAACCCACAACCATGGGCATGGTGACGGCTCACTTGCATCTTCCCCAACCCCGATTCCACCCTCAGTGAAGGCACTAAGCCCGCCACGAGTGGGTTTCGGTTGTGTTAGGTAAGTGATTGACTGAGAACTCCAAAGTTAATTACAGTTGTAGGTCCGGGAATTATGGGTTAATTAACCTATTCCTCTGAAGCCTTTGTACTTTGTTCAGTAGACAGGTCTACGGTCATCTCGCTGGACGTAGATATATGTACATGTACATACTACATACATACCCTAGTGAATCAAACTACCTCAAATGATCGAGGACTGGAGGGATCCCGCTTAGCTGTTTCTCAGGATTCTACAGTCCTTCCTTCCAGCTGGTAGCTCAGTAACTACACGCTGCCCAACCAATGACGGAATCCGTCCCAGTCCAGCCAAGTGAGGTTCCGATTCCCCCGGGCCCATCATGGCGTGGACTACCAAGTGGTACATACTTGGGACGAGCCTATGCATCCATCGGTAGGTATGTATGTACATGGATACATACATAGGTAGAACCTCCATACCGTACGGTATGTACCATACGGAGGACGGTCGGTAATCACGGTTGGAATCGTACCGTATCGGGTGCCTGTACCATTTTCCCCTGGGACCTGACGTACCTTTTGAGGTACCTAGAGGTACCCGTACCTATTAGACCTTCACTCCAGGTACATACAGGTACATACAGGACGACCGGGATGTATGGATGAGGTGGATGGATGCAGCTAGATCCTGGTACAGTACATCCCATCTAGTGATGCGTGTCTGTCTTTCAAAATTGGACATCCATCGCTCTGGTTATTCCCATGGCAGAATGACTGACTGAATGGGATAGAATGGAATGAATGGTTCAATGACTATTCTCTGGGTCCGCTCTTCGTTGTCCATCATTCCATTTCCATCCCATACTTGTGGTTCATCACGGGGGTCCCACTCTGGATCAAAATCCCCTCAGTGTTCACACCGCCGCTCGACTGGTAAAAGATGTGCTTCCAGCACGATTATCCTCGTAATTATTATTCCTTTTTAATTTTTTTTTTTCCTTTTTTTTTTTCATTTTTTTTTTTTAGTTTTTTTTTTTTTTTTTTTATTTTTAACTTTGAATTCCTTTTCTCTAGCTTATTTTTCGTAATTTTCAGTTTCTCTCTAATTTGATTGGATTTTCTCTGGGAATTTTTTTTCCCTCTACGATATATTAACCTAGTCATGGAAATTATTATAATTGCAAAATATCCAACTTCATATCTCAGTTGTCCTTTATTTGTTTTATTTGTGTTTTATTCTCTTCCCTTCCTGATTTCCCTCTCTCTCCTTTCTGGTCTTCCTCTTCTTCTCTCCCATCCACCGGTTTCTCTTCCTCCCTCTCCCGATTGACTACTGTATCTCTGAAACATTCCATCTTCTGGCGTGCTTCAATCGTCTGGCATATTGCATCTGATCCGATTTATATCTATTCTATCTATATATATATCCCTACCCACCTCCCTGTAGCACTATATTTTTCTTGACTTGGATCACCGACAAGAAAGGAAGACGAGGACAAGATCATCAGGTCCTTGCATGAATTAAATCCAATTTATACTCCTTTTTTTAAAAACTATTCGCATTGCTTTCCCCGACTTTTCCCTTTCCCCTCCCTCCACCGTGGCTGCTCTAGGGATCAGTGTGTTGACTAGTCGTCCATACCCCAACCCGGTGCATTCGTCTCGTCAATATCATTCGCTGTCTGGCTGCCATCTTGCCCAACCGACCGGCTCCCTCTCTCACGCTCCTCTTCAAGAGTCTCATCGGGAGAGAGGGGGGCCCCCGCTATGCCCCCAGTCCCTGCGCCAGTCCTTTGAAAGAGACTCAGAGCATATGTCGCAGATTTCCTCGGTTTCAACCCCTTTAGCGGACGATGCACTCCGAGCAGAGCCCCGCCCAGTCTTCGACAAGAAACGTCCTCACGTAGCGGACGAGTCCTCCGTGGAAGGCCGTGATCCCCTGCGCCCTCGGCCTCTCTCCTGGAATCCATCCGCTCCCGTGGAGCCTTCTCTGAAATCGACCCAACTTCGTCCCATCGGGGTTCAATCTATCTTGAACCCCCCTGCAAAGGCAGTATCAACAGCTGCGGCGCCCGCGGAAACCATTCGCGAGGGGCTGGGAGAGCCGGGGCCATCCCATACACGACATCCATCCTCTCCCACGGTGCATCTCCCCTCGCCTTCAATTCATGCCCGACGTCTCTCTGCGTCGCCGGGAATGAGAAATCACCAGACGAGTACGCCTCTCTCGCCCTCCGCTCGGTTTGTCACGGCTGGGGCAGGTCACCCTGGCAGAGCCGGTGCCTCTCAGTCTCCCTTGGCCCACGAATCACGACCAAGCATGTATACTTCGACACCGGGTTCCCCCTTGCCGTTCGAGTCGGCCCCGGGGCAGACGTCCTCGCTGTCTACACATCAGCAGCCAGGAGCTCCCATATCGATTCATTCCACGCCAACGTTTCATAGCCGTCGGACTAGTGCGGTTCCAACACCAACTCCAAGCTCCCAGGAGACGAGCCCTACCACTCCCATTTCAGCTTTCAGTCAGTTTGGTCGATCGTCTCCTTCACTCACTGGGGTGCCGAAGCCACCTCATGCACCACCGTTCTCGACATCCTCCCCGTTCACCACCGTAGACCCAGTCACCCGACTCCCATCTGCCGTGGCAGGGGTAAGACATACGAGTGATGAAGCAGCAACGATAGGAATGCCTCAGCCGGACAATGCTCCACTACCTGGGATGATCCCATGTATCCTGGACCTGAAATCGGGCTCCTCTAGCCAGGCTGAGAAACGCAAGGCGAACAGCGATGCATCGAGGAGATTCCGCAACCGCAAGAGGAACGAAATGCAGATGGAGCAAAAGATCAATGCTCAGCAAGAGGAGATCCGAAAGCAGGCCGAGTCATTGCAAAGACAGTGCCAGGAAATCCGGGTCTTGGTTCAGGAGCGAGACCATTACCGATCGGAAAGGGATTTTTATCGGGATCATGTTAGTCGACTAGCGCCTTCCAGCCAGCTTCCTCCCCGACCGACATCTCCACGAACTTTCCGATCGTCGGTCGAGAATCCGACCTCGGACCGTGACCATACCTCAACGTGGCGTGGGATGGACATGATGGCGAGGGTAGGAGATGCCCCGGCAGGATCACATCCGGGCGCCTCCAATCCTCCACGTATCTCGTCTGCTGCAAGGACACCAGGAAATTGGTCCAGTGCCTCGTCCCAATACTCCACGACTACTGTCAACCACACCGAGCGTGGAGTTTTGGCCGATGAGCATCAGACAAAGTCGCTGGCTCAGTATCCTGGAGCATGGGCTCGACCGTGACTATGCTGAGGGTTTGATGATCCTTCGATATAGTACGTCCACATATTATGCCTAAAATTTTTGATGGGATCTCCACACCCTTGATGGGTGCAGACCATATTCTGCTTCTGCTTTTCTTTGTTCTTTTTTTCCCTTTTTTTTTTTTTTTTTGGGGGGGGGGGGGGGGGGGTCCTTGGATTATTTTCTTTTGTGGATCTTCAAGCTTCCTTTTTCACGTCCGTTTTCTGGTTTCAATAAAATTTGCTTGATTTTCTTTCACATCGCCCGAGGCGAGAAACAACTGCATTGGATGGCATTGCTTACAAACAATTTGCGTGATCAACCTGGATGTTGGCGAGTGCATTCGAGCGGGCGCAAAAAAATAAAGGGATATGTCTGTTTCGCTCTCTCTTTTTTTTTTTTTTTTTTTCCCTATTTGCGCTTCTTCGGGTGATATTTTTTCTCGTTTTGGGGTATTCTTCTATACCTGAGCCCACTAGGACGGCGGTCGCTGGGCTGGCCTGCCCGATCCTTGGACTGGCGTTGTTGGCATTAATTGTTCTGATTTGCTTGCGTGTGGACTCCTTTAGACAAACGATATCACGGCTCTAACGTGGGATTGTGCCGGGCGACCGAGAGCGAGACTCTCCATTCACTGCTAGAAGGCCTGGGCATCTCTGCGCTTGTGTATGGTGTACCGCCATAGACTGTGTATAGTATTATTATTGAAATGGGAATGGAGTATAACCGAAACCAAAATCAAGTACACGGAATTAGACAGGAGGAAATGCTTGAGTTCCGACGGACGCTGGCTGAAGATCGGTTCTATTTATCAATCACGGTGGAGCTGGCTTCGTGCCGATAAATATGGTCTGATGTAACCTTATGCTGCTTTCGTATCCTGCATAGCTAGTTACCTCGATTTCGCCTGGCGAATTCTTCGGGACTATCTATGCACAAGATACAGGCATTACTCGTCAGGGGAGCGTACGGACTGTCCCTCCACCTGCAGATTGTTTTATCCTGTTGAAGAACTTCTACAAAGCCGGTTCTAATACGACGGATGTCCGATGTAGGTCCTACTCATGTTGACCCCTGTACTGGCGCGCTGCATGTCTCGGATATGGTTTCCCCTGCCGTGTTCCTTCCATCTGTAAGGAACCAAATGCAGGAGACGAAATAAGTACAGGAAAACGTGATCAGGGCAAGGCGAGTCACAACCCAGCCCTAGACACCTCAGCCAGCAAGGCACCAAGACACTACTCTTTGCGCACGTGGTCACGGCCGGCCTATCACAGCTGGCCATTCATTCTTGTGCAACAATACTATTCTTGCTTACTCTTAAGAATCTTATGGAGTACAGCGGCAGTACGACACATAATACCGGACAACATCATTCCGCTTCTGCCCAAACTGAACCCCTTCCGTCATGTTTCGATCCCGCCTTTCTCCTGCAGAAAAGGGCCCATCACTCCCCCCCTGTCGTATTAGCACTGCGAGCTTACGTCCGTTCCCATTGCGACACGGTCACTGCGGAGTACGTAAGCTATCAGCCCGCGCTTTCCTGCTGTGATGATCGACAGGGCGACGCCCTTTTTGAGAAGGTGCGGATGAAGGCCCGAGGTCTATATAAGGACGTCCGAGTCCTCCATACGGCTCGTCAGGTGGTAAACAAGAAAATCATCATTGTAGGCATCATGGGTGTTACCATTGCGCTGCTATTGTGGATATCGTACTTTTTACTCAGGTGAGCTAACCAGCTTGATGGCACTGGATTGGCCGAGCTGTGCGGTCACAGATATTGACAGATGCTGTGTAGGGCCTCCGGTTCGCCGGTGCTCGATCGACCACGAGACGTTTGCAGTACCGTCGACCAAGGATATCTGTGCTTCGCCCCGGATTCTCATCTGTGGGGTCAATACTCTCCCTATTTCTCGCTGGCGAACCAGTCTTCTGTTCCTCAGAATATTCCGGGAAATTGTCGCATCACTTTTGCCCAGGTGCTCTCGCGTCATGGAGCACGGTATCCTACAGGGTCGAAGTCAGATAAATATGCGCGGCTCATATCGGGAATCAAGCAAAATACTACCTCTTTCAGAGGGAAATATGCGTTTCTCAACGATTACACTTACGCCTTGGGCAAGGATAATTTGACCGCTTTCGGTGAGTATCAACTGGTAGATTCGGGTATCAAGTTCTACCGTCGGTACGAGTCGCTCGCTAGGACGAATGTCCCTTTCATCCGGGCGTCGGGATCAAATAGGGTTATAGCCTCTGGGGAGAAGTTCATCAAGGGGTTTCAGAAGACGAAGCTAGATGATCCCCAGTCGATACCAAATCAGACAGCCCCTGTAATCAGTGTAATCTTCCCAGAGAAAGATGGCTTCAACAACACCTTGGACCATGGTGGCTGTACGAAATTCGAAGGCAGCACACTGGGTCACGATGCAAAGGCCACGTTTAGGGACGTGTTTACGCCTACAATCCGTCGGCGACTGGAGGAAGGCCTTCCGGGAGCTAAGCTGTCGAATAAGGACGTCGTCAGCCTCATGGACTTGTGTTCCTATGAAACGGTGGCGGCGACTCCAGACGGCAGTGAGCTATCGCCATTCTGTGCTTTGTTCAGCCATAAGGAGTGGGAACAGTATGATTACCTCCAATCTCTGGACAAGTACTATGGATACGGCGCCGGAAATCCTCTTGGGCCCACCCAGGGGATTGGCTTCGCCAATGAACTGATTGCGCGCCTGACCAAAAGTCCAGTGCATGATGACACGAGTACCAATCACACTCTTGACTCGCGTCCGGATACGTTTCCCGTGGATTCTGCCCTCTATGCGGACTTTTCGCACGACAGTCTGATGGTATCTGTGTTTTTTGCCCTGGGACTCTACAATGGCACCAAGCCTTTGTCAAAGACATCGGTGGAAAGCACTCAGGAGACGGATGGGTACGCTTCAGCCTGGCTGGTTCCATTTGCCGCCCGGGCGTATATCGAGAAAATGCAGTGCAGCGGTGAAAAAGACCCTCTGGTCAGGGTGCTGGTTAACGACCGGGTTGTACCTTTACACGGCTGCAGCACTGATCAGTTTGGTCGATGCAAACTAGATGATTTCATCCAAGGCCTGAGCTTTGTACGCTCTGGTGGTAATTGGGGAGATTGTTTTACTTGACCAGTCTATGATGGAAGCATGATATTGCACATGTTTATGGTTACTGTATTTTATCCTTCTTTCCTGCTCCTAAGTGTGCCAGTCGTGCGTCGTTGCAATCAGAATGGGATACATATTAAGGGTGAGATGGAATTGAGGTAGGATGCCAGAAAGTCAGATTAGTAGAATGTAGTAGAAGCAGATGGAATCGGTCAGTATGAATACATGCAAAAGACATATAGTACAGTTTGGATATGAAGACATTTTAATTCTCATCTTTACTCTCCGACGAAGTTGAATTCGTGACCAACTTTCTGGGATTTTTATTCCCATACGCTAAGAAATTAGCATTCAGGAAGCTGGGGAAAGACAAAGAGGGAGAGAGAACATACTCCTTTCATAAAGCATATAAGAAGTATACATCAAAATCGGCAACGCCACAATTGTCGATAGCCATCTAGCACAGCAAAGCATTAGCACCTTTCTTTCCTTTAACTAGGTTAAGAGGTTATCTTAATCCCGGTTCTCTGGAAATAGAATATCTTATCCGTATATCCTTCAATAGAGTAGATACAAGAGAGAGAGAGAGAGAGAAATACCGTCGCGCAGCAACTTTATACTCCTTCGTCTGGCGAATATCCTGAGGCTGCATGGGACGACTCGGACCGGAACGACGGTGAAGACGAGGTTGTGTTTGGGGATTGGGAATGACGCGGGGTTTGTTCTGTGTCATTTTTTCGATTTCTTTTATTTTTCACCTCTTTATTGTTATTATTTAATTGGAGAGTTCATAGGCAGTTTGATCGACTGAAGTACGGAAGAACTACCTAGGTATTGTGGATGGATGAAGATGGGAAAGTTAAATCAGGTGTAGTTTTTGGGTTCGATGCCTTAGTGCCTTAATTTTTTTTATTTTTTTTTCTATCTCTTTCTATCAACCATCATGTTTCTATGACTTCTATAAATATTTTCATTAGATTATATGATAGTGAACATACTGGACGAGTATCTAATTTATCCCCAGCCAGGATAGCTGGACATCATACATAGCATAAGAATTTATGTATAATATTTACGAGAAACAGAGAGATGAGGTAACATTCTTAGATAGGTAGCACCGTCGGCAAATAGGTAGACCCGCTCATACACGCACAGTTGTATGTAATGCATAGCTTGTCTGATCCGATTGAGCAAATCCCAAATGGACAGACATAAGACAGAAATGACGCAGAAGTACAGTTAAAAGATAAAAAAAAAGAAAAGAAGATTGGTACATACAGTTAGAAATGAAGATAATAAATAAAATACAATTAGTTCATTGTTCGTCTCGGTCCCTCGACCATCCTGTCACATATGGGATGAATATGCCTGCGTTCTCTGATCCCAGTCCTCACGGGGTCATGATCTTGATAGGATCAGGAGGCACCGATCTATTCAACTGATATCTCCACGGAAGGTGCCAAAGGGCCCATCACGATAATCAGGAACTGATCAGGGTGCACACAGTTCTTGAGATTGATCCACCCATTGTGAATGGTGCATGACCCACGTCTCATTAATCCCAGGGAGCTCCGAGATATACTCGGCCCAGCGCCGGTTGATTATCGCGTCAAGGGCAAAGAGGACGAACTATCGAAAACAGAGTAAACCGAAACGTAAACAGCAGGTTCGCAACTCGAAGATCAATTCTGCGGATCAGATGCCGAAAAAAGATAAAACCGACCGTAAAAAGTTACATGAGTTCAACGCCAATGAATCATACCGGACCAAAGTCTTTCAGTGGGTTCGCTATGCTTAAAGAATAACCGATGACCGTCCTAACGCCGTGTTTAACGTCATTGTAAATAGAATATGGTGAGGGTAGTGACGCATGTCACGAATGCAGATTGATGTTTTGGAAACCAAATGTCGATTTCACAGTTGCTATGATGAGAATCACAGGGAAGGAAAGAAGAGATGAATATCAATGTTAGAATGCCAGATTAGGTCTTATTGCCCGGTTGGTCCACATGATCAGCTTCGTTAGGCTTCTTGGGGGGCGTATTACCCTTCTTGCGCGCATTGGCACGACGGGCCCTTTCCTGAGCATGAGTTTCGAATTCCGCCATCAAGGCTGCTGCTGCGCGACGACGCGGACGTCCCCCAGGCGTGGGAGTCATGGTCATGCCCGTGCCAGCTGCGGCGGAAGTGTCGGGGGTAACAACGGCTTCTGTTTTCTCTTCTCTCTTTTGCTCCCTAGAATCTTTCTTGGGAGTATTTTGCGTGAGGGTGAATTTGCCCGGAGAGTCAGAGCTGCGTGTGAAAGAGAGTTTGAGACTCTTGGGGGATTTCTCGCTGGACTGGGATTTATTTGCCTCATGCTCAGCATGCTGACGCTTTTGTAAATTGGTCGCCTTAGCTGGAGCACTACTAATCTCGGTCGTAGAGTGAGCGTGAGGTTTCGACTTGTTCACCTTGGCTAGCTGGCCACTGTTGGCCTTGATCTTCATATGAGAGGACTTCTTCGATTTATCCGTCTTGGTTGGCTGATTTGCCTCGGTCTCAGAATGAGCGGTCTTCTTCGCTTTGTGAGATTTCTCCAGCTGAACATCAGCTTCGACTTCGGAATGAGGACGTTTCTTCAACGTGCTAGTCTTGGGAAGAGCCTCCTTTTTCTTATCCTTCTCGGACTGGGCTTGGGTGCTCTTTCTGGACCTCCTGGATTTGGTCTCGTCCTCTTTCGTCGCTGTCTGTTTCTCCTTTTCGGTTTGCTTCTGTTTTTTCTTTTCCTCGTCCCTATTAGTGAGGTACAGCTTGAGCATTATAGGCGAGCGCTCCTGAGGGGGACGCCTTTCACCATCCTCGGTTTCGTTGGGATCTGCCGTTTCGCCAGATTCTTTGGCTTCACCAGATCCCGCGGTATTTGAAGAGTCTGCCACCGACGCACCTGCCATGTATTTACGGCGTCTTTTGCGTTTGTGGGCTGTGTCCGTTGACTCGGTGGCTGAATTCTGTGTAGTTTTGGTTTGAGGAGTATCATCGACAAGTCTTCTCTTACGTGAACTTCTAGTTACTTTGGTGTTCTCTCTTGGATACACAGATGTAGGAGGACCATTGGAAGGCAGCGAAGTGCCGGCGATGTCGTGCTGGCGTATCAATGTCTTAATCTCAGCACAAGACATCGAGCGGTCAAACACAAGGCCCCTCTGGCGAGCTTCCTCACGAGCCTTGATTTTGGCCTTCTCTTCGTCGACATTCTCAAGGGTGAAAGGGAGATACGTCTTGCGAGGTAGATTGCGTTCTCCCATGCGCGGAGGGAAGCCAAAGATACGGTCCTTTTCGAGCTGCTCGCGGGACTTGAGTCGCACGGGTGGCAAGGGAAGCTGATCGTCACCATAAGTATTGTTGGGACGGTACCACTCGTAGTCCGAAGAGATCACGATGCACTCTTCCCCGAACTTATTCACTTGACCTGTGTGCAGCCAGCCATCCTTGTCAGTCCACGGCTTGGAGGGTTGCGCGCTACCTAAAAAAGATGACTTGTTCGAGGGTTGCATACTTTCTCCCCCGGACCTGGCTTTCCCCGACGTGGTTTGAGCCGTCTTCCTCTGCTCAAACTCTTTTTGCAGTTCCTCGAGCCATCTTTCAGCTTCAGGCGACGGCTCAAATCCTGGAGCCAAGGCAGCTGCGGTCAGCTCAATGAGCCGGCTAGCGATGGCCGCGACATCCGAAGTCGGGGCTGCCTGCAACGTTGGTCCATTCTGTGTCGGAACCGATGTTGGCGGCGTCTCTTTTCTATGCCCACCGTTCACTTTGTTGCTGTCACGACCCTCCCCAGCGGGTGCATCCACCTTCGCGGGGGTCTTTGTTCGGGCACGACGGTATCGTCGCTCAGATTCGAAAGATTCCAAGGCCCGAATCGTGGGCTTGCGAGTCCGTCCTGATGCCCGTGCTGCGGTGGAAGTGCTCGTTGCGAAGCTTGTAGGAGATGCAGGGGTGTCAATTTGGCCGTCAAGACCAAAGTTATTTCTATACATGTCGGTGTCATAATCAAAGTGAAAATTGTCCCCATAGACATGGAGAGGAGTCGCTTCGACGCTGTCCGCAATCTCACGGTCATAAGACATCGTGTCGAGAGTGGCCGGAAGTACTGACTCCAATGCTTTACGACCCACGCTTAGAGTGATGGTATTGCTCAGCCGGTTGGGTCGCGACCTTTTCTTACTAGAGTTATCGACGACCGAGTATTTGGAGTCTACTTCCATGTTGTCCTCCGAGATGGCCCGGTCCTGCCCTGGATTTGCGAGATCGGGCGCTGACTTACGACTGCGACGAGTTCTTGAACTGGGGGCGGCACGTGACTGTGGCGTAACGGAATTCGAAATGTCTTCTTTGCTGCTCACTTGGGGCTCCTTGTCAGCTTTCGCAGCGGGCGTGCGCTGGGGTCGCATGCGAGGAGTCGGTTTAGAGGTCTTCTTCTCACTCGGTTGGACGCTACTGTCCTTGGATTTACGATCGCGACCAGATGGTTGTGGGGTAGAGACGCGAGGAGTGGTCACTGGAGGCTTGGTGGCACTCGTCTCAAGGCTTGCAGAGCCGTTCATCTTCACTGGCATAGACTTGCGGGTCTTTCGACCGCCAGAGTGAGGGGTTTCGCTGGCAGGTGTACCGGGACCGGGTTTGTCGTTCTTTTCAGTCAACTCAGCTTGTGTAGCCAGTGACTTTCGTCGACCCAGAGGTTTTTTCAGCAGGAAAGTATGTAGAGTAGACTGTGTCTGTTTAGAATGTTAGTCCTTGCTACTAGGAGATGGATAGGACTGTTCAGTCATCATTAGAGCCAACTCACCTGGCCAGATTCCCCGTTCTGCTTATCGGGGTTTCGACTACGATGACTCTTCTGGGATGAGCTGTCGGGTATTCGAGCTGAGCTAAGAGTCCCTATTTGTTGCGAAGTTTCGATAGATCCTTTGATCCGTAGTGGCCTGTCGTCGTGAGACTCAGAGCCTGGTCTCCTGCGATGTTTCGCCGACAACAGGGACTCTTCAAAAGTAGTAGTGACAGGGGTCACAGGTAGAGAATATGAGGAACGAGCTAAAGCAGAAGGTTGAGTTTCAGGTTCACGAGTTGTTCTGCGAGAAGCACGAGAGGAACTGCGTCGGGTATGATTCTGAGAGAGTTAGGTATGGGGAAGAGAAGAGGAGAAGGAAAGGAACATACTGAGGATAACTCGAAGAGAGAGGGGGCGGGGGACCCCAGTTCCTGGGTAACAGATGCTCTGCCAACCACTAGACTGTGTATTAGCATTAAAGTCCAGTGAATGAGGCTTAAAAACGCAACCCTATATATCGAGCCCTAAGCAACCCCCAGGCTCAAACATAGGGCGCAAAGCCTTCTACCTTACTTTTTTTCCCTTGCATGTGATTGCTATAGATCACGTCTTTGAGCTCTTTCGCTGAAGGTGACTATCGTAGAAACACAGTATCAAGTGGCTATTGACCCCTCCAACTGCGAGTATATGGATCAATTGGAATAGGGAGCAAGAGACCTCTTCTCACACGGCCTTTTCCACTGATCTCTCTTACGTTCCAGTATATTGAGGTGAATGACGCTGGATTCGCCGGGTAATCACTGTCTGGAAAAGTCCACCGTTAGCCCGTGAAACAAACTGGATAGAAGACACTGAGAGCGAGGGCAAAACACGAGGTGCAACTCCTGGCGAATGCGGAGGCTCTGGGTAGATCAAGACCGTGACAAAACTACAAACTGAGTTGTAGTTACCTACCGTAAGCTCCTATGTTGAGTGGCAATCGCAACCAGAACAGCCGAAAACCAAGCGTTGGGGAACAAATCACAGCGTGACCAGTCGGTAAATCGGAGGCGAAGGAGAAGCAACGTCAAGACAAACTGCAGGCGCAGGAGGGCTCTCCGAGGGCTCCTAGGGCTAGAACAACGGGGTGGAGGGCATTTTGCGAGGATACGGGAGCGACTATACAGTCGATCGCGGATATGACAGAGCGTCGTAGTGAATAGGAGAGCCGACAAAGCCGGTCGAGGAGCGAGGAGCGAGGAAGAATTGTTTGGCAGGTCGACTTTGAAGATGCCGGGAAATTAGGGCTTGCAAAGGCGGGCGGTCGGTCACTGGACCGCCGATGCCCCAAAGCCGCGGGCGCTTATCTTAGCGCTTCTTCCGTCTTTTGCCTCCCAAACGGTCGGTCGGTGGTTCCTACTGCTCGTCGTCGCTATTGTCTGCGCGAGTCCCCCACTAAGTTCTATCGTCTGTCTTTTGCCATCAAGATGCAGCTCTGGCATACATTTCTCCAGCTGGGGCTACTGGCTTCGGCTGCTATTCCGACCAGCGCAGCCTCTGTCTGGGGATTTACTGATGCCACCGTGTCAGTTCACACAAAAGGCGCTGGAGTTGGTTCGGGTTCGAAGGAACAGTATGTGGGATCAGCGATGATGGAATAATCTTTCACTTTGTTCGTTTCGTGGAGCTAATTCTTAATCCAATTGCAATTGATAGGATCCCTGACAACAAGGCCCTTTCCAAACCCGTCTCGCTCGGCAGCGCGGATACCCTTAAAGTGAGCCTGATAACGCAAGAAGGCCGCTCCGCAAAACGCGCCCACCAGGTGTTCTTGCTACTTCAAGACCCGAATACTGGTTTGGATATTTCGTATCCTTTCAGTGTGAAAGATAATGGCAAATCCAGGGTGGAATTGGTAAGTAGAGGAGAGATTGTTTATAGTCACTCTAACGTGGCCTTAGACACAAAAAGACCTTCCCGTCCAATTCCTCTCTGTCTCGGAGCCCCTCGACGCCAGGTTCCTTGTTGGCTCGTTTGGAGACTCTCAAGCATACAACGGAGCCGCGTTCAAGCTCTTGGTCACCCGGGACCCTGATGTGCCTGTCCCCAAGGTCGAGGTCTCGCGGTTCGGAAAGCTTCCCGAGATCCATCATATCTTCAAGAGCGATCCGCGGAGTCCCCCTGTTGTGATTACTTTGGCCTTTGTTGGAATGGTCCTTGCTGCTCTTCCTCTTCTGGCCGGCGTGGTGAGTCTTGTCTTGTTCTCTGGGTGGCTTAAGCTCGACCTAATTGCCATCTCTCAGTGGTTTCTCCTTGGTGCCAACGTGTATCATCTACCCACCGCTCTTAAGTCGGCTCCCATCCCTCATGCCGTGTTCCTCGGGTCACTTCTCTCGCTCGAAGGCATCTTCTTCTTGTACTATACCTCCTGGACCCTGTTCCAGATCCTTCCGGCCGTCGCCGCTGTTGGTACGGTCGCATTCATCAGCGGTAGTCGCGCCCTGGGCGAAGTGCAAGGTCGGCGCCTTGCAGGGCTTAGGTAGATTAGCCCGTACTGGATTTACTGGCAGTTTCTTTAGCGGTGACTTGTTTATACTGTCTATGATTGAGTTACTTGTACGGGTCCATGTCTGCATAAGCATAGAACAGATGTAGCAGATCAATAAAACACTGAGCTTCTGTATGAGTGCCATTATCGTAAGATTAATTCGCGCACTTAAACTAACAAATCCCCTCATGTTGTAAGCAACAGACGCATCTGACAACTTGACGTCACCAGCGCGGCTACGGGGACACCGATTCGGCTAGTGCGGTGGCATTTCTGCAGAAGACAGAGCTTCAGAATCCAGCAACCCAGACCACTAGGCCAGTCTTCACGCCGCCTCTCTTCATCAGTTATCACCCCCAACAGAAACCCATGGGCTCTTCAGCTTCAAAGCCCGTGAGGTCAGCCGCTCAAGCTGCCTCACGACGTCAGTATCCGAAACAGCCTTCCCCTTCCACTTCCGCCTCCGCTCCATCGTCCGCTCCATCGTCCGCTCCATCACCACCCAAAGTCCCTAGGGAGCCCAAGGCGAGTTCCCCAGGGCCTACATATCACTCGAAGGAGCAACCGTCTACGGTGAAAACTAGCGGTATGTACATGTTCCTGATTTCAACAGGGAAGAAACAACAAGATAAAGCAAAACACTCGCTCCAGACATCTTTGCTAACTCTAGATTCAACTCCAATAGCTATTGATTTCGACGGCCGAGATCCTGATTTTGCCGCCTCCCTCCGCAGCATTGGACCTGTCAATCCTGTCCCGACATACTCTCACTCGAGCACATTTTCCGCCCAGCCCTCTCAGCACAAGCCAGGACAGACGGGGTTCTCCCCGGCGTCCAATCCGGCTCTGTTAATATACAGTTCTCGCGACCAGATATCAAAGGCAGCGAATCATGAGCTGGAGAATCTCGGACGGTCGAGTTTCGCGGGACGAGAGTTCCTCGACGCTGTGACGATTCGACAGGCGCTGACAATGCGGGATCGACAGGGTCTGCAGCCGGGGGAAATTGAGAGGCTTCTACGGTTGAAGAAAGGTGTGATGGGTCGATTGGGGAGACCCGGGGTTGTGTCGGAGATTGGATAGATGAGTAGGCTATGGCTGATTTCCTGTACAATAGTTGTATATAAGCGATGACTGCAATGTAGACATTCAGCGGTATATCAAGAATCCACCGTGGTTCTGAGCAGATATGAAGTGGACAAGGGTCAAGTGATGTTGTGATACCCTAACGGCATGAGAAGGGAATACAGGTGGGTCTCTTTTGGCTTCTAAGTTCTGAGATTCAATCCAGCCACCTTTTGTTGGGCCTTTGTCTCATGATTCGTGGATATAAAACTTGCCATATCTCGACTTGACAGAATACTGGCTATTGGTACAATAGCAACAATGATGGTTATTCAAACCAGATGATTAACAATCTTCTACTGTGCGCACTGTGCTGGGACCACCCTGCCGAACTAGAGGACTGCATATACGAGTCGCCTTGGCTGTGACCGTCCAAATCTAATCTCATCCATCAAGATCGTTACTCCTTTGCCGTAGCAATCATCCTAAACAATCTTTTACGGCTGCGTGAAAACTGGAGGGGTGTCAAATAATCCCACAAAGCGGAGGTGGATACTGGTGGCTTAGCCTAATTATTTACGTCCGTATCTAAAGACAGTGAAGGCTAATGGGGCAGAAGAGTAGTGACCCAATGAACAACTAGTAAAGGGGCTGATTCCAGGTGACTCTAGTCGAATATGAGATCAAAAGGGAAAGCCTGCAGCATATCCATATGGTTTTTTGGCCAAATCCCAATACCGCATTGGCCACATGCCAATTTCCAATACATCTACCCTGCATAGATTAATTCACATGGGTGTCACAAGGGAAAATAAAAATACAGTAAAATGCAGCAGTTTATTATCTTTGACTGGCCAGTCAAAGACTTAAATCCCTGCCTGAAGGCAAATTAGCGCCCAGAGTATGCAGGAATCAAAATGTGAATATTGACATTCCAGGGGATACCACTTTGGCATACCCCTCTTGCCCCAGGGCATACCTAATAGACACAGCGTCCGGTATATCGACGACAACGCACAGGAGGCACTAGTATTGTGTCGTAGGCTAGGGTCAGATGGACGATGCAGTTCAGGTTATGGTTCCCAATAGGAACTATCCGACAACCTCTTCCGTATATTCATTCACTTGGAATCTTTCTTTCGGGTACTATCCGACGCCATATAGAAACGCGATCTAGAACAACACCATTGGCGTCTATTCCCGTTGCATGCGTGCGAATCGGCTGCCAATATGCCACTCTGGCAAAACCGTTTCTATTGGAATCTCGCCTCAAGTTAGGGCTCTCCATGCCTGAGTGACTGAGGTACTCCAAGTAAAGTTCAGATGACACCCCCCATGGAGGGCCTAATTCCGAGGCATCTTTGTGTCTTGGATATTCGAGGCAGACTAAGTGGCCATTAAAGGCAAGAAGCTGAGTCTGTCGCAAGGCCCATCTGGATCGAAGAGAAGGATTTAACGCGCAGAAGAACTGTTGGATCTGTGAGCACCACAGCTCCTGTCCAAATGATCATTGGAATACAAGGAAGTGCCCTTACCAAGTGATCGTATACCAGATCAAACGCATTTTGTTGAAGGCCCAGTTTCTCTAACCAAGCATCATCAAAGAAATCACCTTGTATGAATGTGATGCTGCCTCTCCCAACACTAGGGTCTCTGATGGGATACGTGGCTTTTGTTCCGGCCTCTTCCGCATTGCATGCCTCGATTGCTGAATGGCTACATTCCAATCCATACGCATCATAACCGAAGCTGGCTAGAAGAAGAACATCTACTCCTCGACCACAGCCAGGGACCAGAGCTCTTCTTCTGTGCCGATTACCATTCCCATCCTTGAATGTTGGCGCACCGAGAATGGACTGTCGCTCTGTTAGAGTGTCCTCCAGTGCCGGGTTTGGGAATCCTTTATCCCAATTCAGGCAGTCACCTCGATCCCACAATTTCGCCCATCCTTCTACATAGGTATTGCCTTTATACTGGGCAAGAAACCTGGGAACGGATTCACGTGGATCAACCATGTTGAAAGAATTTTTGTTTTATGGCTTTCCTCTCTGCTATCGAGGCCCCGCGGCTTTTTTAGTAAAGGTGGCTGAGAAAGAGCGAAAGTTTATAGCAGGACAACAAACGCCGCTGATTTCTCCACGTCACCAACTCTCAGCGTGCATTATGCAAGACCGAACACCCATGGCACTAAACTTGAAACACAGCCCCGACCTACCGCTAATCTTTGGTTCTAGTCTGGAGGTTACAGCTCTGCTCTAAACGACAAGTTGGTGATTTGTTGAAGACGGCTGGTCCCCCATCTGGCGGTCAAACGACTCCATCGACTCCACTGTGACTGCATTCCATCGTTAGTTGGAAGAGCCGTCTCTTAAAATCCGTGTACAGAAAGCCATACTTGCAAGGTTAGATACGGATTACTTGTATCTATACCCTCAGTCGTGATCATGTCTTGTTTGGCGTGCGTGACGCTGGCTTTCACGTTTCCCGTTATAGCAATCGCCGTGCTTGCCATTTACCGGCGATGGCTGCATCCACTGGCTTCAATACCAGGTCCATTCCTGGCCTCTGTAAGTAACTGGCACCAAGGCTGGCGATTTATGCAAGGCGGGTCTCAAGAATATTATCTCCGTCTGCATAGCAAATATGGTATAAACTTCGAAAATGTGTAAAATCGAGGACCAAAAGGTTGCGATTTGCTAAAGGGATGCAATGGTAACTTGACTTGGACAGGGCCTGTGGTTCGCTATGGACCGGACTCTGTGATGATTAACGATCCTTATTTCCTTCCTAATATCTTTCATCGTCGCGCGGAGAAGACCTCTTTCTACGCTAACAACCCCGGACTATTTGGCGTTCAGAAATATCAGGATCTGTTGAACATCAAGCATGGCCTGGCTGCTGCGGTGAGTAATAACCGGTGTGTAGGGCATTCCACGGTCGGACCTGATTATCCTCCGCAGTTTTCTATGGCATCTATCAAGACCTACGAGCCGCAGGTAGACAGATGTCTACTAGTATTACTTGATGCGTTGAAGAACAATCCGATATCTATCCCTCTGGACGAATGGATACGGTATGTTAGTGAGGCTCTACGCTCTAATTCACCACCGTCAACCGCATATGACTGATAAAACGACATACAAGATGGTTCACATACGATGTCGTTGGCCGTATTCTATTTGGGGAGCCAATTGGGTTCCTGGAGAAGAGAAAAGACGTCCATGGTTTGGTTGCCGCAACCTCGCAGACTTTCGATACGATAGACTATCTAGCTCGTGTCCCAAAGCTGTCCTGGTTCTACCGGGAGACTTACCTCGGCCGCAAGCTCTTCCAGCAACAGTCTGAGTACCAAAAGGGGATACAAATTCTACAGACTGTAATGCAGAGCTCTGTTCTGGAGACTTCCAACATCATGGACTCTTTGCTAATGGATGTCATAGGTACTTGAGAACCAATACGACCGTTACCAGAGAGGGGCCGATTCAATCCCCGGAAAACCCCAGACAATGTTCGAACGGTATGTAGGCCCTCCTGCCCTGATGTCAAATTAAAATCCTGTCCCTAACACAGGCATCAGTCTCATATCCTCCAAATACGCGGATGGCACCTTCCTCACCGCGCATGACGTTAAGGGTGAAGCTATGCAAACAATGTACGGGAATATCTCCAACTAGACATCAACTTCAATAACGTGAGAGCAGGATGGCAGGTTCTGCAACAATTGCTTCAGCAACAATCCGACTGTTCAACAACCTCATCCAACACCCCCAAGTCCTCTGTAAGCTGCGACGTGAAGTTGACCAATTCTGCTCAACCCAAACAACCCATCCCATCCTCTTCGAACAAGCACATGCCCTTCCCTACACAAACGCCTGTATCAGAGAATCGTTTCGCCTAACTCCAACCATTCCCTTATTCCCGCGCAAAGCCGCAAGCGGCGGATTCACATACAATGGGATATATGTCCCAGAAGGGACGGCAGTGGCGTCCAGTCCATGGATCACGATGAAAAACACAGGGCTCTACGGGAACGATGCGGCTGCCTATCGCCCGGAGAGGTGGCTAGAAGCTTCGCCCGAGACGATAAAGCAGTGGGATCGTTACGAGTTTCACTGGGGGTACGGGAATCGATTGTGTACCGGTAGACATCTTTCCGTGATGGAAATCTATAAGCTTACGTTTGAGGTAAGTTATCTATTTTATTGAGTGAAGCTGATTATCCATCAGTGAAACCCTTTGGCTAATACTCGTCAACATCTTAGCTAATTGCGCTTTTTGACTTCTCTTTGGCAAATGATGGGTCGAACAGAGTACGGATAAGAGAGAGAAGGTAGAGATTCACGGGATAATGTTCACTCATCGCCCTATTGCCCAATACCAATGCCTGTGAAGGATAACGAACGTGTGCTATACAACGTAGCGGTCATAACAAGCCAGTGTAGGCGTACCGAGAGAAGAAAAAGAAGACATATATTTTGTGGATCTAAACAATGGGCTTAATAAAAAATTGGATAGAAGTATATACCAACATAGCGATGGGGTATTACGACGTTCTACATACTGAGAAGAACTCACACAATATAATGAAAGGCAATAGAGTGTAAGTGTCTTGATAATGAGGATAGGCTATGTCCAAAAAGGAATCATTGGAGAAAAGAAAGACTCGATGTCCTTTGCCATTCGGTGTCCGGATACGTTAATAGGAAAGGTATAACCCTTTATAGTAGACACCGTACTTTGATGATCAATTTTGAACTTTCACCAGCCCAGCCCTAGTTTTAGTCCATTCTGAACGTTAATCCACTCCCACGACCAATAAAGGACGGGTCTTTTAGGTCTCTAAGTCTACCAGATTGCACATGCTTGGAGTCCTCTGATTCCCTCCGGGTAGGAACCCCCGGCCTATTCCATAGATTGATGAATACATATCATATTAACATCAAACCTGTCCTGATCCTCGACTGACACATGGTACCCTTGTTAGTCAAAGTACTCAGCAGTAATGAACTAGAGAGCGTCTATATTACTTAGTGTCGATTATCCCATGTGCCGATGAACTGGAGCTTCGACGGAGCTCCGGACTACTTCCTAGTGCCTACCTACTCCGAACGCAATGGCCGTGATGTATAGTTTATTTAGTAATTGGTTCTGGGAGAGAGTCGGCCCCCAAAAATCTCATACCTTGGACCGTTCTCGTCTGCTGCTCCCCTCCTTTTCTTTTCCTTTCTTTTATTGTTTTCGCTTTGGGGCCTGTTTTCTACCTGTGGATAGATAGTATCAAAATGACGAGAGCAGCACGGTCCCAGACCAGTCTCATCTACGCAGTCAATATGGACTCCGTGCAAGCAGCGACAACCACACATCCTCCCTGGTTCAATGGATATTATATCACTACCAAGGAGGCGTTACGCAGAGTCAGTCCCATCTCTATCTTCGCACTACTTTACGAACTAACACGTATACTCGGTTAGCGGAAACAATCAGCTGTGAAAAGACATCTACGTTCGTATTTTCGAATTCGTACGTCAACTGCTGCGGAACTCATATCCAGGAATGTTCCGGGCCAACGACCTGTCCCAACCACACGGTGTACTTGAATAATGGCTAGTATTATAGATGGTAAATTTTACCCCACCGTTCTGCCGTGACAGAGATTGTGATACTTTTATAGTGGTACAGAAAGCGAATGCGCCACCATGACCGTCTACGAAACGTATCATTTCGGCGAACTATCGTAAAGAACGTCTTCTGCTAGCCCAACTGGGAAGCACACACCGTCTACCGAAGCCTCCCCAGCAAAACCACCAGCATCACGGTGCTGGCCGCAACGTCGACCAAAACATCTCGCACCGCGTCCGCCGGATCCACAGCCAAACAAGCCACCGTTAGCAGCACCAGCACGGGCACAGGGGCAGCAGAGAAGCACAACCCGACACCAGAGTATCATTCGAGTATCATCCGAACTATCGAATCAACCCACGAGCCGGGGCTGGATTGCCGGCACTGTCGTAGGATCCATCTGTGGCATTGGTCTCGGTGAGTTCGGTATGTGCGTTGGATATCGCAAGATGAGTAAAGCTCGTGCAGTGCAGGCCGAAGCGGCTGTTCCGCCGCATGTGCAGACATCGTGTTTTCGTCAACCACATCCTCAGGAGGCTTACTCGCGGAATATGTTTCTTCAGATGCGTGTGGAGTTGGATTCGTCCGCTCTTCATCGGAAACCTTAATTTCCTGTGTTCGTCTTTCTACCGTTTAGGTGATATCGAACTGGAGATTATCAACGGCAGCAGCATCATACAGGGCAGGGTCTCCTGCAGGAACTGATGATAAATAATGATGATGCTTGCTGGGGTTCAAACATTCGAGGCCCTTTTCTGTGGGAACTATACTGTACCCGCTGAGGAGACTCACATGTCTCTTGCGGTCGTCATGAAAATTGCATATCTGCGCTAATGGCTGAGGTGCCCGCGCAAGGAGTTTATGATTGCATGTATATGCGTTGTACAAGTATTTACACGGGGCTTGAGGTACTGGTTATACGACGTTTTTTGTTGCATATTGCATATTGCTGTTCAGTTAGCTGATACCAAATAGTACCAATGTATTGGTCCAATATAATATACAGAACTGGAGTATACAGTTCAAATCCGAGATATACCTACGAAGACTTGGAAATAAAAGCCGTCAACCGTATTCCGTCTACCAATACACAACCCAATCACTTACTGTATCCAATCCACTCGAGAATTTCATCTCCACGAGGACATCCCAACTTACTCTCACGACTACCAATTCGGCAACCGAGTCAAGGCATCAATCCTCCAATAGCCACCCTTATCAAAGAGTTCATAATAATGCCAAAAACCAGGTTAGGAAACCCGGGACGGATTACTCAATAAGACCCAGACGATGATCACGCGCTGTCAGGCTGGATCTTCGCTTGAAGGCGAAAACAAGGTGACCTCGTGAAATCAACTGGTGATAATATCACGGACAAGTGATATGGGAGCAGCACCGATAGATTTGTTTTGGGGCCATATCACCGAAACACAGGCCAAGGACTTCTGATGATTGGACGAGAATAATTTTAATTTGAAGTCCTAGTGATGTACGAAACCTATCAAACTGCTTCCTGTAAGACAGACACGAAGAAACAAAAGGGTAAATGCCGTCAGCCGAGAACAACCGAGATGGACGGATTGGATTCCCATTTGGAATGGAATCATGGGTCTAAATAGATAGATAGGATTGATGCCAACGCATAAATTCCACGTGAACAGATCATAATCTAGGTAAGTACGTAAGTATGTATATCGTTGCACGCTACTGTAAGATATAGAAGCTTGCATGGATCAACTCATCCTCACAAGTAGAAAATCAGGTGCTAAGCATGCCGAAGTCTAGGAATCCAGTCAACCCCTTGCATCGACCCTACCGGAAGTTAGGCATCAATATTCTATCCTATCTCTTGGACTATACGCCTCGCATCTCGATGCACAGAACATTACATAAGCCATGTTCCTCGTGACTGGCATGGAATCTGTGGAAGGCCTGAAATGGTAATCTGGATAGGGTCCTATCGACTTACCGGAGTATTTCTAGGTTACTAAGATATGTAGTCATATTGCTATAACACAATATTCTCCAACCAACAGAATAAATCCTGATGGAAGGGATATTCCTCCATATTATGTATATTATTTTATACCATCCAAACACGGACCAGCCGATCAACGACCCTATCAAAGTAACCATCAAAAATAAAAATGAAATAAAATTAAATTAAAAATTAAAAAATCCCAACCAAGTATTATTCAGTATTCCCCCACAAGGCTGAATTCGGTCTCATGACAATGACCCCAGACCGTTGCGAATCGCTGGGTCATGATGAACTTTGATGTCATATCCACCTGTCGAATCCACATCCAGCCTATCAAGGGAAGGGCACTTCGCTTATCCCACACAGGATATCTGGGTTGAGATCTGGGGTCAAGTTAGTCACTGTGGGGTTCTATATCGACTCTTAGTATTATAGGTTACAATGGACTAAAAATTCCCCATATGGTGGGGTACGATACATTCCATCATTCCATTCTATCCCTGTATTAGGTAGTATTCAAGTCCATTGCAGTATCCAGTGCAGTACAGTCCAGTCCAGTCCAGTTGTATCCAGGCTGTCTTGGCTGACTCCCAGCGACCCATTCGCTGGTCTTGCTTGTTCCATGCTATAGTGTATTGGATACGAGCTAATGCCGCGTCAGTTTAGTACAGATGAGATGGCAGTGGGTCATGTGCGATCAAACATGCTGTCAGATCTGACACTAGTGGTTGATGATGCATACTTGGTAACTTTACTATTTAGTCCTTGTCCTTGCTGATACCTTCCATGCTTCCAGGTTCCTGGTCATAAGTCATGCAGGTTTGTAATTAGTAGGTACTAATATTATTCGCAACGCGTAATGTTAATAAATACATGGAAGAATATCATGAGAAACGGTCTACCTTCCCGATACCAGTGGCGCTAAAGGGAAAAAAGGGAAAAAAAAAAAAAACACCCTTAGGTATGTGAAAATTACTAAGCCATCAATCTCGCTCGCTGTCTCAAACGCCATGTAAGAAATGTTAAATTATCAAATGAAAGCGTCACATCTACCAAGCAGAGTGACCACCATCGATGCGCAGATCGCTTCCAGTCATGAAGCTGCTGGCGTCACTAAGAAGGAAGACGGCAGCACCGCGGTACTCCTCCGGAGAAGACAGACGTCCCAACATGTTCTGCTTAGGCCATTCGTCGCGACGCTCAGGGAACTCGACGAACAGATTCTCAACCATAGCTGTCATAATATAGCCGGGTGAGATGGTGTTGACACGAATCTTGTACTGACCCCACTCCATGGCGAGGTTGCGGGATAGCTGAAGCACAGCGGCCTTGCTAGCGTTGTAGGCTGGGCAGATGAGACCCTAGTAGCGGCATGTCAGTGGGTTGTATATAAGACACCCAATGATATTTTCAAGCAAATTAGGTTGCGTGGACAAAGAAATGTGGGGACAGGGGTGATTCGGTTGTTCCACAAGACACAGAAAAGATCGTGAGGTTCTGAAAGAGCGGGGGATGGATGAAGGCAAGATTGGAACGTACCCGATTGGCAACAGTGCCACTCATGCTTGCAATTAGTGCAATACTGCCTCCGTTTCCAAATCGAATCATTTGCTTGGCAACTGCCTGAGCGGTCATGAACACACCAGTAACGTTTACTTCGAATATCTTGTTGGCGTCCTTGGATGTGTATTCGAGAGCCGGGGTTTCCTGCTGAATGCCGGCGGCAGCAACCAGACCATCCAAGCGGCCTTCCGTCTGGCCGATTGCTTCGATAACATTGTTCAGCAGTTCAGTGTCACGGACATCAATCCGACGGTAGTGCAGTTCTGTGCTTAATTCCTCCCTAGCACGCTTCTGGATTTTGTAGAAATCTGGCGACTGTTTTATGAGTGCAACGTTAGGCACGGGTTCCCAGGGAACACGGATGGCTTGTCTAGGCGATCCTTGATCTGAATATTGGGCTACTCACAGGCTCCTCCAGGCGGTCCAAAGCGTACACTTTGGCGCCGGCTTCCAACAGGGCTTCAGCCTGAGTCAGACCAAGACCACGGGCTGCACCCGAGACACAAACAACCTTTCCCGCCAGGCTGAATTCAGGCATTCTGGATGTAGAGCCAAGACAGGGTCCATCTTGCTTGATGGCAGGGGCGGGGGAAATATCAGTGGTTTCGATGGAGACAGACATTATGATATGTGATGATTATAGATGGTAGAAATTATATATATAAAAAAAATTCACCGAAGGCGAAGTAGATCAAAGCCAGAGGTGTTAGTATTGCAGGTACAAGTCACTGGAATGAAAAGGTAAGAGATGAATGAATAGATTGAAGAGAGAATCAATTGACGATGGTGAGACCCATTTTCCACGGACGAAGAGGGCCCTTAAATATTTGTCCACGGACATCGAGAGGCAACTCCAGGATAGTGGTACTGCTTCTGGGGAAGGTCATGAGAACTCATGTGAGCAGAAGGAATTTAGCTTGGCTAGATGTCCAAAAGAGGAAAACTGCGAGGGAGACTGGACGTGGATTCGGTCTGGACCGTGGAAATGTGCAAAGACACCGCCATCCAGCCAGTGGCCACTGGTTCTTGGTTAGTGGCAAGAAATCTGGAGATTACCATACCTGTACAGAACCCGTGACTGAGGATGGAGTACCTCCTACCTGAGTTCAATGTCTTGCACTGCCCATAGCTATTCGTAGATGGCTCTCGTCAGATAGTCGTGGCAACGGCATCGAACTAAGGGATAGGAAGACCTACGTAATCTATCACGAGAGTAGGTTGGAAGGATGCAAAGCTTCAAACATCTTGTTTCCGGTGCGATCTGCTAGGGTGATGAAAGTATGACTGTAGCATCCAACCTCAATAGAGATGCACACTGTCTGCCAAGCATCCCCAATGTTTAAAATTACAGGAAACAATCAAGGCGTACGGGGATGAGGGCCGCCGTGGCAGCAGCGTGACAGGCTCTCGGATTCCCTATTTAGGAAACCCCGGACTGGGGCAAATCCGGCCCCGGCGCGCAGCAGGAATTAAGGGCGGACTGGGGAAACAGCTGTCGGTGCAGGTCACGGGGACACTGTTCTGGAAAGGGAAGAAATCTGGTCAGTCGAACATTCCACAGCGAGCCCGCGCGTCTGGGTGCCGTTCCCGGGCGGGTCTACGTCGAAGGTCACGGGGTGTTCGGAGATCTACCGGGCCAGTCTATTGATTGCTGCATCGGATAAGTGGTATTTGGCCTTGCGATCCATTACTAACAAGGACTTGTCTGGGCTCTACAAGTTTTTACGTCCACCCCAGCAAGCTTATATCAAGCTCAAGGCTTATTGGCCAATTCGGCATCATCTTCCGGGTGCAACCTTTTTCGGTGATGGCTTTTTTTAAGGCCAATGTCAAATGCTCAACATTTAATTGCCCTTAATATCTAGGTAATGCTTAGGTCTTTGTATTTTCGAGTTTTGACTTTCAGTACGCTCATGGATGGAAGAGTCATTGATATCTTCCGTAAGGGTAATCTGAATTTAGATACAATGTGTAGAGACAACCCCGGGACAGATGGGAAAGTCATTCACTATTTACAAAGTTCTCCGTACAATACTAGACAATGAGAACTAACAATATCACAACCCCAAGATATTCCGCTGCCCCATCAGGAAGGTGATCCACGACCCGGGCCCGTTCCGTGGGAGTGCCGTGTGACTTTCAGAAATTTTGACCTTGGGATGGTTCCGTGGGGATGGAACCGTAAGATAGTGATGTCGGATGGCAGAGAGCTACTTACCCAATTCGGAACTTCCGGGGAGCACCTCAGTGTACTCATACAGAGTACTCAGGTTTTCCTACACGACACTTCGCCCCACCCTTCCCGATCGTCCCTGAATGTCAGTTGGTCATCCCTTCATGAGAAAAACAAAAACCCTGGCGTTGGATGTCTCTATTTGTCCGATAATGAAGCATAAAATAAAAATAATTAAGCAGCAATCCTAGTCTTGTCCTACAGCAGGAAGGATTCTCCGAAACAAAAAAAAAAAGTACGTAGGACTCCGGCCCAACTTAGATGAAGAGTCCCAGAAATTACCGGATTCCTCCCCCAGTAGACATTTTATCCAGATAAAATTGCGCAGGGATATATCTTGGTAATACAACTAATTCCATTAACTAAAGAACCTATCTAGGAATTCAGACGGGGACAATAATGGCCTTGTAATAATGATACGTCTAACCCGTATTTTGGACAAAAACAATTATAGACTTAGGAAAAATCAAACATGCATTACTCTGTACTCCGTATTCAATAATCATTATTGAATCAGAACACAACCCCAGGTTCCAGACGGACCTGTTGGTCTGTACTAACCAGTGGCCAGATCAGTCCAGATTTGCTTTGATAGTCAGGGCTAAACTGTAATAGTCCAGTCTCCGCTGTGCGTGTGACCAGCAGAGTTTTGATTCACCTTGCACTACTCCGTGCATATTACTATAAATACGCTGTTAACAACTTATACACACAGTCACCCACTCGCATGTTCACGCAGCCAGTTAGTCTCCTGAGGACTATTGTTATTTCCATCCCACAAACCATCCGAAACTTCTAAGATTAGCCTCGCTGTGGCTGACGTGGCCTACCCTGCATAATTCATGTAGTCATACAGATTTTTGCATTATCAAGCCCTCGCCGGTGTGTGATACACATTTATCTGCATAATGGGTAGTCTAGACTTGAGCTGGATAGATTCATTCACCCACGATGATGTCTCAATCCTGACGTGAAGGCTGATTCTAATTAATCTCAGCTTCTGGTCAAGATTGGGTGCTACTCGGGAGTCCCCTGGAACCTTCTACGCGCGTACCTGGCCCTGTTCGTTCAGGTCAGCAAATTTCCGATTGTCAGGTACAGCGCCACTCTCTAGTAGATACTACTATAATCTAGTATATTCTGAATTTTCCAAAGGATTTAACCATCTGTTTAGGTAACCTTTAGAATTCCTTGGTTGACAGCCTAAACTCTCTAGACGTGATACTGAGTAGTTTAGTCGTGTCAATACATGTACTTCTATAGAATTAAGCGATTCTCACACATCACACTTCTATTTCCACACCATGGCTCCTGGACGCCTCCGCAAGGCATAAATCGCTTAAAAATGCAATAAGAATTAACTAATATATGTTTCCTACCCTAAATTAATCCATACCGATTAAATCAGCCTGACTACACACCTAACTTCGTGTTCGTGCCTAGCTACGTCCTCCATGGCCACAACCACGTCCGCCACTACCACGTTGCCTTGTCAGTAGCCTTGCGCCTCTATACTCAGTAGCACGTAATTTACATCCATTTTAGAGCTTTTAGATGGCTATATTTTCATTAAGAGATATGCTTATTGTCGACAATTATAGTAATATTGATTGTTCAGCACCTTTCTCGGTCAAATGTTGTTGATGATACAACATCATCGGATTGCTTATATTTCCCTTTACTTTCTTCGTTTCTTTACCTCGCCTTTATAAAGCGAGATGTTTTGGTAGTTTAGTTGAATCGGACGATTTAGGATCGATACTTGCGGATACGTGTATTTTCTATGATTGACAAAATAATAGTAGAGAACCTCTTGCTTTTACATGTAGAATTTATTACACATGTATCCATCAGCCACAATGAACTAGACAATAAAAAAGACTATGGTGCTTTTGACTGTTGAAAAGGTCAAATAAACTAACATGGGGTAAATAGTATTATATGTTGAAAACCAGGATGCCTAAGGCACCTTCGGGTATCCTAGTCCTGAAGCCATCTGACATATCACACGCAAAGGGCTAAGGGGCTAAAGGACACGTAGACATAAGGAAGCGTTTATCTACGCTCTCTCTCCTAGATAGAAGAACATACTCACCATGCGATACTAGATCGCATCGATAGTTCAATATACTATCCAGTCACCGCTATCCTAGCACCTCACGACATAGCTTCTTCCCCGAGATTCTCAACATTATATCAGAAAATACTACCATATAAATTAGCAGGGGACTTTTGATAACTAATAAACCTAGTATAACTCATGGGCTGTACGTGAAACTGCTGGTGTCCTTAATGTGGGGAAATTAATGCAGTGATATATCCGGCAGATTGACGTGGCCAGATTCATGCTTACGTCCTCTCGTCACTCAAGGCTATTATTTCAAGTCCCCACAATGTTTAACAGTGCATACGCTTTCTACAGAGGGACCATGATGCCTGATTCAGAACCCTTTCTAACCCCACAGGCTCCTGCAGGAGTCCAATGCCACAAAATCGACTTCGCAGCGACTGACCCACCTCTGCACAAGTACAAGGACTTTTTCGCAGCCATGATAGACAATATTTTCACACCAACAGAATGTGAAGATTTGATCCGCCAAGCAGAAACTTCCACTCTCACCCCTACATCCCCAACACCAACCTGGGAAAGGGCCATGATCAACATTGGAAATGGAAAGCAGGCTCTAGCGACCGACACGCGAAACTGCGGGCGAATTATGTACGATTCGCCTGGTTTGGCCAAGAAATTACTTGATCGGCTAATGCCCTCTCTCCGAGAATTTGGCCTCGACCGCATTGACAACCAGCTTCGGGTGACGGGCCTGGCAGGTCGAAACAAGATCTACCATCTCACACGGCTGAATGAACGGCTCCGTTTTCTCAAATACGAAGGTGGGGAATACTTCCGACCACACTGGGATGCCATTTACACAGCTCCTGACAAGCAGGAGAAATCCTTCTATACCATCCATTTGTATCTCAACGGCGACGGGGAGCAAGATGTCGACGAGTTGAAGCGCCAGCAGAAGCGGGTCGAGGATGGTGGACAGGTCAATTTGGACAAGTGTGGCGAGCTTCTTGGGGGCGCCACATCATTTATCCCTCGGTATGAAGAGCCAGAGACACAGGTGCGAGTATTCCCCAAAGCTGGCTCAGTATTGGTTTTCCAGCAAAATGATCTACTTCATGGCGGAGACCCCGTCTTCCGCGGGACAAAATATACAATGCGGACGGACATGATGTATCGAGCGCAGTGATGTTTGACACACCAGTTTGCATTATACATATGATACTCAGAAATAAACCAATTCCTTCAGTCGTGTCGTAGATTTCATCCCAATGTCTCTTTTACTCCGAAGTTCTTCCGCGAGGTTGGATATTCTCACGTACGAAGGACAAATATTTGACGGCCTGGTCTAACCCGTCAGTAGTTTCTATTTAATGTTCTCCAGCAGAATTCGGTAGAGTTAACTACCTCAGAAATATGCCAGGCCTTACTGTTGGGCGTACGGGTGCTCGGCTGGATATCAAGATGACCCGATTCGCGAACAGATGTACCATTGCCGTTGAGAATGCTTAGCCCCTCATGCATCGTTCTCGTTGCCCACTTTGACTCTCCCTTTCTGTGATTATTTATTCGTTTCAGGTTATTGATGAGGTATCGATACCATCACAGTTGTTCGTCTGCGATTTCCAGATTGTGTACGAAATACTACCTACACAGTATAGTATATGCAGGAATGGATCGATGATAAATTTCTCACGACGAGATTCTCATTCCCGAGGAATTAATTGCTTTCAATTTATGTCACGCTCTCAGAATGTGGCTACAATCAAATACTAGTACCAAGCAATGTCTTGGCTTCTTCAAGCTTGTTTTCCGTTGCGGAAGGGCGGGATCCAGCCAAAGTTTGACATCATACTTTGACATTATGGATCTACCAAAGCATGTCGGCTCCCTCGGCTCTGCTCGAGCCCAGCCCCAATGATGATCCGCATATACCGATTTATTCAAGTGTCCGTGGTGCTTGGCTAAGCTTTCCGTGCACAGCCCAAAACTCTAGAATGGCGACTGCCGGGTTCTTGGGCTCGGTCTGTCCAGAAGCTGTCAAAATTCCCTCTCCCCTACTCCGAGCTTCGTTTTTGCTCTTTTGCTCAATTTACATGAGTAGCTTCTTCGAAGATTCTTGACATGAAACTCGCCGCAGTTGTATTTGCTTTGACAGCGGTGCTGTCCGGTAGGTTGTTTAACTTCTTCCCCACTGTCTTTCCATGACCTCCTTTCTGACTATGCGGTTTTTTTATAGGCGTGACGCCTGCGCCAGAATATATCCCTGAGGAGAATCAAACTCCGAAGCGGGCGCTGCCAAACGCCCCCGATGGATATACACCTACCAACGTCAGTTGCCCGTCCAGTCGTCCAACAGTGCGCAGTGCAGCGAAACTGTCGCCGAGCGAATCCTCATGGCTGCAAACTCGACGGAACAAGACTAAGTCTGCGCTGAAAGACTTCTTTGGTCATGTGAAGATTAAAGATTTCGATGCTGCGGGTTACATCGACAAATTCTCTAGCAATGCCTCAAGCCTTCCGAATATTGGTATTGCATTCTCTGGCGGTGGCTATCGCGCTCTTATGAATGGCGCCGGTGCGATCAAGGCCTTTGATAGTCGTACTAAAAACTCAACTCGCAGTGGCCAATTGGGCGGGCTGCTACAATCAGCAACGTATGTGGCTGGTCTGAGTGGTGGTGGATGGCTGGTGGGCTCTATATATGTTAACAATTTCACTACCATTTCCGACCTGCAGACTCCCAAAAAGGGTGGTGTCTGGCAATTTCAGAATTCTATTTTTGAAGGCCCTGCTGAAGGTGGCATTCAGCTCCTCGACTCAGCGGACTACTGGAAGGATCTTGTTGAAGATGTCTCGGACAAGAAGGATGCTGGATTTAAAACTACGATCACAGACTACTGGTATACCTTGTCTGGTCACTTGGGTTGATACATAACTGATTTTTCTCCAAGGGGCCGAACATTATCGTATCAGCTCATCAATGCTACCGAGGGTGGACCTAGCTATACATGGTCATCCATTGCCCTGACCAATTCATTTAAGAAGGCCGATATGCCAATGCCACTTCTTGTTGCGGATGGTCGGAACCCTGGTGAGCTTGTGATTAGCAGCAATGCCACTGTCTACGAATTTAATCCCTGGGAGTTTGGCTCTTTTGACCCCACGGTATTTGGGTTTGCTCCCCTTGAATACCTCGGTTCTCCATTTAACGGTGGATCTTTGTCTACGAGCACGAAATGTGTCCGGGGATTTGACAATGCTGGGTTCGTTATGGGCACTTCGTCCTCTTTGTTCAACCAGTTCTTTTTGCAAATCAACTCTACTTCTCTCCCTGGTTTCTTCAAGTCAACAATCAAAGATATCCTGAAGGAGATTGGTGAAGATGATGATGACATTGCGGCGTATACACCAAACCCATTCTACAATTGGTCCAGGGAGACTTCTCCAGTTGCGAACGATAAGGAGCTTGATATTGTGGACGGTGGCGAGGATTTACAGAACATCCCGCTTCATCCTATAATCCAGCCTGAGAGACATGTGGACGTCATCTTCGCAATTGACTCCTCCGCTGATACGAACAACAACTGGCCCAATGGTACTTCTCTTGTGGCCACCTACCAGCGCAGCCTTAATTCCTCTGGAATTGGCAACGGTACTGCATTCCCTGCAGTTCCCGATCAGGATACCTTCGTCAACAGCGGTTTGAACATGCGCCCGACGTTCTTTGGATGTAATAGCTCGAACACTACTGGCCCAACGCCTCTAATCGTGTACATTCCGAATTATCCTTATGGAACATACTCGAACGTGTCAACTTTCGACCCCAGCTATAAGGAATCGCAGCGAGACAGTATCATTCTCAACGGATACGATGTCGCAACCATGGCGAACAACACTCGGGACCGTAACTGGTCTACCTGCGTTGGCTGTGCTGTCCTCAGTCGGTCCTTTGAGCGCACCAAGACCAAGGTGCCCGACATTTGCAACCAGTGCTTCAAGAGGTACTGTTGGGATGGCAAGACGAATAGTACTAGTGAATCTGGTGGCTATGAGCCCGTTGCCTGGCTGAATGGAAGCTCCACTGCCTCTTGAGTGATTTCCATCAGTATGGTTGCGGTAAGGACTACTACTACTTTGTTTGCCCTATTATAAAAGGTGGACGCCATTGGATTTGTTATACCTTTTGGCTCTCTGGCTTCTTAAACTATGATTGTTGAATTTTTTGCTTATTTATGCTCTGTTTTACTATATTGCTAATGTTTTAATTATTGTTGTTATTGATGTAAGAATATATGAGTATATAGTTGTCAGTCCTATGCAGAGGGGAAAATGAGACCGAATTATCCTCAACATAATTGTGATATATATTTCTGTGAAAATAGAACGATGATGACATGATGACTAATGAAGTGGTGCCATATTCACGTGCCAGTGGGGCGTCACCAGGGTAACTGCCACCAGATCTCCCAAACAAGAAACAAGCCAACGTCGTATCCGATTCAATCCAATCCACAACTCTCTGCTGGCTTCTGAATTATCCAACCCTGAATATAGCTTTCCGCCTGGATACGGTATTGTGCTTATCAATCGCAGCACCTCGCAGATCCACAATGATCATTGCGGCCTAAATACGTTAATTATCCCTTCCAACCGCAATCCATATACATAAAAGAGCATCAAGCTACCCGCGGAGCACACTACTTGCAAACGACATCATATTTTACCATGGCTCGAGCGGCGGTAATCCCAGCATCGCCACCTAAACGTTACACGCGTGGTACAGCTAAACGGACGACAACGACGACGACAACGACAACGACGGCGACCAAGAACGCCAAAACAGCTACACCGGTGGCACGGACAACAACCAAAGCAAAGGCACCGACATCCGCCACAGAAACTAGAAAGCGTGGTGTACGGATAGCATCCGCAGCTGCAAGGAAACGAGCTGATGATGATTCGGATGAGGATACCGATGACGAACTTGGGGTTGTTGATAACAAGAACAAGCGCACAACGACGTGGACACGCGGGAAAACGTCTACTTCTGCTGCAACCACGGCTAGTCGTGGTAGGAAACCAGTTGTTGTAGCTACACCATATTCAGATAGTGATGATGAGGACGAACTTGCTCAAACAGAGTTCCCTACGAAGCGAGTGGGGAGGCCGAGGACGAAGCCTGCGGAACCCGCTGCGAAGCCTGAAAACGCACCCAAACCCAGAGGGAGACCCAAGGGCAGCACAGCAGCTAAGTCAAGTGGGAGTGCCGCGACTGGGAAAGAAACTGCACAAAGGAAAACTCGGACGCAGACTAAGGTGAATCCAGAGCCTCAAGAGGCCCCTAAAGAGGTGGTGATAACGACAAATTCTTCAGTAATGAGATCAAATTTATTGCGTGGGCCAGCTAAAAAGAAAAAGGTCACATTCCGTGATCCGGATTCGGAGGAGGACATGAGTGAACCGATACCTGCCCCTGCTGGAAGGAGAAGGGCAGCTACGCCGGCGAAGAAGGCTGGGCTTGGAGCCAAACCGGTCCGAAACGCTCCTACAACTTCTGGTAGGGGCCGTAAACCTGCTGCAGCTAAGAAGGACTCTTCAAAGCCCCTTTCTCCTAAGAAGGCAACGCAGGTTGCCAAATCAATATCAGCATACGTCAGCTCTGATGGTGAAAATGACGAGCTACAGGAGCCTAAGAGCCCGATGAAAATTATTGTTGATAGTCCCACTAAAGACGGACCAGACAATACTGGATTGAGCTCCCCAGTCAAGCGAATCAACTTTACTACGAACTCCCCCCACACGAAAGTCGATGAAAATGGAGAGCCCACGCCCCGCCTTCCTAGGCCGATGGATTTCAGCGAGTCACTTATCATGTCCAGTCCTGCTCGTCGTCCTACTCCATCACCTTTTAGCTTCTCAATGAGGGAAACTCCAAAACGTGGCGGGTTTACTCTTGGGGAGGATGTTAAGCCATTAGTGCAGCCAGACCTTACTCCTACTCGAAATTCACCACTCAAAATGTCCCCTAAAAAAGCGAATTTGGAAACCCCGAAAGCTGGTAACCTATGCTTTGTCAATGACAGTAGACCACTGTCTCAACCGAACTTTACCCCGGGACATAACTCACCTCTGAAGACTTCACCTAAAAAGGGTCTCTTTGGTGCTTCATTCTCATCACAGCCTGCCGTTCAGGCTTCCTCTACTCCATTGAAAACCCAGAGATTTTTGCAGAGCCCGGCGAAGAAAATTGTTACTCCATTCAAGAGCTCCTTCAGTAGACAATCGCCTGTTATCGAACAACATCAATTTGATGATGAACAAGAACAGGACAGCCACACTCCGGCCCAGGGCATTGGCGAGTATCCTCTTAGAACCAGCGAGAGGAGAACGCGTATGGAGCTGGAAAGAGACAACGATCAGGTTGAAGCACCTACATTCCGCGAAGATGACCATGGCCTACTTCCGCCAGCTGAGACTTGCGTCTCACCAGAGGCCGAAAATTGCGTACAAGCATGTGAAACCCCTGAAATGGACTACAATGAAAATGAAGCGTACTATCAGAAACACGCCCTGGAGGACGCGGAGTATGAAGATGCAACAGCCGATGATTTGTCTGTCGAACAGACAGAGCCTGTTCAAAAGAATCTGGAAAACCATATCGATGAGCAGAATGATGGATGGGTCCATGATGATGTGGAGGAGGAGGAGAAAAGGATTCGTCCTAGTGAAATCCAACAATACGGAGATGGCGTCGAGAGCGACACTGAACCGTGCACCGAAGGACATCATGCAATTGAAGAGGGCTCTGAATATGATCTTAAGGAACGGGAAGACTACGACAGTCTGGGCGAAGCTCGAGTGTACGGTGGAGAGGAAACCGGTGAAGGTGTCGAGCTTGTCACTTCAGAAACTCACTTGGTTGAGACAGAATATCACGAGAACCCAGCGGAGGCCCAAGAACAGTCAGTGGAGCCGGGGCCTGAACCTAGAGATACGAAAACGGAGCATCCCTCACCCTATCGACAAAGCATGATTGAAGGAATTGAAGATGTCTTTGTGGACCGCCCGCTTGCTACCGACCATATGAACGAGGATCCTGATATGGAGGCCACTGATGAAGCATCAGAAGTCGAAGGCAATAGTAACATAGATGAGTCTAACAGTGAAGTTCATTATGAGCTTGAGGACATTGAAGAGGATTGCGTTTTCGACGATGACGACGAGACGCTTGTTGCATTCGATACGACTGGCAAATATATGCTTCAGCATCCACAGCAGATGGATGCCGGATCACAGGATAACCCTTCCAATGAAGTTCAAAATAGTTTGGAAACTATCCCATCACCTCGTAACTTGGGCGATTACCGTGGTAATTCCCAGGAGGAAGAAGATGCAAACGTGAATGATGCATCCGAGCTAGAGTCTATTTCTGAAGGACCCAGTCATACCGGCAGGAATGCTAGTCCTCAGGAGCCAGCCCAGACAGAGGGCCGATCTGCCCACTCAATTGCAGCACAACGTGGTAACCGTCCACGGTTTACACTGTTAGCAGAGCAGCTCAGTCATTGGAAAGCTAGCAGCCCTGAAAAGCTCCAGCCCAGACGCTCACGGCGGAGAGGTGTTTTCTCGTTAGCTGGCGATTTCAAGAAACCCGGTGAAATCTCCCATGGGCCTCGTCTCTCTGAACAGGTGTCGTACCCTGATCTTACCGCTGATGAAAAATGTCGGACTCCTGAATTTTCTCCGCGGCAAGGGGGATCTCTCGAAACCGAGGTCTTTCCCCCATCTGAGGACAAAAGCCAGGAAATGAGATCAGCAAAATCTGATACCCAAGAAATTCTTGAACCTGTCGAGAAACCCAGATTCGACATTTTTAATGACCTGGATCCAGAAATAACCGAGGTTGGGTCAGTCGACGCTGCTTCGAACCAGATTAATCAAATCGATGATCTTCTGTCTATCCAGGATACGTCTCTTGATGACGATAAAGAAAATGATGAAATGCCCCTTCCTGCACCAGTCACTCCCATGAAGAACAGGGTCACTCAATTGCAAACTTTTCACACAGTGTCCAAGGTGCCTTTGAAGGGAGAAGGCGGGCTTTCGCCATTGAAGGTATCTCGCAAACGAGGTAGATCACTGTCCAGCACTTCACCAGGCCGTTCTAGAGTTCGCAGGTCTCTGGGGCATATAGTGCAGGACTCGTCATACTCCCCTCGTAAATCGTTACGACTTCAGCAAGCTGCAATCCTCAAACTGGAGCCTAGCAATTCTCTAGTTCAGGACTCTGTGGCTCAGCAGTCTAGATATGTCAAGAAACCGTCTCACTCCTCTACCCCGGCAAAGAGCCCCAGAAGAAGTATCAATGCATGCAGCTTTGTCCTACGAGGAGCTGTTGTATTTGTCGATGTTCATACCACAGAAGGAGAGGACGCTAGTGGCATATTTGTCGAGCTCCTGCAACAAATGGGGGCACGATGCGTTAAGAGCTGGTCGTGGAACCCTCGTGCAAGCTTTTCTCCAGAAGAGAACGCTGGGGCGAAGGATGGGAGGGTTGGTATAACCCATGTCGTCTTCAAGGATGGGGGAGTACGCACTTTGGAAAAGGTCAGGCTAGCAAGGGGGCTTGTCAAGTGCGTTGGAGTTGGCTGGGTTCTTGAGTATGCACCCTGATCACAGACTTGAAAATTGCCCTGGTGCTGACCAAATTTATAGCTGCGAGAGAGAAAATAAATGGCTTGATGAAGGTCACTACATTGTTGACAGCTCAATCATTCCTCGTGGCGGTGCGAAGCGAAGAAAGAGTATGGAGCCTAGGGCCCTGAGCAACGTTAATGGAACCCTTGTCAAAGTAGATGCAAGCACTACAGCTAGCAGCGGCAGGCGCTCCGGTGCAGACCTGAACGCTATGGAAAACTTTAAGAGGTATACGCCTACGCCTTCTCTTGACGAGCCTTCCACCCCAACAAACAACCGACAGTATGATGCTGGCCACAGCGAGATAGACAAGCGATATTTACAGACCCCCAAAACTCCTGGCTATGGCTTCAACCTAGACAACATTAGCATGTCCCCGGCGACTCCATTTCATCTCTCCCAGCGAACTAAACTTGTGCAACAAACTTGTCCTCCGAAACAAACCCAACAGGGCCTCTTCTCAAAAGCTGATCTTGATGGGGAACCGTCGCAGAAACTGCGGGCGAAACTTGAAACCGCGAGACGGAAGAGTTTGGCATATAAGCCCATAGTCGGCAGCCCGCTCATAGAATAATGAACTTTGCTTTATCTAGTCCTTCCGGTTTGTTTGTTTGCACTTTTGTGTTGAGATCTTGTCTATTATATTTTGTTTCGTCAGATACATACCCCTTTGCAGCATGGTTTCTCGGTGCTAATTTGTATTGAGTTTTGAACAATCAACCACTCAAATCAATCAGTTGATTCTCTAATTTTCTATTCCGACTCACTGGAATATAATATGACTATTTTAGTAGATCCATCCATGTACATAAGAAGCTTGTGATCAAGAAAGCAACCGATGATGTTGATATCATGCTCGCATCCACATATACCCAAACCCAGCTATGTTAAATGCAACTTTTTGGTGCGTTTAAGTAGATATAAAGCCCAAACAAATGTAAAGAGAGGGGGGAAAAAAAAGACGTATCTCATAATGGGTAGACAACATAAAGGCACAATGCCAGACCGAAAGAGGAGTTGAGCAACATAAAATAACCCCGAAATGCAAAACAGAAAGTCTCTTAAAAAGATAAGGATAGATAGATAGAAGATTAAATCGTATTCAAATCATCCATTTCATCCATTTCACGATAGAAACCAGCCACAAGAAAAGCCAGTTCCAAAGCCTGTTTCTCATTCAGACGCGGATCACAGAAAGTCGTGTATCGTTCACCAAGACCCTCCTCAGTGAGTCCGGCCGCACCACCCACACACTCGGTGACAGCTTCCCCGGTCAACTCGAGATGCATACCGCCGAGAAAAGAGCCGGCGGCACGATGGATCTCCAGTGCCTGTTTCAACTCGGAGAGAATATCGCTGAAATGACGAGTCTTGACCCCCGACGGAGTGGACTGCGTGTTGCCGTGCATGGGGTCGCATTGCCAGACAGGCAGGTGGCCGGATTCTTGCACCGCGGCGATGTGGCCCGGTAGGTATTGCGCAATTTTCCCGGCGCCGTAGCGCGATATCAAGGTGACTTTGCCGATTTCTCGCGCAGGGTTGACCACGTCGAGGAGACGGATGAGTTCGTCCGGGGTCATGCTGGGTCCGATCTTGATGCCGATGGGGTTGGCGATGCCGCGGAAGAATTCAACGTGGGCCCCGTCGAGTTGTCGCGTGCGGTCGCCGATCCAGAGGAAGTGGGCGGAGGTGGCGTAGTGGCTCTTTGGCTGGGAGGTGGTGGTGCCGGTCGCGATCGGGTGGGTAGGGTGGTGTTCGGTTATGGTACTGGAGGTGGTTGGGGTTTTGAGGAGACGGGTGAGAGACTGTTCGTATTCGAGAAGGAGACCTTCGTGGCTTGTGTAGATGTCGACGGTCTCGACACCACGGTCGGTGTCAATTCCCACGGTTTGCATGAATCGTAGGGAGTCCTTGACTTGGCTGACAATGCGCTCGTACTTCTCTTTGATGGATGGCGTGATTACGTGACCTAGTCCCCAATCGAGCGGGGAGTGCAGATCGGCGAGACCCGACGAAAGAGAAGCCCGCATGTAGTTGAGGGTTGTGGCTGAGTGAAAGTACGCTGAAACCAGACGCGATGGGTCAGGCTTGCGGGACTCAGGTGTGGCAGGGAAGCTGTTGATATTGTCACCTCGGAACGAGGGCATCTCCACGCCATCGACAACCTCCATAGGATTTGAACGGGGTCTGACGGGGATGTTAGCGATCGGATCTAGGGAATTGGTATAACGACACTTGGAATGACTCACTTGGCAAATTGACCTGCTATGCGCGCAATACGGACGACGGGTCGATTCGCGCCTGTTGAGCTGGATGTTAGCCGGGCAGAACCACCAAAGTAGCCACATTGGATGAACGTACCCCAAATAAGGACCAAGCTCATCTGCAGTAGCAACTTGACTTTAGCCTCGATCATATCTTGATTACAGTAATCGAAAAGCTCCGCACAGTCCCCTACACGAGAGCAAGAACGTCAGATATCATCCAGATATCAGATCATGGGATGAGGAACCCCACCTCCTTGAAGAACAAAAGCCTTTCCCAAGGCAACATTTCTCAGGTTCTTTTTTAAATTGGCAATCTGGTCCATTGGTTAGATTTATCTATCAACTAAGGAGACAGCAAGCGCATACCTCCTGCGTCGTGACCAAAGGAGGAAGCGTCCTTAGTTTTCCTAAAGCGGACTGCAAGCCCTGAGGATCATCATAGACCACGTCCTGCTTGATGGGCTTAGAAGTCCAGGCTAATAGACGACAATGTCAGTGTCAATGCCAATAAGCAAGAGAGATGATGAGCTCCAGGGATGGCTCTACACACAGTCCGGCGTCCAACCGTCCATTGTGGGGGGGTTAGATAGTGCTATATGGTATAACGATGAAGGATCGACGGCTAGTGGTGTTGATAAGTCCCAGAGAGTGGATTCGATGGTCCGCACTGCTTGGCCGATGCGGCCTGTAGCTTACAGAAGGGGGACAATTCCGAATCACCGGTCAATGGAGCAACGTGTCAAAAGGCCACGGAACAATGCAAGACAGAAAGAAGCTCAGCAAACACGACCTGAAGAAAAAAAAAACATGTGCGGCTATTGGCGGCCTGAGTCATCGCTCGGAGTGGCTTATATAAGCGCGCTTATCGCCAACGTCACCTGCTTTCTTATCGCGAGGTCCACATAAAATGCGATTGTATCATTACTGCCAGTTAGAATACTACACCAACAAAGGACTTCCTCTTGTCATATAAATGGTACAGCCATGTCTGACCCACTTCCCGACGCTGTTGACCAGAAGCTCCCCGCCAACGCTGAAGACCGCAAAGCGGCCGCCGCCCTCTCCTCTCTCAACACAAATGAGATCGGCACGGATTCGGCCTCCAAGCCGCTCCCGGCAGCGGAACAGGAGGCACTGGGAAAAGCGATGAGTCGGTTAGAGATTGCGGCGGGCACAGGTTCAGCGGCGAAGCGGACAAATGACGCACAGAAGAAGCAGACGGAGATGGTGAAGAAGAAGGCCGTTAAGGTGGCGGCGGAAGATGTCACGCTTTTGGTACGCCTTCTCCCTCCCGTCGTTTTCGTGGTCGTCTCGAAGACTGGGGTGGCTAATAGGTACCTCGCATTTGCATCGGTAGGTGGATGAATTGGAGTTGAGTAAGGTCAAGGCGACGGAACTTTTGAAATCTCATGATGGGGATGCGAAGAAGGCTATTAAAACTTTTGTCACTCCGGCTGTTGGGGCGTAAACACACCTGATATTGGGAACACTGTGCTGTAGGTATGCACATGGTGTATAGCCTACTACCCATTAAAACGCGGAGGAAGACAGCCAATTCTAATCTGGATGGATAATGGACTTATGAACGTGACGAAGCTATATACATTTCTAGCTCTATCAATGTAAAACTACTCTGGTATTCCCGTCATAAACGTGTTTTGTAGGTCTAATAAAGATCGCGATGGATCAGGTTCTTTTTTGTTTTTAACGCCTCCCAGTCATAGATCCCCATCCCTGGGTTCATTTACCGAGTACGGTCTGGCTCCTCTTCCGTATTTTTCCCAATCCCCTGACCCTCATAGATTGACCAGAGAAGAAGCCACCCCGCCAGAGCTTCCATGGCTAGAGCCCACCAGATGGCACCGACCATGTTGAACTTGAGCCCGAGTCCCAGCCCCCAGCCACCTATCATAGGCCCCAGGGTACGAGCGCCACTTGCTATACTCTGGGCAACTCCATGGATGGTACCTAGGACAGAAGGATTCGTGACACTATTGTTTACAAGAATGATAGCGGCCGGAAGGGCAAATGTGCGGGAGATGACCTGCAACCCAACAACAACCGTGAAAGCCGGCCAAACCAACCATGGAAATCGAGGAATTAGAACGAGGAACGGCATCAATGCGTATGCCAATGGAGAGAATGGCAAGAAGGTGCGGAAGGATGATAAAGTCCCTAGACGGGACTGGATTTGAGGATAGATGAAGATTTGTAGCGGAAGGCCAATGATTCCGATAATGGCGGTTGCCAGACCGACTCGAGCAGAAGGCAATCCTAGACCACCGCCAAAATGGAAGAAGCCCTCTCGACTCCCTTCTGGGGCTCTCGGGGTTGGCAAAAACACAAAAGTCATAGAATTGAAGGCACTGGTGTGGAAGGCAAGCAAGAAATGCACCAGCAATGTGAGGAGAACATTGGGCGTCCAGATCTGACAGAAGCCTGGGCGCTTGTGGCGAGGCTGGATACGAGAGAGTGAGGGACTGGAAGGAGCCGATCGGCTTGCTACGCTTCCATCGATATAGAGAGACTCGTCATCAGTATGGTTAACCAGGGGACGGTAATAGCGAGGCCGCCGGCTGCATAGCGATTTCATCAATGACCGACCTAACTTCCGACCCCAATCACTTCGATATCGTGCAACCTCGTGTGTCTAGTTTCATCGATTACCACCTCCAACCCAACAGCAACAAGGACTATCATGCTTACCTCCTCAAGCCCAAGCAAGACAGCAATTAGCGAAACAAATATGAATATCGCACTGAGGACATTGGGCAATGCAAATGGCCAACGCTGCATCCACCACACTCCCTCTTTGCCGCCGAAGAACGAGGCGGGGCCAAATAGAGACGGGTAAGTTTTCAATGGATCCGCCAACGTGCCACCGAGGATAGGACCGATAATCACACCTATGTTAAAGCACATAGGCAGTAACAGGAAGGCTCTGGATTGATATCTATCTAGGGCGATTAGCAAAACCATAAGCTAACAAATCAATCTTCCCAGAAGAAAGAAACTCACTTCTTCTCTTGGATGATCTCTGCAATCATCGTCCTCATGACGCCAACATTGCTATTCAAGACTCCACCCAGTATCCGGAAAAAGGCCGCTGCCACAAAGGAGCGCGCAAAGCCAAACCCCAAACATGAGATACATGTTCCCAATAATCCAATCATAAGCACTCTCTTTCGTCCCATCCACTCTGCGTCGGCCAACCGTCCCCACCAAACGGCCGTCAAGAACTGCGCCGCCGTAAAGCTGCCCTGGAGAACACCCGCCTGCGTGGAAATGGTCGAATCTGGCAGCGAGGGATCGAAAGATCGGAGCTGGTAAAACATGTAGGCTTGCAACGAGGTTTGCGTGAGAGGTTCGGACAAACGGGCAAAGGTCAAAATGGCCAGTTGACCCTTCTTGGGCAATGAGCGCCATGTCACCGGCTTTTCGCTTGCGGCTTCGGGGGAGTCATCGCCGCTACACTCATCCGCATAGCTGTCACCATCGGTATAGCTCGGGAATCTTGTTCTATCCGTAATATCAGGAGATGGTACGAGTATACGGGTTTCTGCGGATGCGCCGTCGTATATCACCGTGCTCACGCTGTCACTGTCATCCTCTTTTGGTGGCTGGATAGTGCCAGAATTTGAGTAATCTGAAGGATGGCGATCCTGCAGACGAGTGTTATTGTCCACATGAGTGGCGGTCTCTACATAGTTGCTAAATTGACGCCGGAAGCCATGCTGTAGATCAGATCCCATCAACAAAAGAGTATCGTCCGATTAGTTGTGCAACGACAAAGATAATGAAGACAGCAGAGAGGAGATTCAAGGCAGAGGTAGAATGTTGAGGAAGGCAAAAGTTTGGTTCGATCGGAGGAGATTAGAAGGACGCCTGGGTATTCGCCTTCGCCACTAGCCGTTTCGGGGTTCTCTGATCCACGACTAATCGTCACGATACTGAGCATAAATATTAAATAATATGATGGGAAGCCAGAGATCCAATCCCACTTCACATGGCATTCAAAATCAATCAGATAATGTAGTGCGTAGTGTACACCAATGCAACCAGCTCCGAAAGGAAAACGCCTTTTCTAAGAAGAGAATCAATGGAAGCCGAACGAAATATATCAAGAATCCAGTCCTTGTCACAAGCTAAAACAAAGCACGTCTAATAATCCACACGAGTCCCACAGCAGTACCAGGCCAATCTCAAGTTGAAGAAAACTGACAAAAAAAAAAAAAAAAAAGGTTGGAAAGAATGCCAAATGCACACGAACAAAGAGCAAATCAGTGGCTAATTACGATGGCTTTCACCGCTCCTGCCAGTCATATCCATTGTGCTCTCGATCCCCTCCCACGGAAGTTCTTCATCGTCATCATCATCTATATCGTAGTCGGTCCCGACATTCTTAGGTGCAGACTTATCGGTGGTACTGGTCATATCGGCTGCCTTATCCGCCGTGTTGATACCGATCGATTGGAGAGTTACCTCGACCTCCTGCTCCGTCATATTCTGTCCACTTCGCTTCTGGCCCTCGAGAACATCGTACAGCGCATAGATCTGGTCAGCTTTCATGTCCACTTCTCTCAGCAGCTTCTCGATCTTTGTACCCAGTGACTTCCTCTGTCGCTTATTCAGAGACGCATCCAGCTTATTATAAGCTCCTTGATAGGTGACCAGCTGTATTTTTAGATGCGACAGCTCATCCTCCAATGATTTCAGCACTGTAGCCAGAGCGGCAGCAGGAGCTTGCGCCGGCCGTAAAGTGGGCTCCTGATTGAAGACAGAAGGCTTTGGCATACGCTCTGAAACCGGGATGGGCTTAGGAATCTTCACCGTATTGGTATGGTCGCAGTGATCGCAGGACAGTGTCCCCTTGCAGACCGTACAATTTTTGCCATCGTGTTGCGTGGCACTATCCAGTGCCCTTTGTGCTGATTCTGGCAGCTGTGTGGGGTTCTCAGCAATAACATTGGCATGGTTGAGGGTAATGTCAGGCAAGATGAATGCGGAGGTGATGTCCTGCGAAGTATGGCGCCGCCGCCGAGGAGCTGCAGAATGATCGGAGTGACGTCTGGGTCGCTCGACAGGTACGGACAAATTCGTGTCTCCCTCGGCCACGCTAGCCTTGGGCGTCCCTGTGAAATCACCCATGGCAGAGGCGGGTCGAGCCGGTGCTTGCTTGCTGTCTTTCAGAGATGATTTCCGAGGAGCTGCTGTTTTTGATACGCTGGCACGAGTGGAGTTTTCTGTATCGTTTAGAGCTTGATCTTTCACTACATTCGACTGACGTCGTTTGCGTGCCAGCCGTTCTTCCTCCAAAGTCTTGCGCAACTGGGCGATCTCACGCTCCTGTAAGTTTGTTAGCATTGGTAGGCTAAAATCTGACCGGCATTGGGTACATACGTCAATGAAGCTCAAAAGTGTCATGTCCTGCTCGGTTGTAGATGACTTTCGCGTATTGCTAGTGACATCGTTAGTAGATTCTACGGGGTCCGTAACATCCACTTCTTCCACAACCACTCTCTTCACGCGCTGTTTGCTGGTATTGGACTGTTTCTTCGTTTGAGACTGCTTCTCCGACTTATCCTTTTTTAATTTGGATGATTCTCTTGAACGTGGCAAATCGATTGAGAAAAGTGCCTCCTCTGCTCTCTCCATTTCGAGTCGGGAGATCTCCTTGTTAACCTGAGTGGAAACCTTCGCATGGGAGTCTTCCCGTTGTCCAGCCTTGGACCGTGAGCGTGTGCTCTTAGACGTTACCTCCCTAGTCCCCTGGGACACGTTTGCGCTCTGTTGAGTGTCACGTTGGCTATCCTCGGTGCTTGCCTCGCTTGTAGACGTTCGCTCTGATCGGAACGTATCTTCGCGAGCTTTGGATGCATGTTGGCTAAGCCTTGCTAGTTGGGTTGAAAGTTCGGCATTCTCCTGTCTAAGGTTCTCATTCTCACTCTTCAAGTCCTGGGATTCAAGATACGCCACCCCGAGTTGAGAGACTGCCATATCTCGCTCCTTATTCAATCTCTTTAAGGCAGATTCCTGGATCTGGGCCTTCCGCTCAACAAGGTCGAGCTTGTTTTGCAGGGCCATATTGGCTGCATCGAGTTCTGGAAAGGAAACATTAGCGTTATAGGAAGTAAGGGCTGTTGTCGTACTCACTCTGATTCTCATTGATGAGACGGTCTTTCCCGTAATCATCTTCATCGCCACCATATCTGCTCTTACCATGCTTGTCCTTACGAGGCTTGCCTGATTTCAAAGACACATTTTCCTGTCGCATCTCCTCAATTCTCCTCTCGGCCTCAGCCTTGGTTCTTTCCAGTTCCGAAACTTTGTCTTGCAGGAGCCTCAGGGACACAAATAAGGCCTTCTCATCTTCGGGTATCGGAACAGCGTCGAGGGGTAAATGTTCGCGAGTCATGGAAACATCAGTGATATCGCGTGGAGGCGAAACAAATCGCGTTGTCCGGGCTCTGTTTTGGCGGCTGTAAACGGGAGTGCCGTCTTCATACACACCCGAAACCAATTCAGAAAGGTTGGGAAGATCTGGGAGTAGAAATGACTGTTGAGTACCAGTGTCGCCTGCAGCATTTAAAGACGCGTTGCGAGAGTTCGAGGCATATTTTCCTCGACGCATTTCCCTCGCGTATGCATCCTGAGATGCTTTTTCCACGGCATCCGCGATCTGGTTGGAAAGGTTCGCGTTTCCAAATCGTGTGCTCCGCGCAGTGCTCGCGACTGCCGGAGGCCTCTCATCACCAACGAAGGAGCCATCATAAGAGTCGCGAATTCTAGCATGCATGTCGGACAGAGTTCGTCGTTGATCCTTGCGGTTGGATTTCGATGATTGTGGGTCCACGTTTTCTTTCTGAGCAAGACTTGCCCGTCTAAGCTGGGCATCCTTCCGAAGATTCTCGCTAACAGCACGGCGGGACGCATTACGCATAGCAGACTTTTGTGGAGTGTATGAAGCAGGATAATCCAGTCGCATCGCGGGTGACGAGGAACGGACGCTGTTTTCAATGCTCATATACGAGTTTCGTGAGTCATCAAGACGACGCGCTGGCTTTGCGGGACCCCGTCCGACCTCCAGAGAGATATCATCGTTGTCATCACGATCATTGTCCTCTTCCGACGTACCTATCTGGGAGAATTCTGGGAAGTAGCGGTCCAGCATGGAGGAGTTGATAGCAAAGTCGGGTTCATCTTCATGGGGATCGGCGCGGTTTTTCCTTGCAGCTCCCTTCATATCCGGAAGTTGGAGACTCTCGTCGACTTCCTTCGTGGACGCGAGCGCCTCGTGCTCGGGATCAAAATCTGAGCCGAATGACGCGAAGCTATTCGCTGTGTGTTCGCGCGACATGGTGGGTAGAGACTACGCGACGATTCAAGGGGTGATTGATTGCGGAGCTAACAAACCAATTATTCTCGTTGATTATTGACCATCAACTCCGGATATCACGAAAGCAGTCTAGATTGAGTCGATGGTGGCTGATTGGGATGTTTAGATGATGAGCGCGTCGGTCGCCGCGGGTTCCCGAGTCTCAACAGCACCAATCGAGGCTCGGAGGCAGCTTTGAGCACGTTGTCTAGAGTCGGAGAAAATAAATTGATTGTTTTGGATAATATGACAATAGCATATCCTAGCTTAAAGTTCTGGGCGTGAGAACTTCTAGGGCGTAGGGGGATGGAAATGAGGAGGTTGGGATGTGAGTTGTTGGTTTGTTTACTTCGCGGGTGGAGCTGCCGCCCATGCGACCGCCTTTTGGGTCCAGCAATAACAATACTCCACCATTCCAAAGGAAGCTACAGCTAGTCCGTCGATCTATGGAACTTGGAACTCTCTTCGCAATTTGTCTCTCGCGTATGTTTACTATATAAATCCTGAGATAAAAATGACTATATCATCCACCTTTTCACGCACGAAATTTAGTGAAAATAGAGAAGATATAAAAACAAAGAGTAGTAGTAATAGTAACAATAGACAATGCTACCCTTCCCCCAGAACGCCTTGCTAGCTAATAATCCTAAATGGCTATGATCAGAACCGACAGATGCTAGGTTATTAAGGAAAAAATGTATGCAGGAGTTGGAAAAACTTGAGTGTTATACTCGTGACGCCGAGGGACGTATGTTCGCAACAGAACAGCGTCAAGAGAAAAAAAAGAACAAAAGAACAACGTTTGCATAGCCCCTGATGCAAGATGAATCCCTTAACTGACTACGAGAATTAAGCAGTCAAGTTTAGAGATTGTTCCGGAGGGCGATTTTCGTCCCCTGGCTGGTGGCTTGTGGGAGTAGTAGGAGTGTTGCTGGCGGGGCTGGCCATATCGATTTGAATTGTCGGCAGTGGAGTTAATTCCCGCAATTGGGGAGGACGTTCTCCTCGGTCCAATACTGGGCTTTCATACGGCGGCGCATCCCCCCAATCCAAGTGTTCGTAGTCCGGAGGTGGAATGCTGAGGCTTCCAACGTCTCCCTCCTGGCCTGCTGAATGATCAGAGGGAGTTTGAGAGTGGTGACGGGTCAGAGCATCGGTTTCAGAGGGCGTGGATTGCATCGAGGAATAAGACTCGCCTCGCGAGTGGACGCTCATCAGCATTGAACCGGATGACCGATCTGGTCCCTCCGTGTTGATGGAATCAGTGTTGGACAACAGAGGATGACGATCGGAATCTGGCGATCTAGCGCGAACACGCGAGCCGTCATGCCGAACCTGGCCTAAAGCGGCATAGGAGACACTAGAGATCCTCCTGTCACGGCCCCGAGACTGCTGTTCCACCGTGGCCAACACCGCAGTCAGGTTGGTATTGCTGCCGTTGACGGAGGCGCGACTCTGGGTCCGGGCCCGACTCTGCATGCGCAGCTGCTCCAGGCGGATATAGTCACCACGGGCACGAGCTTCGCGACGCTCTTGTCGCCGAGCCTCCCGTTCGGCCTGTTCCTGTCGCCGCTGCTGACGGATTTGGTACAGGGAATCCATCAATTCCTCTCTGCGGGCTTCTTCTTCGTCGGCGGTTTCGGGAAATTCGAGGACAACATCCATTCCACCGCGTTCTCCTTCGCGAGCAATGACTTGCTCTGTGGGCTTCGGGCTCGACGAATAGGCGGGAAGGGTGATCACCGAGCGGACTGATGTATCTCGACGGACAGCACTGTTGGTGTTCATCTCCGACCCTCTCCCCGAGGTGTTGTTGTGTGCATTGTTCCCCTCTTGGCTGTCGGGCACTTGACCATAGGCAGGCCCCACAGGCCATCGATTCCATTTATCCTTCAAGTACTTGCCGGGAATATATTTCGGACGACAGTTCATTCGGCGGAGGGCGCGCAAGGCGAAATACATCATCAAAATAAAAGCCACCGTAAAGGAAATACATGCAGCACACTATAAAGAGCGAGACTGCTTGTCAGGGAGACGACATCTCATGCAGGAAATCTTGCATGGTATTGGGGGAACTCACAATAATAACGATGTTATTTTTGCTTCCTGAATTGTTCTGTCGCTTGTCCAGACCGACCTCATATTGGCGGGCATCAAGTCGTCCCGATTGAGGCGGAATGTACATTTTGCTTTGTTCTTAGATCTAAATAGTCCCGGGCGAGGCAGGGGAAATAGAAGCCCGTGGAGTTATTATTCCGGGACCATGCAGCGATCAGGTTGGAGTAATCAACAGGTTAAGGTGTAGAATTAACTAGTCGGGGAGTGGGTGTGTTTAGGCAGCTGCGGCATATGCCCCGGACAACAAAAGAGGACCAATCTACCGGAGGGGACAGGAAGGCGGATGTGACGGATGTGGTGGACAGAGGAGGCGGAGGGGAGGCTCAGTGATGATCAGTTATACCTAATCTGACATGAACTGTCGAAACGTGATTCAATTCAGGGAATCAAAGCGGGCAGCGAGGCATATATAGCGCGAACGATGGTTGGATAGAATAGGAGGCAGAGCTTGGAAAATGACAGGGCCATGGCCCACAGAGGATAAGAGAAGGGAGGGGAAATAAGGCAAAATCAAATAAGAAATAAATGACAAGAATGCATGAAAAATAGAAAAGTAAAAAGAACGCCGCGGCTAGACAGCGAGAACGATTCGAAGCGGAAAAGCGGAGATGCTGTGGCTGGACGAACTGACGTAGGCAGGCTGGATGAGATTCTTTGCACGAAGAAAAGAGAGCCAATCTAAATTACTGTAGTTTTGATCAGAATAGTATTTATGAATCTTCCGGTGTCTGCGGCATCCACTTTGCTGCCATTTTTAGAACCGTCAAGATGAAGAAATATCACCAAAAACCTTCATTCGCTTGTTTCAATGCAGCTGTCAAGACAGTCTAGATCTTCATTCGTCGGTCCTTTAATTTCAATGCTGTCTCTCCACCTGCCCCAGAGGTTCTGCTTTTCTGGTTCTCCGTGGATGGTTCGGTCAATGATCCTTGGACCGCCTTAAAAAAATACAAGTCCTGAATGCTAATTCTTACTGTATTATCGTCGATTCTTTTCCGGAATAACAGCCGTAAGACCCACATTCCAGTAAATAGATCGATGTATTATTATTCAACCATTTCTCACTCTCTCAACTACTCTTCATCTTTGATAACCTGATAAACTTGCGATTTCCCACCAACGGCAGTGATCAAAACGATGTGATGCACCAATCATGTCCGACTAGCGCTTGTCTCTTCCAATACTAATCCTTCCCTTGGCTAAAGCGCTTATCTCCTCCATCTCAGTCGACCCGACATAGAACCAACCCTCGCCACGGCGTCAACCAGATCGAGTGAGTATAGTATTTTTAGCTTAGAGAAGATGTCCTGTCCCGACTGTTTCCAAGGCCATGTCCACAGCAACGACCTCAAGGGCCAAATCACTACCCTTCATGGGTTCGATGTCTATGTCGCAGAACCCTCGGATGGACCTGACGCCGTGCGCGGGATCGTGATCATCATCCCCGACGCCTTTGGATGGGAGTTTGTAAACAGTCGCATTCTAGCAGACCGATATGCCGAGAAAGGCAAGTATAAGGTTTACTTACCTGATTTTATGAACGGTACGGCCCCAGCTCCGAGAGAGAGAGATGTGAATGACTCATCCCAGTATCTGCACACGCAGGACGCGCAGCTCCTCTCTGGATAATGTACACCATGCGTTCGGTGATGAAAACCGACACCCTCTATGATTGGTTGACCAAACCGTATACCAGCCTTACCTTTCCTCTTTTCGTATCGTTGACTAATTGCAGTACCTAGTTACCACGTTATCTTGGCCGCAGCGGGGTTCCTCTGGTTTCTACATTTTAATAAATTCAGCAAATCCTGGCCCCTTGTCCGGTCGTTCGCCACGGCGGTTCGTCAGAATGAAGGTGCTCGACTTCCGATCGCAGCTGCGGGCTTCTGCTGGGGGGGAAAGCATACCGTCAATCTGGCGCATGGTGTCGAGGTGGACGGTAGGCCTCTTATCAATGCGGCCTTCACGGGTCACCCCAGTCTCCTGGATATCCCTGGGGAGATTGAGAAAATTAAGATCCCGACCAGTTTTGCCATGGGGGAATTGGATAGAGTGGTCAAAATTCCCCAGGTGATGCAGATCAAGCGCATTGTAGAGGGCAATGATGGCGTGGGGGAAGTGAAGGTCTACTATGGCGCGAACCATGGGTTCTGTGTGAGAGAAGATCCAGCCTTAAGGGATTCGGAAAAGCAGGCTGTTGAGGCAGAAGATCAGGCGCTGGACTGGTTTAATCGCCATTTTGCGCGAGTGTCGCTCTAATGTATTATTCTATCTGTCTTCATTGTCACTATGCTCACATTTTCATATATTCATTCAGATGAGCTATATTCTACAATTCTCATATCACTCTGTCTTGAGCCTTTATCAGTGCCTTTAGATGTCCTCCTGGCCGTGCTGCTAGTCTATCGTACGGTCCCTCGTCAATGACGCGGCCTTGATCAAGAACGACGATGTTATCTGCAATCTCCATCATCTCCCTTGCATGAGTAATGATGATCACCGTTAACCCTAGCTGGGCTGAGACCAACTTCTGCACTGTTTGGCGGATAACCTTTGCGCTGGTCGGATCCAGACTAGATGTGGCCTCGTCAAGGATGAGCATCTGTGGCTGTCGAATGAGTGCCCGTGCAATGACCAATCGCTGTGCCTGACCTCCGGACAGACCGATTCCCCCATCCCCTATGACGGTAAAATACCCCTTCGAAAGCGATGTAACAAAATCATCGATGCCGGCAGCTTCAGCTGCAGCACGTACGTTACGCAGTGCTCCACGAGGTGACTCTCTTTCCAACCCGTACCTGATATTGGCTTCAATGGTTCCCGAGAATAGGGTCGGTTGCTGTGAAACGATTGCGACCAATGAGCGAAGGGTTGGTGTATGTAGATGTCGGATGTCAACGCCCCCTAGTGAAATGGTAGGCGTCCCGTCCCGCGACAGTGGCGTCTCGTACAGAGATAACAACAATGATGCTAGAGTTGATTTACCAGACCCGGAGCATCCAACGATGGCTGTACATGATCCATCAGGGATAGTGATAGTAACTCGCCTCAGGGCACATGCCTCAGGTCGTGACGGATATCGAAAATCTAAATCAGTTATTCTCACAGGACCTGTTCGGGCGATGCCTATAGTACCCCGGTGCTCGTGCGATTCACCCTCAGGAAGATTGGCAAAACGCAGAAGCCGACCTCCCACCTCTTTTGAAGTGCTAATTTGGGGGACTAAACATGAGTTAGCATGCGGTTGCTGAGGATGGGTAATAAGAATACTAACTCCATGATAATACTGTGCTCGCATACCCAATGCTAAACAGAAGCATTGAGAACACAGTCAGGATGCTGCTAACTGTGACACCGGCAGAAGCGACCAAGACGGCGCCATAGTAGAAGATTAGGGCTACATAAAACACTTGTTAGCAAACAGCATGGCCCCATTGGAAGAACCCATCACTAACCGCTGACGAATATAATAGTTGTCTCGACCAAACCAAAGACAAAGCCAGTGTAAACTGCCTTTCGTAGTCCAACCGTCACGCACTTTGATGCTGCAAACAAGTATTTCTTATGAAAGAACGACTCAAGAGTCAGGGACCTCACGGTCCGTATCTCTGAGAATGTCTCGAACAATGCCTCTGACGCGATACTATTCGCCTCATTGCATCTCTTTTCCCACAACCCACTAGTGCCCTCGAATCCTCTTGTGATCGCGTATACAATAGGCCCACAGGCTAACGCGACCACTGTCAGCCTCCAGCAAACAGCCATGCTCCATGTGGTCGCTATCAGGCTGATCGCGATGGCAACCAAAACGAACCCAGCAAATCGGCTAACAATGTTTCGCATCTCCTCCCCATCGTGTACGATACACGACGTTATGTGCGCAGGACTATGCCATTCTTCTTCAAACCATGTCTTCGGTTGATCAAGCACAAGCTGAAAGGCTCTCTTCCGAAGACCATCAACCCAGACTTGACCACAGAGCTCCAAGAGATAGCACATGGAATACGAGACTATTCCGTCACCCAAAGCAATACCTAGAACCGCTAATGTCCAATTCATAGCACTTGAGCTTCTGTAGTAAAAGGATTGAAAGAGCTGAGATAGGCAGTAGGAAAACAGGGGTGTCGTGAAGGCATGGCACAACGCGCAGAGGCATCCGATGGCCAGAAGAATGCGCTGTCCTATCGATAACGTCGGTGGGATAGTCAGCATTATTTGTGAAAGTGACGGTGCGCCGCGCCGTTCTGTATGGCAGGCTTCCCTTCTGTCTACGAGCTGAGATTCAATGATGGGCACTGCCAAAGGGGAAGGGCAGTCTGTAGTGAAATGAACCTGGCGAGAACTAGCTTTAGTGCCAGTCTTTTGGACAGAGTCAAGTTCATGCATTGAGATTCCAAATGTATGGTTTGTGTTTTCCGTACTTGAGTTAATTTGACTCCAATGAGACTTGTTCCAAAGACAGCCCCAAACATGTGTGTCAAGTTGCACGTCTGGGCAAGGTGCTTGTATAGAAGGTATCGCACTTATGTCTGCGCCGTTCTGATCATCAATCGTGCTCAATGGCGAGTTATCAGAGCAAATAATAGGAGCTTTACCGGAGATCTTATTCACTTGAGGACGGGAGGCTTTTACAAGCGTGGAGTCTTGGTTATTCGGAGGGAAAAGCCTCTCGTTTCCCGGGATTTTTCTCAGCTCATATCTGTATCCAGCCTGGGCAACCGAACCTTGTTCAAGAATATAGACGAAATCCTGGTCCAGGATCTGTGTGAGGTCGTGAGTGATGATAATAGTTGTCTTCCCCTCACGCCACTTTCGGATCGATCGAATCACCTCAACACAATTCGTGCTATCCAGAGCACTTGTGGGTTCGTCCAAAATTAAAACGGGAGTATCGCGCAACCTAGCTCTAGCAATAGCCACTCTTTGCCTCTCCCCACCACTTAAAAGGTTTCCTCCATAACCAACACAGGTATTGATACCATTCGTCATGTTGTCAGTCACGTTTTGTAGGGCTGATAGATCAATGCATTCTTGAATATCAGCTTTTTTGATCTGGTTGTAGTCTCGACGTCCAAGCGCGATGTTCATAAAGATGGATTCGTTGAACAAGACGCTCCGTTGCTCAACAAGTGTAACGTTGTTTCTGATCCAGTTGATGTCCAAAGCCCGTATTGGTACGCCACCAACAAAAATGTCGCCGGATGTTGGCAGGTAGAATCGCGCAAGAAGCTGCCCAAGAGTGCTTTTGCCGGAGCCACTTTGCCCAATAACAAATGTTGTGTTTCCTGCGGGGAAGAAAAGGCTAGCTGACTCCAAACTGGGCCTATCGGGGCGCAATGGATAAAAGAAACTTAGCTAAATAACATGGCATTAGAATTATTGCGTGATAGACATTCCTTGGTTGCGTTACTCACATTGTTCACTTCGATATCCCCTTCGCAATAGTGTGGATACAAAGTCCCTTTCATTTCCTCTGTATCCTCCACCTTCGTCTCTAAAACCTTCTTCAAAGCGACAGCCGCGACTTTCCCTTTCTCTAATACAATAACCTGTGGCAAAGACAATTCTATGGACTGAGCTGCCGCCAGACATGCCCAGAATGTCCTCAAAACATCGCCAGCCGAGAGTCCCTTAGAAATTGCGAGAGAGCTCCCGTAGCAGAACCCCTGAACAAACATGCCGAACGTCATCAATCGTATTGCTGCAATCTGGAGAGCATTAAGGTGTGCTAATGTGAGATACTCTGACGCCGCTCTATCAATTTGTCGTACGAAGTTTTGGTGTTCAAATTTCTGCCCATTAAGACACTTCACAGTGTCAATTGCATTGATAGCACTGCTGACTACCTTAGATGCCGCTGTTAGATCTGTTTGCTGTTTCTCTATAAGGGCCTCAATCTTGGAAGACAGAAATGAAATTATACTAGAGAATATCGGGATTCCCGCAAGAGTCACGAGGGAGAGACTCCAGGAAGTATAGAATGCTAGGCACAGCGAGAGGACCGCTCGAAACGTATATTGTAATACCAACCCAAGGGGCTGTGAAGTTGCAATTTGAAGGTGATGAAAGTTTCTAAGGAGTGTCAGGGAAAAAAAGAAAGAAAGAAAGGGAAGAGATAGATGAAGGCAGGCCCTCTGAGACTTACGACTGATGATAGGAGAGAAACGCCTTTAATCCATCCCTCTGGCTTTCAAAATATGCCTGGTTCTTTGTCAGAAGACATTCAAAAAGTGTTCTACGAGCCTCTGCAACTTGGAATTCCCCAAAGGCAACGAAAAGCATGAAATAGGCTCCATTACAGATCCAGCCGGCCACGGCGAGGCCTGCCAACGAGATGCAGTGCTTAACTACCCACTGGGTCAGGTCTTGGCCAGAGAGGTGTCCCCCTCCACACAAAATGAAGGAGTTGAAAATCTGACCAAGGAATATAGCGAATACAGGAATAGTTAGACTAGCAGCGACAGCGGTAAGGATTGCCAACCCTAGGAGTGGGATATGGGTTTTGGTGGTGAAATTGAAAAGCGCCAACCAACGCAGCTTCCAGTGCAAGCGTTGTCTTAGGCCACCTAATAAATCGGCCATGATGAATCTACCTTGCACACTATGGTAGCAAAATATGTCGGCGACGTGTACCATATAATGGACGCTTGACGAAAGGGATGTAATGGTAAAGCGTAGAGAAGATACCGTGGACAGCATTAAAGAAAGTAGTGTTGAATGAAAAGGATATTTTGGGAGTTGAGATGTGTTGTGGGACTGTATCAACATCTTTCTCCGATTCTGAATATGGTAATATTGAAGCAACAAAGACAAGGAGATCAATGGGGTCACGGACACCATTGTTCTCGGGTGAACCATGAGAAATAGCCACATCCCGATCTATTCACCATTGTATTCTAACCCCTTATATAATTCCACAGGCTGGTTGGATGGTAGTGGTAGTATGTACATGATATGCTCCTGGATAGCCAATAGTTTAGGAGCCGAGGGATGCAGGATTGCTTCAGAGCACTCTAGGTGTAGGGTAGACAAACTGCGATCGAAGCCACATTTTTGTGTTTGTAGATACCCTCCTAGTAGGCCTCCTAGCAGGTCTCCTAGCACACTCTTAGCAACATCGTCCGCAACGTCTTCCTACAAGCAACTTGCATACAACTCAGAGAACAAGAAAGCTTGAATAGCTCTGAGATTTATTTTTGCGCTCGCTCATAGACCCAATCATTCAGTCCGGCACGATTCCTAAAACACATGAGAATACAGCCGGTTTTCCAGAAGGGAATCAACCTCACCTGGCAATTTCAATGGCATAGAACTGCATTCGCATTGCTGACCCCAAGTTAGATCAACGTAGACTATCCCAGCTCCGCAACTCACCGAAAATCGTCGTCTCTTGGTCATATTCAAACTTGGCATTCGATCGGAGCATTGTCCCGAAGTTGAAATCATTGATCTTGCCCTCAAACTGATTGATCCAGTTTCTCCACTTCTCCTTTCCTTCCTTGCTCTTCATTGCATCCTCATCTATCGTCTCTGTCGGGTCAAAGTCGGGAAACTCTTTCTTGAAGCTCTCGTAGATCTCATCGTCCATCTTCGTCAACCGGAGCTGAGAGCCCCGAACCTTCTCAAGAATCGACCAGTATGTCATCAAATGTTCCACGGCTGTAACATATGATGAGCACGGAGAAAAGGAATAATCGGGCGTAAGATATAGGCGACTCACCCTTCACCGCAAACTGCTTCTCCATCTATATTAGAGTCAGCTTTCCGATCCAAAAATCTGACTAGGTCGGTAGAAACCTACATCCTCCAAGTTCTCCGCCGTCTCTGGGTCAAATGGCTTAGACATTTTGGCGAGCGTGGCCTGATATTACCGAATATATCAAGTATTAACAAGTATAGGTATGAATTGAAGGACGATGTGGTTGATAACGCCAGTGATTTCGTGGAAGAACGTTCGGTCGCAAAGCATGCTTAGTTGCCCTGCGACTTTTTTTTGCCGGGCGGAGATTTTTCGCCCCGCCGAACATTCGTACGTCATCCACCTGCTTCTCTTAATATCTAGAATCGTATGCTACCTAACTACAATTCAAACGTCGTTAAAAAAAATCAGGGGACAAGCACCATTTGCGTTATTTTTGAGGCATTCTAGACATGAATTCATATGTGAAGCTGCTCTTTCTTCCACAAGACTTCCTCAAGGATCGCCAACATATATTATCTGAAGTGTGAAAAATAATATCCTATAGACAAGTCGTTCAATTCTCCATCAATATACGTAAATGGACAAGCTTCAATAACCCAAGTAGAAAAACATAATACATGATCGACACCCAGCCGATTTATATTTAGATACTAAGAATATTGAAAATTAATCACTATCTGAATCAGGAAGTTCTTGTAATCTCCCCTCTTGGAGGGCCTGCGTCACCGGATTCTCTACATTGAGCAACCCGTTGGCTTTGGCTCTGTTTACAGGTTAGCTAGCTCCCGAGTGTGTAGGGGGATATATAGTAGTGGTACCTTTCAAAAAGTACAAACAATCTCTCTGCTTCTCGTTCTTTTTCCTCTTTGGTCATAGGTGGGCCGGTATCCTGTTTTTCTGCATCCCATCTCTGCCCGGTGATCGGATTAACCTCCGGATCGAACTTTTCTGCCGCAAATGCTTCTCCCGCTGTCTGGGGGATCTCCATGCCTCGAGATGCCAACAAACCCGCTGCGAACCCATATCCGATGTTCTTGGTAAGGTTTTCCGCATTCTTCCCGGACAGCGTGAACATGAGCTCGCAGATAGCGGTTTTCAAGTTCGCATATGGTGCAGTGGATAGTTTGAGCAATTTGGATGACAGTGTGTCGGACTGTCCAATAGGTCGACTCCGATCATTATCTTCTGGTAGAAGCAGCCATTCCATATATTTGCGGGGGCCATCTGGCGCTAGCTCATAGATGGCTATAAGCGAGTGGAGGAGCGGAATGGCTTTTGTCTCAAGATCACTCGGGCTGTATAGGGAGGTTGCTTGGTCCAGGATGTTGATCAATTTATCAACATTGCAGTTCTGATTAAAGGTGGGGAAAAGGGGGCTGTTCTCAAAAGGCTTGCCCTTCTTGTTTTCTAGGTCAAGGGTGGATAAGCAGTTGATGAGGTAACTGAGAAGGCCATCTAATGGCTTTTCTGGAATGTCTATACGGCTGATGATTTTAAAGATGTAAGGAATCGAAGGCGCAAAGGCTGCAGCGAGATCGGGATATAGTTTGGAAACATTGAATATAAGTTTCAGGGTATCAGTGAGAGCCAACTCATCCATCTGAGACAAAGGCTTTTTCCCTGACTTGGGAAATTGCTTGGCATGACGGAAGATTTGCTGCCAGACATAAGCGTCGTTCTCATCGATATTTACAGCAAGGCACTTACATAGTTGACATTCTCTCCCAAGCTATGATTATTTATGAGGTCCTCAAAATCCATGGTAGTGTCGTAAGTGGAGAGGAATAGTATGCGACTAGTCACCATTTCATCCTCTGAGGAATCCGACTAGACCGATAGTGAACACCCGTAAGAACTTTAGCTATAGATTAGGTCATACCTTGAGCATTTCCGCTATTCTTCCACCATAGCCTGTCTCAACAAAAAGCTGCCGCATCTCCGGATCCAAGAGCAGGGCATTTGCAACACAGCGCAGAGCAGCACACCGTATATCTACAGTGTCACCGTTTACCCCATACTTGGTCAAAAGGTCTATTCCCTACACGATGTTAGCAGTTCTCAAAAAAAGAAAAAGAAAAAGAAAAAGAAAGGCAGCCCTTTCGGAATATCCCTATACCTTCTTTGAATATATAGGTCCAGCATTTTCGGGATTGGTGCCATGAAGCCTCAACTGTAGAAGAATTTGGACTCTTTCTGCAGAATATGATGTTAGACAAAGAGAAAATCAATGGGGTTTCATCTCATACGTGGAGATTTTAGAGATTTATCCTTTAGATCCTTTTCAAGTAAACCAATAAGCTCTGTAACTTGTTGCAGCTTCTCTGCAACGAGGAAGTGTTATCAGTTAAAGCAGTGTTGGGCGAATTATGTCACACTGGCTGTGCACATACCTGATCCTTGAAGCGCCCGGACCTCCATGTTCATTGTCTGCTCGTTTGTTTCACCCCTAGGGACTGATTAAAAAACCTGGTGCCCACTGTGAGTCCCGGCCAGAGCATTCCCTATTTGCGGGGGCGCGCGGGGGAAAAGCCTACAAAGCACCGGCAGCGATAAGTCTGTGGTGGTCCACAATGAAAAGAAGTTGAAGGGGTTAGTGTAGAGAAACAAGCTTATTTAAGTGGTAAATGCTAAAGAATGCTGTCGAGGAAAGTTTCTTCAGGGAAGGCTAGGAGAAACCCACTAGCTAGTACAAGGAGGTCTGCCACAATTGTAGGAGGGTAGTTAGGTATTGGAAGCTATTGTTGGATGGAGTGATCAATAGGCGGGCAGAAAGAACCCCACCGGAGCTCAATGCCCAATAATACTGAAAGCCCGCTACTTTCTTCGCTCATGTGAGTAAAGAAGAGGGAAAGGAGTGCAGGAAACTTCAGATTATTTATTACTATTCTTATCCAATCTTTTTTCTGTCGATTCTGCGCAATTTTTGATTGCCACCACCGAGACCATGACTGGCATCGGCTGCCTTACGTGTCTGCCTCAGGCTCTAAATCTGTTGCCTCAGGTACTATTCGCGCCACAGCCACTTTACGCGTGCCTCAGCCACAGGCGCGTCTTCGTGAAGGCTTGGCGCGGCCCCAGAATCTATCGAGCTAGGTAGTGTCTGGGATGTATCAAGTGTTCCGTTTTCTCAACTGTTGCTGCGGATCACGGCTTCTGCTTGGGCTGTGGACACTGTGGTTCGAATGCGCAGTTGACATACACCGCGATGGTTCTTACCCTTCTTCGCCTCCAACCCCATCCTTCTTATTCTTCGATCCTATAAAATATGGTGGAAGTCCTCGGTCCTCTGTCTGCTCGTCCACCTACTCCACCAAGGACATCGTCCCGCACGCTGTCTGAGAAAGATCGAACGGAGGATTCCCCAGTTGTCGCGCAGACTCCTGGTGAGCCACCATTCACTACAAGTGCATCCAATGGCGCTCCGTCCAGTCGACAATCTAAGCGAGTAAACTTCTCGCCATGGACGAAATACATCAAACCTCCGTCCTTTGCCAACTCCGCTGCGAAGCCGAAGACCGACCTCAAAGTCCTTCCACCATCCAATAAATGCAAGCCCACGAAGTCCATTCTCAAGTCGACAAATTCTCCGGCTCCCGTTAGCTCGCCAAATCCTACGTTCTATACCCCTGACTCTTTTGCTATGCTGTTGAAGTCCATCACACTGCAGTTGGCTGGAGAGTCGACTAGCTCGCGACTCGATGCCTACATGCACTTGTTTGGTGCGCTGAGAACATATGATGGTCTTCCTGAGGAACAAGAAATTGCAGAATATATAGGGCTGCTCATGCAGTACATCCAGAGAGATATTAGCAGGAATTTTGACGACGTTGGGCCTCTAGACACAAACCTCGTGATTCAAGCTCTAAAAGTTTCCGCTGCATTGGTGTGGCACACTGAGATATCTGCACGGCTGTCTGATGATTTCAAGATATTCCTCGTTGACCACTCCATCAGTAGCTTGCAAGATAGCAAAGTACCAAAATCAGTTATGACACACTACATGTCAATCTTGTCGACGCAGAATTTCGGTTCAAAACTTATGACTAACGCTCGGCTCTCACGTCTGCTTACGGTACTAAATGAACTCACTAATAGAGTGACTGGAAGTTCTATCGTCTCGCAGCGTTTGAGCATTTACCAGCGTATCCTCAGCCAGTCCAAATCGACATTCGTGACTCATTCGACTGTATGGATGGAGCATCTCATATCTGGTTTGCTTCATCATATCAAAGATATTAGAATAAAGGCCATCTCCCTAGGGTTTCAGACGTCGATGACTTTCGGACCAAACCCTATATTGTCCAAATCTATCCGAGACATATTTGACCGCTCTTTGGACAAAAATAGGAAATTAGTTACTGAAATATGCGAGCGAATGGCACGAATGATGGCCACTGCTGAGAGTGGAGTCCATGTTCCTCAGGTCTGGAGCGTTGTCATTCTGCTCATAAGAAACAAACGTTTAAATGTCGACCAGTGGAATCACTTCAAAGAATGGGTGCTTGTGCTTCAAAAATGCTTCAACTGCAGCGACTCGTCAATTAAAGCACAGGCAATTGTCGCGTGGAATCGATTTGTTCTTGTCGTTAGTCCGGGCGAAATGACGAGTCGTTCACTGTTGAAAATGCTGAGCAAGCCAATATTGTCACAATTTGAACGAAAGAAACAAGACAAGAACGGGTCGCAGCCAAGCCAGTTGGTCTTGTGCAGCTATTACAATCTTCTGTACTATGCGTTCAGGCCATCAGCGTCGTTTCAACATCTTGATGTCGTCTGGGAGGAATACATTGGTTCTCCCTCATCGAGTATATTCGCTTCAGTTTCCAGCTTGAGTGACCGGCTTGCTGATGTGCTGTCCAACATGCTATGGGGCCGACAGTCTAAAGTCTGGTGCGAAAATAAAGTTAATGAAAGCAATAAGCTCGACCCCGAGGAACTGCCTACCCTTGATTGTAGGTGGGTGCGGTCGAGGATCACATTGATATTGAAAGTTTTCGAGAACATATTCAAACTATCAGTATGGGATGATACAATAGAGCAGTCAAACATTGCTATTGCTTGGACTGGTCTCTCAAAAGCTTTGTCTTATGCCGCCAGCAAGGAGATTACTCCTTCTCCAGAATCAATGCAAGTTGTTGCTCACGTTCTTGGCCTTCTTCAGCGTCTCTGGAAGGTTGGCCCGTCTTCTCTAAATGCGGCTGAGGGTAATTTCATGGACAAATTCCTCGAACGGTTTCAGTTCCTTTCTACGACAATGATCTCCTCACTCGGGGGCATTCCATTTACCGAAAAGCTCCTTTTGAAAACTGCGGATGCCACGTTTCAAGCAGCCAACTCTCCTTCGCATCGTCATTCGCAAGCAAACTCAAATCTAGATAGCCCAATACTGCATTTTCTCCGGTTGATAAGTGACATGTCTGGGACTTCTGAACCAAGTCCTTCTTATTTGCATCTGATCAATACTACAATTAAGGCTGCATGTAATGGAAAAATCTCTAGAGGTTCTCGCCTTGAACTTCTTCGACAATGCGCACACATACACCGAAGTGAAATGGAAGTACATATTGGTGCTGATAGCTTTTCTTCAATAGTCTGGAGGTCAACTGCACATCTTGCTGCCGATTCCCTTTGCTCCTATCCAATCGAATCAGCCCGTGAGCGTGATGGGTCGGTTTCACGCGATTATGAAAATATCGTCAAAATCCTCTCTACAGGGCTAAAATTTCCTGGTGTTTCCTTGGAATGGAACCAGCTTCTGGACTCCTTTGTTCGCGTTGTGCGAACTGAAAGGAGCGACCGGGAGATTGCTACAGTGGTAGTAGAGCCTCTCGCCGAGAGTATGATGGCTCTTCGCGTTCGGGATACCTACTTGCCCTCGGCGTCCCTATTCAATCATTCTCTTTCCATTTCGTACTGCCACCAGACTATAGAGGGCAACGGGGCAAACTTCAACCTTTATCCTTGCACCAGCGAGACTTTGCTTTTCCCCAGAAAACTAGTTGAATTGGTGAGTCGGACACTTAAGGATTCTTACCAAGAATTCGAACCTATGGACTACAGCGGAATTGCAGACTTCATAGAATCTTTGACATCCTTTTTGGGCTCCGGGGTTTTGGCTTTTCGCTCCTCAGTCCTTGAAAGTCTCCAGCTACCCCTTGCAGTATGGCTGAAGGATGGAGAGCACAAGCTTAATGTTAATAATGGTGTGGAAAGCAGGATTATCACTGCGGTAGGTGTACGATGCAAGGGGGTGTGTATTTAGTTCTAACGCGGGACCAGGGTCGAGCTTTATCTTCAGCTGTTCTCAACATCCTACAGGGGACAACACCTCACGATTCTAAGTGCCTGCAAAGATTTGAAGGTATTATACATGCTGGTCTAGAATCATCACATGTGTCTATAGTAAAGAGATTCCTTGAATTTTGGAACCTTACTTTTGGCGCACAAGCATCCATTACTTGCCCAGAAACCATTTCATATGCTTTGAAACAGCTTGGCATCCAGCCTAAGTCCCAGAAGCCAGGCCTGCAGTTGCTGGGCAAGGTTCAGGTATGTCTTGAGTAAGACCCGGTACGGCTCACAGATACTAAAAAGTACTAGGACAATACGCAATCGACTTCTTCAGGTTCACGAGCGAGCACAGAGAGCTGCCCAGCGGACATGTCAGAGAAGTCCCGAATTGCATTCATTCTGGATGATCGATTTGAATCGTCCAACCTTGCAGGCTTCATCTCGTCACCTATCACCAGGGTACCCGAATCCTTGAGTGTATCTTTAGAGAATCCAAATGAATCTCAAATTCCTTCATCGCCGCGAACTGATGATACACCGGGCCAACCTAACGGCACAGCCCAATCGCCCTCTTTACAATTCAGCATAGAAAAGCACCAACAGCGCAGTGACGTGTTTTCAATGATTGAAAACCTTCGGTCATCATCACCACCTGGTAATACACCAAGGGAGCTTGGATTCATGACTCCTCCACATTTGCGAAATTTACACAATGCAGATCGTGAGGCGGAAACTCCTCAGACACCTACTTTGCCGCCTATTCCCGCTGATAATGAAGAGGATTTTCTCGGTTCATCTCCAACTCCCGGCACGAGAGACCGAACTCATACTGGTGGATCATCCCTACACACCTCTTTGATGGCTCCGGCAGTGTCCTCACAAATGGACACCGATCCCCCTTCATCGCCGCCGGAAGTGAAATCTCAGAGTCCAAATTCCGAAAACAAATCTGCTAATACGGAAAGCATGGCTACTAGGGACAAAGCGGCCAAGAATCGGAGAAGAAGGCAAAAGAAAAAGGAAAAGCGGTCTAAAGGATCCACAACCTCCTCTCCTACCAAGCAGCCTGATGCTCAGACAACGCCTAAAGATGCTACTGAAAATAACGCCGCTGCCCAATCAGAGCAGCCTTTAAGTAGTCGTCTTCGTTCCTCTGCTAGTAAAATGCCACTCGATCCACCAGCTGGAACAGACCCAACACAATCATCGCAGGCCCCTTCCAGCTCCAGTAACAAAGAATCTACCGCCAGAGGTGCATCAGTGAGCTGTCATCCACCAGTTGAAGTATGTGACAGCAGCAAGAAACAACCGGGAGCGGACTACATTGCAGATTCGTCCAGTGACGACATGGAAACCCAGATTGCTTCTCAGCTGGAACAAGATCTTGAACTTGCAGTTGATTTAGATGAACCTGGCGAACAACCCGCAGAGCCATCGAGCCAGCCTCCAATGACTCGGAAGAGGAAGCGCGAAACACACGAAACAGCCGTTTCAACACCCTCTAATTATGAACGACGTCGATCATCTAGACTGTCGAGTACGAAAGATAATATTATAAATGATGTCGAGGAGGCTAGGACAGAAACATGTTCCAAGAAATTAACGGCATCCAATCCCACAGAGAATAACAGGTCATCGCCAGCTGAATCGGTTCCGCAAAAGCGAAGACGCCACTCCAAGGGAGCTGCTGATGAGGGAGAAGTTCGATTTGCCGTTCGAGAGCAATGTTACACAAACCGTACAGCTAAGGCCACAGACCCTTTGGATGCGTCATCCCAGAAGCGTAGATCAACTCGTCTGAGTGGTCATGTCGCATCAGTCGAAGAAACCCCTGTTTCTAATTCACCGCGAAGTAGTCGGTCTCGAAGACAAAGCACGAAGCAGAAGGAACCCACTCCCAAGGCATCTCAAATGAAATCTGTGGCGAGCGAGGCTCGCACCGATCCCACCGCTAAGACTAAATTGCAAGATGAAGTGCCCGTTAATGTCGAAATCAATAAAGTCTCAGAGACATGCGAGTCCCAGACCAACGCCCAAACGAGTGAACCCGCCTCTCCATCAAAAGAACAACTACCAACAGATAGCATCGACATCCAAATGAGTGATGCCGCTGGCGCACTGATCAAGAAGGATCCTAAGATCAAAATAACGGGATCCCGTTCGGTAGGAGCGAACAGCAGCAACACCGACGCGGACATTATTCCATCCCTGCACCAAATATTGGACAATGTCAAATCATCTACACTGGACAGAAGAGCCCTCAAACAGATCGATGACTTGTTATTTGATATCCGGGTAGAGATGCACGAGGCATTAAGGCGGCATACTGGTTGATATTTTTGTTTGCATAGCGAAGGCGTTGTTTTTTCTATTATTGAACCTTTTTTTTTTCTCGCATACTCATTTGAATTCCCATCCTGGCTATGTTGCTCATTTATACCAAGAGAAGGGGCAAAAAAAAAAAAAAAAAAAGGAGAAGAGAGAACAGAGAAGAAGAGAAGAAGAAAAGAGGAAAGGAACCAAATGGCCCTGCAACGAATTGTTTTGTCTAATGTTTTTGTGTTTTAATGTCTTTATCTCGTTGGGATAGAGACTACCAGGCTGGTAATTCGGGCGCGCAAAAGTAGGCCAAGGTATCGCTGTACATGGATATGCTTAGGGCAATAGTATTAGAATATAGGCCAATTCTGCACATGTTTATTTGTAAGGTAACAACAAACAACACCTACTTACACCTAGTCAATTGATTTCCATTCCTTAGAACACCTCACACCTATCCCAACGACACCCAGAAAATTAGGTACCACTATACTATGCTATGCTATACTACTGTCCATTGCCGTCCACTAAAACACAAGTTTAAGAACCCGTCTCCACGCGGGCATGGCAGCAATGCGTTCGCGGTCTGCACGAATCTCATCCCAATCTACCTCACGACGGCCACTATCGACATCGATTTGATCAGTGCGGAGCCAGCCTGTTCTCTTCCAGAGAAACCCGCAGATCCAGAAGAAGAGGACCACGGGGAAAGCGAGATAGGTCTTGAAAAAGCCTTCTGCATCGTTGATGCCACCCCCTGGAGGGCAGATAGCCACGTAGAACTGAGAACAAAGATATCAGACCCGAACCTCAGGTGGAAAAGGAGGGGGGATCGGCGTAGAAGGAAGAAGAGGAACATACCTGCGCGATCAACACCAAAACGACCAGAAGGAGACCTAGATAGGAGCCGTAAACGCCACCGGCCGCCTTGAAGGGGATTTCATCAAGAGTGTGGCCGTGGTATTTCCAGGCCGAGCGGAAGCGGATATGGGCCAGACAGATAGAGCCCCAGGTGAAGAGGGCAGCAAGACCGGAGAGTGCCTGAAGCCACTCAAACACCACAGGTCCCTTGGCATCGAGGTTGACGTAGCCAAGAAGACCGAAGGCAATCAAAAGAGCCACCGATAGGAGCGGACGGCCCGAGCGATCGACATAGGTGAAGATCCTGGGGGCATAGCCTTGTTCGGCAAGAGCAGTCAGGGTCCGTGAGCCACCGTAGACGCCGGAGACGCCGATGGACAGGACAGAGACAAGGATGATAACGTTCATGAAGCTATCATAGCCTTTAAGGCCCGCGTCCGCGGCGAGGATGACGAACGGGGAGGCATTAACGTCGATGAGACCAGAGCCCAGCAGTCGATCGTCATCGGAACGGACCAGCAGGCCCACAAACGTAAGACCGAGAATATAGAACCTATGGAATAGTCAGAGGTTGGAGAATTGCCCATTAAACATAGGAAGAATGATGCATACAGCGTAATTCGCCAGAAAACTTGCTTAATTGCTCCGGGTAGGGCTTTGGCAGGATTCTTGGCTTCGGCGGCTGCAAGGCCAACCAGCTCGGTTCCACTGAAGGAGAAAGCAGCTGTCACAAAGACAGAGCAGAAGCCCCGGAATCCGTTGCGGAATGCACCGGGGTCGTACCAGGTGCGTGCGCCCCAGTATTCGCTATATAGACCGCCAGATGGTCCACCCCCACAAATGAGAATCAAGGCAATGAACATGAATACAACAATAGCGCTGAGCTTCAATAATGACGACCAAAACTCCTCTTCAGCATACCCAAGTGTGCCGAATATGTTCACGACTATAATGAGGACCAGGAAGACGGTGATCCATACTCCCACACTTACATCTACTTTCCAGTAATTAAACGTCAGACCGGCCACAGTGAGCTCCAGCGGTACAACGACGGCCCATTGGGCGACGTAGTTCCATCCCATTGCGAAGCCCCATGACGGGTCAATGAACCGAGTCGAATAGGTGTAGAAACCACCAGAGATGGGATACATGCAAGCTAACTCCCCCAGAGCATAGACTAATAAAATAACGTATGGATTAGATTCATCCCATCCCACTTCGAAGGAGGTAGTGTCAACTGACCGACGTTGAACATCATGACGCCAATAATCATGAAATCGAGGAAAACGGAAGCGGGGCCCTATGGCAACTGTCAGGATCTGAACAATACACGAGTCTCCCATGTGTTCGTGGGAAAGACTTACCCCAGTGCGAAACGCACCACCCGAACCAACAAAGAATCCAGCTCCAATCGAGCCACCAATAGCAATCATATGCAAATGACGGGGTTTCATATCTCGATCGAGAACCACGCCATACTGGGCGGGTCGGCGCTGGAAAGACTTGAAGTTCAAGCCATTGCGCGTCAAGAAGTCAGGCTTCTCGGTTTCCTCGTAGGTACCAACATTGTAATTATCATAGTTATAGGCTGGGGGAGATGATTCATTCCCAATGTCCACGTCCTTTGCTTCTACAGCAGATTTGGTCTCCATTTCAGATAGCATCAAGGCAAATGGATGTTTGGTCAGAAAGGGGGAAGGTGGACGGAGATGTGTGAGAGAGAGATATAGACACACCAAAGCTCCGAAGCGATGGGATGGTGAGATAGACGAGCGCAGCGTAGACCCCGTTACTTATTGTCCATTTTGCCAACGCGATAAGGGCCAAGGCCCTTCCAATTCCCCCCTTTCCCCAATGCAGCTGAAGCGAGATCAGAGCCAATCTGGTGGTTGAACTCTTTTCTGTTTCTGGTCTACGGTTAGCGTGCACGGAGTCTGACGTTACAGTGAGAGATTCTTGGTGCGGACGCCGACGGGTTCAATCCATGATCCGGAAAACACAAGCGCGGCCGGGGATTGGAAGATAACAAGCCGTTGCGCCACGCGAACCCAGGGAATGAGTCTCAGACTGGTCACTCGGCGTAGAGGCACGAGATTATTAGGGTTGGGGGGCGTACTTGGCGCCATGGACAACAGCCTCGGCGTTTCTGGGCTGTCCCCGTTCGGGCAGTGCTCCGTCGTCAGCCATCCAAAGCCCGGTCAGACACGCCTACATCGCTGGCTATCGTCGGCTTTGGTTTCTGTTCGATCTGGGAGAGAAGGGTTTCGAACATTGTGATCTCGTGGTGCTCGGGCTGGACCATACGACAGGGGGCTCCGACTCCTCTGGCCAAAACGAGGTGATCCACTTAATATAATTTGCACTAGTGAGTGGTTAAAGTGGCTTGGCCCCCAGGGTCTGGGGAAGTCCGTATCCACTCATATCGAGTCTGATAGAAGGAAATGCAGATAAGAGGTATTAATCCTGCAATGACTAACGGTGAGAAGGGGACGGCACCTACATAGTAGTACCTACTAGCTTCCCTCTATTTCTGATTTGATCCAGTTCAGGCCAGCCAGTTAGTTAGATGAAAAACCAACACATGGCTGGCGATTTGCGGGGTCAGCTCTTGGCTATGTCGACTGGTTGGTATGGTAGTAGCAGGCTCGTCAGCTCGTTCCCTCGATAGTAATGCCCCAAATCACCAGCGGTGAGCTCTCCAACCATTTCGAATTCTTGTCGTCTGGTGAAATCCTTCCATATCCATCAGTATCGACAGAGATGTAGTGCCAGTTCATCGCTGCTGATACCTAGCACTGCACTCCTAGTATTTCTGTTCCAATGCCCGGTGGAAGCGTTCGGCGGTGATGGGTGGCCAATCCGATCAGTCAGCAGCACCACTTGGGTACCTGGCGCCTCTATGCGTTGCGGTCTTTTTCGTGTGTATTTGGTATGTCGAGTTGAGCCCTGTTCCATCCCCACTGGGCATATCATATACAAGTAGATTGACGTCCCTCTTAAGGGTAGCCGTCGGTTCCAGAAATCGTTACTTTCACAACAGTATTCCTCCATCCAGGATAACCTTCGACCCGGAGAACCCGCCGCCCAACAGTGTAAACCCGTCAGTGATAACGATCAGTGATATCAACAATCGTTTTCCGTTGACAGTTTATCACATCTGGTGGACAGACCGAAATCATAAACTTGCCACCACACTTCCGACCACCTCGTACGCGTCGGATCCTTCGACAAGATGCGACGGGAGCACTCAACGCGCGGTCGGTCATCACCGAAACGCCACCTTGTCGGATAATCCGTCAGACGACCTTTCTAATAGTTCAAAACATCACTATGAAGATGTGAAGGCAAATGCCGCATTATCTACGAGCGACACTCGCTCCATGTGCGCTATTTGTATGGAATGGTTCGATACTGTCGACGTGATCAGGCCGCTGACCTGCGGACACATCTTCCACTCGGCGTGCGTGGATCCCTGGCTTAGCCGACGTCAGGCCTGCTGTCCCTTGTGCAAAATGAGCTTCTCGCGCTGTAGAAGACAGTCGGAGGAAGAGACGATTCCGAATGCATTGGCAATCCCAGTGCTACCAGGAATAGCAATGGTCCGAAACACAATTCTTCCCCATCGTGGTTAGAACTCTCCACCAGTCAGCTTCCTGCGATAACCTGAGTGGAGCGTCGACAGATGCCTGCCAAGGCCTGGTTGCCAACTGAATCAGAAGCCAAGATATGGTGTTTCACGTAGCCCACCTGCGGTCAATCGTTAGGGGGAACTGTGGATATTCATGCCAGCCGGGTTTACCCTTTCTTCAAGCGAGGTTGATTGTTGCTTTAGGGTTATGCTTCCTGCTTCAAGGTCGGGCGATGTGGGTCGCCCGTTCCCCATGTGTTGGGGCTTCTGATTACCCCATCCCTTAATAGTATCCATTTCTCGCAATTCGTGAACTTGATCCGGATGCTCAGCCGAGATCATGTTGATTGCCTCTTCATCACTCGTGCGTGACTCATTCGCTGGTCCTGTGGCCTTTTCATGCCGCCACAGTCCACCGAGATGTAGAGCTTGGCTGTATGGCAGCGATGGGCGTGTTTGAGAACGATTGACCATAGTTCCCACAGACCGCGAATCCCCGGTCGATCCCTTGTTTGGCCGGTTGCCATGCTGTTGATATTGTCTGCTGCTGTTTTGAAATCCATTCAGGCCAAAAATCAGGCGAAGAAGAGGCCACAGGCATATCAAATTTGCGACATATATCGCCGTGCTCGCTTCACGGATGTACCAGATTTGGTAGGTGGTTGTCAGCGGCGAGGCAAAATTGAACACTTTATTAAGAATCGCGGCAACAATGGTGAAAAGTCCCAGGCTCATGATACACATCAAAATGGCCTTTTTGCTCGTTTTCAGCTGTGTTTTGATCAGGAGTGGGATTGGTACGGCTAGCATCGCTGCGTCGGATGATATGTTAAACACCGCCTGGGTGATGGAATAGTACTGGTAGGTCGCACACTGCATGTTTTTCACCGGCATAGCCCAGTATTGTGAGAACGGGCGACAGTAAACGGCATAGTATGTGACCATGATTACGACAAAGCCAATGCCGACATATACCGCAATGATGCGAACATAGAGGTGCAGCCGAAGATTCTTCGTCAGTCGCCAGAACAAGCTCAACATGCAAATTTTAACCCCCCACGTGGAGAAAAGCATACACTGTTCAAGTCCAATAACAATTTTGCTCCCAAAGATCCGGTCCCTCACTTCCTTGGGGTCTGCTAGAACTTTGTCATAGTCCGCAGGATCCATGAGATTCGTTGCATAGCGTGAGGAAATTTGGATGAGGACGAGCAAACCCGTGTAGATTAACTAGAATCAGGGCAATTCATTAGCCTGTTAACCAGTTTACCGCTGCTCAGTACTTTAAGGGCTCACAAAAGTTGCAGTCATAACATAGTCATCGACTGTTTTCATCAAGTTAGTGCACGCTTACTATTGGGATCTTCGCTAGAATGGCCTACAACTCAAGCGCTTAATAGACCCACTTGCAATCATTCGAGATATCCTATTTAGTGAGCCGATTATCCGCATCTAAACAATATTCATGCGTTGAGGAGAACATACATTCTGCAAATGTATAAAACAATGGCAATGCTCCAAAAACTAATGGCCTCGGTGAGAAGCTGCTTGGGAGTGGGCGACACATTCCCCATCTTCCTAGTAAGGGCTTTGGGGGTCTGTTATCAAGGAAACCGATTGTCTAAAAAGAAACTCCCATGAACATCAACGTAGATGATATTTTGTACTATGATGTGAACATTACCACAACGAGTAAGGGGTTGCCCAGGGACTTGAGGGGATAAAAATGGCCCAGAAGTCTCATGTTCACTTCCTGTTGTAGCCTCACTAGCCCCGGTTATCGGCATTCTAGAGGGGGGCTATGGAGGTAGGGAGCTGTTTGTGCCTGGGCACTTGGGGGTTTCAATGTCGCCTGGTAGTGGAGAAGCAAGGGGGGTATGAAAGGCAAAGAGTCCAACCCATCAAGGGAGACCGCAGCAGCGAACTGTAGGGCAGTTGCAGTCATTATTTCTTTTTGTCCCCAAGCAAAAATCCAATTCTATACACTTGCAGATTCTCTGTTTAAAACAGAACTGTTGAATATTACTAGGAGAATCCGTATTTGACCATTGGCGAAAGGTCGTACAGTGGCTGTTGGGGGGAAAGAAAAAAAAGGGTCATTGCTGTACAGAGTGATTCTTCATTCTAAAGTGAAGGTTTTGATCTTCAAAGGCTTTTGTGATGTATGAAGGCAACCAGGGCTGCTTGGCGAACTGTATTAGCATAGCGTCGCTCCCTTGAACGGTCTGTCCAGGCGATGCCCTCACATTTCGGTGTAACATTTAGTATGACTATCTCTTTACTAAATTCTGGCAGCTGCTGGGTGTACCCACTTGGTTGGGACCAGGGCATTATCTTGAACCAATTCCGACGCGACTTGAGGTCACACATACAGGGCCGAGATTTATTCCGCAGACTGCAGGCGTCCAAGGAGGATTGTGTCGAGGACTGTCGGTAGATCCATATAGCTTTTTTTATCCTGCATCGTCCCAGATTTGTTCCCAACTATAGCAAAGCTCAAGCATGTGATCGTCCTTTTAACTTTGCGGATATGCAAAATGACGGTGGAAAGTTCATCAGGCCTCTCAAGTCGAAATCCCAATTAAAACGGCGGTCAGAAATATTCGATAACCCTATCCGAGCCCCCGACCCCACTGTCTGGGTTGTGTTTGCTTGGACGTGAATTCTGCTCGGACGATACGAATTCGTGGTACCTCATTTCCAGTGCAATTACAGTCATCGGTGAATATTCCGAAAAGCCATAGAGTGTGAGAGGGTGTATCCTTGCGCAGATGAATCCAAACTTCCCTGTCATGTTATTCAGTGGTGACGAGTGTAGAACCAGAGGGAGAAAGGGGGAGAAGGAGGGGGGAAGGGAGGAAAGGCCACAAGAGGAGAAGAAGTAACCCCCGGGCACGTGGTCCCCTCCATTGATCTTTCCGAGGAGATGAACGACTCCCCAATTCTTAAAAATGTACTGGAACGTGGCCTAGGGAGATCTATCAGGATCCTGCCTGCTTCTATCACTTACTCGCTCCATCAGCCATCCCTTGCCTACTAGGACAGGACCCTTTTTTGCCTCTCTCCCTGGATCTCCGATATCGAGTCCAGTATGAAGTGCACGTGGCAGCCATATGGGCATTGATGCCCTTGCATGAAGGCCAAACGATATCGTTGTATACAGTCGTCGACAGAGACAATAAATGGGACGACTGGCCCAGTCAACAGGTCGAGACTAATCACGCAACTGAACGATACCAAACACATGGACGCAACTCGGCTAGAGGTTGCCCTCGGCCATAAGCAGGAACTAGTTCGAAATTTTGACCTATTTAGTCTGACCAGCCTAGGAATCATAATTGCAAAGTACGTGAAACCAGTGAGGACCCATCTAGTTTGGAGTTGCCTAGGAATTAACGAAAAGCAGTGCCTGGGCTTCAATAGGCGGAACCATCGTTACAGCTTTGCAAAATGGGGGTCCTATGGCAGTCTTGTACGGTCTCATCCTTGTCAGCGTCTTTTATACCTTTATATCGGCCTCTCTTTCGGAACTGGCATCCTCTATGCCGTCGGCGGGAGGAGTCTATCATTGGTCATCAGTTCTGAGCGGACAGTATGGGCCAATTGCAGGCTTCTTTACTGGTTATCTGAACGCATGTGCTTGGCTTCTATCGGCCTGCTCCATTAGTTCCATGATGGGGAACGAACTTGTGGCCATGTATATGCTGCGGAATCCCGGAACGGAATGGCATCCCTGGCAGGTCTTTATCGCCTTTCAATTGCTTAATTGGACTTGCTGTGGAATTGCCTGTCTAGGGAATCGCTTCATTCCCATGATCAACCGGATTGCATGTGTTATCTCAACGTGTGGACTGACTGCCACTATCGTCATCCTTGTAGTGATGCCTCAAAAACATGCCACCAGTGCCGAGGTATGGACAAAATATCACAATAACACTGGCGGTTGGTCTGACAGCATCTGCTTCGTGACTGGGTTACTTAATGCTGCTTTCGCTGTCGGGGTTCCAGACTGCATAAGTCATCTATCCGAAGAAGGTCAGTCCTTTTTCCCACAAAGAGTGCATCTATATCAAGCTCACATTAATTCAGTGCTCAGGCCCGAAGTTCGAGTCCCTCAGGGAATCATGCTGCAGATGCTCACAGCTTTCTCTAGCGCATTTGTGTACCTCATAGCTTTGTTCTATTCCATCCAGGACCTCGACGCTGTCTTTCATACCGAGATCGCTCTTTTTCCAACCGCGGAGATCTATAAACAAGCCACTGGGTCCAACACAGGGGCAGTCGGTCTAACTGCAGTTCTCTTTGTGTCTACATTCCCTACCCTAATTGGAACCTTCGTCACCGGCGGGCGCATGTGGTGGAGTCTTGCTCGAGACAATGCAGTTCCCTTTTCTGCCTACTTCAGCCAAATCCATCCACGCCTGAAAGTCCCTCTCCGGATGACCCTCGCCATGAGCGTCATAGTGACCTGCCTAAGCTGCGCTTACATTGCGAGCACCATGGCCTTCCAAGCCTTGATTTCATCGTATATTGTGCTAAGCTCTCTGTCTTACCTGGGTGCTATCCTTCCTCACGTGTTAACAGCTCGCAAGCGGATTGTGCCTGGGCCTTTCTATCTAGGCAAGTGCCTGGGCACAGTTGTCAACATCATAGCCGTGACGTACGTCCTGGTCACTGTAGTCTTCTTCTGCTTCCCGCTTGTTCTCCCTGCCACGGTGCAGAATATGAACTATACAAGTGTAATCACCGTGGGTTTAATGGCCCTGACGACAGTTTGGTGGCTCTCTCGAGCAAGGCATGATTACAAAGGCCCGCAATATTACTTTGAAGCTGCTGAACGGCTTGCAGCAGTGAGGAATGGGAGGGTTTTACGCTAAACCATCGGGCAGAGAGGTAATCAGGGGCTTTTTCATGATACTGTTTTCTATTCCGCAAACTTCGAAATACATATGCTAAAGCATGCAAAACCTATCTAGGCATTGAGAAGCAAACTAATAAGACCCCCCACTATTCAACTTTACACAAAGTTCTATTTTTTTTGCATCCACAAATTTTACAAGATCAAGCGAAGAAAAGGAGACATATCATCTGGATCATCATGCCATCATCATCGACAAATCAAAAGAATGCTGAAGGTATGCGGCCAAATAATCGAATTACAACCTCGGCCGAATTGTCTGGCCACCAACCCACGAATCTCCGGCCTCCAAGATCTGCCACCCAGCAACCGACCCAGCCTCAACGCAGATCATATTCTTGTATGCCTCATCCGGGCCAAAATCAGCCATCCCCTGGGCCTTTTCAATCCAGGGATTCCACACCACCACATCGTTCAATCCTTCCCGAGCAATTGAGAAAATCGGCGTATCATTATTAGCCGAAGACAACACGATAGGAACCTCTGGATCCAACGATTGATACACGCGGTCTGTCTCCTTGTTTATTTCGATAGCGTGGGATGCTTCGGTATGGACGTAAGCATTCTGGGTCTTGTCGATGTAGGTCTTGGACTGGAGGCCTTTGACTCGAACTTGAGAGATATCCTATCGAGGCACATCTCGTTTAACATTCAAAGATCCAAACAGCGCATCAGAACAACAAGACAGGCCCATTACTCACCTCGATATTGAAATACGTGTGCATCAAGACCTGGAATTCGAAATTCTGACTTCCCTTATTCTGCACCTGCAGGGACGTCTCCAGGCCGTCTTTCATCAATGTAACACTGTATACAAGCCCAAAGTCATACGGCCAAGACTTCTGGAACTCCTCGGTGAGCATGGGCCGCGAGAGACCAAAGTCCAACTTCACGGCATCGTCCCCTTCTTTCTGATCCTTTGCTAGCGATTCTGAAGATTTGCCCAGGAACTCCCAGTTCGAGTTCCGAGCGAAGCCATGTTGCGGGAGGGATGAAGTAGCATGGTTCTGAGGAGGACGGCCAAAAACCTATAAATGCAAAAAAAAAAAAAATAAATAAATAAATCCCATGGTTAGAAATCGTGGTCTTGTTGAATGCGACCATGGCACATATGGTGGACATACCGGGAACACAACGGGAATACCACCACGGATGGGTTTGGATCCATCCAGGTGAGCCTTCTCGCTGAGGAACAATTGTTCCTTCCCATCTGCAAGTTTCCACGAGGTGACAGTGGCGCCGTAGAGGTAAATCGTGACCGACTCGCCGGTGGGGAGGGTAGCAATAACGGTGTTGTCGCGAAGGGAGATGGTAGGCTGGGGCAAGGTTGCGCCCACCCCGATGGCGGAGGGTTTGTTGGAGCGATCCATTTTGTCGCAAAAAGGACGAAACGAAGTCCACGGAGAGAAAGAAAGCAGGAGTCGTCACTGGGGACAGATAAGAACAGATCAAGCTTCGCGGGCAGAAAAGCAAGATGGGAATGAAGGAATGGAAACACTGGCCATGCGGGGGGGCGTGTTTGGTGTCGCCGAAAACAACAGAGCGGGGCTCATCGTCATCTTATTTACTGGAGTGAGTGGGGGATCATCATCAATTGGGCGCTATGCATTTTTGAGTTTTATTGTGCTCTATAAATTGGTACGAAAAGGATGTAGAATTATCACAGTTATGCTCGCTTTGACCTTCTGGCGTTAAATATCCCTGGGAGATTTATAATAAAAACGATTGGTGATCTTAATACTCTTAATACTATGTACAATCTGGATGGTGATATGAGCAATGAGATCTTATATTCCAGTATAATACTCTCGAGGCCATTTACCAACAGGAATACAGAAATAGACAAAGTCATCAAATCATCATTCACATCCATATGAAGGATAAACAATGTCACCGACCATGATCGTCCTAGACGCAGGGGTATCAAGACCATATTCCATCAAGGAAAGCGACGCATGTCGCCCAAAATAAATCTTATTATCGAATTTTCGAGTCTTAGCCAAGGTCGAGAAGGGCTCGTCCCGTCGTATACCGGAGTACTGATCGATACAGACCATCTGACACCGCTGACAGGAGCCTAGAACATCAAAACGGACGTGGTCAGATCCGACGATGAACGACTCCCACCGATCTTCCAGGTAGGGTCGTTCGGCGTTCGCCAGCTGGGGGAGGCTCTCCGCGACCACGATGTTGGCACGGAAGACATCGGCGGCGACGGTTTTATTGGGACTCGCGGTGCTGGTTTTGGTAGTGACGTTTTTGGTCTTGGGCTTGGACTTAATTGTTTCATTGAGGCGGTTGACGGATGAGCGGGAGATGAGTAGAATAGGGCTTTCGTTGGATAAAAGAATCCGGTTCTGTCCTTGAACTGGAGTAGCTGGTATATCCTGCGGAAAGGTCCCTGGCATCGTTGCACTCGATGTTGTCTTGTACCGTCCGTTCCCACCAGAGGAGGGAGAGTATCTGGTTGAGTTCTGGGGAGGGAATCTTGCGAGTGAGCACGGGACGCCCAAGAAGTCAGAGAAAAGCGAGGACACAGTTGGCGATGTATATGCCTGGACAATCACCTGGTCACCGCACACAGTAGAAGACTTAGCGCTATTCTGACATAGTGAGGTAGCGACCAGGCTGCTGTCTGTACGATTGAGCGGAATCTCTAAAGAACGGCTATCCGACCCTTTTCCACAGGTAACGCGAAGGATTCCGCGATCAAGGTCGACGACCGGTTGGATAAGTGCCATTCTCGGGTATCGCTTCTGATTAAGGGCAGTTCCTGTCCCTTGGTGGATTAGACACCACTCGCGATCCCACGCCAGTCCCTCTCTCCTGACTTCCCACCGCCGTCCATCAGGGACCTTGAATGCCCCACAACTCTTGATAGGATATACCGAGAGGCTTTCGATATAGAACCCAGGCTGCTCCAATATAGCGTCATTAAGAGGGGGTAATAACGAACGCACTGTAGGAGATTGCTCGACGTAAAACTCCTCCATAAATCTAACTAGATTGTCGATATCTTTGAGGTTCGTCATTGCACCGAGACTAACCCTCAGAATTCCAGTAGGACGCCCGTCCATTAGGTCGTTATCATCTCCACAGCGCAGCCCAAGTGAGTAATGACGGATCATGTCATCTCCAGTCCATCCAAGGCTATCTGCTGTTCCTCCAGGATTGCACAGTGTTCCAGACCTGATCTGGATTTTCTTTACACAAGCAAGCCTTTCCACTTCGGATTTGCCAATCCAAGCACCTTCACTACTGCGTAGATTGAACGCAAGAATTGGCCCTTGTGTAGCGGCATTTGCGTAATCCGAATCTGGAGACAGGTAGAAATGCAAAACCTTCTCTCCATTGAAATGTGTCAACGCTGTCAAGCGCTCATAAACTTGATTGGCTAGAAAACGCGTATGAAAAGAAATATTCTCCATTGGACCGAAGAGACGTGTATGGGTGTTTAAAGCGGCATCGAGTGCAATAATATTGTGAAATGGAAGAGTACCGTCTTCTAATCGCTCGTGGATTGTAGACTTTTTCGCATGCCAGGTCGTTCCCTCTGTTACCACCAGATCCACAGTCCCTCCACCAAAGAATCTTCGGTTCTCAAAAATATGGCCTGCACCTTTCCGGACGATCAACGCACCGAGATCGGGGAACCCAAATATTTTGTAGAAACTGAGGACAGTAAAGTCAGGGGCCGCGGAAGAATCGCTTAAGTCGAGTGGAGAGGTCGATACAAGAGATGCTGCATCGAGGAGAGTATAAGTATCTCCAACGCCTTTATTCGTATTTCGAATCCGTCTGCACCAGTCAATGGGAAAGCGACAGCCATTCATGTTTGATTGAGCAGGAAACGCAAATAATCTGGGAGATTTTATGTGGTCGGTGCCCAATTCTGATATCCACGCTTCAACCTCTTCATCAGCCATAAAACACCTGTTTCCCATGTCTGCGAGCTCCCGTGCTCCAACTAGACTGGTATGGGCGGCAACATGGTACCCATACCAGAAACCCTCCGGCGTTGCATCGCGAAACGCATCCACCACTAGTTTGATCCCGGCGGTTGTGTTTGCAACGAACACAAGATCAAACTCGTCTGGGTCGGCATTGAAAAAGCACAGAGCTCGTAGACGAATGTCATCAACTCGTTGAGTAGATAGTTGAGATGATGACGACATCGAATGGGGATTGCCAAAGAGGTTCGAGGTGAGATCTCGCGAGAACGAGTCAATCAATGATTTAGCATATGGAGTAGTTCCGGCATGGTCCAGGTAGGTCGTATCTAATTTGAAGAAGAGCATAAGCATGCCATTTCAGGCTCTTTCATTAGAAATTAGGACGTACCTTCAAGCAGGGGATATTCACGCTGTCGAATGATATCCACATCCTCTGGGTATCCTTTACAATATCCCCCGGGGCGTACACCCTCGATTATGTTCGTCATGGTTGGATATAGGCTGTATTAAGGAGAGAAAGCCAGAGGTGCGTCATTTGCGGGGAATCAAGCCAGGGTATGTTGCCAGATCAAGGTGGCGATATGAAGGGCGATGGCATGTTAGCCAGCCATGAGCATCGATAGAGGCACGCTGAAGGGTAGTCCTAGCAAGCCAGAAGTAAAATGATATTTAGCGTATATCGCATGAATATAAACGGTGAATGAATAAATGGTATGTGGTCGAGTTTTTGAGGTGGATATTGCGATAAAGATGGGGTCGGAGCTTACCGACGGAGAGCTCCTCTCTGTGACAATTACCCATCGCAAAGAAAATCGATGATAAATTGAAGAGGAGGGATAGAAGGAGGATTATGAACTAATTATGTGCCAATAATTCAAATAAGAATTCGTTATATTCGCACGCTTAAGATTTTTGATGTATCCAAAGCAACTGCCACCTAAGCTCCACCACTCTTATCAGAAGTGGGGCGTGGTCGGAAATCACCGAAGGATGTGGCGGCAGGTCTTCTTCCCACAGATACTGACTTTACCCAAATATACCATTAAATATTGATATTGCTCCAATCTGATAATATCAAGCACATAACATGTTTCAATAGGGTGTTCCGGATTCGATGAACAAAGATACGACCTAGCATGCAAGCTATATTTTCCAACCAATAGTGAATAGTTTGCCCGAATCTTCCGTAGGCAAAGTAGAGAACATCCACTTACGGAGTAGATATACAGCTATATATATATGAAACTGTGGCAAAATAAACATCATCCGGCTCCGTTGGTCTAGTGGTTATGATGCGACCCTCCCATCGCATATGCGAGCCCTCAAGGGGCTGGGCAAGGTCGCGACCCGAGTTCGAATCCCGGACGGAGCATGTCTTTTTTGCTTTTCATTCTTCATTACTGATTGTGGTTCAATCTCTTTTCTAGGTAGAACTGTTACAAATAGAACATGAGTTGGAACAGAAAGAAAATGACCCCTAATGACGCTGCTTGGAAAAGTGCATAAAACCAAAAATTATCGGTGTTTAATGGCTCTTACGAGAAAGATCCTGTTGCAGCACCAACCCCAGGACTTCGGAAAAGAGACAACGGACCTCCAGGATATTTTAAGGTTGTTAGCACGAGCCAGACTGGGAGCACCGGAGCTTGACTTTGAAACCAACAAGGACCTACGGACGGCGTTGTCCAATCTGATCGCGAAGCGACCCGCCATTCAACCCATGCTTGGTCAGAGACGTTGAAACTCCTATATGATTATCTATTGCAGCTTCATTGAAGCCGAGTTTTTAGTTGGTCGCAGTTATTATCACAGCACCATAACGAATGTATGGCCTCTCTATCTATCTATAAGGCAAACCTATTATTCTGAATGCAATAGACAGGCACATGATCCTCCTGATAAGCTGTCAAGTCGTGACTCCTTACAAGATTCAGCTTTGTTGCATCAGACCATAGCTAATGAACGAGGGCGGAAGGTAGAACAACAAGAGGTCGGGTCTTTTTATATCGGGGCGACCAAGGAGGAGGCTCACATTACATACAAAATCAAAAAGGAAATCAAATAGTAACTGAAACTGAATTGTGGTATGGTCATAGCCCATGAGTTTATGTTTTGGTGAGTAGGAGATAGAAAGATATCTTGTAGCTAGATTTCCACTTGTCCTTCATATTTTTTTTTTTTTTTTTTTTTTGTCGTGTTTTGTCATGTCTTGTCTTTTCTTGAGATTCATTGCTCATTCTTCATTATCCTGTATCCATCAATCATGTTCATATACTCATGGTAGGTCTTTTTCAAATAGATAGTTAAAGAAAAAAAGAGTCTTAGACCACATATTGCGGTCGTCGTCCACTAGAACTGTGACGACGGTGGCCACTATGACCACGACGACTGCTATGGCTGCGTCGGCGCACGGAGGTCTCCTTGACCACGATGTCAGACCGGTTATACATGAACAGCGCCCAGAAGGCTGTCCATGAGAAAACACTACCTCCATGATGCCCAATGCAAAGGAGGCCTTCAGCATGGCGCAGTGCTTGTTCATATCGCGCGCGAGAGGGTTTTCAGTACGATAACCGTAGGCGCCGAAAGGTCCCAGGGAGATCCAGACGGAGCCACCATCCCAGTTAGAGCAGTTGGCATTGGCGATGAAGCGCAATTGGTAGACGGCGGCGATGAAGGCACCAAAAAACAGCATATCCACGAAAGCGACGAAGATCGCAGAGCGCTTGGTGGTGGAGTGGCGGATGAGAGTGTCAAAGCACCAGAAGATGGCAATGACACTGACTATGAAGAGCACGAGGATATACGTAGGAGTTATGATATTGGCTTTGAGGTAACCGTCCACGAAATATGCCTGTTTCGATGGTTGGTTGATTTTTTTTAAATTCTTATGTGGATATCCGGTGAATCGGGCGATGGAATGTCACTTACCAGCATTCCAATAATCGGAATCAAGAATACAATCTCCACAAGGCGATTGAAGATGAAAAAGACGCTGCCAATCATTTTGCCAGGTGGGGTCAGATACCGGAGAGAAGGGTTCAAGAATGTCGGTCAAAAAAGAAAAGACCAGATCTAAGATCGCATAGGATGACGGACAGTCACAACAGCGTCATCACCAGTAGGAAAAGAGAGAAGACGAGAATCGAGACTCAAGACGGGGAAATAGTAGTCTGGACCTTTTGTCGCAGCGCCGATCTGATGCAGGCCAACTCAGAACAATGCACGAGGAGTCAGAGGAACAGATGGACACGTCAAAAAGGAGAGAAAAGCCACGCGCAACCTGCAGCTCGAAAGAAATCGACAGCTTTAACAGTACAGGAAAGACGAGGGATGGCCGATGAGGAGGCTGGGATGCACGGGGAGGCTGGGAATCTTCTGGTGGAACATGGCCCCGATCGTGAACCGCTGCACCCCGCTTGGCCCTGGCATCTGGTGGATTTGTCGGCTCCAATCATCATTATTGCTGCGCATGTTGTTGGCCAGTGGATTACATCACATGTATCGAGAATCATCCTCATCAAGGTTTACTAATTCTATATGCCAGTGTTTACTTACTCGGGTGGGGCTCAACCCGAGTCTAGAGCCATGGTTCCAGGGTATCATCCTGGGCTCCAACAATCAACATACCAGCATTTAGTTATACAAGAGCGTCATTCACAATCTCTTTCCGCATCAGATCCATTCCCTGCAGGAATCTAAATTTCCTATAAAATCAAACATTCCGCCCAGGATCCACCCAGCATGACTCATGTAAAGACATATCTATGTGGTCTTCACGAATCCAAGATGATCGTCACAATCGTGGCTCTGGTGTACATGTCAACAAAAGGCCAGAGCGGTCTATGAAACAAATAAAATGGTAGGGCTCTCATCCAAACACCCAGATGGTAAACAAAAACAAACAATAAAAATGAACTACACTTCCCGAGGGGTCATATCTGTCAATTCCCGTCCAGGGCCAGTCCGGGAAGTCATGACAGCAGGTGGTGTGTCAAATCCGACTGGAGCGGTCTGAGCGTGATAGGCTGTGTCCTCATAATACCGTGGGAACTGCGCGGTGGTTCCTGGATTCTGCGTCTGGGCATATCCATGTTGCATTTCATAACCAGCTGCGACGTCCTCGCTAGACGAGGACCAGTTCCCGTCGTCGTCGTCGCGCCGACGACGCTCATAGCCAGCGGAAGAATAAGGATTACCGGATGCGGATGTGTATGTTTGGTTTCGGGAGAGTCGGTTTGGGCCGGGCCCTTGGGTTTCCGGCAGGGGAGGCGGGTCGAGTCGCTCTTCCTCGGGGTTTCGCAGCGCCGTAGTGCTTTCATTCAAACGGCCCGGGTCAGTCGGGGCGGCCGGTTCCGTGCCCCATGACCGGATGGGAAAGGCTCGTCCCTTTTTCCAAGGCTGGCTGAGTGGCGGGAAGTATTGATGGTAGGATATGTAGGCGCAGACAACTCCTAGCAATGATCCCGTGATCACATCAAAGGGATGGTGGCGCGCATCCATAATCCGGGATACTGCAATCAAAGTGGCTGCAAGGCAGGGGATGATGACGATGAGCGCTTTCCAGACCTCTCCTCGGTTATCTAGGAAATGCAGCTTCCCGGCAATCCAAAGTGACAGGTAGAACAATCCCGCAAAGGATGCTAAAACAGAAAATCACTAGGTCAGTGACGAGCCATTAAAACAACAAGGGATGAATTCCTTACAGCTGCTGTGGCCTATAAGCACGAATTAGCACGTACATCACACACGGGGAATCGTAGAGCTACAAGAACATACCTGAGGGCCATGAACGAAACCCATCCTTGATAATCGCGGGGTCACCGGTACAGATTGAAGAGTTGGACAGGCCATATGGTGTTGGATCAGCGCTTCCTGGCCGAGGTTGACACCGATCAATTATATCTGGGCGAGGTTTCCCGCAGGCATTCTTCAAAGCCTGGGTGATAATGAAAGCAAGACCCTGGGCGAGCAGCAAGCCCAGAAAGCCGCAGTTAAACTCCCACAACCGATCCTTCAACCGGTAAGGGCCGGCGAACTTTCTCTTGCCCGTCACCGGATCCTGCGGTTTATGGTGCGAAAAGAGCCCATCCAAGAAGAGCGTATAGACGGCCATGATCACCAGGGGAGCAAGGCCCGAGATGCAAAGGGCCATCGGGATCGAAATTCGCTCATGCACGGCATATGGGTACTGAAGGGAGATGTTCTGCAACGAGAAATGTTGATGGTAGGGTTCGATGGAATCGAGGATAAAGAAACCGACAATACAGGCACTGTAGCGCAGTACAATGATTAGCAACCAAGGAAACCCCATCAGGTGGATCAAGTGATGTAAGGTTTACGGACACGAGAATCACATAGTCGAAGATGTAACTGTATATGACAGGCGAGAGTTAGCATCACACTGGTCGCATTCTGGCAGGACACAATAAAAAAAAAACCCACGAGATGATCACACGAGGCCTTAGGCGCCGCTTTGAGAAGGGCAGTTTGGAGGGAAGGCGGTCCATTTGCTACTCAGTTCGTAGTCGACCGTAGGAATGAGAAATAATAACTGTAGATAAAGCCTTCAATTAGATCTCGTGCGCGCATACTATTTCCGATCGCAGGCTGGGGCCAAACCAGACCAGTAAAAAAACAAAATCACAATAACGAATTAAACTTGATTGAATTGGATGAAGCCGTGAACCTGCGCGGCATCAACCGAAGTGGCTTCGACTCAATGAATTAGGAGTCCGAGAGAAGGCGACGGGGGGAAAAAGACATATCAAGAAGAAAAAGATCCAAGGAAGGGAAAAAGTCAAAGAAGGGGAGTCGCACATCCCGACAATCAATGCCAGCTTCAGGCAGCCTTGATTGTGGCTTGGTGCGGTCTTGTCACGACGACGCTAAAACTTGAGCAGCGCCTGGATTTTCGGCGGGCGGGTCTTGGGGCACTCCGACGGCCAGTCCAAACCACCGGCCAAGATAGGGTTTGTGAAACTGGCTCCGGGGTTTGAGTCAGTCCGTGTTAAAGAGAAATTCATAGCAATCCATCAGGAGAGAATGGGAGGTTGCATGAGTAGCTGTAATAAGATCTTAGAATATGGTCTTGTCTCGGTTGGATTTCGTGTTTTTTTTTCTATTAAGCCATCGACGATCTGCAGCCACCTGCCCTATGGAGAGTTTGTGTCCTTAGGCAACATCATTCACACGGTCGATAACCACTAACTAACAATAGATATGTCATAATAATGCCTTGGTAGTAGCAATAGCTGAAAATATCACTCGCTTGGCTTCTCTATCGGGTGTAGCATAGATGTGCTACAGTGGATGAATGATTCCTCCGAACTACTATACCACTGCCTTCAGAATACTTCTTCACTTTTATGCTTAGACCCAATTAATCATATTTAGGCACAAGCTATGAATGCTTTTCATATGCAAATATCATCTTTTTTACGTAGCATACAAAGTTGGATCTTGAATGCTTTCAACCTTCTCACCATTGCGTCCCACACTACTTTCCCTTAGGGAAAAGAAAAATTTATCTCAATAGATGATAGTACAATTAAAAAATAGGGTCTGTGACTCATGTTCGCGTGATGTGGAATGATCATTCGAGTCTCATTGATTCAACAGACGGTGATGTACAGACCAAGGCTAGATAGGTTAGCCATACATTCAACAGTGGTAGAAAATCGAGCGAAAAACTTACGGAGAGGGGTTGTAGTCTTCGAAGAAGTTTAGCTCGGTGCTGCCAGCGTTCTTCATCTCGTAGCTGACGGCCTGTCCAGCGGGGCACTCAAAGGTAGACACGAGGTAGGAGTTGCCCGGTGAAATGGTAATGGCACCCACATCCTCCTTGACCCCCGGGGCATTGCTGTATGTAGTTGACTCGGTGGCCACCGACTCGAGGGAAGCAAATTCAACTTTGCCATCTCCGCTGAAGGAGTAGGAAGAGGTTTCGAGGTCCTCTTTCTTAGGGAAGAGGAAGATAAGGCTACATGTCTTTCCGGAGTCCGAAGATGGGACGTCAAAGTTGAAGATAGTGGAGATGGAAGATGACACAATGCCGTTATAGGAGGTACCATGAGCAGTGTCAGGAGAAGACGAGTCAATGGGGATGATTAGGTGAGGGTATTCATAGTTGCCACCAAGATTTGTAGGGCAGCTGGCGCCAGAGGGCTGGGTGCCGGAAGGCTGAGCGCCAGGGACAACGGGAGTGCCAGGAGAGCCGGGAGAACCTGAAGTGCCGGGGACACCAGGAGAGCCGGGAGTGCTGGGAGTGCCGGGAGTGCCAGGAGTACCAGGGGAACCGGGAACACTAGAAGATCCAGGATAGCCAGGAGAACATGGAGTGCCTGGGGAGCTAGGGAGAGCCTGGGGAACCGGGAGTGCCAGGAGTACCGGGAACACCGGGAGAGCCTGGAGAACCTGGAGTGCCAGGAGTACCGGGAACACCGGGAGAGCCTGGAGAACCTGGAGTGCCAGGAGTACCGGGAACACCGGGAGAGCCTGGAGAACCTGGAGTGCCAGGAGTACCAGGAACACCGGGAGAACCAGGGGTTCCGGGGGCTTGATGCTGGTGACGACTCAGGTCTGGCAGGTGTGGATGAAGGAACAGGCACTGGACTAGAGCCAGATCCGCCGGAGCCAGAGCAAGAATCGGCAGTCAATGTGATATCCGAGCAGCCAGTGACAGCATCGCTCGCGGTAGTGTAGATGTTCAAGCCACCATTTTGGCCAGTTTTGCAAGCAACGAAGTCCTGGTCACCTCGATATGAAAGCTGGCCCTCTGAGTTGATAGAGAAGCCCGTGAAGGGGCAGCGCCCTCATCGCATTGGAACTGGGTGGTGGCATCTAATGTGATTATCTTGTCAGCCAGAAACTATGGGTAGTCGTTAAATAGTCCTCTTACCGGTCACAATGCACCCACGTCCGTTAGCGTCCGTGATAGCACCATTAGAGCTAATACAAAACTGAGCTTCCGAGAGACCGCCGTAAATGCGATTCTGTCCATCATCAAGCTGGCCGACGGAGCCAGTGGCACCACCAGATGCCTTCAAGTGAAAGCAACAGCTGTTGCCTCGGCCCACAAAGGGCATTAGCACTAGCAGCAAAAGCTGCGGCGGTAACAAAGTTCTTCATGGTTGGGGAGTGAAAGAAAGGAGTAACCAGAAGCGAATGGATAGGACAAATTATGGGTCATGCAAAGACTGATAAAGACTGTGTTAAATGGGCTACGGTAGGATGCAATGGTCGAAGTAAGAGGATGGTTGGTATTAATAAAGGATGGCGGATACAATAAGGATACCGTTGGGATATCGGCAAGCCAAAAAGTCGAGCACCTCCACAGGGAGATTGAAAATAGAGGTACAGGTATAGCTGGCTGCAATGCATATGTCGTCATTGTTGCCATGGAATAAGATGTGGATGAACGCCATTGACCCAGTTAAAACAAGTCAGAATAAACAAACAAGCTGCCAGGTGTCCGAGAGAGCCAGGGCCTAGAAGCCCCGGGATCGGAAAGACATTAAGGAAGACGTCATGTACCAAAGTCATGGTGGAGAGATCAGTCAATGAGAGCGGCGTTTCCAGAAGTTGGGTGAGAGATACAAGCCATACCAATAACCAAGGCGACCAGAGCATAAGCCACCGGTGGATCCGAGCCCGTCAAAGAGCAGTTGGGTCAGAAACTCTGCCCTGGTCATTGAATTATCGATCCATAGCATCTAGCGACTCAGGTGGCAATGACAAGTACCATCCACGGTACCCGTACGCGCAATCCACCACTTGGCATATTTTCGTAGTGGCCTTCGCAAGGATGATTGTATTTCGGTCATGTCTTCCATTGCTTCGATATTATAGGATGTATCCCGAATCCCGATGTCTAAAGGCCAATCCAACTTGAGCCTGATTTTTTGGGGGTTTTCTGAATGGTACTTGCGCTCCATGGTGCTTCTTGATTCCGGAAGTTTTAGGCAGTATGTGCCTTGGATCACTTGGGCTGCTCAGCATTGCCTTCAAAGAACCTCCACAACATAAGATGCATCATTGTCAGTCTCCCAGATTTTCACTAGGCAACAATGGCGACGTCCCTTCTGGAAAAATGTTGATGGGCTCTTTACAGAGTAGAAAACTGGTGGGACATGGCATGATTCACCACCAATGGCACTGCCTCTTATTTTTGATTTAGTTATGTCTTATGTAATGGTGTCCATCAAAGTTAATGATCATTGGGAAAATAACAGGGATTGATCGATTTCAAACCCATTTATCCAGGGAAGGTTTCAAAGTAGATCGAATTGTCGCCACTTCAGTTTGGCATTATCTCCGCCAGTGAATGTCTTTGATGGGTAATAAGAAACGATCCAACCTAACGACAATACCGTCTCCCTACTCCGTGCATCCGAGCATTATGCAATCATTGCCTAAGGGGTGGTATATATAGAAACAACACGGGCAGGAGAACCACTAATGACTCCCTTTGCCCCTTGGCCCCTCTGTATAGATGTCTAAGCCTTGTGCTATATCCATCAATCTGGCATAAGCTTTTCCCTGTTTCTAGTCTGATCCACCCGGGAATCCACGCCATCCGCGCGTATACTGTAGTATGCCCCACCCCAGGAGCCATAGTAGGCACTCTTCATTCCTTGTTGACGTGGAACGAGGCCCGATGATTCGATCGTCAAGTCTGGTACGTTACTATGATGGTCCGAAATAATTGTTCCGAGAGTTTCTAAGACTCGAAGCAGTGCTATTGGTTGCCGGAACGTTCTGTAGTGCAATTGAACAGGCGGCGTTAATGCCGCTGACCCGCGTTGACCAGGCGTAAATGTTGCTAAAAGTATACTTTCTGTAAAAATTCAGTGCTTATAATGTAGCGTAAACTTGAAATACCCAAGAGAGTGGTATTCTCTATCATCATCGACATGTCTCACCACCATCTAGGCGTCTCTGTGTGCTCGGAATGGCAAGGTCATGAATTCAAACTGATTGAGTTTCCGTAGATAGATGCCTGCTATATCCCCGTATCCTTTCTTTTTTTTTTTTTTAGTAATAATAGTATTACTACTGTTATTACTTTCAATTTGGTTAATGCACGCTAGATTGTTTGGCTGCTGCCCCGTATGCATGTACCACATGCACTGTGTAATCGGAACTGTAGAAGTATCTAATACTCGACCTGGCGGTCTCAGTTTTTATTTTTTATTTTCTTTCTTGTCCTGAAGATTGCAGTACCTTGACAAGCATAGAACTAAAGAAAATTCTTGTACAGTGTTGTTCCTCTCAGCGAACGACCTATAGTACCTCTTACTAGCATCTTGTAGCCTGTTTTGGTCATAAAGATGAGACTTGCTTGGTTGTCGCTGCCTACCTTAATGGTGTATACGTGCTGTATGATTGAGACACTATATCCAGTGTGATTCAGTGTACTGCACTGTATATGTGCCACTCAAAAGTGACTTTGCCTGCGGGTTCCAGAATCATATCCATACGACTTAAAATATATGAGACATTAATGAATATGTCGTCTGAGCCTGATTTAAATGCATATTTTTCAATAGCTTGTCCCTTCTATCTCATTGTCGCTTTCCATACGGCCAGAGTACTAATTTGCATACTAACTGAAACTGCTATAACAGATAACTTCGTAGCTTGATGCATACTGCTACATTAAGAGATAGTACTGTCTTCTTTATTACAATTTAATTCTCTAACCACAATTCTATGATCAACTGGCTAAAGAACTAAGCCCTGTCCTGCCCTAGTTCACACTCACTCAACTGCAATACGAAAACGCAACAGATCTTTCTTCAATATCTCGTCAAACTCTGCCTCCCAGCTCTTTTATATCCCATTTGCATGATAAGAATCGCCCATTTAGCGCTTCCTTGGCTTTGGAGGTTTTGTCCTTTGTCAACCATACGCAAAAGGATCCAACCAAGTTTGGATCATCGACAAGCACTTTAATAACAACACTGTTTAGTCTAACCCCACTGACATATCAAATCAGATCATGGAAGAATCACTTACTACCCTCGTACTCCTTTGGCGTGACGCTAGCGGAAAGGTCGCTTTTATCCCACCAGGATGTACACTCGCACAAAACAACCCTTTGCTAGCATACTGTTCACTGATCATCTCAATAACCTTAACTTGAGCTGCCTTGCTCGTGCAGTAGTGAATATGCGCCACTGGCCCCGCCACCGTTGGAGCTGCCATGGAGCTGATCCCGATGAAGCTCATTGCCCCAGTAGGGCTATTCAACAACAAAGGGAGAAAATGATGCGCGGCATGATACGTCCCAGTATAATTGACGTTAATTGCTTGCTGAAACACATCTGGTGGTTCCTTTATGATATCATTGACAATCGGTCCAGAGTACCCCGAGTTGACGACCACGACATCCAAATGTCCCCAAATTCAGCCTGTGACTTTGCAGCCAGAGACGCGACGTTGTCGTTTAAAGATATATCGCATTTCTCCACCACCACCTTTGTGGAGGGACTGATTATCTTGACTTCGTTGGCGACTTCTTCGAGAAGGGATATTGTTCGAGCACCGAGGATAATCCCGGACGCACCGGCTCTTGCGTAAGATCGTGCCAAAGCACCTCCTGCTGCGCCTCGGCCGCCGATTATACATACCACGTATGGCTGGGGAAGTTGGACTTGAGAAGAGTCAATATCGGGGTAAGATGTCGTGTGAGACGATACGAAGTTGCGAACATCCAACGCGTTGGCCTGGCTTTTGTAGAGATCATGATTGGAATATCTCAGTGCGCTGAGGACCTGGGATAGAATTAAAATGCGATGTCGGTCATTGATCAATCAATTTCCGTAATGCCTCGTTGAATATTAAGTCCATGGATGGAAGAACGTTCGGCGTTTACTCGGAGCTAATTTCTTCTAATTCCGGATCACTGCCTAGGAGATAGACAAGTGACAATATTAACCTCGATGACGCACCTAGTACAAGATATTAGTCATGAGGACTCTTAGAGCGGGATATTGTTATAGTGAAATGCGACACTAGAAGAGCGGGGGTCGAATCTGGTTCTGTAGAGCCTTACGGAGAACCATTCGAAGAAGGCTTATCGTTCGGACTGTGCATTCATTACTAATTCAATTGAACAATGGGAGTATATTCGATTATATAGATATAGGGCAGCCTAGATACACCCATAGCTTATACATTGTTGCTATCGATACATAATGTCGGGGGTGAAACGTAGCCGCATCTTCATGAAGTCCATACCGTCACAGTTCGTAAGTACTCATGTAAGTCCAGTACGTCCTGTAGAGGGCATGGAAAAATGCTGTCAGAGAGCCCCGATTCAATCTTGGAGTTTCTTGGATGATCATATCATTTGGTTATGATATGACCATTGTCGTCACAGGCCGTAAAAGGGCCTGTGATCGAACACTGAAACTCCGTAGATGCTACGGTGAGCAGAATACACAGTCCAGACATGTATATAATGTATTGGGGTATCTGTATTCCTAGGTCTATGTTCTTTAAGAGACTAGCTCATCCGGGAAGCTTTAAATTTGCTAACCCGCGGAACATCTTCGGTATCAATCGGCACCCGTTCAGGTTCCTCGTCCACAAAGCCACCGTTCTGTTTGATCAGCCGGTTTCTCATCCTGTAGAACTCGCTTGCGATCTCTTTTCGGTGGAGCTGCTCATCGAGCTCGTCCGGTTCGGGTGGAGCGGCGGCACCTTCAAGAATCTCGCGCTCAACAAGGCTATTGGCCAGGATTTGCCCTTGAGGTCCCTGCCGGATGACTAGCTTGTCCACATCTGAGATGGGCTGTGAAAACGGCTTAGGTTCTGCAGGTCTGGCAGGGAATAACGGTAATGAAGATGCTGATGATGACGGTACTTGTGGCTTGCGTAAAGACGGATGGGGTTCGGTACGCTTAGAGCTACCTTCCGACAGAGTAGCCAGTGCGATGGGGTCTTTGGCTTCATTAATCCGAGCACTCTTGAAGCGGGAAGCCTTTCTTGGCGCGTCATTCGGAGTCGGTCCCTTTGCCAGCGGCTCTGTACGTTCCACAACAGAATCAGACAAAACTGGCACGTCTGACTGTCTTGGAGGAAGCTTCTTCTTTTCCGTAGCTGGGGGCTTAGGAGCTGGAGCAATGTCAAGCTCATCAGCAAAAAAGCGACCTTCTTTTTGGCCTTCTTTTCCGTAACTGGAGCATCTGTCTGACTGGTGGCTTTCTTGATGCGGACTGTAGCGGGCTGTTGAAGTTCTTCTTTCAATTCTTCAGGAAGTGATTCAGTGTCTTTGCCCATATTCCACATTCCTCGTGCATTCAATTTGGATTCTAATTCACGCATTTGTCGATGGTAGTCCTCGTCCAGAACAGAATGTTTGCTTCGGCCAAATTCGTCTTCCTCACTATCATCTTCTTCATCATATGCAAAAACATCAGCATCCTCATCAACAGAAATATCGCTTGCGTCTTCATCTAGCTCGAGTTCTGCAACAACAGCCCCAACTTCGTCAAGACTGTACCTAAGCATTTCGCGACGTAGTTGGGCATCCTCTGGGCTTTCGTCAATATCCGTGACAGGGTGCTCTTCAGGAATCTTAGATGACTCCGATGGCGAGGGTTTGTCATCTGCGAGACGGGGTTGAGAGCTTCCCTTTGTGTCTAGAGGGAGGGGTTTAGGCGGTTCCTTTTCGCCGAGAGTGGTTTCATTCTCTTTGTCCGCGAGATTTGAGTCGCCTCCCATCGGAGGCTTATCTTGCGATTCTTGCAGAGCTCTACCCTGGATATTCGTCTGCGGGGTCTCTGGAATATCCTTCACGCCAGCCTTCTTCAATAGTTCTAGCAGACCCTGCGCCTCATCTCCTGGGGTATTGGTCGAGCTGGAGATGATATTTCCTTCCCCATCAAGCTCTTCGACAATTTCTGTCATGGGGAAATCGGCCGTGGGTTCTGCTGGTAGCTGCTCGATAGAATCCAAAGCGTGTAGTTTATTCTCCGCGGAGCGTAGAATTTTCTCCAATGTAGTCACATTTTGCTTTGCATTATCAAGTCGTCTTAGAACAAGTCTGGTTATCTGTTCTCTGGTGCGAGTGGCGTCCTGTCCGTTGACAATCGCAGTGAGTTCCTCCTCCGTCACCAAGGTTCCACCATAATTGCGGCCCACTTCGAGGAAATCATCTATCGTTGCAGTATCGTCGAGATCGCTGAATTCCTCCTTTAAGCCATCGTACTCAGCCTCCTGTGTTCTCCAGCGGTAAAGGGACTTCTGCAGTTCGAGGATGTTGCCTTCAAGTTCGAGACGCTGACGTTCGACACCTAGCAGATCATCTATTGGGAACCCCCATTTTCAAACCTTTGGCAGCTGAATAATATAGTGACGTACTTCCAAATGAACTAACGGCTAAGCTTTAAAGTGCATGAGAGAAGAGTTTCGTCCTGTCGCAGTGGCTGAAAAAAAAAAAAAGTCCACGGATTCCATGCGGAAAACTGTCGGAAGAACCTGATTGGTTCATCGCGCCACCTGGATTATCAAGCTCCGATCCTCCGTCTGACTGTTCCGTTACTGCTGTACGGCGAAGTGTGCGTAATGCACTTCCCCAACCGTGCGATCACATGATAGAAATGCCAAGACTTTAATCCTCCAATTAAAAATTCCCGCAATTTAACAATTTATTTGAAATACATCGTTGCTGGATGTTTACATCTCCCCAAGTCCGTGGCATGCTTCGCATATTACGACGGCGCTTAACTTCTTCCACCAAGATACGATTCATTTGGTTAGAAGCTATAAATCTCTCCACAAACTTTTCATTTCCCTTTGCTACTTTGATCCTCAAAAGATTCATCGCATTTTGCATCACTTCTCTGAATTCTGCGACGAGGATTTCCATGGGCACAGCCTCCTGGTCATCATCTCCATCCTCATCCTGCTCTGACTCGCTTTCTGAAGAGTATAGTAGGGATGATAGGGTGCTGTCTTGCATTTCAACGATTCCATGCAGTTTTCGAGTGCGGAGTCCCTCCCTCGGCGCATACTCAGGTCGCAAAATCAATTGTTCATCTTTCCAGAAAGGATAGACTGTCTGGCGACTAACAGTTTCAAAACAGTCTGGACTGGGTAACTCAAAGCAATAGACGATGTGTTTGCATATAAGGAAGCGACTGTGGAGGAAGGATTTGCAAGCACAGACCCAGTTAACTGGATTCGTGTGGTATTCTTTTAATTTGTCCGGATCCACGGTTTTACAGGCTTCCTTACGCCACTGCTTCTTGAAGGCATCTCTCCATCGAGCTTTGAATATGCGAAACTGCCCACTGGAAATAGCTTTCATTCGATGGACGGCATCCGGGAGAACTCGCGACGTCAAGACCCACACCACCAGGTCAACCCGCGGCCGATTGAATCGATGAAGATAGTCGTGCTTTAGCGTTCGCCAGTGTGACTCAACAATCATTGTTGTTTTCACCACTGGGATATCAGTAGGATCGGCGGCCCGTGCCCACAGCTTCCACTGTTCGGGACAGTACCAGTTGATATACAGATAAGCCCAAAGACGGTAATATCCCCGTTCCTTACACCACGTATGCATCTCGGCCGCACATTCGCGATGCAAAGTCGTCGAGGACTTATATGTGCCATTAGAATCAGGAATGAGGGGATGAAGGTTAAAATGTCGACAGAAAATTTCTAGAACTGTGTCCCGGTCCTCCTTGGTTGCGGGTTCCAGTCTACCAATTTCGTCGATTTTATCCCCTTCGATGGGCAGGCGCAATCACCAAATCGATGGCCCAGCGGTCGGCGGATTGGCAACGAGCCCCAGCAGATCTCCAAATCTGAGACCAGTTTCTGGGCTTCCTCGGGCCGGTAGTGATTTTGCGTGTTAGTGCTTTTAGACGAATTGAGCTTTGTGCTTACAGCCCGTTTCACATGCCAGTAGCAAAGTTGAACTTTTACCCCAGACCACACTGCCGTGACTGCGGCAATTTCTGATGAGTCCTTGTCAATCGCTACGCATCTTGGATTGAACCCGAAATTTTTCAGTCGTTCAAGAAATTGCTGAAGAATGTATGTCGTCGCTCCAGGGTCCGCACGGATGGGTTTCTTCTGTGCTGGGTTGGCCTGAGGAGGAGGCTTTAGCAGCTCGACCAGGCAATATGCAAGCGGAACTCCAGTACCTTCAACTTCGGCCAATACCGCAAATAGGTCCATACCACCACTGTTGGTTCCAAACGTGGAGTCCATCACTAATTGAGGGGCGGATCCCCGCAACTTTTCAATGGTTTCAGAGGCGAAGAACCCTAATGCCCTCAGGTTTCCCGCCGTGAAGACTGCGTGGTGATCACGATAGCGACTGTCTTCAGAAAGAAGCATTGTGGCCGAGACGAAGGGATCTAAGTCTCGCTGCCAGATCTCTGCATTCGCTTTCTGCCACAGATAGTACACTTGATGCCTCGTCACCGGTTTTCCTTCTGGAATCTGTCGAATCTCACGGTATATTTCGGACGGAGTTTTGGTGGATACAAGCGAATTGATCACTTCTTGCACAACTGGTGACAGTTCGATGTCTTCATAGGGTATGTGCCATTGATGACAGATCGATAGAGATAGCGTTCGGCTCTGTAAACACGGCCGTATATTGAGCTTGCTTTGGCAAGGAAACCGCGCCATTCGTCGGCCATCCCGCTGCTTCTCTTCCTCCACCGTAGACTGATAGTTTTAACGTGCATCAGGTCTTGGGAGCAGTGGTATTTGTACGTGAAACTTTGGAAATTGGTTCCCGTGTGGCGGAAACGAAACCCACCCGCCTTCCAAATCACTACACCCAGGTCGTGCATCGCCGCGTTCACTTCGGATCGCAGAAGCGTGTTACGGTCGATGTCATCTCCATCGCCATTTGCAACTTCAAGCGCACGCAGGGAGCCGAAATTAACAGGTAGAGTATCCAAATCAAAAATATAGCTCCCTTCGAGTATTTGGTCTTGATTCTATCAATTCAGATCAGGTTAGAAGAGCCTGTTTGTCCACCAGTCTAAGCTTTGCATTTCTACAATCTCAAAGATACTTGCCAATTTATTCCAATTTCGGAGAAGCCGGGTGAAACTGTCCCAGTCATCGAGCTCCAACGCGCGTTTTCGACCATGGCGCTTGCAAGTTCTTTGTGGCTTCCCGTCCTTGTTAAACTTGAATTCATCAACGCCGTAGAATTTCACGCATTTGCTGCAGAAGATTTTATCAGTCTCTTCAGGTAGATCAGGAAGAGGATCCATTGCTTGGGAGGGAAGTATGTGGGACAGGCAGGATAGGGATCAAGCAACGCGAGCATAAGATAAACAGAAACCGAAAAAGGAAAGGTTGCTTTTATGACTAAGAAAGTATATATCACCTGATCGCAAATTTGGGGAAGTGCATTACGCCCCCATGTACGGCGCTTTCTCTGCTGTATACTGTACTATATTTCACAACTTTCACGGCCATGCCCCCTTCTCGCGGCTCAATACCCCATCGCGGGGATGAAGATGGTCAGTTGTACCTATATGCCCTGTTCATAAAACTGAACTAATGTTTTCTAGAGGTCTGCCCCGTCTGCAAATCCTCGCGGTATTTAAATCCGGACATGCGATTCCTCATCAATCCAGAATGCTACCATAAAATGTGCGAGTCCTGCGTGGATCGAATTTTCTCGTCAGGCCCTGCAAATTGCCCAGTAGCGGGGTGCCACAAAACTCTACGAAAGAATCGTTTCCGGAAGCAGACGTTTGAGGATATTGGTGTGGAAAGGGAGGTCGATATACGGCGGAGGGTCATGCAGATGTATGTTGAAGATTGTTTGTGAGAAATAAAATACGGCTAATATTGTCAAGTCTTAACCGCCGTGAAGAAGAGTTTGACTCGAAGAGAGCATGGGACGACTTCCTTGAGCAGCGCGAAGAAATTATCGCGAACCTTGTCCATGGCACCGATGTGGCCAAGACTGAAGCCAATCTTCAAAGATATGCCGCAGAGAATGTCCGTTCAATCCGTACCAACCAAGCCCTCGAAGCTCAGGAGGCTTCGTCTTTCCAAGAACGACAAACTCAAGAGCAGGAATTGGCGCGTATACGACGAGAAGCGGCGAGACAGGAATACGAGAATAAGCGACGAGAGCTTCTTGCAGAACGAGAAGATGTTCTCACTCGCCTTGCAGCTGGCCGTCCAGCGGATGCAGCCGCTATTACGCGAGAAGGACAAAAAGTGTTGCTCAAGAAATCTTCTGCTCGACGCAGTGAGGAGGAACGTATCCGACAGAAACAGGCAGCTCTGCGCAGCTCGGAAGCCAAAAAAGGTGGTCAAGGACCCGCTGCAGCTGCTGAAAAAGCTGGAGACTCTGGAGACTCTGGGCTTATCAAGGGTCTCAAGAGAATCAAGACCCCAGAACCCGAGAAGCCTTACGATCCGTTTGGTGGGCTGGTCCCCAACAAACGGGACTACTATATACTCCGCGACCACTATCCGTCTAGTTACTTGGACCCCATTAGAGACGATACTCGTATGCAGGCGGGTGGATATGACCTTCGAGAGTACTATTCCCGCACTTTACTTGAGGCTTTCGCAGGGCTGGGATGCTTTATCGATGATGAGATATCAAAACGCGATGCGACGAATAAGCCTGTTACCACCGAAAGAGCTACTGCCGCTGCCGCTACAGATGCTTCTATGAAAACCGGATAATTCTCTGTAGTGCGCAAGGCATGGAATATATTCTTTGCCCAATCGTTTTCATTATGACTCTAAAAATATGCCCGCACTGAGTCTTTCCTCCTTTCTTTTCTCCTTTCTTTCCTTCTTGGTGTTCCAGCGACATAGGAAATGCATAGCGAAGGTGTTCACTTTTTGGATGAAATTGGGTGTACAGCTACAGATTTATTCACGTTGCAGTTTAGAATTTTATTTTATTTTGCGTTTATTTTCCCCTTATCGCGTAACTGACCCCTCTGCCTACAAACGGATCGTAAGGCTTCTCGGGTTCTGGGGTCTTGATTCTCTTGAGACCCTTGATAAGCCCAGAGTCTCGGGGTCGGTTAAGTCTCTATTGACTAGTTATGTCAAACACAGAAAGATAGAGCCCTTTATTCATTATTTCGTCTCGCTACCATCAATTGTCCTAAATATAGGCATTGTTGAATTTTCGGTTCTGATGCAGAGATAGTATACACAGAAAAGAGAAAAATGATCAAGCTAATATCTAGAGTAATGTACAGTATTGTACCACCGTTACAACTTGCCCCCGGTAAGTTCTTCACCCAGTTTTTTGACCCTGCCTTGGACGAGGTCCCAGCGAGCTGCTTCATTTTTCTTGGTATCACCGACAATAGATTGGACAGTCGGGGGCATGCCCAGGTTCCAGATGTTCTCACCTTGCTGGTGATCGTTGCGCCACGCCTCGTTCTCTCCCTCGGGGAAGGCCCTCTCGATTTCGGCAGCAAGTTGAGCCTCGGTGGTGATGAAATTACGGGCATTCATGTAGAGTGCTTGCAGAGAATCTTGTTGTTCCATTGCTTTCCGAGCGTTCTTGGCCTCAAAACGTGCCCGGGAGTTCGCAAGGCGCTCTTCTCTGCCAGGGTCAGGAAGGGTTGAGGTGTGCTTAGGAAGCATGTCCTGAATGACAGAGGGGCGGGTAAACTTCTCGTCCGCTCTTTCTGGCTGCCCAAGAACGGATTTCCGCCGTAACTGTTTCGCTAAACTCTCCTGCTCCATGCGCTTGTCCGTCCGCTGTTTCCGGTCACGTAATTCCAGCAGACCTTCTCGGAAATTCTTTCTCCTCATATCGGCCATGCGCCTCTTCCAGCCAATGTATTGAACATGTGGATCATTCGAGTCGATGTCGGGTACATTGGATGGAAGGGGGGTTGCAGCGCTGATGTACTTCTCGGTTGGTTTGTCGACTCGGCGGGCAGGAAAGATTTCTCGAGGCACTGGGAGCGTACCCTTGACACGGCGGACCGAACGTGCCCCCTGCTGGACGGGTTGAGGGATATCGATGTAATCAGGCGATTCGGGCCCGACTCGAAGATAGAAGGACGAGGAGAAACCTCGGATTTGCACGGTGGCAGTCCGACAGCTGCGGAGGAGAGACATGATAAACAACCTCAGTTCTCTGGTTCAATTCTCAGATCAATTCGGGGGAGATTTCAAAACAGGAAGGGTTCAAAATGTAAGGAACAGATTCATCGCATCGCAATAGAGAAATACTGCAAATTGCGGAGCAGACGATGGCAACGTGGTTCTGTTGTAAGAGGCGGAAGAGATCGAAGCGGATTTTCTCGCACTTGGTCTGTGCACCAATAGCCTTGGCGCCCGTGTCCCAAAAAAAAAAATAAATTTCTCACTAGCAACGAAACATTTTTCTTCTTCTGCCTGTGCTCTGCCACCTTTTCCCCCCTGCCCTATTTTTCAACCTTTTTTTTTTTTACTATTTTTATACGAATTCCTCTCTTAGAGAGCAGGATTCATTATGGGTACAGGAAAAAAGGAGGCCACTCGTAGAGTGCGCCAGGGGAAGGTTGGAGATGGCATGGGCAATGTCAGGGTTAAGGGTGAAAATTTTTACAGGTAGGCTACCTTGCCATGGTGAAGAGTTGTATGTGTATACTGATATGAGAGAAGAGATGCGAAGAAGTTGAGAACTTTGAATATGCTCAAAGATGGTAAAGCTCAACGTGATGCTGCTGGAAATATCACCAAGGCCGCTTCGTACCAATCCAGAGATGCCCCCGTCGCTAGGATCGAGCCGCACCGTAAATGGTTTGGGAACACTCGCGTGATATCTCAAGAGGCTTTGACGTCCTTCCGCGAGGCCGTCGCCGAGCGTGCATCCGACCCCTATCAAGTTCTTCTCAAGACCAACAAGCTTCCCATGAGCCTGATCAGAGACGGTCAAGGTGTGAATGGGCTGAAACAGCATGAAGCAAAGATGGCTATTGAGACTTCGCCATACAGTGACACTTTTGGGCCTAAGGCTCAGAGAAAACGTGTCAAAATTGGGGTTTCATCTCTCGAAGACCTAGCTGGCGAGACGGCCAAAATGCATGATGCCTATGTTGAGAAGACAGACCAGGATACACATACAGACGGCACTCCGATTGTTTCTGGAGATGTCAATGTAGATAATAGCAATCTTGGTGCATATGCTACCGCACGTGAATCGGTCTTTTTGAAAGGTCAAAGCAAGCGAATCTGGAATGAGTTGTACAAGGTTATCGATTCATCAGATGTTGTTATCCATGCACTTGATGCGCGTGATCCTGAAGGCACGCGCTGCAGAAGCATTGAGAGGTATATTCGAGAGGAGGCTCCACATAAACACTTGATCTTTGTGCTTAACAAGTGTGATCTTGTGCCGACTGGAGTGGCGGTACGTTTTTCCCCTCTCCCCTTCCCCAATTTCTCTTTGAGTACTTTTGGTTCCTCTGTTCCATTTCCCTCGATACCAATCAGGCTACCTCGGCCTGTGCCATCGCTAAGTCAAGGCTTCTTCCTGCGACTATGTGTCGTGTACTTTACCATGGGAGTTTTGTCTGTTACAGCTTTGGTAGATTGACGCTGGCCCGCGCCGACCTTCTTTCTGAAGCTAGGCTGACTGGTTTTCGTTTTGAAAATCGGTCGCAAAGGGCGAAGTTGTGCTCCGTTTAAGAGTTGAGTCTTGCCTCTGCCATTTGGCGGCTTAGTAGCAAGTCTCTTAGTAACGCTCCACACATTCTATTCATTTACTTCCCATACTCTACACGTGGTATACTCTGGTAGTCAATTGCTAACTTGACACCAGGCTGCTTGGGTTCGCCACCTTTCGAAAGACTACCCTACTCTCGCGTTCCATGCTTCGATAAACAACTCATTCGGTAAGGGGTCTTTGATTCAGCTGCTGAGACAGTTTTCATCTCTTCACGCCGATCGGAAGCAGATTGCTGTTGGATTCATTGGATACCCCAATACGGGCAAGTCCTCGATTATCAACACTCTGCGCAAGAAGAAGGTGTGTACTGTGGCTCCCATTCCTGGGGAAACCAAGGTCTGGCAGTACATTACTTTGATGAAGCGTATCTACCTCATTGACTGCCCAGGCGTGGTCCCGCCCAACCAAAATGACACCCCGGAAGATATCCTTCTACGAGGTGTTGTCCGGGTGGAGAATGTGGAAAACCCCGAACAGTATATCCCGGCTATTCTTAAACGAGTCCAGCCGAAGCATCTTGATCGTACTTATGGCGTGAAGAATGCTGAAGATCCTATCGAATTTTTAAGCATCCTGGCCCGTAAGGGTGGCAGACTTCTCCGTGGAGGAGAGCCCGATCTTGACGGCGTCGCCAAGATGGTCATCAACGATTTCCTTAGGGGGAAGATTCCCTGGTATACTCCTCCACCTTACATCCCTGTTAAGGATGGCGAGAAGATCGAAGGCCGAGAAGGTAGACTGGGAGAGATGGGCCGGAAGCGAAAGCTTGATGAAACCACACTGGATGAAGCCAATAAGACGGAATATGCTTCAGAAAAGCCGGGTTCTGCTTCTGAGGCAGAAGAGTTCGAGGGCTTCCATGAAAGTGACGATGATAATGACTCGATTGCCAATCTCGAAGTCAGTGATGTAGAAAGCGGGGAGGAGAATGACTGAGCTGTAACAGCCATTACTGCTCAGTCAATTCTTTGCAATCAAAGCAGCACCATGACATCAGCCAGAGGTTCCTTTGTGCTTTGAACCCATTTGCGTTGGCGATGTTTCGCCTTCATTCCTCCTTTAGGGAGCGCACACGACATATGATGTCATAACCTAAATCGGTTGCAGACTAATGCTCCAGGGAAGGTCTATCCAGTTTTCACTGGAGCTGAGAACACCGAACAAAGACAGCGTCGACCCTGTTGTTGATTCACACTACATCCGTTTGGCATGCCAACTGGGTTGTAGTCTAGCTCTGCACATAGTAGCTCTATCTGGGGCATGAACTACTCAGTTCTAGATATGCTCGTCCATACTCTTCATATTAGATACCCACCTAGCCCTTAGAAGAATCTATTTTGATACAACTGCTTACTATTAGTGCTATTTGGATATTCCTCGAGATAGTTCTTTGTATGGCCGCTGATAAGTTTGAGGATAAGTTTTGCATCTGCCCTCACCGCCGTAGCTCACGTGGGGCTCTCCAGCCTCGCTTTCGTCATCTGTGTTGGTCGCACCACCACGTTGCCGTCGATCTCGCTACCAGCCTCTTGTATGTAATTCATGACTTGCATGTCTCCATGTTTCCAGGAAATGTGCGACTTCTCCCTTGACAATGGCGGACGACGGCATGTCCATTATTCCTTATGGGTCGTCCAATCTTGACGTCGTATTGTAAGGCATGCTCACCTCCTGATAGATTCAGTTCTAATATTCGTTGTGACAGACGCCATAATGACTCCGTCGTTGTTTTCGATCGAGACTCTCGGCAACTGGTCCTCAGGAATGCAGCTGAGGATGCTCATGGCATAGAGCTAGCCGACTGTCCATATTGTCACCGTCCCATGCGTGGCGATGACGCGGGGCAGGAAGGACATCATGCCAGTCCTAATGCACAGCCGGAATTCGTAAACCCCAACTATTTTCGAATGCTTCATAATAGCCTACCTAGCTTTGCAAGCTCTTCGCACCCATCTTCTCCGCGCCGTCGCCTCGCTCAACCCGCTCTTCCGGATGGTCCGACGAGCGATCGAAGTCACACACGAAACGCACACTCCACACAAGGTATATCGTCTGCAGCCTTTACACCAGATTATTTCAAAAAGTTCTTTGTTGAAGAAAGAATTCTGGGGAAAGGTGGGAAGGGTGTGGTGTTGCTAGTGAAGCATATGCTGGATGGTGTCTCGCTCGGACATTATGCTTGCAAGCGTGTACCGGTCGGGGATGATCATGAGTGGCTGGAAAAGGTTTTAGGAGAAGTCCAGCTGTTGCAGCACCTGTCGCATCAGAATCTGGTATCCTATCGCCACGTTTGGCTTGAAAATGCGAAAATCAGCACATTCGGCCCTAGTGTTCCTTGTGCATTCATTCTCCAACAGTACTGTAATGCCGGAGATTTGCATAACTATATCTGTGGCTCGGTACAAACTTCCACAACAGCGCAGCAACTGAAGGAGCGCCTCAGGAGAAAGTCCAAAGGGGAGCCCGAACCTGAATCCGAGCTGACAGAGCCTCGTAGGCTACATTTTGACGAAATCTATTCGTTTTTTAAGGACATCACATCCGGGCTTCGACATCTCCACGCGAATGGTTACATACATCGAGACCTCAAGCCCAACAACTGCCTGCTACATCAGACAAGTGATGGTATACGTGTGTTAGTCAGTGATTTCGGTGAAGTTCAGTCCCAGGATGCGATGCGAGGATCGACTGGAGCCACTGGAACTGTGTCGTACTGTGCCCCAGAGGTTTTGCGGCGCGAATATCCAGAAGGTCCATTTGGTAACTTCACATTCAAATCTGACATCTTCTCTCTGGGAATGATCCTTTATTTTTTATGTTTTGCCCAACTCCCCTATATGAACGCGGACCTCATTAATGAGGAAAAAGAGGATCTTGACCGTCTGCGCGAAGAGATCAGTCAATGGAGAGGATTTGACTATGCGCGGAGGATGAGGCCTGAATTACCCGAGCAGCTGTACACCTTTTTGGAGCGTTTATTGTCTGTGGATCCTAATCGACGACCCTCTGCGGAAGAGGTTTTAAGTGGTTTACAGGCTGGTGCCAATGCCAATGAAAATATACGGTCCAGAAGAGGCAGCTCGGCGAGTCCTGATGTGCATACAGCCTCTAGAATTCATCCTGTTGAGAATCCATCAGCTCCCACTTTTCCCCGGCCGCCTCACTCCCCGAAAAGGACGTTTACTCGCCCAGTAGCCACGCGTCATAGTCCGCAGTACGAGGAGAGCAGCGATGCCATGTCCCCAGTCGTTGAAGATATGGATCTTGAAACCGACGGGAGACTTTCTTTGGGCCCGGAAAGGGACCTAATAGTTCGGTCTAGGTATTCACATTCTCCATCTTTATCTCCGGGGCAAGGGGATCACCAGCAGGAAGTACATCGACATGAGGAGCCTTCTCTTCGGCCGTTGCTGCCTCCTCCTCCAAGCCGATTTTCTCTATGGAGGCGCATTCCCGCTATTTCATGGCAGGCTCCATTTCCAGCGATCCAGCTCGGTTTCTTCCTTGTTCAGGTGGTTTCTGTGTTTCAACCATGCACCCCTCTTGCTGTCAACCCTTGGGTTCTGTACCCTTTACTCCTACTGGCAGCCTTAAACCTCTGGACGCGCAATTTCTTACTCGAAGTTCTTATTATTACACTGCATCTTATCGTAGTCAGTTTCAGCATACGCCTGGGCAAGTTATGCGTGTGGAATTCGCCGGGAGGGATGATGTTTTCGAAGTAGACTTTTGCGTCTGATTCTGAGTTTGATTTGGAGGCATTGAAAGCGACTGCATTTTTATTACATTTTCAATTTAAAGGAAAGCACGGAATGGGCCTCTTTGCATGGCTTTCTTTGTTTTCCCCCTGTCTTTACTCTTTGCACGATTTCAAGACTTCCGATGAAGTCGCTTTGTCCCGCACGCTAATAGTATACTGAGCGTTTATGCAAGCACAGATTTACCTTCTCATACAAAGAGAGTTAATTATACAGCATATCTTGCTCAATGCAAGCACCATGGATGAATGATATTCTAGCGTTAGTGGCTTGCTGATTTAATTGGATATTTATATACACCAATGCCACTTATACTTACAGCCACTCCCCTCATGCGCTCCTGATACAGTTTCCCCGCTTTTTTCCATCTCTCAGATACTGCAAATCGTAATCCACTGCTCTTCCCTTTGCCTTCATTGCGAAATACCATAGGCCTTATAGCTAGATATCATTCCACTCACGCCTCTGCATTCCCATCGAATCCAGAGAGGAGCTCATCATTTTCAAATACCGTTTCAAGGACATCGAGGATCCGAAGACCAGTATTCATACTGGTAGATTTACCAAAACCCCCCACAGAATCATGAAACCAAAAGTGTCCAGGTATGACATGTCATACAGGCCATTGACTGACTCGTACCCATACTTCCTGGAGACGGCCAACCCCGAATCCCAGCCATAATACATAAGTCATAACCTTGTACATGTTGAACAGTCGTCTTAGGATATATTTATCCACCATTCTGTTTGTTGTGAATTCCACGCGCGAGAAGCGGCCTGTCTCTAGCGTATCCTGATCAATGAAACATCATGGAGTTTCCGAAGAGGACGTGTCCACTCCGAGACATGGTCATGGTTTGGAAATCGGCAGTCTCGACGAACGAACACATCATGAAATCGTCGATAGTGAAGGTGGTTGTGTCTGGGAAACCAGCAGGGCTTGATTCCACCATCGTTGGAAGATGGTCCCCTTCTATGAAAGGGTGCGAGATCCCCCCGTTTAGCTGGTACAGCAAGGACGAGGATCTTGATGAAGCGTGTGCGCTTGACAGGCGTGTCTACTGAGTTGATGCAGATGAAGTTGCTGAACTTATGGGATCTGGATTCAATGCGAGTCAAAGCTGCGAAGGGGTAATCCACTGCTGATTGCAGATGGAAGGACTGAGTGGTTGATTAGCTGATTATATATGAGTTATTATTGAGTATAGGTGGCTTACATCGCGGAAGGACTGATCTGCCGACGCCCATTGTACCACGAGGGCCCGACATTGCCGTTGCTCATATCCTTCATCTTCGCCTTCTCGGATGCCTGCCAGCTCGGGAGACACTCAGCTCTACTAGACAGGTTCATGTCAGAGCGACAAATCCAACATAATCAATAAGGGCCTACGCTGACAAACGGTAAACATACCCTCGCTTTGTCAATCAGCTCATGATCGTCAGGAAAATCATCCACATTGTTCATACTCTGCTCCTCCGTGACCTTTATTAGGGGGTACCGCTGTACACAACTCGGGATCCCTCCAGGCCAATAATACGTTCAAAATATCTGTGGATGATCAGAGAAAGCAAGAGGCCCATGATTAGCAGTCGTTGGACCAGGAGGATTGCCTTCTGCCGTCCAGGAGTTAGGCAGGGCCTGTATATCGTCACAGGCACAGTTCTGTGGTTGGTGAGCTATTGCACGCGCATCGTAGCAGCGAAGAAGGTGCTGCCACAGTGAACTGAGAGAAGTTTTCATTTTGGACCAAAATGTCGAGATTGAAATGGAGCAGTTGGATGAAGGCAGTCTCCACTTGCGGTGATGGTGTCCGACTAGTATCCACCGGTGAAGCTTGGCCCAGCTGTTTACTGCTTGGTTCTCGAGGATACTCAGCTGTTTGTGCTTTGTGCTAAATATTCAGAGAGGTATATTCTCTTCTCTTAACCTCTCTCTCTTAAACAAGAATATCGATATTTATAGTCCTCCATTCCTACTAGGTAGATAGTATATACATCTACACCCTTGCGCCGAATCCGGAAAGACATACTTTAACCATCGTCTAAAGCGTTCGCTAGATATCCCACCATTGACTTTACAACTTTTACTGAATGCTCACTGTGGCGTCACTGGACTATTTGGGACAGGTATAAATCAACGTCTGCAGCCTTCTCTCTCTTTCTCTCACCTCCACTCTAGCACCATCTTTCCAAGCTACTGGCTTTTGAAAAAACGTTCAAAACAACTTTGCAAGTCATACATCAAATACATCTATAATGAGTCCACCAGCGGTATCATCAATACTTCTACTTCCATTGCTGCTGTCTGGCAGGGCGACATGATGAGAACTCCAAGCTCCTAGACATCCTTCACTAACGATTCTACAAAATCCCCGTATCTCTCAAAACTGAGTGCGCATTACAATTTTACTTCGGGACTGTTCAATAATAGCTTGGTCAGGGAACCCCTTTTTAGCCTGATGGAGTTACTGCATGCTTACATGGGCAGAATTTAACATTCATCTACGACACATATGCACGTACATAGTATTTTCCCTTTGATTTCTATTGCGGTAAGTTGCTATTTATCAGGTATCAAACAGCGGAATCACAGATATCTGCGGATTGACACTATGGGGTGTGAGTATCAAAGGAAATGTGGGAACAATTTTAGATAATTTACAGGATTTTGGAGATTTAAGCCCCATGCCTGCCGCTACACTGGACACGAGAAGCTTGATAAGTTTCTCTTTTCGCTTTATGAAGACATAGAAAACGTAGAAATGATAAAATGTCTCTACTGGGTGAACACTGAAGATAAACGAAGTAAGTCGCGCTGGATCCCTGTATACTCGTAGATGCGAGATTATCGTTGGCTGCTATAAACGTTGGGAAGCGAAATTACGCATATTACATCCGCAATGGGGAAAGGTATGTGAGTCTTTCGTGGATGTAATCGACGACTGATTTCATACTTGAAAGCGAGCATCTAAGAGGATAGCTTGATATCATGGTCATGGTTTCTGCACTTAGTCTAATGTTGACCAGTCTCTCAAGTGTTGGCTTTTCAGTTTTTTCTTGCTTCTAATGTGTTTCAACCTCGGTGTCAGGCTTTAATCTCGTTTGTTTCTCGCTTTCTTATTTCTTTCCCTTCTAATAATAATCTTACAGACTTATGTAGGTTATAATCAGCTATAAAAACAAAAACGGTAGCACTGACCACTGGGCAACGACTCGAACGCGGGACCTCCTGATCCCCAGAACTAGGAATCCTACCACCTAGAACTCACGGGAAGTAGCAGGATAGCTAAGAGCATGGCACAGATGCTGTTCCTTGATGTGCACATCAGTTCGAATTGGGAGCGCGATTCAAAGCTGCAAGGGCGTATGTTAGAAAGGATCTAAGGGGTCCAGGGAATTACCACTAAGCCCCAAGTTCAAGAATGAGGTGCAAGGGCCCAATCAGCTGAGACACGTCCCAGCTTGACGACCCAGAAGCTAGCGTAGAATAATGCACAATCATTTGTGCCAACTTTGAAAAATATCTATTTGTACATACACATGAGAGGGCAATAACTCCTGTTCCAAATCGACCTGTACGAGTTAAGGACCGGCAAAAATAATATAACGTAAGACAAATCCCGTAAGAGAGAGTGCATTCGACAGTCCGTTTACCGCTTGGGCCACTTCTTCCAGCCGCGACCGTGACCTCTCTGTCGAACGAAAGCCAGTTAGCATCATCCATGTTCCAAAAAAATACTGACAGATGTCCTCACCTGCTTCCACAACCGGATCATTTCCGGCATCTCCATCATGGCCTTGCGTCTGTCCTCCAGACGAGCCTCCATCGTCCGCTCCCACTTGTGACCCTTGACCTTCTGTCCAATACCGGTACCCTTGATCTGTAATCCACGCTCCGCGCGTCTAGTCTCTTTGTATTCGGTTGACTTGCGTCCCGGGGGCAGTAGAGCTTCCACATTGTATTTGGCGGCCAACTTCACCAGCTCGACTTGTGTCCGTAGCCCGTAGCGCGGGCCAATCCATTTGCCCGAGCAGAAGTTCTTGCGAGGCAGGAATGGGTTGGGATGCTTGGGATCGGAGTAAAGAAGAGCTCTGGACGGTGAAAACTCTTTGGGATTGGGATGCTTATAGCCCTTGGCATCCCTGTTTGGCGTATATGGTGAAGGAAGGGACTCTTCGCTGACTGCTTTTGTCGTTTCCTCCGGAGAAGGACGGGGTGCAACTGCTGCGGAATAGATCTGGGGAGGATAACGGGCGAAGAAGTTGCGTAGGCGAACAGGGAGCTTGTTCACCAAGCTGGTGGTCGCCTGGGTGGTCGACATGATAGAGGGAGATTACACCCCGGGTAGAAGAAGTCGGGGGTGGAATGAATTGGAAGGGGATGAATGCGTCGAGTGAATCCGAATCGTCGTCTGATAATAATGAATGTAGAGAAATTGTAGGGCGCTAAGCTATATTCGGGGTGCGGCTCAGGAGGCGGAAAAAACGGCGTGGGTGTGGCTGGGCAGCTCGTCCTTTTCCCGCCGACCTGCCCTTCCTGCCTCCCACGTTGCCCTTGCGAACTTCTCGTCGCTATATGGTGGCCTTATTGCTCTGCGTCACTACGTCTTTTTTCATTTGATTCCCAGCTGCTATCATGGCGGATTACAATTATGGAGGCTCCGAAGAGGAGAATGCGGAGCTGAAGAAGCTCGAGGCCGAACTGGTAGCATACAACTTATCCCTGCTCCAAGCTTCTGCGATCGCGAACTTTAGCTAACTGACCATGTCACGGTGATGTAGATCGATGATCCGGATAATTTTGAAACCTGGGAACGACTGGTTCGCGCCGCTGAGGCACTCGAGGGAGGAATCAACCGCAACTCCAATTCGGAGGCAATTACCACCGTGCGAAATGTCTATGACCGATTCCTAGCCAAGTTCCCGTTGCTGTTCGGCTACTGGAAGAAATACGCCGATCTAGAATTTTCTATCACGGGTACGGAGGCGGCAGATATGGTATGGATCGATCGTCCTGCTCTCTTTAGATTAGATGGAACGACACGGCTAACCTCATGCCATACAGGTTTACGAACGGGGCGTCGCCAGTATTTCCCCATCCGTCGATCTCTGGACCAACTACTGCTCCTTCAAAGCGGAGACTTCCCACGACGTCGACATAATCCGAGAGTAAGTAGACGTATGCTGGTTTCTTTTCCTGCCCCCTATAACCACCAACGTAGCACGGGACATTACCGTGGTATCGAATCCACGTAATGCAACAAGTCGTTGACTATGGTTCCCTCGTTGATGGGTGAGATGTCACCTTACCCGAACTCAACTGGAGTTTACTTCTCACCCTTGGCTTCCTCAGGCTGTTTATTTTCCCTTGAAACAATTGATTTGATATCAAGCACCATTCCTTGGACACCACAGACCAGTACCTCTGTTCGATGGATCCTATTCTGCGAGCGATGCAGAGAGGGGGGAACGTCCATGGCCATTTGATCACCTAAGTCGTTCAATTTTTTGGGTTCCCACGCACTGAAGATTAAATGCTTATGTTTGCAATCCTTGTTATTCCCCCCCTCCCTTGCCCTTCCCATACCCCCGTATCTTTCTATTTTGCACTGTAAGAGATACTGACCATCCCTACCACAGATTGTTCGAACGCGGTGCGAGCAGCGTTGGGCTCGATTTCCTCGCACACCCTTTCTGGGACAAGTATATTGAATTCGAGGAGAGAGTGGAGGCCCCCGAGAAGATATTTGCCATCCTAAGTCGGGTGATTCATATCCCTATGCATCAGTATGCTCGGTACTTTGAACGGTTTAGACAGCTTGCACAAACGCGGTCCTTGGCTGAATTGGCTCCTCAGGAGACCTTGTCACAATTCCGGGCGGAGCTGGACGCTGCCTCCGGACAAGTGGCACCGGGCGCCAAAGCGGATGCTGAAGTCGAACGGGATCTCCGACTGCGTGTTGATAGCTATCATCTGGAAATATTCTCCAAGACACAAACGGAGACGACTAAACGGTGGACATATGAGTCGGAGATCAAGCGCCCGTACTTCCATGTGACTGAGCTGGACGAAGGTCAACTGTCCAACTGGAAAAAGTACCTGGACTTTGAGGAATCCGAGGGCTCATATCCACGAATTCAGTTCCTGTATGAGAGGTGTCTCGTGACGTGTGCTCACTACGATGAATTCTGGCAACGTTATGCCCGGTGGATGGCCGCTCAGCCTGGAAAGGAGGAAGAAGTGCGCTGCATCTACCAGCGCGCAAGCTGTCTATATGTGCCAATCGCAAACCCGGCGACGCGTCTCCAATATGCCTATTTCGAAGAAATGTCTGGACGGGTGGATGTTGCCAAGGACATCCATGAAGCAATCCTGATCAACATGCCCGATCACGTCGAGACGATTGTGTCTTTAGCCAACATGTGCCGTCGTCACGGTGGCCTCGAGGCGGCGATTGAGATCTATAAGAACCAGCTGGATTCGCCGCAGTGTGATCTGGCTACGAAGGCCGCACTTGTTGCCGAATGGGCTCGTCTTCTGTGGAAGATCAAGGGTTCTGCTGAAGATGCCCGCCAAGTGTACCTGACGAACCAGCAATACTATCTGCATAGTGGGGCATTCTGGTCGAGCTACCTGTCGTTCGAATTGGAGCAACCAACGAGCGCTTCGACGGAAAATGTACAATACGAGCGGATCAAACAGGTGATTGAAGACGTTCGCTCCAAGAGTAGTCTGACCGCAGATACGGTGAAAGACCTCGTACAGACCTACATGGTCTACCTGCTTGAACGAGGCACCAAGGATGCAGCCAAAGAATACATGACTCTGGACCGGGAAGTGCATGGCCCTGCGTCGGTATCTCAGACTAAGACTGGTGCTGCGGGACAGGTTGTTGAGCAAGCGAACACAACAACGCCTGCTGTCGTCCCTTCCGATGTGCCACCACAACCGACCCCGTACCCTTACTTTCAGGAAAGCCCCGTGAACGGCAGCGTGGACGCCTAAAGATTGATGTTCTGCGATCGTTCCTTCCTACGTATTCATGATCAATGAGGCGGTCGATCGCACTTTCTATTCCCGTGCTTGTCCTTGTGTAGAACAAACAATATTTTCTGATTTGCTTAGCGACTCTGGAATGTCGAGAAGAGAGGCTTGCTGCTTGGTTTGTTCGCTTTTCGACAGCTCTTCGAATGATATCACGCGATTCGATGGGGTGGACTTTATGAGTTTGGACGCTATTTCTCTTGTATTCTAATGCCTCGGTAGTGCAATATAAATCCAATCCAGCGTACGTTTGACTAGGACCTAGCTATACTATACTATCTTTGTATCCGTCTGGAATGCCACTAGTTGCCTGTGATGCACGTGATTGCACCTCAAGCTGTTCCCTCCCGCCGGAGAAATTCCAGAGGAAGTCAGGCGATTCCTCCATCTCCAACTCCAACTCCCCAACTTCGTCACAGCCGCCATCATGGACGGGATCATCACAAACGGTTCTACCGAGGCGTCAGTCGGGGTTCCCCCTCCGGAGCCCATTGATCGCCCTCCCACTCCTCCTCCGCCACCTCCAGAAGATTCCGCCGCCCCTCCACCCCCCATCACGTCCGCACCTCCACCACCGCCAGAAGATCTCCCTCCAGCTCCACCCCCAGAGGAGACAACGACGACGAAGAAGAAAGTCGGATTGGGTACGAAACGTCCGGCAGCCACGCCACTGAGTGTTGAGGATCTGGTCCGGAAGAAGAGGGAGGCGGATGCCGCAGCAGCTAAGGTACGTGACCATGTCTACTGTTTTCATTTCGGTTCATGTGGTGGCAGACTAGTGGTTGTAAGGCACTAACTAAAGACTGCTCGGTTAATAGCCCAAGTTCCTCTCGAGAGCAGAGCGCGAGCGAATCGCCCTGGAGAAACGCAACAAGGAAGTCGAGGCCACCCGAAAACAGGCTGAACGCGCCTCCAACGGCATCGACCGAAAAGACACACAGTTACCATCTAGGAACTCCGATGGCCTGAATGGCGACTCACGATTCATTCCAACTGGACCACGTGCCATGCGCAGTTCAGACGCACCAACTGCGCCTGCTGCAATGCGGAATTCTTTCCATTTGCATAAGAACAGTGATAAATTACAACCGAAATCGAAAGGCGCACTAGGTTCCATAGATGAGGAAGAGGCAGCTGCGCAAGCAGCTCTAGTGAAACAAAGATATATGGGGGCGGACCAAACGTCCAATTTCTCGGCCAAAAAGAAGCGCAAGAGGACTACGGACCGGAAGTTTAATTTCGAGTGGAATGCGGAGGAAGATACCAGCGGAGACTATAATCCACTCTATCAGCATCGACATGAGACAAAATTCTTTGGCCGTGGTCGTCTGGCGGGTTATGGCGATGATGTAGCGGAACAGATGGCGAAGAAATATGCGCGGGCACTGGAGGACCAAGATCGTGAAGCCGGAGGGATCCGTGCACGAGAGATCCTGGAGATGGAACGTCGACGCAGGGAAGAGAGTGCTCGGAACCAGCTGGACAAGCATTGGAGCGAGAAGAAGCTGGAGCACATGCGCGAGCGAGACTGGCGTATCTTCAAGGAAGATTTCAACATCAGTACCAAGGGTGGAAGCATACCCAATCCCATGCGGTCATGGGATGAGTCTGGTCTTCCTAATCGTCTGATGGAACTGATCAACCGAGTCGGATACAAAGAACCTACGGCCATCCAGCGTTCTGCCATCCCCATCGCCCTGCAGAATCGAGACCTTATCGGTGTGGCCGTCACCGGGTCTGGTAAGACTGCCTCCTTCCTTCTTCCTCTTCTGGTGTACATCGCGGAACTACCACGGATCGACGAGTTCGAGTGGCGCAAAAATGATGGTCCGTACGCCATCGTACTGGCGCCCACCCGTGAATTGGCGCAACAGATCGAGATCGAAGCCAAGAAATTCACCCAACCTCTCGGCTTCAACGTGGTCAGTATTGTAGGAGGTCACTCCTTCGAAGAGCAAGCGTACAGTCTACGCAATGGTGCAGAGATTATTATCGCTACTCCCGGTCGTCTTGTCGACTGCATCGAACGTCGCCTGCTTGTGCTCAGCCAATGCTGCTACGTGATCATGGACGAAGCAGACCGTATGATTGACCTCGGTTTCGAAGAGCCGGTCAACAAGATCCTCGACGCATTGCCTGTATCGAACGAAAAGCCCGACTCCGAGGAAGCCGAGAACTCCATCGCTATGAGCCAACACCTCGGCGGCAAGGACCGCTACCGCCAAACTATGATGTACACAGCGACGATGCCAACGGCCGTCGAGCGCATCGCGCGCAAATACCTCCGTCGTCCGGCAATCGTGACGATCGGCAGCGCAGGCGAAGCCGTGGACACTATCGAGCAGCGCGTGGAGATGGTCGCCGGCGAAGACAAGCGCAAGAAACGTCTGGCCGAGATCCTCTCCTCGGGCGAATTCCGCGCCCCAATCATCGTCTTCGTCAACATCAAGCGAAACTGCGATGCCATCGCCCGCGAAATCAAACAGATGGGCTTCTCATCCGTCACCCTCCATGGAAGCAAAACCCAGGAACAGCGTGAAGCCGCCCTTGCGTCTGTCCGTAATGGCTCAACCGATGTCCTCGTGGCTACCGATCTCGCCGGTCGTGGTATCGATGTCCCCGATGTCAGTCTGGTGGTCAACTTCAACATGGCGACCTCGATCGAGAGTTACACTCACCGTATCGGCCGTACCGGTCGTGCCGGAAAGAGTGGTGTGGCTATTACCTTCTTGGGTAATGAGGATGCGGATGTCATGTATGTTTTCCCCTCTTTTTCACCCTCTTTGTTACCTTCATGTTTTCTTTCTTCCTACCCCCGATTGGTTTTAATTGTCAGATCACTAATGCCGGTTTTTACAGGTACGATATCAAACAAATGCTTATCAAGTCATCTATTTCTCGTGTCCCCGAGGAACTGCGGAAACATGAGGCCGCTCAGTCCAAACCCACTCGTGGTTTCTCCCGGAAGAATGAAGATAGCTCCGGGTTTGGAGGCAAGGGTGGATGGTAAGCTGTGTAGGGTGGTTGAGATGTCCGGGCTAAATGTAATGTTAAATAAAGTGAATGGATATACAGTGCCTCTCACTATCTATTCTCTTCTCTTACCGTCATTAATCTCTTGTCTTATGGGAGATTTCTCACCATGGCGACTATATAAATTGTGTAGACGTTGCAAATGTAGAAGTATTAAATACAGGGTAGCTTAGGGGTAGGCAACGTGATGACTAAATTTGATGACATCAACTAATGACTCCAACTAGAAGGTTTTATATAAAAAAAAATAATAATGATGATGGCTAGATACAGAATATTTGTGAGACATCCTGTATACAAGGCGGCTCACGTGGTCAGATTACTGACGGATGATTCCACAATAATGAACTGATCATCTCACTGTCACTTCTTTTATTTAGTATGCATAAATTATTGACAATACTATACAGGACTAGCTGATAGACTGTACTAAATGTTTACGTCTGCCGCACAGATGGCCGTTATATAATGCTCTACCTCCCCAAACATAGTTCCTTACAACTTACCCTCGGAGGTTTTCGATTTCAACCAGGCTTGAACATCAGCCCGATCGCGCTTGAGCCAATTGATCTTGGCACGAATGGCATCGAGACTTTGTTCAATAGCACGGTCATAGCCCTGGGAATAGAGTTGGTTAGCTGTTGATATATCTTACGTCCTGGAAATTTATCACTTACCTTAGTATCTTTGTCCTTGAAGAATTCCTCCACATCCTTCAGCTGCGCTTCAGTGCAGAAGCTGGAGGAGCAGAGCTGGACGACAGTGCTCAGCATACCGAGACCGGGGGGCAGGCGCTTGTACAGAGCATCCCAGTTGTTCTTCAGCCAGGTCCAACGGGCCTCCACGCCAGCGGTGTGACTACGCAAACCGCCCAGAGGCATGTATGTATCCTGATTCTTGACCTCGTCTCCGAGAGCGAGACCCAGGGTATGCTGGATCAGGGCCGGGTTCTCGGCCGCGCCGAGGCAGCGGAGAGCGGTGGTCTTCTCGTCCGAAGTAGGAGCATGGCGGAATCGGTCCAAAACCACATTGTATTCCCTCTCTCCACCATTTTTCAGGACAATAGAGAACACGCTGCCACGGATGTTGGGGTGGATAGCACTCACATCGCCGGCAGCGAAGCGCTCGAACATATCCTGAGAGGCCTTAACAACGACCGGGTCATCCGCCATACCAGCACTGCCAAACATGAGCGCCTTGAATTGCTGTAGAATGTGGCCATCCTTGTCCGAGAACTCCCAGCCAAGTTCGTGGGCTTTCTCACTGACCAACGAGCGCTGGAAGGCCTTCAGAGCATCCTTGGTTTGGTCGTCTTCAAACAGCCACGCGGCACGCAGAGTACCGATACGGGTCAAGATTTCATTCCACACAATGAACTCAGACTCGTTGTCGAATGCCTTCAGGAGGGATAGGAGGCCGGAAGTGCTCTGGAAACCCGACGCTGCCAAGGCGCCAGCATCTGCAATCATGCCAGCACGGTCCTCCACTGTCAAAAGTCCCTTGCTTGCCGCCACACCAAGCTTCGTGAGCCGCTCAGGTGTGTAAGAAGTTCGGTAGATGGCGGAGTGATCAGCATTGAGCTTGAAAAAGTCAAGGTCAGGCACCTTGAACTCCTTTTCACGCTCAGTAAGCATCGTGTTTTCGTCAACACCCTGGCTAGTGCGCAAGCCCAGCATGACAGGATAAAGGGTGGTGTCTTCTTCGGGTCGCACATCACCTGTGCGCAAGAAACGGTTCTGCTTCACCTTGATAGACGAAGTACTTGGGTCCTCCGAGACAGAGACAACCGGAAATCCAACATTCTTAGTCCAGATATCCATGACCTTCTCGACAGGCTTGCCACTAGCATCAGCAAGCGCAGCCCACAAATCACCGGTTTGGGTGTTGCCATAAGCATGCTTCTTGATGTAGTTACGCACACCCTGGATGAAAACATCCTCGCCCAAATATTTGGATATCATGCGCAGCACGGCAGAACCCTTGGAGTAGGAGATAGCATCAAAAATCTGGTTGATCTCATCGGCCCGCTTGACCGGAACTTCAATTGGGTGACTACTACGCAGCGAGTCAAGAGAGAGTGCGCTCTGCAAGTTGTCGATAACGTAGGTCTGCCACACCTTCCATTCCGGGTAGAAACTGTTGCAAGAATACCACGACATCCATGTGGCGAAACCCTCATTGAGCCAGAGGCCGTCCCAGAAGTCCATAGTTACCAGGTTTCCGAACCACTGGTGGGCCAGTTCGTGCTGGACGGTCTCTGCAATACGCTCCTTGCGGGACGCACCACTCGTCTTCTCATCCAACAACACATCGACGATGCGGTAGGTGATCAGACCCCAGTTCTCCATCGCTCCGGCGCTGAAATCAGGCACCGCAACCATGTCCATCTTGGGCAACGGGAAAGTGCTATCAAAGGCCTTCTCATAGAAAGCCAGAGTTCTAGCAGCCAGGTCCAGCGAGAAGCGTCCATGCTCGATGTCTTGATCCGGAGTGGCATAGACACGGATGGGAACACGGAAATCGTTGGTTTCAATGTAGTTGAGGTGGCCGACAATAAACGCTACCAGGTAGGTAGACATAAGCGGGGAGGTGTTGAACTTGACAGCTTTCTTGAGGCCGCCCTGTACTTCCGACTCCGAGGCCACATTCATGTTACTCAGGCAGGTCATGTCCTTGTCGGCGATGAGAGTGATGGTGAACTTAGCCTTGAGGGCCGGCTCATCGAAGCAAGGGAACGCCCTGCGGGCATCGGTGGGCTCCATCTGGGTAGAGGCTATGTATTTAGTCTCTCCATTTGCCATCTTGTACGAGGAGCGGTAGAATCCAGCCATGTTGTCATTCAGGGTACCGGCGAAACTGAGCTTCAGCTGAGCGGAGGAACCAGCGGAGATCGTGTCGGCAAACTTGACGGTAGCCACCTGCTTGTCCTTGTCGGTCGAGATCTCTGGATTGGAGGAAACAACGGATCCCTGGGAAGAGATGGTAGCGCTATGGATAATGATATCATTGGTGTTGAGGGAGACGGACGTAGTATCCTCCGCAACCTGCAGGCTACATTGAAGCATTAGTATTAGGTTCGTCAGAGACCTACATGGACACTATCACATACTCAATGACAACGGTTCCGTCGTAGGTGAACGACTCAAAATTCGGCTCCAGGGTCAGGTCATAATGAACCGGCTTCACATTAGTAGGCAGCACCTCACGACCGTGAGGCACGTTGGTCGAACCCGAAGGCCCATCGGCACGCCGGGAGCTGCACATTCTGCGGTAGGAGCAATAACGTTTGGAAGTCTGGAAAAGGGGAGAACGGCGAGAGGAGAGATGATGGACAGAAGCGGGGGATGAGGACGAGGAAAGAACCGAAGCAGAGCGAGAAGAGGAGAAGAGGGGGCCTCTAGAGGGGAGAGAAAGCGGTGGCTTTGCTGAGTTCAGCACCAGCGGTAACCGCGCGGAGGGGAAACGACGCATGAGCCCCACCAGGACAAAGGAAGAGACAGGAGAGTAGAGAAATACGTTTGGAGGTTAAACAGGCCAGGAGCAGGAAAGCAATGCACCGGAAAATTGGGGGACAGCGCAGAACAATGGATGGATAGATGGATGAAGCCTTCGCTTGTTCAATCATAAGGCGCCGAAAATAACGGCGTATGGCCCAGTCGGGAAGGCGGTGGGGAATTGCCCAGATGCTCTTATGAAGGCGCTCACGTGAGCGCCTGCTGTCTTTCTCAGGCACTAAGGCAATGAAGACCTATGCCTGATACGTCTTCCCCGGGTCTATAGTTGTTCCGGATCACGTGGACATTGTAATACCTTTTTAGTGCGTTTTTTCTATCTCCCACAATCAATCATCATTCATTCCTCAGCAAGTTGACTTAATTCCACGGCATATGCCAGATAACTCACTAACGGAGTTTATCCTCATGGCAAATGTCTGTCAAGCTGCCGATGTGGGCAGAACTTGCAAGACGACGCTCCAGTCAGTTTGAGGGGTCCATGACTGCACCCAATGCAAAAACACTCGTGAATGGACTTCCATAGATGACTGGGACAAGTGTATTTCTCAAATAGAATGATGTTTTATAAAGATCTCAGTTTGAATTCAATGCCTTGTATACTGTGATCCACGGAATTTTCTCTATGAAATTAAAAAAAAGAAAAAAAAAAAATTCTAAAATACAGAGCGAGAATGTCTCTATCCAGTCAAAGTCATAACAATAACAAGAATCATGCAAGAAATAATCATGCAAGTAAATCATGACCCCCAAACTCCACTAAATGCATTTTGGTATCATCCTAGCGCTGTTAAACATTAGAATTATGCAATTATTATGAGTGATGTTGAATCTTCCGTCATATCCCTGAGATGTTGAAACATCTCATAGGATAGACTAGGACTGTTGCTGCTGCTGCTGCAGTTGTGCCAGTGGCAATCGTGTGAAAACGCTCCTGGACCAGCCATCGGCGTCCACCACGGTTTCTTTGACCAGCATGTATCGGCCATACTTCGGCAGTAAGACTGCCCACACGAACCAGTATATCGCGCCCGAAGCAAAGATGCCCAGAGCCACCACGCAGTGAAGATAGTACGGCAGTTGCTTGTAGACACTCTGCCCTTCGCTGGGTGGCACGTATGGGGCGACCACCAAGTAGCATTGCGAGATAAAGAAGAAAATAGTAATGGGTAGGGTAGCCCGAATGCCGGGGGCCCAGTCAGGAAAGCGAGTCTTCTGGGTCAAATAGATATAGATGAGACCGCCCGACACGAACACATTGACAAGGGACAGCGGGTACGAAATCAAACTGTACGAGGATGTTAGTTAAACCGCATTCGCAGGGTGGGCGGCAAGAATAGAGAGGCGTACTTGAGCAAAAAGTTATATGCATCTCCAGGTGGGGGAGCCAACAAGATAATGACCGAGACAACCCAGTGCTCGAAAAGGCCAGCAGCGGGAGCATGGAATGGCCGGTTGCTAGCCCAGAATTTCGAGAAAGGCAGGATGCCCTCACGACCCAGTTCCTGGACAACTGTCGATACTGTTAGCCCAAAAGTCTTTCACGCAAAGGGATAGAGACAACTTACTTCGACCTTGAGAGAAAATCACAGACAAGACATTTCCAAAGGCAGACAGAGCTACGAAGACCGACATGACCTTCTCTGCTTCTTTGCCAAACATATTCCCGAAAAAGGTGGCCGCAACAGTCTGGCCGGACGCAACGAACTGCTCCTTAGGCACAGCAGCGAAGTAAGCAATGTTGCAAAGCATGTACAGAACTCCAACTGCTCCAATGGCAACCGGCGCGGCGATTTTCAGTGTGCGGGTGGGATTCTTGGTCTCGCTCAAGGCCTGGGTAGTGTTAGAACATCAGTCAAGCATGCATGGAGTGCAGAAATGTCACTGACATAGTTGGCGTTTGAGTATCCAATGAAGGACCAGATGACGTTGTACAACGCCATGACAATACCATATCCGCTTCCGGTTGTGCCCTCGAAAGCATTCCTGAAGTTGTGCGGTGGGTCGATTTTCATGTGGCCTCCCAAAGCCACCCATCCTGCGACCACAACAAAGACGATAACGACCAACTTGATCACACCGAGCAGGTTCTGAAGGCGAAGACCCCATTTCAATGCGACGGAATGGACGAGGAAGGCGGTCGTGAGACAGGCCAAACCAATGCCACGCTGATTCCAACGACCAACCTCGATATCTGCAGCGTTGAGAATATACTGTCCGAACACGACACTATTACTAGCTGCCCAACCCAACAGGACAACATAGGCAGCGAACATGGCGGTAGCGAGGAACCGAGGTGTCTTGAAAACATATTCCAGGTAGTTTTTCTCGCCACCGTTTCTGTAGCCCGTTAGCTTTGGGTGGTTCGTTGGTTCGTCTAGGAGGCGTAGGTATAACGTGAACATACTTTGGGATGGCAGTTCCCCATTCGAGGTAGACAGCAGTTCCAGCCATAGCAATCAGCGTGCCAATCACCCACATGAATAGAGACAAGCCGACACTACCAGACAGCGACAAGATTGTCGCTGGTGTTGCGAAGATACCGGTTCCGATGACACGGTTGAAGATCAGAAAGGCAGCACTAACCACACCGATCTGGCGACGGTCTTCGGGCGTTGCGTCAAAAACATTACCCTCGTCTAGGTCGAGATCGTTAGAGTCAGCAACAAAGCTTCAGTCAGGTGGAACCGGTCAGAACGTACATAGATGAGAGACGCCATCGGCCCTTCGGGGGCCTTCTTCGGCAGCCTTGGTGTCAGGCATGATTTTCTTTTGAGATTCCAGAGCCAGATCACTCATGTTGGGAAGCTGTGTCAAGCCCAATAGAACACTTCTCGGAACTCAAGCTATAGATGCAGAGAACACGAGAAAAGACCGACAAGATCGAACGGTTAAAAAGGACAGAGAGATATCAAACCACCCGTGATGATGTGCTGCAACTAAATGTGATGCAATAGCCGACGGCGCCCGGACGGTTGCAGCAAGACAGACGGGATGGCCGAAATAAAAACCTATCGAGGCCTTCCTGGCAGGGGCCAGGCGTCTGGTCGAAAAAAGAACGAAAATGATGCGATGCTGACTGGTGGCTAGGCGCAGTAGATCCTGAACTATACAACAAGAACAATGCGTCCAACACCAGGCGCAAACGCAATGTGGGATAATAGTAATTAAAAAAATAAAAAAAAAAAAAAAAAGAATGGACCCCGAAGAACACAAGAAAGAAGGGCAATTCCAATGAAACCCAGAAAGAAAGAAAGAAAGAACTAGAGTCAGGAACGAAAAGGCATGCGAGTTGACAGGCACCGTATACCGGGAAGGCAAAAAAAAAATTAAAAAAAAATTGGGTTGTGGCGGGCCTACGATGATTGGAGATCCACTGATCCAGAAGCTCCCGCATGTTGAATCGTTGGAAGAGTTTTGCCATGACACACGGAAATCAATCACGCAATTTTAGAGCCTTTTTTCTTCACGGCGGATCCGCAGTAGCTTGCCCGTTTTATGCTTTGATGCCACTCTTCCCATGTCTGGACTGGACCCATGAGTCAATTAATGTCGCGTTCAGTGGGAGAGTCCAATGGTCCATAGCACCTGCAACACCAAGAACATTGAAACTAGTCAGAAATTCCAAGAAAAATTTTCTCTGTTGGATTATGTACAGTACAAAAATCGTCTGGCTGGTAGTTTCCCGCTCCAAATCCATAAGATTGATCATCCTGCGCCCCTAGACTCCAGATCCATGGCGTCCCAATCCATCATTCATTCATACCCAAGCTGTGTGACAATCTGTTACCTCTTCCAGTCCGAACGCCGAGTAAGAGAGTGAAAGACCAGAAATTCAACAGGAAAAAAAAAGGGAAAAACAGAAAGAAAGAAAGAGCGGGGGATATAAATACGTGACCACTCTCGCGTGACCATGTTTATAAGATCAAGATGGATGGCGAGAAAAGCAAAAACCCAAAAGACGCTAATCGGTAGGAAATAAATCAAACAGGGCGCCTTTGCAGGAAACTCTCACAAACCCCACGAATTAAATATAAAAGGTAAAATAGAAGCAGAAGTGCTATATTCCGGTGTGGCATGTGCCTGCATGCCGAATATGGAAAACAGCTAATGGTTCACTTCGGTGTCGTTCCAACGGCTGGAGAAGCAGTCACCACGCTCGAGGGGACCACTTTTCCTGGACCACTCGAAGGAGGCGTGTGGCGTTTGGCCAACAGAGTAAGCTTCTTGCGTAGAGCCGCCAGTCGACCCCTGATGCTAGATACCACTGTGTGGCGCATTAGGACTTGGGTTCTACCTATCGTTTTATCATCTCCGTAGTGCAGAAGAATGAACTTACATTTGATCACAACTTGCCGGTCTTCGGCCTGTACACCATCCAGTATGACCTTTTCGTGGTCTTTTCGGAGGTCACCCTTGGCGACATTCTGGCTTTGTCCCGGCTGGGATCCTTCTTCGTCCTCCAATACCGCTTCCAACATCCGAATGGCTGTGACATAGGCAATCTCGCAGCCCAATAGGTCTTCGCCCGTGAGCTCATTAATGGCGGCCGCTCGACTCATCTCCAAAGCGCGATCATACATCAGTTTCTCTGCGGTCACTTCGGAACTAACAACAACATCCGTAGATGCACTGCGGCCTAGGGAGGAGCCGACCGAGTTACTGCTAGGATGGCTGGGGTGGTTCGATGGCAATCGCTTCTGTCCTTCAACCAATTTGAGGCGGACAAATTCTGCTTTCTCCAGCACCTCATTAAACCGGTTTCGCACCCATTGGACAACATTGTTGATTCGATTGCCGACCAAGGTGCTCGTAGCATCAGCCTTGCTCAGAACTGTCTCGCTAAAGGCTTCACCGCGATTCTTACGAGTCCACCAAGTCCCAGCGATATCCATTGATTTGGCCAAAAGGGACAGCGCCTTGACGTAGAGGACCAATGCCTCTTCAGCAAGGGTCACGACAGCGTCAACCGTGAGCCCATCATCTGTTGAGTTGGTAGGGTCACGCTCAACGCCCGGCGCGTTGGTTTTCCCGTGAGGGTCGGTTTGGACTGACGGCGCGAGTGGGATGAGTTGTTTGTACTTCACCTCGGCAAACCCATACACAACGTCGCTGCGAGTCGCACATTCCTCGATCAGCTGAACGGTCTTGGCATCTTCGTCCATCGCAACGTTCGCCTTAGTCGCATCCCCGATGAGCATCAAGCTCCCCTGAGTGGCAGGATAGGCCGGGAAAGGGTTGTAGCCTAAGGGAGGCGAACGACCTCCTTTCGAAATAGCCATGGGTGGGGAAAAGCCCACTCCAAATAGTCGCCCGCTGGCCATATTGAGCGCCTTGGAGATTGCCGATGTGGCCGATGTAGGACTCTGTCCGTACCGGCGCTCGTACGAGTGTTGGCGGGTGTGTGCTGAGTCGGCTCGAGATCGCCCTGAGGCAATTTGCATCGCTTTTCCAGCCGTGGCAAGTGGTGATGTAGCCACACCTGTTGGCGCACCTTGTGTAGCTGGGCGGCGAGATAGAGCGCCAGCCTGAGAATTCTTCGAGTACCCTCCTTGGAAACGAGGGCTGTGCGCCAGTTCATCTGCAAAAGCGTTGACTTCCACGGCTCGCTTCTCCACGACTACGTAATCTCGCTCAAACGCAACGTCCTGTGCGGCGCGCTCTCTTTCTTCCTTGTATTTATCAACTGTGGACTTATCTGGCTGTGGAGCTCCTCCCGGATAGGTATTTCGACTCCTCTGCCGCTCCATGGCGGTGGCCGGGGAGTTTCGATCTGTCAGCTCTTGGCGCCCTGGAGCAGTAGCAGTAGCCGCCACAGTCGGCCTCTGTGGCATCGTACCAGCTACCATTTCTTTGGGGGGAGATGGAGTGCGATCAGCACTGCCACCCCTACGCATTGGCGTAGAGGTGGGTGGTGGAGTAGCTGTTCTTTGCCTCTGGGCACTGCTTGGTGGAGGAGAAACGGGTTCATCCAGCTTTCCGGGAGATGAAGCATCCTTCTCACCTCTTGTTCCAGTCGACGTGCCATGCCCCGTTCGAAAATCGGGTCTTGACACCGGGTCTGCAGATCCAGCGTCGGTGGAAGGAGACCAATTTTGCGAAGGCGTATCATCCGCTATCAAACCCGGGATAGGTCCTGTGATAATATTACAATCGAAGAAATCAGAAAAATTCATCCGCTCGACTGGATTCCGTTTTAGGAGCATCCGGATGAGTGTTTTGATTTCGTCCGACGCCGGGCTCTCTTCCGGGAATCGGATCATATCTTCGCCTTTCTCGATCTTGCGCAGCAGTTCAACATGATTTGATGCACGGAAAGGTGGCTTGCCCACCACCATCTCATAAAGCACCGTGCCCACTGACCAAAGGTCCGCTTTGGCATCATACTTCTCGTACCGCAAGATCTCGGGAGCCATATACAATGGCGAGCCACAGAGAGTTTCCGCAAGTGAGGTGGCCGGGAGGGACCGAGCGAATCCAAAATCTGCAATCTTAAGCATTGGCAACGACTCCAATCCTGTCGCAGGGTTAAACGAATCATCGCAGCCTTTGAATGGGACTACCTGAGCTGTGCCGGCCCGGTACGAGGAAGGGGACGGGCAGAGCAAAAGATTCTGGGGTTTAATGTCACGGTGTATCAGATTCCGATCTCGCAGGAACTTCAGGGCGCTTGATAGTTGCTTGAGAAAATGACGGACAACGACCTCGTTTAAGGCGCCACCACGAGGGTTTGGATATTTAGCTATCATATCCTTTGTATACCGGTGATCTCCAAGTGTATCCCGCCTTTTGATAAATAGCGATAGATCCCCCAAGGCGCAATATTCCATCACTAGATGGATATGGGAAGTCGTCTCATGGCAGTCGATTAGGGCCACAATGTGTGGGTGATAAAGACCTTTGAGAATATGGATTTCGGAGGAGAGGTTTTCCTTTAACTTCTTGTTCAGTTTAGAGAGGTTGACAGATTTGATGGCGACGTATGTACGTGTTTTCTGAAGCAAGGGAGGGGGAAAAAACATTAGCATTCAGCCCTACACAGCACACAAAGACCATCCCCAGCGAAGTGGATGCGATAGTTCTCTTCATGTCGCGGAGGAAAAATAGCGCTCACCGTATGGACACCTTGATATACCGTAGCGAAGCTTCCTCTACCAATTTCATCAAGTCGGGTGTAGCGGCCGATCGGCATCTCAGCACGAGGGGACTCTCTCGACCGCCTTGAATGATGTGTCGACGACATCGTTGCGGCAGAGCCAAGATTATATCCAGAGAGGAGAGTCTACCGAAACCCGACGACACCCCGTCAACCACACACACAACTACCTGAGCAGCGGCAGCAACGGCGGATGATGGAGGCACATCAGGGGAATGCGCAGTGGATGTCTATTGGACCCGTGAGTCGAAAGCTAAGGTAAGGTAAGGCTGACGTTGAGACCGTAGTATGGAGTGGTGAATACGAAGAGCCGACGAGGCCAGTGAATAGATGGACTGGTAAAGGGGGTTAGGAACCAGGCGGATGTGAATCAGAAATTCTCTTAGAACAATAGTCAAGAACGCGGTTCAACTGATGCCCACAGTGGACGAGAGCGGTGAAGCGGGAAATGCTGTACGATAAGAAAGCGTAGGTATACGGAAGTGCTGGAGACCCTAGATAGATAGATAGGTAGGGCAGAAAGTGTAGGTGAGGGAAGCCAAGATACGACCAGAGGTAAGAAGATACAGATACTGAAGATTGTCGTGGTAGATGAGAAGCTCAAGTGGAAAGAAAGATCGCGTGGAATAAGGGGGAAGCCAGAGGCGAATGGAGGAGAGGGAGGGACTGGGTTTCAAGATGATGTGATGGGGAAGAGGAAAGGCGGGAAGCAGCTGGACCCAAGGACAAGCACGGAGCGTGACCAGCGATAAGATGACCAGAAGGCGGTCAGAAGGGCGGCGATGCCAATCGTGGAGGGATTGACAGGGCGATAAGGGGACAGGAACGAGTTATGTAAGGTTACTAACCCTGACAAGTTCCAGTACCGAAAAGGACAGGAAATGCCAGCAAGTGACGGAGAGCAACGAGGGTAGAATAGTCAGATAGTCAGATAGGTATGTACTAATAAAACGAAGTCTTAGACATTCCGATGCGACAGTCCTATCTTACATCCTCACAGGGCCAATAGTGACGATGGTCTGAGGACGGAAGCAAGGCCTGATATCAGCCATACGGAGTACAGCCATCTGTGACGGGACGCGTTATCGATCAGATCCAATTGCTAGTGATAAACCCTCTGATCGTCGTAATGTCCGGTACAGTAACTAACTACGTTAGTTATCGAGAATCTACCGTGACTCATCAGATAGGACTGGATTTATACATTTTCTCCACCATTCAGTCATCAAGTGAATCAAATGACTCCCGTTCGGAACACACACTCTCAGTGTCCCTCTCTTGTTTTGCCACTGAGAAACCATCGGGAGTGTTAAGCTACGCTGAGGTGGATAAACCCCTACACCGGGCGTTTTCGATGCAGTACCTCACAGTACCTAGTAGCGGGGGGAGTACTAAGTGACGATCAACAACGCGGTTGATCCTGGTTGGCCCTGGATGGCCCATGACCCGGGGAAGCACTGCTTGCAGCTTTCGTACTTCCTAAGTTAGTAGTATTTCTTACCCCTAGGAGGTATTTTTTCAGTCCACCTATTCTTAGGCGCAGCAGCCGAACGTGACCTGTGAGTCCGCAGCATGGCATTATCACTTGGACACGTCTCGCAACTCGACTCCATTCCAGCCTCGCAGCACGAGACAATAATAATGGGCATAATCATATATAGTAGTAATAATAATAGTAGTAACAGCCTCTATCGACAAGAAGAGAATGTAAACCATACAGTATACCTTCCGAATAGTAGTCTTGTGCTCAAAACAACAGTAATTGTCTCAAACCAACTCGCTTTATGCATGCATCGTCAAAGTATCAAATGGGTCCCATACAAGTCAAATCACAATCAAAGACCCAATCCTCGGACCAACAGCCAGAGAATAACGGGCACAACGACATTGTCATTACACCCAGTGAGAATCGCTTCGGTCGCACTGGTGCCTGCAGCCGCAACGGTGGCCTTGAGCACCATTACCAACCAGGCCAGGCAATCCTCCCCATCGCTTCCACTTACGCGCCATTGGCCCATAGCAAGCCACGCCCGTGCAACAACCAACCCACTGGTCACCGCGATCGCAAATGCTACACTGCCTTCGAGGGATTTCCCTCCACCCCAGAACCATTTGAGTCGGCCGACACGACGGCCAACGAGCGACGCAGCTGCATCACCCATACCGACGCAGACGACCCCACTAACCATGCTCACATCCCTAGACAGCACATCCCACGCGCTCAATGCTCCTCGGCCTTCCGCTCGTGGGACATCCGTCAGCGAGAGCCAGAGGGGGATGGAGCAGCCAATTAGGAGGAAGATGTGTGACACGATGACCGGTCCGCGGTGGTCGCGCCCATCAACGTAAGGGGCAAGGAAATAGGTTAAGGGTCGCGAAATCGGTGGTAGCTGGGAGGCCCGGAAAAGGTCAAGGAGAAGGAAAATTGCCAGCACTAAGACCAAGGCAAGGGCGCAGAATGCAGGATCGATGTAGATGGTGGGAAGAAACATCAGCACCATCATTCCATGGAAAACTTTGCGTCTTGTATCGACCTCAACAACGGAGCTGAGCTGGAATACGATGGCCAGCCCAACCAAAATCACCACGGTGCAGTATGCCATGATCAATAGACGCGTATTTGCCTCCCCAAAGGTGGATTGACGGAGGTTCTCCACCCAGCCCTGTGTATACGATGCACTCAGCAACTCACTATCCCACCGAATGGGGAGAGGAATCCAATGTTCCAGGTTCCACATGACCACCCAGAATCGAAACCAGGACACATTTCCGAGCAAGTATCCTAGCGCCCATCCGAACGGCTCTGCTCCGTGCAACGCATGTTCGCCCACGTACTTGCGGACAGGGCCCAAAATAATGGCCAGTACGGCAATATACACATACAGGGCATATAGCCACTTCCGTACCTGTGCTTGTGGTATCGTTAAAGATAGAAACGATGCCAAACCCGGGGCCATTGATCGCTTTCGCCGGCCACTTGGGGTGGTCCTGACCCGTTCCGAACGCACAGCATCCTCAAAGCTCGCTAAGGTGTGCCGTCGTTGTTGGGCAGTCTGAGCCTGTTGTCTGGGAAACTTATCAGCCGCGAATGGTTGTTCTCCGGATGAAACTTTCTCTCGCAGCTCATGCGTCGTCCTGCGCGGCAAGGGTGCCAAGTGACTCTCAGGTGAGTCACTGTCTGACATGACCTCCTCCTCGAAGGTCGTTCGGCTCAGTCTCTGACAGAGCTTGTGATCGAGGACATTAAGGATATTCTTTGGAGCGTGTGAGGCTCTGGGAGACCGCCGAAATTTCCAACTGGGGATTCTGGCCAAAGCCACCTCCCAGCGAAGGACTTGTCGACAAGAGATAAAAATACACAGGCCACCAAGCCATAGAAGCGCCTTCAGAATTTCCGCTTGAGGAGAAGCCGCAAATAGAAACAGATTAATGAGAGCACTTGTCAAAAGCTGCAATTCAGCTGGAAGGACACTGGTAGTCAATAAGAAATCTAAAGTGGGTATCAAAGCTTGATGCAAAGGGAAAACAAGAGTCAAAAGTTCGGAATTAAGGCCGCGAAGGTTGAGAGGCAAGGGAGTAAGGCTATTTCCAGAGAGGTGTTCAGAGACAACAATTGGGATCAGCGTAATCATCCAGTGCACAATACTGCCGCCGTGGTTCCACTCGTACAGTGGAACGACTGCGCCCGGTAGAGAGGAGAGACTAAGAAGGATATTCGGTAGCACAAGAGCGATGCCACGATGAGACAAAGACAGAGAAACATAAATTGGTATGAGGATTGGATAGAGGAGCGGGGCGGGATCGAAGGTGGATGGAATAACAAAAGATGACAGATTTGCAAGTCGTATGCGTCCATTTTTAGTCAATGGGTATGCCGCATATAGGCCGGTAACGAGAAGAGTATGGGTCAAGAGCTCTGCAAGATGACCAATCAGTTACATGCAACATTATCGTAGAAAACGATTCAAAAATTAAATAAGAAAGGAGCGCAGGAAAGGCATTGGATTCGTTTCATACCTTTCCTCCATGCCCAGGCAAGCGATCTGGAACTATCCTGCGCCAAACCAACTACGCCAACAGAGAGGAACAACGACGTTTCCAACAGCCGGCGCAGGATCTCAATGCACTGTCTCTTGCAGACTGTCTCTTGCAACTCTGTCACACTCGCCTCTGCTTCTTCGCTAGAGCTTCGTTGCGAGCCCCGGGAGGCCGACCGCACAAGCGAAGGCCAAGGCTTCAGTACCGGCAGCCAATGCCCATTCTCCGAGGCACCATTCCAACCAGGGCGTAACCCTTTTCGTGGACGAAGAGGAGGAGCGGGAAGACCCTTTAATATGCCCGTGCTCTCGTCGTCTGCTTCGGTGCCACTATCGCTGGATGTCCTTGGCCACTGTAAATGCTGGGAGTGGCAGTAATCCGCCGGCTGTGATTGTGGGTCTAGGCAATTCAACCCTTTCCGGTGATAAGGGTGAGGCGACCGGGAGAATTGTCGGATGTCATCAAATGAAGTCTTCTCAGACCTATCGGGAGTTTTTGAAGGAAGTAATGCTCCTCCTTGTGGGGTCGGCGAAGAGGCCATGGCCCCGTGGACAGTGTCTGTCGGAACACGATGTTTATAGCGAGGCGTACGTCATATCGAACGCAGCTCGTAAACAGAGGGAAACACACTAGCAGAAAGAACCGGCAGTTAGCAAACCCGATACCAGCACATAAAACAACAGAAGTGGCAAATACATACACCAGGCGCAGGGAGAGGAGCAATGAATGGTGGTGGTGGTGGTGGTGTCGGTCTTTTAACAACGTTGGTTTGGCAGGCGGAAGCGGGTTCTCTCGCTTATCACATGCTCTAGACACATTAGACAACTGACCACATTCATTTCACTGCTCAGGAGATCATCTGCTGCCCTCCCAATGCTAACTCTTGGCTTCAGCCTACAGAGTACGCCGTATGGACTGCTGCTACTGCACGACAGACAGACCCTCCAACTTATCTTGTATAAATGCCTTTTCACCTACAGATGCTTATCAGGGACACCAGGACCAATCAATTATGCGATGCAATGTCTTGACAAACATGGATACTGAATTCATTATCACTATCCTGTCATCTACTCCGTATCTTTCCACCTCTGCAAAATAACCCCGGCTGCCAATCTCCTTCCCTGGCGGCCCCAAATTGACTTGCATGGCACGAATTGTCCAGGTCGAAGATCACGGGGCAATGATTGTGTGGTGTATACAATGGCGTGGGAATTTCCTTGTTGCTCAGTGTATATCTCCAGTACTCGCCGCAGACATGCCTCAACACTTTTGCCTGACTGGCGCATATCGATTTCAATGGCCGTGTAGTGCAGATTTTTAGTGGACGCATCGACCCTGCGTCCAAAATCGACGTCTTCCGCGGCTAATGTTACTTCATCGCACCTGCAACCCAGACCTTGCCATTCAATATCACTACTTCGAGGCAGTTCCTCGACCTGGACAGCAAAAAAGGCAGGTACCAAAACGTCTGATTGTATCACCGAAAAATTGGGCAGCGTAGGCGTTCCAGCTGTATTGCGTTGCTCGTGTGCCTCTCTTCCGTATTTGATATCCCAAGCGTCCAGTATGGAGTCTTCTTCCTCTCCATCATCTTCTTCCGCTGATTGTGCATGGACTTCCAAAGACGCCATGCTATTTCGGCCTTTTTATGAATCGCATCTGTCCCTGACAAGAAGGCAACCGCTCCCACCCACCAATCCACATGCATAGCTGCACCAATTCTCCATAAGTGCTGCAGTGCTAGAACAGCTCGCAAAGCGTAGTTTTCGAACCATTGCGGTTCTGATGCAGTAGACCTATTGACCAGTTCCATCGATGCTGGCTCCAGAGGTATCTGGCCCGCAATGTACACCAGTCGCTCCTCCTTCTGCAGAGGGATTGATGTAGCCTGTGAATATGGTCCAATATTAGCCGGCGCCCAGTATGACCGGGACTGGACATGGAGCCCTTGTCGTAAATCTCGGTGTCCCAAGTCCACCACCAATGAGACCATAACCTTCACTCCTTCCGGAAGACTCCCACCACAGGCAACGGTGGCCCGCGCAGGAGGGTTGGGTTTCTTGAAGAGTGAAACGTAGACGTCATTCATCGATGGAAAATCTGCCATAGAACGAAGTAACACCGTGGTAAAGACAATGTCAGTCGTTGTTCGCGGGCCAGAGTCCGTACCATGGACTGTAGAGCCCAAGATATTCAGGATCTTCTGTACAATCGCACCCATCTGCTTAGCCGCCTCAGGACCAGCCTCTGGCGCTGTGATGTTCGAGATTGTCCATGTTCGCACATTTCTTGACTGGGTCATTTCAGGGCATTCACATTCGATACCCTCTGGTTGCCCTGTCGTTGGCTCTACGTCTTCGGTCCCCGCTGAAGATGACAACAAGCCATCCAAGGCACCCGCAAAGGCCTCATCCAGCAACGCCGGTCGTCTAACCGACCCCGGCGTAATATTCCCCTGGTCGACAACCTCCTTAGAGACACACCTTGCGCCCTTCAACCTCATAAACCCAACCCCTCCTTCTCCAGACTTTACTTCCTTTTCCTCGATCTCAATCCTCCGTTTCCATAAAAACGCTGGACCATCCAACGCCAAACTTTCATACTCACCTCCTTCACCCAAAATCGCTCCCCGAAGATCTTCCGCCGCGGCAAACCGCTTCATCCCTCTTGCAATCCGTCTTCGGGGCGCCCCATCCGTAGATGAAACATCTCCCCACAGAAAACCCTCATCCAGCCCCCCTGACGCTACCTTGATGATCCGCGCCTCACAGCCCACAGCCGCCATATCCTCCAGGAGACCGGCATCCGCCACATCCGACGAGACTGCAGACGCCTCGGCCCTCTCCACCGGCGGCGGCAGACTTGGATACATCCACAACCAAGCTAGAGGGACAAGGCCTAGACGGGCCGCGACGTTCTCGATGCGTGTCCGCTGATACGTCGACAATATTGCGCCAGCGGAGACGGCATTGGCCTCGGGATGAGCGTGTTTGATCCGTCGGAGAAGAGGGATCAATGACTCCGTCTCATCTCTCGTCTCATTCTCGGCCATCTGGTCGGTAGCTTCGCTGCGGTAGATCCGAGACGTATCCACTACTCCACCGGTTATAGGGGCCCGGTACAACGGGATCCCGAGCGCAGACTCATACAGCGGGATTACGCTGTGTCCGATGGTTTGGTACATGAAACTGTCGATGTCATCTTCTTCGTTCTCGTCCAGGGATGAAGTGGCCGTGACATTGTTCCTCGGGGCGGGATGCAGGTTCGCTAATGCTATCACCTTGTGACCATTGCGGATACAATGGAGGATGGAGTAAAGGGAGTCTTTCCCTCCGGATATCAAAGCAATCACATTTAATCCTGTGGATGACGGTTGAGGGTTGGAGACAGAAGACATGGAGTATGGATGTGTGGCGGGGAAACTTTTTTCACCTTGTTCAGTAATGACGGAGGGTGTTGAGGGGGAAAAAAGAAAAAAGAAAACGTGGACGAGCAACAGTGGGGAAAAAATGCTAATGGCAGTCGTTAGCAGTTATAAAGTTCGATTACTTGGCCAGGCCTGGCTTGGTGTGGACTTAGGGGAGCATTTTATGTGATCTTGGGGACATTCCAGTGATGTCGAGAACGTCGGATCTGCCCGCCACACTATCGATAGAGCCTCACTATACACCAACCCAGTGCTGGGCCACTGTATAGAGGATTACTTCAGTTTCTTAATCTACTCTTTGGAACCATCTTGACTAAATCCTCAATTATCACTAGCTATGCCACAAACGGTACGCTCAACAATGAATAGCAGCCAGGGGAATAATATGCACAGATGGATTCCACAGAACAACCAAAGGGGAAGAAACAAGGAAATGGAGATATACGCACAGGGGTATGAGCCAAGGGCTGGGGAGATAGGTATAGATTAAATTATACATGTGGCCAGCACAAAAAAGAGGGGAAGTGCAAGTAAACCAAGAGAAGGGTAGCTGACAAAAAAATATTACATCAAATAGTAACAAAGAATGAAAAATACAAACGAGAAATATGGATATAGAAGAGAATTGAAAAGGGATACAAGACCGAGACAGTCAATTGGCCATCTTGGGAGAAGGGCGAATGTGTTTGTGGGGAAATTGAAAGAAAAAGATGCAAATGAAATAAGGAAAAAAGAGATAAAATCCCAAGCCACCATGTCTCAGACATATGCACTCTATAGTTTTAGACCAACCATGGACTCCGAGTGCGCCCCGATAGCCGGTCTGATGCCTCAAAATGTTGGTCATCCACTGACCCAGAAACCTGTATTATTATATTTCGTTCTCTTTCACTCCGTGCGAGAAAAGAGAAGCCGTATGCCGTACACCTTAACTTCCTTCAGTCACCAAGAGTGTAAAGCCCAGACGCCAAACAGCAAAGACCAAGTGGGACCAACCGTGTGCTGGTTGGACAGATTATATTTCGAATTATTATGTAATAGGGAGCTCCTGGTCACATCGCATCGTGATAGCTTCAAGCGGCAATGTAACAAAAAATCAAGCGTTCTCCTCGCGCTTGCGCTTCTTGGCAGATCGTCGATCGACAGATGGAGTTTCTGAAACACCATCCTCGGAGGATTCGCTGGTTGTCGATTTCGTCGCAGCGGCATTTGCAGCTTCATATAGCACTGCACCTAGGACGGATGGATCTCGGTCCTCATACGAGGCGCGCTGAGACACACTGTTCGCATCAAGAACCCCCATCACGATTGATCCGCCAGCATGAGTTCTGGCGTGCTGCGCAAGATTGTCGCTACGCGAGAATTTCTTGCCGCACTCGTTGCATTCAAACGGCTTGTCTTGAGTGTGCAGAGAACGATAATGGCGCTTGAGGTGCTCCTGGCGACGGAAGCGACGTGAGCAGAGAGTGCAGACGAAGGTCTTGGAAGGATCATCGGTCAGCGATTGTTTCCGGCCTCGGCGATTGACCGATACAGGTGCAACGGTGGCTTCAAGCGAGCTCGAACCGTTCACATCCGAATTGGAATGAGCGTCAACGCTTGCCAGTTGAACGGAAGAATCGGATGCAGTGCTGCCTGAACGGTGGCTCGCTGGAGGCTCACTTTTCTTGTCCAATACATCCGAGTCAGTTTCCGTCCTCTTGAAAGGCCTGCGGGAGTTGGTCCGCTTCTTCAACATCTCGTCCGAGCTATCATTAACAGCGCTAGCAAACCCAGTGAACTCAGAGCTATCCAGAGTAGGAAGGCCCGACAGGGTTGAGGCCTGGTCATCCGAATCCTCTAGGCTCTGCTCACTCAGGAATTCGTCCTCATCAAGCGAGAATGTGCTCATGCGCTGTCTCTTTTCGCCCAGGTAGAAAGTGTTGCCACTGGGGTGGAAGTCAACGAGGCGGTTGACAAACTCGTCGTCCGAGTCCAGGTCAGAAAAGCTATCAAAGGTCGGCAGTGTACTCAGGGGATCCTCGGTATGGCCGGTGAAGCACGGCGACGGATTCTCATTAATCGGCAAAGTCACAGCCTCACAGCTCAATACCACCTTTGGTTCCTCGTCATCGCATGTAAGGTTGGGCAGAGGAGGCAGGTCGGAAGGGGTAGCGGGGTTGGTGGATGATTCGACAGTGAGCTGCCTCGGGTCGCAAAAGGAGCTAGATTGTTCAGTGGGTAGACCCGACTGAGACTGGCTGATCAAGGTGGAAGACACAGGAGGCGGAGAGGGAGAAAGGGATGGACAAGAGCTGTTGTTGGACAAAAGGTCTGAGCTTTGGCTGGCGGTGAGTGAGGGGGGATGGATAAACACTAAGCCAGCTTAAGTTAGTCCGCTGAACAGCCGTAAACACAGTATTTCTTCAAACTGCAATTGATTTTCGCCAAATAAATTAAGAAATCAAAGAGAGAGCAATTTTTAAAAATACCTACCAGGTGTCATGGGTGGCGAAGCAGACCGAGACCAGTCAGCATTGGCCAGAATTTCAGCATGCACATCATTTTCACAGCCTTCTTTCACCCCTTCAACTTTCTCAAACGTGAAGAAGCTGTCATTGATCGGGGTATGGAGAGTACCACTGGTCGATGGGGGACTGCTGATAGAGCTTCCGGCAGTTGACAGTGGGGGAGTTGAAGGGAAATTGTAGTAGTCGTTACTGACAAACCTCGTATCAATAGGCATCAAGTTTGAACCATGCTGAGCAACGACGGCGGCCTTATAATGAGAAGGCTGGGGGGAAGCGACGGGAGTCATGTTCATTGACCCTCGGAACGCATTGGTGGTAGCCATCTGGTGCATGTTCATCATAGGTTGTGAGGCATAGATTGGCTGGTCAGGCAAACCATGCTGCAATGGCTGGTGTTGGGATGCACGTTGGAAGGCATGCATCTGTCCATAGTATTGTTGCATGTCAGAGGGATGACTTGTGAAATGTTGCTGCTGTGATCTATGTTGCGACTCAGGAGCGGGATAGTATGCGAATGGCGGTTGCCCCTGCACCGACGCTGGCGCCATTGTGTATGTTGCATCCATTGTAGGCAAGTACTAGAACGTCCTGGATAGGATATCTGTCAGCTCTTCGCCGTGTATTGATGATCATTATCATTGAAGGTTGCCACTAACCAATGGTGAGCTGTTTGAGAAGTTAGTGAGAGCGAAGTCGACTCTGCTCTCCAATGGTAAATATTAGAATATGGTATAGTGTTATAGTACGACTGGACCGCTAGGCGACCTGGGAAGGTACCAAGCAACGGGCAATCGATGACGATGAATGAACGTATATAGGGTCTCTTGGTGTTGGGTGAAGGAATGACTGAACACAAGAGGAAGATCGATCTTCCCTAGTTATATCTGGTAGATATCGTTCGATTATGTGAATGAAGGACAGGAACTGCTGTTCGACGATGCGAGCCAAATCATATGATAGATGATTTGGAACGACCTCGACCCAGGTACCGGGAGACAGATGAGTCGCAAGTAAAAGAGAGAGACGAAGAAAGAGGGAATTAGGACCGAAAGGCCAAAAACATATAAGAAATGGAAAGGAAGGAAAGAAATAGTAAGAGGTCGATCGAGACAAGTCTAAAAAGGAATAATAGAAAAAAGCTAAGAAATAAAGAAGATAAAGCCGAAGGGCAAGGACAGTCGCGGGGAAAAGAGAGACGAAGCCGATATGGGAAATGGAAGAGGAAAGACAGCCAGAAGGATGGAGCAGTGGATAAAAGAGTGAAGTGATCTGCCTGTGCTACGAGGTAGCGCAAAGAGTAGTGGGTAGTAGGACTGGAACCGTACTTTTTAGTCTGAGAGTCTTTTTGGGAGAGAAAATAATATGAATGGATGGCTGGTGGTGCATGCGCCCATCAAGTACTGATTTGCTATGTTGCCAATGGTTATGGTGCCAGAAAAAAGATTCCCCATGATAATCAATTTGTACTGCCCCAAAACCGTATGGTGTCATGAATTTAATACTTGTAATTCGAACTATAATTGTAATTGTTTTATTTATTATTTTATTCTTTTTTCAAGAAAAGGCAAAAAAAAAAAAAAGAAAAAAAGAAAATTGAGGCACTCCAAAAAATGCTACATTCATAACTTCTAGAATATCTTTTGCCATCCTCTTGCCATCAATTTTATGTCTGGCCTCTATTTTTTGCCATCTCTCTATCTCCAGATTGTCAGTACCATGTATCCTGGTAAGTTAGGTACTTCGTAGTCTGGGACGGGACAAGGAAACAAATTAGCGCCGGTGCACATCTCAGTTCAAATCAGGTGGAAAGTTTAGAAGCGGGGACCAGGGTGGAAAGTCTGTGGGACTCCTCATCATCAACATCGGCAGCAGCAGCAGCAACAACAGCAACAGGGTCCATACTCCAGCGTACACTAGGCAATGTTATGCCATTCCTCTATTGGGGAGACAGGCCCCAAAGCCAAAGAAGTGTGTAGGATCCGAACTAGACGCTCAAGCGACCACGACGAATCCTGGGCCAGACTAACCACACTCCCCACCCCACTACCTCGGACGGGGAACCCAAAATGGTGCAAGTTGTGTGGGGCGCATGAGCACGAGTGGGAACATTGGCGGCCCTCAAGCCCCATTTCCAAGCCATCTCCATCGCTAATACCAACCCATTATTACGGTTTCCAACGTACCCAAAGTGGCCGCACTTCTCGCCAGGACACCCATTGGTAAATGCGGAGACAGGTCCTATTTTAATAGCAGGGGCATATTAATGGGATAAGCATGGGATCCATTGTTCACCTCAATCTGGTTAAAACCGCCCTAGAGATGGATATTTGACAACATTTTGGTAGTAGGCATCAGTTATACACCTTAGAATACAATGTCTCAGCCTTTTTTTAAAACAAATATATATAAAAAAATATTATGCATGTATTATTGGTAGGTGCCTAATAATAACTATTCCGGAATCGCACATTGAATTGCCACCTACAGTTCATCCGAGACCAGCTGGTCAGTAATAACTGTATGGGTATTAAAACTACTGTGTACTTTAATACCACTTACTGTCATATTATTACTTCTTTGTTTGTTAAATATTTATTTAACTTAATATAATTTTTGTCATCCCAAAATAGCTCCAACTTTTTGATTGCCGAGAGACCTGCCGGTCAAACTGCGTGCTACCCCTCCATACATACACACCATCTAACCGACGATTTTTTGCACGCGCGCGTGTCTTTCGCCATCCAACCGTGACAGCATGTCCTTTTCCATCCAGAAGATGGGGAGGGTGATCTAGTTTTACATGTCGGCAGTCCTGTTGCCAATGAGAACCTGCATCGATTTTGGGGCCCGTCTGGGTTGTCAGCGACGAGTCTGCATATCGGGGGCCAGTCATGTTATGCAAAATAAAATGGAAGTGGGGGCCTTTCTCAGCGAAGAAGGGGGCGGATGTTGGTTGGTGTGTCTGAGGGCCACTACAGAGTGTCTAATGCTGTACTAAGGCAGGTAGTATCTCACTGCGGTAGTAGGCGGACAAGATGGGGAAAATGAGGATAGGAGGAACATCCCGACCATGCTCCAATGGGGTGAGGCCTACTGCTGTGACATTTCAAGCAAAGGTGTACTTACCACTTAGTAGTAGGTAAGACTGGAGGCATCGGGGCTGCAGCGAGGACCAATAGCCTCTGTCTCTGAATGGGAGGGATTGTCCTCCCGGTTAAGCTAGTCGGCCCCGCTGAGCGTCCCGTCCGCCATTTGGGGGATGGGATTCTATTCCCGAGAGAATAATAAAATATGAAAAAAAAAAAAAAAAACATTTCAGTAGCAATGGTCCACTTGCCCTTATTCCAATTTTTTTTTTTTTTTTTAGCTATTTCTTACGTTGGTACCGGGCCATACCTCACAGTACAGTAAGATCAGCAGGCAGGAATTTGTGTGAATAGAGTGACGGGGCTGTCAGTCAATCAGAATCAATCTGCGGGTGTCGATTCTTTGCCAATCCAAATTTTGGATCGCTCAACTGAAGGTGCCCATAACTTGGTCTGTGCCACAAGCCAAATCGCTCTTGACTTTCCCTACCCTAGAACGCTTGAAAGGAATGAGGTCACATTGATAGTGGCGATTACTGAACGAGTACTACGTTAGGAGGATCTAGGAGAATATAGTAAAATTCGAGAAAAGGCGCTGGAAAAAGTTATCCAAACCAACGGCGAAACGCGTTTAATTAGGCCCACATCGAATGGTGGTGGCATGGTGGTCTACTCTACGACCTCATAGTACGTTAGTAGTACTTTAGGGCGGTTACTAGAGAGTCCAATACTCCAATGGCACGTACTTCGGATTACCAACAGTGCTATCCCGCATTCATATTTCTGGGTTGCCCTTCATTCATATGATCCTAGCCTCTACCGAGACAAAGTTAATGCCGAGACCTAAGTTTATGAAACGGCTTTGATTCTGACCCGGTCGCTTATCATATGCCATCGAGGCAACCAAAGAGCCATAGTTCAGAAAGTATTGAACTTTAGTACTATTTTTTCAATTTGGCAGCGTATTTGGAGACCCATCCTGATGCATGCATAATGCGCCACTCTTTTTTTTTTCAATCACATTCTTAGAAGTACGATTTTCTGGGGAAAGTAGCTGGAAAGAGGGTTTCAAACCGATCAATCCAACTCACTGGCACTGGATAGCCCAACCAGCATACAGCTTAGATTAGACTTTCCGATTTGCCATTCGCCTTAAAATTTAGTTGAGCCACCAACCCGTAGTTTACGTATATTATGCACCTTCGATCTGCGACAAAGAACATCGGATTGCTGCTCACATTTGAGATTCGACCTGTTCAACGGCAGATGGATCGATCAGTTTTGCTTCCCACTTCTCGGCCTACTGCAGGTACAAAAGCGGAGAAACTGTGTGCGTGCCGACTCCTCGGAACAGCATCCAGACTCCCCTGCTTCATCGGACTCTTTCGGTTGGACGGTGACACAGACGCTCATACATTGCCACAGCTGTCAAGATAGATGAAACCTTTGGGAAAAGTGGGTTTTTTCCACTTTTGGGCGATATGTTTAGCCACTCTACTCCGTACTGAATAACTGCCTACTTTCCTACGGATGTCTCGCCGACCTGTCTCTCGATTTGAGGTTTTGATCTCCGAGACATAGTCCGTACGGTCTTGTAAGCCTTTCAGGTCTTACTGTCTTACTGCCCAATAGGTCGACGTCGTACCATCTTGTTGCAAAATGCGACACCTCTGTTTGCCTTGATGACCTAATCTGCTGAAGATCCAGTGAGTTTTGAGCACCAACATATGAGGCCTCAGGCCACATGTACAAGATAAAATGATCAGCATAATCCGAAACAATCATACATAATTACATAATGATAAACTGCCGCGGGAGATGATAACACTGACAGGCAAGCCCACTGCCACTTCAAGCAAGGGACTCTACCAGAGCTGTCATATCACTTATGTACATACATATACGCATCTAGCAAACCGTACAAACGCCGCGCAAGCTTCGGACAAACAGCCTGTGTCACGCAAACCGCAGTCCTGGGGCGGCCTCTAACGCGTCTTTCCCAACAAAGGGAAAGTCCTGACTCGTTGGTCACTTTTCCCAGTACCCACCGGTCCAGCCATTGAAGTTGCCTCCTTAATCATTTATTAAAGTTCCTGGTCTGCGGGTCCTCAGTAGAATCCCATTGGTTAGTCTAAAGATAGATCATCGCCATTGGCAAACCACCTTACCCTTTGTGGACGAAGCTTCCGGGCGCTTTCCCTTAGAGATTAAACTAGGGTAATTTGGTCAGTAAGTACGGAGTAGGTAGACCGCGATAGGAGAAATGGGCGGATGTATGCGCCTAAGGACAGACCATAGTAAGACATCTGGGACACAATCCGCACACTTGCAATTGTAATGTTGCAATGCTACTGCTCCCTAGTACCTGGGCAGCTAGCCTTGAGGTCCAGCCAGATAATGGACTGTCCTATCTAGGTTAAGTCACCTGTCAATTAATATATTCATGGAAGCCGGTGAGCTTCGAGAAAAGAACGAAGTTGTACTAGACAGCCCTAATACTGTTTAGTTCCTGAGACTAGGACTCCACGCAGCTCCATCGGAAGGCCTGAATGATATTAACCTGGATAAGTATACGGGTATGCAGTTGCCACAACGCAGGAGAACACCTTTACTGCTATCAAGGATTTGGGCTCACTGTTCTTGGCCCTCGAGTACTTGCAGCGAAGCCCCCTGTCTTATGTACCTCAAAGGATGCGCCACTGTGGAAGCCGTTGTAGCACAGACAGAACCAAGGAATGCAACTTCCGATCAATTTAGGGTTGCGTAAAAAAAGTAACTGTCAAAAAAAAAAAAAAAAAAGCAAAAAAGAATAATTTACTTCGAAGGCCGCTTATACATGACGAACAGGAATCAAACTCTACCGTCATCCAAACAGGATCATGCTGGCAAGGATGGCTCCAATCGAGCGTTTTGGATGTCGACCTACTCCGTGACAATTGCCATCGTCCCTGTTATTTGTTCTCTGGACCCTTGGCTACCGTATACATTCCCATTTCCACACAGGCTGGCATCTTCTGAGCCTAGCACACAGCTAACCGATGTCAGGCCCGGTTGTTGTACTCCACAGTGGAAGCACAACGTGATTTAATCCATCCAGCCAAAGGAAATAGTTCCAACCGTTGTCTTGCATCGTGGTGCAACTCGGCCTGGCGCCGATAGCGCCTTGAGGTGTTGCAAATGGACGGAGGTCAATGCCAACGGGAGAGCGCCTCTTGGATGTTGACAGCTGTGGGTTACGATGGAGATGGCGCACTGCCGGACGGGCGGCAAAGGAATTAGCTCCTCAGTAGCTTGTCCCCTATCCCTTTACGGAGCACCTAACAAACAGACAAGCAGCCATGAAAGTTGGAGAAGAGGAGGAAAAAGTAAAATAAAAAATATAGCCTCGAATGCGTGCGACTTCCCCGAGAAATGAGCGACCGGTATTATCGCTTTGAACTCAATCAAAAAGGTGGAACGCTCTGTGAGCCGTAGCAAAAGGCAGACAGGCAGAAGAAATTCATGCTAGATGCCTCAGCCGCTGGTATCCAAATCAGTCCAGTATGAACAAATTGCAATGGTGGCCCGATGTACATTAATAAAATATCAGACGCTCCGCGGGTACCGGAAACAACAGTTATCAGATATCATCCGCGAGAATTAATTAAGTACTCCAAAAACGAACGGAGAAAAAAAAAGAAAGAAACTCGGCCAACAACTCTTGGCACTACAAAATGACTCTATTATTCATGAAATCGGAGGATACTTCCTGGTGGATTAAAGGAACGGAAGCCGATAGTTGGAGCATTGGCGGATCCAAAATAATTGCTCCAGCACACTACTACTGAGTAGGTATATACTATAACCAGCACATCATGCAACGGTCTTTCGGTGGGTTTCAACGAAATTCCTGAAGTAGGAAGGACCTGGCAGAGCATGGAATCATGATGGACTGATGGTGAGAGTTGATGGAAGTGCAGTACATCGTACTTGTGAGCAAGTCTTTTGGTCCTTGTTGTGGTAGTAAAAAGAGAGTAAAGTGCTTGACCTATTATGTAGCGTTCCAAATAACGTACAGGACAAAGGGACTAATTAATCCATAACCCTTGGATATTCAAGTGCCGACCTGGAGGCTGGAATTTGCCTCGGATTGATGCTGTAAAATACCCAGTGTGGCGGTCGTACTATAGGATGAGTCTGAAGCGTCTTTGGGTCGTCTAAGCCAAGCCAATTCAAATAAATTAAGGTGGGGGTACATGAGATAACGAGGTACTCCGTACTGTGTAGTGTGTACAGAGTGTTGCTGGCAGAATGAACACACGATACTAGTTGTACACTCGTACAACGTACGATACCATGTTCATTAGAGGACACCGTATCTGCTAGTCACAGAGTGGCATATGGATACCCACCCTCTTCGGGTCCAGCCTTCGGAGGAAAGGTGCTGGAAACCAGCTCAAGATCTGAAACAGACGACGCGTACGTCAACGCCCCAATCAGGTGACGAGAGCTCCCAAAGTGGGGGACCTGAAACTATTGCGAGGAGCTATGGATAGATAGTCCAGTTAGCACTCTAAACTCGCCAAACCCCATGAGATTATCCCTCATAAAGTAGCCACAGCCAAGGACCTGGGACCCTTCTTCGAAAGTTCCATTCTCGGCACGGGGGCGACTATTCAACTCTGAGACCGCCAGGGTAGGCCTTCCTTCGTATCCATGTCGATATTTCCTACAGTCCAGAGGGGCGTTGGAAAGGATGCGTTAAAATGTCATGGTTTCCTAATCTGGCGATTCTATTTGTAGATGGGTTTTCCGGCGGTTTCCCGGGAATGCCTAAATGGAACCATGCTCCTCTTTGCAACCCTACACAGTACTTCGGAGTGCTCAGGGACCGACTTATTGATACTACCATTATCCTTGGTATCCTCTTCTGTCGGGTCTATTACAAATACCGACAACCAACCGCACTGGCAAATCCATAACATCCAAGGACATGCTTTAACATGCGCGATATTCGTGGTTTCCTCTTGGGTAATGACAATTGCCAAGCGATTCCGTTCTTTCTGGTCCGGGGCATGCATAACGTCCGATTACCGACTTTGTGAAACTGCTCTCTGAGTACACCGTGTCCACCTACTCCATTAGATACTACATAACTCAGAGTAGGCACGGAGTACTCTTTGGTATCCCACAGTAAGTATATCTACTGTACGTTCATAAGCTCGGATAAAAATTCAGTGCCGTGGCTTGCCAACAGGTCATCATCGCAGGCCAACTCTAGAGAGGTTTGCACTACTACGCTTTTGTGGATAACATGGTAGATGATCCAATGACAACGATGCATCTCTTATAGTGCCGGCGGGGGATTACCGGCACTTGAATCAAGCCAAGAGCCAGCTTGTCGCAAAGGAAAGCAGACAAAGAAAAAACGAATTGCGACGATATGCGAATCTGAGTTCTGTTCCTGGATGCTTGCAGAGGGGCTAGCAAGGGTCGATCACCGAAAGGCAGGACACGGAATACTGGAGAAGGCACAAAGAACTGAACACGTGCGCCGATACAGCATACTACTTCGCAATTTGGGTTACATCTGTGTCGTGATAGGCTAGGTAATTTATACTATATACGCCAATCGTCCAGGGCCTTTGCCGTCTACAGCGTAGATACAGGCCAGATGGACAAGCTTAGCACCAATCTCCCAGTGGATGATGGTGCCTTTAGTGTCCCATGTTCCTGCATCTGGAGATACGAGTGGCTGGTATCCCCGAGCCTATTCCCTCTGCGGTAGATGGTCGATTTCCCGACCACTGCTCAAGCGCGTGTTGGCTGGGGGAATTACGTGAACGTGGGATCCATCGATGATCTTAGTTACATTTACCAAGGTCCCCAGCCACGCCAATGCTTATCACAGTAATGTGGGCAGCAATCACAGAGCATGCATGACGTGCGCGTGATTCGCTATTCAAGTCAGAAATCAAACAAGACTTCGGCTGTCCTCGGGGTTCCTTAGACACGAAGGCAAGCAGAAGATAGTGTGAACCATTCCAGTGGGACGAGCTAAATCTCGCGTTTGGTACTCCCACTAGATGTTATTTACGGCAGCAACGGGCCACTTGCCATTGACAATCTCAGCATAGCGAGGAATCTCGAATAAATTAAAGAGAAGCAGTACAGAGATTCAGTCGTCGGGGTCTTGGTATCGTACTGTCTTTGCAATGGTAGCCCCCAAACCTGATGCATCATCTGAATTGAAAGAAACCAACTCATGTATAGCAAGTGCCTTTTTTTCTATTTTTTCCCTCTTTTTCTTTTCTTTCCCTTTTGGCACTCTGAATCTCCAAATTCTGCGTCGCTACGGACGTCTCCAACTAGGCTGCTAGGTTACTAGACTTGGACGACTGCATTTTTCCCTCATTGCAGATGTCGAAAATTCGGTTCTCCGGTACTTAGATCCGATGAGACTAATGCAATCTAGTGAGAGCTACTGTGTACATACTACTCCATAGAGTTGAACTCTATCTGGATAGTATAGCTGAACAACTCCACACAAACTCATTCTCATTGCCGTCCATCGGTAGAACCGGGCCCGGTGCCGTCTCATTGTGAGACCTGCAGCCACATGCCATTCCCTCATTGATGCAATAAAACCGTGGGTCCATCCGTACGAATATGCTTGGACATCCGTTAGACCCGTAAAGGATCTGTTGGTTGTATCTGAGTAATACAGGGTATGATCGACGCCAGGCCCCATCGACCAAAGGACTTGGAAATTGGGGCTACATTTCGCACAGTGCAAACGGTGTGGATTTACGAAAACTGAAACCTCATGAATAATGGAAGGCCAGACGAGTGGAGGACAGCAGATGCGCGCAAGATTCCGGGATAGATCTCTCGTCATCGATCTGGTATCGAGATCTAGGTCTAGGTGTGGACATCTACTGCCGAACTGAGACAGTATGAAGCAAGATCACATTCCCAAAGTACAGTCATCAGTTCGGCTCTGCCGCACCTTTACGAGAGTGGTGGATTTACCACCGCCCCATTGTTGATGGCCTAAGCGAAGCGGGTTCGTCTCGCCCCGAGATCAGCTATCTACAGGCTGGGATGAACCATGGATCACCATGAATCATTGGATCAGGTGCGTGTGACGGCGCGAAATCCTAGCAATATTTCTGCAAGCGAATGTCAAACCACGGTCCCAACACACATTGTCGGTGACTAGATGGAATAGGCACGAGTAGCTATGGGATCGCTGTAAACAGCGAAGCATAATCCGCCTTCTACTGCATGAAATTTATCCTGAAGTCCTCGAACATTGGTTTAAATCAAATCGCGCAAGATTCTGCAAAAATAAGATCAACCATGATCGTCCTTAAGACAGGGCCGATAGTCCGGTATAATGATCAATAGACTATCAATAGACAGAGAATAGTATCAACCGACCAGAAATCCCACACAATTCCCAAGTCCAGCAAACAAAAAGAAAGGTAACTAAAAATAAGGCCTCAGTGGATGGTAAATTGAGATCACATTCCCAGTAGGAATCAGTCTCTTCCTATCATATGAAAAAACATCCTAACTCATCATAAGCCTTGATTATAGATTAAAAAAAAAGGAAAAAAAAAAAACAAAAGAGAAGAAAGGAAAACCAAAATTTAAACCCAACCAAATTTTCCGGCGCACACAAATCCATCACGTAAGCGAGTCAACTAGCTAACCTATTCCAGAGTACTAATCCCTAAATGGCAAGTTCCTCCACGCCGACATTCCACCTTGCATAAATTCTCGTGCGAAGAGTCGACATTTTGATTTTTCTTTCTTTCTTTTCTTTCTTCGTGCGGCGACGCAACTATTCATTCACCCGTGTTGCCTGGACATTATATTTCTCCATGATGTATTACCAGGTGTCAGTTGTGTCACAGAAGAACGGAATTGCACACCGGTTCGTACTTTACTGGTCTTTCTGATTTTTTTTTAAGGATGAGACCATTTGGTTTGGGATCGGACAACTTTTTTTCATAGAAGAGATATTTTTTTTTTTTCTTCCTACGTGTTTTATGCTCTTGATGAGATAGATGCGCTTGGATTGATTGGATTGGACTCTAGCTTGATTTCAGAATTTGAGACGAATATGAATTGGTCTTTAGTAGAGAAAAGAAAAAAGAAACCACTGGTTCAAATCATCATCGTAATCTAGCTTGCAAGGTACATGGAGAATTGACCTGCCCATCAATTATTCTCCCGGCTCGTCACCAATCTTCTCCAGCTTGCCCATCTCTCTCTTCTCACCCGCCTCTCCAAAGATGCGGACCCGGTCCACGCGCAACTTCTCGCTGTCTCCATCACCGTCCACGAAGAACATGACCAACGACGTGACGCTCTGGAACTTGACAAACCGCAGGTCAATCTTTGCCGTGCCCGTCTTGGAATCCCAGTCGCCCGGCTCGATGGTGACGGTCTGCACCGCGGGGATGTCCTCAGCCTCGTCGAATCCCAGCACATGCGTACGGTTAGTGTAGAGCTGCAGAGTCTTCGGCCGCATGGGCAATTCGTCGTCGTCGCGTTCGGCATCCTCAGCGGGTGGAAGTGAGGTCACATGTAGCGAGTGAACCTTAACAGTCGAGTTAAAAGGAATAAAAAGCATCAGCTGCTCGTCGGTATCGCTCTCGACCCAGTCTGCAGCACCGCCCGCCTTTCCTTTCCCGTTACTGTTCAGCGACGACGGTTTTGACGAGTCAAAGAGGGTTTTCGCCATGCCAAAATCACTATCCCGGTTCAGCAGTTCCAGGCCCTTAGAATCATGCTGGTCCGTGATTTCATTGTAGCCTTTAGGGATGGCAGCGCCGACCCAACCCACGCCTCCTCCACTGGTCTCACCCGATGCTTCGTCGGATCCGTCGCTTTTGTTTGCCTCCGATGCGAGTTTGCGGACCGCTTCGGAGAGCTTCTGGGGGTCTGCGCCGCGGACGGTCGACACGGGACGCCCTCTTTGGAAGACAATGAATGTAGGCATCCTGGATAACAGATGAGTCAGCGTCATCTTCTTCGAGATGGCTGTAGCTGGTGTTTTCTGTAAAAAGGACAACGTACGCTGTAACGCTATATGCTTTGGCAATGTCCTGCTGCTGGTCAACGTTGATCTTGGTAAAGGTGATCCGGTTTGGGCGCGAGAGCTGCGAAGCCAGCTTTTCGTAGGCCGGGGCGATTGCATTGCATGGTTGACACCAATCAGCGTAGACTACAGGTCAAAATCATCTGAGTCAGTATCGGTATGCGCGAGCAGATGAAGGGGGGCTACGATGGATGGAATAAGGCTGGGGAGGGGGAAAGCGGGGTGGGAACAAAGGACTTACAATCGGCCACGACGAAAGTAGAAGATGTCAGAAGGGAGCTAAATTGCTCCTTGGAAGTGATCTGAACGAGCGTCGACATCGTGGCGGTAGAATGGGAGACGAGAGAAAGAATGGCGGGGTGAGGAAGTTGGCGTTGGTTGTTATTCGGTCAAAATAAATATGTCATCAGCCCCTCCGTGACTTCGCCGCAGACCGTCCACCACGAGGTTGGCCTGTAGATGCAAGATCCTACCAGAATGACTGTCGTACGGCCTAATGTCATCCTATTCATCCGTATAATTTGAAACGCATTGTGAAACCTTATTCCTACAGCAGTATGAGCTAGGCTCTAGAAATATATACATATGTAATTATACCCGAGTTTTGTATAGACCCTTTCGCGCCTATAGCCTGCGACACATGTAGTCATGGGCAGGAAATACACCCCGTTGTATCATGTAGTTGACACACATGTTGTAGCTCATCCAGGTGTTTCCGGCAATAACCTCCATGCAATGAACTTTCAACCTGGAGCGTTCAATGAGAGCATAGTTGCAGAGACCCCATTCAAGACATCATTGTCTATCATTCCCCCGTAAAAGACATATCCGGTGGTCATAATTGTGGCTGGGCCGCGACCACAATCACCTCAGGACGCGATAAAACGTGAGTCCAGCCAGGTGGCCGGAGAAGCGACGTAAGGAGAGATCGCCTACAGGACATGATAATTTGGCCCACGAAGACAGAAAACAAGCCAGACGCCCATTCAAGTCTTCTTCTCCTCTTCCCCATAACCACCATTATCACCGTCCTCCACCGCGAACAGAATCTTCGTCCACAGGCTGCAGCCCCGACACCCGATGACAATATCGCCATGTTCAGACTCTCTAGCAAGGTCGTCCTCCGTCACCTGAAACCCTCTCTCATCACCACATCGACAGCCACGATACCAGATGGCGCCGCTCATCTGCCCCTCCTCCTTCGCTGCATTGTCTCCATCGTCAAAGACGAGATCCTCAAGATCGACGACCTCCAATCCCGTATGAAAAACAGTCCCAGTGCTCTCACACTCAGAGATTTTCGACCGATCCAAACGAAGACATCGATCGTATTCCGCACGTAACCGAGGATCAGACAGTGTCTTGTAGGCGGCTGTGATCTCGTCGATCGTGTAAATCCTACCACTCGCGTGCGAGGAATCGAAAGTAGAGGAAGGACTACTTGGTCGGGTCACCTGAATATGAGCGTCCTTTGCGACCATAGATGCCTTGTCAGGATGGTGTTTCAGGAGGGCTTTGTGATAGGCGATTTTGAGTTGTTGCTTCGATAGGGCTGTTGGGGTCCCTGTGAAGGGAAGATTGAGGATCTCGTAGTGATCGTGTGCGAGGGCCTGTGACCTGGTCATGGCAATGTAGGATTTTTTTCCTTTTCCCTGTCCTGTCCCTCTTGTAGTGATGGCTCAGGGAGATGGGTTAATCTCATTCGGAATCGAGATCGAGTACACCGTATTTTCATTCAAGGCCGGATCCGTGTTCGTGACACCAGGGAGTTGGAAGTGGGTTTCGAATTCTTCTGTGGGCGAAGTCGTGGAAGTATCGGAGATTGCGGAGTCGCATTCTTGGTCGCCGCCACCACTCTGATAACTGCTACTGCTTTCCAACCACGACACTCTTATCATCATTTGCTCTGTCAATAGCATGTTTGTGTGAATTATGGCTTTGACGGGTCAATTTGGAGTTTACGGACTACGATCGCCTGCCGATTCTTACAAATTCCCCACCTTCTACTAGGAAGAAGCATTGGAATTATGGTAAGATCTTTTTGTTATAATATAGTGCCAACACCCTTCCACTGTATTTGCCCACAGAATCTTTCTAGTATCTATGGTGTAATAAATATAATAGGAGCATCATTCACAAATGACCAAGAATCTAAATGAGACCATAACCGGATATCAAAACATGAGAAAAATCAAAGTGCTTCACGGCCCTAAGCAAATTATATCAGAACTAATGGATAATTACTCGGAGGGCTTGAACACGAAGCGATCCTCAGGTTTGCTCGTGAAGGGAACACCCAGCTCGAGGAGCTTGACGTAAACATCGGAAAAGTCTTTGAAGAACGCATCGCTGTCCTTGGCATAGCGGTCGACGTGCTTCTTGAACTCCTTGTCCTTGATCAGAGCCATGTCGGCGGGAAGCATCATCAAGGTCCCAGTAGTCTTGTCGGTGAACTGGGCGGGGCCATTCCACTTCTTCTGCTGCCACTTCTCATCAACCAAGAGTCGGAAGAACTCGTTGGTGAAGACAGTCGGGCTGAAATTCCAGGGGCCATCATAGCCAGACCGGTCGGTGTGAGCACGGCCCAGAGCGTGGCAACCGATCAGAGCCACAATCTCCTGGTCGTTGAATCCCATGCGGTAGAAGATGTCGCGAATATGCTTGTGTTCCTTGGAGGCATCGGGCAGCCGTCCATCAGGAGTACAAGCAGCCACGTCCCTGTCCTGACGGCCAGGTCTCCAGGGGATGGTAGGGCCACCCAGCTCCTGGACGGCACAAGATCCGGCCAAGGTCCAGAGATCAGAGTAGGTGATCCAAGGGAACTTGGCCTTGGTGGGCTCCAACCAGTCCCTGGCGACCTTCAGACCGGCATTGGCGCCGTGGTCGGACTCGGGGGCATATCTCATGGTGGCGCCATTGCTTCCTCCAGTGCCAGTCTCCTTATCATAGGTACCACTTGCGTGCCATGCCAGTCGAATAAGGACCTAATACAAACAGCAACAACAGTCAGCTTCCCATCACCACGTGGAATTGGCAGGTTTTAGGGTTATAGCCAAGGACGAAGAACACTAACCGGTCCATAGCTGCCATCATCATAGTCGGTCTCGTCGGCAAGGCGACGAGCAATCTCATCGTACACAGCCTGGTAGTCCTTCTGCGAAGGGACAAAGTCCTTGGAGTTGATGGAAGAGTCGCCACCCTTCAGGTAGAAGTATGCTCCAGCACCACCAGCAGCGGCGATACCGGCCCAAAGAAGGCCATTGGAAGACTTGCCCTGACCAGCTTCAGAGGCATAGCCCCGACGGGACGAGGCACGGAAGCCCTGGGAGGGAAGAGCAAAGCGTGTGCTGCGGGCAGCAGGTCGGAAGGAGGTGGCCGGGGTGGAACGAAGGAAGGCCCGGGAGGCAGTTCTAGCAGCGGAGGCCATGGTGAATGGATATAATACAAATGGGATAAGGAAATCAGGAAGTATCTAAAGGAGGGTAGGTGATTACACCGAGGACTGTATACAGTTCGTGGGGGAATGGGAATGGGTAAGACGAGATGCAATGGACTCGAGAAGGAATCACAGACGGATCGATCTGAGGGAGAGTACGCTAGATTGTCTATGAAGGAGTGACAGGTCAAAAGGAAGAGAGGGAAGAGACGGCAAGGGATGATACTACTAGTAATACCATCCATGGCTACGAATTGCGTCTGTTAAGTTACATCGGAAAGACCCTCATTATGCCAGGAACTAGGCACCAATCACGGAGAACAGATTGGCAAGCCCTGGACCCGAGTCTTTTTACTCAGCGTATCTCCGCATTTCCTGGCACTTTCATATTATTAACAGGAACAATTTGTTTGGCAGGGACTCCCGACTACCGCGGCTAGTTGCTGTTAGCATTAAATTCCACCCGGCCAGACTCCTTGCATTTGCATTATCCATCAGATTCCATTAGTTAGTTAGCAAGCAATGGTGACAAAAGCAACTGATCCATCATCAGGTCGAAGACTGCTTCATCCGGAGGATCCATAGTTTTTACAATGGTGACATAACCTCTGCTAAGTCAGGCCTTACGAATACATGGGAATGGTTTCTACGGATTTGCCCAATTCCAAAGCACATCAAACTAGTTGAACTCCCATAAAGTATGTCCGTCGTAAAAATAGTCCTGCCGTTCGATGAAGACGAACACCAGGGTGGAGTAGACGCAGTCCTGCTAAAAACTGTTTGGTTTTGATCTCCCACTGAACGAACAAAAAAAAGTATGCTTCTTGGCCACAGAGAAGGCTAGACGCGCACTGTGTGGTTCTTAAAAGCTGAGCAACTGCGGCATGAAGCAGTGGCTCGCTGAATGTCGAAACTTGTAAGGGTATCCCTTGATACTCAAAGGGACACCGAGATGATGAGACTGTCTATACGTGAAGAGGACGTTGGCATTAAACGACCCGGTTGGGGATGGACGAAGGAAACACGATGAGGAAGAAATAAAGAATTGAGAAAAGCCAGTGTGTCACGTGACAGATACTCGCTTGGTGCCTGTAGCCGCTAGGCCTAAAAGGGAAGAGTGCGGAATGGGAAGGAAAACCATCCCCGAGATAGGAAAGGAAAGACGTTGTTGTATCGATTATTCAGCTTGAGAGAAGAGGTGGAGATGTACTAGGATCATTACAGAGTGCTCTAAGATTAGTACGTATTTAGAGTAGTTATTGAAGGTGGTTGACTACTAAGCGAGTATATGTTGGCGCCTCAGGCATTCAACTCACCCCATCACGTGTCCGCACCAGGGAGTCTGACTATTTCATTCCTTTCACTTTTTTCTTTCCTCTCTCCTTCTCTTTCCCTCTTTACACTTTTCATACCTCACGAACGCATAATCAACCTCCAGTTCCTTTTCTTTCCTATGGGTTGGCAGGTCATATTGGCGTACTAGAATGAAGCAATTTCCGGGCAATTATAAGGCTCTTCTACCGTGCTGGGTTTCTCGAAGCCTTAAAGAGTGCGATGGTGGATGGAGTCACCTGCTGCTCAGACATACCCTCGAAGATGCATACTTGTATTGTAGTGCTAGACCGTAAGCAGGAGAAGAGACTGCACTCGGGGTATATCTCCGTATCCACCTTTCCAGGATTGGCCAGTTCTCTGTAACTACAAGGAAAGAAGAAGGCCATTGTGGAAAGAATTGGCTTGCGAATAGACTAACGGATGGAATGCTTACGCTCTGATCCATGCGAGGCGCCCATGTCGCTCAGAAAGATGCTATTCGGTCTGGATGATGGGATGTCATGCTTCTAGAGCTCAGACCCCAGCACTAGAAGGCGATAATTTGAAAGAAGTTACGTGTAAGCTACAGTAGATGACCACAGAGAGAGAGGTGCAGAAGGACCATTCCAGCTCCAAGACGAGTCCCACCAACCGCTGCTTGTCCCCCACATCCATCCCTTCTCTCTCCTTTTGCTCCATCACTCCCCTCCATTCTTCGTCTTCTGCCATTCAGCCCCCAACGCCTGTTTTCTCTGTAAATATGTTTCCTCTATCGCTCTGAGACGACCTGCGCCCCGTTTCGCATCCGGAAGCTCGGCCCGTCGACCACCAAAATTTTTGGGTTCCCCTGTGGACCGTTATTATACATACGCACCTGCATCTTCTTGATTTGTTCGACTCGACTCGGTTGGACCCTGACAGCAAAGATACGCGTTAAGCGACCCTCTCGTGACCATGGTGATCGGTATCAGCAAACGCCAGCAGTTCCGCAATGAACGGACGTTGCAGGATCTCATCCGGTCGGTTCCTGGCAATGACCGTTGCGCCGATTGTGAAGCCATGAATCCAGGTGAGTAGGACCTCATGGTATCTTTGGATCCCGGATGCTGACGGATTGTGTGTCTGGATAGGTTGGGCCAGCTGGAACGTATGTATATATCAATACCGAATGCAACGATGGTCAGACTGATCGAATGGGATACAATCTAGATGGGCATCTTCCTCTGCATGCGGTGCGCGGCCATTCACCGGAAAATGGGCACCCATATCTCCAAGGTCAAGTCCTTGAGTATGGATAGTTGGACGTCGGAACAGGTCGATGTGAGTTTGTCGCATGAGCAACCGATGTCGGGAAATGGGGGAGTGCTGATAGAAAGCTTGCAGAATATGAAATCGCACGGGAATACCCTCATGAACAAGATCTTCAACCCGCGAAATGTCAAGCCTCCCGTTCCTGCCGATGTTGACGAGGCGGATGCGTGTATGGAACGGTTCATTCGGCAAAAGTACCAACACCGATCCCTAGAGGATGGAAGACCAAAACCGCCCAGTCGTCAAGACTCTTCTCACCGAGACCGGTCCCCAGAAGGGTCTCCTCCTCCCCTGCCGCCTAAGCCTTCCAAACCCTTTGGCTTTGGCCTGCGGTCCGCCTCCTCTGCGACGAATCTGCACCGGATTTCGACCAGCCAGGGTGATGCGCCGTCGCCGCGCTTTCCCAGCGTGGGCTCGCAGGGGATGGGCGCCTCGGTGGGAAACAGGGACAAGGGATCGTTTGAGTCGATGATGGCCACTTTGAGGGACATGGGCTTTCAGAATGAGCGTCGGAATGCAATTGTCCTCCGGGAACTGGACGGCAACCTTGATAAATCGATCGAGACTCTGGTGAGACTGGGAGAAGGAAGCAATCCCACGTCGGGAGTGAGGACACCGTCTCTACCAACCGGGGCGTCAAGCAACCCTTTTGACCAGCTGGACTCCAAGCCCCCCGCGCAGCCTACCGGGCAGTCCTACAATCCCTTCGATATGCCGACTACGCAGCCGCAGCCGCAGCCGCAGCTTCAGCTTCAATCTTCCTCAGTGCAGCAGCCTCTGGAGCAATCCTTCCAGAACCTCCAGGTCTCCCAGCCTTTGTTCCCGCACTCTACGGGAGGACACCCTCCCCAACAACAGACGCCATTCTCACAACCCTACTACCTGCAGTCGGCCACTCCTCCCGCCTCGGCAGCTCTCCAAGGCTCATTTGTCTCATCCCCCCAGCCTTTGGACGGTAGTCACAACCCTTTCTTCCAGCCCGGCGCCCAACCGCAGGTTACACCACCTATCGGCCAGACAAACCCATTCTTCGCGCAAGTTCCGTCAATGCAGCCGCAAGGTCAGGCGGCAGCTGGGGGTGGATCCCCCGGTTTCCCGCCACCTCGACATGCAAACACAATGCCAGCCCTGCCGGCAAGCTCTCCATTTGGCCAGCCTTCCCCGTTCCAATCGCAACCACCGTCACTTCAGGTGCAGCCAGCCCAGCTGTCTCCAAACCCATTCCCGACTATGACTACCCCCGCCACCCCTCAGAGTGCGGGATTTCAAGTGCCGTCGCAATTCGCGCACCAGACGTCCACGCAGCATCTTGTCCCACAGCCCACCGGCCGTCTGAACAAGAACACCATCCTCTCCCTCTACAATGTCTCTCCCGCCCCGAGTATGATTCCAGAGAATCCCCAATTCCAGTCCTCGGCCGGTCTCTATCCGGTCGCCCCGGGGGCTACCTCTCCCTACAGTGCCGCCCCTCTGACGCAGCAATCGGCGGCTGCAGCACGAACCCAATCCTCCATCTCTTCCTTTCCACAAACTGCAGATTCGCAAGCCGGATCCCGAAACCCCTTCGTGTCTACAGTACCTGGACCCGGCGCGGCACCTGCTCCGCAGCAACAGGGTCTCACCGTGCCGGCGCCCCCGACAGCGATGGGCGCCGCAAGATCCCACATGAGCCAGCAGAGTGTCGATATCAGCGGCTTTCAGAACGGACGACACAGTCCGGATGCGTTTGCCAATCTGAGCGCGCGGTACGGCTAAAGGATATTTTTCTCTATTCTGCTTTTTATTTCACCTGATTTTGGTCATCTCCTTGGTTTTGTTCAGGAAATGTGTATTTACCGAGTGTTGCATAACTGGCTGGCGTTGTGGATAGGAAGATTGATTGGGTTCTAAGTTGGGCGTAGCATTTGGTCTCGATAGAATGGAGTATATAGTCTTTGTTCAATCCATAGTAAGATCAATGGTATACATACGCACACATACACACATGCATATATTCAATTCAATTCCTAGGTTCCAATCAAGATGAAATAACCACCAATCAGAAGTAGGTGTCTAGCTAATTGAGATGGCAAGTAATTAACCACCAGATCGAATAACAATACCAAGCATAAGCGCCTTTGGCTAGGAATAAGGAGGAAAGAAGGAAAAATCAAGACCAATATTCCAGATCATCTATTCTAGATTTCTTCTTTTTCCAACCCGACCAATTCAACCAAGAGGGATATCTAGACGAGGTATCCAACCACGAGGGAAGAGGAATACCCAACCAGGTACGTCTACGACGTTCCCAGGGCCATGACCACGACGACTGGGTCGACGTCGTCCACAGCCGCGATGGCGACCATTTCCACATGAATGACAACAACGGGGAAGAGGAGGAAGATTCCCGTTTCCAGGATCTAATGATACGATCGAAGTGACGATCACGAGACTCGAGGTCTCGTTTCCGCTTGACGGAACGCCATGCTTGCTGCTCGGTTGCATCGAGACACCAGACGACGATGTCGCCGCGACGACGCCAGTCGTCGTGCCAGGCGGAGTTGAAAGTTCGATGGCATTCGGCGTACGAGGAGCTCCGCAGGAGGGGTTTCAGGGTTGGTTCGAGCTGGGCGAAGAAGACGAGGTAGTCGGGCCAGTCGTGGGGGAATTTCTGTTGGTATCCGGAGGCGGTGATGATGGATTTCGAGGACGGATTAGTGGTCATTGTTATGTATGAGGGTTTTCGGGGAACGTGGCGCAAGCCGCCCCCCATGTGGGTGCGGAGGAACTGGCCCGCTTGGTCGTAGAATTGATCAGCTTCATCGACGTAGACGGCCTTTTGGCTGTCGGTGAGATCGACGGGCGGGTTGCAGGAAAGAGCCCAAGCGCGGAGGTTGGGGTATACGAGGTGGGAGCGCCACGGGGTGCTATGGCAGGGCATGAGGAATCCCGCGGTGATGCCGTGGTCAGGATTGTGGGATTGGTGTTGTTCTCGGAGGTAGGAGAGAACTTCGACGGTTCCGGAAGCGTGGTAGAGAGTGGTGTAAAGGGCGATGACAAAGTTGGCTAGCAGCAGGAAGACGAGGGTGAGTCTGCGCGGTGTGTATGATCCGCTCGAACGGGCGACTGCCGGAAGGAAGAAGTTCACCAGAGTTGGAGCTGTCAACACATGCAGGGAAGGCAGTAATGGGTAGATAAACCGCACTTCCTTATGGGATATCAGGGACAGAGTCAGCGGCATGACCAGACAGATGGCTCCAAGTTGGACCTGCATTGACGCCTGCCCGCCGTTGGACTGCCGACGAGTTAGCGCGCGATATAAGCCGATCGCAGTGAATGGTAGCGCGGTCGTCAGCAGTAGCGGATAACCCTGGGAGACGTAATAGTGCCAGTCGTTCTTCCCATAGAAGACCGACAAGGACTGCACAATGTTGAAGTAGAGGAACCGGAGGGGTGGAAATGCCCACACCCCGTAGAAGAGGCGATCCAGCAAAGTCGAAGAGAAAAGGACCGTCGATCTGAGGCTGTGAGTATATGGATGGACTGAGAATGGCTTCCCAAGTCGACTTACCCGCAAATCAAGACCTCACGAGCCAGAACCTTCCTTGTAGCCCAGGAGCTGCGGAACCATGCGACACTGGCTAGAGTCGCCCAGATCAGGATGTTAGTTGGGCGCAGGATACACGCAAGAGCTGCGAGACAGAGACACTGGCGCAATCTAAGCCGGGGAATGTCAGATAATCTGCCCTAATAACCATCTACGATTCCAGCGTCAATTCATACCTAATGAGAGCCCAGTCACGGTCACCCTTTCTTGCGCTGTCCCTAGGTCGGGGTCTTGAAGTTGACCATTCCCATGGCCACAGACAAAGTCCGACAATCGTGATGGTGTTTTCGAGGCAATTAGACAGCGTCCTGGTCGAGCAGAACCACTGCCAGGGACTAACCACAGTCAAGGCAAGCTGTCGTTTCCATCAGCTAGAGGTCGACCATCATACGTTCCCTCCACATACCGCGGCCCACGCTTCACGGCTCCGATATCCGTATACCAAACCCGCCAGTCTCCATGTATAGAAATCCCCGACCGCAGCGATGACGGCCTGCGTCACCTTCGGAGCGGCAATGAGGAGATCCGCCCGCGTAGCGGCGGAGAGATGAAGAACCTGTGCAGCGAGATCGGTGGTCGAATAGACAGCCGAAAAAAGTAGAGGATGGATCGAGGACCTCAGATGGTGTTTCCACTCCTACACACCGACATTATCAGTAATGTTGAATCCCACAACCGTGGATTAACAAAGCCATGGGATGGACCGACCCAGGTAATCCAGGCACCCTGGGACTCCCCAAAAGCCACGTGCCAAGCAGGTTCCAGCGACTGGAAGAATTCATCGGGCTGGAAAAAAGTCCTCAGGGACAGAGCATTCGCCAGACGAAAGGCAACAAGAGCGAGGAAGACGCGGAGAGCGGAGGGTGGCCTGAGGCTACGCGACCGCGGAGACGCGCCGGACGAGGAATTGCGGTTCATCGTGACAAAACAGACAGTACAGTCAAACAATCCGTCTCCAGCCAACCAACCGTCTAGAGGGAATCATGGAGAGAGACGAAGTGGAGGTCCCTGTGTAATGCGCTCGGCGTCAGTGGACAACAGCAGCGGCTCCAAGAATTGAGTGGATTCACTCCGCCGTCACCATCACGGCTAGACCTGCACTTAGAGGTTCATCGCAGAATCGCGGCTAGACTTGCGCTTAGGGGTCAAATGCTTACCCTTGGTTTGACATTCTTCTTCACGGAGTTGTGGTTATAAAGATCGAGTTTTCTCCCCCTTCTGGTTTTCTGGTTTTCTTTCTTGTTTGTGAGAAACTGTCTTGATTCTGTCCAGCTTAGTCCAATAGCGTTCTCTGTTTTTCTATCTACCTTGTCATTGCTTTTCCCCACTATCTACATTCTACCTATCTATATTCTTTCCCACCATGGCGTCCAACGGTACCAGTGCGTACCATGCTTCCTCCACCCAGGAGGCCATCCAGGCTGAGAAGGACTTCGCTGCTCATAACTACCATCCACTTCCTGTCGTCTTTGCTCGTGCTCAGGGTACCTCCGTGTGGGATCCCGAGGGTCGTCACTATCTCGACTTCCTCTCCGCGTACTCTGCCGTCAACCAGGGTCACTGTCATCCCAAATTGGTGGCTGCCCTGGTTGATCAGGCTTCGCGGCTGACTCTGAGCTCGCGTGCCTTCTACAATGATGTCTTCCCGCGCTTCGCTCAGTTTGTGACGGAGTACTTTGGATTCGACATGGTCCTGCCCATGAACACGGGTGCCGAAGCCGTGGAAACGGGCATCAAAATCGCTCGTAAGTGGGGATATAAAGTAAAGGGCATCCCAGAGAATCAAGCGGTGGTCCTGAGTGCCGAGAACAACTTCCATGGGCGTACTGTAGGTTACTTAAGAAACAGATCCAACCCAATCAAAGGTGAGGGGGGTCGCTAATGCACGCTATCCAATTTAGTTCGCCGCTATTTCCTTGTCATCGGACCCCGAATCTCGTGAAAACTACGGGCCCTACCTGCCAGGGATTGGCTGCACCATCCCCGGAACGGACAATCCCATTACGTACAATGATAAAACTGCCCTGCGGGAGGCCTTTGAAAAGGCGGGCCCCAATCTGGCCGCGTTCCTAGTCGAGCCCATCCAGGGTGAGGCTGGTATTGTCGTCCCCGACGAGGATTATCTGCAGGAGGCGCGGACCCTATGTGACAAGCACAACGTACTGCTGATCTGCGATGAGATCCAAACGGGTATTGCTCGGACGGGTAAGCTGCTCTGTTATGAGTGGAGCGGAATTAAACCGGACCTGGTGCTTCTGGGGAAGGCCATCTCTGGTGGTATGTACCCAGTGTCCTGCGTGTTGGGCCGGAAGGATGTCATGCTCACCGTCGAGCCTGGCACTCACGGGTCGACGTACGGTGGCAACCCCTTGGCGTGCGCGGTGGCCATCCGGGCTCTGGAGGTGATCAAGGAGGAAGGGATGGTCGAGAGGGCCGAGAAGCTGGGCCATATTTTCCGCGATGGCTTGAAAGCTATCAACAACCCGATGATCCAGACCGTGCGTGGCAGGGGTCTGCTAAATGCCATTGTCATCGACGAAACGAAGACAAATGGACATACGGCCTGGGATCTCTGTATGTTGATGAAAGAAAAGGGTCTGCTGGTAAGTTGTAGAATGCCATGATTATCCAACGGTTAAGAGAGGGAAGTGCTAACCTGCGGTGTTCAGGCCAAACCCACTCATCAGAACATCATCCGTCTCGCCCCGCCTCTTGTGATTACGGATGAGGAGATCCAGAAGGCACTGGCGATCATCGAAGAGGCCGCGGCGGAGCTGCCGAATCTCAAAGGTGAGGCCGAGGATAGAGTAATCCCTCCTCCAGAGAAGAAGGTCAAGATTGGCATTGAGAACTAGGGCTACCAAGGCGTGTGGAATGCTTAGGGGTTAACAACCAAGCATGGGAGGGACGGTCAATCTCCAGTCACAGCAATGGCAGAGGTATCTCTTCGCCAAATATGCTGAAGGCAGACCCAGCTCGCCCTAGGGAAACCGTCATCTACTGGACATGATAGCACAACATTTGTGTCCTTGTCCAAGATTGATTCTCCGATATGAGCCTCCTACTTGGAACGAGTGGTGGAATGCCCTTACGAATTACTTGAATACCGTATCTACTGATGAAAAAAAATATTTATTTCATGATTGTTAATGCAACTATCGCACCCCCTTTTTTTTAAAAAAGAGAAGAAAAGAAAAGATAAGTAAAAAAATTAAACACGACAACGGCTGGATTGGTGACGACGACATCCAAGACGAAGAGCAATTGCTCTAGGTCCCTGTTAAAGGCATCTCTGGTATGGCAGTCTCGATCTCTTTTGATAAACTACAGTAGTTATGTAGGTATCTATGCTAAAGCTGTAAAGGATGGAATCGAGCAAATAAGGCCATTTCGAATCCCGTCTCTACCCAGGCACCATTTGTTCTAAAGCCTCTGTTCGTCTCACAATTCCCAAAATATCTCAAAGGCGTTTACACCAGAACGTACAATTGTTTTAGACAGCTCACCGCTTGCTCTCGATGTTGGAATACGGTTATTTCAGTGCGGCACAATAGGTCCTTCTTTATTTCTACCGAGACTTTTTCCTGATGCTGCTAGGGCTCAGGAGAGTATCTCCAGAAAGTTTACGCCAGGAGACATCAGCTGCTTAGGGCACAGAAGGCAAGAAACTGTGGATAGCCAACCATGCTAATGACTCGCAGCTTTTTTTTAACCGGCCTTGAAAGAGAGAGAAAATACAGTACAGTGCATTGTGGACACCTCCACATGACTGAGATGCTTGTTTTGCGGTCAAGCGGTATCTTGACCTCACATGAATCCCACAAAGTGGATTCAACGTCGCGTTTGTTTTCTTTTTCAGCTCTACCCAGTCTATGCCATTTTCAACAAAAAAGATGGTGGAAACGTTCTGCCAAATCGCTTAAGGACTGAACTGCCAAGACAGTCGACTCTGCATTCTATTGATGATCGGCGTCGATCATTGCATGACGAGAACAGGTGGGCCTGTCTACCTCGTAAACCGCAGACTGCAAGGACCAGCCAATGATCTATCCATCCAAAGGAGTGTAAGTTCCATTCGGATGTCGAGAAGGAGACAACTCATACATCGTGCAGCCTGCCTTTACCCCTCTAGATAGTATCCTCGGTTCCCGTCCCTAGTTGTGGCGATTATCGATTCAATGCATCGTATCGAAGCATCATTCCATTCCTTCAAAGCAAGGAGTTGAGGGGAATACTCAGGCCCGCTGTCCTCTCGGGCGCCCCAGATCGGGGAGACCCAAGGGGCTCATTACTTGTCACTAACCCGACCATGTGCCGTCCATCCCTTCCTGTCTAATCTCATCTATCCCTGTCGTGAGGACCACACCAGCCCTTCTTCGTCCATCACAATCTGCCGAAGAGGGACGAAAGCACTCTTTGGGGTTGTTGTGTTAGTCTATTCACAAGAAATCGGTCTAGAAGCATTTCAATTTGTGACTGTATCAGCCATCATCGTTCTTCAGCTCTTTTCTCGAAGCCAGCCACCCGCCCCCCTTGCAATGTCTCATGGCAATACCTGAGCCTTTTTTTAGAAAAATGACTCAAAATCCTAAAGACAAGTCGGCCATCCCTGTGGTCGATGAGAAGGGTGAGACTCAATTGAAGTCCCCACAACGTGATACCACAAGAAAGGGGTATCGAGTTTCAAAATGGCCGAGTCTAAATCCGTTGCGGCTGCAGAAGGTTCCTCCCGTGCCGGAGGCAAGGATGGAGAGTCGAGAGTATGGCGCCAATATCCTCAGTCGCCTGTTATTTCGATGGATGGCACCATTCATGAAGGTTAGCCGTGGCCTTAACGTTCGAACGCAACCATCATTCTTACGAAATTATCTAGGCCGGCTACCTCCGAGATTTGGAAATTCAAGATATCTGGAAGGTCAATCCGAATAGGTCCGTTGACATTTTGTCAAGCCAGCTTGGGGCCAACTTGGAACGGCGGCTAAAACATGGAGACAAGAGACCTTTGTTGTGGGCCATATATGAGACCTTTAAGAGGGATTTCTGGCTTGGCGCCATAGGCCAGACCCTTGGTACCGTTATCATTGTGCTATCCCCTCTTGTCGTCAGACATCTGATCTCATTTGCAATGGAAGCATATGCTTCCCGACACGGCGGCCAACCTGCTCCCAATGTAGGGCCAGGAGTGGGCTACGCACTGGCCATCTTTTTTATGCAACTGATACGAGCCCTGTGTATGAGTCAGTCGTTCTACAAGGGAGCACTGCTCGGTGGTCAAGTCAAGGCGGCACTTATCTCACATATTTTCTCCAAGACGATGAAGCTATCAGAGCGAGCAAGAGCAGATGGGCGGTTTTCCGGAGGGCAAAAGGAAGAGCCAAAGCAGGGAAAGAAACGGGGACAGAGATCCAAAGTCGAAGACGAAGCTGCTGGCTGGAATAACGGTCGCATCACGATGTTGATGGGAGTTGATGCGGACCGAATTGATAGAGCCTGCGGCACGATTCATATGCTCTGGGCTACACCCATAGCCTTAGTCATTGGTCTTGTGGTCTTGATAATGACTATTGGGTACAGTGCACTTTCTGGGTACGCATTCATGCTCATTGCAGTAGCTGTACTGGCGTACGTTGTGCGCTGTCTTATAAATCTTCGGATTGCAGTCAACAAGATCACTGACAGGCGAGTGTCCTTGACCCAAGAGATAGTGCATAACGTAAGATTCGTCAAAATTTTTGGGTGGGAGAATTTCTTCATAGAAAGACTCCAGAAAATCCGACAAACGGAAATGCACTCTCTTCATAAACTCCTGGCCGTCCGGCATGTTGTCATTGCTAGTTTCATATGCATGTCTACTTTGGCAGCGATGCTGTCTTTCACCACTTACGCTTTTTCAGGCCACGGCGTCTCTCCAGATAGCATATTCGCTTCCCTTACAGCTTTTAATGCACTCCGAGCGCCGCTGAGCATGATGAATTTGGCGATTAACACCACGACCGATGCGTGGACGGCTTTGAATAGGCTTCAGGACTTTTTCAAAGCAGAGGAGAAAGAGGATTACGTCGAGTGGGACATGGACATGCAAAACGCCGTACAGATGAACCATGCATCTTTCACCTGGGAGCAAATACCATCATCGAGTTCTGGGCAACAGGGCTCTAGCCAAAAGTCTGGTCGGACGTCCGGAAAGGGGTGGAGTGCTCACAATGCCGAGAAGGACGAAGAACAACCCCCCTTCCAGATCACCGACATTGATCTGGAAATCGGTCGTGATGAGTTGATTGCCGTGATTGGCACGGTTGGAAGCGGCAAGAGCTCATTGCTAGAAGCATTAGCGGGCGAGATGCGATTAACTTCTGGTAGAGTCCATATGGGTATGACTCGGGCGTTCTGCCCACAATACGCCTGGATTCAGAATACCTCCGTCCGGGATAATATTTTGTTTGGCCATGGATTTGACGAAAAAAGGTATAATCAAGTCATCGATGCGTGTGCTCTCCAGTCAGACCTGGCCATATTCCCAGATGGTGATCAGACAGAAATTGGTGAGCGTGGAATCACTATATCTGGGGGGCAAAAGCAGCGCCTGAATATTGCCCGAGCCATCTATTCAAATTCAGGGATTGTTCTTATGGATGACCCTCTGTCTGCAGTTGATGCTCATGTGGGACGACAGATTATGGACAAGGCAATTTGCGGACTCCTGAAAGGCCGATGCCGGGTGTTGGCGACTCACCAGCTTCATGTGCTTGGCCGTTGTGACCGAATTATTGTCATGGATCACGGACGTATACATGCAGTCGACACTTTCGAGAAACTCATGCGAACGAGCGCTGTCTTTCAGGCCCTGATGTCGAACATATCTCAGCAAGAGACGTCGGATACGGAGACCCCCAATCAGCGCGACGATATACAATTAAAAGAGGAGAACATGAGCAACAGGCCGACAGGTGCTGCCCTGATGCAATCGGAAGAGCGAGCAATAAATCCAATAGGATGGGATGTCTGGAAAGCATACATTTTAGCGACTGGATCTTTCCTTAACCCCATTCTCTATTTATTTCTGACACTACTTGTCAACGGTACACTACTTATGAATGGCTTGTGGTTGTCGTTCTGGACGTCCGACAAATATCCTAGTCTGGGGACGGGGGGATATTTGGGCATATATGCTGTCCTCTGCTGTTTCCAGTTTGCTGTCGTTTATCTGTATTCGTTTCAAATTACGTATTCTTCTTCCAATGCCGGTAAAACGATGCTTCATCAGGCTTTGCATCGTGTTTTGCGAGCGCCGATGTCTTTCTTCGACACCACGCCTCTAGGCCGCATCACTAATCGCTTCTCGAAGGACGTCCAAGTGTTGGACAGCGATCTTGGAGACGCGCTACGAATGTTTACAATGATGTCCTCCATGGCCATCTCTATTCTCGCGCTGGTTGTCGCGTACTTCTACTATGCAAGCACTCTTTCTTATTCATCATGCCATTCCCTATCATGTTCGCGGTACTAACCGTCGCCTCCAGTTTGCCATAGCAATACCGCCAGTATTTGCCATGTTGTTCATGGTCGCAGGCTATTATAGGGGGTCTGCTCGAAGCCTAAAACGGCATGAAGCGGTCCTTCGCTCGGGTGTCTTTGCACGATTTGGAGAAGCCATCACAGGCACCACATGTATTCGAGCATACAACAGAGAAGATCACTTCCGGCATACCATTCACAATGCCATCGACTCCATGAACGGCGCACACTTCCTGACTTATGCCAACCAAGGATGGCTTGTAGTCCACGTGGAAATGGTCGGCTCCCTGTTGGTTTTAGCGTGTGGCATCCTCGTGGTGACCAATAGATTTGGCGTTAGTCCCAGTACAGCAGGCATGATACTGTCTCTCATGGTGGGTGTAACGCAGAATTTCCAATTCTGCGTTCGAGAGTTCGCCAACATGGAGAACTGCATGAATTCGGTCGAGCGGATGCACCATTATGCTAGCAGCCTCGACCAAGAAGCACCTCTGAATTTAGATCAAGTCCCACCCAACTGGCCTGAGAAAGGCCGTATTGTCTTCGACGACGTACAAATGCGGTATCGAGATGGCATGCCGTTGGTACTTAAGGGACTCACGATGGAGGTGCAATGTGGCGAACGCATCGGGATCGTGGGAAGAACCGGTGCAGGGAAATCAAGTATCATGACAGCTTTGTTCCGGATGACCGAGCTCTCAGGAGGTAGCATCAAAATCGACGATATTGACATCTGTAGAATCGGTCTGCATGACCTTCGCGGTCGCCTCACCATCATCCCGCAGGATCCTGCCCTCTTCCAGGGCACGATCCGCTCAAACTTGGACCCCTTCGGTGAACACACAGATATGGAGCTATGGTCTGCCCTGAGAAAAGCCCATCTAGTGGGTCAGAAATTGCCCAGCGATACCTCCTCTGGCTCCAATAGTGATAGTAATAGCAATGAGAAAGCAGCTAGTGCACCGCAACGCCTACACCTTGACACCGCGGTCGACCAGGACGGGCTAAATTTCTCTCAGGGCCAACGACAGCTTTTGGCTCTCGCACGAGCTCTGGTGCGCGATTCCCGCATCATTGTATGTGACGAGGCGACTTCATCGGTTGATTTCGAGACAGACGAACGCGTCCAGGAGACTATGGCCCGTGGGTTCCAGGGCAAGACTCTCCTGTGTATTGCTCATCGGCTACGGACGATCATCCATTACGATCGCATTTGCGTGATGGATAGGGGTGAAATCGCCGAGATGGATACTCCGCTCAGGCTGTGGGAGCGTCCCAACAGTATCTTCCGGGGGATGTGTGACCAAAGTGGTATTACCAAGGATGATTTGGTTAGATAGAGTCGCTGCTGGCCTACGTACAAGTCATGATTGAAAGAGTTACGATAGATGTATAGATTGCCAGGTAGAAATGGAATGATAACAGAATGTCGAATCCACATCCAGAAGGTCTACATGATGATTCCTATAGACCATTTAGCATCGTAGATTCTTATTTCATTGATGAAGCGCTTGTATATAAATGCTTCACTAGTTAGTCTGTAATATGGTATTGAATGATTAATTAACTACCAAGCACTTCCTAGATAGGACTTTCTTCTATAAAGGGATTTCAATGCAGATAATACTCCAACAACTATTGGTTTGTTTTCATAAATGACCAGAGTGAATATTGTTGGGTAATATGTAAAAGTTAGCCCATGTTTGGAAGACAATCACTATTCTCATATATTCACAGAAAACACATACACAAAAATTCCTACATTGTCGTCAAGTACTCTCTATTACAACCTATATATAAGGGACTTATCAACAAAACTATATACATTTATAACTAGATCTGAGCACCATAAATTTAGTCCTTATCCTCTCCTTCTGATATATAGAGGCTTCCTCTTGTAAGTGTGACACGAGAGTTATATAGCTATATTTAGATAGAAAATGAATATATTAATCAATAGGTTGAGGTACCCGCAGTTGTGTCCTGCATCTAAGTATTTCTGGTTCACATTATCTTAATAAAGAGCGTAAAGGAAGATATCTTCCATCAAGACGCATCATTGGTCTAGTGGTAGAATTCATCGTTGCCATCGATGAGGCCCGTGTTCGATTCACGGATGATGCATCTTTTTTGTTTTGGTCATTCATCCATTCCCTCTACACGTTGCGTTTTATTTTTGATTTTTATTTTTTGACTTTTCATTTTCACATTCGATAGATTCATCTTACAAATATAAAGAATAGAGACAATTAATCCACTTTACATGGAGATCCTATCTATTATTATTATCAAAAGCTACGTATAAGCAAGAAATATATATCCACAACGCCCGTTCATATTCAATAAACCGAGTGGTAATTACCCAAAACCCCCATCCCTATCCATCCTAAAAGACTGAACCCCAGTAGAATACGAAACCTGAGACACAGCATACTGACTTGACCTACCCAGTCTCCCCAACGCCAACCGCTCCAATGTCTCCGGCTTCCCTCCCCACAACTTCTCCTTTCCTTTCCCGTGAGCCACCTTCATCTGCACAGCCGGGATCCAGAAATGCGTGACGGCCGCCCCGAGGATCATACAAGCGCTGAACACGATGAGGACCCAGCCGTGTCGAATGGTGGGATCGTCGCCGACGCCTGTGCCGAAGTTGTAGTAGGCCGAGAAGATCTGGACGAGGATGGAGCCGAGTTTACCGGCCCCGGCGCTGATTCCGTGGCAGGATGCGCGGTAGCGGGTGGGGAAGAGTTCAGCGGGGAGGATGTAGGTTGTTGCGTTGGGACCTGGTAGAATATGGTCAGATTAAGTTTTGGGATGAGGAGGATCTGGGGCTGACGTACCGAAGTTGAAGAGGGCCTGTCCGATAATGTACAGGGCGATTGCGACGGGTCCTTCCTTGTGCACGGTTATGAACATCGTGCCGAGGGCGATGAAGTGCGCGGCTAATGCGAGGAATCCATATTTCTGTAACGCAGCGCGATCTAGTCGGTGGATGACTAGGATCAGCGCCAGTCCGCCTAGGAAGCTGCCGCTGTTGAGGATGACCAGGGCGTGGGTGGAACTGTTCAGAAACATCTTGTAGATGTCTGCGTCCGGGGAATCGTCTGTTTGCCAAGGGGGAACCCGACCGTGGATGTTCAGGGAATCCCAGGTTTTAGCGAGGAATTGGGGACTCGAGAGACCGATTCCGTAAAAGCCGAAGTCAAGGAGGAGCCAGGAGAGAGAGGTGGCGGCTAGGGTGCGCCAGTTTCCTTCCGTCCAGAAGTACTGGATGATGTCGCGGCGCGTGAGGTCCCAGTGGGAATTGAGGGTCGCGGGCTGGAGAAATTCGGTCTGCGAGAGCGATCTGCTGTCGCTGATGGACTGGGCGGCGAGGGAGACGGCGGGGACAGGAAGGTGGTGCCAACTGTCGATTTCGAAGGATGGGGAGAGTGTGGATGTGGGCTCGTTGAACAGGGTAGTTGCATCGAATTCGGCTTTCACGGGATCGTCTTCGACCTCAAATATAAACCGAGGACTCTCTGGGATGGCAAAGCGGAAAACGGTTGCGACTACGCCGGGAATCACTCCGATACCAACGACCCATCTCCACATGATGTCTACCGTGCGTGTGAGGTCGTCGTATCCTTGCTTCTTGCTGACGGCGACGACGATTAGAGACACGAGGTTCCCTGCGATCTGGCCGAGTGGCTGCATGAAGAAAACTGTTGCCATCATCCGTGCTCGATGCTTCGTAGGGGCAAACCTAACGAGGTCGGTAAGCCGATGGCCATTTAGGATGCAGCCAAAGGGAGCCTTACTCGGATGTGATCACAGCACTGAGAGGGTAATCGGCTCCAACCCCGACCCCGACCAGGATCCTCCACCAGATGAGCCAGGCAAATACATTCATGCTTTGATGTTCGCCGGTTGAGGACATGACCACGCCTAATGTAGAAGCAATCATAAGTACCAGTTCCACTCCGTACATCTTCTTGCGACCGTTACGATCGGCCAGGTACCCAAACAGTACTTGACCCAGTAATGTACCGGCCAGAGTAGCGATGTTGATGTAGGTCAGCTTCATGGAAGACGTTTCATCTCTCCAATAAACGTAGGCCACCATGGGGAGGGCCATGTTGCTTGCGAACAGCTGAAAAAGCGTATTGTGGTCAGTGCTCGAATGGTCCAATGTTTCTCATGGTACAGGAAGTTGAACCCACGGTATAGCCATCAAGAAAGAAGCCAACTCCTGCCACGAATACTACAATCCATTGGTATGACTGCCGATCGATTGTGTCATAGATCTGTCGCATGCGGACATGGCGGTCCTAAACCAGAACAGAGTTAGGCACGGCCAATAGATAGTAGATAGATAGGAAGTATATTGTCATACCTGTTCATGCTCGAAGTCTCGAGCTCTATCGGTTTTGTACAGCCTTGTCCGGAACTTGGGCATCTTGGTGGAGTTGGTTGAAAGCCCTTTTGGCAGTAGTCATAATCAGGAGAGATGCAGTTAATCGGTCAGATATACCATAGACATTATGGAAGACGCTACCCATCCGGTGGCTTCGACGACGGGTCAGACGGAAGAGGTGGCTCAGGCACCATCTGATACAGTCTAGCTGATTGAGGGGGTTTGTTATCTAGGCGGGGACGATGGATTGACTACAGAGCTGCCATTGGCGGGAATACGAGAGAAAGCTCAAACGTGCCGCATTAGTTCCCGCAAGTGGGTCCATGGTTTGGAGTGCAAAGACCAGTTCTTTCCCCCACGTGCTGCCCTCCAGTGGACCAGACTCACCTGAGAGGCTCGCCCAGATATTGCGCCCCACTTATCACAGGTGTCATGGAGGGGGAGGTAATTATTGCAATCATTGCATCGAGTCACGCGTGGTCCACTGGTGCCCCGTAAATTGCGCACAGGCAATGGAACAAATGCTTTACCAAGACACCATCACGCCACAGTCCTCCCTTCTAATCTAAGTACGGAGTATATTAGATATCATATAGTATAGTGGGTATATGTACAGTAATTACTGATGTAAGAGAGTCAACGGTACGCAAGTTTGCCAACCAAGTGTCACCCGTCGTAACTCATTGTTTCAGCCCGAAACATAAAACTTTGTGTCAGTTCATGTGCTCTGCCAGAAATTTGCAGAATGCCTTTCGATCTGCAAATCTTGTCAGAGCTGCAAGGACAGAAGTAACTGAGAGCGACATGCACGGTACCTTCGTCATCTAGGAACTGGATCTGTAATGTTCGCATTTGGGAGAGAAGGTCGAAATTGGGTAACAACTCTAGCAGCACTGGTTTCCCGGCCTTTTTCCCGGGCTTAACACTTTCGATACAATTGACTGGGAGGTTAGCGCGGTCCAATAATATACGATTCAGATCCCATTGCCTACTAGGTATGGATATGTAGCGCTTTAGCTCCTTGCGTTGAGAGTTTGCAAAGAATAGTACCACCTGCCTGCCATTGTGACCGCGGAGGATCCGTAAATTCTGGCTGATACATTCATCCCCGCGTCCCTTTGATTTGGCCTCTGCTATTCCGGCAATATAGACTAGCCTTGATGCCAGTATTATTTCCTGGAACTGAACGCAATCTAGCAACCATGTATCAGCATGAACATAGTGTACCTAACATAGATCCGGATCCATACCGCTCCAATCTTCAAAAGTATAGGATATTTGTGTCGTGAAAACGGTGTGAGCCGTCTGTACCGTCTGTTCTTCTAAAAATGAGACTCGAAGGGATATCTCGTTTGGTAGTTTAGGATGCTCAAGATGAGGAACGGGAAGGCTCGTTGAGCAAACTGGGATGTATAAGTTCCTGGTTAGAAAGTTAAGCTTGGAGAGATGACACACAGGTATGGATGAAGGGACTCTGCTGCCCAACGCCGCCTCCCAACTCCAACGACTTTAGTCTTCCACCGGAATCCTTGCGAATATCGATGTAAGTATATCGGAGTCTGAATAATTTATAATTCCGCACGAATGAACTGCAGTAGAGAGATTAGGTTTTCCTGTCATGGCAAATCCCATCAAAAAGCGACGTACATAGTCACAGCAGGACTAAACGACAGTCTAAAGATTTCGTCATACAGAGAATGGCAGGATGCTTCCCTCGATCGGGATCCAGGCGACGAGGTCGCGGGACTGAGGGGTGGAAAGGGAGGCGACGAGACAAAACTGGCGGAGCTGGAGGAGTGCGTAGAGGAGGAAACAGTACTTTCACGTCGAACAGGGGGTAGTGGCCAGTTTTGTGCATCAAAAATTGAATGTGAACGGCTCATGATAACGGGAGCCGATAGCTTCTTAAAAATGAAGTAATACAAGATGCCAGTAGGAGCTCAATGTGGTATTGACGGATTGGCGATCTTGCGGATCCCCCCAAAACTGATCGGCATGTAGTAGCAAGTCTGGACATCCGTCATTCTCATTCCTGAGATTGCCAGCATTCATCCTCAAGAGCCATTATAAACAATGGTGTGACCCCGAGTAACCGACCGATTTAGAAGGCGGTTTTAAATAGCACCTGGCACGGGCTATTGGAAGACGGAGGAGAAGGGCCCAAAGAGAGACAAGTCCATGGCCAAGTTATTGGTGGAAGACCTTCGCAACGTGCGCAAATGGATGGCTGCGGTTCAAAGCTTGACATCCACCGGCGGGGATGGCCTAGTACAGCCATGGCTAGAAGGTATCACCTCTGTAGTTCGTACTTAGTGCATTTCACCTAGTACTCAACCAGCGTTCCTTGTGCTTCAAGAAGGTAAAAGCCGTGTTTTTGCATTCCAGAAGACAATTAACTCTCGTTGAGTGGGTGGAGCAACACCAGCGATCTCGAGTCGTGTATGGTCCAGCGGGCCAACTTTTGATGGGAATAGTGAGCCAACTGGGTAGTTAACTAGGTTAGTTAATTAGTTCCATTACATAACTAGCCAGCACAGTTTTGTTTGTATCCCCCACCCCACTTTCACATGTCCCTCAAACTATTACTTGATATTACTACAGTCGCCAAATAGTGAAATTAGGAGTATCATTAATCTATATGTCTCTATTGACACCCCCCTCCACACTGGGGTATCCTACTGTTAACTCGAAAACCACAGAAGGCAATATGCGACGCGAAAAAAAACGCACCGGCTTGACTAAGCGAACTAAGCAGAGCTAGAATGAGCAAAAACAGTTCTATAGGGAGGCGCTCGGATCTAACTGTACTGTCGACTGCATGGGTTGGCTTGATCATTATCCTGGCCAGTAATACGCTTTACCATGTTGCGATAGAATTGTCTGATCCAGTTAACGATTAGGGTATGTAGGCTATGCGATAAGGATAATGTATAAACATCTTAAGACTCAAGTCAGAGGTGTTCTGCTGGAGATCCATGATGAAGGGCCACACCGCACGTGGTCAATATCATCAGATCGGGCGCAAAGATGCTCACCTTCCGGCAAAGAAGTACATCAGTGGCAGAACAGGGATGGTCTCTGGAGAATCAAGGTACTGTAGTCGTGTGGTATGAGGAATTATTAAATAGGCAACCAGGTGATTACTCCATCCGATGCAAGTATTATGTGCTCTTATGGGCGAAGTGTCGCACGTTGATCGGGTATTGTCTCTCATCCACTGAGCCAGCGGACATGTGGCGTGCTGCGGCTCTAGTCCGAGCAGCTCCCCTCTTTACCGAAGAGGATGCCTTGGGACGACGGGTTATTCTTTGACGGGGTGCGAAAGCGGCAGAGGCAGATCACTTGTCTATCCCCGATCGGAATGGTGTAGCTGCCTCGCCAAAAAGAAAAGAAAAGAAGAAAAAAGGGAAGCCCCCACAAGTACTCTCTCCCCTAGTCCCATCCTTGCGTGAAAACTTACTGGATAGGCTTTTGCGCAATGATACTGTAGCTTGTGGTCACGAGTCGCATGGTGTCCATCTTAACGAACGCCTTGCCATCCAAGCATAAGCGGTTGATCAGCGTCTTGAAGTGAAGGGGGAGCACGTGGGCCTTGACCAGTCCAAGGATGATCTGTCGCATGGATCTAAAGTAGAAGTCGACCTTCTCAATCAATGGGGTTTGGAGCCCGCCAACACTGGCATTATCCGAGCGAAGCACAGTGAAGCCGGCATCAGTCAAGGCCTTTTCCAAGCTCTCGGGAGTAGGGGTCCCCACGGCCCCAATAAGCGGCTTCACGCGGCGCATGAGCTCGGTGTGCTCGGGATTCGATGGGTCATACTCAGGAAAGCTGACCCAGTCCAGAAGGGAAATCCTGGCTCCCGGTTTGACGACACGGAAGACTTCGTTGAAGAGGCTGGGAATATCCTTACACAGACTTAGGGCTTGGATCTGGTAGAAGGCGTCGAAAGACTCGGACTCGAAGGGGAGGGGAAGGCTATTGAAATCCTGTACAACGAAGGTGTTATCATTGAAACCGCACTTCTCATTGTACGCGCGAGCCTGGGCGATCTGGTTCGGGTCGATATTCAACCCCGTGACTTGCGCGCCGGAGTATTGCGTCATGTGAGCCGCGACGCGGCCGCGGCCGCAACCCAAATCCAACACCTTATCGCCCTTCTCCAATCCGATGTCTTCGGCAATTGACTCTTCATACAGTAACTGATTTTCCAGAACGGTCGCTTTCTTGCTCATGAAAGGTGGAATATACATTTTTTCAACATCACCGAGTGCGCAAAGGTGATTTAGTACCCCGTAGTACGCCTTGAGACAATCACCGACCTTTTGCTGGTAATTGGGCCCTAATTCGTCAACCATTTGTCTTTCGTTGGACCAATCTAGGTTATAGATAACGTAGGATGCCATGAAGTCGTCGACTTGTTTTGGAGTTAAGTTCTGCAGATATCGGAAAGATTTCCAAAACGTTTTCCACCGTTTAGGAGAGGCTGATTTATGCCAATCTGGAGTGCGACGCTGGGCTGATGTGTTGGTCGCAGCCAGCTTCTGCTTTTCGTTCGCAATAGCATCCAACGAGCTACTTTCGGAGCTCCGCCCAGACCGACGCGGTGCCAAGACTGTTTGGGGTTCCATTATAATATCAAGGAGAGAGACACGATCCAACGAGGATGGCGAAAAAAGTTGATGGGGACTCGTATGATGTTTTTTTTATTAAGGTAGGGTGTGGCTATACAGCTGTTAAAGAGGTCATACCAGACTTCGCTTTCATCAGGAAAAGAGGAGCGGGCTAAGTACAATTTATAAGCATCACGGAGAGAAGAAAAGAGAAAAATTTTTTTTTTCTTTCTTTTTTTTTTATTCCCTCCTTCTGGGCCAACGGCCCTGGCGGCGCCGTCGGGAGAGAGAGAGGGGGGATCCTAATAATATGGATTGATTTGCCATATGACCTGCCGTGGGTAGTTTAGTGATGGTCACAGTGGATTATTGTCACCAGATCTGGAAGGCATCGGAAGTATCGGATGTGGCAGGTGCGACAAAGCAGAGCGGGAGGAGACGGCAAAGGCGCCGGAAATGGATATAGTGAACTGTCCTTGGATCCCCTCAAAAGGAATATGATCCCCTGCTCCTCATGGCTGGTGATGAGTCAAAGCTACTCCAACCTGGGATGTCGCATCAAACCCTGCCACTTCCCCTCTTAAATGCAGATGTTTCACTAATAATACCAGTTCTCCTCGCTTGTGTTTTTCTTTTTATTACTTATTCCATCCAAATCAACAACTAGTTCAGTTGACAACTAAACAGCCAGAGCTATGGAGGACTGACTATTACTCCGTGAACTCCGTGCTAGTTCTCGGATTGCTAAGAGCTTCAGCGGGCACTCCGCACTTCCGGAGTACAAGAGTAGGTATTGTAGCTACGACTAGTGGACTCGTATCCTGTGTAACCACTCCTAATTGAGCTATGAAATACAGCACCGTGCGATACCTGAAAGCCCTAACTCCACATGGTGCATAATGGGAGAATCTATTCCGGAGTATCGTCATCCAGCATCGGCCTTGGCGGTCAATGCTTGATCCCCCGACTAGCGCTCCTAGTTTACTACTACATATCTATGGACTACACAGCAGAAAGTTATCTATGGATGTTGAAACATCCATCCTTGCCCTATAGGGATCCTCCGGTTCGGCTTCGGGACCATGTCTTTTCCCCTTGTTTCCTTGGCTCACGGAGCTCCATTGAGCTCATTTCCAAGGATCCTTTCTGTTTCCTTAACCCTCCAATTTTTCCTCCCACCCCGTAACCCTCTCCCTTTTTTCTCCAGGGTGGCTCTGGCGGCCTGGGCAGCCTCGATCAGGCAATTCTGCGCGGTCTCGGACTTTGAAGCCGAACATCCGGCCCACTGGAGACCCAGCCATCCGTATTCCCGCTTATGCAATAAATCATCCATCCTTTGCTTTGGGGGTTTGAAATGCGAGGGTTGGATATAATTACTAATGTTCTGTGACGGATCCATTCCGTTCATTCGGTCTCGGCCAGGATTCAGCAAGTCCACTTACGTGATAAAAGGTTCCGTTCGTCTTTTCTCCTCTCGAGAAATTGACTAATGATATTCCCCACTTAAACGTCATCCGTCGGGATGCGCAGGCTCCGTTGACGATCAGCTACCATTCATAGTTCCTAGCGCTCGTGCCAGCCGATCGTACGCAGAGAGCGGTCTCGTCCGTTTTACTTCTTCTAGCATGGATTGTCGTCCCCAGATATATACTGACAGGCTCATCATGTTCTTGCGATGGGTGGCCACGTCATACTCTTGGGGACCGTGTGTACCCGCCACAACTGGTCTCACACGACATCTGGGTAATCAATTTGACCAGGACATGGCTCAAGGATCTTAATACAATTTAACTTGAATTTTGACATGTCGTTTCCCTGTCAATTTTCCCGTTTGGTTCTCCAGTAAAATTTCCCTGCGCCACGTGATCCGCTCCCGAGTATCCAGGGCTCATCGACGTCCTGCAGAATATCCGCCAACTTCCGTGGAATCGGTGACAGTGTAAACGGCCTCCATGGCTTTTCAATATCATGGATCGATGTCGACGACGTCTAGATAAGCTTATATTTAAGGCTAGTTATCGTTGAATCCTAATCTGCGTCTCTCCTCCATCTGGAGGCCAGGTTTCTGGATCCACCTGTGCTAGGCAGCAAGGTTATCATCTCGGAGGGATAAACTGCCTGGAGTGGCGATGCTGGGACTGTGCTCCAATCAGGGAGAGCCGTGGCTTTAGGTAGTGACAGGGGCTTAGTTTATAGCAATACGATTCGAATGGGAGGTACCAGTACTTGTTTCATCGTGTCGATCTGGGTGAGTTGGGGTGTATCATCGGTACATCCTACTTGGCTTATATTGTGGAGGCTACGAAAGCGGCTGTGAGTGACAGAAGGGAGTGCATTTTGCCTGGACATCTGCTGATGAGTTGTACAAGCATTCCATCATGCGGATGAGCGGAAGCACGGGAACTATCTTGGTATCTCTTACTGGATAATCCGTTGCTATGATCTAGATGTCCTTGCTCTATTATATAATCCCGCGTATCCGCTAACTAGTTAGTTATGAAGAGCTGTCTGATGGTGTACTAATGGGTGCATGTCACTAGGGGTTAGCAATAGACAGCATTATATTCTCATAAATTAACACAGGAACTAACTCCTGCATAGCAGATGACTATTTTAGTCCAAGTCCGCTACTACATTTGCTTCTGTATTGTACCATAACACAAAAGTCCTGTGCAGACTAAGCGATGCTTATCAAATCTATCTGCCTGCTCGGTGTGCGTATCTCATGTGCTTGTTAAAGAAGAAATGACATATACAACGACAACCATCTCTTGTATATAATTAAAAGCCACAGTCTCCCTCCATATAGTTCCAGACTACCATGTCACCCTTGTCCCACGTTACACCCAGGTCCATATCATCTTGCCATTAACCAACTATCTCTGGCAAATAGGCAGTATTGCTCCCACAGAAATTCTATTCAACTGTTTCCAGCATGGTCTGGAATACTGTGATCTCTTTCTGGTGCCACGGCCCGAGAACAGCTATAATACACTCTTGTTCCAAATGCTGGAACTAGCTGTTTCACCGATATGTAATATTGACCCTAAACGATTTGATAGGCTCTTGTGAACCAATTCTAGCGTTACATTACTCCCTAGATGTTCGTTCCACGATCGAAGTTTTATAAAACACAGTTATTTGGCAGATGATCAGGCCAAGAGATGGAAGCAGGGATATACATAGCGAGCTATACACTACTATGGGGTTTGCCGCTTGGCCTGAATGCCTTTGAAATAAAGTTAAGGAATACCCACTTTTGTTCTTAATTTCGTTGGGCTCTGTTTGCAAGCGTACGTCTCCGGTCAAGTCAGGAACGAGATGGGAACACCCGTGACAAACACTGCTGCTTCTATAGCGCACGTCGATAAGGTGATCTGATAACTTGGCAGCTGAATGAGTTCATATGCCAACGTGAGGTTGAGTGGTACTGCCGTGACATAGTCATGAGGATGATTGTAATACATATCGTCATGCTTCTTCTTGGCTGATGACATGCAGTATGCCCAGCATTCTGGGTATTAGTGTCAGCTGTGACTTCGAGGCTGGATTAGTATGGCGCAGGCGTGTGGGAAAAGCTTCTCTAAGGTTGTGTGGTATTGCAAAGTTGATATCGGTGTACCTAGCACTGGTGAATATTAAACTAGTCCAGCTTCGGCGTCTTGGGTACTTTGTAGCTACTTCATACAGCAGTAGTATATAATGGTCCGTGCTATGAGTTGAAGCTAGGAAGTTCAGCTCACATTCAATTTTGCAAGTGTTGTCTTCCAGTTAAGAACAGCACATGTTTTTTAGAGCTGCCACGTGCCTCTCTGTATTAATATTTTGAAGTTATCTAAGTAAATAAAGGTGACACAGGCCTTGGATTACTCATTCCACCATGGCTATGCTGAGAAGCTAGACGGCACTTCTCCTGTGGGATAACTCTTCCAGCGCTGATTTCTAATGCATGATATGACTGGCATTGGTCACAAAACTATATTACTTTTAGACCAAACAGAACCACGGTCATACAAACAAATACTTGTCCCTAGGTCTTGGGATGTTAGCTGTAGGTTAGGGTAGGGGGACATGTGGTCAACTTACTGGGTGAACTTAATTCATCTGATGTTCCTTATGACTGATATAGGATCATGGCATACATTGTCGTCCACCACCGATGGTTCTGCTCCTGTGCGAGTGGCACAGAACTTGCCCTCCTGCACCGCGAACGTGCTAGCTAAATTTTTCAGACTAGCCAATTCTTAGCCACTGAAAATAGGATTTGGGTTTTGCGTGAAGACAATTAGGAATACTAAGATGTGGAAAGCTATAGTGAACGACCAGGGATACACATATCATATATTCATTCTCATTGATATAATTTGGAACCATAGTTCGATACATCAGAACAGCTCCTATGGCTCAGTTGGTAGAGCGCATGACTAGTAATCATGAGGTCCGCGGTTCAAATCCGCGTGGGAGCATTTCATATTTTTGTATATTATTTTTTATTATAACGTATGTAGTAAATAAAGTAAATCTTCTTGTATATTTATTATTTTTATTAATTAGTGTAGTGTAATGTGGACTAATCAACTTATTATTATTGTTTTTATTTGCTGTGTCTGATCTGATCCTCCTAATTGTAATATCTTATGTAGTGTCACACCACCTAACTTATATGCTGCTTTGGCTTGCATTAGGCCCATGATTTGTTCGTGTCTAGACCTATTATTAAACGTCGATTCTGCAGCTCTCTGCATGGATCCACTGTCCGACTTGGCTATGCACCCAATGAGGGGATTGTATCTTTCCAGCACTTCTGTAGTAAGTAAGCTCCGTCTGCACGTTCCAGACAACTCAGCTCATTCACACCTCATTCACGCCACCTGGTTCTGAACGAGCGGGGTATACGTGTATTTAAGCAATCAGATATTCTACTCCTACCCCGCATCCACTCACCTGTTGCTCCCACCAGCATATCTCCGATAAACCTCGCCATGCAAATCCCATCAAAAGACCGGATCGAGCCTGGCTCCTTCAATGTCCCCATAGGCAAATTTCCCGAGACCTGCTCGGCTACTGCCGTCGACGCCGACAAGGTCGCCTCTGATGTGGTTTCAAAGCTCAACGTCGCTCTGTCTCAGAAAGATTTCAAAAGCATCACTAATTTATTTCTGGAGGAAAGCTACTGGCGGGACCATCTGTGCCTGTCGCTGGATTACCGCACAGTGAAGGGCAGAGAAAATATCATCTCTTTTCTCAGTGAGAATCCCCGAATTGTCAGGCTAGAGCTGGATAAGTCGTCCGCCTTTCGGGCTCCCCACATCGGTCCCATCGATGCATTTGGAGAGGTCACCGGCGTCGAGTTCTTTGTGGCCGTCGCTAGCGACATAGGAACCGGGAAAGGCGTGGTACGTCTGGCGGAGAAGGACGGGGACTGGAAGATTTTCACGCTCTTCACGTCCCTACAGGAGATAAACGGGCATGAAGAGTTGACACACAACCGGAGACCCGTGGGGGTACAGCATGGTGAACAGCACGAACGGAAGAACTGGCAGGACCGACGGACCTCGGAGATTAACCTGGAAGAGAAAAATCCGAAAGTGTTGATCGTGGGTATGTCTATCCTTCCCCTCTCTTCACCACCTGACGAGCTAATTCTAATTTTCCCAGGCGCGGGCCAAGCGGGCCTTGCAATTGCTGCCCGGCTCAAAATGCTCGATGTTGACGCCTTAATCATCGACGAGAAAGATCGCGTTGGGGATAACTGGCGCTCTCGGTACCATCAACTGGTGCTGCATGACCCGGTGTGGTTTGACCATATGCCGTATCTCCAGTTTCCGCCCAACTGGCCTATTTTCACCGCCAAAGACAAACTAGCCGAGTTCTTTGAATGTTACGCCAAATTGCTCGAGTTGAACGTGTGGACGAAGACCAAGCTGTTGTCTTCATCGTGGAGCGACGCAGATAATCTGTGGACGATTGAACTCCAGCGACGGAAGGAAGATGGGTCCGTTGAGACCCGCACCGTATACCCGCGCCATATTATCCAGGCCACGGGCCACTCGGGGAAAAAGTACGTCCCAGAGATCAAGGGGACGGACACGTTCCAGGGGACTCGCATTTGCCATAGCTCAGACTTCCCTGGTGCCGATCCCAAGTCGCATGGCAAAAAGGCCGTGGTGGTTGGATCCTGCAACTCGGGACACGACATCGCGCAGGATTATTATGAGAAAGGATACAACGTGACCATGGTGCAGCGCAGCTCGACCTGCGTAGTCTCGTCGTCGTCGATAACAGACATCGCTCTGAAGGGAGTGTACGACGAAACTGGCCCGCCTGTCGAGGATGCCGATCTATGGCTGTGGAGCATCCCAGTGGAACTATTCAAGGCCCAGCAGGTCAAACTGACGGCGGTACAGAACCAAAATGACAAGGCGACGTTGGACGGACTGGAGAAGGCGGGATTCAAGGTCGACCGAGGCCCCGACGATGCCGGTCTATTAATCAAGTACTTCCAGCGTGGCGGGGGGTATTACATCGACGTGGGCGCCAGTCAACTCATCGCGGACGGCAAGATCAAAGTCAAACAGGGCCAGGAGATCACCGAAATCCTGCCGCATGGGTTGAGATTCGCTGACGGATCCGAATTGGAGGCGGACGAGATCGTTCTCGCGACGGGGTACCAGAACATGCGGACGCAGGCGCGGATCATCTTCGGCGATTCGGTGGCCGATCGGCTTGGAGATGTGTGGGGACTGAACCAAGAGGGTGAGTTCCGCTCGATCTGGCAACACAGTGGACATCCCGGATTTTGGTTCGTGGGGGGGAATCTGGCGTTGTGTCGGTATTATTCGCGATTGTTGGCATTACAGATCAAGCTGGTTGAATTGGATGTGCTCCGCAGGGCGTGATATATTAGTTCTCAGAGTATTTGTAGGACAGTGGTACCCGACTAAGGTGTCGGAATTATCCAGTCTAGTTGATGTTAGCCTAGTGATGGACAAGAATAGCAGTCTAGTTTCAGATTAAAGCAGACCCCTCTTTCTTCTAACTATATATAGATCCAGATCTGCACTAAACATTCTGAATAGTAATCATATCCAATTCACCATCTACCCCCGCCCAAAATACAAAAATTGGTATAGTGCAAACACCAGAAACCCAAACAGTACACACAGAAGAAGCAAAGGAAACCATTTTATAAACCCAAAAATAGTACTCCGTAGGACTCTACTATGTTAGCCACCCCTCCACCGCAGCAACATATACCCCTAACGCCAAGAAACAAGTACACACTGCATGATCATCACCGGACAGCAGCTCCGCCAAGCGGACTCTCTGCGCCCGATCCCACCCACCCACCACGAACCCTTTTTTCGTCAACATGGCTAGCCACGGTCGTCGCGGGCCGGGGTGGTCTGGATCAGTCATGCAGAGGACGAATCTGCCACTGCTACTGGTACTACTTCTGCTGTCGGTATTGTCGGTTCCGTCTTCCGAGGAGTGGGATCGTGGGCGTCGGTCCCAAGTTAGTTCGAGGGGAGGGGGCACGTCTTCATTTAGGTTGTTGTTTGTGGATGTGTAGGTGGAGTTGGAGTTATTTGATAAAAACGAAGAAGAAGATGGTGAGTGCTTGAGTTGAAATCTATATCCTCGGGACGTAGTTTGCGCGATCCATTGCATATTCCCACAGACGAGGTATACATTTGGAGATCCACGTTTCGGAGTAGTATAGATAGCCCCTAGGAAATCATGCCCTGAAGATACTGCTGATGATGCGGCGGTAGAAGACGGAAGATGCGAATATGGCTCGCTCTGCACGAGATACATATCATGTGCGTGCAGCTTGGGAAGACCGTTAGGAACGGATTTACTGAGTCGAGAGGGCTGATAGATTTCCAGAACGGGGATGACGCGTGCCGGGGAAGTGAACTGTTGAATTTGGAGGAGGAGACGAGGGGTGAGACGTAGACATTGCGAGGACTTCGGTGGCGGATGAGCGAGCGGGAACGTTTGGGATGAACTATATGTCGGTGGAATATATTGTTATTTTATTTGATCGTGGATAGCCCTAGGGATGGACGGACCTCTTGGTGGTGGTTGATGTGTCGCTCATGATGAAATTCCTCACTTATACTTGTAGAAGAATGCATAAGAAAGAGGATGGAAAGATGATGATGTAGATAGCGACCGTTATATACCAATAATCCGTGCTAACAAGTATATACAACACAAAGAACCTGGAAAGTCGTATTCGTATCAAAAAGGAGCGGTGATTCGCTGAGCGAATCTTGTCTGCCTGACGGAGATTCAAGCTTATTCCACAAGGATAGCTAGCCCCACTGCCAGTTTATGGGTCTGTCAATGATTCAGATAAGCGGATACGACATCCGAACCTGTTGAAGAACCCTATATGGGATAAGGAAACAGACGTTGCTGCCTGGAAACAGTTGCTGCCTGACAGTATCGTCCATTGCATATCTGACAGCACAGCCTCGATCGTCGCTGTTACACATGTGACTTCAACGACGTGCGATGATTCGAATCGTATAGTCGTATATCTTGCCAAGTCTGGTCGTATAGCACTTCGCCTGTTCGAGTTAGTCTGTCTCGGATGAGCCAAGAATGAACTGGTGATGGAATTTAAGGAAATGCTAGCATATGGAGAACAAAGCCTTTTTTCCGACTTGGCATGGATATATTTTAGAATATTATTACTCCTTGTCAGGGATTGAAGTAAAGTTTACGTACTACAGTGCTTCTCTGAATCTTAAAATAGGTAAGATATCGCTAGTGCGTTTCGGCGGAAGAGTATAAGTAACTATATTCTTCAATTTCGCCAATCAAAGCTGCTGAAGTTGCAGTTCATTCTTAGGCTGTATTATAAAATCAGTACATCTACTATGTAGAATAGAAACCAGCATGTGAAAGTCTGTGGGTCTCCGCCTTGTCTGATGATTCTACAACTAAGATGTACGAATGAGTGTTGCCTAGATCAGCTCTGCTGCAGGGATTAAACTGCTTCACAGTCGCCATTCCCCATTATTCTTAGAAAGACAGCAAGCTATGGTCTTATCCTATCCCCCGGATGGATTAATCAGTATGGAGTGCACTATTCTTCCGTAGAGGTAGACGTATCTAATAATTCTCTTTAAGAAGTATTGCAAGGAAAGCGCAGTATTCCATTCTATCTCTGCTCTTGTATCTTCCGTAGCGATCTGCAACAAGTGCCTCAAAGTTGGCAGATCTAGGACTAATTAAAACCTATCAAATCAAATCAATGCACTAGAAAATAGTAAAACACCGATCTCAAGTTCCAAATAGACAACTAATTAGAAGTAGAGAGTGTATGCAGCTCAAGGATTGGAACAGTGCCAGCAATATTCCAGTCATGGCCTGGTGGTACGTTCTGTAGATTAAGCATGTCATCATCATAGCCCGTAAATACAAAAGAATAGGTGAAATTGGAAGAAAGTAGAGCAGCGAGGTTGCCACCTGTAACCAGACTATCGTATGATGTGATATGGATTTCAGGGGAATAAATCAAGGGCGATGCTTAATCGACACCCCCATAAGATAGATCGACACCCCCACGTGACCCACTAGTGCAAATAGGGTTTCCAGCCTTCAGCGCTTTACAAGCTATTCTTAAATAAACAGCCTGCTTGACCGAGCGATTGTTTTTTTTAGTCTTGGAGGTCTTGATAGTCACCGCGAAGCTATTCTGTTTACCAAATTTATTAATATGTTATCCCGGGGCTGACTAAGATATATATTGCCTGACGAATATGGCCCCAACACAATAGGCACTCCGAAGACACGATCCCATATTATACGATCCCACGGCTGCGCACTGGAAGACCTTGGTAGACACTAGGTTAAATAGCGGTCTGCTACCTTAAGTAGCAGACCAGGGAGAAGGACTTTAAGAAGATAGCTTAGGCAATACACTCCTTCGCAAGACTTAAGAGAATCCCCTAAGTCCTCCCCAGGGCCGCTATCGAAGGCAGCCCCTGGGGCCTCCTTTCCTATATTCGACGGTCCCTACAGCTTATAGCGCTATACACTCTTGTCCAGTCCCCTACTTACCAGCTGTGTGATAAGCAATATTACAAATAAATTTAATTACTGCATATTCAGTGTCAAGGATTCCTCCTCGAGATATGGAGGCAAGGGGATTTTGTGGAGATTAGTATTATAATCCTCTTAAGGCTTTGGTTTATCTTAAAGCTTTTATAGCCCTGGAGATAAATACTAATGACTGATTTAATGCCACTGGGTTAACTGGGGTGGTTATTCTGTATAGCTAACTATTGTGTTAGCATAGTGTTTACATTTTGCCCTAATATTTAGCCCTAATCCACATTTTTCGCATAGTGCTATACCATATTTACACTAGTGGGTCACGTGGGGATATCGATCTATCATATGGGGGTGTCGATTAAGCATCGCCCTAAATCAATGTATAAGTGAAATATACAATACTATCTATCTTCCTAGAGGATATACTATTCATTTTCAAGTAAGAGAGACAATCTGTTATAGGTATAAGAACATAATACATACACACATCATATTCCCTATGAAAAAACAGCCACTAACCCAATAATCCCCCCGGCCAAAGGAAACAAACTCCTCACGGCATTCAACACTATCCACCTCTCAAAACTCTCCACTGTATCAACACTGGACTTTTCGTCCGGCACCCAGGTGGAGTTAGCCTTATCGAGGAGACCCTGATTCGTACGCCTCATCGTCGCCAGCGTCCACGGCACAATCCCCAGTGTCAACACCGCAGCAGTCAAGTACAACGAGGAGACACATGCACATGTACTATTCTGCACTGCGAGCGGGAAGGTGGACTCAGATCGTGCGGCCCAGGCGAGATAGCCGAAAGCGACGGCGGTGACGAGCGCAATAGGCGGGTTCTGCGCCTTGCCGTTCTCGTACATGTTTCGGAATTGCTTCACGGTGATGGACAGCGGGATTTGTTCCTCGCGGTGGGACTGGAGCAGCGCAGGGATGACGTTGACGCTGAGGGCGGCGATATTCCCTTATGAATTGGGTTAGTGGTTAACCTAAGGAGGGTCAAGGGAATACGATATACCGGATAGCCAGGCAGCGCCGGTTAGGCCCACTGTTTGGGCGATTCGGACTCCAGAAGGAACTGAGCTCATTGTGTCGATGATGATATCGATCGTACTGAGAAATAGCGAGAAATTTGTCTGGGATGGATGGGGCTATATACTGGACTATGGGTCGTGACGTCATCGATCCATGGGGATTCGGCCATGATGAACCTTTTTAGTGGTTTCACCCATAGATTCAGAACGGGATTAGAACCAGTGAGGATCGATGATTCTTGAGTTGTTGGTATGGCATGACTGTTCCAGATCTGTGTGGTCGGGTTCTGCGGGTTTTGTCGGGTTTAGTCTGTTTACTTGGAGATATACAGAGTACTAGATGTATCAATTTAAGATTATCGGGACAAACATTAATTATGTCTCTTTTATATGTAATCTAATTAATCTAGAGAGATACTCATAGGTGGATAGAAATAATGGAATACGAAGTGACAAGGATCAGGATTTGTCATTCAGAACGAACTAATTAACTAATTGATTCCTGATTGCAAACGCCATGTGTCCATTTCCAGCTCAACAAGATGAAAATCGCCCTCTCCCCCATCAATCTTCACGATCCAATTCAGTTTAGTGAACTGCAATCCCAGCGCCTCCAATGCGGCTGGGACAACAGCCCCGCGCATCTCCTCAAATGGCGTGAAATGGCCGACCATGGCCGGAAGTCATTTTTCTGGATCACCAGCACTCTGTCGCATGACCATGACCACAATCATAATCCTGATCAGAAACATGAACACAAAGATCAAACAGAAAGACAAACCCTTATAGGACATATATCTCTCGATTCCTACTCCGATCTAGACGACCTCTCCCTCGCCAGCCCCGACCGCTCCGCCCTAACTGTCCAGACATTCTTCATCAAGCACGAGTACCAACGTCTTGGCATCGGCAGCCAAGCCATGGACCTGGTAGAAGAAATGGCACGGGAAGAGCCCTACGGCAGTCCGCACTGCCAGTACGTGACCCTGTCGACGCTGAATCGGCGACATTGTTACGAGACCGGCCCCGTGTGGGATGCCGCCAGGGAGATCCTACCCCCGGGATACTTGGATTTCTGTCTTGCGGACTGGTACGAGAAAAGGGGATATGTGTGTTGGAAGTCGGTGTGGCGTGACCATGAGCCGGATTTTCAGGGGAGGGTGTTGCGTGTGTTGGTGGATTTTATGAGGAAGGGTTGTTTATAATTATACTGGATTCCAAGGGAGTGGAAACGAAGATATTCTTCTGCTTAGATGACTTTGTCTATGCAAAGCTCTATAATATATGATCTCTGACCGTAACCACTAGATGAGGTGGTTCTTCTACTCTATTTTGAAAGAATTGGGTAGTAACCAGATGTACTTAATCTGACCTCTACTGGTCATGCAGAACCAACTTGAATTGAACATACTGGTTGATATCCGAGAAGTCTAGAACAGCATGGATGTTGATTCGCTAGCAACACCCGATCTATACAACTATCGCGTCCCAAGACTACGGAGATGTGTCTAGCACAAGCTGCATCGAGAGTTTCCAGACCACCGTCCAGCAAGGGATTCTTCGGTGAATGCCTTGCATGAGGGCTGGACCAGTATTAGGCAAAAGTATAACCCATAAGCTACTACCAGGGAGTAGCTTGAGGAACGACAGACAAATTTAGGTCTCCATAAGTAACTCATACCCACAGACGGCTAGAAGTGGCAGAAAAATGCCCAGACGAGAAAGTGTCGAGACAAAATCATTCGACTACTAAAAGCCCGGGCTCTCAGTGAGCCGTAATACTAGGCCATGGAAGCCGGGAAGCCCGAAGTTTCATCAGAAAGTCCCTGAAATATTCCATCGATTGGATCTGCGACGTTCGGTCCGAGAGTCTGCTAAGCTTCCCTCGCGGTCGGCCATCCTCTTCATTGACGATAGAGACTTCCAGCTGACGGCGAGAAGCTCAGCACAATTATTCATAAGCTCAACATGCCTATCAACATTAATAACACACTATTGAGCGGTGCATCTATGGAATTTCCATTATAATGATATTGACTCCCGGCGATATTTCAAGTTATCTATGCTTTTGGTGACCTGGAGGCGAAGACGTGGTGCACTGGTGGGATATTCGAACCTAGGGATGAAAAGGGACGTGCGATGAAACGCTGCCGAAAGGCAAGGGTTTGGAATCAGAATAAACCAGTTCTGTGAGAATATCCAGTGTGAAGGATGGGGAAATTGCGATGGAGCGCCTGCCGCTCCAACCCCGCATATATGGTGAGCACGAAGGTATGGATATTGTCGGTAATATGCAGTCAAGGTAATCAATCATTGAAAGACGGATCCAATGCTTGGGCTAGCGGAAACACTCCTATTAACACTGCTGCCTCGTGTCTCAGTAGAGCTAATGTAAATAAATCCAAAGAAATGAATCAATAATACCGGCTGATCTCATTTGATGCAATAGTGCGACAATCTCCATCTCAATCAACGTGACTCTGCATGATAAGAACGGCAGAGTCTTGGGTTACAGCACTAAGCAGTATACCACCAATAGCCTCGTGCGACCTGCGACGGGTATCACCGGCGGGGAAATGGCATGCTTGGCATTTCAGCAAACGGCAGGAGGGATCCTGGATCTAACCATGAACGCACTAATGCAGGAGCAGTTATGCTGATAAGACTGCCATCCGGTTGCGTCGGGATGTCATGCCCTTGCGGCGGTATGCGGGGAAGGCCATCGTGTTTTGGCTACTTAACTGGCTCGTCTTCTGCCTGGTAAGCATGCAGATAGGCAGTCAGTCAGTCTAACCTGCCATCATGAAGGTAAGCGAGTAATTGCGGAACCTTACTAATCACCACTAACAAATATCATGTAGTCTGTCACTCTGTTGTTGCTTCTGGCTGGTCTTACGCAGGCAATTGACGTGCCGCGGAAACCTCACGCACCCACAGGAGGTGGTAAGAAGCGACTGACCTTTAATGAGACCGTGGTGAGTAAGGCGATTACTCCCTCGTCTATTTCGGTGGAATGGATTGCGACCGCCAAGGATGGGGAGTACGTCTACCAGGACGGGGATGGGAGCCTGAAAATTGAGAGCATTGTCACCAACCAGACAAAGACTCTCGTCCCCGCCGACAAGGTGCCGGCAGACTCATACAGCTACTGGGTCAAGCCCGATTTGTCATCGGTGTTGTGGGCGACCAACCACACCAAACAATATCGACACTCGTTCTTTGCCGATTACTACATCCAGGATGTTGAGTCGCTGGCATCCACTCCCCTGGTGCCTGACCAGGTAGGTGACATCCAGTACGCACAGTGGAGTCCTGCGGGAAATGCCATTGCCTTTGTCCGTGGAAACAATCTGTTCACTTGGTCCGATGGTTCGACCGCGGCAATCACCAAAGACGGGGGACCGGACATGTTCCACGGGGTTCCCGACTGGATCTATGAAGAAGAGATTCTGGGCGACCGCTTTGCGCTGTGGTTCTCGCCAGATGGGGAATATCTGGCCTTTTTGAGCTTCAACGAGACTGGTGTGCCAACGTACACGGTGCCGTATTACATGGACAATCAGAAAATCGCTCCCCCGTATCCACGGGAGCTGGACATCCGATACCCCAAGGTATCACAGACCAACCCAACCGTCCAGCTTGGCCTCCTCAAAATGGGCACTAAGGATGTATCAGCTGTCTCGGTTGATGCGTTTGATGCTCACGAGATGGTTATTGGTGAAGTAGCCTGGCTCTCTGACTCGCACGACACAGTGGCAGTCAAAGCCTTCAACCGTGTGCAAGACAAGCAGAAAGTTGTTGCAGTGGATGTCGCATCGAGCCAGACCAAGGTGATCAGCGAGCGAGATGGTACGGATGGGTGGCTTGACAACACGCTTTCTATGGCATACATTGGTCCCATCAACTCGAAGACTGAGTCGTCTGCTTATTACATCGATATTTCAGATCAGTCGGGCTGGGCGCATCTGTGGCTCTTCCCAATTGCGGGTGGTGAACCTATTGCCTTGACTGAGGGCGAATGGGAGGTTACGTCTGTTGTCAGCATTGACAAGAAACAGCAGTTAGTATACTATCTGTCGACGCAGCGTCACAGCACGGAACGTCACTTGTACTCGATCTCCTACAGCAGTAAAAAAGTCACTCCGCTGGTTGACGACACCGTGTCTGCGTACTGGTCTGCTTCTTTTTCTTCGCAATCGGGCTACTATATCCTCTCGTATCAGGGCCCTGATGTGCCGTATCAGGAACTCTACTCTGTTAACCAGACCAAACCCATTCGTACCATAACTAGCAACTCCGCAGTGCTGGAGAAGATCGAGCAATATGCGCTTCCAAACATCAGCTACTTTGAGTTGACGATTCCTTCGGGTGAAACCCTCAATGTCATGCAACGGCTGCCCGTCAATTTCTCGCCTCAGAAAAAATACCCCATTCTGTTTACCCCGTACGGGGGACCTGGTGCGCAAGAAGTGGCCAAGTCATGGCAGTCTATGGATTTCAAGGCATATATCGCCTCCGATCCAGAGCTGGAATACGTGACCTGGACTGTCGACAACCGGGGAACAGGCTTCAAAGGGCGGAAGTTCCGCTCGGCTGTTGCCCGGCAGCTGGGGCTCTTCGAAGCTGAAGACCAAATCTATGCAGCCAGAGAAGCTGCCAAGATCCCCTGGATCGATGGAGATCACATTGGCATCTGGGGCTGGAGTTTTGGCGGGTACCTAACCAGTAAGGTCCTCGAAGTGAACAGCGGTGCATTTTCACTCGGCCTCATTACCGCTCCGGTGGCAGACTGGCGCTTCTACGATTCCATGTACACCGAACGGTACATGAAGACGCTTGCCACCAATGCCGACGGGTACAACACTAGTGCCGTCCACTTAGCCGACGGGTTCAAGAGTGTCAGCGGGGGTTTTCTCATCCAACATGGAACGGGCGACGACAATGTCCACTTCCAGAATTCCGCTGCATTGGCGGATCTCCTGATGGGGGCCGGGGTTACACCAGAGAAAATGCAGGTGCAATGGTTTACAGACTCCGATCATGGCATTCGATACAACGGGGATAGTTTGTTTCTGTATCGGCAATTATCGAAGAAACTTTTCGAAGAGAGGAGTCGGCCTGGAAAGGTGCTGAAGCACCAGTGGAGTCGGAGGAACCTGTAAATATTCTATCGTTAATATTCTTAGTTTATAATTGACGCCAGCTGCTCGAGTCACTCATCAGACTAATGGTAAAATGGTTTACTGGCTAGTAGGTGGCAATTGGTAGCATTGTCAAACAGCAAGTGGGACATTGGTAGGACATGGGTGCACAAGTATTCCAGTCGAGCTCAAGAAGCGAAGAGAATATCAGGTCACAGGGCAGCCTCAGGCATGATAGTTCCTTTTAGGGAAAGTCATGTGTGTCGGCCTTGTTTACAAGGCAATTTTGGCGGTTCTCCCTCTGCGCGACTCCTTTTGATCTCCTGAGGATACGTGGTGTCCTGGATAGACAATAGCCGTCCACTATGGGGAGCTGATGCAATCTCTCTTGAACATGGACCTGCTATGCCCCATCCAGGGAATTGGTAAACGCACTGTTCTGTTCGGATCACTCGGTGCGACTAGTAAGGCTGGCTTCCGACTAGTTTACGATGTACCGTGCCTTAGGCTGTGAACTGCTTCCCCGCAATTATTTAAAAAACTGCATCGTCTTGCTGATACTCCTGTACCTTCCGCTGCACACACACCGACCATGGCTACAATATCTGCTCAGGAAATCCTAGTATCGGAGCTCCCCACAAAGTCAGTTACATTAACTTCTATCAGAGCAACTGTTGTACGCGAAATCCAAACTACGATCCAGGTATGTGGCTGCACCTACCCTTGACACTTCGATACTCATACTCGTCCAGCCGGGCCAAAATGAAGTCACATTCTACGGCCTGGATCCGAGTGTTGATGTGGATTCTATCCGCATCGAAGGTACCGGTCCAGCAACTGTAACGGATATCCAAACGCAGATTGTTCCACGACGGGAATCCTTTACGGATGTGTATTCAGATGACCCAGACTCGGAAAGTAGCAGTGGAAACGACGAAGATCCCGATATAGACTCCAAATTCGATGACTCGGAGTTGCAGTCTGTACGGAATAAAATAGCACAAGCCCAAGCGACGCAGGCTAATGCCACTAATAACAGGGCCATGGCTGTGTCAATGTTGGAGTTTTTAGACGGATACGGCAAGGCCATGAGGCCTGAAACAACAGATCTTACTAAGGTCAATGATTTCCTGCAGCTATACATGGGCCAGCGCTCTGAGGCAAGTGAGCGACATCACAAAGCCGAGGTGGAGCTCCGTGAGATAGAAAAAGAATTAGAGCTGCTTCAGAAGAAACAGGAACTACTCGAATCAAAACAGCGGAAGGCTCAAGACGCTGCCTTGAAGGAAGTTCGCAGAAGCCGCGCGAAGCTCAAGCGCGAGCGCGCACAAAAGCGTGCAGAGAGGATGCGGAAGAGAAACGAGCGGCGGATGTTTTTTACCGCAGATATTGGGCAGGTGGTGGTGTATCTTGATGGCCATTCTTCATCAACACCTGGATCGAGTCGACGCAGCTCGATCATGGACAAGCCGCTCGTAGAGCATTCAGGAAGTATCAGCGAACCAGCCAATGTGACGCTCTCTCTTAGCTATGTGGTGCCGTGGGCGAGCTGGACGCCACGCTACGAATTGAGTATCAATACACCTTCATCGACGGCTCGGATGGCATATCGTGCTGAATTCCGAAATTCCAGCACTGAGACGTGGCGAGACACTCGAGTCACACTGTCCAATTCGCAGGCATCCTTCTCCGGCCTCCAGGAGCGTATTCCCTCCCTACAGCCATGGCATATCCAGCTAGACACAACATGTAAGGAGAATAAGGACCAACCGTCATGGGGGAGAATCCTGCGCGGTGGAGGCGAGACTGCTGATTATCAGACACGGGTGATGTTGTTAGAGCAGAGGAAAAGGGAACTCTTGCAAGAGCGACAACGGCAAGCGTCGATTCAAGCACCTCCACCAGCAGCTTCGGGGGACCTTGCCGTGTCCCAACTGTTTAGACAATCACAGAATGCATCTCTCCCAGCGGCTCCACAGAACCAGTGGGTAAGTCAGTCTCAACAGCAAGCAGCACTTCAAGCACCGCAGCATGCAACTCCAGGGGGTATTTTCGGATCCTTCGTGTCCCAACAGAGAAGTCAGCCATCTCCACAAGCAGACCAGCCAGCAACTCCAGGGAGTCTTTTCGGAGCCGGAGGATCCCAACAGAGGAGTCAGCCATCTGCACAAGCACACCAGCAAGCAACTCCAGGGAGTCTTTTCGGATTCGGAGGATCCCAACAGATAGGTCAGCCAGCTCCACAAGCACACCCATTGCCATATGGGCCCTCGCTTCCAGCAACGCAAACAATGATCGGACTAGAGCCAGCATTCGGTGTTGATGACGAGGAAGATGAAGACCGTCAGTCTGTCTCAGCCGATTTGGAACACGAGGATTCCATCAGGCAAGACTACGGGCTAACCACAGCATACGATCTTCCCGGCCGTCGCACCTTGGTTCCCTCGACCGTCAGCCGACGCCATGTTCTGGCTGAACTGGACCTCAAATCCGTGTCACTCTCGTATCTCATTGTGCCGAAACACCGCGCCGCTGCCTTCCTCCGGGCACGCATCAAAAACACGTCGCCCGTGAAGATCCTGCGCGGCCGAGTGGGTATGTCAGTAGACGGCGTGTTCCTCGGTAGCGCGAACATGCCCAACTGCGCGCCCAATGACTTCTTCAATCTCTCCTTGGGAGCCGATCCTGCTATCCTGGTGAAATATTCCAAGCCCAGCGTTCAGCGCATGACGGCGAGTTTCTTCGCCAAAGAAGAAGGGGCGGTGTTCCGGCGCAGCTGCTGGATCAAAAACACCAAAAACACGGCTGCAGACCTCGATGTGATGGACCAGGTGCCACTGAGCGAGAGTGAGAAGTTGCGGGTGCACATCCTCCAGCCGGCGGGATTGGAAAAGGAAGGGGATGAGACGACCTTTCCCATGACTAGTGGCACGGGGAAGGGAATGGCAGTGATGGGGAAGACTGGGGAGGTTAAATGGACGATCCGGTTGGAGCCTGGCAAAGAGGTGCGAACAGTGTTGGAGTATGAGGCGCGAGTGCCAAGTGGGCGTGATGTGGATACATCGAATGGCATTGATACTACGGAGTAAGCTCAATGGCTATGGGTCTCTGCCACTCTGCCTACTCCCGATTCTGGTGGATTCATTACTTATCTGGCTTTTAGCACAGTTGTTATTCAGTATGGACTTTGAATTATGATGTTGAACAGTTTGTGATTCTTAACTGTAGAAATCAATAGCAGATCCTTGACCAACAGAGCACCTATATATCAATTTATTCGTTGAGAGTTAAAAGATAATAAACGTGTAGTCCATACAACATTTGGAAAGCAACAGTTTTTACATATTTCCAGCCTACTCTCTGATACTGCCACAGCCCATCATTATTTCCAATACGTCCAGGTTCACTTTGTGAGACAAAATCCCAAGAAGCATTCCTTCTCGTCGGGCTATTGGCACTCGACTCCCGAGGCTATCTACACTAACCAGATAAGGAAATTAGCTTCCTTAGGCGCAATAATTGCCAAAAGCATTCAAACAAACGAATTCGTCGGCTCCCATCCGTGGAAAGTGACATTTCTCCATTCCACAATCACATTGACTATTAATTCAGAATCCATCCGTCATTGGTACCTCTGTAGTCTTACTATGTACTTGTACCTCATTGACAGATGTTTACTCAGTATCTGCTACTGAAAATCCCAGCAATCCAGGGTACAGATCCTGCCGGAGCTCAATCGGAAAGTCCCGGCACGGAAACCGTTAAGCGTAAGCTTAAGCTAGGCTTACTACTGCAGGTTTGCAGCTGTTCATCTGCCACCCCTGCTAGGTAGGGGTGCGATTCCCTATCTCGGACAGGGATGAGGTTACGTAATGGTGCAGGGCGGCTGAATTCTAGGGTGGAATACATAATTAGGACAAGAAGGCATTCTGAGATTTAAGAGGATGGATCTCAAAGGGCGAGGTAAACTGTGGCGCCCAGGTGCTTAAAATCACCGTCACCACTTCGACAGTTCAGCTATTCATATTTTTCCCTTCTTTTGTCTTTGGAGTTTGGTGATGTATATTTGGTTTTGTTATACGCAGGGTGGATGGGGACAGAAGCTAGCGCTGACCCAATCTCAGAAAAATTTTCAGGTCATCCGCCGACGGACGGAATCATTTTCGTCTCGTCGGATGCGATATCGCTGCGCCCCTTTTTTACGCTATCGGGTGCAGTAGGTCTCCCTGCAGGATTTGCTCTCATATCCAGAGGGTATATAACCCGGGCAACCCTCCCTCGGAAAAGATACACATGAATTGCCCTCATTTGCGCCGCCGTCCAGGACCAGGTCCCGGGAGGGGGGGTCAGCATTCCTGGTGGATTTCCTGACAGGTCCCAAAGAGGGAAGAGTCGGTGAGCTCATTTTCATTTCGTCCAGGCTTGGATGGGCTTTTCCCGAGGGAATACGCGCCATGAATTATTATTTCCTTCCAGCCGAATCCACAGGGTCCATCGGGTCGGCGGCCAAACAGGATGGGATTTTTGTTTGGCAAGTCCGGGTGCAGTGGAGCCGCATGCCCGATTCGGCCCGGTGGGTTTGAGTCCGAGAAGAAATCCAGAAATTAACATCCCGTTTGCCGGTACCCATTGGTCAATGGATGACACCATGGTGGGGCTGTACCACTATATCGGACCCATTTGGGAACTTTGGGATCCACTAAGAGAAATCTCTTTTCTGCCTCTGCCCTCGGTCAGCTCTCACATACCATAGAAAAAATTGTCACTCACGGTTTGTTATTACGGACAATTTAATGGATGAACGGAAGGGGAGGGAAATGGGTGTAGAGTTGAACAAAGAATGTAGGAACCATTGTAAATGTTCAGTCGCGATGGAACTCATGGTTCTCAACTACTAAATGGGTCAAACTGGATCACAAGTGGGCTCAATTAAGGCCTCGGACTCGTGAACAGCGTCCATGAGCTCCATCCACGGACCTGCGCGGGCAACAGAGACCATGAATAATTGGCTGGTCCAAAAAGAATCCCCTCTTGGCCCCATCCCGAACGAACCCGATAAGTCGCAGGTTGTCCCAGGCAAGAGAAGGATGTGCGTGGAACAGATAGGATAGGGATATACTACACACACACCCACGTAGGCCTAGTCTTCTAGTGGCAGGTAGGGCTTTTTCCTAACCCGTGCAGGCGCACTAATGCCGACGGGGGGAGTGGGTGGGCACAAAAAGGCGAAAATTTAGCGGGAGAGTATTTATGTCCTGCTAGGCCTCTGTTGTCAACTTCTCCAGCTTTTTTCCCTCCCAAAAAGTTCTTCCTCCTCCCTACCCTCCAATCCACTCCTCTCATTTCTCTTACGAAGACCAAAAAAAACCACATACTATCATCACAATGTCCTCTCGCGTCTTCGCCTCTCGTATGGCCTCCACCATGGCCGCGACCTCCAAGGTCGCTCGCCCGGCCACCCGCGTCAACGCCATCGTGCCCAAGCGTACCTTCACCAGCCAGAAGAAGACCATCCCCATGACCCCCTTCCAGACCCTTAAGCGCCAGCAGCCCTCGACCCTCCTCCAGGCCAACGCTCGCCAGGTCTTCGCCAACGCTCAGGCTCGCCGCCAGTACTCCTCTGAGATCGCCGACGCCATGGTCCAGGTCTCTCAGAACATTGGTATGGGTACTGCCGCCGTTGGTCTCGGTGGTGCCGGTATCGGTATCGGTGTTGTCTTCGGTGCCCTCCTCCTGGCCGTTTCCCGCAACCCTGCTCTGCGTGGTCAGCTCTTCTCCTACGCCATTCTGGGTTTCGCTTTCGTCGAAGCCATTGGTCTGTTCGACCTGATGGTTGCCATGATGTGCAAGTACGTCTAAATTATATGAATCGGATTTTTCGACTTAACCGCGGGGGCTCGGCATTCCATTCCATCGCCCGTTTCTGTCCGTGTGAAGGAGGTAATCTGTGGTGGTCTTTTTATATATCATGTACTACAATTCCGTCTCATCTATCATCCAAATACATTTTGTACATATAGAGTTTAAAATGGCCACTTTAACTCCTTTGAGCCACTTTCTTTTTTCTCCTGTGTATTACATCTTTGAGAGAGGATGATTGATTGGATTGGGTGGAATTGATACATTTGGGGAGCTGGTTACCCCAGACTTCTACGTGTCTTGAACTTGATCATTGAACATTCTCGTCAATTGGAGTACTCCGTACAATGTACAATCTGGAGAAGCTGGTGAGAGCTAAGACGACAGATACTACACGTACGACCCGGATAAGACCACCCCAACCGCGGCAGGATTAGCGGTGGCCGGAATGGGCCTCCTTGCCATAGACTAATACAATTAAATCGGAATGTGAAACCATCTTCTCAGGGGTTAGATACGTTATATGCACGCACCGCCACAATCAAGTACGCACTAGACAGACAGATAAAGGTGAGATGAGATGAGACAGATGAGAGATCTGTCTTCTGTGAAACTCACTTACCGTGGTAGTTCCGTATTCGGCGATCCCGGATCGTGAACGTCACCAATTTGTGCCGCCAGGTCCGGTGAATCCACTGGTTACCTCAGACTGCTGTTTTAAAAAATAGAAAAAAAGTGATGAATACACTACCGTCCAGACAGATACACACCTCGATAAATACAGTATAGAAATCCTGAATATACACCTCAGCTGCAGAAATTTCACCTGACAGATCAAACAAACATCACCGATAGCTTAGGCTTGGGAAGTCCTAGCTCACAGCTCTTATCCTTTGGCAACAAGCTGAGTAGCTGTAGCCAAGGGCAATGGTTGACTAATTATATAGGTCGTTGAGGATGCTGGTCCCGTGCCTTGGTCCCGTGCCTTTATGTAGTGTTCGGATACCTGTGGCGACCGAGACAAGTAGCTTGCTGTAGCCCGTACGGAGTAAGGAGTAATTTGTGTGTAGGTGCAGTAAGGAGTTTATGAAGAAAATATTGTTTATTGATATACTCCGCACTGATGACGCTGTCTATGTGTTTATGTATGGGTGTGATGGTGATTCATGGGTTGGGACCATGGTCAGGTGATGGTCATGTGAACAGTCATATACTAAACATTTGAGATAGAGATAGGTAGAGTGGAATTAAGTATGGAGTAGAGTAGGACATTCTACTATAAAGATGAAAGGGATTATACATGGGCAATATTAAGCCCAATGTCGCTCTAACTAGCGGAACCTGACAATGCATGAAGATATGTATACACAACCATTCTGTTATCAAATCAACCTTCCATCCCGAATGACAAGTAATCGGGTTCAAACAACCCCAGCGAAAGCTGACTATTGAACAACTGCCACATCAGTCCATCTGAGGAGGGTGATATCTCAGCAGGTATCTGGCCCGGCACGAAGAGACCCGCAGACTCCGATGGCGGTGAGGTTTCCGCAGCAAGTGTCGTCTCGGTGAATGTTGAAGCCTGTGGCTCCGTGGTGACCTCTGGAATCCATCGTCTCGATCGCGTCGCTGGGTTCGTCTGTTCCCTGTTCTGGAACAATGGATCGCAAAGAAGTTGGAGGGAGGTCAAAAGGCTTAACACCTTAGCCATGTATGGACACAACGTGAACCTGGACAGTCCCTGAGTGAATTCGCGGATAAGGTCGTAGTCGCTTTTATCCAGTGCTCCGATGACGTTGCAGAAGAGGACGAAAAATGGGGTTAGAGGGTACAGAAAGACAGTCCTGCTGGTGTGAGCTAACATGGAGGAGAGAGTGTGGGAGGAATGCTGATACTGACCATGAGAGAAATGCTGGGTATGGAGAAAAACTAGGGATGTCTCTAAATTGCTCCTGGAGGCATTGGAATATTTTCAATGACGACCGAGCGTATGATAGACATTCTCGATGCGTGAGTGGACTAGGAGCGTATCTTAGGCGGGTTCGGAGAACGTCGACCAAGATTGCGTAGAAAGAGAAATCGACGGCTAGCCAGTCACACACCACAATGTCGGGTAGAGACGCGCGTGTCTGAGTGTCTGCTAAGCATTAATCATCAACGCATAGAATGAGTCTCGCTTACGGATTCCAAGTATGCAGAAATACCGCCCATTCTGTCTTGGAGGGCTTGGCAGGTGGCTAACACTTGATGAGAACCCTCGTGCTTTCCAAGTGAGATGTCCAGCAACTCTCCTTGGACAGTAGAAAGGTCGAGAAGAATGCGGATTAACGGGCTATATACTAGTGCCGTATCCTTCCTAAGCAGATCTGTTGGAGCTATTTGCGTTTTTGGTAACGATGGCGGTCGAATGAGGAGTGCACTGAGGGTCTTGTCAAGGAAGTAGCACCAGATGAAGGCACTACATATCTCCTCGTCGACTTGGCGAGTCGAAATAATGTCATAGTAATTCAGAGAGACAACCAGACGGGCGGCGTAGGAATTCAGCACCCAAGCTTGATTCATCTTCCCTAGATATTGCATCAGAATAGCCTAGAATAGAACGTCAGTCTCCAATCCTGTGGACAGTGGAGACGACATACAGCAGAGATCAGTGACTGGACCAGGGAAAGGCTTGGCGTGGAAAGGATATCAAGCTGCCTAAGAGCAGCGATGGCACCAGCCTGATATGTCATCATTGACCTCCATAGATGCTTCCTGATTGATTGGTTAGGGCAGACTTTGGACATATTGTATGAGCGAGTGAGCCCTTTCACGTAGACACATATGCAGTATTGGTGATATATTTGCCCCCCGGGCTCGCTCTCCAGGAGGTACGCCACTACCTTCTCCAGCGTATTGTCTGATATATGGTCCGGCCATTGGAGTCGAGAACCTGGCGTTACCACAGCCATGGGCTCTGTTCATAGTCAGCATATTCCACGGGTCGAATCACAATTCAATACCTTGAAGTAGCATATAGAGTAGTTCCGGAGGCGGAGCATCGGGAGGAGCAATTTCTAAGTCGTCGATACCTGTCGTTTGGGACGGTAAGTCTTTATCCAGGTCAGAATCCACCCCTTTTGCCATTTTATCCACATGGCTCATGGCGGTTCTGAGGATTGTCTGTCGCTCACGGCCGATGTTCTCACTGCCGCTGAGTAGGTTTTGGATAATGGACTTGGCATTTCTTGCATGGTGAATTGAATCCTCAGGACCGGTAATTGATTCAGCACCGCTACAAGGAGTACTCTCCAGTGACGTGGCGTGGTCAATTTTTCTCTTCTTTGCAGACGTATCCCCGTCCGCTTGATGCGCACGATTCGGACTTTGGTTTTCACTAGGAATAATCAGCCGCCTATACCATATATCATGGGATTTAGATTATACCTGCGCGATTGGGAGGCTACTTTTTCTAGATTCAGAATCCTTTCCTCTAGAGTTGACACACTGATGCGGTTAGTTGGAACCCTACCAGGGTATACGACACGACATACGTCGAGGAATGTTTTGGTTTGGAGAGCCGGTGAGGGCGAAGTCGTCGACACTCGGCCCCGGCGTCAGAGCAGTTGGAACATTTTTCTTGTCTGTCACATTTGACCTTTCTCGCATGACAGAGATCGCACTGATTTTGAGTCAGTATTAAGTAGTGATATCGTGAAAGAAAATGCAGATTCAGCCTACGACTAGAAAACGATACTTACGGCGGGCAGTATTTCCTTTTCCATGAGCACTGGTATTAAATGTGGATTCACAGAAGATAAACACCATGTGTCGAGAGTTGCGAGCGAGGCGACTGATCAAGTTTTGCCCCATTTAGGCAGTCGATGAGCCGAGACCTTTTTGCTGACTGAATTCTTGGCGCGGAGGCCTATTTAGTTAAGTATAGGGGCCTGCTGACTAAGGATCATGCAGAGGCACGACGACATATATTTCACGAATAAGTGGCATGTGTTGTAATAAATTGTCAAATCATCTGGCTTGAGGCAGTCCACTGGAGGTTCCAACCAAAGGTCGCCAAATAAATAGAAACTGTGTGTTCATGGGCTGACCATCTTGAATGCGCCTGCTTATCATGGTTAGTGATTATGGGGACAAGGAAAGGCAAAACGAGATGAAGATCTGATTAAATCTGGGCGCTAGAAACATTATAATTCGATCTGAATTCTACCTAGCTAGGTGTGGGCGATTCGATTGGCAAGCGTGTTGACTGTATAGAGACCATTGCCTGGTACTGTCAATATACCAAAAGAATTATCATGCACGCGGGCAACCTTGCTGGAGAAACTCATTATTTTCTATTGCATACGAGCTCGGTAGCAAGACAGCAAATCAGGTTAGGTAAGGCACGTGGGAGAGTCACGTGGGGTCAAACAATCTGTTTGAAGTTTCTTATCTGGTGAGGCGCATCCGGCTTTTTAACACCAATTATTGTATGGACCAGTCGGGCGATTATCTTTTTCACTGTTTTATTTTGTTTCTGGTTGGAACCACATGTCCAACCGTTGGTAATTCTCATTAAAAACAAACCAATTAGGCTCATCAGTTTGGCCCCTTCTACTTAATGTTTACTCCGGCGTACACCTCGGATCCCGATCTCTCGGATGTCCGTTCGAATTCGGAAGGTACCATACGTCATTCTCACAGGATACTAGTAAAGTTCCCGTGTTCAAACTTCAATGCACGAAATATCCAACATAAATAATCACTAGCAACGGGCCTCAATTCAATTGAATTTATATTTACATTTATTAATGCCTAAAGAATGTACTCCATGTAAAACTAACTACTAACTGGTGGAATATCCACACTCTGACTAAGCGCGGCTAAATGTTCTCCCCTATCCTCGGCTTGGAATAAAACATGACAATCATCAGGCTCTCAAAAGTCATTCAGCAGAAATGGCTCCCACTCCACTGTACACACCGCAGGAAGTCCCGCGGATCAAAAACGCAAAGCGTCTGACCACTACCCGCACCAAGCAGCTGGTGCGCGCGGCCGAGCGCGAACACGACGATCCACCACCGCCTCCGGATCTGGGCGACTGTTGTGGGAGCTCGTGCGACCCATGCGTAACTGATCTCTGGAAGGAAGAATTGGCATGTTGGAGGGAGCGATGGGGCAACGGTGCCATTGAGACTAAAGCGAAGAAGAAAGAGAAGATGCCGGGGAGTTTTGACTGGTGAAAGCACAAATGAATACGACATGAGAGACAATCATCCTTGATAAATCATTCGATGTCTGGATGATGGTGCAAAAATTTCTCCAACGAGGTGGATCGCCCTCCAACCGCTCATTCTGCAACTCTTTCATCACCCAGGCGCCATCCGCCGTGTGCAACTGATAAAACCACCCGATATACTCCCAGGACCCGTCAGGACGATTCTCAGCGTATCTCACCTGCAGTGCTCTGTGTCTTAATTCTTCCACGATCCCCATGATATCGACCTGGATCCCTCTGGCTCGTACCCGGGAATACGCATCCACATTCTGCCCGAAGCGACGGTCTAAACCCCTGCATCGCCCAGCGCGTCTCGACTGTGGTACCAGGAACTTTGGACGAAACTCTCCAGGGAATTGAAGAATGAGGGGGGAGTTTTGAATGGTGGCACCTAGTCGGTGCGAGCGATTCAGAAGAGCGGGGCTAACCGATATTACAGGCGGTGCCAGCGACAAGGACGAGCTTAATTCTGTTCATGGGGATATTTAGTTTAATATAATTATTAACTGGTACTTGTAAGACATAATATAAACAAAGGAATTATCCAAGATGTGCTTATCAAATTCGAATCCCAGTCTCGGCAAGATGAATCATACCACTGCATCTGGGCGGCATCCTGATGTATTCTTTTGCTTTATTTAACCCAGTATATCACTCTTCGTACTACCGACTTTATTGTTGAAACTTCCAGCTATATGACTCACTAACAGCGCGGGTTTTTAGTTCCTCGAATAGTTTTGTCTTGACATTATCTGCTATGGACCCCCGTAAACTTCCCTCCTGGCATCCGCTAACAGTCCACCCAAATACAAACTTCCCACCACTAAAGATATGGAACTCGTTAACGTGAACTAAAACCAGCTTTATGCCTGTAGACCGGACAGGCCGCAAGTGAAATGGTACGCTTGTGGACTGACTGTGTACGACGATGTATGCGTCGAACATGCGAGTAACTATATTAGTACTGATATTACCCGGCAGACTCTGAGGCATTATTTCATTCGAGGTTGAGTTTGTGATGAATATTATGGATGTGGACGATAAGTTGTGATAGTGTGAATGAATTATTTGATTGATTTGAATGCCTTACTGGGTGAAAATAATCGTTCAAGGAAGACAGCAGTGTTTATTTGCGGAATATCTCGCCTCTCATCCGACGGTTACGCAGGATGTAGTCAATACTGCACTGCGGGCACAGGGAAAGTATATAATGGAGAATTTGCCTTTGATGGACCCCCAGACGCACCTGGAGGACTTTGAGAGTGTCTCACAAGAGATATATGGAAGGGTTTTAGGCGGCGAAGGGAATAAGAAACCTGGTGACAAGAAGTTAAGACCAGAATGCTAGTTAATACGGTCATCGGTTCCCCTGAAATTACCACCAAGGCGACAAAATTCGCTAAAAAGTTCTCCGAGCATACTGACGAAGAAGAAGGAATATCAAATGAGTCGTTCTACACAGCAACGCAAGCTATCATCCATTTCTATCTCGATCAAGGTCTAGGGCCCACTACACCGGGAACCACGCATGAGATATTCGTCCAGTTGTCCAGAAAGGACGAGGGCCATTTCATGCGCGATTTGAATGCTTCGGATCCGGACGAGATCATCCCAGTCACAGAATACCGGCGAGAAATAGCAGATTTCATTAGCACGATTGTAGAGAATGGATTCGGCTACGTCAGAGCTCGTTCAGACGGCGTTTTAATGGGAGGATAATTTGAATAATTTCTTCAAGATTAAGGTCTATCTCCGGAGGTGATATCATCGTACACATTTCTCAACGCTCTCGCTGCTGCTCGGGACAGGGTTCATGAACACTTTTTGTGATTCATTTGATACGCCCCGGATGATGGCAGTGATATCTGATTTGCATTCTACATTTAACCAGGACCAGGACGCAATGATTGATACCTCTATAAGTATATTCGTCACAATAGAATTATTATCGATCAGAACTATTCTGCTGGATAGATTATAGAGGTTTTGTTCGGATGGAATTGAGAATGAATTAGAGTAGATTATAAGTATTATACCATGAAATACATGATAAAGATTATCATGGAGTATCTGCCACATTATACACCAGTTTCTCCCCACTAACCATCTCATCCTTCATCAGCTTCAATCCCTCCAACACACCCTGCAGCCCTTCCTTTCCAATCCTCTGCGGATGAGGCCTTACCTTCCCTTCGTCCAACAGGCCGTACGCAAGCTTCCAGAAATTCGCAGCAAAGGACACGTCTTCCGGCTTCGCAGGGACCTCGATAGGACCGTACGTAAAGTACTCACCGAGGGTGGTATACGCAACGATGCATCGGTCCCGGACATTCTCCCTCTCAATACCACTCAATAACAGGGAAACGTACTCCCCACCGTGAGTCGACAGCGCGGCGTCACAGAACCGGGCTGTGTCCTTGAGACTGATCGTGTCGAAGACGTGTCGGAGGTTATCCTTCGTCAATTCCCGGATGGTATTTGCGACGTTGGGGTCATGATAGTCGAAAACAACGTCCGCTCCCAGCCGCGTGACGAAGTCAAAATTCCGCGGTGAACAGGTCGTCAGCACCGTGTAGCCTGATAACTTAGCGAATTGGATAGCCAGGGATCCTGTGGCTGTTGAACCACCATATATAAGGATAGGTTCAGGCTCGGTTGACGAAATCGGACGAGAAGGTAGAGCCAGTCCCAGACTCTGATACATGAGAGCAACAGTGGCGATACCAACCCCCAGTGTGGCTGCTTCTGAGTAGCTCAAAGAGTCCGGGATAGGACTCGCCGCGGCGCCTTTAACCACGATATGTTCTGCGAAGCCGCCGTCTTCCAGTTGCAGGTTGTTACAGCCGTGGGCGAAGCCGCAGATGCGATCACCTTTGCAGAAGGAGTTGGACACTGCGGGACCGACTTCCTCTACGATGCCGGCGTAGTCGCATCCCACGATGCCTCCGATGGCGCCCCGCTGGTCGATGCCTTTCCAGTCTGTCGGGTTTAATGCGACGCTGATGGTTTTGACACGAATATAGTCATCGCGTAGGGCGGGGAGAGGACGGTCTGATACGAGGGAGGCTTTGCCGGGGGCTGTAACCACAATAGCTTTTTGAGGCATTTTATTTGATGCAGCAGTATAACAATAACAAACAGTAAATAATATGTAATATATACTAGAATAAAAGATGGATTAGATATGATGACAAATCCGGACATTTTTAACTCTGAACTGATTAGAAATCAGTAAGGCTGATTCCAGATTGACCTCCCACTCAATCAACATACACACATTCCGATCAACATGAAATCTCAGGATCGCGTCCCCCGAGCCTGCGAACACTGTCGGGCGCGCAAGATCAAATGCAACGGCGAGCAGCCCTGCAACGCTTGCCTGAAAGATCCATCACGATGCACCTACCGAACAGGATCCGTCCGCAAAAGAAAGCGTCGTCAGACGAAGGATCAGCTTGCACGAGCTCCAGCGACTCTCTTGCCCGCTGCCACCCCCGTATCAATAGACTGGTCGCCCAGCACTCTACTAGATGACCCGGTGCATTACAAACGACAGCACGAGCTGCGCGCCGGCATTGGAGTCTCAAACCCCAAGACAGGGAATTTCCAGTTCCACGGGCCCTCGTCGGGATTCACCTTTCTCCAACGCGTGTACCAGCGCATCCATCGGTCGTCCTCATCGTCACGAGAGTCAGAATCGCTCCTGGCGCGTCGGAGCTGTTCCGTCCCTGATGGACTGCAGAAATGGGGCATGGAGCGGTTCATGTTTTCTGCGGAGACGGACGGCGATCTGCGTCGTATGCAGTGGCAGACTGAGGCGTTTTTGCCGCGAGCGCTGGGGGATAGATTCATCGAGGCGTATTTCAAAATTATTCATCCGCAGATGTCGGTGCTGGTGTACTCGGAGATCCGGGATGCCTGGACGCAGATGTGGGAGGTCCCGCAGAGTGATCGCAAGTTGAAGAATCAGGAGATTCTGTTCATGGTGCTGGCGCTGGGGGCGCGTGTCGTCAATCTCAAGGATAAAGAACCGGAGAACGTTGAGGGCTGGGCGGAGCATTTCTCCAGTCGTGCTGCTGAAGGGCCGATTTTTCTCCAGGAGCCGAGTGTCAAGGGGATGCATTTGATGTTGTTAAAGGTGGGTAACTTATAATAAGATTCTCATGCAGATACTGATGAGTTCAGGCCATGTATTCCCTCCAACTGATGCGTCAAAACGACGCATATCTCTACTTGGGTCATGCCACGCGCATCGCCATGGTGCTCGGTCTGCATCGATCCCAAGTCACTGATGGACGAGAACTGCACATGCATCGTCTGCGACACACGTTCTGGACGGTTTTCATCTTCGAGCGCATCTCCTCCGTGGGTATGGGACGACCCTCTGCGCTCTCCGATAATCAGATCGACACCGCATATCCGGACGACTTCCCCTCGAGCTTCGACAACGACGACATCTACCAGGCACCGTCGATGGAATGCGCCTGGGTACGAGCCATGGCAGAGATGGGCAAACTAGCAGACCGCATCTCGGTCGACATCTACTCCCCCGCCAGCATCAAGGGCATCACCGACCTGGCTGCGGTGAACCAGACCGTCCTGGAATGCGACGCAGCTCTACAGCGCGTCAGCCGCTCCCTCCCCTCCTATCTGCATTTCTTCGACGAGTCCGTCCCCATCGGGGAAGACTGGCAGGAAATCCAACGCATCAGTCTCGGCGTAATCTACTACGTGCTACGCATGCTGCTGTATCGACCGGCATTGGTCCTAACGACGTTTTTCTCTAGTCCAGCCGAGGCGCAACAGACCGCCGTCTGCGGCGTGGATATCCAAGCGAGCATTGATGCGTCAACGGCGGCCGCTCGAAACCTGGTGAATCTCGCGCATGACGTCTATTTCCGTCGGTTCCCGGATATTCGATACGACGGGGCGTTGGCGTCGTTTCTCGTCTCGGCGACCATGACGATGCTGTATGATGTGTTGAATTTGGGGACGGAGCCTGACCGGGCCAGACAGACTTTTGCTGTCGTGGAGAAGGGAATCCGGTGCTTGGACGAGATCGAACATGCTGGATATACCACCGGCAAGGCGCTGAGTATGGACTTGATGAAGGTGGCGAAGCAGGCTGTTCAGGCGGCGGATCCGGTTGTTGATACGAATCAGGTCTTGGTGGATTCGTTTCCGTGGCTTGAGTATGTCCTAACTCTCTTCTGTTGATTGTTACATGCTAATTGATATAGCAATTGGACCGATCAGCCGTATCTGTTCCAGGACTCAGGAATAGGCACCCTAGCGGCAGACGCGGCGATGTTGATGGGAGAGGTGAATTGTCTTTGGTTGAACAATGGGTTTGAAAGCATCCCGGGGTGTTTATATTAATTATATGCCTATGATATATGACGAGGCTACATCCTCTTTATCATGAACTCTATGTATACTATCACGCCTGTTTATCCCCAGTCAGCCCTCGACTCCAACCATTCTCCAACCCCAGCACCCTCCCAGTAACAATCCCCTTGACCGTCAGCACTGTGATCCAGATATTCATAACAACCAACAACAGCAACAGCGCAGTCGACCAGACATGAAATGCCTCCGAGTCCATGATCTTCCCGAGCTGCACCGCGCAATTGGCATACACTCCCTATCCACATGACTCTCAGCACACACTCAGGAAAGAAAGAAAGAGAAAGAGAAAGAGAACGTACCCATGGAAAAACCAACGACCAAGCTCCCATACTAAACCGAGTCGCTCTCCACCCGCCCGGCTGCACGGAGAGCGTATGTACGATACTCACAAGTGCGAAACACCACCAGAACGTACCGAACCCCCAGGAGAGCAATCCCGCCCATTGACTCACATACCCGATTGGGGTCGCCGCGGCAGCAGTGAGGAATGAACCGCGATTATAGCTAGCGAAGGTTCCGTCCTGAACGACGGATCCCAGAACCTGCAGGGCGAAACCGCCCTGTCCGAAGGGTCCGCAGATGATCATATCCTGGTAGACTTTATCGGGTGTATGATTCGAGTGAGTGAAGTGATGGAAGAGGACAATAGCAGCGAATGCGATAGCGAGAGCGAGCCCCGTGCCAACCTGGAGATACGAGACGATAATCACAGGGACTTTGAGTCGAGCACTGATGTTGGTTGAGTTGCAAATGACGCCGCCTGCCGCGCCGGCGGTCAAGGCCGCGATGAAAGGGAGGAGAACCGAGGGTGGGATGTGTTCGATCCCTGGGGGACGGAGCTTCAGTTGGATGTAGGGGATGCCGACGACGGCGATGAGGGCTAATGCGTTGGTGATCCACCAGAGGACGTAGACGGCCAGGCCAGCGGAGGTTCCGTACTGTAGACTGGCCATCTCGATGATCGCCGTGAAGGTGATGGAGATGCTGGAGAGACAGGAGGATTCGAGGACGTTGGTGCGGAGCTCATGGCTGACGTGATGTGGGTAGAGAGAGATGCGCAGAGTGCAGAGGATGAGGAAGATGCCTAGTAGTGCGATTGTGTAGATCCAGACGATTTTGGCGAGGATGGGAAGTGCGCCGAATTGATAGTGTAGTTGGTGCAGGATTAGGGAGATGACGCCGCTGCCTTGTGGGATTAGGAACCATTGCGGGCTGAAATGCCACAGGGCGCGAGAGAAGCGATGCACCGGACGGAGTTCGTTAATGTCGGACATGAGTGCGTCAATGGCGTTCTGTTTCTTCATCTCGATGAAGTTGTGTCGGTCTTCTAGGGTCGTGACGTCATATATCTGATAGCTATTAGGGTTTATCTTAATATACGTCTAGAGCAACAGACAACACTGACCGGGTAGCATAAATAGTATATACTTTAGGATTTATATGCCCCAAAATACATCCTCCCCTGCCACCGTCTCAAACTCCTCCCAAACACCTGCAATAGCAACATCAACCCCAACGACGCAAAGGTAATCGCCGCCTGAATCCCCAATGCCCTCGCCGGACCGATCCCCTCCACCCACTCGATTTGGATATACGTGGCCATGAACCCGCCCCAATTACGACTGGCCGTGACCCAGGCAGCCACCTCACCGGATCCCTCGGGGTAGCAGTCCAGCAGGTAGGCGTTGACCGCGGTGGTGATGATCATCAGACTGAGGACCTGCAGGGCCGCGAACGCTGCAATCACCATGTAATGCCAGTGACGCTCGAAGGCGAACCCCAGCACGATCAGACTGACGCAACAAAGGACCGTCGCTGGGTACACGATGATCAGTCGGGCTTCGGCATGTAGGCGTCCTTGGTGTCGTGCTGTGTAGAATCCGCCGACGGCGTCGTGCAGATAGTGTCCGATTATCCAGCCGAGGATGGTGCCGACGATGCCGAAGAAGTAGAAGTATCCTGCGGGTTAGTAAGAATATATATATATTAATGTATATGTATCAAGGAAAGGACGAACCGATGCCACGTGTAGAGAACATATAGTCATTGGTCAACCATAGTCCAATGGTAGTGTTCACGCCAATTACCCAAGAAAAGTTCAGGAAATAGTAGATCAGCACGAGCAACACCGGAATCTTGGTAACAGCCACAACAGGTCTCATAACGCACTGCAGGAAGCTCCGCTGATGCCACAGCTGCGCTTGCTGGACGCCCGTGAGACGCGAGACATACGATCCCCGAGACACCAGAGCTGCATTCTTCCGATCGCAGAGCGTCTCATCCAGCAGAAACACAAGCAGAAAAGCAACGGCCGACAGGATGGTGCAGAGCCAGAACGCCCAACGCCAGGAGACATCCGCCACGACGAAGCAGGTGATCAGGGGCCCGGCGTACGGACTCAAGATGATAAAGAACTCGATCCAGTTGATCACCTTGAGATGTTCATGGAAGAAGAACAGATCCTTGACCCAGAGGAGAGCGGCGCCCTGACCCACGCTGCAGAAGAGACCGTTGATGATACGCGCGGCGAGATACGACTTGAACGAAGTGGCGGCCGCTGACCAGGCACAGGTCCCGACCATGACGGCCTGGAAGACTAGCAGGACCGGCATTCGTCCAAAGTATCCCACCAGCATGACCACGAGGATGCCGCACGCGCCGATACTGAAGAGGTTGCCGACGACGGCGCGTTGGACGGTCTCCTGGGCGAGGTTCCACTGGCTGATTTTATTAGCGATTGTGATTTAGCAGTGAGTGACCAACACAGATTAATTACATAGATTGGGGAATCACAGTGATGATTGCCGTTCCCCCCGTGTAGTCGGCCAGAAAGGCGATATAGGCGATGATGGCCACAATGCGCCATTTCTTGCGCGGGCTCCAGTTCAATGGATCGTCCGGTGTATCCAGGGGCTGCGGAATGAGCACATAGTGACCATCTGCAGTGGTCTTCAGCCTAGCTGCGTGGTCAGGATATCGACTGGGATCAGTGACATATCCTTCGAGAGCTTCTTCCTCCTCATCAATCTCAGTAGCCACTTGCACGGGGTGTTTATCCATGAAGAGGAGATGACTCTGAGGGCAAAAAATTTTTTGAAACAAAGGAAAGAAAAGAAACACAGGAAAATAAGGAAATGAGAAATAAAGAACCCTGTTATAGGATCAACTGCCCACATCGAATGTAACGGTCTTCCTGCATTAGTTAAGCTCGGAAATAATCGTGCCTCTCCATTATGCCAGGACAACTCATCAAATAAATCCCTAAAGACCCTCACAGGGACGATCAATTCCTAATTATTAATCCCGGTAAGCTTCCAGCCCTGGTGGGTGTTACATCCTGTTTCCTAGTGGCATGAACGCTCATGCAGCATCCGGAAAATCCCGCATCGTCATGAGCCATCTCGTAGGCATGCTGGAGGATATCCAAAGTATTCATATCAACACTAAGATTACTCTTGTATATATACATTATTATACATAGGATTGGGATTGGAAGTGTAGTTGAGTGCTATAACCGGTGGAACTTGTATGGGAACGACCAACATTCGTCTTCCGAGGTGGATTATTATATCCCTGTCCATAACCATGTACCCAGTCAAGTGTATTTCCACAAGACCAGGTATAGTCAATTGGAGATGGTACGGCGGCCAGAAAAAAATATGGAGGGACATAATTTAGATCGTGTAAACTTCACTCACCCATCTATCCATCTATGGGCACATACGGACGAGGTCCGCTCCTACTCGGAGTGACCTGGGCAGAAACGGCCCTGACATTGGTTCTGTTCGCACTGCGAGCCAGAACCGCCTCCTTCTGTCCCCCGGAAAGCCTTCCAGGCATCTGCGGCCTACGATGGGATTTTGTTTGGGTGGTACTTGCCTTGGTACGTTATATCTATCTATCTATTCACAGATATACCCAATTATTAACAAGAACTTTAGACCCTCGCCCTAGCAGCACAATGTACAATGACCGTCAGCGTCCGATACGGACTGGGAATGCATCAGGACCAACTCTCTAGCTACGAGCTGATCCAGACCAATTTCTGGAGCTGGATCAGTCAGGTACTTGCGATTCTGGACTTTGCCGTGGCCCGATGCGCTGTCATCGCCTTCCTGCTGGCTCTACAGGCTCGCACCCCTCGCCATCGTCGCGGCAAATGGGTCCTCCTGCTCGTGGGCGCCGTCCAGCTGGGCATAAATGTAGCCGAGATAGGCATCATTTTCCACCAGTGTGATCCGCCCCAGAAGTTGTGGGATACGGCGGTGCCAGGGAAATGTGACTGGATTGAGATTTGTTTGCATATTGGGTATTTTCAGGGGGGTATGTCAATCTCGACATTTTATTTAGCAGGCGCAAATATTTATGACTGACTGCTGTGAAGCGGTTGGTGCCGCGGCAGATATCTTCCTCGCTTTCTACCCCATATACATCATCGGGCGACTCCAGCAGATGAGACGATCATTAAAGGTTGGACTATGTTTACTGATGAGCGGAGGGACCATGTCAGTATCCCTGATAATTCAACCAAAAGATTTGAGCAGCCAAACTAATATGTTCAGAGCCGGCATCGCCGGTATCAATAAAACTGTGGCGATTGCCAACATCACCGAAACCGCCGACCAGACCTATGCCATCGCCCAGCTGAACATCTGGGTTCTGACCGAAATGTGGTTCATTTTGATCTTCGGCTCCATCCCCGTACTGCGGCCCTTCTTTGTGCGCTTCTCCCAGAGTATCAAGGGGTATTCCAGCTCGCGCAGTGGGCCGCGTCGCACATGGGCATCCAGTGAAGGTAGGATTGGCAGACGAACGGATAGTCAGGAGGAGTTTCTAGAATTGGATGTTCAGGGGGGTTCGAAGTAGAAGTTGATATTGCTGTTAAGTTAATTGGATAGCAGTACTTCCACCGCCGTAGAGACGGAATATGGATAGGATAATCTAATACTATAATATCCAGTAATATGACCCCATTATTAATGAGTTTGATTTTTGCGGCAATCTCCTAACTCTTTCCAGCATGCCGCAGTCAATGTAATCTCCCCTGCAGGCCAACAGGGATCATACTGCGCCACTGTATCCACCGTTACATTGGATAAATTTGGGCTGGTTAAATTGTTTAATAATCTCCTAATATCCTAAATATGCATTCCATCTTGTAAACCATTTACAGAGTAGGAATGACGATATTCGACGATATTGCCACCGTCCAACAACTGGCCCAGGCCGAGGCCATCGGGGACCGTCATGCTCACGGTCGACTGTTGAGTGCCATTCGCCAGCTGCAGTTAACAGCAGAAACTCCGGTTGAGACGACCTCTCGATTGAACTTTCAGGTTTGTATATACATTATATATTTATACATGCAGTGGGACATGGAAATGACCCCCGCAGATCATGCAGAATATCTGCGTCCGAGTCGCCATCGAGAGACGTTTTCTGCATGTTATCGTTGAAGAGGGACCCATCACAGCGACGGAGATGGCGCACCGCACAAACACCAATGAGCTGTTGATTGGTACGACCGATTTTGCCTATATTGGTTGATAATGCTCATACTGGTAGTCCGTGTCATGCGTGTCTTGACAGCCATTGGCTTTGCCGATGAAACGGGGCATCAGACATACACTCCTAACGAAGTTACTCGGTTTGAGATTCTTCCGGGTTCAATTGCTGCAGTGAAACACCAGTGAGTTCTGTCCCTTCTTCATGCCTTTTATCCAATTACTTACAAAGGAATAGTTTCGAGCCGGATTTCGGCATGGTATTCAAAATCATCCGCCTCCCCAAAATATGAAGCTAACGGACAGAACAGGGCGCAAAGTTAATCGACTATTTTCGCGGTCCCGGAGTCTCCCAATTCGCTGACGAACCGGACCAAATCACCCTCTTCCGATACGCACATGGCTTCGACAAGATCTTTGGCATGCTAGAAGTAAACCCAGAGCAGAAGGACGCTTTTGACGGGTACATGGCTGCTCGACGACTGGTCCATCAACCGCAGTGGTTTGAGATCTACCCAGCTGCAGAAAAGCTACGCAGTGCGCCTCCGGAAGAGCTGGACAATGCTGCATCCCCGGATGTTGCTCTTCTTGTTGATGTAGGAGGTGGACCGGGTCAGGAGATGGAGAGATTCAGACAGCGATATCCCGAGATTCACGGAAGAATTGTCTTGCAGGATCTGCCATTGACGCTGAATCGGATCGAGAAGGTCCCGGAGGGGATCGAACTAATGGAGCATGATTTTTTTACTCCGCAGCCCGTGAAAGGTATTCTCTTCCATCTACTGGGTTGGGTAGCTGCCATCCAGGATATGCTGACTGTGCTGACGGTTGACTGTCGACTACTGATATGCTGACGTGCTGAAATGACAGGAGCAAGGGCATACTTCTTCCGTCAAGTTATCCACAACTGGTCAGATGCGAAAAGCACGCAGATCCTGTCTCATATCGCTGATGCCATGGATGAATATTCAACGCTGCTAATTGACGATTACGTTCTTCCTGATACCGGTGCGGAACTACGTGCTGCAGAAATGGATATTCTAATGTGGCTGCACACAGCGGGTCTGGAAAGGACAGTGTCGCAGTGGAAGAACCTGTTTCATACTGCAGGGCTCGAGCTGGTGAAGATCTGGAATACAGATAAGGGGGAGGAGTCGGTGCTGGAAGTTAGAAAGAAGAAACCTAACATCCGTGCCTAATCCCATGTGCTTCGGGTGGATTGGAGTAAGCTTTAGGCAGTTAGACGGTTTAAAATGATATACCGGTTGATTCGCCTATGGACAGACCAGTCCACCGACAATCCATATCTCATATTGAAGCGATCTCGACACGATCACCATAATTCAGGAGAGGGAGACAGAAAAATGCTATCTCAGCTACAGGCAAGTATCCTGCTAAGGACTGTATTTAGTAGTATCTACATTACCTTGAATACTATCTTTTGAACGCACACTCAGAATAGGAAATCGGGGCAGGTCTGAGGGGAAATACCCCGAAGGATGCTGAGGCGCGAGGCGCTTGGGTCCATATAATTTTTTTTAGTCACATATCATACTAGGTAATGTTGAGTTGATACCTTGATGTCTGAAGAATCAGGAAGTTTTTAAGGGCACAGGCGCATGTCAAGTACCACGAGTCGTCATGTAACAGTAAGCAACCACTATACAATGAGGTAATAAGCAGTTGGTAAAATTCTAGAGAAGCACTTAAAGCCAATATAACGCGATGACTCACAGAGCGGGGTTGTAACACACTGCGAATATTTAATAGATAAACAATATTCGGGTCCATCCACGCACATCTGCGTCCCCCAGATATCACAGTAATCCGAGATGGTATCCATTCGCGCAGCCACGGCTGCCGATCTTCTTCAGATCCAAGCCATCAACACTCACTACATCCTCAATACATGCCTCACATTCGCACAAAACCATCCTCCTTCCACAGTCCACAAAGCCAGGCTCAGTGACCTCCACAATCGTGGACTACCATATCTTGTCGCCACGGAAGCCAACGACAATACGAAAGAGACCGTGCTTGGGTATACCTATCTGTCTCCCTTCCGAGGCCATATGCTCTCCTATGGCTCTACCGTGGAGCTTTCGCTCTTCGTCCATCCCGACTACCACTCGCGGTCGATTGGATCGTTACTCCTTTCGACTGTTCTAGAGTGTATGCAGACCCCTGGGATATATCACCGCGCTTTTGAAGTGACAGGGGATGGCGAAGACCAGCGCGAAATATTTGCCAGAGATGAGGGGGGTGTTCGTGTCAACAACATCGTAGCTGTCATGGCAGTTGATCCAGAGGGTAAAGACGGGGGAGATGCACTGCGACGCTGGTATATCAAGCGTGGATTTGTTGAATGTGGACGTCTGAAGAATGTTGGGTTCAAGAGGGGGTACTGGTGCGTGCTCATTCTTCAATCTCATTTTGCTTAGCTGACGGCTGTTAGGCTTGATACGATTTATTTTCAGTATACGCTCTCCGAGTAGGGACTAGTACTACCTGGGCCTTCGTTTGACACAAAAGAGGGAAAGAAAGAAGGTGGGACATGACTTAGAGTAAATATGAAATCAACTACAAACATATGTCCTGCTTGACATGTCCACGGAAGGTCATTACCTGCATGCCTGGTGAGGGAGTCACTCAGTAACACCAACTAAGCTTGACGAACATACTTAGCAATCCCCATAAGTACGACACAGGGCACCGAGTATGACAACGTGGATGCGAGCAATGATTCAATAGTTCAGAGGTCCCTACTTCTAAATTTCGAGGCGCAATGCCCTCACCGTCGTCAGAAACTGGATCGTTTCTATGAACCCATGTTGTCTCCAATGAGGCGTCCAGTTGTTCACAGAGAGAATCCGAGGCAACGGTCAGCACGGTAGCATCATGGCCTAGGAGGTTGTAGCCACCGTTTCTATCATCCACGGTTTGTCGACATCGTGAAACGGCTTGCAGCACTTGCGACTTGGAATAAGAGTCCACCAATACTCTTCAGTAGTATTATATGATGCGCTGGATGCTGGAAAATGTTTAACAAAATCAGACAATATCTTAAGAACTTGTGCAAGAGCTCTCTAAAACTGTATGTATATTTTTGATGTCCTCGCACCTTTGTGGCTACCTTATACGTTTGAAATATAGAAGATAGGAATATTGGTATATTCGTAAGGACATACATTAGAAAACTGGGGTACGTGCGACTTTATAGCGTACAGGAGAATGCAGCTCACATGTAAGTCACCATTCACAAGCTACAAGTGATAATGGTTTGCTGGCTGGACAACCCGCTACGGCGATGTCCCTGACCGGGGCCAAGTGCAACCTTCCCAAAGCTTTGGTAGTCTTATAGGACCCATGTGCGCCTTAGATCCTAACATACTACTTAAGTAGGCAATTAATCTGCCTAATCGGGTTGTTCCAAGTCAAGCTGGCGCTACCAGTGGGCGATCAGGGATGGTGTGGGGATGCAGTACTCCGTCGTACACTATTAGGCTCAATCAGGCACACCGACTTAAGATAAGGTGGGATAATTACCACAAGAGTCATACCTTGGGCGACTACAGTCTCTGTGGCGAGGACTCTCCAGGATGGTTGACCAGCTTCAGCAAAGCCAAATCCGACGCAGCCGAGGTTGTGTCAGAATAGGCAGATATACCAGCACTATGCACAAGTTTCTGGAAAATCCTGGTGCCTAAGGAAGTATTGCAGACAGGCCACTAGTACAGTCTCTAGCCTGCATATTTATGATTTCCGAATCACTACGCAGGCCGGAGATTGTAGTAAAACAGCCAATTAAGGAGACTAGATATGCTTAGTGTAGGAAAAGCGCAGTTGGTGGCGGGGTATGTGCACGAGCTTTGGGAACGGCCTAGGTTAAGGGGAGGTACACCTCAAGACAAGGAGACAACACTTTAGATGGAAGATGAAGGTGAGTGAAGTGTGGGTTACTGAATGATTAAATTGCAAGAGAATAGCGAGGTTGTGTGCTCTGTGGAGGCCCACGGATCGTTACCTGGAGTGGTCTTTCTTCTATAGGGTTGGATGTATCTTTACTGATCCTGCAAGTATATACATAGTTTAATTGGCAATGTATCCAAGACCTCCATAGTTGTAGCTTATACGAGCAAAATATTAGTAATGTATACGGGCTGATTTATTCTAGGCTACAGTATTTATTGCCATCTTGCTCCTTGAACTATCGAGACAGCCTAGGAGCAAGATACTAGAAAGCATTCACACCTAATCCGAATAAAAGTTGAATTATTCCATACCATTCTCTTCTACTTCAAAGTATTTCCAGAATCAATATAGTGTACTGCATGTCTACATTAAATTATAATTAGTATGGGTACGTGCGGAGACACTTTATCTATTAATAACTTAGATGCTTCTTGAATATAGTTGCCTAGACATGGAGACTCTCGCTTGATCTGTTAGCTTGGAGATGGTAACTATCGACACATGCTGGATGGAATCCTAACTACTCTTAAGTATACTTAAAATTGGACTAAGCTTTTCCAGAAAGAATGTTCCTGGGACCTAGATACAGAAGATTGCAATATCAGCTTCACACCCAGGACATTCATTGCTTTACTTCAAAAATAATGCCAAGAGGACCTAGACTATATATGGATTAGTATTGGAAGAATATTGATCCGGAATGTATACGTTTAGTATGATTTAATAGCATTACCAAATTTATTTACAATACTGGTACTATATTTGTATTAGTTCTAGAATATTCGATTGGACGAGGCACGTGCCTGGTAAATCTAGTAATCTGTTAACATAGTAGTTCTCTCACATCCTTATTTATTACCCTCTCAGAAAATTGGCCTTTGGGGGAGGCTATTCCATTGTAAGCAGGACAGCTAGTACTAGCTAGAGAATCACAAAACTTATATCCCTGCTTATTACTCTACTTAGCCTGTTAGCTGCAGCTTCCCTATGCAAGATGGTTTATTGGAAGAACAACTAATATACAAGGCTACTAATTCTAGGTTTCTCGGCAGCAGTTATTACATTAAGGCAATAAGCTACAGCCCCCACTATAAAGATAATCCTTCGCAATCTTAACTTCCTGATCTATGGGATAGAACCCCGCTGTGAACCCCGCTGTATACCCTTACCCCAGGTAATTTTAATTAAACACCCACGCCGTCTGAGTATCCGAATCTGAGGACTGGGTAATCCCGAGAATTGCATAATAATTATGATAGACTGTAGTAGGAGACATTTATGAGCCAGTTCCGACGAATGAATGTGAATCTCAAAAAACCGCCGATAAATGGGAGCGGACGACCCACAAAAAGTGGAAATCTCAATACAGAAGCTATGTAACACTTCATCATTCATGGGGGATGACCTTAAGGTGGGGTGTTGAGGTCCAAGGAATGTATTAACATAACAATACAAGAAATATTTAACAGGCTACAGTTCTAGGTGCTGTTGGAAATAATACGATAATACAACCTTTTCCATCCATTGACATGGGTGGTCTGGAAAAACTCCTAACATGGACTAATGTGTCTTGGCAATTAGGGATCAACAAATAATCAAAGAGTATAGGTGGTGACACCAGTTTCCATCCTACTGTACTGTACTTCCACTCATCGTCTTCTAATAAACAGACATTTCTCCGAGCCTGAACCATACATAATCATCTAGACGTGAGGATCCTTCCGGCAACACTTCGCCACCTTCCATGTCCTCTATATCCTTAAGGAACCTATTAATATAATCACCGGCGGCGCTGAGATAAAGAATGCGTCCAATAGCACTATGAATGCCGAGAAGTTGAGGTGAAGGTGGTTCTACACTTAGGTCAGGTGTAAGATAAAGTGTAACAGTGACAGGAAGTCTTTTAACTCGACCCATGCGATCTGGCTCCACGTAATTAATTTTGTAGGTATGAGGTTGAGAGCCAACTGGCTCAAATACAATTTCAAAGTTGCCGAATAACCTATAAAGGTCATGGGTTAAGGTCAGCGCATTTATCGGTCGATCGATTTCAACGCCATTTATTAGGTGGATAGCGCTGGGGTTGAACATTTTTAGGATTCTATGAGCTATTTGCTTTGAATCTGCCTAATTATTGTCAGTTAGTAATGAAATATTGGCCGTATCATGCCTACTTACAAGTCTCCATTCACCTTCCTCACTGGTAAGTGACATCAAAGAGTGAGGCATTATATGTGCTACTTCCAAATATGCCATATTCTCGCTTTCTGGAAGTAATGACTTCCCATCGTCGTCTTTCACATTGCGTCCATCTTTCTTGTATCGATTCTGGGCTTCCTGGGCATCGAATTTCCGAGTAACGACACATCGGTGGCGATCACGACGAAGGCAATCTCGTCGCAAATTTGAGACGCGTTGCGGGGTGCCAATGGCAGTTTCGGGTGTCTTTGAGTGCGAAAGAGCCGGTGTAGGTTGGGGGGTTTTTACTGCAAACGCCTTTACTAAAGAGAGTAACTATCTTACATTCCACGTAGAGCCTAGAAACTTACATGGTAAGAAGAAATTGTCTACCAAGTACTTCGCGAATGCAACTAGACTTCCATCTAATGCATCTTTCCCTTCTGCCGACCAGCTACAAAAACCAGCAAGGTGCGATAAGATGTGTTCAAGGCCGATTCCTCGGCTTTCGTCAAGCAGGTCTTGCTGGATAAAGGCAAAAAAAAGGCTTAAAAACTCGTCTTTTTCGGAAACCTCATTCTTCATAAGACTAATAAGAGTGACTGGTTTATAGCCACCTTTGGTTTCCTGAGAAGATTCGAAGTGCAAGATGATCTCATCAAAAATCTGGATTGCGAGGTCACGCTCTTTGAGTTTCAAGGGTTGTGATAAAGGAATGATGACCCCTTCCAGGGATGAGCGATGTCGGCGAAGTTGAAGCGGATTCGCCATATTATTAATCGCAGATGTCGTGGCCTTCAAGCATTAATATCGCTACATTATAATTGATTCTTAAACTAAATTAGGAGACGGATGTTGAAGAAAGGTTGGTGTGATGTTCCGGATTCGGATTAACATATTTACCGTTATAACCAATCTAGTTGTGTAAAAGCCTTTTCCACTTCTCCACTTCTCCTCCGTCTCATATTAAGTAATATACCCGCCCCCAAGTCATTCTTAAATTGTCAAGCCTGCATGCCGGAAATGACCTTTAGCGCTTTGCTCTCGCACACCAACAGTATCAACGCACCATTCGAGGAAATTAACAAAGGCTTGGCCAGGGTCCGGGCTTACAGCTCGGCGTGGTTCGAAAAATACGCTAAAATTCTGCCACCGCTCCCGAACCACAATGAGGTTTTTCCAGTGCAATATTTTCAACATTTAGTAATACAGTGGCCACTATAAACTAATACCATGTATACTGCAAGATCATCTTGCCCGTCGCTCTGGGGGGTACCCCCGCTCGTTCCACTCGCTTCTCAATCCCCTTCGGGGACATCGAGGGGACCCCACCCCCCTGCGCTCGAGGGCGCTTGAATACATAAACACTAGGGCTGGTATGGCGACTACCAGGAAGTGGTAGGGGTAGTGGTGGTAGGAGTGGTAGATGTAAATATGCAGATGACTTTTAGACAGGTGGGTGGAGTTGGACCACGATGACTATTTTTCCGGTTCCGATGTCGAACCACGCTCAGCTGGAACCCGGTTTGTTTACCGCTTATTTTCCTCTTCCTTTCTTCCCTTCTTCAACGATTTCTTCTTGTACATAACCTATCTTGTAGGTTCTATGGGTTCAGCCCTTGACAAAGATGCGTTGTCTATAACAAGGACAGACTTTGGCTCTGGGGGAGCTCTGGCACTGTCGAAAAGCTTAAGGTTTAAGCGGATAGAATAAACTGATCTTCGGCTACATTCTGCAGCACTAGCAATTTAAGAGATGTTAGTTTATTGCTTCTTAACATATTACTAATAAATTGTATTTTAGACAGTGCAAGTCGTGGTGCCATTGTATGCTTTACTAGAGTGTCCTCGATATTTAATTATGTTTTGGAGATAAGAGTAGCGAGAATAGGTTAGATATTACACTATACATGGGAATTACATACGTATTAATTCATGGACAGTTTGATACCGTACAAACATTGTATCACTACCAACAATTATTCCGAGTCTAGCCATATATAGACTAGGGTTTTCTTGGCAGTATTTAAAACAAAGCAAAGAGTGTCCTGAGTGTGAAGGTGATTTTGCAATCTTCTGTATAACCAATATGTAAGGTTTGATATGTGGCATCTCCTGATTTCCGGCTTCCTTGGGCTGTTCGCGGCAAAATTTCCACCACAAAGTCGGTGCCTAACACCGTGCCACCCAGAGTTGTGTTTATCTGGTATGAAATTGAGATCTACATTACATGGCTCAATCGAATTATACGAGTATATACGAGTAGGTAATTTCCCAATATATCCGACGTCGGAGAGCGTGAGGCACTGAGGAACGGAATGTCTCACAATGGAATATTACTAGATACTTAGGGAGAGCACTGAGTCCTATCTCTTCCTAAGTCAAGTCCCTCGCCAATTGTCAACATATTCGCAGAGTTCATTACGCCGGTCCTCCTGATCCAATATACGTTGTGGTGTTTCTAGCCTTCAAGCTGCGAGGAGTCCCTGAAGCTTTAAATTTCAATTCTACAGACAGGACGAAAATGAACAGAGCTTTTCTTTTCTCGATGGCGCTCGCACTCGGCAGAGTGCTTGCTAATCGACCGTCGCAAGACAACGAGACGATCTTAGTCCTGGATCCCAAGCTCATCAACGCGCAGGTTCCCAACCCGGAGGATAGCCAGAAGTATTGGGCAGCAGTGGGCAAGCCCAGTCCCTATCTGAGCGAATATTACGGGCTGCACGTCCTCCATCCGGTGACCAAGGAAGATGTTGTTCGCGATTTCGCCACGCAGTCCCCGTCAGACAGTGGAGGAAACAGTCTGAGCCTGGACCTCGAGGGAGGTGGGAATGTGACTTTTCATTTTGTTAAACATCTTGCAAAGACAGATGGCACCATTGTTGACTCCGGCCACGACTACGCGTGGTTCCACGCCGCCGATGTCGACCACCTGCTATCATTACTTGATTCGTTCCATCTGATGCTGGAGCAGCGCGGGCTCGCAAGCAAATACCTGATATCGAATCCTCACCTGGACCTGGAAACGCGCGACATGGCATGTCTCACGGCATCAAACAGTCGCGTAGCCTTGACGGAAGACCCCGATCGATCCAAGTTCCATTCAGCGGGCCCTGATGCGCTGTTGGCGGTGCCTGATCCAGTCCATGGAGATCCCCAGCGCTACGCGGATATCCTGGACATCGTCCAGAATGAAACATTCGACTGGTTCGGGATCGAGATGTACGGACAAGACGTTCAATCCACCATCGATGCATTTCTCTCCGAGCCCGAAGGTTCGCCCTCTTTTATTGCGGCGAAGCAAAAGCTGCTCGACGTCTCGTGGACATATTTCCATGCCCTGGAGAAAACTCCCGAGGATAATTACTATTTACGTCTAATAGACATCTGCCGGAGGCGCCAGATTCGCGTCTATGGCATGGATATCGACATGGTGTACGATTTATTTGGCCATGGTGAGACGCCCTTCGGTAATATGGTTCGCAATTCGTTCTGGGTTCAGGCTCTTCCTTTATCAGGGAGGGGCATTCTGTTTGGTGGCTCAGAGCACTTCAAGGGTGCTCATCGTGTTCAGGGTCTCCCCTCTCTCTTCGTTCCAGATTTTCTTCCGTCCATTTACCGTGGTGAGAAGCTGCTGGTTTTCCCGAGCCAGTGAGCCACGAGTCTTCTTGGTGAGACTAAGATATCTAAGACATTACTACCAAATCTGACGCTGAGCTGGAATGGTGTCTGGGCAAACTTTTACCTCAGTGGCCATATTGCTCTATTTTTGTGTGAGAACGTTAGACCTTTAAAATATGTAGATTAATGCTTCAAGATATCATATTACTGGGGGGGCTATGCATAAAATGTGGTACATTATATGCACATCGATACCTTCGTTTGATTCATTGAATTCATTGTGATACTGATATTTAATGTCAAGAGTTTTCATCTGCCTACACAGATAAAATTTAAGTTGAATATACAAGACGTAGATGCAAATCAAGTACAAGCACGTATAATATTTCTTGCTGAGCATGTCTGGGTAAGCTCCGTATGTGTAGGCGAGCGGTGCAATGGATCAAAATACAAGTAAACGCACTGAGACGTATCCTCCGGTTATCCCCACAGCGTGCTGTTGCAGTCCTTGCGGAATGACTCAGAAATAGCTTCCTGCTGCTGCACAGGAATGCCATTTGATCGAGAGTGTAACCTCTAAATACAATCATTACTCATTAGTTTCCAGTGTATTATAAGTCCCATTTTAAAACCCAAACACTAGTATCCACTTGTTTTCTTCATTTCTATCTTCCTCGCCATTTCCACTATTCTCATGACCATTCTGCTCGGTATCCCCATTGTCTGTGTGTTTGCCTTCTTCAAGATCACACTTTGAAGGTTAAGACTATAATCCGGTTTATTTGGGGGGACAGCAGCTATTAAGACCCATATATCGAGAGCAAATCTGCTCCCTGTCTTAGAGGGAGTTCATCGTAAGGAACGACGCAGTCTGCTGGAATAGGTGGATAAAGAAGTATTGTAGTGTTTTCTCGGTATCATTTAACAAATACGTAGAAATTTTTGAAGGCGTCTCCGTTCGTATCTTTGACCGACGTGCCTTCAATCATGTCAGGCCAGAAGTAGCTCATATCATCTGTTTTCCAGGCTTGGACTTTAGCTTTTCAACTATGAGACTCGATCTCTATCCTTGCTTTGACTTTCTTCTTTCCGCCCCCATGCTCGCCGCCAGGTGGTTCGCAACCTGTCCCTCTAAGTTCTCACTAAGGTGATGACCCTAAAAACCTAACTGCTCTAGGCGAGCCATAATTTGGTATCATCATGGAAAGCCGGGAGGGTTACCAACAGTTTCTAGCAAATAGGCGCCAGAAATCTCAGTTGTTAATTAGTGGATTTCCTTACCTTCTGCTTCCAGACTCAGTATTCTTGTTCAGATACTCAATCGACAGGCTGGATGTCATGGGCTAAACCCAGTATGGTGCTCAGACTAAGGCCCTCACTACTATATAGGGTGCTAGATGCGACTGATGGAAGACCAGTCATCTTGTACGTTCTATATGGTCAAGTGGTTTTATCTCTACCAGCGCAAAGACAACCAAACCATGACACTGGAACAGTTAATTCTAGAAATGAACTTCTGTCTGGAAATTTGGCACAGTGGAGTAATTTGTAGAAATATTGAATCGAATACCATAGCTAGTAGTAGGAAGGTGATTTTCTGATGATTTGAATCGACGAAGATGATGATGATGATGATGATGGCTGTTTATATCACTTCATACAGAAGGATTGGGGGTAGCTTTTATACCTGAGCTCACGTGGGCAGATTACTACTGCAGAATTCAACATAATTTGAGTGTTGAAAGTAGTTTGATGCCTGGCAAAGCTAGTTCTGATTGCAGATGCTAATACTGCTCTTTACAACCGGTGTTAGTTAATATAATTCCAGGCTGGGTCAATAATAAGTCCAGATCTGTATTGCGGGGGAAAATAGTATTTGGGATTATATGAGGATAGACACGTAGCAGCTCTGTTCTTGGTTTAAAATACTGTATATAGTGTTGAGATCAAAGTAGGCTTATTCTTTCTTATGCAGTTTTGGCTCAAAGTACCAACTAGCAGTAGCGTATGAACTTATTAAGTTAATCAGGAACCAGGTCTATCAAAATATATGTGTGAAGATACGAGTAAAGACTCTGGTAAGGTAGACTTAGGATTTACTATTGGCGTGCTGTGGTTGTGTCACTGAATGATCACGTCTTTAATGATCAACAGTACGGTTGCTCTGCAGGTATAATAATAGCTAAAGCTATATAGACTTACTCTTAGATTCTCCGGTGCGCTTCTCATATGAGATTTGAGCAGCTCGAGATATGTTGAATAATCTCCTCGAAGTCGTGTAATCCAAAGACAATTACTGGCAGTTTGAGAGGGCACCAGAGTTACATGTAGATTGGACTGGCTGCATTAATTCTTACTAATAATAGTCTATCTTAAAAAGAGGACATAACACAAAATGCTAAAAGGAATGCATTCAATATTAACCTCCATGTGAAATGAAAGTAGATGGGCTCCACAAGAAACTATATCTCTAAATCTCCTGGCTAATGTCTGTCCAACTCCAGACAAGGAACATGGCTGCTTTGCCATCCATATCTAGCCCCTTGCTTCCTGAATGCCATCGCCTTTCATGGCCTGACTCTTGTCGACAGAGCTAGCCAGATTGGTGGTGCCATGAGTGACAGAGTCCTCATTATAGCCATTCTTCCCCGTGTTTAAGGTGCCACTGTTGTCATTGCTGGCACCACCACCGACGATACCAGTAACGGGGTCAGTTACATCACCCAGGACGTCAGTGAGAGGACCAAGACCACGCTTGCCTATGGATTTCTGGCATCCATTGCCTTTCATAGTCTGACTCTTGTCGTCACTGCTCAACACATTAACATCACCATGGGTGATACTGTCCTCGTTGTAGCCATGATCTCCTGTGTTTGCGGTGCCGCTGTTCTCGTTGTTGGCACCACCACCGACGATACCAGTAACGGGGTCAGTTACATCACCCAGGACGTCAGTGAGAGGACCAAGACCACGCTTGCCTATGGATGTCTGACATCCATTGCCTTTCATAGTCTGACTCTTGTCATCACTGCTCAACACATTAACATCACCATGGGTGATACTGTCCTCGTTGTAGCCATGATCTCCTGTGTTTGCGGTGCCGCTGTTGTCGTTGTTGGCACCACCACCGACGATACCAGTAACGGGGCCAGTTACATCACCCAGGACGTCAGTGAGAGAACCAAGACCACGCTTGCCTATGGATGTCTGACATCCATTGCCTTTCATAGTCTGACTCTTGTCATCACTGCTCAACACATTAACATCACCATGGGTGACACTATCCTCGTTGTAGCCATGATCTCCTGTGTTTGCGGTGCCGCTGTTCTCGTTGCTGACTTCCCAGGGTTTCCCTCTCCGTTGGAGAGCTGGATAGATGTTAGTGGCTTTGGGCTGGGGTTTTGGGTAACGAGAAAAACGTACAGGGATCAACAGGGACGGCGGCAACCAGTCCAGCTAGGGTAAGGGTGACAATAGCAGAAACTTTCATTTTGGCGATTTGGGAAAGAATGGAACTTGACGTGGTAGCAGTTTGACCGAGATAGATGCAGAGAATGTTCAACTGTGAATGATGAATAAAGGAGAAGCAGGAGTTGGGTATCCAAGGCTCTACTTATATCTTTATTCTTGTTGGCGATCCTTGAAAAATGCCTTGGCTACTTGTTATGGGGAAATAATTACGGAGTTGATGAACGATTTCCCCTTCGGTATTGCTAGAGTGATCGTCAAGCCATATTGAGATATGTCATATACATAGAACGCGATACACATATGCAAGGGGTTCGAAAGATGGGATAGTTCGAGATATTGCATGTGAGATGATGCCCTACATGTCATTTTAGTGCCAAAATGGCAAGGAGCTTCAACGTGCATAATATATTAGTTAAGGCTACGGTAAAAAGCCCATATAAGTAAAGAAAGCAGAATAGCCCAAAATTTGGAGTGAAATTTTGATTTTTCTTTAAAAATAATTATATTAATATGTAGCCTTTATGGTACTATCTCTAGTCACATAACTGCATAACTATTATAATTAGATAATATAGCCTTACTATCTCCCATTATTAGCAACTATGTATGGGAAAAGTTGACAACTAAGCAACGGTCTTGTGTGGGGAAGTTAAGCAAATTTGTATGGGAAGCCAAATTGGACAGCGTTTTTAATTGCTTGAGGCGGAATTTTGTTTAAACCAGACTCTGCCAGTACTCACCGCTTCTGCTGACCGCATATCTGCTTGCTCTCCGTGTGATTCTCTCTGCACTAGTAGAGATAAAAAACCCGACAGGGTACAAAACGACTGATATTTCGATCAGTCGCATCTAGCGCCCTATAGTAGGTAGCGAGGGCATCCTTCCTAGCCCGAGTAATACTCTGGGTTTAACCCGTGACACACCGCAGTTTGATCCCTATTCAGAATCTCGAGCTACGTCTTGTATTCCTTCTTTGTCTACCCATTTGTGATCTATTCAGTCCGATCGCTTCTCTGCCGGCTTGTACCTGATATTAGTACCCACTAGTCTGCCTGCCTCCCCTGACAAATAGGGGGTTTACTGTAATACTTCTCCGTGGTATACAGCTCGCATATTGGTATACAGACCAATCATGGCGTTTTCCCGAAGTCCATCAAACCTAAAATATGCTGTATTACTCCCAGACCTCCGATCCGCATATTACGATTCCCTAGTTTTATACAACCCACTATCTAGTGTCTAGTCGTTGTCGATCTATAAATGGCAGTGCTTTACTCTGTAGCATAGCCGCTGTTCATATGGTTGGAAGGCAACCAATTCCAGTATCCCAATTATGATATCTTCGAAAACCCAATAGGATAGGTATGTTCATTGAAAGTATCTCAAACTGGAGGAGTTCATGCAGCCAACCTGCACTTAATAATATTGAGGATAAAACACTGTTGACTCGATGCAGAAACTATTGATTTGTTCAGCAAAATATTTTGGTCTGACGTGGAGCGTACTGATGTTTTTTAATACTTCATTATTGTTTTCTGTACCTAGCATTTTGTGCGATAGGTAGGAAACGTTCTTATAGAAGCCTCTTGCAATTATAGTAGGATACAAGGATGAATAGCGTCGGGGAGACCAAGAGAGGGTGGTATCCGATGAGGAAGTCACATGGTGCGGCATTAAAGGAAGCAAGACGCGTAGAAAAAGCCCCTCTACTCCGTGCAAGCGATTCTTTCATTTACTGCTACCTAATGTCTATCTACTGCCCCTATGTCATCGCTATCTACTTACAGAACCTGCCATTATGGCAGTTGTCAATGAGCAAATCAGTCAAAAAACCGAAAACTAGCCTAACTTTTCTCCACCATATGCATCGATAATGAATAGTATATCCGGTGAGTAATTCCCGTATTTCTGTGCGCTTTACCCTCGTCGATCTGTTTCCCTGACCATTACATTTGGACCAGGGAAAGCTATCGTTAAGGAAGCGTGGGTATCACACCCTCGGATTTCTCCCCACGTCCTCCGACATGCTGCTTCGCATGTAGACGACGGAAGAAGACACGCTTGGCCAGTTTCCAGGCCTCAACGCCCGCAAAGAAGAGTATGGCCTCGACAAATACAATTCCCCACTCCCAGGTGATCGACGTGTGTTTGAACACAACGTGGTTAATTACGGGGATGTACAGAATAGGGAAGATGGTGATCCAACCGAACATGATCGACCAGAATAGGAATTTGTTGCGCCACACGTCATACATCCACTGTGTGAAATACTTCTTGGACTTGGGTTGCATGCGGAAGAAGGATCGTCGCAGATTTACCATCTCCCAGGCCAGGAAGAGTGCAAACCATGTCAGACAGACAAATGTTGTCGCCCGAGCCCGGAATACTAGCTCACAATCATCGCTGTAGTCCCGATTGCAGCCACGGGCAAGATTGCCGTCGCCAAATCCCCACACACGCACCGAGAATGCGGACAGACACAATGCCGCCGTCCAGAGGCCGTAAACCAAGGTATCGATGATCACCTCCCAGGTGAAGATGCCCTGCTTGGTTTGTGGAGGTCGATCCATGATGTCGGGGGCAGCCACTTCCATTCCAAGCCCCATATCGGGCAAGCCTGACGTGATCATGATGATCCAGAGGATCTCAACCGGGGCCAAGGGGAACACAGACTGGCCATCATGATCCTTGAATGCCAATCCGATCAGCAACGTACAGGCCTGGGCGATGTTCTCGGCCAGCAGGTGCAGAACGAATTTTTGGATATTGTCAAAGATACGACGACCTTCCTCCACGGCATTCAGGATAGATGCAAAATTATCGTCCGTGAGGATAATGTCTGAAGCATCCTTAGCAACGTCCGATCCAGCCTGTCCCATAGCGATGCCAACGTCCGCATGCTTGAGCGAAGGCGAATCATTTACTCCATCGCCAGTCATGGCTGCAAAGAGCCCACGCCGGTGCAACGCGTCAATCATGCGGACTTTGGTTTGGGGAGCACATCGTGCAATAACCAAGGGAAGTGTGGGAAGGGCGTCCACCTCGTCATCAGAAAGTTTGTCAAATTGGCTGGCAGTCATAACCATGGCGTCCGCAACATCAGCAGCCACCATGCTAAGGTCGGCAGGGACAATTCCAACCTGCTGCGCAATTGCCTTAGCTGTTCCAGGGTGGTCTCCAGTCACCATATGCACTGCAATACCCGCTCGGAAACATGCTTTGATGGAATCCGCAGTCTCCGGGCGTGGGGGATCGTACAGGCCAATGAGTCCGAGGAAGCAGAGATCCCTCTCAACCTCTTCCCGCTCAATTTCCGATCCTTCAAGCAACCGGGTTTTCTCCTCGTATGGCCGGTGCGCCAATGCCAACACACGGAGACCCATTTTGGCAAGCTCTTCCATGTTCTGGAAGATTTGGTTGCGATGGTCGTCCGTCATAGGGGTGGGCGAGTCCTGGTCCCAGATGACGGTGGTACAGGTGTCAACAATGCGCTCAACCGCGCCTTTGGTGAACACCATAGAGCGTTCTTCCTGGGGAGTGACTTTGGTGAAAACCACAGACATCTTCTTGATCGTGGAGTCAAAAGGAAATTCGGCCTTCTGATGCCACACAGCATCTTCACCCTTTGTCCAGCGGTCCCGATTCCAGTTGAACCTGGAGGCGAACACTTCGATGGCGATCTCGGTAGGCTCACCTCGGGCACTCCATTCACCGGTTTCAGCTTTATACACATGAGACAAATTGGCCATGGACGCTACGTCCAGGAAGTCTTCGAGCTGGCGGTTTCCAGAAACAAGCCCCTCTACACTCTCGGCCGGGGGCCCTTCTTTTTCTTTCTCAAACTTCACGGGAGACAGTGGGGTGAAGGTCACATCGCCAATTGTGGGATTGAAAGGGTCATTAGACGTTCCCACCGAGTACGTGCCCCGGGAGGGGATCCATGCCTTCTTCACAACCATTTTACCCTGGGTTAAAGTACCCGTCTTATCTGAACAGATATCCGTGACCGCGCCCAAAGCCTCAAGGGAATCAAGCTTTCGCACAATCACGTTTCGCTCGACCATACGTTTGGTTCCAACAGCCATTGTGATAGTGAGGACAACGACCAAGCAAGCCGGGATCATACTGAGACCAGTACCGACAGCGTACAAGATCACCTCGTTGCTGCTACTAAAACGATTGGCCGCCATGACAATAATGGCGAAGAGTACAGCAACTCCAAACAAAAGAATGGCCAGTTTAGAGAGCTTTCTCTGCAATGGAGTTCCCACGTTGATACCCAAGAAGCGACCGACGGCGTCAGTCCCCGTTAGGGTCCAAGCTTGGACATACCATCGCTTCTTAGTCTCACCATTAGGGCCTCGCTTGACAGGACGCCGTTTGGAGTTGGCACCACGGAGTGCGGCAGCAATCGAACCGATCTCGGTGGCCATGCCTGTTCCGATAACAACACCACGGGCACGGCCCCTGGTCACAGTACTAGAGCTGTACGCGATATTGAGGCGATCTCCTGGCCCAGTGTCCTCTTTGAAAGTGGTATCACATTCTTTGGTGACCGGGAGGGATTCACCGGTGAGCAGAGCTTCGTCGGTGTCAAAATTAACTGCCTCGACCAATCTGAAGCAGTTAGTCTCTTACTCTTTTCTTCTCTATCTTTCGTTTTTTTCTTTCTGCACCAAGATGGCTGGACTAAGGAACTTACCTGAGGTCAGCCGGCACAGTATCACCTGTCTTCAACTCGACCATGTCGCCGGGTACGATATCAGTGGAAGGAACCGAGAAGGTATGACCTCCTCTGGAGACCGTACCCGTCGGCGAGCTCAGTGAGTGCAGAGACTCCATGGTCTTTTCCGCAGCATATTCCTGGAAGAAGCCGACGACGATATTCAGGATGATGACGGCACAAATGACGCCGCCTTCAATCCACGATTTGATTCCAAAACTGACTGCCATGGCCAGTATGAGCACCTACAACGACGAATTGGATCAGATTCTGGGAGTTCTTATACAAAAGGACGTTGAAAACATAAGAAAGTGGGTCCCTTAACTAGCATCATTGCGTTGGCGACCTGGCGCACGAGGATCTTGATAACGGACACCCCCTCGCCATCGTCCAGCTTGTTAGCTCCATACTGCTGGAGACGACGCTGGGCTTCATCATCACTGAGGCCTTCGTCGACTCTGGTCCCCAGCTCCTTGATGACCACATCGTAGGGGAGGGTATGCGCCGGCTGGCTCAAGAGCGAGCCTGGCATCCCAGAACCTGTACTCTGCTTTTCGTCACTCATCGGCAAGGTCACCAATGGCTGCAGAAGTCCTAATGGAAGATGGAAAAGAAAAGGCGGAGTTTTCAGTCGCCATGGAGGGGTACCGACCGGCTTTTAAGTCCAGCCCATTCCACTCCCAACGGGGCAGAGCCAAGATGGTTGGCATAGACTACGAGTGCCCCGAAGGTGGTAATCGCTGGTTAGCACTATCTATGGGGAAACCTGCTGGATGGCTCCTCCAATCATAGCGACAGAGGTGGAAAACGCCACCCTCACGTGTGTCCTCTACGCCAATAAAAGGCGGCGAGCGCCAAGGATTCCTCCCAGATGCCAAGCAACTGCCTTCGGGTGGACGAATCCGGGGATAGCAACGGACCCACGCCGAGAGCATACGGATTTTCCCAGTTTCGCCAATACGACGCCGTCTCTAGACTCTCTCTCCGCTTAACAGATCGTCGCCTTGGGCTTCTCGGCATACGCGAGTGAGTTCTACGGTACCTGATCGTTATGGTTGACAATTTTACCGGAACGGGCGGCTGCGTTTCCTGTCTGGTATCCAGCAGGAGGCCACCACTCTGACAAAATGTGACACAGCATATATTACACCGAAGTTTTCATGTGGGGAATCCTTGCGGCTGGAATGTTCGGAGAAGAATCCCTGCGACGACCCCGCAGGCGGGCGGGCTGAAGGCATCGCCAGCCGGGATTCCTCAAATTACAAATGCCCATTGAGTTCACCTTGAAATCATTGCATGTTTGGATTTTACTTTGCATCCGTGTGAAACCGATCCTTTCCAATGATGCCTGCCGTCCTGTGTAACCCAACGTTTCAAGCAAGCACTGTGTGATATGGAAGGCGGAGGGTTTCTGTATGCCCATGGATGATTTATTGCTTTTGTGACTTGCATATTTGCTGCTAAGCTGTCACCATGTATTGAGGAGTCCAATGCTCGTATGTCGAGGTAGAAGTCGGAAAAGACGTGCTACTAATGAGGCCGGGCAAGTAATTTCTAGTGCGGAGTACGGAGTATATGTAGCAGGGATCCTCAATTTTTGGTTCTCGAATGGTCTTTACTACGTATTCCTATCTCGGCAATTGTCTTACCGTAAGAGCAGGACTGCACACGTGACGAGTGCGCCGCATCAGGAAAGACAAGCTCGAGCGACTATTTATAGCAACACAGTACTGGAATCTTCAAGGATTTCCAGGGTGATTCAAGCTTAATGAGGTATTCTCCATTAAGGAACTTTATCAACTGTAGAAGATCTGCAGCATAGCAGCATAGATTGTCTTCACGATTGCGACCCAAGGATATTGGGAACTGGGTTAGGGCCCAGGCGGTGAGGCCTCAGGCTTTTCGGCTCCGACTTCCCCCCGCAACTTCAACTGCCGCTGATATCGTCGTCAGCCATCCCAGCTCCCCCCTGAATCCCGCCAAAATGAAGATTCTCTACATCGGAGTAGGTCTCTGTCGACTGTGGCATACGAAATTGTATCTGACCTTCCTACCCCCTAGGTCCTACACAATGGCCAGCAGCCCGCCGTGGAACTGTGTTCCGAGCGCGAGTTGAGCAGCTACTCGCGTTTTACCCGGAACAGCATCAGCGAGTTCATGACCATGTTCAGCAAGACGGTGGCCGAGCGGACGAAACAGGGCCAGAGACAGGATATCGAAGAGCAAGGCAAGTCGTACCATTTTCCCGGTCGCATCTCTATTCTATCCCGCCCCCTTTATCTACGAAGCTAACCGCCACCTTGGCTGTAGATTTCACATTCCATGTTTACGCGCGGACCCAGAACATCGCCGGAGTCATCATCAGCGACAAAGAATATCCGTCTCTGGCGGCCCATCAGATCTTGTCCAAGACTCTGGACGAGTTCCTTTCCCAACACCCCAACGCAGAGACCTCCCGGAGCCCCGTGAGCTTTCCGCCTCTGAGAATCTACATCACGTCGTACCAGGATCCGCAGGAGGTGGACAGCATCATGAAGATCCAGAAGGAACTGGACGAGACGAAGATCGTCCTTCACAAGACTATTGAGAGTGTGAGTTATATTTATATCCAGATGGGGTATCCTGATGGGGGCTACTGCTGACATGGCTGCTGTCTAGGTGCTTGAACGAGGCGAGAAAATCGACGACCTGGTGTCCAAGAGTGAAGGATTGAGTGCACAGAGCAAGATGTTTTATACCTCCGCTAAGAAGCAGAATTCATGCTGCGTTATCTGCTAGGTGATGCACTTACTGGATTTCAGACGTATGCTTGCGGATTTACTTGGCGTTGTTGTTGTTATTGTTTTTTTTTTTTTTTTCCCTGCTTCTGTCTTCATTTTATCCAGCATCTTTCGCATTTATGTTGCTTCACGCACATGTTCACAGGAGGAAGTGTGTTGGTGATTTGGCTCGATCATGAAAGGTGGCCTTGCATTGGGGATACCTCAGGCAACCACTGACTTAGAGTTAATACGAATGTATTCCTCTACCGTTTTCTATTTGGCTGCTGATGATTTGTTTGAAGAGTGTCCACGTAGGGCCTAAGACTGTTGTATGCCCGATGCTCGGGTTTGACCTGTACAGCAGACCCCGTGTACGTGTTCTCGATAAGTGATGAGTGGATCCAGGCACGAATCTGCACTGACAGGTTGACGAGGGATTTACCAACGAGCGCAAGTGTCGGTCATTTGTGTAATGCGTTCAATCTACCAGGCACTTAGAAGTCGTCGGCAATGGCTCAACATAACCGATCCGACTCATCTTCGACCGGGTTTCCCCGCGAAGGACTATATTTTGATCAGTTTAGCATCAGAGCGGATCATGCGGAGTTAGGGCATCTAGGGCATGCTTCTTAGGGCAACTCCACCCGCCACCGCCATTTCTTTTCTAGAATGCCATCTCAGAGCGCTGAAATGAAAGTCTTACCGTCTTAGTGCTGGATCTCTCGGTATGGCAGCCATTCATGCTCCATCCGAATCCACCCATGGTACCCGGCTTCCCGGGCCGGTCGTGTACCATTGGCCGGCACCGCCGATGCTCCATATTGCTTTGCAGTGTCTGAGTGTAGTATCTTAGTATGAGGAGGATAGATGCACAGTGGGAATAGTCGTCATTGCTGTAGGAGTACCGTTTCGACACTCATATAGGCTATAGCCCCTCCTTACCTGTCTCTCGTTCTGATCCCATCTCTCCGCATTTCACTCCTTGTTCACTCCTTTTTCTAGCAATTCAGCGTAGGTTTGTCTCGTATTCTCTCGAATGGGATTCTTAAGTCTAACAAAATATAGATAGATTTCGTTTGTTTCTCCTTCGTTTATCGCGCTCGACATTATACCAGACCTACCATCGAGACCTTTCTTCCCCACCCCTGGGATGACCGTTTGACTTAGAAGACTTAGAACAGTAATATAGAATGGACCAAGATCTCCCCATCAAGCAGGCATTGCCCTTCAACATGCAACGAAACCGGCTTGCCGAGTTCTTGAGCGCAGATGTCTTGGTTGCTGCAGGTTCGGCAACATTGATTACTCCTGCTGTCATGATTCTGGACCGACTCGTCGTCGAGAAATCCTCGCATAATCAACCTCTCCTCCCTGCATTTCGGCGTCACCTATGGCTCTCCATCACGCAGCCCGCCACCTTCCTCACCTCTCGTCCCAGTCTCCTGGTCTGGTCTCTCTACACGGCTACCTTCGCCACGGCCAACGCCTCCGAGACCATCCTAAGCCAGGTCTTCCCTCACATTGACCACGCCATCGCCGGAACCACCACCTTCCTCTCCACATTCTTCGTCAACTCCTCCGTGGGCATCTGGAAAGACATCAAATTCGCCCAACTCTTCGGCCATGCCGCTTCCTCCTCCGCTGCCAAATCCACCCCATCCGCATCTGCACCTGCATCCCAAAGCAAGATTCTCCGCTCCGTCACCCGCTCGATCCCTTTATCAACCTACACAGCGTTCCTCCTGCGCGACGGACTGACCATCTTCGGCTCCTTCAGCCTCCCCGCCATGGTCTCCGCGTCCATCCCGGACTCCATCGCCTCCGCCGAATACCTGAAGATCCTGATCGCGCAGCTCGCCATCCCCGCCTCCATCCAACTGATCAGCACCCCGATCCACCTCCTAGGACTGGACCTGTATAACCGTCCGACGAAGCTCCCCACACGGGACCGTCTGTCGCGTGTCAGTCGGGACTGGATCGGGGCGTCGCTCACGCGCATGTGTCGTATCATCCCGGCCTTTGGGATCGGCGGGTTCGTTAATACAGAAGGTCGAGCTTTTCTTCATGAGCAGCTCCGACTGTATGAGGAGTATGACGAATGAGCCACTCCCGCGTATACGTATCGTATACTAGTTACGTACAGTATGGTCGAATCATGAATGCAGTGGCGATGCCCGGATGGATCCACTTTATCTAGGGTTGGATACCCTAACTACCGGAATAGGAACTCCCCACCTCGCCGTGACCGGGCCGGTTCTGGCCTCCGGTTAAACTGAAGGCTGAACGACGGGTAGAAACGGTCTGAGACTGATTTCTGAGATTATCTTACTCTGTATGCTACGGAGTACGGGGCAACTAACTATGTAGATAGATAGATGAGTAGACTATACTAGATTAATCGATACTGAATAAACTTGCTGCGCCGGTAACCTTATTGTGCCCCACTGATCAGTCTACCTTGTATTATAAGAGAAGAGAGTAATAACTTGCCGTCTGTCTTCTATTTTTGTATTCCTAGAATGACAGGATTTGGGATGTACTGATTGTCCTCTGCCCGACGGGGAAAAGCTTCTCTGTATTGTAAGGGGTTCAAATATTAGATGGGCGTAAATTCTGCAGTAAGAAATTGGTTGATATTGCCCTCACAAATTTATTAAGCATTTCTCCCGACTCATTGCTGATCCCGACGCACCATATATACCTTCAGTATGACATTGCCTTTTCGTGGCGAAGAATTTCGACTTCAGTGTGCTGCATTCTAGGATGGATAACTCCTCTGGTACGGGACAAAGCTATACAGAGAATGTGCGTCCAATTGCGAAAAAGCCCAATTCACGCCCTCAAGCCACCACATCCGGTCTAGACCCAGCAGATTATGGGTGACCAACAAGGGGCAACGTGTGACAGGGACACAGCCTCAGCCTTGTCTGGGGTTGTTCACTTTCAAAATTTCGGCCCAATGCTGTATAATTACTTTGCTTTCTCTTTTGCCGTTCGTATTAAGTCCCCTTTTGACGTCGGAAACGGTGTTAGCGTCGAACAATATACGAAATGGAGCCAATGACCGCATCGAAAGACAGGCATGCCTTTGCAACATGCAGATGGACCATCGGCTGGAAGACACCAACCTTGATGGCAGCGTCATTTGCTCTCCGTATGATATTGGCTTTCTATCAACCGATATTGGCAATGCGATAATACCTAATACAGCCCTCGTTATTGCCATCGCACATGACATTTTTGCGGGTATTTATCTGAGTAGATATATCAAAATTAAAACTCATACTTACTATGTTTCTTGGAAATTATCATTATAAAATCTAAGTTGGTCTATTTTACCCCTCATAGAATAAATTCAGCTACTTTCAGCAGTGCCCAAGAAGCCAGAAATTTTACCACACTCTTGGTAGCTCCTCAAATAGTTATATGTACTTACCAACCGTATAGATGCCAACGCCTTTTGAAACTGATCAACGTCGTACATGTTTGCCGGGGCGCACATTTTACATAAGCCGTGTCTGCTGTCCCTGGAACTTAATCCATCCATCAACAGGCGTATATATAGGGCAGGCCGCGGTCCAGGCAAGGGACATCTGGTTTAGGAGGTAGTAGCTCTCACCAGCTGCGCTCTCCTTGCATCCAACCCATCGGTGAATATCCCAGCCAGTATCAAGGAGGGATTCACCAAGCACGGGAAAAAAATACTTCGGGACTTGTTCCGATCAAGCTCTTTTGTCGAATAGCCAGAATGAACCCATCGTCAAGATGGATTTCGGCTAGTTGACGCAGGAGAATAGTATGAAATGGGATGAGACGGAGCGTGAGTTATAGAATATGAATGAGTAGAGAGTGGCCAAGTGTCTAGCATCGAAGAGAACATTCAGCTCGGCGGTGCTGATGTGCTGGTATAGCCCATCAATTATAAGAAAGATAGAAAGAGTTAACAGTGCATAGGTTGAGTATGCGCAGAATCATCAATTCATCCGGGGACTCGGTAGGATCCCTCATGTCTTGAAGTCAGGGGCTAAGTGAATCCAAATTGTCTGGTATTCGCAGCCTCCATGGTGAGTGCAGTGTACCCCCTGATAAGAATACCCTGACGGAGGTAATGAAAAATCATATCACGACGGTTATGGACCGGTACAAGGGGAATGCATATGCTTGGGTAGGCCTCCATACATACATGTATACGTATGTGTAACAGACACGTCAGGAAATGGTAACGAGATATTCAACGAAGATGGAAGCTTTCACGCCAGTACCATTTCCAGAGCCCTTGCGAGGATTCGTGCGCGTTGCGTTTGAGACGGCGCGAAAAGCGAGTCCCAAAGCGAAAATGTATATTAATGATTAAAAGTAAGTTCATCTACCATCTACTGAAAGGATAGTAGTGATGGATTAGTCTCGACTCGGCGGACTATGCCAAAACCAAGGGGATGGCAAACCATGTAAAGAAATGATTGATAGCTGGATTCCGATTGATGGAATCGGTGATAGTATCTATTTTATAAATAATGGCTCTGACGTGTACAGGCCCTCAGACGCTCTTCGGTAAATACACTTATCTGTCCTTGATAGAAAGCTAATTCAGCGGCGATGGATTCCCTCGTCTGGTGTCCCAGGGTAAGTTCATCTACCCCGCACATTCAATATGGATACAATCTGACATCCTGCACAGCGTTTAAAGCCCTTGCCTCCACCGGGTTGTCCGAGTGTCTGAAGTCGCGGTGATGGAAATGGATATCGCGGGCCCGCTTATAGGATTATCTGACTGTGAGTGGATCGGCAGTGACGTGTCACGGAGGCTAAGCAAATGGGTGGTGAATGCCTGTTCGGGGCTGGAACACTACAAGGGAATCACGGTCTTTTGGGGGGGGGGGGTCAGACAGGGTGAGTGAATATTAGTACCTCTAGGATGGTGACTGACGAGAGTAGGATTCGTGGCGTCGAAGAAGAGTGCTCTGCTGTTTGATGGGAATTATCCGGCGAAGGAGGCGTATAATGATATTCTCCATATTCTATGGGAGACTTGATTCGCAGATAAATATAGCATCCGGTAGCCTCGCCATCAATTTAATCCTCAATTAATCCATGATCTATCCATCCTAGTCAGACAAAGTCGGAATCTTCGGATGTCTTTATCCCACTATCATCATCATCGATCTATCCTTCTATTACCATCATCTACTCCTTTCCATCTAGATCTAGAGATGAAATGGCCATCCCCACCGCAGCTATTATTGTCATCGTCATCTTGGCCTGTCTCGCCGTCGTGTCGCTGGGCGCAGCGCTGACGAAACAATGGAATCCGCAACGCCCAGAGAATCGATTCACGTATCAGCGCGAACAGGAACAGTACATGCGCTCGGTGAGACTGATGAATCTGAGCCGGTTTCACCGCGAGTCAAGAGCTCGGGATGTGGAGGTGGGATGTACGTATCGTTGAGATTGGATCGGCTGTGGCTGATAGTATTAGATCTGGAGACGGAGAGTGGATCGAGGTTTTAATTCGGTAGGTTTGTCGTCATTATGGTGATGGTGGTGGATTGCTGATGGATGGTAGATGAATATACGCTTGTTGACGATATAGATATAGCTTACAATAATACTAACAATAATTTTTTTCACCTTGTAGTGCAGGATTAACGCTAGTAACTAGATATTTGCTTAGCTTCGGCTACTCCAACTAGTTAGCTATTAAATGGACTGAATCGAAGGACGCAGTATGACGCCGATCGCATCTCGAGCCTCTACCGAAATAAACCATTCCGTCTGTCTATATGTATTTGTCGTATCGTAGTCATCCAGGCTGATAATTTGGGACTGCGTTCTAGACTATATAATCCAAACTATATACTGCGATGCATCCAACCCAACTATTACAATCTACCAGTCGAATTCCCCAATCCCGCACTCTCCAGAATATCCTTCAACTCGGTCCCAATCTGCACCGCATAGACATAGCTATCGACAGCGACCTCTTCGCCATGATACATGCCGAACTTGGGCTCCGTCTTGCCCGGGAACGTGTTCGCAGACATGCGCGTCTTGCCGTTCTTAAGCGTCTGCTTCTTCCCGTCAAAGTACAGCTCGACCCATCCGTCCTCGGAGGTGTTGATCCCCAGGCCAATATGCATGGGCGTGTTAGCCTTGGGCTTGATGGACCAGAGATTCTCCATGTCGACGCCGAACTTGGCCTGGTACGCAAAGTTCAACGTGCCTTTTTTGATCTCGAGATCCAGAGGGATGTTGGCTCCGCCGTCGTGCTGGTTATTGGCTTTGAATTCCTTACTAATCATAAATCAGCATTATTATATAGGAATACAAGGGACAGAAAGGAGGGAAGGAGGGAGGAGGTACAATTGAAAAATACATAATCCATTCGGCACCTCCCCCAACATCACATTATATCCAATGTAATAAGTGGAGTCTTTTTTGGTCTTCCCGCGCATAGCGTGGTACTCGGTGCGGATATAGCCTTTATCACGATGGAAATGCAGAGCCGGCACACCCTTGGGATCCTTGTCCATCTTGATGTAGAGCTCGGGGGTGTTGCCATGACGCTTGTCGCCCTTGGCAGCTTCGAGGTTCACGCCGCCTAGAACGGATGGGTTGTCGCCCCGGGCGGCGTTGAAATCCAGGAGGAGTTTCCCCTGGACGAGAGAGAGGAGGGGAGCGAGGAGAAGTAGTTTCATTTTAGTTGGGTTGGCTGGACTTTTCTTGGTTGAGTTGAAGTGAGGGATGAATGGATAGGAATGGAGGTAGATTTATATCTGTATAGGATTGAAGATGAAACGGCCCCATCACGACGACGGAAGAACGGAGCTTTGGAGACTCCGGACATCCCATGTAGATCAGACATTGGATCCGTCGAATGATGATCTTCACTCCGTGGGATTCGACCAGGGTGTGGATTGTTGCGTCGGAATTGACTTGCTCCCGGTGACTTTGGTCTTGCAATTTAGACACCTGCATTTTAGACATCAGCATATTATTCAATGAATATTCTCCGGCTGTTTCGATTTTAGTCACTGGATAGGCATCATGATGAATGGTTACATATTATCCATATACATTAAGTAGATGTAAAAACGGTGAATATACAGAATCAATACAGCAAACGCATATCGGATCGATTGTACGGGGATTGGTACGCAATCAACAGCAAACGCAGCCTGGACCTTTGTTTGAAGGTGCATAAATAGACTTCCCCTCTTCCTCTTTCTCCCTCTTCCCTAATTATTCCTATCTCTTCACTGGGATCATGGAGATGTTCATTCTATTGATCCTAGTCACTTTATCCACGGGTATAAATACACTACGCCTTCCATAAGCATCATCAGGTCTTATAATTTCTTTCTGACCTCCCCATATAATTATTATTCTCTTCAGTCATTGAACTCTTCATATATACTCTTGTTTATCTTATATGTTTGCCGACTATGCCTCACTAAAGTATCTTGCATTATACCTTTCGGATATTTACACGGAACGATCCTATCCATGAAGGGTGGCATGATCTAGTCATCAAGTTTATGCAGGTAAGCATATAGAAAAGTCCAGGAAGAATAATCCTCTGCAAGACTATTCTAACTTGGACTTAGAGCGCCTACTCAGCATGCAAGGTTTCATACGGTCGTCCTCCCTCAGTTGAAACACTCAGCTTATATACATCATCTTGGTAGCTCGGAATGCAGACCAGGGATTAGATCAGAACATTGGACTTCTGAACTTGCCTGTGAATGAGCTTCCCCAGGGTATACCTCCTTCTCTATGTCCGATTATTTACCTTTTCTGTTTTCCATACGGTTGACTGTTGACGTCACTCCTGTGTCTCCGCTATAAACGTCGAAATGCCGCAGACGTCCAACAAATGGCAAATGTTCTTGACGGATATTATATAAATACAGTAACAATCACTGGTTTGTTCCATATTGGCTTACAATATCTACGGATGGAGCAATAGGCCTTTGCTTAGGCATAGTAGCGTGATCAATGTAAACCCCATTGAATCCATATCGCTACTCGGGTTGGCTTATTTACAGAAAATCATTTTCACCGGCGCGTTCAGCAGTGCCCCTTACCTCCGATCAAAGCCCTGAAAGTGGGGATTCCACCTCCATTGGATACGGAACTAGGCGGTCTTACCCTAGGGATTAGTCCAGCATAGAATGGAGATATAACCGAATCTGGCCGAAGAAAGGAGTCCTCCCGTTTCAGGTGCTAGATCAATTATAGTGAGTTTACCTCTTTGCCTCTGAAACTACATGCTTTATCTAATTTTTATAGTACTACCAAAAAATGTCATCTTTTTCGTGCCCTCTATCAGCCTCACTCAATGATTAGGAACGATGGCCATATATATATATATGGAAGCAGAGGAGCCTGTCTATAACAGTCAAGCCTAAGTCAGCTACTCCTTCTTAACCGTAGCAGATACAAATATTGGAAAACGTGGGGAAAAAACAGCTTACAAATATCGGGCCTTAACCAGGGCAGCTTTATATTATACTCAGTCTCAATACTTTTGCATGAGATCCTCTCCTGAAGTATTCGAATCTCATTTGCGAGAAGTGCACGATGCGCTTTGACCTACCTTTTTATAACCTATTGACACGGTAAGATTCCATCCCATGCTAATTTTCATTGCTGACTTTATCAGCCGTATAGTGATATACTATCCGGGAGTCGACCGTAACAGACCATCTCGGAACATACAGCACCTATACAGCTGAAGGTAGTTTGACCCATCCTATCGTGCACTCGCTCCTAGAGCATGGTCGCCCATGCTATTCCGGACTGATCTGGACTAAAGAACATCTTCTGCCTAGTCCTCCGTCCAGTGCTAGCGAACTGGACTGGAGTGAGCTGTTGTCTTGCCCGAAACAACTGACAAAGTACTCTCAACCGGGCTATGCAAGGCCCGACGTTCAGACCACTGTGAAGGCTTTCTGAGAGACTCCTGACGTATCTCCTGCCAATATCACTGTGCTACCTGGCTAATTAGTGACCTTGATCACTTTTAGTCCAGTAGAATTTTATTGAAAGCTCCTTTGAACCTGCTTGACAATACCAGCGGTGAAGACACACTCCTGGGATATTTCCACATCTTAAACTGGGCCTACTTATCATCCATCCATTTTGGCAGCCATCTTATTTATTAAAAATGACTGCCGTTAATACAAATACAAACGTGCTGGAAGCCAGCCGCTATGCTCCTGTCGCCACTCTGGTTCTGGGGAGACACTCAACAGGGGAGGAGGTCATCATGGGGAAGCGCTCGGGTCTGGTTTAAGAAGCAGAAGAATCTACGCCAAAATTGAGGCCAAAGGAATCTGCCTACTCCCGGCGGCGTATGGGTATCAACCCGGAGGAGGGAATCCGAAGCGACAGGTAGCTAGGCCTCGTCCATTTTTCACACTCTTGATTTCATAATTAGTTACTCCATGTTCGTTCCGATGCATTCATGGAAGTCGAGAAGTGAAATACTATGGTCAAAGCCTTGCTAATCGTTACGACATTTTTCTCTTGTATTTACTGGCCACAGCATATAAAGCCCGTGATATGGACCGGCATGGTTTCGAATGATTAGGTCTTCTCCAAAGCATTCTGAAGAAGAGCCATGTACTTCATTGGAGAAAACAATCAATGGCCAAGCAACGGAGCTCTCGACGGAGGATACAGGCTTCCTTCATGAACACCAGTATAGTTTTGCCAGAGTATGTTACTACGGCAATTGATAGGGAGCAGGATAACAGAACCGTCGTCTTCGGAACTGTCTGGAAATCAATATCATCGACCGTTGACTTGCGTGCTTGGATCACACACATATCCAAGACAAACATGCGTCGGTTGTCTTGCGAAGCTGGTGACATCCATTGAACTCGTCCTTCTTATTTCCTATGCGTCCTCTTCTTCCTTCTTCTCAGACAACTACATAACAATAAAATACACCAAACCCCCCCGTCTGGATTTGGACGGGACTTTTGCCCTGCACGCCCTCCGGAAGATGTTAAAGACAAGGAGAACACGAGGGTGTCAATGTTGCAAATTATCGACGAGCTGGAATAACAGCTGATCAGCTGCCGATCCTGCGGCTGACGTGGGAGACGGACTGGTTCGAGTGGAGATACTGAATATCAGGAAGGGTCAACTTGATGACGTCCGTGTCCGCGATCCCGAACTCATACATGCCGCCATGTTTGTGCTGCAAGATCCTTCACGAGCCGGCCGCGCGACAGTGCTCAAGCCTACTATATGACCAGAAAATATAGACCTGAGCTCCTCGAACGTAACGAGGCTGAGCTAACAGGGTAAATTTCAAGGCAAGTTTCGGGCAAACGACGAGGCACCACTCGACAAGTGTCAATATTTCAAAAATTTACCTGGTTAATTAGGGTTCTGATACCCTTTTTAGTCCAGTGGAATTTTATCGACAACGGGGGTTGGCCTCGCCGTACGTACGAGAGCCAGTCTGCTGGACAGAATCTAGTATTGCCAACAGGCCAGTCCGATCACTTGGCAAAAATGTGCATACTGAGGCAGATCGGCAGGCTTGAGCAGCATCGTCCGTCGTATATCAATGCCTTGCTCATTCAGTCCCCTGGACACACGCTGCCAGTTCCATGCGAGGGATGCCTTTCTCACCCTCATAAGGTATGTGTCCGTTTACCGAATGTCGCTGTACCAGACACCTCTCCCCAAGGCGAGGGGAGATTCAGGCGGACGAGAAATGACGGTGATGTACAGCCACTCATCATTCTCGCGTTTCATAAAGAGTGGACCTTTGTCCAACCGGTATGGTACCACCGGGTCGTCCGTGCTCTTTAGATGCTCAATAATCCTGGTAGCCTGATAATGATCCGAATAGGCTTTCCGTATTTCGTTCTTAAAGGAATGAGACGGCTCGACTACGGAAGTGAGGCACGCTGAATTCAGATCGATGTGTAGCACCCTCCTCTTTCATCTAGTGACTGCGCCGTGCGAGTGAAGGCTCGCCAGGAGCAGGCAAAAATGACGAGCACTCCGATTGCCAGGTCTGTATTATTTGATGTCGTCACACGTCAAGCCTCATCTGATGCCAATAGATGAGCAAACCAAGGCATTTGACGAGTTCAGCAGAGTGCCACGTTTTATCTCATGGCTCTAAACCACTATGAAGACGTTCTCCAGATTCGTTCAGCACGGCCCTTGACGGCCTATATCACATCGGCATTAAATTCTGCAGTGTGCAGTCAAGTGTCTTCCAAATCGGTTCGACTCTGTACTAGATAACAGCCCACCAGCCGACGACATCGGGAACGGCGCTCGCGACTTCGACGACAAAAGCTACAGTGGGAGGGTGCGTACTTCCCTGCTCCGCTGGCATGACGTCCGGCATGTTGCCGTTCCATGCGTGTTTTGAGGAGTCAATGCCTTCGCAATTGGTTCAGTAAGCAGACAACTGTCTGAGATATGGATGATCTGAGTCTATCTCAACCTCGTCATTACATGCTGTGGGATACGACAATGCATTCTATACCGTAGCAGACATCTTGTTGTCGCATGCAAGCCGCAAGGAGCTGCATATTGCCGCTATGGGGTGCTGGATACTCTGCCCATCACCCAGCGAGGTCTCTTCGCCATGTGGGGGTTGTCACCCTGTGCTCTGCTCTAAAGACTGAACCCTTTTAGCTACGTTATAGGCTGCCAGGAAGAAAGTCTCGTATCGTGACAATTTCGCTGGAAATTGTCGCGATGTTTAGGTCAGGTTCCGCCCATCGATAGAAGATGAATTCGTGTGACGCCATCAGATGGAGCTTATAACCTTGTAGATTCTCTACTTCGATGTCACAAGTTCCAGAGAAGCACTCGATATCCTCAAAATTCAGCCAGATTCAGGCAGCCCGCCTGATAACGACGAACTCGAAATTGATCTCACCCTGTGTGTCGGCTGCGAGATGGCAATGGGTGGGCATGTTATATAACAGATTATCGGAATGTATACTGGAGATGCAATATTGGACAGGTACAATCTGGCTGCACGCTAATATAGTAGAATATTGCTAACGGTTCACTAGGTGGAATATAGTGTCGTCAGAGAAATACCTGCCCACCTCGATAGAGAGGACCCCAGTAAGTATAAAGTGGGTTAGATATTCCCAAGTGCGTTCTGTCGAGTACAACCAGCATCACGAGGATGATCCCGCAAACCGTCCATCTCCACCAGTTGACGCAGTATATCACGACATTGAAGAGCAGCCGGAGGTCACAGCAATTCGACGCGACGTATAAATGCGTGTACCACTTGTTCTAAACTCCTGCGAGCGCATTACGATCACATGTGTTAACAGCATATATATGACAGTTTCGAACAACTGCTTTGTTTGCCCGCAGAACATGAGCACTCAGTTCTTGTTAGAAACTCATTCTTTTCAAGAGCTTCAAAAAAAAAAAAAAAAAAAGGCTATTGAGAAACTCCCGTCACACGCACTGCACTACACAATAGAACCAGACGAAAAGTTGGCTGCGTGGGTTTTTCTGCACTATCTGCTGCTGACTTGCACGGCTTTCCTAACATCGACTGACTCCAAACGCATATAGACCAGCTGCGACAAGCCGCAAAGCACCTGAACACAATATTCCTCTCCTTTATATGGAGGCACTATTGTTGTATTTCCGCCCCATTTCCTTTGTCGTGCTGCGTTTCTATCAGCCCCAACCTTGATTCCATTTGTGTCTTGAACCGTCGCCAAGTTACAATTAGACTGTGTTTTGTTAGGTCGCTTATTCCATGTTGTCGACCAACGCTGCACGGTAGCAGCGGTTGTTGCGCCAGAGGTCAATGACAGGCAGAAATGCATGGTCTCAACCCAGTTTTGAGAGAAATACGAATTTGCTTAGAATCACTCAGTTCAAAAGAGCCTTCTGTAGGCGATTTCAAGCCAGGTGTGAGCTTGACGATATCAGCCGGAGCCATGACTTGCGAAGTCGACAAGAGTTCGATATGAGCAGCTGGGTAGTTTAAGCCTGTAGGCTTTATCCTCAGATGGTGATCCCAAGCAAGTGTGTCATCTTTTAAAGTCCTTGTACGGCCTCCGACAAGCTGGCTACCTCTGGAACAAAGAGCTTGATGCAAAACTTTCCAGCTACCCAGCTGCTCATGTCGAACTCTTGTCGACTTCGCAAGCCATGGCTCCGGCTGATATCGTCAAGCTCACACCTGGCTTGAAATCGCCTACAGCGTTGTCCGTCCAGACCTTGGCTCTACACAGAGGAGAATGTTTGTATGCGCCATCTGGTGGCATACGTCTAGAGGCGAAATTCCGCAAATGTTGCAGACACTGCAGCAATGAATCTTGGCAGATGAAGGAAACGTCAAAGAATCCGAACCCATATAGTTTCTTCGCAGATAGATTTATTGTCCGCGGATGAGCATGAATTATGCGGCTTCAGATTCGCTTGGACAGCTCAGTCACAAAAAATCGTTTTATCTCTATCAGCCTGAAGCTATCATACCGTGTAGTATGCTGTTTGCCGTCGGGAGGGCTTTGGCCTTCCCTTCGCAGTCTGCATCTCCGACGGATTAAGTCAAGAGTGCAGCAATTACCTGTACCGCGGGCACGTCTCCCTGCAGTCGGAGTGACTCGCGGTATCCCGGTTTCCGGTCTAGCACCGCAGGACTGCATCCGTGTGTGTGCTTTACATAACCGGCTGCAAGGCATGAATGCATCGAGCTCAACAGATAATCGAAATAGCTTGACGACTGCTGATGATGACAGGCTTATTGGTCACTCTGCAATGTATAAGATCAAGGAAATAAGATATTGATGTACTTCTTTAGCCAAGGACCTGTGATACGAGATTGAAAAGAGCTCCTCTTGTCACGGTGAGAACAGCCGTGAGATGGCGAAGAGTCCTGAGCCAAAAGATAGCCAAAGACAGTAATCGCCATCCAAATACTTGTGGAAACCATTGGTGTCACATACCTAATTTCCCCGTATTGTCCTCCGCTTTCGCGAAAGATGAACGGACAGACCTATATCCCACTAATTAGCTTCTCAATGCAGGGTTTGTCTCCTCCCGCGCGTATGGATGCAGTCTTCACCCGATACTAATTGGTTTCGAACAGGAGCATTCGTTTACGCCAAGTAGCTATCGCAGACAGCAGTGTCTTTAAAGTACTTGACCCCATCTACAGAGAAATCCCGGCCCAAATACTGGAGTATGCACCAAAGCTTGGGACAGAATCAATAGATACCTGCCATAAATACAGTTCCAGCAGTGGAGAACCAGCGTTGCAGCGTAGAACTGCGCTTATTAGACCGAAATAAATCCAACGCCAGATGAAAATGAAAGCAAGAGCAATGTAAGTCTCATGCTGCGAGTGAAATCTCGATTGCCATCACATACTTTTTTCATGGGATCTTACTGACAGTGGGATAGTCCCCGCAGGCCAAGGTCCTGATTATCAACGAGAAAACCACACTGAGTCATGCTAGAACCGAAATTGCCAATTGAGATATCCCACAAATGAGACCAATGGTGATACTGGTCCGGACACTAGAGATCCTCCACGTCGTTTTGAGCTACTCCTATTGCCGAGTTCAATCCGTCATAGCCCCTGTGTAGTGCGAGCAAACTTGGTTTCTGAGCGGTTCTTCGGTCCATTCCATACCGCACAGACTGGATGGATATCATTCCAAGGTGTATATCGTATGGGACATCTGTGCTATATCCTTTCTTAGAGGTCGCTGAGTTGCCAGAAGACTATAGAATAAGGTACTGTCAATGTTTCAATACCTGGCTAATTAACTGACCTTGGTCATTATTCCGTGTTGGTGCTGATCACTTTGACAACTGCTGAATATGGTGAGCGCCGAATAAACTGGATCCAAAATGCAATCGATGCAGTTTACGATGTTAGGGATCGCGAGCGGCGGCGCCTCCTCGACCTGAGAGCTCGGGCCTGAGGGTTCCTTGACTTCTCGGTGGAACGAGAGCTGCGATTGATGGGGTTCGCTCAGTTTAGGCAAGAGATCGATATCATACTAGAGGAGGCAATTGCAGTCGAACATGAGCACTTTGTATGCGACCCATATCTCGGGATGGGTACGTGGGATGGCTAGAACACTGCAATCCCTGAGGGCCGGGCAATTCCTGCGCCGCTACGTTGCCGTATGTGATTCATTTCCCTTTTATTGCAGAGTTGATAACTGCTAACTTGGTTGAATTAGGCTCCCAATGTTCACGAACGATATCATAGTCCTGCAAGCTGATACAGCGTTGGTCAGCACGTCAACATGGAGATCATCTTCGTGGAACTACAATCATGGCAGCGAATACTTTATGCCAATACGTATTCCCCAATTGTATATCCGATTTTTTCTAAGAGAACAGTCGACTTGAGGATCTACGAAGAGGTGATCGGATGTCTCTATCCTTTATTCCAACAACATGAGTTGTTCCTCATCACCTGAAACCACGATTTGCAGAGCTGTGGGATCTCACCAGAAATTGCCAAACAAGTGGATTTCTACACCAGGATCGTCAAAATCAAAATGAACTAATAAACGACCCGCAAGGCCCCATAATCCGAGATCTAGGACTCCGATTCTTCAACTTCTATTCTTCTCTACCCATCATACACTCAAGCGTTATTAAACGTTCCGCTAAGCCACACAAGAGTGGATCTGACGAAGGCAGAACAATCCGATAGGACGGTTATAAATTAGAAATCAGACTGGCTTTTCACTCACCCTCCATGCTCCTGCCAACTATTCAAACACATAAATGATGGCGAAAAATCACATGCGTGCCTATGAACGCCGACAGGCCGTCCGTGAGTGGGTGAGGAAGGCTACCAAACACAAAAACTGCCCATTCTTCAATGGAATATCTCGATAGGAGCAAAGGCGTAATGCTGAGTACCAGCCTTATCTGGCGCCCTAACGTACTGCGGTGCATGCGCCGCAGGAGAACGTCGGTCAAGGACTTTGCGGAGATATAAACTCAGATATGCGAAATATTTATCTCGAAATTAGAGTCAGATATGTCAGTGTCTGTGGCCTTTTATATGGAATCTTTCAATATCTAGCTGGATGTGATCCTCGGTGTGGCATCTACTCTGATACCGAGCGGCCAGGAATGTTTCAAATTCCGCCGTTAATGGGGTTTAAATAAAAGGCTTTCTTCCAATAATTCTGGAATATCATTCTTTTCGTTACCCAAGTGCTCTCTAACGGCGGACGTCAGTGACAATTTCAGTCACGACCGAAAATCAACTTCCCAAGTCCCTTGGGGACTATAATTGACGATAACGTGCCACCGGGATTGGCCTGAGCCCCGTTCGGTGGTAGTTCTCTGTCTAGTTGCAGAAGGCCCGGATAACTAGCCGGTTTTGCGGCCCATTCCATACCACAAGCTGAGCATACCAGCTCCGCGATGGGATCTTCATGACGGTATGATATCACTTTTGAGATTGTCCTGGCAGAAATTGAACCAGGAAACGGGATACATGAGATATACATCAATTCACCATTCTCTGAGCTATAAAAGAAGCTGGCTTGGAAGGATTGAACATCGATTCCATTTAGACACTGGGTTGACAACTGTCTGAGCTCTTAAATCTCGCAGGTTGGAGTTTCAGACTCTCCCGAAATACAATTTGGTCGGAAAAAAAGGCCAGGAATTCGCCATATGCCAATCACCAACACGCACGTGAGTATTCATGTCCATCACATAGGGAAGCGGTCCCTAGCGCTACAATCACACCAAGGGGCTCTGACGTCTTCCAATTGACTGCCAATGGCAGTAGCATTCCTCATGGAAATATGCACACAACAGAGGCAGGCACATATAGTACAGCATTAAATGATCAAGCATTATATCTTTGCAGCACAAACCACCACCGCTGCATCCCACTGAGGTCGTCACTGGATTTATGCGGTTTTGTGCTACTATAGTATTTGGTGTCAATATTTTGGATTTACCTGGCTAATTAGGTACCTTAGTACCCTTTTATCCACTGGAATTTTATAGTCCTCCGCAGGTTGAGATGCCGGAGGTATCCCAAGTTGTCGGGTGGGTAAGAGAATATGAAGACGCCAATCTGCAGTAAGCATCCGTCAATTAATAGCCAGTGCTGGGGTTAATAATGCTTAGGAGGATACTGATCTCCCAGAACGGCACGGAAGTATTCATACCGTTCCAAGTATCAACAACAGCTGGGTTCGATATGTCAGAACAGGAAGACCCGGTAGAACGGGCCGCCAATATGACGATGCACAAGCTCGACCGTGGAATATCGACAGCGAAGAAGAATTGCGAAACTTGTCGAATCATCCTGGCGGTGGCCTTCCACCTTAGAGAAGCATCCTCACAAGGAGACACCCTGGATAAAACAAGAAGCCTACCTAGATACTATAAAATGCAACTCGACAAAACACTTATGGAATACTAAATATTGGAACCACATGCATTCCGTAAAATATCGAAGGTATGGACAAATCACCATGACAAGAAGCTTCAAGGAAGAGCGCTATGTTGGCCAACGGGGAGATTTCATGGTGTTCAAAGCTCCAGACTGTTAGCCTCTCCGCATGCAAGCAGAGTACATGGCTATATCGGTTGCGGCTCGAAAACTACGGCTCTATACGGATTCCGAGCTGGCAGGAAGCGCGCAATTCCATGCTTGCAAAAAACATGTTGACAGCATACTCCACTAGAACCGGTGACGCAATTCGTTGTCAAGATATTGCACTACCCGAGCGGTCTCTGCACTACTGAAGCCTGGTGAATTCTTAAAGCCAGTGTCCATATCAGGAAATCAAATATCAATAACCAGGAGCATCTCGAGAGTTAATGGTTCCAAAATAACACATACTCCAAGATACGAACTTTTACTCTCGAAGAGAAATCAACGCCAACTGTTTGAATTATCTTGAGGCTTCCAAGGAGCGGTTGGATGAAATGCGGAATACTCTCATTCAACTACACTGTGAATTATAATATACCTAGTCTCTTAAATACAAAATGGGAGTACTGATAGCGAGTGGCTAAAATCCGGAAAGACCAGAGAGCGGCGGATGGCCCATTCGCCAAAGCAAGATAGACAAGCTAAACAAAGCACCACGTTCTGTCTACATCATTACCACATAATACGATCGGAAAATCGATTCTATGTGAGTGGTCGAGAATATTTACAGTTACAATGAGTGTTCTTCGGAGTATGGACACTCATGTCTATACCCTGCCCAAGTCTTGCTATATACATGCTGTCTTATGAAGGTTCACTTTACAGGCTACTCGCGAGGACCCTCGGAATCAATATGTTCCAGAGAAGCCGATGTGCAGCATATACTCAACAATGATTTAAGGACCAGTCTTACCCAGTATACAAAGAATATTAGAATCTAAGATGTCGGAAAGAGGAAACCGGAGTTATCCTCATGAGCCATGTCGCCGCCAAACACGATATGGACAAATATATAGGCCAAGAAGAACAAGACGGGGCTGAGGCTCTCACAATCAAAGATCTAGCTTCCCGATCTTGCCGAAGGTCATCTGGTGCATCAAGTGTCTTCGAACGTCAATCAAGAAGTACAATCCCGCAGAATACGAGCCCTTCTCTGTGGGTGTGTGTTGGACGCGAAGGCCTCGGTAACTGATACCTCAGTGAGAAAGGAGTATATGGCTCCGCAGGGGTAGTTCCAAGCTCACTGAGGAGAGGAGGCCAAACATTCTAGAATACTCACTGTCCTTTTTATGCAGCTGTTCTAGAGCGTCCGCAAAATAAAGGATCTGGTTGAGATGATTTCGACCCTGTGCCATGACAGAACTTAGTCGTCGGAATGAATCCAAACAATGGATGACAGTCTAATAATCCTACGAATTAAATGCGACCTTTTGCAAACTCTCACTGAATGTGCTGCTGTAGTCATTCTGACCTAATATGAGTGAGAATTGACTGATAATCTGTGTGCATCTAGTCTGGTCATGGTCTCACGAATTATTGTCATTGCAAACGGCGACACAGTTGGCATCACTCAACATACCCAGAAGGGGCATAACGTCCGTCTGTGTGTTGGCTAAGGAGTTAGCCTCGATTTATGGCTCTACGGAACAAGAAAATTCTGACCCTTTTCCTTAGGGATCAACTTTTCTGTCTGGGGCGATGAGAAGACTCGCGTCTCTCTCCGCTGGCGATGCATGGGAATAGCCGTGGACGTGTGTGGTTCTCTATATCCTCTCACGAACCTATTAGCAATTGTGTGTTTGAATCTCAAGCATATGATTGCAATAATGACCTCCCGGGCTCAGGACCCGCTCGTCTTATACCTCTATACCTCCCAGTCTGATATACAGTCCTGATACAATAATAACCTATACTTTGTGAGATTCTCCGGTTCAGTGTGAGCTGCCCATGACCATTATTCTTCATACTTCCTCCTTTAGGAAATTGAACAGCATTCGATCTTGTATCATACATCGAACCTTTAGCTCAGTACTCGTACCCACATTGGCTTAACTCGCTAGGTCGATTCCTAACAGTTCTCATTCCCCAACTGTCTTAATCTGGTACGGTGTTTCTATATAGTCTATACAAGCGATTTTAGAACTGTTACGCGTGGGGTCGGTAACGAGCTGAATGGTGCGCTATGGTACAAATGGGAATATATATATATATAGGAGGTAAGATAAGACCACGTATATTGCAGAGCTAGTCGCTGAGCTTCAAGAGTTCAGGTCAGAAAGTGAGAACATATGTGAATAATTATATGTTAACTATATGTTGGCACCTGACTAAGCATCCTAGCAAAACATCCGACGAACCTGAGCTATTGTCCAGCTATCACGCTTCCCGAGTGCTCCTAACACTATCTTCCCCTCCAAGAGGCGTTGCCCTCGAAGCCGACAGAGATGTTCGGTTTATGCTGGCGAGGCATGTTTTCTATAATGGGTGCTAAATGGTTTTTCTCTACAGCCTATCATCCTCAGACTGACGGTCAGACGGAGAGAATAATCCAAGTTATTTATTGAAACGATGCTACGACACCAGCTTACCTGTGACCCGAATGCTTCCTGGGTATCCTTTCTGCCTTCGTTTATCTCTACTATTAATGGGACGGCAAATGCTTCGACAAAAGCCTCGCCGCATCGGCTACTGTTCGGTATGGATCTGCGCCGACCATGGAATGCAGTTAAAGAATACCTTGGGGGCCAAGATTTCTCGTCCAGGGTAGACGCCGAGGAGGCCCTTGCCTTTGCCTCACTCCGAATGAAAGAGATATACGACCGAAGGCATGAAAAACCTCCTGTCTTTAAACCTGATGATAAGGTTACCATACGTCTCCACAAGGGTTACTCTATCCCGGCTGCGAAGCGCTTCGGAAGAAAGCTCTCCCAACAGTACTCTGCTCCTCTTGAAGTTATTAAGCGCGTCGGACGTTCCGCCTACCGTCTCCGGTTACCAGCCAGCCGGAAAATTCATCCGGTGATATCTGTTGCCCAACTTGAGCCGGTTCCTGATCCCCAGAGTGACCCGTTTGGCCGTGCACCTGCCTGTCCTCCACCGGTCACTGACGAGCGTTTTCCTGATCAGATAGATCGTTGGGAGGTGGAGCGTATTCTTAACAAACGAATCGTGCGAATCGGTCGAAATCGAACTCCCTTTACTGAATACCTGGTGCGCTGGAAAGGGTACTCATCGGAAGAAGACCAATGGGTCCGGACTAAGGATATTGCCGCTGACGAGCTCATTGAGGAGTACGAGCGTTCGACTACTAATATACCTCCATCATCCTAGGCCGAAGATCGACGGCGATGTCGATTAGGTGTTTTCTATTCCCTGTTCCTCTTTCTCTAAATTGCTACCATCCCTCGTCGCACTAAATTGTTTTCGCGATTTCCTTAATATCTTACTTAATATGCTTCCTTCATCATATATCTAGTTAATGGTGGTGGTCGAGGGCGACCTTATTTTGTAAAAACCCCCATATGTTGCACGTTCAGACGGGTCGGAACTGCATAAGTGGTTCTTAGCGGTCACCCTACTTCATTCGTCCATGCTTCGAACGCTTGACCTCGTCCACCTTCAATCTTGATCGACACACTAATCAATGAAATTGACCATGTTCTTCCTCTGAGCTTGCGTGTTTTACCTGTAGTATGGATACATGCGGCATGAAGGGCATATGCGCCATAGATCCAAATGATGATATTGGTGCGGTTGGTCGGTGTCTTAGATGGTGTCTTGCAGAGTTCTGAATAGCTTCATGTTTACTATACTAGACAGATGAGCTTTAGTAAGTGTGGTTGCGCGGGTAGTCGCTGCTTGACAACAGTCACTGTTCCATTCACTGCATTTTTGCGCTGTTCCTCTCCTTCTCTCCTTCGCTTCTCTTTTCAAGTCTTCAAGACCTCGTTTTCAAGGTACGTGCGCACCCATGCTTCGCTTCACTTCTTTGATTTTGCTTCATTTCATTGTGTGTGTTGGCTGTATCCAGGTGCGCTTATTTCGAGTCTCTGCGGGCTTGAGGTGTGGATTAAGCGTCTACGCGCTTTAGTTTCCATACGTGTTTTAGTAGAGCTTTCGCACCTTTATGTGTCAGCCGATCAGAATGACGGCTTTTTCCAGAGCGTTCTTGCATGTTTTGAGCTTGCTAATGTGGGCGTTTTGTAGATGGTTCGTCGCCGCGCTTCCTCGACGCCTTCAGGGGAATCTTCGCCGCGCGGCCGCCGCCATCGCGCAGTTCGTCACCAGTTACTGTCCTCTGCGGAGGAAGAGTTTGTCCTTGTGCCTGTGCCCCGCTCGGCCTCGCCAGAGTGGGAGGGGTTTCGATTCCCCTTCTCCCCTTCCTGCTTCGGCGGAAACGGTTCGGGCCGAATCGCCCTCCTCGAGGCGTTCGGTAAGCCTGGTCCGTTTGTGAGAGAAAACATTATTAATTCGTGCGAAGTTTCATCGCTCTCTTCTCCTTCTTTGTCGGCGGCCTCCGTTGGGCCGGTGCGAGGAGGTTAAGCAAATTAATAATTCTACCAATACTACAGATGTCGATTCTATTAATACTATAGACGTTCTACCACCTCCACCTATCAATCGCTCTTTTGCCTTTGATAAGGAAGCATTGGGTTTTCTTAACGAATTGACTCGTGAGCATGGCTATGCATACTCTGACAGCCAAAGCATCTGAACGTGACAAGCAGACGGCATATTAAAGTGCGCTACCTGCAATGTCATAAAAGTGGTGCTTACAGAAGTCGAATTAATGAGCAAAAGTAAGCAGCGGGAATACTCTCGCTTGGACAATTGCCTCTTTCGTGCAGTCCTTGTCATGGTTTTGTTGTCTCTGCGCTAGTAGAGTAAAAACATTCGACCATAACGAGGTACAAAGATGACTGATTGAAAGATCAGTTGCTTCTAGCACCCTCTATAGGAGCGGAGGCCATGTCTGAGTGGTATACTGTGTTTAACGGTTATCAGTCCTTGGCCATTCAGAATCAGCCTGATATTTAGAAATCAGTTACCCAAAGTATAATCATGCACCATCTCCGGCTCACACACATTCAACATTGCGCCATTTAGATGTTGAAAAGCATACAGATACCCTCAAGGACTAGCTTGTAGCTGGTATTCAGCCTCAGCAGATTGTTGATGCTGCAAGAACAAAAAGATGTCTATTCTTCCACGCGATGCCTATAACTCACGACAAAGAATCAAGAGTTTTTGATGGAAAACCCCCAATTCAGGCGGCTCTTCTAACTGCTCTTCCTAAAGAGGGAGGGTGGCTTTTAACTCCATAAAGGACTCGGATGACCACCTTACGGGACTGTTATACACGCATGGAAGCTGGCTTGATCTCTTGCATATGAATTTCGTTCTCTTAATTACGGATTGCACTTACGAGACCAACAAGTATAAGATGCCGATGTTAGATATTAACTTCCATATTTGCTGTTCGATACGAATGACGAATACCAAAACGGGTCCGATTAATATGTTGAAGAACGTTCTATTTATCAAGTTTTGCAGGACTAGAAAAATATAGTTAGTAACCAGTTTTTGGAGGAGGATGACGCTGATCAATTCCAGAGATGTGAAATAAGATAGGGACAACTTTAAATATCAACTGGTACTAATACAGTAAAATCTAACGGGGTTAGCTTTTCCTTTATTGAAGAATGCATTGGGATAGGGGTAATGCTATGTGTCAATTGTTTGAAGATTAACTGGTAGGTAATGCACTGCCTTGTTTCTTTAAATCCAATGATATTTGTTAGGGCATATGATGTCATTCGGCATATCTACAGTGAATCCGCTCCGACTCCGACTCCGACTCTCTCCGACACCAGTCTCTCCCGTCGAGTTTTCATCTGCGTGTCATGATGGTCAAAAGGGAGCGAAAGCGGTCCTGTCGTCGATGCGTCGAATTGAAGGTCAAGTGTGCTGTCAACGAGGGGAGCAATCGATGTCAACGCTGCTTCCGACTCGACCATGCATGTGTATTCCCGGACATGTCCACTCGTAGACCAAAGTGAGTTCATTTAATAGAAGTAAATTAAACCATGCTAACCAGGTTAGGAGTCGGATTGATGCATTGCAGGAGAAGGTGGATGGATTGCTGTTTCAACTGGGCCATAATGTATCTCTACCAGACCGACTTTGTCTACACTCGACTGACGGACCTGCAGACTGGTACATCAAATGCCGGGAAATTAAATTCAGATCCAACAAGCCCATGTCCAATTCCAGACCTCCTCACGCAGGCAGGCCCCCTGCTGGAGAAATTCCGCAGCGTCAAAATGCCCCAATTCCCCTTCGTTGTCATCCCATCCACCACCACAGCCTGGACGCTACAGAACCAATCCCCCTTTCTATTCCTTGCCATCATGGCCGCCAGCACGGAGGACAACCCTGTGCTGCAAAAGACCCTCGACCAGCAGCTCAAGCAGCGCATTGGACTGAACATCATCATGAACAACGAGCGCAGCATGGATCTCCTCCTGGGTCTGCTCGTCCACATCGCATGGGACCATTACCGATGGGAGACCGTGCATACCGAGATGTTCCTGTTGTTGCAGCTGGCGATGACCCTCGTGGCGGATCTGGGGCTACAGACGGGAGGATTGACCATGAAAAGCATCAGTATCTCCGCAGGATGCAAGGCAGGACGTACGAGTGATGAACTCGTCGCGTCGGCTGAGGGTAAACGGGCATTTTTGGGGGTGTTTTATCTCTGTTCATTGTGAGTCACGCCTCGGTATGTATGGACTGAATCTGGTGGGCCTGACTGGGTAGATTGTCGCTGTTTCGACCCCAATTGCATATGAAACACACGGATTGGATCGACCATTGCTGTGCCTCTCTCTCTGAGAACCCCGAGTATCCAACCGATCGAATATTGAGAACATATATCGATAGTCAGTCCCTCAAGTATACACCAGAGGACACTCTTCCTCTCGAGATACAACACCCCAATCATCCACATGACGCCCTGATCGACAACTGTACACACCAATCCACATCTATATCGAAGAGAGACAGACTAACAGATACAGGGACACACTTCTTCGAACTCAAATCCCGCCCTGTTCTCCTCCTCGGTCAGCTACTCGAGCGCCCCAGCCCGTCCAAAATCCACCTGTCTACTCTCATCGCCTCCACCGAGACCTTCCTCGTCTCGTTCCCCACCATCCCAGCGGACCGCGCCGTCCATCTCCCGCTGTCATTCCACACCTACGTATGGTACGCACTGCTGAGTCTATCCAAGACTCTCCTCCTCGCCGACGCAGAGTGGGCGCGATCCCTAGGTCTGGAGGCGCGCGTGTATGACTGCGCAGGGGCGGTGATGATGCGGTACGAGAAGCTCTCTTCCGGGGAGGATTTCTGGTCCAATAGTCATCGGACCATAGGGAAGATGGTGACGTGGTTGAAGGGACAGATGACGCAGCGTAGAGAGGCTGCATCTCAGGAGATTGGACATCATGGGGTGGATTCTGCAACAGGGTTCGATGATTTGGGCGTGGATTGGGATGCGGATCTGTGGCAGCAGACAATTGAGGGGTCGTGGTTTTTTCCCATGTTTTCGCCGGGACGTGATAGTTAATGTCTTATTGACTACATTCTTAAAATAGGGATTTTATAGTAGGGGACTGCTATAGCCGCACCCTATTCACTAATACCCCATATTATAGTTAGTTACCCCTTCCAAAATAGTCAGGATGGGTGGCTAAACCTGAGCCAGTATGGTCTGCGCGCAACCCTGAGACTTTGTGAGACTGAGCTTCTGTAAGTATCTTCCCCTACCAGCTCGTAACTTTCGTCTGTCGTGTTCCTGACTGTAACAAAGCAACGTGAGCACTTCTAACTAGTTCATAACTGGCTACATATGGGTTGTTAACCGGTTTCTAACCGGTTAGCCCATGTAGTTATCCTTGCCAGACCTTAAAAAGCATGTCACAACACACGAGGGGCATTTTATGGACACTTTGACTCCGGTTGGTCGTCTGCAGCAGAAGGGCATCGATGCGGCTGCTAGTAAATATAGTTCGTAACCCGTTCCTAACTGGTTGCCAAATGGTTAGAAGTCATGATAAGCATAACTTGACTGGTTGCTAACTGGTTAATTTATAATCATGACTGTTTGCGCCTGGATTTTATTAGATCATTTAAGGAGCGGTTGCTAATCAATTAACCACCAGTTAGCCTGGTGCCGCAAAGTGATGGCATCTGCCGCCCTCCACACTCGCGATCTCTCCCCTTTCTACCACCACCCACTCTTTTTCAGAGACATAAATCAGACTGATTAAGCACTGGTTCTTTACTCATTGCTAACCAGTAAAGGACCGTTAATAATTCAAAACCAGTTAAACCTGCACTGCCTTATGGTAAAGGAAACTCTGTAAGTGCATAAATCGTCTTCTAACTGGTTGGTAGTGAAAAGGACTGGAGCCCGTTTAACCTCTCAGGCCAATGTCCCTATTGTCCCCGTTGTCCCTATCGTCCCTACTGTCCCTACTGTCCCTTTTGGCCCTGTTGCCACCTTTGGCCATCGGCCCTCGATCCTGTCACATGACTTCCCACTCTGTTTGTTTACCTCTCGTTTTCCTCTTCCTTTCTTCCCTCAACGATTCCTTTTTGTGCATAACCTATCCCATAGGTTCTACGGGTTCAGCCCCTGACAATGCCATCGCCATCTGGATTCATGACCACCTAGACGTAATGCTCCATTTAAATTCAGCTTCTCCAGCACTGGACAAATTCACTTCTTAGCTCGTTTAAAATATGCAAATATTACTCCATTTAATGCATGCTAATTTCATAAATTGTCTAACAAGCTGACTAATATCACATGATACGATCATGATCATCGCCAACGTCAGACGTCCGACATCAACGTCATCTCTCATGCTTCGCGCCGGTATGTATTGTGGTAATGGCTTCCTTCGATAGGGCCATGCTGCAACGGCTGCCTGTTCGTATCGGTCTCAACGAGAGTATCCATCAATCCCGATGGAACATTCTAGAGGAGAAGGCCCGCAAGCTGCGCCCCTTCACCACAAGCCTCTTCCTGTCGCTACCTAATGAGCTCATCCTGGAGGTGGCCGACTATCTGAATCTGAAGAATCTCGCCCGTCTGTCCCGAGTCAACCGCCATCTTCGACAGCTCCTGGTGTCCCTGGTGTATCGAGTCGGTACGTGGTCTATTTAAATCCCCGAGTATACTAGTTGGTTAGTAGCTGCTGGCTGGTAGAGACCGTTTCCGCTGACTTCCCCAGGAAGCCGGGAGGTCGACCCTCATTTCAAATGCTATCTCTACACCTGGCTGCACTATGCCGCCGCGACAGGCGATGTGCCGCTGGCTCGCCGACTGATAGCCGAGGGAGCTGATCCCCGCAAATGGGACGACACGCGCGAGTGGTCGCCTCTCTACGTCGCCGTCGTCAACGGCCACATCGAGATAGTTGAGGAGTTCGGTCTCACCGAGGCGGACATGCACCGACGACATCTCGGCGCGGGCGCCTCCCTACTCCATGCGGCTGTGGAGGGCCGAAGCGAATATCTGATCCGTCGCTGCATCGGCCTGGGTGCTTCGATCGAGGCGCGAGACGCTCTCGGCGACACCCCGCTGCATCATGCTGCCGGTCGCGGCAACATCCACATCGTGCGTCTCCTGGTCGAACTGGGCGCTCCGGTCAACGCGCGCGATCGCCCCGGGCTTGTCCCCCTCCACCGGGCGGCCTCTGCGCGTGCCTACTGGGACCGGCCCGATACGCGCGGAGAGACCATCCAGTTCCTCGTCTCCTGTGGTGCGGCTGTCGATGCCCCGGACAACCGTGGTTGCACCCCGAGTCTGGTCGCCGCCGGGTGCGGCAACCTCAGCTCGATCCAGCTGCTGTATGCGCTGGGGGCTCGTCTGGACGAGCGCGACAGTATGGGTCGAGCCGCGCTGCACGAAGCGGCGTCGTCGACGATGATCACGGACCGGGATAACCGCATCGCCATGATCAACCTGTTGTGTGGGCTGGGGATGAAAGTGGACGTACGTGACTCGATGGGCGAGACCCCGCTGCATCTAGCCGCCTTTCAGGGTTATCCGGAGGCGATTCGTCGACTGGTGGAGCTGGGGGCCAAGCTGGACTGTCGGAATGCATTGGGGCAGACCCCTCTACACGGGGTGGCACTGGATGATTTATCGATCATCCGGCTGCTGGGGGCGCTGGGGGCGGATGTCAACGCCAAAGACTACGAGGGGATGACACCGCTGCATCAAGTGATTATCGACGGCACGGAGAATATGGCACTGGAGTTGATCCGACTGGGAAGTGATCTGGATATGAAGAGCAATGACGGGTTGACCCCGTGGGATATTGCTATTTTTGAAGAAATGGAGACTTTAATAGAGATGTACAAAGACCGGTATGTGCCGGAGTATACCCTGTATGATAGTTAACAGTGAATAATGACGCATCTTTTCTATTCTTCTCGTGCTACTTTACTTCTATCTGTATCTCTGTCCCTATCCCTATCCTTCCTACAATCTATTATTATCACAATGAACCACATCACCGACAATATCCCCCCCGACCTCCTTCCCAACCTCTCCATCCCCAACCTTGACAAACCCATCAAGATCCTCATGATCCACGGTACTCATTCTACCGTCCATCTTGAGTCTCACCAGCTAACAAGTCATGCCACGGCTCCTCCAGCGCCCGCGTCTTCTACAAATACCGCGGCCTTCAGCCCACCATCCGCCAGGAAACGATCTGTCAACTCCATCGCGACATCGAATACTTCATTCCCAATGCGCCGCTCCTGCCCACGGGGTTCGACCCGGGCATGTGGACCTGGATCTGGGTGATTATCGCAAAGACAAAGTGTCGGGGTTTGATCAGTCGATATCATACCTGATCAAGTTCATGGAAGAGAACGGTCCATTTGATGGGATCGTGGGGAGCTCTGCGGGCGCAACTGTCGCATTGGTGGTTGCGAGTTTGTTGGAGAGACAGGATAGATGTGAGGTTTTGGATGTGAAAGTATCTTCCCTATCCCTTTTCCTCTATGGACGTATTCTACGAGCATGAAAGTTGCTAAGTGTTTATATATAGACAGATCATCCCCTCGTTCGCTTCATCCTCGCCTACAGCGGATTCAAAATGGATCATCCATGCTACAAAGGCAGATGCCTTTGTATCGTATCGAGACTCCCGTTCTGCATTTCATTGGTGAGCTGGACACTTACATCCCCAGAGCGATGACGCGGGATCTGGCTCTAGCTGTCGCAATCATGAGATTGTGTATTTCCCGAGAGGTCATTATATCCCTCGTCTGATGAGGACAACTCTGGCGGCGGCGGAGTTTATGATTCGTGCTTTGGGGATGCAGGATGCGGATGAATGGGAGGATGTGTAATCTGTTCTATTCAGGAATGTTTACGCTATTCAACTAGCCAGGAGATTGGATAGTTAGTTAGAATCCTTCATGATCATGTAATCAGTCCTAGTTCATCTGTTGGTGTCTGATCAATTTCCTGAATCTGACATTCCTTCTTCGATCGATGAAAGTGGTAACTATGGTTCCATTTATCAAAACATAGAGGTAGATCTTGTATCTTTCTTTTCTTCATTTTCATCATTTTTCTATCTACTCTATACTCTTCTCTATCCTATATTATACTATATACTATACAAAATGAGGGCCATCACCTCCTCACCCTCCTCACCACAGCCCTAGGCCTCCCCTCCAACCTCATCACCCAAGATGCCAACGTCAAGTTCTCCAGAAAGCAGGACGGTGAAAGAAGCATCTGCGTAATGCGGTTCGGGCGCCCAGCACTCACGCTGCAACAAGGCCACCTACGCAGGCGACTCAAGCCACAAAGGGGGATCAGTCAGTGACGGTCTGGCGGCTGGATCCGGGTCCCAGGGAGCGGCGCTCTTCTCGGAGTGTTCGAAGTTGGATATTGATGGTACCATCCCTATCCCTTCTTTTCCCCTGGTGGAATGTATGCTGGGATATATGCTAATGGGTACAGTTACGATATTGTTGCTGCTCGGGGTGCAGGGTCAGTTGAATCGGCAATGTAAACAGAATGTAGCGTGTTGTCAAGAGAATGGTGCTGGTGCTGTAAGTTTCTCGCGATTATTCTGGTCTAAGGTAGGAAATAGATATGCTAATGCTGGATGATGTATAGGATCGTGGTCTGCTCGGGGTGGCACTGAGTTGTATTGGGATTTGGTCGATTAATAGTTTGGCTGGTGTATTCTATTCCTTTCCTGATTTCTTGTACATTATTAATTATATATTAGTTTCAATTATAATATAGTAGGACAGGGATCTAATGTCTCATGTGTAAGATTGTTTTGTTAACGCCAGCCTTGTCTAACGATACATTCGATCATCAGTTATTAAATATAACCTCATACATATATATATAAATAAATAATGTCGAATACGCCCCTCCGACTCTTCTCCCTCGGTATGCGCACCAACTCTTCTCTGTCTCAAAATAACTGTAGTTATAATATAGATGACGGTTATCCCACCGCCATCAGCCAACTAGTCATCCTGCTGGGATTGATGCGCTCGATCCAGATACAAAACGCCCTTCCGAGTCCACTGAGTCCGCACGAGGTCTTTGATCTCATCGGTGCAACGGGCCACGGGGAGCTCAATGCCCTCCTGTTAGGGTGATTACAACTCATCCTCGATCAATCACTGAGCGAGTACAGAGATCTTGCCAGGAAGGTCTCCAAGAAGCGGAAACTACAGGGTAAGAAGGGTCGGTATAAAGCCATGGCTATGAAATGCAATCAAGGATATGGTGCGGAAGTTTTCGCCAGAGGATACTCTCTCGCTAGATACAGAAGACCAAGGATGTAAGGTGTGAGCTTGACAATCCTATTAATTGTAGGTACTACCATATCATGCTCCATATAACAGATTCGTCTGCACCCATGGCGTTCTCGCCATAGAACATCCATGACTCCTCTGCTCCTATGCAACTTTCCAGGTCGACGACTACTCAGACGCTACGATCTGGCAAGCTGGTCGTGCCAGCACTGCCGATCCTGTCCTCTTCAAGCATCTACGTCTAATGTCCTTAGGGTTCCAGGACAAACTAATAGACGGAACCGTTAAGAGCCTCCGGGAACAGGCAGCGAGCATCTTCGCGGCAGATTGACTTGTCTCGTGCATCGTCAGCATTGGTTCTGGAAAGCGCTGATTCTAGAACTCCCACGGCCTGGGTTCTTCCAGCGTCTACTTCCCACAAAGATCCTGTCGGTCTTGGAAGCGTTGGCGTGTGATGCAGAACAGACAGCCAACGAGATGGATCGGAGGCTTGACCATCCGCCTGATCTGTATATCCGGTTCAATGTGGGAGAGAGATTCGCTGGGATCGGTCCGGATGAATGGAAACAAATGAGCAGGGTCGAGGCAACTACGATGGATTATCTAGGGAGTCTGCCTGCAAGGGCTGGTATCCTGAGCGCTGCATCTTCATTATCTAGCGATGTTGGAATATGCACAGCTTCTAATCTACCTACATAGCTATCAAACCTTTCTCGGTTTTCGCACCATACAATAAAGCTATCCGGTCAGCATTGCCATATCCATCTTCGAATCTGATATCGAACGTACCTTGCATGCATCCGTCCCATCGACACACTCAATCTCCTCGACCAACTCAAACCCCAACTTCTCATAAATAATCAAATTCGGTACTCCCTTGGAACTCTCTAGATAACACGACCGACCCTCGAGGTCTGCCCTGCGCGTCACCACCTCAACCAGTTTCCTGCCGACGCCCTGGCCGCGCATCTCCGCACTGACCGCCAGCACATTGCAGAAGTAGTACCCGCGGGGGTCCGTCCATACTCGGGCATGAGTATCGCGCTGCATTGCCTTCCACAGACGATACCGGGAGAGATTGAGCCCGCCGCGTCCGCCGAAACGGATGTTGAATGTCAATTGGCGGAAGGAGAGCAGCCAGTCCTGCGCCCAGACGGACCACGAGGGACGATACTGCTTCGGCTGCGGACTGAACCACCAGCAGACGCCGACGACGGAAGCGCTTCGTTTGTCGCTGGGGGGAGCCTTGGCGATGTAGATAGGCATGTTGCAGTTGAGGCCATATTGGAAATGGGCGGCTAACGAGGCGGCGTTGCGGTGGACATTATACTATCATATTAATATTATTATGTAATTCATATATTAATTTATTCATAGGATAAATCGATAGTATAATACATACTCGGCCATCAAACAGCCACAGGAAATACGGATCTTCCGCAAACGCGGTCTGCACGCATTCTACGGCCTCGGGGATGTCCTTCTCGGTCAAAGGAACGATCTCGATCGCCATGATGGCAGTCCAGGAGGCTGTTAATTTCTACTGTTTCTGCGAATGGGTTGGGATAAAGCGATAGTGTAGGCGTGCGAATGGCGGCGGAGGGGATAGAGCGACAGCGCCATCTAAGATGAGCTGGGAGGAGGGAGATAGAGGATAGAGGGGGGGGTTAGGAAACGATGGAGGATGGAGAATGAAGAAATGGATGGGAATGGATAGAGGAATGAATATTGGAATGCACTGTGAGAGTATATATAGAGAGAGAGACAGATGCTCTACATACTCTGTATAAACAGTCTAACCCGATTCGGGAGTTCGACGCGGTCTCATCATTCCGCTATGAATGGTGGGATCGGCGGTTGCCAAGACGTTAGGCAGTTTTAGGAAGGTAGTGCCGGCGGGTCTATCTGGTCAAGTGATCTCTTTGAAGTTGGTTGAGTGGTACGGACGAAGAGGAGGTATGGGGCAGATGAGGGGCAGTCTATCGTAGTTAGTGCTTATCTCAAAGATGGGAGAAGAGGTCTTGTCAGGACAATGTTTATGAAGGACAAAGTACGAACTATTTGCTAATGGACAACGTATCTTATCTAATCTCTCCCTCAGAGATTAGTTAGATCTATATATTTGTGTATGAAACAAAGAGGAATTCCTTTAGGCACATTGAGATATTGAAAAAAGCCTAAATAAGAACAAGATCAAGATTGCATAGTCTAACTTCACTATCATATATATTCTAGAATTATCCGAAGTAGCTTCATAAACATCATGTTGTTGTGTATAGTTTGTATGCAGGTGACAGTCCGTACTGACGTTGCAAGTGGGGTCACCTCCTATAAATAAGGAATCACCATCCCATACAACTCTTGTAATTCATACAATTCATAATTCACCAACTACACTCATAAGTCTACAATGTCCTACTACCAATCCCACCACGCCGAATCCACACACGATGCCCAACTCTTCATCGACAACCAGTTGCGTCCATCCTCCACTCAATCATGGATCGATGTGCACGACCCCGCTACCAACCGTTTGATCTCGCGCACCCCCGAAGCCACTCCATCGGAGCTGCACGCCGCCATCGCCTCCGCTAAAGCGGCCTTCCCAGCATGGAGAGACACCAGCACCATGAAGCGTCAACAGCTGATCTTCAAGCTCACTCATCTCATCCGCGAAAACACCTCCGTCCTCGCCACCGCCATCGTCAACGAACAGGGCAAGACCATGTCCGACGCCGTCGGCGACGTCCACCGCGGCCTCCAGGTCTGCGAAACCGCCTGTGGCATTACCACTCAGATCCCCGGCGAGGTCCTCGAAGTCGCCAAGGATATGGAAACCCGCTCCTACCGTCTTCCTCTGGGCGTCGTCGCCGCCATCTGTCCGTTTAATTTCCCCGCCATGATCCCCCTCTGGAGTCTCCCCATCGCCCTGGTCACCGGTAACTGTCTCATCTTGAAACCCACTGAGCGCGCCCCCGCCGCCGCCATGATCATCGCCGAGCTGTGCGCCAAGGCTGGCTTCCCCGCCGGCGTCGTCACCGTCGTGCATGGTTCCAAACCCGTCGTGGACTTTCTTCTCGACGAGCCAGAGATCAAGGCCATCTCGTTCGTCGGATCTAACAAAGTTGGAGAATATATCTACAATCGCGGCGTAGCTAATGGTAAACGCGTCCAGGCTAACCTGGGTGCTAAGAATCATGCCGCGCTCCTCCCCGACTGTAATAAACAGCATGCCATTAATGCCATCACTGGTGCTGCGTTCGGAGCCGCCGGTCAGCGCTGTATGGCGCTCAGCGTTCTGGTAGCGGTGGGTGCGGCCCACGAATGGATTCCCGATTTGGTGAGCAAGGCCAAAGAGTATCGCGCTGGAAGCGGGTTCGACGAACGGTCCGATCTAGGCCCGTTAATCTCGCGTCAGAGTCGAAGTCGCTGCGAGGCGTTGATCGCTAGTGCGGAATCCGAAGGTGCAACGATTGCTCTTGATGGGAGGGGATATAAACCCGAGGGCTTCCCGGATGGAAACTGGGTACATCCCTCTCTTTTATGCCCTATACTTGATCCTAACTAACTAATTAGGTCGGTCCGACGGTCATCACCGGCGTCAAACCACACATGCAATGCTACAAGGAGGAGATCTTCGGACCGGTTCTCCTCTGCGTTGAGACCGACACGCTAGACGAGGCAATCGGACTAATCAACGCCAACGAATGGGGCAATGGCGCCGTGGTCTTCACGCAATCGGGATCCAGCGCCACGCACTTCCAGAAGAAGATCGAGGCCGGTCAACTCGGGATCAATGTACCTATTCCGGTGCCTCTGCCTATGTTCTCGTTCACGGGGAATAAGCGCAGCGTGGCGGGGACCGGACTGGCCAATTTCTACGGAAGGGATGGATTGCGGTTCTATACGCAGTGGAAGACGGTGACTTCTTTATGGAGAGAGGAAGATGCGACAGCGGGGCAGAAGCCGAGTTTTATGCCTGTTTAGTATCATCAGTGAACAGTTATAATACATCAATGAACAGTTATAATACCTATAGATATATCTAGAATATGTCTATGTCTATCCATCTAAAGTTATGACCTCTTCGACTTCCTCTCTCTCGTCATCACGATATACGTCGCCGTGCCCTTTCCCCCAAACGGTTCAAAATCCAGCACGATATCCTCCACCTTCCGCCATCCATACTTCCGATACAACGGGTAACCCTCTGGGGTCGCCTCCAGATAAATCCGGACATCATTTTCATCCGCATAATCCATCCCCCATTGCAGGAGTTTAGTAGCCACGCCTTTCCTTTGATATTCAGACGATGTGGCGATATAATCCAGCGCTATTCCATCAGTACATCCCCCAACATACAATACACACAAAAGGAAGGAAGGAAAGAAGGACATACCAATATCATCAATCTCCATATTCAGCGCCCTCGTCTCCTTCAGTGTCGTAAAAAAATCATCATACAGGGCGCGGTTTGTGCCCTCAGGTATGACGCTCTCTATCTGGGTGATTTTCATCTTCGCTTCCTCGGAGAGCGGTACCCGCGCGTCGGCACTGCCGGGGATCGTCCATCTGGACCAGCCGATAATTCGACCGGTGGTGCTATCCACGGCAGTGAAGACATGTTCGTCCATCGAGTCGAGCTTCTGCAGACATCGTGCAAATTTCAATGGGTATGTTCGCGCGGGATCCATCGAGGGAAATGCATTGTGCCAGTATTCGTGGTGGCTGAAGCAGTCGATGTTGATCAGGGCCAGCGCTGGGACGTCGGATTCGATTGTGGGACGGGTTTGGATGGGCATTTTTACTTGTATATTGTATAGAGGATATAGGATATAGACAAGAAGTGAAAAAGATACTATCGAGTGAGACTGATTGTAGATGGCAGACGTAATATTTAAATGCAAGCACCCGTCGGGAAGATACCGCGGGGTCCAATTCGGGTATAGAGTCGGTTGCAATCCGGTGTTCCTGCCATGGCTTAATAAGGATTATGATTTGAATGGATGCTTGTGGATTGTTTGATTCTTGGTAGGGATCGGAAATTCGCTAATTTATGCTGAATCTAGGCATTGTACTGACAAAGGACCCTGTCGGAACAAGATATGCAGAAGTAGGGCTTGCATCAGGCACAGTATATCGGTATATCTGGGTCCGTATTTTCTATATCCATACCTGAATATCCTCACCAGACATTTGGGGGCGGGTATGTATCAATAATATGGCTAGGCCCACTTCCCTAACAAACTCATCAATGCCGTCCCCGCAATAAGAGAAAAACCCCCAATCGAGACCCGTCCTATCGGTGCATTCAGCATCTCGCCTCCCTCCATCACCCAGTCTCGAGCCCACATATCCACCACTCCAACCCACACCAGAATCCCCGCCGACAGCGCATCCAGCGTCCCCAGTGCAATCAGCGTGCTCTTCCCATTGCCATTGAACGAGTTGATCACCCCCATCCCAATCGCCATCCCAATCGGCGTGATCAACGCAAACACCGCGCCCATGATTGTCTTGGTCGGCAGTATACCCCCGGGTAGGAGAGCAATGCGCGCCCCCAGCGCCAATCCCTCGAAGAACTGATGGAACACAATCACCACTAGCAAGGTCTTGTAGAATGAATCCCCCGCCACCACCAGCGTCAGTCCGATCAGGACACTGTGGAAAATCACTCCCGCTTCCATGACCAGCACAGAGAGCTTGGTGTTGGCCTGCGTGGGATCATGCGGCCCGTGACTGTGGCCCAGATGCGCCAGTGCCATCGCCGGTGCGGGCTGCGGGGCGTGAGTTTGAACGTGAACGTCGACATGTTTCTGGTTCTGCGATCCCGTCTCTGTGGCGCTGTCCTGCGCGATGCAGTTCCGATGGGCCCTCGCAAGGAGGATGCGGTGTCCGATGTATTCGGTTAAGAAGGAGAGGAGGATTCCTGCCATCACAATGGCGGATGTGGTGGCTTCGTATTCGAGCTCTCCAAGACATTCATTGCTAAACATTAGATTCGCATGGGTGTAGAGCTATACATGTCAGTTGGAGGTATTGTGAGGGGTGAGTATCGAGGTATTACATGGACAAACGCAGTGGAGAGGATCACTCCCGTGCCAAATTGCTTAATCACCGTCGTTGCAATCGTGTTGATGCTCGAGAATGGCAGTTTAACCAGTCCCATAGGCAGGAAGACTCCCAAAGCACTGGTGAATAACACCACGAATAGCGTTCCTATCCGCAGTGGCATGTTATAGTCGCGCGTCTGGATTCCACAGGTCGGCTTCTTAGAGTTTTCTGACTCTCCGCTTCCCACGCAATGTCTGCAGTATATGATTAGCTGGGATGAGACACGCTAATCAGTGGTAGGGACGCACTCAACACCCGCGTGGAAATGGCAGTTCTGGCCACCGTGTGATTCTGCAGACTCGGTCTGATGGCTGTCGGTGGTTTCGCCTTCTTTGAGGATCTGCACGTCGTTTCCGTCGGGGTCAAGACAGAACCTGCAACAATTAGGCCGGATCAGAGGTAGCTGAGGAAATAAAATCATAGTCTCACCGTTCACTTCCGTGAGAATGACAGCCCGTATACTGCGCCGGGAGTTCGCCCGTCGGGGTCGATTCCAGCGACACCTGGACTTCACTGCCATCACTCTCGATGCAGAACACATCGTCCCCGTGCTTGTGGCATTCTGTCACGGCAGACGAATCCGCCGATGCAGTCGTGGTGGCTCTCACCGACGTCGCTGTGGCCGCAATGTGAGTCGTGACGGGTGTCTCGTTGCCATCCTTCCCATAGCAGTACTCGACCTCGCCATGTCTATGGCATCCGGAGTAGCTCTGAGCATGCACTGCCCCCAAGGTGAGCGACGCAAGGATCAATCTGCGGACCATAATTGACTATATGACAGTCCCTGTTATCTTGGGATAGTTGACGTCGTACTCTCCAAAGAGTATTTATGTCCCGCTGCTCCCAAGGTGTCAACCCCCGCCTGTCCCCCGGGTCCGTGGATGGATTTTTTTCGTGGATGGAATGAATCGAGACACCGATATTAGCTCTTACAACGGAAGACGAGGGATGTGCTTGTTCATGGCTGCCTCTCTGTCTCCACTGTGCAGAGATTTATGAAGGCGTCGAGACTAACTCCCAAGGTATCTCTGCCAAGCACAGTGTCCATCGCCAAGCGGATTAAAGACTCGTATATTGGGCTGAGTTGGATCCTCAGTGTCTGGCGCTTCCAAGGTCCTCGTCCAGCCTTGGCGGAGGACTTGGCTATGATATGATTTGGCGGGATATGAAGTTCATTTTGTACTCCGATGACAAGGTAGTGGATACTCGGTGCTTAGGTATCTTGAGGGTTCGTATTGCATTGCGTGATGGGGACCATGTGGTCGTTGCGTAGGGCTAGTCATATATCAAATCAACTTCACGGCCACAAGGTGCTCCTTGGCATCAACGATCATGATATCGATATCCAGAGGCTCTACCGTGATATCTCGAGAAAGCAATCAAATCCAAGAGACCTTGGCAATCAGCCACGATATCCACGGCAGATACGATACTATGCCGTATGGCTCTATAAAAAAGCCTACAAGTCCTCGCGGACAGGGTTGAAGACACTCGGACAGCAACCCGGATAATAAGAAAACAAGAAAATGAAATCCTTCGTCTCACTCCTCCTTCTCTCCGCCGTTTCGGCTTTCCCCGCCCCTGCGCCTGTCGAAACGAACAGAGAAAGTCAATCACCTCCATTTGGTCCTCTCTCCCTGGGACACCGGCGCCATCACCCGATTCCCCATCCACCAGAGCTGCAATGCAACCCAACGGCTCCAGATTGAAACCGGGTTGAACGAGAGCATCGCTCTAGCTGCCCATGCCAAGGCTCACATTCTGCGTTGGGGCAATGAAAGTGCCATCTACCGCAAGTACTTTGGTCATAGTCCTTCCATCGAAGCCATTGGCGCCTACGATATTGTCGTCAACGGAGACAGGGGAGGCGTTCTCTTCCGTTGTGACAACCCAGACGGGAACTGTCAATTAAATGGTGCGTACCACATCGCACTCCTCCCTTCTTCCTTCCATCTCACCCGATGAAATGAAATACAGGATGGGGCGGCCATTGGCGCGGCGAAAATGCAACCGACGAGACCGTCATCTGCGATCTAAGCTACACCTTGCGACGCTCGCTCTCCACCCTCTGCTCAATGGGATACACCGTGTCTGGATCAAAGACAAATACCTTCTGGGCCGCGGACCTGCTGCATCGGCTCTACCATATGCCGGCGTTTGGACAGGGTCGTGTCGAACACTTTGCCGATGACTACGACGGGGTTAGGAAGTTGACCATTGGGAATCGCTCCGTTTCGACACGGGACTCCAACACGTTGCAGTATTTTGCACTCGAGGCGTATGCGTTTGATCTTGTTGTACCGGGGGTAGGATGTTCTGGGGATCATGATGAGGGCCATGATGATAATGGTAAGGATCATCACGATAATGACAAAAAGGAAGATGGAAAAAATATTCCAGCGGTATGTGAATCTTTTTGACTTGTCGAACGAAGCTAACTATGCAGAATTGCCATACCCATGAGGGAGGAGAGTTGCATTGCACTTAGTAGTTGGTGGGATGACATGCTATGGATGGAATGACACGTATGGATTATCTATACTGTACTCTATCCTGACACTATATTCTGTACTGTCGGATACTATCAGTCCACCACCAAGGTCGTCTTTACACTGCATTAGATGAGTTCTGTCAGCTATAGATTTAGCATGCACATACATGAGAAGACAAGATAGGTCCGCATACCTCCACCTCCAGACATGACGAGGTTAGTCGATCGTAATCCAGCCCTAGAAAGTGGCAAGTATGCAATAATTCCAACTCATCACCAGAGTCAAGATTCCAGAGACAGTAATGACACAGGCAACCGTGTCTATGGGGATTGCGGTTCCCTGGGAAACTCGCTTGCATTCTCTGCGTGGAAGAGAGTCCCATTCATTGGCGTTGACATGGTGCGTAGTATTTGAGGACTTCCTGAGACGGTCGCAAATGGTCTGGAATGAAGGGAGAGAGAATAAGAGAATGAGAGGTGGAGCGGGTTCTCTTCGGAGGTTATTTGCATTCCTGTGAATCCGTCCATCCTTTGCTTAAATGGTCTGTGATAAAATAATACTTCAAAAAAAAAAAAAAAAAAAAAAAAAAAAAAAAAAAATAAGGGGGAAAGGGGAGAGGGGCAACAAGGAGAAGAAAAGGGGGTTTTGAATTACTTCCTGAAGCTCCCAGTCTAGGTTCAGATAGATGACGGATATGAGACAAGCGATTCAATGCAGTCTAGATAATTAATTTGCCACGGCACGTTTGATGAAGCGATTTATAATACGTTTGCTTTGGAGCATACCGAGGGTTCGAGTTGTGATGTATCTTGGCAGTCTGGTATCGCATTTATTTCAGACGATTATATAGACAGAAAATTCTCCCATATAGATGAAATAGTACGATAGATAAAATAGGGATTGCTAGGTAGACAGTGCCTTGTAATATATGATGACACTTTGAATAAACGAAGTTGTAGGTTTAAGGCATTATGGATATATACGAGAGATTATATAGGGTGAATGTATATATATATATATTTCCGTAGATAAACATATGGCCTCAAGTGAATACCACAGTATAACTATATGTTTGCTTGGAGTATATAATACATGTCAATACGTTCTAGCCTAATCAAATCAATTTTACTACTGCATTCTAATTAGAGCTGAATAGTATCAATATATATTTCTCCCCAATCTACTCCACAGTTTGCATCTAGAAGCGAGACTATTTTGCCAAAATGACTAAAAAACCTAATTATAGTATCTCTTACCACATTACATCCTAACTCTAATGCCTACGTCAACAGTATATCTAGATTAATCTCAATACCGTGTAGGGACCATTGCCCAGGAAATTCTCTGGCGAACTGGAATGCACACCACTTCACTACAGTGTCATCGTCAGCAGTCCACGTTGTCGTTTGGCAGGTGCAGGCAGACACTCGCCCGTTATGGAAGCTACTGAGCATTGACTCTTAAAGAACATCCACACATCCATTGCTCTATCCACCACCCATCCTAATCCAACCGCATACGATACCCCCAATTTACCTCCTATCCAGCTCTATCCTCCCGTGTCGTCGCATCGATACTCTGTGTATGATTATCTACCTCCACGTCCATCTGTTCCACACAAGATGAATTCGCCGGATCTATCGCCCTTCGGAGCCCAGTTCGCGCACAGAGATGACAAAAGATCAGTGTCATCAAACACCACTCTCCCCACTACTCTCGCTGCCGTACCCGAAGCCCACACCTTGCCATCCTCCCTCGCTACTCCTGTACAGGACTTCGATCCCTGCATCGGCGCTAAACCATCCTCTCCATTCTATCGGCATGCCACTCCCTCTGTCAGTCTCGCCCGTCTCAAACTCCAGTCCAAGAATCCTCAAGCCCGCGAAGTCCACGAAGATCCAGAGAATATCCCAGATACTACCCGGTCGTCGGTGACAGGGGATAGGTCGCATCGCGATTCGAAACTTTGGGCGCAGGAAAAGACACGTTGCGGCTGTATGCAATCATTGTCTAAAAAGCAACAGATCATACTAAAGGCTGCTATTGCGATCGGGACTCTGGGAAGCATGATGGCTATTGCGCTAGGGATTACTGCGGCCGTCGGTGGAGGAGTGTGGAAATCGGATCATCAGCATCGGGTTATCGGATAAGGTGTTTTGGCATCATGACTGCATGTTTTGCTACCCATGTCATGGCCTCGTATCAGAGGTCTGTCTTGCGTGTGAAATAGCAGAAACGGAGAGCACCAGGCTCAGCGGATACCTCCAAGTGATGGGGGAACATCGATGTACATGCGCTCGCAATCGATTGTACAATAAGGGAGCTGCATTGTGGGATGTGTACCTATTCAAGTAAAACTTCATGGCCAGTGAACAATTGCAATGACGACTGTATTCTTATGGTGCCGATAGACCTAAGTAGAAGATAAACGGGATTATGCCTGAATGCCGTTCCAGCTCGGTGCCTGGCGGAAGATTGTCGGCCCTCCCACGTGACCCCACACGCGCATAAAACTCACATTCCGCCGCGCCAAATTTTCTCCCTTTTCTTTTTTTCCTTCCTCACATCGAAAAGTTTTAACAGAATCTGCCACGACCACCGTCCAGAACTCTTCCCACGGCGGTGCGTTGCCTTCGGTCCTCTCGGACTGATCGGTTCTGGAGAAAAAGTTTCCTTGATAGGAAGTTTGCCTCTCGTTGAGTCCTCTTAAGTGAGGGCCATGAGGGGGAAATGTCGATGACGGGATACATCTCTTTTAACTAACTGTATAATGTGAACATAATGTATTAATTACGAGTGTCTGATTGGATTTCTGTATACTGCCTTGGCATTCGAGGAGCGTTCGTACAATAATGCCATCTCCAGCACATGAGCTTCATGAGCATTGTGGTTCCTGCATTACTGCGTAGGGTTGGGAGCGCACTGTGGCCCCAAGGCCTGAGCTGAGTGCACCCTGCAGCAAGGAAGCACACTAATCACCTACAGTCATCAATCCTCTTGACCCAAGTCAGGGTCCAAAAGTAAAACCGACCAAAAAAAGCAAGCAAACTGCTGATCGAGGCATGGACTTGGACAACGCTAAGCGTCAATGACAATGTCACTGTCCCAGTTTACCGCGTCAATCAATCCGCGTTCTTTCTGGCTCCAAGGATGAGGAATGCTGTCTAAGAGATTTAACTGTCCGAGGCGCGCCACACTCATTCCTAACAACATTCTTGTGTCTGAAAACAATGCCTGGACAGTATTTGTTTATTTGGTGCTCAGCATGCTTCACCATACACGTCCAACAATCCGAAGCATGATAAAAGGTGCTCTGGAAGGCCTACCTCCTCCGACTAGATTACAACCCGGAGAATTTTCTTACGACGTCAACAATTCATTCTTTTTAACGTACTCTTTTAGGTTATCTTATTCATAGGCCTCTAGGCCCACCCTCATTCCTTAATATCATTCTTAACATACTGTATTAATTAACTAATCACCCTACACTGAACCAACTACGACAACATGAAGGGACTTCACGGCGGAATCCCAATCGCCGTATTGGCCGCCGTCGCCAGGGCTCAGTACAGCGAGCTCATCGGCGGCAGTAAGGGTGTCGACACCGGAAACAGCGCAGCTGTGCCTTCAACAAACGAATTTGCGTCCATCTATAATGACAAAACAAAGACGACCATTCCATTGACATAGACCATTCCGTAGACATCGACCATCAGGTTGACGTCGACGTGCATCCAAGGCCACCGCATCATCATTGGAGGCCCAGAGCCGATGGTAGCCATGCTCACGGCCATGATCATGACCGTGGGGATGCAACACTTATCGGTGGCAGCGGGGGTGTTGACAGCGGAAACAGCGCATCGGTGCCGTCAACAAACCAATTCTCATCCCTCTACGATGAGGACAACAAAGACGACCATTCCGTTGACATTGACCATGATGTTGACGTAAACCATGACATTGATGTCGATGTGCATGCGAAGCCACCGCATCATCCAAGACCACCACATCATCATCCGAGGCCTAGAGCCCATGGTAGTCATGCTCACGGCCATGATCATGACCGTGGTGATGCAACCCTTATCGGTGGCAGTGGGGAGTCGACAGCGGAAACAGCGCATCCGTGCCATCAACGAACCAATTCTCATCCCTCTACGACGAGGACAACAAAGATGACCACTCCGTTGACATTGACCATGATGTTGACGTAAACCATGACATTGATGTCGATGTGCATGCGAAGCCACCGCATCACCATCCGAGACCACCACATCACCATCCGAGGCCTAGAGCCCATGATAGTCATGCTCACGGACATGATCATGATCGTGGGGATGCAACCCTTATCGGTGGCAGTGGGGAGTCGACAGCGGAAACAGCGCATCGGTGCCATCAACGAACCAATTCTCATCCCTCTACGATGAGGACAACAAAGATGACCATTCCGTTGACATTGACCATGATGTTGACGTAAACCATGACATTGATGTCGATGTACATGCGAAGCCACCGCATCATCATCCAAGACCACCACATCACCATCCGAGGCCTAGAGCCCATGGTAGTCATGCTCACGGCCATGATCATGACCGTGGTGATGCAACCCTTATCGGTGGCAGCGGGGGTGTTGACAGCGGAAACAGCGCATCGGTGCCGTCAACAAACCAATTCTCATCCCTCTACAATGAGGACAACAAAGACGACCATTCCGTTGACATCGACGATAAGTTTGATCTCGATCATAACGTTGACGTCGATGTGTATGGAAGGCCACCGCATCATCATCCGAGGCCAGCGCATCATCATTGGAAGCCCAGAGCCGACGGTGGTCATGGTCACCACCACGATTACAGTGATGCAACCATCATCGGTGGGCCTAAGGGTGCCGACAGTGGAAACAGCGCATCAGTGCCATCAACAAACCAATTCGCATCCCTCTATGATGAGGACAACAAAGACGACCATTCCGTTGACATCGACGATAAGTTTGATCTCGATCATAACGTTGACGTCGATGTGTATGGAAGGCCACCACATCATCATCCTAGGCCAGCGCAAGATCATCCGAGACCACCGCATCATCATTGGACGCCCAGAGCCGACGCTACTCATGGTCATGGCCATGATCATCATCATGGAGACCATGGGCACGGAGGTCACGGAGGTAATGGGCATGTTGATCATGACTATGGTGATGCAACCCTCATCGGTGGCACTAAGGGTGTCGACAGCGGAAACAGTGCATCGGTGCCATCAACAAACCAATTCGCATCCCTCTACGATGAGAAGAACAAAGACGACCATTCCGTTGACATCGACGATCAGTTTGACCTCACTCATAATGTAGACGTCGACGTGCATGCAAGGCCACCGCATCATCATCCGAGGCCAGCGCATCATCATCCGAGACCACCGCATCATCATTGGACGCCCAGAGCCGACGGTGGTCATGGTCACCACCACGATTACAGTGATGCAACCCTCATCGGCGGTCCATCAGGCGTTGACATCGGGAACAGCGCAGCTGTGCCATCAACAAACGAATTCGCGTCTATCTACGATGAGCAGAATAAAGATGACCATTCTACGCACATGAAGGAGGATGTTGATGTCGATGTCGACGTCCATAAAGGCTCCAAAGGCCATATGAAGACTAGGAGACATGGGCATGATAGTGTTGTTGGTGGCCGCTCACACGCCGCTAGGGATGACCACGACGTCACTATGGTTGATGGGCCGTCAGGTGTTGACATAGGGAATGCGATAGGAGGAGACACGGAGAATGATACGGGGCTTGGCCACGCAGGTCACGGACATGATACTGTCATCGGGGGAGCGAGTGGCGTTGATATTGGAAGTTCTGTGGAAATTCCGAAGACAAATACATTCGCCTCGGCGTATACAGAGAAGAACGTTGATGACCACTCGAAGCATATTGATGACTCCAAGAATATTGACGATACGTACCATAAGTCCTACTATAAAAAGACCCGGGGTTTGGAGCACGGTGATGACCACGGCGATGCGACCGTTATTGGCGGTGCAAGTGGCGTTGATATTGGAAATGTGGCTGATGTGTCTTCTACAAATTCGTTTGCATCTCGACACGATGAGAACAACAAAGACGACCATTCGTTCACGGGCAAAGGGCAGGAGCATTACAGTATTGAAGCCCGCGGAGGTCGCGGCTCAGATACAGTGGTGGGTGGTGGACCAAGTGGTGCTGATTCTGGTAACGGCGCTTCCGCACCTTTCAGCAGTGGCTTCGGCACAGCCTACTCAGAACAGAACGAGGACGATCACTCTATTAGTGAAACGTCTAAGGCTGATGTGAGTATTGGATCCCACGTACGAAATCATTATTGTCACCATCCCCCTATGACTGTTACCAAGACTGTTGTGGGTGCTTATGCTCCAACCGGCCATCATCACGCTCCACAAGAAGTTTACGAGTCACAACCTATGGGTAATCACAACCCAGCTCCCGCTCCGGTACATCAGAACAATGTTGCAGAGTCATCTTCGCCAATGGGAATGCCCCCTATTCACGGCTCGACCTCTGAGGCTGGATCTCATTCGCCTGGTATTAATATACCTGCTGCTCATGGTAATGAGGCTGGAACCCATAAGCCTTCGGGTAACAAGCCTGCTGCTCACGGTGGTGAATTGAAGCCTAGTCCAGCTGTGGCCCACGCACCCGAATCCCAGGTCATATCTTCTCCTGTCGCTCATGGAACAGGGATGGAGGCCGCACCCTCTACGATTCATATGGCCGTGACATCCACCATTACCGTCCCTCGAGCGTCGTCCTTCGCTAAGATTCCAGTGCACGTCCCCGCCAGCTCGGCCGCTTATGCTTCGGGCGCTGCGCACTCTGCCAATGCTGCGGTGTCCAGCAGCGTATACGTGCACGGGTATCCGTCGAGCGCTGTCCATAGCGCTATAGATTCGAACATGCCGTCGCCTTCTACAGCCCCATCGGCAGTCGATGGGTTGTTCAAAGGTGGTGTTGCTCGTGTCTCACCCAACGCCGGTGTTCTTTCTATTTGTGGTGTATTGGCTCTGTTGGCCTATGTGTTGTGAAATGTGTGGATGCAGTTCGTGAGATTGTCTTCTACGGGGATAGGTTGATGTACCGTTTTTTTTTTGGGTCAGTTATTAATCGTGATTTATGTTATGTGTTGTTATGACCGTTTTGTTGATTAATTTTTCGTGAAAATGGACTCTAGTTTATTCAGTGTCGTGTATCCTGGTGTGGTATTGTCCGTATATGTGCGGGAAGGGTATAGTCGTTGACTCCTATGTATGATCGTATTGAAGAATAGTTTATCGATGTTTTTAAAGTTTTTGTTGGAGCTATATAAAAGTGGCCATTATTCCAATTTTGCTATCACATCAAAACCTAAATTTGGAATCTTGACTTATGTTAAGTCCGTTTATCTGGGTATAGCAACTGAATATCATGCTTATGGCCTTGAATGGGATCCTGCTTATGTCTCCCAGTATTTAAACACGTTATTGAAAACCATCTCCAGTGACTCCGAAAAAATAACAGCCTCTCTGATGACTTCCACGGGTAGGTCGATTTCAAACGATGCGATATTCTGATCCATTTTCTTGGTTCCGTCCGCATAGGGCCCTAGTCGAAGAGGAACTAGATAAAGTAGGGTGTCCTGATGGACGGTGGTAATGTCTTGATTTTGTGTGTTTAGGATATTGGGGGAATGAATGATGCGGGTTGATTTGATAACAATGTATTGGGTTGTGATATTATACGACTGTAAATATTCGTTCAGATGCATCTTTGTATGTAGAGTGTCATTGCGCTAGAAACCCCTGGTATATTTCTTCGAGAACATCCCGTTTTCGCTTTCTATCCGCTTGCTCAGCTTCTTCGGCCTCATCGGGCTCTCCGTCAGGGTCTCTAGATATCCAAGTCCGGATTGTCCCGTCGCCATGCGCAGAGAACATCTCCACGCCCTCGCCAGAGGCTCCGTTGCCGCGCCATGCCAGGGCGTTGATACGCGCCGCGCTCAGTGCGCTGGACCGGCCTCGAAACTGATGCTGCGATCCGGCCAGAAGGCCCGGGATTCGGAGGCGCTTGACGAATGACCCGTCTCGAAGTTCGAACATGAAGATCTCTCCGCGGTCGTCTTTCTCGTTGAAGTTCGCCCATAGAAGCGTCTCGTGGCCTGAGTCCATTACACCCCGCGGGAGCACCAGTGGTGCGCGTTCCGCGAGATGAGACGAAACGCTATTCCGCAACCTGGGCCCGAAGTGAACAAGGGTATTGGCTCCAGTCGATGCGTCCCAGACGCGAATGCGCGCGTCCTGTCCCGCTGTCACTAGGTGCGTGCCATTGGAGGTCCACCGTACGCCGGTTACGGCGCCGTTGTGGGCTCGTGCATGTGGAGAGTATGGTGGGCGACTTTCGTAGCCTGTCGGTGCGAGGTGTGGTGGAACTAATCCGACAGCGTCGTCCATGTCCAGTGCCGAGATTGCAGAATTGTGTCCGCCGCGCCGGATGTCGAAGAGAATCACTCGGTTATCGGCTGATGCCGACGCCAGGATGTGCGGTTGGTGAGGAGCCCATGAAACGGAAAGAACCGAGGAGGTATGCCCCGGGAGACCATGCGTAGATAGACCGGAGCGGAGATCAAGCAATCGGACAGGTTTCTCAGAGGTACCGACGGCGATGAGAAGGGGCGACGCGGCATGCGAAGACATGGCATGCGTGTAGGGAGTACAATCGAGCTTGAATGTGTGCACTGGGGTGACAGTTGTGGATTCCAAGGCCGAGAGTTTGAGGGTCCCATCGTGCGAGGTTGTCAATATAGTCGACGGAACGGGATCGAACGGATAGATCGAGAGGGAAGTGATGGCATGGGTGTGGGCTTCCTCATGCGATGCTTTGTTGACGGACGCGATCGGTCGATGAAGCTGGTTCAACTGGGAGCCTCTGGTCTCTAAATCCCACAGATGAATGGAGGGATCTGCACCACCTGAGACCATGCTGCCTGGTGTTAGCACAGACGGAACACGCAAGGGACTCGGTCCTCACAATCGTCCATCATGTTGGTCAATAGCTAGCACATTTACCCCCGAACGATGAGCATAAATCTCATCGTCATGGTCAATTCTCGCGTCTACAGCGCTCGATCCATTCGTAAGCTGGTCTGTGCGACTGGCGAAGCGGATGCCAGGTGCTGGTTCAAGTTGATGAACCAGCCTCGTCGTTACCGCAACATGGAATTCAAAGGGGGAGATAGTCCCGAGGGCCCTATTCAAAAGATATGAATTCATTCATCAGGGGGTTAAAGGGATCAACAGCACCCCTATGTTCTTGTCTTCGGTTTCCTTAACCGTCTCATCGTCATCCTTCATCATATCAGCGGCACGGGGAAATATTGTCCCGGCATGCTTGATAATTCGATGAATCAACTGAGAATTAGACCTCCAAGATACTAACCATTCAGAGGAAAATTCCTAAGTGGAGGCTAGAAAACCTTGATGCTCCACACTGGCTATGTCCTTTGGTAAATGCCTGGCGCTCAGCCAGAACTCTTTTGTCCGGCCTCCAGGCGACAACGAGGGCCAATCCGACAAGCCTGTGACTAGGCGCCAGAAGCGTCAAGCAACCGTCTATGATGCTGTCGCTGGTTTGTGTTTCCGTCTAGACCAACCCCTATTGCTCCATTCTGACGATCTCTAGGTCGTGTGAACGCTCATGGTTTCATTCCTTCGGCTGCTTATGCTTCGAAGTACCGGGATACCGCGTCCTCTAGTTTTCAACCGGTTCGTCCAGAGGAAGTCTTGTTTCGTCGGAAAAATGCACCAGTACGCTACGAAGAAAACGACTTTTACTTCGCCCATGAGTCCCTTCCACCCAATCGTCCCCTCCCGAGCTCCGAATTACTCGAAGCGATCCACGCCTACTCGGCTGAATTCTACGATAATGCGACGATTGACCGTGGTCAGATCGATTACAAAAGCATGGATGAGACAGCTCTGATAGCGATGGGGATTATGATTGAGGAAATGGCCCGAGAATCGCTCGGTGAAACCGGTGACCTGGTATTGGTCGAAGGGGAAGAGGTTCCTAGCGATGACAATGGTGATCAATTGGCCCCGAAAATCGGAAGGGTAGGCCGCAAAAGAGCAAACACGCAGGGGAGCATGCTAGCTAGCTCTGGCGATGACCTAGACAGCGTGGTAAAGAGGAAGCCGTCAAAGAAACGCAGATTGACCCGCAGAGCCTCCACGACCGTTATAGACACTGAAATTGAGGAGAAGCGGTGAATGTGTGCGGCTGTACTGGCTAAATCCCGCATTCAATGGCAGCAATTCTAGACTCCGTCTATGGATAAATGGTCTCCTCTAACGTGTATCCGACTTCCCTCTCCTATAGGATGCGTTACCGCTGGTAATTCGCTTGGCTTGCTGGGTCCTCAAGTTTTTCAGAAACAAGCAATATACCCTGCTCAATAACCCGCTAGGGCCATGGGACGACATGCGGTGCTGGAGTACCTGTCAAATTACCTTTACAGTCAGGCAGCCATTTACCCAGTATCTGTACAGCAGCGCCATAGCGACAGGGTACATGCTAGCCCTCGATTTGCTCGTGTCTATGAACCTTGAATTGGAGGAGATTATTCTTCCGCAAGACCAACTCCTTCTCTCCTAGTTCGAGGAATGTCTATCTCTTCCAGCCAATGCTTGTCAAGACCTGGCGTCGGCAACCATGGCCTAATTAACCTCTGACTCGAGAGGCGCAGGCTAATGTCTTGGCCGTTACTCTTCCGGACTAGAGGATCATCTTTCATTGGAACTAAGTACAAGAATAAATCCGTCCGCAAAGTGACCCCAGACGCCATCCCCGCGTTCGTTTTGGCCCCTTTCAACCCCAGATTCTCTTGGGCTCTATTGTGACCTGATCCATTTCCCGGTGTACGTCCAAGCGCTCTATGTCAATTAGCCTGAATCTATATGGCTTTCGCTATCTTCATGCGAGTATGGCTCTGGCGGGCTTGTAGACCAATTACCTCATTCCCTGGGATAAGTCATCGACTTGCACAAGGCCTTCGTTGTCTGACATAGATTACCCTTCAACAACATGGCAGCCGCGGTTCCATTTATTCTGACTATCTCTGAAGAAATGGCCTTTGGACTGATCGGCCTATCATGTGTGATTTCCTCCAATTTTCTTACCCTGACGCTCTAGAATCGGACTATCCGTGCTCGGCGCGTTGCGATATCTCGCACTCTACGGGCACGGCCAACGCAGTGATCGCGATCATTCACGTCTACTTCCTCTTCTACAATGTTGCCTGATCCGGCCTTCTGGTTGGCTACACTGTGGAGATTCTCCCTAGAGCATTCGTGCCAAGGGCATTACCGTTATGTGGCTATGTATCGACGCCACGCGTATGTTTATCCCTTGTCCTCGGAGACCCCTTTACCTATACTGACCTGTGACAGTGCTCTTTAACCAGTATATCAACCCTATTGTGCTGGACAATATCGGCTGGAAATACTACATTTCTACTGTGTGTGGCTGGGCTTCGAGTTGGCGGTCGTCTGGTTTACATTGAAACACGTAACACCCCCCTGGAGGAAGTCGCCAAATACTTAGATGGCGATAGCACCACAATGGGAGGCACAGCTAGAACAAAGGCAAGCCAAGAATTAATGACGACCCTACATATTGAGGAGACGGTTAAGGATGGAGGAGTGGTTAATGAAACATCGGTATGACCGCTTGAGGTCAGGTTACGAAACCGATCTAATTGTTTTGGAACGCGTTCCATTCCTTATCTACTAGCTTGTATGTATGCCGATTAATTCAAACCCGTTTAATAACCGGGTTCGGAGACGCCCCGTAGTCAAGAAATCAGGCCGACCCTAATTAGGTTTTGTACGATCACCTGTTTCAACCTGATTGGGGCGAGTTGATTGCACTTTTGACATCCTCTCTTCCGCCCTCTTCCTCTCCCCCACTCATCGCAGTCCACATAGATGTAGAATGAGACATTGTACCCCACTTCCATACAGGCTCTGCATGGATAGGACTGTTATCGTCTACAAGCTGGTGAATAAAACCGAGGGGAAGCCTTTTCCCTGTGTTGGACGTCCATCATGGTTTGTCCTCTACTAGCCTACGTTTATACTTTGGGATTCCATTACTAACCATGGGTACCGTCAGCCGCCAAAACTCTCAAAAAGCGCTAAGCATGCGTTGATTGTCTCACATCTCCAGTCCACGCGGACATGCCACACGCTTAAAGACCTGGAGAAGATGTTACCCTCCGTGGCCTCCATTAACGGCATGCAGGTCAAGGAGTATGTGCAAGAGCTGGTGGACGAGGGTAAGATCCGGATGGAGAAAATCGGCAGTGGGAATTGGTATTGGTGCTTCGCTGGGGAGGAGAAGAAAGAGCGAGAGCGACGACTGGAACAGCTACGGAAGGAAGTGGATCATGCACAAGCCAGTTACGACAAGGCACAGGCGAGTTTAGCGTCGCGCAAGCAACAGTGGGAGCGGGAGGACGCGGATGACCAGGAATGGCAAAAGGCAGTACAAGAGAAGGAGGCATTGGAACAGGAGTGTCAGCAGCTGCGGACGGAATGGGCGGCGGCAGTGTCAACCATGGAAGGAGGCAAGGGGATTCAGGAGATAAAGGAGGAGACGCAGGCATTCCGGGAACAGGCCCAGATGTGGACGGACAACATCTATGTGCTGGAGCAGTACCTTTGCAAATTGGCCGGAGGAGATCGGGAGATCATCACGGCGATCCAGCAAGAGTGTTATGGTGAGGAGTACGTGGAGGGCGAGGGATTGCGAGAATTAGAATAATGGAGGGGATGGTAGCATGAGAATTATCGAGTCATTAGTACTAGTCGATATGATGCAGTAGTATTATGTATTTGTGTGATCCAGCAAAACAAGACAAGTGGAGGCGCCGAGACTTCTCGAGACCTAAGAGAAGCTTGACTGTCGGCTGGCGACTTCCGTTGGCTTTTCCTTTCTCCGCTGCTCTGCTTATCACGAACTTGTTCTCTTCTTTCTCTCGCTCTCGTGCTCTCTCTCTCTTCATAATTGGTTGTATTCTTGGTCTCCTTTTCTTCTCCTTCACTCCTCTCCCCTCCTCGTCTCGCCTCGTCTCGTCACGTCCATCCTCTCATCTCGGTCGCTTCGACTCGCAAAACTCCCCTCTATTCTTCACCTATCGGAAGTCCCAGGGGAATAAATACCCCGTTCGTCGACCTTCCCCGTTATCTACATCTCTTCGGCAAGAAATGATGCCTCCGTGTCTTTCCAGTCCTGACTCCTGACGTCTGCCTCTCTATCTCTCTCTCTCCCTCTCTCTCTCTCTCTCTCACTCACTCACACACACTCTCTCCCCCCTGTCTGTCTGTCTTCTCACGTCCCTCCTGAACACACCCTCCAACGCTCTTCCCCCCCGCCCCGGTCGACCGGAGTTCTCCTCCGCGGGCACCGAACAAAAAGAACTATCAACAGGGAACCTGGATAATATAAACGGACCACCAATCGCGTAATCTGTTGTGGTTTAGGTCGTGGTGGTGTCTTTGCGCCCGACGCTTACATCAGAGCTGGTGCGTTTCATCGCCCGAACTTCTACTGAACGTTGTCGCAGCCGTTCATCCTCTTCCCTCCCTCCTGTCGTTCGCTCATACGCGGGGTTGGGGGTGTTTTTTTCCCGGCTCCCTGGGGTCTGGACAAGATCTCATTCTTTGGTGTGGATCTTATTCAGTCCATCATCTTCCCCCTTGCTTGTTCTTCGCCTCCGTTCTGGCTTGGTCCATCAACGGTGAATCTTGAGGACTTGTCTCGTCCCTCTTCCATCCCTCTTTCTTCCCTCCCACCCTCTCGCTTTCCTGTTTCACTTGCTCCTCTTCTCATCTCTCTAGTTCTGTTGCTCTCTCTCTCGGTCTCTCTCAATCCCTTACCACTGCACACACCTCCCTTGTATGGGTTGAGTGAGGTGTGACTGTGGGTCATGTCCGTCAACTCTCCTTCCCCCGCCCAATCCTCCTCGCCGCTCGGTCGGAATCGCAGCTCCCTGCTGTCCAAGTTTTGTTCGCCTTTTTCCCAAAGGAATCGCAGCGTCGCCGATTACTACATCGAACCCGACGACCCGTGGCGCGCCTATTTCCCGGGGGATGTAATCAAGGGGACCGTCGTGCTCACCGTGGTTCGCCCCGTTCGCATCACGCATCTAGTGGTCTGTCTACATGGTTTTGTCAAGGTTTTTAAGAATACTGTTCCCTCAGGGGAGACGTCTCCGGATGCGGGATTCCTGGGGCCTGGGCGCGGGCGTCGAGGCGCTGAATATTTGGGCAACGGGTTGGCCACCTTGTTTGAGGATGAGGTCGTCCTGTGCGGTGAGGGTCGTCTTAAGGAGGGCGTTTACAAGTTTCGCTTCGAGATGTCCTTCCCACCATACCCTCTGCCGAGTAGTATTAGCGTGCGTGGTTCCTTGTTACTCCTCTGTCCGCCGGCTCTCCTTTACTGATTTTTTCCATTGATTTAGTTTGAGCGAGGCACCATTACCTATATGCTTACGTCCACCCTAACCAAACCGACCACTATGAACCCCACCCTTTCGTGCCGCCGACGTGTGAATTTATTGGAAAACATCGACATTGCGCCCTTCCCTGCTCCCCGAGCGCGAGTGGTCACCCTAGAACCCGTCTCGCGACGTTCCAAGTCCAAAGCCAAGGTGAAGTCTGGAGAATCGGACACGGGGCCAGAGTCAACATCGCAAGAGCCGTCGGTCAATGGGACGGGCTCTGCAGACAACCGGCCGCCGCTTAGCCCGGCCCCCAGCAATGTAAGCTCGTCGAGTCGGCTCAGTAACAGCAGTCAAAGCTTCCAAATCGCCAGCGATCCCAGTTCCTCCGCCAGCACCGGGGTCCGGAACAGCGAGGCCCGAAGTATCACGCCGTCCATGGCCGATAAAACAATTACAGCCAAGACAGAAGTTTTACGCGCGGGCGTGCTACCGGGGGACACGCTACCGATCAAAGTCACTATCAACCATTGCAAGCAAGTGCGCAGCGCACATGGCATCATTATCACTCTGTACCGCCAAGGGCGCATTGATCTACATCCGGCGATTCCCATGGGGACGTCGGCGGAAGGCAAGAAGCCGGTCTATGAAGACTATTATCCTCGATCGCGGACGGGTCTGGGGGGTCTCACGATTGGCACGAGTCGAACCAGTAGCGTCTTCCGGAAGGACCTCACCCAAACCTTTGCACCCTTGGTTGTTGATCCGTCCAATTTGACCGCCGTGGTCAAGACGTCAATCCGCGTTCCAGAAGACGCCTTTCCTACTATTACCCGAACCCCGGGGAGCATGATTAACTTCCGATATTATGTAGAAGTGGTGGTCGACCTTCGGGGCAAGCTGGGCTCCCCCGATCGGTTCCTGCCGCGGTTCAACTTGGTCTCGTCCGGGAGTAATTTCTCCCCCAGTGGCCAGATCTTAAATCCTGCCGACACAAAGGGGAACGTGATCACTGCAAATTGGGCAGGGAACATCCTGGATACCGACCAGATTCGACGCGAGAAAGGCGTCGTGGCTGTGGCTTTTGAGGTGGTGATCGGAACGAGGGACTCCCACAGGAAAAAGGGCCAAGCGAGGCGCACATCTTCCACGGCCGCGGCCTCGGACCATCAGCTATCGCAGGCACCAGCGGAGGTGGATGGCTGGCTGACAGATCAGAGTCCGATGCCCACCTCCGAAGGAGAGCCATACCCGACGCAGGAGGAGTACGGATTCTCCCACGAGTTGCAGTGGATCGATTACTCGGACGAAGCACAACATCAACAGTCGTATCAGTCGCTGGGCCAGATGGTCTCCACGCCGCCGTCTGAGGAGCCGATTGACGAGAAAACTCGTATACGACGGGCCGAGCAAGTGTTACTACCAAGCCAACCGCCAGGGGAGCCGGGGCCGTCGACCGAGATCCCAACGGCTCCTGTGTTACCCGAAGACGACCGGCTCCATGACTACCACCACTTGCCGTCCCCGGCTGCAGAAGCAGTACCACCCGGATTGATATCCGCCGAGTCCGTGCACACCGTGGTACCCGGGAGCAGTGCCATGGCCGAAGCAGTGGCTGGGACGCCTGCAGACGACAAGCTAGAGTTAGAACGGCAGCGGCTGATGATGGAGACCAGCTCCCCATGCGACGTTGACACATCTCATGGGGCATCGACGGATGGACCGAGTGCACCGGTGTTCCATGAAGAGGATGACCATCAGCTTGTGGGGGGCATGGCACATGGTGATGAGTCTCTGCCACGCTATCAGCGATAGCGAGCCGAGGGACAGGGCATTTTGTTCGGTTGGCATATGATCTGTATGGATTGGATATGGCATGGGTTTTGATTGAATTTTGATTGCATTTACGGTTGGGCAATACCGGGAGATACCACCTATTTGTTTTGAATATGACTGATTGACAATTAAGTGCTCATATTGTAAGACGTACTCGTAAAGAGGGCTTCGTAAAGTTGACACTGAAAAAAGCTGGTAAGATCGTAAGCGACGCTACGGGGACCGGCTTGGCATTTAACCCCAACATTAACATCCTCACCTCGTGTCTTCTCTCTCTGTCACAGTCTTGCATCCTCCACCAGCCAATCCGTCGTCATGGCCTTTCGCAACGGGTCGTTTGCGACCTTTCTAATCGTCTGCCGTATAATCCCCTCTTATCCTAAGTGCCCATACACATATGTTATAATATAATACTAACAACCCAAACCAGCAACCAGCTTCTTCCTCGGCATCATCTTCTCCCTATTCCCATACGACTACCCAATCCTGTGGTCAACAGCACCGACCCCCCCCTCACACTATGACTACTTCGAATCACATCTCCGCTTCCTACACGCCTCCCCACCCCTCATCCCACGAATCCTGCACATTGTGATATTCCTAGGTCTCGCTGGTCTCGTAGCGAAATTATACCGACCCTCGGAATCCAACATGTTATTCGACGGCGCCTCGCTGGTCCTCTACATGTGCGGCGTTACCGTGTACATCGCCAATATCGTCAAGGGGCTTCGACTCGTCTCCGACGGGAAGTACGGCGCCGAGTTGGCGTCCACTCCTGACGAGAAAGAGCAGATCCTCGGTCGGGAGGATAGCCTTAAGGTTTTGGCGGCTAGTAATACCATTCTGGCACTGGTTTTGGTTGGTGTCCTGGTTTTGCAGGCGGGGCAGTGGTATGCGGAGCGGAAGGATGAGCAAGAGTTTGAGTCTTTAAGGGGGAAGAAGAGTCAGGAGAAGGAGAAGGCGCAGGAGAAGGCGCAGGGGCAGGGGCAGGGGCAGGATGAGGCTACGTCCGGGAAGAAGAAGAAGAATTGATGGGTTGTTTGGGTTGTTTGAATTGATTTATTGTGATGGGATGGGATGGGTGGTTTGGTTTGGTTTTTTTTTTTTTTTTTTTGTGGTTTGAAGAGCGGTGATACGAAAGTAGATCTATGTTGGATGATTGTTGTCGTAGAATATCTACTTGGTTGAGTTCTATGTACAGAGTCATTCCTCATTCCATTCCAATTTTGGTTTGCTCAGATCACCTCCGAAAAATGTCATGTCATCAATCAATGCTGCAGGGGAATCATCCGGCTTAATTAAGCCTATTCAAAATCAAAATATAGCTTAAACACTGATCCTATGTTTCCACCCCTTCCTAGACGTGCGCATTACATCCGCAATGTCTCCGGCGCAAAAGAAAACGGACTCCGAGGAAGATCCGGTGTCCGTGGACTCAACGCCTTGGCGAAGAGCTCCTCCCCCGAGTCCACACTCGACGTGCGCACGATCGTCTTCCCCATGGGCACGAACCCGCTGCTCCCGTCCCGGATACTCTGCTGCGCCTGCAGCGACTCGGGCGGGTAATGCGCTACGGTTTTGACCGGCTCCGCGGCCCCAGATACCGGAACGGAGGCTTCGGTCTGCTGGATCATATTGAAGGCGTTGAACGAGGAGATGGCGATGTCAGGTGATTGGGGAGAGAGAAGGTGTTCAGAGCTGGATTGTCCTGTTCCTTATCAATTCCTCTCGTTAGTCTGCTATTAGGGTTGTCAATACATAGGTGTATAGTATTGCAAGCATACCCTCCGTAGATAAACCTAAGTCCCGTCCACCGGTCTGCAACTTCAGTCCCTTGAGCTTCTCGGTCAGTTTCCCCCCCGTGCTAGGGGACACTGGTGTTGTCGGACCCATCGGGTACGACGCTTCGCGGGCAGTATTCAGACGATTCCCGTTCCTCAGCGGGTCGGCAACATGGATACCGACCCCGAAGTTCATCTCGATCCATTCCTTCTCCTGCAACGCCATCTGCAACGCGATCCCCTCGACATTATTTTGACATTCGTCGCGGATCTCGTTCTCCAGCACCTGCAGGCGCTTCTTCGCCCAGATTGTATGCAACACGCCCCTCTTTCCCGCCGAGCGGCCGTCAGCGCCGAGTCCAGGCGGGAATATCGCCGGGAGGGGGTTCAACTGCAGCGTGTCATGGTGTCGGGACGATTCGTCCGATGCGGGCTCGTAGGCAAGTGTGACCACTGGAGGGATCGTCACATTGGGCGGTAAGAGGAAGTAGACGCGACGGGTGTGATCGTTGGTTTGTTCGTCGGCGGGGAGGACGGCATTCTTGCCTTCCCATGAGACGTGCCAGGATCCGTTCCCGTCGGCGGAGGTACGGCCCAAGTCGTCGTCTTCCCATTCGATCATGAGAATCTTGGTGCCTTCGTTGGCTTTTCCAGCCTCGAATTCAAAGCGAGCTAGAGCGGTGATGGAGATGGTTCCATTAGGAGCGCGAGGGGTCTCGAGGGCAGCGAATTCGCTATCCGGGGTGAAGGGCGGAGACATGGTGGAGGGGCACCCGCAGGGATTTGGACAAAGGATGGGTAGAAGGCGGGGGGGGAAAAAAGAAAGAAAAAAAGAAAATGAAGTGAGAAGAAAGAAAGCCTTGCTGAATCAGGAAGAACACGAGAAAGGTAGAATACTCGATCAGGATGGACAGACCGACCGACCGGCTCGTCTACAGCCTGGGAGAGAGGGAGTACGATGCATGAGTAGAATCGAACGGACGGACGGAGAAGACGAAAGAGGAGAGCCAGTGGATCACGGGATTCACGCAGCAATCCATTGAGGACGTCAATTCGCAGACGATGAACAGTCTGCTGCTGGTGTTTTTCTTTGAGGGGTTCGTCGTGGGTTCTAATTATAGCTTCTTGGCGCGGATATCAATATCATTTCTACTCTCAACCGTCTCACTCTCTCTCTTTTTTCTCTCAAATAATTCCCATGGAAGACCAGATCAGACCCTCGAGTCGCTCAGCATGTAGCCACGTATCATACAGTACCATACCGATGAAAGCCCTAGAGACATTACGGGCAAAACAAAATGAAACCCGGCATCCCAATGATCCGATGGACGCACAGTGTTGGAGGGTGAGCGGACATTCTGATGACGACGTTTCGATGCATCTCTATCACCAGTGGCGAGAGAAGAGCAACTGACGAGGATATGGAAGGGAAATAAGACCCCACATAGAAGCAGCGTCACGACACTGTTCACACTTCGTTCGGATCGAATGGAGGGGAAAGTAGGTAGTGGTCATTGACTACTTCTGCAGGAATAGGCCAAGAATCACCCCAGGGGGGTAACCAGGTACCTAGACAGGTAGTAAGAGGCATGGACGGTGAATATATCATTGGCTGTGATTCGTCGAACACTGGAGACCATTGTATATAAGGAATCATCCACTCAGACAAACACTCAGTCAAGTCGAACATGAGTAACATTGAAAGAGGTAAATCAAGTCAAGCCAGCCAAATAGTTCATCTCAGACATCATCAACACAGTAATCCCCATCTCTCCAACCTGGATAGAACTCAGTATATGAAGCCACCCGCATAAACAACAACACCACACATACATCCTACCACGATAACCTACAACACACAGTGCGTTGCCAAAAATAAACCCCTCCTCCTTTGAAAGACCCAGATCCAGAAATAGAACATCTCCTCCAAAATTAGCAGCCTCCGTGTGATGAAATCCCCTTAGCTGCAGGGACATATCCAATAGATCTCATACCAAGCACCTGCCGGGCTACACGGCGTCCCTGCCGCATCAAGCATTTCCATCCCCTCGTCGACCCGCATAGTACCAGGCTAGCTGACCAGTGGCAATGGCACGGAAGAGGCTGATACCGTCACGATTGGCTGAGACCATAAGCCCCGGTCAAAATCCGTCAGCATGGGCTAGAGCGGGGAGGGGGATCCTATTTTTGGACAAAATGAAGGGGTACGTTGACGCGTTGCGTTCCTAATTCTAATTTCATGGCATTACCGCCAAAGGATGTGATCTGAATGCATTAACTTTTAACCACTGTGATCCTACAGAGCATTTCCGAGAACATAACCAAGAATAAATTTTATGAGTAGATAAAACACAGAGAACATGAAAGTCTGTTCCTCCAAAATAACCGGCAGCACTGATATAGACCCTATCGGTGATCCCTATCCATAGATCCCACCACACGTCATCCGTCCCCCACAATCCCACGCCAATCAGGGCAATCCTTCCCGCCCGTTCTGACAGGCTCCACCTGCTAGTGGATCAACATCCTTGCAAAGTCTTAGTGATTATATCTAGTGTTAACTAGATCGAGCTATAACTATATTAAATAGTATTTAAATAAGTAGTTTGCTGTTTATACTGTAAAAATAACAGAATACAGCCCATCATAAAATATTAAATGGCTTCGACGTTGGATCTGAATTTTAAAAATGGAGCTGACTGTAGGGGTGCAAAATTCGACCTACATGGGACTCGAACCCACAACCTTCGAATTAGGAGTTCGACGCTCTACCATTGAGCCAATAGGCCTTCGTTATCAGTGTTTTTTTTTTCTAAAAAAAATGTTTTTGTAACATGAATTACACTTAATAAAAACCTTTCTGTATAAATAACCCAAAAATTTTAGTTATTGCAAAACCTGCAAAATCTCCAAAATTAAGAACAATAAGCTATCTACCTAAATAGTTAGCCACTAATACTGTATAGAGTATAAGACGTATTTAGGGAAACAATGATTACATAAATGCATAAGAATTTAAGACCCGAATAATATCTGCTAGTAATAAGAGAAAAGGAAATGAGAAATAATTTCCTTCACTAGCCAACAGCTACTTGTTTTCATACTGCCGAATACTCCATTCCTGTAGGTATTCGCATTGTGGTGACCGACACTAGCGCCGGCGCTTAAATTCATGGATAGTCTCGCAGACACTGCTGATTGGATGGCCCTGGGCGATGGAGGTGATGGGATGCAGCAACCTCCTAACACTAAGTTTTCTGGTAGGGCAACGTGGTTTACCCATATTGATTCTCTACCAATCCTTCTGATTTCCCCCCCCAATGCCAACTGCTGTAGCCGCCCAGGAAAAGTGAATATTCCACTCTCCTGCATTCTTCAGCCAACTTGAAACGGCCAGTGCGTCTTCTGCGCCAATCACAGGCCCATATCGAATGAAAGAATCGGCTTGGCTTTTGGGATCCCGGCCAGGAATGTGACTGGGGATCTGATTTGTGGTGGATAGAGGTGGTTTGCTTTGATTAACATTTGCCCAGTTCTTCGATTGATATTTAAATAATTGAATAATTGAGCTGTGGAGTTAGCCCAGGACAGGTAGATAGCGAGTGTATGTACAAAGTAGGTATGGTATTGCTTTGTTTTATGTATTATTACCGTACGTATATACATCCAGTAGATCCATACACATTAATGCTACTTCTAGGGATTATCGGAAAGAGCAATAATCGGAGGAATATATTCGAGGCTATTGTTGGTTTACTGAGAAGTCCATAGGCTACGCTATACCCCATGTCAAATGTCAGCCCAATAAATGCACCTCAGACCAGGGTGGATTCTTTGCTTGGTAGATGTCAGCTTGGATACCAGGATAGTGCTAGGCGACGTTCCCAACCCATTTAACATATAGACTCAATTTAAGTGTCTTGACTCACACATGACTGGTGGCGTGGCAGATAGAAAGCTGCGCTGGATCATCCAGGCAAGTCAACTATGCTTAGGATCTGTAGAATTGGGTAGACATTACAGAGTATAGGATCTAATCAATCCATAGGTATTCTACGATGTTAGAAAATACCATTGAGTCATAAATAGTCGTCGTAATCATAAGAAATACTAAAGCCAAAAACGAGACAAAAAATAGAAACAACGAAAACTTTCAAATAAACAAGCTAATGCAACGTAAACATCGCAAGAGACATCACAAAAACATTTTCAAAACAAAACAGAACAATGCAATAGCAATAGCAATAGCAAAAAGAAGCTACGCCTGACGCCGGACTCCTGTCCACCTCAATCCATCAAGGACAATCATAACGAGCAACTGCAGACTCATCCATCCTAACAATCTTCAGAGTCGTCCGAATCATCTGACCTACTAGACTCATTGACCCTTCTGCGCTTTCCCTTGGGCGGATCCTCAAGCTGCGTCCTCTTGTACGTGATCGTGTGAGTGATCACGTGGCGGACGCTGACTCTGCCGTTGGCACTCCGTGGACTCTCATGGTACCGCGTCTTCCATTCCGGCGGGGAGTACGGCGACCGGAGCATGGTCGCGCTGCGCGGAGACTCGGTCATAGTCGTGGGCGAGTACCGCGGCGGGATCCGCAACGACCGCAGGCTCCTGGGATCGCGACGGGGAAAGGGCGCGCCGTAGGGCGTTGGCGGGGGCAGAGAAGCGGTGGCTGACCTGGCTGGCTCACTGAAGTTGAATGAGGAGCTGGCTGCGCTGGTCGGCTGGGAGGTAGGCGTGTTGGCCTGGCGCTCAAGTGGCCGGTCAAAGCTGAACCGCGAATTCTCCGCCCTGGCACTATCCGGGGAGAATATGGGAGTGAACGCCTTGAGAAACTCTGTGTACGCCGCTGGGGGTGTGATAGGAGTCGATAGGCCCTCCTCGTTCTTTCCATTGCCTGACAGACTGCACCCGGTGTCGTTGCCTTGGAGCTCGGATGGGAAGACCATGGGCTGGGGAGTCTTCAATGGCTCAAGGATAGGCTTGATGGAAGGCATCTCAACAGGTTTTGTTTATTCTCTTGTGGACTGGTTTCTTTGGGCTGTTGTGAGTGGCAGTAGATGCAAAGACAGAAGAGGGTGGTATAGTAGAGGTATAGCAAGATGAAAACCAGCTCAGATTAAGTCACGAAGAGGGTGGAAAGTCCAGCCAGGTAGATGATGGGTTGGTCTGGATGACAGAAAAGTTCCCCAGTAAAGACGATATAGCGGGGTCCTGGACTCCTTATAGATCTCTGACCCAGAGCGCGAAGTGGAGTGAGAAAGGAGATTTATCCTCCTCGACAATCTGTCTGTACGGAAACAACGCAGTACCGTACGTGTATTGGTTCGAGACGGTACCGATACCGAATGGAAACCCGTGTTGGTGTCACGCCCTAATCTGGACAGAGCGGCTGCAGCAAAAGGAGGTGATGATGAGAAGTGGGCAAGTCCAGGCAGATGAGATCGGCCGGGTTTACAGGGCAGGTGATGGGTGGGAATCAGAGCAATAGCCAGTGAGGAGGAGGAGTGAAGAAGATATGATCCTCGTTGCAATTATCCTTCTAAGGATAGACAGACAGAAGAGATAGATGAAGAGAAAAGAAGGAAGGATGAGACGTACTGATCGATGAGCCCATGAACCAAACCAATCCCTCGTCCATTCCCCTCCTCTTTATATTTTTTTTGCCCCCCTTTATTGACCTACTTTCAAGTCCCCCCAAAAAAAAGGTCCAACAAGCGCTATTCCCATGCGATCCAACTCGGAGAAATCGCCACCACATAGCACTCTCGCAGCAACATGCAAAGTGGCTAAATTCCTCACATTCAATGGATGTTGCAACGCATCACCCTCTCCTGGTTCGCCCGGTGTTAAACGCGCACGGCCTAATCTCAAGCCCTAGGGGCGGCTGGCCTTCCTAAACCCAACACACTCGTCGCTTAGCTGCATTCCACGGTAGAAAGGGCCACAGTTAACGCTGCTTGTTGGAACCTTTCGAGTATCATTCTAGCCCTCCAGTTGGTTCTGTCCCTTTTTTTGCCCTCTGTGCTTAACTATGCACCTTAATTTTCGAGGCTGAAGGAACGTCCCAGCGGTTATCATGGCGTGGGCGCTTCCCTGTCTCTCTCAGCTTCTGTATCTCCCCCTCTTTTCTTCTGCCTTACGCCTCGCGCGTGATCACTGCTGCATCTGCGTCGGAATTACCTCCTCTGTTTTCTGGTCTTAGTAGGCTATTGTCGTTGAAGTAATTAAGCGCAGCACTTGTAACAGATCTCCTAGAGTTGCGGTCATATCATTTGCTTAGTCTCTGTATCGAGTCTCTCTGTCTGGAACTCAGTTACATTCTTGGCGTAGCGTTTCCCTGCCATGTCACATGTGCTCTATCATGGTCATTAATTAATGCCTTGTAGAGGTGGCTCGTGCAAGTTTGTTGGGTTGGAAGCGCTTTGTGTGCTTCGATCAATCTCGCACATGTTGCACGACAATATACCCGTGTTGGTGATCTGAGAGTCCCAAAGGTGCATATGGTGGCTTTCTGTTGGTAATGCAGGTGAATGTTGGTGTGGCTTGAGTTTGGAAAATAAAACCCGTATCGTCGAGACGCTGAAAAAGCAGCTGCTCATTGCTACTTGTCTGTGCCGTGGTCTTAGTGGTGGTGTAGTGCGCAGGTCTGCGTTCGACTACATTGCTGTTGGGTGTCTCGATGGTATGATGAGGAGGTATTCCAACTAGTGGACGTCTGATAGTCTACGACTTAGACGGACCTAGTGGAGGGTGAGTGATGCTGAGGCCGAGGAGAAAATACCAACTATATAGAACTCAATTCAATGTAGGTCTAGCTCAACGGGTATAGCTAGTGATAGTCACAGGATAGCAGAGCAAATGACACTGAAAATCAAACTAATATCGGACACGTCTGACATAAACAAGGCACAATAGATAGGGTTTTCTGTATGATTTTTTCGAATAGGACACAAAGCAAAAAGGATGAGGCCCAAAACATATCACGCGAAAACAAAAAACAGAATCAAGTACAGCACAAAAGATACCCCAAGTCAGTACACCTCAAAGAGCCAAAAAAAAGAAAGAAAAAATTGTAGACTTAATAGTATACTCCAAAATCAAGAAGAACACCAACGACGCCGCTGACTCCGTGTCCCAAGGGCATGAATGACTGTCTGCGCCTTTGCAGTTATCCCCACCAGTCCATCGCAATGCATCGCGTGCTGTGCTTTCCTGACCTGCAGAGAAAGAATAAAAGGGTATATTATTCAATGAGTGTAAGATGGCATCCAAGAGCCAGTAACCCAGGATCAAGTCAAGGATGATGGACTTTTCCTGAAAGTTGGAATGGCGAGGCGTTGAACCTAGATCGGTCTCAGACGACGAATTCCGGCCGATTATCCGGTATTTTGAGCAGTTGCATCATGGCATCGTCCGCCAGGGGAATGACTCTTGGAATCCCAAACATCGTCACATGTTCAAGCCAGCTTGTACACTCCCCTCAAGGGACGTTATAACATTATGGGATTCCGTCCCATGCAATAAAAAACATCTCACAATTACAGTAGCAGGTAGTCCCATCCGTTTTGGTGCATGACGTCCCGCCAGTGGACTGGCGGCCTCTTGACTTCTTTCAGCACCCACTCAGTCTTACTAATGTCATCAGGAGAGTCGGACTCCTCCACTTTCACGGGGGTCCCCGATGAAGAGGCTGGGCTCTCTTCCACACCGTACAATGGCTCCGCATCGTCATCGGCGATTCGCCACACCTCCTGCAAGACCCGATACATGCGGCCAAAACTACCGAGGTCAGCATGGTCCCCCAGTGCGGCAACCCGTTCAGCAAGGACCGCCCGGAAGTGGCTCCCAGGTGACGAATACGCTCCGGTGATGAGCAGTGGCCAGACGAGCGAGCGATCGAACCCATCCGGACCAGAGGGGATGTATTGAACGGCGTTAGCGGCAGCGGCTACTAAGTTCAGGTTGCTTGGCTGGCTGCAGTCAAAGCCTGGGACTAAACTGCAGAGGTAGATTCTGGCAGCAATTCGGTATACGGCGGTCATGTTTTTGGTCAAAATATCGGGTCTGAGAGCGCCAGTAGAAGTGTAGGGGCTCTCCAGCGCTTGATCCACCGGTTCCGTGAATTCCAGCTGTCGTCCCAGTGCTGACACATGAGAACAGACTGACATTTCATCAATTCTGCCTTCATTCTTCAACGCATCCAAGCAAGCGATTTCTGAAATAAGATACATCACCCGATCGTCGCAGCCCATAAGCTCGCGCAGTCCGGAGGACGAGCCACTCAAATGCTTTGATCGGTACATGTGTGCAAACTCTGGGGTCCTCCCATGGATAGTCGAGCCCAGAATATCGATCCAGGAAGCGAGGGACATGTTGAAAGGTGGTAGCATGTAGGGGATACCACATGTCGGGCCTGCTGTGGGAAGACCTAATCGGTTCACTAGGTTTGAAGCGGCTTGAAAGTGGTCAAACCATGGAATATCAGGCAGGTAATCATCAGCGGGTCCCACTGAGCAGTGGAAGAAGATCATGGCCAGCGTCGCATCAAGGATCTCCTCATGCTTGGTATCCTCACCCAGTGCGAGACACAGTTGAGAGACAGCCTCAAAGCGATGGCGCATGATATCATGATCTATCTGTTCGCCCACAATTCCCTCCGTGGTCTTGAGGTGAATGGCGGAAACACTCAGGCAGCAGTGAAGGTAGCACTTGTTCGTTTCCAGTGCTTGGAGGATGGCTTGCGCTCGGATGTGTCCGCGCTGGTGTGCTTCCAGGACCGGGAAAATGATACGCAGGACATTGTGGATGAAATGATCGAGAAGGGGCCGATCGTGGTCACTGACGGGGATGTTGGCCTGTAGCATGGCATAAGTCTGCTCGATGCTCTGTTCACAAAGCGCTGGGTCGATCCCGGGAAGTTGTGGGGCTTGGGGGAAGCACTCGTCTTGATACCAATCCTCGCATGGGAATGTAGGGAGGGGCGCGTCCAGTTGAGGGGGTGCAAAAGAGCTGAACGTCGAACTGAAAGCGTTATGGTGCAGCGGAACCTCGTTGATGTAGGTCTGTCGTTCTGTCTTGACGTCGATCTCAAATGGAGGATAGGGTCCATAGACCGGTTGATTGACAGCAGGTGTGGGCAAGTGTGACGCAAAGATATCATACTGTTCCGGAAAGGCTGGGCGGCCAAACTCGAACTCGGGGGAGGTCGGCGATGAAACAGCCACGCTGCGACTATGTCCTGACGAATCGACTGCAGAATCCAAGGGCTGGTCAGGGGAGGAAGAGACGAAATGGTGGAGGTGGTGGAGTCCAATCCTACCGGTCAAGGTCCCATTCCGCTCATTCATCTTCGTCTGCTTGATCTTATTTTTGATGCGTTCCTTCTGTATCTTTCTCTGTTCAGCGTTTCCCCACCAGATAGGGCGCTTATATTCGCATTTGACGCATAGGTTGTTGCATGCTCCGCAGGAGGGATGTTTCTCGTCGCACTTCTTTCGGCGAAGGCGACAGGTAAAGCAGCCTGCGACGGATGAATAAGGTCCCAATTGCGTACCACCGTCGTGACTGGCACGTGAAATGGAATTGACTTACCAGATCGAGATCGTTTGTGCAACTTGACCGTAGTCTTTTCCGCAGTCGTGGTAGATGTACCCTCACTTGACGAGGAGGGCTGCGAGTCATTCGAGGCCCTACTCGGTGCATCATTGCTCGAAGTCGACTTCTTCCTCGCGGAGGCCGGCATGTTTGGTTCAAGACAAATGACGCAAATTCTCGGAAAATAATTGAAGGGTTGGAGTTGGAAAGGACAGGGCACAGTCGTCTAGCGAGCTGTTTGCGTGCCCGGGGGGGTGGAAGATAAAATTATGTGCAAAGCTGGACCAGCAGCCTTTGCTATCTAATTAAGTATAAGAGAACGAAAGGCGCAGTTTGCAATGGACGACGAGGCGATGGGGACAACTCGTGTGAGAGACAGTACTTGTCGTCGAGGACGGCGGGATCCACGAAGCTTTAAAAGCCAAGTTCACCACGCACAAGCAGGCCATGTTTCTATTTTGGATTCCAGATAGCCGAGAGCCAGCCTGGGCTGGTAGGATTGGCGGGGAGATGGGAGGAGAGAGGAAGATCGCAGGAAGATCATGCACGGACAGGGAACTGCTCTGTTAGCTCGACTCCCTCGCAAAGCCTGGCTAATTTTGGAGGATTTTGGCGCCCATGCACCCTATCATCGAGGGTGATTGGTGACCAGCTAGCGGCTGGGAAATTGATTGGATTGCATTGGATTGGGATGGTAAGTAGAATCGATCGCAAATGCCTGCCTGACTTCCGATCCCTGAATTAAGTGGTATTCGTGTTACCGTTCTTTTTATTTTTATTTTCCGTGCCTTTCCTCTTGTAGCTCCTCGCGTACTGGATATAGGCGGAATATACCAAATGGGTAAGAACGATGTTAAAGATATCCCGACCTTGTATCAACAATCATATTCCAAGTACAAGAAATATGTCTCTCGTCCACGAAGCAATATTCTCCCAAAAGATACCGCCTGGTCTGGGGGCTGGGAGGGACCAGTATCTTGGGGATTTGGTAACCACCTTGGTATAAACCACTAGGTGTGGGCATCAACGATGACAAAATTAGTATAGGTTAGTACATTTTGCGTGGGTTTGGAATCCACAGTAGACAGCCAATCCCCTCCCACGTCCTAACATGATTGTGCGAGGAGATAGGTCTTTTCCTGGGCAGTGACAGCGGACGGAGTACACAGACGAAGTACCATCGGACCGGGGGGGTAGGGAAGTCAGCCAAATCCCATGTATGCATGGCTTAGAGCCGTGCTCGGTCACCTCACAGGCAGCATTGCGGGGAGGGGAAAGGAAGCGACGCAGGGATAAAGAGCAAGCAGCACGATAGGCGGGTAATTCGTCGTCTTTGCAAGGTGAGTTGCGAGGAGTATGATGAGTAGAGAGTAGTGGGGGAGCCAAGCTTCAGTGTCAGAGCAGAGAGTGGCTGCTGGCATTTCTCGTGTCGTGCAGAGCGGAAAACCCGCAGCCAACCGTTCGGGTTGGGAGACTTTGGCCAAGATGTGATAAGATGCCACTAACCTCTAGCGCAAAGAGATGCATAAATGTGCTTTAAATTAGCAGCATTTAGCCGCCCAGAGTGACTGCAGGCTGCAGTTTTGAAGGCTAATTGCTCCCCTTCCCTTTCCCCTCATGCTCTTTCGGGTCATTACTATTCTTATCCTCTTCCATAATTATCTCTTCATCCGGCGCCAATTAATGGACTTTCATTCCTTCTCGTCCCGTGCATGGACCGCTCCACTCCATCCCCATGGTCCAGTTGGGGGATTGGATCAACCTGGTCCGGCTTCTGCAGCCTCGATCCTCAAGTCACACTTTGGTCACTACGGGAATAAACGGCACCCTTCGTTGCCAGATTCCAACAAGTATGGTCAACTTCATTTCTGTGCGGGTATGTGCAACCTCCTTGTGCCTCCAGTTCACGAAGACTAGATATCGGTACCGCCTTCCCATGTCTACTGTCTATGTATTTCATATGAACAAATCAATCCCGTCCGGTGGGCATCGGCAGTCGATGTGACCAGAATGGCAGTTGTCACAACACTTCTGCCGTTTCTTATCACAATCCTGCAGCTGCAGGCTTGGCTCTAGCGTTTCTTTAGAAACTGTAGTCAGTCCTTCCAGCCAATCATATTCGCCAAAAGTGAGGTCAGCCTGCAGAAACCCTGACAGACGCACAAACCAGGTTGTGATATGAATGGATGTATAGGGTACTCCGTACATCCATCACTCCCGTACCAACCCTGGATTCATGAACACAGCATTGCGCCGGTTCTTTGTTACTAGCTGAATTCAATCAATGAGCCATCTTGTCTTCGCAGTGGGTTTGTTTTCTCATTCCTTGACTTCTTGTGATGTGGTTTTTATTGTTTCTATTTATTGAATTTTTTTTTTTTTTTTATGGCAGTCCTCTACTCAGCTAGATCTATCACAGTGTAACTGGAACAAGTCCCAGATGTACAGAGGTACCTGCCTGGCAGTGGCAGTACAATGTGTCAGTGTGGGAAACACACGGCATCGGCTGTATCACCACAAATACTACCATCCCTTGTCAAGCATGCGGATTGTTAACTACCGATATTAGCTCATCTCGGTTGTGACAAATTGCCTAAGTATTATATTATTAGCAATTTAATGTTGAACTCTACTCTGTAAGTATTCCAAATAGCCCCATGACATGTACCATTTGGCGGAGTCGATCAGTGACCCCATCAGCCTATGGTGTACACTGTATATCGTAGAGTATTCTGAAGATCCTTTATGATATACTCCGTAGCATAAGGCAGACTGACTGCATAGTATACTCCCCGACACAAGTCAAATGCTGAATGCACCCGTTCCACATGTAACCCCAGACAACCGAAATCCCCTGGTCAAATCCAAAATCTGGCCCTAGAGATGTGAGAAAAGTCTACGCGTGTTAATTTCTGGAGCAGCAATGAAGACCCTGTCATACACGCCGGACGTGGTTCCCGTCCTGCCACATTGGTAGCTGCAGGCCTAGTGTTCAGACATACGGAGTCTGCCTCATCAAATGCAATCATGCATATCCACGCCAGGTACGTACATGATATAGACCGCTGTTGGGCCTGGCCCTGGACCAAATGCAACCAACATTTAATTGTATCTTCCTCAGAAGATTTGTCGTGGAAATTGAGTGTCCCTGGACAATCTTCACCTTTGATTGGGCATCACCTCTTCGACAGCTCGAGGTATAATTTAACGGCGGCTACAGCCAGATTTGTTCCTAAAATAGTTATATTGGATGGAATCCTGCCAGTTATGCAAAGGGTTTCCAGAATAGCACGTTTCACGCCCAGCGGCTGTCTAATTGACGACTGGCCGAGAATTGATCCTGATGAATATTATCTGCACTCTGCAGTCCATCATGATGTCAGGAACTTAATCTTATCTGTTAGTGAATCATCTATTGCTTGTAGGCTGTGGAGATTATCAGAAAGCGTCTAATTATGGAATTGCTCCTATTACTATACCAAGAGTCCTCTTTCAGCTCGACCCGGATATATTGGATTGGCGCTTATTGAAGCTACGAAGCAGAGTATCGATTAAATAGTAGATTTTCTCATCCAGTGAATCTAGAGCTGGCCAAAATACTCTAGCTCTATTACAATAGGGCTGGGGCATATGCAGCTTCGTACAGAAGGATATTGCTAGTTATTCTTTGTTCTAAATTAGAAATTATAGCTGAGGATATCATCATTATGCCATGAGATATAGCTATCTAATTATACCTTTCAAGTAGCTGGCTCGGGTCGTTCTGGCCCTCACGATGATGGTTCACTTTGGACACAACTCGTCCAAAGACTTCCCAGTCTGTAGGCCGAGTAAACATCGCTGCGTGCAAAATTGTGCAGCGCGGCGTCGGGAATGGTCTTCTTGGTCACGCCCTGACTCTTCTTGGTGGCCTGATCGCCGTGCGGACGGTGAAGGTGTGACTTGACTGATTCTCCGCTTATGGCCAGCTGTTTGATTTGTGTCGGAGCCGGACGAGTTAGGTGACCGCGAGCGCAGTCGGATCTCGCAAGGTGCACAACTGCTTTGAGATCGTGTAGGCACTCGACGGCCCTCTGAGGGAGACGGTAGTGATGACGACGACGGCAGCTCATAGGACGAACCAGACTCTGGACTCGGAAACTCAGGGTTTGTGCTATCGGAGTGGGGAATCTGCTGTAATTCCTTGCTCGGGATCTGCGAACGCGTATGTTCAAAGCTTGTTTCCCACGTATGAAGATCAGGACGCCAGCGATTTCTCCATTCTTGCCCAAGGGCGGGTGAACGGAATGCCATCAAACAAAGACATAAAACCCTCGCAACAGAGGTCTTCGATAGCTGGGAAAATGTATCGGCTGCTGTGTTCACTTCGCTGTGAGGATCACAGAAAAAGTAGCAAAGCGTGGTGGGTTCGTCTCGCGGAACACGAAGTAGTACACGGGCAATTCCATTTGTCAGGTAGGAATATTCGAGTCCTTCTTGAATCATCACGTGGTATTCTTGGACGATAGCGGAGTCGTTCTGCATTGTACCTCAACTTCGCATCCTGGTCAGTGGGTATTTTGTTTGATCTGACCATCTTCTTCCACAGATCCATTGGTCGTAGTCCCATGCGATGCGACCAGCAGCTTGTGAGGCGGCTTGTACTCGACGGTCGTCAGGAGGGTGTTCGTGTTGCCGTCGACATGATGAATGCAAAACTGGTCCGGTTGTGGGTGAGGTGTGCTTGACGGCTGGCTTGTATCCGCTTCAAAGGTTTCGTTCCTGCTCAAAGAATTTGAGTGATTGCTGAACTGGATTCCATCACAGAGACCGAACTCGTCACGAGCCGCTGGTATTTTGCACAACTCAGCTATTATATCATGGACATGTTCTTCTACTCCAAAGCGCTCATAGGCCTCGAGATCTTGCTCACTACTGAGTGGCTTGCGAGCGAATCGACGGCCAAGTCCTTCTAACTCTGGTAGAGACGAAAATAAACGTGGCGCCCGCCCTGGTTCCGACTGGAAATATTGATAGACAGACCTGTAGACCCTTAGCAGCTGCTCTGGGCAGTCGGCCCAATATTCCAATCGAGTTGGGCAGTCTTTTCTGGTGGGAAGGGGTATTTTGCCAGTGGTTGAGCCAGATGGTGTCTCAACAGCCGAATCCGCAGGCACTCCACTCAATCCCAGGGGTTCTACGGCTGCTTCTGGGAACTCTACCTATAACTCTAGGAGCAACAAGGCTCCCAGGACCTACTCATACGCTCCTGGAGTCACTTCAGCCGGTCCCATCGTGTCAAGATCTGACGGTTTAAATAACATTCGGGCAATGCTTGGCCCCAGCAGGCTGCAGAGTCCCTACATAACACACAAGAGGTAGGGCGCCTAATGGAGCTAAGTACTGTCTGAGGGTGTCAGGTGGATTCTATCCACCAGTCGCTCCTTTTATAGCAATCCTACCCAGCTTGGAACGCCTCAAGGCAGCCCGTCTAATTAGTTATTGAACAAAGATTTGCGTAGCCATTGGATACAGCAGAAGTCTTACCGAACCCACCAGGCACCTAGCAGGATTGTAAGGTGGACAAGCTCAGCACTAATTTGATTGTTGTAGGGGGCCTTAGTAGGGATCTTCGTGTATACTGCTCCATAGCTAAGTATAAAAGGGCACCACAATCACCCTCCCAAATAAATAGATCGTACCATCAGAATTTTTGAACAGAAAGTCCAAACTTCAGTCTGTTCAGCCTTTCAATATGCTTGCATTTAGCCCCAAAGCCTTGGCCGCGGCAGCCATTAGCATGAATCTGTCATCTGCTGTTTTGGCATGCCTGCAAGTCAATGGGCAGCTGTGGACAGGCGGTGGCTATATTGCAACATACGATAACGGCGTTCAGACATGCTATGGCCACATCGCATCTGGAGACAACGATCTTCGCATGTTTCTCAGCGGAGAGGACAGTCCCCTATTCTTTACCGTACGCTAATTGTCTGACTCTGTATAAAGCTTGCAACAGCGGCTATGCCTTAAACTATGACTATACGGACAATAGTGCAACTGGGCCCCTGCCAATCACTTACAGCAACCCCACCGACCAGTATGTGTCTTACGAACTGATGACGAGCTGTACTGCTTTATAACTAACATTGTACAGTTTTGCTATTGACGTCCCACTCAGCTGCGACGAGATCTTCTGCTAGTTAGGCGTGCTCTCGTGCTCCAAGGGATTCAGTCTGTAGTTGGCACCGTTTGCTGTTACTTGGAGAATTATTGTTGATGGACTGTATTCCCAACCGGTGTGCTTCAACATAATTCACCTTCCTTCTGGAGATACAGTATGTAGCTCAAATGTAACTAAATAACTAACTCGCAAATTAATTAGTCACTCACAATTTATTTAACTACCGTATAGTGCTACATTGAAAATTTAACGAGAGCTCTTCCCATTCCCGTTAATATATATCTGGACTTGCTAGAAATAAATATCAGGGAGATGCATTCACTTCTAGCAATCCCCAAGCATGTATCTGCGTATATGAGCTGTAGTTTTTGTGCGTAATACAAGATATACCCAATAAATGGTAGATTTGACTTGACATTGATGTCAACGATATCATGCCTTAAACAGCAAGTGGTGCCTGAGGCCAAAACCAGTCACATGTGGAGAAGGAGATCCACTCCACTCCAACGTGAATCAGTAAAAGTGGATTAATGACCCATCGCTTCAACCTTCTCCATTTTATTCTATCGCGGTCGAAGAGCTTGCATTTTGTTCGTCTGCGTACCTTGCCATCATGCTTCGCTCACGAATAGCACGCATGCTCTTCCGTAGCTTGCCGTCAGCTAGAGCTTCAACACCATCATTCTTAACGCAGCGTATCCCGTCTCTCCCCTCACGAACTTCATCCTTCTCGAAGTCGACGACGCTCTTAACGACGTTTTGTTACCGGACTCCACGCTTGTCGTGTACTTCGAATAGACTATTCTCCAGCTCTGCTCGACAGTACTTCCATAATGGGGGTCAGAATTATAGGCGATTTAACAACGAGCCGTTTTTGTTTCAACTGTTGAGACATACCCGACCTATTCACATCGTGGTTGTCGGAGGGGGGCTGTTGTTGTTTTATTTTTATAACCTCGAGACGGTGGAGGTGCGTCGCTACATGCCAGACCCATACAACTAGAGAGAATGGGTGGTGCAATTTGCTGCGGGACTAACAATACTTGTAGATGACCGGTCGCCAGCGTTTTAACTGCATATCTGCGAAGAGCGAACGTAAAATGGGCACAAAAGAGTACCAACAATTACTGTCTGATCTGCAGGGAAAGGTGCTTCCAGAGAACCATCCCCTTACTGTTCAAGTGAATCGTGTTCTTCACCGACTAATTCCGAACGCACCTCTCGAAGGCGCCGACTGGAAGGTCCATGTTATTAATGAGCCTAACGAGGTGAATGCTTTTGTGCTTCCCGGGTACGCTATGTATCTTACACATGTGTTTTTGCCTTACTAACTAATACTATATCTAGGGGTAAAGTTTTCGTCTTTACTGGTATACTACCCGTCTGTCAAGATGACAACGGATTGGCAGCCGTCCTTGGACACGAAATTGCCCATGTTGTGGCGCATCATCCGGCTGAGCGTATGAGCCATAATGCTATCTCGATGGTGCTAGCGTTGGTTACCGCTCTCATCCTTGATATATCTGGACAGCTTTCTTCGATGCTCTTAAGCCTTGCGTATGGCTTGCCGAACTCCCGGATCCAAGAAGTAAGTTCTCCCTCTAACTAGAACTGTTCAAGCTGGAGGCTAATGTTTCAAAAGGCCGAAGCAGATGAGATGGGACTAAGTAAGAAGTGTTCTCTACTAGCATGCCGGCTACTTCACTAATGCTCACAGTGATAATGTCGAAGTCTTGCTTCAACCCAGAAGGTGCCGTTAATTTGTAAGTTGAAAAATCTCATGGAAAATTTGGCTCTTCACAAAAGCTCCCTAGAAATATCCGTATGTAGAAAGCTGACTGTGTCAGCTGGATGCGCATGCAACAACTGGATCAAACCCAGCCGCCTCAGTTCATGTCAACTCATCCTTCGGTAAGATTTGTTTTGCGCTACAGAACCTCTCATATAATGTATTGACGAGGGATAAAAGCATTACAACCGTATGGAAGCTCTTCGTGCAGGGTAAGTGAACACGAATTCCATGCATATGTTGATCTTCTGACCACGACTAGTCAATACAAAGCCGAAGCAATTTATGAAGACAGCGGATGCCATGTTATCGGAAGCTACAGTACAGTCTATTCTTTCTCTTATCACAGTCCAAAGCTAACCCGAATGTTAAATATCTAGTTCCAGCATTCGAGAAAGCGTTCGGTAACTATAGGTGGTAAGTATTCAACCGTAAGGCCATGGCACATAACAGTTGTGAAGGACACCCTATGTATTATATATTATAGATTCTGTCAGTATACTTTACTCAAAACAAAGACCATTACTGCCCCCTAGTACGATTAAAACGAGTCTGAACGATCCTAGAATGAATCATTAGTCAGCGTTTTCAGATGTTTGAAAAGGGAAATGCCCTAGCCCCTCCGCGTGCAAACCAAACAAACATCCGCCGTCAGACCGTCTTGAAGCTCCATCAAAAATTCCTAGGCAGCTTCAGGAACAGCGTAGTGGCTGATATTCTTTCCTTGTTTTTTTTCCCCTCTCTTTTCTTCCTCTTTTGCCGATTTATCTCCCTCGAGAGGAAGTTCCCCGTCACCATGTCACTGTCTATGCCTGGACCGTCCCAGGCGGGCCTCTTCAAGCCTGGCTATCAGAGGTAAGCGAAGCCCACTTGTGGAATATTCCGCTCAAGGTCCTCCAGACTCGAAGCATCGAGACTGGGAATGAACCGGATATATTAGACTAAATCAATGGGACTTCCGAGCTAACAAAGTTATCCTGTAGCCATGACGCTGAAGATGGCGCGGTTATTCGCAACATCGAGGCCTGCCAGGCCATCTCCCAGACCGTCCAAACGTCGCTTGGCCCGTACGGCCGCAACAAGATCGTTATTAACCACCTGCAGAAGATGGTTCTCACCTCGGATGCGGCTACTATTCTGCGCGAGCTTGATGTTGTACACCCCGCTGCCAAATTACTTGTCATGGCTAGTCAACAGCAGGATGTGGAGATGGGAGACGGCACCAATCTCGTCATCATCCTTGCGGGAGAGTTGTTGAAGAAAGCTGAAGAATTACTTCGGATGGGATTGAAGACGAGTGATATTGTGCACGGATATGAGAAGGCTCAGAACTTCGCCCTCAAAGTATTAGAAGGTGAGTTTCTTGGATTTCTACGTCTCGTTCAAGGGCTATCTCTGTGCTTTCTCCCCGGATGGCCAGTATCTTTATTTTGGTGATATACTAATGTATACTTAAAATACCAGATCTCGAGGTGGACTGTTTGAAGGATATTCGCTCCCAGACCGAACTCAGTAAAGCCCTTCGTACGGTGGTTGCTAGCAAGCAGTCCGGAACGGAGGATATTTTGGCATCGCTGGTTGCGGAGGCTGTCCTCGCCGTCCTCCCTAAGAACCCTATCAATTTCAATGTCGATAATGTTCGTGTAGTGAAGATTATGGGCGGCAGCTTGGAGCAATCCCGTGTGGTGAAGGGAATGGTCCTTGGTAGGGAACCTGACGGTATCATCAAGAAGGCGCGCAAGGCCAAGGTTGGTGTCTTTAGTTGCCCAATCGATATTTCCCAGACCGAGACCAAGGGTACTGTGCTCCTGAAGAACGCACAGGAGATGCTTGACTTTACCAAGGGCGAGGAGGAGCGTCTGGAGGCTGCCATCAAGGAGCTTTACGACTCGGGACTTCGCGTCCTTGTATGCGGCTCTACGGTCGGTGACCTTGCAATGCACTATCTCAATCGCTTCAACATTCTTGTGATCAAGATTCTTTCCAAGTTCGAGCTGCGCCGGCTCTGCCGTGTTGTTGGTGCTACACCGCTGGCTCGTCTGGGAGCTCCTATGCCCGATGAGATGGGCAGCGTCGATGTGGTTGAGACCTCAGAGATTGGCGGTGACCGCGTCACTGTCTTCCGTCAAGAAGATCCCAATACTGTGACTCGCACTGCGACCATTGTCCTTCGTGGTGCTACTCAGAACCACCTGGATGATGTTGAGCGTGCCATTGATGACGGCGTCAATGCCGTTAAGGCTATCACGAAGGACCCCCGTCTTGTTCCTGGCGCGGGCGCCACTGAAGTTCAGCTGGTGGAAAGAGTCTCTGCGTTTGCGGACAGGACCCCTGGACTGCCTCAGCATGCCATCCGCAAGTACGCCGAGGCCTTCGAAGTCATTCCGCGCACCCTTGCCGAGTCGGCTGGGTTGGATGCTACCGAGGTACTTTCTCGTCTGTACACGGCCCACCAGCGTTCGAACAAGAATGATGCATCATCCTCGGAAGAGTCTTCGGCAGAAGATGGAGGCTCTGAGGATGAGGAGGTTTACTGGGCCACAGGTGTTGACCTGGCGTCGGGCTCTTCAACTGGTACCCAGGATGCTGTGGAGGAGGGCATTCTCGATCTGTTGGCTTCCAAGAGCTGGGCCATCCGTCTGGCCAGTGAATCGGCGCGCACAGTCCTTAGCGTTGATCAGATCATTGTGGCACGACAGGCGGGCGGACCGAAGCCGCCAGGCCCAAACCCCAACTGGGATGAGGATTAAATATTCAGATGAACTGAAGGATATGTCCAGTGGGATTTAAGTCAAAACGGGATAGAGACATGAGATTATGAAAAGTCCATTGATCTGAGGGATTGAATTGCAAACGTTTTGTGAGAGTAGTAGTAATTCTGGTTATTGTCTATAATCGAGGTGCACGAACAGCTATATGTAGCCCTACTTACCTACTATCTCTTCCTCTTACATAGAAGCCCAAGAGATGAGTCCCAACTGGAAATGTAAATTACCGTATTTGTACTATACATCACGTGATGTATCTGGATTTTACGAGCCGAAACTCGACTTTCTTTTTCAGTCAAGGCCTTTTCGGAGACAGTTTGATCGCCCTGTCCAGCAGCGTTTCCTCTCTTGCCCACCCTTGCCTTCGCTCTCCGTGCCATTCGGATCACCTCAGCCTCCATCATGTCGCTCTCCTCGCAGGCCGTAACTCGATGCTGCCGACGGATTGTTCGCCCAACCGCCTCGCTACAACTTTCGTCCTCTACATATATGTCTCAGCGGACACTCAGTCGGAGATGGCAATCCACCGAGGCGGAGGCTGCTGCTCCTGCCAATCCTAAGATCAGCCAGATTGTCGACCAGATTAGCCAATTGACCTTGTTGGAGACAGCGGATCTCGTGTCAACCTTGAAGGTGCGTCACGCCAGTTACCCTTCCATACGGATATCGCAAGACAAACGCTATTCAAATTTGTTTTTGCTGTGAAAGCGTATCCTTTATCCCTTCAAAATTAGCTGCAAAATAGCCCAATTGGGCCATGCTGACATGTACTCTACCTCACAGTCCCGCCTCAATATCCCCGATCTCCCCGTTGGCGGTTTCGCCATGGCCCCCGGCGCAGGCCCTAGTGCCGCTTCTGCTCCCGCTGAAGAAGAGGACGCCGCTCCTGCTGCTCAGGAAAAGACTCTCTTTAACGTGAAACTGGAAGCTGTCGACGCTGCCTCCAAGGCCAAGGCCATCAAGGAGGTCAAGACCCTCCTGGGTCTGTCTCTCGTCGACAGCAAGAAGTTCGTCGAGTCCGTGCCCAAGGTCCTGAAGGAGTCTGTGCCTAAGGAGGATGCTGAGAAGATCATCGAAACCCTCAAGGCCGTTGGTGCTAAGGCTGTCATGGAGTAAACGCGAGGGACGATTATGTGCTACAGGTGAAATAAAATCCTACTTAAAACCTGGTCACCTTTCCTCCTGTTGTCCGAGTGAATGAGCGATACTTATGGATCAGGATGATTTGAACGTTGTGATTGGGCTGCATCATATCATCGAGCTGGAGTTTTGTCTCACCCTTTTTTGTTTTCTTTCTTTTTTTTTCTTGAGTTGTTTTCTAGTTTCTTTTCTCCGTCATATATGATATAGCTGGACAGCGGAAAAAGGCGGCCAATGTACATTATCAACTTTGATTGAACAGATTTTGGATCCAAGGTGAAAGCAAGGCTTGCTTGTGTTCATCTCATGTGGTATCTGGTAGGCTTGTAATGGGGGATGGACGATAGACATGTATTTCCAACTGTTTAATTATTACGAGTCTCTACTCATGGATGTTTCTGTGGCTTATTTAGGATTGCTAGTCACTCCAACTGTAAGATCTGCGTAGTTGGCCAAAATTCATAGAAATGCTGATAGCCATTGTCACGGGATCCCCGCATTCGACTATCAGCACAACTTCTGATTCTCTTTTCCTCCGCTACGCCCACGCCCACCATGTCATTCTCTCGGGCCTCCAATCCCCTGCGTCATTTAAGATACTACCGGTTGGGTTCTCGGCCGATATGCTCATGCTCATCTAGCCCTTTTTTTTGGCGTTCTAGCTATGTCTATCGACCCACTTCCACCATACTCAGACCTTTTCATTCTACCCCCTCCTACAACGCCGTTCGTTTTCCAGCGGTCCGCCGACCTCAAGCAGCTCGTCGCCGACCTGATGTCTCAGATGAAGGCGCATCCAAGCAGTCCGCAATGGGCGACCTGCCCTCTCGGCTAAAATTCCTTGAGAAACACGGAACCAGCCTTTGGCAACAAGCGATCGTACTCAAACTTCTAGACCTAAGAACCACACGAGAGACATTTATGCAGATGGCAAAAAACCTTATAGAAAGCTCATATCAGTGGCCTCCATCCGCAGCTGCAATTGGGGCCATTTCACGAGGTGATCCTCAACACAAACAGCTACACATGCTCAGAAATCATTAACCTTACTCCTCTGTAGATGTCGACCTAGTCTTCCAAGTTGGCCATATCGTTTCCGTCGGCGACACTAGATTCAAAGAATGGCTGTACTCCTCCGCTGCGCTAGCTGGTGCTCGAGTCGCTGTTTTGATCGCTGCTTCCCGATCCGTGAAGAACGCCAATGGAGCTCCGCCTGCCGGCACCCCGATCCTTGAACAGGTAGAGTCTCTGGCTTTGCGGGAACGCGACCCGCGCGCTATGATTATTCATGCCACAGTATTAGGTCGGCGGGAGAGATACGGGGAGGCCATTGCCCTCATGGACCAGGTCATGCAGACAATCTACCCGACCAAAACTGCGCCAGCGGCTGATTCGTCCCTACTGATTGGGGACATCGAGCCACCGTGGAAGGTGTATGCGTGGCTGAAGGAGAAGATAGGAAATGTCACGGACCTGGACGACATCCTGCGCACCGCAGCATTGGAGTATCAGGATCCAGAGGCGTTGGTAAAGTATGCTTTTGTCATGATGCAGCAGGGCGATCTGGAGAAATATGAAGAGTATATGAGTAAAGCCGCAACTGCCGGGAACGCCAAGGCATGTTGGAAACTAGCCAATTTCTACTACCTAACATCTCAAGGTCGGTACCCGCGTCGGGGAGTAAAGACGAGCGACTCAGCCGCGGATGCTGAAAGGGCCAACAACGCCAGTGAAGGTCGGGGGATACTTTCAGCGTTCTTCTCAAGTCTGTTTGGCGCCCAGCCTCACCACGAATATCGGGGCTTAGCAATGGAGTGGTATGAACTAGCTGCCCGGCACGGTAGCCCCGAAGCTGCTTTGGCCATTTCGCTGCTTCTTCGTGAAGAAGGGAACACGGAACTTAGTGCCCAGTTCTTTCAGGTGGCGGTTGCTTCCCAGAAGCTTACTTCTTTGATCCGACCATTTAGACTAAATTGGGAAAACGAGAATTATTCGCCTAAGATGCCTACTGAGCTGATGGAAGTTTGATTGTGTCAGTAGGTGCCGTGGAGTGTGAATATTAGAAGTGTATGTAATTAGTGCTTGACTTACTTTTGATACCCCAAATTAGAGAGATAAGTTGGTTGGGTTGTTGTTCCAGCTATGGTTTATATTTTGCGCGACATTAGATTGTGGCCTTACGATAACTATGAGAAGTACCTAAGGTAGCTCGGTATACTTTAGTTACCAAAATTTAGAAATTATCTCAGGCTACATCTTGGACAAATCCTACCTCAAGTTGTGAAGGAAAGGGAATAAGAAGGGACAAAGAAGAAATAGAAAGTAAACTATACCTATACTGTCGTATATGTAATTATAATACTCCGCAAATAAATGAAGTTAAAACTATATGACAATCAAGCAAGCAATTTTCTCCTCTAACACCGAGTCCATATATTCATGTCGTCGTAACCATGCTCTTCGGGTCCAAAAGAAAAACAATAAAAAAAGAAAGAAAGTAAGAAAGTAGCAGCTTTTTCTCCAGCAAGTCGATCTTCAGACTAGCGACGTCTTCCTTTTCCTCTCCCCTTCCCTCTTGTCTTGAGCTCGACGAAACCAAGCTCCTTGAGTCCCTCGGCGAGAGGCGATGAGTCTCGCATACCAGGGAAATCTTTAGCCGGGTATACACGAAAGGGATCGGACCAAGCCTCTGCGAGGATGGGCATCGACTGTCCTGGTCCAGCGTCCTCTACACAGCCCCAGTTCATGAGTTGGAATTGCAATCGATACAGTCCCGCGGTTCGGACAGATAAATCGGAGAATATATAAAAAGCTGCGGGCTGTTTCATTCCGACCAACGGCATTGGCTGACGTCTCATATTCGCCGCATAATCCTCGCTTGAAGGGTGGGCTGGTGCTGTGGCGGGATCAGGATCTGCGTCCACGTAAAAGGGCGACACAAATGACTTTCCGGATAAAAGGGGCGTGGCCGGTCCTGAAGTACCTCCCTCCGCCCTCTGCGCCCCTGCTCGGTCTTCTCGAGCTGTGTTTTCTCCATCCACCTCGGGCGAGACTTGTACGGGGACAAGAAGACACCCCACTGTAAACCGTGGATCTTGTAGGATATCTGTGTCCTGATCTGAATTTGGATCGAAGTCAGTTAGAAGTATTTGGATGATCGGAGGCGGGTCCACGGGTCTCCGGTCTCTGTCACCGGCACCACACGCTCGCGCTGCTATGGGCTGTTGTCTGATATGTAGGTGGTAGCGAGAGGAGGTTGAAGGTCGTCGTGGCGGAGGAGAAGGGGCTGGTGAGTGATTTAGGAGCTTCTCAAATCCCATCGGCATACCAGAGGTGGCATGGCGCTGTTGATGCTGTTGCTGCATCGGTTGCTTTGCGAAAGGCATGGTGGTGGGATAAATGTTCATACTTGTGTCAGAATGAACAGGGCTCGGAAAGGTAGTGGAGCTACTACTGTATCTGGTCACTGCATTAGATCGTGCGATAATATTCGTATCAGGCGACTCTGGAAAGCACATTGAAAACAAGGGCATGGAATAGGAACAAGCAAGATAAGAGGAAGACAAAAAGCGGGAAGTCAGAATCTAGATATTAACAATTTAAGGAAAAAGAGAAATTACTGAGAGTCCATATCGTTTGCTCGCCCTAGCGACCCAATAGAGCCACGGCTGTGACTTGAAGTGTCATAAGAGTTATGAGCCCCGCTATAGTCCACCCCCTTCAGCAAACTCGATCGTTGTACCCCATGCAGGGCTAGAGAACCAGTGCTCCCTGAAGGGAGGGTGCCGCTGGACTCTGCACCATTGTCCCAGGGTCTACCCTGAAAAGAAAATCGAGGATATGGAGAATTTATCGTCGTGGGATCATAACCTTGGATGTCGGGGTAGAGAAACCGTGGAGGCTGATGCGTTGAGTAAGGGTAACTTAGAGTGGCTGTCAGTCCTTGACTCTCGTCATCTGAGGCACGCCGTCTCCCATCAAAATGCCGATTGTCGGAAATAGCCTGCCATTGCAACGGGGTTCTCGACATCTATGCAGATTGGCGCGGGTTTTATAGAGCGGAGTCCTATTTTTGCAATTTTCCTTGGGTTCGCAAAGGGCCAAATAGAGCGTCTGCTTGTTGCGAGGTAGGCATCCGCAACAGAAGCCTGGAAGCAGAACAGCAGTGTATCGTCGATGACAGTGCAAGTCAAATGATATCGTATGTGTGGAAATAACCGGCTAGACGATGGCACCAAGAGAGAACAAGACAAGCCATATGCTACATATAGATACCCTGAAACGGCGGCTTGGGCTGGCAACAAGTCGCACAGCAGATAAGGGTCGGGAATAGCTCCTAGACTGGACCAAAATGCACAACAATCCAGATTGTTGGTTGACGAGTTCTTCGATCTACGAGGAGAGTGTTATGTGTACGTTAGCACATGACGGTTTCCAAGATTGGTCACGAAGCAATTGTCCAAGATGGGGGAAATTAGAAAGTAAAAGAAAAAGAGAAGGGGCAAAATAATAAGAATAATAATAGGAGAATAAACACGTTATGGAATTTTTCAAGAAAGGAAAAAGAAAGGATGATAGCGCCCACTAATTAGAATTGCACAACTCACACAAGTGATCGCAATAACAATGGTAATTATAATTCAGAGGGGGGAAACTAATGCGTGTGTGAGTGAAACCGAGTATCTGATGACCACATAATCCAGTAAAAGTGAAAAAGAAAAAGGGCAGTCCTACCAACCATCAAAACCAGGAATATTTCACCACCATTGGTATTTTACCAATCTGTGGCCGTGCAAAGAATAAAGCAGATCTGGGGAAATGGGCTGGACGAGGCTTTTGTGAGAGGGTGTGCGTGCCCGCTGTGTATGTGTGTGGCATTGACAAAAAAAATTTAGACCTGCAGCAACATTGCGTCCCTGACAGAATCCTATCAACAATATTCCCGAATCCCGAGTACATTGTATCCTCCTACTTCCCTGCGAGTGTCTGGTGTCGTATTGGCAACGGTAACGCTTGAAGCCAAATACTGTGACTCATGCAATAAGGACTCGCACACGGAGTAGCTGCAAAAACTATGCCGGCATCAAAACAACCAGGGACAAATCATAACCTACAGCAGACTAGGCTTTCTTCCATAGAGGAAAGAAATCGTATATTATTTTAAAATCGCCTCCCCTTGTGCATAGTCCTTAATTTCCCGGAAGATAATTTGCAAGACGATAACTGTCATAAAACAGTTGTTTCTGTTAGCTAGGCAAATTCCAATTTTGGTCGCAATGTGAACTTTGAATGGAGAGAGAAAGGGGGAAAAATGAAATTAAAAAATAAAATTAGAAGTTAAGATAAAAAGAAAATAAAAAAGAGAGAGAGGAGCTTACTTGGTGCCAACCATAATTCACCGTTAATTGATTGAACGAACAGCTGTATATCAATTGAGGATAATCAGGCTCTCTGCACAACCACTACCATATCTCCATACATGACTGCAACTACACCGTAACGATACTCAGAAGATATAGATGAAGTAGTTCTTGCCGATTAAGACCCTTGATTCGGTCAGAATGTGCAGTTGATCAGGAAGGCTGAGGGACGATCCGCCCAAATTGATGGTGCCCTGCAGGTGTAGGATTCCCGGTTCAGTTTTTTTTTCTTTTCTTTTTTCCTTCCTTTTTTTTTTTTTTTTTCTAAAGGATGTATCATCATGTGCGAGATACTGACTGGACAATCGGTTCCACCGGGTGATTCAGTGCACCATCGATGATCATGGGATTGTGGCAGATATGGCTAATCTACTTCCCAGAGTTGTTAGTTAACAGTCTATGCTGCCTTTCCGTATCATGCAGATACTTGTGCCTTTAACTTTAGATAGAATAAAATATTTAGTTTCATATGGTCCTGGGATCTGGAAACGCGCTTTTCGTGTATTTTGCAGGGATGGAAATTTAGAGATCTCGGAATATCTCATATATGCGAGCCTAGCGCCTTGACACTATCCCCTAGATGATCTACCATTGTCTTGCAAGGCTAAGACGCTCACACCAACAACAGATGTCGAGAAAACGTAGCAAAATCAGCAACAGACACCATGAGAATAGACCTGTTGGACCACAACATGGACGGAACTGCTGTACAATCTTCATGATACCAGCTCTTCTTGTGATTTAGTACCCCATGGATACGATTTGCCGGTCACTCTTAGCTGACAATTGTATACCTTACAGAGCATACATACCCTAGTTTCACAGAGAGGTACAGCGAGCCCGAAACCCGAGGCCTAGAATTGAAACCAGTGATGCACTAGTAGAAGGGGACCTTTTCAGATCTAAAGGCTTTCTACCATGCTTAGTCGCGTACAAAGCCATTGATTGCACGGACCAATTAACTGGCTGATCCTCTTGTCTCAGGTTATCCTTTATATGACTTAAAGCTAGTCGAGGATTCGCATGTGAAAAGATTTTTTTAAAAAAAATGAAAGACTGTATCCCTATATGGTTGATTAGCCAAGGTTGTTCTAGAAAACAAGAGCCTTGACACACTGTTCAGTATGTACTGTTGTTTCCTTGCCAGCCAGTGTGCCTATCTACCCTGGCAAGCAGAAATATTGACATTAGTCACCGCCACAGATCATGTCTGCTTTATCATCTCAGCTGAAGTCTGTTGTTGATCAGAATCCTTTACTGTGTACCGGGACCATGGGTTTGATCCGTAGTCAGCGAGGGTTCTGTTGATGCATTAGGCCCTGTAATACAGGGTAGTTGTTCGTTGCTTTTTTTTATTTTATTTTCCTGCCCTAGCGAACAAACTACTGCATGTGAGGTTGCCTTGCCGATAGTAGTGAGTGATGTGTCACAATATTACCCAGAGCCAGGATTATTAACAATGCCAGTCGACAGTTTAAGTGGCTTATTTGACCCTTTAGTGGCTTCATAACCATGAACGATGGCTTTTCACTGGTGGATGGAGTAAAAATTCCTGTACAACCCCAATGTCCGGAACTTAATGTGTGGCGCATGACTGTGCGCCTATCCCTGTCTCAGGCAGCCATTGTTCTGGGTATATGAAGGTGAGCCGCGACTGGTTGCAATCCTGGGGGGCAACTATGGCGATGATCCGCACATGTTTACGGAATACCATAGTGCAATTGAATTTTCCTAAGTCCCAAAACTGCTGCATCGCCAAGCAACAAGACTTCCATTACTGGAGAGATGCTGGATGACTGGTGTCACAAAGTATCAGGTACACTGCATTGGTTGTATTAAGCAATTTGGGGGTTCCCAAAACTAACTAACCCAGTCATGACTTCCGTTAGGCAACCCACCACGGTTTGGCCCTGCATAGACTAACTGATGACAAATGACAAAGGTGTCCAACGGGCCAAGCGCAGTCTATGCATATGATATTTGTCGGATCATTTGAACTAGGACGGTGAGTGCCGACAGTCTCCCATCTTGGAGAAGAGATACGACGAGGAGAGAAAGAGGAAGCAAGAAAGAAGGGGTGATGGAAGTCAAGTGACGGGAAGATCACGGGGTGGCTGCAATCTGTTCACGACTCTGGTTCGATCCTCTGCAGTTCCGACCCAAACTTCCAGCTCGAGAGACCCGCTACGTCGATGTAATATGCTGGACTCGATCTCACTGGATACGTTGCTCGTTTCTAGATGATGTTCCTCATTGGCGAATCTTAGGATATGCTCCAGCCACATGCTGTTTATCGGGAGCCAGGAACAGATGAACGGACTAATAAATCATTATCTGAGGTAGAGACATCTTCAGCTTACTAGCGTATGAAGATGATCCTCCCCTTAATTCCGGAATTGGTCCTATGCTCCGAAAAAAGAAACAAGGAGGACCAAATCCCGAGCCTCTGCTAAGGTCATAATAATGACCTGATGGCTGGATCACTGGGTCCAGAAAGGCCTTACTGCACAAAACACCGCCAACGTCCCCCACAAACAACGAATGGATGATTTGATTAGGGCAGGAATATTTTAACTCATAATGGTATTTGGGTCTCCTTTACCTATCGCACCAGCATCATTGTTGATTTGTGAAAGTCTCAGCAGCAGACATAAAGTGACTCAGTCGGAGTCGAAAGGAGGCCTGGGGCTTACATACACACTCCCAGATATGACTGATATGGACATGAGGGCAATGTTATTGCTTCGGTTGAAGATCAAACGGTGAGCAGTGCATTGCATAGTGTAAAGGGGGTCGGTTGGATATCCAGGTACTTTACAACATGCATGCTGACCCAAACAAGGAGTATGTGTTAAAAAAAAAATGAAAAAGAGGTCGACCAACACATATTCGTATGACAAGAATTCCAGGCGGTTACCTTACTTCGGAGTAAATCGCACTAAGGTACATATTGTTACCCAGACTCATTAAAACCCAAGATCTTCTTGGTCCACTTCTGTAGTCAAAGGCATATATATGTATGGAAAAGCCCGGGTATCATCTGTATTTTGCTCAACATATGCCTTGCTTTTGCAGCATTACTTCCCCAGCCGGAGGGTTGAGAAAATCTAGTACCCCACACATTAATTTAGTTCCAGAGCGCCAAATACTAAACTAGTACGCTACCACAACCATACAAGTAAACTTCGATAAAATTAGCAGTGTGATGGGCCTACCCTCCCCCTACCGAATTGACAAGAACAGCATTGATGAATGCACAGGCCGAAAAGAGAATAGAATATAGGAAAGAGCATTAGGCGTATAAGATACTAGTACTAGGTACTAGGTATCCGAGTGTTGTTTCCGGTACGAATAGCTGGATAGACACTCCCTAGTATATACAATGGACCTTGTCATATTGACGACGCGCTCTTCTCATGTGGCCCCTGCAAAGCTTAAGTACGAGTAGTTAATTGCCACGGCGATGATCGGGGATTGAGCAAATTTAGTCCTTTCATCAGTTTGATCTACGATCTGCGCCTGGGGTAAGAGCCCCATATGAAGGCTCAACCACTGGCAGAACATGTAAAGGCCACATTTAGAGACTACCTAGGTAGGCTGGACGTGTTCTGTATCTCGTTCTGCATGCCTTAGGTCTCTTGACTTTTCTTTCTACCGGTCTTTAGAAAATTATTCCGACGTAATCGAGAGAGCTACAGCTCAAAGCACTTTGAGGGCTCTCTCTTTCATAGAGCTTAGAAGTGTGAAACTAAATATCTATTATCAAAAAGATAGCTATACCGTAGAACAGCTATTGAGACTTGCCGTACCAAATGATTGCAAATGCTTTAAAATCCCCTCGGAGCACACTATCAAGCCCCGCAATCTATAGAGCCTTTGGGGCCACAATAAGCTTAGGCCATGTCGAAAGGTTCGCAATATTGTTAATATATCTTGTTCAGCGGCAACAGAGCCGGTCAACAATGGATACGTATGAACTTCTGTTTGCTCAGCTCAATTTCAGTTAATATGTCACCCCTGCCAGAGCTAATGATTTTTCCAAATTAGGCCATTGAGTCCTCAATGTGCGTTTAACTAATGCCCTTAGAGTTCGCCAATTTACCACACTTTGTGTATGTGGTCCCCAACCAGTTGGACATTCATATTTCTAACTCTGTTGTATTATGATCATCTTTGTTTTTGCTGACACGACTGACTGTATATATGGTAGATTTTATTAATCATGGTTACCAATATCTAGGCGACTAAAGCTCCGATTCTTATCGGCAATATGTAGATTTTAGATACCTATTTTACCGGTAATGGCGCTTAGATGTAGGCTAGTGTTTAACTTAGACCAGTAGAGCCATGGAGCTTTTCTCAGGGTAAATTAGTCATAAGCATTTAGGAGACGTGACGGTTGTTCGTAGCTATTCAATCCACCAAATCCAAGCCTGGATCTGTTTCAAGATAACACATTGAGGAATTAACTTCCAGCCAAGACTTACGATCGTTCGGCTTTCTCAAAGCCTCCAGAGGCACTAACCTCGCCAGCGACTTGCGATCGAATAGAGGATTAGTGTCCGTGTCATGGAAGCCTGTACTAGGGAAAGCTTGGTCATGCCCTTTTCCAGCATAAACAAGGATAAATTGACCAGCATCCCGGTCCCAAGCAACAATATAGTCTGTTTCTTCCCATCCATATGGCTTTCCTTTGAATGACTGGTCTCGCATGAGTAAGTAACCCAGCTGTATCGCGCGGAGGGGGTATTGAGTTGCTGGACTGATTTTACTACGTCCGAGTCTAGCTCGAAATAATCCCAAATCAGGACAAGTCTTAGAAACATCAGTCTGTAGTGCGGAGGTGTTCGAAAATTTAATTGCACATCGCTTAGGATACCAGGAAAATTCGAGTGAGGTTTTCTTAGTAGAAGGTGGGACAATAGGCACCAGGCATCCTTCCTGGTCGTCCAATAGATCGGCGATCTTTCCTAGATCCCCTGCAGATTTCGATCCCCCAAGGGCCTTAATTTCTGCAACTAGACGGTCGCTACTATCATAACCAGTGCTTTCGCCATTAATATCGAAAAGCGGGTTTTCCGTAACAATGCAATCTGAGTCAGAAATGTCACTATGAAGCGACTTCTTAGGTTGCCAGCAAATCCCAAGCCTTCCCTCTATACGTTCAAGTTGAACATCAACTATGTTTAACCACTCTTCCTGTCCGGCAAGCAGCGGCAGCTGTTCGCCAATGCTCTGGTCTTCAAGGAGAGTGTTAAGACCCTCAAATTTCGAAATGCCCGGTAGGACTCGTCCAAGGCGATTTGATAACTGAAGTAGATAGGCTAGAGCCTTTGAGCTGTCTCCAACATTTACAAGCGCCACAACACAAGAATAAACGGATTCAAGGTCATGAGCTGGTGAATTTTGTGACAGCTTCTCTAACGTTTTATTCCATAATTGCTGCAGTAATTCATCACTCCGGAGTGTTGCTAACAACGTTAAGTACAGCCCAATGTGGCTCACTGCGTTGTCAGGGTTGGCCCAATATAATATGCTGTGTAAACTCTTTGACGGTTGTTCTTCGGAGGCGCCTTCACCGGTAATTAGGTTGCACATCAATCTCGTATCAAGGGGTAATAGTCCGGATTCGAGAGACTGAAGTGAGAATAATAGGTTATTCACAAGAGAAATACTTGACTCCAAATCCAACAGGTCGCGGCTGACAGAGATATATCCTTGCAAATGACGCGAGAGAGCTGTCTCCGAGAAGGCCATGGAGCTATAGTACATCCCCAGCACAAACAAATGCCTAGATAGGGGCACATTCTGCTTCAAGAGCCTCGCAATCAGTCCGTTAATTGTAGACAGAATCTGCTGATACGTATGATGCCTCTGACAAAGTTCCAACGCTTTTGCTAAGTTGCGGCAGCGATTCGCTTGCAAATATTCACCTTCTTCTCGTCCATTTACATTCTTCATAATATAATGACGTAGATTTCCGAGATCCTCCGCTTTTGGTTTAGGAATTCCCTTATAAGCTCGGGTAACGTTCTGCTGAAGGCTCCACAAAGGCGGCGGAGGGGAAGCATTCAAAGGCCAATTTTCAGAAAAAAGTTCTTTGAAATGTAGAGACAACCCTGATTCATTATTTGGGCTCTTCCGTGTGTTCTCTGTTAGAGCAAAGCGGAGTAATTGGACCGGCTGCGGCTTGTGATGTGGAGTTGTCCACTTGTTGTTGGAGGCATTGCGTACTGATTGCGACAGGCAATGGTGAGTGATAGGCTGTCGCCTAGACATAGGCCATAGTTGGCAGGGTACGCCGCCAGGCATTTGTCAATAAAGGACGAACGATTAGCTGATATGCGTTCCAGATTGGACTGTTATCGTTATGTGTATCGAGAATTAAAGGGGAGGGAGGACCTAGGCGGTGAAGATAGTGTGGTCAGTAAGACCAACCCATGTGGGCATCCATTTCAAACCCTTTTCACCCATCCATCTACTTTCTACTTCCACAGTTGCCGATACATAAGACCTAACACTGTTTCTTTCTTTATCAGTTCTAGTTGATAAAGAATAGTACTAACCTTCTTAAGCACCAGAATAACGTCATGTCTGACAAGCAGCCTGGCAGCAAGCTAGCTCAAGTTCCGTTCCCAGAATGCGAGCAGCCTGATAAGGGCTCATCAGGAGCCTCAAGTGGAGTCGATAAGCAAGGTGGTACTGAAAATTCCCCCGAAGAGGCAAAGAGAAATGATGCAGGTTCAAAGGCCCGTGAACGACAAGAGAGATTTAAGGCTCTCCAAGCTCGCGCAGTGAGTGCACTCTGACCCCCCAACCCATGGAGGACTGCCTATGTTAATCGCAGCATAGAAATATGCCGCGGAGCGGAATCTGAAAGAGACCGCAGCCGAGACCCAACGACTAGCAACCGACCCATCTCTGCTCTCGTCACTGTCGCGCAAGCACGCATTCGCATCTCATAATTTACTCAAAGCTGACACGGAAGCGGCTGGCGAGGATTTTGAACGTAAGCGGGCATGGGACTGGACCGTTGATGAGTCCGAGAGATGGGACAAGCGTATGGAAAAGAAACAGCATCATCGAGATGATGTTGCCTTCCAAGACTATACGCAAGATGCACGGAAAGTCTATAAGAGACAATTGCGTGAGATGCAACCTGACCTGGAAGGTTACGAGCGGGAGAAAATGGCGGCTATTGAAAAGGCTGCTGCCAACGGCGACCTGGAAATTGTGGAAACCAACGATGGCGAAATGATCGCTGTCGATAAAAATGGGTCTTTCTACTCCACTGCAGACAGTGTTGGATTCACTGAAAACAAGCCCGATCGCGCAGCTGTTGATAAGCTTGTTTCAGACCTGAGAAAGGCTGAAGAAGTACGGCTTAAGAAGCGCAGAGATCGTCGTGGCGACGATGACGCCGATGTTACCTACATCAATGAGAAGAACAAGCAATTCAACCAGAAGTTGGCTCGCTTCTACAACAAGGTATGTTGGTATTGGGGTGGTAGTTCCGCCGATAGCATGCTAATATTTCTCTAGTATACTACTGAGATTCGCGACAGCTTCGAGCGTGGTACCATGATTTGATATGAATACATCAAAATGTCTATTATACAGCGTAGTTCACGCTTCAGCCGGATCTGCCAACCATTACCTGTCACCAGCAATTTCCAGCGTGGTCATGTTTTTGTTGGACACCTCAGTTATAAGGAATCGTGAAACAGGTTGTCAGCATCTGCGGATTTAAGTGAAAACAATAATCAAAGCATGCTCTTCCTCCATGCTTTGGTCGCTAGGGCTTCCATTTTCTTTGTTCCAACAGCACCGCGAACAGAATCATCTTCCATTGCCTCGACAACGGCCTCCGCTACCATATCAACCTGAAAAGGCTTATCCACCATTGTACCGAGGAAATCGAGTCTATTACCCACAAGTGCGTTGACTTGCGATCCAATAAAACCACCAAGCGCTATCGGCATTGTGAACTTTCTGCTGGCATCATACATGAAGGGTGGGCGTATGAAGATACTTCGAAGCTCAGGAAGGTTGGATGATATGGCTGTCTCCGCCTCCCTCTTAGTTGTGATATATCTGCTTGGGAGGATAGGGGCTCCAGAGGCCGCTGAGATATATACAAATGTTGGAACATGCTCATTGGAGGACTCTTGTGCAAGTGCAATGGCTGATTTTATCGATATATTAGCTTTGTCGCAACTTTGGAAAATAAAAAGGGAAGGCAAGGACATATACAAACCGGAATCCCTGTTCATGATCTCATAGGTCAATTGCCTGTTCTTTTCCTTGGCCTCAAGTGCCTCACTCTCTCGCCTTTGTAAGGGATTTTGGCTGCCTAGCTTTGCGGAACTGAATACCTTCTGTAAACCACTGAAAAGAGGCTCTTTGCCTTGCACTACTCCTTTGTAATCAGCCTCAAGGAGGATGCCCATACTGTGGACGACAGCCGTAGCGCCATTCAAAAATGATCTGTAGGTTTGAGGGTCTAAGATATCCGCTTTGGCCCATTCGACAGAGCGTGACCAACCCGGGCGCTCTCGAGAGATTGTAATAGTATCCCACCGTGGCTCTCCGGACCGACTGTTATAACTAAGTATGAAGACCGCGAGAGACAATTGCGCCGGCTATCGTACCTAAGAGACGTTACAGACCAACCCCGAGCAACGGCAGATTTACATATCCTTGACCCTAAAAAGAAGAAATATATCAGTATGCAGGTCGAGTCAATGGAGCAGGATAGTAGGATGGATGGTATACAAACCCAGGAAACCACTTCCACCTGCAACTACAACTCTTTTCGAGGCCATCTTCCAGTGTCGATTCGGTAGCTCTATTGACGCTCATAGAAAGGAGAATTTAGGTCACAAATCGCGCTGGAGTACCATGATTGGCGGCGCGCGTGTCTGATCTTCTGATCGGAGCAGAGCTCTGGAACGCTTGCTTCCGGCGGCACCTTACTGTCTTGTGCGCTGCACTGTCACGTGCCGCTCCAGAGGCGCGCGGAATGTCCCGAGAGATGAAAAAGACATCGTCCAGATATCTCGACCACCATTCTATGCACTCTGTTCTTCTCGATAACTGATAGAGAATTTCTGAAGTGAATCTAAACAGCATGCCTTCTGTGACAGGTGCAAAACGCGTTAAGGTCAGTTTATCCGTGCTTTGATGGCCCTGCGATCACGCAAGCTAACAGGTTAACTCGCAGGGTATTTCTATCTTCAGGCCTTTTGGTATGTTTTTCCATCAGATTGAATCATTCTTGAGTAATTCATCAGATTTTAAACATAAAAACTAATGACCACAGTCTTTGGCAGCGAAGCACAGCCTTTCGACCCTGATAAGAAACCGGCGAACTCTCCCCCCGACCACACCCATCAATGGCGTGTATTTGTTAAAGGCGTTAACGGTGAAGACATTTCCTATTGGCTGAAAAAAGTCCAATTCAAGCTACATGAAACATATGCGCAAAATGTCCGCACCATCGAGCAGCCACCGTTCGAGGTCACAGAGACAGGATGGGGTGAATTTGAAATCCAAATTAAGCTATATTTTGTCCCGGAGTCTATGGAGAAACCTCAAACTCTGTGGCATAGCCTAAAGTTGCATCCGTACGGACCGGATGCTGAAGCGAAAAAAGAGAGGAGGGAGACCGTGATTAGCCAGAACTACGAGGAGATTGTGTTCAATGAACCCGTGGAACAATTCCATGATCTGCTAACCGGAGGTTCTGCAACCCCACAACCGCAGAAGGGCAAAGGTGGAAAGAATCCAAAACAGGGGCAACAACGAAATGGAAGAACCGCCGAGATTCCTTATAATGAGACCCCTGACAACCCATACAGCAGAATAACTGAGAATAAAGAACTGGACCGATTGGTAGAGGCGGGCAAGACCGTGGAGCAACTGATAAAGGAAGAAAAGGAACGACTGATTAAGCGCGAGAAAAGGCTGACTGAGCTGCGACAAACCGAGGGAGTTCCTACCCACACAAAGAAGAGATGATCTGCGAATGTAAGGTTCGAACGATAAACAACATAACCCATTGTGCATTCAATACCACCGGCGCAGGAGCAACTGGGTATTGTTCCCTGGTTCGGCCACAATCCAACTGTCATCGTATAGCCTTAAGCATGACAGAAGGATGTCACCGGCGTATCTCGCGGGTACCCATGTATGAGAGGCAAGCAAGGTTTCTTTGCTAGTTGATAGGTCAAGGGATGTGCAGCCCCGGATATTTATATCAAATCCTACTGGAAGTTGACTCCGGCTGTGAAAGTCAGCATGTCTTTCAGCATGGACTAATCGTAAAGCAAACCATGGATTTAGTGCACCATTGCTTTAGCTAATTATACCAAATACAGAACATTTGCTTCTGCCTGTGGATTGGGAAATAGTTAAATGCACAAACTATGGGTAAAATCATTATATCTACCCGTTATTCATTATAATCCTGTCTGTGCTACCACAGTTCTTTTGTGAATAAGATTACGCAGGCTTTATCAAGTGTCCAAATATTTTTGCATACTAAGATTATTAACACAGTTACTGTTGTCTGCCTATAAAGAAACGTTGTATCTTAGGTCAGGTGATTTTGGTTATCTATCCAATCTAACCTGAACTGTATGTGCATCGCGCATAAACCAACCTCTGAAATCAGCGAGATTGGAGTGGTGTATAAGTTCTTATTTATACCTCCAATGCAGCCCTGAATTGTTGCACGAACGTCCACACTTCAGTGAAGGTATTGTATAGAGGAGTAGGTGCGACGCGAACGACACCTGGCTCTCGTTTGTCGCAGACCACCCCAGCTTCTTGCAATTTCTGAGAGACATTCTGCAGAAAACCAGGCTTGAGTAGCAGACTTAACTGAGCGCCCCTTGCCTCAGGATTCGATGGAGTAATAATGCGAAATGGACGCGATTCCTCTGCCGTGCCTTCCAATAATAGATACTCCAGGTACGCTGTCAACAGAACTGATTTCTTACGAAGCTCAGCCATAGAAGTTTCGTCAAATACGGAGAGAGCAGCGCATAGAGCCGTAAGGTCAATAGCAGAAGGGTTAGATATTTGGAAGCCTCCTGCTCCAGGGATCGGTTTGAACTCTACAGAGTATGTCAGCTTCCATTTGCTCAAGTAACGGCGTAGGGCTCTTTGTGTCTTACTATTGTCCATTTTGAACCTCACAGAACGGTCACCACCATACCACCCAGTCAACCGATGACGGAATTTGGGGGCATCTTCCCCTTCACTGTAATCGACATGGCCATGTTTCTCGTGTACGAAAAGACCAGCCATTGTTCCAGGACCGGAGTTACCATATTTGTATGTGCACCAGACTGCGAAATCAACGTCCCATTCATTAAGTTTCAGCTCGACATTTCCGAACGCATGGGCTAGATCCCACCCGACTGTCAGATTACGTGAATGCGCATACTCGGTGATCTTCGGAATATCAAAGAGCTGTCCAGTATAGTACTGGATACCTGGCAGAAGAATAAGAGTTGCATCGTCCGCGTGCTGGTCTATGTAGGACAAGATCTTCTCTGTGGAAATCTCATATTCGCTTTCATCGGGCCCAATGAGCACCATGGACTGGTTTGGATCTAGGCCATGCCAGGCAATATGAGATTCAATGGCATACTACGATTAAGTTAGTGCCATGTTCGCAGCAGGCAACCGGTGCTCAACTTACATGATCACTTGGAAATGCCTTCCAGTCCATCAGAATCTTGTACTTGGTAGCCGTCGGCCTATAAAAGCTCGCAAGAAGTAGGTGCAGGTTCGCAGTCAGCGTTCCCATCGCTGCGACTTCTGCAGGCTCTGCTCCGACGATTTTACACATCGATTCAGCGGCTTGTTCAGACAGCAACTGCCATTGCCTTAGTGGCGAGCCCTCGAGGTCGACAAAGTGACCCGAGACTCCAATGGATGACCAAGTATCCAATTGTGCTTGGATAAATTTTGCTGTAGCCTTTGGCTGGATTCCAAGAGAGTTGCCACAGAAGTAAATGCATGGTTCTGACGACAGGTCTAGAGTTTACCCGTCGGATAGGGGAAATGGTCATCATGTGAAGAGGAAAAGGAAAGGCGGCAGACACCTACCTGGCTTTGCAAGCTTTCTACAGTTGATGTTGGCTTTCGAAGGAACGATGAATTTATCACGAAATGCAGCCAAAGGGTCTGCCGCATCTAGGGATGCAGCATAGTCCTTTTTCGTTGCATCTCTTGGGAAGGTGGGTTTGGAAGGATAGACGTGGTTAGACATTATGTATGATCCTATGCTGACAGTTGCACAGAATGGGTGAGAGCAGTAATGGAAATTGCAGAATCTAGACCTTTATACCTTGAAGTGTAATGGACATACAACTCCTTTTCCGTGTAACACGGGTGTTCTTCCGCTTCCGTCCTGAGTTCCGGGTCGACTGGAAAAAGACTCCGGAGTTTAGCACCAGGACATGGACTATTCCCCCCATGCATGAGACAAGCAGCTCTTTCTGGCCTAGAGACTGGAGAAAGATAAGCTGGCAAATTTCCGGGACTGGAGTGCCCATGCTACCACGCACTCCACTATCTAGAACCAGCATCCGGCGGAAACTGCCCTGGATCCGGCCTTCTTCCGCCTTGTATAAGAAAATAAGTATCAAAGGGGGCGCTTTGCCATGCCTCAGCTCAAATTCATAACTCCTTCATACCGTGATATCTAGATTCTCACCATGCTCCATTCACCTAACGTCACCCTCGACAAATATTCCGTTTCACTACGAACTGGATTTCTTCCCAGTGTTCCTCCTTTACAAAAACTAGAGAACGCTTACTACTGGCCCTGGGAAGACATCGTCTGGGACTTACCAAGTCATATTCAATGCAGAACAATCAGACAGGCTGTGGAAGAACTGCCTATTCTCTCGACCTCAAAATTGCATGAAGAGCCAGAATGGAGGCGAGCTTACCTACTACTTGCTTATCTGATGCACGCCTATATCTGGGGAGGGGAACGGCCTAAAGACGTGGGATTCCTTTCTTGTTGGATGGAACTCGAGTCTCCTGTACTGACCACCTGACAGGTATTACCACCTTCTATTTCATGTCCATTCTTAGAAGTATCCAATCATCTGGAACTCCCACCATGTGCCACCTATGCTGCCCTGAATCTTTGGAACTTCGCGGTCTCAGACCATACTGCTGATATGACCGACCCGGAAAATCTATACGTGACAGCTTCATTTACTGGGACTAAGGACGAAGAATGGTTTCTTATGGTCTCGGTAGCAATTGAAGCCAAAGGTGCACAGCTGATTCCATTGATGCTTGAGGCCTTCCATGCTGCCAGCGTTGATGACGCACAACGCGTATGTGATCTTCTCAACCAGTTAAATAAAGGTCTTCAAGAGCTTCGTCAATTATTTGAACGTATGTACGAAAACTGTCGTCCCGCGGTGTTCTTCCATCAACTCCGGCCAATCCTAGCGGGCAGCAAAAACATGGCTTCAGCAGGACTGCCAAATGGTGTCTTCTACGATGAAGGGCACGGAAAGGGTAAGTGGCATCAATACAGCGGAGGAAGCAACGCCCAGAGCTCTTTAATTCAAACTTTTGATATATTTCTGGGTGTGGAGCACTCAGCTACGGGAGAAATGAAGTCGAACGGTGCCACCAAACCGCCGGCTAAGACTGCGTTCATGCTGGTATGTACTATTATTCTTTGGGTTCTCACCTATACCCAACGCTAAGCGACGAAGTCTAACACATTAGTATTATAGGAAATGCGTAATTATATGCCAGGCCCCCACCGTCGCTTCCTAGAAATGATGTCTCGAGCATCCAATATCCGTGCGTACGCAATGAGCCACAAAGCAGACTCTCCAGTTCGTGATGCATACAACGCAGCAGTGATGTCACTGGGCCTATTCCGAGACTCTCATATTAAGATGGTAACACGGTATATCATTATGGCAGCAAAGATGAAGCCGACGAATACCATGCCTTCGCAGGTTAATCTCGCTACATCTACAACAACCCGAATGGAAGGTTTAAATGAAAAGGTCTCAGGAGGACTTCATGGAACGGGAGGAACCGATCTGATACCATTTCTTAAAAAGACTCGAGACACAACTAAAGCTGCTGCGCTGTATACGGATTAAATGATAGTGGACCTGCAGGATGGGTTAGCATAAATACGGTTGTACATACATTCTAACGAGTAGTCCTTTTCCCAGTTAATACATGTCTATATATTAGACCATATCCCCATTGAATAAACTAGTCTTCCCTCCTTTATTCATGCTTTAATTCATGTCGTATGAAACAATAATTGTAAGCTACTATTGCCTTGCCAACTACGGAATACTTAGAACAGCCCAGCTGGAATCAGAGATGTGGCCTGTCGGTACACGGCATCTTAATCACAGGTCCTTTACTATCCATGTCATCTTTACGTATCTAAATTCATGACCCCACCCTGTATCACCAAACGAAGAAAAAAAGCGCCGAGTGGTTATTGTCGGACACGGAAGCGGAAGCGGATATGGAAGAAGTACATACATCCGTTGATCCGGAGGCAAAAGGAAACATTACGCGGGTCGATCAATGCAAGCATCCTGCAGGAGTCATGTAATTCTAAAAGCCATCACTGGGCTGAAATATGATGCACCCATACAATATAGGTGTCGATCGGTGTCCGGAAGTATTCCGTACAAGTCACATGAATGGTTGATTGGATATTACATGTGGGATTCATGTACGCTGGTTTTGTAAAGAGCGTGACGTGTGTACCCGATATGCAATGATAATGCATACTATGAAGTGGATATTCTCGGTGGGATGTTGTGCTCTAAGGATGGTAGGATCAACCCCTCAAGTGGGAAAGCACGTCATTGCGGAGCTCCTTCAGTCCTTTATTGCTTATGTGCGGTACTAGAGTGCACATCACGGATGTAATGTCTGGGTCATCCAATACTCAGACCTTAAACTTTTCAGGCATATAGAGAAGCATGCATAACTTGCTATGACGTGGAAATTTTCTATGAAAAAGCCTTGTTCACAGATTACCCAGACCATCCCTATTATCACTGAATCGTAAAAATTCCTGGCCTTGGGAAAAAAAGTTCGCAGCAAGTATCGAAAACTCATCATTCAGTAAATCGGCGGGCTGGGATGTTGCCACAGATTCCACAGGACAGGATGGATCTCTGGTCAAGGATGTTTGAAGGTTGAAGTGGGTTGGGAGAGGAGACTGTGATATCCCCTGCTGCGTGCTCATGCGTGTCGGCTCTGGCAGTGGCGATGTCTGAGAGACCTCTGCTGTGAATGCAGGTGAGTTGGAATACAACGAGTCACCAAACATTCGCCGAGCTGAGTCTGTGTCGCCATTAGAAGAATATTCGAGGATTTCCCAAAATCGCGAGAGGTCTATCAACAGGCTCTTATTCTGAGCGCCGGATTCAGGTCGATAGGTAGCAGAAACTGCGTCCTCTAAACTCTGCAATCGATCCGCCTGGATAGTTGGAGAGGAGCGTCAGTAATGTCACACATAAGTCGAGTGAGGTCAGAATACCATTCGCGCCATGTGAGGCCAATTTTGTCCCAGGTATTCTACAAACCTAACGCACTTAAAAAAGCGCCCACGTTTCTCTTCTCGGATTGTAGGGTTCTCAGTGAAGCTTAGCTGCAATTCAATCGTAGCTACCACGGCTGCGCTGTACCCAAGAAATGGATCCGATACCATGAACGACCTCTCTTCAAAGTAATTAAGGAAATAGATTATCCACGTCGTGTGGGAGGAGATCAGATCAGATGTGTGTTGCAAGAATATCTCAGGAATGCTGCTCCGGAAATTTCGAAGACTGAGTGACAATAGCAGTGGATGGTTGAGCAGGCATAGGATCGTGTGATACAAGAATTGGCTTAAGAGAAAGGGGCCCCAGTAATCCCTATTAGTCTGTAGTTCATCTAGCGTTCTTTCGCTAAAATTAACAGGTTTAAACCGGTGAACATATGGCACACGTGTTTCAAGCTCCATTTGGAGTGTTATTATCTTGGAGTATTCCGACTGCGAAGACCATGGAGGGACACTGTCTGGCTTCCCATGTCGTCGGACATATCTTGCAGTCTTCACGAATACTTCGCTCAACATTATGACGTAGGCTATTATGCCATGGTCTTGAAGATCAGTTGATCGGCCCCCATCTGCCATTTTTGGTGGACAGTGCTGGGGCGGTAAATTCGGGCTTTCTGGGAAATGAGGACAGTGGCCATCTGGAAAATCCAGGTTGTCAAACTCAACACCATGAAGACGCTTCATAAGGCAGATGCTCCAGAAACAACGTCTTCGCTCTTCACGCGCAACTGGGGGCAATGAACCATGGGGTTCAGAGCATAAGCTTGCACATTGTGCCAGATTCATCGCTAGGCTGCTATGGATACTTGAGCGATGTGTATTGCCATCTACTGAAAATGTTAGCATGCAACATGGCAACTCCCAACAGCAAATGCCATACTTGTAAAGTCTACTAAGCTTAAGAGACATAAACACTGAAGAGTCGAAAGCTCCACGGGGCCCTCCAGCACTCGCTTCATGACCAAACTTCTGGCGACCTCCGTATAGCTGCCGATACGAGATGATAGGACATTACTCGTTTCCCCTCGCTGTGGTTCTGAAAATCGTATGCCTAAGGCAAGTACAGAGTAAATTATTTCGGGATCGCGCGTCCCGAGACTAGCTAAGAAAGTGCCTCTGTGGAAGAGGGGAAGAGGTTGCGATTCGCAATATATCAAGTACGACCCGGCTATGGAGAGTACTGCATCCCACGCTGGAAGCGGTGTGATTTGACTTATTGTCGAAAATGCCATAGAGCCATTGTGAACAGCATTCATGGCATAATTGATTCCCGATGAAGGGTGCAGTTTGCAGCAAGGCACATTCTGTCTGGTGCTGTATGTCAGCGTATCTAAGGCTTCTAATCAACCTTGAAAGTTTCAGATACCCTAGAATATCGAGGATTTCTCCTATCTTAGATTCGAGACCGCCAAGCCGATCTTCCTGTGGTATAGGAGTTATCTATCTTGCGTCAGATAAACGAGTAACTGTCGACACTTACTACAGACCGGGGATAATTAGCATCCGAAGCAGCCGGGGTAGGGGCCGAACCCCCTTGGAGAGCGCCAGTTGGTATTGATATTCGTCTTTCTTCAGCGTAACTGCATCTCTGATGTAGGCGAGCACACAACGAGCAAACTGGTTGCTCCCCTGGACATTTTGCTTTCTTTCTCCTGTAATAAAGACCTGACTTAGCCAGTATGGAGTAAATAATCAATACAAACTGACCTGCAAGGCTCACATGCTTGCCGTACTCGTTTGGCTGGTCTCTCAGTGGAGGTATTGCTCATAGTTGGAAGCCTGCTTGTACTAGAATAGATAAGGCCTTGTTTGTTACTGCGGAGCTAGGACAAGTGATCTTATATAGAATATGGACTTTGAACAGCGATATTGTATTAATACACAGGGTTAAAAGCGTTTAACTGCAACCAATTCTTGGGTATCGCATGAGCTCTTCGCTAATTGATTGATTTAATTGACGAGCTAATTAATGGGCACGATTGCCTAGGGAAGGATCCAACCCGCTGACTAAGAATTCCAGTACTTCAATTTGGTGTACTCAAAAACTAATTACTCCGTTCAAAACCCTCATGCTGCCTCTACATTGCCAATATTTAAGATAATACTCTTCATCGGAATTATACTAGCCTTTCTCTCCAGCAAAACAGAATGGATGGGCAAAAATAAATCCATCAAACACCGACACAGTTTAGCAACTGGCGATAACGAACACTCCTAACTACATAAATCAGGACATCGAAATTAAATCTACTAGAATTTAGGCTCTAAATATCTTACGCGCCCAGTAGATCAATGCACCCAGTCAAACAGAATCAATTAGAGGAAAGGGTTCTCATTGGCGCCAGGTATATCGTAATATATACAACCTCAAATACATTCCTCTTAACTCAGCCATAGAACATAGAGATACACCACCAATTGGACACTAGGCATACTGTTTTATGAGATAACGATTGTTATCGGCGCAGATCCCTCCTAGTTCTTGCCGAACCAGGTCTTGTGGCCCTGTTTTGGGGGTTAGTATGTGATCGCCAAAGATTCCGATGCTGAATCAGGAGGAGAATATTGGAAGAGAAAAGGAGCACCGACCAAAACCATACGGCACATGGCATAGGTAGTAGCTAATAAGAGGTTAGCTATTATGCGATTATGACTGTATTCCCACAACACTCACCAATACCCATGCCGTAGACGGAGATAAGGTAGGGGTACAGGACGTATTTACTGCGCTTGGTCTTTAGACAGCCGATGTTAGAGATCTGTTCCCATAGGAGACATAAAAGTCGATCGGTGGAATAGCTGACCTGCCACCACTGACGCTGGCCATCGTGCTGCTGGAATAGGCGCTGGTAGTAAGGGACACGGTTCTCGCGGAACACGAATCTATAAAGAGAAAGGTAGAAGGCGTTAGTATAGTTGAAAAGTGAGGGAGGACCAATTCCAAATAAATTTGACCAGCAGGGGCAGCAAAGTTGAGCCGACAACTCGATGTTCAATTGGTAGTGCGCAGAATTGAGATTGGGTAGGAGACAGATAAAGTGAAAAAATACATACCCAGCCATACGAGGGACAGTGCGAAACATTTTGGCGGTACGCAATTGCGAACGAGCGAGGATTTGGAGGGAACAGAAACAACAATGACAACTGAAATGCTCGCAACAACCCTCAGACGATGTCGTGAGCTGTGGATCCGAACAAGGTGAGACTCACGTGACATCCCTCGATATTCCGTCCTGTGACATGCCATGCTTAGTAAATAACCTTAATCATGTGATATGATATACTTGGCCATAAACGGAATAGTTCATCAATGCCGGTCTTCGTCATCCAAAAATGTATCCTTTGGGTTAGAGGGCATGCAAAAGCCATTACTCTCCTCAACCCATTTATCTAATGTGCGCAAATGGGGTATTGACGAGGAGGATGTTCAGACATACAAATTTACTTTACCCTCGCCTTCCTCTCACCACTCATGCGACCGGCTCTTCTCCGCTTACTGAAGAGACCGTCAGCTCTCTCGGTGCTGGACTCTCTCATCTCAATACCTACCGGAATCGAAGAGCTAGAGTCCCGATGCAAGAAGGAATGCCTACGATACTACTCGCAAAGTCAGGTCCAAAAAATTGATGAACATGGTGCTGAATTCGAACAGTTAGGCGGCCACAGACTTCGAAGGCGATCGCAGCCGCGGCCTTCTAGTTTTCGCGTATATGAGATCCAACCACCACGAAGCGAAGTGGCGAATAGCAATGAATTCGCAAAATTATTGGAGTCCACAACATCGTCCACTGGCTTACCGCGGGATGTGGGGTTACAACTGGAGAAATTGGAGTTCGAGTCCGACGTGGGACACAGCAATGATATTGGGACACGGTTAGTGGACGACCCGACTCGTCGGCATGATTTTGCCCTTTGGGAAGAGCTGCTTCGCTATCGACAGCGACATTATGGCGACAAAGGCACTCTCGATATATGGGAAGGTTTGATGGTGCGAGTGGAAGGAGTGCAGCTTCCCGTCCGGGGCGAAAGGGCAGATTTTTTCTGGCAAAGCTTCGTGAACCTAGGCTTAAAACGAGCTGTCATTATGAACGAGCTGGAAAATTATGCTTCGGACCTTTGGAAGAAAACAGGAAATCGATGGGACAGGTTTTATGAGTCTGTCGTTGGAGGTTTTATAGAACAGGGAAAGCCACAACGAGCCGTGGAGTGGCATAAGAAGCTTCAGCATATTCATCTGTCTAGCCCAAACGATATACTACGGGTTCTCAAGCCAGCTCTCACGCTTTGTCGCAAGCCTGGAAGCCGAGATATCTCTTCGAAAAACCGAAGGCGGATATCATCGGGCTTATGGATCTTTCAGAATATCTGTCACTGTACAAAGGATCATCGCATATATGGTCCTGTCATATGCACGTTGCTACGCAATGGCCACTACGAAGATGTATTTCCGATGCACAAGTTCTTGGTTGCAAGAAACGACCATCCACAAACTTACGAGGACATCCAGCCATTGCTAGAATTTGCGAAGGAGAATTGGCCACGTCCGCTTCTCCAAAAGCTCGCTTGTTATGTTGATGAGCATTTCCCCAATCGAATAGACTTAATGGAAAAAGATGACCCTACTACGAAAGATCTCCAGACAAAGAAAGGAGCATGGCTCGAAGAAAAACCCTTCAAGGACGAATTCGGTGCCCGCCTTTTTGCTACAAAGGCCTTCAACTTTGACATGATTATTTCTGGACTACAAATGTTAGGTGTTTCATCTATTGGGCCACAGACTCTGCGTGAGATGGCAGTCAGAGCCCATGGCAGTCAGGATATACTAGATAAGCTTCGCCAGCTTCAGACAGCAGGGATTTCCACAGGAAATAGTGTTTTCGCACGCCTCATTCGCAAGCTAGCTGCCGAAAATCGTGAAGTTCTTCTATCCGATTTACTGAAGAGTGACCAACATTTCGAAATGCTTGAGGATGTAGCCATGCAAGAGTCTTTGTTGGTATCGTACTATGCGTCTCGCGATTGGCGTCAATACAACATGACTTTGGCCATTCTCACTGAAGCACGCAAAGAGAGACCTGATTTATCCAACGTTCATTTTCGGAAATTCATTGCGGCGGATGAATGGCGCTTTGCTTCCAACGTTGTTGATGATATGGCCTTGCGGGACAGGGCCCTGTCCAAGGAGAGCATCGAATTTATGGTGCGACACGTCCTCACACCACGCAAACAAGGACATATGCCAAGGCATATACGAGGTCGCTCCCTCGTAAAGGAGGTTACGTTCGTTTCCCAGATTCTGCAACGCGGCGTTAAAGCGGGCACACCAGTGTCCCCTGAGCTGTGGGTTGAGATCCTGAAACGACTTGGAATGATTAATCGCTGGCACGACCTCCGAGACTGTAGTCTTTGGCTGGCTCGTCAGTATTCGTCTATTCCAAAGAACACCGTTGGTTCTCGGACGATTAGCGCTCCCGTGAAAAGACATTCCGAATTAGCCCGAGTCGACGGCAACCGCCTCCTCGAAGCTATATTTACCAGTCAAATGCAGGCAGCAATTGTGTCGTGGGGGTTCAAGATGCGGATCTCCCGAAATCCCGAAAAGGAATATCAACCATTTGGAGTGGACAGTGAAGTCGCTATCCCCTGGGTACGTGGCCTGGTGCTTCTGCGTGAGTTGGAGCAGAATGGAGTCCAGTTGCAAGTACGAGACATTCGCCAAGCTTGTCGACAGCGGCTGAAAGTGATCTTTGGACGGTCGTTTGAATCCAGTCGCGGCATGAATCGCATGTTGCGACGAGAGAATCCCTACAGTATAGATCAGGTCATTGGTGATATCCATCGTGCTTGGGGAGAACCATCATTGTTCGGCGGCCGAGAACACGATGATTTACATCGACTTGTGAACCCTCCGGTATCGAAAATGTCCCTGCGGAGAACCGCGAGAAATGGCCGTCAACGAAAAGCTGCCGCTATTAGGAGCGACATGATAGTATATAGTCGCAGCAGGCTCAATAACCAAGAGCCACCGTGATACTAATGTATATAATAGAGTAATAGATTCAGCACCTCGTTGGAGATCCTATATATCTTCGTGATTCTTCAAATACATGAGCGCATAGATACGTAGGTTTCCGTGTATTTATTCCCCGTTAAAAGTGCACGGCAACCATGGCCGAGACAACAACCAAACACAGCCGCGAAATCCCCGCTTGCCGAGCCACGGAGCATGGCGTGGCCGGCCAAGTCAGGTAAGGTCATCATGTAATGGAACGAATCTCGGCTCGTTCTAAGAATAGTTGCGGAGGCAACGCGGCCAGACTCCATTCTTATAGGGCACTGACTGACTTGAATCGTCACTTGTCAGATCGACAGCATGCGTCGTCACAGGAATAGTTACTGACCGACTAATCTGACCCTCTCTGCGTAACTTTGTCATCCTTTTTCGACTCCAATCAATCCTTTGTGTAGATCCAAAACATAGACCCTGTCGGATTCTCGTTGCCTTGCGATGAAACTGATTGCTTCATTTGTCTTCTTCCCCTTAGACCCATCTTAGTTCAAACTTCTCTGTAGATGTGGGGTTTATTTTTATCCTAGAGGTCATACTCTAGCTCCAGTTCAACTTCTTCACCTTTGTACTCTGTATCGCAATACAATTTTGTTGTTATTACCTTACCAGTAGGTAGCCCTTTGGCCATTCTCCTATTTGACTTTATCTGTTTCTACTTTCACCGTCAGATCTTCTGCTCTCTACTTTATATCCTTCCCGGTCTCCTTTCCCTTTTGTCCGCGATCTTCACGTCTGCCATCCACAGGATACGTCTATCAATATGCTAGGACTCGCCGTCTTAGGCCTCCTGCCCTTCGTGGCGGGAAATGCCATACTTCCCCGGAAAACAGCCTGCAACAACTCTCCCGATCTATGCGACAAGTCATACGGTGAAATCACCCACTTGGGTGCCCATGACAGCCCATTTATAAAGGATGCTTCGACTAGCTACTCAAGCTTTGGAAACCAGTGTGTTTGACCTAGTCTGATCCGGTAAATCAATCGTTCACTGACCCGCCCGTAGATATGTGAATACTACCTCTCAACTCGACGCTGGCGTCCGCCTGGTATCGGCCCAAGTTCACAAGAAAGACTCGGAGTGGCATTTGTGTCATACGGGCTGCGATTACCTAGATGCAGGGAAACTGAGTTCGTGGTTGAAGGAAATCAAGACCTGGTTAGACTCGAACACTAATGACGGTACATTCTCCCCACCCCACTTCTGTTTCTTTTTATCTTTTCTTGCCTTTCGTAAATCTAGTGCTGATAGTTATTTCCATCGTTAGTGGTAACTGTGCTACTGGTCAATTCCGACAATGCTGCGGCCTCCGACCTCGATTCGGAATTCAAAGCGGCTGACATCACGAAATATGCCTATAAACCTACCTCGCAGACCACCGCCCCGTCCTCGTGGCCAACTCTGCAAGATTTAATCAAGGGTAACACCAGGCTGATCACTTTTGTGGCATCACTGGACGCATCCAAAAATACTGTCGCTCCATACCTCATGGACGAGTTCACTTTCATCTGGGAGAATCCGTACGACGTGACGTCACCGTCCAACTTCTCTTGCAACCCTGATCGCCCGAGCAGCGTCAAAAACAATCTTTCTGCTGCCTTATCTTCGAACCGCTTGCCGTTTATGAATCATTTCCTCTATCAGTCCGTCATCTTCAATATCCAACAGCCAAATACCAGCTACGTTTCTACAACGAATGCTCCCTCTGGGGGAACAGGAAACCTCGGGGATGCGGCGTCTAAGTGCAAGGAAGTGTACAACCGTCAGCCGGCCTTCATCCTTGTGGACTACTTTGACAAGGGGCCTGCCATTGATACCGTGGATAAGCTCAATGGCGTTAGCTCCCCCGTGGGGCGTAAAAATGTAACGGCCATTTCTGAAACAAGCACGGCATCCACATATACGAATGTCTTCAAAGGCCTCGTTGAGGTCGTCCAGAAGGCTAGGTCCGGCGCAAACCCAAGCATGGGTGAGTGGGTGTGGGCAGGAGGCGACTGGGGATTACTCGGCGGTGGAATCTCCCTCTAAATCGAGCGAGGACAGTGTCATGACCTTCTTTTTATATTATTTTTTCCCCCATATCACCATTTGGATATGTTATCACGTGTATTTTTGGATCGTCTGCATTTCTGTGATTGGTATGTATTAGATCTGCGCTGGCTTTGGGAACGTATGGATGTTATTTTGCATGACAATCATTTGCTATACATAGGTCGACAGGATATGGAGGTCATAGAAAAGGGCGTTTTTGGTTGTCAATTATGATCTGAATCAGATGACTGTTTTATGAGTCCTTAGCCGGTGCAAATAGGTAGTACTGTTCGTCAATGTACATCCACTACGCAATCCAAAGCACCTACCCATACCTATAGCCCCTCCCAATATGGGTTCCTCACTCCTTACCCAATAATTGCCTGACTTTACTCACCTTATCCTCAAATGACTGCTCCTTATCGGTTCTGGAAAGACAGGAGGAAATGCAATTAGCACTCGTCAGAGAAAGAGACATTCAGGACCAATGGAATCACCACATTTCGAAGAGATAGGGGGAAGCACACACCTTGAACCGGCTCGAATATCAGTTTGTATTCGGACTATCCCTTGCTGATGGAGGATGGTATGCGCCTGGCCAATGACATGATGGACCTGGTCCCAGGGACCTTCTGTTTTTACCATTAAAATTAGAGCCGGGGAGCAGAACCATGTTGTCGGTCTTTAATCAAACAGTGAACAATCATATGAGCTGCAGGAGCTTGTGCGACGATGGCGATGCAGTGAGACAAACAATCAGAGCGACGTACCCAGGGTTGTTCCGGCTGAGTGCATAACATACTTCAGGCCTGACTTCTCGACAAGACGCTGGACATCTGCAATTTGGGCAGAGACGGAGGGGGAGGAAGTTCCAATCTATTGGTTTGCTCGAATTAGTGAATACCTGAAACATACGGTATGGATGATGTCAGGCTGACTCGGGTCGCATCGGCAGAGCGACTTTATCATCACATCCTTGGGAAGCTTTGCGGCGAGAATGGGGGCGAAGAAATCCCAAGGTCAAAGCTATACGCAATTGAAAGACGAACATACTGGGATTAGGCAGAAGTCGGCTGTGCAGTGGGCGGGTGTCGGGATTGACCCTATGTCTGCAGAAGCCATATCTGTGTAGAGAGGTTGTCCTTGAAATGCGGAGGTCGGACGTTTTTGTGTCCAGTAGACGTCCCGCTTTTTATATCCTATTCTGGTTTCCTGCAGTAATCGGATGGGTATTGTGTCTTAAGACTGAGACGGGGAAGGTGGAAACAGAATCGAAGGGGAGCAAGACGCGGGGTTCGATGGAGGGGCAGAAATGGAAGAGTAGTATTAACCACTCGCGGGGAAACAGTTACAGCTTACTCGTACATTCGACGCCGAACACTACTTCCACTTCCTTCCTATACATGCTTCCTGTTGATCGTCCAACATGTGATCCGGACTGGGTGCCATGTTCGACGATAAAGATATGATACTCATATGCGAGAAAGGAGAGCCTTCCATCGTTATAACATCTGTATACTACCATCTACCGTGGGCAACACGTCGCCATCGCCGTACTCTTGTCACAACTCTTCAAATTGAGACCTTCTATTGGGACTGATCGAAGTATCTACATCTGATATGATGGATTTGAACGTCTTGTTCACTTTGGAGTCAACTTGTCGAAGAGAGTATACGCTGTATAGAACCTCGGTCCTTCTTTGACTTTTATTTTTTTTTTTTTTTTTTTTTTTTTTTTTTTTTTTTTTCCTCCCTGGTTCCTCCTTACCCCAGATCGTTTAACAATGAACACTAAGCCCCTCATCCCTGATCACCAGCCCTGTTGATATGGTTGGATCTGAATCTAATGATCCTGGATCAGCCTTGCTGGTCTCTCTGTCGAACAGCCCGCTGAAATTCCCAGGAATAAGCCATAAGAATTAAAGGGGATTAATAGCAAAGGCCAATATTTAGAATAATTTAAACGGACAGAAAGTCAACGATAATCCCCTTCTTCAACGAGCTCATAATGCTGGGTGGTTAAGAATGAAGAAAGCCGGGACCTGAGCGATAGACTTTGGCGTTCTACGTCTCTCGATGGACCCTGCGTCATTTCTTTATTCACGAGTCAGCCAGCCAGCAACTGAGACCTAGGCTCACGATCCGACTATCGACCTCTTTTCAGCTCAATACTGAATTTTATCTTTTAGAGCTGGCCCCTTCCTTTCCCCTTTTCCTTCTCTCTCGGCGACCAGGTGGACTAGGACCTTCTTCCTCTCGTTCTTACTTCCCAGAAGGGAAGCGGTGGTCGGTGGCAAACGACTCAAGCTGAATGTGACGCATCCCTGCTGGTCTGACCGTTTTCTCGCTTGGTATTACTCGCACGATCTGACAGGCATTCGGTTTTCTTTTTCTTTTTTTTTTTTTACTCTCGGCGATCGTCGAGGAATATACTCCTCAGAATTCATCAAGTCAATAGGGCACTACAGACACGCTGACCGCCTATCGCAACGTTGCTTTGTCGCTCAGGGCTCGAAGTCGCAGACGTCTGTGTACCCGACGACTTGCGATCGAACACACCTCCAGCTCGCCCCCAAAACTGGCATTGGTCCACTTTCCCACTTCTCTTTCGCTGTTGCTTTTTCGTCGAGGCGCGTGCGGCTTGCTTGCTTCTGTTTTGTGCATCAGATGAACTCCACTGAGTCGATATCAGAATACCTGGAAACTTTCTCGGCGGTCGTGATCTGATTGGCATGGAACCCGCTTTAAGACTCGCAAAGCTAAGCGCTACAAGGTGCTGATACCACTAGAACCCTGCACCGACCTCAGCATTGATCTAGAAACACTCCCGCTAAACGCTATCGGGCTTGGAGGATCTTCCGTCGTTAGTTATTCTGGGGTTGTCTTCCGTCGTTCCGAAGTAGCCAGAGCGGTTTTAAAGGAGATTTGACTGGATAGAGACGTCATAAAATACCTTACAGGTTGCCTTTGTGTTCTTCCATTCTTGTTTAATTGGCTAATAGCCTCGAGAACTGAAGGAGAAAACCAGCCAGCACACAGACCAAAGGGTGCAGTGAAATCTTATTAAAATCTCCAATAGAACAACTACTTGATCTGAGTTCTCTTGTTGTGCTGGACAGACCTGCGCAGTTCTGGAGCCTATTTCTCCATTCTGATTTCATTGCACCTGCACCCATAACAAGATTTTTGCTTTTATTAGTACCCTACTAATTTGGCGCATACGCCAACTATTTATTCGGCATTTTACAGCGTGCATAGAGATTCACACTACTGTTTTGGTGAATCTCTGCCGCTTAAGCTCTCAACGCTATATTGACCGGGGTTGTAAGCTGTCTTCGCGGCCATGGTTTTTCCACAGGAGACGGCCATAATACATTATTTGACGACCTAACAAATGACTAAACCCAATTTTCTAGAGCTTCCGCTCGGAGCTCAACTTGTTTACCTCGCAGAAGGCGGTGCGAATGTCATCTACAGGATTATATCGATATCGGGGGCTTCAGCTGTTGGGTCTAAGAAGACCGTGCCTTGTGGGACCGATTCTCTCTATGTACCTCCCGAATTCAAAGGCAAGTTGCTGCGACTCCGCAAGGATACAGCGTCGGGAATTCCTTACCAGGAAATTGCCCGAAATTTTGACAGGACCATCCGCCCCCTATTTAAGCAAGATGAACTGGTCGATCAGGAGCTTGTGTATCTCCCAAGAGGGCTCGTCCAACAGTGCAATGATCAATTGCATGCGGCCGAGGTACACGGCAGGCGTCCAAAACGGCGGCATGGCGTCTATCTTTCTGTCACCGAACCATTCGGTCTCTTGATCACGGATATGACCGTCTTCGATAGTCCTGGTACGGTCCTTGCTGAGCTGAAGCCCAAGTGGCTTCTTCAGTCACCCTCTGCACCAGCAAATAGTCGCAGGTGTCGCACCTGTTCTCTACGCGAAATGAAAAACCATGACGCTCGCAGAGCCGGAAGGCCAGAGGAACGTTCATTCTGTCCCCTGGACCTTGTGTCTGATAGATTTGAGAATGTTATGCGGGCGGCAAAATTGGTTAAAGGTTGCAAAGATCAGCTGCGACTAGCAAAAGTGCTTTATCGGAATAGCACGTTGCAGACCCTTCTCGGGCACCAAAAAGTCGCGCGAGATGTAGGGCTCCTCGGACCTCCGCCGCAATCCCGAGAAAAGTCACTGGCAATGACCTTGAGGGACTGCACGATGTTCATTAAGGTAAGCTGTCCGCTGAAAAGCCCAATTGTCTAATGTGAAAAAGTGAGCTGACCATAAAAGATGCCACCTGATGACGGCGATGCTGTTGAGATACGCCTTGGTGACCTTGATCTGAAGACGGGGGCTGGGGGCAAAGCACAATATTGGGTTGACCTGGAGAACCAGCTGATTACCGAAGGTTGGTACATGGGATGTACGACCTGTGCACATGCCAGCGAATGTGCGTTACACAATTCGCGATATCCTTCGCAGTCATCAATATAGGGCTGGCTTTTTTAATCTGGCCCCTTTCCTGTCGCTTACTGTTATTGAACTCATGGTGAAACAATTGATTGGGGTATACAGTACCCATATTGGATCTGCTAACTTTATTTCAGGATGACCCTGATAGATGTATTGTGGTTTTTCTCACAAGTCCTCTTCTCTTTTTATAAACCATTGCTGGACTGCCCACTTTTATGCTCAACCAAATGTTTCAATTCTGCTAATCCATACTTTGTTTCTTTCAATTCTGGTAGAATTTTAGCATTGCATTGCTTCATTGCATCTTGGTCATGGGCGGCTTTCGTGTTGTATGTATGTACATTAGTTCTCCTATAGGGACTACTACTGGTTATTGATTATGCTGGATCTAATAATACTAATTCAAGGAGCCTTGCATGCTGATCAAACGAACGCATGGCTACGGTAATTGCTACAATATGTTGTACTTAAATTGAGAACGATGTCAAAATATTACTGCAAGAGGAATATCTCGGTGCTATGTTGAGGACACCTAGTATTCAAGAACTATCTCGCCAACACAAAGATGTAAGCCAATTTCCTAAGGCCGTGACATTGCAAGCTTTTAGGAAGATTCGCAGCTCAACTCAGGGGAAATCAATCCCACAAAGATACCACACAAAAAGTGCTGCTAAAGTGTATGCTGAAGGGTGCCCTAGAAGTGGCGAAAATAGATTGATTGGTTAAGCATAAATAAGCATTATCAAGTACACTTATCAACTATCAAGTTTCATGGTTCATCGGATGAATAATCGTACGAATAATTTACCTTCGATCTGAATCTCATCTAAAGTTTAAATCCATAGTAATAGACAGGTGAGCCATTTATAATCCTTATCCGTAATTCCGCGTGAAGCCCACCAGAACCGCCAAAGTCTATATACTAATTCTTAAACAACTTGACCCCATACCCCATCCCTTTTCACTCTCACCCACCCTAGAATCCAAATACAGCCCCAATGGCTTCCTGGCGTCTTCTTCGCCCCTTCTCTTCGCGCCTCTTCTCCCTCCCCATGTCCCCAATTCGTCCTTCCCAACCTGCTCGCGCATTCACAAGAACAAACATTACCCCCAGTCCCACAAAAACAGACACATTTGTCGAGCTGGCCCAGGCACGACGAACCATCTACAAGCTCGGTAATGACAGTCCCGTCCCGGACTCCAAGATCGAAGACCTAGTTCACGCAGCTATCCTGAACGTCCCAAGCGCTTTCAACACCCAGTCCACAAGACTACTGGTGCTGTTGCACGGTGAACACGAACGGCTCTGGGACGTGGTGATTCAGATCTTTGAGGGTCTGGTGAATTCCGGCGCTGTGCCTGAGACAACGTGGAGGAATCAGACTTTGCCGAAGTTGTTGGGTATAAAAGGGGGTGTTGGGACTGTGAGTTGTCTCTCTCTCTCTCTTTTTTTTTAACCCATGTTCGGGTGGTGGGATGGGGTGATAAAGACTATAAAAATAAACATTTAAATATAAAGAAAAGAAAGACTAATGTTCATAAAATGGCAGATTCTCTTTTACGAAGACCCAGCTCATATTCAGCTTTTCTCCAAGAAATTTGCACTTTACAAAGATCACTTCGAGCCGTGGGCGGGCCATTCCAATGCTATGCATCAGTATTTCCGTATGTTACTCATCTACTGACTCGCTTGGTTCTCTCATTGTTCCCTATTTTTGTTAGTGACGTGAGCTGATTATATCACTGTTCAGTTTGGACGGCACTGGAGTCTCTCGGTTTCGGGGCGAACTTGCAGCATTATAATCCCTTGATTGATGCGCCGGTGGCCAAGCAGTGGGATATTCCCAGTGACTGGAAACTTGTTGCGCAGTTGGTGTTTGGGAGTCCGGAGGGAAGCCCGAATGAGAAGACGCAGAAGCCGATCGCAGACAGAGTGAAGATTTATGGGAAATTGTAAATTATGGACTTTGATATACATCTAAATGCATAGATATATATAAAACTTATTAGATTATAAAATCGGATTAACTTTGTATATGATCCTCATCTAAGCGTCGCTTACGCTGTACATGCAGGATAGAATAAAAACAACTTCAACTTCAGACGGAATCACGTTAAACGCCGCGCTATGCATCTATATGTATATAATGTGCGAATATAGCCCCGTCGTGATGCAGTAATGAGTCGATGCTAGAAAAAGTCTTGTTCGCTTAGCCATTGAGAATCAATGGCATATGCCACCAAGTCGGCAGCACAACACATATCTTCGTGCCCATACTCGAGATCCAGGAGCTCCAAGGTCTTGTCGAGTCGATTTTGCAGGGTTTCTTTCAATTGAGAAACTTTGGACTGCACTCCCACTGAGGCCTGCTTGGAAACAAGTTTAGCGCTTTTGTTTTGTGACTTGAATTTGGGCTTCAGCTCCTTGTTAGGGGAGCAAGGAGCAAGGGGTTGTCTTGATGTCGGAATAACATCATTTTTATTGTTCTTTAGTAGCGACTTGAGCAAGAAGAGGAGCCAGACGACGTTGGTTCGTGGCGCGTATTCAGCCCAAATTCCAGGGATATCGGGTGTCTTTTCCGTATTAAGTGGGTTTCCTTTATATAGCTGAGCGCGCATACTGGCTATAGTCAGTACATCACGATCATCTTCATTTTTACGAACATTAGATAGACAAACTCACTATCTATATGTATTTCTTAACATAAATTCGTCCTCATCCCGACCAATGGCATCGAATATTTGTTTCTTGTCGAGATCAGATGATGCAATATCCACGCTCTCGGTGAATTCCCCACTTGTCCTCAGTTCCGCACGAGAAAGTGAATAATCAATAATGGTGGTCTCCAGAGTGCTGATACCGAATCCACTCGGTGACAATAAACGCATTACCTCGACATCAGTTGGCGGGTCCATGCGGCCATCCGGCCGAGTACTTCTGATGCAAACGTTTCCAAGGTGGAGGTCGCGGTGCTTTACATATTTTAGTAAAGGTTTGGATTATCCGGGTCGAGATAGCAATAACTTACCTCGAAAAACGCATACTCTTCAGCCCGCGCGAGCGCCATTGCTACTCCCCAGAAGATATCATAAATTTGGAAGATTGAAGACCAGGAGAATTTCTCCAGTTCACAACCGGCGTCGTCCATCTCCACAATTGCCCATAGTTGTGAGTCCGGATACGCCCTCTTACTGGACGGGTTAGGGTTCAGACAATCATCCTTGGTCTTTTTATAGTAGTCCCATGCCTTCTGGAAAGACTCTGGGAATCGACCTTTAACAACATGAATCTCCCTGAATCGGGCGAAGCCGGGGATTGGATCCAAATATTTCAACATCTTGACCTCAGTCACGATCTCCTGAATGCTGGTGAATTTCTTCGAGCCTGGTCCACTCTGCGCTCGCAGAGGAACAACTTTAAAAACGCCATCACCATATGTTTTTAGGCGGGCAAGTTTTGCCTTGGACATCTCCTTTTTACAGACCTCCTCGCGCAGTCGAAGCTTATAGACCTCTCCATAAGAGCCCTCCGCGAGTTTCACAACCTCCAAGAGGTTTCCAGCGTGCGCTGCCCATGAGCTAAATTGTTGAACACTATGAGCAGCAGTTGGTGATAAGGCTTCGTCAAGGATAGTGCGGACATAGGCATTCGCTTTGTCGTCTGAAGCGAAGCTCGACGACAAGTGTTGGGCAGGCTTGTTTCTTGTTGTCCGCTTCCCATTCTCATCAGTGCTTTGGCAATCTCTTTGCTCCCTCTTAGACTTCCTTGTATCAATTTTCGGGCTAATTCTGACTTCCACCATGGTTTCGTATCGCTTCTTTGTCACAGGATTTTTCTTTGGAGTTGGCTTGGCCGAATGAGGCCCGTTTTCAGGCTCAATATGCTGCGTCTCAATGTTTGATCCATGTTCATCTTCCGTATTGCGTGCCTCACCCGCCTTTTTAATCGTCTTTTCAACGGTGGCTTCCTCCTGCTGCGTAGCTTGCGTCTCGTCTATCCGAACCTCGGCCAATTTGGCCTGGATACAATCCACAGCATCTTGGACGGCCTCTGTTGTTTTTTTCTCAATGAGTTTTGCCGGGCTCCTCTCGTCAAAAACTGCTCTCGGTGCATCCACCTTTCGTTTTCCATACACTCTCCTCTGGGCATGGGCTCGGGTTTTCGTTGACTTCGGTTTCGATCGTTTGGGCGTTGCGTCACCTACGGCGACAGGAGAGAAGGGGGATGGCATAGCTACTGGAAGGTATTAATCAAACCTTTGTTTTCCCTAAATCCAGCTGCTGAGTCTTTCATAAACTGGGGTTTGCATGTACAGAGTAAGTGCTGGTTGATTGATGGTAGGTACTCAGTCTATTCGGGGGAACAGCTATTGACCCTTTTCCTGAAATGGACTAGCGCCATGGTTGCTCCGGTGAGCTCTCATTGTGGTTATGTCATCATCTATTGTCCTGTCAAAGGCGCTTCGAACAAAATACTTGATTTTATTCCACTTTTAGACCAGTCTTAAATAATATACATCTTCCTCAATATAATGTGTTAGTTAAAAAGACAAATTTTGTTGCAAGTCATATTATGTGACTTTGATGAACATGTAGGCAGCCTGTTCTAGTGCTCGTCTTACAATAAAGGATAAACAAGTACGGAATATGAAGTAGCAGCATTGTACATTGTAGTGATCAAGAAAGTGGACTACAAGAACAAGAGAACACTAATGTCAGAACCTTTTAAACAAACGGCCTGTCTAGAGTTAGTTTATTAATGAATCATCCCATGCTCCGGGCAGGTACAAGATTAACTTAACCAATTAGTTAAGAGTAGGTTAACTATGTTGTCTACTCTGTAGTTTGCGCTAACGTATTCGGTAAGCGAGCGAGCAACGTCTGTATTGCATATAAATTGGCACTTTTAGCGATCTTAATATCTCAACGACATATCAATATGGCCTAGAATCTAGACTTTAGACTAATATAATAGTACATAAACAAATATTAAGCCTAGAAGCTTGTATTATAAGTAGTTTTTTTATATTACATAGAGAGGGCATTAAATACAGTTGTAATAGAGATTTTTCCTGCATTATAGTTTAGAAAATTTTACAAAAATCTTAATAAAACAAATATGTGTTCTATAATATGTATATAATATATAGAACTTAATACTACGCCACAGCTCTAAGATTAGCTTAGGATCGCAAAAAGTGCCATTGTATAAGCATTACTGAGGTTGCTTGCCGCTTACCGAATACGTAACTAGTTAGCCAACTTGCGGACAGTACGTCAACATCTGACTTGATGGACTGAACCGATAATTTGCTGTTGTCAGTATCAACAGTGGTCTGTTTGTTGTAGGGGTTTGGTTAAAGAGCCGTCTTCATCGAGAATCCTAGACGGCTTATCTCGTTCAGGAGGCTCTTAAGTCCGAAATAATTGTTTTGGCCTTGATCAACAGATTACTGTATAATAAAAGCAGTTAGCGTCGCAACAGTAAACAAAAGGAGAATGAGTGCAGGAGGCAGTGTCCAGTCAGAGGCTCGGGTCAAACAATTCATTAGGAGTACCTCATGACGCAGATCATGCCGTTCCTTGCTAGACTCCACGAAGCGATGAAAAATCGGAGTAGATCGGACGGAAGCTGCGGTGGAGTGACGTAAAAGTGTTCCTTTAGCTCCGTACCCGTATTCCGCCTTTCCCTTTTTTTTTTTTTTTTGCCCCCTTTCGTCCTGAGAAGAACCGGAAAAACCCAACTCTCGAGGAGCATTTATTCCCTTTAGTTCTCAAGGGTGAGGTTCGAAATTTTAGCTGGAGTAAACATTCCCCCCGATAAATCCACTCTCGCGCAGTTCTGCAATCAGCCCGTTGAAAATCGAAGCCATTTTGGTGGTGTCGCGTCGATCACGCGAGTCCCGACCGGGCCTGTGACTCTCGGGAACGTCGATTTTCTTTTTCACCCATTCCAAACCTTTTCTTTCCCTGTTCTTCCGGCTTATCGTCGCTTCATCCGCTCCCCACTAGGTCTTCTTCGTAGTCTTATCCTCTTTGATTGTCTCCTTCAATAGTCCTGGCGCCTTTCGACCAGTCCCCCGTCCTTTCCTAACGCCGTGGGTGTCGCCCCAGATATCCCGTTCTTTCTCAATGACCGGCGATGGCGTTCAACTTCAACTGGTCGCCGCTGATGGCGGACGCGAGTTTTTACACTCGCGCCCAGGATCTCTTAACCGCCGCGCTCAATAAATCGCCGAAGCCTCCCATCATCGTCGATGATATCCTTGTCACGGAGCTCAATCTCGGTTCCATTCCTCCGGACCTGGAAATCTTGGAAATTGGCGACTTAGCGGAGGATCGCTTTCGAGGCATCTTTAAGATGTCATACACCGGCGACGCCTTTCTGACCCTAAAGACTCGCGTTCAAGCGAATCCTCTTAATACCTATCTCTCTACAAGGCCCTCGTTCGCGTCGCCGTTGCCTTTGGCCGCAGCGTAAGTGATGATTCTGCCGGCCTGGCTCTTGCTGTGGGTTGCGCTCTGATTGCTGATCACGGGTTTCTGTACCATTAGGACTCCTTTGACCATCCCTCTCCAAATCACTCTGTCCGACTTCAAACTCTCCGGTTTTGTCATTCTGGTCTTTTCCAAGCAAAAAGGAATCACAGTTGTTTTCCGCAACGACCCTCTTGAGTCACTGAAAGTCTCATCTACATTCGACTCCATCCCGTTTGTACGCGATTTTTTGCAGAAAGCGATCGAGGCACAACTTCGAATATTGTTCATGGATGAATTGCCCGCCATCATACATCGACTCTCCCTACGTCTGTGGGTGCCCGAGTATCGAGCCGGGGAGGAAATGCAGAATCAGGCGGAGGTCAACACGGCTGCCGAAGGCCCTGGTCACGACCCATTGGCAAGTCCTCCCCAGGATCCCGTGGATGCCCAGGGTAATGCTTTGAACGATTCGGATATTGCATCGCTTTCGTTGGATTCTTCTGTCGAAACCCACTCCTTGTTTTCGCAAAAAAATCTTCTACGGTTGGCTACTCTGACCGATTCGCAACGTACATTATCGCTTTTTACCCCCTCGATTCAGGAAGTGGTCTACCGCGCATGGACATCGCCGTCCGATCAGGGCGATATCAGTGGAAGCGTGATGTCCCCCTCGAGCCCGGCACTTTCTCGAACTCATTCTCAGGTGGGCAGCATGGCATCCTTCCACGATAATGCCAGCATGGTGTCGACACACAGTCGATCATCCGCCTCCACCCACTCTTTCAGCAGCTACGGCTTAAGCTTAGGAGCCGGTCGTCATTCGAAAGCCCATGCCAGGAAGCGAAAGAAGCGCGTGGTGGACCTGCGCCGTCCAAAGGCTAGCGACGATTCGGCGAGTATTAGCGATGAAAGTGCTTTTACGGAGACGACAAGCGCGCCGTCAGTGTGCTCGGCTCCTCTCCCTGTTGTCAGTGAACAGCCCGATGATCCGGTAACACCTCCTTTGTCCCCGGAAAGTGATCTGCACCTTCCGGCCATCCCTGAGCGTAATCGCACAAGTATCTCTCACCCTGCACTACGTCGCAACATCGCAGCAGAGATGTTATGTGAGACTGGAGAGTCCTCTTCGGCTGCACTGCCCCGGCATTTCGGGGACGCGGATGCAACCCCTCGGGGTACCGTACGTTCGCATGGGATGTCTCGGCGCGATAGCCAGAAACAGGAATCTGAGCCCTCGCAGCAACTGCCTGCTACTATCCTCCCATTTACCGAGGACAAATCCGGTCCCAGTGCGGTTGAACAGGCTTTGGTGGAAAGACTGGCGGGAGAAATTGCCCGTCGCATGCGAGATGAAAAACTAATGGCCACCAACTCTTGTGGTGTCTTTTGGGACCGTCCCAATCATGAGGAATATCCTCCACCGGCCTACGGTCAGTAAAAGCACTACGATCAAGAACTCTCGAGTTCTTAGCCACTCATTTTCTCTGTCTCTTCTTTTATGTTCTCCAGCATGCCTGGGGGTAATGATGACCGATACGACCTTGATTTTAATATTTCTTGGTTTTCCACTGTGTGATTGATTCCAGCGAGCACTAGATACTGTACTTTTTGTTGGGTGTGTTATTAAAAATGGGCAGGCGTTGAGCTTTGTTTTTCCAACTCCTTTTGTGTGCGGGATACCACTTCGCTCATCTCTGTCTTATGTTCTTGTTTTCCCTGTGATATATTACTTGTGAGAGTCTCGGTGGTATCTGAAGATAGCGAGCAAATAATGCATCCCACTGTATTGTTATTATCATTATCATTATTACTCTGTAGTATTATTGTGTTAATATCTCCAGTCTTGGTGTGGAGGAATATGCCCAGACAGGGTCCACTAACTAGCTCTGCCCGATCGCTTTTGCGGCGAACGTCAACTCCCGTTCATTTCTTTTTCCTCTCCTTCTCCCGCCACGTCGACAATTCCCCACCGGTTTAAGGAGCACCTTCACTTATTCTTCCCTCTTCTTTTCCATCATGGCGGGCCTGTTCAAGAATATGTTTGGTGGCTCCCAGCCATCGGGTGCAGCCAAGGTCGAGGATGGTAAGTCCCGCATTCTATCAGTGAACCCAGAGCAGTCAATCAATCCGTCTCACCCACTCCTGTGATAACGGGACAGGTCAATTGACTCGTATCATTACTAGACTTTGCGGAATTTGTCAATGCGCCTGATCCATCTCCAGCTTCCATTGTCGCCGCGTCCTCGTCATCTACTCCTGGGTTTAATGCCCAGGGCACCGGCGTTCCGTACACAAAATGGTATCGAGTATGGGAGCGGACATCGCCCAAGGACTTTATCCAGGAAGCTATGGTCATGCCATTGATTCTTCTGATTGTCGTATTCCACCTCTGGGGCACACGTAAGAACCGACGCAAGGCCAGGGAGTGGGCCCAGGCTCACGCGCCCGCTCTCCAGAGCGAGTTCGCAGTCGTGGGATTTGGTGGAATCCCCAAATCGGAGGATATTTCTTCGGAACTGGTCTCGCCGGACACCTTGTTAAAGGAGAAGTCAGCCCAGGAATTTACCTCCTACGCAACCGGTAGACAGAACGTGGCCTTCGTTGACATCTCGATCAAGTTGCCCAAGCGATACAATCCCGTTATCTACTGGACAGACCAAGTCTTCAGCTTTCTGTTCGAGAGCTGGACGGCCCCAACTGAGACCTATGAGGCTATTGCGTACACTTTCGACGGCAAGGAAAAGGACGTGGTGCCCGTCCCAGCTCAGGATACCTCCTCTTTGAAAGTGAACAACTCCGCTTATGATGGCTTTATCTGGGCCGCTGTACACAAGAACCACATGCGCCAGTTCCGCCAGGATCGCTACGATGCCTCCATGACTTTCACCAAGGATAACGCAAAACTTCCCCAGTGGGTGACTGTGATGACCGAAAGCGCCGAGATTACCGATGCTCTTCTCACCCCGGAACTGATTCAAGCCATTGAGAAGGCGGGTGATGACTTCAAGTACCTGATTATTACTGACCAGCCTATTGATAAACCTACTAGGTGAGCTAATCTTCACTTTCCGACCTGATTCATATGATTCATAACCTGACTTCTCCCAGGATCGAGGAAACCACCCCTAGAAAGCGCATTCATGTCTGTGTATCTCTTCCTTCCTCTTCCTCTAGATATGCCTCTACCATGCCTCTGTTTACCCAGTTCCTTCGTTTGGCCGATAAGCTTGTGGGAGCGGCTCATTTCCGTGCCGAGGTGATGCGGAAGATCAGAAACACTCGCGAGGAGGAAATCAAGAAGCTCCGTCGCGCCGACGAGGAGGAGAAGGCAGAGGAGCGTAAGCTGGCGGCGGAGAAAATCAAGAAGGAGGAGCGGGAGCGCCTGCTACGGAGTATGAGCGCTGACGAGCAGCGGAAGTACCTCGAACGCGAGCGTGAGAAAGGACAGCGTCGTTCTATGAAGAAATACTCAAAGAGAGGATAAGTTTCCTGTATCAAAGGATGTGAAAGTGGAAGGAATCGAGATGGAGACGAGAAGATCCCAGACATAATGCTGCTTTGCATACCTTCATGTATCATGTATTCCTAATTTATTTTTGTGGAGATCGTTGTGGCTTTGCATGTTCATATAGCTAATCTTGAATGATTCAGTGGATTCTATTTGGAAACAGCAGGCAACTGCTTGGTTGATGCTGTGTTATGATCCCTCCTTCCTTCATTTTCACCCTACTACTTCTCCTTCATCCTCCTCTTCTTCCTCCACCACCACCACATCCAAGGATATATTCTTAGGCAGAGGTGTATATTCTGTTCATTCATTATTAGTTAAAAAGTCTTCACCCTCATCACCATGATGTTCACTCGCCTCCTCTCAATCCCTAGCCTTATTATTCTCACCGCAATCATTCCCTCCACTGTGCTCTCCTCCCCCTTGGAACTGAAGCACCAGGATGTAGCCGCCTCGTCAGTCCCCGTCGGTTCTCTGATCACAGGCTGTACAGTGCCAGGCGCCATAGCTCTAACCTTCGACGATGGCCCATCACACCACACCCCCGCCCTTCTTGATATCCTGTCAGAGTACGGGGTCCGCGCCACGTTCTTCGTGAATGGATACCATCTCCAAGACAGCAGCCATGCCGAGTATCTGAAACGTGCCAAAGAAGAAGGCCATCATATCGCCTCTCACACGTACATCTCTCCATGAACCCATCCCATAAAGTGCATGAATGCTTACGATTGCACTCCTAGCTATGATCACCCCAATCTGCCCTCCCTAGACTATGACGGCGTTGTCGAACAGATGGACCGGCTCGGAAAGGTAGTGAAGGATATCATCGGCCTCTCTCCCACCTACATGAGACCGCCGTTTCTGGAGGTCAACGACCAGGTGCTGGAGATCCTGGCTGATCTGGAATACCGTGTGATCTCAGCCAGCATTGACACGAAGGACTACGAGAACAATACGCCGGAGTTGATTGGTAAAAGCTACGGGAGGTTTCTGGAGGAGTTGGAGGCTGGTGGCACGATCGTTTTGTCACATGATACTCAACAGCAGACGGTGAAGTCACTGACCAGGTCTATGTTGGAAGAGATCAAGGCGAGAGGATTGAATGGTACGGTTGTCTTTTATTTTATCACGTAGTTTGGAGGAAGATACTAACGAGTTGTGTAGCTGTGTCTGTGGGCGAGTGCTTGGGTGAACCAGAGAGCTATTGGTACTATTAGTCTTTAGTGGTCATCCCCTCCCTTTAGTTGCAATGACATTCTTAGGGTGGGTTGACTTGAACTGGCATAATTTTGCTAGGCGTAACTTACTTGTCGACCTAGTGATAGGGTACGCTAGATCAAAGGCATTGCTTCTACCGACACGATCAGGCTTCCTTTCTATATCTAGTAGTTCTATTAACCTAAGCTTTCAAAACTAAGGGAAATGGACAAAAGGTGGGGAAATAGAAGATAGAGTAAGCCCCGAGTTCCATTACAGTGAACCCGGTCACATCCAGCGAGGATACATATCCATCCATGGCTTGACATCGTCCAAACCTAGGATATCCAACCTACTCTATTCACAAGGATATTGAAAATATCCTAAAATATCATAAAAATGCCTCATTCTCATAACCAATCCGACTCCACTACTGCTTGTATGATGCACACCAGGACTCACAGTCATATATACATCTACCACACCGGCAAACCAGAATCAAACCAAGATCAAGATGAACCGGGCACTTGCTGCTCTTAAACACCATCTCCATGATACTCTTGATACGGTCAGACGATACTCTGCTGATTGTGCGGTTCTCTGACCGGCGAATGACAGTTGGAGTGATGAGTACAACCCTTTCCTCCTGGACGGATGGCGGGACAGAGGAGATGATTGATTTCTCTTCCCAGTCGCTGGTTCACTCTCTTTAAGGCGTTCTAAGATGAGATAGGGCACGGTAGATATGACTGTTGGGAAACGACTTCGTTAAGGGTATTGGTGGGAAATTTATTAAATTTCTATCTGTTCTGTCCTGGTCTATACAATTTCCATATGGTAGCAATCTACATGATCATCAAGCACTAGAAACAAAGAAGCTGAGGAGGCTTCCTGCAGTCAGTCCACCGACGAGCATCAAACCCATAAATCCACCGGTAGGTTCCCGTTCATCCTCCGATACCCAGTGGCCGGCGCCCATCATACAGCTACTACCGAGGTATCCATTTGAGACGCCAAACAGGAGCTGTACGATAAAGAGGTAGAAGAAGTCGCTTTCCACCGCAGCTCCCCGCCCGCGGATATTGCATACGAGATAGAGAGGGATGAAGACGACACGACCGATAGCAAGCAGGAATAGCGCCAACGGACGATGGGCTAATGAAAGTTGGGGGATGATAACTGATATTCGACCGATCAGGTCGCCGACGTTCCAAAAGAAGAACGCCAGGGGCACAAAGACAGGCGGCTCGAACATGCGAGAGCGGTCGGATGGATCATGAACAGATTCGATCTCGGCGGTGAACACGGGGAATATCATGGTGATGGCAAAACAGAGGAAGACGGCAAGGGCCATGAGACGGAGTTTCTTGAAGAGAACCCACAGGCTGATGGTTTTGCTGGGGGAGTGGTCGGAAGTACAGTCATCTGCTTGGTCGGCGAATAGGTCGGGAGCTGGGTAGTGGTGGGATCGGCGTTTGGCGAGAGCAAGGAAGGCGACCAGGGCTGAAAAGGAGACCGCAGCAGAGGTGATGAAATAAAAGAATGCTGACTTGGATGATTCCTGGGGTATTTCCGGCTGGTCGTCTCCCTTTTTCTCGGGCACGGCCAGGACAGAGAGAATCTGGACAATGCAGGGTAGGACTCCTGCAACGCCTTGGCCGGCCATAATGGCCTGGGTGTATTCCTCTCTTCCGAACCCGGAGACGTAAGCAAAGACACCGTTTTGGTTGATCCCCGTGGCTAGGCTGGCCCCGAATACCATGACCAACAGGAAGCCGAAATACGTGCTAACGGAGACATGCTTCGCGATGACTGTCGAGAAAGCGAGCAGGGTGAAAACGGCGATATTGATGAGTATTGAAATGTTGATTCGTTTCGGGTATGACGCCCCCTTCTGTAGCCTCGCAAGGATAAATACCGAGCCGAGATTAGTTATTGTCGACACGGTCAGAATGGAGGATTGGTAGTGGGTAGCGGCCCAGTCATTTGATTCGAAACGGCGATGGAAATATGGCGCAGCAGCAAGGAACATGTTCCTAGTAGATAGGGAATTTAGTTACGCTCTAGTAGTTGAGCGTTGGCGAGGTAAAAGACATACCAGGCCCACAGCATAGACACTCCCAGGAGAAGGAAGACTCCATATTCAAACCTGGAGAAGCCTGGAACCGGTTGATTTTGCGAGGAAATAGACTGCTGATCCTCGTTATTGGCGTCGGCTGGATGCTCGATTGGCTCATACTCCGGTGAAGGAGTAGAAGCCCATTGGCGGATACGATTCATTTTGGTGATTTGGTGGATATGAAATAGTCCCTTCCTGTCGGTAGAAACGGGACGAAGGAACCGACGAAGTCAGTCCATTATCGAGCACGAGACAGAGAATGAAGTAAAGCGAGTTTGTTGTAGAGGAGTGGGAGGTAATCTGAAACCGATAAAGAGGCAAGGATCGCCAAGCACTTCGTGGGTCCCGCTTACACATCAGTGGATGATCTTCATAGTTACTGTTCTCTGGGTTGAACAGACGTGTTAATCAAGTGGAGATTAGTTTATTATATATTTATACCACATTTCAAGAAAAGCAATCCTCTAAAGGGGTGACAATCTAGTCACAGAGCTAGATACATCAATCAAAAAAATGTATAGGCACAGAACACAATACTCTACAATGCCCCAAAACAAGAACAGAGTAAAGACAAGCACAAAGCCCGGGTTCTACCGGGGTCCTTATGCGCTCTTCTGTAGATTCTCGCTGGTTTCATCTATATCTACCTCCTCGTCCTTCTGTAGGTCCCACAGTTTCTCTGCTGTCACTGGACTGATAGGAGTACTCTGCGGCGGTTGCGACGCTTCACCACCACTCATTTGCCACTCCATTAATTTCGTAAAAGCACCGTCGGGACGAGAACTCAATTCTTCATAGGAGCCGTGCTCGGCCACCTTTCCGTCAGGACCAAGGACAATGATGGTATCGGATCGTTTAATGGTGGAGAGTCGATGGGCGATACTGATGGTCGTGTTATTCCCACGAAGAAGGGCGGCAAGAGCGCTATTGACTAGAGTCTCTGACTCCGCGTCAAGTGCGGAAGTTGCTTCATCGAGGATCAAAATATCAGGGTCCTTAATCAGAGCACGGGCAATGGCAATGCGCTGCTTCTGCCCACCGGAGAGTTGAGCACCTCGAGGTCCCACTTGGGTGTCGAGACCATCCGGCTTAATAGAAGGTTAGACGTAGACACAAGCTCAAAACCGACAGGCGGCACTTACGAAGTCACTGATGAATTGGCAGTTCGCTTTCCGGGCGGCTGCAACGATCTCCGACCTGGTTGCCCGCGGGCTCCCATAAGATATATTTTCGGCAATTGTTCCCGAGAAAAGGACCGGCTCCTGCGAGACCACACCAATCTTTCTCCGGAGAGACTTGGCATTCATGGCACCGATATCTTTCCCGTCAATCAAAACCTTGCCCTCTGTAGGATTATAGAAGCGGAGTAGAATGGAAGCAATAGTCGATTTGCCTCCCCCTGAAGGCCCAACAATGGCAACATTGGTTCCCTGCGGGATTTCAAAATCCAGATCTTTGAAAATGGGAACCGCCGGCCGTGTGGGATAGCTGAAGGACACATTCTCGAATCTAATAGGACCACGTGCAGATTCAACTTTTGTACCCTTTGTGGGAGAGATCGTCGGTTCACGGTCTTGTAACTCGAAAAGCCGGCTGGCTGCTCCAACTCCTTTCATTAATTCGGAATAGAAGCTGGACAGGCCGAACATGCTGGAGCCTGCATAGGCAGTGTACATCAAAAATGATGTCAATTCTCCAATGCTTATAGCACCGGTCCGAACCATTCCCCCGCCAACGTAAAGGAGGGCCAATATCGTCATGTTACCCATAAACCCGGTCTAAAACAGGTCAGATTGCATGGACCGTAAATTTCGGCAGACATTAATACGTACAGAGCTAAAGAAGGTCGCGCTGATCACAGATTCCTTCTTTCCAAGATCAAAAATTTTGCGGACTTGGTTGTTATAACGGTTAACCTCGATGACTTCCCCTGCAAATGACTGGCTAGTTTTCACATTTCCTAGACGCTCCTCAGCAATTTTGGTCAGACTTCCCAAGTTTCTCTGGATCTGGCGACTTAGATTTCTGATAGCTCTGCCGTAGAAAAAAGCACCGAGGCCTATTGGAGGGAGTAGTAGAGCCAAGATGCTGGACAGTTTAAGGCTGACGTATGCCATCAAACCGAACCCTGCAGCACCACTGACTCCCGCCCTCAGACCATCCGACAAGTTCTGCGTAATACTTTTGCCAACGATGATGGTATCTGAGCTCAGACGAGAGATCAAGTCACCAACTCGATTGGCATCAAAGAACTCCGCATCCTGTATAAAGGTCTGACGGAAAAGCTTCGACCGAAGTCTGGCAACAATGCGTTCTCCAACGATGCGCAAAATAATGATACGTCCATAGTTCGCCGCAGCTCCCAGTGTAAGGATCCCAGCTAGTGCGCCATAGAACATTGGAATGCTTAGTCCGAAAAGCTCATCCCCGCCCTCACTTGTCGATTTCGTTGCCGCATCCATGATTTTACCAATAGAGAACGGAATCGACATGGTGATGGACGAAGAAATCAGCAGAAACATAAATGCCAATCCAAGCTTCCTGGCCTCTGGTCGCGCAATGGACAGAAGTCTCCAGATCTCTCGAAAACCGGACTTTTTTCCGGACGCTCCATCCTTGGCTAGCTTTGCCCGAAAGTTGACCTGAGCTGCCTGGGCTGCCCTTTCCGATAATTCAAAGCCCTTATCGACTTCCTCATCTTCCTTGTCCTGGGAGTTCTTCTGACCCCTTTGCGTAGCGTTCGTCGCTTTGTCCTCTAGTAGACGCGGAGTGGAGGTATAAAGCCGTATGTTTTGAAATGATCGTATGAATCTGGCATCGTTGTAAAGCAAAGTCGAGACACTGCGATTGTTGCAACTGTTGCGCACACCGGAGACGATAGAAAACGGGCGACACTGGTTACTATGAGAACCAAACGCGAATGCAGGGGCTTGAGTACCAGGGTAAAGATTTTTTAAGACTCCTGCTCTCTGCCGAGCGAGTTGCCCTGCAGTAACCCCTGGAGCCCAAGAAGCAAGCACCCTGACTCCGCGCATTGCGGAATCAAAGAAGCGGAATCGGCCGACTATTCAGAATACTGTCACGGGTTATAACACATTGCCATATCTCATTGGAAGAAAATTGGTCTGATCGTATTCATGTCCGCATATACCAACAGCTAGCCGGGAAATTGACACGGCACAGCAGAATGTCCGAAGCGAAACAAGCGGATGCAACTGCGTCAGACAAATCCGACAATTGCCGTTCGGAGTGGTCGGCGTTTATTCTGCCACAGGACACCGCTTGCCACGAGGTTCCGCGCCATCGAAGCAGATCGATGACTTTCGATACATGCTACGATATGAACACGGGCTAAGCTTAGGCTGGAATAAATAGCTCGCAGTTTGATGCAGAGGCAGATGCCAAGCGGTTTATGCTAAACCAATCTCATACTATATTCTCTCTCATCTCTGCCCATCGGACACTTTTCTTCCATCTAACTATTATTTTGTACTCCACCTGTGCTACCCCTCTAACAAGCTACGGCCTTTGTGTTCCAAAATGGTCCTCGATTACAGCAAATGGGACGCTCTCGAGCTGTCCGATGATTCGGACATTGAAGTCCATCCCAATGTCGATAAACGCTCTTTCATCCGGGCTAAACAGTCTCAGATCCACCAGCAGCGCATACAGCGGCGACACGAAATCGAGACCTTGAAGTACGAGCGTATCATTAACAATGGTCTCCTCTCACGCATTGATAAACTTCTTGCATCCCTGCGGCAGCACGAGGGTTCAAAAAACCCCGAGGAATTGGTGTTCCAGGCTCTCATGGAAACTGCAAGTAACCCCGCCGAGGATCAACCTCCTCCAGCGCCGGAAGGTGTTCACGTGCAGGTGAAAGAACAGCCAAAGTATTCCCAAATGATGAGCTCTCTGGTGGACCAGGTCAAAAAGGAGATGGGTGATGTCAGCGCGGAAAGCCTTTCCCAGGCTTACATCAAAGGTGTACAAGAACACAAGGATAAGGTGCAAGGACTACAGAAGGAGTTGTTGGAAAGACTTGCTCAGCTTGAGAAAGAAGAAGGCAGCAAAATCACAAGTGACATGCTGCATACTGGATTTGATACATCCCATGTGGCTAAACCGGATGCTTCTACGAGCAAAACTGCCCAGAAAGAATCTGTTGAACTCTTGAACCCCGCATCAGTGACTCAGGATTCCTCACAGAAGGCTGGTGATGATGATGACGGGGAAGTAGATCCGGAGGATATCAAGGCCAGTGACCTTGCTAAGCGTTTTGCAAAGATCAGCCGCAACGATTATCGAGCCTTGCATCAGTTTATTTCTGAGAACCATCAAATTGTCGCGGAAAAAGAGACCGATGGGTTATTGGTTGAAGCTTTCAACAGCCAGATGGTGGGCAATGATGATTATGCTCGCCAATGCGTTCATCAAGGACTACTGCTGCAGTACTGTCGTTCTCTGGGCCGTGATGGAATTTCATTGTTCTTCAAGCGGTAATCAAACACAAGCCATTCAATTGAGGATAGAACAAAAGGGAAGCTAACGTCAAACTCTCATATAGCATCACGACAAAGGATCACCAAGCAGCAACACTTTTCCAGAATGATGTCACTGAAACCTACCATAAAATCAAAACTCGCGCTGCGGAACTCGCTAAGGATAGCTCTGCCTCTAATGACCACGCCGGAGTGGAGCAAATACAACTACATGCAGTTGATCCGAACACCAAGATTACTATTAATATCCCGTCGGCAGATAGCACCGAAGAGGTCGAGATCGAAGCTCGTAAGATATTCGACTCTTTCTCGAAAGAATTGCAAGTGGCCTTGGCTTCAGACTCCCTAGATGAGGTCAACAAAGTCCTTGGAAATATGGGCGTGGACGAAGCGGAAGATGTTGTAGAAAAGCTTGGACAAAGCGGTATGCTCAGTCTTGAAGAAGGCATCGTGGACGCAACCACCGAGGAGGGCAAGAAGAAGTTGGAGGAGATTGAGGCCGAAAGCAAAAAGGAGAAGAAGACTGAAGAAATAGGAGAGCCTGGTGGTGACATTACCGAGCTGGACTAAGTACACAAAATGTCTTTGGCTACCTTGAAGCCTTGATAGCAGTCTGTCTTTTGCTTTTCTGGCATGAGCCCAAATGATGTCCTATTAATCACCCCGTTATGTCTAAATCATGAATACCTATATACGTTGTATAGTTAACCCTTGCATCGAACAATACTTTTTGAATCTACTCGTCTGATCTTATGCATGGGGCTAGATAAGTTGGATATGCCTACAGTATAGTATGGAAGGGAACAGCATGCGTTATTTACCTACATAACATTAAAGAGAAAGAGTTTATAGAGTAGAAAGACACAGGAGATAGAAAGAATAATAGGATGAACAGGAAAAGTTGAAGGTGATCGCAACCGTCAAGAAGACTGGGCAAATATCAAGCATGCATAACAAAATACGGTTTCAGTTGACAGAAATGACAAGCACCTAGAGGCGAAGGGGGATATAATGGTGGTGGTCATGATAAAAGGCGCTGGAATATAGAGAAACCAAGGGAAAAGGAACACTCTCATTAGTCGCTTCTTTTCGTCCCATGTTCTCAGCCCATATTTTGAGGTGCAGTCATACCAAGATTGGGTTTAGACCCCACTGACCCCGGGTGCATTCTGATCCTTCTTCAAATCAAGAAGCAATTCACGGAAACGCTCCTTACCAGATCCACTGGCACCACCCTTGGTTCCCTTTCCAGATATGTCAACCAGTTTCGCAATACGTTCCCAGCTGGTGCCCCCCGATGATGTGTCTTCCCGATTAGCGAGGAATTGTTCGGCCTCTGCGCGTGTCTGGGCGCGCAGCTTGTCAGTTTTGTTGTTGTACGAGACGTAAAAGTCATCAATGTCCTCTCTAGCCTTTTGAATAGTCGAGTTCTTCTTTTCCTCAGAGATCTCTGCACGTCGGCTGACTTCCACATCACGCTTCTCACGCCATTCCCTGCAGTGCAATCGAGATTAGATCGCTGTTTATATTTGAGCGGCGACGCGAGGTAATCATAGAATGGAAACGGGGGTTATAGAGGTCCATACTTGATGGGTTCGGATTCCTCTTCGGGATCTTGGTAGCTCGAATAGCCAGTGGGTGGGAAGGGAGCACCGGTTCCGGTGATGGTGCCGCCAGGTGCAACTTGCTGTTAAAAGGGGGTGCAAATTAGTAGTGTCATTTTCATATAATTAGTGAGTACTTGCCTCGTTTTGTGTCTCGATAGCCGGGAATGACGATTCGAAACCTGAGATCTCCTCGCGAGCAACACCGCCAAACGGAGCATCCTCTGCACCACCCAACAAGTCATCACCATTATCTACATCCTCGGAGGTAGCAACGTGATCTTGGGAAGTAGCAAATTGTTCCGCATCGTCACCCAAGACTGCTCTTTCGCGGGCTAGAAAATCATTCTCGTTTGACGCTCCGTTGGTGTTGACAACTTCGGTTTGACCTGGAAAACAGTTAGTATCACGGGAGAGGAACTAATTAACGTAGGTCACTAACCCGCAGAGAAGTCTTCCAAAGAAGGGAAACGATCTGCCATGATAACTAAGAAACTGTTTCCGTGTCAACACCGTTTCTGATAAATGAGGAGTTCTTGAATCAATGGGATGAAGAAAGGAGACCTGACAGGAATGTGAGGCTCCAGCTGGCATCTAGAAGAGGCGCCAATGGAGCAATGGAGCTGGGGGAACGGATTCTGCCGCCCTGGGCGGTGAGCAAGCTAAAAGACTGAGTGCGACAGACAAGCTTGATTCACTTCGACAAGCCACCACAGGCGTGACAGACTCTCAGCAGGTCTTATTTGATTAACATAGTCTAGGCATCTGGTGTGGGATCCTTCATCTTAATTTTATCAGAGATTCTAATTGTTATCAATGTAAGTGACTAGCAAAACTCTCCAGCTTAGGTGCCTTACTAGCAGGACAGTTCTCATAGAAGCTTCAGTCTTAGTATTCCTTTGGAGGACGTCCAAACATACACTTGTATTCTATATCTGTACAGATAATATGGCATACACAGATGATGCTGTCAAGGCAAAGCTCTCTGCACTTAACGAGACGCAAGAGGGCATTGTCACTGTCGCGCAATGGGTCATGTTTCACAGGTTAGTGAACAGCTGTCTATATATAGCCGTAACAATACTAACCTTTCCTTGAAATATCAGACGGCATGCTGAACGAACGGCGCAACTTTGGCTGCAGAAACTTCGCGACTCACCTGCTCCGAAGCGATTGAATTTAATCTATCTGGCAAATGGTACCACTTGATCCCACCGTCGATGTTGAGTCGAAGTTGACAAAGAAAAAACCTAGAGGTTGCGCAACAGTCAAGAGCACGACGGAAGGACGATTTCCTCATTGCATTCTCGCCGGTACGTGTTCCCCTCAAGTGGAAAAGGGGAATCATAGGCTAATAAACACAAGATCATAGCAGAAGCCGTGTCTACTGCGTACAAAGGCGCTTCAAATGACATCCAGCAGAAGCTCAGACGAGTGGTAGAAGTGTGGAGGCAACGATCAATTTTTGAGCTACCAATCCAGGAAGCTGTAGAATCTCGTGTGGATGGTAAGATTGCTTATTTTTCTACAAAGCAACTCGCTCACCACGCCACAGAAATCGATAAATCACGCTCCACCGGTAAAAAGCCACTCTTAGGCGGATCTCTTTTTTCGAGCCCATCTGGATCAGGTACTCCAGCTGAGCTTCAGCCTCTTGTTCCTTTGCAAGTGGCTCTTTCTAAAGCTATGGTTGCTTCAAGTGGCTCTGCTACAGCAGCTAATACGGAATACGATAAGATGCACGATCCTAGCGTCCCACTGCCGACACCACCTGTACACGCTGCACGCCTCAGTCAGTTGTTGAAGGCACTTGCCAATGCCGAGAGCCTAGTGTCTGAGGTTATTAAGTCAAGGACTGCCCTAATTGATGGTCTTGAGAAACTGCTTGAGACGAATCGTTCGGCGTTGTCGAAAGAACAGTCATTGGCTACGCAATTGTCCGAGAGAAAGCTAGAAACTGAGGGAAAGAAACGGGAAGTAGAGGATGGAATCATGAGGGGCCTGTCTGCTGAGAATTCGCCTTCTCCCAATGTTGGCGACCCCAGCAACGGGGGAGAAACAGTTTCTCGTCCAGAGGTCGAGGCTTTAACCCCGCCACCTGTGGAAGCTCTCACACCTGTCGGATCTCCCAAGCAGCGGCCCGAGGAGGGTGTAGAAGATGATCCTCAGGCTACTGCAACATTCACATTGGCGGGTTTCACATATCCCGCGGGTGCTTCTGTTCCCGGTGCAGACCTCTCTTCGGCTATTCATAGTGACATACAGCAGGATAGTTCGAACGGACTCTATGCTAAAAAGCGCAAAGTCACTCACGGAGAGGAAGATTACGCTCAATTTGCAGCCGGTGACCTGGACGCTGATGTTGCGGAGTTGCTAAAGCAGGAGGGTACTGCACAATAGAGTAGTAGCAACTCTTGTATTGGTTGGTTGCTAGTTATGCTGCTAGGTTACGTTGCTTTCAATTGTTGGCGAGGCATTTTCGTTTACTTTCATTTCATCTTTTTCTGTACGTTCTGTCATTTATTAGTCTCTTGTCCTGGTATTCGTTCTGGCCGAGCGACTTTGCTACTCATACGCTTGGTCGCCCATGTAGTTTTTTTTTTTTTTTTTCCTTTTTAAATATGATGTGGGGTACACACCTTACAATTTTACGCTACTGGGTGGAGACTTCGATACTATGTATCGTGGCTGATTTCATCTATATGGCGAACAGAGTATTGAACATCTATTCTAACCGAATACCTTGTCATTACTGGAGCATACCATGATGGCTGTGGGCGATGAAGCTATACCCTATGATTCAAACATGAGGAATCCATAAGTACGGAGTACTTCCTTCAAACGGCGAGCTAAAAGGTGGTGTTTCATATGAGTATGTCTGGCTTCTTACTGAAGTATATCGGCCTTTAACCCGGCTGAATATAATATTAATGGTTCATGGTATCTAAGAAACAATGATACAAATTATCGATATATGTCAGGATCAACCCACTTGCCCTTCGTTGCCCGATTCAAAGAAGGATGTCTCTTTCGTCGATAGACGGCCTCGAAACTTCGAGGGAGAGCATTAGAGGATTGTTCGTTCGATTGAGGCGACGGTAGAGCAGGAGCGGGCTCTGGGTTCAGAGAATTGTGCCGCTTTGGCTTCATGAGCAATAAAATAAACATGCCGGCGACTAGAATGATTAGTAGAAGAAGGACTTTGCGTTTAATCGTCCGTCGTTGATAACCGGTAGCCTGGGTTAGAATGATTTGTTAGCTCATTGCTTGGCATATCAGAGTATCCAATGGCGAAGTATAACATACCACTTTGAGCTCTTTCTCAGCAGCTTTGACTTCGGTGCCCATTCTTTCCACATTATAGTCTATTCGGTCCAACATGGTCCCTTGGTCAATGACCATTGCTTGTAACTCGCGAAATATATCCGACAATTCGATAATGCCTTTGGCAATGTCATTAATCTCTCTTTCTCGTTGCAGAATTGCGGCATCGTTCTGGCCCGGAAGTCGCTGCGATGTTTGCATGAGGGTGGACTGTGAAAAAGACTTGTCCGCATCGGATTCCATTAGCGAAGGGTCTGTGTATGGGTTCTGCACAGATGTTGGTGTGCGTTCAAAGGGCTGTGGTACACCTTCCAGCCCTCTTAGTTCTACAGCAAATACCCAGTTAGCTTATTCGACAAGCCCAGAAGCAAAGAGAGTGGTTGGTTAGCCTTACTTTTCAGGTATGTGCTTTGCTTCTTCCTAAACCGAGCACTTGCTTCTTGAACTCGAGAAGCAAGAGAAATTTGAATGTTTTTCGCCATCGTTTCATCCCCATTACTCACTCCACCCTGTTGTTTGGCCTCGCGCACCATCACCTCGATCTTCTGAATGGCTTTCTGACAGTCATGGAATGAGCGCGTGATTTCTTGTGTAAATCGCTCAATGACACTTTCCTCTTGTCTTCGCGCTTCTTCGTCTCCAAATCCCGGTAAAAGGTGCTTTTGGTGTAGCTTGTCTAAGTGGGAAGACTTCTGCGCAATGTCCGCGAGCAACTCTGTCACCTCGTCCTGTACGTCAACCCAGCGCGGGGGTAGGACGTCCATTTCAATGATTGCATCACCATCATCTTCGAGCACTCCAGTGTCCCCGATAAGTCTCCTGCTTTCCTCTGGATGCGATGGTATATCGGAGAAGCCATTTGTTGAACCGATATAACGTGGCTTCTTGGCCGGATGGTGCGAGAACGACTGACGGTAGGAGATATACCTAGAAAACACCACGGTAGTTAGTTTATCTCTAGAGACTAAACCATAATTGAACCGATTGCATACAAGTTCGTGCGGTCACGCCACATTATGGAGGACAGGGAGCAGTGATATTGCTTCGGTGGTCTTGACGCCTGTCCTTTAGGCGGCCTTGATCATCGTTGGCCAGCTTCTAAGGCCGAGACCTAGCAAGGAACCAAGCCTTGAAAGCTAAGCGGATGTGAGATAAGCATAAACAACGTAAACCGAAGCCGATCGTCGCATAGATCTGTTGCTATACATAAAACATCCTCGATAGGACCTACATATGTGCTTTCGTATGTTCTCCGAAGATGGCCCACGTGAAAGGGGGGGCGGCTCCAATCCAGTTAGGGGTAAGCGTTGTCAGAGGCCGTAACGGTCCTGTAATTAGTACTTCCACACGGCATTTTTATCATTTCTACAGGCCTCGTACGGTCAGGCCGGTATTAGGGACTAGTACCTATGTGGAAATTGTCTATCTCTTTTTTGTCTTATGTATAACTTGTTCATCTATATCAATTTGCCCTGAAGGTCTTGTGTCTACCTGAAGATTTCGCATGGCATATCGATCCAATCTACATAGTGCCTAGATTAGGTACTCATGCCGCATTTTAGCTATGCCGAGGCCTCTAGCTGGCTTTTATCCCGCTGCAACATGCACAGCCGACCAGGTGGGCGAACCTACTGTGAGATTCAAGATCCTGCAAGATGCTGTATATCTACACCTGAAATTTGTAGGGCGCTTTAGTTCCACAGATCGTTGCTAGCAGACTTCACTGACCACTACCAGAAATACCTGTTGCCTTCTAGCTTAGTCTACTAATGCCTCCTCTGCAGACTCTATTGCCGGTATCCACAGCAAGTCTTCCATATTTAGAAGTAATAATAGGCTCATACACAGTACCCACTAAGAGCCATAGCCAGAAGCATCGAAGGGGCGATGAATGTAATAATAGATACCGACCAGGCGTAAAGATGTAGTGGCTGAGGGTGGCTGAGGGTGGCTGAGAAGGAGATACAGGCCTTTTTGCCCAGGGTGTTCAGAGCACTTGGTGGTCATTGCGGGTCACGTTTCAGGCGCTTGCGACCGCCTTACCAGGCCTCCGTTTATTGTTATTATTACTCTGATGATTGAGACCTGGGTCGGCTTCCCCTTAAACAACACTCGCCCTCCCCCACTACCTAATATCGGCTTCCTGCTGAACCACCACCACCTACTCTTCCCCCTCAACATCCTCACCAATTCCACCCTTTATCATTTCTAGCCCGTCAGCCATCTATATTCCATATTAATCATGGTATGATGTTTTCTTTCCCCTCTATCTTACCTAGCGATATCGAAAACTGCCCCGCCTTGCGGGGCAGATCCGGGCAACATTCTGGGCTGAATTGCTGACATCGCAATGCCCAGGCCGACTCTTTGACCGAAGAACAGGTCTCCGAATACAAGGAGGCCTTCTCTCTGTTTGTAAGTGACCGTAATATCCTTATATAATGATGGGAATCATGTGTATTCCCCGATACTCTGCTCGAATATATGCTGACATGGGATATCCTGTCTCTGAACAGGACAAGGATGGTGATGGTTAGTGCGAAACTCCTCCCATTAAAATTTCCTCTCACACGAATGACTTTTTTACATTTTCATAAATTTTTCTTATACTTTTGTCGACTCGCAACATCATACTTACAACCTAATTCATCAATGTGCAGGCCAGATCACCACCAAGGAGCTGGGCACTGTTATGCGCTCGCTGGGCCAAAACCCTTCCGAGTCCGAGTTGCAGGATATGATTAACGAAGTTGACGCTGACAACAATGGCACTATCGACTTCCCTGGTATGAGATGGGCACACCGTAATCCGCAAGGGAGAAGATCTGCTGCTAACCGGTCAAAGAATTCCTCACGATGATGGCCCGAAAGATGAAAGATACTGATTCCGAGGAGGAAATCCGGGAAGCTTTCAAGGTCTTCGATCGCGACAACAATGGTTTCATTTCTGCCGCGGAGTTGCGTCATGTCATGACTTCCATCGGCGAGAAACTTACCGATGACGAAGTCGACGAGATGATTCGTGAGGCGGACCAGGATGGCGATGGCCGGATTGACTGTACGTTGCCTCGTGTCTTACCCTTTACTTGAGATGAAGCTAATTGATCTCCCAGACAACGAGTTTGTCCAGCTCATGATGCAAAAATAAACTATTTGTCTTTCTATTTCGCGCACTGATAGTGGAAAGGGGTGGAGCCAAGAAATTTATTCCATCACATCCTATCTCAGTCTTGCCGTTGCCTGTAGTCAACTTCTTGACTGCAGCTGTTTGCGGCTGTACTGGCTATGCGTAGCCTCGTCGAATGTGCATTTCCCCGGGGGAAAGTAGAGCCAGATGGACTTAGACTATGAGCCGAGCAGGCTAAGAGGATGTCTTGGTGCCAATTAGAAACCCAGAACATATCTTGGCTTGCCCGACCTCTTTTCTTAAATTCGCTCGCCATCTTTGTGCCACTCCTCTTCCCGTTGTCTTTTACCGATTGTCCATATCTTTTACACCACTTCGTGTTACCCATATGTGTCTTTAGCACTTGTCCAATGATTACTCGTAGCAGATTTGGCTGCTCTTGATGACAATTGACCAACGGTTTTTTCTTTGCATTCCGTCTGTTTATTATTACCGATCCGTACCATTCTCAGGGATCTTATGTCTCTACAAAGGCTTCATTTCCTATCTAAGTATCCCCTCTGTCTTGCTAAGTTAGGTCATGAGGATTTAAGACAAGTACTGCTCAAAGATCACAAGGAACGCACCCCAGACTTTTTTGTCCTCATCGGTTGAATCTGAAAATCTCCATAAATTGCCTTGCCACATCCACTCCTGCTGTCGGGTCAGGATCTTCTTCTACTTGTTGCCCGCTCTGCTTTCCATTAGTCATTGTATGAGATTCAGGCTTCCGTTGCTGCTTCAATTTGTACAGTTGTTCCTTGACCTCTTTACCAATGTCCGGCAAGAGGCTTGCTTCTCGAGCTCCCTCGATGCCTAATTTAGCCCAGAATTCGCGGATAAGCATGGTGGTTGCTGCATATTCAGCGTCGATATCTGCCTCCTCGATGCCATCCGCAAATGAAATATCAATCCCGGAGTCATCGTCGTCGTCCACCAACTCGCCAACCATAAGGAGGCCATTCGTTCTCCTTGACCGGACGTACTGTGAAGTGATTGAAGTAATTAACGACGGACCCCTCCACTCGATCTCGATGACGGTGCCTCGAACACGCGCAGTAGGTAGCGTTTGCCGCACATCACCGATTCTCACCCGAAAATCGCCCACGTCGTAAACTGCTCCTCCAGGAACCGTGATGGTGTGTCGATGGCACCAGAATGGTTGGGCAGCGTAAACAAAATGCTGAAAAAGGCTCCCGCACGATGGTAACGGTACGGTCGTCATGACCATGGGGGACTTGTCTGCGACAGGTGCAACGGCGCCCGCCGTCTGTGACGGAGCCGCTGTTGGTGCACCGGAAGTTGTAGCCTCAGTAGTAGCGTTAACCGGATTGACTGCACTAGGCATACTGGAGTTATGAGACTTCTCCGGTGGTTGGGATGTGTAAATGAACCCGTGGGCTTGGTAGTAGGACAGGGAGAGAAACTGCATGTATTTTGGGTTTGTGGACCGCTGGGATGCTGATGCCGGGAAACAGGACGGAGTGTCCCTCATCAGTTTATGTTCTAGGACCCAACGGCCTACTGGGATGGGATCATCGTCAAAAATAGTGTGTAAACGCTCTGTCACTACTGCGAGGGCGGTTGGCGCATTTGGATTTGAAGGCACAAAGAAGACCCTGTCATCATGGTTAGTAGTCTGACTATGTTAAAAGTACACATTGTTGGTATACCCTGTAATAGGCATATTGGGTAAAATATTCAGTGAGATCAGGTAAAGTAGACTGGAAGCTATGCTCTTGATCCGGCAGCTGGGTTGGATATCAACCAACAACCAGAGGTTGAAAACAGAAAGTTGGAAACGGGATGGGTATCTCAAATGAAGGAACAAAGTAGGAAAGAAGGCAAATAAAGAAGCGAGAAGTAAAAAAAATTTAAACTAAGCCAGGCTGAGTTATTTAGGTCAAAAACGCAATGAATGATGACATAGATCAGATCTATATAACATGTTAGCGAATGATCTGCAAAGCGAAGCAACTGGTAGGATTGAACACCATAGCATGTGGACCATGTAATTAATCAGTCATGATCTCTGTGGGGAGATATGCTGAAACAATAGAGCTGATTATTAAGAGAAATGATTGGGTCAGTAGCTATTTGCTGTTCAGTGCTAGTTATTCATTGAACCCGTAGATAGCTGCATTTGGCAATAATGAAAGTTGTCACGGGTATCTACTGGTGCCTTAGGAGTTGTAATAAAGCAAACGGAGCAAACAGCCTAAGGCGCCCCAACATCACTTAGTAATTATCTCCACATAGTTAGCCTTACTCCAGTCTAGGTGTCCAAGTTGGTTTTCATCGATCTTAGAACTCTGATTCGCATGCTACTTATGATTGCATAATTCCTGAGCATGGAATAGCACACTATATCGCATATTACTAACTTGTTGATAGATCACATTAGTGCATCTGATGGAGATGAACAATTATCGTCAATTCGCCAAGACGCGGGACGACTTAGGGATGAGACAACTAGGGGGCCGCTTGACACCAGGTACATAGCTGGGCTGTCAACGGTTAAAAATAATAGCAAAGCCTAGTTGGAACTAAACTTTCATCCAGCTTAGAGACCACATGCTTACGCAATGGGCGCACTCCTTGTTACTGACTCAGGCAAGACCCTCAGCCACGCTAGGAATCTTACAGAGCTCCTCAATGCCCATCATTGCCTAGAACACCCAAATCATGACTAGGCCTTTGCATCCAAGATTCCTGACAGCATTCGTTTGCCAATCAATGGAAAGGTGAACAAGGGACGATGGTGATCACTGGGGCGCTTTAGTCACTGACGGCTCTGGCCGCAGGATTGTGCGTTTGGTCCCTGTAGGGTGATGATGTCTTGAAGCCACCTGCCCCTAGATGAGAAGGGCTGTCGACGGGAGATCTGGAAACGTAACCTATCCACTCCTTCCTCTTCTTACGCGAGAAGCACTCAATTAACTTCTGGTTGTGCTATTGAACATATTTTTTTACCAGATGTCATACTTTCCCTAGATTATCATAACCAAGGGCGCGTAAAGAGCCCTATTCTCTACTCTGCTATTCAGCCTAATACAATCATTAATTGTCCTTTTTTCCCCCTAGTTCTTTTTGTTTCCCATTTTCCCTTCGCACTATGATATTAACTCGAAGGAGCTACGCTCTCCCGACATTCGTTCTCTTGTTTCTTATATATATACTTTTTTCGAGTCTACCGCAGGACGAGCAGACACGGCATACTAACGACCGCGATGAATTTCATCCGAAGGCTTTCAAACTACATGACCAGATCCGTTGGACTAAACGACCCGAGAAATGGCCAGTTTCCGAGTACATTCCTCTTCCAACAGCTGCTCCCTCTCCCATCCCTAAATTACAACATGATTTCCCGAAAGAATCATGGTTTGGCCGTTGGAGAAGAATAAAGAAACAGGATACCGTCAAAGAAGCGTTTAGGCACGCATGGAAAGGGTATCGAGAGCGCGCGTGGCTGTGTGACGAAGTCTCGCCTTTAAGCGGCGACTTTAAGGAAACATTTGCTGGATGGGGAGCTACTTTAGTCGATTCTCTTGACTCGCTCGTCATACTGGGCTTGATGGACGAGTTCGAAGAAGCACTAGAAGCACTTAATCAAATAGATTTCACGACTACCCGTGCCGGTTACATCAATATCTTTGAAACAAATATCCGATACTTGGGAGGATTCCTAGGAGCCTATGATTTAACCAATGGCACCTATCCGATTCTTCTAAAGAAGGCAATTGAGGTAGCAGACCTGGTGTATAGTTCATTCGACACTCGTCATCGAATTCCCCAAGCTCGCTGGGAATGGACTAGGTAAGAACCCGCCCATTCCAAGGAACCTCTTTTCCCTGTATTTTATTCTTTGACAGGAAGCCAGAGACCGCTAATAATTGAGCCATAGAACTGCTGAAGGAATGGGCATCCAACCAAGCCGAAGCACCATTCTTGCCGAACTAGGCTCGCTAAATTTGGAATTCACGAGACTGTCCCAATTGACAGGAGACCCGAAGTACTTCGATGCCGTCCAAAGAATCACTGATCTTTTGGAGGACTCCCAGCGACACACCAAGCTTCCGGGGTTATGGCCAATAACTTTTAACGCAGAGGAAATGGTATTCTCAGATAATCGGTTCAGCGTAGGCGCAATGGCTGATTCCACATACGAATATCTTCCTAAGGAGCATATGTTGCTCGGAGCCCAGACAAATCAATTCCGCGACATGTATAACACCGCCATGGAAACGATTAAGGAGCGACTGCTTTTCCGTGCTATGACGAAAGATGGGAGAGACATCCTCTTTCCGGGAAATATCTACACCACATTCTCGCGCAGCCGAGAGAAAATCGATCCCCAGGTAGAGCATCTCAAGTGTTACCTTGGAGGTACAGTAGGTATTGGTGCCAAAGTGTTTGATCGCCCGGAAGACCTGTCAATCGCACGGAAATTAACCGACGGCTGTATCTGGGCGTATGATATTATGCCCACAGGGATCATGCCAGAGATCATGTATGTCAGCGCTTGCAAGAAGATGGACGATTGCAAGTGGGATCAGAAGAAATGGTACCAAGATCTGCGCTATCATCTAGCGAAAGGCTCGAGTGAAGAGTCACATTCGCTGGCCAAATCCCTCATTAAAGACCATGGCCTTCAGCCAGGAATATATGGAATTCCCAACGCTGGTTATCACCTACGGTAGGTTCATGTTCAGGGTCTCGCGGACAGCATGACAAGGCCTGTTAATCAATGTTTAGACCCGAGGCTATTGAGTCTGTCTTCATCATGTATCGGATCACAGGCGATAAATCCTTGCAGGATGCCGCCTGGCGAATGTTCAAAAACATCGAGCATATGACAAGGGCAGAGTATGGACATGCGGCAATTGACGATGTGCGCGATCGCAAAACAAAACAAATGGATTACATGGAAAGTTTCTGGCTGGCAGAGACTTTGAAGTACTTCTATCTTATCTTCTCCGAGCCAGACATGGTCAGTCTAGATGAATATGTCCTGTACGTGCTCATGGATGATTTCCACTGGAATTCTCTAGTCTTTATGTGGATAAGTATATTGAAGTCATAGCTAACATTCGATGCAGAAACACTGAAGCACATCCATTCAAGCGCCCATCTCCTGCCGCCTGATCTACAAGTGCTCTATTTATTTTCTATGCGGCAGTTTGGCGCATTGTGGTCACCTAGAGTTTATTCTAGCTAAATTTGGGGTCTTTGGGTGTAAATAACACGTCACGTTATATAATATAAGAACCAACAATATATGCACGGCAATAACCCAAGGTTATGCCTTGAGCATCAAGTATCTGCTAATATGAATCTGATACACATACGGCATGATCTGATGGAAGGCAAAGGAACCAATAATGGTCTCTACTCCCCCACATACCTCTAAAATAGTACATCACTGATGTTCTGCGCTTCTCTTAGGTTGCAGCATTGACCTTGCCATTTAAAGTTTCGCAGGTGCTTTTCGCGGTCGAATGGTATTATTTGTGCCTTGATACTAAATATTTTGTCGAAATGGCAGGAATTAACCAACCCATGTTACGGACATCCTGAAAAGATGTTGAAATGCTTATTAACCATTGTCGGTTCTTCTGATTAGGTCGAGGGCTCACAAAAGAAGCGAAGGAACAGACAATCACCACAAGCATGTACACCGGCTTGTGAGACCTAGAAACATTCCTTCAAGGAGACTTGAACTAGGTTTGTTTGAACTGTAGCTATATTTGAGATGGCTGGAGATAGATGGAAGCGGTAATTGTACACCGTCTTCACAAAGACCGTTCTCTTGTAACTCGAAAGCACCCGAACCGAACTAAATACTCATCTATGTACTGAACAAGCTGCTCTATACGCAGCCAGTCAGAGATACAGTCTAGCTTTGGTTTGTATCGCATTTAGCAGAGAATCTCCTCTCTCTCCATATTCTTGATCAAGCTGGCTACTCTACTTTTATTGAGAATGATATTGTCTATATTCGCCACACCGAAACACCTCCCGTTTCGAAGCTAAATGGTGTCGACTAGCTGATTCTCTCTATGGAGATCTCTACCGCATGCATCTAATAAAAATCTTTACTTGGTTCTCCTTGTGCCCTTCGCATGAGGGAAGACAGCACCCTCCGGACCTGCTAGGCCATTGGGATGTCCGAATGGTGGGAGCTTTGATGAATCTGTCCGTCCCACGCAGGCTTCCCACCTGCACCGCATGCCTTCAAGGCAAGATGAAGGCGGATTACCACCCCCCGGTACGAGAACGATGCAAGAAACCGTTTGAACGTGTCAATTCAGATCTTATTTTACTAGACGGCTTCTCCTTTGGTGGATCAAAATATGCTCTCCTATTAGTGGATGATTACACCCTCTACGCCTGGATTTACTTCTTCTCCTTAAAGGATGTCTCGGCCATCTCTCCTCTTCTAAAAGGCGTTATTAACATGGTCCTGACTCAATTCAACAGTGTTATAAAACCATGGCGTATAGATGGCCGTACAGGTGAATTTATAAACAGTATGATCACCGAAATTAATAGCCAATTTGGGATACTCCACCAGTCTTCTTCTCCCGGTGTTAAGCAACAAAACGGTGTTGCAGAACGCAGTGTCTAAACTACTAAGAATATGGAACGCTCCATGAGAGCATGTGCTAGTGTACTAGGTGACTATCGTCTGCGAGCTGAATCCCTGGCCACAGCAGTATTTCTATCCAATATTTTGCCTTCCACCACTCTAGGTAATCTGTCCCCTCAGCAGCTACTGTACGGCATATCGCTACCTCTCAATTTCTTGAAGCCATGGAGATGTCTTGTCTATATACACCTCCGAAAGGAACACCGCGGCTCAGGATCGTCCGAACCCGGCTGCAGGCCGGCTATGCTAGTAGGCTATAGCCTACCAACGTTGTACGAGTTCGGTAGAATTTTCCGGTGTCACGGATCTCGAGATGCATCATTCAAGGAGCATTCCCAACATGTCCAGTTGTTCGGTCACAACAGCCTGATGATCAGAGTATCTTGTACCGCGTGTTCCTTTATCACGTCTATCCATTTTTCCTCGGTGATCGGCATCTCGAATACTGATTGCTGTCGGGTCTTCTTGGACACCGGCTCTTGTCCAATAGGCATATCGGAACTGAGACTCTTTCGCTTTTCCATTCCGTACTCTTTGGTTGTGAAAGTGTGCCAAAAAGTGGTAGATTGGACAATATGAACCATCCTATCCAAAGGCTGGTATCTCATATGTTCTGTGTTTCCATTGACTTAATACACAGCATGACTGGGTTTGTTTTTTAGGGCCAGTAAAGAGTGACCGATGAACAGCTTTTCTGGACCTTCTTGATGAAAGAGAGAAATTCAGAGGGATGAAGATGGATAGACTCATGTCCTGGGAGGCAATAATTAGTACAATATATTCCATGTGATTACACATTGTTGCTGATACAGTCCTGTCATGCAACTTATGCATTGATATCGTTCATGTCAGGCTCGAGTAGTCTCCTTTCGATAACTTCCACTGTAAAAAGGGTAGTTACCAAAGCTCAAGGTAGGTAGCCAGATAAATTTTCTGATATATTCATGAATTGGTAAAGACGAGGTGTCAGCCCTTCACACTTGGAAAGCTCAGAACTTAGTCAGATCTCCCACTCACTTAAAAGAATACCATTAACAAAATCCTTAGCAGGGATTCCCTATGAGCAACAAAATTTACATAAGGGGAACTGATACACCAGAGGCAACATTTCACTACCATGTCCGTCATCTGTGAATCCACTCGACCTCTCAGGTGGCTGAGGGGTTAATATTGTGCTCGCCAAACAATAGGAAGGCTTGTACTAGAACAGGATCTCTTTTTCGTGCCCAAAACACTGCTTGGAGTGCGATCTGCCAAAGCCGAAGCAATGAGGCTTGTCTTTAAGTATACTGGTGTTCTGGTCCCTGAAGCAATTTTCACTTGTTCCATTCAAGAAATAGTGAAAACTAACCAGCAAGACTTTTTAAAGCCCAATTTCCGTCCACCGTCAAGAATTATTGAGATGGCTATTATTCCCGGAATTCCCCCTGGGGGAGAAATGGAATACGCTAGACGACAAGGCTAAAGAGTTAATCTGTTATTAACTGTGATCTAATCTCCAAGATCTAAGATATCTCCCATTCACAAGAGCTTGAGCGCTGTATCAATGTACCACGGATAACTCTCCATCCCGAGACCCGATGCTAGGGGATCTACAAGAGCCCGCTCGACTACGTTGAGCGATTCAGGGCTGCGTGCGCGGATCTATGAGTGGTACCTCCACTTTAGGAGAAGTCGATATAAGAATCTACTACTGGATATGCTAACCCGATTGGAGCGCCTAGTATTCACACAATATCATGGTGGACAACCAGAACGTTACCGCCATCCTGTACTGGGATTGCGCGGGTGCTGTCCTGGGTACTGGGAGTATATGAAGATCTTGCGACCAGCTGTCTAGGGAGACTAGTCGGTCTGGATGAAGACGGCCGCGCCACGATCTTCGAGGAATAAATGCAGCTAGAAATGTTTTATTTTGAGTCTACAGCGGCACTTGCTAACCCGCGTCATTGGGACTGATGTATAAGTAATGCTCATACTAGAACTAAGGTACTGCCATTGCCATTGGTGTTTGTAACCTGCAAGGTATATATTAAAGGGTGTATTTATAATTGCTGTCCCTTCTATGCGTTATCACTTACATTATGTATCTTCAAGCGAACAATGCAGAGGATGAGCCTTGCCAATAGTTACAATGGAAAAAAAAAAAAAAAAAAAAAAAAAAAAAAAAAAAAAAAAAGAATACACACTCTTTTCTAGAAGCGTTATAAATGCAATAACGCTAATCAGACCAAGGTACTTATAAAGCCGCAAAATTGCGACCATAATAAAGCCTACGTATCAATCAGCTGATACACTCCACAAGGCCTACGTGTCTGGCTGGGTACGAAGTACGGAGTAGGATCTAGTGGGCTCCAGCTATACTCGTGGATCAACTGCTAAGAGAGCCCCCTTTCCGTGAGCATCATGCCATCAAGTACCAGTCGCTTGGTTCTAGTTTCGATTAGATAAGCTCAAGGCAGGAGCGGGGTGATGGATACAGTTATAAAACTCCCATTTGCAGCTGAACCGTCTTGATGGTACCTTAGCAGGGTTGTGGAGTTTCTTGGAAAGTTCTAGACGGAATGTAGTGACTTTTCTTTCCCTCCCCCGGTCCCCAACAAGCTGTAACATATCTGCCACTAGTTTGGGCTGTGGATAATAAATAGTAGGGCTGAATGTGTCAGTGAAGCCAGGTCAGGTTTCGGTTTGTTGGCTTGCGTACCTGTCCAACTCTACATGAGAGACGTCTATTCCGTGCCGCGTAAGCATCCTGTATGGATAATAATAAGATTAAATCATATTAAATACAATGGTTACACTGGTCGGAATGCAACTTAGTATCTCTAAGGCCGAGAATGAGAGAGAGGTGTAGCACAGTCTTCGATTGGGCAGTTGGTGAGCCAACTAATCCCAACAATAACTAAGACTATCGGGTGGCATAATTGGTCTAGAGCCTTATTGAGTGCTGACGATAGATCAAAGCCAGAATAATAACTTCTGTAGAGTAAACATCTGGTTACCTTGCTGACTACATACCATCTACGTGTCCAACAATGTCAACATACATGGTCGCTATCAGATTGATATGATCTAGTGGCCGACATCGGCAGCGCCCCACCTGGGTTTGAGTGACATGTCACATGACTACAATGTCCGAAAATGGAGGTATATGGAATACAAACCTGAAAGAGGTTAAAAAAGATAAATAACTAAAAAATCGAATAATAGACGCAAAAGAGAAAAAAACAAAAGTGGCAGGATTGACAGCATTTGGGGCAAATATTGGCAGTGGAATGACACTGCGTTGGTGTGTCAAGGTGGGGTGACTCGGAGCGAAAGGATCCTGTGCTCCGTAAAAAGTTATCTGATCCGGAACGCGACAAGACCCGTGGTGTGATCACGTGGATCCTGTAGAGAGGGAAAAGGGGGTCTATCATATCTGAGCTAATTAAATTTGATGGTACTCCCTATTCCTGGATGCATACATATATTTATTTTCATTACGAGAATGGCAGGCCTGGATATGCACATAGGAATGGAGTCTTGCCTCGGGTGGATGGCAATGATGTATCACAGGTTAACCGAGGACCCAGTGCGACACTCCGTATTGAAGGATCGAAACCGGATCAGATTAGATCGGTACGATACTCGGCTATGACACCCTTACAATACCAATACGCTCTCCAGGATCCCCTCAATCCTAGATTCTCGAAGTGTGCTCCGATTCTAAGTAAACATGTCCTTGGTGGTAGATAATAAGAATCAATTCTCACGATCTTCTAGAGGTCTAATGATGGAGAAACACCAATATCTATGATATATGTGTATTTATCCTCCTGCAATAGAATATCTAATGGAGTAATCTCTCGCGCCTAGCTGCAGATCCGAACAACTGTCAACCATCGTGTTGATCCAGGACTCACTGTCAAGGTATGTACCTGACCCCATGATCACTGGTCCTATCATCTGTTGGCCGTAGTAAGCTAACATGTACACTATATAAACTACTAATATAATTTCCATGATGAGCTGTCCTTCGGAATCTCTAGGTTTCATCGGCTCTTTTCTGTGGAGGTACAGTGGTAAACTTACAGACGGTATGGTAGCGGTACTGACAGTTTCCTCACCGCGGAACAGTAGTGGCGAGAGGGAAACCAATTTGTGCATTTTTCTCTCCGTCCTACCTCTCTTGTTCCTCCCTCCGTTGGTTATCTGATTCTACCTGCAGCTTTCCTGCAGTGAGCCGATTGTTTTCACCTCTTCCCTGCCCAGCGTTAAAATCGCCCAAAGGAGACAACCGATCCCGGATGATCATCCTGCAGTTGGTACGAATCTTTCCCTAGTGCCAGCGGAACCACAATCCCGGTTTTGCCCCAGACGAGGTACTACTACGACGACTTCCCGCCTCATCCCACTCTCCCCAGCGTCCTCTTCCGATCAACTGCGATTGTCCTTGGTCGAGTTGCACTGTCAGCAGTGATTAGGGGTCCACCGGTCTGGTTCAGACTGTCTCTCGTTCGTTTCGGCGACCTCCTTTTTCTGGTCGTCTCTTTTAAAACTATACCACACTCCCTTTGTCGACCAGCCAGTACGCCTAGATTTTTTGAAATTTCGACTTCTGTGCCCTGCCAATTCATTTTCCGCGGTGAACTGCTATATCTTTACCTCTTTGTCGAACCACAACAGGCCCAATGGGTATGTTTCCACTCTTCCCTGCTCGTTGTACATAGGGTCACCCATTGACTTCTCTATTCGCACATGGTACGATCAATTGCTTACCCAGAACAGTGCACGCAGTTCTTGAGCCTTTGAGGGCCACCGCTCCAAAGTCCTCGCACACTATCAATGGAGACCACCGAAATATTCCTATATCGACTACCTCCCACCCGGACAACCCTGTTCCGGAGGAACCTCGCGGCGTTCAATCGTTGTCGTTCACTGATATGTCCTTCAATAGCTCCGCATCATATTCTTCCCAGGAAGCTGAGACCAGCACGGACTCGGACACCCCTTCGACACCTGCCACCGAACTTCAGTCCGATACCGATGAATTAGCACAGGAAAAGACTGCGGGTGACCATAAAACTGGGCGCCAGCGCAGCGCGTCAACGGTCCTCATCTCCCAGAATGCTGAGGACATGAGGCGGATCTTAGAGAATGTTAGTATTGGCGGCACACAAAAGGTTCAGCCTCTTTGCTGCGGCGGTGGATGCTGCCGAAGCCAGCCCCTGACCAGAGTATCCGAGCCTGTCTCTGGCGTCAACATCGTCACTCCTCCCGAGAATCAGGCTTATCGGGACCTCAACCTGAAGGTGGATTTCCTCACGCTGGACAGTGAACTGACCAATGTTGTCGGTCTCCCTGAGAAGACGGTTTCTTTCTCATCCATCCCAGCCTCTGCGGTCGACATGAAACTAGGACCTGCGGATCACCCACCTCCTTTTGTTCAGCCTCACCCCCCATACAACGTGTATCGTGCTCCCCTATACCATGCCCGAGAACTCACCAAGCCTGGTGCGGAGAAGCGGACATATCATTTCGATATTGACGTGACCGACTATCCCGCAGAGAGTGGAATGGTTGACTTCGTCGTGGGAGGTGCTATTGGGGTGTGCCCTAGGAACAAGGATGAGGAGGCTGATGATATATTTAACCAGCTCGGTATTCCCAAAGCCATTCGGGACAAGAAGATCTCAGTGCGCACGACCAAGGGCCGGTGGCCCACGATCTGGGGCGATGACAAACCCCGGGAGCTGATCACCACCCGAAGAGAGCTTCTCAATTGGTGCGCAGACATCCAAAGTTATGCACCTACTAAGGCGCTGTTCCGACTGCTGGCCGAATACAACAGCGATCCCAACGAGAAGCAGATCCTCATGTTCCTTTCCTCCGCCCAAGGCCAAGGCGCCTTCTGTGATCTCCGCACCGGCTCCCATGTGACAGTTTCTCAGTTGCTGCATGCCTTCCCCTCGTCTCAGCCTCCTTTGGACCACCTTCTTTCGGCTCTGAACACTCTGATGCCCCGATTCTACTCCTTGTCGCAAGATCCGCTTCTCTCTTGCACGAAGGGAGCCCAGCCCCGTCGATTGGTCGAAGTCGCCGTCAGCGTAGCAGAATCGAAGGACTGGAAAGGTGGCATGCGGACCGGGGTCGGGTCTGGATATCTCGAAAAACTAGCGCGACGGTTGATAGATGCGGAAAAGAAGGGTATCGATCCTCGGACTCTCAATTTGCATGTCCCTATGTTCCGGGGACTGATGGCCAATCCGCTGGCCAAGCGGTTTGCCTCTGACGGACCGATGTTGTTGATTGGCGCCGGTGTTGGAGTTGCTCCATTCCGTGGCTTCGTGCAGCGACGACTGCAGTCGGCCAACTGCGCCAACAAAGTGTGGGTACTCCAGGGTGTTCGCGACTCCCTGTTAGACGAGCTCTACCGAGGCGAATGGGGCGTTGATGAGGAGAAGGTGCGAACTGTGGTTCAGAGTCGTCGTGGCGAGAGCAAATATGTACAGGAAGAAGTTCGTCATCAGGCCGACCTGGTCTGGTTCGTAATCAACGCTCTGGACGGACGTGTCTTCGTCTGCGGCAGCAGCAAAGGTATGGGCGAAGGCGTCGAGGCAGCCCTGGTTGATGTCGCCATGGCCAAGGGTAACCTGAACGAAGAAGAAGCCAGACAATTCTGGGAAAATAAAAAGGAAGCTGGCCAGTATATTGCCGTATGTTTGACACTCCCTTTGGACATGTGTGATTAACTAACTGGTTAACAGGAAACATGGTAATATGCACCAACTATGTATATTGTATGCTCAAGCTGAGTTGATTTCTGCAATTTTACATCTGTTTTATTTTATCTGGGTCTTATATAGGGGCCCATACATCGCATGCGATTGGATAGATGTGAAGGATTTAGCTATTGGTTTTGTTGGATCATGCTTATTTTAGCGGGGTGGCTTTTTTGGTGATGTCATTTATTTCCTGGCTGTGCCAGGATTTTTGTTCGGTTGCAGAGCATTAGAATCTATGGTAGCAATACCAAATCTGCAGTTTTCTAGCTGTATACTAGACATGGTAACTAACTAGTGATATTTACAATCACATCATTATTGCACGGAGTATTATTCTTCCAGGTTGTCTATATAGCAGGATAGATTTTCAACATCTCATGGATGGCAATATTCTCTCTATATTTACTCCGTAGTTCTGCTATTAAATATATAGAGACCAGCACCAGAATAAATATTCTAACCCATATTTATATAAAACAGTATTAAGACACAAATACCATCTAAAAACCCAATTCAATTAACCCTCCATAACACTTCTATAACAAAGTATCACAATAAATAGATTCATATATCAGAGCGTTAAAAATGAACTATCTAAACATACTACACTGGTGCACTTAGTAGTTGTGCTAAGTAATTCATTCCCATCACTCAATATTAAAAATCGCAGAACAGAAATAAAAGCCACTACTAGAATCGAAGTATACATAGATACTGTATGTATGTACCTATCTATCACATCTACAGGAAGTATCCCTAATCTATCTGACTGTGATCGTAGTATTCGGAAGAATACTATTCTTCTTAGATCAGCAGTATAGATAATTTTCTTGGTCTTCTATCTTCTTGTTAGCTACAGATATAGATCTGTAACATAGGTTTCATTAACTGTCTTTTGTGTGTATATAGAAGTGGAAGAATACTGGAGTTATGTGAGTTGCATCATAGATATTGACACTTACTTGAGATACCAATGGTGTCTACCAAGGGAGTTATTTCCAGATCAGCTATGGTCTGGAATGTCAGAATACAATATGCATCGACATCTAGACCTAGACACGTATACCAACAATACCTACGAAGTATGGAGTATAGTCAACAACTCCAGTCCAACCCACTCCCTTCCCAGATCGTGAGTGACACAGCAGATGAAACATGCGACCGCACTGACACGTCTGTCCGACCTAGGGAAAGGCGCAGGATATGGCCACGTACGTCTCACCTCCCCCCCGAACCATGGGTTAGGAATCGGACCACCTGGAACTTTGAAGTGACATGTGGAACCGTATATACTTTTGCTTACCTGGAGGTCGATGGATGGATAATTCACCTGCCTATCTGGTCGTTCTGCGCCGGGTTCCCTGCCTGCCATCTGCAGGGTTGGTGACTTGCAGGAGTTGGATGGGAAAAGGGAATTTAACCAGTGGTGTCGAATGTTGATTCTAACCAATTTTGGGCTGGAAAAGATGGGTGCTGTAATCGGGTAAAGAGGGATACATACCTACCCTAATTCGGTACAGATCGGGTTCGTATGTGCTACTGACGTGGTGGTCCAGATACTCATGCATCCAGGGTCGTCCGTGCCTTATGACTCGATGTGGACAACGTTATTCGTCAGAAGCTATTTTCAGGAGGACCGAGCGTGCAGAAGCCTAACTGAGTCCCGTGGATGGCTGTAGCTGTCTGTCTGTGTACATATCTGTACCGCGACGAATGTACCACCATTAGCTCGACTATGAGCTAGGAGAAGGAAGGCAATCAGGGAGGGCTTGCATTCATCCAACCATCCATGGGGCTCATTTATGCGCCTGATTTGGGAATGCCCCTTCAGCCGGAGGTCTGTGTGTAGACAGATGTGGCTGTGTGTATGTGTGTGTGTGGCGAGTGTCCTGCCTGCCATTCATTAGTCGTTCTGATTTATTATATCATGTAAAGTATCCTTACTCCCACCTTGCAGACATACCATAGTTCAACTTAACTTCCTCGTCTCCTGAGTGGTTGGCTGCCAATATAGGGATGAACGAGCTTAGTCGGTGATTTTATCCCCCCCGATAATTCAATTCCCGTCATCCAACACTATTGATTCTTGTCCGTCGATCTTCAACCCCTTCCATGGCCTCCATCGCCACTATCATCATCTCCCCGGCCAAAGGGCGATCTGCCGCATACCGTCGGTGGGGTGCAGATGGTCATTTCCAGGTTTTTGGGGCATCTGACGACGGTCTGCTCCCACTTCCCCGAGGGGGATATAATTGGATTCAATAGTAGATCCAAGTACGTACTTACCGTTTCACGCATGCTTGATCCCGGTTTGCAGTCCTGAGTTGAAAAAAAAAAAAAAAAAAAATCAATACTAGACTGACTAGATGACAAGATGGCAATCCCACCTGCAATGCCACTTCGCATTGACCCTACCAAGGCGTGCATATACCGATGGACTTTGTCCTCAAGAACCGTTTGCTTTCATATCCCATCAATCAGTCTGAGTATTATTGCCTCGCCCTCTGCTCTCCCCGCATTTCATCACGCCACAGCTGTCTGCCCCCTCACTTCGAAAGGCGATATTTTCGCGCCATGCGCCACAGCCAGATTTCACCGCCATGTGATAGATCGGACGGAACTCGAACTCCGGTCATGACATCCCTCGCTTGATATCTTTCTTGGGCACTTTCCACCCACCCCGTGCTTCATGCATTGTGGCGATCGATCTCTGCGTCACCATCAACAGTACATGTCTTCCGATGAAACGATTCCTGTCATGATGTAGGCGGTTTCCAATCTCTCCTGCAGTCTGAAGACACTGATGTGGAGAAGGAAGCAGGGCGCAATGCACCTTCCTCTATTTTTTTTATTTAAATATTTTTTTAATATTTATTTTTGGCCTCTCAACCATCACCCTGAATGACATACTTTGGAGCCTGAGTTTTCAGAATTTTTGATGATCCTCCTGGATCCCCGTATGTACAGTCCTTTTGCGAAGCTCTGCCAGCTAGAAGGTTCTGTGACATACGCCAGCAATTTCACGTAAGACAGGGCAAAAAGGTACATGAACGGGTTGCACAAAACGCCCCTTGTTTGATACACATACTTCGTACATGTAATACAAAGAATGCTTAGAGTCGTTGTGAACCAGTCCGATCGATATCCGACGATCGGTAACTCGACCCGTTCCGACTAGACGGTACGTACCCAAATTTACGGCTCGCCATGGATGGCGTGATGACAGAAACGTCCTAGGCCAGAGTTCACCGCAAGGAGCATCGGAGATACTAGCCGGGCTGATTCGTTCTTGGATGCCCTTCTCGCCCACGGTTCAACAGCCGCCGTTTTAAGGCTCGCATTCTGAGAGCGCAAGGAAGACCCGACCTCGCCCAATTCTTGTCGTGTATACGTCTTGTTCCTCCAGTGGATCTGAGCTTTCATCAACTCATCGACTGGTCTCAGCAAAGATTAGAGTAACTACTGGAAAGGGAGCTGGTATGAAGAATTCAGATCTTGCAGCCGTCTGCTGGGGACAAGATCAGAATTCCATACCCAAACCATGGTAGGACGTATGAAAAGTGGCTCTGAAGGATGCAGGAATGAAGGGGGATAAATTTCGATTTTTTTTTTTTTTTTTTTCGTTTGTCTCCGCTGCTGCTAGCCAAATTCCCACTTTGTCTAAATTCGGATGTAAATTCCAGAAGCCAAAAATAAAAGGAAATAGACGAGGGAAAAGTAAAACGAAAGAAAAGAGAAAGAAAACAATCTAGTTTGACATGGTCACATCAATCCATACTTATAATATACAAAATCATTTAAATGCTCGATTCTCATGAATGGGGAACCCGGCACAATCCCAAAACAATAGTCGAAGATTAGACATTAATCAAGGACCATGTTTAATTTGGCGGAGCAATCGGAATATGCAGTATATGAAAATCGGGAATAGACCATAAAACACCTTATATGCATAGTCGCACGTAGCTGATACGCGATAGCGGAAAAAGATAAGAAATCAAAAAGGGACATGAACACTCTGGCGTGTATTGGATATCATTATGGACGTCTCCGTTGTGGCCCACACTCATTTACCTTTCGAGCATGCAGGACCAGGAAGTCTGATTAGTAAAACGATATAGGGTATCAAATCGATCCGATCTCTCTCGGCTCATGGGAATCTTGATAATCCAAGAACTTGCTGTAAAACCAAGTAAACCATGGGCGGAGAAACAAAAGAGACGTGAAAGAGACCAGTCAGGTCTCGTATATTATATATATGCGGCATTTTTGACATTCTCGGCACTGTAAGTCATGCAAGGTTTTTAGACGTTAAGTATACGACAAGCCGGTTAGGTTCTCGTTGCCGGCGTAAGCATATGAGGGGAGGGCATTGATTCGGGCGAAGTGTTTTCCACATCACTGAATGGAGATTGCCTCTGAGGGTCGAGATCATTTCCACCATTTCGCATTTGGTTTCTTAAAGCAGGAAGTTGTCTCCTTCTCGCATTAATGAACCAGTTACTGATCTTAAACGGCACAGAATATCAGTTACTCAAACCCGCAAATTTTTTTATTTTTTTTTTTTTTATAAATGAAGCTTACCTGACTGATTGTGAGACCAGTACGAGTCATGAACATCTGCTTATCTTCCTCGCTGGGATAAGGGTGATCCAAATGTTCGTGGAACCAGGCACGTAGAATATCAGTGACAGGCTTTGGAAGGTTTCCTCGTCGGCGTTTATTCTTGGGATCGACTGGGTCACCCAGGATCCCAAAGTTGGACTGCGGACCATGCGACAATGCTTGTGGAGATGCATGTTCAGAATCGCTTTGGTAGGCCACTGACGAGTATGGATAGTGCATCGCTGGTGGCCCACTGGTTCCAACATAGGATTCCATACTTCGTCTTTCGCTCATTGGGCCTGGATAAGTGGCTGGCGCAAACCCATGGCTACCGGCGGGTGCGGATCTGAATTCATGAGAAAGTCCCCTAGCATCCGCGAAGGCGGCCGATGTGTTCATGCTTCGTTCTGGGAGGGATTGAAGGTCCCGGATAGGCGGGAGAATGGGACTCGGTCCGCGAGAAGCGAAGGGAGGAGTAGGGCTAGTTGTCTGGGGCAAACGAGGTTGCACAGGCGCATTATCTCTTGGGTGGAAGTCGTTGGCTCTCGTCGCTGCTATTGAGTAGTTGCGGGGCACATCCCCCAATGGAAACTTAGATGGGGTGCCGAAGGGGGACCGCTCGGACATGGGCCTGGGATTTGATGTCATATCATGGTTGGCAGTTGCGGGACGATCGTGCAAATGTTGACGGGAGGTCAGATACGAAGTCGAGTCGATCTCGTCGTGGAGGTGAGGTGGAAGCAACTGCGAATTGATTAGTCTCTAGGATATTCCCCAGGCAATCCCGTTCATGTCACAGGGATTGAGGATTGTTCTTACCTCCCGAAAGGAAGGAAGGGCTTGTGTGTGGTCGGACGGAAGCCCGCTGGCGTATGAAATGGCCATTTTCTTGGAGTCCTCGCCCAGTTCACGGTACTGGGACATAGAAAAGAGAAATATATTGGTGGGGTTACAGAGATACTATGTTCGCCACTGATTCTGTATAGCCAAGAAAGCACGACAGTAATAATGTCTAGAGAGCAGCCGGCCTGCGGCTTTCGCACAAGCTTATCACGACGGAATCCCGCGTATGTCGTGACTGGGAGGTAAATTATGAGGGTGCGTTCTGCGGGGAAGAGATGTAAAGAAGATAGAATGGGAATGCGAAACTAATGAGAGATATGGGGAACTGGTCGGTAGAAGTATAAGAAGGAAAAGAAAAAATGAAAAGGGCTGTAGTAGAAGGTCTATGGTAGAAGATAGAGGGAAATATGGGCGACAAATAATACTTCCCAGGACCTGAGTTAAAAGTACCTTGACATTGCCGCACACGATGACGATGGAGACAGCTGAACCAAGGTTATGCAAGGTAAGGAGTGAGGCCACTCAACAATTGGATCTGGCCTTGGTGGACCAGATCTCTTCTTTCAAGGCTGTTCGGGATTAGAACAATTGGATTTTATTTTTATTTTTATTTTTAAATTTCCCTTTGTAACTTTGATTTATTACTATTATTATTATTGGTTTGATAATTTTTAGTTTATTTGATTTATTATTATTATTATTTAATTTCTTTCTCTCCTTCAAATTTTTATTTACGTTTTTCCCCGGTAGTACGATGCTTATCTAACTTCTTTTTTTTCTTTTTTTTTTTGTCCTTTTCCAGGTTCAACATAATAAGATTCAGAAATACAAAATTAGTAATTTTTTTCTGGGGAAAAAAAAAGGAAACGCTGGATCCGACATCCTGCAAGACTACCTGGACGCTTAAAAAAGGGCGTCATCGAATCTCTGGAACGCAAGACAACCGGCCCCGTCAGCTGTTCCATATTGGTATTGGCTAAGCCATCTTTGGAAAAGAAAGGCAAGAACAGGGGGGGATCCCAGAAAACCGACGATCGTGGGTGGGTGTGGATACGGTAGCCACAAACTACGGTCGACCGTCACTTCATCGGTATCTAAAAGGTATGCAGAGAGAGGGGGGTGAAGATGAATTGGAAGGAGAGGGGGCAAGGTTCCATGTATTTTCCATTTTCTGAAGGGGGGATACCTGTGTACTCCGTAAAACAAAAATACGGCCATTATTACTAATAATTAATTTTAATATTCCGTCGCCCTACCGCTAACTGGGTACTCAACCTTAAGGTTGTCCTTGACAGATGGATGGTTCCAAGGGATCTAGAAGTTGTTTCCCAACTCGAATCCAAGGACGTCCAGAGTATCCATCTTTGAAAAAAAGGGCGGGGTCTGAGGTAGCGGTGAAAGAGCAACTCAGAGAACACCCTACGAAGTGTAAACTGCCTAGCTCTTCTATCTACCTAGGTAGCACCCTGCTTTTTTGGAAATCCTAGGTAGATAGATGTCTACGTATATCCATATCTTTGTGTGTTTGTGTGTGTATATGATGTACAACATGTCCCTAGTCGCACTGATTCTTTAAAATTAGTAGAAATAAATCTATGTGAGAACGATGGGCCGTGACCGCTTTACTTTTGTCCTCTTTCTCGTTTTTCTTTTTTCAATCCCCCTTTTTATAACTTGGAATATTAAGCCAAGAGCAAACAGCCAATCCAAAAACTTTTCTATCAAGAAGGGAATGCTAGTGTCTCCAGGCCATGGCGGTACCAGCACAAAACATAGATGAAACCATCCAAGCGTAGATAAGTTCCAGACTCCTAGAACAGTAGAACTTCCAGAAACGAGCTAATTTCCTAGCTCAACTATTCCCAAACACAGAGGATATTCTGGCACTATCGCTTCGACGCTTAGTGCTTAAGTGGGCTTTGCTAATGACCTTAAGATTTGGCCAAATAATATTATCACCATACGGTGGCGGGGACCATGCTGTGCTACTACATTGTCATCGCTACTCCCACTTAATTTACTACTCCATAAGAAAAAGAATAAGAAAAGAGAAAAATTACTGATCTGGATTAACTGCGGAAAAGACTTCCTGTCCCTTAGGTACACATCACTGACAAAATGTGCTCATGGGATCCATAGAAGTGGAGTGGCAAAATACAAGCTAGAAGTACCTGATACTAGAGCATACTCCATCTTACCGGAATGGGCTAGTAGATCTTCTACTTACTACTTGCCGCAACATAGGAGCAAGGAAGCAATCTCTCTCGCAAGAGGAACGGTCCGGAGCAGGTATAGCTGCAAAGTCTAAACTAAAAGGGAGGAGAGGAGCGGGACTTTTCATTGTGTGAGAAATAAATATATTAATAGCACTCCGTCGTAAAAATCCAGCTGTATGTGTTCAAACTAATTAAGTAAATCGAGAAAATGGGCAATGGAAAATGGAAAATGGGAAATTGAAAATGGAAAATGGGAAATTGAAAATGGGAAATGGAAAATGTTATGGATACAGGGGGAAAGAAATGTGGAAAGGCCACATGCACGACAAAAAAAAAAGAAAAGAAAAGAAAAGAGGGAGAGATCGCCGGCTGTCCCTCACAGAGTTGGATCCACATCGCTTGGTGTGTGTCAGTCAGAATAGTTGCAGCCAGAGGTTGATTACTGGCTAAACACGGCTAGTATAGATCGCTGGAGAGTCGTAGCTTATCCCAAACAGTAGGCTTGAAGGTGTACAAGTGCATCTCAAGTACGGAGTACAAGCTGTACAGAAGTTGGATGGGTGGTTGGAGCATCCGTGGGTTCCCGCTGCAAGGTGATTAACGGGCAACTTCGATCGAGGTATGGGAAAGGAGATCGATCACACAAGCCACAGGTAGGCAGGTAGACAGACAAGGGGAGGGGTTAGTGCAAGCCTATGAGCTGGGTGACGGGCAGAAACTAACGAGCTACTTACTCATGTCCTCGAGTCTTGGCTTGTCGACAAGATGTTCCAACATCCAGGGCAGGGAAGGCCCGATCGCGAGGGGTTCTTCTCCATGGACCCCACTCTTTTTTCCAGATGAGCTGCAATCTTAGGTGTGCCCAGGATCCACCTTGGTCTCCGTCTTCCGTCAGTATACATCAAAATATTCTCAAGGCTGGACAACTACTAGCTTGCTAGGAAAGGTAGCCCAACTACTGGATCATAAACAAAATGATAATCCACTCCATGGAGCCATATAGGGTCAATTATTGGTGTAACCGTCTCTGTCAGTGCCACCCAAGGAATAGGCGGAAAATAAAAATTAGGTTTATTGCTCGCTAAATATCCGTATCACCATCTGGACCTTGCCTTTCTTCTATGCAGGGAGATGTCAACTGCAGGGCTGTTTACAGCACCATACTTACGGGAAGCCTCCCCCGAGGGTGTGACTATCAAGGATGAACTCCCTAACTACCAAATGCAAGTGAGGAGGGGCCCGGAAATGATTGGTGTAACCATACCATATTATATGCAAGATCCATTGCCCATGCATATGACATCTCAAGTTGTCGGTTAGGAGGTGGATATGAGCGAAAACTGACATCCTATCCAAAGGCTAGGGCCAATCATATAAAACCATTCTTCATCCCCCTGTTAGTGTGGAATTGCTACCTAACCTACCTCGGTAGTAGCTAGTCTCCAGTCCAAAGTCCGTTATCCACTTCCTGATGATTTATTTCTATCATCACCAACATCATTAGATAGTATCTGACGGGCCATTCAATCAACATGAAAAGCCAAGATAATAGGGATTAATAATACCGAGGTCAATCATCATCAGATTATATTAGCCATTGCAGCAACCATGTTAATTAATAATAGATGTGTGAGTTTGACATTGGACCATGAGTAATAGAGTAGACTATTACCACGAGGATTCGCCGTTCCAAGGTTCGGCATAGCTGATCGTTGGGTCATTGGAGTTTAAATTTATAAAGAATACCCACAAGAACGCCACGAGGTGACAGAAACGATGGACCCACGGGTGTCTACAGCCGAACGCGGACGATTACAGCTAGAGTTGAAAATTAAGAACTAGGATATGGCCGATACACCTTAGGAGGATGACATATAAGTATCCTTGGGAAAGACTTGATGAAGCCTTAGTGGGAGATGAAACCATTCCATATTCATGGACAGCTGAAAAATGGAGTTTGACGGAGATGGATTTAGTTAGTGTGTGGATTGACTCGATTTACCAGTCACGAGATACAACACGACTCCACTGGTGGGACGATCGGAAGACCGTCGTCCATCGGACAATCCCGACTCATTGGTTCTACTCCTTAAGTGTCACGTCGTGGCAAAGCTCACCTGGATCATGAACTATTACAGTTCTCTCTCTCTCTCTCTCTCTGTCGTTTCTTTTTTCTTTTCTCTTTTCTTTTTCTGCGGTGTGACGACTGTTCCTGGATACCACCTTCCTTACCTAATAGGTAGTTCTAGTTGGTAGGGCCGATAAACTTATGCCTAATGAATGAAAATGACGGGATCGGTAAATTAATTAAATTGTTCCGATCCATCGCCAAAGTGCCAATCTGAAAAATGCCCACCCCCGTTTCGTTCTGACAGGACTCTTATATTGACCTTATTTCGAGTGCATACAACGCAGATCACTAGTGGTTACCTACAATCTCGAATTTTTTTATGTATAGGCATATGTTTTGATTATTCCATAAGGAGAAATCCGTGGCTTATTGGATTAACAATGATGAGGGGGAAAGGGGAAAAAAATAATAGAATAGGCTTGTTCGGCACCCTTTCCGCCGATCCAGCAAATCCATAGGAAGGAGGCGGTATGGAGCAAGCTTCAAACGGCAACAGTTCCGGACTAATATATTAAAAGAGAAAGAAAGGATCTGCTCTCTCTCTGTAGGTGGTAGCAGCAGGCCCCCACCGCTCAAGGGAGAGTTCGGTACAGCCAAAGAAAAAAAGATCGATGATAACAAAGTTTCCATGGTCAACCCACGCCAAAACTAGACTGAGCATGCCCCCTAGTCGGAGCTAAAGTCTAGTAACCAACCTCGTGGCCTGGCGCTAAACATTATTTGTCAATGGTGTGCGCCCCTAGGATTTTGACACATGGACGTTATTGACCACAAAACTCCCAACAAGGGTTAGTTCATACTATTTGAGATCGTTTCCAATTCTTCGGGTCCCGCCTCGAGGCAAAAGATGAATGAAGGTATCAGGGACTCTAGATTGATTCTCCTTCCTGGAGAGAAAAAAGAGGCTGCATTAGGAAGATCGGGATTCAACTAATGTACCCCATACAAGGAACGCTGTTTCCCTAACAGCCTTGGAAGACTGGATGCAGGCAATGCACAGGGGCGGTGTAGTGGCTGGGCGCAGCCACCAGCCCAATCTTGACGGACCGACGCCACCGGGGAGGTCCGCCTCGGGAAATGCTCCAGCGGTTATCGATTCTCAGATCCAAGATCGTGCAGGGTTAGAGTAAGGGCGGAGATCAGTGCTGGATATTGCGTCGCCGCAACAGAGACATTTTCTTCTTGACCAGAGTCAACCCTCTAGGACAGTATCGTCTTGTTGAATGCCTGTGCGTATGGATCTCATGTCCTGCCTTAGTGTATAACAGAGGCTGCACTTGGCAAGTCCCGCGCTTACTATTACCGACGCGGCTCACATGTCACAACCCGATTAGTTCTGTCATCCGGGATCACAGCCAGGAGTATTCCTGCCATCACCGCTCAAATAAGGCTTGAGAATGGTGGGTTCCTTTCTCTCTCCTTTTTATTTTTGTTTTTATTTTTGAAAAAAAAAAAAAAAAGAGTTTAAATACCCCAATTGCCCAGGGTTCGAATCCTGCTAAAAAAAGCATCATACACCTTCCTGTTCTGGGCCCTCTCGTGTCAACCTTCCATGGTTCACGCGCGTCTCCAAAATCGGCTTGAAACCGTCACCAAACCAACTGACATCATATCGGTTCCAAAATGTCTCACAAGCCACCCAACCCACTGGCAAGTCCGCATGAATGCTTCAGAAATCTCCGAAGATTTCCCATTTCTTAAGTTCAGTTCGTATTTGCGTTTCAATAGTCTAGACATAGTCCGAATCTTAGTCTGGAGACAAGTTCTCCCCCACTTCGCAATGCCTTCTAGAAATATCCTAGCCACTTAAGCCCCTCTGAGTCTCCTGTCGTGGCCACATCGGATCACCCGGCCTGGATTACTTACGAACTGTAGTTCCTCAATTCCGGTCCCCCTGTGCGGATGATCGACGCCTGATTTCTCTGCAGACTGGTTTACTTGATGGACCACTTTTCCAGTAAGCCATCTCAACAGTTGGTTTGCGCTGCAAATGGCTATCAACTTTATAATCACTTGGGGAATTACTGAATATTGAACCCGGATCTACCGAGTAGTCTCCTGCCTGGCTGGTTCCCATGTGGCTGGTCGATGGGTGCCTCGACCCAGCGTGTCCTTGGTTGAGATCTCTAAGATGACGGTGAACATGCTGTTCGCCAGGACAGTTCGTCAGATGGTCGGGTCATGCCGACCATTTTCAGGCTTGTTTGCTGGTTTGACTGATGACCTATGTAATGGATGGTTCAGGGGTTCTTCCATTCTCTTTTTCATACCTCGGCTTAGTTATAGCCCAGTCTGGGGTGTGCCTGGCTTGTAGCTCCAGCTGTACTCTTTTTTCGGCCTTAAGGGGTTGTTGGTATTGAGTTTCTTTCCTTTTCAAAAAAAAAAAAAAAAAAGAAGAAAGAAACAAGAAAGAAGAAAAAGAAAGAAGAAAGAAGAAAAAGAAAAAAGAAAAGAAAAGAAAAGCAGGATTCCAAATTCATCTTTTGACCGACAAAGCCATCGGGTATAGATAGTCATCTCCTTTTGGTGTTACACAAGAGAGAGTACTAGTATACTAGTTTTAAGTCTCAATCTTTATCAGGAAATGAGAATCTTTATATTCCATCCGTACGACATCAACATCCACTCTATGGTATATCCCGGGATAATGAGATGACAGATAACCTGTGTTCATAAGTGCAAAAGGTTACAGAAAAAAGAAACCATGGCATACCAATATGCTACCCTGAGACGGTAAATACACATAATTGTTTGGAATAAATATACGCAACGATCATAGGATGAATAGACGCCCTTGCTAGAGCCTATAGGAATAGTCTTATGTCTGGATCTTGATTATACCGCTTGCTTGATTATGTTTGGAGACGTAAATTTGTGTATGATGAGTATACCCCTGAAGCTAGAGAAATCTGATGGACGCTTGGATGTGAATACTGCTTCAGGTAGCCAGACTTACTGTCTTCTAAAAGTCATCACCATCGGCGATGGCACATTTGAGTGATGCCTATTTCTCCATAAGATATTATATGACATCTGCCTTCTCCTCGATATAGTAGTGCATAACCAGTTTACAATAGAAATGATTAATACCAGCTGATATGCTGCAAAGGTAGACAATTCTTTGGGCCTCGACAAAAGTAATCTGGGTCGAACCCGTGTTGTGCTGATGTTATACTAATAGAAAATCAGTGGTTATTTAGCCTCACATGGCTAGATTTGGTATCATGAAATAGTCAGGATATGGTCCGACCTCTAGGCTACTCAAAACTCTTAGCTGTATGGATAGCTGAAGACATTTTTGAATTTTAAATTTCTTATGAACTGGATCCCAGCGAATAGAGCAGACCATTATGCAAGGTTAATCATTGATGCTGGAGATGCTAGATGCTGAGAGAGAGATGTTGATTTGTATATTCTGGTGGTCAAAGAGAATATTCATTCTATGGTGCTAACTCGTTAATAACTAGTTACTATAGAATTGGATAGTGATCTGTGAAAAAAAAAAACAATTTCGCAGACTGTCTTTCATACATAGGATTCTATGGGTAAACACGGTGTGTAGCACCGGATTCTTGTTTATTACTAGAAATTACCTACATAGCTAAACGCTTCATAATTAGGCTGCAGAAGGTTAATAGAATACTAAATATAATCAAGACTGATTTAGAGGCTGGTTATGTTTTCATGGTCACAGAATTCACTCTTCAGTTACATTCACTTGTATGCATATATCTGATTTATTCTGCTACAAATTTGGGCCTAGATTTGGAAAACTCGCGAAGTGAAGCTTAGAACTCTACTACAGTATGTTATGAACTGAATCCCATATTAGGGGATTGGAAAGCACGAGATTGCTGGTCGGGACCATAATTAGTCCTTAATATGAAACAACCATGGAGCACAATAGGAGGAATATAGAATCCTGAGAGATTGATTATAATCTACACATTTTGAAGGTTGAATTTTCAAGAAAAATAATACAGCTGGGGGTCGTACTCTGAGTACATTAAGTAGTTCAATTTCATTATATTGAAAATTCACTTAACCTGTTGCAGCCTAGCTACATACATTAACCAGTGCTAAAGGTAGAAAGGGTTATGTGCAGCTGCAGTACACGGTAGTATCCGACCACATGCTTGACTCTAGATATATAAATGGACCTCCTGGTTAGAGAGGATATATGTGTAGAGTCTATATGTATAAATTCAGATTTCTATCTATGTACAGTATTCTATTATATATACGCTAATATCACAAGTAAATGCAAGACATGGCTAGTAGAGCCAGCGGTTCGAACAGCTCTGAACAAGCGCAGAATATTCCCTGGTTTCTGGGTGGCACTATATCAAAATCGCGATTAACCTGAGGCCAGCATAGTGTTGTCTTGCGAGATAATGCCGATACTCAGCCCCTAAGCTGTGAATCATAAGTCTGATGAGCTTTCACTCACGCCACAAGCCTGGTGGTGCGATCGAGATAATCTCCATATCTCAAAAATCAAGCCTTGACCTTCGACAGGATATCGCCGCTCCAAGCAAGTTTTGCTCGTTTTGGTAACGGACTGCGTAGAAACACTCACACCTGGTAGTTTAGTGTGTACTCGATATAATATATCGTCGATCACCCCTCATGCGTTATTCGCACATGAGAAGCTGCTCTTGGAACCATCATTGTGAATGGCCACACCGGAAACCCAGAGTCCGCATACGCAGATGGTAGTGCCGATTATGGCCAATCCCACGTTCGCCATGGTAAGGAGGATCTTCTTTGGGGAGGTAAAATAATCTCCCCAGTGCATGTAGAGCCAGAAGATGCCTGGAAGACCGACTGCGCAATAATTAGACATCCGACCACACATGTTTTTAATGCTTTGGGATCAACTTACATGAAAACCAACTGGCAAACAGAGCACTCTGTAATCAAACATGGTCAGCACCATAACTAACGAAGGGTAGATAAAATCAAGTAGGCACTCACAACTAGACTGAGAAGGTTATTGAACACTGGAATCGCCTCGGCAATGACCCACGCAATGACCCAGAATGCCAAAGCCAGCCCGACCCAAGCACCGATACCACGGAAGTTACGCTTGTGCATAATATCGGTGTGGCGAAACAGACGAACATATACGTTCTTGATCGCAACGTGGCCTAGCACCACTCCAGCGATGACGATTGTGGGCATAGCAATTCCATAGGAGACCTTTCGGAGGATGGGACCTGTGGACCCCAAAGCAGGAGAGGTCACGCCTTTCCCTGCGTAGTTATAAATCACAGCAGAAATGATGGTGTACATGACGATCTCAAATCCCTGCAGCATGAATAGGGATTTAGGGTAGTCGCGGGGATTCTTCATTTCCGAGATGAAGCCGAAAAAGGCTGGGTGACCACCTGCGATGTAGGCATTAGCAAGCTTCTCTGAGCACAAACTGGTCTAGGGTTGCATACAATAGGCAAAGGCAATGTTGGTTACCGCAGTGAAACCTTTGACAAAACTGGTCTGGTGAACCACTTCAGTTTTGCCATCTCCAGGGCGTTGCACTCCGACGCCAATCATCGTGATCATCATTGCGGAGAAGATACTTAAAAATGCTAAGATGGAGAAGACGTTAATTAGAATGTGTAAACGGTTGAATAAAAGCTCGGAAGGGTTAGAGTCCATACAGATGAAAGCAAGCCACGAGACGTTTTTCATCGTCCGAGGCAAAGAAAAGAGTAGAGAAAGAACCAGGCCCACGACTCCAAAGACGATCGAACATGTAGCGTGGTTCGTAAGCGTGTTCATCGCGACAGTGAACGTGAGAAGATGGCTGCCGCACGCAAAAAGGAAAAAGAGAAGCTGTGCCACCTCCAATATATTCCGTCCAATAGGCCCTAGCAGGACCTCACCTGCATCAGCCATACTATGTATGAACGGATATCGTGCTTTGAACTGTCCGATAACATAGCCGGAATATGTGGCGACGACGCCGAGGCCAACAATTAAGATAATTGCCCTGAATTAATGAGCACTTCGAACAATGGTTGGATGGTAAATTTGTTGCACTTACGGAACGAAGCCAACCGAGGCAACCGTGGCAGGTAGGGAAAGAACACCTAGTGATACCGTCTCGGCGATCATGACTATTGGGACACAGGTTAGGAAGAGAACTAAGGATCAACTCAGCGTAGGAGTCATACGAATTCCAGATTGCCTGTAACACCGCGAGATTGCTCATTAGTATCTATTGTGCCAACACCGAGTAACAGTGAAGATGAATAACAGTACTTACCACCAATCCAAAGTCTTGTACTTTACCTCCGCGATTTCCTCAGCACCGAAGGGGTCATTCTCCAGGGCAGGGGGAGCCTTTTCGTCTTCGAGTTGCTTTTCCGCCTCATCCGCGGCTCTCCAGTCGGGCACGCCCTCAATGTCTTTGGCGTCGAGGGATGTCATGATTCACTAAATAAAAGTGATTTCAGGCCCGGTCGGCAGTGGATTCTCCGCGAGTAGAAGTTATCGGTATGCGGAATAGGCCAATTGCCCCTAGCACCAAGAAGAACGATATCCCAACACCAGCAATATGCACAACTACCCAAGAACCGTAGGGAGAAGGTAGACTGGGGTAAATTTTGCTTTAAGGACGCCCATGTGGCAAAGTAAAACCTAAACTCAGTGCAATTTCTAACGGGGTAAAACACAACCTGGTTGGTGGCCGACATCGGCTGGCTGCGCTTGGGGTCGTAACGGGCTTGTATCCACCAGGGAGGCGAAATCTCTGCATCCGGCGTTTGATTTGTCAAGGATTGAACATGGTTGGTTAGATGACCGTCTGCCTCCTCCAGCCCTGGATTTTGCTAACTCAAAGGCATCTGTCGGTCATAGAAGTCCGATTCTGCTGATAGTCTGGACCGTGGATGTTGACAGATTAGGTGAACTTGTGCAAGCCCAGCCTGAAGAATCCTTTTGTCTGGGGGCGGAACGAACGATATTAAGCTATATGGCGACAACGGCTTCGGGCCAATCCTTTCCAGTGGCGTTGTGGCTGACGTCCGATTCGCTTGTCAGACCGACGATGGCAATGAAAGGAGAATCTTATGATCGAAATTGAAAGATGTTCGATCCCTGTTGCTGTTGTTGAACTTTGGCGCCTGTCAAATCCGTCTTGAGGCTGTCTTAGGTAAGCCCTTAATCATCATCGCCGCCTCTTCCAAATCAATTTTTTCCGTGGACCCCGTATGGAGTACTCCGCATATTATGTGCCCGCGAAACGTGTCATGGCACGACGATACCCACCAGAGAGGCCAAGAGTATGGGGCCAATAGGATTTGGTCTGAATTTTTGCGGCGATGGAGGAGTCCAGTACGGAGTACTAGTACTCCGTTGTAGTTGTAGTAGTGATGTGACACCATTCCCTAGTATCTCCTCGGGAGTTTAATTGTTTACGAGATATCAAGCCAGATCGACAATTATGTTGAAGCATTTGGCAGGGAAAACAGGCCAAAAAAAAAAATAAAAATAAAAAAATACTTGCCATTTCGAGCATGTCTACTCCCGACTTCTCGACACGACTGAGGGATGTTACGTTCCCAATCGAGAAGAATCTATGACATCTTTGAAACTACCCGAGATGGAAGTCTAAAGGTCTCAACCGTTGCGTACCTGGTCCTGCAGAAACGGAGCATACGCAATCCTCCAGCCCGACCTCTTAGGCCTACCATTACTCGCAGCGATAACCGTTACGTTGTAGTCATGGGTTCGACGCCCCAGGCAAGGATAGTGCATCTACCTACCTTCCTGAGCCTATTCGACGCAAATCACATGGAGAAAGTGGATGCAGCATGTTGACAATGAGAACTACAACCACATGGAAGTAAATTTGTCCTTGCAAAACGGTACATGTACAGTATATAGGCATATCTCCATTATCATACCGTCTCGCGGTCGTAGTTAGAGTGACCGACTTAAGCATGTATGAAGGAAGGTAGGTTGGTTTCTCCTTACATGAGCTTGAATAGGCTATATGCTCAACATGAAGGAGGGGATTGGGACTTCCAAGATCGAACTGAGGCATCAGACCGCTTCCAGTAATTCCGTGCTATCCAGGCACGTGTAAGATACCCATGCTAGGTTTAACTAAGAATATAGGCCGCAGGATCAAGAGATACGAAGCATTCGGATGTGTGGCAGGAGGGCATTTTTTCTTTTTTCGTTTAGTAAATTTCCGCGACGTTCCGAGGCATGATCCCAGTTCTAATAGGGCACTATCCTGGTTCAGAGTATCAACTGATGACCGAACAGGCCAAAATTGACCTTCCGCCGACGTATCTTAGGGATCTTCCTTGTATAGCGTTGCAAAAGACAAGAACGTCTTACGACGCAAGGCATACTGGGGCGGCAATCGACGGTTAATGGCGCCCAAAATCTGCAAGAGATTAGCTTCCATAGGGCACGGTGCAACATCCTTGGTGAGAACCTTACCTGAGCCTTTCGACAGGGCACTGGATTATGCTGAGAGACGAGAGAACTCCGTTTGTTTGGTGTAACCGAAGCTCAAAAGTCCTGCCTCAGGAATGAAGGTCATGTGCCTGCCCTTGTCCTCCTTCCCCTCTTTCGTTCTGCATCATGGATGTTTCTAGTGCTTTCGGCTTTGAGTTCTGTCGTCAGCCCCTCACTTCTTTTCCTCCATAATGTACACTGCGTACTCCATTCGCCGAGTGACATAATGTTCAGCTGCGAAACTTTCTGTTGGACGTGACTTGCATCGCTTCAAGACAGCCACCAAAAATCTGTCTGCCTCTAATCTTCAGGCCTTACTCGGCGATCTAAGACAGAATAGCCTGGCCAAGATCGTCCAAAGTTAACTGGATAAGGTTCTCTTCCCCGCCAGCCATCAGACCCTGGTGTTGGTCCAAGTGCTAGCCTGCTAGGGTGTAGTGCAGGATTGCATTCGTTGACTTTGGTTATCCTCCTTCCAATATGGGAAATAGGAGAAAGAGGGATAGCATACTCTGCGGCTTGGGGAGAAAAATCCCTTCGTCCTCTTTATTGGTGATCTCACTGTTCATTCTGTTTCCTCCAATAACGCGAGTAAATAGAATATGAGCTAACTAACGGAAATGGATAATTCTCCGATATGAGAAAGATGCAGGTACGCGTTCGTTTTGATAAGAATGGAAAGGCTGTCCCTGAGCTTCGGAGCTCCCCGAAACGATCGACCGTATTGCCACCATCTCTAGCCAACAAATAGCTCATATCACAGGTGTCGATTCAAATAGATTGTGCAATAAATGTCGTTCAATTACTGAAGAATTCATCAAATGATAACATGTGAGACATGCCATATCGATGCAACCATTCTATCTGGCCTGTGGAGTACATGATCACTTCAATTGCCAATAACAATCTTCGGAGCCCCACTGAGCGGCTTTCTGGAGTGGAAAAGAAAAAAGGGGGGCAAGAAAGAGGAATGGTCAACATGGCGTTAATTCCAGGCGGAGATTGGCTGACAATTTAGTCCTATTCCCCCCAACGACAAGCCGCGTTGTTTCTTTTTTTCTAGTCTTGGCATCTATACCCCCCTTGGGCTACAGTGTTGCTATTCGCGGCTTGAAGCCATCTCCAGCCGGCACAGTCAAAGTAGCATGTGAAGAATGCGCGGCACAATAGCGCTAGATGCGTCCTTTCCCCTCAAGACGCTGTTGCAACCCAAATGCGCTCTGCTCCATAAACGGTCTAGGTCGGGTAGATGAGGATTGGTACGGCACTAAAATTGCTTAAAAATGTAATAATAATTGCAAATGGACCAGGACACAATTTATTGAGGGGATATGATTCGGCCAAAGAGGCTACACCGCATACCTGCGGGGACTCTTGCGGAGATTGAAGGGGTTTGGAAAATGGGACCAGAGATTTGTCTATCTTGACTGAATTCAAGGGAAACCCTACAGAGGACGGACTACGGAGTCCACATCCAATAGCTCCAAGTGGGTGCCTGAACATCATGGGCTAGCTACAGAGTAGCATCCAACGAATATCACGGCCTTTGGTAGGAACAATCGGCGAATCACTGTATCAGCCAGTTACATTGCATAATTGATCAAAGGCAAAGGGACAGCAGACAACGCTCATCGTAAGACGGTGGATCGAATCAGCCCAGTCAGAAGAGGTTTGCATCCCCACCTTCCCCCTCACAGGATGTACCTGACCAGGAAGTGTTCTGTACAGACTACAACCTGGCTTGCGTTGACTATGAACCTAAACATGCGTATTCAAAGACTATTGTACAGCATGCAATAACCAGGAACAGCTCCGCTGGTAGCCGGCTAGCCAAGGCCCAAGGTTGCATTGCAGGATCGGTGGTTTGATGTAGACACGAAATCAACAAAAAAATTTCAACTTATACGAGCTTATAAGGCAATCGCACTTGTCCAAGTAGCGCCTATACTTTGGAGGATCTGATATCTCGATGATCTGCGGGATCGGCTTGACCTTCATTATCTTAGGCTGTCTGACTTCGAGTCATCAGGTGCGCTCGGATCTCAGCCGTTAAGACGGAGGGAGTAGGAGCAAAGATTAGGAAGGAAGGCCACTCGAGGCTGGCTGAAAAAATAAATCGAAAAAAAAAAAAAAAAAAGAGAGAAGAAGAAGAAGAAGCAAAGCAGAAGAAGGGAGAGTCCCAGTGCTGAACACTCAAGAGTCGGGCATTTGCTGATTTGGGACGCCTTGCCCGATTCTTAGCAACCAACATCACCATGATAAGCAACGGCCTGTATCAACAAATCATCGGGGGTCAGCGGCAAGCTCCTGCCTCATTTCACACTGGTGTCAATCCAACCACGACCCCTCATCTAAAGCGGGACTACTTTTCGAACCGGTTTACGTCGGGTCCATACCAGATACAATGGCACACGTTAATCAACCCCTCTCTTGTTGCAGGATAATATCGCAACCACCATTCTATTTTTCTAGAAGCCGCTTAGGCACACGCATCGGTTGCTATTCGTCGATTATCTGACCTTTACCCCAGGTCAAGTCTGAATGACCACCCTTACGGGCTATATTTCGTCAATCACTAGCAACCTAGCACCATCTCCTCACCCGAAGCCCCTGGTGACCGGCTATAAGTGCTATTTTCTCCCCACCGGTGCTAACGCTGAATGGTTTGCACGAGATCTTCACCTCCGATTTCAACGGCCATCCAATTTTTTTTTTTTTTTTTTAGTTTTTTCCAACGTGATTCTTTACCAGTTAATGCTTAATCAATTGGCAAGCGGTGTTGAGCGCCATGACTAGAACGGTCGACGAGATCAAATTTGAGGCCCCTGTGTGGGAGAACAAGAATGTTCAAATGGCCGATGAAGGCAGGAGACTCAGTTCCAGTGTCAATGATGACTCTGTGCGCCCCAAAGGCCGAATACGCCGGTCAATGACAGCTTGCAATACGTGCCGCAAGCTTAAAACTCGATGCGATTTGGATCCGCGCGGTCATGCATGCCGTCGCTGTCTTTCACTAAGGTAGGAGCAAAATCTGTGGCTGAGACTGGACATCTCTCTGCTTTACTGCAGAATGACGAGAGCAGTTTCCATGCGCTCGCACGCACGCAAGATTTGAAATCAGGTTCTGACAAATGGCTGCGATTTCGTGTAATAGGATTGAGTGCCAGCTTCCTGAAACAAGTGAGCGCTTCCAAGACAATGCCTCCATGTGGTCAGATGCAACGACAGCCATTCCCTCTATTGAAGAGAGGCTCACGTCTCTCGAACGAAGCATGAGAGAGATGACTGGAATGTTACGGCAAATTTTGAACCAGCCGCCCAGCATTGCTAATATGCCTGCCCCTCAATTATCTCGAAGCGTTAATACAGAAGAGACGGTCTCCATCGAAGGAAACCAATTTTCCCCGTTTCTGCCCAAGCCAATTCGCTTAATCCAGGATCTACAGTCTGAGTTTTTTGGCGACGCGAATAGTTTTACGCCAAGCGCGCCTTTTGGGGTTGGCAACATGGAGAAAGGAGTCATTGATCCCAAGCTATCTCTTAAACTGATGCAGTTGTACGATAACCCATTCCATTGAGTTAGCTTATAATAACCATAATGAACTAGATTTGTGGACCATTTTGGGCCCTGGGTTTCGATAAATAATCTATCTGATATCCATAATGAGATGAGAAAACCAGATTCACTGCTACATAACACAGCCTGCCTGCTGGCTTCTCGCTATGTTCCGGGTATCCCCCCACCGGTAGTTCGCGGGTTGTATCTTCAAGTACGGCATGAAGCTGTTAGCACCCTATGGGATAAGCCCCCCTTGAAATTTGGGTCGCTCCAAGCACTTGCTCTTCTGTGCTTGTGGCCTGCGACCGTTCAAAGAGAGGCGCCCATCGACAGCTGGTTAATGAGCGGGAGTTCGATCAATCATGCGCTTGTAACATTTGATTTCCTCAACTACGCACCTTCTGACCTTATTCTGGACAACGAAACGGCCACCCAATTGCGGTTATGGAATATTTTCTGTTTGACGCAGCTGCGGTGAGTGCGAAATGACCAGCAGATTTTGATCGCTGCTAATAGCCAAATTAGGTTTGCGGTTGGAAACGCACGCCCGTTCCATATCCAGCAGAGGTATCTGGACCATTGTCGGCGACTGCTGGAGCACCCAAGCGCCACTTTTGAAGATGGCAAAGTGATGGCGGAGATCCAGTTATACTTGATTACGCTGAAACTGCAGGGCAGCGATCCGCGCATGCGACTATCAGACGTCGAATACGAGGAGATTGAACGATGGAAAATGGAATGGGCGCATCTATTCAGTAAGGGCTCCCCTATGAAAATGCTGCGATAAACGAAACTGGGCTAACAGCTCTGTAGCTGGCGAAGAGAATTCAACACTCGAGCTTAGTCTCTGGTTCTGTCAAATTCTGCTCCACAGAACCGGAATGCGATTCCAGTCGGATTCAGATCGACTTACCTCAGAGGTCATCCAGAATTCCCGGCTCATCATATCCAGATTTTTACAACTCCGGCTTTCCACGGCGCTGAGCGTCGTGGACCAGACATACATCATCGTCGGCTACGCAGCGCTCAACCTCTGTGATTTCAACTTCCTCGATCCGCTCATCGACCAGGTTCAAATGTATCTGCTGCATCTATCGCCGAATGAAGACCACATCTCCTATCGGTTCTCCTGCATGATTGCGGAGTTCAAGCGACGCTGTGCGGAATGCAGCGATCCCTGCAGCGCGTTGGATGGGTCCCAGTCTTCCTCCTTCGGAGATGCCCGGAAGATGAGCTTGGAACAGATGCAATTCATCCCACCACTGGTTGATGGTATGATGGAGGGTTATGGGCACCTGGATCAGCTCATGCCTGAAATCATGCCGCAGTCTTTCCCCGATAGCGTGCTCAGTGGCATGACCATGGCAGAGGCTATCCCGGCAGGGTATCGTTCGGCAACACTCTGAGGGTTGGATAAAGGATGATTGTCATGTCTTGTAGATAAAGGGAAACGGCGTATTTGGTATCTTTATGATTAATGCATTATTTCATAGTGTATTCATTACATTCTGAATCTTATCAAGGAAGTCTTACGCACCTTATGGATATAGTTTCAGCAATTATAATGCTCTGTCCTGTATAGCGAAATAGATTCATATTTTTTATTCCTCCTTGGTCCTTAGTCCTCCCTATTACTCCATCTTCTCTTCTTTCCCCTCCTCCCTGTCCTCCTTCGCCTCGACCATTTCCCGGAGCCGCTGCTACAGGGCCCGCTTGTGGGTGACGTCCTCTCGCTAGCTTATTGCCGCTGCCTCGAGGCGGCCGGCCTCTTCCAACTAGTAAATATGTATTAGCTCTAGCATATATAGAGAACTTTCTAGTTCCTTTTTGAGGAACATCTTGGCCCTAAGCCCCTTTTTTTCTTCTGCTTCTTTTTATGATCTTCTTTTCTTTGGTCTTAAGAGCCTGAGTGGTGATATCCGTTAGAACCAAGCTGAATCTGCTCCAGGGCACGAGCCTACTTCTTGGCCACCTCATCGGTCCTCGCTTTTCACTTTTTGGATATTTCCAGGCCACCATATCTATTTTCATTCCTTTGTCTTCCTTTCCGCCATCTTTCTCTTTCTCCTTCCATTTCTCTTCCTTCTCCCCGTCGGCTGCCAACCCCCGCCTACTAACGCGAGCCAATTTCCTTGCTACCTCCTCTTGTTCCCTCGCAGCCGCCGCTTCGAGGCGAGCGGCCCCCTTAAAAAACATATTAGCCCTGACTTACTATAGTATATATATTGTAGTAAAGAGCTTACCATCCCCCCCTTTGGGAGACTCTTGGCCAAAGACACTCTTGAAATTTTTCTTTCGACTGCTGACTGTGATATTCTATAACTTTGCTAGACCCAAGTTTAATCCGTATATCAATTCGACTAAGGACCTACACCGACGGTGTCGGCCATGTCTGTTATTCTTACCGATCAGCGTATACTATGCGTATACGCCATGCACAGCTCATCCTCACGTGATTGTTATACGAATACTTTGAAGAGGACGAAGGAAAATACTGCCAGCTGCAATATTTAACATGCTCGTATAGTAAAATCGAACCATATTCTCAGTGTCATTCTCAACGCTGCCTCAATCGTACATATTGTACCAACTATAGTCGTGGAAAAAATCCGTTGGATTTTGGTAAGAAGGGACGAATATTGTTCTGAGTTGCAGGAGATAGGATACCATCTCCAAACAAAAGTCACGGTGCAGAGGGGAGTCATAACTTAGGAGATTCAACCACAGGTGGTCAACTCTTTCCTGATATGGCTAGAGTGCAGGTTGTATCTCAGCAAGAGACACATGGAAGACTAAGCACTTGCCAGTAGAAGGCTTAGGAGTAAAAACGAGAAGACCAGCTTCTCTATAAAGCTTTCAAGTTTGAATGGAACTGTCCATCCTGAGAAGAGGGAGGTGGAGGAAGAATGAGAAAGACCAAGAGGGTGAGAAGATATATCCTAAGCCTCTAGAATCCTAGTTAAATTATCAACTACACCATTCACTATGTTTAGTGAATATTGAATGTGATGATAAGAAGGTACGAAGATTGATGAATGTTTCTCCAAAAGGTGAAGAACATTCAACTTCCGTGCCCAACGCTTCCAGATATAGAAAGTGCATGTTGATGTTACACAAAGTATAGGACGTATCGTAACTAAGGTAGATGTTGGGAATTTTCTGGTTCTATGATAGTACCATGATGGCTTACATAGGTGCCCACTAAGTGCCATGGGGTTTTTGGTGGCCGGATAGTGTGTTTGTGTATCATCCCCCCTATACTTTTAGCTCGATAATTGTTGAAAAGCTTAGTACTACAATGTTCTAAATTACACAAGCAGTATTATGTAATCAGTAGGAGTGATATAAACAGTATTGTAGGTCTAAACTCTGCTAGATTGGAGCCCGTGTTAAGTGACAATTATCTATATAGTAGTGTTGCTTTATTGTTGAAACACCTATACAGTAGTGTATAATGCAAACAGAACTTATTCGTATTGCAATGGTAAGGGGTACTATTGCGGAAGTCTAGCTGGTGACTACAAAATATGTAGTGTGGACCACAGATTGCATATAGGTAAGCGCTGAGCTTTTCGTGCAAAGCTGTCGGAGAGCTTTGACATCAGATGTCGATTAAAAACGTTTGGCTGTACTCCAATATCTCCATCAGATTAGTCGAGAATCGAAAAGGAGGATATCCGCCAGAATGCCATTAGTGAATACACCATTGTCCCAGACAACAAGAGACAAGCTTTCCACTCTTCGGAGGAAACACAATGGGAATTTCTTTTAGCCAAGTCTATGTATACTCTATTCACTGGCTAAGAAGCATAACTCCGGACTTTTTCGAGAACCTTGACTATCACAATGTCTTATCACAAATCGCGAGGAACGCAGAAATGGGGACCATTCCGATCAATACAACTGACTGAATTTTTGACTAGCAGTGACTATCAAAGTACAAACTATATAGGTCAGGCATGGAGGGTGTTTCCAGAATTTCGAGGTACGTATTTTTCTTTTCTTTCGTAGTAATATACTTCGTTTTTTTGCATATTTTTTCTTTTTTCGCGACAATTTGTATGTTTTTGTTTATTGTACCTTACATTATGACGCAGCTTTTTGGGTATCACTAACCTATTACATCTGTTTGACCCATGGTTGGGACATATTTATGAATGTGAAGGGGGAGGGGTCAATACCTATATAGTTATTGCATTTGGTTGCTGACAAACTGACTCCGATAGTAGCTTATTACTCCACTACAAAACTGTTCAGCCATTAGGACTAATACTATGTTCTCAGCAACGGTATTACGTGGCTATTGTCAGGTCTGCATTTTGCATGGCTTGTGGTCTTGAGCTCCCTAACATGGATAGTAGTCCGCCATGCACACTGCAGTTCAAGGCAGGTGTGTTCGTAGCTGAAATTCCATAATACGATTTAGTAGCCGCTATCAACTGCATCCAGCGTACTATACACCGACTAGCGTTGAAGTGACCAAAGTTGGGTCAATGAATCCAGAATCACACATTACCATTAGAGGGTAGACAGAGAAGTAGACTTAAGGCAAATGTTCGTGTGACTAATATTGGACTGAATATCACTCGCAAAATAACGCCAATCACGCAGCTATGGAATGTACAGAGCATACATAGCATTCCTGTTGTTGGAGATAGAGTTCGCTTCTTCTATATGGGGAGGCGGAGCTACAGATTGACTCCATTTCCTGCGGGAGCTGGCGTTAAGACTCTAAGCGCTCATAATAATAATGATTGCAAAGTGATACATGGAAGATTATTGAATCTCAGGTGCCAGATATTTCGTGGCCTGAACACATATTAAGCGATGGCAGTGGGGATGATACTCTGAACTCCAGCAGGTCTAAGAAATGACTTGCTTTGTATCTGATCTAGAGGCTTATACCAAGGTAATATATTGCTTGGTGTCGTCGTGTTCAGAATCCATTGTGACACTAGAAGGGTTCCCTCAGAGCCCTTCAGGGCACTCTCTCTTCGGTATACCCGAGGGCAGGGGGCTTTGAATTTTCGATCATGACTGACAGAAGAAGCTGGTTTATCTGCATTCATTTTATTTAAGAATGCTCAGGCACTAACCAAGTCCTTTGTAGGTTGAAATGTTCAGCTACTTTCATGTTCATACAAAGAGTGAGAGACATCTGTGGTCATTTTACCAGGACTGAGAGTTTAGCAGTTGACCGTCTGGATTTAATGACGAAAAACTTAGTCTTCTAATTTGACCATTTCTTGTACTTTTCCTGCCAACATTTTCTCTTTTCAGCACCAAGTCATTAAATTGGGAGACGAAAGTCAGCCAGTTGCGATCATCCGCTGCGTACACCTTGGATATCTCACAAAGAAACAGGTACCTCATAAGACAACCTACTGACTCCCTTCTGTCTACTAATCTTTCGTATGGTGATGGGCCCCGTCAAACCCGTGTGCTCGACATGTGTCCCTCCACAGGGGTTCGCATCGATATCGCCAATCTCCGCTATGCGCACCAGACCGTTTCCTCCCAACTGCAGACCCTCTACCATGTTCAGCGAGAGTTTCTCGATCTCACTCTCCTCCCACCATGAGATCTTCACAGGAAGTGCCTTCTGTACCAATTTGTTGATCGTTTCTTCAATCACCGGTTTATGCTCATTATACAGCAAGCCCTCGAACTCCATACACGCCTCCCTGGGAGCATGATTCGCTTTAACCTTTTTCCTTTCACCCAGGATAGGAGTGAGCAGCCGCATCGCAAGCCCGATGATATGCCCCGCCGTGTGAAGTCGAGAATGGTATTCCCGTCGCGCACTGTCAATTCTCTGGGACACCAACTGACCGTCTGCGAAACATGGCGAAGTGTTACTGGGGAGAAATTGTCCAAAATGAAGGATCCTTCCGCTGGTGGATTTTCGCACGAGTAATACTTGGAAAAGCACTGATTCTGCGCTCGTGTCAGAATTGTTGTTGGGGCTGGCTGTGATGGAGATAACACCAGTATCGCTTGGCTGGCCCCCGCCCTGTGGATAGAACACCGTTTGTCGGGTTGTGATGGCCAGGTCTCCCAGGGCGATATTTTTGGCTAGGGTCTTTTCATGATCGGGGAGTTCGCATATTGGTTGGCAGGAAAGAATTTCCGTTGTTATCTCTTGTAGAGATGCGTTGTCCAGATACAGGGCTTCTGTGTGGTCCTGCTAAATGTTAGGATGGGTATTGATCGTGGGGTTGAATCCCTACCATATTGATTTTGCTCTGAAGTATGAACTTGGTTAATGGAACCTATCTTGTTTTCCTTTGTGGTTGTTTCATACTGGTTGTTTTATGAATCATACTGCTGGAGTTGTCCCCACTGCGGGATTCCCTGGGTGGAGAAATACGAGTAAGTAGTCGAAGATTCCATTGCAATCTCTTGCGTAAAGTAGAATAAATGCCATTTTAATGGGAGCAAACCAACTCCGTAGTCAGATCCCTCGGGATTTGCAGAATACTATCGAGCAGTCCTGGTCGTCCCAGTCCAAGATTCCTGGGGCCAGAAATATTTCCAAACGGCGTCTCCGATAGGCTGTCAACCACCAATTTAGCTATTTCCTACTTATTGGTTGCGACCTACCTGTACCATGGCTTTGCCTACTATATAGTTAGCGACTTCTTTAATGTCGTATTCCGTCGTATTCTCATCTATGCACTAGCAGAAGCTATCCTCTAAGCTACACGAAGATCCTTCAATACCAACTATAGATAGATGAAAAAACGTTCAATTGCTCACACTAGTAATATTTATTAGAAAGTCAACGCCGCAGGCTGAATCCTTAGGCCGAATGTGACATGGTTCGTATAGTTATTAGTTGTATCTCATGGAAGATTCCGCTAATTAAGGCTTTCTTAGTAGAGCTGTATAGTTTAGAGATATTTTTATAGTTATATAGTATGAAAATAAAGATTGCGAGGGACAGACATAACAGTCGCTCACATGGCTACCTTCCCTATGTTGAGTCTAAATAAGATCCCCTCATAATTCCGTTTAATTCCCCACCTTCTGAATTCCAATTATTAAGGTTGTATAGGCCGCTGTGAATTGGTACCTTGCTGCTCTGGATTCGACTATCGAATGACGATATGGAAGGGGCGTTGTCGAGGGTAATTGCATCTGAGAAGTTGGTAAATAGAACAAACAAGCCTCTCAACCAGGCATTTCGTCTGTGCAGGATTAGACGTTCATGATGATTTATATTGATGATTGTCTCCGAGACTTATGAGTGTCATCGCAAACAAGAACTACTCCATAGAGTCTATCTAGAAAATCGATTAAGGATCGAATCAGGATGCTTGAATATGTTGGAGTACGTCATACACACATCTACCTGCAACGCCCACCTAACAGAACTAAATATCAAGCTCGATTCCGGAACAGAATAAATCATGGCCTGTGACCGTCGAAAATGCAGAGTTACTCGAATAGGCTGGCGATGCAGAGGCAACTCTGGGGAACCCAGAGAACCTGGAACGGCTGTCTATAATTAATCTGTGCTCTTAGTTACTGTCATAATGATTGTGATTGGTTGCAGAAGTAGTACAGTCTTCCGCCCTATATTAATCTTCACATATCCTTCGCAAGGAAAAGTATTATTTATGTACATAAATAGCACGCTACTATACATATTTAAAAAGTAGCCTATAATTGTAGATGTGACAACAGCTGTTATAAGGTCCCTGATCCGAAACCTCTTAACTTAGACCCCGGTTGCTGGTTACTCGCCAAGTGTCGAGTTTGAGATACCCTTGCTGTAAGCGCACTGCGACTGCTACTACGATGCAATTGGCCCCTGGCAGGAAGATGCTAGACTAACCGCTTCCGGGCCACGTGCCTGGCAACAGAATTTCTCACGGTTAGGAGCAAGGCCTGGCTAGATAGAGAAGAAAAATAATAATGCCGTGGTTATTATTGTTATTTTCAGAGTAGTGGCTAGAGTCGTGGCTAGAGTCGTGGCGGTAGACTCAGAGCTAGGTGTAGGAGTAGTGGACGTGGTAGTTACTGTAGAAGTTGTTGTGGATGATGTCATCACAGAGGGGGGTTGTGGGCGATGGCATTGTAGTGGTTGTGGACGCCGTCGCCATAGAGGTAGTCGAGACTGAAGTGACGTTACCCTTCAGACAATAGAGTTGACCACCTGAAAGGGAGGAGCAATCGATACCGGGATTCAACAATAGGAATTTGTCAAAGTTAACGAGCCACATCCTAGTGAAGGACTGGCATGTGTCTCCATTGCTGGCGGCCACACTGAAGTCGCAGTCAACGCTCTGGCGAGTATGCAGCTTGTCAGCAGAGAGCAGCTGTAGAAACAATCCCAAAATAAGAAAGGACTTGAGACCCATTGTGATTTGGTTTGGCCGATGGAGGAGAAAAAGGGGAGTAGCAGATGCGTCAATCCTGTCAGGTTACAGGTTATGTTGGCGCATTCTGATGCCAAGGTGGACCGAAACTACTCATGTTACGTTAGGGCTAGCGAACTGACCAGCTCGTACCACAAGGAGTACCACAAGTACCACAAGAAGTTGAGCCTATCTGACCCTTTCATGCTTATAACCAACCAGCTTAATAAATAAATCCTAAAGTTATAGTAAAAGGAATATGTCAGAGCTCATAGATATGAGCGATATTCAGCTTCATGAATCCTTGATCAAATTGATTGATTATCTTGACAAATTTACATTGTTCACCCTAGTGGGAGGTCGCTTACTAGGGCTCTAGGCCTATTTGGTAAGCGGCAACCTCGACAGATATAAAAATACTTTTAGGGTAACGTGACCGGTAACCTGAAGCGAATCACTTCACCGTCAAAATAATCTGTTTTTAACGGGGACTCGTCCGATACATTACAGATGAGGTTACACGAACTTTAACGTGGTCGAGGTGAACTGTATCCTGCAACTGATACTGCTAAGCCAGGTTAGGGACGGCACGGAGGTAATATTAGAAGTGGAGCACTTTCTGTCAATAATTGCTAGAAGGATATCCAGGGGATTATCTGGTGATCAACTAATAGTTCTTTGCTTATTTACTACTGATGACCTCCTGATAATTTGTCCGGTTTATACTACGCCTATTCAGGAACCCTTCGCGAGGTGCATCGCTATAATAGTGCTTATTTATCCAGGTAAGTGAGGAGCGTCTTGCGTTGGTTTATTGTCCTTAGTAAAATACTAGCGTTTGCCGCCACTTTCACACTAGTACTACCTATGTCAGAAAATCTTTTTGGATCTCATCAAGACACATAACTGGAAGGAGTGACGCCTTCACTAGATACTATCTAGGGAATAGAGCTGACGATGGCCCCTCCACTGCCGTATTTCCGTCCACGAGCCACGGCAGGCAATTGGGCAACCTACTGCCATAGCTATCTCACCTGCATGCTTTAACAACATCCTATCCCTGTAAGCCCCACTCTGCTATATCGGAGATCCCTGAATCCGAGTCCGAATCCACCGACTGGCAGTGCTCAAGCCCCTCGAAGCCCACATCCAAGGACCGTAATTAGACAAGGCAAAGCCAGATGCCCTCGCTGTGGCACATTTTGCTTGATTAAGGCAAATCATCATTGTCTCAGACTAGGAAGAGTCAGGGTATTGGGACATTCGCATGATCTTGGAGGTAGTTAGTGAAAGTGACGGATCGTTTTAATATCTACCTACCTTCTAAGTATCAATTGTGGCAGCTAGACCTGATCACCCTTTTTTCGTAGCTGCTGGAGTCCCTGGGGTCTAACGTGGCTCCCCATCGAGCATACATAGATCCGGTGGGACACTCGAAATAGATCATTGTACTTAAGAATGGCGTGCTCGTAATTGGGTGTAGAATGTATTTAATTTGGAAGGCCTAAAGCTCTGACCTTATAGGGTTGAGGGTGAGGCTGGTCCAAGTCACCAAGCCTGGTAGCGACAGACTACCAATGCAACCGAAGGACTAATGCTCCTTATTAACCAGTGAGATAGTGAGGGAATTTCGGATGATTGTCCTAGAATAATAACGATTTGTATGGTGAGGGCGAAGAGGACTGAATGGGTGGCTAGGGACAGCACCATCCATAATTACTTCTAGAGGGTAACTACCAATGGGCCTTGATAACCTAGTCAAATTAATAGAAAGAGGCTTCTGAAAGTCTCAGTAAATGGTTGAAGAGTTCACGCTCTATCTCTACCAAGAACTGCCATGAACGCCTCTGCGGGGAGATACAGGAGCTGCGCACTCTTCTTGTAATAATGCAAGAACTTGTATTAATTAATAAAGGAGAGGAAAGAATATGAAAGTCACTTGGTTATTTTCTTGCAGTTGTTAAAGGAGTGTAAGAAAGCATATCTTTCACCTTTATACCCTGTTACTCTTCTCGTCCTTAACTCTACTATTGCCCCAGATTTAATGACCCCTTCCTGGCTCAGCATGGCTCTTAGGGCTATAAGTTAGGTCTCTTGGGGTCTGCTAATGCAGTCTCTACGCAGCAAGGATCTAGACAGCCTGCCAGGCCGGGCTACAGTGGTAGAGATGTATATTTATCACATTGCAGCATTGCAGGACCTAATCCTGCTAATTAGTCTGTTTATCACAAATTTAGTTAGTTCCAGCCCTGTCCCGCAGACCGTGTTGCACGAGTTCTCCTTTATAACAAAGTGGACAACCCAAACACTGTTCATCGCATCTCTGCCTGCACTTTTTATGGTGCTGATTGATAAACCTGTTAAAGTTATTAACAGATGCGGCTGTTGCCGAGGCTGTAAATACTACTTATAATATTAGATAGTGGTCTGATGGTGGACTTGCTGGGGTCAACATTCGTGCTGTGTCCAAGCAGATGCGCCAGTACGTGGTAAATGGATTTGGAGCTACGAATAACCCAGTTCTCTTGTTCGCCCGATCAGGCAAGGCCTCCGCCGGCCTGTACTTTGGCAAGGGCCTGTGAAGTGAAGGCATCGCCTCGTTTGCTCTCAAAACTTTTAACGATAGTATTTGATATCTTGGCGTTAGCATTGCAAGCTTGGTCACGCAGCTATATAAGCCAGGCTATAATAGTAACTGCATGTTTACTTGATGGCCATAAGCAACAGAACCTTTGTCCTTGTCTAGGATGCACTTAAATCTTGGTCTAGCGCAGAAAGCCTTCTGTTTAACAGGTCCAAGAATATTACTGGTCCGGCCTTCTTTATTGTTCCCTCATGATCTTGATGAATGCTACAAACCCAACAGTGGGAGTCGGTGCGAACTCCACATTAACTATTGTCAATTTGAAAAGTACCATTCAGGCACCTAAAACCCCATGGGCTCTAGGAGAGCCATAATACTGGTATAACAGGTCGTATTCAGGTCGTATTTTATATTGACAACTATTAGCTTTATACTAACATGGGCTAGTCGGCTCTCAGCCTGGGCCGACTGCACAACTACATAGGCTGCCTTCGGCAATAGCCATACTTTCTTGGCCAAATGCGGCATCTCTGGCGCCGACTTTACCAAGCATAATCCCAGTTCCAATTTCTGTTTGTTCCCATGCAGCTTCAGCACGTTTGCTGCTTGCCCGGGATGCTTCCAGACTTCACCCCAAAACCAACCCGGATACAACAATGACTGTGCAGGTATCGCCGCTGTAAACAGTCTTAAAGTTGACTAGCTGGTTTGCTTTAACAAAAACACCTGGGGCTGGAACGGTTGCTCTAATATTTGCCCTAATACTAGTATTTGTTTAAGCAAGGGGATCCTATGTATACCAGCCCCTGTGTCCAACATGGTATATAGTCTGCAAGTGCCGGGTATAAAGGCACCGATGGATAGGACCAATAATTTTAGTTTGACCCCTGACTGCTAAATACATGCTGTAATATCTGAGCCAGGTAATATTTATTTATTTATTTATTTATTACCTATAAAGGCACATAAAGTAGCTGTTCTTTACTAATAATACTAGTGTGGGATTAAGGCCGAGTTCTGCGCCAACACTTCTGGTGGGCCAGGGAGGAACAGGGCACTAGCAGCTGTATTTTAAGCTGCAAAACCCAGATCGTCCGCGGCGATATGCCCGCTGTCTTTTGGTGTATCGCTGACTTCAAGGGTTATAGCCTCAGTCGCTCCTATATTTACCAGGGCGCCCGGCAGACCGACCTGAAACTCCCTTATCGAGATTCACGGGTACTTATTCACTTGTTGTTGTCATCCATTCAAAGATACATCTCGTCTTGCAGCCCAGTTAACCGGGGGCGAACTACCGGTGCAGGTGTACACTGACTATCAAGATGCCCTGATGCCGCGGCACTTGACATCAACCCCGCGCTCAGGGACTTCGAGAACAAGTTCGCGTCGGTCTTTAAACCACCTGATAATAATTGGGTTTTGCTCCTACTGGATGTGATCACCCTTGGGGTTGCACTGGTAGCCGGACAAATTTTTAATTCATGTAAATGCTGGCTCTTGCTTCTTTGCTCACGTACAATTGCCTAGATATACTTATTGTACATATAAACCAGAAAGGGCTGGCGAAGATGCCGTATTTTTTAATTTATAAGGATATATACGCTAATTTAAAGATACGACTATAGCTATAATCTCGTCCAGTACAACTATTACTAAGGACTCGTATAATGGGGGCAGTACGTAAATTGTCCCTTAAGCATGGTACCCAGTAGCAACCATGGCTGCCAATTTTTTATAAGCAATGCTAACCTCAGCGGGCAGAAAACAGAGTGTGTGGATTCCAGAGAAGCAGGATGAGTTCTCTAACTAGAAGGGCCAAGTCATCAGCGCCTGGGGCGCCATTATGGAGGCCACAGTGGGAGTGTTGTTTAACGGCTCGGCCAGCTCGATCAAGACACAAATATTTATTATCTTAGACCAACTCATTGCAGGCGATGGAGAGACTCCACCGCTGGAAGGTGAGGAAACCAGTACGGCCCTGCAAGCCAGCATCACCAAAGTCGCCTTTGTTTTCGCCATCTCCATCTGGTACGCCTCCACCGTGTACCTGTTTATTATCAATTCGTGCTACGACTGACTTACAGTCGATCTGCATCCGAAGTATCTTAACAAGGGCAAGATAAGGGCCACGACGAAGGGCTGCTACGGCGGTAAGCTGTACTATTTGGCTAACCCAAAAGGCAACGCAGTCGACTGTAGTGTGGGAGGCGGCACTGGCCAGGTGCTATCGTGCACTAAGAGCTGTATCTCGGCGCCACCGGGGCTAAAGTCGCTGGTTGGGGCGCATTTGGTGATATATCAGGGCATCTGACCTGATCACTGGGTAAGCTTCCACTATTTGTCTGAAATGATGATCCGGGCATCAATCACGTATTAGTTTAACATAAGAATTAAACCGGCTTAGATCCTTCTGCACGTACGTCCAAAATGGCAAAACAAACGGCGGCCCCCTACCCGACCCGACCAAAAGCAGGACTTTTGCGGGCCTTTCAATAAGGACATCACGATGCCGGGCTTCATCTGGATCTCGGTCTGTAGCGCGGAGATGGCCTTCAAGGCGTGGGCCCAGGACTGCGGGCCTAGCGCCGGCATGGCAAACTAACTGTGTACCCCGCTGCTAGGTAAGCAAGAACGACTGCGGCCACTAGAACATCCAGAGTAACAAGAGTGTGGGAGATAGAAAACACCATCAGCCAGCAACACCAGATAGAGAGCACGGCTCGTGCAGGTCCGGGTTCCAGGGCAAAGGCAAGAAGGGCAATATCAACTTCCGCGTCGGCTCCCAGGATATTATTGATATTATCAGCCACTCGATAGAGAAGTTTGCCAGGTCTGGCAAAGTTGGTGCCAAGGGCAGGATGTCGTGCAAGGGGACCGTCGGTCAAGACGTTGAGAAGGGACTGTATTAAACGGGTTAATTTTTACTTCTTAAGTAGTTTACCTAGTCAGCTTTGGTTAACTGCTTATCGATATAGATAGAGGTAATTGTGGTATATTTTGAATTATGACTTAATTAGTGTAAATACTGTTCATTCGGGGCACATGTCATAACGAAGCACTTTGATGGGGTGGGTGCTTATTATTATAAGTAACAACGTGGACTACTATAATTTATTGTTCCAAAATAGTATAGTAGACGGATATACTATTTATTGCCTATTGGCTGCCATAGCTCACTTCGGTGGGGCAGGATGAGCCACCGGAACAGACTTCCGGTTTCCAATCTGAACCTTTCTTTACGCATCTAACTGGCGATGAACCCCTTCATACCACTGTCCCGGGCAGATGCAGCCTGGTACCTGGTTGGCCTTGCTTCTGCGTTTCCCGACCTCAGTTTGGACAACGATGACTCCCAGATCATGCCGGGGTGTAAAGCCTTCAGCATCCCCAACACATATGGTCCTCAGAACCTCAAGGCTCCGGTCGAAACAGACATTGATCTACCCGGAAGAGATTTAAAGGATCAGGTACTTGTGTTCAAATACAAGGGGAAATTTCATGCAATTGATCATGTGAGTCAGAGACGCCTAGTATTTGCTCTGACTAAGTTGACCCATTCCAGCAATGCCCTCATTCGTCATTCCCGCTTTCACGCGGCAGACTGTTTGATATTGAAGACTTCGGTATCACCCTCAGCGCTGGAATCACATGTCCCAAGCACGGCTGGTCCTTTGACATCTTCTCTGGGCAGTCGGACCGTGGTAACTACAAGTTGAAAGTGTGGGAGGTGCAGCTGCGCGACCTCCCGACATTGGCTGATGGGGTTCCCGAGAGCACCGACAAGGAGGTTTGGGTGAGGCGAAAACAACGAATCGGTTAATTGGCGACTTCATTCCATTTGGAGAAAGTCAATTCCGCGTTCAACAACTGCGTACAAGCAATTCAACTCCAGGTTGGATCGACCTCAGCAGCCCTGTGCTGCAGATTGCCGCCCGAGTCTTCGATCACTGAAAATCGAGATTCGTATCGAGGCGGACTCGATTCCTAGAGATGTGAACCAAACCCATATTAATCACAACAAGTTCGAGGTGAAGGAGTTAACTGCGTCCATCACCAAGTTACTACATAATCTAATCTAGCTAGACTAGTTAGTATCTGCCTGTTAATACGTATATCGACCATGTACTATCACACACACTCTCTTTCACTCTATAAAGGGAGAGATAATGTCAAAATTTTGATCGATTTCCACATAGCCCGTGAGGGCGAGCGCATCATGAATGTTCCGAAGGACTTCACATGAATTGTGTTTGGGGACAGGAGTGTACCTTTCAGGCAAATGAACTTTGCGGGATTACACGCTCCTGGTTTTGTTATTTGCCTTTGCCCAATTCGATATTCCCAACATTAGTAATGTATCTCATGCTGAGAGGGCCGTTAAAATTAAAAGGGTTGCTGAATGTTCTTTTACCTACTGTGCGCGGACGTACACAATTTCAGTGTCGAAAGGGATCCCGTCAGTCGATGTTCCTTCTGAGGACTACCTATGAAGAAATGCTCAGCTCCCGGATGAATATCACCTCTGCTGGAAGCGCAAAGTCCATTGATCCGAATTTGAATTTTGTCGAATTATGCATGTCCAAATGTCCGTCGATCCCTTTACTGGCATCAACTACTCCGACTGGAACTCTCAACCCAACCGAGAGCAACCAAGTATGTCAGACTAGAAATTTAGAGGTACAGGAGCCCGCCCACAGAGTTCCGAGCACATAATTGATGCCGGCCATAAGCCAGTCATGCCTAAAATGCTGCCTCGTTAACAAAACATGCAGTTAACAGAAGCAATAGAACTGTGGACGGGATTGTGTATGTTAATAAAGTTTATATTTCTGTGGACAAGGCATGGCTGGCCGAGTACCTGTTACAGTTGTTGCCTTAACCATAATTTTCTGGATTTGCGCTGTCCTAGTTAATAGAAAACACGGAAGCACTTTGTGGTAGACCTCCACTTTGCCTTTCTATACCATGAACTTGAAGATGATGATTTGGTTGAGGATGGGGAAAACACCACTATCCGCGGGACGGAAGAAACTACACTGTCCGAGAATGTGCGGTTTTAGCTTTCAGTATCAAAGAGGAGGTTAATGCTCCAGCATTAATTAAAGGCTAATAATGTATAATACAACCAAGAGTGACTTCCCTGGATAATATTTGCCTAGAAATTATAGTTTACTTACATCCCGGAACCATGTCCGGTGTAGTTGTACTAACGTTCAATCACGCGATTTTTGATCTGCATCATTAAGATATTAACCACACAACACAGCTAAATGAAACATGGTCACCTCTGTGTATGATGTCACAATATGATCTTATATGGTAGCTTGGTGTTTGGTCACCAACCAAACATTGTGCCTTTTAACCCGTTGACATACCGGTAGAAACAAAACACTATTGATTTGTTACGTATGCACAATCCATCTCTCATGCGTCGCTTCTCGAGTCCAAAACAGTTAAGACGCTTGCTGGACTCTTCTCCCGGAGGCAGACCTCCCGCTTGCGTTTCTGATTAGGTGAAATGCCACTCATTGGTATTTTTCGCGTTTACAGCGTTGCACGCTCAAAATCAATGAACATCACGCTGACTATCTTCCTCGTTCCAGAACATATTTCCGGGTATTGGGCCACTATGAAGCAAGCCTAGCATGTGAATCGCCTGTAAGGAGTCCTCAGCTTCCTGAATCAATTGATGTCGGTCGATCTGGTATCGCTTTGCGAGCATCCTTCCGGCTTAACTCGTGAACATGTCAAATTGATTAACTCGTGATCCACGGAATAGTGTACCAAGAAAAAGATAATTAACTTACGGGGTCATCACATCAGGCTTTAATACCGTCCAATAGAATACATTGCCAAAGATAAAAGCGAGTCTAGAACCCCACATTTGCCTCCGGGATGATTAAAACTAACGTTAATTAACTAGTTATAAAATGGAAGTGACGTAACGAACCATTCGGCCAGTAGATTGTGGATGGACACACCAAGCCCTCGGGAAGGGCTATACCGAGTGAAGGCTGGTTCTCCCAAATAGAGATGAAAGCATTGGGCTGTGGCGGTGATCTTGATGGCTATCTTGCCTAGAGCCAGGGGGCCTAGCACCCCTACTACGCGAATAGTGACAATCTTGACAATCTGAACCTGGAGCTCTGTTTCCATCTTTTCGGTCCCTGTCATCCTGTCACTCGTGTTCGTCAACCGCGAGGCGTGGGAGCTGGCTCTGCATTGGGTGCGACAGCACGGACGAGGATATGATGATACAGTGCCCATCGACGGTGTCGTGTCTTCGCACGCCCGTTTGATTCTCTGCAGACCTTATGTACTGGCTCTGAATAAATTGCACAAGTTTATTATAGTGTGGGATCGACTGTCCGAAAGTGGACTTATTGATTTTTTGTTTACTACTCATCCAAATTTATCTGCTCCGAGGCACTTTCCCAACTTCTATGTTTAGGATACCGACGTATGAGCTGTTGAACGCAAAATCCATCAAATATATGAAGTTCCTTCGCTTCAGCCTTACAGAGACCGTCGGGACGTGGATGCTGTAGATAAGTGTGCTGTGAATCGAGGCTCAATCAAGCAATAGAGCTTTATTTCCGTATATAATTGAGTGTTGTTTATATGGGATTATATGGATATTTCACCCTACCTTATGCTCGCCGAATGATCAAACCTTGTTATGCATTTCTTCAGTTACTGTGTTGCTCTGACATTCACCTAGATGGCTAATACTGCCTTGTATCGATGTGCAATCGCTCTCTTTGTCACTTCAATATCTCTCGCGTATACGTCAAACGCATGGGGTAGGCCGGGGTACACATGAAATTCCAAACTAATGTTGGCAGCGGCAATTCTTGCGGCGTAGGTAATGTCTTCATCTCGGAAGATGTCCAGTTCCCCAACATCAATGTATGTGGGTGGTAAGCCTACCATGCTAGTTACACGCGCGGGTGCGGCGTATGGTGAAACACGGTCTTTGCCAATGTCGTTACCGAGAAGGGCAGTCCAACCGGTGATGTTGTCGTTGGTGGTCCACAGAGCTAGGGGTTCTAATGCAGGGTTAGGCACGGTCGTGCGGTCGTCCAGCATCGGATAGATCAGGATCTGCTTGGCTAATGGCGGTGACAAGCCTCGATCACGAGCCATTAGAGTAATAGCCGCCGCGAGGTTCCCACCGGCGCTTTCCCCCATAGTGGCAATGCGACTACGGTCCACAGCGAACTCGTCTGCATGTTCATACAGCCAAGTTAGTCCCATATAGCAGTCCTCGACGGGTGTCGGGAACGGCTTCTCCGGAGCCAACCGGTAGTCAACTGAGAATACCTGGACACCGGTGTCCTGGACCTGAAGGCTGAGTACCTTTTTGAACAAATCAACACTGCCTTGGATCATGCCGCCTCCGTGTGTGTGCAGGATGGCTGGTCCCGCAGACGTAGATGTCGGATTCTTTGTCGAAAAGCGATATACAGAAATTGGCTGGCCGTCATATGATGGAATCCGATACACATCTTGTGCCACATGAGACGTATCTGGGAGGGTCTCAAAGATGGCTGCGTAACGGGCGGTAATGTCCACTCGTCGTGCTTGGACATCGTTCACTGCTGGGCTAGGAGACCCTGCCATAGCTAAGAGAACCTCAGCTGCAGCCTTGGAGAATTCAGGGTCGTAACTGAGAGTCATCTTGAAGTCTTGGTTCTTGGCTTAGTAGGATAGTGTAGCAGTGATTGGATCGGCCACGCAGTTTGAGAAGAATAATTTGAGAATCAAATTCTGAGCTGGCATTTACCGAGTTGATAGTGTTAACCGCCAAGCGATCCGCCACTGAGAGTGGGAACAACATAACGGACCTTAAGTTAACTACATAGTGAATACTTGCTAGGGGGTATAGCTCTTAGCCAAAAGTTTGAATAATCGCGCTAAGCACTCGGTCGTGTCACCCAACGCGTTGAAAATCCTCATATTGTCAATTCGGCCTTTGGCCGTGCAAGCCTGGGCAATACTACTGACTGGTACTTACTTTGTTGGATCACTGTGGGTCGAAAAGCTTATCGTGGTCCAAAATTTACAGGTAAACTCTAGGTTTGGGAGAGGCCCACACTTCCGTTAACAGCTCTCCACGAGCGATTAAGAAGACACAGATTTCCTTATGATGATGTCATACACGTCAACTGATTGCTGACCTATGGGTGCTAAGACACCAGACACCTGTTCCCAAGGACGTATGACCATGGGACTCTCACCACCTGCATTCACATTTAGCTTTGCATAGTCGGTAGTGGCCCTCCCTGGCCTTCACTTTTCTCCTTCAACCCAGTGAAACCTGACTAGTAGCGGAGAAACATCTCTATTTAATTAAAGGCGTAATAAATTATCCATTTAGAAGATCTTCATATATCTTTACCCCACACGCCCGGTTCCTGCAGAAGGTATTCTAGCCCAAAGTCATCCATGGTACATAGTGTCTATTGAACTGGACAGGAGATATATTCAGTAGAGAGAAATGTAAGTCCTTTTTCCGAGCAAAATTGATCGTCCCTGCGGGAATTTTCAGTATGGAGTGGCAATGAAAGCAGAAAAGACGAAGAGGCCTAATTCGTCCAAATCGAAGTCTTTTTTACCAAAATTAGTTGCTGCCGACTCATCATGTCAAATGCGCAGTGTGTTGTTACAAATGAGTTTTTGTCTATTCATATTTCGGGCGTCATTGACGCGTGTGTCTTTGTGGCATTTACAACTATTGCATGGTACAACACTATTGAGCTTATTGTTCTTTGCTTTACAACATTCAAAAAATTCCGAGGAAGCTACTTCTGGAGTCTGCTGGTTGCCTCTGCCTGCGTTGGCGTTCATGCACTAGGGTTCCTCCTCCTTGTCTTCGCCATCAGAGTCGCGGGTTATCTTTCCCTCACAATCTCTGTCTTCAGTTGGTGTGGAATGGTGACAGGGCAATCTCTTGTACTCTGGTCACGCCTGCATTTAGTACTATACCGTCCAAAGGTTCTCCGTGGAGTGCTCTGGATGATTGTTACTGATGCGATCCTCCTGCACACACCTATAATAGTCCTTCTATATGGGGCATTGTCATCACGTCCTCAACAGTTTGCGGCGGGATATAAGGTTATGGAGCGCATCCAGTTAGTGGGATTTTGTCTGCAGGAGTTAATCATCTCCTCTATATATATATGGGAAACAATCAAACTTCTAAAATTACAACAGGAACAGCACCGTCGTCACATTCTGTACCATCTACTTATTATCAGCGTTATCATTCTCTTCCTTGATATAACAGTTGTTGTTATTGAATACGCCGGTCTCTACACTCTCCAAGTTCCACTTAAGGCCTCTGTCTACAGTATCAAACTCAAGCTAGAATATTCCATACTAGGAAAGCTTATGGAAATCGCCCGAGGCCCATCTGATCCCATGTCTTCCGTGACTGGTCTGAGCTCTAATCCATCGCCATATAATGGTGAGACTACCAATTCCAATGTTGTGAAATTTGGTGGATTAATGATGTTCAGACACAAGCCTATCCAATGCCACCTAGGATCCTAAACGTCTTTGTGGTGGGACGATCCCAAGCCGTGATGTCTATGGAAATATGATTGAGCCTTGGAAGCTGAACACTTTCAGACAGGGAGTGTATCTGGATTCCAAATAATTCTCAAGACCTTCTCCCTTGAAAAGGAATAGACATTTCTGGTTACGTACAGAGACGTCGACTTTCAATATTTCAGCATTAGCAACAAGTGCTGGGCCATATTGCTTCCCTGCTCTCTTTGAATCTTCAGCTATGAGCCACTCGACGTTTATAGGCGAGGCTTCTAGGTTCATTCACAATTTCGAGCCGAATCTCTAGAGAATCAGCGACATATAGAGGAGACTCTTCATTAATTCCACCACTATTCGTCAGCTTCAAGCCTCGAGATATCCAACTTCTGGAGCTGTGCACGGCATCTGATAATGAACTTTGCATGCGTGAAGATATTACCAGATCTGACAGGGATATTATCGTTGCTATTGCGAAGCCAACTACATCCTGTGTAGGATTCTGCACTGGTTATGCTCTATCACAACCGCTGGTATGGTTCGACTGTCAGCAATACGAGTAGGATATTGTCCTTGGATAACGCGACACTTCAACTCTGCCTTTCGTGCCTGCTCCCTTCAGACTCAGCCGAGCTACACTTCGTGGTGACTGATTATGGCAGGTTGAGAAATATGCTTTCATAGAGGAAAGGATATAAGATCCTATGCCGTCGCGAAAAGAGTGACCAAGCTATATCTAATATGGTCTTCAATACTTTGTTTAACCTTCGCTCCATGCCTTTGAACTGTGGAATAGACAGGAGTCACTAGCACCGGGAACAACTTTCCATGGGATTGGGGTATTTTCATCTACCCGTATACCAGGATAAACGTGTTGCAGGTGAAGCAGGCGTCTTTGCTCGAGCAACATAAGATTCCATCTGTGGCGCTTGGAGCTCAGTCGTGATATGCAAATAATATAGGATCTTCTTGCCCTTCAGCCGTGCCAGGGAACAATATTCCTTTAATTCTTCCCGTTCTTTCACGAACATAGAGTTCAGCCATGCGCAATGACTGTAGTAAGAGGCGTGTATGAGTCTTCAGCCGGCTGTTATATACTTGCTGGCCTTTTATAGAGGACAGAAACATTATTTTATCGTTAAGGGTCGACGTAGTAGTCAAGGACGAAGTCAGGCTTCCATCATATTGCCATGAGAGAACTATGAAACACCGTTTGTTCTCAGAGAGCTATTCTGCAGATGCTGGATGATCGTTTTATCTGGATAATTTTATCATCAAGAGGTCCGATCTTCATACCCAGCTTTAGTATCTCCTAGTCGGATCCAGCGCTGAAGTTTAAAAGGGAGTCTAAAGCCCCGTATTTGCGACGGAAGAGAATTTAAAATAGGCTAACATAATGAAATAGTAAGCAACAGTTCGACCAGTACCGATGCGGAAATGGATACATGCCAGTTTTGACAAAGTCCCCAGGTAAGTTCTGTAGGTGCGGTGGCTCACGGACTTGCTCCACTTGTAACCACAAAGAGGGGAGTCTAACTTTCTTGGCATTCCTACATATCGGATTGCTCGCTCCATCATCACCTCGTTATGACCATACAAGAGCCATAGACTGCCAACCCTTTCAATACACTTGACTCACAAGGCCAATCATATGTATATCAAACATGCACTCTGTTATGTCTCTCCAGAGCTGAAGGTTGTCGACCAAAGTGGGCCAATATTACCCATTATTCAGCATCCGCTCGGTCCGACTTTATTCCTTTGTTTTTCACCTTTTTTATCCAGCTCTCCCAGATAGATTCAGATAGACAAGAGACCTTAGAGACCTCATTCTTCAATGCAGATCCATATTATGATTATATGATCCGTGATACTAGCTCATACGCGTATTTGTCTGACCGACAAAGGTCATTAATCTGTAATAAGCTGTTGCACAAGTGCACTAATAGAGTAGGACTCAAAGGAATTCAAATGGACTGATATTGCGTGAAGAAATTGGACAACTGGTAAATATGAATTCGTCACTCTTAGCACATCTCAGTTGGACAGTTATATAATTTAAAGCTAACTGTTGAAGTTTGGGAGTTCAAAATGCAGAGATCACTCTTATATGCGAGTAGCAGACAGGCTCTTTCCTAATCTACCCTCCAGATATGCAAGAATAAATGTGCGCGGATACGCTATTCAATCTCTGCGAAGGCAACGGAGTCTGGCCAGATTAAGAGTGAAAGAAGGTTAAGGTGGGAACAGAAACGGTGGTTAGCGATGACTAATAATCAAAAGCACACATTTTGGATAGAGTACTGCGCCTGGGGACTATATTTAGAGCTTTACATGGCAAGAAGGCGCTAATGTGTACTAATCAATGTCTGTGCATCTCGAACAATTGATATAAGCATTTCTGTTTGGGAATCGGCATCCCCCCCCAAGGGCTTCTGTTTTTGCCTGTTCCAACCGTTCCAGTAATCTTGCGCTGTCCGTTTGTAGTTCTTGTAGCTGCCCCAATGGTTGCTAGTTCTAAATCCTGGTGTTGAGGCTCGACAACAGATCTGCCTGGACATGATGAATATCAAACCGAAGTATCGAACGAGGACTTTACCGTCTTCATGAGATCTCGAGGATGGACAGCCCGAAAAGAACGCCCAACATTTTCATATAGCACCATATTTGCACTAACAGAATGTTTACTCATCTGCTTGTCAAACAGCGGCTTATTGAAGGGTCATCAATTTGTCATGCATATGGCACATTCGTCGCCGGCTTTAAGACATACTTCAGACGGCTTGGCCTGGATTTCTTGGCTTCTTCCTGCCAAATATTGGTCAATATTCATTGTATTTAGTCAACTTATGGTTTTACTAATATGTCCTGACAAACGCTTGCGACAAATTGACCACCAGTCTCTGTGTTTCTGGGTTCCGGTTCCACCACGGGAGAGGATTGTCCTTGGCCGCTCCTGCGGAAGTATCTTATCAGCCCCGACTGTTCTCCACGCTTCTCTCCCTATGAGACCATTTGGCGGGACGGAGTTTGCGTTTGGGCATAGCATATCTGTTGGTCTAAAACTTGGGGCCCTAATTTCTTGCAGTCAATGACAGAATTCTGTGACCCATCGGATACCCTTACGATCTCTACTAGGGCGTCAATTTTCTAATGAAATTCATGACTGAATGGTGAAACAATGTAATCAAGACAATGACTGATAACAAAGGTCAAATTTCATGTGTATGTTCTATTTCCCTCCCATGTAAAATGTACCTTGTTTGCCGGGTGTCACCGAAATCCCGTTGCCTAAATGGCAAAGGGCAAGGCGCTTCTACTTCAGGCACTGGTCACCTGCGGCAGTGAGTGACAATGCCAGGGAGCAGCAGTTGGCGCTGGAGCGCAGGATCCTCGGCAGTTTCAACACGAGCAAGAACGTTTGCTACCGGTAGGTTCCACGAGGGTGGCTTCGCGGCTGGGATATGCTGCGCGCACAATCATAAACGGTTGGGAAAAGACTCCTCCACTGGACCTGATTAATGATACCAAGGAGAACATATCGCTGAAGGTTAGACTTTCAAGGACGGTTTTAGAGGTTAGGGCTCCTAGTAAAGATCCTCGTCTTTCGTCCTCATTGTTATTTCCCACGCTTCCATGGAGGTTGACGTTGTAGGGCAGGAGGTGTGACTGACATCCGAGTTGTTCGATCTGTACTGAATAGATATCGGTAGCTGCGTAAACTTGAGCAGATATGCTGAGTTTAAGCGGTATGATATCTCTTTGTGTTCTCAGTAGGTTATTGTGGGAGAGTGAGAGTTATCAGGCCATGGCGTTTCTCTTGTAGGTGCATCTACCATCTCTTGTTAAAGCATGACATACAATGTAGAAGACTGATCAAGACTCTATGTGATAATCCAATTTCTTTGGGGTGGTTAGCCTAGAGTACAACGAGTCCAGCTCAAATTTTGGAATCCTTGCGCTTTGGAGGTTTGGGATGCTCATTTTCCCACTTCTCCTTCAGTGCTCTCGCACGCTCGGCCTTTTTCGTAAAGCCTTCAAACAAGGCAGGGAAACCACCACCAAGCGTGCGAATGTCTATCGGACGGCCCGTCCTGACATCCATGTATGTTGTTGAGCCTTTGACTTCGGCGACGATAGCTTGCTGCTTCAGCGAGAAAAGAACAGTTGTTCCGCTGTTTCGTGTTGGCTCAATCTTTTCCTGGCGATATGCAGCAATGACCTGTATGACAGTAAGCACGATAATAACTGAACAAACACAAGATGGAGAAAACGGACCGCGTCTGGGTACTTGACCTGTCTTCGAATGTCGAGTTCGTACTTTCGCACCACTGGAATGACAGTCCTGGCTTGAATCATGCCGTCGCATTCCTGTTTGCTCAGAAACTCGTCGTAGCTTTCCATGATGCGCCAGAAGCAGGCCCCCAAGTAGCTCATGTATTGAGCATGCATAACGTGGCCGTAGGGGTCCTGGTGCTCGGCCCAGATGACGCCATGCTCGACCATGGTCTTGGGATCAAAGCCCATGGCCTCGAGCGTGGCGAGCGCGCGGCCGCGAAGAGGCGCATATGGATCGCCGTTGGGGTGAGGACCTGGAGCGCCGGCGCGCGAGTAGGGAGAGTGGTATGACGAGTCAGCCAGTCGGGCTGAGCTGGGGGGTCTGTGGTCCGCCATTGTCGCGAGAGTGTGCAGCGTACTGTAGTGTAAATAACGACAATGAGGCTATCTAAGAGTGTAGATATGGAGAGGGTCGAAAGTGAAACCTTTTGGAGCCTAGACAGATAGTAGTCCGGATACCGACTAACGCATGTAAGCAATCAGATCAAGTCCGTCATTGGTCAGTTCACCATAACTGTTGGTTATTTACGTGTAGGTACCCCGATGCAGACTTTAAATATCTGGTTCTCTGGAAGGCCGCTGGGAGTTTGATTGATCTAGATTGGCTTGTTTCGTATTCGTTGCCACGTTTTTATGACTCGTTTACCGCCCATGTCGGGATAATTTGTATCTATACAGTTGAGGAGAATAGTGATTGTTGAAAGAATATAGATATTCGGGCATTATCTTGCTATTAACAATGTGTTTACACATATTTAATTTTAGTACTACACTAGGATACATAGAAATATAACGTTACCTTGGAAAAATAGAAAACAGAGTAGCGGCTATATCTTGGTGTTGTAAAGACTAGGAAGGGAGATAAGACTATGCCGGGGGGGCTGCCACTGCAAAAAGCAAAAAAAGACTAACACAATTAGTGGTCCCAGAGGGGGTCGAACCCTCGACTTTAGCGTTATTAGCACTACACTCTAACCAACTGAGTTATAGGACCTAATTGTTGAAATACGGGTTTTTTTTATCATATTTAAACAATTTGAGATGTACGACACCGCAGGCTACGCCCTGTATATGTATTGCTCGGCTTCGCCTTCGCTATAATTGGCGCATATGATTGGTCCGCTTACTGTAGTCACATGACCCCTCGTAGTATGAGAACACACGCCTCTTCTCTCTTCCCCTTTTACTTTCTTCCTCCCAGCGATTCCTCTTTGTGTATATCTAGTCATTAGATAGCAAGGCATTTCGCCCCTTTACAACACCAGCCTGTTCAATTTTTTAATGTCGACAATTAACTAACTAGGGTAATACTGATTATTCAGCACCTTTCGATCAAACGCTGTAGATGATACAACATCATCGGATTGCTTATATTTCCTATATTAGTAAGTCTACATTCTTCGTTTGTTTGTCTCACCTTTATAAAGCGAGATGTTTTGGTAGTTTAGATGAATCAGAGACCTAATTCTATTGAGGATCGATACTGTGGATACGCGTATTTTTATTGTCGACATATTTACTATTAACGTATTCGGAAAGCGAGAGTTCCACGTAAGCCAGTGTTCCACCTATATATCCGATGGACCCATATAAAATTGTCAGTCAAGGGTGGAGCCCAAAGTGTTGCTCAGTCATGGCCTTCGTTCCTATATAGAGCGCTAGATGCGCCTGATCTTCTATCAGTCGTCTTATACGTTTTTATATGGTCAAGTGGTTTTATCTCTACTAGCGCAGAGACAACCAAACCATCGCAGGAATGCTCCCTTTCCGACCACGTTACAGGGTAGATCGGCCTGCCAATTAGGTATGGAAATCACAACAGTTAGTTAATCCTAAGAAGGGATCAAGGTAGTGTAGGATTAGTTCTAGATTAACCCTTGGGATTCCATTGGGAAAAAAGATACCTACATGGCAAGGAGGGGTAGACTAGAATACATCATAATGTTGTAATGCATTACTTTCATATTCACAGTCTATTTCTGTGTTTTCTACTTTGATTAAGAAGCACTGTAGTAGAGCGGGTATACAGAAGTATATTTCAGTACATTTACCGGATGTTAAGACACAATACTCTACCAAAGGACGATATTTCACCAGCTCTTATTTTTTTTTTTTTTTTTTTTTTTTAATTCTTGCTTAGCCATATAGAGACTTTTTACAAATATACTATTAACTAGGAAAAATTTAAGTTACCTCGTGCTATGGTAGGTTCAATCTGTCCCACTGGTGGCACCCCGAGAGTCATCCGAGCCGAGCCGAAGACAGTGCAGATATCTATAGGCTTACACACTTTTATTTCCCAAAAAGATTGCTTTTAGTAATGTAGATATGGCGGTAAAGGGTCCCGATTTGGGTGCAGAAGTAATAGATCGAATGTGATGACTCTATGAATAAATTTATGTTAATTAAGTCAAGCCTCTAAAATAGTTCTCTCCAGGATTACTCTTATATCATGACTGTGAATTTTATCATCTCCGCAAGTTCCCACTACATCATAAGGTTGTGAGTGGTCTGCATGTCCACACAAAATAAAATAAAAAATTAACCATGTGTTATTTATTGCTGGCTAAATGTCCACTACACTGCGAAACCTACTCCATGATTCTATTCTAGTCCTTGTCGCTAACCTACAACAATATCCGACATGTAACATGCATTGGTGCGGGCTTTGTTGGTGAGTGCATACCTAATATAATAATAAAGCAGATATTTGGTTAACAGGCCATAGGAGGTCTACTGGGTCCTATGATAGCCTACCAGTGCTCGAACGTTAGCGTATCAGTCGTGGATAAAGACCAGAATCGTATCCATGCGTGGAAGTATCACTCCCCTCCATTCCGAGAGCCGGGACTTATCGACATCCTGGCTGCCATTCAAGAACGCATCAGAGAGTCAGTGGCTCAGAATGGCACACAGCTGGATGTCAGGTCTTCAGCAAAGACACAGTCAAACCTCTGCTTCTCAACAGACATCCACTGTTCAATCCAGGAAGCCGATATAATCTTCCTCTGAGTTGATACTCCCACCAAGGCCTTTGGCGCAGGCAAAGGATTTTCTCTGGATATGGCGAATGTGCAAAATGTCGCCAGAACAATCGCGCAGGTCGCAACTGGGTATAAAATAATTGTCGAGAAATCTACAATCCCTTGCGGGACATCTGACATGCTCCGAGATCTGGTATGTGATGATTCATCCACTCTGCAATAGATTACATTGCTGATGATAACCAAAGCTTCACACCAGCTCTACATCCCACGCACGATTCGAGGTCCTTTCAAATCCAGAGTTTCTCTCCGAAGGAACCGCTATCTCCAACCTGCTCAACCCTAGCCGAGTATTGATTGGATGCCAACAAAATCCTCCTGGACAGGCAGCAGCAGATGCGCTGGCCACACTCTACCGAGCCTGGATCCCCCCCAGTGCAATCTTGATTCTGTTACGACAGCATGCGGGCTAGATCCTCGCATTAGGCTCCATATGCTCCAAAGTGGTCTGGGATGGGGAGGCGGCTGCTTGGAGAAGGACATCCTCGATTTGGTCTATATGGCGCGAAGTTTGGGCCTTGATAATGTTGCGGATTATTGGGCCTCGATTATCGACTTGAATAACTACCAGCAAAAACGCTTCGTGGAAAGGATCGTCTCATGCATGCATGGCAGCATATCCGGGCGCTTGATAGCTGTACTTGGATTTGCCTTTAAAAAGAATACATCGGACGTGAAGAACCAATCGCGTTGGTTAAAGGGCTTCTGGGCGAAGGTGCCAATATTTCGGTTTTTGATCCCATCGTTCCACACAGTTAGATCACATGGGCACTTGGACTGGTAGATGAAGAGTGTCGGCGGACCAGAATTTGTTCGAGTCCATATGAAGCGTGTTATAATGCAGACGCCATTATCATTGCAACGGAATGGGAGGAGTTTAGAACTCCTGCAACATCCGCCCACCAAAATACTATTGCTGAAAATCCGATGGTCAATACACCTCCACCTGAAAATTCAAGTGGTTTGGACTGGCCCCGAATTGTGCAAGGCATGCAGAGCCCAAAGTTTGTTTTGATGGGCGAAATATCCTGGATGCGGACTTCCTCCAGAGGCCGAGCTGTCGATATGTTCGAGTAGGCAGAGCATCATCCTGGGATAATCCCTACACGTAGACGTAGCTGCATTTATTGTTATTTACCTCTGTATGGCGGGTAATAATATATGTGGAACTATTGGATTTAGTGTATGTTTTACCATTTATTTAAATAATAGACGTGGAAATACTCTAGAGTCTATATATGCATATTTGGGTTTGTTCTGTACTCTTATTACTATAATTATATTAATCAATACTATTAGAAATATCCCAGTTGACTCTACCCCCTTGATTGATACTAGGGTAGTCCAAGTCATTCCTTTCCTTTATTAATGCTGGGGGACCAGAAGATCGTGTGGATGCTAGAGTGTTCTTCGTTTACATCATTGAAGCCATTAACTTTCAGTAACATCATGGCAACCTGGCAACCAAATCCAATTTGAAATTGAAAAGATACAGATAAAATGAGAGTTTCGAATGGAGTATCTTTATGGACCACATCTGAGGGCTTAGACAAACATGTCCTCGTGACCGGGGTAAGTATACTCCATTCATCCTTGCGGGGATGGCTAACGTGAGACAGGCCGCTGGGTTTCTGGGCTCCAACATGGTAGATGTTCTACTGCACCAGGGCCACCGGATCATTGGCCTCGACAATTACCAGGTCGGAGTACCAGAGAACATAGGTCATTTAGAGAATGACCACCGATTCCAGATGATCCGGTAAGTAAAGTACTGTATTGGGTATAGCATCTCAACTATTGCAGGGGCCTGTTGTGTGAGCTTTGTCGAGCTTAGTCCCTGTGACAAGGCTACGGCAATGGTATACTTGGAAACGTATGTACAATACCATAGGACCTGATGCCTTCCATATAATGTACTGTATTATGCACAGCTGCTTGTATTATCAGCTTCACACCCAATGGATATTGAACCAGTTTAAATTGAGCACTACTTTCTGTGAACGATGCGGTGAAATTAGAAATCTCCATAAGATTTATCCCTTGGGGAACATAGCGCTGTCCCTATTTAGGGTTAGTGAACTGTGAGGCTAAATTTTCGACCTGTGTAAATAAGGACACCCAACAGTATGCAACATATTCTGGGATGATGCTTAGTCATAACCTACCATTCCGAGCCCTCGGATCGGGCCGGACCAGGCGGAACTCCTCTCCTACCTGACCGCGGCATATTTCCCATGGGACCGGTCCTAATGGGAATTCTCACTCCAGTTTATTATCGGAAATGGGCCATTTGGCAGGACCAACACCCTCATGGAACTTCAAAGAGGTTGAGAATGCCCATGGGACTGAAAACAGTGCAAACATAGACTGATTCGCAAGTTATATATCCACCTTTAGATAGTTATACAAATTTATACCAAATTATGTTTAGTTATACAAAAGTTGGTCTTGTGGGACTAATGGGACCTCGCATGGTCACGGGTTCTATTCTTAGACCAAGGGAGACTTGCTTTGCAGAAGTCCACCAAAAGCACACTTATGAAGTACCTAAGGATCTGTGGAACTGCGGCCTTTCAACGGAGGGAGAAACGCATGAAGCGTGCCCCTTCAAGACCAATCGTCTATTCCCAGGAGGGCCCACAATCGAATACGAGAGGTCTTGATACTGGGGTGGAGATGCTCTGTCATGACGTCGCCGAGGGTCAGGCTCTTGTCGTATCGTAGAATGCAGGTACATATCGAGCATGTCAAACGTGCCTGCAACAGGATATATAGCGAGGTCCTTCTCAGACTCTTTTGGTGTTTTTCGGGGCCTCCAAATGTAAAGCATCCATAATTTGGCGAAGCATATTCTTTTGCATGCAAACTGTCTTATGATACTCCTCAAGGGCTGCCTTCTGATTTTGAATCTCGTCGAAAATCGCACTAAATCTCACCAAGCTAGCAAGTTATGTAACTTCCGGACTCTAGCCTGCTAATTCTCATACCTATTCACCAAGACTTGGTATATGCCGTCAAGGTTCGACCTTATCCGAGACATCTCCCCGAGAGTTTCTAAGAAATCTTTCTTTGTCCATACAAAACGGCTTCCCTCAAAGATAGACGGCTTTCGACCACCCAACTCCTTGAGTGACTTGAATTGGTCCTCGAATTGATCAACAGTGTCTTGAGTGCCTGCCAGAAATGGCTCAATATATGAGCCAAGCTTTGTGGGAAAGACAGGGAGATGCTTCATTAGACGCTCTCGTGCAGCCAAAAATGCATCGAGTTCACTCGATGCCCGTTGAAGGAATAATCCCATTTCCTCGTTCGCCGAGGCTAGCTGTTTTGTACGGTAGACTAGCGTGATAAGAACGGCGTATGCGAATGTCAAAATGCCGATTATATTTCCAGTAATCGAGAGAGGGCTGTCTGCACATGAAAGGATTTGTGACATAATAAAATCTATAATGTATCGAGAAAGACATCCAGATTACAAGGGGAGGCAGAGTGTAAGAGATTGAAGGTGGTTAAGCTTTAAAAAAAAACTTCCCTTTTACGTAGTGCATTAAGGTACCTCGCCAGATTCGTTAGAGGGTCGCATGTGTGAGAAATCAATTGGCCGGGCTAGACCTCGCCAAGATGCGGGTTGCATGGGGCCTTTTGGCAAATACAGGAATTCCATGTAACGTGGGGGCCAACATTTCATCAGATATTCCTCGAAGCTTATGATTGATACATCCCTAATCCAGCCGCGCCACTCATCAGCGAATCCCAGCTCCGTATCCTATACTGAAAGACCATCCACATAAAGCCAAAAAGCGATATTCATGTGCTCTACAGCCCACTTCTGGAGTTAGACGTTTCGCTGCCTACTGTGCTCGATTTTCTTTTTATTCGAGACGTACTCCATCATGAGAAGGAAGATTTCGATGCCGATTATGCCTAGTTACTAATTTATAAACCCAGAAAGTACAGATGCGATTACTGTGGCAAAGGACAAGGGTAACGGGCTTAAGTTGATGCACTGAGCTCTTGAAGATGTAATGAAACTAGATCTAAATTACCGAAAAGATTCTAAAGGGAATAGACGGTGTGGAGGTCAGCACGTCGCTTACAACGAAGTCGCTCTGCTTCACTCCGTTATGACCTTGCTTTCGACATCGCGTTCAGCTCAACGCAGTGATGTGATTTTTATGTGGTTTACAGGTAGACCGTATTGGAATGAGAAAGGGCTGAGGGCACAGGGTTAGGGCTGGGAAGCTCCCCACCATGCTCTTGCTCACCATGACAATACCCATTCTACCTTCTTCCTTTCCTCCTTATCTTTAGTATTTTTGATATAGGACTCAACATGATTTATCTATCTCATTTGCCTGCCATCATATCCGTCACATGACTAAGGCACATAATCGCCAGCATAACAATCCTGCGACAGTAGCAGTAATTGATTTTGATGGCAAACGGTGGGAACCTGCTCCATTGCCATCATCCTTGCTTTGGCTGGCCATGAACATGATCACCAAAAAAAAAAAAAAATAAGAAAAGAAAAAGAAAAAGATCTCCATGTTTGAGTCTTCTGCAGTGTTAGGGTTAAAATCGGAAATAGAATCTTAGTAATGTTCAACACAACAGTTTTGACTTTCCAAATCCTATGGAGTTCGTTCCTGTTCCCAGATTCAGAAGACGCGCCGATTGTCAATATCACGCCTCAAACAATTCAGTTTTCCTGTGAGTGAGCTTTGCAAATCTACAAACCAAGACTATCCATGCATACCGTACTGTCTGCATAATATATATCGTACCTTCTTAGTTTCTATTTGTTTTCCGCAAGGCCTAACAAACCAGTGTTGACTCATGAAAATTTCATGATGGTTGACATCACTGTAAGGATCAAAGAGGCGAAAAGGTACGTACGTCGTCGTTCGGCAGTGTCCATTCGGGCTTCAACATTTAGTATTGTACTTTATATCAACGAAGTTTCAAGAGCTCTATTACCTGAGTTTGAGAAGACTGTCAATAATGCTCAGCCATTGTTCAAAATTGGCTCCCTTCGCCCGCGTTTTTTTGATAACTTTGAATAATTGACTTGATCACCATGGGTAGCCAGATAGAATAATGGAGTGTTAAACGAAGCAAGAAGGTAAATAATTCACATAACCCCTTTGCCAACCGAGGCATGGATTGCAATTGACTTTTATAAGATAGATATACGCAGCTTGGAGAGAATTTATACTGTTGCTCCTAGAGGATAAAACGTCCTTTCCTGACTGGTCACTGCAAATAGATATATTTGACCACCCTCTTAGAACCCGTGTATCAATTGATATAAGTTAATGCAAAATGGAGCATGATCCATATTCTCGCAGCATTTGGGCCACCATAACCCATCCACCGACAGCAGGGGCTGCAAAGACAAGCAAAAATATTACCTCGACCAGATAGGCAGCAATATTCTCACGGTAGCGACCCTTAGACCTCCCATATCGCCTACTGTATTTGGTGCTAAAATAGCCTCTGGCCAAGTCGAGTGCCAGGTCTTGGTTGCATACTAAAGTTCCAACAGCAAGCCATGTCATAGTCCAGCCCCTTTGCCTCGTAGAACTAGAGCCTGAGTTGAAATGAGACATTGCCCCAATGACAGCGAAGGGAAGTGCTGAGATGAGAAAAAGGAGGATGCGAAATGGAGTGGGGGCGCGAATAAAGCGCTGAACAGTAGACCATGTTCCTGTTGCCTGTTCCACTTGCTTTAAGTTGTGACAGACTGGGCAGATAATTAATGGAGGTCGCTTCGACGCTTTGTCCGGCGTGGATGATGTAGTTAAAATTATAGAACAGCTAGGATCTGCACCCTTTAGATCACATTTAGCCGCCTCCTCTTTAAGTTCCATTGTAGACGGTATGTCGTCTGAATTCAGGGCCGTGGGATCAAGCTCGAAGGTCCAGAAACTATCATTGTCTTCCAGGAAAGTTCCTGAAAAGAGTTTGATGTTGTCAATGGATGCAGGCGCCCGGGCGACTTTGCCGACGTAGCCTTTAAAACAGCCTCCTCTTTCAGCTGCCTCACCCATTAGATCGGTCCAAACGAGATAGAGCACAGTATACGAGGGATTCAACAGGTTCCCGAGTAAGTTAACAAATGACATAATTAAATAAGGAAGGACTGTGAATCCAAATGCTGCATACCCGTATCTCCCGACTTGTTCTCCTCGGGTACGATAGAGGGTGATAGAAGCATAGATGATCTGGATAATAGCGATAATGGCAGACGCTAAACTGTATGATGAGGAAAGGCTAAAATAAGTTTTTCGCATTTCACCGTCGATTAGCTCCTGGTCGAACAGAGGTTCGACCTGGGCATCTTCCGGGACATAGGCCAACTCGTATCCTGGGGGCAGCTCACACTGTCCAAACACCTGGTGTCCCGGAGGCACCACACTACATGTCTGCCATGGCGGAATCTGTACGGCTAGTTCAATGGAGACACCTGCTGGTTTTCTAACAGGGTTATGTGTTAGCCGTTCGATGCCTTAGTTGGTACGGCAGGATATCCTACAGGTCCTGAAAGCGTTCTTTCCCCAGTTCCGACCGAGTTTTCTCTATTGTATATTAGCTTACTTTGTATCAATGGTCAGGTACGACAAGTTATACTAAGAGCTTTGTATGGGGCCTCATCGTCGTCTTTTTGACGAAGCCTTGTGGGCAAATATGACAGGTCGCGGTAAGTGTTCCCCGGTTGTGGCTTCCAATACGGAGAACGAACGACCATGCAAAGAGCACTCGAATGCAGGGCCTGCTCAATTGGATTCTTGGCGAATGTGGTATGCTGGAGGATGGACTCCAGCCCTCGTGAGGCACCCAGCGCGGGGAAGAGAACGGCCAAGACCATGTTCAGCCCGAGAATGTAGCTGGGTGCCCCGGGGAATTTCATGACCGTGGCAGCATGAGCCAGATAATTTCCAAAGAAAAATATGATCACATCTATCCAAGTTGACCCCCTGCAAATCAAGTTTGTCTCAGGATTGTAAGTCACGCCATCGGGCAATCGACTAGTTGCTGTCTGGGGGGGAAGCGCGGTGGCAACCGAGATGCAGATAATAACGATAAGGAGAAATGTACAGTGTGAGAATTGAGTATCCAATCGAGTAATTTGGAGGGGCATGATTGTTTCTTCTCAGCTGGGGGAAGAGTAACTTGTCCTTCCGGGCATCAGCAGAGCTGCTTGCCACCATTATATAGAGTAAAAAAGAAATTTTCCAGTTCTAAACCAAAGGATATACTACATAATAAGCACTAGAGACACCAACCAATAATAATGGCTCATAGAGCCGGAATAGTCCACCAATAAGCGTTAGCAGACTGCACTGCATTTAAATCCAGCTTACTTCAGGCCCTCCAGTCGTACAAATAAGTTACGCTATAATAATGGTAGCACCGTTCATCTGCTAATGCTAAAAAAAATTCACCATATACGCATTATAGTCAACATTCACTGTAGCAGTGGGGATCGTTCTGGGATGGCACTTGACCGCAATATTGGACCTACAAGCGCCAAGCAGCATCTCAGCCCTAGCGGATTAGGCCCGACCCGACTCTAGCTTGGGACGCAATTTGTTTTGTGTCAGTCGGAGTTTCCGTCAATTAACCGCGGCCAAATTTTCGGAGCCCCATGTCGATCGCTAATTTCAGTGCACATAATGGTATGAAGAACGAGCTTCGGCTTTGTCCTAGCTGAATTCCTGAAATCTATGGTAAGCATATTATAAGCGATTTTATACAGGCACGTTAAAAATTGCACGAACAAGTCATGTCAACAACACAAGGAATCGCATAGCGAGCCAGTACGTACTGACTAACTGCATCAGTTAATATATAATTTGTAATATGGAGTGTTATCAAACAACTTCAAAAACTACAGTTAAATTAATACCAGAATATATTCTATAAGGCTATTTAAAGCCAAGAAGTTTATAACTGTTCTAGTTTTTATTAATAAAGCAGGAAGTAACATCTATAAATGCTCAGAAAAATTAACGAGGGAAGAGCAGTGCAATGAGACTATATATAGATAAGTACAGATCAAGGACATCCTCGTAAACTAATACTGGAAAATGGAGCGAGCGACTTCACTAACCACTTCAAATCCCAGAAAATTAGAGTTGGTACACTCTCCAGGCTGAACTTATGGAATTTTTTTTTTTAATTTTTTTTCCTCCTTGTCTCTGCTTTTAATGGTCTCTGTGATTTGCGGCTCCATTTATCTTCTACACCTAGCGCTTACGGTACTCCTGTTCACATTTCCTTTATTGACATATATTATCCTACTATCTGTTTACGTTGAGCATAAAAATGTTGTCGTATAAGGAGAAGATATTCAGCCTGGGGAAAATGTTGCACATAGTTTACTGCTCTGTAATAGTAAACAACTTCTTACGGTTACATGGAATTTCTGGCATATTTATCAGGTGACAACACGACGGCTTTAGACCTACAAACCCTTTCCCCTCACCAAATTCGTCCATCATGGCTTCACCAGGATCTGAAAGCCAAGGCCGTACCAGAGCTGGACGACCCAGCAAGAGCAGCCCTCATTAACCAGTGTAGCCTTAACCTCGACCTTGACAATATAGACACAGGCGCATGCGCGTACTTATGGCTCTCCGATATGGAAACACTCGAATCTATAGCAAAGAATTGCTAAGGAGCACCCAGACGTCTCGTCCCGACTCTGATTACTTCTGATACAACGGCCGCACTGAGAACCTGTAAGTAGAGTCTATCAACTATGGCACTCCAACAACAACTGATATCATAGATCGGGGCGGGTTGTATACGCTCCACAACAACGTTGAAGAAGAAGAAATCTGTCGCGACAAACTCGCCAAAGCCCGCCAAACAGCCCGAGTGGTTCATTCAGAAACAGATGACACTACGGGCCGCGAGACTTAACAAATTCACACAGTACTTGACAGGACTTCCCAAGAAGGCCGTATTCTAAGGCGGAAGACAAGTTTCTCAGGAGCTTAATAAAGAAACAGTTAGCCATACAGGAAGGGATGGAGAAATTCTAGGAGATTTTCCCCGGCAGGTTAAAAGTCATCACTTTAAAGACGTTGGTCCCTCCTACAGCCACCCCCACGGCGGTCAACCCGATCAAGATCAAATAGATGTAGGGGCAAGCGTTTAGGTTTGGAATACTTGCTATGATAATATAAGTTTGTATTCTTTAAGAGTCCATCTGAAGGTTCTCTAGCTTCTCTAGTCTTGAAGATTGTCGGACGGATTGGTCCCTTCAACCTCGCCAGTGTGTTTTGGGGCGCGCTCCTGATGATAAGGCGATGAGTACTAACGGAAAAATTTATATGGCTATTGGGCAGTGGGAGAGATTCCTAAACCATTTAAAACAAGATCAGTTTAAGGATCAATGCACTTAGTTTTATTGGACAAGACAAACCCCTTGTTCTGGAGTTGACATATAACGTACGGGGCCCTACCGAGCATATAGGTTAGATAAAATGGACGCATTGACGGATTGTTGTGGAATAATAACTTGAATAAGATGGCAGCCATCTCTTGATGCATTTGCTGATGTATTTACTTCTTAATCTTCCTAATTATCTTGCTAGCCAAATATCTTTAGAAAACCCCAAAGCCCAAGAGTACTCAGTACAGGAACAACAAGGTTATCGTCACAGCCGAAAATATCAACTAACTCACTCCCCGCAGCAACAAATCCAGAGACAAGGCTTATCACGACAAGGGCTAAAGGATCAGTACTAGCACCGCCACTATTACTGTTTTCTGGAAGATAGGTCAACTTTCCCGTAAACATGAAAGGCCTCGCAGGGTCAGTATTGTTGGATAAGCTGCTGGTGTACAAGAAGTAGCCCCAAAACCCAGCCGCGACGAGAACGCCAACAAGCCAAGCTGCAGCAGTGCCGATCAAACTCTTTCCATGGCGGAGCTGTATGGAATGGCAGCCATAGAGGCGACCAAAAATTGAGGCAGCCGTATCACAACAACTGAGCAGCAACACTCCCACAATCCCAATATCCTCTGGGAAATACCGCAGCGCAATATACATGCCAAAGAGATAGGGAGTACTTGTAGAATATGACGTCGCCTCATTCTCGCGCATGAAGATGCCGAAGGAGCGGATAAATATCTTGTTGACAGCCTTCGAATTATACCGGATTGCATCAAATGTCGCATTGAGGATAAACGCAGAAAATAATAGTGATGCTATCTGTAGAGGTCGAAACCCGTGGCTGTAGAGAAAGAGGATCAAAAGGCCAATTGAAACATGCAATAGCTTTCGGGCAACTTCTTGGCGATGAATGAATTTCATGTAGTGGGTGTTAAATGAGATGAGGCGGATTGATGACATTTGTAAAAAATCAGGCTGCTTTTCTGTTGCTGAATTGAAGAGTAACTCGACCTCACCACCAGTTCCATTAAGTATTCCAGCTGCATCAATTGCTCCCAAATTGTGCTCCATATTGTCCCTACTTCTTTAATAAAGTAAAAGGTGCAAGAACGCAACACTTAAGCACTTTAGAATCTGAACAGTTTCTTCTAGGACTGTAGGGGATCTCCCCAGCGTTTAGAATCTATGGAAGTAAGGGGGGACATGATAGAAAACTTTAGGTGACATATCACATTGGCCAATTCTGATCCTGGTGAAGGCTGGTCCATCAAGGGGTGTTTATTCTTTGTTGTTTGGGAGTAAAGGGAACCTTACACATGCCATCTGGTGTTACTTGTGTGGATATAAATGTCCCTTAAATTCTCTTAGAGTTATCTCATTCTGCAGGACGTATGATATGTGGATATGTTGATAATGCAGCATAGGGGGTGTTCACTGACAACCAAAATTATGAAAAATAAAGATCACAGGCGGTTACCGTTAGCCTACTGGCCACGTATAGTTTCTAGCTTGTGCAGAATATCACATTTCAGGCAACTGTTTTGCCCTCTCCCTCGCTGGTATAATATTCTACAGCTCATAATTAGACAATCCCTGCCAAACTAGAATCCTTGTGGGGGTGAGAAAGGCAAATCACACCGGTTCCGCCAGACAAAAGGAGTTTAGCAGTGAGGCATTTTACTTAGCTGAGAAAATGCATATTATTGAGCATAGATCTAATTTTATAATAGATGTAAATAATTTGAAAAGGATAGGCGATCAATAAATCCACTCTTCTACCAGTGCAGGACAGTTTAGCTTTGCCATTAGTATAAACCAGGTATATGATCAAGCTCCTGTAGCTCCCCGTGTCTGGCATATGAGCATTTGAGCATTTATCCAACTCAATATTTTTATATTATTATATACTGATTCTCAGAGGTCAATATGGAAAAACTTCAAGGCTCAGGAAGTACGTCAGAGAGAATTCTATTCAGTTTATGGGAAGACTGATACCAGATTTCAAGGACTTTGCTTTCCCTTGGTTGCGATATTATTAGGAGTGTATAGCGATAATATCTTTTCCCAGCTGAGCTATCTTTTGCACCGTTGGATGGAGCTTTCATATAACCATCTATCTATTGAGAAGCATAAGAAAAATCTTGAAGATATATACCTCATAATTGGTCTTACATGTCTCATGGTAGTATGCCGCTCAGGGGTAAAAGAAGCATGTTTCATATTTCTTGAGGATCTTAGTATTACAAAGGAGAACAAGATTCGTATAGCAGAGCAGGTCTGGAGCCTGATATGCTACTGTTCACTTTGGCTATATGGGATGGTAAGCCTATAATTCATTTCACATTTGTCTCCTCTGCAAGACCTCTTCCCCAGTTTCTTTCTTTTGCAGGAGAATACTTACGTTCATAAGTGTGAATGGGCCAACTCGCAATGCTGGCTTTCGATCAAGGATCTCTGGTCTGACTGGCCAGTCCTGGGATTACCCTTTTCAGTGAAACTTTACTTCTTACTACAGCATGCTCATTTACTCCACCAGTTAATAGTGATTCATTTCGAGAAGAAAAGAAGAGACTATTACCAAATGGTTATTCATCATGTTCTCTCACTGATAGGTGCTGGATGGGCATATTATTCGTCCTTATTTCGCCTATTGAACATTACTTTTTGCCTGACAGATGCCGCGGAGGCAATTTTGCCGGTATGAATAGGCATTCATTCACAACAGTATATATGCTGAAAATATTTCTTAGGTTGCGAAAATTCTGAAGTATATGCACTACGAAACAGGATGTCAGTGGGCATTTGCATTTTTTATTGCGACTTGGATCTTTACGCGCCACATTCTGGCTCCACAGTTAGTCTTCAATTTCTATCGAATTCCCAACAAACTTATCTGTGGTGTCTATGAAAACGATCTCATTCCCTGCATTAGTAAAAGTACATATCGATATGTGCTATTCACTAGTGTAAATGTTGAGCTACTCTCTATTATGTGGTTTAGGGAGATTATTGTTGTCTTGGTGAAATTCATACAACGAGGTGAAGTGAATGACTCTCGCAGTGATGATGAGATAGATTAGCTGCAATAATGATGACTAACATCTACCATATTGTGCAAAGCTTCGATAAGCAAGGAAAATGGACTGTTCAGTAGTAGATGAGGGTGGCTATAATATATTTTAAGCATCGATTAGTAGTCTGGTTAAGTCGCCTTAATCCTCTCCTACTCCAGAGATTCCTTTCTTTTTGCGCGTGTAGGAAAGCCCATATGTATCATCAATATCCAGTCCCATGCACCTCTATAGGGTTCGACACTCTTCAGAACCCTAGATATTGTACTACCAAACCCCCGAGTGATGCGTGTCGGCTTCCAGAACCCCGATTTTAGTAGATCTCGCACGACTTGTTCAGCAAATCTATCAACATCCGTGTATGATATCGCACTCCTTTTGAACAGGCTGGCTTCGAGATGTGCTTTCATGGGGAGATATATAGAATGATTTGACAAATGTATCGGTCTGCCGTATGTCTGTCTGGTGAAATTTGTGTTCATCACTCCAGAATTCAGATTAATCACTTTGATTCCAAAAGGTGAGAGCTCCATCCGCAAGGTATCGGTGAGAGAGGCAACAGCCGCCTTGGATGCCGAATAAGAACCCGCTAGCGGAACAGGAAACTCAGCAGAAATAGATCCATGGTTAACGACCGTTCCTTTTGAGGCAAGAAGCTGTCTGAGGAATTTCTGGGTGACGGTGACGATTGAAAAGACGTTGACTTCGTATAGCGCTTTCATACGGTCAACTTGCTCATCCATAAGGGGAACAGCGTAACCCTGCCCGGCGTTGTTGATAAGAATATCAAGAGTCGGAATCTTCATGCTGAGAGACTCAATAGATGATGTCGAGGAAACGTCCAGTTCAAAAGTTTTGGCCCCGAGAAGTCGTAAACCATCTAACTTCTCCACTGTCCGTGCGGTTGCGAAGACTTCAAAGCCTTGGTTTAGAAATTCACGGGCAAGGGCCTCTCCTACGCTCCCAGGGCTAGCACCAGTTATAAGGACTTTTCCGCGGGTTGACTTCTTGGCCTCCATTGTCTGTTTCATTCTTCTAGGGATCTCAGTTTTCCAGTTGTGAAGAGTTATTTAGCTGTCTGTGAGGGAGAAAATGAGACTGGAGATCAAAATATAGCACTATAATCTCATAAAAGCATGAAGTAAATACTATAAACAATAGATAAAGCACATACTATAGGCTAGCCTAACTAAAATCGTACAAATGAGCACCATAGGCCTTTTTTTTTTTTTTTTTTTTTTTTGGTTTTTTTTTTTTTTTTTTTTTTTGGTAGGGGTTTCATTTGATCATCTCGCGTTGGATAGGTCAAATTAGGTGGATGGCTCATGCATATGACACGAAATATAGTGTTGTAAGTCTGCTTCTCTGATCACCTTATTGGACATTGACCCCACATATAACAAATGCCGCGAAAATAATGCCGATATATCATGCGAGGCACTTCCCCCAACAAGGGGTTGACCCCATAGGGGGAAGGTTTAGAGGAACGCAATAAGAACGATACATCTACTGTGGAGTATGTAGCATGAAGATCAGGCAGCTTTACATCCTTTAATAAATTGGCGGCAACCGTCACCTCTTTCTTTTCTTTTCTCTTGTTCTTTTATTAAACCTCCAGTTTACGACGGAACAATAATTCGGTCTTATACCTTCATTTAACTCAAAGCACCATGCGCTTTAGCTTATTGCATTTCTTGTCCGTTTTGTTCTTTCTGCCATCCTCGTCCCTGGGAGAAAATCTGAATGCCGTGATCGAAGAGCATTGTCTAGGGATCCTAACTCAATATGATAGTATGACTAAGACAATGTCGGAATACCACGGGGGAATGACAAATGTCCCTGGTTTCTTGACTTCCATGGCTAGAAACCGGGACAATATCCAAAGACTCTCTGCAGCACTTACATCGATGGAAGTGTCCTCCCCAGAAGATAGGGCACTGCTTGGTAACAAAACTACGGATATGATGCCACAAGTTGTCGACTTCTTAAATATTGCTTCTACAAAAGTGAGTAGATATCTTGGTTCTCTCACTAACCCTAAAACCACTGCATATTTGCTAAATGAATCGCTTGTTTCATTAAAAAAAGATCCAGTATCTGCCAAATGGGAGAGTCCGATCCGCATTACAGGAACGTGCCAACCAAGGCATTGACAAACATCGTGCATTTCTTGATGATCTTTATTCCAAGTGCGATGTTGAGAACAGAAAGCGGCTCGACACCGCAATCAGCAATATGGAAGACGCATTTGCTGCTATGCAAAGGGCATTTTAAGTGTTCTCGGTGTGATGCTCTCAGCAATTAGTAGGAACTGTTTCCGTTACGTTCCATGTCCTTGCAACGTCCAGTTTAGGACTTGATGTGACCTAGGATGTCTTTATTTTTGCAGCAGAGTGTTACTATCTGCATTTAGCATAATAATGACAAGCTGCATAGCTGGAGAGCATTCCCACATTGCAATAAAGACGCGGAATTTTCACCCACTGTGGGCACTATGAATGGATTAGGTACTCTTGTTTGTAAGTGAAGCACTGTCTTGGGGGCGCCAGATTTAGACTATTAGGATATCTCTTGTGAATTGTATTCAAAAACATCTGCTAATTATCATGCTGGACAAAACGGTACCATCCAGCCATGAAGCCCTAGTAAATATACTGATGTTATTTATCAAATACGCGAGATAAGCTCCACTCCATACTCATGTAACATCCAACACTTTATGCCGCATTAACGCTTGTCGGTGTAAAGGGGCAAAATGCCTTGCTATCTAATGACTAGATATACATAAGGGGAATCGCTGGGAGGAAGAAAGTAAAAGGGGAATGAGGGAAGAAGCGTGCATTCTCTTACTACAAGGAGTCATGTGACTGAAATAAGCGGACCAATCATATGCACCAATTGCAGCGAAGGCGAAGCGAAGCAATATACAGGTGTAGCCTGCGACATCCAACATAATATCTGTCAAATAATATGGCCGTTGGTGGACCAGAATCATGTGACTGGATCGGGGTAAAACCCCCGTGGAGCACACAACAAAATAATCAATCAAGAATAACCAAGAAAATCAACATAATCAAGAAGAGCCCAACCAGCTCAATTCATTCAAATAAGACCTTTTGACCAATCGTACTCTATTTCCTCTTCGGGACTAGCCGTATATACAATATCCTATGCACGTGATTATCTGCACTATTCTAGCTACAAGCGACTTATAACTGTTATAAGCACGATCCAGTGTTTTAATTGGATCCTGAGACCCACTTAGCGTATCGCTTTTACGGAGTTGCCTATAACCAGGGTTCTCCATATTGTTTCCTTAATATACTGATAGAAAGTTAGCTGGCAGCCAAAAACAGTAGCATCGACACTGTTTTATAAGTCTTGCTAACTGGTAGCAGCCTTGGCACTGTGTTTGCTTAACCCTACATGGATATTTTTTACCACCACATGCACCTCTAGTTGGCCTCACCTTGTACCAACTACCAAGTCGGAACGAACTATTTAAGTAACTAGCTGTGTGATGGTTTGGTTGTCTCTGCGCTAGTAGAAATAAAACCACTTGACCATATAAAAAGGCACAAGATGACTGGTCGGCGGATCAGTCGCATCAAGCACACTATATAGTAGCGAAGGCTTTAGTCTGACAACCATACTACATTTAACCCGTGGCAAGCTGACATACATTATTATTAATGGTCCAGACCGCTTCGACTAGTCCAATCTAGAATGGCCCCCATTTAGAATAACTTAAATATTACAGACGGCCCCTGGACCGCAGCCTGCACCACGTTAAGCAAAATTTATAGGGACCATTTGTTATTAAAGTACCGAGTTAACTATCTTTTTCGGCTTGTAGTTCGCCTTGGCTGAGTGGGGAAATAGCCTTTACTTTACATTTCGGATCACTCTGTTCACAGACTAAACTGTAGCCTGCGCAGGATAAATAAGACTGAACACCCCATGCAGATCAGCCCCTATTACTCCTCTATTTAGTATAGTGTTGTTACTAAAAGCATGTCAGCAAAGCAAATGTCTCACCCTGAATGTGAGGGGTAGTATTTATCACATCCTCGCCCCCATAAGCGTATTTTGATCCAGGATTTTCCCTCGCTTTCGCGATCGCCATCTTCTCCTAGGCCATGTCCTAAAGTATCATAGGCTATCTCAGTGACCATTGTTCTGTTAATGTGACAATGCGACTTTTATTCCTCTTTCTTCTTTCCGTCCTCCGAGACGCTAGGACTTATGCAGCGAATCCTCTGGTGATGAACTGGTCTTCACAGGCATACGGCCCAGATGGGCCCTGGCAAGCTGTTACGATAGACATAGGCAGCAATAGACAGCCCGTCGCGCTTTATCCCGGTGCCAATTGGGCCACCACCATTTTGGCAGACTCAATTTGCTCGAATACGACCCTCTCAAACACTTGCTACGCAGCACGCGCTGGCACTTACAACCAGAGTGAATCAACCACGGCGGTCGCCTTGAATCGGAGTTCATGGGAAACATCTTATTGGAACGTGCAAGGAGGAAGTATAAAAAGTACCGTTGGCGACCAGGTCACTGTTGGTCCTGTCGTACCAAATGTCAGCTTCACGACAATCTATCAAACATACCAGACCTATCCCAATGGCAAGGCATATCCGGTACCAGTTGGAAATCTGGCCTTGGGTGCTCCGTATTTGAAAAACGTGGTCTCTGGCTTAACCCTCAACATGATCGCAGCGTGGTTGTATTCCTCCGGGAGAGAAAACAGTATCCCGTCTTACTCGTACGGAATGCATATCGGGTCTGTGAATCCAGCGATTCCGGGATCTCTGGTGTTGGGTGGCTATGATAAAAGCCGGGTTCTTGGTGAAGTGAGTTCACAGTCGGTAAGCTTGAGTTCATATTCTAGTGGTACATGGCAGATTGTATTGAAGGATATTGGACTCGATGTTGCGACAGGAGGGTCGCCACCGGGCTTCACGAGCAAGAAAGGGTTGTTTATGCAAAGCAGTGGTACTGTGCTACCCAAGTCAGTCACCGTTGATCCTACGAAGCCCTATTTGTATCTCCCAGAAGCTACCTGCGATGCAATCACTTCGTCCTTTCCAGTCTCGTTCAACAATGACTTGGGACTGTACATTTGGGACACGACCCGCAGTACCTATGCCAATCTCACTTCATCCGCGACATATATTTCCTTCTCGTTCAACAAAAATGGCTTGAATGATGAGACAATTACAGTCAAGGTTCCCCTTAGGCTGCTCACACTTACGCTGCAAGACCCGCTGGTCGACAAAAACGTCACGTACTTTCCCTGTTTCTTTTCAAGTGATACACCGGTTCTCGGTCGCGCCTTTCTACAGGCGGCATTTGTTGGCGTCAATTGGTTCGAAGGAAACAACAGTGGTACGTGGTTCCTGGGTCAGGCGCCAGGTCCAGGTCTTCCCAAGGCGGATATCACAGCCATCAACGTCAAGGACACTACTCTTGCTGCATCAAGCAATTCCTGGGAACAGAGTTGGGCTGGACACTGGCATCCTCTTGCAGATTCTCATTCCGACTCTAGCCCCGGTAATTCAAACAGTGGGCTTACTACGGCGGCAAAAGCGGGCATCGGCATTGGAGTTGGAGTAGCTGGAGCGATTCTCATTGCAGCGGTAGTATGGATCGTGATCCTGCGTCGTCGCAGACGTCAAGCCCCGGCCGCAGCCGCCCCTGTGGAGAAAAGGAAGCCGGTTTTTAGAGGGTTTGCCGAATTAGCTTCTTCGAGAAACGTCGATGATCGGCCAAGAGAGTTGGACACTAAAGTAGATGTGAAGCCGAAAGAAATGATGGGCTCGCAGGAGCCACCGCGTTATGAGCTAGAGTGATTATATTTGTATATTTGACGTGTATTTTAGCAGCCTTTTATATGATTAATACTTATTACTGAAGTTTGTTGCTTATGTCATAATCTGAATGAACACATCGATGGCTTTGCCGGGTTTTACCATTAGGCGAAAAGGGCATCCACTATAAGACCACCAATTTAGACACCATGCCGTTAAAAAGGCAGCCGTACAAACCCTCATCGCCAAATAGTGGATGTCCAGGAATGTATGGAATGTGTCTTATAGTGTGTTGCAATTCTACTTCATTCCGCCAAGGAGCAGAATCCAAACTTCGTATCTCCCGTATACTATGGAATGGAATGAACAACTGCCAATATCCGAGGCCTGGTTGATGAGCTGCATCCATCCAGCCTCTTATTCGGAATGGAATGACTCGAATCCATTACCTATAGAGAAAGCCACGTCACCAGGCCACGAACGGAGTACTGCAGCATGCGTTCGTTTAGTCCACGCTAACGCCTGCTTTGTAGTGCAAAGGGATGTGACTCCGGAGGGTCTGAAGCTCGGAAAGCCTTATATCCAAGCCAGAAATGCAAGGTAGCCCAAGCCGTTTATCCATCAGGAAATAGAATAACTTATGCACTATAAGATGCAGTTGGGATAGTGAATTTATGGCGGTATAGACCAGTCTTTATGGAAATTTATATGTAAAGTAGATCTTGCAGTTCGCAATACATAATAGCTATACAGATTTTCATTTCCGGACAGCCTGACCTTATAGCATGATTCGATCAACTCATACGCGATGTGCTATGATCAGGTTATAATAACTGGATAGATGAGGAAAGGTGATAAGGGGTCGTCAAACGTGGTTAAATTTGCTGACTCATCCTGGTATCGGCACGTGAGCGCCCGCAAAAAAAAGCATCCATTCAAAGTGGATGGAGTCATACACCATCTCGAGCATCGCCAGGAGCCCGTGGTTGGTCGCAGCGCTTTATCTGAGTGGCCTGCTTACTATCTAACATACAAGGAGGCTGTATTAAGCTTCTTTCACGAATTCGCCGCTCAGCTGCTCAACAACCCTTCCATCTCACCGCCGCATCGCGGGGCTAACTCGGCAAGTTGATCGATTAATCTGCTTATGATTTCGGCTTAAATTATACCGACTTTAATTACCATGCCACACTCGCTTCCTGTGCCCGCGACGGGCTTCCAGGCCCTCATTCTGTGTGGCCCCGGCGTCTCGCTCAACACATTCACATCGAACCCAGAGGAGTACCCGAAAAGTCTCATTCCTATCGCAAATAGGCCCATGATATTTTACCCGATCGACTTCTGCAGGAGATCAGGAATCACCGGTATGTTTGGTCGCCCAGATGTTCTGTCTATGCTTGGCCCCATAGACCGTGGAATTGTTTTAATTGTCTTTCGTGGGCTTTCTAACATTAATCATATTAGATATCACATTGATCACACCTCCGTCCTCCCTCGCTCCACTCCAGGCCGCTCTAAAACAAAACCCACATCTTACATCTTTCCCCTCGCCCTCTGTGTCAGTTGTAGCCCCGAAAGACCTCGAGATGACCATGGGAACTGCCGAGCTGCTCCGCCTACCAGAGGTCCAAGATTGCATCAAAACCGATTTCCTCCTTCTTCCCTGCGACCTTATCTGTGACATCCCCGGTGAATCTATTCTCGAGGCGTGGATGGTTTCCCAGAGCGCTCTCGGGGATAGTAGTTCCGCTCGAGAGGGTCGGAATACCTACAATGTAATAGCTTCGGGTCCGGGTGGTGAGCAGGGAGGCCGTCGCGGCGGACTTGCTGTATATTATCAGACGCAGGGCCGAGAGGAGAGTGTGAAAGGCGAGGCCGCCGACTTTGTGGCCGTCGCGGCGCTCGAGCAGGACGAGGCACCGGCAGTATCACACCTAGTCGATGGGCCGGAGGCCCTACGGTTTGGCCTATCGAAGCTGGTCATGTCAATGCCTATGGATACCGTTAAGGAGAAGATGGAACAGAATAAAGGCTTCCTCGTTCGCGAGTCTTTGGTCAAGAAGCATGCGCAGGTCAAGATGCTAACCACGTACCGGGATGCTCATCTTTACGTCTTCCCGTATTGGGTTAAGAATCTAGCTCTCCACCAGGGGAAGCTAGAGTCAGTCGGTGAGGATCTTATTGGCTACTGGGCCAAAGCAGGATGGCAGAAAGGCCTAGGAGATAAGCTAGGGATAAACAAAATCTTCCAACAGGACAGCCACAGCCAAGGCGAGAATGACAGCGAATCGTTGGAGGAAGAGATTGATCTCCAGGGCTTAAGCACCACCAAGACTCGCTTAAACTCTGAATCTTTAAAGTCTGAACTGCCGCAAATACTAGCCTATCTACAACGAGAACCGACTCCGTTTATCCGACGCGTTGATAGCTCCGCTATCCTGCTTTCGACATCACTTCTTCTGGCCAAACTAGAATCTATTGAGGAGGTTGGTCGTCAGGCAGCGTCACCTTTTGCACATAACCAGAAGATTGCCTACCCCGAGGGTGTTCCAGAGGAAACGGATGCTAAGAACGAGAAATTCATGATCTTCGAGGGTTTGGATGAGGAAGGGGAGGATGGCATGGATGTTTCAGAGGATTTCGATTGAAAAAAAAAAAAAAGAAAGAAAGAAAGAAAGAAAGAAAGATAGATAGAGAGAAGGAGACAAAGATTACATGTGCTTTCTGGCTTATGACAGACTAGTTAAGGATCTCGCCAGTGAGTCCTAGCCATATATAGGGAGGGGAGGCGTCGTGCCGAATTGTAAAAAGACATCAAAACAACTGAATATCTAACTTAAAGTATTAGCAACACACTCTCCAAATATCTGGAATCTTCCTTACCCAGCTGTGGCGGTGACGACCTAAGTATCCCCCCCCGCCCCCCCAAACCAAAAGTCGACAGTGTGAGCACCGTCAGAAGTAGAGCCACGAGATGGTGATCACCCCAAGTCTCCAGTGAAATGTACGCCCTGGAGTATCCAAAGCGGGGCCACTAACATAGTTAAGCCTCTAACAAAGATGGTGACTGAGAAGGGACCCATGCGGTCATCACTGGCATAGCTTATAGTAGTTTTGTCCCCTTGATCGGACTCTTAGCCTTCCCCAGGAACGTCTTAAAGAGCCGATACAAGAATTTTGTCAGGAAAAGCATATCCTCTTCGAAAGATTCCTTGTGATCGCATGGTCGTTTTTCACAATCGAGATAAGATCCTCTTTGACGACGAACCTCGTCTCGTTGGGGTCAATGGCGGTCGGATGATTAGAGAGCCAGGTCTTTACATTTTTAATGCGTCGTTTTGGGGCTTTGGCTGGCCGCAGAGATCGTTTTATCTAGAATGCGTAAGTCTACACAGTTTCCATGGTTCTGATAGGTTCGGCGAACAAAGGTCTGCAATTGTGGGATCTCCTCCAGCAGTGTTTTCCGTTCTGCCAAGTCATCCAGCGCTGTGCCATTGCTTCTAACTGGGTTAATCTCTAGAATGTACCTGGGTATTGAAGGCTTTAAATTGCACTTCCCGGTCTGATAGACGGGCCTGTCGATATAAAAGGCATCAAATAACAGCTTATCAAACCGTCGAAGAACAAAGCAGTCCGCATCTGAAGCCCCATAGGCCGAAAAGCTTTATATACGAGGTACTTCCTAATGGTTTCCGATTTATAGATGCATCTTGGATTTCTTAACCGTGATGCTTATTCTAAGGGCCGGCACTTACTATCCAAATATCTAGCTTACGGGTCTTTTTCACCTGCTTGATTTGCTGACATAGTGAGGTCATAAAACGTATCTTTTATATGGAATACAGAGGTGGCCAGCTCGCTTATGGATTACGTTGAACAAATAGGTGCAGAACACATGTTTACAACTATTTAGTTTATTGATTCACCATTATCATCCTGCGGGGATGCAATTCCTCTTAGCTGGATTTTTGAGCTCCTGCATACGTAATCGGAGAAATAGTTGACCTAAGACAAGATTATCAGCAGAAAGACCGTCCGAGCCAGCTATGGCACCGAGGAAGGGATAATTGTCTACTGTAAATCTCAGTCACCAAATTGGAAACAAGCAGGAACACAATGGGATGAATGGGTAGAGGCTGAGTCTGTGCTTATGACTACCCGAAATGCCGGTTTACGGCCAGGTTACAGGTCACATATGATCAAGAATTGTTGATTTAGTGATCGGGGAAAACGTGGATCTAAGTGCCGACTGTCATCGCTCAATTAAGCCCTAATATAACGCCAACGGGAGGTGACTGGCGGCCAACGCTAACAGTATGCGTACACGAAGACACATAGAAGCTGACCATACGGCTGTACAGTACCGATCGAAATCAGTGTCACCACTCTCGACCGACAGAGTTTTTGAACTATGATTCTGATGGAGTGTGGCTGTGCCATAATGCGGATGATGATTGCACAAGTTCCTTGTGTGTGGGAACAAGGATTGGCACGTGAATCTTGCTTGGATCATAATCCTATAACCTCAAAATCCTGATTTCTTACTATTGAACTACAACACGAGTATTTGTAAGCAAGATAAAGAAATCTGTATATATATAAATTTATGCCTTTTCTCTCGCATGATGTTAGAATAAATTGTTAGCACTTACTAGTTTCATTTCATCCACCTAAGTAAATCTCTTCACCTCAGTGACCTAAATCCACACCATCTCACGTTTATCAACGAGATGTCAAGTGCTTCAATCGTGTTGCCTCGTCCTGGGACAGCGAAGTCCAGTGACGCACTGCAGTCAATCCAAGCTCCATCTGAAGCTGCCTTTGTCGCAACCTTTGGTAACCTGCTACCACGAGCATCATATCTGCAGACACCAAACGGCAGAGCCGCATATTACGAGCTGCCACCCTTATCTCCCGCACCTACAGACCGCACAAGACCTATTTCCCGTGTGCTTTTCGTGCACGGCGTCCAGACGCCCGCAATCGGCCTGCAGCCATTGGCAAGTGCGCTGTCTTCGCATTTTCCATATGCTCAATGTGTACTTGTTGACCTGTGGGGCCACGGGCTAACGGATACTCCGTTTGTGGCGCACGACCCGGCACTCTTTCATGCGTTGCTGGAGGCCTTGATGGTACAGCTTGGGTGGGAAGATGCCCATTTCGTTGGTTATTCGTTTGGCGGGTCAACGACAGCGACTTTCGCGGCTGCACACCCAGAACGTGTTGCGTCCATGGTGCTGGTTGCGCCCGCAGGTCTAATCCGCGCAACACAATTTAACGAGTTGCAGAGGAGTTACTTACATGGCGGCGAAGGATTGGAGGAGCTGGCGCGAGCGTGGATTTTGGAGCTGCTTGAAGGAGGCCAATTAATTGTCCCTTCAGATTGGAAGGAGAGAGTTGGACGAGGCGAAGTAGTTACGGAGGCAGTTCGAGAATGGCAAATAAGAGAGCATGAAGGGCACATGGCAAGCGTAGTAGGTATTGTCAGAGACGGTGGGGTCCTGGATAAACATGCTGAATTTGCTGAAGCGGCAAAAAAGGGCATTAAGGGTCTATGTATTCTAGGAGAGCTGGACGACCTGTGCAGCGTGCAGGACTTACACCATGTTGGGATACGGAATGTTGCTGTCGTTCCGCAGGTGGGACATGGAGTTGTGAGAGAAAGGGTGCCAGAAGTCGCCCGACTAATCGAGGATTTCTGGAACAAGCTCTAGTAGGCAAGGTGCCTAGTAAGTTTAACATACTATGGATAGTTACTCAGCAAGGCTGCAGCATCTTAGGAGATGGCTTGAGCGTGGAGTGCATTGATATAAGGTTGGATATTTTGACGATGGTACTCCTGATTTAGGATAGCATCAAAAGATTAACTCTCGCTACTCCTGGTCTCTATTCCTAGAACTTGAGTCTCTTTACTCAAAGCTTTATCCGTCAATCTGATGGCCGAAAACCAACCTCTCATCCTATACTCGGTCCAGACGACCTCCCACGCTCAAAGATTCATGGAATAATCTATCATTGATTAAAACATTGATTACTATTACTATAAAATACATGACAGCAAGAGGACTGCTATAACTACAATTACAGACATAATCGAAGCTCCTTCTGCCAGGTTCATAGCATAGCTTGCATTCCCCCAGCTTGAATTATACAAATCCCTGCTTCTCCAGAAATTCTCTACAAAATCTTTAAGCTTTTGTTCAGAAATTACCCCAGCAGCAATAGGCTTGCTTTTTCCAACTTGGTGCTGGCGGGCTAGGAGACCATAATTCAAAACCAGATAGCTTGACCATGACCCAATTTGGTTTGGCATTGCTCATGACCTGCTGGGTCATTTAACAATTTGGGCTCTACTCAGCATATCAACCAGAAATAATAGGAATGCGCCGGAATATATAGAAGGCAACATGGTAGGGAGCTTTTCTCGGATAGACTATGAGAGAATGAGTATATCTCCGTGCGGCGGCTGACATTTTCATATACTTAGCTGGTTTATGCTGTCTTATCCGCTCTTTTGTTTGTTGGAATTCGGATCTTGTATGGTCTCATCGCGGTATGCACTCAAGAGCAGCGTCTGAATCCCGTGACTGGTTCTCCGTGGGGTTCTCGTGGTGCTCAGCTTTCTGCCGGAGGTCATCACGACCATGATTTTTATCTTTGCAGTATTCGGACCAGGTATACCAATAGGCGCCAGAGACACCGAAAAATCCATCACTCCCGACGGCAATACAGGAAGAATGCTCGGATGTAAGATGCCGTCAATCCATACTCAAATACAATAGATGGAACCTGAGTGACTAACATGAACTCAGAGAGGGAATAAATAATAAGACTGTTCTCCTGAGTCCAAATTCTCCCATCCTTCTTTGATAATAGTAAACTACGGCTCACTAAGGAGGATTTTAGAAGTTAAATATTTTGCCTTGATAGATTCTATCTCAAACGTAGAATTCAAAGCTCATATCCTCGCTTGTCCAAGCATCGTACCAGAAATTTATCATCCAAAGATTCATGTTTGAACTGATAGGCATTACCTGCCGCAAATTTCACATTGATAACGAACCTAATAACAAAGGGAAACCCTAATTGCAGGGCTGCAGCAGTACCAGATGCGCTTGCGACTTGTCTAATCGGGTATCTCACAACTTGCTGGATAAAAGTGTCGAATATAAGAGATAGGTTAGTGTAGTCCCTAATAATATTAAAAAGTGTTTTCCATACTAAGTGAGTGTTGACAAGCAGCCTAAAATTGTCCAGGGTCTGGAGATTATAGAGCGATTTCTTTGCCTCTGAATCCAGGGCTATTTTAATTGACTAGGGATTTACCGATAACGAAGATCAAAGATGATTTCGATCCAGTTGCTAGGACCGAGATGATCGTGTTAAGAGACAGCCCATGCGGTAGATTTGGAATTGCTTTATGATTATCGATGAACAAAATGCAGAAGATGCCGACAAAACAGAGTACACTGAAAATCGTGGAAATCCATCCATATCCACGTATTGGAAGTCAAAGCAGCCCAGCCCTGCAACTTTTGGGGGGTTCAGCTAATTCCCTGGATGTATTTTAAACATCGATATTTAGAGCCACATATTTATCTAATAGATTTATAAATTTAAATTCCTCGGGAAAGCGGTATACAAAGATGTTGAATTTTCACTGATTTTCAGGAGTCTTAAGACTTTAGTCCCTCTAGTGTGACAAAAAGATGCAAATCAGGAGCTAGAGGCATTCAATCGTAACTCTACTGATAAAAATTACAGAAAAAATATATCTGAATTACAGAAAGTTCTATATATGGTTCACAAACAAGAAAACAACCCTACGAAAATGTCAAGACTATTTTATACCCATGAATCTAATAATCGTGTCACTGTTCTTTTGGAATATGAACATCATTGAATACAGTATTATCTAATAAAGCCTTTTAGCTACAGTAAAAATTCACCCATATAATCCTAATTACTCCGTATTTGATCACGGATCTAGGTGTATTTATAAACTAGATTATTTAATCCATTATAAAGTTGTCCTAGGTCTGTCATACCCCCCGGGTCCGTTACGCTGGAGGCCGAGTGCCAATCCGATTCGAATCTCTATAATACAACCCCTGTCAAGACTACATTGGCCCCACTGTATCAGGGTGTTGACTCAGCTCCTAAAGATCAACTTGATTTGATTCAGTTCCCACCTCCTTGAAAGCCCTGTAAAAAATGTGGTGATTTTCGATCAGGTCAATGTCGGAAGAAATCGGGCATTAACCATGACGATGACCGCTCTAAGCGCGATACACTTATTCCACCAGAAATGCTCTAATGGCCCGGGATAAAGAGCTTCTGAGGTAATTAATCCAGACCAGACCACGAAGAGTTGCTTGCGAGCCCGTGCAGCCGGAAAGCTGACGGCTATGAGCCGTGGACTGTGAGCCAGCCGGGCCTGCTGGCAACCAATTGGTGTCCGCTCAGGGGAGAGGTCACTTGTCAGAGGCCGTGGGATCCACCGCTGCTGCAGCGCCTCGGGCTGGTCAAAATAATTATTGGATGGACAGGCAATTCTGACCCGGCTGCGGAAGCTAACGAAAGCTTAGTGCCGCAGTGGCTCCGCAGTCATCTTCCTGGAGACAGTTGGGACTACCGCTGCGGCAGGGCTAAGTATTGGACGACGGAATTCTCCTCCCTTGGCTTATCTTGCCTTGCAAAGGTCTCCTGTACTACCTCCCAAACTCCTTGGATTTCGCAGAATTCCTGTACATGTAACCTCCATGTCCGCACGTTCTGCTTTGTCATATTCGGTATATCGACACCAGGTATATTAGCTTTGCCTCTTTAGAATTCAGAGGAATGGAGGCTAGAAGAATACTATTTTAGCTAAACGCATGTAGCTTGTTAATGACCGTATTTGATAGTATCTATATTGCCTTGATTACTATCTGAAGTACGCATACAGTATCTAGAGGAATGGGGACGATTCAGGGGGATGACGCTTAGCACTCACCATAGTTATCAGATCCCGAATCCCGATATTACTCTATCAGTTACAATCCGAAGAAGAATAAAATAAAATCTTACAGATTTGTATCTGTCTCCAGCCCTACTGCTGCTCAAACAAAGTATAAATATAGTGTGAGACTCTGAGGTACATTATTTCCCTCAAAATCAAACTTAGCGATAAGTATCAAACCCCCCCCCCACTTTTTTTTTTTTTTTTTTTGACGTGTTCACGCTCATTCAGTAGCAGTATTCCTATCACCTGGCAAGGGATATGACATAGTTGTGTAGTAGTATGTCGTCAAATACGGCCCTTTCTTCTCGGAGTTGGCAAATGAGATACAAGTTATGACACGATCGGAAACGCTTAGGTCGACATGTGAGCTGGAATACCGAATTAGACATCTAGTATTAGGCATTTATGTTTGGGGACATGTCAACAAGATTGAGCAAAGGCTTGGGACATAAGAGCGCGCTAGCCTGGTCCATCCAACGTGGTTAAAGAATTTCGATAAGCCTTGTGCCACCTGCAAATCTTTTTCTCCAACTACGGCGATGTAAACATTGGGCTCGGGTTCTGACGCGCCTGGATGTAATTCCCAGTTGACCATCATTGCTCCTCTCCCCTCGCCCTGCTTGGGGCGGTCCCAGTCATAAGTAGGGCGGCTTCCATCAGGAATTTCCAAGTAGTCCCAGAGGCGCTTGAGCAACTCAATACCCTTTAGAATTGCTGGGCTTTTCAGTCGCCCCCCAAGGGTCCACATGTCCACCACTTTCGTCCAGGACACTTCAGGCTCAAGTACGTATATCTTGAGACGGGCAACACTGGGATCAACACAATCCCATGACACTAGGCAAGCCTTGTCCCGGGATCCACTGTCGACCAAATAATCTTCAAGCATAGCATATGCGCCTGACTCCCGAGTGTTACCCACTTTGCCCACGGCATCCAGCACCAGTTTACCGGTGCGGATGCCAGTAGAGACAGACTTTAGCAATGTGAACCAATACATCTTTAGGACACAGTTGCTCTCATTCAAATCCCATGCAGCCAGAGTTTGGGATATGGGAAGTCCAGTGTCTTGCCCGTGAAGAATTGAAATGTCTTTCGTAGAGAGAGATAGCTCATTATGAAAATGATAATACAATGAGTTGTCGAATTTCTCGCTGGCCTCTTCCAGTCTAGAAAGCATTTGGCTCGTCATAGCCTTATTGAATGGGTCTCGTTCCGTACCCGCTAGATGGCTGGTCGGATCAAGATCAAACCGAACAATCGACGTGTCATTTTGGAAGTTGACACTCACTTCGACTTTTGCGCCATTAGGAATGATGGATTTAAGTTGCTCGGTAGTTGGCGGAAAATAAGGTCCAAGCGCAGGCAGAGCATGTCTGTAGTAGAAGAGTAGGTGTTGAAATTGTAGGTGCACCGGTTACTCGGCCACGATCAGCAGGTCAGCCAAAATAGGACCGGTCTCTCTCCACCACTGTTCCTGGTCTCGGTTCTCAAAGTGGAGACTCCTGGATAGGATTTCATATGGTGTTGGCACTTCAGCGCTTTTTGGAAGATTTTGCGCCGCATTGTTGTTCCCTTCATGGCTCCCATGAAAACCTTCGCTGAGTGTCATCGTTGCAAGGGACATCTCTGCGACAAATATTCTCCAAAATGCACGAGGGGTAATCCAGTTGAGAAGCGAAGGTGCTGCGGAATGAAAGTGTCTTACTCCTAGGTAGAAGTATATTTAATTAAGGAAGATCTGACAGAAAAACTGCGATAGCTGTACTAAAATAGAGAATTCTTATGAGCTGACATGGGTTAGGGAAATCCCTCAACTATAGACAGCTATACAGCCCATGCCGAAGACGAGCGGAACATGAAGACGAGCTAAACATAAGGGCTAGTATCCATTCACATTCGCCTGCTAGGTTTAGTCTGCAACTAGCAACCGCTAGTGAGTCTACAGCTGAGCTGAAAGTGGAGCTTCATGTCCTCTTAGAGAAGTATGGGTTGACGGCATATCATATGACTCCCAAAAGTGGTTAGGCTATTTGCATGAGGTTCGGGTCTAGACCATAGAATCTCCGCAGCCAACGTGTGTCTCCTGCAAGCAAGTACATGTCACACCTGACCCACACCGCTTTAAGCGAATGGGGTGTGGGTCAGGTGCGATGGGTACGGGCGTATGGAGGACCCACCGGGGGATGCCACCCCTGTGAAGTGCAGGGCTCTATCAGATACCTGTGCACCACAAAAATAGCGCTGATGCACTTTGTACCGGGACGTAGTACTGATATATCTGACTACTCTGACAGGTTCGCAGAAATTTATGACGTATCAATTTTGCATCTCCCTGTACCTATTTCTTTTTTCTTTTCTCTTTTTTTTGCTTTTCCCATAAAAAGAAGACGCAATGTAATATGTGTAGGCTAGGACGAACAGAATGCATGTATCTATAGGCATTTTCTATCTGCAGGTGACCTGACAGCTCTCTGTCACAATTATGGAACAAAAAGCGTAGGAATTATTTTTGGAAGCATAGGGTCATAATTACACCCGGCTAACAATGAGCATCTCACCAAACACTAAATGTGCAGCTTTTGCTTCCTTGCCTGCCCATCCATCCTTTAGCTGAAAAATGAACAAGTCCCGGCAATCCACCTTCTGTAAGCAAGGAAGTCCAGTGAATACGTTAAGACACTAAGGTAGTAGTACTGTTGTGAACAGCGGCTCAATCAAGTAAACCAAAAGCCAGGTTACAGGCAGAGTGGCATCGTTCTAGGGGTGAGACGCCGCGCTAGTCAATTACATAACCTACCATCGATTGATAGATCTAAATAAAAATAAAAACTTGTTATGTTGGAAGACGCTCCCCCTATATCCATTAGACCTTTCTCTCCCGACAGCAATGGATCCGTATATCACCACAGGTCATGGCTCGAACACTGGACGCACCCTGAATTCCCACCTGGTGAGTCGCTCAGGGATCGAAAAAAACGATTTAAACAGAAGGAGTGGGTAGAGTGTACGTCGCCACAATTGCTTAAGCAAAGTATGCATTCTGCGATCGGGCTTGGCCCTGGGGATACATTATTTACCGGACCACCTACGCAAGCGAGGAAGGTTGGACGGCTGCCCTGGCCAAGCTTGATCGTTATTTCTGCCAGGAAGTCAAGCCACTTAAGGCTGGCTCCGACCGGGAATTACTGCGAGGGCAGTTGGATGCTCACAAGCTTATCTACGAAGGGTACCGGAATTTTGTTATTGAGGATCCCAAGCTAGACAGTGTCGGTGCCGATATCATCCTTAAAAAGCACCGAGAGCGGGTAAAAAGGCACGGATTAAATCCTAACGCAAGTTCACGATTTGGCTACCGCCTAATGATTGATGAGCAGTGTCCTCAATCTATCTTAGCATCCAAAGAGCCTGGAACCGCGGAGCCAGCCGGCTGGGGTCAGTGGACAGGACCGCACGGATATATCAATATCTTGGATGTCGTGGACCATGATCCCGAGGATCCAGAATATGACGAAGGGCCGTTTTATAATGGGTGTATGCGGTTGGAGCTTGATGCTCTTTTTTATTTTGCTTATAGCTGCGAGGATGACCCGCATTGTGTTCAATACTGTGGTGTTGATAGCCTAGAACGGGTTTTGTATACCGACGGAAGAAGCTCGAATGGCGGGCTTAAGGACATGGTTACTTACTGGCAGAAACAGGGTATGAATATCTATGGGTATGAACGAAAACCCTATCCATAGCAATTTTTTATGCTGGCGAAATTAGTCCAGGATCGCCTGGGTACTTTGTCTTACGGGCCGGTTGTTCTGCCCCTGTGTAAATAATATGAGGAGGCTTTAACCCTGCCACCACGGAGGACCAAGACGCAGTTCTGGAAGTTTTCTGCTATTATTTTAACCTTTGCCCTTTTATCCCTGACCTTAATAGCACGTATAAGTCTTCGATAATACTGCATCGCGAATGTGCGGCGAAGATGCATACCTAGTGGAGTCCCCGTGGCTATTATTGTCTTTAGGCGTATAGGTCAGTTGTCTCGCAGGCTCTACGCTGTATATTGCTCGTCTTCGCCTTCGCCGCAATCGGCGCATTATGATTTGTCCTCTTTATCATATAATCCTCTGTAGTATGAGAACGCACGCTTCTTCCCTCTTCACCTTTACTTTCTTCCCCCCAACGATTCCTCCTTGTGTATATCTAGACATTAGATAGCAAGTCATTTCGCTCCTTTACAAGTTGGGAGAATTATTAACCTAGAAATATATTTATACTGGTTGCGCGCGCTCCGCAAGCTCCGCATGCGGTTGACCTGAAACGATAAAACAATCTGAAAACTGGAAAGAGATTCATTCTACATATTAGAATACAGATCTTCACAGTACAGAATGTTCAGCTAATTAGATAAGCGAATCGCACTGGAAGCACCCTGCCTAACTTGATCAGAACCGATATAGTCGACAAAATCATGAATGTGAATAAAAGAAGGAAAAGTCCTGGAGGAAGAAGTCATTGCAGGTGAAAAGTGTTATAAAGGCATGAGGAGTACGTAATATTTATAAAAGACCTTTTAATTTAGTTCCAGTACAGACATGTCCAATACAGCCACTACAACTGGATATGTCAAAAAAGGATTCCTTAATAGATTACTAATTTAGCTATGTGGTTTATTCGGTCATATGAATAGAGCTTTCTAATCAGCTTAAATAGGAAATCAGACCTTCATTACTTTGATTCGAATAGATTGTATTTTAGTGCTCCACCTTGGTTAACAGAAATACTATACGTTTGGGTGCGCCATCCAATCAACCTTCTATCTAACCACGCAGCTAGGCGCAATAGAAGTTTACGTAGCAGTACGGCGTTCCTTTATCATCGGTATCGCAGTTGTCTGTCATTGGGAAGAAGTCATTATTCGGGCAGATCTTGAGACAAGTTTTGTAGCTGCCGCAGGGGGAGTCGTCTATTAAATATTATTAATTAGTATCTGTAATAGAAAGTAACTGGCCAGGTTTTTGAACATAGATAACGTACAGGGATCGTCGGAATACGACCTCGCCATGGCATTAGCTGGATAGAGTGGACGCGAGAGGTATTGCCTCCAGAAGTAGATTGGATTGCCCAGGGCAGGGGCGACCAGAGTTACAAACAAGAGCACCGAATACTTCATATTGTCGATTTGTTTTGCGGTGGATAACAGGAATCAATGTTAATAGGGTAGATATTATAGTCTTCGGAGGTTTAACTATTATATATCCTCTACTGATATTTTTGTAATAAGGCTGACGAGTGATCATGCATGACCTCAACAAAGTAGAGTCATGACGCAAAATATCTCTTATTTTATTTATTATTTTTTGTCTATTAGTCATTTATACATGTAAAATGGCTGTCCGTAATTTATATAGAACTTTAATCAGTGGAGTAACTTAAAAGATGGTTAATTCGTTAACGGAAATGTAACTTTCAGTGCAGGAGGTAGTGTAGCATCGGTTGTAGTTCCGCCAGAAGCCTAATAGATGTATAATGGGATTAAGTTTGCTTGGTTTAATAGCTGACATTAACCCAGTCCGATATAGACTTTCTATTTATTCCCTCGGATTGCTCGGACGATAGTTTATTACTCTAAATAAATATATCTAGTTTGCAAACTGCTGTCGAGTATCTGAACTAACGTTATAAATATCTATCCTAATAGATAATAAACTTATCTGGAGATTAGCTTAATTTGTATCTGAACTCGGGTTTACTATCGGCGGTTACCCTCGTATGAATATTTTGCGCGGTCGGTCTTAAGGGGGATGTATTTAGATAAATTAATTCTATTACTGTGTGTTGTGTCTTTAAAATATATTAAAAAGGCATTAACAGGTGGATATGGCGGAAAAGAGGCTATCTAGGTTTTGCAAACTCCCTATATTCCAGATAAGCTTAGGAGGCAGATTAATTAGATGGTATTTAGTGGACAAAGTCTAGGGTAATTAAACATAAATATAACAAGACATTTTTATTTTTGGCAGAGGAATAAAAGGAAGGTGAATTAAGTTGCAACAGGGTAGTATATTAGGGGGTTAAATAGTAGGCTATATATACTAATATACTTTCCAACCAAGCTTATTTGTTAGCGATCTAATCGCCCTGTGTTATGTGTAATAGAGCCCTTACGCTGGCGACTTAACCAATAGGGCAATTGTTAGGGAGGTGCGTCTAGAATAGCACAAGTAGACCGACTAGACAATAGGAGGGACAAGATATTATATGCGAATGTAGGCTAAACGTAGAGAGCACCTATATACCAGACCTGATCGCTGACCTCCGGAAGATCGCAGGTCAGCGAAGGGCCATATTCTCTTTCCATATTACGTGCGTTTTGCCTACGACCTATTTGATACTTAGACGCAGCTATGTCCACTACACTGCGCCTGGCTGGTAAGCCGCGCTTAACAGATTTGTTAAGGTAGGACAAGGAGCGGTATGGAGAGGAAGGAGGGGTTATATATACTACAGAACAAATCGCTATCCTTTAGGAGTTCAGACGCGAGTGTGCGAATATAAACACTCGCACCTGACTAAGCACCTAGAGTCGAACGAATAGGTAATCTCATTATCGCTGGGCGCCTAACAAATTATTGCGGTGGTGCCTTTGCCTTCTGTGTATAGAATAGATTTCTCTCGGTGGCATGTTCCTCGAGCGTTGCAATAAAGACAGATAGAGCTCAAGCGAGAACAGGTGGAGCTCGTGCGAGAAGACTCTAATAAAGAATAGGAATGGTGGATGAGATTTGAAACAATAAACGTGCCAAGTTATTGAGAAATGGACCAAGGGGAAGAGGGCGTGGACACAGCACATTTCTATATGGCCCCCCGAAGCCTTTTTCGCGCACGGGTACGCGGGCGCGTTTACTTTATCTCTTCTTCTCACTACGTTCGTTTCAGGGCACTCTATGATTCAAAGGCAGTACAAAATTACATATAATCGCTTTGCAGTCTGAACATATTCCGTTTGAAGCTACTAGAGGAGGGCGAAGAGCTTCTACAGACCACGTCTCGCTGTCATAAAATAAAGCGTGGCGGCCCAGATAATGTAGTCTCTGGCGTGCTAGTGTATTCAATGCCCATACTAAGTAGATAGGATATGATCCTGTCCCTATCGATCAAAGTTCACCGCCCGATGCGACAGAAGCCTTCCTCGTCCCAGTCCTCGCTTCCAACCCCTAAGCGAGTGATAAAGAGCCCGTTCGGATCCCACATACGCTTGACTGTATAAAGCTTCGCATAGTTCTCTCCCCAGAAAGAGCTTTGGAAATCTGGTTCGTAGGGGTCGGCTTCATTCAGATATGCGCCCATCTGACCAGGCTCCAGGGATTTCAGTAAGGGCACCTGGACATAAGTAACCTGGTCTTGGATGGCTTTTTGTTCGACAAAGCTCGCATTGGATGGCCAGCCACGAACAATGCTTATGTGGCACAGCGCCCGACGCCATGATGGGTGGAGAGCGCTGCTGATATGGCCACCATTGCGAGTGACCTGCCCGCCCGCTACAAAGTTGCCCATTATGGCTTCACCTGTCGCCAATTCGATTTTCGATAGTACTGTGGAAATGTTTGTAGGGCCGGTAGACGATTCGAGAAACTCGCGAGATAGCATGCGAGATCCAATCACCGACCCTCCACCTGTCACGTCACCTTTTCCAAAGCGGGCCTGGAAGTAGTCGTAGAAGGTTTTCATCGACTGAATCTGAAGTTCTGGATTCGCTCTGGTGACTGATATAATAGTTTGGAGAAGCGGCTCCATAACACGATGGATGCGCTTCACATCGGTTTCATTTGGGAATATAAACTGGGTTTCAACTCTCGCCACCGCATTCTTTTCAGGGCCACTTCGTGGTATTATGGCACTGTAGCCAGCGGCGCCAGCGTCATTCAATGATGGAAGGAATGAAAATAGTACCTGAACGGCGTCCCAGAACTCGGTATCGGCAGACGCTCGCTCAATATGAAGGTCTGCGGAGAGTAAAGGTGCATCTGGGTAGGCTTGGATTGTCACGCTAGTGACTACTCCAAAGCTGCCTCCGCCACCTCCGCGCAACGCCCAGAAGAGGTCTTGATTGACATACTCATTTGCTGTCAGGTGCTCCCCCTGACAATGTGTGGATATGTATTAGAATGGGTTTGAGATACCCTCGGGGGCAGTATGCACTCACCTCGGCCGTAACTAATTCGAATTCTATCACATTGTCAGAAGCCATCCCTTTCCAGGGCCCTAGCATCGAATGCCCTCCACCTTGTATGTAGCCCCCAGCGGCGCCAACAGTCGTGGAATAACCTCCGACTATAACGAGACCGTAGGCATGGGCCGCATCATATAGCTCATTCAGCTGAACACCTGCCCCAATGCTGACAGTTGAGCTGTAGGTTTTCTGCAGCTTCTCGCCCCCCTTGGGCGTAAATATATCGTGGAAAGTAATATTTTTCAGCCGGTGGGTGAAGATTTGCAAAGAGCCAGGCGCGGATGATCTCCCAAGAAAGCAATGGCCAGTATTCTTCACGACGATGCGCAGGTTGTTGTCTCGGGCAAAACGGACAGTCTCTTGGATATGGGTTACGGACTCAGCAAGAACAGAGTAGATGGATATCCTGCCCTGACCACAAGGCACATTTCTTGGTGACTCTAGATCACACCTTTCCTCTGCTTCTGGCCAGGCCTCCCAATTTGACCATTGGAGGGCCCCTTTAGACTTATTAACGCGGCCGGAGGAACAGTAGGAACCGCACGTAGTTCAACGTACCTGGTTGAGAAGACAGCCAACTTGCATTGTGCGAGAGATCCTGCACTTCCTCACATCTTGCCTGATTAAAGGTGGGATTATGACAGGTTCGACCTATTGGATTGACTCCAAAGAGGCCCCCGCCAATGGAGCGATTGAAGTTGGCCCAGGCCTGTGTCGATGGCCAACAGCTTTCATGCGGTTGACACCGGCAATGGAGGTGATTAGGAGAGCTAAGGGTTGATGTGATGAGTGCTAGCATAACAGGGAATAACCGCATAATGAACGTTCGATGTAATTTAATGTTGCAAGAAAAAGTTTCCATGGTTATGAGGCTTGACTTGGGAATCATACTTAGATACACATCTCTCTGGCATGCTTATATAGCAATCGATCGAGCTGATCCTGCTAGTGTTCCATATGCGTAGATGATAATTTTCTTTAGATCTCATACCCACTACATACATTTAAAGTTTGGAGCAGCTAATATGGTTGGCGAAGAATGCGAACACGAAGGTCGCCCCACCTCCCATGTGAGTGGCGATGCACCCCTAATTATGCTATCGATCACCACCTACAACTTTCCTGCTGTGCTGAGATCCCTGTGAATTTCATAGCCTCCCAGACAGACCGTTCAATACGAGAACTAGTCTTCCTCTGTCTGACAAACAAGGCTTTGAAAGAGCAGGGGTTTCATGGACAATTCAAATCCTTCTAGGGCGGGGTGCGCGAAGAGGCCCCATCGGAAATCCCGAAGCGGGTGCTATCCCTGCAAAGCACGTAAAGTCAAGGTGCGAACCCCGGTGGAACACACTGTATTGCAGAGACTTCTGTCGTATGTCGCGGGCTGACAGTCTGGGAACAGTGTCAGGAGACCTGGCCACAATGTGAGAACTGCAAATATAGGGGAATGATCTGTCTTTATCCCCCCAACGTTCGCTTAGAGCATGATCATCAGCAAGCACGCTTGGTTTCTCTTAGACCAAGAGACACTCCGAGAAAGGTGCTCAGCCCGTGTACATGGCCAGCGAGTGGAGAGTCAAATAGTATCCATTTCTTCCATCACTTCTTATCTGTCGCATACCCTCATCTGCCACTGGGAAGCGATTCGGCATGGACTATGGATATTCCCAAGCTTGCCCACCAGGTATTACTCACTGACAAAAACCTCTGTGCTATTTTTTTTTTTTTTTTTTTTTTTGGTGCGTGATACTAAACATTCAAAGTACGAGTACCTCTTTCATGCGGTCCTTTCTCTCGGCGCGTCGCACCTATCGTTGCTCACTCCCAACGCTAGGTACACTACAGCTGCCACCAAGTATCGTGGGCAAGCCCTGAGAGGACTGCAGGAGTCCATGACAAAATCGCATCATTCTGACCGAGAATTGGATGTACTATTGGCGACGTGCTATGCACTTACCTTCCAATCAGGCTACATGAACGATGGCCTTGTCGACTTTCTTATCCTGACGCGTGGATGTGCAATCATCACCAAACTAGTGGCAGAGCATAGCTCCACTAGTGCTTTCTTGAGGCCAAATGCGCATCAACAACCACTACAGATTCCAACATATATAACGTACGACAATGTGGCCGTGGAAAAAGCAGTCAAATCCTTGGAATCCATTGGGCCTTTCCTGTTCTGTACCACATCTCGTGCTTTCCATGCTGCTATGGTGGACACAGTAAAGGCACTCTACACCTCATCTCAGGCAGCATATGACCATTTTGGGAAAATATTTCATATTCTGTTTCTCATGAATCACACAGAGTTGATGTGGTTCCTGTCGTCATCGAACTGCGAGTCACGGCTACTCCTTGCTCATTTTATTGCATTATTGATAATCCTGAGGCCTGTTTTGAAATATGAAATGCCCCTCAGGTTGCATAGATTTCCTCAGCATCTGTTTCCTGCAATAAAATGGGTTGAGATGATCGAACAGACCCTCCCATCCCAGTGGCATTGCTACCTCCGGTGGCCACTTGAAATCATCAGTGATTTTGCCCCGAGATGTGGTTCTACATCTCACCAAACCCTGTTATCCCACCCATGTATTGTTACGGAAACACTACGATCGCCCGACTTGGCGGTGCGGAGCATCTGACGAGCCATTCTACCCTTGAAGCCTTCAGATAGTAGAACATCTCAATGAGAATATAGAGAACCGCTTAGAAGGCTCAGTTGGTTGAGATACTGCGATTTCTAATGTTTCCACCAAACGACATCTACTTCCTAGTAAGGCTGAGGGCCTGTTAACTGATAGAATATCCCTGATCACTTCCCCTGAATTCTAACATGCCCCAAATACAGTTCTTATTAATAGTATGGCTACATAACTTTAATAATAGTAAAGGAGGCTATCCGGCATGATAATGTCCCTTGAATGCAATAGGGAATTTTATATAATTTAAGCCTTTTGCTTAAGCTAGGTAAAACAACCAGTTAATGTGAAGCCGATACTGCAATCTACTGTACCTGCACATTGCCGCTTCCCTGTCTATAACTAACCCCTACCCCCAGAGCTCTTATCTGTTAAGCATTGAGTATCAGCTTTTTTTTTTTTTTTTTTTTGGTTTGTTCTGTATGTGATTATAGAGGGTGATTTATATTCTACTGTTCATGTGAATATATGGAACATACTTATGCAAGCATCTAAGGAAAAGCAGTAATTCTATGAGCAGCTGCTCCGATTTCCTATATCCAAGCCCATATAGATAGTCACTAATTATCACTTTACTAGAAGAACGCTCTGGGCAATTATGGTCTTTGCTAATCGACTCTAGAAATTCCTCGCAATATCGATCTCCTTTCAAAATGATCTTATGAACTGCATCCGACTCCATGAGCTCTCTCTAAACATTCTAGCCTGAGAAAATTCAAATAAATATAATAACGAATCCGGAAGCTAGTACACGGTCATCTGTTTGGTACATAGCAATAAAGAAACTCTTAAAACAAAAGTCATATAACTCTCTCACATAACCGTAAAACTCTAAGCAGTCTCTACATGAGCAGCAGCAGCCTGCTTCTCCTGGAAATGCTCCTCAAGACGACGCTCAGTCCCCGCGAATCCATCCCTGCGAAAAGATCTTTCCACCCGGACGGGGTCAAAGACATTCTTCGACCGAATGAAAATCTCATCAATCTCTTCGAGCGTTCGGCCTTTCGTCTCCGGGTAGAAGATATAGAAAACTACGAAGGCAAATGCGCCGATACACGCATAGACAATATAGTACTTGTAGCCAATGTTTGCCATGGCTTTTGGAGTCACTTCTGCGACCAGAAAGTTGAATAACCAGTTCGTGCACGCACTCATGGCAGTGACTTTGTGGCGTATGGAGAGCGGGGAGATCTCCCCCGCGTACATGAATGGGATCAGGAATAGCCCAACCGGGAAGAAAAACATGGCGACGAAATAGAAGAAGATAGCGGCCTCTGCTGCAGACTTGTTGTCCATGTCTGACATGAGCCCCGCAAGAGCTGCCTGCGCAACACACATGCCTGCTGCGCCGGCCATCAGCAGCTTCCGTCGTCCGAACCGATCAATTAGGAGAACTGCAATTCCCGCACAGAGGAACTGCCAGATCTGGATGCAGCCGGAGAAGATCCGTGCCTCGGTGGCAGAGTAGTTGAGCTGGTTTTGGAAAATTTGGGTGGAATAGAAAGTAACTATGTTGATTCCGGCCATCTGGGCCAGCAGAGCGACGAAGACGGCAAGGCACGCGCGATGGAAATGACGTTCCGGACCCATCGTGAACAAAGAACTGGAGTGCTGCTTCTCTTCCTGGAATGTATCTCGGATGATTTCTAGCTCCTGTATCACAGCCTCCGAGTCATCGGCCGTATCTTCTAAAGCACTCATTACTGACCGGGCTTTTTCTATCTCATCGCGCTTGATCAGCCATCGAGGAGACTCCGGCAGGAACAAGACCAGAGAGGTGACGGTCAGAGCGAAGACACCCTGGAATGCGATCGGGAATCGAAAATTAACTTCGTTGTTCTTGACGAAGTAGAGGCCAAACTCGATCCACGATGCCGCTGTGAGGCCTCCGATGGCAAAGAATCCCTGCAATAACACCCGCCGACCACGATCGCGGGCGTTTGAGCACTCTGACACCCACATGGGAATCGTCGCTGTCAATGCACCCACACCAAGGCCTAGAAGATGTGCGTTAGTGCAGGTCCAAAGTGTACTGTGTCTGTGAAACCCTACCGGTGACAATTCTGGCGACAATCAGCTGAGCAAGACTGAAAGGGGTGGCCTGCAAAATGACCCCCACAATGACAGCGCATCCCGCAACGAAGATGGTTCGGCGACGTCCCAAGTAGTCCCCAATAAACGCGCAGGAGAGCGCACCGAAGGCACACCCAACTTCGTAGATTGCGACCGTAGTTCCTGGAAAGAAAGAGAAAAGTAAGCTCGTCTCCTTCGCTTTTCGGGTATTTGAGAATTTAGCTAGAACACACCCTCAATCTGCGACTTCTTCATCTCCGGAAAAACACGCAGGAATGTTGGCAGAGTCACGAGCCCATTCATCACGGCCTGGTCGTAGCCCTGCAACGCGAATCCCGTTGCAGCGACTAGACTAACGACCAGACTGAGTATTCTGCCTCGGAGACCCAAGTAGACCATTTTGTTTCTTCTCGCCAGTAGCTGAAGTGAGTAGGATGAGAAAGAGAAACAGGATTTTGCGGAGAATCCTTGGGCAACAGGGGGTGGTCACCTGGAGATGAACCACCCCGCAGCAGTTGCCGGCTTAGCGGACGTTAGGTCAAGAACAAGCATTGTAGGGGCCTATATCCGATTCTATTAATCAGTGGAAAGACACGCGGACCTCTTGTTTCCGAGACCCACCGTATTTCGGGAAGATTCACAGGCCAAGAAGGCTTGTCTGCGGGACTCCGTAACTCTATTCGAACTAGTTTTTTGGCTGTTCGGTCATCGTCCGACAGAAAACTTGGTCTTATGAATTAGGCAACCACTTCTTTTTGATTCTAGGGGAACAAGAGTCTAGATGGAGATGGACTGGATGCGCTCTTCTGAATTAGTCCTTGTCACGTTTGCGGGGATCATGTTATAGCCAAGCTCAAGATCTTAACTATTCCACTGGACCAAAAGACCACTATATCTGATCCCATTCCTGAGCCCCTTATATAGTAGCGCACTGTAATGTTAGGTGACGCACCCACACCTAACAGATCAGCCGTATTCAAAATGTTCTTCAGTTCTTGACAACCTGCCGCGTTCAAACCACTCGTTTTCTGCATAGAATAGCGAACACCCTGTATTTCAACCCCCTCATTACCTATTTCTAACATTTTAAAGCTTTTAATATCGCTGACTAAGAGCTTTAGTAATGTTAGTATCTCTCCCATGGGATATAAAGGATATCGCGTAAGAGATATCAAAGCGTACGGTGTATACAGTTCAGTCTAATCTCCTACGCTCGGCGGGGTTAGAAAGCCTCAAGTCCGGACACTTGGTCATGCCAGGAAGAGCTGACGAAGACGCTCTATTTGACCTTTTAAAGGAGGGCTGCACCATAAAGATGAATGGTCTGGTGGCTCTTAGGTGTCCTTGTCACCTAGCCAACGCTGTCACGTACGTCGAAGCGAAGAAATCTGGAAGGAATCTTAAGCGAATTGCACGCGAAATTATACCCTGAGGTGTGGCTATCTTGACGATATTCGTCGATTTACTGTGGAAGATCTTATCTCCCTATGTGAGTCTATTTTAATGAGAAACACTGGCGCCACCACGCCTGCACACCAATCGAGGATAAACCCGATATGATGCAGATACTCAACGGGGTAAGAGCTGGAGTATCTGTGCCACCCTAACTCTGGATAATTAGCTTCCTTGTACAGGAGTCAAGCAGGGTTATTCCAGTAAAGATGAGTTCTATTCCTGGTTTGAAAATCGGCCTATTCCTGCAGTAAACCATTATGGAAGCGGCCGGCAATCGTCATTGTAATGGACAATATCTCCATCCATATACACAACTAACATACTGAGCTAATTGATGAAGAAAGCATTTAGTAGATTTCTGCCACCATATGCACCTCATTTAATCAGGTTGAGATGATATTCTGAGTATTAAAAGCGAGGATAAAAGGAATTAGATATTCTACGGTCAGACCCGTGATATGTACCGCGATTTCGATAAGATGACTATCCAAGATAGCCATTGTAGCCAATACGCTAAGCGCGCTAAGCGACAATTTAAACATGCAACTGGAAATGGTGTCTATATAAAAGTTAATTGAATGCGAATGGTTTCTGAAGCGATATAGGAAGAAAGGGCGATCCCATCAAAGGACTCGGCTTTAGCCTCAGCGGGGCTTTAGCGGCCTTGACTGCCGCAGCTCTCCTCTGTATTGCAGCCCCTTTCGTAGCGGCGCTGCGAGGTAGGTAATATTGGATTCACTGATCCTGGAGCATGGAGGTGTGTTATATGGATCTTACGGAGATCGTAAGTGACCGTCGCTCAGAGGTGAGCTCCGGTCTGGAGTCAGCTCACCTGTACCCCGCAACCGTCTCGACTAATCTGCTAACTACTTTTGGTACCTCTCTTGAAGAAGACGCCACGTCCAAAGCTCTGTTACTATACAAGATAAATCTTTCTCGTCCGATCTTGCAGTTAGCTGAAATAGAAAAAACATCTCGAGAAGCACCCACTCCAGGTCATTATAGGAAGTAACAAGAGCTCCTATTTTATTCACCCTGGAGCCTTGTCATGGTACAACACGTCAGCACTGAATGCCCGAGTCTACAGGTCACGAAAGAAGAATGGAGCCAATGATCCAATTAAGTAGACCAATTTTGATGAGCAGACGGTTGAATGCGTTTTAAGCGACCTTTACACAGGACTATTATATACCCGATCGGAGTTTAATCAAGACGGTATATGCGAGAATGCCGATGATAGCAAAGGTAGGTCAAGCTCGACTTCTGTTAGTTGGTGATTAGCTAATTACAAGAAATTTGGAAGGAAATACATCCATGGCCAAAATACTGCTAAGTCACGCTGGCTCTGTGCCTTCCTCGCCGGTGTTGGAGTGATAGTGTTCGTGAAGGCCAACCGCCACTGTTTCTGGAGTCCTGCAACGGGAATAGCGAATCGCTCAGCTGTTACTAAACCATGGCTCGGACGTTGACATTATAAATGGAGACGGGAGGACCAAGATGGGCAAATGTTCACATGCAGGAGACAGTATTTCATTTTTTGGAGCATAATAGGTACTCCATACGGACGTCCACTCTCCCCAGTTAATCCACACAAATGTTCCTTCGGATTCTTTTATTGCAATGGACTGGTAGTGTGCTCACACGATCCTTATGTTACGGCCGGACTTTATGTGTTCAGTATTAGGTCTCACCATCTGGGTTTTTCTTCCCGTACGGGACGATCAATCCGCCTGGGGCCTCGAAATGTCTGCTTTAGAAGCGTGGGAAAAAGACCATTTGCCTAAGGCATCAATCTTATATACGCGGACTCATATTCAGACACCCAATTATTCCTCCCTATTTAGTCATTTGACCCATTTATTCGAAGTATTTAGAGGTTCGATTCTTGATAGACGTAAAGAGACAAGCAAACCATCAAGCACAGATATGGACGAGTACAGTTAACACTTTAAGTGATATATATAGAGATCTACTGTCATCCTAGCTAGTATATCTTCTATGCATTATCCTCCGGAGCTCCATGGGCTCCGTGTTCTATCAGCACGCGCAACATTTCTGCCTCTTCGTTCAACCGCCCACCAGAGCGGTGTGTGATTACTTTCATCGGTCCCATTGACCTCTGCTCCAAGATAAAGAAAAAGTTGGCAGACTTTCACAGCACTAACCGGACGGCGTGCATCAGCAGAGACGCCCTGAAAGTCATGGGATTCGAAATTTTGAGCCCTTTGCGTAATTAGGTGCACCACGTCTACATAATTACTATCAGTTGCGTATAGAAGCGTCGTAGTCTAGCAGTATTTCGACTATATTAACATAGCTATTACCTGCCGCTCTTGTAAGTGCACGGCGCTCGGTCGGGGTTGGAGATGGAGTGGAGTTGGTCCACGCTATATACTATTAGTATACACTCTACATGTAGATAGAGTAAACATACAAAGCGGCTTTCATACCCTAGAGTCCTAATAGGCATCAAAACATCTGCATGGACAGAGTCACGGTGGAAGCGATGACAGTACTGATTCCGGAATGCCGCGTGCTCAGACCTATAATAATATTAGAATATGCAGAGTGGGCGAGGTAGAATACGCACATATGCAATTCTCTCCAGGGCAGATGCCACGACCGGACTCGGTCAAGAAACAGTCGGAACGCCACCCTTTCTCAAGAGGAAGCTCTTCAGGGCATTATTCCCTGCGACTTGCTTTATTTGGGCGAGGTTGTGACAGACTAGGACCTGGAGCGCCCCAAAGTGCTGTTCTCTTTTTGCTGCCAGTAATTTTATTATTAGTTTTATATATACTTGGTACAGAAGAAGAACTTGCAGAGACGGATCATTGCCAATATAACCTCTATATTTTATCACCGTTAACAGCAATCCAGTATACTCATCTAGTAATCTTTGGGATATACTGAGTGATTGGGCAGGCCGCACTGTAAATATGCAGGTTACATATGCAGCCTATAAAAGGAATCTCACTATATAAATAGAAGCTGTTCTTTTGTTCGTCCTAGGCCACGATTCTCACAACAGGGTATCAAGAAGTGTTAAAAGAGTAGTAACTTGAGAGTCCTTGCAGTTGTTCAGTTTATTTAACATTCTCCTCTTTCTGTCTCCACTCCTACCATCCCTAATTGATTTTTTCTTTTCTTTTTTCTCGTAGATATAGATACCTGTGGCTTATTGGTTGTTTGATATGGTGATGCGCCGTGATTGAATTAAATTAAGAGAGCTGAATTGGAATTATTTATAATAGTTTATATCCAATCGGATGAATTAATGATAAAAGCTGGCAATTTAGTCCTTTAGGTTCTATAAACGAGATTCTAGGATAGTTTCCAAGTCGGCTAGCTGAACTGCATAACATGTCAGGGTAATATATGCAAGCATCGATATATCGAGGGGACAGACAAACCCTCCGTAGACCAGCTGGCTGGATGTAATTCTGCAGTACTAGTTGAATATTAAATTACTCGGTTTATCCTTATTAGCATCTCGTTATAGGACGGCAGATGAACCCTATGGCTATATAAATCTCATCCCCATCCTTTCTATCATCATTTCTATCCCGTACTTCTCCTACACTTGAATTACTGTCAAGATGAGGTTCCTCAAAGCCCCTCTTTATTTCCTCACCTCATTCTATCACCAGGTCACCGGAAGTCAACCCCCCCCCCCAACCATCCATTGATCTCTCCCAGTACGAGCCCTCCGACATCATCACCCGAGATGTGTGCGTTATCGGAGGCGGCGCCGCAGGGACCTACGCCGCGATCCGCCTGCGCCAGCTGAACAAGAGCGTCGTGCTCGTCGAAAGACAGTCTCGTCTGGGTGGCCAAACCACCACCTACACCGACCCGGTCACCGGCAAATCCATCGACTACGGCGTCACCTATTTCCAGAACCTGCCGCTGGTGCGCAACTTTTTCGACCATTTTGGCATCCCCCCTGTCCCGCGCCTCCTTCGACTACCATCTAGACATGCTGGACTTGCATGTCGGAACCCACATCGCGCAGTCCTCGTTCCCCACTCCGGCTGAAGCTGCCCACGCTAAGGAGAAATACATCGCTCAGCTCGATCGCTACCCCTACCTGAAAGTGGGGTTTGATCTGCCTAATCCGGTCCCCGAGGATCTCCTGCTTCCCTTTGGTGACTTCCTACGAAAATACGGTATGGATGCCGCCATCGCCGAGCTGGGCGCGTCGATCAATCCCCTCGGCGATTGGCCGTCCATGCCGACGCTCTACGTGTTCAAGTATCTCAATTCGGACGTCATGGAGGGCGGCCGATCCGGGTTCGTTCGTCCGGTCGATCACAACAATAGTGCTCCCTACGTGGCGGCGCAGAGAGAGCTGGGCGATGACGATGATCTCCTTCTGGACTCGTCCGTGCGGCGCACCCACCGTGATCATCCAGATGGATGGACCTACATCGAGATCCAGAACATCTCGCCATTATCCCGACCGCGCCTCATTCGCGCGAAGAAAGTCATAGTCGCCGCGCCCCCCAAACCAGATAACCTGAACGGAATCGATCTGACCGAGGCCGAAAGGACCCTCTTCTCCCATTTCTCCAATACTTACTTCTACACGGCCCTGGTGCGTATCACTGGTCTCCCAGACGACATATGCTACTTGAACCGCGGCGCAGAGGACCCCTTCTGGCGTCCGCATCTACCGGCCATGTTACTACTGCGTCCGAACGAGGTGTCCGATCTGCGAACCGTACACTACGCCAGTCCCCATCCGCTGTCCGAGGAGCAAATCAGGCGCGGCATCGTGCAGGATATCCACCGGGTAAGAGGTCTGGCGCAGATCGACGGGGAGGTCTCGGAGCCCGAGTTCGTCGCAGTCGGGAACCATAGTCCCTATCAGTTGACAGTGTCGGCGGATGTCATCGCCGATGGATTCTACGAGAGATTGAATGCCCTGCAGGGTCGGAAGAGTACCTTCTACACTGGTGCGGCGTTTGAATCTCATAATTCGCCGCAGATTTGGCAGTTCACAGAGGATCTGCTGCTTCAGCGGGTTCTTCCATCTTTGGAGGAGTAGTACTCTGTACTTATCGAGACTTACAGGGTTGGACATGGCGAATCAAATTAGGTAGTACATTGCATGTACACTCTCGCGGTTCCTGTTTTATTAGTTGGCCAATAGATTGATCTAGTAACTTAATCGGACACCGAGTGCCCGACTTTTTTTTTTTTTTTTTTTGCTGCAGGATTACCAAAATTTCAAATTCTTCTATACTACCTACCAAATAGAGGATAATTTCTCCTGGCCCTTACTCGATTCAGGGGTGAGCAGAGCAAAAAGTCGGACACTCGGGCCCTGCATGTGTGGGCATTCACATGTAAGCTAGGACCGGTTAACTAATTAATTCTATTACCACTACTATCGGACACCGAGTGTCCGATTGCATTATGCCATATGCAGAAGAAAATTTCTGAAATTATAGGGCTATCTTTAGCTGGACCTAAATCGGTAAGCAAACGAGTCAGACCCTGTCGATCAGGCAGGAATTCTTGTATTGCGTATTGTGTTTTTGGTCGAACAATATGGTACGCGGGGTTTCTCCGTATCCTTTTACCTTGGTGTTACACTACAACTGCCACCGTTCAATTTTTTTTTTTTTTTTTCTTGTTTTTGTTTCTGAGTTGAAGATCTACAGGGTATTGTCAGAATAGAGAGCTATAGCAGTATTACGCAAAATTGTAACAGCGCTGCTTTTGTAGTATATCTGACAGGTATTTAGTAAGACTATTGTCCCACTGCGGAGGAACAAAAAAATATGAGCTGCGGCACATCAATAGTAATGTCTAGTCTGCATCAGTAGTGGATTAGGGCGACCCGGATGTATCCCGACGACAGACTGCAGCCAGCCACCGAAAATACAAACGTCGGGCATTATAACTATTGCTATTATTATTATTATTATTATTATTTAATCAAGTTTAACGTCCTTACCAAGCTTCTCGGGCTATGACAGAGGGCGGGTCATAGGCTATAGGCCTTTTCCTCTTTCCTTTTACATCTGATAACTGGCCCACACCTTTTCCTCTGTCCAGATCGTCTCGCTGCTTAGGGCTTTCGGATCACGCGCCCTCCTTGGCTTTAGTACAGTAAGGTGGTACTCGTCAATCGAGCCACCATATCGGCTTAACCCTCTCCCACTTCTTCCAGGATCTTCCCCCAGTCATCCTCTCTTTCTGCTCGTTGGACGGCTTGGACCCGTCTTTTCGCGCTGCAGCCTACTGTAGTATCGTCCAGGAAGTGTAATACATCCAGCATTGATTTCAGCTCTGCTAATAGCGGTCCCTCAGGGTTTTCCTTATGCGCTGTACGGATGGCTAGACCCTCTTTTCTTAGCATCCTGTACATCGTATTCACGTTGTCGCCGCCACTGCCGAGGCCCAAATAGTAGATGTTTCACAGATTTCTATGGAGACTGGCATCCCTGTCGAGTGTCTTTGTCGAATCCGATGTAACTATGTTCTGCCGCATGGCCTGAATTGGTCGTAGCTGCTGGCTATTACCGTGGAAGCCTTCACAGCAGTTGGATCTAATTGCCATCCGGACCGCACACAGTATATTCTTTGTTGTGCAGCTGGTCTTTTGGCCAGTGTTGCTACAGTCAGCCATCTCTAATTTATTTCGTCGCTTCCATGCAGATATATCGTGTCTATGCCAACATCGGGCATTCAGGCATGTACGAATTCTGTATTGGCGAAAATCATTTCTATTAAGCGTAACAGTCTAGATTGAATCCTCCACACATCGAAACTTGGCCCCCCCGGTCCATTGATCCACGATCTGCAACCTTAGCTCTTCCTCATCCACCGCCAAGAACCGATTGCTGTATTCCGCGCCAGGTACTACGGCCACGAGTCCGTACTGGTCGCAGTCTCGCGCATCAGCTTACACCCCTGCAGCAGTAATGCTGTTGTGAACTGGAACACACTGGCTTACCTCGTTTTCTCCGTCGCTGAATCCCCGCGGTTCCACCCAAACGTGGTACTCTTGGTCTTGCACCCGCAGCAATACCTATGTATTCAGGTATTTACGTCAGGTAGAATATCTCGCGTAATGGAACACATCTCACTCACCTTGTCCGGATTGCCGAATTTTCCAATAAGCTGTGTCAGGATCCCCGTTAGTCTGGTGGCAAGGAGAAACTAGGAAGGGCAGGCGACGTACGCCATCGTCACGGCAGAGCCAGAACTCAGCATCTGCTCGAAGCTTGCTCTGCGCATTCGGTGCGCTCCCTTGGGGAAGGAGGACAAGCTGGCCTCCTTCGTCGACGGCCAAGGTTCGACCGGAGAACGAAGTGTATACACCGGATAGGGAAGGCATTGAGTAAGTCGTGCGTCGGGCAGAGAGGCTCCTTGCTGTACGGATCGAACGGGACAGCCGCGTGTGATTCCAAAAGGGAGAATGAAGACAGGCTCGTTCATCGATTTATAAGCTCTAACAGAGGATACTTGGGGCCCGCATGCCGAAATCGAGGTACTCTATATGTCCAATTCGCCAAATCCCACAGCTGTACAAGGTTGTCTTCCCTTGCGAGGATTGATCCTTAGTGGAGAAATCATCGAGAGTTTATCGATGACATTGTTGTAAATAATAATTGCAAGCCAAGCAGGAAATGACAACAACAGCAGGCCGGTCCAGACATGTAGATCCTCAGCTCGCCACTGTACACTTGCGTACACTTGTCTTGTCTATACGCAATGCACAGGGTCTATTGAGCCATCATAATGATCTGCGAGGCTGAATGAAAAAAAAAAAGCACGCGGGATGTGCCCTATACTTACTCCGAGGCCGGATCTGGAACCATTCATGTTTGGTCTCTTTAGTCAGACCGACCTTGCCACCACAGCGTAGCAGACATATGCAATGCAGCCTTTGATTTGGAATACCGCATACCAGAAAATATTAAATGCAGGCTATATGAAGTATACATAAGACTATCATACAATGAGCCGCTTCGGTTAGCCCGCAACATAAAGAGCTAGGAACTTGGGTATGCCATATCGGGATACAAACAACCATAGACCCACCTATTAATGCCCAATTCAAGGGAAGAATACCAGGGATCAGGCAGCTCGTAGCTCAGCTGGCCATTAGATCTCAGCTGGCTATTAGGTCTCAGCTGGCTATTAGGTCTCAGCTAGCCATTAGATGTAAGTAATGTAGCTGGCAGGCTCGTCATATAATGTAATGCTTTGAATAACTCTAAGCCAAACCGTCTCTCTCTGGGAAGCGAAACTTTAAGGGATAGGTATTTACTCAGTAGAACAAAGTATCTCGACATCCTAGCATCTCAGTGAAGCTTCATCTCGACTATCGCTGCCATTGTCTTCCTTTCCTGACCTTTCCAGTACCTATCCATTGCGATCAACATGGTCTGCTTCGTGACGGACGACGGAGCTCAGCCTTGCTCCCCCCAAAAGGCCATTATCAATGTTGTCAACAATGTCGGCATTCCCACGAAATGCGTGCAAGCAATCTATGCACCGTCTAAATTGCAAGAGGAGATGATTCTTGCAACCATGATGGATCCGAATCATCGAGTCTACATGGAAACATACCATTTCACCACACCCCAGGTCGTCACGGCAGATCGGTTATACGACGCTACTCATGCAATTGCCCGCAGACATGCAGTGCTCCGGTCGATATTCTGTTGGAATGATAGCGCTCATGATCTAGAATCTAGCCTGATATCCATGATGGTACTCGACGTGGATTACGTGGGACGACAGGGGCGGCTCGTCCGGGAATACCCGTCTAGTGCTTCAGGCTTCCAGCCTTGCCCTGCTCGATTCCGCATTGTAGGACATCCAGAAAGCGCCAGAGAGGAGGAATGGCTTGGCGAGATGCCGTGGAAGATATCCGTTGCCCCGTCGCCAGATGGACAGGGATCTTTTCTGAGTCTGAGCTATCATCATGCCCTGATGGATGGGACCACAGCTCGCCAACTTCTACTCTGCATACAAGAAGAAATAAAAAGCCCTGGTTCGGTGGAGACAGAGTCGAATTTCTTCGTTGCATGCAAGGAGCTTGAGTCTAGATGCAGTCCCGACATACAGATTCAACTGCGGGAGAAGCTTTCAGGCGCGAAAGCGCAACTCACCCCTCTCGGCGAACAGGTTTCAGCAGGCCAGGCTGGACAAGCCGAGCAGGTGCGTCGGGTACTCACTGAGATTCCCGCTCGAGCTGGCCTTGCCGCAGTCCCTGCCTGGATGGCACGGTTGGCGCTTGCGATGGCACTATGCACTTTCCAAGGGACGACAGAGGCGGTATTTCTTGAGATAAAATCGGGCCGGGGCCTCTTGTCACCAGTTTCTCAACGAGTCCTGGGTCCCGTCCTTGTTTCTCAACTTCGATGGGTCGATTTTAGAAGCGAAGCCTCGCTCTTAGGCATTGCCCAGTCGTTGCGGTCAGCAGGGGATATCGATCATGCCTTTTCTACGGGCCAGCTGCGCTCGTTTTTCCCAGAACTTTCTCGGCACCTCGAGGTGTGTCTTGTCTGCCAAACCAACGAGTCATATCCATCCAATGGGGTGGGAGACTGGGCCTGGTCTGGGAGGGAAGCAGAGATGGATATTCCTCTCGTCGTGGAATTGCTGCCGCCCCAGCAAAGTTTCTTCGACGTCAGTATACGTTACGATCGCCGGCAATTCAAAGATGAGACAATATCCGCTTTCCAAACATTTTTCTGCACTTCTCTTGAATGGCTGCAGGACGTACATACCGAGTTAGAAGGCTACGACCTTCCACATGCTGTCGATCGTATCCGGGTTGGAAACAGAACACTCGACAGCTATATCGGCTCAACCAAAACACAAGCAAAAAGCCACTCTCCCGATGAATGGCAGGAGAACCCTCCAAATTTGCTTTCTGATGAGCAGCAACGGACACTGGATCAATGGAGTCGCCTAGCCACTCCTTTTCGCACAACCGACACAGCAATCGCAGGGGATGTATGCGCACACCAGATTGTGGAGTGGCAAGCAAGCAAAACACCGCAGAAAATCGCCGTCCAGTATGAGCTTTCTGAGTTCCTGACCTATGGGGAATTGGATGATCGCTGTAATAGGGTTGCTGGCGCTCTTGGAGGTTATCTCGGCCGTCTGCGCGCTGAGTCACTTGACGAGCAAGACATTATTCCGATCTGCTTTGACAAAGGAGTTGACATGGTTGTAGCCATCCTTGCTACCCTCAAGTCAGGCGCTGCCTACTCTGCTATAGACCGGGATCATCCAGCAGATCGAATTGCGAGCATCCTCGACATCACTCGCGCACGCGTCGTTCTCTGTGACGGCGGGCCAGGTACAGAGAAGGTGTACGATGTCGCCAAAAGAACAGGAGCACTGGTGATTACTCTGCGCGAGCTGCTTGGAATGTACGATCAAGACAAGCTCCCATTAAATTTGCCCAAAGCAACACAACCTACCTCATCTCTAGCGTGCGTTCAATTCACGTCGGGAACTACAGGGGTGCCAAAGGGCGTCATGATTGAGCATCGCAACTTGGTCGCATTCATGCGCGTTAACGAGCCTGATTATATGGGGAACTGGACCTCCTGTCACCTGCAGCTTGCAAACTACACGTTCGATATTAGCATCTCAGACGTCTTCGGCACCCTAGGATGGGGAGGGCGGCTCGTCCTTGGCCCAGCTGCAAAGTTTCTCTCCTCTCTTCCTCAATGGCTGGAGAGACTAAGTGTGACTCATCTGCTCACCACTCCTCTGGTCGCCGACCTGCTGGAAGATCAGGTTCCAGCCCATCTTCGCGTGCTCAAGGTTGGGGGCGAGCCCTTCCACCTCTCCCTTATACGGCACGTCCCTAAAGAATGCATTCTCATCAACCTGTACGGTCCCACCGAAACAACCGTTGGCGCAACCGTCTATAAACCGGTCCCAGAAGATCATAGCAGATCGCGGATCCCAATAGGCCAACCATTAGGGTCCAGTCGAATCAACATTCTGAAACCTGGAAGCTTCGAGCGCGTTGCGATTGGAGATGTTGGAGAGATCTGTATTGGCGGCCCGCAGGCCTGCCGGGGGTATCTGGGACAACCTGACCTCACCGACTCCCGATTCAAGCCTGACCCGTTCGGCGATTCTAGCAATGAGGTACTATTTCGAACGGGGGATCTAGGACGGTGGCTGCCCGACGGAACAATTGACTGCCTAGGGCGCATGGATGGCCAGGTGAAGCTCCGGGGGCAGCGTATTGAGGTCACTGAGGTCGAGATGCGAATCACAGAGTGCCCTCAGGTTCAGTCCTGCGGAGTGGTTAAAGCTGAGGCTGAAGATGGGGGTGCTCTAGTGGCATTTGTCGAGATAAAGTCAAATGGGGCTACCGCCCCGACTGGAGAGGAAGATTCAAATTCGGCTCTGGAGTGCATAAGATCACACCTCGCTGATACGCTGCCTCAGTACATGGTGCCCCAGCATCTAGTGAAAATAGATAGCCTTCCTCGACTGTCCAGCGACAAGGTTGACCGGCGCGAGCTGTCATCTAGAGCCACATCCCTGATGGTTAACAGAACTTCCCAACAGCGAGTTAAATATGCATCTCCACAGGATAATGTGGAAAAGGCTGTTTGCGACGCCTTTAGTGAGGTTCTATCATGCCAAGTCGGTGTTCATGACAACTTCCTTGACCTCGGGGGCCATTCCATCACCGCAATCCGGGCTGCAACCAGGATTAATAGACAGCTCGGTACCGAGGTGACCTTCAGAGAGATCTTGGATTGTCCATCTCCGGCCTCACTGTGCATACGCATCCGTCAACACGGAGCGTCGACAGATCGATCCCTATCAGCCCCAAAACTAGAGCATTCTGAGCCTGTGGAACAATCTTTTGCACAGGGACGTCTCTGGTTTTTGGAGCAGTTGCATGCAAACTTAAACTGGTATCTCATGATATTTGCATACCGGGTCCGTGGTCCACTTCGCCTGGACGCACTGGAGGGCGCATTTTCGGCAATTGAGAAACGACATGACACGCTTCGAACAACGTTTGAGGAGAAAGATGGGGTCAATCTACAGGTGGTTCGCCCTTTTCATCCAAAGGGCCTCAGGGTAGTCCCTATCACTGGTGATGATTCAGATGCTAAAGAAGAGAGCCTACGTCGTGCACTGCTCAAGGAACAAACGACGCCATTTGACCTCAGAAATGAGGCGGGTTGGAGGCCTGCCATCTTGCAAATGAATCCACAGGATAATGTTGTGTCCATCGTTATACATCATATTGTAGGAGATGGGTGGTCAATGGGGGTGTTGTACAAAGAGCTGACATTGTTTTATTCGGCCATACTTCGGGGGCAGGACCCCCTAGCACAGCTACCACCACTGCCCCTGCAGTATCGTGAGTACTCGCTATGGCAGCGCCAAGAAGTGCAACTTGCAAAACATCAGCAACAGCTTGAATATTGGGCTCATGAGCTCGAGGGCAGCAAGCCTGCTGAGTTCTATTGCGATAAGCGTCGCCCGGAGGTGCCATCTGGGCAGGCTGATGTTGTAAATGTGAAAGTCAAGGGCGCTTTATACCATGCGTTGCAACAGTTCTGCAAGGAGCTCCAAATAACGCCATTCATTGCTCTCCTTGCAGCCTTTCGTGCAGCTCACTATCGGATGACTGGCGCCGAAGATGCAACCTTTGGCACTCCGATTACGAACCGCAACCGTGTGGAACACGAGGGGCTGATTGGCCTTTTTGTTAATATGCAATGCATGCGAGTTCGCGTTATGGAAGATGACACATTTGGACAATTAGTTGAAAACGTCAAGGGAAAAGTAACGGCCGCTTTTGCTAACGGCGAAGTGCCCTTTGAAACCATTGTTTCCAAGTTGCAGCCGACACGAGTCAGCTCTCGCAATCCTCTGGTACAGACGATGTTCGCCGTTCACCCGCAGCGCTTAGATAGGATCCCCCTCGAAGGTGTACATGGAGAGCAGATCAATGTCACATATGCGACGAGATTTGACATGGAGTTCCACCTATATCAAGACGACGAGGGTCTAGAGGGTGAAATTATGTTTGCGACTGATCTCTTTCACTCTCGGACAATTGAGACGATTGTTTCTGTTTTCTATGAGCTCCTGGAAAGGGGGCTAAAAAGTCCCGGGACTCAGGTTGAGGACATGCCTTTGTCAAACGGCCAGTCGTCCTTGCATGATATGGGATTGATGGAAATCCATCGCAGGGAGTATCCTCGCAACTCAAGTATTGTCGACGTTTTTGGCCAGCAGGTCGCTAACAATCCCAATGCGATTGCAGTCAAAGATGTTTCGAGTCAGTTGACATACTCGGAGCTGGATCAAAAATCAGCGGAGCTTGCCCGCTGGCTTAGTAGTCGTGGATATCCGTCAGAGACATTCATTGCTGTGCTCGCCCCGCGATCGTGCCAGACTATTGTAGCCTTCTTTGGTATTATGAAGGCAAATATGGCATATCTGCCGTTGGACCTGAAATTCCCAGATGAGAGAGTGAAGACCATCCTTGGCTCTATCAAAGGCCCAAGGCTGGTCCTCACTGGACAGGGGGTCCAACCCCCGGCGGTTACACTTGAAAACCTCGAGTTCGTCCCCATAGAGCACGCTCTCAATGCAGGCCTCCAGATCGAATCTTCAAGCATAGAAGTCGACCATCCCACAGCTCATAGCCTCGCACAAGTGATATATACCTCAGGCTCCACTGGTCAACCAAAGGGCGTTCTGATTGAACATCAAGCAATCGTTTTACGGGCTAAAGCCCCCGATGTCTTCAGTGAGGAAATTTTGTCCGGCTCCTTTTCTCACATGAGCAGTATTGCGTTTGACGCGACAACAGTGGAGATCTACACTCCGCTGCTCAACGGCGGCAGCGTGATCTGTATCGATAGTATGACCGCCCTGGACTTTGATGCTGTGCAAAAAGTCTTCGCGCGGGAAAAGGTCCGGGCTGGGTTCCTTCCACCCGCACTACTCAGCCAGTATCTCGTGGAAGCACCGTCTGCGGTGGCGGAGTTTCATACGCTGGTAGTTGGTGGTGAACGATCAGAGCCAGAGAATCTATACAAGGCACAAACGCTAGTGCAGGGTGAGGTCCTGCACTTGTATGGGCCAACAGAAAATGCCATCTTCAGTACACTGTACCGCATGCGGGGTCCGGTTGAGGATAAATACCGAGGAGACAGGGATGTACCAATTGGTCGAGCACCGGCCAATTCCGGTGCATACGTCATGGATAGACAAATGCGCATAGTGCCACTTGGAGTCATGGGGGAGTTGGTGGTGGTGGGTGATGGACTTGCACGTGGTTATACAGACCCTAGCAAGACTCGGGAACGTTTTATCATGGTAGAAATCAACGGTCAACAGGTGAGAGCTTACTGCACAGGCGATCGGGCTCGATACCGGCCCGCCGACGGACAGATGGAGTTCTGTGGCCGTGTGGACGATCAGATAAAAATCAGAGGATTTCGAGTCGAGTTGGGCGAGGTTGAGCATGCCTTGGTCGGCTCAGGGTTGTTGGAAAAAGCTGTCGTGATAATGAAGAAGCCCGAGGGCCAGGAGGCGCAGCTGGTCGCCTTCGTTACCGAGAAGAAGGATGCCATAGAAGTTTCCCATCATCACGATGTCGATGGTGAACAGGAGCACGAAGAAGGATGGAGAGAGACCTTCAGCTCAACAACCTACAACACCGTTATCGAGGTCCAGCAGACAGGACGAGATTTTGTCGGGTGGACGTCAATGTACGATGGCAAGGACATCGACAAAAGAGAAATGAATGAGTGGTTGGATGACACTATCGCGACTATGCGAAACGGCATGCCCCCCGGTCATGTTCTAGAAATTGGGACTGGATCGGGGATGATGCTGTTTAATTTGACTGAGGGTTTGCAGCGATATGTTGGTCTTGATCCCGTACCGCGTATTGTGGAATTTGTTCAAAAGACAGTAGCTCAAACCCTGCCGGACCTGGCAGACAGGATCGAGGTACATGTTGGGAAGGCGACAGACCTGGACAAACTCGAGGGCACCGGCATACAGCCAGATCTTGTCGTGGTGAACTCTGTGGCCCAGTACTTTCCCAGTGGGGATTACATGAATCAATTGATCAAGAGTCTTCTAGGGGTGTACAAGGCGAAAACTCTTTTCTTTGGTGATATGAGATCTTATGCTCTTTATGATCAGTTCCAGGTAACAAAGGCTTTACACAGGGTTGGCGAAAAGGCAAGCAAGAGCTCCATGCGCCAAAGGATGGCAGAGAGTGTGAGCAATGAGACCGAGTTCCTTGCTGACCCTGCTTTCTTTACTTCCCTGCCGGAACGGTTCCCGGGTCTCATTCGCCATGTCGAAATTATTCCGAAGAGGATGAGGGCTACCAATGAGCTGAGCTGCTATCGGTTTGCAGCTGTCGTCCATACCGTGCATCAACATGGTCACTTGCCCATTCATGAGGTAGAAAAAGGCCAATGGATCGACTTTGCCTCCACCGGATTAAATCGCGAAGCACTCCGTGATATCTTGCAACAGAGCTCCGATACATCCGTGGTGGCTATTGCAAACATACCTCATAACAAATCTATACTTGAGAGACATATAGTGGAAGTCCTGCCTAGCGACCCTGTGGACACGAATTCAGATTGGATCTCATTGCTCCGACAAGAGGCGAATCAATGTCACGCACTCTCTGCCCTTGATCTGGTGGAATTGGGCCGGCAAACGGGGTTCCGCGTGGAAGTGAGTTGGGCGCGACAATTCTCGCAAAAGGGCGGTTTGGATGCCATCTTCCACAATCTCCAGCCAGCAAACGGCATGGAGAGGACGATGTTTCGATTCCCGACCGATCATGAAGGTCGCCCGTCACACGAGTTCACTAATACCCCAATGCTGCAGCAATCAGGCCCAAGCCTGGACAAAACATTACGTGCTGTGTTACAGAAACAACTTCCCTCATACATGGTTCCTGCGGTGATCAAGGTCCTGGACGATATGCCCATCAACAACAATGGCAAGATAGACCGGAGAGCACTATCCCAAATGACAGTTGTTGCTCAGACGGATTCACCAAACACGGACACCACTTATGTAGCACCGAGAGATTATTGGGAACGCGCTGTCTGTGAGGAGTTCGCCAGCGTGCTGGGTACCCAATTAGGCATCGAGGATAACTTCTTCGGTCATGGTGGACACTCACTATTGGCAACACGAGCGATTTCAAAGATTGTCCGCCGCTTGGGATGCGCAATCAGTGTGAAAGACTTGTTTGACTGCCCGACACCTGAGGCTTTAGCCCGGCGGATTTCGTCAAAACGCAATGAAAAGCTGCCGGATGATGGTGGTGAAGATGGCCTTGGCCCTGCCAGCCTTCCGCCGCCGGATGTAGTAGGATGGCACGAGGCTGTCCATGCAGTTGGGATTCCTACGCAGCATGTGGTGCGCGTCATGCCCTGTACTTCTTTCCAGGAGGGTGTTCTCAGCGCTGACATGGCGCTCGGGGTCGCTTCGGCCTATCGGGCGAAAATGAATATTGAATTCAACACATCCCTCAACGTCGACATCTTGCAATTTGCATGGCGGACAACCGTTGAGCGAGAGGAAATGCTTCGGACAGCATTCCTACCAACAGTCACGCCTCTCAAGGACAACGGAATCTGTAGCGGTGCCTTTCTGCAAGCAATTCTCAATAACGAGTCGCCTGAAGTGCGCAGGGCCTCAACTATTCAAAGGGCCACTCCATTTGACAACACTTCTCCCGTTGATCTCGGGGTTGGTCATATACCAATCTCGTTAGGTATCACACAAGGACAGAGGTCTGACCAATGGAATTTGGAACTGACGATCCATCACGCACTGTACGACGAGGCCTATCTCTCCTACGTCATCGACGGACTCTCTCGTGACTATCATCGAGCCAGTAATGGGGAAACTGGGAGTAGTCTGGAGCAGCATCACATTCCCTTCTCGGCCTTTGTTCGCAAGTTGCAAACTACAGATCCGCAGACGGCTTCTAGCTTCTGGAAAAAGTACCTCCATGGTGCCCCTGGTGCCACTTGGCCCATTGCAAGCGGCCTCAAGGGTCCAGTGGACAGCAAAAGACCGCCGGAGAGCAAGGTTATTGAATGGAAATCTAACGCACGCACCATCTCCAAGAAACTGCACAATACCCCCGCAGGAATCGCAAGAGCAGCAATCGCCTTGGCCATTGCAACACACAGTGATTCTGATGACGTGGTTTTGGGAGAGGTATCTAGTGGACGTTCTCACGCTGGGTTTGTGGCTGGCCCTTGTATAGCAGCGCATCCGGTTCGCATCCAATTGTCAAAGAATGACAGCACATCCCGCCAGAGGATTTCATTAGAAACACTGCTCACACTGGCCCGGAATGCGTATCTGGACACAATCCCGCATCAGCAATTTGGGCTGCAAGCTATTCGCAAAATGACGCAGAACCCCGAACTTTTGCCTTTCCAGGTCTTATTTGTCTATCAACAACGGCATGCCGCGAACCAGAGTACAACTGGCTCGCCATCATCCAAGTTTACGGCAGTCAGAGGCAGTCTTGGTCAGGTTGAATTTCCCTTGGTAGTCGAAGTATCCTGCGATGATACAACAGGTCACTTGGGGATACGCTGCGTGTTTGATCCCATCCTCATTCCACCCACGGATGTTGATTGGATCCTGCAACATGTTGTGGATGCACTGAACCTTGTCGCAGACGAAGTAACCTCCGGCCTGGGGGGTAAGGCGAGGCTCGCCATCAGTGCCAACGAACAGAAAATGTTGCAATGGTTTGCAAGTGGAGGGGGTAGGTCGCTATGTGCAAATGCCGAGTGCATGGACACTGTCGATAAAATCATTCACCGGCAGGCCACCAGAACGCCGGAGAAAATTGCCCTCCAGTTTGAGGATACAGAATATCTTACCTACCAACAGCTTGACATGATAAGTACAAAGATTGCCAGTGGAATCCGAAGAGTGCTGGACAGCAGAATCGCCAATTCTTCCAAGCAACCACTGGTTCCGATATTTTTCAAGAAATCCGTCGACATGGTAGTCACTATTATGGCTGTTCTAAAGGCCGGCGCAGCTTTCATTCCGCTGAACATCGATGATCCTATCAAGAGGCTTGAAGCTATATTTGACGCCACTCAGCCCAGTGTCTTAATTTGGGACGGCATCCACGGGGATGAAAAACTCGAGGCATTATCTCACTCTACCGGCTCATGTCTTTACACCAAAAAGGACCTTGAGCTGGTGAGTGAGCCGGTGTGCAGTCAGACACAGTCGTCGTTGGACTCTTTAGCCTATATCGTTTTTACCTCAGGGTCTACCGGCACACCAAAGGGTGTGATGGTCGAACATCGCAATTTGGCTTCATTTACACTATCTGACGAAGGAAGTAACAGCTGCTCGTGGACCTCAAACAGGCTTGCATTGTTAGAATATACCTTTGACGCATCCGTCGGGGACATTTTCGCTACACTTTGCAAAGGTGGACGCCTGTCGTTGGTCAAACGAGAGAATTTGCTCCCTAGGTTAAGTGGATGGCTTGATGATTTGTGTGTCACACACTTGGCCGTCACCCCAACATTGGGGGCGCTTCTGACGGATGATCTTCATGGAGAACAACGGCTTGCTTTCCTTAATACAATGGTCTTCGGAGGCGAACCATTCCAGCCTAGCTTCCTCCGTCAAGCACCGAAAGAACTGACTGTCTGGAATGGCTACGGACCAACGGAGACGGCCATTGAGGTGACGGCATGTAAGTTACAAGGGCCGGATGCTAATCTCACCGATGAGCGGGCATTTATACCAATCGGTAAGCCAACTCGAGGGTGCCAGATCTATCTTTTACGCCCTGGGACAGACGACCCGGTCCATGTAGGGGCGGTGGGTGAGATATGTATTCGTGGGCCACAGGTTGCGCGGGGATACGTAGATCAACCTGAGTCGTCTGCAAGCCAATCGACGCCTAATCCCTTCCAGCATTCCGGCCAAGGCAGGATGTATCGAACGGGTGACCTTGCAAGACTTCATGGTGACGGCCTCCTTGAATACCTGGGCCGTATCGATGGTCAGGTCAAACTCCGAGGTCTTCGAATTGACCTGGACGAGCTCTCATCCGTCGCGCAGAGACATCCACTGGTCAACGCGTGTTCTGTGGCGAAGGTGGAGAAGAATGGTCAAGAAACACTGATAGCGTTTGTGGAGATTGACCAAGAAGGCTCTGTTAATGAAAGGGCTTTTACAAATATTGTCAGAAATCATATCTCACAGCACGTGCCCAGTTATATGGTACCAGATCATTATTGCTTCCAAACAGACCCTCTGCCTCGAACAGTCAGCGGCAAAATGGACAGGAAAGCGATCAGTCAAATGGCGGAAGAGAAGTACGAAAGCTGCCTTGAAGGTGCCTTGAATGCGCCAGATACTCTCGTCCTAGCAACACCTGGTAGTCTCGAGGCCAAGATCGCGTCGCTCTGGTCACATGCCCTAGGCGTGGAAGACGACTTGGATATCACAACCCCATTTGCGCATATGGGAGGGGATTCCATTCGAGCCATTGTTCTTCTTGCCCTCCTTCGACAAAACGGATTGCACCTGAGCATGAAAGATCTCTCGCAGTCATCAACGATTCAAATGCAGGCAGCCCAGGTCCGCGATAACAGGCCTTCAAACAACGATGGTGTTCCCGACTACTTGCATGTTCACCGGCGAGAACGAAGCGAAGCAACCATTATTCTGATCCATCCTTTCTTGGCGCAGTCAACCATCCTGGAACCTCTCGTGCCATTACTTGATGATCGGTTTGACGTGATCCTTGTTGATGACCCATTCTTTGGTAAACCCGACTGCCCGGGAACACTCACCGAATGGGCGCGGTCGTATCTCATGGATCTCAAACCGCTCCTGTCTCCGAGAGAGCCTGTGTTCCTGGCAGGATATTCCATTGGTGGCCTAATCGCGTTTGAAATGGCTCTCATTTGGCAAGAATTGTACAAAGGCCAACCTGACTCAGTCGTTCTACTGGATCCAGGCATGTACGGGCCAGGGAGTCTGCCTGTTGCCGACGAGGGCCAGCGTGAAATAGCCATCCGCAACTCCCTTGGCATGCTTGGTGTGGAGCCCGATAACCTGGCGCTCTTTGGGGAACATTATGATCGACTTTTTAATACCTTGCGAGAAACCCGCCAGCCTCCTGTGTATGAGGGTCGGTGTCTCTACCTTGCCCTACCAGAACGACTTCAGGACGGAGTAGCAAAGTGGTGGCAGACTCGGTGTACCGATCTCACCACGCACTTTGTGCTCTGCAACAACCACTTTGAGTTGTTGAAAGGTGACCATATTGGTATGGTTGGCCAATTGATCAATACACATTGTCAGATGTATATGAGCACTGCCGCTTCGGTCTCTCCTTCTGAACCTGGACTAGAGACGCCTGGCTCCGAGGCGTCAATGGAATAATATGATAAGAAGGGCTTTTTGTATTCGCATACGCGCGAAGAAGGGGAAGTAGTCAATTGAATGGTGTATGTACGGTAGTTTTCTGCACTCTGGGCTCTTTCTTCTGGTCATCGGCCGATTATTGTTCGTCTAGATATATTAGATCACTAAATAACATACCATTTCTGACCTTGCATTTTCAGCTATACTAGAATACGAGTGAGCCAGCGGAGGGAGCAACAATTACATGAATACTTATTGTAAAGACAAAATCATTCGACTACCAAAGAACCCGGCCTTAGCGAGCTGTAATAGTGACTCGTGGAAGCTGGGAGTTTCAACACTATTCTTCAAGTGCCAGGTTCATTGTCCCACTATATACTTGGTTGTCCTAACCAAACCTCAACTCTAGCTACTACCCTACTCACTACAGAGGCTACTCCCTTTCAACTTCTCACTCGGATACAACACACGAGGCAGCCCGTTATTCATCGGCACAGACACCTTCCCATCCGAGCCCACCGTCAGCGTCTCGCAGGTATAAATCTCCGTGACATTCTGTCCGGAGGAATATCCTGTGTCACCGAGGGACAGCGTATATGACGATCCAGACGAGCCCTTGTTCGACAGCACCGTGACAACTTGGGAACCGTCGCTGCCTTTACGCATCGCGATAGTGGTTTCGTCTTGGTAGATGGGGTAATTCTGTTCTTGTTAGGTCTCTCTCTCTCTCTCTGTGTGTATTCTTCAGCCGAGCGGATAGAGTCCAGCCTACCTTGTAGGTCACGTATTTCGGATCCTGCGCAATGGCATGGTTGCGGATCGCGTTTGACGATGCGATCAACGTATACAATTCGCTCTTGGTCGAGTATCCGGATAGCCAGGTTGCTTCGCGGTTCGCAGGATCTTCCCCACCGGCGTAGTGCTGTTCCTGACCTGCATAAATGATGGGGATCCCGTCTGCAAGGATAGTGAAAACGGCAACATTTTTGGCGAGAGACATGTCATTCGTGTATCTGTTTGGTATGTTAACCCGGTTTCGCACGCAGCATATTGAAATACTCACGAAGCAAACCGCGGATTGTCGTGGTTCTCGATGAACGTTCCCAGCAGCGTCGAATCCGGACAGTTCGATTTGACGTTGTTGATCATGTTGTAAAGATCGCCGATATTGCCGCTGGTGGACTTGAAGGCATTCAGAAGAGGGTAGTACATAGGGTAGTTCAGGACCCCGTCCAGAACGCTCTGGTAGGCACAGGTGAACGCGGTGTCTCCATTGAGAACCTCGCCGACGCAGTACACCCCGGCGGCCTTGTTGTATCCGGGCCAGAAGTCCTTCTGGACATGCTTGACCGTGTCGATGCGCAGGCCATCGACTAGAGATGTCAGTCTCTCCTTCGTCTCGTTCCGTGGTAGGACGTGTAACTCACTGGAGTAGTTGGATACGAGGTCGCCCACCCATTTGTACCAGAGATCTTTCACCTCCGACTTGGTAGTGTCGAGATCCGGCAGCGACACGGTGTTATCTCCCAGCCAGCAGTTCTCCGCCTGAGTCTGATCGTTGTAGTCCTTGATCGGACAGTAGGGGTGGAAGTAGTCTTTCGAATTGAACGGTTTGAAGACGCTGTAGTCGACCGAGTCGCCGGCCCCAGAGTAGCCCTAGAGATAGTGATTCTTCGTGAGGATAGAACAGAGAGACCGAAGAAAGACATACCATGTGGTTAGCCACTACGTCGACCATCAGGTACATGTGTCGATTATGCAGAGCATCGGCCAATGCCTTCAGATCGTCCGCCGTGCCGTACTTATCGTTGAGGGAGTATCTATCAGATTAGGATTGGCTCAGCAAACAATAAGGAGAAAACCTACATATCCTGCTGCCAGTATCCATGATAGGCCTCGCCATATCCAGTGTCCTGGGGGAGTTGGCCGGTTACTGGAGTGATCCAGATGGCCGTGAAGCCCATGCCCTGGATATAGTCCAGCTGGTCGATGATCCCCTTCCAGGTGCCTCCACAGTATTTCTATAGACGTCAGCTCACTCACAGAACTCGACGGGAAAGGAGCAATCTACCCGATCCTCCGTGTTACACGACGCCGTGGTTGATCCATCCGAACGCGCGAATCGATCGGTGAGCAGGAAATAAATCGACTGCGAGCGCCAATCCGCCGGCGTCGCAGCTAAAGCGACGCTGGCGAGACTCAGCAACCATCCTGCTTTCATTTTGTCGTATGTATCTCGTATGTGTCTGATGAGAGTGCGACGGATACAGTGAGGACATATTTATACCATTTTAGGCACATACGACTCCTTCCGATAAATCTCCTGCGCATTCCCGCCCCTGGACGAGATCGACAACGCTTCTTCTCTCGGCAGTTGTTAGTGTCTGTTCCTCCATCCGTCACAATCGCGCAATGGCAATCTCAACGACCATGACGATAATAATGCTCGTATCCGTCCTAGTCCTGTCGCTATTCCGCACAGCCAACGCCTCCCCCGCACAAATCGTCCTCTCTGGCACCACTCGGTCCAATCCCTCGCTGGATTCCTGGCTCCTCGCGGAGATTCCTGAAGCGCTGGACGGCGTCCTGAATAATATCGGCGCAGATGGGGCCAAAGCGACCGGAGCTCGCTCGGGGTCCGTCGTTGCCAGCCCCAATACGAAGGATCCAAACTGTACGCAGATGAATTGTGGCTCCTTGGTTCCACTTAATAGGCTCATGACAGTATCATCTAGATTACTACACCTGGACGCGTGACGCCGCGCTAACGGCGCGCTGTCTCGTGGATATTGTCGTCTCCTCCGCCGATCCAACGCTGCAATCTGCCGTGCAGGACTATATCTCCTTCCAAGCAGATTTACAGGCCGTGTCGAATCCGTCCGGGGGCCTGCTCTCGGGGGGCCTCGGTGAGCCCAAGTTCAACGTTGATGGTTCGGCCTTCACGGACTCGTGGGGCCGACCGCAGCGAGATGGTCCCGCATTGCGTGCGATGACTTTGATGGCTTATTCGAACTGGTTGATTGTATGTTAATTTCTGCAATGCAGAACAGATTACTGACTACACAGGATCGCAATCAATCGTCCCTAGCGCAGACCATCTGGCCCATCATCCGGAACGATCTCTCGTATGTCTCGGAGTACTGGAACTCCTCCACCTACGGTATATACCCGTCTCGTTTTCGTCAAATGTATTCCTCTCACAGTTCCAGATCTATGGGAAGAGCAAAACGGCTCATCATTCTTCACCTCCGCTGTGCAATACCGCGCTTTGAGTGACGGCGCCTCCCTCGCCGATCGTCTCAACCTCTCCTGTCCAAACTGTCTCTCTCAAGCCCCTCAAACCCTCTGCTTCTTGCAATATTTCTGGTCCCCTTCCGACGCTTTTATCCTCTCAAACCTCTCTCCTACCGCTTCTCCCGGCCCTAATGTCACAAGTCCCCGATCCGGAAAAGATATTAATTCCATCCTCGCCTCCATCCACACGTTCAACCCAACCTCCCCATGCGACGACACCACCTTCCAGCCCTGCTCCAGTCGAGCCCTCGCCAACCTCAAATCCGTCGTCGATGCGTTCCGGCCCTTATACGATATTAACAGGGGTATTCCGTCCTCCCATGCCATCGCTTTGGGTCGATACCCGGAAGATGTCTACCAGGGCGGTCATCCCTGGTATTTATGTACCCTTGCCGCGGCGCAGTTGCTCTACCAGGCCGTGTCGCAGTGGAAGTATCTGGGTTTTGTAACGATCGAGCGGACTAGTTTGGCGTTCTTTAGGGATGTGTATCCCTCGGCGAGGGTGGGGTCGTACCCGTCTTCTGAGAGGGTGTATGCGGAGATTCTTGATGCGGTGATGGTTCTGGGCGATGGGTATTTGGGTGTTGTGGTATGTTCTTTCCTCCCCCTTCTAATTCTTACCACTTCGTTGGTTTGGTTTTATTTGGGTCTACGTTAAATGTTTGGGGCATGGCTAACAATCCAGCAAAAATACACCCCATCCAACGGCGCCCTAGCAGAACAGTTCTCTCGTGACTCCGGCGCTCCGGTCTCAGCTACAGATCTAACCTGGTCGTATGTATCCTTATTGACGGCTGAAAAGGCACGACGAGACGCCTCCTCTGCGCCTGCTACAGCCAATCCAAGACCACTAGGTACGCTCCCATCCTCACCGTCGTCATCTCTCCCCGCAGAATGTCACCCCACGTCCGAAAAAGGAATCTATTCTACCGTCGGACCCATCGAGTGGCCCCCGTTACGCTGCGCCACCCCTGCCTCAGTGTCGGTAAGATTCAATGTGCGCGTGACCACGGTCGTAGGCGAGGACGTGTTCCTGGTGGGGTCGGTGACGCAGCTGGGCGAGTGGGATGTAAATCGCGCGGTGCCGTTGGATGCTCATCAGTATGGCGTGGTGTCGTTGTGGTTTACAAGGGTGAGTCTGCCGGTGGGTATGGAGCTGGAGTATAAGTTTTTCATGAGGGTGGGGGGTAAGGTCGTCTGGGAGAGTGGGTTGAATCGGGAACTACAGGTTCGAGAGAGCTGTAAGAATGTATCGATGAATGCTGTCTGGAGGGACTGATACGGTGTCTACGGGGGGTACATGAATACGGGAGTTCATGAGGATAACAGAAGTATTTGATATTTCGGTTAAAATAAAATTATCTCTTCGTTACTCTTACCATGTTAGTACCCAGTCCTGGGTCCATGCTCCCTGCGCGGTGAACTTTTGCAGCCCGTTCACGTACAGTGCCTGCGAGGTTTCATTGTATCTGACCGAGTCCGTCGATACTTTTTGGCCGTTCAAGGTCACCGACGATGGCTCCTTTGTCACGCCCAGCACTGTCACGTTGGCCAGCGGGTTGTTTTCCTTCCATGTTCCCCGCGCGGAGGCCCGCAGGCTGGACGACGATGCCATGAACTTGACGGACAGCGTGTCCACCGGGTGGATACTTTCTCCGTCGTCGAGATAGAGTTGGCCCGTGGCTGTGCCCTGGCTACCCAGCGAGACCAGCAGTGACCACGGCGTCTTGCGCGCATCCCGAGTCGTCAGCGCAGGCTCCTGCATGGGCAGGACGCTGCCACCTCGTACAAACACGGGGATGTGACCCAGGGGCGCTGGGATCGTCGTGTTGACTCCCGGTTTAGCATGCACCGCCGTCTGCGTGTACCAGTCATACCACACTTCGCCCTGTCCGATGCCGGGGAACACTCCCTTCACCGTGTCCACCTGCGGTTCCAAAACTGGGACCACCATGATCGAAGGCCCCACGAGGAACTGCGTGTCAACGGCAGCCAGACTTGGGTCATGAGGGAACTCCCATGCAAGGGCACGCATAACCGTCGACCCAGTCGTGTGCGCCAAATGGAACAAGGTGTAAAAGTACGGCAAAATGGAATACCGGATCCTCATCGCCGCCTTGCTCGCTTCGATGACGGATGCCCATCGGTAGGGCTCCTGGGGGATCGCAGAGAGAACGTTGTGGTTGCGGTAGAATGGAAAGAAGGCTGAGAGCTGCATCCACCGGTTGCAGAGTTCTTCCGCAGAGTTTCCATTGAAGCCACAAGTATCCACCCCGAACATAGGGATCCCGAACAGTGAGAATGATAGGGCTTGTGAAATGGAAAAGTACATGGATCCCCACTTGGAGAAGTTGTCACCGCCCCAATGTCCGGTCCATTTGCCTGAGCCTGCAAATGTGGAACGGCCGATAATAAAGGGACGCTTGTCCGACCTGACTTTCAGCAGACCTTGATATGTGGCATTCAGACCCTGGTGGCCATATAAACTGTGCACGTCATACTCCTGGACGCCATCCACGTGCGTCGAGTTCGGTGAGATGGCATGGACTGCAAGATCATGTCCAGTTTGTACATGGTTGATCACATACGGAGGATGGTTGACATTGCGCACACCAGGTGTGGGTGTCGTACGCAAGTACGAGGTCGAGGTCGAGGTAGCCCCTCCGCCATTGGACGCGGCCTGGCTCGAGGCACCTGCAGAGGCTGAAGCTGCCTCCGTAGAGTTGGTCACATTAAAACCCTCTGGATAGTCGTAGACAACATTGCCGGGCTCGCCTGGTAGGGCGAATGGCGGATGGACTGGATTCAACGTCAAATTGCCAGTGCCACAGCTGCCTACGCAGAAAGAGGACACTTCGGCCATGTCGTACCAGACTCCATCATAAGCCAGTTTTTTCCACCATATGAGTAGCTCATTGGCCCAGAATTCGACTGCCTTGGGATGGTGCCAATCCGGGAAGACCGTATACCCAGGCCATACAGCTCCAATGTAGAGACTACCATCGGGGTTCTTAATGAAAACGTCGTCCGCAGCACCTCTTGTATAAGTATCATATCTACAACAAATATCAGCACATGTATAAGGTGAAGAGAAAGATACGTACGCATCAGACGTGTTTTCAGGGTTCGGGATATATAGAGCCCCATCCACGATCGGAACCCAACGTCGTCCGCCATCGTGAAGCTTGCGGAGGAATCGCTCACCTTCGCTGTAGGAGAAACGGTGTTCGTCGTTGTCAAAATTCCGATATCCGTGCATATAATCAATATCGGCCCTAGGCAGGTCAGGGAATGTCCGCGGGTATATTGACCTGATCGATACATACCAAACATATTCCAAGGGAATTTCAAATTTCTCAAAATTAGCCACAACATTTTCGAACTCTGACCAGTTATTGTAACCCCAGCGACACTGATGGAACCCAAAAGTGTTGTATTGCTGCATCGCCGGTAATCCAACCGTACTGAGTTGGTATTGCTTGGTGACATCAGCCTGGGTTGGGCCAGCGTAGAACGTCAGATCAATGCTTCCACCCAATAAACGCCATGTTAGGTTTTGAGACCGCAGAAGAACCTCCTGTCCATGAGCATTCCTCAGGAATACTCCATGGGAATATGATACGTATTCTTGCGACTTATCGATCTTGCTGCTTTTGGACAAGACATGTGGGCCATGTTCCTGCTTGTAATATCTTGTGTCCAAATAAAACGGATGCTGTCCATATATGTTGCTACAATTATATAAGCCAAGGCTAAAATGACGATCACGGGCACATACCTGTCAATTGGGTCTCCGATATCCGCAGCATACATGGTCAAGTTGGCGTTCCGAAGAAGTCGAAGCTGGCTCATCCGCTCGCCCAACCCGTATAGGTTGTAGTCCTTAGGCAGCGAGGTGACAAATTCTATAAACTGGTTCTCGTATACCAGTACCGAGCCCTCGGTATCGAAAAGCGCGTCCCCGGTTGCTTTCCGGGTGACCTTGAAGTTGAAGGATGGTTCATTGGACCAGGACACAAACAGGTCGCTCTCAGGAATCGAGGCATTGGGTGATACCTTGGGCCTAGGAACCGCGTCTTCAGACAGAATATACCACGACGCGTTAGAGGAGTCCACATGGGATGGGACAATTTGGATGTTCAAGCGATCTTTTGCCTGGTACTCCACAGTCAAAGTCAATGAGTCGACATCCGTCCCGTAAACATTACATGGTTTTCCAGCTAGCTGCAAGCTTGCAGTGAACCCATGAGCGGTATTATTGACGTTGGAAGCCTTGTAACCGGGGCAGGCAGACTGTGCGTTAACGGCCTTAGGATCATCGATATTGGCTATCAACTGCGCACCAACGTCGGCCGAAGCAGGTATGGTGAATTGCGAGGATGGCGCCGACACCGTAGCGCTTGAAGCCCGCGATGGACTAGCTCCATAAGCCACCGGTAACAGACCAATACCGGCCAAGAGGCCCGTGAAACTGACCATTGTGAGAGAGAGAGAGAGAGCGGCTACCCGACCGTGCCGTGGTTGGTTAGAAAGATGGCCAACTCCGTTCCCTTTATATTGGCGTACTTATATGTTCTTGTCACCCTTGTTCCCCCGCAGCTTGGTCGGAGTACCTAACTGGAAGTGAGGCATTTCTCCGTCAAATTCCCGGGGTGCGATGCAGGGTGTTAGAATCGCGGGGACGCCAACAAGTTACTCGGACCGAGTGGGGGAAAACCAGAGTCAGTCAAGGACTAGAGGGGTAAATGATAGTAGGAAGAAGTATGATAATGAGAGTATTCTGTATGGTGTCCGAAAGACCTGGTCCTTCCGTGTCCCCCCGAGTACGAGAGATCGTGGAGATGAACGGAAACGCGCTTCCTGGATCCGGCGATCATCTGACAGGGGCGCTGTGATTGGCCCGCTCCCCGATAATTGCCCGATTGGTCGAGTACATATGGTTAGGCAGATAACCCGCATGGGTCCAAGTACCTGGCCTTTCCCGAGAGGACGCCCGGTGAGATCGTTGAGACTGATAGTTTAAAGGCATGTCCTCTGAGATCTGGGGGTTTCTGCCAGTGGACTCGGGGAAAAACTAGCAATGAAGATCTGGGTAATTCCTAGACCATCCTAACCTTTCACCAATTGGGCCGACCTACTACCCATTTCTGCTCGGCTTCCCGAGATAGTTTACAACTCTTACAGTTGAATAGACGGCAGCAGTGGAGCGTCTATGGGCCAATAAATCCATCTAGGTGGGCTAACCAGCAGAGAATAGCACATTGCAAAGCAATCTCCCTCTTGAGAGTTCACATTTATATATGTAGGGGCACTGTTCGAAAATGTCGCATGGTCAACCCTGCGATTCCCTGGTAGAGAAAGGCGCCATTGGATCTGGGGAAACACGACGTCATGTCTGTCATCCTCTTCCGAGCAACTCTTTGTCACCCAAAATCAAAAGCCAAAATAAAAAAGTATAAGTAGAAAATCTAAAATCCTGCAGCCAAGAAGACACTAACCCGACCGGACCTGTCGACGCGGGGTCTTGCAACCTGCATTTCCAGGCACCCTCCCCGCGAGCTTCCCCAGATTTTTCTCTCTCCAATTTACAGTACCCTAGTTATCACCTGCATTGTTTTCAATGTCAGTCATCTTTCGTTAGTTATCAGCAGTATCACTGTCGGTTATGGGGTGTTGTGCATCCTGAAGGTTTTTCTTCATTCTCTGAACCACTTTAAACTTGCCCTCGAGCTTATCTGCCAATGGACTCTCCCTCTACTACAACTAACCAGAAACCGTTCAAACAAGCCTGCGACAATTGTCGTCGGCGGAAAATTAAATGCTCCAGAGAGCTCCCCTGCGATAAATGCCAGAGACTACTCCTCTCCTGTTCCTATAGTGATGTTCTGCGCCGGAAGGGACCGAAATTCCGCACCCTCTATCCTTTAGCTCCAATCCACCCACTTGTATCTCGGCGCGGAGAGGAGCGCCGCTGCCATTCTCAAAAGCACCCTCTCGATAGCGAATGGCTTTCGGAGTCGGGAACATATGCACTGCCAGGATCAGGTTCTCCTGTTTCGCCGTTCACAGCGGCCGATAACCAATATATACCTTCGGAACTCTCGGACTCATGCACCAGGCTTCCACCGCCGGAGCTGGTTTCCTCCCCGGACTCAACCAACTCCCTGTCAGATTCGCTCATTGGAGCAATATTCCCTTCGGCAAGACGTCTATCAGCACCGGTTCTACTGGCCCACGTCAATGTCTTCCTGAAGTATCTGTTCCCTATCATGCCAGTAGTGCAGAAAGAAAAGCTGCACCAAGACTGTCACCAACCGCAACATCTGTCTTCCCGAAGATACGCCTTCCTGGCTTCATTATGCGCGGTTACACACATCCAGCTGAAACTAGACGGTGCGACATCAGCCTCGAATCCTTCGCACCTGCAAGCCGGCGTCGACGGCCGTTCGGTCATGTCCGGCGAGGAGTTACTGGCGGAGGCTGTGCGCGCCAGAAAAGACGTCGACCTGGTGGATGAAATGAGTGTCGAAAGCCTTCTAACATCTTTCTTCCTTTTTGCTGCATACGGCAACTTGGATAAGCAGGACCACGCCTGGTTCTATCTGTGCCAGGCGACATCTATGGTCTTCACGCTAGGACTGCATCGCGAATCAACATACTCCGATCTGAGCGTCGAGGAGGCGGAAGAAAGACGAAGGATCTTCTGGCTACTATTTATTACAGAGAGGTAAACCCTCCTGCAGCTACATTCCCTGCACATGTTAACTCCAGCTTCAGAGGCTATGCACTACAACAAGCCAAACCAGTCATGCTCCGCAATTCCATTCATAAACCACAAGTTCTCGGCTCAAACGACCCAATCCTTGCCTACGGGTTCATCAACCTTATCAGCATCTTCGAAAAGCTAACTGTAAGTCTCTACGACTGGGTCTCTGCCGGCGGCGGAGACGGTATCTGCGCAATGCCTCCTACATCATCCATCCAATCCAGTCTCAGCAAGTCCATCTCATTAGAAGGGGTTTCAGAAATCCAAAAAGTCGACATCCTCATCACTCAGCAGTGGCTCCAAGCCATGATGTGGAAACTCTCCATGACACGTGCCGCGCAGCCTGGCGCACGCGATGATACCGTCCTCCCATTTCATCTGCCCGTATTGGTCGGGAAAGCAGTCATGGGCGTCATTGGAGCCGCGTCGCAAGGCGCTGTCGATGCGCACGGTATTGGAATGGTCAGTCCCTCAAGTCCCTCAACCCATAAACCAAATCCCACTATATCACCATACTCCCCACCATTTCATTGATGAACCCAAATCCTTATATTGTACAGGAACAAAAGCTCTTCGACCTAGGCACCTCCGTCGCGGACGTCTCCCGCTCCCTAGGATCAAAAGCGTCCCAACATCTTTCCGAATCAACCGTCGACCCTCGCGATCTCCTATGGGGAATACTCAACATGTTATCCCGAATCCGCGGTTCCCAGTCGTACTTGCTCCCTGCGCTCGTGGAACGAAGTAAGGGTGTCTTGGGCTTTGACTGTTCGCTCTCCGTATACAATCTCCTGCCACCGACCACTACCACCACTACTACTACTGCCGGGTCTGCGCTGTCTGATCTAGATTCTCTAGAACATGCGTGGGATTATGTTTCAGCTCAGGATGATCTCCGGGATCAAGAGGGGGATACGGTGGAGTCAGTGATGGGGATTATGTCGTCTTCGAGGATACAAGAGGATATCTCGTTTTAGAATGGGGGTGTCTTGAGTGGTGGAGATAGGTTCCCGGGTTTTTGTTGGGAAAGGATGATGTTGTAGTGCCTGATATGTGCATGCAGTGTTGATATTTATATATATATAGGGCTTGGTTCATCTCACACATACGGCGGAGTAGGTATTTGGGTTGATATGTATAGAAAATGATACCATATACATGCAATAATAGTGGCTGTATGATTTTTGGCAATGGTATGATATGTTGCGATTATAATTCTAAGAAAGATCTGCGAAAGGTATGCATAGCCTTTTTGGTCAAGTCGTTCAGATCTAAGGAACCTCAACATGATATTCCTCATGATCCTGTCATACGACCTGTTAAAATTTAAAAGAATTGAATTGACTGAAGGGTATTTAATGTACAAATTCAAAGGTCTCCAACTGATCCCGGATCAAACCCAATTATGAAAAGGGAGAAAACGCCCATAAAGAGAAAACCAATATGATCCATCAATTCAACCTGTCCACAAGGGACCAATCAGTATAGGAAGTAATAAAGACGCAATATAAAATCCAACCCATGCATGCGTTCTATTGCACAAGTCATCCAAACTTGTCAAAAAGCAGAGTCATAAGTATATGCGCCATGATGATTAAACCTTGTAAGGTTTGCAGAGAGAGGGGTTTCTCTCATAAACAGTTGAAAACTATTCAATGTATATGCGATCTCACCGAAAGTCGCAGTGGCTGTCGTCAAGTTCCTTCGGATCAATAGAGGCGACCGGCGTAGATAATTAGGAAATATGAGCGAAAAAAAAAAAAAAAAAAAAATGCAGCTCTAAAAGAAATAGCCAAGTAATATCAAGTTTGCCATACCAACTCCAAAACCTGATCTCCGTTCTTGGAATCGTGATGGATGTAATATTGTCGTACCTTGTTTCCGTCTAGAACCGAGTCTGCTAGCAAGTAGCTGAACTTATCCGCGTCCTTGGGGCGTAGGGGGCCGAGCGCATGGAGATACATCTCGCCATTTTGGGCATCCCAGGTTATCTCCATGGAAATATCGTCAGGATCAACCTTAGCGCCGTACTTCACCACTGAGTACCCGTTAGTAAGGATCCATCCGTCTGCAAACTTAAACTGTTGCAGGCGACAGCTATCACCGCACAGTTCGCCAACAATGCCGATTTTGGCCATATCGGAATGGAACCATGACTTCCAGTGATGCACAGAGAGTGGTGGGGGCCGCTGTGACTCGAAGAATCCAGAGAGATCACCGGTAAGGTCCAGTTGTCGCAAACCGGGATGGATGGTCAAGCGAGTGAGGGTATGCTGGTAAATGCAGACAGAAATCCTGCGGTCACCAGTGTGCGGAGAATTGGCGCATTCATTGAAAACCTCCGGCTTGCTAATCTGCTGAAGAAGAGGGCGGGACAGGAAGACACCAGCGCCGCCAAAACCCATCAAGCCAAAGCTCCCAACTTGCGGAAGACTCTCCGACACGCCCCCGACGTACATGGGCTGGTTTGCATCGTATTCTCCAAGAGCCTTCACCAATCCTGTCATCGATGGGAAGAACGTATCATCATCAATAATGCAGGCCCATTGCGTCTCCGATCGCACATTATGTGACAGGTGGGAGACTAATGAGAAGTACCGACGCTGGTATTCTTCATCCAATTGGGTCACATGTAAATTGATCCCAAGTGCATTCGCCTTCACTAGGACCTCACTGATTTTCTTTTCTTCGTCCGGCTCAATGAGAGCGAAAATGCGGGTGTGCGTATGGCCAGCCCAGTGATAGAATGCATCGAGCGAGTCATTCAATCGATCTAGCGTTGTCGCCACGCCAAAGTCGATATGCGACGCATTCGCTTTGCCAAGTGACTTAGAAACCTGGAGGGAGATTGGCGGCGAGACCGAACAATCGTCCTGCGACTGCCGGGTTAAGGTGTGGTCGTGGCCCTCGAAGTGCTCAAACAAAGTTGTCTCCAGGCGTTGTCTGATGGGTAATGTACCAGTTGTTGGCACGGCCACCACTTCCCGTTTCACATAGTCGGAGAGTTTCTGAATTTCGAGGCGACGGAGTACATCGAAGTCGGGCTTACATTGGACCCCCGAGGTGATAGTGATGTTGGAAACCGAATCCTTGACAGCCTCTTCTTGCCCCTCAACATGAGGCCACAAAAAGAAAGCAAAGCCGCCCACCAAACAGATGGCAACAACAAAGCGCAAAACTTTTTTATTCCACACCCATGATGTGCCCCTAGTCAGGGGTTTCTCCCCGCCATTTAACAACATTGGAGTCTGAAAGCGATCGCTAGATAGGGGAGGTGAACGAGCCGAGAAATCACTAGAAGATCATAAGCCTTTTGGTCCCGGCACGTCAGCGGGGAAAGTATGAGTAAGTAGAGCGGTCGCGCAAGCGGTCGGAGAAAGAGTAGCAGAGTGGTTGGAGAGGAGAAAAGATGGAAAAGAAGGCAGATGACGAGGATTATGGGGGTGGGGGGAGAGAGAGAGTAAGTAGAAGAAAGGGCCAAAGAGAAAAAAAAAAAAAAGGACCCTGAAACCGATGTTGCAAAGTACGAAAACAGGATGGTGACGGGCAACAAAGAGGAGGGGGGAGAGAGAGGGGGAAGGGTGATGACGGATCTGGCAATTAAAAAGGTTCAAATATAGAAAAACGGAAGGTGAAGAAGGATAGGCGATCGATCAAATGAGCTGCCAGAACCATGCATGGCTGAGAACCACATACGGTTTTGATTTTCCTGGGAAGAAAACGGACCTGAAATTGACGACAAAATCCGGTGGAGAAAAACTAACAACCGACCATGGGACAAGATTTTCTAGGCCTTCTGGAGGGAAAAAACTGTCTCCTGCTTGTCCGACCGCATGCAGCGAAGCAAGCCGACGACAGTTTTCATACAGGAGGGAGGATCGGCCGTGGACCGAGACCAAGTACGGAATACGGAGTACTGTGTAGGCATACCATGAGAAGAAGTGTGCCTTCCGCTTGCCCCAGCTCTAATTATCTGAAATCCCAGTCCATATGCAGGTGGCCGAAGTACGTTGGGGGCTCGAACTGCTAACTGCTTTAACTGGGTCCCGAATCAATATCGGACAGAAGAACGATGCCGAGACCCCGATTCAAGACGCGCGCGGAAGACATTCCAGGGGCCATCCGGGATGAAGAAGACGGCTGCAAGGGAATTGTTTAGCAGCGGCCGCTCTGAGAAAGACAGATACTGTAGATAAGAGAATTCATGAGATATAGATAGAGTTTCTTCGCATCCCTCTAGGCCCGATGTTGATGATGGACTGGACGGTCGAAGAAACCAGTGTCTGTTCAAGTCAGGGTCAGGTGGGTGCTTAGTCAGCAGCACCTGATTGGTCAACTACACACGACTGCTAAATTATCAATTTATTCCCAATATGCAGACGGAACTCCATAATGAGTGTTAATATGGAGTATGGAGTATGGAGTATCACATCGTCAGAATAAACATCTTTCGACAAAAGAAGCGGATTCAATCCTCGAAACTACATGCCCAAAGCGACGATATTAAAGATAGCCACATTCGGGGCCACCCCAAGGCTCCTGTCACTCCAATAACCAGCAAACAGAAGGCTAGATCCAACAATTAATCATATTCTCTGCAGAGCTATGCATGGTTGAATAGGGTCTGTTTGTGATGTAGCCAATATCTCACCCAACACACATGGGGACAAATACGGCGTATCAGTCGAGGCTAATACCTACTCCAACCCCTGATGGCCCCAAGGCCAAGGAGCCATAATCAGCTAACTATGTGGCTAATGGCCAATCCAGTGTGGTAATCGCTGCGCAAGGTAAAGAGTAATATCTCACTCGATCTGTTCAATCCATATGCTTAGTAACTATGTATGTCATCCATGGGTCACGGGATTTAAGGTTATTGTCACTTTACACCGCCTACCTATAGAATAGAACTACGGTGGCCTCCAGCACCCGTTGGTGCAAAATGCCCCAATGGGGAAATATCGCAATTCCCACAGAGAAGCCAACTCTCTGTCGGCTTGAGAGATCAGACTGACTGCCTTCCCTCTCATCAAAGGGTCAACCTCATCTGACCGTCTGCCCTAGCTGGGCTAATTACAATAACTTCATTGGATTATCTCCCTTATCTCCTCCACCATGGCCTCTCAATCGTTGAGCTCGTTGTTGCACCGCACATCCATCGACGACCACGAGGAGGTCCTGCGTTCGGCCAATGCAGCTCTAGCAAAGTCTAAATCGGATACCTATTCTCAGAATATCAAGGTTGTGGCCTTGCTGAAGCTTGATCGCTATGAGGACTGCCTGCGCGTGTTCGAAGAGGGAGGTGAGAAGTTGAAGAAAACCGCGGCATTGGAGTACGCGTATGCTCTGTACAAGTGCGGTCAGCTCGATAAAGCGATCGAGATCGTTTCACGTATAGTCGACAATCGCGGTGCGCGTCACTTGGAGGCTCAGGTGGTATGTTTCTTTCCGATAGTGTCACTCACATGAATAGTGCCTCTAACTTTGTGCCGTAGAGCTATCGATCAGAGAAATTCCGTCGGACAGCCGAAATCTATGAGGACTTGGCCAAGGACCAGGGAGCTCTGGACAATGAAGAAAATGACCTGCGCATCAACGCATGGGCGGCAGATGCTCAGTTGCAATGGAAAGGATACCCTGAATATGTCCGTCACACCCGACCGACGAGGGATGATCTGGAAGCGTTTGAGACCGTCTACAATGCTGCTTGCCTGAGTATCGCCAAAGGAGAGTTTGGTCAAGGGGAGATACTACTTAAGCGGGCAAAAGGTTCGCCTTGCTCAACATACTTGGGATGGCGCTTGCTAACCCTGCTTAGAGTTGTGTCGGACATCCGAAGACCTGACACCAGAAGACAGAGACGCTGAGTTGCTCCCAATTTCCGTGCAGCAGCTGTATGTTTTGATCAGTCAAGGAAAGTCGGAAGAAGCCGAGTCCATCCTGCAGGAAATCTCGGTCAAAGAGTTTGTTGTACCCTGCACAGTATACAAGATGTCGTACGCGCAAGCTCATATAGTTATAGTATCCCGGAACTATCGACCAAGAAGATCGCAGAAAATAACATCACCCTCGTCCGTGACACCGCTGCAAACCCGTACATCCTTTATAAGGCGTTACACAAGACCCCAGAATCCACTGGTAATGACCGATTGTTCGACTTCCAAAGCAACATAATCAGCGGCAACTTTAACGCGGCCGACCTTCTTGTTCAGAAATACGATGGCATCATCCGATCTACGTCCAAGACACGGTCTCACGCCCCTTGTCCCTCCATAGAGCCCGGCATCAACCTGCTTTCGGTATTTAACGCCGCGGCCCACGCCCATGGCCAGACCGGTGCAAAGGCCCTGAAAGCGATTCTACCCGCAGTAGAGAAACGACCAAAGGATCTCGGATTAGTACTCACCGCCGTCCAACTCTACGTGAGCACCGGCAACACGACCTCCGCCATCGCCACCTTGGAGAAATGCCTTGGACTCCTGGAAGAATCCATCTCCGAGCAGGACAAGGAAGTGCGATTCAACCCTGGCCTCCTGGGCATCCTTGTATCTCTGTACAAGCTCGAAGGCCGCAAGGTACAAATCCGCACCGAACTCGGCAAAGCTGCAAGCTACTGGCGCAGCCAGGCCGAGGCGCCTTCCTCCCTGCTACGAGCGGCAGCGGCATCACTCATTTATTCTGCGGATCAGTCCGATCTCGTCACCGCCGGCGAGCTGTTTAAGGATCTTTACCAGAAGAACGCGGATGACCGGTTTGCAATTGCCGGCTACGTCGCTTCGCAGGCAACCCTGGACTACGACAAGGTCGCATCACAAGTCAACCGTCTCCCTGCAACCACCGACTTGGTGTCAGACATCGATGTATCTGCCCTCGAATCTGCCGGGATCTCTCCCTCGTCTGCTACGGCCGCAGCGGCCCTTGCCAGTGCACGCAAGCGCCCAGCAGCAGACAAGGAAGGCCGTGCAACGAAGCGAATCCGCAAATCACGTCTGCCAAAGGACTACGATCCGAACAAGGCCCCTGATCCAGAACGCTGGCTTCCTCTGCGTGATCGATCCAGCTACCGCCCCAAAGGACGAAAGGGCAAGCAGCGTGCGGCGGAACGTACCCAAGGAGGCATGGTCACCGAAAAGACGGAGGAAGCTAACGCAGCAGCCAGTCAGCAGGGCAGTCAACAGCGGACTCAGGCTAATACTTCGAAGAAGAAGAAGAAGGGGAAGCGGTAGTGGCGAATACGTGCTAGAATTAAAATCATGTACAGTGGATACAAAACTCATTCGATGATTGCGATATGATAAACAATGCAATGCAATGCATTCTACCGGGTTTATGCCTGACAATAAATCAATAGAGATAGCTCCCCTTTTTTAAAGAAAGAAAAGAAAGAATGAAAGAATGAATAAATGGATAGAAGAAAAAGCAGAGACGGCCTGTGGTGAAATAGAAAAATCTCACCCCAACGGAGTCCTAATCGTCCCACATTGCCGATCAAACTGTTCGAAAATAGTCCGAAAGACCTTCAAATCCTTGATAGAGTCCACCGTCGTGGTCTTAGTTTCCTCCCCTTGCGTCAAGAATGCATGCATAGCATCCAATTCACAACGATAGACATCCTCTCGGGTATTAAACATTTCCTGGGCTCTCAACTCGCCTTTCTCGTCAGCCATTTCCACCCGGATGCTCACGGGGTCCGGCCCATACTGCAGCGTGACGGTCTTGTTCTCGCCGTACACCGTCAACTGCGCATCGCATCTCGGCACGGCATCCTCGCCCGTGTCATAGGTCAATGTGAACGGATACTCATCACTATAGTGGAACACAGCCGAATAGAACGGTTCATTCACAGATATATTTGACACCGCGTCGGGCGCACCGAACGCCTCCCGCATCAATGATAAATCGTAACATGCTCGTCCCGTAAGTAACCGCGAGAGGACGATTCGCTCCGGCGTGAGCTCTTGGCCGGGAAATACCTCCTGGAGGAGATTCCACGTGGAGGATGATGTATCCTGTGACGATGTGGGCGTGGTTAACGACGACGGAGACGAAGATGAAGACGACACGTCAAGATGCTGCCTCTCTACCATGTGCGATGGCGACGACCGCGTCTTTCCCTGCCCGACCCCGACAATATTCCGACACCTTGCGTAATAGATCCGTCCCATGGTGGACACTTCGCTTTTGAATGTCTCGAAACAAGGGGCATATCGTCTGGCGGAGGCGACGAACACCCGCCCCTGCGAGTGGCGCTCGGCGTCGAGAATGCGGTGTGCGCTGGGTAGGCTCACGCTGACGGGGTTTTCGACCATGACGTGTTTGTTCGAGGACAGGGCGGCAATGGTGAACTGTTCGCGCTGAGCGGCGGGTAGAAAGTTGAGGATCAGGTCGATAGAGGGATGGGTGAGGACGGCCTCCGGGGTGGATGCTAGTGGTGGGCCATTCGGATTCGGAGAGGGAGGTGATGGAGACGCATCGTAGATGAGGATGACTTGGTAGGTTGGTAGGGATTGGAGAATAGGAAGGTAGAGGGTGATGGATTTGTCGGTGAGGATGCCCACGCTCAGGACGGTTTGGGTCATACTGTCTGTCCTTATTCTCTCTGTATCATGAGGGACGAGAGAGAGGAGAGTGAAGGAGAGAGAATAGAGGAAGGGATGTACAGGTCATGTTAGCTCAGGGCTATATAAACACCCCCTAGTTACGCAAGGGATTGATTCCTTTGTCAACGGGGTGACATCAGCGGCGGTTGATATCATCCTCGATAGCCTCACATCTTCGACTCACCTCCCTATATCCTTGAATCAAATATTAGGACAATAGATTGGAGGTCCATTTAGCTGCGTTTTGTACACGTTAACTTTCCTTGTGTATCCTATCATTGTCTGTCTTTTGGTCAGGTTCTGTTAGCTTCAGATTCCCTGTTTACGAATGCCTGCATAGCCCACGGGGTTACCGGTTAGGATACAGCAGGTTAGTAGACCTTTGGTTGATCAATTGATTGACTAATTAACTAATTAACATACTCAGGCCTCTTGGATATGCATTATATAACTCACCGATGTATATTTGGCTTGAAAAAATACCTATTCCACGGCATTTAAGCGCCGGAAAATACATAGTTTAGAGCACTATTAGCCTAGTAGTTAGGCAACCAACAGTCTAGATGCCTAAGTTAGCCTTAATATAACTACAGTTTATCATGGACACATACGGTTAATAAGAGAGGGGTAAACAATGGTAGTACAAACTGTAATATCTGTGCATAATACCTAGATTCAATAATTAGCAGAAGATGCCAAAACACTAACTGGCCTAAGCTTGTATAAATACTAACAAGCTTAAAATATAAAAATAGAGCACGAGCTCCATAAGATTTTTAATTTTTGTAACTAGCGTGTACTTGAATTCTCTGTATTTTTCTGCTTTTTGATTCTTTTCCGATTGCTTCTTGAGATATATAATCTCTATAATACCATATTAAACGGTAGATAGCTTATATCCAATACCACAGGAGTCTGATACGAGTCAACCACCAATTATTCTGCAGATCTCAGCCTGTCTTCACCAAATCTATTGTACTGGGGCTCATCGCCCCAAAGCGGGTCTTCTAACAGGCTAGTGCCGTCGCAATCATCACCATCCTGCAGTTGTGTATTTATTGGTTGGGCATCTCTCTGTATAACTTTACCTTCTTTCCACCTCTTCCCTCTCGACCTATTGTTCTCTCTGGTCAACCTGAAACTTTCATCCACCATGGGGGTAAGTAAACACTTGCAGCCCTTCCCTTCGACTGTTTACGTCTTGTCGTCTTTTGTTGCCCCGCTTCGGCATCGCAAGACCAGACGAGATTCCCACACAAGTACAGGGCTAATCTCTGCATCCTACATGATATTCTAGTTTGCCTCCAAGATCGCCGGCATTCAGAACATGAACAACAACCAACCTCCTCCAGGTTACCCGCCTGCATCGCTGCAGCCTGGAGGAAATACGGGTGGATACACGGCTGTAAGTCTTCCTCGCACAGCCAACGAGCTAGCTGCTCCCCCTCCTTCTGCTCTACTGCCCCTCTCTATTGTCGTCATCGTCATCGTCAAACTCTTCTCGTCCTCTTTCTGTGCCTTTTGACTCATCAGTGCGCCTAATCTTACGCCTTAGCAGCCGCAGTATCAAGCGTATCCAGGTGGGGCTCCTGGAAATTCGGTAAGCTCGACCTTTTGTGTGTTTTGATCGTGGTTTTCCTATTTCTCAGTAACTGCTTCCTTCCTTCTACCTTTATTTTATATATTTTTCGTCTTTTCTTGTTTGATTTTGTTTTGTGTTTCTTTCCCTTCGTCGCTTGATTTGAACACTCTCCACACCACTTGCCATCCTACTCGCCTTCTACCGGTCAGTCCCCACGCCTACAGTGCTCGCTCCGTCAACTCTTCCCCACTTCGTCGCTGGTCTCGACAACATCGTGCAACCATGTCGCGACCGTACTATAACCAGCAGGGGGGATATCCTCCTCCGCACGTGGGCCCAGCTCAGTCACCTAATCCAATGGCGCCGACCCCACCGCCGCAACCACAGTATCGAGCATACTCTCCGTCCACCATGGCTCCCTTGGTTCCTCCGAATAAGCCAGTGCCTTCACCTTCTCCGGCCCCTCCTGGTTACTCGGGCGCTCCCCAGCCCTCGCAGTCTCCCGCATCTTCGGGGTATCCTCAACCGCCGTACAGCTCTCCGCCGCTGCAGGGCTATCCCCAAGCTCCCTATGGCACAGACCCACGATATCGACAGCCTCAGGGGTACGGACAACCGCAGGCATATGGGCAACCTCAGGGATATGGACAGCCCCAGGGCTACGGCCAACCTCCCGCACCTCCCGCACAGCCTCAACCATACGGAGCTCCTGGGTCACAGTACCCTACACACTCATCTCCCTATGTACAGAATGATTCCAGATATTCCTCATTGTATCAGGCGTTTTGATATTTTGTTTTATCAAGTATTGTGGCAAAGAATGATACTGACAGGCACGGTTATTAGGCACCTCCATATCCCCCGCAGAATGCACCCTACCCAGGGGGACCCGTTCGTGCCCCGCAGCCTGGACCTCCAGGGCCCCCAGGACCCCCAGGACCCCCTGGCTATGGATACGGAGCTCCAGGGGGGGCGCCTCCCGCCCCCCGAGCCACCGAGCAGCAGATTGCCGCCTATCGCCAGCTCCTGATCGGAACCATTCAGGAGAAAAACCTCCAGCACTTCTATCCTCCCGATAGACTGGATCGACTTATCCAGGGCCTAGCCAACGACGCACCCGCCAGAGTCAACAAACTGATGCATGAATGGGCAGTTCCCCAGGAAGTGGCCATTGATATTATCAAGCTCTCTCTGTTCGATGTCATCCTCTACGTGGACGACAGCGGTTCAATCGAATTCGAAGAAAAGGGGGTGAGAAAGGAGCAATTGAGACAGATCATCGGCATTGTTGCGACAGCTGCGTCTACTTTCGACGAGGATGGCATCTCCGTGCGGTTCATGAACTCCATGGAAGTCGGTGATGGAATCCGCAGCGTGGACGATGTCAACATGCTCGTCTCGCGAGTACGATTCTCGGGACTAACTCCGCTGGGAACTAGCCTTAAGAACAAGGTTCTCGAACCGATGGTCGTAGGCCCTGCTCGAGCGGGGCGCTTGCAGAAGCCTGCTTTGATTATCACAATTACGGATGGCCAACCCGCCGGAGAGCCCCTGGATACGGTCGCCAACTCGATCCGCTTCGCCATTCACGAGGTATCTCGGACTCCGTACGGACGAGGTGCCGTCTCTTTCCAGTTCTCGCAGGTAGGTAACGACACCAAAGCTCGCGATTTCCTTTCCAGCCTGGACGAGGACCCGCACATTGGAAACCTGATCGACTGCACATCCAGTAAGTATCCCTGCATCTAATACCAGGGGACGTGGTCATGGTAACACCTGCATCAGATTTCGAGGTGGAACAAGACGAAATGTCTCGTGCCAACCCACCGATCCATCTGACGCGAGAACTTTGGGTGAGTGTGTCCCCGGTTTGTTGACCTTGGCACATCTAACCAGTTGACTGCAGTGCGCTAAGTTGATGCTCGGCGCCATTGACTCGTCCTATGATACCAAAGATGAAAAGGCGGCCGGCCGTGCCGGTGGTGCAGTAGCTCCCCCTCCTGCCGGTGGCCCGGGCGCATACGGAGGCGGCTACAACGCACCACCCGGCCAGGGCCAGCAAGGCTACCCTAATCAGCCTCCTGCCCCGAACTACAACCAGCCAGGACCATACGGCTCTGGCCCGGGATACGGTCAACAACCACCCTATCCTCCCGGCCAGGGTCAGCCTCCGGCACCAGGGTATGGACAACCGTACGGTGGTCATGGCTCAGCCCCGCCCCGTCCATCTGGATATGGCCCTCCTCCCGGGGGGGCCCCTCGGGGATATCCACCGCAGGGGTACGGACAAGGTCCCCCACCTCCGCCCAGGTATTAGAGTGATGGATGAGTGAAGCTAGCACCATGGATTTTTTTTTTGACGTACTATCTCATTTATTTCTTTTAATTGTTATTCTGGTTGGGGGGACATGGGACTGTATGCGTTATGACAATCTCTTTCCTTGCTTTAACGAATCAATCTTGTACCAAATGCTTCGAAAAGAGACTTGAATTGGTGGGGGAATCTGGGGCAAGAATAGAGGATGCTACGGCACCGTTCTCTGTATTTTGACTAGCACTAGCACTAGTATAGGCTTGTCATAATCACGATCACATTATGATTTGCTCAGAGTTCTTGGATTGCCTCCAGAGGACAGGAAAGTCGAGAGAGAAGGGGACGGTCCCTCGTCATTTCGGAAGAGATTGTCGTGGGCCCACGGTCTCACGTGAGGAGAGACATAGGGCCGTTGATCACGCTATTGCTCATCTTCCTCATTGTCACATCGTCGCATCATCAATCAGGCTGGCATCATACTATTTGGGGATTCAACGTGCCCTGCCAAGCCCATGCCGATGACTGGCCCCGCTTACTAGGGTCTTAGTTCGCCCTGCCTTGCCACCAGTGGCATGTCCACAAAGCTGCCAAGTGCGCTGCGAAGAACATGGCGAAGTTGAGATGAAACCGAAAGATTGGATATCCCTAACTATCCAACGGCTATCTTCATTCTCTCCATGTGGAGAAAGGGCTTCATTCTGATTCACGGTTCAAGCGGAGATGGAACCCTTCCACGAAGAAGTCGACCATGGATCTATGCCACCTTCTAGAAGTTGCCACAACCGTGGGTTCTACAGGGGGCGGTGCACGAGGAGAGAACATGACCGACTGTGCAACAAAGACGATGGTGTCGGAGAGGGAATTACATCTGTGGTGAGTACTCGAATACAACCCGAATCTCCAGAACACATGCCACATGCGTCGTCAATAGTGCTGCGGCATACCGCAGTAATTTCGTTAGTCAGTTTAGTCAGCTGTCAATTTGCCCCGTATTCTGTAGTTCAATCCCGATCGTGACACCTTCCAGTCTATGGTTGCATCCATCTTGCGTGGCCTCGCAAGCCACTGACGGACCTGCAACAACCATGGGTGGACACCCGCCAATTTAAGGTGGTCTGTCCGTGGACCCAACCTGTGGGCATTGAGTGACTGAACTCTGAAGCGATTGAACAAAATACAGAATTTGAAAATTCCCTTGACCGGCTTTCGGCCATTCGTTCCCGCTCGTTAACAGCCGTGGCGACTGCTCTATTTTCAGTGTCTTACCGCATTCAGGTGACTCCATCCCCTCCGCGTCAACTTCTCAATCAAACTTTCGCTGCCTTCGTCTTTCTGCCAGTTTTCACCTTCTGTCTTTATTGTGGTCGACATCGGTCGTTTTCTTTTGTGTTCATGGTTTGTTAATTGACTCGACTATTGAATACCCTTCCACATTGTTCATTCAGTTCCTCCTCAGTCATTTCCGATCAGCATCATTCGTTGTTGCCTTAGGATCTCGCTCTCGCTCTCGCTTTCGCTTCGCTATTCGACTGTTCCTGCGTATCCTTTGCTGTGCGCGCATAACCTTTGTTAGTCGCCGATCTCGACGTCGCTGATAACCTATGGATACACTGTGATAGGGTGTTTTAATTTTCCGTGACTTGGGGAGAAAGTATGAGCAGGGCATATTTTCACCCGAACCTTACAACCACCGCTGCTCGATTGCTGTGAGACTTTGAGGATCCACGTTCCGTGAGTTCTGGGGAAGGAATATTTTGGGTACAGAAAAGAGGAAAAAACTGGTGCAGTCACCGATTATTGAGAGTGTCCATTGAATCAACTCATTTTTCACACACAACCTACCCATAGTGGTATTGAAGACCACGAAAGGAAGGAATCGATCGACGGCCTCGCTATGTCCAAACAAGATGCGGGAACAGAGCCAAACCAGGATTCGCAAGAGACTGCGCTACCGGGCAGCAATTCTCTGAATGTGGCGCCTTCGCGACCGTCCATTTCCTCCTCGCGCAGGCTTTCGGGTTCCGGACGAAGGTCGTCTCAACAGCACCATGTTCGATTCTCTTCCGATCTGGAGCGTCCCTCAGTGGAAGAGTCTCGACTGCCTCCCCCCAATCAGCGACACTCCAGGGGCCTATCAATCAATACCAACATTGCACAGCAGGCTTCTTCGACTGATAGGTCTCCAGAACGAAGTGCCATCTCTCCCCTGTCTCCACGCGGTGCTCTCTCGCCTACGTCCCCGCAAAGCCCGGACTCTGGTCGCTCTCGATCTCGAAACCGCGGTTATTCACTCCGACGGTCAATCTTTGCGAAGAACATCCAGTCCCAGTCGGACGCGACATCGCCGGGAGCCATTGAATTGGACCAGGTTGTGACCCCGCAAGCTGAAGGTCCTCAACCTGGAAGCCCCCAGCAAGGGAACGCCCAACAGGGAGATACGGCGAAAAATCTGCGCGCTTCGATTGAAACGGAGAAGAGCCATGTTATCGTCACGCAGACATCGACACCGGAGTCCAACTCGGTAGATGGTACGTCGACGACATACGTCTCTGAGCGATCCGAAGGCTTGAAGGAAGGTAGACACCTTTCTATGTCTTTATCACATAAGCGGTGGCTGAAGAGAAGAGCCACCGTTGCGACAATCGCTGCCCGCTTCGAGACGATACTTGAGGCTATTCGCAAGACCATCCTCCGAATCAAAGAAATCCCGCCCAGCAAAGATGGCCGCCATATCGATCTCGACCCTACTCGAATGGAGACCTTGATCGACGAGAGGACTGGCAAACCGTACGTGGGAAACTGGATTCGGTCTAGTCGATACAGCTTTTGGAGCTTTTTCCCGCGGCAACTGTGGGCGCAGTTTACCAAGCTGGCCAATTTCTATTTCCTCGTCGTGGCAATTTTGCAGATGATTCCCGGTTTGAGTACTACTGGTACATTTACAACGTTAATCCCTCTGTTGATCTTCGTTGGTATTTCCATGGGCAAAGAAGGGTTTGACGACTGGCGCCGGTACCGTTTAGATAAGGAAGAAAATAACCGCTATGCCACTGTGCTCCGCCCGGGTATTGGGCTCATGTCTCAATCTGCTGCGACTGACTGCATGTCGGTGTCGAGCGACAGTCAGAATTGGGAGCTCGTGAAATGGAAAGACATTAAGGTGGGAGACGTGATCAAGCTGGAGCGTGACGAGCCGGTGCCCGCCGATATGGTCTTGCTTCATGCAGATGGACCCAATGGCGTGGCCTATATCGAGACCATGGCCCTGGATGGGGAGACTAATCTCAAAAACAAGCAACCCTGCCAACCCGTGGCTAAGCTATGTGGCTCAGTTGAGGGCATCTGCAGCAGTGCCATTCGCTTTGCTGTGGAAGACCCCAATATCGACCTGTACAAATTCGACGGCAATGCAACGATTGCTGCGAGTGAGAAGCTGCCGTTGACCAACAATGAAATTGTCTATCGTGGAAGCATTCTCCGTAACACCGAGCAGGCCATTGGTATGATTATCTACACCGGTGAAGAGTGTAAAATCCGGATGAACGCGAACAAGAACCCCCGGATCAAGTCCCCCTCGCTCCAAGCCAAGGTTAATCGCGTGGTGGTGCTCATTGTGCTTCTCGTGGTGATCTTAGCGATAGCTTGCACTGTTGCATATAAATACTGGTCCGACGATGTTGAGAGCAATGCATGGTACCTTGCGGAGGCCAACGTGGACTACGGTCCTATCTTTACTTCGTTCCTAATCATGTTCAATACCATGATTCCTATCTCCCTTTACGTTAGTATGGAAATCGTCAAGGTTGCTCAGATGCTTCTGCTCAACTCTGATATCGATATGTATGACCCGGAAACGGACACACCCATCGAGGCACGGACATCTACGATCAATGAAGAGCTGGGACAAGTCAGCTATATCTTTTCCGACAAGACTGGCACTCTCACGAACAACTCGATGCGTTTCCGGAAGATGAGTGTTGCGGGAACCACGTGGTATCATGACTTCGATCTTCGTGAGGAAGCTGCCAAGGAAGGAGACCGGGAAAAACTTATCCACAAGAAACGGAGAGTTAAAGGGAAGAAGGCTATGGCTCGCAAGTCAAATGCCTCGGAAGCGCGATCATTTCTCGCCAGAGCTGGCTCGACTTCAGTCCCAGGAGGAACACAAAAAGCCGGCAACTCGGTGACGAACAATCGCACAACCGATATGGTCAGGTATATCCAGCGCAAGCCTTATACCTTTTTTGCCCGCAAAGCCAAGATGTTTATCTTGTCTATAGCCTTGTGCCACACGTGCATCCCGGAAACTGATGAGCAGGGATACGCTACCTTCCAAGCAGCATCGCCTGATGAACTGGCTTTGGTCATGGCCGCTCAAGAACTGGGATATCTCGTTTGGGACCGGCAGCCGAACACTGTGACAATCCGCACTTATCCAAATGGGTCCGATGAGGGTGCTTGCGACGAGGTCTACGAAGTCATGGATGTGATTGAGTTCTCCAGTGTCCGCAAACGCATGTCCATCGTGGTGCGGATGCCCGACCAGCGTATCTGTCTGCTCTGTAAGGGCGCTGATACCGTCCTAATGCAGCTACTCAGACGGGCGTCTCTTGCACAAGAGAAAGTAGCTGAGATCGAAAGGCGCGCGAGCAAACGCAAAGCTGCTGAAGCAGATCAGGTCATCCGACGCAACAGTGAGTATCAGAGCCGGAAGGAGAGCGGAGTTCGAGCGAGTTTCAGTCGGCCAAGCATGACGCATAGACGTTCGAGTATCTCTGGACACTATATCTCTACCGTAAGAGACAGTCTCGATGTGTGGCTTCGTGACCGGGAGACGGATGGTGGTATTCTCACAAGGGAGAACAATGATGCCGCATATTACAGCCCGCGGCCCTCTGCTCAGTTGGGACGACAGTCCACCACTTTCTCGGATTCGGGAAGCTCAGTAAATGAAGATGACGAGGAGGAGTTGGTGGAAGAGGCTCTGGTGGTCAATGAATCCGCTGTCTTCGAGAGGTGTTTCCAGCATCTCAACGACTTTGCAACTGAAGGATTGCGTACGCTCCTGTATGGTCATCGTTTCCTTGACGAAGCTACGTACAGTACCTGGAAGGCTGCCTATCATGAGGCCTGCACCAGTCTAGTTAATCGACAGGAGAAGATCGAAGAGGTCGGTCAGCAAATTGAAGCAGAGCTCGAGCTGACCGGCGCCACGGCCATTGAGGATAAATTACAGAAAGGCGTTCCTGAGGCCATCGACAAGCTAAGACGGGCCAATATTAGGTTATGGATGCTGACGGGTGACAAAAGAGAGACCGCCATCAATGTCGGCCATTCGTGTCGTCTGGTGAAGGATTATTCGACCCTCGTCATTCTAGACCACGAGACTGGTGAGGTTGAACGGTCGATCATGAGCCTGATGGCGGATATCAGCAAGCGCAGTGTGGCCCATTCAGTGGTGGTAGTTGACGGGCAGACGCTGGCATTGATCGAAGCCGACGAGACCTTGCGCGTCCAATTCTTTACTCTGGCGATTATGGTTGATTCGGTCATCTGCTGCCGTGCCAGCCCCAAACAAAAAGCTTTCCTTGTCAAGTCGATCCGACAACAGGTGAAGGATTCGGTTACGCTTGCGATTGGCGATGGTGCGAACGACATTGCCATGATCCAGGAAGCGCATGTTGGCATCGGTATCACCGGGAAGGAAGGGTTGCAGGCGGCGCGAATTTCTGACTACTCAATTGCCCAGTTCCGGTTCCTACTGAAACTGCTACTCGTCCACGGGAGATGGAATTATATTCGGGCATGCAAGTACACGTTGGGCACATTCTGGAAGGAAATGTTGTTCTACCTGACGCAGGCCCTGTACCAGCGCTGGAACGGCTATACAGGGACCAGTTTGTATGAACAGTGGAGCTTGAGTATGTTCAACACTCTCTTCACATCCCTAGCTGTGATTTTCCTCGGTATTTTCACCAAAGATCTGTCCGCGTCGACACTACTTGCCGTTCCTGAGCTGTATACCAAGGGCCAGCAACATGGCGGGTTCAACATCCGGTTGTATCTGGGCTGGACGTTTATGGCTACCTGCGAGGCCATGGCTGTTTATTTCATCATGTTCGGGCTTTTCGGAAACGTGCTGTTCACCCATACCGGCAGTGATATCTTTTCCGCTGGGATGCTCACTTATTCAGCGTGCGTCATCATCATCAACGCCAAGCTACAGGCACTGGAGGTGCACAACAAAACGTATCTCTCGCTCGTAGTAATCGTCATCTCCGTGGGGGGCTGGTTTTGCTGGAACCTGATCCTATCTCGCCAGTACAACATGAAATCCGGTGACAGTATCTATCACGTACCCGGCAACTTCATCTTCCAGTCCGGCCGCGACCTAGCTTTCTGGGCTGTGTTGCTCCTCACTGTCGTTTCTGTCGTGGTATTCGAGATGACCGTCAGCGCTGTCCGAGCCCTGTTTTTCCCTACAGACGTGGACGTCTTCCAGGAATACGAGCAGGACTTAGAAATTCGGAAGCGATTCGAAGAGGCGGCTGCTTCGGAGCTGCAGCAAGGCTGGGATCATGGTAAGAAGAAGTCCAGCTTCGAGCTAGCTCGCGAGGCCGCCGAGATGGAGGCCCGCGAGCAGCAGGTGCAGGAACTTCTTGCCCGGCCAAGAGTCATGACCAAGACAGTATCTGGTCAAGTGCATATGGAGGAGGTCAGCGACCTAGAGGGACCCGTCCACCAGGATGTGGGCGGCTCGGGGGTGGTTGGAGACGAGGTGATGAATGCGCCACGAAGATCAGTTGAGATTCACGAGCTATTTACGAAGGGATTCGGGTCCATCCGCAAGGGGCATCTGAAGTGATCATTCTTTTTTTTTTTTTTTTCCTGCCTTATTGACTTTTTCAGCATGATGGCGTTGGCAAATGGATACCCGGAAGTCACTCATTTTGTATCGTTGTTGCTGCTGTGTGTATGTACATTGGTATACCATGCAAATATTGCCGAAGCATTCGATTGTATAAAAGAAATCCATGCCCAAATAAGCTTACTGGTAGACGACGTTGCTGGATCATTTGGATTCAGTCAGCACATGGCCTGATGATCTCTCCACGTGCCACTGTCCTCCAAACTTAAAACATAATAATACAATGCACGAAGGTATCTACATATAATCCACAAACACGAGCAACGGTCTCGTAAACGGGGTGACTCACCCATTGGGGATTCATTCCGTACCTTTGTTCCTACTACACTACCATCTGCAGATGACATGTTAAGTATCCTAACTGCCCTTTAACAATCGTTCTCATCCGGTGTGCCTGACTCACACATAGATAAGGCGTCCTACTCATCATGAAACAGAAATCTGGTTCAACGGTGGAGGCTTAGAGGAAGATACTCCGCCTCATTTCCAGCTGATCACCATACAAACCACAAAGCTTGTCTCAATCAGCGTAAACATGATTCTGAAAACAAAACACGATGAGCTGTCAGCTCCGATCTTCTTATTCAGTCAGGGCAAGGGAAGACTAAAAGAGAGAACACCATGTGTCCTGGAATAACAGCATTGACGCTGGAGCATTCTTTCTGGATGAATTCAGCCTCCACATACTCTTGGATGTTCCTCGCGCAAAGAACTAACTACATAACTACATTCTATCGGCAAATCCAAGTCGTACTTTGTAAGATAACATGACACTACTTCGCCGGGCAATTGTTGGATACAGAAAAACTCCACCAATGACGACTAACCGGTGGTCGATTTATTCCCGACCCCAGCATGCACGTTCCCGGTGGCGTTGCAGTTCACGATTATTATTCTTGAGATTGTTTACTCGTTTTCTCCCTTGCTTACAAGAAGTATCTCACGTTAGGCGTTAAATGCCTGTTAGCTGTGCCTTACATTCCAGTTCTCAGGTTGGTCAGCTTATCTTTGGCATTTTTCCCAAAAGATAGGCCATTCAACGGACGCCACTGATAGCTTTTTTTTTTTTTTTAATCTAGCAGACGCTCGCAGGCCATGCGCCTACTCCAGGATACTTTTTCTGTTACGATGGCCTCCATGTCATCTCAGTAAATGTGAAGAATGATTCGAGCCTCCAGGATTAGTGAGAAATCGGTAAACAAGCTGTTGCTTTTACCCCCACTACATCCTTCAAAATACGGCCTACCATTGAAGATTATGATTATCTGCACTGCGGCGCAGGTCCAACTGAGCCATTGTTTTTGGAGGCTCTTACTGGTCGTCTGGCCCAGATGCATGAATCACCACAACAACGCCATTATTTCAGCTGTTGAATCAGATGGTCTGAATCAAGAGCGGCCCTTCAGCCACCACACTTATCGCGATGCCCGAGTCTACTTTGGGCCTATCAAATGCGGGTGAATATCGATTCGGTTTGTGGAGCGCTACCCTGCCTCACATCAATTGAGTCAGTCCATCATGATGTGGGCAGCGCCAGTTCTACTACGACCACCGTATGGCAACGAATCACCTTATTTCTGAGACTGGAATATTGAATCGAGAACTTGACGCCATGACAGATTGTGCTATTGGTAGTGTAGTGCCAACGCACTAGTCCAGTTCACAGCCATACACATGACGTGCAGAACAGTACAGATAGATTACGATCACGAAGATGACAGCATCAGATATCCTAGAAGGCAGCCCAGGATGGGATACCCTTCAACAATGGCTTGTTGTACTCATCTTGTACTATCTAGGCGACCACACCCGGCCCGGTACCGCTGCTCTTGTCTGTTGGTGGTGGGCAGAAGAGGATAATATCAGCCTTAGGCCGCCCCATTGATGCTGTCGATGAGTGTATAAATATCGTGAAGCTGCAGCAGCTGAACATGACCAAACAAGTTATCCTTTCGTTTAGCAGTTAGAGAGTTTTTGTCAACTAGGGCTGCTCTACAAGATGCCAGTTAGTCAATCACCCGTTCCTACAACTGATGATACTAAAACCATGCTAGATCGACCCCACTAGCCTGATCTATAGTGCCTTGACGGCCGTCCTAAACTACTTTGCTGCGTGGGTATACCTGTTCGCGGGGCCGAGCATTATCCAGGGAGGATTTGAAAAGGTTCGACATCAACTATGTATCTTTCTTGCCCTCCGAGTGAGCTAATCAAATCAACTCAACAGGCAAAGGGTCAACCATTTGAGGTCTTCGCACCCGATAGTAGATATGTGTTTGTCTCATCAGCCAAGCATATCAAGGAGGTTGATAGCGCCCCTGACACGGTGCTTTCCCTCCATGCCGCATCTGACCAGGTCAGCCTTTTCTTGCCTTGGTTTGGGGCCAATGTTGTAGATATGTCCATTTCTGACACCGAGCAGATGCTCCAAGCTAAATACACTATGCATGGGTTCAAATGGTTCGATCACAGGGGAACCAAGGGAATTGGGTATGTACGTGCTGTACGCACTCTGTTGACACGCAACCTGCCCCAGATCCTGCCAGATCTAAGGGTTCTTCTTCGAAATCGCTTTACAGAGATGCGTAAGGAGCATCCAATTGTGGATGGTATGAGCTCTTGTTTCGATTTGAAAATCAGCTGTCCTAAATATTGACGACACCAGGAAACTGCCAGTCCCCGGTGTATGAGATGATTCTCAAATTGGTGGTCTTAGCCAATGCAGACTCAATTTTCAGTTCAGAACTTAGTGGGTTACTATTTTCCTTGAGCATCTCCGACAATAACTTATCCCATTATCAGGCAAAAATGAAGCTTTCATGACATCGGCGTTGGCATATATCGAAGAGACCATGATGAGTGCTGAAATAATCCGATTGATGCCTCACGTTTTAGCCCCGTGAGTTTAAACCTCCCCAAGGGCAAGGAAGAAACTAACAAAGATCTCCAGAGTTGTTGGTCGACTGATTTCTGGACGACTACACTCTCACCAGATCGTGTTTAACACATTGCTTCCCATTGTTGAACAACGGTGCCAGGAGAGAGAGATGGCAAAGTTGGGCCATGCGGTCCCGCAACATGTAACTATAACCCCTTTCTCCCTGGCCTTCATACATGTCCTCTGACTTACCATGTTAAAAGATGGATTGTATCCAGTGGATTCTAGAGAGTTCACCACGGAAGCAACCCTGCTCAGCGGAACATGTCGTTCATGAATTGATGGCTATCTGGTTCGGTTCTGTCCACGCATTGTCGACGGTTCGTGTCCCATGCGTCAATGATATGTCGACTAAGGGCTGACTCTATCTACAGACGATCACCTTTGCCATTCACGATCTCTGCCTCCACCCCGAATATATCGATCCCCTCCGCAACGAGATCGAAACCCAGTACGATGAGTTCGAGCGCACGGGCCAGGGTCTCCCCCTGCTCGATAGTTTTATTAAAGAGTCAGCTCGCCTGACCCCGGTCGAGTCCAGTAAGAGCTCTCCCATTTCGAACAGTTTACCAGTTCCTCTGACCAGATATAGTGAGCACCCGTCGTTATGTCCTACAACCCTTCAGCCTTTCCAACGGCGCCAAATTATCCGTCGGTGATTGGGTCTGCACCCCTGTCCGTTCCCTGATGCAACATCCAGACAATTACCCCGAGCCCCTCACTTTCAACGGGTTCCGGTTCGTGGATCCCCATATCCTTCCTGGGCGCTTCCACCCTCTCCAACCCAAGCCATCCAGGCTCACCGATGTGGATAATACCTGGCATGTGTGGGGGACAAATCGACTGGCGTGGTACGTGGCATATTCTCTACTCCGCGATCTGATTCATTGGATGAACAGTAGCTAACCCCTCACTCTCCAGTCCTGGTCGATTTTACGCTGCAGCAGTCATAAAGGTACTTCTCAGCCAGATCATTCGGGACTATGATTGCCAGTTGGTGGATCCCGATGCCCGACGCTGGTTTTCTTGGAGGTCCAGCATGTTACCGAGTAAGACTAGCATGGTGGTGTTCACCCCACGCTAATACCGTTCTATTTTTTTTTTTTTTTTTTACTTGGCTAGTTTCTTTGCGTATATACTTTGGAAAGAGTATGGATATTCTCGGTTAGTGTATATTATGAGTATGGAGTATGGATAATAATGATGCTTAAAGCCAATATTGGTGTATGGTCTAGTACTCCGTGCAGTCGGTTCGAAATGCAACATGTATCGGCAATCCAGCGAATCAGTAGTAAAACAGTCGGACGAAATATATCTTTTCCTTAGCAGGAGCATTCATAGGACATATTTCGCAAGAATCCTCAACCGACCTACTATTCGCTACATATATTGGATGCACCTAAGAAATCAAGGCACTGCAATTTGTCTGTATCTAATATGCATAGAATAATAAGATCTACAGAACAAGGTATCCACTTCCTGCAAACCATCCCAACAAACCACGTTCACCATCCGAACCCACCGTTCAAAATACCTGCCGAGGTGGGCCCGTTGAAGTTGAGTCTCACGAAGGAGCCGGTTACAGCAACCAGGCAGTAACAACGATGGAGCAACATGGATGAATGAATGAATGAATCACTTAACTATCTCCCGAATTCTGTAGAAGTTTTCCGGGGAGGATTTGAGATAAATATAGAATAGAGTAACTAGTGCTGATCGTATCGTGTGCATATACGAACACATGATTCTATACGAGCAAACACTACCGTAGGCAGACGTCGATACTCAAAGCAGTGAGGGGATAGGATACACAATAGTCATGTATGGTTAGCCTGTCAATGTCAGTTTGGTCTTGCTACTACTCACGCTACTATATCAATGAGAATCTAGAGTAGTCCTATCGTTGTGGTATTGTATATGCATACAGAGCAGAGTTTAGATTAAATTAACATACTTATATAGTTAACAGATAAAAATAGATATCCGTCTCAACACGAGAAGGTTCGTCGAGCACGGCGCTTAACTAGCTCGATCAGTGGTAAACAGGACAGAAGGCTGACCTGGAATCACTCTGAAGTATTCTGTACGCCCTTTATGTATCTATACGGACGATGGAGTATAAATAGGTACAGCTCAGGGACCGAATCAAAGGTTGCTACAGATCCTCGCCGGTTGAGTCCCCGTTGGGTTAGCCTGGATCGTAAGTTTGGCGCTAGTTGAGTTGTTCTCTTTCTGCCGGTAGGACAGACCAATGGGAGGCTAGTATTTGGTGCACAGATCATCTGTGGGGCGTTCCTTCCTTACTGTACTCTGTACAGTGTACAGTCTGTACGGAGTACTCTATGAGAGAGAGGTACTAGTACTTCGGAGTACATTGGTATTAAGTCAAAGTGCAAGGGCGTATAAATAGAGTCACAAGTGATGATATGCAAGTAGAGTAGGTATACCGTGTATGTATTCTGTGTACGTATAGAGAGTACGAAGGTTATCAGTACACGAGGACTGATTAGGCCCTGTCATGTTTACCCATCCAATCAGCAGGCGCATGGTGGGACGGGAAAGGGCGGGTACCTGGATCGAATCACCAAACCGGCTGGGCCAGACAAGCCAAAGCCTGAGACTGGTCGCGGATGGAACGAAGTCTGGAAACTGCACCACCTACTTTACTTATTAATAGAAAGTCCTTGCTGATGTTCTCGGCAAATCCTTACCACTCCATACTCCCTAGTTATGTACTCCATAAATGATAAGAAGCCTGTTCCTTGCTGGCTTGCTCGTCTGGATGCATGTCACTACGGGCGAATTGACTTTCCATGTCCCTTGGGTCCTTTCCGCCGGTAGTACGTTTAGTATCGGTTAAGCATCACACCGTACACCATAAATGAACTCTGAAACAATCGAACGTCGGGGGCCCTAAGTAGGACCTTGAGTAAAACCACCTCAGTCGCAGGCGTGGGTTTGTTCTCTCTTGGCTTCCTGCTAGTAGCCTCTCCTTTCCCCTTAGTCGTGGACCGGGGTCGGCCTTCCGTAGTCCGTAAGCAGAGCAGAGCCCCTAGGAGCCTATGAGTAGAGTCTAGTCAATTGCCATTGAGGGACCCTGGTCAAGTACCGCAACTTGGCAAAAGTGAGGTGGTCTATCCTAGTGGAGAAAACCCTTTCCTTCCCTCTGCGTCTCGGATTCAGTAACGTTATCACCTGCGACAGGAGGCTGGTGGGAGGTGGCTTTTTTGTTTTGTTTGGTTTTTTTTATTTTTTTATTTTTTTTATTTTTTTTTTGAGTTCGTTACCTTTTCTGTTGGGACGAACGGCCCAGGTCTTCTTTCTTTACCTTTTCTGTTTTATTTGGTTCCATCGTTCCGGTTACAGTGGATTCGACCTCGCCGAGGTACGGAGTTGGTACGCATATGGAGTATGTACTTAACGTGCTCACTCGTAGGTACCTACTTCAGTAGGACCTAGTTATTCCCCGAAGAAAACTATTTATGGCCAGGATGGATGGATGTTCTCTCCGTGATTCCCGTTGACGAGCAATGGGTGTTACCCTGTTATCCATACTATTGCTGGATAACCCGCAATAGTTAGGAAGTTAGTTAGTAGTACTCCGTAGAAAGCTAGTCAGGTCCATCCACATCCAGATACGCTGAGGCTGGCGCGAAAAAGAGACGAGCGATTAGTCTGTGCTGGCGGCCAGACCAGGTTAGGTGCAAGGCTAGAGTGATATGCTCTGTACCAGGTACCTAGTCTGTACCCCTAAGAGCACTTTGCATATTCGGCCTTACGATCATTGGACAGTCTGTCCTAAACCGCATTGGGCAGCAGAGGGAGATGTGCGTGGATGATGCAGGGGCCAAATCCAGGAGATGGTGTGAGAGGTGGTGGTCGTATGTTCGCTTTGCTTTTTCTTTCTTTCGATTTTCTTTGTTTTATTTATTTTTTGGTTCAAACATAAAACCTCTTGGATATCGAGAATGCAAATGGAATGGATTATTTGTCGATACTATTACTCTATGATTATTCTAGAAGAATTCCTACCTGACAGCCAGTGTTTTTTATTTTCTGTATTTCTCCAATTTTTACTTATTAATGGGAGGGGGAATGAGGAATTTTGGCCAGGCAACGAATAGAAAAAGAAAGCCCCACTCCTCTGGTGCCAAAACAGCCACCCCAACCATACTCCCGCTAGTCCTGATCGAGGCGCCCCATCTCCTGACCTGAGTCTCTATGTGCCTCGCTCTCTCACCGTGACCGGCCTCCACTCGTTTGTTTCCTCGTTCTCTTCTCTCTCGTCCTCTCTTCTTCCTCTCTTCCTTCCCTTCCTCTCCTCCCCTCTCTTCTTTCCTCCTCCCCCATCGACCGTCTTTTCTTTTCTTTCCTTTCCTTTCCTTTACATTCACTCTTTTTTTCCTGTTCATTTCTTCCATTCGCTCGTTTTTCATTCCTCACCCCAGTCGATCGTTCCACTCCTTCACGATCGACCTCTCCCTTGCTCAGTATCTCTCGCTTCTCCAGCTTCCCTCTGGACGGTGATCACTCATTTGTCATCCTCACAATATCAGCCCGATATTAATTGATGCCAATTGACTTCCCTCACCAGCCTCCTCAGTTGCGACGATTCTGACTTCCTTTCACCTTGCAAAGCTGCCTAGGCCGGCTTATTGTTCTTTTTTTCTCCCAAGATTCCTTTCATTGACGCTTCTGCGACGCGATCACCTCCGCTTAAGCTAGTGAGTGGTCTGGCAATTTTTCCAGCCCACTTCCGCTTCACTTTCTGCCTAAGCGCTTCCACTCGTTTGAAATATTTACTCTGGCGCTTGACGCTGCTACAGAGGAATCAGACATCCCATTTGACTGTCGACCGGATCGTCACATTGTCCTCCTCCCTTTGATTTCTTCGAATCACCTTACATCACTCGGTCGAATCTCGTCTCCTACCTTGTTCCCATTTTATCTTCGGTCAATCCCTGCAAACCATGTCTTCGACAGACGCTCCTGACCCGTCGGCTACGCCGACAATCCATTCCCCTTCGTCCGCCGACTCGACTCCCTCCCCGACCGTCTCGAGCACCACTACGGCTTCGGCCAATCGGCGTCCTCATCGGAAGAGCACTTTGACTCAACAACAAAAGAATAACAAGCGTCAACGTGCTACCCAAGACCAGTTGGTCACGCTCGAACTGGAGTTCAATACGAACCCTACCCCCACAGCCGCCACGCGGGAAAGAATCGCCCAGGAGATCAATATGACTGAACGGTCCGTTCAGATCTGGTTCCAAAACAGGTGTGTCTTACTGGATCTTATTCACGCAAACCGCTGGATGTATCGTGTCGCTAACTGCAGGTCAGGCGGGCCAAGATCAAAATGCTTGCGAAAAAGAGCATTGAAACCGGCGAAGGCTGCGATTCGATCCCGGAATCCATGCGCCAGTATTTGGCCATGCAATTTGACCCTAGCAAGCCAGGCTCACGGGATCCATTTGGCCGCACAGGAGGGTATGGAGCCGGCGGCGGATTCCCGAACGAAGCTACCCCCTCTGGCAAGGTGGTCATTCATCATTTCACTTGTCGATCCTTGACAATCGGTAGCTGGCGGCGCATCGGACAGAATGCCATGGACCTGGTGGTTTTTTACTCCCCGGAGAAGGCATGCATGACTTATTACATCAATAATGACTCTGCCGGATACAAGATTGAATACCCCTTTTCCTATATCAAGAACATTACTTTGGAGTCTGGGGAACATCAGTCTAATGGTGTTCCTCCTAGGCCCGGTGGCCTCGTTGTCGAGTTGAATCGCCCACCACTCTTCTACATGGATTCCTCTAACTCCGGGGGTTTCTATCAATGTGGCGATTTCACCGAGGATCAGCAAGCTAGTCAGCTTATGGTCCATCACCTCGGGGGTCATCCGAAAGTTCTCAGTGTTCAACTCGCTAAGCTGGTGTCGTTGGAGTCCTTCCAAAACCGCTTGGCCTACGGCAACTTCGCAATGAGTGCACCAGTATCCCCTGCCTTCATTCAGCGCCCCGCTTCGCAACCAAACCAGTTCGCCCCCGCCCTCATGGGCGTGTTCCCAGATCGCTCTCACCTAACTGTCCCAACTGCTGCTCGAGGTCACAAGCGACAGAGGAGCCGCTCTGTTCCCGTGGCTGTCGACTTTTCGGCCATGCAAGTCCCTCTCTCTTACAACATGCCACAGACGCCGGCACCATTTCACCATACCGACTCGAGCATCTACGCTCCAGTTCCCCAGCCAGCTCATCCCTTGGCTATGAATCTCCGTATTGATACCTCTGCTGCCTACGGGTTCGACCCGCGGGGCCATCCCATGTCGGCCACGACAACAGCCTCCCCATCCGATTTCGCCAGCCCCTCGATCTTCACCACCAGCCACGGCGAAACCACCCCCGTCGCCTCGAGCATGGGAACGCCGTTCAATATGTCATTTGTTTCCCCGCAAGTGGACACCTCAAATCTGGCGACGCAATCAGCTTCGCCGTACTCTACCGTCAGCCATGCGGATCCCATGATCGCAGACCATTCCCCCCCTTTGTCGAATGTGGCACACACATCCCAGGAAATGTATACTCTGAGAAGCGACAATCATTCTAACTTTGCCGACGAGGGCATGTCAATGAATGGAATGTATCCTAAGCATAATATAAACTTCACCTTGCAAACCTCCATGGGACTGAACAGCAATACTTTTGAATTGCCTGTGCAGGGATTGCGTACCCATGCATCGCCAGGTGTTCAGGGCGATTATCACAGTATGACCTCTATGGAGAATGTTGACCCTAACTCTATGGCCCCCGGATCGTGAACATCAACCCTCGGGTTTCCTCATGCCGTTCAGTATGAGTGGCTCTTCATTATTCATATCCTTCTTTTATTGCCATCTATCCGAAATTATAAATGGCAGCTTGTGGCATTCCATGCCTAGGCCTTCCTCTTTTTCCAGTGACCAGATATCACCAATTTCTCAGGAGCAATGGCTCTCCTTACCATTTCTCATAAGCATCCCTTTTGTGGGGTTAGCTAACCGGAGGCTACTTCGTGCCTCACCTGTTGACGATGAAGAGGACATATTCTTTTTTTTTTTTTTTTTTTTTTTTTTTTTTTTTTTTTTTTTCCCCCTTTTTTTTTTTTTAAATTTTTTTTTTTTTTTTTTTTTTTTTTTTTTTTTTTTTTTCTGTATTAATACTCTTCTGTTGGGCTGGTCCTTGAGCGTTTTTCCCACCTCTTCCGCCCAGCTGGGTGCCTTATCACTATTCTTCGATTCACCCCTTGACCTTTTTTATCTTTTACTTTTCTTATATACTGGTCGGGGCCTTTAACGTGGTTATGCCAGAAAGCCAGCAGATGGCGAGATTCGTTTGACTTTCATGGTTATTTGGGTCGGCGGGTTAGGAATTGTTTGCATATTCCCTTTGTGATGGACAATTTGATTGAAGTTTTGTGTCCTGGCTCTGGTTTTACAGTCCTTGATTGATGCATTCGCCGTCTTCTGTGGTGCTACCATGGAAGATGCGACGTGATGTTCGCGAAGCTGAGACATTCTTCGCGATAATTAACGTATAGGAGCAATCCAGAATCATGATCCATCTTCCTTGTCTTCTAATTCGTAGAATGGTTCTATACGCTGCAATAGACTGTCAGACGCTCAGCTCTATTATACATGGGTATCAGAAATCTAAATAATATACAACAGCAATGCCGCTTTCAATGCCTCCAGCCCGGTGGTGCTGGAGCTTTAAGTCCCTTCGATTCCCGTAGATATTGTTCCACCCACACCTCCATCTTCTCGAGGACATTCATATCCGGTCTTCCTTTCCTCGGATCAACCCCTTCAGCGATCCCATCCCGACACCAAACGCTCCACGACCCCATCCTCGCCGCCATCAGCACATCCGTACCCAGTCTGTCGCCCACGACCGCAATCTCATCCGCACGCGTCACCACCCCTCTCTCACGGAACCATTGCAACACTTCCGCGCCACAAAACGGTTTCTTCTCACTGCCGTCGGGCAACCGAAACACCGGAATCCGCAACCCCGACAGTTGTTTCTCTAGCTCCTCCACCTCAGTATCATAGCGCACATGCGAACCTGCCCGGTTCGACACGATCAGTATAGAATCCGGATACTGCTCCCGATTGAACAGCGAGGTTTGCGACGTGCGCAGCGCGTGCAGTTTCTCCAGGATCTGCGGCGGGAAGATGGTGGTTTTGGGCGCGCAGAGGGTGTTATCTTTGTCGAGGACGAGGGCACGGATTATCGGGGAGGTTGAGTTAGATGTTGAATCGTTATTCTTTCCACCTTGTTGATTGCTGCTGTAGAGACTCGGCCCTAGTTGTTCCGGGATGTGAGTAAATGTCGGGATGGTGAGATGAGGGAGAAATTGAGCGGGGTTTCTGAGTAAGGTTTGCACGGCTAGATTGAAGGCACGGAGGTTACTATTTGGTGGATTCATTTTATTTAACGGGGCAGATATAGCAATACTAAGGTAAGGTAAGTTGTAGATACTCGTCAAAACCTGAAGTCGGTCGTGCCGGGCGGACAGAAGAGCCGCAAAACTCTCCGCCGGCGGAACCTCCGTTTCCTCTCTCCTCTCCTCTTATCCATCCTCGCCAGCTCCCATTCCGCGTTAGTCACCGCTGGTATTTGTGTTGGATCGATCGAAGTCTCTCGGTTCTAGCGAAGAACCAATTTCTTAGTCTTCGATCTTCTTTGGGGCCCGTCGCAGAAATCTATCCGTTAGAATGGGCAAGCTTACCAGCACGATCGGGATTCCGATCAAACTGCTTAATGAAGCTCAGGTACTTGAATATTTTGTTTTCTCTTTACCTATTTGTGTCTTATTACAGTCTATCCATTACAGATACTAACGACGATAGGGTCACGTCGTCACGCTAGAAATCACATCCGGGGTGGTGTATCGCGGAAAACTTCTCGAGGGTATGTCTTCGTCCTACCTTTCTTCCTTTCTTTCCTCCTTCTTTCGTTGGCTCCTTCGTTTCTATACTCTATCGCACGTAAATACTCACGAGACTATAGCTGAGGATAACATGAACGTCCAATTGAAGGATATCACGGTCACTGCTCGAGACGGTCGCGTGTCGCATTTGGATCAGGTGTATATTCGTGGAAGCCATGTGAGGTTCTTTATTGTGCCGGATATGCTACGGTAGGATCATTACCTCTGTCTTTCTCTGTTTTCTTTTCTTTGTTTTATTTTTATTTATTTACTTTTTTTGTGGTATGCTAATCGAGATAGAAACGCACCCATGTTCCGCTCTCGAGGCCAGCGCGGCAGAGGTGTCGGTCTTGCCCGTGGTAAGGCGACGGTGCAACGCGCAAGGGGACAGAGGAGAGGTTGATTGGTTTGGTATGGGCGTTTTCCTTTTTTTAAAAATTTTTATTTTTTCTTTGATGTTGTAATTTCTACATTGCTATCTGGGAAGTGAAATGGATTTTTCGGTTGAGTCTGTCCAGTCGATGGGTTGTAGATGTTTCCGATTGGATGGTAGATGGGATTATAAAATAAATTCACTTATATCTGTCATGTTGCTTTGTTTGTGGCATGCCTACAGATTGGAATTTCTAAAGCCGTAGCTTTCTGCATGCACTTTGCTTAGTAAGTAGTTCACTGCTTGAGTAAGTAATACACTACTATACACATCTAATTTCTGACGTTATAGTTGAAGTGTATAATACCATCTGATAACAAATCTATCTTTTTTTTGCATCAAATAAATACTTAAAATTTTAAAAGGACTCATCGATCCAAATATAATTCCATAATATCTAGATAGCTATCTTGGTGCTGATCATATGAAAGCACCTGATATTAAAGTGCGTCTGTGTTATCACCACTCTCCACTGCCCGCAAATCTCACATCTCAAACTCTCTACCGACACAATCAAATCAACAACATCCATCCAACATGACCACCCTCAATCCCTCAACCCAACCAAAATCGCAATCCCCCATCTGCAACCCCCGCCGACTCCTGATCCTGTCCCCGACCTCACATTCCGCCGCCACCATCCCCTCCCTCCTACACGCCCTCACCGGCGCCGAAGCCCCCCCCCCCTCGTTCTTTGCAGGATACACGACCCATCCACCCTTCCAGATCAAGAACCGCTATTACACAGCCGAAGTACCCATCTGGGTAGATGAGATCGCGATTTCAGAGGAGCGAGCGATAGAGAAACAATCCACAGCACTAGAATCAGAGAGTACCGAGACCAAGACCAACAAGACCCAGGAAGACAGCGACAGCGATCATCCAGTCGCTACGCCCTTGCAGTGGAAATCAGAGTTCTCGGGTCCCGCGGCACAAGTCGTTCGTGATGCTATTGGTGCCGTTGTCATTTGTATCGTGAACCCGACCCGTTCGTCAGATCCGGATGCAGATGTAGATGCAGATGAAAGACAGGATGTGCGCGATATCAAAGAATTTATTCACGCGGTAGGCGACGTGCGCGCGTTAATCGAGGAGGAGAGGGGCGGGATCGGTGATGTCCCCGGATTGGTGGTTTTTGTTGGGAAAGGACAGAGTCAGAGTCCGAGCCCAGGTCCAAGTCAGAATCAGAATCAGAATCATGATGCCGGGGTCGACGATGCGGATATTGGTGTTGAAGGGGAGGATGAGCCATTCTCCGTTCTGTGGTGGGAAGATCGCATTTACGAGATGGGTATGGTAGGGATGGAGGTGGTGAGTTGGTATCCTAAGGGGGTGGAAAATGACGAGAGGAATCAATTTGGAGGTTTGTTGTCAATACTCATTCTGTGGTTGATATGGTACGGTTGATGCTGATGGATGGTTAGAGTATCAAGGAATACGTCGGATACGAGAAGTCCTTGAGACACATGATTGGGCTCCCCCTGCGTCGGAGGATGTCGGCTCCGAAAATGACGAGGTAGATGACGATATCGAGAGAATGCTACTGAAGACGGACGAAGAGAACGGCTTTGATTTGGAAGTGAACGAGCTGGAAAGGGAGATGGTGGGATTGCGATTTGCGTTCGGACGGGGAGTTCATGAGGCCGAGGATTCGGAGGAGGAAGGGGACCAAGAGTTGAGAGTCGATGCGGTTGAGGCGCTGTTGTCACGGATGGCTGCTATAAGAGGTACGTGTATCCTTGTTTTCTAGGTCTGGGATATAGACTGACGATGTAGATATGAACGACGAGCTTCCTGAAGCCGAGCGGAAGAGATTTGCAGCTAAAGCTGTTCGAGATATTATGAAGGAAATCTAGCAGTCCTGGACTACATATTACCAGTCATGTCTATATGTACTATATTTTACCTCTGCACTGCCAACCAACGTCTATTCCGCCCTCTTCTTCAGCACCTTCTTCCTCTGCGCAATCATATGAGAGTACAAGATATATGACCCTGGTCTAGTTAGCACGTACCATTCCACCTCCACAGATGTTATGGATATACACATACCAGGGACATAGATACCCAGCACAACGATCAAGAGCCACCGGTAGAGGGGATTCAGCTCCTTAGCCGGAGCCAGAGCCTTAAAAACCAAAACACACTCACTGGTAATACCCAACGGATAGAGCACATAAAACGTATTATATCTATGACGGTCAGCATCTCAATCCGCAACAACAACAACAATTCAAACGTATAATATATTACAATCCAGTAGGAACCAAAAAAAAAAAAAAATAAAAAGAGAGAGAGAAACAAACCTCAACCAAGTCCACCACCCAGGCACCCCCGTCCCCAGAACCTGCAACGCAAAAAACCCATATCGAATACACTCCGTAACGCCCCAAGCACCTAAGCACCCGAAGAAGGCATAATCGCCTACTTTCGCCTCGCGCACCACCTCCCCACGACCCAGGACAACCCCGTCACGGAACAGGAACATCACACCCCAGACCACCAGCAAGCGACTGGCGACCTGCATGGCTGTCGTGAGGACCGGGGCGCGCACAAGCCCGAGCAGACTATGCAGGATCTCTAGCACGGCCAGGGTCTGGGTGGTTAGGAGCAGCGGGGAGAAAATCTCGTTGAAGACGGTCGGGATAATCGATGGGATATCGGAACCGGAGAGGACAAGATTAACAAGGAGATAGAAACCCCGTAGGGTACAGGTTGCCCAAAGGGCGAGGCTGACGGAGTTGTAGACAATGAGGTACAGACGTGTTAGGCCTGATGAGCCCCTGGATTTGGGGGTTTGTTGAGAGGGCATTTTTTTTAGTCCTGTAGAGCTCTTGTATTTTGGTCCGCTGGTTGTGTGATGTGCGTTTTGCTGTTGTATTCTGGCCTCGTCAGGGTCAATTGCAGGATTGGAACAGTGTAGGAACGGCTGGAATGGTCAATGGGGAATTGAACGCGCTGTTGTAAAGAGCAGTCAACGTCAACATCCATTAGGTTAATATGTCGGAGGTTTTCGCTGATGCTTATATAATACATCGTATGCCGAGGCACGTTGAATCACCTTATTGGCTGGGCCATGGATGATGGATTTTAAGCTCGAATTCGGTCTGATTTTGGGAGTATCCTCGTTCAAGTTGTAGTGAATCCGTAATATTCTCTATGCTTCTCATCATTTGATGTAGAGGAGAATTTGTAGTATCTTAACTAGATGTAGCTACCTGAATCTCTCGGTTATTGTTTAAAGAGGGAAATATGTACCTTATTTCGTCTAGTTGTGTAACTGCCCAACCATGTACGTCTTTGGTACTCTGTACACCGCATACTGTAGGGACCTCAGGCATGACTAGAGATACATATCGCATGCACTCTGATGTCACTGGCTTGGAGGCTGCATTGGTCACACGCAGATGAGATCCATACAAGTAGTACTACCTCACTAGTACATACTATGGTAGTAGGATAGGCAGTAATTATATATCCTCCATTAGGCCGTCGCGTCGCCCATCTCTGAGTAAATACTCCTATGATGCGTACCTTGAATTATCTTGAACCAATGGACCATCTACCTCGAACTGTGGAGCTCGGCCGAATAGTGGAACTGACGCTGACTTTCTCCGTGGGTAGGTAGTATTAGTCTGGGAAATAAGTACAGTTGCACCTATCGGTCAATGATAGTCGTTCAACTGCTCGTATCCCATTTTCACACGTTGCTTATTTGTCCACTCCCACCAGGCCTAGTCTAGTGCGAACCATGAAGTTGTCTGGAAGGCGGCCCAAGCTTCGGCTATCTTGACACAGATCCATGAACGTCACCGGCGGTCACAGATTGGCGGCATGATGGCTCCACTCTGATGTCATCCTGTATGTGCGCCGCTCTGATAGGGTGACCAACTTTCCCAGACCCAAAAAGACCTCTTCGGGTTCATGGGTCCTGTTTGACGGTTGGACCTCATGAATGGCCTCGTTAGGCCACCAGATTCGAAGCAACATCGAAGCAACAGAATCAACGATAACTGAGTCTATTGTCACCTCTGCTGGTTCTCTTCGGTCAAAGTAACCGAGCAAATTCAGTCAACAAGTCAAGTGGACCGAAACCTAGTTAGAGCCCTATGCCTAAGGTTTCTCCTTCCAGTTTTAGCTATGGACACCCCACAGTTAGCATTCCCGAAGGTGGAAGGGGAAGCAAAAAAAAAAGATAAGCCCCTTGGATTGGATTATCCTTCGTATAGCGTAACCCGCTGGCACATATGGCCGAACAAACTCCATAACTAAACTGGACGATCCCAGGGGGCCAGAACCTTCCTCGAAGAGAAAAAGGTGTGAAATGCAACAGGGTCCATATTTAGTGTTGACGCGACATATCTGGTGGATGGTTTGCGCCATCTACCAATGATTGATAGTGAAACCTGCATGCTGTCGTCACCTCATCGCTGAATTTTTTTTTTTTTGCTTTCTTCTTTTTCTTCTTTTATTCTTCTTCTTCTTCTTCTTCTTCTTCTTCTTCTTTTTATTATTCTTCTTCTTCTCGGAGAGCTCCGAATTCCCCTGCCATAGAAAAAGAATATATCATTGTCCTTGCTCTTAATTTCATTTTCCATGTGTGCGCCATCGTCATCGAAGGGTCAATTCCGCCGATGATGTAATGCGATTAGTCAGGAAGAAAAGGGTTCAGACAGGGTGGGGCCTGGCGTTGGGGCCAATGAGCGTCTGGGAGTGGATCGAACCGACGTCAGTTGTGGTCCGATGATTTCAGCGCGCATCCCACAACAGAAAGTGGAGATTTCGTTGCTTCGGCCCTAAGCCCATCACCATATTAAATTGTCCCCAAACCCCATGGTCAACGTGCATGATTTAACACAGCCGGAGAGTGAACTGAACTTTTCTTTTTTCTCAATGCTTTGTCTGAAGTAAAATGTGAGTTCTATTGATCAAGGATGAGCGGGAGAGCTAGAATGGGGAGATACTATAAATTTCCATTACAGTTTGCCATTTTATTTTAATTTTATTTATTTTTGTTTTTGTTTGTGCTGGTTCCCCACAAAGAAATAGACCAATCGGTTGTCCTGATTTAGGTGGGATGTTTAGCATGTCTTTGAAAAATCCAGCAATGACGACGATATGATATATCGCAATGTCCAGGGTCTATCGTGTAGGTCTGGAAATACCAGTCAGTGTCTGTCGTATTTAATATAACCATAAGAAAAGGGCAGCATCCAACACCAAGAATTGCCCTGTGAGAACCTTCCGAGTTTCCCCTAGGTAGGCAATACTTAATAAAAGACCACAAACGGTCCCATCATTGTTGTCAATGGATTGATTGATCATCATCGTTGCTCTGCAAATAATGCGATCCCCACCACGAGAGCTTCCATTCTCCTCCTTCTATACCGATCAGAGCTGCAACCCACTTGGTCGGTGTCCAATGAAGTTGACCGCCTCTTGTGAATCCGTCAGCAAGTAGTGGGATGAGTATTTTTCGACCGGACATGAATAGTATTGATTCATTCATCCGCTCGCTCTTTCATCCATTGATTGGAGCTTCTTGAAGATCAGAGTCCAGGCCGAGAAGTAAGGATGACATTTTTCTTTCTTCCAGACCTAAAGTGAAGTTGGAGCTATCTGTACCTGGATGGTTGGTTCTTTTCGGACGGCTAAACCCACTTGTTGCTCCCCTCCTTTCCTTACCTTTTTCCCCTCCACTTTCTTTGGTTCATCCCCCGGCGCGCTTACAAAAAAAAAAAAAAAAAAAAAAAAAAAAAAAAAAAAATGAGACGGAGAGAGAAAGACAGCCGACTGACATTCACCTTCTCTTCTCACACATTCCTCATTGCTTCTTCCATCAGCGTCATTCTCCAATTTCTCTACCTCCCCTCCTCCTCATCATCCACTCAATCAGATTCCTAGATTTCTCTCTCTCTCTCTCTCTTTTTTTTTCTTTTCCTAATTTTACGAATTTGTTATTTTTTTTCCACTTTTTTTCCCCATTATTTCCTCTTGTGCGTTGCCTGATTTGATACAGTGAAGTTGTTTTAAATTTTGACCTCATCTCGCAATATACCCGGACTTTGCGGCGAACTGGTACCAGGTGGGAAACCCCTCGAATGTCGGAATAAATAAGGCTGGATTGGATTGCTTGACTCATGGGATTTGATTGACTGATTGCTCTGTCTACCCCTCCCTGTCAACCTCCTGCCAGCCTCTCTCTCCCTCTCCTCTTCCTCCTGTCCCATCGACTTACCTCTCTCCATCCTCCTCCCCATGTGGAGCCATCGTCCACTTCGGCCTGTGGCTGGTTGATACTGGCCCTGTCTCTGCTCCCTCACCCACCTTCCATTTCAGCTCCCCTTGTTCCTCCTTCGTGATTGATCTGTCTTTAGATTATTCGTCTTTACTACTGCCTGATTCCCTCGCTCCCCTCTTCCCAGTTGTTGCCTGGTTTCTGTCTTCTTCGCCACGCTCACCATACTCCCTCTGGTGAATCCCTTCTTTCCTCCTTCATCTGATGGCCTGTGTAAACCGTTGCATTATTGTGAATTCCCTTTCCCCTTTTTCCCTGTCATCGTCTCCCGCGTAATATCCTTGTTGCGTAGGGCATCATGCTGCAACTCAGATCAAACCGAGCCGTTGTAACGTTTGTCATGGATTCGTTGATTGCCAACTGACCTCGAACTTTGAAACCTGCAGATCGCTCTGTAAATCCCAGTATTCGAATCTAAAATTCTGTCCCGGACATAGGAAACAGAATAGCTGGATCGCATCCCTTCTGGCGACGATTTTACCTACCATCGCTTAAATATAGTGCCTGGTAACTGCAAGGGACTAACTTCGGGGGTCTACCGAACCAACTCGGACGAGAACACCGTCATCACCTCATATCCCACATCATGGCGCCAACCACTACCACTAAACCCGTGGAGGAATCTGTGCGGCCCCTTTTCCTCCTTCAGTTTGTGCATGGGGCCGGAGATGCTGACATATTCCGTCTAGTCCAGCGAGGGTCCCCCGGATCTCTCCAAGATGAAAGACAGCATTGACAAAGTCACATTTGATCAGATCCTCGAGATGGATGACGAAGACGAAGAACGGGAATTCAGCAGGGGGATTGTATATGGCTTCTTCGACCAGGCAGAGACCACCTTTCTGAAAATGGAGAAGGCTTTGTGCGTTACGTCATACCAACTGTTTCCTATGACTCCAGCTAATTTTGGTATACAGAAGGGATAAGAATCTGGGTGAACTGTCTTCACTGGGCCATTTCCTGAAAGGCTCGTCCGCCACTTTGGGCTTGATCAAAGTCAAGGATGCGTGCGAAAAGATCCAACACTATGGGGCAGGGTTGGACGAGACAGGCACAAACGAGGAGCCCGACGAGAGCGTGTCTCTGAAGAACATCGAAAAGACCCTGACTCAGGCCAAGGAAGACTACAAAGAAGTAGAGACTTTCCTCCGCAGGTTCTTTAAAAGTTAGGTTTTTTGGGTTGAACATAAATGGATAATTAGATACGATGATGATGTTGTCTGGCTGAAGATACCACGTGGGGGGGAAGGGGGGTTTGTCATTTTCAAAAAAAATCACTCCGAGTAACGAACAATGAGGTCTCAGCATACTTGAATATAACTATAACGGCATTCGCTTTCCACCTGTCCTATGAAATACGGGTATGGTCTGTTCTCTTAAGTGTAGAGATGAGGGTATAAACCAAATAGGTAAGTTTAACCATGTATAGAAATCATGGACACCGAGAGCGGGTACGTATGTATTAGATGAATATGAATAATGGACACAGTGGAGGAATCTTTGTTCCTTTAATCCATACCAATACAGTAAATATTCTTGTACATACTTTTCCACTTGGGAGTCCCTGAACCTATGTTATTCAGAGATATCTGGTGCAATACATTATCTTCTATTCTGCCTGTCTGGTATTTCTTGCCTGCTTTTACTGAACAATCTCTATATTAGTGAATCGGTGCAGGTGGTAAGTTATCTGGTTTTATATACTTTACCTGCTCTGATTCTTGTCAATGGCTAATTTGTGCTGGCCGTCGAATATGCTCTTGAGAGCGGCGGGTAATGCTTGGAGTGTGGGTTTCTTTTAATAGATGGATTTCATGGTCAAATAGTGTCCACAGTATGTGTCTTTAATGTTCGGTATCTGCGAAGAGAATAGATATATAAGCGGCTGCATTTCTAGTCCAGCTGATAAATATTTACGTCCCCGGTTGCTGACCTTCTCAGTTCGTTCCTGACCTCCTCGAATCTATATTATCATATCATAGGAAATCCAGTAATACACTAGTATTCATTCGCCGTTGATCCGTATGAATGCACCCCTCGTTCTAGGACCTCAATCTCATCTCCAACTTCCACGTATAATCCCATTTTCTGCGCCTCGGCCTCCTTCAAGCTCGCATCTTCAGGAACGCAATGCATACCTAAGTAGCCGAGCGCCGCTCCGTTTCCCATTTCCACCGTCCGGAATTCCACTAAAGTCGCGCTTGGTTGGGGTTTACCCTTTTTCTTGTGTGGAGGCGGGATATCGGTGTCAAATATCCCCGTGTCCACGTTGACATTCGGCATCGTACATCGAGACGTGCGGCACACAACAGACAGTGTCGGTGCTACGTCAGCTCGTGGTTGCGGGTTGTTGTTGCCTTTCGGCAGAATGCGGTAGCGCATCCAAGTCTCTTCCTCGTATGCCGGGGCGCCGGTGATCCAAATGTTCGCGCGGAAGCGAAGTCCGTTAAGGGGTTGATTCTCTGGCGGAAGGAGAGCCGAGACGGCATGGACCGAAGACAAGCTGTTGATGTTGATGGGTTGTTGGTCGGTGTAGCCGTGGACGGATGGCGAACCGATGCGTTCAAGGGGCGCGAGGTTCAAGCTCGTACGGGTAAGGGTATCTGGCATGCATCTCAATAGAGTTAGGTTTTGGCGGGGTGGAATTCCCAGGAACTTCTTCACTTTAGGCATGGCTACAGCGACAGAGGGGATGATGCCCATATCGAGGCCTCTTGCGTCCCGGGAATGGATCCTGAATGTTTTCAATCCGATCTGGAATTTGTCTATCTGCGTCGGGGACGGTTGGAGAGGGATAATGAAGGATAGATGTGGTTTTGCGGAGAGATCCCACGTATGCAAAAGGGTTTCGAGCCGGTCCATCCAGCTAGACGGATCTGGATCTGCGAATGTCAGAACAATACATCCACCCGACTCAACCAGCGGATCACGCGGGTCGCTCTTCTTGTGTGGAAGCCATAACTCCGTCTTCATCTGAGACATGGCTGGCTTGGTGCGCTGGGTGATCTGCTGCCAGCCCAAGCCCGCAACGGTGCCGGTATTCAGGGTGTCCGTTGCAAATGCGAAGCATCTATCGTACATAAATCCCGCCTTGGTGAGCAGGCCCCTGTTCAGCTCAATCGCCCCACATGACTTGATGGGATGAATATAGATCGCTTTGATGCGGACCGGTCCATCGACGTCGGTCCCCTCTGGTGCGTCAAATTTGGGATCATACTGGTCCGTCATGTTGCTGGTGGTTACACCCATCTTCCGCAGATGGCTCAGCTTCCTGCGAGTTGTAGAAATGGTTCCGATCTGGAGGATCGCCGTTGCGATCAGGCCCAGGAGACCCACAAAACCTGTGACACCGTAAATGATGGTCGAAGCATCCAGTATTCTTTGGAGCCAATGTACAAGTTGAAGAAGCATGTTCACCGGGCGAAAAAGGGATTTTCCGATGTGTATGTCTTTTCCGATAGAATCTGCAGGATGGTTTAACGCAATGAGGGACTGGCTTGGTGAAGATAGAGAACGCGTATTGATTTACTATATACCGAAGGGGCTGAGAAATGCCGCGGCACTAGCTTGTATATAGAATAAATGCAGGCTCTATTGGGAACGGTCTATGATGATTTCGAGATATGAGGCAAAGGAAAGAACTTCCAGTTCCGGAAGTAAGCGCGAGTGGGTCGAAGGCTGTATTAGTCACGGACTCCAGCATTCTCGCTGCCTGCAGTGCGCCCTCTCGATCACAGATTGTAGATATGAGACCGGGTGATGCCAAATGTTTCTTTCATTTCCAAGGACAGTCACGTGTCATGGATGGTGTTGAGGAAGATTCCAAATCGGGAAGTCCGAAAAGTAGCCGCGATGTCTCTTCAGCTACTCTGTAACTCCCTGGAAACACCCCAAACCCCATCGTCATGTTACACAATACAGATCCATCGTATCAACGGGATATTACCATTGGATCTCCGTGCGGATGCTACTGAGGACCTCAAAACAGCATGTGACGTGATGTCCAGTCCTGCTCTGCACAGATTCTCTAGGCTCCTCTGAGCTCCCTCCAAATCATCATACTGACAATGTGCGGTCTCGTTCTTGTCAAGGAGAAGTCTTGTCGTCTTAGAAGCCCGGGCCATCTGAAGGAAATTCCTGAATCTAGAAGGATGGCTCGATAGAGGATTGATAAATGTCGATTGTGATGGACCTTGGAGGCACCACACTCCAAGGAGGAAGGCTGATGAAGACTGCCAGTTCAAAGGAATATTTTGAAAGGATGAAAATCTTGGAATTAAACACAACTTTGATTCTCCGTGAAGGATTCGTCCAGTCCAAATACGTCGTTTGCTTTAAATCACCCTGTCTCCCATCCTGTTCCCGTTCACCCTTGGCCACAATGCCATAACAATGCCTTGAGATTTACCTCGATCATATATGGATGTTGTTTTACCTACTTCTATCTCCTCGTTTGTCCCTCCTTGCAGCGGGCAGCCCGCGATCTGCGCCGCGGGCTACTCCTTGGCGCAAGACTTCGGACTTTCCAGTATTCCTCCCCTAAGGCGCGCCGGAGTTATTTCTGCATCTGTATCCCCATCAGTCAGTCACTCTCTTTAATTGTAGGGAACTTCCTGGGATTACCTTGCACTGCACCAGAAATCATGCCTGCGCTCAGGTCCTCTGAAGAGAAACAACCACCTGAACTAGTCACTAGACGTTAAGGACTTGATTACAAGGACCGTTCTCCGGCCGCTGCTGCTACTGCTCACTAAACCCATCGGCATGGCTATGATCTTTGTTGGATCTGTACTCTATCTCCAGTGGATTCAGCGAAGATTGTGCGCGGCAACCGAACCGTGGAGCCTGAAACCAACTGACGCACCACGTCTAGCCAATGGTGAGTTAGTATAAGTGATATCGTCCCAGTGGGATAGCTTACCATAATGCCAGGGTAATCGAACAGGTCCACAACCGGCTTTGCTCTCAACAAAATTATCTACAAATCGACAAACCATCTTGCGGGCCGCCCCACGATCTACACAACATCAGCGTTCGCAGGACTGGTTCTCACCCGAACGTTTACCTGCGCCGTCGTCTACTCTTCGCCCATGCTATGTACGTCGATTCTGCCGGCCGTTATGACACTGTTCTGCTTAGCGTCTATCGTTCACGAGATATGGCGAGCGAATTTGGGAGACGAGTAAATTTGCTCAGTCGATGCTAACATCACGATATTAAAGTGAAGATGGTTGGCTACGAACAGAGATTATTTATTATTTGCCTTTCTACTAAATCTTAGCGGCTGCATTGCGCTCTGTACAGTTTTGATCGATAGACAGAGCGGAGAAAGTACTCGTACTTTGTACAACCGAGTACAAACGCTTACCTACTCTGAGCAAACTCCATTTCGGACGAGTTGTTTGTGCGAATGGGCGGTTGCACAGTCAATGATCCTGCATCGATATTCGATATAAATATGTCTGATATTTTTATATTATAAGAGATGGATATGGACCCCGTGTTCAAACGGGGGTGTTGGCATGCTGGGATCCAGGATCCTCACCGTTCATCCAATCTGATTAGTCGATCTAGGATTCTGCTATACTCAAGCAATCCGCCGGTCCCCTCTTGACTGATCCCAGAATATCCCACTCCACCAAACTTCTGCCTGATCATCCCCCGTAGAAAGTACATCTATTGCCTGACCCAACGACCTGACTCTCACTCGTCACCGGCAACGTACATGAAGAAAAAGAAAAAAAAGAAAAGAGACAATACTGGGGTGGAGAGACCAACGGTCCTGCAGACAGGTGGAATTGCGACTCACGAATCACATCCCCCGGGCTTATGTACCGGTCCGAGTCAGGTAGGGACTTTTGGTCGCTATCGCCATCGACCTCGACGGCATAGAACCGATTCAAATGACGGACATGACATGATCGGATAGTGGTATTCGGGTTGATTGTCCATCGTCTCCCTCATAGGCTATATTGACAAAGACCCTCGATACCTTAGGGATCATATCCTATCCTATATATCCCATTCTTACTGCTTCCCCACCCTGGTTCGGTTGGGCGTTGTGTACCGTTGTTCAGTGATGCCAAATTCCTGTTCTTTTTTTTTAATTTTTTTTTATTTTTATTTTTTAATTATTAATTTTTTAGCTCTTTTGCTGTTATTTATTTAGTTTGGGTGTCGGAGCTTGTACTCGTTTCTCTCTTTTCCCTCTAGTCTATCTCTTGTCTATTAGACACAATACAACAATGGCACCAGTAGGACCTCGAGCATCAAAAGAGGAATTCATGCACGCTCTTGGGTTGAATTCTCAGAATCCTCAGCATGAGCAATACTATCGAGCAATGAGAGTATGTATATGATTCGATTCTATTCTTTGTGTTTTGTTTGTTTCCATATCCTACACACATGTCTATAATTGTATACATATGTGTGTGCACGTGCGTATTTATGATGGGATTGGATGGATGGTTGAAATGCTCATTGATCAGGACGTAGCGATCGTCGTATACAATCGATTGAACGAAGATACCTCCAATCTCCTAGACAGCGTTGCGATGGACCCATCGACTCGTCCGCCCTTCTTCTGGCATCATATTCGTCCCGAGCGTCAACGTTGGGGCATCATGGAGATCGCTCAGCATGCTGGACCCCTGACAGAGCCGTTCTTTGCGCGCGGCGCCACGACAGGCGAGCACGGTCCCAATTGGGTCGCTGGGTGGTTGCTGTATAGTGTGTTTCGGTCCAGAGATGTTCGTAATAATCGAAATCGTCGCAAGGGGGAAGATCAGGGTATGTTTTATAAGTCCTCTGCTGTGTCGGTGCCGGTATTTGTATCTCATCTCGTTTTCTCTTTTGGTTTAGGACAAGCTTCCAAGACATCGCAAAAGTCGAAACAGACGGAAGAGGACACACCGCCAAAGAAAGAGTACTATGACCCGGTGAGGAATGGGTAAAGATAGGTGATTTGGGGGTGGGATCTGGTGGTATGATGGCGGACAGAGGTATCTACCTACCAAGCTGGCATGTAGTTCAACAAACATCAACCAATTTAATTGTCATCATCATGATCATAATCATCACTTCGGCTATCTTACGATGGATCCTTCTTCCAGTTTGGATTCGTTCTTCCGCATCCGTTCTTCCTTCAATGCATCGGTTATGGACTTTCTCCTCATCCCAGTAGGTGTCGTATTCCGCCGCTATAGTCTTGATCTCCTTGCGCAGCGCGTTGCCCTCATCGATCGATGACTCCCACAGCTTAAGATCGACGCTCTTTTCCTGGTGCAACTGTGCCACGCGTTGAGGGCAAAGTCAAGCGCAGACCGGGACTCTATCTCTCGGTTGTAGTAGGGAAACGAGAGATACCCACTCATCAGGGTAGACAAACTCGCTAGGTACGTTACCAGCTCCATCGTATCCCATCCCAGATCGGCCTCGATTGTCAGCTTGTACACGAGATACCACCAGCAAGTGAAAATGCCAAACCCGGCGATGGCCATGCACTAAGCTCCCCGATGTGCCAGCGCCACCACGCTCCTGCTTAATCTCCACAATGCTCTGGATCTATCCAGAGATATTCCGAAATCGCATCCGGAGGAATTACGTGCGCTCAGGGAACCCAGGAGCAACCATCTGGATCTGGTACACGCCTCCCGCTAGCCGTTCAATCCGGACTATGAACTCCCCAGCGCGAGAGGCGTCCCGGATGAAGTCGCCGATCTCCGTCGACTGCGACCAGCGCACAAATCGCTCTTCTTACCTACCATGTCCAAGTACCTTATGTCGTTTCATCGTCTTCTGTCAGGCTATATCGCATTTCTTAGCTTGCATCGACCAACGCAATCCGATCACTTCCGCATCTGTCTCCTCGTATATCAGCTTCTTCGGTCGGATGGCATTGTCGCCGATTTGAAGCGCAATGAACGATATGGTCGGTGAACGAGGCTCGCCATTCCCTGACGTCACTTCGGTACTTCGTTTTGAATGAGCCGGTCTAGGTAGGAGAGCTGCTGCGGACGAACGAGGGTAGCTATAGACTCGGAGTCTGTCAGGGGTTGGCTAGCTGAGATGATATGATTGATTTGGACTCTGCAATATGAGAATCGACCCGACTTACCCGTATGCTTCCTGTCATGGTGTGTCATAGGCAGCGGAATCAGAAGCTTAAAAGTCTCGATGGCGTTGTCAACAATTTCCCTAGATACCTCCAACCTTAGCCCCAATTCATCCATCCCTGCCATAGATCCCGCAGGTGTATTCACAAGCACCGCTAGTCATCACGTTTTTCAATCTTCTGGTTCGGTTGATTGGGTTTCGTTCGGTTCCTCTCGTGCATCTTTAGCCCCTCCAGCTGCTCCTTTGTTCTTTCTTATCTTCCTTCTTGATCTTGGACAGTACAGCGTATCACCATCTCCTCTCCGATGCTGTAGGTATCCGCTGAAACACCCCTGGCTTCCAAACCGTCCTAACTCTTCACAAGTGAACTGGACATGCGTCGGGACCATACCCCCTCGTGTCCGCAACGTCCCAGAACACATGTCAGACACGAGGCGAAAACCGGGACCAAAACTTAAGCTTCGAATAGACCGCATCTCAGCGGTCCCCAGTACAGACAATATATGACCATATAGGATGATCGGCAGGTATGACTACTCGGAGTAGCTACATGGAGTTATGGATGTAGAGTAGAATAGTACTAAGGAAGGTCAGAAAAGCAAAGAATGCAGGCTAGAAAATTATTCAACCCACAGGATATACACACCCAACGGGGAATTATAGCATCCTAGAATCGCAAGACATGGCAATAGCAGCCGATATGGCATCATTGTCGTTCGTTGCGTGGTTCGGAAAGGTTGGACGATTCTTCGGGAGATATGCCTGAATTTCCCTGAATATCGCCGATGGACTAAAGGTTCTACTTGGATGATCGGCCATACAGACGGGCGATTATATGTCTTCAGTGACTACCACTATCAGACTTGAGAATCCCCGTGTAGATTAAGTGTCGGCTAGACATGCAAAGTCCGATCGATAGAATAGGTTTCCCCTCCCTCTTCCAGGAATAGGACTCGATATTGCATGAATGAGGAACGGAAACAATGTCCTCCATGTCCGGGCTAGGCCGTCTCCGTTGTACATACACGGCAGAAGCGGTAGGTAAGTGGTTGGGCCGAAATAGTGACACCTGTGGTAGTAGAGAGGTACCGGCAACTGGGTAACCGCATGTACTATCTCCATTCTCGTACAAATTGGTTGCTAGTATGAATTCAAAAGTCCACCGGAGAAAAGATCAGGAAAACAAGCGCATAAAAAAAAAGATATCGCTAGCTACCACTATGCAACAGTCATACTTCATGCTCGTTTTATCATCCACGCAAGAAGTCTGTATCCAGCCAACAGGTTGTCTGGCACGGATACGCGAAAAGAAACAAAAAGAGACAAAGATTTTGGATCTATCCGAATATTTGTGTCATGTCATAATTCGTAACGTCATAAAGGACTCTTTCCGCCTGTCCACAACCCTGGTTGTTTGGTTGTTGATCTCATGGTGAAACTGCCAGATGCAACGCAGGCTAGATGCCACGGTTTTCGAATGCTAAAGCCCTTGATGGAACGATGGTTCGTTCACGATTGAGCCGGCCACTTTCGTAGCCTTCCGGACTACTTCCTCCACTCCTACTCCCACCGCTGCTCGAAGCATCGGTATCGTCCATATACCGAGGCTTTCTGCCCGTACCGATCGCCACCGGAATCCCCTGGACAACTCCTCCATGATCATGGCCCGCCGGATACATGCCATCGTTGACGGAGAAATTGCGACAGATGAGGTAGGCCCGCGTCGCTGCATTCTCCCGGGCAAGGATCTCGGATTCGCAAACAACATCCGTCTGGTACTCTCGATTGTTGACGCGAACAATGCAGGTGTACCCGGTCGTGCTGGCACTGGATTCGTAGAGAGGCTCTGGCCAGCGCCGGCGTCGGCAGAGACCTATAGGCTTGGTTATCGGATGATCTACTCCGCGTGTGTATGGTTAGGATTTAGACGCCACGATGGACCCTCCATCCGGGATGTCAACAAATCAATGCAAGCATAGACAAGGGAAAGAATCCTCTAATTCTCCGACTGGACCGTCATCTTCTGACATCCCGTGGAAGGAAGGATTCGTACTTCAACCAAAAAAAAAAAAAAAAAATTTGAAAGTAATTATAAAACCGCAACGTCGCCCTTCTATCCAATGAGAGGAGTAATAGATCATCTGAGACAAGATGGGACTTGCATTTAGAAAAACTTCAAGCGAAATAACCTACATACTCGCAAGGTAGAGAATATAGTACATCGTCAGGACTATGCGGATGCCCAATGGAGCGTCAGGGACAAGGAGATGTCGAATCAGTTATTCGCTGCCCTGGACCTGTTGACACTGCACAGAATCCTGGCAATCACACAAGAGGCATTGAAAAAACAAGCCTATGTGAACAGCGTTTGTTGGTGCCCAATGGCCACGTTTCTCATATGGTGGGCAACGAGCGGTGCTATTTAGGTATATCCAAGGTCCCTGTGGAAAGCTTTGTATAGATCTCACCAACAAAAAGAGGCAGGAGGCCGCAAGAGAATTGGAGCTAGGGCTGATAGAAGACAGGCAACATGCACTACAATGGCAGGAGGCAGAAGTCAAGAGAAAATAAGGAAAAAGAAAAGAAAGGGAGAGATTCTTTTCCAGTTAGCCCTAGGTATACCCAGCTCAAATAAACGGGTGGGGCTCATTGAGCAGAAGTTAAGAGACTTTCGAATCCACGGAGAGAAAGGCAAGGGAAGCAACGGTCTTCGACCGGTGCAATTGAGCTGCTCCACCAGATAGGCGGAAAGAGGCAGGTAACAGGCGAATTCCATGATCCATTGCGGATCCAACGTTTCCTAACTTTCTTCGTCTGGACTCGTTTCTTTTTGGGCGATGGAATACTTGCAAGCGTTGACACCTTGATGTGCTGGCATGGCTCTTCGCCAGTGATGCAGCACTAGGAATCCTCCATCTGCCACGGTGTAATTTGCCGCCGATCCAGGCGGCTCGGATTGGCATGTTGCTCAGAAATAAGAATTTCTGGCCAAATCGTCATCTCAGTCTTTCCACCATTTCTGCAGAATGAGTGCCGATGCTCTGAGCAAAGGCCATTTTTTTTTTTTTTGGTCTTCCCTTCTTGTGCTTGGTAATTATTGGGCCGGTGGCTTCGTGACACTGTAAGGAGGCTTTTGAACCCCCGCAGCATGTAAATAATGTATAGAATTCGTTGAATGACTGTCACCATTCAAGGGCGCAGCTTTTTCTTTTTTCTTTTTCTTTTTTTCTCTCTTTCTTCCTTTACCTTTTTTTTTTTTGGTTTCCCCTCCTCTTCTGCCCGCCAAAGCCATAGGAAAGAGGAAATTAAAAAAAAAAAAAATTAACAATAATACATCATAATAATTCAAAACCAGAGAGGGGCCTATGTTATGCAGGCTCCAGAAGAAGACGGACCTGGGGAATAATAATAATAATCAGGTCGTCACAATCCGATAAAAGTGTTGCAACCCTGGCCACCAACAGTGGTATAAGTCGCCACATTCGGATCCAAGTCGTAAAGTGACATAGAGACGATCACACCTAACGACTCGGTAAGCAATCCGAAAAGCCTTCTTACTCCCCTCCTTAGATTAGAGAATTGACTAATTCCCAATCTTCGGGATGAAAATCATTCGACAATCATCATCGACTCCAAAAGGAACCCTTCAGAAAACAATAAGTATCCCAATTCGCAATTGCCCTCCTCCGATTGATGGAGACGATAGTCCGGTTCTGGTTTCTGCATCCTGCATCGGTGGATCAAGATAGGATTGGCCCAGCCCATTTTCGTGGTTGACAGGCAGGCATCGGATGCACTGATGAGTTGGCAGGTTTCGCTTCGTGCGGCGGCGGGAAATCCATGCCATCTTCTATTTACACGAGATGAGAAAACCCTGTCGAACGATAAGCAGGATGCTTCGGGGATTTTGATTGGGATTTTGGGCCCCCTTCTACCCCGGATTGTAGAGGATTCCAATAAAGATGCATGACGCACGGCTGCCTTCGTGTCTTTTATTTTATTTCGTCATTAGCCAGGAGTAGAACTGAAATTGGATAGAATATCAGCTTCTTCGGGGATTTAAATTTGCCTCAATGATAGAAAAGCAGATGGCAAGAGTTTGTGATACTGACTGACGGTTGAGTGGGAAAATCAATAGACATGAATGAATTCCGCCCCTGAGATCAGAAAAAGCAAGAAAAAGAAAAGAAAAATAGCCCCTCCCCCCTCAAAGTCCGCCAACCGAGTACCATGACGACGCAGGGCAGCTATGAAGTCATCAGGCTACAAGTAGTTAAAATGAAATATGTATCTCAATCCCTTGCTTCTTGCTTAACCCACCAACGCTGTCAGAAATGCCTCGTGGCTGTCGAGGGCACGTCCGAATCCAAGAATATTGGCTTGTAGACACAGCATAATGCCAAGAGTGGTAGGCTAGATTTATATGTATAGTATACAAAAATGGCTCTGGAATATTACTCTGAGCTTCTTATGCTAGAATCATCCCCCTCCCTTCTTTGCATAAACAGTAGTTCTTCTAGACCTCCAGATATTGATTCTCAAACCAAATCCGCATGTCCTCCGCAGCTTTATGGGGAATCACATACAGGGGATGGCATGCCAACAACCGGTCTCCCTCATCGAATACCGTATCCGATCCCGGGACATTCGAGGTGCTGATGCGCGAATACTTCCATGAAAAAGCCGATGCGAAGTCACCCTTTGAGCTAGCGCTGGAGTCGGTATGATAATGGCGATGTTGAACCATACTCAAACCTGTGAGAGTGTAGCATGTGTGGTACGAATCTGGGTGCCTTCATTCGTTTGACAGTCAGAATCCCTGAAGTGATCCCAATGACGGAGGACCCAAAGGTCAGAAGATGACATACTTCCCGGGCTTATCACGGAGTCCCCCATTTTTGGATTGACAACAAGCAAGGATATACCTTGTCAAGCCCTCTTGACTGTAGAGACTGCCAGTAGTCTGTTTTGGAGCTGCAGCCGGATGCGTGCCATCTAGCGCGGACTGGATCAGTGGCCAGCAGCTTCCGACCCAGTGACTGTAACACCCATCCACCAATTTATTGGTCCGTCCCGCGAACCCTCCTTCGGGAGCGTATTGTTTGGCGGAGAGCCAGGATAGGAGCAATGGGACATCCATGCACCTACTACTGTAAGTAAAAAAGAGATGGGGTTCGGGTAGGTTAATGCAGCCACTTACCCGGATATTGTCGTATCTGGTTTGCCTAGAATGCATAGGCATGCCAAAGCACAGAATGCATAGGCACCATGAGCCTCTGCCCCGGGACTCCCGGAAATTCCACCTTCAAATGTCTGGCCTACTAACCGTTAGTAATGTTGCCCAACAATATAAGGGAGGACCTGGCTTTACATCTGGCAAGATACTCAGAAAGGCCACTCGTGAATGACTCCAGCCCATACTGTCGGGCCTCGGATTCGAGGGGTAGAGTTAACGGTAGATCGAGCAATGATATGATCACCATCGCGCAGTAAGCGCCTCTGACCTGGCACTCAGTAAACGCTGATGGACTAGCAGATGGGGAACACTTACCGCACGTCCTCTTCCCCGCCTTCACAGACCCGAAAGCCACCGTCGCCCTGCTTTAATCTCCCCAGCCATCTCCACCTAATTCAGGTCAGAGGCACACTGAGCCTTGACAAGATTCGTCGCGTACAACTCACATTGCTTTTCGATCAATCAATTGGAAAGCCTCCTCGCCACCAACCATGGCGAGAGACAGCACGGCAGCATAGCTTGACGCGCAGTGGGACATCTGGCCATGCCCACCCCCAAATCCACCAGTGGGATTTTGCATGGGATTGAGTGTAGACGTAACGCTGCGAGAAAAAGATTTTTCTTTTAGAAGATATCCATTTACTGAAGAAAGCAAATTACCGCAAATCTAGACAGAATGGCAAGCCCACACGACGACTCTACAGGGAAAACAGAGAGAATATGCATCTGCTTACCGATAACGGAATTTACTGGCATCCTCTCCTAACAGAGTTAGACCTGTCAAGGCCCAGTAGATCAACCAAGGACGGCTGGCATCAAGACCAACGAAGGACCCGGGATAGTCCTCTAAGGAGTCGTATAAGAACGCAATGTGCTCGTCACGCTTGAGCGCGGGCAACCCAAATCGGTTAAGCGTCTCATTTTGACTTGTCTGTGAGCCTCTCAGAAATGGCAAGCATTTATCAACTGTTTCATTCTGAAGCTTTGTTGTCTCAGTGAGAAGCGAATCTTGGACCAGAGGCAGCTGTGTAAAAAGCGGCGGAATGCCACGATGGACCTCTCTTTGATTCATTGTGCTTGGCCGGTGCACTATGGAGTGGTCCCGAAAGTTAAGAGCAACTGGAGAAAGTCTGTTTGTCTGTAGACTGGATCTAGAGCTTCTACTGTATGATTTGCCTGCCTGAGGCGGTTGAGTGGTCGAAGAGAAGCGAACTTTTCGACGATATTTTCCCGTCGCTGCAATGACAGGCATGAAATCCTTCGAGGAAATATATAACCCCTGGTTGACAACGAAGATTATTATTCCTTTTGAGCTGACAAGGAATGCGATATAGAATTGTCAACTCAATGTGCTGGCTGTTATTGTTCTGGGATCGTAATCACTCATGATAATGCCTCTGATATCCATTGTTCATTTTCCGGCTGGTCAGGTGGGGCCCTCGCCCCTCACTAAAAGAGCAGCAAGAAAACCAAGTGTGCAAATCCTGCCACGAGGGACACATTATGGTGGCTGGACATTTTATTTATATTTCCCCCGAGGGTATACTCCTAATTCTGCTTTTCATTTTTCAGGACAGCCTATACTAACCGAGCTTGACAATGTCTAGCTTTGTGCCTGAGGCTTGCAACCGGTCCCGTGACCTCACTTACAAGAGTCCATGCGGAATGGATCATCCTCCTATCCGGTCCAATAATGGCTAGCGATCATCAGGTGAACAGCTCCTTACTAGTTGGGCAGATAGCCGAATTCTTAATCCTAGCTTGGCCATGATGATCGACTGACTCCCTTGGTGAGGGGTAGGTATTAAGTAGTCGGGACAATGGTCGGCAACAGGTTGGGTCGCAACTTTTTCTTTCAAACTATGATCGTCTCGAATCTATTCTGAAAAGGTAGATCGGTCTGCCAGCTTATCAAGACTTCTTTTGCCTTGTCGATGGGCTCTATCCGCTATGGAATGACTAACCTTTTATACACATCATATGCTTACAGACTCTGCTACATACCCTACATACCCTATATACAGCACTTCGTATGTACAATGACCGTAAGGAGTAGCTCTTACTAACATATTAGTGCTACGTAAGTAATGACAGCCTGCAGCTGGCCAATCAGGGCTCCAAATCTCAGCACCTGGGATGGTGCCACCTCGTTTCTTTGTTGAATAGAGCACGAGCCACTAATGGTTGTATCTTACAGCCTACTTCTGTATACAGTGTGCCCACAGGTGCTAATAATAATCAGTCACTACTACTTAAGCGCCTATACCATCAATACTACGGAGTACTGATGGAGCAATGCGTTAAACATGGTATTGCTTGCGGCCGCTGGCGTGGCCAGCTGCGAGTCAGAACCAGGCGACGCTCACATCTTTCGTGGCCGGCAAATAGATTTGACGGCTATCATCAAAAGTGGAGCCCACAGGCTCTGATTTCATATGCAGTTCGTTTCCCTATAACAGGACCTCCACTTGCCTGCAGTGACCCTTTGATGGTGGCTTTGCCTTTTTTTTTTTTTTTTTTTTTTTTTTGCATCCCGGAGAGAATGTGCTGACCCCATGTCAATGCCTCTGATCTACTAACAGGGTTTGTTGAGAAGTGTATCCGATCTATCTACTCTTGGTCTCCAATCCGGTGCAGGATGTACGTGACCATTTATAGTTTTCTTCGATCGATATTTCGTAGTAGCAACGAGATCTTTTCAGACGGTATGGCCTGAGCAAGCTTAAATGCCAATGCCAAGTACGAAATCCATGAGATGTTAGTATGTACAATTGGGCTATCCGTACTGAACTGCCTGGTTTTGCCAATTTCTATCAAGTGAAAGAGACAGCACAGGCCATCTATCACCATCGTCACTGTCTATCTCACCATCATCCACCTCATAGGCTGCAGATTAGATACTATCCTTCTTGGTGCCAAGAAGGATCCCGTACAGTAGCGTGTTTTTGGCTGGAAGCTACTGCAGCGTCAGCGGTCTCGTTGGCAACAATTCAACATGTGTACCGCAGTGATTGAGCCCTGAAGGAGGACAACTGCTATTATTGACAGCCGATAATCCTGTGGATTCATGAGGTATGTACTGACAACCCTCTTGCCTTGGATGACTTACCTTTTGGTCCATTAAAGAAGTTGAGGTACCAACACATGGGTAACTGACAATACATTATTCCTCGTCTGCCCCGCTTGCAGAGTACTGGTACTTTACCGTCGACGGGATCTTTCTAGCCCTGTATTACCACGCACCCTCTAGATCGGCGACACTTGCCAATAACCGGGTAACTAGAAGTACGGTAGCCAATCCGCCCAACTCCAACCGATCTTGACGGTTCCCACTGATCTGCCTTTGCCGAACTCGCACCCGTGTCTCATCCACGGAGTAAACCGCCGCTGTACCGTGGTATCCAACATCCAGTTAGTATACATAAAGAGTACGAAAACTTGTTTCTTCTGAAAGACAATGTGATGACCGTAGGTCATCCCTGACATCTGCGGACATTCTCCGAAGCACAACGCTGTTGACGATGACGAGGTGGTACCGACCTGGGTATTGTAGCTCCGTTCACAGCCAGGATTAGGAATCTGCATGGGTGGATTTCTTTCCCACTAAGGGTCGGTCCTTGGAGATCGGGAATGACAATCATGAGACTGATCAAGAACCTAATACCTGAAGGGAATTCGTGCAAATCATGGAGGTCACATGTTTGGAAGGCCGTTTCTTTGGTATTTCGCTTGATCCGATACTGTAATCTTAATACGTCACATTGTCCACTTAAGCATGGACTTGGTCTGCGATAATTAACTTCGCGGAAGCCAGGTATCTATCTCGCAAGTATTCGTACCATATTCTCCATCAGTAGGTACGGAGTATAGGTAATATACTACTACGTAAATACACTACCTAGCCAAGCGCTACGCCACTGTCTCGTACCAATAGTCAGCCCCGTGGCATTTCCACCATGGTCAGATATTACAATCCCGCCGAGCAGAAGCCATTCATATTTCAGCGTCCTCGGCGGATGACCCAGCCGCCCCCCCACTCCGATAGCGATAACTCCTCCCAAAATCCCCTAGCGCATCCCCGGTCGACGCAACTCCCGCCTCACCGCTGCTTTGCTCCCCACCGCTTCATACCCGCCATGAGTCTGCTTCCTATCATCCTCCCTCCTCTTCTCTCCTTCACACACCCCGGATTCTGGGCTTTCTGCTCATCCGAAGCCCTTTCCCTCTGGCTTCGCTGTTAATTCCAATCCATCCATCCTCTTATTTGTGTTTTGTACCACCCCCATCTGCCTTTTATATTTTTATTTTTATTTTATTTATTATTTTTGTCAATTTTTGTCGGATATTGTTGTTTTTCTTTTCCTTTGGGTCTTACTACTATCTCCCCTCCCCGAAGGGCATTTTTGTCCTCCCTCACTCTTGGTAAATAGTCACAATGTCAAATGTTGATATATCGAGTGATGGCTTCATCGGCCTGGATTATGACTCGAGGGGGTACATTCCGCCTCAGTCATGGCCTGTGGCGGTGGACCAGCAGACATCCCACCGCGCGGAAGGAGGGCGAGATATGCCTCCCTTGCAAACCAGCGGTCACGCCTTCGAACAGTCGGTATCTCAAGATCCTAACCTGATGGTGGACTGGCAATTTCAACATCTTCAACCCCACCTCCAGTACTCTCACGAGGAAGCCTCGTCCGCGCCGCAGTTTACGACCGCAAGTTACGGAATGCCCCTCCAGACGTCGCCCGTCGATCTGATCTCGGGAACGCAGGCTCAGATGAGCACGAGTCTTCTGGATGGCCCTTACTTGCCCCTCTCTGCTCCCGTGGACATGGTGCCGTTTCCCTATCAGGACATCCAGACTGAACTGATGGCTTTTCCCTCGGATCATGGTCTCTCGGAGATTTCATATGCTGCACCGCACAACATGATGGGCAGCAGTTCGCCCGCAGACACCTATTTGGAGGTCCGGTCCTTGACTAGTTCGAGTAGCGACAATGGCTGGAGCACCATTGAGCCTCGCCGCTCTAACGAGTTCGCCTTCCCGGAGCAGGGCATCTTTATTAACCCGACCCAGACGCTCCATGACAGAAGCCTCTCAGAGTCATCTTATTCGACATCCTATGGCAGCTTTGTAGACCTAGCAAATCCTGTCAACTCGCCCAGTTCAGATACCAATTTTGAATCGGCCTTCAACAACTCAGTGAACCGTCGGGTTTCTTACGACCATACGTCTCATGGTTCGCAGTCTCCTACTGCAGTTAGTCCTGTGGCAATTGTCCGGCCTATCCCCGTTCCCATAAAGAAACCCTCGTCGCCCATTCGCTCCGCTGCATCGCAGTCTTCGTCCGCGTCTCCTCCGAGCCGGAAACCCTCGCGAAAGAGTCCCATTGCCGCAAAGACCTCCGAGACAAAGGTTCGCAAACAGTCGCAAAATGGGAAGCCTGAAACCGAGAAGCGTGTTGGAAAACGGAAGGGCCCTCTGAAGCCGGACCAGCGGAAACAGGCTAGTGAAATCCGCAAGTTGAGAGCATGCTTGCGTTGCAAATTCTTAAAGAAGACTGTAAGTACCATTGAATGACCCTTCGTCTGCGTCAGCAGATTGCTCACTATGATTATGATAGTGCGACAAAGGCGAGCCCTGTGCTGGTTGCCAGCCTTCTCATGCTCGGTTATGGCAGGTCCCTTGCACACGGATCGATATTAAGGAGATTGGGTACTTCATGAAGGACTGGAAAGCGGACTACGAGCGCCATGTTAACCTTGGATTCTCAGTGGGAAATATCAAGGGATTCTCCGACACTGAAAGGACCCTCTTCATCACTCATGGATACGGGCAAGTTCTTCCGATCAATGCCCGCGAGGTCTACGTGCGTGATGAGCAGTGCTTCAGTATCGATTGGGTTGAATCGATTCACCGCGAGCCCACCCAGTACGAGGTGGAGACCGCCAAACTGTCTGCCGGAATGGAGGGCGTTTCGCATGCCATGCTGTCTGATTATTTGGACCGTCATATCGACGGCAATGGCACCTTTGAAAAGTTTGTCGATGACTACTTCGAGGGTACGCCATTCCTCACGCAAATGCTGAAGACCGCCTTTCGTTACTATTTCCGCACGAAATTACCGGTCATCCGGAAAGCCTTGAAACTCATCATTGCCTACAACCTGACCCTCCATGTTACCATGGTGGAAGGATTAGGCGAGGAGGAAGGTTTCGTCGGAAAGATCCAGGACGAATCGTCGAAATTCAAAGGCAAAACAATGGCGCCAGTGATGATCAACTTCCAAATAAAGTGTGCCATGGCCAATATGTGGCGTGAGCTACAGAAAGACGTTCTGGAGGAGCTTTCTAGCCTCTACTCCAGCGTATACAGCGGAGATAAACTGAAGAACTGGCCAACAATCTTCGTTCTGGCGTCGATACTGCTGGCAGTCTGGGAAGAGATGCAGTTCGATTGCCATTACCGCACTCCAGTAGGTGACCGTCTGGCGCTATTCGTTACTGCACTTGCTAATATCTTTTTTAGGATGCTGCTGCAGTAGAAAAGTTTTGTAACGACATGGAGACGACCCCCGTTGGCGTTATTGTTGGCTTGTTCCAGGCTATCTCTCAGAAACTGCCCGCGTTCACTGACTGGGAGACTCAAAAACACCACCACCTACTGCACTCGAACCCTGATGTTTGCAACGCCATGACTGAGGTCCGTCAGCATGTTACGCAATTTGGTATGAAACTGACATTATTTATGCCATTACACCGCTTACTAACATCTCTACAGAGAGCTATCTCCGTAGTCGTTCCGGTTCTAAATTCAACCGCAATGACTTCGACTGTTTATCCAACAAATTTATTTCAAGACTTGTGATACGTGCAAATTAAAAGATGCAAAATGATGAGGTTCTTTTACATTTGTTCTTCAGCAAATGTACTACAGCTCCTCGATGACGGCATCTGCACGATATGAAACTATGAGATATGCCGGCAATTATGATTACGAGACTTGCATCGAGCCATTAGCAACTTCGATCATTGAACTGAAGCAATTCGTTTTTTTCACTGTCTCGGTTTTTTTTTTTTTTTTTTTTGATTTTGCCCCTTTCCTCTTGAAGTTTCTGGATCATGTGTGCAAATTCTAGCCCGAAGCATCTGTCTTTTTCTTTTTCTTTCCATCTTGTCCACGCTCTCTTCACTTCTCAGTGGTATACCTTTCTCGCACAGTATTTACAACGGCGATGACGAGGATCACGAATGTCATGATATCTGTACGGCCACGAAATGTTTAGCAGCAGCAAATGATGAGAGCAACCGAGCTGCCAACGCTTTCTGGAGGCTAGTTCTTGCTTCATGATGTTGCATTTTCGCATTTCTGTCCACGATTTAGCGTATGTGATGTGGCTGTAGTTGTGTGTGTTGCGTTTCTCTTTTTCCTTTTTCTTTCTTTTTTTAATGTGGGTGACTTGGTTACATGTTTCAATATCGGAGTGTTGGAGCTGTCGGGAGTGGGCGAGGGTTGTCAAGAGCTCTGTTTCCTTGTTTCCCGGCGTGCTAGCACGCTATACCGCCTCGCTTTGTCCCGCCAGGAAAGCGAATTCGCAGGTTTTTGAATATTATCTATAAATGAGCTCAGTCGATCGCTGTGTTGTGCCGTGATGGATACACATCCAATACTATGCTTAGCTAATTGGAATTCCGTAAGCCACGGAGCTGACCACGGTCGGGCATTATTATGTCAAGCAATGCCACTCATCCCAACAGTTGCGACAACTGCGTTGGGACATCATGAGGGACTATTCTGTGAGAGACTATTCTGTGAGAGACTATTCTGAGCGTCATCGAAAAATCGCCGACAAGCCGTCTTGGTAAGCCTCAGGCCACAACAGTGGGCTCTTGCTGGATGCGTCGATCACCTGACCCTCTCCGCCCGCTAGTGTTGCCTGGGGGCCGTAGTTTCCTTACTAAAGGGAGTGCCGAGTCCGGACTGTTCCACCTCCCCCTCTTTTGGGCGATAAGCCCGCATTCACACGTCATTCTTGCCTTTGATCGCCATGATGCATTGGGTAGGCTACCAAGAACCTGGGTTCCTGGAGCCCTGATCAGGCAACATATGGGGAAGTATCACTATCAATATCCTGGTATATTATCTACTTCTTCAACAGACAAAGAAAAATGGCATGGACGGTTCCGTTAGGCGTAAGATACCGACTGGTGGCGTCAGTGGCGGGAGCGGACGGAGGGCCTTCCTGACCTGTCCTATTCCGACGACGGTACCTAAGTGCCTACAGTTACTGCCCGTACTCCAAGGTACCGTATGCTAAAAGAAAAATCCATGGTTGATAGGCAGGCAAAAAGAAAATTTTGAAGTGCAAAGAAGACGGTCCAATAATCTTGTGGTGTAATGACTCTCAGGACCACGGTCATTGTTCGTACTAGCATGGAAGTCAGCCTGAGTCATTGGTCTCCAGTGTCTCTTTCTAGCAGGTTCCCCAAGTTTCAATAATGGGTTGGACCTAGAGTCAGAAAGGATCGGCTGGTGACTGGACAGAAGGCAGAGAAAACACCCTAGGAGGTCTAAGGTTCCCCTGCTACTCTTCACCTGTTCCAGGTGAATTTGACCGCCATCTACCGTCCTTGCATCACGTTATCCGCGGCCTATCGCTCTCCGGGCCCTGACTAAGGCGCTTTGCCTCCCCTCATCCTGGCGCTCCTGCCTACTTAAGGCGCTCTCTCCTCTTTCCTCCCGTGATCTTTTCTCTTCTTCACATCTCTTTCTATTTCCCCCCGCCCCCAACCCGACCACTTATATACCAAGTCCACGCAGGCTGTCTCTTCTTCCACATATTGATTCCGACATCTAAACTCTTTCTGATCTCGTCGCCTACAAATTTGCGCATCTGTTTGACATCGTTGCCATCATGCAGATCTTTGTCAAGACTCGTAAGTATCGCTCGGTCTACCTGTCATCTCGGTTGCCACCTGGCCTTGTTCTGACCCTCGTCCGTCACTCTAAGTTACCGGCAAGACCATCACTCTCGAGGTCGAGTCGAGCGATACTATCGACAACGTCAAGTCGAAGATTCAGGACAAGGAGGGAATCCCTCCTGACCAGCAGCGCCTGATCTTCGCTGGTAAGCAGCTTGAGGACGGTCGGACTCTTTCGGACTACAACATTCAGAAGGAGTCCACCCTCCACCTTGTGCTTCGTCTCCGTGGTGGCATGCAGATCTGTAAGTTATCTATCTCTACGATTCGCCACCTGCCAACTACAGAACACTAATTCATTGGTCCATAGTCGTCAAGACCTTGACTGGCAAGACCATCACCCTCGAGGTTGAATCTAGTGACACCATCGACAACGTCAAGTCGAAGATTCAGGATAAGGAGGGAATCCCTCCCGACCAGCAACGTTTGATCTTCGCTGGTAAGCAGTTGGAAGACGGCCGAACCCTTTCCGACTACAACATTCAAAAGGAATCTACTCTGCATCTGGTCTTGCGTCTCCGTGGTGGTATGCAGATCTTTGTTAAGACTTTGACCGGCAAGACCATCACTTTGGAAGTTGAGAGTTCAGACACGATCGACAATGTGAAGAGCAAGATTCAAGATAAGGAGGGTATTCCGCCAGATCAGCAGCGTCTGATCTTCGCCGGAAAGCAGCTTGAGGATGGCCGCACCCTGTCTGATTACAACATCCAGAAAGAATCTACCCTTCACTTGGTCCTGCGTCTGCGTGGTGGTATGCAGATATTTGTTAAGACCCTCACTGGCAAGACGATCACGTTGGAGGTTGAGAGTTCGGACACAATCGACAACGTCAAGAGCAAGATTCAAGATAAGGAGGGCATCCCGCCGGACCAGCAGCGCCTGATCTTCGCTGGTAAACAGCTTGAGGATGGCCGCACACTCTCTGACTACAACATCCAGAAGGAGAGTACTCTGCACCTGGTCCTCCGACTCCGTGGTGGAAACTAGGCTCCCTCGGTTTGATTCTTGCTCACTTACGCGTGGCGTTTGGTTGAATTAAAGGCTTTTTATATGATCCGGTTTGCAGGGCACACCGTCGGTCAGACTAACCACGACTTACGGTACTTTACATAGCTCTATCCTTCACTTTGAACGAATGAATACCTATTCTACAGCTAGTCTTATGCTCTCCTTGCTTCACGTGCAAGTCCATGGCGTAGTTTTTTCCAAGTTTGTATTTGTCAACAAGCCCCTTACAATGCTACAGCTGCAGCGGTTAACGGTGCCTGCATATGGCCGCATTCTGCTCTGTGGGAAAGAAATGGTTACTCTTGTGTGACCTGCGATGGGGACGGAAATAGATTCAATCCAGAGGTAGTGCAGCAATGTCACCAACGCCAATATGTGTAACCCTCCTGACTCTCAGTATTCCCATTATACCTATTGAAGGAAAGGGAAAAAATAGAGACACAGGAATAAAACTTGTTTGATAACGGATACAGTCAATTCTAATCCCATCTAGACGTGTAGTAGTGGATGGGTAGGTCTTACGTAACTATGGCAATGCAAGCCTTAAGTAGGTGGAATCACCATTAGCGCAATCTACATTGTCTGTACATCACTATGTCGTCAGGTACTGTCTCTGCCTCCATCACCCCATTTACATCTTGCCACATCTGGTCACGTGATCATACCAGCGGAAGCGGCTTTTTGGAGCCGCGACCATCGTCGTCATGCCCAGCGGCCAAATCTTCGGGGGAATGAGAGTGCACATGGTGCGACTTTCTTCTTCTTCTTCACTTCGGCGATGTGAGCATCAGTCGGGATGCCCTCATATTTCTATAACCTCGCGCTCGAATTGTTTGCTCGCCCTCAATCCGACCTCAGAGGCGCTTCCCAAAGCGTGAGCGATCCGTCTCCAACTTCGCTATCGTTTGACTCCGCATGTGAAGCTCTACTACCATTCCAGAAGCGGCCACGGTCCTCGAATCCTCCACACCGAATCTCTCGCCATCCGTTGAACGGGAAACATCGACGGTCGCCTCCGGCCTCCTCTACTTCAAGTGACACTGCAATTTCGCCCGCACATCTCACTACCCCTCCGTACGCCAAGTCGTCGACCGGCGCAACCGAGTTTGAGAACGATCTGAGACTGGACAAGGTCTCGATCGAGTGCATTGATATGATACCTTCAGATCCAGGCACAGTAGGCGCGAAGCGGACGGGCTGGAGAGATTCCAGGGACAATCCCGTTGCAACGGGAATCGGCACGGACATCCTGGGCGGTCTTCGCACCAGGGGCAGATATATCCCCCTCGACCAGACGACGTCTGAAAGTGTCTGGGGTATTGTGCACCTGTACCGAGATGCTCAGGAGACACCATATCTCACCGAGGAAGAATACCCGTCCTATCTGAAGGGCTCTGCTGCCGCCCGACAGCCGTTCGATGAACTCGGTGAGACCAGTGCCCCGCGCCAGGACACCCGCGCGGACGAACCGTCGTCGTTGTCATCCTTGCCGCAGGATGAGGATTACACGACGCTGTGTATCCTTGCTGTCCCGTCATATATGTCGCCGTTGGATTTCCTGGGGTTCGTTGGTGAGGCGACCAGGGACGACGTTAGTCATTTTCGAATGATTCGCACGGCGCGAGCAAATCGATATATGGTTTTGATGAAGTTTCGTAGTGGGAAAAAGGCTAGGGAGTGGCAGAAGGATTGGAATGGAAAGGTCTTTAACAGCATGGAGGCAAGTGTTCTTTTTTTCCCCTTCCCCCCGTACTGTGGACTAGTTGTTGTCGTTGTCGTGTCTTAAAGCACTGACGTCTTTTTGAAGCCCGAAACATGTCATGTCGTCTTTGTGAGCACAGTTGAAATTCAAGCAGTGGATTCGGACTCACAAACCGGGCTTTCTTCCACTCATCAAAGTGCTCTCTTATCTTCCAGCACTGCAACAAGCCCGCAGCGCGCTGCTGGATCTACAAGTCAAACGAGCTCGATTCCCTCAGCAACGCTCTCATCCAGGCCTCTGGCACCCCCCACACCTGCCCTCATTGAGTTACCCACCTGTCCTGTCTGCCTGGAGCGCATGGACGAGACGACTGGGTTGTTGACAATTATTTGTCAACATGTCTTTCATTGCACATGTCTACAGAAATGGAAGGGCAGCGGCTGTCCCGTGTGTCGATACACGCAAGATGATCTTCGCAAAAGCAGTCAGGGCATGCCCATCGAAGACGAGATGGCCGAATGCTCTGTTTGTCGTTCGGAGATCAACCTCTGGGTATGTCTGATCTGCGGAAATGTTGGCTGCGGCCGCTACGACGGAGCGCATGCCTTTACACATTATAAAAACACCTCCCATTCCTTTGCTATGGATCTTGCCACGCAGCGTGTCTGGGACTACGTCGGCGATGCATACGTCCACCGCATCATTCAGAGCAAAACCGACGGTAAACTTGTCGAGCTCCCCGCCGCGGACAACAGCGCACTCGATCCACCAGATTGGACCGACGCCGTGCCACGGGAAAAACTCGAAAACATGAGCGTCGAATACACACATCTTCTAACCAGTCAGCTCGAGAGCCAGCGTGCTTACTTCGAGGAGATCGTCGAACGCGCAGTCGACAAGGCATCCCAAGCCGCCGCGACAGCGTCCGCAGCCCAAGAAGTAGCCCAGTCCGCCAGCTCCAATCTCTCCGCTGTGCAATCGCAGTATGAAAAACTAACTAGGGAGACCCTCCCGGGTCTCGAACGGGATAAATCCCGCGCTGAGAAACGCTCCGAGAAGTTCGAGGCCATGGCCCGGAAGATGGAAAAAGAGTGGCGTGAGGAAAAAACCATGAATGAAAGCCTGATGGAACGGATCGAACATTTAACCGCGGAAGTGGAAACTCTCAAAACGACTAATGCAGATCTGAGTGAGCAAAATCGTGATCTCACCTTCTTCATCAGTGGATCGGAACGTCTCAAGGATCAAAGTGAGGATATAGTCCAGGGGACTATCAGTGTTCCTGAACCGGAGACGAACAAGAAGAAGGGAAGGGGGAAGAAGAAAAGGTAGATATTGTATGGACGAGAAGATGATGTTTGCCTTTTGATCATGGGGATCTGTGTGTACTCTGATGGATGTATCTGCTTCCCTGTATCTTGCATCTACGAAGTGCAGTACGATGTTCAGACTCTGATAGGAGAGAAATGGAGCGGTTTCTCATCTGCTTTTACTGCTTGTGTTCTATTTGATGTTAGCGAGTTTGGAGCTGTCTATATCCCACACGCAGCATGAGTTATACCATAATTCCCCTTACAATATACTCTAAAGTAGGTAGGGTTGCACTTTAGTCCATAATTTACAATCTAGCTATATACATCATCATACTGGCAAAATATAAATACAAATACAAATACACAACACTCATTCCCCCTTCCTCACAGCCCAGAAATAATTCCCCCAATCCTCCGACCCCCCAACCAGCTTCCAACCCAGCCCAGGAAAATACATCACCCCGGAACACTTCCACTGCATCTCACGACAGACATCCTTATCCGTCGCATCTGCACTCCTCACCAGTCCTTCTTGCAGCCACGCAAGCAACTCATCTGGATTCACAAACTTCACCCAGTCGTGTGTCCCACGCGGAACAACCCCGATCGGCCACGGCGCTTCGGCAATAACCTGATTGATCACGAAAGAGGGAAAACTGCGCGAGATAGTCGATCCGACAAGCCATCCGCCAGGACGGAGAAGTCGGAGACAATCGGCGAGGAATTTCAACGGTGCCGAAGAAGCGTTGGTATCGATGTGTTCGAGGACTTCGAAAAGCGTGACGACGTCGAATTGAGATTCAGACTCAGGTAAGGTAGGATGTCCTGTTCCTCCTGCCGCGCTGGATGTGAAAGATTCCTTCTTCATCTCCTTCTCCTGCATGCTCATGCTGGCACTGCGCACCATATCCTCGAGCGTGCAGTTCTGGTATTTGAACCGTCCGCTGGAGAGATGCGCCGCGATGGCGGGGTCGGTGCGCGCGTGCTCCCGCGCGATCTGGATGAGGGTCGGCGTGGGATCAATGGCTGTGATTGATGCGGCACGGGTGGGTGTTGCGAGGGAAGACGGCACAGATGATGATGATGACGATGATGATGGAGAGGGGATGGTTCGTGCGAGGGATTCCGCAAAGATACCGCCGCCACATCCTACGTCGAGGTATCGGAGGTTATTTGGTTGAGAGGAGGACGGGGAGGGTGGGCCTTCGACAAGACAGGAGGAGATAAATTCATGGCGTAGGGGGTTCATGAGATGTAGGATGCGCGAGGGACCCATTGGATCCCACCAGCTGCTGGCAAGGGAAGAGAAATGAGAGAGCTCATTTTCGGAGACAGAGGTGGAATGTGCGCGGACAGATGTAGGTCGGAGGATGCGTGGAAGGTGTTTGAGGGTTGGGCGCAGATAGGTCATGGTGTGGTGGAGATAGCTAAATAGAATATCAGATGAAGGTCAACAAGGTATAGCAGGTGGACTAGTGACGGGGTAAATGTGGCATACTCACCCCCTCTATCCTTGATTCTCGCCTTCCTGAGTTATGTCTGGACGTGCAATCAATGGAGCTAACAGTGTTGAAGATGTCTTTCCTCACCGTTCCGTTACTGCACGTGACTGCTCTGTCTTGGAAACAAGCGATTCTTTTCTTCCACGCTACTTTTCTTCCACTGAATAAAACTGGATGAATTGTAAGCAACAGTAGCTCAATTTGTGGCTGAGCAGCAATTTTAAGGTCAGAGGTCAGTAGTGAAACCAATTTGTGGTTCCATTTATTAGAAATAACTTATACATTAGAGGATAGAAACAAGTTGATTTCACAGATTAGCTCGAAATACACTTCTAAATATCTTGGATGTTTTATAGATCATGTAGGAAATATACACATAATCTATCCATATAAAGAACATGGCTGTGCTTTGCATTGAATGCAACCTCTGTTGAAGTCCTACATATCGACCGTTGCACTCAACGCCAATGACTGTCCACACATAGTGTGACATTTTGAGACGTACATATTCTACAGCAAAGGTCTAGTCAATCTCAAGTCGTGTAGACACTGCTTTTTTGATGACTTCTAGAAAAGCCTTCGAGCTGACCTGGCAAATACGTGGTGACGAACAGCCTCACCTCGGGAAGGCTCTGATGTAGACTGCAATGTTGACTTGGCTGCTCCGCGATTCTATCTTCTAGGACTATGAACAAATCCTTGTCTTGTCTATCTTGCAGCCTATAATGATCCGTGGATATTGCTAATTCGATTCCAAACCTCTGCAAGGAATAAACGAGCCTAATTTGAAGCATGGCGTCAATGTGTCAATCAATGCTCTTCACGACGTCCGACCTTGTAGAATATTCTGACTCAGGTATTATGCTGTTCCAAATTGGTATCAGGTTGAGTGAATAATGGTGAAGAGTAAACTAAACCTGTACCAAGGCTCGATCAAAGATGCCAAGACTGTGCCGGTGTACAGAGTAGTCAGAATGTGCATATTAATCCAAACCTACTATGTACTCCATATGGAACCTTTGCCAAATCCTTTTCTTCTAACTAACCACACCACCTTCAATCGGTATTATTAAAAAACTCGTGTTAAATCAGATACTAGGTAGGTAAGTCGTGGAAAATCATTAAAGGGGGAAACCCCATTGACGGAAACACGCCGCAACTAGCACAGCTAATACGTTATCCCCACCCACATAGTGGAACGAGCTTCCCTATCTGCTTGCTCGTTGGCCTGATTGATTGACCAAGAAGTACTAACTACTAGAGTGTAGGTAAACATTCCACTTCTGGGCTTAGCCAAGCCCCCTGGTCTGTTCTGAGGATAAATCCGTACGGAGTACGGAGTACGGGATGGCTATGTGCCTAAAGCTAAGCCCCATATCCACTTCCAGAGAGTTCTACTTGTCTTCCAGAATCATTTTACTTTCCTTCCTTTCCTTCCCTGCGGGTCTAGTAGGTCTGTCGGAGATTGGTGCAACTCGAGCCGCGATTGCATCGATGGTCTAGTGTCTGGGCTTAAGCTGCCGTGTGAAGATCATTTGTGGATGGATCATGGATGATCAGTGGTCTCAGTTAGTGATGGGAGTGTAGGATTGTAAATTACTAGGTATGGTGTATGAGAGATTCAGATTTGATACTAGGTAGCTAGCCCCTGGAGATGGATACGCTGGCGGAGTATATATTGTATGTATGGTATATTTTGTTCAGTCGGTGGAGGAAGGAATCGAAGACTGCCTAGGTGAGTTAGATAGGGCACTATAGATTGGAGTAGATGGATATGAATGGATCGACTCCGTCCCTTTTCTTTTTCTATTTTCTTTTATTTTCTTTGTTCAATAAAGTCCTCGAGTACCCTTTCAGAATTGACGAGGGTTGAACCGTGGGTTTCACCGGATCGCAATGCAGTCAGTTCTCAGTCTCACTGCCCTTGTTCTTGCGGAATTACGGATAACTGTGGTGGTCTTTCCTTTCCATCTGGCCCGACTCCGCGGAACCGATCATTCGTTCATTCATTCAAGCTTGTTTCATGTTCTCTGCATTCTGCAAGGAAGTGGCTGTGATCGATCCATGGATCCGGGCCAACCACCTTGGCCCTCTATTTATTATTTATTTTACCTTTATTACCTAAAGCCAAGGTCTAGCCCTTTTATTTTTATTTTAAATTTTTTTTTTTTTATTCTTTGCTTCTGGAACTAAGTACGGAGTCCACTGAGACTTAAATTATTCTTGGCTATTTGCGATCCCGATAATCTCCCTTGATGGGGTTCCAAGCATCTAATTCTATGGGATAGGCAGTAATGATTCCCCAGCACCGTTTCCTGCGCGGTAGATTTGATTTCCTTAATAGATCCGTCCAGAACTCACAGAGCATGATCCGCCGGTTCACACAACCAACTCAGAGAAACTGGGCATTGGAATCATCTAAACACTGGCACGGAGGACTATCAGGAAATTATATCTGTATAGTCTATTCCGTATATCCTAGTAAACTCAGTTCCACGATACCCAACTAATAGATTCGCTACTAGCACGAAAGGAAATTTAGGAAGGATTTGCTCAGACACCGACACTAGGTATTACTCGTGCATTCTCATCGAATCCAATCCTGTTCCGCGTCGATGCGATCTTGGACGAGGATTGTGAAAGAGCGGCCCACTGCCATACCCAGTGATCTTCAACTGGGTGGCGGTAAATAACGGTCTATAAAACATATAAGGTTTGATATAGATAGATAGGTAGGTAGGTAGTAGGTGTAATCAATAATCATCGGTTTATGTCCGCCGATCTTCTGAATTAGGTTTCTCCCGGCCGAATTCTAGAAAATAGTGGATTATAAGTTAAATTTCTTTGAGTACTATGTAGGAATGGATTGCGAGAAGGCAGAGAGATTTCAAAAATAAAAATAAAAATAAAAGATACACAGACCATTGGTATGGCTATCTATGTGGATCAACAGAATGGTAAATCCGGGACTTCCCTATTATGGTTGGTGCTCAGAGCCCTACAGAGTACTCAGGGGATCCCGAAACCAGGTGCATCCAAGTACGTGTTTTTAGAATAGCATTGATTGTTTCTACGTAGGGAATCTGATCCGTTCGTCTGTATTTTGGCGTGCATATGTCAATTCAGTGGCCAACATACATCCATTATTATATGTATAGTGCACCACCAGCATCGACTTTGACATGACACTAGTACGGAAAGAACGGAGGGCAGTTGGGGAATCAAAAAAAAAAAAAAAAAAAAAAAAAAAAAAAAAAAAAAATTAAATATCGCCATCAGGATGTCATCAGGACGTACGCCTCTTCCTGATTCTACCAAGCCAAAACAAAGGGGAAAGCGGAAACCTTCCTCCGTGGCTAGGGCAAATCAAAGGAGGAAAAATCAAGATCCTTGAAGGAGGGTCGTGTGTCACACCGTTTCGCATCACGGAATCTCGTACCCACGCCTAGTTCCGGGTGGGTGACGCAGCCGCAACGGCACATGGGATGGGCGCTGTAGAAGGCTTCCATCGTCCTTCCGAACTTTTTCTAGAAGGTCTTCGGAAGACCGGACTGCTTGGCATCTAAACGCAACTAAGGATGTAGGAGTCCGTTAGTGTGTGGCAGTGGGGACCCACCCCTCTCTGCAAAAGGGGAGACAAGCCATGATTACCTGGTGGTGCCTAAAGGAAGGAGAAATGGGAACGTAGCCTCCTCCGTCAAGGTCCGTAGACTAGCTACGCTAGGACACTAGTCGCTGCACTAGGAAGCACTCTCCTTGAGAAGGGCGTCTCTACGGCGCATTCTCCCCCGTATCCTATGGACAGTCAGCATGCTGTCAAACGTGACATGCATATTTTGTGGGTGGATTGAGAGAGAAAATGATGGATCGGAAAGGATGTTGGAGACTCATCATCTAACTAATTTAGCTGGACGAGAGCAACAATAATCCTCAGCCGGTGAAGGAACCGTCTCCATTTTTCGAAACTTTCTAGAAGGAAATTAGCTTCCACCGTTGCTCTTCGCTAATCAGAGACCATGATCAAAAGGGGGTTAAGTAAGAAAATTCCGTCGAACAACCGATCTGACTGGGGTACGGTTAGTTGGCGAGATTTATTGACCTTATTGGTATTATTTGTCTATGCTGATGCTGATGACGATGACTATCACGCTGCCGGCCTAAATTTTCGTCCTTGGGGGGGGGGACCAACATTTGTCTCGTGTGGTAAAAGAGATTATCGCGCCTTTCTCCTGATACCTGTTGAAGGTTGCATGTCGCACGATAGTAGACTGCATGCATGCCTAGGGAACTTTATGCGGTGATGAGGGTCGTCTTCGGTTTCTCTTTGTCTTGTCTTGTCTCGTCCTGTTTTTCTTTTCTTTTCTTTTTCTCTCAAAATATTTGATATTCTGGAACATGATCAATCATACGCAACTGGTCCCTGATCTGGGGTAACTAGACCAAGTAAACTTCTCAGGGGGCCCGAAGTTGCAATTCGTTCATGGTGGCCTGGTCCCTGACGTGAAAAGACTGGGATGGGCACCAAGTCATCCATCTATGGTTAGCGCTAGTTCAGCCCCTTGGGCTTAGTTGACGGGCCATGATGTATTGTGTAGTAGTTTAAGAAGAGGATGGACTCAAATAATTCATTCAGATCGGCAACCAGGACGTATCCACCACATCTCGCACGGCCAGAGAGACGGGGAAACCACGTTGTGGAGCCGAGTGCGCTGACGGTGACCTTCTAGTGCCGCCAGCTTCGTTCACGGGCGCCACTTGGTGGAAACGTGCGAAGCTATAATCACTCGATACTAATAATACGTTTTTTTAATTATTATTATTTTATTATTTTATCTTTTATTATTTTTATTTTATAAAAACTCGTGCTAATAAAAATACAGGTGGGTAACAAATGGGAGGTTTGCAACGAAGCAAAAGTCAAATAAAAGAGTCGTGCCTGAATCGTCAGGTTCATCTTGGGTGTCTGTCGCGATTTTATTTTATTTTCATTCTATTAATTTTTCTTTTTATTTTCGACGATTTCCATCTCTCCCCTCGAGAAGATTCCCTTTTTCTCCCTGATCTCTTCCCCGTCCTCAAAACTTCTCTTCTCCTCTCTTTCCATCCAGCTGAACCGTGTAAGTAACGAGGATCGTTTCCTTTCCTTTACTTGCCTGCTTTCCCTTCCCCGCTGATGTCTCAATCTGCTGTCATCCAACCTGGTCAACCCAGTCAAGGCTAACAAGCTTCGGCGCACAGCGATTTACCTCTTCTCAACTGTTCGGGGTGGTATTCGTTTCTTGTCTTTTCCGGCTGGAAGATTTCCCATCGTGTGTGTATATTTCGGTAGGCATCTTTCCCCCTCATCGCAGCTTCCCTCGTTTCCGTCCCGATGACGCAGTGCACCTCCACGATTCATCTCTTTCTGGTCACCACGGATTTCGTCTGGTCATTCGGTGTGGTAATACCTATCTCGAATCGGCGACAAAGCGCGCCTGACATTCATACTATTTTTCTGGGTTCAGGTCTACCGGTAGTCATCCCTGGTCTCGTCGCATTGGCCCGGAGTCCTCCAACTTAAGGTGGAGGTACCTACCAGTGAGGGTTGGAATGGCTCTGGTGGACTCGGCTCAGTGCTCTCCTGGTCACGGAAATCGCTTGTCATGCAATCTGCGCAATTTGGCTAATTTCACGATGGTCTCCACTTAGCAGAACTGTCCGGTCTTTCGCCTTTTTTGGCTGCTTCCTTTGTATCCTATCCTTTCCCCTGTCTCGATACTCCTTCTGTGTCGAGTAGACGATACCCGACGGTGCCTAAAACGTCGGACATCCCCATACAACTGCGAAAACGACGCCTTGTCTCTTTGGTGGCTATTTGAGAACGCGTGAAGTGTGGTAGACTATTTGGGTACCATCATAGCCTGGATTTCAAAGGCTCGTAGGATTCCATCGAGGGCGTGGTCAGTACATTTGGATAGTCTCCGCCTTTGCCGAACAGCATACCTGCAACTACCCGGAGAGTTCTCGGACGAGCGTCTTGGTCCGCTTACGACATTTGCGAAATTGTCAGTGTCGACGGAGCTCGCAAGTACAGCATAACCGGTGGCTGTCGAATACCTCAAGATTGGGATCAAAAGGACACAACCCTGCAAAACCAAGCGCTTACGCTTCGGTGCAAGTGTGACAGCCTTAATCTTGGTGGTCTCTTGAGGTGGAAGACTGGATTTTCGCGCCCGTGTTCTCCCACTTGACCCTTGCCTCCATAGCTGACATTCCTGATTACTGAATTCGTGAACTTCCCACTTTCACACACATCAGTCAATCGACACGACATTCTGTCACAGACCAGGCAAGGTGAGTTAGTCTACAATCTCCGCCCGTATTTCGCGTTTGAGACTGCTGGATCACCGGCCCTCTATTTTAAACTTCCCCCCTTATCTTGAAATACGCCCCGAATTGGAAGATCTGGACTTGATTCTTACCGCGATCTTTTACAGGTTGTTTGACTGGCACGCCGAACCACCGATACCTTGTCACAGTGTCCTTCGCGCTTTTATTGGTCGACCATCGATCGCGTTTTCGGCGCCCTTCCATTCGTGGAGGTCTTGTATGCCGATTGTGTTTCATAACCCCATAGTCGAAGGATAGCCGTGGGCACGATTCTACGGCTGCCACGTTCGAAGGGATCATAACAGGAAACTTCTATCTGTCCTTGACCATCGTCCCTCAGCTCTCCGCTGGGTCGGGTCATGGACATCACAACTATTTTGAACAGAAAAGGTTCTACCGCCATGGTTGCCGCAGAAGCTCATTTTGATCAACAGCAGTTCGTGCCGAATCCTAATTTGGAAACATCGTCTTCGCCCAAAATGAAGTCGGAACCTGGCGTCTCCGACTCCGGTGATCAACAGGTCCTCTCATACCCTCCCCACGCCCCGATGAATCAGGTGCCAAATATCCATCAAGATATGAGATACGCCCCCCAAACACACTCCGGGCCTGGGTTCCTGCAAAACCCTTATGTGCATGGTGGGTTTGCGAGTGGTGCCCAAGTCCCGAATGGTGCTGCGCCTCATGGAAGGCCAGACCCTCCCCCAAAGACCTTCCATTGCGCAACTTGCAGCAAAGGATTTGCTCGGCGCAGTGATTTGGCAAGACACGGTATGGAACTTTTGCAATTCGGAATCGATCGAAAAGCTCTCACCTGACTAAATGAACTACAGAGCGTATCCATTCCGGTATTCGACCTCACGCCTGCGATTGGCCCGGTTGCGGGAAACAATTCATCCAGCGATCTGCCTTGACTGTACATTCCCGTGTCCATACTGGTGAGAAGCCTCACATGTGTGAAAGATGTGGCAAGGTATGTGGCCTCGATTCCTTTTTCCTTTTTTTTTAAGTACTAACCAGCTTTGGGTGCCTATAGCCTTTCAGTGACTCGTCTTCCTTGGCCAGGCACCGAAGAATACACTCGGGGAAACGACCTTATAAGTGCCCCTATGCAAACTGCCAAAAGACGTTCACTCGTCGAACAACCTTAACTCGCCACCAAAATCATCATACGGGTACAATCGAGGAGGCCGCAGCGGAAACCGAAGCCAATCTGAGGCAGAATAAGGAGAGGGCAAGAGTGGGAGAGAGCATGTTCTCAGAGCAGGCCTCGGTGCACTCGACTCCGTCTCCAGCGCATCATCCTATGTCTCCAGTTAGCGAGCTCCCTCCTTTGAATATGACTCGCCCTGATTACTACCTGGGAAGCGGCTCTATCCCACCCCATATTCGTGGAGACTTTTCGCAAGCAAGCCCTCGGGCATCTCCCACGGCTACCTCCCCCTCTCTGTCCAGCTTCAACAGTGCTCAGCTCCCTCGGCCGTCAATGACATCTCATCCTACTAATTATGCACCTCCCCAACCTCTGGAGCCACCTGCGAACAATGACCACCGACCGAATAGCGTCGGCGGCAGCCCTCATATGTCGAATCTTGGTTGGGCTTCACCTTCTCATGGTAGTATCCCGTCACCAGGATCTGCGACAGATTTCAACTACCCAGAGCCCAATGGGCCGACCTACGCGAGTCCCATGCCTCCTCATATGTACTTTCCCAACTCCACCATCCGGCGACCCGCTAGTACTGAACCGGAAAACTATGAGATGAAGCCCAAAACCAATGACCATTCATGGTCCACACCGGTCTAATGGGCGTCGTGTAGAGTCAGTCTCCAAGTGAGCGGCAGGACCGATAAATTGGAGTCTTGTGAAACCGGTTCAGCCTATTGCGACTCTGGTCACTGACACTATTTTCCTTTGTTTACATTCCCTTTTTTTTTTTTTTTTTTTTTCCCTCCATATTAAATTTGCGCCACAGATGTTTTTCTTTTTCCCCTGGTACCTGTCATACATTATTGATATATCATCTTAGCATCCATCGTTACGAGTTACAAGCGCGTCGGAAGGAGTCCAGGCTAGCTGATTTGTCCCCTCGTGTTTGGGTTGTTCTCTCTATTTATTATTATTACTATTACTATTTTCTTTTATCTGCCATAATATGCGACATGACAAGGACGAAAGCATCAATCAATCAATAAATAGAGAGGTGGGAAAGGTTCATGGCTAGGTTCGACGGGGTTTGGGAATTTGGGGTACTCTGTTTTTTTTTTTTTTCTTTTCCTCTGGCCTGTTTTCAATTGCTCTATTCCATTACCGTTTTCTTTTCTTTTGCATCCTTGTTTCTATTTACATGTAATACCTATCTGATTGTGGCTGATATTCCCCTATTGTTGTGCAAGCTTTTTTTTTTTTTAACTATCTCCTATGTTTATTTTTTCAATTCTTCCCCATTGTCTTTCTATACCAATACAACATTTGTAAATGATTATCACCTGTATTATAGATAGTACGTATCTTTGCTATTAATCTAAGATTAAGGTCCTGATGGATTAATTAATCGATGCGTAGCCTTGAGCCTGTGGATGCGGATGTCTCAATTTCAATCCCCTAGTGTCGGGAATATACACGAATACGCATGGCAATACGAAATTAGAGTTGACGATGGGCTTTAAAGTGCTTTTATAGATAACCGAATGGTATTATGTATAATAAAATGATGATATTTATAAAAGGAATATATGTTTTAGGTATATACTAGGATAAGCCCGTATATCAATTAGTATTGATACGGAAAGTAGAAGACAACCAGTTAGTTAGATACACCAGTCTTCTACTGAATTGTCGATAAAAAGAAGCAGAAGGAAAGGGAAAGAAGAGAAAAAAGAAGTGCTAAAAAAGAAACGAAGAAATGAAGGGAAACAAATTAATCACTAGGTCATAACGAACTCATAACCCTGTCATATTCATACCTATTCCTCCTTCTACTGCAGGATTGGAAAGAGGACATGAGCATGAAGGAAGAGGTTTCAAGGTTCGTGAAGAGAAGAGAGACGCGACAACTGAGCTCGCTGTGGTTCCTTTTTCGGCGGAGAGAAGACCGAACCGGAGGAAGACTTCTGAGATGGTCACCACAATGGAGATGAGGATTAATATAATGATGATCCAGGTTTGATCTGGTTATATGTTAGCTTTGTTTTTGGGGTGTGATTTTTTTGGGGGAACTGACGGGAGGTTTTGCTATCGGCAACAGAATCAGAGAGTATTTCTGCCAGGTCGAGGAAGACTCGGCATCGCTCATTGAGGACTTGAATCCGGGGTTTGATTTCGAGATATTCTCGGACGGCAATGTAGAGAGGGTACAGAGTTGGCTCGCTTTCCCAGAAAAAGTTGGGCACGTCCAGCATGTTGGAAGCTGAAATGCTGGGTTAGATACCATAAGAGGACTGAGGTGACTAGGCAGTGACTTACATAGATTGACTTCTACTCGACTCTTGAACAGTCTTCCCAGGATTCGGAAGACTTCTTCCCGCTTCATGCCCAGATTCCCCGTCATGGCAAGTCGGCGCGGGATATCCTTGGCTTCTGCCATTTGTCGCGCCATGGCTTCTTCGAAGAAGCAGAGCTTGGTGCTTTGGGATATGCCGTGACTGATAGCGAGCTTGATCATATGGTCACCACTTCGTAAGGTAATCATGTCATTGTACACACGCGGCCGGGAGATCTCCGTTGAATATTCAAAGTGGAATTCTTCCGTTTCAAAGTCTTCCTCCAACAACGGCATTGTTGCAAGCGCAGCGGGCGAGCCGGTGGCAGACGATGTCGCAAATGCCAAATCGGCAAGGAGATCTTTCTCCTGTCTCTCTGTGAAATTCCAAAAAACGACCACACCATAGCTGAACACGAACATCTCCGCCACATTGTACGGCAATCGCGAGGGTCGTACGAGGCCAGAGAGGAGTCCGTGGGCAGGACGCTCATGGTGGGTAGCTTCCATTTGTTCTGATCCAGCTCCTCCATGAATACGGGAATCTTCCTGTTCAACATGAGGCAGCAGTCTGGGCTCCTCGCTGTCGTGTCGCGGTGAGCCATGCTCTGCACGGCCGACGACTGAATGCTCCTCTGCTTCCACCATGTAATCATCATGATCGCGTAATTCGTTCCTCTCAATTTCCTCATCCAGGAGAGACTTCCCACCAGGTTTCTTGATCATCGGACTGCTCTTCAACCTGTAGCCTTCGATCCCCTGCAACAACGGTAGATGATACGCCGTGTACAGACAATCATCGTACAGCTTGGTCCGTCCACCATGCTTATCCTTCACAAAAGACGCCACCAAGCTCATCTTGTAAGCCTGGGCCGTGCAGTATGCGGTCACACGGGCCAGCTTCTCCGCGCGTCGCGCCTTAGGTAGCCGCTCTGCGTAGCTTTTGGCCTTCTCCGGCGGCACTTTTCGGCGGCGCAACAATTCTTCCTCTGCCAATAAGGGTGCAATATCATTGTCAACCCCAAAGTCCCCGCCAAGCCTCCTCTGAACTAATAGTCGCTGTCTTATAGATTCCGGGTCGATATTTTTCTCACTGGCTAGTCTCTGCACCAATTCCTCATCCACGATATCTTCTTCTTCATCTTCATCTTCTTCTTCCTCCTCCTCGTCCGGTGATTTCTCCTCCACCCCTTCCGCCTCCGGCAAAAGAACCAGTTTCTCGCTAACTTTCGTTGTCCGCGGTGGGAGGTGCGGCTGCGCCGCGAGACGACCGATGGTGGCTGCTGTAGTAGAGGCGCTAGCGCCAGCACCGCTAGGGTTAACTCCACTACTGGAGCCGATTAAACCACCCGCTGCGGATGCAAGTCGTGACCTTGGACGGACTCGTGAAGTCTGGGGCGGAAGGCGCTGCTGCATAGACGGGACATCGGAGGTATATTGGAGAATGTTGTCAACCGTGATAAAGCGAGTAGACGGGGAACGACGACGGCGGGGTTGAGCGGAGTGTATATTATCGCGCGAATCGGTCACCTAGATCCAAATTTACATCCCAGTATTAGAAATATTCAGATGATTGATAGCGTAGGAGGGAGTGGATGTAAATTAGACACTACTCACCAGCACATGAGGGCTTCTTTGGCCCGGAGTCCGTCCTCTAGGGTGAGCCATGGTTAACCGCAATAGCAAGTGTCCCAGAAACTCGTAATCTCGTCACAAAGGGACACAAAACGGAAATGGGAAAATTCCGTATGTCAAGCGTGACGCCAGGACAATTTATGATCCCCTACTCGGCGACCCAATTAAAATCACCAAAAGTTCTGCGGCTAAGCCTTAGACAAGGATAGAAGCAAAGACAGATATACCGATCCTTCACCATATTCTCATAATTGCAGGTTTCTGCCCAAGTTTCTCAGACAACGTCAACACGAAGCATTGGATCGTATGTCAAACCTGAGGCGAGGTGTTGAATCTATCGGGGCTTCTCACCGCCTGTCAAAAACGGCCTCCACCCAAATAGGTATAGTGTGCCAATGAAGCACGAACAATGACGTCGATGAGGCGTTTTCTTTCCGTCATTGTCGTACGGTAAATACAACGCGTACTGAAACGCCAACCCATGTCTCCGGTCCGCTCTGTCTCCGGCGGCCACGTGCTGCACGGGCTGGGTGGGGGCTAGAACCAGTTTGGTTTAGTGGTCGTCTCTGATCCGTTCAGGCTGATCTGGGGTTCAAATCATAGTAATAATGGGATCGTCGGAAGCCTGGAGTTTGGATGAACAGCAACCGAGGGGCGATGAGGTGGCGGAAGTGTATATTTAGGTAGACAAAGATGACCATAGTGTACGTTCCTCGATCAACGACCACAAATCGTCGAAAGTTCGTAATGCATAGATATACTTAGTTGGAATGCGAAACATCTACTCCTATACGATAGGCAGGGAGGAAGAAAAACAGTACCGGTGTATAAACTCTAAACTCGGAGTCCCTTGCAGGGAGCCTTCCTTGCGTGATGATGACAGATCTATGTATTGAGTGACTGGATTATATGCATGTATCCTGGGCTAAAATAGAGTGATAGAGACGCGGATATGCAAAAATCCGTCATGAACGACAAACAGTGCAATGAATCCAAAACAAATATTGAAAACAAAAAACGCCCCGAAGCATCTCCGATGTATATTGCTTCGTCATGCTAAGATTGTAAAGAATCGATGAAGTCAGCATGCAATAATAAAGTGTACCGGTTCCGTCGGTACCCAAAGCTGTCCAAAATCATACAAGTACTCAATAATAATGGGCGAGAAACAAGCATTATAACCCATCTCGAAGGCGTCGGTCTTCATCCCAAATCTCTTTCTTCATTCGCTGCAGTCGAACATGCTGTTTTTGCAGTCGATCCAGATCTGCCCGTGGCGGGTCCGGATGAGCTGCCATTGAGTCGTATAACGTGCGATACTTGGCATAGAATTGTTTGAATTTCTGTGATTTCGCTTGTAGCTGCTGGAGTAGGATTTCACGACTGAGAGGAGGCGAAGCACTTCCAGTACTGCCACTCGACGTGCTTACCGCTCGCCTTCGTTTGAGCTCCAAGTCGCCCGTGATACATCCGGGGGCAAGAGATTGCGTCGTTGAAGGCAGGTCCATTTCTGCCTTACGCTTCAAAGGATTCACCGCCGGGTTCGGCTTCACAATCCCATTGGTTTTCGGCTGCTTTGAAGCGGTAGGACTCTCCCTATTAGTTTTGTTTGTCTTGGATATCTGTGTGATTAATGGAGAAGAGGAAGAGCTGGAGGTATGGTTTTGGCTAGAAGAACGACTGCGGCTTTGTATATCAGAGACATTGGTTGGGGGCGACGACCCAAGTGGCGATGGCTTCTGGGGGGATTTCTGGCCGGGCCCACATGACGATGGGAGCCTTTTCGACGAGGTCGATTTGCACGATGTTTGGGATGATAATTCCGGCTTTGCAGTTGGAATTTCAGGCGTGTCGACCTTGGGTGTTGGTGCGTGGGGTGATTCTCGGGGGGTAGTATCGATTGGCTTGCTAGGTGGCTTGGATTGTGTTTTGGATTTGCCTGCCTGAGGCTTCTCCGACGCCGATAAGTCTGGTACGTCTGTATCATCCTCATCCGAATCATGAACAAACTCTGCGGATTTATATTTGCTGTCTGGCTTTGATGCTGACTTTCGCTCTGCCTTCTTGGTGACCCGTCCAGTCAAGGTACTGTTTGTAGCAGTTTTGCTCTTGGCGGAAGGACGCTTGGAAGTATCTTTTTCGCCGGGCCGCTTCTTCTGTGCAGTTGTACCGGACTTCGGAGCTGATGTGGCTTCCGTTTTAGGGGTCAGGCCATTACCACTAGCTCGATCAGCATCTGGGCCAGTGGTGTAACCTTCTTTGCCGATCTCGTCGGGGTTGTGCACTTGTATGCGAGGGGTCTGTGGCTTCTTTATGGGGCCTGTCCGCAGGTCCAGCCGCGAGAGGCATTTGCTCTTTCCACGTTCCTCCTTCGGCAAAAGCATCTGCCACAGCTTGTCGGAGCGAGAAATTCGCAGGCGATCAAATGCCGAGATCGCATTCTCAATGGCTTCCTGGCGGTCCTCCTGACAGGGATATGGAAAGTTCCACACGTCGAGGTCCCGATACGTTTTGTCCTTGAGGTCAAATTTCTCCGGGTTAATTCGATTCTCGGTGCCGTATTTTCGGGCCAGAGCCACACAGTCCTCAAGTGACGATCGGGTCTGACGTGCAAGGAACTTCGTAGAAACGGCACGGATGGCGAGGAGGTGGATAAAAGGGGTTTTGAGGGCGTCCAGGCGGATGCGATCCTTGTTCTGAGAGGGCGGAGCCGAGGTGGGTGTGAGATGATCAATGGAGGCAGGAGATCGGGAGATTCCAAGAGCCGGGCTCGAGGACACCGAGCGATTGGCAGCGTTCTTAAGCAAACGATCTTTTTCCAATTCAACCTTGCTTGAGGGTTTGCCAGCTAAAAGAGCAGCCTGGCGTCCAGTACTGGATCGGCTGTCACCCGCTCGTAGAGCCCGGACCTCGTCAATGCTTGTAATTATATGAGTTTTCTTCGATTCCTTCCCTCTTTCAAAGGCATTTAGGCTCTGCTCCAGATTGGCTAACGCCTGGTCGGTAGCTGCAGTGGCCTCTTTGGCCTTTTCCACCTCCAAGCTATGGCTCAGAACACCAGTAAAATATAAATTCTCTTTGTCAGCGGAGCTGGTGTAGATCTCGGACCGGTGGGTTTCGGGAAAAGAACGGAACGATTGGGATTTGGAGCCGTAGATGAGGGTTGGGTGTTTGCCTAGGCGGACTCGAGCCGGTTGGTCGTGTCGTAAGCTCTGAATCAGGTCATCAAGGGTGCTCTGAGCCAGATTCAGCCGCATCATCTGGGCGTGTTTTGTTGTAAGGCCACCTCGGGGTTTGTCTCTCTGTAGAGACAAACCCATCTCGGGAACGTCCAATGCCGGCATAACAACGACGGAGGGAAGGCAGTGAGGAAGGAGAGACAGCGAAGGGACCAGAGCGACGCTATATGTCCGATATTCGGAAGGGGACTAGGTATTGTGAGAATGGGTCGTCTGATAGATCCGGAACAAGGATGGAAGGCAGCGTGGGAGCTGCGGGTCAGTGGCCGAGTACACGGAAAGACAGGTTGAAACACAGCGCCATAGATCAAGCAATGGAGGTCAAAAGAAATGTTGAGAGGGAGTTTGCATGAAGAAGAGCAAACGGAATTCGAGAGCCACCCAATCCCATGGCAGTAGGGTAGGTTTGGGGGGCCAAGAGGCGAGATTCGGGAACGACTCAAGAGGAGGGAGAGGAAACGAGAGAGGGAGGGGAAGGACAGAAAAGAGAGTTGGTACGGAAGAAGGGAAAAGAGAGGGAAAGGATGAGAAGAGATGAAGCCAAAAGAAACCAGGATGAGACTGAGAGGCGGCCTTGGAGCGGAGGGCGAGGACGACCTTAGTAGGAAGTGAGTGGGGAGCGGTATTGGTATCGTTCAGTACCTTTTTCTGGGCCCAAAGAGAAAGAGTGTTGTCAAACCCGCTAGAGGGTCGAGCTAATACTGCTAATAATAATCCTCAAAAATAATCACCAGAGGATTAAAAAAATAGTATTCCGGGAATAATCAATCATCACTGTGAATTAATTTATTTTGCCCACTTAGATCCTGGTCTGCACGCTCCTGTTGTTACCAACCATGACACACACTACTCGGTCCTCTGTCACACTACGGAGTACTTATATCTACATAATAATAATAACAATTATAATTATAGGTAGTATTAATAATTAGGAAAGAAGGAAAGAAAGAAGAAAGATCTGTGACAACTCGAATCGTTTGAAGCCTGACTTTGACCACCATACAAACCTGAGCCTTGACATGCACATAAGGGATTCGTCTTCTTTCCCACTTTCAGAGAGTGGCAAGTCAGCGCAACAAGGAGATAAGCCGAAGACCATCGTTTGGTGTGGCATACATAACTGAACTTTCCGGAAGATTTACCAAAGAATACCTTACCTACGGAGTACCTATTGGTAGGATTGAAGGGGAATAGTACGGACACTAGTACGGGAAGACGCCGTACCGTATGGGGCCACACCTTTGGAGTTGAAAGGGTGTAGGGTATTACGCCCAGTTGTCCAGCTGTATTACTATTTACCCATTGACTCTGAATCATGGGTACGGAGTACTTCATAATAAATGGCAGACAATGGGTGTCGAATTCTGGAACATTGATCCCTACCTGGTTCCATATGGATACTACCACTGATCGATCGGATGGTGGCCGGACCCCAACCATTACTGCTCTTTTCTCGTCTTTTCTGGATTTCTGATCTATAGCAAGATCTGAAACCGTAGAAATCAAGCAATGCAATTGTGAATTTTTCCCAAATTTCTCCCTGATTGTTCCATTCACAAGTGACATCGCCGTTTGCCTTTGTCTGTAACATTGGAAGCCCCATAGTCCACTGTACGACCCACCAGGACTCTAACTTAAGTCTTAGTGGCACGGAACGGAGCAAGCTGTTCGACAACCGCGCCTACCTACTCCGTACGCAGACTCCGTTCCTTAGTATGGATGTACGGAGCCCCCACCAGAATAGGCGCAGGACCAGGTCATTCATCTTGAATAAAGCAAAGACAATAGAGGTAGCTCGACTCGGGGTCAAATAGCGAACAGAAAGAAAAGAGATCGAATTATTGAAGGCTAATCCCAAAAATGAAAAGGAGGGGAAGGGACGAAGAGAGTCAAACAAAGTGACAAACTGTACCTGAAGAACTTGGTAATTAACTGTCGTACTCCGTATCTGCCCCGTACCTGGACGGCAGAAGGGATTCAGACAAAAATAATTGTTATAACATCCTCTCCTAAAAGCGAAGACATTAAAGCTAGAGCTACCTTGTATTTCTAATCCCTGTACTCGCAGTTCTATTGTATCATAATAAATTAGACTCAGTATTATTATTGTTGTCATCTCCATCTACCGACCAGAGGCTTATACCAAATACCAACCGTCTGTTACGGGATCAACATCGAAGTTGACAGTAGATCACCCGTTGACGACCTCGACCATTTCGTTTCCCTACACAGTAGGTACCTACGGGGCAGTTTTCGTTGGCTCTTTTTTTGTACCCGCGCGCGGGTGTGCTGCGTGGCGCACATTGATCTCCCCCACCGCCAGTAAAGAGAATGCAAGATGTTGAGCTTGCATAACAGCAGCTTTGTCTCGCTCTGCCCGGGTAGCGAAGCTGGAGCGAGGTGCGGAGAAGCATTGGAGAGGACTGGGCTCTCAGTCAGCCACATCACGTTATGGGTATGGATGGATGTATGTATTTATGTATGTATGGTACAGAATCCATTCTCCAGTGATGCTGGAAGCATCCGTACCTAATTGACTGTCGAGATAGATACCTCTATTTATCCCTAGAGAGAGATTATTTATTTATTTTGTATGTTTATACTTCTATTTAGTAAATTCCCCTGCGTAAATGTATATTGATTCTCTATAGACGATGTGTCATCTGGAAACTCCTGGCGATCTTGGTCACAGGCATACAGAGGACATTCGGCCGGGATGGACCCGAAACCAACCTGTTGATCTCTTTCTGCAGAGTTATTGGATGGTACTCTACAACCTATGTACGTCCAAGTAGACAGCAGACTCAGGAAACAGGTTAAATTAGAGGAGTAATAATCATCGGATCCGATTTGCCTGGACCTCCCTGCGATCATTCCGAACGAGTAATGAAGGGATGGGCCATATTTACTCTATTTAGCTAGGCAAAGCAAGATCTTCCTGGACCTTCTTCAGGGCATGGATCGTTATTGGGATCTCCAGCATACTTTGTATTTATTATTATTGTTACTATTATTACTGTTGTTGTTATTATTATGGAATATTACAATAGAATAATAATATTATTAATTTATTTTGACTCCCCACCCTACTTACCTCGTAGGCACTAGTTCCGAAAGTACCAAAAACTAAAAGCCATCGACCCATTTGAATTTGAATATGTAAGCAGTGGGGGACCTTGGGAAGGGGAAGGAGGTGGGGAGGAATGTGCACTAAAAGACCACGAAGTGACGAACTACCTAGGTACCTAGGCATTCAAGGAAATGATATCTATTCTCAATCAAAACAAGTTCAGGGTACAGTGGCCGTAGCCGGAGTACATCGGTATGTCTCTACTAAAATTACTAGTTTGTTGTTCGTTGCCTTGGGCATTTGTCTGTAACTCTGTAACTTCAGTAGCCACAAAGTATGTATTTCCAACCCATTCTATAAAGTAGCACTCCTTGGTACTTACTCCAGGGTACTTACTCACTTGTGGGGGGAGAGACTAAGCACATTGGTATGCTCAGCTTCGTATCGTCAGTCACGCCTGACCAACTGGGTAACTGGGACAGGGCCCTGTCCTCGTGTTGTGGTAATCTATTTGTGACCAATCCAGGTGCTTTGAGAAGTGGGTTTGATCATTGCTAAGAAAAGTAAGGTAGTCCTTAATTAATGGAGGGGGAATTTTTTTTTTTTTTTTTTTTTTTTTTTGGTAAGTAAAAGAGGTGTCTCAGTAGATTTGCCACTTCCATGTACAAACAAGCCTGTCTGTCATGGTAAATGGGCCCTGCATGGATGACTGCAGTGCTTGCTCTACATGGGTATCAAGTACATTTGGAATGCTCCGTATGTGGGAAGGAAGTGTGCCACTGTTTTCCGAACCATGGAGTAATTAACTAGATACCCCGTTACTGCTTACTTGTGCGGGATACCTAAACTTGGATCCGCGTCAAGTAAGGAAGAAATCAGACGAGACGGAGGAATCCCCCATTCGTTCCAACCCCTCAAGTTGTTGCGATTAGCATTTGGGCCTACCTGAGAGGGATGGAACTGGATTGCAGGTATCAAATAAATCACTGGAGAAAAGGGTTACACCATGTTACTATTGTACTTTGTACTTCTCTCGCCTCTAGCTCAACTCAACCAGATGCATCATCCTGTGCTACCGGAATGCTCCAATCGATGAGATTTTGAATTCTAAGCCTCTGCTTTATTGAGGGCTGGCTGGGAAATTCATCATTGGTGGGCCCTACCAATGCGAGGGATCCAACCGTACTGTCTTGTGTCTGTCGGTATGTATTTGTATTACTATACATACGGATAGGTACTTCATCCACACCAAACAAACGGACTCATCGCCTCTAATCCATCCTGCCAACGCATCATCTCATACAATCATCGATTGTTGCTGTGGTGGTCTACCAAAGTAATAGGTAACTAGGTAAGTACGTAGTTTATTAATCGAGGGAACTTGAGTCAGACGAACAACAATGGCATATCATCGTGAACCACGAGTCCTATTAATAATCCCCCTCCTTGAAGACTTCGAGACCAGACGAGACCACTGGCCCGGCATTAGTTTCGTCACAGCTGAAACGTGCCGATTGCTACCAGTAACTTACCCCTGTCTCATCTGCCCGCAGAATCATGGAACCCATTCGGTCATTGTAATTAAGGTCGACAGATGGAGTCAGGTAGTTAGGGTAAGAGAATCTCTTTTGCATCAGGTTCGTCCCAAAACAACCATCTGGTGCTATATTTACCCACCACTACGTCGCCGTAGTCGCCAGAATACTGGGTCCGATCTACGGTCCAAGCCTCAGCATGCTGATGCGCCTCATTCTTCTTGCTTCCCTTAGAATGCACAGAAATAAATTAGCACAGCCACGCTACGCTAGCATCAAGTGACGGCCTGGCCAGCAGCTTTCCGCACGGGTGATGAAGATGAAGATGGTGATGGTGATGACTGTGATAGGCCGGGTTTTTCTTACCCTTTTCTTTGGTGTCGTCTCGATGATGCATGTGCTCTGTCATCGGTACCTTTTTGTATATGTACATACATGTCTGGAGCGACATATGGAATATCTAGAATAGCTATAATTTTACAGTACATACCTAGAGTTATGGATATAACGTCAAATAGTGAATAGGATTACCACTTAGATCGTCAATTTCACCTCCGTAGTATTTCTTGGGAAGCCACCCAAGCTCATCTACAACGGCTATTCACCAAGTAACTGTATACATTCCAACACTTCGTGGAAATATTCTGGCTCGTCAAAAGACTCGCCTTTAGCAGAACGTATGTCTGGACTGCCAGAATCGCATGATGGTAATGGTGCTGGACTTCCAGGCGTTGAACGTCGCAATGATTGGAGTGTTCCTGATCCAAAGAAGAAAATTTCCATAGCTTCCATCCATGCTGGGATAGGTGTTTCAAGTGAAGTATTAGGGTCTGGGATCGCCGGAATCAGTAACATGCCGAGACCAGGCGGCGCCCAATTGGTCACTAATGGCATCGAAAGGTCTTCATCTGAGATATCCTGCGTATGGAAAGATTTATCAATATACCGAAGAAGCCTGATATACTCTGTCAGATGAAGCTCAAACAGGTCGGGAGAGCAGTTCCCTCGTCGATTTGTGTCCGAACTTGCAGGCGAATAGAAGGATGTTGACAGAGCTGGAGCGCCGCTGATGTCACGGCCAGAGTTCGCTTCGTATAATATCTGAAACTGTAATGGCGATAGATTTCCATGAAGAAGAGTAATATTACTTCGTAGTACTGCTTGTCCTCTGGGCTGATTGATAGTTGTGCCTTAGCACTAAGCAGAATGTGTAGCATCACTGTATATACCACACTTAGAATTTGTCAATTACAATGCTTTGCTACATTGACAGAGAGCAATACTTACGCACTAATTGGAAGCTTATCGGCTACTCCACTTGTAAGGATCGGTTTGATTTTCTGTGCAGTTGATCCAGTTGCCTTCATCAGCTCTGTCCTACAAGTGACCAGTTGCTCCTCGCCATGCTCTTTGGGAGACCGTGTCTCGCCAATTTTAAGGCATTTGTAATTGCAAAGCGCAGTTCGAGCCGAGCTTGTCTTCTGTTAAGCTCATTATACTTTCTACCGCTCCTTGAGACAAGACTTACTAGTAGTACAATGCAGTAAGATTCGTATAGAGTACTAGAGACGAGTGCAGATAGGGGCATTTGCCATCCATGGGCATCATCCAGTCGAGCTCCCACTGCAATAAGGACGACTTCGCCTCTTCTAGCCTTGCGAGCTCGACACCATGGTCCTGCACGCTCCATGATAATGCTTGTGTTGTAGGGTATACTATTGTAAGTAGCTTTGTTACGGTACTACAAAATGGCACAAGCCTAGACAACACCCGGCAGAGGGCGGATTTCGTCTCGGTTCTGTAGACTTCGGAGTGGAATATCTCGACCGCCAAATTGTCAATTGTCAGCCCCAGGTTGTTAAGGCCAAACTCCGCGGCAATTTGAATTGGGCGATTCACTCCCAGGGATATGATACGATCACGGATACGACACCAGACTCTTTTTAGCTCAGACCTGTCCCTTTTGGTCTGTATTAGAGGACAGGAGTATCGATGGACTTTTTGGCTCTTGGCATGTGTAATTGCAATTCTCAACCATTTCGAATTCGTTGTGATTTCCGAATACAAGCTGTAGTACGATAGTAGCAAGGTGACTCGCGAGATGTCCAATGGGCCATCTTCAATGCCACTACGGTAGAGTAGCTTAAAGACTATGTTAGCCGCTGGACCTGATTGACTAGAGGTGAGTTATTAACCTTGGCACTCTGGTATAGTACCTCTCGTCAGATACTAGAGATTCGAAGCCACATTGCTTGGCAATATCGATTTGGTATGACTAGCTGTGTAAGGATAATTAAATGTGACAGCCGGGAATTGAACGCCACTTACACAGCTAGCAGCGAGTAGCATGGATTGGAACAGTAGGAGGGAAACTCCATTTTCATCGGTGTTAGAACACTGATACCTCTTCCAGAAAACAGACTCATCAATCAGAGTTAGACAGGGATGCACATATAAGAAGTAATTATGAACAAGATGTCCATCACATCCTAGCTCGGCACATGCAGGCGTCCTTGGGGTTCAAGAACGGCCAGATTCTCGGGCCGAATTTCTTCAACCCCCGGGCTCGGAGGAAAGTGTAACAGGAAAATGGCAGGAAAATATCGGCAAATATACCTGACCATATATTGATCCGTCAGGTATTTCTGATTCTATTCTAATGCCAGCGGGGCAATATTGGGAGATGGAATGGAGTAAGGAACCCAACTAAATCTCATGTCTCCCCATGCTGTTTTCCAAGAAAGTCTTCAATACATACCTCTCTTAAATAGCCTTTGCGACAAAAAGGTCATGAGTAGCGGGCGAATCGCACGTCGAAGTGTATGCGATACATTCTCTCAGACACTCCCGGAACAGCTTTATTCCCATGCGCTTCCCTGTATTCGACTGCATAGAGCAAGTGGACTCGTCCAAGCGTCAAGTGGTGCATGGAACTCCACTGATAAAGCCATCGTACCTCAGTTTTCGGTTCTGACGGTGTTCACAGGCGCGAGGAGCACGTCTCCTGATTGGTCTAGGGTAATTATCCTCTGCGTACCGCCGACGAGAGTTCCAGCGGGAAGATGGATGTGCCATGATGAGAGCAAGTCTAGTGGGGGAGGAGGATAGATAGAGAGCTCCATCCTATGGTGGAGGCGGGGAAATAAAGTAAATGGGGCCGTGGAGCTCTTTTCCCCGAAATGGGGAGTTGACCGAGGTCGACGGTTATAACAATCACGTCGAGTCAAGCGAATGACTCAGCCAACATCAGGTAGTTGGCATCAGGAGGATTCCCAGCTGAGCCAGATAAGGGGATCATTCTCGGTGGGCTTTGAATGGTATCGAATTTCTCTGTTGTTTCTATAGAATAGTCACCAAGCGGCCTGGAAGATGTAGTCGGAAGGTATTCTAGTGGTGATTAGCATGTCTGCAAAGAGGGGTTCTTGTAGTGACTTCCTAATCAATCCATAATTCCGAGGTAACGGGTTGCCCATAGTGTTAAATGCTTGCTTAGTGGCTGTTACCAGCAGAATTAACATCAAGTGTTTCGGTCAACTAGAAACTCTACCTTCGATACATAGAGTAGGCTAAAACGCAGTCAAAAAGCAAAAATGGTGGAATCTCAAACAGCACTTTAACCCATGAAGAAGATCAGCGATATTGACAGAAGTTTCCAGAAAACGCAAAATCATAGCAAAAATGCGTTCCTTAGCAACTCTCTTAGGTTGGATCAGAGCAACTCTTGGGAGGCAAGGGAATGAAAACCGCCTGCAAACTCAGGATAGAGCTCAAGAAAGTTGCTATCAATCCCCCACGACCGTAGGTCCCGACAGAAATTCTCAAACAAAGAATTGAACCGATAAGTCTGAGATTCTGCGTCGAATGTGAATGCATTTTGGAATGGGAAGGGCCAATAGAACCGATAACAGCGTTGGAAGTCCTTCGCAAATCCTATGTCCACCCCATAGCGCGAGAAGTTTTGCGTCAGTGTCTCGCGTACGAATGGCCTTGGAGCGTTAGCAATATACAGCCAAGAATGGGGGAGTCAAACCATGGAAAGAATTCGATAACCGCATCTTCAGTCGTAGGGTGAGGAGTCCTAAACATTGGTTAGGATGAGACCTCCTTGACGGTGGCTGAACTCACCGTGGCTGAATCCAGTGCGGAAGTCGTCTCCTATTCTCGGCTTTGGGGGATATAAAGTACTGAAGTTCAGCATCAGCAACAAATCCACAATGGCTTCGCAGCTCCATACTTTTAAAAGATGGAAGTTCTTGTACATGATTGCCAGTCGGAGTACCTGACTGGAGTGGGGAAAGAAAGATTGATCAATGTCATGGAGAATCCGGACCAGGGGATTCTCGTATGCAGAGTGACCCAGAGCATGCCAGCCCTCGTTAATAGCTTTTACTATTAGTGATATATCGGCGTTTCCCACTTCTGCAGCACGGATGGGACTGATCCCGTGTATCTGGCCGTAGATGTCAGCCGTCTCTCGAAGGGTTGGCTGGTCCTGAAGGCTAAATCCAAACTGAGATGACTTTAGGGTGTCTGCTAACATGGGTTGATCCCGGCCCCTTTCGCGAGTAAGCGAGGCATTGCGTGTGAGAGATCCTGGATCATTTCGACTGGTTGAAAGCCCTGCGCTATCATCAGTTGAAATATCCAAATCAAATAAGGATAGGCAATTTGATGTTGAACGCCACTCCCTTGTCCAGACATCGACTGTGCTTCGGCCACCTACTTTGACAGCTAGATATAGTTGAAGCACCCGATGGTGCTTCATCAGTAGACACAATAGACTTAACAGCCTCCAACTTTTGTCGCAGTAATTTGTTCTCTTCGCGCAACTGACAGAGTTCCTCATAAACGCCCGCGTTATCTTTTTGGTTTAACTGTTTGTAGTATTCTAGCTCCTGTTCTAGCTGCGCGAATCGGCTCTTGGTCCTTTCCCGGACGGCTTGTTGCGCTTTGCGGTCAATAGCTCGTTTTCGCTCAATGCGCGATCCACTCATTTTCCTTGCATGGATATAGCTGGAATGACAGGGCAGCAGTAAAACCAAGCAATGGTTGTTGAGGTATTCGTGTCGATGGAGGATTATAGCCTTTTTTTGCCGAGCCACCTACGTAGTAGCAGTTCCCCCGCATCCCCATAGTCAGATCTGCATGCATAACGATTCTTCATATGATTGTTATGCTTCACACGAATATTTCACAATGTATTTTCCAACAGTTCCATCATGTCGATGGCTCTTGAAGGCGAACTCAGACATGTACACGGTACTGTGCATTCGCCAGAATTGAGCAACGTCCAATATAGAATTCTATTTTGGGGAAATCACCTTCAGGCACTGGGATGGCGATCCACATAGTCTCTTATCAACATCAGCCCATTGGAATTGCGCGACCTGCCATGCTCTCCGATTCCTCACCAGCAGCTATCTCCAATACAAAGCAGCCACTGATGCAGTAGCATCATGGCTAGCTACCACCACCAAGGGCTGCGGCTACGCAATTGACATGCCGACGATTGGTTCCAGCTTTGCCAAAAGGACCAGCGACGGGCCATCCAAAAGACTCCAAGGCAAATCTAGGAAGCTGGCGAAGGACACCCATCCCGAACATGCTCTAGAATGCCGATAATTTTTGACCGATCGCTTATCAGAGGCCTGGGATTTGGGGTTCTGGGGAAGATAAGAGGCAACATGTTGACCATTACCGCGTCGAATAGGGATGGCCTTGAAGTGCGTTGGCACCTTGACAGGTGGAGTAGCCGCAGCGATATAGTCCACCAACACGACAAATTATTTGACTGCAATTGTGTGTCTGAAGATACTTTTCTGTTTCGACGAAGACTGGGCTGGTATTGATGCACTGGCATGGGGAAACTTGCCCTCACGAGCCGTGGGAGAAGAACCAGCGGATGTGATAAAAAATCTCAAGAACAGATTCGAGGGCCTGGACATTCAGGAGCCCTCCGAATTGTTTCTTCAGGCTCCCAATGTTACACCGACAACGAGCACGGAGGCCAAGTCTGAAGTCAATCACGAAGCTGAGCGCCTACAAGTCTTCGAAGAGGCGTACCTGGGCTCCAACCTCCTGCTTCAAGATTTTCGCAATCTTCTAACGGTCATCCTACGGACCTGGATGGGAGACAAATATGGTATGTTTGACATGGTGGCTGCTTCTCTTGTAACGAACACTGCGATTGAAATTTGCCAGGCGAATGCAGGGGGAAGTACAGAAGCTCTTCGACAACTTGACAAGTACGGGAGGTCCCAGTAGATGCTGGATGCCTTCTATCAGGCTGTCTGTGAGCTGGAGGGTGAGGACTCAACTTTCCGCGAACAGCCCGGCGATGCCATGAACTTCTAATGTAGAGGCCGCCGAGTCGATGCTCCCCCCGACGTTTATACTGCTACACTCGTTCAGTGTTCTTGTCGAGCCTGGGAGTATGTTTCCATACGTGCCCGGTTACTATGGTACTTTTTGATCCTGCGAGCGATCGTTCGAAGAAGAGTGCGAAGAACAAGTTCAGGAAGACAAATCGTGCTATAGAAGATCCTATCGGAATTCCTCACCTTGTACCGAGCGACACCTTCCCAGCCATTCGAAGAGGAGTTCACTCGGTGTCTAAGGATGATGTTCGATACATACAACATCCCCCTTGGCTTGTATTTGCTGCTCAGGTCTTCCTGGATATTCATCGCGTTCTTTGGCGCAATGTGGCGAAGGGCTTCAAAAGTCTCAGCGAAGTCGATCGAAGCTTCCATCAAGGAGAACCTCATTTTATACTCATCTCTTCGGATCTGCAGATGGCCAAAACAAAATAACCAGGCGTTCCGGAACGAGCTGCATCATATCCATCGATGAGTCGACTCGGGCCCCCGAGAATTTGAAAGGAATGGTCGGTGTGAGACGGGACAAGATATTCAATCTCATAAAGTGGCATCCGCTTGTGCGCAAGATTTCAGCTACAACCTCAAGGCTCGGTACCAGGAGCTCAGTCTCTCCTCCCAGGCGGCAAGGGGCTCGGTCATGTACTGTGCCCATTTATACAACGCGATCTGCAACGAGGGGCTGATTCATCCTGAATGGAAAGACATGGAGCTAGTCATGAACCGGTACGGTGAGATCTTCATCCGCGAATCCCCCAGCAAGACTATCTCAAGCGATTCAATCACAGCATGGGCTGGTCCACGGAGTCATATGCACGCAACCGACGCCTCGCAGCCAGACTGCCCGGATCCAAGAATGGGCCTAAAACCATGCAAGCGGTTCATGGACCGCTACTGCCATGGCCAGACAGACAGAGCTAACCGAAGAGGACCTGGGGAAAATCTTCGTTGAGTCTGACTGGGCCCCGTAAACCGAGGACAGCAACAAAGACATCTTCGTCATGTCACGCAGCCAAGCAGCCACCAAAAAGCGGTCGCAGGGCCACTGCAAACTCACAGAGACTGAACTCCGAGAATCTCCGCAATGCCTTGCAGGGCGAGTCGCTGGAATTGAATTTCGATTACTTGATGGTGCACCAAGCCTGCTGAAGACCGCCCCGTCAGGTGCGCGAGATGTGCGATCCGCGTCTGCAGAATATCTTCGGCGCCGACTACCTGGAACAGGAAAGCCAGCTGCCATTCGTTGTGGGATACATCTTCATGGCGGTGACCAATTCTGAAAGACTGGGGAAGGATATTGCAACAAAGGGGACGTTGTTAAGAGTAAGTTGCTGATGTGCGCTGCTGACGCTGTTGGCGATATGATTGAGAAGGGAGGTGGAACCCCTGGTGGTGGAGGTTCTTCGTTTGAAAGGGTATCCGACTCAAATAGTGATTGAAGAGTGATTTCGTTTATCAATCTGGCGTATATCCATTCACTATGGCTACAAATATAAAAGTCTTAGTATCACATCTAACAACTAAAAGATAGAGATCTCTTTTTAGGCTTTACAAATAGAGACAAGCACCTACCGAATCCTGGGTCTCTAGCCTGGTAAAGATGGAAATTTCTGGGGTAAGTATAAGCGACGCTGGAAATGATAAATGTTACACTCCGGATTATTAGATGGCACTACGGAGGTCGATTGCCTCGTGATCAGTTTTCACGAGACATCCAGCTGGGCGAAATCGTCAAGGCAGCATTGGCCTGGGAGGCTTATAGTCCGCATAGGAACCCATGCCGTATGACCAGAGAATGCAGCCAATTATCAAAATAATAGCCATACGATCAACTATATCCAGGCTCAACCAAGAAATAAACTCATATGCTAATGTTACAGACGCCGGATATCAATACATCGGGTCAACCCCCGTAGATCTATGTATCAGGGACATTTTCACTCGGCTTTCCCCTTAACCAGTCACCTTGAAGATAGACTCCGCCAGTCTCTTCACGTTGCCAGTGGTAATACCCGCGACGGAGATACGACCGTCCTTGGTAGCATAGACGGAGTGCTGGAAATAAAGTCAGTGGATCAGTCTCGAGACACTAAAGGGGAAGGGAACACTGCCTACCTCCTTAGCTAAAGTATCCATCTGCTCCGCGTTGAGACCGGTGTAGGCGAACATGCCAATCTATATACAAACTAGATTAGTGGCCGCTCACAGCAATTTGTCACGGGGAAAAATTTTCACCTGGCTAGTGATGTGGGACCAGTTGTGCTTGCTACCCAGCTGCTCCAGGTTCTTCCGGAGCAGAGAACGCATCTCAATGATGCGGTCAGCCATACCTTTGACCTCACCCAGCCACTGCTCGTTGAGATCCGGGTCATTCATGATGGTCGAAGCGACCCGGGCACCATGAATGGGAGGGTTGGAGTAGAAGGGGCGGATAAGGATTTTGACCTGCGACTCCACGCGCTTCTTCTCCTCGGCAGATTCACAGACAAGGGAGAAAGCACCAACACGCTCACCATAGAGACCCTATTATACTACCGCATCAGCTACCAGCACTAACCTTTGAGAAAGAATTCCTTTTATCGGTTTTCCTACCATGTTCTTGGCGAAGCTCTGGCACAGAGCAATGTTGTGACCCTCCTTCACAAAGTGACGGGGCGCGAAGGCATCACGGTCAGCATTACCGCTGGCAAAGCCCTGGTAGGCCATGTCAAAGAAGGCAAAGTGACCCTTCTGCTTCATCACGTCGCTAATCTGGCGCCACTGCTCCTCGGTCGGGTCCACACCAGTAGGGTTGTGGGCGCATGCGTGAAGAAGGATGATACTGTTCTCCGGAGCGGCCTTGATATCGGCAATAAGACCATCGAAGTCGAGACCGATGGTATCCTTGTTATAATAGCGGTACTTCTCAACCTCCAGGCCAGAGTCCTTGAAAACAGCGTTGTGGTTGGCCCAGCTGGGAGTGGGAAGGTAGATCTTCTTCGCATGGGGGTAGAAGCGCTGCAGGAAGGCACCGCCAATTCTCAGAGCACCAGTACCGGAGATACTCTGCGTGATGACGAGACGGTTGTCCTTGATGACTTCGGAGTCCTTTCCGTACGCCAGCTCGGCGGCCGCGCTAGTGAAGGACGGGATACCAGTGATGCCAGCATACTCCTTGTCGAACCGCGAAGCGACCACCTTGTCCTCGGCGGCACGAACGGAGGGCAGGACGTACGGCTTGCCCTTGTCATCCCCTACCCAGTGAATATGCACACGTTAGTTCACTCTGCAAGACGGAAGGGTCATTGCGATGACCGAAGACGGATGCAAATCTGGGGTAGTCGTAAGCTTACGGTAAGCACCCACACCCAAGTTGATCTTCTCCTTGAATGAGTCGGCCTTAAAGGCCTCGGTGATACCCAGGATAGCATCCTAGAAGCGCATTGGGTCAATTTTTGCATGAGAGTGATCGATCTAGAGTTTGTTTACCGGAGGGCCCTGGGGAACATTGGACCAGGCCGAGGCATTTCTGGCGGCAACAACAACGGCGCGCATGCCAGCGTCACGCGAGGCAGCCTTACGGCCGGCAACTCTGAGTGTGGACAACATTGCAAAGGAGGGGGGAGAAAAATGGAAGGGCTGTAGAGGAGAATTTTTGGGGGGAGGGAAAGAGATGTTGGAGAGGAAACAAGGACAGCTGGGAAGAATCGGAGGCGGTATTTTTGACTCATGTGAACTAGGAAGATCCCGGGGAGCGACGGGGGCGATTCGGATTGCCTCCGCATTCAATTTGAATAATTACTACTAACTAGGAAGTACTATGTAATAACTAGAGTATCTAATTAGGTAGTACACTCTAAACAGTAGATCATGAACTCTGGGTAACTTACAGTAAAGAATATTATTTAATCTAGGAATCTATATCCAAAATCACATCCAAATCAAACCAAACAACAATATTCACAACTATAGCAATCCCAGAATCGCACTCAAATACCAACAATCTTGCATCTTCTTTATAGTCCATACTCTCATTCCCAATCGCTTTATGGAGCTATTTCGGTGAGCTGAAAGAGCATCCTGGCCCACTGTGGCCTGAGGCTGTCCCCTCACAGGATTCGGGGTCACGTTAAAGTTTTTTTTACAGGCTTAAAGGATAAGTGTTGCTCTTACCCTTCGACCAGATCTATATTGGAATCCTCCGTGTATGGATAATCAGTGGTCATCGACAGATCTGTTTATGACTAGAACACCACCGCATTTGTAATTTCTGATTCTCTGCTTTACTCATACGTCCCCCAACGCAAAATACGGTCAGTAACAACACGGCCCAACTCCGATCAGTTCCCCTCACGCCAGGTTCCTCAGGTAACCCCGTAGGGAAAAAATCCCCGACATACAAAGCACCTACTCTGTACATACAAACGATACATCTGTACTCCGTGCGGATTGATATACGGCAATCTATACAATGAGAAATTAGCTAGTAAACTACATGCAAGAAACATCCTCTATTGGAAGCAAGCCAATCCCGCACCTATCCCAGTCGAACACCAGCCTGACGGTTCTTCCGCGCCGTCGCCCCCATGGCATTGTTCATACCCGTGTGCTGGCTGCTGTCCAACGCACTCATCGCCTCGCGCTTCTGCTCTTCCTCGATCTTCTTCAGTCGCTTCTCTGTCTTCATCTTGCCACTGCCCTTTCCGTGGAACTGGTGGCTCAGATGCTTGAACGCCTCCTTCTGGCTCATCGCACGGCCATGCTCGTCCACATACTTGAGCTGCACGTCCGGCTTGTACTCCCGGTTGAAAACTTCGGCCATGTGTCGCGCATCTTGCTGGTCACGCTGCTTGTTCTCCCATCGGGCGTGTTCTTCTCGTTCACGAGCCGACATCCGATCGAGCTTGCCTGAGGCACGATCCCGCTCACGTTGCTGGCGCGCTCGCTTTTCGGCCTCCGTTTCCAGGCGCATCTTCTCTTGCAGGAACCGCTCCCGATCACGGATCAGGGAGGTGTGGTCAGCGGCGTCCGTCGATTTGACCAGGCCACGTTGCTTGAGCATAGACAATGTAGCCCCCAGACCTTCATCGAGCGTAGCTTCTTCTTCCAGTCCTGTCCCGCTAATCGGTTGATTCGGCTGCGACTCTTCACGCTTGATACGTTCTTGGAGATCCTCGTCGTCTTCAATATCATTGTATGACCTCTCCATATCCACGTCACCCACGTCATCCTCAGGCTCCTCCTTTACCGCAGATTCTTCCGTAGTCGCGCGTGGCTCGGCTCCCGGTGTTGTTGCGGTGCTCCGTTCCCGCCGTTCGGGGATCGTGGGCTTCTGTAGATTGGAAACAAACTCCGAGGTTTCGTCAATGACCAAACCAGGCTCCTCCTCGTTTTCCCCGGACGGTTCCACCTCCATCGGGGTCTGTGACTCTTCTTCCCGAAATTGTCTGGCAAGATCCTCGGGCCTCATTTTCTGTCTTTTTTTCAATGCAGCACGCCTCTGACGCGTAAGAGATGCTTGTAGATCGTCGTCATCCACAAACGAGACATTTTCACTGGCTGGCTTCCGGGGAGCAGGTGCAGAGACCGATTGCCCATTGCTTGTGTCGACATCCATAGCAGAACCATTCGGCGTCCCCGTCGCCTCAGACGACGGGAAGATATCATCTTCATCAAGAACGGCTCGTTGCTTGGTGGCCTTGGCTTTCTTCTTCTTAGGTTTTTTGACCTTGATCTCGCTCACATCCATGTAATCCGACGTCGGCGTTTCCGCCGCAAAGTTAAGACTGATGATGTTTTTCTTCAACTTGTTCGACACTTCCTGGCGCCTAGCCTCTCGCTCCTCTGCTGTGGATCCTTGAGCATCGAGTGTGAATCGCTTCCGTTTCTTGCCGTCGATTTCTTCATCATATTGTGCTAGTATCCCGGAATTCTCTTCGGTGGGATCGTAGACGGGTTTGCGCTTCTTCAGCTCAAGCTTCTCCGTGGTCTTATCCTTCTCCCTCAGATCGATATTCTCCAGCTCATCTCCATCCTCTTCATTCTCGTCAACTGTTGTATCCTTCAACGTGAGAATATGTTCCGCTCCGTCCTCAAAGTCTCCCACCTCATGTCCGACCTTGATACCAGCCAAATCGGCTGCCGTGTATTCAGCGGCACGTTCGCGTTCCTCAAGCTCTTGGGCGAGTTTGCGCGCACGCTCCTTCTCAATCTTCTTCTGTCGCTTCTTTGACTGCAGTAACCAGGTCTTTGTATCCACCTCCATATCTGCTGATTCGCCTAAGGTCGTACCCTGGAGCTTCATATCCCTCTGTGCCTTGTCACGCGCTTTCTTGATAGCGGCATTTCTCTCCTCTCGTTTCCGTTTTGCTTCGGCTTCATCTTGCATCTTCATCCAGTTGGAGGAAGCCTGCGCCTCACGTGATTCCAAGGTACTTCCCGGCTCTTCATCTTCGGATCCCGAGCTCGAATCCTCGTCGTCGGATTCTTTGAAGGCGAGCCCGGAGGTGGCGTCGACGCCGGGCACGGGGAGGGGTTTCAACCCCAGTGCCACCCGGATTTTGTTGTTCTGTTCGATGGACAGCGCGTCGGCCATATTGGCTACTGGGACGCAGGACAGATACTACGTGTGGCAAGAGACGGAAGAGGATGAGATTAAAAAGCGAAAATGTTGATGCGATAGAGATACTACCAGCCTTAATATCGACCGCCCAGTTAGATTAGGGCGTCTTACCTAATCAGGACCAGCCTCGGTAAGGTTTAGCGCGTCACAATCTTAGCGCGCTCTTGGCGCCGACAATAAAAAGCTCGTTTCTGCGAGAAACTTTTCATCTTTTTTTCTTTTCTCTCTCAGAACGCATACGGATCTGTGTCCAGCGATCCTGATCACGAAACGCTTGTACTCCTCCGGGAAGAAGGCTGTCTTTGTGTATCGGTTGATTACTGGACAGTTCGACGAGTTAAGGAGACACCACTTTTTTCTGCTGGTGTCAATTTCCGGTCGACAGATCTCAGATTAATTGTCGGCGTCAGGTATCACTCTGGTCTTGAGTTCCTTCTTCCTTTCGGGGGATTGGTGAATTCGGCTGGATGGCCTGGTGTCGGCGGCGCCATATTCCTGATCTCTTCACCGATTTGGCCATTGGCTGGTGAGGTTAGAGACTAACCATGGCAAGCCAACATTACTTGATTTAATCCGTAGTTTTTATTATGAAAGAATCATCCGTACTAAATTCACACTACACATCGGTATAGCTTAAATGCTTGAATATGGTTTATATATGTACATGCACATCCGTCCAGCGATCACTTTATATCATCACAGCCCACAACATATTGCCTATGGCATATTACAGCTACAGCAACTTCAAATGCCCTGTAACGCCATCAACCACGCTCTTAGGACCCAGGACACCCAGCACCGTCCGACTGCCACTGGCAATTTGAGTGCGTCCAGCATCCTGTATTACACGCGCACAAAGCCCGAGACTGATAGCCTGCGCCTGTAACAATTGTAATTCCTCCTCCGACTTGACCTGTAGCGCAATCTTCGCTTGACCCTGTCGTTCCCAGCGGCGCAGAATCGGTGAGTTCGGCGTATAGGCAGTGAGGTATTTGTAGCAGGCGAGAGTAGCATGCGAACATTGGGCGGCGATTTTTCCTTTGAATTTGCATTAGCACTCTTACTCTCTTTACAAATCAAATTTAAAATAAAGTGCAAATAGAAGGGGAGAGAGAGAGATAGAAAAACCCACCCTTCGTCATTCCCAAATCCGTCCTAACCACAAGAACCAATTTAACCTCTTCATCATTGTTCTCAAAACTGGCCAATTCACCTCCATCGCCTTCATCTTCCTCCTCGCTATCATCTTCGTCATCGCCCTCCTCGTCGGAGGAATCCTGATGCACTTTCACATCGTAGCTACTCGGCCATCCTTCCTTCTCTCGTGGCGAGAACAGACCCAGTGATGCGCCTTGGCCGAGAAAGTAGCCGGTGATGCCGGCAATAATGGCGGTCGCGACTACATATGCAGTGGTCGAGGGAGGGAGGCGATCCAGCTCGGCCATTTTTTTTTTCTTCCCGGGGGATGAGTGTGAGGGGGTGCTTGCTGGGTGAGAGGCGAGGCTTAGATCTAGAAAGATTTTAGGGCCGGTTGGATGGCCGCGAGTAAGTACCATAGCTTAGTAGGTACGCTCTGCTGTTGACATGGGTGTGTGCTAGCGTCCGGCCTTGTCACATGACACAACCTGCTTTCTAGAGACTATTGTGCGATGTTCATGGTTTCTGGTATCTGTAGATTGGTGGGTTCTTATTGTAAAGGTGGAGAGATTCTAGTGGCTTGGGGAGATGAAGGTTTGGTGTACCGGTTGGGAGTATATTCTCTGTGAATATTGATGGTTATTTAAATTCTAGCACTGCATAGCTTAAGGTGATAGCGATCACATTCTATTTATTTCCCCTCTTCTAATTCAAAGTCCGCAAGTTACGTACTCATTTACAGCTAGACGCAGCGGAATGGGGGACACCAGTCGAGAGGACACTCCCAACTTCGACTCCATTTCCAGACCTCCACATTACTAGGGAAAGGAACGAATGTATGCCATGATTGGACAACCAAGATAGAGCTAAATCCATTCTCTCCTAGATACTCCCAATCATTATATATACACCCCTTACCATGTTAAGTCGAAAGGTATTATCGACCATCCCTATGAGCAGTGATTCTAATTAGAGCGAGCAGTTGGGGCTTGCGCTGGGGCACCCGGGTTCCCAAGTCGACGGCTCCTAAATGAGAAGTCAGTTAACGAAGGCAACAAACTCATCGAGTAAAACTTACATCATGCTCCTGCTGAAAAAGCTGATAAGAATCATGAAAAGCCAGCTGGGGATAGCACCAAAGCCGTAGATGACGTAGCCCACAGGGACAAGGAGTCCCGCCCGCGCGAGCCAGCCATCCGTGGGGTGGAAAGCGCCCTCGTAAGCAGGCTTGTTTTCATACGTCTTCTTCGAGTGGATTTCGTAGATCGTTTCGGGGGTCACGGTAGTTGAGTTCAGGTACACAGTGTGGAGGGCAGTGGCAGGACGTTCCTCGCGATTCTGAGCCTGAGGGACCTGGAGATGCCAAATCGATGGAGCGCCAGCGGACCAGACAGAGCAAAGTATCTGGTTCGATTCACAGTCCACGCGACCCAGATTGGGGGAGGTCGGATCGGCAGAAAACAAGAGAACGGATTCCTAAAGTGGACGGGATATAATTAGCTAATATGGCCCTGCGTCTGCCCCTGTATAGCAACCCATACATTGAAAGACTTGTCGGCCTGGCCACAGCGTCCGAAGCATGTCTTGTTTCCACCAGTAATGTAGACAAGCCAGTTCCTCGGTTTCGAAGAGGGTTCCAGAATGGACTGCCAGTTGCTTAGGTTGAAGTCGGTAACGGTCTTCGCCTGGATCTTCTTCTGCTCAACCACCTTCTCAACTGCGGGAATCACGGGAGTGGCAGTTGGCAGGTAGGACTTGGCCTTGTTGAACCAACCCTGAACGCGGCTCCCAAGGGGAACCTGTTCTTGCGCTGCAGCCAACGCTGGGAGGACGGGAAGAAGCTGGATGAAGCGCATGGTGCTAATAGCAGAAATGACGAGGTCAGCGATAGGGGAACACGAGACAGCTACGGTGGATGGGGGATATCGAAGAAACAAACCTGAGCTGATTATAGATGATGAGAGGCGCACTTTGGAAGAAACGTAGACGGTTCAGGAGGCCAAAGTACGGACAGCAGGCAGCGAGGAAGACGAGCACCTGGGTTGTGGTCAAGAGAGGTGAAACAGGCACGATAGACGTGAGTAAGTGGCACGGTCGACAGGTGGCCTAACTGTAATGGGAAGGCGAATCAGCTTGCCGTCGGTAGCGGGGAATCCGAAGCCCATGGAACTCGTCAGGGTCCTATAGAATTTCTACCAACTTGTTTAGCGTTTCAGGGAAATGACCGGTTCTATCTGGAGAAGGGTTTTTGGCCTATTATTTTGCTCTTTTATTTGGTGTACGCGGCTGTGGGCCAAAAAACTGCGTGTGGTGTTCGCACCCACATTTGATGTTGATAGTTATCACCAGATTCTTAGGTAACTAATAGATCGGGCTGACGCGATAAACGTGTTATGATCAGTATGCATCAACGACTGTGAACGCTGGCTACCTCTACATGGGGTCTATAAAGCTTTGACTGAGGATGTTGGCTAAATACAGAACACACTTATCCATAGATAAACACAAAATGGCTGAAAGTTTCGAACCCAATTTAAAATCCATGCATAGTAAATACTTAAGATTCCAATAACTATAGAATTATCGTCCTGCCACGCTAAGTATTAAATACTACTTGCTATGGGCGCTCCCAGTCCTCGTGGTTTCCTGCGCTTCCATAACACCTTCCTTATATGGTGCACTTCTTTTTTCCTATAGCGCGGTTGTGATGGTGTCTAGATATTCTTCACATCGGTTTAACATGTAAAATACGTGGTCAATTTATACTTGTCCAAATATCTGCTACTAAAACCTTATCTTACAGGCAGCCCGGTTGGACTGCTGGTATTCATTGCCGTCAAAGATACCTTCGTTCGCAAGCAGGGACGATGCGGTCACCTCGAGCCTACCCCTTTCACATGATGGCTGTGATGGCTGTAATAGCAGCCCTAATAGGCCACAGTCTCGGTTTCGTCATAAACAACAGTAGTAGGGGCTATTTGGAACGAAATGAACTTGTAAAATGGGACTAACGTACGAAACCGAAGCAGACTGGCTAAACATTTCTACTTCCAATTTCAATGCATCCAAGCCTCTACACCTTGAATCTCCTCCAGGAGATTTCCCCATTTGTACCGATACTAAGGGAGAGTTCGCACCTTTCTGCCTCCCACAAAATGGAACAGATGTCATCGTGGATGCGACGTACTATGTGACCTGGAACGCCGATTTCTACCCTCTGAATGCTACGATTACTATAGAGTTGAGGTTTTCGGATTCGACCGCAGGGGATTCAGCCTTTACGTCAGAAAAGACTGGTAATAGCTACGGATATATTCCCTTACATATGCGCGAAGATTGGCTCCAGGGAAAGTCACAGAATGAGTTGACCCTTTACATCATCGAACTTGACCTTAAATCGGATAGGCGAGCCAATGCTCAGCAAGGGCCGACAGTCACGCTGCGGCGTAAACCCGTCGAACACCATAAGCCATCTCCTCAATTACCGTTCAACAGACTAGCACTCTATATCGGGCTCCCAGTGAGTCTCGCCGTGGTAATTGCCGTCGTCGCCGGTTTATTTTTCGGTATGCAAGAACGGAGAAAGATTGGACTGGGAAATGTCATGGGCTCCCGAGGTTCTGGATATGGGGTTGGAAAGTCCAGGGATCAGCGCCTGCGGCATAACAAGAAAGAGCTGAGGAGGGTTGATGGTATGTTGCCCCAGAAAGAGCTTGTAGATGATGTTAATTCGGCTTCAGAAGACATCAGCGAATCGGCCTTGTATAATGACCTCGAACGCACAGCAAGCTATGTATTTAACCGGGACGATTCGAAGCTTAAGAGTTGGAAATTTTGAGGGAATTTTTGCTCTCAATTGACGGCCTGACGAGACCAGACTATTCTTTTTTACCCATTGGCATAGTGTTTTCCTCCTATACGGGGTTCAACATTCACAGGTGCATTAGTACTTCTCCACAATGGACCCGAAACGATAACGAGCTTATTGCATTAGCTTTTTTTGTTAAAAAAAAAATAATAATAATAATTCATGTTGAACTGGTGAACTGTACTGGCTAAATGGCGGTGTCTTATAAAGATAGTCCTGGCATCTAGAGAGTAGCACGAGTAAATTATCCAACCAACGAGAGCATAAAGAAACACAATTATCAGCAGAGTCGGGTAGCCCCATACCAAGCATATCCACGGCGGTGTCGGAGGAATGACGTTTGTAGAAAAACCAACAGATATCGAAGGAAGGTATTATCCATCAAATAGATATATTCTAGAGCAATAGTGAGTTATAATTTATAGAATGATAGCCTATGTACAGAGTCCTTTTTAAATTTTAAATTTTTTTTTTTTTTTTCTGCTCCTCATTTTTTGCTGGCTGTTTCTATCCACATATCGGAGGCTGTTTACAATCACTCTGCCGATGTCGGTTCCGAATCGAGAGCCAGCCCCCTTATTATTAAGTCGAGAAAACCATCCCACAGGAGCACACTAAAACATATTTAGTCTAACGGGTGGAAATATGCATAAGCAAAAGTATAAGACATGCCTTTGCCCAGAGAATTATGAACTCTAAAGTTTTTAAGAAGCGGAAACCAATCCACCAGTGGCAAACTCAGGGGATGCGCAACTCTCGGGTGATTGGGAAGAATCAGAAGTATCAAGAGCCAGCTAGTTATCTCAGCCGAGTAGTAACGGGTATTACTACTACGACGACTAAACCGCATCGAGACTGGGGAAGATCCTCAAGATGAGCAATTGGGTCTCCCGGATGCGCTGTGGCTTCCACCGGTTCCCCACAAAGAGGACCGTTCGGCGTGTGAAATTTTCTTCATTGCCGCTAGCAAGCATGGAGACTGGGTCAGTAGCGCTAAAGTCCGCTCTTTTAAACCCCACCCATTTGTCGCCTATGACTCTTCCCTGTTTCTCTAACTACTCGACGTACAGTACCTCATACAAGAGCAACGTACAGAATTTCAGTCGGTGACTCATTGTCAGTATTCCCCTTATAATTTTTGGCTTTTCCCCGACGACTCTGCACCTCTCCCATCCCTTTTTACTACCGTCCAATATCTACTGTCTAACTCCAGCACCCTCTATACACCCGCTTTCTCAATTCTAACTCACTCTCCCAGTCTACCCCACCAAATTGTCATTCTTCTACAATGTGTCCCGGTGCAGACAACGAGCCCAATGGGCCCCCTGGCGGTGCCAATGGCCAGGCCAATGGTACAGACACATCATACTCTGTTGTCCCTGCATGATGCGACGGCTAACTCTTCCCCGAAGGAGAACACCCCGGTTTCACTGCCGTCGAGACCCGCCAGAACCCTCACCCCTCCCTTTCTCGTAACCCTTACGGCCACAACGTCGGTGTAACCGACTTCCTGAGCAATGTCTCACGATTCAAGATTATCGAGAGTACCCTTCGCGAGGGTGAGCAATTCGCCAACGCTTTCTTTGATACCCAGAAGAAGATCGAAATCGCGAAGGCTCTGGATGACTTTGGTGTTGACTACGTGAGTCATACCTGCGAAATACCATTGGAGATCGAGGAGAACACATGTTGACCAGTATTTAGATCGAACTTACCAGCCCCTGTGCCTCGGAGCAATCGCGACAAGACTGTGAGGCTATCTGCAAGCTCGGTCTCAAGGCCAAGGTATGTTGAGTCCAATAATACGATATGATGGACTGCTTAGATCCTAACTTCTTGGAAGATCCTGACTCACATTCGGTGTCACATGGATGATGCCCGGGTGGCCGTCGAGACCGGTGTCGATGGAGTGTGAGTGGATCGGATTGGATCGTTCAATATATAGGTATACTAATCAGTGTGCCAGTGATGTTGTCATCGGAACGTCGTCCTACCTCCGGGAGCACTCTCACGGCAAGGATATGACCTATATCAAGAACACTGCTATCGAAGTTATCGAATTTGTCAAGTCCAAGGGTATCGAGATCCGATTCTCTAGTGAGGACTCTTTCCGCTCGGACCTGGTTGACCTGCTTTCTATCTACTCCGCCGTCGACAAGGTTGGTGTGAACCGTGTCGGTATCGCTGATACTGTTGGTTGTGCTTCTCCTCGCCAGGTCTACGAGCTTGTCCGTGTCTTGAGAGGTGTTGTGGGATGTGATATCGAGACTCACTTCCACAACGACACCGGTTGTGCCATTGCCAACGCCTACTGCGCCTTGGAGGCTGGTGCCACTCACGTTGATACCTCCGTCCTCGGTATTGGCGAGCGTAACGGTATCACACCTCTGGGTGGTCTCATGGCTCGTATGATGGTTGCCGATCGCGATTACGTCAAGAGCAAGTATAAGCTGGAAAAGCTCAAGGACATTGAGGATCTCGTGGCCGAGGCTGTTGAGGTCAACATTCCCTTCAACAACTACATCACGGGTTTCTGCGCCTTCACCCACAAGGCCGGTATTCACGCCAAAGCCATTCTCAACAACCCCAGCACCTACGAAATCATCAACCCTGCCGATTTCGGCATGACCAGATACGTTCACTTCGCTTCTCGTTTAACTGGATGGAACGCTATCAAGTCTCGTGCTCAGCAGCTCAAACTTGAGATGTCCGACAACCAGTACAAGGAATGCACGGCCAAGATTAAGGCTCTTGCTGACATCCGACCCATCGCTGTCGACGACGCCGACAGTATCATCCGTGCTTACTATCGTAACCTCAAGTCCGGAGAGGACAAACCCCTTCTCGATCTGACAGCCGACGAGCAGGCTCAGTTTGCTGCCAAGGAGAGGGAATTGGCTGCTCAAGTAGCAAACGGCATTCCCGCCTAAATAAGACTTTTCTTCTTCGTTTTATTCTCTCTAAAATCTCGCAACCCGTCTCTAATTTCCTCAACGCGTTGGAATATGCTATTGGATTGAAACTGTCGAATTTTCTTCTTTTTCTAGAGCTTTCTTTGCTTATCCCTCCACTTCTCCCAAGGGAGACCTTTTTTATGATCTGGTGTTATTTATATTTCCGGGGATTCCTGATTTATTCGGTGTTTTAAAAGCATTCTTTTCCCATGAATGAAAAATTAAAAGGACGGAAATATTGGTGTTAGTCTTATAGAAGAACCTTGTATATAAACAAGCCATAGTGGTTCGTTGTCCAACAGCCCACCGAATGCAGAAATGTAGTAGTTTTTCAGGCCCGTACAGACCTGCTGATCTAGAACGATGCCCACCCCAGATTTGCCTGGATCCCAACAGGTTTGTTGTTGCGACGCAGTCATGCGAGGTTACATGTGGGAACCGAGGCAGCTGCTTTTTAGTCATTTCCTGGAACATCCGAGCTTCCCACCTTCTCCTCTTCTCCTCCGTTTTTGAATCGTCATTCTTTCTAGAGGACCTCGACTTCCGCCCGTTTCCCCTGAGTGCGTCCCAAGTCAATATGGCTTCATCGGTTCTCCCGGTTGCCCTGCAGAATAAGCTGCTCGGCTACCGTAGAACCCCAAATGCGCAACTGGCGGCCCTAAATTTGGATCTGTAGGTCTCCGCCTCTGCACCCCATTCCTAATCCATCGTGCACCGTTTGGATACTGGTTCCTGTTCCTTAACATTGGATCGCAGGTTCCGGAATATTATATTTATTCTCTTCGTCTTTCGCTGGGTTCGCAAGGTGTTCTATGCCGTACGGGGATACGGCTTTTTCGGCAGCATCAGCAATGTTTATACCGCCGTCCGTCTTTTCTTTTACTCCATCTTCCTCCGCATTCCTGGTGTCCGTAGTAAGGTCGACAAGCAGGTCTCAACAGCCATTGAAAGCATGGAGTCAAAGCTCGTTGCGAGTGGCCCTAGCGTCACGAGGTATCTGGAACTCCCGAAGGAAGGATGGACTGCTGAACAGATTCGGGCCGAGCTCGATAAGCTAGTGAATATGGAACATACCCGATGGGAAGATGGTCGTGTCAGTGGCGCTGTGTATCATGGTGGAAAGGATCTTCTGAAGCTGCAGGCCGAAGCCTTTGAGAATTTTGGTGTCTCGAATCCGATCCACCCCGACGTTTTCCCTGGCGTCCGGAAGATGGAAGCTGAAGTTGTGGCCATGGTACGTAAGTCCATTTAGTTGGGAATAATGGGCTAATAAGTTGAAATTAGGTTCTTGCTTTGTTCAATGGTCCCTCAGATGGCGCGGGTGTGACTACGAGCGGTGGTTCTGAATCTATCCTGATGGCCTGTTTAGGAGCCCGACAAAAGGCCTATGCGCAACGTGGGGTAACAGAGCCGGAGATGTGAGTCTGCATAAATGTGTAGCGTATCATCGATGGGCTATACTAACTCGTGTCAAAGGATCATTCCCGATACGGCTCATGCTGCTTTTATCAAGGCTTCCAATTATTTTGGAATCAAGCTGCATCGTGTGCCTTGCCCCGCTCCCGACTATAAGGTCCATATTCCTTCCGTGCGCCGGTTGATTAATTCCAACACTATCCTTCTGGTCGGCTCCGCACCAAACTTCCCTCATGGAATTGTGGACGACATCCCTGCCTTGTCTCGGCTGGCGACATTGTACAAGATTCCTCTTCACGTTGATTGCTGCTTGGGCTCTTTCGTCATTGCATTCCTGAAGAAGGCAGGATTTCCCTCCCCATATGAAGAAGAGGGTGGGTTCGATTTCCGTCTCCCTGGTGTGACTAGCATTAGCGTGGACACGCACAAATACGGATTTGCCCCTAAGGGCAACTCTGTTTTGCTCTATAGAAACAAGGCCTACCGCAGCCATCAATATTTCATCTACCCAGATTGGTCTGGCGGCGTCTATGCATCCCCGTCTGTGGCAGGGTCCCGCCCCGGTGCATTGGTTGCGGGTTGCTGGGCCAGTTTGATGAACGTTGGAGAAGCTGGATATATCAACAGCTGCCTTGAGATCATTGGCGCCGCGAGGAAATTTGAGACTTCAATTAAGGAGCACCCCCTTCTGTCGAAAAATCTTCAAGTTGTCGGGAAACCCATGGTCAGCGTTGTTGCATTTGAGAGCACGAATGCTGCCGTTTACATTTACGATGTGGCTGATGCTTTGTCTGCGAAGGGATGGCACCTCAATGCTCTCCAGTCGCCTGCAGCCATGCATGTAGCCTTCACTATTCCTACTGCCTCTGCAGTTGACAAGCTGACTACGGACCTCATTGAGGTTGTTGAGAAAGAGCTGGAGAAGGCCGAGGAGAGGAGGCGGCAAGGCAAGTCGTATGTCATCAAGCGTGGCGACACAGCCGCCCTCTACGGCGTGGCTGGTAGCATGCCGGATAAGAGTATCGTTAGCCGTTTGGCAGAAGGCTTCCTTGACACTCTGTACAAAGCGTAGATGGATCCTTTCCGGTCAAAATAATTCTATTGTTAATACATTTTTAAAAAAGGGCTGTTCATATGGGACTCATCCTGGACTAATCCTCCATAACATAGTCGGTATAATGGTGTTTCTGGAGTCATAGCATTGCTGTGTATTGCCACTGCTGATCAATTTGATCGGGTTATATATATTCTGAATCAATTACAATATATTTCCAATCCCGATTTAATGGTAACATAGTATGTATAGTACAAGAAGTCGTCACAAGACTCAGCCGTTTCGATGGAGCCGGAATAATAGCCATTTTGGCACCAGACAATATAAACGAAAAGCAACAAGCAAAAGGGGAAAAAAGGAACAAATCGCTTCATGCATGCAACAAAAGAAACCCACTTCCTTATTGTCCCCGACTCTCTTTCCACTCTGCCCCTGACGTCTTCTCGACATAATATCCGGGGTCCGGCTTCCGCTCAAGGTGCACCTCTTGCTTCGTTAACCGTCTGTCCACCTCTTTTACCTCAACCAGTTCCTTGACCTTCATGATCTGACCTGCAACCGATGACGATACGGGGTGGAAGACGGTGGCCATGCGCTTCTTAAGCCCCAGGGCTTTGAGGATGTCTGTCGTTCTCCGGGGCAGACCGATGGCGGACCGCACCAAGGTGATTCGGAAGTAGCTCATTTTGTTCATAGAATTGAGATGGAATATATTTCGGGAGTTCGTATCGAAGCCAGTTGCTTTGTATTGGACCTTTTCTTTTTGAGGTCTCAAGAGTCCTGGATTCTTGTTTTCCAACTCGAGGAAGAAATTGCGGGTCGGTTGAGGATGGTAAAGTGGGAGGGAGGGGTATTTCGCTTCTCTGAAATAAATAATTTGCTGCGGTCTTGTTTCCTAAGATGCAAGATCAATTGATCTGCAAAAGATATGAGCCTGGAGACTGTAGATGCACCAGATCATTCGTGAAGAGCGCGAGAATTTTGGCTCCCAAGTCGGTCGGGCGGGGAGTCACGTGTACAGTATTCTGCCGGAGCCATGAGAGCGGAACAGCTGGGGGGAATGCACAGCAGCTTGACGGTTGACAACGACACGAATGTCTGGCTGAAAGGAGCTTGGATATCAGGCTACTGCGTTCCTGTGGCGCCCTTTTTTTCTAGCGGCACACTCCCTAGCATAGAAACGCCGTGCGTTTCAATGAGGTGATTGATTCGTATATCCTGATACCTGTTCATCTCGCGATTCCTCTACCTCCGGTCACGCTTATCGATTGATGCCTCGCGTCTGATTTATCATCCTCTGGTCCCTCCGTGATCTAGACACTGTCCTACCTACGCAGAATACATCTGTTGTTTCTAAATCTGTTGCAATGGCACGAAGAGAAGATCCCGACGCAACCGTGGCTATGCCCCGGTTAGAGGACATTCTACGTCATCCGGAGGATCTCGATAAAATTCCTGGGCTGAAATCGGAATATCTACGCAAGAAGGCGGCCGTTGATTCACAGCTTCGAGAGGGCCTTAGGAGTCAACTGGAGACGGTGCAACGCAGCATCAACGCTCTGACGGAAGGCCAGCGTCAGGTTTCAAAGACCAAGGATGAGCTCCAGGGGATCGACAAATTGTGCGCCGAGTCGCAAACTAGCGTCGATGACTTTTCACAGATCGACAAATTAGCCAAGATCCAGCGGAATTTCGACGCGATCTTGACGATGAAAAAGGGCCTGGAGAGCTTTAGTGCGGATTTGGCCGAGGTAGAGACTCTCTTGAGAGATGATGATGACGATCTAGAGAACCAGCCAAATTTGTTGCGTGCTCACATGCTGATCTCCCGTCTGAGGGATTTCCGTGACGAGGCGATGGATCAGATACGGAAGACCCAAGATGGGAGCAGCGAGGCCACGCTGGAGGACTACTTCCAAGGTCTAGATCCCGTCGTTGATTGGTTTGATGATCACCTGGGGACTGCCTGTATGAATCTCATCCCGCTTGTGCAGTCGGATAACTCAAGTATGGTTGTGCGACTTGCTGTGGTCGTAATGCATGAAGAGAAGAACGATGAGGCAGTGCGTGCTTTGCAGGAGGCTCAGAGGGATCACCAGGACCTGGCGGGTCGGTTCAAATCTATGACTGTCGGCCCCAAAACGGTCAGAGGCTACAAAGAGAAATTCTTGCAGGCGGTTGAATTCTACGCACAGAATCAGTTTGAAAATACAAGGGAAGATTTCCTGGGCGACCCTGACAATCTGGAGAAGAGCTTCCGGTGGTTCTTCAACGACCTCTACACCGTACAGCAAGGCATGCAGTCGCTGATGCCGAAAAAGTGGAAGATTTATAAAACATACACCGATATTTACCATCGGATGATGCACGATTTCCTTGTTGGTCTAATCAATGATCCGGAGCTGCCTCCTGATAACTTGCTGGCGATCATCCATTGGACCGAGAAATACTACAAGAAGATGAACAAGCTTGGATGGAAGCAGACGGATCTGCTGCCAAACGTCCTGGACGACCGGGAACCTGAGCTTGTCCGACAGTGGCAGAACGTTATCATCAACGCCGTCGAGGAATGGATGGACCGAATCACCGAGACGGACAGGAAAGCTCTGGTGGAGAAGATCCCTGACTCCCTGGACACCAACCCAGAGGGCTTCTTTCGCACAAAGACCCTTCCTGACATGTGGCGCATGATTCGCGAGCAAATTGTCGCATCTGGTGCCTCCGCCCGTACCGACGTTGTGGAGGGCATCATCGATGCCATGTTCCGTGTGCTGAAGGCCCGCCAGACCAACTGGCAGACGCTCATTGATGAGGAGTGCACTAAATACAAGGGCCCCGGTGGCGACCAACTTGAAGGTCTCCAGCAGTTGCAAGATTGGCTTGTCGCCATAGCCAATGACCAGATCGCCTGCATTGACGACAATGATGAGGCTGGCCAGATAGGATACCTATCGCGGTTCAAATGCGACCTAGAACCAATAGTCGACCCGAAATACATGGCCGCGCGAGCCATTCCCGAATTGGACTCCCTTCGCGATGGCTATGTGGATCTGAGCACCTATTGTCTCTCTCAGTTCGTGGAACTGATCTTCGCCGTCGACTTCCGCGCCACAATTCCGGACTTCTTCACTCAAAAGTGGTATGGCAACTTCGCCATCAAACAGATCACCTCCACCTTCGAAGACTACATGGCCGACTACAGCCCTCTCCTCCACCCGTCTCTGACCGACATCCTGATCGAAGAACTCTCCGACGAACTCCTCGTCCGATACCTATCGTCCGTCCGCAACCGTGGCGTCAAATTCCGTCGGCACGTCGACCCCTACACCGACAAGTTCAAAGACGACGTTCTCACCGTCTTCGCGTTCTTCCAGAAATACCCGGACTCGTTCGCCGGCACCATCAAGGAAAAATGGCGACTGGTGGATTGGCTGGTCCGTCTATTGGAAGCCGAGAAAGGTCCCCCGATCGTGACGGTCTACGAAAACTTCAAGACAGAGTATTGGGATCTACAGCTGTCGTGGGTGGAAGCGGTGTTACGCACGCGCGACGACTTTGAGAGAAGTATGGGTAGCGCTCTCAAGGCCAAGGCCGCCGAGTTGTCGGTAGAAAGAGGAGTGGAGACTATCATGAGCCGGTTGCGATAGAACTGTATTGATTTTTGGTATTTAAGCGAGGCGTTGGGAGTATACACAGGATATGCACTGTATGGTATAGCCCGTACGGGAATCTATTGGAATATAACAACCTTCTAGATCATTAAGACAGAAATCCGAACCGGACGGCAATTACTTCCCGGACAGAGATGTGTCGATCCCTTGTCCGATGCTGTCTATTTGTTCCTCCAATGTAAAATGTTGTACGGGGAAGCGTCTATTTACGTAGTTTCTTTTTGGGGATGTGTGTAGGTTGATGTCAAAGTTAATATTTAGTGCCTGTTTGGTTGGGTTGGGTGCTATACATGTATGCGGCTTTTCTATGTTTGGTCTGGAATTGTGAAAAAAAAGTTGATAACCAAAACTATCCACTACATCCCTTGATTGTAATCTATCTACAGGCGTGAAGGCATCAAAATTGTCGTATTAAATTGGTCATCCCCTGGAAAAATCAAACTGGTGGAATACAAAGAGGTTGAAAATCCAACCTCCGCGTTGCAACTACTCTATACTTCTCCTGCAGGCGAGCATTGAGCCCATCCTCGTCAGCAGCTTCCGGTTCGAGTTTTTTGGCGCCCATCTCGCAGATGCAAACAGATTCGAGGGGAAAACCCTTAGCCCAAATGAATGGGTTTTCAGAACTGGCGCTGTTGTCGGGGAAGCTGTACTCTTTCTCGGATCTGTCTTCGCTACTATCGCTGTCGTCGGCGGGTACAGCGATGGCAGGTGATCGTGGCATCGTCCTGGCACTGTCGACATAGTAATCCCTGAAGTGGGTAAGCATGTCCCGCGCGTCAAACGAGTACTGATTCTTGCGATGCGAGCCGCTTGCACCACCTCCCCGAGATCGCCCTTTGATGTAGATTGTATTGACCACCGTGGCATGCAACAGAAGAGGTCGGTGCTTCGGCTTGTTAGGCGGTGCTGTGGTTCCGGACCGGGGTATTGGTTGTGCGGTGTCTTCAGGGATGGTTGTGCTTGCTTGGGTATACGTAGTAGGTTCCGGGGGGGGGTCCTTTTTATATTCAATCTTCAGGAAGCCAGCTTCCGCGAACTTATCTCGAAGTATCTCGCAGAATGGATACAGCCGAGACGTCGAGTCGACAGGCGCCGCATGCAGCACAGTCGCGGACCGTGCCCGAGGAAGAGCATGTAGGGACTCCAGGGAGATTGTGAACGGATCCGGAGCGGGTTCATCCTGCTGCCCAGCTTGGACCAGGGGGGACGTTGGTTTTCCCTTCGTGCATGAGCGAGCAATTGACTCCGCTTCGCGCATTAAGGAGACCAGATCGAGCGACTGCAGGAATCGGATCGCACCGTCGAGTCGCTCCTGACTGGCAAGACTCATCACCCCCAACGTCAGATGGAGAGTGCCGATAGGACGAACAGCGCCATGGGGAATCAGAGGTCGTGGTTCCTGCCAAGGGGCGGTTTGATCTGGACGTGTGGGAGGAATGGCGTCTTTGAACGCTGCGAACGAGGACTCGAATTGAGGGAGGGAGATCGAGTTCACCAGTGGTAGACAGAGGAAGTGTGTGAGCGGTGGTCTTTTCTCCTTTGGCTGGGACGGTCCAGGATTCTTCTTTTTCTGGGGCATGACCCAGTGGCTGGGGTAGCGGCGAACTGTAGGATATAGGTATCGGACTAGTCTGAGGGGAAGCAGAGGTCTGCGAGAGATCATCTACAGTGGGAAGGGAATATATAGAAATCATTAAAAAGAAAATGAATGAATGAATGGCCAAGTCAAATAAATAGTCCAAAAGAAGGATGAATCTGACATGTGGAGAACGATGGTGTCTCCGAAAAGAGCTATGACTATGAATGATGGCGATGATAGATGATGTGATGGATTCCTCCACTTCGGCTCTTCCTCTCTCTATTCTCCCCTTCGCATCCACCTCAATCTCTCACTTAATCCCACATTCGCTCTTCTCTACAGATTCATCATTGATTGAACATATTCTTGATTTCCGTTTCGTTTCTTCTCCCACTATGCTCTCTCGCGTCCCTCGCGCTCTCCCCTCCGCCATTCGCCCATCTCTCCGCATCGGCCGGATCGCAGTCGCAGTTGCAGCTCCCACAGCGCTCCATTTCCCCCTTCAATCGATCCCAGTGATTCATCGCGGATTCCACGAGACCTCTCCCATACGCAAGGGTCTCTATCCCGACTCGTCCGATCCGCCAGCCCCGTCGCCGCAATCGAATAACGTCGCCGGTGCCGCTGCCCACGTCACCGAGCCGTCACCATTGACCGATGCGCAGTACCATGAGTACGCCGAACACTATCTAAATGTGCTCCAGACAGAGCTGGAAAATGCCCAGGAGGAGGGGTCGGATATGGAGGCAGAATATAGCGTGAGTTTTCTCTGCTCTCGCCGTTGCTAGCTTTTAAAGCTCTCGGACGGAGAGCTTTCTCTATCTGTTCCTTTTTTTCACCCTCGAGGGTATTTAGCTAAAGTGCATATAAACTGTCTGTATACAGGCCGGTGTCTTGAACATCTCCGTCCCAGCAGTGGGAACCTATGTCCTGAACAAACAACCCCCCAACAAGCAGATCTGGCTCAGTTCTCCCATTTCCGGCCCCAAACGATTCGACTGGGTGGTTGAAGGCGACCAGATGCATGAAAAGCAAGATACGCGACCGTTTGTGAACGGACAATGGATCTACCTTCGCGATGGTTCGAACCTGACTGACCTGTTGAACTCGGAATTGACCCTCAGCATTCCGAAGGATATTTACAGTGCCATTCAGTGATTGGATATTGGAATCGCTGGAATGAAATCTATGTAATGGAGATTGATGTCAAGATAGTAAGATATTGGAACTTCTTATTCTTTATTTGCTAAGATCAAGTCTTTGATTGCTGGCAAGAGTTTATATATAAATTTCGGCACCATATACTTCACTACCTGGTTGCGCAGATATAATAAAATCAAACGTTGCAATTTCCCTGGTTTTTCCCTTCGTCTCTCAAAAGATCTTTCCACTATGACATATACTCACTTTCCAACCCCAAAACACCCAGACACGTCCTCGTGCCTAGTAGCTCTTGCGTCGCGATGGGAATCAAATTCACTCATCTGACGGTATACCCCTTTGTATCAAGGCCTCGCCACACAACTGTCGCATTCAACTGGGCGTATAACCCAGCCATGCCTGCTCTGCCGTTCAATACTGGACTAGACCCAGCTTCCACTGACCCCTCGTCCCTAGCAGGGGAGGTACGTGGGTAGTGATACACACGTCCTGCATTCGACAGTTGGGTGATCCACTAAAAATCTTTCTGTACCAGCCCATCAAACTAGCGATCTGCTTCTTAAACGAAGGTGGTAGTCGTCCCGAGACAAAGTCAAAATCTCCTTCGTAATCACACCCATATCCCATGGAACTCTGACCTCCTTGTAGATATACTTAATCCGTCCCTTACGCTTGCACGGCGACCGCACTAGACTTGTCTTTATTATCATCCTGGACAAGGTCCGCCTATTCAACGTTAGAACAGCTAGGATGCAAGGCACTACCCAAGAGGGAGAAAGGAGAAGGCCTACCGCATCGAAAATCACCCGGATCATCAAACTGCAACTGGGACACACGGCGATCTCCTCGCCGTCGCGAAGGTCGTCGATGGCGATCTCGAATCGGTCGCCACATGGACAAGGGTAGTGGTAGATTTGCATGGCCGGGTCGAAGGTCATGTCTTCGATTTCGATCTCATCGTAGATGGAGAGGGTGTCGTCGGCCATTTTGATTGACTTGATTTGGGTTGGTTTAGATCGCTTTCGTTTGTTCTGGTATGCAGTCGTGGATTATTCTTGGGATCTAGATTATCGGAAAACTTTTGGGCTAAGGTCAGGTGACTGCGGGTGAGATTGGTTCCATTCATACTATTGTAATTATGATTATCACCAAAATAAGGTAATCCACATCAACGATTCAGCCTCTGAATCTCTGATCTTACGTCCTCCATCTCCTGGATCAGAGTCCCGTAACGCCGTGCAATCTCCTTCATCTGTCCCGATCCCACAGCTCTACTCCGGCTCGTGGTTCCAGCGCCCTCACTATCCACCTCCTCATAAGCTTTCAGTTTTTCTCGCGCAGCTGCGTGACGCTCTTCCCACCGTTCTCGAGTATCTCGTAGATGCTGCTGGTATCGACCGAGCGCAGCAACGGTTTCCGGTGTATAGATGGTAGCCGACACGTCCAGTTTCATCACCCTGTAAATTGAAGTAAATCACATCAGCTCAATCCATCCCATCAAGTTCAACCAGCCAAACATACTTTAGCTTCCCCTCCACTCCCTGCGCCACCATGGCTAAATGTTCCGCTTTCGCCTTCGTAGCTCTAGCCAGTGCTCCGTGTTTCGCACGTTCTAGCAGCACCACGGTCCGTTCCATCACCGCCGCTCGCGCCGCTTGAACCTTCGCGGCCATCACTGCCATCCGTGCTCGAGCTGTCGGGAGCTCCGACAGCTGTATCTGACGCAGACGATGCATTCGCTCATACAGCTGCGAGGAGAGAGGTACGGATTTGGCCAGCGACTGACTAGCCCGAGGCCGCGGTCGAGTGGACTCGGGGGGTTGTTGTGCGGTGATCGAACGGTTTCCGGCATTCGCGATCATTCGGAGATCATGGAGGGCTGTCGACAATGCATTGGAAAAATGTGGCATGATGGTAGGGAGGTTGGAGTAGAAGGTATTAATGTCTGGGGTGAGGAGTGTCGGCGCATCGACCCCATCGCGAGGATCGGTCCCAAGGTCTAGCTGGTCGGGAGACGATTCCAAATATAGAGAGATGATGGCTACCAGGTCACGTTTCTATTATTATTCCATGTATATATATGGTCAGTTTGAAAAAAGAAAAGATAGCTGTTCGTTATCATGGTGTCTGTTTCTTACCTCATCTGGCAATCCACTGTCTGGGTCAAATGCTAGCTTGAACATCGTTTGCTTCTTGATTTGTTTCTTTGCATAGCGGATTCGACAGTTTTTTAAGTCCTAGTAACATGGATGGCATGTTGGACGATTACTCTTTTTTTTTTTTTTTTTTGGCATGTCTTCGGTTTCTTGACATGGACGCACCTCGAGGATGGTTTTCCGGTCTGGTAGTGCATCGTTGGCAAGTGTTGACCCATCCTGATTGAGCAAAGCAGTGGTCAGATGCTGATGCAGTCTCTTAAACTGGGGATTACTTTCCAAAATGACGGGATCGCATGGGGGTATCATTGTTTTTAAGGCCGGAAGAGGAGGAATGTTGTTGAATCCAAAATGTTTCCGATGGCTTTTGGTTGCGTCACCGCCGATGTATCTCTCCACTTGACCCGTAAATCATACTAGAACTACATAGCTTACGTGTATCATGATGTCTACAAGGCCAGATCTATATCAAACGCTAAAAGTACAAAGCGTCGGCCTGTGCGCTTCCATTTTCACATTTCTTTCGTAATCATACAAGCACTTAGCACTATCACAGCCCTCTTTCCAGCCGCCAAAAACCATGTCGGCACAACCTCACCACCGCAAAGGAGTTGCATAACTGCTAGTTCTGGGGGGTATTGTAGCCGCCCGCCCAGATAGGTCTCGCTAGATACCTTACCCCAGACGCCTCGTTGCACGGAAGGCAAACAACGCATTGGAGCCTTCTCGGGCCTCCCCAGATATCAGACCTCAGTCCTCCGTCTGTCATTCTAGGCACCGTGTGTCCCTGTAAACAAAGGGGAAAGGAAATGGGGAAATAAAGCAAACAGACAAGAGACAAAACGGGCAACTAGCCATGCACAGATCATGCCAACGTCTAATGGCATTGACACAGGCATCTCGCGAGGATCCGAAAACGCTGTTGCGGATGGACCGTAGGAGACACAGGCAGAACATTGAGAACTCGAGAGGATACAGGCTATGTACAGCAAACACCAGCGCCTGATACGTAGACCAGACTATCTTCCAACACCGTAACGTTCGCTAAAGGGAGAGGAAAGGAAAAGAGAAAAAGAGTACAAAAAAAATAGAAATGAAGAGATCCTCGTGGGATAGCATCAGTTAACAGTAATAACCCCATTAAATATGTGATGTAGCAATGTGAGCACAAGGAACACCTCCCAAGCGTGTAGAACTTCATGTAATCCTGAGATCCAGATAATGTGGCCGAAAGTTTTTTTTCGCACAACCCAATCCGGTCAGAATTACTCCTCCTCACTCTCCTCGGAATCATCCTCGGAGTCATCACTACTATCATTGGCTTCAACTGAAAGCATTGGATCCGGCGAGCGACCACTGCCACCCTGAAAGCGAGACAAGTTGCTCTCTAGCATGTTGATCTGAGCTTCCTGCTCGTACTTACTCATGGGCTTGTTCTTCTTTGGTTTTGGGGCAGCCGGCTGGTTGGCAGTAGGAGTTGCCACATCTTCATCTTCCATGACATGGGGCGCATTCTTCTTCACGAATTTGAGGAGCATAAGAAGAACATCGTTGGGCAGTTCATCGATATCAAGCTCAATCTCCGTCTCTTGTGTACCCTGTTTGATGGTTAGTTTGAGGAGCTCACAATGCCAGCCCTGTAGTAAACATGAAGCAAACGTACCTTGAGAGAAGGAACATTGCTCTGGATGATCTTGAGCGCCTCCTGCATCTTCTTGTCGGGAAGGCTACTAATTCCATTGGATATGATCTGCTTCTCGTGGTACGTAACCCAGCGCTGCTTTTCATGCTTGGATGGCTTCGAACTGCTTTTCTTGTCCTTCTTAGGAGGATTTACGGCCCCGCTCTTCTTGCCATCCTTCTTCCCGGGCTTCGACTTTCCAACTTTCTTGGATCCCGGTGGGGTCTTCTTCTTCTTCTGCGTGATAGCTTCCACTTGACGGGACATCTCTGCAATCTGCTTCTTCAGCATGCCCAGCTTTTCGTCGTCAGACTCGCTCTCCTCGGCTTCCTCTTCGCTCTCCTCGGAAGATTCTGCTGCGCTGTGCTGTTCCGGGTGCGGTTCATGGGCCTCCAAATAACGGGCCTTCTGTGCCCACTTGGAATTGAAGACTTCCTCGAATTTCTGCCCCGCCACATATGTCGGGTCACCAACGATATTGAACTTGAAACAATTCTTGAAGATCTGACGTATGTCAAGCTCAACCTCCTTGGCGTTTTCATATTGGCCAGTCTTCAGTTTGGACTGCACTGTCGACAGGTCCATCGGTTTCTTGATAATGCTATGGTAGGTGGGGATGTTCAGCGCGACCGGGTCCACGGGGTAGTAAAATGGTGCCGCATAGTTGAAGTGCTTCGGCTTATGGAGATCATCTAACAGCTCTTGACAGAACTTCAGTTCCCACTGATACTTCTTCTTTTTCGGCTTCGTGGAGTAAGGAAGATCCCGCTTGGGAGGGTGAATAGAGCGCTTCGGCCGTCCGTCCGCGTTGGTGGAATCCCGACGAATAAGCGGCAAACCCTCGGGCCCCAGAGCGAAGGTGGTTGCCTGAGGCGAACTGCCAGGCGCACGTGCTGCGTTCTGGCCGGTGCTGGTCCTTGGCTCCCGACGTGCTGCTGACGTCTTTTGGGAGACCTTCTTTGGTTTCTTCTCCTCGACTTCATCGGGCTTGGGTAGGTTGACCATCTGTTTCTCAAAGGTAGCTTTGAGCTTCTGGCCCTCCTGCGCCACAATATGATCAGGTCCGTTGAACGTCAACGAGTTTTGAACCATTAGCTGGAAGTCATCCACAACACCCTGGGCTGACTTGTACTTGTTATTTTTCAAGTTGCTTTCGATGGTTCCGAGATCCATCGGTTGCTTAATGATTTGGGGATAGTGGGGAATGTTCATCTTGATCGGATCAACCGGTTCGCGGTAGAAGCGCGAGTCATTCATACGCTTGAGACTCTGGATGCCTTTGAGGAGGAACTTGTGCTGAACTTTGGTAAGGCCAGCACCCCCATCCGCCACCCCTTGGGTTGACCTTTCGGTAGTGGGAGTAGGTAACTCTGGAGCCTTGAGCTCAACCGGCGCCGACCCATCGCCCTCAACCTTGGTGCGTTTAGCAGCTGGTTCATCAGCTGGATCAGGCTCACGTTCCCGTGACATTTTGGTTGGAGACGCTGGAACTTCTGGTGCATCTTTCATCTCCTGGTCAACTGTCTGCAGAGGTGGCACCGACGGCGCACCACTGGCGGCGTCGCTACTGGACGCACTGTCAGGTTTGGAGACAGTATGCGGGTGGTGAGGGAGTTCTGTTTTCACCGAGGCAGGTTCTTGTATCTGCTGAGTAGCTCCTTCCCCAGTAGCACCGGGCGAGGGCTCGGATGGCTGCATTGGGACATCCTGCGACGCTTGCGCATCTTTCGGATTAGACTGTCCTGTGTCCGTGCCGTCGGCAGACTCTTGCGCGGTCGGCTCACCGGCAGGAGGATGGCCTTCGACTATTTCTCCGTTGGCTTCATCGGTCGCAGCAGAATCCATATTCGTAGGTTTAGCTGCTTCGGATGGTACGTTTTGTTGCGTGGACTCAGCAGGGATAGGAGCTGGTGACTTTGGTGAGGCAGCGGTATCAGCATCGGTGGCGATATTCTGATCCGCACCATGACCATTCACTGTGGTAAGCTTTGTCGCTGTCGGCTCCCCTGTCCCATTGACTGACGCATCTGGTTTGGCAGCGGTAACATCACCTTGCGCACTGCAGGCAACAAACCGGATCAGTGACCAAGCACTACACGGAATAGCTCAGACGAGATGGAAGGATACGTACTCTTTGGGACCAACGCCAACGGAAGAAATTCCATTTGGCGACGGCGGCAGTTGAGGCTTCTCCTCCTTTAGAACAGAAGGGGCCTCTGGAGGCGGCGTCGCCATGAGGTCGTGGGGTTTTTAAGCCCTCCTTGGGGACCGAAATACAAATTTCTAACAAGCAGCGAAGCAGGTGGCAGCTGGTCTGAGTTATCGGATGAGAGTATTAAAAAGCGACAACAAAAATAAACTGAAAAGAGTATTCTCTGCGCTATCACAGACTAAAATGAATCGATTTGGTAACCGTCGAGCAGCAATATCAAAAACTCTCCCTGATTAGATGACAGAAGTAACAACAGAAACGCTGTTGTCTTGGCAGTCACAAACGAAGCGACACCGCGATGTTAGAAGATACAGGAAAGATGAGAATTGGCGCGGGTCGGAAGTGGAGAATGCGACAGAAAGAAGCAGGAATTTATATTGCCAAGAGGCGGTGGCCTGTGTGGTCACGTGAGTATGTTGGTGACTAAGCGGGAGGCAAACTGGCGCAGCGATGGACGCCAGCAAAAGTAGGATGGGAAAGAAAGAAAGATGAAGAGGAAAATCAGGTGATCGGGCAGGGAAGGAAGCTGCCAGAATTTCGCACGTGCCAATATGCGGTGCCTGAGGCCAGAGAAACCAATTTAAGCTTCGGGTATTTGAAGAGAGAAGGCCCGAATAAAAAGGGTATGAAAAAAGCGCAGCTGCAGTAGTGGCTGGGATGGGCAATTTTAAGAGCGCGACGCGAAGTGAGACGCGTGAATCCAAGGTCCCAGGGGTGATGTCGGGCAACAGGACAAGGGCGGTCAAAGAGGGAAAGGGGGTAAAAAGAGAAAGCGTGACCCAGCGCGCAAGCTCTCAGCTCAGCTCCAGAAGCAGAGTCTGAGGAAATCGGGGGGGTGCTAGAATCCTTAAGTACGAACGGCCGCGTCGCGCTCGTCCGCCCTCTGCCGCTAACTCCATCGGCCGCGCTAATCCCAATCATTCTAGTTCAAGCCATTTAGCAGCTGTTGATTGGTCCAGCGATGACGCGTTCTACCAGATATTGGATGTGATTGGTCTGTTGTTTCCATGGTGCGGATACATTGGTACCAAAAATCTTTGGTCGGGAACATCTTTGAAAATACAAGCCAAAAGAGCTCTCATCTTCGCTGGTGAAGACAACAAGACTTTACAAAAAAAATATAAAAAAAAAAAGGAAAGCCCTTCTGTTCTAAGGAACAACCCCACCATTTAGCAGTGGGTCTGCAGAAGAGTCTAGCATCCATTGTTGTGAAACGTTAGGTGAGATCAGATATGACATACCAAGAATTATTATTATTATTATTATTTGTTAGCATTCATGGCCGTCGATAAAGACGAATGTATCATTGGTTTGATTGCTGCTTCCGGTCCAGGATGTGGTGATCTGCTGACCAGCGGAAACCCCGGGGTTCAAGCCCTGAGCCCTCTCCTTGTATCGTAATAGGACTAGCGCCTATTACCCACCGTCCAGTCCAACGCGTCCAGCTTTTGCTACAATGCCAAGAGCATCTATCTAAATCAGTAAGTAGGTAAACAGAAGGGTCCAATCTCATGGAGCTTTGGAAGACGGATCTTAGGTATAGCTGTTTATATCGCTATTCACCATATTCTATACTGGCTCAACAATAAGACTTCTACTACAGACTAACCCATCCTAGCATCTAAAGAAAATAAAAGGTGCCGCCTGTCGCGTGCCTGGTCTATTATTCTCGGCAATTATATATATATATAGACACTATTCAGTACTGTGATGCTGTTCCGGCGCAACGACGTGTCTCGGCCACTTTATAGCTCTTCACCTGACTGTGAAACGAAATACGCTCTGTTGAATTAGCATGCATCACGAGTATATTGATACAAAACAAATAACTATAGAGTCATCCTATAATATTAAAGTTGTACAAGGGTCAATAATCTGTTAGGAGACCTCGTAATGACCCTGGCCGTTGTTGCGAGCCTCTCCAGGGTTGAACTGATAGGAAGAACAAGGCAGACCAGTATTGTACATAATATTTCACCCATTGCAACTTGGGATAGAAACAAGCCAATGGAATCATTTGTACCTAGATACGCCGCGATAGAGCCCGGTCTACAGCTCCAATAGTCTATTGGAAATGCGACAGAATATCACAGCGACTCTGCAAATTGAGTTAAGCACAACACATCCATCACGCACTGGAAGTACGAAGCATCTATCTGGTCAATATAATAAAATAGAAAACCGAAGGAGAAGTGAACGTTGGAAATCGAGGCGATTAGATAAGACGCCCGGAGCGGAACTTTACAGGCGGCTAGGCCCAAACGGGCCAAGTGCATCTGCCGACTCTACAGAACTTTTTTTTCAACTCCGCCCAGACAACAGCGACAGTCTGCAGCTCAACTTGATCCTAGCTCCCAGTTGTCGCTCCTAGTCGAAGCGGGACTAGATTTTCTTTGTCACGGGGCACCGTCCTCCTTCTCACAAATATCCCTTTAATCTGTACGTTTTCGTCCGCAATCTCCGTCGAAAATGGGAAAGAAAGCGTCTCGTCCGCCCGCATCGAAAACTTCCGCGGCATCGCTCGCAGTATCAGGCCTCTCATACTCCGGGAATCAGTCGTCGATTCTAAAGGCGTCGTTTGCGCCGTCTGACTATCAGCTGGCGCTTTTTGCCTCTGTCATTCAGGGTCTCGAGGGCCAACATCTTCGAATTCATGATACGAACACCGGTCGGTTACAGTGTGAGCATGTTTTGGCCCCTCGTGAGACGGTGACTTCTCTGGATTGGGGCTACTTTCCGAGCAAGCAGAGGGATCAGTCAAAGAAGAAGAGGAAGCGTCATTCCGATGTCAATGGCCCCCCCGATGGGCTCGATCATGGGGATGTAGTCGTTGCTTTCGGCACAAGTGCCTCGGACATCCGAATGTATTCCCCAGCAGAAGACAAGGTTATTGGTACTTTGATGGGTGCACATGAAGAGGGAATCAAGGATTTTAAGTTTACATTAAATCGGCCTGGTCAAGAAGGATGGAGTATCGGTTGTGATAACAAACTTGTGCAGTGGGATTTGCGCACCGGGAAGACCACGAAGTGAGTTTCCCTTCATCCTCCTGCTTCCCGGCCCGGTAATCGACGCCTTCTAACAAATTGCGCAGAATGATCCACCTGTCTTCATCAGTGCTCTCGAGCCTTTCGCGCCCACTTCCTTCAAACCCACCTATTATCTGTGCATCCCAGAAGCCATATATTGTCGACGTTGAAAATGATGTATCTCCTATTGCGTTCTCGGACATGCGGAACCCTATCCAACACATTCTTGCCTCCTCAACACAATCTGCAGCTACAGGATTGTTCCTTGCTTCCGATAATGACCGTTTTATAAATGTCTACGATGTCCAGAGCCAGAAACTTGTCATGAACCTCGTCGCCGACAAAGAAGTATCTTCACTGTCCTTGTATACTGCTACAGGAAATGAATCTGGTGATGAGCTGTCTTTGGAGAAACAAGTCCTTGCGGCTGTGACCGATGACGGGACAATTGAACTCTTCACGAGACCGTTTGTTAAGCCAAATGAGTTGCTAGGTTCCAAGAGCTTAAAGGCGAAGCGTCAGCATGCGACCAAGAGATCCGATTCTTCCATCAAAATCACTCGGTCTGAGGCCTCTAATACCCTGGCGACTGTAGTCACGGTAGAATTCCAGGGTCCTGAACTGATTATCGCTTGTGCCGAGGGAGGTGTCGTTCCAGTTTTTGAGCGGGTCCGGTGGCTCAATGAAGATACGGATGAGCTGGCATTCACCGGCACAAAGACAATTACGAAGACGAAGTCGGGTTCAGCTCTAGGATCAGTGACTGCCAACGGGAGAAAGAACGTCAGTGAAACGTACGTCGACGAGTCCAGGGCTGTGGTAGAACAAGGAAATTTTGCAGAGGATGATGTGGAAATGGAGGACTCTAAAGAGAACGCTGTCTCCATTGCCGATAACGAGGAAGATGATTCAGACGACGAGCCGCAAACCGAACAATCAAAGGAAAAACCACAGAAAGAGAAGGAGGCCGACGGTGACGTTGAAATGGGCCATGTGGACGAGTCGGATCAGGGAGACGAAGAGGATGAAGAAACAGGCGAGCCATCTTTCGGCGAGCTTATGCGGGCCCACACCTCGGGAGAAATTGATGTTGAAGCCGAGCTTGAGGATGGCGTGCGCATTGGATCCCTTGTTCCCGGCAAACCCAGCACAGCTGTTCAGCCGATTCCCTCTGGGGTCTCGCTGTCGACGGTTCTTACGCAGTCTCTCAAGACAAACGACACCGACATGCTGGAGTCATGCTTCCACACCGGCGAGATTTCAGTGATCCGAACAACCATCCAACGACTCGAGCCGTCGCTCGCGGCCACTCTCCTTCAGAAGTTGGCCGAGCGTCTGTCTGCTCGTCCCGGCCGATATGGACACCTCTTGGTGTGGGTGCAATGGACGTGTGTGGCCCACGGAGGAGCGCTCGCCGGCAAACCGGATCTTCTGAAGCGTATGTCATCCCTTTTCAAGGTCATGGACCAGCGGTCATCGAGCCTCTCCTCATTGCTCCTGCTCAAGGGCAAGCTTGACATGCTGGATGCGCAGTTGGGACTGCGACAGTCCATCCGCAGCAGGGCGGAGGACATGGACAGCGAAGACGAGGAGGACATAATTTATGTTGAGGGTCAAGAGGAGGAGGAAGACAGCGACGCCGACACGAAGCTCACCGCCACGCCACGCACCAAGTTGATCCGCGGTCAGACGTTCGACGAGGACGAGTCCATGGTGAACGGCGTGCAGTCGGGCATTGACGAGTCGGACGACGAGGAAGACGTCGGCAGCGAAGACGAGGACGACGAGAACCAGGACGTGTTTGACGTTGAAGCCGAGGAATCCGCGGGCTCTTCCGACGCCGAAGAATCCCCCGAAGAAGACGAGGACGAGGACGACGAAGATGCCGACAGCGCCGGGTCAATGGCCGATTTCATCGCCGACACCGAAGACGACGTGTCAGAGGTCGAGGGACCATCGGTATCTCAACCGCCGCCACCGAAGAAGGCCAAGTTGAGTGGAGGAAAGGGGAAGAACAAAGCCAGGAAATAGAGTAGAAATGTTTATACCCTGATGATCTTCGCTTGGGTGATTCTTTTATTCTTTCTCCCCTTATCTTTATTCGTCTTCTCCACAAAAAGTAACGAAAAAATATCCATTATTTGTTTTGTATTCTTTCTGTGTATGTATGTGTGTATGTGTGTGTGTATGTGTGTATGTGTGTGTGTGTGTGTGTGTGTGTGTGTTAACTGTGCCGGTGTTTTCCCCTCTAGAATTGGGATTTTGGCCTTATCTCTCATAACACTACTACTACTACTACTCATTGTCTTATATTGCATCTACCTATTTTGAGCTGCTATTTGTTTTATAGGTAGTTTATCCCATGAATGAAACCAATCATCACGATATCTGTTCTCCATCCCGACATGCAGCACCCTGCAAGATACGATGATCCGGTCACCGGCCTTCAGCAATGGAATCTCCACGGCTACTGTCTCCTCATCGGATGGATACTCTGTCGAATGTCCATTGCTTCGACCCGGTGTATCCAAAACCAATACTTTCCTCCTCGGATCCAAGCCTCGTCATTGGAACGGGGAAGTGTGATATGCGCTAACCCCGATATAAATACCGCCCATCTAGAGGGGGATCAGTCATGCTGTGAACCTCGGAGGTGGGGAAGGACAGGAAAAAAAAGAAATAAGAAAAGAAAAGATGGATGAAGGCTTACTGTATCGTGGGTGCATTGTGTAGCCCGTTATCAATCCTAGGGCCAATGACCATGTAAGAGCTGTTCCCTGTGATAGGACCGAGGACTTGCAGTTGGTTTTGTTCGGTACCCCGTTGAGTGGAGGATGCGAAGTCTGTCTCGAGGGCCTAGCATTCTAGAGTGGATTTGTTATTTTGAGTATCGATCACGGTGACGTTGGAGTTTGTGGTGGGGGCCAGAGGAGCACCGGTGAGGAATCGGAAAGAGACCATGGTTGGTGTCGATGGATGGATAGATGAACAAGGATGGTGGTAGTGAGGGAGTTGAAGAAGCAACCTAGAGGAATCTATTGCAGCCGGAGAATTACGCCCTACGCAACTATTGTGAATCCGGTTTCTTGGTCCTGCAGAGGCGATCCCGGCTGGTCAGAAGTACGGTGGTATACATACTCTGTACGCATGTTGTCCAGGCTGTTGGCACTGAAAACTAGAAAGACCAATTACTGCCACCGAACTTGGGCTTAAGCATATCTATACCAATGATGATAGAGGATAGTATTCCAACTAATAATACCTCAGTCAGCGGATGATTTCGTTCCCTGGCTTCTCCAACCCTTCAAGTCCCTCGAGAATCCCATTACCTCCGTAGGGGCTTGAGACCGCTGCTTTGTTTCTCCTCGTGTTGCTCCATACTTCATGGAATTTGACACTCTCATCACTAGACGCCACGATGATGCATCCTTCCTCCATAGTACGCGAGCACCATAATCCTCCCTCCTTCGCCCGGGGTCGCATAGTTGCCCGTTGGCTGCTCCGCGGACAGTGTACACTTCGTCCTCTTCGGTTCAACCGGCCCTGCATTTTCGACGCCGAAAAGCCTTCGGGGCATTCGAACCCACTACCGGGATAAGTCGGGGGCCTGCCAGGATAGCTGACTGCGCAGAGGGCCCTCCCACAGTCGCCAAAGGAGTGGTTCTCTGGACCATCCCAGCTACTGCCATACGGGCCCCAGGGGACTGCAGCGATTTGTTCACAGCTTGGCCATGCAAAGACGGCAATTCGGAACGGATGCTCGGGCTGTGCAAATCCAAAAGTCGCCGCAATCTCTCGACGGGTCCTGCTCCAGATCAGGCTAGTCACCTGAGCATAGACACTAATCGTAGCTAGACATGCGCCAGAAGGAGTGTGGTAGAAATGGATGGCTCGATCATTCGAGCCACCGCCGGTAGCCAGGAGGGATGGCTGCCAGGGGGCAAACGCAATCGCCTTGACAGCCGCTGAATGGATCAATTTGTGCTTCTGCCGATTGGGCGGCACCAGCGTTGTGCGGTCGCCCCCAGAAACAAGGGAGCCGGTGAAGCTGAGGAGAGACGTTGACAAGGGCTCAGTGCGGTAACGGTTCCAGGACGGAAACAGGTGGCTGACGAAGCGATACCTGCCCAAAATCTGTCGACTGGTCCTTGCGGAGAATGAAGAAAACACATTTGTGCCTTGCGCGTCTGTTGACGGACAACAACCCTCGACGATCCCCAGCTCGTGTGCCGGAATGATCTCATGGAGTTCAAAGATTAGACATGCATTGTCATTACCTCCGGTTGCCATATAGTTCCCATCCGGTGACCAGGTGATGCCACAGACCTGCTGCGAATGAGCTGTTATTTTCGCAAGCAAGGTCATGCTCCCTTGCCAATCGTACTCGTTCCGGGTGCTTTCATCAGCCCATTCCACGGAATAATACCAGATAGTGCCAGAGTCATCGCCCACCGCGAGATCTTCCGTGTCTATCTCAACGTTCCCAAATCGCTCCGACAGTCTGCGTGACTTTGTCTGTTTGAAGGCCACGCATGTGATGGTCTCTGGGTGGCTAACCTCAAATCTAACCTCGGAGTCAAATGTACTCCATAGACATAATGTACCCGAATGTCGAGCAACGGCCAAAATACTCTTCCCACCGTTTTCCGATGAAAATGCTAAAGAAGTCACGTAGTTTGAAGAGTGTTGGTCACGAAGGGGTGGATATTGAACACCAAAAAGTTCAGACCAAAGGTAGACACGGTGGCCAAGGCCAACAGCGAGCACTCCGGCAGTGGGTGAATACGCCAATGTGGAGCAATAGAAATCATCACGAAGGAGAGGTGCATCGAGGATCCGGAACGGACGGGTCGGAACCATCCTTGTATGTTGTTCTCTTGACGCTTCTGTCGTCCCTGAATCCCCGATCTGTTAGCCTCCATCACAGCCTGGGGGCTTGATATACAATGCACACGCAAGCTTCGTATAGTGATGGGATACATGTTCGTGAGTGGTATTAAAACGGAGGAACTCCGTGTATATTCACATTCATCACAGATAGTACATGACCTGGTGGTACAAAATAGCTATCAATGTTTTTTTTTTTTTGTTGGGGGTAGTTATTCGGAACCTACAATTGTCCCTCTCAGCTTTCTTCCAAGCATTGTCTTTCCAAACCAACGGGGAGGAGCGCTCGTAATCACGAGTTGACGGATCGGGCGTCGACTCGAGCAAAGGCCAGCGCTTGCATTGTTTGAGTAATCTTGCTGCTGGGTCGATATCTAGTGCCAGGGCTACTCTTGACTCGTGTTTTTTTTGGTCCTCGGTGGAGGTGACTTGGGGTAAAAATTTCGCAGTGTACGTAGGAGCAGTTGTTCCGCTGGCAATGGGGGCCCCAGCATCGTCAATCACTGCCATGGGTCGCCGTCCGAGTGCAGCAGATGTTCCGCCGACATGCCATACAGCTCCATCGCTTATCTGCCTGGGGGAAACCCTGGACCTGTGGCTTCCAGATGCTGTAGTAGCCGAATCACTGACAAGATGGGGGCCATAATGAGTGCTATTGAAACGGCTGGAAACAACACGAAGGGTCCTTGTAAATCTCCTGATGCGACCCGGCATAAATGGGTCCTCCCTTGGTGAACGGTGCCGTAGAAACTTCTCATCCGGGGACAATTCTTGGGGACGCTTGCCAACACGGAAAAGTGTAGACGGCGAGTTGATAAATTCGCGATCGGGTATGAATCTGTCTAATAAGACAGGGCTCTTTGGATCCTCACCAATCGCGCCGGAGACTGTATATCTTCTCTCTCTGATTCGCCTTTTGGCATTTGAGGCAGGCAGAACAGGACGAACAAGGGGAGTTGGGGATGGTTGTGCGTCGCTATTGGTCGGTTCTTTATTGCTTGCTGCTGGGGCCACGAGAATGGATCCGAAGTCCTTCGCCTTGTCTATAGAAGGAAAGTATGTGCTTTGGCCATATTTGGAGGTTGACTCGGATCGTGAAAGGGGAGGCGGAGTAATAGCAAGATCGATCGAGGCCTCAGACTCGTCGTCTTGAGAAACGCTAGTCACGAGCTCAGGAGTTGGTAAGCTATCAGCTGAGGAGGAATCGGATCTCTGCAATCGATGGTATTTTGAGGATACCATCACTATAGTGGCAATTTCAAGCTCCTGGTGTTGAATGAGACAATGAATGTAGTAGTGTAACAAACAGAATCAATCTATGGTCAGCTCTGGAGTGTCCCAGAGGCAAAGAGAAGGAACATTAAATGCTAACTGATAAACGTCAGGCCTTAACGGGCCACAAGAGTAAAGCTACTGGAAACAACACGATGCATGGCTCAGCCCTGTGATCAATCTGGTGGACTGAAAGGGAAGAGAAAGTCGTGGTTGCAATGTATAGACTGGCTGCACGTGACAGTGCCCGATCTGGAAAGTGGCAGCGGCTTCAATTCAGTTTCACTTGCGGAGGCAACGAACGGTCTTTCCTGCGCTTCCACCGTCGAACCATTTGGGAGTCGCGAGAGTGGCGCGGCATCTCCACATTGAGCCGATATGAGTGTATCTTCTGTTCCGATCCCCTCGCGTATGCTCGACTCCCTAACTAACGGTTGGGTTGGTAGCATGGAATTCCCCGCTACAGCTCCAAAGAGCGCAACAAGGAATCTCACCAGCAAGAACTTCGTAAAATCGAAACTTATCGAGAGCTGGATCAATTAGTTCGTGGGAAGGTAAATCTCTCTCCGAAGGGGATTCAGTTGGTCTCAATTCTGACCGGGCCCAGATTGCGGAGCATGAGTATACCCTAGAAACGCTGCAGAAAATATCCGAATTACTTGGCAGGAACCCGGAGTACTATACCGTATGGAACTATCGACGTCAGGTTCTACGGCATGAATTCTCGCGAGCACTGTCCAATGACTCGGAGGAATCTGCGGCTGACCAGATAACTGCATGGATCAAGAAGGATTTGCAGTTCTTGATCCCGCTTTTGCGCAGCTTCCCCAAATGCTACTGGATCTGGAATTACCGCTTATGGCTTCTTGATGAAGCTAGGCGCCTGCTTCCGCTCCCAGTTGTCCGTAGACTATGGGAAGAAGAGCTTGCCCTGCTGGTAAAATGCTGAGTTTGGACAGCCGGAATTTCCATGGCTGGGGGTACCGGCATTTTGTGGTGGAAACTCTCGAGCATTTAACTTCGAAAGAGACTGGCAAGGCGAGCAGGACCCAAGAAGAGTTCGAGTATGCCAAGAAGATGATCGGTGCGAATCTTTCGAACTTCTCGGCGTGGCACTATCGAACGAAACTCATCCAGCGCTTATTAAACGAGCAATCGGCTACCGATGACGAGCGACGAAAGATGCTCGATGACGGTAACTATAACCACTACCCCCTCTTTTCCCCGTATATTATTGCGCGTTACGCAGTGTGGGAAACAAGAGTGATCTCTGACTTTCGAATGGCCTTGTAGAGCTCGAACTCATTCATCGCGCCCTGTGTGACCCGTACGACCAGTCTTTGTGGTTCTATCACCAAAATCTGATGTGCACTTTTGTCCCTACCCTTTGCGAGCAAACCATGGCTCCCAATCTAAGTAACCCTGAACGGCTGGACTATCTGCGACGGGAGATTGACAAGATTCAAGATATGCTGGATGGGGCGGAAGATTGCAAGTACATCTACCAAGCGTTGATTGACTGCACCCTGTTAGCGGCGAAGGTGGAGGGCAGCATGAGCAGTGGCGACCAGAAGAAGATCCTAGGCTGGTTGTCCGAACTGAAGCAGCTGGATCCGCTGCGACGTGGACGATGGTTAGATTTCGAACGATCCCTCTGCAGCTGAAGGGGCATCCCTTGCCTCGATGCATGTAGGTATTGACGATGGGACTGGACAGTGGATCTACGCCATCTACTTATATAGAAGTGATGTATAAAGATGACGACGATGACGAGGACTGGAGAAGGCGTGGATTCCAGCAAGGTATTTCTTCAATAGTTATGATTTACTGGAGAACCGTGGAAGGGGAATTGAATGTACAATCTGGCGGCGTTTCAGAATAACAAGTGGCCTCAGGAATGTCGATCCCGACCGGGGAATCAAGGCAACTTCTGTAGAATCCATCAGCGTCGTGCATTTATCTTCATCATCATCTATCTATGAAGCGACGAACTCCAACTTTTTTTTTTCTCAATAGTACGAAGTAAACCGCAAGTATATCCCGTCATCGTATTAGGACCCCCTAAACTCGGCAACGACCGCCAAGCTTTGGCTCCGCCATCTTTCTTGCTTTTCTCCTTCCAACGTTCCTTCGATCGTTTGTTTCTCTTTGGACCCTAATCTAGGTTGACTGAACGGCCGCTACAGGGACACTTGCAGACGGGCCTCTTTCTCTGGGCTGATTTGAAATTCTTTCACCCTTTCCTTTCCCCGTCTAGTCAGCCCATTCCACTGGTGGCCTTGGGCCCATTCCATCCAACCTCCCCCTTCAACCATCCATCCAGTCATCCTTAATCGCTCTACACCCTGGTGGCTGCTTCTGATTTATTATTTTTCTTTCCACCTTCCCCTTTGTCCTGACTATGGCCTACCTATTCTTGTAACCGCACGCTCTTGACTGAACTTGTGTGCCGTCTCCTGTGTTTTGATCTCCTGAACGAATTCCTGTTGGCGTTCCTGAACTCAATATTTGTCCGAACTGCCCCCTGGGGGTCAGATCCAACATGTCCTCTTCTAGACGAAATAGCAGAGACTACGAAGGGGTGAGAACCCACGGCTACTCGTGATTCTTAGCACTGTCTGACCGGACTTTGGGACTGTAGGATTCCTTCGATGATGCCCCCGAAGCGCCGAACACTCACAGCAGCCTCAATGTTTCCATCCCCCCAAGTTCCTCGACACGCTCCCTAACAGACAGCCCCCCAAGTGATTCAAATACTACGCCTCAACGGACGGAAGCTCCCCAATTTCCGTCGGACCCCGCGGAGAAGACGAAAAAGGGTGATAAGGATGACACCCACTCGGACAACCTGTCGCAAGTCGAAACTCCACGGAAAGAAAAGCCCCCGAAATCCCCTCTCCTGACGGCTCACCGTCTGTCCACCACGTCTCTCGATGATGTTAACTTGGCTGGTGGGGGCAAGGACGATGAATGGCATAAGGCCGAGGACTCGAGTCAGGGGCAGAAGTGTGGCTCTCCCCCTCCGCTTCCTTCTAGGGATTCGGCATCCTCCCAGAGCTCGCAACTTCAGGGATTGTCCGGTAGCCTTGCCCCTGTTACATGGGCCCCTCCTCCTGTAAACAAAAACCCAGCCCCAGCTCCACCACCCCCTATCACTCGGAAATTGACCGGTCCCTTTGCCTGGCTTACTCGGAGCTCGACAAGCAAGGAGATTAAATCTCCCCCAGAGACCGGCCGTCGGAACACAGCTGCTTCTGTGTCGACGATCTCCAGCAACCTGGAACTGCCGGGCCGATCACAAGATGGGGAAGATCTAGATGGTATCCGGAAGCCGAGACGTAACAGCTTGAAGGACCAGTTTAAGTTGCTCAGGATGCGGGAAGAAGGTCTGGCCTCGGAAGCCGATGAAGCAAGTGTCGCGTCGGGACGTGCGAGCATTAGTCACTCCTTGGGAGGTCCTCCCAGCATCCCGGAGGAAGGCGAGAATGGCTCAATAGGGGCTCCCCACGCTGTTCCTCCTGCCACCTCGCCGCCCAATGCGCCGTCCACGGTCAATCCCAATCTTCCGCCAGGAACCGTATCAGGCTTCTCGGCCTCGGCAATCGATGCATCTGCCCCCGTCGACTGGGAACTCTGGCAGCAGCTAGTCAACAACGGCCCACAGGCATTGAAAGGGGCCAACTCGGAAGAGTTGAACGCGGCCATCAAACGAGGAATTCCACAAACGATTCGGGGGGTGATCTGGCAAATACTAGCTGACAGTAAACCTGCTGAGGTCGAGGACATCTATAGGGAACTCGTCGCCCGTGGCACAGATAAGGAAAAACTACGGGCTTCAAATGGTACCGTTAATGGAACCGTGGAGAAGGACTCGGCGGCCTCCTCGTCCCGCTCGTCCATGCGCTCGGAGCACTCCGTCTCTGTAAGCCATTCAAACGCAGGGTCCTCCCCGAGTCCTTCTCAAGAGCTGGACCCCGAGAAATTAACGAAGGAACAAGCAGCCGGGGAGACAGCCCGCAAGAAGAAGGCGAAGGAAGATGCTGTGGCCCTACAGAAATTGGAGAAGACCATCCGTCGGGACTTGGGGGCTCGGACCAGTTACTCCCGCTACTTCGTATCCCAGGGGAATCAAGAAGGCCTCTTTGGATTGTGCAAATCGTATGCCCTGTACGACGAGGCGGTGGGATATGCTCAAGGAATGAACTTTATTGCCATGCCATTGTTGTTCAACCTGGATGAGGTGGAGGCGTTCGCGCTCTTGGTGAAGTTGATGAACCAATATGGGCTGCGAGAGATGTTTACCCAGGAGATGCCTGGACTCCACCGCAGCCTCTATCTCTTCGAACGCTTTCTAGAGGATATGGAACCGGCACTTTGCTGTCACCTTCGCCGGCGAGGGGTTAATCCACAGCTGTACGCCACGCAGTGGTTCCTTACTCTTTTCGCGTACCGCTTCCCCTTGCAGTTGGTCCTTCGCATCTACGATCTCATTTTTGAGGAGGGACTGCAGAGCACTATTCTGAAGTTCGCCCTCGCGATTATGCGCAGGAACGCGGAGACGCTGCTGGAGATGAAAGATATGACCCCGTTGACGACCTTCCTCAAAGAGCGCTTATTCGACGTGTACATTGACAAACAACCCTCGCCATCCTCAATCCTCGAATCCGGGTTTTTTGGCAGTTCGGGAGCCGCCGATAAAGAGATCTACCGGGCGGATATCCTCGTTCAAGATGCCTGTGCTGTGATCCTCGAGCCGGCGGCAATCAATGCGTACACGGTGGAATGGGAAGAGAAGGAGCGGACTGAGAAGGAGCGCGAAGTCGAGCTCGAAGGGTTGAGACACACCGTGTCCGTCCAGGGTGCTCGTATCCGTCTCCTAGAAGAGCAGGCCGAGGCATCCGACAAGGAACACGTGCAACTGGCATCGGAGCTTGTCCACCTCAAAGTGGAGAATGAAGAATTGACCGATCTGAATGATGCGATGAAAATGCAGGTCAAAGAGCTCAAGATTGTGGTGGATAAGCAACCGGCCGAGGTTGAAGAGAAGCTCCAGACCGAGATGGATCGGATCATGAAGCGCAACGTGGAAGTCCAGAACGAAAACCGTTCAATGGTGGAGCAAATGGCCGAGATGGAACGGGAGCTTGTGGAAGCGAAGATGAAATGGGCGGAGGTAAGAACCCCCTTTGGGATAGTCATGCTGAAGGCCATTGCCCACTGACGTGAAACGCGACAGATCAATGATAACTACGAAAATCTGAAACAGAAATGGAGCGATCTCCGCAAAGCCCTTGACTGAGAGGCAAGCTTTGCTTTTGTACATTTTTGGCCGGCGATACCGGCGCCATTCCATCTTCGAACTTGGACCTTGCGACTTTGGATTTTGTGTACATTTAACAGGTCTGGGAATCTGTTCAGTTCACGGCAACTCCGGGCGAGGACAATGCTGTCATTGTATCATCACTTATATCCCTTCCAATTCCTCTTTGACACTGCGTGAGCAATTCACAGTTATGATCCGGCATCGTACGAAGTGTTTCCGATATGTGTTGGCACGCCACTGACTGCTGTTGTCTTATTCCGCATTTACTGGCGACCGCACGAGCGGTCTTTCGGGTTGTGGTCTTTTTCTTTATAACCACTCCACGGTGGACACATTCGATGTATGCAGTGTATATCATGAAATAGATCTTATCCAGAATAGTGTTTGATTCTATCGGCATAAAGGAGTAGATTCGACTGTCCACCTCCCATAAACAAGAAGAATATTAAAGGATATTCTCGAAAAACGTCGTCACCGCATCCTCCTTGGCCGGCCCCGCCACCGCCTTCAACGCCTTATGTGCCTCACACTGCTCATCATAGTATTGCATATCCTCCAGCGACGCGAACGTCGCCTTGACAGAGACATTGAATCCCTTATTCCGAGGATCTGGAACGGACAGTCCGACAGCGAGTTGGATAATATAAGGCTTTCCATCCTAGATTGTTGTACGTGTACCTATTAGCATTGGCTCACATTCCGATGGACGATATGACGCCATAAATAATCCTCGAAGCGAGCGAAGGCATAAAATGAAATACAAATATGTGAGAGAGAAAGAGAGGAAGAGAGAGATACCTTAACCGCCGTCTTCGCTAGTACTTTGTATTGTTCAAGGACGCGTTTCCGGTCCCCTTCGTTGGGGATCTTGAAGATAGTGATACGCTCGATGGGGGCCATTTCTTTCTTTTCCTTTCGTGTAGCTTGATTGATTTAGGTGTCGAGTCTGGATATAGAAACCAATCTGGATACGGATACTGATAGTATGAAAGATAAATATATAGGGTATATGTAGAAAAGGAACGAAATGTATGATGGAGATTGGAGTTGATAAATCCTATCGGTTGGAGACGGCATACGATCTGATTAATTCCCGTTTCAAGATGTGTGATGGATGGATATATGCGGGGTTGAGGGAACAAAGATTCGATTCGCTCTATAAAATGTTTCGTACAACTCTGGAATAAGTTCCGGTGGTCGGAACATTTGGTTTTGGTAACGAATCCTATTCGTGCATTATGGATTACTAGATTCATTATTCGATAGGATTGACTTGTGTCTTCTATTCTGAATGAATGCTCTTGTCGGATCTGCTTCTGACTGCGGAATTCAGTCGGGATATTTCCGCTCGTCTGCTATCCTCCGTTCGATTGTCTGTCATGCGTCATATTCTACATAACTCATATTCAATAAGAATTTAATGATATTGATACATCTGATAAACTCTCCCATTGAGCTGGATCGCTCTCCAATGCTTCAAGCAGACATTTGAACGCCCCAAACCGGTTGAAATTGTTCCACCGGATGACTTCGATAAACACTCTGGCTGATCTAGAACGTGAAGTTGATATTATCCCTTTTATCAAAGTCCAAGACCTTGGAACACCTTGAATGTATCGATGTCATCCTCGACATATAGGCCTACCGCAGATACACGCTTGTGCAAGTCGGTGTAGCATTCGCCTGGTCGTAGTGTGCATACTCTTCTGTGTCTTCCTATCCACCGCTGGCTCATTCATGGGCATTCATCACGTCGTCTGGAGAAGCCATCACAATGGATCGCATGGCCGAATAATCGTCACACAAGCTTTTCATCCACGGATCAATACCGATGGAAATTCGAGCATTCTTCCAGATCAGCTGGCAGCAGATAACATCCAACCAGCTGGGAATAATAATCATCAACGAAGGCACCTTTCTTCCTGAATTTTGACAGTCTTGACCATATTCCCCGTAAACCCTTAGCCGAACGCGGGGAGGGCAGGTATTCTCCCACTGTCATCACACGCCCACTCTCAATAGGTTTTACCTTGGTTGAGCACCTCACAGTTGTAACCTCATTCCCAACCACTCAACTATCATTGACCGGTTCAGGGCGACTCTTGAAGAGCAGTTTATACTTCACGATCTCGACGATTTCAAGCTCATCGCCGTCGGTGGTATCCTGTCGCTTCTGAACCACAGCAAGTGGTTGAGCCAACTTCTTCACTTCACCCGTCATACGTTGGTATCTGCCAACGTATAGATAGACTCGTTTCATCCATGTTGTATCATCCGCACGCGTAGTTTGCGGCGAGTAGTCCGGAAACATAAGCTTGCCAATTGGAGTCTCGAATGCGGTGGATGCTGAGGATTCGTAGGGATTGCTGGTTAATTCTGCCGGGCGAGACTCATCCCCTTGGTCTTCTTGAGATGGTACGTTGATTGTGCCCTGCAGCTCGAGGAGCGCGAGGCCGGAAGGCGTCTGGAGTAGCTGAGGGAGGGGATTGGCGGGGGACGAAGTGGAAATGGGCGAGGACACGCGCGGATGGAGGGCGATCGAAGGCATAGTGTCCCGATGTGCGCGGCAAGATGGATGATGGAAGTGTCTTGAGGCCAAGAGATACAGTTTGCGACTTTCAGTTGGATTGAGAGTAGGGTAGAATGTCCAGTAGTACTAGGAAAGAATTGTCGACGCGGAGAGTTTGGATGGCAAATGTTAGCGTGTTTTGCGCAGGGATCCCCACATGATCGATCTATACATAAACGTTCGCAACCATGGTGGCTCTTACACTAGATGTGGAATTGGTTTGCTTTGCTACTGATAATGAAAATAGGTGCAGGATATTTAATAGGCAACCTTAGAAATACATTCACCGTAGTCTACTACTAGCCTTCAGCAAGGTTGTATGGAAGTGCAAAAAAGTTATGAAGCCTAAGGGCATGCTGCGCTATCATCTCCGTTGAATACATGTATTTACTACCAGACTCAATAATAGGGACACAACAATGCTGGAATATCCTAGCATTTTTTGACTGCCAGAAGTCTAGGCGCTCCAAGGGAAAAGCAGTTAGTCCATCTCTTGCAGCACAGTGACAGACTTGCTGGAATATATTTGGGCTATACCAAAGAGTCATGGAGTCATATACCAAAGACGATTCTCAAGACCCTGATGGGAATTTGAGCAGACATTTCCTATCAAGATGTCGCATGGCACATCAAGAATATGGCGCTCGGATGAGACCAAAGAGTTCGATACCTACCGGAGAATTCGAGGCCAAGATGTTTACATGGGTCCATTGTCGCCCATTTTGCCAACAACTTGGGCAACGTGGCTCGCACGTCGATTGGGCACGACCGAAAAATTCCATCTTGACGCTTCGCAGAAGCTCTACCACATGTGAGCCGAAACGTATAAGAAGAACAAAGGGCCCTTCAATCTGGCGTTCGCTGGGAAAAAGTTCAACGATAATCGACCGTACGTGCTCTCAATGGAGTCAACCTGGGTCCCATATTCCGACTCCGAACAAGCTAGACACAAAGCTCCTTGGCCAACCAACAGTGAATTGAAACACCAGGGCATGTACAGAGTTCGATCTGGGGAGCATCGTATTGTTCCTCGCCCCCATGTGCCAGGAGATCCCTCGATTCATTGGCAAGAGAGATTATTGATTTTTCCTTTCAAATCGATCAGGTCAGAGACTTAATCGCGGGAAGCGATGACGTCGAGCAGATAGAGGGCGGAAGGATTTCCTTGGAGTCGAGTTGCTGAAGGAATTGGATCGATAGAGAAGGTTGGTTTTTTATTGGCATTGGAAAGACGGGTCAAGATAGTTCACGGAAAAGGAGAGAGTAGGCTTCATGGCAGACAGACTTTTGACAACATGCCTGGGATATAGTTGCAGACTAGGAGCGCTGCACAGGAATTCCACAAATCACCGCTCATGGATATTGATCTCACCATCTTTCTTGATGCTATGATAGAGTGAGAATACTGTATCTGGCAGTTGCTGTAGCGAAGTCGATAATCTGGCAGAAGCAAGGAAACCAGGAGGTACTTTCTCTCTGTTTTTATTTGTTCTTGTAGCAGGCATTTTCGAGATTGCGGAGTCCTTGAATGGCCTCGTTTACTACCTCTTGTCCGGATGTCCTTGCAGGACCCTGCATTTTCCCATATCGCAGGTCACTCATCTCTCCGACTGTAGAGCTAAGCTCGGATAGACAATTGCTCGACTCTTTGTCCACCTCCTCAATGTCCTGCTCAAGGCGAGCGCAAGCTGCCTCCATTGCAGAAAGAAGGCTGGACACCGAATGGTACTCACTGGGCGAAGCGGTAGTCGGCTGCCCGAATAATTGGACATCAAGGTCCATTTCCCGCTGATCGTTTACACTCATACCATCAACACCGGTCTCCATAACGGATCTGCGAAGCTCTGCTTTTTGGATCTCCCCTTGGTGGATTTCTTTGTCAATATTACTATTGACTAAATCCATGTCTTGCTCACGAAGCTGCTGCAACTCACGGTAGAGAACCCTGACATGCGGATGAGACCGCAACCGTTTGGGGAAAAGCTCTGTAAATTTCTGCAGCGAGATGGCGGTTGGCAAAGAAGCAGGTGACAGAAGGAAATTATTCAGAATCGATGCTTCTGAAGGAGGCATGATGATGGATGGTGTGAGAAATCTGTCTAAGGCTGAAAATGCCGAAGGTGGTTCGATACTTTAGAGAAAGATATTCTTTCGTTTTAGATTGTTTAGGGTTTCCGCCAATGGTCCCTTTTTTTTTTTTTTTTTTTTTTTTTTTTTTTTTTTTTTTTTTTTTTGGACTGACTTGTGTCACTCTCAATGAAGTCGAATGATTGTGATCAATAGCTCCACCACTGTAGGGGGTCGAATCAATGGGCTTTTGAGGGGCTTTATCCAAAGACCATTGAACGACTAGATCCAATAAGAGGATTGTTTCAAAGACAATCAGATCGCCGTGGTTGGAAGCCAGGCACAGTGTCTTGGGGACAATCTAGGAGAGAAGAAGAGAATGATGAGGGAGCCGCCATTTCCATTTAGCCTCTTTGGAAGCGCGCGTCGCTTCCGCTTTCTCTGCTTTCCCTCTCCACGCGCCATCGACATAATACTCCGAATCATCGACCAGCTTCGTCTTTGCTCTTCTACACTCTATCTTAGTCCGTCTCACATTTGTGAATTGGCTCACCGTGCTTTCCAAAGCCCCCGTGAACGGCAAGTTTCATTATTGCCTTTCTGCCAGCCAGTTTCGTTACTAAGAGGGACCATTGCCTTGATTGGAACAGCTACGATTCTGATATACAAGGTGACAGAGTACTCTAGTCCTGGTTCAAAGCCGTCGGCCTTGCAGGTTATCTCCTCTGTGTCTGGTGCAGCCTCTTTGGTTGCCTCTGCTCTGAAGCTGAAGCTTCCTCGATCGAGTATTCCAGCTGCCACGGCTGCGGTGTGGCCTCTACCTCTTCTGCCAGAATCTAGGTGGTTGAGAACATTACCTCCTACATAGTCTGCTCCTGCGTTTCTTGTCAACTGAGCTTATTTCCATCTTCAAAATGGCTCCAGCAGGCCAAATGACATATCAGAAAGACGAAAGAGTTCTCTGTTTTCACCATGAGATCTTGTATGAGGCCAAGATCCTTGAAGTCAGACATACCGACCCGGACGATCGCAAGAGCCCTTCTGAGTATCTAGTCCACTACAAGGGCTGGAAAAATACGTAAGTGTGAATTCTAATGTTTATTTTGGGCATGCCTCTCCGACTGTTGTGCCTTGTACCCCAGGCTGGCATAGAACAAGAAGGACGGCAGCTATTGTCTGTGATATCCTGCCTACGTGGACGTAGCTGGCTAACCCTACATTTTCGGGAATCGAATTAGCTGGGATGACTGGGTCCCCCAAGATCGTCTTCGTAAATTTACAGAGGAAAACAGGGAGCTGGCGACCACTCTTCGCCGGGAGGCAGAGGCCGCTAGTCGCCAGAGAAACACCAAATCCTCCACCATAAAGAAACGAGGCGGTTCCGATCGCAGCTCCGCCCGGGGAAGCGAGGAACGTCAAATGTCAGTCCCTGGCCGCGGCACCAAGAGAGCTAGGGACAATGATATCGAAAAAGTAAGCTCGCTTGAAAAATTCTGTTATTGGTATTTGGTGTTTGGTCGCCGTCATCCTGACGATGGCTGAGCGCAGCAATTGGCATACGTAAGGTAAACTTGAACCAGAATACACTAACCGGGGATTTTAGGAGGACAATTTCTATGTGCGGCCGTCCGTGAGGATTGTTATGCCCGACAACTTGAAGTCGCTCCTTGTTGATGACTGGGAAAATGTTACCAAGAACCAGCAAGTCGTGGCGTTGCCCGCGAAGTCTTCCGTCAATCAGATCTTTGAGGACTATACGAACGAGGAAAAGCCCAAGCGGACGACGTCGGCTGACCTCGATGTTCTCGAGGAGGTGGTTATGGGAATCAAGGAATATTTTGATAAGGCTCTTGACAAGATTCTTCTCTACCGGTTCGAACGCGAACAGTACCGTGTCCTCCGCAAGAAATGGGAGGCAGGATCGGGAGACTTCGCCGACAAAGGACCTCTCGATATCTATGGCGCAGAACATCTTACTCGGTTGTTTGGTACGCTTTCTTCCACATGTCTCTGCCATCTTTTGCGCTCGACAGTCGCTAATTAAATGTAGCTACGATGCCTGAGCTGCTGGCACAGACAAACATGGACCTGCAGTCCACCAACCGACTTCGTGAGGAACTTTCTAAATTTACTCTGTGGCTGAGTAAAAATTCCAGCAAATATTTTGCGACTCGCTATTTGACTGCGAGCAATGAGTATGTCGAAAAGTCCAGGGGTGTCCCCAACCCGAATCCTGGAACTGCTACTTCGCGCCTTGTTTGAACTGATATAGTTGGCCATGATGGCGGTTCATCGTGACCAAGGTGCCTTTCCTGGAGGCCCCCCCCCCCTTTTTTTTTTTATCTTACTCTCTTTTTGCTTCCTACTGCTGTCGAACTGCAGCGGTTGAGCATGGTGAGAGGACAACATGTCATGCGAATTACGGCTAATAATGGCTCAACCTGTAACATAAGTATAGAATTGGCGAATTCACGGAAGGGATTGTTTTATCTGGCTCTGTTCTTTTTTTTCTTTGGTCACAGAATCATGGTGGTAGGTGAAAACAATGGGCATTCTAGTTTAAGATTATCTTCATCCAAATTGAGCACATCAAATGACAAGTTCCTATCAGGGTAAAAAATAAAAGAGGAAGTGGGTAAATGCAACTATAAGAATGCAATGGACATCCACCTGGGACACCCCAAGCCATCATCTCCTTTTTCTATACACAAAATATCCTACTCTACCACCCTCGCAACGGTAGAGAAAGCCCAAACCAGGATGAACAAAATACTATCTCTTACAAGAACTACACAACCAACTGCCTAGCATCATCAACGGCACATCTCGCAACCCGCTTCAGTTCTGATTTCCAGTCTGTCTCGCGGTATCTCGTCCAAGCGCTCAACCCATCGGGAGACTGAATGCTCAGTGTGTCATAACCCTGTTTGATAATCTTATGGACCTCGCGAGGACTGAGGTTCTTTTTCTGGTTTGCCGGAATGGGCGCCGTGGCCTGCGAATCAGTTTTCGCATCAGCACTCTGATCCGAGTTAAACAAGAGGGTATAGAAATGCGTAGAGACGGAGATCAGGGTGTCGATGGCAGCGAGGTGGACGTCCTTGGTGGTGTCTGTGCTTTTCGACGTTGGGGACTTGAAATAGACCTCACGGTATTTTGTCACGATGGGGCCAGTCTCGACTAGTTTATAGAATAAATCGTCGTAGGAGGCTGGGTCAGGAAGAAAGGTGTCGCCGGTGGAGACGCAGAATGCGATCACGTCAACGAGGGTGGTGGTGAGTGTTTCGATGTGTGGATTGCCGGATAGATCAGAGACGTAGGTTGTTAGGAACCGCATCAGGGAGAGCATGGTGCGCCAGAGCTCCGACCAGTGGTATGTCAGGCGGATTTTGTTCATTGATAGATAGGTGAGGAGACGGAGAAGGATCGCGATTGCTTGGCTGCGGGGTAAAAGAGGGGGGTCGGATTAGCTTGCGCTGCGATTATAAGGATTGGAGCTCATACCTGTATAGATTGACGTCAAGGCGTCGCCGGAGATTGTGAGATATGGTGTCAAGCATCATGTCGAAGATGGCGGTTGCAAGGACTCGGTCCCCAGTGACTAGAGGAAGATATGGCTGTCTTTGTCGACAGAGGCGGATCTTTCTCTTGGTATCTTCGCTGCAGAGTTGCTTGCATAGGGATGAGTCTTCGGAGAGAATGCGGAGAGTGAAAAGATTGAGCTCGGCATATTGTGCTACCCTTGGGGATCGGTAAGCGTGCTGCATGAGGTAGGAGGTCACAGAGAGAAAGCTCGCGAAAGGAGATTCCTCGTTGTCCTTTTCTGGCGCGGAGGTAATGAGATGATAACCAAAGAGCTTATTCGCATTTGTAAAGTCGTACGTAGATAAAAAGATAGCTGCCTGTTCAGCAGGACTGGTATGAGAAGCATTAGCTGGGGATTATTCTGCGGACAAGATTCCTCATCGAAGACTCACAGCTCCGAAAACAGTTCCTTCGCCTCTTCCGCAGTGGGTGGACTTGATTTGTCCCTTCTATTCGGAGCAAGCACGCCCAATCCAAAGTAGATCAGAGTGCTAATCAAGGACCATCCTTCGGGAGCGTCATCTTGCACAGCAACGTAGCCGTTCCTTAGGGCGCCACAGGACAAACCGACTCCCTTCACGATTTTTTTGATACTTGACTCATTGACAAAGTCGTCCAGCCGCAGCTGATATGGGTTCTGGAACTCAAACTTGTTGTAGTTTGCCAGCAATCCGAGAAGAAGGAACGGCTCAAACCCATCAATAGGAGCCTCGGCATCTTGGACAAACTTGAAGGTCGATCAGTCTCCAATTGACGTGCACAGAGTGGTACTGTTTAACAGACCTTCATAAGCGATGGGAATAGGTCGCGATGCGCAAAGTACGAGACCAGACCAGTCTTGTATGCCCCGCTAATCATCGCAATCGCGGTTTTAACGGCTTTCATTCGGAATTCAACTTGGAGTCGGTCAGGAAGTGCAACTTGGGGGCTTTGCAACCAGAAAGAGGCCGAGGTTCAGTGTTAAGGTACTCACAGCTGCTCCCATTGCGGACGATACCATCCAACACGGTGACAAAGTTCGAGATAACATGGTCCACATCGTCAAGTCCAGCAAGGACAGTAATGAGGTCAGAACTGGGGTTGGTATACTTCTTCCTCAGAACACAGGCTAGAAAGACCGTCAAGGTCTGCATCACTACTTAGAGGCTGAAGCACATTGTCTCTTTCGAAGTACTCACGTCCAGTGCATAGGAGTCTACGGGGTTGGAGCCAGAGGCTGCCTCCCGGATTGCACGGGTAAAAAGTTGCCGAGTTTGCGTCTAGAAAGAAGTCAGTGGATGGTGTAAGGTACGATAGGAGCGATATAACAACTAAAAATAGAAGAGAGAAAAAAAAAAAAAGGGATCAATGACCTGCAAGTTCAAAATGTCATCAGGACTTAGCTGGTCGAGGATGGAACCAAGCTGGCCGCGGTCAGGGGGCAACAAAAAGAATTCCTTCCAAAACCCCTCCGAGGGGTCTGCAAAATCAGAGGTCTACCAGGTGGGATATTAGTACCGCTGGGACGAGACGTAGCGGGAGTGGACGGCCATACTTGGAGTAGGTTCTCATATAGTTGCACAATCTTTGGTTTGAAATGCTCGGGCCTACTTTGCTGGGTTAAGGGGGATTCCATGGTGTTAGATATTTGGGCGCTCGATGATCCACACAGAACATGAGATCATCGCTCGCAGCGCAGAGGGTTCCTAAACCAGAGAGGGGATTGGATAACAATAGGGCGGAGGCGTGGTGGTGTTCTTTCTATCGTTTTGATCCACGTCGCCTGTTGTACTTAGTATTATTATCGCCCTTTTTTCTGCCTTTTTGGGGTAATAATCCACACCAGCCACGTACGCCGTTCTCTTTACCACTAGCCACACTTCATCAAATTGCCCCTGGAACTGCTTGGCCTCTGAGATCTAGAATCGCTGCTGGATGTCTCCGCAATATTTCAGTCCGACTACTGGAAGTTCTTCAATGTGGAATTGACTGAGGTATTGTCCTTAGGTTACTGCGCATGTAAATCCGGTAGTTAAGTGAATAGGTACTCCGTAGCTATCGAACTAACTCTGCAATTAGTCTAGATACTTCGATATGACGTGCAGATTTAACCCTACATATCTCCAATAGACTGTGACTCCAGCTCCTCGTTAATTTGTAAAGAATTCCACGTAAGTCACCCTCGTAAGTGCAACTGACGATCCGCGAAGGTGGGAGAGAAAGCGACTTGTCATGGGACATTTATGCCTGAGGCATTAACAGCTCGTCCCCAGGAACCTAGACTCAAACGCTGTCTTGTATCGACATGGTACGGACTACTAGGAGTCACTCTCCCCGTAGTTCGCTCTAATTAAACGACCCAGCTTCAGTTCAGCTGATTATTCAGTCTATGGTCAGGTGATAACAGTGGCGCCACCGACGTGTGTAGAAACACCTGGCTGCTGATTGGCCGACCGTCTCCTGGCTCTGGACCTCTTTTAACCGACCATCGCCAACCTTCCCGAGTCTCTTCCATGATTCAACTTCCTCCTCGCTACATCTCATCCCATTTCCTTTCCATGAGTTCATAGCGGCTTCCTACTTTTCTTAACATAGAGGGCATTGAGTTTTATCTTCGCATCTTGAATGCACCATGCTATTTTGCAGAGCCATCATGCACCCTTCGGTGACATCATCCACCACGGTCGTTGCCTGTATGAGAAAGCCATCCACTATGCTACCCATCAGAAGTCTTCGCCTGTTTTCCTCCTGTGGGAACGTTCACCGATCCTCGAAGCGTGACATGCAGACGGCGACCGCATATCGCCCGCACACTTTGCCATCATCCTTTCCCCCGCCTCGGAACACCGGGGTTCCCGACACCTCGATCGCAGCCGATTTCCCTTCCGCACTTTTCCCAACAACGCCTGGGAACCAAGATACGTCATCGAATGTCAGCTATAGGGAGAATGAGGCTCAGAAGACAGAGCCTGTGGAATCCACGCGGTCGACCGCCACCAAGTCTGCGGAAAAGCCCCGACGGAAACTCCGTCCTAGGAAAGCTGCCATGAAGTTGACCCCGCTGGCGATCGAGCAACTTCGCAAACTGGTCGCTCAGCCAGATCCGAAGTTTATTCGTGTTGGTGTGAAAAACCGTGGCTGCTCTGGTCTTGCCTACCACCTGGAATATGTTGAAAAGCCAGGGGCGTTCGATGAAGTCGTGGAACAGGATGGCGTAAAAGTCTTGATCGATAGCAAGGCATTGTTCAGTATTATTGGCAGCGAAATGGACTGGCAGGAAGATAAGCTGAGCAAGAGATTTGTTTTCCGGAACCCCAATATCAGTATGTGTCTCCCGAGGATCGAAATTTTTGGACATAACATGTCATTAACGTGTCTTACCAGAGGAACAATGTGGGTGCGGCGAATCCTTCATGGTTTAATCAGTTGAACTGATTCTTTCCTATCACTGGGTCGTTTTACGGAGTCACTTTTAAACGGTGCATTGGACGGCGTTTCTTTCGGCTTGCTTTGGTTTTCCGGCTTCTGTCACATTACATTGTCGATTATGCTTAATTGATTCCCCGGTTATATATCCCGCTTGTTACCCCTTTTTTTTTCCTTGTTTGTCCTGGATTCTGCTATAGCCATTGGGTTCTACGCTGCGGCACCGGGGGATTTGTACAGCATTTATGATGTGAATACGACAGCAGAGATGTCTCAATTTGTTATGTTTATATTTTACTATCCATGACCTCGTTGAGGTGCTTCTTTTGTGTTTTGGGGGGGGTTTCGGCCCCTTCGGGATGAGATTCCCCAGTACCATGTTGAAGAGCGCTAGACTAGCGAACATAATTACAAATTAGTCCGATAAATGAACAGCATTTACGTAAAATGATTCGTTATGATTCCTAACAATCCTGTCCAATAATTATGGCGTTACTGCCATAACTTTCCCAGCCGTCGTAGCAATCCGAGGAGATGGCTAAATCATCGGCATCACGTGGGGCTATATCGGGAAACCAAAAACCCGGGTTAACAATCACCAGCGGACTGAATAACCGCCGCTATCGACACCACCATCATTGGCATCTCCTTGCAGTTGGCTTTTTATGATATCAACCAAACCATTCTGGTGATCGTCAATTAGCCTTCTATAAGAGATGACCACACCTTTCTTGACTCCAAATACTAGCCATTTAGAAGATCCAACTGCCGACTCTGACCCCCTCTTTCTCACCGTCCGTTTCTCTGCCTCAATTGCCGATCTGCCTCTAGATGTCTTATACCCGGATACCACTACCGCAGCTGGTCTGAAACAGTTAATCCGTATTCGCCTTCCGTCCGATCTCTCCTCCCATCGTCTTCGCCTCATCTACGCCGGTCGTGGTCTCGAAGACACCGTTGCCCTTTCCGCCTCTCTGAAACTACCACCATCGCCATCTCGATCACCGCGACTCCACACCGACGACGATGAAGACGTGGAGAAATCATCCGCCGCAAAGGGCAAAGGCAAAGCCCCCGTAAGGGAACAACCCCGTCTCTATATCCATTGCTCTATCGGTGATATTGCCCTCTCCGCTGCAGATCTCGCCGCGGAAGCCGCCGCATCTTCTACGCTACAGCAGCAGCAGCCGCAGCGCGCATCATCCCAGTCGGAGAAACATGATTTGTTTACTTCGCATTCCGGGCTGCATACGACACAACAGCAACAGCAGCAGCAAGGTTCATCCACGACGCCGGCGCCGCGTGGTTTTGATCGGCTGTTATCAGCCGGATTTACAGCGGCAGAGGTAGCGGCGTTGCGGTCTCAGTTCCTGGCTATTCAGTCTGTGTCGCGAACGCCGGATACCATGCCGAGCGGGGCAGAACTGCGCGAGCTCGAGGACCGGTGGATGGATGAAGGTTCGTCGTCCATGACGGCGGGGGGTGGAGGCGCCGAGGGAACGTCCTTTGCGGATGACGATGGTGGATTCGGAGCAGGGTCGCGAGGAGCGATGGATGATATGCTGTGGGGTGCTGTGATGGGCTTTTTCTGGCCAGTGGGTTGTGCGATGTGGTTAAGGCGAGAAGAGGGGGTTTGGAGCTGGCGGAAGGGGCTGGCGGTGTTCGTCGGTGTAGTGGTCAATCTTGCGTTTGGGGCGATGCGCATGATGAATTGACAGTGGGTGGATTGATTCCGTGGCTTTATTTATTTATGTATCTTTCTGTTCCTGTACCGACGATACCCCCTTAATTTTGATTCCAACAGAGATGGTGACGTGTATTCAAGAGAAATTAAAATAAGAAGTATAAGATAACTACAGCTGGATGAGAGCTCAGTGAATAGTATCATACAAAGTTCCGTAGCACTAATCGCTGCAACTGCAGCATGGATATATCGCAGGACAGAAAAGGGATAGTGAAGTAACGCCTTCCCAACGCCTGGTAAACCGAACGCTCAATGAAACTTGCTGTAAATAACAGCAACGATCAACAAGACCAATACAGTTATAATCGCAATCGTAATTATCCGATTCGTAGCCATCCTGCAAACAGGTATCATTAGCGATCGCCTCAAGGCTCGATTTTTAATGGCTGCCATAGCAGAGAATATAAAGGTGACAGTACCTACGGGCCATTCCTCTCAGAGTCTTAATACTCGTATCCACATATCCTTCACTCTGCAGCAGTCCCGACCGGGCATGTGTGATGGTCTCGCGCTGCTGGCCCAGATCAGCCAATGTGTTGCGAGCGATATCCTCAGTCTCAAGGGCGATCCGTTGACTGTCCCGCAGTCTGGAGGAACTGCGCTCCAGGCGGTCCGTGCCGGAGAGAAGCTGCTGCCTCTGTTCCAGGTGCTCATCTTGGGGGTCATCTGTGTAGCGATCGCCGAAGAGCGCTTTACGGTCGTCGGAGAGAGACTTGAGCTTGCGTTTGGCCTCATCAATATCCGAGGAGTAGTTGCGGAACCGGACGTTGACCTTGGACCGTGCTGCAGAGGGAATGTTCTGTTTCTCCATGCGCATTTGATCCAGCTGATCTAGAGTTAGCAATGAAATGATAAGGGCTGGAATGTGATTAATATACTAATTCTGTGGCCTCTTCTAGCGTCTGTTCAGCTTGTCTGATTGCTGATTTCCGTTGTTCCCCGCTCGACTCTGTTATCTGATCCAGTTTCTGGTTCAAATCGGCCTGTAAGAGCTTCAGCTCGGTTTCGTAGCTGCTGAACAGCTCTGAGCCGGCATCGGTATCCAAGGGGTTTGACATTATGAAAATCGAGGATGTTTCAGGAATAGGATTGAGACGATGAGACTGATGTAGTAAACTGGGTCAATCTGGAGACAGGACGCGGCCAGAGATGGTCTCTAGGCAGACGGAAACTGTGGCCACCTTATCTAGCGGTGGCTGGAGGGCTTTCGTCCTCTAGACAATGTGGGTCAAGTGCAGGCGGGGAGTATACAGAATACTGTGTGTATATGCCGTACAACGAGGATGAACGGGCGACACGGAAATGAAGCTGAGTGGGAGTAATCGATCTAGAGGGGCGATGACGGCTCATGCACGGTGATGGTTTCATTGATTCATTGATGGCTGGCCTAACTACGCAGACACGTGATCGCCGGCCGAGGTCGACGTTTCCGTCTTGCAATTTATTCTATGATCGGCGTTGTTGTCCAGATCATGATGCTGATTTACTGCATATCGTGCTTCCTTTGACTGTATTTAGGGGAGGTCTCGAATTCCCCCGTGTGATCCCATGCAATGTCGTATTCTTCCAAGTTGCAAGTGCTGGGATTGCAGAGGACTATCAACCTCATACGGAGTACTAGGCCGGTGGAGCATTTTTGACCCCTAGAGCCCATTCTCCATAGCTACGGGTTGAACCAATGATAACATGGAGACCAGCGTACCAGCGTCAATCGCTCGGGGAGACTCCTCTTTCAGGCTGTGCTCCAACAGGTCTGTTTACTCCATGCTCTGTACTCTGTCTTTTTGTTCTCGTAATCTCACCTTTGTCATCTGACATGATCACACTAGGCGTCCACATGAAAATCAGAGTTGCAGATGCAGGTGAGGGTGGATGACTTGTAAATGACCATCTCGACCTGATCATCTCGACCTCTTTCCCTCGTTGGTATTATTTCCATTTCGCTGCATGTCTGCTTCCCTGTACATACGGTAGCACCCAATGTGCCCTTGGAGAGGGAGGAGTATACAAGGATCACATTGCCATTGAAAAGTGCTGTGGCGGACTGGCAAATCAACCATTCGATCCAACTTGCTTTGGTTTTCTTGACTTCATGGGCAATTTAAAGCCAACAGGCTTCCATAGTCATGCCGTTCACGCGTGCTGAGCGTATCGCTATCATAGGAGGCGGCTGTACTGGAGTCACCTGCTTCTGGGCTCTACAGGGATCTGAACACGATGTCCACCTGTTTGAGGCATCCTCGTCCTTAAATGGGCGTATTAAGGTCCTCCCATATGAACATGGCGAAAACCGTGTCGACGTAGATACGGAATCGCCGTCGTTCAATGCTATGACCTCCCGTCAGTGCCATTCCACGGGAGGAGTTTCCAGGCTAACAGCAATATGCAGCCAACCTTGTCTCGCTGCTTTGTTGTCTTGGGATTACCGTATCTGCGGTCCCATTCAGCTTCAGCGTATCAGATGGTACCAACACTTTTGAATGGTGTGGAGGCTTTCTAAAAAGCATATTGCTCCGCCCTTTGCTGTTGGGCAGTTTAGAGACGTATCGTCTATTGCTGGACCTTGTCCTGTTGAAGTACTTGAATTCAGATTCATTGACATTCAAATATTGGACTGGTGGAACATGCAAATGTCATAAAACCTCCAGTATATATGAAGGCCTTTCAAGAAAGGGATACTCAAATATTTTCCGTGACAACTACTTGGCTCCATTGCTTTCGGCTCTCTGGAGGACGAACGCAGGCAGGTTTCTCCCATCGTTTCCTTTCGATGCTCTCGTTCGCTGTTTAAATGACCATCAAATGCTTTGCCGTACTCCGGAATGGCGTCGTATCGACATGGGTGTGAACAACTTTATCGAGGCCATGACCAGGAACTTTCCTCTTGAACGGGTCCACCTCAACACAAACATTCGCGAGATACAGTTGTCTGGCAAGGGACAATATAGCCTCATTACTTCCGACGGCCAGCAGCTGTATTTCGATCACATCGTCTTTGCTGTGGATGGTCAAGAAATCCTGCGCTTGTGGCACCCGAAACTATTAAGTGTTGAAGAAAAGGAAATCATCGAGCACCTCAAAACAACTAAAAATATCGCTGTTTTACATTCAGACGTGCTGGTGAGTCTTTTTTCTACATAAAGTTACGCAGTACACTCGCTAATTTACTTAGCTTACAACTAGAATATCTCGGTCGGCCTACATTTACAACGTAGCCACCAGCAGCCACCAACACCGTCACGGTGATTCAACGGCTCTTAAATCCTGCCTCACATACAATGTCAATACTCTCCAGGGCATCCCTTCCTCCCTTTTTGGACCTATTTTTATCACTTTGAACCCTTTCATTCCACCACATCCTCGATTTGTCCAAGGAATATGGGAGTTCACCGACCCCGAGCTCAGATCGGAAACCCTCCACGCACAAGCCCGGCTGCCTTCCATCCAGAACAAACGTGGTCTTAGCTATGGCTTCCGCTGGACTGGCCGTGGCTTCCTAGAGGACTCGATCACTGCTGGTCTAGAGATTGCCGTGGAACATCTAGGTGCCAAATTGCCCTTTGAAATCGATCGTCAGTATCCTTTAGACTCGTCGGAGCCCGTTTCCCTAAATTCGGGCCTGAAAGACCATCTTGTTCGGGTGACTCTTACTCTCATCCGGATCTATGTTCAATTGCTTCAACTTGGCCTAGTTCTGCTGGGAGCTATTGGGACCTTTTTCCCAGGGATAAGGGCTCTATTCATGCGGTTGAACAAAATCAGGGTGTTCAAACCGGTGTGAAACCGCTGTCCAATATAATACACTGATTTAAGAATAGTCTATGGATCTCATCAACGTTCTGATGTAGAAATTGCAACTAGGTAGTTGGCAGTAACGTAAAAAGACAACATAACGATGACATAGCTCGCCTTTCCAATACATGAAACCCATCAGCACCTCACACATGGTATACAAATTGTTCGTTTTCGCCTCCATTCTTTTCATTTTTTGCTTTATCATCTTCGCGGTCTCGTCTAACTTTGAAATCCCATTAACTCACAAAGCAAATCACCATATTATAGAACGGGAACCCTCCTTCTTCTACAGGAACTTGTCACTGTCCTGGTTCACGATTGTGGCGCTTCTCTTCGCATCCAGGAAGAGATCTTCACATTCTGCTACATCGACCTCCTCGATGCCTCCTGGTCGTCCATTGACACGCGCCAGGATGCTTGCGGGCGTCAGCAGTTGCAGGGCATACCGCAAGCTGACTTTGCTACCGTGTTCGGAGACCTTGTCGAGAGCCGGGTCGGTGATGTTGAGGCCTTCGGTCTTGGCACGCAGGCGAATGATCGTCTTGATCTCGTCGGGCGCGTAAGGGTAGGTGGGGATGATAAGGAGACGGGCGAGAAGATCGGAGGGAACGCCGTGGGCAGCGCTGATGTCGTCGGTGCCGCGGATGACTGTGTGTCCGCGGTTGGAGGCAAGGATGACAATAGGGGAGATGGTAGACTCAAGGGCCCTGTTCAGATATGTGAAGCATTCGATGTCCAGCATGTGGACCTAGTAGGCAAAAAGGTTAGAAATTGAACAAGCAAAACCAAGTAGGGCGAGACTCCCGAGGATGGATCATACCTCGTCGATGAAGAGGACACCGGGGACAAGTTCGGCGACGCCTTGATCAATATAGCGGTTGACCACTTTGTTGATTTCCTGACGCAGCTTATCCGTAATCTCGGTCTTTTTGGGCTTCATGAGTTGTCCCATCATGCTCATGACATCCTGTCCGCCTTGTGGCCTGGCATTGGCCATGTCCAGGTCATGCAGCGTCACGTCCTGCACAATTTCCTTCTTTTTGTGGACTTCGCCTTTCGGGACAGGAACGTATTCTTCGGCTTCGAGATCGAATTCGGTCGCATACGCATCGGATCGTCCAACTCGCTTGCAAGCTCCGGTATTCGCTTCGATGTAGATGACGTCTCCAACGGTCACTCGTTCCTTTTGAATGGCTTCGTAGATACTAGGGTCTAAGCGGAGTTTCTTAGTACCCTTTGCAGACTTCAATCCGATAATCAAATGGCTAATTGTCCGACCATAGCCTCCCAATGGGTTTTCGGTCTCCTCGGGCGTCAGCTCTGTCACTTCACCTTCGTACACTTCTTTGGTTTCACGCACGCGGAGACCTGCAAAAAGCGTTAGCCCTAAAAAAACACCCTATGTGCTACATCCTACGATCCATACCAATCGCTCTGCGGAAGTTCTCCATCAGTGCCTCAGTCTTCTTCACCTCAGAGGAGTAGATCTCACTGCCCACAATCGGACAGAATGGTACCTTGGTACCCAGCTCCTGCGACACAGCGAGAGCAAGAGCAGTCTTTCCGGTTCCCGGACCACCGGCAAGGAGAACAGCGCGTCCAGCCATCTTCTTCGCTTTGATCAGATCCACCACGACACCGCATGCCTGTTGCAGAAGTTTTGTCAGCCATCATAGACTCTTCTCGTAGCATCAGAACAAAACGCTGCAATCGCGTACCTCACGGGCAGCGGCCTGTCCAATGAAACCATCACCAGAAGCCTCTGCAGTTCCATCAGCACGTAACCCAAGGCCCTTGATATGTGTGTGTGCTGCGGTCCGGTTCTCACGCGAATTGCCTTTCACTTCGCTGATCTGGACCATGATGAAGGGATTGCGACCTCACTTAGAAGTCACGGGGGAGAGAATTAGGCAGAGTCAGAATCAGCCAGGATAGAGTTGCGCGACAAATATTATGGAAGATATATGGACAACGAAGGGAAGACCAGAGGGAGGACGATGCTTCTGGCCCGAAATTCACAGCGGCAGGTCATGGGATCGATCAATGATAGCGATCCGCTGCCAAAGGCGGTGAGCCCACCCAAATTCTTTCGCAAACACTAGATCCATGACCAACGAACGACCGCTCGATTAATCGTCGGTATCGGCCTCTTGATCGTCACAATGGCAGGGCTGCAGTCTCGATCCGCCATGTCTCTTCCGTTTTCCCTGTCCACGGCGTTTCGAAATCTCTCGTTGACGGTCACGAAACGCTCATTCTCCACGACGCTACCGGCGCAGAAGACCAAAGACCTACCGGAATACATTCCTCCTTATCCTTACGGCCCGAACTACATCTATAAACAGTCGAATAGCGGTCTCTACGGCGGAGCGATGATCCAATTCGGAAACAAGATTTCGAAAGGTCGCAATGAGGGGAAGACCCGGCGAATGTGGAAGCCGAACGTCCGACGGAAGAAGATCCACAGCGAAGCTCTAGGAGAGGATCTGTATATCAAGGTCACTCGGAAAGCGTTGAGAACGATTCAGAAATCTGGAGGGCTCGACAAATACCTATTAGACGATCGACCAGGGCGGATCAAGGAACTGGGCGTCTTTGGATGGGAACTGAGATGGAGGGTGATGCAGACACCAAAGATCCAAGAGCAATTCCGACAAGAGCGAAAGAAACTGGGTCTCCCGGAGCCTCCATCATTTGAAGAATGGTTGGCGCTGAAACAGGCGGAGGTCAATGCGAGCGAACAAGATGAGACCAATATCAAGGAAGCCACGAAGCCGACCTACAACAAGAAACAGTACTAGCTGGAAATTGTCGGAAGTGAAGAGAACTTTAGACGGTTGATTTGCTTTGATCTGCGGTGACTATTTGATAGGCGTCTGTATCATTATTTTGTTCATGGCCACAAGCCTCTTGCTATACTACTTCTGAGATTCTGGATATTTTCTTGGAAACGGTGATGACTACGCAGCCACTGTTCGGTTGTTAATTGATTGTATCCAGATTTGCATGACTAGCTCTTTACTATATTTATACTTTTATCAATGCTACGTACCTTTGAGATAGATTTGCTGCGTTTTTGCATATAAGAGTCTTGGAGCACCATGGATGGACACTCCCAAACACGGCTACTCGATCCCACTAGTTTATTCCGATGCCTATCCCTACCAGTGCCTTGTAAGAGGAGTAACAATTCCATTAATACTCCATAGTTCTACGCGAGATCCCATCGCCAGGAACGTCGTCGTCGGGCCATTGATGATCCGCGGCTCATTGCCAGATCCGGCGCAATATCTGTCTTGGTGCCGGCCGCATATTGTTCCCGGATCAAGTTCATTATAACCTCAGAGCATGTTTTAATTGAAAGATCCATTCTCCCAGGGACCCCAGCATTTGGCCGCTGGGGACGCACAAGTTCCACCATGCAGTTTGCCTTACCTCCTCGGAGGGATAATCATATTCTCCCATATGCGCGATCTCCCCGGTTCTCGCTACAACGCAGGAAACAGCTCAAAGCGGTCGCAATCTTGATCTTTGCGCTCCTTGTCGTCTTCTTCCTCTTATCGCAGCTCTTTTACGCGAGCACTGGGACAAGCGCAGTGCCAATTAAAACCTCAAATATCGTCATCGTAACCGTTCTGGACCGCGCAGTCCTCAGCGACGAGTACATTCAGAAGATCATTAGGAACCGAGAAGATTACGCCAAACGACACGGTGAGACTTCCTGCTTTGCAAACGATTGGTCTTATGACTAATATAATTTTGTGTAAAGGCTACGGGAACTTCTTTGCGAACCTGTCCGATTACGAGACCTCGCTGGATAATGCGCCGCGAAGCTGGGGCGTTGTTCCTGCCGTCCGTCATGCGATGGCGACCCATCCCCATTCGAAATACTTCTTTCACCTCAGCACTCATGCGCTGATCATGAATCCGAGCATATCTCTAGAATCTCATCTTCTCGATGGCAGTCGACTTGAGTCGTTGATGCGCAAGGATGTCCCCGTTGTGCCTCCCGACAGTATAGTCAAGACCTTTTCGCATCTAAAACCTCAGGACATCGACCTTATCGTCAGCGCAGATGGTGAGGACTTGAGCTCGGGGAGTTTCGTGATCAAGCAGGGGGAGTTCGCTCGCTTCTTCCTCGATATCTGGTTCGACCCGTTATACCGCACTTACAATTTCGCGAAAGCAGAAACACACGCTTTGGTAAGGAAAACCAGATCTCCACTGGTTTCACTAATTAATATGTGTCTTTTATGGCTCGTGGCTGATTTTTCAATTCATTCAGGATCATATCGTCCAATGGCATCCCACAATTTTGGCCCGTTTAGCATTAATCCCCCAACGAATCATCAATGCCTACAGCAGGGATTCCTTGGGCGCATCCACGGATGGCACGTACAAGGAAGGTGACCTGGTACTCCGTCTGGCCGGATGCGACACGGATACGAAACGGAACTGCGAGAAGGAATTGGAGCCCTATTACCGTCTGTGGAGTAGGATAGTAAAGAGATGATCTCGCCATGGCTTACGAATATTGTAATGAAGAATATGGGTTATCTTCTATCTAACCAGATCATTATTTGGAGCTCGTAAGGGAATGGGCATAGCTGATATTTTCTTCTAACTCTTCTTGGCTGTTTTGGGAGCTTGTGGGATTATATATAGAACGTTATTAGTCCATGGATTTTCGTTAATGAGCGCATGCATGTTAGTGTTATCACCAAAACGCTATTAATTTAACTAAGAAACGCCTTGCTAACTAGAACACAAAGCACATCACTGATTCATCCTCATGATTTTTGCCAGGCTGGAAATATTCAGAAGCACGGGGTAAGATGATGCCGGGTTAGTAGCAATACCAACTGTCGACTGTCTTCGGCTGAAAACAAGGCATTATAGCTACGATCATAGATCTGCAGGGTTATAAATGCACATTTTCCACGGCATTTCCCAGGAACACACATATATCAATTCATCGTCTCCCTCATCTAAATAATACCAGGCAGCATGACAAATCTCTTTCTCTTATATTTGTCGCCGAACTCCTTGCGGTAACGACGTTCCTTCTTCTTAGCCCAGCTAGCCATCTGCGCCGCACCGACCGTGATGAAGAACAGCACACTCCAGCTGAGCCCGCTAACCAGGTAGACTCCAAGCCAGGCAATCACCTCGAACAAGTAGTTAGGGCAGGTCACGAGGCTAAAACCAAGGCCGGAGGGAATTCCCCTCTCTGTGGTGCCAGGACGGCGCAGATCACGAAGTACCAGGTGCGCATTGAGGTTAGCGAGCTCCCCAAAGACAAAAAGTGCGAGACCAGAATACAAGAGAGCGGGGCTAGGCTGGCTAGTGGACGCAGCTGCGTCTGGACGGAAGACCCAGTAGGCGATGTTGAAGCCAGCTAGGATCCAATAATGAGCGCTGTTCTTGAAGATATTGCGAGCCGGCATCGTGGCGTTGCTAAAGCGGTGGATGAAAATCGTTTCATACTCGCGCTTCAAGAAGTGGACGGACAGGAGCCCACAAAGCAGAAGCTGGGTGTCGGAGGGGTCCGGAAGAGGTCCATCGAAATTGAAATAAATCAATGACCGGAGAGGAAAAAGAAACAGGGCAGGAATAAGAAGTGGCCCGAGATACTCGATGATGAACACAGTGCGCCAGCTTATCTGAGGGCCTTCAAGATCGTGACACAACCATCTATCGGTTAGCTCTCTAGTCACAGTGACAAGGGACAGCTAGCCTTCAGAGATCCAGCTCTTCCACGTACCAAGGTCCTTCACATGAATCACACTCATCTCTCTGAGGCCCGTTTGTTCCACAAGAGTGGTTTGCGAATTAGGGATCACTGTCCGGTCGCTGCCCTTGGTGATCCGCAGGCGGTGGATGGAACAGCCTGAAGTTCGCGCGAGCGAGCTATATACTGCCTGCGCGGAGGCATCGGAGGCTATGTGAAGCTCATTAGGGAGTCCCTTGATTGGTTTCCCTAACGTCGCGTTAGCATACCAGTTCGGACGTCCAGAGAGGCTACAAAAAGATCAAACGAACCTCGTGGCTCAACAACCAGCGTAATATCTGTCGACCCCATTGCAATCAGGACCTCGGCCGTTTTTTTTGGGATGTTCTATGCGGCAAATTGATTGATCTTGCAGGGTAAGAGGCAACCATTTATTTTCAACGGTGGAAACGGGCCTCGGCTTTTTGGTCACGTGAGCTCAACATTTCCATCCCTAGTGACGCCATTGGATTTGGAGCTGCACAATTGTCCATCGCGTATACAATGTGCTGGGATAAACTCGGTATTCGGAGGGGCAGTATCATCGAAGGGAAGAGAGTGTAGACTCTTCAGCAAAGGACAGCAATACATTTGTCCTCATGGATATTGTTATGCCAGTAAATGTGTAATTGCGTCAATGTTCTCACCATCCTTACTCGAAGTAATATATTTTGACTGAGCAGGCTACTCCTAGTTTTATGGGTAATATAGGTACGTCTTGCAGGGAATTTGAGAAGGAACGGTTAGTCGCATGAAAAGAAGAATCTAAAAAAGAAAAAAAATACATATCATAAGATTATCTTGAAAGCTTAGTTCTATGTAGACGGCAGCCACCGTGAAATACTCCCAAGTTTGCTGAAGAGTCCATGCCTTAAATAGTCTTTCGTGTAGTCTGGGTGGCGTCAACAGGATTCTCTTCCTCTTTCTTGTCATCATCATAATTCCCTCTATTGTTATTCATTCGGATTTCATTCCAACTTGGGTTGAGGTTGTCTCGGCATTACTGTACTTCCAAATACAGATCTGGTGACACGATCGGCACGCGTCATACACACCCTGGCTAGACAGCGAGCAAGTTATCCTTCTCATCTCCTCCACAGGGTTTCTCCGAGGTGCTGATCGCAGCTGACTCTATGATATACACTACTACTACAAATGGTAGGACTTCGGAGACAAGGTATCCTGGTAGAGAGTCAGCTACTTTGTGGTACCTGCAGAAGGGCGTTGAAGAATGTGAATTCTCCTGTCTCAGCCAGCCATTCAAGTACAAGAAGAAGGCCATTATATTTGGCTTGTATCAGTGCGGCAATAAGATGATGGATGTCTCTCTCGGCCCTTCTCGCTTGAGATGTTACTTGCTCCTTAAGAACACCCAATAGCGGATTTTTGAATCGATTCCAGGAATTGGGGGCACTGCTCATAATGGTTCATTCCTCGGCTACTGCGCAAGGTGGCCGCTTTCATGCGCGAATCAGGGTGTCCTCCGCACAGAGATGTATGTAGAGACAAAGTACAGCTGTCAGTGGGGCATTTCTCGTTTCGGCGAGAGTATGTAGTCCACGAAGGGAGAAAGGACACTAATGTTGGTATGACGCCTCCGGATCCGGGTGCTATGAGTGGCTGGCGCAGTACATGGACATGCAGATTGCTCGATTTTCCCACACAATTCATGCTGTTGGCTTAATCCTGCCTCACTGCACTGTGTGGCCTTTCAGTCCACATGGAAACCGTCGACAGAACTTCCTGAAACCTTGGCTGGACTCTGGAGAACCTACTCTACCCTCCCTTTTCTCCTATTCAGCCCTTTTCAGAACCTACCATGGTTACTTTATAAATTGTACCGCAGAACCCTGGATCGTTGGACCTATATACTCCTACATTTTCATATGCTTCTGACGTCTGTTCAATTTTAAGTTTTACTGTTGGTGGTTAGTATTGGATATCACGGATTTGAGAGAGATTATCTTTCATTGTATAGTTCGTCACAGGTCATTTGCTGAGCTCTGTGTCATGAGGGTGTTTGGTACCGAAATATTTATCGTCCCCCATTTCGCTGTAGGAAACTTGACTACGAGCTACTACCATCGTGCTACTACCTTCGGCCAGCTTTTCTACAACCTATCCCACAATGATGGACCAAACGTCGACTTCGGTTTTGAACGGGGTCACAAAGACCTTTTCGCAGATCGAAAAGGTTGTGTCTGCATCGCTACGTCCATTACCAACTGACACAGGGGATGGGACGTATATGGCATCGTCAAATAGTTCTGGTATTGTCAAAGATATCAGCCAACTCGACCTCAACGACGTCAAGACTATGGTGGATCTTACTAAGAACGTTGCTACGGGGGAGCCGGTCGATGATAAACAGTATATCATGGAACGAACGATACAAGTAAGCCCATAACCCCATTCATACTAAACAAGCACTTCAACTTTCGATACTGAACCATGCTTCTAGCTCGTTTCGGGATTGCCGCCTACATCTCGAGCTGGCAGAGAAATGACACATGCTTTTCTTAACCAACTGTGGAGTGATTTAGAACACCCTCCCATCTCGTATGTTGCTTGGCGGCGAGTAAACTTATATAAAAATAATAAGGCTAACAATATGACGTAGATATCTGGGTCGTGATTCCTTGTATCGGGAGGCTGATGGCTCCAGAAATGTATGGCCCTACTTACAGACCAAAATACGCTCACTAACAGTGGAGTAAGAATATGCTGTGGCCTCATATTGGTGCTGCTGGCTCTCACTATGCAAGATCCGTACGGCCTCAGACAATACAGTCGCCTGTTCTTCCTGACCCTGAGACCCTTTTCGATTCTCTCTTGGCACGTAAGCATTTCCAAGAGCATCCGAACAAAATATCCAGTGTTTTGTTTTATATTGCTTCCATTATAATCCATGGTAAGCTTGTCGGGAGGAAAAGAATCCAAATCGCACTGAAACTGACAGCACCCGAGACCTATTTCAAACGGATCCCAATGACAATACGGTATCGCTGACATCGTCGTACCTGGACCTTGCACCGCTCTATGGGAACAATCAGGATGAGCAAAACTCTGTGCGGACTTTCAAAGATGGAAAGCTGAAGCCGGACTGCTTCTCGACAAAAAGAATACTAGGGTTTCCACCAGGAGTTGGCGTGCTTCTGATTATGTTCAACCGGTTCCATAACTATGTCGTCGAGCAGTTGGCATCCATAAATGAAAATGACCGGTTTACCCGACCAGACGAGTCACAAGCTAAGGAGTATGCGAGATATGACGGCGACCTTTTCCAGACAGGACGGCTTGTGACTTGCGGCCTATACGTCAACATCATTCTCAAAGACTACGTTCGAACGATTCTGAATGTCAATAGAACTGATAGCACCTGGAGCTTAGATCCTCGCGCAGTGATCAAAGATGGACTGTTTGGGCGAGCAGCAGCCCAGGCCACAGGTAACCAAGTATCCGCAGAATTTAACCTCATTTACCGCTGGCATTCTTGCGTATCACAGCGCGATGAGAAGTGGATACGGGAGCTATACAGCGAGATATTTCCTGGAAAGGACCCGAGTAGCATTCCCCCGGATGAGTTTGTTCGGGGCCTTGGTAAATGGGAGGCGGAGCTTCCAGAACAGTCACAGGATTGCTCATTTGCCGGACTGCAGCGCAAAGCGAACGGGATGTTTGATGATGATGCTTTGGTCAATATTTTCCGGGAAAGTGTAGAGGACTGTGCAGGGGCATTTGGTGCCTCGCACGTCCCTACTGTCTTCAAGAGTATTGAAGCGCTTGGAGTTATGCAATCCCGTTCTTGGAACCTGGCAACTTTAAATGAGTTCCGAAAATTCTTCAATTTGGTTCCCTATAAAACATTTGAGGAGATTAATCCTGACCCTTACATTGCTGACCAGCTCAAACGGTTGTATGACCACCCTGATCGCGTGGAGATTTACCCAGGCGTCATTATCGAGGACACAAAGGATTCGTTGGCTCCCGGCAGCGGTCTCTGCACCAATTTCACGATATCTAGGGCTGTTCTCTCAGATGCGGTGGCTTTGGTTCGTGGCGATAGATTTTATTCGACTGACTTCACGCCGAAGCATCTTACAAACTGGGGTTTCAAGGAAATCCAGCCTGAAGATTCTGTTGACCAAGGACATGTCTGGTACAAGCTAGTCTTGCGAGCGTTTCCGAACCATTTCAAAGGAAATTCTGTATACGCACATTTCCCTATGGTCATTCCATCCGAGAACAAGAAGATTCTCACAAAGCTCAGGCTCTCGCAAAAGTACTCCTGGGACAAACCTAGGTACATATCTCCGCCTCGCTTTATTAATTCGCACACTGCTTGTATGTCTATATTATCAAACCAGGAGACATTCAAGGTAACATGGGGTCAAAAGATTGAATTCTTGATGCACCGCAACAATCATCCGTATGGCAGAACTTTCATGCTTTCTGGTGATAACTTGCCAAATGCTACATCGCGGAAGATGATGAAATCGGCACTGTACTGGAACAAATGGGAAGATGAAGTAAAGAATTTCTATGAGGCGATTACCTTGGAGCTCTTACATAGGCATTCTTACAAGATCGCCGGAACCAACCAGGTTGATATTGTACGTGACGTTGTTAATATCGCCCATGTTCACTTCTGTGCGACTGTTTTCTCATTGCCCTTGAAAACTGAAACCAACCCTCGGGGCATATTCACGGAAGTCGAGCTATATAAGATCATGGCGGTTGTCTTCACCTCTATATTCTATGATGTGGATGTCGCGAAGTCTTTCGAACTGAATGAAGTTGCTCGAGCGGCTGCACAGCAACTTGGCCAGCTGACAATGGCCAATGTTGAATTGGTTGCCACATCAGGCTTTATTGCGAATCTGGTTAATATTCTGCATCGTCACGATGCTCTTAGTGAGTATGGTGTCCACATGATTCAACGCTTACTCGCCAGTGGTCTTCCAGCAAATGAGATTGTATGGACTCACTTACTGCCAACTGCTGGTGGAATGGTGGCAAATGAAGGGCAGCTCTTCTCTCAATGTCTCGACTACTACCTCTCTGAAGAGGGATCGAGTTACCTACCGGAGATCAATCGACTCGCCAATGAAAACACCCCAGAAGCTGACAATAAATTGCTACACTAGTAAGAAAACCACTATTCAAAAGATGCGCTATGTCAGGTGTACTGAGATACTTTCTTCCTCTTATAGTTTCATGGAGGGTGCTCGACTGCGATCATCTGTAGGCTTACCTCGCGTGATAGCAAAGCCCACAACCATCATGGACAATGGAGAGAAAGTGAATTTGAAGGCTGGCCAGCACATACTTTGCAATTTAGTGAGTGAATGAACCTCTCCCTGCACCCCCGTCTTCATTAGCAATGAGTATGATGTATGCATTAAAGACAGAAAGAGAAAGGAAACACAAGCGCTACAAGACACGGTTAACTGTGTTCAAGCTACTGACATCTGCTGCTCTCTACCTAGGTAACCGCATCTATGGACCCTACCAGTTTTCCGGAGCCAGAAAAAGTAAAACTTGATCGCGATATGGGTCTTTATGCCCACTTCGGTTTTGGGCCACATCGATGCTTAGGAATCGGCCTCTGCAAAATAGCGCTCACGACGATGCTGAAAGTAATAGGACAACTCAACAATCTTCGCCGCGCTCCTGGTCCTCAAGGGAGGCTCCACAAGCTTTCAGGACCTGGGGGGATTTCAAAGTACCTGAATGCAGACCAAAGTGGGTTTACGCCCTTCCCAACGAGCATGAAGGTTCAATGGGATGGTGAATTGCCGGATCTGAAACAGAAATCGTAGTTTGAACACACGATGAATATGTACTGTTACATTGTTGAGAAACGGCTCTCGAGCAGTATTTTTTTAAATATCACAGTTGCTAATAATTTTTCTTCAGCTATGCACCATGAGTTGTATTATTCATGTGAATATCATTCAGCTGCGAGAAAATATATTATTCATAATTTTCTTCTGCTGTCAGCCTTATGTAGAGGCCTCGGCTCACGAGCCAGCCATTTTTTAGGCAAAATAGGATACCTTATATGCCTCCTAGAAATTTCAGGTACCTGTGCCTAACATCAGGTAGTAGCCAGTACATGAAAAACGCTATGTGATCCTGGTAGGAGAGGTTTCTCAGCAGATATCTACCTGGTACCGCACCTATATAGTACAGTACCAGATTTGTAGGTGTGTAGTATCTTACCTATGGTAATAACGATACCAGTACAGGACGAAGACAAAGAAACACCCCACCTCTATGGTCCTCCTAGCTGTATTCACCCCATCTGCATGGATGGACAGCCTCCATGAAATCCATCCAAGTGAATTGAGAATCAATAATAAGCAAAAATTGATCTGGGACCGTTAGTTTCTGACTTGTCTGTCGGCGGGGAAGAAGACCCGCTCCGGCTGCTACTAGTGAGCCACAACCGTGACCAGAAAGCCCGGAGCTCCATCATTTCATCGGGATAATTTCACGAACCTTCCAAGTTCCATCTCTTCTTACCTCCCCGTCCTCTCATTCCCCCATCCGTCTCTCCTCCATATCTCTTTCTTCCCACCCTTCATCTCCCCGCCGTCTACGAGTAGTCCTGAATTACTTCTCTTCACCTCTCTTTGATACGACTTGGATGTCAAAGCTTCAGGGTTGACGACCTGCACCGTTTCCCTGTTCTTTTTGACGCCTAGCGATACGTACCGTATTTAGGTGAAGCCTCAGTTTCCCAACCCCATCCTGAGGAAAAAAAGTTTTCCTTTCAACGTTTTACCCTTGGATCGAATTTTCTTTCGCACTCGTTCATCGACTGAGCCGACGGGCGCTTCGAGAGAATCATTTCCCCTCTCACTTCCACTCATTTCGCTTTTCGTTGAGGAAAGAGAGGTCCCCAAAACGTCATAAGGCCTGCTCCGCAACTCGGTCTTCACGACCCCCGCCTACCCTCTCTAGGAGGCACTCTCCTAGACACTCTTTGTCCCTCATACCTCCTCATGATTTAATCTTTATTTGAGCGTCATTATGGGGAGAATTAAGAAGGTGGCAAGCCAGAAACATGAGGCTACAATCGTGGGTTTCCATATCCTTTCATATGCCGTGCAAACATCATCGACCTGAACATCAACTAATTTTTTTTTTCCCTTTTTCTACTTTATAGTCCCCTTATTTGGCGGAATTCGTAGCTCGCGCCACGACTATCCCAGTCCCCGAGCTCCCTTCTCACCTCAAGACATTCCCTCGTCTATGGCCTTTCCCTAGAGGTGATTTATATCATTGGATTAATGTTTTGAATCGCTTCGATGAAATTCTGGCGTCGGTTATTGATAAATACGCCCTCAACAATGGTCCACAAACAATGCCGTTTGGCAGACACGTTCTTGTTGATTCCTGTACCGGCAGCGATAATAACGTGGGCTCAGGGGACGTCGATTCTAGATTGAGCGCTCTTGCATACGGTCCAGATGGAGATAGAGAGCTCCTAGAAGCGGTTATCGACTTCTCTAGACTTCTGTTGGAGAAGTGTGGTAATCGCAGCCTGTATAGCAGCAGTGAGCGTCTAGGGGAGCTTTTGAACACCACGTCGCTTTCTCTTCTGCAGTCTACGCTTCGTCTATCGCTTTCATTGGCACAAAGGTATCACTTTCGTCAACGTGGCGGCTCCCATCTTCAGCAGAGTTTGTTGGCAGCCCACTTCAACATCGATCTGGAGAAATTGCAGAAAGTTGCCGCACCGTTCCCGCGTCCTTCTGTGCCCGCCTCCGGCAAGATAAGTGTATCTCCTGCGTTAGGGATCAAAGGCAAGGAGAAGGGACCGCAGACTAGGTACGATGCGAATGATTTAGTATCGGTAGCCCGAGAGAGTGATGGTTGGGAGGAGTGGGGCGATGTTCACCAGCTTTTCTATCCATCTGGCTCTTCCGAACAAGTGAAGGTAACGTCGGAAAGTGCACAAGGTGGAGCGCCAGCACAAGCTCCTTGCACACCGACGCCTCTGCGCAGGAGCAATACCCACCCCACCCCTCGCCTTAGCAGGTCTTCTATCATAGATGATTCTCCCGGCTTCGTTGCCAACACTCCTTCTGGAAAGTTTGACGACGTGCCACGGGGTGGGAAGACCCTTGACATCTCCTACTCGAAAATTTCTTCCACGTCGTCTGAGGATCTTCTTACGTCGCACTTGGAAGAGGTCCCCGAAGATGCACAATACGAGCTTCTCTACCGAATTCGGACGGCTCGAGGATTGGTAACATCTAGCTCTACTCGAGAACAGATCCTCGCAACCAGGATTCTTGCAATTACCAACTTAGCATACGTCTACCCTGAATCTCTCTTCCAGCAAAAGGTTCTTCAGTATGATATGGAACAACCGAAACGCCTCCAGATTGCCTATCAGCTGAGTGAATTAGTTCATCTCGGTGCAAGTGGCGACCTCAGAGTATCTCGGTTTCTACAGACCCTCGCACTCCAGGCACTTGATGCCCTGGCGAAACACAAAGCAAGGGCGATCGATGTTTGTGCTGCGCTGAGCGTCAATGTAAACCATGGTGTGCTTATGTTCTTGACCCGGAAAGCGGTCAATGAGTTAGGGTCCGAAGACAATGATGGAGATGATGGCAGCCAGGACGAATGGCGGGATGCCTTGCTTTCCCTCCTACGAACACTTCCTGGCTCAAGCTCTAGGACCCCAGAGACGCTTGTTTCAGCGGGCTTGATTCCGATGTTCGTCGATATCCTAAATCTCCGGACCGAGAAAGCGCGCCGTGTCTACTCTCGTGTTATGGAATTCCTGGACACCTTTGTTCACACGGTTCGTGATGCGCTTGGGACCCTTACAAATGCAAAGGGATTCGACGCAATTTCGGATCTCATTGATTTTGAAACCAAGACGTCGTTTGAAAATGTATCGCGGGGCGCCGGAATCCCGCCCCAGCACAAGACCCCGTCAATCGATTATCAAATTCCGTACTTTCAGCAGCAGACACTTCGATGGCTGTTCCGGTTTGTTAATTATATTATGCAACATAATGGCGGAGGCTTCGATCGGGTTCTTCGAAATCTAATTGACTCACCTCAGCTCCTGACGTCTCTGCGATTGGTGTTTGAAAATGCTCGGATATTCGGTTCTCACGTTTGGAGTAATGCGGTCAATATTCTTAGCAGCTTTATTCATAACGAACCTACCAGCTATGCAGTCATTGCCGAGGCTGGCCTGACCAAAAGTTTCTTGGAGGCTGTGACATTTCGCGAGCTCAAGACTGCAGAGAAACCGCCAGTTGATCCGGAAGGCATTGGTGCTGAAGGAGAGCCCTCTGGGCCGTCCGCTGCCGAGAATGGGGCTCCTGCAAGCCAGGATAAGAAACCGCGAGAGTTCGAACTTGCAAGATCGGGGGATGCGAAGCTTGCTCCTGGCATCATGCCTGCTGCGGAGGCTTTGTCATGTGTTCCATCTGCTTTCGGGGCTATCTGTCTGAATTCCTCCGGACTAGAACTATTTCAATCCTCTCATGCCTTGGAGAGTTTCTTTGAGATCTTTGAAAATCCCCAACATGTAAAATGCTTGAAAGACGATCCTAACCTGGTCCGCTCACTGGGCACCACATTTGATGAACTAGTACGACACCATCCAGCACTCAAATCGTCAATCATGACTGCAGTCATTGTGATGGTTGCACGCGTGGGCCTTCTGTGCAGAAGCAGAGCCTGGACAGATGGTATTGGGGCAAACTGTGGACGGAGGACTCTCAAGGGAAACCAATAGTTTCTGGACCTTCTCATCATCTATTCAGGAGAATTGGTGGCAGCATGACCGGTGAATCTATTGAAACATCAGAGCTGGATGTTAGAGAACCAAACTCGAGTGACCTACCCGATGGTAGCAAATTGACTATGGGGAACATAGGCCAGGTTCTGCCATCTGACCATCGTATCGAACCTAAGGATCAAGATCCTAGTGGCCTAACAGCAACTGATTACCTATATCCTGTGTTGAGGTTTTTGGGTGCTTTCTTTGAGAACCAAGCTAACTGCACCCATTTCATTGAATCCGGTGGCGTGGAGTTCATCCTAGATTTCGCGACACTGCAAAGCCTTCCGTTTGATTTCCACAACACTGATACCAATCAGGAGCTCACTGTATTGGTACACATGCTGGCAGAGACGAAGCCTCATCTGGTTGTCCCTAGACTAGTGGATCGCCTCGACTCGATTGTCGAGTTGCTCTCCGATTTCTGGCGCTTGTCTGGGCCTCGAGACTCAGGGTTCTTCGCCCCGTTGATTAAGCCGTCTTCCGAGAAGGAAACCGAGGCCAAATGCGGCGAATCCTGGACCCTTGTTAAAGGTAACGGGACGTACTTTGCTAAGCATATGGTGGCTGCTCTTATCCTAACGGACCTCCTTCGGGAGGTCTATTCCATGCCTCTGTATCAGACCCGGCCCAGCCAGCAGGCTTCCGCATTCGCCCAGGTCAATCTGGCCGACCGTTATTGCTCTCTGATTGGAAGATTGGGAGGTCTACATGCAGCGTGTGTGTGGGAGGAGATCCTGCTAGAGAAGAACATACCGGACACTTGGGATCAGGCAACAAAAGCGCAATCAAGCGGGCTGAGTGCTGAGAAATCCAATGAGACCGTGGGGCCTTCGAATCCGGATGGAGGTTCCACTGCGGCTGCAGGTGGCTCTCAAGAAGGTTCGTCTACCAATGACGCTGCTCAGCTAGGTCCTAGTCAAGAGCCAAAGGAGAGTGCTGCCGAAATTCTGGAAGGCGGCATGGCGTTCAAGAACGTTCAAGCCCTTAGATATCTTCTGAGTTCCTTGCCCTCCTCAATCACAGGCTTTTTCCATAATCTGGGGCTCGGTCTAATTGGAAAAAGGAGGATTGATTTCTACCAAAGGCAAAATGCTACCATGGTTGCCGAGGCCGTTGCACTGGCTGTGATCGAGCAGTTGAAACTCTCCCCTCCAAACTCGAGTGATAGCCCTAAACTTCGATTCGCATACCTCATTGTCATATTGTCCTCGTTCACGCATTTGCTCTTTGAAGGTTCGTGTCCATGTTCACCTCTTGCCTACGCTAATAAACAACTGTATCTAAGAGACTGACTTTGTCGCAGCCACGGCGGACCGCCCTCATTCGCACTACCTCACTCTGGTTCTCTTTGCGTTCAAGAGGTGCGGAGGGCTGAAGTTATTGAAAGACGTATGTGACACTTTCATGCGGGAGGTTAAGGCCCTGACCCCTTCGAAGTCTGTTCCCGAATCTGAGAATGACGTCTCAGCCCGGCTTACCTCGGCTTATGGGGGTGTCAAGATTATCCTTGGCTTCTTCTCCGAGCTAGCATCCGGGAAGAACATCATCGATTCTAGTCAGACACAAGCCATGACTAGTAGTGACCGGGATCGGGATAGGCCCGATTATTTCCAACCAGGGCAGTTCCTGGTTGACCTACGAATGGAGATACTTCCAATGGCCAGGGACATGTGGAATTCCGATTTTGGGACCCAGTCGTCGAGCTCTGTGATCAAGTGTCTAGTCGACATCCTGCGTTCATCACTTGATGGTGAATATGAGACGGGGGCTGCTCGACGCTCCGACACTCCCCCGCCTTTGACAGAAGTAGCGAAGAGAGCATTTGTACTCAACCGGGATCGTGCCACTTCCTTACAAGATAAAGGGTTCGACTCAGACCTGGTGAAGGAAGCGATGTACCGCTGCAATAACGTTGCCCTCGCTGCTGAGGAATACTGCAAGGCACAAAGCTGGCTGTTACCTCCTCCAAGAATGGCGCCTCCACCCAACGACGTTGAGTCTGCTCGTTCTAGTACGACGTCAGGCGGAGAGCCTGCCGAGGATGCAGCCGTGGGAGATGCTCCACCCTTCGACAGCGGGCTCCTCGAACGTTCTGCTCTTGCTATGCTTTTGGCGCAAGCGTCAGGCCGGTCAGACGAAGGATCCCGGCAAGATCAAAATCAAGGAGGAACCGAGGAGAGTGAAGTTAGGCATGGTACTGAATTCTTAGCTCGAGCCTTGACTCACATCCTTAATGATGAACATGGTACAGGTGATATCGATCGAGATGAGCCTTCGAGTAGCAACACTCGTAATACTGGCTCCGCCGGAGGAGATCCTTCTGAGTCATCGAACAGTGCGGCCAACCAGTCCTCGGAGCATAGTGCAGATCAACCTGTACGACGTCGTGAGGTTCTCACTGTGGAAGATTTGGATAAGGAGCGTGAGAAAGTTCGTTCGAACCTGATCGAGCGTTGCTTGGATGTGTTGAATGAGCACCATGACGTGTCCTTTGAATTGGCCGACCTGATTTCTTCTGCTACCAAGAAGCACCGCGACCCGGAAACATTCCGGAAGGATGTTGGTGAGATTCTTGTTCAATCTCTTGTTTCCTTGCAGATGGACAACTTCCAAGCGGCTGGTAAAAAGGTTGCAGCCTATGCCCATCTCCTGGCGCTAGTAGTCCAAGACAGAGACATGTACAATGCCACGTTGGGAGAACTCAAAGAGTGCTTCACCACTTTCCTTGGATTTATCAAATTGTCGCCTGAAGGTTCCGATGAGTCGTTCCCGTGGATTGGGCACGTGCTTCTCGTACTAGAGAAATTGCTTTCTGATGACGCACAGCCTACTCAGATCCAGTGGAGTTTGCCTGATAGCAATAGCGCAGATGCCCAAGACGATTTCCCAGCTCACCTGGCAGAGCCACTTGTGTCTATAGACCAGAAAACGCAGTTGTTCGAGGCACTCGTTGAAATTCTTCCGAGGATCGGAAAGGATGATACTCTAGCCCTCTCCGTGTCTCGAATTCTTGTAATCCTTACTCGGCATCGCAGCATTGCTGTCCGCTTAGGTGAGAAGCGAAGCTTGCAGCGCCTTTTCGTTATGGTTAAGCAACTTTCGAGCTCGACAAATGAAAAACTCCAGAGTGCTTTCATGTTGATATTAAGACATATAATTGAAGATGAAGACACTATTCGGCAAATAATGAGAAGTGAGATTGTCGCCAACTTTGAGTCTAAATCGTCTCGCCAGATTGATACTACCGGTTACGTCCGACAAATGTATCATCTCGTCCTTAGGTCACCGGAGCTGTTTGTGGAAGTATCGAACGAAAAGCTGAAGTTGCAACGATATGATAGTCGGCAACGCCCTCAGGTTCTTACTCTGAAGTCAGACAAGAATAGTGGCACTTCTAACTCCTCGTCGACTGAAAATGGTGCACAGAGCTCAAGTCGTAGCGATGAGAACGCATCGGGCGCCGCGCCCTCGGAGGAACAAGATAAGGGCAAAGGCACAGAGCTGAAAACACCTGTTGTGGAAAACCCGGACGGCGTCATTCATTATCTACTTTCTGAGCTTTTATCTTACAAGGATGTCGATGACAAGGAACCATCTACCGAGTCTGCAGATTCCTCTGCTCAAGAACAATCAGAGATCCAGACCGATGTGGAAATGTCAACTGAAGAGCCCTCTCCGTCTGTTTCTACTACCGACTTGCAGGCTATACGCAACTCCAAAAAGCCAGAAAAGCCGGTATTCAAAGCTGATGATCATCCAATCTACATATACCGATGCTTCCTGTTGCAATGTCTGACAGAACTCCTTTCGTCGTACAATCGAACTAAGGTCGAATTCATCAACTTCTCTCGCAAAGCAGATCCTCTTGCAGCCACCCCGTCCAAGCCACGCTCGGGTATCCTGAATTATCTTCTGAATGCCCTCGTTCCTATCGGCACCATGGAACATGAGGAGTCTGTTGCTTTTAAGAAGCGGAGCAACACTTCTTCTTGGACCATGCGAGTACTTGTTGCCTTGTGCACCAAGACTGGCGAGTTTGGTGGCACTGGAAGACGTCGAGATCAGAATACGAATGAAGAAGACGAGCCAGAGCTTGCCTTTGTACGAAAGTTTGTCTTGGAACACGCGCTTCGAGCCTATAAAGAGGCGAATGCGTCCAACGAACCTTTAGATGCAAAGTATTCTAGGCTGATGTCTTTGGCTGATCTGTTTGATAAGATGCTTAGCGGCTATGCTTTCGTTTCGGGGGATACTAATTTCCCTGCCTCCACAAGACAGCTCGCGAAAACAATGTTCGAAAAAAATTTCATCGCTGCGCTCACGGCCTCAGTTGCTGAAGTTGATCTTAATTTCCCAGCCTCTAAGCGTGTCATCAAGTACATTCTACGCCCGCTTAACAAGCTTACGCAAACTGCTGTCATATTGAGTGAGACATCCGATCTCTCCACCCTCGGAGAGACGGAAGAAGATGAGATCTCGTCAGCTACTTCGGTTTCCGATATGGATGATGAACGCGAAGAAACCCCTGACCTGTTCCGGCACTCTACACTGGGTATGTTGGAACCTCGTCATGAAGAGGAGACAAGCTCCGAGGAATCGGAGGAAGAAGAAGATGATGAGATGTATGATGATGAATATGAAGAAGAAATGGATTATGATGAAGATCTTCCCGAGGATGATGGCGAGGTCGTCAGTGATGAAGAAGACGAAATCGAAGGTGTCGGTCCCATTGAAGGCCTTCCCGGCGATTCTGGTATGGATATCGAAGTTGTAATCGATGACGACGAAGATGATGAAGATGATGAGGAGGAGGAGGACGATGATGGGTCTGACATGGACGATGATGAAATTTTCGCCGGCGAGATCACTGGTGACCGGGACAACGAAAGTTTGGAAGGCGGAGATGATGATGAATGGGAAAGCGAGGAAATGTCAGAAGATGAGGAGGAAGCTGAGATTATGGACCAGTTTGAGAGCGAACTTGCCGATATCCGACAAGCTGATCAGCACGATGATGGGCGGCGGCGTTTTGACGATTTGTTCCGCGTTCTTAACGAGGCCGCTGGAGGTGTCGAGGATTTGCAAGCCGATAGCCTTGGGGATATTCACGATGACATCGCTGACGATGATTTGAATGAGGATGATGGTCAGACTTCCTATCCCCGTCCCCCTGAGACGTCTGAGGTTACTAACGTGGTATAGAAGATGATGAAATCGATGAGCTTGAGGAGGATCTTGACGATGCTGACGACGACCAAGGATCGTACCAAGGCTTCGATGATGGTAATTCCTATGATTTTCCCCAAGTATAACTATAGGCTAACTGGATTTTAACAGATGAAGATCTCATTGAACCATGGGGATGGGATAGTGAAGAGCCTCCATTGCCCCGTGGACATCACCATCGCTTCCGTGGGCCTCAGCCGGCATGGGCCGCAGTTACGGGGATTATGCCCAGTCGACATGGGGTCGTTCCAATCCAACCATACCGGTTTCACCGTACGCAGATTCCTGCGCGGGGATCCGATGACGGAACAAATCCCCTCCTTGTTCGAACTGACCGCGGACCTGAGACAGGCCAACCTCGTGGACCTGGTAACGAAGCTTTCACGGACTGGGTCCACGGTATGGAACCCGTGTCTACTGGCCGCTTGCTTCCCATGGATAGTCCTGTCAGTTTTATGAATGCCATTATGCAGGCCATCGGTGGACAAAATGCTCCAGGGTTCGGAGTTATTACTCGCCCAGACGGAATACACGTTCACGTTGACAGGCGAGCCCTCTTGCCCAATCGTATTCAAGATATGTTCGGGCTTGGCAGACAACAAGCTCCTCCATCTCGAGCCCGGGACGACCCGTCTCAAGCTGTAAGCTTCGCTCTTGCACCAACCAGGAACCGCTGGCAAGAGGAGGCTCGTATTTTGTTCAGCGGTACATACGTCGAGAAAACGCAGCGTGTAGTCAACTCCCTTCTGAAAATTCTCGTTCCTCCCGCCATCGAGGAAGAGAAAGAACGGGAAAAGCAAATGGAAGCGGAACTTAGGCGACGAGAGGAAGAACGAGCCGAGCGAGAACGTCAGGAACGCGCCGCCCGAGAAGAAGAGGAGAAAGAGCGGAAGCGGAAAGAGGAAGAAGAAAGTGCCAGGCGACAGCAAGAACTGGAGCAACAAGAAGCAGAACGGCAAGCTTCAGGGCCGGTTTCCGAACCTATGGACGATGTGCAACAAACAGACACCACTGGTGAAGCTGTTACTACATCAGACCAGGCTGATACGGGTCCTTCAGAACCCCGTCCCCGAGTGCACACAACTATCCGAGGCCGCCAACTTGACATCACTGGAATGGAAATTGACCCCGAGTACCTAGAGGCCCTACCTGAAGAGTTGAGAGAAGAGGTCATCATGCAACAACTCGCGGAGCAGCGTTCTCAGGCCACTGCAGCCGGTGAGGAGCCTAGCGAAATCAACCAGGAGTTCTTAGAAGCCTTGCCCCCAGAGATACGTGAAGAATTGCTGCAACAAGAGGCGGCCGATCGTCGCCGCCGAGAGCGTGAGAGTGCCCGCAGACAAGCAGCAACTAGCGGTGCTCCAGCTCACGCTGAAGATATGGACGCTGCTAGCTTCTTGGCTACTCTTGACCCATCTCTACGCCAGGCCGTCCTCGCCGACCAGCCGGAGGAAATTCTGGCAACCTTGGGGCCCGAATTTGTTTCCGAAGCACGCGCTCTTCCTGGAAGGCGGCTTACCCAATTTGGTGATATCTCGAGAGCCGAACATCGCCACAGAAACGAGCCAGCGGATGACAAAGAGCCGAAGAAGCAGCAGCGGCGTCAAATTGTTCAAATGTTGGACAAGGCTGGTGTTGCTACTCTACTCCGTTTGATGTTCATGCCTTTGCAGGGTAATGCGCGCCACCAGCTGAATGACATCCTCCATAATGTCTGTGAAAATCGACAGAATAGGGTTGAAGTGATTAGCCTTCTTCTTTCCGTTCTGCAGGACGGCAGCTCGGATGTCTCTGCGATCGAACGCAGTTTTGCTCAGCTTTCGCTGCGTGCTGCGTGTAAACCCCCTGTGTTGAAGACACCCCAGTCCGTAAAGCGCAGCCTTGCCTTCCAATCTTCCTCGAGCGTGAGCAGCGAAGTAACGCCGATCATGGTGGTGCAGCAATGCCTGGGAACTCTTTCTTTCTTGTCTCAGTATAACCCACATATTGCGTGGTTTTTCTTGACAGAGCATGACCCTTCATCTACACTCAAACTGAAGGCGTTCCGCAAGGGCAAGAGCAAGGAAAACAAGGCGAACAAATTTGCTCTCAACGCGCTGCTTAATCTTCTCGATCGAAAGTTGATTATGAAAGCCCTAACTGCATGGAACAACTATCTAGTCTCCTTAGCAGTATAACGCAGCCACTTACGTTACTTCTTCGTCGTGAGAAAGAAAAGCAAGAGGAAGAAGAAAAGGGCAAGAAACCAGAACGGGTGGAGAGCCAAGGGCAGTCAGGAGATCAGGAACAACAACCACAGCCTCAAACAGCAGAGGTCACTGGCTCCGCCACGGATGCTACCATGACAGATGCTCCAATGCCCTCTGGGGAAGGTACTGAAGCGCAGGGTGTGACAGAACCGGCCCAGGTTCAGGAGAACAAACCAGCAGAAACGTCTAAGACCGAGACAGCCAAGGGATCGACAGAGGAGGAAAAGCCTAAGAAGAGAATCATCGAGCCCCCTGTTGTCCCTGACCACAACCTACAACTGGTAGTCCATATCCTAGCCGCCCGTGAATGTAACGGAAAGACATTCAGGGATACGCTGTCAACCATCAATAACCTTTCTGCTGTACCTGGAGCAAGAGATGTGATTGGAAATGAGCTCGTCAGCCAGGCTCAAACCCTGAGTACCACAATTCTGACTGACCTGGACGAGTTATTAGCGCACATCAACCAGGCCCAAACCGGCACTGATATGCAAGGCTTGGCCCTAGCCAAGTTCTCTCCAGCAAGCTCGGACCAAGCGAAGCTGTTGCGTGTCCTTACTGCTCTTGACTACCTCTTTGATCCAAACCGCGCAGATAAGGTTAAAGGAAATGAACCTGAAAACACGTCCAAGGAGGATGTCTTGCAAACTTTGTACGAGAGTTCTACGTTCGGACCTTTGTGGACGAGGCTAGGCGAATGCTTGACCCTTATTCGACAGAAAGAAAATATGCTGAACGTGGCCACAATTCTCCTGCCGCTTATCGAGGCCCTGATGGTTGTGTGCAAGAACACTTCTTTGAAGGACACTACCCTTTCTCGAAACAGCCGGGAGTTGTCTGTGTCAAGCTCCTCGGTCGAAGCGGGACTGAATATGGAGAGTCTCTTCTTCAAGTTCACGGAGGAGCACCGCAAGATTCTGAATGAACTTGTCCGGCAGAACCCCCGCTTGATGAGTGGTACTTTCTCTTTGCTCGTGAAAAATCCCAAGGTCCTGGAATTCGATAACAAGCGGAATTACTTCACTCGCCGAATCCACTCTCGTGGTGCCGAGCCTCGTCATCCTCACCCTCCTCTCCAGCTTTCTGTCAGGAGAGACCAAGTTTTCCTCGACTCGTTCAAATCTCTATATTTCAAGACGGCAGATGAGCTGAAGTATGGCAAACTGAATGTGCGCTTCCATGGAGAAGAGGGTGTTGATGCAGGAGGTGTGACGAGAGAGTGGTTCCAAGTGCTTGCACGCGGCATGTTCAACCCTAACTATGCCTTGTTCATCCCAGTTGCCGCGGATCGAACGACTTTCCACCCCAATCGTCTGAGTGGCGTCAACTCGGAGCATCTGATGTTCTTCAAATTTATTGGTCGGATAATTGGCAAAGCCCTGTACGAGGGGCGGGTTCTTGATTGCCACTTTAGCCGTGCAGTGTACAAGTGCATCCTCAGTCGGTCCGTATCTATCAAGGATATGGAGACGCTCGATCTCGACTACTACAAGTCTCTCCTTTGGATGCTTGAAAACGACATCACTGACATCATCACCGAGACCTTCGCTGTTGAGACCGATGACTTTGGAGAAAAACAGGTCATCGACCTTATAGACAATGGAAGCAACATTCCAGTCACTCAAGAGAATAAGGAGGAGTATGTGCAGCGTGTTGTTGATTACCGCTTGATCGGATCCGTTAAAGAGCAGCTTGACAATTTTCTCAAAGGTATGGGTTTCCATCTTGTTCTTGCAAATGGTTAAAGGAATATACCGCTAACACCCCCTTGTAGGGTTCCACGAAATCATTCCACCTGATTTGATCTCTATTTTCAATGAACAAGAGCTTGAGCTGCTGATTTCTGGTCTTCCCGAGATTGATGTAGATGACTGGAAGGTAAATACTGAGTACCATAACTATTCTGCCTCTTCTCCCCAGATCCAGTGGTTCTGGCGTGCCGTCCGTTCATTCGACAAAGAAGAACGTGCCAAGCTACTCCAGTTCGTTACTGGAACGAGCAAGGTGCCGCTGAACGGCTTCAAGGAACTGGAAGGTATGAATGGTGTCAGTCGGTTCAACATCCATCGCGACTACGGCAACAAGGATCGCCTCCCAAGCTCGCACACGTGCTTCAACCGTAAGTCTTGTCTCATCCCCAGAGTTGATGTCGGAGAGTACTAACTGGGCATGACAGAGCTCGATCTTCCAGAATACGAGAGCTACGAGACTTTGAGGCAGCGTCTATATACTGCAATGACGGCCGGTAGCGAATATTTCGGGTTTGCATAAATTGGTAGCGCTGTTCGATTCTGTTGATTTGTGCGCCTGATGGCTTCACGAGTCTACCTGTTTTTCTCCTTTCCACTTCCATTAGCTCTAGTGCAGGTGCATTTTACGGCGTTTGACTTGTGCTTTTCGACTAGTTGTACCATTTGGGCTGATTTGTTGCTGGGGGACAGTAGAAGAAGCGTTGGCTGTGGCCGAAGAACCGGTTGAAGTGCAGGTCAGCCGGGACGATGGTGGTAGAGCAGCCCATTCTTTTACTATAACAACCCAGTGAAAAAAAAAAAACCATTTACTTCTGTTCATTGTGTTTTTTTGTTTCCCTTGCAGCCATGTATTCATGTACTTAGGGTAGTTCTAGAGCAATTAATTAATCAATGCAATTGGGGCTCTCTGTTTTCTCAATGACTAGCCGTCACATGGCAGGCGGTAAGCGCCAGTCTTGGGACGCAACATTTTTCTGCCGGAAAAAAAGTCTCACGGGGCATTGTGCAGTCTTCAAAGGCGATTCCTTTCTCTCTCGGGTATGAGCTCTTTCCATTCATCCGAATAATAGCCACCTCATCCATTTCTCAACCCATACTTCTTGCTTGGGTTCCTCTTATTGATTGCCTTGCTCCCTTCGTTGAACCCTGTTATTCCATAATGGCGACCAACTCGATCAAGCTCTTGACTGGTAACAGTCACCCTGAACTTGCAAACCTCGTAGCCGATCGGTATGACACTTCATGCTGTCTATGAGGCGGCTGCCGTGCTATGTCTTCATCACTGGGCTAACTAACTGCTCCTTATTTGGGCGAGATTGACAGACTCGGCATTGAGCTGACCAAGATCATGGTCCTCCAGTATTCAAATCAGGAAACCAGTGTTACAATCGGTGAAAGTGTGCGAGATGAAGACGTCTTCATCCTTCAGTCCACACGACCGAACGACATCAACGACGGGCTGATGGAGCTGCTTATCATGATCAATGCTTGCAAGACCGCCTCTGCGAGACGCATCACTGCCGTAATTCCCAACTTTCCTTATGCGCGCCAGGACAAGAAGGATAAAAGCCGTGCGCCGATTACCGCAAAGCTTATGGCGAACATGCTTCAGACTGCGGGATGCAACCACGTCATCACCATGGATCTTCACGCCAGTCAAATCCAGGGCTTCTTCAACGTTCCAGTCGATAACTTGTATGCTGAGCCAAGTATGCTGAAGTGGATCCGAGAGCATCTCGACGTGAACAACTGCGTCATCGTGAGTCCTGATGCTGGTGGTGCAAAGCGGTAAGAAGCGATACCTACGTACTGGCCCTTTTTGAGTCCGTCATTGACTGGTTGATGTTGTTATTAGCGCCACGAGTATCGCCGATCGACTGGACCTCCAATTTGCTTTGATCCACAAGGAGCGACCTCGTCCCAATGAAGTTTCGCGAATGGTTCTTGTTGGAAACGTTAAAGATAAGATTGCTATCATTGTCGATGATATGGCTGATACATGCGGAACTCTTGCCAAGGCCGCTGATACCGTGATGGAGCACGGGGCTAAGGAAGTTAACGCTATTGTTGTACACGGCATCCTCTCGGGTAAGGCGATTGAGAATATCAACAACAGCTGCCTCAAACGTGTGGTTGTCACCAACACTGTCCCCCATGCGGATAAGAAAGAAGCATGCGACAAGATTGATACCATTGATGTCAGCCCCACACTGGCCGAGGCCTGCAGGCGTACACACAACGGCGAGTCTGTGAGCTTCCTGTTTTCTCACACAGTGGCATAAATAAATGGCTTGAAATGACAAGCTGGGGTGGTCTGGTTTGGGAAGTTTGTGAAGGACTCTATAGTGGAGTAAAAGGAGCTGTTTCCTCTTACTTCCATTGCTTGCTAGCTAGTCCTGCATGCGATACTTACCTGTTTTGGGCTTTGAGAGCTATGAATCTTTATAGACTATTGACAATTGGGTCACTTGGTTGTTTCCTGGCGGTCCGGTGTAGATGGTGAGAATCCATCTCACCGACTTTTTTTTATTATGATACACCCGCAATGTCATGATGCGTTCACGAATTACAGGAGTGGTAAAGGACGACTGGAAAACAAAAGAAAGTTTGCTACTGCGCCTTTTATCAACCAAGCTGAACTCGCTTACTTGTACATATATATTCCCGTATTTCAAAGATGCGCTTTTTAACTTATAATAGCATGGTTGTTCCACTATATAAATCAATATTACTAACTCATCCAGCTAGGTTTCTTGTACTATTATCACTTCATAGCATGTACTTACATCTTTAGTCGCCATAACATAATTAATGAAGGGAATAAAAGAATGCATGTGGCTTCTCTATATCCATGGTATATTAATTAATTGTCAATATAACTGCTTTAAACCACTACAAGTACAAACAAACACAAGCGCAAGGCACCCACCACCTGCAGCCAGTGTCACATTCAGCTGATGTCGAGCAAACCTGTAGTTTGATTAACTTGGAGATAATATCGAGTACTTAATACAACTAAGTGCTAGTGGTTAATACAATAGTAACAAAGTACCATGGATTTAAAATCAAGATAAGTAATAAATAAATAATATCCTCTTGCTGACTGCAAGTACATACATACCCAGTATAGTATTGTACTGTGTGCCCCGTAGCTCTACTAGTACATGGCTTCTGTCTGAATATACCAAAAGAAACAAATAAAGAACCTGGATTCCAATGGAGTATTTCGTACAAGAAGAGCTTTCATTCATCTAGCAACCAGTGTGCTCGGAACCAGTCCCGCGGAACCGTTACCATGCGATTTTAAGTAGTTAGGTAGACCCGAAGAAACCTATGAAAGGGAAAGGGGGCAAAAAAAAAGAAACAAACAGAAAGTAGTTCTTTAAGATTTTTTCCCTTTCATTCCATGTGTTGTATGGATATGGCTTTTCTTTATGTGTAAATAAGAAAAATTGACACGCCAAAGTCTCTTGTCATCCTGGGTCACACCCTGCTTTGAACTCAACAAAAAAAAAAAAACCCCGTTCCCGTCCGTCGCTGAGATTTTTTTTTCTTAGCCATAATAGAGACGTAACCCGACCATTAACCCCCGGTTGAAAAGACATTTACTTTCTCATCGAAGACGCCCTGCGCTTGCGGAGCTCGTCACGCTTGGCCTTCTCCTCGTGGACACGGGCAGCCAGGAGCTTGGCGTAGTCGTTACTGTTTGGATCCTGTTAGAGATCATACAGGATAAGAAAGGATCAAAATAGGGGAGCTTACGCAGCCTCGCGGGAAGCCTCAGCACGGCGGCGCTTGACGGCGCTCATGTGACGCTTGCGCTGGAGACGCTGGGGAGTAACCAGACGCTGGATCTTGGGGGCCTTGGTGTAGTCCTTCTTGCCCTCCTTGGTGACGGTACGGCGGATGACGAACTTGCGGACATCATCCTTCTTGTCCAGACCGAAGAAACGGCGGATCTTGGTGGCACGCTTGGGGCCAAGTCTCTTGGGGATGACGGTATCGGTGAGACCGGGGAGCTCACCCTCACCCTGCTTGACGATGCTCAGGGCGAGGACGGCGAGGTCAAAACCAGTGATGGCTGTAAAAGAAAAATGACGTGTCAACGAATAATTATTCCCATATACACAAGGCGGTTTCGGCTATTTAACGTACCACCACGGACACTCTTGCGCTTCCTCTCTCCGGTGCGGCGGGGACGGTAGCAGCTGTGGCCATCGGCGAGGAGCAGACGGGTACGGGTGGGGATGAGAACTGGTTAAAAATCTCGATAAGTTTTCTGAGCAGATATTGCTGGATTTTCGTCATTTCGGTCGGTACATACCACCCTGCTTCATGGGGAAACCTGGTACAAGGACACATGTCAGCAATTGATACTGTAAACCTGTGGTTCAATTTCCTCTCATATCACCAATATAGTGTGCGTTCAGTGCTTCGAACCCCCAGTCATCGAAAAAGTGTAAGAGTCGTACCTTGCTTATCGTTACCACCCGTGATCTTGAAAATGTAACCCTTGAATTCGTCGCCGAGTGAGTCTCCGGAAACCTAATATAACCCCAATCAGTCTCATATCTTCCGGGTGATTTCGGTGGTGTAGACTCCAATAGAAGTGGAACAAAAGGGGTTCCGTGAGGGCGAATGTTCAGGGATTTTAGGGAGGGCTGCTGACTTCTGTTCCCATGCGCTTCTCCATGAAGGGACGGAGCTTGCGCTCATCGTCAACCTCGATGATCTTCTGCGACCCATTGGCCGGGTAGGAGATGTTGAGCTTCATCTTGACGGAGCTGCGCGGTCAAGACGGGGGGCGCGGGTTTTGTCGACAGGTCGAGGTGTTCAGGACGTCGGGATTCGTCTTGGGGAATTTTTGGTGGTGGTGTAGCGAGATTTGCTGTGTGGGTGGCTGACTAACTCCGCTAGCCGCCTTGGGCCTAGTTCTCGGTAGGGCTTCTTATGTCAGCCGTTTTCCCGTTTTGGAAGCACATGATTTTTACTAAAGCCTAACTCGTAAGGTATCTATCTAATTCGTACTGTGGCGGAGAAAATCCGGTCCTCTATTCTACCCCATCCTGCTGATTCTCGCTAACTATATAGCCCTCTCTGACTTAACCTCTTGGTGGTCTTCAACCTCATATCGATTCTCTCAAGGTCTCATTATATAGCGTGGCGGAGCATACTCCATCATTTCACTCGCCTTCCTCAATTTCTATGCCATTTCCCTCTTTATGGACAAAGAAACAATACTCCGTATACGCCTAACAACGGAATCCGGTGGAGGGAAAGGAATCCGGTGCCCTATCATATCTGGTCTAATCGGGGCTGGAATTACTCGGCATTACACCTTAGCCCGCAGGGACCACACCCACTGTATTCCATCTATGAAAGAGCACGTATGGTCCCGTAAAAAAAGAGAAAGAAAGAAAGAAAGAAAGAAAGAAAGAAAGAAAGAAAGAAAGAAAGAGAGAGAGAGAGAGTGAGTGAGAGATTGTCGTAGACAACTGCCTCCATATGTATGGCGCTGTTCCCGTCGGCCAAAACGAACAGCGTGATCAGGCCGCTTGTCACTGGTCGCCTATTCTCCCACGTCGGAAGCGACGGAGGGTGACTAGTGTCCAGATTGCAATGTCGACTACTGGCAACTGTTGGTGGGCTCTTCAGAGAGATTTCAACTATGGTCGCGGATGAGGTACAAGTGGAATTATTCATGGTGGGAACTCATCGTGGCTGACGCAAGACTCCAACCCCATATAGAGCACGCGACTGGTTGCCATTCCAGATTCGGCGCAGCCTTATGGAGATTTTTATGCTCCCCCAAGGTAGTTAATGAATGCCGTAGTCCAGTAGTAGTTGGACTGAAATGATCTCGCCAAAAGCAAATTGTTAAATCCGAATGTCTTGGTTTCTTTGTCGCCCCCATCCCATCTCCTTCCACGCATAATCCTCTCTTTTTTTTTCTCTCTTCCCTCTCTCGCTCTCTCGCTCTCCTCCTGTCATTCGTTCTTTTCCTGCATTTGTACACCGTTGAGAGTCATTGTAATCCCTCTTCCCTCCTGTTCATTGCCGTCAATTAATTAGGAGAATTCTTTCTCTGCCTCCCCACCCACACCCACTTACCTGCGCACGCTAGTTTCTCTTGTGACTCTGCTGCATTGTACCGTCGGGGAATACGCGCTTATCCTTATATTCCTTTGATTCAGGGGATCTCCCGTTTGATTTGATTTATCCCGTCCATCTCTTCGTCGCTCGTTTTTATTTTATTTTTTATTACTTTTTTTTTATTTCCTTGGGGGGATTCTTCTCCCGAGCCGGTGAATACAACTTACTACATCGGGTCGGACCTACGCTCACCAAAACCGGTGGATAGACGCAGCAGGCCAAGAACTAAGAGTCTAGGAGGCCAATCATCGACCAAATTTCTAGAAACCGGATTTGCTTTGTCGCACTTTCATTCCTTTGTGACGGAACTGTGATTCAGTCCTCCATGCGACTCTTCAATAAGTTTCATGTCGTGTGCGCCTTGGCTGTATGCAGTATTCTTCTCTCGGCATGGCTTCTTGCTTCCCAACACTACTTCCGCCGAGCTCCTTCGGTGAATCCGGCATACGGTTTCCGCACTGCAAAGACCTTTGATCGGAGGTTGGTTGTATTTGGTGATTCGTGGAGCGATAACAACAGTAGGGGAAACCTCCAAGGGTCAGTGTGGACGGAATGGCTCTGCTCAATGGTATGAAGCCGATCCGAGGACAGTCAAACAAAGCCAACGTGATGCGCTAATACCCAATCTAGTTTTCATGCCACCATGAGAACCTGGCAGTGACAGCCAAATCGCTAAGAGGAACCCAGATTGGCTCCGTTGTAGACAATTCCGAGTTGTCGGCAATCTTGCTCAGCTTATCCAAATCACCAGTGGCGGATTTCAAAACGCAGGTCGGCCGATGGACAGCCGCTGAGTCTGAAATACTGGAGCAATTGGCCGGTGATGAGGGAGCTATCATCAACCGTTTGAATCGTACTATTGTGGCGGTTTCCTTCGGTGTATGGGATCTGTGGAACATGATGGGGAAAGACTACGACGAAGCTCTCAAATCCGTTGATCACAGCATTGATGTCATTTTCGAACAGCTTGACTCGCTGTCTCAGTCTTTAGGCACCGAGGAGCTGAAGGTCATTCTGACGCTGGCGCCAGATGTCTCTTTCTTTCCTGCATTTAAACCCGCGGGGGAGAAGCGGGTCACTCGTCATAAGCATATCGTCCTCATCATGGATCACTGGAATAAGAGGCTTCGTGAATCTGCAGAAAAATGGAACCATGGCATAATCTATTTGTTTGATACTAACTCCTTTTTGGTGGATCTGATCCGTGATCGGCAGCTTTATGACGCTGGCATTGAGGAGGCCAACGGCCTTGGAAAGAACTTGAATCCGGGCTGGGAAAATGTCGACGGCCCATGTGTCGAAAACGGCCAACAACTTGTGGTGACATCAGAGGTCAAGAAGTGTGAAAATCCGGAGAAATATTTATTCTGGTACGGACAAAGCGCTATGGGACTTATTGACTCGATCTAGACTGACCATGTCTTCAGGAACGATATGCATATGGGTCCGTCAGCCCATCGACTCATGGGCACAGAGGTGTTCCATGGAATTAAGATGTGGGTCAGGTAAAATAAGTGAGATTTTTCAAACACAGACAGCGAGAGTGCCTTCACCGCAGCGGATGACACTTCCCGATTAGATGTAATTTCTGTCCGACCAAGGTGCGCGTTCTGTAGAAGGGTCTAGGACAACGGCTGGCTCCGAATCCTGGCACGACCAAACGCGCGAAGGACAGACACATACACATACAGAGAGGAAGTGGGCGAGAGAACAGTCCTTTCACTAGGGAGTCCGCAAGGAAGGCATTCGTTGTACAGCTAGTCAGTCCAAATATGTCTGAGACTTGGCCTTTGGAACCAAGTTTGGGCTGGTCGTTATATCATCTGTGGCTTCACGAAATAGTACCTAGCCTTCCGAATTTAATGGAGGATCATCAGAGACAAGTCAAGCACACACATACCAACCTATTTTCTTTTTTTTTTTTTTTTTTTGGGATCGACCCTGAGGGGTTCCAAGAAGTTGTCAATGTGGTATGTCTCATCGTCCCAGAATATTGAGGAAGAAGAAAAAAGAGTGACATCTGCACCGTCATCGATTGCAACGTGATTGTGGAGCGGATCGGAAAGCGATCGCCGAAAAGGGATCGACCCAAGATGACAGGACAGGGGCTGCAACATCAACGTGTCAGTGCCAAAGATTCCCCCTTCGGATCACTCGGGAGGTCATATTGGGAGCTCCGATTCTGGAGAGGATGAAGGGAGGATTTTCTTTGAGAGAACCACTGCGGAATGATTGCGCTGCTCTCTCTGTCTGTTTTTCCGCTGCGGTCTTTTTATTTTATTTTATTTTTTTTTATTTTTTTTTTTTTTTATAAAGGGGTGAAAAAAAAAAAAAAATACTAATGAGTTGAAGCTCATGCTGGTGCGGTGAATTTCTTTTGCCTCTTTTTTGTTACTATTAATGCTCAGGACCTTTGATAAGGGTGTAGGTAGGTCACCGGAACCTCCTCGGTATCTTCGTTAATACCCACTGCACTTGCCGTAGTTGGAATAGTCGCGAGTCCCTGCTTTGAAAGAAATCATACAAAATTAATGGAATTGGAATATTAAGAGAGAGAAAAAAAAAAAAAAAGGGATTTTCATAAGGTACTTCACCAAAGAGCTTGGGACAAGCTCAACTGACCCAATCAGGCAAGTGTCGCTGGCCGGGGCGGGGCGACAATCATCGGGGATGGGCGGTGAGGGCGGCGATTGGCCCGGGACCCCTGCAGTACACCGCATGCGGGCGTCGGGGCAGACAAAGGAAAGCTAAAGCCAAACATTGAAACAATACCTTACCTTTTCCCTGTGCCTCCACCCAACACTATCCTGTTTCGTTGGAACGAGAATGAAAGAGGGGAATCGATTGCTCTGGACTGATCCAAAAGTGGCTGACTCACTTACCCAGATCAGGCATCCCCGAATCGCCTAGTCAGGGTACCTCCTAGCACGCAACTTCCCCGGGTAGGGTCCCAGGTACTTAGGGTTGTATGTGGCATTACACCATTGCACCTGTGCCGGGAACCTCCCTCGGTACCTTTGGTTCTTTCCCCCATTGCAGGAGCTGGTCTCAGCATGCTCCAGTCAAAAAGGATCTACTCAACCGTGCCAGTTCCAGTCGATGTTCCATTTTCATCTTTACCTGCGTGCCACTGGTGGGGAGGGGAGGGCTCCGAGGGGATATGATTCGTGTTGTCCGGCCTAAGAAGAGACAAAGAAACCTGGTTCCCTAGGCCGGACGAGGAGGGGAGTGGGTACCTATGTCATGGAAGGTTATTAAATGGCTCTGTACATAGTATGTAGATTTGTAACAAAGCACTAGAAAAAAAAGCCATATCCTGGCTTTATCACGTTGGACCCTCCCTCCCACCTGGTTGGCGCAGTTTGAATAGAAACATTGTCAAAGAAGAAATAATAATTAACCATATTAAAATAAGGGGAGGTCCAAAAAAAAAAAAAAAAAAAAAAAAAAATTACGGCAAGACAGAATCAAAAAAGAAAAAAGAAAATCATTCATACACAATAAAGGATTCTAACCTGATGTTTTCTTAAGTCCAAGGGAAAAAAAAAAAAAAAAAAAAAAGAGAGAAAGAGAGAAAGAAAGAAACAAAAGAACTTCGCTCCAGGATTCGTTCTCCATTAATCTTTCTTTCCCTTCGTTCTAGTTATTCTTCCCTGTCCCGGGCTGCTTCTCTATAATCACCTGCTTTCATCGGATGATCCGTTCTTTCATCCCATCAATACGATCTTTTCGTCCATAGAAGAGGGGTCTGGCTCTTTCATCCATTCTTAAATGTCTTACGATCGAGTTCTCCCCAAGCCGGCTGCTCTTCATTATGACACTACACAAGTTACATTTCCCAGACTTACCAGCAACCTTCTCGAGCACAAAATCATGAAAGACGACGTCTCCAAGATCGCCATGGTGGACCATCAAGTCGATGGCATCCCATCTGGGAACTCATGTCGATATACAACGCATGGGTTACCACAAATCCATCTGTCGTCAATAAACCGAGCCAAGATAGCTTTCAATAAGATGGCCGCCACTGCTCCCATTGAACCTCCCAAGTCCAAGACAACCATCCCTCTTCGAGAACGATCGTCCGCATCAGAACGCTCGTCGTCTTCAAGTCCTGTCAAGTCCACCGCTTCAAGGGAGCCCGTGACCCAATTCTGTCTCTGTCAACCAGATCCCAAGATCCCAAGACCTCGCAATGGTAAGCGCATCCCTGCATTTGGTTGAGTGATGTCATAAACTCGCGTGTTGCTCCGGATCTAATGAACCTGGGCCAGCTTTTATTCTATATCGCCAACATTACCAAGCGGCTGTGGTGGCGCAAAATCCCGGTCTTGCGAATCCAGATATATCCAAGATCATTGGAGAGCAGTGGAGAAAACTTCCCCAGGAAACGAAGGATGAGTGGAAAGCTCTTGCAGAGGTACGGGTAAAGTGATCGTTACGGTCACGGGTCACACCAATGTTCATCCTTATGTTCGGATTCTTATGACTGCCACAGGAAGAGAAAGCCCGACACCAACAGCAGTATCCTGAGTATCGGTATCAGCCTCGTCGCTACGGCCGGGATGGCAATGTTCGAAATGCGAGCTCTGGCATCAGTCACAATCCCCCAGGCTCCACTGTCTGTAATCGTTGTGGTGGTCGTGTGATGAACCCACCAGTGTCACCGGAAACGTCTTTCACCCGGAATGGGTCCTCTGGCTCGAATAGCATTACCCCCCAATCTGAGACAATCGCTGTTCGAGGATACCAGTGTCGAGAAAAGGAACCCGGTTGTGTCCCGAATCCTATTAAAATAGGGGTTAACGGAGAGTCACGTCAGCGTCATTGGGATGAAAATGGGAGTAGATCACCAGACTCAAAGCGTCGCCGTTTTAATACTCAGGCAGTCTTCAAGCCAAATCTTCGCGAGAAAAGCCCTGATACGCCATACCCAATGTCTCCATATAGCACTCGCTCGGATATATCTAATCCTCGGGACATGCTCCACATGTTACAGCCTCCACGGTCACAAAGACATGTCAAAGAATACCCCACACCTGATCCAAGTCTCAAGCTTCCACCACTGCAAACTTCTGCGCCTGTGGCCAGGGACATGACAGCGATGACACCTTTCTCGAAGGAAGCATCTGCTAGTATCGAGGCCACGGTGATGACAATCCCCTTCCTGAACAAGATCAAAGTCCTCGCCAAAATATCACCTCCTCTAGTGCCATCTTTTCGCGATGGGCCTTCGCAGCGACGAGGCCCTGTTATCGCTGTGGATGGGCAGGATCCTGCAGCAGTCAAGACAACGATTGATTATCTCAGCCATGTTTTACAGAAGGAAGGAAAGTACCACACGCGTGTATTTGAAGGGCCAGAGATTCGCCCGCGTGAGGATTACTCCGAGTCTGGACAAATGGGTGATGCAACGGTGGATTATCTCAACACAATTTCAGTGTGGCACCGTATTTCAGATGAGATTGTGAGCTTTGTAAAGGCTTCATCTGAATCATCGGAGACGAGATTAGGGGAGGGAAACTGTGGCTCGCCGGGGGTGTCCCCCAAAACCATCATTCCCAAGACTGCTGAAATGCAAATCAGCTCACCAGCTCCGCCCAGCGAGAGCGGATCAGTGTCAGTTTCATCGTCATCTGGAACGACTTCTTATTCTGTTCCAGTAGCACTCATTCCTCGGTACCAGCTTACCACGGCGGATTCTTTTGCTTGCTCAGTACCAATCAACGATTCGTACGCACCACTCGATCACTGGCAATGGATGGCATCTCTCTGGCGTGCATGTGTTGGCCCAGACATCACCGTATACATCCGTGAGTACGAGAAAGATGAGCTGGAGCGTCTTGGGGGCAACCCAGTAGAAGTACGCTTGCAAGATGCGAGGACAATTGTGGTTCGGAGGGGTACAGGGTCCCACAAGGAACTGGAAGAGAAGGCCATGAAGCGCGTGGGATTTGAAGTTGAGGATTTTCTCACTCAGTAATTTGGATGCACTTATTGCGGATTATCCGGCTTCGTTCATTCTTCTTTTCATCCTCTCTCATTTTTTGCCTTTCCTTTGTTTCTCTATTTATTTGATTGGCTAGCATTTTCAGATGGTTGGCTATGCAGGGGTGGCTTTTTGACCACTGATCACCCGTATACATTTGATTCCACAGGAGGCTATTTATCTTTTAATTCTCTTCTAAGTTGATATTAATCTATGCACAAACCAGCGACTGGGGATTATTGTCTATATTTATGGTAATATTTATTTCTGTCCAGCAAAGGTGGTGGCCCTTTACAAGAAGATCTCTTGTAATAATAGCTCAAAAATGAAATTGACTACTATTATAAAGATACCATCCCTCTCTTGTTCTCCATACACTGAGTATACCAAATCATGTACTCTGATGTGATTGTATTAGTATATCGTGTGGCTTGGTTTTAAAGCAAGTCTAACCTGAAAAGGAAAAGCCTATGGTTAGCACCACAAACCAATCAGAAGCATGCAGTTCGTCATGTTCTTGTCAAAGCTTACCTAAGACAGAATGGAGAATTAGTTAACTAGTTAACTAGGTAACTTTGTCTCCATGACAGCAACAAATTTCACGTCCTGCAATTCACTACTTCTCTTCATAGGCGCCATTACAGTAATGGATGGAAACAAGTCTGGAAAGATATCTTAGAACCTTTTCGGGCCTCAGTAAGGCTAGAACGCCTCCTGAGTCTATTACTGTCTCCCGAGAGATCACTTCGGCGCACACGTCTGGGCCCAATTTCGAGGTTTACATGTCTTGTGTTTTCAGCCATTCTATTGGTTTTCTGTTCCTATAGCTTTCTACCTTTTACTTTCTTTCAGCTGTGAGATGTCGAGTTGATACTAAAGGGAATTTCCACCGCGCAATGTCTATCATGCACCAATCCTCTATGGTTGGGGAGTCTTCAACAGACACCATGGATGCTAGATCTACTCCAGCAACCTCGGAGGCGGGCGCACCAATTATAGGGACATCTCAGATAGAGGATACCGGATCCGAAATGCAGGAATTAGTTTCGAACGTGGATTCCTATATCCCAGTGGGAGTACTGAGGAAGCGTACGTGTGTTAATAATGCAGGTAGTGAGGGAGAGGAAGGACATGACTTCCCAGAGGCCGAGATCAGAATGTTGGAGGCTCACCACCGGATTTGGACCTGTATTTTGCCATATCATAATCATCCCGGGTGGAGTTACGTTCGTATATATGTTATGCCTGATGACAAGGGTCGCAAGTTTATTCCACGCTTGAGCGCGAGTTTGAGGCGTGCGCTCAAGGTCATCGTGTCAAGAGTGGATCGGTCGCCTCAGGCATGGTCTGGTTGGCTTCCATCGGACTGGAATGCTAATAAAGGCACTACGGACGATGCAAAAGATGAGTCCTTGTGGTATATCTTCAATACTTTACAAGACCCAGAGCCTCAAGTGAAGAACATGAGAGACCCGTATACGAGGAAAGCTATGCAAGAGTTGCTATCAGTGGTCGACAGCATTGACAATGATGAAAATACAGAAATAGGCCAGCAGGACTGTACCGGTATTTTGGGTCTTAAAACACCACTATATCCATACCAGCGCCGTTCGGCTGCCATGATGGTTCAGCGAGAAGCACAACCGGCAAAGATGTTGGATCCCAGACTGCAAATATGCACAAGTCCTACAGGTCAAGAATACTACTATGATAAGGAGGAGGGCACCATTTTTCATGAGAAAAAGCTGTACTCCGAGGCTTGTGGAGGTATGTTGAAGAGGCATTGGATTTCTGACTACCGACTGACATAGTTGATTAGGCATACTTGCAGAGACCATGGGCTGCGGCAAGACTCTGATTTGTCTGGCAGTGATTCTGGCCACACGTGGGCATTTCCCTCATATCCCGTTTGAGTATCAGGAGATGAACCCTGTCCGTGAAAAAACTGCAAGTCTAGTTCAAATGGCAGCTGCAACCGCAGGGCGGCTTTCGCTACCGTGGGAGAGTAGATTCAGGTCTCTGGGTGACTCCGGTTCGTTTTACAAGAAGTGCATCAAAGCATGTGAGGAAAACCGTGGCGAGTATACCATTCCACCACCACCAGCCAAGCACGGTAGTCGAAATGGGGTGGCCTATCCTAGACCACCTCCTTTGCGCCTTCAGCTCTGCTCTGGGACTCTGATTATTGTACCACCTAACCTTGTTAACCACTGGGTGCATGAAATTAATAGCCACACCGAAGGACTCAGAGTGCTGGTTTTACGGGACAACTCGGAGATAACACCCTCACAGGACAGTCTCTTGCAGTATGACATTATCTTGTTTTCGCGAGTTCGCTTTGAAAAAGAGGCAGGTGAGGCGGTGCATAACAAGCGCCAGTCAATCAAAGTCGAGGAGTCGCCATTGACCAAACTTCATTGGCTTCGGATTATTGTCGATGAAGGCCACAACGTGGCTGGCCACGGACACCGCACCACTATGATCCATATGATTGACCAACTTCATGTGGAGCGTCGATGGGTCGTGTCAGGAACACCATCTAGCGGGCTCTATGGGGTTGAAGTTAGCCTGGCTTCGCAGGAAACGAACACTAGTGACACCGATATGACGGAGGCCACCGCAGCCATACTTCACGGAAGGAAGAAGACCGGAAATGCAATCGATAGTGAGCTGAAGGATATTGATAGGTTGCGACTTATTGTTGTAGAGTTCCTCGATCTTAAGCCATGGTCGAACTCCCGTGCCCACGATCATGCTAATTGGACCAAGTACGTCAAGCCGGTTGGAGAGGATGGGAGACGCCGGAAAGCCCCGTCTCTTCGAGCCACCCTGCAGAGCTTTGTTGTGCGGCATCGTATGGAGGTGATCCACAGGGAAATTTTTCTCCCGCGGCTGCACAACAAGGTAGTGCACCTTGAGCCGACCTTCTATGACAAATTGAACCTTAACCTATTCATCTTTATACTGGCGGTCAATGCGATCACGTCCGAGCGGAAAGACCAGGATTACATGTTCCATCCACGCAACCGGAAGCATCTCACGACACTGATCAGCAATCTTCGACAGGCAGGCTTCTGGTGGGCTGGCTCCGAGGGGGATCTCGCCGGAACCATGGACACGGCCCAGAGGTATTTGGAGAAAAATCGGGAGAAGATGACGGTCGAGGATGTCGAATTACTGACAGAGGGTGTGCGCATAGCCCAGAAAGCACTTGCCTGTGAAAGCTGGAATGCATTCAAGAAATTCCACGAACTGGGAGTTTTCATCCAGTCTTTTCCCTCCCATGCTCGAAACATGTGGGCACTGGCTGATTCCCGATCCTACCTGGAGCCTCTTCTTATGGGAATCTCTCAGGCCCACCACTCCCAAAAATTTGTAACTGCACATTTAAATACGTACGACCCGGCGGAAGGTCTTCCAGGGGCGGGACTCAAAGTTCGTCTTCAGCTTGAAAAGCGAGAACAGCGTGGGTCCGAGCCTGTGAGCATCAAGACGACGCCAGATAAGCCTCTCAACATACGGTCTCCCAAGAAGACCTTCTCCAAGGGACTTTTCAAGATACTTTCCGCGGAATCGCCCCTTGCGGAAACCAAACTCGTTGCAACCGCCTCCGCCAAACTGACATACCTGCTGGATCAGGTCCACCTGCTGCACAAGGACGAGAAGATAATCATCTTCTATGACAACAACAACTCAGCATTCTGGATCGCCGAGGGCCTTGAGCTACTCGGCATCGAATTCCGTATCTACGCCAGCACACTGAAACCCGCCCAGAGAGCCGAATACCTCGCCTTATTCCAAGAAGCCCAGGACATCCGCGTGCTCCTAATGGATCTGGTCCAAGCATCACACGGACTCCACATAGCGTGTGCCTCGCGCGTCTTCATCATAAATCCAATCTGGCGCCCCAACGTTGAAAGCCAAGCCATCAAACGAGCCCATCGGATCGGGCAGAGCCGACCTGTGTTTGTTGAGACGCTTGTCCTCAAAGACACGCTGGAAGATAAAATGCTGAGACGCCGGAAAAACATGTCTGAGATGGAAATCCAGCATGCAGAGAAGGACCTCCTCGACGATACTACGATGAGCTCCATCATCCAAAACGAGCGTTTCATCCCCATGCCCGAAGACGAAGATTCAGCCGGGCTGGCCTTCCTGCGAAACCCTCCGGGGTTCTTCGATCGTCATAAACTTCCTATGTCAGATGATATCGGTAGCGGTGACGCAACAGAGTCCGAGATACACAAGACACCGACGAAGCGCCGACGGTCCGCCAAACCTGACTCGCTTGATTTTGGCGCCGTCGATCTCTCGGACGGGCCTGATCTACTGACTCCCACTAAACGGAGGAGAACAGCGGAGCCGGTAATGTCCCCGAATGGTCTGATGATGACATTGGAGCGGTCGAGGACTCGATCTCCGTGGTCATCGCCCTCGGTGGTCAGCTCCAATTATGACGACACTGGATATGAGGGATCTGTGCCGCGGAAGAAAAAGACGGTGTCTATATTCGGCTGAAGGTCTTTCTTATGCTTTCCTTAGATATTAAATGAGTTATGTTATCAACATGGAAGGCCTGACCTGTACTGAATGGAACATGATAGAACGAAGAAATGAATGAAATAAATCTCAATCCTATCACGTGACCACAACCTAATCACTCTAAGATAATTACCTAATTAAGTAGTCTAGACAAAGAACTCAACAGACCAATATAGAAAAAAGAAAGAAGAAAGATAGAATGCGCACCAGCATTATCGGCATTTCCGGTCCCTCATCGAGTGGCAAAACGACCCTCGCCCGACTTCTCCAGCGGATTTTCTGCAGCGCCACGCCTCATCTCCAGACCTTCATCATTCACGAAGATGATTTTTATTATCCGGATGATCGGTACAACCCCTCTTGCCCCCCAAGTACAGTAAAAACAGCATAAACACATATCATGCTCTCTCTCTATATATAATTGCTACAATACGCTCCACTATAATATACCAAAACTAATAAATAAATCCAGAATCCCATACACAACCACTCCATCCGGCAAAATAGTCCAAGACTGGGACACGATATCCGCCATCGACGTATCATTTTTATCATCGACGCTGTCGTATGTTCGCAACCACGGGGTCCTACCGCCCCGACTGAAGAGTAAAGAGGATTTAAATGAGAAGGCGGATTCCGGAGTGGACGAGGACATTGTCGCTCAATTTCGGAGAGAAGTTCAGAGTCGTCTGACATCATCTTCCGTACCGGGGGGATGTGCCACTGCTCGCACAGTGGCTTTTCTGGAAGGGTTTCTTCTCTATGCGCCGCCGGAATCGGAGGTCCAGGATCATGAGCTGCGTTCGGTGCATGGACAGATCGATGTGCGGCTTTTTTTGCCCACCCCGTATGACCTAGTGAAGACGAGGCGGGAGAGTCGCAGTGGTTATGTTACTATTGGACCGGCGCCGGTTTCAACGACGTCGGCGTCGGGACAGGAGATCTCGAACTCTCGGGAGGTGGATTTGGAAGCCGAAGATGATCGACCGCCGCAGAACTTTTGGACCGATCCGCCGGGCTACGTGGATGATATCGTTTGGCCCCGGTATGTTCAGGACCATGCGTGGCTACTTTTGCCCGAACAGCCTTCGTCGCAGGTATCTAGCTGTCTGGGGATGGATTCTCATGAGACCATCCATGTAGTAGGACAGGGGGTCAACTTGAGAACTGATGCTGGGGTAACGGTCGCTCCAGGGCAGGGAAGCAAACCGATGGTGGATATCCTTCGATGGGCAGTGGAGGTGATGATGAAGCATTTAGAAGAAACAACTGCATAACTGTCATAAGTGATGGCACTATTCATTAGAGTCCTTCATCCGTCTGTGTCTATGCCATGAGTATTAACCCGTCTTGCCATTCTTCATTCACTTGCCCCTGCTAAGAGATCGTTTTTTTTTTTTTTAAAAAAAAAGACAAGTGTCCCTCCTCTCTTTTTTTCTTCTTGAATCTCCCTACACTTCCTCACCAACAGGCCCTCTCCAGCCAAGCCAGTAATCAACCTTATCCCTCATGGAGACTGATGTTGGTCTTACCATCCCATCGTCCTCCATATTCACTTGTTTATCTAGAGAACCGATAATCGGCTCAGTGCCTCCGTCAGGGACCTGCAGCTGCCTTTCGGATTCGATGTCGCTTCCCGTGTCATTGACTTCTAGTTGATCATGCTTCAGTAGTGAAGAGAATGACTCATGTGAGCACAAATCACTATGACTGTTCTGGAAGATACTCTCACCAAAGTGACCTTGAGAGCCATTGTCCAGGGTTTGATCCACCGTTGTTATATTGATGGCGAATTGATTGTCATACAAGCAAATAGAGATCATGGTATTAGTCTTCTCGAGAATCGTAAAAAATATTGAAGTAAAGACTGAAATAAAGATTGAAAAAATGGCGGCCTTAATCAGATTGCGAATGACCGGGCGAGCTCCTTCCTCAGCTGGTGACAGTGGCTCAGAAGTCGTGGAGTGCTGGTGACTGGCATGTGCTGTAACGTGCAGCTGTGTTGGCTGCGTGTCATGCCTCGTTGGCTGTGCATCATGCTCCTTTTTGGTGCTAAAGAATCCCTTCTCCCTCAGTGCCGTAAATGCCTCTTGAAGATGCTCCCGATTCCATTCCCCGTGGCTGGAACAGACAGGATATATGTGTGGAAGCCAGCGAACTCCCTGGCGCGCAGATGGTAGAACTGACCACGTTAAACAGAAAACTTCGAGGTCTTTTGGCGCACAGATAATCTGAATTCGAGAAATACCAGTGCAAGCTGCATCCTGAGTAGGGATCTGGATCACCTGCAGGCCAGTCACTTGGGGTTCGAGCTCGCAATAAAACGATCCTTCTGGACCCCCGTCTAGGCAGAAGGAAAAGGAGCATTTCTCCGAACAAACATAACGACGGTCCAGCCTCACCGAGCACATGGCGTAGTACTTTGCTGGTCCATCGTTTTCCGAGTCCGAGGAGACAGTCACTTGCTGACCCAAGGCGAACTCTTTGAGAAAACCGTAGAACTTCCGACCACACACGCGCATGGGAATAACAAGGTCCCTGGTTTTAAATTCAGCAAAGAGGAAATCTTCTACCCTCGTACACCTAAGCAGATCTAATGTGCGAAACTCAAGCCCCCGACCTTCTGGAAGAAGGAAGCGGAAAGCGCCGGTCTCTCCAGCTCTTAGGTTGGGGAGCCCTGGCATCCTTACCGTACTCCAGCCTCTCAGGTAGTCTTCGTCCACGTAGACATGACAATGGAGTTCTATTCTGTATCTGGCTCGTTCTGCATCGGAGGGGAATCCCACCAAAATATTTCCGCTCACGAGGGCCAAACTTGGGTCGCCCCGAGACAATTCAAGCACTGGTGGGGATGGAATATCCTGTTCAACGCCCCAGGCAATCTTTCCGAGGCTCTTAGATTCTAAGTTTGCATTTGAACTCTCCGTGGACTTGGTCTCTTCTCGCTTCGACGTATTTGGTGACTGTGTCACGAGTGCGGGCATAGTATGAAGCCTACCAGTTTCTTCCACGTGCTGCGCATCATTTCCTCCTGCCTTGCAAGAATTGGGGCTTTCTTTCTGCTTGCTCAGCCCTTCATCCGACAGCTTATCTTCTCGTGCTGTATCCAGCAAGGTCTCGATGCTGACGAGGCTGTTCGGTTTGGAAGTACTTGCTCCTTGTCCCGGGCTGTGGTTCGTGGTCTGATCTATATTACTATTGGATGGCCGTTTCCCTTTCGCGCGCCCCTCCGCCTTTGTATCCGATGCGGAATCTGATAAGCATGCATCTTCAGCGCTTCTTTTCCCCAGACGTATCGACTTGGTCGTGTCTTGGGGCTTCGCAACGGTAACCTGTAGATCGGAAAAAGTCTGTGCAGAGGGCAAGGACCCCGCAGGAATAGTGGCTGGTTGATTCACATGGGGAAACGGAGAATCGTTCTCGTACGGCTCGTTTCCCTGATCGCAATCGTCCGGCATAAGGCGTACTGATGCAGCCTTTAAGAATGCAGCTGAGCCATTGGTGTCCAAAAGTCGTAGTTTCGTGCCAGGAGAAGACTGGACCTGTGGATTACGATCAGTAAGGCGGAGGCTGGAACGCAGATGTACCATGGGCTTACCTCCAGGGAAATCCTAAGTCTAACTGGCCAGTCAAACTCACCATTCCACGATCCCAAAATCTTCAGATTGCGAGCTTCAGGCGCATCGGGAGGGCTACTACAGTCCATCATGGACTTTCCTGCGTGCTTACGGCGGAACTCTGCGAACCGATACTTTCAAGGAAGTAAAACAATTTGTCTCGATGGAGAGGGGTGGAGAGAGATGTGAAGAGGGAATGATGGAGAGAAGTCCGAGAGAGGAAACTGCAGAGCAGTGAATGGTTGCCCCAGGCAGGCAGGGACGATAACAATCACCACCGCGATTTCCTCTGGTTATGGCTGGCCTGGGTTCCAGAATATCCTATTCCAACGCAGAAATCGAGAGCGATCCTAACCAACCATTAGTTCATTGAGCATGCCGCTCTCGTGGAAGCAAAGTAGCCATAGGTTTGAATATGTACATGGGAAGCCAACCATCGTCTGAAACCAAAAGACCGCACCAAGACAAACAAAAAGGGAAGAAACAAGGCAACAAAAAAAAAAAAAAAAAAATCCCCGCTAGCACGGTAACCCTTTTTATGTCCCCAGGCGCCATGTATCCCGTAGAACCAACCATTCTGTTTCCGTTATAACACCCGTCCCACAGTCTATCCAGAGATTTTGAAGAGAGAAAACACGAGAAACGACAACCAAGGTTGTTTAACCCAAAACCGTCATACATAGCACATAGCAATACCCAATCGGAAAAACCAAGGACATCAAGACAGAAGAAAAGAAGAAAAGAGATAGTATGACCAAAAAAGAGGTAATCGCCGTAGTTTTTTCCACCATCCTATCGGGGGGTCCCATTCGATGAAGCCGGATGATCAAAAGCTGCTTGACCAGAACCGTAACGATCTGCTTCATTTGTCCCCATGGGTTGTGATGGGACTATCGAAGTATCCCCCTGCGACGGTTGATCATAGTAGGTTCGCGCCGTTGTGCCATTAGTCCCTTGGGGAACGTTGCCCCTCCGCTGCAGAGGAGGAAGGATGGTAGAGCCTGCCTGGTATTGGGACCGGTACGCTTGGGACATTAAAGCTCCTGTGGAATCCGCTGTCTGTCCCATTATGTGTTGATCGTCAGCCTCTTGCCCTTCAGATCTTGGGGGGGTGTCCATACAGGAGTACCAGCCGGGTTTACCATTCCCAGAGACTGCATCGTTGCCTGCTGACTGGCCCGGCTATGGGCCACCGGGTCTTGCATTGGGGAAACCTGGGCCGACGGGATACCGTATGAAATCTGTGCTCCATGTAAGTCAATTTGTCCGCCATAATGTCCGAGCTCCGAAGACGTCACTGTACCCGTAGTTGGACTGTCAAATGACGTGGGAGTCGGTACGGGCGGAGGCTGACGAACCGCGTAATCGGGAACCCCCGTATGTCCTGTGGGATACTGCATCATAGGCGTTCCATAGGCTCCGGGCTGGTTCGAATACATGGTCGTGGCCTGCGGGTACGCCTCCATTTGACGCATGCGCCCGTCGGCGTCGTACATGCCCCGACTACCAAAATCGACGGACGTGCGCTGACGCTTGACAGGTCCGCCATAGTAACCATAATCCCGTCCCGCGTTTGGATAGCCACCAAAAGCATTTGCCGGCATTTGGATCGCGGTACGATCCGGGGAACGAGGAGGAAGCGGCTGAGGAAAATCCTCTGGCCGGGGAACTGGTCGTTTTCTATCAAACCCGTTAAGTCAGATTTTACCAGTCCAAGTAGAGAGCGGAGACTCCGTCACATCGCCCTTCTTCCGAACTCACATCAGTGTCCGGGGCTCTTTTCGGATTCTGAGCTTCACGCCTTGGTCTGCAAAAGATCTGGACAAAAATGTTGATTCCGCCATTCCGGGGAAGCTCTTAGGGGGTGACACTAGAGAACATGAGTATCCAAGACGTCGGTAACAAAGGCCAGCATCGACTTACCGACAAAGCGGTCCGAAACGATGGATTTCAAATAGTGCACCGCGTCCCTGTGAGACTGAATCAGCACCGACTTGGCTCATCCCTACTTGTACGTGCACCCAAGATCATTACCTCCGCATCTCAAAGAGCGTGAATTTCAATCGAAATTCACCCTCTATCTTCACAGACAGATCTCCGAAGACAAAGAACCCCCCATCTGCACCATTTCGCTATCAGCCTTCCAAGGTCTTCTTACCAGGAATTCCCCGGGATCCCACTTACCGCTGTTGTCCACGTCTTTTAGTCGATGAAGAGACGAAACCAGGGTGCCCGTCAAAGCCGTGGAGGGTGGCACGGGGACTGGGTTATCATCCGAGGCCTCATATAAGCTGCAGCACATAAAATAATAGGGACTTTGTAGGTAGTGCCTACAAGCACCTGTGAGCAAGAAACGATCCGACAGGTCTCATTCAACATTGGGGCCACCTACTGCGCAAGATAGGTCCCTTCCTCTCTTACCCGGATTTGCACAATCGGTGGGGGATCGACAGGTTTACGCTCTGCGTAGCCACCGCCGCACACCAAGTCAACAACATGCCGCCCAACCACAGGCGCTTTAGAGGCTCAACGATGGCTCCGGATAGCTCTACGTACCTTTCTCCTTCCCACCGGCCACGCGCGCCCGAGTGGGCTGCTGGCGAATACTCAACTCAAAATCAGTACTGGGGGTTAACATCGTCAGTGAGAAACCCTGGAGAGCTGAGTAAGAGGAGGAAAGCGGTGCTAGGAGGAATTGGAAAGACGGGAGGGACACACCTCTGGGGATCGCGAGCAAGAGAGGCGTCCGCAAACGTCGACGCACTCATCAAGGCGAGATCGGCGACTTTCGAACCAAAGAAGAAGGATGAACCAGAGAATACAGGTCGGGAGATCCGCCAGGGAAGATAGTAGTGAACCACGAATGGATCGGATAAGGATACTCAGGGGAAGGAAAGAAATGGGACAGAATTAAAGAACAGAGAGAGGATATCGGTGGGTTTACAGCAGGGTCAAGGGGAGGAAAAAGGCAGAATGAATCTTTGGGACCTCACACTGGAGACTTTTGGTTCAACGAAGCACTAGAAAGAAAGAATGATACACAGTGGGGGTAGGGAATTTGTTCTGGGAAGAGGGGAGATGGAGTGGTGTTAAAGACAGGCGCGACGGTATGATTGATTAGTTAGGTAGTTGGGTTAGGTAGGTGAGGTAAGGTAGATAGGTTTTAGTTTCGGAGAGCTCTGCCCAGGGCCCAACAGATCCGGAGTGCAGTCGACCAGGGAAGCTGGTAGCTGGGTTAATGATCAAGCTGTGGATGATGACAATTGCTTACTGCGAGCAATGAAGCGATGGTTACGAAAACGGCGCCGGGGAGGAAAAGGTGGATGAATGATGGTGTCGTCAGAATGCAAGCGGCAGGAGCCAACCGAGCACAGTTCCAGACAAACCTTAACCCGGGTTAAGAGAAAGAAGTGGAGGATAAGTACCGAGTTTTTCTTTTTCTTTTTTCTTTTCTTTTTCTTTTTTTTTTTTTTTGCCTCTCGTGATGTTCCTTTTTCAGAAGATAAAAAGGGAAAAGAGGATGGAACTGCACCGTTGGGGAATTCCCAAAAAAAAAAAAAAAAAAAAAAAAAAAGAAAAGGAAAAAAAGACGTCAAAAGCGAACACTCCGACCGTATATACGATTTTTCCAAGAGACTTGGGAATCTAGGTCGAGAGGTTTTATATAAAAAAAAAAAAAAAACCAATAAAAGTTATAAAAGGGACCAATCAAATAGCCCAATAATCAAATAATATCAAAAGTTCAAAAAAAAAAAAAAAAAAAAAAGTCCAGTAAAACCCCGAAGTCGAATTAGAAGGCAATGTCCGCCAGAGGGTGGCGGAATTCGAGGGACAACAATAAGACGACGGTAGCTGAACGATGGGTCAAAAGTCGCCTCCTTGACAGACAACTGACGCACAGTGGCCGAAAAGGTGGGGGGAAAATAATATGTATCAAAGAAAATAAAAAAGAAAAATTCAATAAAATTTTTTGTATGAGGGTCAACAGATGGTTACCTCTCCCAAAAGGTTTAAGGTAGGTAGGAGGGGGAAGAAAAAAGAGAAGTTCACTGAGAAATCCAATCCAGCTGAACCAGACAAATGATTAGTGGAGCTGTACCAGAACAAGAGAGCAACGCCGGCCACTTTTCGGCCGTCAAATGGTGTCGTTACCGGGACCTGGTCAACCACGGTTGAGTAGACAAGCTAAGGCGTGTATCAGTCTTGACGATCCGATAGGAACCGCAACGACATAGCAGATGATGCGCACATTGACAACTCCCTAGGTCCAGGAGAGATAGCAAGCAAGCAAAAGCAATAAGCAAACTAGCTTTATCGAACTGGAGATACAGTTCGGCCACCTGCACAAGCTACCTTTCAAGGCCTAGGCCAAATCGATGGACGACCGGTCGAACTAAAGCATGAAATCCACCGCGTTTGCGGCAAACTACCATTCGCTTCGCGAGTAAACCCAGCCCACAGCTATAACGGTTTTGGTCTTGTGCGCGGAGATGGTGCCGGCTATGCAAGTGATTAGACCCGTATCTAGGCGCCACACGCAGGGTCTCCCGATTCTCTTCCTGACTCGAGTCTGAGAATCGTTTGCTGGTCGGTGCGCGCGCCTAATCATTTCAGTCAGAATCTCATTCCCGTAGTTCCATTCTTTGGATTTGCTACCAACTTGGTACAAGGTATTAAACTCTGATTAAGGGGGAGGAGGGGAAGGGGAAATAGTCAGTCCCTAGGTCATCCGTAGATCTGTCTTCGTTTTTTCGACTTTCGATATCCCCCCTTTTCGTTTCTTTTCGTCCTCTTGAATTTTTTTTTTTTTTTTTTTTGGTCTTCCCACGCTCTCCTGAGCGACCACGGAATCAGCGTCCTCATGGGGCAAGCAACAATAGATTGACCAAACTTCCACGTCCTTAAAAGGAATATCGATCAATGTCAGATGGCACGAACCTTGACGCCTTGTTTATGCCCCGCAACGATGGGTTCCGTGTTCCAAACCGCGCGATCCAAGGAAGCAGAGACAGTCACGTATCCAAGGCACTAAAGGCCCACTCGAGAACCGGTCCCTTTTGTTCAACTTCAGGAGTCATCAATATTAATTGATGGCCTGCAAGACAACGTCGGAGTCGACAGAAAGGAAATTACCTTTTTCGAGAGTCTTGATTCCCGGGAGTTCGGGGGGAAGAAGACGCAGAGGGACCAATAAGGTGAATGGCCAACAGGTTCTCTTGAATGATGGATAACGTGAGTCGTGTCACGAGATGCCACTTGCGTCCCCCGTCTCAGTCTCTCGCCTTGTTTTTCTCGTCGTCGACAACAGAGAGTATAGTGTAGTTTCTAACGAGTTTCGTATCCTTCTCGACCAAGCGTACCCCCGTCTCACGCCGAAGTTATGCAATGAACCGGGCCGATTTCTGGTTCACGATGCAGATGTCGGAAATGAAATCTAGAAAGGTTGCGGGCCCTCGGCGTGGTTAAATTCTCGAGAGAATCTTTGACGGTAGGATACCACGTTACTCGACCAAGAGCAGAACGAACAGAGAATTCATTTCGCAAATAATGCAGTGCAAGGTAATGTGGGAAATGTACCTCTTTTTCAACGTGCGGTCGTGCAGAAAAACAAGAGGAAAAAAAAAATAAAATAAAATAAAACAGGTCAGGCTCAAAACTTCAGCGCTTTTTTAGCCGCTGCGTTCTAAAATCTAGTTCGGTGGACGCATCACATCACCTGGGTCTTGACATGCAGGCCGCAGAGGCGGCTTCCCCCACACACATATGTCCAGACCGTTGCGCTGGGAGGGTGATTGGACTTTGGGGGAGGACGGAATACCTCAATGAAAGTCCGGCCATCAAAGATCGGATCAATCAACAGGTGTGGCGTAGAGAGGCCCAGTTCGCACGATCTGTCTCTAGGGGAAAAGCGATCGTCGTGGGCAAAATGGTCCCTCTCACTGGTCTATGTGAAATTCAGCAATGAAAGAGCCAGCCTTACTTAAATAGTGTTGGTCATCTTGTTGGACTACGCTGCCTCGCATGCATGATCAGAGGGTCCCTGGATACCGCTGTGGAAAGAATAAAAGAAAAATAAAGAAAAATAAATAAAAAAACGCCGCCGATGATTACTTTTTTCTCCCCCTTCCAAATAGCGTTGTTGGCCATTCCTCCAGATACAGCGCGCTGCATCTCCGACGCATACGGATCCTGGAACTTAATAGGTGGCAGATGCATCTAGCCGCATCAGCTGCGAAGCTACTGGCATCCAAAGCCCGCAATCGCGTTCTTCCACAATCGTCAGGCAAACATTGGTGGGAGGGGGAAATCATCGACGATGCTAGATGGTGCTCCCTATGATTCAGTACTGCATCCTGGGGAGGGGGACCTGTTTGGTATTCTCATTGGAATACGACGACACAATCATCATGTCCCGAGCAGCAACGAGGTAATACCACCGGGATCAGCAGGAAGCGACAATGACGATGTTCATGCAAGGGTGGCATAAGCCCTAATTTGTAGGGATCTGGAGACAGACCATTATGCTGGAGTCCTAAAACCCGAACATCCCTGGATGGGAGCCAAACAAAGAGGAGGGGAGAGAATAGAGAGGGAAAGAGGAAAAGAAAAGAAAAGAGAGGGAAAAAAGAAAAAGAAAAAGAAAAAGATTAACCCGCCGCTGCAGGAGTCCATTCTAGCTTCTTCCCCCCATTCGCAACCACACTAGAGGAATAAGTGATATCACCTGAATCAGGGGACTGTGGGAACCAGATAGAAGGATGGGAAAGAGAGAGAAGATCAGCATTGCTTCATACACATTATCATCAATAGCATAGATGTTTAATCGTCTGATCCCCGATGGACGCCACCCCGAGGGCCCGTCAGCAAGTCTCCGGATGCTACCAAGACTGCAGCTGGTCGATGAAATCTCCTGCATTACCGGATACAGCCACGTTTCGGTAGCGTGTACTCCGTACACGGAGTCACTGGGGCTAGTATTAATTTACTGGCGACGCTTGAGGATCGCTGGCGACGGAAAGTACCAGTCTGTGTCGTACTAGATTCCGGAAGTGCTTGTGGCTGTTTGGTTTAATCAGGAGGATAGGGTGGCCGGAAGAAAATATGGATTGATTCTGTTTACTCCGTGCTGTCTGAAAGAGAGAACAAGAAGAGGGAAAAAGAAAATTTTCGTACGAAAAAAAAAAAAAAAAAAAAAAAAAATAATAGGAAAATATTAGCCGATACTATGGAGCGCGGAGGGGAAGATTTCCCAACCTGTTAAAAAAAAAAAAAAATTTTAATATATTTTTTAAATAAAAATCCAGAGGCCTTCTCTTTTCGTCCTTCTACATGGGTGGGGATCGAGGACATGCACGATGAAGTGTTCGCCGGGGCTAGCGGTTGCCTTGCTGTGCCAACCGAACGATTCCCTTCCGGGCGAACGAACTGAATCCATTCCATGACAGCGGGCAATCCCCATTGTGTACCAGACTTTGGCAGGCGCTTATTTCACGCTACATTTATGCTTATTCGGGCCATGGGATTTGGGTTCCGTTGTGACAGCGCCCTATCCATGGTCTATGGTTTTTCCTTTTTTCCTTGGAATGAGAACTAAGTCGATCCGCTGTACATTATGTACATGACGAGTTCTACTTGGAGTATCTCTCTATATCTTCGTATCGGATCTACGGAGAAAATATCAGAGGGTTATATTATCAGTTCGATTCTGTCTGTGAGTCTGTATATCTGCATGGATAGGATTCTCTCTTTATTCCGGGCAGAGTATCAACAACGGACGGATCCACATCTACAAAAGGGTCAAGAAAATATCATTAAAAAAAAAAAAAGGATAATACGGAAGTTCCTGACAGATCATATCTGCCCTATCCTATATTCAGAAAAAAGTCGATTCGACTCAAGTACAAGTATTAAACTAATCATCAATAATTCCTGCACCTAGCAACATGTCTTGCGTAGAATACCACAAGAATAATAATAACAAGATAATCAAACCAAACAAGTATGTATGTACTACAACACTGCCAGCATTGCCACATCAGCAGTGGTGGGCCGTAGTACATACAGAGTACAGATAAGTAAAGATTGATCGAATAAATCGATCAGTCCGTGTTTCAAGTACGGAGTACATGTAGGATGCAGAAAAACTAGTATGTATGTAACGTAGTAAGTCTGGTATGATCCACACGGCGTGCGCCGTCGTTTCCTGGTTTTCATCAACTGCAACTAAAAAAAAAACTTGACCGAGTATATTCAATCAAACCTTTTGCTTTTTGCATGCAGATGTTGAGGATGGCTATTCGTCGTCTTTGTGTCTTGGCGCATCTTTTTCTTTCTTTTTTTAAATAATCTTTTTTTAGACTCGTGTCTACATCTGATGCGTCATTGTTCACTAGTCTCTTGATCGAAATTGATAGATCATGCAAGACGGTTACTGACCACAAAGTACAGAGCACAAAAACTTTGTATGATTGATCGTGGATATGAATTATCACGTGCTGTCCAGCCTCAACTCCCATGTAGAAATACAACAACGGCAGCCAAACACGGACGGTCTAAGAAACACACTGTATCTCATCGGGAATATGTTCTCCACGTACATACCGAATACAGAAAACAAAAATAAAATGCCCACGCATGCCATAGAAACCCTCCCTTCAATGGAAAGAGTCAGACGAACCTCGAAAAACGAAGCAGCACAGCCTGGGTGCTCGCCACACACGATAGCCACAAATCGAGAAAGGACGGGTCGATCACTAGAATCGAGCGAGACAAAGGCGGTTCGTAAGAAAAAGAAAAATTCGCATCAAATGTTACCCAGAAACTCCAATTCCCGCCTACTCCTTGCTTGAGAACAGTAATATCAGTAAAGCCAAAGATGCCCGGTCGTGAAATTTATCCCCCAGGGGAAAAGAAAAAGAAAAAAGGGGAGGGAGGAAAACTAAGGTAAACTAAAAATGTAAGAAACCCCAGATTCGTGGTGGTATCATTTCTCCATGACCGCATCCTCGTCCCCATCGGTCCCATTTAACTCGATCTGACTGTCCCCATTCTTTTGGCGCCTTTCGGCCGCAATCACAACTTCTAGTTTCTCTACAATAGGCTTTCGGTTCACAGATCGGGTGAGTTTGGCTTGGCTAGTGGCTCCCTTGCCCCTGGACGGCGTCGTCTGGCCAGGGACAGGAGTCTCGCCGTTCTCAACTCCCCCATCGCCTGATTCATCGACGCCGTTGATCTTGGTCAACTCCTCATACCCTTCGGCATGACTGGCTTTTGCTTCTGTTTCCGACGGTGCTGGTTGGGACCCGCGCTCCGGATCATCTCCCAGGGGCTCTTCCAGACTCTGGAGAGAATCGTTTTCAATGCCATTGGTATTCGTGTCAGTCAGCTCCGCGGCGGGAGAATCCGCCAGCTTCGCGCTACGGCCACGTCGTACGCTCGGCACAATAGTGGTTGGGGTCACAGAGTTCAAGGCGGATGGTCTTTTGGGGGTGCTGCGACCACTGGTTCGGGCCGTTGTTGGAGTGACGGATATTTTATTGTAGGTGGTCTTGCTACCAAAGGGTCGACCAGGGCGCCGTTTAATGACTGGCGCTTGGACAGGAGGATAAACCTCAAAGCGCCATGCCGGTATATCAGCGGCAGGGCTTGGCTCAGCCGCGACGTTCGGCTCGGAGCACGTGGCGCTGTGGTGACGAAAGCCGTTGATATTAGAGAGAGCATCAGTCGACGGAGGGCCGGCAGGCTCGCCGGGAATTTTTTCGGGCCGACTCTGCCCTTTGCCATTGGTCGTGGCGGTTATATTGCCATTTGGTTTAAATTGCCGTTCTTCTTTCCCGGATTCTTTCGCCTGATCGACTTCATCCTCCTCCAGTCCTTCGCGGGGGGCGACTGTATGAAGAGGGGCTCGGTCAAATTGCGATTGGTTGCTTCGGCCCATGACATATGGTGTCCAGACCAGAGCATCAGGGTTAAGCTGGACATAGCCCTTGCTTTCCCAATTGCGGATACACTCTTCAAAGTAATTATAGTCGAGGCGCAGTGCATAGCTCTTCGTCACCGGGTCCCTGACGAGAGCGCGCAGAGCTTCCAACCCCGACACAATGTCGTCTGCTGTCATACCCGTGCGCTCCGAGAGGTCCACGATGCTCAGCGGCTTTGTCTGATTTCGTAGTTTGTAAGATAAGATAAGCCGCCAATAGTTTCGATAGGAGACCAAGCCCATATCCGAGAGAGGTTTTTCAGGCGAGCCCGTCTTCCCTTCGATACGTGTGAGTAGGTAGGAGAAATCAATCAGAAGGTTTCCGTAGCCTTTGCGTTGGTGGATGGGGAGGGTAAGGATACAAGACACGTTGTTTGCGGAGCTAGGCCGTTTCTCTTTGCTAAAATAACCAACGAAATGACACCCGAGGTCGTCATATTCAGTCATGACATAGAAGAGAAATGGCTCCACATCATAGTAGAGCGTCTTCGATCCGAGAAACAGTTTTGCGAGCAAGCACAGATTTTGGCAGTACACTGGGTTCTTTCGTCCATCGACTTCAAATACGGAGATGGAACCCTCACGATAGATTTCGTCTCCAGGGGGGTGCTTTGCAGGGCACTTGAGCTTGTGGCGCCATGCGACATAGTCGGAATTCATGTATTTCAGGCAAAATTCGCAGATGAAGAGAACCCGATTGCGGCTGTATTCTTCGGGGTACGGCGCCGCGTACCAGGTCTCAATCTCGTAACCCCCAAAGTTGATGTATTTGATCTTGGACGGAGGACCTGAGACCTTTTGCGATGCATGCTGCATTGGTTCTCCACCACTCTCAGCTTCGATGGCCCTTCGTTGCCACGCTTCTTCGGCCTTTTGGCGCGCCAATTCAAATCTTTCCCGGTCCATGTGTGTCGGCAAGGTCTTGGTCGTGTCCGCATCCGCTTCCGATAAAATGCCACCATAAGGCTTCGATTTCGATTCATCCGTCTCGCGGTCGTTGAACGAATAGAAAGGAGATACGTAGGCGGGAGTGATTGGTGCAAAGTGTGCCTGAGCCTCATGCGCAACAGAGGGTGGTTTAGGGGTTTTTCGATTCTTAATCAGTGATTTGCTGCGAGAGCTGAGAATCTTGGACAGCTTAGTCTCGTTGAGTCGAAACGCCAAGATAAGCCGTCCAAATTGTTTCAGGAGCACACGGCAAGCATCTTTCTCACCCCCGCGCGTGCGTCGAGAACGGGTACGTACAGGAGACAAAGAGTCCAAAGTCTCGGCAACTTGGTCTCTCGTGTCAGCGCCGTCATGTCGCATTGGTGTCTGCCTTTGCCGCTTTCGGAGCACAGGTGTATGCTCCTGATGAACGTCAACTGACGAAGCTTTTCTCTTTCGCAGCGAGCGGGAGCTATTTAAAAGATCATCATTGACGTGCACTGTATTGAAGATTGAATGGAACCCGGAGTGTTCCCCAACATGAGCTGGCAAAAGCTCCTTGCTCATATTTTTGGGCCCCAGCTTTCGCTGATTAGAACTGGGTTCTCTTGACCTGGGCTCTAACTTTTCATGCACACATGTAGGGCATCTCCAGGATTTACCGTCTAGATCCAAGTTAGTATGGCATTGTCAGTGTAAATTATCCTGGGAGGGTACACATGCCTTCTGCGTCATCCAGTGCATCATGTTCGCGTGCACATTGCCGATGAGCTGCCAGACGCCAAGTTAGTAAAGACCGCCATTAACAAAGGTCTGGGACTTGCTAGGCCATGTTTTGAAGGACCCGCATAACGTACAGTGATCGCCACAGACTGCACATGTTAGATACTCCTCGAATTCCTCACTCGGGTCGTTATCTTCATCTTGTTGACAAAACCTATGCCAGCAAAAGTTAGGATATCGAACCTTTTTTTTTTATCTCAAAAGGGGGCGGAGGGAAAAAAAAAAAGAAAAGATACTTACACGCAATTCCCGCGCAAGGTGTTGTTATCCGCTTCCCTATCTTCTTCATTCTCATTACTTTCCCCTTCCCATTCCTCATCCACATCCGACTCCTGGCTATTGGAGGATGGGCTGGACGCTTCACTCTCACTTTGGTTTTCAAAGGCTGGATCCGCATCGGCAGATGCCGCGGTCAAATCGTCATAAGTGAGAGAAGGGGCTTCATTCGGTAATTTGACTGCGCCAACCGGTTCCGTCTCATCCCCTTCCAGATTTAGGTCAGTATCCGGTTCTCCCTCCGCATCCTCGTCCTCCCCAGGGTCAGCGTTTGCAGCCTCTGCAGCTACTTCACCCGAATATGCTCGATGAACAGCATCTTGGAGCTGTTGGTCCATGTGATATAGATCAGTTTCCTCCTCGCCTTCTGCATCCTGGTCGCTATCCACCTCCTCCGCAGGCGGTCTCATTTCGGTCTCATCGGGGGCCGGCGGCACGGTTGCCGGCATGGTGCAGGTCACTGCGATCGCCAGGGTGAGCGTCTACCGGCTTGCCTCAACAGGCGATGAAGGATTGCAGTAGAGGGACGGTTAGCCCGCAAACAGTTGAGACTAGGCTATTCAGGACTCCCCGCAAGAATCGACAATCATCTGGCACCGCATGAAACGGGCATCGAGAACATGAGCGAATGGCCTTGGATAGCGGCGATCCCACCCGGGCAGTGCACACAGCAGAGATTGGAAGTAGCAACAGGTGAAGGACCTCCTGGGCAGAGCGCACATTAGTCAAGGGTCAGTGGAAATAGGAAGTTACAGCAGCGTTGGGACAATGGCCAACAACACGTGTAGAACAGCAACAGGAAGCATACCTCATAGACCAACAAGTCAATAGCAAGCAGTCGAGCAGAAGTGAACGCGTCGATCGGCGGCAGAAACGGCTCGCGAGGATCTATCCAGCTCCAGCATCCAGACTCCAGAACACTCATCGCCCCTTCTGCGAGGTTGACGGAGGTGGCTGACTCAGCCAGCTGTGCCCCCGTCCGAGGCTAAACCGCTTTTGGCGATTCCGACCTCGATTGATTCCCGCAAGAAACGAATCGCGCCGTTTCTTCTCTCTTCTTCCCTGCTGTACGCCTGCATCTGCGTGAATTGAGTTCGATTACGTCTCCGTTGCAAAATGGGTGTCCCATTCGAGGCTCTGCTCCCTTATGGGATTATCATTGGTGTACGTGGAATGCTCCCCGCCGTCGTCTCTGTGTGCCTTCCATCCCGGATACAAGTTACTGACCAACCGATCGCATGATAGTTTATGGGTGTGACCGGTGCTGGTCTAACGGCTGTCAAGTATTGGTCGAATGAAGGAAAGACTGCTCGCTGGAACCGGGACCTGTGGGATAGAGTAAGTTGTGGGAAAGGAGCATGCGATGGAACTGGTTTGGCTAACTTCCCTGTAGCAAAGTATGTGACGCTATAATCCACAACAGCGTACTGGAAGGAATAGCCTCGTCCCCTCACCCTGTTGCTCACACAAAAAGAGTTGGCCTGGAAGCTAACCATCCCCATCCGGGTCCGCAGTGATGGAGAGAGACCTCCGACTTACAGGCACCTTGCGAGGTCAATCAAGCAACGCGGTGGCTCCAAAGGGATTCGAACTCAGCAATCCATGGAAGGTACGTAGTAGGATCCTGGATCGCGTTTGCACCCGGAAGGACAATATACTCATCCCGAATGTAGCTGGAGAAACGGCTCTACTAGATCGGATCGACGTTGTCGATGTTACGTCCTTATCCATGTTGTCTACTCTTTTTCCGCCTGCATGCCTGCGTTTATTTCTTAAATACATATCCAAGGTTAAGAAGAAATTCTATCTGTACAACACCATCGAGCCCTACTCGCACTATTATGATAGTCCTCATCTCCCCAGCCTATTTGAACTGGGATACTAGACCCTGGATCCCGTCCACTTCGTAGTCATGGAAATGCATATCGAACCACTTACCCAGAGCTCGCACTCGATCATCATCACTCTCGAGCGTTTCGACCACCTCCGCCTTCCCGCGCAGTCTCCGTTTCACCTCTTTCCCCGCCAGGACATACACGCCCCTCGGCTCGCAGCTCATCTCGTCCAAAATCACCCGCGAGCAGACGACTGTCTGCGTAAACCAGCTCCTCGGCTGCTTACTGGTGAAGAAGTTCATCATGACATAATCCTGAGGTAAAAACTCCACCTCCGAAAACGAGTAGTGGGGAATCCAGTCGCTGTCGGGGTTATATCGGATCTGGTAAACCCAGACCTTCTGGGTTTTGTCCACGAATTCGTAGAGAGTGTCCCGGATCAGACGCATCTCCGACGGGGCGATGCAGACGGCCGTAGCCCCCTCAATAAGGGGCAACGGACTCGTCGGACAGTTACTCCCAAATCCGACGTCCACCTACATAGTATTCATTATTTATTTAGTTCATTCGCTCATCATTTTCCCGATAAGAGACGGATGGGGATACGGGAATATCCTACCATATATTTCTGCCCAGCAATCGTCACGATAAGAATCATATGCCCACTACACCACTGTTAGTGGCATCCCACCTCCAGGATGAAGAGAGAATGGCATACATGGCAGAGAACCGTTCCTGACCAGGATGTTTATTCACCCCATTAGCAGCTTCACATACCCTCCCACCGGTCGCATACACGGTATATCCCAGGGACCGAAGAACCACGTAGATGAGATTGGTGTTCTCCATGCAGTACCCGTCCAGACGACGGCCGACCAGCTTCTCAAAGATACTCGATGGATTGACGGAGATGGACAGGTGTTGGGAATAGTGCAACGCTGAATTACCCCATGGGATGGTCGCCAGATGTCGTCGCTGCAGTTCTGTCAGAGTCGCCAATGGATCGTGCTTGATGGAGGACTGGACATGTTCCAGACGGGTAGTTCCTGCGACGAGGGCAGAATCGGCATATTGGATGCGCTGGAGATACCGCTCGAGCTGGTCGGGGGTGTAGGTTGGAGCCATTAGTATTTGGAGTGTACAGGACGTATGTATTGTAGATCGAGATGATTGATAATCTTCAAGACGGACTGGGTGGGGACGTGGGGACTCGCGGTGGCGCTAAAGGAATGCGATGGGGAACCATCACAACGTGATGGATATGAGGGATACGAGGCATTACTTATGGAAGGGATGCGATGGATCGAAGGATTGACTTGACCTGGAACAGGGATGAGGTCGAGAATATCTTGCATGCAGGCAAGCACTCAATCCTTACTCCGTACAAGATGATGTCAATTCAGATTCCTAGTCTCCGATCCTCGGTTATTCTCCCCACCACCTCCATCATCTCCGTCTCCGTCTCCCCTTCCAGTCATTAATGCATTCCCTCGCTCAAACTCTCTCCAGACGTTTCATCGCTTCGTCCGTCTGCAGACGCAACATGTCGACCTCGATCGAGCAACAGATAGACGCGCTGCGGAACTACTCAGCTTGCGATGTATGTCTCTTGTCCGTCACCTTGCTCAATCCCCTCCCATTGATCACGGTTTGTTCGCAATCCAACAGGTCTCTGATGCACTTCTCAAACTCCAAAAACCAGTGGAGGGTGTCCCTGCGCGAGCGGGCTATCTGGCTGATTTTAGTAATTTCTCCATCTCTCTGTCTGCCTGTCTATCAACGTTTTCTAATCCATCACGATGCATTATCCCAGTGCCATTCTCTCCCTCCATCGGTCGAAATGAGACTCTTCCTAAAATCATCGCCCCAGCCTCCACTTTCAAATTCATTGCCAAATCTGGCATTGCGGATTCCTCCGACACCCAGGGGTTCCCTGCAGGCACGCACTGGGTTGACTGGGCCGAGCCAAACACTATTGCGGTGATTGAACAGCCTTCGGGACAGCATTGTGCCGTACTAGGAGGTATCCTGGCGTTGCGCATGAAGACTCTAGGAGTCAAGGGGGCGGTGGTGAATGGACGAGTTAGGGATTTAGCGGAGCTAAAGGAGTGCCAATTACCGGTTAGTCCTTTGATCCTCTATTATATCTAAAAAAAAGACGAATAAAAGAATAAAAAGAGACAGAGACTAATGGATCAGGTCTGGGCCAATGGAACCTCGACTGTGGGAACCGCCGCCGAAGCAAAGCCGGGAGCTCGCAATGTCCCCGTCAACCTCGGAGGAGTGACGGTGTCTCCGGTATGTTCTTGATCTGATGTAGCGGGATACCATGACTGAACTGGATCTAGGGCGATATCATCTTCTGTGATCCTTTGGAAGGCATCGTCTCCATACCGCGGGATCTGCTACATTCAGTGCTGGAACTGATGCCGAAACTGGGCGCTATGGATGACAAGGTCAAGGAGGCTGTGGCTCAGGGCTCGTCCGTATTCCATGCATTTCAGAAGTTCCGTACCAGGATCTAGACGCTACGGTGGCTCTGGGCACTTTCTATATACCCTACACGGTTCGGTTACTCTTATCAATTGAGCACGAAAACATGTGGCATCGAACATGCTTGGCATCACTCAATTTGAAGCGAGATTCGACGATTCCTTGGTATTCTGGAAACTATGCTATACAATTTGAACAATCATCATACGTATATAAATCGCTGTACAGAAGAGAAACACAACAGAAAATGGGAAATGATGTTTTATAGGGTCTCTACTCGCGAACCCAGACAGCAGCCATACCCATACCGGTGCCAACGCACATGCTGGTGACACCGATCTTCTTGTTGGTGCGCTTCAGCTCTGTCAGCAACGTGCTGACCTGGCGCGAACCCGTGCAGCCAAGAGGGTGTCCAAAAGCAATGGCACCTCCCTTGGGGTTGATCTTCTCCTGGGGCAGGCCCAGCTCATTGACACACCACACACACTGAGACGCGAAGGCCTCGTTGATCTCGTAGATGTCCACATCATCCTTAGTGATGCCGGCCTTCTCAAGAGCCACGGGGATGGCCTTCCAGGGCCCAATACCCATGAGCAGGGGCTTCACGCCCACCACACTGGCAGTCACATATTTACCAATGATCTTCTGGCCCAGGCGCTCGGCAGTCGATCGCTTCATCAACAAGACAGCGGCGGCGCCGTCGGAGATCTGGGATGCGTTGCCGGCATGGATCGAACCATCCTTGGCGAAGGCAGGGCGGATCTTACCGAGGGACTCGGGAGTCATGCCCTCACGGATGCCATCGTCGGCCTTGACCGTGATGGTCTTCTCCTCGCCGGTCTTAGGGTGGGTCCACTTCACCTGCAGAGGGGCAATCTCTTCTTCGAAAAGCCCTGCCTTCTGGGCCTTGACAGCCTTCTGGTAGGAGGAAGCAGCGAAGGCATCCTGGGCGGTTCGAGTGACCTTCCTATCCTTGGCCATCTGCTCGGAGAGAACACCCATGGGAACCTTGCAGTTGGCCGATTCGGGGTGGTTCTCAAGCAGCTCGGAGAATTCGGTCACCGCACCGGGACTGGCAATCGAATTCCGTCAGCATGTGGTCTCTAGTGACACTTCCGGTCGTAGCTACGTAGACATGTAGATACATACCCATATTGAGAGGACATGCTCTCCACACCCGCACCGATGCCCACGTCAATCATCCCCGACTTAATTGCATTGGCAATATCCACAACGGCCTGCAGACCACTGGAGCATTGACGGTTCAAGCTCCTGACAGACGTCGTCTCCGGGAAGCCAGCCACCAGGGCGGCCGCCCTGAACTCGGTGGCACCGCCACCGGGAGCGAGAACGGAGCCAACAGCAACGTCATCAACGAGCTTAGTATCAATACCACTCTTGTCGATCACGGCCTTGAAAACACCCGCCAGCAGGTCGGCAGCAGCAGTATCCTTGAAGGCACCCTTTCCACCCTTGGTGAGGGCGGTACGCAGAGCGCATGTGACAACAATATCATCCGGGTGTTTCTCGGTGATGGCAGCAACACCCTTCTTGCCACCGAAGTGGGAAGCCACCTGGGTCAAACGTTGTTGAGCTAGAAGTCAGGGACAGTTAGGTGGGTGTTTCCAAGAAAGGAGTACTACATCTTTTTTACAGATTGCTGCGACTTACCGGAAGACATAATGACGTCAATATAAGCCACACGATATCACACGAGAGAAAGAGAAAATATCCAAGGAACAAAGGGACAAGTCGGAATAATAACCACCAGGGAGGACCTCCTTTATAAGACAAACCTGGGGGAGCCCGCGTGGAGAAGACGAACCCACCTGTCGGCCATGTTCCCTTTTTGACTCCATCGCCGTCCCGTGAAAATACCGAGGTCCAGCCGGGTTATCATTGTTCCGCGCTCAGGGGTCACGGGACCCCCGGGATTGTCCATAGTTTCATGTGAAGAAGGCCAGATGAATAGTAATCTGATTTTGGGGCATTGGTTCATCCAAGGATCGACATGGAAGGATTGGACATGGGGAATCAGTATGATACTGCAGATGCTCCGTAGACCCCATATACCTAGGGACTATATACATGTCTTGATGCTGAAGAGCGGGATTTCCATCAGGAAACACTCTTGACGTCTTTGATCAACTGTAATGCAAGTAATAGACTCCAATTCCGGTGCCGTGCAAACTTTATTAGACGCAAAAACATATAAATTAAAGAAGAAGAAAAAAAAGCGCAGATGAGGATCCAACGCATTGCCTATTCGGGTCACATGAAGCCCAGGATGTGGTCATGTGAATCCATCCGCAACTTTTCCCGGTTCGCCTGAACAGGAAAGAATCCGCCTAGTTTCTCAAACTCTACGAAGCAACGACGCAACGACTCTCGTCCCCCTTTCTTTCTCTATGAATTCAACACATATCTTCCGCAGACTCCCTTCTGTTTTCTTAACGGCATCGCCGACACCATCCGTTGCACCATGGAGAAATCTCCCCGGCGGATTTCGAGTCTGGTCCCATGTGCGTATACATCCATACCAAAATGACCCTCGCGCTCCCACCACCTCTTTCTCCCTTTATATATCTCTCTCTCACTTAGCTTACAAGCACTCTTAGAGCCAGCCATATCCCACCCGACAATTCTCCCAAACATCTCCCATTCTCTCGTCGCCATTCCGACTCTCCTCGAACAATGACAACCACCCCCCATTGCAAACCTCTTCTGACCTCCCCCCCGACACCGATCCGCTAGCCTACTACAGTCCCTACATGCCAAAGCGCCGATGGCCCCCGGACATGTCGAAACTATCACCGAAACACCAGTTCCGATTAGAGCGGAAATACCGCCGGCGCGCCGCACTCAAATTTGCCCGTCCCAAGTGGACAAAGGCGACGAAGTTGGTGCAGTGGGGAGTTATAGGATGTATGCCCCTCTCTTTATTTCTTTCTCTCTGTGTGTATCTTCACGATGAGGGTGGTGACGCTGACGGAGGTAAAACAGTTGTTTTGGTGTATGCCTTTCTCTTCATGGAATGGGATGATAAAGGAAGTCCGTTTGATGAGGTGAGAACCACTCCCTTTTTTATTATCTCTTTGAGTACATGGTCCTAGAACTTGTCTATGGAGGGAATCCGTTCTGACACAGGATGTGGCGCAGCTCCGTAGGGCGTTCTTTGCTAGCGTTAAGGGGGCATTCTCTACTCTACCTCCAGCGCCGGTTCAGAGATCCAACGACACCGCTAAGGATCAGTAAGTAATTTGGGAAGGACTACATCTATAGATATAGATAGATCTTACGCTGTCAATACGCTGGACACTTGCCATATGACGAGGTCTAGCTGCTCGATACATGATACCACAAGGAAAGGACTGGGAACCTCCCCAATCGACGCATACTGTAGATTATCTTACCATCACATATATATCCAGAGGAATTTTTGTACTTGTACCATTCAACTATTATCTACACCCTAGAAAATCGTTTTATTCTTCTGACGTAACGAGGTGGCTTGGAAATACAACGCAGCTGTCCAAAATAAAAGGAAGAGACAGGATTTCGGTCTGACATCCACTTGCAAGAAATTCAACAAAATTCGTCAGGTTTGGGGCCCGTTCCTTCATTAAGTCATTTCGCCGTTGTCGTGAGGCAACAGATAGATGATACACCCGAACTCCCAAGAAATACCAACGCCCTCCGGCACAATACTCCGGGAAACAATCAAAATAGAGAGTGAGTTCAAAAGAGCAATGTAAAAAACCCATGAAACGCCGATTCATGTCTGTGTTGAAAATACGGCTGGTCATGCAATGGAGAGGTGTCGGATAAACATAGAATACGCCAGTAAAAGCTAAAGATCGAGGGCCTGTGAGGCATGGACCGATTGTTGAGGCTGTTTTAAACCCTAGACCCAGTTATCAATCGGGTCATTCTTCGACGACAATCGGTTGTTAGCTGGGAGATCCAACGCCAGTTCCAATTTGGGAGGCTTTTCATCTACAAGGCCTTTGTGGGGGCTCCCCCCAGCCACTCTGACCGGTGATTTAGTCGGCGAGCCAAGCACAGGTCGAGGCGGCCCTTCGCGGACCGCTAGGTATGGCCAGTCATCTTCGACGGCAGCGGCCACCCATGTGCGTAGGCAATCATGCACAGAGGCATAAAACTTCTCCTTGCACGTCCGCAAACTGCCACCCATGACTTTCTCAAACCCGGAGGCTCGAAGTTCGGCGCGAAGCTGATTGCGTTCCTCGCCAGTTGGCAGGGACGCAACAAGGCCGTTCAACAGATCCACGTGCGCAGCCAAATAGTTGGTAGCATCCCACTCCACCCCACCAACGTAAGGAGCAGCAGGGACGGGAGGCCGGGGAGTGGGGAAATGCCGGTCTCGAAAGCTCTTTAAGGCTGGATCGGCATGCACAATTGGAACCACATTCAGATGGTGTAGGAAGATCCAAAACACTTCTTTAGTCACATTGGTGACTTCTTTGCACCAAACTCGGTACGGTCGTGTTTGATATATGTTCGCTATAAATGCCAGTGGCTGGTTTTCTTCCGGGGGGGTAGGGTCTCGTAAGTAGGAGAGAATTCGAATGGCCCGAGCCGCCGCATCCTGAGACGAAACTGCCGACGAAAGTTGGGTGAAAATAAGATTGATGATGATACCACGAGTGGTAAACTCGCTTGGTCCTTTCTTTTCTTCATCGAATAGCATTTTTAAGAGTGCCGGAAAGAGCTCTCCTTCGATCTTCGTCAGGAGTTGAAGTGCAACGGATGTGGTACAGAGCGCCTTCAAGCACAGCAATGTCTCATGAAGCAGACTGTCTTCATGGTCCTCCCTGTTGACTCGTAAGCATGTTGGTATCCTTGACTAGGGCTAGAACGAAGTACATACCTCCACTCCACCTTCATGATCCGATACAGTAACTGCACGATTTCGTCCATGCCACCATCCGCAATGAAGGTATCAACCCAGCTGACCGTCTCATTTCGCAGAAGGATTCGAAGCTTATGCACTTTGCCTACCTCTACCATTTCTGGTTTCTGGATTTCTTTTAAGTAGTGAACAAAATCCGATGGGTCAGCAGCAGTATCCCGACAGGCCGTCGCAGAAAGAGAGGTCGTGGAACCTGTTGGGGTCAGGATCTTAGAGAGTGACGTAGGATGCGAGAAATCGGCAGACTTCGGCCGCCGATGAGAACTAAAACTCTCTGGCCGCTGCTTCTTGGTCGGTGATAAACTACCCTTGGAAAACGAGAATCCACGGCTTCTGGAGCGGGATCGAGACCCTTTGGCGTCCTGGTCTTGTCGGTCTTCTTTCTGTTCTTTTCTGCGCCCTCGGCGGCCCGTACTGTCGTTGGTGTATACACTGGTACTCGCGCTGTGTGGTGTACTGTTTTCTGCTTTGTCTTTTTGGATAAAGTCGGCCTTTATATTAGTATCCAAAGACCTCATCTTGTCTCTCATATTGTGGGGGATGTTTCTTGCGTCCTGAGCAGGACATTAGCTTCCAAATTCCAACTAGAAATAAGACTAGGGTAAGAAATACGGACCAGAAGCTTTTCAAACTCGCTCTCGAGGTCTTTCGCGTTGAGTTTTCTTTGCAGCTCAGCCTCTTGTTCTTTCGCATTGAAGGCCGAGATTGCCGCCTGGACACGAGAAATTCTTTTAGGATTTTGTTCTGGCTTCTGTTCCGTCACCGGTCGAGAGCCAGGTCCTGATAGCGCGCGAGATCGTCCGCGTCCCTCGGATGGGATAGAATTCAGTTGATCAATTGGTGCTGCTCTCTCAATGGAGAGATTCGGAGGCAGTGCGAAAAAGTCCTTCACCTTACGGTTCGCTGCAATGAAGTCAGATTTTGGGCGAGGCTTTCCACTTGTGCGGGTTGTCAGAGACGGCTGGTGATAATCGTAGAAATTACGCTGTTGTGCCGGTCCATATCCCTTAGGCGTGTATAGTGAGACCTCTTCCTGAAAGGTCCTACGCCTGTTTGGAGAGCTTGATCCATCCGCCTGCTTGTGGAACGAACCTGTTGTGAATTGACTCCAGGTCGGCGAAGGCATGCTGTCCATCAAGTCTGTAGGACTCTGGTTTTCCTTATCCCGCATACTCTTGTTGCTATCTGCTTTTCGTCCCCGCTGGGACCGCTTCAATATGGCAGTGAGGCTGTTGGTAGACTTGGCCTTTTTGGGCTTGAAGTCTGCAGATTCATCTTCCAGCCGCTCCTCTGTTTTATTGTCCTTGCGTTCCATATAGCTCTTTAATGACTTCAGCGACACAGCACTTTTCGTCTTCTTATGCAGGCCCGTCTTCTCGCTTTTGGCCGGTGATTTCTGAGAGCCAGCGTTGGCACCATCACAGTTAGGAATGATTTCTGTCAATGGTTGCTGGTTCAAAGTAGCATAGGACTGGTCTTCTGGAGAAACGAATGGGCTGCCCGAAGGGTGGCCTGTGTGAGAAGCCTTCGAGGGGATAACTTCGTCCGCAGAATGGGTTCTCTTATGAGCTTTGGATAACAAAATCGATCGCAAGACTGATGGTTTGGTTGGAATTCGGGTAGTATCTTCGAAAATATTAGGGCCTTGCATGCTGGGGGCCATATCGTATCACCTTTATCCTGAAACTCATGGCAATAGAAGATTAGAACCCAGTATACATTGTCAAATAGGACAGGTGGATAATTACAGAAGAACTTACGGTAAGTGATGTCCCGGTGCGGCACGCCGTGCAAGCAAACAGAGCGCAAGAGGAAGATGGGGAGAAACAGACGAAGACAGGACAAGAAGGCAGCCTATACACACAAAGGAGCAACAACAGCAAAGTATCAAAGAAGCAAAGGCATTGAGGGAGGACAGACAAAAGCAAACGAACAAAACTGGAGGGAAGTAAAGACGATAGAAGAGGATGACGAGGCCCCAACAACAATAGCAGCAACCACCGGAGTGGACAACGCGTGGGCAGACCGAGGCTTTGAAGACTTCCAGAGTGACAAAGATAGGCAACAGCCGTAAATTACCTCCACAGCCTAAACTGATCTGACAACGGCGTTTCCAAACGGCTGGAGGTGCACTGGGGAGGATGTAAACAGACTGCGGTATCGCGGTTGCTGGGGGCAACCACTGGTCTCGGTGGTGGTGGTGGTGGTGGGCTAACCATCGATCAGCGCCATCCTGCATCATCATCATGAATGGTCGCTAGTATGATGACTAGGATGTGGTGGAGTACTCCATATGTAGGCATCCTCTGTGGGAGGTCAGCTGGATATACTGCCAATAGTTAATTCAACAGATGGATAGATAGACCACATGATAAATATATTCTGTTTATAGATCCGAACTCAGTCCACATTCAGTGGGATGCATGATGATGATGAGCCAGCCTGTAGGACTCCCATGCAGGATCTCCTCTCACAATCACATACAAGGAAGAAACATTCGGATTGTTCTTTTCTTATTCATTCTGGTCACGGGGAAGGATCTCATGGGACGCCAAGCAAATCGACTGTCTTGTCTTTCTTTGGTCGTGGGGCTGCCTTCTTGATGCTGCATGGTCTGTCTCCAGTCATTTACTGTACATCTTGTCAGACCTCTCCTGGGATGCTAGATCGATATATGTTGATTTTATGTTGATTGACCTATCCACATCCATCTGTCAGGATGGAGGGGATCTTGCGGGGACTAGGTTCCTCTGGTCCAGAACTGCCCACCCACGAAGATGCGTCATTACCAAATTTTGGGTCCCACAACCCACTCCGTCTACTGGTAAACTCCAATCAACCTCGTCGACACATTAAAACTGAGGACAACAAGTGACAATCGGGTTAGATCTCTCGTTGTGTCTCTCCCATCGGCAGTAGCAACCGTTTAGCCCGCCGCAATCGGGCAGTTTCGGGCACTCTACCCCACAGGATTCTTCCCGGCGGACGTGGGCCGAGTGAATTTGAGTCTGTTTATTCTCCGAAGATTCAATTTCAAGTGTACTGTCTGCATAGGATTCCTGGTTCTTGTCGAATACTCTCGGACAAGACAGCTCGAATCTTCAATAACTATGAATTGCCCCTCCAGAACCGATGACACGCTCGAGAACCCGGGCTGGAACCAAAACCCACCCGCGCTGAATGCCGACATAACTACTCGAAACAATTTTAATGGCATAGCCAACTCGAAGGTCCACAGGAGGCATGCATCTGGGAAGGGAAGCCCTCTGGGGGAAGGAATTACGGTGATCGAGTCTCAGTCCTATGGCACCGATGGAGGCGAGCCGGAGAGTGAGAAGAAAACCCCTGGCGAAGTGGTCTCTGCTGCCTCTGGGTATGAACCACCCAAGGCAGACAGCGGATTACCTCGCCGTCACTTTCCACAGTGTATCACGTCTTTTTCTTTGCATGTGGCCCAGAGCATCGTCAAGTTCGCCCGTTTCGTGGGTCCTGGCTTCTTGATCGCTGTGGCTTACATTGACCCCGGGAACTATGCCACCGATGTTGCTGCCGGGGCTGAGTTTCGATATGCCCTTTTGTTCATTGTACTCCTCTCCAACCTTTTTGCTATATTCCTACAGTCCTTGTGTATCAAGTTGGGCACGGTAACGGGTTTGAATCTTGCAGAGAATTGCAGAGAACATCTCCCCAAATGGCTGGTGATTGTTCTCTATATCTTTTCCGAGGCTGCTATTGTGGCAACCGACATTGCTGAGGTAGGGCGGTCCTCACTGGGTAGTTAGGTATCGCGTGATACTGATCCGATTCTGCAGGTTGTGGGATCGGCAATTGCGCTCAATCTTTTGCTGAAGATCCCTCTGGTCGCTGGATGTGCCATCACTCTGGCCGACGTCCTCTTCATTCTCATCTTCTACAGGCCAAATGGTTCCATGTGGGGTCTACGTTTATTCGAATTCTTTGTCATGGCCCTGGTGCTGGGGGTTGTGGTGTGCTTCTGTATTCAGCTATCTCTCATTAAACATCAGTCAGTTGGTGAAGTTTTTAAGGGATACCTGCCATCATCGGCCGTCGTACAGTCACAGGGGTGAGTGAATTAATTTTCCAACCGGCCCGTGACAATGGAAGCCAACCTCTAATGTAAATTTGCTGGTTACAGTCTGTACCAGAGCTGTGGGATCCTCGGCGCTACAGTTATGCCCCATTCCATGTTTCTCGGCAGCGGTGTCGTCCAGTCACGCTTGAAAGATTTCGATGTCACTCAAGGCTACGTGGATGCATCGGTCTGCATAGGAAGTACAGGCGGAGAGGTGGAATATAGACCGTCCCTCCATGCCATCCGGGGCTGTATGAAATACTCCATCATCGAGCTCACATTGTCACTTTTCACTTTCGCACTATTTGTGAACAGTGCGATCCTCATTGTTGCTGGCGCTTCTCTCTACGGAACATCGGGCGCTGATGACGCTGATCTCTGGGGGATTCACAACCTTCTCTCCAAATCCATCTCTTCCGCCGCGGGCCTCGTCTTTGCGCTAGCCTTGCTTCTTTCGGGCATTTCTGCCGGCATTGTTTGCACCATGGCGGGACAGATGGTGAGCGAGGGGATGCTGAACTGGAGCATTCAGCCCTGGCTTCGCCGACTGATCACGCGGTCGATCAGCATTATCCCCAGTATTATCATTGCCGGGGCTGTGGGGAAGGACGGGTTGAACAAAACCCTCACGGCCAGTCAAGTGGTGTTGAGTGTTATCCTTCCGTTTGTATCCGCTCCATTGGTCTACTTTACTTGCCGTAACCGCTACATGACCGTCCCCGCTGAACGAATCAGTTACGGTCAGGAGCCAGGGGACCAGGTGCCTCAGGAGGGCGTCAAAATGAGAAACAACTATCTCGTTTCGGGAATAGCCATTGCCGTATGGCTGATTATTGCTGTTATGAACGTCGCATTGCTTGTCCTCGTTGGGCTCGGCAAGGCTTGAACCGACAGTATGCAGATCCGAGGATTGACTTTGGCTGAGGCGGCGAGTTGACCGATTTCTTTCTCGCGGAAAAAACGTAGTCACTACGGTATGCTGGAATATCAATTGACAGCCGAGCAATTTCCATTAATACATGAGGGAACTATTGAGGTTGATGGTAGAGTGGAAGGGGAAAAGGGAATCATATAGGGGATACGTAGAATATGTACTAAGCATAGATAGCTCGATGATGCGGAAGAATAAAATGAAGGGGAAGAAGAAAAAAAAAAAAAGAAACCCAGATTGCCGCCCATAATTGAAACTCCAATAACGTTGCAAGTCATATGCATCATTAGCCCAAGCCGCCAGCGGGCTCCTTGACCTTGGTCTGCTCGGGCGGCTCGTCGATAAACTGGGGTGGAGCCACCTCATCCTGCAGGAAACTGGGCATCGTACTTTCGCCCATGGAGCTCTCCATCATGGTCTCCTCTCCCAAAGCCTCCAGCTCCGCGTCGAGTTCGGCCTCGTCCACATCCTCCGGGACATCGTAGGCGCGCGATATGCTCTCCTGGATCTCATTGCCTACCTCCATCAAATCTGCCATCTCATCCTGCATCCGCTCGATCTTATCTATGTCGATCTTGCCATATTGCTTTTTCAGAGTCGATGTCGTTGTCTTCATCGCATCGACCGTTGTCATCACATTCTTCAGATTATCCTGCATCATCCCGGCCTGCTCCATATTCCAGGACTGTTGGGACAGCTGATCCCTCTGCGCCTCGTACTGTTTGCGACGCTGTAGAACCTTGAGGGCCTTTTGGCGGAGGGCGGTTTTGCCCGGTCCATCACGCATCCTCGCGATCTTGGTCTGATAGGTAGAGAGCTCCGAGTTGAGGGCGGCTAGTTTGACGTCGATACTTGCAACGCGGTTGTCCACCTGGAGAAGGTTAACCATGTCCCATTTGGGTGCAACTTATCCTAATCCACAGGGCGACTTACTCCGGCGATGGCATTGTCAAGTGTCGGCTTGGGAGCCGAATTCTTTGTCCCAAACAGTCGATTCATTTTGCGTTTCGTGCGCTACCGAACCTTTGGGGTGGAGGGATACAGGTCAGTCATATAGAAGGGGACTAGAGATCGCCCAGACGTACAGCTTTAGTATGGTAAATATACGATGAGGCAGCCCACAGTGGGCCAAGTCTCGTCAAGTTAGTAGGTGAGAGACACAAGAAGGGTTCGAAGGCGGTAAGATAGCTGTCGTGCGTATCATCCGGTATCATCCACGGAGGGGTCTGTCTTTGGATTGTAATCGACACACGGAAATCTGGTCATACGGTAGGACAGCAGGTTGGGTTTCTCTCCTCCCCCACGACGAAACTTGGCGGCGGTGATACCTGCACGTGACCTGTAGGTGGCGCACGCCGACAGTGAAGATGGGGGGAAATAGTGTATCCAAGGCATCTACGGAATCCAGGATGCATCTGCATAGACCTCTCATCATCTGACAACGATCCGAGGCGAGAGGATCATCACCGACACGTGTGACGGGGGATTTCCTAGCTGGATTACCAATAATCCATCTGAGTAAATACCGTGTAAGGGTATCCGATACTTGCGTGCCCACCATGACGGGTAAGGCCAGTGCGGTACCAGATACATCTAATCCAGCCTCCCCCAGCAATAAAACCAGCCTCGTGCACTACCGAGAGAGGGAATTCGACATCGTTGAGAGCCGTCAGTCGGATTGATAGAACCCTCCTGCAGGCAAAATCATTCAAACCAAATCCCCTTGGCACAGAAACCGTCGCCCGTGGTGCCTGGTCCGAGGCGAACTGAGGGTCTCTCTAGACTCTCTCCGTCCTCGCGTATCTCCCTCCCTTCTCTTTTCCCCGCCGTCGGGCTTGTTCATGTTGGGTATTCCGCCCTGGTTAACCTTCCAAGGACCAAACTTGCCGGCCGATCCAGACGCAGCCGCCAGCGCAACTCACCGAACTTCTGCTTTGCCATCTCTGCCCTGTGCTTCCCTCCTGATTCTCCTACGAAACAGCCTCCCCCGACCGGCTGACAGGCTGTTTCTAATCGACAACGGAGACTTTACTCTGACGCAGCAGACATTCCCAACCGCCGACGGCCTGGTTTCGCCTGTGCCTCTTGACGTCCACTTGGTCTGTTCTCGCCTCCCTCGAAAGAGTTTGGGACGATTTTTCCTTCATTGTCGCTCCCTTAGGTCGTGAAGGTAAGATATCGCTTTTTATTTCTTCTTCATTTCCTTTCGCCATGTTTTGTATCGGATCTGTCCCTCATCGGCTTATGCATCCCCTGATTTGTCATGGTCTTACTCCGTTTTCTCATGGCTTCCTTGGGCGCCTCTGGCGTCTATTTGAGTCGATCTTGACAACTTCATCTCTTCTTTTAAAATAGTTGGATTGCTAACGTGCTTTTGTAGCGCTAGTTCGCTCGGACCGGATTTGGTTTTTCTACTATTCTCTTTATTGCTTCCTCCTTCCTCTTTCCTCTTTCTCCCCTTTTGTTATATTGATACGACTTGCATATGACGATCTGACCTCATTGGAATCTGCCTATTTGACGCATTCGAATTCTGAACGCATTTCCCTAAACCGCTCGACCTCCTTGCGCGGGTTTGTAACGTATAGAGCTCTTCATCGTGGGACCTCGGTGAGCAACCGCCACCGCCACAGACGCTCGCAACATCTTGCCTTTCTCTGTTCCATGAATTATTTCACTCAGTTCTATAATTCAACATGTTTTGGCGTTTCGGGGGATATGCAAGTATCTCATCCATTGATACCCTGCTTGACAGGCCCGAAGTCAGCCTGGAGGAGCTTTTGGACGAGTCAGAGCTGATCCAGGAGCTGAAGCAACATAATACAAAACTCATAGAGTATTTACGAGATGATAATGTCTTGAAACGTCTTATGGACTATGTGATTGCCCCTAGCCTGGTCAACGATGATGATGAAGAGGACGGTACCAACGACAGCAATGCCGCAAAGACGTTAAATGATGCTTCTGCGGAGGGAAGGCGGGGTGATCCGCTGAGGGAACTTTTGGATCCAGAAGACTTGGACAAGGCGGAGAAGGACCGCCTCAAGCGAGCCTATGTGGCATGTGAGATTCTTTCGTCGGAAGTCTGGTCGATATTGGAATCCATCATGCTCAATCCCGGCTACTTACGGGACTTCTGGGGCTTCGTGCGGAGACCCCCGACCCTGGACTCGGTTCAAGCGAGTTATTTTACGAAAGTGAACGAGACCTTGTTTGACAAAAAAACTAGCGAAATGTTGGAGTTCTTCAAGTCTCTAGAGGGCATCATCCCGGCCATTCTCCTGCATGTGGATAATCCGATGGTCATGGACCTTTTATTGAAGATCATCAGCCTTGAGAAGGCAGAGGGGGGTCAGGGGATCGTCGATGTGAGTTCATGGTGAAAGTCGCCCCTACACCCGGTTTAGGTGCTGACATTCAACTTGTAGTGGTTGCAAACGCAAGACCTAATACCTATCCTTCTCTCGTTTCTGTCATCCGACTGTCCAGCCTCTGTCCAAACTTCAGCGGGTGATTTCCTGAAGGCAATTATCACCATCTCTGCGAATGCCACCCAAAATGACCAATCATGTATCGGACCCAATAGTCTGACCCGTCAGTTGGTCTCTAAGCCATGTGTGGAGAGCCTCATCAAGGCTATGCTGCAGGGCGGAAACCCTTTGACGGTCGGCGTTGGTATCGTTATCGAAGTCATTCGAAAGAACAACTCCGACTATGACCCCGAAAATGTCAACAGCCCCGACTCAATGCCCTCTACCTACGACCCCATCTATCTTGGAACTCTCCTGCGACTTTTCGCGAAGCACATCCCTGATTTCATGGCGCTGGTTCAAAGCTCGAAACACACTGTCCATCACGGTGGGCAGGTGAAGAGCGTAGAGAGGGGACGGCTCAATTCGGCCTGGGGTGCTAAAATCGAACCTCTGGGATTTGATCGGTTCAAAACTTGCGAGCTAATGGCGGAGCTTTTGCACTGCAGTAACATGGGCCTCCTGAACGAACCGGGAAGTGACGAATATGTGCAGCAACGGGATGATGAACGGGAGAGGCTGGTCCGGGAGGGGGTTTTCAGCCTGCATCGAGACGAAGCTTCCGGGTTCGATGGGAACGAGTCTACAGCAGATTTCGTGAATGGATCGGTAATTGGATATGGTTCTCCAGAAAACTCCAAGGTTCTTGAGTCGTCAGTGAACACCGGCGAAGATGGGTTCGAGGATGTTGGCTCGTCAGGCATTCTTGTCGACAAGGAGAAAGATGCCTCTGAAGACAAGAACTCGAGCAACCAAGAACTGCCATCGCAGCACGTGCCTCTAGAGGGGCAAGAATCCCGCCCTGCTCCGGAACCAGCCTCGATTGAGGCCTCGGTGAATAGTGATCAGAGCCAGAAGGATACGCTGGAGACTTCAACAACGGCTCAGACGCGCATACCTTCTGATCCTCTATCTCCTACAACGTCAGGGCTCACAGACCAAATTGGGGAAGTCTCTCTTGACGCTCAAACCCCGAATGAGACCCAGTCATCAACTAGCGGGCCGTCCGAGGAATCGAGAGCTGCCCCGTCAAGTGATCAAGGCCAGGAGCAATCTTCTGCTCCGATGTCATCCTACCCCGAGGCGGTTCCGCCTCCTCTTTTCGCCGCAAAACCGCAGATCCCCCTAAACACCCCCCCGAGTCCTGATACTGCTGGCCAGGTCGGCGATGCTTCGGGTCCTACAGAGTCTGTTCCAGAACCAGCATCGACCCAGAAAGATAAGGCGGACCCCGAAGAACAGATGCATCCGGACATCCAGATTGACACCAATGGGCTCCCTGTTGTAGGTGATTATCTGAAGCTTATGTTTGTCAAGAATCGGGTCGTCCCCACCATTCTGGTGAGTACCAATTGAGAGATAATAGTCTGCAGCTTGCCACTAACATCATTTCCTAAGGACTTCTTTTTCCGTTTCCCATGGAACAACTTTCTTCACAATGTTGTCTATGACGTTGTGCAACAAGTGTTCAATGGCCCTATGGAACGAGGGTACAATCGAGCGTTGGCCATAGATGTTTTTGAGACTGGTCGCATAACACAAGAGATTGTGGAAGGACAAAAAAGAAGCGACGAAGCACAGCGAATCAAGCAGATCCGACTAGGGTATATGGGGCATTTGACGCTTATTGCCGAGGAGGTCGTCAAGTTTAGCGAACGACACCCACCGGAATTACTGTCGCCAACAGTCATGGACAACGTGTTGAACCCCGAATGGATCGATTATGTCGAACAGACTTTGTCTGAGACACGAGAGCGAGACAACGCGATCCTGGGTGGGGTTCGCCCTGACATGTCGATTGGCAGTCGCCAGGGCATGCTCAATACAGGCCAAAGCATGAATACCTCTTCTGCGCTTGCTGAAGCTGGTCTCAATGGTGCGGCTGGGGCCTCCAACTTCCAGGGCTTTGATATGAACCAAGGAAGTGTGTCCGGCGGGGCTTTCGGCCTTGGTGGTGGCAGCAGCTCTTTGCTGAGTGGGTTTGCCAGTTCGAGTGATGATGACGAAGACGAAGACATGGAAGACCATGATGAACGAAATTCAACCGAACTATCCGCCGAAGGCGGCCCTGAAAATGTGGGTGATGATTCCTTTACTGACATTGACATGCACGATTGATGATGATTTGCACTTGTGGATTTGACTTCGCCCTCCAACCTCCTTTGCATGCTCGTTCCCAGCATTCCTCATTATCTTCCCGACCAAGAGGCAAGGAAGGATTAGCATATGATAAATGACGGGAGTAGTGGTTCCAGACGGTCATACACTTAGAGCGTTTGGCTTGCAGCGCTTTCTAAACACGTATGAGTTCATCCATCTAAACCTAGCTCTCCCCGATGTCATGTGGAATTTTCTTTTACTTATCTCTTTCTCTTACTTATCTCTTTCTCTTTCTGGTGCATTTTGTTTTTTGTGTATATCAAGCTTTATCCCTTCTTTCTGGAACTCCTTCTGCTCTGTATAGTTATTTGATACATGTGCATGCCCAATACACCCAATATACAGTCATTGCAGAGTAACTGACCTTGCAATGAACCATGATAGGCCTCCGGTTCCACCAGCCAGCCTATTCCTATCCTTCCTCCACCTCCCGCTCCTCTAAGTCTTGGACCGTCTCGAGCACGGAGGCAATTAGCTGCTCGGTTAGCCCTGCAAAAGCAGCAGGCAGCTGAGAACAACGAGAACAGGGACGAAGACAGGCCGGAGGGCGCCCATGAGAATACGGACTCGCAATGGTCTTCGAACCCGTTTGTGATCGCCGGTCTGGAGGAGGACGGCGACGCAGGGGGCTCGCCGGCAAGATCGGCCTTCGCATCAACCGATTTCGCACCCGCGCATAAAGACGAGTCTTTCTCGTCTCCTACATTTCCCGAATCAGGATTTAGTCCTCCCGACTCCCTGTCAAGTAACTCCGACGATGATGGCAAAGCCAGGGCGCAAGGGGTGAGGCGTAAAGAGAGGGTTCCCCTAGAAGTCGACGATGATGATGACGACATGGGGGAGATGGTTGGTCCTTCGAGCGGGGGGGACATGATGGACTCCGACGAAGAGGACGAGGCCATCATCAACGAGTCACTGGGGTATCCGGATCTTGGCCCGGGAAGATACAAAAGCTTCCGCAGATCGCGGATGGGGCCGTCTCCTTTTGGAGACGATCCTAATGATAGCAGCGATGGCGAGGATGACGGACTGGTCGAGATCTTGGTTCCCGGAAGGAAATCGTGATCGCTCCTTTAGCTATATGGCACCGTACCTAGTTCTATTCTGGGTGCTTCATGCCGGTCCTTGTCTTGGAGGATTAGCGATCGTGCTTGCCTACCTGGACGAAAACCTGTACTCATTATACTGTACACTATTGACCGGAATGCACGGCTGGCACGGTCTTGGGGGGCCGAGATGCGGTCTACACACGCGGGAGGAAATACTGAGAAGGAAGGGGACCATCGCAGGTCCTGGAGGAGGACTTCTGATTTTAATGGATTCCATCAAGGGAACGTTATGACCTGCACCGGCGTTGATGATTTGTTGTTGGCATTTGTCCTTGCTGGGAGAACTGTTACGACTTGCATTCTGGCTAGAGTCTCTCAGGCAGGGAAGTTGTACGATAACCAAGTTAGAATTGCGCTGTTATCTTTTTTTTTCTTTTCTCTCTTTTCTCTTTTCTTTTTGATCTTAGGTCGCCTTGATGCGAACTGTAAATCTGTAAGCGGACGGGACAACGACAGAAAAAAAAAAAAAAAGTGGGACACTGCGTTCATAATTCCTTCATTCCAATCGATCAATCTTGCACTTCCCCCACTTCCATTAACAACGGGAATTTTTCCCTTGTGTGTTCGCGATGGCCAGTGATTCGACTTGCCCGTCGGCTTCCTCCCAGTGAGATCTTATTTGGTCCTATTTCACCGACCGTAATTACTACGGCTAGGTGTCGGATTTCAAGACACTACTGACTCCACACAGACCCAATGACAACAACAGCTTGGAACTATACACCACGCTGCTGCAATGGTTGATCACCTATGGCGGTCATGTCCATGAAAGCGTCCAGATCGCCAAGGATGACCGACGAGGGGTGCACCTGCAAGTCCGCAAGGACTGTAAGGATGGCATTGCGGCCGGCACACACGTTCTCCGAACGCCACTGGCTACTACCATGTCATACTTCAATGCCATAGGGTATGCCGGCAATGGTGATGCTTCGGTGAGATTCTCAGCGCATGGTCTTAACTTTCCTCCGGCTTTCATGGAGGCCGTCGGACCGGAGGAAACATCAACTTTCTTTCTGATTGGCCAATTCCTGCGCGGAGACGAAGGGTTCTGGTTCCCCTATATTAGAGCGCTTCCTCAGCCGGGGCAATTGACTACCCCCCTGTATTATGAAGGGGATGATCTGGTGTGGTTGGAGGGGACGAGTCTACTTTCCGCTCGAGATCAAAGGATAAACCTATGGCGGACGAAGTACGAGAGTGCGCTTGGAGAACTGCGGAAATCAGGCTTTGAAGGGGCTGAGAAATACACTTGGTGAGTGGTTGCCATGGACGAAAACTTGTGTAGCGGATATTATTTATATCGGGAGATTCGTCGATGACAGAGTCTGATCTGGACCAGGGATCTGTACATCTGGGCGTCAACTATCTTTACTTCTCGCGCATTTTCAGCGAAGGTGCTTGCTGGAGTCATCCCCGACGATGAAGTGCCCGAAGGGAGCATCTCGGTCCTTCTTCCCGTCATCGATGTCTCGAATCACCGGCCACTTACCAAGGTGGAGTGGCAAGCTGGTGAAGATGACGTCGCGTATCTTGTCCTGCGGGACGTCGCTGCTGGGGATGAGATAGCGAATAACTATGGCCCTCGGAATAATGAACAGCGTGCGTGCACCGACAGAGAATATCCTTCTTCCAGGCAGAAGTTTACTGACTGATGATACCTAGTAATGATGAACTATGGCTTCTGCCTCCCAGACAACCCGTGCGATTATCGCATCGTCAGTCTCCGAGCACCCCCTGGCAGTCCTCTTCAAGTGGCCAAGTCACAGCAGATGCAAATGTTCCCCGCGCTAGCTACGCATCCAGCGAATGATCACTACTACGTGTTCAGCGTTTTCTATCCTCTACTTGACCCAGATACCCCCATGGAACATTCGATCTTTTCCCCGGCGCTGTTCCACGGCGTGTCTATCTTGGCGGCAAATAATAGGGAATTGCAGACTCTGGAGATTTCCGAGCAAGAAGTCCGGATTGCACATGACTACGGGAACTCGCGGGCTGACCTTGCCGCTATCAGCCAGATTACCATCGAGCTGATCACCCACATTGCCAAGCTGAAGTCCTCTGCCGAAGAGCTCCCCAGTCCGTGTAATCTCAAACAGACCCATGCCAAAATCTACCGGGACAGTCAGATCATGCTGTCGGAAACAGCCCTGGTCATTGCTGCTTGGACGCTCCACCGGGCACGGCAGCACAACTGTGGTGGCAGTTGGGGAGACACCAAACGACTCCTGGGTGCCCATATGAGCCGGGTCCCGGCGGGCAAGTTTCCCCAGGAAGTCCTGTCTCGAACCCAAGTACGAATCCTGGAGCGCCCGTCCATCCTGGCGAACAATGGAGAGCTCTTTGCATTGAACGAGCTAGTGGATCTCCTGCCAGTTGCAATGCAGCAGCCGTGCACAGCCTGTTTCCAGGAAGTTACTTCGACAATGGAAAGGGCCATCCCGATGCTGCGAGGTAGCCCGGAATCGCCGTTTGGCTTCCCAATGTTTCTTTGTGTGATAACCGCGGCCTATAGGGCCGCGAAGTGCTCTCAGGAGACATGCCAGCTCTCACCACGATTAACCAAATGGGTCCAGTTCTTGCTGGACAAGTATCCACCGCCTCCCAACGACGTCCGTTGGGCGCTGGAGGAGGAGGACGATGAACAGATGTTGGACATGTTTGACGACGCTCTCATGAAGAAGAGACGCCAGGACTCGGATGTATTCTCACTCTTGGCCAAATACACGGGAGATTGGGAGGGAGACGACTGGTGGCTATCCCCCAATTGGATGCGATGGGCATGGATGATTTGCGAGCAGGAGCGTGTCTCGGTCCCAGAGGATCCGCTGGGACTGCTAGGGGCTAGAGAAGAGGGACCCGGATCGATTATGCTGTCGACGGTGACGTATCTGTATGTTCCGCAGCCGTAGAAAGACACACCTTGAATACAGACGAGTAGATATCCTTGATCGCAGATGTACACTTGCTATCGTGAAGTATGATATGATGAGTCAGCAAATTACTCAGCTAATCAGGTGACTTCCAGCAGCCAATCAGGGGCGGGCGAAAGGCGGATATTCAGCAACGCAGGAATTGCCTCAACTCTCCATCGATGCTGCTCCCTTCGTCCTTCCTCCTCTCCCATCTCCCCTCTCCCAAACGCCATTGGGTCTCACTTATCATCATGATATCTCGAGCGGCGGCTCCCTCGTCTTCCTCTCTCGCCTCCCTCTCCTCCCGCTCCCTCCGAATCCATCGCCCGGCCGCCCGCTCCTTCGCGACCGTCCAGGACAACCAACCCCCCGTACGGCATCATGGCGGTCTGCAGGATCAGGACCGCATTTTCACGAATCTCTATGGACACCATGGCCCGGATTTGAAGTCCGCCATGAAGTATGGTGATTGGCACCGCACCAAGGATATCGTGCTGAAGGGCCATGACTGGGTATGCATTCCTTTCTCCGGTCAACTAACCAACAATCAATCAATTGAGTTGTCAATTGCGTTGTTGCGATGATATCTACCACGGAGAGGACCAGCTAAATGCTAACCGATAGCTTTGCAACGTGTAGCTTATTTCAGAACTCAAGTCCTCGGGTCTTCGTGGTCGCGGTGGTGCCGGGTTTCCCTCAGGATTGAAATATGTGAGTAGTAACCCATTTCCGGCGTTCCGTAACAAGAAGTTTCTTGGTTGGGCTGACACAATAATTCTCCCTCGCACAGTCCTTCATGAACTTCAAGGACTGGGACAAGGATCCCAGACCCCGCTATCTGGTCGTCAACGCCGACGAGGGTGAGCCAGGAACTTGCAAAGACCGTGAGATCATGCGGAAAGATCCCCAGAAGCTTATCGAGGGCTGCCTCGTCGTCGGCCGTGCCATGAACGCCAACGCCGCCTACATTTACATTCGTGGTGAATTCTACCAGGAAGCCACCATCCTCCAGCGCGCCATCAACGAGGCCTACGAGGCTGGTCTGATTGGCAAGAACGCCTGCGGAACTGGCTACGACTTCGATGTCTACATCCACCGCGGCATGGGTGCCTACGTCTGCGGTGAGGAGACCTCCCTTATCGAATCTATCGAGGGCAAGGCCGGCAAGCCTCGTCTCAAGCCCCCATTCCCGGCGGCCGTGGGTCTGTTCGGATGCCCCAGTACCGTCACCAACGTTGAGACCGTCGCTGTGACCCCCACCATCATGCGTCGGGGAGCCAACTGGTTCGCCTCGTTCGGTCGGGAGCGGAACGCCGGCACCAAGCTCTTCTGTATCTCCGGCCACGTCAACAACCCCTGCACCGTAGAGGAGGAGATGTCGATCCCTCTGCGCGAGCTGATCGACCGTCACTGCGGTGGCGTCCGCGGCGGCTGGGACAACCTCCTGGCTGTCATTCCCGGTGGATCGTCCACCCCGGTCATCCCCAAGTCGGTCTGCGACGAGCAGCTCATGGACTTCGACGCCTTGAAGGACTCACAGACGGGTCTGGGAACCGCCGCCGTCATCGTGATGGACAAGTCAACCGACATTGTGCGCGCGATCTCGCGTCTGTCGACCTTCTACAAGCACGAGAGTTGCGGCCAGTGCACCCCCTGCCGTGAGGGTAGCAAGTGGACCATGCAGATGATGCAGCGTCTGGAGACCGGCCAGGCCCGCGAGCGTGAGATCGACATGCTACAGGAACTCACCAAGCAGGTCGAGGGTCACACCATCTGCGCCCTGGGCGAGGCCTTCGCCTGGCCCATCCAGGGTCTGATCCGTCACTTCCGTCCCGAACTCGAGGCCCGCATCAAGGAATACTCCCAGGAACTCGGCGGTCAATCCCCATATGCTGGTGGCTGGCATCCTAACAGCCGGGCAGAGGGCAAGCTGATTTCCCCCGGCATGTAAAAAAAAAAAAGAAAAGAAAAAAAAATATTTCTCAAATGTCCATTCACATCTCTCCCGTCGATGAGTTTCTGTGTCTATTTTAAATCCAGATGCGGCGTTTTTACGTTTGTGAGGGACATTTGCATAGAGATGTGTGATTTACGCCGAGCAGGAGTGTTTTCCATACTCTCTCTTTTTTTTACTTTGCCTCTCCATCCGCCCGCTTAATGTTCAGTTTAGGTTTCAAATTATGTACAGTTTCCCGGTAGCAATTCATATCTATCTCTCTTTTTGTTACTCTATCTCTTAGTGTAATCCGTCTTTAGGGTGGACATAATATCATATTCATCTATCTAGGACGCTACGGGGGTAGTCACCTGGGATCACGAGGTTGATTGTAGAGAAAGGCTCAAGTTTCAGCTCGCTCTGCAGCCACGATACATTCTGTTGAGATTATAATTCTAAGAAAGATCTGCCAAAGGTATGCATTGCATTTGGTCGAGTCGCCTAGACTTTGGAAACCTCAACAACATTGCTCCCTTCCGTCAAATAGAAATCAATCATACCTTCATATACAAGCAAATTAAAACTGGGGGCTACCTAGCTAACACAGGATGGTCATGGAAAAAAGAAAACGGGAAATCCAAGAAATAGACAATCGGTGAGAATACACTAGCGTACATGATGCGAATGACTGCATGTCGTGCAAGATTTGGGGGGGGACAAAACAGGCCAAATAAACATACAACACGGGATTTTTTCTAGAGAAAAAGAAAAGAAAAGAAAAGAAAAGCACAAGGGATCATTTAATAGGCACCCGCCATGATAACACTGTAATAGCGCCGACTCATCTCCGCCATCTGGAGAAGACGCGCATCCCCCGTCAAAGGCAGACCGAGAACATTCGACATTTCGACCGTCTTCCCATCCTCACGTGCCGCCCAACTGGCAACCGCCCGACTCATCTCCTTGAAAGCCACCCGTTCTTCCAGTCCCTCCACACTAGATGCTTGGCTGATTTTTTCTCTCATCGTCGCCAGCGCATTGATCAGCCGATTGAGTCGACTGGCATCCCGCTTTCCACTTCTAGCAGTCGCAAGGTGGAGGTAATCCTCATAGATGCCGCCTCCGCCGACCCACCCTCTGACCTTACGATCTGGGGCCTCACCGAAGCCGGACACCAGTCTCTCCAACGTCACATAGTCGTGCTCAATTACAGCGGTCGGACCGACAACGCGGCAGAAAGTGGCATGTGCATCATTCCAGTTCTTGCCACGCACGAGACAATCCACTTCACGGGCCGCATCACCGACGTCTCGAGCATAGAGGGCTTTGGCCACCCAAATCCACCCTTCAGGAAGCTGTAAATCCTTGGTGAGATACTGCCAGGTGGCATCTACGGTGCCTTCTGGGGTAACGGGGTCAGGCAGCCGACATGCAAACCGTGCCAGAGTTTCTTTCACTGCACGCTCGCGATCCGACGGCCGGGACAGATGGAGTAGCACAAACAACACACGCTCAAAATCACCGCTACAGCTGAGCTCCCAGGCATAATCTCGCACTAACTGGTCAGCCTGTGCAGCATTGGTCTGAAAGCCTCCATGATTCCCAACAGCGCCTGCCAAGAGCTGGTATAGCTGAAAGGTTAGTCTACTTGACAGTTTATCCCCAGCCACAGACTCTGGAAGGAGGGCGGCGGGAAGATCTGGCAGCGGAACATTCGTCCGGCCCACGGTCGACGAGTATAGCTTCAGCAAAACCCACAGAGGAGATTCACGGCCCAGAGTATCGGTTGGGGTCTCTAACCCGGAAGCATTGCCCTGGTGGGGAGGGCATGGGAAGGCAGGCTCTTTGCCGCTACTGAGGTCCTCGTAAAACTTGGAAACTGCCGCTTCAATCGGCTCGTCATCGGTGATGCCATACCACAGACGAAGACCGAACGCCTGGTACCAATCCAAGCCGAATCTTTCAGTAAAGGTGAAGGTCGAAGTGCGGTCTTCAAGGGCACCACCCGATCTACCTTCGCTGCGGAGAGCATTGCCAGCCAGTAGTTCATACAACGCTCGGATGGGCTCACTCATCTCCGAAAACACATTATGCTGTCGCCACATCTCAACTTGCTTCGACATGTCAGCCCGAGAAGTAGGATCTCGGCCGATCTGGGCGAGGAGCGTGGCAAGATGGAAGTTCTGGCTCGCCATCAAGACATTGCAAGCCTCGTCGATACGGTGGGAGCAAAGCAAACGGACCGCGCGCTCCTCGGCAGAATTAGCTTTCCCCAATGTGTGCGCGTGTTTCTCACGAATGACCTCTTGCCACAAGCGGCTCAGGCGATCTTTTTTGATGCGGTGGAGGAATTTGCATCGAAGCTGAGACGGTACACCGGCAGATATGTCATCTTCAATGTCATCGTTAAACAGGATGTTGCTCAGTTGCCACATTAATCGCTCCTGGTCCGACCCTCCCGAGGTCGACGGTGCCTGCGCAAGCTGTTGAAAGTCGGCCTTGGCCAAGCGCGCAAACGGGATCCCATCGACACGGTCGATGACAGACTGTTCCCTTTGGGCATCTAGCATCTCATTACAATCCGGATTCCTGTTGAACGCCAGTAAGACAATATCTCTCTCTTCGCTGGTGACGGAAAGCTTTCGTTGCCATCGCTCGTCGGACCCAGTATCTCCTAGCCCGTTTTGGACGCAAATAATGGAACCTACGGGGCCCCAGCGTGGTTTAAAGGAATGATGAAAGGCAAGATCGTCTTCGTTTAATTCATTGGTCTCACCGGCGAACGTCTTGGCGGTTTTGATGTACGGCCACTGGGGAAACGAGAATTAATTCGACGTGCCACGGCAGGAAGGGGGACGGTGGGTGAGACAAACCTCGAAGCCTTTCGACTTTGCATTTGGACCCTTCGCCAGGGGGGGCGATGGTTGCTTTCGTGGTTGTTGGAATAAGGAATTCATCAAATCAATGCTGGTGGAAAAGCCCTTGGGCCGGGACTCCGCGGCAGCATCCTTGGGGGAGTTCTCTTGCGAGGCCCTGTCGCTGAAAGCATTGCGTTGGATCTCACGCAGCGCGTCTCGGTTCTGCTTCCTCGGGCTGATCGTGCGCTGTAGTTGTTCTGCCCAGTCGCCACTTAGATCGAGACCAGCTTTGGGAGGCGTGTTCCACGTTTTCATTGGGGACCGGGTATCCTTGTTAAATTGGTCGGTATATTTAGTATTGTCCTGCTCCACGGTGGGATGAAGGATGGGGAACGTGCCCGCCATGTCCATTTCCTCATCTTCATCCAATCCAACTTCTGACTCGCCAGAATTCTGGCTCTCGGTGATGTCATCACCGTCTTGCTCAGTAGTTGAACCCGTGGAGCCCTCCCCTAAAAAAGACTCGTCGTCTCCGGAACCAGACCGCTCATCCGCCTCCATGGGCTGGTTGCCAAACGCCCCTGGGACCATTTTGCGCTTTTTGAAATCGAAAGTGTCGTCGTCAACCCCGGCCATCGAACCGACGAAGGACTCGTCAGTGGAGAAGGTGGACATTTGCTCCGAGCCCACGGTGTTGTCGAGATTCGCGGGAGACTGGGCCTTCGGAGTCGGAGTGTCAGGAGCAGCACTCAAAGTGCTTTGGTTGAGGCTCTCACCTTCATCATCGCTATCATAATCCAGGCCATACGTGGTGTAATGGGGCACTTTGAACACCCATGTACCTGTTCTTGTTTCGTAATCGATAAACTCGGTGTTGTGGACTTTCCTCAACCGGTCGACATGCTTGTCGAAGAGAGGACCGCTGGTGAGTGGTGACGGGGACTTCTTGTCCCTGCCTCGCGGCCAGGAGTTTTCGATTCGCAAGATGGAAGGAACGTTTAGGCCCTTACCCATCGGAGGCTTGATTGCTTCATCGGGATACACGGTGATTTTGCGCACGCCGATTTCGACTAGTCCTCCAAAGATCTGGTCCAAGTCAATTGAAGTGAGATCGACTGGCTCATCGAACGTCACTTGTCCGCAACGCTGACGACCGACGGTGAAGCCGACCACATGCTTCTGCTGGTCACGGCTCATTTTGTTGATCTCCGCCCGCGTAGGCTGCATCCAGTACTGACCGGGCTGTGGGTCAAAGCCGGGCGTGAAGGGAAGTCGTGAATCCGCGACGGTGATAGCATCCTGTTCAGCATTTTCCGGGACTGCGGGAAGTTCCTTTCCACGGACCGACTCCATTTCGGGGCGCGTTACGTCCTCGGCGATCGACTTCACGCCGTTGATGCCGTTGATGGTGCCACTCTTACGAATCGAGCGCAGGAAGCCCAACTCCTCTGAAGTAGGCTCCGGGGTTTGAGATTCCACCGGCACCACCTCTCCACCACTGGCGGCATCAGTGGTTGAGTCGAAGCTAACCTTTTTCTTTACTTTGTCGGCTGATTGGGTCGCCTCCTCGCCGGCGGTAATAGGGGCGGCAAGTGTACTGGCTGGACGCGAAAAGATATCGTTTCTCAGGCTCCGATCAATAGTCAGACGTTTCAGACTACCACCTGACAGACGAGGTGGCCCCGAAGAGAGCGCTCCTGGAGATAAAACGCTGTCGGTGTCCGGATCAAAGGTTTTGCGCAGATTGCTGGTGGAGAAACTCTTGCTGAAACTGCTACGTCCAAGGCTTCCATTGACGCTTCCACGCAGACTTCCACCCAAAAGGCTACCACCAAGGCCATTAGGCGTACTATTCGAGCTGGAGGGGGTTCCGTAAGTCGAGTAGGAAAAGCCGTATCCTTGACGTTTGGGCGGCGTGATGAGGCGGGTGGAGGCATGTGGGCTGTTCTTGTAGACGGGCAACGGTGTGCGCTGCTTTTGTTTGACAGACGCAGACAGCGGCGTTGCCAACGGGCCAGGGCTAGGGGCGCTTGGTGCTGGCAGGCCAGAAAATATCGATTGGTTTCCATACGGATTGCCCTCGAGAAGGGAGGCCTGGAGGCTCCCCGGTGCTGGCTGTTGAGGCTGCTGTGGTTGCTGAGCCTGCGCCTGCTGCGTGTTGCCAAAGAGGCTAGAGGTACCCAGGCCCAACCCACCACTTGGTTGTTGCTGAGCCTGGGTGTTGCCGAAGAGCGATGATCCAGCATTTTGAGTCGCCGTATTTTGGCCTCCAAATAGGGAGCTCCCCGTACCCGTAGTGCCGCCAAAAAGACTCCCAGGCTTTTGTTGCTGCTGATTTTGTGCACCGCCGAACAAACTGCTGGTCCCAGTCTGCTGGTTCTGGTTAGCTCCAAAGCCGCCGAACGGACTGGCGTTGGCGCCGGTTCCTGTCGTGCCAGTGCCGAATAAACTCTTCTGGCCCTGCTGTTGGGCTCCGCCGCCAAAGAGAGAGCCAGTACTGGCTTGCTGGTTACTGGCGCCTCCAAACAAAGGTGCCGCCGGCTGCTGCTGCGCTTGTTGGTTATTTTGACCGAAGAGGGAGGTTCCCGTACTGGTACCACCACCGCCAAAGAGACTGGGAGTGGTAGACTGTTGTTGCTGTGTGTTCTGTCCGAACCCGCCAAAGAGCCCCTTGTTTTGAGTCTGATTCTGGTTCTGGGCTTGGTTCTGCTGACCGAAGCCACCAAATGCTCCTGTGCCAGTTTGCTGCTGTTGTTGACCAAAAGGTGTCGAAGTGGCGCTTGTACCACCAAAAGGAGAGGACGTGCTAGTGTTTTGTTGCTGTCCAAAGCCGCCGAAGCCGGTGCCAGTGGACGTAGTGCTGCCTCCTCCAAACAGAGGTTTGCTCTGCTGTTGCTGCTGATTGTTACCGAATAATGAGGCGGTAGCACCCGACCCAAAGGCACCACCGGTTCCTGGTGCGCTTCCAAAGCCGCCCGAAGTTGAGGCAGTGCTGCCGAATGGTGCTGGCTGAGAGGTACCCGTAGTAGTTCCTCCCCCGAACAAAGACGTTGCTGGCTTGGTAGCGCCGAACAAGGGGTTTGCAGAGGCACTGGAACCAAACCCACCAGTTGTCTGTGTCTGGCCAAAGGCAGAGGGAGCACTCGTGCCACCGCCAAAGGGGGTTGACGTGCTACCAAACCCAGTAGACTGCTGTGCGCCAAAGCCGCTCCCTCCAAAGGCCGACGTCCCAAAGGCACCAGCCTGTCCACTTCCATTGCCAAACCTACGGCCTTGGCTGTAGTCGCCCAGTCGTAGTTCTTCAAAGGAGTATTTGCTATATGGCTGCATGAACGGAATGCTCTGGTAGTGATTGGTCATATTGGAGGCGCCATCTTTTTCAGTAAACGCACTGAAAGGTGTGCTCCCTGTGCCATCGGAAGGAGGAACGGCCTGCTGAAACGCAGTTCCTGATCCACCGCCGAAGCCAGTGCCACTTCCAAAGCCGCCACTAGTACCAAAGCCACCAGTGCTGGTGCCAGTACTGGTGCCAGTTGTGCTGCCAAAGCCTCCAGTCTTGTTTCCGAAAATGCCGCCGCCAGTAGTACCGGAACTGCCAAAGCCTCCAGTGTTTCCAGTCGACCCAAAGCCGGCAGTACCACTTCCGAAACCGCTGGCACCAGCTGTTGAGGTGCCACCTCCAAAGAGACTTCCTGATGATGATGTACCAGTCCCAAATCCGCCAGTTCGGTTTTGGCTCCCGAACAGCGTGTTCGACTGGTTCTGCGTACCCGATCCAAACCCTGTAGAACAAAGAACACGTTCGAAGTCAGCTGGAGTTAAAAGCACCATTGCGCAAACATGCTCGAGGCTTTATGAAAAAGGAAGAATTGCAAAAGAAACGAAAAGACATGTATATGTAAAACTTGCTCCTCGGACGTGGATCCCCCGGTGGCAGGCTGTGGCTTTGTCTGTCAATTTTCCTTATTCCCTTGCTAACAAAAAATGCCGGACTCCATGGCAGAATATAGTGCAGGCGGATTATAGGGATGTATAATGCCACGTAGACCATCGTCGAATGATGGCTGGTAGATCCATAGGATACGTCCGTTTAAAGTTGAGACAAGAGAAAGGACCGCTAAGCTCATGGAGACGTAGTCATTGAGCACGTACCTCCACCGGAACCAAAGCTATTAGATGTATTCCCAAACATGCTACCACCTGATGTATTACCACCACCAAAGGGTGACGTAGTAGATCCAAAGCCTAGATGACGGGTATGATGCGGTCAGAGACTGTAATCAAGCTGCGACCCTTTCTCTCTTTACTGCTACTCATCGTCGAAAACGTCCGCGGGACCTTGTGGCGATTCGAAGATTGATGAAGCCATCGCGGGTCGACGTCAGGAGTACCAGCCAAATCGATAAACAAACCCAATATAGCCACCACCGGGTTATAAGAAAAGCAAAGTGACAAGGGGGTCAAGAAAAACCGATAGTCAGGGATGAAGAGACCTACCTCCGCCGCCAGTGTTTGTTCCTCCGAAGCTAGAGCCAGCCCCGAAGCCTGAGCTCTGCTGGTTGTTTTGTCCAAATCCTCCGAATCCGAAAGACATGATGCTGTTCGGTGTTTCCTGAGGTCTATTGGTTCATCCGTTCGAAAGTCACTCGTGATCGAGGGTAAACAGAAAAAGTCGTCACTAAATGTTATGGAGATGATGCGAAAAACTGACGTCCAATCAAAAAAAGCTGGGAGAGAATCGCCCTGTTGCAAGCTCAAAATAAGAAGCAGCCGTCAGTCGAAGAGAACCCTCGACGCGCTCACGAATAGAAGAGAGAACGCTGGAATGGTTGGGATTTTGTTTTTTTTTCCTCTTTTTTTATTTTCTTTTTTCGTTTCTGAAGGAGAAAAAAAAAGGGAGTCCACACCAGCTACAGACGGACACTTACCGTCAGAGCCAGGATGCACACAGGTTCCCAGATAACCACACGTCTGTGGTGGACAGAAAAGAAAGAGGACGAAGGGGGGCGAAAAGAGGAAGAGCAGAACGCGCGACGGTGAAGAAAACGAGAAGCTGTCGGAAGTGACAGCGGGCTTAGTCAGCGGGGTGTGTTGCTTACTGGTCGTGACAAGGCCAGTTGCCGGATGGAGTAGGGAGGGCTCTGCCAAGGTGGTATTGATCTGTATCGTTCCGGTTATTTACCTGACGGTCTGCACGTGATCAGATGCCTGAATATCGGAAGGATGCCTAAGCCACTCTTAAAATGAAGCACTTTCATCATTTTGGGTCCGACCTCTGTCGATTATTGGAGAGGGGGCGTTCTAGGTGAATCAGGCTAATCAGATGCCCCATCAGGTGATCCAGTTCCGGGTTTATCTCTACGGTTCTTTCTTCATACTCGCATCCTATGAGAAGACCAACGGAAGAATGGCAGTATATCTGACAGTAAATTGTATGATATGGCTATACTAACTTCACTCGAAATGGAATCGCTTCCTAACAAGACAGATGGGAATCACGGAAATAACCAAAATGAATCAAGCGCATGAATAACTTGCCCCAGGGATAGATAGCATCTGTCCCACAACAGGGAATCAATTCATCATGCCCTTGCTCGGTGAGACTCGCAAACTTCACTTGAGGTTAATTGTTTCTTTCCATTTTCTTTTCTTTTATTCTCGTAAGTCATTTTATCATCCATGCCTATTTGCCTCTTGCAGTGTGAACTGCACTGATGATCTTGTCAACCACCGAGGGGTCCGATAGCTGTAAATCAAATTAGTCTCTGCTCCTCGCATCCTCAAGCCTAGAATGGAACGTAATTCTTACCGTTGAGGTATCACCCAAGCTATCCTCCTCGCCACTCAGGATCTTCCGCAAGATGCGGCGCATAATCTTACCACTCCGGGTCTTAGGGAGGTCCTCGACAACGAAGACTGCCTTGGGGGCTGCGAACGGTCCAATCGACTTGCGAACCTGCATGACAAGATCCTTGCGGACCTGTTCGTTGGTCTCGTTGCCGTCCTTCAGGGCCACAAACGCATTGACGGCTTGGCCAGTAAGTTCGTCGGCAATACCGACCACAGCGGCTTCGGCAACCATATCTGCCACGGATTGTTAGGCTGGGCCAACTTCTACGGGCCTTGACGATGTAACTTACGATGCTCGAGGAGAGCAGCCTCAATTTCTGCGGTGGAAAGACGGTGACCAGATACGTTCACCACGTCGTCCACACGACCACGGATCCAATAGTATCCGTCGTGGTCACGACCGGCACCGTCACCAGTGAACTAATATCAATCCGTTAGTTATAACTGATGAGGACCAAGAGAAAAAAGAAAGGAAATAAATCCCTTACGTAGTATCCCTTGTACACATTCAGGTACGTATCCATGTACCGCTTGTGAGCACCCCACACCGTGCGGGCCATGCTCGGCCACGGCTGTTTGAAAGCAAGTACACCTTCCACGTCGTTTCCGGAAATCTCCTCTCCGGAGACTGGATCAATGATGGCCGGCTCAATACCGAAGAATGGCAGGGACGCACTTCCGGGCTTGGTGGGAGTAATGCCGCCCAAGGGGGTAATGACGTGGGAACCAGTCTCAGTTTGCCAGTAGGTCTGTCAAAGCGAGTTAGGATTGTAACGTGACAGCAACGAACAGGACTACTCACGTCGCAGATATGGGCGTCCTCCTTGCCGACCTTCTCGAAGTACCACTTCCAAACTTCCGCAGCAATGGGCTCACCGACGGAGCCCAAGATACGCAGGTGGGCCATCTCATGATGGATGTGCTCATCACCAGCGCGCTTCAGCAGCCGCAGTGCCGTGGGAGCCACGTAGAATTGGGTGACTTTATGTTTTTCAATCACGTCCCAGTAGCGAGAGAAGTTGGGGTACGCCGGAGTACTCTCGAAGACAACGGTTGCGCATCCCAGCAGCAATGGCGCATACACAACGTAGGTGTGGCCGGTAATCCAACCGACATCACCACCGCAGAAGAAACGATCATCGTCGTGAATGTCAAAGACATATTTACCCGTCATGGCAGCCCCGAGTAAGTATCCCGCGGTGGTATGCATAACGCCCTTCGGCTTTCCGGTGGAGCCAGAAGTGTAGAGAAGGAACAATGGGTCTTCGGAGCTCATCGACTCGGGGGCGATGTAGTTAGGGTATTTCTCAACTTCCTCGTGCCACCAGACATCGCGGCCCTTGGTCCAGGGAACTTCCGCCCCGGTACGCTTGTACACAAGAACGTTCGAGACATTGGGACACTGCTTGAGGGCTTCATCGACAATGCGCTTGGTACCGATGACCTTGCCACCACGTTTGCCCTCGTCCGTCGTGATCACCACCTTAGAACTGGCGTCCAGGACACGATCACGGAGAGAATCCGACGAGAAACCGGCGAAAACGACGGAGTGGATGGCGCCGATGCGGGAACAGGCCAGAAAGGCAACGACGGCCTCTGGGATCATGGGGAGGTAGATCGCGACAGTATCACCCTTCTTCACCCCATGCTGCTTCAACACCCAGGCCACCCGGGACACTTCACGAAGCAATTCGCCGTAGGTGATCGTGCGACTCTCGTTGGGCTCGTCCGCCTCGTAGATGATGGCGACCTTGTTGGGGTTCTTGATGGCGTGGCGGTCGACGCAATTGAAGGAGGCGTTTAAGCGGCCCTCGGGGAACCAGGCATTGTCACCATTCTCCAAGGAGCCAATGTGAGTGGTTTGGAAGTCTCTCTCGAATGTGAGAAGGTCGCGGGCCATTCGGGCCCAGAAGGTATCCGGGGTGCTGATCGACTCTTCATAGAGCTGCTTGTACTCGTCTAGATCTTTCAAATGAGGACGCGTGGGGTGTTTCTTGTAGAATGCCTCGGGAACATGGAAGGTATCGACTTCGTGGGCTTCCAGGACCTGGAAGGGTGCCATCAGCCATTGAGGATCGGAGAAGAAATCAGCACTCCCACTTTTCCGTACTTACCACGGACGACTTCCGGGGTTCGGACATGATTGCGAGCTCCGGGAGAAACTTCTGAGGCACGCACGAGGAGGAAGAAAGGGAAGAGGAAGAGAAAAGAGGGGGGATGATGGATCTGTTATGGCAACGATGGCGGATCAGTTTCACACGCGCTCCTCCACGCAAGGTGGCAACCCATAGATTCAGGGTCGAGCGAATTTTGGACAGTACCTACCTATAACCCAGGTACGTGGGAGGTAGACGAAAGTAAAATCGTTCGTCGGTGCAAGGAGAGGAGGGGTTAGGGCGGGGTCAAAATATAATTCGCGACAACCACGTCTCGGTGAGATGGAGAGAAGGAGAGAGAAGAAAGGGATGAGATGGAGAGAAGAAAAGGAAAAGGATGAAAACGGAAAGAGAGAGAAATTCCGGACGAGTTAGGTTGGGATGGGGATGAAATGGGGGTATTTATTTGAACACTGTTGAGGTCCCGCTCTCCGGGGGTCCGGTGGAGGCCATCCAATTTCACATCTGAACGTAAGGGCACTACTAAGAACTAACTAGTAAAGTAACTAATATTCCATTCTTCCGGGTGACCGTAAGCATTTTCATTGGAACGTAGAGGCTTTATACTCTTAAGACTCAAACGTGCTGCAAGTGTCTGACTCTATTATTACGGAGGTCTCTGTAGTAGGACAGTTAACTATTGTTGTTATTTTGTTCTTTTTAATTTCTTCTTCTTTTTTGGTTGGGGGGGGAAGGGGGAATATTTTCTCTACCCAGCACCATCTCCAGTCCCCCAGAATCCGTGAAATGATGAATGGATATTGTCCGTCAGACTACTACTGTTTGAAGTCCGAACGCGTCCAAAAAGGTTGGGCTCGGCCATGCGGGGCTCGACTGGAACTTTTTGGTTTCCGTTGCCCCGGGGAAGTGAAGTGGTGGGTGATGCGCCCCGATTCTCCCAAGGAAACTCAAGGGGAATCATCCTATTTCGTACAAGAGATGACATTCTTTGTCCAAGGGTCTACAAGCCTCATCCCAGATGAATCCATCCATGGTTTCCTCCAGGGGTGTCTAAAGTAGGTACTACTACCCTGCAGGAGGACTGGCATATTGAATCGGAGAGTCAACCACGCCAGGACAGATCTTCACAGAGAATTTAAAATATTCATGCATCACAAGAGCATCAGCCAAGCAGTGAGATTGGAGGGGGTAACCGGGCCGCCTCATCATAGTAGTACCTTAGTAGTATAGGTGACGTTCGTCATTTGGTGTGCGGGGAAGAAACCATATCAACCACGGAAACTTCGCTGGTTCGTATCAGTACCTAATTACTACTGCTACCTACTAGTCGCAGGTACCTACTAGGTACATGCGAGGTTCTTGTCCAATAACCATGACCACTGTGCATGGGTGCCTCAGGCTAGATAAGGACGGGATTGGATGGTCCAGCCGATGTCAAGCCGCTTGCGGAATGCCAATGCAATGGGCTCATGATGGAGTCATCCACTGGAAATTCCATCAAGCATGATCGTCGCTCACTATGACGGGGAGTTCCCTTCCCACCTTTCCCTACACGTCGTGCAAGGCTATGGGTTGGTAAGTATTGCACAAAGTGGGGTCCTAACCTTAACCTACGGAGTAGTAGGACTCTTACTGATACTCCGTACTATACCTACCAAGTACTGAAGTTCCCTGGTATTGATTAGTACTGAATTTGATAGCTAATCTCTGATCGGAGGAAATCCATCGGATTGATGCCATGAGAATGCCCCTCCTTCACCACTGCAAGCTTCAACCCTGAAAAGTGAGCAAAGCCTGGGGCCCACTTCACTGTGTGTGGGGTGTCAATCTTTTTTTTGCCCCTTCCTCCCTTCTTGTTTGATGTTTCCTCCCCTTGGAATTGTAATAAGGCCATCACCATGAGAGGATCCAGAGTTGACCCTGGTTTACAGGCATGGCCACCCGGAAGTTCGGCCAAGCATGCACCGAGGTTACGGTTCATCCGATGTAGGTGTATCCCGCAATATAAGGTTATCTTCCCTTCGTCCTATTCACAGTCTCTCCGACACCTCTCTAGCTTTTGAATTTCGGTAAGAAGACAGAGAGATACATGCCCGACGGCTTTTCTCGGGTTATTACCTCCCCGTCTTGTATGCAAGCTAGACAGGGGACATCAGACCCTACTTCCACACTACTCGAACTAGCTGGTCATTAGTTTCGACTGAGGATCCTTGTTTGACAGCACCTGCTTTAGTCCGGCGGCAACCTTTACGCCACCTTGGTGAGCCATGTCCCCTGTCCAGCCCACCGCGATGCCAATCCTCATCACCGACTGCTACTACGACGTAGGACTACGACCTACACCTCGTAACATTCCGAGGTAGCAATTCCCCTGTCCTTATATCGGCACAAAATAGGCTCGACTCTTGCTCTTCCCGGTGCAACTGTCTACAGACTACAGAGTAATCTCTGCTTATTTTCTTCTCTCTTTCCTTTTTCTTTCTGTCTTTCTTCTTTCTTTCTGTCCTTTTTTTTTTTTTTTTTTTTTTCATTTTGCATTTTGTTTTGCTTAAACTTTCCTTTCTCTGCCATCCGTGCCCTCGCCCACCACTAAACGGCCTAGTGTGTTAACCAGCGTGGGATTGCAGGCATGTGGATTAAAAATCCCTCTGCACCGTCTACTAGTGAAACGAGTCCATGAACGACTCTAATTTTGTTCCAGCAGTGGACTGGGACTGGGCTTATTCTGTATTTCTGTGATCCTAACAGCGACAGAAACCTAGCGTCTACTCTGTAACTATCTGTTGCCACAAACATGTTCCGCTCACCCTGCTGCTAGCTAGCAACCTCTGCAGACATCTCGGCGTTTATCATCGAGACACTGCACACAATATGTGCAATATACTCCATAGGGCTTTCCCTACGAGGAGCGGTGGGTCTACTCTGGGTATGAATGAAGAAAGAAAAGAAGAATAATAACGGGCTTGTATATCATTCAAGTTGAATCACCGTCTATTATTTCCTTTTTTAAAAAATGAAAGGGATCATTTGGCTTGTGGACCATACTCCGGAACATGTTGAGTAGATTTTTTTCTCTCGTAATCGGGCAGACTCCTGTTATACAAATACCAACACCCATGCAAGGTTTAACAGACGAAGTAACCGCGGAGCCTTGAGGTTGTTGCTCCCGATCATTCTAGTTTAATTCACCGGTAAACGCACAGAGGACTAGGTAAGAACCAGGAATTTGTGCATTCCTAAATGCATGGGCTCGATATGACTTCCAAACTATAAATTTCGGGGAAAAGAAAAAAAAAAGAGTAAATAGCCTGCCGACTTCAATACACTGTCCACTCACGAGTCCACCAAGTGGCCATTCCCAACAAAAACACTATAACGCTTCCATCCCGAATAACATCCCGAAAAACCTGAATATACAACCCCAGACCGGCTGGACCATTCCCACGCCTGGACAACACTCTCGCCCCTGTCATCACCAGCTCCCCGGTCGTAAAGAAAAGGAAAGGATTCCGGGCTGTAGCCGGCGGAGGCGGTCGACTACCGTAAATCGAGACCGAGGAACCAACGAGTACAATCAAGTAGATGCCAACCGCGATGGAGAAAAGCACATGGAGGATCTTCCAGGTCCAGATTGCCTTCTTCTCCGCCTCGGTCTGCGGCTGAGACACGCCCGGGAGCATGCTCGCCGCCCACGAAGGAAACCCCAGGGCAGATATAAGGTCAGCTTGTGATACTCCTGGAGCGTCTCCGGGCCCGCTTGCACCCCCGCCGCTCATATTACCCATGAGCGAGTTGAGCAGTTTGATCGTGACATCTTCCTCTTCGAAGTCTTCTTGTCCTGACTGACCCTGGGGCGGGGCGTCCTGACGCAAAAGTGCACGGATATATTCCTGCTGGGCTTGAAGCGATTCCGGTGATTGGGTCTCGGGATTCGTATTCGGCGCAGCCTCTACAGATGGTGGTTCAGGTTGACGCAGCGCGGATGTCGCTTCTGGCGCCGATGACACAGGTGCAGAGGGCTGCGTGGATGGGGATAGAGATGTCGGTGCGTCCTCGCGAGCTGTAGGAACCCAAACAAAAGACGTCAGACAGACTCTCTTGTTCATACGCAGTGAGAGCCGTAGCTCCAGTGGAAAAGGAAGAATCAAGACATACCACTGGCCAGTGTCCGTCCGGTCAAACTTGTGATTTTATCCAACCGTGCCGCTCCACCCTCTTTAATCTTGGCTTCGCGGCGCTCACGCCTCAGACGAGCAGCCTTTTGCGCTGGAGACTCCTCTACCGACGACATTTTCTGGGAATTGAAGTGGCTGTGGATACCGAATATCAAGGTTGTGGCTCTTGTGTATAACTCCTTGGTCGATAGATAGATTCGGAGGATAAGGATATCGGCCCGAACGCTAGAATATACTCAGGGACAGAGGCCAAACTCCGTCGATGGTCGATGCGGCCTTATGGATAGATTTACGTAGTACAGTCCACTGAGACAGAAAAGGTGGTAGATTACCTCAGCAATGGCCGTGCATCCACCAGCCACAAGTGGCGCCCCATTTCTACAAGAGACCTCTTCACCTCTCAACAATTCCTTGTCACCTTATATCATCCTAGATTTGGCAGATGTTCCACGAACCCGGAAGAGAAGAGATTCTGAGGAATTTTCTATATTATAGAACGAGGGACCAACGTGCACCCATATCCCATCAGACCAGAGACAAGTTTACAGTTTGGTCAGTGTTGCTCTTCACAATCAGCCATAATCTTGGCATATTCAGTCGTTCTAAAGTCCTTCAGGCAACGGTGACATCATCACTCCTCCAGCATCGATTAATATCCCCATCGCCATAGCGAGAGAACGCCAAGGCATGGATTTATGTAATCATCGTCAATGAGCAAAACAATGCAGGCTTTCCCCTGCTTTGACAAGACCAACACTGTAGGTCGATTCATTTGCACAAGTCTTGACCAGAGAAATCCATCATCTGGCACACCCTTACTTTCTACTGGGCCCGAATAGCACGTCTGCAGTGGATTGGGCAGATTGTCTGGTTCTCCCCACAATGACGTAACATTCTGCAGCATAGGGCTGGAAGTCCGAAGAGTGATTACTTCACCGAACCCGCTGGTCTTCCACGATGAAACCAGTTCTTCAATTCATCGCATTTCCTTAAGTAGTACTTCCCAATTCGCAACGAAGACCTCCTGCCGGCCTCCCAAGCCATCAGGGGATGAGATCGGCCTCTGCTATCTATATAACATAACGCCCTTCGACCACTGCTCCATTGTTGCACGCTCTCAAATATACCGTGTTCAATATGCCAGCTCATGCCAGTGGGGCCGAGTCTCCCCGACAGCGTCGAGTTGGGGAGCATTGGAGTGGGCATAACCCCGTCCCTACCATCCAAAAATTCCTAGAGATCCTTGAAAAGGATAAGCAGGCTCGGAAAGCACATGAGGAATCTCTGGCAGCGAGAGAAAAGGAGGGAGAGAAGCAGAAGAAGAGTCGGAGTAAGGAGGAAGAGGCGAAAGGAGAGGATAAAGGAGAGGGCCATGGAGAGACAGTGCCTCATCGACCCCGAAAAGTGGGCAAGGGCAGGACTCGTGTGGTGACCGATCCGACAACAGGCAGAGACATTGAGGTTGAGGATCTGGATGAAGATTCAATGGAACCGGTGAAAAATCCAAAGGTATTCAAACCTCGCCCGGGGTCTTTTCTTCTGCTAAATGAGATTATAGCTGGTAGTCCCGAATGCCAATCTCGGACGACCAACGGTGAGTTCTGACTTGGCATTTGGCCGAGACCCAAGGCTCTCTCTCTAACAGTAGCCATGGAAGGCGGTTCAAACAGGCCCCCACCAGAGTCTATCTGAGTACAAGGAAAACCAGGACATCACGGCACCACCCGATCCTATCGCAGAAGGTACAACCTCCGATGTCCCCATCCACGGGGAGAGAACAAACATTCTATTCCACCCTACACCTTCTATCACATACCAACCTATGTACAATCAATTGCACAAACGGGGAGCGGATCTGTGTATTGGAATAGTATTCGGCATTATCTTCGTAGGTCGTATCTTCGGCGGCTCACTATGGGGTCTCCTACCGCTGGCCGCCTGCGTCGCCAGTGGAGTGTGGCTGTGGGTTCAAGAAGTGGTCCGGAGTGGTCGTGAGATGGAATGGAGCAGCGAGCAGCTTCGAGGCAAAATGGTACGCTGTTATGCTCGAAGAGGTCTTGCGATGGTGGCGGGCTATGCTAACTATCGATTGACGGTCTAGGCTACGGCGAATTTACTACCCGAGTCCGTTGAATGGATGAACAGCTTCCTCGGTATTATCTGGGGCCTGGTCAACCCGGAGATGCTGTCGCCCATTGCCGACACCATCGAAGATATTATGCAAGCGTCCGCGCCGGGGGTAATTGAGAACGTCCGTATCGGTGAGATTGACCAAGGAAATAACCCTCTACGGATTCTAAGCCTACGGGCACTTCCGGATGAGCATGTGCAGTATCTTAAGGAGAACATCCGCGAGGAGAATATTAAGAACAAAGATCCCGAAGAAGCGGCTGCCTTAGAAGAGGGTGGCAGTCATTACAATATCGAGATTTCGTTCGCATATCACGCGGCGCCGAGTGGCAGAACGGCTTCGTCAAAGGCACGGAACATGCACATGCAGCTCATATTCTACCTGGGTATCAGGGGTCTTTTCGGGGTCCCATTTCCTGTGTTTGTCGAACTGATTGAGATGGTGGGCACGGTGCGCGTGAGACTGCAGATGATGCCGGAGGCCCCATTCATGAAAGACTTGACTTTCAGCCTGGTGGGCATCCCCCATATCAAGGCTGGTTGTATGCCTATGTTTAAAACGGGTGTCAACATCTTGGATCTGCCACTGATCTCCAACTTTGTCAACTCTGCCATTGGCACCGCGTGCGGTCTCTTCGCAGCCCCCAAGTCAATGACGATGGATCTCGGGATGATGCTGAAAGGTGATGATATCGCCAAGGAGACACATGCTTTGGGCATTATGTGGGTTCGTATCCACCATGCTGTTGGACTAAGCAAGCAGGACCGGCGTGGCAGCTACGGCGGCGGCAGCGACCCTTACATCAATCTCTCATTCTCCAAATATGGCAAACCTATGTACTGTACGCGGGTTATCACGGACGACTTGAACCCGGTTTGGGAAGAGGCAGCCGCTTTGCTCGTGACGGCGGAGCTAATCAAAGCCGACGAGAATCTGAGTGTTGAGCTATGGGACTCGGATCGGCACACAGCAGATGACATCGTTGGGAAGGTTGAGCTACCTATTCGAGAAATGATTAAACACCCGGGCCGGATGTATCCCCAAGTCTCCAAATTGCAGGGACTTAGCGAGGGGAGCGAAATGCCAGGCGAACTGCACTGGGAAGTGGGCTTCTTTGGCAAGCCCAAGTTGCGACGGGAGCTGAGGACCGATGGCAAGAAGAAAGATCTGCCGCCGAACTTGAAGGATATCCCCGAGTTCCAGGATGACAAGGGCGTCATTTCCAACGAGGAGGAAGACGCCGTTGCGTACACACCGCCAGATCCACTCTGGCCCAGTGGGATTCTGAGCGTCGTTGTACATCAGATAGTGAATCTCCAGCTGGCCAATATCAAAGGAAGCCACTACTCCAACGAAAAAGAATATGAGCCAGCTAAGCCATATGGAGAGAACACGGAAGAGGAAGGCAAAGAGCTGCCGACCAGTTACTGCAAGATAATCCTCAATGACCAATTGGTAGCCCCTCCCCCTCGTCTTCTTTCCAAAAAAGAAAATTCTGTGAATACGCCGAGGCTAACTAAGCCCTAGATCTACCGCACCCGAGCCAAAGCCGTCAGTTCGAAGCCGATCTTTAATGCCGGAACTGAAAGGTTCGTCCGCGACTGGCGTTCGGCCATCGTCACCGTCACCGTGCGAGATCAGCGGTACCGGGAGCACGATCCGATCCTAGGAGTGGTGCCACTGAAGCTCTCTGACCTCTTCGAGACCAGTTCGCAGGTCACCCGGTGGTATCCTCTGGATGGCGGCGTCGGCTATGGACGCATCCGAATCTCGCTTCTCTTCCGCCATGTCGAGACCAAGCTACCCCCTACCATGTTGGGATGGGACGTGGGTACGTTCGAAGTCGCCTCGGACAAGATCACCGTGCGAGGGTTCAACCATCGATCCAAGATCAAGCTGCGAACCGGCGGCAGCAACGGGGAGATCACCCGACACGTGTGCTCCGTCGACGGAGAGGACCTGTCGTTCGATCTGAACGCCTTGCGTGGTGGCATGCGCCTACCAGTCAAACACCGTTACCGGTCCCCTGTGGTCTTTGAGCTACACAAGCAAGGGAAGCATCAAGCGGCCGGGTTCGCGGCTCTGTGGCTCCAACATCTGGTAGACAACGAGGACACCCCCGTGGATATCCCGATCTGGTCGACCAAGAACGGGAGGCGGTTGACACAGAACTACATCACCGAGAGTAACTGGGAGAGCAAACGCGAGCCGGGGCTTGAAGACATCCAACTGATCGGCCGAGTCCAGTTCACCGCCCGGTTCACCCCAGGCATTGACGAGTCGCATGAGCGTTTCGTCGTGGACAACCATTCCCGCGAGACATTCGAGACGTGGGAGGCCTGCATTGCGGAAGGCGTGCGGACCCGCAGTGTCTCCGTCGAAGTACCAGAAGATGTTGAGCGCATGCACGAGCAGTCTCTGATTGACGGACGTGACATATTAAAACACGCCGATGCCAAAGAACGTCGACAATGGCTCGACAAGCAGGGACAGGACCAGAGCGGTGCGTTCGGCCGCGATCCTGGTGCCTACGTCGACGATCAGAGCAAAAAGGTCGCCGAACCCGAAGCCGGGCGCGATGAACCACCGCTTCACCCAATAAGTCCCTCGGCTTCCGCGAAGGTCGAACGCACTGGCAGCACGTCTAGCAACATCGAGGATGACACGTCCGAGCAACGGCGGTCCTTCAACGGGACGAACCCCTCCAGTGAGAGCCAGCCGTCGACGGAGACCAGAAGCGAGGACCAGGTCAAAAGGGCAAATCGACGCAGTGAACAGCGCCAGCAAAGGGGGCTGATGCAGTGGAAACCGGCGCGGAACGTGGCATTTGCACGCGACGAGGCCGTGTTTGCGCTTCGCAAAGTCCGACACCGGTTCACGGGGGATCTGTCGGGACGTGAGCCGGATATTGAGACCGAGATAGGGAATTAACTTATTTATGGTTACTTATTTTGTATAGTAGGCTCAATAAGTATGTATACATTTGAACATGGTTGAATGACTGGAGATCAACACTAGTACTGTTATCATTGATACATTACAACGTTATTTAAATCGTATAAACCACCATTTGCAAGAGTCGTCAGTAACCCAGAACCGGATCAAGACCCAAATATGTGCACGATTAGCCAGTACATTCGACCAGTCCATGAATCAATCTGCCTCGATATACGGAGTATTTTTGGATACCAAAAGATAACAATAGATCACCGTCTTCCAGGAAGAGACCACAATGCACACCGACATACTCCATGCATAGACTAGATATCACTCCCTTGGCTTTATGGATTCGGAGAACTCAAGAGGAAGTAAATAAATAATAATAAAAAAAGAGAGAGTCGGCTGATGTGATGCTGATGCAATGCTGATGCAGCGTGCCAGTGATCGACTGAATACGGGTAATAGATCCACCCCGTTTCTATATTTATCTCTCTCGCTAGCAGTAAGGTACGTAGTCCTGTTCGTATCGCGATAGGGATACGACCATTATACGGTGTCCAAAGTATTGTATCTTCTGAAAGGGGAGGAAAAGAAAATAAAAAAACGAAAGTCTCTATTAAGTATGCAATATGTACATGGAATGAATAGACGCTGGGTTACCTCGGTGGATGCAATGTCATGTCGTCTTCAACAACCAAGGCGCCAATGAATGCAAAACTCCAAATAGAAATCCAATATGCCAAACACCAATAATAATAACAATAGTAATAGTAATAATAATAATAGTAATAAAGATAGTAGACGGTCCATATGTGACGATGAGCGATACTCCCAATGATTCATCTCCCATGCTTTCTATGTGCATAAATCGTGATGGGTGGGGAATAATAGTCGAAGAAGTAGTAAGTAAATGATGCAAAAATAGAATAGTAATGCAAGGGTGAGTAACTTCATAAGCTATTCAGATGGATCGACATATGCACGTTCAGGTTCGTGACTCGTGATCTTCCAGAACTCGTCATTCTTGTCCGCCAAATCCGAGGCAACCGACGAACTAGGACTGGAGTGTGCTTGCGACGTACTTGAGGCAGAGAGAAGGTCCGAGCCCCAAGATGCAGGGCTGTCCACATCTCGCTCGGCCCATTTCGCATCCGCGCTCGACAACACCGGCCCCGCCGGTGTCGACGTCGACGTCGTCGTCGTCGTCATAGTAGTATTGTCCTGTGGTGCAGAAGGCTGTGCATTTTCGGTGCGGATTTCCAGAGGACCCAACGTCCACCGCCATTCACAGCGACGCTTGATGCGACGCTGCCGGGGAGTCTGAGGGGTAGTCGAGCCGTAGGCTTCCTCGAGTCCATCCAGTAGGGCCACAGCTCGCACCTGTTTTTCCGCACTCAGGTGTTTTCGCTTCTTCCGTTCGAATGAAGATATAGAGGCGTGGTTTGTGTCGGTTCTGGGATTCTCGTCGTCCGAGGTAGTGCTTTCATCCGACGGTGCCAGGCTGGAGCTGGAATCCGTGTCCTCGTCGGAGCTGGCGTCGTGCGGCTCAACATTCGACTCCACGACGAGATCGGAGTGTCGTGCAGTATAGCGTACGGTCTTGATCTCCTCTTCGAGGGGCTGTCGATAGTTGACCTGCTTCTTTGCGGGGAAGAACATCCATCGCGATCCCGTTCCTCCGGTGGCACTATTCGCTGCTACCGACGCGGATCGAACGCGACATGTGGGCTCCAACGGCGAGTTCCGCAGGATACTCTTGACCCCCAGAGGCAGCTGGTAGGGGTTGTTTGGGCCGTGGGAAGGATATGGCGACGAGGGCTTGCTCCATCGGTGGGTAGAGGAGGATTTGGATGGAGAGGCGGTTGCAGAGGACGGGAATGCGTTCTCGTAGGCATTCTTGAAGGTATTTCGGACAGTGGGGGATGCAGTCGGACCAGTAGCCAGCGAGAGGGAGAGACTCGTGGACGAGGTGCCAAAGGTTCGCGGTAGCGCCGTGGTTTGCAGTGTCAGTTTGGGTCTGGCTGATGTTCCCGGAGGCGGTCGTTCGGGAGCCGTCGACGACACACTGCAGGTCATATTGGTGGTGGACGGATATGGAGACGGTTGAGGGACGATGGAGGTCATTGTCGTCGGATCTACATGGACGAGAGGAACTTTGGAGGGAGGAGAAGAGAGAAGAGAGAAGAGAGAGAGTTGAGTCAGAAGGCAATCCCCGCACGAAAGCGCCGTGATATCGCAGACAACTAATAAGGAATGGAGTCTGGGATCAGATGTTGGTGCAGGAAAAGAGGAGTCGTATTTTAATTTATTTTCATTATTTTTTTTTTTTTTTTTTCAAAAATTGATTGCCTTCTTTTTTGTTGTTCCTAATTTAGGACTACCACCTCGATGGGTTGATGATCATTGACGCTCCATGATGAGATGGAATAAAATATATATTAAAATTTTTTAAAAATGAGGGAATGAAATTTTCAACGCCAGAGAATATAAGAAAAAGAAGAACTCTAAATTGATGAGAAGCACCGCTGACGCCGCAATTCGAGGAGATGCAGTCTCGACCGCGCTAAAGGCACCATCGATGGGGCTAGTGACGGGAGGAAATGATTAGTTAATGATTACTAGTAAAAATTCATAAGGAGCTGCTAATAATAAAGCGCGCTATCGACACCGCACCTCCGCTGAGGATCCCCGTGTTTAAAGTCGACTGGATCTACGGAGTACGAAGTACGAGGGAAAATTCTTCTTCTTCCTACCATTACAGCGAATGTCCAGGACTTTATCCTACTTACTTGGTACCTAGTATCTAGTACCTACGTTATCTATTTATAGATGTATTGTCATGTACCGTCACACAACAAGTACTATAAAAAGAACCTGGCCCGGTGGAGTCCACCAAGCCGCTAGCCTGTCCAGGTGCTTAGTCACCAAGCCAGACCCCGTGACCGGCGGCCAATCAGGGCGTGTGATTCTGTGCCGATTGCCGCCACGAGTGATTCGCCTGCATACAGTCAACCAAAGAGAAATACCTAGTTACGGAGTGCAGAGTAGTAGATCAATATCTGTCCAGTATCTGTCCTTCATCACTGCACCCCGTGGTGTACAGTTGCCAAATCCCGTAAAACTGGTGACCATCAATTTAGATGGCCGTGGCTCCTGCCAGAGATGACCATCGAATTGTCATCCACATTGTCAGTATCCTGCTGCGAGAACCGACCAAAGAAATACATACTCTGGAGTACGCATGGAGCACAAAAAATGATAGACTAATCTGTATTGTAGGATTATGACTGCTTCTATGCCTCAGTCTTTGAGGTCGAACGGCCCGCGCTCAAGTCGTTGCCTCTCGCCGTTCAGCAGAAACAAATCGTCGTGACCTGCAACTACGAAGCACGACGCCGGGGTTTACGCAAGCTCCAACTGGTTCGAGAAGCCAAACAGATCTGTCCGGATGTTGTCGTCGTCTTGGGGGAGGATCTGTCTAGATTCCGCGACGCTTCGAAAGATCTCTATCTCTTCTTGCGCCGCTTCGTCTGGGGTGGTCGGGTCGAAAAATTGGGGTTTGATGAGGTGTGTACTCCGGTATACTGCCTTTTATTGTTCATTCGTTTATTCTTCTTGTTATTATCATTTTTTCCTTCCTTTGTCCTCGGTCATTAACGGGTTTTGTCGTTCTCGCTCTTTGTTTCCATTTTGGATCGCCCGACCCCACACAGAGCGGAACCATCGAACCCTCGTTTCTGACAATAGCTACACAGTTGTTCCTGGATGTCACAGACATGATTACCTACAACGTGGCTCTGTTGAATCGAAACGACCTAGAACACTCATTCTTTCACCTCGACCGGCAGGACCCCATGCAGGGCTTTCAGTACGATGCCACCAAACCACATGGCCCCACCTATCCCGTTGAAAACGACAACAGCTCCACTCCTGTGGCACCGGTGGATTCAACGTCCCTGTACGCTAGATTGCTTGTGGCGTCTCACCTGGCAGGCTACCTGCGCACTCAGCTCGAGGACCAAAAGGGATACACTGCCTCGGTGGGGATTTCGACGTCGAAACTTCTCGCCAAGTTGGTGGGAAACACGAATAAGCCGAACAGCCAGACGACCCTTCTACCCCCGTACTTGGCTGCGGGGCCTGGGTCACAATCCAACGTCCTTGATTTTCTCTATGCCCATGAGATCCGGAAAATCCCCGGCATTGGCTCCAAAATTGTCCAACGTGTGACCTCGTATCTCATCCGCGCAGGCGTTCGGTCGGACTCTCCCATCGCAGATGATGCTCCTGTAACCGTCCGAGACGTTTGCCAATGTCCCGGCATGGGCCCCATGCTTCTAGATAAGATCCTTGGGGGCCCTGGTTCCCCCAGGGATATTGGTGTGAAGATCTGGGGGCTGATCCATGGCGTTGATTACTCGGAGGTCCAGCAGGCTCGGGACTTGCCAACCCAGATTAGCATCGAAGATAGCTACGGGCGCATGGATACCCAGGACGGAGTCCGACGAGAGTTGGTCTCATTGGCGGCTAGTCTCATTCGACGCATGCGGACTGATCTGACCGAGAGGCTCGACGAGGGCGAGTTGGCAGCCACTGGACCGTCCCCCTCAACGGCACCGAGACTCCATTGGCTTGCTCGACCAAAGACGCTTCGTCTGTCCACACGTCCGAGGCCGCCTCCCACCCCGGATGGAGGCCACGCCCGCAGTTTCCATCGCATCTCGCGCTCGGCACCGCTACCCCAGTACGTATGCAACCTCGATGAGAGCGTTGACGCATTGGCGGAGAGACTGGTGCAGGATCATGCCATGTCTATGTTCCGCAAGCTTCACCCGGAGAAGTCCGGGTGGAACCTGCAACTGTTGAACATCGCGGTGACGAACATAGTAGAGGCGGCCGGAGAGCGTAAGCAAAGCAGTGGCCGGGATATAGGCAAGATGTTCCAAAAGCAACAGACGGAGGATCGAGCCGGATTTCGCGGTAGAGAAGCAGAATCGCATCTAGCTGGGCAGCCCGATGGGGAGTGGTCGGACCTCTCCTGGGATGAATTCAACGCTCAACCTGATCCCGATGATGATGGTTGGGAGGAGAGTGACGGCGAAGGAGACACGGCTAGCGTAGCTTGCACCATCTGCGGAATATCGATACCACACTTTGCCCTTGCTGCCCACAGGATATACCACTCCGTTCCTGATGACTGACGGGTGGGAAGGCGTATGGATTTGGCTGATGGCGACCGAATGATACGCTTGACTTAGAGGTGGTATAGTTGCCTATTTATTGATTAGATGCACCCCGTGCCAAGAAATGCCGGCCCCTAGGATGTGTCAGTGTCCGATGATCTCGTCTGCCCTAGATTCCAAAATAGGGCTGAACCGATCCCGTGGCCTTCCAGGGGGTTGGCGCCAAGTCTTTGGTCTTCTCCTTTGGGTGATGGGTTGAATTAGTAATTCATGGATTGATCAAAGTACTCCGTACTCCGACCTCCACATATACAGTACTTAGAGAAATGAATCGAAATCAATCCTCGACTTCCCCTCCTCTTCCCTCTATACTCCGTAATCTCTCGGTTCTTGTATATAAAGAACTACGCGCTGTCGTCGCCGATCGCAGGGCATCCCACCAATTCATCTGCTTCTCTGGACGATAGTTGGCTGGGTTTTGGCGCCTCCGGGCTCCGAAGAGGATTACTAAGCCAGCTCTCCGTAACTAGCTAACTTAATTGAGGAAGTATGCTTGTTAACTCCGTAGTGCATTGAACTTGAGACGGCTTATGCTCCTGCTCCCCATCAGTATCCGTTTCCTCCTTAGTCTTCTGTCTTTCTCTTCGTCTCATTTAGTTTATTTTCATTTTTTAAAAAAATTATTGTTGATAGTATTAAATTCTTTTTTTCGTTTGTTCTATTCAATCTACATTGGCTCCCTCTTGTACGTCTGAATACGCTCTTTCACCTATCACCAAGATATTGCTGCCGCGTCGCCTCGCCACCCCGAGCCTGCTGCGCCTCATCGAAGCATGTCCCAGTGTGCTGTAGTGGCTTCGCTTGACGAATCTCCATCAGTCTAAATTATTTCTTCGTGCCATTTCATTGATTGCCTGCATAACGTATGTCAATAATCCGGATCTTCGGAAACAACGTTGTGTTTGGATCTTCAACAACATTCCACAGATCTCGAGTTGTTTGTCGCTTTTCAAGGGAACCACCGAACATTCGTTTGGCTGTTGCCTGATATTATCGACTCTTTGCACTAAATCTAGCCGTTGTCGGAGTAGTTCTTTATATCATATCTTTCCCCGCCTTCATCTTTTTTTAATTTATTATTTTTATTTTTATTTCTTATTTAAAAAAGAAAAAAAAATCGTCGTGTCGTTTTCCGGCCGTTTGTCCAATCTGGGGCGGCCATGAGGGCCTTCAAACATTCGCTACAACTTGTGGCAACTGCAATATCGCTTCTTTCAGTGGGCACTAACGGTGAGTATTCTGACGGTCGGACATGGCTCGATATTTGGACGGCTTTCTGATTTATGTGCGTGCAGCCCGGTCGCAAGAACCTAACGCCATTCAGCGTGTTTCGAGCCTCGACCACACAACAATCAACACTCCCTCCCATCATATAGACCACCTCTCTCACTTCGATGTCACATTCAGTCTTCGTGATAAGAACCAGCGAATAAAGCTAGAACTAGAACCGAACCATGACATTCTCGCCGAAGATGCCTTTGTACAGTACCTAGACGCCGAGGGGAATGTCCATCGGGAGGAAGCCATTCCACGCCATGAACATAAGGTCTACAAAGGAAGGACGCTAAAGGGTCGGGGGAAAGGCATGTGGGATCCCGTTGGCTCAGCGAGGATCTATATCAAAAGCGACGGACCACAGCCGTTGTTTGAAGGTGTCTTCAGTGTCCACGGCGACAGTCACCACGTGGAGTTAAAATCGACCTATTTGGAAAAGAAGCGCCCCCAAGATGTGGACATCCCTGATCGGAAGGGGGATTATATGGTTTTTTACCGTGATTCAGATATGATCCGAAGCGCCCACACGGAACTGAAACGCTCAGTGTCATTGTCCTCGTCGTGTGAAGCTGACAAGCTGAGTTTCAATGCCAACCCCAACCACCCGATTTTCCTACCCGACGAGGACGAGGACTACATGCCGAACTGGGGAGCTATGTCCTTAAACTCGCTCTTTGGACTGAACAAGCGGCAGTCCGACATTGGTGGTTCCTCGGGGAATGCTGGTGGTGTGAATTTGAGGTCCACCATCGGCGTCACCTCCGGTTGCCCTAAAACCAAGCAGGTCGCCCTCATCGGGGTCGCCACCGATTGTGAATTCACGGGGTCATTCAAAGATGAGGATGCCGCCAAACAGTGGGTCATCAATACCGTCAACAGTGCATCCAGCGTCTATGAGAAGTCGTTCAACATCTCTATCGGTCTGCGGAACCTCACTCTGACCGACAAGAAATGTCCGGATAATCCACCAGCCTCGAGTGAGTGGAATATGCCGTGCTCGAAGGGGAATATTACGTCGCGCCTGGACCTTTTTTCCAACTGGCGGGGACAACAAAAGGACAGTAATGCCTACTGGACCCTGATGAGCAATTGCCCCACAGGACCGGAAGTTGGATTAGCATGGTTAGGACAGCTGTGCAACACGGAAGTCTCTGGTGATCATGTCAGCGGAACCAATGTCGTGGTTCGGTCCCCCGGTGGTGGATGGCAGATCTTTGCTCATGAATCCGGCCACACTTTTGGTGCGGTTCATGATTGCACCGACCAGACGTGCGCTCAAAATCTTGAAGCCTCGTCTCAATGCTGCCCGTTTTCTACTGATCAGTGTGATGCGAAGTCACAGTTCATCATGAATCCGAGTACGGGCCAAGATATTACCAAGTTCTCTCGATGCACGATTGGTAACATCTGCTCTGCTTTGGGTCGCAACAGTGTCAAATCTCATTGCCTTTCTGATAACCGCGGAGTAACTACATACACTGGTGGCCAATGCGGGAATGGGATCGTGGAGTCCGGCGAAGACTGCGACTGCGGCGGGGAAGAATCTTGTGGTAACAACAGCTGCTGTGATGCCAAAACATGCAAGTTCAAAAATGGGGCTGTCTGTGACGATGCCAACGACAGTTGCTGCTCGAGTTGCAAATTCGCCAGCGCCGACACCGTCTGTCGGCCTAGTCGTGGTGAATGCGATCTGGAAGAGAAGTGCACTGGCAATTCGAGCACCTGCCCATCTGACTCCTACAAAGATGACGGTTCGAAATGCGGCAACTCGACAGCCGGCCTGACCTGTGCCAGTGGCCAGTGCACTAGCCGAGATTATCAGTGCCGGACGGTCATGGGCAGCCTGCTCCACGACAATAGCACCTATGCCTGCAGTCAGTTCAATGACCAGTGCGAGTTGATCTGTTTTTCCAAGGAGTATGCCAAGGAGTTTGGCAGCCAGTGCATGAGTGTCAACCAGAACTTCTTGGACGGCACTCCGTGTGGCAGCGGCGGTCACTGTAGTAATGGAAAGTGCGAGGGGTCCAGCATTAAGAACTGGATCGATAAACACAAGAATATAGTCATTGGCGTTGCCTGCGGAGTGGGAGGGCTGATCGTCCTTGCCATCCTCGGGTGCCTGATCAACCGATGTCGTCGGTCCCGACCTAAACACATTCCGCCGCCTGCTCGGTATGGAGGGTGGACGGGTCCTATGCCACCGGCTTCAAGGCCTTCTATGGGACAATGGGGCACTGCCCCGGCACAAGGCTATCAAGGACTCGCCGCGGGCACGCCGCCGCTACCGCCACCACCCTATGCGCCTGCATACAGCAATAACCCTCCGGGGCCAGGAGGATATATGCCTTCCCCGGTGCGATATGCATGATAATTTCCCTGACAGATCCGGTGACATTTTTTGCATTCTAGCGATCCTTATTCTGGGAACTGGCGCAATTATAGAATTGTTTACTTCTTGCTTTCATTCTTGATAGGTATTCTGGAAACATATTCACTGCGCTAATTTTATTTATGCGGCTCCTCGTCTTTATATTTCCGTGTCATTTTGTACCACTTGGACTCGATCCGGTTTATAGTTGAGTTGGGTTGATAGAACGATCTTTGATGTATAATCCTTGGGTGACCGCTCCCATTGGTGTCTGTAGTCATGTAGCGGGAGCCAGTCCTTGAATGCATGAAGTGATGATCATTCGCCGGATTTTTCTTGTATTGCCATCCAGATCGAGTACTATCCATGGGTGTTGGTATGTAAAACTGAAAACCTGAGACGCCATTATCCTAGGCCGGTCTTGATCTTGTTCTCTCGCGCATCCATACCATACTGTCAGTGGAGACAGATCAACCCGGGAAGAAAAGCCAGAGTGAGAAGACAAGAAAAAACCCAAAACGTAATTTTTTAAAAACAGTACAGTCCGCGATATCAACTACCAGGCGCCCACCCAATGCCCCAATCAAAGCAGCAGCAGCCAACAGGAATCAGACTTAAAATATCAGAGAAAGGATAGCGACAATGCAAAAGCCAAAATCAGAGGACAGAGACAACACAGAGAGAGGAAATCATGGTCTGCATCAATGTATCAGTCCACACATAGAGATCACAGGACATTTGGCCCTGACCAGTTTAGAGGGAATATGCCCTGCCTGGAGCATAACGGGGGAAATCAAGAAGAAACAACAAAAAGACCCAATCAAATATACAGAGGGAGCAACACGCATTACTGCCAGCAGATACTCACGAATGCCTCCCTTGTCACGCCACCGACACCCTCCAGATCGAATTCCTCAATCATTGCGCGTAATTCCTCCTCTTCGAGACCCGTTTCGCCCAATTCTCGCGCCACCCGTCTCAAATCTTCCAGGTCAATGTAGCCCTTCCCACCTTCGTCAAAGAGCTCAAATGCCCGAATAATCTCGTCGCGCGGATCTCGTTCCAAGATCTTTAAGGCCGTCACGGCTTGGAAGGCAGAGAGTGGCATGAGCAGGTTAGACGGGTGCTGGGGGTTCGTGGCCGGTGCAGATCGTGACTGTTGCTGGTGTTGCGATTGTTGGGTTGACTGTTGTACTTGGGGTCGAGGAACGCCGTACGTGGTCAGAAGAGAGATGAGTTCTTGTTTTGGTAGAGTGAAACCCAAGGCACGGAATGCCACGCGGAGTTCGTGATAGTCCAGATGCTGGTCGCGATCAAGGTCGAATAGGGTGAACTAGATTCAATTCATCAAGGTGTCAGTTTTTTTTCTTCTTTTTTATCGCCGCTATCCTCAAACGGACGTATGTGTCCATATCGAGCTACAGTGTCTCACAGTATCCGTGAAAATGCACTGAGAAAATTCCGACATAACAGGATGACGCAAATCCGGGGAGCTTACAGCTTCATTGATCTCTTCCCGCTGCTCTTCAGTCAACCGACTCAGCGGATTCGAGTCCTGCGATGGACCATGAGTCTGCGAATGCACCGGGGGAACCGGTGCTTGCTGCGAGGACTTTGCAGCTTCCGCTCCAAAATCACTAGGACCCGGGGCACCCAACCTTTGCCGGGAGAACGAGGAGGCACTGAGGGGGATGGCACTAGCATTGACTGATCGATCAGGCAATCGGCCTGCATTGTAGGAGCGCGTCCCGAATGGTGGTTGCCCGGACGCCATGACAGTCCGCGGGGTATGTTTGCTGATGGGAAGAAACCCAATCCAGACACCACGAGGAAGGATTAATAGCGCAGAAGGGTGATCGGAAGGGCAACAGGCCGTTCTCCAGGCAGAGTCAGAGAGAGGTGGCAGTCGCTGTCGTCGTCTTGCGTGGTTGCGCCGACGCGAATTCGGCAGACGCGAGGCGGTGGGTAAACCCCGCGTTGATTGGCTATGCTAGGGTATCAGGTTGGTACCGGTACTTACTGGGTCACCCAGAAATAGCTGTGTTTGAAGTATCTAGACAACATATAGATGGAATGGTACCTAGTGGTATAATCTCTGCTATTTACATTCACAACAGTCTCCATCCAGCCCATTAATTACCTCTAGACTGCTGCCAGGTCAGAGGGGGGTGCGCTGAAAGTCGATCTAACGAGAGGGCAATGTGTGTCGCCGTTGTTGTGAGCAAATCCATCCAAAGATCCTCGTCAGAAGCTAACCAGCAGCGGTTTACGAATGCTGGACTAATGCACTTCACAGAAGTTACGTTCCGCGTTTTAGTGTTGCGTCCATGTGCAGTGGGATCTCTTGGGGAACCATCAAGCAGTGTTTCGTTGCTCAGACCCAACAATATTGTAACGAGAATTCCACACTTAATGCGACGCCTTTTACTCCCTTGCTTGGACAGAGGGAGGCAACTCGGTAGAATAGAAATGTCCCCAATTTCACGGGTGTCAAGCAGACCGCATGCTTTCCATTCACTCCTCAGGTCTGGAGATCGGGGTCAATCTGACAGCCTAGATCTAGATCCTCCAAGAATTTTTGGTCTCGCAATTCCTCTGGAAGATACTCTTGAGCCACCTGGCCATTTCGATAGTTCGGATTGTACTTGTACTCCTCACCATACCCAAGCTCTTTCATTAGTCGAGTAGGGGCATTCCGTAGATGGATCGGGATTGGCAATCCGGCAACCCCCGGCTCTGCAAGCGCAGCGAAGGCGTTGTTAAGCCCTCTGTACGATCGCGTGCTTTTATTGGACAGTGCCATAGCCACCGTGGCGTGTGCAAGGTTGATCCGTGCTTCGGGAAGCCCAATCTTCTCAACGGCCGAGTGCGTGGAGATGGCCAGAGTCAACATACTATTATCCGCCAAGCCAATATCCTCCGATGCTACCACGATGAGACGCCGAGCAATGTATAATGGATCTTCCCCGGATTGAATCATGCGTGCGAGGTAGTACAGGGCCGCGTCGGCATCGCTGCCCCGGATCGACTTGTGGAAAGCAGATATAGTATCGTAGTGCTGATCACCCGCACGATCATACACAAGGGTTTTCGTTAAAGACCGTTTCAGCTCCTCTTGGGTTATCCCCGGCCTCTTGGATAAGTCCATGGCCAGCTCTAGGAGGTTCAGGGAAGTACGGGCGTCACCGTCGGAAAATTTAGCCAAATATTGGATTAAATCATCATCCACAAGAGTCGAGGGGGAGTAATTCGGACCTTCCACTTTCAAGGCGCGGTAGAGAATCGATGCGATGTCCTCATCGGTCAGCTTGGACAACGTAAACGTCCTACACCGAGAGAGTAATGCGTTCTGGACCTTAAAGGACGGATTTTCCGTCGTGGCGCCGATAAGGGTGACATGCCCACTCTCTACAGGTCCCAGGAAGACATCCTGCTGCGACTTCGAAAAACGGTGGATCTCATCGCAGAAGATGATGGTCTTCCTTCCAGTAAGGCCAAGTTCACTTCTGGCCTCGGAGAATATCTTCTTGCATTCCGCAACCCCCGAACTGGTGCTGTTGATTTCTACAAACCGGCTTCCCACCATCGAAGCAATAACCCTTGCAATTGTTGTTTTACCAGTCCCGGGACCGCCCCATAAGACCATGCTGGGAACCCGGTCCTGTTCGATCAATCCGCGAAGCACGCCATGTCGGCCGACGAGGTCCTGGCCGCACACCTCATCTAGAGTACGGGGGCGCATCCGTTCTGCCAAGGGCGCCGCTTTTTGAAATGCACTCATCTTCGACTTCTTCGCATGTGGCTCCGTTTGACACAGATCAGTGTTCGTCGCATTATTGGCCTCGGGAAGACGGCCCCCTGTTGGTGGCATTGCTCTCTTGCGGGTCACATTTTGTAAAGGCGACGAGTCTGAATGCGCGTCTTTCTGCGGAGTGGGCTGAGATGGAGCTTTCCGAGTAGAAACCGGCTGGAAAATGCTTGGAACCTGAGCCTTTTGAGAAGGCAAATCCCCCGTGCTGGAAGTCGGCTCCTCGATGAAACTGGTACAATCGGAATCAATGTGGTCGTTGATTTTCACGGAGGGGACAGAGTTCCCGCAGATAGGACACGAAACCATCGTGAGTGGCTACAGCATCGAGATGGCTGGACCGCAGAAGCACTGAGACGAGGATAGCAACACCCCATGACGCGTGAACGCGCGTAGAGAATCAGGCCGCGACGCATCATTATTCCGCTTTGGGTGGAGTTTCGCGGTGCTGTGTCAGCACTGAGTCATTAGAAACAGTGGTTTCCGCTAGTCCAGATTTGGCAGAGCACGCAATCTACATGCGTCAATTACATAATCCCCATCTGCATCATCCAGCAATGGTGGGAGTAATCATCTCGTCCCCCTCCGACCACCGGCCCTTTTTGTCTCCCCTTTCTCTCCCGGATCTCTCCCTATGTTGCCTGGCTATCGTGCTTTGGTCTCATCTGCAGCATCTGCCAGATTCAAGTCCCCATTGACTCCCTTCTTCACCTCCACATTTAGATCTAATCTCCACTCTCCCTCTCCCCACGCAAGAGCCATGTCCGCGACTGCGGCTCGTGCCGACCCTTTTCGACCAGCAAGGAGAGTTGCTGGCCAACGACAGGATGTCTGGTACGAGATCTCTTCCAAATAGAGCACTGGTTGTAGATGACTTCCTAACCAGTCCGTAGGTCTATCGTCAATGAAGCTGCAGCAGCGTCTCCGGTCCAGCCCATCGTTAACATGGGTCAAGGTTTCTTGTGCGTGAGGGATATTCACTGGTTGATACGTACCGCGGAGCACTGATAAATGGTCTTATGGAAACAGTGGGTATAACCCTCCTAAATTTGCCATCGATGCCGCAAAGGATGCCCTGGACCGAGTGGAATGCAACCAATATTCCCCGACAAAGGTAATAGCTCAACCTCCATTTTGTTACAGTAAAGCTTTAGGAAGCTCATGGTAGAAAACAGGGACGTCCACGCCTAAAGAAGGCGATTGCTGATGCGTACTCGCCTTTCTTTGGCCGAACCCTGAACCCTGATACCGAAGTGTCGATCACTACGGGAGCAAATGAAGGTACAACTGACGATGCTTCGTTATACGTATGTCGCTGACTGAGGGAAAGGGATGCTAAGTGCCTTCATGGGCTTCATTGAGCCGGGTGATGAGGTTATTATCTTCGAGCCCTTCTTCGACCAGTAAGTCTACACAATACTATCAACGGGTGATAAATTGACAGACTGGGAAAGATACATCAGCAATATTGAAATGCCAGGCGGCACAATTCGATATGTGCCGCTGCACCCTCCCAAGGATGGGGCCACCAGGACATCTCCGGCCTCTGAATGGACTATCGATTACGAGGAGCTGGAGAAGACCATCAACCCCAAAACTAAGATGATAGTAAGGGTTCCCTGCTATATTCCCATGTTATATCACGTCCTGACTGACTTATTAGGTGTTGAACTCACCGTAAGCGATACTCCCACCAACAGGCGCGCGACGTTTTAAGACTGACAACCATGGTAGCCATAACCCTGTAGGAAAGGTCTTCTCTCGTGCTGAGCTTGAGCGGATCGGCGACCTCTGCATCAAACACAACCTGATCATCCTCTCTGACGAGGTTTATGACCGCCTTTTCTATGTTCCATTTACCAGGATTGCAACTTTGTCTCCGGAGCTCTATGAGCGTACCCTCACTGTAGCCTCTGCTGGAAAGGCCTTCTATGCTACGGGATGGCGTGTTGGGTACCTGATTGGACCCGAGCATTTGATTAAGTATGTGGCTGGCGCACATACTCGGATCTGTTACAGCAGTGTGTCCCCCCTTCAGGAAGCTGCTGCTGTTGCCTTCGAGCAGGCGGACAAGGTTGGCTTTTGGGATGAGAGCCGGACCGAAATGAAGGCGAAGATGGAACGTTTCTGCAAGGTGTTTGACGAATTGAATATTCCTGTAGGTTTTGCATCACCACTCTTCTTTTCCCGCTTTTTTTTTTGGTTCGTCCTAATTTTTCCTCCAGTACTCTGATCCAGAGGGTGGGTACTTCGTTCTTGCAAATATGTCGTCTGTTAAGCTACCTGACGATTATCCTTTCCCTCCCCACGTTGCCAACCGACCTCGTGATTTCAAGCTCTGCTGGTTTTTTAATCCATGAAGTCGGCGTGGCAGCAATTCCTCCGACCGAATTTTATACTGATGCAAATGCTCATATCGCGGAGGATTACCTTCGCTTCGCAGTATGCAAAAATGACGACGTGTTGGAAACTGCAAAAGAGAGACTGCGTGGCCTGAAGAAGTATATTGTGCAGTAAATCTAGTTTCACTTGGGTCATTTTCTTAGATTCATACCTGCATTATCCGCGAAAGCCCGTCAATGGGCAGCAAGGCTCACGGTTGTGAATATAGAACACGTCAGGCAATCTACAAAAGAGTAATGCAAAGGCAACTAAATAGACAGTTTTGTTCAATATTTCGTTCATTTCTGCTGTATTACCATGATACCCCACATCTCACACTTCACAGCTCTGTTTTAGACCATCATAGTGCCCTCACCCTTCGCGTTGCCCATATTTACCGCCACAGACTATGGATGGGTGTATAAGAATCTCTCAGAGATCCTCCACAAGGGGCATTGGCGCGCAGGTGACCTCACAAAACGGCTGTCAAGTCCATCAAAAAAACCGGAGGGAAGGACGAGCTCACAGGAGAGAAAAGATAGATGAGCAGATAGCACAGGTCGAAGGCCGCGGTCAGATAACAAAGACTCTTCCGTGGCAGAAGAGTAAGACCGATCATGGCTCCAGCCTCTATCCAGGACCAAACTAAGCGTTGATCCCCTCGATTTCCATATCCCCGGTGCCTGCACCATCCCATCCCTCCCCACGACGGAACACACGTTGATCCTCGTCTGCGACCTGGTCGAAACCCTCTCCTTGCATCCGTGCAGTCACACTGGTGATGCTGGGATGAGTGGTACGTGCAGCCCGCAATGTCCAGTAGGTTCCTTCCAAATGGTCAACCAAATGGCCATGGCCTCTGCCACCAGGGGACCCGAGCAAACGGCGGTATTCCGCCCTACACGCAGCATCTGGACAGTTGCGGCGGTTCTTCCCATTCCAGTCCGTGTCGCAAGCATGTCTTTCCCCGGTGATTGCGGGCTGTATAGTCACACAATATTCGGCTTGGAATTGGTGCTTGAGTGCAGTCTCCATGTCGGCAGGGGCTGCCTGGGACCGCAGCTTGTCCCGGATCAGTCGAAACAGATAATCCACCAGTTCATGCACATCAATCGTCACTGCGCAAAAACATGAGGTTAGTCCATCATCGGAGAGGTAAAGGCGGAGGAACGCTATAGCCTACTAAAAAGACACGCCGCCAGCACGCGACGGAAACGATCCTTCTCATCGGGATCATCAAATCTAACGACGTACACAATCTTATGAGAGCAGCGCACACTAGCGTTATTCTCTGGGAACCCTGCTTCGACAAAGTCTGCCCAGTCCGAAAATATGAAATAGTCTCCTCTACGAGCGTTTGCGCTGAAATGGACTGCCTGGCGGTGACGTTCCGGTGTGTCGTAGGGGTGCAGGCATGGCACCAGGGGGGGTCCGCTTCTTACAGTTCGAGGGATTGAAGACTCCCGGCAAGGGTGTTCGAATGTCACCTGTCCACAGTACAACCAGTGCCACTTAATATCCTCGAATAAATGCTCTTTGCAACAGTAGCGGGTTTCCGAGTACGGTCCGCAGCGAGGACAGATCACAGTCTCGCCGTCCCAGAAGTTACACCTTTTTTCACAGCCTGATTTTGCACACGGGAGCCCGTGACTATCAAGTTGCCAAAAGAATCCCTCTGGCTTTTGGGTGGATACGCTGCCCCGGGAACTTGGAGCCGCTAAGGTTGACTGCTCACTTCCTGAAGGTGATGCAGGGTGCGTGTGGTTCACTTTACCTTGGGATGCTGTGGCAGCAGGGGACTTGTTGGAATTTTTTCTGTGTCGATGTTTGGTATCATTAGAGTCAGCGTCAGATTTCTCAGTCTTTGGAGTTGTCGCGAGAACTCTCTGTGCTTCAGCAGCCGAAATGCCTCCCTCAGCTTTAGCATCAGATGTCTCCTGTATGGGGGACAGCTTTTCTCTCATGGGAATAGTGCTTCGGCGTGTGGACTGTCCTGTACGGGAAGGCTGGGTAGAAGGCGAAGTCATGGCTGGCTCAGTGTCAGAACATATCTCGGTTTTGCCTGATCCCGGGGAGATCCCCTCTACTCCTCTTTGGTCTAAAACGGGATGTGAAGAAGGCAAAGACTTTTCTTCATTAGTGGGCAAACAAGGGTGTGGATGCTGTATGGCCTCTGAGATCTCGTCACCTGTGACAGGGTCGACCCTTGCAACGCGTCGTTTCCCTTGTTTGTGTGAAGCAGCAAGAGAGAGCTCGTTTGCTGGTTCCTCGTGAGTTTTCTTATTTATTCCCTGATCAGCAACATTGGGGTCATTGCTCTGAGGCCCAGCTCCATTTGCAGAAGAACAATCTTTAGTCTTTGTGTCTTCCAACTTCGAAGATGGTACAAGCCCCAAAGTGCTTTGATATTTTGCCAAAAATGGCGAGGTACCACAGAAGCCATCTCTCTTATTCTGGGGGTGGTTTGTTGGGATTTGCTCGCCTGGAGGGGTGATAGCCTCCGGAGACGGCTTGGTGTCGTCTTCAGGGCTCAATTCGTGTTCAATTTGGGTGAGATCAAGCTTTCTGAACTTCTTGCTCTTTTTCTTTTTCTTACCTTTCTTGGAGGCCAGCACAGGCTCCATCATGACCACTGGGCTGTTGATGAACGTGGCGGACTGTTGATCATCGAGCTTAGGGTCCTGTGATTGAGGCTGGGTGGAAGAGTTTACAGGACAAGAAGATTCAGTGGGAGACAAACGGGTGAGAGTCCTGGAGCGTAGCAAGGTGACGGCATCTGAGCGAGCCTTGCACTCCTCAGGAGCGGACTTGTGATGATCTATTTCTTAAGCAACAGAATTAGCACTTTTCGGCAAGGATCAAGCCCGATCCACTCAGGCAGCAAAACCTTTATGATCTGGTGAATTTGCATTTGCACCCATTTCTACTATGTTCCAATTGGCACTTGCAGTCTGTTCTTTGTCTGTGGAGGGTGAAGTGAAGGAAGTGGACTGGTTGGGTGGCTGAAGGGCTAGCAGTCTGTCGTTGAAATTCACTGGATGCAACCGGATTCCATTCAGACACTCCGACAGATCTGCCAGAAATCTGGCTGCTTCAAGAGGGCACATGTCTCTGGACAGAGAGACATTCTGAGGAACATTATCTTTCTTGACGGACCTTTCTGCAGAAGCAGAGAGGTCGCGAGATTCCTTGGACATCATACTGCCAGGAACCAGCTCAGCTTTGGGACAGCTCCAAAGGTTCTTTCCTAGAGAACATAAGATATTAGCAAGTCAGGTTCTTCTTGCTGATATAAAATAGATACATACAGTATGCTTTATTGATATGTGGCTTGGGACAGCGATATCAGAATTTGGTGTTGACAGTTTCCTCCCTGTTTGTTCCAGGATAATCTGTGCAGGAAGAAGAAGAAGAAAGACAAGGATTCAGTTTATAAGAACAATATCTTGAGCTTGACGCAACGTGGGTTATCGCCATGGCGATGGTGGTTATATCTGGAGCCACTGTAAGAGTTTTCCAACGCAACGTTGCGTGCGGTTCTTAAAGACAAACGCTACCTTTAGGTATGCTGCCTGTTAAAGAGTGGTGTATGTAGTCTTTGTACCTGGGCCTAAGAATTTGTATAAAAGATAGCAAACTAACTGCTTTAATAGTGCCTAACATATATCTATACTATGTACAACTCATCTTTTACAGCACACTCTAGTATGAAACTGTGATATATGCTTTCTTGTATACGCTAAGTAGATATAGAAAACAGGGAGTGCTACATTTGTGCCTGGGGACAGTGGCTTCTGATTCTTTGGAGTGCCAAAATTCTATGTCTACAGGATCTAAAACTATATTCTAGGACCCAGAGAGTTCTGCTGTTCAGGCTTTATAGACTGGAATACCTATCCCATTCCTTCGCACTGTTTATGAGGCATTCTTTCTGTTAATTCCGCTCCTGATAGAATTATGTTTACCATCTAGAAAAAATTCTTTTATTTTAGCATATCTTTTTTATAGCTTTTGGCCTCCGAAAAGTTCATTGGTTTCTTTCTGTGAGTGAAGTCATCATGAATGAACGCTGACTTCATCCATCCATCTATATGAACAGAACTCATAGATCATAAATTAAAGACAGATCAACAAGATGACAAGATGATTTTACAGGATCTCTTTACTGCCGCCGCACATCCACTCCCTCCCATCGACGACCCCAAATTCGCCACGCATTTCGACCGCTTTGGCGACTATCCGATCGTTCTCCTCGGCGATGGCACCCACGGCACCTCCGAGTTCTATACCGCCCGCGCAGAGATCACCAAACGCCTGATCGAGTGCCACGGTGTCACCGTCGTCGCCATCGAGGCCGACTGGCCCGATGCAGAAGCTATCGATCGCTACGTACGACGACGACCAGGACCCAATGCGATGGGCGGACAGACATTCGAGCCTTTCAGTCGGTTCCCAACGTGGATGTGGCGCAATCGCGAGATGCAGGAGCTCGTCGACTGGATGCGAGATCACAACGCACGCGTCCCGGACGAGAAGAAGGTCGGGTTCTACGGACTGGATATGTATAGTATGGGCGCTTCGATGCACGCGGTGATCCGATACCTGGACCGCGTCGACCCGCAGGCCGCCCAGGATGCACGCCAACGGTACAGCTGTCTGAGCCCCTGGGTGGACGATCCGACGGCCTACGGGCTGGCAACCCTGCACGGCATGCGCGACTGCGAGGCGGGCGTCGTTGCGATGCTGCGCGACCTCCTGAGCCACCGTCTACAATACATTGCGCAAGATGTCCACGACGGCGAGGAGTATCACAGTACTGAGCAGAACGCCCACCTGGTGCGCGACGCTGAGCTCTACTACAAGGTCATGTACTACGGGTCTGCGATCTCATGGACGCTGCGCGACTCCCACATGGTTGATACGCTGCGTCGGCTGCTGCGCTCCAAGCCTTCCAGCACCAAGGCGGTCGTCTGGGCGCATAACTCGCACTGTGGCGACGCGCGCTTTACCAGCATGGGCCGTCATCGCCAGGAAGCCAACCTCGGGCAGCTGTGTCGCGAACAGTTCGGCCGCGATAACGTCGCGCTGGTCGGCTGCGGTACACACACAGGGACCGTGGCGGCGGCGCACAACTGGGACAGCGACATGAAGGTGATGTCAGTGCAACCCTCGCGCGCCGACAGCTGGGAGCGTCTGGCGCACGATACGGGTCTGCCCAGCTTCCTGCTGGACCTGCGGCCGGGCCAGCTGGACGCGAAGCTGGCGGCGGCAATGGCCGACCAGGCACCACAGCGACTGCAGCGGTTCATCGGGGTCATCTATCGGCCCCAAACGGAGAAACGGTCGCACTATTCACAGGCAAATCTCCAGGATCAATTCGATGCGTACATATGGTTTGATCAGACGGAGGCAGTGCATTCGCTGCAGAAGATTCAACCCAGGACGCCGAGGGGATTGGAGGAAACGTATCCATTTGGAGAATGAATATCATATGTAATGAATCTTAGCCGTACTATCCTATGTCTATAATGCCTATAGTCGATAATAATTATAGTGATGCTCTGTACGCAGACCACGTGCTGGTCAGGTGCATCCGTCTTGTTTCCATCCAAGATATCCATCTCCTTTTTTTCCATCTCTTCTCTTTTTAATTCATCCTGAATGTTCAAGCAGATGCCCCTGGTGCTCTCATCCAATCAAAGGTTTGTCCACCGTCCACTCTCTGGCACCTTAGCGCTAAATGGAGCAAGAATCGCAGCAGAAGTTCCAACAACGACCATTCACTGTCTGCTCCCTACTGTCTGTCCCTTGGCTCTGTTTCATCGAGTGGGTCCTTTATTTAGAAATGGTTGAAACAAAGCATGGAAAATAGATGAATGGATGAATGGATGACTATAGATGATGGAATTAGGCCATACAACCCTCTGGGCTACGCGCCGACAAGAGCCTATATTTAAAGAAACCACCAAAGACGCCATGACAAAGGCATCGCGCCAAATGAAACCAGACGATTGTCCGCCTGTCCAGTCATTTGCCATAGAGCACTTGTTACTGCTCAACAATGTGGGGGATTTTACACCATCCCCTCAATGGCTGTAACCTCGCCTGCTTTATTTAGATTCACTTTTGGGCATTGTTTGGCTGGGGAACGTCATAAAGGTGGGCTGCTGTCTCTATTGTTGACGGTTTATTGACATTGTCCTTCTCTTTTATTGTAGACGCTCTCTTCCCCTGTCTATTCCCTGTCTACCAAATAGATCGAACATGAGCTCTTTAATCTAATTCTACGAAACAATTGCTGCTGGTCAGCTCTGATATAGCGATCTTTCGTTTTTGGTCTTTGAGCTTTATAGAATCTCCCTCTTTCTCTGATCATATCCTATCCTCTCTAATCTATCAGCATGATATTTTCAAAGTCGATCTTCCCCCTGCTCCCACCGTATGCCCAGGATCCCAATGCCCAGCGGGTTGTCGTGCATCCTGACGGGATGACTCCATATCTGGGCCTGAGAGCTCGTCTGTCTCAAGTCTGGCTGAATCGATGGACCATCCTATCGCTACTCGTATTGGCAAGGGTCCTTCTGGCCGTCGTCAGCTTGCACTCCGATATGGACGATGCCCAGCGAGAAGCTCTATCGGCCTGTACGGCGGTCGAGTCGATGGGCAGCTCCATGGCTTCCATGCCCCATTACCTATCCCGAGGGGTTAACGAGCTCACAGCCTCCTCCGTCGAGGCGGCCGTCCATGGACTCAAAGTGATGCTGATGCTCACCCTGACAGGGGTCGAGGAGCTCGTCATTTTCTTCATCAAAGTCATGTATCAGACGTACCTGTGTCTGTTTACCCTGGTCGTCCGTGGTAGTGCTCATATTGCTCTCGGCGTGCTACAAGACGCCACCGATTTCTTGAACTCGACAATCAAAACCATCGGAGAGGACATCCACAAGACCGTCGACACGTTCGAGAGCGGTCTGGACAAGTTCATCGATGGCATCAACGGAGTGACCAGCATCTTTGGTGGTAACGGAGACGTGCCCAAGCTGGACATCAGCAGCTCTCTCGACGAACTCACCAATCTTCGCTTGCCCGGCAATATCAACTCCACGATCGACAAGCTCAACAGCTCCATCCCCACGTTTGATGAGGTGGACAAGTTCGTCGTGAACGTCCTCCGTGCTCCGTTCGAGGAAGTCAAGCATCTGGTCAACAGGTCGCTGAGCAACTACACCTTCGACCGCTCCACGTTACCCGTCCCAGCGAAAGAACAGATGACCTTCTGCAACGACAACAATGGCATTAACTCCTTCTTCGACCACGTGGCGGATCTCGTAGATACGGCCCGCAAGATTTTTATCGCCGTGCTGGTCCTTGTGGCCACTCTCGCCTGCGTCCCTGCCGCTTGGAACGAAATTCGTCGCTGGCGGTCCATGAAGGAGCGCTCACAGCTGGTCCGAAAGGACGCTCACGATCCCATGGACGTCGTCCACATTGTGTCTCGGCCCTACAGCTCCGCCGCCGGAATCAAAGCGGCCAGTCGATTCAGCAACAGTCGTCGGCAAACCCTGGTGCGGTGGGTGGTCGCATACGCCACGTCAACTCCGGCTCTCTTTGTTCTGAGTCTCGCACTCGCCGGTCTCTTCTCCTGTCTCTGCCAGTTCTTGCTTCTGCGCACCGTCCAGAAAACAGTCCCCGAGCTAACTACCGAAGTTGGCCAGTTCGCAGACAAAGTGGTCGGCAAACTTGAAAACACCTCAGCGGAATGGGCCCGAGACGCCAACGGCGTCATCAGCCACATGAACCACGACCTCAACGACAACATCCTGGGATGGGTGAATACCAGCACGACCGCCTTAAATGAAACGCTCGACGCGTTCATCGAGAAAACCACCGGCGTCCTCAACGACACCTTCGGCGGCACGGTCCTCCTCGACCCTCTCCAGGAAGTCTTCCGCTGTCTCATCGGACTGAAGGTCGAATCTGTACAGAAGGGCCTCACCTGGGTGCACGATCACGCTCACATCAACTTCCCCAACCTCCCGAACGATACGTTCTCGCGCGGTGCCCAAGACAGCATTTCCAACGACGCCGACAACAACAACAACAGCCCAGCGAGCACTTCCTCGCCGACCCCGGCGACTCGACCTCGAACAAAGTCACCGAGGTTGTCATCCGCGTCGTGCAAAAAGTTGAAGACGGCATCCGCACCGAAACCATCATCGCCTCCTGTATTCTCCTCGTCTGGGTCCTCAATGCCCTATTCGGTCTGATCCGCGCTTTGACTCTGTTCTGGAATCGAGACCGAACCCGCGGCAATGGCGGAGGAGGAGCTCCTCCCATATCCTCGATGGCTTCCAATCCCGATGCTAATGGGTTCATTGATGTCCCGTTGACCGCAATACCGAAATCCGACGCGCCTCGGTCTCAGCCAGCTCCGCGATATGAGGCCTCTCCTGCGGTCGTTGGAGGTGCTGGTTGTAGTAGGAGTGAGCTTGAATACGAGGACGAGAAATTAGGCTTTGCGGGACAGCGGAATTATGGCTCTGCACTCAAGGTCAATGGGACGTCAGATCTGCGTGGGAGCAGTTATGTGGAATATGGCATGGAAAAACGGTAGCTCGACGTGGCTACTGGGGTTGTGGCATATCGTATTTTCTTTCGCGCGTTCTTGTATACTATTTCTAAGTGCTTGTTCTATTAGTTCGTCTATTCAAACGTTTATTTAGCCAGAACTAGAGCGATATTTCTTTGCTGGACTCGGACGATAAGTTCTAATCAAATGGGTTATAGGCTTAGATGTAGGCTAGGCTATGGAAAATATAGAATGCTTGAAATACAAGAATCAGAAAGTGTACCAATAAATACATGCAGTCCCGGTTCAACAGGCGTTCGCAGCATTTAAGCAGCAGATCGTAACTCATGACAGCGCTAGCAGAACTATATCTGGCAAGACATGAACCAAAACAATAAGAAAGACTTATATCTCCACGAAAAAACTCTTCTCTCCTGCCTGAGGTTGCACTCGCACCCGTTCAATAATAGGATCAGCACAGCTGACCCGGATGCGCTCGGGAGTCGCGGGACTCTGCAAGCTGAGCACTTCGTGAACGTTCCATTGCTTCCGCGCTGCTTTTAGCGCATCACGGATGGCAAAGAAGACAGCGCTGCCCATGAACAGTGGAGGCTCCCCAACACCACGGGAGCGTTGGATCGTGCGAAGGTTCTCCCATTCCACGTCCTTTAGGATACTGACGTTGAAAACCTGAGGGATGTCGCGGAACCCGGGGATCTTGTAATTTCCTGGCCCCTTGGTGAAGATCTGCCCCGAGGCTCGATGCCAGAGACTTTCCTCTGTGGTGAAAAGTCCCTGTCCTTGAACGTAGGCTCCCTCGATCTGTCCATAGTCGATGGACGGGTTGATCGTACGCCCGATATCCATCTTGATGTCTGCCCGCAGAGGCGTCCAGTCGCCGGTGAGGGTGTCGATTTCAACCTCAGCGGCGGTGACGCCCTGCGTGAAGTAGAAGAACATCTGGCCCGAATTCTCGCCCCAGACGTAGCCAATATCCGGGGTGCGGTAGTAACCCTGGGCTGAGAGGTTGACGCGGTTGAAGTAGGCCGCATGGGCGATGTCCTTCAGAGGAGCACCGGGCATCTTCTCCCGGTACGGTTTCAGCCGCTCGTTGAGCTGCTCACATGCATTGAAAACGGCATAGCCATTGAGGTCAGAGCTAGCTGAGGCCGCGGTCGCAGACGTGTTGGCCACCGTGTTCGTGGCCGTCTCCGAAATAAACACTTCGGACTGAGGAACCCCCAGAGCCTCGGCCGCGATCATCGTTATTTTCGTGTGCAACCCTTGGCCCATTTCGACTCCGCCATGGGCGACAAGAACACTTCCGTCGTGGTAGATATGGACCAATGCGCCCGCCTGGTTGAGGAACAGGGCTGTGAAGGAAATTCCAAATTTGGTAGGGATAATTGCCATTCCACGCTTGGTCCATTTGTGCTGTTGGTTGTATTCCTCCACGGCTTTCCGCCGTTGCTCGTACGAACTTTCCTCCAAGACTTGCTGGTACATTAACGGGACATGCCAGTCCTTTAGCTCCTGGTTGAAATGAGTGGTGTCTCCCGGTTGATACATGTTGTCCATGCGGACTTTTTCGACGGGGATGTTCAGATGGTCCGCAATCTCGGAGACGTAGCACTCAGCAAAGAACAACCCCTGAGGACCTCCAAACCCGCGGAATGCGGTGTTGGAGACGGTATTGGTCCTGCAGATCCGGCCACGGACATGAACATTGGGAATATTATACACCCCATCGATGTGGGATAAACTTCTTTCCACCACGGCTGCCGAGAGGTCTTGCGTGTGACCACCATTGGAATAGACATCAGCATCCAAGGCCAGGATTTTTCCTTCCTTGGTCACCGCAACTTTCCAGTGGCACAGGAATGGATGTCGCTGGCCCGAGGTTGCAATGTCTTCGTCCCGGTTGAGCATACACCGGACTGGATACCTCACTTTTGCTGCGGCCGTGGCACAGATACCGGCCAGCTGAACCGATCGGCTCTCTTTGCCACCAAACCCTCCACCAAGACGCTTAACTCGAGACACGATCTTGTTAGCTGCCACACCCGTGACCTGAGCTACATACGTCTGTCTACAGCGAAATCAGCGTTAAATTCGGAACAGAGGAAATACAAATAAAGACTCACGTTTCGGTAGGGTTCTGCGTGCCACTCCAGATCTCCATCTCGCCATCCTCCGGCTTGGGAATGGCAACGCATGCCTGGGTTTCCAGGTAGAAGTGCTCCTGACCACCCATTCGAGACACGCCGGTGAAAACATGATCCGCTCGCTCAAAGGCGCTCTCCGTGTCACCTCTCTTGATGAAGCGGAAATGGTCAAAGAACGATTGCGCCTCAATGGCCTCCTCAATGGTAAGGATGGCTGGCAATTCCTCATATTCAATCTTGACAGCCCTCGCGGCCTCTTCGGCGATTTTGGCCGAGTTCGCAAGGATCATACCAATGGGCTGGCCAGCCGTGGTAACCTTGTCGACTGCAAAGAACAGCTCGTCGCATTTGGGAGCTCCCCACCAGTTGGCTTGCGGGTTGGGGAGGTCTGTATGATCCACATAGTCATAGACGCCGGGGATCTCCAGCGCCAGCGTGGGGTCGACGCTGAGAATTTTGGCGTGCGCCTTGGTCGAGAGGACCATACAGCCGAATTTCTCATTCTGCAGCACCGGTATATCATCGGTATATTGAGCCTCTCCAGTGGCCTGTTTCAGTGCCGACACATGAGGACCAGCCTTTCCCAGGACCCGCTGCTGGTACGCGGCTGAAGCCTCATGGTCCTTCTCGCCCGACGAGATCGCCCGTTCGATCTCCGCGATAACATCCCCGTCGACATCCGTCTCTTTGACTTCCAGGCTCGACAAAACGTCGTGATAGAATCGGTAGAAGAACCCTAGGGCAAGCGACTTGCGGTACGTCGCCATGCCACCGGGAACCCCGAATTTCAGGTCGAAATCTTTCTCCAACGCACTCATCGTGCCCTCCAGGGTGGCTGGATGTGGTAGTGGCTTGCCGACCAAGAACGCCTCCGCGTTCCGCGCAGACACCGTCATCGGTGCAAGCCCGCCAAAAACGAGGTTCACGCTCGTCACCTCGTGCGAGGGTGAGAGGGACACGCGCAGAGCAGCATTCACGATCGCAATATCATCGTCCTTTCGTTTCGACTGCTTGTAGGCTCGCATGTATTCACCCTTCTCCGACGTGGCTGGAATCCGCAAGCTTACGATCACGGCGTTGGGGGGTAATGCCGTGCTTCGATAGCCTTTGAAGAACTGGCCCATGGGAATCTCGATTTCCTCATCCAGTGTTTTGGCGACAAGGACGGTGTTGGTAGCCACGAAGACAGGATTTAGATCGGAGATCGGGGATGCCGTGGCCAAGTTTCCAGCTGGGGATGCCACATTTCTGATCTGTCGCCCAGCAAAGTACCGAAGCTGCTTCTTGATCGCTGTGAAATTCTGGCCACGCACCGGTCCGAATCGCTGCAGGGCTTCATCACAGATCGCCTCCAGGTCGGTGAGAGAGACATTGGCCCCAAGTTCCAGGAGATCATCGTGCCAGGAGTATTGATGCAGTTCGGGGACGTCGCCTACGTAAACGGAGTTCCGGTACTGGAGGGCCTTGAACTTGATTTCAATCTGCGTCTCGGTGCTTCCACCGATGATCTTCGCCTCTGGGTGAACATGCTTGATCTCCAGGAGCTGCTGCAAAGTGACCGGTCGGTACCATTTCTTTCTCTTATTGCCCAGTGCCAACGGTCGGAATTCATGCTTCCGGAGTAGAGGCGGGAAAATTAATTCGGTGTCGGGATTATACTTGATGAATTCGGGGGGCGTGAACTTAGGAGCACCGTTAGGGGTGGACGTGTCGTCCAAGAACTCCTTGCAGCATCCTTTCGAGCCGTTCTGCTTGTCCATACAGCAACCACCGCCTCCGTTGGTCGTGGCTTTCGGACATCCGTTGGTCTTGGGGGTGAAACTCTGCGCAGCATCCAAGATAGGCCTGTATCCAGTGCAACGGCAGAGATTCCCATCGAATGCTTCTTCTACCGCGTGGGCAGTGGGTTCGGGGGTGTTCCGGAGGAGTGCATAGAGGCTCTAGAACGTGGGTCAGACTCTACTGAGGTCGACAGAAGACAAGGGAGCGGGTAAGGGAGAAACACACCATCACAATTCCCGGGGTACAGAAGCCACACTGGCTTCCGTTGCCCACTGCAATCCGTTGCTGGACCGCATGAGGGTTCTTCACATTCCCAATTCCTTCAACCGTGATGACATGCTTGCCATCCACGCTAATCAGAGGCGCAATACAGGCGTTGACTGAGGCATGGTAGAGCTTCTTAGTCGTCGGGTTCATGTGCGAGATCACCTGTCGCCGCCCGTCCACGTCAGTCCTGTGCCGTTGCCCTCTAGATGGAAGAAGAGCTGAAACATACCACGGTACAAGCCCCGCAACCTCCCTCTGCGCATCCGAGCTTGGTCCCCGTCAACCCTATCCCTCGAAGATATTCTAAGAGAGTGATTTCAGGATCGACCGAGTCTAGGATGACCTTGGTGCCATTGAGGTAGAAACGAATGGTATCGTCCCAGTCTTCCGTTAACTGGGCCAGCGCGCCGGACTTATTGGCGGCGACCGCAGAGGCCGAGGGCTCTAAGATGCCTGGTGCCATTTGTGCGTTGATCTCCGCCCTTAGGTAAGGGACGGTAGTTTCACAATCCCTGGCAAAGAAGAAAGTGGCGATAGCGGGGGGTGGATAGACACAAGAATCTGGGGTAGGAGGGGAGCTGTATTGGTAATTATGGGGTCGTGTCAATTAGTATTATAAGGAAGGAAGACATAAGAATGTGCCGCAGACGAAAGAGCGGACAGAATAGAGGATATGGAGCATGGAGGAAGATAAGCAGACGGACGAGAGGAAGCATCTCCATCATAAAGGGAAAGGCTTATCGCTATCGTCATGCGGGGATCGCCACACCCCGATGGCGGAAAGCAGCGGCACTAATCCGTCATCAGCAGGTTCTGATTGGTCAGAAAGAGTTGGGCATGTGTGAATATCCAAAAAAATAAAAATAAAATATAAATAATAAAATAATAAAATAACGCCTGATAAATGCTCACAAACAAGATTGCTAATTGTACAGAACAGGCCTTGTATGCACAAAAACTAGAAGGGAATTTTTAGAAAAAAAAAAAAAAAATCTCTCTATTCTTTAAGTCGCGCCCCAACAAAGTCCCTCTCATCCTCCTCCCATTTCTTCCGTTCGACAATACTGCGAGCCCTACATATACAACCAATTAGCTTCTTCCATACCAGATGATTCTGCGGGGAAATGGAGAAAAAGGAGGGGGGAGGGAGAAATCATGAGGGAATTCTATCAATGGGTGCTGGATCACGAACCGATACGCTCGAACAAACCGCCATACTTCCGTATCAGCCAGGTTCCAAGCTTCCGCTACATCTTTGATGTTGATTCGATTGGTCTCCTTGCTTTTCAGAATCTCCCGGGCCACTTGGAGGATTTCATACTCCTTTTCGACGCCTTTCTGGATGGAGTTGGCGTTCGGCATAGGCTTTGTGCTGTCGTCCTCATGTTTCGCATCCACCCTCGCTACACGAGGGATCTTAAATCCAAATTGCCACTCCAGTTCATCCAAGAGGTGGGGTGGAAGGGTCTGACCAGCCTCCGCGGGCAAGGATTCGACTGTGGTCCACATCGACGTCCCAATGGCTCCAATGTCGGCGACGGCCTTCTTGAACACCACGGCGCGCGACGATCCCCCCAGATCGGGGCCCAGTTGCTCCTGGGTGACCGCCTTCAGCCATCCGTCGCGCTCCGTCTCGCGGCGCACGTGCCGCGTACTAACATCCGCGGAGCCCTGCTGCAGGCTGATCAAAGTGTACGGGTGGGGTAGGGTTCCAATGGTGAACACCTGGGTCGTGTTGCGGTAAACTGCCGGTTGACTGATCTGCATGGGCTTCGTCGGGTCACAAAGGTGGCACTTCCGTAGGTTAGGGGGACAGGAAGGAGCCGGAGACGTTGGGCATTGGGCGAGAGCTTTGGCGAGCTGTAGCGAGGGCTCGACGAGGGCGGTTGTGTGTTCGGGGAAAGGCTTCAAGACAGCCACACCGGCCGGGAACGAGTTCTGGAACGTGCTGTGTAGATGCGAATTGATGAGTTCGACCAGTGCGAGTCTACCCGCGATGGCCGACTTGACGCTCTGTTCGGCCAGTGTGGGAAAGTTCGCCAGCACGGTATTAGAGTCATAAAAGGCCAGCGAGCTTGGCTCTTCGTTCCTGAAGAACTCCGCAGGCACTAAGTCCAACATGGACTTGGAGTTTTCATCGATCTTCTTAACGGCTTCCTTGACCGCATCGTTGATCCGCGACTTCTCACCTGCAAAGAGCGCGTTGCCAATGCGGTCAAAGCGCGTAATCACAGCCGGATCCGTGCCCAGACGCAGGGAGGTCAACAACGGGTCATCATATCTGGCCATGGGGAAGCAGCGCCAATCGGCCAGCAGACCATCCCCCATATGGCCCCAAGCGAGCCATCGGAAAAGCTCGGTCTCCAGATCCTTATGAAGTTTCAATGGCTGCACCAGCTCGTAGAGTTGATTTTTCATGGCCTCGCCGGGCCCCAGGATGATGGGACGAAACCCTTGGGCAAACCAGGCCCGGCGCCAGGCCAGAAGTAGCTGAGCGTCCGCATTCTCCTCGTCCTTGTTATTGCCTTTGTTGGGTTCGTAATAGGTGTAAATAAACGGTCGGTGTCCCAGAGGTGGAAGCACGGAGCGGTTTTCATCCAGCGTAATCGAGGAGGAAAATGGATTCAACCATGCCCAGTCGGAGAACCATTTGGACTCGCCGCTGGTGCTGTTGGGTTGCAGCTCCGGCGGTGTATGGACAGATGGGCGGAACGACGGGAGGTGGAAGTTGTTTAGAGAAGGGATTTTGGGTAGCGGAACATATTTGGATACGCCGGAGGCCTTCACTTCCCCCGATTCAGGATCCACAGGAATCGAGGAGGATGAGAATATCACCAACAGCAGCGCCACGAATACGATGATGGTAAGGAGGGCCGTGCTGCGGTGAGGAATCATTTTGAATTAATTTGCCCGTTCTAAAAACACGTCAGGGGTAGTGGGGGCAGGGAAAGAAAGAGTAAAACGATGTAGGGGATTGAGCAATAAATCAACGTGCAATCTGGATCCTCCACCCACTCTTTCTCCAGCGATCAATAGGAAGACTGAATAGGGGGGAATGGAGTAGTTTCCGATAAGGCGATCTTGGGCATGGAGATGGGTGCTGGAGATGGAAGCAGAGAGAAGTCGGTCAAGCCATTAGAATTCTAAGAACATACACATGAGAACGAAGAAAATGAAAATAAAAAGAGAAGAAAAGAATGGCGAGCGAAATAGACACGCTGTCTTCGTGTTCAGATCCAAAAAGTCGAAGATAACACCCAAACTGGACGAAACCGGCCTTGGTGCCTTGGTGCCTTGGTGCCTGTGTGTCTGAGAGGTTCTTACTGCCTGTATGCCTGTATGCCTGACTGCCTGAAGCAATGCGCCCGAAATCGGAATGGTCTGCCCCTCGTGACTCACCATACTCTCCAAGTAGATTCCCATCCATTCCCCTCCCAATTCCATTGGCAGCTTGACGTCCGGAATCCCTCGTCTTAAGGGCTTCGTCACTGCAATCATGGGGGTCGAATCGGCTGCCTTACAGGAACGCCTGGAGCGATGGGCGCAACGCCTCCAGAACCTCACTGTCTCCCCCCTCACCCGGGACTATCCCGAGACCCAGAAGCAGGAGCTTCCCAAGAGAGCCATTGAGGCATTCGAGTCCCTTCGGATTTCCAGGGACTCATTATCCCAACTGCAGAAACTCTCCGGCTCATCTTCCGGGTTCACGGTCTTCTTGACAGCCTTCGTGGTTCTTGTCGCTCGTCTGACTGGAGACGAGGATATCGCCATTGGTACCAGCTCCGGCGACGACGGCCGTCCGTTCGTTCTGAGAGTCCCAATTGACCCCTCGGAGACGTTTCTCCAACTCTACACGAAGGTTCAAGCTGTATGTGTGGAATTTACTGGCCTCCCGATCTCGTCCATGTCTAACCATGATCCAGGGCTTCGACGAGGGATCGTCCGAGATCGTGCCATTGGGAAGCCTACGGTCCTATATCCAAGAACAATCCAAGTCAGAACGGTCCCCAATCCTTTTCCGGTTTGCGGCCTACGATGCTCCCGCTATTTCCCAGGAATATCCTGCTAATACGTTCGAAACGACGGACTTGGTTGTAAACATTGCACCGCTGTCCGGCGGATCTTCGGCTCAGGCGGAATTGGGAGCATACTATAACCAGAGACTCTTCTCCAGCGCGAGAATTGCTATCATTCTCCAGCAGCTCTCTCGCATTGTCGAGAATGCCACGACCGATCCCGAGCAGGCGATCGGCCACATAGATTTCATGACCTCGAATCAGCAAGCGCTTCTCCCAGACCCTACATCGGACCTCCGCTGGTCCAACTTCCATGGCGCCATCCATGATATCTTCGCCGATAATGCCAAGAAACATCCTGAGAGGCTATGTGTAGTGGAAACCAAGTCCGATCGATCGCCTCACCGGGAGTTCACTTACAGGCAGATCAATGAGGCCTCCAACATCCTGGGCCATCACCTTGTCCAAGCAGGCATTGAGAGGGGTGAGGTAGTCATGGTGTACGCGTATCGTGGCGTTGATCTTGTAGTGGCCGTGATGGGTATCCTGAAGGCCGGCGCAACCTTCTCCGTCATTGATCCAGCTTATCCCCCAGAACGGCAGTGTATCTATCTTGATGTCGCCCGCCCTCGCGCGCTTATCAACATTGAAAAAGCCACCCAGGACGCTGGCGAGCTGTCGGACAAAGTGCGCTCGTTTATCAGTGAGAACCTGCAGCTCCGGACGGAGGTCCCTGCACTCGCCCTTCTGGATGATGGCTCACTTCGGGGCGGCTCGATCGAAGGCCAGGATGTTTTTTCCAACCAGGTTCCTTTGAAGGCTAAGCCGGTTGGTGTCGTTGTTGGTCCGGATTCGACTCCTACGTTGTCGTTCACTTCTGGCTCTGAGGGCAGGCCTAAGGGAGTCCGAGGACGTCACTTTTCTCTGGCATACTATTTCCCCTGGATGTCCGAGACGTTCAAGCTTACCCCCAATGATCGATTCACCATGCTTAGTGGTATTGCCCATGATCCCATTCAGCGAGATATCTTCACACCCCTCTTCCTGGGAGCACAGCTGTTGGTTCCAGCCCGCGAGGACATTCAGAACGAGAGACTCGCGGAGTGGATGCAGGAATATGGAGCTACCGTGACCCATCTTACGCCTGCCATGGGTCAAATTCTCGTGGGTGGAGCTTCGGCACAGTTCCCAACTCTTCATCATGCTTTCTTCGTCGGTGATATCTTGATCAAAAGAGACTGTCGGTCGCTGCAGGCTCTGGCTCCGAATGTGAATATTGTCAATATGTACGGAACCACCGAGACTCAACGAGCAGTAAGTTACTACGAGATCCCCAGCTACTCGAGCCAAGAGGGTTTCTTGGACACCATGAAGGATGTGATTCCAGCTGGAAGAGGAATGGTCGACGTCCAGATGTTGGTCGTCAATCGCTTCGAACCTAGCCGCCTCTGCGCCATCGGGGAAGTGGGGGAAATCTATGTCCGTGCAGCTGGTCTCGCCGAAGGCTACCTGGGCGCCGATGAACTGAATCAGAAAAAGTTCATCAATAACTGGTTTGTGAATCCCCAGAGCTGGCTTGAGAAGGACAAGGCCGACTCGCAGAATGCAACCGAACCATGGAGGCCGTTCTACCTCGGACCAAGAGACCGCCTGTATCGCAGTGGAGATCTTGGCCGCTACACTCCCTCCGGCGACGTTGAATGCTCGGGACGTGCCGATGACCAGGTCAAGATCCGTGGTTTCCGCATCGAGCTCGGAGAGATTGACACTCACTTGTCTCGTCATCCCTTGGTGAGAGAGAACGTCACTCTAGTGCGACGAGATAAGTTCGAGGAGCCCACTCTGGTCAGTTATCTCGTCCCGGACATGAGCAAGTGGGCTGCGTGGCTGGAGGTAAAGGGTCTCCAAGACGATGATTCTGCAGAGGGCATGGTTGGCATGCTGCGTCGATTCCGGCCTCTTCGCGACGATGCCCGCGAGCTTCTCCGGAGCAAGCTCCCAGCTTACGCTGTGCCGACGGTCTTCATCCCATTGAAGCGAATGCCTCTCAACCCCAACGGCAAGATTGACAAGCCCGCGCTGCCGTTCCCAGACACTGCCGAACTCAGCGCTGCAGCTCCTCGACGCAAGTCGTCAGTGCTGCAGGCTCTCTCAGAGACCGAACAAGCGTTAGCGCAAATCTGGGCCCAGCGCATCCCCAACGTGACCGCTCGCATGATTGGACCCGATGATTCGTTCTTCGACCTTGGTGGACACAGCATCCTGGCCCAGCAGATGTTCTTTGATCTTCGACGCAAGTGGCGTGGAATTGATATCAGCATGAATGCAATCTTCCGGAGTCCCACTCTGCGAGCGTTTGCTAGTGAGATTGACCGTTTGCTATGTCTTGATTCATTTGCCACCAGCGATAGCAAAGACGCCGCCACTGCAGAGGCTTCCTCCGCCCTCAACCAACCGGATAACGAATACTCCAAGGATGCCCGGAAGCTGGTCGATAGTTTACCCCAGTCCTTCCCCGAGCGGACCGAGGACATTCTGTCGGGCGAGCCTACTGTTTTCCTTACTGGTGGTACCGGGTTCTTGGGTGCTCATATTCTCCGCGACCTGCTTACGCGCAAGTCACCTTCAGCCAAGGTTGTCGCTCTGGTCCGGAGCAAGAGCGAACAACAGGCTCTGGACCGCATCCGTTCCACGTGCCGCGCCTACGGGTTCTGGGATGAAGCGTGGACTAGCCGACTTGAATGTGTCTGTGGTAACCTGGGAGAACCACGGCTCGGTCTCTCCGAGGCGCTGTGGGATGACCTGACGAAGCGGGTGGACGCCGTGATTCACAATGGCGCTCTGGTCCACTGGGTGTATCCCTATTCCACCCTTAGACCGGCCAACGTTCTCGGTACCATCGACGCCATGAAGCTCTGTGCCACCGGCAAACCCAAGCAGTTTTCGTTTGTCAGTTCTACCAGTGTTCTCGATAGTGATCACTACGTGGAAGAATCCGAGCGCATCATCGCCGCTGGCGGAGCGGGAATTAGCGAAGACGACGACCTGGAGGGCAGCAGCGTTGGGCTGGGAACCGGGTACGGGCAAAGCAAGTGGGCTGGAGAATATCTCGTCCGGGAGGCAGGCAGAAGGGGATTGAAGGGAACAGTAGTCCGACCTGGATACGTGTTAGGCGACTCGGCGACCGGAAGTATGCAATCCCCCCTCTTATTTGCCCAAGGAAAGGGAAATATCGTTAACATGAGACCTTCTCCAGCTACGAATACGGATGACTTCCTGATCCGAATGATCAAGGGATGTATCCAACTGTCTGCGCGTCCAAACATTAACAACACGGTCAACATGGTCCCCGTGGACCATGTGGCGCGCGTGGTCATCGCCGGAGCCTTCCAGCCTCCCTGCAAGCCGATCGGTGTGGCCCAGGTGACCGGACACCCCCGACTTCGGTTCAACCAGTTCCTGGGGGCTCTGCAGCTGTATGGGTACAATGTGCCCCAGGTTGACTACGTTCCGTGGTCTACATCGCTCGAGGAATACGTCAACAGTGGCCAGCATGACGACCCGGAGTCTCAACATGCGCTGTGAGTTTTTCTTCATTGCCGAAGACCATGAGAAAGAAGCTAACTCCTTTCCTTAGCATGCCCCTTTACCACTTCGTGACCGCGGACCTTCCTTCCAATACCAAGGCCCCCGAATTAGACGACACGCATGCGGCTACGTCTCTATGCGCCGATGCCGCCTGGTCGGGCGTCGATGCGTCGGCCGGCGCGGGCGTGACGGAGGAACTGGTGGGATTGTACGTCTCTTATCTCGTGGCCGTGGGATTCTTGCCCGCGCCGCCGGCCTCGTCGACAGCTCGTGCGTTGCCTGCTGCTCAGCTCAGCGCCAATCAGAAACAGGCGTTGGCGAATGTGGGAGGCCGCGGGGGCAGTGCATAAAGGGGAGGGGTCAAAGAAAAAGAAAAGAAAACGTCGTGTTGGAATTTTTTTTTTTTTTGGTTATAATCTAATTGATTTACTGAATATTTCGGGCGAGTTGTCCACGGAATTTGGGGGAGACTTAAAAAAAATACACACATGTACATATCCGGAAAAGCTCAGGTTCAATAAAGCCAGGACAATAATAGATTTGGAAACCATTCGATAGATGAAAGTCCTTTTTTTTTTGCTGCTTTGTATTCAAAATCGCGCACCGGACTGGACCCAACCGATGTTTGTCTGCCATGAGTGGACGGATAATGCGACGGAATTGCATGGAAGATGAAGTCGATCAGTAGAAACACAACCACAATCATGCAACAGGAGAATCGATCAAATCGAGTCGAGAATAAGCAATTAGGGGGTGCCTGACCACTTGCCGCCTTGCCGATTCACCGGGGCACACCATTTCCTGCGATGCTTATATAAGGCGAACTCAGCAGCATCGCAAAACATACACCGGTGCTTGCGATTTGATTTCACCCCCTGCCTTCAAACCAGCATTGCGTATTCATAACAATATCCTCCCCCATCCTCACGATGGCCGTGACCTCAGGTACGTTGGCAATGATTTTTGATGCTCGACCTTCATCATCATCATCCTCCTCCTCTTCTTCTCCTTGGTTTGGTCTCTCACGATCTCTCACGGTGGTGGCTTTTTCCTGCAGCCTCACACACTTTTTCCCTTCTCCAATACCCTCTGGCTTTCAGTTCCTCCTTTGTGTCTTCCTTCTGTCTGTGGGATCGTGGGATATATCGAATAGCGGCTATTGTCGGTGGGAGGGGCCCCAGTTCGCGTCATCGTAGTCGTTTTTTTTTTTTTTTTTTTTGTTCAATGGTTTCCGCTCCCATCACAAAGTTTGACTCATACCTGTTCCCTTTTCCGCTTCACAAACAACCCGCGTTGGAATGAACATTGCAAGGCATTTTCCGCGGTCCCTGTCGCTGTGTCGACCCCTTCCACCTGGAAGGAGGTCGCAGGGCATTTCAGTTCAAGTTGCACCAGCCACTGTCAGCGCATTCCGGCATTGTTCCACCTCTGCACCGTCGTCTGCAGACGGAACCACCCGGTCGCAACCTGGTGCTAATTCCTTCGCAGATCGTTTCACCTCTGCTCTGAGCCATAACAAGGAATGGGCAATTAAGACCGCCCAGGAGAATCCCGAACTGTTCCGGACGCTCGCAGCCGGACAGCATCCTGAAATTCTCTGGATCGGTTGCTCCGATTCCCGGTGCCCCGAGACGACCGTGCTGGGCCTGAAGCCCGGAGATGTCTTTGTCCACCGTAACATCGCGAACATCTTACACGCCAGTGATCTGTCCTCGTCGGCAGTGATTGAGTATGCGGTTCGTTATCTGCGAGTCAAGCACATTGTCCTCTCCGGCCACACTGGGTGTGGAGGCGTTGCCGCAGCCATGGGTAACAAGCAGTTGGGCATTCTCGACCCCTGGTTGATGCCGCTGCGTCAAATCCGCCAGCAAAACCTGACGACTCTGGAGGCGTTATCGCCCGACGAAGCAGCCCTGAAGCTGGTGGAGCTGAATGTGGAGGAGGGTGTGAAGCTCTTGAGGCAGAAGAACGTGGTGCTGGAGGCGATGCAGGAGCGAGGGCTGCAGGTTCACGGGTTGATTTACGACGTCGGGTCTGGTATGCTTCGGGAGTTGGATACTAACGAGTCAGAAGAAGCCATCAAGGCACGACTCGTCTCGTTCAAGACGGAGGCATAACCCACGGTCAGCATAGACCCCGTCGTGGTTTGTGTTGTCCTTTTCTGTTGTGTGGATTCCTGTTTTTACTTTTCTTTTCTTTTTCAGCGAATTGCGACGGTGGTTTGGACGAATTCCCAGCAAGCGACCAAATAAGGGGCCTAGGCTACATACCATTGTTGTCCATATATAGTTTTGCATGAGATCAGCGATATCCATAGACCGAGAGTGTTCATCCACCATTGCCGGCCTCTGAAAAGACCGGTCGTTGTAGTATCCTCATGGCGGGCGATCACGAAAGGAGGAACAGGAAGAGAGAGGGGGAAAAGAGAAAATGAGGGAGGGGGAAATCCCGAGAAAAAATGGCAGGAATGCCTCAAGACTAAAGAGTCTGAGAGATGCATAGAGTACTACGCTGGCCACTGCCGGGTTGCCGAATCGGGAAGCCCAGAACACTGCGGAGCCGGTTCACTTTCCCAATATGGTATGGTCTCGGCCGACACGGATTTCCGTCGGAAGTGCCTGAGGCAGGAACAGGATCAGTCTCTGACGCACAATATTAATGAGTTTTGTTTATTATATTTCGAATTAAATATCTATGCCTACATTTTCTTAACACTGAATAGGACTAATATTGGCTGGGTCCGACTTAATATCCAACAGCAAATAGAATGTACTTCTTATCAAATAACCAAACCATTCCTCAATTAATTAGAAATGTCTGTGCTCTATTTCGTGTATGATAGGCTCATCTCTACCTCTGTACTAGGAACTTTCATTGCGAGAATGCTTCGTCCTTCTGGTCTCAAGGATCTCCTTAGGGGCATGAATGATAGATGAAAAAGGTCTGTGGAATGGAGACATCAATAACTACGTAGTAACTTAACTTCGTGCCCGCTGAGTCATAGTGATGAGATCATAACTAGGCCCATAAAACTATCAAATCTTCTTTCTTGAAACAAGAAAATAACCATAAACATTGATCTCTGATACCAACAGATACGAGAAATCATCATCACCATGGCTTCCAGCAACGAGATGGAGTACACTCGGTACGTCCCTCATCTTCCAGTTCAGTCACATTCTAACAGCCGTCAAGCCTCGGAAACTCCGGCCTGAAGATCTCCAAGGTCATCCTGGGCGCCATGTCGTATGGTTCCAAGAGATGGCAGGACTGGGTCCTGGATGAAGACGAAGCCCTACCATTGATTGAACATGCTTACAAACGAGGCATTAATACATGGGATACGGTGTGTCACCCTCCTCAACGCCCGATATGATAATATACTCTGGACGAACCATCGCTAACCTAATTCCAAGGCCGACGTCTATTCCCACGGCCGTTCCGAGGAGATCATCGGAAAGGCACTCCAAAAATACGAGATCCCTCGCCATCGTGTCGTCCTTCTGACCAAGTGTTTCTTCGGAGTCGATGATCAGGGTGGCATGCCACCTATCTCGGCCACCGGATGCAACGACGGGGACTTCGTGAATCGCGTCGGTCTGTCTCGGAAGCATATCTTTGACGCTGTGGACGCTAGCGTCAAGAGACTGGGTACTTACATCGACGTGTTGCAGATCCATCGATTGGATCGTGAGACACCTCGGGAGGAGATCATGAGGGCTCTTAATGATATAGTGGAAAGTGGGAAAGTTAGGTACATCGGAGCGAGTACGGTAGGTTTATTTGATTTTTCGGATTAAAAATAAGAAAGAAAGAAAAGAAGATCCAGGCTGACAGTATAAACTATCAGATGGCCGCATGGGAATTCCAAACCCTCCAGAACATCGCCGCGCGAAATGGCTGGCACCAATTCATCTCCATGCAGAACTACCACAATCTACTAGCCCGCGAGGAAGAGCGCGAGATGATCCCCTACTGTCTGGACACGGGCGTGGGCCTGATCCCCTGGTCCCCGATGGCGCGTGGCGTGCTTGCTCGGCCGTGGAATTCGCGCTCCACCATTCGGGAGTCGACGGACGGGGCGCTGAAGCTGTTGGTCCGAAGCCGCGAAACCGAGGCCGATCAGGCGATCGTCGAGCGTGTCGAGCAGGTTGCGAAGCAGAAAGGGATCAGCATGGCCCAGGTGGCTATTGCATGGTCGTTGAGTCATTCCAGTGAGAATCCCATCCTGGGCCTGAATAGCAAGGAAAGGATCGACGAGGCTGTAGCGAGCGTCAAAGTGAAGCTGACCGAGGAGGAGATTAAATTCTTGGAGGAGCCGTATATCCCCAAGGCGTTGTCTGCTCTGGAGCGGTAATCACGCACTTCTCTATGGTACACTGGCTAAATTCGGCATATCTCGCTTCACCGATCGTAGAATTACCTCTACATGATAAGATAGAAAGACTCATGTCAGTGTAAGTATTTTGCTGCTTCTGCGGATATTTTGCAGTAGATATTTCTTATGTACATGCTTCATATATAGTTACAGGAGGAAAGAATGCCAACAGTTTCATGTCTTGGGTAGTCATGACGCTTAGAGGGGAGATAAATGGAGAAAATATAAACGAGGGCAAACAGGCTGTGCATCGCTTTCCAGTTCCTATGCCTCATACACCAGTGTCCGGCATCCGAATCTCAAAAACGGCTCTGGAAAAAAAAAAAGAGGGGGGGGGGAATCTGCAGGAACGTGTTTCCCTTTCACCTTTACAAAAGGGAGTCATGAATGGAAGATGAGGATATATTTAATCAGTGGAGATTTCCATTTCCAGTGCGAGAAGCGCCCGGCTTCCTTCAGTGATGGCCGCTCTTTCGAGTGAGAAAGTCAAATATACTGCTGAAACGATGCCGACGCTTCCCCTTCGTAGGCGCTTGCTCTGCACTTCGACTGAGCGTCTGGGCTGCATTCTCGTGAGAAGCATCTGGTTGCCACGATCCACGTTCTTCCGTGTATCCCGGTTGGTCCGGGGTATGGCCTTTCTCACACTGTATGTCCGGTTGCCTGGGGGAAGACCACGTTTGTCGAATTCCAGAAGCTTCTCGAGCGGGATGGAATCCAGAGGCCCCATTCGGCGCTGGCTCGCGAGAGTTCGAGAGCAAGCTGCTATGTCGATTAGATCGGCTATGGACTCCAGAAACGCGCCGGTTCGTCCGCTCAATGAAAGCTGCGCCGGTTGAGTTCGCTCGAGTAGGCGCGGTATGTGAACCTGACAAGCGATGTTTGGATCCGTTGAATATCGACCCGTCCGGCTGGCCGTCTTTGCCCGCGGCCATTTGGTTATTTTCCGTCTTAGAAGCGGTCGGCGAAACGTGACGAGAAGCCACGGGCGTTGTTTTGGAGTTCACTGTCACGGCCGAATCTTTGTAGCTGAAATTATGCGACCAACCTTCCCTGAATGCCACCCAGATACTAGTAACGATGATCAACGTTCGGAGGTGGTCACCGGTGGTGATCACTCTCCGATCCAAAGGAGCATCCATCTCAGAACAATCGCTAATCACCGACATGGCAGACGTTGGGGAAGCAAAACCGGAGGTGGGCATCGAATACTCGTCGTATACCTCCAGATGGTTTCGGGTCATGGATGCGATGACTGGATGGCGGCGGGTACTGGGATCAATGACACTGAATGTAAACCGCCGCGAATCCTCCTGCAATGGGGAGCCCGGAGGAGCTGATACGCGTCGACTCTTGCCTCCACGTAGGACCCATCGCAGTATTTGAATGCCGTTTTCTGTGTCAGCCACAAACTCGTATGACCCATTGGAAAGAGGACTCGCTTCCCACACCGGTCCATAGTTTAAGCAGATCTCTGCTTTGCCTTTCGATAGTGCATCCTCCCTGAGTTGACATATTGTTGCGACTACCTCCCGATGCTCCCCATTTTCGTCGTCCGAAACTGGATGTTTTTCTGCAATGTCTCCACCCGATCGGTCGTACAAATCGCTGGTGACGACGATCAGATCATTCGGCCCCAGCCCTTTCTTGCCCCGGAATATCGTGGGAAACCGGCGTGCCAACCTAGGTAGATATACCGTCGACGGGAGCACATCCAGAACCGGTAGAGGGCGCGGGGTCTGTGACACTCGTTGAAGCTGCAATACAAGCTTGGGCCGAAAATTCAATCGTCGATGGCGCGAGTGGCTAGCCGGGTGAGCTAGCTGGTATGAGGTTTTAGGTCGCGATGACTGTTTCCGAACCGATTGTGCGCGGCTGACATTCGGTCGTCCTATAGCTGCTATAGCTGGTCCAGCTGTCGAATACTCTCCATCACTCGGCTCCGATTCTTCAGCACTCATTGCCATTACCCCGCGTGATCGTCTCTCGGATTTGTCCGCGTCCACACCCTTGTGCCAGCCTTGCAGATTTCCCAGTCCCAACGAGGGTAGCGCAAATGAGACGGGAGGGGAGGAATGGCGCGAAGGTCGAGATTCCAATGGGAGACGGACAATGTCGTTCTCGTGAGCTGCTGCTGCATCCGCTGTTAAGCCCAGGTTAAACAGCATTATCTAACAGGATGCAGAAGCCTCGAACAGCCCATCAAGACTAACATCGACAGCAACGAGGGAGCACTGCAGGATCAATACTCGTTCTTTTACTCTCAACGCACTGCGAGGCTAGTTTCGTCGTCCCTGAATGTATACCAAAACCACAATAGTGGGGCGACCACACAATAGAGCTGAGGTGAAACAAGACAACGAGGAAAGGGCAGCTGTTGAGCCTGAAGAATGTAGGTCGATAGGTAGGAGCTTGGTGTGACCTGCACGACCAGAGAGGAATAAGGTGAAAAAAAAAAAAAAAAAAAAAAAAAATGTAACTAAAATAAAATCAAAACAAATCAGGCAGACGTATAGGAAATGGGATTGTCTATAGTAGGAGTCGATTGAAGGAAGCGAAAGGGCCCCAAGGTTACACAATGTGAGGGGACGGAAGTAAAATGGGAAAATAGGGAAGGGAGTGAGGGTTTCAGGAGGGTAGAATATCCAAGAATAAAAGGGAGAATCCGAAGGGCAGAGGGTGGGTGAATGTAGCCTTAAGAGTAATCCATCCTGTTGGTATGTCAGATGGGGATGGCGGTCAAGTATTGAGGAAATACGAAAATGAAGTCATAAAGAGAGGGAGAGGGAAAGAGAGCTAAATATAAAAAGACAAGGAAAGAAAAGAAGGACAAAAGAATCCACTTGCCCACAACGATGGTGGTGGTGAGTATTATAGCATGAATCATTCCTTATTCCAGGAAATCATTCATTCGCCTCGGCGACTCGGCAGATATCCATGGATGTCCATAGATGATGCAGAGGGAGCTCGAGATCCCCATCGAAGGAGTGGGTTCCGATTAGTGAGAGGACAGCTTGGATCATTTAATCAAAGATCCCTTGTTTTCTTTTTTTTTTTACTTTCCTATTTTTCCTTTTCTTTACCCTGAATGACCATTGTCCTGATGTAGAACCATCTTTCCAGTGGCGATCCATGGTCGCACTCGCACACAACCCCCAATCCGGCCTAGCGGAAGATCTTCGGAACCCAGGATTGCCCGAATCCTTGTATCGGTTCGGCTCATATCATTTCCGCGCCGCAGATGAATCTGTAATTTTGAAACGCTTCGCTTCAGTACGAACTACATAAAGAGGGTAGAGTACTGTCAGCGGCTTTCTTGGACTTCGGTCGTTCGCTGTTCCATATGTGCCATTTAAATCCCGCTGGATCTTCCTATAAAGCCCCATCTACCTGTCAATAATGATGCTCTAGCTCGGTCAGTGGGAAATCCGAAATACACGCCCATACCGTCGGAGGCGCGGCGTCCGAGTCTCCGGTAAAACCCGCGTATAGGTCCATGGCCATCATTTCTTGGCTGGGTGCTGAATTGTTGGTGCAGAGCGCCAGAACTTGCTCATGGTACAACCGTACACCAGGCTGCGACCAAAAAAAAGCTTTCTAAAATCCTGGTGTGACCAACTACTGGCCCCTATAAAGGTTGCAGAGGACACGGTATGCTTATTCGCTGGACCGCCTCCTGCTGGCTTTTCAGGGTTGCTGCCTCCCTGGGAGCTCCCTTAGGGCTGACTGACTGCTAAACTGGCTTACTGGCCTTGGCATTATCAATGTGGGAAAGACGAGGCTATCTTACTAGTTGGGACGAATGGTGGAGTTGACAAACGTCTTTATCATCCGCGGACTCCGTACTTCCCCGTCAGTGGATGCCACATGATCATACGAAATCAACAGGCATAGGATTAAGAGCGTGCCATTATGCCAGTTCGGGAATGAGTCTCTGGGTGTCTCCACTGCCTAGCATGTTAAATTTAAGGCTGGTGATATCCACACATTTGTTCTGCTGCTTTTGACCGCCTCTCCTACATGTAATGCAAACAGGATGACGAGCAGTGTAATTAAAAAACATCTAGGAGGGGAAGACTAGAAGCTGTTAAACTATTTACATATCTATGCATGTCCCACTGGTATTCCATGTGTCAAAATGATTTGTCCCATTGATCGGTCTTATATTTTATTTTGAGCGAGTGGAGAATCTAACTATATCAAGTACCTACTTCATACTAATTATTGTTATCTAGCCAATCAAGTCAATCAAGTCCAACTTATTTTATGGTGATAAATGCTGTATAGCAACACCTGCATAAATAAGAGCTCATTTTTAAAGGGAAAAAAATACGGAGTATGTTTCCTGCTATTACATTCCAAGTATATTTAATCCGTCTAAAAGTGAAATGCTTTCTTTATACAAATAAAAGAAGGAAACGAAGGAACAGAAAGAGAAAGCCGAGAATTGATACAATAACCAAAATCCACAAAGGAAAAAAAATAAAAGGGGAAAAAAAAGGGGGTCCTGATTGTTTCAAAGGTTCCATCCACACTTATGCCTCACCAAAAAGGTCAAGAGTAGATCATGGTATTAGAGCATATGTCACCAACCCAACAACATAACTTTCCTCCTCAACAATCATATTCATCCATGATGCCTTCGGCTTCAACCTACCCAACAGCAAACTCCTGGCTGATGTATACGCACGAAGGACCAGCCTCCGCGTCCTACTCCCCGACCTCATTCCAGGCGGTGGCGTTCCTCTGCAAGCTCTCTGCTTGATGGATACGGCCATTTAAAGCTGTCCAAGGTGGGATATCCTAAGCTACTGGCAACTGTTTGTAGCCATTCTGCGCATGCTTCCAATTATGTGGTCTTTTCCCCGTCGGACGAAGAGGACGTTTGTTTCCCTGCTCTCCTATACAAGAAATGTTAAAAGCGTCCCTACCCCCCAGTGGAAGATTGGGTCTTGCTGGGTTCTGCTGCGGAGGTTCACAGGTTGTGAAGCTGGCACACCTGTCTTCCATCGAGCGGGGAATGAGCGTCTTGTAGATGCGGCTTTCGCTGCTCATCCGGCTGATCCTAAGGAACCGGGGGAGTATGTTGATGTAGTACGCAATTTCAACGTTCCGTTCAGCATGGCTATTCAGGATGTAGACTTTGCGATACCGAAGCAGCAGATTGCTATTATTGAGACGGAATTGAGACTGAAACTGAACTACTGAGAAGTACTTCTATGAAATCAAATTATATCCTGGCGCAGACATGGATTTGCAGTCCGGGCGGATCCAACAAAAATCGAGGAAAATGAAGCAGCAGAACTGACGGCTGAGCAAGCCGTGGCCTTTTTTCAAAAGTTTTTGCTTGGATAGATTCCCTGAAGAGTGAAATTTACTATATGCCGCTTGGAATGATTGCTTGGCAAAGGTCTCTCAGATATTTCAACGTCCTGTCCAAGCTTTTATTCTTGGAACTCCGGAATAAGTCAATACTTCATACCCTCCCCTCCGAATCAACTATTACAGGTCGATCTTCATCCTAACATACCACTAGCAAGGACAAATATACGCTAATGGACGTAAATTGGAATTCTATACTTGATTCATTACACCAAGGTACAAGAAGCCGCTGAGATTCGAGACCTATTTTAATCAGAGACGGGATGGTAAGTGGCCTGGAGCGATGCATTGTGCAGCCCATCTTAGGCATGTAGGCGAAATAGACTATTCCACAGAAACTGAAGGGGGATGTTTAATCCTGTTCGGGTTGACCACTTATTGAAGTTGAATACGTTGTACACCAACCCTTGTTAAAACGAGGCAATTTATCAGGATATCTCATAGTATATCGGGCATGCTATATGAAAATACCTGGTCTATCCCTGATTAAACAAGGCTATATATGCACGGTATATATGCATATGGATTTAGTGCTTCGTAAATATACTCCTAGATATAATTTTGTTTATGCATCTAATACGACGCCAAATTGAAGTGTTAACCTTCTAGGGTAGTATCCAGAATTGATTCACCAAAATATCCCAGATACACTAACGGGGCCAAAAAAAAAAAAAAGGAAAAAGAAAAGATCGGATCTAGTGTTACGATGGGGCTAAAAGTCTGTGCTATGATTATCATTTAATCACAGAGCATGATGCGCTTGTGCAAGAGTATAGTGTATATGTCATGGTGTTGGGTCTAACAAGGCACATACAGACTACTCTGTATCTAGTACATAGATACGTGCAAGTATATTGCGGTGCATACACAGTACAGCCCAGTAACTAATTGCGTGACATTTTTTTCCCTAGTGAACATCAACATCCTATAGTATTCGGTGGCAATTACTAAATAAGGCATACCTCGGCTCCTACATTGTATGGGCTTCTCTAGAAACTACGTGGAGCCATCAGTCAGTTTGGTCCTAAGGCTGAATGAGAGTGGGACGATCCAAGTTTGACAGACATGGTGCGTTATCAGTCGATGATTAATACTAATCTCTAGCGTAGGTATTTATGCCTTTGTAGTATGTACTATTTCCCTTATGCACCTGAATCCTCTGAAGACACTCTGTGTTTATAGAGTACGCATTATCTACTTTAGTTAGAACCCTTTGTATCCTGGTAGGACTCGAGGGTCCTACCTGTACCTTAATTTGCTTCTCAGCCTTGCTGCAGTCACAATGGGGCTCCCTAGAATATTTCAAAGTTCCCGGGACATCCGACTTGACTACATAAACTAGTGGGCCTCATTGTGGTATCCACTAGTATCCACTAGTAACTAAAGAAAAAATGGCAGATTCATTATACTTATGCACAGGTAAATGCTGAATAAGTAGATGTTATGCATCATAATCACCGATCCATTAGCCAAGACTTTATCATCACCATTGTTATCTGCAGCTCTCCCTAAATAACTACCTCGGCCTATTCCTTGAACCCATACTGACTTTTTAAATTTTATTCCATTTCCTAAACCCAACCAGTGAAACATCGAAATGAATTAGGGTGTTTTGCCCCATAATAAAAATAAGAAGAGTTTTTAGTGAAACCATCTTAGGTGTACTCCAAATTAGAAACGCCTATGGCTTCGCACTCGGTATCGGCTCGTCCAGGCCTTCTTAGTCCTGACCGGCCCGTCAGAAGTTTATCGATAGCTTTCTGGCTCTGGAAGGCTCTTTTGTTCTTGGTCGTCATCGGCGCCCCTGGGCCAGGGTATGATACCTCCACGAGCCTTCTTACGCCTGGTTTGTCCGGTCTTTCAGCGCCTCTCAAGTTTGTCAGGTGGGATTCAATCTACTTTGTCCACATTGCAGAGAAGGGCTATGTCTTTGAACAAGAATGGGCCTTTAGTTATGGGTATGCCAAGATTTTGGCGTTCTTAACCTTTGGTATGCTTGTCTCCGTTGCTTCTTGGTAAGCCCAGCATGCTCTACACGTAGAAACTAACAACTTCGGGATGGTAGTTTTCCACCCGTCATCAGGTGATGATGGCCTAGGTGGGACAACTAAAATCGCAATAGTAGCCATTGCGCTTTCACACCTTGCCCATTATTTCTCGGTCTTGTCCTTGTACAGACTCTCAATCAACCTTTTTGGACAGGATACCACCCGGCAAAAGCTCATCTGCTTCCTCTCTGCTGCACTGCACATTATATGCCCAGCCGGGGCGTTCCTTTCTGCCCCGTATGGAGAGTCAGTCTTCTCTTTTCTCAATATCACCGGGTTCTACATATATTCTTCCTCTGTTCTTGACAACAGGGCTGGTAGGAGAGTAACCAGAGATGTGAAGCTATTCTTAACTGCTATATTTTTCTCTGCTGCCACGATCGTTCGCAGCAATGGGATTCTCAGTGGATACTTATTTTTATGTGATGCCCTTTTACAGCTTCGAGTGATTCTATCACAAGGCCTGTCGGTAGATGCTTGTGTTCACCTCTGCGTCATCATCATCAGTGGCTGTATTCTAGCATTGGGATTTGTCGTCCCCCAGTGTGCTGCGTATATGGAATACTGCATGTCCGCAGACGTCTCAAGGCCCTGGTGTCAGCGTCTTCTCCCCAGTATTTATGGCTGGGTTCAAGATCATTACTGGTTAGCATCTGAGCATCGTGCTTCAATGTCGTAGTAGTCGCTCACCTACCATTTAGGAATGTGGGGTTCCTTCGATACTGGACGGTATCAAATATTCCCCTATTTTTACTTGCCCTCCCTATGTTGTTCATACTATGTCGATCTTCTATCTGGGGTTTGAAAGAGACATTGTTATCTAGCTCCCGCAAAACCGCCAAAGGTGTACAGGCCAAATTGCCGGCCACGCAAGCTTCGTTGCTGGCGCGACTAGCTGTCCCACAGGCGCTGCTTGCCCTGTTGGCATTTACTAGCTACCATGTGCAAATTATTAATAGGCTATCGTCCGGATATCCTTTGTGGTATTGGTACCTTGCCCATCAAATTTTCGGCGACTCTGGAAAAGCTGGTCCGACAATTAATCACAGCCCAGTTGTTAAATTTGCTGTGCAAGGCGCAGTTATTTATGCATTTATTCAAGCGATTCTTTTTGGGTCGTTCCTCCCACCGGCTTAGATAGGACTATAGAGTCATTTATGTGTGTGGGTGCCTTTTTTTTTTTTTTCTTTCTTTCTTTCTTTCTTTAATATTACAAGGGAGAAAAGGGAAAATAATCATATCCGCTAATTCCAAGGCATTATATGAATATATTTTTAGACATAAAAAAGAGAGAAAAAGGCCAACAACCATCCGTACCATCCGCGAGGCAAATTCATACAAAGCGTTCTTTGGTGGATCTAACGTCTGAGCCCGATTAGGCTGCGGTCCGATTGCGTGTGGAATTATGTCATCAGTAATCTGACAAAACCAATGATACCTCCAACGTCGGGCTACGCTTGAGCTCCCATTTATCTTCAACGTCAGAGCTCCAGGTCAGCGCAACAGAGCCAGCTCTTACACAATACCACCTTTTGTATTTCTGTATAAAAAGGAATCATTCTACTGTTCTATCTTGCGAGCCTGCTTTCTAGTCACTCGCAGTTTCCTTGTTTCCCGGTCGCCTTGCCAGTTGAAACGAAGGCGCCCATGCGAACGGGACTGATAGCAGGCTACTCTTTCCCAACGACCTCTACTGCTTGAGATTAGCTGCAAGCTTTATGTCCAATGTATTGTTTCCCCGTTAGCGGCCATGTGCTTATGCCAAGTGAATTCGATAGGATAGCTAACAAGGTTGCTCCTTAGAACCCTCCCACCTTCCCAACTTCATTGCAGTAATCGACGGAGGCACTGCACGACTATGGATAGTTCAGGCCCAAAAGCCATTCTCACCCCCGACAACTTTCGACATGTGCATGAGATTTCAAGGGCAACCTCGCCAGGGGGTGAGCCTGCAGGAATGAATGGTGATAGTGATCCCAAAGCACGGGTTCGACCTCGAACATATCCATACTTTAAATACCTTCCATATTCATGCGAAGGTGAACCTGAGAGGGAGCAAAATCTCCGGGAGATATTGAGCCAGCTCTACGTCGCAGTCGAAGCTGGTGATTTTAGCACAGGTGCTGTACACTGGACGCGGGAACTTAGAGGATGGCTGTCGCTTAAGTTTGATCCATCTCGCAAAGATCGCATTAATCTTGTGAAGCTGTATTATGAGCTTTCTCTTGCCCCGGGAATTGACCCTGGTGTCTCGGAGCGATTCGCCAGCATGTTCATGCTTCTCACCAAGTGAGTGAATTTTTGATACTTGTTATTTATTTGTTAGGTCGCTAACGTCAAAGTAGGCGCAAGCATTACCTCCGACCTGTTAAAGATCTAGTTTTGGATTGGAAACCCCTATACAGAGAGTTGAAAGCTTTTGTCCTGCCTACGGAATCTGGCCTCGTACATTCAACGAATTTGAGGCGGAATGTCAAGACCCTAACCAAGCTCTGCGCATTCATTCAATTATATATTGACCCTTGCGAGGTGCCAGCTATGCTAGAGGAATTTCTCCCCCATTTCACCGCATCATTCTCCGAAGGCGCATTTGTTGTTGTTGGCTTGATCAATCAGCTACTCCCTACATCCCCCCCACCGGAATCTAGAGAGGATTTACTGCCACAAAATTTCCTACCAACTTACTTCCACCTTTGGTCATTGGTTAGCCGATCCAAAACTTTTGACATAACGTTCCTTGACTTCCTATCTCGCCTGTCCCGGGACTCGTTGCCCGCTGGCCATATTCCCTTCTCTGAATATGGCATTTTCACTAAGGAACAGTCGTCGCTTATTTTCACGGCCATCCTACGGCTCCTAGAGATTCCTGTGGGGCAGTCAACTTCACCATACAGTGCTCTTGTGGATATTTCATCAGGACTTGGTATCATGCTTGACCGGGACGCGCGAAAGCATCCTGTTGCCCATCACATCGCCCGATGGATCATTATGTCACTTTCGCCGGCATGCCTTGATTCGGAGGAGTCAATTCTCACCCAACTTGAAGGGCTAATTCAGGCCGTGGAGACATTCTTTCATCCTTCCAATTCTGGGACCTGGACGAAAACCTTGGCGCAGTTGGTTTACTATCTAGCTGACTTTTTCATAATGCGTTGGAATCGCGAGCAAAGTGGCGAGATGGAAGTTCCAGTAGAACGGAGGCTAACAGAGCCACTCAAACGTCGTTTTGTCCTGTGTCTGCGCGAGGTGATATTCATGGGAATATATTCCAAGAGCGGCTCGGCGATGAGTTTCTCTTTATCCACACTGCAAAGTTTGGCCTTCCTGGAACCACACCTCATCCTTCCTGGTGCTTTGCAGAGGATATACCCTTCTCTTCAGGGTCTCGTAGAGGTTCATCGTACGACATCTTCGCTCCGTGCCCTTCAGGTTCTTGCACGAATAATCTCAAGGACGAAAGGGTATCGCTGCCACATGACAACTCTATTGGGACTCGCATTGCCAGGCGTTGATGCCAATGACCTTGAGAAATCTCTTCATGCTTTGTCATTCATACAGTCAGCATGTTATAACATTCCTTTAGCTGACTTGACAAAGGGAAGGGAAGATGTTAATTCTAATATGCTTGCTGTTCAGTGGATAACTGGAGAGATGGAACGCATGGAAGAAGAAGGCGTCGAGGTCAAGTTGAATTATGATACGGACTTGGATGATGAGACCGAAGAAATGATTCTTCGCTCTTCAACATGCGGATTCGCCGACTTTATTGTCTCTTTCTTGGGTCGAGTCTTTACACTCCTGGAGAATCTGCCAGATTCGACTAGAGTACGGAATGGAGCCCCTGAAGAGAATATTGTGAACACGCTTCCTGCAACGTTTATGCCGCTGCTATCGTCCCTCTCTCCAGAGTATTACGACATTGCCCTAACCAAGATTGTTGATTTTGTATCCAATCATGTGATCCACCAAGCCCGTGATGCAATGGCCTTCATTTGTAACTCCATGTGCAAGGCCAATCCCGAAAATGCGTTGAAGCGTTTTATCCCGGTGCTGACACAGGCTATTCGTTCTGAAATCGACGACAACGGGGCGGGCTCAACTAGAACCACAGGAACTGACGTCCTTCCTCGTGATCGTGGCTTGGTGTGGAACATTAGCATGCTCAGCATGTGTGTCGTCCATGTTGGAGACTCCGTACTGGCTCACAAGAAAGAACTATTCGATATCGCTGTGTATATGCAACAGAAATGTAGGGGCATACCAACAGTTCACATCTCGAATTTTGTCCATCATCTACTCCTAAATCTCACAGGAACCTACACGGCCGATTACTCGTTGTATGAGCCCGAAATCGTTGCTAATGGTGTACACCCTGGGCTCTGGGGCTATAAACCTGACCCAAATAATTTGACTGTAAAGTGGCATGTTCCAACACGCGGGGAACTCGAATTTGCCGTTGAGCTCTTCCAGAATCAAGCCCAGACCGCGCTTACACGGCTGACTGCCTTGATTGACGACACGTCCAGTGTGAAGCGAGATGGGAGCGGCAAGGACTGGTCGGATGAAGTTATTAGGAATCTAGTTCTACTTCGGCTTATCCTCTCTGGTATCTCCGTGCTTTTCGATCCGAAAGCTGCTTCAAAGACCAAGGAAAACGGAGTAAACGGAACGTCAAGTGATGTCGATATGGTAGATGCTCAGGATAATTCCGACGAGAGCGAAGATTCGTCGCTCGACAGTTCTGATGAATCCACCACCAGAGAGACATTTACCTACCCCACTGGTTATCCATTACAGGAGGATGAACCCATGTACAACACGATTCATGAGATTCGTGAGAGGGCAGGCTGGATCCTTCACGGAGTGCATAGATTCTTGTCAGACAAGCAGGAAGACGATGTACCATGCTTTAGTGCCCTATACTCAGCCTATCGATCGTGGTTTGTCGATGTCGGTATCGAAAGATCCGCTCGTGTTCTAGACAGGGTAACACGTCTACTCGCCGCCGACATTCACCCCTACAAAATGAGTGGTACCCGCAAGGATTATCCGCGTCCTTTGCTGATTCGAAGAGCCAATGTATACCACCTGCAACGCCTAAAACATAACGCAGCACCGCGACCTAGGTCTCGGCTGGATGAGATCTTGCTCCTAGATATCGCTGAATCATGCATTTCCCTCTACACAGAGACACGCCGCAATGCTCAAAGTGCAGGGGAATCAGCCCTCAAATCTATCTGGGGCTCTCGACTACTTGTCATCCCACCTTTGCTTAGAGCCTTGCAAAAAGGTGTCAAAGAGAGTGACTACGCACGGATCAAGGGTTCTTTGTATTCTTTGCTCCTGAGCAGTGTCGCAAAAACCGTCGGACGTCACTGGAAATATGCGCCTGGTTTGATCAGGGCTTTCATCGATGCGAGTGCGGTTGACAAACCATCTGTGCAAAAGATTTGTTCGGGTGCACTGTTCCAAATTATGGACTACGGCCGGCCTATGGAAAGGGTAGCTATCCTTAACCAAGACATTATTGAAGCAATTGCTCCAACGGAAGATGTCCAAGATCAAATCACACAAAAGCGCAAGGCACTCGGAAACAAGCGAGCCCTTATTGAGCAACGAAAAGCCGACTTGGCTGAAGAGCTTGTCAATTTAGCCAGAGTATCGCACTGGAAGGTTGCTAGCCGAGCCGCGACTATTGTTGTTACCATGGGCCTTAGATTTGACTACGTTGCGAGCGAAAACCTCATAGATCTTGTGACGCAGGGGTCTATTGACGACCATCCCGGTCTACGCGGCATGTACTCGCAGGCGCTAATCGCTCTGTTCACTTTGGTTGATGTGCGGGCAATCTGCAGCCATGATTATAAAAACTATGTCTTAGGCCAGCAGCATTTCCCTTCGAAGATCAATGTGGCCACAAAGCGATATGAAAAGGGTTGGACCCAGGAGTACCTATCTAGTTTTGCTATGCCAGAAGCAGAATACTATGTTGATCATGATTTCCCTGGGTGGCTTGTCTGGGGGGATAGCATACCTGCTTACAAGTCGAACGTTGCACGCGATATTGAATACGATGAGGTGGAATGGAAAGTACGGACACATATGGGCAAACAATTCGACCGAGCGTGGTTTGCTAAATTTTTCATGTATTTGAAACAAGAGCCACGAGACCCGACTGCTGATAAGTTCCGAATGCCCTGCGCGATGATGCTTCTATACGCATTTGAACTGATGCTCCGAGACGGGCTTACGGCTGCCACGTTCAAGGATATTCAGGAAGAAATCGCGGCTGTATTTGAGGACGGTAGCGATAAACATCAGCATAGGGCAACTGCGGAGATCCTCGGCGCCTTGGTGAGCTCTGTCACAGACACGAGCGTGGAGAAGCGGACCTTGGTGTGGGAATACGCTTTCCCAATTGTACGGAATGTTTTCACTGATGGGTTAACGCCTGAAAATTCCGGCTATTGGACAACGTTTCTTCATATGATCCTGCAATGCCGCGATCCGCGCCGGGCCTGGCCTTTGGTTGACTGGCTTGCAAGCTTCCGGCTGGATATGACCACGAATGCTGCTTTCAAGGAGAGCTCCAAAATCAATCTATTACACCAAGCCATTATAGATTCGGGATGGCATTTCCAACTTGAGAAGCCAATTATTGAGAATTTCCTCGCGCACCTTGACCATCCGTACAAAGGAGTTCGTGAAGCCATGGGCCAGACCATTGCAACGATCTGTCGCACAAGATATCATGAGTCATATGCGGATGTTCGCAGTCTTCTTGAAGCACAGAAAGTATCCTCTTCGGTTGGTACATCTCCGTATCGTCCCACCGAGGCATTCACAGCGATGATGCATGATGTTTTCGACCGGATCGAGAAATGGCGGCATGAGAGGACTCCAGGTCAGCAAACGCCGTCGAAATACACTTCGGGAAGCAAGACAGTTCTGCTGTGGCTTGATACTACGCTTTCATCCTACGAATGCACACAGCTCGTGCCCTTTTTCCCAAGCGTATTCACAGGGCAACTGTTACATATGATGGATGTAAAAGAGGACCCAGAGCTTCAATCATTAGCCTACCACGTTTTCCGTCATCTACCTAACATCCCGTACCCTGCCGAACAAAGTTCCGAGTTTATCAAGTCCCTCATACTCATAGGGCAGACTTCACCCTCATGGCACCAGCGTTTGCGGGTTATGATCAATATTCAGATTATCTACTTCCGCCGCCTGTTTCTACTCTCCGTGGCTGATCGCCACAAGTTGTTTGAGTGTGTCGCGAACATGCTAGAAGACCCTCAGCACGAAGTGAGGGTTGGGGCATCGGCTACCCTGTCTGGAATGATCCGTTGCTCGCCGGTCTTTCTACGGGATGAAATGGTCAAACGATTCAAGGAGCGTTTCACAAAAATATTGGTTGGCAACCCCCTTCCTAAGAAGCCAAAAGTTCTTCGTTCCGGCTTGTCCTCGCCAGCCTCCTCCGGCCCTGGCACCCCAACCCCTGAACATACACGGCTCGTTATCACCAGGCATGGCGCAGTTTTGGGCCTCGGTGCGCTGATTCAAGCTTTCCCATACAACAGCCCACCTCCAAGATGGATGCCTGAGGCTCTTGCTACACTGAGTGTTCGTGCCGCAAGTGATCCGGGCATTGTGGGATCGAGTGTCAAATCAATCATTAGTGAATTTAAGAAGACAAGGCAGGACACCTGGCATATTGATGCGAAGGTGAGTAACCGTCTATTTCATCTCTGAGCCAATGTGAGCTGACTGTCCATGATAGGCATTTACACCAGATCAACTGGAGGATCTCTCTGGTGTTCTTTGGAAGAGCTACTTTGCCTAGCCAATGTAGAGAGGAGAAGCACATCGATCCAAATACATAGAATTGAACTTATTCATTACTTATAGGCTGAAAAACTACCCGTTACGCTTTCTTTCCGTTGGACAACATTTTGGACCTGACAGGATGGATGGGTGGATTGAGACGGGCCATGGATTGGGAGGCAACGTTAGAGTGTATACAGCGATTTTCTTGCTGGACTATTCTTAATAGTAATCAACTCCACCTACACCTTCCTGCATAGAACAAGTCAATCAATCCATCGTGAAATGTAATCGAGTCTAGCCGCAAACCATTGTGGCTTAGCTAAGCGACTCATTTGTTAGTTAGATCATGTGACTAACCTGCGGCCACGCGGCAACCGAAAAGCATCAACGGATCCTAGGGGATTGTCTCCTGCAGCACACTGCTCCACGCCAGCCTCGGGCTTTTATATTGTTATTTAACAACTTTAACGTTATTTTCGGCTTATTTCAGTTCCATTCCTGTGCCTACGGTGAAACGAAACTGCTCAAGGCAGCCTTCCTTTCACCATGGCTCCAAGGGACACCTTCTTCCGTTCGTCGGATATGAGCTTGACCCAGCTCTATATCGCTAATGAAATCGGACGGGAAGTTGTCAGTGCCCTAGGAGAGCTTGGCCAAGTTCAGTTCAGGGATGTAAGTTCTTGTCATACCAACTTAGGCAAAAGACGGATACCCGGACTGACTTGTGTGGGTACACTTAGCTCAACCCTGACACCAATGCCTTCCAACGTACCTTCACCAAGGAGATTCGCCGCTTGGATAATGTGGAGAGACAGCTACGTATGTTGCTGCACTTTGATGCGACGGAGTCCTGAAAGGGCGAAAGGGGATATCAGCTGACACAATTCCAGGATATTTCCTTTCCCAAATGAACAAGGCAGGCATTCCGATGAGATCCTCAGCTGAATTTTCGGATACGTTGGCCGCTCCATTGGCATCCGAGATCGATGAGCTTGCTGAGCGCAGCGAGGGGCTTGAACAGAGAATTGCTTCGTTGAACGATAGCTACGAAACACTGAAGAAACGCGAGGTGGAGCTGACAGAATGGCGATGGGTGCTGAGGGAGACTGGTGGCTTTTTCGATCGTGCCCACAGTCACACAGAGGAAATCCGTCAGTCGTTTGACAATGATGAAGCACCCCTCCTTCGTGACGTGGAACAGCAACCCCAACGAGGTGCAAACGGTGAAGCGCAAGGCCAACAGTCATTCCTCGAAATGAACATCGGATTCGTTGCGGGTGTGATTCCTCGGGACCATATTGGTGCCTTTGAGCGAATCCTTTGGCGGACGCTGCGCGGTAATCTGTACATGAACCAGTCGGAGATCCCTGAGCCCATTATCGACCCGACCAACAACGAGGAGACTCACAAGAATTGCTTTGTTATTTTCGCCCATGGAAAGAACATCATAGCCAAGATACGGAAGATTTCTGAGTCCCTCGGTGCTTCTCTGTACAGTGTCGATGAGAACAGCGAGTTGAGACGGGATCAGGTCCACGAAGTGAACACCCGGCTGAGTGATGTGGGCAACGTTCTGCGCAACACCAAGAATACACTTGATGCGGAACTTTCTCAGATTGCTCGGTCCCTTGCGGCTTGGATGATCATCGTCAAGAAGGAGAAGGCTGTTTATGATACGCTCAATAGGTTTTCGTATGATCAAGCAAGGAAGACCCTCATCGCGGAGGCGTGGTGTCCGACAAACTCACTGCCGTTGATTAAGTCAACCCTGCAGGATGTCAATGACCGTGCCGGGTTAAGTGTGCCTACCATCGTCAACCAGATCCGGACCAACAAGACTCCACCTACCTTCGTACGAACCAACAAGTTCACGGAAGCGTTCCAGACCATTGTCAATGCGTATGGTATTCCCAAGTACTCCGAGGCCAATCCTGGATTGTACACTGTCGTGACGTTTCCTTTCCTGTTCGCCGTCATGTTTGGTGATTTCGGCCATGGTGCTCTGATGACCCTGTGCGCTGTCACTATGATCTTCTGGGAGAGGAAGCTGCAGAAGACTAAACTGGATGAACTGACATATATGGCTTTCTATGGCCGTTATATCATGCTGATGATGGGACTTTTCTCTATGTTCACTGGTATCATGTACAATGACATCTTCTCGAAGTCGTTTACCATCTTCCAGAGTCAGTGGAAGTGGCCTGACCACATCGAGAAAGGGCAGCCAGTGGAGGCGACATTGAAAGACGGCTATCGTTTCCCTATTGGAGTTGACTGGAATTGGCACGAGGCCGAGAACTCGTTGCTCTTCACTAACAGTATGAAGATGAAAATGAGTATCATCCTGGGTTGGACGCATGTATGTGGACCTGAATCTATTGGCGTCCTGTTTGATGAAAACTAACAGCCCCACAGATGACCTATGCTCTTTGCCTGCAGTACGTCAACGCCCGGCATTTCAAATCTAAGGTAGATATTATTGGTAATTTCCTCCCGGGCATGATCTTTTTCCAGTCCATCTTTGGCTACCTCGTCATCACCATCATCTATAAGTGGTTTGTTGATTGGGGGGCCAATGGTAGGTCGCCCCCTGGTCTCCTGAACATGCTTATTTTTATGTTCCTCTCTCCTGGAACCGTGGAAGAGAAGCTCTACCCACACCAATCAACTGTCCAAGTGATTCTGTTACTTCTCGCTGTCGTCCAAGTGCCCATCATGCTCTTTTTCAAGCCTTTCTACCTCCGTTGGGAGCACAACCGAGCCCGCGCCCTTGGATACAGAGGCCTCGGTGAACAATCGAGAGTCAGCGCGCTCGATGACGAAGGTGAGAATATGGATGGCCGGCTCTCTGGAGCTCGCGATAGCATGGCCAGTGATGGCGAGGGTGTTGCTCTGATTGCCCAGGACCTCGACGATGAAGAACATGAGGAATTCGATTTCTCAGAGATCATGATCCACCAGGTCATCCACACCATTGAGTTCTGCCTAAACTGTATCTCCCACACCGCTTCCTACCTGCGTCTGTGGGCCCTGTCTCTGGCCCATCAGCAGCTATCCATCGTTCTGTGGGATATGACCCTTGGCGGCGCTTTCGAGCAAGAGTCTCCCACCATCCGTGTCATCATGATCGTCGTCACCTTCTACCTGTGGTTCACGTTGACCGTGGCCATTCTGTGCGTCATGGAAGGCACTAGTGCTATGCTCCATTCTCTCCGTCTGCACTGGGTGGAAGCTATGAGTAAACATTTCATGGGCGATGGAATACCCTTTGCTCCATTCAGCTTCAAGATACTCCTGGAGGAGGATCCAGTCGATTGATTTAGTCTATACATTCCTTTCTTGCTCTATTTCATTCTTTTCTTTTTCTTTTTTTTTTTTGGATTCATCTGTATTGTACTCCCAGAGAGAATCAATTGGACTGTTTAGACATCGAGACCTTCAACATTAGAGCTGGGCTGCTATACTGTCAGATGAAATATCAATACCTCGTGTATATATCTACTATTATGTATTCCTCATAAATTTGTCTGGGTAATATTTGGTGTAGGGGTTTAACTAGAAGTGAGTTGTGTAATTTGGAGATGGGTTTATTGTGTACTGATTTCCAAAAAAATATATTAATTATCAATTTTCTGCTCCGTAAAGTATGCGAAGGCCACTCAGTGGTTCTTGCACCTTTTTACCGCTAAAAGCTAGCACCAAATCAACGTCTTTTTGCATTCCAAATTGCTCATATAAACTTGATATGTTTTAAATACATGATAGTCATAAGCCTAGTTCCAGTATAGCCACATGGTCTTCCACCTGCTGTTTATGTACGCACCACATTAAATAACACTCAAATCCCGGTGAAACAAAAAACCACAAAACTCCCTACCAGACACCGACCGTGAATGCTGCGGAAATGAAGGCATCTATTTCTTGTGCTTGTTGTAGGTGTCAATGACCCTCTGCACCTCATCCTTCGAGCCGAGGAACACTCCACTTCGGTCGTGGATGTACTCGGGCACGACTTCCAGAAGACGCTCCACCCTCGAGTTGACGGCCAGACCGCCGGCATTCTCGAAAATCATGGCCATGGGGGCGCACTCGTAGAGAATCCGCAGCTTACCCTTGGGGCTCTTCGAGTCGGCAGGGTAGGCGAAGAGTCCCCCGTAGAGAAGGGTTCGGTAGGCATCGGCCACCATGCTACCGATGTATCGCGAGCTGTAAGGCTTCTTACCCTCTCCTGGGAATTTCAAGGAGTGGAAGACCTCGCTGGTCCATTCCTCCCAGTACATGCTGTTACCCTCGTTCACAGAGTAGATGGCACGCTTCGCGGGGAGTTGCATGTTCGGGTGGGTCAGGATGAATTCACCAAGAGAGTTCTCCATAGTGAAACCGTTCACACTGCCATTGCGCATAGTGATGACCAGCTGGGCGGAGGCGCCGTACATGGTGAACCCCGAGGCCACCATCTCTGTTCCAGGTCTGAGAACATCCTTGGCGGTAACGGTTTTGCCAGGGCCTAGGATTGAATCAGGGAGCTTGAAGATACCGAAGATGGTTCCAACCGAAACGCCAGCATCCAGGTTGGAGGAGCCGTCAATAGGGTCACAGACAACAGCATATCGGGCATTGGGATGCTCGTCGAACACAATCACCTCTTCCTCTTCCTCAGAGATAAGAATGCGACACTTTCCCGAGCCCTTCATGGCAGAGATAAAGATGTCATTTCCGATAACATCAAGCTTCTTCTGGTCATCGCCGGTGGTGTTCGATGATCCCGCCAATCCAGTGAGGTTGATCAACGATGCACGACGAATGTAGTAAGCGATGGACTTGAAGGCGAATTGAAGAGCGTGGCATAGCAGTCTGTTCTTGAATGTTAGTTTTTGTTCCTTTCCTTTTCTTCTTTTCTTTCTTTCTTTCTTTCTTTTTTTTTGGTAGTGACGTACGTGAAGTCACCAGTGGCTTCGGCCACTTTCGCCTGCTCTTCAGTCAGGAATCGGGTGAGGGTGACGATATCAGTGTTGATGTTCTCCTGTCCCACGGGGGGAGCGCCATTACCGTTGGAAGACATGATGGTGATGTGGAGGAACTATAAATGGAAGATGGAAGAGGAATTGCAGTTCAGCTGTTCACTGATAAGGTGGTAAAAGGAAGAGATGGTTTGGGGTAGAAGCAGTTTAAAGAGTAGCCGACCTCGGTTCAGCGGAGAAAGCAGGAATCAAGCGGGATAAGAGGTTATTATCGGGCAGTAATGGCAGGCAGAGTCTTGCCAGGATAAATCGATGAATGTCGGGAGATCGCGAACTGGGCTAGGGGGCCAGATCGGCCTACTTATGGCCATGGAGGAACCCCCCCTTTTTTTTTTTGGTGCTCCAGTATTTCCCTCATTCCATTGCAGTCTTTCCGGTGGATCGACAGCAAGCAAGTCTGCGACATCTAAAGTTGGCTATCAACGTCACTGCCCGTTTGGAAATAACGCTGGTCACGGTACGTAATCTAGTAAGTTTCGACCCCGCAGTGTCCTCTGCCAAGTCCCAATGTGGTCACCCTCCGGCTTTTCCCGAGGCACATGATTTCAGTGCCGTTCATGCAGTTAGTAATGCAGTTTAGGGAAGGCCTTGACTAGCGCTCTAACAAGTAAAGCCGTCGTGGAATCGAGACAGACAAGGGGCACGAAAGCATAATAAAAAAGCCGCATCCAGCCGTGTATTTGATAAGCATGGTGGATTTCGCCGGTCAGCCGACTTGAGGAGTTTGAGAACCCCCGCGAACTACTCGGGTCTCGCCCGCAGACTCTTTCGGGTCTCCTTCCCTCTCGATCGCTGGCTGGTCAGCTGATGCAGCTTTGTCAGCATGAACTCCCCCCGGTGACACCAAACCCGATTAGTGCTTCGGTAAAATTAGCTCCGGAAACAGAGAGCTTGAAAAAGTTCGACGCGGTTGAAATTCTCTCGGCTTTTCTTTCTTCACACACATCGTTCGCAACCACAGCATCTGTCTCTATTTCTTATCATGAGGATGATAGCTTCAAATGATGAAGCATTTACCTCTTGTGCTTGTCTCGTAGTCAGATGATTTGCTTATCTTGGCTTTTCATTATTATTGTCGACTCAGACACTAATCATGGTACGTACTCCATGTGTTGAAGCCTACCTCCCCATTGCATGATGTTACCCTACAACCATACAAACTAGAGTCTTTGACCTCGTTGGGCATGAAAACTCGTTGTTTTGCACGTCAGTCTGATATGCTAGCTTCGCAATAGCATTAGTGCACTGTTGACTCAGCATATCCTACGACAGTTGGCTGACCCAAAAACAGGACTAATCTTCAGCACACAGTTTGACTTCGCCGGACGAGGACTGAACGAATAGTATGTATATTCCTCTTCTACCACGTTGTCAACTCTTAGCATGATGCTTTTTCGTATTATATACGCTGGAAATTACCGACCGAGACCTTCGGGTCGCTGGCGATATCTCAATGGCTATTTCTGATTTGCTTCTATCACTTGCACCTTTTTCGTTCTTTGATATAATGTGTGTTCTCATGCTGATAGAATTAGATTTTGTTTATTATATAATCTCCCGTCCATCTGCACGCATTCATACTTCGCATCGTCAAATGAACTGGTAAGGATTTCGATTTTTCTTTTCGATATCCTTAGACATTTTCAATGATGAAGCGGCACTGGGCTCCGACGGCGTCAGACAAACGGCCGGTCTTGACGGAAAAGCCAATTTGTGGCAGGCCTAGAAAACCTTGCCCACTGAGATTCGAACATAAGCCATACAGTTTATTCAGAACTGGGTTCCATGTGAGGCTAATGCACATCTGTAGTTTACCCGTTGATGCCGGGTTTGCGAATATTATGGAACGGTAAAGGTAATCGCGGCCCATATTTTTTGTTTCCCTTCCCCCTCATTATGATGATCCCCTAGATGACGAGTCTTATTCGAGTTATCGATGCTGACACCATCTTTTTTTTACCATTCATGCATTTCTGACTCGCACCTTTAACATCGCATCTTTTGTCGAAAGTTAGTGATCCTCGCTGACTTCTAGTTATATCTAGTTTCCTGGATCACCTGATTTCGTCACCTTAGAATGTTGTACATGTATGTAGGCTCTTGGCTCTCATTTACTCTATATTCCGACACAATGATGATTTGACATCACAAAAAAGACAAGCATATGTCCAAGTTGGCTCTGCCGACCAAGACGATAATTGTCACGACTGATCAGTCATGTACTGCTTGTCACTTATTGCACATCTAATCAGTGCTTGATGCTGATTGATTTCTGCAGACCTTGAATACTTCTACTACTTCGTAGTACAGAAGTTTCGCAACAACAGAGTCACGTTTTTTGATTTGACTAATATGTAAGTGACTTTTCTTTATTTTCACACCCATCCTTCTGCCTTGCCTTCATCCAATGATGATTTACTTTTTATTTAATCACGACGGTCAACATAATCTTACATTGATGACCATTGCCTGTGACAGGGCATGTATCTGAAATGGCATCTCGAACCTAGCTTCTTCAAACAGTATATTCGTGTTTGAATTATTGCTGACTTGGCTTCAAGAGATTTGAACAGGTACAATCCGTCTCTATATATAAGCAGTAGACCTGCAGTATGCAATCTTTAGTGGCAGCTTCAAAGCGAATTCCAAAAATAGCATCACACGTATCTTCATCTGTCTTCTATCGGCACCATCCGTATTTCCCGTGTAGGCGCCCGTGGCGATTGCATCCCCCCAATCAATGCAAGGGCTCGACTTGGTCATCCCCTGACAAAATTTGTCCTGGCCACTAGATTCATAAATTCCTAAATATGGATTGTGACGAGCGATCTAGTGTGCTGCAGGCGACCGGGATGTTAACCTGTCACAGCGTGCAAATCGTGCCGCGACGGCGCCAAAACGACGCCGGCTGTGATGAACTGACCTTGTCTGCAGTGGGCCCATTCCAACTCTGCAGACCCTCTATGGAATGCCATTACCACCCAGTCTGACGTTGTCTTGGTGTTTTATTTTTAGCGCATCGCCCCCAGCGGTGGATCCAGCGAGATATCCCCGTCGAACGGCCGATTCCTCTGGCCGTCATCGCGGCTGCTAGCAAAGAATAGAAATCTGCAACCCGTCGTGTTTGGTAGGCTTGGGGCCTTTGTATGTGTGCTTACTGCTTACTCTTGATCCTATTCCCACTCCCGCGCGGCTGGTAACCATGGCTTCACCTCCGGCGGGCTCTTAATCTGTGCGGCAGTATGAATAGGTGCGCGAGCCCCTCTCACGCTATTGCTATTGTTGTCCCTCATCCCCTCGATAGCCTGTTTGTGAGAGCCTCACCATACTGATTGCAGGCTGTGGATAGCTGGTGGTCTTCAAGTAATGCTGGCGACGAGCCGCCGTCCGGTACCTATTCTCTCAACGGCTGGCCAACTCCCCATGCCAACACCAGCAATCAGCCCTCCCCCAATCGTCGAGATCATGCTGTACAGCCTCCCCCACTGACAACAGCTTTGAGTGGTCAACAGTTTCAAGGGCTTGGGGTTGCGCTCGGTGCCAGTTACGCATCAACGCCTCTGTCAACCACGTCGTTATCCAGCCCCTTCACCCAAAGCCAGTCTCCTGCCGTGACGACCCCCGGGGGCATCCCCGTCGCCTCCTCCATGGCTTCCAGGCAATACAACGTCCCTTACAATCCTCAGGATTGGGGACCGGTTAGTGGGGCTCATATGCTTCCGGGACACACGTCATACCCTCAATCGAATAATAATAATATGCTTCGTATCATCCCGCAACAGCGACTGGCCGGACCTCACTCAGGTTTGAACCCCCCCCTGCTATCTTGATCTCGGCGCGTTTCGCACGGATGAAGGTTGACCGGAGAACGTATAGATATGTCCCTCTCGCCACCCCCGCCGCCGTATTCTCCCCCAAGCCAGTCTCAACAGCAGCAGCACAGGGATCATATCAGGGCAGGCTCAGCATCGCCGAGTGCTGTTTCTTACAACGGAGCAATACACCATGCGAGTGAGCACCCGGTGGAGTATCGCCAGCAGCCGCTTCCTCGTACCCGCCCTTTGTCTATGGTTGGTGAGGCTGCTCTTAACAGGCATGTCTCACTGCCTCCACCACCTCCGCTGCCACAAGGAGTCCCATGCTCCAGGTCGTTATCACATAACCGGACCGCGGAAGGATACCAAGAGCAATCCTCCTTTGGTGCCGGTTCTAGGCCGTATATGGTGGCCTCGCCAGGCGGTCTCCAATCGTCACAACCAAGTGGTCATATCGGCCACGTGGTGGCCTCCGCTCAGCCTGATGATATGTCTCGCCCTCCAGCTTCCAGACGAGCTGTTTCTGCGGGTCCTATTGTGAGCAGTGCGAGCACGTCGAGGGCCACAAGCCAGTCCCGGAGTCGATCGCCGCAGGGCCGTGGATGGGAACCAGGAATGCCCCTCCCTCCACCACCTCCGGGCCCTCCCCCATCCTCTACGAGGTCCCATAGCGTGAGTGGTGTATCCGATACATCTCCCCTACGAAATTCGCAGACTGCCACAAGGACGACTAGAGCCCGCCCTCCTCCAGTCCTAGGTACAGGCTTGGACAGCATTCCCCCAACCCCAGCCGGCTGGGTGGACGAATGTCCTACAGATTCGAGACACCGGGGAAAGACGCCCCTGCATATTGACACAACTGAAGCTTCCATTTCTCCTCCAGAAGCCAGTACTGCTTCCCAGAACTCTTCGAGCGCTAGTCTTTTCCGTAGCCCCGCTATTCGAGATCCGGGTGTTAAGGGGATAAGAGAGAGACGGATTGAACGCCGAAACAGGCAGAGCCAAGTTCTGGATGACTTCAGTGCTGTCTCCATGAGCAGCAACCCCTGGGCCGATGCGCTGGAGCAAGTAAAGCCGTCGAATCTAGTCCTTGATGGCGCAAACGGCGTTCCTGAGAACGTTCGGCACCAGCCGTCGACAAGAGTCACTCCGAGCAGCAATCACAGTGTTGGTTCTGATGGGCCGCAACCCACGTCGCGTTCTAGGGCCTCGTCGACGGGGCTGTTTTCCAATCGCTCCTCTTTTTCGACTCCTCGACCCGAACCAAGCCCGCTTGGGCCGTCTCGGGGATATTCGCAAACTCCACCCTTCTCACCAGACGGGGACAAGTCATCTTCGTGTGCCAAGGGGACTTCTTCAGCGTTGCCACCAAAAGCCCTGCCAACGCCCCCACTACAATCAGCTCAGGAAGTCCAGTCCCCTTCGCGGCCTGGGTCGAGTGAGGATCGCCCTGTGTCACATATCCTGCATCTGCCCAACGATGCTTTGCAATCTGTATCAGCGCTCTCTCCGCGCCGTGTTATACCACAACAGGGACCGTCCATTAACACTGTTGTCAATCAAGATGCGACGTTTGTTTGTGACGCCATTCAGCGGCACAAGGAATTTATCGAGAAGGAGGCTGGGACCGCAGATGAAAAGGAAGCTCTGAAGATATTTACTGATTTCCTCATTGCGGAGTCCCAGGTTCGGCGTGAGAGGTATTCCAAGGTATGGAATCCCAATCCACCGGACCTCGAAGCGGTCCGGCGCAAACTATTCGAGCTGCCGCCCAAACCGGTCGTGGATCCCCAGCCTATGCCTCCTCTACTTGCTCGACGGGCGTCCAGAGGCACCCCGAGACTGGATATACCGCAGTCTCGTCCCGAGTCCACTTGGTGGAACAACTACAAGCCTTGTCTGTCACCTATTGCAAGCCTTAGTATGAGCAACGATGAGATGAGCTCCCGAGGCCGTGCACCAAGTCGCTGGTGGGAGTCCAAGACCGGGTCTAGTAGTGAAGGCGGCGAACGAAAGGTCCAGCGATCCAAGCGCGAATCCAAATATATGGGCCTACCCCGCGAGTCCTTACAGTGGCCTCAGGGAGGCGGTTTTGTCGTGACCGGCAACTCGAGCTACACGTGTGGTTCGACGGAGCAGTTGGCCACCTGTGGTCCAGGTGAATACCCCCCTGAAAAGGTCGGGTGGCACGACGATTTCGCCCCGTCGGACTACTCCAGCACGGCCGATCATAGTAATTCCAACGAGACCCAAAAGATGGATGTTTCGCGGCTCATTACCTTACCGCCCCCTTATCCTCGGCATTACCCGGCTGTGAATAACAGCCATCCGGATCTTGTAGCATACCGGACCTTAGTCCGGTCGATCAGTGATCTCTCTGAGATAAAGACCACGAGACAGCGACATCAATCAGAGGTTGAAGTCCTGGTGCGCGACCACCAGGAACGGTTGCAGGAAGGCCGTCGGCAATTCAAGGCCAACATCCAAAGCCAGATTCAACAAGGCAGCATTAGCTTCGCAGAAGCTGCGGAAGCAGAGGCGGCATTGACCGTGGAGGAGAATAAGAATGAGCGAGACCTGGCCAAGCAAGAGTTGGATGCGTACCAGGAAGCGGTGCTAAAGCCAATGCACGCCATTCTCAATGATCGAATCAACAAGGCCACCACTTATATAAATGAACTGCGCAGCCTGCTGTTCGATGATGCCCAGCATGAAACGCCTGACCAAACCCAAGAAGAAGGCGACGAGAAACCGGAGCTATTAGAGAAGCTGACCCAACTCAAATGGTTATTTGAAGCCCGGGAGCAGTTGCACCGGGAAATATATGATTTGGTCAGTGACCGCGACGAAAAGTACAAAGCCGTGGTCCTACTACCTTATAAGCAGAAGCTCAATGAGGAGAAAGTGCGCGAGACCAACGCCTTCTTCATCAAAGATGCTTTGGACCGACGTGTGAATTATGAAACAGCGGCCCTGACCCGCCTCGAATCCTTCCTAGTCGTGATCGAGAAGAATGTGGCCCGGGGGGTGGAGGTACAGCTGTCGGCTTTTTGGGATATCGCACCGTCACTCCATACCTTGGTGCAGCAGGTCCCCGAGGATCTCGATGGCTTCCAGGTTCAGATTCCTGCCAACGAATACGAAGAGAATCCAAGCTACCATCGCCATCCGCTGCAATATCTCTACACACTCACCTCACATGCAGAGAAATCCAGCTACCAGTACATCGAGTCCCAGATCAACCTCTTCTGCCTGTTGCACGAGGTGAAGTCGGCGGTTATGAAGGCGAACTGCAAGCTCATGGAGGCACAGCGGATCCGTCAAGGCGAGGCCGATGACTCGGTGCGGCGGGAGATGCAAGAATCCCGTGCTGAGGAAGAGCGGTCCTTGACCAACGACCTCAAGGATAAAGTGGCTACGGTTGAGGGGCAATGGACGGAGGCGCTGGGAAGTGCAATACAAGGCCTACGAGAGCGTGCCAAGGAGCAGCTCATGGTGGAGAATGGGTGGGAGGATCTGGAACGACTGGAGCAGACCTGAGGGGGGATAGACATAGTCTGGAGGATTTGTTTTGCTTTATTTTTTTGTTATTTTTGTGTCTTCTGGATTCATGGATGGCGAATCTCCGGCTTTTGCTGTTGCGCAAGATACCCTTAGTCAGCGATAAAACACGTGACCCACCTTCTAGAGGTTTCCTTTACTTTTTGTTAGTTTCGCTTGCCTTCTTTTCCTTTATTCTCCTCTCGCAGTGAATGCTCTTATTTAACCCTCGCCACGGTACTTTCTCTTTCCCCTTCTCCCATTTCCCCGAAATCATTGATTGATCTACTGCTGCAGCGCTCTAGTACCTGAACCTTGCTCTTGTCACACTGTGAGTAAATTCTTCCATTTTTCTTTCTTTGGTTTTTTTTTTTTTTTTTTTTTGGAGAGGTTTTTGCAAACACCCTTAGTGTCTCTACATTACCCCCATTGCATAAAACATCCCCTTTCGATGATGAGATCTCATAGCTGGCACCAGTCAGAACGAATTGGGTTCGAAAGAATTCCTTCATTGCTGAGTAGCTGCGGTCCGGGAACGCTACCCGTGATCCTGAAAAGATTACATACTTATTCCATTTGTTACTTGCCAATTACTGGAGGAATCTGTTGCTGACTAGAGAATTTCCCTCAGCAGAACTTAGCGTTTGAAAAATAAGAAAAAGGAGAACTCCGTTGGGCAACAGGTCTACTAGTTGTAACGGAGCCTGTGCTACAAAAGAAATACTAGCAAGATTATTTTAAATAAACAATTATAATATCACCTATATCATCATGGTTCTTCACAACCCCAACAACTGGCACTGGGTGAATAAGGATGTCTCGGCTTGGGCCAAAGACCACTTGAAGGAAAATCTGTGCTTGATTTCTGCAGAGGAAAATGGTGTCACTGCAAAGATCTCCAATCTACTGACCATGGATGGCGACGTAGATGTCAGCCAGAGAAAGAACAAGGTCATCACCCTGTTCGACGTCAAATTACGACTCGAGTATGAAGGTTCGTGAATAATGAGTGCTTCACCCTTCCGGAGCACAACTAAAACCCCCTCGACAGGTAAGACCCAGGACGAGGAGTCTGTTAGCGGTACCATCACGATCCCTGAGGTTGCCCACGATACGGAGGAGGATGAGTACGTTGTATGTTCCCTCACGTCCCCTCTCAGTGCTTTGCCGTTGGGATATAGGGTGACTGACTGTAGATGTTGGCGGTATATAGTTTGAAATAGAGAACCACTCCGATTCCTCGTCAAAGCAGCCCGTTAAAGACCTTGTTCGGTCGAAGATTGTTCCCCTTATCAGACAAGAGTTGGCCAAATTGGCCCCAGCTCTGATCGCTGAGCACGGGAAGGATATCCAGCATGCCCCTGGTGTTAACCCATCCAGTGGCTTTACAGCCCCAACCTACCACCCTCAGACGGCTAAGCAGGACTCCGCTCCTAAGACTACCTCTACCACCACGACCACCAACAAGGTCTCGGTGAACACTACCACCGTCACTGCCTCGGATGAGTTCCGCACCACGGCTGAGGAGCTGTATAACACCTTCACCGACCCGCAGCGTATTGCGGCTTTCACCCGTGGAGCGCCTCGTCAATTCGATGGTGCCCATGTAGGAGGAAAGTTCTCTATATTTGATGGCAACGTGACCGGAGAGTATGCTAAACTGGAGGCCCCTACTTTGATTGTGCAGAAGTGGCGTCTGGCGCAGTGGCCCGAAGGTCATTTCAGCTCTCTCGAAATCAAGTTTGACCAAAATGACATCGATGCCGTCACACAGATGCGGGTGACTTGGTCCGGTGTGCCCGTTGGCCAGGAGGATGTCACCAAGCAAAACTGGGAAATGTATTATGTCCGCAGCATCAAGCAAACGTTTGGGTATGTGTTCTCTCTTGCTTTGCAATCAATTTGCTCCCTTACAAATTTCGCTGCCAGATCGCATTTGCTATCATGGAGACACCTACTGATTTCGTTTTTTGTGCTTCTTCTTGCTGTAGGTTTGGCACTATCCTCTGATAGTGTGCGCAAATACTTGGAGGCGTGATGGGTCAACAATTCCTTTGATGAGGTATGAAGGTGACCAATAGTTCTGTCTGCGCCCAACGCACCCAGTAGGGGCAATTTTAGACGGATTGGATGATCGATCATTGGAGACAGGTTTTTGGAACCCTTTCAAATATACCTCGCCTAGGTCTGTTTTGTTCCCTCCTGGTTTGGCGCTTATGAGGGCATGGCTTCGACGATTCTACGATAGAAAAGTACGATTAGAACAATGTAAAGTTGGCATATGTAATGGACATAAAAATTGTTTTGAAAAAAATAAATATGTGCCGGATATATCCTAAAAAGCAATCCCGTTCTACTTCCTTGACTAACATGTAAGTAATTTTGTTATTAATCCCTAACTAGAAGAAATCATTACGTGATATTTTATTTTCTGTCTTTGTCAACCAACTACCAAGTTCATTCGTTTACAGAGTCTTCTCAATCATCTCGATGCCATAGTCCTCCTTGAGAGCCTTCAGGAGAGGTGTACAAATGTCCATGGTCATGGGAGCAAGAACACCCTAAATATCATTGAAGAACGCAGCGTCAGCCAAGGTCAATTACAAATTGTTCTCCCTTGGAGTTCAAACAGCGTCATCGCCGAATGGATAACCGTAGGATGAATGATGAGAATTAAGAGCAAGGGCGGGAAGGGGAAACATACCTTTTTGCTGATGGTTCCATCAAGCACCAACTTCACTGCTACACCGCAGGGCACACCGACTGTCTTCGCCATGGCAGAATAACCGCCCGGAACGCCGAATTCGCACATGGTGCTGGTGCGGGTCTCCTCGGAGCCGTCCTTGTGTTGGATGCTGAACTTGTGCTGTAACATGACCATGTCCCGCTCCTCGGGGGCGTACTGCATTTTCTTCTCGAGGGTGGCGCAGAGTGTATCGAGGGGGTTACCACGGGGGATGATCTTCTCGTCGGAGAAGAGGCCGATCCAGCGCAGACCGGAGATGATACGGTTGCGCTCGTCGTTGTTGGCAAAGGAGGTCTTGGACGAAATGGCCCATTCCAAGTCCTTCTCCTTGGAGGAAGTGGCGCCTAGGATCTCCTGCGTCGCTTCCTTCCAGGCAACGGGGGATTTGAATGACTCGCGCGCCTCGTCAGACAGGAAGCCGATATCCACCAGCGCTTTGATCATCTCCGGGAATCCCTGGTAGCGGAGCGTGCCTCGGATGACGGTCTGGGCCTCGGGGATGTCGTACCGCTCGCGGAAGGGAGTCGAGTCCCGGTTGGGATACGCAACGAATGCGAACCCAGGGTAGATGTAGTAGGGCTTAGCGGTGGCCATGAGATCGGGGCCAGCAACGCTGAATTCTTCGCCGTCCTTGTAGAACTTGGCGGCGTTACGGAGCGCAAGGAGCACGCCACGGCTAGACCATGAGAACTTGTAGCCTAGTGGGTTGTCGGAGCACTCGGGGGCGGGGAGACCACCGCAGTAGGAGAGGAAGGAAGTGATCTTACCACCTTCCGCGTGGACCTATTCGATGTTAGTGGTATATCGAAAATTTATGGAGAAAGAATAAGATTAACCTCGGAGATCGTCTTGACCGCATACAAGTGATCAATACCCTTAATCCACAGTCAGTTCCCCAAGAATCCGATGGTATCAATACCGGGTTATTTTCAGCGAAGCATACCGGGTCCAGACCAATCTCATTCATCACGGTGATACCGGCCTTTCTGCATTCCTCGTCCAACTCCATCATGGCGGGAGAAACGTACGACGTCGTGACAACGTTCTTCTTCGTACGGATGGCCGATTTGATGACAAGGGTGTGGAAGGTGTAAGGGATCAGAGAGATGGCCAAGTCGACCTGCTCGAGAGCCTTGTCCAAGGCGGCGGCATCGTTGACATCGAGAGCAATGGCTTTGGTGTTCTTGAATCCCTCGGAAAGCTTCTGGGCATTTTCGAGAGTTCGACAAGCTGTGGCGTAGAAAAGAATCTAATGTCAGCCCTCCTCTACCCTCTTAGTCTCTGCTGCCTATCACATCACTTTGGATTCCCTGAACTTAAGTGGGGGGCAGTATGAGATAACGTGCGGTGGAGCAGCGTCTCTGGAGTTCCCGTCCCGGAGCGTGATATTAATTGAACATACCGACGGTAACATGGACATCAGCCTTGCTCAGAACCTCGACGGTGGGCCTGGTAACTATAAATGAGAACAGCTAAGGTCAGTCGGGGAGGATATTCAGAGCTCAGACGCCGAATGCGGGGCTCCGGATGACACACGGACTGGGGAAGATAGGATGAGTGAAGCATATAGGGAGAGGAGCATACCGAAACCCGACCCCAGCAAGAGAACCTTGGAACCAGCGACTTGCTTAACCATTGTGACGATTGAAGGAGGGTGAAAGAGGGGATAGCTTGGAAGAGGGAAAACAAGCAAGCGAGGAATATGTGAATGGATGAGTCAAGGCATAGCGATGGATTGTGGGGGGTCACGTGGGGCTGCGGTATCGGAGGAGAGTAAGTAGAATGACAATAATGATCAATGCTGGGTCTACTTAGAAGCATGCTATATACAGCTGGGATATCGACCGTATGGTTATGTCCAGAATAATATAAAACTCCCCCCAAAAAAATAGAATAGGAACAAAGAAAGAAAGAAAGAAGAAGCAGGGAAATCACGGTAGAACTACAGGCTCTTGACCTTCTCAACAGCGTCCGACTCTTCTTCCGGAGATTCGGAAGATTCACCATCAAAATTCCCTTCTGCCTCTGGATTCTTGCGCGACTTGGAAATCCGCCGTTGCCACCCTAATAGGACCGGAAGAAATTGCCATAAATCGAATTCCGGCCACAGGACATCGAGGAAGACAATCTCGGTATTTTCGTGGCATTGCCATAGCATGAAGTCGCTGAGACGCTCCACGCCAGACGTACGAATTAGCAGGTCAAGGGGAGGGCTATCTTTCGTAAAGAGATGGTCGGCTAGCGTTTGTCGTGTGATGGTCTCCGGGGACTTGAAGACGGGACGGTCTGTCCCCGATGTGGCGGGCTTGCCATTTGTTCCGTCTTGATGACTACCCAGGTGTAGGGTTGTAGAGGAGGAGAAAGACGAGCCCGATTCGTAGACCTTGTTCAAACGATCCTGTTTAGGGGCCCCATCTTCTCCCTGAGACAGCGATTCTGACGACGAGTCAATGTCGCTATCCTCTGATTTGCTATTCTGTGCCCGGATATTCAACGCGATGTGAGTCTCCGAGAATGGGGTCCGCTGGCCAGCGGATGCCGAGTGAGTCGGATCCAGCGGCCGGCTATATTCGGCGACCGTATCCCGGACTGCACCAGTGATTTCATCACGAGATGTATAGGGGAAGCAAATGTTCAAAATCCGGTCGCCGTTGTTACTTGTCATCTCGACCGCCTTATTCACCGCAGCAAGCACATCCGGTCGGAGTAAGTCCAGTCGACCCAAGATGCGAACCTTGGCACCGTAGCGATCAAGGATTTCGCCATGTTGGGCCATCTGCGACAGCTTTACTCGGGCCATTTCCATCAGAGCGTCCACCTCGAATTTTGAGCGTTTAAAGTTCTCGATGCTGAAAGCATAGATCGTGACCGCCTTCACTCCACTCCGGTAGCAAACTTCGAGGATCTACATATGCAGGCATTGTTAGCAGCTGAAGCAAGACAATAAGAGGTCGTACCAGAATTTATCGTGGGACTGGGGTATGATGAAAGAAAGCCCTGAGAGTAGAAAGCGATCGGAAAGTGTAAAAGATATCGCCCATAAGAAGGACAGGAAAGAGAGGAGCCACCCCCAGTACATACCCTCGCCAATGCTTCAAACCCCAAGTTGTGTCCCTCGACAGTTTCAATCCCATGCGTCCGGGCAAACCTTCGATTTCCATCCATCACGAAAGCGACATGCTGTGGAACCGGTCCTTGCCTGAGCGCTCCAACCAGTAGCTCTCGGAGTTTCGATAAGGCGAACTCGATTGGCGGAGATGCAAGGATCCATTTTCGGAGTCGGGACAGGTGCATCGACGTCGCCATGGCGTTCAGGGTGACCGGCTTCGGGGGAATGTGAGAAAGGCTCCAGGGCCGTAGCGTAACGGGACGGATGTAGTGTGAGGGAGACACAATATGCGGAGCAACAGACAGGCGACGGGTCGATGTAGATAAGTAAAGTACGGAGTAGTGGATTCAGGCCGTAGCAGGTGGACTAGGAGACGACGAAGATCTTGGCTGGTAGGGCTGTGTCCATCAGGCTACAGTGTTCTTTTTTTTTCTCGGTTTTTTTTTTTTTTTTTCTCTTCCCTGAATTTCGGCAGGAGATAAAGGCGGTAATGGACGTCCAGATAGGGCTGATAACGATGAAGAGAACCCTGCGGTAATGAGCTAGACTGTGGTAATGGAGAATGAACGAACGAAAGCTGAGAGAAACAGCCAGTGAGTTGGTCGGTGTTGAAGATCATAAGCTGAGAGGCAAGATGGATGCGGCGACGTAACCGCCAGATACAGTGGTGGGTCCACTTGGAAGCTTCTCTCAGGCATCCCTCGATCCATGGATATCGGCCTCTCTTCCACTTCCCCACGACGGAAATACAGACCGCAAGACTTGAGCCACAACAAGCACTACTGAATATGGTATACGTGGGGTTTGCATCCAAATGAAATTCTCGCTATCATGCATTAGCATACGACGCCAAACACCACCTCCCCGACATTATTTTAGTTATGGGAATCATCCAACGCCCACCTCCTCAACCTCTTTCCTCCTCTCCCCCCTCAGCTTGACACCTATTACCATGTCTTCAGCATTATATATCCTTCCTATTCTCATCACTGGACGGAGTCCCCGGTCCAGATCCAGCCATATCCCAGCTGCTACTATCTTCGCTCTTCCGGCGCCGTCGCTCACCACGTTCCCGCATAGCATCCCGGATCTTCGTGCTAACTTCCTCAAAGCCGCCATTGGTCGTAAGCTGGCTAAGCGGCTTCAGTTGCTGTCCAGACGAGCCAGGTCGACCGCCAAATGAGCTACTGCGGCTGTGGCTGCGTGTCGGGGGTCGGGTGGAGAAAAAGCCAATGTTAGCGAGATTATGGAGCGACTCGTTGCGAGGCAGGGGCTCCTGAGTGGCCAATCCCTCTCCCAGATCTGTTGTATTGGTCCTTCGGATCTCGGGAATCGGAGCTGGCTCGCCCTCTGTTTTCCGGTTGACCTCACGGAAAGGATCCGTGACGATTCTCGCGGCGTCAAAGTCAGGGAATAGCTCCGGTCCCAGCGTGTTGATCGCGTCTGTAACCTGCTGGGCTAGTGCCGCACGTCTCTGGCGTAGTTTGACCAGAGCATTGGCGGAATATGGGTTCAAGGATAGAACCAGGGGGCGGAGGGACTTCAGAATATCCATTCCAACCTCGCCAATCCGAAGGGCTGCAAAGGTGATCGTTGGGAACAGGACCATGCCAATAAGCACAATCAGCCACAGTGGCACCCAGTCCGGCACAATGCCTTGGATGCGGTTATGGTAGGTCCAAAACGTGAAGGCAGCGGTGTAGAATGCGTAGAGCGCCGGTGCGAATGCCAGGGCAACGAGTAGTTTCCACGTGGCCATGACATCCCGCCCCTGCAATTTGACCGTGGAGGCAGCCAGTGCTTCCTTAGACTTCTTGATAGATATTAACTTGGTAGCAATGAAAACAGGCGCAAACAGAAGCAAGCCGGGGAGTGTCCCAATAGCAAGCAAGGCTAGTTTAACCAGACGAGAGATTAAGGTATAGATCACTTCCAAAAAAGAGAATTTGGCATAGTCCACCTGGTGGTCACGGATCCCCAAGATACGCAGCTCCCAGTTGTAGCCCACAATTGCCTTTCTCAGCTGTACAATCCTTGGGTCATCCTTAAAATGAGTATAGCCTTTTACTAGACGTCGGTTGAGCTCCACTACCATCGGCAGTGGGAGCTTTTTTCCTTTAGCGTTGTATAGGCGGCGAGCAGATTGGATAATCTAGAGTACTATTAGCCACGACATCGTAACCCCCGAAGCACTAAGCACAAACCATGAGTGTCTCGTAGTCAGTCCCGGTCACTGTCACTGCCACCAGGCTCTGGTATATAGTATCCAACAGAGTTCCGACAGCTTCTCTTCGCTCTCCTCTCTTAAACTGCTCCACTAGTTCCCTGGGGACTTCAATAGGAGTTCCAAACTCTATGACCGCACGTGAGCGGAATTTGTGGGCATGGAAGTAATTCATTCCGCAAGGCACAATCTTCAAACCACAGTCGGGGTTATCAGCCAACGTGCCCAGCGCCATTAGAGCGACACCAGCTAGTTAGAAATTTCAGTAATTATGGCATCAATTGGAATGAGGTGACAATACCTTTCAAAGGGAGCAGTTCAGTACGATCATGGCTACCGCCCTCCGGGAAAATACCCACGCAGCCACCAGCATTCAGCCGAGCAAAGACGGCCTCATAGACTGCAGTTTGGTCCACGTGAGGCGAAACTTTGAATTTTGAGCCCTCGAAACACGTGAGGTCTCGATCTGACACATCACCTGTCAACTTTCCATCGTCCGAAATGTCCTTCCTTCCCGTGAGTTGGAACAGCGCATCTTTAGCCTTGAATGGCTTCTTTAGAACCAACTCCTCCTGGCCACGAATCTCAGCAATCGTAGCATTATGCGAACTTCCATTGATGGTTGGTAGAGCAATCGTGCCTTCCTTTTCAAAACCCGGTCCCTCAAAGTTGGTGCCAACACCCCGGACCAGAGTCGGCTGATTGACAGGGTCGGGCAGGTAAATCGTTCCTGTGCCAGTTTTCATATTGTCCATTGCCCTGGCAACAGGTACGGTTCCTATGCCCCTTGCTAAAAGGCCAATAAACTTGCGCCGAAACGATTTCGCTGCGATGAGCCATGAGATGCGACGCTGGGCTTCACTGCGCATCACACGCATAAGAATCAGGGAGTCCACAAACTATTACAGGGCACATAGTTAGAAAGCTTATCCGGAACTGTGGGAAGCGGTAGAAACTCAGAGCATTGTAGTACCTGGTTGGCATGAGGAGCTGCAACTATAATCATAGGCCCCTTCCGGGGAATTTTCCAAGACCCTCGCGGGTGCACCTCCCTGAAGAAAAGGTCCACCAGCACGGAGAAGGTCCATAGCACTAGGTCATAGAGCCAGCCGATTAAAGGAGGGATGTACGGTTGCTTCGCCATGATGTCGACGGAGGGTTTACCGGATGCCCTGGGCCAATTATTCGCCCCGACCTGGTATATCAGAGAGGAGGGAAAGTTTATAAGACGGGAAGCAGAGGAACAACCAAAACCCAGCTGGTGATGGAAGTCAGTGGCGTTATTCGTGGACAGAATGGTGAAAAGTACGCGTTCAAGCAGGTCATGGACAGTCCTACAAACTCGCTGTGGTCAGTCGGGCAAACGGGCATAGCAACACATCACAGGCAGCGCAAAGGAAATGGCCGGAATGACTTACAGGGATACCTCTCGGACCGGAATCAATAGGGGACTGAGGTCGGTCGGGGGGTCGCAGCCTGTCCCATGTGACAAGCACCTTGGGTTGAGCTATCATGGAAATGGGGCCTGAAAGATGACTTGGTCTGGTCTGGTCTGGTTCTTGTCGGGCGGGGAAGAGGAAACGAGACGGTCGGACGCGCTAGGTTAGTGGCGGTTACCAGGGAAGGTTACATCATTAGCATTACTTTGCAGGAGCTCTCCCCTGCTGGCACTTCGGTCAAAAAAACCGGGAATCAGCATATAATTTCCAGGTCTGGGTTGAATGAGGAGCTCGACGGTTGTTTTCATGGCCGTTATTTCCAATGTGATGCTGCCAGCGACAACTTGACAGCTCTGATTACCTGCCATATTTTTGTATATTTTTTTTTCCCGTTGGCGGAAATGCTCTCTGGCATCTTCCCAAATAGGATAAGCGCTGTCTGTCATAAAAGTCCCTACTAATTAATATCTATGTATGTACAAGTAAAGGTACAATTGATATTTCTGGTGCTTGCACAAGGACGAGAATCAAGTCCGCTAACCCCTCACCTGCCACTGGGCCTAGCCGGTACGTGTATCTGATTGTTCAATCGCATCTCTTCTTTACATGAATAGCTCCACCAGGGATATCAGACCATTGTAATCCGATAGATCGTGGGTAGCTTGACTGTGCATAATTATTGATTTTGTCGGGGATGCACCCTACCCCGCCGTCGCCATCCGTTACCGAGCCCCATACCTGCACCTCGTCCCCGATAGCGTGATGGGCCGTTGCACGGAGCCCTCCTGTTCGTCCCGATCCCCGCTATAGAGGTCAGAGCAATCTTTCTTGCGTCTCCCCTTTTCCGTGGGAGTAACACCATACTGTCCAGGCAGAGCGCAATGATGGAAGTTGCTTCGTAATGGCAAGGGAATAAGGGTATTCGAAAGGCTCCTTGGCACTGAGACTACCTACATATAGAGACCAATGCTTGCTTAGTCCCGATATGAAGAATTCGGAAGATACAAGTAGACCTCGGAAGCCCCTGTTTCCTTTCGACACTGGTAGCCAGATGGCAGAGTATAATAATGCCCTAGTCGAATTCATCACGTCATCTCGAAGCCTGACCACAGAGCTGAGCAATTACATGTGGCCCCAGCCATTTTCAAATGTCGTCATGCATCCAAAGAAATCATGTCTGCGGAAATCAGGAAGACTGCTGCAGTTTATCTTACGCCTATAGTTCAAAGCGCAAGACAGAATAAAGATCCGACCCTACATGCTCCAGTAGTCTACCTTTTTCTTCTTCTTCTTCTCTCTCTCACTATCTCTCTTCCATCACAACCCCTTTCCAACTTGATAGGTTTTCCACAAGTAACAGGGAGTCTGGTGTCATACTTTTTCCTCAACTTGTGGGCCATCTATATATGAAGGGTTCATGGGTCCCAGCACTTTGCCCTGCTGGAGTTTTGTCAGGGACCAGAGTAGTATCTTTCCCAAAATAAAGAGAAACACGCACCAATTACAAATGGCCTGGAACTTGCAGAATATGACCAGGGGCTCCCGTTGTTCTTTAGTCTCCGGGTATAATACTAAACGAGATACATACAGCAGTTCGTTAAACTATGATGTCTATCCATCCCTCAACCAATTATACCGATAGAAATAACCAATGAACCTCATATGTAAAGCTGAATCGTAGCCCTTACTTTAAACAAAAGCATTCTCGACAAAATCCTGCACATGCTAATCCTACCGGAGTTGATAATTACTACATTGCCCTGGCTGCTAAGTGTTATGGTCCAACCTCCGGGATTGGAGAGCCCGCTCGTTCGGCACAGGGATCCGTGGTGTATTCCGCAATGAATCCAAAATTAGTTTAAGGCCATGAGTTCCCAGGTCCTTGTACCCTATGTGGAGCCTTGGAGCATCCGTAGGGAAATAATTTGACCAAACCTCAGTTACTTTTCGTTCGAGTTCCTCGTACACCATAGCGCGTAATCCCCTACTTGTCAGAGCGAATCGACTCAGGGTTCCTATGTACATATACTTTGCAAACTCGAGAGAGCAGTTCGACTGGGAGATCATACATTCCTTTAGGAGCCATTATGGTAGATTGGCTGTTGCTTCTATCTTTCCCCGTTATTCTGTTAAGAGAAGTAAGAGATATATGATATCAACTATTATGACAGAACTATAGGGTTGCATGCTGTTTATATACATTAAATCAGATGTATACAATGGTCTTAGAATTTTCACCAAGCTGGTTTTACTAAAAGAAAAGGAAAATCACAGTAAAAACCACAATGCACAAAGTAAAACAGGATCCAGCAACAAATGCTTTGTGCAAGGGATGATTATCTTTGGCACCGATACTAGATGTGCTTGTCTGATCTTCATTATTACAAAGACATTTACATATATATTGAATAAAGTAGCTGAATAAATCTTACAATCTTCTAGAAACAAGGGCCTAATCTAACTGTGCCTGATATCAAAGTAGGTATGCTTTGTGGGGATTTGACTAATTCCATTTATCCATCCTCTTTCTCTATCTTTTCTGTCTATGTATTGATACAAGAAAAGCGATCTGGACTCTAAAGGGAACAATAACACTCTGACAATAGAGAGCAAGGGAAAATTATGAAAATTATCAAGAGCAGCAGAGTCAACGAGTAGCTAAATTTCAAAAAGCCTAGACCAGTCTAATCCATATACTAGGGTCTAAGAATAAGCAGGTCAACAATGCCATTGAGCCTACAATTTAGTAGTGCTCAATCAAAGAAAGAATGTTATTGTATTCATATACAGGGTAATATGATAACAAGAACAATAACAATAATATATCCAATGTTATGTCTATCTTTATTAGTAGCTCCTTTCTTGACAGTGACTGCCAATCTGCATTTTACGGCTGCTGCCGGTCTGGGCCCTTGTTTTTTTTTCTTCCCCCCACCTGACCCCGCCAAGTGCCTCATCGCTATCGATCTCCCTTTCATCACACTTACCTTTAGTCTATCTCACCTATCGTTAAACTTCTGCAGATTCGAAAGACTGAATAGTGGTTTATTTTTATTGCCCCGCTGCCTCCATCGACTTCTAAGTGGTGGGATAGCGCCGTTCCCCATCAACTGGCAGCAACATTTTTAACCCTCAACCCCTGCTTGGCGGACTTGTTCCTGAGCCGAGTATACTCCGACTCCTACTTATCAAGCCACACAAATTATCTCCGCTAGATTCTGCGAATAACCGGAGATCGCGCTACTCGGGACTAATATAAGCCTTGAGCTTGCTTCAGTTGGAGCTCCGAGCAGCGGTCGTTTGCCACGTCTTCTGCGATCCTTCTACCTTGGCTTCTCTCTCCGTCTCACCTCGGATCAAGTTCTGCGCTTGCTCGCGGGACGCCCTTCCATAGTAGGGTGCATTTTATCAGTAATAAATCACTGGCCAAACACGATATCCCTTAGCCTACTTCGACAAGATGTCGATCAAGTACGTGGACGTTCCCTTGTTACCCGCGTAGTTGTAATTTGCCTCATCATGGCTTCCGTCTGATTTGACCGGTTTCTTTTCTTTCATCGTCATCATCTTCATCTTTTATGTCCTTTTATCCCCTCATGCCAAAATATTGGATGCAACGTTGATTAGGTCTGACACGTCAATAGTTGGGTAATGCTTCATGACCGGGAAGGTTTTGTTCGGCTTCCCAACGAACAATTGATATACACATCCCCCCCTCGTGCTGGCTTTTCTTTACAACCAGTCGGTTCCTACAAAGGCAAAGAGTCACTCTCGATCCAAAGCAGTACTGGCCAAATAGCTCTTACGAATCAACGAGTAATAACCTTCATCTCCGGTATTGTATGAGGCGCGTGCTGACTTGGACGCTTAGGTTGTCTACATTCCTTCGCAGAAGTCAACAGAATTGCAATCATTCTCCGCCCCATTGCTTAATATACATGATACACACGTAACTGCCCCGTTTTTTTTGGACCGAACGCGTGGGTAGCCATTGTCCAGCCAGTACCGGGCGGCGGTATCCCACCAGCATTGCCTGCTGTGCAAGTGAAAGTAACGTTTAAAGAAGGAGGGGCCTTCGACTTCCAGAACCATCTTGAACGGATAAAGGAACGTGTACAGCAGGCTGTGGAGATCTCCAACGAGGGCAGCCGAGGAACGAGGAATGTTGACCTGTCTTCTGTTCATCTGGATGAATTGCCTGCTTACTCTGGGCCGCTACATGAATCAGCTGGGGCGGGTCACACCACCAACCAAGGCCCGTCGCTAAATTCTCAGGAGACAACTAATCGACGACAAGCCTCAGACTCAGAACCTATGGAACCACCGCCAGGTTATGAAGAAGTCCAACAGCAGAGTGTGGCCAACGAACTCGAAGAAAGACTACGTCGTGAGAGCTGACGCGAGTGTATATGGCGCATGGTTTCAACGAGGTTCCTATCATCACATTTTGTCCACTCTTCTCGAAGCATGCAGTTGACCTCCGGGGGTCCGTTGCTGTAAGTAAATACATCGAATAATGGTTAATGAGAGGTAGCTATTGTTCCAGTATAGACTATTTTCTCCCCAATAAACTGGATAACCTCAACATATTATCGTAATACATTTCCCTTCTATCAACAGAGGGCAGTCTTCGAACGACTACTGCATCGGGAAGCGAAGCGGCAGCCAATCACGTGTGCGATAATGTCACTCGCCGGCGGCCGGGGCGTTCCGATTTTCCTGCCCGGCAGCTTCGTAAAACCACCGCACCAACCTCACCAACCTTCGCTCGTCGCTGTCACTTACAACCCCACACGTTGGATTCCAGACCCTCCAGTCACCTCAATTGATACTTTCACACAGTCTAGGATGGGTCTCACCGATTTTTTCTCCGACATGTTCTCCTCCCTGGGCTTCCCTGAGGCTCAGGCTGAGGCTCCCGCCGAGACCGTTGAGCAGATCACCAGCCAGGAGACCCAGTCCGAAGAAAAGCCCGCTGTGACCGAAGAATCCGCCAGCGAAGAGAGCACTGAGGAATCTGGTCAGGAGACTCCTGCTGAGGAGGCTTCCGAGGAGGAGCCCGAGAAGGAGGAAGAGGAGGAAGAAGAGGAGGAAGAAGAGGAGGAAGAGGAGGAGCCTGAGGACATCAAGCCTCAGCTGGAGGAGGGTGAGTTGCTGAATTGTGCACCTTCAATTGTTTTCTTTTCCCCCTGGCCTCTTGACACTTCGGGTTTTCCTGTTGCGCGACAAATGGCATTAGCCATTGGACAATCGGCCATGTTATTCATCCATTGTCCGGTCCGAAATTGTCTGATTGAAGACATGGGCGCAAGGAATTCGCTATGATGCCTTTCCCTTTGCAATGATTTGTGTGGAGTAGAAGCTAACGTTCGGATAGAGTGCGCCAACTCCGCCCAATGTGCCCCGTACAAGCACCACTACGACGAGTGCGTTGAGCGTGTCACCCGCCAGCAGGAGGACCCCGACCACAAGGGTCCCAAGGAGGACTGTGTTGAGGAGTGTAAGTGAATCCATTATATGTTGCTACTATCTTGGAGTTTCATATGCCCACCAATATATGTGGTGTCATGTTGGATTCACGCAACAGGGCGACAAAGCTGACGAGGTATATCTTTCTAGTCTTCCACCTTACGCACTGCGCCACCCAGTGCGCCGCCCCCAAGCTCTGGAAGTCCCTTAAATAAATGTCTCCTTCCGAGAATATTCCTACCACGTTTCTCTTAATGGCTCAATGACGGAACCGGTTAACGAATGTCGCGTCACGTATTGACCATCCGGATGCAATACGAAGAGGAGCTGTGGAGGGAATTCACATCAATCCAAGTGCAATGGCTGCCGGTGTCCTGCGGCCAGCCTGCCTTGGGTCCGGCATAGAATAGGAATGGGATTCCTCTTCGGTGTGGGATTTGTGTCAACAAAGTGGAGGATGGGAAAAATGTATCCTTCGCCGTGTATGTACAGATAGCTGGTTGTTGCCTGTTTGAACTGTGCTTCTTATCTTTCATTGTGTTTAGAACGAAATATTACTTCTCTCTTAGAGCCGGTGCAACTGGTCATGATGAGCCTCAAGCAGTCGAGCCTCCAAGTCGTGGAAAGCAATTAAGCATCCACTTCTTGCTCAAACTACGTTCATTCATATAACTTCAAGACACATGGTTAATACTCAACAGGTTCCTTCACATGCGCATATTAAAAAAAAAAAATCATCACAAATGACTACTACCATGATCAATCATTATTTTCTCGACCAAAATTTCAGTTTAAATCTCGACTCATGAGAGGTCGTGACATTAACCGAGTCCTCTCCACCTACATTCTGATGCATACCTTCATGACCAGGGTCAGTGCCATCCAAATTCACTCCCCGATCGATATCCAGCCGACGTCGACGGACATCCCATCCGAACAACCCAATACAGATGGGAAACGGTGCCGCCACGGCAGCAAGCACAGCGGAGAAGATGAGCGCATTTCTCATATTCTCTGGCGGGGAGGCGCGAGGGCCCGCCTTCAGCGCATCCTGGATCAGGATGAACGCCGCGCCGAGAAGCTGCCCGCCCGTCCAGCAGATGGTGCTGCCGATCTCGGGGGAAAAGGGATACGTGATCTCGACGAGGTACTCAAGGACGACAGGGAGGAGAGCGAAGGAGGAGGCACCCAGGAGAGCGAGGACGACGTACGAGGGTACAATGCCGACGGGACTGGAGGGGGTGAAGATCAGAGCGATGTAGCAGATTGCTACGATGGGAATCAGAATTCGGATGGTGCCCAAGTAGTGTTTGAATCGGTCGGTGATGGGTGAGATGATGGCGGAGCTGATCAGGCCCACGATGATGAGGATCCCACCTGCGATGCCGGCTTCCGTTTCGCTGAAGTCGTATGGGGAGAGGATCTGGTTCAGCAGTGACGATACACTGTTGAAGAACCCCACGTAGACGGAGAAGGGGATCAGGATGAGCCAGAACTCGAGTGTTCGCACCAGTTGCGACATAGCCGGGATCAGAGGCGTTCGGACGGTGGCCGACGAGGCACTGGGGGGTGTGGGCGGTTTTGCAGGGAGGAAGAAGGAAGGCAGTGAGGCTACAGTTGCCTGTTATGTGGTTGTTAGACGTCCATCTCTCTCTCTCTCTCTGTCTGTCTGTCTGTCTGTCTCTCTCTCGCTTCCAGCCCCGCGGTGATGACTTACAATAATCGAGATGTAGAGAACCATATCTGGGATCTGGCTCGCCGCCTCCGCCCAGACCGAATCTACCAGCTGGCCCAGTGCCGCTCCGAGCGGGTTGGCCAGAGTGGCTAGGGCAGTCGCACTGGTTCGTCCGCGATCCGAAAACCACAGGTCACTGTATCGGGTTGGAGCGCTCAGACAGAATGGCTGTGCGAATCCGATCAAGATCTGGCCGAACATCGCGACGCCAAACATACCGCCCCGGGCGCGAGTCCCCGCATACCGAATCCAGTTGCCCACCAACAGGAGAGAAGACGTTGCGATGATGGCCGGTTTAGGACCCCCTCGGTTGAGAGTAAAGATCACGACTCTTAGGTTGAGCGCAGAGTGTTTCAGCTACAGTTTCAAGAGATCCATTCATCCAGAGAATGAGAGAAAGGCCACATACGGACTGGCAGCACAGAAAGCGAAGAGATATCCCGTGCTCATCCAGTTGATGGCACTTTCCGAGACACCGAAATGTTCGGAGGCCGTCGTCGAGATGGAGGAAAAGGTCAGCCACTATTTGGGAAGGCAGACAGATAGGCTCATGTTAGTAGACGATAGAGGGATGGATAAATCGATGGGTAGATGTGGACATTCTCATCTCCTAAGGGGGAAAGGGAAGCACATACATCCCAGCTCACGACGATATTAAGCAATACTAACTGCGCTAACCCCCAGAATCGCCGCTTGTAGACCTTGTAGACCCGTCCAGTGGGCGGCAGTTCGACTTGGGGCACTTCCTCGGGAGATTTAGAGGTCATTGCCATCACGACATTGTTTTGCAAGAGGGGAGGGGAAGGAGGAGGAAGAGAAGGAGGAGAAGGAGAGGAGTTGTGACACTCCCGGCGTATTTAATAATTAATTAATGAACGAACCGTGACCCCTCAACAGTCAAACCCACTAGCCATAATATAGATAAGGTGCTGCTACCCCAGAGAGGAGAAACTAGCCATCCGAGATTCTCCCCATAATCAATTGAAGAACTGTGGGGACTGACCCAAGTTTCATCCAGTCAATAATTTCCCCTCGAGATTGCAGGTCATTACATGTGCCGATGAGAACTCCACTTAAATGAACGGTTTAATTATACATAAGACTACCTAGTATGGGCATGTTAGATGTGTTAGTCTGCTTGGATGCACGAGGATTTGCCTGGTTTGGAGTCATTTTTATGTACAACAAGAACAACCACGAAAATAAAATTAAAAAAATACTCTTCTTTTAGATCAATCATAATCTGATCTGAATGATAATTTTCCACCATGAGGAAGAATTTCCCCGAAGGTACTGGTAGTTGGAATGCGATCAACATCACATTGTCATAATGCAACAAGTCCAGGTCCTCTCTCTGCCCAAATGAGATCTTTAGAATAATCCCAGAAACAGAAGAAAAGAAAGAAGAGAGAAAAAAAGAAATATAAATCTAAACTGAGAGAACGCTTGACGTACGTGCATCCAATGCGACCCTGCACTTCCTCGGTCGGCTCAGCCCTCGCAGATCCCCGTGATCTCCTTTATTGCCTCAACTTTTGCCTCTCTCTCCCCTTCGATTCTTCTCTTCTATATCTCTCCTCTCCTTCCCTTCGACCCCCCTCCCATCATCCTTGTCTATCCCGGGAGTCGAGACATTTTCCTTTCCTTCCTTCTTTCTTTTGTTTACCCCCATTTACTCCGTAGGCTCCATTCATTTGACTTCTCCAACCCCGGACGGGGCGAGGACCTGATTCGCTCTCAACGACTGCTTACGGTACGCTAGACAAGACTCCGCAGGATGGGTGCTGCGTGGTGATTTCCTCCTGGATTATGCTGAATATCTTCCCTGTCCTCTTCCTCTCTCTGTTACTGCATTCTGTCTTCCACAATGAGTCGCCTTGATCTATCATCGAGCGAGTCGTCCTATGGCGGCGACCCAGGGTACTCCGCCAATTCCTTGGGCGCTCCGCAGCCGCCCCCAACCAAGACTGTCGTGGATGGCTATCCAGGAACCTTCGACTCCCAGAATGCTGAGACTTCGCGGTATAATCCGGTACGTTATTTATATTTCCGTACCTTGCTGTTGCTCAACCATCTCATCGCTGACATCTTGCTTCCTGGGCAGCTGAATACAATGCACCCGCAGAGCTCTGCATTGAATACCAATGATCCCGTCGCCATGTATCTGTTGACAGAGACCGCCATAGGGGATAGCAAGGACTACGAGATCTTGTCGTTAGAGGAAGTGGAGGGTTTGAAGAAAGAATACAAATTCCTATCGGGTCGCCTGGATGCCGCTAAGCGTAAATTGGCCCTCGAAACGAAACTCCGCGATGCGGCCATGTCACTCAGCAAATTATACAACCCCAAGAGCCCCCGGGTCAGCGATGAGTATAATGCAGGAGGCTCGCCCGGTTCCAACCACAGTCAGAAAATAAGTCCGGGGAACACTGGTGCTACCGGCCCAATGGATAAAACAGATGGCGAGCTGGCCGTGATTATGCGAAAGTGTGAGGACCTGTCACAGGAAATTTGGAACTTGGAGCGTAGGGTCCAACTGGTCCAGAAGAGACTGCTGGAGCACACGGCGGGGATCTTGCAGGTGACCCATAAAGGGTTGAAGAAGAACATGAACAACAATATCCCTCACACCCCCGAAAGCCTGTCAAGCCACAATACCCGCGACAGTGTGGATGAATTTGACGATCGAAGCCTCTACAAACCATCCGCTCATGTCCATGAACCGGGTGGGCAGGGAACACGTAGAGTGGGCGCCACAAATGGCTCTGAGCAGATGGCCATTGGTCTGGATGCCCTTCACAATGTGGAGAGAAGATTAGAGGAGCTAAGTGAAAGGATGCGCACCATGATCCTGGAATCCGACCCAAATAGTGATCTCAACTATATCCCACAACTATCCAACAGCGGTGGCCCGGTTAGCCCCACGGCAATGGCTGAAGCACACCTGGCATACATCGAAGATGGGCTGGGCGTACTTGAAGCCCAGCCTGCTGGTGCATCGCGTTCCCAGGATGTGGATTACGAGACGGAGCAGAAATTAAGAGAAATCAACGCCCAACTCCACCACATTGTCAGCCAATCGGGCTTATCGCGAGCACAACCACTGCCCCCTCCTCCGCAATCTTCGAGTGCTAATCTCTCAGAACAACTGTCGTACCTGGGTCTCGGAGTGGATAACCTTCAACAGCGGGTGGAGGGTTTTTTGGAACAAAAGAGCATCCTAACCACCCAAATTCAACAGCAGAGAGAGCTGAACTCCAAGTCAGACGCGCAAAGGGATGCTCACATCGCCGATCTGATCGAGCAGTTGGCGCATGTCAAGAAGGACCTCGAACTATCAGAACGTGAAGCCGTACAGTCGAGAGATCAGCTCCACCTTGCCATGGAGCAGCTGGAGAATGGGCACCGGGATCTGCCGGGCCAGCAACTACGAAATGTCCCGGAGGACCATTCTTCCGCTCTCGAGTCCGAGAAGGAGGCTCGCACGCTCGCTGAAGCGGAGATTGCCCACTTGCGGAATGTCATGCAAGAGCTTCAGCATGAAAAAGATGCTCAAGCGGACGCTCACGAAGCTCGGCTCAGGGCGGAGGCGGAGGTTGCACGCCTCCACAATGTCATGCAGGAGCTTCAACACGAGAAGGAAGCTCAGGCGGATTCCCACGAAGCACGCCTCCGTGCGGAGGCTGAGATTGCGCGTTTGCAGAAAACCATGCATGATCTCCAGCAGGAAAAGGAAGCCCAAGCGGATGCTCACGAAGCGCGTCTTCGCGCCGAGGACGAAGTTACTCGCTTGGAAGCCCACATTAAACAGCTGCACTCTGGATCCAATGCGCACACAGAAGAATTGAATGCAGTCCGGTCAGAGGCTGATAGTGAAATGGTGCGCTTGCAGAGTGTGATCGATCAACTTCGTCGAGAAGCAGATGCCAAGGCGGAGGAAGCGGAGGAAGCACGCGAGCGTGCCGAGCAGCGAATTTCGCAGTTGGAGGATACAATGCAACAGGTGCGCAGCGAAGCTGATGCACGGGTCGAAGAAGCCGTGGACAAGCGGGCGCAGGCCGAAAAAGAAATCGAGCGACTGGAAGCATCAATGAACCAACTTCGCGTCGACATCGAGTCCCAGCTGCAGGAGGCAACCCAGGGCCGTACTCATGCTGAGGAGAATGCTAAACGTTTGCAGGGAGAGCTAACTGAGCTCGAAGGCGAAATCGTCAGGGTTCAGACAGAGCTTACCATGGCCAAGGCTGAACTCGACGGTGCTTACGGTAGCCGCGCTCAACGTGCGGCAGACATCGCCTCCAACCCAGCCATCCAGAAGGAGTTCGATGAGTTACACACTAGGAACATTGAACTGGCGGAGGAGCTTGCGAGTTTAAAGGCCGGCAGGCCTGGGAGCGGCGACCTTCAGCACCGGGTCGAGATGCTGGAGAAGGAGCTCCGAGAAACGGTTGACGACTACGAAGTCATGACTAGGGCTAGCATCGAGTTCGAGAAAGAGCGGGAACGATTCGAAGGTCACATCGATAGCCTCCGTGATCGTTGCGAGCAGCTAGAGACGCAGCTCAACGAAGAGCGGATCAACTGGATGGGCCACAATGCGTCGATGGGACGAGATGGCACGTATGAAACCACTTCCACGATGGTACTGAAGAACGAATTTAAGAAGATGATGCGGGATACTCGGGTTGAGAATATGAAGATCCTCAAGGTAACGCCCACAGACGTTTTTCATATGATCCTTTAGCTGATGCAAAACTACCAGGGGGAGCAAGAGGAACGACGCAGACTTGAGACTCTGGTCCGAAATCTCAAAAAGGAGCAAGCAAATGCCAATGGCAAGCTCGTTAGCCAGAGTGTCACGGCTTTATGATCATGACAGGTCGCGATTTTTTTTTTTTTTTTTTTTTTTTTTTTTCTTTTTCTTTCCTTCTTTTCGAGCCTCCTATACTGTCATTCAAGCTCGGTTGATGTCGGTCGATATCCCACTATGGCCTATAATTCATGGTACATATTAGTTTCTTTTCTTCTTTCTCAGCTGTCCATATCTCCCTCTTCATCGGTTGATTTCCCCCTCTCGGTTCTACTCTCTAGATGTGCACATAGACTATTGAGAGCCATGTATTATACACATTATTTCTTTTACTACCTCTTGATGTGCATCAGACTATATGCTGCTTGCATATGTCTTGAATTGGCAATTATCCCTTAGTGCACCTTCTTAGTCTCCGAGTGGAATGAGTATGGAAAGCACGACCGATCAGGGTCAATCCTTCAAACAACATACATATACAGTCGCGTTGGAACGTTCTTTCGGTCGTTAATGTGTCTCTTTTGAGTAAATTTTTATATATCTTATATCCCAACCGTTCTAATGTGGTGTTGGCAGTCATCGCCATTTGTTTCAGTATGACGAGCGAGCGCCAATCCAACTCGCAAAATGAAGCGCCTGCCTCGACACAGACAACGGCTCAAGGAACCTTACAATTCGCAAAAGGGGGATCGTCCTGGTCAAGTTACGGGGGCTCGATATATAATGCAGTTCGGGCTAGCTCTACGAACGATGCTCATGCCTCTGGCTCCATTAATGAACCGAACGACATACTGGACAGCATGCTAGCAGCTAACATGGCCATGCTCATACCTCTGACGCCTGAGGGATCGACCCATCACAATCCGATGCATAAGCTTGACTGCTGTACGGGGCAGGGAACAAAACATTGTGGATGCCATGCACACATAGTGTCTGACAACTGTAGCTCACATCGCGGGTTGTCCAAATCAACATCAGGCGATCATTCGCCGCATCGTCAAGCAGCCAGTTTAAATGATGCCAGTGACAAATCAATGGGTCCCAAGTGGGCTGGTGGTGGCCTGCTATCCCCAGCGAGGCCAATTTTACCACGATATCCACCGCCGGAGAGGTCGCCCACGCCTCCTGGGCTCCCATCGTTTGGCAGCCCGGAAGCGATCGGTTACTCTTCCCAATTCCCCGTACGATCTGCGATCAATGGACAGCCTCAACTACATGATCGGCGCACCTTGAACTCTCACCATGCTGCTGATGCTTCTGGAGCCAGGTCCTCCGGAGGACGATGGAGAAGGATCCTTAGTTTTGCATCACCTCGCTCCACACCCCCACCTAACCAGTCGCTATGTCCCGTTGCAAGGGCCGCAGATGGCACTGCTGTCCTCGGAAGGTTTCCATATCGTCAAGGTGGCCATAGTATGAACGTAGCAAGGCAGTTGGAAGAACACCCCTTCCACCGAAGGACTCTGTCAATGGCTCAGTGTGATGGCGGTACGGTGGATGAAAGGGCAAATTCTCAGGAAGAGTGGTCGATAAGGGGGCTTGACAACATGAATGGGAGGGATTCCACCTCCCACGCAGACCGGAACCCTAGAGATCGTGATCGAGCGACACAAGACGTACTCCCGCCTCTGCCAAATCCCAGCATATCCACTCGACCGCGTAGGCCGATGTCGACGTATGCCTTCGATAATTCTTCTAGGTGCACATCCTATCATACGTGTGGTGACCAACCTCAAGGAGCTGAAGCGCCCGAAAGAACAAGCGGATCAAGCCTACCGTTGTCCAGCAGAACCAGCAATTCTGCTGGATGCCTTCTCGCCACAACACAATCGACCATGTCCAGTAACGTGCATCGGATAGATGTAGAAGGCGAGGACAAAGCAGTGTCTTTCTTGCAAAATCTGGGAATCACCACCTTGTGCTTCCCCTGTTGCTTGGGGGCTACAGCTGGAACGGACTCGAATACTGGCTCTCATGATACTTACATTACTGCGAGGAGCCAAAATTCAAATGAGAGCGCGACAGACCAAGCTCATGCTCACGTTGATCCGAGCAATCATACTCGATATTATACAGAATGGTGCTCGAGGGCATGGACATCGCTCCGTGGGTTTGCCTCTCGCAATTTTTTCATCACGGAACCCATGCTTGGTTAAATTGATTTGGACGGAGGGATGTTTCTTGGGCGTCGTTCAGAAGCTCGTCCTTTCTTTAGGCAACTACTTATCTTTCACTCGACGTTGGTTGCTTGATATATACGTAGGTGTATGCTGGTCCCACACAAGTTAGCCGTGCTATTGTTACTCTGACAGAGACCTGTTCAAGGCGGAAGTTGCCAATAAAACCTATTGTTAGAGCTATTCGATGCCGCATAGATCCCGTTCACTTTTACAATTTGAAATCTGTTTTCTTCATTGTCATTCTAGACAACCAAATGGATGCAAAGATCAACGAACTAGTAATCTTGTCTATACTTGCCAGGACAGGGATCAGTGAACTCCATTGCTCTCGATGCAACAGTCGATGTAAAACAAAAGGGCCACGTTATGAAGAGCAAATACCACTGCCAACATAAAACTGCAGTTAGTGGACTTGCATGTTCGAATTCCCAAGATTCCAGAAACCCATAAACCCTAATATTCATGCACAATATAGATGACATCACAAGCCCTGTGCCAAAATTAAAAAAAAAAAAAAAAAAGATTAGATGTTCAGGAGGGAACAGCGCGTATAGGTAGAAAATCCCATAGAAAAATGAGAATGGAATGTACAATATAATCGGAATGCCGATGGAGAAGAGTTTGACCTGAGCATAGCGCCAAAGCCAAATAGATCAAATATCGAAAAAAAAAAAGAAAAAAAAAAAAAAAAAGAAAAAGAAAAGGCTCTAGATGAATATTCATAAACTGCTGAAAAACTGGCACGCTTCGTTCAGTTCCACATCATCACCCACAAAGTCCCATCCCACGATGCGAGGATCCTGACTGGCGCAGATGATCTTCCGACAGTCGAATTGAAGTTTGAAGACTCTAGACGTCGGTTGTAACACGGGTTGCATGGGACGAGGGGGGTAGGCAACGGGAGGAGGGAGATGATGATTTAGCATCGTCGGATGGGGTTGTTCATGGACGACGGTGCTGGCGGGATTGATGGGGAGTTGAGGACCGGCTTGAGGAGGCACCGGCTGGACAAGATGAGGAAGATGTCTTGGAGTACGAATACGGGGGGTCGGGTTGGCGTTTGGGGATGAGGCTTCCTCTGCGCATTCGGCCTGTTTCAGCTCCAGACCAACCACCCATTTACCCTGGCTGTCTTTCTTCCAAATGACGATCGATTCATCGTACGAGCCGGAGACGATGCGGGCCCATCGGCTACCTCCCCCCCCGGGCGGGATTCGAGCCCCGAGAGCTTTGACGTCCTTGGGATTCCGGGATCCGGTGGTGTTCTGGTAGTGACCGGCGCGTCGCAGGGCACCCGGGCCGAGGCCAACAGCGGCGCTGGAGCGCTGGGCATCGAAGAATTCGTTGTCGACTGCCAACGCTTCCAGCCTCATCGCCTCTTCGGCTCCCGGTGGATCACCGAAGCCCGCCTGAACGGTGCGGACCAGATTGCGATGTCCCCTTAAGCAAGCAACCTCAGCACCGGAAACGTGGTCGAAAATCCGGACCGTGTTGTCATTGCTGCCGCTGATGATACGTCGACTGTCAAACTGGACGCATGCGATGCCCTTTTCGTGGCCAATCAGGGTCTTTTTGCATGCGCCGTTGCGGAGGTTCCAGACCTTGATGAGTCGGTCGCCCGAAGCAGAGACGATCTCGTCCTCGTTGATCTGGATAGCGTTCACGGCCGCCCCATGTCCTTCCATCGACATCAGAAGGGTGTATGGCGCGAGCGTATGGGCATGGTCCTTGGCAATCTCCGCTTCTAAGACCGGGGAAGGGATGCTGGCTGTGTTGATGATGTACGAAGGATAGGTCACTCCGGGGCCGTTACAGATGTTAGGATAGTCTTTATCGGCAGGCGTCAGTTCGCATCGACTCCATACTTTGATCAGTTTATCCTTGGAGCAGGTGACCAGGTACCGTGCATCAAATCGGAGATTCAGGACGGAGTCATCGTGGGCGTTGGGGATTTGGTGGATCTTCTCGCCCGTTGAGAACCGCCAGACTATGACGCTCTTGTCACTACTCCCGGAAATGATAACGTCTTCCGATGGACGGGGATCGAACTGCAGACACAGTACCGACTTTGTGTGGCCTACAAGCGGGCGATACCATAACCTTTTAGTATCCAAATCCCATACCCGCACAGTTCTATCTCGGCTTCCGCTGACCAGCCACTTGCCCCAGAACTGAATGGAATATACGCATTCCTGGTGGCATTCTTCCATATACGACGGATGGGGAAGTTGGAAGGTGCTGTAACAACCCTTGGTCCATCGCTCCTCCAACCGTCTTCGCTGCGCGTAGAGGTGAACCCAGTTCAGTTTTACGGCACCGCTGGGTAACCGGATTAAAAGGGGGGATTTGGGCGAGATTATACTTGTGAGGGACATCTGTCCAGTTGTTTGGGTAGAAGTGGGCTCCGGAGGAGATGTGCGGCTGCTGCTGGTGCCCACGAGATGCTGCCCCCCGGAACCTGGTCTGTTCCGTTCATTCGAAGAGTCACTCATAAGATGATCACCCTCGGTGTCGGCCTCTATGGAAGCTTGCAGTCCATTTGCCCGAGACTCTAACCCGCTAGGTGGCACGCGCTTTTTCTGCTTCGGCTCCTCCAGGTCTGCATCTGCATACCTCGATCGGGATTTACGGCTCTGTGGGGACAAGGGACCTGAGTTTTCCTCCTCGAACCTGCGGACTGCGTCGACGTCAACGCGCCAGCCTTCGTAGGTATAAAGGCCTCTCCAAAGGCGGCAGTCAAAGATCCGATTTCGCCAGGCGCGAGAGGCCAATGATGCGGTCACAAGCGTATGTGGGTCGAGGTAGGAAAAGATCTCGGAGGTGATTTCAGGAGGAAGCTTGAGAACGGGGTCCATGTGCAGTAGAGGCGAGAGTCGGTCCACCACGGCGGCGACGGTAGACGTGCTTAGGGATCGCAACAAACTGTAGGCAAGCTCTATGGGAGCGGTTAATGACTGGTACTGTATAGGCAATTGGCACAGAACAGAAGGGGGAAAAATGGAATGAACAGAGTTGGAGCGACTCTGCTGCGATCGTGACACGCGAGCTGCGCGGGTGGAAGCAACTCACCAGCTCTCTCGGCCTCGCTGGTAGCAAGAAGCCAGTCCGGGAGATTCATCACATCATTCGAGAGCGAATTCCCAGGGTCCTTGTCTGGCTGACTCCTCGTCTCATCGGAGTAGCCCTCGTCCAGCCTGAAGGAAGTCGGCACTGAGGGGGCGGTGAAGTCGGAGTAGCTGTCGGCGTGGTGCCGCAGGAGACGAGGGATGGTCGCTTCCGATGTTGTCGCCACCTCCTTCGCCATGAGTTCGTGGTTACGACCGGAGTGGCTTTACTTGTAAAGGAGGCAGAAATAGGCGTCCGCTACAATTCTTTGGGTCTCGAATACCAGCAACTTGTGAGTTGGGAGGCAAGAGATGGTAGGAAACGCCCGACCCTTTTGGTCAACGAGGAAGAATCCTGACTAGTCCAGACGCCACATTGGGAGAAGAAAAGAATCTGGCAGAGGAAACGATAAATAGAGGGCTAGATTGTCATGCTGGGGATGATTCACTATTCACTCAGTTGGTTGTGAATAACAAGGCAGATAGTTGTCTGTTAATAAAGTCGTTTGTTCAGGTGGGAACCGTTAGTTTAGTTTAGTCAGTCAGAATCAGGTCAGTTTGTTGTCACATCACCACTGGACAGAACAAAGCCATGGCTTGAATGGTCAAAGAGTAATAGTATTATTAGATATAGAGACCTGTGGAAGTTGTCCATCTTTATAGTTGTTAATTTTCTGGCTATTATCTTCTGGTCTGGATACTTCATAATATCTAATCTTATCAAGGTTTGCCTGTGCTTGGATGTACTCCTATGTATTACTGTGTGCATTTTATATATACATTTGTCTATATATAGAGCGCAAAAACATCGTCCAGACACTTATTTACACTGCTTCTCCTGCTCCTCTGGAGTACCTCAAGTGAATCCTGCTCAACCTGGCCCAATTCTTCCCCTCCATACTGAAACTGGCTGGTTTGTCGGCTTCCCCAGCCAATCATGCCCCTTTCATCCACTTAAGTTTCAATATTTGCTGCAGTCCTCCGTCATCTCACGAGTCGAGTCCTCCGTTCATCCCGTCCATCCCCAGTAGTGAATCCTTAGCTACTATTAGGTAGATATAGTACCTATTAGGATCAAAGTAGGTACCATGGAACTATTGATCATGATCGACTCGATGACGGATCGATGTCGCGTTGACACTCCGTCATTGACACTCCGTCAGAAGGATCGCCCTCCGACGGACTAGTCAGAATCTCAAACGCTTCATGTATGAAAAGGGTCGTTCTTCATCTCCTTCTCTGATCCCTGCTGAGAGATCGGGACCAGCCTGTAGAAGTATATTCCGTAGTATATCAAGAGAACAGCAAGATCGGAGTCAACTTTGAGTCCCCCAGTCCGTAAATTTAGACTTCGGACCCGTTGGATGAAGTCCAGCATCCCCAGATAAACCAAGTAAACCAGACCAAGTGAATCCACTCATTCACTCATTAATATTTACTCACTCATGCAGCTGACGCGCGCTACCTAGTCCGGCAGGTGAGGTGCCTTACTGACTGGTCCCTCGCCATTCCTCTCTCCTACGTTCCGATCTTCTCACTCTTTTTTTTTTTTTTTTTCCTTCTCCCCTTTCTCCCTTTCTTTCTTTCTTTCTTTTTTTCTTGTCTTTTCTTTTCTTTTTTTAAAAACGTTCTGCTGGTAGACATTATTATATTCATTTATTACTATTCTTTTCTGGTTCCCTACAACTCGCCCATTTCTCGGGAATTACCCGATCGAAGACCCAAGGAAGAAAGAAAGAAAGGGTCTTGCCTCTCTCTCTTCCATGGAACCAACCTGATTTTCTATCCACCTCTTCCATAACCATAACTTACCGACTACCGAGTTCTAGGCTGACGGACCGGACTGGGTACTTTCCTGGAGGCGCTATTTCTAGTCTCTCCCAAAGCACCTCCTACTGACCTCGACGCTTGCCTGGCTGCAGCGGCAAACCCCCCCCCACATTCAACCCTTTTTTACTCCCTCCCGAATTTCCTAATCCTTAACCCCCGGGGCTGGTTGATTTCCCAGCAAGGGTGGGAGAATTGAACTGGGATTAAAACCAGTGGAAAATAATCATCAAAAAAAAAAAAGAAAAAAAATACCCCCGATTCTTTTCTCCAGGGGAAAGATTAAAAAAGAAAGAAAAGTGTGATAGAGAGAAAAATTAACGAAAATTCATGGTCACTAGGCTTTGACCTGAACATCTTTATCTTTTCTTATCTTTTTTTGCCTCTGGATTTCTTCTCCCTTCTGACGGGTTTATTAATCTTCCTCGATTTGCTCGGTTTGACTCAGCGGGAGAGGGAGTTAACGTACCACCATCTCCACTCACTTTCTTAGCTGCTCGCTTGCGCCATTCATCCCGCATCGGTCCACCGCTCGCATTCAAGTACTCCATGCTCGACTTGATTCTTCCTCTTCCTGTACAACCACGCCTGCTAGTCCGTCTCTTCTCCCCGTTCCCTCGATCTGCTGCGCAGATTTGAGCCGACTCTGTTTCCTCCCCTACCGCTCCGAGTTCCTCTCCCGGTCTCCATCGTCGCCAAGTCGAAATGGCCGAGACCGTGGTGGTGGGAAATGGCGGTCCCATTCCTGAGGACAACATCATCAACCGCCGCGGCGGTGAGTCGATATATCAGAGCTGTGTCAACCTCAAAAAACGCCTGACAGAGCTCCCGGAATTCGAACAGCATCTGCACGAGATGGAGGATGCCGATCGATTGCAGGCCAATACAGATCCCGTGGCCTCGCTATGGACCTGCTTGCGGAATGGATACCCTCTCTTGACCATCTACAATGCCTCCGGCCCCGACGAATATCTCGAAATCGATCCCACAAAGGTCCCTGAGGCGAAACGCCCGAAAGCCGCCACCTTCAAGTTCCTGCAGGCTTCCCTCCAGGAGCTGGCCTTCCCCCAGCAAGACTGCTTCCTGATCACCGATCTGTACGGTGACAGCACCACAGGTTTCATCAAGGTGATCAAAATGGTGAACCGTGTCTTGGATATTTTGGAAATGCAGGGTCAGCTCAAGCGGCCAACCGATTACTCCACCCACGCCCCGGAGAGAACGGTGAAGTTGACCAAACGAGAGCATATTCTCAAGGAGCTGCTGGAAACCGAGCGCGACTACGTTCACCATCTGCAGAACCTCCAGGCCCTGAAGAAAGAATTGGAAGAAACGGGGGCTTTGACCGGGGATGCCAGCCACCAGATTTTCTTGAACCTGAATAACCTCCTGGATTTTGCCCAGCGATTCTTGATTCGCATCGAGCAACACTATGCGCTGCCGGAGGAAAAGCAGAATTGGGGAGAGCTGTTCATTCAGCATGAGGAAGCTTTTCGACAGTACGAGCCTTTTATCGCGAACCAGATGCGCTGTGATGAGGTTTGCCTTCAAGAATGGGATAAGATTCGGGCAGCTCCCCGCCCCCTTGACTTGAAGCAAATGGTGGCTCAACCCGCAACGTTGAATGGTTTCTTCGTCAAGCCTTTCCAACGGCTAACCAAGTACCCCTTGATGTTAAGTGTGAGTAATTTTTTTTAGTCGCCCATTCCTTTCTTTGCTTTGTTCCGGGCTGCTAGACAGATGCCACATATTGGACTCCCCCGCGGACAATACACTAACTAATCTTCCGAGTAGGAGTTGCGCAAGCAGACAGAAGATGTAGACCTTCAGACCGATATCACCCGCGCCATCGATTCGATTCAGTCGGTCCTCGATTCTGCGAACGATGCAATCGACAAAGAGCACCTGGCTACGGCATTCACAGAACTGGACGAGCGAGTGGATGATTGGAAAACCCTCAAAATCGACTCGTTTGGCAACCTGCTACGATTTGGTACTTTTACAGTCTTAAAGGGCGACAACGGCAAGGATTCAGAGAGAGAGGTGTGTTCCCTTTCAATCACCCACTGTTATGAGGATTTTTGGCCCACGAATATCGTTTACCCTACACACTATGGTTTGCATATGCAATTGTGACTCGTGAATATGGCCTCGTTTCGTGGCACCACCTCTGGTTGAATAGCCCATAAAGGAGCGTCATTTACTTTCGAATGCACCTGTTTATCAGATGTGTACCCTTTTTGCATTGAACCCCCTGGAAAAGTTCCACGGCCCCATCCACTACCATTTACCTAACCCATATTGGAACTGAGTGTTCGGGAGACATTCACCTTGCCTCGACACGTCTTTGTCATGGATGATAACCACCCCTCCAAACACACATACATACACACACACACACACACCACCCAAAAGCCAAATTCAGTCGCACATTATCTTGTCCCACGTATGGGAATTTTGCTTTGTTATTTTTGAAAAGGGCCAGCGTGTTTCCAGAGGGATTAAATCCACTGGACGGCTTGAGAGAAATTTGCTTGCTAACTTTATCTGGGGGCATTTCCCTGGTTTCTCGAGTCTAGTACCACATCTACCTCTTCGAGCGTATCCTTCTCTGCTGCAAGGATATCAATCCGAACAAACAAAAAAACAAATTGATCCCGGGCAAGGACAAGCCTACTACCACAATAAAGGGAAAGCCACGCCTCCAGCTGAAAGGTCGCATTTACATGGCCAATGTAACGGACATTGTTTGCCTTCAAAAGCCAGGTACGGGAAATTGAATCGTCATCTCATGGAACCCCGATCGGCTGCTGACCGCTTTCTCATAGGCTCCTACCGCATCCAAATCTTCTGGAAAGGCGACCCTGGAGTGGTGGATAACTTCATCATACGCTATCAGAACGAGGATGTCATGCGTAAATGGTCCAAGGACATCGACACTCAGCGCGCGATTCAAGCCGAGCATCGGAGTACTCGAAGCACCGGCACGTCAGAAACGGAGTTCACCTACATGAAAGGCATGACGAACATTCCAAACCCATACCAGCAGGAATACGATGCCGAACAGGAAGCCTCCAAGGATGCAGCATACCTTTCGGAATTTCCAATGAGTCGAAACGCTTCCAGCACGAGTCTGCGGACCCGATCGGCGACAGGGGGAAGTGGTAGCTCTGGCCCGCCACTGTCTGGGGGTCGTCCACCACGCTTCCCATTGCCAGAACCGAATCTCTCCGTGCATACGCAGTTCCCCAGCGGTGGGATGTCCCCTGCTGAGAGAAACGCGCCCTCATACTTCTCACCCGTTACAGAGACGCCGTCGACTCGCTCGAGCTCACAGTCCACCGGATTTTCTTACGGCCGGCAGACCTCGGCCACCTGGAGCGAAGACACCAATCGGTACACTGCTCCTGCATTGTCCCGGGGGGTATCGAGAGACGGATCCAATTCGAATCCCTATTTTGCCAATACCCCGCCAAATGGACGCTCTTCTCAACGTCCCTCCTTGCCACCAATGTCTCAAACACCCAATGGCATGGCGCAGCGGATGCGATCGGCGAGCAGTCCTGATATCCATCATCACAACTCCGAAGCCCGTCGATACATGGGTGCGCACACCATGCAGACGGTCGACAACGTTCCCGTACCGCCGATCCCGGCTCACATGGCCAGCATGAAGGCTCCGGTCAACCGGAGTCAGAATAACTCGCCTACCAACAACAACCTCCCTATCCGAAGCGCCAACCACCTTCCCAATCCCCCCTCACATCATCATCACGACCCGCGACATGTGGCTGCGACGCATTTTAACGAGCCCCAGTACTCCGAGTCGCGGATCACCAACGGCTCGTCGGATCAGCCTACTTCTCCCTTGAGTCACGAGCCAGCGGAGGACCCTCTTATGCCCACTCAGCTCAAAGCCAAGGTGAACTTCGACGACAACTACGTCACGCTGGTGATAGCCAGCAACATCATGTTCCGGTCGCTAACGGACCGGGTGGATGCGAAACTGGCCCGGTTCACCAATCGATCCATTGGCAACAAGTCGGTCCGACTGCGGTATCGGGACGAGGATGGGGACTTTGTGACGATCGACAGCGACGAAGCCGTCCAGCTGGCATTCATGGAGTGGCGAGAGCAGCACCGTGACTCTCTTGCTCGTGGCCAAGTTGGGGAGATCCAACTATATTGCCAAGCTGTTGAGAACTGAAGGGATCAAATTAGCATTCACGGGATGTCTTCTACGGTCTCATCGTCGACTGTTTCATTTTCTCCCTCTTTATCTCTGTTTCCCCCCTCTTTATCTACCCGTCCTCCCTTTTTTGATTTTCTCTGGTTCTGTTTGAGAGATAAGCAAGGATGGGTTTCTCAAGGAAGTTGCTGGCGTTGTCTCCGGGTGTTCGACAACTCATTTCCAACTGGATTGGCTTGAGACTGTTGAGAAGCCATTTGGTATTGTTCTCGTTTATAAACAGGAAGAAAGAAAAAAAAGGACCGGGATTTCTTTTCTTTTTTTTTTTGGTGTGATCGTTCTGTCACTGGCTAGGAGTCTCGTTGCTATTGTATTCTTCTGCCATGGCATGGCGTGGGAAAGACGACGATGGATTTGTTCCTTGACGATTTTTTTTTTTTTCTATCTTATTTGGGCCTACTTTTCCTCCTAGGTCCGTGGGACAATGACTGCATGATGTATGTATACTGCTATTTGATCGAGATGCTCGATTGAGATTTCCTTTACTTTTTTCTCTTTTTTTATTTGTCCTCGTTCTAGACAAGAGCCGATGTATAGTTGTTGCTTTTTCCCGGAACTGGGAAACTTCCGATGGATGAATGAAATTGCACTGAAGTGAAATCAAGAGTCGAGAGAGAACTAAGAAAGTAGACCGACATCCACCATCGGATGGGATCCACCACGGTAGTGGATCGGGACTGACGACGCCGGCGAGATGCCGAAGTCACAGTATTGTCTTTCTGACAGGTGCGATTATTTTCGTGTGCCAAAAAAGAGAGACAGACAGGGGCAACTGCCACTCTGATGGGGACAGCAAAGCAAGCCGGGCAGTCGTCATTGGCAACTAATTCAATCCTGGGGGATGAACGATCCTGAGGGATTATCATTATTATTGGGGTTCTTTATTTATTATTAGTATTCCCTTTTCTCCTCTCGTCCCTCCCTCTCTTTCGTCCTTCCTGCAAACTCCTGTCTCCCCGAAAGTCCCCAAGATGTCCTTCTCGGGCCGCCGTGTGAGTATCCTGCGTCCATCCAACCGGCGATTCTCTCTCGGCAAAGAATTGTCGGAGAATGGTATGTTGTCCTTCCTGTTCTGTTCCTGTCCATCTCATTGTCATTCCATGATGGTATTGATGTCGATCCTCTCGTATTCTTCGCTGAGGCTGGGCATGGGAATCCAGCCTTACAACCTTGGGCCCAAACTATTTTTTTTTTTTTTTTTTTTCAAATAAAGCATCCCATCAACCATTCCAAAACTAACCTATCTGATCTATAGAACTCCGGTCGGAAACTCACCGTCAATTCCGCTCGGCCCACGAAGGCCACCGTCCACACGCCGGCCTGGATGCCTCGCGAGCCTCAACTGGTGTAGTCTGGTGTACCGAACGTGCGACAGAGCATGGTTATGGCGAAGATCCGGCTTCCTGGGCCAACCTGGGTCAGGGCGCCCCCGAAGCCGATGACGAGATCGAAGGAAGCTTTCCGCGACCGACGAGTATTCCCATCACCTCTGCTGCCCGCGAATACGGCCCCACAGCCGGCATCAAGCCTCTGCGTGCGGCCGTCGCTCGTCTATACAATGAGCACTATCGTCAAGGCAAGGAGAGCCAGTATACCTGGGAGAATGTCTGCATCGTCCCCGGTGGTCGTGCTGGGTTGATCCGAATTGCTGCCATCCTGGGCAACTCGTACCTGTCCTTCCCCATTCCCGACTACTCGGCCTACTCGGAGATGTTGAGCTTGTTCAAGAACGTGAGTCCTTTCTACCCTCATCCACCATGACCACCATGACCACCGCTGACTCACAGCTTCAGATTGCTCCGATCCCTATGCCCCTCGCCCAGGACGACCACTACCACATTCACCCCGACAAGATCGCCGAGGAGATCGCCCGTGGAACGTCGGTGCTGCTTACCTCGAACCCCCGGAATCCCACGGGACACTTTGTCTCTCACGAGGAATTGGCTCGGATTCAGGACATCTGCCGAGATCGTGCGACCCTGATCCTGGATGAATTCTACGGCGGCTACAACTACACCACCGACTGTGATGGAAGCACGATCAGTGGTGCTTCGAATGTGGTGGACGTCAACAAGGACGGTTGGTCTAACCATACCCCGCTCCTCCTGGATCCGCGCAACAAGACTAACTTTGGATAGATGTACTTCTGATCGACGGTCTCACCAAGCGCTTCCGTCTTCCCGGCTGGCGAATCGCTTGGGTGGTTGGCCCCAAGGAATTCATTGATGCCCTGGGTTCGGCCGGGTCCTATCTGGACGGTGGTGCCAACGCTCCCTTCCAGGAGGCGGCGATCCCTATGCTTGAGCCGTCTCTGGTGCGTGCCGAGATGAAGGCACTGCAGCAGCATTTCCGCGACAAGCGTGATTTCGTCCTGAAGCGTCTGTCTGAGATTGGATTCCGCGTCCAGGACGTCCCGCAGGCCACCTTCTACATCTGGCTAGACCTAACATCCATCGAGCCCCCTCTTCCAGCCAAGGCAAACATCTCTGACGGTCTGAACTTCTTCAACGCTCTCTTGACCGAGAAAGTCATTGTGGTGCCGGGAATCTTCTTTGACCTGAACCCGGCGAAGAGACGCGACCTGTTTGATAGTCCCTGCCATCATTTCGTGCGTCTGAGCTACGGCCCCAAGATGGACGTCCTCAAGAGGGGTTTGGATGGCATTGAGAGAGTGATCCGGCGGGCTCGGGGAGAGGCCACGCAGCAGTGGGAAGACGAGGTGGCCATCCAGGACGATTGAGGGTTACATTCCAGTGCAGAGCATTCGTAGATAGCGTATCAAAATTATCTTTATCAGTGGATATAGACCGGCTGTTGTATATATTCCCAGTAGAGTAAACAGTAGAGACCGTAGTGCGATGATAGGTCACGTGCAACCCGCCGTCCTCCGTCATCGCCTCCTGGGAAGTGTTCTTGCACAGGAAGTTAAGCCGCGACGCGCAGGATGCTGCGCCTGCGATCATGGCCTGGAATTTCTACCGCGTGCTCAACCACACCGTCTTCACCGTGCTCTTCGTGATCCTCTTCTGCCTGGTGATCTTGACCCCCGCCGACGCCATCTATCAATGCTACATCACCTCCCGACTCACCAACATCTTTATCATCACCGGCGGATACGTCGTGACCATTCTTCTGGCGGCCTTGATCTATGCGACGCGGATCTACACCAACCGCACCGTCCTCTCGGGGATCCCCAAGGCATGGATCCCCATCGAGAAGGAGGATGTCGGCAAGGGTGTGCGGCGCTTGGTGATGGAGGGACTGGCTCGCAGCGCCATCGTGGCCTACCAGGCTCGGCCACGAGACATGGCGGCCGATGGGAACCGTTTTGATGACTACCCGATGCTTGTGGTCGATCGCGACCATCCACCCTGGGAACACGTCGAGCACCCAGGCTGGTCGTCCCCGTCGTCTACCGATCTGCCCGATCTGCCCTACAAGACTGTCATTCAGGAGTTGCCAAATCTCATCGAAGCCAAGGCGGTCTCCCTTGCGCCCCCGGATCCCCTTTTCGCCTTCAACCACGCTTCTTCTTCCGCCGACGTCGATCCTGCCCCCCCGGATACGCGCGTAGTGGAAGTCATGCGGCGACCAGCTTCCATGGGACTACGGGAGTATCTACAACATCTGGCTGGATTGGATATGCTCCATCCACCGGAGATTGGAGCAGAGTTTCTCGCCCTCTACGAACGTGCTCGCTTCTCGGCGCACGAGCTCTACGAACACGAATTCCACCAGTTGATGCATGTCTTTGCGGAGCTCTTGCGGGGGATGAAACTCGAGGATCCTCAGATCCTGGGAACGGTCGGAGATGACAGTTCCCGCGGTGCGAGTGAATCCATCATCGGACCGTCGGACGAGGAGGGTGAGACCGATACGATGGACTTCCATGACGACAGCGAGGCGCTCTCCCGCGGCCGGAGTCACAGTCGACAGATATCGAATGCATCAACCTGGGAAGCCCACTCGCTGTACAGCACCCCGCCGAAACCGCGCCTTAATCCTCGATTGCAGGAGCCGCATCGCACACTAGCTGTCCCTCAAACGCCGTCCCTGCGCTCGCTGCGACCGATGCGATCGAACACGTCCGAGAGCTCAGAGGGGAGCGTCATCCGCTTGGTAGAACCTCAGGGGCCGGGGGACCTCCCGTACACCATCAACTTCAATCCGAATGGTCGTCCGTACGGACAATAAAGTTGGTGATTTAGATAGAAATAGGAACCAACAATCAACGTACTTTGTAACCGCGTATGAGTCAGCCGGGACTAGTTCCGTGCTTGGCATTGATTGATAAGATTGCGGTCGCTCCTGATCGGATTTCGAACCATCGCTCATCGTCTCGCCATGCAGGCTCTCTTTCGACGAGGCACTTCGTTCTTTGGCTCTACGCCGTCCGAATCCCCCAGAGGGAGCCCGGTCCGGTCGGTCGAGGAATTTTCAACGGCCCCCTCCTACGACACCTTGTTCCCCAAGACCGACCCCTCGGTGGACGGCGAAGAATGTCTCCACGACTGCGCCTCCTGCACCATTCGATACCCCGCCAGGTTTGACGTGGACCAGCAAGACGAAGTCTACGCCAATGTGAATGGCTGGGCGACCCATCTGCTGGTAGCCACCGGCAAGACCGATTGGGTGCGAGACGTGGCTGACGAGCCCGGCAGCGTCATGGAAGCGATCGAGAAGGGTGGACTGGAGCCTAGTAACGGGGTAAGATAAACGTATTTGTGAGAGAAAGAGAATAAGAGTCGATCATGGTCCGCTAACCCACGCGTCCCATGTCCACTGCAGAAACTGAAACTCTCGGCGTCCAACATCCCGGTCCCCGACGAATACCACGAGCATGCACCAGGGAAACAACCCACCAGCGTGCTGCTCCTCCCCAGCTTCACCGTCGTGGACCACGTCACGCCCATCCTCGTACCTCAACTCATCCAATACTTTGTCAACCCGGCGCCGACCACGACGACGCCACTTGGCCAAGCCCCAGCCCCAGCCCTGACGGACGAAGGGACCACGTCGCTACGATCCCGTCAGTGTCCACACGCCGCCGTGATTCTCCTCTGCTCGCAGCGCACGCGCGATGCGCGCTGCGGACAGTCAGCGCCGCTTCTCAAGCGGGAATTCGAGCGCCACCTCCGGCCGCTAGGACTGTATCGGGACATGGACGACGAGCGACCGGGCGGCGTGGGGATCTACTTTATCAGCCATGTGGGGGGACACAAGTATTCGGCGAATGTGATCGTGTACCGACGACGAGATTTCGAGTGGTATCGGAAGGAGTCCGGGGGGGAAGAAGGAGCGGCGCAGGGGATCTGGCTGGCACGAGTGCGACCGGAGGACTGTGAGAATGTGATCCGATACACGGTGCTGCAGGGGAAGGTAGTGAAGCCGAAAGAGCAGTTAAGGGGGGGATTTGATCGAGAGAGGGGGAAAATCAGTTGGTGATCTATGATTGTATATCTGTGATAGACCTGTATAATCCGTACAGAACATACATTTGGCATATTTTGATAGAGGACGAGTCCACATACCTTCGTAGTGCTCCTTATGTGGATCCATAATATCAGGATGATCTCGTTTAAAATTACTTGGATCAGTTAGACCAGGTAGGTACAGAGTAGTCCATACTTTAAGAAACAGCCTCATACAGTGAATACGAGCTCATATATCGATCTACGAGTTAGTTTCGATCTACTTTTATGTAGCTAGGTGGTCCGTTTCTAGCCGATGAGCATCAAAATTAAAAGCCCACTCTGCAGAGTGCACAGTGCGGTACACCGTACTACCTGGTTAGTGAGCTTAGACGGTCCTACTATATTCCTGGAGGCTTAGTATATCTGATATACCTTAATCATAGGTAACCTATGGTAATGATTATCTTAATTTGATTGTACATATTAGTTATTGTATTTCATGTACCTTTAATTGATGTCCTGTCGGTCTAAATTTGTTCTTGAGACTCGTCCGGAGGTATCTCACAACCTACCTTAGTGTATGAATACTATCTTGATAGCTTTTTACTAAGAAGTAAACTACGATGAGTATATATCTAATTTCAGGGCTACCTATTCCATAGAGTATATTGTCAATTATACTGAAGTTTTACTCTATATACCATATACGGAGTACTCATACAGTAGATACTAACTATGTAACAGCCATCTATTAGATAACAAATCTACTTTATCCAGTAATCAATAGATTCCATAACTCGCCATCTTATCCTAATCAACTAGTTAGTCCTATGCAATGTACACGGAGCTCCGAGATAGGAGATTCTTTCACCCGCGTACCTCATTTGGTATGTAAGCTACTCAGTATGGTATGTAAGATACTGTCGTCACGGGTACAGTTTTCCCTTTAGGTATGCACATTAATAATACTAATACATACACGCACAAAGAGATGCTGGCTATGATACTCCAGTTAACTACATATGGTTATGATTATCTAAGTAGGTACATAAATATATTAACTATACAGAAATAGGCAGATAAAATCCTTTTTGCCACCTCCACATACATACTGTATATCTTTGTACGCGTGTATGTCCAAGTAGAATGTAGTATGGATGAATGTATGTACAGTCGATCCATCAGCCACTGACTGATGATTCGTGTCGTCTCAAACTTACTTCTTCAGTCCCCCTCCATTTCACTGATGTGACTGACGGTGTGGCATACGGATAGTGCATGTATTTTTTTTATTTATTCTTTACTATTATTGCTATTTTTTCCCTATGGAATTCTCCCCTTGTCTAAGACTGCATGCATTGACAGTTATGCATCCTGGTATCATACTGTATGTACCGAGAATACTCCGTATAAATACTAATGGAATAATCCAGACCAAATGGACCAGTGGATGCGGGGTGGAGTCACCAACCGTTAGGTTGTTTCGACTGTCGATCCCTGGTGGACGTTCCATGGCGTTGGCGTATTGTACAGAGTATTTATCTGGCTGTAATCAGGAGCAAGCTCAGATTCGTTTCTTCTTTTGTTCTGATGATCATTTGATATGCTCACTATTACATTGATCATTCAAAGCCCACAGTCTGCAGAATAAAAAGGTTAACGTCAGGGCAAAAAGAAAAAAGAAAAGCGCAATACTGCTACGTACTGATCGGCACCCCTCCGTGTGTCAACTAGGTAAGGAGCTCCATAACCAATATTAACTGAGAGACTTCCCAGAGGAATAAGAAAAATGTACTCCATGCATCCACGCATGCCGTCCGTATCCGTAGCGGTCAAGTCAAATTCTTGATTTACCGTCTGGTACCTATTCACAGCGGCGATAACCAAAATCAGAAACAAATAAGCAACAGAAAGAATTCCACATAGATTACCAAAAACAATCAGGTATCAAGGTATCGCAACAAACGCCTAACCCTTTAACGGAGAAATCAGGCCATATTGGCCAAGCAATAAAAACAACCATCCCAAGCAAAAACGAGACGGCGGGACCTAAAACACCCGTAAAAATAGTCGTTATAGACATCACACAAGAGTTATCGACTGAGTGGACTTGGGTGTGGAGATTCCCTGCGGAACCACCATTCAAGTAAGGGATAATGTTAACCGACCCCGAGAAACGCCCAGTCGGTTCCCTCGGGTTGGTTTAGAAGCCGGGTTTGTTGTTGTTGTTTGTACTGGAAATTCTGAGGGTAGGTAACCATGAGGCCATGTCCATCTGCTGTGGGCACACCCCCGAAGGGGTGCTGGAACTCCGGTGGTACGTAGCCGGGGCGGCCTTGGTCGTAGCGCTGTTGCATGAGTTGCTGCATGTATTGTTGCTGAACATGCTGCACGTCAACGGGGGGCGTCACGGGCACATTATGGGCAACGATTGGGGGCGCCTCCTGTACGGCAACTGGTGTCATGGGTATATTCTGGGGAGGATAGAACTCGTGCGTTGGCGTGGATGAATGAGGGTAGTAGGGCTGCTGGGCGAGGAGATACTGGTCATTCGCTACGGATGTACTAATGGGGGTCTGGTACGAATGCTCCGATGTTACATCTTCTGAAGCTGGCCGAGTCACCGTGCCGGGTGGATGTGAGCGGTGTTGATGTTTGGTCAGGGTGGTTTTTCGACAAAAGCTGCGTGACGGTCTTAGCAACACCAGGTCTCCACGAGCACATTCCAATCTCACCTTCGTTCGCATGTAGGTTCCTGGCAGATATACGGCCGCTTCCCGGTGTGAATCCTGCGATGGCGTGCTAGACTGGATGACTGGGGAGAGCTGTCAGCAATTGCAGGGTAAGCAGACACGATAACGAGGGGAGCCGCATACATCGGAGAATGCCTTGCGGCATCCTTCGTGGTCACAGACATGAGGCTTTTCCCCGGTGTGCGTTCGGGAATGGACAGTCAATGCACTCCGCTGAATAAAGCTCTTATTACAGTCCTTGACCGTGCAATGATAGGGCCTTTCATTTGTGTGTATTCGATAGTGTCTGCATAGGTCCGATTTGCGGTTGAAAGACTATTATTGAGATACTATTAGATAGGCCACTTTCGAAGGAATATAGAAGAGCAATAACCTTGCCACAATGCTCCCATGAACAGTTAAAATCGCGCCCATTGCCAGGTGCCATGGCCGCGGAGATAGCGTGTGGATATGTCGGGGAAAAAGTGGGACTATGGAATGACGGGATACAATCCAAAAGATGGTCAAGAAGAAGCCGATGAAGGGGGCGGGGATAATAGGACAATGGAGAGGGGACGTTTAAGAAGATAAAGTAAAAGCGAGGTAAGACGGCATGGAATGTTCACGGTCGAATAATAATAATAATAATAATAATAATAATAAGGAAAGAAAGGAAAGGAAATGAGTTAACCTGTCAAAGTGTTTCGGGGGTGGGAAGAAATCAAAATTAAAAACAGAGCCAAAAAAAAGGATATAAATATAAATATATAAAAAATAAAATTAAAAAAAAAAAAAAAGGCAACCCAGAGAAATTGAGATTGGAGCAGATAGATACTAAAGAGCAGCAGCGAACGGTTCGGGAGAGGAAATGGATTAGTGGATCGGAAGAAAGGTGAGCGAGAAGTCGACCGGGGGAGGGAAGAGAAGTCGATCCTAGTCTCAAGTGGAGAGGCTGTCAAAGTAGGCAAATTAAATCCGAGCAGACAGACGTGCAGCATCAATAATCATTGGAGGTCTGGCCAGCGAGTCACAGTAGGCCAAATGGATTGAATGGGGAAAGCAACTGCTTGCTAATTTAGGGGGAAGAAGAACGACAATAACCAAATCAAAGAGGGTAATAACAATGATGATAATTTTCCTCCTTACTATGATCACTATAGGTATTCTCCTGAGAAAAAAAAAAAAAAAAAAAAAAAAAAAAAAAAAAAAAAAGAAACGCCAAGAGTCGGATTCCATACACAAAAAGTCAAGGTCGTTGGGGATGCTCCTGTTTGGAGGAGGTAAAATGGATGGTTATAAATAACAAGAATCCGGAATAATAATAGGAGAGGGGGGACAAACAGAAAGAATAAAACTAACAAGTAGGTAAGTATTAGGGGGAAGCCCAGTGATACGGGCAGATTAATCTAACCATGCCAGCTTGGGCCTTGCACCTTGTTCTTATGTTGTTGATTTATATCCCTCTGGCTATAGCATGAGATAGAAATAAATGAAGAGGTAATCCTTCGATAGCCCAAAATAGGACCTTGACATGAGCTGACAGACCCCAGAAATGTCTTGTTCTTTGGACGAGTGATTTTATTTTTATTCTTACTGTAATATTATCCATTTTACTATGTGGTTTTCTTCCTTTCTTTTTCTTTTTCGAGTAGTTTTTTTATTTTTTTTATTTTTTGAAAAAAATAAAAAATAACCTACAACTTACTCGTCTGCCATGGAAGCAAGAGGCGCGTATTTTATATTGAAAGCAACTTACAAGACACCAGGATGTATGTACCTACCTAGCTACAGAGCCAACCTAGTGCTACACTACCTAGGTACCTCCCCTACCTAGATAGTAGGTACATATTTACATACATAAGCTCCCAGATACTCCACTAGGGTAGTTACAGGCCGGTAACCACAGACTGATTTGTCTGCCCCCTAGCTGGCGGTGGAAAAAGTCGTCAACAACATATTTAAGTGAGTAGTGTGAGATTTATGATTCTATCACTCCCTATTGATTGATTCGTCTTGCATTTACGGTTGATATAGTTTTATAGTTCTTATTTTTACTTTAATTTATTTGTTTATTGAAAACACGAGGATTCGAACCTTGCACGAAGCCATGGTAAAGTCAGCCGATGATGGGAACTGTATCCCGTACCTGGTCCAATTACACCCCCCCCCTTCCCTCTCCCCGCGTACGGAGGACGGAGAAAGGGATTGATCTATTCTTGTCCAGACATATACCCAGTCCATCGAAGCAGTGGAGAGGTAGTAGTAGTATGAATGACCCGCGTCTACTAGCTTGGATATCCACCTAGGTACCCCGGTCGACGTGATTTTTATTATCTCCCATCCGACTCCCCCGTCCAGCAGTGTCTAGGATAGACAGGCCCTTGTCTAGTAGAGTGCTAGATATCTGGGTCTGGGTGGATTGATGAGCATTACTAGGGGAAAGGACGGAAGCGCTAGAGGCTGGATGCCCACCGACAGAACAGTTCTGGTCAAGATTATTTGGGGAGGGGAAAGGTCCCCACTCCATCTTTGCCTGTGCCTTGGGGACTAGAGTATAAACTCGACCAATCATCTCCTGAGGAAAAAGCAGGCTGACCTTGGAAGAAATCCACTAGACGGATAGTGGGTTTAGCTTCGTGCATGATGGGATCCCACATTGCTGATGCTACGGTATCTGGCGGTACGCGAATATGACGGTAATCTTCCTCCCGTCCAGAGCATCTCATCCAAGGTACGATACATTACTTAGGCCATTCTAGGTATTCAATACCCCCAGGGACCTTTATCAGAAAAGCCTCAGTGGAGCCTATTCGTGGATATGTGGATTCTTCTGGTGGAGGCCACTTATCTTTGCAAGAACATTGGATGGTGGTCGACCAGGGGAGCATGTAAGCATGGGAAGACTTTCCACTTTTCCAGGGGTAATTAAGCCGTAGGTATGGACATGGACAGAGTAGGAATGGATGTACATGTATGTACCTGTCACTACAGTAGGCTGGCCAGTACTAAGGCTGTACCACCACCATGTACCTAAATCCGTTCAGTATGATTGACTGGGCCCCGGACTAATAGAAAACTGCTTACTGAATTCGGATACGTCTAATCAGCCAAGCGGCTTCCGCAAGGCTAGTAGCCAATTTCGTTGATGTTAGTATGTATGTATTACTGGAACAAAGAAACTGCTATCTATGGAACAAGCGCTGACAGGGACTGGCCAGATGATTGGAGTGTTGCATGCCAGCAAAGGCCACTAAGAATAATAAGTAACAATCATAGTCAACAAAGGACTAGAGGATTCGGGAGAGATAGGCATTCCGCAGCTACAATAGCGAAGAATATATTTAGTTTACTTTCCCTGACAGTTATCATGGAACTCAACGGAGTACCAGTATTGTTTTATACCTTACTATTGCGTACTATAGGTACCGGTGAGCCCGTACAGCCTAAGCCAGGCCGGTCCGCCATGAATACGGCTAGTTATCCTTCTTGTTCTTTGACATAAATACTTGAAGCGCTCCTTTATAGGGTACTAACTAAGTTATGATTCTGAGGTGAAACCCCAGGTGGATCGTTAGAGCTCTTCTCCTCCACGTGGCTGTTACAAAGGATTGTCGAGAACCTGGCAACACGGACGGGAAGCGGGAGAAGGATTCTCGATAGGTCCCAGCACATTCAACTATTCCCCCCTCTTTATTCCCACCACCCGTCATCCTTCCCGGAGGACGGTGAGCAAAGGGGTAAAATAAAGTCGGACGTGGAGCTCGTGGCGGTGTCAAGCATGGTCAACGCTGAAGCTAGATATTCCTTCTCTCTTAGACTCTAGTCTTTAATTCTATCACTGTTCATCCACATGGCTCCCCCTCCACTCGGCCCTGGTCGGAGTGCGGTCTAGGTACCTATCGAATTCGACCTCCTATACGGAGTCAAAGAGGCTTTAAATTTTATCTGAGGTTGAAGTGCAGATCCCAATCATACTGTTGGCCGCGTTCTAAACCTAAACACCAAGAACGTGCTTTACTCCGTGCCTTTCCCCATACTGACCTGTGGTTGAAGACTAAACTCTCACCTTGATCTGTCAATCGTACAGCCTATACTCCGTAGAGCAAGAGGGGTCCCTTTTGAGCTTGGCGAAGACCTCGTCCCCACCTGACATCGCCGATGAAGGCAACCAACAGTTGATGGAGTCCGTGTTAGATAGGTATCATGGCCTGGTGGATGGGGGAATTGCCTGCGGTCTTCCGGTAGTAGATTCAGTGGCCTCAACTATGAAGAAAGGAAAGAATCGTAACGCTTGACCAAGCAGTCCCTGTTTGTAACTTTCCTTCTCTGCGTGTCTTAGCAACAACATATGTACTCTGTAGATAGATACTCCTATACTCCGGACACATGGTGAAGGGGTCTATCGACTTGTCCATGTCAACGCTTTTGTCAAAATTACCATTCGCTTCATACATACAGAACCATACATACGGTCAAATACATATTCAGTACATAGGATACCGGAAGGAAATACTCCGCCAAATTGGCAAGTTGGTTTCAACTCTCGTCCAAATTAGCAAACCCCTCCAGGCCAGTCATACACACCGGGTTAGAAATCCGCTCTTCTCACCCGACAACAGTCCATCATCACTGCACTGTTTTCTGACAACGATGCGGATGTTCCCACAACGGGGCCTCTTTTAAGGAAGGAGTATCTACACCCCAAAGATACCCACTCTTCGGAGATCATCGAAGTTACCCCCAAATGTATACGACGAGAACGACTACGTCGTCGTCCACACATCCTTCCTTGCTCCACCTTTTGGTTTGGTCTTCTCATCATAAGCACAAGCACTGGCCACATAAAGTTGCCTAGCACTGTGCCACAGTACAGATACCTCGCCGGTCGCAAGTCTCCAATCCTTTTCAAACTCTACTCTGGGAATCCGTCAATGAAAGACGACATCAACAGCCGCTTGCATTGCATGTAATGCAGGAAGCAGGCCGCTGTTATGTCATCGTGCTGATCTCCAAGCAAGAGTGGTGTGACAGTAGCTAGGCAATAGCATTGTAATGATGGGCCGACGTGACGGATCTCCCGACTCTGTACAAACTGCAGAGTGTGTGCTTTGTCTACATTGATGATTTGTCTAGATTGATGACCAGATGCCATCGGAGAAAACGTCATCACCACCATTCATTCTCCTCCTTCTCACTTTAAACCCAAGTACCTGGTCGTTGGTTCTGACAGCCGCCGCTCCAAGCTGCAGACGGGAAGAATCATGTGTCGAATCAGAGATGAATCTTTATGGCGGATTTGTTACCCCTCGTATTATTATCATTATTAGTATCGTGGAGGTGGATTGATTACTTTTTCAACCATCGTTTAGACTCTTCTTCTATCATGATTGCTCACTGGGAGATACAATATACTCTTCAAAGCCATTCATTTCCCTGAGATTCAAATCCCGATATCCACGGGGTCTGGGACTGCCCATGCAAGGAGATGTGTAATGGACAGGTTGTATAAGAAGGTAAGCTGATTCGAAGCTGGTGGGGTGATCAACGGTAGTCAAACTGACTAAATTGCTCCTACACCAAACTAGTCGGCTAGCCAACATCTCGCTAGTCGCATCTTGGCCAATTCCCCGAAAGCCCAGCCCTGGCATGATTAGGACTAAATTTGCTGGCATCGGTCATCTGTTGGACAAGGAAGTCATCTCCTGCCTTTGACTCGCCTGTCTCCCCCCTATTAGCTGTCTAGTCGTTTGATCCTCTATCCCCACTTCGCTTCTGTTCCTCTCTTCTCCACATTGGGCTTTTTTTATTGTCTTGACTCTTGATCCTTATCATTAACGGATTCTAGGCTCCATTAGTTGTAGACTTTCACGTGTAACAATGTCGGGACAGGCACAAATATCCACCCCGCGTCCTTTAAGAACAAACGGGAGAAGGGAATATAACCTGTTTTCTTGTCACGCGCGAAAAGAAAATGGACGGAAAGCGGGTGGCCTGTGTGGGAGGTTAGGTTGACTGTCCACAGCAGGAGCAGCAGCAGCAGCAGCCATTATCAGGCTAAATCTACTCTTGCGCGAGATCCCATGTATCCTAGCACTAACTACCACTGCGATTGATGTTATTATTGGGCGCGCATATGACTCGCAGTATCTCCCGTGGGCCTACAGTAGAACTAAACTCTGGATCGTGGGCGCACCTCGCGAGCGACTACTCTGTACGCCGTGTGTTTCAATCCACGCACAATCAGGCTTGACATAGAGGATGGGTATTTCTTGCCGCGGTACCGCCAACGATCATGGGCTTCTCCGCTTGGGTGAACCGGCGATTGGCTCCTCATGCCTACGACCGAGGTGGGAATATGAAACTAGGTGCTGGAGGTGTGCAGCTCTTCTTTGTGGATGATGCTAGACTTACATGTGCTTGATGCACCAGCATTCGATAGGTGGCCAGCACATAGAAAAATCTCCGATTTGCATGTTTCTAATGCACCGTCAGGTTTTATTGATCCACGCTGCGCAGCCACTCGCCCAAACGGCTCGGCGCGGAACTGTGAGGGAGGCGGATTATTTCGATTCCTGGCCTGATCGAATCAGGTGGAAATCAATCAATGCATAATGAGCTGGATGGGACACATGAATGAAGTGAAATGGCTCTTCAGGATGCCAAGTGCGCTGTCGGAAACGCCACTCGAAGATAGTAAAACATGACCAGTCCGGCTGGTATACCTCCTGGTTGGTACGCATCAATTACCATATTAATAGTATTCTCGTGTATTTCGAGTCTCATTGTCTATTATCTCTTGGTTAAACTGTCGGTGAGGCGTTGTTATCGGGTGAACTATTTCCTATCATGGCCTTTAGTGCCCTCCAGATCACAACTTGGTTTACGGAGTAGTTTGATTTACTAGTATTTTGTTATGCTTTATTTGTTTATTTTCTATTTTTTTAATTTCATGATTTGGTTTGTTCTCCCCTCTTATTGCTCTTCTCTCTTTTTTTGGCCCTCCGCGACCACCACTCTTCTTACGAGTGAGGCTCCTCGCGAGACAGTCGATGTATCAAGTAGAGTCACTGACTAGTTTAAAGTCTAGATTCCCGATTCCATCCTTGGGGGTAAATGGTATTGATTTTTTCAGCCTTGGCTCTGTGCGCCCAATCCCCACCGTTGTTAGTGGCTGCTTTCGTATGGAAACTCAAAAGAGAATATGGATCTGATCTGATCTGATCTGACCGAAGGGGCCAGCTGGCTTCTATAGGGTTTGAGAATGCTTACATGCAATCCTTTGGAGTGGCTGAGTCGTCTTTATTGAATCCTTTTGCCTCATTATTGCTGAGATCTCTCTCTTTAATTATTTCCCCGATACAGAGGACTTGGTGAATTGTACGAGTAAGCCGTGTTTCGCTGACTGATTTATCTATTAATCATTATATCTTATGTGGATCTGACTACACACAGCTAGCTGATCGACTTGACTTTTAATCATAGAGCAATTCTTTTTCACTAGTAGATAATGACGAGGTGATGCATGGATGATCGTATATCGAGCGATTCGCTCGGGTGTCCTGTCCCCTGGAGCTCTTATTGTGCTTGATGGCTGTAAGCCTTCTTTAGCTACGTCCCCAGGGACTGCGACCTGCCTCGTGGAGCATGCATGGAACGACTGGAAAGAGAGAGAGATTCTATTCTGGATGTTGAATCGATGTCAGATTCCTGAATCATGCATGGACAGACGCTATGGCCATTACGCCTGATATGGGGCAAAAATCTGCATGTCAGCATCGATTCCAGCTGATGTGCATCTCATCTCGTCTTGTACATAGATATGAATACTTTGTCCGTTGGATTTTCTGACGTAGATTAGCTACCCAGATCACCTGTCACAGTGCGGACGCCCGATAGCTACTAGTATAAAATGTCAATCACTGATCGATCTTTCTAAGCAAACCACAACCTTCGCCTTCCCAGATCCCGACAGCGTGGGGAAAACGCACGCCCCGTCCCTGTAGTCTGTACAACTTTCTACTCGCATCTGGTTGGTCCTGACCATCGTTAGGCTTGCGGGGTATACGAGCCTTGCATCCTGGCAGATATAGCCTGATCCAAACGTCATCTCGTTTCTCGTGAAACAGACTCTGCACCAGTATCTACCTGCCGTCCCGTCCAAGGTCTCTTTCCCATTATGGAATGGACGATGCTGTACGCTAGTGATTGCTCTGTTGTGGGGTTTTTACCTTCTTAGGAGTAAGCTTAGAAGTTTATGTAGCGGGGTCGTGATACTAGTATTCTGGAGGCTCATGGGAGCTTTGACAATTAATTTCCTGGGCATTTTTCCAGGATGACTGCTGAGTATTGAGTAGTTAGATAGACCGCCACGTCGTCCTCGTATTGAGTCAGGAGGTCAGGCAAAGAGCGCCGGTCACGGTCACGGTCACGGTCAGCTTAGCTTAGCTTCGTTTTCTGCTCTTGACTCATTACGAGTAGCCATTCACCATCAACTAACTAGATCCCTAGATTTAGTAATTGGATCAAACTACTGCCATAGTCTATGACTCCTCCTCGGCCAACCACAGCGCTATATTCTTCCATTCATCTGCTACCCTTTCCACCCACATCGACGAACAGTTCGCCACCACCCCCCGCAAAAACATCTCAGTACAACTTCCATCTTCCCCACCGGCTCCCGCATGGGCCGGCATACCTAGGTTAGTACGGATATGTATCTGCATCACCGTCATGTTCTGAAAAGGATACGAATTCTTCTCGTCTAGCGCAGCCGCTCCCAGCCCCAGCATGCAGCATAGGCGACTCAGCAACTGTTGGAAGAACCTCATTGCATGACAGACCTAATCGCCGGAAAACCTCATACCATGGGACACTGAATAAAGATTGATCGTGCTGGATGCGCAGCAGTTACTCCAGGATTGTCTCCCGGGGTCGAAGGCGATGAAGTTGAAGACTCCGCTGAATGTTGGTCCTGCGACTCGGACGGGTCCATATCAAGTGTCTGTTCTCCGAGCGAGGCAGGGATGAATGGGATGAATGGGAAGTGGGAGCTGATGGCTCCCAGGTTCAGAATGACGGCGTGGGTATGGTTTGTGTGCGAGATGGCTAGGAGCGCTAAAGCGGCTTTAAGAATGACTGGGGTGGGCCGACGCACTGAGACGGGAATATTGGATGCGGCTAAAGGACATGAACGTGTTCTTTCAGGTCGCAGAGATACTGGACCACTGCTATCTCTGCTCTTTATCGTCCAACATAGTACTCCTGGTCGTCATCACCCACAAAGGCAATGTCCCTGTTTGAAACTAAATCCGGCCATCGGCTTCGTAAAGCGCCAGATGCTTGCTGTACCAAATAGTGGGATATTATCGAGTATCCCAAATGATGCAGCTGACCGGGGCACTTGGTAGCGGAGGCTGCTCTCCTAGAGCACAGATGCGAATTTGGGACCCACTCACAAGCTTACCAGTAGCCACATCATGACCATTGATGATTGTATCTAGATCCTGCACGGCATCGGTAGAAATGGACGCTACTTCCACAATGCCACTGTAATTTTCAATCCTAGGAACCTGAAGACACTCCCGGCATTTTCGAGACACCTGAGGAGCCACGGCAATTCCGGCAAATATCACCGGCTTCAGATGCCCAGTCGTTCCAGTAGTAGTGTCTCTCAGTACTTCTGCCAGATTGTGGACCATTGTTGGAATCATCGCTGCATGGGTACATTTGTCTTGATATACTGCCTCGACCATCTCGTGCGGGCTGAAATTTGGACCAGCAACGACCATGCATCCGCTCCGTACTAGGGATAGAATCGTGCAGATAAACACAAAAGCGTGGACAGTTGGAGCCACTGCAACTATTTTCCCCAGGGAGGTTGTCCCTAAGCTCAAGGACTGATCTAGTACACTGAACCACCGGGCTGCTTTGATTAGACAATCATTTAGCGAGGCTGTCATCCCACATGTGAAAAGTATCAATCTCTCTTCTTCGTTATGGTCAACGGAATGTCACTGTGGACAGCCAGTGGGAGGTTGTTGTCGTCCAGAAGAGTCTGATTCACCATGCCTGTCATCCGTGACAGAGATCTTAACTATCTGACTTCTGAGACTCCATAACTATATCCTCCATGTCTTGAGCTTCGACATGGGAAAATCTCACTGGATTGATGGAAACGTGGACCATATCCGTTGAGAATGCCGCGAGCGTTGCAATTGCGTATCCCACCTATTTATGACAGAGGATGAAAAGGGAGTGCCTGGTGTCAGGCTGTGGGCTGTGAGACTATTGACGAGGTAATTGACAGCTCTGTTGAGAGTCGCGTGGCCCATCTCACATATTCCAGTTTCTCAGATGACGGAGAACCGACAAAGCCATATATATCTGGAGACTGACGAGTAGATACTATAGCCCGACTGTCAGGGTGCTTTTCGAGAATTTGATTAAATCGGTAGATGATTGTCTAGGATTGGAAATTGTATGAAGACTGGGCTCCCTAGGCTGACAGAGAGAATGCATAGTATGCAATGTAATTCACAAAAACATCAATCCTGGCAATAAGCTTAGAACTAGACTTAAACAACAGCTGACAACACCTATGAGGGGTATTTAAACTATCACGTACACACATCTAGTGCCTTAGATAATGCCTGAGGCTGAGCTATCTTATCTAATCCACGGCAGCAATCACATGATCGATGTTCTGGTCGGCTTCAATTTCGGCGCCCTGCATCAGTTGTCGGGTGTAGCTTCCATCGCCACATCGGCTCTGACGCAGTAGACATCTAATTGTGAGACTATTCACTCCGCCAACTGACTGTCATGGCCGATAAGGCAGCCAAGCAGGACCAGACTGTCATCCTGGTCACCGGTGCCAACAGGTACGGCCTCCATTTTTCTGCCTCAGTGACTGTCCGCTTCTGTGCTCTTCTCTCTGCAATTCGCTCTCATCCCTGACTTATCACCCCGTTTGTGCCAATCGTGCCTGTCCTTGCAGTGGTCTCGGTTTTTCGATCTGTTGTCGCTTAGCGGACGAGTTCCTGAACGCTTCTCAGAGTACCGCCCACCAGTTCTTGACCATCATCTTCACCACTCGGAGTATCCGAAAAGGGGAAGACACTCTCCATCGCCTGAAAGACCATCTACGGAGTACCTGGACCTATTCGGCTGCGGCAACACGAGTGACCTTTGTCCCCGAGAATGTCGACCTGTCCAATCTCCTCTCCGTTCGGGCCCTCTCTCACCGACTGCAGCAAACATACTCCAAGCTAGACGCCATCCTACTTAATGCCGGTGTGGGCGGCTGGACGGGCATCGACTGGTTCAGAGCCATCTGGGATATCTGCACCGACCCTGTGCATGCGGTTACCTGGCCGGCATACAAGCTCGCACCCGCCGGCGTGGTGACCGATCCTCAAACCGCGCAGACGGAGCAAGAGCCCCGATTGGGGGCTGTCTTCTGCGCCAATGTCTTTGGTCACTACATGCTCGCACACAATGTTATGCCGCTACTGAGACGGTCAGACCACCCCGGTCGAGTCATCTGGGTGTCCAGCATCGAGGCAACATTGAAGTTCTTCGATGTCGACGACTTCCAGGGCCTGCGCACCATAACTCCCTACGAGTCCTCCAAAGCATTAACCGATATCCTGGCTCTGACGGCCGACCTCCCTAGTTCCGCCCCCTGGGTTAAGAGTTTCTACGGAATTGATGACAACGTCCCAAACAATAAAGACAACGACAACGATAACGACCACCCCCTTCTCTCCACCCCGAACATGTACCTCACGCACCCCGGAATCTGTGGCACCAGTATCCTTCCTCTCCCACTACCGCTGTTTTACCTGATGCTCTCGGCATTCTGGCTTGCCCGCCTGCTTGGTTCCCCCTGGCATACCCTCTCCACGTATATGGGTGCTTGTGCCCCGGTCTGGCTCGCCCTAGCTACACAGTCCGGCTTGGATGAGGCGGAGTCGCCGTACCGACGTCATGGCGGGGGACGAGCGAAATGGGGATCATCCTGCGGACTCTTTGGGCCTGATCGTCCTGCGTCCACCGAGGTTGATGGATGGGGCCACGGCGGGGTCGTTGGACCTGCCGTGGTGGATGAAGACCGAACTCGTCGTCGGAAGAGAGGCGCGCAGGATCTCACAGCGGAAGAGAAGGTGAATTTTGAGGAACTGGGTCGCAAATGTTGGCAGCAAATGGAGGAGTTGCGGCTCCAATGGGATCTGCTTCTCGATCAGGCGGAAGAGCAGTCTGGTTCTAATTAATCCAGTGGATCATTAGTCTGGTAGGATTTTCGGGGTCGAGTTCATTTCCTTTTTCTTTTTTTCTGCTTTTTTAATCATACATTATACAGAATCTGAGCTAGATTCAATAGATAAACGTTTTTAATCCGACTTTAATTAACCTACAAAATGCAATTCATCCATAGCAAAAGAGAAAAAAAATGTAGTTGATCTTTTTTTATTCATCTCTGCCTCCCATATTTACATTCCTTAAACCCCAGTTCACATAGATCATTAAAATCAGATAGTGTATTATCCCATGCGCTCGCCACTCCCCGAATAAGCAGACGCAGAGCAAGGCAGAAGAGAAATCAGTGTGCGTGAGAAGGAAAGAGAGAGAAAGAGAAAGCACGACATTGATGATTTCGGGCAATGTCTGGAAAAATGGGAGGTGACGATGGATTAACACTGTATAATAAAAGGGATATAGGAAACGGATTACTAAAGCTTTGGAAGGAAGCAGTCCAGACACACTCATACCATCAAGGTCTGCGATCGTGTGTATACGGACAGACCGAATAGGAAATAGTAAGGGTTTATGCAAGAAGAGAGAAAGGCGTGAGAAGGAGAAGCAAGAACCGCAACAAGTTAACAACTTGAAAAAAGAGGCGTCGTGCTCTTGACCAACAAACCAGGCAAGCTCAAGTCGGATCGAAATCAAAGGACGCAAAAGCAAACAGATAAAACGACTCCGGTTGTATGCATCTGGGCGGTTGCGAAGTATAGGCGGTTTCAAATCAAGATATTCGAGGACATATCGACATAAAGGAAAATAAGGGATTACATGATGATAGCGGGAACTACACCGGGATTGTTAGCCACACGGGACAGTCGAAAGCATGGTGTGCAAAATTCACTCACCATCAACGTTCTGCTTGATGCTCTTGTGGGGCAGAATAGAGCCACCGTTTACATAGACTTCGTCGGCAATGGTAACGTCGTCACCCAGCACGGTGACATTCTCTAAGCGAGCCCACTTGCCCACGGAGCTGTTCCACCCGACAATGGTCGACTTGACCCAGGCATGATCCTTGACCTTGCTGTTTTCCAGGAGCACACAGCGTTGCAAACGAACCCCGTCGCCGACAACAACATTGGGACCAATGACCACGTTAGGGCCAATCCGACAGTTCTTGCCAATCTTCGCCGTGGGATCAACCATGACATTTCCGCCATACACGTAGGGATCGCAGTTGGGGGCGAGGAGCTTGGAGTTGCGCTTGGCTAGCGAGGTGAGGTACAGGCACGTGCCGCTAAGGAAATCCTTAGGCTGACCAACATCCATCCAGAAACCCTCAAGGTCAAAGGAGTGGAGCTGACTATCCTTGCAAATGGCGGGGAACGTCTCTTGTTCGATCGAAGTCGGGCGCAGCTCGATGCGGCTCAAGACACTAGGGTTCAGGATATAGATACCGGCATTGATCCGGTTGCCGACAAACTCCACAGGCTTCTCGACGAAGCGATCGATGCGGGAAGCATGGTTGGGCTTGTGAACGACGACACCATATTTGGAAGGTTCATCAACCTTGGTCACGACAATAGTACCCTCATCACCATGGTTCCTGTGGAACTCCGCGAGCTGCTTGAATGGATAATCGCAAATGACATCGGAGTTCAGGACGAAGAAGGGGGAGTCGTCCTTGCCCAAGATCTTCTCTGCCAGTTTCAGGGGACCAGCCGTGCCGAGCGGCTCGGACTCGACAGAGAACTCGATTTTGACATTGTATTGTTCCTCATACTACGCGGTCGATGAGTGTTCGGATTGGGCAATTCCCAAGGGGCGGTGCGCATACCTTCTTGAGGGCTGAGACCATTACATCTGGGCGATAGTTAACAGCGAGAACGATATCCGTAACACCAGCCGCAGCCAAGCTCTCGACTTGGTGAAGGATCATAGGACGGTTTCCGAATTCCACCAAAGGCTTGGGGAGCGTCAATGTCTATCGAGAGGACGGCATGGATTAGCGACACATCTTTGACCGAACGGCTGGGATATTCATTCCAACATCAGAATCATCGGCGGGGGTGAGGGGAATTCCTTACCAGAGGACGCAGACGGGTACCAAAGCCTCCGACGAGAATAAGAGCTGGAAAACAGGTCAGATGGGACAGGTGAATTGGCAAAGGCTACTCGGGCCCACGGAGAAAGAAAGAAGTACATACCCTTCATAGTGAGAGTGGGATGATATTAAGATCTGGAGAACGAGAGACGAAACAAACAAGAGGGAAAAGGAGTGAAGAGAGGGGTAGTGAAAAGGGTCCAATGACCAGAGGAGAAAAACAAACAGATATCCACGGGGAAAGAAGAGATCATTCGATCGATTGGGAGATGCACACGATCTGAACCTCTCAGGGAGAAAAAGGAGGCGAGGGCGAAGAAGAGGAAGAAGATGTTTCATTATAATGCGGAAGAACACCTGGCGTTCGATCCCCGTATTGCCCGCGTATTGTTGTACGGTATCCAGGCACACTGGCAGGCTGTTTGCCGCAAACACCAAGTACGGTACCGTAATGTCCGAAGTTGGCTTAGGCCGACTGGCATCAGGTGGTTCATGGGACCACTTGCAGCCGCTGACTGGCCAACTGCGATATTCCGTCCTGATCCTATTTTTATACATAAAAGAGGCTCCCCACCAGATCCAGAGAGGATATAAGGAACAAAAAGTCCATCCTACGGAAAGAAAGACATGCAAGCGAATTATGATTTAGGTCGTTTCTAATTATACCCCGAGTCCTCAGGCGTGTCTGGCGGCAGAAGAGGGTTTTTCTTGGGAAAATGCCTTGGCCCACCCTGTCGCTGCCTGTTGCTGTCACCGCCTTCTGCATCCGGCACAAATAGCTTGATCCACTCGTGGACTTTGCTAACTTTCGCCCGCATTGCGTCGTCGACGTTCTTGGGTGCACCGTCTTGGTTAATCTCACGCAGCCTCCTTGCACTATACATTCCACCGGTATCTGTTGCGTCGACCCGATGTCGGTGCAGCAGGTCAATCTTAGTCACCCCTTTCCTAAGACTCTGGCCGTACACCCGTTTCCGGAATGAACTCAGTGCTACCATCCGCAGTAGGACAATGTCCCGCGGCCGGACGGTCGACAGCGACCGTCCAAGTTCGTGCTCATCGCCGCAGTCTCGCTCCGCGGGTTGAAGCCAAAACGTAACCCCAAAGCCGCTACGGGTATCATCCCCTACCACCATCTCAACCAGATCTAATTCACGTTGCCAGTGCCGCGTCACAATGCGACGCGGCGGGCGGATGGTGATGATGCTGACGATAAGATTAACTGTCATCGTCTGAGGCACAATGCCCTCCAGGTATGCAGCGCTAGGAATCTCTTGGAGATCGGTGATATGTCCATGCATGGAAAGCGCCGGTCTCAGAGCCTCCTCGTCGCTGCTAGTTGCAATCGAACTGCCGGTGCTGTCTGCCCAGAGACGGCTCTCTTTCAGCGAGTCCTCGGAGTGATCACCAGGCGCCGATATCTCGGACGTTTCGTGGATCTCAAAGGAATGGTCGTAGAATTGGGAGAGTGCCGAGTCTTCCGTTGCTGGTATTGATATTCTGCTTGGAGTTGCTAGGTCGTTAATGGTGAAGAACCGAGCCACTTGAGAACCCGATATGTCCTTTGGAGTAGACACTTCCGGAATAGCCAGATCCTGTAACAGCCTCCATTTCACCGGGTTACAAGCATCCGAGAATGAGCGAAATCGCTCATTTTCAATGCCCGCATCATGGAATGGATAGACCGGTGCATTCAGAAGCTCGTTTTCCTCCCAACTAAGACTCTGTAAGGTAGGGGCTCCCGTGAGGAAAATGACCTTTTTGGACATCTCTGACCGGAGCTCGACAGACCGTTGGCCATGGAGTAAAGTAGAGCACAAATCTCCCTTCACCTGGGTGAACTTCAATATAAAACCCGGAGAGAAATGCCCTACTGTTGAAGGAAATAAATGGGAACCTCTTCGAAGTCAATGCGGTTTCTTGAGCAAATCTAACACAACATGTGTAAGATTTCGGAAGCGGAATATGTATAGAAATATTGGATCCTTGGGCGGACTATGCCAGGTGCATCCAACGGTGTATATATTATATATGCTTTGTAGTGGTTGACGCAAGTTGATGTCTATTGTGCCTCGTCATCGATGGTCGAGACGAACCATGGATTCGTCATGTTGCAGGATGTGTGTTTTTGTGTCATTGTTGCTCCGTCTGTAGGATAGAGTTGTCTGCCTTAACAGCTCCCAAGAAGAAGAAGAGGCCGGATTATTAAATTGAATTATCGGCACTGGCGGCGCCCTTGTCGAAGATGCGGATGGAATCTCATGGACTTAATACTGCCTGAGGCATAAAACACGTGATCCACCTCTGCGAGCGCTGCTACAGCAGTGGCAAACCTCCGATGAATTCGCCGCCGCAAGAGTCCCGCCGGTACTCGTCCACCTGCCACCAGACCTTGATCTGCTGTCAGTCGGTGATGGCATTCTTCTCTTCTAAGAATTAGCCCTGTATTGCCTCACCTCTGTCTATCTCCCCGAGGAATAGATATTTTCTTCGTTGCGGCTAAGTGCCGCTTTCCATTGGTCAACCATGGCCTTTCAAGTTCCGATTCCTAGACCTGTAGGTACCTCGATCTCGGTCTTGCGCAATAATTTTTCTGACTCCTCGCGTGTTAAATAGAGTATCTCGGTGGTATCATCGGATATCTGGCCTTTGATGTCGAAGCTCCTCAATGTGCCGTGGAAGATTCCCGGCTCCACTGCTCCCCTAGACCTCGCTCAGCGCACAGTTGGCGAAGCGAGTTCAGCGGTATGTCTCGACTGAAGGAATGGTCGTTGCTATGATATGTTGTTGATCATCTGTTTAGGGATCTAGTACCGTCGCGCTACCGGAATTTTTGAACACGGTGTCCTCGGAATCTCTGCGAGCAGACGTGATGTGTCAACCCATGCAATGGCCACGTTCCCTATTCAACGGTAATATGGATTCCAATCTCTGAGGTGCCTGGAAACTCTAGCTAACTCCTTGGCTATGTATTAGGGCTCACGTTTTCAACTTCTCCATCTCGTATTGCTCGATCTTTCTCGCCGCCCTCTTCTCGCACCTATTCCACCTTTGCTGCGTCCCTGAATCAACTTCGCCACACTCCTCAAAAACCCGGTCTTTCCAGATCACAGCAGCAACGGTTTATATTTGGTGCTCCCTCTCAAAATCTTCTGGCGCAAAAGGAAAAAACCGCGAATAACAATCCCAACAATGCTAATGCTCAAAACTCTTTTTACCAAGACCTCCTTCGTGCCAACATGCCGGCGATCATTGTTGAACGGTATAAAAGCGGCCATTTCGCCGGCAACCAACTTTCGGAAGCGATCTATTTGAAGGCTTTGCAGCGCGTCGGAGGAGCTGATGCTGCAGCGATGGCTCCAGTCTCGAATCATAATGTCAGTCCCGAGCAGCTCCAAGCTATCGGTCAGGCTGTTGCAGCGCAGAAACATGGCGGTCAGGTTGGCTTGGCAACAAAGCAGAACGGTACTGGAGCTAAAGAAGCGCCTCTGTACGTCGTTGTCGAGGAGTCTCTTGGCAGTTCCATATTCCGCTGGATTAAGTTCTTTCTGTACTTTGGTTTCTCCGTATACATGTCTCTCGTCTTGATTACTGTGCTTGTGGAAACAACGGGTGCTCTGAAGAACATTCGAGGCCCACAGAGCAATGAGGCTCAGCCTCAGCAACAGAATGTCCGTTTCAGTGATGTGCACGGGTGTGATGAAGCAAAGGATGAGCTTCAGGAGCTCGTTGAGTTTCTACTAAACCCGGATCGGTTTTCGTCTCTTGGTGGCAAGTTACCCAAAGGTGTTCTTCTCGTGGGACCCCCCGGTACGGGAAAAACGCTTCTTGCTCGTGCCGTTGCAGGCGAGGCTGGGGTTCCTTTCTTCTACATGTCTGGTTCTGAATTTGATGAGGTTTACGTGGGTGTTGGTGCCAAGCGCGTCCGCGAACTATTTGCCCAGGCACGAGGCAAGGCCCCCGCTATCATCTTTATTGACGAATTGGACGCAATAGGTGCCAAGAGAAACGAAAGGGATGCGGCATACGTGAAGCAAACTTTGAACCAACTTCTTACCGAGCTTGATGGTTTCTCCCAGACCAGTGGAGTGATTATTCTTGCGGCGACCAACTACCCACAGCTGCTGGACAAGGCGTTGACGCGACCCGGTCGATTCGACCGGAAGGTTGTTGTTAGTCTTCCTGATGTCCGGGGTCGCATGGATATCCTCAAACACCATATGAAAGACATACAGATCAGTACCGACGTGGATGTTGCAGTGCTCGCGCGCGGTACACCTGGTTTCTCCGGTGCTGATTTGGAGAACCTTATCAACCAGGCTGCCGTCTACGCCAGCAGGAACAAGAAGAGCAAGGTTTCCGCCAAGGATCTGGACTGGGCCAAGGACAAGATCATGATGGGAGCAGAAGCTCGCAGCAGAATCATCCAGGACAAAGACAAGCTTTTGACGGCGTACCACGAAGCTGGCCATGCTCTTGTGGCCTATTTCTCGCCGTCCTCAACACCGCTGTACAAGATTACTATCGTTCCTCGCGGAATGGCCTTGGGTGTGACACACTTCTTGCCCGAGATGGATATGGTGTCTAGGAATTACACTGAATATTTGTCTGACATTGACGTTTCCATGGGTGGCAAGGCTGCGGAAGAGCTGATTTTTGGACCTGACAAGGTCACAAGCGGCATCTCAGCTGTAAGCATGCCTTTTGCCCTTTATAATTGACGCAGTTACTAACTCCATTAATTAGGACATCCAGCAAGCTACGGAAACCGCCTTCACTTTGATCACTCGATTTGGATACTCCAAGAAACTCGGAAACGTCGATCTCTCGACCAACTATGACAGCCTCTCGTCTGAAACCAAGCAGGAGATCGAATCCGAAGTTCGACGATTAGTTGAGGAGGGCCGAGTACGCGCCGAGAAAATTTTGACCGAAAAGCGAAAAGAACTGGAGCTTTTGACCCAGGCTTTGATTCAGTACGAGACCCTTACCAAGGAGGAAATGGAGATAGTCTTGAGAGGGGAGAAACTAGAAAAGCTGGAGCCAACGGCGCCGATGCCCCTCACTTTGCCCGAAGCTCTTCAGACTGCGAAGTTGAGTTCACCTCCTTCTCGGCAGGATTCTCCGACACCAACGAAGTAAATCCCCTGGTCTGACGATTCTCTCAACCCTTTCCTGTTTTCTTTCTTTATTATAATCACTCTTGCGTTTTGTTTGTCGGTCCACAGGTGCATCAGCGATCACGTATTGTTGCACATCTCGGTTGCTCCGTGGAGTCGGCCCCGTTTGACCTAACTTCTTATTTCATTATTCCTACCTTATTCGGTGTTTAGTCTTCCTCTGCGTTTGGTTTTCCTTTCTTTTGTTTCCCTTATCCCCTCTTGTCCTTGGCTTTGAATATTTACCCTCGAAATTTGAAATAAACACAGCATCTGGGCATCTGGCATATCAGGATTGAGGAGTGAATACCCAAGCGCTGGAAGCAAGTGTGGCTTTGATTTAACCTGGGCTGTACTGTATTGTACATACATCCATAAACAAAATTAAATGCTGAATTTTAGAGCGAACATTGGCCGTTTTATAAATAGACTTGTTTGTACGTTTCGAGTACTTATGCGGGGTGATATAGCTATTCATACTGCCCATTGAAAATGAAGCTAAAAGTAAAAGTAATCTTTGAAGATATAGATTGTTCTAAATATGTATGTAAAAAGCTAATGTATGTACCAGAATGATGAAGGACAAAATGAACTACCCAAGATGAAGAATTGGGTATCTTTATCAAAGACACCATACCGCCGGATTTAACAATAAAACAAAAAACCCAATGACCCCAATGGCTCATTAAAAAGAAACATGCAGCGCTTAATCGCAAAATCATCCAAATATTAGGTTATATATGCATATATTCTCTTCCTCTTTTGCATTCAGAGGGAGAGTGAATCACTCGTCGTCTCCTCCTTCCATTTCACTCGAGTCAGTCCAGCCCCGAGACATCTCGACGGCCTTGGACCAGCGCTTATACATCTTCGCACTCTGCTTTGTAGAGATACGGGGTTTGAAGGACGTGCGGTTGGCGTGATTCATGTCTTTGAGATCGCTGAAATCTTTCCAGACATTGATGGCGAAGCCGGCAGCGATGGCTGCTCCCAACGCGGTGGTCTCGTGCATAGCTGGGCGCTCGACGGGGATCTGAACGATGTCTGCTTGGGTCTTTAGGATAATCATGTTAGCATTACCATTGCCACCGAGTAGGGACAAAAGATCGAGATTACACACCTGCATGCAGATATCGGAGTTGCTCATTCCACCGTCAACAGCAAGTTGGGTCAATTTGTGACCACTGTCCACCTCAATGGCGTCAAGAATTGCCTTGGTTTGGAAGCAAGCCGCCTCCATGGTCGCTCGGGCGATATGTCCCTTCTGAGTGTGTTGAGTGATGCCAACTGTATCACTGTTAGCAATGACAATCTTAAAAGGTCTTACATGCCAGCAGGCTGCACATACAGATAGTTCCCTTGGCATCATCGATCCAGTAAGGTGCGAACAGACCGCTAAATGCAGTGACGAAAACACAGCCCCCGCTGTCGGGAACGGATGCCGCAAGGTCGCTGACTTTTCGCGAGTCACGGAAGAAACCCAGATTGTTCATGAGAAATGAAACACCGCTACCAGCAACAGCCACACTGCCTTCTAATGCGTACACAGGTTTTCGATCTTTACCCAACTGGAAGCCCACTGTGGCTAGAAGGCCGTGTTTCGAGATGACCGGTTTCTCACCGACATTATATAGCAAGAAGCATCCCGTGCCGTATGTGTTTTTGGCGCTTCCGGGCGTAAAGGCGCAGTGACCAACTAATGCTGACGACTGATCACCCAGACAGCTGGTGATCGGGATCCCTTCCAGCGGGCCCGAGCTGATGCTTCCGTAACCCTCGGGGTCTGCTGACGGGACGATCTTCGGCAGTCGAATCTTGTTCCTATCCAACCCGAAGAAATTCAGCAACCGGTCATCATAGTCGAGCGTTTCCAGGTTCATAAACATGGTTCGCGATGCATTGGTCACGTCAGTGGCGAGGCGGCCACCAGCCGGACCACCGTTCAGGTTATAGATAAGCCACGAATCGACCGTTCCAAACGCGAGCCTACCCTCATCGTAGGCAGCCCTGACTTCAGGTAGATTTTCCAGCATCCATACTAGCGTGACCGAAGATGGATATGTGGACAACGGAAGACCACAGATGTTCTTGAGCTCGTCTGCCCCAGGCCTGGACTTCAGCTCGCGGACCAGACCCTTGGTTCGGGTATCGGGCCATGCGATAGCGTTGTGTAGCGGTTCGCCGGTTTCCCAGTCCCAGCACAATGTCGTCTCTCGCTGACTGGTGATGCCAACGGCCTCGATTTCATCCGTGGAATGGCCGAGGGCGAGGAATGTCTTCATGGCCTCCTCAATACAGATGTACACCGAATCCACCAACTCCCAGGGGTCTTGTTCGTGCCACCTAGCAGGGGCCGTTAGTGACACGTGGGCGGACAACGGGACAAAGAAAAAGCTTACCCTGAGTGTTCGTGGATCTGACGAAATTCGGTCTGGTATTTCGCCACGGGATTTCCAGCGCAGTCGAAAATGATAAAACGGGAACTGGTGGTCCCCTGATCAATGGCACCAATGAAACGATCCTTTAGGTTGTCGTTGCGACGGTCTTCATTCTGTAAAAGCGGGCGATTGCCATCATGCGTTTGGTAGGCGTGAAGATCGACGTAACGTTCGTTAAGATCTTGCTCGTCGACGAGGGAGTCCAGATCCGACATATCGAAAGGATTTCTCATTCTGATGGGGGGATTGAAGTATGGTTTATAAGCAGACCTAGGATGAAGGGGGAATGGCTGAGATTTCCCTCCAGAATTTGCCTAGAAGCTAGAAGAGACGAAGCGAATGGCAAGGATGGAAGAACCAGGGCAGTAGGAATTGATTTTGGGGGGGGGAGAAAATGGCAAAAATTTACGTCCCCCGTGTGGTTCTTAAGAGAGGAGGGGAAGAACACCAAAGATGGTGAAGAGAGCAGTACTACGAGGGAGAGAGGTGGTGGGGGGAAAGCGTGAAAAGGATACTGGGCAGCCAAGATACTGAGGAGTTGTTGAAGTGGATGAGAGTGACGTATCCCGAGTGGCTGTTTGGCAAAAACGAAGACGATAGAGAAGCGACCAGAAGAGAAAAAGAGAGAGGGGATGAGGTCACTGATTGGGTGTGGTTTAAAGGGGTGGCGAGGCAGTAAAGCAGGAAAAAAGAAAAGAGGAGGAAAGATTCGCTTGGAGTCCATGAACGGAGAAGGGATGACTCTTTATCCAACCCGGTGGATCTGGAACGGTTAGGATGGTATGGGGGAATGCACGGATGGACCTCCAGAAAGCGATACAATACGTGCATCCATACGAAGGATTAGCTAGGCATTTCGGAGTTGCTGTCGAGGTAGTCGGCGACTCTTGACCCGTTCATTTGTTCGTCAACCGTAGTAAGTACTCTGTCGTTTGGCGGAGAAGTGGGGGCGTGGGGGAAAATGGAATCAAATCAAACCCTTCCAGTTTCTTCTAGCTTTCCAATTTTCTTTTTTTTTTTTCCTGATCAGACGACCATTGTTCGTCGTCAGCACTGACATTCATTTCCCTTCATACACGGATGGAGATGCTTGTTTGTAAATTTTAGGAAGGTTAGCCTGGAGCGGAGTCCGGCGAGTTTGGTACTGCCACCCTTGATCCTCACGCTAACCATTCCCATTTCTGTGACCTCCTCTCTGGGTATCCTATTTCGGATTTCATTTTTTCTTTCTTCTTTCTTGCGAATCCTATTATCACCATCCATTATCAATTTCTGTTACCTTGGGGATTGCCATTATTTAATTCCTCGATTTTCGTCTACTTTTCCTCTATCTACTTAATTCATACTTCTATCCCTCTGGATGCATTAGGTAAACACACCTTTCCATCTGGGAAAGTGCATCGGCAGGGCTTCCGGTCTTCGAGCTCGACGCGACTAAGAATAGTCGACGGACTCCCACATGACATCGATCACGGACCCATCGTCGATTCCATGGTTGTCGCTTCTTGTTGGGTTCCATCTCCACCTGGATTACTTTCGGTGCCTAGAACCCTCTCAAGCTATTCTGGAACAATACAATCGTTATTAATTAATCCCTCTTCCCCTGCCGAGGTTATAGTGCATAGTTATTGTGTTTCATTCCTTCGATGGGATTGAGAAGACTACGAAGTAGACTCTCCCACTAAAAGAGAGAGAGAAAAAAAAGAAAAATCTCAAGAAATGTAGACTTACTGATTCAGCCATCAGCGAGTGACCTTCTTCCCGCAGGAAGTACAAAGATGCCGATCTGGAATCGAAAATCTATAGAAGGCCAACCTCCCTCCCTAGACGAATTGTCTATAATCTTTCTAGCAAATAATACAGAATACTCCGTACATGTATGGAGTAACCTAATGAATCGCTCTCTCCAAAAAATCTCTGCCAAGGATCCAACAGGGCGATAGAGGGGCTCTGTGGGCTTTTTGCTCATGTCGATCGAGCACATGACACTGTTCAATTTTCTCCCGCCCTTCCGTTTTTCCTGAGAATTGCGCATCTAGACCGGGCCTTTTTACCCCTGGATCGATTTTTTCTGATCATGAGAGTCTTTCGAGTTTGGCCTTCACTTTTGTTTTTTTTTTTTTTTTTTTTTTTTTTTTTTTTTTTTTTTTTTTTTTTTGTATTTTCTTCCCTTCTTGTTTTCTTCTTTATCATATATAAATTTACCAATATAATTCAAAAAAAAAAAAAAAAACTGACTCTGTTCATATCTTTTAGTCATGTCTACAGATCTATGAAAGATCGTTCCTACGTAAGTACTCTGTACTCCGTAGTCCAGCAAGAGACGAAAGTCATGCCGATTTACGGAGAGATTCGAGCGGCACTCGGTCGGCCCCTCCCTTCAGCCTCGGGATCATCTGCGTGTCCCGACCGACAGATGGCCTGGACGCTGCGGTTCCTTATAGATCCAGCAAGCTACTGGGACTGGGTGAACGACCCCTGCCTTCTAATAACTTAAACACCTGAAAATAATAAAAATAGAATCAAGCTATTCTCACATGAAATAAAAGGGAAAAAAGTCCATAGTGCTTATTAAAGTACTTAATTGTAGTTAGTTAACTAACAGGTAATTACTTAGCTTAGTGCATTGAAGGTATACTCAATGGCTCCAATCGATCTGAAAATTCACAAGCCAAGAATCCTCCATCTGGGCGTCGATGTCATGACTTTGTATCCCAGGTCCAACATACAGAGTAGGTAATTGCTCTGTAGTGTACAGCGTACTCCGTACACAGGTAGAAGCTCCGGCGACGGTCCACTTTCCCCTTCAGGCCGGATGGTGACGTCTTCGACTTGATGTTTAGCCAAGATCATTCAGGGTTGATCCTAAATCGTTGGTCCTAGTTCGGTGGATGCATTGACTGAAACTATGCAGGACTCTGCAGTATATATACTAATTAAATTGTCACCAATGTGATATTGGTAGGGCTTCACCCGGCTCTCGTCATGATAGGATGATGCCTTGCCCGTATAGTATTACCCGACCAGTCCGAACGTCTTGACTATAGAAACGGCGATTGCACTAAAAGTAAATAACGCCATTAACTAGACCTTCCTGTAGCTTCATAAATACAACTACTTACCTCCTAGATTTGTCAAACGATCCGGCAACATCTTCCGAGCCAGGATACAAAAGCGGGGTAAATGAACCACCAAGAATGGAAAATGGCGCAGCATTTATCGCCTCTGAAGTTTACAACCTCGCAGACCAGGACAAGGACGTGGTGCTCATTGCACATTCCTATGGCGGGATACCGGCAACGCAGAGTACCAATGGGTTAGGGAAGACTGAGAGACAGATGCAGAGTAAAAAAAGCGGGAATGTACGGTGTCTATATGAACTGCGTCGTGCTGCCTTTGGGAGAGTCGGATGCAAGTATCTTATTGGATTCAGATGTGCTATTGAAGGAACAAATCGGGGAGTTGAGAGTTGGTGTTTGTTTATTACCTATTTTTCCTGCTTCCCCGTCTGAGCTTACTATTCTAGCTTATATAGAAAATAGGACGATGGCTGGTTGTATCACTCTGATATCCCGTTATCTGCTTGTTTCTCAGACCGCAAGGAAATTCACCCGCCACTCTGCTTCTACCTTTCCAAGCAAAATTGACCCATGCTGCGTATAAGGATATTCCTGTGTCTTATCTTCGTGTGAAGACGATCTGTGTATTCCAGCCACACTACAGAAAGCGTCAATTGCCATGATTGAGAGGAGAGTGGGCAAAAGGTTGATGTGACGACCATTAAGGCTAGCCATTGCCAGCTTATCAGAAGGCCAAAGGCAAAGGCGGATTGGGTGTTTTTGCCAAGGTGCAACCTGAGCAGTTGCGAGGGTCTTGGTTGAAGTATTAATTCGCTATTAAATTCTCTTGAAATAGCATAGCAGACGTTGCAGTCACTTTGAACCACGCTAGTAAATGTAGTCTTAATCTTGATAGATATTATATTGTTCAATCTTGAATTCGATAGAAGTGACTAGCAGATTTCCGCTATTAACAAGTAATCTTATAATAAAACCTTCGCTATTATGCAACAAGCAAGTTTCTATCCTAACTACCCCGACATTATGTCTCTTTGGTTCTAGGCCTTGGAATCGCCGACGAATACCTAGCTAGGCACGAAGATCGAGTAAATTTGGTTCGCATGCGGGCCGAAATATACACTTCCAGACTTCTCTAAACCTGTTTCTATCCCGGCTAGTCGGCATCACTTCTGGATCGGATCTGATTGTCGTGGTTAGAGTCCCCCTTTGTTCTGATGTCCGGTGTTAAGGGGTGTCTATGTAGTTGCGCCATATCCCTGCTACTGGAGGGATTTAAACTGCTTATGCCGGTATTGCCACGAAGTATGTATGGGTGTCCTCGTTTGACCTTCCTTGGTTGTTCTCACCCCACATTTGGTTGGGCCTCATATACTTCAATTTCCTCTTAGCTTATTGAATAGATTATGAGTGATCGGTCCTAAGTATATGCTTGCTGTGCTGCCCATGCAGGCGCCACCAAGGATCCCTACAGTGGTCTGCATAGTGAATGCTGTCACGACTCTAGTCAATTCTAAACAACAATGAAATTCCAGCATTCGCTGATTCGTTCATTCCGCATGTAATCTACAAGAAACTCAATCCAAAAAAAAGAAAGAAAAGAAAGACAATCACCCCTCTTTCTTACTGTCACATTGGACTGCCATAGACAAGCCCGTCCCTTTCACTTCTGTCAACTTTGTCACCTATGAACAGTGTGTAAAAAGCCTATACAATCCTGGTCGCAGAACCGAGAGAACCGGCTAGTTCTTCACTCAGATTCCTCGGCGGCCTCGGCCTTGCGGCGTGCCTCGGCCTCCTCCTCCTCCTTCTTCTTCAAGAACAGCAGAGCGTTGACCTTGTCGGTGATGGTGTGCTCCGAAGTGATAGTGTTGGCAACCTGCTCACGGCCAACCAAGGTGGCCACGATGCTGGCGCCGACAATGAAGGTCAGGACGAATCGGTACATGCTGTACCAGTGGGGGGCACGGCCGCAGGCCGCAGCGCGGGCGTCATTGTAGTACAGAAAAGTGAAGGCGAGGAACTGGCTGATCAAAGCATACTCGAAGGGGAACATTAGAGTCGGCCATGCAACGGCGGGCGCAAGAACACCAGCCGCATAACGCCTGTAGCCGAACTTTCCGCCATATCCGGCCCACTCGAGGCCCCAGTGGATAGCTCCCAAAAAGGAGAGTATCTGTGTGTTCACCTCCTGTTAGCTCTGATCGTTCACTGTAAGGGCCAATGTACTCACCACAGCACCGTATCCGACCTGAATAGGCTCAAGCATGTGGAGCATCAGCTCCGCACTCTGGCCGGAGAACAGAAGACCATCACCACCGTTGGAAGCAGCCTTGCCGATCTCATAGGAAAGGTAAACGGTCTCCAGAGAAGTGGCAACGTAGGGGATGACACCGGCCATGCCGAGGTAGAGAGCCTCCTTCGGGACATCTGCCAAGCTGAAGGTGTCCTTGATCACTTTCTGTAGCGAGAAAACCCGACATGTGAGCAAACTGCTATTTCAAACACTTGGAGGCGTAGGACACTACAAAATGTCCATATATAACAAGCAAAAACACGTCAATGGGCACATACCGCCTCACCCTTAATACCGGCCATCATATCTACCTCTTCCTCGCCATGTTCTTCCTGCTCCGGATAATCAGTAACCAATGAATTGCATATGATATGAGTAGCCTTCTCACCTTAGACACAGAGGAGGCGTATCGGACAAGAGCAGTAGTGATAGGCTTGCGAGCGGCCAAAGCAAGGCTGGGAGACGACGTCGGGCGAGCGGGATAGCGGGCGGCAGAGGTCAAAGGAGCCTTGAAAACATTGCTGGTGAGGGTCGAGCGGGCGACGGAGGCATTAGAGCTAGAGAGGGCCCTGAGAACAGAGCGGGCAGCAGCGGTTCTGTACAACATCGTCGAATATGACAGCTAATTTTTCAAATCCCGAGGTTGAGTTAGCAACGATGTCTGGGAAATACCGGAACGAGTCAGCAGGGGGGAGACACGCACCCAATTGAGCTGTGGACAAGAGCAAAAAAGACACAAGAGTGGAGTTGAGGGTATTCACCCGGGAATTGGTCGAGATTGACTCGTTGGAGTGGAGATTGAAGACCGAGGAGACAATTGGTGATACTGGAGACAACGAATGAGTGAGGTGAGGTGCGGTATTACCTCGCTCGGGGATGCCGCAGACGCCAATCCCGCATGTGTTATCCGTCTGCCACCTCAGGCACCAAGCCGCAGACAGTTAACTCAGCTGCCAGGGCTGCAGCCCTAGGTGATTAACCGGATTCAGACGGTCAAGCTTGAGGTGAAGCGCGACCGACGTCACTGCTTGGCAGAGGACGCTAACCCCCCTTTTGTTGGCCCAGCACATGTTGGAACTTGGTGGCCTTCCAAAGGTACCATAGGAATGTTCCTTTTTCTTAGGCTATCAAACGTTTCCTTGCCCTGCTATCCAACCTGATCTCAGTTCAGCTCTTCTCAGTTTCCCCTCATCTTAATCTCTGACATTCTTTCTACTCTCTTACTACATTCTCCGTGGTCCGTATCCGGAATCTGAGCCTTCTAATTGTTTTCCCCACCTTTCTGCTCTCAACATCCCGTCTCAAATCAACTTGGCCCGCATACCTAGAGGTATCGCGTGCACGCCTCGCCAATTTCCTGAATGGCTTTGGTCTCGCCATTTTGCGAGTGTATCTAGAACTCGCGCATGTATACCAAGGTCCCTATTCCTCCCCCCACTCCAATTATTATTATCATTGTTTTCTCTCTTTACTTCTTTGCTGCCTCTCCTTTCCATCTATCTGTTCAATCGTCCCCTCATTTGCCCTACATCTTCATGCTGACATAGTAACTGCTCTACCAGGTCGGCGTGACTGGGTATTGGCAACCTGCGCTAAGGCGTCTCACGATCCCGCAGCCTTTTAGAGTCGCATTCTGCAATCATGTTGGAAGGAATCGTCGCAAACCTGCTCAACCGGTTTCTGGGCATCTATGTTAAAAACTTCGATGCCAAACAACTCAACATCGGTATATGGTCCGGCGACGTAAAGCTTCGAAACCTAGAGCTGCGGCGAGAAGCTCTTGACCAGTTACACCTCCCCCTCAATGTCGTTGAAGGCCACCTCGGTGAGCTCACCTTGTCTATACCCTGGTCCAACCTGCGAGGAAAACCTGTCAAGGTCGATATCGAAGATGTATTCCTCCTCGCTGCCCCGAAGGAAGATGTGGATTATGATCCGGAGGAAGAGGAACGGAGAGAACATGCCATTAAGATGGACAAGATCGAGAGCGCGGAACTCCTGAAGGAGAAGAACTCGGAGGGGATGAGCCAGGAAGAACAGCGCCGGAACCAGAGTTTTACCCAGAGTCTGATTACGGCGGTAGTCGATAATCTCCAGATCTCTATCAAGAACGTACATTTCCGTTACGAGGATTCAATCGCATCACCCGGTCACCCATTCGCCGTTGGTCTGACCCTGAAGGAGCTCAGTGCAGTCAGTACCGATTCCGAATGGAACCCCACATTTATACAGTCAACTTCCAGCACGACGCACAAATTGGCTATCTTGGGCGCTCTATCAGTCTACTGGAATACAGATGCAGAGCTTTTGGGAACGGGTCGAGGGTGCGACGTGGGTGCAGAAGCCCAAGGTAGTAGCCATGGGGAGCTGATGGAGAGATTAAGGTCCGGTATTGACGAGGAACACAACCAATTCATGCTTCGCCCAGTAAGTGGGCGTGCCGGACTAGAGTTGGACAAATCCGGCAAGCATGATAGGCCGGCCATCAAAACTCGACTGTTATTCGATGAACTTAGCTTCGTTCTAGATGATCACCAGTACCGAGATGCGCTGATGCTTGTGGATCTTTTCCATTATTTCATCCGCCATCAAGAATATAAGAAACTCCAGCCCAAGTGCAAACCCAAGGAAGATCCTCGTGCGTGGTTTAGATTCGCGGGACAGGCTGTGCTCAGCAAAATTCATGATCGGAATAGGCGCTGGACCTGGGACTACATAAAAGAACGAAGAGATGACAGGATAACCTATATTGACTTATTCAAGAAGAAAAAACGTGAAGAGACCTTGTCAGGCCAAGATGTGGAGGAATTCGATAGGTTGCAGCGGAAGCTTAACTACGAGGATATCCGTTTTTGGAGATCATTAGCAAGGAACCAACTTCGGAAGGAAAATATAGGCCTGAAAAAGCCGGAGCGACAACAGACTTGGACGGAGTGGATATGGGGTGCCAAACAGGAAGAGTCTGAGGAGGCTACGATGACGGAGGCGCAACGGCAGGAGCTTTATAATGCCATTGACTGGGACGAGAAGAAGGCAATTGCCGAGAGTGTCGATGTTCCACGGGAATGGGTTAAACTGCAGATTAACTCTGGTCTCAGAGCCGGTAGTTTGACCTTGAAGCGCGACCCTCACGGAGCGGCGAATGAGATCATGAAGCTGGTATTTGATAATTTCCGTGCAAAGGCGTTGCAACGACCCGACTCTTTCTTCGTGGATCTGGATCTTGGGGGATTGAGAGTTTACGACGGAACAACCGAAGGCAGCCTTTTCCCACAGATCGTCAAAGTTAAGGATTCTCTTCCGGAGCCAAAGAACCGTCTATCACAGGTATCAGGTCACGCCGAGCTGGATCCTGAGGGGGTGGATGATATCATTGAGGACGAAGATAGCTTGTTCCACCTTCAACTCGAGAAAAACCCCCTCGAAAGCGATGCTGACTCGGTGGTGAAGGTCAAGCTAAAGAGTATTGAGGTCATTTACAACCCCAGGTTCCTGGTCGAGGTTGTCAAATTCTTCGAGCCCCCGGAACGACATATGGAATCGATTGGAGCGATCTTGGATTCGGCAGGAGCCACTGTGGAGGGAATCCGGCAGCAAACCCGAGCTGGCTTGGAGTTTGCCTTACAGGAACACAAGAAGGTGGATGCGCAATTTGATATCCACGCCCCATTGTTTATCGTCCCCGAGAGCATTACACAGGAATGCTCTCTATGTTTGATTCTCGATGCTGGTCATGTTAGTGTCAACAGCGAACTAGTCGATCGGCAAACCATGAGAGACCTCCAGTCCAAACAGAAACGTCAATACAATGAGGGCGATTATAAAGAACTTGAGCACCTGTTGTACGATAGGTTCTTGCTTAAACTTGACTCAACCCAAGTCCTAATTGGACCGGGAATAGAGACCACCAAAGCACAGCTCAGTTCCGACGTCGCATCCAATAACTTGCATATTATTGATCGCATAAACGTGGATTTTGTCCTTGAAATGTGTATTGTACCGAAGGTCACTGAGCTCACTAGGACGCGAATATCTGGTCATCTCCCTGAGCTGCATGCATCAATCTCTGACACGAAGTACAAGGGCTTGATGAAATTAATTGATATTGCGATTCCACATTTTGATGATGGCACAGAGGGCTCTAATGTTTCGAACAAGGCAGGAGGGTCGACGGCCGCTGGTAATAGAGCAAGATCTTCATCCTTTATCCCGCCAAGCCTGAGAGAGCTTCCTGTGGTTGACGAAGATTCCGACGATGAGTTGAATCCAGAATCGGGTACTGAGCAAACGAGCAAGAATGTCGACAAGCCCACCAACATCCACCGCCGAGATTTCGAGTTCAAGTTTACTGTCGGCCGCCTCCGTGGTTCGTTGTTTCGTTCCTACCCAAATGACCAGATCTGTGATCACCTATTGGCTGAACTGGTTGCTGAGGGTTTCGTACTTGACTACTACATGCGACCCTTTGATATGGTAGCAGAGATTGTTTTGAAGTCCTTGAGCGTGGATGATTATATAGAGGACAACCCCCTGCCTGAATTCAAGAGGATAATCTCTTCCAAGGGATTCGATGCGGACGAGGAGAGGGACCTTTTCCACCTCAAGTTCGTCCGAGTCAAGCCAGAGTCACCTGAATTCGAGTCAACATACGAGGGCATAGCGATGAACCTTGATGTTTCTGTTTCGACTATAAATCTCGTTGTCACCAGGAGGACGCTCCTTACGCTTCTGGATTTTATCTTGCTCACGTTCACGAACCCCGAGCAACCTAACAACGGAGATCGCCAAGCTGATCGGGCTATCCAAGGCACAACTGCGGGTGATCAAAAGCCTCAGCAGTCCGGAAAAATCCGTATTAAGGCTGATCTGAAGAGTATCGCTCTTATCCTTAATAACGATGGTGTTAGGCTTGCCACCCTAAGCCTAAACACTGCCGACGTCGGTATTTCCCTTGTAGGTCGTGCCATGCTCATACAGTCTCGGATCGGGAGTTTGACTCTGGTGGACGACGTCAATACGGGTGCCTCTGAGAGTTCTGACCTTCGGAGGCTTTTAACTATAGAGGGGGAAAACTTCGCAGACTTCAAATACGAGACTTTCGATCCAGAAAATGGGTATCCGGGGTATGATTCGGAGTTTTTCCTTCGGTCAGGCTCTATCAAAATCAATTTCCTGGAAGAACCATACCGGAAAATCATCAACTTCCTGGTTAAATTCGGCAAGATGCAGGCCATTTTCAATGCTGCAAGGCAAGCCGCTGCTAATCAAGCGAACCAACTGCAAGAAAATGCATCGCGGATGCGTTTTGACATCGTCGTCATGACACCGATTCTGGTCTTTCCGGGCGTCGTAAAGGAAGATCGCCCTCGTGACACTGTGACAGCTCACCTTGGTGAGATCTACCTGAAGAACACTTTTGTTCCCCTCGAGGATGACAAAGATGGCCCTGCCGTGAACTTGATTTCTTTTGGTATCCGCAACATTCGCCTGACGTCGAAGTTCCATTTCAGCGAAGGCCTCGTAGAAGAACTCGATATGATCCAGAAAGTCAACCTTGATTTCAGCATATGTTACCTGGAGCACCAACTTGACAATCCCCGTCCTGACATGGAAATAGAGGGAACAATGTCCCCCATCAACCTCCGTGTCTCGCAACGACAACTGAAATTTTTATTGGCTCTGTTGAAGACTGTGCCTGCTGCCTTCGTGACTGATACTGAGCAACAAGAACTCGAGGCTATGCAGGCTCTTCCATCCTCAGTGACAGAGCTGACTAGAGAGGCGGAGTCTAGGGCGGCTCAAAGCCGGAAGGACCAGGAAAGACAATCCCTAGAAAAGAAAGTCCGAGACGACGTCTGGGTCCGGCTTGATATGATTTTCAAAGTCGATAGCGTTGGGTTGGAGCTGATTCTCTCCCAAGACGACGAGCCGGTCGACCGTTTGGAGGATGCCAGTCTTTCGAAATTTTCGCTGAACGACACAAGAGTCAAATTACGCATGCTGACGGATGGATCATTGGAGTCCGAATTGCTAATCCACTCCCTCTCCATTCGTGACAGCCGGAACAAAGATACCAATAAATTCCGGAAGATCATGTCCCTGATTAACAATGATGTCCAGCAGCAATTTATGGCCAGTGTGTCGATGTCTGCAGGGCCAGATAAACACCTGATAGCGATGTTGACTATCGATAGCCCGCGCATTATACTTGCTTTGGATTACCTATCTGCCCTGCAATCCTTTGCAAACTCCGCCTTTGCCACTGACGAGTCAGTGGAAGAAGAGGAAGACATCGAGACAAGTGAAGAATCAGAGCCCAGATCCAGCACTGCGGAAAGTATTGATGGCTCCACAGCAGGATCTACAACTGGAGAAGCCCCTGGTCCCGCTGGACAAACCACAGTATCGTTCAGGTTGAATCTTGTGGACGCACAAATAATAACTATTGCAAACCCTTCCATTACCCATACCGAGGCTATAGTTCTTGGAGCAAAGCAAGTGCTCTTCTCTCACCAGAACGTTTCCACCTTGCAAATAACCAAAGTTGGCATGTTCTTGTGTCGCATGGACAAGTTTGAAACCAGCAGGCTCCGAATTTTGGATGACTTCACGCTTGAAATGTCCATGGATAGTCGTCCTCAAGAAAAAGGCTCTGCCTTGACATCCATTAGCGTGAATATTGAGCCTTTGGTTCTTCGTCTCTCTCTTCGGGATATATTGATGGCGATGCAGATTGTGAATAAGGCATCTGAAATGCGGGCTCAACGGCCTCAAGAGCTGGAGGGTGGTGAAGCAAAGAAACTGTCAGACAGCAAAACCGCCGGCACTAAATCCTCTCGAAGATCGGTTGGTAAGCCGCCGTCTTCTGCAGCAGCACCGAAGCCACACCGTGAGTCCCGCAGTGCAACTGATCACCAAGAGAGAAGTCTTGTCCCAGCACGCTCAGCTACTCTTAAGCGGGAAGAATTGAATGCCCAGGTCGACGGCGTCAGGGTAATTCTTATAGGAGACCTCCACGATCTCCCCCTGTTTGATTGGAGCGTCAAGAAATTCACAGTGGACATTCGAGATTGGTCATCCACGCTGAATGCCGATACTAGTTTTGATACGTTCATTAACGTGTACAACTTCTCAAAGTCTGCCTGGGAACCTCTCATAGAACCCTGGCATTTAGGCTTCCACGTGGCCAAGGAAGTTAACCCACAGATCCTTTCGATCGATGCATATTCCCATAAAACGATGGAGCTCACACTTACTTCCGCTACGATTGCGCTAGCTTCCAAGTCTTTCCAGTTCCTTTCCACTGATGAGGATGTTCTCTCAAAGCCAAGAGGGGCCGATGCGCCCTACAGGATTCGTAACTACACAGGCTTCGACCTTCATGTCTGGGCCGACGTGAGTGTGGAAGAGGAAGGGCCGGCTGCTAGACTGACCGATGGTGAAGAGTACCCTTGGCGCTTTGAGGATTCAACGGCCATGCGTGAGACGTTGGCACCAGAAGGCCATGCCGGCCTTGTTGGGGTTAAGCTTGAGGGTAGCGGCTTCGATAGCGTTGGTCGGATACCTGTCGTCCGAGAGGGTGAGACGTTGTATAACCTGAAGCCAAAGAAGGACAATGTTGTCCATCGCCTCCTTGTTGAGGTGAAATTGGGCACTGATAACGTGAAATATATTACTTTCCGGTCACCACTGGTTGTCGAGAATAACACGCAGATCCCTGTTGAGTTAGGTATCTTCAGTCCCAGCGACGGCCATCTCTTGAAAATCGAGAAGATCCTCCCTGGCGACGCTCGACCAGCGCCTGTTGGGGCGGCATATATGCATTCGATTGTTATTCGGCCTGACCAAGGTTTTGGGTATGAATGGTCAAACGAACAACTGCATTGGAAAGACCTTATGCGGCGGCCAACTCGGACAATCAAGTGCCTCAGTGAAAACGGACAACAGGCTCCGCCGTTCTATTTCCAAATGAATGCTACTTACAACACGCAGGATTCTCTGACAGCCCCGTATCCCTACATGCGGATCCGAATTTTTGCTCCGGTTGAAATCCAGAATCTCCTTCCTTATGATTTCAAATATCGGATTTATGACAAGAATACGAGAAAGGATTGGACCAACTTCTTGCGCAAGGGAGGCGTAAGCCCGGTCCACGTTGTTGAACTATCCCACTTGCTTCTCCTCAGCATTGACCTGCAAGATACAGTTTTCAGGCAGAGCGATTTTGCTATCATCAATGGAAATGCGCAGGATTTTCGGAGAGAGCACGTGCTATCTTTGAAGGATGAGAGAGGCATTCAGCTGAAGCTGAAGCTTCACTATTACAATGTGCCTAACAGTGGAGGCGCGTTCAAAGTGTCTATTTACAGTCCGTATCTCATCCTGAACAAGACGGGTCTTCCGATGGAGATCCAGAGCAAAGCCTTCTTGCAGTCTGCTCGATCAGCTGCCGGGCAAGGACTGAGAGCTGATTCTAATAACGGCGAACGCGCTCTCCCATACATGTACTCATACCAAAGTGGTGACCAGAAGAACCGGTCTATGTTGAAGATAAGCGAATCTGCATGGAGCAAACCCCAGAGTTTTGAAGCTATCGGAAGTAGGTTTGAGGTCGTCCTCCCAGATCGACATGGAAGATCCGAGCTCCATGCAGGCGTGTCTGTCTCTGAGGGTGAGGGTAAATACAAGCTGACCAATGTCGTCACGATTGCGCCTCGCTTCATCCTGAAGAACAAGCTCAGCGAGGAGCTATTGGTCCGAGAGCCTGGGTCGTCTAATGTTCTTAGCATTAAGGAGGCTGACCTTGTACCTCTCCATTTCCTGCGGCAGGTCGCAGATAAACAGCTGTGTCTTAGCTTCCCAGGAGTCAACAGCCAGTGGTCTTCTCCTTTCAACATCGCGGACATTGGGACAGTGCATGTGAAACTTGCTAAGGCGAACCAACGCCAGAGGCTCATTAAAGTAGACATTATCATGGAAGATGCAACTCTCTTCATAAGTTTCAACTCCGAAACTCGAAATTGGCCATTCTCCATGCGCAACGAGAGTGACATGGAGTTTATCTTTTTCCAAGCGGTATGCATGCCCAAGAGGCTCCAAGTTGGTCGGTTAGCTAATTCCTTTTGCAGAATCCGAACGTGGAAGAAGGAGAGGACGACAGATCCAATAACTGGCGACCGATTCGCTATCGCCTTCCCCCACGTAGCATTATGCCCTATGCTTGGGACTATCCAGCGGCGAAGAATAAAACTCTCGTGCTGACATGCAAGGGCAAGGAAAGGCACATCAAGCTTGCGGAGATTGGTAACCTGATCCCGATGAGAATCCCTCCAGCCCAGTACGGGGAAACGCAGAAGATCATCGATATCAATATTGTCGCGGACGGTCCTACCCAGACGTTGGTCCTGTCTAACTTCAAGGCGTCAAAGAGCATGTACCGGCAGCAGAGGGAACAGACGTCTCAGTCCAGCCTCAGCACCGGGTTTGAGGTTAAAGAACTGGATTCTGATGTCAACTTCAAAGCCCAGCTCCGCCTTGGAGGGATTGGTATATCCCTGATCAATCAAAACCTAAAGGAGCTGCTTTATATGACATTCCGCGACATCGAGATCAAGTACAGGGAATCACGGGTATACCAAACTTTGAACACTACAATCAAGTGGATCCAAATCGATAATCAGCTCTATGGGGGAATCTTCCCGATTTTGCTGTATCCCAGCGTTGTTCCGAAGACTGGAAAGGAAATGGAAGCACACCCAATTTTCCACGCCATGGTCAGCCGCGTGAAGGACGACTCCTATGGAGTGCTGTACATTAAATATGCTACTGTGCTACTGCAGCAGATGACACTCGAGCTCGATGAAGATTTCGTTTTTGCAATGCTTGACTTCGCAAAAGTTCCAGGTGCTTCTTGGTCTGAAGAGCAAGAAGGGAAGCTTTGCGACGAAGAGCTCCGAATCCCGGAACCACGGAACGAAGGCAATGACAAGGACGTGTATTTCGAGTTGCTCCATCTGCAGCCAATGCAGGTCGACATCTCTTTTATGCGGACGGAACGTGTTAATGTGGAAGATACCATGCAGCCCTCTAATCCGCTGATGTTCGTCGTCAACGTCATGACCATGTCCATGGGCAATGTAAACGATGCGCCTGTGCGGCTGAACGCCTTGATGCTCGAGAATGCCCGCGTATCACTTGGAGTACTTGTGGGCAACATCCAGAGACACTATACTCAGGAATTCCTTCGACAAATCCATATCGTTCTTGGATCTGCTGATTTCCTGGGCAATCCGGTTGGCCTGTTCAATAATGTTAGCTCTGGCGTGGCTGCGATCTTTTACGAGCCTTATCAAGGATTTGTCATGACCGACCGGCCACAAGAGCTTGGTTACGGCATCGCCAAAGGAGCTACGAGCTTTGTGAAGAAGTCGGTATTTGGTTTCTCGGACAGTATGGCCAAACTTACTGGCAGCATGTCCAAGGGTCTCGCGGCTGCCACTTTGGACAAGGAGTTTCAGGACCAACGGCGGATGTCTAAGTCCCGGAACCGGCCCAAGCATGCACTGTACGGTCTCACTGCCGGCGGAAATGCATTTGCGAACAGTTTAGCGAGTGGTATTGGAGGGCTTGCACGTCATCCACTGCAAGGCGCGGAAAAGGAGGGCATCCAAGGATTTTTCAAGGGCGTTGGAAAGGGTGTCCTAGGGCTGGCTACGAAACCCGCCATAGGTGCCTTCGATCTAGCCTCAAGTAAGTGCATGGACTAGACGACCTAAAAGGAGGTTGATCGCTAACGAGATTATGCAGACCTCGCCGAAGGAGTCCGCAATACCACGACAGTCTTCGACGCAGAGGGGCTCGATCGGGTTCGCCTGACGCGATTCATCGGAACCGACGGTATCGTGCGACCATATTCACAGCGCGAGGCCTTGGGACAATTCTGGCTCAAGACGGCGGACGATGGGCTGTACTTCAATGAGGATTACATTGCTCATCTGGAACTTCCGAGCCGAGACATGCTGGTCATGCTGACGTACGACCGGATCATGCTCGTGCGGTCCAAGAAACTCCGCACCGAGTGGGACATACGATTGACAGATATCCAAACCATTTCCAAGGAGCGAACTGGCATGAGTATCACCCTCAAGGGAGGCGCCAATGGGCCGTTCATCCCGGTGCAGGACGAGAGTGCTCGAAACTGGCTGTACCGACAGATCGCCGTGGGTAAGTGCGCATGTTATATCTGACGGTGTTGTTCTGAGGCTAACGTGGTCCAGCGGTCAATGCATTCAATGAGAAGCACAACAATACTGTCACCCGGGCTAGTTAATTTTGGAATTGGAATTGTCATGCGAGGGCGGATTGGCGCAGATTCCACCCGCCATCAGAACTATTTGGCGCATCGATGGAACATACTGCACTGAATTTAGCGATGCCAATCATACGATGTCCCTGTTTTGTGATGCTGTCTTGTTCTTGTAAATATATACTGATCATTTGAGGCCGTTAATAATGTCTGATTCATGTCTAGAAGAGGGTATTTTGCTTTCTATCATACAAACAAATAGGTATCATAAACACCCGAGTATAACACACACACACACACACACACACACACACACAAAAGAGAAGAAAAGAGACTTATTTCAGTCCTTCTGCCCGCTCTACCAGTCGGTCCTCTAAACCCATGGGCTCCCAGATCTCTTTTGCTTTCTTGTTCTGCACCCACACAACGTCGCCCTGGAGGAAGGCCACGACGCCACCTTTGCCCGTGGCGCTGGCGGTGATGCGGAACAGCGGCAAACCGTTCTGCGGATGAGCTTCTCGCAAGGGCAGCATGATAAGACCTTGTTCGGTGCACCAGGATTCGAGAATATCCTTGAAGGCGACTTCCTCGACGACCTTGGGTTTGCGCCCGGGGGTTGATTCGACGGGTTTCTTCTTCTCTTCGGATGGTACAGCGGTGGTGGTTGTGGTTGTGGATGGAAGTGGTAGTTCGGTGGCAGCGCGGTGACCCAGTCGCGAGGCCAAGTCCATAGATTGGAGACCCTTGTTCCATTCGTCATCGATGATTGTCATATCGTTAAGGTCAGCGGGGATCTGGGTCCGCCACCAGGAGAACCACTGGGCGACTTCTTCGTAGTTAGGATCGTTGGTGAGCCAGACGTACAGGATGTGATGCCACTTGGGGAAGAACTCGGCGACCAGGAGCAGGGCCATCACGTTCGGTTGGAAGAACTCCTTCCATTTGAGCACGTCTTCCAGGGCCGTGAGGTCCTGGTCTTGTGGGTTGACTTCGAATTCCTCGCGGAGATGATGGCTTAGACGCGGTAGCAGGTGGTGGCGTAGACAGGTGTCGAATTCTGATCCCAGCGCATCCCGCCACAGGTCCAGGCCACTGACCAGTCCCCGGTGCAGGTCCCAGGTGTCCAGGAGGACGCGGAACTTCCGCTTCGCGTCCGAGAGAAGTCCCGTTGCTTGTTTGGGGTCTGTGTGGCGTTCGTCCAGGTACTGTAGCCAGGTGAATAGCCACCACGGGTAACGTGACGACGACGATCGTCGGCTGCTGCTGGTGCTGCGGGGCTTCCATTCTTTGAGACCGGCGGTGAGTTTGGGCACCACCAGCTGGTCCAGGACGTTCGCATACACGAAGGACGGAAGGATCTCCTTCCAGGCGACCATCAAAGATGTGGCTGGTGTTGGGTCGAAGACATCCCACTCGTTGAGCAGCGCTGACCGCACGCGCGGCAGCCAGAGCGTGTAGATCATGGTTTCGTAGGGCGAGGTGGATTGTCGCGGCTGGTAGTGGTTTTGCGCAGAATCCTCCCGGCGGGCGAGGAGGAGAGGCTGAAGACGGCGAAGATGCGAGACGAGGAAGGTCGGTTCCTGCAGCGGCTCCCATTCTTCCATGGCTTGACGGAAGAGAGGATGGATGGCAGCCACTGCGGTCTCCGGGAGCCGGTACTCGAGGATGTGCGGACGGTATTGGATCTCCAATGATTCGAGCTTCTGGGTCACATCGTCGAACCTGGTGCGTACATTGCTGCTGCTGGCATCGTCTGGGGCGATCTCCAAGGCCTGGACGGCGGTGATCAACTCGGCCAGCTGATCGGCTCGCTGCTGTAGAGTGTCCAGCTGGTCGACGATCTGGGTCTCTTCCAGGTCGACGAAGCTCTTCCTCTCGGTCAGTCCCTTCCATTCGTCGGCAAAGGCCTCGAGGTCATGGCGGGCACGTTGGGCGATTTTAATCGCCTCACCCTCGGCCTGATTGACGAACTCCAGCGGGGTCATCAGACCGGCGGTGGAGGTGAGCACTCGCTGCTCCTTGCCGGTAGCATCGATCAAGGACTTGAGCACGTTGGGGACCTCTAGACCTTCCATATCGGCCTCCATCTCTCGCGCGGTGCGGAACTGGGGCTTCGAACGAGGGACGGGAGTGCCGGTCGCACTGCGAATTTCTCGTTTCTTCTTCTCCTTCTTCTGCCGTCGTCGGTGCTCCTCATCGGAGCTCTCCTCGAGTGTTTCCCCTCGATGGGCAGCGGCGCGTTTCTCCTCGTCTCGGGCCTGCTTGGTCTTCTCGCGGACGGCACCCAGTCCGGCACCCGTAGGTCTAGCCTGAGCCTCGATGGGATTGATGATACCCTGGCCGCTAGAACCAAGGCCCTGACCTTGGACATAGCCCATCTTGGCCATCATTCGGGTGGCAAAGGAATTGCCTGCTGGGGCGGCATTGTTGGACGAGGCCATCTTGGCGGTGCGAGGAGGCGACTCGGACGAAGCTCTCGCAAAAGAGCGAAAGCTGGGACGTTCCTCATCGGAGGATATGTCGACGACTTTGCGTTTTTGGCCGGACATTTTGAGATGGAGGATGGAAGAAATGAAGATGAAATGATGATGATGAAATGATCTTCTCGGAGCGGCGAAACGCAAAGGCCGAGATGACGTTCTTTCTCCTCACCTCTTCTTCGTATTTTTCCCTTTCTTTTTTTCTTTCTGTCGTTCACTCTCGTCTTCTCTCACGCTCTTCCTTCTTTCTAATTATTCGAGATTACGCAATGGCTGCTCTCGTGCGTCCAACTCGCGTTCTTCGCGCTTCGACCCGGTCGATGGCTGGCCTGACCTTTGTCCGCGGAAAGGCGACGCTGCCGGACCTGGCCTGTAGGTTGAGCAATTCCTGACGAGAGGATATTAATCCGAAACTGATGAGACTAGATGACTACGGAGCCCTAGAGCCGTCGATCTCCGGCAAGATCATGGAGCTGCACCACAAGAACCACCACCAGACCTACGTTAACGGCTATAACACCGCCATCGATCAGCTGAAGGAGGCACAGGCCAAGAACGACATCGCGGCCCAGATCGCCCTCAAGCCTCTGATCAACTTCCACGGTGGAGGCCACCTGAACCACACCCTCTTCTGGGAGAACCTGGCGCCGAAGAGCGCCGGCGGCGGAGCTCCTCCGTCGGGCCCTCTGGCGCAGGCGATCGACCAGAACTTCGGCAGCTTGAATGAGTTCCAGAAAAAGATGAACACAGCGCTGGCGGGTATCCAGGGCAGCGGATGGGCATGGCTGGTCAAGGACAAACAGACGGGCAACATTGCTATCAAGACTTATGCGGTATGACTCTTCTACGTTTCTCATTACTCCAGGGAAATAGATGATGGGTTAATTAACTTGAGTAGAACCAGGACGCAGTGGTCGGACAGTTCCAGCCGTTGCTGGGCATCGATGCGTGGGAGCACGCCTACTAGTACGTTCATTCCTCCGATTCTCGTGCCATACTAACTGTTCCTCTGCAGTCTCCAGTACCAGAACCGCAAGGCTGAGTATTTCCAGGCAATCTGGGACGTGATCAACTGGAAGGCGGTTGAAAAGCGATTTGCAGCTTAACTCTCTGTCTTGATAGTCGTAGATTGTCTAATCCTCTAATTAAATGAATTGAAAGCATCCGGTCATATCCGTGCTGACTCATCCGTATTTCTCCATCCTGGACAGACTACAAAGAGCTTTAATCCTAGCCATCTACACTATCATATAATATATTAATATAATATATATAATGTCCGCTGAATCCCCCGGCCCCCGCGGCTTTCGAGCCTTCGTCCGCCATGCTTTACGACCCAAAAAATCCCGTCAACTCTTGCGAAAAGACTTCAGCGCCTCCTCCCCCGATCTCCGAGTCCAGCCGCCTCACGACGAACCTCCTCTCCCCTCACTGGCTCCCCTCGAGGCCCATCGACTGCGATACCTCGAGGCCAATGCTCAGAAGGACACGCAGCGCGGCGAGAACCGCGATCATACCGCCATCCTGCATGCCATCGGCGCCCAGGAGACCGACGACACCCTTGACCAGCCCGAGGACGAGCAGGACCGTCGTCCCCCCGGCGACCCGTTGATCGCGTCTCTTTCGGCATCGCTCTGGCAGCGAATCGCCGAATTCCTGAGTCCCGCCGAGCGCGCCAGTCTCACCTGGGCCAGCAAGACGCTGTTCGCCCGTCTCGACGGCCCCGCGCCCTGGCTGGCGCTGAACGAGCCGGAGAACCTCGACGACCGCGCCGATTTCCTGGTCGCCCAGGACCGACACTTTCCGCATCATCTGCTGTGCTTCGCCTGCGCCATCTACCATCGTCGCACGCGCGAAGGCCGCGAGACACTCCAGCCCGCCGACGTGGTGAACCCGTTGGTCGACTGTCCGCAGGCGCGCAACGCTCTGCGCCCGCCGCCGCGACACCGCATTGCCCCGGGTCGCAATCTCCCCTTCGCCTTCGCGCAGCTCGTCCTGCGCGCCCATCGTTTCGGCTCGCTGCGCTACGGCCTCTCCGTCGACTCCCTGGCACGGCGCTGGCGTCGCGACGGCTGGTCCCATCACTCCCGCTACCTCATCCACCACGGTCATTTACTCATGCGCGTCGTCAGCTCCTGCTTCGCCCCGCCTGACCTCCCACCCAGTTCCAAGCGTCTCCTCCTCTACTCCCGCGAAGACTACTGGCCCTACTTCTCCGTCTGCGCCCACTGGCGGGACGGCGAGCTGATGACCATCTGCAAATGCGCATTGGGCCATGTCCCCGTCCCGCGCGACACCTCCGCACTCCAGGGTCTGGAGCACCGCGGCCGCGACGTCGTCGCCGGTCGGGTGTATAACCCCAACGCGCTGGCCACGCTCTGCGGTCGGTGTCGTCCCATGCGTCGCTGCCCGCAGTGTCCCTCCGAGTATCTCGTCGAGGTCAAGTTGACTGAGGATCGGTCCGATCCTCGCAGTCCGCATTTCCGGCACGCGATCGTCGTCACCCGTTGGTGTGATCTGGGTGATGGTTCATCTCCTCGGATGTCGATTGAGTGGGCCGCTTGTAATGGTTTGAGCGATGAGTATGACTCGTTTGCTCAGCTGGGGAAACGTTCTCTCTCCGGGATCTTTGAATCCGCCATGGCGGATGATATCATGCCTGGTCAGCGGCTTTTATCTATGAATCCGAAGGGGAAGAAATTGGGGGAGGAGGGGACGGGATGGTATTAAATTCTTTTTCTTTTTTTCTTTTTATTGTTTTACAAGTGCATACGTATGAGGTGTCAAGGGAGCATTGTGGTATAGATTTTATAGACTGGGTTGGATGGAGTGATGGAGTTTTACTGTTATTGTTGTCCTAGTACCTATTCTAGATCTATCTACGATCAATCAAACTCATTAAATCATAAAAGACAGACATGACATGAACAAAAGGGTGAACAGAAAGTCAGACATCAACGAAGAAAGCAACAAACGTAGCGGACAAGATCACGTCGACTACAAGCCATCGGTGGATTCTATGGTTCAACATTGATATAACTCGTGGGTATCGTGAGTATCATACAGCCATGAAGAAAAGAAAGGAAAGAGAGGCAGAAACGAAAGTAAAAGAGTGTGAGTCAGAGGAAGACAGAAAGAAAGAAGATCACCGTCGACTTCGTCGTCGTCGTCGTCCCTCCTCTTGATTCAACCGCTGACCTTTCGGTGCATACGCGAAGTCTTCCACTACGACGTCCATCCCAGCCAAATTGACAGAAGCTTCAGGGATAGATCCATCATAGCCAAATCGAGAAGCTCTATTTCCACCCGAGTGACCAGAATCAGTCAGCTCCGATTTCCTCCCACTAAGTCCCAGTCCCCCTCCCTTGACCCAGCCGAATAGTCCCAGGGAGCTCCGTCGCTTATGGTCTTTGCCGTGGGAGCCCGTGTGTCGGCTGTGGAAGGTGAATTCCGTCGCTGAATGAGGCACGTTTCGGGGCACCGTCTCTTCCGGGTCGGCATAAGTGGGTGCGGGCAGGCTGTCCTCCACCGGTGTGTTGGCCTTCATCACCCTGGCATTGGCTATCTGTCGGGTTTTTCGCACCACGGGAGACGGCGCGCCATCGTCTTTATCTACCTCCTCAAACGTGGGTGACGGCTGGAGACGTCGTGAAGTGCCGGAACGACCGAAAAACGGCGGTCGAAGGCTGATCCGCCGGCGAGAACGTTCAGCGTCCGGCTCCCGCTGATCACTGGGACCAAATGAGCGCAGGTCGAGCGTAGGGACCATAGGATCGTCGGCGTCCCGAACGGCAGAGTCGATGCTATGTCGACGACCAAGGAAGGACGATTGACTGGCTGCTCGAGCGCCAACCGGCCGGGACCCTGCGGGCATCGGGTCCGTCGGATGGTGTGCACGCGTTGCATCCTTTCGAGCAAGATTACCGGGCTTCGCGGCTTCAATCCAGTCTTGGGGAGTCAATTGCGGCGACGACGGCGTGTCCGGGGAGTCTGCGCGCGTCTTGCTATGTCGAGCGCGCGAATAATGGTTCCGGTCCAGTTTCGAAAAAACTTTCTCCAGCCCATCCGGGTTGCACATGCCGTTGCCCCCGTAGTACTTGAATGTGGGCTTGACGACCGATTCCTGGCTATGGAGGGCCCCCGTTCGGGATGTGAGGCTGTCCAACGGGAATAGAACGGGCGTGTTGTCTTTCTCATCAAAGCTGGGGCGAGGGAGAGTAACCTCACTTAGATTCGAATCCATGCTACTCCTCAGTCGGCTGTTGCTAGAGGCCTGCCTCGAGGTCAATTCACCCGCAGACCGGGGTCGGATAAGCCCCAGTTTCACAGTTTGGACTGGATCAGTCTGACTCTGGCCTGCAGCCGTACTGACGCTGGTCCCTTTGGTGCCTCCCGCGTATGCCGTGCTCATTGTGTCCGGCGTGGGAGGGAGCCTGGTGCTGCCAAAGACACTGTCCAGCGGCGTCCTTTGACTCGAGCTATTGAAGCACGAGTCGCTGTCAAAACTGGGTTTATTGTTGGATTCCCTGACCACAGACACCGGCGGGGGCTTCCGCCTCGGGACTTCTCCCAGGGGGGGTTCGGGCAGTGGTTGGATCCAGCAATTAATGCGAACCCCTTCGTCATCCTCTCTGGTGGATAAAAGGCTGGCGTTCTCTGGTGCCAGTTCCTTCTGTCGAATGGGAATCTCTATCTGATCGAATCTATCTCCTCCGTCGGTAAATGGGTTCAATTCGCTGCACTCACTAAGAGCGCTGAGTCTCGGCGACTCTACCTCCGAAGCCTCATTCACAGACTGTAGGCTTTCTGACTTGGTCATCACACTTTCCACAGATCGCGACTGATCATCCACCGGGACATACAAGCTCCGCAAAGCGGCAGTGCTTTCCTTCTCGTCCCGGAGGAACGACGGTGCGCGGATGAGGTGACGGGATTCAGATGACGTACGATGATACTCGCTAGAAGTAGGGCCTTGTTTGGGGGATGTTCTCTCCGGGAAGTTGACGGTAGACCTATTCTTGGGGGTTGCCAGATCGGGGCCATCGCTGGGAGGGCGAGCAGTAGACGGGCGAGATAAATCTTCTTCACCTGCCTCCAACTCTTCCACTCTTGCTTCCAGCCGGCAGATTAAATCCACTGCTTCCGTCACTGCCTGGTCGCGTTTATCAATCTCGTGCCGTAGTTGTTCGTTGGATTCGCGTAGCCGTTGATTGTCCTCCTCGGTGTTCCGAAGCTCCTGTAGTTCATCTTCCAGCTGCCGCATACGTCGAAGCTCCTCTTCCATTTTGTGCATCTGCACGAGTTTCTTCTCCAGTACTATCATTTGCTGCGCTCGGTGGAAGATCTCCAGCTTCAGGTCGAAGTTTTGCTTGTTGATCTTCGACACATACTGGTATGGGGTCAACTGGATGCTCGGATCAGAGAGAATGTTTGGAGTTGCTCACATGGTCCATTTCCCGAATTCCCATTTCTCGAGGCTGCTTTAGACCGGCTGATAGGGCGCTGTTAATCTTGCGCTGTCTCTCGGAACCCATTTCTTCTTGCGACTGGGATTGCGAGTGAGAATGCGAGCGGGAGCGCGTCGGTGTTTGGGGGGTGCAATCGTCCAAGCTCTTCACTACATTACCCCGTGACCCTCGGGATGCACGTTGTTCTTTCAACAGGTCCTGTAAAAGGGACGAGGAAGGGTTGACCAACGAGGTCGCAGTTGGTTCGGGGGTTTCTAGTATGATCGATCGCAGGTCAGCGGCTCATCCTCCGATGCAACAGTGTCAACTCCCACGGAGCCAAATATGTACGTACTGGATCTGGACGTGTGCGAATAGGACTTTGGCGACGCGGCCACGGAAGACTGATCGTTGGTGCATGACATTTCTGGAAAAAATTAAGGTTCTCATCCGGAGCATTCGACGGAAAGTGAACGAGTAAGTACCTGAACTGGTTTGTGTGTCCATTGTGGGATGTCCCTTGACCCGTGCGATGGCGGCGGGTTGAAGGGGTTCTGTTCTTTCTGTAGAAGCCAGGCACAAGTCAGTTCGATGGCTGTGCGGTCCACACCCCTTGATTGGACCAAGGGAACCAGTGCGAGCGGACGAACTCTTAGATTTGGGACTGGGGCTCAGGGAAACACCGCCAGCAGGGGCACTTGTGGGATATAGACAATGTCGCAGCGACGAAGGGGTGGTTGATTGCACGGGAAGAGTACATCGTCTCTGGAGGGTTTGATCCATTCTGGTGGCGGCGGCGGAAACTCGACTAGCTGATGCGCATCACCAAAACGCGCAGCACGGGCTAGACCACGGTGCTAGAGTGATAAATGCGTGTCCACCCAATGCGCTGCTGATACGAATCGGAAGTTTTGTAGACGGGCAGATCGAGCAAGGGAGAATCAATGACTGCTTAGATAGGAAGTCGGCGATGTGAGGAGTCGAATGTCGATCGAATTCGCTGGGGAAACAGCAGACACGGAGGGATAAGGAAGGGAGTTGGACGACGTGAGGAGGGCGAGGAGGGAATAAAACGTCGTGCTGTGACGAGTCGATGATTGTGGCCAAGAAAGGGGAGAGACTGACAGAAAGCATGATCGATCCATCCCCACCAGGCACGATGTACCCCATAGACATGCCTGGTTTCCATGCCAGCCAGGAATGGACCTGCTGGACAAGTTTTCTGGATGACTACCTACGATCATAAATGAAGTATCTTATTCTCTAACTCCTGTGTAATTAGGAGGCAAGGAAAGCATTTCCGTCCAACTGAGTCTCAATCTTCCACCGTTAAAATTAAAACATGGATTTTCCATTTAACTTTTGATTGCATGAACCCCCCTGCTGGAGGGGCGCCACAGGGGTCCAATCAGAAACCCTGGGTTGCTGCGGGGGTTTCAACTTGGACCAATCAGCATTGTCAGATGCATTTCTCCAATCGTTCGGTGGATCGGGCGATCCAATCGTTAATGAGTTGGAGTTCTTTGTTTGTTCCCTATGTAGTGTATATACTATGGAGAGAGGGAGTAGTTGTTAGTATGTAGCAGAAGAAAGACCGCAGCTTATTGAGTGCAGTCTGTAATTGTGCTTCTGCGACTGCGTTCTTTTTGTATTATACAATTATACTCTGGTATATGTAATATTCACTATGGAATTATGCAAGTTATAAGCTGCCTATCTAGAAATGTAGATAATCTGGAAATTATTTCTATGAAATTTGAGAAGTTGTTGGGATGGCCTACATCCAGCACTGTTTACTACCAAGATTGGAGAACTTTGGACCAGGCAACTGACAAGAAGTTATATGACACGTGGCGAAGACCTTTCCATGTAGATTCGGCACCAGATGGCTGCTAGTCGAGTATGCCCCCTTCGCCTCTGGAAATGTCTCCTTGTAACGCTGAATAGACTATGGGGAATCATTATTAGCCTCCTCGTCGCTGAACGACAGAATCGCTTGGACGTGTCTCATTTCGCTCGCGGCCAAAACATCGGGTCTTAGTGAGGCCGCCAGCTACTTCATTCCCTCCAGCGTTCGTTGGCAAAACTTGGGGATCTGTGTAAACCTGAGAAATCAGTTTGGCCAGGACATCAGCGGGTAAGTCCATGAAACTCTGCGTCATGTTGACTGGTATATGTGTGGATTGTAATGAATTGGATGCTTGTATATCAGTGGGTTCTGCCCGGTTGCGGTGAATATGCATGCATATATATCTACAGTATTTATTGATCCATTCCTCCATATAGCAGCCAGAACTGAGACTCCGTAGTCGGTCGGAGCGCGCGGGCAGACGTCACCGATTCAGCCCCATCTCAATGCCAATCTTCTGCGGAATCGGTTTGCCGTACCGTCCCATGGTTCAGTTTGGGCCCGCGGATCCGCGGAGCCACTCTACCCCACATCCTCATCCATAGCTCGACAGCAGGTACATTGTGAGGAATGTGCATGGGATGAGTACCCCGGAGTGTTACCAAAGAAACCAAGAGGTGAATGGAGCCGGTTATAGTGGTTTATCTTATCCGCTGGTCAGCTTGGTATTCCTTACGGAATCAATCAGCAAGCGCCTACCTATGTATTGCATATAAAATAGCTGATTAATATTATTAGTATTTCGATTCCTTATATGGTATTTCTTGAGTGAGCATACTATAGCGTAAAAATAACTTCAAGTGTTCTTTTTATATATTTTTCTTGTATATCAGTAACTGGAGATTGAAAGACGGATATTTTATATGCACTAAGGGATGTGTTATAGATTATGTTACACAACAGTCTGTTACACTGTCTGGCGAAGTATACCAAGCCTCACTGGGCAAAGTGCAGGACGCTAATGCGGGTTGCTTACCGGTGGAGACTGTAAATAGCAGAAAGCCGATCTATTCCGTACAGAGTAAACAATGGGAATCAGACTATGAGAACATATACTCCGCCTATATTCATTTCCAATATATTCACTCTCCTACTGGACTTCATTCACACCATGACCTTGGATTTTCACGATAAAGTTTATCTCGTCATTATTGGAGCCACCGGAATGGGCCTGGCAACGGTAGTAACACTACTCTATTGGGGAGCTAGTATACCCGTGAGTGACATCAATGAAAAAAAGCTCCAGGAATTTTACACCAGCCTGGAACTGCATCAGAAACCGAAGATCTTGACAAGTGTAGTGGACATGAGAGGTAAAACTGCCTTTCAAGCATTCGCACAGCGGGCGGAGTCGCATTTCCTCAACTAGATGAAGTAGCAAACTTTTGCGGGAACAGGAGGCCACGTGTTAGGAACCGAGGCGATCTGGCAACGAGCGAGCACGAGTACGATTTCATTGTGGATGTAAACGTCAGGGTTTGTTCAATGTCCGTTCTGTGGTCTTGTCACCGGGGCTGTTGGAAAGTGATGCCGGCGTGGTCCACATTGCGAATGTGTCTTCGTTAAAAGGACAGAGCTGTCTTTGCAGTGTCCAAGCATGATAGGTTAGGCATGGTAAGGAGCGCTGCTAAGGAAACAGATGGATAGATCCGGGTGAACAGTGTCGTACCTTATGAATTTCTTCTCTTCTTTTTCTATCGTGCGTCTATTGACAATCCGACAGCGGCATGGTTGACACCCCGATGTATCGAGCAAATCTGGCCCGCGACGGAACCGCCCAGGAAATTGCCAACGTGGTGGTTTTCTTGCTCAGCAGAGAAAGCAGCTGTGTGGCCGTTGACGCCTGGAGCGTGGATGGAGGCACAAATACCTAGGCAGAACCTGTTTACAATCATAATGTACTTGTATTTAAAGTTATAGACAGAATGGTGGACGCTGCTTCGCTCCGGTACACAGCCAGAGCTGATTTGTATGTCTCAAGGTGGATTACCGCGATCATACACCAAAATGAATCACTCCATGCTATAACTCCGCTGACGCCCATGGTCAGATCCCATCCTACATGACATGCCCCATAGATTCGATAGCAGACGAGCTCAGCTCCGCCATGCTTTATTTTCATCTTTTTTTAGCTTCTCCGGCCCAGATTCGCGTCTCTTTAGCACTATCATGAGCCACTCGGAACACTAATCCAGAGTCTCGTTAGACATCAAGCACAGCTACAAACCTCCTTGGACAACTTACATTGTCGTTCAGTCTCGTCAAGACCTCGCAGGAATTCAACGCCGTCACCGAGTGCCCCTCGCGGGTTATGCGCATGGTCCGCAATCTCTGCGGCGCGCTTCTTAAATGTCTAAATGAGCTCGATCAGTCAAGGTATGTCCAACAAGCAATAACCATAACGCAAAGTCAAAGAAATCAATCCCATACGTTGCTCAGAACTTCCACCATTTCTTCCTCTTCGAAGAGCTCCAAAACTCGCTCACCAAGGCTGTAAAAGTGAGGAGCCAGCGAGCGCAGATCAACGGTCCTGGGATCGGCCTTCAATGCATTCATCACGCGCTCCGACAAGGGGGATGGGAGATCCAATGAAACCAGACGCGAGGTCCCCAGCCGGGCTCTTCGACAGGATTAGACATTCGACACGAGTCTATTTGGATGGACCAGGACCGCCAGGCTGAACTCACCCGATCGAGAGCATTTCACCCAACCATAGTGGGAGATCGATGCGGGTTCCGGCTTTGATCTGGCCCCCAGTTAGGCGGAGAATGCTCTGGATAGCGTTGTTTGGTTGATTGATTTGGACTTACGTTCTCGCCTGGATTACCCTCTAGAATGCCAAGCCCTGGTACCTCGAGCTCAAATGTGCAGGGTAATTTCTAGAGAAAGGACAATGAGGAGAGAATCTTTAGCCTGGCAAGTCGATAGGGGCGGGCATACTACCCGGATCCATACCTGGGCGTCTGTGAGAATAGAGTCAATATCATAGTATGACATTTTGCTTGCACGGGGCCATGCAAAGGACTGGCAACGCCAGATCTTGTTTCGCGCGTCGCGCTGTCACGTGCATTGTAATTTTGAAGTACTACTTGGGGTAATTTACACTGCAGTATGGTACCGGAAGCGTTCGTCCCAAAATTGAATCTCCTGATCTATATTAGACAAGATCTCTTCTTTTCGACCGATGGCGTTAGTGATGTTCTCTCGATCCATGATTTTCTCGTCTAGCGTTTAATTTTACAAATATTTCCAGAATAAGCGAATTAATTCTTAGATTATCACGTCCATTCCTACGAAACAAGACGGAGTATTAGACTCATCCATGACCTCATTATGCAGCCAACAGTGCCTTTGATGGACTAATAAATAAACACTACCCTACACTGCAAGGTACATTTCCATACGGTCAGAGAAATTCCATCAGGCCAGTTCCATGTACAGATAATCTCTTCGATCGGATTCCTAAAACCCCAATTTTTTAGGTACGGGAGTCGCTTCCACCTACTGTCGCGCTTCCTGCAGTTTCTGTCGTGTGATCTTAAAAATATCGGGATCGATAGATGCCATGGCACGACTTCCTGGACGTACTAATGGCATTGAGACAATAATTCGGCTTCCTGAGTATTGCACAGTCGCCAACACCCCAACATTGGCCAACTCATCGTCCCATGTCTTTGCAAGTCCCCATTGAATATCTCGACTGCTGCCGAGCATGGTGGGTCCTCACGCATAGGCTTGGATTCAGGAGGTACGGCAGGAAATCCGTGGAGCATTACGTGGCGCAGTCGCTCGATTTCCCTGTCGAAGGGACCAGGAAGAGATTCTGATACTCCAGCAAAGAAGTAAAATTACTCGACCGCTGGGATTGCAATGTGCGAGAGACCGTAGTCGAGGATCGCGGTTACCTGAAGGGAGTCGGGATCGTAGAGGGGTTTGATGGGCTCTGCGTGTGCGTGTCAGATATCTCGTGCGTTTCTTGAGCTGCATTCTCTACGTGCCCAGATTTCCTTGCATGAAAGTTGGATGATTGGTGGGGAGATTTGAAAACAGCTCATCTGCTCCATGGGTCACGAAATTGTCCAGCCGATCTTTGAGAGCCCTGTTTCCCAGCAACGTATATGCTCGCATCGGTCAGAACGCATTGAGTTGCCAGTCCAGAAGACCTTTGTACATGGCAGAGATGGAAGGGAAAGGCCATCCTTTGCAGTGGAAACTTGGTGGTCCTCCACAGATTTCCCCATCTTGGTCAAAGGCACAGCCCCCAAAGCCTGTCAAGGTTTCAGGTGTATACACCTGAAATGCCTCCACTAGCTCAGCTATCTGCGCGCCTATTTAGAGGGAGGGGAAATCTTTAGTAAGGTTTTCACCTGGAATGTACTCTTTAAAGCTTCGCATGTAAGTGCTATTGCGGCTAATAAGTTCTCGGCACGTACAGGTTCATTGAATGTGTTAAAGGGCCTGAAGAAGTGGAATATTAAATTGACGGTATCCTTTGGTATGCGAGCCGTTCCAGGCTTTGGAGCTTCATGGCTGTGTCCCTGTCGCAGGGTGTCTTGGGTCGGCTCGGACAAGTCAACTTGGTCTTCCAAGTTGCTTCGGCCGTAGCCAAAGGAACGGATGGCAGATGCCTCGAGAGCAAAGTCTCTGTGCAGAATCTCCCTGGCAAAGAGTTTGATGGTCTACAGTGGCGGGGGCAGACATACTGGAGTTGGTAGCGGAAGGACTTCTGGATGGCTCCACCGATGGATACAGAAAGGACTTTGGACCAGTCATGAAGTTTAAGAAACGATTGATGTTGTTGCCTAGTGTCTCTGATTCGATCCTTACATGGTTTATGGTGACAAAAGATACAATACGCCGCCAGCCTTCCTACCAACGGATCCACACCAATTGTGAGTTCTTATTCATTTCCACAGAAAGCAGATTCGCAGCCTCACTCAGCTTCCTAGTATGATTCTCCAGAGTTGCACCAAAATCACGACGTGCATGTCTGTTGGAGAACCTGGGCCGCGGGGGCTCCGCAGGGCCAACGCCACCATTACATTGAATCATCTGACAGATGAGGTTAATATAGTGATCTAGATAAGTTTGGATCGTACTCTCGGAGTCCTGGAACGTCATGGAGTCCGGGTACTTGTCCCAGTAGATGTACTTCCGCACAGATCAAGCTGGTGGAACACCACGTCAGCCCAGTTCCCAATATCTTCGTTATGCGCCATCCAAAAGGGCAAATTTGGGATCAACGGGTTGGCATCCAGAATGCCTATGGTAACCGTTATCATTAATCTGAACTGTCCTTCCAGAAAGAACGAGTCTCGTCGTTGGCTTGATTTCCCCCGGTACTCTAGCCACTGTGTCTCGAAACTCGAATTCAATGGGAGCTTCTCTTCTCGGTGTGTATCGTTGGTTGGCATCCAGATAGACTAGGCTTGGCTGTAAGATTGATGGGCATGGCTGGAATCATGTTCTCATACTTTTGTTTGGTTGTAGACGAGTCCGTATTTAAGGAGAGGTAGGTAGCTTACTCCTTGTGCTTCTCTTGCAATTACTTTAAAGTTATTGCAGGAATAAGCTTGGTTGAGCTATAAGCAATGGGACCAGCTAGCGTACGCTAAGCAAACTACAAGTAGCCAACTTTGTTGGGGACTGCATCGGTTGTAAATCCGACTGCTGCCGACAACGAAGCTCACTGGAACTTCAAAATGTGGATGCCTGGCGTATCACTTGCCTGAGTCAGAAGCGGCTGGATACTTTCAATTGAGAAAAGGACCTGACTAATGCCCTTTTCAGATTGGCAAAGATAGTACATACTTCGTACGTATAAAAGTCTCCTGCTTAAGCTCAAACGCTAGCTGTAGCTCCACTGTCTACCTTCCACGATCCCGTCATCTGGGTGCACATAGTGTAGTGGATATGGCTCATGGTGCGATCTGATATCCTCCCTACTTAAGAGGATCACCCACGACTACCTTGCGGTTATCAAACGAAACCCGTAGCGGCCTTGCCATTGCCCAGTCCCGAATGACATCAAGATCCCGACAGGTATGCACCACTTCCACCACCTCTTTCGCCATCCGTCTTGCGTATCTCAAGTCCAGGCCAGGGGTGCGATGATCGCATTACACTGCTATTATCAGCCTCTTTCTTGCTCAAGCAAGGCTTCCCGCTTCAGGACACTCCGCCTGAATCAAGTGGTTTACCAAGGACCCCCCTGAGAAGTGAGAGGTATGAAAACCATCTCTCATCTTTTCGAAACGGGCGGTCCCTTTACGTAGAACCCAAGGGTGTGAGTTATTCTGGCATGGAGAGGGAGGGGACCGACCTTGAAGTGTTGATTATGTACCTTCGTTCTTGATATTGTCTACGGATCTGTGAATGCTTCCCAAAAAAAAAAAAAAAAAAAAAAAAATCGCAGAATGGGTTAGAAATATAGGGATAAGAATCTGTCGTGCCAGCTTGATATTTGTAAACAAGTTGGGGAAGAGTCGAAATAAAGTGAATAGAGGCCTTCTGATTAGGAACAAGAGATCATGTACCATGTGATGGATAGACAGAATTAGGAATCACTCAAAAAGTCAACCTATAGTAATTGTAGACACTTTGAAATCTACAGGCATATTTATATCATAATCCCACACGAAAAGACAAAACTGCCGTGGTCTATATACACCCTAATCAATTGTACTCTTTTAGTGACCTAATTCCAAATGATCCTATATGGCGTTCTCACTGGCATCTTCGTTGTCTATCGTCTTCGTCTACCGTCCATTTCGACCGCGTCGCATGTTATCCTTGCACTCATTACAATACCATTTGACTGCATCATGTTAATAAAAGCATTTCAATCTCCAATATGATAGCACTCACCGTTTTTGCCCGGAGGCTTGGTCAATCCAACACAGGACAAATGGAACCATTCTCGGGGGCATGCGTCATTGTCGCACGCAACCATTTCTCCGAAACTGATCTCATTGCAGTAGCAGTATCGCGGCTCTCCCTCTTCGTCCTCGTCATCCCCTTCATGGAGAGATTCTTCCTCTTCGGACGGAGCTCTCGGCTGCGCCACCGGCGTGCTGCCATTCTTCTTCTGGGATCGCTTGGAAGGGGCAGGGTCTGTACTGCGTGTAGCCCGTACACGCTGCTGGGTACTCTCTGAGAACGTTGTCGTGACAGGTGTCGATGTCTTGGACGATCGTCCCTTCGGTGCTGTGTTCAACGCGGGTAACGCTGGAGTTTCCGCTCGTTCAATTGATTCGGTAGGCTTGCCGTCTGCGTCGTCACGCTTGGTACCAACGGGTGCCGAAACCTTCGACACGGCCACATCCACAGCTTCACTGTCTGCCTCCCGACGTTGGTTATCTGGGTTTGGTGCTGGAACCGCATCAGCTCTGGAAGCAGTCTCTTTGGGTATCGCCCTGGCCTCCATTGGCTTATCTGCATCGACCCTTGTGTTAGAAACTACCGGAGAAATACCAAGTGCTGGAAACGTACTGTTACTAGCCACACGGTTTGAGGTCGAGGATGATGGTCTTTGGCGGCCATTAGTAGTTTGGTTTGCATTTTGTTGAGCACGAGACGACTGCGGGCGAGCTGGAGCAGCTGGTCCTGGACTGCCTGTGTTCCGTGGTATGGTTGCGGGCCCAACAACCGGTGACGGTGCCAGAATGGGAGAATCTGTAGAAGAAACACCGGTATTGTTCCTAATAATTGCACAGTCAGCCAATTTCACTTCATAGACATTCTTTCCAGTCTCCGTACCTTTTGCGTGCGGCAGCGGCATTCGTATTCGGTGCGCGGGATCTTTTCTTCGTAGCATCAGGTCCGTCCTTGGAGGCCGCCCGCCCGGAGGCATTGCTGCTGGCGGTCCTCTCCATTGCAGCCCCCGTATCTACCTGTGGCGGCCGTTCGACCTTGCGACGTTTCGTCTGGCCAGACGTACCACTGGCTCCATGCGCATGACCAGCAGTAGACGCATCGCCTGTAGCAGCACGTACTTTACTCGACTGTCCCTTGCGACTGCCACCAGTGCGCACTTCATCAAGATCAGAATCAGCATGTCCTCGACGCTGTCTCCGTGCCAAGACAGCTTCCCGTCGGGCTTCGCTTCGTGATACGGCTTCTGCCTCCTGAAGAGCATGGACTAAATCCTTGTTTGATGCGGCTTCCCGGCGAGGGCGTTCATTGGCAGCAGCCTTGGCGGCGGCATTTCGATTCGAATAAGCCCAATGTGTAAGGCTACCCAAGCGCGCCTCATCGCTTATCTCGCCTGCAATAAAGGGAAAGATAGTGTCTAGACGCAGAATCTGACGGTCCAGCTCATCATTCGCATTGGAGATCACATGGTTTTTCTCGTCCGCGGTCATCATCAAATCCGAAAGGGTATGCCGTACGCGATCAAACAGAATCCGACGGTTTCTACTCTCCTGGGATTCTGGCGGCTGAGATAATTCCTAGTAAGCAATGACGGTAATCAGCAAAATCTCTATATAAATTACTGCACCTTTATTTTTAGCTCTGCTTTAAAAAAAAAAAAAAAAACCCACTACAGGCAAAGATCCTCGCGAACCGCACCAGCAATGACAGGTGCCGGATTCGGAGGAAAAGGAACAGCCTGAGATTCAGAAGAGGACTTCAGAAGCTGGAGTAAATTGTCCTCCAAAGCCCAAGCTTTAGCGTCCACCTCCTTCAGCAACGAATTGTGTCGGCGAAACTCCCGGGGTAGCGCGGCGATGGCGTCTGTGAAATGCGTGATTGCCGGATAGAAGCCATGGGAAATGGGCGGCGTAGGAGTTGCATCGGCCATTGAAGAATGTCCATAGGCGAAGGACGAGCGACCCTGAGTCTTGGAGGTCCGGGATGGGTTCGTGCGTGTCTGACGCGCCGACTGGCGAGAATTGGAACCCTGGGAAGCGGCCGCCGTGGGGGGGAAAGCGGAAGACATGATTAATGGATGAAAGAGCCTCAAGCAGACTCAATCAGGGAACAGAGAGCAATCACAAATGACGGCTGACTGAGGCCTCAGCTGCGGGAACATGGACAAGGGACAAGGGACAAGGAGAAATGATGGAATCTTGCGGTGCGGAGAAAGACGCAGACGAGAGGCCTTCTTTCCCCTTTCGGACCCGCATCAGGTGATTGGTGCCTGATAGCCACAGTGCTGACTCAGCCATCGAATAAAGAAACCGGTGACGTCATCAACGCCTTTCTACCAAACTAATAAATTCTCCTGTAAATGAAAAAGAAAAAAGACACATATCGATAATATACCAAAGTCCTTAATTTACATGCATGGAAATAAGAAAAACAAACAGGGACACATGCGAGGTGTAGACAGGCCATACCATGCAACATGTGCCAGAGACAAAACCGGAAATGCCAAAAAGCCCTGGCACGTTATGCAGAGTGAAAATCTAACATAGGAGACGAAATGACTAGTTACTGCGATTTACTCCTCATTTCATATGACACCCGGGACATGCTATAGCATCCCAATCTACTCGCCCTTCAATCGATTCTGGTGAACAGTGAACGCATCTTCAAGGAATTCCTGCTCTTCCTTCAAGTGAACTGACTTGAGACCCGAGGCCACGGAGGCGCTGGGTGCGCGACCAGCGTAGAGAACGTGGCGGCGGTTGTGGTGCTCAGTCTGGTTCAACAAGGTCTCGATACGAGGCTGGGTGTAGCTCCAGGCACCGGCGTTGAGGGGTTCTTCCTGAGCCCATACGATGTTACGGGCATTGGGGTAACTGTCCAGGTTTTCCTTGAGCTGGGCCCAAGGGAAGGGGTGGAGCTGTTCGACACGAGTGATGGCCGTGTTACGGATGCCATTGGCATCGCGGTGTTTCGTAAGGGCAGCGTACACCTGGCCAGAGCAGAGGATAACCCGCTCGATCTTCTCAGGCTCATCGATCTCCGCGCCGTGGGCCGGGTCAGGGATGATCCACTGGAAGTGAGAATCACCCGTGAACTCCTCAAGGGAGGAGCGGGCAATCGGATGACGCAGGAGAGACTTGGAGAAGAAGATCACCAGGGCTAAAGGAAAGTGGAAACTGTTAGCTGGGTACAGTTCATTAGGGGCCATGTGCTACTTACGTTTGCGGAACTGGCGGTGGATCTGGCGACGCAGGATATGGAATAGGTTGCCCGGCGAGGTCATGTACGCAATCTGCATGTTGCAGTCCTGATGCTGGCGGTCGAGCTTGTCTTGGGAGGGGAAGACACGGGGCTCTTCATTACAGAGTTGCAGATAGCGCTCCATTCTACCCGAAGAGTGCTCGGGACCCTGGCCATCATAGCCGTGAGGCAGAGACAGCACGAGGCCAGAACGCTGCAGCCACTTGGACTCTCCAGCAGCGATGAACTGATCAATAATACACTGAGCATTGTTGGCAAAGTCACCAAACTGAGCCTCCCACATCACAAGCGCATTAGGCGAGGTCAAAGAGTAGCCATATTCAAATCCAAGTCTATCCAGGATAACAGTCAGTTCGCGTCCGAGATTGCAAAATGTTTTAAATTAGGGGGAAGGGGGTAAAACTTACGCTCCGAATTCACTCAGAGAGGAGTTTGAGATCACAAAGCTGCCCTGCCCGTCGGCAATGTGTTGTAGTGGGGTATATGTGTTCTCGTTCTCCTGGTCGTGCAGGACGGCGTGGCGCTGCGAGAAAGTACCACGCTCAACATCCTGGCCGGAGACACGGACGTGATAGCCCTCAGAAACAAGGGAGCCAAAAGCCAGGGCCTCAGCGGTAGACCAGTCAATGTTCTTGCCTTCGTCCACGGCCTTCTTACGGTTCGCCAAGATACGCTTGAGGTTGCGGTGCAGGGTGAAGCCTTCCGGAGCATCGCTGACCTTATCCGCCACATGTTTCAGGAGAGGAACTTCAACACCGGTAGGGAGGTGCGGCAAGACCTCGGTCATCAGTTCCTTGGGGGTCTTGAAACCGTTCCATGCGGAGGTCAGCCATTCCTTGCCGGTGGGCTGGTAGTCCTTGCTACGATCAAAGCTGTCAGTGAGCATGCCCCAGACCCATTTCTTGTGCTCATCAATATCCTCCTTGGTGAAGGTACCCTCGGCAATCAGTTTCTCGACGTATTTGTCCAGCTGGTTCTTCTGCTCAGCGATACGCTTGTACATCAAGGGCTGAGTGAAGGAGGGCTGGTCAGTCTCGTTGTGGCCCTGCTTGCGGTAGCAAACAATGTCAATGACGACATCGCGCTTGAACTCGGCACGCCAGTCGGCAGCCACCTGGCAGACGTAGTTGACCGCCTCGACGTCGTCCGCGTTCACGTGGAAAACAGGCGCATCGATGGACTTGGCGATATCCGAGCAGTAGGGGGTAGAACGGGCAAAGCGGGGATCCGTGGTGAAGCCGATCTGGTTGTTCACAACGATATGGATCGTTCCACCGGTAGAGTAGGCAGGCAGGGAGTGGAAACCCATAGTTTCGTACACGATACCCTGGGCAGCGAAGGCCGCATCACCGTGGAGCAGGACACCCATGGCAGAGTTGAATTCCTTCTCATCGTTGTTATAGTGCTGGATGGAGCGAGTCTTTCCAAGAACGACCGGGTCTTCGGCTTCCAGATGGGATGGGTTGGCGACCAACGACAGCTGGACCCGCTTTCCGGAGGGAGTTGGGCGCTCGAAGTTCATACCCAGATGGTACTTGACATCGCCGGAGCCTTCATCAGAGGGCTCGGCCGACCCCGCGAATTCGCTGAAGATGGACTCGTTGGGCTTCCGGACGACGTTGGAGAGGACGTTGAGACGACCACGATGGGGCATACCAATGACGATGTCCTTGACGCCATAGTCGACACTGCGATCGATCAGGGCCTTCATACCAGGGACCAGGGTTTCACAACCCTCCAGACCGAAACGCTTGTCGTTGGGGAACTTGGTGGCAAGGAAGGACTCAAAGCTGTGACTCCAGATCAAGCGATCCAGGATGCGGCGCTTGTCATCAACCGAGTACTTGTATGGTTCGGGGATCTCGAAGCGGTCGCGGATCCAGTCGCAGGGCTTCCGGTCGGGAATGTGGATATATTCCACACCATACGAGCCACAGTAGATCTTCTCACAAGTAGCGATAATCTCCCGCAGGGTCATCTTCTTGCGCCCCTCCGTCGCAAAGCGAGGCAGGATGCCGGGGCCAAGAGTTAATTCTTCATCCAGATCACGCTCGGTGAAGCCGTAGTGGTCCAGCTCAAGCTCCTTGGGCTTGTTGTAACCAAACGCCTCCGCCTCGCCGCGAATGCCCAGAGGGTCGATCTTCGCCTTGTGGTGACCACGAGCCTGGTAGGCGCGAACCAGAAGCTGGACCTTCAGATGATTCGTGACATCGGTACCGGCCGCGAGGGAAAGACCGGCGCCGGGCATAGTCTGCGGGACACCACCGGTAGGGGTGGGAACGAGTGTCGGAGGGGGTTGGAAGGCCTGGGAAATGGGCATATTGCCGTCTTCCATGTTTTTGAAGTAGGTCTGCCACGAGATGTGGACACTGGATGGATCTTTCTTCCATGCTATGTACATCTCATCGATATAGTTGGCGGTGCTACCCTGAAGGAAGGAATCATTGGGGTCCTGAGACAAGGAGAAAAGCGCAAAAAACATGTCAGTGCACATCTTCCTTCCAGTTCGAAGCAAATACATCGCGGGATTCCCATAGAACTTACCACGCCCGGTTCCGCGCCCTGGGCGGGCGCGGCATAGTGTCTCCTGCCATTCGAGAAGCCGTCAACAACGGCGAGAGGCCGTCTCGCGGCCACGCCAAATTTTGAGCTCTGGCTAGAAGAAGCAGGTCTAGCGGTAGAGGCAAGGGAGAGGGATCTCCTGCAAGCCGAAGTGGCAGCACCGCGCAGCATACCACTGCTGGTGGCCTTGACGGCGGCAATACGAAGCATGATGGAAATTTCTAGACGTGAACGAATACAAGTGGTAGATCAGCACCGACAATTAGGGCAGTCAGGAAAAGATATAAAATCTAAAGCGGGATGGATATTCTAAACACCCAAACACGTCAGATGCCATGCATTAGTTAGTCAATCATCGGTGCTGGCCCTGCAGCTGCCGAAAAGTCAGGCGGACCAAAGGAAAAAGACGCACCGATGTGTAACCGACGGAAACAGAAAAAGAAAATATAAGAAACAGGTGTCGACTAATATTGCCGTAGCACCTGCGCAGAAACGGGACTCATCAGAGTGCGAGCAGCACACACTCGACAGAAATAAGAGAGGGGAGCGGAGAGAGACAAGAGGATGAGGTTGTAGCGAGAAAGAAACAGGAGAGAGAAGAACAGATTGGGCGTGAGAGGTTTGCCGAGATCTGCGCTACGGCTATGACGGGGACTTGGATGCTGTGGCTGGGCTGCAGCCACAGCAGCTGACTCACCCCCGGCACCGGGCCGACACAAATGCCTCACTGTAAAAAAGGGCGGCGCTAGACCACAAACGGCTGTACTCTGCCACTGTTGGGCCTAGGAAAATCCCGCGGGCGGGATTTTGCGGAGCACGTGGCCAATCAGGTGAGAGTCGATTACTTAAGACAGGTTGGAGGTTATGCAGCCCTAAGGCCTAAAGGCATCCACGAGGATACAATACTTGTTAGGTAAAACAAGAAAAATTTTGAAAAATGTTGGTAGACCGCATGTTCCAGGCTGTATGGAGTACAGCGTGCTGCTGGAAATACAGAGTGCTGCTGGAAATACAGAGTGCTCTAGTGATCATGGACTGGTTACATAACCACCTACATACATCCCGATATCTATATCAATAGTAGACCTTTTATTCCGTCTAGTAGGATTCTCGACTTAAAGTGATTACCAAACAAGTGGATATTCTTTAAAGTATACCAGGTAGTACGCTAAGGCAGATCAAAGAGCTGAAGAATCAGCGAATGCGATTCTAAACACCGAAAGATATCAGTAGGATATCAATCTATGGAATTTAACAACTACATGCATTGTAGGTGCTTAGTTTTCACTACCCTCGCTATCAGACTCATCATTCGACTCCCTCTTCCCAGCACAATCCCCATCCAACTTCCCATACACCATCACCGCCGCCAAGCCCTTCTCATCCTCGTCACTCGGCCTCCAATCGCCTTCGATATAGAACCGCGTCTCCAACCCCCGAGCCATATACCACACTTCAGCCCAATTTTCCCGACTGAACCGGCCCCTCAGCTTCACCACGTCGCGCATCTGTCCATCCTCCCATCCCCGCGAATACGTCTCTACCCGGACGACAACATCCGGCGCCAAGTACGCCGGCAACACCAACACCTCCGTCTCCCACACCACCGTTGCGGCCCGTACATTCTCCCTATCCTCCGTCCCATACGTGCGTGGAAACTCCACCCCCAGCACCGCCGAGTTCGGCGGGTGCAGATGCCCCACGCCGTACGTATTGCTCATGAACTTTGATGCGTCGTAGAACAGGTGGTTCCAGAGGTAGTAGATGCGGTTTCGCCAGGGGGTATGTAGTGTATGTGTGTCGGGGTTCGGGTTTGGGTTCGATTCTTCGCAGCGCTCGTTGTCTTCTTCTCCCATCCATATATCTTTGTCGGAGAAGTCGGCGCAGGGGGGTGAGCGTGTCCAGGCCAGGCGGAGGCGGCGGGTGACGGTCTTTTGGGCGGTATCCCCTGTATAGTTGACTTTCCGCACAGTGACATCGGTGACGTCGGTGACGTCCCAGTCCCCGTCGAGGGTGGAGTACATTTTGGAGTAAAGAGGGAGATTTTTCCGTTCCTGTCGTTTGGAATGCGGATAGTGAACAAGTGCGAGAATCACATATGACAGGACACACTTGTCATGTGTAGGTTCCCGGTAGGTCTTTATAGCTCTTGTCACAGTCGGATCACGAAAAGGCCCCGTGGGGTCCAAAACGGTCTATGATGTGCAAGCTGCAGATGAAACGGACCCCAGTGAGGATCCTTTCCTCCGCATCGGCATGAGATTGATGGGCTAAGAAATAATAAAGAAATAACTTAGTTAGTATAAAAAATATTAGCTAAGCAATACTACCAGATCTAACTACTGCAATATACCACCTCTTCAGTCGCTCGGGATCTGCATGGAAAAGCCAGGCGCCCCATCACCATAGAGAATAATAACAGTCAACAAACTGTTGTTGGAACATCGGGTTATCCCTCTGCTCCGGGTGCGGTCTGCACTGTCTTAGTCAGCCTCTGTTATGTAACTTATTCCAACTAGGGATGTGAAATTTCAACTTTTGATTCTTTCATTCCGAAATTTCCAAATTTTCGCATGTTACTTAGTAAGTAATAGTTAGCCAATAGAAGGTGTGGAACAGATCATCCTATTACTGACCAAACCTGAAGGAGTAAAATAAAACCACGTGATTGAAAAACTTTCGAAAAAATAAAAAAGTTTTCAAAAATTTTCAATTTTTGCTTGAAATTTCGAAAATTTGAAATTTTTTCTCATCTAATTCCAACAACCGTCTCCGATCACCTGACGACCGTTACCACCTAGCAACCACTTCTTTGGTTAGCCACCAGCAGAAAAAGAAAGCGATACAGTCACATATAAATAATATAATAATTAAATTGTCAAAGGCTGAACCCGTAGAACCTACAGGTAGGTTATGTACAAGAAGGAATCGTTGAAGGAGGGAAGAAAGGAAGAGGAAAATGAGCGGTAAACAAACAAGATGGGGAGTCACGTGACAGGGATCGAGGGCCAATGGGCCAAAGGGGCCGACAGGGACAGAAGGGACAGTAGGGACAGTAGGGACAATAGGGACAATAGGGACAATAGGGACAATAGGGACATTGGCCCGAGAGGTCAAACGGGCTCTAGCCCTTTACATAAATTTTTGGTAAACTGATATAATAAATATAAAGAAGATATATGGCTAATTTTGTATCACGGAACCGGTGGCACTGGGGAAGCCGCATTTGCCTCTCTTACCAATTTACATTTATAGGTGCTTCTTCCACTTTGATCTTACCTTTACTATCAATACCTTCTTTTTTCTTTACTGCAGTAGGTTCATTGACCTTCTTCTTACCTTTATCAGTCTTCTTAATATCATTTTGAAGTTGTAATGGAGCTTGCTTGGCTGCTTTCTCTTCCTCTTTCTTTCTTTTTTTCTTTCTTTCTTTTTTTCCCCTCTACTTGTCAGAGGCTGAACCAGTGGAACCTATAGGATAGGCTATGTACAAAAAGAAGAGAGAACGGGTAAACACGAAATGGGGGTCACGTGTTATGGCCCGTCGAGGACTAGTAGGACCGAGACGTCAAATGGGCTTCAGGACTATAGCTTTTTTTCTCTCCTATTCTTGCAAATACAACTATCTTTGGTTTGTTACTACATCTATACGTCCATGCAATCTCTAGTACGCCAGCCAAAAAACCACGGATACTCAAAATATTGAGGAACATTCCATCATTTGTTTATACAGGTACGCAAAAGTTGTACAATAACGTTCACCCACTGCGATAGAACTGAGAAAACTGGTTCACAACAAAGTCATTTAGGGTGATATAGTTGCTACAACAATTGCATTTCCAGATATCAAGTTTAAAATCTTAGGTGTAGATCCTCAAAGCAAACAATGCTTGCTGCTCTATGTTACTTACTAAATCGGCGAACCAAGAAAAGCCTAGTCGAGAACTTTGTTCAGCCAATGCAACCCTCTATAAAGTTGTGGCTTGGGCTAGCTTGAATCCCATCGTTGACAGTTTATGAAGGTAATTAGAACACCATTCCGCTTATTCAGCAATATATATTGTGTGAAGTGCAAACTAGTATTATAATAGCAGTCAAGCATCGTATAGTCTGTTAACTTCATATCACAAAGAGCATTAAAAGTTGGTGAATGTTCATTTATACTAAACACAGCTTCCTTGGTCAATTTAGAGAAACATGTCTCACCAATTACAATACAGCTCACTTTCTCCTGAATCTGTCGAAAACTAGCACCAGCTCTTAGTTTCTGGCCTCTGCAACTACGAATGGGGCAATGCTCGCCATTTTTTCCCTCGTCTCGGTCAGTTCCCGCTGCGGATGTGACTGCGAAATAACCCCAGCTCCCGCTTGAATCCACTGATGATGCCTATCTTGGAATACAGTGCGGAGAACAAGCGCAGCCTCGAAGGACTTTGTATCTTCCAACATAAAGACAGCTCCTGCATAGAGCTCCCTTGGTTTTTTCTCGAGGCGCTGAATGGCTTCAATAGCTGCCTGCTTTGGGATACCAGATGCTGTTATGGACGGAAATGCAACGTTAAAAGCGTCCCATATATACTTATCGGGAGATAGATCTCCCGTCACACGGGATCCGAGATGCTGAACGCTACCACGTTTCGACTGTCATTAGATCTTGGACTGTAGTGGTGTTTGCTAGACAGAGCTGACTGAGTTCATTAATTACTTCTTTGACAGACATCACGTGTTCGACAATCTCTTTGGGATCATTAAGTAACTCCTGGGCTAATGCTTCAGCCTCCGTTCCGATGCATGATCGGGTGCCGGCTAATGGTTCTGCGGTAACTTTCCCATTATCAACTGATATTACCAGCTCAGGGCTAAAGCCAGTAGCCTCAAAGCCCTCGTGACACAATGAGAAGCTCCTTTTAGGATTGTTTAAACGTCGGCCACAGAGCAGGGTCGCAGGCATATCCACCCTTTCCTTGAGCTCCACTGTTCGTGATGGAATCACTTTAGTATACATGCCTTAACGTATCTCTGATAACGCTTCAGAAACCTGATCAATGTACTCGTTTGCTTCATCTTCTGTGTCAAATGACTGATTAGGGCTAGGTTCAAAGCGAGGGCCATGCTCGATCAAGTCACAGAGCTCTCTCACTTTGTCGCAGTCAAAACCTTCACTGTTATATTCTCTCGATAAAAGCTAACTTCAATGTGCGGCACCATCATACTTAGTAGCGGCCACTTACCGGGGTTATATTGTACCCCACGAATATGGGCAGCGTAGTTGAATGTGGTTTGGCCAAATATTTTCATTCCATGTTTAATATGATCCGAAATAAATGTTCTTCCAATATCTTCAACTGCTCCGTGGACCTGACAAACTTTCTGAATTGATCCGTCATATATAGTCATTGTCTTCCCTCTAGAGTCCAGAAAAAGTGACGAGCGGCAACCAATGCCTATATGACAACAACCCTCGCATTCGTACGCGTAATAGTCATGGTCCTTGTGCTTTGCCAGCACAATGCACACTGTCTCTAAAATATCGGTTCGGCCAGGGATGGGGGGAATGATTGTATGGGAAGCCATTGTATTCGTCAGTTGACGGTGGATGGCGATTGATTGTACAAAGAGAAGGGAGAACAGGAAAATTTACTTTCTGAAGAATCTCTATGTTGACAATAAGTCACGTTAAATATTTACAAATGAAGGGATTTTGTTGAGCACATTTTACCTTTTATCTAAACTGATGTTCCTACATTAAGTATGCTTGGATCATGAGAACGAACAACTAGGTTCATTATTTCAATATTACTGCTGATCAGTTCCCAGAATTTAGCCTCGTAAACTTCATTTAACATACCGATGAAGCGTCATTACCTCACTGCCATGTAAGCACAAACTTTCAATGTTGCCGCCTAGGCTGTGATGTGTGCATGTATAACTGAAGTGTAGTGGATACATTAATCACTTAAAGTCTTTCTGTTGGTCCTACTACCTAGCCGCCCTAGTGCTTGCATTATTTCCTTGTCCTATCATTGCTTTACTAGTTTCTTTGAGCAACTTAGAAAGCAAGGGTGAGTGGCTGTGAGACCTGGAGGTAAGGGACTCATGATTCTCGGCAGTGTGACAGTATACAATAGAGTAAGAGTGTTGTATACTGAATGCACAATATATGACTTCTCTGTTCGGGATACATTCAACCAGCACATAGGACACAGACTTAAACAATGTGATTGGTAGCTCTATAGTAGATTCATGTACTGGGATGACTGGCGTACGATTATGAGTCAGCCTGTGATCAAAATAGAGGTTAGAAGACGTAATATGAAGCACGGAATAACATTTACTTCCCAAAAAACCACGTGTGACGGCGCTGTACAGCCTTTCTATATAAAGCGAGAACAATTTAAGGACTCTGTCCTTGTATCCTAGTGTTTTGCTCCTGGCGCAGCGGTTTTCTTGATCGAAATGTTCCCGATCATGTAGGCCGTAACACCAGGTATATAAATATAATTTTCTTCCTGTCTCAGCGTGACAGATCTATTCGCCTTTAAAGTGAATTATAGAGGAGCACATCAAGGAATGATGCCCAGATAATGTAGTGGCAATATAATAGAGCTTCAGTTCTTTTTATCAGCTGATACATGACGTGTTTAGTGCAAACTTTGTTCAACAACAGGTTCTTCATACAGCCCAGCATTTCTACCTTGGGGTTTATTAAGGTTCGAATATCCCCTAGTGCGTGCCGCAATATCCCTAGTCTACTTGAATTGCATCTCCAGTACAGAATATATGGCATTGCTATCTTTTATTCCCCCCCTCCCCTTTGAGAATCAAGGATAAGTACAATCAATGGCGGGTCAAAATAACTATGTACTAGGAAGGAGTGTATCCGACTCTATTCGGTTAGTCAATCCACTCAATCAGCTGTGTTCTAGAGTCGAACAACAGTTATATGACACGATACTCCTAACACCAAGAAGACTCGATGCACAGCATTTGCTTTGGAAACTCTACAATGACTATGAATTGCATCCTCGCATTCCCGTCACAGAGGGCATGAAGATAGCTGATCTTGGGACCGGAACAGTGTATGTATCCTGTATAACCTAGGGTTGGTTCTCGCTTTGAAGTTAACACGGAACATCCAAAAAAGTGTCTGGATATTTGATGTTGCTAGGCAGCTTCCAGAAACAGTCCAGCTCCATGGATTTGATATATGTGACAGCCAGTATCCCTCTAAAGGGCAGTGGCCAAAGAATGTTACACTTGGACTTCTAAATTCCCTAGAAAATCCACCCAAGTCACTAGTTGGTCAGTATGATGTAGTACATCTTCGCATGTGGGCAAGTAATTTTCGAGACGGCGATACAAGATCGTTAATCTGTCACGCGAAGCATCTATTAAGTGAGTCGAGTTCAACTACCCCATAATACATGGCTTTTTTACTTAACATATCTGTCCATAGAGCCTGGTGGGTTTATCCAGTGGAAGGATGCAGACCTTGTGCACCAGCAGGTTGAGGGAGATAGAGCAAAAGCATTCGAAGATAGAATGAGAGATTTGTTTAAGAGGGTAAGCCTCGACTATAGGTAGGTCTCTTCCTGAGCAGAAAACGGAAAGAAATGGAACTGGGATGGTTGAATATCGCACACTAATAGACCGGATAATACAGCTGGGTGTACAACTTAGCTAGTCGCCTGGAACAAGAGGGCTTTCGTGTCCTTGAAACAAAAAGGAGCAGGTTTCCATCTCACCTGATGAATCTATGCACATATACTTATTTATTGGCGCTGCGAGAAATTATCCAAGGTATCAAGAGGGGTCTGTCTCAAAATTTATTGCTTTCAATTGCTGAGCATGAGATTGTCCTCTATCGTTTGACCACACAAGATAGGCATGAGACCGTCTATAACTGGTCTCCAGTGATTGTTCTGGCACAATATTAGCTTTTCAGCTTTTACTGGCTTTTTTACGAAAGCAGGCGTTATGTGGCAACAATTATATGCCCTGGAGCTAATAAGTTATTTTGACTTCTGAAAAATCTCGTCAGGCGTCAGGAACTGTATTTAGAATCTAAGGTACTGAATAGGATAGGAATTACTGAGATCTATTTGAATGCATGTAAAGATTCAATAACACCAATAACAGGTGCTCTTTGGCCAGACAATAGAATTCAAAAATGTCATGTCTCCTTGCTTAGGGTGTTGAGGGTTTGACAATTAAGTTGAGCCCTTTCTTATTCCTTTTACAAGTTCTCTCAGCCAGCCACGACGTTGTATGATAAGTCCAGTCAGTTTATGTAGACATATGTAGGACAGAGAGTGCATGCACGTATGCAGCAGGGAGCTTAATAAGAAAACCCTCTTTAATCAAGTGCAGTTAGGCCATGTGCACTGCATTGCTTCCATAACTTGTGCTTTGCCTATTTCAGGCTATACCTATAACAAATCAATAGAGCTTGGTTTCTACCACTACGTCTTCTGGCCAAAAGGGAACATTGTTTGAACAAACACAAAACTACTATTCATGGCTATATAGTGATACTAGAACAGTATCCCTGATAGCCGGACTCGAGCGACATTGTAGACATTCTGGGATATTGTTGGTAAGTTTCGCATTTTCCTTAGAAGAGGGTTAACAAAGAAGCTCCATTGTCTGAGTATGTGATAAGTAGCGTTTTGTTGAACTTCACGGTCATTCAGAGACACTTTGACCATATTGGTTTCAAGTGTCCCTGTATTTCAGCTATCCTCGGCATGTAAATGTGCATGTACATACCGTGGATCAATGCGGCAAACTTGTTTCTAGATCGCCGAATTCTCTGTGATCTAGCCATTCCAATCTGCATGCACTGCTCCCAGTCAAATCGAACCTGCAAAGGTTATGGCCTCCGTCTCTCCTGACCAAATGCGAACAATGCTAGGCGCGCTGTGGTGGGAAGGTCACCACTGCATAGTAAGAGAACGGACCGCGCATCTTCCGACATTCGGTTGGTAAATATATAAACCTGGAATATAGAATTGCACAACTGCCTGTTAGGTTCGGGGTCGAGCGGTAAGCTTGTTTACTATACTAGAGCAGTAAAACGAGCAGACAGACGAAAACGGTACAGAATTAGCACAGCCTGTCCCATCCTCCTATTCCCTTTAATCCATTCAAGTTAGAGGTTGCTGATAATTACTTCGTACAGTACTGTACGTAGTCTATGACATTTTGGCCTAAGAAAGCAGCACGCGAAGCTGACCAACTCCAACACCTTGCTGGACTGGGTAAACTATCATTATATCCTATCACGCTTGTCTCTTACACTGGCATCAGCACAGATCGGAGACTTTGTTCTCCCTGCCCGATGCTTGCGCAGAGGTTTGTACCCAAAAGCCATACCTGTCCTTTGCAGGTACATGGTTTCTAATCAATCCTATTAGCTCTCTCATCTAGTTCCATCACCCTATAACAAGATTCTAGTCCTCTCATAGATGTTTGCAACACAATATCCGCAAAAACGCCACACACCATGTCCGCCAAAGGTCTTGATAATTACAAAAGCTACTTAAAAACCCTCAGTTGAGGATCCGAAGTATTTCCCCATCGGACACGACACCCAGAAATGGCCCCGGTAGGATAATGACCGTGGAATTATTTCAATTATCTATGCTGGTATATCTTAACCGAGCATCTGAAACCCTTCTCGAGCTTACAGTTGAAGCTGAACAACATGTTCAAAGAGCCTTCGCCATATTGTCTAATTCTTGTGAGAGGTATACCGTCCTCGATCTTATTTCTAGAACGGAGAAGGTAGCTTCGTCATGATCCCTTCTCATGGTGAAAAAGATGGTCCAGGCTATCTGGAACCAGGATGATCTTGCTGATGGAGAGATGACTATTATCGGAGTACGGCTCTTATCTACCGCACCACCATTAGGAAATGTCTTTCTTGTTAGTTACCGGAATACGGTATAGAATGTAATGGCGTAGTCCCTGTTCTTGTTTAATCAAGCTTTGTGAAACTCAGAGTGGACATATTTTTGGGGGCCAATCTGCAACCCGCCGCTGTCGATGCTCAGATTCTTGCACTTGCATCTTAGCACAAAAAGTTTGGGGCCGATTGGACCCCGTTTCTGCATGGGTCATTCAGGGTACTTTTCCTAGTTGAGTGGAAAATGCGAACTTTAGTGTCAACCCTCGCTAAGATAATGTGCATACGTTGAACGAACAGTTGAAAGTAGAGCTCCTAATGGGATAGTGGCCAATGAGATACCAGAACATGGAAAACTGGCTGTCGGCACACCTGCCCTGTACTCTCCGCCCCTATCATTCTTGTTTACACCACTTCGGAACACGAGTTAACGGGCTTGCAGCCATTTGTTTCCCTGTCCGTTTGCAAAAGCAAAAGTGAAATATAAACCAATTTATTTCTAGTTTCAGTTAATCGACTTCATCCACTGAACTGCGAATATAGCCGCGTCAATAGTGATACATGGAGGGAGCCGGCCAGCACTGTCAAAGTGGCTAAACATACCAGACTATACCTGCAACAAATATTATCTCTTATGAATAAAAGTACGCCTTGACGGATATGACTCTGATGTGGTCACCTGGTCGCTGGATGGAATATGCAGTCATATCCGAGAGCTGTGCCCTCTCTAATATGTCCCAAAGCATTGATCTCTTTATGCGATGTATAGTTAAGCTTTTTAGCTGGATTTAATGAACGCGGTGTACTATTTCTCTATATAACAACAGAAAAAGTCCAAACACTGGTTCTTATAAGCAATAGCCATTTAGCCTTAACCTTGTCTTTGTCCTTGTCCTAGGCAGGATGTTAAAAACAAGACTTTATTTGGAGACATACTTTGGGTTATGATGGATGGGCAGTAAGCTGCCAATATTTGATATTCGTGCTGCTATGTTACCCGGATGTAGCAGATCCGCGTTCAATTTAAATAGGGTTACATATAAAGGCGGTGCTGATTTTGTTTATACAGACCCTATACAGGTATTCCATTTCGCCGGACACAATATGTCAGATTTGTATTGCTTCCAGGTATGAGGTCATGATGCGCTTCTAGATGACACAATTACAACTTCACCAGACTAGCTTAATAGCCGCAGCTATACGAATTAGAAAGAGATGAAGAAGGCAAGTCGCTAACCTTGGCAGCCATAAATATTAAAGGGACTAATAAATAATTTAGAATACGACTAGAGAAAGGTTAACAATATTTCTAATCCACTAGAAAATTTAGCCAGAAGATGCGTTTCCAGGCTTATAACCAGCGGTAATTTAGAAGATTGAATTTTTCTTATTGTTATAGTAAATCTGAGTGTTTATATGGAGTATGAATAGTAGATTAACTTCTAATTAACCAAATTCTATACAGAACGTATTCTGCATATAAAGCTCCTCTTCTATGTCGATCTTTGACTAATAACAGAAGGCTGCTATAAGACGGGTTTGTATTAAAGCAGCTTATGTTATTGCTAGGCTAGGTGACTGGACCGGAAGCCTAACTATATCAACATACTGCAGATCCATCGCTACGATTACAACGTTCCTCCGGACGAGATTATGCGAGCTTTTCATGATCTTGTCTCCACGGGCAAGATGCATTATATAGGAGCTAGTTCCATGTGGACTTACCAACTAGCAACAACGCAATTCAGCACCGAAAGGAACGGTTGGACCAAGTATATTTTGGCGCAGAATCACTACAATTTGTTATATCGTGAGGAAGAGGTGGGGATTAATAAGTTCTGCAAACAAAATAAAGGCTGATTCCGGTAATGAACTCTTTTTTCGTTCCTAATATTCTTGCCCACGACTGATGACAGATAAATTAAGTGGCCCCTACTGGATGCTGCTTGTGATCCGGAAATTTCGGACAATCCCCTCCGGCAATGGAAGAGGCCCTGCAGACGCTCTTTTTATAGACCAAATCCCAGTCCTACACTGCACGCGAACCAGGCTTTGGTCAAAATCAAGGCTTTTGGGGTGAACAGGATGGATCTCCTTGAACGTGAAGGGAAATATATTCCCCCTCCACAAGCCCCGAAGACAATGGGCGTCGAATTTTCTGGGACCATTGAGGCCTTCGGTGAAGGCACAGACACCTGTTTCAAAATAGGGGATGAGGTTTTTGGCCTTGTTTACGGAGGTGGGTTCAGCTGTCGCTCAATGGAGCTGTGCTGACATGAGAGAAGGCGCTTATGCAGAGTATGTGGCGGTGTCAATTCATATGCTGATTAGCAAGCCGATGGGCCTGACACCAGGCGCAGACCTGGAGAAGCTGCCTACGGTGGTGACGCGGGAGGCGATGTCAAACAGGTCCAGCTCACCATTATACAGAACTCACCCTCCAACGAGTTTAGACGAGGAAGTCGATGGGGCGTTTAGAGCGACCCTGATGGCGAGTCATGGACTGGGTAGACAGACGTCGCCCTGAAAATTGCGAATCTGAATAGGAGCCTCAACACGACGTACTTCCACAACCATCCAGAACAAAGGGAGGCGATCCTCAACCAGCTTGAGAATCTGTCGGGCTCCTCCTTTAGCCTGGAGTAGCTGGTGTTTGATCTGGACAATGCCTCGCTGCAGAGAAACCTCAGCTTTGGCGGCATCAAACCCGGCTCCAACGCCCAGGCCATCTTGCAAAAGTACTTTACCAAGTTCTGGGCTACTACAGCCGCTGAAAAAAGGCCCTCGTCGAGGTACTGGAGCAGGCTGGCGTTGATACTGGCCTGTGTACTCGAGAACAAAGTCGTAGCTATACTGGGGGGCTGAAAAATGGGAGCTGGGAGCAGCCATGATGAATTGTGATTCGTGTCAATGACTTGAACGAGCTTGATGAATATCTCAATGGACGACAACGTGCTGGGTTTTACATGCAATAGCCACGCACTCGACACCGATCAACTTGACTAAATTGGCATCGAATGCCCAGTGCATTGAGATCCAGTATATCACATCACTCATTTAATAAAACCTCGCAGGCAGGGAATGCCATCGAAGATCAACGAGGGATCAGACTCCATCACACAAATGCGTTGCGCACATAGTCTGATTCGCAGTTTGTTTAAAAACCGCCTCAGCTCTTAATTCAAACACGTCACCTACAGAGGGATGAACCGCCTATCTTTGAAAGGCATGGCTGCCAATAGAAGCCATTGCCAGTAGGCTCGGCAGTGGAAAAATGGCCTACTAACCAATTACTTGCTCTGCATATTACTGTAATAGTTGCGGCACATAAGCTAGTACGGATATTCAGCTTTCAGCCCTTTCGCCAACGATGATAACTATCCAATAGAGGCGAAGACCAAAACCGGAGTGGAAATTTAAGATGCCAATTCAGCGTACTTTTGATGCCACACAGCTGAACGGTAGCGCAGGCGGTAGAAGGTACTGCGTCAACTGCTTAACTTCATTGTCTAAATGCGGGGAAAACATACAGAGCAGTCACAACCCTCCTGAACGTATTCATCAATGTAGTACGAGTTCCAGATGAGAATCAACAGAATGTCGCTACCTCGAATACTTTCGCTAACTTGGGCTGGGACAATTCTTGTAAAGCGACAGCTTTATCTTCATCTAATTGACCGAAGTCACTAGGGGGCTAGGGTGCACAAGCCCTTTAATGTAATTCTGTGAAGTCTGAGAAACACTGGCCACTGTGTTTGAAGTAACGGAAAGACTGATATGGACTTAAAGCCAATTAGTGATACTATTCTTGAACCCTCTTCAGGTGCAACAAAAATATTTCCCATATGGAGATCACTGTGGCATAGTTTGGGTTGGGCAGATTTGGCTAATATTGGATGCGAGTCCTGGATCGGCATGACATTTATTGCGTACTCTAGAAGCTGTGTTTGTTCCGAACACGTCCTTGAGTAAACGGTGGTTGGTTATTTGACTGTTCGCATGAGATCCGGTATAGTTCTTGCTTTGCAATTGCTATTCCGAAACCTGACACCGTATTCCCTAGGTGATCGTTTGGCTTGAGTACACGGCAGAAGTAGGGGTCCAAGGCCATTGACCAAGTTTTCCGTCCAAGTCGATAGGTTCACAGATGGATCGGTAATAAACGAGCGATCACAAGAGGGATCAATACAAAATAAGCTAGATTACAGTCCGCCGTACGCAGGGAAGGGAATAGCGGCAAGCTAAGCTTCGCGCTTAGTTAACCTTTTTATAAGCTTTAATTATCCATTCTCCGCCATATTTCCCCAATGCTTAAACAATGGAACTCCGTCCACCTTCTCCATGATAATATATTCGGCACCAACAGGATTTGTATCGTCCGAAGACCAGGAAACGCAAACTAATACCATATTCCAAAACACCTATTTCGCACGCTGCCGTAAGGGATGTTGATCCAGCGATACGACAGGGAAGCTTCGCAATTACTTCCTGTCCATTTTCTTTTTCATTAGAAGTGCCTTACTGAAACCTCCTTTAGTCAATGGGAACACCTATTATTGGATGAGCGACCCAACAAGCATTGATGCAAGATGAGTTTCCACCAGCTACCGCAACAACATCGCATAGAGCTTCTAAGTCGAATTTTAGGTGGCGTCGATCAAGCTGGGTTGTTCGTCGACAAGGAAATGGCCGTTAGTGTATGCAAAAAGCCCTTCTCGACCGATAAATTTGCCTTGTTTAGTTAGTGATGCCCAGCGTTATAGCTGTTGTCATGCTCACCACGACAAAGTACGGATATCTCAGCCATCTTGTGCCTGTGCCGTAATTGTTTGAAACTTCTAAGGAAGGATAGAATGACGGATAGTAGATAGCGATCTGTCTACTTCATCGACCGGGAAAACATCCTCAAATGCTACGGATATGGCCAGGACGATGCGTGTCGTAGTTGGGGCTTGTACCTATGTATTCAGATTATGATAATATTACATATATTTTGGATCCGGCAGTCAAAATAACTAGTCCACCAAAAAAAAAAAAAAAAAAAACATCTTGAAACACTCATCTTGCGAGTTGGCACTGGAAATAATTGGTTCTGGATAACTACACATTACACTCTAACTAATCAGTAGAAGGCTAGTTATTACATTTGTTCACTTGTCTATATTATCAACAGAAATCAATAATAGGCAGGAATAGTGTCAGTGGAGATCCGCCCCTTCGCCTTCAACTTCTTCGCCTTGCGGTTACGCCAATTAATGGCACATTGGAGCTCCTTTAGCCGCATCGGGGCATCGCTAGGGATCTCTGCCCCGGATGCGAGCAACAGTTCGACCATTTTAACATGATTACCCTCACTGGCCATGAAGAGTGGCGAGCGATTGTAATGATCAACGGCATGTGGATCTGCTCCAGCATCCAGAAGTATGCGTACCGTTTTCAAGCTCCCGATGGAGGCTGCAAAATGAAGAGGTGTAGCGCCCGTGCAATTACGCGTCTCGATCCCCCCCTCAGAGCCATGGATGCGTTCTGAGTTGATTAGTACTTGGCAGACTTGCACGTTGTTTGTCCTCGCGGCGTAGTGCAGGGCACACCAGCCATCTTTATCCTGCGCAAGAGGGTCGTGTTTATGCCGTAATAAGTCGGAGATGGTGCCCACATCCACTTTATCAATTCCGTGCTTCAGCGTCGACGAGAACTGGGGGGATTCGGGGATGGCATTAGATTCCACATTCGTGCGATTGAAGATCTCGTCATCTACCCGCGTGCTTACGGGAGACACGTCTTGGTAGTTGGCTTGTGAGCCGGGGCTGACCAAGGTGGGAGCAAGGCTAGGACGCCTGGCGTCGCCGTCCACGGCATCGTGAATGTCGAAAACATAGTCCCTAGGCCATGTCAACATATGAAACATATCTAGTAACGTTCCTGAGGACACTCACGTCTGGATGAAACGCAGGGCGATTTCCATGGACTTGATGCGATCGTCAATATCCCTCAGCCCGGATTCGATAATCGGTCTACCTTCTATATCATAGACTAGATATTTCACCGCGCCTCGCAAGAAAGAGCTGGCGTGGTATTCCTTTAGAGGTTTCGGCTGCTTGCTTAATAGCAACGTTAGAGTACGCTGACAAGCGACGATATTCTCCTGAATGATCGAAGCGGCCTCATTGATCATATCATCCTCGGAGCTGATATACTGTCTATCTCTGACCCGCTTTGCAGCCCGCTGAAATAGTTTAAATATCGTCCCGAGAAGCTTTAGTTTCGACGCGAGCTCTTTAACAACTAGAAGTATTTTTAGCAGTTAGGTTTCCTCGAGCCGTCTTTCTTTCTCTCCCTTTCCTTCCTTCCTTCCTTTCTTCTTTCTTTTCTTTTCTTTCCTTTTTTTTCTGTCGTTGGCCCAGGTAACACTTACTCGTGTTATAGTCACGAGCTGCCTCGGTGAACTCGATGATGTAGTGTGCTGTTCCTGGAAAACCATGAGCACTCACAAGTCACGATCTCTCAGGATGGTTGTAGTCTGACTCACTGCCTGCCAGCTCCAGTAGGTCAGCGCACGTTTTGATCGCTGCGATAACTTCCAGGCCCGACATTGTGTACGTTATCTGAGACTCAGGAATACGATCAAGCACATCTGATCGGGCCGCTCTCTATATGCGAGAAGTGCATTCAGCCATATTCCTTCCTGTGCAACACGACCCACCTAGCAGCACTTTGTTGGCTTTTAGCGGAAAGCCATATTTCACCAAGTGGACCAGTCATCTTGGCATCTTCCGGATGATCCACGACGATCGATATCACATCGGACCAATTTGCAAGTAAGGCAGCCATTCAATTCAGTCTGACGTTTTCCGAGGCTCCAGGTCAATGAATAATTGGCCCTCACTGGTTGGCTAATAGCTTAGTTTTGGACATCCCATGACACCTGTCGTTTTCAGCTATGTACTTCTCCTATCCATGAACCTATCCACCCCCCTCCCCACTGTATGAGTGTAAGGAACATCTACAACTCGTATATGCATGCCCAAAGCTCAAGCATGCATTCTTGGGAAAATGACGGATGACGATCGACAATTTCTCTTTGTGTTTTTTCTGTTCTATTTTCTTTTCCTCTCCTTTTTTCATTTTTCTATTTTTTGTCTCTGGTACAGCAACCTTGTTTGGGATCAATGCCCGCATGGTTTATAGAGTCTCCCAAAATCCCTTCATAATACCTGCAGCATGATTTGTTGGAGACTCTCATGGCTCGGTTTCGGGCTGGTTGCCTAGGCTAACTAAGAGATCTGCTATGAGCTTGATTTATGAGCATTAATTAAGGTGTTAATGGGGGAAAGTGTCAGGGAAGTAACTGGGGTTGTGTAAAACACTAAACATAGTTAACTGAACTAACCAGCTAGCTAGTTATTAATATAATACCCTCGCAGCCGTCCCTGAAAGCTCTTATATAGTATACTTATACGGTAGAAACTACACTATCGGCATAACAGAACAATCCTCTACTGGTTATCTCTATGTGAGATTCCAGGTATCCCGTCTGCCATGGATAATAAAATCAAACAGGCAGTACCCGGGGTAAGTGGTGACTCTGAAAGTGACTTCCATCTTTGTGGCTATGCCCAGAGTGTTCCTCTAAGCCAGATAGCATCGACACTGAAGTTGTACACGTTCGCCCACGTCCACTCTGACTAACCACGGTGAATTTTAGGCATCGCCCCAGGCTGATGCGGGCATCGAGGTAAGAACGAGGTGTCACAGCATCAAAGGGGAGATCTGACAGGTAGCCCGACTCAGCCGAGATCTATTATGTCGAACCCTGATGCGGATAATATATCCGCAGTCGATACAGATAACCCATTCCGCCATATAGCGCCCGAGGAGCTTGACAAGATGGTGGACGATTTTGTGGGCTATCACCAGGGGCTGGAGGAGTACACTGAATTGCTCCGGTGTGGAGCCCGACTGGCCAAAGACAAAACAGGAGCACTGCACTATGTAGCACGGTCCTTAAATCTGACGGAGGCTCAGAAGATGCATATTATTCATGAGAAGAGTGAGGGGCTTTGGGAGCAGTCCAAGTACGTCCGAGCGTGCATTTTAGTGACCTTTCTTGCCGGGATTATTCAGTAAGTCTCCCAACAACACGGCTGATGCCAGTTGTTTATAATTTTTCCATGATTTGCATCCCAGTGGAAAATACCTGCTGACCTGTGTACCGGGGATGGACCCAATCCGGTATGTAGCAACTAGGACCCACGCACTGCAGGACCAAGTATTCTGCTCACAAGACCATAGGGAGAAATGGAGGAAACACAGGAATGACCCTTTATTTTAACCTGCATTATGATCCCAGTGATCCCATGCGGACGACGGGTGATCAGTGGCTATTTGGCGTGATAACGTCCATCTCATTCTTGGCAGGCGGCCTTCTGTATGTCGCCAGCTATTTAACGTATTTGATCTCAAAAGTAACCCTCATATTACTACAGGGCACCCTTTTTTGCAGACCCCCTCCAAGAGTATTTACTGGGCCGCAGGGGCACTATTGCCATTTTCTGCCTCGTCAATATTGCTGGAACCATCGGTCAGGCCTTCTCAGCCAATCTCCTACAGTTGGGAATATGCAGGGCCATCACGGGCTTGAGTCTGGCTGGAAAGGCATCGAGTGCACCATTACTGTTGGCTGAAGCGGCCCCCAATCACATCCGTGGTATGGCTTTCTTCCATTTTATTGCTCCGACTTTTTGAGCGTGGAGACCCATGGTCCTGAAGGCCTACGTTAACTAATTTGCAATTAGGGCGCCTCCTGGCTATCTGGCAGCTAAGTGATGCATTAGGTATTTTCTTTGGAGCGGCATCCAACTTGGCGGTGCTCCATATCGCCGTTCCAGAGACCATCGTATGGCGCGTAAACATCTCGACCGTCTTGATACCGACAATTATTCTACTCTTTCTGGTGTATTTTGTCCCCGGTATGCTGCCTCAGCTGAGCGTTTTCGTCGCTTAATCTAACATTACCAGAATCTCCAAGGCTGCTGATGAAAGAAGGAAGGTTTGTCGGCCATCCCCCTGGCTTTCGTATGTACCATCTCCTTGCTGCTGATCCTGGAGGTTCAGGTATCTTCCCGCCCTCGAATCGTTCGTTCTGTATCGACCTGGACCGGCTCAACAGCTTCTGGCCGCTCGTGACTTTATATATGCACATTTCCAGCTGCAGATGGAGTGTACACCCACACAAGTACGACTGGAACATAGAATAGAGTCCCACGGCCTCGAGATGTCGAGGCGTGAGATGATGAGTGTGGAGATCCCGTTATATAGTATCTCAGCATCCACTTATTTCCAACGTCTCAGGCAGACATTTGTTGATGGCAGATCACGAAGGGCACTGATATGCGCCTCAACTGCAATGCTCTCACAACAGTTGACAGGCATTAACTCCCTTAGTATGCGTGCTCTGAATCCTCATTGCAGACCCACAAGTCGACTGTTTACCCTGTGACCAATGCATATTTCACAAGCTATTCCTCAGCCGTCACTAACCATTCTAACCTCCTCAATGTATAGTTTTCTTGTCTGGAACAATCCTTCCCAATGCCAACGCATCTGGCACGACGGGAGCATGGGTGAGCTTTGCACTGGGCCTTTGCAATTTCGTGTAAGAGACCAGTCCCCCCTGGAAGTGTCGTCACGTCAGTTAACAGCCACAAGTTTCGGTATCCCTGCCTTGTGGCTCTTCGATAGAGTCGGACGAGCAACGATGTTACTCATAGGCTTTATCCCTATGTTTATAACTATGCTCATCCTTGCATTCTCTTTCGAAAACAGTATCAGTAGTGGCGTCCGCGAGCCCATTGCCATCACCTTCGGTATTCTGTTTATCATTGCATATTCTCCCACTGCAGGACCAGCACCGTGGGCCATCTCAGCCGAGGTGTTTCCACTCGTTATCCGAGAAGTAGGACATTCGCTAGCGGTTAGCGTGTTTTTTCTCGCGTTGGGAATCTTTCTATTGTGCTTTATTCCGTTGTCCGGTGCGATGGGGGGTTATAAAGGCTCGGTTGCACTGTTTGTGAGTACAGAACCTACCTATATAGGTGTTTAAAGAATGGTGTTAACCCGTCTTCACTTGCGATATAGGCTGGACTAAATCTTGTTGCACTGGCGCTGTGCTTTCTACTCGTCCCAGAGACTAGGGGCAGGTACGATGTCTCGATCCGGGAGCGCACTGTGGCCAACAAGCTAATTTATAGTAGGACGCTCGAGGAACTAAGAACCATCTTTGATATCCCGACAAAGCGCCATATCCAGTATCGGCTGTCCGTCGTGCTTCCCTGGTTAGTAGAACGGTATCTAATCATGTGGCCGCGTGGAATACGTGTCTGGGGAAGGAAGGACGAAAAGCAAAACGGCAGCGTCTATAACACCGGCCTGGTGACATTCCATGACTGGCATATGATTGATATGGACTTCCAACGGTTAAAGAAAGAGAAATTAAAAAGAGAGAGGCTGGAAAGAGAGAGGCTGGAGAGAGAGCAGTTGATTAGAGCACAAAGAGCAAGTGAGCTGCGTGAGTTACAGGCGAAGTTGGACAACTTGAATTTGCCCGCCGCCAGTTTGAGGTCTCCTAACGACTACAGCAAACGCCCTGCTACTCGCTAGAATGAATGTATCTGACGGGATCCGGCCAATTCTCCTGGGACAACGGACAATACATGGAGAACAGCCATCCCATACTAGAAAGATTGCGTATCCAAGACAACCAGGGATTCTTCGAGGTAAACTGGAAATATAATTAATTACAAAGCTAGGTACTTTTGCATATTACTTTATATAATTTAAAATTTTGGAATTATTATAGTAAAAGGCCATGGTGTAATTAAAATAAGGCCTTGGCCATAGCCGCTTTATTTATATATAAAATATCCTAATCCGGTTGGTTAGTAGCTCGAAACTGTGAAACTGATCAATACCTACGCAAGCTTCGCACGCCTCGCAGCGCATCATGCGGCCTGGTTCACATTGGTGGTTGACCCCATTCCCCCCAACTATATAGAGAGGTGTTCAGGGATAAGACACACTGTATCAAGGCCTACGGATGTTGCATCCGGATGAAATCAACGTACCCCTTAACGATCTTTCTTCGCTATCCTTCAGCCTACTTCCATCAGATGTTTCCCCACATCCTTACCAGATCCGATTACCTCAAGAAACATGCAGTGGCTCCGTGCTGGAATCCTCCTTCTCTCATTTTTGTCGAGTGCACAGGCTCAGGATCTCTTCACTTCTCTTCGCTACAACAACGCCGGCCAACTCGGTTCGTGCCGGCCGACAATGCGCTTCGTGGCCAGTCCAATCTATTTGTGCGGGATCTTGTGGCGCGCCGCCTCGAGGGTACAACGATTTCCGATGGTGCAATGAAGACCGGAGACATCACCGCTGCCAATCGAACCACTTTGCAGAAGCGTGGAGCCCCTGCATTCCCATTCACCTATATCATCACCGCCATAGAGCCGTTGCTGCGAACCTGGACAGGCGAAATCAGGTCGTCGTGCGTCGGCATTGATCTACTCGCGGATGGGGAGGATTCTGTTCACTGTGAAGCAGTTTATCCCGTATAGTGGCGGGTGTATCCATACCATTGATGGGTAGGTCTTCACCCTTTGTTGAGAATAAGAATCGATATCTCATCGGGGAGCAGGGTTCTCACCTTCCGATCAAGCTGTCCAGCGCGGCCTCCCAGACGGTCAACACAACCACTTTCGCCCGGCTCCTCAATAGCACCAATCTCACCTCCACGTTCGACAATGCTCCATCCACCACATCCTTTCTACCAAATAACGCTACATAGGAGGTCTGAAAAACACCGCCACTCCGGCTATGATAAATGCCTACGCAGTGCAAGGACCCTTGGGCTACTTGCCGTCCCTGGAGGATGGGACGATTGCAGAGCAAGTCCGGCGGGAGCGTGCAGGTCGGCGTACAGAACGGACAAGTGTTTGTCAATGACGCGCGGGTTGCTGCGTTGAATATGATCTTGGAGAATGGGTGGCACATGTTATTGACAAGGTTAGTTGGCTTTTCCCCATCCAGCTATTGGTGCTGACATTTTCAGGTCCTGATTTCATCGCCATCAACTCCGCCGTTCATGGGTGGTGCTGGGGGGTTGACGCCTCTGGGCTTTCTACAATCATGATCTTGACCACTGCATCTAGCCTCCTACAGAATAATAGTGCAAGGCATGTGGTGGGACGTTAAAGCGGCGGCTCAGCGCTGGATTTACGGGTGAAAAAGCCGCCATTTATGGCCTCAGTAGCGGTCATTTTCGCTGTCAATTTCACATGTCCTCACATTGTATCTGTAAACATTTTTATGTAGTCCAAGGAGTCGTTACCATGTCTACTTACATTTGTATCGCAACGTGGCTGCAAGCTGTCAGGCATAATAAGATCAAGAACGTCTCCTATATATGCAAATAATTAGGGATATAACTACGTTGTTTTGATGTGTCATTTATTCCAAGTTGTAAGAACTGAGCACCTCGATTATGGTAGCCAAAGGCTGAGGACATTGGATGATGGACCTTAAATTGTTGATAACTTGTAAACTGCGAGGAGGCGGTTAATTGATTGCCGGATATGCATGTATTGAGCTGGTGTGCTTAGTTATGTACGCTGCGCCACATTTTGTAGACTACAGTGATATGTAGCGTCGTTTATACTGCAACAGTGCTTACTTCGCGGTAGCCCCCAACATTTGGCGCAATGTTCGATTTATTGGGGGGTCTGAATTGATTGTATTCAGAAGGATATTGTGCCCAACCCCTCTATGAGAGACATTGGGTATATATATTTCACATGATGTTCCACTCTGGACTAGTTTATTCTGACAAGTGACAACGAACTAGATATCTTGGCTCAGTCTGACAAGCATCCTCTTCTGCCCTACCCGCCAGGGAACCGGAATCGTCGTGTTTGCCTGACTTTTGGCGACGTGATGTAAGAGTGCTTGGCACGTAACCCTAATCTACGAAGATTCTCAGTAAGATACTGGAGCGCTCATCAGGAACTGGAAAAATATATAGGGCTCAGCTATCCCAGGACCTCCTTTTAGGTAGAGATCAGAAAATAAGAATATCAAACGCAAAGGAGGGTTAGTCTATAGGTGCAGAGAACCCAATAAAAGGAACCCACCCATCATTATAGCCAAAAGCAAGGAGGTAACCATCTTCAATAGCTGAGCAACTAGTCTGACGATTCTCGGAAGGGAGCCACAGTGCTTTTTCACCTCCAACAGTCACCCAGTCATTTGCCAGAGATATTTCAGGGATGGAAATATGTGAAGTTGAGGAGCAATTATCACCCTGGCACTTGTCAACGAGCCTGAGGCCACAGCCTGACTATCCGGTGAAGGCCACAGATGGAGCTAAACCTGAATGACCCTTGAGCGTCTGATATTCCATACTGGTCTTGGCATCCCAGAGCTTGACGGTGATGCCGACTATTAGGGCAAATAGAAAATTTGGAGCATCCAATTGCTCCTTATTCAGGGACGGTGTATAAGCACTATTAAGGCGAAGGCTGTGTGATAGGAGTGCTCTAACTGCCTTTTATCCTACCCGTCGCTAGTACAGGATTTCAGGTCGCCCACAGTATAAAGTTTTAGAGCACGTACAATTCTGCACACAAGCCACACGTCGGCCGGTTAATGGCCAAGTGGGTGACCACCAGCGAATCAGGGTTATTATACGTTTTATTTATTTTTTTTCTTTTTGCAGGCCTACCTTACTATGTAGTAAATAGGCTAGAGGGGGGAAATATATAAGGGAGTTCAAGTGATGCCCTCCTCATGTATACGAAGCCAGTTAATACCCTATCTGTCACGGATTAACCCCAGTATAGTGCGCTCAGACTAAGGCCTTCGCTACTATACAGGGCACTAGATGCGACTGATCTGTGGATCAGTCGTCTTGTACCTTTTTATATGGTCAGTGTTTTAGGTGTACTAGCGCAGAGACAACCAAACCATCACAGCATCTTTGCTATTAGAAACTTTAACCTTGCGGTGATAGCTAGAGCTATATTTTATTGAAACCCTTAATAATATGTAAGTATAAAAGAATTTAGACACGTATAGAGATGATATAAATGTTTTCTAGTATATTATTAAGAAATAGATATTATACGCAGTCTGACCCTGAATTAGAAAAGTAGATAGGCAAGTTTCCTATAGACTGGATACAACTAATTAAGCGCAACGGAAAACAAGAATAGAATTTCTCCTAGTAGGTAGGTTGAAGGACCACTGTGAGACGGTCCATTAGGGATTTACTTTAATAGCATAGTGCAACACAACACAAACGCTATCTAAACGTACGCGTAGCGTTTTTTATACATGGAGCCACACTCTGAGCATTCCAGTATGTGGGACTGACCGGTCTTCCTCATATTGCCATTACTCTCTCCACATTCTCTGAGAACATCAATCATAAAAGCTGGAGAATGGACACCCAATCTCTTTGCATTGTACACAAAGTCATCTAGGCCGACGTATTTTCCACAGCCATTACAAGCTTCACGATCCTGTCTCATTACAATCGAGTCGAGGGTAATCTCAGAAACTAGATACTATCAGGCTCTTACAGTGGAGGTGCATTATCCGTAATAGGAGGGACATACCGTCGCAGTGAAGCATTAATGCAACACGAGAGCGTTCCGTTGGAGTCAGCATCCACCGATACCTGCCTTCTACATTTGTCGGCTCCGACAGTGCAGGAATTTTGGCAGGAATAGTGGGAATAGTAGGAATAGTGGATGAATGGAGGAGCTCAGCCATTATGGAATATAAAATTGGCAAGAAGTTGGAGAAATAGGGTTCCACGGATATAGATAGCTTTGTAAAAAAAGATTCTTAAAACGTAATCAGGGTGGTGCAGACAGCGCTATATATGTGTTTAAACCAAATATTGATACATAGAAGACATCCAATCATCATAACTCGTAAGATCATGCTGATCCTTCTATCCGGAATGGTCGGAGTGGTCGGAATGGTCGGAACTGTTGGAAATCAGGGTGCCTAAGGCACCTTCGTATATCCTAGTCCCGCAGCGATGTGATATATCATATTCAGGGGCTAAGGGACACGTAGACATGAGGAAGCGTTTGTCTACGCTCTCTCTCGTAGATAGAAGAATATACTCACAAAGCGATACTAGATTGCACGATAGTTTCAATATACTATACAGTCACCGCTATCCTAGCACCTCACGACATAGCTTCTTCCCTGAGATTCTCAACAGGAACTTAAAATATCAGCCACAGCCATGACTTTATGCGCTTGTAGATTGCAGATGACGCGTACAAATATAATAAGAACATTTGTAACAACCAGCACATAACAATGGCAGCTTGCCAAATCTTTACCAATTTAACCTCACTGTAACATACGCATCCTTCATGTTCCGAGAAGTTTCTTCATAGATATGACAAGGCCAAAAGCTGTCCATTAACTTGCTGGGAGATTCTATCCCATACTACATAGTTGTACGCACGCGAAGCTCACCACTATTAATCTGCTAGTTTAGTAGTTAGTGTGTACAGTATAATCTCTGGCCAGCTGATTTACAACATTCCAAATCACTATGCATCTATTTATAAATAGCCTTATTGCTATCAGGCGGCATTTAAATAACTACTACCCATATAAATAGCAAAATACGGTCTATAAAATATATTGGAAATGGCATTTCCATATTGGATTTAAAACAACTGGCCAGGTATTGTATACCTTGATAAGAGTTTCTTTTTGTGATAGAATGACCCAGAGCTGTGAAGTGGCCGCTTGAGTGGAGCCTGGTGTGTGCTGCTCCTTTCATGGCTTTCTATACATCCACTATAGCAGTTTTCATGTTTGCACAACTTAGGGATCTGGCATCAGATCTGGGATGCCGGATGAATATCGCTGATACAGCTAGTGTATACGGGCCTATTTTATGGTAGTCTACAGCACCATGCGCTGAAACAAACGAAGTGAAAGAAAGGGAAAAAGTAAATGTGCCTGCGAGAGCATACGCAAAAAGGCTGGCGATCCTACCTAAATATCTCGTCCCCTTTCGATCTAGTCTATCTTGACACTTTATTGTTGCAGTTCTTATGCGCAATTCTCGTTCCTTATTGGAGTCATCGCATGCGGCCTCCGTCCTTCCTATTAAACGTGCTAGGAATGTGTTATTAAGGGAATCTGTAATGGAAGCTACCACTACGATGGTCACTTCCTGCTTTACATTTCAGACATGTTGATTTTTATCTCCCTATGTGCCCAGAGACAGCGGAGAAACCAAGTTATTACTCTAAATAATATTACCTATATGCGAGCGACATGTACAGTGAGCGCGAAAACTCCCTATACTGATATGATTGCCAAATTAAAATAGTCCAAATAAGCTCCTCATGAGCAGAAACTCACAATGTAAGAGCAAGTAACAACATTTGACGTGGGATAAATTTTATTTTTGACAAACAGTACTACGTATGACTCCAGTGGTGCCAAAATATAACTGCTATCCACATGCCTTGGCGCCAAGCCTACAGATATTGCTAGTGCCCCTTAAGACAGGAGCACCTGATATTATAGAAAGTATGTAGTTATCGTGGTCTAGGATATCAATGATATATCTGTGATGACCTGACCTTGGACACCCCGCTCAGGTTAACGCGGTGACGTGTGTTTATATGGTTTGCACGTAGGCCGTATTGGGATAAGGAAGGGCTGAGGGCACAGGGTTAGGGCTGGGAAGCTTCCCACCATATCCTCGCTCGCCATGACAACGCCCTTCTACCTTCTTCCTTTCCTCCCCATCTTTAGTATTCTTGATCTAGGACTCAATGTGATCTTATCCCCCTGATTTGCCTGCCGTCACAATATCGTTCCCTATATTAGGCAACTAGTTGCGTGAAGCTGTTCGATGCGCTTACTGCCTTCTTCCGCTCCCGCCCCCTCCCTGAGTCACATCCAAAGGGCTACTTATCATATAAGTTCAAGACTTATTAGATACCATTTCTTTAACATAATAAAAAAATATAAACAAAAATTAACAATGATTATTATAACATATAACAACCTGCCAGACCTGGTATGTTGCGCTTGGTCATGGACTATGTCAATGAGAGCTGTGAGGAGAGAGTAGCATAAATCTTATATCTACGCTGAACTTAACTTCAACAACTCTTCTATCACCAAATCCCTAAAGATACCATACATGCCATAATCATGCTGCCATAGCTGCTTGCCTTGCAGGCTTGATCCGACGCCCAATGATTGCTTACCGGCCTCTGCGTTGTCCATGTCTAGGTTACTCACCCAACGTCGTTGACATCATGACGGAGTAAGGAGCCACCGCCATCACAAGCCATGAACCTTAAGGCCTTTTGGTTATTAAATTCATTTGCTCGCGCAGCCCACTATCAGCGTATTTCTTCAGGAATAAGCGTCCGCTAATTCTTGTTATCGGTGCTGCCCACACCTCTTTGGTAATGGACATTGATTTTTCTCTTTCCCAGACCCGCCTGGCATGCTGTTCGTGTTCGAATCGATTTACGTGTAAATAATACTGTCATATTCCCTTTGAGCTGTTGACTACGTCGTATTGTGGAGACAGTAGTGCTCTTTAAATATATCTGTATATTTCCTGCGTCCAAGAAGGGCTTGAATGGGAACTCGTCTTCCCCACAACTCCTCAGCTTACAGTATCGCAGCTCTAACCCCATTAACCTCTCAGATTAGCACCATTATGCTATCAGAGTAACTCGCCTGCTATTCTTCACTTGAGGGATTTTGTAGACAGTGTGGAACCCGTCCTGTCACGATCAAACCAAGGACTTGCTCTAGAGATTGTGACTTCCTTAAATCTTCCTCTTCAGCCAGATGTCTACTCCGATATTGATGTGATCGAGGTTCCCACGATCATACATTTCTTTGCCTCTCCTAGTCGTCACAAGACTACAAACCAAATATATTTATCTATGCTCGGGATACTTCCTAGCCTATATCGACTTGAATGGGTTTCTGGTTCTGCTTTACATGCCCTCGAAATTGATTGGTGAGCTATCCGTATCATATCACAGCGCCACTTTCCCCCCATTGCCGAAGGATTTCCTTAGCCATCCCGGTGACTACTCTGATCCTCAGACCGATAATACGCACTGCCCAGAGGCTGATCCTTGCTAGGCATGGTACGAAGTAGAAGGGCCAGCTAAATGGTGGGTTGACACTTGCCAATGATTTGCTCAAACTGCATTAATGCCTGTCGTGAGATAAACTGTAGAGTTTTATATACAGTACGGAATTCACTCCGTACAGAATCAGATAGGTTTTGACCAATCTAATGTTCATCTTGCATATAAACCCCCAAGTTCACAAATGAGAATAATAGCAATTAATCTTCCGAATTACAAATACCAAATTTCCGAGCTTCTATATCATCTTCAAGCTGTCCAGAAGTTAAGGTTGCTAATATCACAGGCCATGTGGTTTAGAGATCCACGCTACAGAAGATGTACGTCAATTCCATAGATTTTCGTGGTTGTTGTGAATAAGGCTCGATCTGGTAGAAGAGCTTCACAGTAGATCCTAGAACCTGATTGATTGGAAATCAATCCGATGTTCACTCTGTATATACAAACCCTCAAGTTTTAGATGAGAATAGAACAATCAATCTTCCTCTGAGTTACAATAGTGGTATATCTCAACCCATTTGCGTATTTTGGTGTCCTCATTGAGGGACAGGGAAGGACATATTTTTCAGGGTTTTAACTATTTTCGGAGGTTAAAAAGAGTAGTAGAATCATTTAATAATTTATTCTTATTAGCTATTGCTGATCTAAAAAAAAAAAAATTGTATTACATGGTGTTGATTTCTATTAAACCCTTAATTTACTAGGGTTAAGGGCCAGAAAGTAAAGATAGGAAGGATCTAACTTATACTTCAGGCAGGCAACTATTATCCCTATAAATACGTTCCACAAATTTCTTGTCATTTCGCCAATAAGATAAGGGCTATCCTACTGCAAGAAATAGCGACCAGGACTAATACTAATACTTTTTACATTTATCAAATCAAGTGCGATCTCCTTTGTCCTTTTTAAAAATAGTAATTTTCTAGATTTAGTCTAAAATATTAACTTCGGGACTTAACTTTTTCTTAGCCACTCCTAGTATATATTTACGGCCCTGCTCACGTCCTGTGGATACCTATTAAATAGTGTTTTGTTTAAGAAATGATACACAGACTCCCTGTCTTTAGAATTTAAAAATAGCCTGCGATAATATTGCATTTCGGCCTCTGTTAAATCCCTTAAAACACCTTGTACTAGGCCAGCTTTTATAAAAATATTCTGCTCTATTATAAGCTTACGCCCAATATCTTTAGTACGAAATTTTCTAAACAAGTTGCAAGGTCTAAAAAAAAAATTATTCCAATTCAACCCCTTGATATAAATTCTATGAGTACTAGACCTGTAATTTAGATAAGGTTTTTCCATGCCCAGTCGAAACCCAGGGCAGATCCCCAGTCGTGGACGACCAGCAAACTGCTATCACGCTGGAGCTTTTCCTGGATAGGCGATCTTATCTGGAAAGGGTTCAGGACTCCCCTCGACGCCACTGATCTCTATGACTTGGACTGGGGTTACAAGGCTGCTGTTGCAGCTAATTTATTTTATAATACCGCGCCGATCACACTTACACTGCTCTGGAGATTGTATCGCTTCTCCAAACATGACCTGCTTTACCAGGGAGCCTGGGCAACTCTCTTTAGCCTTACTAGCTTTTGCCTAGCAATTCTACTTCGGATTATCCTTGGGTATTTGGAATTGTTAGAAACGATATCTCGAAATAATGCCTGGCTTTGCGTTGGGGGGCTTTTATTTAAGGAACCATCATAGGTATTGCGGACTGTCAGTGTAAGTGGCTTGGTCGCAAAATCAGCATGAGACTGAGGGCGATTTTAATCAACGAGATATTTACAAAAGTGCTGAGGAGAATGGGGACGTGCAAGGGCTTCCGAAGAGCAGGAGGACTCCACCCAAGAGAACCATGCTACTGACGGGAATGTTCATAACCTGATGGTTGTAGTCGCTACTAGTATTAGAGAAGTTGGCGCACACATGCATCTAGCCTGGGTTAATTTCCCCCTCCAGGCTACCATGGCATCCGCGGTGGGGTATAGTTCCCTCGGAATAAGTGGCCACTAGGCGCCTTTCTAATGTTTTCCCTTCTGCCACTGAACGCCTTGGTATCGAAACGCCAGGTGGCAGCTTAGATAAAAGTTCTAATTGCAGCCGGTGCCCATGCTCAAGCGAGTAATGAACTTTTACTAATATTCGCATTATTGAACTCAGTGCATGGGAAGCGGAGTTCCGGAAGACAATGCAACATCTACGAAAAAAAGCTCTCGGAACTGCACGTCCGTTTCTTTTAGCGGTCTATATCCATAACGGTCTTCTACTCCCTGCCTTTTATTACAACAATTTTAACACTGTTTTTATACACTGTTGTCGAAGGTAAGAAACTAGAGACCAAAATTGCCTTTCATACTTGAGCAATTTTTACAGTTCTACGTATACCGTTAGATAAGATATCATCCATAATATCGTCTATTCTCCAAGTCATGTCTCCGTCAGTCGCATTGAAAAGTTCTTTTGAGAGAGAGAGACCGGTCAAGATGGTTGGTTGGCGGGAAGTGAAAACCTTCTAGTCGGCTTTGAAAACGCTACTTTAAATGGTCTTCTGCTACAGGGGAAGGGGATGTCAATGCTCGTGGTAATATTTAGTTGGCTGAAGTGCCCTCCGCGCCACTATTTCAGCTATCAAATCTCCAGATCCACGTTTGCAGGAATGGTCTTAATATCATCTGCGGTCCTAGCCGATCCGGGAAGTCGTCACTTTTGTTGGCACTGCTAGGGGACATGGAGCTCCTTCGAGGCCGTGTACACCTACCACTGGGGCAACAGATAATAGGTGAAATCCTATTTTCGAGCAGTGCCGATAATTGTGTAGTCCGCAATGCGGCATATTGTCCACATGCCACCCCAGTGGCCTGTGCGTGGCTCGCTGTGTTTTCGAGAATATACCACACAGTAGGCTCCGGAGCTCGACCCAGTCCTTATTAATATCGATTTCGATATCCCCGCCGGAGAACGGGTGGCCGTGGTTAGACGCACCGGGGCGGGCAAGAGCACCTCGACGCTAGCCCTTATTCGAGCTCTGGAATCGGTGTCGGGGCAGATCACTATTGATGGTATCAACATCGCTTCGATCACACTGGATCAACTGCGACAGGCCGTGACTCTAGTACCCAAGACCCGACCCCTTTCCATGGCAGCTTGCGAGATAATTTTGATCGACTCCACCATCACACTGACGCCGATCGGTACCAGGCTCTGCGCAAACTTCAATTCTTCGCGTCTTTGCCTTTCGGTGGCCTGGACTATCAGGCTGCAGCCCTATCCCTGGGCCAGCGTCAGCTGGTCTGTATCGCGCGGGCACTTCTCCGTCGTTCACGGGTGCTCGTTCTTGACGAAGCCACGGCATCCATCGATCATGCGACAGATGCTTTAATCCAGGCAGGGTTGCGATCATTGCCGCTGGGACCACCGTTCTGACTATCGCTCACCGGCTTCTATCTATTGCGGATTATGACTAGTCGTTCTAAACGCCGGCCGAGTGGTGGAGCAGGCGTCCGTTGCACAGCTTCTCCGCCACCGAGACAACGGCGCGTTCTTTCGCCAGCTGTGTGAGCAATCGGGCTATCTCGCAAATATTGAGCACGCTGCGCGGGGTCACCGCATCGAGGGCTAGGGGGAACATTTATTATCTTTGTTTACACCTTTACTGACCCTTTCTATGGCCATGCTGAAATTCGAGCTTTGCGATATCCTTTCCACCTGATAACTTATCATTAATATAGAATGCATTCCTAATGATCCCATATTTATTTCTCTCTATGCAAGGCAGCAAGCATACTCCTAGGAAGCCGCAGGGATATAGAGGCACTGCAATCTTCGAACACATAGACGTTCGTCTCGTCATTGCATCAGATCAGGTCCGCGAATCCCAGGCTATGCTCTCGGACATTATAGTCGACATATCTTCCTTGAAAGAATCCTGGCATCGTAAGCGCACGAGTCAGTACCAGATCAGCGTTTGAAAACTGGACTTACTCGCAAACTGACCTTGTCCCAATATCCAAGAGTTTCCCTACAGGTCAATGCGACGAATCAAAGCTGTGCAGTATCCTTTGTTATCCGACTTCTTGGCTAAAGCAGCGGGCAACATGTCAAACATTTTGCTTGCGTGACTGACGAGACTCGATCGACTGCTCCGAGCCCCCGTGGCATTGATACCGAAGGAAATCCAAAGCCAAACTGTGGTGGTGTATCACACCGATAAATGCCATCGAGCGTGGTCGTAAGCGTCGTGCTGTTGTGACGCTGAAAAGACCGGATTCCGGCTGCATCGAAGAGTTGTTGGACCAACTCAATTGGACTAATGAACATGTGAACCGGGCGTTAGTTTTGGACACGTCAATTGAAAATCGATTAATGTTTGGGGCCAGGTGGACTTGACCTCACCCCAGCTGACCGTGGTGCCACAGCCTGGAGAACCAGTTGGGTACCTCCTCACGAATGCATTCCGGGGACGAAGAAGCCCATCAGCCTGTCATGCGGGAACGGCGGTCCCGGAGGGGGCGAAAAGCTGGTGGTAACACCCAGCGATTAGATGGGAACGGAGTCTGTGTTGTCCAAGGAGACAGTATCCTCGAAAACCGTCCCATGTACCTGTATTCTTGCATTATCAGACACGCCCTGCCCTCCGTGCTGCTGCACAGACCACGTCGAGCCTCATCGTTTCTTCCCCGGACCCACCCGAGTTGACCGTTCTATACTGCATCGAAAATGGCTGCAAGAGCGCACTTGCTGATTCGCTGGGATGATAGACATCTGAGTTGAGCAGGAGATCGGTAGATCCTGTGTCAACCCGGAGGGAGAGGTTCCTCGATGCTCCAATGGAGAAGGACACGCACCAGAATTCCTATACGAAGCATTAACTCACTAAGAGCTGCTGATGGGATCCCCGGGACCCGTACGCGATCGTCCCTCTCCGCCGTCAATGTCACGAAGCGACACTATCCGTGAGTTGTGAACCGGCATGATATGCCATTGCCTCTTGTCAGGCGAACAGGGAAGATTGCCGCTTCGGCCCGCCAAGCATCCAGGACACGCAGAGTAACTGCTAGAACGATCGAGGGAAGTGAAGGCATGCTACTGGTGTCGAGTTGAAATCCATCATAAAGTGCTATATACAGGACTTCTTAAGAAGCAACCAGCTCAAACCCAGTTCATGTGCAAAGATTGCCAAGCTTATCCATGCAAACCAGACGCAATATCATGTTGCCAGGGCTTTCATAATGCAAAATTAGCTGTTTGAGTGAAAAGGATCCCAATTTTGTACGTACTACGTAGAACCTAAGAGATAACTAGGTGCCTGTTCGGAATTAAAGGTCTGTGTTGTTTGCGGTAGAAAAAGCACGCGATAAATGCATCAGCGGCTGGGTCAAGGGATAACTCTAACAGATATAGATCTAATTTGGTATGGAGGGGTGAACCGTGGTTGGGTTGTGTCAGAATAAGTCCAGATTGGGACATCATGTGAATATATATACCCAATACTCATAGAGGGGTTGGGCAGACAATCCTTCTGAATACAACCACTTCAGACCCCCCAAATAATCAAACAGGTTGCCCCGCAACCAAATTATGCAACTTTTGCCGTGAACTATATATCAGCACGCTCACCGTTAGACCTGTATCAATGATAGCATACTTCTTTTTTCCTCCTTTTATGGAATCATCGACACGAGCATATCATGACAATGGATGAAGCTATCGCTATTGTCGGCATAGGGTGCCGGTTTCCTGGTGGGGCAAACTCGCCCCAGCGCTTATGGGAACTGCTGCGCAACCCGACAGATCTGGCGAGAAAGGTCCCTGAAGACCGGTTCAACATGGATGCTTTTTACCATTCCCAGGCGGGACATCATGGCACTACTTATGTGTCTGAGTCGTACTTCCTGGATGAGGACATCAAGAAGTTTGATGCACCCTTCTTTAACATATCACCCGCTGAGGCCGCTGCAATGGACCCGCAGCAACGCTTACTACTTGAAACTGTGTACGAGTCACTAGATCGAGCCGGTCTGGCGCTGGAGAAGCTCCAAGGGTCCCAAACAGGGGTCTTTTGCGGGCTCATGCGACACGACTACCACCAACTACTTGCAACAGACGTGGAGACGAACCCACCATATGCCCTGGCAGGTACGGCTGCCTCGATTCTGGCCAACCGCGTGTCGTACTTCTTTGACTGGCATGGGCCATCTATGACTGTTGACACAGCCTGTTCCTCAAGTCTGGTCGCTCTACATCTGGCTTGCGAATCCTTGCGCAAAGGCGAGTCCTCGTTAGCTGTGGTTGCGGGCAGCAACCTGATATTGAGTCCAGACCCCTATATCTGGGAAGCAAAAATGCAGCTGCTGTCACCCAGCAACCGCTGTCATATGTGGGATGCGAGCGCTGATGGCTTTGCCTGCGGAGAGGGAGTGGCGGCAGTGGTGTTGAAGAGGTTGAGTGACACCAGTGGTGATGAGATTGACTGTCTGATTCGGGCGACTGGGGTCAACTCAGATGGCCGCAGCGCAGGGCTAGTCATGCCGAACGGCGACGCGCAGCAGGCCTTGATGTCTTCTACATATGCCCGTGCTGGACTCGATCCGAGACGAAACCCTTATGATCGGTGCCAGTTCTTCGAAGCCCACGGCACTGGCACCCGAGCAGGTGACCCTCAAGAGGCAGCAGCCATCCACAGCTTTTTCTGGGGGGACCGCAGCGATAACTACGAACATGAAAACCCAATTTATGTCGGTTCGGCCAAGACCATTATTGGCCATACAGAGGGCACTGCTGGGCTTGCGGGAATCATTCGTTCCGCGTTGGCCTTAAAACATGCGGTAATTCCGCCAAACCTACACTTCCACAAACAAAGCAACCGTGTCGACCCATATATTGCTCATTTAGAGGTCCCGACACAGGCTCTACCTTGGCCTGATTTGCCGGCCGGCGTGCCACGGCGTGCATCCGTCAGCTCGTTTGGGCTCGGAGGCATGAACGCGCATGCTATTCTTGAGAATTTTGACCAGGCTCAGCTCTTTTCACAGGATCGTCCTCAGTGCCAACAGCCTCTGCTTCCGGTGGTTCTGTCAGCAGCGTCCACAGTCACCCTGGGAGATATGCTACAACAGTACGCTGAGTGGCTCCGGGAGCACCCTACAGTGGATCTACTGGATCTGGGATCTTCCCTATTGACACGTCGGTCAGCCTTTCGCCACCGGAAGTTTTTCACCGCTACATCGCCCGACGAGCTTCGGCAAAAGATTGAGCACGATATGAAGCATTGTACGAATGGTAGTATGTCGACAGTTGCCCTCCGGCCCGGCCAGAAAGAAAAGCAAATCCTCGGCATCTTCAACGGCCAAGGAACACAGTGGCCGCAGATGGGGCTGGACCTCATCCAGGCCTGCCCTGAAGCTATGTCCTGGATGCGCCAGCTACAGCAGTCATTGGATGAACTTCCTGAGAAATATCATCCCGACTTTACGCTCCTAGACGAGCTGTCCGCCCCAGAGACTTCGTCCCGGCTCAACACAGCTGCCATCTCACTACCGGTACGAACGGCTCTTCAGATCATCCAGGTTAACATGCTTCGCGTCCTTGGAATCTCCTTCACAGCAGTGGTGGGACATTCCTCTGGGGAGATTGCTGCAGCATATGCTGCTGGTGTACTCAGTGCACCTGACGCAATCCGAGTCGCGTACCTACGCGGTTTCGTAATTAACGAGCTCGCATCTCACGGGCGGATGATGGCTGTGAATTTGTCCGAGCATCAGGCGAATACGATTTGCTCGGACTCACGGTATCAAGGACGGGTGGCCATGGCAGCCTGTAACGCACCATCCAATGTCACCTTGTCCGGTGAACATGAGACCCTGGAGGAGCTCGAGTGGCTGCTGCAGAGCCTTGACCGGCATCCACGTCGATTGACAACTGATGTAGCTTATCACTCCCACCATATGCGGGCCTGTACGGAGTCCTATCTGCGCGCCCTAGAGTCCTGTAATATCAAGGTGCAACCGCCAACCTCCACGCAATGGTACTCAAGCGTATACAGGGGCAGGGCAGTGAACGCGGCAGATGCTGCACTTGACGGCGCGTACTGGTGTGAGAACCTGCTGTGTCCGGTCTTATTCTTCGCAGCCCTGACAGCTTGCCTGGAGCAGATCCCGGGCATCGATATGATCATCGAAGTCGGCCCAAAGGCTGCACTTCAAGGCCCGACACGACAGACTCTGGTTAACATGCACCCCAAAGGTCCTGAGATCCCCCATATCGGATTGGCTCGACCAGGGAAAAGTACTATAGAGTCCATGGCTATAGCTATTGGCTGGCTTTGGGCATATCATGGTGCGCAGGAGCTACAGGTCCAACAATATATGCGTCTGTTTGCACCTTGCCGAGATGTGCGCTACCTGAAATCACTTCCAACGTATCCATTTGACCATCGTACTTCCTACTGGGCTGAACCCCGGCTCGCCAAGGCCCGCTTGCGTCGACGAACTTCACCAAATCCCTTGCTGGGAGCACTTAGCGCCGAAAGTGGCCAAGGTGAATGGCGCTGGAGAAACTACCTGCGCTGCGAGGAGCTGCCTTGGCTAGTTGACCACCAGATCTTGTCAGAGGTAGTGTTTCCACCGATGGGCTACATTGCCATGGTGCTTGAGGCGGCCCGGATCATGTCCGAAGGAAAATCTCTGGAGCTGCTGGAGATTCAGCAATTGATACTGGAGCGCACCATTTCCATCCCTGAAGACGGGCCAGGCGTCGAAACCCTCTTCAAAGTAGATGTTGAGTCTGATTGTGACGACAGGATCTCAGCCACTTTCCAATGCCAGGCAAACTATGAGGGTGATCTGGAACGGTGTTTGTCCGGCCGTATCACCCTTACTCTCGGCGAACCAGAACCGACGGCCTTGCCGTCCAGAGATGAGGCCAAGTCCAACTTGCGGCCGGTCAATATGGAGGATTTCTACTACAAGTTACAGGCCATCGGAGCCGACTTCTCGAATAGTTTCCGGAGCATGACCGAACTTAAGCGACGGCAATATTGTGTGCAAGGGGTGGCTAACGCCCCCTGCGATGAATTACTTATCCTTCACCCCGCTACAATGACTATAGCGCTACAGGCACTGTGGGGATCCATCGAGGGCACAGATGATGGGCGGTTGCCAGCATTGCTGCTGCCTACAAGGATCGATTCCATCATAATCAACCCCTCTTGCTGCCATCCCGGAGCCATCGGTATTGATGCCACTATCACGCACATCGGGGCCGGCAGTGTCTGTGGCAATGCATTCGTGCTCAACGCGGTAGGGGATGGAATGGTCCAACTGGAGGGCATCCATCTGACGCCATCCAATCCCGTCACCGATGACCATAATCTAGATATCTCTGCGTTCGGAACGACTGTCTGGGGCCCATTGCAACCGGACCCCACAATCGGTACTCCAATGGAGCTCCCAGCTGCATTCTCTATACAGATTCTGCAAGAGCGCTTAGCCGTGCTGTACCTTCGAGATGTCCAAGCCCAGCTCACTCCACAGGATCGGAAGCAGCTCGACTGGCATCGCAGCCGATATGTCGCGTGGATGGATCGCATACTGTCCAAGATTCAGGATGGATCACACCCTCATTACCCGCAGGAATGGCTCCATGGGACTGTGGATGGCATGATCTCTGGATCGCTCGGTGGGACACATGGGACTATTATCCGTGTCACGAATATCGTAGGGCAGAGCTTACTACACTTCTTGCGTGGTGAGGCAACAATACTGAGGGAGCTACGCTACGACAATGATCTCCTCTCTCGTTACTACCAGAACGATAATGCGATGCGTATCATGAGTTACAAGCTAGGCACCGTAGTTGGCCAGATTGCGTTCCGTAACCCTTGTCTCGACATCCTCGAAGTTGGCGCCGGCACTGGGTCAGCGACCCGCGCCGTGCTGTCCTCTATCGGCCGAGGATATCAATCCTACACCTATACTGATATCTCGCCAGCCTTCTTTGAGGATGCACGCGCGGAATTTGCCGCACATTCAGACCGTGTCATCTACCAGGTGCTAGATATAGAACGTGACGTGCGGGATCAAGGCTTCTCCACACATGGCTATGATTTAGTGATTGCGAGCAACGTGCTACACGCGACCAAATCCCTTCGCCTCGCGCTGAGGCATGTAAGAGAGCTTGTCAAACCCTCTGGCTATTTTGTCATGCTTGAGGGTACAGATCCAGATCGAGTGGCGCCCCCGTTCATCTTCGGCGGCTTCGAGGGCTGGTGGCTAGGCGAGGACGATGGGCGATCTTGGGGGCCATTGATCCGCTCTGAAGAATGGGAGGCATTGTTACAGTGTGCTGGTTTTGGTATCCACACCTCGCACACACCAGTGGAACAGGATAATGCGCTGGGCATGTCTCTGATACTATCGCAGGCTGTCGACGGTTGTACGCAGCACCAGCACGAACCCCTAACTGTCCCCGCATCAGGGCCACAGATGAATTTGCTGCTGATCGGCGGTGCCACTGAGGCCACAGCACCGATTGTCGAGGAGCTGTCTATAACACTTCGGCCTTACTTCGCGCACGTTTTCTCCTGCTCGGCTGTACGATATTTTATGCCTGATACGAAAGCCACTGTTCTTGCCGTCCTTAGCCTTGTCGATTTCGACTACCGGCTACTCCCAAACGATTCCGAGACGCGGTGGCAAGGGCTGGAGGCGCTTATGAAGGCAGCAAGCTGCCTATTGTGGGTGACCTCGGGGGAGGACAGCATTGATCCATGTTACTCCTTGAACAAAGGCTTCCTGCGCTCACTCGCCCTCGACTCGTCGTTCGGCATGTTGCAACATCTTACCGTCGTGGATCCTACAGCACTGGAGGTGAAGATGCTCGCCACCACATTCATGCGGCTCGTTCATACGAAGAGGGCAAGCATCGACTTTCATGCCGTGGGCAGTCCCGAGATCGAGCTGCGGTGGAAGGACGGGATCATGCAGATCCCACGTATCATGCGCAGTAGGACAATCAACCGCCGCTTGCTAGCCAGCCGTGGCATTCCCGTGTCAGACTCAGTGGATGTACGGACCTCGGTTCTCCAGGCGGTTGCGTCCAGCGACATACCGGGTCAAGTGACTATCTGCTTGGTAGATTCCATGTACTTCCCTGCCAAGAACCTGCTTCCAGCGGACTCCCTTGCTCGACATGACGTACATTATTCCACTCGTGCTGCACTGGAAATTGCAGGGGCCGACTTTTTGCATCTGGTGGTAGGACGGAATCTTTCCAACGGTACCCGACAGCTGGCCTTGTCGGCCTCCCATGGCTCAGTCGTCACAACACCATCTTCGTGGTGCTGGGATATCCCGGACTCAGTTCCTGCCCATGATGAGCCATCTTTCTTACACGCTGTGGCCGGTGTCCTTGTGGCCATGGCGGTGGTCCGCCCGGCTGTTCGGTCTCAGGTACTGTGGGTTCATGATCCGCATGTCGTAGGGCCAGGATTCCAGGCCTCATTGGCATCTACTGCGTCTATGCTCGGCGTCAATCTTCAGTTAAGTACATCTCGCCGTCAACAAGATCCCGAAATACTCTTCCTCCATTCTCGGAGCTCCGCTCAGACACTGGCCCGCCTGCTGCCGACAAATATCTCAACCGCAGTTGTATTTGGTGACAGTCCCCTCTCTCGGCGGATACCCTCTGTGCTGCCAAACGGTGCTGCCCAGCGAAAACTTTGTGACTTCTGCCGTCCGTCCTCCTCCATTTCCAAAGAGATGTACATACAGTCCGTCACCGATGCACTTCGTAGCGCCTGTTTGTTTACCAGTCGAACGAGAGGATATCAAAATAGTATTGGCACGATTAGTCCAGAGGAACTCTCCCGGCGTCCAATGACCCTCCAGCCTCTGGAGATTGTAAATTGGAGGCAGCCTACTCGCGTTGAAGCACAGGTGCTACCAGCCAGCTCCCTAGTGACTCTGTCGTTGACCAAAACATATCTTGTTGCTAATATGACGGGCGACCTAGCCCGGTCGGTGAGTGAATGGATGTCCCGTCAAGGTGCTCGATACATCGTCCTCGCCAGTGATCGTGCAGACTTAGACCCTTCATGGGTTGCGGAGATGCTGAATAATGGAGTGCACTTACGATTAATGCAAACGTACGTTGTAGAGCTTCCGTTCTATTGTGTTACATGTTGTACCTCTCTAATAAGTTTGTAGGGATATCTCTAAGCAGGAGTCCGTTCTCCAGGTTGACCACACTATTAGAAGGAGCTTTCCACCGCTGGGAGGTATCATTTACAGCAGTCTGGGCCAGTTGGAATGGCCCTTGGGACGGACGACGCTCGACAATCTACGCCACCAGTGGGAGCCAGCGGTCCATAGTGGCCGTTTGCTAGATGACCTCTACCGTAGCTACGATCTGGAGTTTTTTATCTTCGTAGGGTCACTGCTCGGGCCCATTGGCTGCGCTGGTCAGTGTGACATCTTAGCCACTAGTGAGTTCCTCTCGGGGATTGTTTCCCGGCGCCGGCGAGAAGGTCGCGTGGGCAGTATAGTCTATCTTGGTGACATGCATGGACTAGACTCCACAGAGCGTAGCAAAGAAAGCCCCGTGGGTGCGCCATCACTATCTGAACGAGAGATACATGAGGCCCTCTCTGAGGCAGTAATTGCAGGCCGTCCAGAGTCAGATTATGATCCAGAAATCTTAGCTGGTCTCCGACTAAGTGACGAATGGTCCCAGATCCCGAAGATGTGGCCATGGATGATCAAGACAGGAAACTCACACGTCAATACATCACCGCGCCAGAAATTAGATGCTCGCGCCCAACTTGGAGCAGCCACAAGCAACGAGGAGGCTGCAGATATAATTATGAGGCACCTCATAGACAAACTATGCAGCAAGCTGGGCCTCACTGCAAGCGCCAAAATCGGACGTGCAACCTTGTTGCATGAGCTCGGAATTGACTCACTTGTCGCGGTGGACGTGCATATCTGGCTCTCTAAGGAGCTGGGGGTCAAGATTCCAATTACACAGATGATGGGTGGTGACTCTATTGGCCGTCTGGCCGTTGAAGCTGCCGCGCGCCTTGGTGGGACTGATGTTCGTATTATGTAGAAGAGGTAGATCAGTTCGCCCGTAGAGCCAGAGAATAATCGTACTATCCTCTTACTGCTATTCCCCCATTACTACGAAGTGTCTGTGGTGCTGTTCTCTACAGATTTCAGGTTAAAGCGTCTATCGTACAGGAAACACCTGCGATATACTTCTATGAACCCTGCGTGCGTTCATCTCGGGCCAGGGAGCTCAATGAAGTTTCCGAGCAAGGTTCATGTTCTACTAATCCGTTTCGTATGTGTACTCTACCAAAACAACCAATATCCGTCTTGAATATGACCCTTGCGTCCGTATCCACTCTGCGGACCACACGCTGTCGTCGTCACGTCTTGTGCTGAGATTTAAGTACGTAAACCCCGCCTCCCCCCTCTTTTACTGCACTCTATACTTTGTTTTGCTCTCTCATCCATGTCCACAATGGATTACCCCATAAGTTACAGCCCGTCACCGATTGACACGGACATCGTGAGCTTCTGTTTCCAAGGTCCTGCGCTCCCTGACGACTGTCCGGTATTCGTCGACGGAGTGACACCGTCACGGTCGCTGAATATCAGTCAGTTCCAGCACCTAGTCTGCACTCTCATTGCTGGGCTCCGTGCTCAGAAGGTCCAGCGCGGACAGTGTGTGTTGGTCCACCTGGACAACAGTGTAAGTTCTTCGTCCTTCTCAGGTTAGCTTCAGCCTGTCTGGCGACAAGCCCAGGGCGTTCACACAGGCCAAATGACAGATTCTCAGCCCGGCGCTGTTCCTCGCTATTGTGGGCGCCGGGGGGGTGTATATGGGAGCCAACCCGGCCAGTTCAGTCGATGAGCTCAAACATCTCCTTGCGTTGGCGGAACCCAGATTGATTGTCACACGCCGCGACACTCTTTCAACAGTCCTGGCCAGCGCTACAGTCAGAGGTCTGAAGCCTGAGCAGGTATGTGTGCTGGATGACATAGACCATATTATCGACCGAGTCTTCGAAGGATCCCAGTGGCAGACAACACACGAGCGGTTGAAACCGGTACAAGATGCATCCAGTCCGCTAAATTTTACCAACCTAGTCCGCTGTGGACAACGTAGCTGGATTTCCTTTGCCGATGCAGAGAGAGCCAAAACCACCACAGCAGCCATGTTCCTTACCAGTGGCACAAGTGGGCTTCCGAAAGCGGCTATTTTAACCCACCAGGCCCTCATCCTCCAGCACATGAGTGTATATTGTCCAGTGCCGTATCCCGTAACGCGACTCCTTGCAATGCCACTGTTCCATCGGTACGGTGCGCTCTGGGCGCATTTTTTTCCCGTCCGCTATGCCCAACCCTTGGTACTCCTGCCGCAGTTCCAACTGGCACCTTTTCTGGACGCCGTCCGCAGACATTGCGTTACCGAAACACATCTCTCGCCTTGGATGGTGCATGTCCTGATTCAGTCCTCTTCCTCCATGCCGATCCGCGAGTCACTACAGTCCTTGCGCTATGTCTGCGTTGGAGGTGCCCCGATTGATAAACGCCCGCTACAACTGTTACAGGATATGCTGCATCCTGACGCCTGCGTGGCGCAGGAATGGGGTATGACCGAGACAGGAACTGTTATCCATGACCACTACTGCAAGCCGTACGAGCAGTACGACAAGGAGAGTATTGGCTGTGTCGTGCCCGGTTATGAAGCGCGACTGGTGAGCCTGGACAGTGGAGATGTCATCCAAAGCGACGAAACCATAGGTGAACTGCATGTTCGAGGCCCCGGACTTTTCCTGGGTTACAAAGGATGCAGTGATAGCCCCAAAGACAGCGATGGGTGGCTTCCCACTGGGGATGTGCTATATGTGAAAAAAGAGCACTATTTTCTTGTTGGTCGGGTAAAGGAACTGATCAAAGTACGCGGGTAAGGCTTTCTCCATCTGCCTTCCAAAGAAAACGATCAGCTCAAGTGACTAGTGCTTATGGTCAGGTACCAAGTAGCCCCCGTTGAACTCGAAACACAGCTCATCAGCCATTCTCTAATTAAGGATGTAGCTGTCATCGGTATTACTGCATCAGACCGTAGTACCGAGCTTCCCCGTGCGTACGTAGTTCCCATCTCTTGGGCTCAGAGACCCAGCGCAGAAGATATCTACGGGTTTTTGCGGCGGCGAACGGCTAGTTATAAAGCGCTGGACGGTGGTATAGTTTTTGTCGACTGGATTCCGCGGACGTCCAGTGGCAAGATCCGCAGGCAGAGGTTATTAGAGTTGGATGCGCAGAGGGAGAATTTGGTACGGCTTCTCTCATAACCTGGAAGTTGAGCAGAATCATTATTACTGTCACGATGGGGTCCTATATAGTAGCTTCATGTTTAGTCTGTGCCTTTTTGGCCAGTTATGTCACCAAGAAACCAAGCATAATTGATTCGTTACAATTACTGCATATTTTACTTTTGCTAGTTTCTACTCTACATTACTGAATGAAAGATACTATAATCAAGAGCGCAGATAATAATACTGATCAAGAAAACAAGTGTAGAGAGGGAAGGAAGAATAAGGAGATGACAAAAGATCTCGACATGTAACGTGGCAGGTCTCGTGAGTCATGGCCTGCAATATGACATGTCAGAGAATCCTGACACTGAGTGCTCACTAGTATTCTCTTTTCATCTATTTGTATCCTCCCAGTGTTGGCATCCGTAGGATACAGTTTATTATGTAGCTCCGTAGTATAGTACGTAATCGTATCTAGCTCGAACTTTCTGCTGCAGACACTTGTTGAATATTTTAGTCTTCAACCGTATGTATAGAATTACCTGTAATAGTCTCCGAGATGGATAGCCTATTTCTACGCAGACGGCTTTAGCAAAGCTATCCTTAATCTTTGGATTAATCGTAGCCCTCAATGGACAAAGAAATGGAAGGAGGTCTGCCAATTTACAAGCCTCCTTGAGGAAAAGCCGGATAATAATGGGAAGTCAGTCGAATTGTTTCCTTGATTAGTGTATGCGTTGCCTTTTTATGGATTACATCTATATCTGAGCCTGTAAGCAAATTATTGGATGATTATTTGAATAGACCAATTACATTGACTATTGATATACCAAATAAACCTATTTATATGTAGAAAATTACTAGCAAGCGTAAATAGATTATTTTTGAATAGAAAATAGGAGCCGGATTTCAAATCTATGGGACAAGGCCTTTGCTGGTCTCCGCAACCCGTAGGAGAGAGAATTATCGCCTATATACTCGCTTGAAGTTCCGAATAGAAGTCATTTACTAGATTGGTTGCAATATATGGCGCGTCACGTTTCGGGTTAAATGGGCGCACAAAAATATGGCATTGTTAATCTTTGCAGTACCGTATCTCGGTACCTTGCTGACGAGAGAGAAATAGAATTATTTAATGCTGAAACTTGTCGAAAACGATAGGCAAGGCTAGTAGCTAAGCAGGGGGATAGGTGGTGGATTTCCTTTAATACATGAATATCCGGGTTGTTGTTGGGAGAACCTTCTGTTGCCTGGCGAGCCATGACAGTATTAATAAAGGTGTAAAATTATAGTTTACTGCTTTTTACTAGAACAATTACTAGAGGATAACTATGTCTTTCTGACAACATACTTCTGCTCTTGACCGTCACCCTTGGCTAAAATACAACCCTGTGCTTAGCATCATGCAGCTGATTACCCCTCCTTCATCTAATCGCCTTGCCTAGTTAGCAGTTGTAATACTATGCACCGGCCACTTCCACCTCATGAGAGACGAGCGAGTGCGAGATGTTCTACAATGTGAGCATCATAGCCAAAGAGTTGCCATACTTGCCTCACCGTTAGTGTGCTACAGTATCTCCTGTAGTCCATGAGAATGGCCTCTCGCATACTATCACACAGCGACTATACGGTCGCATGGATCTGCGCTTTGCCACTGGAAATAGCAGCGGCGAAGATAATGTTGGACGAGGTTCACGCTTCATTACCCCAACCAAAAACCGACCACAACGTCTACATTCTCGGAAATGTTAGCGGCCATAATGTGGTGATGGCCTGCCTACCATCTGGTGTATATGGAACAACATCTGCTTCAACTGTGGCGTCGCACATGGTTTCTACGTATCCAAATATCCGATTTGGACTGATGGTTGGCATTGGAGGGGGAGTTCCCAGCAAAAGTGCAGACATTCGCCTTGGCGATATCGTGGTCAGCAAGCCAACTGCCACCTCAGGCGGCGTTATTCAATATGACTATGGCAAAATACTTCGGGAAGGGCATTTTCAGCACACGGGGTCACTTAATAAACCCCCTCCAGTCTTGTTAAAGGCCGTCGCTCAAATAGAGAGCGATTATATGAATGGAAATGGCTCAGTGAGCAAAACCATAGGCGGTGCACTGCAGAAAGGAGAACTTAGCGAAAGATTTTCTCGACCAAGATGTGACTGTCTGTTCCAATCAACATATGATCATGAAGGGGATCCTGATTGTTCAGCATGCGATCAGAACCAGATAGTGAACCGACCTTTGCGAACAACCGATGAGCCTTACATTCACTGTGGGTTGATCGCTTCCGGAGATCAGGTTATAAAAGATGCGAAGACTCGAGATTCTATTGCCCGAGAACTAGGCGTTCTCTGTTTTGAAATGGAGGCTGCTGGCCTTATGGACGAACTCCCGTCACTTGCCGTTCGAGGCATCTGCGACTATTGTGATTCTCATAAAAATAAGCAGTGGCAAGGATATGCTGCCCTTGCTGCTGCCGCCTATGCGAGGGCTCTTCTGTCAGTGGTGCCTATTTACCACTATAAAAAGGAATTACCCGAATTAAAGGAATCAGTTTGGATGGTCCCGTTTAGAAAGAACTCGCGATTCGTGGGCCGGGAAGAAGAAATCTCCAGGATTGAAGGATTAATCATGCAACCAGGCGGACCTAGCAAAGTCGCTATCTGCGGACTAGGCGGGGTTGGGAAAACCCAAATAGCGCTCGAACTGGTTTATCGCATGCGAGAAAGAGACTCTGAATGCTCAATTTTCTGGATTCCGTGCACCAGCTATGAGAGCGTTGAACAAGCCTACATCAAAATCACAGAGTTAAAAGGATTCCATGGCGTAAAGCCAGCCGAGGCAAGAGAGCGAGTCAAATTATATTTAAGCCAACCGAGTGCTGGAAAGTGGCTTATTGTTTTTGACAATGCAGATAATATGAATATGTGGATCCAAGGCTGTAACAGTACCCCAGCACTCAAGGATTTTCTTCCTCAAAGTGAGCATGGGCATATGGTCTTCACTACGCGCAATCAAAAGCTAGCTGTGAGACTAGCGTCTTCTAACGTAGTACCATTCTCTGAGCCGGATGAAGAGATTAGTATGAAGATTCTCGAGATGTCACTTATTCAGCAAAACTTGCTTAATAGTGACGCAGCCATTCCCCTTCTAAAGCAGCTGGCCTTTCTCCCACTAGCCATCATACAAGCAGCATCATACATTAATGAGAACTGCCTAGAACTATCACAATACTTGACACTATTACAGGACCAAGAGCCCGGCGTTGCTGAGCTGCTGAGTGAAAATTTTGAGGATGAAGGACGCTATGCAGAAATTCAAAATCCTGTTATTACTACATGGCTGGTCTCTTTTTCGCACATCCAGCAGATAGATCAGCTTGCAGCTGACTACTTGCTATTTATGGCTTGTATTGAGTTTTACGATATTCCCGAGTCACTGCTCCCGTCGGCACCTTATAAAAAGAAAATAAATGCAATAGGACTTCTGAGTGCCTTCTCCTTTATCACTATCCAAGCTGAAGACAGGCTAATAAGCATCCATCGGCTTGTATATCTTGCAGCTCGGAACTGGATGAGAAACAGCAACATATTTGCCTTATGGATCCAAAGAGCCGCTGCTCAGTTGTCTGACACTTTTCCAAGTCATGACCATAGCAATCGAGAACTGTGGCGTAAATACCTGCCTCATGCCCTACGTGCCGTGGAAAACATGGAGTGGGCCCAAAGAAAGCAATGCGAATCTCTTCTCTGGAAGGTTGCGAACTGCCTTTACATTGACGCTAGATTTAGTGAGGCGGAGGCTTTACTGGTTGAGCTAATTAGAGTACAGACAGAAGTCACAAGTGCTATGGACCCTTCCACTCTAGTTAGCATGAGCAACCTTGTCTCCACATATTGGAACCAAGGAAGATGGAAGGAGGCGGAAAAACTGCATCTACAGGTATTGGAGACGCGGAAGCTTGTATTAGGATCGGCGCATCCTTCTACTCTGACCAGTTTGGCCAACTTGGCGTCTACATATTGCAAACAATCGCGGTGGAGTCAAGCAGAGGAGCTGCAAGTTCAAGTAATCAAGGTTCGAGAGCTGATATTAGGCCCAAAGCATCCTAATACCTTGATCAGTGTGAGTAATCTAGCTTCAATATATCGCAGCCAGGGACGATACAAGGAAGCCGAAGAGCAGGAGGTTGGAGTTATGGAGGCATATAGGCGAGTGATGGGCCTGGATCACCCGTCTACCCTAACCAACATGACTAACCTAGCGTCAACATACGCAAGTCAGGGCCGATGGAAGGAGGCAGAGGAGCTGCAGACCGAAGTACTGGGGCTCTCTTTAAGGGCTTTGGGTCCGGAGCATCCTGATAGCCTGACCATTATGGCCAACCTTGCCTCTACTTATTGGATCCAGCAGCGTTGGAAAGAAGCAGAAGCATTAGAGATCCAGGTGTTGGAGATTCGGAAACGGGTCCTAGGGCCGCAACATCCAGATACTCTGGCCTGCATGAATAATATTGCATACACCTGGAAGTCTCTAGGCAAAGAAGATGACGCCGTACTCTTAATGAGGGAGTGCGTTCATTTTTGCAATCGATACTTGGGTCCCGATCACCCGCATACCATCTCTTCAACCACCACTCTTCAGGACTGGCAGAGGGTACGCACTTTCTCATTGATTAATGCGACGCAGGTGCTGTGCAAGCCACTAGATTTTATGCAAGTCGCTACAAAACTTCTCAGGCATTAATATACAAGACCATTATAGGAACCATGTTACGTCCTCGTCAAGTAGGGTGGCCTTTGCCATCCGACGCTTGTCTAATACAGTGACTTGCTGGTTACTTCAGCTTCTTATCGTTGGATCGTTTGTACCCATATATTTTAATTTTGCTGCGCAAGACTTCGCTCCTTCGCGGCAGGTATTTTTCGGCGGCTACCCCTTTCTGGAGATTCGCGTAGCACAGGCCTCAAAATTAAAATCCGCCTGTTTATGTCTGTCTACTGATCGCATTCCTCATGCTCGACTTGTGCGATGACCTTCTTGCAATATTTTTCAGTGTTATACTACGCCTCCGTACACGAGTGGGATCAATTATTTCGCAAGCCCCTCCAAGCTTATACCATGCGCCGGTTTAGGCAAAGTTCTGGCACCAACTTACGATCCCATCCTGCGCCTCTTCGGGCAAATTGGTTATCCGCCGTCTGACAGGCCTGAGACAGGCTCTCGCCATCAGAAAATATTCGTCTCCTTTTGGATATTCTTGCTATCAGGTGTCTGCTATGCTGTGTGGACTGGCAAGCAGGAGAGCCTTGTCACCCACGTGAGATATGCTCTTCTTTATTGCCAACCTTGTGGCCGGCGATGTCTCGCAGAGAGAGTATATCGAGTTGGGCGGGGGCGTAATGGGGGCAGATTTAGTCGGTTTATCTGGCCCTACACTCCGAGGAAAATTGTCATTACCTCTGGGCGCTTGCGTTCTTCGTTTGGATCACTCCCAAATGGCAGGGCCCAAAGCTTCATGCAGTCCTGAAGCAGGCTGAAGAACAAGCGAGTAGAAGCACGTGGTAGTATCATAGTCCAGAGCCACGGTTATTAATGCTACTTAGTCGCCTATAATTCAAACACCAAGCTGGGATTCAGTTGAATCATGTTTCTTCCGTATTGACAGTGGATTTGATCTTGAAATAATAACCAAAATCCTATTAATGCTTAACGTTGTAGGGGCGCTCTAGGGCGCTGGATAATTAGTACCTCTGAGCATTGGCGGCATGAAACTCTAACTACTCACGAGTCATGCCATCCAATTGCTGACCCCTGTTAAAGGACTTACAACAGCAGTTATCAGAATTAAATGTATAATTCTGTGAGAGCTTAAATATTTCTGTATCGTTTATTATTCGGGATCCGCCACTTCACTCGATACTTCACATGATGTCCCAATATGGACTAGCGTTATTCTAACTGTAGTTTATATTCTATTCTAGTAATACCTAATTAATGCAGCGCCCGCTGTTGTTCTCTGTTCCTCTGCAACTTTCTCCGAAAATGATAAATGTAAGTCCGTTACCCCTTAAAGCCAAATAGACATGCCTGCTAATCACTTCGGATAGTAACTATTGGTTACGGGATAATACATCATTACATTGAAAACACGTTCCCATATCTCCAAATAAAACCACTCACATCTCACTCCCACCATGCTGGAATGGGTCCGACGGCTCTTTGGCTTTGATAAAGAGGCCTTGGAAAGGAAGGAACAGCAACACCGGAGTCGAAAGCGTAGCAAACAGATGCGAGCCCGCGAAAGAGAACTCCGTAACCAGAACCAGAGACAGGAAATGAAGGGTGGGAAACGCCGAACGCCTTTCTTTTGGGGATCCCCAGGTGTTACTATTCCAGTTCATCGAACCCGAATTTACAATGATTAAATTTTGTTTATTGGGAACTATCGTACGCTGCTCATGTCTCTAATTATGTTCTTATTTTCCTCCACCACTCTGCTGGATGTACATGTATTCTCACTCGTTATTCTTTATTAAACCACTCGCCTTACAGACAAGTCAGGGGGGTCTCTCCCTTGATTTTCATACCAAAACCCTTGTCTTCCCTGGAAATATCTTTGCTGTCTGTAGATCGGTCATATGTCAATTCCGTGGTGTTATATATGTAGACCTAATAGACCTACTGTATTCAGTATGGTCACGTGGCATCTCTTATACACAAATAAGGCTCAACTACTCACTCCTCTTCCAGATATCAAGAGTACTTAACAAAAGAGGTGCTAGTTAGTACAGCTCTCTTTACCTTTCCTAGCTACGGTTACTAACAAGTAAGCTGTGAATATTATATCTATTACTATAATTTCATACATTATTTTTATTAACAGTTGTGCTCCGCAGAATATGACTGCTATTACCCTGTCACAGCCTTGTTATAAGATATTAAGCTATGCAGGCACCTTCCAAACAGCAAGAATATAAGGTCGTGAATGGAGTTGCAGTTCCCCCTCATTAAATCCCAACCGGTCGCCGCCCGAACCTGCTGTGGTAGATTCTGTAAGAGACCTTTAGCATTGGTGGTATATATCTTGAAGTCTCCTCGAGTCGCTCTTCCGTATCTTATGAACCGCGCGACATGCCCAAACGAAAAACCCAAAATGGATAATACTAGCCCTTCGGTCAGCACGAAAACTAGGGAAAAGGTGGAGTCAACCTACAGAGCAATACAAGCCATAGCAGTACCGAAGTGTTCGACGTTGGCCACGATTTTTCCGTTACAATCAGGCCTGCCATTCACGCCACAACTATATCCGTCGCTGATGTAATATGGCTGCATGAGCAGTAGGTATAGAATTAGGGTCACCACTAGCGCAGCCCAAGCCAAAAGGTCAAATGCAATAAAGATGCCTGGATGGATGGGGATGGGAAGAGATAATTCAACGGATAATATTACTAAAGACCAGATAAAGGTATACTCAGCCTGTATTCTAGCATTAGCGACTTCACTTAAGATAGAGCCGTTGTATATTGATACTGACCGCTCCAGTAATCGGGCTGACCATTGCATTACCCAAGTCTTCCACGACCAGCATGTCGCTCTCAAACATTGTCTGGGACCATCCGAAGACAATCAGCGTGGCGAGGGAGCAGATGGTCGCAATGACTCGAAGAGAAATTGAAGTGCGCTGTGTGTGCCATTTGTTCGTGACTGGGAACGCCATGGTTGCTAGTATCCAACAAGCTACAAATTGTCGAGCAGAGTTTTTATAAGTGACTTAACATCGCAGGATGGGATTCCACAGCCATTTGCGTTCATCAAATAGAATTAACGTTTTTGTTTTATATTCGTTGGGTATTGTCGATCTCGTGACGATAACATCAGCCAAGACCAAGCAAGATACGAGGCATAGTGGCAGGCTCACTATGTAGATCACCACACGTATGAGGAACCAATATGCACAGCCTTTGAATCTAACGCTTAGATCTGGAGGACCGCGCGTCATAAAGCTAATAGGGTAAATCTTGTATCTTGGCCTTTTCATTTACCTTATTTGGAATTTCATGTGCGGTTGGCAGATGTATATCATGTCCCTGAGTATTTACTAATGAGGCATTGCTTGGTGTATGAATGTCAACTATAAAATTACGCGTACTCGCAAGTATCGATCCTTCATTGAATTAGGTCTCTGATTCAACTAAACTACCAAAACATCTCGCTTTTATAAAGGTGAGGTAAACAAATGAAGAATGCAAACTAACTAATATAGGAAATACACGCGATCCGATGATGTTTGATCTATTTGACCGAGAAAGGTGCTGAATAATCAATATTACCATAACTAATTGTCGACAATGAAGAAGCTTAGACCCTGATCTTCTGTCTGTTCATTCATAAGCTCTGCTCTTTCTCTTACTTCTACAGGGCACTCTCTAAGGAAATCATACAACCATGAAAGTTGCACCATCGTGTTTGTGTATAAGTGAACTGATTTTCTGCGAGTTCTATCTAGTAACCCGATTCAGCTGCGCCGCTTTTATGAGGGCCGCACGTGAGTGCTCTGTATCCCCCTCCAGGCCACTCACTGATTGCTCGCCGAGCACACACTAGCAGCTCCGGTCGATCTCGGATCACTCCGACTGGTGTGAATTCTAGGGTTCAAAAAAGTTCAGGGCCCTTTCTGGGGCCGCTGAGAAAAGGCACCTTCCTGCTGTCAGATTGCAGCTAGAGAAGGGAACTGATGTGGATAAGAGGGATAAAACCTTCAAGACTCCCTTATTATTGGCTTGTCAAAATGGCCATGCACTCGTTGTCAAGCTGCTGCTAGAAAAAGGAGCTGATCCAGATGCAAAGGATAAAAATTGCAGGACACCACTATCATGGGCTGCTCAAAATGGACATAAGCCTGTCATTGAGATGCTGCAGAAGAAGGGAGCTGATGCTTACATGGAAGATAATAATAAGTGGATCCTACCGTCATAGGCATCTGACAATGGACATGAGCCTGTTCTCAAGATACTGTTAGAGAAGGCATCAAAGCAAATGCAAAGGAAATGAGATGTTAGACACCTCTATCATGGGCAGGTCGAAATGGGCAAGAGTCTATTATTAAGCTGCTACTGGAGAATGGGGTTGATGCAAATGTGAAGGGCAATAATGGCCAGACACCACTATCATTAGCAATAGAGAAGAGGCATGGCACTGCTCTCAAGCTGCTACGAACTGCCCTATCTTCATAGTTACTATCCTTATTATGGATCACAACATGCCATTGTGTCTGGGAGAATAATTTTAGTATGACGTTTTATCTGTATCTTTGTAACCTCGGTTTAATTCCAGAGGAGAGGAACAGGAAATGCTAGAGTCTCGTCCGTAGGGGACGGCTTGCTTTCCAACCTGGTGTGGCCACCAGCCAACTGGACAGAGAGACGAGACAGCCAAACGATTAGCGTATCCAGCAGTACACTTGTCACAAGGGGACCGCTACTGGAATGGAAGGGATTGCTATTCTTAGATCACTACACATATGAAGCTTTTACTCTCTAGTCTGCCTGTGAGACTTCGTAGGAAATGTTTGTGGGGACGTAAGAGAAATCCTAGAGATAGGCACCGTCCTTTCGGCCTAGCAAAGTATCGAAAACCTCATCTTGCACTGTCAAAGCGACGTCCCCTTCTTTCAACAACCGTTATCTGTGATCTTGCTTAGAATCTGTTATTTGGGTTCCTTTTTTGTCAATGCCACCCTCTTTGCTAAGTAACAGTACATATTACTTCACTCTATATTCCAGAGAAGCAATGAGAGCTTCGACGCTACAATTGCCGTGGGAGATCAGAGTATCCGTGCTCACGGCTGGGTACTTGCGGCAGAAAGTCCATACTCAGCAAATTCTTTCAAGAAGCTTCTGAAGATCTGGTCTTCGGAAATTACAGGTCAAATATGCAGACATCCAGGTGGTGTGGATGACTTTGAGCTTATATATCTTGGGTTTTATGTTCAACGGTTGGAGATTAACGTATCAACGTCAATGGTCCTTATATCAACTCATACTAATGAGGTTTTCAGCAAGGTTAATGCCCATTTTACACGCATCAGTGTATTTTCTAGCTAAGAAGTGATGCCTTTCTAGAGGTTTGCCTATGTTTTACTATGTTAAACAGTTTCGCAGTATAAATGGCAATTAAATGCAAGGGTAGAAAGAAAGGTAAAAAAAAGAAAAAAGCGAAAGCTCCAATGGCACACACACACAAACACAAAAGATATTTCCTTTTTTGAGTTTCGATTGCACATCTCTTTCAGAAATTTTAAACAAATAATCTTGGCTATCTTCAACAAGCACTACAGTATTACGTGAAATCTACACTGTAAGCCCAAGAGTTTTCTAGAATATGGCCATAAAGAAAGGTTAATATGCATAATACTGAATTTCCATCCCCTACCATACGATTTGCATTGCTTTAAGCAACATTAGAAGAAAGGGGGGAAAAGGAGATATCTGTAAGGGGCTAGAGCCCCTCAGCCTACTCGGGCCCTCAGCCCTCGTGTTTCCTTTCTCCTCGCCTGCCACATGATTAGTATATTGATTAGTACACTCTATCATGTGACTTCCCCCCCCTTACTTCGCAATCGTCTCATCGCTGTTTCCTCTTCTCTTTCCTCTTCGACGATTCCTTTTGTATCCACCCTAGTTATTAGGTTATAGAGGTTTAGCCCTTGACAATATCTTAGATTAAAATCAACATGAGTAGCTTCAAGAAATGTCAATCAAGATTTCCCTTAATTGAGCTGACCATGGACAAAATGCTTTATCTCGGCATGCTGAAAATTTTTAGTATTTATAATGTAGGTGTATAGAGCATGCAACTATATTATGCCAACGAACAGGGATACAAGCAAACCCTAGAGAGTATGCTGTATACCAGTTATATACAGTCCTCTGGATGTAGGACATCCAATTGAGATCTTCCCATGCATTCTCAAAGAAATAAGGACATATCAAATGCATACATTCACTCAGATACCTTTGACAGCATCAAATCATTATATCATGTTAATAGTGTAGATCTCTCGCCCTCCTAAGGGTATAGCCAAACCCGCCATAAAAGCGCCATAGTGTGGTGAAAGCAGACACAAAAAGAGAATGAACAGGCTCACACAGATGAAACGTGATCTGTATAGAGTTAAATGAATCAATCTCATATATATAGTATATATACACCTACCGGCATCCATGCAGCATGCAGTGGACCATTCAAAACCCCTTGTACGTCTCCCTGATCGGCGATTCAGTAGCACTGGGACCGCCGAAGATATCGGGAGGAACCGAATACACGGTTGGACTCACATCCGATAGAGCCGTGAAACTAGCCCGGTTCGAAGCGCATTGTGGATTGGGAGGAGGGCTTCCGCTGCTGCTACGGAGGCTCCCATTACTTCCGCCCCAAGCGCCACGGCGCAGTTTCATCAGGGCAGTCAAGGATATCTCGTCCTCCAGATTGCCGACGTCGACCAGTTGGGCCAGCCCCGGGTTCGCCAGAGGGTTGGAATGCGCGGCCCCATGGGTAGTGACAGAGATAACGGAATTGCGTGTACTACCCCGCTCGCTTCGCTCGGTGATGGGCGTCAGGCTGGGTTCCCGGAACTTCCCTCGACCGCTAAAGTTGCGACTGACGCCTTCTACTCCCCGGGGTCCAAAGTAACCGCCGTTCACAAGCTCCGAGCTCCCGTTCCCGTGGTCCTGCGCATAGAACCCAAATTCATCGCCGTAGAACCCTTCGTCGTCATTCTCCAGGGCCTCCGCATTGGCGGCAGCAATAATGGGATCGTCGTATAAGGCCGCATCGTTGTCATCGAAATCAAAATCCTCGAATCCCCCTTCAAAACTAACCGCTTCGACGGGCTGGTTGAGATAGCTGTCATCCGATACAAGCTCCGAAGGAGCATTCGCCGCCTGACACATATCCCCCTTGTCTGACGATTGACTGACCGTCTGATCGTCCACACTAATACGTCGCTCAAACTGGTCTTCGGGGGCGGTCTGATGGGCTGCTTTCGCCAAGGCATTGTGTAGAGCTTCAAGGTTGTGTTCAGACAGCACCCCACCGTGAGACTTGGCAGAACCCAGGCTTGCTAGGCCCTCTGGGACCTGTCCATATTTTCTGGAACCTGCTTGATACTCGCTTGCCATGCTAGGGACATGTTTAAGTCCGCCACTGTAGCCTGTGTCTGTGCTGAGATCATCATCCGCGTCCTTCACACCATCCTTCTCACTCTTCCCATTCGGTTGGATAGGAGCTGCAGGCGCAGAGGTCCGTTTGCGATCATAGAGATGGCTCGTCTCATCGTCGAAGATGGATTCGTCAAATTTTTCGCCTTCAACCTCCGCCGAAAGGTCGCCGAACTCCCCGTCGTCAAAGTAGAGGTCATCCTCGTCATCCATCAATTGTGACACGCTAGCTTGGGGGTGTTTGGGTAATGGAGGCAACTCCCCTGATGGCCTCGTCTGAGGTGGTGGAATCGGTGCGCCATCTATAGAGACCTGGTGGCCGGCAGAGGAATCTCCGTTTATGATCGGTTCAGGACCAGGGACTCGGTTGCCTTGCTGGGGTGCAGTAGTCACCATTCGCGGAGCAGTAGGGCAGGCAGGGCTGGCTGGAGATAGCGCAGGAGCCATCCAGGACGTATTTAGGATATCTCCAGGGCCCGAAAAACTACTGAATTCATCGTCCTCATCGGCGTCGACATTCACGCCGGGGATCTTCTCTTCAAGGCCGTCCATATCATCTAAAATGTCATTGTCAAAATCATCCTCCGCGTCACTGAACTCCGTGCCTTGCAACCGAGCTTGGGCTTTTCGCGCAGCTTCTTTTTCCTTATGCTTTTCTTCCAACAGTTTCTCCTGCGTGGACGATTCGACTCCATTCATATCGAAGCTGAACCGAGAGGCATTGCTTTTGAGGTGCTTTGGCAAACCCAATGGCTGGTGTGGTACAAATTCGATCGTGTCTGCGTCTGACGATGTACCAGGCGGATGGCCATTTAGTCCCCGCTCAGGACCCAAATGAGCTAGAGCTTCACCGGATTGCTCACCCTGCTCGGGGACTGCGGAGGGAAGCTTCCGGGCAAACACGGGGACCGACTGGGAGTCGTGATCTGGAGGGATCGGGTTCGTCAACAACGACGATTGTAGATAAGCCTTATTCTCGATCTGCAGGACTCGCTGGTTGTCCTCGAAGTGTTCCTTGAAGACCGGCGAATAATCACTGTGCCGTTTCCCCTGCTCGTTCGTGCGCGCTGTTGGGTCGTTGCTGAGCCCATGGCTTCCATTGGCGGGTGGTGGTTGATCGCTCGAATTGCGGTTCGTGGCATCTTGCCGAGAGGGCGCTGCAGAGAGATTTCGACGGGGACGAGGGGCCGAAAAGTCATGGACAATGTTGCCCCGGATTCTCGGATCGTAATCATCGGGGATGGCAAGCACCAGATTCCGAGCGCCGATATTCACATCCTCTGCCCGCAAACTGGCCATCTGAGACGACCTCCTCCGGGCCAACAGCGCCATCGGGTTCAGTAGGTGCAGTCTTGTCTTCCCGGACTTATGATGAGCATGGTCGGCTGAAGCATCTCGATCTCCTGGCCGCCGGTTTTGTACGTTCTCATATCGATATTCTCGCTGCGACGCAGCTGTTTTCTCGGCGGGGGAGTCATCCGGGGATGTTTTCAGGCGGAAAGGACCCGCATGGACGATCCCGGGGGTTGACAACCGTTTCGACTGACTTTCAGACGACTGAGTATGGGGCAAGAGTCCCTTTCCGAACGACAGCCGAAACGGTGAGCTCGGTTTGGAGTCCCCGTTGGCATGGTCCGGGCGGGGAGCAACCGGAGAGGGCTGCGAGGAGTTCGGTTGGGAGGTTAGGGAGGGGTCTCTATCTCGTTCTTCCGGGCTAGAATGAGGCCGAATGGGACTGTCAACTGACGAGGACGGTACGGCAAGATTGGTAGATGAGAATGACGGAACATTGATGCTCGTGGTCGATACGACGTTTGCTTTGTCCGCGTCGCAGTCGGCAGGCGAATTACCCCAGGGACGGGGACTCGAACCGTCAGTGCTCGCAGATGTAGGACCATCGAATGTCGTCGGGAGTGCTTCAGTATTGGGTATCACTGGAAGCTGAGGCGGGTTGCTGACTCTTCTCAAGGTCGAGGCGGGCTGGACGGACGATGAGACAGGGGAGGCACCTGATCGACGATGGTCGCGGCGCCAGTAAGAGAAAACAGTGGACGGTGGCATCCTGGCTGGAGCCCCCCGCTACTTCGGACTGAGCGAAAGCTCCGTTCACTCCGTTCAAACAGCACACAAATCGCCCATGGTGTGTGTGTACGCGGAATAGTCAACAAGTAGCTAGCGGAGACTCTTCAGTAGGCGTGGGGCATGTCTCAGCCTGCCGAAGGCGGTGCGATAAGAATAGTAGCAGTCGGTCGGAGAATTAATAGATATTTTAATTAATTTAGGACCAGAACACGTGCTGCATGCGACACAAGGGCAGCAGGACCATGATGCAGGGGAAAAAGGGGGAAAGAAAGAGAAATAAATGGAGGAGGATAAATGATGGGGAAGATGAAAAGGAGAAAGAAAGACACATGCGAAATGTTGATGATTTCCCGAAACGGCCAAGAATGCCTCCATGCCGAATGCGGACGAGACAGACAGGAGCACAATGCATTGTCTGCAGGAACAAATACCACTCTATAAATTGTATTGAAGGAGTTAAAAGTAGGAAGATTAGTGATAATAATACCTAGGAATAATGGTAGGAATAGTAACAACATGCACTATCACAGATTAGATGCGCTAAAATAACAAGACCCCCTCGAATCCAGACAAATAATAGTAAAAAAGATAAAAAATAATGTTAAAAAAAAAAAAAAAGGGAAAATTCTCCGACTCTCTATACAATACTCTGTCTCCAGCGATCAATCACCTCCCGCTGGCCGGGATCGATCGTGTGCGGAACAACCCGTGGATGGTAATTATGCGGCATGGCGTAGCTCATATGGCCCTTCCCCAGGATTGCGTCACTGTAGAAGGTATTCGGATGCACCATAAACGATTGGGGTCTCGCAGAGGGTCCGGGTTGAATCGGGAGCTGATACATTGACGTTCGGTTATCAAACGAGCGCAGTTGGGGAGGCCCTTGCGATGCTGCAGCATCCTGTCCAGGCGGTCGTCCTGCGTTGAGCGGGCGTCGTGCATGGAGGATGTCCGCCATACTTCGGCGGTATCGAGGAATTTTTAGGGTGGAATTTTTGGCCTCCGCCTCCTTCTGCAGACGAGCCCGTCGCTGTGCCAGCGTCTCATCTTCGGGGGCAACCTCAATGTCCTTCTCCTCCGCGTTCAGGTGGTTGAGCTCGGCAAGAATCTCCGTTGCGAATTCGCTCTCAACGGCCGTGCTCGTGCGGTTGTTTGCCTTCAGCCGGGCTAACCGCTGAGCCAGGGTTTCTTCCTCGTCGCCACTATCGGGCTGCGTGGGTTCCGGCGCCATCTGCGAGTACACAGTAGTAGGGCGCCGATCAGGGGTACGCGGAGGCGGTGGTGGTTCACCTCGCAGCCTTGCACGTCGTCGACTGAGAGGTTCGCTTTCCTCCATCTGTCGTTTCTCCATGAGCCCCAATGGCCGCTGCTCGTCGGCCTGGTGGGCCTTCTCCGGGAACAACATGCCCAGGGGCACATCATCAGTATCATCACCCTCCCTGTTTTGAACATCAGGGCTCTCCCAGGCCAACGTAATCGGCCGCTGTCGCCGGTGCTCACTCTGTTTCTGTGCTACAGCATCGAGCTGCAAGAGAGTGGAATACATCCCAACGGAGGTGGCGGCAGTACGCTGTCGTTTCTGCAACTCATGTTTCCTCATTTCCAGCTCCGCCAACAAAGTCGTAGGAGGCCCATTGAACGGGACGTCCTGCTCGCCACCCTCTCCTTCGTCATCATTCGGGTGCTCTTCTTCGCCTTCCGAACCGTGGCCAACATCTTCACGCAACGATGCACCTTCGTGGATGTTGGCCGCCTCGGCCTCCGTTTGGGTGTACGCCGGGCGTGACGCGAGCGAATTGGCACGGGTATCCGTGTCGGACGCATGCTGATCAACCTGCAGGGTGCTCCTGGAAGCATGTTTCTTCCGCTGCTCTGAGAGGTCTTTGGTAGACGTCTTGGGTTTGGAGCTGCCGTACACTTCTCGACCAAGACGACCAGCATACGGGTGATCGGTGAAGGCTGTCACCGGGGCATGTGCCGAGGCGTCGAGAATGCTATCGAGGGTCGCCACTGCGGAGTCTTTCTTGATATCGATATCGAGCGACGCGGTCGGTGGCTCGAAAAAGACACTGGCGCGAAGTTGGGGCGGGAGGTCCGACAACTTCTTCTCCGGTGGTGTTCCACTTCCATCCTGCTGGTCAGGGCCCGACAGCCACGCCGCCGACTTTCGTTTGTCCGCCGGGACTGAACTCAACAGCTGCGTGCGACGCTTCTCCCGGTCAGAATTGGGCCGTTGGGACAAACGAGGGGGTAGGTTCAGCATCATGGGAACCGGAGCCGGGTAGTACACCATATCTTCTCCGGACTGGGGCTCCTTGTAGGATTCGGGCCGGCTGGCCAGAGGGGGTCGAGTCAAGGACACTCGTCGCATCAGATCCTGACCCCTCTCCTGTGGGACGTAATGCACGCCATCAAAGTCTGTAAATAAAACCCTCGCTTGTTGATAGGTATCATTCGAAGCCGCCGTGGATGGCCGTTCCAGCTCGTGCAAGGGTGCATGGTCAAACTGAACCTGAGGCAAGAAGTTGAGTTCGCCGTGGGTGTGGGGAGGGGGAGGAGGGGGGGGGAGGAAAGGTTCGATGGGAACCTGCGTCGTAGACTGGTAGTAACGTTCTTCAATGCCATGTTCAGAAACCTGCGCCAACCGAGAGGTGGATTGAATTGACCCCTGACGGGACATAGTGGTTTTTACGGGAAGCCCGTCCGCTGGAGTGGTATTGGAGGCCGAACTACCGGAGCGTTTCTTCTGCTCGCGATTCATACGACGAATTTCACTCCCGATATCCGCAGAGCTGCAGCTGAGACGTTCGGCACTCCTCTCCAGCCTTTCCACATTATTGAGGTACGCACCCTGTAAGGATTCGAGGCCGGGAGTCGGATGGCTGAGGGGTACGGGGTGGTCGGTGACCGGGGTCCGAAGGGGCGGTTCAGGGGAACTGGCTTGTGCTGCTGCTGCTGCTGCCGCCGCCGCGGTCGAAGTCGCCGTCGCCGTATTGAGGGGCGGAGGCACGCGACGGGGACTACTGGGATGCCGCGTCGCTGAAGGATCGACGCCTTCGTAGTCGTCGTCTTCGACCATATCGTAGCTGGTAGTCATCGATCGGATCAACGACGATAACCGGTGCACAGTGGAGTCCTCTGTATTCTTCGCGGTTTGCAGATAGCTCCCTCCTCCGATATGATCTGCATCCAAGGGCAGTTGCTGGAACGATCTGCGCTGTGGTGAGGGACTGCGGGAGGCATCCGAATTGGTCGCCGTCTCCAGATCGGCTTGGGAGACAGCGTTGTACGCCATTTTCTAGGAAGCGGTCGGGGGAGGGTGTCACAGACTGCAATAAGTCGCCATCCAGCAATGATCGGAAGAGGCAGAAAAAAAAAATTAAAGGAGGGGCGAGGGATGGCTGGTGAGACCTGTGGATTGATAAGATGACGGAGGATAACTAAGGAAGGATTTACGGCAGGGAGTCTAGGGAATAGGGACGAAAGGGAGGGAACAAGGGGAGTATGGAGGAGGAAATTAAAGAGGACAGAAAAGGGCAAAAATAACAAAGAAAACAACGAGGGATGGTAGTAGACGATATCGTCCCAATTGTCGAGCTGCTTTTGGAGAGCGACAGAACAGAACGAGAGGAACGAACTTACTGTCAGGTAAATTTCCTGGACCGTATCCATGGTATCACTGTGACAGCAGAAATGCTATAATTGGATCTTAGGGACAGGACAATAGGCCCCATCCGGTGTCACATACGGTCCCGGAACAAGAAAGGGGTATTTTTTGCCTTCGGTATGGTACAGCGGTGTTCCCCCCGTATGGAGGTTAGTCCAGGTCCCATGGAAGATAGAGTTTCCTCGTGCGTCGTTTCGGTCTGAATAATTGGTTCAAGAATATTGAAACCAGGGCTCTGAAAACAAATGAAGTTCACCTCCTTGGAATCAGGGTTTGCCTGGTGTGTGATAGACCTTAATGCCAGCAATGGTACAGGTAATACAGGGGAACAACGGTATTTAAGGCCTGGTCAAACGTCTATGCAGAACAGGGGAAGACAAGGAACAACAGAGATGTAGGAATTGTCCCCGATCATCAGTTCTTACTTTGACCATTGGCTCTTGTATAGTAGCGAACGTACATGAAATGCATTGTTCATCCAATTACCTGATTAGCTCGACAAGTACATACATACAGTGGAGATGATGGTCTAGACCAAGGTTGGCTATTGGTCTCGTGAGGAGCTCAAGAGATACGCCGGGTTTCTAGATGTCATAGATAGATCCATAATTCAATATAATCATCCATCAGAGCTACCAAATACGAATATCGCGTCTCCTAATTCCAATCGGAGGGTAAACTTTGGGCACGATGGTCTGCAAGGGCCTGTGCCATGTTTCGACTGGTTTCGGTTTGGGGCAAACCCCTCTTGCTGTCATAACAATACTCGCTTGTCTTGGATACCAGCCGGACCATCCTCCGTATATTAAACAAGCTTTTTGCTCTCACAGACACTATCATGACAATCCCCACAGTTCCTCGTTGCTCTTCACGCAAGGTTTTATCCAATGGCCTGCTGGAATGTTATTTGCTTCGATAATGTGCCCCCGTATAGATCTCGCCAAAAGCGAAGTTGTGATATTAATGAACAATACATTTTCAGGGCCTTGATTTCATCTTTAGTAGATAGAAACAGAGCTTGGATTCATCCCGCCATTAATACAATTTGCACAATATCCCTAAAGGGGTCGTCTTGGATTGCAGAATCGACCGTGACGGAAACACGCATAGAGTTAATGCCATTGAGATCACAACCACCAGGATGTTGCTGGTCAATAAGTGAGAGAATTGACTGGAGAGCGGGCATCAAATAACCCAAATCATCCTGAGTGGCCCGGAGCTTAGAAAGAGCCCAAGATGATAGCACTATCCGAATTACAGGATGCATTTCATACCTCAATTTTGGTACAACTTGTAGTATACCAGAGTACTGTTGCGGCCTCAGGCGCAAATTGTCTCTGGAAGGAAGCTAGCTTGCAAGAATCGGAAGGCACAACCTGCCACGTCCATTTCCCTTCTTCCACGTTCATGTTTTCCAAAGTACCTATACATACGCATTCGTGAACTTCCATACACCATTCGGTTGATTTGCGGCCTCAGTGAAATCAAATAAAGCTCCTTTTCTCAAGTGTGCAATAAAACTCACACTGTACCATCCGTAAAATTATCGTTTCCAATAGCATTTCGGGCCGATCCGGAGTGGCACGGACGCTAGTCCAGATTGACACTAGTCTGATGCTATCAGACAGACACTTGATATAATTATTGATGATCGAAATTAATCCCCTCATCTATACGCAGTTTAATATGGAGTCTGGAGATCAAGAACCATCGGCGGATCGGATCCACCAAGGCCCACTGTGACCTTAGGAAATATTAGTGAAAACTATTCGGGATTAGAGAGCCATGAGGTATACTTCTGGAAGGATACCGCTCATGCCAGGAATACCCGCGACCCTACGATATCGATCACTACAACACTTCCCGATCCAGGAGTAGAGGTAAAATATCACTCCCATTCAATTGACGGATGATATCCACTAGTACTAATATAGAGACCGGTCAAGAGAGCCGAGTCAGTCCTCATTGCCCTCAAAGATACTGAAGTCCACCAACACAAGGTCCTAATTTTCGCATTGCGTCGTCTCCACATTAATTCTCTCTGCATAATAATGATTGGCATACGAATATCCCTCTAAGCTCTTGGATTTTATACACAGATACAATCACTGTTGCACTCAAAATTAGTAGACTGGTACGATCACTCCTTAATTGCTTTCTACAGGCAGGCTCGAGACTAGTCGACTCTTAGGCTTTTTTCATTGGGATGTTTTTACTTGTAACTTACAAGCACAATGAATTTGAGAGCTCGTGCTTGTATCACGTTCTATGCCACGGTATCTACTAACAGAACCAAAGACAAAATGGAGTACATCGACTGCGACACCCGCGGCTTCAACCAGTACCAATACGACCTTAACAACTCCCCAACCGGGACGACATTTGGGACGATATGTACATCCGACACACCGCAAACACACACACACACACACACTCTCTCTCTCTCTCTCTGAGCAATTCCGCCGTGACTGTTTTTGATTTCCGCGACCCCATAGACTCCAATTACATCCTGGCCGTGGCCGATCAGAATCCAGTGCTTTCCTCGTCTGGCGGTTGACCATTATGTGGAACCAAAGTATAAAAAGGCCCTAAGATCTTGCGCTTCTCGGTCAACCTCCCCAGTGTGCTGCATAGCACGCTGCCCCGTAGCAAGTACGAGCGCTGCTGATGGCTTTGCAGCCGTTTGAACGTCTGGAACGGAATCTGCGTGAGTCGAAACTGGATGAGGCGCAGTTGTCTAAGCTGCCGTATGTTAGGAATGAGTTGATTTTGGAGTAGATTTCGAAGTGATCTTTTTTCCCCCTTGTCTTTCATTCGTCTTTCTTTCGTGGGGTGTTTGGTTTTGTCATTGATTGTCGTTGGAGTTGATATCGGAGTTGGGGTGGGAGAGTCACAGGTTGCCCATCTCGTACTTTGGAGCAATATAGCAAGAAAGAAGAGGAGTCCGACAACCACCCGTATGGGAGGAAGTCATGGGGTTTGGACTGCATCGTGGCTCAGTTGGGGATGTATAATAGAAGGTACGCGTCCTTCTAACTCCAGTAATCTCAGCTGATACAGACTCCAATAAATGATACTCCGATTGAGCGACTGCTCATTTTCTTGCCTGACCATGCATTTCAACCTGGCCTGTAGCTCCTCCTGGGTTCCCGCCACCAAGACCTTGCGCGGGGACAGATCAAGGCCAGCCTGCTGACTGTATAAGATCAAGTAAGTTGGCAAGATACCGTGTGATCACCCAGTATCAAAAATGAGACATGGATGGTCTGGGATATCGCAATGATCGACTCTGCCATGGATAGTTGTTCCTGTACCGATGGGTAAAGTATTCATGGATCGCATCGTTGCTACGTGAAAGACAGATTTCCCGAGATAACAACAGTCTGTCCACAGTAGAGTGGTAGTCATCTGATGGCGGCAGTCTACGTTGCGAGGCAACCGATGTATTTCATATCTTATAGGATTTGTCGGTCTCTGTATAGTTTCGGCATGCACCTGGAGTTTCGTCGCGTTTGCTGTGACGAGTTCTGTGGGTTTGATCACTGGGAGATCTGGTATGACGGCTACAAACTTCTTGATCGTATGACATCCTAACCTAGATTTTTTTTTTTCTTTTTTTTCCCCCGGCTCTACGCTGAAAGATAACTTCCCTTATGTGTTTGGGTCATTATCAACGATAAGAAGACTACTGAATGGATGGCAGAGAGAGAGAGAAGTTGGTATTGTAGAATGGGATTATTTCGAGGAATCAATCAATGCCTGGCGTGATCTGCACCTGGTAAAGTGGATGCCCTGGTGCCTTAGGCATAATATCACATTCGATATGGATGATTTATTCGACTAAGCCATGGATAATATCTTACAATCTAGACGAACCCGAGTTTCAAATCCGATGCCAAATCAATGGTTTGTCCTGCTATATCCCTGTAAACTGAATACAGATCCCAGAAAGGAGCACAAATAAACAGACATTGAGTAACTAACCATCCAAAAGTCAGGTATATCCTTAACAGTAGAGCATCAAAATGAACCATATCATCAATCAGTCCCCTCCCATCCGTAGACGCTGTCGCTGCGCCGATCCAGATCCCGATCCCGATCCAGAACTAGAACCACCCACACCACTAGCCGCAACAGTAACTGCTTCACCTTCCAATCGCCTACGTAGATCATCATACTGGCCCGCTCTGTTCCCACTGCGCGAGATCCTCCTGTTCTCTCGCTCCCCCACCATCCAAGCCGGTACCCTCCATGTACTTCCCGCCGAGAGACCAGGGAGCAGCTCCATGCGCCACGCGACGCCCACGCCCCATCCTACCACGGCAGGGAGCATCATTCCGGGGAACTGCGACAGCGCCAGTTGCGCGGCAACGAGGTACGTCGTCGATTTATCGGAGAGAAGAAGGGTCAGGGATTTCCCGATAGAGGAGCTCGAGTTCTCATTCGAGGTCTCACTCGACGACGCCGAAGTAGAGATGCAGTATCGCACTGTATGCGGAATCGAGGCATGGTATTGCGCCAACACGGCGAAGAGCGACGCGGTCGGTCCGGATGGAAGGTATCCGACTGTGTTGAGCGATAACGGACGCACAAGAAGAGCAAGTAGAATAGGCGGTAGAAGGGTGGTATACGGGAGTGTGGAGAGGAGGAAGGTCTGGATTTTAGTTAGCTGGTGATTCCCTATAAGGCCTTATGCCATGGGTCAAAGTAAGAAATCTAAGAGACAAGGAGAGATGGACATACCGCCATTTTCCTCTTCCCCCACGCCCGCTCCACAACGCGACAATGGTATACAATCATAGCGGCGAAGAGAGCTTCCGTGGAATTGGCAAATCCGGCAACCTGCCAGAGCAGGATGCGCCAGTATTGTCCATAGGGGTGGAGATGTGGGGAGACGTGTATGGCCGAGAGATGCTTGAGGTCGAGGATCGAAAGGGCGACGGAGGCAGCGACCGTGTAGATGAGGAGGAGTTTGGTGATCGGGGCGTTGGTGAGGCCGGGGGTGAGCATACTTTTTTTTCTCTCTTTTTCCTTTTCTTTTTTCCCTCACGTCGTGATGCCCTTGCTCTGGACGATAGTGGGGGGTTCACGATGAAAGTAAGTACGGAGAGGGGAGTCAAATCGAACACGTCGCGTGAATGGCGGGCCGACGTCAGTGGGGCTCCGTGTGTCGGCATGCCGAGGTCTAAAGCATCCATATTAGTACTACGAGTTACTACTACACTGTACATGACTGTAGATTAACTGGTATGCTTGATGATGGACCATATACTATTCTATCGTACAAATCCCAGTCCCTATGCTGACGAGACCTCTTTCATTTCCTCCGCCAATGCCGCCTGGTATCGTGTCAGGGCCGTTTCCAACGCCCGCAGCGTTGGCTCGAGAAGCCGATGTACAGCTTGCTGCCCACCGGGGACGCCAGCCAGGTTGGGTCGGATTTTCTTGCCCGTTGCCTCCAGTACCTCGCGCGCGTGTCGTTTCAGTCGATCCACTTCCACCTGTCGCTCAGATTCAGCGTCCTTAGCCACTGAATTGATACGTTCTTGCGCACGCTGGAGCGACTCCATGAGGGATGCTACTTCGCCTGCGCGATCCGAATTTCCGGATAGAAATGCCTGCCAGAACTGGTGCAGGAACTCGGTCGTCGTGGCGTGCGTCAAGGTCAGGCGGTCGTAGAGGTTGGAGGACAGGCCATACGTGCCTGTATTAGACGAGATTTCAGCCTGTGCGCGACGGTCCCGAATGGCATCAAAAATCTGAGTTGAGGCTCGGTGCAGATTATTCCGGGATCCAACCTGCTGGCTCTGTTTCATCTCGTCATCGTCATCATCATCGTCCGGTTGAACAAGTCTTCCCAAGGGGGCGGTCCCGTCGTCGGGCAGATTATGTTCGACCTCGATGCGCAGATCATCCAGGATCTTCACTGGATCTTGTTTGGCAAAGAGTAGGGTCTGTTCGTCTTCGACGAATTTAGCTTGGGCAGAGAAAAATCGACTTTGGTCCCTGATATTGAGGAGGATCCGATCCTGCCGTTCGTCACCGCGCAGATCGCGCAGCTGGAACTCGTTGTACGTATCCTCATCCATGCCAATCGGCGCATGGAGTTCGCGATTCGTGGGTGCCACGTTCTCCATAATTTTCTCACTCAAGTTATTCAGCGTGCGGATGATGGGCACTTTGTCCACCCCGGAGGGCCTCATGTCAGCATCCGGTCGATTCCCGCGGCGCTGGCTATTGTTCACTTCATTTCCTTGCAGGTCAAGGAAATTCGGAACGTGGGCTTCCCGCTGGATGTTTCCATACTCGTCAGTCTTGAGGTACTTATCCAGAATAGCATCGGTTGGATCCGTCTCCGATATACGCTCCCCTCGCATTTTCTTAAACAATCGACTCTGAAAAAACCGGGACCAAAACTGCTGCTCGCTCAACTTGGGCACATTCTCATCGTACACGCGCTTAATGAGGGGATGCTGGTTAAAAATCAACTGGATTTGCTCTTTACTGATATTCATCTTGGATACGTTATCCTCCACACGCGGCTTCAACGTTGACAACACGTTATAGGACCCTCGTGTCTGGGATCGTTCTATCGCATGGGCCCGCAGAAGGTGCACGCGCGTAGACCAGAACTGGGACATGAACTGTTTGGGGGTCAACGTATCAGGCTTTGTCTGGAGCGACTCCTTGAGCATGCGTTGCAGGTTCGGGTCCGATTTCAGAAGTGCCTGTTGTAGCTCAACATCTCCCGTAAGCTTTTTGTCATCATCCCATAGGTTCTTACTCGACCCCGATGGCGACACCGCATTCGCGATGGCCATGGCCGCCGACATGCCTTCTCCTGGACTCGCGGAGTGAGCCGGGGTACTCTGGGCAGCTTTGGCTGCCTGAATCGCGGAACTTAGGGCATCCTTGATAGCGTCTGCCTCTGCGCGCGCGTTGGCTCCAGCGGTAAACGAGAAAACGTATTGTTCTGGGGAGCCTGCGGGCGCGTTGGGGGGGACGATGAAAATTTTGAGCATGACTTTGGGGTTACTAGCCGGGGTTTGTTGTAAATCTAGGGATATTCTCTTATTAGCACCACTTCGACCGTCACATAAACACACACACACACACACATCCATCTCTCTCCCTGGTAGAGGTAAGTAGGCTCAGGAAAACCCCAACCCAACACGCTCTCCAAGGATGCAGATTAGAGAGAAAAGTCATACGCACTTGTGATCTGAGCCACCGGCAGCGAAATGGTTCCCGATGCACCACCAGCGGCCGGAATCCAAGAGACCGACTGGCGATCCTGTGACATCGTCAAAGTGCCATCTTTCTTCTTGTATGCCGCCGACCCGCTCGGAGGTGCCATCGTCTTGGAACTCGACAGCTTCCACGGTCCTGGGCGGCGTAGAGGGATTCACCCATCAGAGCAAAGAATCCCCACGAAGAATCCGGCAGTTGCGGAAGGGCAAGGCCTTCTAGCTGGTCGAGGAGGTCGGGGCAACAGAGGGAGAGAAGAAAACCAAGCACGACAAAAGGCGATGGAGGCTCTGCGGGCTTTTCTTGCATTACCGCATCAGCACGTGACCGGTGACACATCTAGCCCTAATTCCTGATTGGGACGATGGACCTTCGAGCTTAACAGAACCATAATTGAATCATCGATTTGTAGATTATAAATTTATAGATTCAATGCTAACATCCTTTACACCAGCTCCTGCCCTGACCAAGCCCTCCTGACGCCAGAGTAGATAAAACTGTGCACACCTTGCCAGTCAAGCCTTGCTGACTGCGAACATAGGTGAGGGAAAAAAACAGAAACAAAAATAAATATGCAATCGCGAAGGATGGGGATATCGCAAACACCATAAGCTAAAGACCACACTCAGACAGAGAACCCTAACGCTCAAAGACATCGCTCCGCTATGCAGACAACTCCAAGCCAAGCAACTCATGAGGCATCATAGAAATCCACCCACTTTTGTCGCTCACACATAATGGTGCAATTTGTCTTCATATAGCCAAGCACAAAATCCTCCCCAGAGTACAATACCAATATGCGGGGAAATCACAGGGTTAAAAAAAAAATAACAAATAAAAAATAAAAAGAAGAGAAGAGAACTGGTTGAACCAGTAAAAAATATGACTAGACAATGACGCTCCTTTTACCAGAGCCACCAGTCTATTCACACACGCTTCATGCGGAGTCAACCCAGTTTCATTTCTTGAACATGTAATGTCCGTAGATTCCGCCCACGTCTCCGACAGCAACGGGGATCTTTCTCATCCCCCACCAGCGGGCACCCATTTTCCAGGACCGAGATCCATCATCGGCGACTTCATTCGGCATGGAGGACGGGTCACGGACATACCATCCTCGGCGACCCAGCTCCCGCACTGTCCATCCGGTAGAAGATTTGGCCGTCTTGGTTCTCTCGCGCAACGGCGCAATGAGCTTCTCGTGGAATTCAATCACTTGGAGTGGGTAGCTTTGCGGCGAAAGCAATAAACAGGCTCCCATGTTGAACACGGTACCAAGTGTCAGCTGGGACACCTTGTTGAGATCCAAATAGCACAGGGATGGGGGAACCCAAGTGTCATCCGGTCCGGTCGATCCGTCGGCGACTGACCCCGAGGTAGGAGTGAAGAAGGCGTTGAGATCCTGTGGCGACAATTCCGCTGACCCCAAGCCTAGCTCTTCCAGATGCTTGGTCAAGGGAATGAGGGCCTTGGTGTGGGCCGAGGTGACTTTAGCACCGCCGATATTGAGAGAACGAAGCGAGGACGGCAGTTTCGGGAGTAGCGCACTGACGTCCTCTTCCTCCAGGAGTCGGTAGCGCGTGGGGTCCGTCATCAGATTCAGGAACACCAGAGAGTCGCTCACAGCCGGATGGGTCGTCAAAAACTCGACGACGTTCGCCCCTCGGAGGCGGATGGTGCGGGAAACGTTCAGATGTGTAAGTCGAGCCGTTTCAGGGATGGAAAAGAGGGCCTTCTCGTTGATCTGCGTGTGGGTTACATCGAGGTGCGTCAGGTTGACGAGGCGGGGAAGGAGGGTCTCGAATGCAGAGGATGGGAGGCTGCTGCATTCGTGCAGCGAAATACGCCTCAGATTGGGCAAGGTCGAGGGGAGACTGGAGAGTGAGTCCAGGAATATTGCCGAGAATGACTGCGTCGAACAACCGCAGAGGTCGAGTGCACAGAGGTTGGGAAGGCCGGTGAACAACTTCCGCATCACTTCCACGTTGAGATCCCCCTCTACATGCTCCTGGAGCAAACATTCCTTGAGATTTGGGAGTAGATCCAGGCACTTCAATAGCGTCGTAGCCGTCAGGTTCTGGATCTCGGCGTTCATCTGCTTGGTGCGTCCTAGTCCAACAGAAGTGAAGTGAGAAAAATCGAGGCGACGAACTAGCGTGCCCAAGGCCGGATACTGGGACATGTGGTTGAGGGCCTTGGAGAAGATAATCGAGTGCGGGAATGTCATATTCCTGTACAACACACTGAGGGTGGCCGCGTGCAACGTGCGAGACGCAAGAAGGCAGGCAATCAGGTCGACATTCCGCGGCGTGTATCCATTGGGCGGGACGTCCAAAGCTAGCTTCGATATGATTTGATCTAGATATTCGACAGTTAGAGCCCATCGGATTGAGATCCAGCATTGCCGCAGACACGAAACTTACCGAGCACCTCTGGCGGGAGTTTCTCCAACCGGGACGAACCGGGGTCCGGTTTCTGCTCCTCCACCTGCAACATCTTGGCCGGCGGAGTGTTGCTGATAGTAGGAGTGGTCTCCCAAGCCCAGCCGCGTGCGTGCATCTGTCCCAGATACCGGAGGTCGCTGTAACTCCTGCTAAGACTCTTCCCACCCAGTCGGATTTGCTTCCAGCCCAGGAAGCCGCCACAGGGGCAGCAGAAATCGGGGGTTTGGTGCATCTCGGCGTGATTGTGTGTTGTTTGTTGCTCTTTGGGGGGCGGTTGTTCTCCGATATGGCTGTCCACGAATGACTGCGCAATGCCTGCCAAGATAGCGAGAGGTCTGATGAGCCATTGTCACTGTGACAGATCAGGGAGGGGCCATACCGTCAATGTCCTCTTTGATCGAGCCCACCGACGGACGTCGGCGACTGGTCGACCTGGACCCGTCCGGCGAGTCACACTCGGAGGAGCGAGGGGACGAACAACGGGACAGATCAAGAGGAGACGAGTCTCCTGAAGGGACAAAGGGGTAGCGAGGCTTATGGATTGAGATGGCAGGAGAGGCTGTGGTGGACGACATGGTGGGCGACAGAGGGAAAGGCCTCTCACTCTCTCTATATAGGTCACCGTAGAGCCAGTCCCAATTCGGCAGAGGTCAGAGAATAGGGAAGTTCGGAAGTAGGGAGGGGAACACAGGAGAAAAAGAAAAAAAAATAAAAATACAAAGTCAAAGAGAGAAAAATGGGAAAAAAAGCTTTTTTTTCTTTTTTTTTTTTTTTTTTCCCTTCCCCGGATTCCACAAACTCTTCCTGGTGCAGATTTGGAGGGGCGGCGGAGACCGTCTAATGCAAACCGGGTGAGGATTGAGAAAGCTGTTAGTCACAGAATGCGGCGGATGGACAGGCAGCCGCGTCCCGAGGCGGGCACGCTCTTGAGGAAGTGGAGGCCGGACGACTGTCAGTTGTTGTTTGTGACGCAGAGACTTGCAGATGGCTTGTTCAGATTCGTGTTGAACGAGGATCTGGGGAGTTTTAACAGGAGAGAAGCTGTTAGAATGGAGGGAAAAGATCAGATTGTGGCAACGAGACGAAGGGGACGGGGATGAAAGAGCGGAACGAGCATCAGCTGAGCTTGTCCGCTAGGAAGCTATTTTCATTAAGTCCGGCCCAGAAACTAGATTCTCGTTATTCATTGACCGTGGTGGTGGTTTTCTTTGGCGGAACTAGAAAGGCAAAGAATATTCTTCACGGGATGAAACCATTGACTGATACTGGGGATGTTTTAAAAAGACTTCCCTAAATCCAGGATACCACAGTACGTAGTCTCTCTTCTGCAAGTCCAGATTTCTTAGTTCTGCTATACTTAGATCGTGATAATCCCCGGCCGTTTTAAGCATTCCTGTCAGTTTTTTTCATTTTTATTTTTTTTAATTGTTTTTTTTATGTTTTGTGTTTTGCCTTTCTTGGGGTTTGCCTTTATCACGATCTCACCTGACTCCATCAAGAATCCAGAAACATTCTCTGGAGATCTTTTGCCAGATGGTCTGACGAAGAGAACAATTCATCGACGATAACCCTACGGGACCTAAGCACCCTTCGTAAAAGGACTACTAAACGAGGTTGTTAGCCTTCGAAGAGGGCACCAGCGGAGTGTGAGGATCGCCGCCCGAGCTTTCTATGACATAATGGAAATCGCCTCTGGCTGGACCCGTGACAACCGCTGCTGGTACGGCTTTTGCTTTACGGGACGACGGAGTGACGGAGTGTACTTCCCCTGCGACCGTCCTCACTGCGTTTGGCCAGTACAAAGTGGTACTAAGCACTAAGTACCTGACGCATTCGTGGGGGTTGTTGGGATTGCGAATGGAGTGGAATCACGGCCTTTGGTTCATATGAGCGTCCAAATACTAACAGTACATACCCCAGACGCAGCCACGTTCAAGGAGGATTTCCCTTACCTAACAGCTACTACACTCGCATTCCCGATCTGTCGATCCGTCCCCGTCATTGGCTGTGGCCTTACTGGGCTGGGTCCCGTGATCCCGCCTAGTCTGTCGGACATGACAGAGTTAACTAATTAGTAGATGCTGCTTTACTTTTAGGTAATACTCCGTAGTCTTGGACTTTTAGCATCCCCTGCACTGTCATCCCCAATTCCCCAACCATCGCTTCCCTGGATAAACTAACTGCGACTAAAATCCCCTGTATCTTACTGTAATCATGGATGTGTCCGATTCCCTGGAAGTGCATGAGGACGGGGTTTCCATTGCGTTCTCATGTCCGTTCTACCAACCACCTTTCTTTGCACACTACACAGTAAGTGCTTCTTCTCAGATCCTCAATCACCTGATCCACTCTTGGCCAGCCCCTTGCAGTCCTTAGCGGACCTTGTCTGGGCTTCACTCAGTCCCAATCCGTGGGTCCATGTCTCCTCCACCATCCAGGATCCTTCGTGGTGAGGACAACGGAATACCAATCGACCCTATGAATCCAACCGACGTGTCAGGACCTTGCATTCGACCGATTGTCTGCGAGACTGAAACAGAGTCAAAACCCTGCAGGGATCTTCCACTGCCAAGAACAGACAACTCGAGCCAAGCTGCCGGTAGGCATTCCTCTATGTGCTCCACTTTCTATTGTGTTGATCCTAGTAATGGTTGCTTGTCCAGACCCCTTTTGATTCTGTGCGACCTGTTCGCTTTTCGTGACAGAGTGCTAGGAGCATGTTTTACCCTGTAGTGCTATACTCTCAGGACAGGGCACGCTGTGCTCATCACTCTGGTCAAATCACCCAATATTATCCCATAGTCGACAGAGTAGGCGTCATGTGTTGTGATGGGGTCTGACCAATCACATCATTCCGTTGTCCAATGGCACAACCTGGTCCGCAGGGAAGATAGATTTGAGCGTAGCGTTGTCTCTGTGGATTGGATTGCACTGCCGGCTCGGAACTCCGGAAGGAATCATTCCAGCCAGCGCACATCCCATAGCCTTGCCACGTATCGATGCCTCGACTTGCCGGCATTTTGTTTATCATAATGCATGATAAATCCAGAGTAGACAGAAAAGAATAATGGCATACTCTTGTTGCAATCTCAATCACTACATATAATCTTACACATACCTAGTACGAAGAAAAGAAGACAAGAATAGCAAAGCAACAACAAAACGGAGGCCACTTCCAAGGAGATCTTTGACCCTTTCAATTCCCTGTACGGAGTATTATATAGCCTATTCCAGCTCGAGGTACGGCAGTAAAGGGCCCAACATTGTCGCCTTAATTCTATAGACGGTGATACAACATTAACCTGATTTCAAGATTGATCTAGCTGAGGTTCAGTACCACCATTGTATACTTCTATACAAGTAGAAAGCCACCTTACTACATTCTCCCAATGAATATTAGCTGGATTACTCTCCCGTCCCATATAGAATAGAATCCTTATATATAATAAGACAAAATGCCAAGATCCACATCAAGACTGATGGATATGTTGAAGTAGGCAGATTATGATAAGAGAAATTGGGATCGAATAAATGACTATATTCAACTATGAGGCTGAATACTGTGTTCAATTGCTTAATTCGATGATCAGAGAACCTATCACTGTCTGGAGGCGATTTTATCTCATATTTATAGCTCCTGAGCCCTTCTGGACTACTCAGAACCAGATAGAATTCAACCGTCACATTCCTCATTAGGAAGCCATGTAACCATACAAATGACCGATTTCCCGCTGTGAAGCCCTTCGTTTGGAGTTTCGGGTAGTTACAGTTTGAAGATAGTGACTCAGAAGCTCCTAATCGATTTTTCTCAACAGAATATACCTATCCTAGCCTAAGAATCTTTCGCATCCTACAATCAGAACTCTCCAACTATGCAGACATCAGAATGGGCGGTTCCATGATGAGGAGGATCTATCATCGACGAGCCTATTTTATAAACCTAATTACCAGATCCATCAAAAAAGGATGTAGTCATCCATGCGAGAATTGTGGTTCAGATGTTAGACCTTTCCTATTTCCACCGCTGTCACTTGTTGGAATTAGGGCATATGAATATTCAACTTCAATACAGTAGCTATTTCTTGGTGCAGCAGTTCTTTATTAAATTAAAATAGAAACCTAATATGAATCTGGGCACTCATTCTTCCGCTCAACCAGACTCCCTAATACAACTCTTCAGATTCCACTTGAAGGTTTTGTGAATGATCTTGTTTTCTCATGGTTTCCATCTGCATAACCTAGGCATCTACACATCTTGTCAATGAGACATTCCACGTCAAGACATATATCCATACGCCACTCTCCATCTTATGGGACACCATAGCCAAGTATAGCATATTATATTTATGTGTGGTTCAATTCTGCGTAATATCCTTAAATTAACAGGTTTATCCGTATCCTGTTTTCTAATGCTGGACCTATACTATATCAGACTTCTTCCAGCTTGCTAAGATATCAGATATTTGAACATCAAGGATCAGGGCCAGTATTTACCCAGTTCGAGATTTAGCTCACACCTCCGTTCATAAGAGTAGATATATAGACTCCACTCTATTCTCTACCCCAGTCCATTTCACAAGAATACCAAGCCGGTATCCTCGTGTGGAATTATACAATTATATAGAGAAAACAATTGCATTAGGAATATGCGATTACTACATTTTTATACCCTACCCGACGAATATGCATATTAAGCCCAAAGACAACACACATAAATAAGACACCAGATTAGGCCGTCTGCAGGAGGCAGATCGAAACCAAACCAAATACAAATAAATCATATCATCAAAACCCCATTATCACCCAGACCAACCCTCCAAAAACAACAGCCCCCAAAGTCCTATCCCACCAGAGCACAGTTCCTGCATCTGTATAGGCCGACGCATCGCCGGCCATCGGACCTCGAGTCCCTGTGATTCCTCTCCCATCCGCTTCTGGAGGCGGCGAGCCAAATGAGTGGCAGTAGCAGTATACACAGGGGACCTTCATATTTATCACTGATGGTAGGCATCGGTGATACCGGCTCACTCGTCGTAGCAACCTCTGTAGAGTCAGTTCCGATCAAACGTGAAATTAGGCACATTGTACGGATTGAACTCGGTAAATGGCGATCCGGACATACAGAAGACTTGACTTTACCTGAGCATTCTTCACGCGGATCACAGCGAGGACGTCCCAAGCAGGAGACATCGCAGGCTCTACTGCGATGGCGCAGAGTGCACCGGATTCACAGTATCCTGGGAAATTGGGACATTTGGTGAAGCCTAGATCGCAGGTTTCGATGATCTGACAGGGTACTGGGTTGTTGATTTCTAGGCTGGAAGTGATCAGGGCTCTGGCGGCGTAAAGTTGACTGTGGGTGAGGGTCGTTCTGGATAAGAGGACTAGGATGGATAGGAGGTGCATTTTGGCCTGGGAGCTGAGATCATCTATGAACGTACTGACTAGTATAGAAGGATTTAGAACGGAGATGGATTCTCTCTGTCCACAGACAAGTCGCGTTAGCTTTTTTTCTACTCGAACAGTATGTTCAACCCTTGGACATCATCCATGCATGTGTGAACGAAAGTTGAGCCTTCCTTGTTGACCCTGATCAAGGTCGCCTTGTCTATCTGCCTACAACTACGCACCGCCAAGATGGCTTAGACGAACCCTTGGATCAGTCACTCAATCATATTGGCCGGGGTAAGTCGTTTGGACTGGTCGAGAAATTAGAGGTATTGGGCGTATTTCTCAAGTCTTGTCACACAGATGCTTGCGTTGGGGGTAGTGAGTCTTGGACTCTTGATATCCCGAAGTTGAATTATCAGATCTCTAGATTAAGGGAATGTGTGTAGAATTTGGAACAAAACAGGCCAGAAACAATATATCCAGTATCTCGATATGAAATTGTTTTGCTTCGGTGATAAATAATTAAATATTAACTAGCACTCCAGCCCTTCAATCTGAGCATTTGAACACATATAAGGTTCCTACTATATTAGATCAAGTTTTATTCTGAATATGTGCTAGACATGCAATCATAGAGTCTACTGAAGTAGTAGTTTATACTTCCCAATCCTAATAAATTCTGCACTTATTTGATGCTGTACAACATTAAAGACCAGTTCTATACTATATGAAATAAACTTAGCAACAGTATCTAATCTACCATAATCAATCTTCATCTACGACTAGATACCTAGGTACCTTATCTAGTACCTACTAAGTAGGACAAACAATATGATTAACCACTACTACAACCTCGGAGCAGATCCCAAGATCAGATACGTAATCCGACGGAGTCCTCCGACAATGAGCATTCTTCGATCCGTTCTCACCATGCATACTGGATGAAGGTTCATAATAGTATATGTCGGGCTTGACTCAGCCACACCGACCCGAACCGATCGGATGTAACTCCGATTTCAATCTCAATTCACCCATTATTTCATCCTTTAGGGCTATGAAATACGGTTCTGTCACAGCCCTATCCTGTACAGTAATCACGCATATAAGCAAAGCCTAATATAAGCAACGAAACACGGCGTCCAAATTGAATTTACATGCAAATTTGCCTAATACACTAATATAAGGCCATTGCTTAATATTTTTACGTCTCCCATACAAAGTTGCTACTATTGGATTGTACTGGGTCTATTTATCCAATTATATTAATCTATTTAGTCATGTGACTAAATACACCCCCTACCTTTCAAAAATACATATCTTCAATATAGATATATTTTACCATGTAGTACACCACACACGTATAATTTCTTTGCAATGTCTATAAAAATAATAATAGAAACTTTACAGAATATTCTACTTCCTAAAAGGTTGAAAGAAATGGTTTAAAATAACTAAGATCTTAAGTAAAATCCTACCATAAGCAAATTTGCAGTCAATCTGCTTTTGTTGCTTATATCCGTGCTTTACTGTACTCTGTATGTAGGTGGTATTACCACAAGATCCGTCAGTTTGACTTTATGTGGGACGAATTGACTTCGACTACGGATCCCGATGGCGTCAACGACTTGGGAGGAAAAAAATGAGCACGGAAAATAAAAAGAAAAACTTTAATGGCTCTATTGAATCATACCCAGATAGTATGAAGTCTATTCGTAAATCCATCCCAACCATCCAATCTAATCCAATCCAGTAAACGGCATCATTGGTTTGAAATAACATAGGATTTGTTCATTGATGCGGCCGGCATCATCCATAAGATAAACCCAGTCTAAAGTGAGAAAAAGATGCGAAAATAAACACGATTCGGTCGGCCTGCCAGACGAAGAGTCTCGAAATAGACAACCATGGATATCAAAAGTCCATAACCCATAAACCCATAATAGAAATCTCGCAGAAATGATGAGGAAGATAAAAAAGGGAACATGGTCATGAAAAGTAAAAGACCACCAAACGCCATTGGAACTGTCTTCGTTCCGTCGCTTTTTTCTTAGTGTATGGGTTGACGTCAATGGTGCCATTATTTACTCAACAGCGGAAGCGCCGTCACCGTGTGTCACTGGGTTCACCTTGGGGTTCCACTTGAACTTGAACTCCTGGCCTAGTTCCTTGCGGACCGCCGCCTTAACCGCCTCCAAAACGTTGTTAAACACACCGAAGTTGGCCGGGTTGTTGGTGTCGTTGTCGGTTACCGCACCCTGGAACACACCGGTGCGGACAAGACAGGTGTTCCATCCGTACATGTTTCCACCGCAGATGTCAGAAGCCGGATTGTCGCCAACCATGTACACATTCTGCGGCAGGCGGTTCTCATTGTGGATCTGCTCCATCCAAGAACGGAGGACCTCGTCGGCATACGTGTAGGTGGCGCGTTCAGGCTTGCCGTAGACAACACGCTCCAGGTCGACACCGGTGAGGGCCTTGTACTGGGCCTCAATTCCAATACGGAAGGCCCCCTGGGTCAGACGAGGAGGTCCCTTGTGATCCGTAGGGAAGACCAGGTCACCCTGCGAGAAGTAGACGGGAATGCGGGAAGAAACAGGGTCCTTGGCGCGGGTAAGCATCTTGCCGTCCTCGGCCAGCAGCAGGTCAATGATCAACTGCATGTCGGTAGCGTAGTCACGGGAGTCGGCGAAGACGAGGATAGCGTCAAACTTTATCTTGGAGAAGTCACGGGGTTTGGCCTCAGCACGGTCTTCATCGGAGAAGAACCTCCAGGGCGACACGGTGGGGTCCCATGCGAGGATGTCCTTCGGGTGGACGACATTCTTAAAGCCGTAGTTCTCGGCGACTTCACGGATCTTCTGCCCCTCGCCACCACAAACCAGGACCGTATCGTAGTACTCAGACAATGCCTGCATTGGGGTGTGGGACTGGATGAATTGATCGGTGGAGATAGGGACCTCCAGGATCTCCGAGAGCTGCTGGCAACGGGCCTCTTCCGTTTTTCCACCACCGTTGGTCAACAGGATGTAGGGGATCTTAATGCCCAGTTCGTTGTCACCATTGAGCATCTTCAGCGCCTCCTTGGCCTCCTCGATGGGCTCGTTGCCGTGGGCCAGGACACCGTCAATATCGAAGGCGAAGGCCATGTTCTTTGCCGCTGCGACCTTCTCCTTGGACATGTCCTGCACCTGGGAGGCCAGGATGTCACGAGAGACGGAGGCACCACCAGTGACCGCGGATGACAGGCGAGAAATCCGGGGGGAACGGGGGATCGGGAGAGAGGTGCCGAAGGAGTTACGAGAACCACGACGTTCCCGCGTCGAGGGAGCCAGACTCAGGTTGTGCATGAACTGAGCTGCATCACTGATGGAGCTTCGGGTCGCAGGAATCTCAACAGTGTTACCCGCATCGTTGGGGATAGGCAGAGTGCTGCTGCCAGGATGTTCTCTGTGGGTGGGAGCAGTGGGGTCAACACCGAGATCAGCGTCGTCAAAGCGAGGCATGATGAGTTAGATTTCAAGAATTGGACTTGATTAGAAGGATGAAGGATGAATCTTTCTACACGGTGTGGCGAGAGAAAGAGGGAGAGAGAAAGAGCAGAAAGGGGGGTGATAAGAGATTAAGAAGATGTATGATATCACTCCCGGAACTGCAAGGAAAGACAACGAGATAAGGAGGTCGGAAGAAGGGAGGAAAAGCAAGAATGGAAGATAATAAAGAAAGCAAGCGGCGGGCATGGATACAATCTATATATATACTGATAATAAAGACCGGTTTTCCAGTGGCGGTGAATACTTCCTCCAAGGAATGAAAGCTGTATGGCTTTTCCTGCTTGCAGCCATTCACTTCCTCAGACAGGCTCCACCGGCGGATCATCATTCCTAGGAATTATCGTCATCGTGGATTTGGCATTTGATTATCCCTGATTCGGCCAGAGAGAACATACATTGTACGCAGGAGCGGGTACGGCGGATCCACTAGTCCTGTTTTGGCACCTGCAATAGTGGGTGGTAATACCGGGACCCGGTCCTGTTCTGGTACTGGTAATATAACCAGGGTAATGTAGCCACTTTTTCTGCGCCATCACATCTCCGAAAAGGACGGTGCTAATTCTATGCTGCAGATGGCAGCCTGAGTCTAACCCAAATTACACAGGAGAGCGGGGCGGGAAAGCCCCTCTGGAGGAGCGAGAGGGTGGCATCACTGGGGACGTGGGCACTCCTATTGGCTGAGGGATTTTCTGATTTTTTTCTTTCTTTTATGAATCCCAAAAAATGATCCAATTCAGCACGCTGAGTGGATGATGAGCCGAGCGGGTCTATCTTTAACTACCCATTCGCTGCTATAGATTTCCGCCCATGGATCGCGCGTGCGATCGCTGGAGCCGATGACGATCGAGCGGACAGCAGCGGGTCAAACGCTCGCACCGTTTCAATCCAACATTGGAACGGTAGAGGCTGAGTCCGAGTGATGTCATAGCGGCCCGGTTGGCTTTTCGGTCTGTGGGGCGGTTCTCTTGTGGATGCCGTCATGGGAAGGTCCGACAACAACAGATACCATTTCAACTCATAAATGTAGAGGTCAATGGGAGATGAAGTAGAATATCGTAGATGGAGTGGATAGGCCGTGATAAAAGCCCTCACACTATTCCCCAAAATTTAAAAAGAATAAGGTAAATTGCAATTGCTAGTCCAGAAACGTGATCAGGATCCTGACAGCCACCCCTCCTTCATTGCCGCTATTTCCCCCTCCACCCCACCTGGTGCTTCTCACCAACGCAGCAAGAACCACTACCCCTCATCATCTTTTATCCCTCAATATTCTCTCTTGGCTACCACCCTTTTCTTGAAACTCTCCTCCCATCCTTGAAACCTTACATTCCTCAATTGTCTCTCTTATTGTCAATCCACCATGTCGTCCGGGCTCACGTTCACCCTAAGCAATGGCGTCAAAATCCCCGGTGTCGGATTCGGTACTTTTGCCAACGAGGGTGCCAAGGGGGAAACGTACAAGGCAGTCATGCATGCTCTGAAAACGGGTTACCGACACCTCGATTGCGCCTGGTTCTATCTGAACGAGGACGAGGTCGGAGATGCCCTGAAGGACTTTCTGAAGGAGACGCCCTCTGTCAAGCGTGAGGATATCTTTGTCTGCACCAAGGTCTGGAACCACCTGCATCGCTACGAAGACGTGCTGTGGTCAATCGAGAGCTCTCTGAAGAAGCTCCAGCTCGACTATATAGATCTGTTCCTCGTGCACTGGCCCATTGCCGCCGAGAAGGACGGACAGGACAAGCCCAAGATCGGTCCAGATGGCAAGGTTTGTATTCACCATTATCCTGTCCTCTGATGGCCGGCTAATGCAGCGTTTTTCCAGTATGTGATCCTCAAGGAACTCACCGAGAACCCCGAGCCCACGTGGCGCGCCATGGAGAAGATCTACGAGGACGGCAAAGCTCGCTCGATTGGAGTGTCCAACTGGACCATTGAGGGTCTGGATAAGCTCCTCAAGTTCGCCAAGGTGAAGCCTCATCTCAACCAGATTGAAATCCATCCCTTCCTTCCCAACAGTGACCTGGTGGAGTACTGCTTCAAGCAGGGTATCATGCCCGAGGCGTACTCGCCGCTGGGCTCGCAGAACCAGGTCCCGACGACCGGCGAGCGGGTCAGCGAGAACAAGTCCCTGAACGAGATCGCAAGCAAGGGTGGCAATACCCTGGCGCAGGTGCTGATTGCCTGGGGTCTGCGTCGCGGCTACGTGGTGCTGCCTAAGAGCTCCAACCCGGCTCGCATTGACTCCAATTTCAAGAGCATCACTCTGTCGGATGCCGACTTCGAGGCCGTCAACAAGGTCGCCGAGGGTCGTCACTTCCGATTTGTCAACATGAAGGATACCTTTGGATATGATGTGTGGCCAGAGGAGACTGCCAAGCAGATCTCGGCTTAATAAAGGGGGATCTAAATAACGTTTCTATCGTTTGATTTATGCGGGCCATAATGAAGCACGGGGAATATGTCTGATAAGAAGTCTACAGAGATACTAAAACGAGTAGATCTACATTTATAACGGCTACACAGAGTCCGCTATTGAAGCATTCCATATGATACCTAAGGTAGGATATACTTGAAAAAAATACGTGGTGCTGGGTGAAACGAGTCATGTCTCTGTAATTCGGGAATGAGAAATTAAAAATAAAAATAAACGGAGAAAATAAATTTGGGATGATGAAACCTAAGATGGTGCTGCAACATGCATACTCTCCGAGTACTACACTAAAGGTGGACTCGGAGGACAGTCCTCCATGATGCGATGTTCTTTCGGAGGACGCTATTCCGGATATACTCTGAATACTTTGTACTGGACACGTCAATTCTTAAAAATTGTATATGTTGAACAAACAACGTCCATCTCATTATAGTAATCATCATTTCTCTACCCTACTTACATCCTTAATACTAGCACAGAATATCCATACAAACATGTAAAGCATCATGCATTGTATATGCACATGTCCTCTATCGACGAACTGCGTCCTCACATCCTGATCGGAAAATTACGGAACATACCCCTTCCCGGTGGGCAAATCCGGAAAAGCCCTAACACCGGACTGTCAACGCGGTGGAACCGTGACCTAACTTAACCCTACCCTATTCGAGAAGCGCGAGCACGTTCCAGTTTTCTGCCTGCTAGGAAAAGAAATGACGTGTGGGTTGAACTAACCACCCGAAGCGTGGCGCCTAAGTTCTGGTGGGTCTTACCTGATTAGGGTAAAACTAGGTACACTGTCCTCCGTCTCCACTATCTCTTTCTTTCTCTCTTTCTTTACGAAGGGATAGGATACGGACATAGTCATAATAATAAAAATAATACGACTCGGAAAGGTAGGTAATTTCCGAGTTTTGTGTCTTATTATCTAATGATTCTGTTTGGTTGGAATGCCGACATTTGGATGTTTAATCTCATCTAGATATGGTAGTTATCCATTTATCTATGGTTTGGATATCCGAGTCTCACACGGAGAAGACTTGATCCTTGGATTACATCATTACGGAGTCTCAACAGTAGTATGTATCTAGGACCGGATATCCGATAATTCGGTATCGGTTCCTCGGTCACGGATTATCAGTTCTACGGTGCGGCACCGGTGAGCTGAGAGGGAAGTAGGGAGTAGGTGCTTACCACATCTACCATCTATCTCGGGTGTAACCGAGGACACTGTGGAATGACTGTTGGTCATTAGCTCAATACTCTTTTGATCTTGATAGAACTAGAGCACATATTTTCTATAGATACAATCGCTTCCAGAAGTAGATCCCCTACAGAGTCCATTGTATGTATATATGTAAGTACAGAAAAGTAGATAATCTACCAAGCCATTCAAATCATTTCATACTCCCCTTCTATCCATCGGGCCAAGTAGATACCTACCTACTCTAACTCCAAGGACTGTCTCAACTGTCTCCCCCAAGACAACAGTTTCAGTTTCAGTTCAGTTGAGTTCATTTGATAGACCATGATCTCATTCAGGATCCACCAAGACCAAAACACAGTCCATCCTAGACCCAATCCTACCTTAGCTGCAGCATGCACTAAGTAACCTACTCCGTATTATGTCCCTGATACCATCGGGCACAGTAAGGTAAATGTAATACCATTGCATGCAAGACAACCTACTAGTAGCCAACCTGCAGTCATCCACATCGTGCGATTCAAAATCTCGATGATTGCACCGTGATATGGAGAAGATGGAGAAATAATGACAGCTTACGCTCCATACAAGTCGCTCTCTGGGGTTGTTTTCGTGTTGATCGCCCATAGTCGGAATCTGATCCCCTCTACGGGTACATTCGGTTGGCTACATACTCGGTACAGTCGAGGAAGGAGTGTCGACAGCCTAGGGAAAGGAGGTTAAGCGAGAGAGAAGAGAGATCAGCATTGGTCTCTGAAAAGAGCAAGCATTCTACGGCTCGTTCACTAGGATACTGCCTTTCTACTTTACAGTGACGGCAGCTGGAGGGTTCTCTGTCACATGCAACCCCGGATTAAACAGCAACAATCGTCGTCACTCCGAGAAACATTCAATCCATTGGCCGATATCCCGAGTCTCTTGACAGATCAGTTCTCAGTGATTACGATTATGTACATGATCCCTAGTCCTCCAATTATGGTGCGCGAATTCCCGGCCCGGGACAGATTACTGCAGAAGAATCAAATAGCCTTACTCCAAACTAATAAAAAGATAGCAAAGGCTCAACCAGAAAATATAGGCGTTAAGCTCGCGACCGAACTCGCCTTGGCATCGGTGTTGACCCTGCATGGGCCTTGAGGATCCTCGCGCTTTTCCCCGAACCGCTGCTGACCGACGCTGCTTTGCTCGTGCTGGTACTGCTGCCGCTTGTTTTCTTCGATGATGTTGCCAGGAACGCCGTCTTGGGCGACTTGGGGGTCAACTTTTTTCGTCGCTCAGGGCTTGGTGATAATGAGGGGCTGGAGTCGAGGGAGGTCATTGCCGTTTTAGGTGTCCCCAACCTCCGCACACGTCGTGTACGAGGGGTTGCAGTAGCAGGTGCAGTAGTCGACGCAGCCTGGGTGTTGTCACCACCAGTCTCTGGGGAACTCTGAGAGCGGGTGAGGCGCCGACTGGCTGCCTTTCTTTTCTCGGAGTCGCGACTCGAGGGATTGTCGCCCCGTCCATCAACGTCATCGCGGTGTTTCTTCCCACCAAGGTTTCCTCCCTCATACTGAACGAGGTGCTCCTCGTTCCACGAGACCTGTTTCTTTGGTCGACCAGGTTTGCGGGCGGACTTGTCGTCATCGAGGGGCACGGACGATTGTTGTGCCAATGTCTGCAGCATGAACTTCGGGGGGAGCGAATCCCCTTTATTCTGTCGCGTGTTACGACGGGTTTCTAACGCCAACTCTTGGGCCTCGGACCGCTGGAGAAAAACAAATTCGGTCCCCTTAGCTCGGCGTAGAGAAAAGGTGTTGCGAACAGCAGCGGCAGTGGTTTTCCGGGGAGGCGCGGCGTTGCTATTTCGAGCGCTTCGACGGGGACTGGTGGGAGGCGGGTCGTTCTCGTCACTGAGATCCTTCACAAGGCCCTTGGTCGGTGATAGCTGCGTTTTCTGAGGCGAGGGGGAATTGGCGTCAAGATCCTCCAGAGCTCGACGAGATGGCGGGGTGGGCATTTCGGTCATTTCCATAACCTCCTCCGACTGGGGAGAGTTCTTCTCAGGGCTCTCTGCCACCTGTGCTGCTGCTTTAGCTTCACGTTTTGCTTTGGCCTTGGACAGGAAGCTGTTTAGCAACGCAGTATCCTCTCCATCCAATGAGCTCCGTAGTGCCGACCGGACCAGGGTCGACTCCTGCTCTGCAGTCAACTTCTGCACGGTCGCTGTTGCGCATGCAGTAGCAATTTGGCCATCAGTGTGCTTTTCTGTGCTTGACAGTTCATGTCGATCCTCCGTCATGATTGCATCTAACACTGCATCGCCGTCGTGTGGCAACGTCGTAGTTGTCGCAGTATCGCCTGTGTCGCCCCCAGCGTCCTGAATTTGGGGGGAGTGGATATCCCCAAGCTCTTTAATGTTCAAGGTGTTTTCCACCTCCTCACTCGACGGCCAACTGGATTGGCCATGTAGCGAGCGGGGATAGGTTACGGGCAGCGCCAATGCGTTGCTCGTAACGGATTCGTCCTGTTCCACGGGCATTTGCGCGACCGACGTGGACGTATCCCGTGAGAACTCACCGTCAACGAGCTCACTCTGGGCAAGTTCCAAGCGCTGATGGCCCATGGTCATAGGCTCGGACTTGTCCACGAGACCGTAAATAGCAGGGAGCTTACCTGCAAAGGGTCAGTTAAACGAGTATAAATAAATAAATAGCGATAATCATAAGAAAATGCAAGCTTACGTCGTCTTCCAGATGCATCAGTCTCCCACTTCGTCTCTAGAAACGACCGCCCGCGCGATTTCCCACCAACTAGACTCGAAGGTTCATCGGAATTCTCACCCAGTGTGAAACAGCGTCTCTTGATACCGCGCAGACATGCCGCAGTTCGCGACGAGTTAATCTCAGTGGAAAAGTCATGTTCCACGCAATTCTGCGTGGTCGCAATCATCTGTTGTAGCGTTTTCATACTGTTAAACGAGGAACGGAAGCGCTTCCACACCTTTCGCGATCGAGGCCGTGTCAGAAATGGAGTCGAGAGTTTTCGATCCCAAACGCGAGGAACTTCGAGAGTGAGTTTGACGGGAGTGAAGCGGAATTTTTCTTCCTGGAGTTGAGAAAGGGTGGGGCTTGTGAGGGGCCTGAAAAGAATAATACGCGTTGGATTAGCAAAGAACGACGATGCGATGATTCAATGATAGATAATGATCAGATCAGATCATGATCACGTAGGGAGGTGAATAGGGGTTGTCAACACGTCAATGTTTCGTCTTCCCCTGACCGATGGATATTTTTTTTTTTTTTTTTTTTTTTTTTTTTTTTTTGCGATTGGTTGGTACCATATCGCATGTTTGCCTTCAATATATATGACTCTGGAATGCTTGAGAAATAAAGATACTCACCCTCGCGCTGGAGATGACATCGCAGCGTCGTTGGTGAACATGGTTTCCTGCTGCGACGCGAAGAATGCTGGGATGGGCCGAGGTAGGGTGACGTCAAGGAATGAGGCAATTGTCTTTCAATTTGGATCAAATCACGGGGTTTTTGTCGTCAAGATAAGATCAGAAGAGCATTTCGTGATACAGTCGCAACTGATGGTCGCGAGGAGATGACTGAACCTGCGACCACGGGCAGAGAAGCAAAATAAAGAGATGCGGGACGGTTGCTGTGCCAACCACCATCGCTCTATAAATACAACACTACTCTGTACATCTGGACCTGGACATCTTGTTGAGAGTCAATCATAGATATGTTTTGCTTTATCTACCTTCCGAAAGAATCACTAATCACTGGCATCTCATGATGATCATACTTCGTAAAGTCATCCACAATGGCCCTTCCACCGCCAACAGTATTAGAGCCTCCCAACACCCCTTTGTCACTCTAGAACACTGTCTCCTGCATGTCACTCTCGTCGAACGGATCCCCAAACTCATCTAGTCAACCCATTTATATCAGCATTCCCTTCCACGCATAGTATGGAAGCCCCTTTGTGACAGTAAAAACGGTAAACAGTAAAGAAATAGCCCACCTAGACTGAAATCCTTGTCCACGACAAACTCCATTGCTCGTTGGAATTCTTCCTCGGCCCGTTTATTCATCCACATAGCTCCCGGCTGCTGATCCGGCGCCGAAGTCATCGTCGTGATCGCCGGCATCCCACCGACTACGTTGGCCGATGCGGGTTGCGTCTGGGACCCGGGCGGGGAGAGTTCCGAGGGAATTCCAATGGTCTTCGTCGGAGTGCGAGCTCCATTTTGGGAGCTGTCCGATGGTATCTGGGCCGACTCTGGAGAGGAGGCCATCTGTGAGTCTCCGTCTGCATCTAGCATAGTTGGGTTAGAATTATTAGTGAAGTCGGTGACGGACGCATAGTTGGATTCTGATCACAAGAACGGGATGTAGATGAAGAATAACGTTCTAGGTAACTTACCGGTAGCCATGACGGACTGGAGGAATCGACGTGAGATCAAGATGCCGTCAGTCCCTCAGTTCTGTGGTGGAAGACGATGAGATGCCGTCAGTCCCTCAGTTCTGTGGTGGAAGACGATGAGATGCCGGCCGGAGAAACCGCCTTAACTAAGCAGCAACAACGATTTTCCCCGTTTGGGTTCTTCCGATCTTTTTTCCTCCTGCAATCAATCCAATTGAATCCAATCAACCAAATTTCCATTCCATAATCCTTCCTTTTCCCCTCTGTATTCCACACACTGGGAATCTCGGGATTTTTGGACTTGGGCTCTATTTTGGTGTAGATTTTGGCCCGTTTGTTACTGACTTGTCCTCTTTCTTCTTCCCTTGTTTATATGCCTGTTCCTTTATTATGAGCGCAAAATCTTCGTCTGCAGCCCCCGATGCGTGGGAGGATGATTGGGAGAGTCAAGCTGACGTATGTATTTATTCAATTATCTCCGAGTCCCTCCATCTCTCCCGATATTGGGTATTCTCTCTCTGTCCTGATCTGACGGGCAATCGTTGTCTCCTGCAGAAAATGATCGCCGACCCGGCCCCGCCTGCGCCAGAGAAGAGAGTCTCCTCCAAAGTTACTAAGGCTCAACGCCGAGCACAACAAGCCGAATTTAACCGCCAACTATGGGCTGAAGCGTATGCCAATCATTGAATTTGAATTTTCGTGAGGCTAGGAAGCAATTTACGTTCTGACTTGTCTCTTCCAGTGAATCCCCCCAAACTTTCCACTTCCTCGAAGCTCGCTCCAATGTTCCCCTCAAGCAAGAATTCAAGCCCACAGTAACCCTACTGAGTCGCAACCCGCATGTGGCTTCCCGGCAATCCTCCTCGGCAGTCGATGCAACAACCGCAGGTGTCGGACGCCTGGGGTTGAATGCGGATGATGACGGCAACTCAGACGAAGACTGTAAACCATCGGAGCCGACTCCTGAAGAACGCCAAGCCATTGCCTTGCGCAACCTGGAAGAAAAGCAGCGAAAGTACGAGGAAGCGCGTGAGAGGCTGTTCGGAAGTCCTTCTGCCACTACCTCCGGTGCATCGTCCCCTCGTAGTGCCACTCCGCCGAAACAACATGAAGGCCGAGGGAAAGGACGAAACCGTGGCGGTGGAAGAGACAACAATAGCAGCAACAACAACAGTAGGGATAAGAGGGACTCTTCTAGCGCATCAGGGAAGTCGAGACATCTTTACGACCCAGCGTCTCCCAAGCAGAACACATCTTATGTACAAAGGAAAGAGAGGTCGCAGACGGGTGACCGAACCGGGAACGACCCACCATCACCTCGGCAGCAGCCGATCCGCGATCCTCGGGGCCCAGATGCCAGTGGCAGGGGTGGTTTCCGATCCGGCAGTAGGGGTGCGAGAGGAACTTAAGTGAGACTACTGCACAAATGTTATACGCGAACCGGGTCCAATTTTGACCAAGCAAGGCTGTGCGCAAGACTGTAGTAGTCTTTGACGTACGCTGCAGGTCACCACTACGATACAAACACCTCCGTATATCCCGAATTGCATAATTCCAACTGATCATGGAAGGCCTCTGCCGGAGTTGATTGCATTTGCAAGCTGAGAGGTGTTGGGACGATTCTCTAGACTAACGTTAGCTTGAGAAATGAGACGTACAACAGCCGTCACTCACGGGCGTATCTCTCATAACTATCAATATAGAGCTCGTCAGTGCTCACGGTGGCCTTGACATGCTTGTCATCTTCAACCGCGCTGACCCAGGCAGCCCATCGACTACCAACTTCGGGGTCTGGCCAGCCACGATAGGGTTTCAAGACACGACCCAGCCGAAGAATCCACGGAGCGATCTGGACGTCCACAAAGGAGAGATTCGGCCCCAGGAAAAACGGTCCCTGTGGATGAGCAGCAGAAACTAGCGTAGTTAGTGCATCCTTCAGCTCTTGCGCGTTCAGGATCTGTTTCTCCCGATTCTGCTCCTGAAGAACACGATAGAAACTAGGCACAACGTGACGGTTAATCTGCGCCAGTTAGTAGGTGCTGGTGGGGGCGATTTGCCATGGGATAAGACCTACAAAGTCTGTCCAGAGTCGACAATGCGCTCGCAGCTGTGCGTCGCCCGGTGGAAGCAGGGGAAGGCCGATGCCCAAGTCCTCAAGCTGTACGAACGTGTTAAGAGTTGTATGGTGGGATTCAAGAAAGGGAGCATACATATTCCATCAATACCGAACTTTCATACGACCCCCAATTGCCATGGCGCAAGGCAGGGACAAGCCCTCTGGGATTCACTTCTAGTAATTCTGGAGGTTTTTGATACGGGTCCACTTCGATGTACTGGTAAGGGATGTTTTTGGCCTCAAGGGCTATCCAAACCCGCTGCACGAAGGGACTAAGGACGGAGTCAGAAATTTGCATGGACTCACAGATGGCAGAGGATGAGTGGGACATACCAGAAACAGCTTCCATATAGCTTCAGGGTACTCTCCTTGGAATGATTTTGAACAGTCACGGCAGCGTGGCCGGTAGCCTGCGTGTGGTATGATTTTTGCGGTTGCTGGTCTTGAACCGACATAGCTTGTGTCTTTTGTATAGATTGGTTAGAATTGAAAATACACCGACAACGGATATTATTCGTAATCATTCATCTGTAGACGGGAAATGGGAATATGATGAGGATGCGGGGAAGAAATCGGACTAGTGCAGTGACGTAGTGGCGGCTTTAGAGGACTTACACTAATCGTTTTCTTCCTTTCTCTCGCCTCCTTTAAGAGATACCGCTGCACACTATTCTTCTTCACACGATCACTCTCCTCCAACGTATGTCTATGGCCACCACCCACGCCATCATTCTTCCCATTCGCACCGTTCCCGTTCACCCGTTGAATCGTAAAAAATCGCTGCCCATTAGCCCCAGGATGCCCCTCCGGCAAGGGCGGATTCGGCGTAAGCACGCCAAAGTGTTGATTCTCACGAGATACAGCCTGTTCCGCGCCGTGATTCTCAAGCACCGGAAACAACGCATGAACGCCGGGCAACGACTCCGAAGCCAGCGACGACGCATCAAACCCATGGGTAAATGTCTCTGGACCTAGCATCGCACCATACCCCGGGAAATATTCTGTGATTTTGATCTTGACGTCGCAGAGGTCTCGTTGCCGAGCTGTTCGTTTGCGCTTCTTCTTGTTCGGGTCGTCGGATTTAGGCGTCCCGGGGGGTCGGCCTTTTAGTCTACAGTCCCAGTAGTGAGAGACGAGGGGTTTGCGCTTGTAATGCTGCGTCGAGCGATGCGAGTAGATGTTATCGACGTGGGGGAAGTAAGTTCGGAATCTAGACGTTATTTCAGTCGAGTAGAAGAATTATTTAGCCATGCTGTTCAGCGACAGACTTGGACAGTTTCATGTGGAAAATGGAAGAAATAAACATACTGCTCTTCACTCAAGATAATGGTTTCATCCACATTGAACAACCGTTCCCTCCAAAGGTCTAGATCCGGTGGGTCTAACACAGAAAGCATATCACGAAGATATCCGTTTTGTTTGGATGTGAAGATCGACACGTCGGAGTCGTTTTCGCACTGGTGTCGCACTTGCGAGGAATCATCACGCGCCTACGCTTTCACAGGTTAGAACACTACCCTCTGCAATCTACAAAATACCAAAAAAAAAAAAAAAAAAAAAAAAAAAAAATAAATAAAAAAAAAGAAAAAAAGACAAAGGAAAAAAAGAAAGAGGGAAAAGAAACGATCGTGACAAATACCAGGGTATATGAATCTCCCGCTCGCGATACCGAAGGCCCATTTCGCTCCAATTTCTGCGAAGAATACGGCTCGAGATTCGCCGCGGTCAACTGCAAGGACGGCAAGGACTGCGCATCCACTACATTGTTGCCCGGCGCGTGTTGTTCCTGGATGGGCGTTGGTTGGTGATCACGCCGCTGTTGTTGCTGGTGTTCCTGTTCTTGAGCGGCAGCTAATGTCGACGCGTCTTCGGCAACGCAGGAAAGTGAATCGGGAGGTAACGGACGAGGGATATCGAGGGCGCGTAAGTGCTCTGGATTGTCCATCTCGGACAGAAGAAAGAGAAAGAAAATAAATAAAAAAGGCGACAGGAGAAATGGAGAATGGAGTATGAGATGGAGACGGGACGCTGCTTTTGGGGCGGTAAAAGGCGGGGAGAGTCTTCGAAGCGGCGAGCGGATACGTATTGGTTTATTTAATTCAGGGATGGACGGTGATGCTATTTATACTCGGAATTACTATGCAAGGGGTTTTTATTTCACTCCTCTGATTCGTAACTAATATTCCTACGACCACATCAGGAAAAAAAAAAAAAAAAAAAAAAAAAAAAAGAGAGAGAGAGTAATTCCGATCAGGTATCATCTGTATTCCAACATCCCAGCCTGATTCACAATAGCAAACAACCCAACTCCAATCTGCACCTCATTCTTGACAACAAACTCCGCAATCATGGTCCTCAATACCCATTTTCATCAACACTGTGTTCATTGTATATGCGCAAACTATGTTTGGCAAACGGACTCCGCGCCCGAATCTCCTCCCCGAATCGCGAAAACACCGGAGGAACGATGCAGAAGAGTGTCGCAATGGCCGCCAGCACGGAGACCGCCACGTTGGCCCCTAATGTCGAGAACATCGGGATCGAGATGAGTGGTAGGACCGCCGATAACATGGCCCGGACCACGCTGAGGGCCGCCAGCCCGCTAGCGGCGTAGCTCAGGTAACTGTCGGTCAGGTAACCGCTCAAAACGTAGTCGATCTCATTCAGGGAGTATCCGATCAGCACCAAGGCCACGACGGACACGATCCAGTGGATATCCTTCACTTGGGGAGGAATGGACCAGGCGAAAAGCCAGAGGGCGCCGGCCAGTGTAGGGGTGCCGATCCAGAACCCAACTAGTTTCTGCTCCGGCAGCAAAAGACGACCCTGTCGACGGTGTCTTGCGATAATCTGGAGATCGAGACAGCGAGTCAAGAACCCAAGACACAGTCCCAACCCGATAGCAAGGAAGGGAAGGCATGCCTGCTTGGTGCTGAAGCCGAACGCCTCGTAGACGGGTGGCAGGACTTCTGTGAAAAGGTACACCAGAGCTACGGAGACAGCGCTCATCACTGCCACGAAGAAGACGATGAGTTCAGTGAAGAAAAGCCGAACCGGTCGGAACAGTGCAAGACGCGCAAAAGTCTGCCTGTCCGGTGCCTGGTCTGGATTTGAGCTCTCAAGTGTCTCGATTTGGGTGACTCGGCGGAGTTTTGCGACCTCCCTTGCTAGTATTAAAGAAGGACGGGACTCACGGATACTCAGAAGCACGAATGTGAGAGCCCCAGTCACCATGGTAGCAATATAGAACACCCACCTCCTGCCAGCTCGTCAACAATGCTTCCTATCCAAGGGATGCGCGGGACAACCAGAGTTCGGACTCAAAACTCACCAACCCAGATCTGCCGTTATGAAGGTGCTCAGGATGGGTCCGACAATCAGTCCCAGGTTCGCTATCACTGCCCAGCAGCAGACTATCCAGACACGGTCGCGGGAGTTGAACATATCTTCAATACTGCCCATGACAACCGTGGTCGGGATGGCCGAAAGGAATCCACTGGCGAGTCGGCCGACGACAACACCGGGTAGCGAGTCGACGGAGGCTATGATAGCACAGGAGACGCTGTACAAGGCGGTGCTGACAACGTAGAGCTTCTTGCGCCCAAACGCTTCCGAGTAAGGGGGGAATATGATGGCGCCGACGCCCTGGCCCAATAGATATCTATAGTTCATCTAGCCATCAGAAATCCTGCCTGTGATTGGGTTTGTTTGTTTATTTATTTATTTAATTTTTTTTTTTTTTTTTTTTTTTTTTTTTTGCATATGTTTGGGCGAAACTCCACAGACATGCGAGGTGTTAGACGGACAGTGATACGAAGAAAAAGATGGACAGTTCTTTCTGGATGCCAAATTCACCGGCAGCTTTATTGGCACAAGTCGACTGCGGCAATCAGCATAATCCTGTACATACGACTCACGTCCAGCTCATGACTCCTCGGGGATAGATGAAGGCATAAGGGCTGGGGGAGGAGGGAAACGTACTCCAGCAGTACTAATCGCCGTCCTACAGGCAAGCTCCCAGGTCAGTACAGCACCCACACTCCGTAAAAGGAGGCGACGTACGTAAAAAGTTCCAAAAACATAACCAGACCACCATCGTAGATTTTCCGACTCAGAGACCAATTCCGAGGGTGTCGTGGGTTCCCCTTCCCCCATTGTATGTGAAGCCCATCGGCCGCCAGCTGTAGTCCATATTCGGTCAAATAGGGGTCCAGAGCGGCCGTGGTCACCTCAATCGGGGATTTATGGAATTCCGACATGACTGGGCTCTCGACGAAAAGATAGCAAGCAAGTTGTGCGAGGGTCTCAAAAGGGAGAGAGGGCAGACGACAAAGAGCAGGAATAACCATGGATTGCAGATCTTCCAGAATATAGCAGCCAGGCCTCGGTTTATAAAATAGATTGGAAATCCCATGAAGGCGAATTCTCGTCAAAATGCAGGGGTTCGAGCTTGCAGGTATCCGACGACGCTCATCGTCACACTCCCCTGGTTGATCGCCGTGCTTGTGGGTGTAACTGAGCGCCTTGTCCAGTGAGCATCTTTTGTAGATTCCTCTATCGAGGTTGTCGTTACTACTGGGCTCTTTGATTCGGTGTAAAGACCCGCATTCCAGATTGCTCTAACGTATTTTATCCCTTGTTCGCACCAGGGAAAGTAAGTATGTGGGAACTAAGAAAAAAAAGAGCAACTTTTGTGTGCCGCGCGTCAAAGCAAAGAATGCTGAAGGAGATGACAACTCCCCCAACGGAAGACCTAACAGTTACATCCGCTGATGACAAAGCGGTTTAGAAAACGTTGGGACTCTCTTATTTCGCGAACCCATCATCCCTCGTGACGGAGGATGAGTGGATAGATATCGCAATTTTTACTCATTGGCAGAAGATTTGGAAGGCTTTGAAAGCAGAAGGATGTCTTGATTCGTCTGTCTGCAAACTATGTATATGTTTCCGTATATCAGTCATCAATCCCATCGCAGCTATATACTTCGTTCTAACTCGTTTCACCACTTCTCAGTCATGGTCATCCGATCAACCCAAGAAAAAGCTTAAGAAGAGTCATTGCCGTTGTAGGCAAGGGCGTTGGGGCTACCCTTGACATCGCTGACCTTACCCTGGGTGGCCAGCTCCTTGACGCGCTTGACGATAGCTTCGGGGCCGGAGAGGTTCTCCAGAACCGACAGGTAGATGGACAGACCCACAATGTGGGGAGTAGCCATGGAGGTGCCGGAGATGGTGTTTGTGGCAGTGTTGGAGCCGATCCAGGCAGACTTAATGTTCTCGCCGGGAGCAAAGATATCGACGGCCGAGCCCCAGTTGGAGAAGGAGGCGCGAGCGTTGCCAACATTGATAGCAGCAACAGTCAAAGCTTTCTCGGCGGAAGCAGGGCTGGTGTTGGAGGCATCTTGCTATATCCCGAAAGTTAGCCCAAACAGAGGTCCACTTTGGACATGTAGGTTAGGAGGAATAGGGCACATACGTTCTCATTACCAGCAGCGACGACGCTGAGAACACCCTGGTTGTAGGCCTCGTTGACAGCATCGTTGAATGCCTGGGAGAATCCTCCACCTGTTGATTACTTGTTAGCCCCCGGAATGCCAACCCTGTAAGGCATAAACTGACCAAGACTCATGTTGATCGCGGACTTGGCGGTGCGCTTCTTCGAGACAATATCATTGGCAGCCCAGTTGAATCCGTCAAGGATTTCAGAGGTGCTGCCCGATTCACCGCGGAAGACCTTCACCGACAGGAGCTTGGCCTTCTTGGAAATACCATAGGTCTTGCCGCCAATAGTACCGGCAACGTGGGTTCCGTGGCCCACGGTGTCCTCGTGCTTGCCACCCACAGCGTTGTAAGCGAGGCTGGCACGTCCCTCGAATTCCACGTGGTCGACGTTGATACCAGTGTCCACCACGTAACCAAAGCCGCCTTCACCGGCGCTAGTGTCGTAGATGTAATCGGTGCTCTGTTCGCCCTTGTGGGAGATGCTGCCCAAACCCCATTCGGCCCCTTTCTGAGTGGTCAATTCACTGATGTGCCAAATCTGGTCTTGCTCAACGTGAGCAACCTAGATACAGTCAGCACAATTTTACTTCTCCGCTTGACGTCCCTGAGCTAGAACATACATCAGCGCTGTTGCGGATTTCATCAATGGTAGCATCGTCGAAAGCACCGAAGTAGGCAGCCCAGTTGTTGATTTTGTACTTCTTCTGGATACCAGTGGAAGGGTCGGAGTCACCCCGGCGGCCCAGGTTGCGCCTGTGGAGGTTGGTGGCCCACGTGGTATGCTCTTCGATCTTCGCGGCGTCGATACCTGACTTGAAGGTGACGATGTACTTTCCGGGAATCGTTTCAGGAGCCCGGGCATTCTCGATAGGTGCGCCAAAGACGGCGGGGAGGACAGCTCCGAGGAGCAGCAAAGTGCGCTTGAAGGAATGCATTGTCGGGTACTCAAGAGCGAGAGCTATTCAAGTCTGAGGATCCGAGAACCAGAGGCAGTGAGTGATGATGAGCAGGAAGATGCGAGGGATTCAGCACGTATTTATAGCTTCCAGGAACATTATGCGCCCCCTGTACAGTCGAGCTTAGTTTCGTCAATATCTCCACTCATGCGCCATGGGAGGACAAGGATGCGGGCGTCCCGAAGAGCATGGTTGGAACTCTCAAGGTGACATCGCATCTTCAGACGACTCTGTTGTACTCCATCGGAGCTGGCTCTGTCAGTGGAGAACAGTGTGCAGATGAGGAGGGCGATGTGGATGCTGGAATTGCAAGAACAACGACGATCATCACGGAAATTGAACCTTTCTCGAGCCTGGGCTGACGATTCGGCACAGCCAATCCAAGCTAGGGCCCTGGGCGAAGATAGCACGGGATGGGCTGCTCGGCTGTAAACCGGCGATCGACATCTTCATATGGAAGGTGGTATAGTTTCCATCCTTTAGGCAACTTTCTTTGTCTGCGACGAATGACATTTTGTCCCTGTTGATGCTAATATGTCGTGGGAAAAATGACCCCCAAGAGGCGTGGAGTCCCAGCGCTTTGTTCCTTTGTCGTCAGTGTGACCATGTTTAGATACTTGGCATTCTCACGCGATATGCGCTGCTGCCCACGATCCAGTTTTCTCGGTGATAGGCCGCACAGACTGATTGGATAGGTGAGAGGTGGTCTGCCGGGATCTTCTAGAATGAGGTACGACATATGAGCAGCAGGCAGGAAATCTGTTCGCACCCAGGGTCGCACGCCAGAGTACAGAGCTGGCTTCGCCTATACGCTCCCTCTGTCAGTGTTGACCATCCACAGCTGTCTGATTAAGCAAGGCTGCGGAGTCCGGATCTTACACGGGCCAAGATGGTAGTCGCTCGTGATAAGCATTAGCCACCCCCCTCTTCCGAGGATTAAGTTAAGCAAGTTTGGTCCTACATTGGCTTGACGCGAGCCCGCATGTGCCTGATGCTTTGGAGGGGAAGAAAGGGGGGGTCTTCTGATGCCACCGGGGCACGAGGATATCAGATGCCCCTCCTGGCAAATAATCGAAAATAAAATAAAAATAAAGAGCAATTAAAATTAAACAGGAGAGATATTAAATAAAAATAAATTAATAAATATCATAATAATAATAATAAAATAATAAATAAATAAATAAATAATAAACACACCTTATCGTGTGGCCGGATCATAGTAACCATCACATTTTGCGTGTTGGTTACGCAAAGTCTTCGGAGATAACGATACCCCGACACAGTCAGTAAGCCTCCAATTAAACAGTTTAGGATGTATCCCAGCAGTTAGTGCACCGTTGAAGCCTTGGTAGATACATTTTCATAAAGCCTGCGAGTCCACCGCCGGGAGTCCGGGGAGTCTAGGACCTTGGACCTTGGCATCAACAAACGAAAGGTCGGTGCCCCTAGAGGGATACTAGAGAAAGATGGAGCGGGAGCTGGTGGTACTGGTCCTGGGAGATCCCCTAGGCGCGGAAAGTTAATATGGCATCGCAAATGGTCATTCGTGATGCCGTTCAGATACATTCCTTGCAGATGGGAACTGGTGCGTCGGCAGTCCTAACCCTGTTTAGTTGCTGTGCGCATGAATCAACAGCAAAGACCACCCTTGGCACGAATGGCGATATCTGAGAAGGGGACGATGACTAACTGACTAGTAACTAGGCTGCAGGGGGGATTGAATTTGGACCATTCATTGAGCCAAGGCAGGACAGGGTAGAAACTTAGGTTGTCGAGAGATAGAAAATTGAATGGATAGGTCAAACGGAAGGAGGAGGATCGGGTATTTCCGTCTTAGGGAGATCGATAGTGAATAGACAACAAATGAGAGGGTTAGACTAGTGCCACGATAGCTCGCTCAAGTTGGACGATTTGCTGGAAAAGTCACCCATCGCGAAACTTCCAACGCGCTGAGCTCGGGGATCCGGGTCTTGGCTGCTGATTGGCAGGGATGGAGATGACAGGCGCAGGGAAGTTGCAGTCACGCGGTCTTGGCAAACGTCTACCATCGGGAGTCCGTTGGTATTAACTGAGCTGCAATTAATCTGCCGGACGGCGAATGGGCTGATGGCTTGTCAGGGGTTCAGACGATCTTGGCCTGAGTCATGTACCCCACTAATGTCATCATTAGCTGAGGTGAGGCCATTGTTGACCATTCCTCAGCATCTCCCCTCTCTTCTCTCATAGTAAACAGAGAAAGCCTGAGGCCAAGAGTTCCGATTGATCCTGAAGATCTCTTGCCGAATATGGGACAATTGCCAAGTCTGAGTGGAGATAGATCGAAGGGACTCCGACGGGCTGGGCATCTAGATGACAGGATAGCAGAAGTCTTGGTAGTATGCCATGTTCCTGCCATGGTTTATGCGAGATCTGAGCGTTCACTGCATGCCCGATTGTTTTATCTGGGGTACAACGTCTAGTTGAAACGGCAACAACGAGATTTATCTATGTACATTCTGTGAGGCTGGATCAGAGTAAGTAAGCAATAGGGAAATTGGACAAAAAAGGAAATATAAAAATCAAGAAAAATTAAAAAAAAAAAAAAAAAAAAAAAAAAAAAAAGCAAATCCAGGGATAAGATCCAGTAGAGCTTCGGATGCTCCAGCTTGGCGCGGTGACGCAAAAACAGCGCATTGACAAATCAGGGATCCAACAGAAGCACATGCTGCTAGAAAGAGCAAACTTAGAGAAAATCGCGCTTTGGGGGGCCGAATGGGAGAATTGCTGATCAACCAACCGAGAACCGAACAGGTCTTCAGCACGCAGGAACGTCTAAACTGACGTGCTGCACCTATCTCGTCCACACTGTTGTGTCAAGCCCTTTGGTCATTAATTGTCTGTCTCACTACCTTGTCGGCGCTAAGTTATCGGACCCCTTCATGTCTCAAGACTGCATGGTTGCAGATGGCACAGTAACCTTTCGTTTCCTTCATCATGCCCTAAGAGATTTCACTAAGTTTCATCCTCATGGACTATGGGGTATAACTTTATCGATTTCCTTGACGTAATGCCGAAAACATTGAATAATATTACGTGGGATGTGACCGTTACAACTCTGGAGGTACACCGAAATAACTAAGGCCGGCTGGTATGGGATAAGATAATATCATGCAATGGGGCAGAAAAGCCGGCAGACAGGGGCACGTCCTGCAGCCAAGAACGACGTGTCTAATAAACCCTCGTCCATAGCGCCATTGGCCTATGGGAAAAAAGAAAATAGCAACAGAAATACATATTGAAGACGCCTATCGGTCGCCGCCACTCAGCCAAAACTCCCAAGGTACTTGCTCCTCCCGAGGATATCCAAATTACATTGGCTTAATTTGGTGGAGCTTAATGCAACATATTCAAGCACGTTGTGTGGGATGATAGTGTATACACACCTTACACTCTCAGGAACTCTTCTTGCCAGAATGTTTCTTGGGCGCCTCTTGGTTCCTGAACGGAAATCCGGCGGTTCTCTTGTCTGCCCCCGTCTTCCGGCTAATTTTCCCATTGCTACTTGCAAATAGGATGCACCATAGGCCCACGGCCGCTAGCACAGAGTATCCCACCATTCCAATCCCAAAGGCAATCTGGTCCGAGGCTAGCCATCGCGAATACGCATAGAATGCTGAGACACTGTGGGATACTGTTGTCACCATCAACGTGGGTACAGCATATGGAGCCTTCGGATCTGAATCTTCCGCCGTCACTGGCTCCACGACTACGCTGGAGGTTAATGGTATGGAGCCCGTCAGCATCACGGTTAAGATAGCGATAGTGAGAAGGGCAAAGCCAAGACACCGTGCAAAGTAAACCTCAATTGCTACCCACAGTTAGCTTCTTTTTTCCTTTCAACCCTTTCAACTATCAAGCAGAGATCGCATCGATCCCACTCGCACTAGGAGAATGATTCGTCCTTACAGGAAGGCGGCCTGGTTTCCTCTAGCAACATGGTAGTTAACATTTGTGGAACCGCAACTAAGGCTATGCTCTGTAGCGAAAGCCATCCGGCTGTCGAGTAGGTGTAGAAATAGAATACCTGCGAAGAAATAGAGGTTAGGCAAATCCTACATTGGATTTTCCCATGCAAGTTTGCCAACATACATTCATGATGAGTTAGGTGCAGAGATGCATATCTAGCTTAGGTTCCAGCAGTACTCCGTACTTCAAAATATTACTCAAGGTGGTGAGTACTCGATGCGTTAACGTGGTGAAGCTTTGGATAGCTCATTGTTGCTTGTTCGCAAACAGAAAAACAACCAGAGGTAGCATTACGTCATCCAAGTTGTAGAAATTGGCAATGATCAAAATTACCAGATTGGGCCTTAGCACGAAAAAGTACCTAGAACTATATATCTGGTCAACGCTTCGCAATAATGGATAAATTTCAAAGTACGAATATTATAGTTGCCGCAGCAGTACTATGAACCACTATATTATCTACATAGTAAGTAAGAGGACCATAGGCCTGGGGATCGGACTGCAGGAGGGAATTACCACTCTCTTGTAAGAGTGAATCAACCAGCCTCGCACCTTGCTTTTCCTACTTCTCCCTCTCTACTTTGATTATCCCTTCATTTCTGTACCTCATCCGCTTCCATTCCGTCGCCAGCCTCGTTTTTATCTTCTTTTAGCCTGAACCCTCATTTGCCTTAACGTATATCTTTCATGTTTACGCCAACATAAAACGCCATGGCATTGATTGTGAATCCGCTTGTTGCTCCGGTCGTACTGGCCAAAATTAATTATGCGTCAGGATCCTTTCCAACCGGTCGAGAAGATCTGCCAGAATGTCAGAAGAATCAGGTACCCTTTTTAGTGCAGTATAATTATGGTTACACTAGTTTGTTTCTGCGTACCGTCAGCACTCTATTTATATACAATCACTGCATCACAATGTAAGCATTCATAGTTATTGTTCTGAAATAGATACATGATTGGTACATTGTCTTTTCTGAACAGTGTGTAGAGATATCTGCAGTCGATATTTCCTTTGAGATGCTATAGCTGTAGTAATTTGAGGATGGTCCATGTCCGGATTCAGTCATGTCTCCTTGCTCTTAGGGACAAAAAGGGCTATGTATTAAAGAGAAGTAAGCTAGGGACGGTTGGAAGGCAAATAATTATTCCTTTAATTCTAACCCATTCATTCAAGTTTAGTTCAATAGCGGCAGAAAAAATCCAGGAAAAAAACGCCGTCAAGGAACACCTAATGAATAAAGCCCATGCAAGTACTTTTCAGTTGGGATATTATCGATTGAGCTCAGTTGCCTTCAGGTACCGGGCGAAACTCAGATCTTGGTCAGATTGTGCAGTTCGTGAATCCGCAAGCGCGTCTTTGTACCGTTGAGAGAGCCCATCATTGTCGGCCGTAGGAGGCATATTAGCCTCATCATCGTCGCTGTCGTCTTCACCAGATTCTTCATAGCCACCTCCCCTCCTGGCAACAGCAGCAGCTTCCTCTTCCTCAGCGTCGCTGACAGTCTCGGCCTCATTCTCTCGGCGCTGGCTGGTACCGGAACCGGAACCGGAAACGCTCATGTCCTTCATTAGCTTTCCCAACTCTATTTCACGCTGAGCCGACTTGGTTTCCTCGCGCTCCTGCCTCTTGCGATCTAACTCAGGTTTGTAGTCGCGCTCAAATTCTTGACGCTTTTTCTCGACCGCCTTGAAGAACTCGTCAATGCCGTCACCGGTCATGGAGCTCACTCCCACGACACTCAAGTGTCGGTAAAACTCCTCTAGCATTAAGCTCATGCTGTTCAGAAGAGAGCCCATATATCCACTTCCGGATCCGAACCCACCAGCGCTGCCCTCCGTGCCGAATGCGCCCGTATCCTCTTCCTGCCGTAGCGCCTGCTGGAAGGCATCAAAGTCCGTCATCCACTCCTTCGCAAACTCAGCATCCTGAACATCCGTCTTGTTAAAAACCAGGATCATGGGCAGTTTTGTCTTGTATAGAATACTGCAGGCATAAAGCATGTTACTCATAAAGGTGCTCGTCGAACTGGTGCGAGGGGTATCGATAACGTATGCGATCACAGTGGGAAAAGAGGACGCCAGTGTTTCGAGCAATATACTGCCCGATGCACTCCACACAAAGACTTCGATCTGTCCCGGGGTATCGACCAAGATGTGCTCGATAGGCTTCGAGGAGGGATTGCTGGGGTTCGATGCGGTGCGTCTTTCCAGCAGGGAGATGATCTGATCGACCTTGGTAGCGAATAGATTCAGGGAGGTCAGAATGCCACCGTTGGGGCCCAGATTATACTGCTTCATGACTTCCTTGTAATTGATCGAATCCCGGATGTCAATGTTACTCTCGAACGGGACCGAATGGACAGCGGGGTCTAGATTCAGCACGTAGGGGACTGTTTTCTGGGAGTGGAGATGCGAGTTGATTCTTTGCATAAATGTCGTCTTCCCGGAGCCTGGATCAAGAAAGATAGTCCCGGTTAGCATAGCCGTGGGAGCAGCGTTGAAGAGCTCATATTCATACCAGCCATGCCGACACAGACGACGGCCACGGGAGGAGTCGCCATGGTGAGTGAAATACTATCGGAAAATCACTTGAATATAATAGCCGGGATTTCTTAAAGTTGTTGGAGTGACAGATTTATGTTGTTATCAAAAGCACGGTACAGGCGCCAGTGAGGATGTAATAGGACTGGACATCGCAGGGTTGAAAAGAAATTCTTGTCGCGGGGATCCGTCTGGGTGGAGTCCAGACTGCCAGACGTCATTCCCGCTAGTCAAGTTGGATTCTGCCGGCAACGAATGATTCTTGCTTCACTGCACCACGCAACACCCCAACAGATTAACCCCCTTGGATACCGGAGAGATGACTCTGGACGATTTTGAAAAGTCATTGGCGGAGGATCAGGAGAAGCGCCGCGCGAAGAGCGACCGAGAGAAACATCACCGGCATCGGGATCGCAGCAGAGATCGCTCAAGACATCACCACCGTCACCACCATCACCGCCGTCACTCATCACGATCCAGAGAACGCGAGTCCAATAGATACAGGGATTCTCGACATAGTGATGAGAATGGACACCGGCATAAACGGTCGCGCCATTCAACGGACCACGGAGACGACCGAGACCATTCTCATAAACGTCGGCACCGACATGATGACAAAGAGGACGAGGCAGAATCATCGAAGGAAGCGACTCAAGAAGAACCGACTCGATTAAAAAGAGACGCATGGATGGAAGCACCCTCTGCCCTTGATGTGGATTACGTACAGCGACGTGATACCACGCGCCTAGAGGAACCTAAGTCGAAAATGCTTCAGGCGGACTTCGAGCTCAAAATCCACGATCGGGAACTGAATAGCCATCTACGCGATTTGAAAGATGGGAGGGTGTTAGAGGAGATACAGGAAGAGCCGGCACAGCACGAAGTCGATTATACTTTTGGTGACGCGGGCTCTAAGTGGAGAATGACGAAGCTGAAGGCCGCCTACAGGGAAGCTGAAGAGAGTGGAAGGTCCTTGGAAGACGTTGCTATCGATCGGTTTGGAGATCTACGTTCGTTTGATGACGCACGCGAGGAAGAGGCGGAGCTAGATCGTCGCGAGACATATGGTGACGGCTATGTTGGTAAAGAGAAACCCACAGGAGAACTCTTTCAGGAGAGAAAACTCGAGGAAAATGTCCATCGAGACCCTCATGAGCACGTCCGGAGCCCTACAAGGGAACTTGAAGCTCGTGGGCAAGGCAAACCAATGGATACCGAGCCTCCTTCGAATACTACCCAGCATCTAGACCTAACGGCTCTCAATCGACTTAAGGCGCAGATGATGAAGGCGAAACTTAAGGGTTCAGCGGATGCTGCTGAGCTTGAAGAGCGCTATAATGCTGCGGCAGCAGAGACGGCGAACAGGAAGGAATCCGACGTCGTGGTACTAGGCGTGAAAGACAATCGAATGCTGGCAGGGGCAAGGAATGAAGTGAAACCGGTAGAAACTAAACGGGGTCGAGAGCGAGGCAAAGTCGAAGAGAATGAAGACATGAGTATCGAGGACATGCTTCGCGAGGAGCGGAGGACGCGGGGCCAATTTGGGGGAGATGGCCGAAGGCTCGCCGAGAGAATTGCAAAGGATGGCAAGTTCGAGGTGAGTCATGAGACAATAATTCGCAAGGGAAATGCTTCTAACGCGATCGTGCTAGAATGATCTAGAGTACATGGACGATAATGCCTCCAAGTTGGCCAAGCGGGTGCATCGGTCTGAAATTGATATCAAGAATATTGCTATTCACGAATTCCAGAAGATGAACCGGATTCTCGATAACTGCCCCCTCTGTCACCATGAGGACACAAATTCTCCCCCAATTGCCCCCGTGGTGTCTCTAGCAACCCGAGTTTATCTGACTCTGCCTACCGAACCCGAGCTCAACGACGGCTGCGCCACCATCGTCCCCATCCAACACCGAAACAATCTTCTCGAATGTGACGATGACGAATGGGAGGAGATCCGAAACTTTATGAAGAGCCTGACTCGCATGTACCACGAACAGGGGCGCGACGTCATCTTCTACGAGAACGCAGCTCAGCCTCTCCGAAAGAGGCATGCGGCGATGGAAGTTGTCCCGCTGCCGTACAGCCTTGGAGAGACCTCGCCTGCATTCTTCAAGGAGGCCATCCTCTCTTCGGACTCCGAATGGACTCAACATCGGAAACTAATCGACACCGCCGCTAAGGCCAAGCAGGGGCTGGGTCGATCGGCATTCCGGCGTACTCTGGCCAAGGAGATGCCGTATTTCCACGTTTGGTTCGAGCTGGATGGGGGTCTGGGCCACGTGGTCGAGGACGAGAATCGGTGGCCCAAAGGCGACCTCTTCGCTCGAGAGGTGATTGGGGGGATGCTGGACCTGGGACCAGATGTGATTAAGCGGCAGGGACGCTGGCATCGGGGTGGTGACCGACGAGTTGATGGGTTTAAGAAACGGTGGAGGAAGTTCGACTGGACAAGGATTCTCGTCGAGGGGTGAGATGGATTTTCCATTGACTTTGGATGTTTTGTATTTGAATTGATTTAGCAATATCTGAAAAGAGGTCATATACTGTACAACTATGAATGATGGAAACCTGTCACAGATGACAGTTAATGTAGAATCTCGAGCAATGATTCTTCCACTGAAAGAAAGGACCTAGAACCAATCCACCCACATCCAATGTCTTCTGTGGTCTTCCTCAACGTTCACTTAAGATGGAATAAGCTATTTGGGATCTTCTTGACTCTGACTTCACGAGCAGTTTGATAATGTTGCAGTATTTGTAATATCGGCGGGGAAGACAGTTAGTGCTCTTGGTGTTGCTCCAAGATTCTGTCAGAAACACCGAACAATGGTTTGAGTAGCTTCTCATATGTGTGATGTTCTCTTGTCGGTTGTACTCTATTATTGTCTACTTTTTCGAGAATATAGACCATTCTTCATAAAATAGGACCTCTCGAGATTTCCAGCTTAAATCTAATCACTTTGACATTGATTGGACCGACCCATATACACACGACCTCCTCGTATTCCCCCGCTCTGTTTATTAAGCATCTCTGACCTGGTTATAAAAGGACTGCAACTTCTATCTAAGTTGACAATAAATCCATATCAGCCGCATAAAAATAAATAAAATCAAAATGACAACTAAAACTGAGCATATTTCCGAAATAACCGGTGGTTGCTTATGTGGAAGCATCCAATACACTGTCCACTTCAATGATCATCAATGGCCACCGAAGGTGCATTTCTCTATTATATACTCTTTACTAGACTTCCTTGATCTATACTGATAATATTAACAGTCAGCCTCCTGCCAATGCACGATGTGCAGAAAATGGACTTCAGGTCTCTTCCCTCAATTCCTATCTCTGTCCCCGAAACAAATAACGCCGAGGTTCTCCTCATTCTCCACATACAAGGAGTATCGCTCGTCAGAGACCTGCCTGCGCGGATTCTGCTTGCAGTGTGGCAGTTCGTTATTGTGGAGGACGGAGAAGAATGCAGACGAAGTTGATCTGTTCCTGGGAACGATTGATGAGAAATGGTTAGTTGGTGAGAAGGGGGATGGAGACGTTGGAAAGGGTACTGGATATGCTGTAGGAAAGACATTGGCAACTCCTATGCATTTACAGCTTTACTATGAAAATGCCATCGAGGGGGTGACGGATCTGGTTCAGGGTGGGAAGAGGTATCCGAGGCATTCATCTCACGGGGGTGCGTTTTAATGTATATACAGTAGTAGGTGGTATGGTCTGTCTATTCCTGCTTGGTACTTAAAATGTTGATCTATGATGATGTACCAATGGTTAATTTTTCCCTCTTTCTCTTCGTGCTTAAGTTTAGAGTGGTGTATGACCTGATAGTGCTGTTCGTGGTATATGGAGTTATAGATACTCTAAGATTTAGGCAATCCAGTCTCAGAGGCATCATATCTGTTAATAACTAAATAAAAAAGAAAGAAAAAGGACCCTTAGTCCTTTGTCCAGAATATAAACTTGTATAGTAAAATATATATATATATATATATATATATATATAAATGTCCTAGGGAGCTCTTAACCTTATAATTAACAGTTGTCCGCGCTAACCTGATGTCTATGTGATGGTTTGGTTGTCTCTGCGCTAGTGGAGATAAAGCCACTTGACCATATAAAAAGGTGCAAGACGACTGATCTTCGACCAGTCGCATCTAGCGCCCTATATAGGAGCGAAGGCCATGCCTGAGCAATACATTGGGTTCAACACTTGACAGTCTAATTAGTAACTGAGTAGTGTGATTTGCTTAACTAGAGGAACTTACCAATTGCGCTATTGAGACTTGATATTTGCATTAGGCGGTCATGAAGCTATTTCTAGGATTTTGTCTATGAGATCATATATGAATCCGTTGGGTATACTCTTGCAGAAGTGTACACTTGATTTTTCTGACACACCACAGTATTAATAATTTATTATAATTACGTATGATATATTGGAGAATTATTTATCTACCTTTTTAAATCAAAATAAGTAGCTCTCGATAGCCCTATCCTAACCTATATCCTTAGGAAAGAGACATCACGATTCCACCCAAACAACCAGCTAGTAGCATTTTCCAGGTCAAAGTCAATCACCGGATTGAAGTCCATGAATTGCTCACCGGGAATCGCGGCACGGTATCGTAATATGCCCACGTGTCAGACACACACTTTTTCGCAGCCTCGAAAATAGACATTCTTGGATGCAGCCCCCTTTTATCGTCTCAATCTGTGCAAGCGCCATGATAATGGAAATATGACTCCTGACATTCGTTTTCCTGAACTCTAGTGGCTTCAATGTCAATTGCGGTAGTCTCCGTGCTACTGTGAGAAGGGTATCTCTACTGGCTTTATGGAGATGGAGAAGGCCTGGCTCCGTCAGGCCATTTCTCACTGTATAATCGCCTCGATGCATAGAATAGCAGCTGCCTAGATAGCGGTATGTCGGAATAGACCGACCTCGCTATGAGCTGTAATAGATAAAAGTCTGCATCGGGTTTAGGGGAGAGCATCGTTGCGGCATTGTCGACACAGACTTCCTGGAACAGTAGTCTCGGGGATGATTTCATAGCAAATAGCCGATATAGAGCTAAGAAGAAGCGCCGCACCAGATAGGCGCCAGGCTTCTTCCAGTGCAGATGGGCCTGATCATCAAACTGAGGGTGGATGTGATCTGGATAATTGTTGCCGTCTAACGGAGAACTTCGTCATATGAAGGGTCAGCGAATGAATTATTAAGTATGCGTACCTTCTCTGTCTTTGTCTCCAGAGACTGCCGTAAAACCAGCTGCATTGGGGTTTTGGCCCAAACTAAGAGACGTTTGGCATTGGGAGGGATGACAGTTGCCTCGTCGAAATCATCGTCGATTTTCAAGGGTGATTCTGTATCGAAGTCACCGAAGGACACCATCAGCACCACCCCGATGTCTATCATTGACTGGATCTATAGCTCAAGGAAAGTGGTCCATGGCTTTGTCGCAAATCCGCGTGGAAGAATGGCATTTGCGGAAAGTTTCGTTCGTCTGTGCAGGCCTAAATAGATGGCGGTGCGCACGAGAGTCCCATTGGCAAGCCAGAATTCAATCTCGCCCAGGGGGCTCTCGGAGGCATAACATCAGAGATGATCATGGCGCCAGACCGCGGTGAATCACTACTTGCAAAAGAAACGTGCAGCAGCGATGAGGACCACCATGGCCAGATCCTCGATTGGGGGCTTCATCTTCCCGATTGCTCGAAACAAAACCGCCAATACTGAATCCCTGGGATTCAGCTAAACATAGCGTATCTGCAGCTTATTCATGCTTGTGATGCTTGTCCCATCGACACTTTTCCTGCGACCCAGGTTGTCTCCTCGCAAGAAAAATCTACGTCCAAGGAGCCTGGTTTCCTGGAGGTTATCTTTTCGGCTTTATTTTGATCATGGTTCCTAGCTAACTATCTCGTTGCGATCCTGAACGGGGCATAGTTTTTTGGACGTGTCATCCTCGGCATTCTGGCCGACAAATGGATTGGTTGTCTGAACATGCTGGCCTTTTCTGCGTTGCCTACGGGGGTGATCTGTTTCTGTGGGATCCGTGCGATAAGCTCAGCGGGTATCGTGGTATTTTCAGCCTTCTATGGCTTCACGCAGGAAAGGGTGGTATCTACGCTCTCGGCGTGTTTTACAATAGTGCTCAAGGATCCAAGAAACATTGGCACCTATATCGATTTGGGAATGGTCTGTGTTTTATTTGAGGCGTTGATTGGTACGCCTATCAGTGGAATGTTGGCGAGGCAGCATGGCTTTGACGCAGTCTCGGAGTTCAGCGGCGTGCCCGGGGGGTTCACAAAGCTGGTTGTGAAAAAGTTGGCTAGCGTTGAATGGCTAGAAAAGATTTAATCTCCATCGTGAGTTGCTATAGGAGGTGCTCCGCTTCTCTCTCCCTCTCTACCTCTCCCTCTAATAAAATCTCCTGGGCGTGCATTTCTACTGAAATATCATTGATTAAGTCATCTTAATACTTGAAGCATAGACTAAGAGTGCTAAGTGATGAGATAGATGTATGAACATGGAACAGCGGCAATCCTATTGACATGGTATTTGGTACCAGGTCTCGGCGATGGCCCGCTTCTCTGCCGACATGACGATTACCGTCGTCTCCAGACGGATGCACAAGGCCTGGAGACACGCAGGAGGCATTGACGGGTCCAGAAGGACAAACGCGCCTCCGGCCTTGAGAACTGCTTGAGCGGACACCGGCATCCAGCTGCATTTCTCTGAGCAGATGGGCACAAAAGTACGAGGGCCGACACCGTGACGGATCAGCTCCGAGGGGAGAAGCAAGGATAGAGTCAGAACTTTCTTTATGACTCTTCTCAGCTTGACAGCATTAGATTTCCGAATACTAGATACATTCCCTGTGTGAAAGCTAACGTCAGATGGTTTTATTATTAGGCACTCGGCGGCATCTATTTTCCTCGAGGAGATAAGGCTCAGCTCTCACAGTAACGATATTACCTCTCAATCTAGTACTGTATCGTAAGGTCGACAGCTGTCTATTAAGCCGGGCAGGCCTATGTTGCTGGGTCACCTTTGGAACGCAGAGGTGCATAGGTTATCTATGCATTGACCTAGCCTACAAAAGGGACATGTCAATTCCCTATCTACTCTTGTCTAAGCTACTCCCTCTGTCAGCATGCTAGGACGTTAAGTCTCGATACAGAGATGTAACATATATATGCTGTAAGTGAGATGGCGGAAGCAAAAAGCTAATCCAAATCCAGCCGGACGTAACTGATGGGAGAAAATTCGGGAGAAATTCCTATCTACTAGGCACGGGATTTGACAATGTCGAAGAGTATCTACACGGCCATCCAGTTATCGAAAGCCAAACCCTTGGAGTATGCTACATATCTCTAGTCTGAAACCTCAATCCACACAGAATCCCTCTTAGAATGGCGTGGCATATATTCTAAGAGTGGCTCGACCCGGAATTTGATAGCCTCAATTTGGTAGCTTCAAATGCAGTAAGACCACAGCAAGCAATAAAAATCATGTATTTGAATCTATATCTTTAAATAATAACTAGGGGCTTGATTAAGTTGCCAGCATGTGGTCTGGGACAGTTAATACTTATTAGCGTAGCAAACATGTTGGGGCAACAGAGAGCGAGTGGTAAGACGACTACTAGGCCTGGTGTAAAGGGTTGGAGCCCGTTTGGCTGCCTATTGGATCTCCTGTCCCTTTTTCTGTTTCTTTCATTCTTCAACGATTCCTTTGTGCATAGCCTATCCAATAGGTTCTACGGGTTTCAGCCCTTGGCACCTGGCCCTGTTCGCCAAGAGAAACGGACCACGGAATTAAGCTCAGCAGAGTGGGGTTCTCCCACTGCGGGATGTGGTGTGGGTACCGGCCCTGCAGATATTAGTCTATGTGATCGGCTTAAACTGACCTGTGTATATCCTTGCCATATGCAAAGCTTTGCATTACAATATTTATCATAAAGGCGGCATCTAGATCGAATGTAGTAATTAACAATTAGTAGGAGATCTTGATTTCTTATGCAGGCGTCCATAGGGTATCTTTCACATATAAAATGTGGGGACCTGTGAAATCAACGCCTCTCAGCTGCCGATTACCATTTTATCACGTGATTAAGGCCACTATTCTGCACCTGCCATGCTTTCTCATGTTGTGTGTTTATTTTCTCTTGGAGGAGCAAGGAACAAATACTTTCCGCACACAAAGTGCACTCGCCGCTAAAATAAACAAAAGGCATCACTCTGTAAAGCTGCTGTCCACATACTGAGCCCAGAAGTCCAGGAAGAAGGCTCAAGTCTTAATTATGGTGGCCGTTCAAACTACTTCCAAGTTTCAGCTATCTATCTACATTAATTGTAGAATATGTTGAAGCCTCTAGGGGAAGAAGATATGTTGTGAGGTGCTAGGATTGCGGTGACTGGATAGTATATTGCGCTATCGTGCGATCTAGTATCGCATGGTGAGTTATGTCTTCTTGGATAAGAAGCTTTTCGCCTCTCTTTACCTACGTGTCCGTAGCCCCTGAATATAATATATCAGATTGCGGCGGGACTAGGATATGCGAAGGTGTCTTAGACATCCTGATTTCCAACAGAAAGTACTGAAAACTTTCATTCACATGACAGAGTACGGTCGACTATTGCAGTCTTTCCATTATCAAAAACAGTTACGTTATATGGGCTCCATAATAAAACTTCTTACTGCTTTTGGTGGTAGGATAGTGAATATATTGTCAATTGAAAGCTGTGAAATGTATGAGTGATCCATATGTTTAGTTGCATTGAGAAGGCACTGTACAATCTAACTTTAGGCCACAATCTTTTCTGCGAAGGAGCCGACATCTATATATTCTAAAACATAGCCCTTCAAAAGAGTAAGGAAGACAACTGGAATCAGCTGAAAACTTGCTTACGTACCCCTTTCAATAGTTACGGTGCATAGACGTACTATCACCTGTATTAGGAATTATGGAAAGCATTAAACAGCAGTCAATACGAAAGACTTATATTGCATACTTCAAAATAACTTGAGGCATATAAATCTGTCGCAGACTTAGGTTTATCATCCTCTAATTAACTCCAGGGGGGCAATTTAGTGCGATTATCGTCTTGTTATAGACTTTACCCTAGTTAAACCAAATATTGTATCCCACCTAATTTAGTTATCCTGCCTCTAGATATCCGGACCATTTAGACTACTGTCCTTGAACTGGACTCTAATATTTTTTACCTAATAAGATATTAATAACAAAAAGAGATACATTATCCTTCACAAGCCAGAGTTCCCTATTATAAAATATACCTAAATAACATATCAGACAAGAAAACCCGGGTAAATGGAAAAGATCCGATCAGAGAACGCTGCACTTTTTCGGCAGACCACAGGGGCCACTTTCCTTTGTATTAGCATCTTGTCTGGACCGCTGCTTATTCTCCTGGTTCTGCTCGGGCTTGGGCGTTGTTGCCGTTTTGCCTTCCCTCTCCTGCGTTGCGGCCGTAGGAGTCGACTCGGGCTTGGATCCCTCGCCACCGGTGGGGAAGGAGACCTTGGATATGTGGCTGTAGAACGCCTTACCCTGTTCTTCGGCGATCTGTAACTCGAGAGCAGTAGGCATACGGGAGCCATCGGCAGCCTGTGAAGAGAAACGACCATTAGCCCACGGTTCCAGCGGCAGGCGCACGAAACTTACCGCGAAGGTGCCCGCACCCCAGGCGCTACCACCGTGGACCTCTTCCAAGTTGGACAGGAGGGAGAAGACAGGCTTGTAGCCCAGGGGGACGTAAATGAAGCCGTGATGGGTGAGGGTGCTCATAGAGGCGAGGGCAGTGGACTCCTGGCCGCCACCCAACGTGGCAGTGGAGACAAACAGGCCGGCGTACTTACCCCAGTAGCCACCACTGGCCCAGATGCCGCCGGTACGGTCCCAGAAGGTCTTCCATTGAGCAGGGAAGTTACCATAACGAGTCGGGATACCGAAAAGCACGGCATCGTACTCCAGTAGTGTCTCATGAGTGGCGGTAGGATAATTGGCCTTGGGAGGAGCGGACATTTTAGCCAAGACTTCGTCGGACAAAGTTTCGGCAATCCTAAGCACTAATGTGAGCCACTGCGTCGCAATGTGACCCAGTAGAGAGCAACTTACTGGTAGACATCGGCCGTACCACCAGCAGCTTCGATGCCCTTCTTCTCCGCCTCGGCCAACTTCAATATGTGGCCATACATCGAATACTAGTCCATGGCCAATTTTTTAATTGAATGCAACGAAGACGGGAGAATAGAATCTCTTACGTAGACAATAGCAATCTTCGGCGCCATGGTGATGGTGTTGGCAGGGAAAACTATCTTAGAAGTATAGGAGGGAGGTAGAATGAGTGAATTGATAGATGAGGAGGTCCAAGGAACGCGCAGCTTTATATCCCGAGACTTCAATGTTACTGCCAGTTGCTACCTCCCTCAAGTACCGGGGTACCTCATTTGCATCAAATGCTCCTCCAATCCACAGTGTATGTAATCGATTACAGCTATGGTCCGTCATTGGTGGAGACAGCTCTAGCTTGGGATGTGGTAGCCAATCAGCATGGGCATTTCCTCCACTATCTCGGTGGTTGCAAATGAGTGTCGCTTTTTGAGAGATAGCTTGGGTCAACAAAAGTGGGTCCATCGACAGTCAGAACGGAGTCCATTTTTCCGACTATCGATGGACCCACTTTGCCTGTGGCCTGGAAAGTAGTTACGAATTACGTTACGCCTATATTATAATTAATAGGCTGATTCTGAGGTTGCAGATGAGTTGGGGTCGTTATTACACAGCTCATGCGAGCTGTGTACACGCTGATTCTCTTAGAATTATTTTAGCTCAAGTTAGATAAACACTTTTCTTTTTTTTCTATTTTATAATGGCTTTTATCATCTCACCTGCACAAAATAAGCAAGATGACTTTGGACTTTTCATTTTACCAGAAACAATGGAGGGCGACCAGGCCATGAAGATGAGGTATGAGTATAAGCACTTCTAAGGTGCTTGTGAAATACTTATTAAATATTTATTAACAACTCATAGGCTATTGTAACTTATCTTACTTCAACAAAGGTGTTGTTATGAGTCTTATGAGTTATGACCTACGAAACAGAGATGGAAATGAAGCCAAACCAACTCTATTCGGTGCCTTCAACGAGAGTACTAAGTATTGAGAGGAAAGGAAGAGGATCGAGGTAAGCAATGGGGCAGATTTCCTTATATACTACCACGCTCCGTCGTTGCCCCACACCAGACATGGTAGGTAGAACAAACAACGAACGAAAACTGATATTGCAAACCGACACTGTAAAGCTACACTGCGCCGGTCATTACAGTAATGTCACAGCCTACCCGATCGGGAACATTTGATGAAAACCGCTGTACTAGGAGCAAAATACTGGTAGTCAAGGACAGCGTCCTTGAACTGTTCTCGCTTTATTTAGCCAGGCTGTACAGCGCCCTAACAAGTGTCACCAGTAGAAGTTCAATTTGTGATACCCACAGACTTATCCAGATGGCGTTATAGACTGTCTATGATAGTGTAAGTTCTAAGAACTTTATTAACGTAACCGGTAACTGAGCCGGACACTTCCGCTTCGGCTGCCTTCAAAATAATCAGTCAATTCAAACACGAACCATGCCTCCAAAAGCGCGTCAAAATTCAAGAAATTTAGTTGAGCAGGAGGGGTAGGATATTATTAGCAGTATCAGCTTTGAAAAAGAAGAAATCTGCAATATTGCGAAGCTGCTCGGGTATATAATGTTCCATGCTCAACGTTGCATGACCGGTTAAAAGGCAGTCGGTGTATTTCGCCGGGAATCACGCACAAATAGTTATAAAATGGCTCAAAATGAAGAGGAATCGCTTGTATAGCGGATATTATTATTGGACCGACGTGGAACTGCTTCACTACCCCATGTGTAAGTAAGGAAATGGTCAATATTCTTCTTCCCAAGAGTGGTACCACACCTATCTCAAACTGTTGGAGATAAATGGGTATACAACTTTATTAAACTTCGCGATGAGCTCAAATCAAGATATTCTAGATGTTACAGTCACCAGCATGCTAAATGTGAGGATCCTAAGATTCTTAGGGAGTGGTTTGATCGTGTACAAATCACTATAACACAACATGGAATTGCACAAGAAGATATCTACAATTTTGACCAAACTGGCTTTGCAACGGGCTTGGTAGCTGCTGCTAAAGTAGTTACTTGAGCTAGTATGCATGGAAAGCCATTTCTTGTACAGCCAGGTAATCAAGAATGGGTTATCTCTATTAATGTGTTAACTCTACTGGATGGGTATTTCCACCTTGTATTATTTTCAAGGGAAAAGTCTATAAAGAAAGCTAGTTTAAAGACTTACCAGCTAGCTAGAGGATTGAAGTTAGTGAGAATGGATAGACTACAGATCAGATTGGCTTACGGTGGCTTTAAAAGCTTTTTACTCCTGCTACAACTAGCCGTACAGTTGGGCAATATCGGCTGCTAATCCTTGATAGTCATGGAAGTTATTTAACGCCTGAATTTAATTAAATCTACAGTGAAAACAATATTATACTCATATGCATGCCAGAACACCCATTGCATCTTCCTCAACCGCTTAATATTAGTTGTTTTGAGGCCGTTAAAACGCATGTACGGAAAGCTGGTTAAAGACACGGCAGGCTTGGTTTTAACAATATTAACAAACTTGACTTTCTTGAGGCCTACCACAAAGCCTGGATGGAGGCTTAAAGGAGGAGAACATTATGAACGGCTTTTTAGCAGCTGGTTCAGTGTCTTTTAGTCCAGATAAAGTGCTTGAGCAGCTATATATTTAACCCCGCACTCCTACACCTCCAGGAATTCGATCAACCAATTCTGAACCCAAAACACCATACAATCCGAAGCAATTGGATAAGGATGTATCTACAGTAAAAAAGCTGCTTGGAGAGTATATTAAAAGTCCTACCTCTCCCAAAAGGATACGGGGACAAGCTTGCAAAAGGTATGCAAAAAAACCTACAAAAACGCTCTTCTTAAAGAGAATCAGGATTTACGGACTGGAAATGAAAGAGGCGTCGAAAAAAACTACTAAGGACAGATGAATTTACAGAGGATTTTCTACAAGGAGGCCAGGGTATTTCAGCATCGAAATGGTCAAAAGCCAAGTACATACGTAGAAGGGCTATTACGTTGAGCACTGTACGCGCACACGCTGCAGTGATTGCAATATTCTGGACATAAAAGGCTCATTGTCCTAATGAAGTAGTAATTAGCTTTTATATAGAAATGCAGATTTTTGAGTGTTTTGAATGGCTTCCTTTTGACGGATCGGAAGACGTGCCCAGCTCGCTTACCGGTTCCGTTAAGTGAAGTAAACGCTCAATGCTGAACGGTGCAAATCGGGTTACAAAACAATAGTTTCAGATAGCGCGCGCATATACTGGACCCGAAATATTCAATTTGTAGTGAATCGGAAATTGCATGTAGTAAGCACGTCCGGAGGCGCGTGGTTGCAACGCAAGGATATATATTAGAAGTCCCGTTGTATCATAGACACTTGGTGCCATTATCTTGTTGCTGTAGTGTGATATGCCTACAGCTCGTCAACAACCGATATACTGTACACTAGACTCTAGTGCTGCTTAATCCATGCCGCTGTCTACTGAACCATGGCTCAAGGCAAGGTTGTTTTAGATCTCCCTGTAAGCTCCTGTAGAATTTGTGCTGTTCAGAAGGATATACCAGTACATCTACCGACGACGATCTCCAGATTTGAGGAATGAAATAGAATCTGTCTATCGTCGTGGTAAACAGTCATGTCATACCTGCATACGATGAATAGCTAGGTTGAATCACACAGACCTAAATTACATCCACAAAAAGGGTGGTTGCCCTTGTCTCTGACTATTCAAGGCGCTGCACCCCGTCAGACTCAGATCTGCATGACCCCACTAACACTAAAGTTCGGAGCCCAGAGATCCTGTTGAATGATGCGCCACCTATCTCGGGAGTGCGACGAACTAGAATTAACATGGTAAGGGACTGCTCGAATCACGTGAAAGCTAGGAGGTCAGTTTGGCGTTTGTAGCACAAACAGCTAAATCTGCGACCATGGGGCTCCATGGTTAGGCCGATCATAGACCATGGTGCTTATGGTACTTATAGGTAGTGCTCGTAATGCTCGTAATGCTTACTTGTCAAAAACGGCAACAGATCTGGTTATTTGGAATGCAAAGTTGCATTCTAGATTAGGTGCAATGTACGTCGCTACTATGACTATAAATAGCTGTACCTGCCCCCATAGTTAAGAATATTATCACACTTGTAACTCAGTTCGGAGTTTCAACTTTTTCGGTGATATGCTGGTCATCACCCGCATCAAATGCCTGCCAGCTTTGCAGACTGCTTTAGTGCCAAGTCGGACGTCCTATTGGAAGCCCCATGGCCATATTTGCACTATCCCTTGCCTGGCAAACAGTCAACAAGTGCGGACTGGTCCCCATAAACTTGTAGCCACGGTTTTCTCAGGATTATGGTCCAAAGCCAAATCATGCTAAATAGGCTAAGAAGGAATAGCTATAATAATAAGTATGTACCAAGATGTCTGCATCATCAGTCAAATCCTCTAAGGCCGAATCTTCTCCATTCGTCTGGTGGTAAATTGCCCATATCCTGCAATGGTTAGCTTTTATGCTACGGAATATAGGCCCATACCAAAACGAATGTATAACTGACGTTATACTCCGAGGCTGCAATCATTACCATGGTTTCGAGCTGTAAGTATGAACAGCTCCTAGGGCAGCCGTTTAGATCTAACATTCGTTTTCTTATTGCCTAATAGGATACGACTCAGCCTTTGTTAGAATTAACATGCTGCTAAATATATAATTCATTGAAAGGCGATACAATAGCACAATATGTGCGACATTATAGAGTCACAACCTCATTGTAACCAAGTGACAACCGCATCCCCAATCGTATCAACCACGGCTCGTCAAGCTTAGTCCCAAAATCAAATGCATGGTTACCAGAATCTAATAATGTAAGAACCACTTTATCGCCCCCGTGCTTTCCTTTCATAGCCGTCCTTGCTGTTTCAGCAAACTTCCTGCTCCCTTCAACAGGAATTGCATCGTCATCGAGACAATGGAAAATACTAATCTCTCCTCGCGGAAGCTTTGCTTCATGTTCACTCAATCGGTCCAGCGGAAAGAGTAAACTTCGGCGCGGAGAGCTCTCCGATCCACGTTCATAGAGCTCAGTAAACATTCCATGATTAAAAGCGGCGCTAGTCAGCTGCGACCGAGCAGGTGGCGTTGCACTAGAAACTATATCCCTCATACCCTGGGTCTTGAGATAGTCCGTCAAGACTGATATTGGAACGAGCGGTAAGCCAGATATTGGTCTTGTCCGGGAACTAGAGAATGCCTCGGAGCGTACATCAAGCATAGGGTAAGCCAGAATGGCGGCGCGGATATCATCAGGATAAGACAACGCAAGATAGGCGCCCAACAGCCCACCCGCAGAGTCGCCAACAACAATTGTACGGTCCAGGTCAATTCCAATTGGAATAGACTGAGAGGATAGTAAGCTAGCTAGTGTCGACGAGTGGATGTATACCCAAAGGTCCTCCACGTCATCCAGGATTTCCAGACCCGTGGCCTCGGGCATAAGGCGATAGTTGCCGGATATAATAATAGCATTATGTTTGAATGCGAGGTCCAGTAACCATTGTGGGAATAATCCAGGTGTGAGGTCACCTTGTATCAGTAGTTTATCAGCTATTCGCATCATCTCTTTTCATAAGACTAAAATCGGACAGTAATCTCGTACCAATCCTCCTCCATGAAGACGAGTTATGATCGGATGTTTGCCCCTTAAGCCTGTCTTGGGTACCAGGATATCGGCACGGATGCCATGCTGGGACACAACTTTGTAATTCGTCTATATCACTTGGAACCTCTCCAGCTTATTATGAGAAAATTCAGACAGAGCAGTATTCCTAGAATCCATATTCCATACAAGATTGATTAATATATTAACTTGTAAGCTAATGTGATAGGTATAATAATTTTTAATGTAGCTCTGGGAGATACTTCGGCTCCTTTTTTAACTTTAGAAAATATCAAGTGTTATGAAATGTTACATAATCATTTGGTACTCATAAGAATATCTGATTGGATATCTTTTCGCAAACTTACAGGCATGACGAAATGGTTTCTAAGTTTTCTACAGAGTAATCATTTCTGAGATGGACGACGGACGACGGAGGACGGGCCCAATGCTAAGGAGCATATCCCCTCAATTCTGAGGGTGCTACAGCAAGCCATTAAGGCCACTCTCTGGAAATCAATTTTATCACTAAGTCCTCCTCCTGTACCTCCAACCGCCTTCCTACTTCACCTAGTTGCGTAATGATATGGTATATTATATGGGTCTATACTACGTACGACTTTTCTTTCTTCCCAGGCATCAATATGGGCCGCAAATCCATCGATCTTGTGCCGTACAAGGCTGATATTCTTTCTCTCTATAATTCAGAACCTACATCTATTATTATTTAAACTATCTTAAAGCAGCTAGGGAACATTAAGCGTATCGTTACTCAACAGTTAAACCACGCAGCCAAAAACAAAGCAATGTCTTCTTCCACCATCCTGCCACTCCGCAGTTGCATTATGGCTCTAATATCAGTCGATCCGTGAGATTTCTCCTCACATCCTCCTTGCGTTATGATCTATCAACTGTTCATACGACATCCTCGGGGCTCGAAAATCAGCCACAGCATATCCATGACTCAACGTAGTAGAATCCGGGCCACGAGCAGATTCCAATCCAATCCCATAATTGGACATCCCTCTATTCTGATTCCTAAGCTCTGTGGACATGTTGAATGCAAACTTGATCGCTCTGAGAATCTCCATTGGACTAAGCAAACCCAGCCATGCCCGGGCGCCCAAAGGGCCACCCTTATACTGGGCAAGAATATCATTTTCATTTCCTGGACCCTTATGGTAGTATGTGGTATCTGTGCCATACCGACTCTGATTCTGGTTCTCGGATGCTGGCAGTGCTAGATTTTGCCGAGAAAGAAAATACGGCGCCACGTTCCACGCGTAGGGGAAGAAGAGAGCAAAGGGGACCATTTGGACACAGATCACCATATTAGGTATACCAATATTTACGTCTGCGTAGCTTAGCGTAGGAGATTCTTTGAGGATGTCGGTGGACCGTAAAATCATAAAAATGATCTAATATATACAATTCATAATTGTCCTGTTAGATAAAAAATGCGGATTAAATGCGTTAGGTTAGGCCTGGAGTGATACGCTTACCTTTTCAATAAACGATAGACCAACAATCAGTTTGAATGACAACAGTTTTGCCAGAGGCTGGTGGCTTGCAAGGTGCTGCTTTAAGGCACCGTAGAACTTGATAACAGACGTGACGGCAAGAGCTGTAGATATCTCTATTATGACAGTTAACTATACCATCGTCAGTCCGACTATTGATTAATTCGAAGAAGGCCATGGATTGTTCTCACCCAGATGTGGGCAAAGTGGGGTTTGGTGCTGTCTAGGCAGTATATGCCGGCAGCCTGGGTAATATCAGTTGCAACGGCTACGAGCAGAGCAAAAACGGGGTACTGGAAGATCGCAATCCATTGTTTCTATCCCAATTGCGACGGTCAGCCCAATGACGTTCGAATCTAATCCTTACATGCGGGTATAGAAACTTTTCACAACGTACCCTGAACCATTCTAACCCGCTGACCTGAGGTTTATTCTTTTCTTGTGGGGCTTCAAAGGCAGCGAAGAAAAGACCAACTTCGGTCTGGTAGTCCCCTGAGATGAACTGGCACAAAAGCAGGAAAAAACTTCCAAGCGCCATAGCTTGCATGTACTCCAGCCAGGGTTCCAGGTACACGGAAGCCATTGGGAAGCATATGGAAAGGAAAGACGATATTGTGTAAAGCGGAATGAGAAGGCAAACTTTCATAATTCTATTATGGTTGTATGAGAGACGATCCCTCGAGTTGGACAGTAAGCGTGGGAGTTGCGAACATACTTAATTTGCTCAGTTGGTTTGCTTAGGTGTGTTGCGTGAAGGGCCATCAGGCCAAATACAACCAGACAGACAAAGGCCGTACAGGAACCGGAGATTATCATATTTAGGTGGTAGAAGGATATGTTTCCCACTATCGGCTCTAATGATTCTATGTATCGGCAAATCAATCAGTTTTTATGCACCGAGACGGCTAGTTTGTAGACAGCAGGATGAACCCATGGTACCTTTGGAGAAAGATGTTGGCATAGGGCATGTGTGGTTGGCGCTGCTGTCTTTACTGTCACTAAAAATGCCCATGATGCCAGGTGATAGAGAGGTGCTGTGGAGTCTGGGATAAATTAAAAATGTCAAGGAAATATGCACAAACAATAAAAAAAAAAAAAAAATGTATATAAAAAGTAATGACTGAGTGCAGTCTGCAGCAGATGGGATCAGAGACAGTTATAAGTCTATGGGAAGCCATTACGTATCCTCTCCCCAGGCTTTCGATTGAAGGATCAGTATGGCAATAGAATCTCCTCCTGAAACGGGGCCAGCCACAGGGCTGTGGAATATGAGAGCCTAAACTGTCCATCAGCCTTGTGCGGCTGACCTGAATGTCGATCGCGATCCAACAGTGTCCGTACGGAGGATACATGAAGCAGAGAATAGAACCAAATTCTGTATGCCAAGCCCTTTAGAAATCTTCCATGTCTCCACGTTGCTTAGCTACGTCGATCTTATCTTGATTTGGAATGGCCTCGAATCGCATTTCCAGGTCAGGTTAGCGGATGCAGGGCCTCGCATGCAAATTGACAATAGATCTCCCAATCAAAACTTTTTATTTCGCCCCAGGATAAGATGAGATGGGGGCGGTTCTGCCGGCAGCTGAAGCTTGTCCCGAAAGAAATTGCCTAATCTGGACATCCACAGCCTCGATGCAGTAACCAGAATGGATTAACACATCAGATACTAACTGTGGATAGTCAAGTTATACGACCTGTTGCTGACGTTGAAATTGCATCAGACGCTTACAGGGGCATGGAGTGGCTCTCCTTGTATAGCCCCCCTGACTCACAGTATAAATCTCGATAGCAGGCAGACAGACGAGATTTTGATTCAATTGTAATAGCCAAACCAGTTGCAAAGGGCTGGAGCCCGTTTAACCTCTCAGTTCAATGTCCCTATTGTCCCTATTGTCCCTACTGTCCCTACAGGCCCTTTGCCACATTGGCCCTCGACCCATATCACGTGACTTTCACCTCATGTTGGAACATCGGGTTATCCCTCTCTTATACTCTTTAATTGTTTCTCAAACCCCTGATGCGTTATTATAGGCATCGCGTTGCAGAATCGTTCGGTAGAAGATCTGTTAGCGGTAAGCGGTGTAGTGGAGGAATTCGGGGGATTGGCACGTGACATTTGTATAGATAGCTATTGTCTTAAGTCCTCGTTCAAAGAGGTAATAGACAATCAACAACCTCCTCACAGACCACGGGACGCAGTTGCGTAAAGGGCATGCTGTCTTTTCTCCTGCCACGAACTTGTGGGCTCGGGGCCCACAACTTCTGAACTGTCTAAGATTGTCTCCTTGACCTACTCCTTCGGAGTTCTACCATTTCCCTCTCATTCAGCGGAAGGGCCGGTTAATTAGTTATCCGTGCCTTTCAGTGCCCCCACTGGGGCCGAAAGGCAGTGGGGGGGCACTGGAAGGCACGGATAGTGTTTGTCAAATAATATAGCCGTTGGTGGACCAGAATCATGTAACTAGATCGGGGGAAAAACGCCCGCGGAGCACACAACAAAATAATCATCAAGAATAACCAGGAAGAATAATCAAGAAGAGCCCAACCAACTCAATTCATTCAAATAAGACATTTTTACCAATCGTACTTATCGTACTTTATTTCCTCTTCTGGACTAGCCGCATATCTGACATGTTCTAACTTGCAAGGATCTGGAATCTCACACTCTGATTGGTCAAAGGTATTTAGTGATCTCACTCTTATTTAGGTGTGTTATCATGCATGCACGACCTTACAGTAGAATATGCCCAACATGTATGATATCATCACAATTAATGCCTATCAAAAGGGATAAATACCCCCGCTTCTCATAGATTGGCCATCTAGTCTCTGTTTTCTGTTTTGAACGTGCCAGCAGGATTTTATTCACCAAACCACAAAAAATGTATTTTATGTATCATATTAGCCATGTCAGCCAAAGTCTATGTCGGGTCAGTCCTCTTACCAATTAATATGGAATGACCTCTAGCTTATTTAATTTAAATACAAAGGAATCTCTCCTGGAATACAACCGATGAAACCTTACGGCAGGCATTTTCTGATTTTGGTCAAGTTCTTGACTCAGTAAGCTGAGTTCACTGATACGCCCTATGCTCTTTTATAAGGAACGCTGGGCGCTGAGTCAGGTTAGATAGTTATGCGTGATCCCGACACGGATCGAAGCAGAGGATTTGGCTTCGTTACCTTTGGTAGTGCGAATGAGGCAGATGCAGCAATAGCTGGGCTCCATGAACAGGGGTAAGTATTTAATCCAATATTTAGAGATTAAGGCAGCTAATAGGGTTGTAATATCATAGTCTTGATGGTCGCCGTATTAAAGTTAACCTAGTGCGACAGACATGACCCTGTGACGTTGATCATGGGACTCACACACATATATGTGGATAGATCCTACCCCACCAAGGATTCTCTCCTTTTCCTCTTCGTGCTTAATTTTCTTTCTAATATCAATCAAAGTCATCTACGGTTGATCCCTTACATAAAGCCGGGGTTGAGGATCTCGTAGAAGGAGCCTGCCTCCACGACCGCCACACAGTAGTTGGCTGGATCTAGGGCTAATCGCGCCGCAATTGCATTGCCTGCCGCACCTCCCCCAACCACGATGTAGTCATAGGTAGCATTCCTGCCGGACAGGCCGAACGAATTACCAAACAGCTTCGTCACGCCGCTGGGAGAGAGGCCTACAGCGATTGTAGCCAGGGCGTTGGGGAGGAAATGTAGTGCGTAGAGGATGGAGAGCATGCTCTCTGCGCGTCTCTACAGGTTCACTTGTGCGACTGTACCTGCATCGACCCTTGTCTCTGGCCCTGGAAGATCGGTTACTTATAATGCTGCAGCTGGCCAGGTTGACCGTTGTCCTCCTTCGGTGAACTCGGCCCGAGCCAATTCTGCACAATAGACAAATCCCACTGGCTCAGGGCATAAATAGGAGATGAAGAAGGCAGAAAATACCACAGAAGCACAGTATATACAGATTCTTCTGAATCCTTCAAGGCATGACTGGCATCTATTGGCCCGCTGATTATTTGCTGGACATGCTTATCGTGTTTTCTTGGGAAGCCGTGGATGGATCTCGACTAGCCACCTCGGCAATTGGCATTTACTTTCTGGCGCAGTACTTCGGCGTGCTATCCCGGTTCTATGTTGATAGTCTGCGCCAAGGCCAGTCGAGGAAAATTACTCCTATTGATTAATGCTTCTGCTCTTGCTTCTACGTATGGTTTGTAAAAAGCATATAACTTGGCTGACTCCACGGACCAGGGTACTGCTATGGCTCCTTCTCTTACAATTGTCAGCTATTGCATCTACAGGCCCAATCTGGGTACTCTGGTACCTGTCTACTAGTCCATATGACGGACAGCGTCTCCCTCGGGCAGTTGCGCAACAAATCCGAAGCCCCGGCCGGGCACATCCTTCTCGTCCTTCCGGGGCTTATATGGGTTATGTGCTTCCGGCGGTGGCCATGGCCCTCCCGTCGCCTCGTCTCGTCTCAAACAACTTCCTGCAGCTGGCCCTTGTAGCCTGGAACATGTTCCCTATCTTCATCTACCTGGTCATGCAGACTCTTCACCGTCCACGCCGGCTTGGTGACACTCAGTCTTACAACAATCCTCTTCCCGAACCTCTGGACCCCGCGTACCATAAAGCAGTTCCACCCAGCCTCGCTTTTCGTCCTCCCGTTCTCTGTAAACGGACCAGCGGCAAAAACAATCGGAGACGGAGTCCGTAGCTTCTTCCTATGGGATCAGGTCTTTGGGTATGCGGTTAGCATCCTAGTTGCCTGGTTGCAGCTGCGGAACGTCTTGTTTTCCATCCGGAAGAGTAAGACAGATTGGGATTGGTAGTGGCCGAAGGTCTTACTGGGGATTGTCGGTGGGGTGGTTGCTGCGGGGCCGGGCAGTGTGTGTGTCGGAATTAATTGGATTAGGGATGAGTTTTTGGAGGCTGAGACAGATAGCAAGAGGTAGGAGGACTAGTTAGGACGGTCTGAGTGTGAGTTGTGGAGAGCTCGAAGTTCGGGCCTTTCGGGCCGGGATGGAGAATGTGTCTGTCTGTGGAGCAGTGGAGTATATGGATTACTGTATGGAAGATTGCGTAAACGTATCCTCTTCTTTTAATCTTCTTGTTGACATGGACTCCGTTACTGTCGAAGTTGGGGTTAGAGTAATGCATCTAACTCTGGAATCAACACAACCCAACCTTCAAAGATCTGATATCCTTACAGAGCTCCACCATAGTAGGCGTTTCTTTCCCTTCCTTAACAACCCTCGCTCTACTTCGTACTTTAGCCAGTAAGCTGGAGTGGGTCCCGGCGAATCTTAGCCGAGTCTACAAGAGACTAAAATATAGCGAGAGGCCCGGATGCAACTTAAAGCCAGGGAACCGCTACCACATAAATCATGATTGGGAGCGCCCTGCTGATGGCCGACAGTGGTTGGCCACGATTCAGGTACTGCTGTCCAGTTAATATAGATGCCTGTTGATCATAGAACTTTCTAGATATCCGCCCTGAGCGTTCAGTCCGAGAGGACCTTCTCCATGTCGATGCCCAGGATCGATTACAAATCAGGGAAATTCCAACATCAAGGTATATAAGCACTCCTGTAGAATTTTAGACAGATCTCTCAGCTCATGCTGTAATCAATGTTGTTACAGAATTGACGGTTTCAATTCAAAATGCCCGCCCCATACAACACCAACACAACCACCGACGAGCTTGTCGCCGATTACACCCCCCTCATCAAAGACAAGGTCATCCTAACCACGGGCATCTCCTCAGATTCACTAGGCGGATTCTTCGTTCAATCTATCGCCAAGGCGCAACCCGCCTGGTTGATCCTCGCCGCACGCAACGCAGACAAACTCTCCAAAACAGCATACGAGATCACCACCGCCAATCCTGAAATCAAAGTACGCACTCTCCAAGTTGACCTCGAGTGCCTGAAGAGCGTATGTGACGCTGCAACGAAAGTCAACTCGTGGGACGACATACCCGTTATCGATGTCCTTGTTAACAATGCGGGCATCATGGCGGTAAATTACAATCTTTCCCCTGAGGGATTCGAGTCGCATCTTGCGACGAACCACCTCGGTCCATTTTTATTTACGAATTTGATTATGCAAAAGATTGTGAAGTCAAAGGAGCCCCGCGTTGTGGTTGTTAGTAGTGACGGGCATCGGTTGAATCCGTTCCGGTTTGATGATTATAACTTTGACGTACGCGCCACTTTCCACTAGAATTTGGTTGTAGCTAACGAGAATGTAGGGTGGGAAGGTGTACAACCGGTGGTACGCCTATGGCCAAAGCAAGACTGCGAATATGCTGTTTGCCATCTCGCTGGCGCAGAAGCTGGGAATGAAGTATAACCTCCAGGCATACAGTTTGCACCCGGGGGTTATCTGGACGAACCTAGGTGGGCACCTGGACTGGAGCGTAGAGTTTGCTGAACTTAGTACGTAATTCTATATATCTATTGCAGAAATTCTCAACTGACTGACGTGAACAGACAACGCGGACAAGTCTTTGGGCAACCGGGAGGGGTGGAAGGAGTTTGATGCTAAACCACTGGAGAGAGGCGCCGCGACCCACATTTACGCTGCGTTTGATCCCAGTTTGAAGGGTACGTTGACCTTTCCTGTTTATCTATAGTGTATAATGCTTACTGACTGTTCAGCCAACAACGGGGCGTACCTGATCGACTGCCATGTAGCTGACCCTCTCGTGGATACAGTCAAGCCGTGGGCTACCAGTCGCTTTGAGGCTGAGAGATTGTGGAGGCTGAGTGAGAAACTGGTTGGGCAGGAGTTCTCCTATTAACTAAAGTAGTTGAGATAGTATAGATTAAGTTGGGCACTGCTCTATAAAGTTGCTCTCCAGAACATAAGTTTTGTAAAGGAAGGTATCATATCTGCTTAACATTAAGGGAATTACTCAAATAAGCTAGTGGGATTAGACTGCTAAACAGACAAAGCATAAGCCACTATCAACGCCGTCAAACCCCCAGCAAGATACACCAGCAATCGGCTGAACAGAGCGCCCTTCGGCGTCGCGGTATAAGTCTCAATCTCGTCCTTCCATGGCAGTTTCCCTAGTGCGAACCCCCGACTAACATCTACATAACCCAACTTTGGCGCTGCAGAAATCAACTCCCCCATCTGGTCTGTCAGCTTATGATCAACCTGAAAAGGGAGCACCCAAGTAGCCAGAAGCTTCATCGCCAGCCCATCCAACGCCTGAACCCGCGTGATCAGCGAAGAAAGCTTCAGGATCTCGTACATCCTCTCCTCCCTCTCAGCCTGATACGTCTCAAAGACCTTCCTCAGCGCCGCTTGACTGACCTTCCCACCCTGATGAGCAAGCACTGTTCGCCGAAGATGATTACACAACACTGCAACAGACTCCGTCGCCGAGTTGCCACTCAATGCAATGTTCGGTGTGACTTTATGCACCGTCACCGGCCAACACGATCCGTCTATGAAACCAGTGCTTCAGGATCTGTCGACAATTATGGTAATATTGGTTATTCAGCACCTTTCTGGGTCAAATGTTGTTGATGATCCAACATCATCGGATCGCGTATATTTCCTACATTAGTTAATTTGCATTCTTCATTTGTTTACCTCGCCTTTATAAATGCGAGATGTTTTGATAGTTTAGTTGAATCAGAGACCTAATTTAATAAAGGATCGATACTTGCGAATACGCGTAATTTTTATGGTTCACAGTTATAAGCCCGGTAGCCCGGCTTATTACTAAATTGCTTAATCAAGTCTAATCGCCTGATTTAAGAAGAAGCTATTCAAAACTTCTTACTAAGCTATATAACCACGTTGCATTAAAGCTACTCACTAATCCGAGAACTTATATTAAATTAAAATGGGGACAAACAGCGCTGCCACGAAGGTCTCTATTATCTTAAAAACGAGAGATAATTGGCGCGCCTGGTATAGCCTTATTTAATCCACGGCGAAATCACGCGATGTTTGGGATTATATTAATCCTGATACGCCAGAAGAGGAATTACCGGCAATTCCAGAGAAACCGAAGATTCCGACGAAGCCAAAGAAGCCAGATGATGAATGGAAAATGGAAATGCAGCTGTACACCCTTGAAAAAAATGAATATGATGAGGTAAAACAAGGACTTTCAGTTGTTCACGAGACTGTACTGGGATTAGTTGGTCCATTACTCGTGCATTATTTATATGGGAAGGAATCAACATTCCACATTTTAAAGTCGTTAAAGCAACAATTGGCACCAACATCAAAGCAAGAGGCCCGCATGATATACGCACGATATAAGAAAGCACGAAATTCTCCCATTAAAAGTGGTAGTTTAGACCAATGGTTAGCCACGTTTAAATCAGCATATTATGACTGCTTATCTGCGGATCTACCTAAGGTAATGGGTTAACATGCCGTACGCCACTTTCTAACAGCAATTTCGCAATACTCGCATTCATGGGCCGATCAACGATTCAATTTATTACAGGAAGATGAGTCGATCACGCTACCAAAGATATTAGCGCTATACCGAGGATATATTGCAGACACAGCGGCAATACAACAATCAAAATCGGAGGTGTTATTCGCAACATTAAAGGGACAATCTAACAACCAAAGAAATGATAAAAGGAAGAACACGTGTCTTTGCAAAGAAAAGCATTAATTCAAGGATTGCCCTTATGTTATTGAGTCAAAACGACCACCAGGATGGTCACCTGATATTAAAATTCAGGCCAAGTTTAATAAAATCCTCAATAGTCCACATTCAAAATTGCAATATGCGTTAAAGATAACGATAGAATCTGCGTTAAAACAAAAGGAAAACGCATTATCAGAGCAAATTGTGATGTCAATTCAGCATGCAACATTTACTGAAGAAGTGCCTTATCGCCTACGAAATAGTGTTATTCTCGACACAGGCGTAACAATTTATGTTTGCAATAAGCTATCCCGATTTACCAACTTTCAATGCGGAGATCGTGGTATCTTGCGCGCCGGACGAAACATAATAGATATAGAAGGCACGGGAACTGTTATTCTTCATCCAAATAAGAACAACAGTATTCGACTTGATAATGTTGTGTACGTGCTGGGTTTCCACACCAATGTTTTGTCATACGCACGAATGAAGAAAGCAGGTTGTCAATGGGATAATAAGCTTAATCAGATTATTTGGCGAAGTGATAAACGCGTTATTTGTTAATTACAGGTTATTGAAGACCTTCTCGTTGTTGAAGACAATCCACCAGATCACGATCACGCTGTTTACGCGATTAAGAGGTCAGCCAAGCCGTTGAGTTTACATGGAGATACGGAAATATGGCATCGACAAATGGGTTATCTTAGCAACGAAGGAATTCAGCACTTACCGGACGCAGTCAACGGAGTTGAAATTAATATCTCTAATCCAAACACTAAGTGCGAGACATGTTGTTTATTATCTGCACCTCGTCAAATCTCACGACGCCCGTTTATGTGCGCGAGTAAGCCGTTTGAACAGGTCTATTTTAACCTAATACAGATGACTCCTGCGTACAATGGCGATCGTTGGGCTTGCCATTTTTATAATAAGTACACCCGGATGCACTTTATATATACATGCCCTCGCAAAAGCGGTGTTAGAGATGCGATTATTCATTTCACGAACTTCGTCAAGAATCGCTGGAATACAACAGTCCAAATTTATCGCTCAGACAACGAACAAACGTTAGGCAACGAGATTACTGATTTCAGGCATTTAAATGGGATCAGCCATGAGACATCGGTACGAGGACAACCTGAGCAAAATAGTCCTTCTGAACGTGCCGGAGCAATTATCATTTTTAGATTACGAGCTCTTATTATTGAGGCGAAATTACCTCAAGAATTATGGCCGGAAGCAATGCGAAGTGCTGTCCACATTATTAATCGCTCACCAACACAAATCCTTGACTGGAAAACACCATACGAACTGCTTTATGGCACTCCTCCAGATCTTTCAAACATGTATTTATTCGGTTGTCGCGCGTATGTACGAGATCAGGATCTCGCGAAAACACAGAAAATAGCTCCACGCGCGTTTATCGGCTATCTCGTGGGATACAAGGCGTCCAATATATGGTATATTTGGCGACCAAAGCAGCGAAAGGTTATCGAAGCTAGGGACATTAACTTTGATGAATCTTGTCTCTATAATCCCACCGAGCCACTCCTTGACAATCTAATTCAAGAAACTGCACCCGAACCACCTGCTCAAGTGCTTGATGTGCCGAAATTATCGGAATTAGTTCCGAAACGAGTATCTTTTGATATTCTGGACGATATTCAGGACAGTCCGAATCTCACGAAAGAAGAAAAATTGCGAGAAAAGCCGAGTGGGAATGAAACAATTCAACAGCCCACGCCTGATCTAACCCCTGATCCAACGCCTGATCCAGATGAACGTCAAATGCCAGGTCGCTTTGAATATTACAGCGAGCAAGAAGATATTGAAACAGAGCCAGATTCACCCAGTTAATTACTTCTTGACTTATTAAATTCCTCATCAACCTCAGGGGGTGGGGATGTGCCTGAAAATGCTGAAGACAGGCGAATACATCGACCTAGAAAGGAGGTTGATTCGGACAACATTATTAAAGGAAAACGAGCACGGAAAAAGAGAAATAATCCTGATTACGCAACATTTGCACTGCATAATAGCGTACTAAGTGCGTTTGCCATTGGAATAACGCAACACACTCCGCAACGCCGAATTCATAGGGATGATCTACCCTCTCATCCAAAATCATGGACAGAGATGCTGAAACATGTGTTAAAAGATAGCTTTATAATAGCTGCAGTAAAAGAAATTCATGAGCTTGATAGAAGGGGTACTGCAACAGTGGTGGAACAGTCAGAGGCACGAGCAAAGGAGATTATTCCGTTAAAATGGGTTTTTGCCTATAAATTCGATGAAAATGGATATCTCATTAAGTGCAAGGCACGAATCTGTGTCCGAGGAGATCTTTAAGCAATCTCGGATAAAGAGAAAAGATCTGCCACGTTGGCCGCGAAAACATTCCGAATGATTATAGCGTTGGTTGCAGCGTTTGATCTCGATACTACGCAGTACGACGCTATTAACGCGTTTTTAAACGCATCGTTGGATGAAAAAGTCTATGTGAAGATGCCACAGGGATATCAGGTCCCAGGCAAGATATGGAAGCTTAATCAAGCGTTATATAGACTACGAAGATCACCACGTTTATGGTTCAAGGATCTGTCTACAACGCTACAAGGCTTTGGGCTTCAACCAATTAATGAGGATCAATGTCTCTTCTCGAATCAGCATTTATTCATGATGTTTTATGTTGATGATATTATTATCGTCAACTTGCCAAATTCGCAAGCAAGAGAACAAGCAAACCACGTGAAAAGAGCTCTCGAAAAACGCTACGAACTGCGAGATATGGGACAAATCGAATGGTTCCTAGGAATTCGCGTTATTCGAGATCGTACAGAAAGGAAGTTATGGCTATGCCAAGATGCATATATTAACCAAATGGCCGCTCGATATCACTTAAATGATTTAAGTTGGTATCCCAAAACGCCCATGGAGTCGAGCTGTCAGTACTCGCCTAATCAGGAACAGGCTATAGATAGTCAAATTCATCATTATCAACAGAAGATAGGATCCACGCTCTACCCAGCAACTATCACCAGGCCGGATGTTGAGCGTCCCGTTAATAAACTCGCTGAATTTATAACAAATCCGTCAAATGCGCATTTTGAAGCTATTAATCGAGTAATTGCGTATCTTTATTCTACGCGTTTTTACGCCATTGAGTATTCCGCCAATCAGGAGAGTTCAATTAAATGGGACAATATCTTTATCTGTGCAAGCGATGCTTTATTTGCTGATTATCATGACTGCAAGAGCACCGAGGGATTCCTTTGTATGCTCTACAGCGGACTAATTAATTGGAAGGCATCAAAACAGCGTACGGTGACCACTTCCACTACCGAAGCTGAGCTTCTCGCTATTTCGCAAGCTGCGAAGACATTATACTGGTGGAAGCGCATGTTTAATGCAATTAAGTTTAATCCTGAGCATGATATCTTAATTAAATGCGACAATCGCCAGACAATTGAGTTGTTAACCAAGGAAGAGCCTCAGCTACGTACAAAATTGCGCCATGTTGATATTCATGGAATGTGGCTGCGTCAGGAGGTTCAAAATGAAGGCATCAAAATCGAATGGGTTCCAACTGCCGAGATGCCCGCTGATGGGATGACAAAGGCTTTATCGGCTCAAAGACACCAAGAATTTATCAAGATGCTTGGTTTAACCGATGTGAAAAGCCTTATCCTTGCCTAGTTAGGCAATATTTTGGTTTTTATGCGATATTCAACTATCCATGACCTCGCAAGCTGCTGAGGGGGTGTGTTGATAATTATGGTAATATTGGTTATTCAGCACCTTTCTGGGTCAAATGTTGTTGATGATCCAACATCATCGGATCGCGTATATTTCCTACATTAGTTAGTTTGCATTCTTCATTTGTTTACCTCGCCTTTATAAATGCGAGATGTTTTGATAGTTTAGTTGAATCAGAGACCTAATCCAATGAAGGATCGATACTTGCGAATACGCGTAATTTTATGGTTGACAGGATCCCTTCCTCTAGCGAAATTAGCGACCCGCGGGACCGCCTTCTCAAGATCTCACGGAAGATCAGCGTCTCGCAAACTAGGTGACTCGCGACACTAGCAGCCAGTTCCTCCGCATCCGCATTGGTATACCGTTTCCTGTCCGGCCACTGGAACTCCTCCTCCGCCCGTAGACGGAAAAATACAAAGAAAAACGTCTTATCCGGCTGCGTCAGGAACAGAAACCAGTACCTATCCTCATGCACGACGGTCATATCCCGCTCGCCGAGTTCCGGCGTGCCCGGAGAGACGCCAACAAGGCACTTCTACCTGGTGACGAAAGTCTTTTTCTCTTGCACTGTTATCCGTCGCAGGATGGCCTTGTTAGCTGACTCCCACATTTTGCTTCGCACGAGACTGTGTACGCCGTCGCAGCCAAGAACTATATTGCCTCTTTCGACGGTTCCGTCGTCGACGACCACTTCTACTCCGTTACTGTCCTCTACTTCGGGCACACGACACTTGAGTCGGATAGGTGTTTTGGAGGGCAGACACTCATACATAATCTGAAGGAACTCTCGACGTTCTAGGAGGAGGATATCATGTCCATGGCTTCAATAACCCATCAGCACATATGCACCCCCACAACTCCAACTCCACCCCCAGCCCCCAAATCAAACACATAAAGAATACTGGAAAAGGAAACATACATATCTGTAACATTCCCAAAGAACCCAGTATCACTCCAAACCCTCCCATCCTTCCCCCTCGTCACAAACCGTTCACACGGAAAACAAGCCCTTCTCGCTGCTTCCAGACACCCAATCTGGTGCAGAATGCAGATGCCAAGCGGTAGATGGCGATACTTGCGCCAACGGAGGGAGCAATATCGTGTTAGCTTTCGAGGACAACGTGCGAGATGTTGGCTTTTTGGAGGGCGTGCGAGGCGGTTAGGCCAGCGACGCCAGAGCTGATTATAACTACGCGGAATGGGGGTGGCATATTCACCTTACGGGTTTTGGTGAGGTGGAATAGATGAATAGGTTGTCGTGTACAATGTCTTTCTTAAGGGGAGGGAGGGGAGAAGACAAGTTCATATCTACTAGGTGTACGACGTACACTATATAGCTAACCAGATAACTGCAGGACAGCACCAGTAGATACTGCGGGCCGAAGAGGCATGAATGCTGCTTTTAAGCCCGAATCTATATTCCCGAACCATATAACACTAGAACTTCCATGAGGACTCGGCCCGGATGGAGGCGAGAGATGCATATGCGGATGCAGCGAGTAATGTCGATCCAGCTCCGTCCTCGGTGGTCTCCTGGAAGCCTGACGCTCTTCATCTCCGGGAGTCTTCTCCTTCTGTCCCATAGCCTGCGGATGCTTCGGAGTCTTCGGTAATCGTATCATTGGTTCAGTTAAACCATCATCGACAGCCTCTGGAGAAAGTGCTGTTGTATGGACAGCGTACTCCTGAGTTGATTGAAGTGGTATACGCTTCTCTCCCTAAGGCCAGCAGTGTCAGCGCTATCCAGGTTTCGGAAGTGCCCGAGGATCCTGAGAGCTGGCTCGCTGCGGTTTCCGGACCGCATGACCTTGTGGTCATCAACGAATCTGTTCCTGGGGGTTCGAGCGCAGCCCGGATGCTAGTCAAGGAGAACGGATGGCTCATTAAGTCCGCACCAGTGCCCTGCAACACGACGTCGCAGCCGAAAATAATCTGCATCCGATGGCGGAGGTAATTGTCACGGATCAGAACAAGGGGGCCCGTAAGATCGAGATCAGCTTTGGTGATGCCAAGCTGGTGAACTCAACTCCAAGTGAGCTGCTGGATATCAGGGTTCTTCAAGAATCTACGGGGACAAGAAGCTCTTCGCTCACCTTTCAGACAAGACACATAATCTCCAGTGCACCACCCTGGACCAGCTCATTCCCTCCAGTATAAAGGAGACTGGTGTCGTTCTCATCAACGATAGAAATGGCACTTTGTTGAGCCGCTTGAAGGATGAGACCTTTGAAACTCTGAAATCCGTAGTCAGTGCAAACCTGCCCATCGTCTGGTTGACCAGAGGCATTCGGCATGGTGCCTCCATCTATGAGGCAATGATCGGAGGTTTTCTGCGCGTCATCCGGTCCGAGCAAGCCTCCGCACGTATTGTTCTCTTGGATGTAGATCTGGTCGAGCAGCCGGTGGATGTGGTCGAGGCTATCCTGAGCATCTCTCTAGACGTTCCTACAAAGGACTCCGGCAAGGACACGGAGTTTTGGCAACACAGGGGCAGGATGTATATCCCTCGGGTGTATTCAAACACAGAACTGAACACGGCATGGCCTTCTTCGTCTGCCTTGACCTCTTGATCTGTGGAGACAAAGCCACTGCCAGTGTACGTCTGACTTCCAACGTGATGGATGGACAGCTAATATTCGACGAACCCTGGCGGGATTGAAATTCAGGTCACCGTTTCTGAGTTGCAGCCTGTCGCTCATAACCTGAAGTTGATCGCTGGGCATGTTCTGCGTCACGGTTGTTCGACCTACGTTACAGTTGGTGATCCAGTGACCGCCTGGTCAACCGAATCACTTGTAACCGTCGTCCGGACTTCTAGCTATGTCCACTGTGATTCCTCCATCGATAATAACCAGCCACGCTCTTGGCTGGGCTATCAGCACTCTCAAAGGTAAGTAACATTATGACCACTGCCGGCGTCGGCAGCAGTGATCGTATCCTCGCACTTCCTGGCCCTGAGCCCACGTTGGCTGCACTGGTCCGCTTAGCTAAAGCGAAGGGATGGGACGTGACCCTTCTCGCTCGTTTGCCTGAAGAGCAACAGAAATATGTCGGCCAGTTTGACATTGCCGACGACAAGGTCCTCCTTGCCAATGTGAAAGGTATCAACACTCACTTCCACAAGGAGATTAGGAGATGGGCGATCCTTGTCCATGACTTTTCGCCCCTCAGCCAGGAAGTGTGGAGGCAGCTTCCCTCATACGGGGTCTTTGAACGAGACATCCCTTGAATCAGCGCTGGATCCACTGCCCTTCACCCGCGGTGCGTCCTTCATACCAACGAGCATCAATGCTCTGTGTACAACTGCCGCTACTGAAGTTCTCCGCCAAACTTTGCATCTAGTTCAAGAATACCCTGAGTTGGCCGACAATGTCGGCTTCGTGTTTGATATAAGCGATCTCGCTCAGTCGACGGAACGCCTTCGCGAATCGTCTACCACGAAGATTGGTGTGGTCAGCTACCCCTACAGTGAAACTCCAATGAAGGTATGTCCAATTTTTACTTCCTCTCCATGGCCAAGTGGTTCATGCTAATGTTACGTGCAGATCATACCACAGCTGCCGAGCGTGACCTTTTCCCCTAACGCCAGCTATCTGCTCATCGGATGCTTGGGTGGCCTGGGCCGCAGCTTGACCCGCTTCATGATGGAGCGGAGCGCTAAACACTTTGCCTTTGTTTCTCGTTCCGGTACAGACAAGCCAGAAGCTGCCCATGTAGTTGGCCTACTTCAAGACGCGGGAGCTGAAGTCCAGGTGTTCCGTGCCGACCCGCGTCCGAATCAGATGTCGTCCGCATCGTCCAGGAAGTGAACGCCAAACGTCCTATCCGGGAAGTTGTCCATGCAGCTATGCTCCTCAAGGACGGCCTGTTCGAGCAAATGGACCCTCCCATCTTCCAGGCAGCCGTGGATCCCAACGTTATCGGCGCGGTGAGTCTCTCCAAGGCTCTGCAAGACATCGATCTCGACTTCTTCGTCATGACTAGCTCCATCTCCGCAACGCTAGGCAACCCCGGCCAGAACAACTACAGTGCAGCCAACAGTTTCCTAGACACCTTAACATGGCAGCATCGTCTCTGCAGCCGCGCAGGAGTATCCCTTGTGTTTTCCATGGTTCTAGACGTTGCTGTCGTGGCCGAAAACGCCTCCATTGAACCTCCCTCCTCCGAAAGGGTATGTACGGCATCAACGAGCAGGAGATGCTCCGTGGGTTCGAAGTCACCATGTCCCGCCCTACGACTCAAACAACTTCCCTCCAACAAATCGGCAACAGCCAAACCATCCTAGGTCTTGCACCCTCTGAGCTCGCCAAGGGCGTCCTCTCCGACCCAACCGTCGACGCATACTGGTACCAGGACGCCCGCTTCGTCCACCTCTGCTCTGAAGTCGAACGCATTGGCAAGTCCGCATCCTCATCTCCCTCGCGCTCAGGTGGCCTCCAAAACCTCCTCGCCAATATCTCCTCCACCAGTCCCGAGGAAATCATAACCGCAATCGCGCAATTCATCGCCCAGCGCGTCGCAAGTATCCTGCTGCTTTCCGCGGATGATTTCAACCTGGATGGTCTCTCTATCGTCAGCTACGGGCTTGATAGCATGATCGGGGCTGAGATGAGGAATTAGCTGTTTAAGGAATTCGGGCTGGAGTTTTCGTTTCAGAAGTTGCTGTCCCCGTTGTTGACGTTTGAGGGGTTGGCCGGGGTTGTGGAAAGGCATTTAACTGTTCTTCCTGAGAGCTCTTAATTTATAACGCGTGAATAAGGAGGATTGTCAGGATCTATCGGGAGATTAGCGTTGTAGCTTGCTTGTTTAGTGCTGTATAGTCTGAGCTCGCCAGTGACAATGTCAAGACGTATATTGTGAATGTTCTGGAAAAAAATACTTACTGGATATAAGAGTAAGACAGTGAGTACTAGCAGAGAAAAATTTAGAGCTGGCACAGATAACTGCAGATCAGATATTAATTCATTTTCAGATAATGGATGATATCTGATGTGTGATTATCTGTTTAAATTGGGAATGATTATGTGCAGATAATCTGCAGATAATCTGCGGATATTATTATTATTATTATTATTCCTCAAACTGTGCACGGCCATGGGCTGCATATACCTACCTACCTCTGCAGTAACAGTGCATGCTTTATTATCAATTTATCCCACTATCCTCTATATTAACTTAATATTAAATCACACTAAAGCACAAGCTGTAGCTACCTATTATACATTAAATACAGACGCCCTTTCTCCCAAAAATATACAAAAAAACGAATATGAGCGACAGCGACAGCGACAGTACCGAGGTCACAATTAACTTCGGTGCGACCAGTAAGTCAAATTGGAAACCCTTTTTTAGAACCCCTATAGTGGTAGTAGGCTGCAGCAGATAGAGATAACAAGAAAGAATCTAGTAAAAAGGTAAGTATAATCGGAGGTTCAGGAAAAGCAGCCTTAAAAAAAGTACTTGGCATTAGTGGAGATAAGGAATTCTATAGCTACTAGTTAAAATTCTCCGTGTTCAGCCCTACTGGATCGACTCTAGGATAATTGCAAAGGATGCCATGTGATAGATCACGTGACTGTTTGTTTGCATTGTTTGTACTTGCTTGTTTACTTCTCTGCATCACACCACACTAGTTCTTCCCCCCCCGCTTGAAATTCTCGTTAAGATAGCACCAATTCAATTAAGTTGTTCGGCTGTCACATGCCAGAGGATTCAGACTTAACACTGTTTAAATAAAAATCGAAGAGGTAGAATGACACTGAAAGGCTAAGTTTTGTCACGGCTCAATCTAGGACAGCATATCGTCAATTTTGGGCCTTCTAAGTTATTCCACCACGTGAAGCACTGGTTGTGTCCTTTACTATGGACTTAGTATTAGTAGTCTTGTACTTATAGAATTTCCACGATCAGTAAGAGACTTCCAGTCCTTGTGTTTAGCCTTGTTATTAACAAATAGTGTCACAGGTACGGGCGATAGGGACAACAGCGACAACGGGGTAATTGGCCCGAGAGGTCAAACGGGCTCCAGCCCTGCACGGCATACCAGAAGTTAATGCACAGTATAAAAAACATAACAGGCACTATAATCTGGATAGGCCACAGATGCCAGACAACTGGAAGTGTTCTCTTACTAGTTTTTTTAGATATTGCTGTGTTTAACAAGGCCTATACCCTTCACAACCCAACCTTATTGTAATTATAGTATATTTCTAAGTGGGTGAGGGCCGAGTTTAACTTGCTGCTATCAGCTATATTGTATTATAACTTTATTTTAGATTTTAGGGGATACATGCCTCTAATTTTTCGGGGTGGCTAGTATAATGCAGAAGATGCAGCTACTACAGGCTACAGGAAAGCCAAAACTTCCAGCTTCTACCTGGCCATGAGCTTAAAGCACTGCTAACATCTAAAAAAGTTGTTAAGCAATGGATATTGCACCCGGAGATGGCAAGCGAAAAAGCAGGACAGTAAATACGACAGATCCTCGAGCTTCTTATAATCAGACAAACCCTGATGTGCGAGATTCCTTCTAACTCTGGACATAGAATCGGCAGCGATATTCCGGGCGCACAGAAACAAATTATAAGTGCCAGCTTTGATAACTATAAAAGGCGAACCTACAAGGCTGCTAAAAGAAACATATTCAGGACCTGTTTATTAAAAATAAGAATACAGCCGGGAAGTTTCATTTCCACAAAGGGAAATGGCGAAAATTCCCTCTTTTATTTAGTTGGCTAGGCTTTATTTTCCTGATCGAGACAGTGCGCCCAGCGAATGTGGCCACTGCTCTCCAGTGTCCGAAGGAGGGCAAGTTAGTGGACATGTGGATGCAAGCAGTAAACGGCAAAGGCTAAAGAAGGCGCACACAGCGTTCGGGCTTTCTATAACTCAGCACACCGCATGACGTATGTACACCGAACAGCAAAACTGGAATTTCTTTGCGAGGATCCCCTAAAATGAGGGCGCTTCTCCGAATCATCGATCGGATCCTCGGTGGATCACTGGTAAGTCAACGCGAAATATACTAACTGGTAATGCAGAACTTGGAGATCCCAGGGAGTGGCACCAGAGAGCAAACCAGAGGCCAATAAATATGAAGCTTGACTACAAATAGCGACTGGGAAGACCCCTGCTAGTTAAAGTAACTATATTTGACTATGCGGTCCTGAGGTCATACTATAGTGCCGCTAGGTTGTCCCGATTGGCCGGCAAGTTTGCCCCATTCTTGTGTAATATGAAATATCTCGTGGGTAAGTGGGTTAATACCGTGGGGACGCCCAGCACAATTAGTTAAGTTGTCCAACACGAATCCGGAACACTCCACCACTACATTAATCCAAGAGCCCGATGCTCCGGGTGGGGAGGCCGCCGGATCATTTCCTCGCACGATCCGCATTTGCGAGATGTCTAACGCTATTCCTCAGCCAATGGTTCAACGTCTACAACTCTGGAGACGCCTTGTATCAGACTGAATGCGGGCGTTGGTCTGCATGTTGAGTGTCCTAGAGATAATAATGCAATTCTGTGGCCCTAAGTAATATATATACCATCGTCTCCAGCTAGAGCCTGTAGGATTTGGGTCAGTGAGAGTGAGAAATTAGTGGGGACGAAAATAAGACCACTTTGTAAATAAAAGGTCTGACGCAACAGGCAAGCCCCCTTTAGAACACGTTATCTAACTGTTTACGGACTGCGGCAAAATTTCTTCAGTGTCTAGTCCATTGCAAGGTCAGCAGTATATTTTAGATTATTATTACCTGTCTCTACCCCTACACCGTTGATTGTGCTAATAGCACTGTTGGTACAATATCGCAAAACAGTTCTACCCGTTTGACTCGCCTGATCTATAGATTAGATCATTAAACCAGTTCCAGCCACGACTGCTTCCCGACACATAGCATGTCAAACATGCCGAGAGCGTAAAGTCCGCTGCGATAGTAAACAGCCGTCATGCGAGACTTCAGGCAGCATGGGGAAAATGTGTTTACATCCGCTCCGCCAGACAGACAAAGACGGATCTTCTGGAGAAAATAGAACACTTACAAGAGTGGCTAGGTGGGTAGGCTAGTATACTTGTATTAGGGTTGAAGCTTAAATTATTTATCTACCTCGCCCTTTAGAGCATATAATATGCTAACGACTGTGACTTAACTAGCTCGCACAGAAGCATAGCTAGATAGCTCTACGTCAGTAATCTCACCTCCATCCCACTGCTATACCTTCGCCATGGACGCCACCCCTTGCTTGTCTTCTACAGAGACTTCGCCGCCGCCTTCCTCGCACATACGCAGTGTCAGACCAATCGTATCAGCGCTAGAGACTCCCCAGGTAGATCAACTAACGGGCGACGCAACACGCCTACCAGACCCCGGCAGCTTCAATGACCCTATTAGCTCCGCTACAAGTACCCTGGGTACAACAAACACAGGCACGGTGGAGGAGACTCTACCATCGCTTCCCTGGACCCTATCAAATCCCCTCTTATCCGACGGTCAAATTATTCCAGATCCAGGTGTAGTACCCAGCAATTCAACAACGCCACTGGACACGCACACCTCTGTTTCTTTCTACTAAGCCTTCGAACCATCCGTGCTATAAATAGACAGCAGACACAGCCACAGGAAAATAACTGCATAATCCTCCACGAACTTATCCGATTTATTTTCTCAATTTTTACTAGTCAAGTCCACATCGCCGGCATGACAACCACGGTAGCTGAGTATCTAACCTGGGCCCGTCAAAACCCGGACGTCAATTACCCACAGTTTCTAAAGATCCTCAAGTGCCGAGTACGCGAAACGGCTAAACTGGCCAATAACAAGCACTGGGTGGAATTTCAAAATCTAAAGGCCTCTCTGGGCAGCGTGGAGGTGTATAAACAGAAGATGGGGTCACTCGAGCATGAGCTACAGGCAGCAGAAGCTAATATCTCAAATTTTTTTAGTAATAATTATGATATTTATTCCGCTCTGGATATGCAGCGGCCTCTGTGATGAATCTACTTGGCCAGGTAGATCAACCGGTCAGCAAGGTAAGATAACGATACAGTTATGATAATATACCAACGCGTCATTAATATGCTATCGTAGCTTTGCGTTGTGATGGCCGAACAACTTGATTAAACTGGTGCTATCTTAACAAGAATTTCAAGCGTGGGGAAAGGAAGAAGGTATTGCGGGGAGATGCGAAGTAAATAAGTACAATGTAAACAAATAGTCACGTGGTATCCGTTGTATGCGTTACCGTGTACACAGCTTACCGATAAAGATTCAGGACCCCAACCGAACCTTGCAGTTGCATGTGGGGCAAACTTAGCGCCACAAGCCTAACCAGACGATCTGGCCAATTCCATTGGCCCGGCCTATCCTTGACATCCGTGTAACCAGATCTAATATATAAGCTTCTTGTTTTTCTGTACTTATGTATAGTTAATAATCGGTAATAGGGTTTAAAACCTACGTCCAAGTGATTACTACGGCGTCCAAACTTCAAAACAGTATAGTATGATTATAAACTCTTAAATGATCCAGTGCATTCAATTTCCAGTTTATTCACTGCTACGGAAACACTATAATCCGGCCGACTTGGTGGTGCTCCTGAATCCGTTACTAGTTAAGCACCCATGATCTAGAGGCAGAGCACCTAGATAGGAATGCAAGAGACTCAGTTGCTTGAAACACTGTGATTCCTGGTGTTTCCGCAGATGACATATACTCTCTATTTAGGCTAAAGCTTGGCCTGTAGCTGATAGAAATCTCGCTGCGCATAACTTCCTCTGAATTCCACAACGTTCACGTTTCTCGCTATTCGGACCGAATTTCCCGAACTCCTGGCCACTTAAAAAGTAACTATGCTTATACTCGGAGTACACAGTCCATATATTCCTTCCCTTCCAAGCTGCTTCCGCCGATCTGGACTCATAAATGCACCCTGATACAAGACTCGTTAGCGCACCTGCACAATACAGTTAAGTACGCCGGCGATGGTCCCAGACAAGGATATTCTCACAGCAGACAACAAATATGTTGAACTAATTCTCCGTCTAAGAGAACCACATACTCCTTAGAATCTCCGCCCCCAGTCAGTCCAGACAGAAGGGAATAATAACAGAGGAAAAGTATGTAAAATACTCTAAGCGACCTTGTCCGGTGGGCTATTCTTACGTTTACGAGGAGTGGGTCACTGGGTCTACGTAGATGGGGAATGCTACGTGTTGGATAAGACTTAAGATTTAGTCCGGAGTACAAAGGCCAAGTTGCTGGCTTATCGCACTTATGTGGGTACGATGGATGCCGGGATTTTCAAGGCTCCTTACTGCCACTCTACTGAGACTATGTACAGAGTACTTTAGTGGGGCATGGTATAACAATACCACCTACACTGTGTAATGCAGTTGTAGAAAATACGCAAAGATAGGTTTTCGGATCCATTTCATAATCCTCCGCTGTTGCTTCCTTGGCTCAGCCGTGCATTGCATAATGAGTATCAAGCAAGGATATTGCTCCTACACAGGTAGATTAATACAAGTACTATTAATAATTTACCAGCCTCTGTTAATTAATGTTACATTGATCTGGTTAGGATTGCATTCTTAGTGCACATGGAAATAAAATACATATTATTTAGTGCAATTAGTTGACTTCGTACTTTAGACGCTAGAGTAATAGAAACTGCGCATAAAGACCTTTCTCTGTAATATAAAGGGCTACTTATAGTAGACCTTCTTGGCTTAACATTGGTTTGTATGCTACTATACTAACCTGAATCATAATTCTACGCCATATTAATGACCGTTAAAACGTTGAGATTGCAAAAAGTGTCATTGTATATGGAATACGGAGGTGTCTCACTCAGTTTACTTGTCTTATTCATCTAACTGTTACGTGAACTAGTTAGTGTCTCTGTGGATCTAATTTGATGCTAAGTGAATAGCAGTGTAGCAGGGGGAAATGGATATACTATTCATTTCTTTAAAGAATTTTATAGATAAATAGTTTTATCAACAGCACATACCCGATCAGCATTGGCGGCCTCCAGCCCTGCAAGGATAGAATACAGTGGCTAAACCAATACTCTGGAGGGGAAAGAGGCTGGCAAGTTTAAAAACTAATTGTAAATTAGTTATTAGGGTTTTGCAGTTCTATACGATGGACTGGCTAGTAAGAATAGGCATTGTATTCATGGGAATGTTCTCGTAGTAAAACATGATAAGCATATGAGAGCTTAGTTTTAGTAGTTTTGGCCCGTTCATTTTTGGGTTACATCTCCAGCAAGATTATCTGTACAGTGCAAATCTAATTAATCTATTTCTTCCTCATTAAGACCATTAATAAGATAGATTTTCTATCTATCTATTTATCAGTTCACTCAAAAGCAATGTTATTAATAATTATATTAAGTGGATTCAAAACCACTGGCCTTATTCCTCTTGATTCTTTAACAGTGATATCAAAGTTAAACATCAACTTGAAAACACCAACTCCACCATCTTCTTCAGGCAGTAATTAGTCACTTTACTTGGGAAAAACACCTCATGTTCTCTATTAGTTAAATCGACAAAAGAGCAACTTCTTGAGATTCAAAGCCATGGCTTTTCCCCATCAATTGCTGATACTTCGCTAGAAAAAGTTATAAAAGGCAATACGATTTCTATGCAGCAAATAGCTTTATTAAGGGATGAACTTCATCAACGTCAGGCAGCTGATGAGTACCAGAACGACAAAACAGAGGTGCCTAGACAGTTTATTTAAGATAAAGGCAGTCTAACTACTAATAAGGCATTCCAGATAATGCAGGCAAAGGAGGCAGAGATTCAGGCTGAGGCCCAGGTAGCGAAGGCATCCCACATGCAGTAATTGCAATATTCAGGGCCATAATCGATTAAAATATCCTATTAGGTAGTTCTACACTCAGTTTTTAATAATATATTTCATTTGTATGGAGATAAATGACTTCAAATAGTATCTAAATTGGGGGACTATTAATAATTAGCGTGTCCGACTATGTTAACTAAATTAATGCTTGCTGATGACTAATCCCCTCTGGCCCAACGTGACTCACTTCAGGTAAAAACTTTTCGCCGTCCAGTTGCTCCCCTCCATCCCCGCTTCGCCATCTCCGATCCCGCTATCTATTCATGCAGAAATTTTGGGCCTCTCGGACTCCAGTCAAGGCCCTACACGAATTCACCCATTGCACCTCCCGAAGAGCCGTTCGGACTCGCCGTGACCGCTTGATCCACTACAACAACGACAATCCACAGACGAGGACAGCAATAACAAGATCCATCCCTCATCCCTTCCGCGGACAGTCTCGATTCTATTCTTCGGTGCAACATCGTCTGGAAGACCCGAACACGGCAACCATGGGCGCAAAGGATGGCAAAGCGGGCAAGGTGAGCTTTCAGCTCAAAACGCCCAAAGGAACCAGGGACTGGATGGGCGTCGACATGAACCTGCGGGACTCTATCTTCTCGGCTGTCACGGATGTCTTCAAGCGTCATGGCGGGACGGCCCTGGATACTCCCGTCTTTGAACTGAAGGAGATTCTCGCGGGAAAATACGGCGAGGACTCGAAACTTATCTACGATCTGGCGGACCAAGGTGGAGAGATCACAGCGTTGAGATATGATTTGACGGTGCCGTTTGCGCGGTGGTTGGCAATGAATTCGTCGATTCAGAATATTAAGCGTTATCATATTGCGAAGGTCTATCGACGTGATCAACCGGTAAGCAGCTAGTTTTGGGAGATGTTTATATATATTTAGTATATGTCTTTACTAACTAAGACCAGGCGGTGGCCAAAGGACGAATGCGCGAGTTCTATCGTAAGCCATTGCGCACCCCTCTATGACGATCAATTTGTCCCTGGATCAAATTTCTAACGTGCCGCTGTTTCTAGAGTGTGATTTCGACATTGCAGGCTCCTACGACCCAATGATTCCCGACGCCGAGATTGTGCGTATTATCGTGGATGTGTTCGAGGCTCTTGGACTTCGTGAGGAAATCACAATCAAAATTAATCATAGAAAAATTCTGGACGGCTTGTTCACGGTAGCGGGTGTGCCTGAGGATAAAATCCGCACGATCAGTTCGGCCGTTGACAAGTTGGATAAAGTATGTGATGATCCGACTGTTTCTACCTTATGCCTTGCTAACTGGAGATAGTCACCCTGGGCTGAAGTTAAGAAGGAGATGGAAGACAAGGGTCTCTCATCCGAAGTTGCTGATAAGATTGGCGAATACGTGAAACTCAGCGGCGGTCGTGACCTGTTGGGCAAGCTCAAGGCGGATTCCCAAATTTGTGCGAATGAGGACGTCAAGAAGGGCCTCGACGATATGGATCTCCTCTTCCAATACCTAGATGTCTTCAAGGTGGTCGATAAACTTTCCTTCGACCTTTCACTCGCCCGAGGCCTTGACTACTACACCGGTCTGATCTTCGAGGTGGTCACTCCTCTTTCCTCCGCAGATGGGTTCAATGCGTCTCGGACGAAATCGTCTTCAAAGCCCAAGAAGGGCGGTGATGACGACGACAGATCCAACGATAACACCATTGGAGTGGGAAGCGTTGCCGCAGGTGGACGCTATGACAACCTGGTCAACATGTTTAGCCCCAAGCGTCAGATCCCATGTGTGGGTATTTCATTCGGCATCGACCGTATCTTTACAATCATGAAACAACGACTCGAGAAAGAGCAGCAGGAAGGCAATGCTACTATCCGGCAGAGCGAAGTGGAAGTCTTTATCATGGCGTTTGGTGGGAAAACATTCAATGGTCTCCTGCACGAGCGCATGGCGGTTGCCGATCAGCTCTGGAAAGCGGGCATCAAAGCCGAATTCACCGCTACTGTTAAGCCTCGACTTGAGAAACAGTTTAAGATGGCTGAAAATGGCGGCGTTCCACTCGCTGTCATCCTCGGTGAGGATGAGGTAGCAGCGAACAAGGTGAAGTTGAAGGTCCTTGGGTTACCCGAAGGACATGCGGAGAAGGACGGGCGGTTGATCAGCCAGGATGATCTCGTTACAGAAGTTAATAAGTTGCTTAAGCGTGCTTAGATAGATACCAGGATGGGTGGCAGGTAGTAGGTCCACTTTCTTTGCGCATTCTCTGGTGCTGAACCATGTCCCATCAGCACCCTCTCATCATCTCGACATCTAGACGACCACTACCTAAAAATGCATAGAGTTGAAACAGCATATTTATAGATGATTACGACGTGACTTTGATTCACCGAACTCATACCAGGCCGCACTAGATGTAGTATTGATAGGTTACTATACTTCAGGACTGATTCCACAAGTAACGCAGCTTGAACCATCGAGCAGAGTAGTTGGTCGATGTAAGTAATATACCTCAGATATGGATCGTTTGGATACAAACCATCACTAGCTAGTTGAATTAGATTTCTCGTGATGACAATGTCCATTCGACCAACATGCAGTTTTTATAATCAACAATCCCAGGAAAACTGCGTCGTACTAATCGTGGAAAAAATCCTTTTCCCTGGAACAACCGCCGCGTATACGGAATTCGCCGTTGAATGCTCCTCCTCGGTCCTGTTCCGATTCGCGAATTAATCCGACAGTCTCATATATCACTGGCTTATTATGTACTGTTCGGTTGTCCGCCATCTAGGCTGGTTCATGCAGGAGTCCACACCGATATCCTCGAGCGAAGGAAGAGTTCTCTGGTGGTGTTAGAGTCAATTGATAAAGGTAGTCTTCCGGCCGAGAAGAGGGGAAGAAGAAGAAGAAGAAGAAGAAGAAGAAGAAGAAGTTGATGATGACGATGAAAGTACAAGAAATGGAGACAGAAAAAGGACTGATTAATAACGGCGATAACGGTGGGGCATCTGGGGGACGTCTAGTGGAGAAAGGAAATCCCAGCTCCTCCATTCTTTCTCGTCGGATCTCTTCCTTTCTGTTCCTCGTATCCGTCCTCGTAAACGTCTTGCTCCTCTTCTAGTACGCCTTTACATCTACACCGTTCGTGTCTGGTGGGCGGTTGCGCGACTCCAATTGTGCCTGTTCTCTCTCGGCCGGTATTTCTCCGCGTCTTGGATATTTCCGGATAATTCAGGTACGATGTATGTGTCATGTATAATTTCAGTGTCCTGGGTTTAACTGAGAACATAGACAGTAGATGGAAATACAGAAATGCAGAAATCAACCATGACTGCTACCGATGTCAAACCTAAAGTTCTCCTGCTGGGGCGCATTGTCCAGTACGTCCATCGACGGCGTCCATCTACAGGTTGATTAGCCACCACCTCACGAATCCTAACCATTATTTTTCACAGCGCAACCAAAACCTGGCAATCCCTCAGCGAAATCGCCGAATTAGTCCAACCAACCGCCACCAACCGAGCTGAATTTCTCGAGGAATGTCGCTCCGGCAAACTCGGCGGCGTGGTCGCTATATACCGGACGCTTGACTCGATAAGCATCACAGGCCTCGTGGACGAAGAAGTGGTGAATGCATTTCCTAGCTCGGTGAAGTACCTAGCCCACTGTGGTGTGTCCTCTACATATCAACCAGCAAACATTCGAGCGAGTTTCTCGAAGCGAATTAGAATATATTAACACTATCTAGGAGCCGGATACGACCAGGTAGACGTCCGCGCATGCAGCGCTCGCAATCCGCCCATACGCGTATCCAACGTTCCGACGGCGGTCGACGACGCAACTGCCGATGTCAATATGTTTCTGATCATTGGAGCTCTGCGGAATTTCAACGTAGGTATGCAGACCCTGCGCGAGGGTAAGTGGCGCGGACAACCGGCTCCTATCCTGGGCCATGATCCGGAAGGCAAAGTCCTTGGAATTCTAGGGATGGGTGGGATCGGACGGAATCTAAAGAGGAAGGCCGAGGCGTTCGGAATGCGGGTTATTTATCATAATCGACGGCCGCTGACGGAGGAATTGGCTGCCGGGGCACAGTACGTGTCGTTCGATGAATTATTGGCTACTAGTGATGTGATCAGTTTGAATCTGCCATTGAATGTAAGCATTCCATTGAGGATAGAAACCAGACTCTTTCTGCCTCTCTGCCGAGCTATACTGATAAATATAGAAAAACACACGCCATATAATCAGCAAGCCCCAATTCGACAAAATGAAAGATGGAGTGGTGGTCGTGAACACAGCCCGTGGCGCCGTCATGGACGAAGAAGCCCTCGTGAACGCCCTAGACAGTGGCAAAGTCTACTCTGCCGGACTTGATGTTTTCGAAGACGAGCCCGAAATTCATCCCGGTCTTCTACGTAATCCGAATGTGATGCTGGTCCCGCATATGGGGACATGGACGGTCGAAGTAAGTCTCTAACAGCTATACCTGGGAGGAATCAATCTACGCTAATGCTAATGCTAATCCTGCCTCAGACCCAGACAGCCATGGAAGAGTACGCGATTGAAAATCTGCGTCTGGCTCTTGAGACTGGGAAGTTGAAGAGTCCTGTTCCTGAACAGGCGGATCTATAATTTCGTCGGGTATATTTGATTAGTATATTCCTTAGACATATATACCAGATTCTAGACAGGTTTATATCAATAGATGTCATTTACTTTTTATTATATGCAGAGCCATGGTAGGTAGAACTTAAGCCAGACTATGAGACAAGATAGAGTATTCGCTTAATTGAACAAGTTTTTGATAACTACATCTTTAATCAAGTAGTCCAAGTATATACAAAAACAAATTAGAGGAATGAATGCGCCTCTCGCCGGATGGTGCATAATATTTACTTCATTGTAGAACCACATAGCCGACTAGAACTCATAGGTGTCCGGTGAAGTTCACACAACTACCTAGGCCATTTGGTATATGTGCGAATAAATTCCAATGGGTGAGTTTCCATGTGGGAATGCAGCCAGAACGCCGTTGTGCTGCCATGACCCAACATAATTGACACTCACAATAAACTCCTGAACCATGTCTTCCCGGTTGAAAATGATATAAAAAAGAAAAGAAAAGAAAAAGAACAAAGAATAGAATGGAAGAAAGAGAGATATAAGATAAACCAAGGTGAGACCAATATTTCAAGTGAAACATTAAACCACCGGAAAAATTTCTACCATCCGCTTTTTTCAAGTTACAGGTTGCAACAACAGACTTTATTGTAGATAGAAAGGCGCATTCCTATTCTCGTGAAACGATCCAGGATCGGAGAACCATCCCGCAGACGCGTTTGATCACTTGCGTGGTCCCTTTGCCACCGGCTTCCTGTTCGAGGAACTTCTGGGCAACATACAACTTGGCCCCAGAGTCCTTCTCGTTGGTCGTGATGGGCTGCGGGAAGCTGCGCGGAAAATCCGCCCACCGCTGTCCGAGATGACGAGCGATAGCGATGGAATATGTGACGTCGCGATTTTCAAACGTATCCAAGAGCGTGCGGCAACGGGCCAGGGTATCATCGATCTCTTTGGCCGAGCTGGCCTCGTTATCATGAAGCGTCAAGAAATGCCCAATAGCGCTCCAAAAATCCAGCGACCGCTGGGCCAATTGATCAGCAAGGGAGGGCGGATTGGCGGGGGTTTCCCGGGGTGGAAACTGCGCCAAAGGATTGGAGTCGAGATGTTCTCCCGTGATCATAGCCTCAATCACATCGAGTCGTTTGGACGAGGCCAGGAGATCATAATCTTGTCCATGAGTCCCATTCGAAACGCTCATGACATGACGGCACAAAGTCATAGTGCTCCACACTACAGATGCTTCGAAGCTCTCCAGTCGCGCGACAACATTGGGATCGCTGAGGTTTCGATCGTTAAAAGCATCGATCAATGCCGAATACTCAGCCATAAGTTGCGCGTTGCCCATCAGATGTGTCAAGGCCTTGTCCTGGAACCAACGGGTCTCAAAGAACTTGTCGATCGCCGGGGCGTACGTAGCCAGGAACACTGCTTGGATCTCCTCGAGGCGGTTCGGCGGGAGGGCGGTAATCGGATGAGGGGGAGGGGGAGGAATGCCTCGCAATGCGAGGAGGTCGCTCACTTGGACTTGTTTGACTGTCAAGGTGTTAGAAGGAGCAGGCGGACGATCCGTGTTCGTGGCTCACCTCTGAAACTAGTAGGGTCCGAAGCAGTGGTTGTGGTTGCCGGGTTGACTGTCGGCTGCAAACCTCCGTCGGTCGCATTGCGTATACTCGCCATGTTCGACGGATTATTTCCATCCAACGCCGGATCGATCGTCGCACCGTATTCGAATTTTTCGGTGGAAGTGCTAGGTGACTCGGACGGAGCGAAGGGTTGGGTGACTGCCGGGACGTAACCAGGAGGTGCAGCTGGGTACGACGGCGACGAGGAGGAAGAAGGGTCCTGGGGATTAACGACCAGCGAAGGATGAGGATTGGGAGCTGGTTGGATAGCAGAAGGGGTTGGCTGCGGTTTGAACACTGGATCGTAGCCCAGACATTCACGTTTACTCTTGACGCAGTTTCGGCAGACGGGATGGCCTTCGTCGCACTGTCAACGGAACAGCAGCAGGTTAGCGAGAGGGGAATGCAAGTAAAAGGGAGGAAGAGAGGCCAAGCTGGGTGGGAATCAGGAAGGCAAGACGCAGCAGCAAACGCACAAGTGAAACGGGGTGGGAGCAGCAACAATAACAAGCGGAAAAAATGGCGGGGTTCGTCTGCAGTCCGTGGTGGGCTGGACGCGAGCCGAAGCGACACAACGCACGCTTCTTCTCAACCTCCCAAACCCACCACCGCAATGCTCGTCGTTGGCCCTCCATCCAAGGAGTCCTGGTTTCTAATTTAACACGATTTCCATGTCACGTACCTTAATGCGTCGTTTTCGGCATGTAAGACATCCGGTTTTCGTCCTACGCTTCACTTCCTTCTTGTGCCGTGCACTCGACAGCATCTTGTTCGGATCGCCTGGGAGCTGATAGCGCATTTGCGCGTTCGAATTCATTCCCATCTGCCCCATGTCCGTTGGATAGCCTGTCATGTATTGCCCCACCGATGCCATCGCCGGCATGGGCGATCCGATGGGTGCTTGTGGGATATGCGATGCCTGGTGATCCATCGTCTGCATCGAAGGGGCACTCATAGAATTCGGTGAGGGTTGATTGCTGTGGTATATCTCCTGGGTTTGTTGTTGGAACTGTTGCTGATGCACCGGTGGATGGCCCTGTTGCTGCCCTTGATGCTGTGGCGTGGGCGAAGAATATGGCTGTGACGGCGTAGGCTGCTGCGGCGGCTGTTGCTGTAGCGAATGCTGTTGTTGATATTGCGGTTGCGATTGCGATTGTTGATTCTGTTGCGGTGGTTGTTGCTGTTGCTGCTGCTGTTGCGGCGTGTAATGCTGCGGATACGCGCCATTGGAAGGTTGGTAAGAAGAGTCAGTAGTGGTGATGCCTCCCATAAGCCCAGTAGCGACGCCAGATACTGCGGGTTCGGATCCCATAGGCTCTGATTCCACAATTTCTGTGTCAACCTGTTTTGTATCCGTAAACGAAAAGTTTGTGTCCATGTTCGAATCCACAGCGGGTAGGGTGGTGTCCAACGGAGGTAGGGATGTATCAATTGGTGGCAACGATGGTATTGCCGAGTCCATCGGTGGCAGTGATGAGTCGATACTTGGGATGGGCGCGTCCATTGCCGGCAAGGACTTATCTATCGGAGGAAGTGAGGTGTCCAGACTAGCGAAGGTCGAGTCGAGGTCTGGATTGCCCATTTCCGCAGAAAGCGCATCGGTTGATTCGCCAACAGGTTTGGGCGTCTCCTTCGACGGGTTTGCTTGTTCTGTCGTGTCCGCCATCTGAATCGCGGTTATTCTCCGAGTCGTGCACGTACGGAGGAATGATTCCGATAGGAACGAGCGAGACAAAAATTTGACGTAAATCTTCAAGAAAAATAACTCGATCGCCGATAGAGAGACAGACAGAGAGAGAGATAGAATTTATACAGCTAAGAGTATTCTCCGTGATCGAAAAAGACTTTTCGTCGGGTCGGCCGTCCGTCAGAATGTAGTCTCTGTAACTCTGAAAACCGACTGTTAGTGGACAGAGATCAATGCAGGTTAAGTTGCTTGACTGTAGTGCCCATGTAAAAAGGATTGCACCAGTGATTGCAAAGAAAATTGAAGGGGACGAAGAGGCAAGGGTCTTCCTGATCCGCGCATGACCTCAATGGGAAAAGAATTTCGATATAGGCAGTATCTCAAGGGTTGGCTGGCGCAACATGACGAGCGCATGCACATCTCATAATCGCGCATCAACTCACACATCCAAGCCTCGCTACCCTCGATAAATCCTGCGATTCGACCCAGGCTGATGCTTGGGGGGTCATGCATTCATTCTATTCTCATCGGAGGTCAACGCAACCGGATGGCTTCTACCCGAGCCTGCAGCGTACAGAACTATCACCGCAGTATCACTCCAAGATATCGAGACCGATTGCAGGCGAAAAAGGCCACGAGGAAGTAGCAAGTTGAGATTGATCGATCGCCGGGAACTTGCTGTAGAGGAGGTCTCGAGTGGCAGGAACAAGACAAGCAATGAGGAGATAAAGTCGTTCACTTACCAAGCACATCCAAAAAAACAAAGCGAAAAGAAGCTAGTCAGATGCTATTCCACCAGGGCACTAAAAATCCAGACTGATAGGCACCGCATCTGGGGTAAAGGCGGACGACTGGGGGTTGCGACAAAAGACGAAGAGAACTTGACCGGCCCAAGCTTTTGGATTGGGGAAACGGCGAAGTGTCCGAATTTTAAGGCAGGAATTCCATTCACCAAATCCCGGCTTTCCAGAATCTCCATCGAATATCTTCCTCTTAATTTCTTACAAGACTATTCCCGGTTAACTTGTGTGCATGCCCTATTCTTTCTTTCCTATAATACTATACGGGCAGAAAAAATTAAGCAATTCTACTGTTACTCACTGATCGAAATCAACTTAGTTAATCTATATACCTTACCTAATATCCGTATAATGATTATTAGTTAACTCTCTGAATCTACATGCTTCCAATCTTTTCATCACAGACTAGTCACTTTAAAATGGAAATGCTCGCCCTATGGACATCCCAACACCGAAGCTCAAGTCTCCTTGTCTTATACTCAGACCTGAGGTCACGGTATCCAAGCCATCAATCCCGATGAACCGGAATCTTCGAGCCAACAGGCATTTCGAGAAGGTTATTACCAATACCCGGTAGCTAATTCTGGCGGTAATACGGTAAGTGCACTTTCCAGTACCGTCTCCTGTTCACCGAGTCAAGTGGTAGGTAAGAGAGCCATACTATCGTGTTCCGGGCCATAAGGCCAAGCACGGTCGACAAGCTCGCTATTCAACCTAGCCTTTAGAACGATGATGCGCCGGGCGTTTCATGTATTGTAGATAACGATGGCCCAATGTTATTTCTTCATAGCCTTCGGCTTGCGTTTCTTGAAAACGACTCCTCCCACTACATCTTCCAGTTCTTTCTTGACCCCGGAGACAGAGGATGTCACAGGTTCTGCCTTGGGAAGCACTGGTTGCTCCATCTCTGGAATCGGTGCTTCGCCCTCATTTTTCGGTCGTACCCTGGACCCCTCCTGATCATTTCCAGCGAGAGTTGTATCCGATGTCGATGGCTCCTTTCTTTTTAATATCTTTTGTAGACGCGAGCAGCTCATCTAAGTCGGTATCGTCCTGAGCCCCGGGATACTGCCGAGTCCTTGATCCCCAGGCCTTGCTCACAAATCGCTCGGCCTCCTTCTTAGCTTCCTCCTCTTCTTCATCCCCTTCATGTTTTCTCTTGCGCACTCCCAGTGATAGCTTTGACTTCTGTCTGTCCGCATCTAACCCGATGACCGTTTCAGAAATCGTCTGCCATTCACCCGCCAGAGCCATATCACCACGGTACTCCTCCGGAATCGCAACACCCATGTCCGCCAACTGCGCCATTTGTTTCTTCCTCTCTTCTATGGAAACAGGTCTCTCAACGGGTTTCGAGACGGGAGAGGCCGCCCGTTTCCAGGGTGCTTGATTGCTGTCATTGCCAGCGGCCGACCCCGCGACAGTCTGCCGTAATCGCTCGACCTCATTCTTTGCTTTCTGGGTCTCTCGCTGTTCGCGCTCATTATCTCGATGAATATCACGTAGAAACCGTTTCAGGTTTCCTTGGTGCTTTCCTGTGGCTTCGTGTTGAGATTTCTCGAAGGGGGTGTCGCGGATGAATATCTTGCATTGCTTGCACCAATATCTAGGCTAAAGTGTGTCAGTACATCCATGGCAGGGCAAAAGAAAGGATACAGAAGGATGGGACCTACTGCTGACTTCCAGTACTCCGCCATAGTTGATAAGTTAGTTCTTCAGGAGCACTGAGCTAGATTGCCGATGATATCACTGTCTTGTCCGCAAGTTGACACTTTCTATTTGTGGGACCGGAGCTAGTCCCGATACGGTAGCCTCACATCAATATGCAATGAAAATATACCCGAAATAATTGACTGAAGTACTAGACTTTCACTATTTTTGGGCATACGAATTTGTATAATATAAGATTTGCTACGTTCTATTACTCTAAGTGACTCGTGTTGAATTATATGCTAGGAGCATGGCCATTCGCTTCTTCTAGTATGTTTCTCTTGTTCTATTAAACCATTAGCCTTCAAACGGGCATGGGCAGTGAAAATTAAATTAAAGGTAGGGATGAAAAAGATAATACTCGTAGATCACCCCAGGTATCTAGTAACACTTTTTCTACCATGAAATGTGAATCCTTGAAGCAACCCATTAGTTCTAGTTCAGAGCATATATCTTGCCTTACTGGAACCACATTTTTAACTTGATTGCCGTAGCATGTACAAAATTCTCTATAATATTGAAAAGATAGCAAACAAAGCAATTGATCTAATGTACAAATATAAAAACTTGCCACATCGACTTCGAGACTGTCGGGCTGGCGGGTGTACTGATCCAAAATCAACAAGAATTTGACTTCTTCTACATAGATCACATATAATTAAACGCAGGTGCTCATGCAAGAAGGGCATCCCTAATTCTACCGACGATCTCTTTTTCACTCGTCTTTCCATTCCACAACCTTGAGGGTGTTAGGATAGTAATCGTTCCTAGGATACGACAGGAGGCGTAAAATCTGGAGCACGCCGTCTAGCCCATAGAGGCATTCTTGTTCGTACAGACTGAGGTTGCATTTAATCCTGACAAACTCGAAGACACTTGCCAAAATTCCCACGGCAGTGGGAGTTGCATAGATATGCCACTTTTGAACACAGTCTGCCCTTTCCATCGAGAAGTAATTGAGATCCCCAAGGTGGTAAACTTCTCGGCGTTTGGCTTAGGATTTGACTGATCCCCCCGTCGTTGCCATTCCCATCACTGTCATGGATGCAGATCATATTAGATCTATCTGCGGGGAATGTCCTATCGTTGGTAGAGGCAGCTAACAGGATATTGCCCCGCTTGCGAAGCTCTATGGATGGATCTATCAATTCCGGGATCTCGGTAATCTAGCCCAAAGGAAATGGAAATCAAGTGCACTTTCTGCTCGATTGCCCAGTCACTGGCTAAATAATATCAGTGAGTTACTCGAAATTTATCTCAAGGAAACCATTTCTACCTTCATGCCCTTCTGGATACGATGTACATCGTTGTTGATTTGAAGGTAGCCGTGGCCGACTTTACGCTTCCACTCAGCCAGGATCTCTCAAGCACCAAAGCTTTGCATGGGAGTAGCGTTTCGTAATCGAGCTCATCAGCAGTAGTATATGCTGGTTCTATTGTTTCTATCTCCAGAAGAAAAATGCCGAACGAAACCACCTGCTCGTCCATGTCCAGTTGGGACTCTACTGGTACGGGCTAGAGCCTGCATGGTAGATATGGCTGCCAGCAATTGTCGATCTCAGAACCTTCCGGTAGAGCTTGGACAAAAAAATTGTCTAAGGAACAGTTCCCTCGAGGCAAGTGGCTGCTATACAAGTGAAAAAGGGAAATTGCGAGGATAAGCTGGACAGTTTTACGGTCCTCGGTTTCGAACTGACATAGCTCGATGCTACCGGCCGTAGCAAGGCAGCAGGCCCTTTTCGACTAGGTTTTGCAGGCTGATCATCAACTGAGGCGGACAATTGTCCGTATCCATTCTCCCAGAACCGGACGTTATGTCTTGATCATCGAATCAGATAGCCTGTTAGCTCGTCAGGCATAGAGGCGCTAGGCAATCACAGACATTGTCCGGATTGCAGCGAGAAATCGCCCGATCTACACGGTAATACGGTAGACTATATAAAACTGTTAGACTCACGGTGCTGTTTGATTTGATTTGCACAAGTCAGCCAAGGGACTTACCATCGACACTTCGCTGCCAACCAGCCCTTCTTTGTAGATGCTTCAATGAGGAGATTGAATTCGGGCTAGAGAAAACTAGAGATGAATCATAGCACAGTGTGCCGATTGACAAGTAATGCGTTCAAGCTTTTCGAAAAGAGACTCGAATCACTGGCTGAACTTATATGCACGCGGGATGGCTACAATCTCGTTACTTCGGGAAGTTTTGGTGACAACCTCCTGAAATGTCGTGCCCAAGACATCACGAAAGATCCCATCCACTGTTTTGCTGAACTGTTATATCTTTTGGTGACTTCTATATGGTCTATTGGGGTTTGTGCATATCGAGGATCACCTTCTGAAATGAAGCAGCAAATGTAGTATTGCCCTTTGGTGGATGATGACCTGGCGCATCGATACTTCCCTCTTCATATAGGGCCACGCTCTCTAGCTCGCTTTTGATCACCGCAAGTCTTGGGTATTTGAGGCATATCTAGTAATTAGGTTAGACTCATCTTGGTCAAATGCTCATGTTCTAGGACTTCGACGTAAACGTACCTCAGTCGAAGGAGGAGCAACCAAATTTCCCTTTCTCCGATTCTACAGCACTTTATCATCCGGAAGGCCCTCAAATACCGTCAAGAGGGAATACAGCACAAAAACAAAACCTACTGAAATTGTTTTCGTCTAGTATTTGTTGGGTTGCACTTGTTCTAGCTGGAGGGAAGTGGCTCGGACATCGAACCGAATACAGATGATAGTATCTTCAGCGGCGGTCACTCCTTGCAATGTCGTGGGGAGACCTTCAATATGGGGCAGGCTTACTTTGAACAGCGGGTAGACCGCAGTAAGAAACTGCCATTCGGCGGCGTCGTCGCTCTCAACGCGCATGGCGTTCGGTCTTCGGTGAATAGAAATTTGCACGATAAGGGGGAAGAGTTGATTCTCTAGTACAAGCCAACGCTGGAACAATCGAGTATTTATAGCCCTGCTCAGCTGGACTCGTGTAAATCCTGGCAAATTGCATTGACAAGGATTGTAGCCCTCGGCGGCTGCATGATAAGTGGGAGATTGGTCGTAGGTAGCCGCCAAATGATATATAAATTACATTAACTCTCGAATTGAGGCACCCGAGATACAACGATATTCATGCCCCAAACAAAGGCCACATCGCCATGTACCACCTAATGCATCTTGCATTCATAGCGTTAGACTCCAGCCTATGAGAGGGAATCCGGGAGCTCTGTTTTAATGTTAGTACAAAGCTTCGATGCATAATAATGGATATCCAAGGCATCATAGTTTACAAAAATGGCCCAGAATCCCCCATGTAGCATAAATTGTTATCTCTGCCATCATGAGCGAGACAAAACTTCGACTCTGACTCTCGCCTCCGTTAAATCTGCTTCAAACCAGTACCCAATATCCTTGGTACAATCCACAAGCTCCACCTCCCTTTTGGCAAATTTCACGCTATCGCCCAAATTCACCAGTTTCCTATCTTGCATTGCACTGCCCTCCTCCTCGCTATCCCATCCATCTATATCCCCCATATTCTCTTTACTCACTGGATCCATTTCATCCGTCTCCCAGATCAACCTGCATTCGTAAGGCGGCAGACCAAACAGCCGTGAGACAATGGCTTTCACCTGGTATGTATCAAAGGATCTAGGGATTTCTTTGACTTTCACGACATCTTCTGATGACGGGGATGTGGAAGACGATGATGGCAGGTGAAACGCTATCTTCAACAATCGTGCTGCAACAGATCGCGGATTCACCGACGCATTAGGTCCCGTCGAATCCGAAGCCCTTTTAATTATGGGCTCGCCGTGGATGTGACATAGCTCGCTATACCGAGGATGTCTCGCGAGGACGTCCCGTTTCGCTGTCTCTGGAGCGGCGGATAACTCCCTTCCAACGAGCGAAAGATAGTATAGTTCTCCGTTACTGCGATCCTTCGCGGTGATGTTTCCAAAGTTGAGAACCAGCAGTGACGAGAGTCGAGAGAGCGTCAACATGTATGCCTCGTCAACCGTCATTGGTTTCTCTGGCATGCCGGTGATAGCTGACGGCCCCACCGCTTGGTCGTAGAGGGGATTTCCGGATATTCGAAGGATTTGTAGACCGGGGAATACGTGTTGAAGTTCATCCACGAATGACCACATGTTGATTTGGTTTCGTGATAAATCGACGGATTTTAGTGTGGGTGAAAACCGGATAGGCTCTTCAGTTTGGTTGCGTTCGTGGATTGCATCAATGCAGTTTCCTCGCAGCGAGAGGTGTTCGATGTTTGATAGTGATGTGAGTGGCATGATTGAGGAAAGGGAAGAAATCTCGTTGTGCTCAAGGTTCAACGTCGTGATGGTGTTCGATACAGATACTGGGATTGTCGAGATCTGGTTTGCAGCAGTGGACAAAGTGGTGATGCATGGACATTGATAAGTCAAAGCTGATATCTAAAGGGCCATGCAATCAGCCTAGCCTCCCTGCAGTAATTGTTTCCATTTCGTAGACATACCTCATCCCAAGCCAAGAGGGTATCATCCAAGTGAAGTTCAGTAATGGCAAACTTCAAACTGCCCTCAACAGGGTCCAACCGATTGCCGCTGCAACTCAGTCAGCCTTGCACCCTATAGGTTCTCATCCAGTACCTACTTCAACTTCAATACTTTCAAGTTCCTGAGTCGGTCACATATTCCCATAACCTCTGTCCAACTAGTCAGGAGATTTCGACTGAGATCCAAAATGGTGATTTTGGGACAAGTTTGCTCAATCTCTCTACATGCAGACTCAATTTGTTTCAGTTCCGCTGCATATGAAAGAGTGCCCACAACACGCAGTCCGTCTAGAAGCACGATCTTCAGCTCCTGGAGCTCTGCAAGTTGCTTCCGGATCTTGTCAAAGCCGACTTCTTCCACAACCTTTCCGCTGATTTCAATAGGCTTTTGAAGAGAGCCATCGGGGACAGGTCCGTCCAACTTTTGACTTGCAGGGCTCTGCTCTAACTCCGGGGCGTATTTCTCCCGTAATGCCTCGAGAAAGCCTCGGGGTTTGTCCGCCGCCCGAGATGGACGCACGAACGACCCGGCTGTGGGCTGTTTGCGTCTACCTAGGATATGTATGAGCATATGCAGTCTAACAACCAGGAAATTGCGCGTGGGTTAAAGAGGTGGATGCAATACATGTAAAATATCTCACTCCTTGATGTTCTCCAGAGTGCTTCCCTCGAGTCGCGTCATCCCATTCGACCCCGAGCCACTCGCCGCTGGTACCCTCTACCTTTCCAATATAGCGAATGGTGCACAGATCACCGTTATATGATCGCCTCTGACTGACAGAACAAGTTGCGTCCATCACTGCGCACCAGTCCAATTAATTTCTGGCAGCTTCATCCATGCGAGTCCAAACATCGATTCGAAGCGTCGTCCTAACTGGCCAATCGCAGGTCCTCTTGTTCGCTTACATAATACAACGAATTTCCCGCCGAAGCTTATCGTCAACCATTCGAAGTTTCGCCGTTCCTCACCACCGAGTGTCACCAGGGTGATCTCAGTATGGATTTCCAGGTAAGTGTATCTTTTCCTTGTTTTATCTACCTGATATTCCTGCTATGTAAGATCCTGACCTGTCCCAAGAACCGTGCAGGATCCAAATTCGGCGGCGGTGGTGTCGCATCGCAGTCCGCGAGCAATGCGGACCGTCGCGAACGACTACGCAAGCTCGCTCTCGAGACGATCGACCTCGATAAAGATCCATATTTCTTCAAGAACCATGTGGGAAGCTTCGAGTGCCGTCTATGTCTGACGGTTCATCAGAACGATGGCTCCTACCTTGCCCACACCCAAGGCCGCAAACATCAAACGAACCTTGCGCGACGTGCGGCCCGAGAGCAGCGGGAAGGGAAGAACCAGGACCCGTCCACGCTGCCGGGCGCAATGGGCGTGCAGGTCAAGAAGCAGACGATCAAGATCGGACGGCCGGGTTACAAGATCACGAAGATTCGGGACCCGTTGACGCGACAGTTGGGGCTGTTGTTCCAGTTGCAGTATCAGGAAATTACGCCAGGAGTTCAGCCTCGGGTACGTTTCATGTCTGCCTTCGAGCAGAAAGTAGAGGAACCTCCGGACAAGAACTTCCAGTATCTCGTTGTGGCGGCGGAGCCGTACCAGACTTGTGGCTTCAAGCTCCAGGCTAGAGAGATTGATCGCAGAGAGGGTCGGTATTGGACTTGGTTCGATGAAGATAGTAAGGAGTTCTGGATCCAGATCATGTTTAAAACAGAGCGTGAGGAGAGATTCAGCGGGGTTCCTGGTCTGGCACCAGTGGACCATAAGGCTTGAGTTGCTTGTGTGAAGAGGGTTTAATTGGCTGGGTGCAAAAGTTGATGGCATGCGTTGTTGTTCATCGAAGGGGTTCATATGGCGTTTCATGGTGTTCTTCTATCTCGCAGATAATGTGACTTAGTACCTTTACCTCGACGGTTGACTTGTACACTAAGAGTCTTAAGGCGACTTTAGCTCAGTTAACTACATTGACCGTCTAATGTGCATTGAATGTAACATAGTCATGTACTGGAATTTGGCCAGAGATCGCTGGGCCAACTGTACGCTAACTAAGTAGTGGAGTATGAATAATATGCTCAGTATACTACTAAGGCCAATGATCTCTACTGGAAAATGGAGTTGCTTCTAACCGCACTATACTCTCGCCCCAGCCAAGATTATAAAACAGCTAGTCAATCATAGTCTGCACTTGCGGATGTATCATACTCTGAACTGCCAATCAACAATGCACTGTATATGGTTTCTTTAATGCCAAACATAGTTTTAAAAAGCAGGCGTCGTCTCGCGACATGCAAGAAATATAGAAGATGCTCAAGTCATTATCAAAAACATGGAGAAGGTAGATGCGCTATATGCTTTATCAAACAACAGGGGTATGCCGAGATAAATCATCGATAAATCGCTGGAAAGCCATCGATGCAAGCCCGCCCGCCTTCAGACTTTCCAAAGAGGATCGCTGCACAATGTTCAACTCGGACATCGACTCTAATTCTTAGTTGCTTTGGAATGCGTTGAAGGCCTTGTAGGTGTATCCAATGAACGGAAGGCTCATCTCGGCCTCCTGTTCATCGGGCATAGCACGAGCTTGAGCACGATGGATGGCGCTGGTATCTTCCTGAGGAATCTCGTCGATGGGGAAGTAAGACACGTCAATGTTCGAGCTCAACTTGGGCTCAAACGGAGCACGGATGTTGCGAAGCTGCTCCCAAACAACACCACGGAAGAATGGGTGGTTCTTGATTTGGGTAGCACCTCCAAACTGGCCACCCTCGCTCCCAATGCGGTGGTCTGTATCACATAGGAAACTACAAGAGAAAGACGTCATTAGTCTAACACACACAACACATACACACACACGACCGAGTTCAGGAAAGGACTCACCTTCGGATCAGGCCCTCGGATTCACGAGAAAGAGTAAGCTCCTCGGGGAAGTACAAGCACTCCCTCCAGTTCACGATCTTCCGGTAGGTATCGGTCGTGTCTTCAGCACAGAACGGAGGCCAGCCGACAAGGCATTCAAACATGATGGCACCAACAGACCACCAATCGCAAAGGTAGGTGTATCCTTGGCCGTTGAAAATCTCAGGCGCAATGTAGTCGGGCGTGCCAACCGTCGAATAGGCCATGGCCCGGCGGGACTTCCTCCAGGTATTGATTTGCCCACGGTTTGATACCGTCAAGTTGATCGCATCATTAAAGTAGCCGGAATTGCGGTTCTTGTCTTTTGATGTTGAATTTTTTAGGAGATTTTGGTAGTAGGAATTATCATGCGTCTTCTTGCCTCCCGTGGAAAGACCGAAGTCGGTAAGCTTGACGTGGCCGCCCCTATCAAGAAGAATGTTGTCCGGTTTGATATCACTGTCCATGGCAGTCTTGTTAGTATATGGTGAATAAAAGCAGCCTCACATCCAGTCCCACGTGAGATGCAGTACAGGGCTGCTAACTGCGCGATGGTGCAAGACATCAAAGCAGGAGAAGAAAAGGGGGGACGTACCGGTGAAGGAAACCAAGCTTGTGAACAGCTTCGATAGCCATAACGATTTCAGCCATGTAGAATCTAGTGATATCTTCAGAGAATATTTCGTACTTGATCAGCATGGTCATCAGGTCGCCACCTGGCAGGAACTCCATCAGCAAGTAGAGGTATGCAGAATCCTGAAACGATGCATGCAACTTGACGAGCCATGGGTTATCCTTGGAATCGGCCAAAATGTCACGCTCAGCACGAACATGTGCCAGCTGGTCCTTCTTGAACATCTCTGTCTTGATCAAAGACTTAAGGGCGTAAATCTTGCCATCAGTCTTTCTTTGCACAAGTTTCACTTCACCGAAAGCACCCTTTCCAATAACCTTGATCGTCTGGAAGTTTGAAGGAGTCTCCCGAGTCCGGAGGAATCGCAGAAAAGTGGACTCTTTCTTTGAAAGGACCTCAGCCTCCTGGCATTTCGTGTCCGGTGAAATACCTGGATCCCTGATCATCTTCTCAAGCTCAGCAGAACTGCGCATATCACCTCAGATGTCAGCTCATTCAAGGTGATATTGTCATAGAAACTCGGCTACTTACCGCATATTACGATCGCGCGCACGTTCAATATTCTCGTGGAAGAACACATTCACCAACTCTTTGGCCGCTTTGCCTCGCTTGTGGATATTCTCCGAGAATCGTTCCGGGTAGCGTTGCAGCTCTTCATTCTCGGCTGGAGTCCGAGAACTGCGAGGCATAGGCGGGGCCAAATGACCCTGTGGTGGTTGCTGCCCCGGGGCAGGTGAACCACCCGCCGTTCGCGGTCTCTGCGCAGGAGAAGCAGAGCGACCGAAAAAGCCGGTGCGGTTGGCGTTCAAATCCTGGTTGGAAAACTGCTGGATCAGACCGTTGGTGCCATCGTTGGCATTGTAGGCCATCCGAGATTGATAGGCCGCCGGCTGGGAGGACGGTACGTTGGGCTGGCTATAGTGCGGCTGAGCGTACGCTTGCTGCGGAGGGTAAGGATTGGCCACGAAATAACCCTGACCATATGCTCCATTCTGAGCCTCGACGTAATCCTGGGGGCCCTGACTTTGATAAATCGGCTGAGGGAATGCGGAGGGAGTGGTAGGATACGCGCGGTTGTTGGCGGCGGCATTGAAGTTACGATCATTGTACCCGAAATTTAGATGGAGGCGGTTGTTGTTGGGGTCCATCTTGAAGATTTCTCCCGGGTACAAACCGTGATAGGCACGGGATGTGGGATAGACAGAGTTCAGCTCAATACGGAGGTGGAAGGAGAGGTTGAAAACCACAGGGGGAGGGGAAGTAACTAAAGGGGCGGTGGTGGCTGAGACGGGCAAGTCGCCAGCAAGTGTTTGTGAAGAGGGGAAAATAGTGGAGAGCGGTGGTCCGTCCTCCACGCAAGAATTCCAGGAACAGTACCCCTTAATCGCAGAGCCAAGTCAAAGGGGATGAAAGAGGCAATAGGCCCGCAGAACGAAGCACCGAGAGGACGAACAAAGAGATCCGACCAGGAGAAGAGAAGAGGAGAAAGAGTTCATCTAACTGACCGGTCTGTTTGGTAACTTTTCGGGTGTCTGGACCCTTGCTACGGCGCGCCAGTGGAACCACCCGTGCGGAACAGGGGTTGGAGATGAGGCTCTCAGGCACAAGTTTAACAGTAGTTTAACTAGGTATAGGGTTACGAAAGTGATAACTCCGTAGGATATATCATCCAAAGTACAGAAAACACGCATCTATTATGGTGGGCATGCAATGTAGCACGTAGAGTTAGCTAAGATAGAGGTAGGTTAATTCATGTATACTATACCCGCTTAATCAGACAAAATCATATATCCACAAATACGCTGGAGAATAAAACAGATCAACATCTATTGTAAATAAAAGTCAAATATAGAGTGTACTTGAACCCCAGTTGTCGTTGTTACACGTTGAGCAACCTACTCTGGAGATGAGTGACGGACTCGTACCAGTCGATGTATCGCACCCGGATAAACTCCCCTTCCGACGGAGCTTTGCAGGCATCCCGAACTTTTCGACAAATCGCTTATCAGAGTTCTCGATGAAAAAGCAGATTCCTCTCTTTCCCCACTATTCGCTTCTTCATATCCCTGAAATTTTTATATAATTAGCGGAGTCTCTGTTGTATCTAGTTTATTCTTAATTTCCTTCTCAGACAGACTGAGCGCATGGCGGACTCCCCCAGTGCCGCCGCGGCTTCAGGCCCGGCCCAGTCTACAGCCAAAGGTGCCAAACCACAAAACCCAGCCATGCGAATGATTGGTATATCCCTCCCATTCTTCATGAATGTGACCATACGTAATAACCGTTGACCCAAGGAATGCCAAACTTCCGTTTCAAACTTCCCTCCCGGAACTGGATGATCTTCCTCACGATAACCGGCTCCTTTGCGACGGCCCTGATCTATGATCGCCGAGAGAAAACACGTACACAACAAAAGTGGTGTGATTTGGTGGCGCATCTGTCGAAAGAATCTCTTCCTGTCGACCAAACCCGCCGAAAGTTAACAGTGTATCTGGCCGCTCCCCCTGGTGACGGGCTCCGCCCGGCGCGGGATCACTTTAAGGAATATGTTAAGCCCATCCTCGTTGCGGCGGCTCTGGACTACCACGTTATCGAAGGAAGAAGGGAAGGTGATGTGAGAGCCGTTCTATCGGAACGAATTCGCAAACTGAGAAGGAAAGCTGGGGAGCCGACGACTGTGGTGGATGAGGCCAGCACCGAAGACGTTGTTGCCGATGCAAGACGAAGAATCGGTGTCACAGATGAACCAGGACCAAAGGGAGATCTGGTGATTGGGCGCCATACCTGGAAGGAATATGTCCGTGGCCTCCACGAGGGCTGGCTTGGACCTCTTGATCCTCCACAACCGCCTGCTGAGCCTGTAGATGCTCCTTCGCTCAAAGCAACAGAGACAAATGCCTCTGCCGATGGCACTCCCGCAGCAGAGAACCCCGAAAAGAGTGAGATAGCGGAGAAGAAAGAAGAAAAACCGAAGCCCACCGGCCCGACTCCAGCTTATATCGCCACTGCGGATTATTCGTCGCAAAATCTTCCACAATCCATTCCCCAGGCCTTTGACAGCTCTATTCCCATCACTTTTCCTCATATCCTAGGTTTCTTGAACACTCCGATCAGACTCTATCGATACTTGAATAAGCGCCACCTTGCTGAAGAGGTGGGACGAGATGTTGCGGGTGTTGTTCTTGCCTCGAATTCTAGACCCTATCATGATAACTCCTTCAGCGCTGACTCTGAATATCATGCGGCGAATGTTGATGCGACTCTGTCACCCGCTGGAAACTACGAACAACAGTCAATCCTTAAAGAAGAAGAGCTGGAATGGCACAAATCGGTGCACAAGAAGGATGAGTCCAACCCCGACAAAGAACGCGAATGGATCAACGAAGTTGTATTAGATCCTCGAATTGCATCTCGCATGCAGCGTTTCGTCCTCTCTCCTGAAGAGGAGGCTCGCTCACAGCGAATCCGCGAGGGATCCGAGTACATTATCGGGGAAGATCGACCTGCGCCTGTCCCGTTTTGGAAGCATCTGTGGATCAAATATGGTTATGGAGAGGATGAAGCGACCCTCCGGAGAAAGCCAATTGTCGGAAACCTCGATGAAGAGGACAGTCAGTGATGTTGGCATTCATGGAACTTGTTGTATTGGATGATTGAAGTATTTATAGACATTGGCACAGGAACCACTCCGCTGTACCACCATTCTTTTAACATTTGTACATTAGTCTAGACTTAGTGCTATACATGTTTATATAAAAACTAGAGGTATTAAAGCACTGACTGTTTGTAGTACTTCAATGTACGCGGAACCTATAAATTTTAAACCATCTCTTGAAGTGAAACAAAGGCTTGGATTTGAACATTGGACTACATATGGAAGCACCTACACTACCAAGCTCTTGCCGGAAAGAATCCACTACACAAACACCCAGTCCTTACGACCCTTGATAACCTAAAGAGCAGATCATCTACAAGAATTGGAATATTTCCCTTTTCCACCGCCTTTAGGGAATTCCCTTTAGCCAGAACAGCCCAACGCAACGCAATATCTGCCCCTGATAATAATATAGCAAATACAAGTTGCATTTTCTCTGATATAAAAGACCTACATGTCAATAAAATCTATTGTGAAGACAAACTTTTCGACCAACTAAGAACTCGGGCTCTTAGTGAGCCAAAATAGTGAGTCAAGTCATATAGAGTTTCAACCCCTACGAATTCAACGGAGATTTTCAAGTGGAAGACATTAAATAATGATTCAAAAATAGAAAAGAGAATATAAAACCACTGGTTTACAAATAGAAGCTTTCCAGATAACGCCATCAAAGAACTCAGACAGTGTTGCCTAAGAAACCATTCACCTCCCGGCAATAGGTTAATGCCTACCGGTGCCTAGAACTTATTAACCATCTAATTGGTTGAATGATTGATGCTGGTTGGGTTTCCTGGGAGATGTTCAAATCGCTTCGAAATACCTAGGTAGGGTAATGGATATCCTTGACGAGAAGGTACTCGCGACCTTCCTATCTGATTTGAACCGTATCTAGTGGAATTACGTAGACACAACTATGTATCAATAGCTGAGGCGATATCAGGGGAACCATAGGACTTTCATTGTTGCTAACTTGTGCAATGCACAGTAATCTGTCTATCATGGTAGTGGGTATATCTTATACTAAGATGTGGACAAGACGATGAGAAGATTTGGCATAATTAGGAATGCCTTAGTTGTCCAGCATAAGACTCACAATAATGATCTGGAACTAGGTAGTGATAAGATATCTACTATCTATAGTTATGCAAACTACAATTCAATATACCTGTCTCTGCAAACCTTTGTAAAGTTTACAACCAAGCAACATTGTGCTACGTAAATCTTCAGATAATCCATGCTACTAGAAGTGACTCAACGTCGATATTTAGTATCTAACCAAGGCATTAAACTAAGGTTCGGTTCCATTCTATCTTCCTTAACATCTCTACCCGCTAATCTCAGCCCAAAATGATGATATTCCTAGCCTTTACTTACCGGAAACCATACCGCTATTCGTCTCCTGGTTGTATTCCAGCATCAGTACAAATTCTACAGTTAATAATACACTAGACTGCATCAAGACAACAAAGAGTATTTAACCCCTCAACGTAGCAATATAACAGATATCCATATTCCACTATCCTCAGTTTATATTCCATTCCCCAACCCATCCCAATTACTGTAGTACAATGGCCATATCCACCCTCATCTTAGCCCCCAGTGCCTGGTACCCTCCCACTGCCTTCAATCCCATCATCGAGAAGCTCAATCCCCATGGCTATGTCTGTCACTCCATCGTCTTCCCCTCTATTCAGCAGACACCCGCTGTTGAGGACCTCCAGCCCGATCGACGCCGTCCGAACCCTGGTAGAAGCCGAGGCCAATGCCGGAACGGATGTAATGGTCGTCTCCCACAGCTGGTCCGGTCTGCCCATGAACAGCGCCCCTGGCCGGTCCGAGTAAGACAGACCGTGAGAAGGAGGGCAAGACCGGCGGTGTAGTCCGTCTGGTCTTTGTCACCGCGTTTATTCCAGACATTGGACAGAGTCTCATCGCGGCGTTTGGGGGAACGTCTCCGGATTGGTATATTAGGGATGTAAGTCCTCTTCCCCTTCCCCCTCCCTTCTTTGTATATGTATAAACACCCATAGATGTTATATACTGGATAATGAAGAATCTAATTCAAATCTAGGAGAAAACCAGCACCGTCACAGCCAATGACCCAGTCAACTTATTCTTCCATGACGTTCCGGATAGGCATGAGTGTGCCAAAACTCTACGTCCTCACGCTGGGCCACGAAGAACGCCCCCGCCACAGGTGCGGCTTATCTCCATATCCCTGCATCGTATCTCCTCTGAGAAAAGGATCGCGCCCTTCCGTTGTTCGTGCAGGAGTGATGGTCGAGAATGTGCGCAGCACGGGCGCGAATATTGAGACGGAGAAAATCGATACTATGCACAAACCCTGATTGGTGAAGCCCGATGCCGTGGTGGATTATATTCGAAGACAAGCAGGGGAGAGTCTGTAATTTGGGGTTTGTACATGACTGATGGATAGATGGGGTCATGTCTGCAGATAGAAATTACTGTTTATGTATTTGTCAAATTCCGAAATCATGATGTAGTTATTATATACAGACTTTCAATATTGGAGTTAGGATGCACTTAAGTTACTATACTTGGATACTTCACATAGTACTCATATAATTGTCAATTTTAAGGACGACAGTATCGTCGAACCGCCAGTGTAGCCTTGATGGTATACGATGGAGTCATGGGGATCTTCTCGATGTGGCCACCGCCGCAGGAGATCCAGGGCTCGCCTTCTAACTCCGAAATCACGGCACTTCAAAGACACCCAGGCCAGGACAGTAGCGGAATGATACCTAGGTCCATGAGCACGTTAGGGGGGTTATTCTCATAACCAGCCCTGAAGCTGTTGACGATCTGCTCGCAGAGATCTACGCATCTCTCCATCGTGAGAACGAGCTTATCGTAGACCATTTCCAATAAACTGAGAAAGGTTTCCACGTTCATCTGGAGGATGACGTTATGCATTCGGATCAGGCCTATGATGCGGGTTCCTCTATCGTGTGAGGTGAGAAGCACAAAACAAATTCCTCAAAGGCCGTCATATGGTCCATCAGGTTGATTCACATTTTGTGTTGCTCTATGACTAATATAAAAAGATCGACCGACCAATCTCGCATACACACATCGCAGATAGACCAGAATCGGAAAACATTGTTTATTATGGGATCGAGTTTGTCCTTTGCTTCGGAGGCTGGATTTCAAGATGGTTGTATTGTATCTTGGTTAGATGAAAATCGCTTGGGTAAAGTCTTATAGAGGCATTCGGTGAGTCAAAGTGCGACGACTGGATGTCCAAATGCGCGAATGCTCTCGCAAGTGTTGCTTCAGAGGTAGCTGCTTGGGTCTTGTCTGTTTGTTTGTTTTTCCAGTCGATTATAAAGACCTACCAGGATAGACAACCGACTAACGTGGCCCTTCTGGTTTGCTAGTATGTGCATCTCATTCTTGAGATGCATCATTGTTGTGACATAATTCTCCTGAATGAACTCATAGAAAACAAAAATGATACAACAAACCAAAGCTGTAATCGTAGCTGGGATCCTTCGACCCCAGACGCCGTAGTAGAATTGAGATTGCTCTGCAATACTGCTCTTGGGCAAAAGATGAATGCAGACTCATTCAATACCGTGTCTCCCGCTACTACTGCCTCTATAACATTGTGAAGTGCCCCGAGTGCGACCGCAGCACGGCACACAGCCGGCTCAGCTTGGCTGAGCTGAAGCATTAATTGCTGCCACGCCTCGGAATCAAATTAGCCAACCAGCATGGGCACCGTATAGTTCTGGAAAAGGCAAAGCATCGTCGTTCGTTGGAGGTGGTCCCGGCAGTTTCGGACTGACATATGCACCGGGACCAGCCTGGGTAGTCTTTTTTTTTCGTGCGGCCGCTGGTAGTTGAAATAGAGTATATCCATCGCATGTCTGCCCTGTGGAGGTACAGTTCGTGCAGGTACCCAGGGTCTCATCACATTTGATATGCCTAAAAGTAATAACTAAGTTGAGATATGTGTGGCTTACTAATATTTTTGATCGTGAGAAAAGAGAAAGCTCGGAGGCGTTGGCGGCTTTCAACTCTTAATGGCCATGGATATTATATCACTATGAAGTTTATCAACTTCTGTAATAATAATAAGATCCTTTTGGCTATTTATCCTCCTCATTCTACGCATTCTTTGCAGCCTTTGGATGTTGGTATCTTGGTCCTTTGTCTACGGCATACAGTAATAAATTGGAACAATTGAAGTCTCAGGGAATCAGCTATATTACAAAGCGAGCCCTTTTTTTTTTGGCTCTTTGGCTGTCATGGAAAGATGCTTTATTACGCAAAAATATTAAAAGTATATGTAGATCTGTCGGTTTATATCCTTGGGATCCAGAAAAGTATTAAGGCGCTTTACTAGGAAAGACGAAGAAAGGCCATATTCTAGTAACTCCTCTAACTCTATCCTTAAGGCAGAAGACTGGCAGAGTATTGAAAAGCTTCTACGGCAAGTTTTTTTTGATGTGTACGATCAAAAAGCTTAAAAGCTTAACAATACTATGCATCATCTTTCTGCAGAGAATATCCTTCTTAAGCTACGCTGTACAGGCCTTGAGAATGCTCTAGGAAATGAACAGAAAAAGTGCTAGCGTGGAAAGCCTCTCAATTTGAATTGCGTGCTCCAGAAGATGGCAATGCAATCTTTTACTCTCCCAATAAGGTTTAACAAGCTCGTGACCTTCAAGCTCAAAAAGAGTATGCTGTACGACTTGCTCAGGCCGCAAAACAAGATAAAAAGCTTCGCGGAGAACATAAAAGGGAGGAGAAAAAGTTTTTAATGGCAGGACGCAAGAAAATACATGCTTTAATAAGGAGCACGTCAGGAAATGGCGGCCGAAAGAGACCAAGAGAATGTTGGGGGTGGGCGCATACTCAAACTCGTGCCAGCAATCGAAGAGATCCGTGTACTTGACGCAGACCTCATGGCCGTTTGCTGCGTAGACAGCATCCGCATCCACAATGTGATCGGGGCAATACTCTGTCGCCCACCCAGGAGTGCAGACCCAGGTACTCTAGCGCGTAATTGATATTTTCCAGGGTTAAGGGAGATAGGGTGAGGTGACCGCAATTCTATCAAGAGGCTGGGCACTTCCGTTTCATTTGCCTCCTTGAGTTCCTGGGTTAAGCCACTCAGGCTGGCAGCATCGGAGCTTGCAGGGTAACCGAGTTTCATGTTTAACCAGCGATGTCATCGCTCCCACTGCGATTCACCTTCCAGACGAGGTCGGGTATTCCCCAGTCATGTCATCAATTATACATGGAATTTGCCTGGACCTGGGCGACGTGGACGATGGTTCCATTGAATAGTGAATGGCGGCCGTGCTTGGGATATGTAGCCAGTCAATCGGCGAGTTTATAGTCATGATCAAGATAGGATGTTGGAGGCTCACCCGTAGGGAGGCTCAAGTCAAATCCTACTTGAGGCATGGCTTGCCCCATGGGCGGGGACAATCATAAATTGCACCGACGCGGAGGAAGAGAAATAACAGCGTAGATACAGAAGATGGGTTGGTTTCAGTCATTTTGGGTTGCTGGACGAATGAATTGTGTGGAAGCCGTTTGAAGGGTGGGCAAAGAAAAATAATTAATTGGATTACGTTACTCATCATTCCGGATGCCTTTATTCTTAACACAGTATAGCAATAGATAACCTAGACTTAGCCTTACTTAAATACGGCCAATTCTAGGGTTCTCTTATGCAAATTAGGAATAAATCCTACTGGAGAATGCACACTGTACACAATAAAAATATTCGATAAAGACCTGGCGCACTACTATACTCCAAGTCGGACCAATAGACCAACTCAATACTAGTACATCATTCTTGATTCGCACTTCGCCGGTCTGAACCCCTGCGTAGGACAAGGTCTTGTCCATATCAGGTCCGATTTCCTAAGCCTTTGGATCGAGTATTTAGAAATATCTATATTCGAATTTTAATATCAATATCATCATAGACTTCCCATGAACGTAGATGTGGCCGGGTGAGGAACATGACCTTCCTATAAAATCAGTCGCTGCTTCCACACACATGGAGCCGCTAAAAACGTCCTTCAGCTCAGGCGAAATGCGGTCGACTCGGGCCACTTGTTGGAGGCTTTTTGAGCGTACGCCGTCTTTGCAGCTTGATCACTTCCCCACTCGCCTAGCAAATTCAGTCCAGCCAGAGCACTCTCAATGGAGACGACGTCGGAATCGAGTGTGGCGGTAAGGTCCTTCTCGCACTGGGATTTCGACTCCGAGTTCAGGAGCTGTCCGCAAGTCAGACCTGCTTGTGTGTGCGGGACACTATCCTTGTGCGCGGCGGTAAACGAATTATTCCACTTTTCCAGATTTTGTGATTTGGGGAGTAGAGCCTCAAACTCGGCGTTGACAACCTCTGCAACTTGGGGTACGAGTGGCTCAGATAAGCTGTCCAGTGCTTTGCGGAACCGGAGGAGTTGAACATGAAGAGTCGGGTTGGACGGGTCGATAGCATGCGCGGCGGACAAGCATTTAAGTGCGAGCGCATATTTGTCTAGGTAATCGAGGTTAACACACTTCCGATACGACGGGGAGAACATCATGGAGTCAGCATACTTTTCCTGAGATACACTTCAAACCCAAGGCATTGGGCCTCAATATTCTTAGGGCAATATTCCAACAACGGGGTCAAAAACTTGGTCGCCTCTTTCAGTGGTTCCGATGTCTGAACAAGCTTGTTTCCAAGTGGATCTGGATCCTCCTTTTTCGCTTCTCCATCGGCGCCCTTTGCAGTGGCTGCGGCTGCCTTTCTCGCCTCTCGCTTATCGGATTCGATCTTTTCCAACCGTTGCTGTTCCTTTTTAGCCTTCTTGAGGGCCTTCTTGCGTTCAGCATCGTCCGTCGCATCCCCATTGACGCCGCCGGGCAATGGTCCATGAGCAAGATTGGGCTGGTCATGGAGAAGCAAATATGCCTTGATGGCAGAGAGAGCCATCCTCGCGTAGAAAGGATGTTCGCGCAGACGATCTTCCCAGCGCACCATGTCAACGTACGCTCGGATCATACCCTTCCGGAGAGAGAAGCTGTGGAAATCGAATTGGTCCTCTTGCCACACATCAAATATATTATACACAGCGTGGAAGCGCTTGAGGGCAAGTCCAAGTTTATGTTGTCGAAGGTACGACTCGCCATCTTCCGTCAAATACCAGACACACTGCATCTCGTGGAGATCACCCAATGCCCCTCCAACTGTCTCATTCCGAGTGAACTTGCTCATGTTCTCGAGTGCCTTGTCATTTTCGTTATTGCGAAGTTGGTATTTCGCTGCCTTGGAATTGATATAGCGGTCTTTCTCGTCGAGGATTCTGGCCTTTTCCATCTCTTCTGCGGCCTTCTCAAGGTTCCCATAATGTTTCCATATCCTCGCCTTCATCATCTGGTACTCAACGGCTTTAGGGGATAACTCGATAGCCTTCTCAACGTATTCCATGGCCTTGGGCAAGTTGCGACTGATGTGATAGTTGTAATGTTGGGCGAGGAAATAGTAAGAAGAAGAGAGGAATTCTGTGTTGTCTCCGTTGGCCTGGTTCTCTCCATTCGACTGCGGCACCACCTTGCCCGAAGCATAGCTTTCGACGAGCTCCTGCACCGTATCACGTTTTTCGGTGTTGCTGTACAAAGTCTTGATGTTCGCAAACAGCGATGGTACACCCTTCTTGAGCATGCGCTGTAGATAAACGTCGGCAGCTTGTTTGAACTCGTCCCCCTCCAAGAAGTCCAAGGGGATTCTTCGAGGAGCATCACCTCGCGGGTTCTTTTCCGCCCAGTGATCATATACAGCTTTCAATGCCTTGTGGTCGGTTTCTGGAATTCCTTTGGTCCTAATCAGGGCGTTGTAATAGATCGAGTTCTCCGGGTTGCGTTCCAGAAGAGCAGTGTAAGCGGCCTCTGCTTCGGCCTTTCTGTCTAGTCGCAGAAGGTAGTCCGCCTTCATCTCCATCACCGCAAGTACATCCGTAATCCGGTGACCTACAGCCTCAAGATGTTCCAGAGCCTTCTCAACCTTGCCCGCCTCGGCCATTATGCTGTTCTTGTACAGGACGGCCTCCGAGTGCTCCATGTCGGCAAGTGGCGGAGGACTTTTGAGGGTCTCCTCGTAGGTCGTCAGCACCTTCTCTGCTTCTTCCAAATCGCCAGAGAGGTGGTGCGCAATTGCCAACGCCGTCCAATTTTGTCGAAAAGCGGGCCGGGCCTGCAGCATCGCACTCCTGCTCTGTATATAACCCTGGTAATCCCGCATCTGCATCTGGAGCAGAGCAAGATCCCGCTGGATGGGCTGGGAGTCCGGCTCAATTCTTAAAGCAAATCGGTATGCCTTGATTGCCTCTTCGTAATTCTTTTCGGCGCGATATAGCAATCCATAAACGTGCCAGCAGATATGCGACTTCATGTCATTCTTCAGAGCTACCTTGGCCAGCGCGAACGCCTCTTCTTGCTGTCCTTGGTTGCTCATGATCAGAGCCTTCATCGCTAGGGTATCGCCATGGTTAGGGTTCTTTTTGAGGATTTGCTCGGCGGTTTTAATTCCTTTTTATTTGCAGGGAAAAAAGATTAGCTGTCATACGCATCCGCACAGATGTCTACAGTGTTCAGACCCGGTCGCAAACCCACCCTTTTTATGTTGCTTGTTTTCATAGTGACGAACCACCTGGCGAAATAAGGACGCATCCTTGGAGCTCAATTGCTGCGGCATTGTGGCGGTTGGGGAAGGCTGGCAGAGGCGAGGGACTTGCCAAGTCACTGTTTGTGGGCGAAGCTGGAAGTGCGCGGGGACTCTTTCCTCCGGCAACGCTGAGAGTGGATCAGGCAGCGATAAGCTAAGATACTAAGGCGTATAGGTATTACGTCTGCAGACTCAACAAAGTCACCAACCACCGAGTCTCCTCGCTGGAAAGACACGGTTCGCCTTCTGCATGTGTCTAGTCTTGGAGATGCTCACAATCCCCGGTTCTTCCTCGCTCCGAAATCCAGCTCCGGTCGCAGATGAAATAATTATCCGAAACGACGCTTGCGTACATCCGTACTCTTGAGAGCTCTCCAATTTCCACTGCTAGGGCACCATGGTTAAATCTACTCATTGATTGACTCGGGGAGGTTATATTGATGGTTCGCATCCGTGAAAACAATGCCTTTTATATAGAACTATCATACACGCTTCGTATATACACATCCTGTCTTAAATAGCAGGACAACACATGCTAGTCCTCATATTCATATCAGTATGTTTTCCTCACGTTCAGTCAATACTAGTCTGGTCACCGTCGTTGCTTCTCACGCCAGCTATTGAGCGCCTCTTCCCAGCTGGTCGACGAGTCATTGCATCTCTCTGTCACTAGACCCCAAGTACGAGAACGTATGATCTCTTCGACGCTACGCTGATTCCGAACCAAATTTGCTAGCGACTCGGTTCGCGCTTCCCGAGGGAAGAAACGTGAGGAATACGGGTCGAGTCGCTCATCAACGACTCGCTCTCGGTCTCTTGCGGATTCGGTCTCTCGAAGAATCAGATCCGGGTCATCCGGATCAGGACTTGTAGCCACACCGGCGCAATAGTTGATCACATCTGAACGAGTTTGCCACGCGGGAAATAATGCGTTTTCCTTAAAGGTCTGACAAGCAGCCGAGTCTATCGATTTCCCTGCTTTTGAGTCTGTTTGACGTATCGCGGTCGAGGAAGGATCGAACCCCTCTTGGGAGGGAGTGAACAAGGCGTTTAGATTCTGGGTTATCGAGTCATCTATTGTAGACCTAGAGAGGCGTAGAAAATCTTACAGGCCCAGAAAATTTGGATGAGTACTTGCTACCACCGTCTGTAGCTGATAAAGGCCAATGCTGAAACATACCTGTGAGCAGCTTCTCATTGAAGCAGAATCGAGGGCTAAGCTCAGGAGCCGTAGTTGATGAGGCCCTCGACATCTTTTGGCTCTCACGCTTTTCAGTGTCTCGGTCTACCTTGACCTTCTTGGACCAAAACCACTCCAGATTGAAAAGAGCAATACCAACAGGGAATTAAATTAATGGATGTTCGCTGCCGAGACGTGAAAAACACCAGAGCACCACCAATGTTCAAAAGCGGGATCCCACCCTTTCAAATCTCGACTGTATAGATTATCGAGGCACAGATGTCCGGTAAGTGTCTTGAAACTCGTTGTCTTTGTGAGCATCGACGGAGTATGGATTCTCGCAAATGAGTGAGTTCCTTCAAGGACTGGCCCGCCTACCGTACTGCAGCCTCCAAAGGGAATCATAAGTTCTTGGCCTGATCAGGCTAGCAGCCATCGAGTAGTTCCAGGTCACGGGACTACGAGACTCGTAACGCGTTTGGTCTCACATCAGCATACTGCACTTACAAAATACCCTTTGGCGGTTGGAATCTATCTTAGTCGTGGAAGTGATTGAGCCCATACCGTCGCCATGCCTGAGCTAGCCGAAGTCTCCCGTATCGTTCACTTCATCCGCCAGCATCTTGTCGGAAGGACACTCACCAAAGTATCAACCCAAAACGATGACATCGTTTACGGTAAAGTAGGCACCACTGCATCTGAATTTCAGAATGCTATGGAGGGAAAGAAATTAGTGGGTGCGGGACAGCAAGGCAAATACTTTTGGATCGTTATGTCTTCGCCACCCCATGCTGTCATGCATTTTGGTATGGCAGGCTGGCTCAAAATCCGAGATGCGGACACATATTACTACAGAACAGATAAGCCGGAAGACAAGGAGTGGCCTCCAAAATATTGGAAGTTTCTGCTGGAAACGGACGGTGATCCCAAGGCTCAAGCAGCATTTGTTGATTTCCGCAGGCTTGGTAGGATAAGACTCGTGGATTGTCCTGCGGAGGAGATTCGTGCACACAGCCCTCTCAAAGAGAACGGACCAGACCCAGTAACCGATAAAGACACTGTGACGGAAAGCTGGCTAGCGAGCAAACTGAAGAGCAAGAAGGTACCCATCAAGGCTCTTCTTCTAGATCAAGCCAACATAAGCGGAATTGGCAATTGGATGGGGTTGGTTCCTAAGTCCACTAGAATACTCACCAATATAAGACTAACTGCTACCCAGAGACGAGATACTGTATCACGCAAAGATACACCCGGAACAATACAGCAACACTCTACAAGACGATCAGATAAAACAACTGCACTCTGCAATGCATTATGTCTGTTCAACTTCAGTGGACCTTCTAGCCGACTCAGAACGCTTTCCAGAAGACTGGCTGTTTAAGCATCGGTGGGAAAAGGGAAAGAAGAATGTCCCATCGGTTCTGCCTAACGGACAAAAAATCACCTTCATTACCGTTGGTGGTAGAACAAGCGCCGTCGTCCCCAGTGTACAAAAGAAAACCGGGCCTGTGACTAAAGATGCAAATGGCCAGGATGCCAATGACACGCAAAAAAGTTCTAAGAGAAAGCGATCTGTGGTACCTAAAGACGAAAGTGATGCGGAGGAGGGTATAGACGGACCCAAATCCAAGAAAAGAGGGTACAAGCGACAAACAAAGAAGCCTATCAAATCTGAGGAGACTGAGGACGTGAAGGCCACAAACATAAGCAGGAGGCGTTCAACACGTCTTAAAAAGTAAAGTTGCCCTATGTCATCTCTTTGTACTTTGTACATTTTCTATTATATCTGATTTCTGAGCATCATATTTACATGGAATGATGGACATTATGTGGATTTCGTTGGGGGGAACCGTAGAATTTTTCGGTTTCGAATGAGATATTTCAAGACACGGATCAGATCCCAAGTCCATGCAACCTCTTGCGGAAAACCTCAAAATTAGTGGTTCTATTCCCTCCTCCAGGTACATTGTCCAGCACTGCAAATATAAGAGTTTCCCACCGGCCTTGAAACTCCTCTTCTTGCAAAACCTCCGCCCAGCAGTCTGCGACCTCATTATTTGGGTTCCCAAAAGCTCCACAGCCGAAAGCACCCAATACAAGCTTTCGATGCTTGTTATATATAGCGACACGAAGGATAGAGCGCATTTTGTCTTTCATTAGGTCTCGATCGGCGGCATATGTGTATCTTGGCAAGGCCGCTCCTTTTTTAAGTTGCGGCCTTCTTACCGCAGCCACGCTGATCACACTAACAACAGGGAGAAGTTCAGGCTTGCTTAAATCCATAACCCTGTGCCCGTTGTTGATGTTCTCTCGGAAGACGACAACTGAAGGCGAGTAGATAGCGTCGCGCTTTCCAATGGGGTAGTATGACTTTTTGAGAGTAGAACTGAGACTGCTTCGATAACAAAGCTCCTCTTCTTGGGCAAGAGCTCCATTGAGCCACCCCCCTCCCGCGTGTTTCTCGCTAGCCATATTTAAGACGCATACATGCACCGCCTGTGTGCTGTTGGAGACACAAGGAGTGCTCTCAAGGCTGAGGGCCACGTCGAAAGTGTCCCCACTTAAGACTTCGACTTTCGTAGTAAGCCTTGGGTTATTATGCCTCGGTTCCAGGGCTGGCATCCTGGCATGCGGGTAGTAGTGCGCATTTGCGGGAGCTTGGGGTTTCAGCGCCAAAACGCCGGGGAGAAGGGATTGAGTCTCTGCTGCAATCAGTCTTAAAGCATCCTTTCTCCCAGTGGACTTGGAGTTAACAGCGGCTGACATAGTCGAAGTTCCGCTGTCACCTGAGTTGCTCGGTACTAGGTAATGTAGGTAATGTTGCCAAAATGACAAAAATGACAAAAATATATTTTGCTGAATTCACGACTGAGCATCGGCTGTGCACGTTTCTGAAGTCTGGGCGAAAATAGACAATTTAAACTGGGTTCTTATAGAGGAAACACGAGTAATGAGTCACTGTATTTATACTACCACGACGTGTCATATGCGACTCAGCCTCAGGCACCGTCCTGTAGTTGCCTGAAAATTTCCCGATTCGTATGCCGACTATCCTTGTAGGCGGTGGGCTTATCAGCGCCGATCGCGGGGGTAGTCTAATCCGCAACACGAGATTCGTCGCCACATGAGCTGACAAAGCGTTCATTTATCAACCCTTCGATCAATGTCTTCCTCATTCGCCTAATAATCTTTCAATCCATTCCCAACTTCTTTCCAGATTTATATTCACATTTTCGTTATGCTTCACAACCAAAGCTGAAAATTTAATTTATTTTGGACTGTGCTTCTTATCCGAAGTGGCAACTGAACATCCAGCGGGGACGCCGCGTCTGCTTTCACAATGAGTGCAATACTGTCCGCAGACGACCTGAATGATTTCATCTCTCCTGGTGTTGCATGCATAAAGCCAGTAGAAACTCTTCCGCAGAAGGAGACAGCTTCAGAGGTATACTAAAAGCGCGCTTCACTGTGATCCCCCCCCAACTTTGATTGCAGATGATGATTTATAATTGAAAGTAGAACCCTTACGAAGTAACGAAGGAAGACAAAGTTCTTGCCGAAAACCTTCCACCGGCGCAGATTTCATTGACGGATTGCCTTGCATGCTCGGGTTGCGTTACTTCCGCTGAGGCAGTATTGATCTCAATGCAGTCTCATGCGGAGGTTCTGAACACTCTCGATGCGTATACGGAAGTACCATTGAGTCGCAATCAAAATAGACCATCCGTGGGTGCTTGGGACACAAATGATAGCCAGAGTCGGATATTCGTTGCAAGTATCAGTCCTCAAGTACGTGCAAGCCTAGCAGCGACATACGGCATCACGGGGCAGGAGGCGACGTACATGGTCGATCAATTCCTCAGTGGTCCTCATGGGTTGAGGTCTGGAGGCAAGCATGGCAGCGGTTTCACCTGGGTTGTTGACACGAACATTATGCGTGAAGCAGTTCAAGTTCTCACGACCGACGAAGTAATCGAATCTTTGAAATCGAACGACCCATCTACCTCATCAAGCGATCCTCTCCCTAAAAAACCAGTCTTGTCCTCGGCTTGTCCAGGATGGATTTGCTACGCCGAGAAAACTCACCCATTTATTCTTCCTCATTTATCCCGACTGAAGTCTCCGCAGGCATTGACTGGCACTTTTTTGAAGACCGTCCTGAGCAAAACGCTTAATGTTCCGGTTTCTCGTATATGGCACTTGGCAGTGATGCCCTGTTTTGATAAGAAGCTCGAAGCCAGTCGGGAAGAACTCACGGACGTTTCATGGAATATCACCAAGGGTCAGTCCTCCTCCGAATCTAGTGCACCTGTTCGCGATGTCGATTGTGTGATCACTACACGTGAACTTCTCACTTTAGCTTCTTCCCGCGGAATATCTCTTCCATCATTACCGCTGCAACCCTTACCTTGTGCCTTCTCACCGCGGTTACCTGATGAGACTCTTGATGCTTTCTTGTTCTCCAAACATTGTTTGTCAAAACAAACTATAGAGACTGGTACCTCTGGGGGGTATTTACATCATGTTCTCTTAACATTTCAGGCCAAAAACCCGGGCAGTGAGATTGTAACGCAGAGGGGGCGAAATGCCGATGTGGTGGAATATACGCTCGTTTCATCTAAGGGCGAGACTCTCATGAAAGCCGCCCGTTACTATGGCTTCAGGAACATCCAGAACCTTGTCAGGAAATTAAAGCCTGCCCGTGTGTCAAGGCTTCCTGGTGCAAAAACAGCTGCCGCTTCCGGAAGCGGGAACCGACGACAGCCGATGTCTCGCAACGCTGCCTCATTTGGGTCGGGTACTGACTACGCTTATATAGAGGTCATGGCTTGCCCTGGTGGCTGTACGAATGGGGGTGGCCAAATTCGTATCGAAGATGCTAGAGAGGCTAGCTCAAACTCACAAGCCGTAACCCCGGCAGATACTGCTAATGCCTCTTCAAAACCATCACCCCATGAACAACGTTCGTGGCTCGCTCATGTGGACGAAGCATATTACTCTGCAGAATCGGATACAGAGACTGAAGCCTATATGCCCCGATCGTTGTCTATCTCAAAAAACGAGACTCGAGTCCATGGGGCCTTGCGGTACTGGTCAGACCTGATGGGAATATCCCTTTCCAAGATGGTCTATACCACCTACCGTGAAGTGGAAAGTGACGTGGGCAAATCTCAAAAAGAGCCGAATGACACTAAACGGGTCGTCGAATTGGCGGGAAAGATTGGTGGTGGGTGGTAGTTTGGTATTATATATATTTGGTGTTATGATGATTATACCCTGATGCATATTGACGGTTGATGAAAATTCGTTTGGCATTTTTGCTACACCTTTACACAGAACGATACCAAATGCTTTTATGTTACACATGCAATGGGCGATTATTGTGGGAGGCCATTTGAAAGAGTTGTATATATACAGGATAAAAAGCATATGGGATAATTAAGTATGAATTTCGAACGAGTCTCTCGTGTTATTTACATTTTGATCAACGATTTCAGTAAATAAGTGACTGGGGAATTGAGTAGCAGTACCTTATCATAGCTGCGATCTTTTGACATCTACAAAATAGGAAAAATGATGAGAAGCAACGTAATTGGTCAATCACAATTACTACCCCTAAAATGGTTAGTCCATCTGCACTTTGAATCTTAGGCAGCTGAGTCATCAAGCTAGATTTGCATAAAAAGTTCCATCTAATTCCCCTCCATTTCCAAGCGACAGACTGTCTGACCGCGGTGCCTCTCGCAGAAAGAAGCATCTTCCTCATTACCGGCCACGCCACATTCTCTTTCGTGCAACCTCCCGAATACCCACAACGGTCATCATGTCTCGCGAGGCCTATCAGGTGCCCACGGGCGGCGGGCAGAATGCCTTCAGCGCTGATGCTATGGGTGCAGGCTCGATTGATGGTCCCGTCGTTGCTTACCTCTGTGGCGAGTGCAATTCTCGCGTGTCACTGAAGAGAGGGGACCAGATCCGATGCAAGGAATGTGGCCATCGTGTGCTGTATAAGGAAAGAACGAAGCGGTGAGTTTTGTTGGCTTTGGCTTTTATTCTATCTGTTCTGTTCTCTCTTTTTGGGTTCTCTTCTTCGTGTATTCGGCCCGTACGGTTTACTGATCGTGGTGATGTAATAGAATGGTCCAGTTTGAAGCCCGATGAAGTCAGATATTATTGAACACGGAAGTAACAGGCGATGGATGGGTGGGTGGTCCTGAAATTACTTCTTACGATCGTGATGTGCATTTTGCGGCGCTTTGGGAGTTTTGTGGTTCAATTTATCAATATCGGGATTGCAGAGATTAGCTCGGGGTGAAATTCGTGGATAAGGGAGTAGCTCCATTGTCTGCGGTATGGTTGTGGAAGCAAGTCCTTGTATAACCATAATCAGTCTATATTGCTTGAAAATCTAATTCGTCCCTTGATTGTCCTGATCTATCTTGTAAATTTTGAAAACAAATACCCGAAATTTGAAAACAAATACCCGAAATTATGCTATAAATAAGCAAGTTAAGAAGAGCAAGAGGAAATCAATTCCCAATGAGCTGACGTGTTGAAAATGGTATGAGTCATACAAAGAAACTCTCAGCTTGGGGAAATAACTCTACTGGAGCTTATTGGAAACTTCAATGAACTTTTCAAACGATTTGAGAGCTGCACCGCTCTCCACGGCCCAACGTGCTCTCCGGACACCCTCCTTCCAACGTCCTCCACCAGGTCCACGTTCGGTAACTACCTGGCCATCATCACCGGGGCCCATATTGCTAGTGTCGGCCTCGCAGATACCAGATGTTACCAAAAGGGCCGCCACATTCATGAGGACGAAGGTCAGGATCGGGTCATCAGGAGGTAACTCGTTGCGGAGGATGCTCATGAGCTTGGCGGCATTGTCTTTGGGCATTTTTCTTCCATAAACTGCAGTCAGCGGGTGAGTTGGAAGGCCGAAATCAGATGGATGCAGCTGGAAAGTTTCCAATTTCACCAAAGAACGCGGAATTTGCCCTGAGCTTTCCTCCTCGTCATCGCAGGAGCATTCATCCGAGCCCGTGTAAGCCGGATTCGGGTACTCGGAGAGTTTCCAGCAGTTTGTCTTCCCCGCACAGCTGATCTCATCCATATCCTCCTCACCGCAGACAACCAGAGTCTTTCTGCATCCAGTCTGTCGTAAAGCTTCTGCAAAGACAGGGCCGAGACTCTGGTAAGCCACGCCAACAACACGGGCCTCCAGGGCCCAATCAACAGGGTTGGCCAAGGGGCCCATGAGATTGAAGATTGTTCGTAAACCTAATCCGCGGCGAACAGGGTTGGCGTACATCATGCCGGGGTGGAAGTTGGGTGCAAACAAGAACGCATAATTAGTTTCTGCGTATACCTGCGCAATATTTTTGGCGGAGACGGCAGAGATATTCGGAGGAACCGGCGCAACAGCATTGAGAACATCGGCGGACCCAGAGAAGGAGGTTTGAGCCCGGTTACCATGTTTGGCCATCATGACCAGCGGCGACGCAATGATGGAAGCAGTCGTAGAAATATTGAACGTGGAGTGAGAGTCTCCGCCGGTCCCAACGATATCGCACTTGAGCAATCCCAAAGACGTTAGGCCAACTCAAGAATTCGAAGCCATTTTGACAATGGACACTTACCAGGCCACCTTTATAGGTGCCTTCCCTCTTCCCACGAGCTTTAATAGTCTGCATCAGTGTCGGCCTATCGACCTGAAGGGCAGCCTCCCTCATTCGGCGAGAGCATTTGGCAATGACCTCTGCATCTCGGTCTTTCCCGGTAGAATGCAAAAGCGTCAGCAAAGCTGCCGTTTGAATAGGAGAGAGGTGATCCTCGAAAATCAATGCAAACGCTGAGGCAATATCTGCTGCGTCAACCGGAAGCTCTCTGGTGGGGTAGGCAAGCTTTTGAAGTAGGGGAGATATAGAGACGTGTTCTGCCTTTTGATCGTATGCCTGGGCAGACATCTTGCACAAATGTAATGTACAGAGGGGCCTTGGGAGCTCTGTGGTGCTATGGAGCTAAGTATAAAGAGGGTTGATAGGATTGACTCATTGCAAAGTATCAGCTCAGCTCAGCTGTGTTCCCCTCCCCTCCATAGCTAGGTGGATCTGCATGAGTAGTCATCCCATGGCAGAACTACACCGCCTGGTCATCGGCCATGCCGTTTCGGGAACGCAAGATTTCGTGATATTTTCCTTGCCCTTGGATCTACCAAAAACAGACCTTTGCCGTCGGTACCGCCCAGTTCTGGGATCTTTGGCTCAAATCTTCATCTACAGGGATTGACTGCTCTCCCCATCACTTCTGCCACAATGCCACCACGGGTACGCCTCTCGGGTGGCCGAATCCCCCAGCCGCTGCGGCAACACAGGCTTCGTCAATATTACCTGCCCATGGCGATCAGATGCGCTACTACTGCCGCAACAGCAACAATGCCAAATCCATCGATTGAGCAGATGACGAAATCTGCTGTCCCTATCGCTAAATATTCTCCGTCCCAACCTCCTTCGCATCGCAATCCTGAGTACCGACGGTCGCAACTGCTGCGGCAATATACATCCCTCATCCGTACGACGCCCCTAATGGTCTTGTTTCAACATGACAATCTCCAATCGGTGGAATGGGCCGCAATTCGACGAGAGCTATCCAGCGCTATGCAAAAGGTGGATGAACAGATTGCCTCTGACGGTCGGAACGTTCCCGCACTGGCTCCTCATGTTAAGGTGCAAATCATGCAAACCAGCATCTTTGAGGTCGCACTACGCATTGTCGAGTATTTCCGGCCCAACCAAGAAGCAGCGGCAGGGGGTCAAACCCTCAGTGCGGTCCATTCGGCTACACAAACATCGGCCGAAAGTCCTCTACTCGGATTGAGGGACGACCCATCTCTTACGCACGACCTCTCCCGTGCAGCTCACGATTCTGTCATGCACATGAAGGGCAAGCACGAGCTCTCGACTCTTCTTATTGGTCCTATCGCTGTTCTCTCGATCCCAGACGTGTCCCCAGAGCACCTGAAGGCTGCACTAACAGTGCTCGCGCCCAAGGCTTGTGGTTTCCCTGTTCCTACTCGAAAGGCTAACCCGGGATGGCACGAGCTTCCTGTTCAGAACGGTCTGAATAAACTGGCTCTCCTTGCCGCACGTATCGATGGTCAAGTGTTTGATGCTGATCAGACGAAATGGGTTGGTGGTATCCAGGGTGGCATGGATGGTCTGCGGTCACAACTCGTCATGGCCCTGCAGAGTATGGGATCCGGTATCACAAACTCCCTGGAGGGTGCTGGCAAGAGTCTCTACTTCACCCTTGAGAGTAGGAAGAATATCTTGGAAGAAGAGCAGAAGGGCCCCGAGGGCCAGAAGAGCGATTCTTAAAAATGTAGCTCAACCCGTTTGCTTCCTATGTATAATACTACTTTTGCATTTTTCTTCTTTTTTGGAGCACCCTGATTTTCCTTTAGCACATGATTTTGGGTTCAAGAAGGGCCAGTTTATTGAATATAAGATTCGTGTAACTTTTGGAGGTGGCTTTTGTATGCGTAGCTGTCGATGACTGTCTAGACTATAAAATGCATGAAGTGCTTCGTATGCATATAGTTTCTTGAGTTTGGACACGACGTCGGCACCTTACATGCTCACACGTTGACTACTTGAAGTTCTCTCATGGATTGTTAACAATTAATTCAGAAGGTGAAACAAATATCGGGGGAATCGAATTCATCATAATATTGACACTAAGTTAAGTACGCTACGATATAATTATCCATCAGTTTTAGTGTCTATTTATTGCTTATCTTGTCTCAGCTTCAGCCGCGCGTTCATGCCCACAATACAGCGGGCAAGATCCCAATCCCCGTCCAATCCGACCCAGTCCGTGACAAGGATGCCAGTAGCCCAATCACCGTCACTTTCACCATGATTCCGACAGAGATGATCGACTGCGGCCGGGTTAAGCTTGGCTGCGATCTTTTCGGGCCAGGTTCCAAGCTTCCAGAAGTTGCTCGCACTCAGAAAGTTGATGTAAAAAGGGTGCGCACTGGTTGCGTTGGGGTCTGGAAGGACACCAAGCGGATAACAAGTTTTGGCTGCTCGTTGACAATGCTCCGTGACGTACTTGATCTTTTGCCCGATGTTTTGCGTCTCCTGGACTTCGTAGAAGTCCTGGATGCAAATCTGCCCACTAGCACAAGTTGCATTCGCGCAATTATCGGCCCAAGCGCTGGCATCGATACCCCAGCCGCGGCCGCCATGCTCGTCTTTCAGGTTCTGCGGGATATTGAATCGACGCATAAGAACGACTTTTCCACGCGCCTCTCCCAGCGTGGGAATTTTGGGTTCCTTGTACCAGGAACTTGCGTAATGGTCATGGAGGATTCGAGCCAGCTGTTCATCTGTGTGCTCGCCAGGGCCCTCACGCTTGAGAGAGATGATGAGCGTTTCCGATGGGTTCTGATTAAGGAAGTCGTCCACCTCACGCATCAGGTCTCGGAAGTATTTATTCCCCGTCAAAGAAATGGGGAATACGCTGTGAACCAGGATCAGTTCATCCTTGGAAGGTTCGTTCGGGTACTGCGGCTGTACGCGGATATCGAAGAATCGGACGCCATTTCGGAGCTGCTCTCGAGGACCGACTGCCTGGCAGCGAACGGAAGGTGGTGCAACGTGACACGTGGGAGAGTTATGCGTGCCAGGGATAGAGAGAGAGGAGAGCAATGTGCTGTCCTTCAGCTCACCCATCCAAGCATGCAAGTTGGCTGAAGAATAAATTGCGAGGTGAGATTCAGGTGTGACGTAGACACCGGTCAGCTTAAATCTGGGATTCTCGCACTGTGCCTTCATAGTGGCGGATTCCGCAGTAGGCACTGGAGTTTGAATCTGGTGTTTCTCTCCATCTACTTCAATTATCCAGCGGAGACGCTCTTTCTCCGAATCGATGAAGGTGCGAAGCTCCGTCTTGACGGCCGTGAAAGGTTCCACCCGAATATCAACATCGTTGTGCTCAAATGGATTGGCATCGTCACTGAGAACTGCAACAGGCTCCGCAGCGCGGGTGACGTTGGTGGCGACAGTAGCTAGAGCTCGAGTGAAATTCTTGGCCAAGGACTGTATGTCATCGCGGAGTTTCTCTTGTGGTCGAAATCTCTCAATGCGTTTCAGGGTGATAGGGGTTGAAGTGAGATTGCGAATGGTCAAATGTTCTGCCACCATTGTCGCACGTAATAGAGTCAATGCCCTGGGTGTGAATTGAGTAGGGGAGATCAATGAAAAGACGGGAGGAAAAATAGGTAGGTAGTCAACACGATTCCGAGCAGATACTAAGTAAGAAATCTCGGCTCGCTAGGGCCGCTGAGCCTAGAAGAAGACCCTCCGTATCAGGCTACTAGGCAAAGCACCGGCTATTATTGGCCTGGGAGGTGCAGGATGAATTACAGTATCTTTAGCACTGGAGACTGACGAGAACACTAGTCCCAACAGTGGCTGGAATCCGCCACCTAGGATCTCCCACGATGCAAATAGACTCGCACTAAAAAGTTTCTAAATCACCCGACCGTGTTTCCCTACAGGGCAGGGGCCACGCAGGTCCCTATACGCAGCGCAATGGCCATTAATATGTATTCCTGAGAAGTAGACTGTAGCAAACATGGGGATTGTCCTCAGATTGGGTAAGAGTGGTCATTCTCGCAATTTCCTTGGGTTTCGGGATCCACTGTCAGTACTTGTAGATGACGACACTCTATGGAAGTAGTGGTGGAGTTTAGGAGGTTCCCATTAACAAACACACTTTAAATAGCTACCTTTCACTGGGTCTTTTTTAAGGATGACAATCCGATCCCAGTAGCTCTAACCATAGTCTTTTTCCAGATCCCTTCATCCTATAGAAAGCAACATAGAACATATCGCAGTGCTGGGCTGAGGAGCGTTTTTGACCGGTAAGCTAGGTAAACAGCGATCAGGTTTCATTTCCAGTCTATCAGCTATGTATGACCTTTTAAGGCTCAAGAGTCTTCCTGAGTGGAATCGAAGCCTTGGCTAATCTAGAAATTCACCAGCATTCAAAAGCGCACAGGTGAACAACCCAGGGGCCCACGATGCAGGATGCGGAGTAATATCACGTGACATGACAGTGGGTGCGGCTATCGTCGGCGCGGAGAAGCGCATTGCGGAGGGACAGCAGTAATGATAACTGCCCTCCATCTCGCTCTTCAACCATGAAGCGTCTCCCTGGTCTGGATACTCCATTAGCCTCTGTGTATTCCTGAATTGAACTTGCTCGTGACTTGAACTTGCTCGACCATGAGCTTGTCACGCTTCGGTAGAAGCCTTTCCTGCTCTCTCCGGTCTAGTCGACCTTACAATCTCCTGCCAATTACCCGTTCCCCGGGTTTCTCGGTTCGTTGCCGCAATTTCCATGCTGCAGCATCACTATGGGGAATTAAGTCCCAGGTTTTGAAGGATGTTGGTGAAGGTATGTAATATTTCTTCCTGATGTCTACTTCGGACTTAACCTGAATCCTATCTTCCCGCCCTCAGTCACTGTCCAATGGCTTACTCTGCTTCCATTGCCTAGGAATCACGGAGGTTCAGATTATCCAGTGGTATGTGGAGGAGGGCGCATATATTGAAGAATGGAAGCCTCTATGTCAATATCAATCGGATAAAGCCGTTGACGATGTAAGTTCTTCTCTTCCTTGTCCTTCAGATAATCCAGGCGCGGCAGCTAACGGAAATAGATTACGTCAAGATATGAAGGTGTAGTCAAGAAACTTCATTTCCAAGCGGACGATACGGTCCCCACGGGAAAAGTAAGAGCATTCAAGCCCTCCGAGGCCCGGAGAGTGTATTTGCTGACCTGTGACACTTTATTCCCTGACAGGCACTCTGCGATATTGAAGTTGAAGAAGGGAAATATCTAGATGATAATTCGTCGCCAGAGCCAGCCCCAGAGCCAGCCCAGCCCTCCCCAGCCCCCACAGACACCCAAACAAAACAACCCACAGAAGGGATTACCTCTAGTACTCCTGCAGATATGACCCAGAATAACAAACCGAATTCGCGATATGCAACGCTCGCAACTCCAGCGGTTCGCGGCTTACTGAAGGCCCATGATGTCAACATCGAGGATGTTCTGGGAACGGGCAAGGATGGGCGAGTTCTGAAGGAAGATGTTCATCGATTCGTAGCCTCGCGTGACTCTGCAGCTGCAACAGCACCCGTGGCGGTATCTACACCGCAAACAGAGACTGCTGTCAACTTGACGCCCATTCAGTCCCAGATGTTCAAGACGATGACCCGATCACTCACCATCCCACACTTCATGTTTGCGGATGAGCTGAACATCAACCAGGTAAATTCCATGAGGAAGAAGTTAGCCAGCGACCCCAAAGATCCTCAAAAGATCACATTCCTTTCATTCGCCGTCAAGGCAGTTTCCCTCGCACTCAATGAATATCCCCTGCTCAATGCTAAAGTCGACACGAGTAATCCTGATAAACCGCAACTCATTATGCGACCAAAACACAACATCGGTGTTGCCATGGACACTCCTCAGGGCTTAATTGTTCCTAATGTGAAGGACGTCGCTAACCGGTCACTTCTCGAAATTGCGTCAGAAATCTCGCGGCTAAGTGCTCTGGGGCGAGAAGGGAGACTCACACCTGCAGACCTCGGCGGTGGCACGATTACAGTTTCGAACATTGGAAACATTGGGGGCACCTACGTATCACCTGTGATTGTATCCAATGAAGTGGCCATCCTGGGTATTGGGAAGACCAGAACCATTCCGATCTTTGACGATGCAGGCCAGGTGACAAAGGGCGAATTGGTGAACTTCAGCTGGTCCGCAGATCATCGCGTGGTGGATGGCGCGACCATGGCCAGGATGGCCAACAGGGTCCGAGGATTTGTCGAGTCTCCAGAGCTAATGCTTCTAAACCTACGGTAATCCATACATAGATATTGGTTTGTTTTCTGTCCTGTGAATCCAGTGAACGAGGCCACTTTATAGAGAACATGACTGAATAGACCAACAAAACCCCCGTCTATATATTTTCTGTTTTGTATGGGTGATAGAAATGCTAGGTCCTTATGCATATTCACGGGTAAGCTGCAAGGACTTCTGTCTTCGACACTGTGGATTTACGGTCCAATTCGATCCTGTTAACGCACGAACTTTCGTGGTTACGTCGCTTTGGCGCTCTGAGCCGTCTCTAGAAGTACTTCCTCTTCTCCCTCCACCACCTCTCCTTTTCTTCTCCCTTTCCCTCTTCCCATTCCAGCTTGTTTATTATCTCAAACCATCAATCATCCCATCAAGATGGGGACCCGCGGCTTTCTCTATGTTCGTTGCCGTGGTAGATACTTTGTCTACTATAACCATTTTGATTGCTATCCTGAGGGTCTCGGACAAGCTATCATTCAGGAAATCCCCGAGGATCTGGTCAATTACCGACGTAAAATAAACATTGCTCGTTTGATCCCTTGCTAATCGCTAACCGATAGATCTCTGGAATGGCTGGAAATGATGAGAGCGAGATATGCTACCCTTGCGGCCCAGTTTGAAGAACGGTGCCTTCCAGTTTCGGTCAAGGGTGATCAACCAGAGTCAACATCTTCTCTTCCTGAGCGATACACGAAGAGCTATCTCGCTGTGGACGACCACCTTGAAGGGCCGCCGCTTCGAGCCCTGCTGCCCGATGTGGTAATATTGTTTATTGAATGGACTTACACCCTTGATCTTGATCGGGAAATTCTAACAGTGGACAATTCTATACACTACAAACTGTCTAATATTCCACATTCTGGTCGCTGGATTAAGTACATTGGCAGCGATGCCCACCGTCGTCGGGCTTTCCGGACAGGCACTCCCGACGATATCATCAGCAATATTGCCTGGCTACCAGAGGTAAAGGAAACCTCAAAGAGCGGATACAAAGCCCTCAATATTGAGACAGTCTCTCCAAAAGCTCTTGTTTCTTACTCGACAGAAGTCTTCGCTCATCGAGAATCCTTGCTATGGACTATTTACTCACTTGCCCATGAGCAATCTTGTGGACTGCTGGATCAGTTTTTCCTAGATTGGAAACCCAGCGACTTTCTTTTCAGGGAGATGGCATTTGCGTTTTTGTCTATTGCGGCCTGAAAAATTTGCTTCGAGTGTCCCGAACCTCTCAACAGAATTACCAGCGAGAAGGATATTTTCTAGTCCCAGAAGCCAGGCTCCAGGCAGGACAGCAGATCTTGCTTCCAAGGTTCTTACGCGAGCCCCATATTCCTGGCGTCAAACCTAGGTCAGCCCCCGAGACCACAACCTACTGGTTGGGAAATGTCCCTGTTTACCTAACTAGCAAAATTAATTTGGCTGATGCCGAGGAGGCAGCTAGTGCTGAAGTAGTGCAAATTGGTCTTCAAATGGGCCTAAAGGACTTTTATGCCATGGTATATTCCATCCTGGATGTCGTCCTGATCCACCTCCAAACTAAAGATAGCGGAGAAGCTCATATACAGAGGGCACCTCTGATGGCTATGATCTACTTTGATGACAACAACTCCAGGTATGCAAATAGACCTCGTTCAAGGGCATTTTATCCTCTTCAAAGGCCTACCACCGATCCTAAGTCCGATGTTAGCTCTCGCCTCAAAGAACATGTTCTGGAAACTGAAACCCCCAGCGGTTCGGGGGTTGCTTCCGGTTCAAAGGATGAAAGTGGAAAACAGAACTACGATATTTCCACTACACTTCTTAAAGAATCATACGCGGATGAAGACTTTACCTTCAATATGATGATGCGCTTCTTTGATGCAGCTTCCAAACAACATCTGGCTGGCATGAAGTCTCGCATTTTTCCTAATGAGATTCTGACTACAATGATGCAGTTTGCAGATAGTCGGACATATCACACTATGCGCAAAGTCTCTGCATGCTGTCAACGGTTAGGTGACCGCAAGATCCGATTGAATGAAGACTTCGTTGTGATCGGTGTTGATCAAGCCAAGGAGTCCGAGGTCTTCATCTTGAATAATTTGCGTACAGGCGTAAATATACGCTCAAATTTGAATTTCAGTGAGGAAAAGTACTGGCGTTCTACTAAAAAGGATGGGATATCACTCGAATTGAACCCTGTAATCGGGATTGCCGACCCCACAAGGATGAGTATCATGGATACTGTAATTCTGTGCTTTGCAAAAGTGGCATCAGCAGATCCACCGTACACAGAGGAGATTGAGTTGCCATTTCAGTAAGTATTCTCCTATTCGACATAAAAGGCAAATTATCGACCGTTTATGCAGGGAGCAGTTCACCTGCATGGGCGGGAGCCTTGGTGACGCAACATCCAATAAACTCTTCGAGATTCCCGGATACCTCTACCCTGGATCTGTCGAGGACGCTTGGGGCCATTACATCACTGCAGTACTTCGAGATGGTGATAATTCCACCTACAGGTTCGCGCTCATCAATAATGCAAAATGGCAGTGTCTCCTTCCTCCAGGATATCGCCAATTGAGGATGGATCACTATTTTTGTAACGGACTTCAGGTATTCTTACGCCACCCAAAAGATGAAAGCCCCGAGGAGTGGGACAATACAATTAAATACGCCATGTACGAACTTGGCCATACAGCACTCACACGACAACGGGACGGCTATCTACGTGGACGTCCAGTGGTCGTGGCTTTTGGTACCAAGCTGAAATTCTTCTACTTTGCCTACCGTCGTGCAGATTTTCCTGATGTTGCTTCAGATGCAAGTCCAAACGGTGCTCAAATTGGGATCACCTACACGGAACCTGATCGAGACCATCTCCTTATTCAGCTCATCCCTGGAGAAGACCCTATTGATATCCAAGAGAGCAAGGAATGATCGAAACTGGAGAACTGGATTAAGATTTTCCGCGGAGATGATGGCTTTGACACGGAATACAATCCCATCACCGAGCAACGGCTACCGCTGAGAAAGGCAGAGAGGAAACAAACCAGAGAGATTGGCAATGAGAAGGGCAACGAAGAAGAAAGCGATGAGGAATACGATGACAAAGAACACGAGGAGGAAGGTACGGAGGAAGACGATGGGGAAGAAGACGAAGAATAAAATGAGTAAGACAAGGAATCAGGTGACCAATTGTTGGGAATTTATCTGTCACACTAAGATACGCTCTTATGTGCAATGAGAAAGCCAGGGGAAAGCCTAGATGTTGTCCTCTATACGCTTTCTTTCATTTTCTTCCCCATGCCAGCCTTTTGCATGCACTGCCCTCTCTAGCCCCCTTTCCTTTCCTGGAGAAAAAAAACAAATCTAGAAAGAAGCCAGCATCCAATGCGGAAATGTGAGGGTCGAGGAGAAAATTAGGCGATTTGCTGGCGATCAGGCATCAAGCCACAAAAGCAGTAATTGTAACTTGAGAGTTGCTTTCTGTATTTATAACCGCGGGGTAGCACCTAGTCAAAGATTTAATAATGCTGGTAATAATGCATACAAATAAAACTAGCTACCAGAAATCTCGTAATTCAGCCAATCAGTGTATCCACTAAACCTGAGTACCCTCCAGTACGATCAAGCTAGCCAAGGGATTGCAATTCCACAGCTCTAATCCCTCCACGTGGGTCGAATAGAAATGGACGAGTATACGGAGTACCCCGGAGTACTAGCAGTGTACTACATCAATGACGTCATATTTATTAAGTCGTCCGAGAGATCCACCCTTCTGCCTCGAGAAATCAAACAGGTGAAAATGGGATATATTTAAAGCATACAGAAGTGAAATCTATATAGACAAGAAATGCAGCCCGCCAGGCTGATGCGAACTCCCAGAAAAAAGTGGAACTCCTAAGTTCAATATCATGATGCTTTCCATAGCAAGCTGTATAACTCCGCAGACACCAGGCCAGTCCGATAATCCACACATTCCGCATATATTGAGGGCAATCGGTAGCCAAATAAAAGAAATAGAAAAAAACGGAGAAAGAAACATAATAAGGTGACAGAGAAACACGGCGATACGTTAGTTGTATTCAGCGAGCTTGTTCCGTACCAACTCTAGGACTTCCTTTTGGACTTGCTCAGGAGGGTGATTGGCATCAACAGTGAGTGCATCCCACTCGCCTTTGGGCTCTTCAAGATCGCGCAGTTGCGATTGGACCATGGTGCTCTTCATGTAGTGAGCTTTTCGCTGCGTGACACGCTGGAAGAGCGTCTTTTCATCCAGTTTGAGATAGACAAAGTGGATTTGGACAGACGGAGAGCCGTAGGCGGCTATCCGCATCACATCGCGATACTTCTGCTTAAGGGCCGAGCAAGCCACCACCACGCCGGAAGGAGGAACATAATTGTTGGTTTCTGACGGAGAGAGGGCCTCGGTTGCCGCATTGCGAAGGGAAATGAGCCAGTCCCAACGGTCCGCGTCTGTAAGAGGGATCCCATTGCTCATCTTTTCTTTGTTGGATCGGGGGTGGAACTAAAACGTAGTACATCATGAGTCATGTTTCTGACCAAGTAGGCTAGATAATGGAGATTCGGGGTTAGGAGCTAGACTTACATCATCGCCCTCTAGGAAGGGAACCCCTAATGCCATCTGTATGCCTCGTCCAACTGTACTTTTCCCACATCCGGCGGGGCCTGTGACGACCCATATATGTTGGATGTTCTCTGCTTTGGAATTTTCCGTCCACATGGGCGTAGTCGAATGGTTCAACGAATCTTTGCTAACGGGTGTTCTTCGAGATGCATCGATAACAGCAGCATTGCTACTGAGGGGTAGTTGAGGTCGTTCGCCGGTTGAGAGCATTGTGGTGGAAAGAAAGAGAGAGAGAGGAGATATATTCGGGAGGATTCCAGTTGTAGAAAGAGTGCGGGAACGTGCCGGCAGCACAGAGTGTATGACGACGGAGAAAGCGGCGCAATTCGCGGGGCCGATATGATTGGTGGAATTGTTCAATATCGTATGGATGGTTTAATGGTTTCTTCCTTTAGGAGTTGCCTGCGTGTGGTATAGGATAAGGTAGGCACAGGGTCACGGTTCAGTTCCTGTGGAAAGTGGAAAATGTCGTTACAGCAGCGTTTCCAGCTGAGGGAGGGAAACAAGGAGAGGAGAAACTTGAAGGGAGAAAGAGCATAAGAAGAAATAATATAACTAAGCCTCCTTTCAAGTATGAAATTTGGGCCGGTGGGTCATTCCTTACTTCATGACTGGGGACCGTAATTTTTATATCGGGCTCGTCTCTGCCTTGTATACTGGAAGTACTAGTAAACCGTCCACGGTACCTGAACACAGTACTTTCGCCTCAGAGTTACATTAACACCTCCCCATGGTACGTATCCCGAGTGGGGGAATAATTGAATTCAACCATCTAGTTCTCGGCGAGTGGGGGACAAACAGGGAGACAAAGACAGGGGAATGCGAGAGAGTCCAGCGGTCTGGTCATTAGCGGGAGATCCGATCTAGTGGTATTTTATTTCCCCATCGATCCAGTCAGGTTGAGTAGGTTTCTCAACCAGAACCTAACAAGCTAACCCAAAGTGTCTGCCCTATACCTCTAAATGGCTATTGAAAAATGGGCCGACCTAATAGAAGGGCGGAAGAAGCAGAGGCCGCTGTCGTACGGAATACTCGTACAACCAACGGGTATTGATTGAATGATGCACGGATGATGTCACTTTGCCCCGGGGATCCGGGAGTAGAAAAGGTAGTATTCCCCTGCGTCATAACAATACCCATACGAGACAGTCTGTGAACCAGCCCCCACGCTATACCCCATCTGATCATTTACATCGGGCCCATATTCCGAGCTGCTTCCCTCACAACAACAGATTCCGTGGGATATAAGTCCCTGTATTATTATAATATCTCCTTTGCTCAAGTATGTGTTCCGCATACTTATCTGCTGATCTTTGCCCCTGCTGAAAAATGAGCTGTACTGGTACTTTTGTCCTGGGGCGGCCAGCATTCGGATACAGCAAATTCTCACTGGACCATTTTCCCGTCCGGTGCTACGTGAAACGCAACAAAATGACCTATAGCACGACTATTAGATAAAAGGTTTACAATTCGATAAAACTTTGCTCTCTTTTGTCGACTCTTGTGTCTCCGCGTGGTCATCTGAAGGCATACCGACTTGTTTTGTTCAGACACGGTTGCTGGACTTTCACGTGGCCTTGTAACCTCCAGAGTTCATGCTTCTAGATTGACTGGATGACTTCTTTATTATCCACTTAAATTTCATTTTAAGAACAGCAGAGGTCTATTCAAAGTTTCGGGCCAGCGTTTCCACTCTGGCTACCGCAGTCTTAAACTCTAGTCTATATTGCTGATAATTCGTCATCTTGAAAAGTTTAGTGGCCGACAAGTGGATAGATGCGCCGAAGTCAAAGCCTATTACGATCCCAGACCTGAAGTGTCCTCACCGTACAAAGACCAGAATAATACGGTGTCTTGGCCATCACATTTTTCAGGCTCTCGTGACCAGCCTGCGCAAGTCAGGCTATCGCTTCAGTGAAACATAGGAATGCCAATCTGATGAATAGATTTAGCATCTACTAGGTCTGACGCTCATCTTCTTGCAGTTTATGCCTGCTAGGGGAGTCTTGGCGCCACCCATGGACCAAGCACCGCGGTTCTAGGCGTGAAAAGAACACACTATCGAACATCTCAGCTCAGTTGCCCTTGATGTATGGATGAAAAATGGCTGCCGTACAGATGGTGCCGTATGTACGCTGTTTGCAAGCTCCATAACTGGTATTCAAATTCAGTAGCCAACAATCCGCTCCAGGCACTGCAGAATTACAAATAATACTCTGTATATCTCGCCTTACAGGTGAATCTGAGAGAGAGGCCCAGGATTACCCTCCTTGCGTCTTTCGTAGTCCTCCAGAATGTCAATTTTAACGGGATGAAAAGTAGTGTAACAATATCTCTTCTTTAAAACTGGGGCTTCTGTCCTTATCTAAAATACTATTATAAACCTGAAATTTCATTGTGAGTCGACGATTTGCTGTTCCCTATTCAGCTCATTGCGTTGTTAGTGAGACTGTGAGCCTTTATCATAATGCGCAGGTAGCGACAGCCGAAAATATAAAAAATAGTATGGGATACGAACTAATTTATAACAAAGCGATACGTGTGCCCTTTTTTGGCACTATTTTCCATGAAACTTTTCTGTCTGTTTTCTCTTTTGGTAGAGCCCAAAAGCCCTCCCTTTTTTTTTTTTTTTTTTTTTTAACGAACAGTGCCATTTGTATGAGATGCCATTTGTATGAGATGTGATGATGGGCGCTTACATAACCCCGCATACGCCAGCCGGAAACGTCAGTGAAGCTGAGCGGAGCTATTAATGCGCTTTCCTACGAGACATGTTCATTGCCTGACGTCTGAATCAACTACATCTGGACTTGTGACCGAGACCAAGGAGTTTTTCTGTCTTAGTCTTCTTCCCTGCTGATAAATACCAATATCTTGTCGGCTTAACCGCCTAGCCTACGATGACCTCCCTCTTCTTCTCCACCCCTGTCGACATCGACGTCGTCCTCGAAGACAGTGATGAACGCCAGACTGTTGACGTCAAGCTCGATAAGGGCCGTCGCGAGAGGGTCCCTCTTTACATGGATGGGGAGTCTGTCAAGGGCGCCGTGACCGTGAGGCCAAAGGATGGAAAGCGATTGGAACACACAGGCATCAAGGTCCAGTTCATCGGCACAATTGGTACGATTATTTCATCTCCGACATTACTACCTGCGGGAGTCCTTCGGAGATCATTTTTCTTAATGCCGTGCCTGCCCTATGGTTTGGTTGTAAGAATGGTACTAACACGATGTGCCTAATCTAGAGATGTTCTATGACCGCGGCAACCACTACGAGTTTCTTTCCTTGGTACAGGAGCTCGCGGCTCCGGGTGAACTGCAACACCCACAGACGTTCCTCTTTAACTTCAAAAATGTTGAAAAGCAGTACGAGTCCTACAATGGTATTAATGTCAAACTACGGTACTTTGTCCGGGTGACGGTCTCCCGGCGCATGGCCGATGTGATCCGGGAGAAAGACCTATGGGTTTACTCCTATCGCATGCCGCCGGAGACAAACAGTCCGATTAAGATGGATGTCGGTATTGAGGACTGCCTGCATATTGAGTTCGAATATTCCAAATCCCAATATCACCTCAAGGATGTCATTGTAGGCCGCATTTATTTCCTCCTTGTCCGATTGAAGATCAAACATATGGAGTTATCCATTATCCGGCGGGAAACAACGGGTTCACCTCCAAACCAATATAATGAAAGTGAGACGTTGGTGCGGTTCGAGGTGGGTTTAGTCAATCCTTGGGAGTTCAAACAGGCAAGTGATTCTAATTCAGCTATTTGCAGATTATGGATGGTTCACCGTCACGTGGTAAGTATCTTGCATTATTTAGATAGCCATTTATATCAATAGTGGCCCATTCACTATTTACAGAAATTTCTATGAGCCGACACGTATGCTGATCATTTCCAGGTGAAACCATCCCCATCCGTCTGTTCCTTGGCGGGTTTGATTTGACACCGACCTTCCGTGACGTGAACAAGAAATATTCCACACGCTATTACCTTAGTTTGGTACTTATAGACGAGGGTACGTTATGCAACCTGAGCGCATCCCTGATTGTGGATGCTTTGGCGCCTGAGGCCTCCAGGCCCCGTGCGCTATTTCTGCCCGACAAACATCCCACGGTCTATCAATAGCCGATCGGCTATTGATATTCGGGCCGGGGCCTTGCAGCAACAACTGCACACCCCACGCTAAACTGTATTAGTATACCGTTTCGCGTGGCCAGCCCCACAGTCCCCAGTTCCCACCTGTTTTTTATTGAAACCGTCTCGTACTGACCATACATCCGGATATTCAGACGCTCGCCGATACTTTAAGCAGTCCGAAATTGTTCTCTACCGTCAAGCTCCCGAAATTGCAACTACGCCACAGATAGCCCAGCAGCAGCAGATTCAGCAGCAGCAACTCCAACAGCAGCAAGCGCAACAGCAACAGCTACCGCCCGGCTCTGCTACACCTGGCCCGGGGCGTAAAGCGTACCCTAGTCAACCAGTCGCTGCTCCCGTTGCATAGATTACAAATGTGTTCTCGGACCATTAATGGCTACAATTATTCATATACCCTGTCCTAACTCTGTACTCTCCTACTCGTCTAATCCCCAAGATCTGAGACTGCCTACGAACCATACGATGGAAGGTGTCCCCCTTCCGAATTTTAAGGCACGGTTTACCAGAGAGCCAATCAATCTTCTGAGACTTTTCATCCTGTGAAAAGAGAGACCTTTCTATCTGAGCACGATTTATGACCAGTGGATTCTATAATCCTGTACAAATTTTTTTACCTGAAACTCATAGGGAGAGGGGATGAAAAGAGACTTAGAAATCTTCTTTTCCGTCCGAGTACACCATAGAAAGAATAGAGAAAACCTGTAACTTTGTATACTAGTAAGAACCTCCAATCTCATGTAATACCTTTCCAAGAGCATGGAGAACTTCCCCATCGTCTTTTTCTTTGCCTGCAACCTGCATAGCCTGTACGACGAGGGGGTATATCCATTCCAAATGTTTCTTCTGGCCGTGAAGGCTGATCACATCCGATTCCTTGGGTGACACAGCTGTACCTGTGTTGATAGTGGGCTGGGGAATCGCCGAAGGCTCGCTCCGTAGATTTACCATGCCTAGAAGAAGATGCAAGAGCGCCTTGCGTGCAGGAGTGGGCTGAGGCATGAGACCCCGAAGGGGTTGATCTGCAATATACCCTTTCAACGACACAGCACTCCGTAGTATGAGATACGGGGAAATTGAACGAGCAAGCAAGATCCGTGCAGATGTCCGAGTCTCACTTTCCAGTGTTTGTTCCGAGCCGTTGCCCTTTTGTTGTTCTGGCGTAGGTGAAGCTGCTAATTCGAAAAAGGTGTCCAGTGCGGCGTATGCCATCTTGGTCCGTGCTGTTGGTGACGGATTAGAGGTTCTCCCAGGGCGTAGGTCGTATATATCCTCAAGAGGCTCGCCGTCCGGAAACTTGCTGGGAAGATCAAATCGTTGTGGTAGATAAATGAAGGATGAGGATAGCAGCGCACACGCAAAATCCCGCCGAATAGCATCAGGGATGATAGGTACTCCAAGGGACGGAATAATAAGTGTCTTTAGCCTTTGGAAGGCAGCGACATCAAAAGACTCGTCCGCAAGTATGTTTGCTCGAGGAACTGCCACAGTTCGACAACCTTTGGCAGAAATTATGCCGTTTGCGAGGTCAACAATGCCGGTCCAGAAACGTGAAATTTCTGACTGATTTGCTTTTTCATATTGTTTCTCCACGTATGGAATTGCGACTTCAAGAACATCCAGCGATGCAGTGGTTGACTTTCTCCACAAGGAAGGCTCGCGATCTTTCCCGGTCCATTCATACTTCTGAGAAACCGGGTTCACGAGATGCTCTAGAGCAGTTGTGAGGGAACCGCTGACAAATATCTCCCTCTTAATCCCAAAGTCCGCAATATACCAACTGAGGAGTTCTATTGCACTCTTTGAGAATGCAACATACGTAGGTATTCTTGAGTCACGAGTCGGTGACCACTTCGTCAACGCGGAATCAGCAAATCTTGCAAGGCACGTCAGGATTTCTGCTTGAGAATCATTTTTATCAAGGCAAATCATCTTCACGCAGTCAATGATCAGAGCTTGCAAACCCGACGGGCGATCTATATCAGGCGAGTATCGTGGAGAGATAGAATTCCACGCAAGAAGCTGTATATGGTTTAGGATCTTCTCAACATGAGACCCCGTCATCTCATCCTTATATAAGCGATACACCTGTTGGAACGCGTGTAGATAAGCTATTGCAGCATCTTGATTTGGGCAATCCATGTCCAACAAATCTTCCCTATGAGCGGGATGGCCATTGATCCATAGTGTCCATACAGCTTGTAAAGACTCTTTGCTCAAAGTATTTGGAGAGTGCACTCGAAGAAGGATGTTCGTCAAACTAGTGAATACGGCTTCACTAAGCTCTAGATAATATAGAGCAGTGAAGTCATGAAAATGATCCAGCAGCCGTTTCCATGATTGATCGAACCTTTCATCTGGAGTGATGGCTTCGAAGAAATTTGTGATTAGATCAGAAATTCCCTTGATCGTAACAACCGCTGTCTCAACCCATGAATGGAGCTCATCTGAGTCTCCCTTACTTCCCGTACCACGAACACTGTTTAGCTCAGTCTCGATTTCCTCTATCATTTGGAACATTACCCGATTAAGACACAGAGACCATGCCTTGGGTGGTAGTTGTTGACCATATGCATCAAAAATCCTTAGAAGTGTATGCACTGCGCAATTCCTAATTTCTGACCTGCTATCGGTTGTAAGGTCAACAATTCGTAATAGCAGCAAGAGCCAGAGAGCGTTCCGAGAAACAGAAGGGTCATTGTCCTTAGCAAGAGTCACAAGCGATTCCTCGCTCACCGAGACATCGACACTAGACTCGATCGAGAACTGCTTAATTTGGCCCTGAAGAAAGTCAGACACATTCCAGAAAGATGATGTCGTCGTTAGTGAGATATTGAAATCTTGCTGCTGTATCGCAAACTTAGAAAACGCCTCTACAAGGTCCAAGTGACACGGCAACGGTAGAAGAGCAATGAAATCCGAAGCTATTAGTTGCAGAGACTTATATGAGATTCGAATAAGTTGATTCGAATCTGCTATTAGGAAAGCCTTGCGATCTTTGCTAATAGTCATGGATTCTTTACGCTCTCCCGTTCGGCTATCCCCAAAAACACTAGAAATAAGGTCGAAGACGATAGCCCAGCCATCGACAAAAGTATCTCCATACTGTTCCAAGATACTTTTCAAAGTCTCCAAGCTTTGTGCATGTATCTCTATTATTATGCCAGAGGGGGAACCCAGCTGACATGCACCTATTTCATAAAGCAATTCGATCTGCCGCCTCAGAGTCTCGAGGTTTCTCTTTTGCCGTACGTTTCGCATTTGGTCACTGTCGCCAGGCATCTGTTTCATAGTCTGGGATACGAGACTATTCAAGATTTCGTTCGCTTGCAGTCGAAGACTTTGGCTTATTTCTCTATCAGCCGCGCTCGTCATGAGCCTGTCGGATAAGAGCTGCCAGACGCTGCTGTCGCTCTCATCCAGAGATGACAACCTTTCCAAATTTGATCTGCCCAACTCGTTTGACTTCTCCAGAACAAATCTCAATTCTTCATCTTGCATTTGATTTTTGCCAATTGCGAGCGAGACACGGCGGGCATTCCTGCGCATACGGCCAGAGCGCTGATACGGTGTCTGGGAGGAACTTGATGCTGGTACCGAAGAGTCCCTTTCATCATGTTCCTCAGTTGTCGTAGAGAGATTCACCAATGCAGATAGCAGTTCTTGAAATGAGCTGCTTGGATAGTCACTGGTGCTTTCAAATAGCTTAGCAGACGCTGAGAGTACAGCGAGTATCTCATTTCCGGTGTTAGCTCTAGGAACGTCAACTCCCGTGGCAGACGAAATTTCACCAGAGCTAGATACTATGGCATTCGTTTTTGTTGAGCCGATACCAATCAGCAACTCCGTATCTTGTAGCGTGCCTAGGATTATAGACCAGGCCGGCTGGTCTAAGGTAGGGCCAAGAGCAATGCCCAGGTTAAGCAAAGCACGCAAACATAAAAGATTTCTTGTGCTGGGAAATACACGGGACTTGTTCAAAGCAGTTGCGGATGCTTCAGATACTGGGGATCCAAAAGGTGGCACTTCCACCCCTTTCCGCTTTTCATCTACTGTCTGGCTGGGTTGAGGAAGAGAGGAAACTTTCCCAATGGGCCCGGTAGTCTTCATGGCACCTGTCTCAGCCGGTACGGCTGCTTTTCCCAGCGTTGTAAGAAAAGCATCCCTGGGAGTTGACAATCTCAGAAGACCTGCCACATGGGCTAGTTTTTGAAAAGAACGGACAAGGTTGTGGTAAAACTCATCGTCCAGTGACGCATAGAGAAAAGTTGAGCAAGCTGCAAGGACAGCAGGCCAACAATTCTCAATAATCCCAGCACAAGTTTTGATAGCCCCCAACTGAGGATGGGATTCAAGTTGTAGAGGATTTATAGGCATGGTTGCCTTCTTCGTACTTGATTGATGACTGCTCTTGTGGGAGTTTGTCCTCTGGATGTCATGAGAACGTCGAGTAGAGTCTGTGGCCTGGTCAGGACTTGTAATATGACTTTTTCTCTTCTGTTTTAGATCAGGCACCGTCAACGGAAGGATGAATTTAGCAAGTTCCTCGGCAAATGAACTTATACAGTTCAGCACAAGCCCGTAAACATAAGTTTCTGGAGGCTGAGGTGGTTCCGATTTGTCAAGCAATTCTAGGTACGGCGTGCGAACAACACTCCATTGGCTACTGATGCCCGGCACATTGGTATCAGCTGATGTAACCGTTGTTCCAATGACTCCAGCCACTCCGCCTGCCTCAAGGGTAATTTGCTCTTCAGTAATAGATCTTGAATGTTCGGCACGCAAAGGCACAGTTGACCGGCTGCTAACACCAATCAACGAGGGTTTCTCGGATGATAAACGAACAAGCGAGGCCATGTGATCTTTGAGGCTGTTTTTTCTTCCATCTTCTCCGTCATAAAGAGAATAAATGAGCCGTATGAGCCCTGGTTCTGCGTACAATCCTCGGAACACTTCCATACACAAGATTCGTTTCCAAGGCAATGTACTATCAGGTTCAAGCAAATGTGTTAAAAGACTCAATGCCATTTCACACTCTGATGTGAGAAGAGACATATGGCGCTTGAGAAGCAGGAGAAGAATCCGCGAAACACGGACAGTCAGAGCAAAGTTATGCCTTTCGGATAAGAATCTTATGATCATTGGCATAAGCCGAACTCGCAACACATGGGCGAGTTCCGTATGGCCAATAAAAAGGCTACCAGAGTTAAGTAAGACGTTCTCGATTAGTTCCAGGGTGAAGGCTGGGGAAAGTGACTTGATGCGCAAGAAATGAAGTTGTTCGCCATCAACAACGCAGCAGAGATCATCCAAAACCTACAGAATATGTTAGCAGGCTAGCACACCAAAGATACGGAGCCGGTGTGCAAGTCTCACCCGTAAAGCATCGTACGCAAAGTACCCAATTTTAGTGTGATTCCCATCAACTTTGATGGTCACCGTTGGCTTAGACTCGTCTAGGGTTTCTGAGGACCCGTCAGCAACCAGCCAGAATAGCGTCAAAATAAAATTTTAGTAACTCACTGTCTTCCTCAGAGACTCGCTCAAACGTTGACACCACCAGCTGTTGGAGTGTGGCTGCAGCTGTACTGGAAAGCGCAAGTGTTTTGCTCGCCTGTAGGGTGGCGCATATTTCCAACATACTCACCAACAGCTCACCGCCAAGATCATTAGAATAATGTTGCAACAATGAAGGAAGAGTTTGTAGAATCTTCAATTGGATGTCCAGACCTTAACAGGTCAGTACTGCGATGAGTATTAGAGTAAGTGGAAAGACATACTCAGATTTGTCGTTTCTTTCAATCCGCCGAGGACGTCTTCCAGTCTCTGGGAAGGTAATGACCGGGATGCCACCAACCTCTGAAGGCAGACAACTCCGATTCCCGATAGCTTCGCATGGCGAGAATGACAGGCCAAAATAAATGGGTCGACGAACTTCGGTTTGCGCACCAGGTCTCCATGAAGTCAGTAAGTCTACCACAAAAGGGTCAAGAGGGAGTTTTCAGAATCTCACCAGCGGAGATCTGAGCCTCCGAAGTAGACGGTAAGCTCTTTAGTTCATTGAGAGACTCTTCGGCCGACTATAACTTCGGTCAGTATGGAGATTACGACACGTCTCTCTTCTCCATCGAGCTCACATTTCGCAGGTCGGAGTTTCTTCTCTTAGACTCCTGAATAAGATTCAAAAGTTCCGCCTGCAGAAACTGGGAGGACATTTCCAACGAATGGTTGGATCAAAGCATGGCAAACGCCACTATCGGTATGAACAAGCTATCAAACGATTCGAGACAGCTATAGCTTCAGGAAGTGGTTGAACAATTAATTAGGGGAAAAAACAACTAGGAGATTCGCATCACTGCATTAACCTCGATCTTTCATATGTTCCTGAAAATGTTCAATAGACCACGCTCAGTCCAGAGGCATGAGAATTGCGATGAGAACGCTTCAATCTAACATGTATCCAACAGCGGCATCTCCAGGAATGCCAAGGCACCAGCGGATATATCTATATCACGTGACATTGTGAGAGAGTTCGTTATCATCACGTGGTTCTCCTTTGCAGGAAGTCAGTGCGATACGCCCAGTCAGTGAAGGTGGGATACATCTGCAGTGCCCCTCCTTCGCCTCGTTTTATAGATTCCCCTCCCATCAACTTTACTCGTCGTTCCCTGGTCAAAGTTCTCATTGATAATTTCTATAACTGAACTTTGTCCTTCGTACAATGTCAGCTAAAGTTCCCAGGAATTTCAGGCTCCTTGAGGAGCTTGAGAAGGGTGAGAAGGGCCTCGGTGCTGGTAGATGCCCTCCCCCACCTATTGTTTGCAGCCATTAAATATAGCCGTGCTGATATTACTCTCTCTCAATTTAGAGGCATGTTCGTATGGTCTTGCCGATGGAGATGACACGATGATGAGCAACTGGAATGGAACTATTCTTGGCCCCCCTCATGTTCGTGCAACATTTAAGCCTGCAAGCCATACTACATACCAGCCCTGCTGACCTCCAAACCATAGAGTGTTCACGAGAACAGAATATACAGTGTTAATATCCATTGCGGCCCAGACTACCCCGACAACCCCCCGACCATTCAATTCATTTCACGTGTGAATCTTCCCTGTGTTGATCCACGAACTGGAAAGGTACAGCTTGCCCTGCTTGCTTAGAACTCCGAGGTAGAATGTCTCTTATACATTGTTAGGTTGATCCCACAAAACTGCCATGCATCGCTCAATGGAAGCGCGATTATACCATGGAGACTATTCTTCTCGAGATTAGAAGGTAAGTGTGACATACTATCTTTCCTAGGGAACTAAGCCAACATAATTCTCCCCCCAGATACATGGCCCTTCCACAACATAAGAAGCTTCCCCAGCCCCCCGAAGGATCTAACTTCTAAATCTACTGCGTTATAAATGGCCCGGGATCCAGAATCGGAGTACTATGGTTGGTTTTTGTGTCAGGTTCATCTACCTCTTCCTTGGCTTATTAGAGCGTGTACAGTCTATGCATGATGGCGGGCATGGCGTGGTTTCTTTTTGAAGCCTAGCTTCAGAATACTTAAATCTAGAATTATTTTACTTCCCTGCTTTCGTGGCTCACTTGATGATGGGAGCTACTCTTAATGTAATTTTAGGTGGGATATCAACTAGCATTCAGTGAGCCGCCAATGACACAGGTAAGCTAGACGCAACGATGGGCCAACACGAAGATCATAATATGTTTAAACAATTAATATCAGACTAGAATTGTCCTAACAACATCATTTATACATGCAGCTTTAAATGCAAGGACTAGAGCTGAAGCATTAAAACCGATAGTCACCACTAGTGGAGATGATAGTGGAAATTATTTGGTCCACCTATAATCTTTGAATAATTGTCAGTTACGAGACTTGTGCCTCAGGTGACTCTATTTGTCGACAATTAATTGCTGTTCTGTACATGCCTCATGGTACAATCAGCACGTGACTACCCGCAAGACATGTGCAGACTGCCCAAGATGGCAACGATAACCTAATCCTTAAAAATCCGGAGAAGCTCTTGCAGAATGCACAAGGTAATTGTCCCCAGATTTTCTGGGGCTCATCGCTTTGCCTGTAAGTACTATATATCGATTTCCCGCTTGAATCAAGGGAGACGTACTAACAGGTTCTATCCTACCAGGCTTAGCACTCTATCGTGCGCTTCTCCGACAATGTACTAAACTACCGGCAACAACCCCAGAGCTCAACAGCTCCAAACGCCTCGTACAACAGAAGTTTCATAGATGCAAAGACCTTCAGAGCCCATCCCAAACCGCAAATGCTCTGAGGGCTGGATATGAAGTACATACATCTGACCTCTCCCCGTTTAATTAACAAATCAGCTAATCTCTTCGGTCACCTCAAAACTGCAGGCTTTCGACCTTCTATATTCAGCTTCCCATGGAAACCACTACGATCTACGACGTATAACTGATATTATTGCGGAGAGCGAGTCAATTAAGCAACAGAAGATTACAGCACAAAAGGAATTAGCAAGAGCAAGACCTGCGAAGCTGGTATCTAAGAAACAGCAAAAGAAAGAAGAGACCGAGCATTTTCAAAAACTTACTGCTCGACGACATCCTGATGCTCTGCCTATCTTATCACGCCCTCGGCCCGTTGTAAGTGGCAAGCGACGGATCCCAGTGCTCGTCAACGCACGTGGGGTACCATTTCTGCGCATCAAGAAACCTCAGCCCAAAAACCTCAGTGGTGTTCTAAGAACAAAGCTCGAAAAGCGATGGAATCTGGTCGAGCGTCGAGAAAGACTGCAAATGGACCAACCGTTCACCAAGGATGAAGATGATTGGGACTCCTTGACTGGTCATGAAGAAAAGACCAAGTGGAGGACCGCGGTCCAAACAGCAATAAAGGACGCAAATCAAAAAATTCACCATACGGATATGAAGAACAAAAAGCATGCAGAGGCACTGTGGGAAGTTGTTCTCGCCGAGCGCACACTAGCAGAAAAAGAACAAAAGCAGAACTCCATTAAACCGGATGTGCTGGTTTAAGGGCTTCTAGTCATGCTATATCAAGCCTGGTCCGAGCTTTTATTTATTGCTCGTGATCAATATCCATCATGCTGGAAGTTGTTACGAACCGAAATTTCCAAGTATAAATACAGGTACTATCTCTGCGTCAGGTCAGAAAACAGTGGGTGGGTGACTCTGTACAAGAGATGCAAGCCGCAAGCCGAAGTACCGTATTCTCGGCGCCTACACAAACCTCTACCAGGAGCTCCAAGAGCAGATTCCTGTACTGCTCAACCTTGCTGAAAACAAGCAGTGGTAATTAGGTCATGCAAAGTCTAATTTCACGGACCCTAGAGACATTGGACCTTTGGTTGATAACATCTGAGCAGTTTTCTTAGATCAGATCACTGACCTCCCAAGTCTATTATTGAGCTCAGCTTTACCAGAACAGTTCTATATATAAAAATACCATGATAGACTACTCCATATTCAAGTTCCTTTCACTACTTGATTCAAGATAGCATGTATTTACATTGACCGGACCTTTGTATAGGTAGCGCTGGAACGAGCCAAATATTTCATGACGAAATCTTCCCTCGAACAAATTCCTACGCAGCTATTTTCATCTTCCCCACGGCCGGCATAGAATCTTCTTCATCCTCATCAAAGTCTGCTTTTCCAGCCAAGCCCCGTTCCCACAGCTCTTTGCCTGACCACTTTTTCTCTTCCTTAGCCGTTGTCTTTTTGTTGGATTTCTTATCCTCCACCTCCTTCTCCTCCAGTTGTCTCCTCTCCTCCTCCGCCATTTCCTGTATGAATTTCGCTTGCCATTCTAAAAAGGATTCCCTGGTTACGGCCGTACCATGGAACTTTTTGTTCTCTTCCTCCTCTGCCTTTGCGGCCTCCATCTCTTTTTGTGCGTGCACGGCATTTACCCGCTCCGACATGAGTTGCTCGGCACTCTCCTTCAGAGCACTCACAAGTGTGAACACCATCGCCATCCCTATATTCTCTTCGATAGTCGGCTGCAGGGCTTCGAGGAGTCGGTCGCGGTCCTCCTGGATATCTAGTCGCGGATGTTTGGGTGCATTGGGAGGGGCAGATATTTCTAGGTCCGGAGCCACATCTGGGTAGTCAGTTGGATATGACACCTGTAGCATCAAAATAGGCTGTTGAGTCTCCTCGATGTCATTTTCGGGTGTGTCCAAGGTGACTGATATCCGGTATGAGGTGTCGGATATATCTTGAAAGTATCAGGTCCTAGTCAGCGTGATTCCCAGAATACGCTTACAGTGCCATAAAAAAAAAATTCACCACTCACCTGTGATTTCATCTGGGAAAATTGAATCGAGCACCTCGCGCTCTTCGATCTGATCTTCGCGGCCCATATCGCTTCAATTGTGCCGCGGCCGGGTTTGGAGGGGTTCAGGTCGTAAGGAATCAGGGGCGGGAAGAGTGCTTAAAATTGCTGCATCCACAAGGAGGGATTTCTCCAGCCTATAGGCATTCAAACACCGGCAAAAACAAATGCAACAAGGCACTCCTCCAAAGAGTATTTTAGGGTGAATATGTAGGACGCTGGATCACCTCGAGTACATTGAATATTGCAGTCCCACATGCAAACCGAGCAAACAGATAAGAAATCCCCAAAATTGTTAGACCCGAAAGCATTCTAAATGCTTCGCTCTTCTCGACCTGCAAAGAAGACCGTAGGTCTTTAGTATAATTCATTCATTTATTCAGTTTATAGCTAGGCTTACTTTGTTTTCAGAATTGGAGGGTACGTCTGGCTCTTTCTTTGCCCTTTAACGTTTTCCTATATTTTCTTTCTTCCGGCAGTTAGATCATGGGCAAACCCAGGCCCCAGAAAAAAAAGAGAACATCTAAATCTAAGTCCATTCTGAGCGCCGGCGGCTCGGTTTCAAAACAGAAGATGAACGAGAATCCTTCTAAACTACTCGATCAAGCGACAATTCTTCTTCAGACAGGACAGCCCGATGGCGCTCTCGCATTAGCCCAGCATGCACTCGACAATGCGCCTGCCAATTCGCCAAGTCACCTCTCCGCGTTGAATTTGGTCGCAGAGATCTACGTTGAACTGGGGGATATCGATGTGGCTAGGGAACATTTTTTGCGTGCAGTTGAGCTGGATCCGACTGGTGCGATACCAGAATCCCAGGGAGGAGGTGCTGAAAAGTTCTTATGGCTGGCTCAGCTAAGTGAGCTAGGAGGGAGGGATAGCGTGCAATGGTTTGAAAAGGGCGTCTCAGTCCTCCGGCATGTTATCCAACAGCTCGAAGGTGACTCCAGTCCTCAAGAAGCCATTGAATTAGAGGGGAAGAAACGCAAGATGGCCAACGCTTTGTGCGGCGTTGCTGAGATTTACATGACTGACCTTTCGTAAGTTGCCTTTTTTTTCTTTTTTTTTCCTACTAAAATTGCAATTGGCTGACAATGATTAGTTGGGAGGAAGATGCGGAACGCCGTTGTGAATCTTTGATCACGGAGGCTCTTCATGTTAATCCTGATGCGCCTGAAGTGTTACAAACCCTTGCTTCTATCAGAATTTCACAGCTACGAATAGACGATGCTCGCGCAGCACTTACAAAGAGTCTTTCGCTATGGAAGGACTTACCACCAGATAGCCTTACTATTCCAGACTTTGCGACGAGAATCAGCTTGACTCGACTGTTGATGGAAGTCTCCATGGAGCTGGAGGCACTTGATGTTCTGGAGCGCCTGATTCTGGAAGATGATCAGAGTGTAGAAGCCTGGTACCTAGGAGGGTGGTGTCTCCAACTTCTCGCAGACAAACAGCAAGCACCCAAAGATGCCGAGGTGGACGACTCGGCGGAATCGAAACGACATGCCTCGCTAGTTGCTAGTCGTGAATGGCTGAAACAAAGCCTCGCCCTCTACGATCTCATCCAATATGAAGACGAGAGATTGAAAGAACATGCCACGGAGCTGGTCCAAGAGATGAACAAAGAACTAGGCGAGGAGATGGATGAGGAGGATGGCGAAGAGGGAGGAGAGGGAGAAGGAGACTGGGAGGACGAGGAGATCGAGGTCGAGTCTGACGGGGACCATGAGATGGCCGACACCTAAAAGTTCCAGCCACATCAGTCTTATGAGACAAAACTTCGTTCATGTAATGATACCAATAGAGAAGATTCTGCCGATGTAACCTGGTACCTAGGTAGATACTACTGCTTATTGCACCCATTCACTGTGTAGGACATAATTTCTTTGTTATTTGATATTGGGCGGCGCCATCGGAAAAAAAGCCGCTCCGACCGCTTTCCTCCGGAGATACGCAGCTAATTTTGGCCCCGGCAGTTCGGTCTTCGCGTGGCGAAAAAGCCCAATGTGAGTGAGCAGGTTGTAATCGAGGTTGCTGGAAGTGTCCTATCTCCCCTACAGGATGGACCCAGTACCGGCACTCGGCGGGGAGATTTCGTCGTTGAAGAATTCGGTGAGTGAAGTGGATGTCGTCAATATGGCTTCCTCCACGGACGTGGAAGAGACGATCACGACGGAGACAACGGTCGCGGTGGAGAAAGAAGTGTCTCAGTCGGAGTACGAGACAGACAGTGATGGCTCGGAAGAAGAGTGGGAGACCCAGTCTCTACACGAAGACACTATTCAAGTTCTTCGCGATGAGCAACTGCGCGATGGAGGTAAGCTCGCTCTATACCGGACCCGGCGTCGTCGAATCCGCTTCTCCGTTCGTTTACTGACGGTTCCTGGCCTAGTCCCCGATGCCTGCACCTTGGATGAAGCTATCGCTTTCCGGAACCGGCTTCATGAGATTGGCAAGGCCGCATTTGTGGGAGAAACAATTGGTCAGGATACTGTGACCGCAAAGAAGTTGTGCACAGCATTCGGCATCTTGCCCCCAGATTTCCTTGACGGTGCGCCGGATGAAGCCTACCATCCTCTTCTAGCCATCGCTATCTCGCGGGAATTCTCTAGGCGCCAAAAGCTCCCCCAGTACAACACGATCGAGGATGCTGTCAGACTGCTCCAAGAATCCCAGAATATCATCGTGTTAACGGGTGCTGGCGTGAGTCCTCTGTTACTTGTCTTGACGTGCATACACTGACTAGCTCACTAGATCTCTACAAGTCTCGGAATTCCGGACTTCCGATCCAAAGACACCGGGCTTTATTCGCAGTTGGAGCATTTGGGTCTGAGTGACCCTCAGGAAGTTTTTGATATTCAGGTCTTCCGCGAAGATCCCAGCATTTTCTTCTCTATCGCAAAGGATATCTTACCTACCGAGAAGAAATACTCGCCGACGCATAAATTCATTCGGCTGCTGCAGGACAAAGGGAAACTTCTGACAAACTATACGCAGAATATCGACAATATTGAAGCCAATGCAGGTGTGCTTCCTGAGAAGATTGTACAATGCCACGGGTCATTTGCAACGGCTACGTGCGTCAAATGCAAGTATCAGGTCCAGGGAAGTGAGATTTTTGAGGATATTCAAAAGGGAGTCATTCCTGAGTGCTCATCCTGTCGAAAGATTATCAACGAGGATTCGTTAAAAGCGCAGGGGATGAAGCGCAAACGCAGCACCAACGGAACCCAAAAAAGTCGCAATAATGATGGCGAGGATAGCTCGGACGAAGAAGAGTATGAAATTCCCACACCGGGGGTTATGAAGGTCCGTAAAAATCTCTACCTCATATCCATTGCTCCTGTTCTTTCGCTAACCCATTTCAGCCTGATATTACCTTCTTCGGGGAGGACCTTCCAGATGAGTTTGGTCGTCGCCTGGTTCACCATGACCGTGACCGGGTGGATCTTGTCATTGTCATTGGCACATCGTTGAAAGTGGCACCTGTGGCGGAAGTTCCGGGCGTGCTCCCTCGCAATGTGCCTCAGATCTACATCTCTCGTACAGTAAGTTGGCATATCTTCAAGCAAGTGCCGAAGCTGACCACCATCCAGCCTGTATCACATACTAGGTTTGATATTGATCTGTTGGGCGACTGCGACGTAGTGGTGTCTGAGCTCGCTCGCCGCGCTGGATGGGAGCTGAAGCACAAAATGATCCCCGAAGGCGAGAAGGTTGAGATTACTCCAGCGGAAGGATATGAATCACGACATGTGTTTAAGATTGTTGGCGCATAGCGGCGGTGTTCGGTCTTGGAGATTCTGACTCTTGTGTATCTATTCAGGGACGGCGTACCTCAACGGTTTGTTTCGCAAGGATTACTCTGGACTTTTATTTGAAGGGTTTGGATGGGATGAATGGGATATTTTTCGTAGATACGGTTGCTGTGGTTTGCTGTTGATAAATTCCCCCTATAGAAGGCAAGTTGCCATGCTACCGATAGGAAAATAAGTTTGGTTTGCTTCTCCTACATGCACTAGAACATATAGTTCTGTAGTTCCGACGTTGTTCGTCGAGATGGTGGCCATTCAGTACAGCGGCAGTCATCAGAACATCGCCGCCGGGTTCTTTCCGACGACCAAAAAAAAAAAAAAAATCAAATCTTCTCTTTCTCCTACAATTTCGACCATCATGGAATGATTTCTCCTCCATCAAAACGCTCTAAGGGAAAGTATATCGGCCGATCCACGTACCTATCCTTTTTGTATCTGTTGCAGCCAGGAGGATATATTTCAAAGACCACAGTCCGGCCTTCTGGACTAAATCGTCATGGAATATCTAGTCCGCTTCGCCCAGGTCCATGAGTCTTTTCGACGGCCCGAAATCGAGTCTCTGGCATCACTAACTGGCATTCCCTTGGAAATTATCTTTTATGATCAGTTTGTATGCGCTTTTTTTTTTTCAGTTTAATATCGGCTTTCCAGCGTTAGCCACTATTGGAACGATGCTGGTGTTCGGATAATCCCATCCCACCATCCACCAGCATAGATACTGCTACTAACTTGCGTCTAGTCACCATATTGCATTGTAAAATTATCAGATGAAACGGCTGCACGGACTCTGATTTCTCGCAGTATCCTAGCTAAAGACATCTTCGAACTCTGGGGCCAAGGGACCAATTATGATGAACTGCACGCCGACGTCCGCAGGCGGACGCAGGATCGCTGGAGCGAATTCAAGGAGTCCTCGTTCCGCTTTACTGTCGACTGCTTCGGCGGCAAGCGAAGCATGAGGGAAAAGCGCGACATCATCCAAACATTCTCCTACACGGGGTTTGAGGGTCCAATCCGGATGAAGAACCCGGACCAAGACTTTTGGGTCCTGGAGGAATATCTTTCGGACATTGAAGCCGCAGCGATCACTCCCAGCGCAACGCGGCCGTCGGAAATGGACCTTGAGCCGCAGCGGATTTATCTCACACGCTGGATTGCAGACAGCAGCCGAGACATTGTCAACCGATACGATCTGAAGAAGCGTCGGTACATTAGTACAACATCCATGGACGCGGAGTTGAGTCTCGTCACGGCGAATATGGCCCATGCGGCCCCGGGAAAGCTCTTCTACGACCCGTTCGTCGGCACAGGGAGCTTCTGCGTAGCAGCAGCGCATTTTGGGTCTTTAACTTTTGGCTCGGACATCGACCCGCGAAGTTTCCGCGGTCGGGAGACGAAGCAAGGAGATCTCATCGGATTGGCCTCGAATTTCCAGCAGTACGGTAATATAAGCAAGTTTGTGGATGCGTTCACTTCGGATCTAACAAATACCCCTCTCCTACAACATCAATTCTTGGACGGCATTGTATGCGACCCACCTTACGGGGTCCGTGAGGGCCTCAGAGTTCTTGGAACCCGCGATGGACGGGGCAAAGAAGAGGTGATTATTGACGGTGTACCGGCTCATTAGTATGTCCTTGACCAGCTTGCTGATGGCCCTTAATCATGGCTAACATTATCCAGTCGACCAGGTTACATTGCGCCTAAGAAACCGTACGGCTTCGAAGCAATGTTGCATGATATTCTTAACTTTGCTTCTCAAACGCTCGTTACGGATGGTCGACTGTGCATGTGGATGCCGACGTCCAACGACGAGGACGTGAAGTTGATGATCCCCATGCACCAGAACTTAGAAGTCGTCAGTGTTTCTGTACAACCATTCAACCAATGTAAGTGCAGCCCCAGTCTATATGCGATTGCTACCCCCAGGTTTTGAGACTAACCATTTTATTCTTAGGGTCACGACGACTGATCACGTACCGAAGACTGCCGGATGGACAGATCTCTGATATTTCGTTAGGACGACGCAAAGACGACGACGGGGGAGTCAGCGCAGACGACCTGAACGCCTTTAGGAGAAAGGTTTGTATCCCCTCATCTGTTTATAAGAACGATTATCTAACATTTTCCAGTATTTCACGAGGCACTCAGCCACCGCCAGTCCCAAATCGGGAGCCGAGAGTCCCGCAACGCAATGAAGACACGAAAAAGGAAGCGAAAAAGGCCAGTCATGCATACATCTAACTATATAAACCTAGCTTATTCCATCGAGTGTACACGAAAGTGCCCAAAGCAAAGCTAAATGGGATATCTCATAAGTGAATCAAATCCAACAAACAAACCTCACAAAACATTGGTATCATAGAAGACATGGTATATCTTGCCATGGGCATTCAAAGTTTCCCCAGCATCGTCTTCTCGTCTACTTCCAGATCCACTCCATCCTGCTGTTTAACCTGCTGCACTTCCCTCGCCAGCTCCTGGCGCAGCAGACCCGCTAGCTTCGCTCCCTCTTCGTCATCCAACTCATCCCTCTGCCCTCTTCCAAACATAACAAAACTCATCTTCGCTGCACCGGGCTCCGCATTCGCTGCCGGTCTCGGAATGACATGAAAGTGTACATGAGGCACCTGCTGTGCTGCCGAGATCCCTATATTCTCATGAGTACCGACACCAGTATACAGATAAAATACAAGGTTGAATTCCATCACAAAGAAAGAAAGAAAAACAGGGCGGAAGAAGGAAAAATTACATACCATTATTCTGTACCACGTTCCAATTCCATCTGGAATCAGAATCAGAATCACTTTCCCCATAGAGAGCTCGCATCGTGACTCGAGAGATAATTGGAAGCCATTGACCGATCTGTTATACAGCAGTTAGCTCACTCGTTCATTGATCTCTTAGTTAATCTTTTAATCAGCTGATTGACATCCACAATCTCCATAAGCGAACAACACCGTAGACGTAATTCCCTCGCCCTCCGTCTATAAGGAAGAAAAATTCATCATTCAAGACCACTTACCTCTCGACTAACAGTAACTCCCATATCGCCTAATTTCTTATAATGCTCCCTCGTAATGATAAGTATATGTCCTCTCGTTAGGGGCATGATATCCAGGAAAGCAAGGACATATCTAGTAGACAGGATAAGGTGAGCATGGGTATCCGACAGTGGGAAGACAGACTGCGCGGACGTGTTGGATGTCTGGTTCAGGAAGGTCGTGGGTGCGACGGGAGGGTAACTAGCCGCGATATTGCAAAAAGGACATGAGAATGATGCGGACATGATTCTGAGAACGGGGGAAATTATAAAGCATACAATTCCTGCGAGAGGAGCAGATTAGAGGATATTAAATGGGGTGAACCAGTAATTATGAACTATAGTGAATGAGGGAAGAATGTCGGCGACGGAAGTTGCTGGACCTCGGTTCATTGCAGGTGGCAGCCGATTGAGCTGGAAGTTCCACGTTAAGAATCGAATTTCAGTGCACTTTATCTGGCTATGCTGGAATGTTTAGCATAGGCCTTCACTGGCTAGAATTCAATATTTTGATCAAGATACACCTGAGGCAGGACTCCCTTTCCTGCCTTGATGGAAATATATAAACAGAGACCATGGTATTCTTCATAGCAACCCACACTATCTCAGAACAATCGTCATCCCTGGCTGAAAGATTCAGCCGATGAATTTGTAAATTAATCTCTCTAAACGACATTACAGGAGCCTTCTTTTCGCTCTATCCTCCCTAGACTAAACCGAATATTGATAAACCTCAAACGAGCCATTATCCTCCCTCGCATGCTCTTGAATATCACGAGTCATCAGAAATAGTCCGTGAGAAATCTTCCGCTCTAGAAGCCGCAATCTCAGTTTCGAACCGGCTTCAGGATGACTGTGGTTGTGGGAAACGAATTGTATCATAGGCAATCCGACGGACGGTAACGCCAGTCAAAGAAGCAGAGTAGAAACCAAAAAGAAGCAAACTGCAAATATACAATTTCCGACCCTGAAGAATTTGACACTTGGAATACGAACAGGGGGACGAGAAGAATGGAAAGGCGTAATGCAACCCAGACACTGCCAAAAGGAAAACGACAACGGAAGCACAAAGAAAGCAACAAGACAAGAGCGCCAGACACCCCTGGAGGAAGAGAAACCATGCCAACGTCCGCAATTGAAATCGAGAAATGCCGTCGTAAACATATGCAAGAGTGTCCTATACCATCACAAACGAAGAAATGCCAACATATGTAATCAATCAACTCCTTCTTGGTTACCCCCACACGGACGCCGATATGAGCGGATAGCCACAAGAACCGCGTTGGCGGTCATTTAGTCCTGATCCTGATCCTTGATGAAACTGTACGGTTCCGAGAGCGAGCTATCGATATAGAGGTGATGGTACTTTTTGGCCCATTGCCGTGTAAGGATGGAGGCTGGAGAACACAGGTTAGAACGTGCTCAAAAGTTATGGAACCCCGACATCTTCGAAAGACTTACCCTTTAGAAACTTTTTACTGGCATATTTCTTGAAGAACGCTTCGTGACACACTGGACGGTGGAGGTAGTCGATCATTAACCGGAAGACGGGCTCGATTTCTTTTTCGGTGTATCCAGCATAGTGAGCGAGGGTCGCGTCCTATATTCCAATCAAACTGGAGTTAGCAACATGCTTGTATATGTTTTATAAGCAAGCGAAAGGAATCTTACCCAAGGTCCGCGCTCCAGGATAAGACGAGCAAGGTACATGGCGGCCGCAGACACATGGCTCTGACGGTACTGCATGAAGCGGTGGTCGAGAAGGCTGATTTCCATCAGGTACTTTCCAAGAGTTCGGGTTTGGATGTCGTAGTTGTCGGCTTTGGAGATCCGGCGCAGGAAGTTCATGGGATTGGGGAAGCTCATGTTGTACTCAAGCGTCGCCAAGATGTGACGCTCAGCATCTAAGATCTCCTTATCTGAAAACGTCTCATCTGCGACATGGCTGAAATTAGCCACATGGGGCGACAGCACTTCTTCATATTTAGACGCAATAAACATGGCAGCGACCCCAACCAGTTGGAGGCGGTCTAAGGCGACAACCTCAGCCGAGAGAAATCGATCGATGAGGTTGACGGCTAGGAAAAGTGTTTCTGGAAGAAGGCGGAAGCGCGTGTGAACCTCAATGAGCCAGTCGACAAGAATACCGCGCATCTTCCACTCCAGATCAGGCTGATGCTCAATGTAGTGGGGGTTCGGTAATGTTTCCAGCTCGAGTTGCCTCATGTACTCAAAGATCTCAACCACATACTCAGCCGCCATCAGGGGATCATCAAGATCTTCGGTGTCGAGGTCGTCCACGAAATCTTGAGGCTTCCCTGAGGCCTGGGGCTCAGTGACTTCGGCTTTTTCTTCCGCGGTAGAGGCCTTTTCCATAACAGCCTTCTCCTCGACCTTCTCTACCTCCACCCTCTTGCGTGGCGGTTCCTCAGTCTGTTGCGCTTTCTCAGGCACCGGTTTTTGACTCGCCGGCCGCTTCTTCTGTGCACTGCTCATTCCTGATCCGCTGCCCAGGCGCTTCGATTCAGTGGTAGGCTTCTTTGCATTATTGTCTTTGGCTCCCAGGGCAGTGCGAGAGGAGTTGGTGCGACTGAGCTTCTGAACACCCCCGGCCTGCATCGTTGCTTTTGACGTCAAACCTACCTTGGTGGTAGCTGGCTTCTTGGCCTCCTTTGTCTCCCCATTATCCGCCTTGTTGACATTGCTCACATCTCCAAGAGCAGCGCGCCTTCTTGGGACTCCAGCGGTCGCCGTGTTCGTGGCAGTTTTCTTGGTCTGAAGAGGTTTCTTGGTGGCGGCGTTGGAAGCTGGGACGTCACCTGCCGATAGGGCCGCGGCCTTGGCCCGTGTCAGACGCGTTTGTGGCCCATTCTCATCATTCTCGTTCATTGTGGCCCGCGTACGGAGGCTCCGAGCCTGTCGAAATGTTAATTAGACTATCGTGGTTGCCACCAGGATGAACGTAGGGCCAACTGTCAGAGTCAAGAAGAGCTTACCGGAGGCATGATGCTGAGAAGAGTGAAGGTGGAAGGGGTGATGTCTCGAAAGGAAGAAAGGTAAACAGGTGGATATAATTACTGTCGTCCCGTCCTCACTGTCTCCTTAGCATTCCACAAGAAATTACACCAGTGGAGCTTAAATACCTGAGGGCAGGAAGGTACTGGTGCACGTACCACGCGTGGATTCTTGCCCAACCCCAAGCAACAAGGTATTATGCAGAGTTTCCGAATCAAGAATGGCAAGTATGTCCAAGGAATTTGGCGTGGAGTATCTTAAATTAAGTGCATATATGACTTTGTTGATGTCGTCGACCAGGACCTTGGAAGACCCAAATCACGTAATTTTCACGGCGCGCAAGTCACAATTGGAACGCCGATATCTGTACAAAATGCAATATAGCACGTGTGGATAGGTGACTATGAACAATGACGCGAGACATGCAACCACTTGAAGGGTGGGAGTGTTCACTAGGCTGGGGACTCCTTCAAGTAAACAGTTGATGATGAGGTTGGTGCAGGGAGGAGTGGTAAACTTGACAGGGCAAAGACGATGTTTGGCCCTACTCTTAGCGTGGAAATCAGCCAAGCTGGGAAAGATGCCCCACAGCACAACCCGATCGAGTCGCGAGGAGTGACGGATTAATAACGGCTATACAGTCGTGATAGGAAGTGTATGCAGAGAATAGAGGGCCAACAAGTGTCCCAGATTAGGATTAATGAGATTATGTATGGTAGAGAAACGAGACTGGGAGGGAGAGAACGAGGTGGAATGAAGAGAAGGAAGAGGGAAAGGGGGGAAAGCGTAACGGAACAAATAAGTAGAGGGATGTATTGATACGTATGAGATTGATACACCACTAACGAACTTGGGTCATGGAGGGCTGTGGTTATTTCGTACGGGTACGGTTATCGGGGCAAGTCGTGAACGTGCTCTGTTGATGCCTGAGGGTGTTCGACGCCATCGCGACCAGGTCGCGCCGCTTCACGATCGCCAAAACAAAGCGCCCGTTGCCCGGCAACGCATTGGGTATTCTGCGCTTTTGGGTATTGCCCCGACGTGTCGCCGTGTCGCGCCGTCCCGTGACTTGCACCCTGCGCCACAGGGAACTGTCAGCAGTGGCGGTGATAATCACTAGGTCATGTGCCAAGCGACCAAGCCACAACCCCTACTCCGCCAAAGACATTTTCGCTCCGGCAGCATCAAGACGCTGTGGAAAAAGCATTGCCGCCAGTCTCCCAGCAGCATCACTCCAATTAGGCAGAGTGTGCCGTCGGTGGTCTTCGTGTCTCTGTATTGCTTGCATTATTGTATTTGGATTGGTTGATTCAGCATGTTTGCGCAGTAGTCGTCTACATTCTCTACATATCCTATATCTCAAGAGTGTCACCCAGCATCTGGAACATACGTCGGTCCATTGATCCTCAGAACCATACCTTTTCTGATCCATTATGCTTCAACCTCGGTTAGCCTTGACGGGCCTCCGTCTTCCGTTTAAATGCGTGTCTTCGGCCACATCTCGGGCCTATTCGACCATAATCAACCAGAAAGAGATGCCGTCGACTAACGACCCTGCGAGCACGGCCTTCGATCCTAGCATTTCCTTTGCCCCTCCACCCACACGTGACGATGCGGGTGTTCTCCTCCGAAAGTATACACCGCGAACACCCGGTATCCGACATTTGCGAAGACCCGTCAATGACCACCTCTGGAAAGGACGACCGGTACATAAGTTGACATTCCCCAAGCGGGGTCACAGCAAAGGTGGCCGAAACAACACCGGGAGGGTCACAATTCGGCATCGTGGTGGTGGCCACAAACGTCGTATCCGGGTTGTTGATTTTGCACGGACTGCACCTGGACCGCACCATGTGGAACGGATTGAACATGACCCTGGACGGAGTGCTCATATTGCGCTCGTCCGGAGCCAAGAAACACAGCAGCTGAGCTACATTCTCGCTGCGGAGGGTATGAGAGCGGGTGATGTTGTACAGAGTTATATGTCCGGTATCCCGCAAGATTTGTGGGATAGCATGGGCGGTGCCGTGGATCCTGGTGTACTGGCAGCCAGAACCGCGTGGAGAGGCAACTGCTTGCCGTTACATATGATTCCTGTCGGCACACTGATCTTTAATGTCGGTCTACGTGCAGGTAAGGGAGGTCAGCTGTGCCGAAGTGCTGGCACTTACGCCACCGTGATTGCAAAAGGCACCAATACCCCGAGCCAGGAAGCAGACGCCTCCCAGGAAGAGGGTGCAGAAGCTCCGAAGTTGACACAGCGGGACAAGCAAAAGCAGGAACGTCTTGCACAGCATGTTACCCTCCGGCTCCAGAGCGGTGAGGTGCGGCTGATTCACAAGGACTGCTGTGCAACCGTGGGAGTTGCTAGTAACCCCAACTACCAATATAGCCAGCTTGGAAAGGCTGGACGATCTCGTTGGCTGAATATCCGACCTACCGTCCGAGGTCTTGCTATGAACGCCGCTGACCATCCTCATGGTGGTGGACGTGGCAAGTCGAAGGGTAACGTGGATCCCAAGAGTCCTTGGGGCCTCCCGGTACGTATTTGATGGGATACGTTTTCTTTTCTCATCTTGTTTGTGTGAATTGGCAGCATACTAACATGTATCGCAGGCGAAATCTGGCTACAAAACCCGACCCAAGTGGAAGGTCAACAAGGCTGTGGTTGTTCCCCGAGTCCGCAACCAGGGCAAGCGTCGCAGAGGGTATAGTTAAACTTGTCGCTTATGTCCCCCATTCCCTTTTGCATCTTATTCCAAATGTGTATGCTTCCACTTGCTTGGCATGATGTTTCTCCTAGTATTCTTTATTAACTGTACTTGCTGAGCAGCGTGCGCTCATCTTGTACTATCCTTTAACCCTACTTTGGGGGGTGTGTATCTTTTGTATTTTAGATCTTTTCGAAATTCCTAGATATCGATACCTTGCTGCTCTGTTTTGCATTTTGTATTTCTCCCACCATGGCGTTGTTACTGTATTATATGGGGTTAGAATATAGGTCTCGGTACTACTGAAAAACCGAGCTGCGATCGGTGCTGTCGTAAAGCAGGCTGTAGGGTTATAAATAGAAGCGTTGGTTAATCTATCCTTGGGAGTTGTGAAATTTTGGGGATTCTAGAAACCGAAAACGTGACTTTGGCTTTTTCGGTGGCGGATGCCGATGGTTCGTTCGTTCGATCGGGCAATCAGGGTTGTCGATGGCTCTCCACGCCATCATCGTTCCCTGTTGACTTCCTTACTTGGGTTCATATTTTCTTACATTTGAAACTTTTCTGCCAATGTTCGCTTGAAGCTCTGGCCTTCTCGTGATTGAGGTCTGGCGGCTCTAGTCCTTCAACGCTGTTTTGTCGCCTCGGATCCGATCGACCTCGAAACTTAAGTCCACTCACTCTGCCTTACGACTGTATCTCCACCTCCCTCCTTTAGGCCATGGCCGATATATTCGACGAACAAGCGGAACATTCTTTGCCCCAGTCTTCTGCGTACTCACATCAGGCTCCGACAAGTCACAAAGTTGCGCCTCCCGCTACCGGTCAGAGCGATGCAGACGGTCTATACGTACCCCGTCCGAAACGAATCGCATGCGTCGTCTGCAGGCGGCGAAAGCTGCGATGCGACGGGAAAAAGCCTAGTTGCGGGACCTGTGCAAGGTTGGGACATGAATGCGCATATGATGAAGTCCGAAAAAAGAGCGGTCCGAAGCGGGGTTATGTGAAGCAGCTAGAAGCCAGGTTGGGTAGGTGATTTCCATCTCTAGTTTTCTATTTTCCGTATGCTAACGGTATCATCGCCCTCTTGAAGCTCAAGTCGAGACTCTCTTGAAATCCCAGGAGGCGAGCGTACCCCTATCCCAAGGAAACGACCTCACTGTCCCAACTTCGAGCGAGTTTACAAGCATACCTGAACCTCTTTCGATCTTAAATGACTCAGGTGCGCCTATATCACCTCCTGAAGGAACCGGCAATCACCCGATTCCGGGGCAGACGTATCTACCGTCTCCCATACGCGAGGATCGCAACTTCGGATGGGACATGATAAGCTTGGGGCTGGAGGAGCCTCTTCCAGCCCGGGAGGCCATTGATGAACTGTATGCCTTGACCCTCCATTGCTTCTATGTTTTTAGATCGGCTTCTCATCCAAGAATGACAGAAGCCAAATCTACTTCGAGAAGGTCCATCCCTCACTCCCTATATTACACCGTGCTAGACATATGGCGGCGATGGACCTGGCGCCTAGCGCTCGACCTCCTGTTTGCTTACAATATATTACTTGGAGCCATGCTGCCTCCATGAGTGACAAGTATCACAACCTACATGAACTCTTCTACCAGCGAGCTCGCAAGTACGCTGAATTGGACGAGATGAAGGGTCTTGGAGAGGGCATCCTGTCTTTATCGATTTGCCAGACTTGGCTGCTCATTGGCACTTACGAATTTAGGATGATGTGCTTTCCCCGGGCATGGGTCAGCGTGGGGAAGGCTTCACGACTGGCGCTTATGCTTGGTCTGAACCGATTAGACGGTATGGGTCTGGGGGTGAAGCAGTCGTTACCGCCAACAAATGATTGGACTGAAAATGAGGAGCGACGGAGAGTGTTTTGGATGGCGTTCTGTGTTGATCGGTATGCCAGCGTCGGAACTGGATGGCCGGTCCTGATCGATGATCGAGACGTTAGTTGTTCTCTTATTTCCCCAAGAAGGGCAATATTGATCGAAGAGTAACAGGTCATGACGAATCTACCCGCCAGCGAAGAAGCATTCATCAATGGCCAGCCCCAACAGACTGCGCGAGTGACGGATATCGCATCTGGTGACGATATCTCTACGCTGTCTGCTTTTGGAAGCGTTGTATTTATGGCGTATCTGTTTGGCCGGAATCTCACCCACCTTCATCGCCCTGACCCGCAAGACAATGAGCAGGACCTAAACGGGTTGTTCTGGCAACGACATAGGTCTCACGATAACATTTTACTACATTTTGCATTGACAATGCCGAACCATCTTCGGCTCCCTGCAGGTGTACGCGACCCCAATGTGATATTCTGCAACATGGCTATCCATACTTCGACCATATGCCTTCACCAAGCGGCCATCTTCAAGGCGGAGAAGAACAAAATCTCGGAGCAGATCACCACCGAAAGCAAACGGAGGTGTATTGTCGCTGCAGACCAGATCACAAACATTATGAAAATGATCAGCCACATCGACTTAACGATTGTAAGCCTCTACCCAGATCCATGACGATCAATAATCGAGCTAATTGGACCTAGATGAACCCGTTCATGGCATTCTGTGTCTATATCGCTGCGCGAGTCTTTGTACAGTATCTCAAGTCTCGCCCGGACGACTCTGCCGCTCGATCGTCTCTACAGTTCCTCTTCTCCGCCCTTGGTGCCCTGAAGAAAAAGAACCCTCTGACCGAGTCGTTCCTAGTCCAACTGGATGTTGACATGGAGGGCACGTCAGTCGACGACATCCGGCCTCGGCCATCTAAAAAAGTGCGCACCACACAGGGCCATACGGTAAGCGTCTAACCCCATTATGGAACAATAAAATAGAATCACCAACCAAAGCCCTATTGACGAGATACACATAGACTGCGATGGGGGAAGAGCCCGACACCCAACCACTCACGGCCTTCTGTCCATCTCGACGAATAACTTACGCATACGAAGAGGAATCTCCCTCATCGTCCTCCAACAGCTCCCGACCCCCTTATCGCCCGCCTACTTCTCTCCCCAGTCGACAAAAACAACCACCCACCACCACCCTACCGATGCATTCGGCCTTTGTCCCATGTACAATAACCCCCCAATCCTTCGTGCCGCAATCCACGACGACCGCTCCTGACATGGACCTTTCCCCTGAATTTACAGATGGAAGCACGAATAGCACCAGGACCAGCACCAACAACAGTAATCCACTACCAGACGAGCCAGTGCCGCTAAACCCTACTACTACGACCACCACCCAGCCCCAATCCCGTCACCCCCAGTTATCTTCTGCCCAGAATGGATCCCAACATCCCACCAACTTACTTGAACCGAATACCTCAATGCGCCCATCATTGGAAGATATGGTTCCAGGTTCGTACGCCAATTATACATATTCCGGTCGAGGGTTCCCTCAGAATGGTATTATGACACCGCTCGATTCGAACGGGTCGGAGGGGTCGATTCATATTCCTCCTACGTGGGATTTTGCCCCGGCTCAGGATCCCAATGCTGAGCATATTGACATGGCGGCTGGGGGGGTGGATTCATTTAATGAGGCGCAATGGGCGCAGCTTTTAAGCTCTTCGAATTGGGATGCGTGGCGCAATCAGGGGTAAGACAGGATGTTCCTTTTCTCGTTCCATATCTTAGATACCCCACACGTACTCGTACTTCTTAATAGATGTACATAAGTTGTGACTCTAGTTGTTGACCTGTGATGTTAACTAAATACAATACGAATGAATGGTACTTAATTTGGCTAAAATTAGGAGTGAATGACATTAGAACGAATATCAAATAAGGACGGGTTCGTTGTTGTTCTGGATAGAATGAAGGGAAGAACACTAGGAACAATACAGGATGTAAGAAAAGGTCAACGCGGTTATAAAAGAAAGGGGAAAAAAGTAAAGACGTAAATAAAGACTGGATGGAAAGAGCCCGACTCAGTCCGTCTAAGCACATTGAGCCGGGTATCTTCTATCGGTGGAAGGCTCAGGGAATACGCCGTTGGCAAGCAAATCTTCCATATCCCATCCAGGGGCGCCTTCAGTCTTCCAGGTCCAGAATAACCAACCAGACTTGAGTTCATAGGCATTTAGCTGGGCTTCAATAAAACGACGCATACTCGCTCGATCTTCTTCAGGAAGATTCGACACGGACCCTCCACGCATGGCCGAGCAGTCACCAAATTTAGCACTGGAGGCGAAAGTACCGTCGTAGCGAGCGCTGACGCCTCTTCCATTGAGGTACTTGGCACAATCCGTCATGGCACCGGTCCACTCTCCCACAACCACAGCTTTGTTGGAGGCTTCAAGTTCTTTGGCATACCCACAGACGCTGCCAACGTGGCCATTGATATCCTGACCAATGAGTCCATTATCGAACATATGATAGTGATGGGAGTCCATCACAATATTTCCATCGCCCACACTAAAGTCATTCCAACTTGTTACAGGCAGGAAACCGTCACCAAAAACCACTGCGGTATTTGGGTTGTGTCCACGGACGGTATCAAAAACGTCATCATAGTAATCCCTTAGTCCATTCACGTCCACGCCAGCAGGAACATTCGGCTCATTGAGAGCTTCAATACCGGCCACAACATCATCCTGTGAGGCATAGCGTTCAGCTAGAATGTCAATAGCCTGAAGTGTCCGTTGAACAGTATCACCCTGAAGCCATTCGATGGGGCCTTTACGTCCACTGTTGTCAAACCCGTTTTGAGAGCCGGGTGCTAGCCAAGTTGTCAGTTAGATTCCATGTTTCTTAAAGGCCGCTTCTTAAGCCTCTCATTACTAAGAGCACACCTACCACCATGCAAATCAACTATGACCTTGAGGCCAGTATCTCTTGCCCAATCGATGGCATTGTCAAGGAACTCTAGCTGACCATCGACATACGGCTCTCCCTCATTGGGGGAGGTAGCCCAATATCCGACGGGAATTCGGACATGGTTCAGGCCTGCCGCAGCCATGCGGGAAAAATCGCCTTGCGTGATGAAAGAGCTCCAGTGCTGAGAAAGACGAGCTTTCGCTTCATTCTTACCCAGAATTTCGGTCAACGTCCATTCATCGACAGCACCGTCACCAGCACCCTCGAAGATTGAAGGTGTAATCCAGGGTTCCAGCACAAGCCAACCACCGAGGTTAACCCCGCGGACCTTTTCATTCTTGTAGTCAAAGGATGATGCACGGGATTGTAGTCGGCTGCTAGACAGTAAGTGTTAATCAACGTGGTGGGTTGAGTCGCAGCGACCACTCACACTTCGGCAGCCTGTCCACTAACTGCCAATAAAGAAAGCACTAGAAGTGCTTTCCGTTGAAATTTAGCCAACATTCTGAGGGCGCTAATATGTTCGAAAGAAAAATTCAGAGGCTGGAAGTAAAAATGATAATATTCTGCGCCGGATGGAATGAAGATCAACCTATAAGTAAAGAATCGACACGTGCACGGTATTCGAACCCGCCGAATGCAGAAAAATCTAGACTCAACCTTGGATGTCTGTTAGATGCAGAAAAGGCATAATATCTTGACAGTGGCGTCTCACAGCTACACCTGGTGGGCAAGCTGGAAGGCGCCGAAAACAGGAGGACAACAACACGCAACACAAACATACACTGCAATAGTGGAAAGCAAATGAAGATCTTTCTCTTATGTGGTCTCTTTCCTGAATCATCGACGGAGCCTCGGAATCGGCTTAAACAGTGTGTTTGAACAGTGGAGCTCACAGCAGAATGCGGAGGGGATTTTTGAACAATGAAGTCACGCTGACGAGGCAAATAAAGCTCATGCTAATTTGAATATGGAAATCCATAGAAACCCTAGTGAGCAGATATCTATGGGTCGTTGTCATGAATCCGGGGAAAGAGCGTTCCCATTCGGGAAGCTCCCAAAGGTCTCATGGCGGCCTGACTAGATGCTAGATCATAATGCCGTCCTTTGTTAATAAGGCTCTTTGAACCTAGCCAGATAGAATATCTCACATAGTTCTATTACACAGACTAATTGCAGGCTTTTTAACAGCCTTGGCCATGTACTTCATTGTATTATGGACTGGCTAAAGGCATAGTCCAAGGGACTGGTAACGTTTATGCGCATACCCCGCAAACAGCTGCGTGGATCTCTGGTCAATTCTGCATATGGATGGGGAAAACGCAACCTTGCAGAATGCATCCAGCGATGAAAGGAGGACAAGGAGAGATGCTGAGGGACACCACGAGGGGATTGCCGCATTCGGTGTATGTCACGTGGAGCTCCAACGGTCTCTCTCCATCCACCGCTGGAATGCGTGGGAATCTGACCATCTACTCGATTCTGCATAGGACAAGCACTGGGTACTGGAGCTTACTGGTGTGGAAAGATGGATTCTAAGTTTCTAACCATCTGTGATGAGGCCGGTTTTGGCTACGGTCAGCCAGGTTCCAATAGTACAACAGACCATGCATATTCTCTGAAAGTTCCAGGGAACGCGGGATACAATGCCTATCACGAATTGATCTACTGTGGCGTACCTACATGACGAATACCCGGCACGGGATGATGTTTGCGACAAATTCATTTCGCTTTCGAGTCGTACTGGCGACAGCAGCATGGATTCGTAGACTCAATCGCCGCCCAGACATATTAGGAAACATAGGAATAAGTGCTACAGGATGCCGTATCATCACTCAGGTTTTGGAGAATCGTATCGAAAAGTCGGTCGAGTACGGGGGCGCACGGTTGGGGTCTACGGGAAGTCGACACTCGCAGAAGCTTCTCCAATCAGTTCGATCCCGACCCAAGACCAAATAAAGCCCAATGATCCTGCAAGATCAGTAAATCCCGACTTGGCAAGGGGCCATGGTATCAGGGCTTTCCCCAAATTCAGTAGCGGATGCAGAAGGTTGTTGTCAAATCATCTGCCTGCTCGAAACCTTCTATGACGACGGATCAGGTCCACCATCTTGGTTAGGTTGGGTTGCGTGGTGTACAGTCACGGAGAAGAAGCGAGAGATCAGAATTTAGAAAGAATGGAAAGGGGCTCTGAGGCATACGTGGACTATACTTGATCATGATATCCCTGTCGTCCCGGTCCGGTGCTATGGACTTGCTACCCATGTCAAGACCATGGTGCTACTGTGTAGATATCGTAGGATCTCTGCAGTAGGTGGTGGACTAGGAAGTAGGAGATTCTTCATTAGATCGATGAATCGCGCAGATATACAGTCCCTTAGTGGATCCCGGTGACAGCTGGTGGAGATAATCGGGACCACTTGAAGCTCGGCTTCATTCTCTATCAATAATTAGGGCCACTGGAGGGGGATGTTGTTGACAACCGGGTTGACATCTTCATCGGCCAACTCCATTACCCTGTTGCTCCTTTGTATCTGATTCTTATTCTCCCAACATGCTCTCTTGGCAACAACGAACCCTATGTCGATATATCTACTCCGTACTGGCCCCGAGTAATGTCGTGCATCTTGTTGTGTATAGAAGAATAGGGCTGAGTCATGATTGGCGAACCAAAGTTGCCGACTCTTAGTGGTTACCGTCTTAAGCTGCGGATGGTAAATTCGCCATCGCAGAATCAGCAGGAGGGCATACATGATGACGAACAGTCGGAGCTCTCCTGGATTTCCCGAGAATCAAATTGCTCACCTGCATGACGTCTGGCGATCAATCTGTCAGCAGCGCCGTTTCCGGTGACGTTAGCCTCAACTACCAGATACAATAACAATTAATTAATATCAATAAATAATATCAAATGAAATAAACAGACGAGTGAAACCAAACATAACGATTAACTGACGGGGGAAAACCACCAACTAGCAAAACCGGCTTCATGCCAACATCAGGCCACAACGGCAGCAAGCCTAGGTTAAGACGGAAGCAGAAATCAACCCATCAAATATCCACTTGCCATGGCCCGTGATCACACGACTGTCATTTCCGAGTCCTCGGGTGCTTGTGGTTAAAAATACAGTCGTGTTTAGTTCACCAACACAATTTCGTCAGGAATCAGGAATAATCCTTCTGGTGAGGACGAAGATAAAGAAAACGAAGAAATGAAGACGTTGGTCAGCTCGCGTGACAGGACGACAGGCTTATGTCATCTATTCAGCACGTTAAAGTGTATCGTCATGTCGCATCTAATTCCATCAGGCAACCTGTTAATTAATTAATAGACAATAAACACGTCATTGGACATCTACTACGTATCCACGAGAGGCCAAAGCAAAGACGAAGTGAATACTCCGAATACACTTGACTCGGTCGGTTATCGGAACCGAAACGGGATTGGGATTGGGCCTAACGGCTGCCCCTTGGCCTTAGGCCCCTTTTTTCTTGTTTATGGAAACAGGAGGCCCAAAAAATGACATAAAGAATCCAAAAAAAAAAAAAATTTAATAACAAATACCGATGAAGATAGATTACATGCATGCTCATTTGTCGGTGTGATCCATCAATCACGTTCCAGGGAACTCCCGAAGTTCAACTGACTGACAGGCTCAACTTAGATCAATCAATATTAATAACTATAGAATATGTCACAACGACCCACGGAACCGCGTGTCATAGGAGACATTATCCAGACGGAGCAAATCGCAATGTCCAACCCAAGAAAACATTGCAGCTTCCTATGTGACATACATTCTGCCACACATCAGACCACTGGGATTGGATTGGTATTGTGACCGACGAATATCGCCAAGTTTCGGGATCTTCGTCTCTCTTCTTCTAGTCGGACCATGTGCCTTCAAGTCGTGTTAGGCGAGCACTCCGTGCCCTAGTCCGAAACAAAAAAAAATCCTTTCGCAAGGAATAATAACTCTTTTTTCCTTCGTGTGGAAGCTCGGGTTTCGGTCCTTTACCGGATGAGGGTCTCCAGTTCCAAACTTCCAACACATAGCGGGACCTGCTTCTTGTCATCGATCTATATAACCGTGCCATGTCTCTGGCGAATTCCCTCTTGATTCTTTGATTCTTCTATCATTATCATACTCGTATTAATCATCTTTTGGAAACCCCAGTGGTTCGTGATCGAAAATTCCCCCCAGACTCTCCATCTTACTCCATCTTCGTCGTTCCATCTAGCCCAGAATCTTCCTTTCAGCCACCAACAACCATGGAACAAATCCTTGGAAGTAATCGTCCCGTAAAACGTGTCGACCGCAAAGCGTTGTACACCAGACTGGAGGCACGTATCAATTACCTCCGGGACTTCCTAGACTTCAACACATGTACGTTCATGCCACCCACCCGCCATGGGTTTCACCACTCCTGCGAGACAAAATATGGATTTAGCTAACTCTTGAATAATAGCCGACATCGAAGCACTCACATCAGGCTCCAAGTACATCAAAGCCTTGATTCCCGCCGTCGTCAACATTGTCTATAAGAAACTCCTGGAACAGGACATCACTGCCCGCGCCTTCCACACTCGCAACACCGCCGATGAGAGACCCATTGAGGATTTTTACTCGGAAGAGAGTCCTCAAATCCTACGAAGAAAGATGTTTTTGCGGTGGTACTTGACCAAACTATGCTCCGATCCGACGCAGATGGAGTTCTGGCGGTATCTGGACAAAGTAGGGTGAGTTTTCCTCCTTTGGAGGAAAAAAAGAAAAAAAAAAAAAAAGAGAGGGAGAGAAAGAAGAGAACTAACAAGGACTAGAGTGATGCACTCAGGATCAGAGCGGATGCACCCCCTCAATATCGAATACATACATATGGGAGCCTGCTTGGGATTCATCCAAGATATCTTCACCGAAGCGCTCATGTCCCATCCCCACCTCTCACTCCATCGCAAAGTGTCTCTGGTACGAGCCATTAGCAAAATCATCTGGATCCAGAACGATCTCATCGCTCGATGGAGAATTCGTGACGGCGAGGAATATGCCGATGAAATATCCCAAATCCCCATCGACGAAAAGGAGGGCTACCTTGGCGAAAAGAAAATCCTAGGCGACAGCAGCGCGTCGAGTGACGATGACCGCTCCAGCATTGCCAGCAGTTGTGCACCTTCTGCGACCTCGGCTTGTCCCTTTGCAGATCTAGCAAAACCCATGTCCGAGACTAAGATCTGGGCTGGAAAATGAAACTTTTTTTTCTCTAAAAAAAAAAAAAAAAAAAAAAAGATTCAAGGGGCTAGGATATCCACATCGGGCAGTTTATGTCAGGCGTCACTGTGAGGTGTCCAATTCAGGGGGCACAAGGCATATAGCTGGCGTACTCCTCAGGGTTAGAGTTTCGGGCTTTTTTTCTTCTCTATTTATTTGTTTCCCTTATTCCGTTCTAAAATCGTCTCACGACTTTGATTTTTGTCACAACTGCATGGATGGTGTTACGGTTTCAAATCTGCTGCGATATTAGATATCCTCCAACACATCACTTCTCAGTGTCTAATTATAGAGTCTCTTATTTTATTTTCTTTCTTTCTTTTTTTGAATCATTTTCGAGTACACCAAACAAACAGGACCGATTACGGAGAGAAAATAAACTTTTTGCCAGTCCTATCGTGCATAAAAGATGATCATTGGCCGTTGGTCGTATTAAATCGATCGCCCTGGCAATTATTGATGATAATTGACGATAGATTCTTCTGGAAGACATGCATGGGAATAAGCCACGGAAGTATTAATGTTGTTTCCTTGCAGGAACGAGACGCCAGGGATACGGTGATTGGAATCCCAGTCCTTGCTGGTTCCATGAACCTGTTATAGGGATCTGAAAAGTGGATATGCATCTCTCGCCAATCGTCGATTCCACATCCTCGATGGATTTTCGTCCCTAGTAGGCAGTCAATCGATGTTTCGCCTGTCAACCTTAATCTCGGGGTGGGGAAGAACAGGAAGCTTTTCCGCACTAGATGAGTCCACCATGAGCCATGAGCCATGGTAACAACCATGAAAAATGATCCAAACCAATCTCTACCTGCGAGACTACCCTCGAGAGAATAATAAGGGTTAGGTCGGGATTGTTCCGCACTCAGAAACTTGTCATCAAATCGCTCCAGATCGTCCCTTGCCGAGTACTTAGTCAGTCGGTTCCATCGATAGGCTAACTACCGAGGGGCTCTCTCCCCTCACTTAACAGGCTTGCTCATTCTCATTGGGAACTAACGATCTGAACATCGCTTCACGCCATCCGGGCATTGGTTTGTAGATCCTCTACCGTGTCTCTTTACTGTCTCAGTCTTTTTTTTCTTTTCTTTTCTTTTTGCCCCCAAGATCCTTGAAAATAAGTTGAAAGTCCTCATCTTTTGATTGTACTTGGCTGCCTCAGTAGTTTTGACATCAACTTAGTTTCCCCCTCCTGCTTCCTCCTTTAACCTCTAGCCATTGGCGTTGGTTTCTTTTCCTTTTTCTTTCTTTTCTATTCTTTTTTCTGTTCGATATGATTGTCAAGGACACAAATCGCAGCAGAGCGATCATTCCGCTCATGGTCAATAATAAACCAGTGACAACAGAAACGACTTTCCAAATACACAACCCAGCAAATGGGGAAGTGATCGAGCACTGTTCAAGTGCGTCAATCGACAATGCGAACCACGCTGTGGAGGCTGCCAAGGCTGCCTTTCCCGCATGGAGCAAGAAGAAGCCGTATGATCGCAGAGACATATTGTTTAAGGCCGCCAACATAATGCTGTTGCGAAAAGAGGAGTTGATCCGGTATCAGATGGAAGAAACAGGCGCTGGAAGGTTATTTGTGGAGAAGACTCTCTCGATGGGCATCAGTTTCATCAAGGATTTTGCAGCAAGGATCCCATCGATCGAGGGCACTGTACCCGCCGTGTCTGAGGATGGCGAATGCGCAATGGTGTTCAAGGAGCCATATGGTGTAATTTTGGGGATTGCACCCTGGTAGGCCTTTTATCAGATTCGTCTTTCAAAACAAATATGCACTAACCACTGATTTCAGGAACGCCCCGTACATTCTTGGTACACGCTCCATCGCGCTACCTCTCGCCGCTGGTAATACTGTTGTTTTAAAGGGCTCCGAACTATCACCAAAATGCTTCTGGGTACTTGCCGATATTTTTCGGGAGGCTGGCCTTCCTGCGGGATGTCTGAACGTAATTTACCATCGGCCCTCGGATGCAGCGGCTGTCACCACGGCGCTCATTGCGAACCCCGCTGTCCGCAAGATCAGCTTCACTGGTAGCACTACCATTGGCTCGATCGTCGCGTCCACTGCAGGCAAGTATGTCAAGCCAGTACTTCTCGAACTGGGGGGCAAGGCATCAGCTATCGTTTTGGACGATGCCAATCTGGACAAAGCCGCAATGTGCTGTGCACTGGGTGCCTTTATGCACGTAGGTATGACCACTCCTGGGCGATTTAATGTTACTGACTCGAAGGATAGTCTGGTCAAATCTGCATGTCCACTGAGCGCATCGTAGTACAGCGATCTATTGCCGAAAAGTTCTGCCAGTTGCTGACAGACGCGACAGAAAAGGTCTTTGGCACGCATGTAGCAGCGCCAGTGCTTGTGGCATCTGCCGCTGTCAAGAAGAACAAGGACCTCGTGACCGACGCACTTTCCAAGGGGGCGGATGTCGTTTTTGGTGATGCTAACGCCAGTGATGAGGGCAGCAATAGTATGCGACCCTTGATTATCGGCAACGTTACAAAGGACATGGATCTATATTCCACGGAATCCTTTGGTCCAACCGTGTCCCTTATTGTGGTCGACGATGAAGAGGAAGCGATTGCGCTTGCCAACGACACCGAATATGGGCTCTCGTCCGCAGTCTTTACAGACAGCTTGTTCCGGGGACTAAAGGTAGCCAAGCAGATCGAGTCCGGGTGAGTTGCCACCACATCAAACCCCTATTGTCCTCCGTATATTGGGCATTGGAAATAGTCGCTGACCATCGTTGCTATCGTGGGTATGAAGTGCCGTCCACATCAACTCGCTGACTGTACATGACGAGCCTGTGCTACCACATGGGGGATGGAAGAGCAGTGGATTCGGTCGCTTCGGCGGAACTTCCGGGTACGACGAGTGGTTGCAAACCAAAACAGTCACTTGGGTGCAGTAAGGGACAGTGGCTTCGGGAAGAAGACCCGCACATATTCCATGGAATTAATAGTCCGTATATAAGTACTCCATAATTAGACATTGGAACCAGCTGTCCAATCAACAAGGACAGCATTTCACGTCCCCAGTACATGAGATGGGTAGACATATTCATTCTATTTTGGGAGGTGAAACCATACCAATGGTAACCATATTATGTCTCAGCAAAGATGTGGTATCCTTTTCCTGTTCGGGAAAACAAAGACGTAGTACTATCGTTTTTGGTTCCGTGGATGGTGCAAACGCAGCTAGAAGATTGTTCGGGTACCTTAGCCTAGCGAGTGGCTCTTCGAGTGAGATGATTGCCCGCTTTTCCACATTGGAGTCTAATTATGAGTCCTTATTGCTCCGTAGTTCGTGTGGTCTTATTCCGCAGCGAATGCATCAGATAGAGTTTTCTTTTTTCTTGTTAGTATCTCACAACCATTGACAGGGAGTTTGCTACTGTAGATAGATATGCCGAGTCTTCTCTGAACCAGTCCAGGGAAAGTATAATTTTCATTAAGGCGCTAGATAGATACAATCCAAGTTGCCATTGACAGAAAATTTCTTGGTGTACAACGGCTGTTTATGTTAGTGGCAATGTAGCTTAGGCACCCATCAGTTCGTCTCCTAAGCGAATGGACAACGGATCACAAGGTGCAACCTAACAATCAAAATGCGAGACTCTGGCAGTAGCCTCGAGCCCCACTAGAAACTACTGCCTTCCTTGAACCCAAGGCCTGCGATGAGCTATAGCTCACTATCGAACTCCTGACTCCATCATGAATTGCAAGGTACACCCAATTTAACGGCACGTTTGGCCCCTTGATGGTGGTGTACTCCGTATGTCGGAAATTTTCCCACGTTTTCCTTTGTTCCTTCTCTTCTGATGGCCAAGTTTTAACGGGGCTAATTTTCTTGGTACACCGCAACTAAACTTGCAGGGTATGTCCGTTCTTTGGTGTTAGTAGACCGAGCGGCTCCACCGACCAATTCAGGAACAAGAAAGAATTGGCAAGGGGTGGCCGTCATCCCCGAGAAAAAGAAACGGAATGACTTCATTCGCGTTGCGATCATCCTTCTGCGGGGATCGGTCATGATCAGCTTATCAACTTGAAGATTCGGGACTTTGAAGTTTTGGCCCGGTTCTTGTTATAATATGAATCGTGCCAAATCAAAACCAAAAGGGTCTGAGCATACGTGATTGGACGGCGGATTCAAATAATAATATTCGAAGTCTCAGATCGGCTGCAGATAATAGTCTTACTGAGATTACTATTAATCAAACTGTCTCATTTGAAAATGAGTGGGTTAGTATTTCAGCCTCAAGGAATCTCCTCTCATTTCTGACGTGGGCTCACCCAGACGCCTGAAATGCAATCCACCCACCGACCAAGTGAGTGAGGAGAACCAAATTAAACTAGCAATAAAAAGACTGGAGTCACCCTATATTGCATTAAAAGAAGGTCTCAGATAATTTCTTCCGATGGAGCGACTCGGATATTTTCCGCAAGTTAGAGTGCGAGGGGAAGCAGGCGAGGAGAGAGAACACGAGGAAGCAAGCCAGATCACAGGGTTTGGTTTGGATGGCACCCACCCCTTTCTCTCATTCTTTGTTTTTTTTTTTTTTTTTTTTTTTTTTTTTTCCACTTTTCGTTCATCCCACCTCAGCAAAAACCATGCAGCGCGAATCATCCTCTCCCCTCTCTCTTTTTTTTTTTTTTTTCTTGGGAAGCTATAGAAATAGCCTTTGAGTCATAATTCGAAAGTACCAAGTCTACGTAAAGCGATCCCAATGGTGTATTACACTACGATGTGGGATGGATACAGTTCGCAAGTGCAGCACCGTTGACCTTTAGTTCTCGACTAATAAGCCTAGCTACAGGATCCACGAGACTACAATCTTACGCACCATAGAACCCCTCATAAATGAAGTCTCTTTGGCGCTATGGCTCTTGGTCCTCCGTGACTGGACGGTGGATGGTTTTATTCCCCGCTAATCCCTGAGGTGCCTGAAAGTCTCACTCTCAACAGTTCAGTTCAGGTACATCCCACCCAGTCTCTGGTTGGAGAGATCTTTTGAAGCTAACTGTCCAACTAAGATAACTGTCGGCCAGTGAAATGGCCCACCGCTTGTAGGGTAGCATCACGCTCAATTCCCCACAGTCTACAACGACTTTGTAAATTTTGGGGAGTCCAGCATTCCAAGCAGGAAGTTTTCACGGTAGGCTCAAAGCACTGGCATCCTTACTATCTATCCATTGTAGCATAGCACTGACTACATGGAGCCGTAGAATATGGAATAGTACGAAGGAGGTACAATCGTACAAGTGGCCACACAAGCTACAGCCCTTTGTAAATTATTCCGGCCCATCTTTTTAGTCCGTCTTTCGTGATCCACTTGCAGATGCGAGCCGCAATTTTGACAGTACGAGGTGATATCCCTTCCAAAGGGAGAAGGCTTAGCTGCCGTTACATTCGAGTGCAACACTTTAAAGCTGGTCGATTTCCTGGCCCTTCCCTCCCTTCTTTTTCTTTCCTTCCCCTCCTTTGATCGATACCCATCCTTGTCGTTCCTTTCTCACGGTAGTCGCTCTTTTATCCTACCCATCCCACTCAGTCGTTCTTTTCTAGACCTAGGTCTCCGAACTTCTTATCCACCTCTTCTCACATTAATCTTCATCTCGACATTTCGGAAGGGATATAATTTGAAAAAAAAGAAACATAATCATACACCATGCGTTTCTCCACTGCTGCTATCTTCTCCGCCCTTGCGGCTCTTGTTTCTGCTCACTCTCAGCCCGACTACAACCAGGCCCCCACTGGCAACCCCATCTATACACCTGGTTTGAATCAAGTGGTTGAGGCCGGACAGACCTTCACCATTACCTGGGATCCTACCACCACCGGACCTGTTTCTCTGGTCCTCATGCGTGGTCCCAGCACCAACGTCGTTCCTATCGGCACCATTGCTGAGCAGGTCCCTAACACGGGCCGCTTTGACTGGGTTCCCAGCACCAGCCTCGAGCCTGATGTCACCCACTACGGTCTTCTGCTCATTGTGGAGGGTACCGGCCAGTACCAGTACTCTACTCAGTTCGGTGTCTCGAACCCTCACTACGGCTCCTCTTCTTCTTCCACCACAAAGGCTGCCCCCACCTTGGTTCCTACTGATGCCTCTGCCGCTTCTGCTACGACTGACGACGCAACTTCTACCCGTTATGTGAGCGTTACCACGACCATCTGCCCTAAGGGAACCGCCAAGTCCTCCAGCACCCCTCTTATTGGTTCTAGCCGCCACGCCTCGACTCCTGTTGTGTCTCCTAGCAAGACCGCTGTTCAGCCCACTCTTCAGCCCACTCTCCAGCCCCAGCCATCCGGTCCCTCCGGTAACCCCTCCACGACCGGCCCCGCTACGCCTTTGCATACCGGTGCTGCTGGCCGCAACATGATCAGTTTCGGCGCTGTCGCCGCCGGTATGCTTGCCATGCTTGCTTTCTAAATGGGTTGAAAAGACGCTGCACTCACTTTGACCGTTTTACATGATAAATGTGAAACGTGATGTTTCTTTCATAGCATGTATCTGATATCAATAATATGATAGCATATGCTCAGAATACAAAGCTTTAGCTCCTAGAATTCTAGAACCTTACGTACTCCATATGTCCAATGTATTTAAGAGCTGCGGAGTAGTGCCGAACCAATTCCATTGACACATCAAAACCATCCCTGGTCCTAATAGTGCCATCTAGAATCAAATCCTACGGCCTATGATACGTAAGCCAACCAATAGCTGCCATGCTAGGCAACCTACGAACCTGGAAGTTTTTTCTGTTTCCAAGCATTCACCCCACTCCGAGTCCGAACGCACCTTCATCCAGCTGGCAGCTTGGCTACCGCGTTGTCGCAATTTGAGTTTATGATCCACTGTCCGTTCGCAAGAGCTTCATTTAGCTGCATATTTGAGGTCATATGAAGAGGCTTTACTAGACACAAACTGGCTATGTAGACGAGGTTTCCAAGTCAGTACTCCGTACATACCATATATCTAGTATAACACAAAATCTACGACAGGGCTATCACGGATCGATCCGGTACAAAATCTAGCCACTACAGACATCGTCTACGGAGTACTGAGTACAGATAATGCCAATAAAACCATCTTGTCCTTACAATCTAGAGCGACTTTCTCGCGGTTCAACTTCATAGAGAGAGACAGCAAGTCCCAATCAAGTATAGCGCAAACGCCAACCCAATCAGACACTAAGCTACAGCTGCGACTTATATGAGGCAATACTAACCCCATCCAGCAGGCGGTTAAAACAGCCAGAACGCCAGCCCAGCGCAGATAAGAAAATAATTTCCGTACTTTTTAAAGCCTCCGATTTAACGGTTTAACCATTGCCTACAAATCTATCCACCCATCAAGCTTATTTTCCTCGTACTGTGCTGCTGGAAGTGCCTCAGTCCCATTCTATCCTATCTTGTCTGGTCTCGTCTGTAACCATGGTCCAAGGAAGTCTGAAAAAGGCCAAGGCGAACACAGCCTCTACGAAACGGTACGCTACGCTACCTATCTCCTGAATTCAGATGTAGTTCATCTTATCATCTATCGTCGATGACATGAAATGAATGACATGCATGGCATCATTTCAAAACCAAAACCAAAATCAATCAATAGGAAGAACCACAAACTAACAGAAACTTTTACTCCTCATGATCTAGGCCCTCCGCACTCGGACCAAAGCGAGGACCCAGGGCGATCGCGCCCAAAAAGGCATCATTAATTAAGCAGCAAAAAATCACCAAGGTACATACTTTTTTCTTTTCTTGGAGGTAAAGGGGCTAGCTTGGTTATTACCTACATATATTGGTAATTCTATCGACTGTATCTTAGCAGCTAGCTAACCTATGGATTGGTGTAGAAACTTTCGGCTGGCTTGACGGCAAAGACGGAGAAGAATTTGGCAGAGAAGGCGGGACATTTGGAATTGCTTGCTGGTGGGAAGAAGGATAAGAAGAAGGTGGATAAAGGGAATAAGCTCAAGAAATAATCCAGATTGGAGGTTTGTTCTGCACTTCTACTTAGGATGCGTGGACTGGTTGTTTGTACCCATGGAGTTGTATGGATAGTTGCTGGCGATTTGTTTGCCAGCAGCATACATGGCATATAGAAGGCAGTGAGATGATTAATGAATTATATGATACCCCTGTATACTATTGTTGCTGATTGGTATACAAACACTGAGCACAAGTAATCAGAATCTAGGTATATGAAAAATGGCATGTAGATACAGACATCATCTAAAATCTTCACAAGGATCCTGCCGCAGCCCTGCATATGTAACTCCAATCAATAACCCAAATATGCAAGCCCAGGCACAAAATCATCAATCATACCAGCAGAAGCGAGAAACGCAAGAACGCTGAAAAAGGGTATCTTAAATCTTCGATCCAGTCAATCAATCAATCCACTGTAGTTATCTTTTTTTCTTTTTCTTATTCTTTTCTTTCCTTTCTTTCCCTTCTTTTCTTTCTTTTCTTTCTTTTCTTTCTTTTCTTTCTTTTCTTTCTTTTCTTTCTTTTCTTTCTTTTCTTTCTTTTCTTTCTTTTCTTTTCTTTCTTTTTTTTTTTTTTTTTTTTTTTTTGTAAAAATAAAAAAAAAAAATAAAAAAAATAAAAAAAAGGCCACACTTAGGCTTTAGACACGCGGCTTGGGTCAACAGCTTGTTCGATCAGTTCCTGTCCCCTCTCCATCCATTTTTGGAACCCTTCATCACTGGAATCCACCGGGAAGTCGTCCCAAATGGCATTTTTGGAGTCCGGGTAGGTGGACCACACCCCCTTGGGAGCTTCTGAGGCTGACCATGAAGGAAGCTTCGCAAGCACGCAGGTATAGTAAACGTAAAGAATCCTGCACAGCAGATCAACGCGATCAACGTAATGTTGCTTGGTCGGATCCGGTTCCCGGCCGCCGTCGCCGAGGCGTTTCCACCAGGAAACTCGCCAGCGAAGAGTAAGAAGGATATGGCCCAGCTCGCTCAGGAATCGAAGGTGCGTTTCCTGAGAGATCTGCTTCCATTTGATGTTGTAAAAGTCTCGCTCAAGCTTGCGGAATCCTTCCACTTCCAGCATCCGGCAGACAATTCGGGACAGTTGCGCCGCGAGAAGGATCTCTCGCTGATCATCCGGGTTACGAATGTCCATGGGTCTTTCTTGGTCCCCTTCTTGAACAGGAACAAAGCTGTAGCTCGCACGGCTGGGCATATTGTTCCACTGAGAGAGGAGAGACTACAGTTCAAGGTGTTAGCGATCCGGTTCATCTGAGACAAACTGCAGGTTGGACTCACGTAGATATTGCTCATTGGGTCACAGTCCTTCACACATGTTAGCCAGTTCTTTGACTTATCCTTCGACTCCACAATCCGCCGATCAATGAATTCCAGAAAGTTGGATCGGGAGTTGCCGTTGTAATCACTCAAACTTCGGAGGAATTTAAAAGTTTCGCTCAGGTCCAGGACGTAAAGTGATCCCCAAGCTTGGCTGGCGCGAATGTTGAATCGTCCTTGCCGCTCACCAAGGAATGAAAGAAGATTACTCAGGTCGAACTCAAATGGAATTTCCATCCGCACGCGGCCAGACCTATCCAAAGTAGGATGGTTGATGGCTCGTTGAGCTGGATCCCATCAGCAACACGAAGGAAAACTGAGAGAGCTAGTTCTTACATATGTAATTGCATGTCCCATATTCGACAATGTTGGCAAAGCACGCTCGTGCACATGGTTGTTCGTGGAGCGTCGGACGACAAGCATCACATGGAGCATTGCCATCACACTGGTTTGCCACATAAATCAGCTCCAATCCGAATCAGGAATTGTCGATCGAGGGACATCCCAAACCTTTCGTTTGTTTAATCGACATTGGACACAAGTGTCCTTGTTCTTTCTCCGCAAACCTGCATTCGCGCGGCCTACCATACTCAAGGGACCCTTACGACGCGCACCGCGTGGCGGAGATACGAAATCAGCGGACGCGATCGATCCACCCTGGCCATCCTCTTGCACAATCTGAAGCGGCTTTGGCTTGCTGTCTAACGACAGATTTGAGCCACGTTGTTTACGCTTCCTGACCGTCGCAACAGACTGAACTCCGAGGGACTGTGGCCGAGGGGTCGCTTGCTGTGGCGCATTTGACGAAGTTCTAGACCTCGAGGGAGCGGAAGCAAGTAACTGCTCTGATGGAGTCTCGCTGACCATAAACGCAGCTGCACTCTGTAGTGACTGGGTCGTTTCCGGTGGAGCCACATCCCCCTTTGGTGAGACATGCCAAGTGCCGTCTTCTTCCAATTTTCGCTCGGGAAACGCAGGGATCTCATCGCTGGTGGCGGAGTAAGAGCATTCGTAAATGCCAGATAAATCACCCGACACGGACGAGCTTTCCGATTTGTACTGAAATCCATCCTGCTTCCTGTTGGTTTCTCTGTAAAAGTTGGGTTGAAGGGAGGTTGTCGACAACGATGCAGGAGGCATGTTTGTAGGCAACTGGGACTCGAGGCTCTGCAGCCAGCGCGATTCAAGTGAGCGCATCGGCCCATCAAAGCCGCGCAAAGCGTTCAGCCCCTTATTTGGGAGCTGAGACGCCATCGATGCCGCAACTGGTATCTGATTAGCCACCTGGTCGGCAGATGGGCTCGTGGAGGACTCGGCCCAGGTCTCCGTCGTCGGAAATTGAAACGCTTGGGTCATATTCTGGAACGACAAAAACTGGCCGGGCGGAACGTCCGGGAATCCAGGATCCTGTGGTAACTCCCCGACATCCTCAACAATCACGGTATTGCCGGAAGTAGCGGGCTCTTTCGTGTAAGGGTAGAGGAGAGGAGTTTCCAAGGGGAGGCTCCAGCGGTCATGGTATTGAACAGCTGGTAATGGGGCCATGATTCATCCAAGTGGAAATTGTCGTCGGCAGAAGGTAGGGTTCTCGGGCTGACCGTGCTACTAATGGTACCTTCGAACGTGGCATCGGCAGTGCTGAACTTCTCGGGAGGCGTAGTTGACTGATTACTATTAGGAGAAACGCTGTCAGTTCCCACCGGCTGCCACGTGCTTATGTAGATCAAGGAGGGGGAGGGGGAAGGGGAAAAGGGTCAAAGGGTGCCGCACCTGTTGTCGCCTCTCTGATAGTTGTTTGATGGTCCCATAAACGAGACATTGGGATGCTCATTTGACAAGGGTCCATTAAGGGCATTTAAATCGACAATCTCCCCATCGCCCTGACTTGAATCCGGGCTGGCGTCCCAATCTAGCGGATGCTCACAACCCGGTTGTTCCCAGGAAGGAATGGAGAAAGCAGACTCCGTTTGCCAATTGTCGAGGATTTTTGGGTCGATGCCCACAGCCGTACCAGCACTCCCGCAGTCCATCCAGGGGATCGAGGGAAGGGGAGCGTGAACGGCCTCGAGGAGCGAACCAGGTCTAAACGAGCGTCGTTGGCTTCGATAGGGCCACTAACTATCTGCTACAGACGGCGCGAGAGGGTGGCACTGAACCCTCGCACCGATAAGAGATCGAAGAAGGTGACAACGGAAATGGAAACGCGATCGCAGGAGGGATGGAGGAGAGCCGATTGACGATGACAATGATGGACTGATGGTGAGAGCAGAAATTCATCCGGCTGATGTGTTCCCCACCAAAGACTTTGCGGCGGCCGGCCTTCCGGTGCTAACGAACTAGTCTTATTGGCAAACGGAACTGAGAAGTCCAACCTTTTAGTTCCTGAACAGTGGTACTATGTCGGTTAATACAAAAGGCCTGCACTGCCCAAGTCGTTTTGTCTTGATTGAGTTTTATTCTACTTGCGACTGGGAAAGGACGATGTGGAGGAAACTCGAAGTTTTCTGCAGATCTGATGGTGCACTACCACCCCGGTCCTTGATCCCCTTTTGTCAAGCTATCTCGGACAAAGAAAGTCAACGTGTTAAGAAGAAAAGAAAATAATTGTCACGACGCAATGGAGGTCAGGACGAGACACGGGGGGAGGGAGAGATGCTTTTCAGATCCCGAATCAATACTCAAACTCACTGTGCTACAACTGAGGCTTCACTGATACACCAGTCATATTACGCAACGCAATCACTCATCCAAACCTGCAACAGCGATGGGTCTTCCGTGCCGCAGAGATCCTTGTGCAGCTCCCAACGTCTGAATGGAAGATGAGGACCCGCTACTAAAACGGCTGGCACCAGTCAGATGGCATGACTGGGAGGAGAGGGGATCTTCTAAGTATAGGTAATCATCATCGTGCGTTTCTAGAAGGCGGATTGATTGGCTCAACGAGGTTGGTTCCATTGGTATGATGCACTAGTGGGGTTTCATCGTCAAAAGTTTTGCTGCGAGTCCACTCGATTAGTCTATTCAGTTCTCTAAGGTCCGAAGTCGCAGTGGATGTTGTTTTATTATTGTTGTAAATGATATGCATGACCTGTAGTCATGGTTGTAGTAAGAATATTTATTCGTACTGTTTCCCTATATAAAACTGGTTTCGCCGCTAAGGAAGGATGTATACTTAGTCTTAGATTATATATCTGGAGCCAATTTACCACTTGCACAGTCCATACGAAGCTATCATCACTTTACTACGGAGTATTAGTACTAAAGTAGTACTCGACCATTACCCATTTGAAAAGTTTATTGCCTCTATACCCTCGATGCCTATATTTCATATATTCCAGTATGATTCTGGCATCCAACACCCTGGTTATGAGACTCCAGGATCAAGGGATCAGAACGATAACTAATTACGAGGTCTATGGATCCGATGCTGGCCAGCTGACCTTCAATGCCGCGGCTGTGATGAGTTTTGCAGTCTCTAACGATCTGATTCTCGTATTATTTGCTGAGGTCCGAATGCCATCCCCACGATGCCCTCACCGCAGTCTCTTTTGGGAGCCCTCTTGGTCTGGTCATGTTCGATGCCATACAGGTCAGATACGGTATTTTCACCCTTCTTCGCATTATATTTCGCGTATGGTATTAGTCATGACCACATACGTCTGGTACAGGGCCTTCCCCCCGCAGCTTCAGCATCTTCACCGCGACCGAATTGGAGATTCTTGCCCGGTATGTATTCGGTAGTCGGGGTAAGTAGGAAGAAAATATCTGCAGGTCCAACATGTACCCAGTACGTCTGCTCTATAAGTAGTGGACATTCTATGGGTTCTAGGTGCAGTGGAAAGAAGCTGTGAAATTGAGTTGCATCCAGTTCTGTTCCGTCGTGGTCTAGACTCGGTCCTTCCAACATCTCCGTTTACCGAGAACGAAGTGGTTTCGCTTCAACATGCATATACTGGTATGTTTTCTTTTTCCCAATCCGTGAGCTATTCGCTTGGCTGCCCTTGCTTTTCAAGTCAGCCGACCCGACCTTCAACAGCTGTCTAACCCACGCATTCCCAACACGCCCGAGACAGACTAACAAAATGGGGTTCGATAGGTCGTCAATGATGACGGTCCGCCATCGAGTCGACTCTCCCCTTACATTCGACCATTCGTCAATGCCCTCCAAAATGCGGGCCACCTCGTATCCGTGGCCATTCCCGCCGCATCCCGATCCTGGATTGGCAAAGCACATCTGATCGAAGCTTCTCTCAAAGCCACCTACGTTCCGCCAGATGCCTTCCATGATGACGCAACCTGGGACGAGTCCACCACAACCAATCAAGATCGAAACACTCCCAAGCCCGAGTGGGTGGTAATCCACAATGGCACTCCAGCCAGCTGCGTCCAGCTGGGATTATACAATCTATTCGCGGACCGCGAACCCATCGATCTGGTGATTTCGGGTCCCAACCATGGCCGTAACGCCTCAACCATTTACAATTTGTCCTCAGGAACGGTCGGCGGTGCTTTGGAGGCTGCCACGTGCGGCAAACGTGGCATAGCCATTTCATTCGGAAGCAAAGATCCACAGCACATTGACACCATCCACGCTGCGTCCAGACTAGCCGTGAAACTCGTCAATCACTTATACCGGAATTGGGACGAGCGCGTCGAGCTGTACAATCTGAACATCCCTATGCGCGCCGACGTCGAAACTAGACCTATCCGATATACTCGTGCGCTGCCATACTACTGGGCTCGAGGGTATCTGTACGCCGAAGAGACGGTTGATAAGGCAAACGGTGATATCCAGACGAGTCAGGCGGACAGCTGCCTTATCACTGGCACTAAGCCGGCCAATGTAGCGGGAGGCTCGCGTTTGAAGGAGCGTAATTTCACCTGGGCAGCGAAATTGTCCGATATGAAGAAGGCGCTGCAGGCGAGTGAGGAGGGAACGGATGCGCATACGGTGCTGAATGGGAGTACTAGGTAAGGGCTCAGTTTGAATGAGCATTGTTGTCCGAAGGCTAACAAAGCACTGTGTCCAATTAGTGTTACGGCCCTCTGTGCGAATTTCTGGCATGTGCCCGGTTTGGATGGGCCGCTGGAGCTGGATAATTGATGTCCAAGGTAGGGAATAACGAGAATGAAGCAGATAATATGATAGATACCCGCTATCGTTCTCGGTTTGATTCTACGACTGGAGTTTGGTTTTGTTTTTTTTTATTTCCACATTGCATATTGCACGGGCAAAAAGCATTGTCGGAGTAATGGCATATTTCGGATGAGGTATTCTCACTCTATATATACAAGGGATCTGATCATGCATACTATCATCCGACGGTAATGTTCGAAAGTACCATCCCCGTATCCCAACAATCACAAACGCAATATAAGAAATAGCAGAGAAAGTGAATAAAAGCAATTGGAGTATCATCTAATCATGGGGATTTACATATCAATACGGCAAGTAGAACAAGCTTAAGAGGAACAAAAGAAAACGGAATGAAGCTTTTCTAAAGCGCCCGCGCAACTTCTCCCGCTCCACTCTCTACAACCGACGCCTGCTCAGCGCGCATCTTCCCCTTTGCGATTCCGCCCTCTCCGACACCCATTCTGCGGGCAACATAACGCTGCGCGACGACCCCAGTGGCCAAGGAGAGGGCTTCCTCGATCCATTCAGCCGCCCATTCGCGGGGATCAACGCCGCCACCTTCGACGATCTCGGCAATTTCGTCGGGAGTGACTGCATGGAGCACATTATCTCCTTCGGTATGGGAGTCTCCCGCCGGAGCAGAGGAATCGAGCCACTCTACCCATTTTTGCGGGACGGCCTGGGAGACCGTATGGAAGGCAATGCCGTGGATAGGGTCGTGCAGGTAAAGAGCGAAGATGATCTCCTCTTCCGTAGCATCGGGAACATCAACCACGCCGGGTGGAGTGGCTTTATCCGTGGTTGGGCCCGCCTGGAAAAGTTCAGTTGGCGCAGTTTGGCTGATTGCCTGGACGGCGAGGAAAATATCGCTGTTTCGGACCGGGTTCGACTCGCTCAAGATCTCGCTTGCTTGTTTTGCGGCCTCTTCAACCCCTCCCCTAGGATGGAAGTATTCAGTGGCATACGATTCGGCGCTTGCCCTGGCGAGCTTGGTAGCTTCCACGGAGCCACGAACAGCTGAGAGGGTACGAGGGTTCCCGGAAGTAACCGTGCGCCACCATGGGCCATCGCGCCAGCCCGCTGTAGCCCCAGTAATGTCAATTCCGCGTCTTCGGGCTGATTCTTGGCCTCGCTGGATCACCAGAAGGTCTCCACCTTCTACTTGGGCCATCACACGGGAGAAGACGGCATAAACCAGAGGATCAAGACTGGGGTACCCCGAAAAGTCGTGGGTCACATGGATCTGGAGGCGTTCGTGGGACGAGATTGGGGGCGCAAGGGTATGGATGAGGGAGGTAAACGTAGGGATCGCTATGTTGCGAAGCTCACCACCTGGAGAAACAATCGTCAGTGTATGTGCATGTCAAATGAGAATTGCTGGAAATACCAAAGTCTCTCAGAGCACCAACATTGCCTTTCACCTGTTGTGCCCACTTCTGGGCTTCTTCATTCTGCTGTATCTCCTTCACGGCTGCTTCAGCCTGCTTCATGGCAGCACTAGCCGTGGCAAAAATACCTCCCCACCATCCACCTCCACCAGAAGCAGGGGTCTCCTGGGTCGCTGCTTTTTCAACATCAGACTTTTGCACATTATCGGGCTGAGTAGTCACACGAGAAGAACGGACGCTCTCTCCCGACTTGCGGGGGGTAGGTTTCTCTTCGCTAGACCGACCGGTCGAGGGAGTGGTTGACGCTGCAGCTGCTTTGGGCCTAGACTCAGTAGTGGATGGGCGAGGGGTTCCAGGACCACTTCCTGGGCGCTGCGAAGCTAGATTATCCAGCTCAGCTAAGATGTCCTGTTCGGACTGCGGGCCAGTCGTTGCAGTCGCTGGCTGCGATGGTTTTGGGTCGGGGCTAGAGTCCTCAACCCCAAGATTGTCAAATTGAGCGAGAAGCTCATCACTGGTTGGTTTAGTGTTTTTAGGGCGCATTGTCATCGAGTATACTATAGTCCGACGTGGGAGGAGACTGTTGTATTGTCTGCCGATAGACAGAGACGGGGAGAGTTGGCCGAATCAGGTTCGGGAGGATGTTTTTGGGCGGTGAACTGATGATGACCTGTGCCAAGAGGGATTAGTGTGCAGCTCTTCGATCTCTTCTATTCTCTGTGTCGAAGTGTGCTGCATGCTTGAAGTACTATACTTGTATAACAATAATAAACCTGTGAATAATCCTTGGTTTTGTCTGATTTGTTCCCCCCTTTGTTCTGGAGTGAGGGTTAAAGGACATATTGGACAACACACATTAATACTTCAAGATGTACTAGTTAGTGCTACCTATTATTTCACTATACCTGTTAAAAAAAGAAAGAGAAAAAGAAAGAGAAAAAGAAAGAGAAAAGAAGAGTCTTGACATTACATTACAGTGGCAAAATTTCCTGCAATTTGATTGATGGTAGGTGGAATTTATCAGCCTGACTTGGAAAAAAGAGTAAACAATGCCTAAAATTCTATAGTGATCAGCAAACAATTAGGTGCTGGGCACCTGAAGCTGAATTTTGTCTAGTATCTTGTCCAAATAAGTCGGGTATTAAGAGAATGGAATCGGACCAGTGGATCGGCGGGATTTCGAAGGATGTATGAGGATAATATACTCAGTAATTAGTGGTATTGAATCCTGACTATTTGGGTTGAATCCTAAACCCCCTTTGGAAAATCCATGTTTTTGAAAGGGAAGGTAAATAGCGACAGCTTGTCAGATACTGCTTAATGTCAATAAAGTCCAAACCATCTATACCACGGCTGGCTTCCGTTTTGTATACAAATTACTCTGTATGGGCTATATCTATCAAGCGGGGTCGGCTCGCCCGCAGCGGACCCTTCCGCAGTCCGTGGGGTTAAAATTAAAACTAAAGATGGCTGGATATGATTTGGCTTAAATTGTGGCAATCCCCACGCCGGCTCTATCTCTGAATCTGCTTTCGTAGCTGAAAATATCTATTCTGGAGTCGTCCTTTGTGGATCACTCTTGGCGACGGTGGTTTCTTTATCGAGGTTATCAATTGATCAGTATGCCGCATTTTCCACAATGACTCACGACTCATTGATTAATGATATCCACACAGACGAGACACGAAGTTCTGTTACTTTGGCCTACATCTTCCAGTTATTGACTATCTCACCATGCGTCTCCCATATGTGCCCGATGCCCCACCAACCAGCACTCCCGAAGAGGCAGATATCCTTGCTCGAGTGCAAGCCCGACGTGGGTCTCTCGGCCTCATTCCTCTTGACCGTGCTTTGTTGCACTCCTTTCCCGTCACGGATGGATGGAACTCATTCATAGGGGCCATTCGAACCCGGACGAGTCTCTCACAAGTTATTCGCGAGTTAATCATCTGCCGCGTGGCCGCCCTCAATGAGGCATGGTTTGAATGGGAACATCACGCACCTTTACTGCAGGAAGGTGGATTCAAGGAGGAGGCAATGGCTATTGTTCGAGATGCTCAGATAGATCTTTCTGCGAAGGTCCATGAGGGGTTAATCAGCGAGGTAGAATGCGCCGTTATCAGGTATACAGATGCCATGACCAAAACGGTGACCGTTCCTGAAGAGGTTTTTCAAGGGCTTAAAGAGATTTTCAATGATCGAGAAGTTGTGGAAATCACCGCAACTGTGGCGGCTTATAACTGCGTGAGTCGGTTCTTGGTTGCCCTGGATGTTGGAGAAAATAATCAGTGAGCTCTGCTGGCCTGGAAATAGATTTGTATTATGCAAATAAATACTTCTATTTCGGTATCACTCAGCCCATACTTGGCTGTCAACCGTTAAGGCTCTTTATGATGTATAGCGGCATATAGTTAGTCCACCATCTTTGTAGTAGCACTTCAAACAACTGAATTAGGTGGCGTTTACAGCACAAGACTTCGCAGAATGGGTACTTGGGTTTTCTGGTTTGCCTTCATAAGTGAGGTCATCCATAATGGAATGCTACCTTATATGCTCCTTCAGCACATGTATATACTTCTTTCATCATGGTTGGCGAACGAAGCTGATACATCATGATGGTCAGGTTTAATGAAAACTTATCCTCTGATTCTTTACAGATTCTTCTTTCACTTTCTACCATGTCTACTTTCATTTCTGCCCTTTCTTGCTTTCTCCGATAGGCTGCTAAAAGGACCCGGACTTTTGCCATCTGGCAGGTGAAGTCATTTATTGGGATATGTGGGTTATTCTACGTTCAACAACAAAACAGGCCAGACTCGAGTGTTACCGTTTTTGATAACACAGAGGAAATTTTCCTGGTTGTATCGACTGGATACTTTGTATGGTGAATGATTGAGTTGTATTGCAGTTGGGTATTTATAATATCAAATATAGCATTCTGGATTACAATACCGAATAATATTACCAATTGTATATTCACTCCAATGACAGCGCGAGAAGATGAGGAGCAGTCTGCTGAATTGATCACGGGTATACCGTACAGAGTAGTAACTCAAAGCCTCCTTGGGAATACAAAGAAATATTTGGAAAACGAACTCCCGGCGTTAAATAAGGTATCCTGGAAATAATAAAGGCCGATTCTAGAACCATTTTTATTTCTTTCTTTTCAACAAAGAGGTGAATAAAATCTGAAACCCCCTATTCTTTCAGAAGTACTTAATTACTTGTCTCCTGATAATAGATGATACTACCAGGTAGGTTTTGTCAGGTAATAGACAGGGCGACACTGCAGACCATGTTATTGGCCTGAGACCCCCAAATCTGGCTAGACTGACAATAGGGTGTCCGGAGATGACCTTTTTCCGGGCATTTGCGCACCATGGATTCGTCCGTGCTGTGGGGCCTGTACCGGGTGTAATTACGGTACATGCATACAGCAAGTAAGTTTTGTACAAACTGCCAGGCGGTTTTTCCCTTGCGATAATTAATTCATTGCGATTCAATTCTATCCACTACTCGCACATTATCCCATTCATTCCCTCCCCTCCTCGTTGCCCTCTTTCTTAGTTACTTTTGAGAGCGCTACTTCTTCTGTGTTTTCTCGGGTCTAGGTTCCTACAGTTCCTTCTATTCTCCTCCCCCTTCCTCTCTCCACCTCCCACGCTTTGTCTAACTTCATACTTCTACTACACTACCAACACTACTACCTACCCATGAGCCTTTTGCCTGTACGATCTTCTGCCCAAGAACATCCTAATAGGCTTTGATAATTCTTTCAATTGTCTGTACGTGACTAGGATTCTCAATATCTCGAGCCTATCCCCTTCTTATCACTTCTCTATCTTGTTGCGAGTGTGAAAGCATACTGTAGAAGCTTTTTTTTTTGCTTACCCGCTCAATCTTTTACTTCTACATCCACGAATCACTCTTGCAACAACCTCCCTATCTACGGAGTACCAGCTCCCTTTTCTTTTCTTTCCTCCTCTAAACAACTTCAATTTCTCTCCTCTGATCCGTGCCTGCTCATCTCTCACGCCTCCTTTCTTTTCTATCCTCTCAGTTCTGCAGTGGTATAGCTTGCCTGCTTACGCCTCGATTTTTCTACCTCATTCTACAGGAAAAACTTTTCTGGGCAAGAATTCACTCCAAGCACAACATCATCGATTCTTCAGATTGTGCATACCCCATCTTGTGTCTTCTCATCTTGGCTTCACCCTCCTCTTTCCCCTTGGCCAAGGTCGTGGTGGAACACATACATTACGCAGTCCTGAGCTTACCCGCTCGGTTTTCTACTTTTCCCTTTTGAGAACACTACTTCTAACTTACTACTACTACTATCCCTCCCTGGCAGCCGTTCGCGACCTCGCTCTACTACTGTGTAGACAAAAGAACTTTTCTCACCAGCCCGTCTACCTTCTTGAGGCGGCAATCTCCACACTATCTTTTTTCTCTTTCTCGTCTTGGATTCTTATTCAGCAGACTGGTTCTGTTGATCCTTTCCCCCAAGGTATGTTACCTATTGTGTGTGGCACTACATCTAGGGACTCATTGTGCCTGTTCGAACTTTGTTGCGTTTTGCCAACTTTTTCCTTTGCCTCCCCATTGCAAAAACAAGTAGATTTTCCACCCCAATATTTTCATGTTGCTTCCCCTCCTTCCTACTCGTTTGTGCTCTCCTGTTTTTTTTTTCTCCCTTCCGCCCTTGCACAGGGTGCATTTACTGCTGAGGATTGCGCTGCAGTTACTACTGCTGTCTTGGCGCCGCAAGCGAACTTTTCAACCCAAGTTTATTTGACTAACGCTGTATACAGACGTTTAGGTCCCATTCTTGGGTGCCGTAAGAGATTCTCGCATCACCAACGTGCGAATATCTCTTTTCGTCTTCCAGTATTTTTTTTTTTTTTTTTTTTTTTTTTTTTGGTCCTTTCTTTGCTTTTTAATTAAGCGTGCTTTGTCATGGCCCCTGTCGCCCAGGACGATATCGAAATGGACAGCCATACTTCAGACAGGGCCAGCCAGGACTCCTCGCTGCGCCGACAATTCTCCGAGCCACTCCATGGCCATTCTGCATCTACTCAGGCCTCACAATCCCCTTCTCCTGTGGCCCATAAATTTAAATGCGACTGGTGTGGAGAATTCTTTGAGTCCTCTAATGACAGTTCTCAGTCTCAGAGCGAGGCTCTCAAAGAGCACATAGCCTCCGTACATCCACACATTGCCAAATTGTCGACACATGATAGTGCTGCTGATGAAATTGAGAATTATCAGCCTAATGGCACTCATGAACAATCTGACGTCGCCGATGAAGAGGAAGAGCAAGAAGAGGAAGCTGCTGCAGCTGCTCTGACTGGCGAAGCAGAAGACGACGACGCCGATGGCATGATTGAAGCCTCTCAGAATGGTGTAACTGAGGGTGTTGAAGCTACCGAGATTTACGAAATTGAAAATGACCAAAACGCCATCGACGACGAAGAAGGCGATGGCGAAGGCCTCGAAGCGGAGTCTGATCTCGCGCTTTCTAACCAGCTTCATGAGTTTTCACGAGAACAAGATTCTATCTCCTTAGAGAAGCGTCTCCACAACCTCTGGGATATCCACGATGCTCGTAACTTCTCTGCAGATTATGATGAAATGACTACCGGCCTTGACAATACTTGGACGAAAGTGTTTGATGACGCTAAACGTGGCAAAAAACGTGAAGAACCCGGTTTTCTAGTGCGGCCAGATCCATACAAAAAGGCTAAGGTTGGAAAGGGGGAGTTTCTTGAAGTCACCAATCTCGAAGATTATCTGATCCAACTTCGTGACCCAGAAATGCGCTCCTCAGATGAACTCTACGCTATCACGGAGAACGTTTCCTATGCGCTGAGGGTGTGGCAGGACGAGTTCTTGGCCATTGAAAAGCTTCATAAGATCGCAACCCGCCACAATGCGAAGCCCACTAGCGAGCCACGAAAATTTGAAAGGCCGGACATGTTTGAAGATAAAAAGGAGTCAATGCTTTACGGGTACAGGCATGACCCCAAAGAAGACAAGGTTAACAACCAGAGCCCGTTCGTGCAGGGCGGGTTCAAGCCAACGCCCGCTCAGACGAGGAAAATGATCGCCAAAGCGGGCCTCAACAATCCAAATCCTGATGGCTGGCCCATAATCTCCAGGTTCGGCGTGGAGCACGTGCCAAAGTTCCAAAACCCTCCACGCGAGGAGTTTGTGGGGAAGGCTACCCGCAAACGCAAGGCTGCTGAGTTGGAAGCAGCCAATAGATCTAACGAGACCGACGATGCTCCTCTCGAATCTCCTACGCTAGCAGAACCTGAAGTGGGTTATGCAGGAAAGCGGCGCACCCGCACTCGTCGGTTGGCCGCTGAGGCTGAGACACAACCTGGTGGGTCTCCGGCTTCTGCGCGACTGTCTGCTCGTGGCCGTGGGCGAGGCCGTGGGCGGGGAGGAGCTCGTGCGAGCTCTCGCGGGGCCTCTGAGATGCCTCAATCTGAAGTTCTCCTGGCCCCAACTCGCACGTCAGGCCGCGGCCACGGTCGTGAGGGGGCAGCTCCAACATCTGGATCGGTACAGGCACGTACTGGAGCAACTCAGCTGGCACCACTCGAACCAGCACCTAGTGGAGGTGCAGCGCGCGCATCCTCCGTCGGCACTGCCCCTGCCTTGGATGGCTCGCTGGACCCGGCTGAGAAGGCCCGGCGCGAAAAGATAGCCAATTCCAAGAATCCAAAACGCACGGAAGCAATGCTCAACCACTGGGCCCGGTTCAATCGGGAAGGTCGGACTCGTAACCCGAAACGATCCAAAGCCCAAATAGAGGCAGATCGGGCGGCCGAGGCCGCACGAAAGGCCACCGAGCCCCCAAAGACCGCAGGAAAGAAGAAAAGAGTGAACAGTCCCGTCTTTGGGATTTCTGCGGGTACTGCTGATCCGGGTGTTGCTCCAGCACCAACAATGTCTGTGCCGGGCTCGCTGGCTCCTGGACACCCTGGAACGCACCCTCAGCTGGCGCCTATGCCAGCAGCTCGGTCAATGGCGCCGTATGCACCGATAGACCCCCGGGCTGTAGCCCCATTCCCTCCTGGACCCCGAGGCCCTCTTCAACAACATCCTCCCCAGCCATATCATACGCCTTATCCGGATTTCTATATGTCATATGGTGCCCCGGCGGCTACTGGGATGCATCACCCGGGCCGTACACGACCTGCATGATATTATTTGATAATAATTTTTTTTTTTTTTTGCTGCCCTTCAAATACGCTTTCTTGGTACCCTTCTTATATCGAAAGGGGTTATGAACAATGTATAGTTGGCAACTTTTCTGTCCATATGTATTTCTCCCCTTGTGACACGAGCTTTGCGTCTTTGCGTCTTGAAGAGACCTCTTTTCCGCCTTTCTGGATCTATTGATTGATTTTTTGCTTGCGATTAGCGTGTTGTAGGCCAGCGATCGGCGCAAGTTTTGGGATTGATTCTTGCACATTTGGGGGGAACTGTGGCTTTTTCTGACCAGCATTGGAAAATGCAGTATTTGTACATTTATGGTGGTATCTCTTTGGGTTACATGGATGGCAAAATTTGGCATTGATTGTTCTGCGTTCTGGCAGGATTTTGAATCTTCCTTTATTCAAGGATGCTTTTTCTACACTTGGCTTTTGAAGTTGCATTGATTCTGTATGTATTCTACCTAAACAATTAATTTAATGTTACAGAACATCCGGTCTACTCTGTTCTAGCCCAGACATTCACGTAATCTATCATGACTGTGAACCATTTAGATCGTAGAGTTGTGGGTTATATCACGTGACAAGTGATCACCCCACGTGATGTTGCAGCCTCACTTTCTGAGCGACGACTAGTTCATCGCAGACGATGACGACCAGACGCGCTTGATACACCAGGCCTTGCCACCTCAACTCAGCTTGTCTGTCTTTTGATTGTACCAAATTTTTGCTGAAGCTCAGATTTTCTCGGCAGCGACCGTCGCCATGGGAAAGAAGAGACGTGGTCCCACGTTGGAGGAGGTTTTAGCTCGTCCGTGGTGCTATTACTGCGAGCGCGATTTCGACGATCTTAAGATTCTTATATCCCATCAGAAAGCCAAGCATTTCAAATGTGAGAGGTGCGGGCGGAGACTTAATACAGCAGGAGGTTGGTTGATGTCTCTGTATCTAGGATTTGGTATTCTTGCTAATGCCCTCACGTATAGGATTATCGGTGCATATGAGCCAAGTACACAAGGAGCAACTGTCGGCTGTTGATAATGCTCTTCCCAATAGATCTAGTCTCGACGTTGAGATCTTTGGCATGGAGGGTGTGCCGGAAGACATTATCCAGACTCACAACCAACGTGTCATGACCCAGTTCCAACAAGCGGAGGCAGAGCGGCAGGCCGTGACCGGAAACCCTCCCCCCGGAACTGGAACTAGTGGGCAACCGGCGAAGCGGCCAAAGCTTGAGAATGTATCGGACCTGAAGAAGCGATTGGCAGAGCACAAAGCCAAGAAGGCCGAAAATCGTACTGGAGGGAGTAGTGGCGAGGCGACGCCGGTCGGCGCAGGGCAGACACAGAATATCGGTGGCTTTGTAAGTCTAATGATTAACGCTGTAGCTGGGTGAATGCGATGGCAACTAACACAGTTTGGGTAGGGCCAGGTACCTTCAAACGCAACAGCCGCTCCCAGCCAACAATACTCATACCCCCAGCCATATGGAGGCGCTGGCTCTCCTTACCAACAAACGGCAAGTCCAGTCTACCAAAATTTTTCACCAGGCGGACAGCCGCAAGTTCCTCCCAGTACGCAAACGCAGCATACCCCTCCAGGGTACTCCCCACAGTCATACCAGGCCACGCCCGCACAGCCTGCGTATGGAAATACGCCGCCACCTTTCCCGCAGCAACACCCGCTTCCTCAGACCTATACGCCCCCACAGAATGCAGCATTTTTGCAACGACCTCCCAGTCTGCCGCCGGCTCCGAGTCTTCCACAGCGACCCGCTGTTGGGGCGCCGTCAGTCAATGCCTTCCAGATGCAACAGTTGCACATGGGTCATCTGGCACCCACTCCCGGAGGTACGCCACTTGGTGCTTCCAATGGTGACAAGACCGCAGGAAACGGCTCGACAACTATTACCTCATCAGTCGACGACCTTATCTCCGGAGCAGCGAAACAAGCGGATCAAGCGACAGCCAATGCTGCACCAGCCAAGGAAGCGAGCGAAGAGAAAGCAACCAAGAAAGACAAGTCCAAACAGGCCAAATTGGTATACTCTGACAATGAAACCAGTCCGGAGGAGAAGCTGGCTAGGTTGCCAAGGTACGCATTCGTTCCTGACCGCCGAGGGGAAACGGCACTTGAGGAGCTTCCTTCTTCTTCAGTAGTGGGAACCATCCGAGAATCGGACACGGTTGTCGATCCTACGGACTAGATACCGATCAGCCTCTAGATGGTGGGAAATGGGAAGAAGGGACAGACGACTGTCCTTACCTTCGCACACATCACAGAACTGGTTGCCATCGTTGTGAAAAGGGACCCACGAGGTCGAACGGCATTGGGATGGACCACACTCCAGCTAAGTTCGATTGCGTGTCAAATTCTAGACATATGTTTGATGATCTATTTACTGGTCATGTGTTGCCGCTTCCCGCCCTGATTTTCTTGTCAGTAGTTGGCGAGCGCAGTGTACGACAAGTTCCAAATCAGACGCTATCACTCTGCACTGCATGCTTCGGTCTATGACATTTCCCCGTGTTAGCGCTGAGCCTGCAGGAGAATACCAAACATGAGAGTTGGTGAGTTGGTAATCAACCTTACGGAAGGAAACTGATCTTCACAAAAAAAAAAAAAAAAAAAATCGCATGTCGTCCGAGCGTGTCGCCGTTGTTTCCTTTTCACTTTTTATGCTGTCTACTGTAAGTTCTAGTCAAGGTAGGCCAGGCAATCCATCATTTATTTGAGATAGTATAATTAGATTGAACAAGCAGGATGAGTAGTTAGTTTCTGCAATTTATCACATAATAGTACATCCCCTCCTTATTACTCTTAGTGCATACCCAAAAGCAAAAGAGCAACGTAGAGATAATGAGAAAGATTAAGCCCTCTTCCCTTTCACCGCCGCCCCAAACACCAACAATCCATAAATCGCCACCAAACTCAACCCCACAGGAACCATCTTTCTCGTCTTAATTGCCCTCGGCACTGAACTGCCCCCCAACACGATTGAGGCCAACAATCCGAGCTCGTCGCCGTATGACTGTCCGCTGCGCAGCCGCGAGAACGAGTACAGGTAGATTGCGCCGACGGAGATGCCCGCCGCGATGGAAGGGATAGAGCCCGTGCGCGCGTAGCCGATTATTCCGCCTAGGGAGGTGAGAAGGGAGAGGGTCAGGGCGGAGTTGGTCTGGAGGGTTGTGGTTGTGGGATGGGACTTCAGTGTATTATTAGTTAGCTTAGCTTACTTTGGTATAGTTTGGGGATAGGATGAGAGGGTGGGGATTACCATTTTGTGTATCGTGTAGGGAGAGTGTGGGATGGAGTAGAATGGTGATGATTGATGGGTGGTGTTGTTTAGATGGTAGTAAGTAGTAAGTGTAAGCAAGTGGACTGACAGATGGATCGACGCGGGACTTAGTTAACTAATCGATCCGTGGATTGGATTAGAAATACTCCGTAATACTATGCAGCTTTCGGATATCTGCTGGTGGTCGATCAGGTGACTAATATTGTTTATTGAATGTACAGAGTACTCCATAAATACCTGTAGACAAGACTTCATCATTCTTGAACGAGGACTAAATAAATTATTACCATCATCTACTACTCATATATACCATTTATCAATATCAACAGACAGAAAAAGAACATGCAATGAACGCCAACAATAATGCAGACTCGTCATAATCATGCTTCTATAGCTTTTACATGTCATTGCAATCTTATAAACCGATTCGATCCCAATACCCGGGTGTTAGTATACTAGTGACTCCGGGAAGTAGAGGTACCATCTCGACGATCAGTGTTCGTGGCTCCATAACCAGTACCAGTACCAGTACCAATGGTCGTATCCGACCCATCCGATTCATCTTCAGCTTCAGAGGGAGAAGAGCCTTGGAATCCATCGGACTCCATGACCCAAAAGACCGGGATAGCGCTGAGAGTCCCAAAGAAACAGAGGAGCCACCACGGGATGATGATGAATCCTCTTTTCACGCCGAAGGAGAACGCCGCGCCGGTGAGGGCGGGTCCAACAGCGCGGCCGATGGCACTGACGCTCGTGCCGACTCCGTTCAGCGTGCCCAGGACGTTGAGACTGGCGGCGGAGTTGGTGAGCAGGATCGTGGTGCAGGGAAAGGCGAAGACAGACGCCGATAGTTTGGACAGCATGAGTAGGAAGATGATAACGTGGCGCAGGGCCGGCGGGACGAGAGCTGTGAATGGAGTTAAGAAGTATAAGACGGGGAATATAAGGGCCACGGCTTTTAGGCAGTTGAGAACGCCGAATCGTTTGGCGGCCGTGGGAAAGATGATGAACTGGACTAGCATGCCGATGATTCCGATCAACGTGTAGTAAATCCCGATGGTTTGGGAATCTACCGACAGATCAGCCAGCTGGGTGAGGAACACAGGGGAAAGACAACACGTACCCACTCCGAAACCGCCTACGAATTTGAACGGTAGACGTACCTCCGGGTTGTCATGGAGACGTTGGACGGGACTGTGTAGAAAGACGGGGAGGACAGAGTCGAACGCCATGGTGTGCATGGACATCAAGGCATAGGCCAGTAAGACCAGTTTGGATTGCGGCGAGAAGACCTCCTTCCAGCTGGGTCGCTTGCCGGAGTCTTTCTTCCCAGACTGCTGTGGCTGTCTGTCGTGAAGTAATGAAGTCGTCTCGTCATCTTCGACTCGGTATCGACGTTTCTCTGGCCGTGAGGTGCAGGGACGTATCAGCAGCCGTCCCAATATTAGACCGTAATCGCGATTATCTTTCTTGGAAGCCAATGTTTCCTGTACAAGTGTCAGAAACTGTGATCCTTCATCATCCAGAGTTCTCATACATGTAGAAACAAAAACCCCGTGGTAATGCCGATGATGAAAAGGCCCGCCGACGCCAAATTGGGCAACACAAAAGGGTACGTTTTCAAGAACTTGGATCCACCGAAGATCTCCGGGTGTTTCTCCACCGGACGGGCCAGGGCGCCTCCAAACGCAGGGCCGAAGATACTACCAATCGTCCACACTAGAGGCATGATACTGAAGGCTCGGGGCTGGAGCTCTTTCTCCGGTACCATCTCGGCCACCATGGTGCGGATGATACCAACGTTCCCATTCATGAAACCCAGAAAGGCACGTGAGACCACCAGCATCGCCAGGGTCTGGGATAGACCAAACATCAACGAGAAAAACATGGTACAGGTTAGTCCCAACAGGATGATGGGCTTGCGACCGGCGTAATCTGACGCAGTACCCCAGGATACTGCCATGGCCGCTTGACAGGTGGCTGTGACGGCGGAGGTGATGCCGACCCATTTGGCGACTTCGTTCTTGGGGACGCCGACATACTCGATCATTTCCGGCTAGACAAAAGTTAAACGAGGAGACAGAAAGAGCCAAGAAGTCGAGGCGCATACAAGATAGGGCAAAACAGACGTCAACACGACTAAAACACCGCCAGACAGCGGACATTTAGCTCGATCGTGTCATCGACGGTGGACCTAACGAATACAAAATCTGTGACATACCAGGCTCAGCAAAGCGACATATTGCTGAATGAGCACAGGTTTATTAGCATGGTATCCCCTCCCAAGAAAACATGAAGATGGCGACAGCTTACATAGAATTAGCAGCTGCTGAACAGGCAGCGTCGGCGGTTTCTCCAGCATCGAGAGCACAGATCGGCTTTAAAGCCGAGGAGAGTGAGTGAGATCTAGAAGCGATCGAACAGATTAAAAAAAAAAAAAAAAAAAAAAAAAAAAAAAAAAAGGAAAACAAATAAAACACAGAAAAACCAGAGAACATAGATGGAGGAGCGAAGAAAGAAGAGAAAGAATGAAGGATAAACAATGCAAGAGTACGGATCCTTTGAGACGGCTTGTAGGAAGCTAAACGAGTTGGGTCAATCCACTAAGCGGGGAAGAGATCATCGATCGGGATTTCGGGGCACAAGAAAACGCCTTTTAGACTGTCCCATGATCCTGTTGCGTTAGCCTGATATCGGTTGGCTGTGCACTGCTCCTCTGGCTGGGAATCTGCAAGACGTCGTTGTGAGTCGGGACTGCATGTCCCAAATGGGCAATCCTACACATTGTTTTAGAGAATATCGGAGTGCACTATCCTTGTATTTGCCATCGATATTTACGACAGACTGCAGAAATATATATGACTTTCACCCTAGCAGCTGGCATCAAGCCCAATGTAGGACATCTACGCAGATATGTAGTTAAATCCTCCAAACTATATGTCACTGTAGCAGTTTGGTTGCAGCCTCCAATCGTTCAACAATAATCTCGCGCCATTTCTAACCAAAAAGACGTGTCAGTATCAAGAAAACGCTCATTCATTAGAAACAGGTGAAGGGGAGATGACAGAAAACCAAACCAAGGAGACTAACCTGTGCATTGGACACATCGCCGGCCTCAAAACTTTCCACCAAACCGGGGTATGTTGCCCCTGAATATCCTGTCCAGATACCGGGTGCGAACACGACATGCTTGAACCAGCTGCGCCCGTCTAGACCAGGAGCGTATAAGAACTGTCGCTCAAGGCCCTTGTACTTGTCGTTGACCACCCGAATCTGAAAGTAGAGCCTCACCTTTTTCCACCACAGGTACCATGGAAGATCCTCATCCAACTGCAAGGCCAGATCCGCCGCGTACGAATCAAACTGCGCGGCAACTTCCTGGAACTTGGTGATCGCCTTGTCCAACGGCGCAAAATCGAAGGAGGCCCCTTCGGGCAACTGCTTGGCTTCCGGCTTGATCTTGGCCAGATACCTGTGCAGCCCAGAACTATAGTCCGTGGCATTCAAGGACAGCACGGGGGTCTCGACCAGCTGGGCTATAGCCAAGCCCAGCACCCTGGAGGATGCTTCATGGTAGAGCCAATTCGGATCACCGAGTCGGTCCATCCAATCGAAGCTGTCATAGTTGGAGTGGTAGTGATACACCGCGTTATCTGGACTGCGCGTGAAGCCCAGGTCAAGACTGGCAACCCCGGCAAAGTCTTGGAACGCAGTGAAATCACTACCGCTTCCCATAGTCCCGATTTCTCCAGTCCAGACGTCGCGGACGGTCTGACCGGCAATGGTTTGATTGGGCGATTTTACAAACCCCGTGGCTTCGTAGATCACGCTGTTCAGGAGTGGACTCGCTGAAGCTTTAAAACGAGCACCAGAAACGGCCACGTCGAGGTTGAGATAGGCAACGTTCGAGTGGGAGAGCCAAGGTAGCTGGTCCTCCACCCACTCGGTCGAGCCCAATAGGCCATATTCCTCTCCATCCCAACTGGCGAACACAATGGTACGTAATGGCTTCCATCCGGCCTTGAGGGCTTCCCCAAAGCTGCGAATAACTTCGTTTAGGACCGCGGACCCGCTGTTGGGGTCCGCTGCTCCACCAGCAACCCAGGCATCTCGGTGGTTGCCCACGATCACGATCTCATCTGGGATCGAACCCTTAATCATGCCGATGACATTCCACAACGGCGTGGTGGTATACTCCTGCTCATTGTACAGGTTTATGACAACCTCATCGGGCGAAGGACCGACGTTATACTCGACTCCTTTGTGGCCAAGTTTACCACCCTGCCACCGCTCGTTGAAGTCCGACGCCTTAGGGCCATAGCCGTTCAGGGCATTCAGGAAGGGAAGAGCGTCCTGGTACGACACTGGAATGGAGGGAATCGATGGAGTTGTATCATGGGGATCTTTTCGCTCACATCCCGGCTTCGAGGGGTATCCAGGCGTTGTAGGATCGCCAGGGGCTGTGCCTATTATTGCACACCGTTAGCCCGGTGAACGTGCTAAGAGTAGATATTAAAAGAACAGATATAACAGTCAAGGAAACTTACTCAAAAACTGAACACTTCCTCGTTGCACAGCGCTCGGGTTACGGGCCGGACCATCCGGGTATGCCTTGTAGCCATCTTCCTCTGTGATATCGCCATCCTCTTGTGGATCGTCGTACAGTACCACGCCCACCATACCGAGCTCCTCCGCTCGCTTTATCTTCAGACCGCGAAAGATGCGACCGTACTTGGCGATAGCAATTTTCCCTGCAAGACTGACATTGGCATCAACAAGGTCCTGGTAATCGTGGATAGTGCCGAAGTTCACATAGACAAAGGGAGCGGTAATATTGCCGTTGGCAGAGTACCCGTGGAAGGTGGGCACACGACTGGGCAGACCCGTGGTGTGGTCGTTCTCAAGGACATCTTCTTCCAGGGACGCCTCATAAGTGACTTCGGTTTTATCGCCTGTTTTCTTCAACAGTGCTAGGCGATGGCCGAGGGGATAGTTGATGTAAACGTCATAAGCCACGATGTTGGTGTCCGCGACGCCGAACTCCTGCCAGCGTTCCCGGGTCCAGAGCGCCTGGCTCAGGTTTTTGCCCGCCAGATGAGGACCGGCGGTGTAATAGTTGCTCCATTCGCGAGCCTTTTGGCCGGATGGTGTCTCCTGGAGAATAGCCTGCAGCTCTTCGTAGCCGAGGCCATCGCCGTGCGGCCAAGAGGGATGGGGGAAAGGATGTGCCCAGGGAAGATAGGACCAGATTGAGCCATGTTCTCGCGGTAGAATGGCGGATGGAATCAGGAATAGGAGCAGAGACAGAAGCAGCAGGAATCCTAGCGAGAAGCTGCAGATGCGTCGGAGGGTGTGATGGGGATAGCGATGTCGCCGGGGGGCGACATTGACCAGAAGAAGTGGAGTGGATTCAGAGGGAGCCATCGTCTTCTCCCTCATTTCAGGTACTGACATGACCCAGCAGTCAAGGAAGGAGGGATTAAAGGAGGAAAGAGTGGAACCGTCATTTATATAGTGGAGGTTAACTTGATTATTTATCTCGTAGACGACTTAGTCCGATAGGTTGGCCAAAGTACTCCGAAAGTCAGTCCGACGCAAGTGTCTCGATGACGTGACCTGACCAACATACTTATTATCTTATCGTCACACGTGATCCAGTCACATGTCCATTTCACTATAGTACTTTGTACTCTAGTTCTACTTTACTACAGGAATCGACACCTACACTTCATATCCTTAGACAAATGCATACTCCCTTCCATTATCCTCACAAAGAATCAGCAAACTCACAGGTATCACGGCTGAGCTTCAGTTATATACACAGATCATCAAGGCAAGGAAACAAAACATGCAAGACCTGCTAAGGTAAAGGAATACAAAACAAACGCCAGTGGACGTATGGAGTTCACTCAATACACAGCTATTCCGCCGTGATAATACCCTCCTCGTCCACTGGGATTGGAACCTTGTCATCCAAGGCGAAGTTGAACTTCTCACCTAGATCGATACTGTCTCGTAGAATCTGTCGCGCGGATTCGTCATTGACTCCCATATCCTCCTTAACCAGACGGACGGCCAACTCAGGGACAAGTACTGCCTGAGCATAGGGCACAACTCCAGCTTTCTTAACGATATGATCGCTAGCCGCTAGACGGCGTAGTTTATGAGAGAAACGTGAGGTTAACGCATGCAGCCTAAAGATATATCGGATTAGCTTCACTTAATAGAAAAGGAAGTTGGGGAGCGATGAGTACTACATTTTACCGGCACCTCGCGTACCATAGTAGCCGCAAGAAATAGTCTCGATACCATCTCCGGCCAGCGTGAGTCGGAAGTTTTTTGCTTTACCTGACTTCAGGTTTGTGTCTAGAATATTTCTGTAATAGGAGGGGCTTTCTGAGACAAGGAGGGCCTCAAGCTCGTCAAAGTGGCCTTGAATGCGGTCGTCAAACTTATCCCAGTCAATGTTCGGATATCCTTTCTTCTGCCACTCTGTCTCAGCGGATTTCTGCTTGTGCGATTCACAGAAGCGCTGCTGATCGCGAACGCGCTGTTTCGGCTGGGCTTGAAACCTCATCAGAAGTTCAGCATCTACAGGCGCCTTGCACATGGGACACAGCGGTCCTTCATTTGGTGTGGTGTCTCCAACTTCTTCCTTCCTAGCGAGTATGTCATCGTCCATCTCGCGCAGCATTTCCAAGATTGACGAATCAGCCGAACTGAGTGGAGTGCTCGGGGGGGAATCATCACTATCAACGTCGAAAACCTGTGCTTCTCGAGTAGACGAAGTAACAAACGAAGAGCTGGATATGCCATCATTAGGGAGAGGCAGCGGTTGCTTGAACTCCGGACGCGGCTTAGAAACCGGGCTGGCGACGTCGATGTTGATATCCATCGGGACCTTGAAGCCATCTTCCTTGGATACCCTGTCTTCCTTTACCGATTGGGTCTCGGATTTTTGGGACTTGGACTTCGGCTTCCGAGTACCAGCAGAAGGGGATTCCGACTGTCGAGAAGCCATGCTAGAGCTGGGCGTTTTCCCGTACATATCGGCCTTGCGACTATTCTTCGATTGATAAGCCGTAAACCTGCGTCTCTTATGACTTTGCGACGAACGTATAGGCGAAAATGGGTCCCCATCTGCGTCGCTCTCATCTTTGTTTACTGCGTCTATCGTTCTCTTGCGGCTTGTTCCCCGGGATTTCTGCGGCGAACTCTTCGATAGTGAAGATCGTAGTTCCTTTCCACTTCTCTGAGTGCTCTCCGCTAGCTTCTCCTCCAATGTTTTCGTTGGCAGACGGGGTCTGGACTCATTTTCGGACTCTGTGTGATCGGGATTGCTCTCCTTCTCTTCTTCGCTTGAGCTGATCGGTTCGTCATCTGTTGCTGGTTCAGGCTTGACAGGACCATTATCCTTCCGGAAATTCGATAAGAGACTTGGGCCGGTATAGCCACTCCTCGTCAACCGAGTGCAAGAGTGGCTTGAATCGAGTTTCGATCGGTGGACCATATTGAGTGATTCCTCGAGTCAGGGATCGTATACCAACGTCGCGAGTCCGATGTTAGAATAAAACGGCAAGAAGCTAGGGACTAGGTCAGATCGCGAGCCGGACCTTTCACCTATGTGTGCTCTTGCTATCAATCAATGATGCACAATAAAGTCAAACCGAGGTGGCCAGCTACCGCGGCAGAGACCTGCGGAACCGTTAACAAAAGCCAGGGGGTAGAAAAAGAAAGCGCATTTGTCCGAGAAATTGATATAAATGAAACTCGTTCAATGGTTGTCATTCATGGCAGACAAAGGGGGGGAAGTGTGATAGGGAACACAAGAGAGTCAAGACGAGCCGCAGAGGGACGCGTGAGGTGACACGCTATCAAGGCGTTTCTCCGCAGAAAGTCTCCGCTCTCTACGGGACCACGCCTGACGGATCCAACGCCTCGTTCTGGAAAGTTGGTCTATCAATAGCGAGGGTTTGAACAGGTAGAACATTGAATTAGATTGTCTAGGGCTACAATTAACTCTAAAACCAAGGAACCTCCACAATACAACTGATGATATATGCAGACGCCGTTTCGCCAGGACTCCGAAATGCCCATGGGAATGCCACAATGCGTAGCACAAAAAGAAGCAGACAAGCAGATACTGAAAAATGTGGTCAATAACATAATAATAATATGCAAGCGTATAATTACAATGCAACAAGATCTACTGCTCTGGATAGGCAGCAAAGCTGTTTCGCACTCCCACTAGTTAGTAGCAATGAATCAATCAAACCGAAGAATACCATATTAATCTCAACTCATAACCCCGTCAGCGGATTGGCTAAAGAGGGTTATATAACCATTGTCTGGTATATAGCGTCATAGCTCTTCATTACTCAAAACTCATTTGAATCTCCCCCTCTTCACCATTCCCCACGTCGTGGTTGGCCCAAGCATTATGTTCAAGGGCTATGGCACCAAGCGAACCCGCACCAAGCCCGAACCCAGTCCCGATTCCGACTCCGACAGGCGCTGTTGCTGAAGAGCGGAGTTCTGGCCTCGTGTGGTTGTACCCATATGGATCACTTGTCGAGGGCCCGAGAGATGAATATGATCGCCGAGGGGGTTCGGGGTAGGACGTGTCAAATGTCATCTGGACGTCGTCTTCACCATAGGGGCGAGCATCTGTGTCGTGAGAGACTTTCTTGCCAGCCGGCTCAGGGGGCGACGGAGAGACAGGTTCACTGGGACTAACATTCTTGGTATCATTGATAGCGAAAGGAGATGGAGTAACGGGGGATAGGCTGGAGGGAGAATTCAAGTCCAACTTCATAGGTGGAAGGGTCGACTCTAGTTGCTTGACTTCAATGCTCTCGGAAGCGAGCTCGGATTTGATCGCATCAATGTCAAACAGCACGGTTCCGACTCCGCTGCTGTCGCTCGAATCTCGAGGCGTGGCGCTGTTTTGGTTCACATCATAAGTCTCCCAGCCCTTCCTCTGGGCCAGTTTTCCTCGTTTGAAGAGACCGAACCTCTTCTTCTCCGGTTTATTCTCAGCATCACGCCGAGCCTCGTCAATTTCACGGATCAGCTCTCGCTGTCGCTCGGTGTGATTGTCAGGATCGGGATCTTCGATCTCTGCAAATTCTTCACTTAAGACCTCCCATCCAACCTCCTTCAACAACCGGGGCATTGCTGCACGGTAATCCATATGACCGTTGACCATCTTGGTAACATCAATATTCTCCAGCCCAGGGATCCCTTCTACCGGAGCAAGTCCTGCGACACGCATAATTCCACCGCTTGTAGCACGGAAAAGATACCCCAAAATCCAGTCGTTCGAGGCATAGCCATTGACGAAACGGCCAGAGACAATGCTGCGCGCTTTCAAGTATTCATCTTTATTGGCCACAATTGGTGACCCAAAAAGATAAACGTTCTGAACAATGCCATGAGCACCTCTGTCTGCAAGCTCCCTGAGACAAGAGAAAATGACCCTTGAGCCTAGAGAGAAACCAAGCAACGTGACTGGTCGCTTCCCTAGGTTATGGTCGATAAGCGAATCGGCAAGAATGAGCCCTGCTGCACTTGCGCGCGCTAGTGAGACATTCCAGGGATTGTCGATAAGGTAAGATAGCTTTGTTAGAATAAGTGGAAGCTGTAAAGATGCTATGAGGGCCACCAAGACCGTTTGCCCAAGTACCTGTTGCAGTCCTTGAGTTAAGGCCTAGTATTAAATATAATTAGCTACCGTGCGATGAACAAATTACTACCAAGTGTATATTGACTCACCTCAGTAGCTAAGATGTTGATGGTAGCACCCATGCTCTGAAGCATTTCAGGTTCCCACAACACCGAGTATAAATCACCCATGATAGGGTCAATGGTACTGAACGGCAACCGGACATCATCAACCTTGCCGGTCATCCAACCGGAAACGGTGACAATTAAGTTGACTCTCTTGTTGTTGTGTAGAGGACGATACTCGAATGTCTGAACCGCACCTGTGCGTCTATGCGAGGCCTTCATCCCAATTGTGCTTCCAGTCAAGGTAGCACCTGAAGCAATCAAGGCTGTTCCACCAGCTCCTCCCAAAAAGGCACCCGTACCTGAAATTCCCACTGTTGTAAACCCGGCTGCGAGACCGGCGCCAATAACAGGAGCTAGTAACCCAGCCGAGAGACCGATGACAAGTCCACCACCAACGGTAGCCAAGCCCATGGTGATATATCTCCGTTTCAAGGCTTTTTTACGTCGGGCCTCCATGTGCTCGGACTCGTCCCACGTCTCTTTATCCGCGGCCTCCTGCATCTCTAGAGCGTCGATCACACGCTTTTCAAACCGTGCGATCTGTAACCAAGACACATCCATAGAGGCCCCTACTCTCTCTAGTAAGGTCCGTGACCGCGCATCATAGACCGAATCGGCGATGAGGACCAGGAAAAGGTCACAAAGCACCGTCCAGCGGAGATCAATATCAATCTTCTCAGATGTAGGTAATTGAGAGGGCGTACGAACTTCAGGCAGATCTTCCCCTTCATGAGCTTCGTATGGCGGGGGAGATGTTGACCTGGAAGACCGGTCAATTTCTGTGGAGAGACTGCTCCTGAACTCCTTTTTGGCGCTGGGGGAGGAGATGGAAGATGTAGGTTTCCTTGACGCGTCGAGCTCTTCCGCGAGAGGATTCTGGACCCGGGCATTCTGCATGAGAGGTGGAACAAGATCGGCGGGTTGGACGCCATGTTCTGCTAGTTGCTCAATCATAATTTGTTCTGCAGCGTCGATATCCATATGGGAATAGAGCCTCGCCATCATCGCCTGACCCCAACCCCGCATTGAGTCAATGCTCTTCTGCTTGGACTTGCGCGTGGTCCTGGTCGCTGGTATATTCTCGAGGTCCGATGTGATCTGATACATGGCCAATCTGGTAACCCCAACGTATGCTATCCTTTGGCTTTCAGTAAGAAGGTCTTTGGTAGCCTGCAGTTGACTGAGGGGATCGCGTAGCTCTTCACCCTCTATACCAGCGGCGGTAGCACCGTTTTCCCTAAAAAGATAGCTCGTATCTTCATCTAAACTTGTCACTGACTGGACATCCTCATCAAGCTGGACCCGAGTGTACCCCCTTCCAGCACCACCCAGACCTTGGTAAACTGCTTCATCACCGTCCACTTTGGCGCCGCGAGCAATGAGCCGCCCATAATCATCGAAATGATCAAATTCGTCCACCGCAGGCATGTCCTTCCAGCCACCATCATCCTCTTCCTCACTCTCGCTGCCAGACTCTTTGGCCTCATTAAGCCGTTGGTGTGACCACTCTGAAGCTTGAAGACTTGGTTTTTTCTTATGCTTAACATGGGAGTTGGCCGGTAGGTCGGTGTTTTGTGGGGTTGGCTGTTCCGTGTAAGGCGGCGGAGGTGCGTCTTCATGGTCTGGAGGTGAAGAGTTGGGGATGACATCTTTTTCACTGGCTATGGGAACCCCTGTACCCTTCTCCTGGGCAACCTCACCATTTTGCGGAGCAGCAGGTATGGGAGAAGATGGAGCCCCTTCCGACTCGCGTCTATCCTTTTCAGCTACTTGTGTTTGTAGTTCCGAGTGTGTTGTTGTCCCCAGTTCCTCTGCAAGCGCCTCGCTTTCCCGCATGTTCGAGTTTTTGCCATCGTCTGTTGTGTCCAACACTGCCTCCTCCACATCATGGAATTCGTCGGAGCTATCGGAGGATTCACTCGGCGACTGTGTAACTCTGCTGCGCGTACGAATCGGAAGACCGAAATCATCTAACTCCTCCCCTTGTCCAGATCCCTTGTCCCGAACATCACGACCTGCAGTCGACTTATCGCTCGAATTCCTTGTAGCGGGATGTACGTTTTCTTTCTGGCTCGTATCCTCGTGAGAAGAAGAGGTCTCAGGGACGTCCACGGGGCGGGAGTCCTCCGAGGCATGCGAAGCTGCATGAGAATGATCGGCAGAGGGGTCGACAGAGGGGTCGACAGAGTGGTCAACAGCGGCGTTTGAAACTGAGGTCATTCTTCATGAGATGTTTCGAATGTCGAGATGATTCAATCGTCTCTGCAGATCTCTGTCTTTTTTCTTTCTTGGCTCGCGATTACCTCTTTGCGAGTTCCTGCGTTGACCGCGTAAAGAATAACTAACCCATTCGCGCGAAAGAGGGCCGTGTCTCCTGAGGATAGTGTGTTTGTTTCCCCGCCACCTCCGAAGAGTAACGTCCTGGAAGGTCCGTGCCGATCACCAAAGGAGTCGAGAATCGCTTTGAATCGAGCCGTAAATAGGGGAGTAGGATTGATGAGTGGCTTCAAGATGGAGGCTTGGGTCTCGAAATGGGGGCAATGGGGGCGTAAATGGAGGTGGGATTGGTTGATGTTGAGGGACTGATAGACGGCGACCGACCGGGGAAGACAAAGAGAAAAGGCCGCCGAATCTCCTCTCCACTGTTTATTTCTCGACGACAATCTCGGGGCTCTGGAGAAAACAGCCTCCTGCGATCGGGAGGTGTGGATTTGCAGAAGCACCGCATGCGGCAATAGGGGAATGGGATGGATCACGTTTCTGGTTGCCTATCAGAGGTCGACTATGGGCTCAAAAAAGTCGGCTGGCTATAACAACAATACAGATAAAATCTTTCCGTTGTAGATTTACATTTACAGTGCCTATCAGCACCTCATCCGGCTCTCATGTCTCTGAGTCCTATCCAAGCTGACATATGAGTCCTGATCTCCTGATCTCCTGATCTCCTGAACTGCGAGACCAACTATACCCAAGATAGTAAAAATGATAACTTAGTTCTTGCCTAAGTGCTTATCTAATCCAATCCACTTTGGGACCACAACAACTTATTATCGTTCGCATTTCCACTATGAATGTTGCTAACCAGGAGTCCTGGACGTAGGTATGTTAATTGTTGAGAACATTTACTAGCGGCAAAATATCCTTGACACTACTAACCTAGAATAGTGGGCAATATGAACAATATACATCACGCTAACATCCGGAGTAGCATCCCCGTCTTGGCCTAGAGATCATCCATGCCAGCTTCCACGATGAGATTTGCTCCGAGATTCTATGTAATATCATCGTGCGACTGAAAAGTAACCAATGAATATCAACTGAATTATCCAGGCTATCCATATAGCCAAGAAGTGGCTATAACACTAGAGTCTACTCTATATCAACTGTGAAGACATAGCCTGTCCTGTCAGTGCGAAAATAGCGCCATCGCCGCCGCAATGTCCTGTCCACTCGACCGATCCAGAATCCTCTGTCGACTCTCCAAAAGCTGCTTCACAATATCATCCCAACCAGTTTCGGCACCTGTCTCGGAATCAAGCCTATCCAGGATTTCTACTGGACACAGTCTTCCATTTTCCTTCTTCAACTGCCCATCCACAATCACCATGTCGATATCCCGTACCCCTGCATGGAGCAGGATAGCGTTTATGGGATCCTCTTCGGCGGCGCAGACCATGGCCGGAGTAGTTGTGTCGAAAACAACAATGTCGGCTCTCTTTCCTTCCGCAAGACTGCCGATTTGATCATCCATGTTGATGGCCTTGGCACCTTGAATGGTACCCAGGTTGAACGCGTCTTCCAGCGTAATATCCACACGGCAATGCTCTTTATTCTCTATGGCTCTGAGATGATCCTGTGCGCGCGAGTGCTGAACAGCCAGTCGCATCTGGGTCAGAAGATCGGCGGAGTTGTTGGAATGACAGTCGACCCCAAGAGAAGTGTTGTTTTTGAGGTTCGGTTGAAATGCAACGACGTCTCCGAGACCCATCTGGAGCTCTGTGTCGGGGGTTGCGGAGACAAAGACGTTGTTCTCTACGATTTTCTGGGCATTAGTGTCGCAGACGCCGTTCGCATGGGAGAGCACGACATTGGGGCCGAGGAGGTTGTTGTCCGAGAGAATCTCAACAACATTAACTGTTGTGATTATCAGTTGAAGGCCAATAGAAAAGAGGAAGGGCCCATATACTTGGCATAACATTGGGGACGTAATGGCAGGTGAAGAATCTGAGGTTTAGCGCTTGAGACTTTTTCCATAAGTTGACGGTAACGGCTTGGGGAAACAAAAAGTCGATGGCAGCCCCAAGATTCACTCGACCGTTGCCGAAGGGCTCAGCCTTGGCTAGTCTTTCAAGAGTCGGCAGCCACCAGGAGGGTACGAGCTCTTCCTCAAATTCTATCTTCGACGACCAATTCTTGATCCGAGGGATTGCCGAGTAGCAGAAGACGGTCCGAATTCCAGAGGAAACTGAGGCCCGAATTGCCTCGTCCACTGTAAGGAAAGAATAGATCAGTGGAGTATTCTCGTAGAGGACAGGGACAAGCACACACCATGTTCAGGGGAATATGACAGGTGCGCATGATCAACAACGGTAGTGACACCTCCGTCAATGCTCTGTAAACATCCAGTCAATTGGCCCCAAAAGATGTCGTCTGGTCTGAAGTTAAAAGACTGCATATTGCCTAGCGAACAATCAGACCTGCATTACAACCAATCCAAGGACAGAATTCAGTACCAGTGGCTAAATATTCCGTCAAAGTTTCATTGCCATGCCGCCCTTTCATCTAGGGGTTGTTATCAGCAATGAACTATAGTCGGACAAGATACCAAAGCATGTCCACTCACCTGAGTCTGCCACAGATGATGGTGTGTGTCTACGAACCCTGGAGAGATAATCTTCCTCGTGCAGTCGACCACCTTACCACCCGGTGGCAATTCCAACCCCTGGCCGATCTTCTTGATCGTGTTTCCCTCGATCAGGACGTCATGTCCTCTCAATGGTCGCACTCGGGCTCCCTCGTGGACCAGAACCGTTCCATTTCGCAGGAGAATATGATAGGGAGGAATAGCGGGCATAGTTGCGATGGTTGTTCTCCGACAGAGTGTGGTATGAGCACAGCATGAAAGAAGAGTTGAGGTCTACGCCAGGGTTTATGTCATGACCCCGGTATAGTTATTAGCTAGTTAACCCCACTTGGACGGACCACCTCCACCAGCGTTTTCTCAATCACAAGCAGATTGCTCGGAGACCGAATGCCTATCTCCGACAGCGAGATTGATGGTTTGCATGGTGTCGGAAGGTACGGCTATGTAACTATAAGTTGGTGGAGTTATGATTGGCTTATATAGGATGGTGCCTTAATAATTGCCTCTCTGCGTTGGCTTTTATTTCTTTTTTATTTTTTTCGTCTTATGTCTCCATGATCTAGAGTCGTTCACATTTGTCATCCGAAATTATTCTTAACCACGAAGTCTTCTTCAGTATATACTATTTGTATATGAATGCCGTTTCTACGATAGGCTTAACCAGGGGAAGCTAAGATTGGAAGGATCCCACCGCTTAAGCGCTTATTCACCTTAAATAAATTAGTTCAATAATTAGCGACCATTTTTGATTAATATGTGCTCCCTTTGCTAAAACGCCCTCTTATTATTCTGACGCCACATAGCAAAGATTAAGAGGCGGTATGGAGTACTACTCGTACCTTATGAAGATTGACACATAGTGCAATGGCGATCAGTGATCTTACCAGCATGACCTCTCAGTACGATGGATCATGTGGAATAATACTGCTAACTATACATAAAGGCTTCTCTCTCTTCTCCCGGATATAGTCATACATACGGAGTAGCTCCTATATATGCAGCGGCCAAGTTGTAGATAGCGATAGGGATTATCCACTGACCACTTTTATTTCTTGGTCAAGTCCCCCAGCTCTCGTGACGGTGTCAATCTTGTATTGCACTTACTGATATTGGAGAGTTCGGATCTGTACTTGGAGTTAATGAACTATCCATCTTGCCACACAAGACAATTTATACTCTACAGGAGACAGATCTATCTATTAACCCCTCTGTTTCTCCTGCATCAGTTTCTCATTCTTCTCCAACATTTCCTTCACTTTCTCCCTCTCCTTCATCCGTGTCAACCACGCCTGCAACCGCGGAAACTCACTCTCATCGTATCCCTCCGACTTCAGAGCCTTCTGTGCAAGAACCTGCCATGCCACCCAGGCCAGATCCGCATATGACAATCGATCTCCAACCAGCCACTCTCGTCCCTCCAACCACTTATCTACCACCCCAGACACCCGCTTGATCTCATTCACATACCGCTCCACCGCACTGGGGAGCCGCTCCGAGTGATATCGCGTGAACCAGACCGCCTGCCCGTAGTATGGACCCTGGCCGGAGGCCTGGAAATGCAACCATTGTCGCGCGTGATGTGCCTCGGCAGTGCCGGCGGGGAAACTGAGTCGGTGGTCGCGGTCGTATTGCTCGATCAGATATTCGACGATGGCGCCGGATTCCCAGAGCGTCAGATCCGTGTTGGGATCATGGATGGCGGGCATACGACCGTTGGGGTTTATGCGCACATAGGAGGGGTTTTTGACGTCCAAGAACTCGATGAATTCGCATTCATAGGGGAGGTCTAGTTCAGAGAGGATGATGCATGTTTTGAGGGGATTGGGACCAAAGTAGCCGCCGTAGACTTTGATGGGTTTAATATCACGGGTCATTGTAGAAATGTGTAGTTAGTAAGTTAATAGATAGTAGTATCAGCCCCGGTGAAATCTTTCTTATACTTGGTCTGCCATGAAGCAGACATCGTCACTCATCCGATCGCTTATCAAGACATCGCTGCTGACCGATCTCAGAAGAGCATCGTTCTATCTGGTTCTGTAGAAATCTGTTTCTCGTGTTTCTCGTGTTTCTGGTGTTGATATGATACTATCTATGCCAAATGTCGGCCCTGTCTAAACCCCGAGGCCGAACCGATAACAAACGCATCAGGTTCCACAGGTCAGACAACTTTCGGCAGTCTACAGTGGAGATATCAGAGACAGGATCCATAAAACAGAAGCTTTGGCGCACGTTCATCCAGATAGGTAACTATCTATATCAGTCCATTGCAGTATAACATTGCTCACGGTTAATATTGTTGGATTCAGCCTGAAGATCTTCGCTACCACACCAACACGACCTCAATCAATCAGTAGTACTAATTAATAGCCCTACAGTGGAGCCCGACTCTTTCTTGATCAGGAGATTCCCCCGATGACTTTCCAGTCCATTGTATGCAAGTGTCCGGGCAGGTAGGTCCCATAAAGAGGAAATACAGGATTTGCATTCTGCCTAATAAGTCCAGCTATACTTTTCTTGGTTGGTTGATTCGGATTTATAAGAATTTATAAGATGCCACCTAACTAACAGCATAAGCAGGTTGTACTTGGGAGCCTCGCTTAGTCGACCACTGCGATTCCTGTGTTCACCCAACCAACCACTATGCAGTCTCTCGCCCAATCAGGCCGGATTCGATGACCTCCACTGGGTTCTGCATCCAACAAGGCAGAGTCAGACTACTAGGGGGGGTTGTATCTCATCGTCGCATCTACAGTAACATAAGTACGTGGGATCGAATATAAATGAGTATCCACACTCTCTCCACTGTGCACAGAGCGTTTTTTTCTTTCTTTTTTATCCTCTCTCCTCTCCCCGATCAAGTCTAGACATCCGGACGATATTCCCGATCGGGTGTTTTCTCGGGGATAAATTTGCCGATAGCACTGTCCAATCCTTCAACTTTTGTGTCGCCGTTCTTGCTGCCGAGTATTAATATTAATGCCTTGTTGTCGGCATAGTTTTGTCCCGAATTTTCTCCTCCTTGTCAGTTTTCTTTGTTTCCCTTTTCCTTTTCTTACTCTTGGCGACTTTTGATGAATCTCTTTACACATAGAACAGTATGCATCCATTTAATATGCTTTGGTATTCTGCTAACCGAGACAACGCTAAACCCATAAAAAGTTATGTGAAGACCATCATATTGACCTTTATAGATACACGGATTAATTAAACAATATGGGTATATATAATATGCCTTTGTGATGTTGGAAGATGAGCCACTCATCCTCTAAATTTCCGGCAAGCTGGGCATCCTCATGACACTCCGCTCCGGAACCCAGCTCTCGAGTTCTATGCTGCCGTTGGGAGCTAATGATGCCCTATGCGGCGACTCCTCCTGCATTACTTTCTGCGGATGGGTCTCGTATCCATACTGGGATGGCACGATGGCCGGCGGGTATGTCGAGAACTGATTCATACCCAGAAGGCTGGGAGGATTCGAGCTTCCATCCGGTGACCATGTCGGCGCCATGGATGTTGGGGTTCCATAAGTCCCGCCCATGGCGTGCCACGCCGAAATCTGCGAGACATCCACGCTCATCGTGTACGACCCAGCGGGTTGTGACATGTTTGCAGGGTCGTATGTCTGGGGGTTCGGAACGGTCATCGGAGCTTGGGATGCCGAGGGGCTTGTGTTCATGGGGGTCATCAGACCAGCCTCTTTGTGCGTCAGCGCCTGATGGAACCGATCGTACCAGCTCCGCCCCTTGATGGCTATGACATAAAGCCATCGACTGGGAATTCTGTATTTCCCGCCGCCACCGGCTTCAGTGAGTCGGCTGGTCATTGCCTCCAGGTACATTTCAACATTGACGGCCTGGGGAGTGATGAATTCGCCTAATCCCCCGGACCTGACTGAATAATGCATCTTAAGAAGAGACGTCATGGCTGCGCCGACTTGTGTATAGACAATATTGGGCATCTTCCGCAACAAGTCTGTATCGCACTTGAGGAAGAAATCGAGCAGCTCGTGGGCCGCGTTCATCCATTTAATCGTGATATCTACACGAACAGCGCTTGGTGGAGTTTGATTTGGTTCATCGTTTGCATCTTCCGGTGCCGGAAGTGTATAATATTGTTGCTTGATTGCATCGGGATCTCGATACCCTTCTCCAACCGCCAACTCATATATGGCAAAGGTTGTATAATGGTACGCGAGAGCCATGTGGACTAGTGACGCATTAGTACCTGCTGGATAATTTCGCGTTTTGGTTCCGGCAGAAGAAACTCACCTGTGAACAGGTCGGCGGGGATGCTCTTTTTCCAGGATTGTATCCGATTATCAAACCATCTTAGCACAGCCTGAACACGCGATTCCGTCAATGGGCTAGTCGAACTTGTGTCTTCCAGGCCAAAGGAAGCCATGGCTTCGTCAACGATTCGTTGCAGCTCGAACCATGTGGCCATGTGTCTATCGAGCGTGTTTGGCGAGTCCTCAAGGTACGCGACACACTCATCCATCCAATCGTTGAAAACAAGAATGTTGGGCCGACGAGTTTTCATTGCGACCCTACAACTCATTAGCAATTTATCGTGCACTAGGGTCAGTCTAGACCTTACGTCGACGCCAGATGATAACATCCCAGTATGATCCTCGCTTGTTCAGCCATGTGGTGATCGTATCCACGCTTGTTATGTTTGCGGTTCTCCCTTTCGGACACCTTGCGCTTGGAGGCCAAGCCAATTTCTAAAGCCATCGTAGCAGCAATATGGGTGTACTGATAATGCTGCAGCTTTGAGGGGGAATCGGGAGGATAATAAAAGATAATCATGAGCAACAAGGCTTGGACGAGCTCTAAGGATTTGTCGCCGTTCATGAAGAACCGTTCCGCATACAGCCGAACCATCTCATGGTTGAGCACTGTTGCGAGACCTTCGTCCACAGAGAGAGCAGCCGCCGCGATCACAGAAAGAAAAAGTACTGGTTTCGAGCGACGCAGCTGGGCGGCTGTTGTGTCTGGTGGCAACGCGACTATTGGTGCAAATGCCGTCAAGTCTCTGATAAAGAATGCCACCAGTTCGTTGGCATACTCCAGTGTGATCACTCCCCGGTCAACGACGTCTTCGCCCGGGACCAATTCGGGGGAGTACCTGGCAGGGATAGGGTTGAAGGACGTGGCAAGAACGGAACCATCGTCAAGGGTATGAGGGTATGAGGAGGATGTAAAGTCAGGAGAAGCGGCAACACGTCTTGTGGACCCGGATGTATTGCTAGCAGTCTCTTGGATAGTGGACAAAAGCTCCTTAGGATCAGACCCGGAGCCTGGCTCGAAGGATTCCTCCCTCTCACTCCCTGTGCTTTCCGTGCTGCTCTCGTCCATTCGAATGCGATCCTTGAGGAGAGAGCGCATCTGCCGCATCTCTCTCTCCAGCTGAGCCACCCGCGAGTCCGTACGCTTGCGCGGCCGTCGTCTTTGAGGGGCCACGAAGACACAAGGTCTCTTGGCCTTGACACAACGCTGGCACTGGGTGGGGGACGAGTGATCCGGGAGGCAACGGACTTTCAGGTTCCGGCATGATTCACAGGACCTATTTAGTTGCTGTGATGGGGTGGCTCGTTGGGTGACGCCGTCGTCACCGGAAGCTGGGCTCGGGGTAGGTGACATAGTCTTTTTGGGGAGCAGGATCTTGACAAGCAAGTGGCGAGACTAGACAACAACCAATGACAATGGCAGTAAAGACGGAAGGATGGCAAAGGGAAGTACTCAGGATGACAACTGATCAAAAAGACTGTAGGGGTGCAGGATGCAAAACTTCATATCTTCCGCAATGGAGACCCACCAGAGGGGAGGGGGAAGAAGCCGATATTAAAGAAGGAATTGGAAGAGCAGAAATAACCATGCCATTGCGATTACAATTGAGAGCCACGAGGGAGACTTAAAAACCATGCGATGGGTTGAGATGAAACCAGACCCCAAAAAAGGAGGAGATACCAAGTCCCTCCTCGGTCATAGTCTGCAGGCGAGTAGAAATAAAAAATACTAATAATAAACGGCAGTCTAAGGGTGGAATCAAGGAAGCGATGTCAATCGCTGATGCACTTCCCAGAGGAACATCCAATGAGATCTCCGACTGCGAAGAGCTGCAGATATGGCAGCCCGCCATGATGGAGACAGAAAGAAATCAAGCCGGGCCGGTGTGGAAACTGTGGATGCTGTTGTCCACTGGTGGGTCATGTGAGCCTCCGGGACATGGGCCGATGGAGTTCAGTTTACTACTACTAGGTACCTTGTACGGCGTAGTTAGTACTTACTAGACTGCTGCGCTGTTCTTCGACATTGTTCAAGGTTTGGTTTTGGCCCCCTCACCGATGGATAGATTGGATACCTTCAATTTTTGATTTGACTCTTTCCTCCACCCTCGACGCCCTACGGAGTATATCAGAGATGGCAATGAGGAATTGGACATGTGTCTCCGCAGCACACTAATAGGTAGTACGAAGCACCTCTCGAGATAGTCGTAGTTGTACCACCTAAGCGCTGGCATTGCATCTTCACGTGGGTGTTGCGCACGATAAGACCTGACAGCTCCCCATACAGGCAACCACGAAGAAGGCCCCGATCGAAGAAACCCCTCCCTCAGGAATGTCAATCCCCGGTGGGCCAAACAGAAAAAGAGCTGTGAAAGATCGTGGAAAATGCAGTAAAACCTGACGAATTGCAATGGGCGATTCCTTGCAATGTCTAGCAAATATTTTTCCGCCAATCAAATGGCCAATAAAGCAGTGCAGCAACCAAACGGCCCGTTGATTATCGATTACCGCATCTGGTAATATGTGAGATCCCCCTGGTCCACGGGCATCGAACGCGGAGTGAATTGAATTCGTGCCTGCCTACGGAGTACATACTAAGAGCCATCATCTCGATGCATCCATTTGAAGAATTGGCTGCAGGAGATGAAGATCGTCTACGGTCGATATCCACCAGTCCTACTCCGTACTCCGTGCGCTACCTGAAACCAGAAGGTCTATATCCTGCCACCATTGGAGATCTTAATCGATCATGGCCTGACGGGATGGTTTGACCTTAAACACCTTCCCATTTCGTGCTGACGCTGTCCTCATTGATGCTTTTCGGCATATGGTTCGGTTGTCACTTAGTCTTTGGCCTTTCCACTACATGCTTAGTATAGTCCCCTAATGGCCCAAGAGTCTGGTCCCAATTACTTATAGTAGCTAGCGTGAGCATTGTGGATCCCAGAAGTCTGCTCTGTACTTACTCTGCACTACTGTTGACTCCTTCTCCGCATGTGGTCTTGGATACACTATACAGATCCTCCTCCTCAGATCCAAAGCATACAGAATTTCATTTCTCATGATGAACAGGAGCACGACATTGACAAGGATAGAACTCCCCCATGACTGTAAATATCAGCATGTACCTTGTTTGATCCTGCAGACAAGCCGTTTGGAGTAAGTAAGCTGGGTGTCACCCACGTGGTGTATAGTGCCTGCTAATCCCTGTAGCGCCCCTCATCGATATCTCGCACGGAGACACGGCTTACTGATCCCAATGAACCTTCTTCCCAGGGTGATACCTGTACAATCGGACTCTAGCCGACGGCCGGTTAGAGCCCTTCCCTAGTGTCGGAAATCCCGATGGCTAAGAAACGCCACCCAGTGCACTCGGTAGCCTGAGGGGCCAAAAAAGAATACGTACCGGAAAAAAAAAAAGAAAAGCGAAAACAGAGAAGAAAAGCGAAAAAAGAGAAGAAAAAAAAAAAACACAGACCCATGTCAAGGGAACCTACACCAAACACGTGGTAAATCTTTTCAAAACCTATGACCGATCGTGACGAAAAGAGAGTAACCCAGGGGTTAGGTTGTTAGAAAAGTCGCATGGCCTGCGTTAAAAATTCCAGATACTTCCGGACATCTCGGACATCCTAGGAGATCCTTCCTTCTGTCTAACCGAGCAAACGCAAGACAAGTCGCCGTGCAACTCAACTATGTACGGTTTTCGCCATGGTCGCTAGTCATTATAGGGGATGCTTTCCAATACAACAATAATTTGTCCCCTTTGGTCGTGGAGATAGCCTATAGAATAAAGATATCGTATCGATAAGCTTCCTGATTAAGTGCCTAGAAGCGTTTACTATACCTATTCCTATGGGCAAATTGGTCCAAAATAACTTGCGGACAGAGGGCGGCTCTCTTGTCCAAGTCCAAGTCCAAGTCCTACTCCGATCTTTCAAGCCTACGTCAGTCTACATGAGTCTGAGGCTGATAAAAAAAAATGTGTACACCAGAGTATTTCAGGGGGAGTGAGATGAGATTCTGGGGTTCCCCAGAGCACTCGTATTCGTGGGGTTGTTATGTGTGCATTTGGAGTGACTTGGCAGGTCTGGTCTTCTACATGCCGTGACGTGGTGGGATGGGCAAGAAATCAGACCATCAAGACTGTATCCGGAAAGGATACCAGGAAATCTAAAGGACTAGGGTCTACTCTATAGATTCATAATCCTCAAACCAAACTATCGCATTTAAGATCAGTGGCATCGTAGGTGCTGAACCGTGCTGTTGGAATATATAGTATTAAGAGGGAAAGGCGAGAGAGTCGATGGAAAATCCCACGACATGACTACGAGGTACCATTGATTATTCGTGATATTTACCCGTTATTATCTCGATCGAGATATATAGTATTATAGCTAATCTAGATCCGAATGATCGAGTCAAGTTAAGAACGAACTTCTTATCAATTGCTTACCTAAATACTATGTATAAGTTAGTTAAGTAGTTAGTCACTTCTGAAGACTAGGTACATGCGGCTAATTGTTTACTCAAAGCACCGAGCCCTTCATCCTTCTTCCTGAAAACAGGGGTGATCCCATTGCTTTGGAATCGAGTGAGAGTACTTTTACTCCGTAGTAGTTGGTAGCTATGCGTACATAACACCAACGAACGGTCCAAAAATAAATTCCGTAGTCCTGGAACTCTCGCACAGATGTCCGAGTTTTGTACAGAGTACTAATCTAGCTCCCGATCAGGACATCCCAGTAAGTATTGTCTCAGGCAGAGCTGTACATACTACATAGCACATGGTACATACAGACGGCACCAGAGTATATTGTACATACATACATACATGGTATCCATGTTCAGATCTAAATCGAGTCGCTAGTGAATCCGCTGGCATGGATTCGGACCAACCGAAATTAGATCGGATACGGACTTGTGGCCCGTTCAACGGTTTGAGGGGACTAAAGCAGTCAGGGGTCGGAGAGCTAGTTCGAAAATGGGAGAGGAGAATGAATCCTGGTTGATTCAACCATCGGACTTGCCACTGTCAGAGTATGGCTGCATGGATACGATGATAAGAGAAAATCATATAATAAAGGTAAAATACAAAAAAAAGAATTGGGATATGTAGCGACTCAGAGAGGGTCTAGTCTGCGGCCATGCGGATGTAGTTGGGTCTCTTGGATAGTTACTATGTACTAAAAGCGGTGATGTCAACGACTGGAGTCTCATATGAAGGACGATGGAGTGGTAAGGAGAAACTAGAATCGGATAGAGCGGATCATCTACCAGCCACGTAGGCTTGTCTTGACGAGTTGACAGAACCTAGACAGCAGATAATTAAATCTAGTACTACTCGATATACTTTGGAGTCTACCTAGGGTGGAGGAATGTCCTCCTGAATCCTGTGGATACGAACGATCGACCTTGAACAATGTTCGCCTGAAACGCGAATCATTCTGAACTAGCCTAATAGAAGTTGAACATGCTCTTTTTGTTTTTCTTTTTACCTAGTGGAGTTCAATCTCCCAGTCCCCACCATCATTGCTCGGAGTGTCCGTCAATCCCGCTCCCCTTGCTCAGTTCACTGCAAGAGTAGTCATAGTCATACATTATCACCCAGATAGCGGTTAACGTTCCTGGGTAGAAACTGTCTTACCGACAGACCGGCCAAGGACAGGGATGAAGAAGACGGACGGGGGAGCTTCCGTGACACCTTGGGAATCGCTCAATTGGCCATGACGCGGCCCCCAACTCCAATTTCTCACCCGGGGGGTGGGCAGTGCCATTAAACAGGATCATGCTGACAGTTGACCTGCAGAGTGTGTAACTACTTATACCGTAGGATCGCACTCAACATGTTGAGTCTATAGAGAGTGGGTGTTGGACAAACGCGCTGAGATAAGTATGTTATTCAGTAGTACATGGAGATTCAGAGTACGGATGGCTTACTCGGAGTTACACTCTATAGAAGTACTCCGTACACTAGATAGATAGATGCCTCATCCTTTCGTCCGGACAGACAAGTTCACATTCATCGTCAGAAGAAGGGACCAAAAGAAATGGATGAGAACAAAATTGATCTCTCTGTCTCTGTTTTACTCAAATAGGAGATGCGGCTGTACATGGATGATGATGCCAATACCTAAATCGCCCCGATCGGCAGTGTTCGGGCCCACAAGGCCAAGTATCTCCCACAGGTAGGCGGTAACTGAGCACGCGACAACTTAAAAAAAAAGAGTCCTCTTCCCTTCATCTCTTGATCGGTACATACTGGTTATACTGTCCATCCTTTCTCTATCCCTCGTTTGGTGGCATTATTAGCATTAACTGTTATCTTCTCTTCTTCGTGTTTATCGCCTTATTCTCAATCCCTGCCTCTCGATATATATGCTCTCCTTTCTGCTGTGATTTAGGGCGTTTCCCATTCTCTCCGGCCCTCATTTGGTTTTCCTTCTCCCTTGTGGACACTCGTCATCCTTGTCTGATTCCCGTCTGGTGTTCCGTCACATACCATCACCAATTTTATCTGCTTCCTGTACAACTTTGAGCCGGAGCATGCGGTCGCCGAGTCGCTCATCTGAACTACGTAATTGAAAAGAACAAAGACGTCTGTCCGTTCGGTGTCACAATGTGGACATCCCCGTCCAGACTCTTTCTCTCTTTCGGCGCACTGCTGGTTGCCGTGGCTGGTTCGGCCACGAGCGCCGAAGTGGATGTGACTTTTCAAAGCGTGAGAAATGAGATGGTAAAAGATTATAGTGGGCAAGGGGGTGATATTCCTGATCAGAAATATTTTCGTAAGTCCATGGATTCCTACGTGTGGTATTGATGCCTGTCTGTTCTAACCGGCTATCAGGGGAATCAGAGTACGTTTGAAGAATATCTCAACTGTGCTAATTTCTTTTATTTCCTGTCTGCTAATCTTACATCAGCTTTCACTATCACTATGATGGGCGGTATGTGATTTTTTTATTTTTTACTGGTACCTGGTTTGATTGCTAACCTTATCGAAGATTTGCCAACGACACACTTCCAGCGGAAGAGACCATCCCTCACCTTTCCGAACTCATCCGAACGTATCTGTCAACCATGGCCGATCTTGGAGCAGAAACATGGATAATGCACGGGACTCTGTTGTCGTGGTGGTGGAACCAGAAGGTTGGTCCTTCCAAGCGCAGCGCCATGGTATCGGAAACATATCATCCACTGACAGCCACCTAGATCTTCCCATGGGACAATGATATCGATGTCCAGGTCACGGAACCAACCATGCGATTCCTGGACAAGTACTATAACATGACCGAGCATCATTTCGATATCCCCGGTGTCGAAGGCGGACGTTCCTACCTACTCGAAATCAACCCGTTCTACGTTATCAGATCCACCGACGATAAAGCGAACGTGATCGATGCGCGATGGATCGACATGTCCTCTGGCCTATTTATCGATATCACCGCTGTGCGCAAGGACGACGCTGCCCTAGAGAAGGGTGATGCTGGTGCTTTGATGTGCAAAGATGGCCATCGATTTCAAGTGAGTTGCCTGCGGATGCGTGTCACAATGGACAAGCTGACTGACTCCTTCAAGGAAAATGATATCTTCCCTCTTCGAAACAGTCACTTCGAGGATTTCCCAGTCAAGATTCCCTACCAGTACACGAAACTTCTGGAGGATGAATATGGCCCCAAGGCTTTGACTGACACCGACTTCGAAGGGTATGCTTCGATCTCCTACTTTGATTTCTATCGCAATTGCTAATGTGCTCTGCAGTCATCATTTCAATGAAGAAACCCTGATTTGGGAAAAGAAACCGTAAGTAATGTTGCCCATGCGTTGATTGCTGCTTTATTCATTCCTGTGTAGGGATGAAGAAAAAAGAGATTTTGTCCGACGAGAGGCCAGCATGCCTGTCCGGGCTTCCCCCCTCGACCGCCGATTAAAGTGATTCTGACTGCTCGAACGGGCGCCGTCACGGGAGCTATATATTAGAGCTACTCATGATAATAATGATGTGCGCTAGTCTTGGATCTGGCAGCATCTTTCTTGCATATACCCGGCGTTTATGATTCCTCAGCACCATCTTGACATTCTGCCCGGCTTTTTTTCTGGAAATATACTTTTTTCGTTTCGTTTCTTTTTCTATTCTTTTTATTTATTATTTTTGCCCCCTCTTTCTCCGTCACCTCATCTTGCTCCATTTCCTTCATATGGGTTGAAACTTGGGTGAATTCACTTTATATACGCGCATTCTAGGTCCAGGATTTATTGGAAATTGGTTCTGGAGCACGTGTCAATACCTCGGTTGTTTACTATAATGCAAAATTATGTAAATATGTACATAGTTCTTGGATGCTAGGTCAATAGTCCTAGGTATCGATGTATCGGACGAGTGCTTTCCGACTATCGACTGATGCCAAATTACATTGAAACTGTGGCTGGGGCGATTTGGCCAATCTTGACCGGGCAATCATAGGTATACACATAAGAGTAATCCTTGTAGATGTGAATCAATGCTTGCCGACCCTGGTCAATCATGTGGGAAATATGATGGTCGGCTGATATGCAGTGATTTTTGGGTGTGTTGGCCCACTGTTATTGGATAAGATTTCTTACATCATTGGCCAAGCCGGTCGTTCTCGCCTGTCCCTATTACTAACTGGCACGGAAGAGGACACAGCAGTACCCTGGAGGTAGTAACTATGTAGCAGGAGGATCTGGTCAGATCGGAACCTCGTATATTAGCAATTTCCAGATCCAGTATAGGATCGGGGCTACGAAGGGACTGGTCCTGATCGCCACACGGACTCTCTTGAATCCTCACATCTTCTAGACTCAGAGGACAATTGTCAGCAGGTCTTCTCCAAGTATGTAGTTAAAAATGTGCTATTTTATATGCAATATAGAGGCGCGCAGCTTCGTGGTCGGTCACGTTACATGGTCAGAATTAGTAATTGTTCAAGACCGCCAAGCATTCGATGGAGCCTGGATTCCGCTACCAATGGCCAATGGGAGCCGCCATCGGATGCCCGACATCTCCACTATGAGTCGAAGAAGTGAAGATCTCGTCAGGGGCTTGTGTTTTTCCTATCTGATCTTCCCCTCTTTTTCTGCTTCTTCCTTTTCCCTTGCTTCCAGGAACCGTCCAAGGCAAGCATGCAGCATGCTGTGAATCCCGTTCCGTTTATCTTTTCTTCGCCATGTCGCTCCCAACTGAATCACCTTCGTCTGTGTATCCGCCCAACGCCCCATTCGCCGCGTTGGAAGCCACCGATAAAGCTCCCGGCCAAGCGCCGCATACGTTGCCAGAATCCCATGGCTCGCGTAGCTGTGTGACCTGCCGTCGCAGGAAGGTCCGCTGTAACAAGCGATGTCCATGTTCAAACTGCGCAAGGGCCGGAGTCGAATGCATCTTTCCCCCGCCCGGTCGAGCACCCCGTAAGTCGAAGCGGCCGCAGGACGCCGAACTGCTGTTGCGACTGAGACGTCTTGAAGGTGTAATCGAGCACCTGAGCGATAAGAACGCGACCGCGGCCCAGAGTGTGCCCTCCCCGCCACAGCAGCCCAACGAACCGCTGACCGACAATCCTCCTCCGGCCCAGGAGGGTCAAGGTTGTCCATTCTCAAATATTGACCCTCTTAAGCCGGTTGGACCGCGAAATCTGGAGCATGAATTCGGGAGGTTGGTCATTGAGGAAGGCCGGAGCCGATACGTCAGTAATCGGCTCTGGGCAAGTCTTGGAGACGAGGTCGGTTACTACTCTTCTGACTACTAGCGTTGCGCTTAGATTCCAAATCAATCGCCACGTGTGCTGACCTTGTGCCAGGTGGAAGAACTGCAGGACATCCTGGACCCGTCATCGTCAGACGAGGAAGATTACCCATCTCCCGAGTCGTCCTCGACCCTATCGACCAACCACGATGGATTCTTGTTTGGCTTCTACTCTCTCTCACATTCCCTCCGCTCTTTCCATCCTCCGCCGTCAAAGATTCCGATACTATGGGAGATCTACTTGGATAATGTAGCGCCCCTGGTGCCCATCATGCATAAGCCTACGGCGAAACAACTGTTTACGAACGCGGCCCAAAACCCCGACTCGTTGGATAAAAACTCGGAAGCGTTGCTCCTTTCCATGTACTTTGCTTCAATTATCAGTCTGTCCCCCCTAAAATGCCTATCTATTATGGGAGAAGAGCGGGATGTCCTTGTGAGCCGCTACAGATTTGCGGTTGAGCAAGCTCTTGCCAAAGCGAACTTTCTGAATACCCAGCACATAATGGTCCTACAAGCGGCTGTGATCTTCTTGATTGCTGTCCGTCGAGAGGATGATACCAAGTTCGTCTGGTCCATGACCGCTCTTGTTCTTCGACTGGCGCAAGGGCTTGGTCTGCACCGGGATGGCACAAACTTTGGCCTGAAACCGTTCGATACAGAGATGCGGCGACGTCTGTGGTGGCATATCTGCTTGTTAGATATTCGGGCCTCCGAGGACCATGGGACTGATGCTCAAGTCAATGAGAGAATATACGACACCCGACTGCCGCTGAACATCAACGATGAGGATATCACTCCGGGAATGCAGGAACCACCGAAGGAGCGAGTCGGATTCACAGACATGACGTTCTGCCTGATTAGATGTGATATCACCGTTTCTCTTCGACAAGTGAGCTACTCCTGTCCGAATAGCAACTTCCCCGGGGCACCTCGACAACCATCGCCCGAAAAATGTGGCCAGCTAATCAAGAGCATCAACGACCGCATTGAAGAACGGTACCTTAAACACTGTAACACAAGCGTCCCGATTCAATGGGTGTGTGCGACGATTGCGCGGCTCATCCTGACAAAGTTGTGGCTGGTGGTCCACCATCCTATGACGCGGCCATATCAGGGAATCAACCTCACCAATGACTCGCGGGAGAGCTTGTTCGTCACTTCGGTACAGGTGGCCGAATTTTCTTGTCTCTTAGCCGGAAACGAGAACACGCAGAAGTGGAGCTGGCTCTTTGCGACCAACATGCAGTGGCAAGCCATTGCCTTCACTCTGTCCGAGCTTTGCGTGCGCCCAATAAGCCCCCTCACGGACCGGGCATGGACTGCGGTCAGTACACTCTATGATGACTGGATACGCTCCTCGAAGCAAAGAAAAGGAATGATGTGGCGCCCGCTTGCTCGACTGATGAAGAGAGCAAGCGCTTTTCGAGCGAAGCAGCGGGAAGAGCTGCAAAATTGCGGTGGCCCCAGTCCAGTCGCCTCCAACTCCGCCGCACCTCGTACCATGAGTAACGGACCACAGATTATACCGCCACCTATTCTGCCTCGACTGTCAGAATTGCCCTTGTCTGCAATGCAGTCTAGTACTCCTGATAGTCAGCTGAACATTGATCTCCGCGGGGGGCCAATGGATGCCATCAATATCATGTTTCCCGGCGTTGATTGGCTTGCTGTCTCAGATTCCCAGCGTACCCCCGATCAGCAAATGACGATTCCCTCCGAACCGTCATTGACTCTTCCTGATCAATCGCCGCTGTTGGCTTCGGAGCCACCGGGAGATCTCCCGGCGCAACAGTTGAACTGGGAAGACTGGGATCAAGTCATGCGTGACTTCCAATTAGACCTGCAGCAGGCTCATACCGCGAACTCGACGGGGAATATTTCAGCCAATGTCTCTGACTGGTTCATGTGATGGATGAGTTTGTCATGCCTCTTCTGTCTCCACTCTTTGCTATGGCCCTGGAGGTCATTTTTGCGAACGACTTAATTTAATGCTGCCAGCGCTATGATTCCCAATTGTCTGTATTCCAATTGTCAACCTCCTCTCTTCGAGAAATTGATCTCCTCTCACATGGGCGCTCTCTCTGTCGCTCTCTCCACTGTTTATGATGTATGATGTAACATGTCATGCGATGTATCAACGAGTTTGGCGTTGAAAATTTTACAGTGTTGTAAAATGTACTAGCTAATTAATGTACAACGAATTACTGATGATATCCTATTCCTTGTATTTATGAACTCATGACTATTAATTTCCCTCCGACGTGTACGCCTACTGTGTACTGTGTATGGCACTACACGACACGTGACCTACCTCCGCGGGCGGACTGCCACAGTAGCTTCATCCGCTCCCGACATCAACCACTCTTCCCCAATTCATAGTTGCCATCAATTTGAATCTACCCAGGCAAATCTCTCTAAAAACAGAAGAAACATGCCCCCCAAACGCCCCGCCGCGACTACTATCCCACCATCTACTCTCTCCTCCGGCCCCAAGACCCTCACCACCAACTCCTCCATCTACGACATCGCCCACCATGTCTGGCAACAGTACGTAGCCACAACGCCACAACGGACTCTCCTTCTTGACGCGTTTATGGCCTTCCTGGTCCTTGTTGGGGGTATCCAATTCGTGTATTGTGTGGTGGCAGGGAACTATGTACGTGATGGACATATACTTGTCTTCTTTCTCCGGTAGACATATATATATGAATGGGGTGGACTGCTAATGTTATACGTATGAAAATAGCCATTCAATGCCTTCCTGAGCGGCTTCTGTGCCGCGGTCGGCCAATTCGTCTTGACGGCTAGTTTACGCATGCAAACGAGTACAGATCAGTCTGCGAAATCCGTCTCCTCTTCTTCTAAGGGAAATAATCTTAAGAGTGTTGCTGTTGCGGATGGTGAGGATTCTCCATCACATGAGAGGTGGGTTAATTCTTCTTTCTTTCATTTCCTTCTCTCACCTTTTTTACTATTGTTGTTATTTTTGTTGTTTTTAAATCTGCGCTCTATATATGCCGTGTTCTGTACAGTGCTTAGAGCAAAGAGAGGATTGGATGGATTATATATTATATGTGGATTATACTGATTGAATTGATTGGATAGGGCCTTTGCGGATTACATTTTCGGAAGCTTGATTCTGCACTTCTTCTGTATCAATTTCATTAACTAATGACTGGGTGTAAAATGTCTTTTGGTGGTCGATCCGAAGCATTTTTGGTTCTGATCTGGATGGGAGTTATATTATTTTTCGTGTTAGAGACTCGAAGGATGTCGACGTTAGCTGTTAGCTGGGGATACTGTCTTCGTCTGAGTGGGTGCGACGTTCATATTGCTGTTTAGTGTGGTGATGATTGGTCCACATAATCGCTTGCATCACTTGTTATATGGCCCAGGATAAATAGTCGTTCAGAGGCTGACCGGACATCGTTGTACTGAAATATCTAACCTATCCATTTGTCTAGATTAAGCCAATCCATCTATTATACTTTGTTCTTTATTTATGTAAATCCAGGGTATATAGTCTATAGGTCGAACTCTATGTACAAATGATGATGAAACTATAAATTCTAAAATGCCCGTCCTGGTCGTCTCTTGATCTGCGGCTTCTTGACCACACTTCCGCCGCCACCGCTGGTGCCATTTCGCGCGGTAGACGACGCTGTGACACCGCCGACTCTCTTGCCAACGACTGGACGTCGTACGACGGATCCACCGACTTCGACCTCTTTCTTTCGTCGCGAAGGATCGTTCCGCTCCTCTTCTCGTTGTTTCTCTGCTGCGGCGCGTTCGCGGTCGGCGGCTATCTGCGTTTCGATTTCCATCCGACGGTTAAATTCCAGTTCCGTGACACGACGCTCCCGTTGCGAGTAACCCTTTTCCTTGACGGAGTAGAATACACCTCCGAGTTCGGCAAGCCACTAGCCGAGGAGTTAGCTTGGTTGTATGCTCGAAGTTGTCGAGAAATGGAAGGGAATCACTTACGTGTGGATCTACTGCGGTCACGGTGGACATGTATTCCTTGCTTGTCAGGATCAATTCGTGGTATACCACATACTCGGGCACATATCCCAGTCCATACAGTGCGCTGGTGGGATGAAGCTGCATGGTGACGCTGGTTCGGAGATTGATAAACTCGCCGATACCCTTCACCCTTGCAGCTTGATAGTAGAATCCAGAGCAGATGCATTTGCGGATCACATCCCAGTCTGTCCCGCAGCTGACAAGCGGCATCTTCTGCACAGTTAAGATATCAAGAAGCTGTTCGCGCACCTCCTTGGCGCGTCGTAAAGCTTTGGAATGGAGGAAGTGTTTGACACACCAACCATCAGAGTAACCGTTGGACTTCCACTGCGTATATACGTGGAGCAGGGTTAAATGGTCGGATTCAGGAACAAAAAACTTCTCGCGCGCGGCGTCAGACTCCTCCTGACGCTCCCTAGGACGGTAGAAAACGCTCGGGACAGACAGCATAGATACAATGCTTAGCATCTCTTCACTGCAGCCATACTCTTCGGAAGCCATGATTAATAGTTTGGCAAGCGGGGGGTCCATTGGGAAAGGTGTCATCCGACGTCCTAATGGTGTAAGGTCGCCGAGATTATCAAGAGCACCTAAGGACCACAGCTCAAACAACGATGTTGAGATGGTCTCCTGTGGGGGAGGGTCCATGAAATCGAAATCCAAGAGATCCTTGACGCCAAGAGACTTCAGCAGTAGGACCGTGTTAGAGAGACTCGTTCGCTGGATCTCTGGTATTGTTTGCAAGTATAGTTCGTTCTTATAAGCCATCTCGGTGAAGAGACGATATGCTTTTCCAGGCCCTGTCCGGCCGGCTCTGCCGGAACGCTGGTTGGCGTTGGCTTGGGATATCGGTGTGATCTGAAGTGTATCCATACCCATTCGGGGGTTATACACTTTGAGCTTCGAATACCCTGCATCCACAACAAACATGATGCCGTCGACTGTCAAGCTGGTCTCCGCGATGTTGGTCGCAACGATCACTTTCCGCACACCAGGCTCGGCTTTCTCAAAGATCTTTGCCTGCTGTTCTGCCGGCATCTGGCTGTAAATAGGCAATATACTGAGTTTTGGAGGATCATTCAAGAGTTTTAATCGCTCATCAACCAGTTCACAAGTGGCTTCAATGTCCTCCTGTCCGGTCATGAACACAAGGATGTCGCCGGGTCCCTGCGAAACGTGAATAGCCAAGACCTGCTTTACGGCACTATCAACGTAATCCTCGCAAGGCGTCCGTGAATAGTGGACATCGACGGGGAATGTTCTTCCCGGAATGATAAATTCAGGGGCACCGCCGTAAAACCTCGAAAAGCGTTCTGAATTCATCGTCGCCGACGTGACAATCAATTTTAGATCTCTGCGGCGAGCCAGGACTTTTTTGAGAAGACCCATCAGAACGTCGGTATTCAAAGCTCTCTCGTGCGCTTCATCCATGATGATACATGAATATTTGTCGAGATCGGGCTGAGCTAGCGACTCTCGTAAGAGAACACCGTCCGTCATATACTTAATCGCCGTGTTCTCGCTGGTGCAATCCTCAAAACGAATCGCGTAGCCGACAAGGTCACCCAGATCCACTTCCATCTCCTCACTAACACGCTTTGCGACACTCATAGCAGCGACACGGCGGGGCTGTGTGCAGCCGATCATGCCAAACTTCGAATAACCATCCTCGTGCAGGAACTGCGTCAGCTGAGTCGTCTTGCCGGATCCTGTTTCTCCAACGACGACGATCACCTGGTTATCCCGTATTACTTTCATCAACTCTTCTCTCACAGCGAATGCCGGCAAATATTCCCTCTGTTCGCGGAGCGTCTTGCTCTTGCTAAATGAACTTTGGCCCCCTCCACTCTTCTTCATATGCTGCGCAAATTTGTTCCCCCCCTTGTAGACATCTTCAACGGGCATGGCGACAGCACTATCACCCTCATCTTCCTTGACTCCCATCAGATTGCCCAAGGCGGTCCCCGCCATCGTCGTTGCTTCCTGCGCTTGCTTTTGCCTCTCTCGCTGTTGACGACGTTCCCGAACTACCTTACTCCCCTTGCGGCTGAAGACCGCCATATCACTCTGCGGATCACGGACGGCCGAAATGGGCTCTAGCTGTTTAGTGAAAATGGTCCGGCCATCGAGGAAAGGTGGACGCAGGTCGTGGACAAGCAAATGGACGCGCGTGCCTTCCTCATCTTCAGGCATGAAATCGCCATCAAAATCACGTCGTTGAGCAACCCCAGATGTGAGCATTCGATTTGTCTCCCAGTCGTCGATATCCTTACGTTTCGCATCACGAAGCGACGGCGGCAAGTTGGAGCTCTTCAGCCTTTTGGCTGGAGGGCGGTCGGACGCCATTGTGGGAGCGACTTCACGGATGGGACAGGTCGTTCACAGTAGCTGTTCCCACGAATTTTTGGACAGTAGAGATCTGAAACTGTCTGCTCCAAGCGTCCTGGGGTTATTGGAGCGAAGGCAAGTGAAGTCGGCGCAAATCGAGCGACGAGTGGAAGGCGGACAAACAGTGCAAACAGCAGATTGTGTCACGTGGAGTCAACTGCATAGGGGGTAGAAACTAAATAATTGTAGATCGACGACTGTCGAGAGTTCAAAGGCAGTGAGTCTACTATAAGTGAAATCCTATTAGAATAATCCCGTAATTAAGTAGGTGGATGGCGACTGTGCCATTCCCCCGTCCCTTTCATCTCTGCGGAAGACAAGCGACAGCTCCGCGTAGCTCCATCAAACGCCCCGCATCTGCAGTTCAGCTTTGCAACCAGCAAATCCAGACCAAAATGGCCAGCCAACAGCAGGTGAATCCCAAGAGACAACAGGGTATGTGCCTGACCTTACTTTCTTTCTCCTGGGTGGAGATGTGTCGAATAATTGAAAGTTGACCCCGACCTAGAGCTCCAGCTCCAATACTCGAATTACAAGAACACACTACAACAGTTGGCATCGAAGATCGGAGACATTGAACAGGAGGCGGAAGAACACAAGTAAGCCTCTTTTAGGTCTCTTTCATTGGACCGCGCAGCAGTCACTATTGCCGGAGATCTATGCCAAACTTCAAACTGACGCAAAAATCATGTAGGCTGGTTATCGAAACCCTCGACCCTCTCCCTCAAGATCGAAAATGTTTCCGCATGGTAAATGGTGTCTTGGTTGAGCGGACGATCAAGGATGTTTTGCCTTCCTTGAAGACCAACTCAGATGGGCTGAAGCAGGTGTTGGAAGAACTCCTGAAACAGTACAAGACAAAGCAGACTGAAATGGATAACTGGAAGGTTTGTTTACTGTTGATTGTATACGGCAGCTGGAATGGTGTGACGGATGCTGAATTTTTTACTATACAGAAAACAAATAATGTTCAGGTCGTACAGCCCTAGAAAGCGGGTCTGTTGATTTCTATCTTTTTCTTTCCTTTTTGAACAACATGCCGTGAAAGTGTTTGAGACGGAGAAACGAGCCGAGCAAAAGTGGCGTTACAAGGTGTCCAGAAACTGCATTCAAAGTTGCAGGTTCGATTGTCTGAATCTCAGCGTATCGAAGGGCTACATTTCCTGGATGGAAAGTTCTTTCTCGAAAAGATATAGGAGGGTTCGTTATCGTTAGTTTTAAACGGATGTACCGTAAGGAAGGCTTGGTGATCGAGGGCATCGCGTGCTTCTCTGTCTATTTCAGATCAAGTCCAAAGAAGGTTAGAGGGGAGTCATACGAGGCTTACGCTTTGGGGTAATTTGTATGAGACAGCTAAAAATATATCAAGTTTGATTGTCGCCCTCGGAGTATAGATTTCTCTAGATGCACTAGCCTAGGGTGTGGCATGATGTGTTATAGTTAGTTGGCCTTAGTCTACCTTTCACCTTCAATCCTAACATCCTGATATAGAGGACCCGGAGGTTGGTCGTCCCACAAGTCTTATGAGGCAACTCCTCGCTCATTGTTTATCCCCCTATCATCCAAACCTATCAAAGTGACCCTTCTGAAATTGTAGAATCAGGAACATAGGTCATGGCCGTAAAATTGTTGATGTCAAGGTCATAATGGATCCTAAATTCATACTTGATCCATTCGTATTTACATATAGTTGTTGGCAAACTCCCATGAAGAGACCAGGGAAAGGTGACCAAACAAAATACAGGGAATGAATTGCCTGTCCCTTGAACGCTAAAACCTTTTCTTGGTGTGAAACAGTCAAATCCCTTGTGTGGTGTAATCCATCTCAGACGGCCTTCGCAGCCGAGACCCAGAATTAGGCCCTGGAGCGCTTCTACGTTGTCTCGCACTGATAGGATTATGAGCTGATGTTTCCCTCGTTTCCTGAGATGTTCGTTCCTCGACTGGTGTCAAACTCCCTGAAGATGGCGTCCCACTACTCGCCGCACTTCTGGGTCGTAAAGCGAAGTATCCCCCGGATCCATCCATTGAGCTCGAGAGGCAAGCACTAGCTTGTGGCGGACTGCCAGTAGTGGTGGGAGAGACGTCACGAGATGCTCGTAGGCGCGGTGAATGTGATGACAACGATTTCGGCCGAATCGGATCCACCGTGCGAGGGTCTTGGTTGTACGATGAGGAAGCGAAGCAATCTGGTTTTCGAAGATTAAGGCTTGATATAGCTGAGGTAGTGGCAGAGCGTTGGTGATTTCGTTTGCCGTGGAGTTCAGGAGTAGCTGAAAATCTTCGCTTGCGCCTCCACAACAATGCATGTTCTGGAGAGTCATAACTATGTGCTAGAGTCGGAGATTGTGAAGGTAGTTCTAATCGTTGATTGATGGAGAGCCAGGCCCTCTCATCCGCATCGTCGCTCACACTGTCATCAGGAGACGGGGATGCGGATTTTGAGATATGATGCCCATGGGATCTGACAGATGATGCCGGACATCGCCATCCACCAACCCCCTCGAAATCTCTGCCCTGGTCACCACTGATTAGGCTAAGAAAGGTTGATTGGGGGTAGGGACCAGCCACGGGCAATGTTTCTCTCAAAAAAGGTGCACCATCAGGGCTAATAAACGCACTGTCTCGTTCACCTAGTCCTTCCGAGGAGTTTGAACTTTGTCGGCGTCGAAACAAGTCATATCGACCTTGACCCGGAAAGACTTGACGGTGAATTGGAGGGTTGGGGTAGAGTAGCGTCATGCCACGGTCCAAAGATCGACGCTTTGGAGTTGCCAAACCCGCTGGGGTGGTTGGTTCTGATGCTGCAAAGCTCAAGAGGGACAAGTTATCTGACATTGGGATAGTGAAATAGCCTGATATGATGGCATAGCATAGTTCAATATAGACAACGGAGACTCGGACAAGGAGAGCCACAAATGCAAGACAGATGGTGGCACAGGCCGATATAATGAGAGGTATTGAAATAAGTGCAAGAAATGGTAGAGTAAAGATCGTGGCCACGATGGTGGAGGACATGAAGAGTAGAGTGAGAGCGCTACTCTTACAAGATTCGTTCCGACGTATCAGAAGTACTAATTAACTAGCAAGTGGTATTGTCACACAGACCACTGGACAGAAACAATGTCTTTATAAACACTCATAAGACAGCAATAATAGAAACTGTTTTCTGAATGCAGATAAGAGCAAAGACTAAACATCACCGTTGCGTGATGCGTCAGTGCGTCGGTTTTCTTTCATTCACAGCGCAAAATGCGGAGACGAACATGTGACGCGTGACGCTTGACGGTCCCAACCTCCAGAGGCGCATATTACGTCACCCATACTTCAACTTCTGCTTCGGTTTTTATTTCCACTCCTGCAGGAAACTGCTCTTCTGAAGGCTCCAGGACAGTAAAATGCCACAAATGGGGGGCCACAATGAGGACGATTTCCCCTGGGATCTTGGGGTGTTTGACGCCCATTGTCATCCCACTGATACCATGTCCTCGATTGCTGAGATTCCTCGGATGAAAGCCACGACCCTCACTGTTATGGCTACGCGCGGAGAGGACCAGGAATTGGTGTATCAGACTGCTTCTACTCTTTCTGGGCTGAATACTGCTATCCATGGTTCAACAGCTGGACGTGTGCTGCCGTGCTTTGGCTGGCATCCGTGGTTTTCTCATCAGATAGTTGACGATTCTGTCGCCTCCTCGAACACAGAAGCTGCCTCGAAAACTGAACAGAAGATGGCACATTACCGAAAAGTACTTACTCCATGTCCAGACAGCGTCTTTGTCTCGGCCCTGCCGGATCCCAAGCCGCTTTCACAACTCATCTCGGAAACACGGTCGCGTCTGAATGAATACCCCAACGCTCTTGTCGGCGAGATTGGTCTAGACCGAGCATTTAGACTCCCCAATTCTTGGAAATCGCAGGAAATTAAGAACCGTGATACCAGTATGACCCCTGGATCCCGCGAGGGCCGAGCTCTTTCTCCCTACAAGGTACAGCCGGAACACCAAAAGGCCATTTTAAAGGCTCAGCTCCTACTAGCCGGAGAGCTTCAGCGGCCCGTGTCTGTACATAGTGTTCAAGCTCATGGAGTAATATTTGACCTTTTTAGGAGCATGTGGTCTGGTCATGAAAAGAAAGTTCCATCACGGCGGGAAAGACAACGGCGTCGCAGTGTTGCGGGTGCACATGCGGAGAGCGAGGGAGAAGACGAGGGAGGAAACACAACACCCGCAAGCTCAGCACTACCTCTTCCATTCCCACCACGAATCTGCATGCATTCGTACTCAGGACCAGCAGAACCCCTCAGGCAGTTTTTACGCCCGTCTAATCCATCCGATGTTTATTTTTCCTTCTCCACCGTCATCAACCTTAATGGACCTTCGGCACAAAAGGTGAAAGAGGTCATCAAATCTTTACCCGATGATCGGGTGCTTATCGAGAGTGACCTGCACACTGCCGGACCTGAGATGGATGATCTGCTGGAACAAGTTGCACGGCAGGTCTGCGAGCTACGAGGGTGGACGTTGCACCAAGGTGTGCAACAGCTGGCGGAGAATTGGAAGCGATTCGTCTATGGATGAGGCATGCAGCTTGCATACTGTCAGCACCGGTCAGCACCTGTACATACTTGGCATATACATACACCGTAGACATCAATGCATCTATACATCAAGACGGACCCCGTGACCCGCCGTAATCGGCCTTTCTCCGCACATCCACGTGACTATACCCCCAGACCCGCCCTTCCGCCCCACTTGGTGTCTTTCCCGCTTTCTCTCTCTCTCTCTCTCTCTCTTCCACTTCTCGCTCTTACTCACTCTTCCACCTTTCGGTTTCCATCGTGGCCATGTCGTAAACGTGGGCCTTTTCTCATTATCTGAGCTCCCCTGGTCATGAATAATGAAGCTACGAGTCTCCGGACCCTGAATCTGCGTCCATGCTCTTGATATGTCCTCTACCGCCGCGCATACCAGCCATCCGCCCACCGGCAATGGTGTGACTAAGCGCAAGTCAGGTGCCTATAGCTTAACCCCCACGTTGGTCCCCCGCGCATCGTCCACCTAATAAATCATGTTATTTAGGGTCTGCGGCCTGTGTTCACTGTCATCGGCGCAAAGTCCGATGTGACGCACGCATAGTCGGCCTGCCATGCTCCAATTGTCGCTCCGCGGGAAAGGGAGATTGCCGTATTCATGAGAAGAAAAAGCGTCTAGCGGTGCGCTCGATTCTCGATCCGGTCCCCATTCGCTGTCGCCCGCCTCCGTCCTCTGAACCTTCCCCCAGGCTATTGCCCCCCGAAACCGTTGGCCAGCCCACCGCTTTCACGACTGCCTTCCGCGGCATCAAACCTGAAGTGACCACCCCCATCGCGAGCACCATCCCAACCGACTATTCACCTCCTTCTGTCTTTGAAAATAACACCAACAATAACCTCCCCAACCATGGGATGCAATCAATGCCGGGCACCCAGGAGTGTCGTCGCCAGTCGGGTTTGGATCCTTCACCGGACCAGGATGCCAACGGGGATTTGGAGAAGCGGCTGGTGAAAATCATTGATGAAGAGGAGTCAAGTACGCGGGAGATCCAGCGGGGTGTGCGAGCAATCTACGTCGGCCATGAATTGTCGAACATGTCCTTCCTGATTCGCCAACAGCGAGATAAAGCTGATGGCGTATATCATTTTGCCGGAAATGAAATTCCTCGGCGACAATTGCGCACAGGACATGATCAGCTCCTTGTGGATGCTCTGACTTTGCCTGAGCAGTCTCTCGCGGATGAGTTGGTGCAAGCGTATTTTAACTATGTGAATCCAGGTTATCCCATAGTCGAGGAGGATCACTTCATGGCGCAGTATCACAACCGAGACCCAGCTGACCCCCCACCAGTATTGCTGCTTCAGACTATACTGCTGGTAGGGGCCCATGTCACGCGCCCGAAGGCTGAGAGAGATGCTCTGAAAGAAATATTTTTCCGCCGCGCCAAATGGTTGTTCGACAGTCGAATCGAGCGGAACCGTGATATTATGGTTCAAGCCGCGCTGCTCTTGACCTGGTATTCGGATAGCGCTGACGACGATGTGGCTGCCAATGCTCACTATTGGGTCGGTATAGCGGCCAGGATTGCCACGGGCCTCGGCATGCACCGCAATCCGGTCTCCAGTAACTTTGTATCGCGAGACCGCCGGATGTGGAGGAGACTGTGGTACATCTTAGTTCAGTTTGATGTCATGATATCTCTTTCGTACGGTCGACCGCAGGCCATGTAAGCTGTTACTCTTTCGCGCCGTCTTTCTGTGAAGTTCTATCTAACTGAATGTGAAATCCAGCAATCTTGAGGATTCTGACGTCTCCCCGTTGACCACCTCCGACTTCGAAGGATGTGGGCCTCGGGTTCAATCGGAGTACGTGATTCATTTCTCGGAACTCTGCACAATGATCTCGTACATCATCCGAGATAGGTTCGGACTGCGTGTCAGTGCGGAGCGTCGCAAGGCTGCCCTACATGAAGCAGACGAAGTGTTGGCGAACTGGTCACTCAAGCTACCGGACAATTTACGTCTACGGACATCAGATATGGACCCTTGGTCTGCTATGCTCCACTTGACTTATAACAATTTCCTTATCCTTCTTCACCGGCCGCACCCAAGAGCATCCGCTTACTCCGACGATTACGGGCCGCATGATGCCGAAATCTGTAGCGCAGCCGCGGGGGTCATCGCGTCCATTTTTGAAGAGCTCCGCTTGAATGACCGGTTGAAGTTCTTATGGTATACGGGGGTTCATACCCTCTTCACAGCTATGATCCAAGTCCGGGTGGAACTCCGGTTCTCTAATCCGGTCCTAGCGATTAATGCCTTGCGTCGCTTTGACTCGGCGTCTTATTCTCTGCGGGAGCTTGCCTCGTACTGGTCTCATGCCAACACTATACTACGACTGTTTGAAGACTCGCGGCGTCTTCAGGAGGATCTGCGAATGGCGACCAGCCAGCGGCCAAGGCACTTTAGCAACACACGCGACCCGAACCACAAAGAGAACGATGGCAACCCGCCCAACAGCACATCAGAATCCGCGCAGGCAAACCCGTCTCTCCCGTATGCCGTTCCGACCCCAGAATCGCCACATATACCGTCCTCCTCCATAAGCCCGGGTCAAAATCAGCCATTCGACAACTGGATACCGTCGAGTAATTTGGCATCGGTGGATCCATTGGATCAACCGCGAGAGCTTCTAGATTGGCGGCAACTGTTTTCCTTTACCGATCCGGACCAGCCTGTCCTTCCTGTGGCTATGGAAGGACTACCGGAACTGGAAGATGAATGGCGACAGATTTACTGGCAGGAGACTCCGTTGTCGGATCTTCTTCAAGATGGAGGGTGGATGCACTAATGCTTGTTGATAATTGGATCTTCTATGAGTATATATATACACGGGAGTGACACTAGGCACATAGTTCCTCCGCCGGAAATCTGAACAGAGTAGTAGATTCAGTTTGAGTAATTAAACCAATAATTAATGCCGATATGATGTTGTGTTTTCCTGGAGTTCATGTCCTATAGATGTGTCACTGGGACTGTAGAGTTATGATGCTCACCACTGATCACGATCTGGACTCACGTCGCCATCGGAGGTCTCTCCCATTGCTAGCATGCACATGAGGCAACTTTCTCCCATGATATCGATATGTCCTTCTGCTCTTTCAATCAAGAGACTGGACTGCTTAGTGATGGCCATCTACATAGTTAAAGAATCTTGACGACACAACCATCGTCTCCGATGCCATCAGCCCAGTAGACATGATGCATACCCTACGCCTTTATCAAATTCCATCACTGACTCGATGTCTTCTATCCTTTCTCCGCCGTGTCGCTGTCCCAATACTTCAGCCCAGACTAGATCATCCACAGTGCTAGCCACATTTCAGCCACTCTATTAGTATTCACTAAACAAATCCATACATCCAACCCGTGGTTCCCATCGACGTCCGTTCCAGCAGCCAGGCACAAAAGCTCTACGAGCTCTTTCTGGGGGTTTCCCAGATGCCGGCGAGCGGCAATGTAGAGAAACAATGTGTATTGTACCAGGCTGACGACGGGATGGCAGCTCTATCACCATCGTCTGAATATGACCATGACTATGACCATGATTAGACTGGACATCGCGAATCAATATGGTCTGAGCGCGCGATATCAACGCACGATTGACTTGACCTCTGATGGATTCCCGCATAATCTTATTCAGCACTCGATCATGTTGATTCACATCATTAGCCTGCGGATTGCTGGTGCAGTTGGGTCGGATGCTCTTGTTTCGGATCGAAGAGAAGGGGATGGGGGGTCAGGTTCCGGATGATACCATTAGTAGTAGTGCTGGTACTATGAAGAGTGTTTTAACCCACGACCTAGAACGCAAGCTACGCGGGGACCCCGCGCTGCCTAGGCGTCTCGACAAGTTTACCGTATGAGCGGGAACCCCGAATGCGATTCGGGACCATCGCACCATCAGGACGTCGACGCGGTAGTGCAGGGAGCGACTAGTTTGATGAGGAATATTGGTCGGATGGAAGAAAATATCCCGCCGCCGTTGGATGTGCGTCGGAATCAGATCATGGTGCTGGAAAAGAAGGTAGAGATTGTCATACTGTGACTGGTAGCGGCCGACTCTCGAGGCTGGGTTGTATGGGATGAATGTTATAAACTATTGGGAAGACGAGTTGGGAGTTTAAGCTCCAGGTCGCTGTCTGTGTCGTTGGAACCGGGTTGATTTCGCGATGTGGAAGACAATTGCGGCGCATCCAACAGGTGCGTTTGTAGGAAGACTTCATTCCGTAACCTGGGTAACAGCATACAAGTTCAGATGAAGTCGTACCTAAACGAGCAGTACTATTTGCTAAATTACCATAGAATTCGTCAACATTGTATCTAGTATTGTACTGGACAATAACAAAGCCATACGCAGGTCAAGTCCACTGGACAACGAAGTCCATCCGTGTATTCTCTATCAGGCACATCGAGAATCATCCACCACAACGACAATAAATACAACAGTAGTCCTCCTCGTGAGAGATAGCATCCCACTTGTTGGTCGCAACGCGTCAGGACGACGATTGTAAGCCGCGCGAGATCTGAAATAACCGACTTTAAATGTAAGTGTACACCCACATCGAGGATGAACAGTCTGCAAAGTGACTGTCAAAAGACGCTGCAAATGAAAAAAGCCAACGAGACATCACAAGAAACCAATCCAATGAATCCGCCGTCCTGGACCTGTCTTTCATGATCCTTCACTCGTATTCAACCCGTAAATAATATTCCCAGAAATAGTACGAGAGTCACGTCGAGATGCTACCGGGACAAAGACCCCCAGAGATTGAGATTTAAAGGCGTCTTTCACGGTCTCCAGGCAATGTCGCCGCCGCTCTAATAGGTGTCACCGCCGGTACCATTGTGATGCTGGCCGACCATGGGCGGATAGCCATAGGCAGCAGTATCCTGTTCTGCAGAATCCAAGCCTGGGTTCATCATACTGTTGGCACTTTCGGGGGCACCATCAAACGGCGGCCCTGGACGTCCACCTGGACCTGCCCCCACGGCTCCCACGGGCCCGCCAGTGCCATATCCGCTACTTGTTGGCCGGTTTTGGTGTTCTCCCCTCGCGGATTGCGTCTATAGCCATCGTCAGGACACCGAATCTCACCAGGGGAACTCCGCACGTTGCACAAGTCTTACCTCACGATACTTTGACAAATAGATTTTCAGTGCCTCCGCGTAGTTTTCGAACCCAAGCGAAGTCATGGCAAACAAAATGTCTTCCCCGTTGACAGTTTTGCGTTTCTCCTGCTGGCATTTTTCCGACGCTGTGGCCGAACGCACGAGTACATTAGATGGCATGTCCAGGCGGAACCAATATATGATGGAACTCACCTTCGCTCGTGATGAACGAGATAAACTCGCTCACGCATTCTTGCATACATTCTTTGGCTTCCTTTGCAATCTTGGCATTATCGGGGAGAGCTAGTTTCATGATGCGAGCCACTGGAAGACGAACATTAGCACTTTGCATCCACTGCTTATGTCTCTTGCCATTATAACAAGCAGTTGTATGTATAACAGTAAACCCAGCACATGGAGTACAAAAAGTCCACTTCGTCTTCTTGAGGGGTCGACCCAGGCTCACGAAGAGTATTCGATTAGGTTTAAGCGAGGAGGATCTGAGCTGGGGATCAAATCAAAAATCAAAGGGATGAAGGACAAATTATCAGAGGCAGTTTGAAAAGAAACCCCGCCCCCCAAAACAAAAAAAAAAAAAAAAAAAAAAAAAAAAAAAAAAAAAAAAAAAGACGGCAGATTAGTCCTGGAGGACAGAAGTTCGGTGCAATATAGTAGCGCAGACGGCTGTTGGCCAGCAGATAAAATGTAAGGTACGAGCAAATCAGGAAGACCGAGAAACTGCAAGGAAACGCAACTAACCATTTGCAATGGGCAACCATCTGTCCTGCTCTTTCACCTCAAATTCCCCCTGGCCTTGAGTGTCCTGCTGTTCCTTGTCCATGTGCTCTTGCTCTTCACCTGATTGAACTTCAGGTTCCACCTCAGGTTCCTTCGAGGGAGAGGCCGACATGATTTTTAGCTGTTTGGTAACGTACAGCAGATACTAGGCTCTGAGATAGAATGGCTGTGTCTATTGCACTGTTGGCAAAACCACGTCAGAGATGCTCGCGATGGCTGTCAAACCCTTGACGCTACGGTCAACTTTGGCCAGCCGTTCGCTTCACAGCAGCCTAAATGGGGAAAAAGACAGTGTCAGCATATGTGGGGATTGGCAATGCTGCAGCTACAGCTATACCCTAACGGTGAGATCAAGGGCCACTAGTATTTGAATATGAGGATGATAATAATGATGATGATGGTGATGCAAGATGCGCCCGATATAGACGACCTGTACTCTTTTTTTTTTTTTTTTTTTTTGGGTGCCTTCCCCATAAGAAATAAACAATGCACAGACGAAGCTAATTTGATGCCCAGCGACTCTGAACCCGGTACCAAATTTCTGGGAAGGTTCTTTGGCTTGGTGTGGATGGATAAACTAGAACTTACAACAAAGTACACAGTTGTAACGTCCGCGTACACGGGAGAGGATGACGCGGGTTATGCGACACGGAGGTAACCAGTGGGTCGATGCGCACGTTGCGCAGAAGGAAAGCAGCCGAATCCAAATAATCCAATAACCCTAAGGAAGGCAATTGGGGGTTATGATAGGGGGGCGGCGATGCTTGGATGGATCTGGCGTCTCCAGTAATTGGTGTAGGAGGTTAGTAACTACTTCCATAGTATTACTCTGGAGACAGCCGCGATGGGCGCAGGCAATTGGCGAACCAGAGGTCCCTGACAGAGCAAGCCCGATCACTGGCTAGACAGTACAACGCCAATAGGAAATGGGAGAGACACTCACCAATACACAGCTTCAACCCCTAGACAGATCAATATCTGAGAAGTGAGACTTGATGCTTGATTGTCTGATTGCTGGACTGATTGATTGGACGACGGAAGGACGAATGAATGAGGATGAATAAATGGAATAAATGGCGAGAGTTAGATATGACAATTACCCCGTGACGCCAGTACCCGGTCCGTACGGTATTCTCCGTATTGTCAGGCCGGTTTCGGGGAAAGAGCCACCAGTATCCCATGACTAAGAGTGAGGGGTTGGTATTGATACTGTTCTGCACGTGATCACATTGTCATCCATCATTTTGGGTATCAGGCATGTCTCTCCGGAATTTGTTCCCTCTCTAGGTTATTAGTCCTAGATTGTCAGTCCACCGGAGACAGGGACGGTGGTGTATTAGGCATCAACCACATCATCGTCAAAAGGCGCATATAGGACATCAGAAGGCAAACAGGTGGTGTCAGCACCCATCGTCTGGCTACTACTATATGTGAGCATCTAGTATGGAGTACTCCGTACTTTCCCAAGGGTCGGACAATCCTGCAGTGGTCCTCCTGCAGTGGTCCTACTATCTACACATTAGACTTGTCTGGGTCGAAGCCATGTCTACGAGAGGACGGTGCGTGGATAGGGACAGTGGATGTTCCTACCCAATCTGCTAGCCTTTATGCATGTCGTAAATTTCAGCATGGAGGTTCCCCATCACAAACGCTGAGGTGGACGAATAATCAAAGATGAAGAGATATTTGGCAATAAGGTTCAAGGAGGGATACAGATGGCTGTCTTTGGTACCTGCTAGGTAGGAAAACTACGATACGCTGAAGACCTCTATTTGGCCATATTATTTTTCAGCTTTGCAACCCATTGAGTGGATGTATCATCATCTCAGGCTATGAGCTCCTGTGGATTCCCAAATAACCATGCATCAGCATATTGGTCGAGGCTAACGTGAAGCAGCCAGTAGGCGATTTCTTGCTCATCCTCCAATGTCCGGGCCTCACTTGTATCACTCACTGCATCCAAGGGATCATAGTTCACTTTCAACGGTCTTCTCATTTGCTCTTCCTACTGCCCTTGGATCCTTCCAATTGTCAAATCATGGGCTCTGGGCCGTTGTGATAATTCGTATTTCCATGATGGCCCCTAATTGACCCTCTCCTAGCTACTAGGCAGTTAGGAGTATGGATTGAATCTCCCCGATATAGTACTCATATACCCCATATGTGATACAGGTTACAAATCTATGTTTGATATATCTATCGGTTGAATATGTACTGTACATGAATGCATACACCGTCACAAAGGCACACAGGGACCATCGAATTTGCCCCGTCTTATCCCAGTCAAACGTACCCCGAAACGCTCCGCCAAATAAACAAGAAATCCCGTAAAAAAAAAATAAAAAAAAAATCAATTGTGGTCATGGCTTCTTCGTTCTTTGCGGGCCACGTCCTCCATTTCTGACAGCACGACGCGATTGAACTCCTCCCATCCGTCCAAGTAGATGTGGTGCCCGGAGTTTTTGATGACCACGACCTTTGCCGACCCATTGTCGGATTCACGCTCCTCCGGCGTTGCGTTCTGAAGGATGCGGCGCTTTTCTTCCTCGAGCTTCGCTTGCGCCGCCATGCCCCCTTTGACATCCATCCAGTCGTGGTCGCCATACATGAAAACAATTGGAATTCCATTTTCCCGCTGGACAGAGACAGACGGGGCCAGAGTCTGGGAGTTCGATTTCGGGTCGATAGCAGAATCCGAGGAAGATGATTGTGATGGGGATGAGTCTCGAATCTTGGCAGTCTCCCACTCCGAGGGCGAGGAAGAGGGTGACTGAATCATCTGCCGTCCAACGCCGTGGATGCGGCGGATTAAAGGACTGCGGGCAAAGGCTCCCGGGGCGAGGATATACGAAAGTGCATACTCCCCACTGCCTCGTAGGTTGAAAATTGAATACGAATAGTCATGAAGGGCCTTCGCTTCATCCGCAGGCAAGTGGGAAAAGCGTCGAGATGTCCAGCCGGATACCAGCCGTGGCCCAAGGGGTCCGGCCCAACGCACCAGCGAAAAGGGCGAGATGTTGGCATCCCAAAGGTAGGCAAACCACTTGGGCACCATCCGGCGAGGCGGACGGTTGCTAGAGGTAGTATCATTTGTAGGAGCACCTTTAAGAAGGATGTTGTTATCCCCTTTCTGCACCGACGAAGCGGATCGAGCAACGTTGCTTTGGTCCTGGGCAACCTCGTTGGCCATGGCCGACTCAGAGGGCATATCCGCCGACATGGCGTACGGGTCTTCCGGTATGCCCACTGGAGAAGCGAGAATAAGTTTATTCAATCGACCGGGATACTTGAGAGCATAGGCGACTGCCATGTAGCCACCCATACTGTGGCCTAGGAGGGTAAACCGATCTATATTGCGCTTGAGCCGCCACTCCTCCAATGCGTCCACAAACCAGTCCTCGGCCTCTTTGATGGCATGTTCACGTTTCTTCGCTTTGATGCGAAATGACGGCCGGGTGCTGCGACCCATGCCCAACAGATCCAGTGCATGAAGCTGCCACCCTTTTAGTCGACTCAGAGGCTCGAAATTCTTGTAGAAAAAGCCGAGGCCAGCTCCGTATCCATGAAGTACTACGAGATGCTGATCCACCTCCTCTCCAATCCTCTCGACCGAGAACTCATTGAGAGCCCGATTCTTTCCACTCAACTCCACCATACTGGAGCGCCAACGTCGGGGGCCGTATGGATCGTTGAGGGAATTCGCTGCCACCTCACCTTGCTGGCTCTGGTCCGCAGACTGTAGACTCCCCAGATCCCCATTGGGAGGTGTTACCGTATTCCCGGTTTGTAAGTGCGTGGGAGGTTGGTGTTGGAGGTAAGGGAGGTAGGAGAGCACCTTATGCTCAGCGGCAGCGGCAGGTAGACACGCCCACTGAAAACCCAGGCTCAGTGACTCAGTGACACGAGATATTCGCTTGGTTCAGAAACATACCCATTGGCTAAACCCTTCCTTGTAACTAAGGGGGAACCACGACAAAGGTGTAGGCGTCGCGCCGGTGCCTCGCGCCGCATGAGGGACGTCTTGTTGTTGGGAAGTCATTGCACTCTGCGGTTTACGATAATGGAACTCATCACTTGACGAGTCCAATGATTCCGATGTCACAGACGAACTGAAACGAAGGGTGACCGAAGGACTGGGTGGCGATAAAAGACGGGTGGATTCTAATGAGGCCCACGGTCGATAGCCCTGGAAGGCTAGAGAGGGGAGTCGCACGGTAGACAGCTTGTCGTGTAAGGTTCTGAGCGACAGAGGAGTACTCTCTCTCTCTGTCACTCGCAAAAGGCAGACACAAGGCTATATAGTCAGCTCTCGAAGGTTTCGGATGACGGATTGCACAAAGCCGAATGGGGGAAGAACGGGAGAACGAGGCTAAAGACCGCTTAACGCCGATGAATCGAGGCGCAGGCAAAACAAATGCCGGAACGAGAGGAAAAAAGAGCAAGAGAAAAGAGATCCAGAGAGTAGACAATCATGGGAGAAGAATCAAACTGGACCCCGATCGAACTGCGAGGACACATGAGCGCATTGGGAGGGGGAAAACACATCAATCATCAGGCCATAAGGCATTTACCCCGTGATCGCTGGTTTTTTTACCGTACGGTAAATAACGTTGCCTCCTTCGCCTCTTCAACTTCCAATCGTTGCTCATTTGGTCGTCGTGATTCCTTCTTCGTCTACTGCCTCGCAATGCGGTAGCAATTGGCCGCAGTGGCCCTTCGGTGCGTCTGTTCCACTTGTCCGGTCTTCTGGGGCTTCTCTAGGTATACCTCGAACCGCCTCGTTTAGCTCGATATCGACTTCTCTCATAGCCCTTCTCCAACCTGGAAGGCCATGGCTTCTCCAAGCCTGGATCAAATAGTCAAGGGGGCTTCTGCTTCTGATAAACCTCTCTCTTCATTGTCCACCGTGCCGGATGCTTCAACTTCTAGCCGGAGGCCCGATGTCCAAGGCTCTTTGGACCCCTCCTCCCTCCCACGTTCGTTAGCCCCAGATCCACTCTCGACAGTACCATCTTCGCCGCCCCAGATATACTTGAATCTGCTCATTCTGGAGAGTTCCCTTCGAGCGCAGTACTTGGCGTTGCGAGAACGCCGACGACAGAACACGTTTTTCCTTCTACTGCTGGCTGCCTGGATTGCCTACTTTTCCTACGCACTCTTCCTCCGGCCACGAGAAGATGGTCGCGGCGTGGGAGGCTCGGTCTACTGGGTGGTGGAAATGGGTGAGAAAGTGGCGCTTCTCGGGGGAGTTGTGACGGCACTTTTGGTTTGGGGCACTGGGCAATGGGAGCGGGGGGTACGTTGGCCGCGGCGCTGGCTCGCTGTTGCCAATCGCGGTCTCCGCAGTATGAACACCAAGATCGTTGTGATCAGGGGTTCCTGGTGGCAGGAGCTGCTGTCCTATCTCTCCTTTCTCTTCCCTTTCTCCATGCCTTTCTACCCTTCCCCCATTGGAGACTTCCATTACATAGAACGGCCGACGGCCGAGAGACGGGCTGGTGGTCGGCAGCACCACCAGCCATATCATAACGTGGACCCCGAATCGGGACTCGTGGAGGAAGATCTGAGTCCGGGAGGTGACTACATCCGGTTACTTCTCTTACCCAAATCCTTCTCTCCGGAATTTCGAGAAAACTGGGATGACTATCGGACCGAGTATTGGGAAAAGGAAAATGAACGCCGAGCTCAACTGCGCCAGAGACTCCGCCAGAAAGAACGCTTACTAGCTCAGCAAGAAGAAGGCTGGTTTGGATGGATTGGTTTCGGGTGGAAGGCAGCACGACGGCGACGACTCGCAGCGGCAACACTCAATAGGTCCACCGATGGGGATAGGCACCGCCATCATCATCAGCACGCCAGTATCTCCAAACTCAGCCACGAACTCAAATCCCCGGTCCGGCGTGGCACGCGCTCGGACTCTCATTCACGCACGTCTTCCCGGAGCAGCACTCCGGTGGACCTTGATGACCGGCCTCCATCCCGGTCATCAATGAGTGGCCGTCCCCGGCGAGGAAGTACCCCGAGCTCAATATCAAGTATCTCAGAGCAGAGTCCTCAGCAGCGGAGAAAGAAAGGATCGAAACCCGTGACGCGTGGGCTGTCACCTTTGACACAGGCGCAGATCAGGGAGGGAGTCCGCACAGCGTCGTTCTCGTCCGATGATTCTTCGATCATCGGCATAGGAAGTGAAAAAAAGAAAGTCAAGGAGGAGCCTATTGAAAGCTAAAGCCGCAAACCGGCTGGATTCGTCACCCTTGCATGCTTGTGTTGATATAATAATACCCATACTGAACTGTTGGATGCATGATACACATTGATTGGAATACTGTCACGGTTATATGTCCCTCCTCTCTCTTCGTTTTGTCCTCCCTTTTTTTGCTCTGCTCCTACTCCGAAACCCGTGATGCCGCATTTACATTGGATTTTGTCAATACCATGGGCCTGCATAAGCAAAATATGCCACTGCGTACTACCGGCCAGTTTATATCCTTTTGGTCAATTTGTATAAATATCTCTATATCAAGTTATTTTGCACCAATTATCTGACTATTCTGATTCGCACGTTATCTAAAGTGCCCAGTTGAACTCTGTACGACAGAACAAAGAACCCCACAACGCCATACCAGGCTCCCCATCAGCAGATATCGGAGAAATAAAAAGGATGAAAACTTATATCATGGCTGCCGTAATCCTTTCCAGCTCCAGTCCACAATTGAATCCCTAAAACTCTGATTAAATTCTATAAACCGTCTCGTCATCCTCCAGATACCTGCAAAGTGTTAGCCACATGCGTTTGGACTCTTTGATTTCAGGTCTACTTACATCAGCTCGTTTCTCTCATTCATAGCATTCAGGGCCTGGATAGCTTCTGCTCGCTGGAAAACATGTGCTTCACCGAGCGTGTGGTTGCTGCGGATCGCAGTATTGACAGCCCCGATAAGCTCCTCTACGTCAGCAGTTTCACCATTAGTGAACAGACGTGTTCCCATCAATGGACCTAGGGCCTTGCGGAAGGCAATCAGGCGAGCAGGCTGCAAGGGTTGCGATGAAGCGCTGACGGCGGATGCTGCCTGGGATTGTGAATTGTCTGTCTGAGACTGAATGAGCTGCGAAGCCGGTCGGGAAGAGGCCACAGACATCTGAGATTGGCTCAGTGTCTGTCTGCGGGTGGTCTGGCTTGATCGGATTCGTTGGCCACGAGGGCTGGCGCTGTATAAGCCATCACCATTCTCCGAAACGTCATCCCCGTCCGCATCCATCTCCTCGGCGGTGGAACGGGCGGCTGCACGCGTACTTAAGTTTCCGCTTCGTCGCGTGGATCGCGTGCTCGGAATATTAGCTGGTGTATCGTCGTCGTCATCATCATCATCGGAGTCCGAACCACTGGATGCAGAGTCGTCATCAAAGTTGGTGACCTTTCTTCTCTTCCGGCGTTCATCCTCCACGACTTCTTTGAACATTGCAAACCGCAGAATGGATTCAGCAATCTTAGCATCACGCTCCTCCACTCGGTTCGACAATCGAGACTTTGCATGAGCAGTAGATAAACGGATCAATGTCTCCAAAGTACGAGCGGTGATTGGGGATGTCTTGCGTTGATTGCCGGTTAGTTCGTCGTTTCTCAGTGCCGAGTACGTCGTAACAATGTGATCGGCAGCCCCCTTTGTCAAGACAGGCTTGACTCGCGATTTCGCATACTGGATATATTTCTTGACGAAGGGGATGCTCAGGATTTCAACCTCGTTCCGCTTACTCCGGCTCGAGCTGGCCATGCCAGCGTGGAGCATAACGTTGAATTTCTCAAAGACTTCCGTCGGTTGGTTCGAGTCCTGGTTATCTTCGAGTCCAACTCCCAGGCTTTGGTTGAGCTGCTCCCTAACCGGAGCACCTTCCTCAACACCAGGCTGACGGTAACGATGCATGCGCAGGACATGTTCCGATACCAATCGGTCCCGGGAATCTTCAATATCATCAGTCACGACGAAAAGCAAGTCGAAACGCGACAAGAGAGAATCCGGCAGAGCAATATTCTTGTGAGGGTCTTTGTGGGGATCATATTGTCCGTAGATCGGGTTAGCCGCAGCCAGGACACTGCACCGAGCGTTCAAACTTGTGTGGATACCAGCTTTCGCAATCGTGACTGTTTGCTGCTCCATGACTTCGTGAATAGCCACACGGTCCACGTCACTCATCTTGTCAAACTCATCGATACAAACGACACCCCGGTCAGCGAGGACCATTGCACCAGCCTCCAGTCTCCGTTCGCCAGTCTCCTTATCCGAGGTCACAGCAGCTGTGAGACCAACTCCCGAAGATCCGCGACCAGTAGTCGCAATTGCAAGAGGCGCAGTGTTCAGGACGAAACGGAGAAGCTGCGATTTGGCAGTTGAAGGATCACCGACCATCAGGATATTAATATCACCACGCAAATGTGTTCCATTGTCTAGGTTTTTCTCCATACCACCAAGCAGCATCAGTAAGATTGCCTTCTTAATATAGTCATGGCCATAAATACTAGGGGCGAGCGAATGAGACATCAGCTCAAAAATATTTTTCTTCTTCGAAATTTTATTGATGTTGCGAATATCAGTGTCAGTGATGGTGGCTTGCGCAATACCTCCGCCGGATTTGGAAGACAGCTGGATGACATTATTTGCCAAAACAAGCGTTCGGAAAGTCGACGAGCCGGAGTTCGCATTTCGATTTCCAAGAGAACGGTATATACCAACCAGCTGAATCCTGTCTCCGGGTTTGGCTCGATCTACCAGGTCGTCATCGAGGATCACGTCCACGCTTCGGGGCAGTTGACCGGCGGGAGCTCTTTCGGGCATTTCTTGTATCGAGATCGTTTGGTGGTCCATATATGTACAATAACCATACTCGGTGATGAGCTAGGGGCATAGGTATTAGTATCGAGCAATAGATCTGGAGATTATCGGCACATACTGGGTTCTTTTCATCATCTTCCTGGGGGTAGACATTCAAGTTTGTCCCCCCGCTAGCTGTCATTGTCTGATCCCTGTATTTTCTCGCAAGGAACCGATCCTTTCGCTCACTGTAATGAACGCTCTGAATCACCTTGGGTCGAACCAGGGAGCATTTGGTCACAATTCCTTCCAGGGAAATCATCCTATTCAGATGAGAAGATCCGAGCGTTCTGGGGTTACAGGAAAATTCTCCAAGCGCTCCAACGTAAGCGCAATAATAATTCTGCGCTCTGTTAACTTCCACACGGCTGGAGATATAAACGGAGAAATGCATACTACATCGTCCGACGTCGAGGCTCGATTGGGCAACGTCTTGATGATATCTTTCAAGGCTCTGTCGAAGGCCTGTGAGTAGTCGAATGGGGAAGTGAGCAGGCTATATTCCAAGTTAGCGGGCTATTCCATGTTCGTATGCTATCAAAACCTACCCATCGGCTAGTTCGCGGCTATGAGCTCTAATTTCATCGATGCTAACCTGCGGGAGAAGAAATTTTTACTTTCACCTCTTCTAATCACAGAACACGATCATGCAGTCAGGTGAACTTACTGTCAAACGTCGTAGCCCCCGATTCAACATCAAAACAATATCAGCCCGATAACTGGTTTCTGGTCAGACCAATAATCCCACGATGTTCGCCACTAGTCGAAAAAGGGAGGTTCGTTCTAGGGGCATACGGACCTTCGCGCTCTAGCATCACCTGGACAGGAACGCAATCAGCACAATGAATAGAGAGAAACAACACCTTCAATACTTACTTGGATCAAGGAACTCGGTGGCGGCGCGCACTCGATCTTGAGTGGCCTCATCACGGAGTTGTACTCCGTCCATGGTTAAGGTTCTTGTCCCGGTGAGGCTGAGACGGGTTTATAAGAAATTGAGAAGGTCGACTTTGTCCGATGTATACGGCGATCCAAAGAGGCCCGTGGTAGTAACCAAGCACACAGATACCCAGTGGTGGTTCTTGTTCTCCTTCAGAGCCAGAGGAGAGTGTGGGATGGCGAGGAGCTTTCTCGAAAGACACGACGTCCTAATTAGGTAGAATTGAAACGCGTGCGTCCAGGCCGGACGCGTTTGAACGCGGTATTTGTACTGAGTCAGCACCCTAACTGCAATGGGTAATTTTCTGGTACTTTGTACAACTTGCTTACTAAAATGCCACACGAGAGACAATTGAGCAGGATGAATGCTGTTACATTGCTCGTATTCACGAACATGATGTCGGTATGTATTGCAGTATAGTACAGTTTGTGATATATATACAAAAACACCATTCCTATGCACCCTGGGAAACACCAGTGCTTCACAAATTCTCATCCTCCGATCCTCCGTTCATGAGACGGCGCGTCTTCAGTGTCTTGACCATCCTGCTTAAGAGGGTGAATTTCATCCAACAATGCAATTCTCTCATCGTGATAGATCTGGTTAGAACTCTCCCGATGCTCATTGTCCAAAATCTCATCGTTCGCTTCATTGGATTTGCGCCTGATCCCCAAAAGTGACTCAGCCTCAGTATCATACTCGTCCTCGGGGCTAATGGTTTTGTCGGAAATCGTCGACGTGCTGCCCAGAGGGAGGCTGTCATTAATATGGTAACCATCGCCCTCGGAAAGAGCAATTTGCTCCTCACTTGGCGTAGGCTCAATTGCCGAAGAGTCGTCATCTAACTCAATATCTTCCTCACACGAATCATGCTCTTCCTTTGCTGGCTGATGCATAGTTTCGTCCGGGTTTGGAGCCCTTCGTCGACCTCCCACGCCGAGGATACCACCAGTCCAAACGAAAGGTTCAAGTATATTTGTATCATCTTTATTATCACCTTGTTCCTGACGACGTCGAAGCAACACGCCCTGGAACCGTTCGCGTAGGTAGGGCATGTTAGCAATTGTCTCAATGGTTTTCGGTGCCGCTTTATAGAGATTTTTTACTTCAGCACCTCCATCGTGGATACTCCTCTCCCGGAACCCAAGGAGGGCAGACGCCAAATATACCATAGAAACATAGGTGGGCTGCATGAAATCTGGTTGAATCTTGCTCCAGTACCGCCGACTCTCCTTGCCAAAAACGTCGGGGTGTTTCCCACGCCTTGGGTTCTTCTCTATGACGTCAAAGGTGGCAGGTACGCCAGCAGGCTTCACCCCATACCCTCGACGAAGGTTCTTCCATCCTGGGAAGTTAGGCATGAACTTCTGTTCGAAGACGGTAAAAGCCTCAACTTGATCCGAAGGCTTGTCAGAAGATGCAAGCATCTGCACGTATGTTGACCAGTTAAAAGTCGTCAGACTAAAGCCGGCCTTCTCAACCTCCGCTACAACTTGGCGGATTTTCCATGGCTCATTCAGATAGGCTAAAGACCGCATGTATAGAGATAGCGGCCAAGACAGAACGAATTTATATGACGGCAGCACTGAAGATTTCTTCTTCGATCGGGAGAGATCAACCGTATCTGGCCCTATTAGCATTTCCTGCTCGCCACGGACCGATATTGGCAAAGAGGGCCGAGGTGGACTAGCACTAGAGGCCAACTGTTCAGAGAGCCATTCATCGACAGTGGAGCGGCTAGCTATCTTTCTGGCGCGGGGGAAAGCCAACTCCCAACATTCTTCAACCTTCTTGTATTGCTCGGCCTTCATGTGTGCAAGCATCAGTGCGACAAGCAGATGAATTGGCGCTATATCTTTGGCATCCTCTGGAGAATCCGGAGGATGTTGACCGTTTACGAACTGATCAAACAGCGCCCTGGCCCTTTCCGACGCTCCTCTCGTTCCATAGGCCGTGATTATATACTCGTAGTACATAGCAGGGAAGGCAATGCGAGGAGGCTTCCTCCCTGCACCCGGCAAAGGTTGTTTGGTTGCCAGCTTGGTGGTGTTGAACTCTGCGATGGTTTCGGCAAGGAACATCTCAGCATTCTCCAAGCGAATGTTGGCAGCGTTAACTTGCCTACCACAATCCTGGACGAGCTGCAAATCTCGATGGATCTGACTCTTGAGAACAAGGAGCTGAGAACTAAATCCCGGTCGGTCAAAACGCTCTTTGATTTCACGAAAGATAATGTGCACCATGTCACGATTTCGAGCCTTGACATAGCCATAGAGAATTATGGCGTAGTGAAATTCTGTGGTGTACATTTGGTAGCTTCTGTGAAGCTTCCGGAGAATGCGCCGCGCTTCGTCTGTCTGCCCTGTGAGCACCAGACTGAGCATGAGGGCGGCATAAGTCATCCCATCTGGCGACAGGCCGTTCGCATCCATGCGTGAGCGGATCCTAGAGATAGATTCCAAGTCCATCCGGAATGCATGATTCCAAAGTAGCACATTCCACATTCTCACACGCGAGCCCTTCACATCCAACCCGAGACATATTTCTGCAACGCTCTCGGCCAAATCGAGTCTCTGATTGTTGCAGTATGCCTCCACAATGGTATCAAGCAACGGGGCGGTCATCTGCACCTGCCTTTTCTCAGCCAGAGCAAGCAGCTGACGGACGGTATCGATATCGCCCCTATTAGCACATAATCCCATTACCGTGCCGAACGTGTGAGGATTGGGTGTCGCCCCCTTTTGGAGCATCTGCTTGAACAATGTAAAGGCTCCTTCGAGGTCGTCGGATCTAGCATATGCAGCGAGGACTATATTCCAGCACACGGTGTTTTGCTCGAGGCCGAATTCCTCCGAGATCCTATTGAATTGACGGACCGTTTCTCGTACATTTCCAGCTCTCGCATGAACGTAGAGGAGTGGAGTAAGGAGTCTCCGGCTTAATGGTTTACCGTGATCTGAGATATAATTTTCAAAGATTTGCGTGACCTTTCCCACGTCGCCAGCTTTAGAAAATGCTGCGAGGGCAATCCTATACGCATCCACGGTCGGTTTCCCATAGAAATGGGTGAATTCATCCAAGAGATACTGGATGCCGGTCGTGATTTCCAGCGAGGCCAGGCGTTGTATAAGTTGAAGGAGAAGCTCTGCAGGTGGGACATCTCCCTGCATCTGCCAGCGAAAGTTACGATACAATAGGATGGATCGTACGGATATTGTTCTGATCTGAGATGACTGGAGACTGTCGATAAGTTTGAAATAGTGCTCGGGGGTGAGGATAAACAGCGAGCTAAACTTTCGTAACAGAAGCAACAGCGTTTCAGTCGCTGTACTGTGCACGGCCTCTGGAGTAGCGAAAGCATGGGAAAGTAAAAACTGGGCAAGACCGTAAGCCCGGCTATTTAATGGTTGGTCTTCCAAGAACGTGGAAAAGGTAAGCAAGCTCTTTGGCATGTCAGGAGCAGCCAAATGTTGCGCAACGGGTCTCCACAGCTGATCCTCCATGGATAGTGGCCTCAAATCCCATATATTTAGCGCCGCTTCCCACTCGGTGCTCCTGACAAAGTTTGCCAAGGCAAATCCCCAGCATGGGATACCTTGGCCCTTAGAAATTGCCTTCTTACAGGTGCTGATTACACCATATGGACTCCCGGTCGTCAAATAAGACCTTGCCATGTGCAGATAATCGTCGGCCAATCGAGAGTCGAAAGCAATCCCGCGAAATAATATTTTCGCTCGTCGATGATCTACATCGTTCCCAGAGCGACTTAAAAATGCAAGAAGAGCAGGGTTTACGTCGAGGGGGTGACCAGCTGTCTCATAAAGCATCCATGCTTTATCATACTCCTCGGACTCATTATCTGCCAGGAGGGCCAGAAGATTCCTCTTGGCCTCTTTCCTTCCGCCACGTTTAATATAATGGCTATGTACCATCTTGTCTGTTCCGGCAGCTTGGGCGAGGCAGGCAGCCTCGGTTGCGTAATTTCTGGACAGGCTGAGGACGGCTTTTTTCCTTCTTCGAGCAGGTAGTCTTCTGGGAGAGCGGAGCAAACACAACGCCGCAAAGTTTTGCGTCCGCGGAGGATAGAGAAAATCTAGGAAGGGAGACCGCGCATCATTCGTGCCTGTGCCTGTGTTTGTGGTAGGCCTCAGAGGACTTGAGGGTCGCGTGGGCTTCGTTTGCAAGGAAATCAGAAGCCAATGGAGACAGTCAATGACTGGACCACCCGAATGGCCCAAATTGGCATATAAGGACTTTGGACTTCGGAGAGCGCCATTTGAATCCCAGAAGAGACGCCGTCCTGCGTTCTCAAGGCATCCGCCAGCCCGTTCCAGCATTACCCCCAGTACTTGCGGTGTAAAAACCCAGGAATCACCGAAATATGAAAAAGAAGCGTAGCATATCGGTCCCAGGATCCCTATTATCCCAGCGGAAAGGGTTAGGTACCGGACATCCAAAAACTCGAGGAATGGTGGACGTACCAGAGTGAAGTATTCTTGTGCACGAAGCTCACAAATTACTACCCAAATGGCTCCCCACTGGTAGAATAAGAAACTCGATGGACAGCTGGGAATACAAGCTAGATGGACAAGGGGGAAACGAATGTCCACCGGCGTAAATGGCGTGGTGTTGGCACGGGTGTGAAATTTTGCGAGGTGTAGAAAGAAGCAGCAAGATTGGCCGATGCTGGAAAAGAGAATCCCGCGAAATCAGTCGGGCATTCGTTTGGCCGAGAACTGACCACGCCAACCCGCACTCTCCAGATCGAAACCCACCCACTCCCATTGTCTGGTCTCCCAGCACCATGGACATCACCGGCTTTGTGTTTGTCCAGCGCGAGGATGTTCTCCTCGCTGGTGACTATAATGCCTATCGTGCTCACTTAACTCGCAAGTTGCACAAACTCCACAAGAAGCTTGGTCGGACCACTCCCAAAGGTCGAAAATACACTGCCAAACCGCCGGTCAGTGCAGAAAACATCAATAATAATGTGGCGTATGCTTCCTCTCTCTCTCTCTCTGTCTCTCTCTGTGTCTCTCTATGTGTGTTTATTAACTAACTCGTCTTCTATAGTTATGTCCATGTCCTCCTCTTGAACTCCGAACGAGCATGGGCACAGGCCATGCACATGAAGTCCGCACACTCCGCAGATCCGTCAGCGAAGGGGATTGTCGGGGCTGTCAGGCGCCAGGTTGTCTCACGACTTAGTAAAGCGACGGGTTACGCGAAACAGCTGGTTCTCCTTCTAGAGGATCAGGCGTCTTCAGGTGCTACTGACATTGATGTCCTCGAAGCACGCGCTTACCTTGCAACACTCTCGGGAGCTCTATCTCTTGACAAGCGCAAGTGGAAACAGTGCGTGGAGAACTACTCCATTGCTAAGGTTATTTACACAGCTCTTGGTCAAAAATCTAAGCAAGATGCCTTTCGGGACCTAGTGTCCAGTACTGTCGACCCCAGCCTAAGGTACGCAGCATATCAGATGAAACTTCCCCGGTCGAAATCTCTCTCCTCTTTGGCCATCAGTTTCTTCCCGTCGGACGCTCACGTAAGGGCTGAGATTGGGAAAGTGGACCCCAATTGCTTTAACGAGGAGGCTTCGGGAGCGCAGAAAACAGCCAATGGGGAGGTGCAGCAGCTTCCTGAACATATTACGTGGAGGTCCCGGACGGTGGCGTTGGAGGATGCAGCGATTTCTCAGGCTCTTGCGGCGGCAGCAGCAGCAGAATCTCGCCTTACCTCGTGGCTTGTCGACGCGTCGGGCAAATCTGCTTCTTCAAAGGACAAGGCTGCTGCCTATGATAGTGTCATTATTGCAAGCCAGGATGCGGTCGACGCAACTAAGACGGCCATAGATGATCTTGTCGCTGAAGGCGTAGACTCAGGAGACAAGAGAATGCAGAACTTGCAAGTTACCCGGACCGCGGTGAATTATGCCCTGGTGGGATGGCGAATCGGACGCAACCGCGTTTTGTGCGGTGAACAAGACGGCATTTCTTTCGACACCGATCAGATCAAATCGCGCAAAAGTGGAAAGACTCCAGGGAAACACGACGAAGCCAAGGGTAAGAAGCTAGCGCGCCTACGCGAGAAGGTCGTTTTGTACGATTCTACTCTACAGAGTATCGAATTTATTCTAGAGCTACCGGGAGTTGCCGCAGATTCTGTGTTCGTGGAGGAGATGGAAGCCAAGAATTCTTACTTCCGTGCTTTGAGGTAGTATACACCGTTTCCCCAAGACCAAGCGGGTTGTTCTAATGTAGTTCCAGGTGCCTTGCCATCGGACGGTCTCACGCTATACTTGGAAAGTCCCAGAACGCGCTTGCATTGTTTTCGCAGGCCCTGACGCTTTCTTCGGAGTTGTCCAGCACGGTTCAGCCATCGGCCGAAGGACCACCTCGCCTGGACGTTTCGCGCAGCCAGTTCCAAACGTTAGCGTCGACTTTGCAAGGATTGGTCGCACAGTACCGTGGTCTTGTTACATTAGAGAAACTGTCCGAAGAACAGCAGTCGAAGTCTGCCAGCCAACGTCCTGCGATTGAACGGCTGCACGAATATTCTGGCGATGGATTGGATTTCGCCAATCTCGTCCCGTATCCGCCTCAGATGCAACCGATTCCCGTGAAGCCCCTCTTCCTGGACGTTGCATGGAACTATATTGATTATCCCCGGGAGAGTGCCACCGGCCAGGATGCCCCTCCGATCCAGGCTGAGCCCGAGACGGAGAAGAAAAGTGGTCGGCGAGGCTGGTTTGGCTTTGGGCGTTGAATTCAGGGGTGTGTCTGTATTTACTACGACATGTCTAAACATCTGTGAATAGATATGACAGCGGCTCAAGTGTTTGCACTGGGTAGTTTAATGAAGCAATCCGTGGCATCTTGTGTTGGTGCCTTTCATAATTCTTTTTCTAATTTAGTTATCATCATAGAATCAGGCAAGGCACGTGCACCGGAGGCCCCGGAGAAAGCGGGAGGTTGACAGCCGAATCACCTGTGCGCCAAAAGTAATAGCAGCGCTTTACACAGATGTAGTTAGAATATTAAATCCGTAGTTGTGTCGCGTGAAAGTTGGATTGATCGTAGTGGGCACAGGAAAGAGGTCCTTTGCATCCAACTCATACGTGCATTGCAATTACAGATGCTGTGTAATCGAGGTCTGTGTTAGTAGGAAACCCCGCGCACATCAAAGGCCACTCGATTGACACCTCCATGGTACCTGTCCATACACGGCTGGAAGCCCGGAGTCCTTGGTACCACTCAAGTTCCTGTATGGGAACTGCCCCGTGATTGGCCCCTGGCACGGGATTGCCCCTTCCGGGTATCACAACATTTCATTCATTCTTTTTTTTCTCTCCTTCTCTTGCGTCCCATCCCCCTATCCATACATCCATCCATCCATTCATTCAGTCATTCCTTCCTTCCTTCCTCTCCAACGTCGCCGTTGCTCCTCCGGGATTTTCGACGTCTCCGTCAATTCCTTTCTCCTCCCTCCTTGTTCCGCTTCCCCCTTCTCTCCTTTTCCGCCTCCCACCCGCCGGAGTGTTACTCGATTATGGCCAGCGTCAGTGGGAGTTTCGTCTCGCCGGCCGCCGATGCGACCGTCACTCCCCAGCTTCTCAGGGCTGGCGGTCTCGCCGCATCCCTTCTCGAAGGCTTCAATGTCTGGAAGGCCATCTTGACTCTGTTCATTGCGGCCGTGATCTATGACCAGCGTGAGTGAGAGTCTGATTCCCCACGCAGATTTCACTTTTCCCGGAACTGCCATTGCTGACTTTACGGGGGCAATTGCAGTACGATACGTTTGGCAGAAAGGTTCCATTGTCGGTCCCGCATGGAAACTCCCCTTCATGGGCCCATTCCTACAGTCGGTCAACCCCAAATTTCATGAATACAAGGCCAAATGGGACAGCGGAGAATTGAGCTGCGTTTCCGTCTTCCACAAGTAGGTTCACCCCAAAGCTGGCATGCTTGCTACCGAGCATGGTATGTGGACCGGTTCTGACGACTCTTTTGACAGATTCGTCGTCATTGCCTCCACCCGTGACATGTCTCGAAAGATCTTCAATTCGCCGGGCTATGTCAAACCCTGCGTGGTTGATGTAGCGCACAAGCTACTCGGTAGGACCAACTGGGTGTTCTTGGACGGTAGGGATCACGTCGAGTTCCGCAAGGGCCTGAACGGTCTCTTCACCCGCCAGGCTCTCTCGTGCTACCTGCCACGCCTGGAGGAGGAGTATAACCGGTACTACAAGCACTTCCTCGAGAAGTCGGCAGCCAATAAGCATGAGCCCACTCCATGGATGCCGGAATTCCGTGAGCTCATGTGTGCTGTTTCTTGCCGTACGTTTGTTGGCCACTATATTAGCGACGAGGCCATTAAGAAGATTGCCGATGATTACTACATGATCACGGCCGCCCTGGAATTGGTCAACTTCCCCTTCATCCTGCCGTACACCAAGGCTTGGTATGGCAAGAAGGCCTCTGACATGGTCCTGGATGAGTTTTCAAGATGTGCGGCGAAGAGCAAGGCCCGCATGGCCGCCGGCGGAGATGTGACCTGTATTATGGATGCCTGGGTTAAGGCTCAGCAGGATTCCGCCAAGTATCGGGAAAAGATCGCGCAGGGGATCCATGTGGACACCAGCGAGAAACCCCCCCAGGTCCTTCGTGATTTCACCAACTACGAGATTGCGCAGACTATCTTCACTTTCTTGTTTGCCTCTCAAGATGCTACCAGTGCGGCCTCCACGTGGCTCTTCCAACTCATGGCGGATCGCCCGGATGTCTTGGACAAGGTCCGTGAAGAGAACCTGCGCATGCGCAACGGCGATATCAACGCCCCCTTGACGATGGAGCTGCTAGACAAATTGGAGTACACTCGCGCCGTGGTCAAGGAAACCCTGCGGTACCGACCGCCGGTCATCATGGTCCCATACATGGTCAAGAAGGACTTCCCCATCACCGATAAGATCACCGTGTCAAAGGGATCAATGATCATTCCGTCCGTGTGGCCCGCCACCCATGATGAGGAAGCATATCCCAACCCTGACACCTTTGACCCGGATCGCTGGATCACGGGCACCGCCGAGCAGCACCCCAAGAACTGGCTCGTTTTCGGCACGGGACCTCATTACTGCCTGGGCCAAACATATGCACAGCTAAACCTGATGGCCATGATTGGCAAGGCGAGTCTCGAGATGGACTGGGAGCACACCCCCACTCCCGAGTCTGAAGACATCAAGGTGTTTGCTACCATCTTCCCCCAGGTATGTTTCTTCCTGTACAATGCATTCCGGCACTCTGCTAATTGCTGGTTAGGATGACTGCCTTCTCTCTTTCCGTCCCCGTCCTCATCCTTAGTTATGCCCCTATGTGATTTACCTCTTCTCTTTACATTTCTCTGTTTCTTTTCTTTTCTTTTTTTTGCCATTCGAAGCTTCGGCTCATCCTATTGTTTCTGCGCTGTCGCATCGGGCGAGCAGTGTCTAGAGCTAGGCCTTCTTCTGTTTGGTTGGACAGCAGTCCTCCGCATGGTCCTCCATTGTCAAAATTTCTATCCTGGAGATAGAATGACCGAAAGCTTTCTCTTTTTGGTTTTCTTTCTGTTACTGTACAGAACCTATTTATATTAATACTGGGTTTTCCCGCGGCCCTCTTTCTTTGTCTTTTTTAACCTGTGAAGGAGGCTCAATCCGCCGGGTCAAGATGGTCCGGGTACATAATATGGAACGATGCATGTGGGAACATCCGCATTACGAATGAAGAGATGGACCACTAAGATATGGTATTTAGAATAATAGTAATTGCCGATTTTGAAGTCCGATTGTAGTGGTCCTTTCCATTGTAGCGTGTGACAAACCAATCCAAAAAATAAACGCTGGGTAAGTCCACTTAATAAGCGAAAATGAGCGAAGGAGCACTCCATGAGTATGTATCGTCGATCCTGAGAACTTTACTTTGAAATGGGATTCCTATTGTGTGGGGATACACTGGCAGAGTCATCGGTGACGAGATACGAGGGGCTGAGTATAAGGATCTACATATGCCACTGCCACTGCTACAGCCATTCCACTGCACAACGGCAACATCACTCCTGACTGAATCGAACGTATTCCCAAACATGGCAGACCGATCGCTCCAGTACGGTATGTTCTTCCTTTGTTACATGGTATATAAAGGGTATCCTCGAACTGATCCGATTCAGTGACTCTGGACGTCTTCACAAGCACCAAGTATGACTCACCTCCATTGATTGATTCCACACACTGAATTGCAACAGACTACAAGGAAACCCCGTGGCGGTTGTCCTTCTCACCGGCGACGTAGAGCTCCCAGAATCAAAGAAACTCCAAATCACGCGCGAATTCAACATCTCCGAGACGGTCTTTCTCCATCCCGCGGTTCATGGCCAGCCTCCTCGGATCCAGATCTTCACTTTATCGGGGGAATTGAACTTTGCAGGCCATCCGACCATCGGAGCAGCGCATTATCTATTCCAGAAGGAACTCTTGACAGGGCCTCTTCCAAGTCCTAGTCCTCCTAGTTTAACTCTAGGGGACGATAATTCTCTAGATATAGACACCAAGGCGGGGCCCGTTCGCGTACAATTCCATCCTGCGGAGAACACCGTCTCGGCGGATATCCCGTTCAACTTGCATGTGCATTCCGGATGCGTACGGAAAGATGCTCTTCTTGCTACGCAGCCGAGGATAGCAGGAGGAGGGGATAATAATCCAGATACGGATCTATCGAAGGGTATGCGCAGTGACTACCCGCTTGTGTCTATTGTGCGCGGCGTGACCTTTGCCCTGGTTGATCTATCGGAGGACCTCATGGCGGCGGTCGCAGCGGGGGCTTCACCCGCTGTAGAGCTGGATAGGGACTGGGCGCCGTCGTTTATTAGCACGATGTATTATCGAAGGATGGTGATGAGAGGCCAGGAAGAGACGGAAGAGGGGACTGTGGAAAGATTGCATGTGCGCACGATTGCGATTGGATTCGAGGATCCGGCGTGTGGGAGTGGAGCTTGTGCATTGGCGGCGTATCTCGCATTGCAGAGGGGAGGGAAAGGCAAGAAATATCGGTATCAAATCGATCAGGGGATGGAAATCGGACGAAGAAGTCGCATTGTCGTTGACGTGGTGCTTGATCGTGAGGGGACGGGCGTAGCGAAGGTGATCATGACTGGGGAGGCGACGGTTGTGATGGAGGGGAGATTGCGATATTGATCTTTAGTATTTTGTTTTGAATAGATCCCCTATATTCCGTGGGATAGCTTTGTAAATGTATTCCCGAGTACGAACACTTCAACTGCTGCTCTCTTGAAGAATTCCCGGCCGATACATAGTACTGGTAGGCGGTGACCCGCCGATTGACATCACCGAACCTCGCCGATTGAACCCGGCCGACATCAAGATCAGACATCAACATAGCCCATTCTCACCCAATAAAACCCACCTTACATCTTCTCTCCGGACAAAATTGACATCATGATCTCTCGACGTCCACTGACGAAGCTATTCACACGCGGGATGCAGTCTGTCTCGCGCACCCCGTCAACCACACCGGCGCTCTCCCGAGCCCTCGGCTCAGGCTCAAGAAGCCTGTCTTATACACCGCATACCACGTTATCTCTACGACCGCAGCGGAATCAGAGTCGGAATCAGAACCAATATCGATCCCAGACGGTCCGACAGAAGAGTGATGATGGGATTTCCTTGAAATCCTACGGTTTTGAAGATGTATACCCCCGTACTTATCCCAGATAATCCAATTCAACAAGCTAATAAGGATGTATAGATCACCGCCTCCCTCCCCTCCGACTCTCCCTCCCCCCCTTCATCACCCCAGAAGAACCTCATCCTCGTGGACGTGCGCGAACCTGTCGAACTGACCGCTACGGGCATCATTCCCTCTGCCATCTGCGTGCCGCTGGCATCGCAGCCGGACGCCCTCTTCCTGACCCCGGATGAGTTCGAGACACGCTTCGGGTTCCCCAAGCCCGGCGCCGACCGGGAGAACCGGAATACGGATATCGTCTTCTACTGTAAGGCTGGGGTGAGGGCTCGCGCGGCGGCGCAGTTAGCCGTGCAAGCGGGTTACGATCCTGATCGTATAGGGGTTTACGATGGGAGTTGGTTGGATTGGGCGGAAAAGGGAGGGAAGACGGAGAAGTGGGAGGGAGGGGATTATGAGTAAATTGATTGGATCTGTATTTTAGGATGCTTTTCTTCTTGTTGTGGGTGTCAGTGTATGAATGACTCGGAATCGAGACACGGATGTTTTGTATTTGGTTTTAGATAAAATGATATTGGAACAGAGAGATGTCTGGTTATGTATCCGATGTCCTGAATACAATCCAATTTAAAATGTGCATAGCAAGTTGAAAAACCATATTACGGAAGACTATTATAACCAACAATCCATTTGACTAAATAAAAGTATCATAACACATTGAAATCAGACGCCTGCCCTCGTAGGCATTGCTTTTAGACAGTCATTCATCCATTCCTCATGCATCCAGATCTATCCTCCACCTTTTTCATCTAAATTCATCATGCAGTGCATTACGTGACAGCACACCCTAATTCAAGACACATGAAATCAAATCGCTATATGGTTAGGCATGTACAGACGCATACCGAAACTCGTCCAGCCTGTCCCAGGAATTATAGAACTCTCCTCTGTCCATCCCGCAAGCCGCCTTTGCAGGTAGTTGCAGGGGGGCAAATAGAATGAGGCCAATCACCTAGAGTTCAGACAGGACGACCCAGCTGCGTAGGCAATCAAGGAATGTCGAATACGGGCTTGAGCTTCTTGACAAGTCCCCATTCCTCCATGGACACGTCGGACCGGTAGAATTCCTTGAGGGTATCGATACTGGCGCGGGAAATGTGAGAGTAGAGTAAGTCCTTCTCTTCCAGATGACGGCCGTACATCGGCTGGTTGCTGCCCTCGATCTTGACGGCGACGGACGGCTGGCCTTTCTTTGCAATGGGAACCGCTTTGTGGTCACGCTCGATGGATACCCTATGAACAGCTGGTCAGTCTACTTTCCCAGGGGGTAGAACCTATATCAACATACACTCGGCCAATGTCGATAATCTCCTTCGCTCCAGTCACCGGGTTAGTCTTGATGGCTGCGAGAGGCGTGTGCATCCGAAGACTTCCTTCCACAACATCAATACCGACGACAATCGGATCCTTCTTGTTGAAAACAGCCACCGGTCTGAGCACACAGGGGAACACAGCAAGGAGCTTGCTCTCCTCCTTTCTTCTCTCCGCCAACTCAGCCATGTGCTTAGTGAATTCATCGAACAGGTGGTAAATGATGTCTGCAGTAAAGATCTTTACCCCAATTTCATCGGCGTAGGCGACCGCTTCCTTGTCCACTTTGACGTCGAAGCAGAGCATGACCGCGTACTCCTTGGCCTTTTCCAACATGGTTCCTGCCATCATAACATCACGCTTATAGACAGGGCCGATGGAAATGTTCGCAACGGGAATCTTCGAAACCCGGAGGAACTCTAGCAACGCTTCCAGGGAACCAAGAGTCGAAGCCTGGACGCTGACACCGCGCTGATCGCGGGAAACCTTGCTAAGGAGATTCTCCAAATCGGACATGACTTCCTCCTCGATGTCTTCCTCGTCATCGTCGGGTCCTACAACCATTAGGCGAGAACCAGCAATAGCATTCTCGAGATCGTTCGCCGCAATCTTGACACCCAGGGCGGCCTTCACCTCCTTGTTGTGAACGTATTGAGACTTGAGACGAAGTTCCTTGAGAGGCGCGGGCGTAAGCAACGCACGGATATTCGTTGATATAGGCCCGTTAAGACCGCATAGCACGATTCGATCACCTTCTCGTAGAATACCGTTCGAAAGAACGACGTCAATGGTGGTACCAAGACCCTCGATTACCTTCACTTCAAGCACGGTACACTCGACCTCGGACAAATACATCAGGGAGTTGGTCATACGCTCCTGGGTCAGGGTAGTCAACAGCTTCAGCATGTCAGGAATACCCTCGCCTGTGTGGGCGGAGGTGGGCACCAGGGACACATTGCGAGCCATGGACTTGTTCTCGTAGAAGACCTCCGAGTTGAAGCCCTGCTCGGCGAAGAGAAGCTTGGTGCGCTCCAGCCGACTGCGGAATTCGTTCTGGACGCCCTTGTTCTGCATGGCCAAACTCTCCTGGAAGCCGTTGTTGTCGATCTTCTTCCATCCGTAGAGACGATCGATCTTGTTCAGTGCGACAATAAAAGGTGTACGACGATCACGGAGCAACCTCATAGACTCGAGGGTCTGTGGCTCGAGGCCGTGCATAATGTCAACAACCAGAATAGCAATGTTGCAAAGAGACGAGCCTCTGGACCGCAGGTTTGAGAAAGACTCGTGACCAGGGGTATCAATGACCAACAGACCAGGAATCTTGAACTCAAATTTACCATCCTTATTTACCACGGCCGTCTTCTGGCGCAGGGCATCCAAGGGGAAATAGGTGGCGCCAATCTGCTGCGTAATACCACCAGCTTCGCCTTCCTGCACGTTGGTCTGTCGGATCTTGTCCAGCAACTTGGTTTTACCCGTATCGACGTGTCCCAGGATACAGCAGATGGGGGAGCGCAGGTTGTCTTTCGAACGAGCGGCCAACGCCTCCTCGTGCTGTCTCTTTCTGCGCTCAGCAGCTTCCGCTTTCCGTTGAGCAATAGCCCTTTGGGCGGCAGATTGCTCTTCGTCAGTCTCCTCGTCAGAGGACTCCTCCTCGGATGACGACTCGTCGTCTTCCTCTGCCTTCTGAGATTTCTCCCCAGCGGTGCCGTTGGCGGCGGCTGTCTCGGCCTTCTTCGGCTCCTCATCCTCATCCGAAGGTGCATCCCAGCTATCCTTCACCTCTTCGGCATCGGCAGCTTGTTCCCAATCATCGACTTCCTCATTGTCCTCTGGAGCCGCAGCCGCGTCGACCTTGGCCTTCTCTTCTTCTTCCTTTCTTCGGCGCTCATCTTCGGCCTCACGCTGGGCTTTCGCGCGGGCGGCAGCAGCCTCTAGATCCTCTTCCTGCTTCTTGGGCCCCTTCTTCTTCCTATTTTCATAGACAGGTTTCTTCTTTTCGGCTCCCGCATCCTCCAGACCAGCAACCTTGCCTGCACCAGACGCAAGCATCTGCTTCAGACGCATCTCGTTGCGTTCCTTGGCTTCTCTCTGGGCCTTGGTGAGTAGTTTGCCTTCCTTTCTCAGCTGCTCCTTCTTCTCCTTCTCCTTTTCCTTCTTGCGTTGACGAGCTTCTTCCTTTTTCTTCTCCTCTTCCTCAAACAGGCGCTGTCTTTCCTCTTCTGCGGCCTTTTCTTCCGCTAGGAGCCGCTCTTCCTCCTCGCGCTGCTTCCGGAGGGCTTCCTGTTGCCTCTGGAGAGCGGCCAGATGAGCGGGGACCTTCTTTTTCTTGCCTCCCGTGGGCTCGGGGGCAGCAGGTTGCGGAGTAGGGGCAGTAGTGGGTTCATCCTCCTTGGCTGGCTCGGGTTTCGAGGGAGCGGGCTTCTCTGCTGGGGCAGCAGATTTCTTCTTGGCAGCCTAAATAGTAACGAGACAATCAGTGATATGGATGCTGGATGAGACATGATCGAATGGGCCATACCTGTTCCTTCTTACGTTGCTTTTCCCTCTCTTTCTTTTCTTTCTCCTTCTCCTTCTTAGACTTCACACGAAAACCGCCCTCTTCCTCGTCCTTAGGCGGAGATGGAGCAGCGGCAGCGGCAGCCTTAGCCTTTGCGGCCTTTGCGGCCTTCTTTCCACCAAAAACGTCCTCATCGTCAAACGTACCTTCTTCGGGCTGCTTACTGGCAAAGTCGGTCTCTGGGCTGCCCTCTGCCGCATCCTCTCCCTCGACAAAGTCATTAACCGTCTTGCCCTTCTTGGCTTTCTTGTTCTTGTTCTTCCTCAGCGCGGCCAGGAGACCGCCGCCCATAGTCTCCCCGTCACCATCGGCAACAGGCTCTTGCGGGGCATCTGCAGCCTCGGAAGAAGAGGCAGCAGGAGCAGACTCTCCAAGCTCGGCTTCCCAATCCTCTTCTTGCCTCTTGTTTCCCTTCTTCTTAGGCGCCATTTTGGGATGAAAATGAGAGACAACGGGGTTCCTCGAATGAAACGAATTCTCGATAGTAGAGACGGATAGGTCTCTTTAACACGATAGGATTAACCGAGACACAACTTGAACCTTCCTGAACAGCAACAGGTCAGTTTCTAAGAAATACCAAGATGAGAATACCCGACGCAAGGAACAGACAACGGCCGCAGGTGTCCGGACGGGATGGTGCACGAACACTGATGCTATCCGCTTCTCCGACGTGCGATGTGCAACGGTCGCAAGAAACACACACAGAGACAAAAAAGGCAGTCAACCGATTGATGGCTCCAAGTATCAAACCAAAAGAAGGACTGACTGAGAAAGGGATGTCAAAACAAAAGCGATCGATCTCCCCCCGATGGTTTGGCGAAGTGATGGAGGTGCCTTGAGGATAAGAATTTTGGGCTGGTTTTGGTGGGGACGACGCTGGTTGGTTCACGCTAATCCGCCTTGGCATGTCTAAAAGAATGACGAATTGGAACTCAGTTGGAAGAACTACTGAGCTATATACGTTACATTTTATTTCACACAAATCACACTGTCTTCACTGCCATTCTAGAATCCCACATAGAGTGTCCGTTTCAACCATCCCATCACAGCTTCAACTGGCTTAGGTGTTTCGCCCAAAACATCCCGCGAGAGCTCACTGAACCGATCGAGAATGGCCTGGGGGGATCCGCTTTCTGGGGTAGATGGCGTATAAAACTCGTCTGTATCAAGCATCTGCGTCAGGAAATCAGGACCATACTTCACGAGGCGATCCAGGATGTCCCCGTCAATGTGCATCTGAGAGGGCTGGAACTCCAATGGCTCGCTGCCCACATGGGTACGCAGTCGTTTCCTCCTGGGGGTAAACGGGCAGATGATGGGATCTCGGATGCATAGATTCTGCAGGAGACGCAGCAAACGCCACTCATGCTCTGCTAATGTTAAGAACCGGTAGACCGTGCCGTTCATCGCCGTACCGTAGAAAACGTGTGAATGTGAGGATACGGTCGAGCCGGTGGACGCCAGACAGAGTTTCGTCACGGAAGAAGGAAGATGGGCCTCGCATAGTGCAACGGGCATCATTTTATAATTTTCCGTCACCCCGTTCTCTGTCAATATACTGACTCGCCCTCCTCGACTGGAGGCGAGGGTGAGTTTCTGATCTCCCAGATGGACATGCGACAGCCCGTCGAGTTTCTGTCGATCATGGGCATGGAGCGCTAGTTTGTCCTCGGTAACTTTAAGTACCATCAAAGATTCTCTAGAGGTTGACATGTAGACATATGGTTCGTGCGTGGTAATCGAAACCGCCGGGGATAGGATGGAATATCTGGCTGCTGGGAACCCTCGTGACTCCCCAATCTTGGGTTCCAGTGGAATGATCTCATTGCCAGTCGAGACCATCAGAGTAAAGCCACCATACGGGGCGATCGAATAAACAGGTTTCTCGAATTTGTGGATGTATTTTACACGGCATTCGACGCGTGATGAAGTCGTAAAGTCCCGCGACGTTTGCAGGAAGATGACCCGGCCTCGCTCTGTCTGGTTCTTCCGTGAAGTCCCGATGACAATAAAATGGTATTCTTCGTCGCCTTTCTTCGGCGTCCATTCTAAAATGCAACTGATCTTTTCCCCGGCGGCTCCTTGTGGCCGCCAAGGAAGCGACTCGTCCTCTGCGCCGATTTCACGGGGGTCCACGACAGCATGTTGAGAGTCAGGATCGACAAACTCAATGCGCGCTCGAGTAAAACGTTTAATAGGATCGGTGTCGGTGTCAAGTTCCGTTTGGCTGTAAGCTACGATGAGGCTCTTCAGGTACTGGGAATATGCGAGCTTGGTAGCGCTGCCCGGCAAGTCAATGCGTCTTGGAACCGTTTTGGCATCCCGATCAAGAGTGCAAATCAGAAGTTGCCCGTCGGCAATACAGAACAGTGTATCAGAAAGGGCATCCATGTCAGAGTTCAGAATGCCGGCGATGGAAAAGCCATAGATGTTTCGTGGCTGGTAGGCAGGCTAAGAGAAAGTTAGGGCCACCGATAGTGGTGGGCGAAAGGGTTTCTGAAGCTTACATTGTTTTGGTCAGTGACCCATATCTTGTTGAGTGTATATTCAGGCCTTCCGCCACTTTGAACGCATGATATCTGCCAAAAGCCTTGTCCACAAGTCAACAATGCAAGGTTTCCCCTGCCCTGTATTTTGACGGATGTGTGTCCTAGTCGTTGCGAAGATGCCTGTTGCATCACTGTACAGCCGAAAACCTGTCAGTCAACTACTATCACAATGGTTCAAGGTCAACAGAGCCTACCAATGGGAGCAGCCTTGTCACTGTGACGGTCAAATGACAGTCCGAAAGGTACCAAGATACCACTTCGGAGTCCACAAAGAAGGACGTATTCATTTGGAAGCCCTTCTGAAGTCATGCTGATTGTTGAAATACTATCAATTGCTTTGGAAATATCGTCGCCCATTTCAACATCAACGAGCTCTTCGGATAGAAAAGTGACAGAGTTTTGCCCCAGATGGTAAACCAAGATTATCCCGTTGCCCGTACCAATGAATACAAAATAATCGGTCCCAAAAGTTTCAATGGATATACAAACCGGCTCATAAGGAATCCGCATGAAGTCGCCAACATTCGACAACTGAAGTTGGTTGCTTTCCGACGTTAGCCTCTTAATGTGAAGATGTATCTCATGCTGGGCCCTGACAGCAACCGCAATGAGACAAGACGGTCCGTCCACCGCGGCAATCGTGATACTGTGACCAGCATCATAATGAAAGCGAAAGCTTGAAAAGTAATCGGATGTTGCTCCAAGATGAATGGCTTTATCCGTCACTTGAATCACAACACCTGAGTTGGTGCAGCCTGCGGCCAAAGTCTGGGCGCTAAAGTCCAAACCAGAGTCTACTTCGTCGACGGCACAGATGTCGTCGCCGAAATTAGCAGATAAATATAAAAGTACAGAGGAAACCGGATCAGATGTCAAAACGAAAACGCCTCCGTTTGCGCCGTCCGACATAGTCCATATATCTCTAGTGCCAGATAATTCTTCCAATGAGACAGCCAATCCAATCTGTGCTTCTATGCCATGCCGCAGCTCAACAATTGCCCCTCGCGCGAAGGAAGACGCGGAACAGACAAACATTCGATCAGCGCCCACGTCCACACCAGAGGGGTCATGTCTTGTAGACTTGACGAGAACAGAGTCTGTAACCGGTGTCCAGTTCATAAATTTCTGGACGCATCTTGGGTGATCTCGCGCCTTTTGAACAAACAGACCACCATCCCCTGTATTTCCTGCAGCTAGGAGCAGATCGCCGCCTTCGTGGCCTATATCCAAGATATCAAACGCTGCATCGACATCACAACAAAGCTGTCCTAGCTGTGTCTGAGTCTCGACTTCCCCATCATTGCCAATACCCAAGTAAAATATGCGACCGTCCTCACGACAAAGGTAAATGTCATCATGCTTTTGGTTGTAGATCCAATTACGCAATGGCCTCGCCCACCGAGTCCATAGCGGGGATCTGTGAGACTCATGGTCGGGAGCAGGGAGCGGATACCTAGTGGGTAGTCTCCGAGGGTCCACTCTGCTCCTATAAATCGACATTGAAGTCGTTGTAATGAGCATGAAGGAAGCGGTCTTGGTTAATGGGATCAGCATGGTAGGCAGCCTGTCCTCGAAGGGAAGCAGTCTCTTTGTCACCCTTGGAGAAATGTCTCGCAGAGGCTCATTTGGGTCCCACTCGTAACATATAGCGTGGGTAATTTGTTCCTGGGCGACCAAGAGAAGAAGTATAACCTTGTCGCCATCTTCATTTTTGGGATACAGAAATTCCATGAAAATAATGTCTCCATCGACACGGAAAAAGCGTTCCTGCATTGACCCAGCCGTTAATTGAGACCAATCTATGGTATATTTTCTGGCTACATACCTCGGCTATAGGATCGAGCTGCTTATGTAGCATCTGTGACTGAAGGACCGGGGGCTTCTTCAATATGAAGAGCCCAAAATAATCGCTGGACGCGCTAACCGCTACTGCGCGTGACCTGTAAACATCTTAGAATATATTCCTCGCCTTAGGTGTTCGATTGCGAAATACCTGGGTTCCACTGCAATATTTCGGCCAAAACGCTCAAAAGTACTGACATCATTCGGTAAAGGCCGGTGATGGTGAATAAATTGTCCATTGGCGTTTGAGTAGTAAAGAAACACTAACTCCCTCGACGCAATGCTAAGAAGCAAGATTTGAGGCGGCAGGTTGTTTTCCATTATTGATGCGGTATGTTCACTTTCACTGCTGGCTCCCAATTTCATTTGTGACTCCCAGGGTAACTCCGTGCTCACGTTGATGATTTTCGCAGCCATGATATTAGCATCAAAATCCGATTTTGAAGTGACCGCTTCTAAGTGCACACCAGAGATAGCTTCTTTGATCTCCAGGCTCCGCTCACCAACGAATATAACGTCATTTTGGTGTTTCCCTCGAAGCCGTGCAGGTAAAATCCACTGGATAATTGGGCTCGATACCAAGGTATGGGAAAGTAGACCAACCTTTGGCCTCATATTCGAAGCTGTTGGGCTTTCTATATCCATAGGATCGGCGTCATGTCGTTTGACTGAAGTATATGAAGCACGAGCTTGGCCATACATTGAGAAAGCCATGATGACTTAATCACAGAAGCCCCTCCACGAAGTCAAAAAATCATGTGTCCCGTAGCCACAAAGATGCAATCAAGGACAACGAAAGCAAAATAAGTAGGAAATTTATAAGGAGCTACTTGAAAAAATTGTTTTCAATTATCGCTCCACCTCGCACTGCCTCTCCCGCACGAGTGATCCGGGAAGATGAAAGAGAAGGGTAGAAAGAAAAGAGCCAGTGGGCAAAAGGCAAAATAACTAGGGGTTAAGACAAGAATCATCTGTGACCATGCTTAAAGAAGTAAAAGAATAATTTCCCATTCTGTGCCTGTTATGTGGACCTGTTGATGTACAGCGAGCGACTAGAGAAAATCATTCATCCCAAAGCACCAGGAGAGCAGATAATTCCTCTAGGTGGATAAAGCATAGTACAACAGAGATAGGGCTGGCGTTCTGTCTCAGGATACAAGGCGCTTAAAAGGAAAATGAGTAGATCTCAAGGATATGGATCGTCGTCCACATGTGCATTCTGTAGTAGAAACGATAGCAGCTTCACCGGCACAGTGCCAATTTTCCAAGTTCAAATATAAAAGCAACGTGGGATTCAGGTGCTGATCTTGAAAAAAGTATCTTAGCACAGTCAATTAAAGAGAGCCACGCTTGCGCAGTTGGGTTTTATAGTAGGCGATGGTGTAGTATGTTTATTATGCCATCTGCCGCCACAACTTTAGCAGCAGCCCCGTCGGGTACTGGGTATGTAGCGTTGCTTTTTTTGGACTGAGACCGGGGGTATTAGACCATGGTAGTCTCGAAGGACCGTGAGCAGACGTCCAAGGCGACAGACAATGAGACAGGAGCAGTCACCTCATGTGTTTCCCGGGTCCTCGGAGGGGCTGATGTTTGCTATGTCGGCGGTCGGCGGTCCAAATAAAATCCAGCAAATCACGGGACACCATCGAATTCTGGCCTGAGGCCACGCGATCGTCTTGACGTGTACAGGTACATACCTCCATATCTCCATAGATCGATGCGGCGAGGCTGATGTACATGCCAGCCACCTGTTCATGATTACAGCACGTTTCGGAAGAGCTCGCTTGGCCCCAACACTTATTGTCTACGACAGTGCCCCAAAAAGTTGATGCCTTCATTGGAACCGGACCGACTTGAGTCTATTTTTATAAAGCATCTGCCTTAGAAGCCCTCTCACTAGATTCATTCACGCCTTTTGTGGACTTCACTAGATACTACAATGAAGGATCAATCAGATCTCAACCATCAGGAGGAGAGCTCCATAGCAGAAAAACTAGATGTTGGAAACCAACTAGAAAGTACTGATAATACCTCTCAACCATCGACAACATCTGACTCGGAGCAAATTGTGGACCACAATATTGAAAAAGAGGCAGCTATCCGTCGAGCCTGCGACTTGCGCGACATCGACGCATTGGTCGCGTATGCAACTTCCGAAGGGGGATTTCTTCGAGATAATGTCCGACGACTAGCCTGTAAGTTGCCCTAGTATGTGATGTAATGTGATGTATATACGCAGCTGGGTAATAAATAGACCTAGGGCCGATTCTTCTTCAATGTGACCGAGATCCTGATCTTGGAGCTTGGAATAACTTACCGCCTCATGTTGACGAAGATCAAGTCCAGCTCGATGTGAATCGGTCCTTCGTTTACTATCCCAACTGTAAGATTCTTGCCCGAATCGTGAACTCTCCCTGGGCTAAGCCATCTCATTCAGGCTCCGATAGTGATCTCTCGTTGAAAAAGAACGAGTTGTCTGATTTAATTAAACAGATGCTACGACATTACCCGATGCTATGCTATTTTCAAGGGTACCATGACATCGTGCAAGTATTACTCCTGGTGCTGGGCGGCCAGACGGCGGCTCCAGCAGTCACACGGTTGTCTCTCTTCCGCATACGGGATTACATGCTACCATCACTGTCTCCGACAGTGAGACATCTACAACTCATTCCAGCAATTATTGACAGGGCTGATCCAGCTCTGCGACATCACCTCTCGGAGATCAGACCCTTTTTTGCTCTGGCGGCGACTCTCACGCTGTATGCCCACGACATTCAAGAATATAGTGACATTGCTCGTCTCTTCGACTTCTTGCTAGCCAGAGAGCCAGTAGTTTCTATTTATCTTTTCGCCGCTATCATCCTGGCTCGTAAGAAGGAGCTCCTGGAGATCCCAGAAGATGAGCCTGAAATGTTACATTTCACTCTTTCAAAGTTACCATGTCCCCTTGATCTAGAGGGCCTTATATACCGGGCGGTACAACTCTTTGATGAATATCCACCCGAGTCATTGTCATTCGGAGCATGGAAGGCGATTCCGCCGTCCAGTGTACTGAAAACTTCAAGAGATACAATCGCAAAGCAGACGCCAGAGGAGGCGATAACACTTTTTGAACAGCAAGTGCGGCATCTGCGCAATGAAGAGCGACGAGAAATGGTCGTTGGCTTTTTATGGAACCACAGAAGGGCAATCGGTTCTGTGGCCGTCACAGTCTTTATCGCTGCGGTATCCATTTGGATTAGAAAGAGGGGGCTGGACACTCCAATTTGGTCGTACCTCGATCGTTTCAAATCGGCATTCCAAGTTCATAGCTCCTCCTAGCTTTGTTCTCTTTTATATAAGACATGGCTTGTTTATCATGATCGTGTATACTAGGCATAGAATGTCGGATCATGTACATAAGAAAAGCATAATGTTTGGACGAACGGGTCAGCCAGATTTAAAATAGTTTCCTCGAACATATATAGTCCCAGAGAATTATTGTTGATTAGGCCAAAGGGAAGAATAACTAGATGAAGTTGTATAGTTAGCCAGGCCCTTCTGCCGTTGGTCCCACATGGTGGCTAGTGCGTGGCTGTCCCAGACTCGCTGATGTGTACTCTTGCATTTCCCCAACTCCTCCCCTCCGCCTACCAACACCCGCTCATCAGGAACGTTTAGACAGCCCAAGATGGCAAACCGGGGCTATGACGTGGTCGTAGATGTGGATGCCGAGGTACATTCTATTATGAATTTGCTCCTCGCGAGTGAACGTTTTGGCTAACTTCAGCTGCAGGGCGACCTTGGCCATACGGACCTTCAGGAGGACCTTGAGTTTCATCCTTCCAGTGAGCTTGAATTTCCAAGAGGGCGTCATCCCCTTGTCCGATCGATGGGCTAATGGACTTGTTTTTCACTCAAAGACTTTGAGAACGATCAACGAGCTGCCAAAGTGCAACAAGACTCTGCTCCATTCCTCGGTGGAGGCTCCTCCCGAGTCCGTGACAGGTCACCTGGTGGCACACCGACCAAGCTTACCTTGTGGTCCATCCACTATTACGCCCGGTTCTTCGATGTTGACACGAATGAGGTTCTACGACGATGCGTTGCGGCCGTGTATCCACGCAGCAACTTCCTCGACGTTCTCGAAGGCAACGCCGATCTGTACGGTCCGTTCTGGATCGCGACCACTGTGGTCGTGATTCTCTTTTTGACTGGGACTATTTCGCAATGGCTCTCAAACAACGAAAAAGACCATTTCGAGTACGATTTCACCCTTCTTTCTGGGGCTGCAGGATTAGTCTATGGATACACGGGTATTCTGCCGATTGCTTTGTGGGGAGCTCTGCGGTGGTTCGGTAGCTCCACCGCTGACTTGATCGAGTGTTGGGCGTTGTACGGGTATTCGAACTTGATCTGGATCGCGGTCGCGCTCGTCAGCTGGAGCCCCTTGACAGCTCTCAACTGGGCCCTTGTTGGAGTCGGGTTTGGCTGGACCGTCTTCTTCCTACTACGCAACATGTATCCCGTGTTGAATGCTACAGATGCTAAGGCCAGCAAGATGCTATTGATCCTGGTCATCGTGCTGCATGCGGGCTTCGCTATTGCCATCAAGATCTTTTTCTTTGCGTACGTTTTGCCTATCAAGTTTTCGAGGCACTCTTCTTTGCTAACGAAGTGCTATTATAGCCATGGCAGTCCGGTCTCTAAGCAGAAAGACCACGACGACGATGATCACGATGACCATGATGACCATGATGACAAGAGACGAATGCTGGGAATGTAGAGAAGTTGGGTTCTCTGCGCTCCATACCTTTATTACAAAGTATCGGCTTAACATTCGGTGACTTTGCTCAGGTAGCATTTGGCCCCTCTTAATAACTCGGTTATCCTGTGTATTTCCCCCTTTCCCTTGCTTTGCCCGCTGAGATTCCAAACTGTACCTGTATTCGTCATAGTGGAAAGATTATGAAACATTTTTGAATTTTACAATTGTTTGATTGCAACTTCTTTCGAGAGGAGTCAACTATTATTAACATTTGACTTCGGCTATCATGATTTATCATTCCAACGCCGTATAAAACCTCCCACGCTGCAATCGGTACGTAACCCCCAGTATCTTCTCCTCCCAGCAACGTAGAAAAACCGTAACAATATGAAATAGTTTATTTCAACTTCTTCTTAGGGCGGAGCTGGTTGGTGTGACCGCACTTCTTCTTGCGGCAGTTGGTGGCACGAGGGGGCAGACGGGCCTGTGCGACATAAATTAGTCATCGATCATATCGATGATCCCACAGCGGAGAAACGTACGTAGCACTTGCGGCAGATAGACTTCTCGCAGTTGTACTTGGAGGCAAGAGCCTTGAGGGAGGGCTCGATGATACCACCACGCAGACGGAGCACAAGGTGGAGGGTGGACTCCTGTAAGACGGTAAACGTCGCATCAGCTAACCCGTATCATAAAACCGCGCAATACTGTCATTCCAACACTAATTCCAATATCAGAACCCCCCACGCAGATAGCGTAGATCGAATTCCACCGTTTTCACGGTAGCGATCCGCACCGCATCCTGCCAGTTTCCATATCTCTCCCAAAACAACCATCACATGCCGATTCGGTGGGAATTCCTTCATACCTTCTGGATGTTGTAGTCACTCAGGGTGCGGCCATCCTCAAGCTGCTTGCCGGCGAAGATCAGACGCTGCTGGTCGGGGGGAATGCCCTCCTTGTCCTGGATCTTGGCCTTGACGTTGTCGATGGTGTCGCTCGACTCAACATCGAGGGTAATGGTCTTACCCGTCAGGGTCTTGACGAAACTATCAATCGGGAAAAGTCAGTATTATATTCCTCGAATTTCGCCTCATCGTTTCCAAATGGATCGTCTCGACGGGGTTGGTTCCAGCTGGTTTGGTGCGAACGACTAAGGGGGACCTACATCTGCACTGGAAAGTCGCGGAAAAAGAAAATGTTAGCTTGCAATTAACAGGGTCAAAATAACGGCATTAACGGGGACGATAGTGAACGTACTGGTTGCGATTTTTCGTTGTTGCTGGCTGTCGATCGCTGGAAGGGTCGGTCGGAAGAGGCAATGTCAATTTGAGGGTTTCTCGCTTAGCAAAGGTGGACTGACTCCGTGATACCCTAAGCCCTAACTCCGTTTTCGTCATCGCGCTTTGGAGTGCCCGGAATTACCTTTTCGGGCGCTTCTCCACAGGTTCCATATTTCTCCTCTTCTCCTTGGGGATCCAGTCTACTCCGTTGGTATACCACTACGGAGAAGCTTAGGCTAACTTGATATCTCGGTCATCACTCGCTTTTATTCGTGAATTGTGTTTATTTACTCATAGAAACGCTTATTAGCCCTCAACAATACTCGTTAGATTCTTTCCAACACAAAACACGCTCCTAATCCATCATCTTAAACCATCATAGTGCCATCGCACCATTCACCCTAACAACCTGGCCAGGTATCCACGTACTGTCCGGGCCGCAGAGGAAGTTGATAGTGCCCGTTAACTATCTCGTCCGGGACGCCTATGCGGTTGAATGGACTAAGCCCAGCGGTCGCACGCAGCATATCCTCGGTTTTATCTTTAAAACAGTTCTGCTTGTCGAAACAGGCACAACGGCATTGACCAGGATGCCTTTGCGCGCAAGATCCTTAGCGTGACGCGAGTCATCTGCTCGACTGCACCCTTAGTAGCCGCATACGGGAGGTAAGTTGGCGCCACGGAGGAAACCGACGTAACCCCCGTCGAGACAAAGATGACCCGACCACCGGAAGGCGTATGATGTGCTGCTTCTAGGACCAAGAAGTCGGTTCTTTGAGTTTGAGTGCAAAACAGGTGTCAAAGTCTGCTTCACTGGTGCCATCGAGATCTCTCGTGAGAAGCATGCCGGCATTGAGAATCACCACATCGCCATGGCCAAATCTGGCCATGGCTGTCCAGACGAGATGGCGAATGCTGTCCACTTTGGACACATCCGCCTGTATGGCTAGAGCTCGGTTTGGACCAATCTCGTTGACAAGGGCGTTTGCTGAAGTGGCATCTGTGAGGTAATTGACCTCAACGCTGGCTCCATTCTCGGTCACACGCTGGGCTATCGCTCTCCCAATTCGTTGGATGCGCCGGTAATAAGGATGGCCTTTCCTGCAATTGACATAGTGGCTTTCTTGTAGGGTATCTGACAAAAACACTTAAAGTACGTCTACCGCGAAGACACAGTTAGGATCAGACTTTTATATTTTATTATCCACGCTACTACAACCAGATCATACTAACCGGAGGTACCGTATCCCCAGATCTCATGTTTGTTTGCATAGTATGGTGGTTATGGCCATATACTTGCCCGAACGGAGATCGATCATAAGGCCGAAATCACTCCGCGGGGATAATTATTGTAGCCGGTCTAGTCATTCTACAGTCACTTGTTGCAAGTGACAGGAGATAAGCTCTGGGTTTGGCTCCGGTAGTTCTATTGTATATACAAATACATCATGAATTTACGGAGTAGGAGTTGTCAGTTTACTATACTCTCTGGCATCCAGAGAAGTACTGGTACATGCATTCGGCGTTCTACCAATGGTAAAATTCTCCGCGATGGCCCAAGAAAGAATGTGATAATATTTTAAGCAGTTGGGGATACTATACGACCTGATGAACTCAAGCTATCCTACGGTACGCAGTAAGTACGAGGAAAAATAATGCTGTATGTATAATTCTAGAAGCGTTTTACTAATATGCCTATATGCGTCGTCACTAGCAATTCTATATATATAACTGTCCATACCGTCGCTAGCACATATCCAGTTGCGCAGACCGGGTTCCAGGGCTATTCGGAAATAGCCCGATTGTCCGCTACCGCGTCATCCGAGTTATCGTCCCGAGAAATTTCCGCTTCCAAAGGATCTCCGTAGTACTCGATTCGCCTCTGGTCTTCCAGCCATCGGCTGATCTTCGTTTCGGCCTGGAACACGGCCCGAATAAGGGTGGAGAGGGAAACACCGGCCACTTTGGCAGCAATTTCATAGAAATATGTCGCCGCATCCGGGAGATCTGACTCCTTCCGATAGCGCTGATATAAGTTGCCTGGCCGAGGGATATCGACATCAGGATTCGAGAGCATCTTTCGGGCCTTTAGTTCGCTCGTGACTTTCTGGTTCATTGAGCTCATCGCTTCCTCTTCATCTTCTTCAGTTGTGGAAGCTGCATTCTGGCTTTCCCCTACTGTTGGTCCAATGGGAAACATGTCGGCCAACAGATTTGTCACTGCACGGAAGACTGTTAGTGCCGTCCACTGACAAACTGATTTCATATATCGTACCTTTGCTGTCCAGCCAAGAATTTTCGTACCAATCCATGTACTCATCCAGTTGACTTGGCGTCATGTTGAACACGTCTTTCTCTTTCACCAGGATCTCATTTCCTTTCCCGATCTGCCCGCCGGATGTTTCTCGATTGGCAAAGTGTCTCTGTGCCTGGGCCCAGAGCTCCCAATCGATGACTTGGGTCGTTGGCTCCCTTGCAGTCGTTGGATACCTTTCGGTGTCGTCGAAGGGGAAAAGCAATTTCGTGGAGATAACAATAAGAGACATTAGTTGCAGTTCAGGCAGATGAAGCGCGCTTCGTCTCCCGATATTTTTTGTTGGATACTCAAAATTAAACTCTAGTAGCGTCTGTAGTCGTTTCACAGAGGGGTATATTTCAACTAAGAGAGGGTTAGCAGGGAAACTCAGGTCCAAGACACTAGAGAGTTCATACTTGGAAGTGCAAGTCTCTTTATAAAACGATATAACAAAGGCGAAAGGTTTAACGGCGGAAATTGTACCCCAAACTTGTGATGGTACAGGAGCAATAGATCCACCACAGCTTTATGAAGATGCTCGGCATCAAGTGGTTTCTTTTTGTAGTTAGAAGAGGTTTTTTGGAGGAAATAATGTTGTATTTACCGTGGTCTCAATGATTGATATATATTCCTGCGGCAACTTGTCTCTCATTTCTCGAGGAATTAATTTTACAATCCGGATATAGGGTACATTTCCGCGGACAGCCATTCTACAGTCACGCATCAGCCGATGATCATTCGCCTGAAGGTTCTCATCAGGTCATTTTACCGGTGAAAGTCGCTGATACCGACGGGGAGTCTCATCAGAAGAGCACCCAAGTAACAAAGGGCAACCGAGTCAATCAATCGAGGCCACTGAGTTTTAGACTTGAAATCTTCGGGCTCATCAACATCGGTAGCGGGCTGAGAGCTAAAAAATTCGGGCTCCTCGATATCCTCTGAAAGGTCTTTAAGCTTCTTGGAATAGGTTTCCAATCGAAGAGCCCAAAGATCACGGACAAGATTCTATGCATGAATTTTGTCAGTTGGCATGCCTATGGTACTCAGTTGGGTGCAAAGGTGAATAGTCAAGTACCTCAAATAGTGCAGGAAACCCTCGGCCTTGCACCAAAGCGTGGCACTGTTTCCACAGAATCAATTGGTAGACCTGTAGGAAGAGGCTGTAGGCCTGTCGACCATGATACGCTTCTCAATTTTAGCAGGGTATTTGGGGAAATGGGAATATAGGTAGAACTGGGCATACTTTTATTGCCTTTTTCCGCAACAACTTTCTTCACTCGATGCGTTCTGCCTTGCGTGCCAAATTGGTCTTCCTCTACTTCGACTTGTCGTCCCTGAACACCGAGTACATTAGCCACTCAAACGCCTCCACCCAAAACCGGCTGAATTGCCATACCTCCTGTTGATGGCCTCGTCTACAGAACCAGAGACCTTGGTCCAGATAATACCGTCTCTCGCGGCACCCTTCCTGCCCACAGGGCCCTCGGATGGTGTAGTCCATCCGGGGCAATCCTCTTCATGCTTAGATTTACAGGGAAATGAAATGGACCATGGATCCTCGCAGGATAATGGCCGCAAAGAATCAACAAGAAGTTTTTAGTGTTCAACATCTACATCGAGCGGATTTTCATCGCTGCAGCGGATGGGATTGCCTCTTTGGGAAGACTACGTCAATTTGATGAATAAGCATCACGTGCAGGGCCATAGCTATGCATTATTATTTGCATACTCGATGCACTTCACGAAAACTTCCTAAATTACTCCTAAACTACAGCCTATAATCCAATAAGAAGGCCTATCTAGCTGATTAAGATGACCTATCACTGGAATGTTTCCATGAGCTCACCACTACTGGCTCAAATACTCCCAGACTATTGCATCCTACTAAATTTTGTATCTTACATACGTTTTAGTGAATGCCCAGGATAGAAGGGGGCAACGATCACGAACTTGATTTTCTATATGAAACCTTCATCAGTCTGGCAAAGCTGAGCTATAAGTTTATATAAACGGCTTGATTGATAGATGCTTGCTTTCTGTCACTGTTTAGCAGCCGAATTGGTCTACGTAAGAAGACCGAGTTTCCATGGAAGCAGATCATAATTGCCGCTGGCAACGGGTCCGCGCCCTAATAGAGGTATTGCAGTTTGCAGGTGCTGATGCTCATCATCTGGTCGACCTGTGAGCGAACCATTTCTCCGTGGCTAATTCTCCGGGTTCATGCCTCTCCACTGAAGGCGACATTGCTGGCACCGGCGAACGGGCAATGTTCGATATCAGCCAGCGCAGTCCATTTGCCCGAGAGACTGGTCGAAGTCCACGATCAGAAGTACCGTAAACGCTTCTTATGGCCTCAGCTATGAGAAGGTATTTCCTATCGCCCACGTTGTACAGGTTGAATGCCTCAAACAGGGTGTTCTTGTTGGAATCGGACAGCGCAATGACCGTATCGCCCATGCCCTTGGGGAAATTGCTCAACGAGACCTGTGAGCAATACAGATGGTCATTATCATCGGACGAGAAGAGATGGTAGTGGGATCTGTCACAGATGACCTACATGTCGACCCATGCACCATTCCCTTTGTTCTCCGTGATGATATTGGGCATGCCGTCGAAGAAATTCTTTGGGGCAGTTCCGTCCTGGTAGCTGATATATTTATTGGTAGAGTAAGCCGCATTGCCGTTTTAATACTCGAGATACCAGACATTCTGCGGCTCGAAGAAGAAAACATGAGGGGCTGCGAAATAGCCCTTACCGATAGGAACTCTGGTCAAGATAGTGGAACGTGGCCGAGTTCGCCTCCTCGAAGTCGGTGAAGCTCAGGTAAACCAGGTTATAACCCTACTCTACTGCCGTCTTGGCAAAGTCATGATACGTGCCGTTGATCTCTACGATCGAGGAATCTTTCATGACAGCCAGGTGTTGGTTATCGTTCTTGGAGCTGATCGGTGGCTTGCTCGAGGACCATTTGAAACTGGTTACACAATCCGTCCTTGGAAGTTGAACGGCCATATAGTCCAGCAATCCTGCGACTGTGATGCCCAAGAGTGATGAAAGAAAGATGAAGGGACGCATTCTGAGAGGACAAGTTGGAAGCATGGAATTTTGCTCTTGCTCTTGCACTTGTTGTACTCCTGGTGCCTTACTTTACACTTAGAAGGGAGAGAGTATGCGATACTGGGTTTCGGAATCTTCCCGCATTGTTCTTGGTGATTCAGGCTGATTATTCAATCATTTGCCTGAAGTAGATCGAGTTCTGTTACTCGCCAGGATTTTCACGCAAGATTCCCGCAGGAATGGGAAGAACTCCATGGCGAAAGGGGCAACGGAAGGGACCGATTTCATCTTAACACGTCTATTTGAAGGGGTTAAACAGGTTTAATAATATTGTCTATCATTTATTTATACATCTATAAGAAAATGTCTTGAACCCGGATGTCTCACATTGCTGATCCCAACCTGCTCATTGAGAATTGCTCTTCCGATCTCCCATCGGATTGTCCACACTGCTTGGCTGACGATTATACCCTCTTTCATGTATCTGTGATAGTTAGCAGGAGTGAAGAAATTGCGTTATAGCAGCACAGGCTTCACCTTGTTGCAGTCAATAGATTAATCAGACCACCCCTGCCAGGGAGCTTTGCACTGCTGGGAGAACTTCTTACCTAGTCGCCTTGAGGAAGGAATATCGTAACCGCATCCATTCGTCTTTCTCTAGATCCATTCCTTTCCATCGAGGTACTTCGTGTCCAGGCGTTCGCATCGGAGTAACCACATCCGCATGAACGCTATCCGGGTGGAATCTCTAACCAAATTAATCGCTGAATGCATGATCCTCGGATGCGATACGTTCCAATACAATTGCAAACGTGCCAATGGGAGGACAATGGACGATTCGGCCTTGGCTAACTATAGCTGCTGGAAATAATATAACTTTCCCATCCCCAGAATCCCCGAAGGGGTACACAGCCAACGATATTACCTTATTATCCGCTTTGAAGTTGACTTGCGCAGGATTCCCAGAGGTTCATCTCTAAGCTTGGTAAGTCTCAAAAACTGCAGCAGGGTAAGAATCTCGGATGGGATATTCGACATGAGGCCCTCCCTGGAGTTAAAGCAGAGAATGGGCTGAACTCCGCTTATTCTGTCTCTTTGTTCGACTTATATGATGCTCACAACGGTGAGCTTGTTCCGCGGTATCATAGGCAGAACACAGCACCGCCCATGTCCATAGTCTTGTATGGATGGCATGTGGTTTTTCCACGTCTGTCCATCGGTTGGAAGGTCATTCCAGCCACATTTTTCCGTCGTGTAGAACATGCCTTCTTTCCAGTATATGATGATGGACAGGGAATGGCTGTATATAGGATGCATCTCTTAAGGTTCGAGGATAAGACTGAAACTCATCTTTGCAGGTCTGCCGCTTGAGATAGTGTACAGGATTGGAAGTATACAGAGCCTGATGATGCTTTAGATACTGGTGGTCCATTTTACTGTGAGGGTAACATTCACAGATACAGAGAATGAAACATGTTTTATTATTCATCCAGAGTGAATATCGAATTTGGGAATAGTAATGGAGAGAGATTCACATTGATGCAAATAGGAAAGTACATACATCTACAAATTAATACACTCTTCGATCAGATACATAAGATAACTTCAAGTCTCTATAACAAGCTCATAGCCTGGTAATCTGGCGCTCGGTGGAAGTAGTACCGGCCAGAATACGGCACATAGTCTTGTTATCATGAATTGGCTGTGGTTTACACTTTTCATGTATGCAACATACCATTGGTCAATAAGGCTGAATACTGGTGATATAATCCAATATAGTATACCTGTCTAGACAAATGGCGTTTAGATGGCATCGATAAAATATGGAGAGTCAAGGGAAGTACAGAGTCAATGTATGGTTGACTTTTTTTCATGCACGGGCGGATCTGGAAGAGATTATACTCTACAATTCCAGACATACGTCAATAGAATCATAAACAACATCTACACACACTCTCTCTTCTGAGCCACATTTTTGGATTCGTCAAACTATCGTGAAAGCTAACTCTGAACTGTTCCTCGGACAACGCACGCTTTATGCTGCCAACGAAAAGCAACCCTCTTGCCGGCTCCGTGCACATCCAAGGCGAACAGATGGAGACAAGCAGCCATGTCGTATGTCGCCCAAAACGTCGCACCACAAAGTAGCAAACATAAGAACATCAGGGAGGCGGGGAAACATGTCACGGCTAACGGAGCAGAAATTGGTCCATGGCACAAGTCATTTCATTTATTTGGGGGCTTCCTTGCACTCTATGGCGACCTCCTCGCCCATGGAGGTCAGGACAACAACGTCTGCAACGGTCGGTCAGCACACCATCCCACCTGAGCAGCCACCAGGATTACTTACTGCAGTCCTTCTCCTCTTCACGGTACATACGGATGATCTTCTCACCGGTTTCGCCGTCGGGAACCTTGACGTCGTCCTTGGTGTTACCGTTTTCATCCATCAGGGAAAGAAAGTCGTCATCGGTGATGTCAAGCTAGGAAGGGCATCGTTAATGACCATAGGCCCGGATCACTTGATAGGGATCGACGGCTACTTACGAGCTGGTATTCCTTGCGGGTGACGTTGGGGACGTCCATGTTGTGGGTGGAAGGAGACAGATCTTCCAGCTTCTTGCCAGTGAAGATGTCGAGAGCGACGATGTGGACCTTGGCGTGACCGTGCTTGCCAGTCTTAGAGGTGGACATGTCGACGATCTTGCAAGGGCGGCCCTTGATGACAACGTGACCGTTCTTCCTCAGAGCCGAGCACTGCATGGGGTAGGTGCTGGACGCACCAGCGTCAGCAGATTCGAAGGTTTCATGATGCTAGAAGAGACAAAAAGACTGCAGGTTAGCAAGAGATCCTCCCACAGAATGAAGACAATTATTGGAGATTTGTCATATGCATTGCGTGCAGGAACCGTCAGGCAGGTTCGGGAGGGGTGGGCAGTTCGAGATGCGGGGCTGAGGACCACAGCACAGGCAGAAGGACCCTGTTGCCAGCAGAGGGAGAAGGTAGGACGAAGATCGCAGACATACCTCGTCAGCCATGGTGATGGAGATACGGGGGATGAGGACAGAACGACGAAAGAGGTAGAGAGTGCGAGGGTGGGAGGTCGGGAGAGGAGGAGAGGAAGAGGAGAGAAAAATACGGACGAAGAACAGGCGAGAATTCGACAAATCGAAGGGCAAAAAAAAAAAAAGCCATTTTTGTTGTGGCGGGGTTGCCCTAGTCCTGTTCTGGTCTAGCGCTGCATTGCATGGCTGTTCACGCCCCCCGTAGTCCTCCTGGCGTCAACGTGACCTCACCTGACCCTGTATACTCTGGTCAACTTCTTCTTTCTCTTTCTCCATGATCCCTCGCTGTCTTTGCGCCGGTGTCTCCTCCGATCATGTGGCTCGACCGCATTTCGGGCCATTCCACTCCCTCCAGTCTCCCAACCGACAGCCGCAGTAACTCTCCGTTGCCTCGCCGGACATCCTCGCGTCTCTCCCCCTATTCACAGTCCGCTCGGGCATCGTCTAGTCGACAAGGCTCGTCTTTATCGGTGCTGGTCAGTCCGAATAGTTCGTCCACCTCACTTCCGACGACACGTGGCGATGGGTCGGCGTTGAAACAGGCCTCTGCAAGGCCCCGTCCGTCCGATGTGGCCGATCCACTCGAGGTGTTGAGCGGGATTCTTGGAAAGCAAAGAGAGGAGGCGCTGCAGGCGGAGAAACCCATGCAGTTGGTGCCGGACATTGACTTCGGTGGGCTAAGCCTGGAGGAGTTCGTGGCGGCGGAGGCGGAACCGCGACCGGTTGGTAGCGACATTGGAGCGCAGACCATTCAGCAATTCGAACAGGAGAGAGATAAATTCCAGGACCTACACTCGGCCATCACGGGGTGCGACGATGCCTCGAAATCGATGGAGATATATCTGGGTGACTTCCAGACCGAATTGGGGGCTGTATCAGCGGAGATCGAGAGCCTCCAGACCCGATCGGTGCAGCTGAGTGCGATGTTGGAGAATCGGCGCAACGTCGAGCAGCTTCTCGGCCCCGCCGTGGAGGAAATCAGCATTTCCCCACGAGCTGTCCGAGTGATTTCTGAAGGCCCCATTGATGAGAACTGGGTCAAGGCGTTGACCGAGATCGAGACGCGCACCGCCAGCATTGAGGCCCGGGTTTCCAGTTCGAATACCACCGCGTCCATTGAGGATGTGCGTCCTCTCTTGAGTGATATCAAGAAAAAGGTCAGTATCGTCGGTCAGAGGGGGCGAGGGGCGAAAGAAGTCCGGGGAAGTTGAGCGCTGATCACCTATCTAGGCCGTGGAGAGGATTCGAGATTACTTAGTTTCTCAGATCCGAGCGTTGCGGTCGCCGAACATCAACGCTCAAATCATCCAGCAGCAGCGCCTGGTCAAATTCAAGGACCTATACAGCTACATCTCGAGAGCGCATCCGACACTGACAGGGGAGATCACGCAAGCCTATATCAACACCATGCGATGGTATTATCTATCTCACTTTACGCGTTATTTACAGGCATTGGAGAAACTCAAGGTCTATCCCAGCGACCGAAACGAAATATTGGGGGGAGACGCGTCGGCGCCAAAATCAGGTCAGTTTCTTGGACTCCAGTACGTAGTATATATAGTTCTAACAGACGGCAGGGAATATTGTCTCCGGCAGCCGTGCCGGCACTACGGCCCATGACCCGTTCTCATTGGGGAGGCGCATCGACATTCTACGGACGGGGAATCAAATGGCCATGTCCTCGTACCTTGCGGAGGAGGACAACTCGTTCCATGGGATTGAGGTGCCCTTCCGGAATTTCAACCTGGCTCTCGTGGACAACGTCTCGGCCGAATACTCATTCATGACGGAGATGTTCTCGACGCTCTCGTTCCACCAGATCTCGCGCAAAGCCGTGGAGATCTTCGACCCCGTATTCACCCTAGGACAGGGGCTAACGAAGCAGCTGATCGACACCAGCACCGACTCGCTCGGGGTGCTGGTCTGCGTGCGGCTGAACCAGCAAGCGGCCTTTGAGCTGCAGCGTCGCAAGGTGCCCGTCGCCGACTCGTACGTGAACGGTATCAACATGCGTCTGTGGCCGCGGTTCCAAGTGATCATGGACCTGCAGTGTGAGTCGCTGAAGCGAGTCGCCTCCCACACTGGACGCAGCGCCGTGTCGGCGCTATCGCTGGCAGGTGGTGGCGGCGATGATCTGAACCAGTCGACGGCACCGCACTTCCTCACGCAACGCTTCGGCCAGCTGCTGCATGGCATCCTGGTGCTCAGCAGCGAGGCGGGAGATGATGAGCCCGTGTCCAACAGTCTGGCGCGACTAAGAGGCGAGTTCGACAGTCTGCTGGCCAAGCTCAGTCGTATCGGAAGCGATGCCAAACGCCGCGAGCGATTCTTGTCCAACAATTACTCTTTGATTTTGACCATTATTAGTGTACGTGATTCTTGGCCTCCCTCTCAGAGAACTAAGATGGTGATAGACTGACGAGATCCAAGGATACCCAAGGCAAGTTAGCCATTGACCAGCGCCAGCATCTGGAGGAGATGCTGAAAAATGTCGGGAAGCGGGGATAGTGACCGAGATTCTTGTAGATATGTTGTAGACTCATACATAATATACCATCATTCCTATGTAATCTGCTGTCATAAACATCACACTGATTATCATGATCTCAAATGAATGGTCTTGACTCGGGCTTCTCCGCGATCGGCGTGTACCCCGACCGACCCACAGAACTGATCTCCCACGCTCTCTTTCCAACATAACTCTCCGACATGACTCGATCATCCCCAACAATCCTTGCGCGATCCATGGGATAGATTATCCTTCTTGGGTCAAGGTAGAATCCACATGGCTGCACGTACGTGTCTCAATTCCCTGCATAGGATCCGACCATTTCAATGTCGATCTTTCTCGAGCACGCGACCCTCCCCAGCGGATGTGACACATGCGGTAATAACCCACGCTCCGAACCTCTCCCAAATAAGGAATAAATGAATAGGATTCACTGACAGTTCGGTACAGATCATTGGAGCCGGTGTGGTCGGACTGGCCATCGCTAGACAATTGGCAGCGCGAGGGGGCACGACAATCCTCCTGGAGAAGAATGACGCACCCGGAATGGAAACGAGTAGTCGGAACTCAGAGGTATATATCTCACTAGTTATCTCCTACTATCTACCTATTGTACCCTGGGTATTAATGAATCAGGTATAGGTAATCCATGCGGGATTATACTACGGCACCAACACTCTAAAAACCGATCTCTGTATACGCGGGAAAGAACTTCTGTATGATCTCTGCGTGGAGAAGGGGATCCCCCACCGCAGGACCATGAAATGGATCGTAGCGCAAACGCCCGAGCAATGGGAGGCGACGCTGCGAGTGCATGCGCACGCGCAGAACATCGGTGTGCCGACGCGGATTGTGTATGCCGACGAGGCGAGCCGACGCGAGCCGGCAGTGCGGGCACGCGCCGGTATTCTTGAAAGTCCGACAACGGGGATCATCGATAGTCACTCGCTAATGGTGTACCTACAAGGGGCGTTCGAGGAGAAAGGCGGCGATTGTGCATTTCGCACGGAGGTGACGGGAGTGGCGAAGGAGGGCGGTGGGTACCGGATCACTGCGCGGTCGGGGGACGACGGCGAAGAGACGAGCATTACGGCCGAAACGGTGATTAATAGTGCGGGCAATTATGCGTGCGCGATCAATAATATGATCCTGCCGCAGGACCGACATCGCACCCCGTTTTACGCCAAGGGGACATACTTCTCGTATACGGCTTCCCGACCGTCGACGCAGGTGCTGGTGTATCCAGCGACGCTGCCGGGCCACGGCGGCTTGGGCACGCATTTAACGCTGGACATGGGCGGACGCATCCGGTTTGGCCCGGACGTGGAATGGGTAGACAGTCCGAACGATCTGCAGCCCAGCGCGGCCCGACTGCAGCAGGCGTTGCCGGAAATCCAGGCGTATCTGCCCCAGGTCGACCCGGAGGCGATCAGTCTGGACTACTGTGGGATTCGACCCAAGCTGGGCCGTGGAGGCGCCGTGAATACAGGCCACGGATTCCAGGACTTTGTCATCCAGGAAGAGGACGGGTTCTCGGGGTTTGTCAATCTGTTGGGCATCGAGAGTCCTGGGTTGACGAGTTCATTGGCCATTGCGGAGAAGGTGGAGGGTTTACTGTACGGTTAAGCCTCTCGTAGACGATACAGACAGACGGTGGATGCGTCCATGTCCAGCATCAACCCACCCCGAAGCTTAATGGGATGTTCTGACGTCAACACTCGCGGTTGGCCTTCGTTCTCGCCTCGTAGAATGAATGCACATTGTTGGTTGAATTGCAGGGACCTCTCTTCGCCCGCGGAACCCTTATCGCCACGGGGTTTCGTCCGCAGTATAATAATATCTAGCCTGATGTCCATCCCGAGCATGAGCACCCTTCCAGTCCAGCCCAAGACAGTGAAGGAAATCAAAAAGCACCCTACCCATGGCCGACCTCAAAGAACACCACCACGACTACAGACACAGACGGCCCCATACTCCGCAATCGCCGTCCCAGAAGAGCCCGTCCAACGCCCACAAACGATGCTGGGACTGGATCATCGTCGGCGGGAACTGCCATTACGCAAAGAACCGAACCGCCTTCCGTAGCTACCGGCGCGCACCCGGGAAGATCGGCGGCTCCAAGGTATTGGGGGTGGGAACGGTGGAGTTGAAGGTCCGACGGACCTCGAACGATGAGCGCTCGAGCACGTTGGTCCTGACGGATGTACTGCACATGCCAAACGCACGCTGCAACGGACTGAGTATCTCCAAATACCGAGAGGCGAATCCGCTATCCGGCGTCGAGATGGAGAAGGAGCATTTCCAGGCGACGAGTCATATCGATGGGGAGCCCCTGTGGTGTGCGGATGAGTTCTGCGGCATGTCCAAGGTGGCGCTGGCAGGTAATCCCAAGGGGGAGTCGTATCTCAGGGATGGCCAGGTGTACATGCTGAGTGTCATTGCTTCTTCAGAGGAGTTGGAACGGCTGAACAAACGGCTCAGAGATACGGATTGGACGGTCCATTCTTAGTCATACCAGCCTTCTTGCATGCACGATGCGAGTGACGAATCTTTTGGGCATTCATGAATAGATAGATTATCATGTGTGTATAATAAATAAATGTATCATACATCGTGTCATGACCAACTACTTACCCCTTTTGCAGCCAGCGGTATGGAACGGCATTAGAGAAGATCCTCGTTGATATACACACATACCAACTGCCCGGATTAGCGTATGCCCCGCAGGAGCGTTTGCTAGCTGAATTGATCAGGTGAAAGACATCGTCACCCAGTCTGCTGGGTCCAGGCTCAATAGCCCCAGCAAAGGCTAGGCGGAATAAAGTTCCAGAGACACAGGTATATGGGCAGGGCTGGCTTTCCCTGGACATGTAAGACAGGGCGTCTTAGGAGCTACCAACAGAGGCGAGTTTAGGACTGACTACTGTGACACATTTGCCATTCTGCTCCTTAGGTCTCATTCCATATATAGGAGCATATCACTCATAGTATGAAGGACGTACGAAAACTTGTGCTCGCTCCATTTTCCAGCATCTTTGAGTAGACCCACGTAGTCCTGGAGAATGCGTCGGGCGGACTGACATCCCCCTTGGAATGGCTCCCCACGGAGATACACAACGCCGCCATTTCGGATGAAGTTTACTGCCGGATCCGCGGACGGCGTGGATGACTGTATGCCAACGGGTTCCATGAAGCTGGTAAATCCTTCGGTACCAACAGCCTGCCAATTTATATCGTCGAGAAGCTCGAGGTAGGCACCCTGCCCCATTCCCTCCGTAGTATTTGGCACCACGAATACGTACAGCCCCAATACTATTGCAGCAGAGAAAATTGAGAACACGGAGTGGGACATAATTTGATCAGACGCTTTGCGGTTGACCATGGCTTTGTAAATGTGGGCAGCATGTAAGCATGCCCTTCGTGCTGCAGGCGTCTGAGACCACGCGGCGATATCATCCAGTGCTTTTTGCACTGGGCCAGGACCAGCCCGTCCGGCGGCCAGGTCAAATATCTGTGTATCGGCCGTGAGTGTCATGCACATGTTGTGCCACATGACAGCTGCATTCGGATCCAATTGCGATAGAACGTCTGCATATTTGCTAGCGATTTGCAATTGAAGAGAGGGCAAGCAGCGCGCACGGCCGTCCATCGCATACGTATGGCAAGGAGCAAATGGGTAGCTGGCTCGGTTCGACAATAGTCTATGATAGGCTTCTGACAGCCGGAGTTGAACCATAGCCAATAGCAAATGCATGCCGAAGCTATCAACGGGGCTTTCCAGGTCTGGAATATTGACATTCTCGGATGGCGCCACCACGGTGGGCATCAGGATATGCATGCCGCTGTGGATCAGCTGCATCCATCTCGCAGCATTGTTGGCCTGGAAAAGACCTTCGTTGCACGGTAGAATGATCTGAATGGAATCGGGCACAATTATAGGGCTCGTCGAAAAAAAGGACGCATACCAGGAGTCCAAAAGCAAAAGTCCAGATATTAGTCTAGCTCAGTCAGTAAGCCATGGTATGAAATAAGAAAGAAAGACATACCGCTTGATGGATTCTATTTTGCTCCAGACCTTCCATTTCATATCAGCCTCTAGAATCGCTTCAAAGAAGCTCAAATCTAGTATTTGGCCTTCTGTCGCTGTGAAAAGCCCATGCCGCTGGGCAATCTACTTCTGTATCAACAGTCGTCCACAGAGTCCATCTGCTCTCGACTTACAGATATGAGACTGATGTAGAGCATCTGACACTTTTCCAAGTGCTCTTTTTCCTGCAGGTCGATCAGTCCACAACTCAGGAAGTGAGAAATACATGAGTCTTACCCCAGCCATGGCCGCGAGATGCAGGAAGAGGAAAACAGCAGCAAATATAGACATGGTGTTCTCTGCGGACTCGGTCCCCAAAGAGCACTTGGCGAGCTCACCAGTAAGTTTCTCGAGCACATACTAATGCATATGGTCGTAAGAGAGGCGCCCCGTAGAGAATAATCTGCATGTCACTTACTGAAAAGTTCTTAGAAACAAAGTAAGTGGTCCCTTTCGTCCCTAGCATTACCATTCCAATCAAGCACATGGTATACAGCACAGAAGCACGAGAATTCCTAGCAGAAAATGTAGGCAGATGAACAAACGGCACAATCGGGTGGAAATTTCGAAAGTACATGTCCAGCGCCATATCTAGAATTTCAGCGGGGGGGAAATTAGGTAGGGCGACAGCCCCATGTTCTACCGGATGGATATGTGAATTGTCAAGTCGAACATTTCCAAATTCCGCCAGTAGATGCTGCCGACATTCCTCGTCCAGACCATACCGGGATTCTTGAAGAATGCCTGACGTGCTGTCCACTCCCAACACAGGATACAGGGTAAAAATGTTGTCCAAGTCGACGTTGGCTACCTCCCCCCATAGATTGTTTATGAGACGCCCATTATGGTTCGAAGGTCGCAACCAATATCTCTGAAGATTGGCAAATCGTTCACTCATGATACCCTCTACGGACTTGACTCCAAGACTGTCTGCCGAGGCTCTATCTGGTCGCTCTGGAGAAGCCTCCACATGCTCCCCAAGCATGCCAAGGCTAGAATCCGCCATTAGACTCGGTGAGCCGTTGTGCAAGCCCACGTCGGCTTGAGGCTCGAACCAGAATTGCGTCATTTCGTTCGGACTAGCGCCAAGTAAGGACCCTCTGTAAGCCGGCGAATCGGTTGCAGCCACCTCATTCCATCCAAAGTACGTCCGTTGGTCCCCCATCGTCATGGAGCTAACTTCGGGTTCGGGGCGCGCGTGACGTGCAGAAACGGTTGCCAGAAAGTCTAAAGACGTTGGTGGGAGGCCGGTTGTTGAGGAAGGCATGTCATGGGGTATCACCGGAGTTTGTTGTGTCAATTCGGTAGCTCTCGTGCCATTTAAATAGGGTGGATTATCATTGGAGAGGGCGGACGGTCGACGAATGGAAGCTGGGTCGACTGTCGTCACAGGCTGGCCATCCTTAGCTCCAGGTGGTGCAGACGCTGTCGCACCATTGTGACCTTTGGCATGGCGACTCAAAACATCGCTACAGAGAATAATTCGGTGAGTTCTCCAACAAACCGCGAATATATCATGCCATGTGAGCCGCAGGTTGCTACCCACCTTCGCGAGAACCGTTTATGACAGACATTACACTCGTAGGGCTTTTCCTTCGTGTCTATCTGAAGTCAGCACGGCCTAAATCCAAACCCTCCAAAGCAGGAGGAATAGAAAGAAATTAACTTACGCGACCTTTCATGGCGTTTGAAATGCTCCGTCTTCTTAAACCGCCGGTCACAGATGGTACACCTTTTCATGACCATGATGCAGCTCGCCGGAGGGCCGGGGGGGACCAAGACGCGGGAGAACCGACACCACCGGGCATGACACGCGATAGACGTTTGACAGTGAACGAAGAAGCAGTGAGAATCAAAAAGGAGACGCGAAATGCACGAGGCGTTGGTTAAGGGAGACGAGGGGAGACTTGAATTCGTTGACAAGACCATCGGCGGGACGGATCGGGGATGACGCCGAGCTGGACCCACCGCCTGCAGAATGGAGACAATCACTCTGACACACGATGCTTACTCCACGAGTATACTCCGGGGTATATCGCACTATCGGATACTATTAGAATGGGGGTAAGACGCAGGTACCACGAGTCACTAACGGTCCCAGAATATCCCGAGCTGATTGCCCTACGGACGATTCGCGATGCCTCAGGACGTCGAGGAGTTGCTTGGATGACTCAGCACCGGCCGGCACATCCGGCAGTTTCTCTGCCATCAATTGCCGGTCCATGTTTATTCTTCAAGTTCTTTACAGCTTCCAATCCAGCATCGAAGCTCAGGACCATTACGCCCCTCTGGCTAGCTCTGTCAGGTATTCATAGGGTGTAGTCCCTCTGGATCGAGTGGAGAATATGAAGAGCTCCATCGACCCACTGGTGGATTCGACTTTCAGATCATCAAACTCATTTCTCCGGGGCGATGTGGAGTGGCATTTCATGATGAAATTCTCATGATCGCACAGTCTCGGGGTGGTGCGTGAGACGCAGGGATATCCCTACTAAAGCAATGATCTAATGCAGTCAAGCATCATACAGTCCATCCTATTCATTCTGGTCTGATGGACAGCCAGAGTACAGCAAATGAAGGAATCAATCGCTACTTCCCAAGATGCAACGCCATCACTCCCTCCCAGTCCTAGCCAGTCAACATATTTCCCTTTACATATTAATATAAAATACTCACCTGGCACATATTCACGATCTCCTCTTCATTCCACCCGTCCTCGTTGCCCACATTGTCATATCACTCCCGTCGCATCCAATCCGATCAAGGTCTATAGTTCACCTGCATATCCATTGGTCTATATGACCATCCCCAGAGTATAGCACTAACCACCAACATCTCCGTATGTCCTGTCAAGCATTCCATCCATCGCGGATCATAAAATCCAGAGGTTGAATTCTCCCCCACCATGCAGCATCCGCTCTCCATCCGGATGTGGGGTCGGCTTCGGAAGGCGGCAAAAAGAGATGGGCGGCGGATAATCGCTTTGTCGGGTGCCTCGATCGGTAGTCGATCGGAGCTCCCACGAACAAGTTATATGATACCTCATCTGCCTCCTTTTCCTTCGCATGAATTCCTTCCGCCATAGATAATACGCCCCATTGGTCCAGGCTGCGTCATGTCGCGGCCTTTCCCAACGGTGTTCCGCCCCATCTGGCGGCGGAACTTTTGCATATCCACGCCCAAACGGGCCATTGATAAACGATGCAACTCGGCGTCGGAAGCTGTACAGAACATGAAGGGATCGTCAACGGTCCTGGTGGGAGGTTTCGGGTTCTCCGGCGTGCCGAATACCCTGATCAACTCCGTGCGCGATCGGCCCGATATCACCGATCTAACGGTCGTGTCGAACAATGCGGGTATGCCCGGGGTAGGACTGGGCCAGCTGCTGGAGACCCGGCAGGTCAGTAAGATGATTGCGTCGTTTATTGGGGAAAATAAGATGTTTGAGAAAATGTATCTGAGTGGGGATTTGGCGCTCGAATTGACACCCCAGGGCACCATTGCGGAGAAATGCGCCGCCGGAGCGGCAGGTGTGCCTGCTTTTTATACGCCGGCAGCTTATGGGACAATCGGTTGGTCTTTTGCCTATCATGTCATTGTGTGTATGTGTGTATGTATGCTGACCAGTCAGTTCAAACGGGGGAACTCCCCGTTCGGTATAACAAGGATGGCTCGGTGGCCGAAACCTCCAAGCCTAAGGAAACCCGCCAATTCAACGGCAAAAACTACATCCTGGAAGAATCGATTTTCGGCGACTACGCGTTGGTCAAGGTGCACAAGGCCGACAGACTGGGCAATTGTCAGTTCCGCAAGGCGATGAATAACTTCAACGAGGCTATGGCGAAGAATGCCAAGTACACCATCGTGGAGGCGGACCATATCGTCGAGGTCGGCGAGATTGCCCCCGAGGATATCCATCTGCAAGGCATCTACGTCAATAAAGTGATCCAGAGTCTCGGCGAGAAGCAGATCGAGAAGCTCACCTTCGCCAAGGACCCGAGTGAAATGCTCAAGGCCGGTAAGTCGCCCTATCGGTGCATTGCGGTGAAGCTGACCGGGTACTAGGGTCCGGCGAGGCCACTGCCCGTCGTGAGCGCATCGTCAAACGCGCCGCGAAGGAATTCCGGGACGGAATGTATGTCAACCTCGGGATTGGAATGCCCCTGATTGCTCCTTCCTATCTGCCGGAGGGCGTGGAGGTCGTCCTCCAGGCTGAGAACGGTATTCTGGGGTTGGGTGGCTACCCCCAGCCTGGAGAGGAGGACCCGGACCTGATCAACCCGGGCAAGGAGACCGTGACTCTGGGTGGCGGCGCTTCTCTATTCGGATCGCATGAAAGCTTCGGTATGATTCGCGCGGGACTTATTGATCTCACGATGCTTGGCGCTCTGCAGGTCAGCCAGTACGGCGGTATGTTGACTTTCCTGGCATAATGGATACACAGCACATGCTCATGTCATCCACAGATCTCGCAAACTTTATGCTACCCGGTAAGGTAAAAGGTGTTGGCGGTGCCATGGACTTGGTCGCCAACCCTGAGAAGACCAAGGTCGTTGTGACAATGGTACGTAACTACGCAAAGCCTCCGATATTGCATACTGACATGGACCAGGAACATGTCGACAAGAAGGGTAACCCTAAGATCCTCCCGGAGTGCAGCTTCCCCTTGACGGGTCCCCGCTGCGTATGGAAGATCATTACCGATCTAGCAGTGTTCAACGTCAGCCCTACCACGGGATTGACTCTGACCGAGTACGCCGAGGGAGTCACTGTGAACGAGATCCGCAGCAAGACCGCCGCTCCGTTCAAGGTAGCTGATAATTTGAAGCCGATGCTGTAACAGATATCCGTATAGAGTGTTAATTGATTCGTTTTCATGATCTCTCCTCTTTCCAACATCTACGACTTTACATGTTGTCTCGAAGAACTGTGACCTCGGGAAATCATATAGTGATAAAAGTTCCCACCATGACCCACTATATTGCTTTCACTAGGAGCTAAGGCTTTTTACATATTTGGTCGAGTAGTTTTGTCTTGACATACTGTGCATAGCGTGGACGATCGTGAGAACCGGCTATTGCCGGTAATTCCATGCTAGGCGGATTGTCGAACACGCCACGATAACTCGCCGGATGTGAATTCATTTTGTATTATTAAGATAGCCAGGTCTGTGAGAGGTTAATTATCTGTTCTCAACGTGAACGAGACTGTCACCATAATATGACACCCTTATATCCTATCGCCTAAATACTCCCCATTCTCATTCGTTCATCATGCAATGCTGCAATACCACGTCAGGCTCATCAGAGGCAATTCGAAGCGAGGATGCTGGCAAGAATCAGAGACAACAACAACTGCATGTCAGCAGTCTAGATCTTGGGCCAGGAGATAAATAGTGCTTTTTCCCCAGAACAAAATACATATCCAAATCCGATCCATCAAATACTACAAAGTACAAAGTAAAAGGTACACGAACCTAATACAATGCGTTCACTCATATCCCTCTCTCTCTTTTTCCTCTTCGCAACCTCCCTCGCAGCCCCCTATCAAACCCGCATCCTCGAAACAGGCACTACATTCAACTCCCCGGATCCCTACGGCCCATGGCAAATGATCCCATCCTCCCCGCCGAGCCTAGCATACATCAAAACCACCAACACAGGCACCGGCCGCGTGGAGGTACACATCGCATCGGGATCCTCACGATACCAGTCCCGCACACTCGAAGTCGGCACGACCTTCGTCTCCGAAGACAATGGCACATGGCAGCTCATTGACGCGGATGGCGACGGAGTGCCGGATCTCGTATACATCAAGACGCGCAACACGGGCACGGGACGAGTCGAGGTTCATATAGCGTCGGGGGCGTCGAATTACCAAACTCGCATCCTGGAAGTCGGAACGACGTTCTATCCCGAGGATGACGGGGTGTGGCAGATGGGGCATTTCAACGGAGACGGAAAGTTGGATTTGATTTATATCAAGACGAGAAATACCGGGACGGGAAGAGTCGAGGTGCATGTTGCGTCTGGGGCGTCGAATTATCAGAACAGAGTTCAGGAGGTGGGGACCACGTTTTATCCTGAGGATGATGGCGTGTGGCAGATGAGGGACTTCAATCGCGATGGACGTCTGGATCTGGTGTACATCAAGACACGGAATACAGGCACCGGGAAGGTCGAGGTGCATGTCGCGTCGGGAAGTTCGACGTATCAGACGAGGGTGCAGGAAGTGGGAACGACGTTTTATCCGGAGGATAATGGGTTCTGGGAGTTGGTGGACTATAATGGGGACAGGGTGTTGGATCTGGTGTATATCAAGACGAGGAATACGGGGACAGGCAGGATTGAGGTGCATGTCGCATCGGGGAGGAGTTGATCGGAAGTTTGTCTATCAATCTCGGATTGTAGTATAGCTACCAGAGGAACTGTTCCTGGAATTTCACAGACGGCGCTCCACTCCAATGGTTCAGTTCCAGCGGTGTGTTAGAAGGGGACAGCGTAGAATCTTCCGATCGAAGCTCATTCATAGACTGGAACGATATCACAGGATTAGCCGGTCCAGTTCGGATGGCATCTCGCTCCATCGGAAACGTTTCATATAATTGTCGAGCTAAACCGGGAGACAATATCCTGCGTTCTTCCGTATGACTCCGAGCATCTATACAGGAGACTCCCATTGATGAATCAGACTGAGGCTCAGAAGACACTCCCAGTCGATCTATTCCTTCGTAGATGTGCTCCGATGGTGTCTGTACATCGGCAGTGTTCGATCTCTGTTTCTGTCGCTCAATAGTTGAATCGGATGTTTCATCATTGAGGTGATCGTGCTGCCATCGCCGGATACCCTGGGCCGTATCTAAAGGAAACCGCTTCCAGTACTCTGCTCCCCTCTTGTCCTGTCGAGGAAAGGGTGGATATCGCGGATGATTTCTATCGCCACTGGTCCTCGAGGACTTGTCTTGAACAATGATCTTGGATAGTTTCTCATCCGAGATATCAGAGAGGACTTTCAACAGCACTGTCTCAGTCTCATGAAGACGATGTTCCAGGGCCTCGATGTATCCCTTTGCAGGTCCCCTAGAAGCATGAGATTTCGTACAATCCGGAGTGATCGGTCAAGCCAAGTCTTACCGTTTGAGCTGCTCAGGCCAATCGCACTGTCGATTATGTTGGACGCATTGAGTACATACAGGCCTTCCAAGTTAGATCAATCATCGCCTTTATATATATACCGGCTCACCTTTTTCCACTACACTATATACAAGAGTAAGTTTATATCCATGGAGTTGATTGTATCGGGACCTACCTTTTGCTTCCGCGTGCGGCAGGGGTTGCAAGCAATTGTGATGCGAGATGGTCTGGAGCTATTCAACGGGCTCATTGTGCATCAACGTGCATACATCCATCCAAGATAATGTCCATATAGGTCATCATGCAGGAGCGAAAGGGTCTGACAGTTTTCACGCCTCTGGTGGGGTACTATCGACGGCTGAAGGTTTAGCCGCGCTTTTTTCCGACGCTGTCATGTTCGTCATTAAATTCAGTGATAATATCAGCATTTCATGAAGATGTTTGTTTTAACAACGATAGCAGAGGATAATAGTGTATTGCTGGGAAGGATCATTAGATCAGATCATATTAGAGCAGACTAGAGCAGCATAGCCATAGAACTAGAATTGGATCGACAGATGGTAGTATATGGTAGGTGAAGAATAGAGAAAATGATGCAACAATAGTACAGTACTCGCAAGATAGTCTAGTCTAAATTCTGTTTACAACTTGTCAGCTATTAAAATAGGCACATTCCGTGTCCTCCAGTTGTATTAGCAAGTATCCTGACATCGGATGAAGATTCAGGCGGAACGAATCGTCCTCCTACACCACCACAGGTATATATGGACCTTAATCAGAGCCCTATAACTTGTATATTTTCCAAGTATCATATCTTATCCATGACTATATAAATAATCATTCCAAATGGCCACATCCACGCCGACCTACCGTATTGCATCTATCCCCGGCGATGGCATCGGGCCCGAAGTCGTCGATGCCACCATCCAAGTCATCAAGAAGCTCGCCCAGACTCTGGGAAGCTTCCATGTCGACTTCACGCACATTCCATGGGGCACCCAGTACTACAAGCAACATGGCTGCTATGTATGGGAAAATCACCTGGACACTCTCCGCCAGTTCGATGCGACCCTGTTCGGATCCGTGGGCGATCCTGGTATGTTCAATTCATCCATCTCGTACCATAGCCACCCAGCTAACCTGGACAATTCAGACGTTCCGGATCACATCTCCCTTTGGGGTCTACTACTAGCAATCCGGGGTCCGCTCCAGCTCTATGCCAACGTGCGTCCTGTGCGCACGTTCCCGGGCACCAAGTGTCCTCTGACGACGGCCAAGGACGGGATTGACTGGGTTCTTGTGCGAGAGAACTCCGAGGGCGAGTATTCCGGCCAAGGGGGTCGCAGTCACGTCGGACAGGAATGGGAGGTCGCAACAGAGGTGGCGATGTTCACGCGCGTAGCCATCAAGCGTATCATGCGGTTCGCCTTTGAAACGGCGCGGTCGCGGCCACGCAAACACCTGACGGTCGTCACGAAGAGCAATTCGATGCGCAATGGCATGGTCCTCTGGGACCAGGTAGCGGACGAAGTATCCCGCGACTTCCCCGATATCACTTGGGATAAGATGCTAGTGGATGCGATGACGATCCGCATGGTATCGAGCCCGCAGTCGTTGGATACCATTGTCGGAACCAACCTGCACATGGACATCCTGTCAGATTTGGCAGCCGCGCTAGCGGGTTCAATTGGCGTGGCACCGTCAAGTAATTTAGATCCGACGCGGCAGAACCCGTCCCTCTTTGAGCCAGTGCACGGTAGTGCGTTCGACATCACGGGGAAGGGCATAGCTAATCCAGTTGCGACGTTCTGGTCCGCGGCAGAGATGCTGTCATGGTTGGGGGAGAAAGCGGCAGCAAAGAAGTTTATGGATTGTGTGGAGAGGGTCTGTGCGGCTGGGGTTCTGACGCGAGACTTGGGAGGAAATGCCAACACGCAGGATGTCGTGGATGCAGTATGTCTTGAAATTGACGGTCTGAGTGTGTGACTTCGTATATATATATAGAACTAAATACGCGTTAACCACTACCTTTTCTCCCCTCAAATCAACCCAAATTCTTGTTGAAGACAGATCAATCAGTGAAGAAGTACAAGGCAAAAAAAAAAAAAAAAAAGGCGCAGCATAAAGGCTGTGGGAATGAATAAACACTTGGTAAAAGTGTAAAAAAGAATGACAAGAGTGGGATTCGAACCCACGCCATCTTACGATGAGTAGGAAACTCGTTGAGTTATTTGTTAAGGTGAACCTTAACCTACCGCCTTGGACCGCTCGGCCATCTTGCCAGTTGTTGAACAAAAGCCATAAATTTTGACATGATTAGCCTGATAGAGATAATCTGACTCACATCCCCTACGACTTCGACTTCAATTTCTTCCTGATCTGTTCTTCCCCTGCAGATGCTGTCTCTTCATTGAAGCTCCTCCTCGTGAGGCATCATGTTCCTATCGCGATGGAGCCCTCAGATCTTACCTCTGGCCCGCGCGAGATTGGTTCCCTGACCTCACAGTCTAACGACGAGAGCCAGTTCGTCGGCAGCTCCAGCGGGGTGTTCTTCATTAACACTGTTCGGCAAGCGTTCTCGCAAAACCTGGATCAGCTGGGTGGTGCTTCCTCAGCACAGGGTTTCCCCCAGCCGGAAGACACTCTTTTGGGCAGCGATGCATCGCCTCACGAGAAGTGTTCCGCCCCGTCCTCCGCCAAAGTATCCCCCTCGGTGACGGATTCTCACTCATCCCGATGTCAATGGGAATACGATCCCACCGTGGCAGCAGTCTTGGGCATCGCACCGCCGGTGGATACAGCCCGCCAGCTCATGATGGTATACTTCAAAGTCTGGCATCCCCTGTTTCCCTTTCTCCACGGACCGACTTTCCTGCAGGCCATGGAGCTGCTTTATTCAGATGGGAATCAGGACGTCGCCGCTCCACCTTCCCTGGAGCATCGGAGCGCCTGTTGGACTGCAATCTTCCAGTGTGTGTTCAATCTGGCCAGTCATTTACATCCAGATATCCATCTTCCGCCGGAGTCCCGCATCGGATCTCCCAGTAGCATGCACGCATTGCTCGGTACGCTGACCAGTAGAAATGATCTCCCTTCGCTGCAGGCATTACTTGCCTCGCAACTGTACCTCGTGGCCAAGATGTCACTCCGCACAGCATCCACTGTGGGTGGCTGCATGCTGCGGTCCATGCTGCATGCAGGTCTCCACCGCTGTCCATTCCGGTACAGGGAGCTCTCCTCGCATGATCGCCAATTACGCAAGAGGATATTCTGGTCTGCTTACGCTATCGACCGTTATCTCAGCCAGGCGCTCGGTTTGCCACTCGGTATCCAAGATTCTGACATCGATGTTTGTGCTCCGGGCCTCCATGAGGTCCACACCCCTGGCACATACAGTCGGGAATGGCCATCCTTCCTGCCCCCTTCACGGGACCATCACGCAGGAAACAGTCCCATGAGCCCATTGACCGAAAATCCCAATAGACCTCACACAATGGAGGACTCGGATTCCCAACGAGGCAAAAGAGAGCTCGCATTCGCTAGCTACGTCGAATCTGGCAAGCTCACGGGTCAGGCGTTAGAGCTTTTCCACAAATCCATCCTCGTCCGTTCTGTCCGACGAAGCTCCGTCCTCTTCCTCGTCACCGACGTCCACAAATGGTGGAACAGTCTCTCCATCGACCTACAAGGAGTCGCTGCAACGTCCCCCACTTCAGAATCACCATTCAACTTTGGTCCCTTCTTCACCGTCCTCTACCAACATCTCATCCTCCTCATTAAACGACCATCCCTCTCCTTGAGCCCTTCAACCCCTGAGTTCGGTTCTGCCCTGCAAACCTGCATCGGCGCTGCCAGAGAAATCCTCGCCGCATTAAAAACTCAGGTCGATGCCGGGCAGGCTCTCTTCTGGCCCGGTTTCTTATCCGCTGCGTGGATGGCTGGTCTGGTCCTTGCCTTTGCCTGCCAGTTACGCCAATATGTCATAGCCAAGGCATCTCAGTACGTACTACATATTCCACCCCTCTATCCCCCACCTACTCGGCTACAGAACCAGCTCTATCCAGTCTAATTAATCCAACTAACCCCCTCCAGGGAAATAACCAAATGTCTCGACTTCCTCCACTTAATGTCCACACAATGGGAAACAGCCAAACACTGCCATCGAGCACTTACTCTCCTGTTACAAAACATCCGTCACCAATTTTCCACCGACCCCATTACTCGCCCCTCACTCTTACAGACCCTAATAAGTCCCCACGACCAATCCCATCCTGCCAACCACAATATCACCACGGAGAGTCGCAAACGACGGAGACCCGTCCCCTTCTCCCCTGCAATAATAGGGGATACTTCTCTCCGTCCGGAAACAGGCGTGCCACCTTCTACACCGAATCTGCGCCACGAGAGCACTGCTCGGAACGGCGGGGTGGGATTGTCGGATACTCCGTCTGTCCAGGAAAATCATGTCTGTCCGATGGACAGCCATTGTCCTCTCCATACTGCTGGCGGGAGCAGCAGGATGGGACGCGATTTTCGAGTTGACGTTGACTGTCAAGACCAGGATCGACTCTTTTTTCCGGATGAGGTAGTGATGGAGCTTGATTCGAATATGGCGGATTTGCTCCAGGGCTCGAATTTCGACGACCTGGTTCATATGTTTGGGCAGCAGTACCCGAGTTTTTGACCTAGCTAGACCATATTTTTGGATATTCTTGTACATGTGCTATCTGGACCAATTATCTATCCTATATCCACGAACATCGTCATATTACGGACTACAGTAAACAGAATCTGGAAAATATCCCTGAGGAAGTCATAAGTCTATATTACACTCGTCTCAAATAAGAAAGATACGAGGTAGGTAGAATGGCGGGACAGGAAGAGAAAAGACATCACAACTTCCTCCCTCTCGTGACATAAAACCTAGAAAATAAAAAAATGGAAACGAAAACACCGTGACATCCGAATAACTTTTTGTCTCCGATCCCAATGAAATTCCGGTTTTCCACAGCTTTCCACCGCATCCATCATGCGATCATCCACACTGTATTATCACAACGTGGTTGCCAATAGCTCTGGACACATAAGGGACAAGGCGTGAAGATATGGAGATCCAGAAAACCGCGTGTCGCTCACGAGGTACAGGCAAGTGACACCGCTAACAAAGAACATTTTGGAAACCGACGGATATCAGGACCAGGAGGGGAAGCAATAAGCTAAGGGAGATAGGAGAGAAGTGAGAAATAAGAGAAAAAAAAAAATCGTTAATTCGATCAAGGGGATAGTAGGTCATCAAAAATAGAAGGCGAATCAAAAACTCCTTATGAGACTGCAGGGGGGAAGTCTACCACGCATCAAGCATAGAGATCCATCATCTACGACTTGTTTTCTTCAGTAGAGGTCTCCTTGGCAGCCTCCTTGGGCTTGCCAGGCTCTCCGGCCGTCTCACCCTCACCACCCTTGTTCTTCATGTACTCGTCATAAACGCTCAAAGCCTCATCAACCTTGGCACGCAGGGCCTCCTCGTCGTCAAGCCTAGGAAAAAGTAGATTGTTAGCACTTGATTCTACAATGGGTTTTCCAAATTAAAACTATATGGGAAGGGAACTCACAGGCTAAGCAGTTCAGTATTGTCCATCTCCAAAAGCATACCAGTAATCTTGCCAGCCAACTCAGGCTGCTGGGCTTGGATCTTGGGATACAGGGCCTCACCCAGCATCTGCTTCTGCTGAGCGGGAGGAGCTGAAGCAAGAGCCTGGTTGCTAAGGCTACCGGAAACAGCCTCCTCTCCACGGCTAACAGCGGGCTGAGAAGCATTTTGTCCACGGCCACCCTGGCCAGGGCGACCCATCTGACCTTGCTGAAGGGGCACACTGCCACGGCCCTGCCCATAACCAGGACCACGCATTCCCTGACCCATGTTGGGCATGCCGGGGACCTGGCCACGACCGCCAGCGCCACGTCCGAATTGAACCTGGGCCATAGCCTGAGGGTAACCCATACCGTTAGGCAGGCCACCGGGGCCCTGCATACCCATGGGGATACCCTGGGCGAAGTTGGGGGGCATCTGTTGGTTGGGACCCATGCCACGTCCGCCCTGCTGGCCAGGGAAAGGACCAGGGTATTGACCGGGGCGTCCACCTGGGATGCCGGCCATCACCATACCGGGCTGGGGAGGGAAAGCCATGCCACCACGCTGGCCGCCCCCGGGAATAAAGCCCTGCTGACCAGGACCGTAGAAAACAGCGGGCTGCATGTACTTCACACCGTTAGCATGGCTGAATCAACGACCGTTGCGACACAAAAAAATAAAATAAAAATAATAAAAAAAAAGAACTTACAGGCTGGGGCATCCCAGCGGCGGCAGCGGCCTGCTGCTGCCTGATAGTGTTGCGAGCCTGAATGCTAGCCTCGAGCTGACTTCTGCGAACATCCTTCCGCTGGGCGAGGGCCACGTAGAGAGGCTTGCCGTTGACCATGCGCTGGTTCATCTCAGTCACGGCCTTGGAGGCTTCATCGGGGCTGCTGAAGCAAACAAAACCGAAGCCCTTGCTCTTTCCAAGAAGCTTCTTCTCGCCCTTCTTGGTGTCCTTATCGCTATCCTCGGAGGCCTCCTTGGGCTTCTCCTCGGACTTTTCGGCCTCGGAAGACTCGGCCTTCTCGTTCTCCTTGTTGGCCTCCTTCTCCTTCTCGGAATCGGGAGAGGATGAACGCTCAATGTTGCTATCACGCATGATCTTTGCGGAAGTGATGGTGCCGTAGGAGCCAAACAGCTCCCGCAGCTTCTCATCATCAATGTCGTCCGTCAGGTTCTTCACGTAGAGGTTGACACCCTGGTACTTAGAGGCCTTCTCCAGACGAGCAGCCTCGTACTGCTTCCGCAGTTCCTCCTCACGCTCGTGCTTCTTCTGGGCACGGCCCACGTAGAGTTTCTGGGTGCGGACATCCTTGTCGTTCATCTCCTCGACGGCGGCCTGCGCGCTGTCGTGGGTCGAGAAGTTGACGAAACCGAAGCCACGGCTCTTACCGTCCGGGTCACGGCTTAGGGTGGCCGAGGTAATCTCACCGTACTTCTCGAAGAGCTTACGGAACTCGTCATCGGTAACGTCAGGGTCAATATTTTTGATGTAGACGTTGGTGAAGTTGGCCTTCATCTCCTCGAACTTGCTCTGGCGATCCTTCTTGGAGATATGGTGGCCGACGAACACCTTCTTGTCGTTCAGCAGCATGCCGTTGACGTGCTTGATAGCATTGTTGGCAGCCTCAGCGGTCTCGTAGTGGACGAAGCCGTATCCCTTGGAGTTGCCGAACTCATCCTGGGCGACCTTGCAGCTCAGAATGTTGCCGAAGGCGGCAAAGGTGTCATGAAGGGCCTTGTTGTCGATCGCATTGTCCAGATTCTTGATGAAGACATTGCCCTGGCCGGTCTTTCGCAGAGCAGGGTCACGCTGAGACCACATGATACGGCAGGGCTTGCCCTTGATCAGGGTGTAGTTCAGATCCTCCAGAGCGCGCTCACCATCGGCGGTGTTGTTGTAGTTGACGTAGGCGTAACCCAGAGAGCGTCTGGTAACGGCGTCGCGGCAAACACGGATGGAAGCGACTTGACCAATGGAGGAGAACAACTCGTAGAGCATTGCCTCGGTCACAGAGGGGTCTAGTTCACCGACATAGAGCGAGGCCGAGTGGGGTTGATTATTGTTGGGGGTAGAAGAAGTGTTTTCAACCGCTGTGGCCTCGGAAGGAGCACTGGAGGCAGCAGGGGCGCTGCCGGCCTCAGGAGTGCCATTGACGGCATTGTCGGCGACAGGAGTAGTAGCAGCGTCGGCAGACATTTTGATATTTTATCTGTAATTTGGGTTTTCTGGAGATTTTCTTTTTCTTTCTATTAGAATGCACGAGGATATTAGCACAGGATGAACTTTAAGAGGAGTGGGATGAAGGGAAGATAAGTGAGGGGGAACGAAGAAAGAGAGAAGAGACATGAGAAAAAAAATAAAAAAAAGATCGCCTTCCCACTTCGGTCGCTTCGACAAGAAGCAGGCACGAGATTAAAGGGCAGTGTAGCGCAGGACAGTAAGGAAGAACAGAATAGAGGCTGTTGACGTGGAGATGGATGGATCTCGCAACAGTCGCATGGCAGCCAACACAACGTGGATTTCAACAAGCCACAGAAAAAGCAATACGCGCGATCGACGAGCGAACCAAGTTTCCGACGGCAAGCACAATCGTAGACGAGGGAATGGAAGGGGAAGAAGAGCTGATGATGAGACGCGATCATGAGGGATGGGCAGCGGCACAGAAAAGAAAATCTTCTACACGCACACACAAAGTGGGAAAGAATCAAATCAAGCAAGTATGAAGAACTTGGCTTGACAACGGGTCTTTTTCTAGTTTTCCGGTTTTTTTTGGATATTTTTCCGATAGTTTTCGAAAAAAGAGGATGTAGAAAGGGAATGAGAAGAAAAAAGGATGTGCTGGAGAGAGCAGCAAGAAAGGGTTTTGGGGGAGAAGAAGGGAAGAAAAGGCGGTTTTTTTTTTTGGCTCGAAAAATCAAAGACTGACGCCGCCTTTTTTTTTTTTTTTTCCCTCCTCTTCCTCTGGAAATTCAAAGGAATTTTTACTTTGAGGGTGTGGTTTTGCGGGTTCTTATTGGTGTACTTATACCTACTAGTTCTGACTCAGTTAGACTGTCTCGCTGCTTTAAGGGCTGGAGCGGCAAATCACGGGACCGGGTCATGTGTATAGATAGGGCTTATCAATATCTTCATTATCACTGAAAGGGAAAGAAAGACAGAGATCCTATATCGAATCCATTCACAGAGAATCTCAATCAAGCTATAACTCCCCAAAGGCACCTCAGCTATGCAACCCATAGGGGCCCATTCTAAATTAATCCATGTCCAGAGCCATCCCTCCCATATTCATTCATGTATGTACCTATCTATGTACCACAATCACCCACCACACCAGATTCAGCTTAGATCAAATCCCGCTCCAGAATTAACGGCATAGAGGAGTTTCTCTCGCAGCATGGTGGCGCTCGTGTAGCGGGGCAGTTTCAGTAGATTCACGCAAGTACTGGTGCTGGGGAGTCGTTCCTGGTCCTCACTGGAGTCCCGGATGCTAAACCGGGGATGGAGATGACCAAATCCCAGCAGCGGCGCTCGGGGGGTCGATGTCACAAACCGCAATACCTTTTGCCGCTCCTCGTTCGTCATCTGCTCCATGACTTCCCAGAACAGCTGCACAGTCGGGTGTTCTTCCTTATCGTCGCCGATCGTGTACACACCTCCATAAAGTGTGTTGCGTCGCAGGTCCGCCACGTCAATGTCTCCCGATTCACCGCTCACCAGAGTCTGCAGCTCCGACTGGTTGAACATGGACAGCCACGATGGTTGGATGACTTGTCCCAGTCCTTGGAGGAAGGCATTGGTTTGTAGAGCTGGCTGCACCTGCAGGCGGTACCGCGCAATGTAGGAAATGTACACCAGTCGGTTTTGGTTCGTCACGGGGATCTCGGATCCATGAGTCTTCAAATCTCGCGTGATCGTGCGACTGGTCGAGTCGGGTAGAGGAATGGTATCGCTGACCGTAAAATTCAAAGCGAAGTCCTCCACCTCTCCTGGGTAGTTTTTCAATTGTAACTGCAAAAGTATATCGGGTCAGCCATCCTCCCCGGACAGGCAAGTCATTCTTGTAGCCTACTCACCAATCCCTGGTAGAGTCCCTGGTCAAGATCCTTGAGGTCGTTAAGATTTGCGCGGTATGCCGTTTCCCTTTGTGCCGAGCCCGTGCCACCGGTTAAGGCCCATTTCAACAGGAAGAACGGAGCGAAATTCACATCTACTAATATCCCCTCGTACATACACTTTCCAATGACCCGTCCGAGAAACTCATACCGTCGAAGTAAATCGCGGACCTGATCATTCCATTTTGCACTGTTTTCAACAAGTCCGGCCCGCCGCAAGAGCTCCCTCCGTTGCTCAACAGCAGCTGGGTTGGGATAGAGCAGGTGCTGGTCGTTCTCTTCAAACAAGGTTAGCTCGCTTGTGGACTTGAACGCCTCGTTGGTAACGCTCGTGAGGAATTCCTTTGTCACCCCACCGCCGTCGATGCCCGCTTCCGCTGTGTTGAATTTGTCAATAAAGGTAATCTGGATCGGCTCCTTCAGGCCCTCGCCTAGCTCATAAAACTGCTCGAAGGCGTCTTCAAACACGCTCTCGCGGCGAATATTTGCATGATGCCGGCTCAAGATATCGTGCACTGCAGGAAGCCCGTCGATCATACGCCCCATCGACGCTTGAGCTACAGACAGGCGCCAGGTGTCCGGGTCAACGAACCCCCGTCGCCTGCGCATTTGGTCTCTAAGGATAAACTCACGAAATACTTGGACTCTGGTCGTAAAAGGGATAAAGAAAGGCATGTTTCTCAGAATCTCCAGTCTAGGGGCTACTGCCTCGAGCTGTTTCCTCCGCGCAGCCTGAAGCTGGCGCCGTCTCAGGGTTTCGATTTGGCGAGTCTGCTGGGCGCGGCCGGTACCGATCAGCCCTGAGTAAGGTTCGTTGTAAGGATCGTCCATCAAAACGTCCTGCTCCTCGTCATCCTCGTCATTCTGGAGCTGATGCCTGTTTTCTTCTTCTGCAACAACGGCAGGTATGAAGCCTTCCATGTCGAAGCGGTTTGTCATCAGCCAATGTCCATCGGGAAGAAACTTGCGTCTCGAATCACGCTCGTGGATCATTCTCAGAAGGCCTGTAACAAGGCCCTTGAAATAATCGAGAGGAATTCCAGTCACCCCCGCTAGACCTTTCTCCTTATTCTTCATCTCCAGATCCCTGACACTGGTGATAGAATCCGAAGGGGGAAGCAAAGAATTGAAGTAGCTGCGGATGCCTCCCGTGTCCTGAGCTGGCTCACTCTCGTTCAAATCCGCCGAATTCCAGTACAAAGTGAACGCAAGGTTCTTGAGGAAGACTGTCATGTCTTTGACATCAGCTAGTGGCAATGCACTCTCCTTGGTCCAAGACACTCGTGTGTTCGAAGATGCGGTAAACGACGACTCGCTCGAAAAGAACTCTTCATCGTCCATCACTTTCAAGACAAAGGTATACAGCTCTAAAAAAAGGAGAATAATAGTCCACTCTTCGTCCCTCGCGCTCTGAGATATGGTTGACGCGCTGGAGCCTTTTATGTCCTCGGCCGGTTTCAACAAAGATAAGACCTTTGTCGAGTCGTGGCTGATTACTCTGAATATCCTGCTGGATCTAGACGCATGCCAAAAGTACTTGATCGCCGGTATTCTGGAGCCTGGATGAGCTGCCACTTGGTCACTTGCACTGGCTGATCCCAGGTATAGCCACATACGGATGTCGTCTCCTCGTCGAGGAAATACTCTTAGGAGAGTCAGTGCGTAAGTGGCAAGAACCTTAGCCCCTCGCGACGCGTCCGACTGTTCATCTGCCAGGTCACCCTGCGACAGATGTGTAGATTGAAGCTGCGAGAGAAGGCCGGTAATGCTAGTTTGGTTAACAAGACTGACAAGCTGCTCCTTGATAAAAGGGGGTAATGGGGTTCTCTGAGGCGAATCGTCGAGATCGGAAATATCGTCAAAGTCCAAGCGTCGCGAAATATGCACTGCTGCGGAATTCAACAATTCCGAAACTACCTTGACAAAGCCGGGCTCTGGCGCCTGGAGAGTGGCATGACTTCCCAGGGCGAACCGATGAAAGAAAATGAAATAAGCAAGTAACCAAAGGCGACACTCTATATCCTCAGAACTCGGAGAACGCTCTCTGAGTAGCGACTGCAAAGGTCCCAAAACCGACGTCAGCAATTTATAGTTAATATTGTTCGCCAAGCCGTCGAGCGATACCAGATACGTCGGGAGGTCAGGGGTCGTAAGATAGCTTCTGGCAAACCACTCGTACGCAGTCAAAGTCTCCGATGTAATCGGTTGGAGCAAGGCAAGCACGCTTTGAACAAGATCGGCGGACGATAAGTTGCACCTATCGGACAGAACCTCTATGTTCTTCGTGAGATGCGTCATGACAGCGTAATATTCCCCAGCAAACCGTGCCATCTCTTTAGGTATTAAACCGGTTAAGAATGTCAGAAGTTTTAGCAGAGGATGTATGGCAAATGCTGGCACTGTTGATGATGTAGCTGAATAGAGCACGCGAAGAGTCAGGCGAGCAAGTCGCTTCAGCGGTGTCATCCATTCTCCCTCGGTGGCAATTGTCGGCACCTCATGCCATGTTTTCTGAAAAGCCGCCGAGAAGAGCACAAGACGGACTACATCCCCGCTATTCCGCGGCTCCAGGAACTGAGTCAATAGTCGTAGTTGTGACCAGCATTCGGCAGCCGTTCCATACGCACACGGGATAGGCGTGCCACTATCCGAACGCTTCGCCAGCTCGTCAAAGGAGAGGTCCGCATTCACCCTCTGCGTCTCAGTGGCATCCCATTCTGCTCGCCACACCCCCCGTGTTATCTTCCTGCTCCGATAACCCCGCCATGTCCGCTGTACAACTCGACTCGCGCTTAGGCGCTCTCTCTCCTGCTGTCTCAAAATCCGCTCCTGCTGCGCGATGGCGAGTGTATTCTGCGGGCCCGAACCATGGGGGTTTTGTCGTCCGGAGGGAAATGCGGCGAAAGGGTTTGTATTGCGCCCTCCGAGATTAACTTGCCGGGGACGGCGGGAGTTTCCCGTGAATGACTGGAACATAGTTTCGTCGTTTCGCTTGGGATTCAGAAGATGTTGAAAGAAAAGACCTTAACCACGGGCTGAAAAGGTCACAGCTAAAAGGAGGCAGTAGGACACCAGCGTCTCCATACCGCAAGCCAAGGATGGCAGCACTCGGGGATAGGTCGTTGATGGCGTTCGATGATGGAGGGAAGTTTGGGCTATGACATTTATGGCGACGGTACGTGCACGCACTCGGGCCGGGCTGGGCCGCTGCAGAGAGTCTTGTTGCCACGCACCAGACGCCACTGTGTTCACCAAGATAACTAACTAGTTGATGGAGTATTATAACTCATGAAGTATGAGAAATGCTGAACTAATCTTTTATTTTGCCTTACATGTCCTGCGGCTTTTCCCTTGCCTGTGTACGCTGCATGGGATAACCTGTTACTGAAAGGTATATTGTACGGCTACTCAGGATATACATATATAAACTCTAGAGTTGGCTGGCTAGATGTGACCAATTGATTTATCCTTTATTCAACTGATCTGGTATTTGAATGCCCCTATACGACACCTGGAATGAAATTGAACAAATAAAAGAAGAAAGGCTGAGATGCAAAGACCCAGAGAGACGCCTGAAAATCAGAAACAGGATCCAGAAATATGATGACGAAGATAGAGTTCCCCTAGGCAGTCGTGGGTCCCCAAAGAGAACTCCTCCACGAGTATAGAGCCCCCTTCAAGTCACCATCTCCGCCATATACTGTACATACATATCATACAAATAAAACGATGTGAGCCGAATCGATGACGGAGAGAAGGAGAATAATATTACCCTTTTCAGGATATGAGCGACAATGGGATACAAGACCAACGGAATGCCAGTGTTCTAGGCCTCGGTGCCAGATGACAGAGGGTTGTGCTGACCCTCTTTATTCCAGAGTTGTATCCCATTGCACTTCCGAGTCGACTATTGGCGAGTTGATGTCGATTCGCTAGACGCCGATTCATTTCTGAGCCGCTCCTGTTCGAGAACTTCGGGACCATTGTCGGATGCCCACAGGTCAAGATACTCCTTTCCATCAAATGGCCTTTCACTCGTAACTATCGTACCATTCCGCTCAAGTTCCTTGGTGTATCGGCTCTTGGTCGGGGCCATGCGTTTCGTCACAAATGGCGTAAGCTACCCAGTTCGTCAGCATTGATCAAGCTGCCTCGAACCACTTCTGTGAAGTGGCCGTATTGGTCTTACCTTGAAGGTATCCAGATTCTCCGGTACAACGTAAGTACGGACTTTTTTCCAGTCGATCACGTAAGAGCCATTCTTCGCGAAGTAACCCATCGAGCCGGTCCTATTTCCCTTATAATAACCACCATTGACCTGCTTTGTTGTCAGGCGCAAACGCGCCATCATCGGTTGCGAAGGCCTAAACATTGTGACAAGAACTGGTTGCCTGACTTTTTATCTCAGACGCACTCGGCCAGATCGCAAAGTTGTCGGAGTCGGAAGAAGGCTCTGAAAAGGCGGGCGACGCTAGTGAGACTCCGCGGGCCGCCAAGACCTTTTTTTTTTGCCCTTCAAGAAAAAATTAGTTACAACATCTTCGCATTTTCTATGCCTGAGAACCGTTAGTACGGAGCTCTTGATAGGGATTGTTGTTTCAAAATCATCGATCGCATTCATATTTTTTACGTTTATTTATACTGGGACGCCCGCAACAATGCCTCGTAGGCAAACTCAGTTGCGCGGCCCTAAGGACCAGCCCGCTAAACAGCAGCAGCCCAAGAAGACAAGCAGGAAGGCGTTGGATGCTTTTGCTATTGCAGAGAGCGAGTTCCCCATCAAATCAAAGATCCGTCGCAACCGACTGGGTGTAGACGATGATCTGTTCAAGCGCAAGCGACACCCCGGGCATGACAAGGACGACTCCGATGGCCCCGATAACAAGCGCCGTCGAACGGGCGATGAATCTTCCGATGAAAATGGCGGAAGTGATGGCGAGGGCCACCATTGGAGAATAGGGGAAGTCGACAGCGACAATGATAGCGAGTTGGATAGTGACGAAGCTATGGGCTCGAGTGACGAGGAAAGGTTTGAAGGGTTTACATTCCGCGGGAGTTCCAAAACCAAGTCCAAACCAAACGCGAAACATGCAGACGCAAAGAAGCGAGCTCGTCAGATCACGTTATCGGAAGATGTGGAAGAATCTGACGGAGGGGAAGATTTGGACGAAGATTCAGACGACCTCGGAGAAGATGCCATCGACCTGACTACGGCGTGGGATATGAACACTGCTGCAGAGGAAGAAGAAGCTGCAGCTGCTGCGAAGAAACGGAGATCTACAGAAGATGCGCCGGATGAGTTTGGCTCTGAAAGCGAAAACGAGAGCGACGCTGACGATGAAAGCGATCTTCTTATGTCAGACGATGAAATGAATGCTACTGATGAACATGGCCTTTCGAAACTACAAAGCTTTGTCGACTCTATGGGTACAGTGTCTGGGAATAAACCAGCAAAGAAGACGAGTGGTAGAGAGGAGCTAGGTAACCCTACGGAATTTGGACTGACGTCTACGAAGAAGCTCACGGTTGCCGATCTCCTGCCGTCGATTACGGATTCCCGCCTAAAGAACTCCCTGAAGCATGTCGATTCTGCGGCCTCCTCACAAAATCGATCATCTGGTATTCCGGGCAAGTTGGATGCTCCCCTAGCAAAACGCCAACAGGATCGGCTGGACCGAGAGGCGGCCTATGAAAAAAGCAAAGAAACGCTGGACCGTTGGTTGGACACGGTCAAAGCAAATCGCAATGCGGAACACTTGATGTTTCCTCTTCCTGACCCAGAGGGACAACAGACTCATCGCCTGGGCCCCGCTCAACCGCGGACGGACCTCGAGACCGCCATTCAGGATATCCTTGTGGAAAGTGGTCTTGCTGAAGCCAGTGGAAAATCTGCTGAAGAGCAAGTACAGGAATTTGAAGAGTTGCAGGCACGAAAGATGCCGATCGAGGAAATCCGAGCCCGTCGGGCAGAGCTGCGTAAGCGGCGTGATTTGCTGTTTCGAGAAGAGGTGCGGGCCAAACGAATCAAGAAGATCAAGAGTAAGTCGTACCGCCGTGTTCACCGAAAGGAGCGGGAGAGGATGGAGCAACAAGAGCGACAAGCCCTCCTCGAAGCCGGAGTCGACATGGATGAGCAAGACCAGGAGTTCAATGATCGTCGGCGAGCCGAGGCGAGAATGGGGTCGAAGCACAAGGAGAGCAAATGGGCGAAGAGCCTGAAGCAAACTGGTCGAGCGGCTTGGGATGAGGACGCCCGACTAGGTGCGGCCGATCTTGCCCAGCGAGAAGAAGAACTACGAAGGAGGATTGAGGGCAAGCGTGTTTCTCAGGGCGACGAAGACTACCTCGGGTCATCAAGCTCAGAGTCCGACGATGACTACGACCCCTGGAATGAGGAAGCTGCCGCTAATGCGGAAAAGCGCAAACTCCAGCAGAAACTCAAAGACCTCGAAGGGGATGATGAGGCTGGGCTAGAAGCCACGGGTCATCATGCCAACCTATTTTCCATGAAGTTCATGCAAAATGCTGAAGCAGCACGCAAAGCACAAAACGATGCAGAAGTTCGCCGGCTCAACCGCGAACTTCATGGAGAGGAATCTCAGTCAGAAGCCGAGTCCGAAGTTGGTCGGCGTAAGTTTGGCCAAACAGAAACTGAGAGGTCCACCAAAGAACGAAAGGCACGATACCTTGGCCGCAACGAGTTTGAAGAGGCTCCTGGATCCGATGATGAAGCTCTTCAAGCGCACGAAGATGATGAAAAACCCAACATTGTTCTCGATCATCCTGACAAGACAAAGCAACCCCGTTCCAAAGGTAAAGCCAACGAACGTCCTACAAATAATGCATCCCAACAAAAGGAGGAAGCCGAAGAAGAGAACCCGTGGCTCGTCCAGACGAATCGAAACAACCGCCGGGCAACTGTGAATGACTCCCAACAAACCGTTGACATTACCGTCAACGATCCCAAACCCAAGAGCACTAAGAGCATGGGACCCAAGGGCGCTGCCAAAGCCCAACCTCCCAAGAAGCAACAACTGGACGAGGACAATGACAGTGACGAGGAAAGTGTCCCCGTGCTCCTCAAAAACCATGATCTCGTGAAGCGAGCATTCGCAGGGGACGAGGTTGTGCAGGACTTTGAGGATGAGAAGCAGGCGACGATCAAAGAAGAAGGCGACCAGGTGATTGATAATACCTTGCCTGGATGGGGCAGTTGGGCAGGTGAAGGCATCAGCAAGAAACAGCAGAAGCGACAAAAACGCTCGCTCACTGTTGTCGAGGGTGTGAAGCCCGAAAACCGCAAAGACGCGAAGCTGTCCCGCGTCATCATCAACGAGAAACGAGTCAAGAAGGTAAGTGTGCCATAGATTGATTGTGAGATGATCACCAGATGATAATAATTTTCTTTTCTCTTACCCAGAACAACAAGTACCTTGCAACTCAGCTACCCCACCCCTTCGAGAGCAAGCAGCAGTACGAGAGATCCCTCCGTGTCCCCATTGGACCTGAATGGTCTACCAAGGAGACTTTCCAAAGCGCAACCAAGCCTCGCGTGATGATCAAGCAGGGAGTCATCAAGCCAATGGAGAAGCCTATGGTTTGATCCTTCATAACGCGTCTGGCTGCGGAACCGTTATTGGCATTTACGATTGGCGAGGATAGAAGCCAATTACTACCGTTGGATGCCGATCTTTTACTTTCCTCCTTCGGATTTCTGTTTGGTCTGTTCATAGAGTTAGATCGTGTGATAGTCTTCGGTTGATATGATACCAAAAAAAGGGGGGGGTTTATGATGCTTTAATAGCTCTTCATTAGTTGTCCACATCTATTTCGTGACCTGCAGTGAATCCCGAAGTGTGTAGGATCCTCGCCCACCTTAAATACTATTCCTTCCAGCCTGTAGAAACCGGGATCCAATCCTCCCAATATTCTCCGAGAGTCGAAGTAGATGATCTGGTCGGGTGAGCCGATGCCTGCCTGCATGGGTATCGGTCAGCCGCCACGAGACTCGCGTGCCCGGTTGGGACCTTCCGAACTTTCTTTCTTTCCATCTTTCCATCTCCATGCGGCAGGCCACATGGACGGAGTTCGACTGCCGCAACATCGGCTGGATCCTGCTGCGTCGCACCTACCAACAGTGACTCAGCGGGATACTAACCCCTCCAACACGTCGAGTGGTCAACTCTGGGGTTCCTTCAAATTGAACTAGAAGCTGGGTTGCAAACAGTGAGCTGCGAGACCCGAACCCGATTCTTGCGGATAACCTGGGAATAAAATCGATCATAGTGGGCTATATACTGCTTCTATCTCACGTGTGTCCATGCTGGGAAGACATTCGAGGTATTTAGTTGCCTGTGTTCACTCCACATTCCCGCTGACAGACCACCCACTCTTTGAGATCCTTGACCGATCAACATAGAGTTCTGCAAGCCTATCCGCATCATCTGTTCGATGACCAAGCACCCTATCAGGCGATCGGACAACCCAGTCACTAGGTATGTCATCTCAGGCTACTGTATGCAGATGCCGCTGCTGTGGTGGGGGGGCGATTTGCGGCCGGACTGCTCATGGCTGCTGTGCTCTCCGAGTTTGAGCATTCCGGAACACCGCGTCGACCCTGCATTGTTTTACCCTTTTGGGGGTACCCATCACAGCTGTTTGTTTGTTACAGGGCCTTCTTGGATACTAACATTTGTGTAGATCAACATTTTTGTAATACCTCCTGGCTACCTCATCGCAGGCACTGGCGTCATCTGGCATTCTTACGCGCAGTAGGGCAATCATTGGTCCGTACTAGGTCAGATTCTTGTCTTCCGTGACTGGAACCTGTCTATACCTGGTACTGGTAAGTCTTTATTTTTTTTTTTCTCTCTTGGGAATGCCTATTAGTAGATAATCTCCACCTTCGCCATGTGCTCCCTTCCATATTCACACTGTGTCTGTCTATTATTTTTCTCCTGGTGCATTTCAACCTGAAGGAGTCTGGGCTGTGTGTACGGTGTGAATCCTTTCAAAGACCTGCCCTTGCACTCATTTCACTATTGCCAATACAGGCATTGTCTATATCATTTATCATTCATTTGTTTATTTGAAGCATCTTCAGCTTCTGTCCGTTCCTTGCCTATGATTCTACAACAAATACTCCCTGGTGTTTCAAGGAGTAAAGAGATCAGAACCATCCTAGTCATTATATTATACCCACCCTTAGATAGTTACATGATTGCTTCGTCGTTTATTTGATTGATCCACTTTATGCTTGCAAAGATGGAGATGAGAACTACATGGCGCTCTTCACTTATGCTGATATGGCTACTTACTGCAGAAAAAGTAAAGCCGGCCCCTACAGCTGCGCAGACAGCTACTACTCCTTTCAAGACCCAGTATCCACCGGCTGAAGCTAGAGTGATCTCACCGGAGACACAAGGTGTAAGTTTCTCGTCATTCAGTATTTCCAACTTCCTACTTATAGGCCGCAGTTTTATCCAACCAGTCTTGAGCGTGAAGGCCACCTGCTGGAAAAACCTACTACGGGACCACTTCAGAAAGGCTTGGGGAATCTTTTGGGCGTCTTGGAACACCCTGACTCGTTGCTTGATTTACTTCTCCCGGGATCAACTCCGAGCACGTCAGTGGTATCCCCCACCGCGGCACCTACAGATCCCGTATCGACAACCCGTCCGATCTCGAGGCCAGAAACAATTTCAGAACAGGGCATTTCAAGTCAAGATTCCATCCCATATAGTAGTCCATCTACTGTGGAGGCCACTATAGAGGATCCAACCAGCACAGCTGATGGTGTGAACGGTCCAGCTGAAACTGAAATAAGCCAGTCTTCACTTCCTGCGAAATCTGATTCGGCTGCACACGGTGGGCATTACAAATACCTCGTGCTGTGACCAAACTAACAAACAATAGCGACAGTCCCTTTCATCATGGCTGACAACCAGGATGTATTCATACCAGTAGCTACTGGCCCTATTCACCCGTCAATTCCGTCTAGAAATGACCATCCGGTTCCCAAAAAGGGAATTGTGAGTCTCCATTTAAGTGATCATTCTCTGATCTAATTCTGACAGTAGCAGGTCGACACGACAGGTCCCATCGAGACAAATAAGTTCTACTGCGGACTGTTTTTGGGAAGCCAGTCCAACTACACGTTCACCCATCCATATGCTCTGGCTTGGTCGAAAGGAGGGGCGAGCTTAAAAAGCTATGGCATGGCCATCTCACATGTCGAGAGCAATGTACTTGCTTGGGGGCCAACCAATGCCAAAATTCCAGGCAATCCAGTTTCGTACTATGTAAACCCCATTGATATCCAGCCAATGATTCTATCAGCAACTGAGTTCACAGACTCGACGTCACTTACAACGGAGAAACTGTTGCCATTCTCAGCCAATGCGGTCCTGCGTCCTCAAGATGGGTCCAAACAACGCCTTACCATTCCCATAGTGCAGGGAATGGGATTCGTTACCGGTATCTATTCGGGCCTTCAGCCCACAATCCAAAGTGGCGTTCATTTTGACAAAGTTGTGTCCGCTGGATCACCGAGGTCCGGCATTTACAAATATACTGCAACACTGGCAGATGGTACAACATGGCTTATATACGTTACCCCGGACGATGGGAAGGACCCAGACCTACGCCTGGAATCTAGCACTAACCTACGCGGGCCGCAAGGATGGTCAGGTACAATCCAAGTGGCTAAGAACCCAGCCGGTACGTCGGGGGAGAAGTTGTATGACAATTCTTCCGGTGTTTATGCGATGGAAGGTGCTATCGCAGGCGAAGTGTCTCGGACCACTGGTACATATACTCTCGCATGGGCTAAAGCCGGAAAGGATGCACAGAGCACCCCCCTATTGATGTTTGCTTTGCCGCACCACATTGAGTCCTTCGACAGTAATACCAAGGGCCGAGTAACGGGTATTAGCCTTCGGACGACCACCAAGGGCCAAGCAACGGCAGTGATCGGGGAGACGTGGGTCATGACCGAACCGGATCTTCCCATTGATATGGGGTTTGCTCCGTGGTCTGTCTCCAAAGGCAGTGTTGACAACCTTTCTGCCGGTGCCAAGAAAGTCATTTTGGACGTTGCACCAACCGAGCTTCAGCAAGATATCGATAAACAATGCGATCTGAACAGTATGTACTACAGTGGCAAAGCGTTGAGCAAGTTTGCTACTCTTGTGTATACCGTGGATAAATTGGGCGGTAACCCCCAGCTTTGCGATTCGGCACTGAAGGCGCTGAAGAATGCCTTTTCTCGGTTTATTAACAACAAACAGCAGTTCCCCCTAGTTTATGACGATGTCTGGAAAGGGGTGGTGTCCTCTGCTAGCTACAATGGGGGCGACACAGGCGCCGACTTCGGAAATACGTTGTACAACGATCACCACTTTCATTACGGCTATTTTATCCACGCCGCTGCTATTATCGGCACGCTGGACCCAGATTGGCTCGCCGATAGCAAAGACTGGGTGAACATGCTGGTCCGTGACGCAGGAAACCCCGCTGGAAATGACCCTCTCTTTCCATTCTCCCGTGGGTTTGACTGGTATAATGGCCATTCATGGGCAAAAGGTCTGTTCGAGTCCTTTGACGGGAAGGATGAGGAATCGACGTCGGAAGATGCAATGTTTGCCTATGCCATCAAGATGTGGGGCAAGACCATCGGTGATGCCAGTATGGAGGCAAGGGGAAACCTGATGCTCGGAATCCTACGACGATCTCTTCACAGCTATTTTCTTATGGAGAGCGACAATAAAAACCAGCCAGAGCAATTCATCGCAAACAAAGTCACCGGCATAGTGAGTCTTCCGATTTGACCTTGACTAAAGAAAAGACTTGTGGACTGACCCTCCCAAAGCTGTTCGAGAACAAGGTGGACCACACCACCTATTTTGGTGCTAACTTGGAATATGTTCAAGGGTATGAGTGCCGGGTCCTTTCTTCATGCTTTTGACAATGAATGGGTGACTGATGTATGGAATAGGATTCACATGCTGCCTCTTTTGCCATCCTCTCCATTTGTACGGCGCCAGAAGTTTGTGCAAGAGGAGTGGAATGCGATGTTCACGAGCAGTGCTAGCACTCCGGCAGAGAAAGTACAAGGGGGATGGAAAGGCATTCTTTATGCCAACCTGGCCCTAGTCGATCCCGCAGCTTCATGGGAATATTTTGCTGGACCTAACTTCGACTATGGTAGCCTCGACGGGGGGGCGACGCGCACATGGTATCTTGCTTTCGCTGCAGGTGAGTTTCCCGTTTGGATTCTGTTGTTGATGCGGATGATGCTGACTGCATCCCAGGGCTTGGTGGTGGACCGGCCTGAGCAGAGGAACTGGATGGTAGACGTATAGTTGCTTGACGACGTACATTGTTATTTGATCTTTATTGAATTGGAGCATATTTATAGCAGCGTTGATATGAATGCTGTCGAGTTTCTTTGAAACCCGATTTTCATATTTGGTATTTCATGAATAGAGCTATTTACTTTATAGTGAAGCCTTCTGCGTTTGGATCCAGCCATTCTGCCTGTAGTGAAGAAAGGTCTGTGTATGGGCATATGGGCATTAAGATCGATGACGTCTGTGCGCGTGTTCCCGGCTTGGGCCGGAAGTGAGGCTGGTGAACCTTTAGCACAATGCATTCACCATTCATCCGGCCATTGGAATTGGGACAATACACCATATGTTCTTAACCTAGTGCTCTGTTCTCCTTAGTGTTGTCTATATTTTTTTTTTTCAAGGTTGGTTGATTCGGCAAGTCTCATGCAGAGTAGTGGGGACTTGTTGTGGCAGTGTTAGTCTTGGCATATGATAATTGCTCCAATTAACTTTTGGATCAGCGTTTGGTAATCAGGGATGAGATGGGAGTGATATTGTTGTATGTGTATGAGGGGAGTTGAAGACCAACCCACTTGCAGACTGGAGTGTCGGTCTTTACTCCGGAGATATCTGGAAGGGATCTACTCTGCTGCAAGACATTTGGAGCCAGAAGTGGCCAATAATACTCCCCAGTTGGGTAAGCGACAATACCAATACGTATAGCGGTTAGTCTAAAGGGCAGTTGACCCACTGGAAAAGCCACGTCGTCATTTGCATTTTATCGCCATTTCCAGTTCGTTGATACATTTCGCTTCCAACAGACTCTGTTGGGTATCATTCTGAAGACTGAAGTACGGGAACCATTCCATTTGGATCGTTGCGACCAACGTAGTCCCCAAATACAGTACGTACATACATGCGTAGTTCTCTACGGCTGAGATAAAAGTATCTTGCCTCTCGCCCAGACGCGGTCGAAAGTCTTAGCCTGTTCCAAAAGGATTAACACTGCGTCTTTTGCTTTTCCCTTAATTATCCCTGAACACCGTTGATTAAAGACGTACATTATACGTTGATGATGATAGACTGAGGCTGTGCACTCGGCGCTTCCTTGATATACTTTCCAGATGTACACCCACCAATGTTACAGAAAGAAACCCTGAAATTCCAGAATCTTGTCCAACTTTAGCCACATACCACACCCCCCTTGTTCACGTTGCATTGTTCGTTTCTCTCTGCGACAGAGATCTCCTCTGGTGAGATTGACACCGCATGGTCGTCCACAGTACGTGGCTTGTGCCCGTTATTCCTGTTCCCCCTCTCCGCTGCTAACCTTTTTTGGTCCCTAAGCTAGCTTCCATCCATTGATCCAAGAAACTCAAGCCACAGAACAGCGCCAACCATTCTTCATTCCTCCTCCACTATTACTACTGATTAAGTTCCCCAATTGATCCTTTCATTTGAACCGGTGATCACGCTCTGTACTCTGTAGTATATATCAGCACAGATCATCTCTCTGGTCTTGTGGCGCGTGGTTCCAGAGTGTCACCACTCCACCCGTCTTTCTCGATGAGTATGTGCCAGAGGGTCTTTTCTCCCATCACGGTTATCTCTTTATTCTCTCATCTGTCCTCACCCGCCTGTCGTTCGTTCCCTTGTTGGATTTTATAATCTTGGCATCTTCTCAGGTACCGTGGGACTTGCTTCGACCTCCTCTCTTTATTCCCTGTTGTTTCTTGTCCTGTTTCTGATTGGTCCTATTAATTTCCTCCACGTCCTCCGGGTTTTATCAATTTATTGTGATCTTTGACCCTTCTTTTTTTTTTTTTTTTTTTTTTTTTTTTTTTTTTAATTGAGATAAATTCCATCTGATATACTCTCTTCTTTGCTCTTTCCTTGGTTGTCTTGATTTCGGATAGTCTCTGGTTGCATTTCCGACCCCTCAGTATAGTTCCCCATGCTCCTTTTTAACACCCATTGTCATGTGGATTGATACTCTAAAAGAAACATAAGGAGGACGAGGCTAACAAATTCTGCTCTCATAGCGTCGAAGAATTTTCGTTCTATTTTTCGAAGATATAGCTGGGGCCCAAGAAGAACAATGACGGGTCTTTCAGGATACAACTCTACCGAGCCCTCTGAGACAGAGGCCTTGATTGGTGACTCCAGGGGAGTCAATTCAGGGCGTCACATACGGCACAAACAGCACTTCTACTGGACTCAATGGCCTTCGCATGCGGCTCACTTGACATATATGACTCTTGCCCGAGACTATGTCAATCTACTCCTCGTCTTCGTCCCGCTGGGTATCATTGCCGGTGCCCTCCATTGGGACAGCACAGTGATCTTTGTCTTTAACTTCCTGGCGATTATCCCATTGGCATCTTTATTGAGCTTCGCGACCGAGGAGTTGGCAGCTAGTATGGGCCAGGCTCTAGGCGGATTGATGAATGCCACCTTCGGCAATGCCGTAGAATTGATTGTACGACCTCTCTCTTTCTCTCTCTCTCTCTCTCTCTCTCTCTTTTTCTTTCTTTTTCTTTTTTTTTTTTTGCCCTAGTAGCTAGAGGTTGTGCTAATTGTGGTGGCATGCAGGTTAGTATCATTGCTCTAAAGGATGGCCAGATCCGAGTGGTTCAAGCTAGTATGCTTGGCAGTATCTTGTCCAATATTCTTCTGGTGCTTGGGTGCTGCTTCTTTGTTGGTGGGCTTCGATACTCTGAGCAGACATTCAACACCACGGTAGCCTCAACGATGTCTTCTCTCATGACAGTTGCGTCTGCTTCCCTTATCATCCCTGCAACCCTCTACGCCTCCCTCACCACCTCGAAAGAAACGCAAAAGAATATCCTGATTCTCTCCCATGGGACGGCCATTATTCTTTTGATTCTTTATGTGATGTACCTTTACTTTCAACTCAAGTCGCATGCGGAATTTTTCGAGGAGACCAACGGCGAGAGCGGCTCTGATGTGGAGAACCAACATGAGCACGATGCTGAAGAAGAGCATATTCTTAATCCATGGGCTGCCACTGTTGCCCTGATTATTGTCACGGTCCTTGTCGCCATCTGTGCTGACTATCTCGTTGGCAGGATCGATAGTATTGTGGAGAAGACCGGTATGAGTCGAACTTTTATTGGTCTTATTCTGATTCCCATTGTTGGAAATGCCGCGGAACATGTCACGGCCGTTGTGGTCGCCTGGAAGGGCAAGATGGATCTTGCCATCGGGGTTGCCATCGGAAGCAGCCTGCAGATCGCGCTGTTTGTGACTCCGTTCCTCGTCATTCTGGGCTGGATCATGAATGTGGAAATGACCCTTAACTTCCATATTTTCGAGACAGTTGCTTTCTTTATTTCTGGCCTAGTGGTGACGTTCCTCATCCAGGATGGAAAGTCCAACTACCTTGAAGGTGGACTTTGTTTGGGGATGTATGTCATATTGGCCCTGGCATTTTATGTTTACCCGGATAATGTGAATAAGGACGCTCTTTTCCATCCATGAGCGCAGAAATTGTTGCTCATTACTGCCTACCAAAGATACATTCTATACCTTTCGCCAATCTAAGGGTCCAATGGAGCCTTCTTGTTTTTTATCTATTCGTCATCCATCTTTTTCGTTTCTTTGCCTTTCTTTTCCTTTCTGTTCCCGGGCCCCACGATTCTGCCTCTTCCGCTAGCAGTGCCTAGATTTACCTGATGAGACTCGGCTTCTCTTCTAAATCGGAGCATCTACCAGCTTTTCTGTCACTCTTTGCCGCCTCTTTTCATAATCAGTCGAAAGCTGTTTTGAACCACATAATCACATGCTATGTCGTGAGCTTATGCTCTGTACTGCAGGACAGTGTCTTTGAAATAATGCATGCGATTTCCATTCAGTGCTGAAATTTCTGGTGGCTTAACCGTACATACCTCACGGATGTTTGGCTGTCTGTTTGCTACTTTGTGCTCTCTTTTTGTATTAGGGTATGGAACAAGTGGGAATGGCAAATTGGCCCCGGGTTTCTGGGACATGTTTTAGTAGAATAAGTGGATACTGAAAAGTGTTAAATCTTAACATATCGGGCCTTTTTCATTGTATTCTTATCAAAATTTACTTTGTAATTATTAGATCGTGATGATTTCATGGGATGGCTCTTGGCATTGGTGACTAAGCAGGCGGTGTTGAGGAAAATCCAATTATCCAAGGCGTGGGAAGGCGGACATGTCGGGCTTCTCTTCATCCTCATCGCCTATCCTTTTCTGACGCCGACCTGGTCTCTGTAGGGTGTGATTCAAAATGCCACCCCGTCTCAATTTGTTCACAGCGAGAGCAACTGTCCCAGTTTTGCGCCAATCCTCGACGCCATCTGGTTCAACCGTGTGCCGGCGCAGCATCATCACAGCTCTCAACATCAAGAAGCCGTCCACCAATGGCTTGAAATGTAGCCTCTCGTCTTCGACGACAGCGCAAAGACGATGTAATTCTTCGGGGTCTGATAAGAAAGATGACCCAGACAGACCCAAAGGCCCAACCGAGGATACTTTGCCTCATGTGAGCCAGGAGGCCGCGGAGATGGCAAGGATTCTGGATAAGAAGTGTGATGGTACTGCTGCCAGCCCAGAGTTGGAGCAGGGTACCCCTGTTTCGGAGGTGGGTGACTTTTCGACCTGGTTGATGAACAAATGTCCTTTTGCCTTGGCACCTTCAATTGACAACCATGTCTAGATTCTCCAACGTGATAAAGAAGCGCAGAAGCATGCCCCTAAGGTCATGCAAGATCAATTGAAGGGATCCACTGGATCTCGTTCATTCTCAACATCCGCGAGACACAACCAGCCGGAAACCCAAAACGAAGGATTCGATGACCAGACGGCCGCCGTGGTGGCCAACATGATCTCCCAGGTTACTGAACAGGCGCAAGAATTGCATGAAGGCCTCAAGTTTCCGCTCCCGGCGCCGATTCCCAAGACAGAGAACTTCCGTAAAAGATACGATGCAGTGCTCGATCAGTTCACCAAATTGCTTATGCAGGATGGTAAATTAAGCAAGGCTCAAAAGGTATGCGAACCTGGGATATTGAAATGATTTTCTGCCTCACTTTTGGACTCGTACTGATGGGCCACCCTACAGAATATGGATTATATTTTAGATTACCTTCGTACCGCTCCTCCACCGCAATTCAACTCTAGACGCCCTCTGCTTCCCTGCCCTCCGGCCCCTCAGCTCCCCTTGAACCCCGTGTTATACCTCACTTTGATTGTGGATTCGGTCGCTCCTCTAGTCAAAATTCGTCAACAAAAAGGTATAGCCGGTGGCGGTGCCTCTGTTCAGATCCCCGTCCCCTTGGGCCTTAGACAGCGCCGAAGGGCCGCGATGAAGTGGATTATCGATGCGTCGGATAAGCGACGGGACACCAAATTTTGGCAGAGAGTAGCCAACGAGCTGGTCTCTGTTGCCGAGGGCCGCAGTGGTGTATGGGAAAGGAGAGAACATGTGCATAAACTCGGTGTTGCCGGCCGTTCGAACCTTTTGGTTTCGAGCAATCGCCGGTAGAAATTGAAGTTGAGAGAGCTAGAAGAGGCGTCGGGATCCGCGGTCTTCGTCGATTTGTATTTTAACTAGACTCCGTCATGCATGTGTATAATTGTCATCATTACTCATTACTGCGTAGCTACTACTATCTCTTTGCCCATAGCCGTGATGACTAACCCGCTATGCCCAAAAGAGGAGGACAGCTCGGCTGACTAGAGCTTCTTCCAATTCAGTCCGATGGCTGTGCGTTTCACTTCCTTGTCTTCTCGAGTCCCTGAAAAGCCCGCGGAGACATGAATTCATCCAGAAAGTGATTCTCGCAACTCTCTGGATTGGTTGGTCTCCACATCCCCATTCCCCTAATCTCCGATGTGCAACCATTCGCTACGCTACTAGCCTACGCTACTCTTGCTACCAACGGTCCCAGACTAGCAGGAGTGCCTACGAAGATACGAAAGCTCGCTTCCTCGTGCCACAAGCGATCTTATGTCCTGTGCCATCCTTCTTCTTGCTTCACTCTTAATTATTCTCCGTCGATCACCGTGTCGTCGAATGCTGTGGGACGAAACGTGGCTCGCTTCGCTTCTGCGACGAGTGCCTCTTCCAACGTCGACTTAACCTCTCCTCTCCACCCTGCTGGCCAGAGCATTGAACTCGTCGAATATCCTCCCCGATCCGCCCCTGCCGCAAACCCCCACCAGTCGCATATTGAGCCGTCCGACTCTCGAGCAATTGGACCCAATTCGACATCTATCACCGAAAGCAAGGAACGTCTTGGCCAAGAAAGAGGCGGTGACCAATATCGGCCCCATTCCCTTTCGAGACCATTCAGACTTGAATACTGGGTGCAAGCTCTTCACTACCGCGCACGTTTCCTGGAAAATCGTGGAGCCGGGCCCAAGATGAAGTTCTCACACAGCATCCAGTTCAATGCTGTCCCGGAGTGGAGCTCTTATTACATTGCGTACAGCAATCTAAAGAAATTGTATGTGTATCTGTTTCTCAATTCTGTTTGTTTCCTGGTCTATTAAATTTTCCGCTTCGGGTGTTACGTGACATACAGCGGGAGTGTGACGGTGCACCCGGAGCCACATGCCCCATTTCGTGGGTCGCTAATTCGTGGGATATATGGAATGCTTACAGTTCGACCCGGATTTAGGATATATTCTCTGGAACAACAAGTGCACCAAGCAGCTGGACAAGCCCACCCCGACGTTGAGTCCGCTCCTTTGCTGGATAATACACCGAACCCAGATTTAATATTTCGACGAGCCCTAGACGGGGAATTGGAGAAAATATGTGGGTTTTACGGGGATAAGGAGGCTGAAATCCTCGCCGAAGTGGAAGGCGTCGCTCGGGACGCAGAAGAATATGCCTCAGAGACTGAAGGCGTGAGCTTGGATCCGATGAGCGAGAACATGACAAAGACTCGGACATGGAGTTCGGGATCGAGATCGCGGGCAGATACTACTTTTCCTGATCTTTCTATCAACAATGACCGTCGTCGTAGCGCGGTTAGTGAGTCTGTGGCTGAAGAGGATGAAGACGATGCCGATAGTGACGACGATCATGCATTGGCTCATTACGAAAGACCACAGTTGCATGGTGTAGACTCTACTGATCCTGATGGTACTCGCACAGATAGGAGACGCTCATCCTATCTAGGGGATTCAACTGTCCCGGAATATGATCGCCGCGCTAGCACTCGACTGGGATCTCAAGTCGAGCACTTCAGAGACCCGAGGATTTTGGATCTGTACAATGCCGGGCTCTCCTTGAAGAAACGAATAGTGGATACTTACGTTTCCATATGTGGGCTCAAGTCATACATTCAACTGAACAAGACGGGCTTCTCCAAAGCCCTGAAGAAATATGACAAGATTCTTGATCGCAATCTACGGCGAGAATACATGAGCACCACGGTATCTATAGCCTATCCCTTCACCGACGCCACAATGCAAAAGGTGGATAATGATATCCACAAGATCGAGGGTGTCTATGCGGATGTGGTTACGGCGAAGAATCTGCCACTCGCCAAACGCGAGCTTCGATTACACCTGCGAGAGCATGTAGTCTGGGAGAGAAATACCGTGTGGAGAGAGATGATCGGAATTGAAAGAAAAGCCCAGGCTGCAAATGTCGGCATTCGCAGGACTCTACTCGGAGGAGACGAGGATCCTGCGGCGGCACGCCGGCAGGGTGATGAGCAAGAAGCTCCAACCAAGGAAATCAAGACTCCTCTGGGAGTGTTTCATCCCCCTGATTGGCTATGTAGCCTGAGCTTTGGAACCCTTGTTTTCATCTTGTGTGTGTTTGTGGCGTTGCTCTCTATTCCAATCATGGAGAAGCCAGAGCAGCAAAATTGTCTGGCCATGCTGGTTTTCGTCAGCCTGTTGTGGGCTACAGAGGTATGGGTTGTCTTCTCTTCTCCCAGTCTACTTCCTTACTAATTGTACTTTGTTATACTAGGTCATTCCTCTTTTTGTGACCTCTCTCCTGGTCCCGTTCCTCGTGGTTTTGTTGCGCATCATGAAGTCGGAGAAGAAACCATATGAACGACTAGGGCCAAAAGAAGCAACAGGCGTAGCCTTTAGTGCTATGTGGACCCCAGTGATTATGCTATTACTAGGGGGCTTCACTATAGCCGCAGCGCTGTCCAAGTATGATATTGCTCGCCGGATGGCGATGCTTGTCCTGAGTAAAGCCGGCTCCAACCCTCGCGTTGTGCTTCTCACGAACATGTTTGTGAGCATGTTCTTAAGTATGTGGATCAGCAATGTGGCGTCTCCTGTCCTCTGCTATTCAATTATCCAGGTAAGCCACACTTCTCATTATACCCAATTCGCTTGTGTCACTGACCATCATTTCTTAGCCTCTCCTTCGTACCCTTCCACCAGACTCAAGCTTTGCCAAATCTCTTGTTCTAGGCATTGCTCTTGCTGCAAATGTCGGAGGTGCTGCATCACCAATTGCTTCGCCCCAGAACATCATTGCACTCCAGAATATGTACCCCAGTATCAGCTGGGGTACATGGTTCTTTGTGTCACTACCTGTCTGCATCATCTGCATTCTGTTGATCTGGGCCCTTTTACTGGCCACCTTCCATCCGAGCCGTGACACCACCCTTGTTCCGATTCGGCCTGTAAAGGACAAATTCTCTGGAGTCCAGTGGTTTATCAGCATTGTCACACTGTCCACCATCGCACTGTGGTGTGGCAGTCATCAGCTAGAGCATGTATTTGGTGATATGGGAGTGATCGCCATCCTTCCCATGGTTCTTTTCTTCGGAACCGGCATTCTCAACAAGGAGGATTTCAACAACTTCTTATGGACCATCATCATCCTCGCCGCCGGTGGACTTTGTCTCGGTAAAGCCGTAACATCATCCGGCCTTTTGCATACCATCGCCAACAGCATCCGCATCCGAGTAGAGCACCTCAGTCTCTACGGCGTGTTGATCGTATTTTCGAGCCTGATTCTTGTAGTGGCCACATTCATCTCCCACACCGTGGCAGCTCTGATCATGCTTCCCCTTGTCCGACAGATCGGCCTCAGCATGGACGACCCGCATCCCAATCTGCTGGTTATGGCCAGTGCATTGATGTGCTCTGTTGCGATGGGATTGCCAACCAGCGGATTTCCCAACATGAGTAAGTCTACCTTCTTCCCTTCTGTCTTCCCTCTTATCCATTCCAAGTACTAACCCCCATTTTCAGCGGCCATCATGACCGAAGTCCCTCAAACGGGCCAACGATACCTCCAAGTCCGCCACTTCTTCTCCCGAGGTATTCCTGCAAGTTTAATGGCGTTTGCCGTGGTTGTGACCCTTGGATACGGATTGATGTATATAGCTGGACTATGATCTATAAGTCGATGGATTATAGGTATATAATATTCTTTTTCTAGTCTTGTTCTATATAGTTCTTCACCCTGGATATGACCTATGCTTGTCATTTTCGTTTTCTTTTCTTTTCTTTTCTTTTTTTTGGCTTTGTTAAAAAATCCGTGTTTGCTTTACCTTGGACAATATTGCTTGGGGTTTTTTTTTAAAATTTTTTTTTTTATAGTAATTGTTGTTCTCTGTGAATGTTAGACGAAATACATGGTAGATCGGAAGGCGAATGAATGGGGTTATTTCCCATTTCCTGTGTGTATCTTGTCTTTTTGCTAGACTGCTTATTGTTCTATCTTGGATGATATTGGAGTGTGTATTGTCTTCTCAGTCATAAGTTCAATATCATTCATTAATCATCTCATGGACTTGAATTTAAAATATGTATGATTCAAGTCCGGAAATAGTGTACATCCATGCATCATGTCATTCAGTCAACAAGGGAAGTAGCCAAAGGTATCGAGTATATGCAAAACACATACGAAGACGGCATATAAAATTTTTCTATCAGTCGATTGAACAACGCATCATTTCAGTTACTAAACAGCGGCAGGTTAGCTTGTGCATGTAGCATTGAAAAATTGAGAGAGAAATGAAATGTGTACGGACAGTAAACCAAGAGTCAAGTCGCCGTGGATCTTCGCTTTCAGTTGCACTTCGATGTCGAGATTCAGATCCAGACGCAATCGTAACTGTTCGCCTTTCCCGCCCTCTTCACCCCCCTCATTCTTTTTGCTGCCTAGGACGTCTCCAACTGCTTTGCCGGCGGAGCCAGTCACCCCGTTTCGGGCGTTACCGGCAGTGTTTTGAACCAGGTCGCCTGCTTGGCGCACCCCAGGCAGACCCCCGAGGTGCACACCGTCTTGCTGCTCTTGTAGCTGACGGTGCTGGCGGCGCTGACGGCGGGGCCTTTCAACAGGTGCATTTTCCATGTCATAATCGAAGGCATCGGTCTCCGAGTCCTGACGATATCTTTGGAGCCGGGGGTGCGGCATTCTCCGACGAAATTCGGGAGCTTCCTGCTTCCGAGGAGCGGGCTCGTTATCTGAATCGGGCTCTTGTTTAATGGTGTCCCCATTTTCTCGCTTAGGTTGAGGAGAGTTGAGAGTGTTGCCGTCCTTCTCTCCCTCATGTTTAGGTTGAGGGGAACTGGGGGTGTTCTCGTTTTCCTGGACAGGGGTTTGGGGATTGTTCTCCTGGCCCGACATGGTGGGAGGGAGAGAAGGCAAAGAAAATCAAAATTAAAGAGACGAGGAGATTATATCTGGTGTAGGGAATATGTAATGCGTGCTACGTGGTGTAGTGGTAAAATGATTGTCTCCCGCTTAGATCTTATTTATATGGCTCCCACGATCATGCAAGGTTAGACCACGTCTCAGCCCGCGGTCGACGTAAGCTGCGTCTATGCCGAAGAGCTAGGATTGGGTCAGGGACCGAGATAGGAGATCAGAGTCATCTGTACCACCGTGACGAGGAGGGCCGCACCCTGCCCTGATTGAACAAGATTGAGGTCGGTAATGACGTCTCAAGCGTAAGGACCCTAGCATTATGCATCTTGCTCAGCCGTTGAAGATCGTCGGCTATGCTGAAGCAGGTAACTGTTTCATATATTTAGCGCCTGATGGTAGTCGCTAGAAGACAGTCGTGGAGACCAATGACGAGATAGTCGGAGAGTTGGCCGCACGCTCCTTCTCAATGGTCCACTTGGCTGTCAACATGCAGGATGACGCCACGCACGCAGTGCGGCCGATATGGTTATCTGTCCTTGTTTTCATGGGGATGTTAGAGATGGAGAATGATGAAAATTGTGATTATCAGATTGCGGACACAGTCGCCGAGTGGTATTATCGGTTCCGTTCCCTTGCGGGCATCAAGTTACCATAGACCCATTCCCGGGGCCAGGATACTCTTGACTACCTGGTATTTCTGATATCTGTACTCGCAGGGATGACGAATCGAATGAATTTGACGGGTTTCCAGGATTCCAGGCCATATCGTCGCTCATGCCATCAATGTAATCACCATCATTGGTTGGGATCTGGACTTGCGCATTGCAGATCGAGCCGGCAACGTCATGGCCTGGCGATGGGCAATTCGTGGGTGGCTTGTTGGGCGAAATGCAGAACAATGTCTATCTCGTCTGTCCTCATTGGCCATTTTCTGCCCACACTTGTTGCTCCCTCTTGACATCTCTCGTTGTCTTTGTTTTATTTCTCTTCGCCGGCAATCGTGAGTCGTTTTCTAGTCACTCGCTTGGCTTCAGAAAGATTCCAATCTTGTTGCGATAGCTCTCTATTCTTCTCCCTTGAGTTCTATCTATAAATGATATAGAACCGACCCTACCACCATGACGACCGCCGAGAAGACGAAGCACCAGCAACAAGACGACTATTCGGATTACGACTCAGATGAATACTCCATCTCCGGAGACGAAGACGATTATGCCCCTAGACAAACCGGGCAGCAGCAGCAGCAGCAGCAGCAGAATAAGCGGCGCCAGCGACGACAAAGACGCCCAGCCGATGAGAAGAGTGACTATGGGTCAGATGAATATTCTACAGACGAGTACGATGATGACGATGAAGATGCTGACGACGTGCGGAGTAACACCATGCAGCCATATAAGCGGGGTATGCAATCGTTAACCAACCAGGATATCAGCAGCCAGGACGTACAAAACTGGGCCATGAATACCGATGATCAGAAAACGGACAGTGGCGAGGATGACGGTCTCCGATTGACGCTGGAATTGAACCTCGAGGTCGAGGTGGAGCTCAAAGCACACATTCGTGGTGACTTGACCCTATCCTTACTGTAAGTCAGTCCCCTTTTGGCCTCATCATATTACTTCGACATGGGGCTCTCTAAGTGTCGAATAAGTGTTGACTTTTGACCACTGCAGTGCATAATGATGAACATTCTAGTCCCATGCCGCTGCTCGAGCGGCATTTCATGTCACATAATGATCATAGATCATGGACGTGTCCTTTTTTTTTTTTTTTCTTTTCTTCATTTCCAGTAGAATTCGGCTGCTTGTGCTAATGCATGAACAACTTTGCATACTCAACCCACAGGCATGATTGATCAATTTTAGTAGTTGATGCTTAGCCTAGGTCGAGACGACCTTTTTCTTCACTTTTCTAATTTGATAATATCAAACAAGTTGTCTAGTTCCAATAATAACAACTGATTTCAGATAGAAGCAGTTCGAGGGAACTGTTCCAGCGAGCGGTTATATACCCTAATCAATCATATCTATTTTGTCTGCCTAGATGAACCATGTGCATAGAAGGCCAACTGTTCACCGGTAGCAGACGATAGACTCGTTGGCATAGAGCACGGAGAATGAAGGACGACGGAGGAAACAGAAAGGAAGAGAAGGCATCACGTTGGTTTACGATCCACCGAAGATCAGATTGAACGAAGTCGGTCCCAATCCTGAGCATTCCTCGTCGTTGGCCTTTGAAGGGGCCCTTTCCCAAGCTCCACCCCCTCAGCACATGTGGATAACAAGCATCCGACGGCTAGTTAAGGCCTATTTCGAAGCCGAGGTCAAAGCTTTAGCTTGGAAGGGTGGATTTGCAGGCGACAAAAAGACCCCATCAACCCTCCTTGCGACTACTCCGGAGTAAAGAGCTAACAGCTTCTCATTTTCATTACGTTGTTTACAAATAAGTCACCCGTCAGTCCCCAGGAAGCAATCATGGCGACACCCACCACTACAGACCAGTCCACCAAAGGATTTATCATCAAGCACATGAATGCAGACCACCAGAACTCGCTGGCAATGTATCTCCAGGTCTATTGCCACCTCTCAGCAGCAGAAGCCAAATCTTCCCGCTTGGAGGACATCAGCCTGTCCGATTTGCTCATCAGTGCCCGCGGTACGCGCTATACTGTCCCTCTGGATCCACCTATGAAGGCGTTCTCCGAGACCCGGTCCCGAGTGGTGGCCATGCACAAGGAGTGTCTACAACGACTGGGAATATCAGATATTATCATCCAAGAATATCGTGCTCCCCATGGCGTCTACGCGATTGGGTTTGGGATCTGTCTCGCCTGGCTGGTGGGATTCTACCAGCGTGAGAACTTCTTGCCGGGGTCGGTACTCTACGAGACCCTTGGGCTGGAAAGGGCGCCCTTGATCGCCCAATTGTGCTATAAATTGCAGCCGCTGGCGTTCTACGGCATGCTGGGGGCTCATGTCGTGGAAGGGAGCTTGCTGCTGGCGGTGAAGCGGCTGAAGCCTCACGGCGTACCGTTTTTGTCGGGATTGTGGTGTGTGTGGATGCTATCGACGCTGATTGAGGGGTTTGGGGGAGTTTACCGGTTTGATGATATGGTAGCTGAGAAGCGAGCGATGAAGGAGCAAAAGAAGTAGGGGAAAGATCATGCCAGCGTATATATGAGAAGTACAAGTTAATGATGAGAATGAAAGCAATAATTAAGAGAATAGTTTCATGGATCGATTATTAAGCATGCCAAGAGCAGGCGAAGTCACGGGAACATTGGCTAACCAAACTTGGTTAGAGCAGTGTGGAATAGGGCAAGGTTCGACAAGCGAGCCACAGTGCGAAATTCACGAGAAGCCGACGACAAGCATTCAACTCTCGACGACCACCCAAACGACCCTTGCCCGCTGCGTTCCTGGTGAAGGGCTGCAGGATTAGAGGTGAGTTTCTGTCCTCTCCCATCCGTGTCCGATATTTTCTCTTTTCCCTTGTTTTTCTCCTGTGTCGAGAAGTGCGACGTGGTCAGTCTCGTTTAGCGTCTATCGAGGTCGGGAATCGGAACGAAAGCAAAGAAACCAGAGAGATAGGATAGGAAGTGAGCGATATTTCAAAGAGAAGGACCGAAAGAATCGACGACTTTGTCTTCCATCTCGTCTCCGACACGCACGGTCAGAAGAGATTTTTCTGTTGGACTTGCGATTATCCCCACACAACTCGTCTTGCACAGGAGAATATCAAGAGAACTAAAGGAAATCGAAACACCGGATTGATATTTTCTTTTATAACTGTTCGTTCTGCGATCTTATAACCCACTAATCCTGTTGCTTTTTCAGTCCATTAATCGCCAACATGGGTATTTCTCGCGACTCCCGCCACAAGCGCTCGGCCACCGGTGCGAAGAGGGCCACCTACCGCAAGAAGAGGTATGAGACCGATCAAGGATATAATGATGATTAGCGAGGTGAAAAATCAGGTGTTCTGACGGGAGATAAACTACAGGGCGTTCGAGAAGGGTCGCCAGCCCGCCAACACTCGTATTGGCTCGAAGAGAATCCACCTCGTCCGCACCCGTGGTGGTAACCGCAAGTTCCGTGGCCTCCGTCTCGACTCGGGTAACTTCTCGTGGGGATCTGAGGGTATTTCCCGCAAGACCCGTGTCCTCGTCGTGGCCTACCACCCCTCCAACAACGAACTGGTCCGCACCAACACCCTGACCAAGTCCGCCGTCGTCCAGATTGATGCCGCTCCCTTCCGCCAATGGTATGAGGCTCACTACGGCCAGGGCATCGGCCGGAGACGCCAGCAGAAGACCGAGACCACCGAGGAGAAGAAGAGCAACAGCGTTGTGAAGAAGCAGGCCGCCCGCTTCGCCGAGAGCGGCAAGGTCGAGGCCTCCATCGAGAGGCAGTTTGAGACCGGTCGTCTGTACGCCGTCATTGCCTCCCGCCCCGGCCAGAGCGGTCGTGTGGATGGATACATTCTGGAGGGTGAGGAGTTGGCTTTCTACCAGCGTGCGATCAGGAAGTAAAAAAAGGTAGTTGGAAACGGGTAGTATCGGAGTTTGTCAGCAATTTTTTCCAGAAAACATGTTATGATCTGGGCATGTGTGTAGAGCTCTGAGCTGTCATCAATGGAATGATCCAGTTATGTTTGTTCGATAATTCATTGTATTTCAACCTACGCACTCCGTACTTAATCTACTCCGTACGATGACGCAACTCCCCTCATACACCAACCTCCTCTTCTACCCCCGACAGAAGCGTAACACATCAATCCAAAAATATATACATTTATATTAGCAACAAAAATGAGAACCCGCATCTGCATGATCTCTGACACTCACACCTACCCACCCAATCCTCCCAGCACAACCTCAAACCCCTACCGCCACCCCCTCCCGGAAGCCGACGTGCTCCTGCACGCCGGGGATCTGACCAAAGTCGGCCGCAAAGATGAACACGAGCTAATGGTCTCGATGCTGAAGAATGCCCCCGCGGAACTTAAGATCATCATTGCGGGAAACCACGACATCACTCTCGACGAGGAATACTACACGCGGGTGGGCCACTATCGCCATCGCTACCGAACCGATCACACAGCGCGATCAGCTACAGCAGGTCGAGATGAGATTCCAACGACGGCGGAGGAGGGAGAAGGACCGATTGAGTCGCCTGCGGAGATCAAGGCGTTGTATACAGGACCGGATGCTGTGCGGGCGGGGATTCGGTACATGGAGGGTGAAGGCACGCGGCGGTTTCGACTATCCAATGGGGCTGTCTTCAGCGTGTATACATCCCCGTATACGCCGGAGTTTTGTCAGTGGGCGTTTGCATATAATCGTGATCAGGACCGGTTTAATCCTCCCACTCATGATATAGCTACAGCTGGTGGCGTTCCTGCTGGTGCAGGGACGGGGATGAATCCCGTCCCCGGCTATCCGGCAGTGGATATCATGTTAACACATGGACCGCCGTATGGGATCCTAGATCAGGTGGTGCCGGGACATCAGAGTGTCGGGTGTGAGCATTTATATCGGGCGACAGAGCGGGCGAAGCCGCGCTTACATGTCTTCGGACATATCCATGAGGGATATGGAGCGACGCGGCTGGAATGGAGCACGCTGAATAAGTCCATGATTCAGTGTGATAGAACAACGACGCAGGTGAACCGTTGTGTTTATGTGGATTTAAGTAGTCGTGCAACGAATCCGTTGCGCGTTGGACAGGAGACGTTGTTTGTTAATGCTAGTGTGGTGACTGTGCAGTATGAGCCGGTGAATGCGCCGTGGGTGGTCGATTTGGACCTTCCTAAGGGTGAGTGAGATGAGTTAGGACATATGTCTGTGTATATGTTGGTTTGCAGCGCGAACTGCTGAAATACTACTCACAATAAAGATTATCTACGCAATGCAATAGTATACTGTTGACGTACTATACTGTAGAAAGCAGTCATAGCTCACACTGGATATCAATTTCTTCACTTATAGAAAGCCACGACTCCTAAGGTTGACTCTCCAGTCAATGCCTCCACGGGTATAAAGGGTCCATACATGATAAGGGAGCAATATGCAGAAGAGAAAGGAGAGAAAATCAAGAATGATCGGAAGAAGAAGAAGAAGAAGCACGCTTTATAATTTACATGTGTCCAAAGAAAAAAGACAAGGAAAAAGAAAAAAAACAAAAACAAAAAAAAAGAGTCGCAGCCGACAGTGGATAGAAAAGTATAGGTATCTAAAAGAAAAGACGGTATAATGCCCTGCGCAGGCCGATAAAGAAACCAAAAGACACAGCCACCGCATATCCGATCAATAAAGGAAATAAATATTCAAGAGAATGTTCTCAAGCTGGCACAAATGAGCATAATAAGTCGCTGCAGGGTGTAGTGCAAAACATAAAAAGCGCCGAAGGGGAGAACAAATGCCCAGACATTACAAGAAATAAAACCGTAGAAGAGAGGGAGATTCACATTATTCTGCATGGGTTGTCATACCACGAGGGTCGGTCTTAAAATCAATACGGCTACCCTTCCGACCAACACCCTTGAAGAGGCTGAATCGTTTCATGACAGAATCCCGGACGCTGCCACTGGAATGCCCTTGTCCATGGCTACCAGGGCTACTGACCTCGGGACTTCTGATTGAAGTTGCACTGCTCTGTGTCATGGGTCGTGGATGGTCCTTGATCGAAGGTACAGTGGACCATCCAGTTGTCGGACTTGTTACCGACGGCAATTCGCTTGGAGACGTTCCATTATGTTGCTGTTCGGAGGAAGAGGTGAGACTTTCATGGGATTTTGCAGCAGCGTCTCGGGATGCACTTCGAGATCGCTGGGACGAGTTCTCCGCCGACTTGGCCCCGGGTACCGACAGTGACGACGCATGCTTGTGCAGTTTCTCCCCGAAGAAGCTCCGCCGCTTAGATTGAGTGTCCCGAGATCGACTGGTAGTTTGACTGTGAATCGTCGCCGCATCCTCATCATGTGCATTTGGCTCTTCAGTCTGGGAAGAGACTCTGTGAGCATCCTCTGTTCCATTGACTTTGGCATCTGGCTGCGGTGTCGCAACTGCATGTATCGTTGAGACCGAGTTAACCGCTCCATGGTTTGAGCGCTTGAATGGATTCATAACACTGATTCGATGACTGACAGAGCTTTTGTGCGAATGTTTGCGGGAATGCTTGCGGGCATAGCTATCCTGTCGTGAAGAGCGGATGAATTCCTGCTCCGGGCTTGTAGATCGCTGCAGGGACTGCCGTTGACGAGCCTCGGGGGAAGGCCGAGAATATGGCAGGGTCAAGTGAGGCGTTTGCTGCCCTAAGGGGGTAAGAGTAGACAGTTCAATAGCAAAGGTATCTTCGAAGCGGCGCATCAACTCAGCTTGTGTGGCCTGATGTGCAGGACGATGGAACATTGTGAGAGCATGTTTAATGGCCAAGGCATGGTCGACCAGGGCCACAGCTAGAGCGTCCTTCATGGGATCAACTGGCGTTGGTGTGTCTTCATGTTCGTCCTCACCGCGTGTTTCAGACAGGAATTGACGGTAAACTGCCACGCAGCCAGCTGAAGAAGAATTCTGCTCTAATAAGTGCTGCAGTGCCTCCGTCAAGTTTGAAAGGTTCGAATCTTCGCCAGACGCCGCCCGTCTTTGCAGTAATGACAATTCCTGGGTCTTACGCCACGTCCGCTCAAGAGCCGTCTGTAAGGGTGAAAGGGAGACCTCCTCGGTGGCAACCACCTCGCTCCTGCGAAGGATGTTCGGGAAGGGATCCGCAGTAGTGAAAATGGTCTTCTCTACCCATTGCTCGTGAACGTCTGCCTCACGGGTATGCTTTCTTAACGTCGAAGTGAAACGGCAAGGTTCGGAAATCAAGAGATGATCCCTTACAGAGGGCGGAACCTTGGATCTTTGATACACCGGATGGGTCATGTCTCGATGGACATTGACAGGATTGATGTGTAAGAACTGGCCTTCGTAATCATGACTCTCCCCAGACGACACAAATTTTGCAGCAGGATGCTCCTTCTGCATACGGTCGACGAAGCTGGCCATGCGTTCAAGCGGGGAGCATTCAAAGATAAATTCTTTGTCCCGCAAGCTGACCGGGAAGCCAAGTCCCTTGTAGAGAACGCGGAAGTACCGAGGGAACTGCTTTTCCTCCCGCGAGATCGTCTCGTAGATTTTGGCCATGGAGCTTTGTGCCCGTGAGAGCTTGGCGAAATCCACTATCGTATCTTCGTATTGCTGCGCGAGCTCTTTGTAGCATACCAGGGCATGTGCCCATGCCTTTGCGTCTTCGAAATATTGAATGATGGCGAAATACAACGATTCCTTCCGCTCGAAGCAAGTTTGTTCCGGGAATGCCGGAGTAAGAAGTTCGGGGACAGATCGTCTGGTATCCCAGTCGTAAAGATCGGCATGGAACTGGAGAGCAAGGCCGGCTTCAGTGAAATTGCCCGCGGCAGCCTGAACTTGAGCGAGTTCGTGGACATATCGAATGAAAATATCTTCTCGTCCCATATCTTTCATGTACTCCATGAGTCGCAGAGTGTGCAAGCTCTCGGCCATCGATCCACCTTGAGACGCGACGAAGAGATCCAGCAGCTCATCCACAGTCGCTATAAGCGCTTTAACAGCATCCGACAATTCCGGGTCAAAAGATGAGCAACCTTCGAAATACTCTAGCAACTCTCCAATAAAGAGCTTTTGGACGACGCCCTCGCTCATGTTCTTGGTTTTGAAGAGGTTGTCTAAGCTGGAGATAGTCTCTGTCTCTATAATGGAGAGGTCTTGGCTCAGAGTCCATTCGCTAAGGATCATTGTCCGTAAAATTTCGACCGCCACATGCCGTAATCCCTCATGCACACTGAGGCAAAGTTCAATGATAGGGGCAACGAGGCCTGGAACATATTGCACCTGGTAACCGCCGAGTCTTTTCAGCCCAAAACGTTCTCGTTCGTCATCAGTGGTTTCCCAGCCAATGGCTTCCCAGCTGGAGTGCAGCAGATCCGCACCTTGCTCACGAACGTCGCCCGCGATCTTCCAAATTGCGCGCCTCTTTTGTTCTGGGAAGGTCTCAAGAGCAAGAACATCGCTTGATACGACTTTAAGCAACGTCATGAAGAAGCTCTCCCACAGCCTCGTGTCGAACGTTTCCGCATCATCCGGCGCTGGGAGAAATTTGTTGATCATGATAGACGCAAGGAACTCGAGGCTTGTTACAGTGGCGCGGTGGTTGTAGACATGGACACTTAGCCAGCTCTCAGGATACGGCTCGCAATTTAGGATTGAAGTATGGACTTCAAAGGCCTGAGAGAGAAACGTAGAAAGCTCAAGGCCTTTGAGTCGCGGTCGCTTGGGATTGGGGACAGCTGCCATAGCAGCCATGACCGCAGACAATTCCACAAGAGCTTCATCAAACTTCTGGCTACTTTTTGATACCTTGACTTGAAAGGGGAAGGATTTGCTGAACAACAAAGAGAGGTATTCAGTGTTATCCACGCCATCAGGTATGATGGAATAATATGATGAAACAATATACGGCATAAACTCATAAAGGTATGGATCTGGCTCCTTCAGTAGCTCTGCCACAATCGCACAATTCAACCGCACTTGGTCGCGATATAAATCGGACACGGAGCCCGTCGCTCCCCAGTAAGGCGCTAGCCAACCGATACAGCTCGAGATCAAGCTTCGTCTTTCCGATCCCGAGCTAAATATCTCTAGGCGCGTGTAGTGCTGAATCAGGACCAATTTATACAGGACAAGCATGCCTTTTACATCCTTGCACGAATCCATAAAGCTGAGAGCAATCATGATGATCTCGTCCTTCGGCAACACCTTTGATAGCTCAGGTAGCCATGTGTGGAAATGTTGAACCACAAGTGTCTTGCTCCCAACCATGGAGGGTGAGGTGTTCTTCATCAGGGTTTGGAGGGACTTGAATATTGTGTGCAAGTCTCGGTTGAAGGTCGACTGGACCCGGGTGATGCCAATGCCCTCTTCCTTCACTTTCTGCTGTTCCCTAGCATTGATGATGAACTTAAGGATATGCCTTCCCACTTTGAAGGTTGCGCGAAGACTCCGCGCCTGCTGGGGATCCGAACTGGCTTGGAGGAGGCGCAAATAGCTTCGAATTAGGCATGGAGTGGCGAAGGGGAAGTTGAATTGGCTTTCTGCGTAGTTATCCACGAGTGGGCCAAGGTTGAACCGCCGATCATGTACAATACCAAGGACTGTCACTAAACCGTTGAATATCAAGTCTTCGTATTCTTCGTTCCCGGCATTCTCCACCAAAATCCCAAATAGTGCATCGAAGACACTGCGGAGCTGCTTAACAATCTCCATTTCGGGGACGAAGAGAATCCGCTTCAGGGTGTCTAATACCTCGTCCACCGGCCGTTCCCTCCAATTCAAGAGGCTCAACAACACCTGGTCCTGCGAATATTCGGTGCTACATAAGTGAGTCTCGAGGCGCAGTGTGGCTAGTGGTCCCGTGATTGCCTCGTCTTTCGCGGATTTATTTTTGCCGAGCGAGCTCCAGGGGAGGGACAGGTAAGCGCCCTTCCCATTCTCAATATTGGAGGTGTACTTATCATAAGCGTGTAGGAGCAGCGAATGTGGACCGTCTCGCATGAAAGCCTGGTTATCCCAGAGCGGCATCCAAGCTAAAGCAAAAGGGAACTCAGGGGCATCGGCGATACTCATAATTAGATGAGACCCTGGAATCTCATCCGCGGGGACATTGAGGCGGATGGTCTGGTTCCATGGCGTGCCTCGTTCGACTACTGTGGTCCTCCATGCAGTATGAGCCGTGTTGTCGGACGAGGGGAAGATGCATCGTTCTATTCGCGCCCCTGAAGATGTCCGCACTTCGAGAGTCAGCTGTAAATTGCGAAACGCCGTACTCGCGGGCACCGGGACTTGTCCCGCTTGAGGATGTGAAAGAAGCGCTTCAGGGGGGAATGTGGCATGTGAGATGGTTACATAGATGTCGGACCTCGGTTTCGTAGGGGCCTGGAGAAGCCAATTTTCTTTGTCTGAACGACGTTGTACATGATCGTAGGATTTTCTCGAACTAGAGCGTTGGAGTCGGAACTCACAAAAGGATGCAGATGAAGATGGAGCCGTGCAGCCCGGGGGGACCTCACATATTTCCCCGTGCGACTTGGAAGAAGCGTGCGGATTAAGTGGTCGAAGCCATCTTCATGCGCGTCATCGTCGTCGCTTTCCTCAGAAGGTGACCAAATATGGATCACTTGCTCCACGTCTTTATCTTGTCGGAGAATCGGGGAAACCTCTACAAGGCCAACCCCCAGAGTGCGAACCTGGGTGGAATCCTTTCCAGACTGGTTACCGTTGCGTTCCATGTTGCTGGACGTGCTCTCTGTGGAATGGGGCGGGCCCCGAGGGCCCTCCTTTCCTGGCTCAGTACTATGGATACCTCGCGGTTTCGATGTCCATATCATGCTCCGGCGAGTCTTCAAACTGCCTTTGACGGATTGATTGAGCGACGCCGATGGCTTAGAGGTGGCAGTGCCTTCCCGGGAAACCGGCGACCTTGGCTGGGACGAAGGGACGGCCATGGAAGTGGTTTCTGACGCCCGAACCGCCACCACCAGGTACAGGTTAGGACCGTTTGCAGAAGCGTCGCCGATATCAGTGCTGCAGAGCTCGGTGAAGAGCGTCTTCAGCTTGTTGCTCTGCCCCATACTTGCGAATTTCTCTGGTGATGGAATGTGTAGAAGGTAGGTTTCGGATAAAGGCTTGAGGGCACCGGTCTCGGACTGAGTACATAGAGAAAAGGCCAGGGTCACAGGCCCTGGGGCGTTACCCGAGACGGCATTGATCTCTAGGAGTAGATGATGGAGCGTTGCCGTATCTGGCTGATGCGTAGGACTGCTTTCTAACATGCTCATCTCGGACTGAAGCCTTGCTAACTGAATAGCCGAGTCCTCTCCAGTTAACAAACGCCCCCGCTGCTCCGGGTCTCGAACAATGACGTCTCCGCCTAGCATTTTATTGCCCCGAACCAATTTCCAAACTACCTCGCGCCGTAACCCCTCCTTCTCCCGTGCCGTGAGCACATCGTATAGAAGTTGTCGCCTGGCGAAGTCGAGCTCTTTGACGATGTTTGTCAAGTCCTCCACAAGGTTATATTGCCGGCCCAGCAAGAGGTGGTGGAGACTGGTAGAATGCCATTCACGCAGGCACGACGCAATCTCATCGACCAGTGGTTCGGACAGCGAAGTGGGAGTCTCATCACCGATCTTGAGCATGGGAACAGGGGCGGCTGGCTTGGGTTCGTTGGGATCCCTGGGATATACAGCCATGGACATACGTGAAATCCCGAGACCATTATGGATCGAGCGTGGACTGGATGGGTTTTCGTCATCCGGTTTGTGAATAAAGATTTGCGACGGCTTTCCCTTTTTCGCAATCACCACGTCGGAAACTTCCCCGGCCAACGTCTCATCGTAATGGGAAGAACTGAGACTCTGCCTGGTATCCCCCGTGAAGCTTTCTGTCGGTTCGGCACTGAGGCGATCTCCATTCGTCAATTCTCGTTGTCCATCGGCATCTCCGAGAACTTCGCGAATCTCGACACAATTGCGGGGGAAAATTCCCGAAAAAACACGCGCTTCCAGAGTCTGGCCCTTGGAGCTGGTTAAGCCTGCCAACAGCGATGGCGGAGCGACGAGATACCCGCGGCACCACTCTCCATTGACACCCCCCTGCTCAATTATGTACAGTTCATCGCCAAGCTCGAGCGGTAGATCGGCCGGGGTGGACGGTTGGAAGGGGTAGATGGCGACAGCGAAGGCGATTCGAGGCAGAGGCCGCCAGGGCATAACTGCTATCGAGGCGGCCGTCCAAAGCGCACCCCGCAGTGGTGGTCGTCACAATGGCCGTCAGGAATGCAGCGGGGACGGGAGGGGACTGGGAATTCTCTCCGGGTCGATGGAATGGGGCGCTACATGCAGTGGTCGCGTTGCTGGTACTGAGGGGAGGAAAAGAAGGAATGCAGACGATTCCCAAGGAGGACTGAGCGACAGACAGGTTGGGATGTTTAAAAGGGGGCTAGGGCCACTAAATCCGCAGTGTTAGTAGACGGAGCTTAACGCAACTGCAAAAATTGGTGATTCTAAGAATTGTGGACAATGTATTGAAGAGAGTTCCTTTTAATTTTTTTTTTATTTTTTTTTTGTTCTGCCCGAGTTGTTCAATTCTTTTCTCTTTCCCCCTAGTTAGCAGCGGTCGATGACCACGAATGTGGAGCCCGAACTTTCTGCTGTTCACTTGGCGGGAACTGTGGAGAAAAAAGTACACAAGAGAAGGGGAGTGAGAGGAGAGAACGTACACAGTGGAGGTCAATGGCACCGACAAAGAGACCACAGAGGGAGGATGGAAGGGACAAGAGGGAGATTGGGGATGGATAGAGGTATGGAACCATGAGGATGTCGTGGATCGAGTCCAGACGGAAGACAACAAGAGATCGAAAAGTACCAAGATCACACAGTAGTTATCCGAGGAGACAATTAGTGCCTGAGGCTAGGCCTAAGGCAGCTTAATTTAATTAATTATTTAGTCTTCCACTACGTATAGATGTCTATTCAGGATTAATTGATGTTTATTTCTTATGATCATCCATCTCCCGAAAAAAAAAAAAAAAAACGAGCGAGACTTGATATCCATCGATCTATGGAGTATGGAGTAAATATCCTGGATCGTCACCGCAAATGATCGTCTGACCCTCAGCACCCTGCTGATGTTCTCTTTTTTCTTTTTCTTTTTTCTTTTTCGTTTTTCTTTACTTCTTTCTTCTTTCTTCTTTCTTTCTTCTTTCTTTTTGACCCCATTGCGTCTTCCTGTCTCAAAGATCGACTCTTTCTTTCTTTCCCGTGTCCACATATGACTCCCCCTGAACCAGACCTCGGGATGGACCCTTTACCTAACATGATTATTCAGGCCCCTCCGCTAGTCATCCGTGCGCAACCTTAGCTGCAATAAGAATCGGGAGCTGCAAGTTCCTTACACGGGCTTTCCGTGGCTCCTTTGTTTCAGATGCAATACAGGGCCTGGATTTAACCTCAATTTCATCCCGATTAGATCCTGACGTGAACTAAATATACCTACGACCATGTAGCGACAAGAACTACAATCATGACAACAAGCCAGTGCAACAGTTAGATCTGGTTCTAACGGATGACGAGACGGGCTTACCGACTCGTCCTTTTGACACAGTAAAAACAATTCATAAAAAGCAAGGTAGAGAGGGAACCATGCAATACATATCCAAAACCCAGGCGCCACGATCTATGATCCAGCGAATGAAGAAAAGCTCCACCTGATATACAGTGCAAATATGAAATCGTAAGGGTAACAGGGAATCCGGAAAGGTGAGCATGATAGGAGAGATTTGAGAGAAGGAACGGAGAAAAGGGAAGAATAGAAAAGAGAAGGAAATCCAGACGCAGAAGGTTCCCTCAAGCGATTACTTCTTGAACATCGCTATCACATCCTCCTTGCGCCACTCAAGGTCCAGCTGCCCGTCATATACAGTGTTGAGAACTCGCCGTGTCCGGTCATACGCTTCCTCGTACCGGCCCTCACATTCTCGCAGCACCTTCATTACCAGGCTTCGGCTGAGGCCAGGGTCGTCTGCATCCCCAAAGTGCTTCTCGACTCGCTTCTTGAGCAGCTCAATCCCTCGCCGGATCTCCTTTGCATCGTACGTCGTCAGCACTTTCTTGGCCGCCGACCGGGAGTGGCTGGGGCGGCTGGCGATACTTGTGGGGTTGTGGTTGGCGGCCAATAACGCCTCTGATGACTCCACAAAATCAAGTAGCCTACCCAGTGGTCGGTGGATAACGGAGTCCAGGTAGAGCTTCATGTGTTCCCGGAGAACCTGATGTGCCAGATCCCGCCATTTCTCTAGAACCGGCAAGCCCCGAACATCCACCTCCTCGATGTAGTGATTCATGTTTTCGATTAGAAGAATGTGGTAATTGAGAATCTCTTTGTCTTCGGGGTCACCCGAGGCGGCCGCCGTCCCAGTGGCTTGCCCTGGTGCCTCCTTAGCGATGAACTTCAGGGATTCCCACATGGCCTGATTAATGCGGTTATATGCCTCGTTCACGCTGACTCGGATGTCGCAGAATTCCTGGGACGGCTGGGAGAGCATGCTCTCCACAGCGGTAGAGAAATGGGGGAAGACCCGAATGAACGAAATAACTCCTTTCCGCTTGTTTACCTTTACCTTGGTTTCTTCAATTCCACGAATCTGCTCATCTACGAAGCGATTGAACAGGCCAACCAAGCGCGAGTGGAGCTTTTGAAGGGAGTGAATGACGAAGTCTTGGTTGGTTTCATCGAACTTGGACATGGCTTTCTCCAGAGCGAACAGAATGCCGATTCCCTGTAATGGATCGGCGTGCAGGGCCCAGTCCACCAGATTTTGCATATCCGTCGGCCAAAACGCAAAGAGCTCGTCCATAAAATGTTCGACCTTTTTTGCCATTCCCCGGTCGGGGTCATGCGACTGGCTGGTCCTGAAGTCCGGCAGGCGGCGGTCTTCGGGGTTTGCCGAGGCGACTAGGTCCGGGAAGTCGATGCTTGAAAGGGAACTCAGGTGAAAGTAGTGAAGGACAAAATTTTGTTCCTCCGATATCATATTCAACGTTTCGTGGAGTGTACCCGCAAATGCTTCACACGGCTCGAGCTTTCCGTGTTGCTTGTCGCCAAAGGAGAGCCGGAGACCTGCTGCGGCTTTCATGGTTTTGCCTCTTCTCACGGTTAGTTTCCGTGCTGCCATTGCGATACTCTCGTTCTCCTTCTCCTTCTCTTGATGCGTAAACAGGAGTTCCTGCTCCTCTCCTGTGGGCTTTCTTGCTGCTCTTTTCCACGCTAGGATGTTGTCCCGGAACTCGTTCTGGTACGGGAGTCTCGCCTGTTGTTCATAAAGAGAGATCAAGGCCTGCCATTCCGATCCACTAACTTCTCTCGCAAAGAGCATCAACGCATTGTACATCCATAGCTCCCTCCGGAAGTGGCTTCTAGCCTCACTGTCTAGCTTTCGAGGATCTTTAGTGCCACTGGACGCCGCATCAACCCTCTTCTGCTCAGCAACCTTGTAAGCAATTGCCATGAACTGCTTGAGCCGCTGCAGAAATGTGTGAGACTGAAAGCGGTACTCCTCTTTCTTCTCCTTGATGGCACGCATCTGTCCAATTTCTGTGTCAGCGTACACGCCCACGCTGAGATGATCGCCTGCATTGTCAACAAGTCGTTTCTTGTTCTGCCAGATATTGGAGTCAATCATAACCATAGCCTTGTATAACGTGGACAGTGCAGTCTCGGTGTCTCTCAGTCCATCTGGGTTGCTCAAAGAGGCCTCTTTCAGTGACCGCAGGTCAGTCGAAGAGATGGAAAGGGTCTTTAATAGATTCTGCAACTCATTGTGAAGGAGCTTCTGGTTGGCAGTTTGCACCTGCAATCCTTGAGATTGCGTCTCTATATATGATACGTCTTCGTGAAGGGTCTGTTCCTAGGTTAGCGGGCCAAAATGGATATCACAGGGACTAGAGATCTCAGACTGGGGTTATCGGAACGACTCACGTTTAATTCATGGGAGTACAGAGTGAGAAGATTATCCAGCTCTTCGCACTCCTCGACAGTTTTGTCGATCAACCTAGCAAGCTGATCAACTTTCCCTTCTTGTTGTTCAAGGTTACCAAGCCAGCTGGTAGCCTCTACACGCCCGATTTCGCGACGGATATCAGCCTCAAGGTCTTCGATTTTATTTTCGTCATTTAAGCGCCCATTCCAACCGAGGTCAGTCAGTATGTCGTCGAAGTCAACACCACGGCCTTCTAGTACACTGGGTTCAATACCAAGTGCTTGACAATATTTGATTGTGTTGTCTTGATGACGCCTGCGACGACGATCATGAGGCGAAGGGGACACCGACCCCGTTCTTTCATCCACAAAAACCTTGACAGCAGCCCTTGAAGTACCTCGGGGCTCTTCTGGGGCATCGACGGATATCGTAGGAGTCTCAACTGCAGCCACCTGCTTCACCTCAACGGGTGGTGGTTCCTTTGCAGGAGATGCGATTGGCGATGGTGAGGGAGGGGTTTCCTTATCTGGTGTCCCAGGTACTGTCGTATTTGCGGGGTCTGTATTCGTTCGAAGGAATGGCGCCGGTACCACACCAGTGATCCCGTCTGGCTCAGTCATTTCGACCCGTTGCTTCTTTGCAGCTGCCAATAATCTCTCACCTGCGCCACCCGGTCTAGGTTTGAAAGTACCTTGAGTAGTTGCAGGCTTGAGAAAGGTTCCTACTACATCTTTACTTTGCTTTTTCGTAATCATTGGACCAAGACCGGGACGGTGTGTATCTGGATCGCCATCCACCGATGCTGTAGATCGCTCGAGTGGGCTGTATGGGGGGGAAATCGGAACGCTATCTGGGACTGGCTCGTCAGGCTCTGCTTCTTTGGTGTTAGACGGGGTTGTCGTCGTATTAGCTGCAATTGGAGAAATGACATCTCTAGACGAAGCAGGCTTCAATGTAGGAGGCACATTTACAGAAGACACACCGACCGAGCTCGCCAAGGTCATATTATCGCGAGGCTCAGCTTGTACCTCTGGTGCCAGGGATTTTGCAGGGTCCCCGTTTGGCCCTCTATTACTTCCTGGACTTTGCGTTATATTGTTGTTATCAGTAGGGATTGATCTTGGGGTATTCGGCCGAAGGCCATCTTTATTGCGTCTGGTATCGGGAGAGCTTGAGCTTGAGTCTTGTGTGCGCAGCATGGGCCTGGGTTCAGGAAGAGACCTCTCATCGCGAGATGATGGTGGCCTGGCTTCTTGGTGTGAAGAAATCGATGTACTTTCCTCAAAATCTCCGCTAGGCCTGTCCCGTTGCGTTGCAGGTGGTGAAGTCAGTAGGCTGCTAGGAACATCCTTATCCCTTGGTGGCTCAGGTGGTAAATGCATAGGGGCTTTTGGCATCCTATTTTCAGGAGCAACACGTTCGGTGGAACGCGGCGGTGGCTGATTTCGTTGATCAACAGGAAACGGCGGCGGTGGATGCTGAGGCGGCGCAAACGGTGGGGGGCCACTTCTCCCAGATTGACCCGTTGAGGGCCTCGACATGTGCTCTCGACTCCTTTGAGCTCGTAAGGCCTGGTCTTCGGAGGGCAATCGACGAGGTCCGTCTCGACTTTGTGCACGACTCGAGTATGGCGACTGAGACCGAGCGCCTTGTGGGGAGCCTGGGCGCGGTGGTGGAATAGCCACCTCAGGGCGTGCGGGTCCTTGAGTAGGACCTCTTGCATTCGCACTTGAAGGTCCCACTGCCACTGGTCCAGTAGCCGGCGACCCGGAAAGTAGCTGTCGTTCACGATCGTCGAACCCTATAAGGTCTGGCAATTTGCCCCCCGTATACTTCCTATAGATCTTCACTAGACTGCCGATGAAGAACTCCTTTTCCTTGGAGGTTCTAGCATGCCAATAGTAAGGCTTTCCCACAGATACCAGAAAACCAAGATTCGATGCCCACTGCTTCTGCTGCTGTTCCATTGGGGATGACGGTGACAATGCACTGTACGATTGAATTGAAGACAAATCGTCAAGCATCCACGTCTTGCCTATGGAAAATGACCCATCGTTATTTTCCCTAGCCTTATGCATCCGAACCCTACCAGACCTCCTCACTGAAACAATTATCACTCGTGGCTTCTTGTTTTCGGGGGGTGAAGTTGGTGGTGCCGGGGTGGATGGGTAGGCAGCATCCTCCGTGATTCGAACATGTGTTATGTAGGATTCAATCACTGCGGTAAAGGTCAGTGGTCTAATTTGCAATTTCCTTCCCCCCCCTTTCAATCCCCGCCTATTCTCCAAGTATAAAGCTATTACAATTGAGCGCGTAGTGAACAGAAAATGATAATAGCGTATCCCAAGGTATTGCAGTTTAGCCTTGTGAACACGAGGTATAGCAATCGCATAACCGATGTCAACAAATCTACAAAGAGGAAATGCACGTACAGGTATTATCATTGTCTTTCTTTGAGAAACAACTCTGAATGATTCGTTTCTTTTCGTCTTCGAATTTTTCGGCCCTCGACATTGTCCCATCCCCAGGTGCGGGCATACCACCATTGCGACCATCACCACCTCGACGCGGATCTCTTTGAGGTGGTAGGTCGCTTCGCGGAGGGCCCCTTGGGCGATCACGGCCATTCATTGTTCCTCAATTCTGGAAAGCCTCAGTTATTCAGGAGGCTAGATGGACATGATCGGGTTTGTCGGATGGAATCACAAGGGAACGGGCGGGTTGAGCTCTAGGGGAGGTAGTCGGAGGGTTGATTATCGTAAATAACAAGGTTTTTCCCTTAATAAGTGACCAGTAATTGGGGAAGAGCCAGATTAGACGTTGGTACTCCAAATTCAAAGTACGCCGAGGATTGAAGTGCAAGAGGCAGTAGGAATCGTGAATTAGCTCATTGACCGGTGGGAATAGTGGCACCGGGCGGACACTAGCCCGGTTGGAGAGCGGGCGGAGAGATGAAACGGGGCGTACAAAGCAAGGTTGGTAGCGAGTGGTAAGTGACTCGACGTCTTTGTATAATCTGAGGTGGGAATAATCTCAGGATGTCAACCATTCATGCCTGTCTAATCCACCTATATATAACCATAACTAATCCACCCTCCAGTTGTATGTTGTTTCCTTCCAACTTTCGAGTACCTACAGAATAGGTAACGCAGCATGTCACGAGGGTCCACGTGAGTCCCAGTCGGTGGTGCTTTGGTTGTCCAATGAAAAGTATTCACCTCGCCTACCGCCTTTTGCGTTGTTTTTTTTATTCTGCCCTATATTTTTTTTTTTTTTTTTTTGGTTTAATTTCTTCTCTCCCGATCAAAGTGACTGAAAGACCTCGGCCGCAAGTGGTTCTTGCTTTCTTGCCTGCTCATAAGTGAGTCTACAGTGATCTGTCTCTATATCTGTGCAAAAGGTCAAGAAGCTATCTGCCACAAAAATGGGACCGGACAAGAAGGTACTTTTCCATGGCGATTATTTACACCAGAAGTACTTGCTGACAATTTTTTCAATCACATAGACGAAAAACACGGAGTCGCCTCCAGCGCAGTTAGTCGCCTCGATTGGTGCTTTCTTAACCGAGTTTGGTTTTACAAAGACCAATGCGGCGTTTACAAAAGAACAAGCCGGTAAATCCACAACCAAATCGCAGACCGATGTGAAGAAAGTGCCGTCGTTACTCGAGATTTTTCAGAACTGGGAAAGCCAGGCAGACAAGACAAGCCCAGCCAAATTATGCTCTAGCTCTAGCTCTAGCTCTTCAGACACTAGCAGCAGCGAGGACAGCGATAGCTGCTCCAGCGATTCCGACGTGGAAATGAACGATGCGCCCAAGACGAAACCAAAGAAAGAAACGAGGAGTTCCTCACCTTCCTCGTCCTCTTCGTCTTCATCTTCTTCGGGTTCCGACAGTGATGCCGATGATGAAGATGACGACGAAGTAGCCCCTACACCTTCCACTGCTTCCAAGCAGCAGGGTACCAAACGGAAGGCTGAATCTACTCCATCATCTTCTGATTCCTCATCCGAATCCGACTCAGACGAAGCTCCTAAGAGCAAGAAGGCCAAGATATCACCCAGCGCAAAACCTTCATCGGAACCTTCCTCTTCTGAGTCCTCATCCGACTCCTCTTCCAGCAGTGAGAGCGACGCATCGCCCGACTCGTCTTCCTCTGACTCTTCATCTGATTCCTCATCAGACGCGTCAGATTCTTCATCCGAATCCGGGGACGATAGCAAGAAAGTGCTGAAGAAGGCGGCCAAGACGCCCCTGCCTCCTTCGGACTCGAGTTCGAGTGGTTCTAGCAACGATTCTTCGTCTGATTCTTCTTCATCAGATGAGGATTCGGACAAGGAAGATGAAAAGGAAAACAAAGGCTCGTCTTCCTCCAGCGACTCCAGCGGAACTCTCCAAGAGTCTGACTCACTCGCTCCCAAGTCCAAGAAGCCGACTCAACAGACTAGCTCGTCAAGTGCTAGTCCGGCTCCAGGAAACAACCCATCTCAGAAGAAGCACACAGGTGCGCGTCCGACCCCGCTGGCGTTGCTTAGTGAACAGTCACACAACCATCCCTCCAACACCTATGTTCCCTATGCATACGCTGAGAAGGCATATCAGGACTTGATTGTCACTCGTGGTAAGGGATTTACGAAAGAAAAGAACAAGAAGAAGCGTGGTTCGTACCGTGGAGGGCCGATCGACATTTCTGGTGGGAAATCATTCAAGTTTGACGACTAAAAGGTGTCGACACAATTCCGAACCTGATCGACTGAGCCAGCCTAGCTGGGTTTACAGGCTATTTAATGCACTTCTACAAAAGTTTAGTAGATCTAGATTTGCTTATTTAGATCGTTTCCGCTGTTTCGCTTCCAAGCAAGGCGCTTCTGGAGCTTGGGTAGAATTTTTATTTTTTACACTTCGATAAAACTTTTTTTTTTTTTTTTGCTCATTTTTATTATTTTTGGTGACTATTAAATTCTCGTAAATTTTTCTATCGTCGTCTATATTATGTATATGTAACATTTCGAAACAATTTCCAGTATTGGAGAAACAATTAACCTGCCAACGTGGTCACCGTTACTGCAGGCACCCAATATCAAATCACACGTAGATGATATTCCAGGTGATTGAAACCAAAAGTTGATAAACCAATTCCTCAAGATGCATTTTCCTAGCCGCGACGCCTCCATGCCCCAGTTTCTTCAAGACGTTTCCATCGGCGGTCCCAAGAAGTAAACTTCTCATTTAATATATCGTCTTCTCCAACGGAACTGAACGGCTGCTGAACCCGGAGTTTCGAAAATTGAGTTGGGTTTCTAGGGTCTGGTCGTTCGTAGCCTGATAAACCTAGTATCTGGTTGGGAGAGGAGGAGCTGTCTGCGTTCAAGTCGAAAGAGTCGATATCGAGAGTGTTCTGGTACCATTCCCGGCAGGGACCGGTCAAATCATCCGTGGATGCAAAATCTAATTGAACGACTGCGTCGGCAATTCCAGTATAAATGGTTGGTGACAAAGCAGATGGCGAAGACATGGTGTAAACCGCACCGCGATACGCACGATTTGAGCGACTTGAGCGAGCTCGTGCCCGGCTTGAATTTGAGAGGGCTGGAGGCTGATATGAAAGAAATATGGTGAGATCTTTGCGAGGGTATGTGATGCTATTGAAAGTGCCATTGGTGCAGGAAGTGATTTTGCTGTTTGGAGACTGCATGTGGTGGTTGTGAGGGGGCAACAGAGAAGCCAGTCTAGTCTCTAAATAACTGTAGGTTTTTGGCATGCGAAGGTCAAAGATCTTCACGACAGCGTCTCCACCTGCACCAACGAAGAATCGATCATTGGCAAAAGGATGGACGCAATATATAGGGTTTTGATCGGTGACATCTCGATACATGGCCTCATATGGCTTGTCTGAACGGAGGTCATGGAGTCTATATGATCGAGCGCAACGGGTTAGCAGTCTGGTATCAAGCAAAACGAAGTAGGAATGGAAAAGCAAAGGAATGGAGATACCTGATAACGCGATCACCCCAAGCTGCAAGAAAGGCGTCTCCCGAAGACCCTCGGGAGAACTGTGCATTGAGAGGAGCGATTGCACTAACACTGGTATTTGGAGTAAGACCGACTTGTGCTTCAAGGTCCAATGAATTCACGCTTATTTCACGATCAAGCGAAAGGCAATTGGGGGTGATAGTTGAAATGGCCAGAGCATCGTCGGGTCGTCCTGTACCAACGGCAAATCGATATGGAGACAGAAATCTGGAGTACTTATTCCGTGTCACGTTCTCCGGATCAATTCGGAGACGAGCAAATGCGTCAACATTTGTCTCTCCTGTTGTCGTGTTATAGAATGCTATCGATCCATTGTTAAAATGAGCAGCGAGAATCGGCTCCGGTCCATCACTCAAATCGATCCGTTCAATTTCTAAACCGAAAGTTGAAAACTGTTGTTTGTATTCATGGGTCTCTTCATCAGGAGAAATTGCGAGATGAACAAGCTCCCCGCGCAGTCGACCGAATATCAAGTGCTCTTTTCCCGCTTCCCTTGCATAATGACCGGGCTTCAAGATGTGAACCCCACAGATATCATCATGGCTGCTGATGTGATCCAGGTCATTGAACACAAACCATCTCTCATCTTGATTCGCGCCGGTTTGCTTGATCCGCAATGCTAGTTCATCGGCCGCGCCCCATGCCAATACTTCCCTTCGGTCCTCCCATCTATCCCCATTCCACACTTCATAGGAGTCAATTGCAGGACGATAACCATGGGTAGGGTTGTCCCGTCTGGTCGCTCGATGAGACCCAACCTTCACTGCGTTCTGGGACTGAAGGACGAACCGGCCAATTACGGCGTGTCTATCCAGGGCTCGAGAGCGCGAGGTAAGGGCCTGGGCAGCATCTTTCCAGAATAGAGGAGTCTTGATATCTGGAAATCGACTTTTCACAAAAGCGCGGTAGATTCGCCAGTCCTCGGCAGCAATGACCTCATGTAAGCGCCGACAGGTCTGGGCGAGGCGAGCCAAGGCACTGGCGGAGGGGAGATAGGTCGCAATATGATAAACGATCTCCGGAGGCAGTCGAGACAGCATAACTAGAGTCAAAGGACATAGAAATGCAATCTATTCCATAGATAAAATGTAGGTAGAATCAACGCGACAAGGATAATTGAGTCACTTATGGTGGCGCAAAAAAATTAATCAACACTCCTAGAGAAGGTACTGGAGAGGAATAATCAAACTCACACATAGGGTAACCTAAACAAATAAATACTCAAAACATCAAGACTAGTTGTTCCAAGTGTATGGGACTTAGTTACCGCGGCGATTTAGGGCATTCTGAGATTAACGACAACAGGAGAGGGCTGTACGGCCCATCAGTCATTGCAGGGATACGATCCAGCAGAGTCATAGTTTGACTCATCATTAACAAGCACTCTCCACTGTGACAGCAGCAAGTAATTTATGTAGTTAAGGGATAAAGGAGCTCAGAGACTCTCTATATATCATACAGACCGACCGTTACTGAAGTCCACTAAAAGAAAGGGAAGAAATGATACTATCGCCTTATGTCATTGTCCTTATCGCTGACTTAACGTACTTTACCGCCTGCCGCCCAAGACCGCCTTCCGCCCAATTTCCCAACATCAACACCACGTTGAAAATGAAGATTTAGAGCCACATACAATTAGAATTATACAGAGATCTTTTGAAGTAATAAAATTAACACCTAATACGCCTATACAACTATTTTTTTTAGTTCCGAAAGCGCTGTGGTAGCCGGATCTGCCTGCCTCGACAGTTTCTGGTGGGAGGGGCCTTATTAACAACTTCAGGCGCTGGGGCAGCAACAACTTCTTGGTTCTTTAATTTTGATGTTACTGGGGACTTTTTCTTGTCTATTCTGGCCGTTTTAAAGTTATTTTAAGGCTGTACAGATGCTTCCTGGAGGCGGGCTTTTTATGCAGAGGCCCTTATATCCTTTTGTTCTTGCAACATTCGTTGTTTATCTTCCTTTACCTGTTAACAGCGTAGCTTCTCTTCCTCTTTTAAGGCCTTGGCAAGCTGTATTTGTAGAGCCTTCTCCTGGTTAAGCTGCCGAACCTAATAAACTTTCCCTCGAGAGTAAAAAACTGCACCACCACCCTTAGGGGCCTGGATTTTAAACTGCAGGTTTTCCACACTGGCAGCACTTCTTTTTATTCTCACATATTTTTCTAAGGCCTGCATTCTCCATTTCAAGTAAGATATTCTCTGTAGAGAGGTGGTGCATGGTACAGCTTAATATCTTAGTGTTTTTATCCTTAATATCTGTAAAAATCTCTTTAATAAGCCGCTCAATCTTTCTCCAATCTTCTGCATGTAGAACAGACCTAGAAGAGCCACTAGAAAAGGGCCGTTGGCCCTCTATTTTTTTAAAACAGGCCAATACAACTTTAGGATTAAAAAGCTATAAGCCAACCAATCTCCATGCACTTTTAATATTTCTTGCAGATAAGGCCTTTTTCCATGCAGGCCAGAATAGCCTGAAGAAGTCCCGCTTTGTAATAGTGCTTAGGCCCTGGCATTCTTGTAAATAAGCCTTTAAACTATTACTGTAAGCAGTTGCAAGCAGCCCAAAGATACTGGTATCTAGCGGTTGCAAGGAATAAGTAGAATAAGGCGGATAAGTAGCCACAAGGATTCTATTAGCTTTATAATAGTTCAAGAACTTTATGGTAATATAAGAACCGTGACCATCTAAGATTAGAAGCCTCCAACGCCTGCCTGCTTTGGCCTTGGTCTCCTAGTTAAATACCTGCTTTAACCATGCAAATCCAAGGTTGTTGTTGGTCCAGCCAGTCTTTAAGGAGGTAAAGAAACATTGGTGTTCTGCAGGGTTAAAGTCCTGCAGCTAGGTATCTTGAAGTTTTCCAGATAACACTTGGTAAATTAAGCCCGGAGATAAAGTAGTTTAATCTACACATATACAAGTAATTAAAGTAATCTATTCCCGATTACTATTTTAAATATATTAAGTATTGTCTCCTTGGTTATACTAACACCTGGAAAAGATCCTCTTGGCCTTAGAAAGTATACTAATAAGGAATCCTTGTCACAGGCTGAACCTGTAACATACTATATAGGGCGCTAGATGCGACTGATCTTCGATCAGTCGTCTTGTACCTTTTTATATGGTCAAGTGGTTTTATCTCTACTAGCGCAGAGACAACCAAACCATCACAATCCTTTCTCGTTTATATTATATATATCCTGCTGCTGTATCTCATATTCCTTTATCTTCTTGCCCAGATATTCAAAGTACAGAGAGTATTTAAATGCAGAATCAGCCCGCTTGTGTGCAGAATTAATACTAGTTGTATAGTAAAAGATAAGGTCTTTCTAGTATCTCTTATAAAAGCGGCCTGGCCACTGTTTTCCAGGCTTGGTTCTAGTAATTTCCTTGGCGAAATTCCTCAGCATCTCATGCGTACAGTAAAGACCTCTTGTAGATGGTTTATTTAGGTAATCCAGAAGCTCTCTGGTCTGTTGGTTGTTAAGTAATCGCTGCTTTTTATATTGCTGCGTTCTTGGCTGCTGAACTCCGCGGTGATGCCTTGAGAGAGTTGTTTAGTTAATACTAAATTAATTTACAATTTTAGTATAGGTAAAACGTTCCCCTATATTTAAGGAATCGATTGCTTCTATCACTGCTTTCAGAGGATCCATATTGAATAAGTTATGGTGGCTTAAAAATCTACAGTTGTTTAGTCAGTGAGGAGATATTTTGAGCGGCAGGCGGTGACGGGCGGCAAGCGGTAAAGTGCGTTATCTCGTGCGGGGTTTTGACCCTCATTAAGAACGAAAGGAGAGATTTCTGCAAACACGAGCATTCGGTCTCTCCTACCTAGTCTCACTGCACTTTCGACTGAGTCACTTCAAAAAATGCTCTCCCCAATTGTGGATCGGGCATTTGCCTTTATACTTGGTCATATTAAGACTAGCTAACTACATAGGCGGATACCTCTTCCTGCGGGGAAGTATTCTCCTAATGGTAAGTCCACCCTGATGGAAGGTTTTGTCGAGCTCGACCAAACTAAGGAACGAAAATTAGCTAGTTAGTGGTTCCCTGGCATAGTATATAGATAAGAGGCGATGTCAGCGTTCACTAGCTCTGCTGTTTGTGTAACTGCCAACAGTCCCATCTTCCATCCATGCTTGTCGATAATAGTTTTCAATCCACGTCTACTGTGGTCCCCTGGCTGTGACAAAAATGGCTGTTTCTCCAGTCATAGTTTTAGCTGGCGTTGCCCTCGCTATAATCCTGTTTCACAAGTTGGTTGTATACCCGGCCTTCCTATCTCCATTGTCAAAAATTCCAAATGCGCACTGGACAGCCCCGATATCTCCTGCTTGGATTCTTTGGAGGCGTTTCAAGTGCCAGAACAACCGAACCATCCATGCGGCTCATGATAGGCTTGGTCCTATTGTACGGCTATCGCCCTCAGAGATATCTATCAACTGTGTTGATGGAGGCATCAAGTCTGTATACTCGGGTGGTTTTGAGAAACATGAATGGTATCCGCGGGTTTTTGGATCCCTTGGGTAAGAGCTTATCCCTTGGAAACCAGTAGGCGTACTACAGCTAATGAAGTGTTGGCCCGTATACAGGACTGTCAGTATGTTTACCATGACTGACAGTAAAACTCACTCAAACCGCAAAAGGATGCTGTCCAATATCTACAGCAAGTCCTTCTTGCAGTCATCGCCTCACATGCGTCTCATATCAAAGACGATTCTCTTTGATCGCTTCCTGCCAATTCTCAATGAAGCTGTCTCTTCTAAGACACCCATTGAATTTCTCGACCTTGTCCAGGGCGTCACTATGGACTTTGTTTCGGCATATTTGTTTGGTCTGACCAATGGGACCAACCTCCTTCAAGATCCACCCTACCGGCAGAGGCTACTTCAACTGTACCACTCCAGGAAGCAGTATGAATTTTACCACCAGGAAATTCCGAATCTGGTGTCCTGGTTGAAGGTCTTGGGCATTAATTTGATCCCCAAATGGTGCGGTGAAGCCAACGACGCACTAGATGCATGGGGGCTGGATATGTGCGACAAGGCGGAGCAAAGCCTTGGATCGGCCGAGCTCCAAGTTGAACCCGTCGTATATAAGCATCTCAAGCAGGCCTTGTCTAGGCAACCCCCTGCGACAAAGGGGGGCTCAAAGGAGAACCTTAAACATGAGCGGATTGAGATCGCTTGTGAATTATATGACCAACTTACAGCTGGCTTCGAGACCAGCGCTATAGCCTTAACCTATCTCTTGTGGGAGATGTCCCAGCACCCGGATCTGCAAAAGGAGCTCCGCGAAGAACTATTAACCTTAGAGCCGAAGATTCTGTACCCTAGGCCTTCTATATCGGTGGGTCTGCCATCGTCGAAGTCCATTGACTCGTTGCCTCTCTTGGAGGCTATCGTCACAGAGACACTGCGTCTTCATGCTCCAATTCCTGGAATTCAGCCTCGCGTCACCCCGTCGCCTTCTTGTAGCTTGGCTGGTTATAATGATATTCCTGCCAACATAAGAGTGAACGCGCAAGCTTACTCGCTGCACCGCAATCCGGATGTATTTCCGGCTCCCGAGACCTGGCAGCCTAAGCGGTGGCTCAAAGACAGCAATTTGTCATCTGATATCGAGGAAATGAGGCGATGGTTCTGGGCCTTTGGTAGTGGTGGGAGAATGTGCGTGGGGAGCAATTTAGCTTTGCAAGGTAGAGTATCGCATGCATTTTCTTGAAGACCGCAAGCTGATGCCTTGTCAGAGATAAAGCTGGTAGTTGCCACCATCTATACCAACTTCAAAACCTCTATCATTGATGATACGGGCATCGAAGCAATCGATGCGTACACAGTGAAGCCTGAGGGGGAGAAACTGGTTCTCAAATTCGACTCTGTGTAGTCGTCAGAATGCCATTTACTTACCTTTCTTGTTCTCCCACACTAAATCCAATATAAACCAACATTACCATGAGGGGACAGTCGAAGGAAAAGAAACAATTGTTTCAAGGTATAACATGTAGTAATGTACAGATTGGGATGTATGCAAGCCCCCACACCAAATCCCGTTCCCAGTCATCTGGTTGAAATGAATAGCGCAACCATTTATTCGTAGTTTGCCCTCAAACGAAAGGAAAATCCGAAACTCCAAGTACAGAATATTATCACGAACGCATCAACAAGACTTCTGTGAAAGAACTCCTCGATGAAGACTCCACCAAACCACGAATATCTCACTATCTCAAAAAAATACCCGCAACTTCGATATAGAAGATCATTCAATGACCCTTTTTCTTAGGTCCAACAACCTTAGGGTACATTCTCATGAGGTGGTAGTTGACAGTGTTCTTCTCATTGCCCTTCTTTTTCTGTATTATCCCGGAAAAAAGTATATTAGCAATAACCCAATTCAGACCGTCTTTAACAAAGGGCGATGGAGTTAGATACGTACCGGTGCATCCATACATTGTCTCAGTTGTTGCTCGAGAGCCAAGCAACCCTCAGAACCATATCCAGATGAAGCCCAGCAACCTGTCAGAGTATGGGGTCAGCTATGCAATTATTTCGAACATTGTCCAGCGACCTCAAAAACGAATGGTAACCAGGACACTCCAGCAGCAGGACCATCGCTGCAACCCCCTCCCCTCCCCGAGCCATTTAAGGTAGACAGTTAGAAACATACTTAGCATTGACGACATCACCGCCACACAAGTGTTCTGCTCATGCTTGTTCGGATGACGAATGCGCAGATGAGGGATGGTCTGCAATCGCACAGGGTTGAGACGGGTTGTGGCGCCTTTGGGAGGCATATTGGCAATCTAGCCAGGGAGTCTGATACTAGCACAAGAAAGCAAAAAGGAATGAACGGGTGAAAAAGACAGGGCAGACAGCCAGCGACGTGGACAGCAAAGTGAAGCCTCCCAATACCAGATCCAAAAGTTGTCGGGAAGCCTTGGAGGTGCCAAGACCAGGCAAATTTGCCCGCGGAAGAGGCTGACGTAAACATCCATCATGGCTGGACGAACTTCCAGGTTAGTGATGAGGAGCTGAACTCAGCCTACCAACACTACTTTTTCACGACGGTTCTTTTGGTGATATTTTTGACGATTTGACAGGCCAGACATGAGCAGGAGACATGTGGGTGCTCTTCATGTCAATAGTCTCTTGACTCCATACGCACCCAAGAGGCAGATCTCAAGACCTTTCTCCATAGTGAACAAGAGGCAAAATGCAGATTCGACAGGGAGTGAAGACAGTAAGTCTTCCAAGGCAAAGGATGAGCCTAAGGAAGACGGCGCAATGGCTCGACGGTTGTCGGAGATGACAGAACAAGCTATTTTAGAAGGAGGTAGTTCTACGCGCAAGAACATGCAACAAGTGGGGTTTTCGGAAGACTTGAAGAAAGAGCTCGAGGAACGCATAGCTGCAAGTAGCTTCAAGAGTGAACATGCAGCTGCTCACTCAATTGTGAACATGCCGGTAAGTCTTACACGATCTACATCGCGATGTGGTGCTGACTGGCTTCTTCAAGACAAGCGCAGGTCAAGGTACTCGGGATATTGCTGGAGCTCAGCCTTGGAGTGGAACAGAAACCATTCACGATGTCACCCTACGTATGCTGGATAGCTCGTCGAAGCCACTCCATACCCCGTATAAAATACCCCAACCCAGCCCGGTCGATATGCGGATTTCTCCAAAATCCAAAAAGTCAGCCAGTCTCCGTCTCGCCGAGGCTAAAGAGCGTACCTCCACATACTCAATGAGTCAGAGCCCCGGCATCTCGGATAATGAGCGCGAAGCTATGCGGAAAGAGATGCGTGAAAGATTTACCCCCGGAGCCCGCCCAATGCCAATGACAGTTCAAGGTCTGGCCTCTCTTGCCAACGAACGAATAGAAGATGCAATTGCACGAGGCCAATTCGATAAGATTAAGAGAGGCAAGGGGGTTAATACAAAGATGGACCATAACGCACATAGTGCATATATTGATACCACAGAATATTTCATGAATAAGATGATCCAGAAGCAGGAGCTCGTACCACCTTGGATCGAGAAGCAACAGGAAATAGCGAGGGATGTTGATCGGTTTCGTCAACGCCTACGAACCGAATGGAGACGGCATGCTGCCAGACTGATAGCCAGTCACGGAGGGTCACTGGAGGTACAAATGAGACGTGCTCAGGCTTACGCTGTCGCGGAGGCCCGACTGGCAGAAAGAACCAGGATAGAGAGGTCATTCCAGGGGGGTTATGATGTTGCTCTTCCCTCAGCAAATTTGGACAACGATAAACAGGCGTTGGATTCCCAATCGTCTCCATCCCCAGCGCCGGAAGTCTCCAACGCACTTGATGGTGGAGACGGCAGTCATCTCCCAGATGTGCCACCACTTCGGGACCCCGAATATCTTTCAACCGAGCGCTCTTTCTACGAACTCACAATTAAGAATATCAACACTCTTACTCGTTCCTACAATCTGCAGGCACCACCTGTTGCGCAAAAGCCATACCTGAACCTTGAACGCGAACTCTCGGCATGTTTTGCAGATGTAGCCCCCAGCCTAGCGGACGAGATCAAAAAACGCGCGACCGAGAGAGCGCGCAGGCCTGGGTCAATGGGCTCCAAAGCTACCGGGCTTGTTGACTCCTTCAGCACGTTACCATCGGCTGATGTGTACGAGGAGGACCAATCTAAAGGTTACGGATTCAAGCAATTTTGGAGGGACATATTTTCAAAGAAGGTATAGGCTTGAAGCAGCTGTATACATGAAATTGGTATGTATACGGCATCAACATAGTTTCGACGTGTACCATGGACAGGCTTATCCCTTCGCTGACAACCTCCACAGACCGAGGTAGGCCAGAATAAGACCGATAAGGCTCGCGGTGGCAGGTAGAGAACTAGTATGATCCAGAAAATAACCGTATTCGCCTCCAAATTGGCAGCTGTCCAATGATAAGGATAACCCTTCTGGCAACAATGTCGTCGTTAAAGATAGCAACCGTTAAGATCAATGCCGTCTTTTGGAACGACAGTTCAGGAGTTCCAGAAAGCTACTATCGATGTACCATTTCAAGATCGCCCTCACGCCGAACCCTCCTCCAATCCTTCCAGAGTGGAACGATCGCCTTGAGTTGGACAAACATCCCCCACGCGAATCCGAAACCACAGAGAACAAGAAACACCGGCACAAGCCATAGACGCAGTGATTCAGAAGGATGAAATCGTATGATGAAATGCACGTTGAAGATTGAAGACGCCAGGCACACCGCCAGCGAAAGTGTGGCAATGCCAGCGCGGGTAATGTAATACCTGTTCTTCTTCTGTTGAGACTCCAAAGCCAAGCTAGAAGGTTCGGGAGAGTGCCGCAGGTACATAGGTACCTGGAAACTCGCAGCGGATGCCATTGAAAGAGCACCCATAAGGGCTATATGGCCGACGTCGGAAAGGGCACCTTCTGAAAAATAGCCACTGTGCCCGCCATCCTCGCCATCCCCACCATCCCCGTCATCGCCGCCGTCGCCGCCGTCACAAGTAGCAGATACGTCTTCGTCTGTCTTGCCAGGTTTTGTGGTAATCACGATCTCTGGCGGTGGTGGCGGTGTGCTTCGCTTCATCGGGATGATAAAGTTGTGCCAGGGGACTTTAGGCCAGCCACCGTTTGACCAGCCAGCCTGTGCTATGTCGGAGTCCCCAAATGGCAGGCGGGAGATGAGCTCAACATCTCCAATCCAGATCTCGTTAATGGCATTCCCTGGCTTGTAGTAGTTGTCTGACCTGACGCCATTGATAGCCGAGACGTTTTGACCCATTGTAAGAAGAATAGTAGGAATAGAATACAGTTGGGAAGAATTGACAGTGAATGAATGAATGAATGGAGTGTATGCAGGAGTGTTGTAAAGCGAGTCTTGACCGGGGCCATCGTTCATCGGACTCTTTTGCAGCAAGACGAAGTGATGGATGCTCTTTCCGCATTGGAATGTCCAGACAGGGCATCCTCAGGCATCATGGTATTCCTTATTTGTCAGAAATTAATGCAACTGATAAGCCTTAGGAACACAATCCAGCTCATCCTGTCTTTGACACTATTCTGTATATCATCCACCAAGGATTAACCACCTAGGTATGTACGCTGCTGACTCCAATGAATAACCCACAGGTGATGAAAGCTTCGGCCTGCTCTAGCTTGTGATCCAATATGTTGACTGCTATCCTTACTGATCAGGTGAAACCGTAAGTATGTATATAATAGTCTGATGTGTAGGTAGGTTCAATCCTTACCTTGTTTTCTCACACTGTACTGACACTGTCAATAAAAAGAATTAAAATCCATCCTCCAGATAGACTCTCTGACTGGCCCAGGCGACGGTGTGATGACTGTGCCGTGTGTGCAGCAGGGCGCGTATTTGCACCAACGACCGATCCCCAATGGTCATCGCCAGCCCGCTCAAACTCAACTGTCTCCATGGCGGTTTCTTCACACTAGCACATCCAATCACTCTGTGTGAGTCGTTTGTTATATCACCGTTCCCCCTCTTCTTTCAGGATGTGCGACATTCTATCTGTTTCTGTAAGGGATTTGCGGCCTCATTTGCAATCCCACGATATGTCTACTGATTATACTTAATCACTCACTGCCTACGGTCATCCATCATGATGTCCATTTTTGCATGCCTTGCTCTTCTTTTATCTTCTGTTGGTGTTGCTGCTGGATCAGTATTCCAGGACAGTTCCGTTCTGCTTGCAAAACTGCGTCGTGCTAGCGACCTCTCCACCAATCCTTCTTTGGATGAGTCCCTCCTGGCCATCCAGATTGGCGGCATCGTAGGTGCATACGTGATTTTTGTCGCAATTCTTCTGACCCTACTGCTCTTTGTGGGCCGGCGCCTGCGAAGAACCGTGCAATCATCGAACTATACGCTACAGGTTGAAATGATGAAGCCTGTGAAGCCCCCCATTAGCATGGACCCAAGTCCCGTCACTCCTACCTCCGCCAACCTCCCCAGTCCCGGCAGACTGAACAACTTCAGCATGTCCTGGAGCAGTTTGACCAGAGGCCCCAGATCCCATACGCCTGGGAATGGCAATGTAGGCACCATTGACGAGTCGGTAGTCGCGCAGGACCGGCGGAGAGCGCAGGAAGAGATGGAGATGCTCTATGCGGCAGTCTTAGAGCACGATGAGCAGAAAGCGGCCGCAGCGGCGGCGGCCTCTCGAGAAGACCAAGAGACCCAGTCGTTCGAGAGTGAACCAACCAACCCTTTCACCGATCGATCATCGCAGGTATCGGACGGTCCATCGACTTTCCAGAGCAAAACCCCGATGAGCCCGAGAAGCAATTCGCGCCTGTCCAAGATCTCATCTCTCTCGCTGTTCAATTCGAATTCGCGCGCTCAAGCCAACATGGGCAAGCTTCGTTCCCCTCTGTCTGCGCTTCGAAAGCTACCGATATCCTCCCCTGTAGGCTCTCCAGACGTGACTGCTTCCAATTCATATGGCGAGGAACAACCACCGTTGACACCACGGGTCTATCATCCCCCTCCTCCACCGGCCCCTCCAGCCGCCATCGCCCCGAGGCGACATGAAAGGACCTCCGGGGGCGGGAGGGCGCCAGCTCCGGCACCACTAACGCTTTCCACGCCCGGTCATGGCTCGTCCTCATTGCCATTCCGGGATGCATACCCTCTCCAGAGTGCGCCGGCCACAAAAACCACGGTGTTGGAGCGGCCGGAGAAACCCGTGGGGGGACCTCGGACGGGCCTACCAACCCCGTACAGTCCGTACATGCCTTTTACGCCTGTGACGCCTCTCACTCCCAGTCGGATAATTACCAAGCGTCAGCGGAAGCGCGAGATCCGGGAAAACGGGCTGCGGGTGCTGAATGAGGACGATATGGTGCGAGATGAGGAGGATATATGGGGGTGATGTAGATGAATTAGATAAATTCTCAGATTTTATTCTTTATTCTTTATTATATTTATTTATATGTTTGTTTGTTTGTTTATCTATTTTTGTAGCCAGTATTTTATGCGACAATAATCGCTGCATAGAAGCAGTCGTCGACCGGCTCCACCATGTCCACTCTGTCGTCATCGGTGGAAATAATCTCCCATCGATCCCTCTCGCTACATTTACCTCTTCATGAAAGGGCGATCTATACGCCAGAGTATTTTTGTCCCTTTTTGGCCCCTCTGGATGGCTTGCGTACCCGATCCACCTCGCCCGGCCGGTGAACGTGAAATGCCCGCTTGCTTCCTTTATCTCCGACGGCTTTCGTTCCCGAGTCCTGTTCCTTCCATCCGACCAACTCCAAACAAACATCCTCTCTCGCTGAATCGAGATCTGATTTCGTTGCGATTTTGAGACTCGCCTATCCCCATGCCGTTAACGATTATCTCTCAAGCGCAGTTGCGCTCCCTTCTCTTGTCTCTGACTCGGGATGAGATTATCACACTGCAGCAGAACCTCGCCCAAGCCTTACGAGAGTACTCGACTGGAAACCAGGAAAACGGCTGCGCTGCTACCTACCAACCACAGAGAACCGCCATTACGCGACGGAATGGCTGCACGACGCTATTTATGCCCGCCACGACTGGCCGCACACTCGGGATAAAGACAGTTTCGCTGCAGGATGGCGGTGCCGCAGGATGCGCCGTGGACTCCCGGCCGGATATCTCCCCTGACGACAAGACAGCGTCGAGATCCCATAGACACCGAGACTCAATGTCTTCTCTCGCGTCCGACATTAGTGACCTCTCGACTTCGTCGCAGGAAGGTGGTAGTGGCAACAGCAGCTCCCGCACGTCGAGCAGCCAATCACTACCGTCTGGCTGTGTGAACAGACAGCCAGTCAACACTGGAATGTCCAGCACGATGGGAGCATGGCCCTCTGCGGGCTCTCGAGACACCTCGCCGCAGGGGAGCTTGACTCTACTTGACAAGAAGAGCATGCCGTTTGGACTGATTAATGCCCACGAGCTGACACCGTTCCGCACGGCGCTGACGGCGATGATGGTGTTCGGCAAACGCAAGCGGGTGCGCACCATCGTGGTGTTCGGAGCCGGTAAGCAAGCCTACTGGCACATTCGGCTGGCTCTAGTGCTGCGGGGTTCGGATATCAAACGAGTGTTCATCGTGAATCGGTCTTTTGATCGGGTTGCCCGGCTTCTGCAGGATATCTACTCCCCAGAGAATTCCAGCTGGCGCGGAGACGTGAAATTCTCAGCAGTCAGCAGCGACTTTGGCGAGTACTCGCGCATTCTCCACAATGCCCTCCACAAGGCGGATGCGATTTTCTGCTGCACACCCTCCATCAAGCCACTCTTCCCGGCGGAGATGCTCACCTCACGCGAGGCTCGGAAAAAGGGACGACTGATCAGCGCCATCGGCTCGTACAAGCCACACATGACGGAGCTGCATCCCGATATCCTGCGAGACGAGGTCGACACGCATCACTCCCACCGACATTTCCACAAACACGTCAAGCGGAGCGGCGTGATAGTAGTGGACAGTCTTGAGGCCGCCTTGAAAGAGGCGGGAGAGATCATCCAGGCGGGGATCAAACCCAAACAAGTGGTAGAACTGGGGGAGTTGCTGATGGTGCGGTATGCAGTGCAGGACATGGCAGAGGAGGATGAGGTCAGTAAAGGCCTGGGAGAATGGGTTCAACGAGGCAATGTGATCTTTAAGAGCGTTGGGATGGGATTAATGGATCTCATTACCGGGGAAGATTTGGTGCGTTTGGCTCGCGAGCGACAGCTTGGGACGACGGTGGAAGATTTCTAGGCTCCTGCGTATTTTATTTTTATTATTTTTATTATTTTTATTATTTTATTATTATTATTATTATTCTCTTCTAACTATATAGCCTAATGTTATCTGATGAGACTTCAAATATTTCTATTCTACTGTATGCAGTATACGTGATCCTCACTGAGCTACCATATTGTTACCCCGCAATACGGGGAACGGTAACCATCACCTTTTTCCTTCTCTTCTTCTTCTTCTTCTTCTTTATGACCCCCGAATCATCTAATCCCATTCGCTCTTCCATCAGACTATGCGTCACCAAACCTGTCACCTGCCCAATGGGCAGCTTTTCACCGTCACCCCCGTTTTCGGTGGCGTCATGTTCAAGTCCAAGGATGCCCATTCCACCAGCTCCATCCTCCCTCCCGGCTGGACCATTGTACTTTCCACTGAACATCAGAGTGGCCAGTCGACTCAGGAATCCGGTTCATTGGAGGGAGTCGCTGATCAAGCGCAGGAAACCGGACAGAAAGATGCACACGCCACACAGACGCGATTCACAACGCCAACCCTTCGAGACGACAATCTGTATATCTCCTACATAGTCAATCCGTCGGATATCGACTACAAACCCCCCACGTCGCCGACCCGTCAGATTGCAATGATGCTCTGGGTCACCCTGTGGTGGTATTTCCACGAGCCAGAGCCGAATCCCCATGTCCAAACGGAAGCTTCGTCGCGCACCCCACCGACAGGCAGGCCCAAGGGAGATTGGCGCATCTACATCAAACGAGAGGGCATTTTCAAAGGGCGGAATTTGGTGCATAAGCTGGAACGCATGGGGATCATCAGAAGCGAGGAGTCGTCCGTCGGTGCAGATCCGTCGGATCAGGAAGGGTGGTCCTCGATGTTTGCGAGCAGACGCTCGTTCTGGCAGCTCGACCCCCGTCTATTCCTTTTCACCCTAACTCCACAATCTGGACAAACGACCCCTTCCCCTTCCCGAAGCAGTTTTTACCTCTCCGAGTCGCCTTCATTCTCTGGAGAGTCTCTCTCCCCCTACATCCCAACCGAAGGGCCATATTCTTCCAGCAGCCATCTCCCGACGTACTTCCCACCTCCCCCAACGCAGTACACGATCACGAATGGACAGCGGCATCCCATCCGGCCCAAGCCACCCCACCAAGGCGAGGTATTCTACGTTCGGTACATCCCAAGCGTCCAGCAGTACCTATCATTCCGGGTTCCCTATCTGTCCAAAGATAAGAAGAACGGCACTGGCAGCAGTCCGTCGGATCTGGAGCTCCTGCACAAATGGATGAACGAGCCGCGGGTGAATGCAGCCTGGGGAGAAGGAGGGCCCATCTCCCACCAGGAGGAGTTTCTCCGCAACAATCTAAACAACCGACACAGTTTCCCGGTGTTTGGGTGCTGGGACGGCAAACCGTTTGGGTACTTTGAGATTTACTGGGTCAAGGAAGATCGACTGGGGCCACTTATCGGCAGCGCCGGCAACTATGATCGGGGGATCCATCTGCTGGTGGGAGAGCAGGAATTCCGAGGGGCACATCGGGTTGTGATATGGCTAGATGCGTTGGTGCACTATTGTTGGCTGGCCGATATGCGCACCGAGACGGTCATGTTGGAACCGCGGGTGGATAATGCAAAGTATGCTACGTCCTTCCGTTCCCCCTTTTCTTTTCCTTAACGATATTTTACTAACCCCACCAGGGTCATCGAGTATCTCCAAACGTCGGGCTTTTACAAGGAAGGCGAGGTCACCTTCCCACATAAACAGTCAGCTGTGATGAAGATCAAACGAGATTCGTGGGAGGCTCCAACGGTATAGAATGGGATAAATTATGGTCCTGTTTGTCCATAACAAGTGTGGGTTAAATAACTAGTCAGCTGGCCTCTAGGCTTGGAGGCGACGTGAGAACTGCTACTGATAGCAGGATTACCTCTCCTCGTTTATTCTATAACGTAACAGATATGGCGTTATATATCGCATCCATAATACAATTCTTCATCTTACATGGACCTGAATGTCTATAGTGCCCGACCATCAGAACTTCCTAATGTATAAATAGCCCGGTTTCATCCAAATTTTGGGGGGGGGGGAATACAATGGGATATGAATCGGCTAGGCTATCAAGACAGCACATGAAAAGTAAGTATCACCCCGTGTTCTCAAATTAATTTTTAACACTGCGGAATCTCATACCGCTAGAAGCGATCTTTAAGATAATTAGAAGCAACAGACGACTGGCGGAGAGAACCCCCCATATATACAGCTCCCAGAATACTTACTACCACTCACAGCACTTTTCTTCCAATTTACTTATACTCACGGTACGAGAGTGTAGCAGGGAGCCGACCATACCCCACATCTTCAACTGAAAAAGTTGCAAAACTGTACGACATCATAACCAGCACTGTGGTGATCAATCCTAGAAGAACTACTACGCCAACCACAGTAAAGGCAGCACAGGCGATTTAATAGCGCATCCGTAAGGATAACTACTTATAACAAAAGGGCATTACCTGACACATTCTCGCCGCGAAGATCTCAGAACCCTTCTGCGTCTCATGGAGAGCCGTGTGCACCGTCTGACTGGGATGACAGGGCCAGGCTGTCATCCCAAGGTACTTCTGGCCACACCCAGTTTATCGGGGAATGCAGAGCATTCTGCTGTATTTCTGTCGTCCGCAGCTGTCATAAAGCTGGGAACTGTGCAGTATGCACAGCCAAGACAAGGTGGGCCTGTGGGGTCCGGATTGTTTTGGAGGATTCCTACTCAAAATGTCTCATCCTTCGCTGCTATTTAAACCTGTCGGCTCCCTCCGGCTGCTCCTTCGCCCATCTTTCCTCCATATCTTCATCTCCCGTACATTTTCTAGATGGATCCCTCCACATTAACACCCTTCTGGGGGCCCCAAACCTCGTATCTGAAGTATGTTCTAATTTACATCAATTCATCGGGAATTTCGGTAGCTCACTCGAATTAGCTTTTGCGAAGAGGTACTTCCATAGCAATTACCCTTGCTTCCAAAGCACAACTAACCTAACATCTGATTTGTCACAAGGACTATGTAGTGACCCGATATATTGCGGAGTTTATAAATACGCTGAGCAGCTTTGTGTTCAGTGCGTTAGTGGATTTGGATAAACCTGGCTGGAAGACCTGTATTGACTTCTACTTCTAGTTGTATACGGAATTTACGGTCTATTAAAGCTCCGCCAGAAACAACAAGCCAGCTCCCGCTCGATTTCGTATTTTGGATTGATCGGGGTAGGAGTCTGCTCAGCCGGATACCACATGACCTTGAAATATCACACCCAAATGTGTATGTCTAGTTCGATATCCTTTGATCCCCGGTCGTTCTGACGGTGTCAAATTTCTAGCGGATGAATTGTCGATGCATCTTCTGACTACGCCTCTCCTATACCGCATCCTCACATTCCAGGCCAATCCGCAGCACACTCGAGTGGTGAGAATTATCATTCCACTTCTCTTTGCCACCGTGATGGTTGTACATATGGCCATGGATGAATTCCTCCTTCATGCCGTTTCCTTTGGTTTGGGAGTTTGTTTGATTGCATCCCGTACATTGAGGACTATTCGTCAGCAAATCACCGATCCTGTTGTTAGGAAGAATATTCAAAACGTAGCGATCTTTGGCTCTTGTAAGTTCTCTACCCACTATCTATCTGACTGGGCAATAATTAAACGATGTCAGTGAGTTTTGTCTTTGGCTACTTTGTGTGGTTAATTGACCAATGGGCTTGTCAAACCTTGGCCAATATAAGACATTCTGTTGGTTTGCCATTGGCATTCTTGTTGGAACTCCATGGTTGGTACGTTCCTTCTATACCCCACTCACTGGAATTTCGGAACCTGAGCCACTAATCAAAATAAACAGGTGGCATGTCTTTACTGCCTTCGGAGGCTATATTGCTGTTGCGGTTGTGGACTTGATAACGTCCGGTGAAGTGCGCAAAGATTCCACAGAGCACCTTGCCTGGCCTATTCCGGTTGTGGCAAGATTCATGGGAACAGCGACGACCTTAATGAAATTGGATTAATTATTAGAAAAGAGGACTGCAGGGAGTTATGTCAATCTATCTATATGCGGAGCCTCTGGAACCTAGGAGTGATTCTCTTATCCTTTGGAACAGATTCAAGCCCAGCACACTATTATTAGCCGGTGTACATCGAGGATGACTTTTATAACCCTCGTCGTCATCGTCTTTATTTTTTATTTTTATTTTTATTTTTTTTTTTTTAATTCTCTCTCTCTCTCTCTCTCTACTTTGTTGAATATAATTCGAAGAAAGATCTGCCAAAGGTATGCATAGCCCTTTGGTCGAAGCGGCCAGTTATGATGGTCTTCCAACGGCCGCCAAGGCATCAGCGACGTGTTGTGTCTTGTTGGTTTCTTAGGGTACATAAACCTCGTAAAAGGACGTCTTATTGCATCTTGTTTCTCCTTCCAACGTCACCTTCAGATTAATTAATGTATACAAGGCAGCTCCAGAAACCAACCCCCTAGATGGAGATGTTTAATAAAAAGCAATTTGATCTATTAGATGTCTTGACCGATGCTCCAGATGTTCCAACACCGTCTGAACTTCCAGCGGGGTGTTTCCTGACTGTTGCTATGGACGTTGCAAGTATGTGCGTTACTCCATATTCTGGGGGGAAAATAATAATAAAAAATAAAAAATAAAAAGCAAAAATTTAGTTATTCTAATATTATACAACTATTGTATGATAATTAACACTCCTTACAACATAGCACATTCCAGCCGTAGTCCCTCCTACCTATCCAGACTAGACAACCTGCGTCACCGAAGCCATATTCCAAGAGGCCATCCACAACTGCAAGACATGTATCGAAGCAGAATTAAGTACCGCCAATGCTTCCGGCCCCAAATCTGACGCGGAATTGGTCTCCAAGGCTCGTCGCGACCATTGCGGTGTGTGGAACTCCAACACTCTTTTGGTCCTGGAGGTTGAAGATCTGGAAATTATCTAGAGATATTTAACCCATAATCCGGCAGTGACCTCCCGCCGGCTCCAACTCTGACTTTGACTCCCTCGTCGCTCGGAGTACCGTACACGAAGCCGTTGATGACTTCGTCTTCCCAATACGTAGTCGGTGATAAATACGGATCTAACGGGGGCTGTTCATATGGCTAGGACCGATGCATCTTCGGAGGTGGTGTTTTGTACGGTGGTGGCTTTTCACCTTTGCGGTTGGTGATTTTGGTGTGGGTATTGCTGAGGTCGTCCTGGTGGTTGATATTATTGTATGCTGTGCAGAGTAATTAGAGTGGTGACCGAGATACTTGCGAATGATTAGTCTCGACTTGGAAATTTAATTGGAACTAGCTTGGCTCTGTAAATGCTATATTTCGTCCTTCTCTGATTATGTACCAGGGGCCAGCCACATCTATTTTCCCATCACACCTATTTTACCTTCTTCAACTACAGTATTCTCCTCTATTTTGTCCCTTTCGTCTACAATTTCCTCGATTTTCCTTGGTAGCCTTCTCCATTGAACTGAAAGGGCATCAAGACTCTAGTTAGCCAGGCAAATCTTCTGGAATATTGACAGAACTTACTGAGATTCTCTGCTTTCATTAAGTTTTGAGGCGCTACTCTTAGGCAAAGTTCGAACGACGAATCGGCCACGTGCTTAGTTTAGTGGTCGAAAGTATTATACCCCGCCAGTAATACAACTATACAGACTAAAGGACATGGTTTAATACTTATAGGGATGCGAGTTAGATGAACTTCAACTCCTAGATCCCATTAACTTGACCGTTGGAACAGATAAGCAGCCTAGCAATATTCTTGAGGTTGGGTTGTATGACCACTACCACGACTTCGAACAGATGCGAGATGTGGCTATGTCGATCATTTGGAGATGACAATGTTGTACTTCTTGTATCTATCTGTCGGAGCTAGCCATATCTTCTCATCGATTAATGGGAATCAGAGATGGACACTGAGCCATTGCGAGATGTGCCACATCTACAATGCTATCCAAGAATAACTCCAGAACGTGCATAAAAATTGGAGTGCGATTAATCTCAGGGTCATTTTCTGATCTCTTACAAGTGCGGCACATCGAATGGGGACTAGAGGACTCTTATGTGGTCTCGTTTGGTCGAGGAGTCCGTGGAGAAGTGTATAATTATCCCGGTAAGTTTTCTGCTATTATCGGACTTTGTCTTTGATCTTCATGTATTCTTACCAACTCGACTCCAATTATCTTCAGAAATGGAGTTGTGAGTAAACTCCGCAGGACAAAAAGGATGTCAAAGCCCCAGTTAGCCGGGTAAGTCTCATACAGTTCGTTTGGACCTAAGCTTAACATTATTGAGACTCTTCAGTACCATGTCAATCTCCATAACGGGGTCCAGAATGGACACTAACTACATAAGGTGCCCATTGCCACGATTACTTAGTGTGAGGTAGCCTGCAGCTGCCCTCATAGTCCCGCTTGATGTGGGATTGTTATTAGTTTAGGGCTATTGCTTTTGCGAAATATCCCGGGGTGTGATACGTATATATCAACCCCACTCTTAGTTCTTTACATTGTTAGCCCCCTCTACAACTCCATCCAGAATAGAATAACACAAGACTCAATGCCCGAGACCCTCAACAAAAGTGAAAACAATGGTGGTACGGGTGACCGGACACAATCCGAGTCTGGGGTTATTCCATTACAGCCACCCAGTCCTCCCAGGCCTGGAATCCTGACTGTTAAGCTCGGCTCCGCTTATCGCCTGAGCCTACCAGACGATCTAGACCTGGACGATTCAGAAGCGCCTGTTCCGAAGAATACTTTCGCTGACCCGGAAGTGTGCGAGCGATGGCGGCTGTACGCGATCGGAGAATATGAAGGGTTCCAGGTGTCTACAGAAGCGATGGCCGTCCACGCCACTAAGGGAGCGGTTTCATGGGCCGCATGGCACCGGCCATTTAAGTTTGAGGTCTCTGCGTCTCCGTCTTCCAAGTTGACAGTATCCCTATTCGTCAGGGACAGCAAGTCTAATGCGACGACGTCGTCGTTGGGAGGATACGAAAACCAAGTTGTACCCCTTGGACTGATCAGATTGAACCCGTTCCTGGAAACTTCGGGTGAGCAAAGGGTAGACATCCAGAATGGCACAGGGAGAGTGGAACTTGAGGTTTCCTACACGGAGAAGGAGGCATGTCCCTTGGAGACGCGGGCAGTGTGGAGCGTCCGCGGTGCGCGCAGTTCTGGTGATCTTGATCTCGTTTACGTTGAAAAGAAAGACACGGGTCGAAGCTACGGCATGAAGGTTATTGACATTCGCACTGTCCACGACGTTGTTGCTCCTGGATCTGAGGCTGATATTGATATTAACATGGCACCCAGACTTAGCCTCCGCTCTGCGATCCAACACCCTTTCATCGCACCGCTCAAATTCGCTTTCAAGTCGTCCCGGGGGACGCTGAAACTCCTTTCACCACTGGCTAGCGGTGGATACCTTTTTGACCATTTGCAAAGAGAGCGGCGGTTTGATGTTAACAAGGCTAGATTTTACGCTGCGGAGCTGGTTTCCACACTGGAATACCTGCATAACAAACATATCATTCTTATTTCTCTGGAGCCAGAGAACATTCTTTTAGATTCCTCTGGCCATGTCAGTCTATGCAAGCCTGGGCTTTTTGGATTGGAACTGGGGGAGATGGGAGACGGGGACAGACATCGCATTTTACCCGGCACGCCCAAGTATCCAGCACCCGAGGTCCTTCTTGACAACCGAGAGGCTTCCCGGGCAGTGGATTGGTGGGCTTTGGGGATAGTTCTCTATGAGATGTTAACGGGCATACCCCCTTTTTACCACAAGGACGGCGACGAGCGCCGGCACAAGATTATTAACCAAGACCTGCAGCTCCCCGAGAGCCTGCCATCAACCGCGAGGGACGTTTTAACCAAGCTCCTCGACAAAAACCCCCTACAACGCTTAGGTGTAAATGGAGCTGCCGAAGTAAAAGCCCACCCGTTCTTCCACGATTTGAAGTGGCAAGAATGCCTCCAGCGGAAATATACAACTCCCTTCAAGCCCCACGACGCCGCAGCGGTCTTCTGGCGTGAACCTTATACATACCAGCCCATCGAACGCGCGGAAAGAGAGCAACGAGAATTTCAAGGCGAGGTGTACGAGCAAATAGGCACCACTGAGTTTCCTTTGTGGCTACCAATAGGCTCGGTCAATGACAAAAGTAACGTCATAGACAAGAAGGCTTCATTAGACCCCAGGGATGATGACAAATGGGAGTTAACGTGGGAGCCGACAACTCAAGAATTTCATTTCAAGAATCGTTTCACTGACGAAAGGGTTACGGCCAAGCCCAAAGTTACAGTCCGGGACAGAATATTCCCACCGGCGGCTGAACATCCTAGTGAGCGCCAGAAAGAGGAAGCTCTTGCGGCTGCATTAGAAGCCGGGTACAGCAAGCATGTGTTCTCTCAAATCCTAGGATACGGTACAAATCTGAACGTCTGGATTCTTGACTACGACCAGACGCCCCACGGCATAGAGATTATACCGAATACTCCGGACATAATACCCGTTACACCACTAGAATGGGCCGTGGTGCACGAAAGGCTCGATCTCGTCAATCTATTCCTAGATAACGGCGCTGACGCGAACTTTACCATCTCCCCAAGAAAAGGACCGGCTCTGCTTAAGGCAGCGGAAAAAAGGTACCACAGGCTGGTTGAGATTCTTGTGCAGAAAACCGACCGTGTTTCCTGCACCAGAGCCCTTGCTCTCGCTGTGGAGCAGCAGGACGCCGCGACTGCCAACACCCTGCTTGCACACGGCGTCCACTGCGACTTTAAAGAATCAGATCGGCCTCTTCCGCCTCATCCATTCCTTTGGGACTACGACTCTAACCTTTTGAGAGAGCTAGAAGCGGAGGACTTTACGCCTCCTCTCGTCCGGGCTGCCAGACTAGGCAACGAGGATCTGGTCGCGTTGCTACTTGAACACGGTGCTAATGCCAATATCGCGTACCACGATCTAGGCGATCGCCGCTGCGCACGACACCACTGTGGATATGAAAACAGAGACTTGACAATACCAGCCAACTTCTCCTGCGGAAGGGTTGTACAGATAGCAATGGAGATGGGTCATTCTGAGATCGTCCAATTGCTCGTCGATGCCGGCGCAGATATTAATCTTACACACCCGGTCTGGCCTATACCAGTCTGGCCTGTGCCGGGCCACATATGTCAGCCGGTACCAAGGGCTGTGTACGTCGAGGTAAGGGCTGGCTTGGAGGCAGCGGTAGCAGCAAGAAGAGAGGACAAAACCTAGCTTTATTCCAAATTGATGTAGTATACTATGAACCCGCTATCAATAAAGGAGTATTTATGAATCCCATATCAGTGTTTCGTGGGGGTGTCTTGTCCTCTGGCAGCTATGTATTCCCTTTCTCAGCAGTTGAGGGCTGAATCAGGGCGTAGGTGTATCAGGATTTAGATAATCTACTATCACCAGGCCATTAACTCACATTAGGTTACAGTTAGTTATGAAATTCCTTTTCCTGCAATTTTCGGTGCAAGTTCCTTCGGGCTTCAAGAAGAAATGCAGCTAACAACTTACCCAGAAGGACAAACTTAAGTACTCAGCAAGGCGCAAGAGAAGCCGTCTAGAATGCCACAGAGGGATGCACCCTACGATTCTATAACAGTCTAGCACCCCCCTTGGGCAAGCCTCGCCAAGCTATGGCTGACTCAGAGTGAGTTCGAAGGCCGGGCTGCATATGCCCCAGGTTTTCTAAACTGGCTAATGCAGGGCTAGCATTTGGTAACAGTTGGACGAGCTAAGTGTTGCAAGAAGATATGTGTCGTACAGCGGGCGAAGGGAAGGCCTCTTACATGTAAAAAATTGTTTATTGATGGTCAAAGAACAGTTAATGCAGTAAAGATATTAATGGGAAGAGCAGGACGAAGTCAAACGAACAGCAGGCAGTTAAAAAGGCAAAGGTAATTGTCACAGGCTGAACCTGTAACATACTAAAGATGCGACTGATCAAAGATCAGTCGTCTTGTACCTTTTTATATGGTCAAGTGGTTTTATCTCTACTAGCGCAGAGACAACCAAACCATCAGCTTCAGCACTCCTTTTGAGGGCAGGAACAATTTTATTAAGTGCTGACTTGCACCGGGCTACCGTAAGTAAGCATGATCATACGTAAGAATAATAGTAATTGTACCCTGCTTTTTTTGCCTTGCTTTTTTTGCCTTGCTCTTTTTGGGGCTCCTTGCTAAGTCAGCAGAAATAATTAGATAAATTTAACTTTAATTACGGAATAGTTACTGTAGTCTCCGTAGTGGGTACAACGTGGTTCGGCCCGCACTCTTGTTCCTCAGTCGATTCCCTCAGTCCATACGCTCCTCCCAATCACCTTGCCTCATCCAGAGATACTGCACCAGTTCCATCTATTCCATCCCATCCCATCCCATCCATTTCTCGGCGCTTATTTCCTGTCACGTGATGTACAGCATACTCGGTTTCTTTGTTTCACAACCCGGGTATTATCTACTCCAGAGTTAGCGATACTAGTAGTTTTGTATGTCTGGAGATAAAATCCATAACGTCATTTCCAACGCTCCCACCAGATATAGACGACGGAGATAAGCTATCCCCGCACCACTAATTATAGCAGGATCTGTATCGTTTGAACAAAACCGAAGCATCGAACAAAATAAGTCAGTTCAATTTAGATAAGAGTAGATCAAATATAAAATGCAGTGAGAAATCTACTTTTCGCCATAAGCAGCCTCACACCACTTCCAATCCCATCCCAAAATCACGCCCCGCATGTTATTCAACTTCATCTTCGCCTACATCCTCCTCTGCTCTTGGGGCCTGAGATCCTACTGGAGCTCAAGATCAATTTCAGGGACCTGGTAAATAAAATTAGAAAGAACGTACCCGGATGCACCTTAGATTAGTATAGCTTTATGCTATTTAGATAGCTTGCTATAATCGATGTTGACAAATTAATAGCCGCTGTGTTAACTCAGGTGATATCTTGCCGACATTGCAGCCACCGTCTCATACGACGGTAAATTCTGGGACGTTAGATAAGGCTGGACTCAGGAGAACATCCACATTCATCTTCTGCTACCGAGCGATCACAGCAATATGCTCGAGTATTTGGTATAGCACCGTGTTGATACACCGGCAAATGGACCCCTCAAACGGGCATATCCAAATTATTGCTCTTGGTCCAAGCAAAATTTAAACTGATGTACAGTACTAGGGAATATGTCTGCAATCAGACTACATGAAAAATTTGGCAACAATGTTTCCCGTGGCGTGACTGCGATTGAAACTGCTGCTCTGCTAGACGGGGATATGTCTCTAGAAATGCTACGGATTTTGGTATGGTTTTCAGAGGAGTGGGCATGGCTCGACGTGCTTGATGGATTGGACTTCCATTGAATATTCTTGTACTCGTACCTCTCAGTAAGTATGATATAATCATGAAGGCACAGAGCCTATGCCTTGGTCACCGAGCACTGTCGTGGCATCCCGTCCATTATCTTTGCAGAGTAGAACGTTCTCCGGAGAATCGCGGAGATATTGACTGTCAAGCTTTGGAGGTGAGACGGTCGAACTCGGAGTGCTGAGACAGACGGTACGATCCGTCGATGCTGTTGGATTTCCCGGGTACAGAAGCGGTGGCTGCTCTGCGGCATGCATCTCGATGTTATCATCTCTGATGGTCAGGCAGATCGTCGAATACGCCAATATTTTACAATCCATAAGACAGCCAACCACCTTTGTGGCTTGAGCCGCTTGAAGGGCTACCACGAGTCGTCGAAACTCCAATCCTGCCTGGTCCATACGACGACTTGACCGGTCAAGGGCTCTCTAGAAAGATGGCAACCACATCTGTAAAGATCTGGAGAGCTTGCTGTGCATTCAATGAGATTAATTTCAACATCGATCTCTGCGCCATTTGCTAGCCTGAGGTACGGTATGGGAATAGCCATTAGTGAGAGAATATGAGTGACGAATTAAAGATAAAGGGGAAAGGAGAGACAAATAGGAGAATCATGCTTCCTGAAGAAGAATCCTCAGAAGGAATCTTCAGAGCCTTGTGACCAGCCTGACAGATCGTTCGCATTTTTACAGTACCCAAGTGACGGACTAATTCCCTGCCAAGGATTTCTGCCTTTATCCAGATTCAATTCCAGTAATTACTATAGCCTGAGGCTAGGATATTAAGTACGATATACACTCTCTCACAAAGCTGATGGCAGACACCATGCCCGAGGAAACTCCATGCCCCATCTCTGAAGAAGCGTCCGCAGCTCCTCCTCGGTTCCAGGCACAACATTGACAAATATCCGATCGTCTCGGTCCATTCTCGGCTCCGAGTGGATGGCTCCATCGTCTGATCCTACGCGAAAGAAGACACATTCACCAGGCTGTGTCTGCACTGTATCGTAGCCCTTCAGCTGATGGGCTAGACGCATGCGGACATCTTCGGCCGCCGTCGCACATCCCAGGCACCTGAGCGACGTGCAGCTGTGGTCTCTGTTTTGTGGAAAGGACCGAACTTCCTTCCTCACAGCACGTTGGATAGCTCGTGCCTTGCGATTTTGCTGCAAAGGGATGAATAAAGTACCAGGACCCACCAGAGTCGTCGCCAACTTCCAGTTTGTTCCTTGGCTGCTGGGGGTACTGAGTGGTGATGCTTGACATTGTCTCGAAGACCGGCGCTGATTCCGGTCCAGCAGAGAGGAGAGTAGTGACTTTTCCTGGGCTTTGCTCACATAATTGTCCTCAGAGCCAGCTGTTCGACTCGGCAGATCCATTCCAAAAAAAAAATCGTCCGTATGCCACCGAGGTACGTCATAGTCTCTCGTCTTCTTGCTTGCTCGAACAGTCAACCAATAGTGCTCGATCCCATTCATACTTAAGAATGTCCGAGTAAAGACAAGAAATTCTCTCAGTAAGAGCAGGAATTTTATAGTGTCTCCGTGGTGCAAAGTCGCCTGGATCCATTCCAATAATTTTTCTTGTGCAGGATAACTCAAATCAGGCGAATGACAAGAGGGCGCACTTTCAAGATCAAAAAGCGGGCCACAATACGTCCAAGACGAGGAACATTGTATGCCGATGTCATCAGTCTCGGGGCAGTTCTGGGCTGCAAATCTCAGAATTTGAAAGTCTGGAAGGTTACTGGCGTCCATTGGAGCGTTCTCGACTCAGAATTATGAAGAAACTGGCAGATCAGAGATATTTGTGGTTTATGTTGGTGCTCGAATATCAGAAGAGGATGTCGGTGGAAAAGGAGGCAGTGCAGGGACTCGCTTCCATTTGTATCGTGGGCCCCGTGAGCGGAATCCTTCTAGCCTTACTGAATTGCATGAGAATACAAGTCGATTCTTATTTATTAGTTTATTTATTATTATTATTGTTATTTTGACAGGTTATACATAAACTAATATCAAGGCAACCTTGCATACCTCTTTGTATCCTCCTCGAATCTTCACGACCACACTGGACACCAGTAGGTACCTGGAGGTAGCTATCTGCTAGTATACACTATAGTCATCGAGCTATTAGTTTTCACTAGGGTTTAGCTAATTATAGGTTAGCTCCGGCAAGAAAATTAAAGAGCATCAGAAGAGGCTATCACTAACCGACGGGTCCTTCTTGAGCTCACTCAAGAGCCAGCGCCTGAAGAGGTCGCGGGGTGCGGTGCCCTTTTCTACATTATCAAGTCTCCCCATCAACACACGCATGGTAAATGAGACCATTCCGTGACCTAGGAGTGATACCATCAAGACAGAATCTTTTTCCTTGTTCGAACGCGGCCGGAAGTGGTTCACGATACCTCCACGGCTCTTCAGTTTTTCACAGAACTGTTCTTCCTCATCCTCAGATACCGTAAGTTAAAGGCATGTGCTTCCATGGCCATGATAAGGGGCAAGAGCTCATCATGCAATATGGAGACATCCCTGCCTGCATTGTGCTGCACGGTTATTAGGATGAGATGTGGATAGCTGTGGGTGTTATTCTCTTATTCTCTCTCTCCGTCCACTCGTAAAGTCAAGCACGACGCCTGCCTTTTGGAAACGGAAATCCATTACCCGATGAAACATTCCTCAGGAATAGAGTGTTGGGATGCTACATTGGAGGTATAAGAGTTAGTAGTTTGCCGAAGGATCATCTATAAGTATAGAGTCAAGATGCAAACAAGACAAGACGAATCTCACATTTATCCAGCCGACCACATCCTGAATATAAGAAATAATAAAGGGAACACCATTTTCTCATCGAGAAAATCCAAAGAAACTTGTAGCCCACCTGTTAAAGTTTTGAGCCACCTGCTGCGCCCTGAACGCGTGTTTCTGGTGGATTTCATTCCCTATTTTCCCTCGATAGATCGTGGAAGAGAATAATCGAAGAAGCTCAGCTGCATTCCAAACCTCAACCTAGGGTCTGCGAACCTTGCTGGGTTGATTGGGTGTTCGTCCAGTGTGGGCTAAGAGAGGGGTAGGAAAAGGATCGGTTGTTTGGCCTCAAGAATTGAATCATCTGAAGCCTTGAGGTCCAAAAGCTGTATCAGATGCGATAAGGAAGCAGGACATCGGGGGTGAGGTGCTCCGAATTCAGCAGTTCCAGACTGCCCTTTCGAGAAACCTTATAGAGTGCCTCGTACAAGAATGTGATGCAACGGGGAGAGTCCTGGAAATATAGATCATCATGCGCAAAGAGCAATTGCAAGAACAATTTCCGCGACGTGCTTTAAATGATTGGCATTGGGTGTGGGAAATCAAGACCCGTCTTATTATATTAGCCAAGGCACAATTTCACGAAAATCAATAAACTTGCATTGGATTAGGATCTGGATATTCCTTGACCCATGCCACTATCTGCGATGCTTCCTGGATTATCGAAGGGCACCTCACTTACATTCGACGATGGAAGTGAGTTTGTGAATTATGTCATGTTGTAATTGACCGTCCTTCAATGTGACATAGTCAACTCGCTTGGCTTCGGTCTCGAATGTAGAGGTCAATTGGATTCGTGTAGATCTCTAGGTGGTGCTGGCTCGTGCATCTGTTGTATAGACGGCCTGTAGCCAACTTAGGAGCTTGCTACTAACATTAGGCTCGGTATCCAGCTCCAGTTCGACTGCTGTCTCTGGGTCAGCTTTCAAGTACTTTCTCGGCTGTAGGAAGGATATATTAGACAACCCAAAATTTGCAGTAGCAGCTCCTCGAGCAGCAGCCAGATAGCTCTGGAAATCTATCCGCTGCTGCTGTTTGCCGAGCCTAGTGGTCCCCGAGATTGCGGTCCGTCACGTTGAACATATGATGAACCTGAGGATTGGGGGAAAAGTTGAGATGCAGTAAAATCCCTGTTTTTATAACCTCCAGATCAGGATTAAGATATTCACATTCATGTAGTGACTGTGCATCTTGCCTTTGCTTCACCTGTGTTCTATTCCCAACAAACAGGAAAAATTCTGGAAAACACTGACAGGAGCCATTGGAACTCGAAATAGTTAATCACTAGAAAGATAGACCCTTCTCGGTGAAAGCTGTAGTCAAAAAATTTAATCTTCTTGTTGAAATCGAAACTTAGGAAGAAGAAGAAAAAGAAGTAGGAAGAAGGGCCGGCTAACATATGAACCCTATTATAACAGCGGCTATTCCGATCCTATATATGAAGTTGGCAATATTAGTGATAACACCATGACTACATGAGAAGAGCTACACTTACCACATATCCTACGGGTTCATACAACTCACATACTAAGCGTCTATAGTCCAACAAATCAAAATCATCGCATTTACGCCCTGTCTTCAACCGACATTTTGGTGTTCAGCTTCGACAAGCTGAAGACCTGATTGAGCCCTCGATCCTCCTCTTCCGCGGGGGTTCAGAACCGAATCCAGGTACCCCCTATCCTACTGTTAGGTGGAAAGAGCCTTCTAGTTTTGCTTGGCTAAGAGGGCCTTCCTTACAGCGGTTTCGATGCCACGGCGAAACTGGTACTGTGGCATCGTGTAGCCGCGCTCCAGCAGTCAATGCAACTATTGCACTGGCTGGCATAGTGCCCACGGAAGATGCAGTTGCGCCACTTATCACGATGGCGCCGTCCGTATATATACATATATTAGTATACAACTATAATGTATATGATGAAAGGAGATTACTACTCTTTCGAATCAGCCTCGTCCACTTCCTCTGCACCCTCCTACACCTACATTAGCCAGGGCGTTGGGGGCCAGAGCACGTACCATTTCGTTATTCATTTTTGTTTCTTATTCTTCTTCTTCTTCTTCTTCTTCTTGCTGTTCTTGTTGGTGGTGGTGTTGATGTTGATGTTGATGACGCTGCTGTTGTTGTCGCTGTTCGGGTACAACGATGTTCGCGGTTGTAAGAGAAGAAATTACAATCTGAAGAGGTTTGGGAAAACACAACTCAGCCATCGCCTAAAGAGGAAACTGCCTAGTAAATCGCATTCACTAAAGAGGCATATGACATGAACTGCGCTGTCTTGTTCACTATTCGCATACCAACAGTTGCTTACCACCAATATGTTGGGAAATACTTGACGGGGAGACTTATTTGCAACGGCTTGAGCCCATTCCCATCTAAACCTACTATAGCTACTCTACTTAGATGTGTACAGTCCTCCTGTAGTGTTTGGTCTTCGGAAATGAAGGTCTCTTTGCCCTGTTTGAAGGCCTGAAGTATAAGGACAGGGAGGGTATGATAGGCTGTGATAGGCTTACTATCTTATCATTTACTATATTACAGTAAGGATGTACGTACTATTCGCAGCTTGTATTTCCAGGAGAGACTTGGATGGCATTATCCTCACTTTCACAGACTTCACATTGCGTTAACTATCATGAGTGAAGTCCTTGACAATGACACTTTCCCGTCCATTCCCTGCGATGGCTGCTCTAGTGAGATATACAACCCGCTTACTAGTTTGCCATCTAGATTGTGATGTGCTCCGGACTAACGTCAGATATAGTTATGACAAATAAGGACTATCACCTTCTCAGCTTTCAAGGGCTCACAAAATATAGAAGGTTGGCTACGTCTATCAGTATTATTATCTGACTGCGGCATCAACATCTCTTCTACTGCCATTGCAAATGAATTCGATGACAACCCCTTTGCATTTATTCAACTCATATACATAACAGTGCTATATGTATTCGTCTTATTAAACCGCATAGTGACAAGTTGGATTCTCGAGCGAAAGGTTGAATTTGCCAAATGCAAATTCACTGCAGAGCTTGTACATCGGTAATCGCAACTTTCGGGGTGATACGTCAATATCAAGTGCTGTGGCTGGTGAAGCTACTTATCACTCGCATTATACAAATAGTTCCATAGTTTGCAGGAAATATAACACCGCATAGTGAAGATACTATGTAGTATTTTTTACCATGTTCTTATAGAATCCTGAATCATGATTATAGGTGTCTTGCTGATGAGGTAAAAAGTCTGGACTCGCCTATCCTAAATAATGCGAGTCAGAGCATATTCCAAGAGGCTAGAGCTAGATATGAGGTACTGTGCATAGTTTGGGCATTAGAAATAGTATTTGGACAGCTCAAGACTACTTAGTGATCAACTAAGGCTATTCAGACCGTGCCCAACCGCGACATCCATTAGTACTCCACATGCATACACTCCTCTGATCCTTATTCATATCCAATAATATTCAATGACAAGATATTAAGATCCCGACCTAATACATACACCCTTATAAAGTTAAAGCATAAATAATAGTCTACACGGCCATCCATTCAACCCTACAGAACGCAACGCCGACCGTGCAGATGACAAACGAGAGACAAATAGAACCAAGACGGGTATTGTAGATAGAATGTAACGGATACAGAAGAAATCAATGTAGAAAGGTGTAGAAAGAGTGCTTTTCGTAGATAGAGTAGGTGGGCTTGTGTATTATAGATCAGAGGGTATACAAATGATATTATGAGACCAGCTCAATGCAAAGATGAGGGGATCAAAAACAAGTGGGAAGAGAAAAGAAAACCGACAATTTAAACATGTCGCATGCGTCCTCCCATATACGACCCCGTCGCCGATGCTAGGAATCGCGCTACGAACCCGCCACTGCCGGTATAGCCCGCCACGCGAAGCTTCTTGTTCGACGGTGGTGCATCTTCCATTTTTACTTCCGACAGTGGCCCATAGGGGCCCGGACTCGGAGCGACATCTACCACCTGGATGTCCTCGCCGTCGGTACTGGCGCTGGTGCTGGAGCTAGACTGGTGCGTGCTGGCGGGCGTGTCCCCGCGTGAACTCGGGGCCACGCTGGATGAACGCGAGCTCAACGACGGCACGGTCTCAGCGCGCGACAGCATGGGGACGTCCTGCAGCGACGGAGGCGAGCGCGACAACGGGCGGCGTCGTGGCGGGTAGGGGTAGTAGCGGTCGTTGTCGGCCTGAGAAGTGGGCGAGGCCGAAGAGAGCGACGACAGTGACTCTGGGCTGGGCGGGAGACGTGCATGCTGGGGACGGCGACGAGCGTCCAGGTAAGCCTCCAGCTTCTGGCGTCGCAGGCGACAGGCCAGCATCTCGGCCGACGCATGCAGACGGCGCCAATCGCGCGGCTGACGCCAGTCAGCCTCGCGCTCCTGAAACATCAGGTAGCGCTGACGGATGGGAGCCAGGAAGGGCTCGAGATGATGTAGCAGGTCCTCCTCAGTGACGCGGAGGTCCCAGTCCAGCAGGAACAGCAGCTGGCGCTCCATCAAGTTCACCTCGGGCAGAGAGAATCCGAAGTCATCATAGCCCTTGACGGCGGTGTAGCGTGCCCAATGCTTGTTCTTAGGGCTGGAGTCGTTCAGGTTCTTGGCCGCCAGGATCAATGATGCCAGGAAGATACGATGCACTGTACAGCGCATGCCTTTGGCGACAGGAGGCAGACGCTCGCGCAGGCGGGCCAGATACACCAGCGTAGTCATCAAGGTGGGCACCTGCACCTGGGAGCGGATGACCAACGAGATAATAAAGTCCTCGACAGAGGGCAACGGTGGCAGCGAGTTGTCCAAAGGCGGCGTACTAGGAGGCGTGGGTTGTCCATGCTGATACTGACGGTGATGATGATGCTGTTGCTGGACGGTCACATGCGACTCGCAGCGGATGACCTGCGAGGACTGCAAGGCCAGGTGATTCACCATCTCGCACGACACTGGCTGGCGGATGAATTCGTTCAGAGCCGCCCGTTGAAGAGACTGGACTTGGTCCATATTGTATTAAGGATGATGGTTGGTCTTTGTGGTGGCTGTCGTGAAGGAAGGGAGGAAACTGAGGATAAGAAGGGCGCTGGTCGTCAGTTAAGAACGAAAAGCAAAGGAATGTCAATGCAGTCAGAGTGTAAAGTTGAAGAATCCTGCCAGCAGGAGAGATGGCAAAAGTAAAAATCAAAAAAGGAAAAAAAAAAAGGCGAGAGAGAGAGACAGGAATGCAGAGGTTGTCGTGTCAACCTGATGGATCAAAAAATGAGATTGGGACAACTTGAGGACCACGGAAAAACATCCACGAGCAGGAGAGATGGACAGAATATATTTAAATCAGTCCAGAAATCAGTCCAGATCAGTCCAAGTTAATTTCAACAGTAGAAACCCAAAGCAATGGCTCACACGACCCCCAAAGAGCCATCTGAGGAGTGCGCGAGGCTATAAGTACCGATGGCTGGAGACTGGCCATGCAAGGACGAAGCGGGTGGACGCGCTGCCTGCATTCCGGCCTTTACAACCCTCACGATGATCTCCCATGATTGGCACTCGAGGGATCCAGGTTGGTCTCCCTGTCTGCTCCTGAGTGATTCTCCGCGCGTTGTGAAGGTTCCTGCAGCTAAGCGCCCGCCATGCAGAACCGCCGGCGCGTTCTATATTTGTCGTCATTCGCAGATAGCGATTACTCGCCTGTTCAGTGTGCTCAGGGCTGTTATATTTAGATCACACAAGATGCCCAGCTCGCTCTCGGTCGCTCTCTGTCTATCTACAGTGTGATGGCCAATCCTTCTCCCCTTTTCTCCCCATCCTGCGACCCCGTCGCAGGAGTTGAAACCCGGCGCGTATCGTTGCTTCCTCCCTCTCCTCCTTAACAAAAAAAAAAAAAAAAAAAAAAACTAAACCGTGCTTCCCCATCCAGGCGTCTATGCGGCCGACACCGACACAGTGAACGAGGAGACGCTCATCATCGCGTCGCTGCCAGAGAAGGGCTCGGTGCCTGCCTGCACATGGGTCAGGTACTGGCTGGAGGACAGGCCCTGGTGCCCCTGCAGGTAGGTCAGGAATTCCACTAGGTCCGCTGAGAAGGTTTCCATGGCGGATTGGGCTACGAAGCTGAAAACCATCATCTGCCCATTGGGTCCCTTGTACAGGTCCCAGGTGGTTTCGCCGACCGTGGGACTGGCGATGGGTGAGCCTGTCGACGAGATTGGGCCAGCTCCTCCCAGGGCTGCCAACCAAATCATGACCTCATACTCCTCGTCACCGTCCGCCGAGGACGACGTGAACAGGTCGTAGACAATGTCCGCCACAATGTCTGATCCCGAGGTGTACTGCCAGTTGAAAGTGGTCGGAATCTTGCTGAGGCTGCTTAGCTGCGTGGCCGGGAACTGGTACGCAACGTTGGCAAAACTCTTGACCTGACCCTGTCCCCCAGACCAAGTCCAGCCGGTGTGCCAGGCGATCTCGTTGCCCGAGGCCGAGTCCAACCCCGTACACTGCCTGCCCCCTATGTCGGCGTTGTCCTTGCCCCAGAGGTTATTGTACAGGATGAAGTCACCTTGCTTGATGGTGTCCCACTGGCCGCAGAAATCGTCCCGGCGAGTGAGGGTGCTAGCTAAGGCTGGAGAGCCCAAAGCGAGAGCGGCGAGGAATTTCATGTTTTTTGGTTTTGGTTCTTCGCAGGACAAGAAAGTACAATTGGACGGAGTAGATGGATGAGAAGGTTATTTCGATTCCACAGTTCGGACGGACGAGCACATTCTTATACCCAGTGTGCAGGGGTATCGGCAGTTCCAGATTCCCCATCGTCAGTCCACCGGAATTATCTCGCATTGAATTAATCTGCAGACTAGAGGAACTATCGCCAGTGAGCATGCTGCCAGGGAGCTTAATATGAGCCGGATAGGACCAAAGGGTCCGTGAATGGTGGACTAATGGAGTCAAGTCTTCAACCTGAGACAGCAGCCATCTTGGAGGAGATCCCAAATTGGATGAATTCCAGTGGATTCGGAAAATCGTCGGAGAATACGGAGTATTGGTGGAAGATTTCTTCGATGAGATGGAGTAGGTCCGTTTCGAAGATGGATTATACAGACAGTATAAGTATAGAGCATAGATACTATAGAGTATAGAGGATAGAATATAGAATATAGGGTAGAGAAGTGCCAAGATGCCACCGCCCGCGATACCCTGCGATTCCTCGCATCCGCAATTTCCTTAGCTTCACTTTCTCCGTCCTCCATCTCTTCTATCTCTCGTCTTAATCCTCCATCATGCGTACCTTTACCTTCTTGATCGCCCTGCTGGCCCTTCTGGTCGGTGTGTACAACTATCTGGACGCCCGCCTGGAGCAATTCTATATCTTTGAACCCAACCACCTGCACGACCTGTCCAAGCGTGCCATTGCTACGCATGGCGACAACACTCGTGCCGTCGTCGACTACATTGTGGCGGAGTTGGAGCTGAAGGTTTCGTCGGTTCACGTCAACAAGGACGAGGAATGGGTCTTTAACAACGCGGGAGGTGCCATGGGCGCCATGTACATCATTCATGCCAGTGAGTTTCAATCCCTTTTCCCTTTTGCCACCCCCCAGTTATGGCCGCTAACAAACCTCCCTCCAGGTATCACGGAGTACCTGATCATCTTTGGTGAGTTTTTTCGATGCACCGTCAGGGTATTTCTGACATCGACAACCTCCCTTGTTACTGCCCCCGATCTCCCTGTTCTCAACCGCTAACCCCTCGGTAATGCTAGGCACCGCCATCGGCACCGAAGGTCATACTGGTCGTCATACCGCTGATGACTACTTCAACATTCTGCACGGAACTCAGCTCGCCTACGTCCCTGGATCCTTTGAGCCCGAAGTCTACCCCCCTGGTACCGTGCATCACCTCCGCCGCGGCGAAGTCAAGCAGTACAAGATGGAAACGTCATGCTTCGCGCTGGAATATGCCCGTGGCTGGATCCCTCCTATGCTATTCTTTGGATACGCCGATACCTTCACAAGCACCTTGGACTTCCCGACCCTGTGGGCGACGACGCGCATCACTGCCCGTGAGATGATCTCCAATCTGCTGAAGGGCAAGTTGTAATGGATTCGGATAGATGTGATCTACCTGTAGGTTAGACGGTTTGGCTAAAATGGGTGGATATGTATTATGGAATAAATATTATTCTAATAATTATAGTTCTTATAATTTTCTATTTATTAAAAGAAAAATTATACTTCTTCAGACACAAACGATGCAAACTACCCACTCTGACTAAGCATCCATTATCGCCCATTTTCTCCCATCAATGATCTTTTAGAGGCAAGCGATAACCACGTCAAGAATAGAAAAATGGCGCCCTCAGCCTGCTTCCTCTGTAAAACAGCCCGGGCGGTCATCATCCGACCCAAGAATCGCCAAAAACTCTGCCGAACTTGCTTCCTCCACGTTTTCGAGTCGGAAGTGCATGAGACAATCACCAGCACAGGGCTGTTCCACCACGGCGAACGGGTCGCCATTGGTGCCAGCGGCGGCAAAGACAGCACGGTGCTGGCGTCAGTGCTCAAGACGCTGAACGAACGCTACGATTATGGCCTGCAGCTATGTTTGCTCTCAATCGACGAGGGCATCAAAGGCTACCGCGACGACAGCCTGGAGACGGTGAAACGCAATGCACGGCAATACGACATGCCGTTGGAGATCGTCGGGTACGGGGAACTATACGGCTGGACGATGGACCAGGTGGTAGCGCAGGTGGGCAAGAAGGGCAACTGTACCTACTGTGGAGTGTTTCGACGGCAGGCACTCGACCGCGGCGCCGAGCGCTTGGGCATTCGCCACGTCGTGACGGGCCATAATGCCGACGACGTCGCGGAGACGGTCATGATGAATCTGCTTCGCGGGGACCTGCCGCGGCTGTCGCGGGGTACAAGCATCGTGACGGGGTCAGCGGCGTCGGACATCAAGCGCAGTAAGCCGTTGAAGTACGCCTACGAGAAGGAGATCGTGCTGTACGCCCACCACAAACAGCTGGATTACTTCAGTACCGAGTGTATCTACTCGCCTGAGGCGTTCCGGGGCAGTGCGCGCACGCTCATCAAGGACCTTGAGAAAATCCGGCCCAGTTCCATTCTGGATATTGTGAAGAGTGGGGAGGATATGGCAGATCTGGTCCCGCATGAAATCAAGAAGAGTGCGCAGACCGCAGCAGCAGGCGAGGAGTCTGCCGGAGGGTGTGGAAGCCAGAACGGCCGGACGCGTGGCGGCGAGATGGCTGAAATGGAGAAGAAGTTGGCGCAGGACGAGACGGCGGAGTCACGCGAAATGGAGATCAAGCTTCCGGCCAAGAAGCCGAGTAGGGCGCACAAGATGATCAAGACGCAGACCATGGGCAACTGTGAGCGGTGTGGATACATCTCCAGTCAGAAAGTGTGCAAGGCATGTGCCCTGCTGGAAGGGTTGAATCGGAATCGACCCAAGACGATGATCGAGGTGGGATTGGAGGAGGAAGAGAGCAGTTCGACGTTGATGAGACAGATGGAGAGGGTCGAATTAGGTTGAGCTATCAGAACCGTATGCTCTCAAACATGGAAATACTGATCTAACTTGACCTGACCTGATTAACTGTATCAGGTCGGTTGGGCGTACTCGCCGTTCAACATCCGGAGGTTGAGCTGGTAACAAGTACACCTCAGCTTCGTCCACATCTTCACAGAAGAAGACAAATACAGGACGACGGAAGACAAAAGAAGCCCGCGTTACCAGCCAGCGTCTATAAGATGCATAGAATACATAGGTACACAGAGAGATAAATACAATATAAATTCTCAAAAACAACCAACTCCATATAATACACACCCCCCTCCCCTCCTACCCTACCCCCCTTCCTCCAAAGATCAAAAATCAACCAATCTATCATTCATCATACCATAAGGTAGGTTCATATTCACTCCGTATTCGTCTTTTTATTAGCATCCTCAACCTCAGCCGGTATATCCAACCCCACTCGTCTTGCCGTCAACCGGATCTTCTCCTGTTCATCTAATGACATGCCGGGATTATACCGTTCGAGGAGAGCGACATACTGGCGTTGCGACCGCGCATAGAGCGCCATCTGTTCCGCCTCTTGCAGTCGTCGCGAGAGCTCCTCCTCAACCATCTTCATCTTTTGCGGTACTGTTGCTTCCACCGGTTGTCGATACAGTGCCCGGATTCGCTGGTGAAGTGGTGTCGGCGAGGAGAGCGAGCGACGTGGTAGTTCGCGAAGGAGGGAGCGGTAGGTGGTGAGGGTGTTGGTTTTGGTCATATTTTTTTTTCTTTTTCCTTCTTTTGCTATTTATTTGTTCCGGATGGATGAGCAGATGGTTTTGGTCTTGTTCTATATTGATGTTTTTCTTTCTGTGGTTTTGATAGTTCGTTTCGTTATGAGGTTCAAGGATTCTAAGGCTCTGATGCCGTGGAGTATCACGTGATTTATACTCGGCTATACCGTAGACACTATTAAACAATGCATATATGTACATCATAACCGCACGATCATCACTCATAAGAAACTCATCAGTACAAGTGTCCCTGTATCTCATAGAATCGTGTCATGGGTGTATCCTCCCTCTTTAGCCCCACCCTATCTACTAATCTTACGACCGTAGCCAGCCAAATTTCTTCCGTCCGGTATCACCGCCCGCGGAGGGCTCAACGTGCGTGCTGCGCGCATATAAGTCCTGTCCCCGTTAGTGTCATCGCACACATCATGGAAGTCCGCGAGAGTGGACCTACCTCGTCGTCTCCGGTCAGCTTAATATCGAGGATCAAACGCGCGGCCTCCTCGTAGCGGTGCATGTGCGAGTACGGGGTCGTCTGGCTGCGCTGGATCCCCAGAATAACCTCCCCCATCACTTCGAACTTCCGCCAGTTGATGCGAGTCTTGCTGTCTCCCACAAAGGTTCGGTTGCCTTCTTCAGCTGAGACCAGATCCCGTCGGTGGAGAGGTAGGAACGGGATTCGCTCCGAGAACGAGTTGTCCCATGCCAGTCGGTACGCGAAGTGGCTCTTTTGCGTGCTCATGAGGATGACCAGCCTCATGAAATCCTTCTGCGTTTGGACGGGAACCAGCTCACGTGTCTGCGCCAGTCGATGTACCGGGGTGCCGTTGATCCCGGCAATCACCGCCCCGAGGGAGTTGTAGTTGTTGAGTCGTCGTAGTTTCTATATAATTCAAGTTATCAGCGGGACCGGCACTATTGATTCAGGTGTACGTTTCCAGAACCCACCAGTGCTATGTTCATGAACTTCTCCATCGCCTTGGCCCGGTGCTTCGGCTTATCTCGGAAGAGAATGAAACTGGCGACGAAAAAAGCCAGGTGATTGAATTGCTTGATATTCGGTTAACGTGCTGCAAGCTCTGGATCTTATCCTTGTCGGGACCCGAGATGCTGACATGACGCACGAGATCCCGCGGTCGGAATGAGTTGAACATGATCCAGTCAATCCGCGTCAACTCTCTCGCGAAGTCTTCGTCCGGGATCTCCATTACCTGTCGCCATTGGACCTTAGTGAGCGGGACGCGGGCGGTAAGCTCCAAGTTCTGTGCTTCTCGCTGTGCAGAGTCCAGGTTCAAAAATGTGAACGATTGGCTGGAAATTGTACCCGGCTTATCTACCGTCGATGAGCTCCCCGGTAACCGGGTGGATGGGTCTGGCGCGCCCTCACTGAGGTCCAACGCGCTCATGTTGTATATAGGATCCTCCTCTTCTTCTTCGTCCTCTTCGTCGTCGCCATTCCACGGCCCACCCAGGAACATGGACGGCGAATTGCGACTGGAGTTGTTGAGGACGGTTTCTTGCCCATCGAATCCCTCCACATCGCCGTCTCTGAAAGGCCATCCCACATCGTCATCCTCCGCATTAACTTCGAGATAGGACCCAACTTCCTTGGCGGCGAACATGTAGAAATGGCTCTTTTCTAATGTGGCTACGAAATCGGTGATATGCTTTCGGGTCTTGGGATAAACAAGGTCGCCTGGGTATTCCGACACCCACACGGCCATGACATTGAGTAGTCTCAACTGATCGGCAATACGTGTCAGCTGGTCGTCGATGTGCTTCTCGTTCCGTTCGAATCGATTGATTAGTGCATTCAGCAGGGTGGACGGTGCAGCAAACTTGCGATAGAGGCAGAGAAAGGTGGATGCAAATTTGGAGTCCTGTTTCGACATGGGCTGCGCAACAAGGCGATCCACAAGCTCGTCGAACGTGCAACCGATCTCATTCGAAGACCCCTCGCTAGGAGGCTTGTCCTTGCTTCCCGGGCTTGATGGCGCGCTCCGACGCCCATCCACGTCCTCTTCCATATCGAGAAAGTTGTCAAAAGCATCGGATCCGCCACTATTTCGCCAAGCGGTATGCAGACGATGTTGCCGATTGCGATCTTTGCTCGGCGACGACTCACCTGCGATCGACGGTCTGCGCGGGTTCAGTCGAGCCCCGGAAGGTGGGGTCTGCGGTCGCACCGGATGCGAATTGCTCCGGGCATATCGTGAGGGCTGCACATTCGACGCCAGGATCGGCGAGATTGTCTGGTCGGCGGGCGGACGGTCTACCCCGTATCCATCGACTCCTGAATCGAAGGGACTAGTGATTGGGCCGCCCGCGGCTCCAGAAAACACAGTTGAAGGATTCTCCGAGTTGGCACGAGAATGATGCCAGTCCTGGGAGGGGTTGGTGGAATAGTCAATGAGGTCTAGAGAAGAGAGGGACAATTAGTATCCAAGCCAGACCCTAGTTCTGCGAGATGATCGAAAATTTATGTATGTAGTCTTACTACTGCCACCCTGCTGATCGGCGGAACAACCAGATGGTACGCAAACGCTAGGTTCCAGCCGCGGTCAACTAGCGCGGATATGGTGGACCATCTCCAGCGATTTGGCCATTGTCGTTGCGACTCGGAAGTTTCAAAGTCTGAAACGCGGCGCTCCGTATTCCAAGTCGAGTAAGCGGCAGCTGCCCTTATTTTCCCCCAGTATTTTGCTAGGCAGATGAAAGGGGCCGGGGCGGGGGAATAACATAGGGGGTCACAGGGGAGAAGGTGAAGGTCGCTGCAATTCTATAACACTTACCATATTTATTGCTAATCACAGACCGCAAAACCAGGGCAATACACATCTTTTGCGATCGCGGCGATTCAGGCGAAGTCCTGTGGATCTCATAATTATCCAACACCGGCTCGGAAGGCCCATCCGGGCTTTGAATGTCACATTTACTAGCAACCAATACAAACGGAAATGAGGATGTCGTTAAGGCGTCTAGTCAATGAATTCATCAGTAATGGCGCCCTAGTAGAGGAAGTAGAATAAGCACCCACCTAAAATCCCATTTAGATCGGGGAGGCCCGCAGGTTCAGTCACGTCGTGGATAACCAGAGCTCCATCGATGGTGGGAGCTGATTCATTGCCCAACCGGGGCCAGTTCACGACGCCATTTTCCTCGACAGAGATCTCCTTCGCGCCTATCTCCAGCAAGCGAACGAGATACACAGTCCCGTCCAGTGACATTTTCTTGGTCGTGGCTCGAGAGGAAAGGGGATATTTCATATCAAGGGCGCTTTGGATGAAGGTTGTTTTACCGGCATGGTCTCGACCGACTACGGCAATGGTAACGTGAGGGAAGGTCGGCTTCTGGAGTGGCTGCACAGCATATTATGGTCAGATCCGGTGAACTTCCCGGGTCAATCTGGGTCCCGGACAGAAGAATTGGGCCATACCTCATCACCGACCCGTGGAGATGACACCCCATTCCTCCCCGGCGAGGACAAGATCGCTTCTTCTTCGATCACCGTGGTCCTCACCTTACTGCCGACATCCATCGCGGCCGTTTGGGACGTATCAATTTTGTAGAGACCCCCCGCCGGCGCGGAGAAAGTTCTGCTCTGCAGACCCGGTCGTTGTGGAACCGACGTTGCGTGAACCTGGGTCTGAGCCTGAGCTCTATCACTAGAAGCCCGTTCTCTTCTAGGGAGATAAGAGATCATGGTAAAGTGGTGCTTGTGGTAGTCAATGCACGATGCGGCGGTGCAAAGGGAAATAGTCCGACAGAGCAAACAAGGTGCGACAGCGCAAGGTCCAACTGCTACATGAGTAAGTGAGGCGCACACGCCAGCTCATCCATTGTCGCTCGCGACCGAATCCGAAGAGAAAAGGAATAGAGAAAAAGTCGAGGGGAATGTTTGCTTGGAGCGTTTCTGGGTTTAACCGTCAGTGATTGATTGATTCTGCTATTCTTTTTTTTTTCTTTTTTAGGACGGCAGATTATAGCTCGAATAGAAAAAGGCCGAGTGTAAAACTGTCAGGACACAAACGGCACCAAAATTAGCCCTCGGGGAAATTCTGCACGATGCAGAGTTGGACGAATCTTACGAGAGATCGAATCACAACGACGTATAGGAGAAGGAGGACGATTATCAAGTAGTCATTGATGGAGCAGCAGGACGAGTTGGCTGTAAGACGGCAAGATCTCACTTGAGGATTTTGATTGGAATGGACGGGAGAGGGCTGGCGAGTCCACCGCATGAACCAGGCTTCTCCACAATAATAAAGAATCCCCAGTCCAGCTGTCGGCTTTCTCCCAATTCAGCTAATGATGGCTCTCTGTTTTCTTTCTCTTTATGTCTTTCTCTCTTTCTCTCTCTTTTTCTTTCTTTCTTTCCTTTTTTTTTTTTTTTCCCTTTTTCAGACGCACCCACTGCCAGGACACCCAGTAGTTCGAGGAGGAATCCAATCCAGGAAATGAGAATCAAAACAATAAAGAAATATCAAGGGTAAGAAATAAACTAGAACAACAGTATATGAGTATCAGTAAGAATATCAGCCCGATCAAAAGGCAACGATGCAATATCTTCCAGCCAAAAATTAATCAATTTGTTTACTTGTGCGCGGTCAAGATCTTCACACCGCGTGGAGGCGCACAACTAGTGACTCCGTGTCCCCCGTTCGTTAATACCGAACAGAATAATATTGACTGTTAGTTGCTGGTGAGCATCTCGTTGGTTCGATGGGAAAGAAAAGTTCCTGTCAAGTGAGAATGGGAGAAGGAGATCCCCGGAGATAGTCAACAGGAAGGTCTGTTACATAAATCAAATAAATAGGGAAACGACAAAAACCCCAAAAATAATAAAAATAAAAATAAAAGTCTCACCCCGAGGACCAAATCATCCCAACGATGGGATGGTTATGGATATCCGAATGAGCGAATGGATGGAACCAGAACCAATCCGTGATACGAAACGCGTTGCATTGGGAGACTCAAACTTCTCCCCGAATCGAGTCTCTTTCCCAATCAGAAAAAGGAACTGCCTTCTCCTAGGTACTGTACATCCGGATTCCCCATTCCTTTGCAGTTCTGATCCCGCGACCTATGATCAGCATATCCATCTCCGATCTGATGCGCCGTGAGTGATATTTACGGTTGAACCATCCACACGGAGCAATCAGTCACTCAGTCTACCTTACGGATCATGGGCTTCAATTCAAAACCCTCACGCTTTGTCTTGCTTTCCTTTCAAATACCTGAACGCCGAGAGCCGGAGCAACTAAATAATGGGATCAGCCAACCCATCTTCCTCCTACAGACCAAGACTCCATTTTGCTGGTTCGCTTACCAAGGAGGAATCGGCCACTCGTCTCGCTGTAGGTCGGCCCTGAACTGGTCTCTGTCTCTGTCCAACACTACGAGGTAATGGTGCCTTTGGTCCATACAATCATGATAACAGAATTGGGGCTTTGTCTCTCTCAGTCCGCGATCACCGTGGTCCGTGTCTTAAACAAATCCCGAAGCCGCAGCCGGAAAGCTGGTCAAGACCGAGAACAATTCTCTGTAGTATAATTATTAGTAGATTGGTTGGAGTTCATCCAGAGTAGAGAGATAATTATGTACGTCCCGACCACCCCGATAATTTCCTCCACTGGACGTCTGGCCAGGGAGGGATACTCTTTCATCTCCTCGAGGCATGAGCTGAGGTGACAAGTCATTTCGGAGGCTGTCAATCTTCTGTCTTTGGCCAGATCGTTGCCTCTCCATCGTCCCTACCCTTAGTGGGCTCCATTCTTAAGGATCATAGCTAAGGGGCCACTTAGTACCCGCTGATCCTGGAGACCTTCCACTGACAGCGGCCCTCATAACTACGGCGTATAGCTAGGTTAGTGACACCAGGATATCCTTCCCCTCTCTGGATATTGCTGCTTTTCTTGTCGTCAGAGCCAAGTTCTTAGGATGGAGTTATGGTATCGTAGGGCATGACGGAAACCTCTCCCGGCGTCTACTTACTAAGACCTACTCCTGACCAGCACGTACGGTCGGTATGTATGCCCTGGAGAAGTTTCAATACAGTACTTCATTAACCGTGGAGGTCTGTCTGTCTATCCACTCTCATAGGCCGCACGCGACCCAAATATTTGTCGGTTGTCTTTGAAACTACTCTGATACAAAATACCTCGAGGCACAAATTTTGGGGAAGTATAAATACTGTTAAATGTATAATGTATAACTTATTTCAGCATAGACTTAAAAATAGAATTAATATTGGCCATCTTGAAACTTCATTGCATAGGCATTAGTCTCAGTACTAGTCTTGATACATGGCTAGGCCTAGGGAGTAATTCACCCTCGGCACATAATCGACGTCATGAACTCTTAAGCGACTAGATCCTAGTCGTGACACATAGGTATCCAGCCATCTTGTCCCCAGTTTGGGCTGTGTGCAAAAGAAACCTCGTAGGAAGATCCGTCATACACCATCCCACCAATATACCAGATGGTCACCCGGATTCCTGAGGGGACTTCTCGCCATTGACCAAGGTCAGAAACCGCACAAATCCTTCTGCCGTCCTCCCAGTTTCCAAACCCTCATCACATCGCTCTCTATATTTTCTGACCTTTCCCAATCCCCTGTTAAAGCCTTTCTCGCGGGTCCATGGCCCTCGGTTGCGGGTACCTCCTCTGCCTCGATGGAAAGACCGTGTTCGTCCTCCATGCGACTGCACTTCTACCCATTCTTCTTCCAGTGTGGTTTTGTAGATATCGCGCAACTCGTCACGAAGGGAAGGACACTGTTCAAAAAGAGTCTTCAGCTCAGGCGAAGACGCTAGAGATTTCGGGTCAAGGGCTTCTCGGGCCTCATTGATCCCTTCGCCATTTATCAAACCATTGGCTTCGTCATGGGGCAATTGGCGATTGTCTGCTTCATTGGTAGAGTTCGGTGATGCTGCTTTGGGTGCGCAGTATATCTTGTGGGATTGGGTGCAAGCAAGCGAACAACTAATAAAATCGAGGCATAAGTATCTGCGACGGACCTGACGCAGTTTCCACCTAAGCTTCCTCGAAGACAAGACATACCTCATGAGTGCACATGTTGGACATCGGTATTTAGACGGCTCCGAGGCACAAACCTCACAAGTACCAGGCATTTCAACGCCGGCTGGTTAGGCTATGCGGCAGATGCAAGTCGATCAATCAAAAATCTGGGTTCATGGCTGGGCACCAGCTTCCCAAGGCAAGCGTCAAATTTCCAGGCAACCCCGTAGAGTTTGCGGTGTCGATCCCAGACACCCAAAACCGTTTGAGGGGAACTAGATTGCTGTAACTTTCGATACTGCTCAAAAAATGGTTTCCTAATCGGAACAAGCTCAGCCTACCCGGCTCACGTGAATATGCGCCAATCACACCATGACGAACAAATTACGGGCGCAATTCCCACCGCAACCCCTCGATCTCTATGGAGCAATGTATTGAAAGATTGAGGGATGGTGACTCTCTTGTCCGACTTGGCAGCATTTGATATGGCCTCATTCCTCCAATGAATGTTGGTGGTGTTCCGTTCAAATCTATGAGGCAATACGTCCCGACGTTGAAGTGTGAAGGTCCCATTGGCTTAGTGCCACTTCCATTGAAGGGGACAAAACGGGGAAGCCTCTCATTGTGGTCGTTCATGTATATTACGATGAAACGAAGTCAGAATGCCTTCGCTGCGAATGGCCATGTCTGTACAGGTTAACAGCAGAAAAGTGCCCCCGCAAGTCCACAGACGCAATGGAAGAAATCTCTCAAAGACTTGTCCACCGATCAAAACAGAAAACAGCCACATCTCTCACCTCGGCTTTCTTGCGAAGCAAAACAAGGGCAACCATTATATAAATATACAACTAAGGAATCTACTACAGCAGTGCTAATAGTTGGTAAATTAGTTAAATGATGCGATTTAAAAGCGCAAAATGGTCACATTTTGACAACTTTCTAGAGAGTATGATAACTCGTCACAAGATAACTCGTCACAAGGCACCAGTTAATCTGAATCCATTGACAAGTTGCCAGCAGAATGCTCCGCACTCACAAAATATGTCGACCGTTTCGTTCAAAGAACGGCTGAGGCTATGAGCGAAACCGGCAGGTTGGCGAGCAACCGCTGTCATCATTTCTTCATGTCGGGGAAAGGCGTCATGCACCCAGGCAGTGTCGTCCGCCTAACGGCAATTATAATGAGCTCGGCGGGATAGCTTTCCCGTCATTCTGGGAGTCATATTCGGCATTCTTTGTCGTGGCCAATAGAATGTGAGGTAGTATATGGTCCTGGCCGCATCACATCCCCCAAAACCATTGAGCAAGCATGCTCTCTTTCTGTGGAATGCGAGGCAATGCTTTAGGTGCAGATGGGTGGTACCTACGTGGCAGAACAGTCAGCGCATCTTTTTTCTCATTTCATGAGCTATGTTAGCAATCTTCACGCGAAGTACTCTATGAACACGAATGACTATATTCCGGGGCCTTCTTCCATTTCTTTGGTATATCCAGCGTAAGGTAGGGATATAGAATTAAAAAAAAAAAAAAAAGGGGGAGATTGATTGGCATTGTGTTGCCAATATTAGTATTCTACAACTCTCACATTCCCTACACTGTCATACAATAATATAACAGTGACATTGAAACTGATGGCACTGCTCATCCCCTTAGTTCCTTTGAAAACCCTGCCATCAAACAGCTTTAACATGATTGGCGCACTGACAAGTTGAATTTGTCAGCAAAGCCATTCCTGAATGTCACGTGCCATAATTGCGTCAGAGGGAAGGTCAGAGGAAAGTATTGCTATCCAGCCGGATCTTCAGAGAATACTGGCACGCCACTACAAAGTGTCACTGAGTGTGCATTCATTTATAGCAACAATATGTCTGTTAGCTCATTATCTGGAACCATGCTTAGGCGAACAATCTTCAACACCAGGTTGGCAACGAGACCGTTGAGCGCTGCTGAGTCCAAATCTATTCGAGCAACCATCCTTGGATCGTACAGGAATATCCATCAGTCGGCTCGCCTGCCCGCTATCACCGCCTCGGAGGCTCACCATCGGCCTACATTGCGGCCTCACCAACAGTCTGTGGCCACTCGGGTGAATGGGTCGTTGCCGACCGGCAAGCGAACAATCTTCATTCAAACAGAGAACACCCCGAATCCCGACGTAAGTTTGCTATTATCCATCCCTATTGATACTGTGGCCGACACTCATATTACATTCGAAATATAGGCTCTGAAGTTTATTCCCAACCACCGTGTTCTTCCGGAAGATTTTCCAACCTCCTTCCTCGAGTACCTTTCCCCGCGATCCACTCTCGCTCCTCCCCATCCATCGCCGCTGGCTGCAAATTTATTTAATGTCGATGGCGTCACTTCGGTGTTCTACGGCCCTGATTTCATCACCGTGACCAAGGCAAGCGATGCCAATTGGGCTCATATCAAGCCGGAGATTTTCAGCCTTATTACACAAACCGTGACCACCGGTGAGGCAATTGTCAACACCGTTGCCAAGTCTAGCGAGAATGCGCAGGAGGGTGGTGAGGAAGAGTCGCTGAGCTACAATGAGGAGGACGACGAGGTCGTCGGTATGATCAAGGAGCTCTTAGAGACCAGAATCCGACCCGCCATCCAGGAGGACGGAGGCGACATTGAATTCCGGAGCTTCGAGAATGGCATTGTCATGCTGAAGTTGCGTGGAGCGTGTCGGACTTGTGACTCCAGCACAGTTACGCTGAAGAATGGTATCGAGTCGATGCTCATGCACTACGTAAGTTTGACATCAGTATTCAATGCCCCCAAGTCCTCAATGGCTAACGGTTTAAACTCTCGGAATTAGATCGAAGAGGTGCAGGGAGTCGAGCAGGTTATGGATCCGGAGGAGGAGATCTCAATGCATGAATTTGCCAAGTTTGAGGAGAAACTACGTCAGCAGAAAGGCGCCGGAGCTACTGCTTCAACAGGAGGCAAGGGAACCTTGGACACGGCCGATTAAAGGTGGATACAATTGCCACGTTCGATGTTGATATTCCGCTACTTACCATTGTCTACCACTGGAGTATTTAATGGGTTGATAGAGATCTGGGCAAGTAAGATCTGCCGAGATTTACATTTTTGGAAATTACATGTACCATAATAGAGATTTTCTTTTCGAAGCTTCATGGAAAGAGTATAAGGCATACTTCCGTATCTTGAACTTACATAAACCACTCCATAGACGAAGTCATATGGGACTGAAAATTGCCGACGGCTGAGTTGCGTCTCCTCGGTCAAAATGGCAGGCACCAGACAGGAAGGCCGACAATGGCCGAGATCAACAACACTACTAGCGTCGGGCGGAACGCGGAAGGTGGAGGAGTAGGGGCATCATGTCCTTAGAGGCATCAAGGGTCATAGGCGGGGCGAACGCACGAGAAATAACGCTTTAATGGTAACAATATACAAATATATACCTATTAAGAAAGTTGATGTTTTAGGCACGTGGATTCAAGGTTTTAGCAGACCTTATAGGTCAGTTTGGGAACGGTCAGAACCATACACCAGTTCAGACCTGGAATGGGCTACGTACTCGTAGGGCTCTAGACTCCATGAGAAAGCAATGAAATTGTGGTTCTGTTGCTTTATACTTTGTTCACTGCCACTAGTATCTTAAGATAGATATCATATGATATTGGCTTCCATTACTTCCTGCCCGTCATGGAAGTTCTTCTCGAGAGTTTCACTCACGGTCAATCCTGCTTCATTGCATCGCATACCCGCCAATCAACCGTCTGTTTTCTGTCAGGTAATACAAAGTTCGACTCGAACAAAGCCCGTCAGGTGATTGATGACGAGTCTTGTATAATGCAACATCTGCACGTCATGGGTAATGCCATCCAGCTGCAACTGGAATAACAATCAGCATCAGCATACTTTCCATCCACTGAGCGATCACTCTATCCAATAAGTTCCCATCAGCCATGGCCAAGCCTACCTAGCCGGGGTTCTCCCATCGCTTACGAGAGGCCGGAAGAGGAGGCCAGTGCACTAGTAGATCCCGAACCATGGATGGGACCATCCATCTCTTTCTTCATGTCCGTCTCTCCCTTGTGTGTCTGCTCTCATGCCACTTCTAGAGAGGATAACAGAACCTAATTTATTTTCTGAGAACTTCATACTCTAATTTTTTTTTTTTTTTTTTTTTTTTTTTACCGTACGCAAAGCTTTGAGGATCCAGAAGATCGACCGTCGGTTGGATATTCCCCTCCAGCGGGGTAACGTCATCAGACCCGAAATGGATGGAAGGCGGCTGCTACCAATGCGGGAGGAAGCTCTCTCCGCAATCTTGGTGGACGTAGCCGATCCTGCATGAGTACGGGAATCGCGAGAATTTATTGGACCATTGGCGGTATCTTTGGCCCTACATACTAGATAGGTATGCTCCGTACTAGCCTAAGGGAGCTGATTCTTGCCTCTTTTACTTCATTGTTCTTGGGCCTCCCCGCAATTCAATGCACTAGATTCGCGTATACACGGTGTCTCCGATCTTAAGCTCGAGGCAATTTTACAGTAGGAAGCTGTACCTGGGATGTTTGCTTCATTAAACTAAGGCTGTAAGTAGATACAAAGTGGTGGTAAGGTGGCAAGTACTTTAGGTACCGGACGTTAGACGTAGGGTCCATGGTTGGTCTAGCTTGGTAAATAACGACAGTATGACGTTTATGAAATATAAATGTGGAACAACCACACATAGAAAATATCAAAGTGGCAAGTCGCTTTTTTTAACAGGAGAAGAGAGAGAAATTGAAAGGTTTTTTTTTAAAAAAAAAAAAAAAAAAAAAAAAAAAAAAAAAAAAAAAAAGCAAAAAAAAAAAAAAGAGAAGGGAATTCTTGCATTAGTTATACCGTGTAGGTAGGTCCCTTAATTGTCTTGGTTTTTGACTAGTTTGGTAATGTGTCTTGAGATGGCTCTCCATTTAATTATGTCGCATAACTAGGGGCTATCCATGTCCTGGACACATGCTTAAGCGCGTTGGGTGGGGTCTTAGGCATGTACATGTATAAATTAGGAACGGTTTGTATTACAGTAGCCATCTTTCTAGACAGAGTACTTATAAGAAAATAGATAAAGGGGCTGTTTACAGTCACTGATATATCTAAGATTGTTTGCTCTGTATATGGATGCTGGTAATTCCCAATTACAATAGGCACTTGATTTTCCTTCCGTTATAACCTACCACTGGATGCACGTAGATGCATAGGCAGGTTTTGTGTATATTAAAAGAAGTAACTGGCTTGGTTTTTTGCTCTATTTTCTGTCTACAAACACCATCTGTACTTGTAAGGATGTGTTGGTTCAAATAGTATATGTACTCTGGAGTACAGTCTATAAAATGTTGCACGGGGAATATATACCAGTAAATATATATACTTTCCGGCAATTCAAGCCTCCCTTAGGGATGAGAGAATATGTACCTGATTTAGGAGACTACCAGGTACAGGACAACTAAGGAACTCTTAGTAAAAACCCAGTTTAGCATTGTACGCTGTCGGATTTGCTGGAAGTTGGAAATGCAGAAGACGCGACCGGTTCATTTTCCTCTTTTTTTTTTTTTTTTTTTAATTAAATTTTCCTGTTACGCCAGTTGAAAAAACCCCGGAGGATCTTCGACTTGACCTCTCCACCCGACCCACTCCAAAGCGTTCCATCGACGGCCGACCAGTTCATTGCTCCCTTGGACTGTCCCTGCTTGTCATACAACCTTCCCCCCATTCAGCTATTCAATTCATCCCATCACTTTGCTGCACACTTTTTCCCAGAACACACGGATTGGTTCATACGCTCGAGAACTCCTCTTCCCACTTTCAGGGTGCATCATTAGTACTAGGGATATTTTCTATTGCCAGTCATTAGTTATCATTACTAGTTCTTTCGCCGCCTCTTTCCTCATAACATTATAACCCCCTCTCTAGACCGGTGGCTCTAGACAATATCTAGACTCTGTCGAGTTGCTCCTACCCCGCCCTGGGTAATTTAAATTTCTCCAGGTCAATCATCTCCATAACCCCTACTTTCCATGGTGTGCCGGTGAGTGCGAGCTGCTGCTACCTAACCCAGCCTAAAACCAGTCTAACCACTGCTAACCAGACTGATGAACTAATCTCCCAGTAGGTACCTCGTCAACTTGCCTGCCTCCTTTCTTGCAGCTTGACCACTTGCGCCACTTCTTCTCGGACCTCCGTCCCGTGGGTCGTTGTTTCCTCCGTATCCACTGGTCTTAAGTTAGCTACTGCTACTTCTTAGTCTGCATCCTACTTTACCACTTCGCTCGCTCACTGTACAACCTCTCTTCTTCTTCTCTTTTTAATCTGCCTGTCATTTTCTACCGTGGCTCAAGGCCTTTCTTCTTTATTGTCTCCCCATTTCTTCTTTTACATTTTCCCGTTTCCATTCCTTAGAGCATCCCCTTTCCTTCCTCTCCCATCCACCGCCCGTTTTCTGGGCCGACCGATCGAACTAGCGACGTTGCAACACCCAAGAAATCGCGAAACTGCGCCGCCCTGTTCTTGTTCTCCGCACCGACGCAACAACCACTTTGCGACCACCCTGAACAGAGAAGGGTCTCTCCCTTGTCTTCGCATTATTGTGCTTCCTAAATTCATATCGCACGAGTGCTACGCTTTCCCGGTTCTTGCGCTCCCGCCTCAAGATGCGCTGTTCTTGAGGCGATCTGCTCAGAAATACTGGAGCCGGCTCGCTTCTCAACGTCATAATTCATGGTCACGCTACCAACTCCATTTGGCGCTTTCGTGATATTTCTTATCTGAATAAACCCACGCGAACTGGAATATAATATCTATCGATTTAAAGAAGAAGGAAAAAAATTTAAAAACTGAAAAATAAAAAGATTGCCCCTCAGCAGACGCTAGTCTTGCATTTACCTGCCGTCTTTTCGCAAATCGCCTTCCAGCACGATCCCTCTTCTTGTTTAGACTGGAAGCCTGGTCGCTTCTGTTGGGCGCAAAAAGGAAAAAGAAAAGAAAAAAAAAACCAAAAAAAAAAGCCTTTTACAGCAGGAACCGTCAAGTTGACTGAAAGACTGTCTTTTTGCCGGGTTTGGATAGATCATAAAAGTTTCGTTATTTCTAGACTGGTAAGTTTTGAGGATCATACGATAACAAGACAGCTCGCTGATTGTGAGGGGTGTTGATAGACGCGATCACGAAATTACCTTTGCTCTTTATAACTTTTTGTTATTGTCGCGAATATTTACATTATTTTTTCGGCTCCTGGTTTGATCCGAAATTGTACTTTACAAGGTATGTATACTGGATTCATCTGTTACTTTGTCAATAGATGCCTGCAATATTCCCTACAGCCGTTTTATGCATGAATCTGCCCTGCACATTCTTATCGATGCTGCAATCTGCAAGCTCATGGGTACTGTTTACTGAAAGCTTTGTCGATCCTTGTGTCAATGTTGCAGCCAACTCCTGTTATGGTTTTCTATTATAACAAGTTTAGACCTTGCGAATGCAGGGTTTAAACTGTTTTATAGCATCGGGGATCCACAGCTTTCTGCTTTTGCTTCCTCTAGCCGTTCAGCTTGCTGTGCCTCATATCCTATAGCCTCTTAATTTTATTTTTGAGCGTACTATTTTGACTGCGTTGTTTTTCGCTCTGGAACGCTGATACAAGCTGAACTGACCATTGATTGGAATTCCAAGAGCTATTGTCGCGCCTTGATATTTAGATAACAGAGGCTGTGGTCTGTCTATAGATTGTTTGGCTTTGTTCCTCTATTTGTTCCGTGAGTTTTAATGTTTACAAAGTGATTAGATATCTGATACTCGAAGTTCTACTCGACCTTTCAACACTAACTATTTACATAGTGAATGACGCCGATTGTTTTATATCAACCAACAAGTGATACAATCAGGAACATTCCCTTTCTATTCCAACTCTCGGACATCGGCTCTTTACAGAATACAGGTGAGCTCTTGAGTTCTCCTTCGGATTTCTTTTCGCTTCCCCGTATTTCTATTTCCGACCGTGGAATTTAGGGTAGTCGCATCAATGAGATGCGCCCATTGTTCTTAATACAGCAGCTGATAAACTTGGAATGATTCGCTGACTCGTTTTTCACCAGCCTCCTACCTCCTACCTTATGGTGCTTTCTTTAAACGGCCCTCACAGCTTGCTTTCTATCAACTGATTTCCGGTCAATATTGACAACAACATGGCTGCACAACCTAGTAAATCTGCTCCGGCACCGAAGCCTAGCGCTTCCTCCACACCACCCAGTAACGCATCAGCTCGGTTGGAGAAATCCCATCCTGGTGTTCGCCGCTCGACGCCTGATTCAGAAGCGTTGGCATCCTCGGATGATGATGGCGAGCATGCGCAGCTCCCAGCAGCAACAACGGCTGCCCCTGTCCCTAAACCTGCCCGCCGTACTTCATGGCTTAACGAGGTCCCTGCCAACCTTCCTCGAAAGGCTTCCTTGACTGCCACTAATCCTCTGTCTTCCGGGGGCTCAAACCCCAGCAGTCCTGCGACTGACCAGTCCGGATGGGCTGCAAATACAAACCCAGGAATGAGTAGCTCGATGCATTGGAACCATGTTGGAGGTAGTTCGTTTCCGTGGACCACTGGAATTTGGAACCCAGATTCCAGAAAAGAGCCGCCGTCTCGATTGACAGAGATCGTTCCATCACCCACAATGACCAACCCCTCCACGGCGAGTAACTATCTGAACGAAGAGTTACTTAGCCCCACGGCACATACGACTTCAGGAGACCCAATTCCATTCCATATCCCACTGAATCCAACACCGAAGGCGTATCGCTCACAGTCTTACTCAGTTGGACAGCTGGATCCGGAGTACCTATCTCTGATGGCCAACAAGTCCGCTGCGCCATACTCCGGCGGTCGCTCTCGCAATGGCGGACAGTTTTCTGCGCTGCAGCACCGCTCGTCGCGACCTAGTTTACTGGGAGAACTGGGTCATGACCCTGCCACCCTTGGCCGTGTCCGCGAAGATGAGGATGATGGGGGAAGCCCTAGTGGTTCTGATGGAAGCTACAGCAATTATACGTCAAACCAAGCCCGTACCATAGAGCAGCTTTCTAGAGAGAATGCGTATTTGCGCCAAGCTGCAGGGCAGATGGACAGCGGCTTCAGAGATCGTGCTATGTCATCCGCATCGACAACTAGCGGATATGCTATTGGGGCGGGCGGTCACAATCTTCATCGCATTCAAGGAAGTGTTCCAGAGGAAGCAGATCTTGCAGTGGAGGACCTGGATGAGGTGGGGGATATTCCTGGCTACAGCAACATCCACAGCAATGCTGGCAGAAGAAGATATTCCGAACATTCCGCCAATATTGAGAAACAGTTTCCAACATTCGCCTCCATGGAAAACCGGGCCCTGGACAATATCAGAAAGGCCCATTGGCAAACCTCGCTCGGGTTCGGCAGCATATCTGATATTCCTCAGAGTCGGCGGCACTCTTTCGCGGATATCCCTATTCGACATACTTCTATTTCTGGCGACTCATCCAGAGCCGGGATAGGAGATCAGGAAGATAACTATGCGGGTATTGGTGAAGGCTCTTTGTCAAGTACTCAAGGCCAGAACCGTGAGTATCAGCGTTTTCATATGGTCCCTCGCCCCGAGGAACATGAAATGGAAGCGGAGTATTTACGAGCTCGTCGATTTGCAGAGTCCTATTTTGCTCGCGACCAAGCTCTTCGTGCTGTCGACGGTCCGCCTTCGATTCCCACCTCTCTTCACTCAGCCTATACAATGCCGAATGCCTACGGTCGTCACCAACCGGGCATGATACATCCGCACCAGAATCAGCTCTTGTACATTGTGACTTTTAAGTGTCACCGCGCGGATGTTTTCTACATCCAAGAAGATACTGGCCTGCAGGTGAAAACTGGAGATTTGGTCATCGTTGAAGCTGACCGTGGCACGGATCTTGGAACCATTCAGCATGCTAACATTTCCATGCAAAGGGCTCGGGAACTGAAGCAGCAGTATGCAGAGGAGCACTACAAGTGGCTGATGATGTTTTCCAGGCAAGGGCAGAATGGGGCAACAAATGTTGTGAATACCCCTGGGGCTGTCTCTGGACTGAACAGTCGAAGCACTATTGGGGGCATGGGCCCCCATGGGCCCCATGGGGTGCAGGAGCCTGCCGGCGATATCAAGCCTAAATTAATTAAAAGGCTTGCCCAAAACCATGAAATCCTGACACTACGCGATAAAGAGGGGAATGAGGCGAAGGCCAAACGGGTCTGCCAGCAGAAGGTCGCCGAACACCGGCTCAATATGGAGATACTTGATGCCGAATTCCAAATGTGTGTATCGCCTTAGAATTGATGTGGATCGCATCCATGTGTGCTAACTGATATGCTTCTTTTTGTTAGGGACTGGAAGAAACTCACATTCTATTATTTTGCGGATTCGTACATCAATTTCAACTCTCTCGTCACTGATCTTTTCAAGATCTACAAAACTCGAATTTGGATGTCAGCTATCAATCCAGCGTCGTTTGTCACACCGCCGTCTGCTGGCCTGCAATCCCCCAATCCTCTGGGATATAACCAGGAAACACAGATTGATCGTCCTCATCAACACGAAAGTAGGGCATATGGCCCTACTCGAGACAGTGTAAATCCTGGGAGAGAGACCATTGCCAACCCTTTGGGAGTGCTACGCAATGCTTACCCAGAATCATATCAACCTTTCAACCAAGGCGCCAGGCCGCCGGAATCCGGACTGGGCGGACTTGGTTCTGCTGACCCTTTCTCTCCTTACTCTCCCAACGCGTATAGCGGCGGCATGGAGTCGGGATATGCTGACTACCCCTCAAGCCCTGGCGCAAGTGTTGGGCCCACTCGAGCCCATCCAGGCCCGAGCGAATGGGTAAATCGATTCCAGGGTTTGTCACTCGGCTCTTAATACTACTTATTATGCGATTGGTTCCATTTCGACAGACGTACTGTCGTGTTAATGTATGGGCCACATGAGCCAACTTTAGTTTCCTCTGCTTTGGTCGTCATAATTGTTTATTTCAAAGGTCACCCGCTTGAACTGACGATTCGCTTTATACTTGAACCTCTCCGTTCCTTTACAACTTTCTCTTTCTTTCCCCTTTCGTTGCCACTGAGTGTTCCATTTAAAGAGATTAGAAAACCTGTGCTACGGATCAACTGTGATGTTATGATCTGTCGCTAGTGCTGATACCTAATAGACTTTCAGCTTCACGATTGATGTTTAGTTATTTGATATTGCTCCCATTCCTTGCCTAATGGTTTTTCCCTTCCGAGTCCTTTTTCCTTAATCCGTTGTACTATGTTGCACTCTTGTCACTCGCCTTGTTTTTCATGAATATCTCCTAACGAACATAGGAGGAAAGAATTTGTGCTTTACAGTTAGAGGAGAATAAATTGGAAGATTTCCAACGAGAATGAAGAATCTCGATTCTAGCTACGTAGAGGGAATCAAATGTTTGAGAAAGAACGTACAGTGTCACTAGTTGCATGGCCAAGAGCAGATTCTGCTCATGGTGGGGGGAATTTGCCTTCCGCTCGCTGCCTTACTTAAACTCGATGACTAAGAAATACTATAGTCACCTGACGTATGTATTCTTAGTAAGACATAATGTGGCGCTGATTGGTGGAGATGAGCTCGCCTAATCGACTAGCGTCCCACACACAACTTCGTTGAAGAGATCTCTCTTCTCGAACTTTTCTGTTGCGACAACGACGACAACCGACGACCTGCCACGCCGACAAGGTGCGTTAACCCTCTTCGTTCGGGAAACCAGAGACATACGATACGATTCATTTGTACATCTGGATCGATTGGAGGCTTTGGTGTTGTTTTTTATCGAGACTAATAATTCGATTGCTTTCCAGATGGGTGCCCTCAAGTACGTGGAAGAGATCCAGAAGAAGAAGCAGTCCGACGTGATTCGCTTCCTGCTGCGTGTCCGTTGCTGGGAGGTGAGAATTCCCCCCCAAACTTCGATGCTTTAACATCCCGCCGGGTGCTCGTGTGCTATGCCATAGGATACCTTTTGTTCTGAGGGGTGTTGCTGTGCGGCTCGAAACGATCTTTCTCGCCGGCGGAAGATGGATGTGGCACAAAAAGAGACCTTGTACCCTCAATGGGCTCGTGTGTCTTGCTATACACTCGTTGAACTTTGCTGAGAGTGCATCAATATAGCTTCGTCAACTGAACGTCATCCACCGTGCTTCGCGTCCTTCTCGCCCCGACAAGGCTCGCCGTCTCGGCTACAAGGCCAAGCAGGGCTATGTTGTCTACCGCATCCGCGTGAGACGCGGTGGCCGCAAGAGGCCCGCTCCCAAGGGTGCCACCTACGGTATGCAATTTTCAGCCCTTAGACGAGGAGAGAACGGTGACTAAAGGGTGTGCGAACCACAGGCAAGCCCACCAACCAGGGTATCAACCAGCTTAAGTACCAGCGCGCTCTCCGTGCTACCGCTGAGGAGCGTGTTGGCCGCCGTTGCGCCAACTTGCGTGTCCTGAACTCCTACTGGATCAACCAGGACTCCACCTACAAGTACTTCGAGGTCATCCTCGTTGACCCCCAGCACAAGGCCATCCGTCGTGATGCCCGCATCAACTGGATCTGCAACCCTGTCCACAAGGTTCGTTTTATTTTTTTCTCCCTCAATCGGTTTTGGGACCGCAGTACTGACTGGAATGTTTTCTATTAGCACCGCGAGTCTCGTGGCCTCACCTCCACTGGCAAGAAGTCCCGTGGTATCAACAAGGGTCACCGCTACAACAACACCAAGTCTGGCCGTCGCCACACCTGGAAGCGTCAGAACACCCAGAGCTACTGGAGATACCGTTAAGTGTAGATGTATGGTCTACGGGGATAGCATGGTGGTGGAGGAAAAATCCCATTATGTGGATGTGTTTATTTCGTCCCAAACTCGTTTCTATGGTCAGGTCCATGAGCTGCCAGGGTGCGAGCATAATGCAACAGATCTTTTGGATCGGATGTTAGCAAAAATCCTTTTTTTCTCTCTGGGTTCAACCTTATGATTCCCCTAACGAAGTACAACGTGCGTTTTTGTCTGTTCAGGAACCTACATGTAACATCGTAGAGCCTTGTAGCCCACTTTTTTTTGTTGTGTTTTGTGTCTTGGCTTGTCTTGGCTATGTTACATTCTTGCGATCCAAAGCCGCGAACAGGATAGCTGGTGAGTAGCGTGGTTGACGTGGGATCTCGGTGGGGGCGATTCGACAGAATATGATTAGTTGCGAACTGTCCGATGTGTTGCAGCTTAGCTTTAAATAGAAATCATTCAGATGGTCGGGGTCAAATCATTCTGCGTGATCGGCTTGAAGTCGTATCGTCTCTTGCGCCGTTAACTGTAAAGTCGTCGGTCGTCATCGATTCGAGGCCCGAAGAAGCCTCAGGCACCCATGGTTTGGGATTCCATCGCTCTTGCTATCTTCTTCTTCGTCCGTGTCTTCTTCTTTCTTCTTCTCCACTTCATCTCTACTACTCTCTCGTGTGTCTTGCGGTTGCATCCCCATCCACACATGTTGCATCTTCCCATCTCCTCGAGGCCCTTAGTAATCTCATCCTGACTCATCGGGCCGTTCCTGGGCCTGAAATCGAAGACTACTCCTGAACCACATTTATTTATTTTAGCTACTTCTCTTGATTTCCCCTAATTCTTCTCGGCAGGATCGTTAATTGCTATTGCTGCTGTTGTTGCTGCCTGTGGAGAATTCGTCCCTTACCGGGGAACTTGATTTTCTTTTATCCTCGCTCAATAATTCTTCATTTACACATACTATACAGTATCGTGCCGATACCCGCCCCTGTCAATATTGTGTGGGGTGCATTACCAGCTTGCCCCCGTTGAGAACAAAAATAGAAACGTATGCGCCCATATGCCGTCGCGGCATCCACATAATCTGTATCCTCCCACGTCGAGCTCACCACATGCGACCTTGGTCTCGTCGACCGAGAGGAGTGTGCCGCGTTTGGTACCCCAACATGCCACCAGTCTGCCATCAATGAATGCGAATCCAGCTACGTCACCGCCTCACCGGCATGGGCATTCTCGCTCTATCAGCCATCCTTTTCCTTCTCCTTTCGCTGACTCGAGTAAGAGGACAAACCGATCTATGTGGAAGCAGGACTTCCTGGATTCGGACGATGACGATGATGATGACGATGAAGTGACTTACTTACCTGATCCTCTGTCCAGTAGTCCTCGCAAAGGCCCGCCCCCTCCCCACCTAGGCCCAGGAGAGGATCTGACGACGGGGAAGTGTATGACTTGCAACTGTACGATGCGATGGCCGCGGAATCTCAAGGTTTTTCGATGTACGGAGTGTCTTACTGTCAATGATCTAGAACTCTATAGAGAACCCAACGACTCCAGTGGCCGTAGCCCTCCAAGACTGGATGGGAGGCCACCTGTGCCGGCCATTCCGCGGAAAGGTGACTGCAACCCTGATACTGTGCTATACTTGATCTTGTTCTAACATTATTTCCGTCAGCTGTTGCATTGTCGCTTGAACGAACCAAGTCCCTGATTGACGGATGTGTCTCGATGTATCTCCGGAAACTGTTGGAGGGACCAGAGCCGCGAACTATCCCAACCGAGAGCCGGACGGACAAACACTTCGGTGATGGACAGGATACGAGCCGATCACGATCACCGGGGCAATCGCTGGGGTGCTTGTCCGAACCTCGAGAGGGTGTGGATCCTTGCAACCGAAGCCGATCTGCGTCTAGTAGAGCCAGGGGCATGGACGGAACAAATGGGAAACCAAACAACTCGAAGCCCAATGTAGCACCAGCTCCGTTGCATGCTGAAGAAAGAGATTTCCAGTCGAGAAGCCAGGTCACGCGACCCTTACCCAAAAGCGACCGCCCAGTGCTGGAAGCTGGGCGGCCTTGTCCACTTGACTCGAAGGAGCAGATGAAGCGTCCATACATATTTCGGGCGGTTGAGGAGTATATAATATCGTCATTTAAAGCATGCGAATGTCTAAATACTTCTTTCGCTACGACGCAACCGCCGTTGCAAACAACCAGTGATAATAGCCCGTCGAAGCAGAAAACGGACACCACTGCTACCCCGGGACTCGCGCATCCCGTTTTCGAGCCAGATGCGAAAACTCTTTTGCTGGGAGATCTAGCGGAGAATTCTTCGTGGTGGATGCTTGACGATGACCAGGCCGGTAGTAGTGTTAGTCATGCTCATCCCAAAGAAAAAGCCAAAGAAAAGCCCAAAAAGCCCCCGAACTCCTCTCGGACTGTGAGCTCCAGAAGTCCTCGCATCAACTGGACTGAACTCACACAATGGTATCAGTCGATCGTGACGGCCGGATCGTCATGGGTTGAACAGTGGTCGAGGATGCAGCCTTTCGACATACAGGAGGAAGAGGATCAGACACGAAACGAGAGGTGGAATACCATCGATTTGAGCATTGTAGAGAGAGAGATAGTCGAATCACGGTTGCATCTACACAGAACTCTCCTGAAGGCAACGGAGAACCTCCTCAAACGGCCACGACGGCCCTTAAAGAAGCCGGAGGACATCCGATTCCTCCTGGTCCTATTGGCAAATCCATTGTTATACCCCTCTAGCCCATCGTCGACCATTTACACTGTAGCGGTACCGGCCCCTCGCGGCGACCAAAGGCCTTCTCATCCGATGGACGTCAGCCACCAACTGGTGCCGCCTGGCAAGAAGTCCGCGTCCAGGCATCGAAACGGGGGACCGGCCAACCACTCTGGTATCGTGAAACGGATATTGGGGCTATTGGCCAACTTGTCCAATGATTGTCATCACTATCTCGTTTCATGGTTTTCGCGATTCTCGCCAGGGCAGATTGAAAAGATAGTCGACCTCGTCGGCAGCTTCGTGACCTATCGTCTAACCCGTCAACAGGGACGGAAGCGCAGCAAGTCCGCCAACAGTGAAGATAATAGTTTGGTCCCAAGTTTTTCCAGTGCGGCGGGCAACACAGCAGCGGAGCTATATGCTGCTATTAATGGGAGGACACCCAGCAAGCAGAACAGCGACAAACGGGAGAAGCCGGTCGTCTACAGCGACGACTGGCAACTTCGGGCCGCAGCGCGTGTGATGTCTCTCCTCTTCACAGCCAACAATTCCAACGTTTCTCGAAGATCGGACGGGTCCGATCCGGCGTCTGTAGCCCAAAGGGAAGGGCATCGACGAGGGCAGATGATCCCGACCAGTACGTTCTACAACACTCTACTCGATTATTCCGACCTCGTAGCCGATTTTGAGGCCTGGGAGTCGCGGACGACGAAATTCTCTTTCTGCCAATATCCATTTTTCCTCAGCATCTGGGCTAAGATTCATATTCTTGAGCATGACGCTCGCCGACAGATGGAGGTCAAAGCCCGGGAGGCCTTTTTCAACAGCATCTTGAATCGCCAGGCGATCAGCCAGTATCTTGTGCTAAAAGTTCGGCGCGACTGCTTGGTAGAAGATAGTCTCCGCGGGGTCAGTGAGGTCGTTGGTTCGAGCCAGGAAGAGATCAAGAAAGGTCTACGGATTGAGTTTGTTGGCGAGGAGGGTGTCGACGCTGGTGGCCTTCGCAAAGAATGGTTCCTGCTCCTTGTCCGAGAGGTCTTCGACCCTCATCACGGTAAGCGATTAGTTCCAGTGTGCAAGGAAAGAGAGGGGCGAAGAAAACATCTGCTAACAAGGCGTGGCGAAGGGCTCTTCATCTACGATGATGATTCTCAATACTGTTACTTCAATCCATACTGTTTTGAATCCTCGGAGCAATTCTTTTTGGTCGGGGTCCTCCTAGGACTGGCCATCTACAACTCGACTATTTTGGACATTGCTCTCCCGCCCTTTGCGTTTAAAAAGCTCCTAGCCGCAGCGCCGCTGGCGGCAGGACCACCACCATCAGCCAGCCGGTCGCTCTACAAATGTAGTCTGGAAGATCTCGCGGAATATCGGCCCGCGTTGGCTAAGGGCCTACGGGCCTTGTTAGAGTTCGAAGGGGACGTGGAAAATACCTTCTGCTACGATTTTGTGGCCCAGGTAGATCGCTACGGGGAGGTGGTGTCGGTGCCCTTGTGCGCTGGAGGCGAGAAACGGCCGGTGACGAATGCGAACCGGCGGGAGTTTGTGGACCTGTACGTTCACTATATGCTGGACACGGCCGTCACGCGGCAGTTCGAACCCTTCAAACGTGGGTTCTTCACCGTGTGTGGCGGCAATGCTCTGTCACTCTTTCGACCCGAGGAGATTGAGCTGCTGGTCCGTGGCTCAGATGAGGCATTGGATGTGGCTTCACTGCGGGCCGTGGCCACGTATGACAACTGGGGACACCCCCGGCCGGAGACGCTGCCCGCGGTGCGGTGGTTTTGGGACTTCTTCGAGCACACACAGCCGTCGGCGCAGCGGAAAATCCTGTCGTTTATTACGGGGAGTGACCGGATCCCAGCCATGGGGGCCACCAGCCTCTCGATCCGGCTGATGTGCCTCGGAGATGACTCGTCGAGGTATCCAACCGCGCGCACTTGTTTCAACCTGCTGGGGCTCTATCGGTATCGTTCACGCGAGCGATTGGAGCAGATGTTGAGGGAGGCGGTGTTGAATAGCGAAGGTTTTGGATTGAAATGAGACCCGGACTGTAGTGGGGGTGGGGGAGGGGAATGGGATGACCTGTATGTATTCTATAGCATGACACCTTTCTTTTTTCTTTTTTGCTTCTTTATCCTCGGAATCGATACGTAGACACGAGTGTAGGCAGCCGACAAGTGGGGCGGTCGTACGATAGCTGCGAGGCGAGTTCTCCAGATGTCAAAGTACCCCACGGCGCTAACTCCGCATCGAGACTGGATGAGTCTATTCCAAGGAGCCCAATCTGGCTTGATTGGAGCGCTCAGTATGGCTTTCCCTGTAAGCCTCTTTCCCCTCTCCGACTGGCCCACCACCGTCCTGGAGTGAAACAGTCGGTCTGATCCCCTCCGTCAACTTCCTCCCTAGCTTATATCCCGGTGTTAGGTCCATCTAGGTCTCTTTACTATCCTTCCATCATCTGCTCTTATACAGATCGCATTTCCATCATCATCTCTTAAGCTCATCACTCAACCGATCCAGTCGTAGTATCATATCGTACTGCATTGACCTGCAATTCATCGTCCACCATGGGTTCGAATTTGCCTCAGTCCATGAAAGCGCTTCGGTAGGTTATCCTAATAGGACGAAAGAGAGTCCCACTCCCAATGAACGAACGCCTTTGCTGATATCCTCCTGGATATGAGCAACCCCTGAAGCACGGCATCGTGGATGTTCCTCTGCCCATCCTCCGTGATAACGATGTCCTGGTGTGTTAATTTCTCAACGGATCTCCTCCACAAACCTTCCGGGATCTGATCAGTCATCTTGTATACATAGATCAAGGTCAAAGCCTGCGGTGTCTGCGGTACGGATTTACATATCCATGAGGGTGAATTCATCGCCAAGGTATGTTATGTTGTCATTCCTGATTCCTGGTGATGCGCAAAGCTGATGGTTGAACTGTCGATCTAGTTTCCTTTGGTTCCTGGTATGCGGATTCTTTTTCTTTCCAATGTGTGAAAGGGTGTGTGATGCTAATGTCTGAGTACGGATAGGCCACGAGACGGTGGGTGTGGTTGCGGCCGTCGGTCCTAAGGTCAAGGGTTTCGAGATCGGGGAGCGCGTCGTCGCTGATAACTCTGAACTGTGCGGCGAGTGTTTCTACTGTCGTCGGGGCCAGGAGCTGTTCTGTGAACATTTCGAGGCTCACGGTGTCACTATGAACGGCGGATTTGCCGAGTATTGCGCCTATCCCGGTATGGAATTCCCAGTGTTGGGTGGTTTTTGTATGGTTAGCTTGTGGCCCAGAGTAGACTGACATGAACCAGCGGGCCGGGTGTTCAAGATTAAGAACATGTCGGATGTTGATGCCACGCTCCTGGAACCGGCTTCCTGCGCCGCCCACGGTCTGGACAAGATCGCACCTAAGATGGGCTCTTCTGTGTTGTTGTTTGGTGCGGGTCCCACCGGCTTGGTAAGTCAAGATCGGAGCATTGACCGCTAGATTAATGATTGACTGATTAACGTTCATTTCTAGATTCTGGCACAGCTTCTCCGTCTGAATGGCGGATGTCGTGTAGTGGTGTGCGCACCTGAGGGTCTGAAGATGGACCTAGCCAAGTCGCTAGATGCGGGTGATGAATATATTGCTCTGTCCCGCCAGGATCCGTCCGCGCAGTTCCAGAAGCTGAAGGCGGACAACCCGTATGGCTTCGACATTGTCGTGGAGGCTACAGGCAATGTAAAGATCCTCGAAGATTCTATCAACTACGTCCGTCGCGGCGGGAAGCTCGTCGTGTACGGCGTGTATGCCAACAAGGACCGGGTGTCCTGGCCTCCGAGCAAGATCTGTAAGTATAGTAGAAGTTAGTGGTAGTGTTCTTGATAGAGGTACTGACGTGATGTAGTCGGCGACGAGATCACCATTCTGGGCAGTTTCTCCGAGACGTACAAGTTCCCTGCGGCCATTGATTACCTGGATACAGGCAAGGTCAGGGTCAAGGGCATTGTGAACAAAGTGTACAACATCCATCAGTGGGAGGAATGTCTACAGGCGATGAAGAACAAGACTGCCATTAAGGCGGCGATTACATTTGATTGAGATATCAAATTAGATATATACATATATATATAGTTGTATATCGATGTGATAGTGAATGAGGAATAATTCAGTTGAGAAGAGAAGAGAGTGTAGAGTGTAGTGTGTTGTCAACGAGGACCTTGAAGAGGACCTTGAGGAAAAGTGGATGATGCCATCGGATAAATCACCTGCTCCGACAATCGACAAGCTCCTTCTTCACATCCCAACTTCTCAACCAACCCTTACTATTTACTTCTTTATCTTTAAAGAAAAAAAGAGAGAAAAGAAAAAGATGGTCAAACCCCTCACCTTCAAAGGCGACAAGTCTAAAAAGCGTAAACATCGCGACCCCACCAACCCCGACCTCCCCTCGAAACGTCTGCAACAAAAACAAGGACATGAACACGATGACCCCCATAACGACAACGACGACTACGCCCCCGAGGACACGACCTGGGTGAACGCCGACACACCGAGTGATCTAGCCGGACCGGTGATCCTGGTCCTGGCATCTGAGCCCCCCAGTTGCGTTGCCAGCGACGCCAATGGGAAAGTGTTTGCGAGCGAACTGGAGAATGTGATCGAGAGCGATGCGCGTACGGCAGAACCGCACGATGTGCGACAGGTTTGGGTAGTGACGAGAGTGGCTGGTACTGAGGCAGTGGGGTTTAAAGGGGCACATGGGAAGTCAGTCTCCTCTCTAGTCTCTCAATGCTTTCTTTCTTTTTTCCTTTCTTTTTGCGGGAAGAGGGGGAGGGGGAGTGGGTTCAAATGATCTCGATCTGTATCTGTATTGTCATTTCCCTGACCTTGCTTCTTGATAGGTATCTTGGCTGTGACAGTTACGGAATCTTCAGTGCAACCGCGGCCGCCATCTCACATCGCGAATCCTTCGTCATCATCCCCGGCGAAGTACCCGGCTCATTTGCGCTGCAGACTACGGGCGGCGATAAAGATAATTTCCTGTGTGTGAAGGAGACCACGTCTGGGAAGACGGCCAGTGGGAAAGCGTGGGAGGTCCGCGGTGACGCGGAGAGTATATCGTTTGAGACGACAGTGCGGATCCGGATGCAGGCGAGGTTTAAGCCGAAGATCAAGGCGAATAAGGAGACCAAGGCGAAGGAGAGGATTAGTCGCAAGGAGTTGGAGGAGATGGTGGGGAGGAGATTGGAGGATGAGGAGGTCAAGAGATTGAAGAAGGCGAGGAGAGAGGGCAACTTCCATGAAGAGATTTTAGATGTGAGGGTGAAAGGGAAGCATGATAAATTTGCTTAGTTTCTTGGTGTTTAAATTGTTCATGGGAGGTGGTCTTTTTTTTTTTTTTTTTTTTATAATGTATTATATTATGTATATCTAGGGACTTGGCAATATATTCGTTCAACATACAAGGGGTATCATACAGGATCAAGATCATAGAAGCCGGCGCATTACTCATTGCGCCCTTCGTAGCATGTAATCCAGGTGGACCATTCGGTTCGTCACCGGGACAAGATGGCTTCCTGGAGGGATTACGCTTTTTTTGCACAACGGGCACAGACTGCTAATTTGTGTCAGAGATGTGTCGATGCACGCGACGTGGAAGAGATGGCCACATGGGAGCTCGCGCACAACCGCAACTCCTGGCACAAAGTCGTCGAGGCAGATTGCACAGGTGGTTTGGGAGTGGCTGAGTCGTTTCGTTCTGGATAGCGTGGCGGCCGACTGTGGTTGCTGTGGACTGTCTGTTGATATATCCCTCTGGAGCTGCGACTCTTCCTCTGTTCCATGGGTCTCTTCCTTTTCCTGAGGTCCTTTCTCTCCCTCTTGTTCTCCAGGTAGTTCCTCATTCCTTGTTTCCGTCTCGTCCCCCAGTGATTCGGCATGGTCTTGTACCTTGTCAATTGTATGCATGGAGCTATCATTGCTCGCCTGAGAATTGGAATCGCTGTCACTGAGAGCATTGAGATCCGGGTACGTGTACACCGGTAGCGTATCGAGAACTTCCTGGGGCACTTTCACTTGATGTAGGCCCAGGTGCTCGACATCTGCTTCTCCTGCTTCAATCCGGCGCTGCAAAGACTCCCGTCGTCTCTTCTGCACGATCTGATAGCAAAGAAGCAGTATCACACTAAGAACTAGTACCGTTCCTACGATGGCAAGTATAAATCCCCAAAGACTGGGCATCTTCTTTTCATCCTTTTCTGAATAGAGCATCAGCCTTGTTTCATTGGTAGGATAGTTAGAGGGGGCATCAATATCTTACCGAGTTCAATCAGCGCAAATAACCGCGTCTCGCCTAGCTGGTCCTGCGAAGACTCTATGGATGTATTCTCCGAACGACTCGAGTTTCCCGAATACCACGACAGCTGACGCATGATAGTCGCCCCCGCCACGCCAGGAATTGCATAGACAGGGTAGTGATTTTGCCCCTTCCATTTATCCCCATTCCCCAATGACCACGTTGGGTCCTCCGCTGGCGGCGGTTTGGTATCGTTGCTAGAAGGCACGAAAAAGACCAGTCCACTGACCCCGGCGCGCTGAGACGCAAGGAGGAAGGACTGTGTACAGCTAGCGTCTACCCACGGCGCCAGTCCAACGGTACGATAACCAAATATATCCACATCCTCAAAGCGGGTGACATTCGCTGGAATATATGGGGCGGTAGTATTAATGCAGGGATCGTGAGAGTCGAGCCCGGGAACAAAGAATAAGCCTCTGACGGGGCCATTGTCGGGTCTATTTTGGGTGGAGAGTGTCTGAACAGTGCCGTCAAGAACAAGACGGAATGACGCACTGTCCTATTATAATAATGTCCTGTCAGCTAGCTGCTTTTCCCTTGCTTTTCCAAGTGATCTGTATCTTTTCCTCCAGTGCACGACGACGGCTAAACCTACATTGACTGAAGGTGTGTTGTTTGTCGCTATTCCAGGACCCGCAAAGAGCGAGGCTGCCGTTGTGAGCGATGCCGCAGCTGCAGTGGAAGACATCAGTCGTTAATCCATGTACCTGGGCGTAATCAAGTAATAGAAAATGTGCAGCGAGATTCATCGATCGCGCTGTCAATACAGCCAGCTTGGAGGATCATACCCATAATCAACAGGACATCAGAACGAGGACTTCCGTTCCATGGGACTGCAAAATCCAACTCCGGCGTGTCTCGAATAAAGCTGAATTAGATTGCATCCAGCATACTGCATGCAATGAAGCGGCCAAACGTTGGATGCAGGAAGGCGGCTAGATCGGGGAGGGATGTGAGGGTTGAAGACAATAGTTCCAGCAAGAATGCTGAGTTTGGACAATCTCTGCATTCATTCACTGCCGGGACCAAGTTTCAAGGCATGGCTCGCTGCACGGTGTTTCATCTCCCTTATTCCTTGCATGGTTCTTAGCCGCGCGCTGCTTTTTTATTTTTTTATTTTATTTATTTTCCAGCTCTTTGACTACGGATGAATCACCGTTTGCGGCGGGATGGGGTAACGTTTGCAGGTAGACCCTACATTGAGTGTAGCAAAAAAGGTCTCATGGCAAAAAAAAAAAAAAAAAGAAAAAGAAAAAGGGGAGAGGAAAAACGACAGAAACCAAAAGCAAGAATGTAGGGTCAGGCAGGACACAATCTCGATCGATCGCAAATGTGCGATGTAGCAAGGATTGTCCCATTATGGCAACCAAATGTTCCTCGATTGCAACAATCTAAATTGAGGTTTGTACTCTGTTCTCTGAACGACAGACAGAGAATGGAGTATACTCTCGTGTGACCCACTGATCTCCCATAAGTTCTAATCCCAAGCTCCTATCGTTCCACCGGATCCAGAAGATCCAAAAGATCCAAACGATCCATACGATCCTAAACCAAATTGAATTGGCCAGAACTGGATGACTAATATGAAATATCACGTGATTTTTTCCCAATCGGAACAGTCAATAAAGTCACGTGGTACAAGAGTGACACACGTCATGTGATCTTATTATACGGCATCACGAATCCGCATCGATATCGAAGAGCAGCACATCTTTAGCCTCGCCTCGCCTGCAGCGTCAGTCGTTAGAATATCAGTCCAGGAACCCCTTGCTACCATTGTGTTTCCACGGGTCAGGCCAATTGCCGCTTGGTATATATCGATGGTGAACAACATGGGCTATTGAGACCCGACCGTCCGAATCAACCAACGCCACATATCCGTCCCAAGCCTCAGTGTCCTTGCAAAGTCGTCGTACTACGAACATCCCTCCCGGAGCCGCATTTTAAACATGCCCTCAGCAAACAAGGGGAAAGGGAAAGGCCGCGATGTGCGTCCACCCCGAAGCCGCAATACGACCCCCAGCTCTGGCCCCACTGCCCCGGTCTCCAGCTACCTTGAGAACGATGTATCGAAGCTGCTCATTCCCCCGACTGTACACTATTCGGAGATCCTAGATCGGATGGGGGGTGTGGGCCCGATACCCGATTCCAAGTCTCTTGAGTCCCTAATGGAGCACTTGAAGACCCTCAGTCAACTCGCGGAAGCCCGTGGTGATGCCTGCAACGCCGGGATCAGAGAGTTATCGCAGAAGCGCAAGGAGATGATGGATGATGTCGAATCGTTCGATGGCGATCGCTCAAATATGAAGCGTGAAGCCGATGAAGAGGAAGAAGACTCGAAGGCTTTCAAAGGAGGAAAATTGAAGAAAAGAAAGGAGCGCGGGTGTAGTTCAAAGGAACATCGCCCGCTTGCTCATGGTGCTCACGAGCTTTCTCGGCAGGATGGAGTGGAAACCAAGGTAGAAGGTGGTAAGCAAACACATATCTCCTGCGATTGTTGTTCAGTCCGGATTGTCCTCTCTTTCGTTGGAAACGAAATCTAATTCCTCCCCAGTCTCATCACCAGCTTCAAAGAAGTCGAAGAATGTTTCCGAGGACTCGCCGCTCTCTCCCCCATCTCAGACGTCCCCTCGACTGACTGCTACCGCGCCTGATGGCCCTCAAACGGCGGACTCGCCCATGTCGAACGATAGCTCTGATTCGCACCAGCCAGAACCCGCACCAGCGGTGCCCCAGATCCAAGTATTCGGTTCCAATCCTCTGAAATTCGATGATCCAACGATCTATGACATCCGTGAGGTGACACCTGATATGACTGATGAAGAAAAGAAGGCCATATACTGCGTCAACCGCTTCCCTCCCAGTGACCTCAGCCATATGATGGCGGGTGTTCCGCCCGACCGGGATTTTAGCAATGCTAAACCTACCAACCAGGTCAGCGCTAACACTTTTCTCGCCTATATTGAACCCTACGTCCGTCCGTTGACGGAGGAGGATATTGCTTTTTTGAAAGAAAAGGGCGACCGTGCTTCGCCTTTCGTTATGCCCAGACGTGGGAAGAAGCACTACGCTGAGACCTGGGCTGAAGAAGACGGAATGATGGGCTTTGATCAATCCAACGGCGATCGGGAACGTCTCCCTTTGAATCAGGGCCGTGGGAATATCGACCAGGTGACAGATGAAACTGTGGAGACCGATAAAGTGTCTGTTGGACCTCTGGTTAGCCGACTTTACTCGTTACTACGCTACGAGCATCGTTCCCTTCCAGATGAGGGTTCATGCACCGGCGGGCAGGTGAACGGCGAATTATCCACAACAAACGGGCCCTTTGGCGGCGACTCCATGGACTTGGATCATCCCGTGGGGGAGTCAGAAAGCAAACCCCAGCCTTCCGCGACGTCGTTTCCGGATGCATCGCCAAACGGATTCAAAGTGCCGGCTGCCAAGCTGGACCATGCGCAATTGGATGAACGCCTTAAAGCTGAGCTTCGTCATGTGGGGTTCCTCGGTGCCGACGACAATCCAGATTACGATGCCCACTATGATGATGATATCGCACAGCGCTTGCGTCTCCTGCAGAGTGAACTGAAGAAACAGATGATCATCAACAGTGCCCGCAAAACGCGCCTTCTCGATATCGCCCGCGAACGCATGGCATACCAAGAGTACATGACCATTCACGACGACCTCGACTCGCAGGTGCAGCAGGCCTACCTGAAACGCACCCGAACACTAGGCAAGAGCAAAAAGGGATCCCAGGCCAAACACCGACCCGGTGGAGCCGGCGGTGGCAGCCATGTGGTCAGCGCCGCCGGTGTCGGCCGTCCTGCTATCGGTGACGTTGCCCGAACACTTATGGACCGTCGCAAGCGTTGGCATGATTGCATCGGCCCTGTATTCAAGGACTGCAAGACCACTGTTCCCTCCAGTATCGAAACAATCTTTGATGCCTCGGTGATGGCGGAGTACGAAAAGGCTGAACTTGAGGGCTGGGATGAGGAGCAGGAATGATTGGACAGCTGATGTCGATGGACCTGCTATACTTTCATGTACATATTGAACTTGTTTTTTATAACTTTCAACTCCCTATGGTCTGGATTGGTGGGATTAGGCATAGCTGATTGATAGTCATAGATCTCGGCGTCTTCCCGGAGCTGGCTGGTTGGCTAGGTTAATGATGAAGGGCGTTTGGGAAACTATGATAGTTTTATTACTATTTATTTATTTAATTTTTTAGTAGAGCTACAAATCGCTTGCAGTAAAGTAGATAATTCAACTTCCACTTATACAAACAACCGTTTCCAGTAAAATTCCCAAAGATACAGCCACAAACATTCAAACATAGCATTTGGGTATCCATAGACATAAACAAAAATCATGCAAATCAAGAAAGAGAGAAAAAAAAAAAAAAAGGAAAGAAAAATACCACATTCTAACGATGGATAATCAGAACTTCCCCTGGATACCGTTTCAACCTCGCCGTCAGATCCCTCTCGCTAATCTCCAACTCGGTACAGATCTGATCAAAACAATGCACTCCATCTAGATATTTCGATAACGTCTTATCATCGATGAAGTCTTCCTCATCTTCCTCATCCACCACCGTCCCTGTCCGGCTCCCACTCTGGACAGAGGTAGATTGATCTCCCCGCTCGACGGGCTCGTCGCCGCGTCGTTGCTGCATTGAAATCGGAGCTGGGTCGTCGCCCGCACTCGACGCATAGGGACTATTTGTGCCTGTTCCGGGGCCACGGGATGATGGTCCGCTGGTAGGGTAGTGGTGATGGAGTTGGTGGTGGGATGATTTTAACGGCGGGGCAGGCAACCCCGTTGTATAGGGGTATTTATGCACGCGGTATAGGAAGCCCTTGATGACGCCAAAGGTGATGAATCGACGTACGTCGATGTGGGCGAGTTTACGACTGTGTTGGATATACCATTGTTTGATGCTTTGGCCTTGTTTTAAACTCGCGTAGAGTTCGACTAGCGCGACGCCGTCAACGATGCTGTCGTTGTTAGCGGCTTCGTGGTAGATATCGTTGTCTTCGGTTCCAGCGGTGGATGTTGATATCGATTTTGACGCCGTGCTGGGACTCGTGGCGGGGGGACTCCCGTTCACGCTACTTATGTCGCCGGGGACGACTGGGTCGCCGGTGGGTGGCCAGACTGCGTCTGGGTCGTGGTATCTAGGAGGTTGGTCGGGGCTGAGCGTTGTAGATGTTGTCACTGAGGTGGCAAAGGTGGTGTTAACGTAGCGGGCACATTCTCGCTGCATATCTTCGTCGGAGCCGATGGTGGAGCTGAATTGAGAGGTGGGCGCATAAATGGCGGAGAAAGAAAAAATGTCCAGGAGGAAGAGACAGCCGTAGTAAAGGAGATGCCGGATCGCGCGGCAGGTAAGCGAGAAGTCGGTGTCTGCGAGGATCGAGATGATGCGGACACTGTTCACGCCGTTGATGTGTGGGACGATCTGCAGGTTCAATGAGAAATTGAGGAGGACGAGGTATCGGTGAGGAAGGAGGTCGTACCCGTTGCATTGTCAGATCCCAGTTCTCGTCCATGAAGGCCTGGTATCGCACGGTGAATAAGGGAACCTGCCAGGCTCGGACCGGTGGAGGAATAGGATAGACGGGGAACAATTTGACATTCAAGGTATTCAATTCATCTGGGGTCAATCCGAAGTCCATTAGGCGTGGTCGATGAAGAGAGTTAAGGTGCAAAATATACCAATGGGGATCATGCTCTCGCAATAATTATTCAAGTCCTCCATCAAAGTCTCACATAAACTGTACACCTTGCCCTCGCCGCTCTTCGAATGATCCCTCGACAGAAAGCCATTCTGCTCTTCCAATCCATGCATCAAATCGGCGAGTTTCTGGACCACACTCATGTATGTGCTGAAATCCTCTTCCTCGGCCAACACGAGACAGAAGTTGAAGATGAACTCATTTCGATCGTAGCGGAGGGACTTCATGCAAATGGGGTACCCAAGGATGCGATAGCCATTGGTGCATACCTGGATCAGGTTCCCACAGAGTTCCTGACGGGGGATCACAAAAAAGGAGATATCAGAGAAGGTGAGGAAAAGCGGCTGCGAGGGCGCGGTACTGGAGGGAACGATGGCCCCATCGGGGACTTGGTGGACGACTTTGGGGCCTGCAATAGTAATGAAGAGGCTGATTAGGATTGAACCAACACAGCCGACGGTGATTGTGGATTGGCTGGCTTACCCTCTTGGGTGTCGAATTTGCTATAGAAAATGGCTTTGATCATAGCGAGGTGGATGACAGATAGAAAAGGTCGGAGAAGCGATGGTTTCAGGCCACCATCGCATTCCTGAGTGCTGGTGGAGTGAGGGAATGGGAGTCGTCGGGACGTGGAGACTCGAAGCTCTCCGACCTGTCTTGGTCCACGCCGATCGATGGATGATACCTTGTAGGTAAGCGCCAAAAAAAAAAAAAAAAAAAAAAAAAAAAAAAAAAAAAAAAAAATTAAATAAAAAAATAATAAATTAAATTAAACATAATACCTAACGTTCCTAAACTTGACTATTTACTGAAACGTTATTATTGTGCGAAGCCTTCCCTATTGGAAAATGTTCAAGAAAAGTAACCATCACAATTTTTTTTAACGCAACGCTGGAAAGAAACGGCAAATGCACTGACAGGGTATTAGAGTCCCCAGTGGGGGTGAAATGCAAACAAACCAGCAATTCTAAACCAGTCAGCAGTAAAAGAGTATTGCGAGACCATTGATAGAGAGAAAACGCAGGGCAAAAAGTCTGCGAATTACGCCGGGACAAAGAAAGGAAAGTTAACACCACCGCTGATGCGCCAGAAATGCATCCAAGTAAGAGAGAAAAAATGAGCTCGCTAGAACCCACTAGGAATGGCTGGGAGAGTAACTATATTAGAAGCCACATAGGTTATCCCTAACGTGCAGCACCAGATGGTGAATGAGGAGGGCGTCGGATGACTGTACTCGAGGCGAGGATACCGGATGAAGTTGGGAGAATAGAGAACGATGCCGAGTGCCGAGTGCTAGTTCTACCCACATGGGGTATGGAAGAAGGCATGTCGTACAAGAAATTCAACGGCTGACCCGTTCGGATTGCATTGAGCACGTCAGTGTAGCTTCCACGTTCGCCAGCTTCCTTCAACCATTGCTCCCAATCCTCATCTAGCGGGACATTCACCCCCTGCTCGCGAGCAGCGCTCGCCGCAAGGATACGGTGGTTCAACTCTACTCCACAGCTCTCCATTTCCTCGTCACTTGACTCTTCCTCTACCTCGAGTGTTTGTATCTCACATTCAACATCGCGGTCAGTCGTGCTGGTGGCAGTGGTGCGAACAACATCCTCGTATATTTCTGGCTTGGACTCTTGTTCTCTGACCGGTTCCGGACCGTCATCGTAATTCACTTCGATAGAAGGCAACGGGGTGGGCGACGCGGGCCTGACACCGTCGGCAGTTGTATCTTGTACCTTGACACCTTCTTCCTTCTCGTACCGTTCACGTGCAGACTTGGTACCTTCCCAGCGACACAAAGAAGAGATCTCCGCCTCCGTCAGACCGAGCTCATCGAAAACCCTGAATAGTCGGCGATGCCAAGGAAACCGGCTTAGTCTCATGCGATGGGGTCCGTACGAATAGTCCAGGCCCGGGTATTGGGCCTCCACTTTGTCTAGCGATCCATAGAAGGTTGAGGTCTCTATACGAACTTCTGGGACTAGGTTACGAGTGATATGCGCCGAAAACGTCGCCGGGTCGCTCGTGCGCGGGCGTGGGAAGGTTGCGCTATGCACAATCTGAGCCAATGAAGGTTTGTGCATTGCGAAAGACGATGTATAGAGACAGGGTGGGTGTCGGGAAGCGGCGATCGAAACAATAGAGGAAAACCGTTGAAAGGGGAGCTGAGGTTGAATAGGGAGAAGAGAGAGAACAAAGACGCAAAGGAACCGACAAAAAAAGAAGAGAGAAAAAAAAGACAAAAGGGTAGGGGCAATAAAATATTTGCTAAATTTAGGAAGCAAGAAATGAACAAAATGGATAAGAAGGAATTTAAATTCTCGATTACCCTGCTTGCGGAAGGGGGAGTAGGGGATCGCCAGTCAATAGTTGGAAAATGAAGGACGCAATTGTATGGGGGAGACTAGTAGGGATCTGGAAGCCCGATCTCACTAGAGTTTCAGCGAGCACGAAGCAGAATAAGAAAAACCACCAAATATAACACTGCCCCAGAGTCGACCTCCAGAAGAACACATTAATAATATACAGCACATCCAACGGGGGATAAGTTAATGCGATGGGTGTTGCTGCGATTGCGGTATGCAGGCTGACGACCGATCACTCGGTCAGGAGAATGGCAGCTAGTAGCAGTGGCGGTTGTAATCGTAGTAGTACTTTAGTAGTGCTCCCGATAAGGAATCTCGCTGTGTTCGGGAGTTTCCAGGAGGGATGGATTTCTATTGCCCCTTCGATTCTTCTATTTCGGAGGAAGTTTTGTTCAAAATCAAAGTATCTTCGGACCCTGGATGGTTGTGAAACACGACCAGATATGACGGGAAAGCCGTACCCCCGTACGATTTAAGGTGCCCGAAGTTAGACCCGTCTCCTGACTTAGAATGAAGAAGGATCCATCGCGGGGTGGAACAGGGTTGATTTGTGAAACAGCGGTGTTGAAATAGAGACCGGAATAAGAGAGGGGAAGAAAAGGATGGATTAACGGAACGGAGTTCATGAGAAGAAGCGACTATATATATATACCCTGTCGGTTCTTCTGACAAGACCAACGCATGCAAATGTCCAGCGCATAGGAAAACCTGCGTGGAGCAAGCAGAGCTCACTAATAGTATGTAGTACCTAAGTCACTAGCTGTGGGTGAGTTAGCCAACTTAATTCCGGGACAACAGAGAGGTCCAGCGGTAAAAAAGCTCGCCATCGAATAGGCATTATTGAGTTGGCGAGCGGGCCCCTCGTCCACTCGCCGCACGCTGGCTATCTGCAAGGCCAAGTGGTCTGGGTTCCATGTCGGGCTTCATGTAGGTACGTGAATAGGGAAGCCCGAATGGCTCTGATAGGACTAGAACTTCCTTGAGGGACGGTCTAGGCATACGGAGTACTGGCAGCCCGTTAACACGGACAATCCCGACGATCCTGTCTGGCCCCAGTCAGCAATACTGGTGAGGAACAATTATCGGGCCAATCATAAGATGGCGAATAGAGAGATGATGGAAAAAACAACATCGATGGAGTCTGCCGGATTGGATTTTGGCGACGAAATTCGAGAGAATCACTGGCCCACGTGAGACTGGGCCGACGGGAGGATCCTGATTGGGTCAGATGATCTCACCTCATCCGATGGCGGATTGTGGAATGGCAACAACTCACCACTCCTTGGCCTCGTTGCATGAAATGAGGATATCAATTGCAATGCACTGAGCCAATATTAATACCGCTTGCCATCATGCTAACAACCAGGTCAACATGGGGTCAACCCCACATCAAGAAGAGATGGATGGAAAACCAAATCCCATTGACTTTGTATGATCATAATACCGTAAGGAACTTCCTGGCTGCATTTCAGCGAGAACTCTATTCTTCAATAATTAAACTCGGCTCGGTTCGCCGTCATTCTAAATAGACTGTTCGAGTTAAAACTGCCGAAATTCCACAGAACAATATTCTTGAATGTCAGCTTTGGTAAGCCAGCCATGCATGCCAAACCTGAGCTGACCAAAGATCCTGAAACTCTGACATTGACTATTATCCCCTACAGCGTTGGTATTTGCCAGTTCAACTCACATGATCCTTCTAGCGTTGACGACTTGTGGCCTCCATCCGGGGAGATACCTTGCTTAAACGAATGCCCATATCAGGACCATACGAATTGCGGTACTACCAAGTCGCTCGTTCCCTGTTTGAAAATCGACAAAATAACTCTAAATATTCAGTTATTCTAGATAAAGGTTTCAATTCTCCAGAAAATGCTAGAAGAGATGCTAGCTGCTATCTACTTGGATATCCTTGAAATAAGTGTATATTGACGGTACTGAGAAACAAAGAGAAATATCGGTTGAAAAGAAGAACATGAAATACAAAGAGTGGAATTAACATGCCTATTTATTTTGATAAATACTTGGGGACCGCGAATGGTTACGAATTAGCAGTATATACTGTTCTATACGGAGCACCGTATACCGGTAGATTACCTAGCAAATAAGGGCATTCTGCTCTAACTATAGTGACGGAAACCAACTGCAAGACCAGAAAGGTATAGATAGCACTTTCAGTAGTAAATAATATGCCAATACTGAAATATCAAGTGACTTACCGAAAGTCCTCCGATCTGATCAAAGGCCAAAGTCTCTGGGATATATGCCTTGAATGACTAAAATTAACTATTTGTTGACATGCCGTGTAGAAGCTGAAAGAGCCCAGAATTGAATTTAGGTAGGAGAAATCTAAAAATTGAAAGATAGCTATTCCCATAATCACTCTTGTATGAGATCTGAATGCTGTATGTTTTATGGATGTCCATCTACAGTAGTATGATGCAGAAACTAAACATATCGGTTATCATGCAAATGAAAGGTCAAGAAGAGTAGCAAAATGAATATAGATTACTAGTATAGTCGTTGACTAGTAGAGCATCATCATATATTGAATACTCTATGATCAACAGATTATCAAATTATATTATTATATCTGTTTCCGTACAAGCCATGCTAGGTGAATTCGTACGATATACACCTACTTGGGCACCACCCCTGTTCAGCCTTCTCCCCACTCCCCCTTTCTGTTTCACAGTCCTTCAGATCATACTCTGTCTCTAATATCGTACGCAACTCGACCTCCCTCTCTAGCCAGGCAACATGGAACCCGATCCCTGCGAATATAATCGAGATTTGCCACACACGCTGCAGTGCTTCTGTGTAGGCTCTGACAATATCTGGCTGGATCTGCTCAGAGAATCTGTGTACGGATTTGCCCGACGCTTGCTGGTATGCGTTACTCACACGTAGAACAGCTGAAGCTTCGGGGTGCTTGTCCAAGCCAGCGGCAACAACACTGGATAAAAACCTGTTATTGAATATTGCAGCTGGAATGGATACCCCCAATACTGATCCAAAGGGTCAAAGGAAAGCCCAGGTTGCTGTCGATGCTGCGATATCACTTTCCGAAAGCTGGGCCTGGCGGCTGGTAATGTGGATGTAATGACTAAATCTGATCCAATGACCGCTAGAATTGAAACCCAGGCCCCTTGAACCGCTCGTCCCACGATGAGCATCGCCGTCGACTTCGCGCCTCCACTAGCCCCACTGACCAAGGCAAAGAATAAAACTGCCGAGATCGAGGGCCATCGTCGTCCAAAGACGTCCGCTAGTTGACCGTAGAGAGGCTAAAAGGCAGTTCTATCGCTTGCCCGAGCATCCAGTTCGTGCCCGTCCTCCAGAGATAAGATGGGCAGGTCTAGGGAAACACACCCTGACAAGAAAAACGCATTTACAAACCAGATGCAGGCCTCTCCAGCTTTCAGGTCACGAGAAATGGTCGGTAAGGCTGTCGAGGTCACCGTCGATTCCACTGCGATGAGAAGTGAAGCAACAGCTAGACCAGCAAAGATCAGCCCAAAACCGCCAGTCGTAAGATGACTTTTTGCTGTGGCGAGAACATTGGTCTTTGTGGACGGTTGACGAGGCAGAGCTATAGGTAGGAAAAGAAGGAGCATGTCCTTTCGTTTTGGCAAGGAGATACAATCATACATTGAGGTCTATCTCATTGTTTTGTTTAATGAGGGTTATCCGCTTCTAGAAAGAATCTGTTGGCTGTGCTACCCTGTACTTTAGGTACAGTACTTACCTAGGTACCTCCTATCTCCCAAAACTGAAATTTTATTTTTTATTTTTTTTTTTTTTTTTTTTTTTTTTTTTCCATTCTCACTAAACCCCATGCAGCCACTGATAAACAAATACTACCTAACATCGGGCAGCCTGTCCGTATTCAAATTACTATTTATTACCTGCATTCGGCGTCTGTCTTAGCGGGGCCTATATGACCGTCTGATATACATTGGACCATCTCCATGTGTGGTTTGACATCCTATACATAGCACAAAGCAAGTTGTTGATAGTAACTAAGACTGATAATTCCACTTAAGTAAGTCGTTCGTTTCAGAAGTGTCGTAGTCGGTGCATATCACAATTGGGTACACTGGGGTAATATTCTATCTACCCAAGGAAGATACATAGGTACAGAGTACTCCTTTCATGTATGTGGATTTCTCCGTAGTTTCCTAGTACTGGTGATGGGCACATGGGCTTACAGCTTTGCGTGGTTTGACATCGGAATCGGAAAAATACTCATCGTGGTCCCACTAATGCTAAGCACTCGGACCACGATGAGCAACTATCAGTAACTAGTTAGCGGCCCCTTTCAATAGGACAAGCAATCGCTTCCAACATTATATGGGGGTCAGATGACCAGGTGGGCCCAATTAATCGAGTTATCTAGGGGGAGGGGCGAGATATCGCGAGATGTCGTGCCCTTTGATACCTAAAGTTACCTACTGCCTTGTTGCCATCTGCCAGGGGCTGAACCCGTAGGACCTATGAGGTAGGCTACATATCAAAAGGAATCGTTGAAGAAGGAAAGAAAGAGAAAAAAAAGGATGTCGGTCATCGAGGACCAGTAGGGCCAACATGGACGGTAGGGACCATGGTCACGAGATGACTTTACACCATCTTAGTGTGCCCCAAGGATGTAATTACCGCATCCAGTCAAGAATATTGTTTGCCTTGATCGGTGGGGCTATAATATAGTTTTATCGCAGCTATATACTCTGGCAGTCCGAGCATAATTTACAGACCCTGGCAATTCTGATAAGCTAAGTGTGGCTTCAAGAGAGTCCATAATGAATTTTGAAATTAAAGCATCTAAGATTAGTGTGTGGGGCCGGCGAATCACCAGGAACGGCGGGATCGCCGGGATCCACTAGGTACCCGTTGCTAATCTTGAGTGGTCTTGCATTATTTATCACACCTTAACTGATCTATCCATAACCATAACAATCATAGCAATATGCCAGCACCGCAGCTGAGAGCTGGCAGAAGCAGATCTAGAACAGGATGTCGCACCTGCCAGTAAGTTGGACCTAGTATATATGTACGCAGATATCTCTAACTCTGCAGCGCCCGTCGTGTTAAATGTGACGAAACCCCTGGCGCTTGTCAGTAGTGAACATCCACCGGTTGGTGTTGTGACTACGACGTGCAGCGTTTGCCTTCTAAAACCACCGCCGTGAAAGCCTTTAAGCAGCAACAGCTAGTCCCACTGAACCAGACTGTTGCAGGTGGGTTCCAATGACCGATAACATCCGACAAGAGGAGATGTTTCTCCTACTTTAAGTTTTATACCATCCCCAGGCTCCTGCAACTCTGGGTCGGACTTATGCCAAAGACTAGTCTTGCGGATGTGCTACTGTTAGCCCGCGGTCTACCATGCCGCTGTCGCTCTGGGCGCGACGCACTAGGAAGCAGAAGTCTACAGAACGCCTACTGGGACAGGATATTAATACGGCCTGGCATCGATTGACTACGTTCGAGGAGCGAACCGGGAACAGGACCAGCATCGCTGTGAATCCCATTATTATGATGAAACCGTCGCTCTCCAGGACAAGGTTCTCTCAGCTCATATCTCGCAAGTGTTGGTTTTGCTTTGTCTCATACCGTCCGCCCTGCTGACTCTCCATTTCCCTCGCTTTTAGATGGGCATCTGAAGAGGATGAGGAGCTCCCAGATAAAGGACTTCGCAAAAGGCAGCCGGTACCTGGCCTTGCGACAGTGAATTCTGAGCTTCAGATTCCTTCTAGGTGATATCAAGAGGCTTTAGGAATTTTATCAGTTCCTTTAGCTTCCACCAGAAAGCGTGGGACTTGGCAGTTCTGGTAACTTCTTTTCCCTTTGCAGTAGAAGCGGCAGGAGTAGTAAGAGCCATTCGCAAATTACTGTCTTGCAATCGTAGGGCATGATGAGGGAGGCCACAGTTTCCAAGCGCAAGGAAGCAAAATGGATTCTGATGTCATTAGGATCAGATTTGCGTAACAATTTTCCACAAGCAGCCACATGGCATGGTTTCGTCAAATGAGCTGGTGATTCTGTGTTATTCTGATAATTTACCGTAGAACAACACTAATAAAGGTGTATTAGCACTATCTAGGTAATAAAAGAGGCTGAATTAAAAGGACATTGTTGGCGACATATTATTAACAGATAGGTAGCGTGATGATTTTTGCCCGTCACAGACCTTCGTCCCAGCTGGGAAGTAGGCTGCTTAATGGATCTTCAGAACGATACAGGAATATGTCCACTATTCTAGGTCGAGCTGCCATTCTTGTGCCAAATTGGCGCCAGTGTCTGGTGCAGTCCTGATATTGCGGTCTTAGGACCAGCTCTGTCTTGCTACAATCCTCACAAGACAAAATTCTTGAGAAGACTTCCTTTGCCTGGTGCCAAAAAAAGACGATCGCCTAAGGCAGAATCGCTTAATACCCCACTCTTAAGCAATCATTCCGATTCGTACCTTGACAACAGTCCGAGGAAGTTGAGAGGGATGTTGCCCACAATCTTTTCTTCATCAATGATCATCCCCGAATCCTCGTTTGTAATGCTGTGCATGGCCCATGGTACTCGTCCATCCAGACTACGCCTCCGGTGTCGTGGAGTGCGTGTTTGGATCGGAAAACATTACTACAGGCATCACACACTACTACAGGCATCAAAGACCAGCCAATTGTCTCGATTTCCCGATTTGGTCCATATATTTTGGATATTATCATTACAGTATGATGTATAGAGGCGCGACGACCAAAACGGCAAAGCTAACCGGAAGTGGGAATTCACAGGTCCTCGGTTTATACTGCTAATAATTACTGTACTTCAATATCCTCTAAATGCAATGCTATCGCAAACAACCTTGGTGCTAACTGGCGCAGGACTGAAATAGATTAGGGAGCCAGTAAAAAGGATTTCTAGGTCAAAATATCATTTGATTTGATGGCCAGCATGTTGGACGACAAAACCTGGTCTATGAAGGACAACTTAGGATATAGCGTGGACATAGGGAAGTCGATGAACGCAGTATGTGATTGAAAATAAAGGGACTATGTAGACGGATGCGTAACCCTGCTTTTTGTGGATGTCCTAAGTCATTATCATTTCAGGAAGGCTCTTCTTACATAGACTGGTGACTGTTGTAGAAGAAACTGTTCCTTCTAAGCAGCTGCTCGGATAATCTCTCCTTGAATAGTATAGTTATTTTAGTGGCCCTGACTAAGACTCTATAACATACTTTGATCGCTCCCATACAGCATGCGTATCGACGAGTTCCCAGTGAATTTATATATTTACATCACCACCAGGTTGTGATACCTGCATCAGATTAAGTATTCCAGTATTGGTCTAGCTAAAGGTTCCCCACAGGCCAGTGAACACCGTGTACTCTGTTGAAATTTTCGGAAAATCGAATTGTCCCGTCAAATATACCCAGAAAATCGCCCTCGTATAGAGGAATTGTGGGACAAGCAGAAAGGGAAGTCCTATCCTTGGGCTGAAGGGATATAAAGACAGACTTGTCCTATCCACCTTCCAATATCGATCCACTATCAAATGTAACCCCCAAGTAGTCAGCTAAAACCAACTTCGACTAAGCTGTTAGCTTGAATTTGGCTTTTTTATTTTTGGAGAGCCACTTATTAGCAGTATTATTCCATAAAGACCCTTCGACCTGCAGCCTTTTTGCCACGTGTGGATAATCCAAGTATGATCTCCGCGTGACATCTCTATCCTTCAGCTGAAGAACTCGGTTCTTAAGTTATTTAATTTAAGGTGTATAAACCTTTTCCCACTTCATAACTGTATTCACTACAAAGATTGCTAAGTTCTTAGAATATCTCTTACAGCAGCTGTCGAATTTTTTATTTAATAAAAAAAAAGGATCAACACCGGCTTGCCCGAGTTCGCCACAGTCAACCCATCTGCAGGTTCCATGGCTATTGGTAACATCACAACATTAAGGAGTTTACGTTACCAGAATCTGGATTTCTTCATCCATAATACTGCATCTGTGGGGTATTGACTGAAATGCAAAGGCTTTGATTAGTTTATATAACCACATTAGGTAGGGTGGAGAAGGTGCAATGCTAGCCAGCCAGTCACGGCATGAATGCGTCATCGCTTTTCAGGGACAGAATGTTAATGTCACTCCAAAGTGGAGAAAGGAGTGACCAATCAAGGTTGATGACGGGCGCAAGTCACGATCAGTTTCACTATTGGTTGATGTGCGGAGCCGTAGTTACGTGGGATATCCTGTCTATTGCTCCGTCCAATAGCTTAGATTCTTTGGTATGGTAGATCTTATTCTGATTGGTCTTTAAACAAGGGCATGAGTTCTCAGTTATGTGGACAAATATCAAGAATATGTTGGATATGCTATGCGACCTTTAGGCTATCTAAGAACAAGGATCTTGTTTGTCGAGTCGGACCCGACGTAATTACGGATCACATAGGAACGCACACGTCTACTCCTATAGCCAACTTCTCTCATAAGATATGGTCAACTCTTGGGAATAGTGTTAATGTTCAGCAAAACTACCAACATGACATCTGCGTCGTATTCTTGGCTGAATACAAAAGATTTCCGGAACAAAGTGGCTCATCGATGTTGTTGACTTTTGCCATTGATTTATTGGCCATTAAGGGGTGAACAGGGTGATCCGTGTGTGATAAAGGTGAGTTAACCTCACCCCTATAAAAAAAATTCAAGTCGGACAATCAGCGACATATCTGCTAGGAAGTTTAACTCTGCAGTACTCTGACAATGAGAACCTCCGGTAGCTATGATAAGGTTAGAGATTCATCTCATTTGTATCCTGAATTTCCCCAATGTCTTCCTGAAGGTGGGAAAGTCAATGGCGACCCCGTATCTTGTGGGAGACATGCATGAGTGGAGAGACACTTGATGGTAAACTCTGATCATTAAGTGAGATACATGGTTTTCTAAACCATTTCTACTCGCACCAGTTTTGTTACGGTGTGGACCCTCACACTACACCACTCACTACTCCCAGCCATGTTTTACCCTTAGCGGGACGGGGATGCCTTTTGATGCCACAGGCCTTTTCTTAACCATGTCCGCTACCACAGGTTAGCTCCCATCTCAAGGAGTAAATTCACCACTGCGTCATGCTTGTTCTTTGCTGCTACTTCCAGCGGTGTTCTCCTGTACCAACCTTCCAGGTCTGGGTTGGCACCCTTTTCTAGCAGTAGCTTCACCATTCCTTCATGCCCCATCTTTACAGCATATGACAACAAATACTGTTCGTTGGCCTCCAACTTGACGTCTTTCTCAAGTAATAGTGTCATCACGGCTTCACAACCGTTCTCTGCGGCCCATGACAGCGGAGTCCGACTATCTTTGTCCTTGGACTCCAAATCAGCGTCCTTTTTAAGCAGAAACTTTACCACCCCTTCATGCCCTTTCGCTGCGGCCCATAATAGCGGAGTCTGACCATGTTTATTCTTGGATTCCAAATTAGCACCCTTTTTGAGCAGAAACTTCACCAACCCTTCATGTCCATTCCCTGCGGCCCAAGACAGCGGTGACCGACCATATTTGTCCTTGGACTCCAGCTCAGCGCCCGCCTCAAGAAGCAGACTCGCTATCTCTTCGTGACCATTCCCTGCTGCACATGACAGTGGAGTCTGACTATCTTCGTCCTTGGACTCTACTTCAGCACCGTTCTTGAGCAGAAACTTTACCACCCCTTCATGCCCTCTCCCTGCTGCCCAAAATAGCGGAGTCTGACCATGTTTGTTCTTGGATTCCAAACAAGCACCCTTCTTGAGCAGAAACTTCACCACCCCTTTATGTCCATTCCCTGCTGCCCATGACAGCGGTGTCCGACCATATTTGCCCTTGGACTCCAGCTTGGCACCGTTTTCTAGCAATAGACTCACGGCTGCCTCATGACCATTCCCTGCGGCAAATGATAGCGGAGTCTGACCATATTTATCCTTGGATTCCAAATCAGCACCCTTCTTAAGCAGAAACTTCACCACCCCTTCATATCCATTCCCTGCGGCCCATGATAGCGGTGTCCGACTATGGCTGTCCTTGGACTCCAGCTTGGCGCCTTTTTCTAGCAGTAGCTCCACCATTCCTTCATGCCCTATCTCTGCAGCAGATGACAACAAACAGTTTGATGAAAGTGAATAATACTGTTTGTTGGCCTCCAGCTTAGCGCCCTTTTCAAGCAATAGTGTCACCACAGCCCTATGCCCGTTCCATGCTGCTTCCTCCAGCAGTTTTTCACTCTCGTACAAGAATTTCGGGCCTGGGTTGGCACCTTTCTCAAGCAGTAGCTTCACCACCCCTTCATGTCCTTTCGCTGCGGCCGTTGACAGCGGTGTCTGACCATATTTGTCCTTGGATTCCAAATCAGCACCCTTCTTAAGCAGAAACTTCACCACCCCTTCATGTCCTTTCGCTGCGGCCGTTGACAGCGGTGTCTGACCATATTCGTCCTTGAATTCCAAATCAGCACCCTTCTTAAGCAGAAACTTCACCACCCCTTCATGTCCTTTCGCTGCGGCTGTTGACAGCGGTGTCTGACCATATTTGTCCTTGGATTCCAGCTTAGCGCCCTTCTCAAGCAACAGTCTCACGGCTGCCTCATGGCCTTTCTCTACTGCCAGCGACAGCGCTGTTAATTTAGAATAGTTGTCTCTTGAATCCGGACTGGCCCCTTTCTCAAGCAAAAGATTTACTACTGACTCATGCCCGCGACTTGCCGCCTCAAATAGGGGTGTTCTAAAGTCTATACGTCGATCAGACTCCGGGTCAGGTTTAGCACCCTTCTCCAGCAGGATCTTGACAACCGCCTCGTGCCCACCCCGTGCCGCTAGTCCTAGCGGTGTCCAATAGTATCTCCGCGTAGCTTCCAGGTCAATAGGTGTGTAGATAGAGTCCGGGTGAGCACCCTTCTCAAGCAATAACTTCACCGCTACTACATGCCCCTCCGTTGCTGCGTCATGCAACAGGCTCCCGTAGCTACTTTCCAGGTCTAAGTTGACATCCTTCTCGAGCAGTGGCATCACCATTGCCTTCTGACCGGGCCGTGCAGCACATGACAGCAAATATTGATCGTTAGCCAACAGATCGGAGCTCTTCTCGAGTAGTAGCTTCACCACTGCCTTCTGACCACGCGCTGCAGCCCAAAATAATGGAGACATGCCATTTTGGCCCTCGAACTTCGGGTTGGCACCCTTTTCAAGAAGTAGCCTGACCATCCCTTCATGACCGTTTCCTGCGGCCCATGACAGCGGTGTCCGATTATCCTTGTCCTTGGACTCTAGCTCAGCGCCCTTCTCGAGCAATAGACTTACCACTGCCTCATGACCATTCTCTGCGGCATATGACAGCGAAGTCTGACTATAGTTGTCCTTGGATTCCAAATCAGCACCCTTCTTGAGCAGAAAATTCACCATTTCTTTGTCTCCTTTCGCTGCGGCCCATAACAGCGGTGTCCGATTATCCTTGTCCTTGGACTCTAGCTCAGCACCCTTCTCAAGCAACAGACTCACCGCTGCCTTATGGCTATTTCCTGCAGCAAATAATAGCGGTGTCCGACTCTCTTTGTCCTTGGACTCCAAATTGGCACCCTTTTTAAGCAGAAACTTTACCAGCCCTTTATGGCCATTCCCTGCGGCCCATGATAGTGGTGTCTGACCATGTTTGTCCTTGGACTCTAGCTCAGCGCCCTTCTCAAGCAATAGACTCACAGCTGCCTCATGACCATTCCCTGCGGCAAATAGCAGTGGAATCTGACTATATTTATCCTTGGACTCCAGCTCAGCACCTTTCTTAAGTAGCAGCTTCACAAGGGCTTCATGCCCATTCTGTGCTGCACATGAGAGTGGTGTCCAATAGTCTTTGGCCATGGACCCCAGCTTAGCACCCTTCTCAAGTAGCAGACTTACCATCCCTTTATAACCATTCTCTGCAACCCATGACAGCGGTGTCTGACCATGTTTGTCCTTGGACTCCAAATTAGCACCCTTCTTGAGCAGAAATTTCACCACCCCCTCATGTCCATTCCCTGCGGCCCATGATAGCGGTGTCCGACCATATTTGTCCTTGGACTCCAGCTCAGCGCCAGCCTCAAGAAGCAGACTCGCCATCTCTTCATGACCATTCCCTGCTGCCCATGACAGTGGTGTCCGGCTATGTTTGTCCCTGGACTCTAGCTTGGCGCCTTTCTCGAGCAGCAGTCTCACGGCTGCCTTATGGCCGTTCTCTGCACCCCATGATAGTGGTGTCCGACTATGTTTGTCCTTGGACTCTAGCTTGGCGCCCTTCTCGAGCAGCAATCTCACAACCGCATCATGCCCCTTCTCTACTGCCCAAGACAATGGCGTCTGACCAAAGCACTTATCCTCAAACTCTAACGTAGCGCCCTTCTCAAGCAATAACTTAACCACCGCCTCATGCCCATTCTTTGCGGCATACCACAGCGGTGTTCGATGATATTTATCCTTAGACTCCAGATCAGCTCTTTTCTCAATTAGCACCTTCACAACCGACTCATGTCCGTTCTCTGCTGCCCACGACAGCGGTGTCTGACCAAAATACGTATCCTTGGGCTCGGTTATTGCACCATAGTCGAGAAGTAGCTCCACTACTTCCTTATGCCCGTTCTCCGAAGCAAATAATAGTGCAGTCTGATTGTATTCGTCGGCGGACTCCAGCTCAGAGCCATTCTCGAGCAGTTGCTTCACCTCGGCACAGCGACCCTTTTGGGCTGCCCTATGTAACACTGCTATTTTGTTCCCGTCTAGAGCATTAGCATCCAGCGCTCCTATCTGTCTCATTGGATCGCTAATGTTGGGTCCAGCTTTTCTCAGTAACAGTTTAGCGATGGAGGTATGTCCGTTCGCAGCTGCTATATGTAATGCTGTCCTCTTGTTCTTGTCTACAATGCCCAGTTCAAATTTATCCAACAACAAGAGAACAACTGCTTTGCAGCCTCCCCAGACTGCACGATGCAGCGCTGTCTGCTTGTCATATTTGCATTGGGCGTTAAGATTGGCCCCCTGGAGCAATAGCTTGACAATTTTCTCGTTTCCTCTCTCGCATGCAAGATGTAGCGCTTGCTGTCCAAGTCTATCCTCCAGAATACTGTCAGCTCCTCTTCCAAGAAGTATCTGGACTACACGGCAGTGACCCCTCCAGGTTGCATAGTGTAATGCTGTCCATGTATGTCTGTCTCGAAAGTCAGAATTAGCCCCTTCTCGTAGCAGGCGATCCACCTCAGCCTCGTCTCCGCTCACGGCCGCTAGCAGCAGCTGTACTTCTTTATCTTCTATCAACGTGCTTGATTTTCGGTTGTCAGAATAGGTCTCCTCAGTTTCACTACCCGCCACCCCTTCCTCATCACCTATACTGAGCTCCTCTGTATCTGGTTTCTCATCCAACGGCGGGTGAAAGTAGACAGCACCAACATACTGACAACTGATGGAAGCTGGGCTTTTTTTAACAAGCAACGCTCTGGCGATTGAGTTTACGTCAGGTTCACATAGAAGCAAATGCGTGCCTGGCTCCTGCTGACCTCTTTCCAAGCCAGAACGCAACTTTACTTCTACCAACGGATGGGTATCCTTCCATATGTATCGTTCGTCTTTCCCAAACAGAGAACTGTCGCGAATCACTCTCCACCTTCCGGAAACGCCTCCACCTTTGGTAACCTTTAACATGGAAGTGCCTGAAGAAGGCACCATATCGACTAAAGAAGTGGGACACCAGCTAAAACCTTTCGGCATTGTGGCTGAATTATGGAAGAGATGTCCGTGGTGCAGTTGCCCAATCGTCTTCAACACACGCTGATAGGTATCTTGCTGTGATTCATCCTCGATTACGTTGATGCCAGTCAGGAGAGCCGCAATGGTAGCTATATCTCTAGGCCAAGAAGTATAACGTGAGCCTAGAACTGTTAAAAGCTCATTGACCGAGAGTGGCTCCCTCTTTCTTAGGTTGCGGATCGGTATCTTCGCGAGACAGTTGTCGGTTCCACTGTTGGTTTCGAGGATATCTTCGTCGAGGTCCTTGATAATAGAATGTTTGAACATCACTTTGACTTTCTGCGACCTGGCTAGCTCTAGTGCCGTCCAGCCTCGGCTAAACCACGGTGACATAATGATGGCAAAGCATGCAGTCTCAGCATCTATCCATTCACAGTCTCGGAGATAGCAGTCATGAACCAATGTGATCCGAGCGTCCTCGTAATTGCTTTGGATCTGATTGATAGCTTTATTACGCGCAGCCTTATCCTTCGGAATGGAGATTGTGTCCCACCGGATTCCTTTGCATTGAAATTGTTCAGCAATGCTACTGAAGAAATTATACAGGCACTCATTAACCCCTTCTTGAGAGGAAGGTCCAGTTCCAGTTCCGTCTGACCAGACATGGGAGATCGCCATAAATGGCTCGGGACGTTCGAGGATTGATGATCCATCTAATTGCCACACAGTTGTTTTTCCTGCATTCACAGCTTCATCTAACTTAGTGGGTAAAAACAAGCCATGGGAGCGACCGCATTGCTCCTCAGGATTGTTTGAATGTTTCCCGCACTCGTGGCGCTGTTCTCGAGAGGTGAAGTTCAATCGCGAATATTCACAGAAATCAAACGTGCACTTCTCGTGGCCTAGATGGGGCACTATATTTTCGATATTCGTGCTGGGAGGTATCAAACGAGGAAGATTGTTCTCCCTACCGGGAAGGCTCCGGGTTATGGCCCAAACTCGATTGGGGCAAAGTTTAAGCTCTTTCGTAAGGGTTTGGATGGCTTTGTCTATTTGGACGTATGACTGATCAGGACTCATGGCTAGGTTCGAAATAATAATGGCTCCCCAACTACATCTCAGTATGAATCAGTCAGAAAGACTTTAATTATATTGTTGTAGTTCAAATTTCACTGGAAGACTGTGCTCACATTCTGATCAGAAAACCTAGGGAGCATATACACACAAATTGAGCCTCGATTCACAACTAATATAGATGTGCACAGTGAAAGACTGTTGGTACGGTTGTGTGGTGTTTTGTAGTAAAGCAGCAAAATTCTATAAGCCGAAAGGAAGATCGCGAAAGTTGCGGATAGCGTAGGTCTCAATATGAATGCGCAGTATTATTTTTAAATTATTATTTCCTTCATCTGACGCATGGATCCAGGAAAGTGCCTGTTTGCTATTAGAGAGAAAAGGAGGAGAGATTTGATAATAACAAATAACATTGCTTACAGCCTTCACGATTCATACGTATTAAAAAATGCACATGACTTTGATCCTAACTGAAGATGTCACAGGATTTTTCAGCTGATCGACGACTCATCCTGGCCTCTCGTGCATTTCAGTGGTATTTTTTGGTAATTTACCTATCTCAGTTTCTTATTCACTCATATTTTACCACCTTAGGCTCCATACACTTTGATGATTTCATTGGGCGGCGAAGAAACTGCGCTAAAATACATTAGCGGCCCAGATTAGGGGAGTTTTGGTGGTGGTGGTGCCACCAGGCGTAACTGGTCAAAATTGTCACGGGCACTTGTTCAGACACGCAAACGAGTGGGAGAGGCTACCTCAGAAGCTGCTTGTAATTCAGTCGCGAAGATGCTTTTGTGGAGTATTGATTGTTGCGGGATGTCTTCTCTGGTCTTAGTTCCATATCTACTCCATATGATGGAGAATTCTGGAGTGGAGGGACATCTCAGGTAGCTCATCATCCTCATACATTAGAATTGAAGGACCACATCACCTTTTCGCCCGATCATTTATTGGTCCACGTAATTCGATCCCCGAAAGAAGTGGAACTTAGCGTTGCCGATTATACATAGCATCGGAACCACATTACAGTATACGCATACGCCGTTCATGCCTACATTAAAGAGATTGAGTTTTCAAGATTTTGTATCTCCAGGTCAATATTTAACAAATGTACTTACGTCCCGGTAATGTCGGTAGGTGCGTTGTCCGATTTTTATAATATTACAATACTGTCGATCCCTGTTAATTTATATATGTCTCCAAACAATCCAGACCCACCTCGGTATCTTCTCCGGCAATGCTTTCATCAGCACTGGGCTAATACTCCAGTTCTAAAATGTTTACACCCTGATAGAGGTGTCCTCGTGCCGTCTGCCTTATGTGGTCCCGAAGTTCATCCGCTGCGGAGACTAGCAAGGAAGCTTAATATATAATTTTTAAAAGTAATATTAGTCGCCCTTACCCATCACTAATATCCAACCTTGCTCGTCCCGGATGTTAGGCAGCTTTTTAATCTGGTCGCTAGATGCCTTGAGAAAAATAATATTTTTATAATCTGGAACACCCTGGTAAAAAGCAGACTCGTTTATACTGGCCGAAGGGAAATTTAATCCGCTCGAGGCCATTCCCCACATAAATAGAGATTTTGAGTATCTAGAACATGGTATTGTTAGCATCAGGATAGGGCGTCGTGGTATAAAAATCTAATACAAACATAACCTTTATTTATAATATAATCTTTTAGGAGGCTATTTAGTAGGCCCTGGGCCGCGACAATCTCGCCAATTAACTCCACTTGCCAGACTAAATAGTCAGCGGACCTGTGAGATACAGGTATTATAACTATAAATTATTATTATTTTTTTGTGTATAGAATTTCTGCTGCGATCCCAAATCCACTCGCGACTACTAAGACATTTTTATAGTAACTCATATCCTCATTTATTCCATGCAGACCTGTGAACAAGGCTCAAAAAGAAAACGAGCTCTCCACAGCCGCGGGTGCGTAGGGAAGAAGGTCCGCAGTTAAACCACAGTATAATTACATGAGAAGTTTTATGGTCTCCTGTTTACCTCTAGATCAAGAGGTAACTATAAAAGGGTGTGTCTGAGTCCACGACTATAAGCTAATTAATAGTATCCAGAGGTTAATATACTGTCCGGCCTCTAGTTTTACAGATCGAGGTAAGATTACGCGGACATGGGCGGCAGTTACCACAGTACCTTCCACCTTAAATTCTTTTACGCTAAACAAGACGACTGCCTTGGGAGAACCACAGCTGTTAAACAGCCCATTTCGATAGAGAAGGGTTATCAGCTGTAGGAATAAAGTTAGCCTAGATATCCCTAATACAACCAAGAGCTAAATTTTTGAAGAACTGCTCCTGGATGAAAAATGCAGCCATGTGCGTAAACAAAGAGGCGTGTTAAGGTCTAATATCCTCAGAGAAAAATCTTATAGGACCATCGACGAAACCATGGAATGGAAAGGAGAGCAAGGACACCCAGTGAGACCGCAGCCAGCAGATATTTGGTTAAAGCGGAAAGTACTAAGAAAGGAGCGTATAATCGTGGTAAAGAGGTTTTGCATTTCACGGAGCAGAAAGCTAAATCCCTTGGCCTGGACTGCCACAGCGATGTGAAATAACGGCAGAGTAATAGCCATCCAGCTGGTAGCATGGTTGATTTTGCGACAAGAGCGCCATATAATGCCTAGAATGTTAGCTAGATAGTAAAGGTAGATAGCCAATAAAGGAAAAATCAGGTTAACAAGGGCTAGTTCCTCTGCCTGGCGGCCAGCGCCAGTCTAAGATTTTATTCTAAAAAAAGAACGAGAAAACATTAACTCCAATACATAATCTGTGAAAGAAAACACTGGCTTGGGTTAACCGGTTAGCAAGGAAAAAAAAGTCAGCAAAAATACTGCCAGCTGTAATGGCATAAATAAGGCATCTATATTCTGTTCGAAATGAGAGAGGGTAATGGACAAAGCAAGAAGGATAGATGAGGGAAGAACAGCGTGAAAAGCGCAGAGTATTTATAGTACAGAGTGCCACAAATAACGATCTCGCTGCGGTACAGCTCTTTGAATTAGAGTGTTACTAAGACTGAAAAGCTACTCCGCACTTCCGCAGCGAACCCTTAGGGCCCTAGGAAAAGATATTTAATAGGCCTCGACACCTCGAATCCTGCGCTCTTTAAGTAACCTTATCTGGCTAGGAATCCACATGATGTCCAAGAAATTGTCATGGGTAGAGAGGCATCGCTCAGAAAGTGCTCGCGCAAAAGCACAACAATACAGACATAAAAAGGGCCTATTTAAAAAGGCAGTGGAATTTAGTGCTGAGTGTGAATCTAATATCCTCGTGGCTATTTAAATACAGAAGACTGGCAAGATCTATATTCTTGATTTATTCCCGCGAAAACAATGGCTAAGTACACTGTCCAACTTAGTATGCCCCACCAGGGTCTTTTCCGTTATCGCACTTACATTATTAGGCAACATACTACCCTCAACAGATCTAGGAGGCACTGGAGGATATCATTCCCTAGTATAAAGAGTGTTTATTATTACATCTGAGAGGCGGATTAGCTTCTCCTAGAGATAAAAGGCACGACGTGGCCTAGGACATTTCCGACTGCTCTCAGATATAGAAAGGAGGTCCACACGTACAATAGAATGACTGTAATAGATTGTACTCGGTGCCCGGAGTTATGGAGACACGCTAACATTTTTAATCTATGGAAAGTCAGCTGAGGTTGAAGCTTACCTGAAAACCAAGACGCTAAGCCAGGCCTATCTGGAAAACTAGTCCTCATTTGTTCGCAGGGTGCGAGCAGATTTGAGATTTAGAGGAACACACCTCGGAACTATTTTAATTTAGTGCTACACTGTTTCACTCAAATATCAACTCTGAAAATCAGGATGCCTGAGGCACCTTCGGATATCCTAGTCCCGCAGCGATCTGATATATCACATTCAGGGGCTAAGGGACACGTAGACATAAGGAAGCGTTTGTCTACGCTCTCTCTCCTAGATAGATGAACGTACTCACCATGCGATACTAGATCGCACCGATAGTTTCAATATACTATCCAGTCACCGCTATCCTAGCACCTCACAACATAGCTTCTTCCCCGAGATTCTCAACAAACTCCTATATTATAAATTAATTTATTTGGAAATTATGTATCCCACCCTATGGCTCCTTCCGTACCAGCAAATCTAAAGGCTAAATAATGTTCAGTCTGGGCTGACGACGATAAGCAGGAAGTTACGAGAACATTCCACAACCAGGGGTTTGATGGCCCAATACGGGAGGAAGGGAGAAATCTAGCAACTGATTCGACTCACCTGATCGAGGATGAGCTATTCATCAATGAGCTTGGAGCTCAGTAAAAGCCTCCCACACAAATATTTGGGAGAAGCAGCTCTCACTTGTCCGCAGTTCAATCCATAAACTGCCTTACTACTAGAATCCTTGCGGCTTCTGAACCTATCTGCTCACATATGTGCAAAGGAACCGGTCTAGTCCAAAGTCGGTTAGCATATCACGCATCATACACTATCGCAAATATAGTTTAAGGCTTCTTGGCTCAGTCTGTCATTGAGGCGAGCATAGGCTCACTGAGGATGGCTCCATAGAGGAAGGTTCTCGCTAAGAGCAATTTCTGGTTGGGTTTTACTGGCTATGCGGCCAAATGGTACAGCTGTGGGTACATTCACCAATTGTTGAATAAGGGCTCTTCATACCCTGGGAAGTGGAGCATGATATGAATCCCTCTTAGTTCTTAGAAAGTCTCAACAAGGATCTTTCCTCAGCCAGCCCTCAGCACTGCAGTAGTATGTTGTGTATACAGATAATGTGCACTACAGCCGTTGACAACAAACCCGAATAGTCATCTTCCAGTATTAATTTCCGAGTATAAAACGGTCACATCATAATTCATGTCTCATGCGTTGCTTCTCACGCTCAAAACAGTTAAGACGCTTGTCTCGGCTCTTCTCTGAGCAGACCTCTCGCTTGCATTTCTGATTAGGTGAAATGCTACCCAGTGGTATTCGTCGGGTTTGCAACGTTGCCCGCTCAAAATCAATGAATATCACCCGTCCATTTTCCTCAACCGTGTTGCCGGGCATTGTATCATCCTAAAGCACGCATAGGTCGTGAATAGCCTGCAAGGATTTCTCCAGCGTCATCATCATGACCAAATGACCTCCGGTCTTGCGAGGAATTATAGGACGTAACGACAGCAGACTTTGGATTGGTATAGCATGGATTGCCTCGACTCGGGTTACATGTCGGGGGAATAAATGTAGGTATTTATGGTGTTTCTACTAGTATGGATTATGAAGGAGAGTATATATTAAGTTGGATAGTCGAGCAGATAACTTTCGAATACAGAGTTATATGATAGTCGGTATTTATAAAAGAACTGAACTTGATAACTGGCGACTTTATTATTTTCCATAGGTTAAATAGATAAATATAAATATTATATACATACGTCACCCCATCTTCTCCTCCACTGCAATAACCTGCTTACTCCCCTCTTGTCCATGCAAAACACTCATCGCTACAGGTCCTGTAAATCGTCTCCTCCCTGATGTGACCTAGGTAACTAGCGCAATTAATGCAACGACGCCAATCGCTGCACTGATATATCTCATAGAGTCGTGACTGACAGGATATGTAGTGGGAAAGTTGAACGTAATAGCTGTAAAAAGCAGAAACAGGAGTCCGAGAATATTTAGAGAGTGAGATAGACTAAGTCAGGGCAAAGGGTCCTTTCATGGTTGTTATATGTCCGGTTATATATCCCATAAGACGAGATGAGAGGGCCTTGGCGTAGAAGAGATCTATTTATAATTATATTAGATACTGTTCGTCATGTACAAGGAACGTAGGAAATAGAAAGGAAAAGCAAATAAAACCCTCCTGTCGCAATTATAATTACTGTTTCAAACCCCGTGGTAGTTCCGAAATTAATTATATCCAGAGCCAACTGCATCATCAGTGCCAGGAGCACCGCGTTGACAGGGACCTAATATTTGGGTTCGACTTTAGCCAAGACAGCTGAGAACGGCAGCCTATAATCTGGTAAAACGTAGATAGATTACGATCCCTCTGCAAGGATATTATTCCCCGCGACTAGTATAATAACAGCGACCATACTAGCTAGGAGACAAGTCCCTACTTTGCTTCCTGTGGGGCTGTAAAAAATTTGAAGGACTGGTATACTAGTAGTTGTGTTCGCAGTGCTATTAATGTCGCCGATCTAGAAACACAGAGTTAGTAAATATACAAACACTGTTACCGCGCAGATTTCAGTGTTAATATCTGATGTTGACGTCCATTAAGCTTCTCCTTTGCCTTGTTTGTTTATCGCTATTCATTTCTGGGTTACGCACAAACTCTGTGGTGGCCAGCAGCCAGGTGCGACTTCCTCAGAGCGACCCTGCATGGCGATATTCATATTTAGGCTAGGACAGGTCAATGAGTTCTGCTACTACTACTACAATCACAAAGGAAACAAGCAAAGCTGTCCAAAATGGGTAAGTGTGGAAGTGAAAGAGAGGGGTGAATACAAGGATCTTCAAGAGCTGACTATACCACATGTTTACTGGCCAAAATAGCTAGCAAAAGACACATAATTCTATTATATTTTCATTCCTTCAGTACCTCTTACACTGCGAGCATGTTACTATTTGAAAATTCTTGTATGTGCAGCTGATATATGATAACATTGGAAAAAATAATAATTGATGCCAATGGTCTTGTTGTCAAAGCTTACACATTGGACTTAGTTCCACATTGCCAAGTTCACTCATCTTGGATTATTTTCTTAGCAACTCCCAAGTCTTTCTTCCTGAATTATGTACGGCCTTTTCAGGCCATCATGGCTGTGGACGGAGAAGCTCATTGGCTTTTTCTCACCATTACAAACAGGGACGGAGGGGTCCAGCCACGACCCATTTCCGTCAAAGAGATTGGCCTCGAATTTGGGGTCCTGCTTTGCTCATTAGCCGACTGAACAACTGTTGGCCCTGGTGACTTTGTCGGACACGAAGTTGGTCCTGGTTAATCCCTTACACACTTTGCGCCTCCGGTGTAACTGCTTGTCCGATTGGACCCTATCCCCCAAAAGCCCCCTGGCGCCATGGGAGCATCAGGCTCCATTACACTCAAGGCTGATGGAGAAGACATTAGTTAGTTATGCTATTTGTGTTACAGAACCACGTACAGGGAGAAAAGTTTATCTGGACTGGTCTATCCCTGCATATTATGTTGATCATTTTAATATCAGTTAGAACATGCAGATGTAAAGCCTGTGTAAAAGGGGAGAAGAGAACCTCATGCCCTAGCTAACTTCCAGGCTGCCCCTTAAGGACATATTTTGCCAGCACATAGTTAACCATTCCACTTTCAGTACTGGACACTTATGGCTAGCTGAATGTGAGTTTCAGTTCCTGTACTACGCAGAATATACTTACACACAGGGTGGTTTTCTATATGCCGATAAGGCTCGATATGGTATCGATTGTTTTCAACAAACTAAAAGGCTTGACAAAATGAAGCATTTTTGATTAATAAATTATTTTAGAACTCTCTGAAGCACATAGGTATTAAGATCTTTATCTGATCAGATGCTTCTGCTTTTTGGTAAAGTTGTTGTAATTGGTAAAGTGTTTTAGTATAAATTTGGCCTTTTTAAATAGTAACTTTGATATCGTGCTTTTTTAAAATATGGTACCGAAATGCAGTAGCAGATTTCACACTATATAATACCTTAGTATAATGCTTGAAGCAGGGTTTCACGGCGCTGTGCAATCTGACTATATAAAGCGAGAACAGTTCAAGGATACTGTCCTTAAATATTAGTCTTTTGCTCCTGGCGCAGTGGTTTTCTCAATCGAATGTTCCCGATTGGGTAGGCCGTGACTGGAATGGTGTGACAGGAATGGTGATATCTAGTGCATATATGGCGGTCATATTCGTGGTGAAATTTTGCACGATACTATTATTACATATATCGCTGCAATAACTAAGCCACCTGACTCGCTAAGCTAAAAAGCTACAAGGGGATGACTGAAAAGTAGTTCCTGTGTATGAGGTTGGTGTTAGTCACAGAATGATTACTGGTGCCACTTGTACTTTGCATGTAGATTAATAATGCATAAACATATCACACTGCTACCAGCTTATTCCCTTTAGAAGTCAGTGAGGGATTTTCTAACAGTCTAAGCTGTGGCAGTCTGAGAAAGAATAAAATTATGGCCAGTTGAAGACTACGTATCAAGTAACCTAGTCTGTTTATGCCGAACTAAGTGCAGGGGTGCAACTTTGTCGTATGGCTACCATCTAGGAACAAAAGTATTAATATTCCTTTTATCCCCTTTGCTGATAGCAGACCTTCTATTACCTTGAGAAGATTTATACTTAGCAGCCACCTTCAGTTGCAGAAACCTTTCCACTCTAGACCTTAACAGCATAATGCGCTTTCTCCAAATTACTACCCTCCTTACTCTTCTTGCGCGTCTGGGTTTAGCCCAAGGTGATAACAGCAAGATCATTGTAGGTTATAAGGCTCTTCCTTTAATCAACAACCTCTTCTTGAACTATTTAATTCTAACTACTAAGTAGGTCCAAGTGATTGCAGGGAGAAGCAGAAGCCAATTCTACCCAGAATCTGGTGAATGCATCTTAATTGGTGTTAAGTGAGTATATAACTAAAGTTAACTTCTCCTCTTAATCTAATAGTTGGGCAGCGGGGCAGACAATGTACAGAACACAGCCAGGTGTACTCTCTACAGGTATATTATAAATAAAACTAAAATTTGGAGAATAATATTAACATATATCTTAGAGATCCGGATTGCCTAAAGCCGATTGCCAATTTTAAACCGGGCGCCCACAGGGTCTCTCCTCCTGAGAATATTGGGAGTGTGGAATGCCACGATGAAGAGGAATAGCACTAAGTTGGCGATTGCTATATGTGAAGTCTGGAACTTGGTATAATTAGCCTTTTTATTTAGACGGAGGGTATGCCTTTACAGTGTTGTCTCCTTGGTATGGGTTTTTTCCCCCTCACGCTAGGTTTTCCCATATTGTAATGCGAATGCAGAGGAGAAATAGTATTTTATCAGTTTTTGGTTCGGAAAATCTATTACCTGATATCTTGTTTCTGGAGTAACTTGTCATAGGATATTTCGATAAGCTCCTGAAACAACATTGCGTAGTTGCGACAGGGCTCCAGGCTCCAGAGCAGAAGTAACACCAGCCATAAATTCTTTAGTACAGATATTTGGTTCATTCAGAAGGGTCTCTGTATCCATCTTGTACATCCCTCGCTAGGAAATTACGTCTTCATGAGATCACCAAGGCTATAATTGGGAACTATAAAAGCTTCATAAAGGTATGCCACGCCAAACAATTGATCTCACAGTTGCACGTAGAGTTCTTGGTCTTCACAGCGTGCTACTGCTATGTGCTGATAAGCAGTAACTCTGTGTAAATATTGTGGACGCGTATGCAACGTCTGGAAAGTGCAGAGTTAACCCAAGTACCGCCACTGCCAACGATATTGGCTAGATGCTCAGATGCGTATTGATCTCGAACCTACAGACTACTACGTGGCGCTGGAACTGGAGGGAGCCGAAATCGATGGGAATAATTAGGACTTATTTGTAAGAGGCTGTGAGGATAAGTTCAATTTGTTTGCAGTGATTTACAGGGAGTGTGTTGGATATCACGCGGTGTCTACCTAGAATAATGAAGATGCCCAAAGGTCGGCATCCATGCACCAGATTATCTGATGCGGGAGTTTCGCGCTTTCCTCTTCTCCTCGCACATTCTACGAACACTACAGAAGTTCCATCAAGCTTTTTCATCACAACCTATTAAATTCACCCCGCCAAGTCTTCGATATCCTTCTACGATGACGAGAGATAATAAACAGCGGGCAGAGCATGCCTCTCTTACCTGAGCTATCGCTTGTTTCATTAACGAGAAGCTCGTTCAGAGTCGTTTCACCAACTCCTCTGTCATCATCTCTCATCCTGCCTCTGATGAGACTATCACGGTCAGCTTAGCGTCTGTCCCAGTGTTTGAAAGCTTTGTGCATACGTCTGAGATCGGAACCGACGTGAGACATGGGGATACTCCGGTGAAAAATGGAGCCAGCGTGATGAGGATCTACGGGACGTGGGCGAATATCGACCTGGAACGATTTTGCTTGGAGATCGAAAATTCAACGGAAAACCAAGCACTCGCCTATAGCAACCCTCAACTCAACATTGATTCACCACCCATCGACTGGGAGCAAGGCCTACAGGAGGGTCACTCTCTACACCCATTACACAAATCCCGCTATCCCATCATATCCGACTTTCGCACGGCAAAGTTATATTTTGTGGCAATTGAGTCATCTGTCGTCCAGGTTGAGGGAGATTATGAGCACTGGATCCAGCAACTCTTGCCGGGTACTACAATGAATCAACGAGATGTAGTATTCCCTGTCCATGAGCTCCAACTCATCAGTGTTGAGCGTGTTCCCAAACGCTCGTGTCTTGTCGAAGACTGTGAATGCCGCAGATCTCTCTGCGAACCCTCTCTCTTCCTTCCAACGTCGGACTTTTGTGTCAAGTTACCCGTGGATTTCAAAACCCAGCAAATTGTGCGGACCATGGAGCCGTGGGATATCATGATGGGCCAGAGTCTCAGCCCAATTCTCCCGTTGATTGAAAGCGCAGCCAAGGAATACGGGGGCTCCCTAATGATGACGCGTGAGTACGCTGCGGCCGCCTCCTCCAGTGAGCACCTAGGCTGTATCATCCGCGAGAGTACCGAGCCGCAGGCCACTATCGGATCATCGTCTGCGCAACGCTGACGGAGAACGTGGATGCTATTTGGGGAGATAAACCCGACAAGATTGCGATTCTGCGGGAGTACAGCGATCAGTTCCTCCGCGCTGTTTTGCCCCCAGTGTTCAGTCACGGCCTTGGCCTGTCCGCCCATCTCCAGAACTCTCTTGTGCGGCTGGATCCCAAAACCAAAACAATTAAAGGTTTCGTTGTCCGAGACCTTGGCTTCCTGAAGGTCCACCGACCTACATTCACCAGGTCGACGTCATTAGACATCAACGTACCGAAGAAGAGCATGTATGCCGAAAAACTAGAGGACGTGTACTGGTACCTCCTCAGTCCGGTCATCAATGGTCATTTGTCATACTTCGTTCGTGAGCTGCATCCTGGCCTTGCCGGGTGGAAGATTGTTCGTGAAGTATTGGAACGTCTCATTCCTCAAAACAACACAGCAGCAAGGCATGTTTTGCTGGAGAGCCCTGAATCCCTCTCTAAGTCAAACATCACGATGGAAATCCATGGGTTTGACAAGTTATATCCACATATCGCCGTCCCAAATCCTTTGTATCATTGCAAGTTCGCTGGTTAGCAGCCGGACCGCCAGTTGCTGTAGTTTTCAACATGCAATCTTGCATGGACAGGCTGGGAATGCACAACCTACACGCCACCTTGTATCCAAGAACCTTGATGATGCGTCTTAATGGCACTACTACCCGCAAGGAATCAGTTGCAAATAGTCAAAAATTATTAAACACAGGGGAGTCAACCCTTATTTCATGGATTATAGATATGGATCGTCGTGGCCTGCTTCTCCAGATGTAAACTATACGATACCTAGCCCAGCTATTTCTCTTTGCCCGAAATCTATCTGCTTCAGCTATCAGAGGGCACTGGGTATTAATGTTTATTAAACGCCACCCGGAAATCAGCTCAAAATACACCAGACGGTATAATTATCAACGGGCAAAATGTGAGGATCCAGATATTATTCAGGAGTGGGTTACTACTATTATTGCAATTAATACATCTGGATGGGTGCTACCACCACAGATTATTCTTGCTGGCCAGAATCATCAATCTTAGTGATATAATAATATACGAAAGCGCTGTCGCATCTCTGAGAGCAAGAATGGATGGACAAATAATAATATAGGTTTGGATTGGCTACAAAATTGCTTTGATAATTATACAGCACCACGTACAGTAGGGAGATAAATTTTAGACGGACACAGCAGCCACGCCACTGCAGAGTTTAATAAATTTTGTATAAATAAAAAATTTATTCCTTTTTACTTACCTCCTTATTCTTCACATCTTCTACAGCCACTAGATGTGAGCTGCTTCTCGCCATTAAAATATCTCTATAGCCAAAGGACTGCAGATATGATGCAAAAAGGAATCTACTTTATTAAAAAGCAAGGGTTTTTTTTTTTTTTTAGCAATCTATCCTTCTGTTTATCTCAAAGCTTTATTATTATTAAATATTCAAAGTGGCTTTGAAGCAACTGGTCTTGTGCCACTAAAATCCGAGACTGTTCTTTCACAGCTTGATATTCAGCTTAAAATACCAACTTCACTGTCCACAGTGTTAGGTCTGCATGTGGGCTGTAACATTCGGCTCCTGTATGGCATGGAGTTTTTGTCAGTAGGGTTATGGTGACACAGCTTCTGTGCTGCCCTTGGATCTTGTTACCTTCGGGTTAATATACCTTTGATTGATTTATTGGTTGATGTAAAGCTAAAGTACTCTTATTAAACTACTAGGACTTGAGATCTAGTATATATATATAGCCACGGGGGAACTTTAGATATACTCTGTTCGATACCTGTTAAGCGTGAAAAACAATTTTGGTAAAAGCTGATATAACTTTAAGCTGGTTCGGCGTGAGAAGCTTCAGAAACCAGGTCTGCTTCTTGGCGGGCGAGCCTTTCTACCCACAATATTTTGGCACAACTTCCAGCTCGAACTTCAGGGCACTGTTACAAACGTTGGCTGGTTGCGTTGAAACACGGACTTTTTGGCAGACTCTGTAAGCAAAACTGATTAAGGCAGTTGTGGAACTTCCTTATACTCCTAGTCTTGTCTCCCTTCCAAGCTCCCCAAGCATGTAGAGTAATAAACGTTATATTTATTAATACAGTTCTATTGTCTATGAAGAGCGCAAATCAACAGTCGGGAGAATGCAATAGATCATGTACGTCTCTGGGTCCCGGTTAAAGGAGGCTTCGTCGAAGATGGCTCAGTCTAAATAAAAGCTGAAAGAATCCACCAGCTGTATCTCTCCAAGTTGGGACGATGAATTTCAGGGATCTCTTGGATTTATTGTAGAACCATAAAACATATCACACATCAGAGCTATCTAGAAGATAGAAGGGGTGATCCCTCTGTAACAGGCTTAAACCCAGGTATTTATGCGGAATACAATCTAGCGACCATTTAATCCAACCAAAGCGAGCAATCAGCATAACACCTCGACGCCTTTTTTTGCTGGCACCCAAATCATAACCAATAACTCGAGACGATGATGGTAATGGAATATTAAAGGGACCCGTCGTCTTTGCCTGTCCCTGTGAAATATCGATTGCATGTACAAGGGGACAATAGTGTACAAGTAAAGCTATTGCGACGCCGAATTAATACATGTCGGACGACCCTTACCATGCTACAACATTACCATCATCGATGAAAGATTGAACCCGTTGCCAACAGGATGGCAAGTAAGATTTGCATTGGTGGACCTGCTGTTGCACTGGGCTATCTGAATCGCGATGTCGAGACGAGCAATCGCTTTATTACTCTTGACGGGCTCAGGTGTTACCGAAGCGGTGACTACGGCAGGATCCTGAGCGATGGGAACCTTGAGTATCGGGGACGTATCTCTGGTAATTTCTCAGATCAAACTTCGGGGAATGCATCTAGAACTGGATGGTATCTCCAAAGTTATCATCCAGTCCTCCGAGGGGTTGTTACCGATGCGGCGGTCATTGCCAAGGGTGATTCCAATCAGTGTTTGGTTGCTTTTGTTGTATTTTCCCATGCTCTTCGATCGGTAGATGTCGACAGCTTCACCAGAGCACTTATTAACGCTTTGCCATTGCCAACCTACGCAAAACCTGCGACGATCATTCCTGTTGATCCATTCCCCTCACTGATAGTGGGAGAGAGTACTTCGATCTAATCAGCAAAGAACAAGCAGTAGAGCATGTTATTGACAAAATTGACTTGACAACAGACGGCATGGATGGTGGCGTTCGCTTCTCACATGTATGTGGCGAGATAAGATTTAAGGTAGGTATGTTAAAGGAGTACACGGAGGAAACAGAGGGTGCTGCTTTCCAGCAATTGCCATGGAAAGGATGGCTAGTAAGAGCTCGATACTACGGGCTACATTCGGGGGTTTGTGCTTATTTAGAGAATCTGGATGGTGGAGACAAGCTAATAATGCCATGGCTTCACACGAACGAGTGCGTTTAATGACGGCCACGACGCTCTTATGGGATGTATTATTTACATGGCAGTCAGGTTGCCAGTTCCTGTCAGTTTTAGCACAAATGCAAATTTTGAACGAGCCCGTTTCCAATTAGTTCTTTCTGGAGTAGTGAGAAATGTAGAGTCACGTGATATAACATATCTGCCTCAACACCATAGGATTACGCTGATAGAGCCACTCACTATGATGCTTAGTTTGTCTAGTATATTTAATAAACCACGTGACTATAAAATTTTGGACTAATAATATCACAGCATTTTCTGTCAACAGTTGGTTCTATTTTTTTATTTTTTCGGATGGGCTAAACTAAAAGTAGGAAGGTACGAGTTGTGGCAGGAGCAAGCGAGTTGTGGCTGTATCACGTGTCCCTGTCGATTCCGTCCCTCGCAACTAAACGGCTTCATACTCACTCTATTAGGTAGTCAAGCGTTTAAAAGAGCCGTCGGGTTGGCGGCCATGCTTCTTCGTTATCTCTCTACACCATGTCAACCTTTGATGGAATAATTCAGGGTACGTGTAGATTCCTTGAAATCATAGCTGTTCTCTAATGCTTCCGTAGAATTTCCATACATCCAAAGTCAGCAAGATATCATCTTTAGAATGCCTCCTTCATCAAGTCTAACAGACATCCAGTTGATTATTTCCGCAAAAGTCCCGACAGACCACCCCCACTTGCGTGCTTCCTCAGCCATGTCCATAGTGACCACCTCCAAGGACTGGAGTCTTTTCGGGCTCCCTTCATTTACTGCTCGGCAGCAACTAGAGAGGTACCATTTTTGAACATTCATATCTGTCCATTGTGAGTCTCTAGGCTTATCAGTTTCTCAGTTGCTCTTGCATATTGAAAAGTATCCCCATCGGATGAACTTCAGCAAAGGCATTCTAGAGTCTCGGAGGCTACACTACAAGCATTTATCCAAGCTCTTGGTATTTAACTCTTTAATGTTCTTCATTCATTGGCTAACTTAGACAGAGACCCATTCCTTTGGACACGCCCACTGAGATCGAACTTACTCCTCGGCTGTCGATTCGAGTTACTCTTCTGAATGCAAACCACTGTACGGGAGCAGTAATGTTCCTTATTGAGGGCAATGGAAAGGCTATCTTATATACTGGTGACATCCGTGGTGCGTATCTGCTAGAAAAATTCAGCCAGCTTGTCGTATCCTTTTCACTTACGAAAAAGCAGCTGAGTCTTGGTGGGTGAACAGCCTCATCCGACATCCAGTGCTCATCCCATACACATTGGGAACAAAGCGACTAGATATGCTATACCTCGACAACACATTTGCTCGTCCATCATACGTTCGTCATACCTTTCCATCAAAAGCGGAAGGGCTGGCAGAGCTGTTGCAAAAGGTTGCGCTCTATCCAAAAGACACTATCTTTTACTTCCGAGCGTGGACATTCGGTTATGAAGAAGTCTGGGTTGCACTCTCCGCGGTCCTCAATTCAAAGGTGTGTGTTTTAATACGTGTTCGTCAAAAAATTTTGTGTTGTACTAATGAAAAAGATCCACTTGGATCGATATCAAATAGGTCTTTATAGATCCCTTGTCTCTTGCTCCCGAGTTGATGCGAACGAGGCCTCCGCTCTTTGCGGCTATGAACTTGGGAACAGATTTGTTTCTGGCTGCCTAAGTGAAGATGAACAATCTCGTATTCATAGTTGCGAGCCGGGCGTTACCTGCTCTGCAATCTCTTCTTCAAAGCTTGTCTACATCATCCCCATCGTTCATCGCGCCAAGGATGGGTCGAAAGTTCCTGAACTTGGAATAGGGGGCGGCGGTGGTGACCTGTATCAGATCCATGAGCTTGAGATACCAGATGAGTCAACTCTAGAGCAACTGGACAAGCTTTGCCTCGAACAGATTCATGACTCTCAAGTCCTCTCTCAGACAAGAAAAACGCTCGTCGAAGCGTTCAGGTCCAAGAGCAAGACACTTTCACTCGACAATTACAGGGCGAAAAATGTTCAGAATATTTCACTAGAAAGCCTCATTCATATCCTCAGTCGTGGCCACTCCAAGGAAAACCTGGGACTAGATGCAATGCAACGCTTGTCCGCAACAAATGACAAACAGGGACACACCCTCCCAAATACAATCGTATGTTATATTCGTCCCTGCCTAGTAGAGTATTTAGGATGCATTTAACATATACAAGCATTTCCCATACTCGCGCCACTCATCCTACCTCGAGTTATGTGAGTTAGTTTCAGCGCTTGGGCCGAAGGACATTATCCCTTGCACAGTTGACCCCCATACAGTGGACATGGGCGTATCCATGCAGCAACTATTCGGTCATCTCTGTTCTGGGTAGTTCAGCTTGTGAGCGAAAATTTAATGGACAACAGTACTAAATTATGAGGTAAGACACGGAGATTCATGGCTCTTGGGCTCAGCGAGCCCAAGACAGCGTTGTCATAACAGAAGAAAACTCAACTTGCCATCCTGGAAATTGTCGCTAATACCATTCAAATAAGGCTTCAGAGCAGGTTCGATGAGCTCTTATTTTGGCTTCGTGGCTGGCTATCGTGGATAGAATGGACTAACCAAGTTGGTTAGACTCGCTTCGAACCACAAGTACCAGCCCTTGTTCGGCCAGATAGATGCTGCATTAAGATACACAGTGCCTTGACTCCGATCATCCTGACTCGTCCCGCAAGCCGGCTAATTGATGCGGCGGCCGGCCTGGCGGTGTTGATTTTTCTGTGTACACGATTTTTGTTTGGCTATGTTGACATTCCACTGCGACGCGGCAAATGTGAACGCGACAATGCGATAAAAAGCACTCTTGGCAATCGTGGGCAACTCCGTCTTTTATCTCTAATGTTGATTCAAATAACCGGACGGGAAAAAAAAAAAAATAATAAATAAATAAAAGAAAGAGTAACAAAGAGTTACTTGTTGCGAGAACCGTATGATTCTTTAGTCGAGCATGTAGTGCAGTTAATAAGCGTAAACCACAATTCCAAAAAGTCTCCATCGGATTAGCTCGGGATTCCTTCCGATCATTACGATCTCCCCTCAGCAGTCAGCCTGCTCTGTACGGGGCATATGTCTACTAGTTCGTCGAGTATATTGTTCTGGTTGGCACAATGTCTCCTAACCTCTCCACTGTTAGCACCAAGGAAATGATCCAGAGATAAATAACCTCGGTACGCTTGACCTTCGGCATAGTAGTGTCAATTACGGTGGAGTGTTGAAATCCAACGCATAACAACTCAATATAATGAAGGTCTGATTTCCTAATTAAGCTGATCAAAGGCTCTATTTATATGACCGAATAGGTAGACCCCGGCGGGACCCGCGGGTTGTTATGACCTACGACACAGAGATGGAAATGAGATCAGATCGACTCTATTCGGCGCCTGCAACAAGAATACTAAAGCATGGAGAGTAAAGAAAGAGGAACGAGGTGAACAATAGGGTAGATATCCTCAACTACCACGGTCCATCGTTCCCCTTCGACCAGACATGGTAGATAGATAGAACAAACAACGAGCCTTTGCAAACAAACGCTGCAAACCGTCAACGCAAACCGACTCTGCATCGGTCGTTATATCACCACACGAATAGAATCTTACCGTTGGCCGGACTTGCCTTTCACCCCTTCAATCCTACATAATGGAAGGCTGGTTGTCGCACTTGGAAGCGCGTCAATATTTGCAACAGCCCCGCGGAGGTCGCTCGAACCCAACCTCCGTTTTACAATCTATTCGCCTAATATCTCTCCTCGATGATTGCCTTGAGCTTTCCACTTTTCTCATGATATACCAATTGGTCGATGTTAACCCACTCCAGCACTAAGGGCGCAGTAGCCCCCCCGATCTCTCTTCCACTTCGGCGACGCTTCCCCAAGAGGCTTGTCGGTCACATCACGGTCATCTGCATTCTCTGGCTTCGCGATCACGAGCCGAAAGACCAACACATACTTAGAATTCTCGCGGCGGACAATACATTGAATGCGCCCAGTGACACTCTCGCCAACCACCCCCGCAACAGTCATCTTAATCAAGGGTAGGTCGAGAAATGTTGTAGCGATTTTCACTGCGATAAGGCTCGCCCGCAATATTTCAAAGTTTGGGCATTGTAGCCTACCCATTCCGCAACGTCCCCTACAGGGTACCGGTAAAAGCGGGCCGGCGTTCTATGGATATGGAAGATAAATAGCTAATGATTGACTCAAATTGCACCATTTCCGGGGTCATTGATTAAAAACCCATTAACTAGTTACTTTGATACTCCGTGTGAATTCCGAACTCCGAGTCGGAATTGAATGCTGTTGCTATACATCCACGCAGCTCCCCTCGTGTATTGAATCAATCCCCTTGCATCCTTCTACTGCTTCTCAATTCTAGCCTCACTCCTGCCAGATAAATATTACCCAAAAGCGTACTACTCCATGACGTCTACCTCTGAGGTGAGACCGATGGTGGATAAGCTGCAGATAACCGGTGAGTCAAAAGTTACTTCGGGTACTGCTGCATCTGTACGTCCCCCCGATCCAACGCGGGGCGCTCTTGTATAATGTGGATATTGACTGACTTCTGAGCTACTACCAGTTTCAAACTGATAGTCTCGATGATCATATAGATCCAAAAAAATGGCCGCTGCGTCGGAAATGGAAGGCTATGCTCGGCATCTCATCTTTTGTCCTCATGAGTCCACTTTCATCAACGATTGTAGCGCCTAGCTTGCCGAGTATTGCCAGAGACTTGTCAATCTCTCAGCCTGCAGAACAATCAATGGTACTCTCCATTTTCGTGCTCCCTTATGCCTTCGGGCCCTTGATTGCAGGCCCTTTGTCAGAGATGTATGGCCGAGTACGAGTGATCCAGTCCTGGAATCTGCTATACCTCGTCTTCAATACCGCTTGTGGTGCTGCGCCATCAAAGTCAGCTATGCTAGCTTTTAGGTTTCTTGCAGGCTTCTTTGGAAGTGCTACACTCGGTGTACGTTCTCTTGGTTGACCTTCTTCCGGGGCGCTTTTTCACTGACCATTCATCCAAATTAGATCGGCGGCGGGACATTGAGTGACCTTTTTACCGCCGAGGAACGTGGTAAAGCAGTTGCGATCTACAGTGTTATTCCCTTACTCTCTCCAGTCATTGGCCCTATTGTCGGTGGCTTCATTGCCCAACACATATCATGGCATTGGGCATTCTACATAGCCTCACTGCTGGACGTTATTATTCAAATCCTGGGCATTTATTTCCTCGAAGAGACGTATGTGCCTGTGTTGCTACATAGGAAACAGATGCATTTAATGCGGACGACTGCGCTGGATCACCGGCTCCACTCTAAAACCAGGGAGGCACTGAAGGGACTCCGGAGTCGGCTGAGGACCAATCTCGGGCGAGCGGCTCTCCTCCTTACCACCCAGCCAATTGTCCAAGTTTTTGCCCTGTACAATGCATTTCTCTATGGGATTATCTACATCTTATACACCATCTTTCCAGATCTGTACACGGAGGTCTATCACGAGTCAGAAGGGATAGTTGGTTTGCATTATCTCTCTATGGGGGTCGGCATGACCATTGCGGCTCAGGGTTTTACTTATGTCAATGATCGGATCTTCGCTTCCCTGAAAACCAGGTATAGTGGAGTGCGTCTGCCAGAGTTCCGTGTGCCACCGATGGGCCCGGCGACTCTGCTACTTGCCGGAGGGCTTTTCTGGTATGGCTGGAGTGCCCAGTACAAACTCCACTGGATCATGCCGGACATTGGTAGTGGCCTCTTCTGCATCGGGGCCGTGGTGTGTGGTATCTCCGCCAATGCGTACATTATTGATACGTATGGGAAGTTCTCTGCCAGCGCTCTGGCAGCAGTAGGAACCCTACGAAGTCTAACCGCATTTGGTTTTCCACTCTTTGCTCCTTACATGTAGGTGGTTCATCGATACGCCTGGGATATTTGCTGACGAATGCGCAGATTCAAGGCATTTGGTTACGGGTGGGCTGGAAGCCTCCTCGGGTTCTGTGCTTTGGGCATCGGGTTGCCTTGTGTAGCAATTATATGGTTTCATGGCAACACATTACGTCGACGAAGCACAGTTTTAGCTTCTGATGGTGAAGGGAGTAGAGTGTGAACTATTATAGATGATTGTTGAATATATAGGTCACCTTTTTCCAAAAATCTGTGAATATTATTACATACTGCTACTACATATCATGCATTATGCATGTATGTGGGATACATGTCCAATACGGCATTCTTCTAGACCAAAAATTTTACCAGTTACAACCATGTTCTTTTAAATCAATTGGGAGAGGATGGGAATTGCTAAATTTGATTAATGAACATGCCTCTTTATCCGTAAGAGATCGTGGTTCGGACTAAAAATTTCCTTTTGTGGTAAGTCATACATACTCCGTGCGCGGGGCAGTCGGAATGATTCCAACTCACTCTTTCTTTCTGACCAGATTCCTTCTTCTTGAACACTACGAGTACCTAAGTGTGTCGATGAGATGCATCGACGAAATGGAAAGCCTTCGTCATGCGAGCCATGCCGGCTGTCCAAAATCCGCTGTGACCATGCAAAGCCAACATGCGCGAGATGTCTTGCTCGGGGCGCTCCAGAACAGGTACGATTAACGACGTTCCTTCGATCAAGACAAGTTTAAACCGACGTGAGAACAGTGTTTCTACCACCCAGCACCAATGACTCGTTCCACCACAAAATACCGCCACTACCCAATGCAAAAGCAGCCTGCTCAACGACTCTCGAGGAGCGCATCACGAAACAACCTCCCGAGAGAACGATCTCCCGACCAAGGACAAACTCCGAATATCGAGAAATCAAAATCAAGTCCCAGTCGTCCTGGATATCTTGGAGCGTCAAGTTTTGTCTCTGTATTTCCTGAATTCTCACCTGCTATTTCACCCGCACCAACACTTTCTTGGGACCGTAACTCTTCCCGATTTGGTTTTGTGAGATGTCAACTGGGAAAAATCACAATGTCCTTTCAACATTTAGAGCGGATCATCCTCCAATACTATGATGGCGACTATTTTACCGTCATTCCGCGACCATTGATACTGGACCCAATCTTAGCGCTTCTTCGAGAACTTCGAGAAAGAGCGGATGGTGAAAACTTTCTGGAAGCCTTGCACGTAAATGCCGAGCAGAATTTGCACAGAAAATTTCCCAGTATAACTGTTCAGACGAGCGTGGATGACTTTCTCGGATATTTCACGGGGCACAACTTCAGGATGGAGTTTGTTGGTCTTATCTTTGCTCTCGCAGGAGTCGCTTCCTCCTACGTGGAAGTCGAAGATGCATTCGCACAGCAAGATTTCGCTGCGGACATGTACGCAGCTAGTAAGCTTTGCACTGATATGTGTGGGGAGAATAATCAAGTCAATGATCTTACTGTCTGGTTGCGATATATGAATGCTGTTTTATCATCAAATCTCTCTGGGGATGCAAGTATGGGGCTTTTTTATATATCTTCCATTTAAGTCACTCTAACACTTCCAACAGGCGCCATGTTGTATCACCGATTTAATGAGTTTGCCGCGGAACTTTTTATTATGGGTTTTCATAAACTTATATCAACCTCACCTGACATCCCTTTCTTCATCCTGGAAACTCGCAAAAGAATCTTTTCTGCGGCGGTAACTCGCGATGCGAGTCTTGCTACTTTCCTAGGGAGACCACCACGGATAGATTGCAATTTTTGCGACTTCGTGATTCCGCTCGACCTAGACGATGACGAGGTGGTGCTTGAGGGCCACTCTCTGGATGCAAGTCTAAAAACATTAGATTCAGAAGGGTGGAAGCTTATAACGGGCACAAAAAAACTTTTCCGGCCAGCAACGAGGATCCGACTTCGCTACCAACAGGCTATCCTTCGTGGAAGAATACTTTGTCTTTTAGGAGGAAACAAAAAATATTGTCTATTCGATACACTATCGTATGTGATGCTCCAGAGTTCTATAATTTTGTGCCTGACAAGAACGTGCAGGAGTGTATATCAGGAGAACCAGGACACCTGGGCCAGAATTCCATTACAATATCGTTATCAGAGCAGCTCCTGGGAGAAATCAAGTCCGAGCTCATGCGCGACACTTTTGATTGTTTATTTAGAACACCTTTATAGCGGCTTCCAGTCCAGCGACTACTCAGACAAGAGGGCCAATCAACTACTGCCTGCCTTCTGAATACATCTGCAAAGCTGCTCTCCGCCGTACTTGAATTCATTGAGCAGCAGCAGCGCCACCCCAGATTACGAGAGCGATTTACATGGATGGTATACGTCTTCTTCCCACATATTTCTTTTATGGTCTGACTTTCACCTCTAGTTCCTCTTCTATGGCCTTCCTGGCGCTGGAACCCTTGCAAGTGAACTTCACCACTGCACACTTAAGGGGGTCCCTTTTCAATCTTCCACCCCTTGCTCCCGTATTGTCCGTGACTTGAGTGTACTACTGGCATGGTTCCAGCACCAAAATTTTCCAAATCGACCTGATTATCAAGTTTGTCTCCAAATCAGGAATATCATAAGTGCAATGTTAGATGATACCCTGAATAGAGGATTACCATCGCAGAGTGACGATCAACCGGAAAAGCAACAACCAAACCAATATGCAGAGGACTATCCTAATATTCCTGCGAGAAACAACGCGTTTGGGACGATTTATGATGCTCCGTCCATGATCCAACCCCTCCCCGAATCAATGACCAGCCAAGAGTTTCTTAGATTTTTTGACGATCTCATGTGGGACGATCTCGGAAGCAATCCCGCATCAGCATCTCATAGTGTCTCAGTCGTTTCTGATAGCCTCCCAGCCTGTCAGACTTGAGCATCATTGTATTAGCTTAGTATATCAGAGCTAAATAACCCATGGGAAACGGAAGTGTTTCTCATTGGATACCAAGAGGCTTCGACTACGGGAAATTGAAGAAGATAAGAGGCTTAAATGAATTTTTGTAGATATTTTCCGCGAGCTATCAACGGTGCCTATGGGTACATCACAAGTCCTTCTCATTGCAGTGTTCATTGAGCTAGAGATCACTTTTACCTTTAACTCGCGTATTTTGGGTGCTGTGGGATTGAAAATTCTTAAAATGTGTTTACATAAATTTAGACCTCTGGCGTCTGGAAGAGTGATTTGAAAGGTAGGAAACATCCAATGCTCCACTCCCATATTAGCCACTATATTACTGAGATAAATCCCTGCTCTTCACTGCATCTTTCACCTAAACTTGAGATCCTCACAGAAATCGCAAGACAAGCAGTTGTCGTAACCGCTGAAACCAGTTTTGTGAGCCCAGGAGTGGACTGCACGACTGCGTTGAAAATCGAGCCGGGGGACGAGGATGCGGAAGCGGCCATATAACCAGTCGGCATTCGCGCTAGGGGGTGGCCGGCGCATGTGAAGTTCATAGGAAGAGCGGGCTCCTCAGATCCGACAATAATGACAAACCTTGGTATGGAACCCATGTAGCACAGGTTGGATTTTCGTAGGCAGTAGTGTTGCAGTCACTGAATGGGCAAAGCGTCTATCTTACAGTATTCGCTATTTCTACAATTTACCTCTTCCGATTTTTGCAGGGGAAGACCTGTAGCGACGCCAGGTTGCTGTTAAGCTGGCCGACGGATTATAGAAATTGGGAATGGTCAAGTTAGTGTGCACTATGGCGTTTCCAGATGATATTATAGAAAGGCTTCTCGATCACGTATGGATAACCCAGCCCTCGAACATTTGGGGAAAACCTTCATTGCTGGACCGAGTCCAAAGACCCCTTGATACTTTCATTGTCCTTTTAACGCGCGTTACTCGCGACCCATCAGGATTGATGTAATCAAATTCATTTGATGATATAAGCCTTAAGGAGCCCTCTCAATTGACTGTTGTTCAGGAGCCCGCCGTTCGGGCCATAGGCATCCTTTGCCGATGCGCCAATTCCAATGATATTCTCGATTTTCGCCAAAATTATGGGGCTCATATGAAGAAGACTCTTGATCAGCAGGTCATTGTGGCCATCCAGGCGAAATCCTCCCAGGGAGACTTTGGGAAGACGAGTTGAGAAGTGTAAATCAAGATATTTGCAAGAACCCTCTTTAAGTATTTCAAGGATCTCTGTAAACATAGAATCGTAAGCTTGGTGGATGTACGTGTAGCAGGAAACTATTAATAGATAGGCCGGAAAGTTGAGCAACGAGTCGCTTCGAACCACAAGTACCAGCCCCGGTTCGGCCAGATAGATGCTGATGCAGGTATATTTGGCCTTTTAACTAGGGGGGCAGAAGATTAATGGCAATGCGTATATTGTCGTCGTAAGTTACGATTAAGTTGCCATATTTTCTAGAAACGATACAGGAAGGGAGTTACTCTGGCTAACAATAAACCCAGAAAAACCCCCACGGCTCATCAATGTACGTCCTGGAAGATGGGCCCTGGATAAGTCTTGGATAAATAGGGGAATATAATAGACGATTAGTCGACTGAAAGATAATCTTTAAATGGTACTTCGGTAGATATATGGCCTTGATATAAGACTATAAGCACTAAAATTCAAGCTCATAACTAAACAATTATTTGGTTGCATCTTAGAGATAGTAACACTGCTCATGTCAGTTCCCAAGACAATGTGCGATAATACTATAAACAGAGACCTTATATCTAGTCAGAGCCTGGTAAATACTAAGGGCTCTTGGTGCAACTTTTACAGCGGACTAGTTGCTCTGGTCCGGGAAGTTCTACTCCAGGTTCAGCCGAACTTTATGAAACCAATTGATCACCTAAGCATTCAATGGATTTTCACCACGGGTATTAGGAAGTGAGTTAATCCGTTCTCGGATAGATTATTAGTGTACACAGGTCACGCGATTTTAAGCAGTGGTTGAGTAGTTAGTAAGCGACTAGAAAGTGATTGTTGAATTATATAAAATTTATTGCTCGGTCGTATTTATCACTTGGCCGTTGAATATGTTACCTTTTAGTTGGGGATCGGAGTCCCACAAGGAACGATAATAGGGCTTCCTGCTTTCTAATTTGCCACTGAAATCTTCAATTGTTAGAGGATCAAAGATCCGTAAGCCAACACCGATTAACGTGCCGAAAATTGAGCATTGCGAAACGTCAGGGTTTATTTCCAAGCTTGGCGTCCAGGCTACACAGGATCTTATTACCACAAACGACGCTTCAGGGGATAGAATCTTGCTTTTGAATTACTTTCTTCCAGAGAACCATTGATACGCATATGAAACTCAAACGGCACAAATATACACCAACAACTAAAGTATTACAGTACAGTAAACGCCGTAGAGATTTTATATCATTATTTGTATTTTCCTGCTTCGGAACAGCGTAAATTATGCTTGAAAAATATGGGACTCTAATTCGTATAGAACCATTTACAAACTCTCAACCTAGCTAACCAATAATCCTACGTAAACACTGTAACAAGCTCTGTTTCGCAATTAAAATACCAATTCCTTGTACACAAGTACTAATTAGTGGCAATATAATCTGTGGTTGATAAAAAGGAACAGAAAGCACAAGCTCTCTACATGGCTTAGGGTTAGCACTTTTCCTCAGTTGAAGCCGCCACCAGATAAGTTACGGATAATATCAATGTGAAACAACCATGAAATAATAACGCAATTTAAGGTTCTATAATCTCACTATGTCTTTCAAGATGCAAACTGTTCATACAATAAGCTTCGCAAAGTACAGCCGGGAATATCCACTGCAGGTGCTTGTGAATACTACATAGGTCTGTAGCTCCACTGATCTTCCGCTCCCTCGACACTGGAATAAAAAACCGGGAAAGAAGTGGCCCCTAGTCTGTAGAAACTTGCGAATAGAATGGGACACCAAATCCAGAGAAGTTTTATGTTGGCCAAGTATCGACCATGGTTGCAGAACGGCGCAGTTGCCTGATCACCTCATAGCAGAACCTCCTTGGCACTACAAATACTTGGCTCTCGGTGCTTCGAAATCATGAGGTTGTATGGTGGTCCTGCAATAACAATAGTGGACCATTATTCACTATCTTTGCAGTGGCTGTCCCTCACAGCTTGGATGCTCCTGTCTATATAAGCCTGAGTCCTTGTCCGATTCTTTATCTTCGAGTTGCTCTTCTATTCCTCTCTACTATTAACAATTCTATCTACATCTCTGTTTACGCATTACGCAGTACATCCTATACGGTTGCAGAAGATGAAAAAAGACTTCGTTGTGTGGATGCTATCCACAATCTTGTTCGGTTCTTTAGCTGCGTCAATGAGTATCATCGTTGATGAAGCCCCTGATTTCGTCCGTCCATATGTCCTCCCTAAGTACAAGGGTCGCGCGGTCACCCTCACGATGTCACAAACAATCCGCTTCTCCATTACCGCCAACTCGTCCGACGGCGCCTTTTCTCTGATCCAGCACAACGGCAAAGCTTCAGGCTTTCTATCAGGTCGGCCACATACCCACGAAGTAACCCATGAACATCTCTACTGCTCTCGAGGGCGCAGTCAACTATGGGGCCAGCAAAACATAACGGACGCCAGCCACGAGGCCCGCGTCGCTACTCCTGGAGACTACGGTAATATTCCCCCCCAGGCACCATCCACATATTCCAACTAGTTGATCCCGACTCCCAACTGACCCATGCCTTCCACCCGGGTGGGTTTGAAAATCTCTTCAATATCTTCAGCAAAGGAAATTACGATACTCACGGTGTCAGTTCGCCGTATATCCCTACCACAGATGACTCATCCACTTTCGGACCTATGGCCCCCGAAGAATACAACCTCCTCGTCTCGCTGGATCTCTATGCAGCCTCAGAGGAGGAGTTTATCCCAAGACGTGACTTCGTGAACGGCACCGCCGGAGACGGAGAGACCAAACAATCCTGGCACAATGGACCTAATACCTTACCCGATAACCCAACAACCCCCTATTTCATCGCGAAGGACTACGGTCCAAAATATCTTAACACCGACATCGGATATAAGGTTATACAACCTCTGACGACAGCTGCACAAACAGAGGGGGAACTTTACCATGGGGACTATTATTATGTCGCCTAAGATGGCGAATGAGACCGTTTCACAGGCAACATTACCGCATCATTTTGCACTCCAGATGGATGAAGGACAACTATCATTCCAGGTACAGGGCTATCCGGGTGTACATCTGCTTTATGGAGACGTGGCATTTGTCCCTGCCGGTACACCATTTTCGTACTATGCTACTGTGCCTTATACCAAGTTTATGTATATGAATGCGGGCGGTAAGGGATTAGATTATCAGCTGTTGAGGAGGAGCGTACCCTGGGAGTTCCCGGCTTATCCTACATATGCAGGGTTTAAGCCTAACGGGCTGTAACTAAGCTTGGTTAAGGTATGATGTGTTCTGTTAACTAGTTGTATGTTGTGCTGCGTGTACTTTAGGGTGACAGAGAAACTGGGTATCGTGATAGAGAGGTATTAGACAGGCATTGCTAGAATTTTAGAAAATTGAGGAATTTTCCTAATATTCTTATCTTGATGTTTCAGGTTTCGAAGAAGAAGTGAATAATAACTGCAACGCAAATCTGTAAAGCTATGGAAGAATGTTTAATTATTGCTTTGGTAGCCTCCAGAGAACTCCCCTATACCTACTGCTGGGACAGGATACTTTGCAGAATAGACGTGTTTCGTGGACATCCAGTGCTCTTAGTACTTACTGCACTACAATGGTAGGTTCCTACCACTTCCAGCAGTCGAATGTCACGATTGGCGCTTTGCATACCAATAAGGATGAAGTTTGTTACTGCTTAGCGTCGCTTCGAGCGTCTGCCCCTCTTTCTCACCTAGATTTATAACTTGTACTCCATTTCACCCTTCCCAAGATTTCCTAGCTGTTAATTGATGTGTGTTTTGCCGTTAATTGGCGAAACTATTCCGAAAGTTCTCACTTCTGAGCATGGAACTGCTTTTTAGTGCAGCAAGTGTTATCGTAGTCATCCAACTAAAAAGGGACGATCGCTCAATATGTCGAACTTATATTAGTAAAGTAAAGGATGAAAAGCAAGATAATATTTGTCTGCAGCAAAATATCAGGGTCCTCACAGTCATACTGAAAGCTCTTAATAGGCTCATTCACGAACTAAAGAGAGTAGAGTTAAGTACCTTATAAAAAATATTCAGCGATGTTGCTTACTGCCCTTCCGCCCTTGCAACTCTAAAGAAAGCGAATCGATCCAGAAATAACCCAAAATAAATGAGAAGATGACGCCTGTGTGCTTTAAAATGGTCCTTAAAATGCTCTGAGGTTGACAAAGCTGTCAGCGATATTGAGGGGTACGAGACACTTTTAGTTTAGCTTTACAGATTAATTAGACGGGAGTTATATGTACCTTAGTTGGGTTTATAAGCTTAGAATAACAGCAGATAGTTATCCTCAGTCAAAATGATCTTAGTAAATTACGTGTTGCCAAAGGGGCAGTATTTAATGACTACGAGAACTATCATGCGGAATATCTTCCGGGAACCCGAGTTGAGCTTCGCGACATTGATAACTGGGCCAAGCATCATCCTAATACAAATGTATATTTTGTTTAAATGGCACCCGGGACTAGAAAGTTATTAATTTCCAGAACCGTTGCAGGCCGTCTTAAAGGCATTCTTTTCACTCCTTGAGAATATATATATTTCATCTGAATGGAGTGGGACAGACAAGAATGGGAGGGACCACTTCTCATTCGTCAGGTGAACTGGGCTATTGAGTGTCAGAGACAGTTCGAGACTTAATGAACATATTAGCCGGTTTGAGAAAGGAGGTAGGTATTACCAATGGATTAAGAACAGGGAAATTAGTGAGTATATTGTGCTTGATTTCCGCACACGCATGCCGATAACTAGCAAAGTAAATATGACAATTTAGATTTATTTGGTAGTAACGCTGACTATTAACGATTTAACTATCAACTTCCTTGTATTTTATATTGTGTTCAGCATAGAAAACTCGAACCGCAGTTTGATACAGATAAGTTTGCTGAATGTCTAGACTGAGGCATGGGATAATTCCTATCCTTAAAAATAGCAAGAGTATCTATTCTTGTTAGGACACAATGAAATGAAGAATGTTCGGGCCAATGTACCTAAAGTTAATAACCCTCCGATTAATTCCTCAAGAACCGTGGAGCGGGATATCCACGAACCACGTGCGGCAGCGAACCCTATGTCCTACATACACACACATATACTAGCTACTTAGGTTCAGTACATAGCAAATGCAGAAAGGTACATACTAACACCGCCCACAAGTTCAGCAGCTGCAGCCACACGCTTTACATCCGCCCTGGCCACAGTCGCTCTTCAGATCATTAGCAGGGTTGCAATCCTCTGCAACTTGGCAGGACTTCCAAGGTCCATTTCCCTGGTCAAGGGCAACCCAGCACCATTGTCCTCCATTTGCACATTGCTTCCAACACCAGCCTTTTTTCGAGCAGCCCCACGGAGACCGGGTCCAGCATTTGCCCTTCTCGGGACTTAACAGCACGTCAACATTCTCGACTGTATCGATACGCTCGACCTCGCGGGGGTTGATTGCAGTAGTGATTGCAGAGAGGACTGCGGTATTCTGGGCGGCGAGGAGGAGAAGGCCGAGATTGAGTTTCATGGTTTCGGTTCTAAAGCAAAAGTTTATTAATATCATTAGAGGCTGGGTAGGAAATTCTGTCTCACACCTAGACTAACAGATATACATATGTTGGGGACCAAAGGAGGGATATCTTGTTGGAGAGACTGTATTTGTGAATGATAAGTGAAGTTCAGAGGAAACTGGAGTAAAAGTGACCTTTATATAACCTTCCCCTGTCTAAACATCCATAAACACTGCATCATGGGGCTGTGCACCCTTATTCGCTCTCCTGCCGTGGCATTCGGAGATTTGAAATTGCTAAGTACGGCTTGACACTTGCTAGGGGTTCTTTAGTGCTGTCCAAACTAGAGTCGTCCTACATCTAGTTCAATTCTTACGTTGCATCTTCCAGTGTCCTCGGGCCCCTCATCGGGCATACAGGATTGCTAGACACGGTCCAGGACGGGTTGAATACCCTGTCAGTTGCATGACACAGCGTCAGTTTGGGGATGTCATGCTTATGGTCCATGTACCAATTTATGTTCATGCGTATGTAGGTAAACGAGGGAGTTCACGGTGCCTATTCTAAATTATATGGTTGAGGCTGATATTTGCCACGAGGAGAGCCCTAGGACTCTATACTAATGGGTGAACAGTGAAGTCTGAACAGGAATGGTGATTGACGGAGCTCTTTCTACATGGAAGAGGAGAACCCACTTCCTCTAGAGTCATCTCCTAACATTTACCCCTATACCCTTGTCATAAACACTACGGAGTTCCTTTGACTAGTAGTTAGTGTTGAGACAATTTCCCTCGGCTCCATGATACACTTTTACAGGCTCACTCAGAGCCAGGCTTTCCGTGGTCGAATAGTTTTGTGTTGAGAGTTGGCATATAACATTACCACATAGGCCGATGCAGCTGGGCTAAGTAAAAACGGTGGTGCTCTTATTGGCTCAGATACCAAGGATTAATAGAGCGCCCTATCCAACACGCCATCAAGTGCTCACAGATGCAATCGCTAATTTCGTGGCTTGGTCGAATTGCGTGTTCCTTTCTCACACTTTTCTAAAATATCGCAGTATGGTAGAATATCATTGCGAATGGTATGAGTGGTTTTGAATCTTTCTACGAATCAAGCTGGGACTGCGCTACGATGTTCAGGTAGATCCATGTAGTTCGTGTACTGTGGAGATGGCACGAGTCATGCTAAGTATGGAAGGACACAAATTCTTCACTTGTTTGAAAGTCACTATGTAGCTCTATAGCCCAGACAAGTGCATGTCATGGCTAAATCCGAGGTGTGTTGGATATTCTGTACCTATTACAAGGCTGGACAAACCGCAGGCGCACCGAGTAGGGACTGGTATCCGGGATACCCGGTATAAAAGGATTGAGTGTAGTCGAAGTAGAGAAGGGATTTTCTGTCTTATCCTACTACCTCTGGCCAGCTGTTTTACAAAATTCTGAGATCTGTTGTGGGGAAGTCATTCCAGTAGATTTAAACGACTGTATTTTGTTATATATGCAGTATAAAACATCAAACTACTATGGGCACTGTATTAGTTATATAGGACTAGTAATTTGAATACAGCCTGGTGCCAATAAGTCTATTTGTGAATGGCTACGTGACACGAAATTCTGTAACACTGCTGGCCAGAGATAGTACGCTCGGCCAAGTAAAACCTCTCTAAAGTTTTGTTCTCGGATCATATGAACATGGAAGCCATATTCCGTGTATGGACCGCGTCCTCGTTCTACCCGTATGCATGGTCAGGGTCATACGAGGAAATTACTTCCAACATGGCATCGTATCTGGACTTGTTGGGGTGATTCTCGGACGTTGTTAGATCCCATGGAAGCCAGCCTCAACTGCCTCGGTCCAGGAGAGGACTTAATGCAGGGAGTATCCCATTCCCTTAGATAACCCAACCGTTCCAATGTCGTTGATCAATCATCTTAATTCTGACCAGTTGCCCCTGGTTCAGTCGGAAACCCCCGGGTCTTTCCAGTGGAGCGTGGCCTTCATCGCCGCAATCATACGTACTTTATGGATTTTTATCAGTGACATCTCGGTATTCTTTCCTCCCACAGTGCACTCGCAACACTGAGTGGAAACACGGGACGTCACATATCATTGCCAGGGGTCTACTCTCTAAAAGATTGGTCCATTCGATGAGTTGGCGTCCTCTCGATCAATAAATGGTTGAGGTTGTAAAAGGCTCATCCCATCAGTACCCACCCCACTGCCCCCCGCAATATTCTCTCCTAATAAGTATACATATGACTCCGCCTCATTTACCGATACATAGGTGGTATTAATTCCAGAAACAGATCAGATTACTAACGGCATTTTGGTCTGTTGGATTGGGTCTCACATACCAGCGTCCCATGCAAATGCAGTCACACGGTATCTGCTAACCCTAAACATGGATTCGACTCCTGCTCCGTATGTTCTCCGAGCGGCACAGTGACGTTGCAGATCGTGGGTCCAATCATAGCATTGTGGAGATGTATAATATGTATAACATGGTAATATATTAAGTAACGGAATAAATTAGCGGGTCGTGGATCAACAGCGCTAGTCGGTCCAATCCGTCTCGTACAAAGACAAAATTAAGATGGAATAGTGTAGGGTAGGACAATGTGGGAACGTGTATCTTGACTATCAGTCTACCAGTTTTGATTTCTTTGTAACGGTTACTGGAATGAACTTTTCCCAGGGACTTGGACGGCCACGGTATCATTCCACTCGCCTCAGTCAGCTTACTTTCGAGGAGTTTATACCATACTAAACACCAACTCTAGAACTAGACATCAGTTCAGCGTATCGTGGGTTTAAGGCAGAGGGGAAGAAACGGAGTACACAGGGATGTTAGGGACCGATCTGCGAAATAATTCTCGGATGGTTGTATCTATTGGTCCTGCGCTCTACTACTGCACGCTCCTATCTGAATGGGCACTGGCATTTGGTCCAATGGCCCTTTTAGCAAGCAGATGTATTCTTTTACCTAGTCTATAATTGGCATACATTTCACCGTAGCCTGATGTCGTCCATATGAGACAAGGTTACTTATATGGGAAGAAATAGAAATGTAGCCTTTTGCCTTCCTACTTGAACATCGGCCATTGTCATATTCTGCCTGTGTTTTCCAGATAGATACCATCTGGACATGGTCCATTTATCGCCACTTTTATGCGCTTTTCGCGCTCTCTATATAATCTCTCTGATCGGCTCCGTGGCCTCGTATATAAAACCCGCCCAGCGACCCATTTATGCTATCGCACACCGGGTGCTCCGAACGGAAGGACTCCAGGCTGCCATTTCCCACGGAGCCAACGCCCTGGAAGTCGATCTGACAGCATGGTACAACGGATGGTGGGCGGACCATGACGGGAGCATCTTTCGCTACGGTGACCCCGCACGCAAGTTGTTCGACGAGATTGCCCAGCAGCGGCAGCAAGGTCACGATATCACGTTCGTCTGGCTGGACATCAAAGACCCGGACTACTGTAGACGAGGGGCTTGTTCGATCGAGGCCCTGAGGGACTTGGTGCGAGAGACGCTGGAGCCGGCCGGTGTGCGAGTGCTGTATGGCTTTTTCGAAACCGAGCAGAGTCGTGGCTATAAAATCATTCGAGACTCTCTGAACTCGAATGAAGCCATCGCCCTCAGTGGCCGGGCGAATGCAGTCCTGGAATGGTACGAAAACACCGGTGCGTCCATTCCTGTGAACCAGAGAATCATGGATTATGGCGCTACCCAGCTGAATTACGACATCGGAAGCTGCTATGAGGACCGTTACTACACCTGCACGGAGCTGAAGCAAGGGAGCAAGGCGCGGGATCAGGGCAAGTTGGGGAAGGTTTTCGGATGGACCAGCGCAGCCGGGGACTTGATGCTTCTACACCATCTGTTGGAGGTTGGCGGCGATGGGATGATCTATGGTTTCGGGGCGAACGAGTACAAAGATGACCGTCGGACCAAGTATGCCTTTCAAGAAATCACCTGGATCGTTAGCAATCACTCCGACACCCTCCGAATGGCCACTGCCAATGATGCTCCCTGGTAGAATTTTTTTTTAAAAAAAAGGCTGTTTTCGACCTGTATATTCATAGGCGAATACCATTGGAACGATGAAGAATCTCGTCTTGCAAAATTCCAGCATTTTTGAACCTGAGCCTGGTGGCGTTTTCTTGACCTTTGTTGTCTTTCCAAGACCCATTCTATATAGCCATAGCAAGCCTGGATAGCTAGCGTTGAAATATAGAGGTTCTCTTTCTATAAATTCCCAGTTTCTTCTTTTAGGAATAATAATATCACTACTGGTATAACTTGTTGAAGGCAACCCACAAAGCCAAAAATGAAGAATATAAATATTAGGGCTGAGAAAAAATATCCGCACTAATAGCTAATATCGATAAAGTTTGTTAGTATATCGAAATCTTCTATTATCACAATAGCTCTGAGAAAATAACGTAAAACTTGTCATTTTATTCGCGTAAGGGTTCGCGATATTGTAGGATCAATGAAGAGAATACTCAAAACTGGATGTAACGGTACAGCCCTATAAGCTCTGCAATAATTACTATCGACTCCAACTGTTCTTCTAAAATTAAATAATTATAATAGAATACTTCAAGAAATATTAAATTAGTACATACCACACAGAATATTTATTATTTAGACATGAGCTCATCCTACATCGGTAATTCGGTATTCAAGTTAGTCCACTAGATGTATGTCCTGCAGATTGTATCTCTATATACAAACATATTAAGAATCGGTAAAACTACCTATAACTTAGCTTGACTCTCCGGGACATTTCCCTGCCATGCAAATCCAATCTTCTTGCCAATGCCAGGTTCAACAATGACATTGACCACGGTTACCGTATCACTGAGGAATCCTTGTCGAGTCGCATTCTCCAGCTCCTGCTCGCTCCGGACGAAATATCCCTTGCCACCGCACATCTGCGCTAACATTTCATAGCGCATTTCGTAAAGAAGACTGGTAGAACGCAGACCCTTTTTGCCATCGTCCGACTTTGTATCATTGAACACGGTCTGGTCCTGCAAGGTCTTCCATGCGTTTTCATTCGGACTGTCCCCGTGGTAGATGCCCGAGTTGTTCATCACAAAGATCAGGGCTGGAATGCGGTATCGTGCCATGGTCTCTACTTCCATGGCACTGAATCCAAACGCACTGTCTCCCTCCAGGGCGACGATCTTTTTGGGCTTCGAAGACCCTTGCACAGCATTGTATGCCTCGTGGGCGGCCACGATGTACCCCATTCCCACGCCCATGGTAGCATAGGTACCGGCATCAAGACGCTGGCGGGGATGGTTCAGAGGAAATGCCGAGCGGGATATGTCCATCGTATTAGCACCCTCAGAGACATATACAATATTCCCTTCGTCAGGCGGGCTCAGTGAATTGAGAGTCCTCTTTATGATTTCAAAAGCCCGTTGATACGTCAACGGAGAGTCTGCGGGGGTGGGAAGAAGAGCTGCCTTCTGCACTTTTGCTTCGTTCTTCGCGGTTGATTCAGCCAGAAGGGATGGAAACCGTCCCTCCACGGGAGAAGGAGCATATCGCCAGTTGGACAACGATGTCAATATCTGATCCACGACCAGTCCAATATCCCCGATGATGCCGAGTTCCGCTGTACCCGCGTTCCGTCCAATTTCCTCGGCACAGATATCCACCTGAATGATTTTAGCCTTGGGAGACCATTTTGGTGGTTCTCCAAAGTGTAGGATCCAGTTTAGCCGAGCGCCCAGGACTAACACCACGTCTGCGTGTTTGAGTGCTGCACTACGAGCGCTGGATGCATTCAGCGGATGTGAATCAGGCACAACACCCTTTCCCATCGGGGTCGGCAGGAAAGGAATCTGCGTCTGCTCCACAAATCGGCCGATGCCTGATTCGGCCCTCGCATACGCAGCGCCTTTACCGACGATCAACAACGGTGAGCGAGCCGTCCGCAGCAGCTTGGCAGCCTTCTGGATCAATGCTGGATCCCCACTCGTCTTGGGCGGGGCAGGGACCAGCATGGTTTCCGGCGCTGGCAGGCGGAATCCAGGGGTGGATTTTCCCTGGATAATATCGGCAGGTAAATCCACAAAGGTTGGTCCAGGGCGACCATACCAACAGGTCCGGTATGCATTCTTGATGGCACCCGAGATGAAGTCCAGTGACGATGAGCGCACTGCAAATTTGGTGTGGGGAGTGAGGAACGAGACGGCATCCATCTCCTGGAAAGCGCCCTTGGTGATGGCGGTGGTCTCGACCGATCCAGCGAGAACCAGAAGCGGAAGGTTGTTCGCAGAGGAATTTCCAATCTGTAGACACAAATCGATGTAATTATCTGTTAGCTCAGTCTCAATCAAAACCAGTCGAGCGCGATGGACTTGCCCCTGCCAACGCATGGAGGACACCTGGTCCTCCCACGACAAGACAGACTCCCGGTCGTCCTGTCATATATCCATAGACACTCGCAGCATAACTGCAGGCTTGCTCATTGCGAAACGCCACAAAACGTATCCCTAGATTGATGGCTTCTTCGGCAATCTCCACCACGGGGATGCCTACGATGCCGAAGATCACAGTAACGCCGAGATCGCGCAGAGTCCGGGCGGCCAGTTGAGCCCCTGTTGCTACCGCCATAGTTGGAGCTGAAGAGCCAAAGAGATTGATGGTTCCGATGATGGCGTTGAAGTCATGGGAAGGAGAGGAATACCTGGCTGCCTGTTCAGCATTTGGAGATTAATTGGAGATAAACTGGAGTGCGGAGAAGCTCCGAGGCTCAACGGGCGGAATTGCCCGATGCGGTCGATCGTTCGACTACGTAGGATATATGTACTCCTATACAGACTTGATTTTCTAGAGACACTGAGACTTTCCCCGTTCGGATACCACCGGTTTAATGAGGGTACTCAGGGACTTGCTCAGTGAGTATTTCACATCACAGATCGCCGCTCAGTGAGCGCTCAGGGCTGGGTCAGCGAGCAATCACGTGGCTCCCTGAATCCCTCTTTATTTTGCACGGTGGTGCCAGATTAGGCGTCTCCAAATACCCATGTCCCGTTTATATATTCGTACAAAATGATGCAAGCAGAAAACTGATGGGAATTTAATGACCATTGAGTGGCAAACTATCTAGAACAAGTGCGCACAGTCACAGGCCTAATAAACAATCCGTGCATTGCGATTGCTGCGAAACTATAAGTACGCGTATTCTTCTCCTGTTCTAAAGACTGTGTATTCTATAAAAGATTGGGATTTTACCAAAATTCTTCCTATTATTGCCCTTGTTATTTTATTCCGCTATTTCTTCTGTCCTATTCTTTTCTTCGTCATTGGCTGACCATGGGCAAAAGATCCTTCTGGCGGGACGAAGATGCCCGGAGAAAACGCCGTGAGCGTCGCATAGAAAGCAGCTATATTTTGCGAGCTCATTAAGATAAGGACGCTGTAAGAGGCAAACACAATCGCCTCGACAAAGTAAAGGAACTCCAGCATTGGCATGTTCTTCTATATAGGGAGTGGGTCATCCTACAAGCGACTCGCACTACCTGGACGTGCTGATATTTTTATCAGATACCTTACAAAAGAGAAATATAAGCCAGCCGATTTCGAGCTCAAAGCCGACGGCCCTGCTCCGGATATCGTTTGCATGTTTGCATTAAAGATTTATCCGCTGGTATATAAACTCGGCTGCGGGTCAGGGCAGGCTTAGTAAGAACAAAAGAGTGACAGTTAGGATCACTCTGGTATTTGCCGCAAGATTCTTTGGCGGCTTTAAGGAAAATCCTCATTCGATTCCATCCCTAATCAAAAGAATATTCATCAATATAATCAAGATGAGCTAGACCTGCTAAAAATCATCCATGCAAGACCTTTCCACCGATAGTACTCCATAGTATATACTCTTCTATTCGGTACTAGCCAATTATCTGACCTTTATTTTTGTCACGTGCCATTGCCCACCAGAGAGATCCAGGGACGGACATCGGAACTGTACAAACACCCGGCGATCGACATGAATTTGAGGCAATGAACATAAAATAAATCCGTGTTCACAACCCCTACCGCCCTCTTCAAGAGTTGTTATTCTGTTACGATACTTTTTTATAGAAAGTGCCGATCTATTAACAATAATAGATAGCAACGATTTAGTAGAACTCCGGGCCACCATGGTTTGTTAAGGATCCAGACTCTTTTCTGCATGTACCCCAGGCGACTCAATATTTCTTCTCTTCTGATGGGGCGGCCTTCCGCCTTTGCTCATCACTGCCCCCTTAATTTTCATCAATACTTTGTTTCTCAACTCAGCTTTTTCTAGTTTGCAACTAAAGCAATTCCCTCCGTCCTCGTCTTGGGAACCCCAGTCTGGGAAAGTGATGATGGGTGGTACACAGTCCACAGAGTCTCCGCGGGAAAGGTGAGTTAGTTGGACCTTCTGTGGCGATTAACAACTTCTAACACTCGAGTACGACAACCAGCTCCCTTTCCAAGCTTCCAAATGACTGCTGGATGCATGTCCTTGACCAACTTTCCCTGGAAGACACTCTATCAGTGCTGTTAACGTGCAAGAGCTTGGGGGCCATTGCCAAGCCTTTTGTCTATCGCAAGATCGACTGGAAGTGGACGGAAACCCCCCTGCGGCGAGCTCTTCAGCTGCTTCGACTGATATTTAAGAACCAGGAGATCGCATCTTACGTGCATCATGTTCATCTACTATCGTCCTCTAGAAAGGAACCATGGTCCGATATTGCATCGGACATGGACTGGAAGGATGGGATTAAGGAATATGAGGATGTTGTAGAGCAGACAATTGATCTTGTTCAGCGGGCCCAGTTCTCCGATATGTGCGAGTGGACCAGCGCCCTTCGCGATGGTAACTTCTATGCGTTTGTGTCCATCTTGCTCTCTCAACTTGGCAATCTAAAATCTCTCCGCTTGGATTACTCGTTTATCTGGTGTGGTGGATACCCAGGTCGGATGTTAAAACAGGCATTGCTCTCACCAAACGGAGTTCTCTCAAGGTTCGAGCACCTGCGCGTGGTAGACTACGGCGGAAATGTTCCCATGCCAGAGGAATCTGGAATACATATTGAGCCTAAACTTGGGGGGTTCCCTGCATCCTATAACCAGGATCAGTTTATGGCTTGGTTTTGTCTACCAACGGTTCAACATCTAGCAATATGGTTACGAGACACAAAGAAACTTGAAGATATAGAATTTAATCTGGACCGTCTGCAGACTCTTGTTCTCTCCCGAGTTACAGTCTCTGGAAAAGATGTGAGATTTATTCTCTCAAAGGTGCGGAATCTAAAAAATCTTCATGTGGGAATGGCCTATCAACACCCCACACAAATAGCCCTTGCAGATGGCCATTTCCTGGTTGAAGGGCTGTTATCAGTTAGCCATACTCTCGAGAGACTTTCTCTGGGGGTTGAGTATTACCCTTTTAACCTGGGAGACCGTGAATGGGACCAGGAGGATGATCGACTGCTCAAGCCATTTTTAAATATTTTAAAGAAGTTTCCCAAGCTCCGTGTGGCGGAAATACCAGTACCAATTCTATGTGGATGGGATAAAGACTGCGCCCCAGATTTAAATACTCTCTTACCGGAGACACTTTGTGAGCTCCATCTTCGGGATGATCTGTCGGGCATGTTTGACTACGAATGGGACGAGATTGATATAATAGAGTACGTAAGACAATTTGTCGGGCATTGTTGGTTCTCTACACCTATGCTCAAACATATCACTCTTCGACTTTGGATTGAGACCTTTTCAATCCTCTGGCCCGATGAAGAGCAGGAGCTACGCCTTGCTTGCCAAGAGATTGGCATTGACCTGAGTTTTGTTGTAGATGATCTATCCCTTGGTTTGTGGGTGCTGAGAGATCTATGATGCTTCAGAAACATTCTTGATATTTTATATCCATTTTTTTTACCCCTTTCATTTTCGAATACTGTATCTAGATATTTTCGAACCACGATAACACCTAACTGACGTATAATGCACATCTAAAAGGTTAGGACCGTGAAGCCAGTCCATTCATGTAAACCTACAATATTCCGTCCGGCTTGTTCAAAATAAATCGCATACCTACTTTATGACAGGTTTGTGGAGTACAGTAAGATTATATAGAGGCTGCAAGGAGCACATGTATATTTCAAAAAAAAAAATTATAAAGAATTGTACATGGTCGGGTTCTTGGATACAATTCCCCTAGATACTCCCGGTAAGACATACTCCCGACTTGTACGGCCAGCTAATATGCCTGTGGACCGAGGATTCCTAAAATCCTGCTTAGTGACCATGCTTAGAGGTCTTGGACGATCCATGTTTCTTATCGGTAGAGCTCGTCTGATGTCCAGGGCTTGTCTGATGTCCAGGGCTTGTCTGATGTCCAGGGTTTGTCTGATGTCCAGGGTTGGTCTGATGCCCAGGGCTTGTCTGATGTCCAGGGTTTGTTTGATGCCCAGGGTTCGTCTGTTGCCCAGGGTTCGTCTGTTGCCCAGGGTTCGTCTGTTGCCCAGGGTTCGTCTGGTGCCCAGGGTTCGTCGGCTCAGTAGAGCCTGGCTGCGTCCCAGGAGTGGGGTTCTTTTTCTTCTGAAGTTCGATATTATCCGTACTGGTGGGTGAAGGTAGCTTCACCTCATTGCTTGCATCTTTAGTGATGGCTGTCAGTCCAAATTTTCCGACTGTCTGCTTGCAGCCCCATCCACCAACCACATCGTTCTTGTTGCCATCACATGGGGGCACGACTTTTTGGTCCCTGGTACTCACTGCGACGATCCTGGCGTCTTGATCGTTCAACGGCTTGTTATTTTTCGTGAAGTAAGTCAGGAGTGCCGTTATCTCTCCACAGGCGGCATTATTCCCGTGCAGCAGACCTTTATGATCTGACTTGCACGCATCGAGAACCGTTCTGATCTTATCCGATCCCTTATAGTATTCGAAAAGTTTGACAGAGTCCTCCTCATCTTTAGCACCTTTGCCGTAGAAGAAGCTATCAGAGCCGCCCTTTACAGAGGTCCCAATAAACACCTCGTTGCCAACTGCCAATGCCGCCAAGACAGTAGGGGTTTGTTTCTTGGAGAAAAGACTGCTCACACCTTTGCTAGCCTCTTTCGCCACATTCACCAGTTCATCATTCTGAAGTGGCTTGCCGTAGGTCAGATGGGTGGTTGCGAAGTGGAATTTACCCTCTCCCTTCTTGCCTTCTGCTTTGGGGTCCTTAAAAATAGAGACATCCTTAAGACCGAAACCATTTTCGCTGCGTTGGATAGGGGCGGCAGTAATCAGTCCCAAAAACAAATAGAAAAGAAGGAGACAGAATTTGGGAATCATCTTGTCAATGGATTCTGAAGTTCGAAGACAATTTGAAGTTTTGATAGACGAAAAATAAATAATTCAAAGGCCGCAGAAAAGAATGGCTAGAAATGAGTGACTAAAAATGAAATCAAGGAAAGACTGTCAGATATTGTGAAAGACTGACTTGGGTGAATATGAGATTGAGAACAAAATAGACGATGCAAGCTTGCCTTTTATATAGTCTTAAACTTCATCCATTGTTCTGGTCTCGGGGCAGCCATTGTCGGAAAGCTCTATCCTCCGATCATTTTCATTTCTTCGCATTCTAATGTCAGCGTGAAAATTTGGCCATCATACAACCGAATATGTCCCGTAATTGCATTATTCCCAGTGAGAAATGCCATGATAGCTACAGTATCACGGAGAACAAATCCATCGCGAGACTCCGCGCTCCCTGTTGATCGGCCAATTTGGCCCCAGGCTAGATTTTTGTTAATACGCTAGCAAACATGCATTTTACCCCATGCATTTCAGTTTAGTCGATTTTTCAGCTCCAACAGGTATAACAACACCCCTTGTCTTTTTGCTTTCTTGCCTGATCTCTAACCGGGAACGTTGAAAGACTATGTTAAAGCTATGTGTAATCTTAACTTTCCTTGAGAAATTTTGTGATTGAAAATATCTGCGGGAATGGTACTTTTTTGAGATCGATGATTCTTTATTTGAAACACTGATTGTACTAATTAAATTGGTTTCCAGTCATAGTTTTAAGGGGTCCTCTACGTCTCGATTTTCTATTATTATGGACTGCAAAACACCGGTCCTTGGTTTAAGACTGCGCCATGCACTTAATGCAGATTTAACAGAAATATTAGATTGTGAATTGATTTTAAATCACTTTTTATTATTGAAGTTAATTCTCTTAATGGTGTCGTGTCATCGTTAATACTTATTTCATTCCAAAGCTAATACAAAAATATGTATATTATCACGTGTTTCTTGGGCTGATCTATAAATAAGTATAACTGCTGTCAATATAAAGTTGGTCGTATTCAATTCAGCCAATCATATTCATAATCTAGCTCCGTTGAACTGCCGAATAATCGCCACTCTAATAATTTCCGAATATTGAATATCAATACGAAAAACGCGTAATCTTCCAAACAGAGGTAATTTATATCGACACCTTTAACTCTAACCAAATGGACAAACGGGTTTCCACAAAAGGCTGTATGGAAAGCATACACCAAGTCCTACATCTACTACTAATGTATAGTTGGGCAAGCTTGCAGAACATATACAATGTCTATAAATAGGACATCTTGTCTCTTTAAAGAAAATCAGGATTTGCGGGCTAGAAATCTAATATAGTTCAGTCTCACTTCCCTTAGGGCTATAGAAACAACCTAGGAGTATAGCTGGTAACACCAGTTTCTTCTAGAAATGCACTGGGAGGAGGGCATTGGAAAGTCTGTACCTCGGGATGATTTGAACGGTACCTAGGGGAACGAAAGAGTTGTTGAATATCAAAATCGTTGTGTTGGTATTGTGTCCCAAGCCGGGATATATTCACGGTCCGATGGTCAGACCGCGTGGGGAGGATTCTCAGCCGAATTCTGATCACCGACTTCAAAAAGTGTGGGGTATACGGGGGTGGGATCATCGGTAATGTAATTATTCTTTTTCTAGCCCGCTTAACCGGAATTTATTCTGTGCCGTTTCCTAGCCTAATAATTTTGGGGCCGTCCTTCAAGCTCACGAGCAAGGAATTGGAAGATGCGCTCCCTTAGGCCTCTCTTACCAAGCAATCTCCTTGCAATGTGAAATGTAGGGGCGTTTCTAATGTCTTCGTAGATATAAAAGTCTACTTCCATACTCTTTTGAAAGACATCTTTATTATTCTCCATCTTAATTCTAAACTTTAACAAACACTTTATTTCGGGTTTTCTTTTGCTCTGAAATAACTCATCATGACCCTATTAGTGCCGATACATGGTAGCGCTTCCGTGCACTCATGGAGCAACATCATGATGTTATATTCTAGGGCGAAAGCATGAGGCTATGGTCGGATGAGCCATTGTTGCAGCTGGACGGGTGCACGAAGAAGCGAGGTCCGTGGCTGCCTGTGACGCGTCTCGCTTTGGAACGTTAATTTGACCAGAGCTAATCTGATTACAGTACACATTCATAGCCTGCATACAAATCGGCCACACTTTTCGGAAGGACTGCTGCATGGAATGGCTGAGAACTGGTTTTGTATCCAGGAACCTTGGCGGTCGTAGCCAACACATCCACGTCCGATCGACCGGGGCGGTAGGTCAGGATAGTCACGACTCGCTAGACACGTTAGGATACCGATAAGTGGCATGACTGGAACCGAGAAAAGACACCCTCGATTATTCCAGCACAGATTAATTGGTGGGAATAGCAACGTGAAAACCGCCACCAAGCAGGCCCTGAAACACAGAGGTGGTAGGTCTTGTACATTCTGCTTGCGTACAGTCAGGATTCAAAAAAAAAATTCTTCCACATTTCGCGAAGAGCTGCTTGTTGTAAAACATGGAATTAAAGTCACCATTGGCAGCCATGCCGGATACTGGGGCATTTTATAGTCTAATTGAAGTATAAGACGTATGATAGCGCTACTCTCTCAGCGGCTTCCACGGCTTTGGAAATAAAGTGCTGGCTTCGAGCCCTCAAGATTTAGAACAAGGACTTAAATGCCCATTGGCTCTATAGCCTTGGCATTTTTATATAGTTTACCTGCTCCTAGAACTATCTATACTTCTAGAAACCCTACGCTAGCTCCTCAGACAGCCAAGCCTGTTCCTGAGAGCTTGGAACATGCTCCTTGGATATAGGATAATCTCTGAGCGGGCCGAAACTTTATACATAGAGCCCAATGTCGCCACACTATATCTGTGGAGAAGTAGCCTGTAGGTAAGAAACAAAATTTCGTGGACTATTTAATGCTTTGAAAGAAAACTAGCGCTTTGCTTTTGGTATACATGGTTTATTATAGCTACAGATATTTAGGAATGCGGCTTAACTGTGCGTATGAGAACCAACGAGCAAGGTTGCAGCCATTTATTAATCTAGAGGATAGCAGGCCAATATCTTCTTTTAAACCTATATTAGAAATTCCACCCCGTGATTTTGAGAAATTTACCCTCCTAAGTTATGTGACGAAGGCATCCTATTAACAAGCTATTTCGACCGATTGCTATATTAGCTTTAGAACAGAGAAGATTAAGAGGTTAGTCCAACCTTAATCCCTTACATAGTCCATAGGTAATATTAAGGCGTCAGGGCCCATATCCAATATGTTAGCTCGCTAACTTAAATATAAACCAAAAGCGGAATGCTTTTAACTGTAACGGGCACTATACAAGTAGGTTGCCATAACTAGCGATATAAAATAATAGGAGTGTCGTGATAATGCGTCCAGCTAACGCACCGGCGTTTTACTTCAGGTGGCAGTGAAGTCGCCCATTGTTTTCAGCAGATACTTATTGACTTACCAACCTGTGCTTAACAAAGGGGTTAAGAGAAGGAAGAAAAAAAAGTCAGTCAGACTATTTCCCACTTAAATTTTTACCTCGCAGGTGGAGCAGAAGGAATGATAAACACAGTTACCCGTTCCATTGATAATGCAATTGTTTTGTTTGAGTGGGCAAGGGGGGAAATGTTGAAAAGGGTTACAATAGAAGATGGGTCAATAGTGAAGCTGGCTTCGTTCATTTTATTAAGGCTATCATACTCAGGTTACTCACCCCTCTACTCAGCCCCTGCTCAGTGAACAGCTCATGCCGCTCATCGCGTACTCAGTTCTACTCAGTGAGCAAAAAGCAGCAAAGGGGTGAGCACTATAACGGAAAAGAAAAGACATCGAGCTGTCTAGGAAATCAAGCACGTACGTATGATCCCCATCACTGCATGGGCGACACTACAACAGGCCGGTTAGAGAGGAACATAGAGCAGACCGGTGTCTGCAGTGATATTTTATCAGATTACATCGGACCTTGTCTCTAAATCAAATGGAAAGCACTGCAATTTGACCCCGAACGCAAAGGACCATGGTATCCAAGATCAACAAACATCGCAACCATATATAACCCCCTGTCTAGGTCATAACAGGGAAGGAGAATAAAGATAACAGAAGAAAAAGAAAATAAATACATCCTTTAGAACTCAAACTCCTTCCGGAAGACATTCACATCCATCCCAGCCACAACCATGTCAGCCAAATCCCGACGTCCCATTTGGCTAAATACACGACGCAGAGTATCGTAAAGGTTTGTGCTTTGGTTCTGGCTGATATGAAGCATCCGTTCAAGCTGCTCGTCATCAATTCCACCTTCTCCACCCCCTATGATTTCGCGCGCACGCTCCCGGCCTTCTTGTTCAACCACACGGTGCATTGATAAGGCACCCAACAGGTGCTGTGCGGCCTCCGGATAGCAGCCGATGTTAATACATGACACACCGAGGTTGTACCGGGCCCGAACAAAATTAGGGTTTATGTTGAGGGCTTGTTCGTAGGCTTCGATGGCTTCCTCGGAGCGACCCGAGTTGGCAAGCGTGGCTCCGAGACGGTTCCACAGCAGATGGAGCTGTTCCTTTTGGTTCGTCGTTCCAGACTCGGTCGACGCCAACGCGGCCGAGAAACAATCTACAGCTTTATCATACTCCTCAGCACAGTAGAAAAGCACTCCCAGTCCGACCTGCACGTCGGGGTCCATCTGCTCTCCCGAGGGCGACAGCTGAGCTGCCTGAATGAAAAGGTCGGTAACTCGGTCATGGAGGATTTGACGGTCCGTAAATCCTAAGTCTGCGTCCGACGAGACGTCCTTAGGGCTAATGATCTGGGGATACTTGGCAGAGAGCCATCGCTCCAAGGTGCGGTATGCGGTAGAATCGTAGCCTTCGTTAGTATAAGAAACGGCCAGGCCCATAAGGGCATCCAGGTTATTATCGTCAATTTTCAGGGCCTGTTCCAGGGCGCGGATCGCAGGGAGCTCCTTTTCGTTCTGGGCTTGAGCAGATCCCAGCATTGTCCAGGCTTGCACGTGTTGGGGCTCTTTCTGCACGGCGGCTTCGAAGGCCAAGGCCGCTAGGGACAAATTGCCACCCTCGCGCATGATCTTAACACCCTCTTCGAAGGGGTTGTTCACGTTTCGGAACACGTTATCTTCCTCGAACATGTAGTCGCCCAGCTGAGGGTCACGAAAACGGCTGTTGAGCGTATCAAAGCTATCCCAGTCGCCCAAATCTCCCATGTGAAGATTCTCATCGATATTGAAATCGGTTTGTTCCTCTGCCAGTTTCCTATTTGTTGCCGCCTCAGTCTGGACTCTGTGCCATACGCTTTCAAAAGCACCAAAATCTGCATCTTTATCGGTGCTGGTGGTGGGGACTGACCTGTCTAGATCGTTCAGCTCCGCCTCAATAGCATCGTTGGCCTCATCGTCCAATGTCTGATTGCCAGCAGTCTCCATCTCTGCGAACTGAGCCTCCCAATTCTCATCGTCCAGCTCGACCATACGCCCCTTACCCTTGTCCTGCGTCACAGCCTCCGCTGGCTGCTGTTGCATCCCCATCGGGCCGTAGGTGGACTGCATCATGCCCATCCCTCCCATACCCATGTATCCCATCCCCATGGGACGCTGGTAGCCAGCCATCATCGGTGACGGACCGGACGTCACTGGACTAGACGTCTGAGGCATCCCGAGCCGACTCTGCTGCTGGAATCGAGCAAACTCCGCTGGTGTGAATCCCGAGCTCTCGTTCATCATCTTAGGACCAGCAAAGGCCGCCTCCATCCGAGCGTGTTCCCCGGGGTCGTATTCGGCTGCCCAACCCGGTGAGCCTGTTCGAGGCGGGGTGGTCTGAAATTGGTCCAACTCGCGTCTCAAATGCTCCATTGCAAAAGGCTGTGGAGCAGCGCCTGGGATCTGCCCCGACTGTTGAGCAAATTCGTCCATCATCTGGATGGATTACCAAGCATCCGTTAGCCGTGGAAAACGGTACATTTTTCAAAGCCATAGTATAGCATCTGCATACCTGATCTTGACCACCCATCATCCCTGCCGACCGTATGCCCTCCTGCATTCCCCCAGGGTGTCTCCCAACAAGTCGATCCCGTTGGAGGGACTTGTCATCTTGCACATGCTTGGTAAACTGTGTTAATGGGTTTCCCGCCGTAGAACACTCAGCACCACCGAGGAATGACATCTTAGGAAAGCTGCAGCAAACACGTCGTAAAATATATTATGAACTAGTAGATCTCAAGGGTAAATCAAGAGCGTCGTATGAAATGTAGAAATGACAGCGATATACAGGCAACGGGGAGGAAACTGGCTGCTCCCTGGTGGCTCAAAACGTGGGGTTTGGAGTCACCCTAAGCCGATCGGGAAGCCCGGCTAGAACCGAGGTCCCCGGAGAGTCACGTGGCTCCGCGGGCATTCATCAATTGATTATGCTATCCAGTTTACATCAATAGTATTAACACATGTAAAGGTTTAATTCCAGTATAATACAAATTCTATGAACAACAGGATCATCGAGATATATAAGTACACGAAGAAAAATACCCTTTTAAACAATCCAGAGCGAAGTAAACAAGCCAGGACGCTCAGCCTACGACTCGTCCTCGGCAACATGGTCTGCTCTTCTGTTGGTATAACTGTAGTCAAGGCGTAGCTTCCGGCCATATGGCGCCTTCCTACTGAGGGTCTCAAATGCAACTCGTGCACTCTCGACGTTGGTAAATTCGACATGGGCGAAGCCTCGAATCTGCCCAGTCCGACGATCAACGGACACTCGAATGTCAATCACATTGACAATATCCTTGAAGAGCTCATTCAAGTCCCGGTCGGTCATTTCAAACGGTAGGTTGCCGATAAATATCGTTTTCGAAACGGGTTTCAGGCGTTTCAGAGTGTTGACGTTATTCTGAGCGAATTGCACAACAGCATGACGTCCTTCAAAGACGCGGCCGTTCATCGCTTCGATTGCGCGTTTGGCGGAGTCAATCGTGTCGTATTGAATATAGGCAAACCTGTCACATCGCCATTAGAATGGAACCACTGCCGCTTAATCGTGCCGTCAAGTTGCATTGGTACTCACCCGCGACTGATCCCCCTGTTATCAAAAACAATAGAGACTTGCTCCACAACTCCATACTTCTCCATCTGCAGCCTCAGATCTTCGGCTGTCACATCGTAGAACAGATTTCCGAAGAAGACCGTTTCCTTTGGCGAGGGGGTCTTATTTAAAAGCTGTAGGCGTTTCGAGGGTCGTTCGGTTGCCCCAGGCACTTCCTCCACTTGGGCCGATCCATCCACCTCTCCAACATCTTTGCTTGCCTTCATAGATTTTCTTTTTCTAACTGTGCCTTCTGTCTTTTGCACGTCGCTCGTATCCTGCGTAGTGGGATCGCTTTGGCTCGCAGGTTTCGACTGGCTTGGCGCGTCGTGACTGTTCCATCTCCTCTGGAATAAGGGTTGCGATGACTGTGGGAAATCAATAAAGCGACAGGACTTAGACGCGACCGCCCATGTAGGCCGTGTGGACACTGAGGCTGTCGAGGATATGAGCCGACAGGCAGCTCTCCGGAAGCAATGCCTGCGTAGAAAGTGCTCGTTAGTCCCTCATCGTGATAAGATATCCAGTAGTGTAACAGTCCTCACATTATTGTAATTACACAGGTGGGACAAAATTATACACCAAAGCAACATTAGTGATCGTAGGTTCTAAAAGCTGAATACAACTTCGGAATTTGCATAAAACCTCGGGACTCTTGGTCACGTGTTATCAGCTGCTACTACGTATTGGTCATATGATACAGTCAGCATTCAGCCTATCAGAGGGCAAACTACATAGAATTGGTTGGAAATCTTTTGATCACACAGTGAAATATTAGAACAATTGCAGTTACTCTCCAGATAATGGCAGGATTTTTAATATTCACGATTGTTCCACCCATATAATATGTATTTATAAAATAGTATAGTGGGGTGAAGACATGAGCAAACGTTCATAGTACATCATTTAGGAGATTCTTTCATGCCAAACCCATTATCTCGCCATCCTGTTCAGACACCACGCAAAATATACGCCAGAAGAGAATCCGACTTCAGGCTTCTATGGCCTGAACAAAAAAGAAGGGGGCCGGAGGGGGAAAAGAGACAGAGAGAGAATGGAGGAGAGAAAGACAGACGATTTTCTCTCATTTTGGATATGGAACAGGATAGGAGGTAAACAAGAACTAATAAAAGTTTTATCAAAACCAGTAAGTACCTTGATATATGTCCATAATAATCCAGCTTCTAGCTCGGTAACATTATGGGTAGCAGCATTTTCTGGAGTTAGTGAAGCACCAGAGTTATTTAAACACCAGTCGCATTTGGGTTGTTATTATCAAAGCTAGTGTTTTCGGGAGAAAAGATGTTCGGGAATGATGGCCGTGGCCGTGACCTGCTTGCTGCATTATTCTGTGTTGTCGGCAACTGGGTAGGAGATAGCGGGTTTGAAATCTGTTGCGGCTGTGGCTGTTGTTGCATATCCACTGTTGGCCACCACTGGTTTGAGAGATCGAGTGTCGAACTCTGAATGTAAGTATCCCAAGCATTCTAGCATCTCGTTAGCTATCGCTTGCTGGCTGCAAAATGTTAAGAAAGCAATCATACCCAATCCAAATTGAGCTGCATGTCTGGCATTTGCCCAAACATAGAACTGAAAGGTGAAGGAGCCCCATTGGCATCAGCTGTTGTCGTTCCAAACCCTCCCGACATCGGTAACGATGTTTCCATCTTGAGTGAGCCATCATTGAAGGGAGAAGGACCTTGGTTCATGGGAGTCATCCCGCTACTGAGTAATCCCAGTGTCATTGCTGCACTCTGTTTCTCATCCTGCGGTTCAAAGGTCGGTGCAGCTGTGTTGCCGTCGGAGAATCCCAGGTTTAGTCGAGAAAGCATCACCCCGAGCGCACCAGAAGCCTTCCAGGCTTCCAACGCATCGTCCCTAAGTTCGTCCCAGATCTCCTTAGAGCACTGTATGGCAGCCAACATTTCATCGCGGCGTTCCCTACCCCAAGCGAAGGTATCACCTGAAGCTCGCCCTCCTGCTTGTAATTGGTGGCCATGGTAAAGGTCGAGACACACAATGGTTGCAGCCAGCAGGAAATCTGTGGAACATAGAGCAGCGACTCGATTCTGTTTGCTTTGCAGACGGCCCGTGGGACGACATTCAGCGTGGAGCATTGACTGGAAGTGTAATAATTCCATCGCCGAGTCAATGCACGATCTTCGAGAATAGGTGAACCGTGGATTTTCGCGGGCTCTAACGAGATAGCGTCGATGGAGAACAATTTGAGCCTTGTGGTAAACACTCATGACCTAAAAACCGTCAGAATCTATGGCTGCCGCTATATACGCAACAAAACCTACCGTGTACCGTGACATTACTACGCTCAAAGGATCTAAATGCGACTCCTCAACAGGGCGAACAACTAGATGCTCCGGGACAAGATCCCTTGCTCGACGAAGTTCTGCGTCAATCTCCATAACCTTGTCGTAGGACACACTCAGGAGGGGAGAAGATTGTTCAACGACATGCCCAAAAACTAACGATAGGCGTGTCTTGGCGATCAGGAACGAGATCGGTGTCGGCTCATTGGGTGGGCGTGACCGGGGGAGTTCCGCGCAATCCTCCTCAAAATCATCGTCGTACAGATTCCGTGGCAATTCAGTATCGCTGTCTGATGAACGAATCATACTAGGTAGGCCGACTTGGAAGGAGAACAACAGGTCGGCCTGGCGCACAAAAGCCCAGACTCGCCGTCGCATCTCTCCTTGGAAAGGCGTAATATTGGGAAACATTTTGGAGTCCCGATGATACCCCATTCTCATGGCAAACCTTGTGATCACCCCTATAAGCACCCACACAGATACATCCGCCTCCTTGGTTTGGCAATAATCCCCATGAAGGTGGAATATTAGTGATTCAATCAGGTACGGATAAGGTTTAGTGTAATCGGCCAAAGTAAGACATTGTGCCATTAGATTTCGGAAGGTACCGGCCATATGCAGAGACTTCCCCCTAAACTCCGGAGGTTCGTCTCCTTCTCTGTGATATGACAGCATAGCAAGTCGCATCATAGCAAATAGCATGCCAATCCAAACGATACAGGTCTCCGAAGGGTCTTCCCAGTATTTATTATACTATAAAAAACAATAGACCTTAGTATCAAAAGTCCGCCTTTCAAGGGGGGGAGGCAAGAGGGAGAGGGAAGGATGTACCTGTGTTTGAAAAGTAGGGCCATGAAGGATATCTGAAACTCCGTCAGCTTAGTCCCGCAACGACAAAAGAGTCTGGAGCGCACTGACGTGTTACTGGATCATAACAGCTGAAGTAGCGAGCGATTAGGATGTCTGTAGTGTATTTGGAAGGAAAGGACGACATGATTTCTTCACGGGTAGCCGGTTTGTTGACACCAAAGAGCAAGGCAGAACCCGAAACATCAGTCGGCGGCATGGTTGTCTTGAGCTTCTCTGCTTGCTCCTCATATTGCTTCTTATGCGTAACAAAGTAGTTACGAACTTCTGCTATCTGCACAACGTTGTTAATCCGGAGAGAGTTGGGCCAGCTGAAAAAAAAAACAGGCACACTCACATCGCTGAGGACAGCCGCCCAATGGGCTTCGCTTACATAGTATGATTTGTTATTATCGACTTTCATAATACCAAATGATTTTGTCACCTGCTCGGTATCGCTTTCCTCTAGACCACCATGGGCTTCCTCATCCGCCTCCAAATCCGTCGTATTTTGCGCCGAGCCAATGCTGCTACCGGTACCCGAGATCGCTACCATGGCTGCAGTGGGGCCTGCGGATTGGGATCCGTTGGTCATCAACGACAAAACCAAGCCTTCCAGTCGGTCTATCCTGTTTTGCATATCGTCCGGAGAGGTTGATGCCGCTTGTTGTGGAGATTGCTTTTTCCGCACGCTGGCCTGGGCGTATGAACAGGAAGACGCATCGCCTCGCCTGACACAGTTCTCACACGGGTGAGCACGGTTACATTTCAGCCTGTTTAATAGCTTGTCAGGGTAGAGATCAAAGGCATGGAGATAGGCGGGTGGAATTACTTTCTATGTCTGCAAGGGCCGCAGGAGAGAGGTACCCGATTTCTTTTTCGGATAACCCTGAACTGGCCCTCCGGCGAGAAAGCACCGGCGCTCGACGAGGTTGTAGACGGCGGTGTTGGCGTCATTATTTCTTTATTATTTTTTTTTTTTTTTTTTTTTTAGGAAACAATGCCTTATAGCGCAAACGAAAAGGCAGATCGTTTAGTGTTAACAATTCAATTGCACAGAGCCGACTAGCCGACTAGCAATATTAGGGAATATGCGGTAACTAAGTCTCAATTTTCAACTAATGGTTTAGATAGATAGTGTTGAGGCTCGAACAAGAATCCTTCTCAGGAGGGTCGTGGCTCAGGTGGTTGAAACAGCGCAAGATATCCAATACTAGGCGATCGGAGGGAGTCACGCTTGCTGCAGCGATGCACCAGAGTAATTAGAAGTGGGGAACAGCTGCCACTACAGTTTCTGGGACTTCAAAAACCACGTTTCAGTGGTGGACGTGACAGCTCCAGACCTTGTGACAGCGGTGTCGGAAGGAACCCGATGCTGTTGTACGCAGCAGAGTCCAAAATGCGAAGATGCGCGGCAGAGTCGAAAGAAGATGGAGGAAACCAGCTGTCTTACGTCGCAGATCCAAGATCGCACACAGCACCCGGGGAAGGGAAAGAGAGGGAAGATGGGTGGCCAGAGGAAGTCTGAGGGGCGAATAAACCCACTGGCGGCGAATCTGTTGAACTAGTAGCGTGATAGGGGTTGGGGCGAAAAGAGATGAGGGCGTATCCAAGCTCGAAAGGGGGTAGGTATTATGAGGCGGTTGACAACAACGACGACGACAAAGAGAAAGGCTCCCTTGTCAGAGCGATCAAGCTCCTCGCAAGTTGGTAGCAACCAAAGAAGAGGAAGAGTCGTCGAGGTCTGGGTGACTGACTGGTTAGCTAACGTAAGTCATGATGATGGGCCTTACTAAGCCCTTATTCCCATGTTATCTCCGTTATCACCCTCCGTGCCCTGGTTGGTCAAGTTGGCCAGAAATGGAATAGCGACAAATATCCAAACAGGGAACTCAGGATTACTAAGCAAATATGACCTACTTCAATGAACTCACCAATGAGAGAAGTCACAGCGCAATCTATAGCCTATTAATATACAGAGTAATTAATAGGCGGCCGGTCTAGAGAGTTGCCGCGCTGTCAAGAGCGAAAGACATCTGCCTTTCCATGGATGTCAAGCGGACAAGTGGAGCCACGATCGCAAGTCTACAAAAGCCAAAACAAACCATCTACTAGATGCAACATTCCAAGATCCGAGTGAAGTGAATGGCTATGTACAGTACTGAGTACTAATGTAGTCCAGGTGTAGATAAAACTGGGAATATTCCTGGAATTATTCCCCTTCTGGTTCACAAATGATCTTGCGAGGAGCTGGTGGCTGATACTCTTCCATCCACAACACGGAGACCCCACTCGTCTTCAACCCTCCAGTACTTTCTCTAAATCTACAATCCCCCTCCCCCCTCCCCCATTTTTGCTTCCCTGTTTTTTCTCCAGCCATCATGTCTGCCTCCAGAGGTGCTCCCCAGCGGGGACGTGGTCGGGGAGGCGACCATGGCGGTCGAGGGCAAGGCCCAAGCAGAGGATTTGGTGATGGTGGTCGCGGCGGTGGTCGTGGCGGTGGCCGCGGCTCTACCGTTGATCTTCCTATGCGTCAAGGCAGTCGAGATTTTAGAGGCCGTGGTCGAGGACAAGACTCGGGCTATAGAGGACGGGGCGGACCTCGTAGAGGCGGCTACGACCAAGGACCCAGGATTTATTCGTAAGTGGTATTAAACAGCGATTGTGACGCAGAAACAACTAATCATTCTTTATATCATCAGCCCTACAGGCAGTTTGGAACCCCCCAGCACTACGGTTGAAAGGACCGAGAATGCCATCGCAACGGTTCTGTCGACAAAACAACCCAAGCCGGTTGGTTACCCAGAGCGGCCGGGTTACGGTACACGTGGACAGCCTGTGTCACTATATGCAAATTATTTCGAACTCCAGTCAGTGGGCAAGGAGTTGTTTCGATACCATCTTGACATCTCTGGTGAGCCAAAGGGTAGAAAAGCGCGTCAGATAGTGAACTTGTTGCTAGAGGAGCATTTTGCCCAGTCCAAGAGGGGCATCGTGACTGACTACAAATCCACATTGATCGCCAACCTGAAAGTCTTGCAGAATAATAAGGCACAGTATGACATTCGCTATCGAGATGAATATGATGACGACTACCCAGACCAACCAACGGTCTACCGGGTGAAAGTCCAGTTCACCGGGAGACTCAACCTGTCTGATCTCCTCTCTTATCTGACATCGACCAATGCCGCTGCTATGTACGAATCCAAAGCAGATATACTGCAAGCGATGAATATTGTCTTGGGACACCATCCAAAGACGAATCCGTCTGTCGCCTCAGTTGGTGCAAACAAGCACTATGCCATCAGCGGAGGCCTGGAAGAAAAGTGGGACTTGGGGGCTGGTGTCGAGGCTCTGCGAGGCTTTTTGGTCAGTGTTCGTGCTGCCACTGCACGTCTTCTGATCAACGTCCAGGTCAAGTACATTGCCTGCTATCAGGAAGGCCCATTAGGGACTTTTATCAGCGAGTACCAACGTTCGGGACCTCGTGACTTCCACAGCCTCGGGCGCTTCGTTAAGAGACTGAGAGTTAGAGTGACCCATATCGAGAGAAAGAATAAGAAGGGAGAGGTTGTCCCGAGGATCAAAACGGTCACGAACTTGGCAACAAAGGCTGATGGTGCATCGCTGCCTCATCCTCCGAAAGTATCTGCGCATGGAGCAGGCCCGAGAGATGTTCAGTTCTACCTGGATGCTCCTGGTCTGCAGTCATCCCAGCCGGGTGGAGCAGGGACCCCGAAAGGCAAGGATGGCAAGAAGACTGCGAGGGCTGGCCCGTCCCCGTCTGGAAGGTACATCAGTGTGGCTGATTTCTTTCACCAATGTAAGTCTTCAATTCTTACGCCCATGGACGAATGGCAGGCTAACGGGAAATTATAGACTATGGCAAGAATCTGGACCCCAGGATGCCGGTGGTGAATGTTGGAACCACCGAAAACCCGAGCTACTTGCCGGTTGAGGTCTGTATTATCGAGCCAGGCCAGCCTGCCAAATCGAAGCTCACACCCAACCAAACCCGGAACATGCTGAACTTTGCCGTCCGGCCCCCACCCCAGAATGCCAATTCGATCTCCACGAAGGGCAACAGCGTGCTTGGTCTTTCTCCTCCAAACCCTACTCTAGTAAGTACAGCGGGTGCTCGAGCAACAAGCAGACTGGTGGCTGACGCATCCCGAACAGGTTGAGTTTGGAATACAGACAGATCTCAAGTTGATCACAGTGTCCGGTAGAGTCCTTGCACCGCCTACCGTCTACTACAAGGATGACAGATCATCACAGAAATCAGTCAAACCCATGGGCGGCAGCTGGAACATGAGATCTATCAAGTTCTCCACACCCAGCAGGTTGACCTCTTGGACATGGATCCTTTTCGCAACTCCCGGTGGCCGGCAAGCCTTTCAGGACCCCACGTTGTTTAACAACCGTTTGCAGCAATTCACCGAGAAACTGAACGAGATTGGAGTCACTGCCAGCCCACCTCAGCCTGGAATACGAATTGTCTTGGGCCGTGACACAGACTACGGGGAAGAGGTCGACCGCGCAGTTTCCCAGCTCATGACCAAGCACAAGCCCCAGCTGATCTTCACCGTCCTGCCATTCGCCGACGGTGAGCTGTACAACAGCATCAAGCAGGCCTGCGATCTCCGCCACGGCGTACGTAATGTCAACGTCCTCGCCGACCGGTTCAGCGGAGCCAATGACCAATACTTTGCCAACGTGGGTCTAAAATTCAACTTGAAATTAGGAGGTTCAAATCAGGCCCTGAACCCCAGCGAACTGGGTATCGTTGGCCAGGGTAAAACCATGCTCGTCGGAATCGACGTGACTCATCCATCTCCTGGTTCCTCGAGCATGGCCCCCAGCGTCGCCGGCATGGTTGCCTCTGTAGACGCGACTCTCAGCCAATGGCCCGCCGAACTCCGAGTCCAAGCACCACGCGAGGAGATGGTCGAAGACCTAGACACGATGCTCAAAGCACACCTACAGCGCTGGGCCTGTAGCCACAAAAACGCCCTGCCGGAGAACCTGATCGTGTACCGCGACGGAGTCGCGGAAGGCCAATACGATAAGGTAGTCCAGGAAGAACTGCCTCTGCTACGTAAAGCATGCAAGGATACGTACCCAGCCAACGACACCGCACAGGGACTCCCCCAGATCTCGATCGTCATCGTCGGTAAACGGCACCACACTCGGTTCTACCCAACCAAGGAGCAAGACGCAGATCGATCCGGAAACCCCAGCAACGGCACCGTAGTGGACCGCGGCGTGACCGAGGCCCGTAACTGGGACTTCTACCTTCAAGCGCACACGGCGCTCAAAGGCACCGCCAGACCCGCGCACTATTTCACCGTCTGGGATGAGATTTTCCTGCGACAGAAGCCCTCACCGCCGTTCCAGAACGCAGCGGACGTCCTCGAGGCCCTCACCCATCATATGTGCTATCTATTCGGTCGTGCCACCAAGGCTGTCAGCATCTGTCCACCCGCCTATTATGCAGACCTCGTGTGTACCCGGGCCCGCTGCTATCTCAGCCATGTGTTCGAACAGACTCCCACCGGCAGCGTCGTCTCGGGCGGTGGTGTCTCGGGCGGTGGTGCCGGTCGGAGTGTCGATAATGCTGACGTTAAGATCCATCCCAATGTACGGGATACTATGTTTTACATCTAGATTGCCAGGTCCAGGCCTCAAAACCTGATGTCTTTCTTAGTTTTGTTGCATTCAGTCTTGGATATAACGTCATTTTTAATAACTACAAATTGGAAATATGGCGTCAGTTAGGATATTAAAAGAGTCTATCCTCGATTTGGACCAAGATGACTGGTATTTCTATGATGATCTACGTCTTTTATTTCTACAGAATGGCATGAACTTGGATTACATTAATATGCTCCCCATCCTTAAATTTGCTATCTTTAGGATGAGTCTCAATATCTTTGATCTCATTTTCACTGTTATGTTTTTATTGTCAAGTGAAATAAAATGGCTTCCAGCATCAGCAGATCTGTCAGTAACACGTACTTCATTATCATTCTATCTGCACGATTCATACATAGTCCAGCACTCCATACTGGTTCACATATCAAAGCTGGCAATCAGAAACAACAGGGGCAAAAAGGTACAAGGAAATGAATACAAGCCAGGGAGTTCCAAGGGAAAAAAAAAAAAAAAAAAAAGCACAGCTTGAAATCAATAGCCGTCCCGTATCCATACAGCGACCAAATACATGATCACAAAGTCACTGTACACAGGCTAGTTTGTCTCGATCTGCTGATACGAATAATTGTATGTTGACAAATGAAGGCCGTTAGGTTAAGGGAAGAAAGCATCAGGAAGAATCGTAGCTTGAGTTCTACCCCAAGCTACTATCTCTAAATACGGATAGAATCGCAGCGTTTACTCGTTGCCCATGTCCCAGCTTCGCTGATTGACAGCCCGTATAGCACGACGCTGCGGGGGCGGACGCACAAACTTGCTGGGCTGAGGGGATTCATCATAGGCTTCCCACGAAGACTCCATCATTTTGACGGCCTTCTGGCGATCCGAGGCAACAGGTTTGTTGTTCACGTTGGTCTTGCTGTCTGCTGGAGACTCATCCGTGGCTTCCCAATGACTCTCGAAGTCCTTCTTACGGTTTACGCCGTTGTGAACCACAGCAAGCGGGGCATTATCGTTGTCAGCGGGCTTCTCGTTTTCGTCATCAAACAGGTGACTCTTGTAGAGCGACATCCCCTTGTTCTGGTAGGCGCTAATGTACCGGGGTCTGCTCTGCTCCTCATCCTTATCTGTCATCAGGAAGTGGGTTTCTATGTCACGACGAGGCTGCGCCACGCGAGGGCGGACAGGGGGGGTGGGCTCGGGTTCGTCGTCGCTCCAACCAAAGTGACGGATTTCTTCGCCACGAAGCTGGCGTTTGGGCTTCTCAGGGGTCGCAAAGTCCTCGAAATTCCACTGCGGGACATGACGTGACCCAGGACGTGTGGGTTTAGTCTGGATCTCGCGCTGGCTATTATCTGCACCAAGCTCGAAATGGTCGAACCTCTTGGGGTGAGCACGGTAGGCGATCTGCTGAGAACCTTCTTCAGACGCGACGGTCTCATCATCGTCAAAGATACGCGACTCCCGGAAGTTCTTGCCTGCGCCTAATTTGGGAGCGATGATCTTCGATTTAGAAGGGGTCGCCTCGGGGCCGTCGGCGGAGTTCTCCTCCTCATCACCACCCACAAAGAGTTCACTATACTCACGGGGTGGAGGTTTTGCAGAGGCAGGCGCACGAGGAGCACGTATAGGTTCTCCACGATCCTTTTCCGGGGACAACAGTTCAAACAGAGATTCGGCAGCATAGGGGTCCTTGATATGCTTCTTTCCGGGAGAGGCGTTTTTGCTAGGTTGTTCGCCGCCATGCTCTTGCTCCTTGCTGTCCTGTGATACGCGGTGCGCAGGGGCTGGGTTGGAAGATGCGGCCGATTTGATCAGGCGGGTTTGTTCTTTCGCGTCGCGTATGGGCCAACCGCGACCGCGGGAACCGATCACCTCGACTTGTTTCAGTAACGATGCCTGGTCCCAATAGATTCTAATCCGCTGGATTTGGTTTTCGGAGTTAAAGTGAACGATGTGGACCTGCCAAAAAGAATCTGGTCAGTCACCAACCCAGGAGAAGGGGTAGGGGAAACAAATAGGACGGACGTACCGTGGGGAAGGTCGCAACCCGGTCAGCCAGGAAATTATCATCCATGGACGGAAGATACACCCCGCCGCCGGATACAAACTCAAGAGTGGTTTCGACGTCCACACACACGGAGTTGGGGCCTTCTACGGCATCGATGACCTGCTGCGACTTGCATTTGACGACATGTTCCTGCTTCGTAAAGTGGTTGAACACGGCATCGGCACCGTCCACCGTGGTAGTGGTGGTAATGTAGTTCACGGAGACATCGGGGGCCAGAGCTGCTGGCTTGGGGCCCACCAAGAATCTCTGGTACAAGTCCTTGAAGATCATAGTCGTTGAGGGGAAATACTTATTGAAAACGAGTGTACAGGTGAGAATAACAAAAGGAAGGGTGTAGAGAAAGAAGAGAAACCGCGTGGAGGAAATGAATGGACTGAACGGTTCCTGTTGCAGAAAGAGGCGGGAGGTAAACAATCGGTTTATGTGAGAGTGGACACGAACCACAGTTTGGAGAAGTGGATGTGGAGGCAAGGACAATGAGTGAATATTGAAGAAAACAACAAGAGTAAATACAAGCAGGGGAACTGCCAGGCAATAATGAAAATGAATGGTGGAGAGATTGTTCTTCAGGCGGGAAGGTATGTCCAGAGAAACAGCAGTCAATGCCTAAGGAGAGAGGAGATTAATGAATAACTCTCTATATTAATTAAATACCAGTGTAACTTCATCGTATCCGACCCCAAGAATCCGTGTTCATCCTAATAATAACCACCAGAAACAGAACTAACAATCCTACACTGGACCAGCCATGTGCATGCATGGCTTTTGCACCAGTGTTTCATCTTTCGCTTGCAGGCGTCTCTCGGGCAACTACTGTACGTCGGTTGGGCGATCCGACCGTTGATAAAGGCATCGTAGACTACAGTACAAAATATCTATTTATTTTTATTTTTATTTTTGTTTTTATTTTTATTTTTTCTCCCTCTTTTCTTTCCTTCATAAAATCGGAATCAATCATCCAGGAGATGGTCTGGAAAAACGGTTCTGGCCTAATCTGTAGTCCTCTTCCCCGCAAGGACCCAGACGCCATGTCTGGTTTTTCCTCAAAAAAAAAAAAAAAAAAGGAAAGGAAAGGAAAGAAAGAAGAGGAAAGAAAGAGCAGCGTCTATCCAACAGTTAAAACCGGTCCAAGTCTCGGGAAGGCCCGACTAATCATCTCTTTCGAGAACTAGGCTCCTTCTAACCCGATCCTCGTGGTAGAAGTGGGAGGGAAACCCCCCGAAATTATTGGTATAGATCATAATCATCGATGGTAGGGTCCTTTTGCTTCGTATTTCACCAGACTCATCCGGACTGCGTTACAGCGGTCTACAGGCACACGCACAGGTGTCAGCAAGAATCCCCAACAGACAGAGTGTACAGAAGAGTAGCTTACCCTAGATAATCCTCCTTGATGGTACCAATAGCATTGATAGCCGCCACATCGGGCTTCACACCCAGAATCTTAAGCCGTAGACTGGTTCCCTTCTCGATAACCTGATCCGCATGATCGGTATATTGGGGAGGCACTGTGTTGGGCTCCCATTTGATATCGGAAGGAATATTCTTCGGGTTTCAATTAGCACCAAAAAAGACAAACTCCCACGTGCAACTGGCAAATCATACTTTCCGTGCAATGAAAACTGACAATGGCCCTGCCAAAGTGAAGATTCCAGTGGGTTTGACAGAGGTAACAATAGCGTCAACCTGGGGGCTCAACGTCAACATTCAGGAAGCTGGGTATCACCGGATCTCCAAAACGTACTGTCTCTCCTCGGAAAGGTTTCCAGATAATCGCTCGATATTTAATGGTGTATTCTGCCTGTCCACCGCTCGGAAGCACCCGTCCCTCGCCAATATCAACCATATCCATCACACAAATCACGAAGTGATCTCCCGTACATCGTCCCTCCTCCTCTTCATTCAGCCGGTTAATCAGATACTCCCGCACATTGGGCCCAAAGTAGGACGGATGCAGTGTGATAACCTTGGTCTCTTCTTTGAGGAAAAACATTGTGCGTAACTCTGTAGCGACACGATCCGAGTGAGATGGAAGGCAATTAATCGGATCGCAACTCGATCAAGTGGCCGTGTACGCCCTAAAGGCCACTCGAAGCGTCGCGTACTGATACTGGTATAAACCGGCACCGCTGAATGGCGTAAATTCGTGTAGCGATTGTGACTGCAAGTAAGAGAAGCCAGGAAGGAATACAACTGATGCTCAATGTCGGAGCATTAGCAGCTCATGACCAAATAATTAAGAGACAGGAAAACTGCCTCGGGCGCAAAAAAAAAAAAATACGAGAGAGCGCACAAGGAAGAAGAAATGAATGTAATTTCAATAATGTAAGAAAAGCAATCTGCCTAAGCAATAGAGCAGACGCAGAGAGCTGGGTATGTACAAGAAATCCCACTGACATCCGTCGATGATGATAATCCATGTCTGATCAGCAAGAGGCTGGATGAGGTCACGTGATCTAATCGGTAGTTTTCAATACGTACGCCAAAATACGCCTCAATACGAGCTCAAAAGGCAACCAACCATACTAATGCATTGCATAACTCGTCATGAGAATACAGCATGCGTATCCTCGGCTTTGTGCCTGACAACGAAAAGCACATGACGTCTTGCAAGAGCGAAAGCCCTGACTTAGTGCAGATAAAGTGCCTCTCTCCACCTCTTGGCTTGTCTGATCATGGGTCTGTAGCGCTGGTGGAAAAGAGCTCGAAGTGTCCTTGCATTTTTTGATTCCATCATACGGCCAAGCCTGCCCTACTCTTGCCAGCCCCATTCTCAATATGGCCTTAAACCTGGAAAAACAACTCCTTTTTGTAAGTTGTTCCGCCTCCTCCCGATACATAATAATCCGTGATCACCCTCAGAGTGGACAACTGCTTATCTGTACAGTACGGTGCCTACCATAATAATCCTGTATGTCTCCTTCCTATCATCTCCGACACGCGACCATCGTCGCTCATCATCACCTTTAGGTAAATGTCGCCATCCATGTTACATGTGTGCCGATCCTTTTATTCACGGGAATTGCGCTGGTAGGTATTCTCGACTAATCCTAAACTAGGCCATCACTAATGGGGATGAACCCTAATAGGCTTCGAATTCTCCTGCCCTCTTCAACGTCCCCGATGTCCTTCACGTTGAGAATCTCCCTGCCAATCTCGGAACGATTGGCGCGTTAACTTACTCCATCTTCTACATCCTACTAGAGCCCGTCGCCGGTGGCCTTATTGCACCACTCGTGATCGGGGGTGCAGCATTTGCAAACCACCTGCTAGCCACTTACGGCGCCAGCATGAATTACTGGTTCGGAGGTATCCATATTGTGTCATGGTTGGCACAGTTTGTCGGCCATGGGGTTTTCGAAGGTAGGGCCCCTGCTTTACTGGACAACTTGGTCCAAGCCTTCCTCCTGGCTCCGTTGTTTGTCTGGATGGAGGTCCTCTTCTTCTTCGGATATCGTCCAGAGTTAAAGGCCAGATATGATGAAAACGTCAAGAAGGAAATTTCAGCTTTCAAGGAGCAGAAGAAGGCCGCGAAACAATGAGTATGTGCATGGCTCAGAGAACCAGCATCGACCCGCCAATTATCTCAGCTTATCGCTACTGCGGTGAGTTCTAGTACAGTGATGAGGATTGTGACCATTGGAAAGAGTAATATATCTAGGAGTTGTGACTTGTTTCTGATATAATGTCCTTGCTTTCTGTTATATATTCTATGGTAGGTTGTTGTATTCAGGTTTAGCGATTAGTTATTTGCCAGATTTTACGTAATGAAGCATCAGTTGGTTGCACTCTAAGGGCGCTGGCGATTTCCCATGATATCGGCGATAGATGGCATTTGCAATGGTCTCTGATAGAACAAGAGAAGCGAATTATGAAAGATAAAGGGGGAAAGAAATTTTTTTTAAAAAAAAATAAAAATACAATTGCTGCGCTGCACTCCGCAATTAAGAGTAACAGAATTTCCTATGCAATCCTAAACACCTACACCATTGACAAAGGGGAAAGCGGGGAACGAGTAGCATACATCTTAACACACTACAAAAATAGAAAGCGGGAAGGGAGTGCATGAGAGCTTCAGAACAAGAAATCTTAGCCTAGACTTCATTGCCCTCCTAGTGACCAGTTCGCTCTAATTCTATATCCAACGTTTGTGCAGATGGTATGCTCTGACGAAAAATGAGCGGGCATGAGTAAGCCCCTGGCCAATAACCAGTATCCGCCGATCCGAGAAAATACTAGCGAGAACTGAGATTGCCAGGTGGCCCGCAGGAGGGAGACGGATAGCCGGAGAAGTGCCAATAACCTCCACCCCATCAGTTTTCCTGTCAACCTGGTGAACAGATAATGTGAAAAAAAAAAAAAAAAAAAAAAAAAAAAAAAAAAAAAAAGTAGAAATGATTAGAGATCGAAATAAAAACCACCTAAAAATTGACCACAGGTTCGATCCAAACTATAATTGTGAGAGACATCCGGCAATTTCGTTCGTTTGGGACGGGTTGGCAGTCCCGTGAGCGCACTAGGGCGGCTTCGGAGGTTACTGAGGCTCGGCAAACTAGGCTTAGTGGCTGTCCTGAGAATCCTCCCAGCCCCGACGACAAAGCTCTCCTTCCATCCATCCACAATCCTCTCTCCTCCTTCTACCTCCCCCCAATTACATCTCTCCTTCAGAGAAACCACTCTCCCACACCTCTGAACCCCCTTCACAATGTTCAGGAACGCTTTGCGGCAGTCTAGCCGTACCGTTGCGGCTGCCTCTGCCACTGGCAGGATCGCTTCGGTGAGTCTCATCCCTACTCAGGTTGTCGTCGTCTCGTCAATTTCGCTACTACTATCCCAAAAGTCATCTCAATGATGCTTCCAATTGTTTTAACCCATATCGCAATGCATTATATACCATTTTTATGTGTTTTGGTTACCATTTTCGGTCGTTGACAAATTTTGCGTCTCTTTCAGGTCCGCGCGGCTGTTTCCGGCCCCCTCTCTGGTGCTTCCAAGCAGGTCCGTACCTACGCTGCTGAGGCCAAGGCTTCGCCCACCGAGGTTTCCTCCATCCTTGAGCAGAGAATCCGTGGTGTTCAGGAGGAAGCTGGCCTTGCTGAGACTGGTCGCGTCCTTTCCGTCGGGTATGTCACTACCCTACCCTAATCGAAAAATTCGAACGCCGCCACGACACCCTCAAAATCTTCGAAAAAAACATCTTAATTCGCAACACCATGTCTTGTCCGTATTTGGTTGCATTAACTAACCTGGTTTCGTGGACAGTGACGGTATTGCTCGTGTTCATGGCATGACCAATGTCCAGGCTGAGGAGCTGGTCGAGTACGTATCCTAATGCCATGGCCTTCTAACTTTGTGAAACTAACGGATGCGTAGGTTCGCCTCCGGTGTCAAGGGCATGTGCATGAACCTCGAAGCCGGCCAGGTCGGTGTTGTGCTTTTCGGTTCCGACCGTCTCGTCAAGGAGGGTGAGACCGTCAAGCGTACCGGAGAAATTGTGTGTTCTCCCGTGATATCCGATGAACTTCTGCCCTGAACTATGCTAACTGTGCCTAGGTTGACGTCCCTGTCGGTCCTGAGATGCTCGGCCGTGTCGTTGATGCTCTGGGTAACCCCATTGACGGCAAGGGCCCCATCAATACCAAGGCCAAGAGCCGTGCTCAGCTTAAGGCCCCTGGTATTCTGCCCCGTCGCTCCGTCAACCAGCCCGTGCAGACTGGTATGAAGTGTGTCGACTCCATGGTTCCCATTGGCCGTGGTCAGCGTGAGTTGATCATTGGTGACCGTCAGACTGGTAAGACTGCCGTCGCGCTTGACGCCATGCTGAACCAGAAGCGTTGGAACAACTCCTCCGACGAGAGCAAGAAGCTCTACTGCATCTACGTTGCCATCGGTCAGAAGCGTTCCACCGTCGCTCAGCTCGTCAAGACCCTGGAGGAGAACGACGCCATGAAGTACTCCATTGTCGTTGCTGCTACCGCTTCCGAGGCTGCTCCTCTGCAGTACCTTGCTCCCTTCACTGGCTGTGCCATGGGTGAGTGGTTCCGTGATAACGGCCGCCATGCCGTCATCATCTATGACGATCTTTCCAAGCAGGCCGTCGCCTACCGTCAGATGTCGCTGCTGCTTCGTCGTCCCCCCGGTCGTGAGGCCTACCCCGGTGACGTTTTCTACCTTCACTCTCGTCTCCTTGAGCGTGCGGCCAAGATGAACGACAAGCACGGCGGTGGTTCCCTCACTGCTCTGCCCGTCATTGAGACCCAGGGTGGTGACGTTTCTGCTTATATCCCTACCAACGTCATTTCCATTACCGATGGTCAGATCTTCTTGGAGTCGGAACTTTTCTACAAGGGTATCCGTCCCGCCATTAACGTCGGTTTGTCCGTGTCTCGTGTCGGCTCCGCTGCCCAGGTGAAGGCCATGAAGCAGGTCGCTGGTTCCCTGAAACTCTTCTTGGCTCAGTACCGTGAGGTTGCTGCTTTCGCTCAGTTCGGTTCCGATCTCGATGCCTCCACCAAGCAGACTCTCAACCGTGGTGAGCGTCTCACTGAGCTTCTGAAGCAGAAGCAGTACTCCCCCATGGCTGTCTCCGACATGGTTCCTCTGATCTTCGCTGGTGTCAACGGTTACCTCGACCAGATCCCTGTCGCCAAGATCCTCCAGTGGGAGGCTGACTTCCTTGCCTTCCTTAAGAGCAACCACCCCGAGGTCCAGGAGACCATCGACAAGGAGGGCCAGGTCAGCAAAGACCTTGAGGCCCAGCTTAAGGAGCTCATCGTCGGCTTCAACAAGTCTTTCAACGCATAGGTGAGCAAAAGGCAACTGGGTGATTGGTCAACCGTGTACTGTTTTTCCTGACTCAATGTGTATAGACAAGTTAGCTTGTACAATTTGAGACCACTGTTTTCATTTCTTTTCTATCAGAGTTTCGGGTTGGAGGGGATTGTCGAGGATACAATAACCGCGTCCTTTTTGGTGTTGCAACCTGGTCTTTGTAGCTATGAAGAAAGGTAACATAGTGGGACGGTAAAAAGACAGATACGATTAATATCCTGTACGTTTAGATCTTTTCGCACAACTAGGGAGCCGAGACTGGAAAGAGCGACTGGGTTCTGGCTTTCCTTTGCATGGAATAACGTACTGATACCCGGCTTGCCTTTCTGTCCAAGTTCTTTTGTTTCCATAACTATATGCAGCCTGAATGTGATTTCCTTTGTTTGTCTCTTGTTTTGTTATGGCTGGTATGCTTGTAGGATCACATAGGTAGGAGAGGGGTTAGGCGCCACTGCAATCAAGATGGCGCCCCTATCAATCACATACAAGTTTAACTTGATTGGCATAATTGTACATAAGCATAATCTTAAGCACTCATCGAATCGTGTTATGAAGAGTATATATATATATTTAGGATGTATATCTGTTCTGAGGGTGCTGCGTTCCACAATGAGGAGAAGACTATATAAGAGAAAGGTGTTGTCACAGTGCAGTGTATAGAATCCAGAGGCTTCTAAAATTCTTTTCAGATTGAGGCGTTACTCTTGAATGTCAGGCGTGATGCGATGCCTCCTGCTTTTCTAAGAGAAGAAGCATGAAGCAGAGGCCGAATGCGGCATTTCTTTATCGATAAGCGAGCAGCTTTTTTCCGTCCCAAAATTTCCGCTCGTTTCCCTCCACCAGCGCCATTCCAAACAAACGATTGACTCACACCCCATCAGTTCCGTTAAGCCTTACCGTTAAAAAGATGGCTTCGACTACAGACACAGCCCCAGCAACTTGCAAGGTCATGCTTTCGAAGCACGTCGCCAATGGTCTACTTGCGGAGGTTCTCGAAGGCGTCAGGACCTTGGAAAAGCCACCCCACCTCGTGGGCTTTTTGGCCAACAATGACCCAGCGGCGCTCATGTACGCTCAGTGGACGGAGAAAACTTGTCAAGAAAAGTGAGCATTTTCTTATGTCTGGTTTCATTCGTATCAATGGCCCCTCGGTTGCATGCACATGCTGCGACCTGCGATGTCGGAGGATCGCGGGGATAGTATCATCTTGAAGAGTCACATCGTAGCTAACGTAGTCTTTCTTATCAAACAGTGGGTTTCGGTACTCACTCCGTGAAATTTCGCGCGATGATCTCGAAGAAGCCATTCTAGCTGCCAATACAGACCCGGATGTTGATGGTATCATCATATACTACCCCATTTTCAATAACCGGCAAGACCAGTACTTGCAACAAATCGTCGACGTATCTAAGGATGTAGAGGGTCTTAGCCATCGTTATATCTTCAACATGTACCAGAATATCCGTTTCCTTGACCCCGAAACCAGACGCCAGAAGTGCATTCTTCCGTGCACCCCTCTTGCTATCATCAAAATTTTGGAATATCTTAATATCTACAACACGATACTGCCATATGGAAACCGGCTCTTTGGACACACAATTTGTGTGGTCAATCGCTCCGAGGTCGTGGGTCGTCCTCTTGCAGCATTGTTGGCCAATGATGGAGCTTGTGTCTACAGTGTAGACGTCAACGGTATCGAGAAATTCACCCGGGGTGAAGGTATCCAGAAGAAACGACACGAGGTTCACGATTTGGAGGGCCAGACTCTAAAAGATGTGGCACCTCTGTGTGACGTCGTGATCTCTGGTGTCCCTGGTAACTCGTACAAGTTCGATACTAGCCTCCTTAGAGAGGGTGCTGTGTGTGTCAACTTCTCCAGCGAAAAGGTATGACAATCTTTACTGTCGATGTGATCCGCGAGGAGTTTTCTAATGCTTTGCGAGCAGAACTTTGGACCGGAAGTTAAGGGGAAGGCTTCCATCTTTGTACCGTCCATTGGCAAGGTCACAATTGTTGTTTTACTCAGAAATCTGCTGGTAAGTGAAACCTTAGTTGAGGCGAGTCTGCATTGGAGATATTTTATGCCTGACAATGTACTGCAGAGACTTATCCAGAACCGGAGATTGGATGATGTGAAACCTGCCCAAGCCACTGAGCGCCCAGGAACGCTGGAGGCCGCCTCATGATTTCCAGCGATATCGGATTAATAAATTGCAATGGAAAATGATGTCAAAAAAAAAAAAAAAAAAAAGTTAGCTATAGAGCCTTTCTTTCTATTATGTTTTACTGATGTCCTGGAGAATTTGTCATAAATATACTCGAATATACGATAAAAGGCCTTCTCAAAATAACAGTGACTGAGCCAATGTATAAAAAGTTACTGACTGCGACCCTTTCTCTTCATCTCGCTTCCTACGAGTGTCGTTATTTTACTTCAGGGTACCATGAACGTCCAAGGAGAATATAACAGACAGGAATCTATTTCCCAATATAAAATGCGTATGTCTCCTTGATTTTGTTTGACGAACTGACTCCTCACATACTTACTGAAAGATAAGTGACTATTAAAGGAAATTTAAATCCGATCAGCCAAGCCCATTTTCAGTATATATCTTTTAGATAACCAATCCAAATGAAAAGACTACCTCTTTTTGTTGGCGCTCTTGTTATCCTGGTTTCTCTCGATTTCTTGAACTTCAGTTGAGTCACCAACATTGCCGGTCTTCTTCTCGAGTTCTTTAGCTGCGAGCCTTAGAACCTCAATCTCACCTGATATCCATTTCTGAAGAGGTTTAGGATGGAAAGTTCCATCTGCAGCGAACCAAGTGGTGAACGAGGTCTCAATTTCCTTCTCTTGGAGAACTTTGTTGGACGACGATTTGTACTGGATGCTGAGTTTATAGAGTGGAGAGAATTTCTTGGTGGAGGAGCGGATAGAGATCTATTCAAAACAGACACTCAGCTTCGTTAATCCAGAAGAACTTTAAATGGATCATACCATTTCACCTGACTGCCGCTTTCCCCGAAATACTTCTCCAGCCTCCACGGCCCAGATCCAGTATGTGAGCAGGGTGTTCAGGATGAAGTAACTGGACACAGCTGCTATAACCCAGGGCGATTTTGTCGCCTCCCATCCCAGCTTACGGTCGGCATAAAAGGTGAATGCCGCGATTGAGACGGCACTGTAGCCCAGAAGGAATCGAATATTTGTCTTCGAATGGTCTTGGGTAAAGGTATATGGCCGGGGCAGGGTAGTTAAATACGGTGCCAGGGAATCGTCTGTTGTTGATTTAAGGTCTACAGGTGAATATTAGTATTTGGTAGTAATTGTAATAGCTGAATACATATTGAGGGCTCATGTATTCAGGTAATCCGCCAACAAATGAAGTAACTAAAGCCATGGGGGTATAATACTAACCATTGCCAGAGTAAACAGGCACCTTTACTGTCGGTGCTGAAGCCATTATAAGAAATCCAATCCCAAAGTATAGTTGACTCGTGGATTCCTCAACACTAGAGACTGAGAGGAAGAGAGTTACTGTTCTGAAGGCAAGAAAGTTTTGAAAGTGTAGCCTGTGTACAAGGCGCCGCGACGTTGCGGCGAGCTGTCCCTTTCGTGGAGAGCGGAGCTAAAGCGGCGTGAGATCACACGCTCACTAAGCCTCTGTCGTGCAGACCAAACCTTGGGAGAGCTTCCTACCTATCTTTCCCGACCTACCGTCAAGGCAACCCCCGATTGTGAACAATCTCGTTCGTCATGGCATTGCAAGGGGCTGAGCAGGCGATCCTTCGGGATCCTGCACTATTGTGAGTTCTGCAATTCACTCTGTCAGCGAAATGTTTGGCTAATATGGGGGGTTGTAAGCTACTGGATTTTATTCCCAATCACTATTGTCATGGTATGCTTTTTCATCATACGACTCAGACTTATCGGGACCCTTAATAGAAGCTAAAGATAAGGTATAGATATTGACAGGAATTCTTCGTCATTATGCTACGGTCCTGATGAACAGCCCTCCGAAGCCTCCGTCTACTCTGGCCGAATCTCGCGAGCGCCTGTCTCTCATCCGCGGTGTCAATTTGCGTAATAATGCATGTGCCGTCCTATCACGAGAGGCATTCGAAGCTCGAAAGAATTACATGGTCTCTGCATACCAGAATGGTGAATTCTTGAAGGATCCCGCCAGTCGCGGCCAGCCACCAGCCAACCCAATGACAGATCCGGCGGGAATGGAAGCTATGATGGGAATGATGAAAGGGAACATGATGATGATGATCCCGCATACTCTTATTATGAGTTGGATCAACGCCTTCTTTTCGGGATTTGTCATCTGTATGCCGCTCCATCCTTCTGAGCAAGCTCTCCTGAACGCACTGACGCAATTAAAAACAGTGAAATTGCCTTTCCCCCTCACGATCCGATTCAAATCGATGCTCCAGTCTGGTGTCATGACCCGTGACTTGGATGTGAGATGGGTCTCAAGCCTTTCGTGGTATTTCCTGAATCTTTTCGGTCTTCAGTCTGTTTTCGGTTTTATCTTGGGCAGCGATAATGGTTTGTCTACTCTACGTCACCTTTTTATTTATTTTTTGTTGCTCAGAGCAATACCCTACCCTTATCATGTTAATTATATCATCACTAATATATTTTTCGACTTAGCTGCGAATCAAATGTCACAACAAATGGCTAGTATGAACCCGGCTGCCGGCGTTAATCCTTTCCAACCCGGCCAGGACCCTGATAAGTTATATTTGAGTGAAGCAGAAAACTTGGAAGTAATGGAACATTTCTGTATTTTGGATGGTATTGAGGAAAGGGTGCTGCATAATTACGCTTCGAAGGAAATCTATTGATTCCCCTCATCTAGCTAGGGGTTTCCTGCCATTTTCGTGTTCTATATAGTATTGTCTAGAACAATAAAATAGTCATATTTATGTTGTTGATAAGTAAAAACTCCTTGGATCAGAAGGGTAACTTTAGAATGCACACATCAATATATCTTGTAATAGCATGAACCACATATCAAGAATGACATGAATAATAACATCAAGTATGTATAAGAAACCTCAAATCACAGTCGATACGTTTGGTCATAACTCATTAGCATATAGCATTAGCGGTAGTTGATTATACTGTTTAGGATCCATACTTCGCCGTTCGATACCTTCTCCGCAATGCTATCGACTTCGACATTACCGGGTTGAATCTAGCATTTGTTAATTTAAAGAGAACCAGAAATCAAAGAGTAAAAGGAAAGAAAATGTGAGGAAATGTCTGCGTACATAGATCTTATCTCCCTCTTTGATCCACCTCAGCTTATCTCCTCCAAGAGTCTCTACTTCCTCCCCTTTTTCCCAAGGACTTGACGAAACAATATGGGCATCGACAAAGCGCTTCAAGTTGCGCCTAGCTCGATCTTGTCCATCTTCTCCTTCATAAGCATTCGCCTCCCCAAATTGTGCGTAATCATCGGGATTTTCCCAGGGCTTGCGAGGCAGATTCTGAATGGCGCTGTTTCGGGGCGCCAGAACGGTTAAATTTCTCGCAGGGTCGCTAAGGCGAGATTCAACGGACTCGAAGTCACGCGTGAGCGATGCAAAGATATTGATACCGCGCGTTTTGGGGAGAACATCAGATATGATGGGGTTTTCCTGGTTGGATGTTTTGGGAAGGTTGGCATTTTCCCCTGAGCCTTCTGGCGGAGACATAGTTATCTTCTGATGAGCACCTTTCACGCCGGGTTCTTGCAGTTTAAGCCAGTTGCTGAGACTTTGCCTTTCCTGCAGGTGTTGTTCGTGATGAAAGTGAGGCAACTCGCTAAGCACAGAGGGGATATGTTTACGAAGGGATATTGTCGGAATACTCCAGGCTGTAGATACGGAGCAGAGTAATACAGAAACGATTAGTGCTGGAGTAAGGATGATGTGCCACATTTTGGCAGCTGATGATAACTGTAGATCAGCAAGATCAGTCAGTATGAGAAACCCATGACGCAACGGACCACGTCCTTCTGTCTCTCGAGACACGTGAGCTTGCGGAGTAGAAAACCACGTGACATTCATCGATAAGGGCCGACGTCCACAAAAAGAGCCATATTCCGGTCGCGGAGAGGAGGGAATTGGCTCGATTACCCCTCATTCAAGGTTGATTAAGAAGATGTCGGTGTTGCAGACATTCCTGCTGGTCGTAGACCACGACAAGCAGGAGGCCAAGCAAATCGCTGAACGAGTTGCTCAAGGTAATGCTGCCCGGTCGCTGGTTATCAAGGACGTTGTATCTAACTGAACTGTCCTTAAAAAGATTTGGAGAACAAAAAGACGACACTCATCGACGTTGTACAGTCTTTAGGCGAATATATCAACGACGAAGATCCTATTTTGCGTGGCAAAGCTGTCTCGTACCTTACCGCTGTGATCATTGCACTTCCTCCGAAGTTCCTTACAAGACAGCAAACCCAGGTTCTGACCACGTTCTTTTGTGATCGCATCGAAGATGGAGGAGCTGTTACGGGTCTGGAAACTCTGCAAAAACTGGATCGTTTCAATAAAGAGTTAGCTGAGGAGGTGGCACGAGCGTGAGTGAATGCTCTTTGCTTTTGAGACTTATAGACTACTCAATTGTTGAGTCGCAATCTAGTCTGCAAGACGGTGTGCGGGTAATGGCCAGAGGTTAGAACTTGCTGACATCCCTGCAGCATTTTTGAGCATTTCCAGGAATTGCAGTCTCGATCACAATCCCAGCGATTTCAAGTTTATCAATTACTAAATGAATTGATGTCCAACCATCGAGCCGGTAGGCTGTGACTTGTTCCTTTCTCTCTCTCTCTGTTGGTTGCTGACATTCCTAGCCCTGCATGACATGGGAGACGACTCTTTGGTTGGAATCGTGGACATTATGACAGGAGAGAAAGACCCCCGTAACCTCATGTTGGTATTCTCTATCTTGAAAGTGGTAATGGTAGAATGGGATATTTTAAACCACGTGGAAGTATGTATCTTTTCTGCCACTATTTCGATTCTGGGTCTAACATCCACAGCTCTTATTTGACTCCGTATATAATTACTTCCCTATCACGTTTAGGCCCCCACCGAATGATCCATATGGTATCACCTCGCAAGACTTGAAGGACCGTCTGCAGGACTGTATCTCGTCTACAAGTCTATTCGCACCGCATGCCATACCGTCATTGTTGGACAAACTTGACTCGACGTCACCGAATGTCAAGGTAAAATTCATATTTCTGCGTTACTTGTTCAATTCTAACCGTCTCCAAGAAAGATGCACTCAACGCCTTGATCGCTTGCGTTCGTTCGTATGATCCGGATACTGTATCCAGATACTCAATTACCATTTGGGATGCTCTAAAATTTGAAATACTCAACTCGCAAGAGGAATTCCTCTCTGAGCTTTCTCTTGATATTTTGCAAAATATCACGAAACGATTATCTGAGGGCGTCACAGAGATCTCCGATCAGTTGCCTTTAGCACAGTACCTACGGCCAATTACCAGGGAGTGCAATGAGCAATTGCGGGAGCCTCAACAGAAACAAGCAAGGCCTGCTCAGCAGATTCTTGGCTCCGTCTCAGCTGCTTCTGTTGCTGCGCTCATACTTGCCGTACAGGCAGTTGTTCCACCGCTGTTAACCATCTACCAGGAAGCTGATGGTATCGCTAAACAAAGAGCATTGCTAGAGACTTTGATAGTTCTCTTTGACTCGGCAATCAAAGTATTTGGAAAATGGACTACGAGGGATCCTGAGCCTATTGCCAGAAATCCTTTGCTTGAATTCAAAGACCAGTTCTCAGATATTTTTGGTCAGGCTTTAATGGGCGTAATTAAAGAAGAAGTTTCCTTCCGCGTTTCTGCTTTGACAGGATTCTTGCGCCTATCAACATTGCGCGGTTACTTCCAAGATAACGAAATTGGTCTATATGTACAATACCTTGATGAGATCCTGCTCAAGGAAGAGTCCATGGGGCGAGACGATCTCAAGAAAGATGCAATTTCAGCTTTGGCTGAGATCTCAAAGTACAAACCAAGACTTATCATGGACATTACTTTTCCTGCGTTTGTGGCGACGCTCCCAGACTCCGGCGACGATACGAACTCTGATTACTTGACAACGCTCGAGAATTTGGCGCAAATTAGCATCGAAAAGGATATCTTCGAGACATTAGTTCGGCGGTTGCTTAGCAAACTAACGATACTGCTTCAGATGGAGCAGCGTGGATCTGCAGCCTACCCAAGGACAATCCTTATGGCCATTCTCTATGTCATGAGTCAACGGCAGATGGACCAAGATCCAAACCTTGGATTCTACTACGACAAGATAGTAGTCAGCCTATGCCGCAGTGCAGCAGAGTCTGCTTCAGGCAAGGCTGAAAACAGCATTCTCAACGACGTTACGGTGCTAGATGTCCTCGGAAGGCTCTGTAACCTCATTGTTAGATCCCTTCCAAGAGAGAAACAAGATGAGGTTGCAGAGAACGTCTACTCCCTATTTTCTTCTGCAGACCATTTCTCACCGGTCCCATTTGCACCATCCGCAAGTAACAGCCAACAACGTACAATGATTATCTCAACATATCTCCTCGCGGGACTTCAGGCCGATTGTACAAAGCTCCCATACAAGAGCCCAAACATATCTGCTCTGCTATCTGATATTTCAAAGCGATCCGTTTCTACATGTGAACCACCCACCCATCTTGCCCTGCTTCGCCATCTTTCTCTTCTGGTCAATAAATTCCTACCTAAATCCGAACTGGCCCTCGCCACAGACCTAATTGACTCTCTCCTCCCTGCCGGTACCGAAACAGAGAAAATCAGTCCTGAGAAGCTAGCAACCGTGTTCTGGCTCTCCAAGGCCCTAGTCCTAAGACTAGCCCCCCAAACATCCCAGCTCCTAACATCACTACTGGCACTTGTATCATCTCCAGACGAAGGAACCAGTACCACAGCCGCGCGCGGATTCACCATCCTTCTCAGAGACGACGACGTACTTTCCCCCTCCAACGGGGCCAATATCCGACTTCTATCGAAGCAACGCGTCTTCACGACCTTGGTACCTCTTATCTCGAGCAAGATCAGAGAAGTCAATGTCGCCGGCAAAGAGTCATCCGCCCCCGCTCACGTCAAGTCCGCTCATCTCACAGCCTTATCGGGGATTTTGTCTACTATTTCTCCTTCCATGGTTATGCCCGAACTCCCAACCCTGCTCCCCCTCCTGCTGCAGAGCTTGGACCTCCAAACAGCTGACTCGCAGCCTGTGAGGGCTGCAACACTCGACACCCTTGCCGTGATTATCCGCGAGAACGGCGTCGGTGTAATCGAGGAATGTGGCCACGTCCAGAGCCTTGTCACCCGACTTCTCAACACGACAAAGTGTACTCTCGCTACGGAAGATGTCGACCCGGACAGACAACCTATTCCCGTCAATGGGCCGCGATTGCGTGCCGATGCACTGAAATGTCTCTTCCTGCTCGCGCAGACCCCCGCATCTGATGCGCCGGCTGTCGCCAAGGCAGGAAAACTCTCCCCACTCCTCCCTGTCAAAGGCCAAGTGTTACGGTCTCTACGCATGGTTCTTGATGATCCCAAACGAGACGTGCGTAAAGCAGCCGTTGATGCACGTGGTGCTTGGCTCAGAGGCGTTGATGATGCGCCAGATGATGAAGACTAGTCTTTTCTTTCTATTTCTTTTCCATCTCTTCCCCCTTTCCTTTCCTTTTTAAATGACTTTTTCTGACGTGCTCGGCTTGGAAGGAAGTTGATGATAACTGCTAGATATTTATAGATGATTGGGGATTTATGTATAAAAGCTCTTGATCCAAGATTTTGGTTATGCTCGGGTCCTGAAGTACAATTGACATGGCGCATATATATACTACCGACTGCGAATAAAAACTAGTTTAAAGGTTCTCCCAATGGATGTGTTTCTTTCGTAGGATGAACCACCATTGACTTTACTTCAAAGTAGAGATTGGTGCACATGTGACATTGATTCCTTGCTCATTCGAAGTACTGGAGATGCTAGCTGTTCTGTCTACTGCCCGATCACTTGCCTACCATGTGGATCTTCCTTCCCCTTCTTCATTAAAAGAAAACAAGTCCCAGCCTCTAAAAAATTTAAAAAAAAGATCTGAAACAGTTATATGCAAATTATTTTACCAGTATTCCTCCTCAATCTGTTCCATAAGTTTGGCGGAAGGCGTGGAAGAGGACTTTTTGCTGACATCCACTGTCGCGCTCCCTACTTCCTTAATACTCTCTAGCTCGTCGTGGTTAAAACTCTTTGGCTCGACTTTCGTATTAGCGACTGGGAGTGACGTCGCAGGGACGCTGAGCATGCCTGGAGGAGCGTCCAACGAGCCAACGGGAGCCATACGCACAGCTTCAGCGATGGGATTGAAGTTCCAAAATCCGACACCATCAATTTTTTCGATAACCATTTTGGCCAGGCGGAAGAGATCCCCGATACCTGTATCGCCAATGGCAACTGCAACAGGGCCTGGTGAGGCTTTTGCTCGAGAATCCTCACTGGAGTCGTTGCAAAGAAGAGCGTCTTTTCCGAAAAGGTCAGTGCTCCGCCAATCATCTGTACGTTCTCCGAGTTCAAGGTTGGCGTTTGCCTTTAAGATAGTCTCAATGGCAGGACTGACGAGAGAAACTTCGTACCACTGCCGTCCGTTTTTGAGCATATCTAGAAGTGGTGCGCAGCGAGCTTTCACGGCCTGCGCGTCTGATACACCAGTTCCAATGATTAAGTCTTGTACTTCAGTAATTTGTAGGAATATATCCTGGTTCTCAGCACCAGTTTCTACCCCACTATTCAAGCTATCATGGTCCCTTGAGGTTACCTCTCTTGGAGCCATCTGAGTTTCTGTAAACTCGGAAGCTTGCGTAGATCCGGCTCGTAAACGCGTCGAAGATGCCGAGTCAGATATGGCGGCATCTTTCGGGGAGGTTTCGTCTGGGCGAATATAGCGATGACGGGTCCAGCGTTTCATGAACACTTTTTCAATACTTAATTCGCTCCCCTGTGGGATTTGAGAGAAAATCTGAATTAGTTGCTTGTCTGGTGGGATCCAGATATGGTCGACCAGATACTGGGCTGCTTTTTCAAACTCTGGGTTGCTTCCCATATTATACCCAGCAGCGCCGTTCACACTTATGTTTGCATCCCATGTATGACTGGGAAAATGTAGATTGACCCCTCCCAGCGCCGTGGTTGGCCTTCTGATCGAATGACTCCCTTGTTCGTTCATGGTGATGATAAGTAACTGCCCCGACTTGGACCGACAATGGTACTCATAAAAAACGCAGTATTCGTTGTCGCCCTGCTCGAACGCTTGACGCCTTCCCTGGGCTTTTGATTCTTTTAGGCCCACGATATAGTCAACATCAGAACCTGACGTTGTGAGTCTATTAGTAAATTTTGTTGTGGGAGCGACAATGCCAGTCCGTGGCTGGAAGATTCTTGTCCATTCACCAGCAGAGATCAGTCCTTCTTTGTAGGTTTTGGGTAAAAGGGGAATTAAAACAAGACCGAACTGAACCTCCAGGGATAATGGGCCCGGGAAGTATTCTGCAGCTTCCAGTGTTTGCTTCAGAGCTTCGAAAAGATGTTTGATCTCCTCGTTGGTATGTAATTCTGCCTTGGCATTCTGTAACTGCTGCTTGTTTGGCCTTCCCTCTGACATCGTTTGCCCCATTTCCCTCTTCTCAAAGGACCTCTCATTCCTGGAATCACCAGAAGCTACCTGTTTCACCGGCTGCTTTGGAATTCCCCACGCATCTTCAAGAGTAGCTTGTCTTTTGACGTTAATTTCAGACTTACTCATTGACTTACCTGTAGATTTAGGTGCCCTTTGATTCATGGTGAGGTAGAACTTTCTGCTGCCTACTTCGTCAGAAGACTGACTCGCCTCTAATCTATGGCACTTCTCTAGCTCCGTGAGTCTTTCTTGCGCCAGCACTCTATTCACATGACGCCGCGATACAGGCCTGTATGTAGTAGCTGTATTGGCTATATTAACACAGCCTACGTCCTCCTTTTGCACCTCATATATTTTCTGCAGTCGAGAGAGCCTCTTCTCTTGCTCTAAGAACTCATCTTCAGCAAAAGAAACATTGGAGTCGAAGTCGAGGCCAGCCAGGTCATGCATATTGCCTATCCCGTGCGGGATGGGCATATTGTTACTGTTGCATTTAGACTCACCATCCACTAGCAGCTTCTCGGGAATCAAGGCAGGTTGATCGAAAGACAGAGGGGGTGGACCAATATTGGTAGTGTATGCTGGTGCAAAAACGTCCACAAGCTGACTCTCCTTACGTGGCTTTCTCCCTGGTCCAGGGCAGATATTCTCGTTTACTCTGTGGGGTTTGGGGTGCTCCCACATTGTCTTCATCATAGAGTGAGAGAGTTTGTTGGCTCCATACTTGTTTGCTCCGTACTTGGTCACGTCGAAATTCGACGGAAGCCTTGATCTGTTCTCGGGAGGGCTAATATTGGCCGGGACGAAAGCAATCCCGCACAGGACATCTCTATCTTGCTTTCCGGCCCCAGTTATGGGCTCGGCTGACTGCGAATTCTTACTTCCGCTTTCAATCTCATATGTCATTTTCCATTTTTTGCGCGGGCTTGAGGTAGTATCGTCCGCGGGGCCTTTGGCTGGCTCTGACCTGGTAGGTGGGGAATTAGAGGATGGTATAGATCCCTTGGGGTTTGATGTCACGGCTCTTCTTGATTTGATACCGGGAGGTCTTATAATTGATTCGCTCGGAGGTTCCGGTTGTGATGCCAAGTTGGGTTCCCACTCTTGCTCAGTTTGGACTATTTTATTTTCAGCCACCCATTGATCAACTTGCTTCACCTTTTCAGCAGATAAGTATCTGTGAGGAACTGAGTCCCCCATGAGAGCTACTGCAGGATCTGAGTGAGCTTTTTCAACCACCGACTCCATTCTGAGGAACCGGTCACCCGCCCCTATAGCTTGGAAGGTGAAGTCTTTCCAAATTCGAGACTTTCCAGGTTCCTCCTCTACTCGTGGAGGGGTAACCAGGTTCTGTGGCAATTTAAAAGCCTGTGCGTCATCGTCAAATGAAAGCGCGGTGGTGACGAACATCTGACCGAGACTTGAATTCGAGTTCAAGGTTGGGTCTGTTAGGATGCGGCGCATAGCCACAGGGTTCAGACTGCTGTAATTCTGGATACAGAAGCGGGTCGTTTGGTCGTCTGCAGAAATTACCATGTTTCTCACATGTGGTTTGTCAATAGACGACTGTATGGAAGTTAGCTAGAGGCCACAGGGCTTTCAAAAAAGATCGCAGTTCACTTACCAGAGATTTCTCAATCCGAGAAATCTTCGCCAAAGCATCATCGACGTCATTTGAATTTTTGGCGGAAACTTGGATTCCTTTCAGATCCTCCGCCACGGCAATCTCTGTGCCCGTCATGATTGCGATGCTGCTAAGGATGTCATGAAAGTTGGCTGCAAAGCAACCCACGCCACCATCGGATGAAACCCAGTGCTTTGTGACGCGGTCAATAGAGTGAGGAATTAATTCTTCGTTGGGGTCTTCATCTAAAGCCAAGAGGTCCCCTTCCTGACTCTCATTGTGCTCATCCAAAACAGGGTTTGAATCATCCTGAAGGGCAGAAGGTATGTCAAGTTGACGAATTTGTGGTACCTAAATTTAATAAGAGCTCGTTCACAAATATGTACATGTAGAATATGAAAGAGCTTACATCTAGTAGATCCTTATGTTTCTGTTCATCAATGTAGCGTGACAGTATATCGGCGACTTTGGAGACAGGCCCATCTAAGGGTCCTTTAATAAGAAGGACCTGTTCAAAAAAGAATTAGTAAAAGCTAGATGGAAGCAGCTATTAAGTATCTACAAACATCATCCGTTTTTGAATATTCACAATGACAATCGAGGTGAGTGCCGGTTTTCCTAAACAGCTATCAGTCTTATAGGAATTATATACAGTCTGAAGAAGACATACTTAAATTTACTCTCAAGCTCCTCAACCTGTTAGAGAAATCTTACAGTCAGTAAATATTTCCGTTTTTACAAATGGGAGGCTAATTTCTTACTGCAGTATCTTCAAATGCCCATATAGATGCAAATGTTAGACGTGATTGAGATGCCATACTGGCATTCCTTCAGGGGCAGGGCATCCACGGACAAGGCGCCAGAGCTGGCGAAGAGTGGATGTGAATGTTGATTGCGAGGAATAGAGGATATGAGTGCAAGTGCGTGCAAGATAAGGCGAGAGTGCTATGAAAACAGCAGGATGAGAAGAAGAAGAAGAAAAGTAGCTCCTGCACGTTGAAGACACGTAGATTTCCAATTTAAGGGGTTATAAAATGCTTGGAAAGAATAGATGACATAGGATGTCATAGGACAAACAAATCCCAGTGAGACGACCAAGAAGGGAGAGGGGAGAGGGAAGAGGACAAACAAAGGTCGTATGGAAAGAGTTAGGGGAACATAAACAGAACAGCCGTAGGGAAACTATAGAGTGAATGTGTTGGTGTGTGGTAGTAAGGGTGTTGGAATAGTAAGACATTCACAACGTCATCACCGTATCCAAACGAACACCGGAAGGATAGATGCAGATGGAGCTGAAGATAAGTCTTACTCAGAATAGAGGCATTTCACTCTAAAGGTAACTAACATACTTGTGTTGGTGCTAATATACAGGCAATGAATAGGATGGGTGAATCCTAGTTCTGAGTCTGGAAAGAGCTCCCAATAAAGTCCAAGTCACCTGAATGGGATCGAGTGACTGCAGAGGGCAGTGACTGTAGCAGATCTCATTGAATATCAAGCACTATGTGACTCTAAAAATGGCCAGCTTTAGTTTGCATTGTCATATTTACCTCGAGATATCTCTATTATGGTCTAGGTTATGGCAACCATCACTGTACTTCAAAAATGGTCTGGACATCAGTTAGGGAATATAAAAAATGACGATCTATCTTTTCCAGGGTATCAAGCATTCCCAAACGCCGGACTGCAACAAGCGCCTCTAGGCACGCTTGGAGAGAGGAGAAAAGAAGAGCAGGCGAAAAAAAAAAAAAAAAAAGAGTGAAGAGAAGACGCTATGGAAACACATGAGGCCGAGAAGGATTTCTGTATCATATCGTCTTGATGAGACGACATTGCGAGGCAGGCCACGTTTAAGGTACCAGTTCTCAATCAGGCTCTGGTGATTAGCCCTGACTTGCCTATACATGGTTGATGGCCGAAGTTTCTCAGTCCTTATTTATTCAGCATCTTTGATTGCCTTTTTGACCTGAATAACCCATCTCATCTGTTCCTCGGTTTCCTTCAATGAAGCCAAAGCAGCCTCGATTCGCGTATCTCCCTGATGGCCCTTCTCAATCATAGTCCTCACTCCCTCGTCATGAGCCTTCTTATAGGATTCGTAGTCTTCAAACAGCTTCTCGAAACTTTCTCTGCTGACTTCAATCTCCCTGTTTTTCTGAGCCATGACTGTGTCTAATCGCTGGAGTTGCAGATTCTTCTCTTCATGTTTTCCTTTCAAAGCAATGAATTCATCTCGGATGGTTTTAAATTTTCTCTGCTGATCAACTCGCTCGCGTTGGCCGGCTTTGGCGAGCACGTCATATTGGGTCCGCGCATGGCTTGCGACTTCCTGCAATTCTGCACATTTTCGATTGAAGTCGTCCCGAGCTTCATCCATCAATTGACGGATCTTGTTGGTCTCCTCCTCCGCCCGGCGACGTCGATCCTTTTCGCTTTGCGCTTCGGTACGAAGCTCTTCGATCTTGTTGTCTTTCCGAGAAATCGAGTGGAGGTTCGTCTCGTTCGCCTGCTCAAGATTCCGGAGGCGCTCCGACATGTTCTGTACTTGGGTCTTGAAGGCATCGTTCATGCGCTGGGTCTCCTCCGCTCGGGAGCGATAGAGACTGCACTCGCGGGTCAGACGCGCAATTTCCTCCTGCAGATTGTGGATAACGCGTCCAGACTTGCCCGTTGCTGCGTGGCCGACGGCGGAGGACCATTCCGTTGTTGACGTACCGCCGTTCGTAGGGTTCGGGGACCCAATGCTATGGGTCGAGGAATGTAGGGTTGACGAATCTGCAGAAATGCACGAGAAATCAGAATGAGCATTCATCGTCCGAGTTGGCACGGTCCCAAGCTCTCCCCCTGGTGACCCACCTGTAGATATCGCCATTGTTGTGGGCTCCTTTAGGTGCTCCAGTGCGTCAGGTTCGAACAGGCCATTGTACCGATGCATATTCAACTGTGTTTCCACATGTGGGAGGCTGACGCGAGGGTATCGTTGGGGGCGCCCTGACGCAAGAGCATCCACGTTAGCATTCTCAGCTTCTGCCTTTAGCGTCTTCTTGATCCGACCGAATCGGACCATGCTTGGCAGGGAAGTGCGGGTATTTGGAATGTGAGGAACAATGGAGGGTTGGCCGCAACGGGGAAGAGCTGAAGTATGATGTAGCAGAGACCCAGTGATGGGCCTGATCGCAGGACCAGAAGTTGGAAAATGGTAGGTGTAGTGAGGCTGCAGTAAGGAGCTGATCGGCTGGATAAACATCGACCAGCGCAACCAAGCTAGCCCTACAACCACGCCGCTTCACCGCACAACCATAGCATATTTGAAGGAAGAGAGGGCAGGGTATCCGTAGAAGTTGAGGTGAGGAATAATAATGGCATGGCCGAGGTAAGAAAGGAGGGCATACCAAAGTGTGGATCACAGACTGATTTGCAGGGGATCTGCAGCAGAATAATTAATGTGACGATGAGAATTGCGATGAGACTGCTTATTCATCGCCCAGACATCAGCATTAGAACCTTGCAGTGGATAGCAGAAACAGCGCAAAAGTTGGTCAATAACACTGGCAGGTAAGTGAGGCGTGGATTTATCGACTTACAGCGACAAAAAAAGGAATGGAATATTCTTTAGTAAGAAATACCCGTGGAAGAAAGAGAGTCCAAGTCATGCATGAAAGGACAGTATATATACACAAAAAAGAGACATCTCACGATGCCATAGCGAGGAGGGATGAAGAGGGAAGACGAGAGATTTGTACAACCTAAACCCTGGACTGTTCAGGCGGAATTTAATGTGATCTGTATGCACGCTAACAGCGGCCACTAGACAGCGGTTCTGCCTGATGATCCTCCATTCTTTGGAACTACATACTGGATACAATGCCCACGGCCAACAGGTTTTGGCCATGGAGAAAATCGATAATTGCAACATTGACTGGGAACATTCATACCATGCACAGACAAGGGCAATAGAAAATAACCAAGACAAGATTCTGAGAAGAGGCACTGCGACGAGAATAGGGAGATCAATTCAATGGACCACATCGAATGCGCGCGATATATACACGAGAGACATGGATGATTCATCCCAACGACAAGTCATCAAGGTGTCTTCTCGCTCAAAGGATTTAGAATTAACCGATCCATAAATACTAAAAAGTGAATGGATAAACAAACATCACGGACAAAAGTCTTAAACAAAAGGAAGAAAGACATACGACACAACAGGATGGTATAGTCCAAATATTCCTATCCAGGCCACTGGGCCCGTCATCTGGTGAGATACAACACGAAAGCTGCAGCACCCAGCACCAATTCCGGGTAGGTATTTCGAAGCGATGCACCGCTGGCTTGCATTTGGGCCGCCATGGCGCTCTTGTGGGATGTCAAATTGTTGCCCGAAGTTGTGGAAGTAGCATTCTTTGAAACGGTGTGACCGTCGTTGCCCTCGCGGACATCTTCTCCCAACTGATCGTGCGTTGCAGTTTCAAAGTCCGGGGAATCTGGGTTATCAGACGAGGGTCGGGGCCCCTTAGACGGAGGAATGACGGTGTCGGAGGACTCAAGGGTGATGTGTCCGGAATAATTAACTTGACCTTTTTGTCTGATCTCCAGAGCATAGTCAGAGCCCGCAGGAAGGCTGTCATCGGGAACGAAGGTAAATATTCCTCCTCGGGCGTTGTCGGTCAAGACTTGGACGTGGCCGAGGTCGTGAGCTTCCCCTTTGCGCAAAGTTATAGTGGTATCCTGCAGACCCATTCGTGTCAGCGAGAGCTTGGTGCTAAGAAGGCAGAGGGAGGATACACAACACATACCACGTCATCATCACCACTCCAGGTCACATTGGCAGGCTGGCCAGATTTAATTGTAGATGGCCAATAGGTGAAGGCCACCGGGACTGCAATACTGACTTGTGCCAGACAGAGGCAGGCAGCGATGAGGGACTCCAACAATCGCATCGTGATACTTGCTAGGACCTTAATAGATGCTAGGGGATATGATATCACGGTTAAGCAGTGCGAGTGATGGATATAGAGCAGGCAAGAGAGAGCAGACTATCTATATGAAAGAGAAGTGAACTCGTGAGATCGAGCCGAGCTGTTTGGAGGGGAGGACCTTCCCTTGTTGCTCACTCCAAAATAGACAAGCACGACCCTCGACTCCTTCTGCGATAAACCTGAAGGACAATCTGACTGTAGAAGGAGATGCAGATTACTTACCCCGTAAACTCAATCTTGCACTCCACTTCTCAATATTAGAGGATTCTCAGTGTTGATATCACGTGTACAGAAGCAAACGCGAGCAAGACACTTTTCCAGGACGGGTTGGGAGTTGAGGTTGAACACAGAAAAACGATAAGAAATTATTAGGCCTTTATTAGTATATTGGTATGAGCGACTAAGCACTCTACGACCTAAATATTTAGTTGGCTCAGGGCCGTGAATTGTCCAGTAAACTAGTCACATTCCTGGCCGTGACAGTTATCTTGTTGTGAAAGGCAATGGTGCCTATCCTAGGAATGTGTGGATAGATAGTACCTATGGTGATAGAGGCATTAACTAGCTATACAGAGTGATGAGATTCTTCTCTCTATTGTTCTATAAGTCCTGTTTTGTGTCAAGCCATAATGTGGAATCCTAGGTCCAGTCAACCCTTGTTATTAGCTATTATAGTAGCTAGCGATCTTTTACAAGGGCTGCAAATACAGAACAGTCGCTTTTCTGGTAATTATACAGTTACAGGATTTCTAAAGCTTCGGAAAGGTTATAGAACTAACTTTTTATCTACACTACAGACCTAGTGAAATATATATGAACTTAGTTCTCTAAAACTCCAACCCTTTGTGTGAATAACCAGGTGCATTCGATTGCATGCCTTACTTAGATATTTGCGCTATGATCACATACATTCCTTTGGTTTTGCTATGTATGGACGGTATATTATTTCGTCAATTACCCTTGCCATCTAGTTTTGTTTGTTTTGCTTTCTTCACTTTGGACCATTCCACGCGCGGTGGGTGTGTTGATCTGCAAGGGGCAAGGGGCTCAGTGTCCAGACTAATCAGGTAAGTAAACATAAGAGCATTGGTGAAGTCTGTCCTGGGGAATAAAAAGTGTTCAGTGTAGAATAGGGTTGTCGTTCTTTGGTATTTTCAGTTGGGCTAGTATTTTTAGCTACTGTCACAGTATGTACATACTATGCATATACCTATCATAGTCTATCTAGATACTTAGAATCCATTGGCCTTCATTGGTAACCTAGTATCGATACTCTGGGCTAGTTGACGCAGCGTTGCATTATTAGTGCAACAATCCACATCTTCTGCAGGATTTATGTATCACGCAAGAGGTAGGTACGTAAATCAATTCCTTATAAAGTCTGCCGTGTCTGTGCTTGAAGTTGATTGTAGTTCGCCAGCCTTCGTGCTACAGCGCCTTTAACCTCAGCAAAAGAAGAAAAGATATTAGACGAGACTGCAGGACTCATGCTAGAGCCTTATGATGGCATCTTGATCTTGATTTATTAAAAGAGCCAATTGAACTGAGCACCCGTTGGTGACAGGAGGTGGCTATTCAATTGACAAAATGCTAGTGGATGACTCAGTTTTGTCGGCAAAGCAAATTTCAATATAGTATCCTTGGGTCGCTGTTTGAGGTATGAGTCTTGCTGGATATCGGCGAGCAATAGGAGCATTGTCTAAGGTATCATCTGTAGGGCTGTGAGAGGCTCTCTCCCTAATGCTGACCCCCTAACATGGACCTTTGGCTCTTCATTGCTTGTGTATATTGCATGAGAAAAACAGAAAAACGTCGTCGGACCACAAAAAGCACCGTACACCGCTTGTACGCTCTAATATAGTACTATCATGAGTGTTGTTTAATAAGCAGCGTATTTGGTAGTTCACATTGAGACTTGATCTGGTTTCTGTATGACTGGGTTGTTTTGTGGCTAGGAGACACTGAGAGAGACAAAAACGGTATCAAGCGACTTCGAAAGTAGTCCGAAGGAAAAGCCTGACACTGGCTGAACGATAGAGGCACCAATAAATTCTACTGGCTGACAAGGGTGCAAAGCCCTAGTTAGCCAGGCAAATCGTCTTAATATTGACATTGAGAGAGAGTCCTGCCGCGGGCAGTTCCCTCTTGGACTTGGAGTTCAATAAAGTTAACAATGTAAGTGTGATACCAGGAATGTAAATATTAATGTCCAGATCCAACAGGATAAAAATGGGACTATTTTCGATGGACATTCTTTAATGTCTCACGATGGGTGAATCGAATGCTGCATTCTGCATTCACCTCCTTACAGGAATGTGGATATTCCGTGGCCCTATTCCAGTCAAAGACACTTCTAACTTTTGCAAACGTAGTGAAGTTGAGTGCAGATTGCTTGATAAGCCCACTTATGTGAAAAATTTATGCATGTCTTTTGGGAATTCTTTACAAGATATGGGCTTTTTTACAAAACTTGTTACTATATAAATCGTGAATATCTCATTGAACCGTCCTTCCATCAGGATTGAGGGGCCAAAAACTGGCTTATATGAGAATTACCTACCTAGACAAAGTTTATCCCAGGGAGTACAGGATTGGTCTAATAGTAAAACACAAAATATTGCATTGGAAGTTGTCCAATGGTATTAGAGTTATAACGATATCCGAACAGGGAAGCAAAGTAGCAGTACCACCTACTACATCCCACATAACATTGTCATCAGGAGGCATGGTAGCTTTCGGGAACGAGATATGAGTTTCTAAAAATAAGAATGTTATCCAGAAAATTCTTCCAGACCAAAGCAACGGTGACAATTCAGCCCTATCCAGACTTACCGAAAACGGAAATGCCCTGGGCCTCGCTTCTACAGATTGCGGAGGACAGTCGCTTTGGTACGCCGTATAGGTAGACCAATCTCCTAGGCAGAATCCCCGATCGGGTATTCTCCGTTACATTTGCCTCGAGGTGAAGTTACAGTTGCTTCAGAGGCCGAACCGGTTCCTGCGTTCCTTCCGTTGCAGGCTGTTGCGATGCCTTCGATTTATTCCAGACGGAATAGAGGCATGGACTTTCATGAGAGAACTTCAATCCGTCAAAAATCATAAAACAAATTCTGTCTTTTCTCTATACTATCCAGAATTATTTTGATTCCATTTTCTTTATCACTACCCATGGCATACTAGCTTGCACGACGCTCGTTAATTTTTCCTTCCTTTGGCAATATCAAACGACATACTTATTCACTTCCCTTGCCGCCTTGCCCGATCTGCATTTTTGTTGTTTTTTATTCAACTGCCTTTCCACTGGCATGGTGGCGCCACAATTCCCTGTTGCCCGCAAGTGCAGCGGACAGTCGACCACCCGCCCCGAGGACGAAGTAGATAAGTTCACTACCAGTTCGTCAGTCTCCGACACACCTCCACGATTCTATCAAACAGTTGGTGTAGCGGAACAGCCGAGATCGCCCAGTCTCGAGGGATTCGAACCCACGAGCGAGCTGCCAGACTCGTCCCTGGACGAGACCCGACAGGGAGCGCTGGACACACTAGCACTATGTCGTAATGTCATCACGACGCTCGAGTTGACGCGTCTGCGCAAGTCCCGAGTGGGCCTTTACAATTGGCTCACGTTTTGGACTCGGTTTTACGGTCGGGAGATGACGCAGTCGCTAAGCTCTCGAGTCAGCGCCGCGTTGTGCTGTATTGACGCGCTGTTCCGTAGGGTCTCGCAGGACCTGCACCGATTGACGCAGAACACCGAAGAAGTAGTCATGGACGCCTCCTCCGAGCAAGCGATCGTATACATTCTGGAGCAAATGGAAGCCGAAGTGGATATCCAACGGAGATGGAGACGGAGAAAAGCACGGCATATCCTATGCAAGATGCGGACCGACATCGAGCTGATTCCCGTCAGGGTGAGCGATGAACTGTTCGACGACATCAAGCGCGGCGTGTTTGCTCTGGACGTCTTTTGTGATTACCATCCGGGCGATTCGATCGCAGAAGAACATGATGCGGCTTGGTCGGAGCAATTTGTCGGACTGTCGACCGATGTCGTCGAGCTCTCCCCGTATCTCGCCCACCAACGTTACCAGTCCGCGGCTGAGGGGTGGGTGATGCCTCTGGGATCGTTTACTGCGAATAATACCTCATTTGATTCTATAGAGCAATACTATGCGTCTAACGGTAATTATGAAGTGTGGCGTCCTCATCAAAGTCGTGCGACTCGTCGGTGGTGACTCTGAACCACTAAGGGAACGGAATCGAAAACTCCATGAAAATATGACTCCATTTTGGTGATGCATTATTTTGCTACTTTTAGATAGACACTTATCTTCCTCCTTTCTTTGGACCAGAAGACCTATTAACTAATGAATTAATTATCATGTGAACTGTAACATTTCCTGCTTCGTTTAGAATAGACCTAATTATATACTCTTTAAAACAGAGGGGAACAAAAGACCAACAAATCGACATCAAGAAAACTCCCACAGACTTCTTATGAAATGTCCAGGAGCCGTGTCTTGGCCTCCATCCTCTTCCAACAAACGGTCGGTGAATATTCGCTTGGGTATTTGGTACTCTACAACTGGAATCCTCTTCAACGGTTTATCTTCGGTCCCTAGCTCTGCCTGCAACATTCCCAGGTAGGTGTAATCCAGAAAATCGTCCAAATTGTACATTTGTTTCGTGAACTGCTCCGCGAGGATCCGCGCGATAGCAGCCACATTGGGATGATAATGGGACTGAAGCGAGTGGATTTCCCAAAGACTGCTCTCAATGGCATCTGAGCGGGTGGGATCGGGCTCCTCAGGGTCGAATGGGTCATCCATTCCCTCAGCCTCCAGCTCGGCTTTGGTGTCCTTGTTGTTGATGACGCGATGAAGCATCAATGTACAGGTAGGGTGGCTTTTCAGGAGGTTGTACATGAAGGGTACCATGGCGACAATTGCAGTGGGCGGTGCATTCAGCGCGAGACGAGCGAGACGTTTGATGAAACTTGCCACGAGCGAGGCAGGAAGATGGGTGGAGGCGAGGAACGTGTTCATCAGGCGGAAGAATCGGGAGCGATGTTTCGAGTGCAACAGGTTGGCATCGAGGAGGGAATACAGCTTGGGATAAAATTGAGGATAGTCGAGGTTCTTCTCCTGGATCAAGTAGAAGAGACCGGAGAGGGCGAGAAGAGATGTCGCACCTCCGACGTTGTAGGAGTCTGTCAGAAAATCCATGAGCAGTTCTGGTCGATTGAACCAGGGCTCGATGGAGTGGACCATGATACGGAGAAGAGTTTTTCGTTGTGATTCGGAGAGGCCGCCTCGGAGAACTGCCAGCCATGCATCTTGTGCCTGCTTCTTGTGTGAATTGACCGAAGTCATCTTCTTGTTCTTCTTGCTGGTTTTGGTGTAGAACTTTTCCAGTTTCTGTTCAGCGGTTGGAATCGTGTCACACGCCGATAGCATGGAAATCAGGACTTCGATAAGTTCCGTATCTCTTCCAGTTCCCGCATAGTCACTATACCGTTCATTAGTATCCCAGACTGTATTCCAACCATATTCGACATAGATTACGTACGAAAGTTGCGAGAACATGTGGTATCTCACATCTTCATATTCTTTCGCGAACTTGTCGATAAACTCGCACTGTAGTGCCTGTCCATTTCTAGCCTCGACGACAGCTTCGACAACGGATTTAAATAGACCTGAAGTCCAGACCTGGGTATCATCGCCGGGGAGGTGTGCTGCACGTTCATGGATGAGGCGCATACATAACGTCAAGGCCGTGATCTAATTGAAGACATTAGACAAGACAGAGATGCAGTCCAGCCGCGGAACATACCTGAGAAGAAGGATCGCTTTCACGCATAATAGCGATCAAAGCCCTCTGATACTCACGAAGACGTTCCTTCAGCCAAGCCACAACGATCTTTTCATTCTCCGCAGCCCGGTTTGTCTCCGATAGATCGCCACCAGCCATCAGCCTGCCGAAGACCCGGCAGAGGGACACTGCTACGGCCAAATTTGGTTTTGTGCCCTTCACATCGACATTGAGCATGGAGATCAGTATTGCGATGTTGTTGTAGTACTTCCGCGACTCTGATATTTGGTCTTCTAGTTGCTGGATTTTGGCCATCGCATCTGTGTCTTCAGTTTCTGCCACTGCACGGCGTTTCGAAGACGGGATGCCGCCTTCTTTGAAATTCTTTCTCTTTTTGGAGCTTGTCACTATCTCCGTAGGGGCCACCATTTCGACCACTCAGTATCGTACAAGGAAAAATATAAAAAAGAAAGACAAATGCACTGACTGTATTCCTGATGGATTCTTGGTGAATCGTGAATTTTCGAGATCCTCGGCTAGCGGTTTTTCCGAAACTGGGACGCCATACCTAGACAGGCTAGCGTCTTCCCTCCCTCCAAACCATCCCGACCTCAAGTCTCCTCAGTTCCGTTCACCCATCACATCTTGTCAAGGTCTTCCCATCGCTACAATGGCTTCTCGTCTGGCTAAGAGCGCCATTGGTATGCCGCATACACATCTTTATGGCGCGCCTGAACACTTGATTACAGTCGCTAACCCCAGTTAGGTGCTGCCCGGCTCCGGCCGACCCTTCCCACCCGCAGTGTCGCTCCCATCGCTGCCAGCCTGTCCGCATCTCGTTCGGTGTCCGGCGTCCCCTCCGAGGATCCCAAGAAGAAGGCACAGTCGATTGTCGATGCTCTCCCTGGAAACTCCCTAGTCTCTAAGACCGCCGTCCTCTCCGCCGCCGCCGGTCTCTCCATTGCCGCCATCAGCAATGAGCTCTATGTCATGAACGAGGAGACCGTTGCTGCTTTCTGTCTTCTCAGCGTTTTCACCGCCGTGGCCAAGTACGGTGGCCCTGCATACCGGGAATGGGCTGAGGGTCAGGTTCAGAAGCACAAGGACATCTTGAACGCTGCCCGTGACGACCACACCAACGCTGTCCAGCAGCGTATGAGCAACGTCAAGGAGCTCTCTGGTGTTGTTGACATCACCAAGCAGCTCTTTGCTGTTTCCAAGGTAGATTTTTTTCCCCTCTATTTTCCGTGGAATGGTTGATTTGGTTCCTCGAGTCATAGCTTACTGACACCGTCCCAAGGAAACCGCCCAGCTTGAGGCCCAGGCCTACGAGCTCGAGCAGCGTACTGCTCTGGCTGCCGAGGCCAAGCAGGTCCTTGACTCCTGGGTGCGCTACGAGGGCCAGGTCAAGCAGCGCCAGCAGCGTGAGCTTGCCGAGTCCGTTATTGGCAAGATCCAGAAGGAGCTCGAGAACCCTAAGGTTCTCCAGCAGATCCTTCAGCAGAGCATTGCCGATGTTGAGCGTAAGTTTACCGCGTGACTTTTTGTTGAGCATACAGAGGCTCATTCTTCATCTAGGGATCATGTCTTCTTCCAAGGCCCAGTAGACGGACTTTGCATGAATAGCCTAGCTTTAACATCGTGTACAAATTAAAGATCTGTTTCTGTTCTCAGTTAGACATACCAATACCATTCGGACTAGTCCGGAAACATAGTTGTAAATGATAGTTTATATCTGTGGATAGTAAGGGTATCGCAATGTCCCGTTCTTAAAGATCCCATAATGGGGATATTCCATGTATGGATGGTCGCGTTGTGTTCTGAACTCTATTGGAATTGGTGGAAGCCATCCCTGTGGCTGGGGTTAATTGTAGCATAGTATATAAGAGGTAAATTTCCCGGTTGGATATCGAAGACAAGAAGGCCCCATTGACACGTGTGCAAAATAGACTAGGTGCATGAAGCTGACAAACTCCCCCATGGATAGTCAGTTAAATCGGTAATAATGCAGTCATTCCTTCATACGTGTAGCTTTTTAGTCGAGATGATCAAAGCAGACTGGTGAGATGGTGTATCACTGGATGTTATTCATTCATTCTCTTCCTCTAGTTCACTGTGTACCAGGCACTCGTAGGGCTCGCTACGCGATCATACCATAGAATCATTTATTCTTCCAAATTGACTGAACAATACATATATATTTAACAGAAACAGAAAAATATAGCTCAATAGATGGGCTAATTTTAGGCATCAGAATCCCGAGAACAGCCAGGCATCAAAATCAGATTTATTCGCGGGCCAAGACAGTCAGTCAACCATGGATGTTGAACGAGTCAGACAAACGATGTCAACATAGCCTCCGCGCTTACAATGGACAGGGCTGAGATTTCGTTCGTATTCACTCTACAAACTACTCCTTATTTCTTTCGCTCCTCCCCCACTCTCCCCTTCTTCCACCATTGTGCGAAAATTCAGAATCCCAATCAAACTATCCAGCAGTCCGGATAGGCACCCCGCGTACCCACTCCGCAGAATCCGGCGACAATTAATCATGCCGTTGCGCGACATACTCCAGAAGAAAGACAAGCTCAGAGGTACCGATAGCCAATATGCAACTGAGACTGCCTCAGCCTCAGTGAACCCAGTGCCTGACATCACCTTTATTCGATCTGACACATCCACACATGAGGTCGTTCAACCTCCCATTTACGATGGGGACCAACGCTATCCCAATCACCTTGATCCACCGCAATCGGGTTCATCGTCGCATCGGCGCTCGTTGAATCCTTTTCGTCGGTCCAGGTCTCCACCTGAATCCCAAGGACCTCAGCCCCCGTCTTCTGCGCGCGGAGAACGCCGACTGTCGCAGTTACTCCATCGTGATCGGCGACGTTCAAACTCGACCTCCGCCAACGTTCCCGCAGATCTTCCGCAGATTTCAAGTGACAAGGGCAGTGAACAGGACAGGGAGGCACAATGGGAGAAAAGAGCGACTATGCTGGTGCAGCAGAATCGGCAGTTTACCTCCTCACCTTTGTCTCCGCGCTCAACATCGGGGTTCGGTCCGGATAGTGTCGGATCGCGATCAAGGAGTTCGAGCCATAGTGGGATTTTGGACCAGGAAGGAGATGTAGGTATCTTAATATCTATCAACCTCTGCAAGTGCGACTAACAGGGCAATTTTAGCTCAATATCCAAGAAGCGATCCGGCTTCATGAGGCAGGAGGTACGAGGAGTGAGCTCCCTTCACAACCATGGACTAGACTAACTGTTCTTGTGTCTCTCCGTTACAGAACTAGAAAAGTCAACAGATATGTTCCGCCGCTTGGCAGAACCTAGTGGTGCTAACAACGCACTCAGCCAGGTGCTTTACGGGCTTGCGCTTAGGTGAGGACTACATAGATTCATTGGTTGTGGGTGCATGTCAATATCGCCCTGCCTTCTCCAAGCCGTGACCTACATTCTGGAAATGGAAACGAAGTCTGTTCTAATGGTTGCTGCACAGACACGGCTGGGGTTGTACTCCAGACCCCGACAAGGCAGTGACATACCTTTCGGCGGCGGCCTCGAACTCTGCGTTGATAGAATCCCAAGCCCTGCAGGCGGGCATGAAAAAGGGCGGCGCAGCGAAAGGAGAGTTAGTCCTCGCGATGTTCGAACTGGGCAACTGCTTTCGCAACGGTTGGGGGGTTCAGAAAGACCCGGTAGCAGCACGGCAATACTTTGAGACGGCTGCGAATCTAGGCGACACAGATGCCATGAACGAAACTGCGTGGTGCTACCTCGAGGGATTTGGGGGCAAAAAGGACAAGGTAAGAGCGCGCTTGCGTCCTGTTTCACGTTGGACAAAAGGCGGTCTCGATGATATCGTCTCGGGCATCAACACTTGCCGGACATGCTACCCTTTGTCATTTCGCTAACTTGCGTTCGCTTGGGTTTTCAGTTTACCGCCGCTAAATATTATCGATTGGCCGAAGAAAAAGGCAACAAAATAGTAGGAAATTCATGGTATTTCCCCGTCTTGTTCATTTTAAATTTCCCCTTATCTTGCACTTGTATCCATTGCACAGCTGGAAACCCTCAAGGCCATACCCATACTGTAGGGGATGTTCTACACCTCGCTGCTATCACCTGCAGATATCATGTCCGGAAAGCAGGGCCGGGGAATCCATCAATAGGCAGATAGGCGTTTCCTGCAAACTGCGCCATGCGACGCGCTATCACACTCTCCGCCAATCACAACTACCTGCACCTAACCCGCATAGCACTGGACGAACTTAGGCTGACATAGACGGTGGTTACTGCATTACAGGATCTGGAAGGACAAATACAATACCAAATGAATCCGACACCCTCCACAATGCCGTCGTCAGGTTCAGTTCGAGCTTAACAAAGGACTCTCAAGGCTTCGCAAACTAACCGGCCCTCCATCTCGACTGGCTTCATTCTGAGCCTGAGCTTGAGTCTGATGCCACCAGATGATCGAACTGAAGCGTGGACTGAAAGAAAGCATCATTGGAATACCACGTAAGATGATTGGATGGTTTGTTTTTGCTTAGCATTTCTTTGGGTTTTTCGTATCATTTTCCTTTTTTTTTTTTTTGGCACTTTTAAACCCACCGATCTTACTACCATCTACTGATGAATAATGGAATTGTGACCCAATCTAATCTGGACAGCCTCATTTTGGACTGGAATACGTTTAAACCTAACTCTAATCTTGTCCTCTGTCACTCTGTCCCCTGTGTTTATTCAACCATTTTTTATTATATTATTATTATACCTTGGCTATTTTAGGCATCCAGTAAAATATTTCACTTTGGCGCTTGACTTGAATCATAACAATAACTATAATAGTTTAAAAGAAAGAAAAAAAAAAGAGAGAGAGATAGAGAGAAAAAGAAATACCCAGCAAGTCATCTCATTTCTTTGGTCGCCTACCAATTCCCTCCCGCTAATACTCCGTACTAGATTGAAAGCGAAGGATCGTAAGACCTAGTTCCTAGTTCCCTACAGATATAACCAGACAATGAATGACCTGGATGTACCCAAGCTGTCTCCACCGGACAGACGGTTCACCAGCCCCTGTCACGAGCAGTCAGTCAGTCAGTCAGTCAGTCAGCCAGCCCAGCCAGCCCCAACCGGCGACTGCGTCAGAGCTAACTAAATATACTAAACTAAACTACCTTAGGTATGTATTTAGGCTACTAAGTATTGAGGTATTAAATGATACGCGGACAGACCTGCTTTATAGCTTATTTTGGATTCGCTTGAATATCATTTCGTAGGAAAGGGTATTAAATGACTGTTATTGGACTGTATAGCGCGACATGGATGGGAGCGGCTCTTGGGACTATAAATAGGCAGTTGAGTGCGTAAATTCCCTGCATAATGGGCTTTCTATCTATTGACTGCGATTTATAAACAATGGATTAACTGGTTTGGTTTTTTTTTTTTTTTTTTTTTTTTTTTTTTTTTTTTTTTTTTTTTTTGGTTTTTGTGTTTGCTTTGCAAAAAGAGTATGAATATCAGATTACATTTGTTATTATGATCGTTGGCATAGATATCATCCTATATACAGTACATTCAGAAATAAATATTCCACAAGCAAGAACAAATGAAATGCGATTGTTCAAACGAGCGACATGGACCAAGCGTAGCCCACAAAAGATAGACCAAGCCAGTCTCAAATGGCCTGGAAGAAGTAAATGACAAAGGAAATGAAGTGAAGACAGCTAAAAATTGCTCAATAGACCGCCCATGTATGGCAGCCCAGTTATCCAGTAAGAAAACATCAAACAGATAGACATTAACAGACGTTCCCATCATAAACATCAGTCGTATCATAACAATCATAGCAAAAGTGCCACCCTCTGCCCAATCCAGCTCACTCGCAGATGCAACATAAAAATTTCAACATGGCTAAACACCAAATTCCAAGTACAAAATCAAAATGCAATGTGCAGAGGTCATAAACAAATCCGTCCCGTGGTACCGTGTCTCTGGTGATCAACATGCTCAGAAATAGGTAAACATCCCATTGTAAGCCCGATCCGTGCCTCCCCGAAAATAAATAAGAATCAACAGACTAAAGCAAAATGTCCGGAGGAAGAAATAAAGTGTATACACAAATGCAATGTGCTTTGAAATGGTCCGTTAAATTCAGCTGTCAGGTCAGCTCATAAATATGACGAAATCGCATATACGCCCGGGGAAAAAACCGAAGGAGCGCGAAGAAATATAAACAAATCGCTAAATCTCAGACGCAATAACGAAAAGCTATTCCGATAAAATATATCCAGTCGAAGTAAATGGTAAGCTGTCTATATATGCATATGGCTAAGTCTGGCTAAAGCTGGCCAACAGTCGTATATCGATGGGCACCATGTGCTAGGTAGAATTCTGTGGATAGATAGACGGAAAGGCGAAAAGAAAATCACGAGTTGGCCAAGTGGCTTTGCCGGGAGGAAGGAATGCTAGGCAGGATGCTTTTTCTCTGGGTGATACGAGAGTCGGAGACAAATGGTGTACAGTGACCTCAAAATCCGCTGGATTTTACTAGTCAGGCCTGACTGAAGCGGGCATCCTCTTCCTTGACGGGAGAAGCTCCATACTCCTGAACCATCCGCCGGAAATCCTGGATTACCTTTTCGGGGACCCGATCCCACATGAGCGACCTTGAGTAGACGTCCGAAGTAGCTTTGTTGGGCATTTTGTTTCCAGCCATATTCCCTCGCATGGCAACTAGGGCCTGTTGAAGATTGGAGGGTTGTTGGGGCTTGTAGTTGACGTTGGTGTCCTCATATGTAGTTAAGGAATTGTACTGGTCCGCATTTAGAGAAAAAACTTGTTCCTGCTCTTGCTCCTTCGACGGCATGGCAAGTGCATTGTGGAGCTCATCCAGGTTTGAGGGCGCAGTGCCAGAAGTCATCTGTGCCATCTCTGCTCCGCTGATGGTGGTTGGGAGAGGAGCCGCTGATGAGGAAGCCACAGTAGCTTGACCTATAGGCTGAGCAAGCTCTGGCGGAGAGGACGACAGCACAGCCTTCAAAACATTGGCTGATTCGGCTCGGTATTCTTCCGACAACTGGGGGATAGAGCGAGCAGAAAATGAGCTATTGTTAGATGCAATGAAAGCTCCGAAGAGGAGGCACATGTAGAAGGCGTTCCAGCTGAAAGGATAGTCGTTTGTTTTCTCGGTGACCCTGTCGTTCGACGCAACCACAAGAGAGGATGACTGCCCAGTAGGGGCCGTGGGGACGGCCTCGGCATCGAGAGACAGGCTATTGACCATGGTGAAATCCTCCCAGGGGCTGCTGCCCATTGTCAGATTCTCGAAGTCGGAGAATTCGTTCGTCATGTTGGAGGGAGCGGAGGATCTTGCATGCCGCTCCAGCTTCTCCACGGCTTCTTTCAGGATATTGTTCTTCTTACGAAGCTCGGCAGTTTCTAGCGTGTGAACCCGGATTATTTCATCCTTGTCCATGTGCATTGTGTTGATGTACTGGGTAATTTCCTGCTGAGCAGCAATCCACTCGCTCTTCTCACGAAGGAGATCAGCCTCGCGCAGTCGCATATTCTGCAACTCCTCCTCGAGGTCGCTGATCAACTGAGTAAAATGCTTCTTCTCTTCCTCCAGTTTTTCCGTGTGTAGTTTCTTCCGCTGACGTGAATCCAAACTGGAAATAACCTGTTAGTTGGCACGGTATTGAATAGGGGTAACCCAATGACTTACGCAGCCTGACGGTTTCTCAGCAACCGCTTCTGTTGTTTTAGCTCCTTGATCTCCTCCTCATTTGTTGACTGGCTGATCAGTTGGTCGATATTACTCAACGTCCGCTCTGCTGGGATTTCGAAACGGGCGTTCTTTTTCCGAATTCCGTCCCGTCGGACACTCAAGGGAGAACCATTTCGATATGTAGGGCTCTTTGTAGGGCGGGAAGCAGCATCTGGCATGTCTGTTGATGCCGGCATCCAACCCTGACTAGACTGCGGCGACATGGCAACGGCACCAGAGGGACCAAAGGTCATGTTTGGACGGTACGTCATGGACGAGATATTGATGGCACTCACGGGACCCACAGCACCGCCAGAGAAAGGAGCAGACGAGCCGTTGTCGAGATCTGATGAGAAGTGCTCATACATGGCTGTTGGCGTACATGAGCCAGAATCCTTGGAAACCGACCAGGGTGCATGCTGGCCATAAGCTGGGGGGTGGGCGCCGTCTACTCGCATAAAAGGGTTGGGAGCGGATTCAAAGAGAGGATGGCTGACTTGGGAGTTGTGTCGGGACTGGTTGCTGGAGACGGAATGGGAGAAATCGGACCAGACAGAATCTCGGTGCGTAAAAGCATCTGGTGCGTGATCATATGAAGGCCTCCTAGGATCAGCCATGGAAGAGAGTTCGGAGGATGTTGAATCTAGGATCTTGTCGTCCAATACACTCATCTCGTCCTCTTCAGGAAACGAGGTTTTTGCATCCAACGTTGACGGAGACGGTTGGTAGAAGTCAAAAGAGGGTTGGGAGTACCTCGCCATGTCTATGTAGATATATGAAGAAGATAAATATGGAGTGAAAAATGCGGTCGTATGGTCGTGATAACACAGAAGAATAAGAGGCGGTGTGTAAAATGGGGGTGTACGGAAAAATAAAAAAAAAAAATAAAAATAAAAATAGGTGCGGGGTTTGGGTGGTTGGTTGAAAAGAAGAAGATCGGGGAAAGTCCAAGGAGCAGGTGTAACAAGAATAGAGTGGATGAAGTAAATGGATGAGGAGATAGATGATAGGAAGAGAAGAAAAACGACGAAAGGTAGAGAATAGGTAGAGGAGAGAGGGCGAGATAGAGGAGTTGTGTAGGAGGGGAGGAGAAGAAGATCGTATCTAAGCAGAGGAGGAAAATGTCGAGGTCTCTTGTGATCAAAAAAAAGAAGCCTCCCGAGAAGAGAGTTTCAAGCGCAGTTCAAAGTTGATGATGGAGGAAAAAGAGCAAGTGACGAGGGAGGGGGATGTCCATATATCTTAATTAGGAACGATGAGAGCTTCTCTCCTACTAACAGCCGATAATACTGATCAACCATGGAAAAAAGAAAAAGAAAAAAGAAAAAAGAAAAAAAGGAAGGAAAGAAAGAAAGAATGAAATTCGAAATTTAGAATAAAATAAAATAAAATAAAATAGCCATCATAAGAGTAACATTCTACACTACTTCACTGTGATTTCTCAGAATAAAATAAAATAACCCCCAAAACCAAAATAACCATAAACCACCATCTGGATTGATCCATAAAATCCCACAAACGAAACTCCATCGGCCTTAACCTACCCATAGAGAGACCCAGTAGGCCGACACTAATTGCCAAAACGGCATCAACTCATCCGGCGGTCAGTAGGAAAGCCAAAAGGCGAGGCGAGGATTTCTAAGGGCTCCCGAGATTAACGAACGCCGGTCATTGGATGCTTCGTTGGGCAGACGTGCATCTGGCAGGGGAACGTCCCTTCAGCGCCGGCTATCCTGTGATGATTAAGCATTGTGCGGTTGTTCGTCCAGTGCTTTTGTCTTTTGTCCTGGACGATTAATGATGGTGATATTAGTTAGCCACAATGATGCCTGTCAGACCACAAGTACGGCGCATCTAGACGGTGGATTCCGGAGGTAGGTGGTACATACTCCCTACCTATCCAGTCCGTAGATTGTGCTGGCAATGGGTAATATGTGTATAGTACTTCCCAGGTACGGAGTACTTCCTGGTATATTGTTGCCCTTTCTTTCTAGGATAAAAACTCCCCCGCCTTTCACCTAATTGCATCTAAAATCCCTACGCAGCATATGCAATTCAACTATACCGATGTTCGACAACACCAATCAATTTAATCCATCCCTTGCCAGAAGGAGAGGAGAACCCCATAATGCTGATGCCTTCTAGTATTACTGAATTCTCATCGGTAGTAGTGATGGTCGGTATCCGAACCTTGGAATGATGGATTACGGGTGGGGCAATTGATTGTTTATCGATAGCCTATCAAGGCCATCCCGAGATCCATCTTTCTTACAGTACTGTGTATAGGCCGTTTCCCCTCTTTTCCCAATCAGGTTGGTCTTGGCCGTGATCAGTTCTTCCGCATACTCCCTCAATGTTTCAACCTCTCGTTCCGTTCCTTTGAAGGGATTCTATCAGCCTGACTCAGGCACAGATCCCCCATCACAAACGGAGCCGGATGATTGGTATCGAACGATTCCTCCCAGACTTAGAGATCGCAGGCATTCTTCCCAAGAGTTGGTAAGTACCTGAACTCTCACCAATCTACCTCAAGGCTTGGGGGTCTTGGCCGTGGATGATGCCCGAAAAAAAAAAAAAAAAAAAGACGGAGCCCGTCTGTGCGCGCCGTCAGATTCCATCATCCCATGATCGACTCCTGGGATAGGGTGGTTCTGATTACATGACCGTACCATCCATACCCCATACCGGGCGCGCCTGTCTACGGAGTAAGGGAGGGGCATTGATCAGATGGACAAGATGTCATACAATACTGTATCAACCAGTCAGTCCTCTCGGTCCAGCATGACCAATCATTCCCCCCGAGTGTGATATCCTGATGATTCGAACGAGATTGCTTCAAGTTCTATCAGCAGATCCTACAATGTATGGGTCGGATGCCTCCTAGAAGGAAGCCTGAGTAACTCTTAATCTCTTACGATCCAACAGTAGGATACACTGGGTCGACTTACCGTCTCCTCCTGCACACGCCTGCCTACAGAGTACTGACGCAGTACATTCCTCCATTCTACGGTACAGTAGGGCCGGCCCGTTGGTGATCCAGTGATCCACCGATGAAGGGCCCCTTTGCCGTTTGGGTTAGATCCATACCCATGCCCATGCTCCCACCGATTCCTTAATAATGACAGTATGCACCGCGGAAGCAAGACCAACCTGGAGAGAGCGCAGACGGATCGGATTCCATTCTAGACCAGCCTGGAGAGACCGCAATTGATACATGGACCGGATGTGAAGAAGTGCATAACCATTTTTTTGTTTTGTTTTTTTGGGGCTTCTGACTAGCCACCCCCAATCCCGTTAGTCAGCCCGATACCGTAACTAAGTCCGTTAACGCATCACTGTATTCGACTACTCTCCCTCTTGGTCTTCAAAAACGGAGTAATCAACCGAGTTACCAGTGGCAATTACTAAGAAAGTAGAGGTGGACGACCCTGTTTCAAAATAGGTAAGGCATCAGTGCTTTTTTTATAATTTTATTTTTTATTCTTTGCATCAAACCGTCGTAGTACCCATTTACCGGGAAATGACCTCCATCGAGCTATTGCTCAGATGGTTTCAGGTCAGTCTGGTCCTCATGCAGAGACGAGGCGAGTTTGGGTCGAAGCCTGCTAGCATATCCGACGTCATTGTTGAGCTCTTGTAGTTATGACTCGATTTCCAAAGAGCAGCCATCGTCGCCAACGCTCGGACTGCAGATGGAATTGATGGTGGTTTGGGGCTTCCAATGCACCATTCTCCGTTACTACCATATGGCATCCCTTACTTGCGTTATCTCTAGCCACTCGATATGATAATGAACTCTATTATACTCTTTGGTCTCTTGCTTCGACATGCAAGTATATAGTAACTATACCACAGCTTTGTGACTCATACTCCTCCCAGCATCCAGATAAAAATAAAATAAAATAAAACTCATCTTTCAGCCCAACACACTAAACCAAATCCCACGATGGTGATCCCAATCACGTCTTCTTAAACATGTACCTGAATCCATTCCGCTTACTCGGTAGTACTACTCCATTAAGCACCGAGTTCCACAAGTCCAACCTTGACCGTCAAGCGTACTCAGCGCACCAACGACGGAACCACATAGTCCTCCGTAGGTATTTCATTATTCCATACAATGAATAGGGAAATACCGGCGTACTCCGTAAATCTTTCAATAAGATGAAATCATGAAACAATGATAGACCCACCGTCCAGTGCAGTAGACTTAGTTACTCTATGCCCAGCGCTGTAGGAATGACTCACTCTCTGAACTGACTTCTCGAAGCCTCACCATCTAGAGGATTACTGGATCTGGGATGCACTACTTGGAGTCTGCTGTTTCATCTTCGGCCGCCCCTCCCTGTCTCCTCTAGACCGGATTCGGTAGTATGTGTACATTCTTCAGACGGGAATAGAACCATGGTCAATAGAGAAAATGAGGCTGGCAGAGACTATGTCTTGATATTGATGCCACGTTTCACGGACTGGATAATTATGATGGTCGGATGGCGTAGATAGGTACGTCCTTAGTTCTCACTAAGGTCGATTTGATCCTCTTCATGATCAGTATTCGTGACAATCCCATGAATAGTGAAAAGAACGTGAAGAGGGAAAATAACTAAAATTACTTGCTCTGTAATTCCACAGTTTCAAGTCACTGAATTAACAGTGGTTACTATTATAACCGTCCCTATTTTTACCCTGATATTCTCGTAGGAAGATCATATCCCTCAGGATAGATAAACAAAGAACAGACAACAAAGGCAACAACATCGAGGCTTACCGGCCCAATCGGATTGAATTCCACATTTTGAAACAGGTTGGATGTCATGAAAGGGGAACCATTCACTGCTACGGGAAAGCTTTCGACTTGTGTAGTTCTTATGAAAGAAATCGTTGACCGATATTCGAGTCTACACCTAAAGTAACTCACTGAAGAAGCATTGGCACACCGCATAGGAATCGGGGAATAATTCCTCAGTCCTCTTCAGGTGTCTCTCATCTCTTTTACCCTATCTTCTTAGTCAATAGATAGATACTTCTTCTATTCCAGGAAATAGCCCCTCCGATGACGGTGTCTGGTGGCGGTGAACGATGGCGTTAACCCAATTATAGAGCGCAATTTTGATCGGTGGAGAGCCCGTGGGACCGGTTTCGATTAGTGAGGGAAAAATGCAGGAGCAGATATGCATGTATTAACAGAGATGGATCTTTAGTTCTGCTGCAATTTGTCCACGGAAGCCGAGTAAGGTATTGCTAAACGATGAGCTCCATCTACTTACCTTAGTGGTTACCAAGTAGGAACTTTGTCCACAACTTAATTTTAAACAAAAATTCTCATTTCTCTGCCTCTTGCTAACTAGAATTCCAAACCATGACATTTGTGGGCCATTGTTTCTCAAGATCGACTTCTCAGACTCTCCTGCATCATGCAATTGTTGCCCAATCTGCACGAAATGCTGGTCGTACAGAATCAACGTGCCTGCTCTCGGTCGAGCAGATGCCGCAAGATGCCGCAAGCTTGGAACCGTGGAGATGTACATGGCACCGCGGGGAGGGATATGTAAGCCACCGAATGCTGATACGTCTGGTACGGAGTAGCATAGATAGATATCGCTTCGCAATAACTACTCTAGGTTTCGTTCGAGGTCAAAATCTCTCCCGAGCCCAACTAGCTATGTACCTGGTACATGTGGTACGTACAGACATACATACAGCGGTCAAGGGGGCGAGAAGCTCTGTGGAAAGTGGTAGTAGTGTCCATCAAAGCGCAAATTAACATAGTGGGCTCTGCCGATAATGCCTCGATTCTCTCCCTATCGGATTCCAGACGCACCTTCCCCAGAAAGCTCACTGGAATGTCTCGTCGGGTAGGCAATATTTAGTAGTACTACCTAGGTTTGATGAAGTATCGGTGATGATGGAATGGTTGTTATTGGCGGGTGGGGTCTTCCAACCCTCCATGATGGTCATCAGGCCAATGATTGTTATGTCTGTCATCAGGCACAGACGGTGATCAGATCGCTCACTGACTTCCTGATGGACGGACACCCGGCATGGACGCACCTACAGCTTGCAGAACAGGCTTGGGTCACATGGGAACGTCGTTGCATACCATTAGGTCGGTGGCACCTCACTGGGATGAGAGATACACCTTTAGCCTCGTGGCCTTACATTATATGGCTACTCTACTGAAATGGCCTCGTGTTTGGCTTGGAAACCCTGGTGGATGAAACCGTATTTTGGAGAGACAATCAAACATCTGCGTTATGGCTCGACTCAGAATGGAGGGACGAAACAAATTAAAATATCGTTAGAAACGCAACCATAGTTAATACCAGGATCTGCCTACTATCATGCCAGGACGCCCATCGGGTCCCATCGAGGCAGGACCTTTGGCTTCTGGCCCAGAATATCTTGCACCTCCTTGGAAACAAACCGGGAATCAACGACCATTTGATACGTATACTCATCCATCCATCGATCGGACATGACAAACCAGCCCTTGTCTCCAACAGTTTCCCCCCAGGAGTTCTGTACTCGCCATCTAACAGGCTTGTTTCCTTCGATGTGCACTCCGGTTAGTACCATGGCGTGTGTCATGGATGACTCTCCGGTTTCCAGCCTGCTCGCCTTGTTCATACCCAGTGTAACATTGAACCCCAGTGCGAGGTCCAGCAGTTCGGTATCCATGACTCCTAGGTTGGCGTCGTAGAACTTGCCCACGTCACATCCAAAGAAGATGGGATGTCCCGCTCGAAGCATTGCAATGGCGGCTGATTTCATTGTCTAGGTGTACTGTTTTAGGCACGGTTGAAACTAATACGGCAATTAATGAAACTTACCTTCAGGTCTACATTGATGTATGTAATAGGACGTCCCTCCACCACGTTTCCAAGTTTGTCTACCGTCAGAAGACGGCCATACTCGTTGCGCGGATCATTGACTAAGCTCAACATTCTATTGGGGTTAACTTCAGCACGGTTCAGTTGCACGGTGGCCTGTCTGGCAAATGCTCGTGGGGTTTCGCATATTTCCTGAGCCCGTCCATTGGCATCGTAGTACTGCCAAACAAATGGTTCCTTAGGGTTGGGTGGGGGACCCAGCATGATGGTGACCAGACCATGAATTTCTTGCAGGAACGCCTCCTTGGTCTCTGCCAGCGTTTCTCGTTCCTTCGCACTCGGGCTCTTCGCCAATCGCCGTAACACCAATCCCTGCTCGCGCAGCTTCGCAGTGATCAACCAGTTCATCTTACTACTATTTTGGGCATTGAAGGTATCCGGGTAAATTGCATGCGGCACTAGGCCATACTTTTGCACGATGTTAGCCAGCATATCCCACTGTCCTCCGTCCGTTACCGGATCTTCCAGGAGTTTTTGCACCAATCGACTAGACACGTCCTCGTTGACAGTTTCTATTATCTTCTCCAAAAACCAGTTGGCCTTCTCGATCTTGTCCCAGTAGAAGAGGTATGCCTGACTGAGCTCAAACTCGGAAATGTTGTATTTCCTCATGAGCGGCACGCGGAAGATATTAGTCGCTGCGAAGAGCCAGCAACGGCCCGAAGAGCGTTGATTGGTTATTGGGGCGCCTTCCAGAGGAATGCAGACGTTGAATACCTGGATGTCGGACCTTACCGCCGCCTGGCTGGTGAGGACTTGCGAGTATGGGCTTTTCGCCAGGCTCGAAATTGCTAGTCGGTTCTATGGTGCTCCGGTGGGTAGGTAGTCAGTCTGTGATACTCATGCGTGAAGCGTAAAATGTACGGGGTAGTGAATTCCGGTACCTTAGGATCGCATAGCAGGGTATCCTCCCATCCTCTCATCTGTGAAATGGATAGGATTGTTGCTCGCTCTCGAGCGCTGTAAGGAGGGGCTATATTTATCAGCGCCGAACTTCACCCTCTCTCAGCTGCAGATAGACAAGAAGCAACGAGTAGGGTGATATACGAGCTTCATCGGCTTCATCTTGCCCCTCCACCGTGCTGCCGGAGACCAGCTGTCTCAATGTCATGGCTGCCGCTGACTCGCGACGGGCCTTTTCCTCGTCAGTTGGACGAGGAGCTGAATAGCTTAAACCCATTTTGACCACGGAACAGTTGTACCCTTAGAGGGGACGACTGGGTATTAGAATATGAGGTGCTCGCAAGGTGCTCATGGACGGAAGGAGTAGAAGTGGGGAGGAACGATCGAGAGTCGGTGTGGAGGTCAAAGAGGGGCGGAGCAGGACGGATCCATCCCTGCGTCATTCTGTGAGGGATCATCCCAACTTCTCACTGCAATGCGGATTATAATCCACAAGGTCTTTAATCTCGAGCCATTTGTAGCCTCTGATTTCATTTGCCACTAGCACGAGCTAACTAGTATATGTTGCAGGTCGCTGAATATGTCCCATGTGTTGCGTTGCGATATGCTCTCGAACACTAGATAAGCTATTCTTACAAGTTCATGCTAAATCTTCCAATTTCAAATATTTCTTCTGAATAAGACTATTCGAATAGTGCAATGGCTAACGGGTCAATAACCCCCAAGGAACGTCTGTTTCGACTCCCAGTTCGTCCACCTCGAGCGCATGGTTGCACCGTAGTATTTCTGGACTTGTTACAAAACAAAGAAGCTGTCCTATCTATCTAGTCCTGCGTCCAGCCGGCACTGACGGGCTAGTGAGCCATTATACTCAGTATATTGGCAAGCCAATTTGTGACAGACTCCAGAGTACTCCCGTTGTCAAAGCCAACATAATGCAGCTATATAGGGTAGCCGGCTCTCTCAAAGTTTATGAATAGGAGCACTTCTAGTATTTTGCGAAGCTAATTGCGCTCTTCACTTAAGTTACTACCAAGCGCTTGATCAGTCTTAAGATAAAGAGAATCTTTGAGCATCATAGCCCGCTAATTGAGGATGAACCAGGCACATGCTCAAGATATGGACAGGGAAAGGAAGATCGCTCTCCAGTTGAGCGAGATTGTAGCGCTAGTAGGTACTCTACATAAATAATAGCATATTCTAGAAACCGCATAGATAAAAGGAAACTTTTCTTTTCGCCCGCATACTTTAATCTGGCTATCACTGTATCTAATATTAAGATTATTTGTTACATATAAGGACAATTGCCATATTTAGAAATTCGACAAACCAAGCTTTTTTGGTAGCTAAGCTTCAAGGCTAACTATAAAATGGGGAAGTGTAGTATTACTAGCGGCAAGAAATAAAAATAATAAAGAAAGTGGCAGAAAGAAAGAAGCCTACTGTCAAGACCTTGTTAAAGAGAAAGTAGGTATGTATAGTTAGGCGTACGGCTGATTTTCCATTGGGTGCATTAATGCAACTTTTGTTTTTCAGCGAAAAAGACCACACTTTCTCATCCAAAAGGCCACGCGCAACCGTCCTTTCCATGGTCACCCAAAGTTAATCCCGAACAGTGACCGAAGAACATCCACCGGGCCAATCCAGGGGGTTGTCGGCTCCTTTTCCCACCATGTCTTAGATTCTCTGCATCTCGGAGTGGCTTCCTCTCCATCCATATGTGTAATCCTCTCCCAATGTCTCAGTTTGCCTGACTTGGGATATGCAGATGAGGCCATCCAGAATTTATTTTTAGCGTTGCGTTGCAATATGTCAATGCAAAGTGAAACAGGCGTCCCATCCTCCGAGGTCCATATACGTACACTGTTGCATCCCCTGCGACTGCCTCAATTATAAATACCCGCATCTTTCTTGCATCACAACATAGACAGAACAGCATCTGCAGATAAATATATTCCAGTCACATCGAATCAAATCCACTCTTCCATCCTGCATAATGAACACTCTTTTTCTTCTCGCCTCATTGACCGCCGGCGCCCTTGCGCAAAATGCAGCAATCGGACTGCCTAAGGCACAGGAGTCCATCCAAGCAGGTGCTAATAACCTTGTCGTTCAAGTTCAACGTCCTGTAAGTGCTCGCCCTGCCTTCTGCTATACTTACCGTGAAATCCTATCCTATCGTTGCTAAACATCTATTTTAGAATACCCTGACCGGCTCCGAAGAGGTCGCAGTCGTTATTGGGATCCAATCTTGCGCGGACTCTCCCTGTCGGGACCCAAAGGATGTGATGGGGCACATCCTGTACAATGGACCGTTTAAACCCGTATACCATGAGGCCAGTCTTCCTCCGTACCAGAACTTTACGGTGACTGTTCCCAAGTCGGTCGGAGCGGGCAAAGCAGTGATCGGCGTGGCGCATGTGGCGCTTGTTGGGGTAAGTACTGGTCGATGCTTGGTCTTGATATAGTACTCCGTATATACTGACGATGGTTTGAACTCAGGCTGGACCGTTCCCTATGCTGCAGACATTGGAACAGTCTGTCCAAATTGCTTGAGTTGTTTTGGTATACTGTTTTGGTTGATGTAGTATATAGCGTTAGTAGATGAATACAGCGGTTATAGGAGTGCAGTGATAATTAGATCTTGCCATTATTGGACACTATTGATGATAATTATTTGAAACGTAGGAAAAATACCGTTTGCTAGGTAAATATCCTTTGACATGATCGGCTCTAGATTACTTCAATACATAATCGTAAATATTATCTCTTCATTATATAGTTCGTTCAGTTCATTAAACAACCAGAGGCAGAGCCAAAATCTATGAATACAAAATATTCTTTGCTTATATATCAGACCTAGTACTGAATATAATCTAAGACGCGTTTATAAGAGTTGTGGACTGAATATTGAAATCTATAGAGTGTAAGATCAATGTTTCCTTTCACACTAGAAAACAATCTACCCACGTTATGTACTAGAATCTGAATGTACCTCAGTAACTGAAAACATCCTCGTCTGGCGAATGATACGCGCCTCGTTCGACTGACTCCCCGAGTCCCACTCGGGCATTTTTGCCGCCAAAGCTATTGTCTTTGAATTCTGAATCGAAGAAGACACAAACCCCTGCACTGACATAAGATACGACTCCTTTGATCTGAGCTGCGAGAGTTCCGTTCTCGACGCCTTGCTGGATACCGTTTTGGAGTATTCAGTGCCTTGGAGGCTGAATGCATTGAATCGGATACGTTCGAGGAAGGGTTTTAGCTGGGCCCAGCATGCGGTGATGATACTCAGGGACTGGGTAACTTCCATACAAATCGTGGTGGTAGAAGTTTCGGTGAATGGATCGGTGACCGGGTGAGTTTTGAGGGCGAGAATAAGCTGGCATAATGTTGCAGTGATGACGCTAATAAATTAGTATCACCTAGGGTTATGAAGTATAAGGAAAATAAAGAGACGAACAAAATACGAGGAAGAAAGATGCTTGCGAAGAGGGCCTTTTTCTTGAAGGCCGCCTGGATGTTGACGACTAGGAGTATAGACTGAGTGATGATGAGGGCATCAGAGATCATATTCGTGACAGCGATGAATATGGTCCAGACGGTCTATGATGAATGAGTGTAGATCACCATGAAAGGTTACTATGAGAGACGCATACCTCGCTGACGCATTCTTTACACATGTAATCCCATGTCCTCGGAAAATGGCATCGGAAAGCTGATCCAAAAAAAGCGATTAATCCAGTCACCACTACTAATCCCTGAACAACATGAGCAAGGATGCGATCTCGTGCTGCAGGGCTAAGACTTTGGATGAAGCATGTCATGGACAGTTTGGAGAATGAGATGCTTAGGATGAAGAGCAGCGTCGCTGCGTATTGGGACTTATGGCAAGCAGGAATTAGTGCATTAGCCGAGGGTACTTTCTGGGGTTATTGTTACCTTCATTACTGCATCTCGCTGTGTCCTCAACACCGTATCTGTGCGATCTCCATAGCCATTTGCAGTGGCGATGGATATAGCAATAGTGTTTCCCACGCAGAATGCCTAGCATGTCAGCATCCTTAGACTATTCCGGCCTATCCGTACTCACCAGGGACATGATGACCAATAAATCATCGCCAGTCAGTTTTCTGAAGATCAACCATTTTGTTGTGAGCCGACAAAAGACACAAAGAATGGTTGCACTCATAAGGAACCATGTTGTGATATTGACGGCAGGATTCCAACTGTCCTCTGCAAACCTGGTCATCATGCCATTACCATTCAAAGGGTGAATAATCTATAACAATGGGACAATATGGGACGACTACATGAATGTCAGGACTGGGTCGTACGGTGGGTATAACAAAGACAGAGTCATGACCTTAATAAGTCCATTGCACTTGGACTAGCATCGACAGCCACTACTCCGTATTTTCTTTGAACTTGGCAAAATCATTTCCTTTTAGCGTTCTAAAGAACTCTCTTTGGGATCGGTTCGTCCATTCCTGGCCAGGGATGTTGTTCCTGTCCACTTCGCAGGTTACTTACTATATTTCTCTCATTATATAGTACAGGGTTCGTATCCATACTATTGCTCCATATGAATCTCTGAAGCTCGCCTCTTTAAGGGGGAGAAAAAAGCAAGAAAGATAATAAAGATAATAGATATATAATTTTCTTTTTTTTTTAACTCTGTACTCCGTATGTGCGGTTAGTCTCTCACTGTTAATTGATTTGGGTAGTAACACTAACTGCCACATCGTCTCCAGAACAAAGAGAACACTCGCAACCCCGATCAGACCCCCTACAACCCATGTCCAGACGGGCGCATGCAACCCAGATAGTGGTATATTTAAGCGGAGTAAAAGAAAGACAAATTCGGCCAGACGCTGAACGCCATTTCTTGGCGGGGAGGAGAACGAATCCCAATGCGGAGAGCGGCGTAGGACGCTATTTACAAGTGGTGCAGGGGTTCAATGGACCAGGCCACGCAACTTGTGCATCTAAACGAGCTGAAAATCTCCGAAACCTCAAACTAGATTATCTGATGCATGTGTGGCTGCACATTCCGAATGCTTCTCGAGGCTCGGATCCCTACTAGCGATACAACCTGTTGGCCAAGGTGTCTGAGGGTGGATGCGACGTCCGCCAGAGTAACATGCGAAGTCCTGATCAAATTAATTCCTGCCCTGTCGATGGCTGTCGCACTCGCTGTCTGGTCGCTCGCACATCTAGGCAGGTTATTCCCTGCATCTTGGCCTGACAGTGCACCAGAAGGCCCATTGTAACGGAAAATTGTTACTGAATCCTCTTGAGCCCTTGACTCCTTGCCATGGCTATATCGGGTTGAATTGGGCAATGGCTCCCTTCAGGGAAAACATTTTTATCCCCCGAAACTTCTGTCGGCCCCACGGTCCATTTCCATTACCTACTGCAAATTTCCCTACAGATTTCCCAATTCTGCTTGTCGTTCAATGCTGCGCTGGAGACCTCGTTCAACATGGCTTGGTATGAGATGAAAAACAGAGCCGCCCAAACCCTCCATGAGGTCGGGCAAGTGCCGAGTACCAAGGATCGCGATGAGCTGGATCTGGCACGGGTTGGGAAGAAAGCAGTGTTGAAGGTGAATATGGATATCCCAAATAGAGTCTCTCAATTCTAAACATAGTCCAAGCGAAATTTCGGTGTTTTGTCGATTCTCGGATTCAGTTGCACCATCATTGCGACATGGGAAGGATTGCTTGAGTATGATTTCTTGTGCGATGTATACTGAGCAAAACTAATGAATGAATAGCACTTTTTTGATTCCAATGGAAAAGTGAGTTTTCACATGGTGATGACTATGTATCGGCTAAGAAGTTCCAGTGGAGGACCTGCCACAGCAGTCTATGGATACATCTTTGCATGGATCGGAACAGGATGCTGTTTCCTCCTCCTCGCAGAATTATCTTCCATGTAAGTTGATGTCACTATTTATTTGCGCCATAAATACAACCTTCTAACTGCTTAGGGCTCCCACCTCCGGTGGGCAATACCACTGGTGCGCAATGCTTGCACCCTCGAGTTGTATGAAGTTCCTTAGCTATATCACAGGTATGCTCCGTCCTGCCATTGACTTATACAGGTACTAATCCTCCATAGGCTGGCTCACAGTTATCGGCTGGCAAGCAGCTTTCGCATCCACGGCGTTTCTCAGCGGAACGGAGATCCAAGGAGCTGCCATTCTAGCCCATGAGAACTACAACGCCCAGCCCTACCAAGGAACCCTCATCATGTGGGCCTCTGTTTTCGTAGGTCTCTGTGTCAATCTGATCGGTGGAAAGTTCTTGCCCCGTCTGGAGAATCTGGTCCTCGTACTCCACATCCTTGGTTTCCTAGCCATTCTAATCCCTATAACTTACATGGCGGACCACAAGACCGCTCGAGAGGTCTTTACGACCTGGACTAATGAAGGTGGCTGGTCATCAAATGGAATTGTGTTCTTCCTCGGTATGCAAGGTGGAATATTTGCTTTCTCAGGCGGTGATGCCGCAGTCCACGTAAGTTCATCCATTAAACACAGCTGAATCTGTCACCAAAACGTAATATAGATGGCCGAAGAGGTGCAAAACGCCTCCTTGACTATCCCACGCGCCATTATGATGACTGTCATTATCAACGGCAGTCTCGGATTCGGCATGCTACTCGCCGTGCTCTTCTGCATGGGCGACCTCAGCGCTGCGCTTGAAACACCTACAGGCTACCCCTTCATGCAGATATTCTACCAGGCTACTGGCTCGAAGTCAGGCACTCTCACCATGATAGCCATCCTATTAATCATCGGGATCTGCGCCACGATTGGCATGTTAGCCGCTACATCGCGACAGTTCTGGTCTTTCGCGAGAGACCGTGGAATCCCTGGATGGAGACTCTGGAGCAAGGCAAGCTGCACCCACCCTCTTGCCATCACATAACACTAACAAGAAAAAAAAAAAAAATAATAAACTAACAGGTCTCACCCACCTCCTCCATCCCAATCTACTCCGTCATCTTCACAATGACAGTAGCCTGTCTCCTGGGCCTGATCAACATCGGCTCCAGCGTCGCCCTCAACGACATCGTCTCCATGGCTGTCTCCGGTCTGTACCTCTCCTACCTCTCCGTCGCAACCCTCCTTTTCTACCGTCGCGTGCAGGGAGATATCCGCGACACCATCGAACGTGAAGACATGATCGTGAATACTCCCGGGGCGCCGCTGGTCTGGGGTCCATTCCATGTTCCAGGCATCTTCGGTATCGCGGTCAATGCTTCCGCCATCGTGTACATCATCATCGTGGTCTTCTTTAGTTTCTGGCCCACCGAGGCGACTGTGAAATATGATACGATGAATTATAGTGTTGTGGGGACGTTTGGGACGGTGATTATTGCGCTGGTGTATTATGCTTTTAGGGCGAGGAAGATCTACCAGGGGCCGGTTATTGAAACGTTTTGATAGAGAGTATTATTTAAAGGTTTATATAAGTTAGCCCTAAGATTGGGATCTGCGTCGGTCTTATAGGACAATTACAATACAAATTTGTCTAATCAGACACGATGGGGCTGTGCTTCATTTGAGTCATAAGAATACGAATAGACCATAAATCTCAACCTACGAGTTCTTTTACACAACTAAATAGTAAACAATAATCTTATCACTCGAACACTATCCACATCTCATAAATCATATACAGTAATGCCAACTTTACTCTATCTCCCAAACGAAATCATCTACAAAATCGCGGACCAACTACCAAGCAGAGACGTAAACTCTCTCTGTCAAACAACACGCCCTCTCTACCAATATCTAATCCGTCACCTCTACCGACGCAACATAGTCGAATCCCACAGCACGGCGTTATTCTGGGCCGCGACGCACGGCTACACGTCCCTGGCGCAGGCCCTCCTCGAGGAGAATGCAGACATCCACACCACAGGGGGATCCCTCACGGAATCTGAATCTGATTTTCAGGCCCGATATGCTCGATTAAGCGCCCATGTACAGAGCCTAGTCGGTCGGGGGGATGATGATCTGGATAAATTATCGACTCCACTTATCATCGCGTCGGCGGTAGGACATGTCGAGATTGTGGACCTATTCCTGCATCACGGCGCGGATCCTAACACTGTGAATGGGGCTGGGCGCTCGGCGATGGATATCGCTGCAAGGAATGGGCATATGGAGACGATGCGAGTTTTGCTGCGTTATGGGGCCCGAGGGTGTCATAATTCCTCTTCCTCTGCTTCTACCTCGTATGATACGATCCATGTGGCGGCGGGAGGCGGCCATCCCGGTGCTCTGCGAATCTTGATTGAGAACGGGGTCGATCCAAACCGCAGGACGTACTGGGGAGATACAGCGCTGAAAGTAGCGACGCGGTCTGGGCATATCGATGCAGTTAAAACGTTGTTGGATCTAGGTGTCGAGTTTATGAATCGTGATAGGGATATGCACACGGCGCTGTATGAAGCGGTTAAGAGAGACAACGTGCAGATCGCGAGTCTCCTCCTCGACGCAGGGGATGAAATAGAGGGGAAAGACCGATGGGGTCGAACGACGCTAACGTGTGCGGTCTGGTTCGGGAGTATGGATTCGGCGACGATGCTTCTGGATCGCGGGGCGCAGATAGAGACGCGGGATGAGAACAACTGCACGCCGCTGTGGTGGGCGTGTCGACGTGGGAAGACCGCGATGGTGAAGATGTTGCTTACGCGAGGGGCGAATGTCGAGTTGGATGATCCGAGGGATGCGAATCGTACGACGCCGTTGGGGATTGCGACTCGGCAGAGACATGATGAAATCGTGAATCTGCTGCTGGACTATGGAGCTGATGTGAATCGATGTGATCGCGAGGGAAAGAGTCCCCTTTGGCATGTCGTGGAGCAAGGGAACGAGACGATGGCTCGGAAGTTGCTGGCAAGGGGAGCTGATCCGCATCTGAAGACGCAACATTCGCCGCTGGTGTATCGCGCGGTGCAGAAGAACGAAACTGCGATGGTGAGACTGTTGCTGGAGAATGGGGCAGACGCCAACGCGGTGGGCAGACTGCGCAAGTTCAAGCTCGTGCCGGTGCTTGCATGGGCTCTCAATATGGGATACGAGGAAATCGTCCACGCGTTGCTCGATGCAGGCGCGGATCCGAATACCAGAGCATACAGAAGAGCGATGCCGGTTCTGACGGGAGCCATTATCAAGTCGCCACGGGTCTATACGCGACTGCTGCTGGAGAAGGGAGCAGATCCGAATCTTGCCGATCGCTACGGAAATACGCCGTTGTTTATTGCCATGGCCAAGGGCTCCCCGGAGGAGATGAGACAGTTGCTGGAATACGGCGCCAATCCGCACGAGAAGAGAAATGGGCGAACTTTGCGGCGCTGGGCCGTCGACAGAGCAGATGAGGCTGTAGAATCAGTGCTGGTTGAATACGGGGCATGAGAAAGGAATATAGTCTCTCTGGTAGGAGTGAATAGAACCAGTCCATTGTCAGTCAATCTAATGATAACCGCTGTCTATCCTAGGTGGATCATGCCCACTGCCAATTCGAATCCAATGAAAGAACTGCAAAACACGCTGTATGGGTATCTTCACCAAATCAACCAGTCCGCAAGACATGTAGATGTCCATGCGGCTACCTGGTTGGTTCACCTTGTTTCCCCCAACCAATGTCGATTACGCTAAGGATCTGCAGTTAGTATGTACGTACAGCTAGAAATGGATGAAATCCTGCTGTGGCAAGAGATCGCCATTGCCGGCTCCCTCAATGAGTTCCGGCTCCTCATCGAGCTCGTCCGAGTCAACATCGTCCGAGTCGATTTCGTCATACTCCTCATCCTCACTGGAAGCATCCGACTCCTCATCGTCGCCATTAAGAGCATCAGTTCTATGAGCGGTGTTCTTCCGGATCTGTCCAGCGCGGTCAACATGAGGCAGCCGGCACCGTTTCTTATTGCAGACGCCCGTATTGGCATAGTCCGGACACTCATGAACATGCCGCTGGTCGCATTCGGCCCCTTTCTCACAGTAACCCAGGTTGGCGAAATCCCGGCACACCGGTGCCCCAGGGGTCAAACGGATATGGGCATATCGACACTCTGGGTTGACGCAGCGACCTCGAAGAAAATGCATACAAGTGGGGGATCGGTGGGGCGAAGGCTCATGGGAGAGATCGCAGCATATACCAGCGCTGCAGTTACCTGTTTGAAGGAAATCCTTGCACATAGCCACTTTATTTGGGTCGTGAATGTAGAGGCAAGACGGCCCCTTGTAGCACGTTCCTAAATAACCAGACATACTCCATCAGCCCTGTCTTAAGAATTAAACGTCGGGACCAAGGAATCCGCCGCTTGTTATAGGAAAAGAAAGCATCGGTACCAGTCGTGGAGAATCTCCTGCAAAGCTCATTCTTCCGGGCTATAGTGGGCCTTCTGCAATACGGTGAGCACCTCGATCCGCTAATTATAGGGGGAAGCCGTCACCTTCTTGAAGTGACTGCGCCAAGACGATGAAGGTTACCGTTCTTGCTACGCACAAATGTCACGCCAGCAACCGTCACCCGCTTTGGGGTGGTGTTGGCGGTAATCGGATCTCCTATTGACAGTAAGCCAGCCCGCTTGGACAGCGTGGCGCCAATGAAAGTCGCACCAGATAATCGAATCAGTTTGCCCCCACCGCGTGAAACGCGAAAGGGTATGTCATTCAGGTAAACGTGGTACGGTTCAGCGGCAGCGGATGCCTGAGGAACGGTCGCGCTCGGGGGATATGTTCTATCAAGACCCTGTGCATAACGCAGCACTTTAGCCTGTTCAATCTGCGCCTTTTTCAGCGCCTTTGCTTTACGACTCTCTTCCATCGCCTTAGCTCGCGCCTGGGCCTCTTTGTCGTAAATGGCCGAGTTAATCAGCTGCATATGGCGGTCATGTTTGGCAACCCATCCGCTTGGAGTTACCGATCGACTCTCGCCATCGTTATCTGAAGCAGCGCCAACAGAAGGGGTGGAGCTCTGGGGAGTGCCCGACGTTCCTGCGTTGTTGAGAATGAGGGTACGGTGACGGTGGGATGCTCCAGCGCGAGCGCGACCCCGCGCGTATGGCCGTCCGCGATATGGCGCCCAACCAGGGCGCCCTCGAGAGGCAGCATGACGCGATACGAAGGGACCTGAATGAGGATAATCACTGTAAGGAGCTGGTGATTGGGAGGTCTGGGTTTTATGCTTATTGATCTGGCCTAGACGAGGTGGTTAGTGATGGTGATCAAGTGAGACGACGGACAACCTGATGCTCACCAGCGAGCTGGCTAATCTTGGCCATTAGATCCTGGTCTTCAGTCATTCTAGCCTAAGGATAGTAAATCAAATGATGCTAAGTGTTCACATCGACTGAAATCTTGTCTGTTTTAGTTGGGAGGTGAAGGTTAGTAGAGCGGTGATGTTGACGGGGATCGACTTGTGGCGGAATATCTGGTCACGTGCATGGGTTCGACTACAGCCATCGATACCGAAGACTGTCTTCATACACACAATGGCGGGATAAACTTCGTTCACAAGAAAAAGCAGGCATATTTGTTTGCTATCGACATGTACGATATACTTCAATTATCTAAGTCCTCAAACAACTCCAGGCACCCTTTAAAATGTCACCCAAAATCCCAGAATCGACGCCATGACCGTGCATATGCTACAGATATTTCACCATCTTCAGGCAATCAGGCAACATTCTCAAACTGTGTATCGTCATTATCCATGCCAGAAGCCTCCTCTTCAGACGCCTCGTCAAAGTTGTAGTCAGTGCCGGGTGCGAGCTCTTCTTTGGCGTCTCCGTACGCCCAAGCCTTTGCGTAGCTGCTCTCTTTGGCCTCCGGCTTGAGTTCCCAGGTCATGGCGAAATCCCCGGATTTAACCAAGTGAGCAACCAATTCAAGGGTCTGTTTAAGATACGCCTCAGGCTGTCGAAGTCGGCCCTTGAGGGCCTTAAACGGCCAGTACCTGTACTCTCGGAAGCACTGGTAGATAAGATCCAATAATTCGTTTTGCGGCATACGCGTGGTCTTGTTTTCCTGCGGTTTGAGTTTGGTGGGTCTTGTTGCTTGCTGCATACAATGTTAGATAGTCTTAATGGTGCAACTGTGTACAACAGGCTAGCACTCACCACAAAGGCCCCTTTCTCTCCAGGCAAGGTATTCCTGTGCTGGAGTAGCTTTCCCGGGACTTTATCGATGAAAACAGTTTCACGCTTCGGTTTTAGCGCTTCCAGGGCCTTCTTCGTGGATAGCTGTTCAAACTCGGCATTCTCGACCGGAAGGCAGTTAAACTCTTCGCTAACACTCCCTACAAGAGCGGTTTGTTCTGTCGTCAGGTAAGCATCACCACCATCCTTCTTTCATGGAGGAGACACATACTAGCAATAGTCCTTCGCACATAAGGCTCCCATTTCCTCTTTCTCTCCTTTTTCCGAGCGTCTCGCTTCATGGCCTCGTACAATGCCGACCGTGCCTCTCCAAAGACAACCATGCGACCCTCCTGGCCCGCAATGTCCTTCTCGGTAAAAACATAAGTGTTTTGGGTGGAGTGGGAAGTATTCTCCGCGTTGAGCGTCTGTCGCTGCAGGATATAGTCTTTGGGGATGTCACGGTTATCTTCGCGCTCATTGATGCGCAAACTGACCTGAAGGACAACGACACATGTTAGACCGGCTGCAAGAGATACGGCCAGACAATTTGTAACACAGTGGGGGGAATCATACCCGTTTGATATCATTGGACTGGCCCTCTATCCTCACCGTTCCAATCTGAATCTCTTCATCGTCATCAAATTTCGACCAGTGTTCCCATAGCGAACGGGGGATGCGCGACATCCATATGTGCTGCGCCGCGTTCGAAAAGTCCAGATCCCCAGCATCCTCATACAGATCCTCGTCATCTATATCCGCAAGAACAGCATCTTTGTTATCCGGGTCAGATTTAACGTAGGGTGTCGAGGCGTCGGGGTCCTGCTTCAATGGAGGAACCATGGCGCCAAACCACCAAAACCGGCGCGAGAGACTCGAGAACTTTCCAGATGAAAGGCACCAATCCACGCGATCGAAGTAACCAAAGATCCCGGTGGTGCAAGGACTGACAATCAGCACAACAGGGAAGGCGTGGGCAAGTGACGTGATGAAGATCTCGCCATGAACCCACTAAGAAGGGCAACCCACGGGTCACAACAAATGTGGTAGGCGGTGACGGCAACATTACCCGCTGACAGTCCAAGGAATATCAACAATGCAAAACTGTCGGAGACTGAGGCCAGGATGTAGTGAATTTAGGACGAAAGAAGATAAGATATCTAGATTAGGTAGAAATTTATAGGTAACTCTGTCGGAGAAGATCTCACTGCCCTGTTGAACTCCCAGAACATGGCATTTGGGTCATGGCCCAAGCAACTGCGATATACTACGAGGACAGAAAACACAATTCATAATCAATATATATAGAGGAACGGAACACTCCCATTTATTATCATTTCATGTACTAGCATAATAAAGAGAGAGAGAAGGCTAGAATCAGAGTAAAGGAGAACCCAAAATTGATATAAACAAGGGAGGTTGCGGTCGCACAAGTCTCCCTTATCGATAAGCCAAGCTTCTCTTCTCGTGCCCGCAGTGCTTCTTCCTGTAATCCCATCCCACTCACAGATGACAACCCTCTTTTCCTACACGAGAACCTGACAAATACTATCTCTACTCGACTCTCAAATTAACCCCCCATGGCATCGCAGAAGATCACCTCTGCTCTGGCGGAGATCGAGGCATCGGCCAACCCCCAGAACAAACTACAGCTCTACAGTGACCTTCTTGCCAACGTCGTATCGACAGCGTCCGAAGAGCAGCTGGCCCAGGATCTCATTTTCTATCTCGATTCCGTCTTGAATGAAGACATCAGCATTGTCGCCGCCCGCCCCATACTCGACTCGTTCATCGACGTGCTCCGAAAACTCGATTCAGAAACCAAGATCAAAGTCGGCCAACACGCCGTCACTCTTCTCCAGTCCCGATCCACCTCCATCGAAGAGCAGGACTCTCAGCTCCGAGAGCTACTGGCAGATGCATACGAGTCGCAGGAAGAATATAGTGCCGCTGCGCGAGCGCTGCAGGGGATCCATATCGACAGTTCGCAACGGCTTGTCTCAGACGCAGCCAAGGTGCGGTTATGGATCCGGATTGTGCGACTATACCTGGAAGAGGATGACACTACCACTGCGGAGGCATTTTTGAACCGCATCAAAAACCTTCCCAGCAAGATCGAGGACCACGAGTTAAAATTGCATTTCAAGCTCTCCCAAGCCCGCATCCTGGATGCCCGGCGACGGTTTCTAGATGCCAGCCAGGAATATTTCAACGTCAGTTTGGCGGCGGGGGTGGACGAGAGTGATCGATTGCAAGCTCTGGCAGCTGCGATTCGGTGCGCCGTCCTAGGCCCCGCTGGCCCCCAACGTTCCCGGTCCCTGGCCACGCTCTATAAAGATGACCGGGCCACCTCTGTGGAGGAGTTCAGTATCCTGGAGAAGATGTTTCTTGACCGGTTACTCACCCCTGCGGAAGTTGCAGCGTTCTCGGAGCGGTTGGCACCGCATCAACTCGCCCAGACCGCCGACGGCACCACGGTGCTCGACAAAGCGGTGGTCGAGCATAACCTGGTGGCCGCCAGCAAACTATATGAGAATATCACCACCGATGCCCTGGGGGCCATCCTGGGACTCGAGAGAAGCGGGGATCTAACGGCGGGCGAGAAGGCCGAGACGTATGCGGCGCGGATGGTGGAGCAGGGCCGACTGAGCGGTAGCATTGACCAAATTGCAGGCGTGATCTACTTTCAATCAGGCACAGCTGCTACCGGAAGACATATTCGACAGTGGGATGCTGGGGTGCAGGGACTCGCAGAGGATGTGGAAAGGGTAGCGACCAGTATTACGGATGCTTTTCCGGTGAGAACGCTCATGACCGTTAAGATGTCAGATGCTAACCATTTTCTTGGTGTAGGAGTTCGCTGCTGGACAGACAGTACATTAAGAACAAAAGGTTTAACGAAAAATGAACTACTGTTATAGCGATTATTTATCAGTATCCAGCAAGTAATGCAATACCGTAGTAATTGTATTCTTGTATACATTAAACTAAGGGAATTATTGTCCACGTCTATACGTCTGTGCGACACTATGCAGCTGCAAGACGAAAGTATGCCGGTCGCAATGCAATGACTCCAGGGGTGGGAATCCCCTGCCAAAACCTATACAACGAAGAAAGTGACATACAGAACGTGGAGTTCAGGCGGGAACCACCTATAGCAGACAGTGTCTGTCGACGGTCAAAATCACCCAACTACGCAAGTGAACGACTATTGTCCAAATAGTAGTGTAACTTTCACCGTAGTGAGAGTCCTGCACTTTCGACCCTGGCGGGAGAGTTTGGGACGCAGCTACCCTGGTGCATCGACTGACTCTCAGTCCAGATTTCAATATCCTGTAGGGCCGATTCTCCAAAGTATGGTCTACAAGGCATCCTGAATGTTCCAGGTATCTAGATCTTCGTGATACCCTTGGGAATACAGGGGTCACCGCACGGATGACGAAGTTTGAGCGGATCGAGCGCTTCAACCGGGCCAAATAGATCAGCATGAAGGATCAGAAGTTGGTGGTAGGTAGTTGAGTGTTCCTTAAAACTGGACTGTATCAACTGTGCGATTTCATAGATGCCACATCTTGGCTAATATTAATATCAGTGCGGACCGTAATATCCATCGGACCCAGATATTTATTATTGATATCGGGGGCCGGAACAGTAGTATCACTTATTGAGCGAGAGACAAGCGTATCCTCCATCTTATAATATTCCAAGGCAGGGGACTTGGGACTCGACACGACAAAGTGGGAGGTGCTGACGTCAGTATTGATATAGTATGGCGCGGAGGCATACTTGCGACTCCCGGAGATTTTGAATCTGGGAAAGAGTCCGCGGACAATGGGGAGACAGGAACAGATGAGACCGATAGATGGCTCAATATGCGTCCACAAGGTCGCCTGGTAGACTGTGTAGGTCGTGTCGTCCGGTTTGATCCAGAAAAGTACCACGATGCGGTAGATACTAGCGAAGCAGACGAAGGCTCCCAGGGCAAAGACACCGTTCAAGGCCAGTTTATCTTGCCATGCTCTCTGCAGGTTCCAGATCATAGGCACGGGCAGGGCCAGGATGACGAAGTCCATGATCACGTTGAAGACCTGGTTGACGATGAAGAACTCATTGGAGTCAAAGCAGTGGCCTTCGATGCTCTTGTCCCAGTAGGCTCGGAGGGGACGGCACTGTAGTGCACAGGCAAGGAATATGGCGGCCCCCCAGAGAGTGATTAACGTATTGAGGCCGAATGTGACCCATTGGAAGGGTCGCATCGTGAAGATACGTCGGTAGAAGCAGATGATGGAGATCTTGATGGCGGGGGAGAGCACAAAGTAGGTGAACTGGTTAGCAAGGAAGATCTGGAATGATGTTGGTTAATCGAAGATTTTACCAAGGGTGTGGTACAAAGTATTCATACCTTGGAGAAGGTCACGAGGGTCTCTTTATTAAGGTCACGCATGTGCGCACCGTTGCCTCCTATGGTAACCCCTGGAAGTGTTGGTTAGTAAATGTCCCGGACCGAGCCGACAATGCCAGAAGGGTGCTCACATAAAGCCAGTTCAATCAGCATGGCAATGAGGAGAACCATGGAGAGGAAACAAAGATAGTCGTCTACCCCAAACCCAACTCTTCGCTTCAACCGTGCAAATACACGCATGATGACAGTGATCAAGGCAACACCGACCAGCACCGAGACGATACTGATCATCTCACCTCCTCTTGACGTGATACTCATGGCGGAGATCTAAAGAGAGGGACTGGAAAAAAGGAGCTGATATTCAAAAAAGAGGGAAAGAAAGTGAGTGAAGGAAAGATAGAAAATAATACTATTATACAAGACACATATAGATGAGACAACACGATGTCCTGGAAGGATTGTAGACAGTTTTGGCTCCAGAGCAAGCAGTACTGACTGGAGGAACATAAGAGTAACGACGGTGCCTGGACTTAATATGTGGCACAAGGTCCCTGTCTAGATACTTCCCAGTTCCCACCACTATCTACTACGTTGCAGGGCATTAGGGAAAAGACGGGACCCACCAGATGGGACTCAGTCAAATGAAGCCAATAGACTGGCTCGATGTACAAAGGTCGACAAGCCGAAGGGCTCCAAACAGTACTGACTGGCAAATCATCCAGGTTGCACTAGCAGTGGAGACTTCCGGACCAGCAGAGTGAGAATAAAAACCCACTGTGCCGAAGCGACGATCACAATGGTATCAAAATAGCCAAACTCTGAATGAAGACAGATGGTTGACTATTAGTTTCCTGAAAAATGATATGATGCTAGTATCGCTAATCCCAATGTCGGGGGTTCTAGACAATGCATGTCGTACGATGCATGAGGGTCAACATTCCTTATCAAGTAAAAGTGCATGAATAGAGCTTGCTTCCAAAGAACTGCCCGATCCACGGGTGGGACGATTCGAATTTATTTCACGCGTCACGAACCTTGGATCATAGTTACTTGACTTTTGCGCGGCCTCCGGTCCATTTAGACTCGGTAGACCATATTCGCATCCTGATACTCCGGAGAATTGTTCGGGATTGTTTACTCGTCTGCGAGCAATCAGGGTTCTAGAAGATCTGCAAAGAAATCAATAGTATCTATTGTGCGATTATCAGGCTCGTGCACCGCTATTCCCATGTGGCCGTAAGCAAAGCGGATCTCGTTCTTTTCGGAGAACATAGGTGTAGGTAACTAATCAATTCTACAGCTAACTGACTATGCTTCTCTTGATTGTACTAGTTCAATAGATTCGCCTGATTGGTTTCAATCGTCCTAAAGTTTTTTTTTTTTTTTTTTTTTGCGTCTCCACTTTGTGGAGTATGGCCCTGATCGTGTCGTTATTATTGAATGTCACCGCTCGCTACGACCATGGTTCTCTCCATTCATGTCTCATGGAGAAACTAACTCGGAATCTTCTTTGCGATCTATCGGAGGCGTACCATTGCACAAACCTGGAGATCTTCACTCAGAATACTCGAAAGGTAGGGGAATTTAGTTGATTATCCGCCAGGTGCCGGGTCATTGTCTATCAGTTCCACATCATCGTTTAGTGATAGACGCTGCCAGGAAACTATCACATCAATAGTGGGAAAGGTTAACGCTCACGGATCGATTGATAGGCTTATTGTCTCACTTGTCATCTATGCCATCACATTAGCAGCACCAACTATTCCCTGCAAAACCAGGGCGGGAGATGGTAGTTGGTCCTTTGTAGGATAATAAATCTCTTCCCCTATTTTTTAGTTCTGTTAAAGTGTCAATTCAACCAATTCAGCCAAGCCTGCCAGGTCTGCTAATTCTGCTAATTCTGTCAATTGCGACTCGCATTCTTGTCAATGAATATGTTGCCTCATCGACAACCGATGGAGTTCTGCAATATTGGCTGGTGGGGTCGTTAGTGGAATGGGTTGACGGTGTTACGGTAGGAGAGACTAGAGAGATGAACCATAGGGGCCCGCAAATGCCTCTACTACGTAGTTAGTAGGCGCTGGCACGACACATCTTGAGAGTGAATAATTACGAAGTTATCCGCGTAGTGCGCCACGTGTTTTCAACATCGTTCCTTCGCTCGTTCGCCTTTTAGATGAACCGCTCGAAGCCATCATTCGGTAGATTCTCCTCGTTCCTCAATCCTACGTATATTAAAACGAGTTAATCAGGTATCTATCTATTTATTTATTTATTTTAGCCCAGTTTTGCTCTTCCAAATGGCTACCCAAAACGGGCCCGATCATACATCCTCCGCCCCCTCCGTGATACCATTGATTATCAACGGCAAGGAAGAAATCACCGACTCGACCTTTGATGTCATCAGTCCGTATACGAACCAACGCTGCTGGGCTACGGCGTCTGCCTCTCCCCAGGATGCCATTCGTGCCGTCGAGGCTGCCGAGGCTGCATTTCCAGCCTGGTCACAAACCAAACCCACCGTGCGACGAGACATCCTGCTGAAGGCAGCGGATATCTTAGAAAGTCGCCTTGAGCAGAACGCCGGATACATGCGAACCGAAATGGGAGCCGACGTAGGCGCCTCGCAGTTCTTCATTGCGCCTCTCGGGATCCGCATGTTGAGGGACATTGCGGGGCGCATCACCTCCATTTGCGGCAGCGTCCCCGTGGTTGAGGAAGAGGGTCAAAGCGCCATCGTGTACAAGGAGCCCATGGGTGTGATTTTGGGCTTAGTGCCGTGGTATGTTCTTCATTGCTGCAGTAAATTACTAACGTGCTACATTTCGTGCTGATCATCCACAGGAACGCGCCATATGTTTTTGGTGTCCGCTCGGCAGCCTGCGCCCTCGCTGCCGGCAACACTACTATCCTGAAATCCTCCGAGCTCTCGCCCTGCTCGTACTGGGCTCTTACGCGGGCGTTCCAGGATGCTGGATTACCCGCCGGATGTCTCAATCTGGTGTCCTGTCGACCCCAGGATGCTCCAGAAGTGGTCAATGCCATGATCGAACACCCGGCAGTGCGCAAGATCAACTTCACCGGAAGCACGGCCGTGGGAAGGAAAATCGCCAGAGTCTGCGGGCAAAATCTCAAGCCGTGTCTGATGGAGCTCGGAGGCAAGAACAGCTCTATCGTGTGCGCCGATGCAAACATCGAAACTGCTGTCAAGGGTGTTCTAGCCGGAGCGTATTTGAACGTACGATTCCCTTCTGTACTTGGGTATTCAGTTTCTGACACTCTACAGTCCGGACAAATTTGCATGGCTACGGACCGCATCCTGGTCCATGCCTCCATTGCGCCGGCGTTCATGGAGGCTCTGATGAAAGCACTGAATTCGAATCTCGACCCCTCTTCCCCACCCCCGACCTTGGTTAATGTGGCTTCCAAGGCACGTGTGAGCCGTCTCATCTCCGATGCTTTAGCAGATGGTGCCCATTTCATCCACGGATCTGTTAGCGGTGCAGACACGCAGACCGACTCGGGAGTCCGGATGGCTCCAGTGCTCCTCGGTGGCGTCACGGAGCACATGGATGTCTGGAAGGAGGAAGCATTTGCCTCTCTAGCGGCCGCTATGGTGGTGAGCAGCGATGAGGAGGCCATTCGGATTGCCAACAGCAGTGGCTACGGTTTGTCGGCAGCGATATTCACGGAGGATCTGCGCAAAGGGCTGGCGATGGCCAAGAAGATTCAGTCTGGGTAAGTTCTGTCAGGCTTATATGCAACGAAAGATGCTAATTAGCACAGCGCTGTGCACATCAATAGCATGTCCATTCATGACGAGCCGGCTCTGCCTCATGGGGGTGTCAAGAACAGTGGCTGGGGTCGATTCAATACAGCCCAAGGTCTCGAAGAATTTCTGGTGACCAAGAGTGTAACCTGGATGGATTAATGATTAAGCACAGCTAGTGTCCAGCATATATATCGAACCTAAGACAAAAGTTCCTTTTTTTGTTGATTCCGTTACTAACAGTATATTAATGCAATTGACATACATATACACCCTAAATTTCTATCTCAAAGACCGGGAGATCGTGCTACATCTCAGGAAAATTAATACCGAGAACTCGAGTACACAACACACTTTTGGCATCCATACAACGTAGCATGTAGACAGATATAATACCAATCTCACTTAATATTATAGTTAGATGAAGTGCAAATAAACTCAACGCGTTGCATATCCTCAGCATCGTCACCGGCTACTGACCATAACCACCACCAAAGCAGTAATTCCCATACCCGATAAGTCATCATGTCGTCGGAATTTGAGCCCCCTACGTTGATTGGTGGATAAATTAAAACACAAGCGCTGTTCCAGTAACCGTCGCGACATGTGACCAATTGCCGATGGACTGCTGAATGCTAGTACCTAGTTACTGGTACTGAGATGACAGGAGGTTGTTTATTACCAGGTGAAATGAGAGTTGCAGAGGGCAACAGGAATGGAGGCATATAAGTCGATATGGGCTGATGGTTTAATTTGGGGACTATTCTATGATCTTTTCCTCTTGTGGACTAAGGGGGATCTAGAGTACAGTGCACTGGCTCTCGGACCGAGGTAGAAGTTGCTGCCACTTGAGCTGGTTGGGGTAGTATTGTGCAGTATGTGTATGGACAGGGGCAGCTGAATACGTGATGATACATTTTGGAGTTTCGGTTGATGGGTGATAGTACATGCATATATTAGTAGTCGTGGAGAATATTGCCAGTATTTATATATCGTACGTTGGATAGTATCTATTTATTTTAATCAACAACCCAGACAGACACATGCGTACCAAGCGCAATGCAGATAAGCTCTCCTGACAAAATATCAGAACTCATCCAAACCCATCCTTCAGCTGAACATGACGTGCGCTGACCTAAGCCTGCATTCTCATTTGCTCCTGTCCGACATGTGAAAGCTGATCAGTCAGTGGACTCCGGAGTGACTACTAAACGTGACATCTTTCCGGGGTAAGTCGCATGCCCAAGCATGTGAAGGTCCCCCTTACAATCCTGAAGATTGGGGAAAGTCTCCTGAATAGAGTTGGAATGTGTATGGAGCCCATCCAGCATTTCTCCATTGCCAACGACAAACCAGAATTCGTTGAATAGCCTTTACTAAGAGGAGCCACCAGCAACACCACGGATGGATCAATATTCTGGGTTGCGTATTGTTGTATGGGTATTACCTGGTAACTACCATACATTGGCTTTCCTACTCGGTGGGAAAGCCGCCCAAGTGCAGAGACAGGGCAACCGTAAGCATACGGTACATGATGAGCCTCGGCCGACAAGCAGACGGTCGCGTCGGCTTCTGAACCTGTCCCAATTCTTCTCCTCCCCCGGATCCTGGTCGGTGCATCCTTGGGTGCTTTAAGATCTCCGTCTCTCGTCTTTCCCCGGTCCCTTTCCCAGACCTTCTTATTCATCCTTATTCCTATCCTATCTTTCTCCCTATCCCCCTTTTACTCTCTCACAGTCACTATGGCCACCCCTCCTAGAGTTATCGTCGTCGGTGGTGGATGTACGTTGTCCCAGTCATAGTTAACAGCTTTCCCCGCATTGCTGACAATTACCTCGTTTCTTAGTGTCTGGTCTCAGTGCCGCCCACACTGTCTACCTAAACGGTGGAAACGTTCTTGTTCTAGATAAGCAGTGTATGTTCTATTTTTAATGATGCTGCGAAAGAAAAAGAGAAGAAAAGAAAAGAAAAGAAGAAAGAACAACGAAAAGGGCTGACCACTTCAGCTTTCTTCGGTGGCAACTCGACCAAAGCTACCTCGGGTATCAACGGTGCCCTCACGCGCACTCAAGTCGACTTGGGAATCCCCGACAGCGTCAAGACTTTCTACGAAGACACCCTCAAATCCGCCAGAGATAAGGCTCGCCCCGAGCTCATCAAGGTCCTCACATACAAGTCCGCAGCTGCGGTGGAATGGCTGCAGGATGTTTTCAACCTCGATTTGACTCTTGTTTCTCGTCTCGGGTGAGTATCGTTCTCCTTCGGTCGGGTCAAATTAGATCACTAACGGTCACAGTGGCCACTCTCAGCCCCGGACACATCGTGGCCACGATGCCAAGTTCCCTGGAATGGCCATCACCTACGCTCTTATGCAGCGGTTAGAAGAGCTCAACGAGCAGGAACCCGACCGTGTCCAGATTGTCAAGAAGGCCCGCGTTACCTCAGTCAACAAGTCCGGAAACACTGTGACTGGTGTTACTTATGAGCTCAATGGTGAATCTCACTCCGCAGACGGTATCGTTGTCCTTGCCACTGGTGGCTATGCTGCCGACTTTGGTGATGGGTCGCTTCTGAAGCAGCACCGCCCTGACACCTTCGGCCTGTCCAGTACCAACGGTACTCACGCTACTGGTGATGGTCAGAAGATGTTGATGGAAATTGGTGCCAACGGCATCGACATGGACAAGGTCCAGGTGCATCCTACGGGTCTTGTTGACCCTAAGGACCCTACTGCTAAGTTTAAATTCCTTGCTGCTGAAGCTCTCCGTGGTGAGGGTGGTCTCCTGCTCAACTCGGATGGCCAGCGGTTCTCGGACGAGCTGGGCCACCGTGACTATGTGTCCGGCCAGATGTGGAAGGAGAAGGAGAAGGGTAAGTGGCCCATCCGTCTTGTGCTCAACAGCAAGGCCTCCAACGTTCTGGACTTCCACACTCGCCACTACTCCGGCCGTGGATTGATGAAGAAAATAACTGGCAAGGAGCTGGCTAAGGAGATCGGCTGCGGGGAGGCTGCTCTGCAGAAGACCTTCACCGAGTACAACGCCATCGCCGATGGCAAGAAGAAGGACCCCTGGAACAAGCGTTTCTTCCACAACATGCCCTTCGACATCAACGATGACTTCCACGTGGCCCTGATGGAGCCCGTCCTGCACTTCACCATGGGTGGTATCGAGATCAACGAGCACGCCCAGGTGCTCAACTCGGAGAAGAAGCCCTTCGAGGGTCTCTACGCCTGCGGTGAACTGGCAGGTGGTGTCCACGGCGCCAACCGTCTGGGTGGCTCTTCCCTTCTGGGCTGCGTGGTCTACGGTCGTGTTGCCGGCGACAGCGCCAGCCAGCATCTCTTCCAGAAACTGGTTTCCGGCGGTGTCTCCAGCGCTCAGCAGCGTCTGGGTCAGATCTCCTTGCACATCGACCCCTCTACCCCCGGCAAGATCTCCGTCGAGTGGGGCGGTGCAGGTGCCGGCGGTGCCCAAGCTACCGTGGGTGCCCCCGCAAGCGCAGCCCAGACCCCCGCTGCTCCCGCCGCCGCCGCCGCCGCCGAGACCGGTCCCAAGAAGTTCGAGATCCCTTCCACGGAATACTCCATGGAGGAGATCGCCAAACACAACAAGAAAGATGACCTATGGATCGTCGTCAAGGGTGTTGTCTTGGACGTGACCAACTGGCTGGATGAGCATCCCGGCGGAGCCAATGCTCTCTTCAACTTTATGGGCCGTGATGCCACAGAAGGTATTCCCTCTCTATTCTCCCATCGATTTCGACATGTCGTATGCTAACCAGTATTTCTTTGCAGAATTCGCCATGCTCCATGACGACGAGGTTATTCCCAAATATGCATCGCAGATTGTCATCGGCCGTGTCAAGGGCCAGACCCCTACTCTAGAGATCTAGACTGATTGAAATAGAACCATTCTATCGGAAGAGAAAATCATGACGCAGCTTTTTGACATACCCCCTTTTCTCTCTTTGAATTTTTTTTTGGCACTTGTTACCTATGCCTGTGATGATATATCTATTCCTTTTATCTTCTTAGTCTGTAAGATACAAATATGAAATATTTTTTCTTTATTTTATTCTATGAAATGTTTCTATATACTTTACATAATCGTTGTTGTACAAGGTGAATATGAGATGAAGCAGAAGTAAAAGAGTAAAAATGGCGTTTCTGCCCCTTGATATATATAATTTCTTTCTCGTCCGCGGTCAAGTCTGCATGTGCTTCAAGATCATCTTCAGTCGTCGCACAGCAGGTCCCTCCTTGGTGATATCCAAGTTCTGGTTCGATTCCATCTCTTTTGCAGCGGCCTCCAATGTAGGTCGTAGGTAGCCCCAGACTTCGTCGTGGTATCTCTCCTCGACAGCCACCCAATCTGCAGAACCGGGCAACCCGGTCAAGACAGCATCCCGCAGTGTAGTAGCATCGGTGAGGGTGCCCGACGGGGCATTGTTTAGGATTGTGTTGATATCTGGAATGAGACTGTAGGATGTGAAGCGATGGGGATGCGACTGCTCGTTGGACGTGTCGGACGGAGGCATGCTCCGACGGAAGGATTCAATCATTTCGATCTCTGCTGGGGTGAGTTGAGGTTGAGATAGCTCTGTCTCTATAATATCAGCGGGTTCGTTGGCCGCTGGTGGAAATGTGGGATCGAACGTTGAATCTGACAGTAGAGACACCACTGCATCGCCGTCGGATGGCGTGGGGATCGGTTGAAAGCTTCTTTGTGTGGAGATGGTATTGTTAAAAGGGGAGAGATTCGTCGTAGATGTCTCCTTTCCTTTTCCCTTTCTTTTATCCGACGCTGTATTTGGGATCTCCTGGTCGCCACCGAAAGGGTCTACACCATAGGAATGCTGGAATTCTTCCTCGGTAAACGAGGGGAGAGTGAACCCGCCTTGTTGGCTCGACGACGACGATCGGAACGTTTCTCTAGTGGTATTGTGGGATTGGTGTCGACCCGAAGAGGACGAGGAAGGGACCGAGGCTTCTGTGTATTGTTGCGCTGCTGCCAAAGCTGCTGCGGTCGACGAAGAAGCACCCGACTTGCTGCCATCCGCTAGCAAATGCGCAGCATCTGCGGATGAACCGGAAGCATGAAAGGCATCCCTTGCAAGTCGCGATGCTGAATTTTGGATCCGACTCGTCAGGGAAGAGCTGGTTTGGGCTTCCATGGCATTGGTGGAAGGATGGGTCGACTTGCGGTCTGTGTTGGCGGTTTTGCCTTGGGTGCCCGTGCCCCGCTTCTCGTCGTCGGTCATCGTGTGATGGCGGGGAGGATGGAATAGTGCTAGGGACAGCTCTTGTTCGAAATTAATGGAGGAAGGTGGGCTTTTACAACATGCGATACCTATCTCATCGATGGTATGGACAGAACAGGGTAAGAACGTGATGTTGGCTAGGAACTACCAAGGTAGGCATAGGAAAGTAGTATAGTAAGTGAGTTATGCTCGGCCCAAGGGAAAGAAAAGCGCATGTGAAGAGCCGCCACATAAGTACCACAATAAAAATAATGGAACCAACAATCCCCCACTGGATAATCTCAGAACAGTAAGGATAGTGAGAGATGGATTGTCTCCGGTAGGAGCCGGCCTATCGCGCGCGTCATTGGGTATGGGTGGTTCTATATGGGAAACAGTCGAGGGATGGACCGAAAAGACACGAAATATAGTTACGTAGTATAAATAGTAGGGACGATATACCTCCTACCTTGCTAGTTGATCAATTAGTGGGATGCGGGGTCGGAGGAAAAGAGAACCACCAGGAGCACCGTTCCTGAAGCCAGAAAAAACTATGACGAAAAAAAAGACAATCTCCACGATGACTTATCCATCGGTCTGCCGGGATCTGGATCGGATCGGGCGCTTGAGTGAGTGGTTGATGTCAGCGCCCAGTTGGCGGTGACTTCGTTAGTGAGTAAGTGTAAGTGGTTTTACGGCAGCCACTCCTCCCCACCACCGACCAGACAGTACTTCCCAATACCGCCTCACCCTCTCTCCATTCCCTCTCTTCTTCCTTCCTCCATCCCACCTTTGGTCCCCCCCGACTCTCCTTCCCCTTCAACAGACTGTCTCTGTCTGTTGTCGTCGTCGTCGTCGTCGTCGTCGTGGCAGTTGTTGCTACTGAGTCTTCTTTCTCCTGCAGGAAAGAGAGACAGGGAAAGAAGAAAAAGAAAGAAAAAAGGTAACAACAAAATTTAATTAGAACAAAAAATCAAAGGGACAAAAAAAACATAGAACGAGGGGAAAAAATTAATACCGACCTCCTTTTTCAACGTCACCCCTCATCATTGTGATATCGCCAGCTCAGGCTGTCAATCTTTTGTCTTCTTCAGCCTGCCAGTGACTGTCCCGGTCTCTGCCTTACGTCGTCTGCTTCCTCCTCCCCCTCTCTCTCCTCCATTCCATCGGCTAGTTGGACCTTCATCCTCCCTTATCTCCACTCTCGAGGTCCATTCTCATACCACAGCTCCAGCCTTTTTGCCGTCGTGTTCACCGCTCTACTTCACTCCTGTCACCATCAGAATAGTATTTTTTTTTTTTTTTTAACTTTATAAAAAAAAAAATCCCATCCAGAAAGGGATCCTCGTTACGCCACGACACTCACTCCCGTGAACCCCACTTCTTCGTATCGCACATCGAGCTGTTTGGGCATTGGAAATTCGGTTGTCAATTGTCTACCCAAGGTGAAGGGTGGTCTGAAAGAAAATGGTAGACAGGGATCCAGGTTCACCTACCTGGAAGTTCACACAGTGAGTTCGGCCCTTCGGTTTGATGATCCCTTCGCGATGCCTCGTCGACTACCAGGCGGCTCTCTCGCAATTGAGATTCGGGCGCCGATCCAGGGTCTTGATTTTTGTTTTGTGCTTTGTCTTCTGCATTCGGCGACTGGACAAGGGGATTTTCCAGAGTACTAATTGACTATAGGTGCTTCGGTGACAAAGGAGATGTAGAGGATATCACAGAAGGTTCGCACCTGCCCCCTTGATTCTTCTCGCCAAATTGAGTGATCTATCTTTTGTGCGAGAAAATGATGTCATGGCTGACACGCTGGTCTCCTCTTACAGCGGATATCATTTCAACCGTCGAGTTCGACCATACCGGGAACTATCTAGCTACGGGAGACAAGGGCGGGAGAGTAGTGCTGTTCGAGCGAAATGAGACGGTATTGGCTTCCTGCAACGTCCCCAGTGTTGACGGTTCTAACTGTCGTGGTAGAAAAAAACCTGCGAGTACAAGTTCCACACCGAGTTCCAGTCGCACGAGCCGGAGTTTGATTATCTGAAGTCCCTAGAGATCGAAGAGAAGATCAACAAAATAAAATGGTGTAGACGGCAGAATGCATCTCATTTTCTTCTTTCGACAAATGATAAAACGATAAAGCTGTGGAAGGTGTTTGACAAGTCGCTCAAGGTCGTTGCGGAAAACAATCTCTCGAGTGAGCTTACGCCGGCAGGTGTGGGTGGCGGAGGGGCACCCCGTGCGCCCCGTCTATCGTTCAAGGACCCTTCCTTGTTGAAACTTCCTCGAATGACGCACCATGATACCGTGGTGGCTGCCGTCCCTCGAAGGACATATGCCAATGCGCACGCATACCACATCAACAGTATATCCGTCAACAGCGACGGGGAAACGTTCATAAGTAGCGATGATCTACGGGTGAACCTGTGGAACCTTAATATCCAAGACCAAAGCTTCAACATTGTCGATATCAAACCCGCGAACATGGAAGAACTGACAGAAGTAATCACCGCCGCCGAATTCCACCCAACCAGTTGCAACTGGTTCATGTATGCCAGCTCCAAAGGCACAATTAAGCTTGCCGATATGCGACAGCGGGCCTTGTGCGACGAGCACCAGAAACGTGAGCCACTTACCCACCATGTATGTTATTCTCGTTGGTGGCCGAAACTGACTTCTATCCAGTCTTCGAGCAAGAAGAAGATGCCTCCTCTCGTTCATTTTTCTCCGAAATCATTTCCTCCATCTCCGACGTACGATTCTCGCACGACGGCCGCTATATCGTATCCAGAGACTACCTGACGGTCAAAATATGGGATGTCAATATGGAACGGCAACCGGTAAAGACTATTCCTATCCACGAACATTTGCGACCTCGCCTGTGCGACACATACGAGAACGATAGTATCTTTGATAAGTTTGAAGTAGTTTTCTCGGGCGATGCAGAGAATGTCATGACTGGCAGTTATAATAACAACTTTATGATCTACCCCACCGACTCGAGCAAGGAGACGGAAATAGTGTTACAGGCAGACAAGTCGGCCTTCAAAGCAAAGAAGGTCGGCGTTCCAACACCGATGAACAAGGGCGCCAATGGAAAGAAGAACGGGTCTAGAGCCGGTAGCCCTGCGGGCCCTGGCAGCCGGATGAAAAAGGAGACTGATGCGGATCAGATCGACTTCAACAAGAAGATCCTGCATATGAGCTGGCACCCTTACGAAGATAGTATTGCCATTGCTGCCACTAACAACGTGAGCTTATCCTCCCCTCGTCCATAACGTTTCATGTATTTGAGACAGTGACTAACCACCTGGGTGTTATAGCTATTTGTCTTCTCTGCGTTGTAAGTAGGGGACTGAATGATTTAATAGTCAAAGGCGGGTCAGTGTTCAGTTCAGGCAAGCATGGAACAAAGTTTTACAGACGAAAAAAAGAGGACACTAGCAGCAGCACCCACAGATCCAGAATTCAAGTTACAAGTTCAAGTTCAAATATTTCCGTACTTTTCTCTCTTCTCTCTCCCTCCCCCCTCGTCTTTTGGTGTTGGCCATGCATTGTTTCCCGATCTATTTCTTCAACCTCCTTTTGACTTTGGCTCCATTATTTCCCCCACTGACTACGTTTATTGGGCTTATTTCCGATGGGGGAGGCGTTTTACTGGGATATAGGATAGAGAACGAAGATGTGGAACCTCCAGAGGACCTCTTTTCTTCCCTGCCTTGCTCGATGTCGGTCTGGATGAAGCATCCACCCCGGCAGAGACCCGGGCCATGGGCCTTTGCCCTAAAATGGTTACTCTATGTTGGCTGCTAGATGAGCAGTTTTTTATTTCTTTCTTTTCTTTATCTTTTTTTTTTTTCTTTTCTTTTCTTTTTTTTTTTTTTTTTTTTTTTTGATGGACTGGTTTCAATTGATACAGCTGTCTATTTAGCGTTACTGAAGTAGATAATGAAATGATAGGATTTTCTCTTTGGGAATTGCATTTTTATCTCCATAGACTGCTCTGTACTACTACTCTCTGGACTCTGTTGGGATAGAGTGTCATACAACTGGGAGCAACCAGTCGATGACGTTGTCACGACTCATGTTAGAGCCCGAACTGCAGATCCCGTCTTGTCCACAGCCAATCACCGTGCAAAGGAACAGAAAGGACAAAATCTCGGAAAAGCGTAATCCCGTCAGTGGCGCTATGGCTGAAAGAGTGTTAGCGTTGTCAAAGCCTCTCTCCGCCTTCTCTCTGGAGACTATCCGTGCTCGGTCGCGCGCAAACCATCATCACCAGCTCAGTCTGCTTCTTGCCGGCTTGGTCCCCTTTTCACCTTCGCTTGGTCTCTTTCCACACTATCCTCTTGATATTTGACCTTTCAGCCTGCTTCTTAATCTGTGGTCCTGCGGTTGGCTCAGTCTCGTCAGCACAGTGATGTTGCTGTGAAATGACTTGGAGACAGAGACTTGGAGACAGAACTCAACTGTGCGAAAAGGAATAGCAGACTCACAGCTTGGACTGGGAGCGGTCACCACTTGAAACTCTTTTGTTTTTTTTTTTTTTTTCTTGTTTTTCTTAACCTCGTTTAGAAGTTCTTAGAGCACACATCCTTATTTCTCGGCTTTCTTATCCATGCACAGAACATGAACTCCTCTGGGAATGATAACTGGCACCCCGGTGGCCCTCCTTCACACCCCGGGATAGACCAGATGAATCAACAACCTCGCCCATTGGGCTCTTATAGGTATGTGATTAAATTCTTGTCTGCTGTTTTTCGTGCCTTGTCCAGGATAATTCGCAAAGCTAACCCGGTTCTGTCTCTCGCTCTGTAGTCAAAACCCACCGCCCCAGCAAGGCCCGTCCTCCCAGCCTGCAGGGCCCGTTCTTCCCCCTCCAGCCGGTCTGAATCCCCTTGTTCAGTGATATTATGGTCATGAGGGTGTAATGCTCAGTTGACTAACCCGCTGCTGCTAACAGGCCCCTATCACCCTGCAAGCCAACCTGCTGGCCACTCCCTCCCTGGGCTGGCAGAACTGAGCCAGGGCCATGCCGGTCCCCATCAGCCTCCTGCATATGGCCAGCACCCCTCTGTTCCTTCTCACAATGCGGGACATTCTCTGCCAGGCATCGGCCAAGCCATGCAACATCCATCTCCCCAGTCCATTAACCGAGAGCGAGAACGAGACTCCAGAGAACGCGAATTGTTGGAGAGACGTCATCAAGAGGAGATGGTCCACAGAGAGCGTGAGCAGCGTGAGCGTGAACAATTAGAAAGGCAACAACTGGAGCGACAGCGTGAGCAGCAGCAGCATCACCCTGTCCAGAGCCATACAGGGTCGATCCCTCTGCACCAGCCGGTTGCCTCGAAAGTGCCAAATTCCATTCATGGCCCCAATGGGCTTTTGTCGAACCTTGGATCAAACCCCCAGAATGCCCCTCAGGGGTCCATGCAGTCATCTGGAGGTCCTGGTTCGATCTATGGCCCACAGATGCAACATGGAGAAGGAACCCCAAGATCATTCATGCAGCATCCCGCCGCCGGTCCAGGACAACCCATGATGGGTTTCAGTACCTCAGGTCCCCAGATTCCGGGTAATGTTGCTGCCCTTGCTCAGGGCCAGCAACCAATTTTGAATGTAAGTATCTCCGGGGGAAGGATTATCTCCATTCGCGTTTGTTTATTATTATTATTATTATTATTAATTCGCTGCTTCATCTGATTTCTGCGATTTCGGACAACCTTTGCTAACGTTTATTATCTAGGATGCGCTCAGCTACCTCGATCAGGTGAAGGTCCGTTTTGTCGATCAGCCGGACGTTTACAATCGATTTCTCGATATAATGAAGGACTTCAAGAGCCAGACGTAAGCAACCGGTCACTGGCGCAAACCCGTTCTTTTTCTGATTTTCAGCAGCATCGATACTCCTGGCGTGATTCAGCGCGTCTCATCGCTATTCAATGGACACCCTGCTCTTATCCAGGGGTTCAATACTTTCCTGCCTCCTGGTTATCGGATTGAATGCGGAACGGAAGATAATCCAGACGCGATTCGAGTGACGACACCCTCGGGTACGAACACTCTTAGCATGCCGCGTGCGCGTCATTCATTAGAGTCCTCTGGTGAATTGGGTCCGACTAGTTCCCTTGGCCCTCACGGACGCCCGGACTTCTTTGACCAGTCTCGTCCTGGCTGGCAACAAGCCCAACCCCAACCACCACAACAACCTCAACAACAGCAGGGTACCCTTCCAGGTTCGTACTCGCCTGGTTCTCGCATGATGGGTACTAGCATGTACGGACAGCAGGGTGGACAAGGTCAGCCCCAGGAACACCACTACGATTACCCAACTCAGCAAGAGCAGCAGGCTGCAGCTGGCGCAGCGGCCATGGCTCACCAACAGGATCAGCGTGGTGTCTCGCAGCTCCAGGGCGCCGCGTCGGCTGCCTCTGCTGGCCTCGGACGCCCCGGGTTGATGCAAGTGTCCCCTGCGTCGGGTCAAAACTCTAGTTTGAACCAGCCCATGAACAGTCTGGCAGGTGTTGGATCGGGCATGCTTCAAGGCTCGCAGGCGGATTTGAATAAACGCGGACCTGTCGAATTCAACCATGCGATCAGTTACGTGAACAAAATCAAAGTAAGTGCTCCTCCCGTAAACACACCAAAATTCCGGTTGACACTAATGTTTTCTGCTTCCCTATTCTGGAATAGAATCGTTTTTCGAGCGCTCCTGAAATCTATAAACAGTTTCTCGAAATCCTGCAGACGTACCAGCGCGAGTCGAAGCCAATCCAGGACGTCTACGCTCAAGTCACTCAACTGTTTAACACTGCGCCGGATCTCTTGGAAGATTTCAAACAGTTCCTGCCCGAGTCTGCTGCGCATGCCAGACAGCAGGCAGCGGCACGTCAGGCGGAGGAGGCGGCAGCACCCATGAGTAATGTGCGAGGGGAGCCCAACTTCTCCAATGCCACAACACTTCCCTCTCAGACCCCGAATCGCGACGTCAAAATGCCTCCTCTCGGTCAGTTCAACGTGAAGGATTCCGGCAAGGAAGGCAAAAAGCGCCGAGGCGTCCCTGGAGCTCCGGCTACTTTGGGCCCTTCGGTCTCCGGATCTTCCGCTGTCGATAGCGCACGCATGGCGGATGCTCAGGGCGGCCGAGCTCCAGCCATCCAGCCAGGCAATGCCAACAAGGTGGGTTAATCCCTCGCGATGGTTTTTTGAGGTTATCGTCGGGTATTCTGTCTTTGCAACTATTGTCTACTACCTGACATGAGTCCATGATTATGAAATCGCAAGGTCGTTTTGTGCTTTTCTCCGTGCCACCTTAACCATACCGCCCAATGCCCGCCCCTCACTGCTGTTTCCCCATGTGCCCATTGCGCAGAGTAGCTGCTAACATCCTCCTAAGAGAGCCAAGGTCCATCATACGAAAACCACCCAGGCAGAAGCCCCCACCGTCTCGCCCACCCTTGTCCCCGCCCTACCCGAGCCGATTCAGCCCACCTTCTCCTTGACGCCCAGCCAGGAGGAGTTTGCCTTTTTCGACCGCGTAAAGAAGTACATCGGTAATAAGCAGACGTTTAGCGAGTTCCTCAAGCTTTGCAACTTGTACTCAACTGACCTCATTGATCGCCACGTACTTGTAAAGAGGGCTGCTGGCTACATCGGTTCCAACCCCGAGCTCATGGCGTGGTTCAAGCGCTTTATGCACGTCGAGGAACCCGAGGACAAAATCATCGAGGTCAAGGCCAAGCAGGAGCAGGGTATTGTCAACCTGTCCCATTGCCGCTCCCTTGGACCCAGCTATCGCCTTCTGCCAAAGCGCGAGCGACAGAAGCCATGCAGCGGTCGTGATCAGTTGTGCTACAGTGTCCTGAATGACGAATGGGCTTCTCATCCTACCTGGGCTTCGGAAGACTCTGGTTTTGTGGCGCACCGTAAGAATTCGTATGAAGATACCTTGCATCGCATCGAAGAGGATAGGCACGACTACGATCACCACATTGAAGCATGTACTCGCACTATCCAGCTGATTGAGCCCATTGTACAGCAGTTCCTTGTCATGTCGGATGCGGAGAGGACCGCTTTCAAGCTTCCTCCCGGCCTTGGGGGTCAGAGTGAGGCGATCTACCAGCGTGTGATCAAGAAGATCTATGACCGACAGCGGGGAGAAAAGATCATCCGTGAGATGTTCGAAAGACCTTGCCATGTGCTTCCCATCGTCTTGTTCCGCTTAAAGCAAAAGTGTGAGGAATGGAAGGCTAGTCAACGCGAATGGGATAAGATCTGGCGCGAGCAAATGCAAAAGGCCTACTGGCGAAGCCTGGATCATCAGGCCATAGCCAGCAAAGGGACGGACAAGAAGCTGTTTGTGGCGAAGCACATCCAGAACGAAATCCAAACTAAATATGAGGAGAGCAAGAATATTCGCAAGAGCGGGTTCCAGGTCGCCAAGCACCAATTTGAATTCACTTTCGACGACGCGGCGGTTCTCATCGATGCTACTCACTTGCTTTTGACATTTATTGACCGCAACTCTGCTGGGTTTGGAGCCGACCCCCAGAAGGTGATGACCTTCATCAAGGACTTTATCCCGGTATTTTTTGGTATGGACCGTGACACTTTCCATGTGTATATGAATGAGCTGTCAAGCGGCACGTCTCCGGCTGAGGAGGGCGATGACGAGAGTCTGGCTGCGGAGGAATCCTCAACTCCCCGTGGCCGCAAGGGTATAAACGGCAAGAAGGTCGATTTGCTTCGCGATGTTCTGGAACGCCGCAGCGAGAAAGCCAACCGGACTGAGAAAGGGGGCAGTACTCCAGCCAGCCGTGACGGTACTCCCGATGCCGTCCTCGTCCCATCCACCCCTATCCCGGACCCTACTGAGACATTCGACGTGGCCGAGCTGAAGTGGATGGAGCACCCCGGACAGGGCAACTTCAACCTCCAGCGGGAGTACACCTTGAACGAGTCTTATGAGAAGAATGTCCACCACCTTTATGCTAATTTGAACATCTACTGCTTCTTCCGCACGTTTGAGATTCTCTATTCGCGCCTTTTGCGGATCAAACTGCACGAGAAGGACGCTCATGAGGACGTGCGGCGTGCTCTGGTTGGGAAGCCGGCACAAGAGCTGGGTCTGATTGACAAAGCGCCTACGGATTTCTTCTACGATTGCGGATCCACGGCGAATCTGTACCAGCAGGTGGTACGGATGTGCGAGGAGGTCATCAAGGGCGATTTGGAGACCTCTCACTTGGAGGAAACTCTCCGTCGGTACTACTTGCGGAGCGGTTACCAGCTGTACAATTTGGAGAAGATGTTCACAGGAATCGCCAAGTTTGCCGGCGCTATTTTCAGTGGGGATTCCAAGGACCGCAGCTCTGACATTATCAACCTTTTTTTTAAGGAACGGGACAAGGAGGAAACCACGCACAACCAAGAGATTCAGTATCGAAAGCAGGTGGAGAGACTGGTCCGGGATGGCGATATCTATCGTGTTACATATGTAAGTGATCCCAGCACGTTGCTTTCTATCAAGCCACATTTCATTTCTAACAGGGGATGGTCCTTGCAGAGCCCTACTACCAAGAAGACTTCCGTGCAACTCCTGATGCCGGAGGATGCCACTTTGGAGAACGAAGAGCTGAGCCAGGAAGCGCGCTGGTCGTACTATGTCTCCGCTTACACCATGCGTGACCCCACGGAAGGTGTGCCGTTCTCTCAGATGCGCATGCCTTTCTTGAAGCGAAACCTTCCCCCAAAGTTGGAACAGGAAGAGGAATACAACCGCTACTACCGGCCCCTGGTACACTTGGACGGTCTCATTATTCGCATCTGTGCCAACAGCTATCATATCCTGTACGAACCGGGTAGTTACGACTGGTGGTGGCGCCCCACTGCTCCATCAGAGGAGTCGACCGAGGAGGTTGCTAAGGAGGAAGCAGCTGTCAAGGAGCGGCGGCGTGACCGGTTCACCGAGAAGTTTGTCAACAACCCCGGCTGGGCGCATGGTCTCAGTAAGGATCAAGTGGACGAGTCCAATCAGCGCTTCCGTTCCTGGATCAAGGGCAACAAGACCGAGGGTGAGACCACCGCTCCGGAGGCACCAGGTTCCGACCAGCAGGATAACAAGGAGGATACGGAGATGGCTGATGCCGAAGAGCCCGCTTCTGAGTTCAAGGAACAGTGAGGGGTGACATGGTCCGGTGAATACTTTCCGATCTGAGGTAGCTAGCCGACGGAAAAGGTATCTCTGGCAAGAACAAGGTTGGGGTATATGGACAAACCAGTAGTCGGGGTTTTTCAGGTGTTATTTTTTTAATTCTTCAATTTTTTCTGTGATATTTTTTACAGTGCCGGTGGGAATGATTTATTTTGCATGGAACTACTTCTATTTATGTCTTTCTAGGTGTGTCATCCCATGTTCGCAGCAGTCTATGTTTCATAGCTGCATCGAGCACGGCCATGTGCATGAATGGATTCGGGCAGACCACGGCGAGGTGCTTTGGGCTGGTGTAGGGGATTCCAGGATGGATCACATATGGGTTGCTTTCTCTCTGTACTTGTACTTTAGGAAGTGTCTGAGCATGGTTATTGTTTCTTTTTTTTCATTTATTATTTTTTTTTTTTAATTTTCTTTTCCAACCGTACCGAATCATTCCCAACTGGAAAGCTCCGTGTGGCCGAGACCGGATAGCCGAACAGGCCGAGACTACGCCGATGGGCCAGTCTCGGCGGGGGACCTTCTGGTCTTTCTCCCTTGAAGCTCTCCTGGGACTGGGGAGTGGAGATGGGGGACTTATCCGAGGAATTGGTGATAGTTTAACTGACTGAGTTATTTTAAAGTCCCTCCCAGTTGATGCACGAGGAGACTGGTCCTAATCTATGTCGTCGAGACTGAAAGGCAAAAAACAAAGACCGAAGAATCGCCGATGTGACGTCAAGTGGAGAGAGTCTAGCCCCATCAAGACAGCTCTCTTTTTTTGGGAGATTTTTTCTTCATATCTGCCACTCTGTCGAGGGGAATTGTGCAAATAAACCCTGAGGGATTAAAGGTCAATTCATCTGGAGTCAGGGGCAATTCAATTCAACCTTGTATCAGTTGTATGTAGGTATAGATATCCATACATCCCATGTTGCTCCAAGAGATAGAATGGCAGTGCGGAGTAGATCCATAGCAGTTTCAGACTCAACCATGGAGAGATAGCCAATACAGATATTATTACCTACTAGCTCGTCCGGCTATTGTTCCCTTCTCCCGAATCTTCCTGTTGGTCTTTCCACGGCCGTGGCGGGGGTTCCAGTCTATTTCTATCGCGGAGAATCCCATCCGCACTATTTTTTCTCTCTTCTTCCCCATACTCTCTCCTCTCCTCTTCTCTCCTTTTGTGTTTCTATCTACCCGTTCCTTTCACAATGGCTGCTTCTGCCCTTCTAAAAAGCCGTGTACGACGGCCCTCGTACCTCAAAAAACTAGCCAAAGCTGAAGACCTTATCGACTACTTCCCCCATGGCTCGTATATCGGCTGGTCCGGATTCACGGGAGTTGGATACCCCAAGAAGGTTCCCACAGCGCTGGCTGATCATGTTGAGAAGAACCGCCTTGAAGGGAAGCTGAAATATACCCTGTTTGTTGGAGCTTCGTCGGGGGCAGAAACGGAGAACCGCTGGGCGAGATTGAATATGATCGAGCGACGAAGCCCGCACCAGGTGGGCAAGGAGATCGCCAAGGGTATCAATAGTGGTCAGATCAAGTTCTTTGACAAGCATCTGAGCATGTTCCCGTCTGATCTTGTCTATGTGAGAGACCAAAACTTTTTGATGTTGATGCTGTAGAGGCTAACCATGTGGTGTTCGGTAGGGCTACTACACCATGGATAAACCGAACAATAAACTGGATGTGGCGGTGATCGAGGCATCCGCCATCACTGAGGATGGGGGCATCATCCCCGGTGCCTCTGTTGGTGCGTCGCCGGAGCTTGTCCAGATGGCGGATAAGGTAATCATCGAAGTCAACACGGCTAGTCCGTCGTTCGAAGGCCTGCACGATATCACCATGTCGGAGCTTCCTCCGCGACGCAAACCGTATCTGATCCTCGCGCCGGAGGATCGCATCGGCACCCCCCATATCCCCGTGGACCCGGAGAAGGTGGTGGCCATCGTGGAATCCGACTACCCGGACCAAACGCAGCCCAATGCGCCCGAGGATGCGAGCTCGCAGGCCATAGCCACCCACCTGATAGAGTTCCTGAAGCATGAGGTCAACATGGGCCGCCTGCCGAAGAACCTGCTCCCGATCCAGTCTGGTATTGGTAACATTGCCAATGCCGTCATCGGCGGACTGAGCAAGGGCGGTGCTGATTTCACCAACCTGAAAGTATGGACTGAGGTGCTGCAGGACTCGTTCCTGGACCTTTTTGACAGCGGGAACCTCGACTTCGCCACGGCAACCTCGATCCGTTTCTCTCCTGACGGATTTAAGCGGTTCTATGATAACTGGGAGCGCTACGCTGGAAAGCTACTCCTGCGGTCCCAGCAGGTGTCCAATTCGCCGGAGATCATCCGTCGACTGGGTGTCATTGGCATGAACACCCCCGTGGAAGTGGACATCTACGCGCACGCTAACAGCACCTGTGTGATGGGATCGCGCATGCTGAATGGCCTGGGTGGCTCGGCTGATTTCCTGCGCAGCGCGAAGTACAGTATCATGCACACGCCCAGCACTCGGCCCAGCAAGGTCGATCCGACAGGAGTCAGCTGCATTGTGCCGTTCTGTACTCACATTGATCAGACGGAGCACGACCTCGACGTGGTAGTCACCGAACAGGTAAACTTCACCTATCCTTGCTCATTACTTTTCTTTAGTTCGGCGTACTAACTAGATAGGGTCTCGCTGACGTCCGGGGTCTCTCTCCTCGCGAGCGTGCTCGCAAGATCATCGACAAGTGCTCGCACCCCGAGTACAAGCCCATCCTGACTGATTACCTCGACCGAGCGGAATATGAATGTCTAAAGAAGGGTATGGGACATGAGCCCCATCTGCTCTTCCAGGCCTTTAAGATGCATCAGAACCTGGCAGAGAAGGGAACTATGAAGATCAGTGGATGGGAGTAATAGACATAAAGAAAGAAAAGAAGAACATAAAGGAGTCAAACTATAGATTTATGCACATGCCTTGAAGGCCGGCGGTTGGAATGGTTGGGTTGGATCGGAGTATTTGTTTTATAGATCTTACGGAGCCTAATGCAATTATAACTGTAAATGGAGCATATATACTTTGCAGCGTGTACGATGGGTCCACATGGTCCTGAACGATCGTGGATCCATTCCAGGTATGTTACAACATCATACTCTTATCAATGAATATACTCTGTATATTGAAAATTCAAAAATAATACCAGTAAATCAGAAAAGGATATTATAAACAGGCTAACAAACAACAATCAAAAACGTCAGAATCATAACCATTTTATATATCACTCACGCCGTTGGAGGCTTATAACTCCCGAATATTCTATCTCAGTCAGCCATATCCAATCTCTTACTTTATACCTGTAAGAAATAGATATATAGACTCACCGACCAAATAAGAACCCGAAAATCCCCTGTGAATCTTCGTTGGTGCGTTTCGCCCATCCGTGATCCACATTATAATGCTTGACGTCTTGGAGACCGGCGAAGAGGCCACGTCCGGCTGTGGGGTGCTATAGTATATCATGTTAGTATTTATCTATCTGGTACATTGTAGTGAAGGAATGATTGAGAAGGAAGTACCCTTTGGGGAGTGGCTCTTTTCACCCATAAATCGGCGCCGTAGTCGTTTTGAAGTCGGGATTGGGATTGGTTGGTCATTTTTACTTCTCTTTCTTTTTTTATCTCTTCTGGGTTTGTATAGGGATAGGGATAGGGATATGGATATGGGTATGGGATATGATGTAAGGTAGTGAATATTTGTATCAATCACAGTCTCAAGCACTGTACTCGAGTGTATATTGAGAGATAGATGTCAATAGTAGACGTAACCATCACCATTTATATATTATATTTATAGATATACATAGAACCCTGTAAAAGAAGAAAAGGCATCTTCAGATCCGAATCACCTCACCTTCATTCCCTTTCTCTACCTTTCTCACACGATTCAATCTCATGTATTCCGTATGGGAACCATGGCGAGGTGTAGGCGCACTGGCCAACGATAATGAATACATCCAATCAGAAACACAGTATATCCAACGGGTCGGAAAAATATTGCGAGGAAAAGATTTACCACACAATATGGTTGACCACACCATACCATGCATTCGTTGTGTGGTGGCGTGGTATATGGTCTGCTGCGTGGCATGATCTCTGCTTGTGATGTCATCGTGTTATTGTGCCATCGGTGGAGAAGATATCTGCGTATACAAGTATGCTATATATATTTGCGCGTGTATAAGAATGAGGATGGAATCTGATTTACAGTGATATATGTACAATGTTCTATAGATTATGGTGTTTGTCTGTTTGTCTATGTGGAACAGGTGCATCCATCAACTCCATCAACTCCATCAGCTCCATAACTATCGTGGATCCGAGGTTGATTAGTAATCCGGATTGTCTTAGGTTACTATGGATTGGTTATTATCCGACTTGTGAATTCGTTTTCTAACTTTTTCTCACAGGTGGAAGATAAATCTGCTATAACTATGGAAATACTATAAATATCAATGTAAAGAATCGAGGCAAATTGGATACTATTGCGCAAGTACTGCAAGACACAAGGTCTACAGAGTACTCCAGGAGTCTAGAATAAGACAAAAATAACTAGCGAAGCCTCAGGGGCTGCAGTGGACAGAATCGGTCGCGCCGCTGATCATTGAGATCGGACCGAGAACTCCATCTGTACCAGTACTTAAGTATATCAGTGAGACATCTGCAGCCTGATAAATGCCAGGCAGTTATGACAACCATGCCTTGTATAATCTACTCTGAATGACAGAGGGAATCCGAATAGGGGCAGGGTGCGAACTCAAGACAGCAAAGTGGAGTGGCTGAAGCTAGTAAAAGTTCCACTGCAGACCCAACTCAGGATCAAGATCCCATACTCATACGAAGAGAACCAACTGAGAATGGAATAGGAAGGAATATGGATCGGCTTGTGGAGATGATCGGTGGATGCATTATTGCCAATATTGAGTATACAGGCCGGTGACAATTAAGTACCGATGGTAAGAACGACAGTCTCGTGGTCAATGCCGTTTCTCCTTATTTTACAGAGTAAAGGCTATTTCGCCTCTTGAGAGCTAGTCGGCTCAAAATAGTCCAGATACTAGAACTAAGAACAACAAAAAGTCTGATGTGGCTCTCGGAAATTAAAGCTCAGAGTGGTGGCCAATCGGCGTCTGTTGCCGCCGAGATCGACCCTATAACTGCCCAAAAGGTCAAAAGTCAAAGCCCCACCTAGCTGCATAAACGGGGAATCACAGGGACTTCGTTCCTGACCGTCTTTTGTTTCCCCTGACAGACCGTTCGTTCAGTGCCTAGTATCTATCTGGTCGTTCTGCAGGGGAGATGAGCTATTCATCGCAAGTTAATCTGGCGATTCTGTTCTTCAAGCCTTAGGATAGGTCATTCAGGCCCCTGTCCAAGATGTATAACGGGTGATCTCAACCGTGGTCCTTAATACAGGTGACTACCTACCTGATACTACTCCGCACTTGTACCCAAATAGTAGAAACTTACTGATTACCTGTTTAAGTACACCATAGCAAACTTTGTCTGTTGCTAGGCAGAATATGTTGGCACTAGTGACTGGTCATAATCCGGTCCCAGGGACTCACCATCCTCCCTCCAAAGAAACAGAAGTAAGGACCAGCTGGGCTTGACACGACAAAGACCGCCAGAACAACACGCCCCCACCCTCTATCCGAGCCGTGTGGACAACCACTGGGCCAGCATCACCGGCTGTCCCCCGGTCTCCACCAATGGTGCCTGCGCCGTCCCTGACTAGCGGCGATGACTAGTCCAACTGAAAATGCACCCCTGATCCTGATTGGGGTCTGCTGCTGCCACGATCCAGCAACGGTGGGTTTTTGCCTTTCGCTCCCCCCCTTCTCCTCGCCGCTCACTTCCCTCTTCTTCGCTGCTTTTCCCTCTTTTTTCCTCCAGCGTTCTGTTCAGTCTTTCCTTCCTTCTTTCTTTCTCCCTATCCCCGTCAGACAATATCAAAAAGAGGCTTGCCTGCCTGTTCTTCTCCACGTCCTTCCTTTCAATCCCTCTGTTGTTTGACCACCGCTTCACTCTTTCAGCGGGCATTCTTTAATATCTTTGAGTTTGATCGACGCCCTTGTACTGTTCATCATGAAAGCTGCAATTCTGGCCACCGCGGCCGCCCTTGCCGGTACGGCTATGGCGGATATCGCTCACATGCGTCGCCATGACGCATTGCACCATCGCCGCCAGCCTGAGCCTCAGCCTGAGCAGTGCGGGTGCACCACCGAGGTTGTCACTTTATACGGACCCCCAACTTGTGAGTCAATTGTGTAAACATCCAGCACTGAGTTCGATGAAGCTGACCGTTCTGCCAGTGGTGCCCATCGCCCAGCCAACTTCCACTCCCAACCCGCCTCCCGTTGCTCCCCCGGCTAGCGAGAGCCAGACTTCCACTTCCAGTGTCATCACCACTCTGCACTCGACCAGCTACACCACCAAGACGGTCGTCGTCACTCCTGCCGTCGGGCCCACCAGCACCCCTGCTAAGTCTGAGCAGCCCACCACCTCATCTACTCCGCAGGTCACCCTGCCCACCCCCGGTGTGACCAGTTTCTCCTCGACTGGCGTCTTTACCATCCCCGCCACAACCATTACCGTCTATGACACCACTACAGTGTGCGGAGCCACCACCACCGAACTCCCCAGCGGCTCTCAGACCTTCGGTGGTGTGACTACCATCGTCAAGACCGCCACCACAGTTACCTGCCCGTATGCCACTGTCGAGCCCAGCGGTTCGACCGTGACCAGCGTCCTTAGAACCACCACCTACGTCTGCCCCAGCGCCGGCACCTACACCATCGCTCCCACCACCACTTATGTGCCCTCCAGCACCGTTGTGGTCTATCCCACCCCCGCCACTTTTACCCCGGGCACCTACACTCAGGATGAGCAGACCGTGACCGTGACCCGCACGGACATTTCATACGTCTGCCCCTTCACCGGCTCCAACGAACCCACTTCGACTCCGGTGCCGCCCTCTTCCACCGAGGTCCCCGTCACCCCTACTGCCGCCCCCTCCACTAGCTCCAGCTCCAAGCCCAAGACTCCTGTCCCCACCGGTGCCAGTGGCAAACAGATGGGTATGACCTACTCTCCTTACACCAACGGTGGTCAGTGCAAGTCCAAGTCGGAGGTTTCCTCGGATGTTGCCGTCATTAAGCAGAAGGGCTTCACCCACGTTCGTGTCTACTCCACCGACTGCAACAGTCTCGAGTTCATCGGTGAGGCAGCTCGCAAGAACGGTCTGCTCATGATCATTGGCGTGTTCATCTCCAACACCGGTATCTCGGGCGCCCAGGAGCAGGTCACCGCCATTACCAAGTGGGCCCAGTGGGAATTGGTCTCTCTGATCGTGGTTGGTAACGAGGCCATCCAGAACGGCTACTGCTCCGCTTCCGAGTTGGCTGGATTCATCAGCGCCGCCAAGGGCAAGTTCCAAAGTGCCGGTTACTCTGGTGCTGTCACCACCACCGAGCCCATTAACGTCTGGGAGCAGAATGGCTCTGCTCTGTGCGGTGCCGTCGACAAGATCGGTGCCAACATTCACCCCTTCTTCAACGCCGAGGTCAGCCCCAAAGATGCTGGTAAGTTCGCTAAGTCCCAGGTAAAGATCCTCGAGGGCATTTGCAACGGCAAGGAGGTTGTCAACCTAGAGACCGGCTGGCCCAACGGAGGTGTGGCCAATGGTCTCGCCGTCCCCGGCGCTTCGGAGCAGTCGGCTGCCATCCGGTCCCTGGTTGAGGAAGTCGGCTCCTTCTCGGTCTTCTTCTCCTACTCCAACGATCTGTGGAAGGATGCCGGCGAGTTCGATGTCGAGCGCTACTGGGGCTGCATCGACCAGTTCTAAGCGACGGTCGAGATGTTTATAGTTTCGGGTCAAAGAATTTGTTCAGAAAGGCTTGGAGTTGATATATGTTTTTTTTTCTATGTTCATTTTCGGTACTGCCGTCTTGGGATCTTGAACGACAGTTTCTTTCTCTTCGTATACATGAATTCCATGTAGTAGATATCAATTTTTGATGTGGGTCTCTATTTGTCAATAGTATATGTATGTTATGATTGTCTTGTCCATGCTCCGAGTCTTGAGTGTATATTAGTTCTTTTGTACTAGCTTATATAGCTAGCGCACTTGCTAGTTGCTACTAGTTAGCTGGTAATGCTTATCCCATCGTCAAGATTACCTAGTCACAGTAGTCAAGCCACTAGACCAAACTATCAAGATAAAGATTAATGTATCTACCCTTACATATCTATTAATACGACGTAGAATAATATCAGAACTACTCCGTACATAGAAGCAATCTTTCAGACTCATTATCAGCGGATTACTCCAGTAAATACAAGACTTGACAGGATACATTCAATGACACATCTAGAAGAGTCAGTATATATCCCATAGCACAGATTCAAAACCAGAAAGATAGATAGAGTGGGGGAAATATACAGCATCATTCCCGCAGGTCAACGGCTCACAGCAGGAAAAGGGCGTGTGGGATGCATTTGTGCATTTGTTGAAATGGTCGAATTTCTACTTTATTAGTTATCATATTATCTATTGAGACTGGGTAAGGATAGATAGATGGAAGAAACATGAATGAATAGATGAATGGATGATAGATAGACGATAAATATTACTCACCCCAATACAATCAATATTCTGACCCCGTTCAAATACCACCGAGTGTCGTACGATCGGGTTGAAATTCTCCGCCGGACGGGCGACGACGAGAGTAGCGAGGAGGGGAGGAAGGAGAGTGAGAAGACGCATTATTTCTCTCTTTTAGTTCTTTTTTGGCTCTTTCTGTTGGGGTTCGGGGCTTCTTGAGTGAATCTGATGATGGTACTGATCAGTATGATGTCCTTAATCGATATTTGTATCTGAGACGAAGAGAACTGGGCTGGATTGAATAGGCCTGAGGTAAATAGAAAAAGATAAAACTCACGTGTACAGCACGGGTTGACTATCCGAACGTGGAAAGAAGGAAATAAAACAAAATAGGGAGGAGCACTCCGTAGAATAGGAAGAGAAAGGAGGTATGGAATCCAGGGATCGACTTTATATGAAACCAACCTACCCAGTTATTAATATCCAGTAACTGTATCCAGGGACACAGCAAGGCACACAGTGAATTAAGTAGGTACAAATTACGGAGAACAAGTGAAAGCAGAACACGGCCGAAATATTTTTGGAAGCAGGACAACAAAACACCACCATAATCCGAAACAACAATCAACAGATCAACCAAGAGAGAGTTCATCATTGGTGCTCAATGGAACTAGGGCCCGCCCATCATATCGACGATCTGCAGGGTTGGAGGCAATAATTACCGTCTTGGCAATGGAGATGCGATGCTGGAGCTGGACGAGTAAGGGATAGAAGCAGGTCTCAGATGGTGGTCTATGGATGCAGGTATTTGTTGATATGAGCTTGGCATGTGGTGTAATTCTTATCTTTAACCTGACAACCTCACCGGCTACGCTCGATTCAGTCAAGTCGCATTCTTGATCTCGTCTCCTAGAACCGTTGGCTATACACGATGAATGATAAATCCAATTGGGGCTATATACGGGTCAGTATGTATTATGCATTAAACTCTTGAGATGGTCGCTAAATAAACCGCCACAAAAAAAAAAAAAAAAAAAGGCTGGTCACAAAATTCTCTCTGCCTACGCTGTACAGTTAACTGCCTAAAATAGGCCAAATCGCTTCTTGCCATCTGCCTCGTCGTTAGCCTCTCTCCGCTGAAAATGCACGACTAACTCACCCTTCTTATTCCTCTGTCCGTTACTGGCAGCGGCCTGCGCTGGATCCACCCCCTCTGCCGCTGCTCGAATCGCCGCAATTCGATGCGTCGCACGAGTATCCCCTTGCTCCGCCGCCTTCACGTAATAAACGTTGGCTTCCAGTGGGTCACGCCGGCAACCAATGCCCATTTCCGTAAAATATCCAACAGCATATTGAGCTTTGCTCAGCCCTGCACATGCTAAAGTCAGTGTACTGTTCCGCAAAGTCACCTCAAACATGACAGGCAGCCTTACCCAGATCGGCGGCACGCTTGGCCCATTCATACGCCTCATTTTCGTCTTTCTCCAGAACAGGCTCTGCCCCCACCAGATACCACGCACACAGCGCCATCATCGCAAGGGGATGGCCCCCCTGTGCAGCTCCCGTGTAGAAATGTATGCTCAAGGCCGGATCGCGAGGGCATTCCAGTTTCCCATGCTCGTAAGCGTCCCCTAAGCGATAGCTTGCCTCCACGTGGCCTAGATCTGCCGATTTGGTGAAAAGTTGGGCGGCATAAGCAGGATCCGCGAAGACATCGTCGCCATATCCCGACTCGTGTAGCAGCCCGAGTTCGTAAGGGGCCGAGTTATACTGCGCATCGGAGGATTCTGTCGCCCGCTTCAACCACTTCACTCCCTCCCGGTAGCGCTTCCCCAGGCCCAAATCTCCTGCCAGACAAGCTTTGGCCATGCGCAACATGGCCCCCGGATGGTTCTTAGACGCCGCCTGGCGATAGAACTGCTGGGCTCTTGCCGCCTCGACTCGAGTGCCCCATCCGAACTCGTAGCAGAGCGCTGTTCGGTAGCACGCTTCTACATGGCCGTGTTTGCTTGCTGCGACAAACAGGGTAAATGCCCGATCATGGTCCTCTTTGCCTTTACTGAATAGCCCCGACGCATATCCGTCTGCCAAGTAGTATTGTGCAAAAGGATAGCTGCGGTCGGACAGGCGCTGAAGGATCGACTTGGCTTCTCGCAGCAGGCTCGCTCGAGTGATTTCAGATCCCTTCCGGCCATACGCCGCGGCTGCCTCGTCAAGGTCCTGGGTGGGCATCTCTAGCATTGCATTGACCATGAAAATTGCAAACTCATATTGGATGGCTGGATCATCGGTCTTTTTCACGTTGGCTAGGTACATATCAAATGTTTGCTTGTGGCTAAGCAAGGACGCATTATTGCCAACGGACGACTGGAGGTGGGAGTTACCGAACTGTGCCGGTGCAGGGCCAGGCTGCGGATAGGGGGTATTCAGAAGATCAACGAATGATAGGGGTCGAACATCGGGGGATGCTGTCGAATTCCTGGACGACGAATGTGCGCGAAGGTATGGAGATGCCTGGGGAGACCCATTGCGTCCTTCGCCTCCTAGATCGGATGCAAATGAGTACGCTGAGCGCGGCCTTGGTGGTCTAGATCGTCCAGCACTTAGGTGCCCATTTGGGCCAATAAAATTCTCAGTAGATCCACCCGTTTTGGAGGGCTGGTAAGGGCGATGGTGGTAGTGTAGAGGCTCCGGCTCCTGCTCTACATAACCTTCCGGTACCTGGGACATGCTGTCCAAGCTACCCCGGGAGGAGCACTCCTGACTACCACTTGGGGCTTCCTGATCCGACGGGGATCTGCTTGATTTGTTCGGCTCATCTCTCCCCTGTGACTCTACCAATGACCAGGAGCCACTGCTGGCAGGCGTGTGTCCATGCGCGAACGACTCTGAGTGAGGTGGGGCGCCATAAGAATCTCCGCGGGAAGGGAAATCGCCGTGTGGACCCCGAACATTTATTTGTGGTGAATCCTCTTCCATCGTCAATTTGGAAAATGCCGTGGTGGGTAGTGGAGGGACCTCATAATCGTCGGGGAAATTGTCAACTGTTTTGTTGGACACCAGAGGCAGCTTTGTGTCCCCGTTGACGTCAACACTAGGAGTAGAGATATACTGGTTGTTGACGACATTGTCTGCCAATGGCACCGAGGCTGGAGGGGATTTCCGCCCAATGCCCATATTCAAAGGTCCCCTGGGCATCGACCGTGGTGTAGACTGATGGTGAGTGGGGGAGGCCGGCGGGGAAGATCGAAGGTAGACAGGGGGAGGGGAAGCAACAGGCTGAGGGTATCCGGCTGCCACGGGGCTAGCCATTTCGTTTCAACTCGACAGTAATGTAGGTTGACACGTCACACTCCTTAGATCAGCTTCAACTGTGGACCTGGGCGGAAGGTGTTGGATAAAGCGTTGACGTCGTCCGTCTATGAAAGCGACATGGAAGTTAATATTGAGGGTGGGACAGATCACAGACGGAGAGGATTCGAACGAGCCGGGTATGTCGGCTTAGTAGTCTCATATATCTATCTTTCTGGCGGCGAAGAGATGGATGTTAGATAGACAGGCACTATGGAGGAGTCTTGGGCCGTGGAGAACTGGAGAGAACCCGGATCCACCTGATTAGGATTAATCGAGAAGACTTGATGGTAGGGATCGAAATAGAGGGCCCTACATACCGTTCTTGACAGGAATGACAGGAGGGGAAGCCAGATAAGAGGCCAAACGAGGGGACTAGGTCAAAAGACAAGAAGCGACAGAAAATGGGGTCGCGCAAGCGAGAGGAGAAGTGGACGAGTCGACAAAGGGCGAGAGTGGAGGAGTAGCAGAATGGCCTCAGGCGCCGAGAAGGAATTAGCACGGTATGGATACGGTACGGGCGATACACGGGCCGTATTATGAGAACCCCTGAGGTTTTTGCTCTCTTTCCACCACTTTTCTTCTTCTGTCTTCTTTTCACTTATTTCTTTTGTCGCATTCTTTGTTTACTGCGAATGGTGTCTTGCAGTACGGACAGGCAACCGATGTGGTTGGTCCCAGGCAGGAAAAAAAAAGGAAAAAAGAAAAGAAAAGAAAAGACAAGAAAACAAAAAAAGAGGCGGCAAAGATTCGCGAACTGTTGGTGGGACCTAGTAGGTTGGAGGGAATAAATAGCATCAACTCATCGTATTTTGGTTTATCTTAGTCCTTCTATACCTAAATAATCCGCCAGCATTGGTCACATCTCACGAATCCAATCAAATCAGATTCGACGAGTTAACCATCTCGTCGGGGCATGTTCCATGCTGGCGTCTCTCCGCATTGTCTGACATCCTGGATGCTCGTGGGTTGGGCTAACAAAACACGATGAAACGGCAACGTCAATGGCTCACGGTTACATAGACTGCAGCGGAGTACTCCGCCCAGATCTGTGAGACCAGTTGGCGTGCTGAGTGAGGCACATAGATGATTCATGCGTACAAGATCTGAGGGTTGATCTGGGGAGTACACGAAGGCACTCCCAATGTGCTGTTCGCTTTCATGGACCTAGTCGTCACCATCATCAATGATGACTACCATTCTTACCCCTTACCAATGCTCACTATCTAGTTATTAGGTACGTGAGAGCCTCATCTCCTAAACGCTTGCTCAAAATACGAGGTAGTCCTGACTCAGATTGGGCACCTTAGTCGATTCTATGACTATAGTAAGCACTGCAGTCTAAACTCCAATTTCATATCTAGTCACAGAGAGGGGAAAGACCAGATACTTAATTCCTCTTTCCGTATCTGTTCTCAATTTTTCATCTTCGCCGGCTATCTCGGACCGGCTAAAAAAGTTCCCTGAAGAGAGACTAGAGACGCTAGTCCGAAGTCCCCTCCGTACAATCCTACCTTTCATCATCAGGCCAGCCGGCAATGCAGTAGTTAGTCGTAGCTCGTAACTAACTATGAATCACTCCTTAGTCAGTGGAACGGAAGCCTATTTCGTCGGAATCCTACGTAGTAGGGCTCCGCTGATGATCGTCCTAACTATCTGCTCCGTCTCTGGTCCATAAACAGCGATCAGTGGGCTCACTATCCACCTTCTACAAACTACTAACTAACACAGGCATGAATCGGACATGGGGGGACATTCTTCATCACTACCCGCATTCCAGAGTGCCATGGTACGGGAATTGTCGCTGACCACCATCGGATAGGTGGAGTACCAACCTAGTATCTCCACTGACCATAGTCTAAGCCGTGTTTGAGATGACACCATAACACTTCGGTTGGGCTCATCGTCCCTCTGCCATTATCGATAGTAGATAAGTGAATACCGACTACGACTCCACTGGGTTTAAGGCCAGAAAGTTGTGCGCTAGACTCTACGGTTGTTTATACCCTTTCGCCTCCAGATACATTTAGGGAGAAACCCTACCTGCAGTCACCGGAATTGCTCTTAGGTCTCCAAAAACGACGCAGAAGCATAGCGTCATGCATAACAATGGTATAATAAGGCTGGGGTTTCTCCACATAATGCCCGAAATACAGAGTACACCAAATGGAGACGAGCAGTTTGTGCCGGTTCCACTGGCGTATTTCATATGAAATATCTATTATACTGTGGTGATTGATTATCGGGCAGGCAATAGGCACCCATATGTGCTTCATGCATAATGTGTATTCTTCTTGATTAAGTGTCAATGAAAACAGAACAAAAAGGAGTCAGAGTACAGAAAAGGTTTATTATTTACACACTTATGACTTGTCAAACTTGACACAATATCACAGGTTTATACTGCAAGAAGGTGTAATAATTTTGATAATTTTGGGGACAGGCTTCGCTATGTGCGTAAGTCATCATTGTGGCGTGATTCCATATCATTTGGCTTTGTCTGAAAATAGAACAGAAGGGTCTTAAGTTGACGCATGTACTCCGCATGCTGTACTCCAACGTTGCCACTGGCTGATGCTTTAGATGGTGTCATGTGAGCTGCTTGACCAGTGGAGTCGCACGGAAGTACGGAAATACAGAGTATTGGATGTACATACAGAGCAAATAGTGTGTGGCGCTTATATCAAGACCCGTGTACTTTGTGTCGGCTATACGTACCAAAATTGTGGTCTTCTTACACTTTTCTAGGCTTCGCGGATTATTCTTGAATCGAAATCCTGATCAATATTTATCAAGGAAACAACTACGTCATTGGAGGGGTCTAATCTATTATTACTTAAAGTTAGGAGCCTTGGAAAATTTTGGGGAGAAGGTCCACATAGTAAATGTAGTAACTGTAAAAGATGTCTCAGAATTTTAACTAACTTTAAGCTTGTAAAGAGTGCTATTGAGAGTTAAGAAAGAGCCTGTCTCCTAGAGTACTCACATCTGGTCTATATAATATTGCCGTAGGCTTTCTTTCCATTCCCTAGCATGGAGGGTAGCGTTGTTGCAACGAAATAATAGTTTATTACTTCATTAATAGTTTGGTAATTTGATATTTTATGTCAATGCCCATGTACGGCACATAAATAAGGCGTTCACTTGAGTAATACCAAGGCAATGTTAATTACGAGTAGGCGACAATGGTAAACTGGTTCTTCCGTTGGATAGCAAAATCTCGCAAAGGCCTTGTTCAAGAAAGAGTGCTAATTTTGAAAACATATTTCCATTAGCATTGTAATTAAACAAAGTCTCTGCTGAATGTATTATCTTGCTTTGATGATTGAAGAGAGATTAGGCAAGTACGTAAGAATGATAGGTATTGTATCTCAAGGTAAGCTTGGACCTTACGTATTATCAGTAATTGCTAACTACATAGAAAGCGTTATTGCCAAACAGTTTTCAGATCGGAGGGGCAACCGAGACAGTGGGGCCAAGCAAGACAGAGGTTCTACGATCATTGGCCATACTATTTTGATGCCAACTCGTATCAGGCTAGACGACATATCCCAGCGCTGTTGTCCAATCAATGGTCCCAAGACGGTCACCATTGATCCAAGCCGACCAGGGTCCGAGCCTTGTATGTGATCCGTGAGTCAACTCAATTGGCGGGACGGGATCTAGCCCCGACTGATTGCCCCTAGCGACGAGGCACATTGATGGGAGTTTAATTATGTAAACTAAGTACCAAGGGTAACTAACAAGCCACTCTGTCGTTCTAACGGTCTTTTATCCTGGCCATACAACTAGGACTCAGGTTGATTACACACACTCAACTTATATTAAAAGAAATCGCACAGTGACAGCGTTTGGCACTGTGGCTGCTTTTTTTTTTTTTTTTGGCTATAAACCAGTTAGTATATCTGGGACAGCAAGGGGTGGATTCCCCGTCGAGTAAGGGCTGAGAGACCTGCATTATGTAGCCATATGTCCGGACGAGGTGTACTGTACATACAGAGGAAGAATATTAATTGTTTATATAACCTAGCAGCAGAGGCAGACGAAAGTACCTCAAATAGAGGAGACTGTGCGACAGTTCTTTATTTTCTAGGTACTAATTACCTGCTTCGTTGGTACTCCATACCTTAGGGATATCCGCTGGTATTCAGGATACTAGGCACTATCACCTGTTCTACCTAGTCCCTGGTATTTTTGACTACAACCCGATCTCCGCACCAATTTAGTCGATTGTCCCCTTCTCCCTATTCCTGTCACAAGGGGGAACCTTCACCCGCTTTCTCAACTTGTCGCATTTTCGAGGGTTCGAACCACTCTTTCCCACGCAAATTCTACCCATCGTTAATCGACTCAGCCATTCGTTATAATCACTCGCTCTTGGGAAGACCAGTTACTAGTCGCTACTTGACCCTCTCCGAGGTGGACCACAGCATTTTGCGCGATCGCTTACCTTTGTCGTTTGTTTCGCATCCCATTCAAGTTATTGCAGTTCTCTTATCGCCAAATACCAGTCGAAGAAAACATATATATTAGCTCCCAGGAGGGTGATCAGTGCATTGCTTGTTTCCGCTCGCTACCTCATCGCGCCGTTACAGCTCATGGTGAGATAACATTCAACAACATCAGTTCCACTAACCCCTTGTCTAAATTTATGGTCGCTCTTCTATAAAGGTGAATATCCTGGCGCGCGCACACCCTACAGTTCACACCATATACATCAAGACGCAGCTTGCTGACTTTGTCGTTTGCTACGACCCAGGAAGACGATGTCTTTACCTCAGCGGCCGGGGAAGGCTTCCCCGCGGCGAGAAGAACATTCAGCATTTCGTGACTCAGTATATCGCGACTCAGCATATCGCGACTCTTCCCGACGAAAACGACGAGATATCGAGACCGGAACACACAATGAGACGCTATCAAGTCCGCCCTCGAGCCATCGTCATCACCGCCGTCATCGGTCACACAGCTCCAAAGGAAGGAGGGATGTTGACGAAGAGAGACTGGATGTAGGAGAGCACTTGAGGCGGAAAAAGAGTTTTGTAAAGCCGGAACGCGGTCGAGTTGATCAATCCCATCCCAATTACCATTATCGCCAGCGGTCCCAGAACATGCCTATATACCCTTCTACCACCGGCCATGAACCTTTGATGGGAGAAGAAGACGTCGCTGATACACCCAGCTCTCATAGCTTGGAATATAGAAGCAAGGATGGCTTGTACAGCGAGCATGGAAACATCAACAAGCCTATGGAGCGAGCTCCCAGTCGAAAGCGGACGAAGAAAAGGAGATCGTCGCGAAAGATCTCGAAGAAGGCAGCTGCGGCGGAAAAACGTCGACAGGAGGCTTTGGAGCAGGTTCGGCCCCCCAGCCTCTGGACGACGTACTGCGCGATTATCACTTTTTGGGCTCCCGATTGTATAATGAAATGCTTCGGGATGCCACAAAAGGCCCAGCGGAGTGCATGGCGTGAGAAAATAGGCCTTATCAGCATTATCTTATTGATTGCTGCGTTCGTCGGTTTCCTCACATTTGGATTTACAGCTGCTGTGTGTGGATCACCGCCCACCCGATTGAAGATCAATAAAGTCGACAGTGGGTACATGATATTCCACGGGAAAGCCTACGACTTGTCCAAATCAACTCATCCACCAGCCGCTGGTATCCCACCCGATACAAATGTGCTTTATGATCTCCCTCACAAGTATGGAGGACAAGACGGAAGTTTCTTTTTCCAGCAAGTCAATGGGGCATGCAAAGGTCTGATCACTGCAGCCGAAGGGTCCGATGTACCGACAAATTCTAAAGGGGAGCTTGCATGGTACTTCCCGTGTGCGCCTTTCAATCAAGATGGTTCGTCAAAGCCCAATTTAACTGAGTCATACTATCCGGGCTGGGCCTGTCATACATCTGGGGAGGCTAGGCGAGCTTTCTACAGCCTGAAAGGTTCCGGTGACGTTTATTTCACCTGGGAGGACACAAGAAACAAGAGTAGGAACCTGGTGGTTTACTCTGGAAACGTGCTTGATCTCGACCTTTTGACTTGGTTCAACACGTCTCAGGTCAAATATCCGTCTAAATTTGACGAGCTCCGCAAAAATCCTGATGTGCGCGGCGTTGACCTGACTTACTATCTCCAAAGCGGAGAGGAGAAGAAGATAGGCAAATGCCTGTCCCAAATTGTGAAGGTGGGGAGTATCGATACAGACACCGTTGGATGTATTGCCTCTAAGGTCGTTCTCTACATATCATTGATCTTTATTTTGTCCATTGTCGTCGTCAAATTCGTTTTTGCATTGCTCTTCCAGTGGTTCCTCGCGCCTCGATTTGCCGCGCAGAAGACAAGCATGAGCTCGAACTCCAAGAAACGCAATCAGCAAATCGAAGACTGGTCGAATGACATTTACCGCCCTGGTCCTCGTCTCACGGATCCTGTGATGGATCGTGCTAGCAAGAGAGCCAGCTTTCTGCCAACCACCTCTCGGTTCTCTAGCCCTTACACCGTAAGCAATGGTGGAAAGCAGCGTCCTCAATATGTGACGATGGCGAGTCAAAACTCCACGTCTCGATTGATTCCTAGCGGAAACTCTATGTACAAGTTGAGCCACAACAGTAGTGGTGGTACCTTGAGCGCCGATGCCTCTCGTCAAAACCCTACCACCAGTCGGACGAGTTTGGTGCAAGAGTCACGTTACTCGAGTGCTATAGCGGAGACAGACACTCTCGGGGCCACTGGAAACATCCACGAGCTTGTCGTCCCTCAACCTCCACCAGATTGGCAACCCTACGGCTATCCCTTAGCGCATGCTATGTGTCTAGTTACCTGCTATTCGGAAGGTGAGGATGGTATCCGCACCACACTGGACTCCGTTGCTATGACCGATTATCCTAATAGCCACAAGACTATTGTGGTCATCTGTGATGGTATGATCAAGGGTAAGGGGGAGGAATACTCGACTCCAGAGATTGTTCTTCGTATGATGCGGGATCCTGTGGTTCCACTCGACGAGGTTCAGCCGTTCTCTTATGTAGCAGTAGCCACCGGTTCCAAGCGACACAACATGGCCAAAATATATGCTGGGTTCTATGACTACGGGGAGTCGTCTGTTATCCCTGCCGAAAAGCAACAACGCGTTCCCATGATGATTATCGTGAAATGCGGAACTCCAGCGGAGGAGAGTCAATCCAAGCCTGGGAACCGCGGCAAAAGAGACAGTCAGATTATCTTGATGTCTTTCCTACAGAAAGTCATGTTTGATGAGAGAATGACCGAGTTGGAATTTGAAATGTTCAATGGCCTCTGGAATGTTACGGGGATCCCTCCTGATTTCTATGAGGTTGTACTCATGGTTGATGCCGATACCAAGGTCTTTCCAGATAGTTTGACCCATATGATCTCGGCGATGGTTAAAGATCCCGACGTGATGGGCTTGTGCGGTGAGACTAAGATTGCTAACAAGACCGATAGTTGGGTGACTATGATTCAGGTATTTGAGTATGTACATACAGCTTTGGGTGTTTCAGCTTTTGTTTTTTAACTGACATTGCTTTCTAGGTATTTCATTTCACATCACCAGGCCAAGTCATTCGAGTCCGTCTTTGGTGGTGTGACTTGTCTCCCCGGGTGTTTCTCAATGTATCGGATAAAAGCGCCGAAAGGAGGACAAAACTACTGGGTGCCCATTCTCGCGAATCCCGATGTTGTCGAACACTACTCGGAGAATGTTGTGGATACTCTTCACAAGAAAAACTTGCTCCTACTTGGCGAGGATCGATACCTGTCAACTCTGATGCTCCGGACCTTCCCCAAGCGCAAGCAAATTTTTGTGCCCCAGGCTGTTTGCAAGACTCAGGTACCGGATAAATTCATGGTGCTCTTGTCCCAGCGGCGCCGTTGGATCAATAGTACTGTCCACAACCTGATGGAGCTTGTCTTGGTTCGCGACCTGTGTGGGACGTTCTGCTTTAGTATGCAGTTCGTTATTTTCATCGAACTGATTGGCACACTTGTCCTTCCTGCCGCTATTGCATTCACCTTTTACGTTGTCATTTCTTCCATTGTCAGGAAACCAGTGCAAGTTATTCCACTGGTCCTGCTTGCATTGATCCTCGGACTTCCAGGCGTGCTGATTGTCGTGACTGCCCACCGGTTGGTGTATGTGTTGTGGATGTTGATCTACTTGATCTCACTACCTATATGGAATTTTGTTCTTCCTACCTATTCCTTCTGGAAATTTGACGACTTCAGCTGGGGTGACACGCGCAAGACAGCAGGCGAGAAGGATAAGGGTCACGAAGCTGGAGAGGGGGAGTTCGACAGCAGCAAGATAACCATGAAGCGATGGAGAGACTTCGAGAAAGGTATGTAAATATGCACTCTGACCTTGAGAGGTAAAATCGACTGACTCTGGAATTATCTAGATCGTCGTCTGAGGATGCAGGGGGGATGGGGACAGTCTATGGGCGGAGGATATCCGGCGCACTACGAACCGTATTCGGATTACTAGCACTTGGTCCTATATATCTTATTTTGGATGTGTTACGACCGATTGTACTTTTTTCTACTTCTAAGGGGTGGCGTTTTGCGCAGCCATATAGTATATTATTCGGTTGGTTGTAATTATTTCTTACATGTATATGTTATTTGCAGCGTCAGTTCGATGCTGATATTTTGAAGAGCTTGTGGGGATATATTTTCTTTTTCCTTCCTCTTTTCTTTTCTTTTCTTTTCTTTTTTTTATTTCTGAACCCTTCCGGGGGAATAGTTGCGGAGGTAATGGCCCTTTTACAAAGACAAGATTAAACCGATTTAATAAGATCAGCCCACCTTGCCACATGACCAAGTGGTCATGTGCGTTGCTGATTCATCATCCATCCCAAGCCGACTAGCTACCGATGCTATGGGGGCCCTCAATGGGTCATTCCATGCCATGGAGATCCTGTAAGTGGCTCATTTCATCGCTCAGCTCTTGGCTCTGTTCCTCTGACTAAGACTCTTTAACCGACAGCTCCATTCTCCATCTGCTCATACCATTGTCTCTCCCATCCATCCACATTGCCAGCGCTAGCTGCGGATCATTGTTCCATGTGACCGCAAATGCACGTTCTGACACTCGCCGCCCTATTCCCCTCCAAATCTAACAAGCACCGTATGCTTCTGCTGCTTCCCTTCCACGCGTTCCAACTGATTCGGAATGTTGCAGTGTCATCTGGTCTCCTACCAAGTGTTCGTGCAGACTGAAGGCAACCTCACTTCCCCAGGCACTGGGGAGGCCTCCTCCGCAAAGTCCACTTCCCCGCCTCTACTTTCTCACCTTCTCCTTTTATCCCCTCGCACGCCCCTCTTCTTGTGTCCTTGAAGTTGTCGATATATTCTCGTGTTTGGCTTTTTCTTTACCCGGCCGTCACCTGCGACTTATTCGCCCTTTGTCTTGCGCAGGATCACTACATCCATAGTGTGACGTTCATTTACGTATACAGAGCCGCAGGGATTCAGGTTTCGACTGGTTGCCACTCGGAACTCAGCTTCTAGCCTAATTTTGACCGAGTTGTCCTCCCCGCGTGGGGGGTGGGAGACGAGCTGCGGCGTGACCACCACTTGCAGGGCCAAGATATCTGATTGCGATCGAGGGAAACGTGGACGGCTGCTCGTCCCTTGCGTAACTTCGGTACCAATCAGCTGCCATCCCGACTTGAATTGTTATATCACTATCAACTGAATCTTCTCACACGCCGCTTGCGCCGGGAAGCCCGTTCGCCTCGCTGGCAATACGATCGGAATGCCTATCCAAAGGGAATTGGAAATCCACCAGTCACCATCCATTTGCACCGGTGATTGGACCCTGAGGGCCGACGATCGTCCACTTCAGGACGGGCCGGGCATCGGGCACACTCGTCAGTCTTCGCCCCATCCTGGCCATGAAGAAGCGATGGACACGGAAGACCAGCAACTCCCGTCCAGTCCAGGCTTGACTGGCGGTGTAACGTTAGAGGACGACCTCGATTCGACAGCTTCGGGAATGCCCTCCTTCATGGCCGTTTCTCAGTATCCAAATGCGGCAAGCAGTGAGCCAAATTTTCTGTCGGTGTCTGAGGTTGTCAATGCGGTCATCGAACGAGAGGACATTTTTCACCCCCATGCGCGCAACGAGGCTGCCCCAGGACTGTCCTCATCATCACCACCAACTGAGTTATATATATCAGACTCGGAGATGACAGATGTGGTGTCCGATTTTGGAGGTGTGCCCTTAGGATCGTATGGCACGCATACGGCAATCGGGGATCTGGTTCATCACTTGATCGACAACGCCACAGTGGGGCAAACAATCTCGACTATACCAGAGGGTAGTGAAGACGAACGTGTTGATTTGTTCGTGGATTATGAACCCCCCCTACCGGAACAGCAACCGAATATTTCGCAAGCGCGAGATGATGATCTTGACGATACACAGAGACCCTATTCGGATGATGACAACAGTGGTGAATATGGGGAGGAATATGTCAATTACTCTCCGACTGGTCACACTCACGAACATATACCTGATATCGATTTTGATGATTTCTATCGCGGCCTAGATCGGGATTATGACTCGCAGCCTACCGATGATTCTACCGGCTCAGGCCACGTCGATCACAGCTCCCTCTCAGACGAAGAAGATGCAGCAGGCGATCCTCACCTCGCTGCATCTGCTGTACAAGGGACAAGTATGTACAGCTCAAAGCTTTCTGTTTATTGACATCTACTGGAGCCACCATGCTAACTCATCTTCCCCTGAATAGTTCATGAGAGGAACTTCAATATCGACCAGTTTATTTCACAATGGGTCCATTCTTCTATCGCTTCGATACCAAGCTTTCCGCTTGTCTCGGCGCCATTGCCCCCTTGCCCTCTCGCCAACATTCTTGGTTGGACCCCCGCGCAAAAAATTATACGGCCAAGCAGCTATTCTGGAGACTTCTTTGACCTCCAACAGATTCCATGGTGGGAGGCCCTACGGGTGAAGCGATCGGATGCACGGCGCCTGCGCGATTTTTGGTATACGTCCTATCACAATCTGGAATCTTCCAATCAGCCTGGCATCAAGCTTCCACAGGAAGAATTCTACTTTCGAGAGAAATCTATGTACACCAGGTGCAAGGCCACAATCGAGCACTTTCAGCTTCGCAATTTGATGTCGGTCGCTGCTTACAATACTGTACACTTCGCTCGGGAATCCAAAATGTATTCGTGGATCCCGCCATACGATGACCTAAGATGCCTGATCGATCTGGCTAAGCCGGCGGTCGAGCTTGGCTTCCAGGGACCCGTCAAAATCTCATCCATGAAATCTGCGCAAGATGTGGTCATCGCGGGAGGATTTCTGGGAGAATATGCCTTGCGAGCGGCGGGCGCAGAGGGGAGCGGAGCAGAAGGATTTGTAACTAGGGATCTTAATGGGATCACGAACCACATAGATGTCGTCCCAAGTCGTACAAACCGAACACCGATGGGGATTTTTGCGTCCAATGACCGGCATCTGCGGGTGCTTGACTGCGAGACCAACACCTTCGTTGCCGACCACGAACTCTCGCGTGCCATTAATTGTACAGCCACATCTCCTGACGGACGCCTACGAGTTGTCATTGGCGACTCGCCCGACGCTTGGATTATCGAGGCAGATTCCGGGCGGCCAGTTCACCCGCTTCGGGGCCACCGGGATTTTGGGTTTGCGTGCGCGTGGTCACCGGACATGCGCCATATTGCCACCAGCAACCAGGACAAAACGGCTATCATCTGGGATGCACGCACCTGGAAGGCTTTGGAGAAGATCGAGTCCGATGTCGCAGGGTATCGGTCTCTCCACTATTCGCCGGTGGGTGGGGGGCCGCGAACGTTATTGCTATGCGAACCAGCCGACCGCATCTCCATTGTCAACGCACAGACGTACCAGACCCGCCAGGTACATGATTTCTTCGGTGAGATCGGAGGGGCAGACTATTCGGCGGACGGCAGTACGATCTGGGTGGCCAATGCAGACGAGCACTTTGGCGGTTTCATGCAGTTTGAGCGACGCCAATGGGGGCAGCCGTACGGGATACGGGAGCTGCCCAACGAATGGGTACGAGAGTCAGAGCTCGACGAGGATGATCGATGCGCACTAAGCGAACGTGAGCGGCAGCTGCGATTCTGGTGGAATTTGAGCGACTACGAGCATGAGGCATTATTGCTGTAGGCGCATTCCTTGGTAGCTTCTTGATTTCATTTGTATTTTGATGGGAGGATGACTGATCTATTAGCGGAGATACCATATGATATTTGTCTATACCTCGGGTCTTGATGACTGACTGTACATAGTGTATATTTTTGACTTTCAGCTCCAAAGTGTATAATTTATGTCGGTATGCCCATGCCATATTCTCGCTTTTTTTTAGAGGGCCAACGCTGTATGTTTGTTGGTCTATAAAAGGCACGAACCTCCGATCGGCATTACAAAACAAGGGCCCTACTATGGCGCCTCATCTATCGTAGCCATGCGACGCGTCCTCGTGGTATGAGAGCTTCACCCAACATCGCATTCACAATTTCCCTGTTACCCTGCCCAGTCGTCTAACTCATGACTTTCCCCAATCCTCAACGATCTCTAACCTCACTCGCCACTCTCAACTGCGCACACATACCCCTATCAACTTGACAATCCCCAAACCTCTCCTCCAGCTACATATTACCCATCATCCATCGCCCTCTGCTTGGTCGCCACTGCCCCCCAATCTCATCATACAACGCCAACACATCTGTAGCATTCCCACTAAGCACTGTCCCTCATTCTCATTCAACGAGTCCCGGATATTCTCATACCTCTGACTGCTCTCCACTCCATAAAACCCATACAGCGCTCTCATCCCCACTGGCTGCCGCGTCTGCAGCGTCTCCCGCGCCAAATATCTTAACGCTTCGATTGAACACCCCCATCCGGGTGCGCAGAAGCATGGATTCTTATTATCCAGCCATACGAAGGTGATTCTCGCACCCTCGCGGTCCTTCTGCGCGATGAACTCGAAGATCTCGTGCGCTATAGATCCCACGCTACCGGGTTTAGCACCGTGGTCGGCCCAACATTTGAAGGTCGATGCCATCAGGTCGACTTCGAGGGCTTGCGATTATCGCGAAATTTTATATGTGCATTGTTCACTTTAGATTCATTTTAAAAAACATCTAAGAAAAGCACGGTTCTAACTATATGTAACTGTTTCGTATTGCTTATCTTTTCACGTTGTATATTCTTGGACTCCAAATGTGATAAAAATCATATCCGTGAACAACCGTTTAAAATTTCTCCGAGGCCTTTCGCAATTAGATGTAATCCGTTAACGAAACCACCCCCCCCCCCCTCCCCTCTCCTCCCGGAACGTCCCGGACGTGCTCTAAGAGGACCCCCAGTAGAATAATGTATTTGAAGCGCCGCTACACTTCGATCCGGGAAGTGCTCTGCATCTCCTTCCGCTGCATGTCCTTCATGTTCTCTTCAGTTTTACCAGGAGCTTTCATCCTCTTCAGATGAATACGGCCTTCGTCTCCCGGAGGCTGCAGGCTTGTTTCGGTGGACGAAGCGGCTGTCGATCTGTGTAGAGATTCGGGAATGTACATCAATACTTTCTTCTCCAATGGACCCAATTATACGTCCACGTCGCTTCTTGAGACAGGGACCGAGTAACTCCCTCATAGAATATACTCCATACTGGCCTTGTGATGCCAAAATTCAAGTATCGAACGCTTCCTAAGGCTGCACTTATGCAATATGCCGCGGCCAAAAACATAGACCAACAAAGACTGAACTACCAAGACTACGCTACTTACTCTAGAGGCGCAAGCCACGATGCTGACCATGAGAATGCAAGCGCCTGCAGGACAAACAAACAACGCTCAGCTGCAGAACTCCTTCTCGATTTGGAAAATCGACCCCATAAGCACGCTAACCACATATCGAACATATCTGTGGCTGAGAGTCCCACTACCCCACCAGCACCGCCACAGCCCCTCATCTACACCTCAGGTATCTATCTGCCTTCAGGTGGGTTCAAAGTAAATAAATACCGTAGCTTTGTCTCCCAACCCCTTTTCATCCCCAAGACCAAATAATATCAACCATCAATATGTCCTTCACCGGTCTCATCCAAGACGCCATCAACAAACACACCGGCGGGTCGCAGAACCCCGGTTACAACAACAATAACAACCACGACGACGAATTCAACCCCGCCGTATCGCACGCCCAAGCCCACCACTCCTCCGAGGATAGCTCGCTCTTCAACTCCGCCTTATCCTTCATCAATGAGCGCAAATCCCAGTACGCGAACACAAATAGCTACGACATCGATGAGTCGCATATGGTGCAGAGCCATCAGGCCATGTACGGCGGCGGCGACCAAGACCGTCGTGCCCACGACGCCGACTCCCTCGGTGCCGGCGCCGCTATGCAGGCTCTGAAGATGTTCACCTCCGGCAGCGCTGACTCTAGTGGCGGTGGTGGCACGGATAAGAATAAGTTGATTGGCATTGCCATGGCTCAGGCGGGGAAACTCTGGGACGAGAAGAATTCAAACGGGGGGGTGGTAGGTTCTTCTTTCTTTCTAGTTCTATTTTCCCTTTAATATATATATATTTCTCTTGACGTTTCCGTGAGATGTATTTGGCGCTAATGGTGGTTTAGTCGGGCGATAAGCAGACTGCTATTAACAAGGCTGCTGAGATGGCTCTGAAGATGTATCTGAAGGGCCAGGGCAGTGGCTCGACCGGTACCGGCGGGCCCAGTGGCCTGATGAGTTTGGCGAGCAAGCTTATGAAGTGATCCGCCGAAGTATTGATTTCCTTCGTGCATGTCTTTTTAATGGCAATGATTACATAGCATAACATATCAACTCTATTTATACCAAACATCTCTCTACCTACAAATCAACAAGTCAATATCCACCAAGTATGTCAGCGCCAAGCAATGTAGGTCCACTTTTGTTGGTATCAGGTAGACCGTAAACACTTCAATATAAAATCACACTCTAATGGCTGAGCAAACAGTAAAACAAGGGCAAGAAAGGGAAAACGAAGAAAGAGAAACGAAGAACGGGAAACGCAAAGGAATAAGATAAAAGAAGAAAGAAAAAAGATAAAAGGAAAAAGAAAAATTCAAAAGTAAATATGCTAGACTGACGAAATAAGAAAAAAATGATAGGAATCACCACTCATCGTCATCGTCTTGCTTTCCCTGCATTGCACTTTGTCGGGCTCTCAATGCTTCGGCAAGTCCTCCCGCCAAACTTGCGTTTGATGTACTGTTTGGTGTGCCTCGTCCACTGCCTCCAGATGAATCATGAGAGTTCATACTCACTGTACTATCTCGTGGTGCAGGTGGGGGAGCAGGTGCCGTCTTTCTTCCCGCCATATTGGGTCTCTTTGCAGGTGGCGCTGGAGGCGCTGGCTTGGCCTTTGCTGCGGCCACCGTAGCGGCCCCGTTCGTTGTGGGCACTGGACTCGCCCGGGGAGCTGCTGGTGGGGGTGGTGGGGGAGTAGGTCTCGGTGCAGGAGCAACTTGCTCTTCTAGATAAGCCTCAGGAGTCCAACCCTGGACAGAGGTCGCCGTGTTCATACACAGCCACCAACCTGCGCTCCTTTAGCAAATAAATAAAGGAATTCAGACAGCATGACTTACCATTCCCTTCCTTGGAAACGATCTGCACGATCTCACCGGCCCGGATGGACAGCTCGTTGGACTGACCGCTGCTAAAGTCATACAAGACCTTGGCAGTCGGTTTCTTAGGTGCCGGGGGATTCGATGGTGGCGGCGGCGGAGGAGCTCTCATAGAGCCTGACGATGCCGTCCGTGCATGAGAAGCAGCAACGGCGGCAACGGGTTGAGAAACGGGCTGGGACCCAGTCACAGGCGTGCGTTGAGGAACAACTCTAGGTGCTGGAGCGGCTTGAGGAGCTGGCAGTGGTTGCACAGCTGCTGGTTGTGGAGTGCTTTGAGGTAGAGGTTGGCGTGTAGGAACAGGGCGAGAAGCCAGTTTTGAAGTCCCACCGCCGGGACCTCCAGGACGAAGAAGCTTGCCGGTAGTAACAGGACGCGCAGCGACTTGCTTGGGTCGAGGCGTTGGTTTGGAGACCGAGCTGGGAGGCTCGCCAGCACTGGTATGAATCGTGCTACTCTTATAGGTATCCACTGTCGAACCGTCCTTGATAACCTTCACAGTGGCTAGCTTTCCGGGTTTCTTGTTATATTCAATGCTAGTTTGCGTTAGATTAGCCAATGTAGGTGGTCCTATTTAGCACTTACTGGTCGCCGATCTTCAGGTTTAACTGCCCATGCAAAGCATTGGAAAGGTGAGTGAAAAATTCAGTTTTGAAGATGCAATTCACAAGAGGATCAGGCTCTTGTGCACCAACAACAAGAGAAAACCAATCATCTTTCAAATTGGAAGTACTGATAGATTTTATGGCTCCAATAGGTATCATCTTTTCAGACGAAATGGTTAATTGGTTGTTGACGATGGTTTGCGCCACAATATACACATGTCGACTCGTCTATAGATATTAGGCCGCGGTCCTCATAGGGCTGTAGCTACACTTACCAAGACCAAAATCCGGGGAGAAGGTTTACTGGAGCGACCAAACTTCGAAACCAAAACCTCACCACGGCAGGAGAACAGAACGGGATCCGACCCTATGGAACAAAAAAAAAAAAAAAAAAAAAAAAAAAAAAATGAGCCAGAGGCACGGAGAGACGGATGGATGAGGATTAATGCTTACCACTAATGCCAGCACCATTGAGGATCATCTCACCAGGGCCACCTTTGTTGGCCACCCCAATGTAATCACCGAGGAACCGACGCGAACCAAGTAAACTCATCCTTCGACGCTCTTTACGTCCCTGAAGCACCTGGTGACCCTGATCACGCAGCTTAATGAACTCGAGGCCACCAGTGGTACGGCGCCAGAAACGCTGTATACGAATCGCACATTCAATGCGGTAACGAAGGTAATTGCGCCAGGCACGTTGGATTCGAATAGCCATGTTGTGCCAGTACCGGTCACGCATCGCCTCCAGGGCAAAGAGCGTTTCCGGTGTCTTGACGAACACCTTAGTAATACCCATCTGGTATTCCTCGGCAGGAATACTGGTATCTTTCAAGATTTGGCGAGCGCCCGACTCAGCATCACCCGTCCAAGTATAATCGCCAGCATAGGACGTCTTAGACGAGAGAAGGTAGAAGCGCTCCACAAATTTGTCGAAAGTTTGACGGTAGGCAAAACCAGCACGTCGAATGCGCACGTTCTCCTGAAGACCGAGGTACTTGATCTGGTGCAGCACGTTACCAACGTTGTACTCCTTAGGAGCCTTGTTGTCGTTAGGCTTGATGGTTCGAATATAGGATGGCTGGGCTTTCATCAATGTTGCCACCAAGTCGTTCGCAGAAGCCTTGATCTTGTCGCTTGCCGTTGGGGGGCGCCTCTTGTCATCCTGGTTGACCTGATTGGGGAAAAGCGTATGAACAAATTGATTTCCACTCGTTCCGACAAGGTTCAGTAGATCTTTGAGCAACTGATCCTTGTTTTTATCTGTCATGCCTTCAACCGCATAACTGACATCACCGGCGTAGTGCTTAACAATGAACTGACCCTGTCGGTTCTCAAAGTTGGGATTCTGCGAAAGGAAGTTCAATCTGCCGACGAAAGTGTTGTCTGCAGCGCCGGAGTCGGCATGCGCTGTCGCGCAAGCGTCATTCAGAGCAGCGAAGACACCTGGAGGGCGCTTGTCTTCGATCAATGAGCACACAACCTTATTGTCGAAATATTTGATTGGGGTCCACTGGATCTGCTCCCTCGCATATTCATCTTGCTCCGCTTTCAATGTCAACTGGATGAAGATCTGCTGGAGCTTCTCGTTGACGTAGTTGATACAGAGCTGCTCAAACGAGTTCTTCTCGAAGATCTCAAAGCCATAAATATCCAGAATTCCAATCGAATTTGCCACTGACTCACGGGCAGCCAAAGAAGAATTGATGCGTTCCACGATCCAGTCAAAGAGATTGAAATAAATGGCTTTTGAAAGTGCATCCCGTACGGCCAAGGCTTGAGTCGTGTTTAAAGGAACCTCGTAGATGGAACCTCTGCGGCCTCCCCGAGCTGTCTCCATAATACGTATGGTCATCGCCTTATTCACTTCGGCAGGATCCACTTCAAGGAGGTAAGCAACAAAGTCAACGACCGACTGGTCCGCGATGGTCGCATTTCCTGAATCGTCTTCCGTGAATTGAACGTTTCCGATCCAAAGAATTGCTGCTAGCATACGGAAGACATTATCTTGCTCGGGTTCACTCATTCCAATGATTTTCATTGCATTCAGTGTATCGCGGAACTCGGCACTATCGTCGACACCGGATACGTCGTAGCATTTCGATTTGCTCGTGTAGAGATACGATTGAGGCTGTTGCACACCAAACATGTCTATTTTCTGGTTAGTTTATGGTGCCACGAAAGATGTATAACACAAATCATACCTCGATATTTCTGCGGTGCGGCCTTTGTGAATTGGTAAAAGATGTGGAAGTTACGCTCGTGGGTAATCTGCCCTACAACTCTCGATTTCTCCAGAAGATAGTTGGTAATGTTGGCGCCAACAGGTTCACCATTAGTATTGAATTCTAATTCCAAGTATTTTCCGAAACGGGAGGAATTGTTGTTGCGCAGTGTCTTTGCATTGCCGAATGACTCGAGTAGAGGGTTTGTTGCCAGAACCATATCCTTAGTCTGCTGAATAGATGAATCAGTTCCCCCAGATACACTCGCGATGTATTGCATAATGCGCTTCGCAGCTTCAGTCTTCCCAGCACCAGATTCCCCCGAGATAATCACGCACTGGTTATCCTTATAGGATTTCATGTTGTAGTAAGAGGATTCCGCGACTGCAAAGACATGAGGGGGGACTTCCAGACGGTTCTTTCCGCGGTAGGAATCGAGGACACGGTCGGTGTAAATGCCCACTAATGACGAGAGGGGGTCAGTCATGCGACCTCTAAACGCCGGGAAAGGGGGTACGTACAGTCTCGGAAGGGGTTCACGGACACCAGTACATGTCCTATATACGTCTAATAAAGCATGCCATTAGCCCATAGTCTGGAAGAACTCGACTGTGCGATCTTGACATACATAGATTTCATCATGTTCGAAGCGAAGTTTCAAATTGTCGTTTATAGCCTCGTTAGAGATCTTGCTCAGCAGTGTCAAATCGGACACACCAATCTCTTTCTTCTTTGTGCTCTCGAAGACGGCCTTTTTGACCTGAGGCTTGCCCCCCTGCCGCCCATCGCCGACATCAGCGGCCTTGGAACGACCGAAACCTCGACTCTTCTTCTCCCCGCCGACAGGACGTCGCGAGTGTCCCTAAATTGCAAGGCGACGTCAGTATATTCCTTTTACTTGTTTCCCAATAATTGCGCATCTCTCAACTCAACAGAAGCGACGACATGAGCACACTAACCATGGTTGTTGCTACCGACCACCCCGGATCTGGCGCCCAGGCTTCAAGTTATCCGATGAACCAGTTTGCAGCGGGTCGATCAGCGTTCAGAACGTAGCAAGGGAATGGGCGCAAAATAGGAGATGCACATTCCAAGAATTGGGGTGTCAAAATTAAGAGGAACCACTCCAGCACGGGAAGACAGAATAAAATAAAGTGGGAGTGGGGTGAGATTAGGAGCAAGGAGGAGGAGGGAGGACAGAGGAATGACGACGGTGCCTCTGGAGGACCCTGGCCAAGTCCGAAGATAGTTAGGTATGATTACTGCCTTAGGTCGTCTCCCCTTCTGCGCCACACGGGAAACACGTGTGTGGCACCGTCCGATTCAGTGGGAAACGCGCAAGCATCTGAGTAATTAGACAGGATTTTATTTTGCCTCTGCACTCAGGCGGCAAATCCATCTTCCCTATCCGGCTTTAAGAGGATCACATTAATAAAGGGTTCACTACATCTATGACTTACAAAATACTAGTGACATGACCCCACCTCTTTCTATTCATTGGACAAAACTACAAAATAGAACAAAAAGTGACTGACACAGGAACATTTTAGATGGGGGAATTGACTCTGCTTTACATGCAATCTAGTGGATAAAGATATACTAGGCAGGTTAAGTGCATATATCTATCAGCCAAAAGTAAAGTTATTATTTATCATTCTGAAGTCTTGGGTATTTAAATGCTATCACCCTGTTTTTGAGATTGTCTACATATGTTGACATGTCAGGTGAAATAATCGCTAGTCTCATTGACTGTGTAGTGTATATAGCTCCTATGTTGTACGGAGGCACCCTTTAAAATTTATCTACTTGTCACTTGGTTTTGCTATTCAGTTTAACATGGTGTGGCCATATGTTAAGGCTCTAAAACCCTTTTTAATGTCTGGTAGATTTTGATGGGACTTGAAATCACGGTGAAATAACGAGATGAAGTCAAAGAACAATGAAGACATGCATTCTACTAAGCACAGATGAAGAGGTGATTCCCTGAAAACCATCTGAGGCTTATTGATGTACTATCTCTTTAATCCCACACCACGTCGCCTTCCCAGAATTCCTTGATTTTCTCGGCCTGTTCTCCAAGATAGGAACACAGAAGATCGTGGCCTTCCTGGCTACGCATCGCTTGACTCATGGACCTCAAGGAGGGAAATAGATCGCACAAGATGCCTGTATCGCTCCCTGATAGTGCGCCAGGGCCCACAGAGTTAACATGAGCTACCAGGGTAACAGAATCCACAAGTGAATCACTTTGTCGTGGTATCTTCACCAAGTTGCTTATATGATTTCCAACACTAGGGAGAAAGCTGGAAGGATCGGGTATGGGAAGGATTGGTATTGGCATTGGTAGAGATTCCACCATCCTGTAAACAAATGTTAACCATGGCCTTTATCAATGTATTCGAATACCATACATTATCTGGAGGCTTAATAGTCCATCGAGACCATACCGCGCGCTGTCGAACGGCTGTTCGGAGAGAAGATATGCAACGATGTATCCTTGAGACGCCAGTGATACAGAGGCCGAAAAATCATTCAGTAGGGAGATGCACTCGTCCTTGTGGTGAGGATCAACGGACGAGGGGCTTAGAAGAAGAATCTTTAAAGTCTGAGAGCTGTTCTCCAGATATATGTTGAAGTCGTGATCGTACAACTGGCATTCTACAGCAGGGCCAGATATCAGAAACGGCACGGTATATGTAAGCAGAATATGTAAAAATGTCTAGCTCACCGTGAAACCTACTCCCTGGTGTCGTTAGAATTGGTCCAATGACCTTCCATACTGAACGCTTTCGAAGCGAAGAGGAGAACTCCCCTCGGAGAGGATATACGTCAGCATGGCCTTCCATCGTAGAGTACTAAAATATCTATGATGTACGCTTGGATGATAAGAGTACTATGTACACAGCGTAATTGTTTGATGGAAAGAGAGAGGAGATTGGTCAAAGGCATAATGATCGCCCCGCGGAATATGAGTATCTGCCTTCTCCTTCCATTTCCTAAACAGAGAAGGGTATCCCAGAATAGCACAACAGAACTTAACCTCACTCATATCAAAAAGGCGTCCATGGAGAAACATTATTATAAACGAAAACTCCCATATGCATTATCAATCAGACCTCTTCCGATTTTGATGACGACTGCTCTTTTGAGTCTGGATTCGTCGATGATACTGGTGTCTTGCTATTTGCCAATGTTGCTGCATTCGTGGTCTTCGTGGTCTGACTTGCGTTTACAACAGGTTCATCTGGCTGTTCTTCGCTCTGGCCAAACGGCAGATAAGATGTTAGGCGCGACCACAGGCTTGGCTCTTCAGCCTCTTCCACCTTTTGATTCTCCGCCTCCCATATTTCGCGGGGGAGAATTCTGGGCGAGGATTTTGATAGAACCCCGTGCTTAACCTTTAGAAGTAGAAGCTCCTTTTCCAAAGCCACTAGAGCAAGCCGGGCAGCCTTTTCTGACTGTTCAAGTTCGACTAACCGAGACTCTACGTCTTCTCTGCGGGTGGTTTCTTTTCTCCGAGATCTCAATGACTCAAAAATAATTAACCCGCCAGCCACAATAAACAAGAACCCTTCGCTGATAAATGTTGCACCGGACTCGATGGCCTTGGATTCGGATAGCGGCCGAATGTGTGGTTTTCGGGGCTTTGAAGCTTCCTCAGCTGCCGCTTTGGCTTTCGCGATAGCTTCCTCCTCCGCCTTGGCTTCCGCGTGTGTTTTTGCAGTTGGTGATGTAGGTTTGAGTTTCCTGACTTCCGCTTCCGCCGCCGCTTGTCTCTGCGAAGTCGCGTTGTCGCGCAGTGTGCCTAGACGGAGACGCATGTCGAGTCGGTGAAGAGATTGCGCCATGGCAACGCAGACCCGTCGGAAACGCTCATGTTCGCGTGCCTGAGCCTTGATTTGGTTCTTTTAGCAGTCAGCATATACATTTGTCAGTACCGCTGGGAAAATTGCATGGGCTGAGCATACGGCAATTGGCTTTGAGAGAGTGCGGATGGCGAGAGAGGAGAGTTTGAGGGTAAGGGACATGATGAATTAAGGGAGGAGGATAAGCTAATCGACTATTAATTAAGTATTACCAACCCTCGCTTTGAGGCTGGGGAAAGAAGTTCATAATATTCTGACAGGGAGTGACAGGACTCAGGCACCAATCGAATCGACTCGGCTCTGCGTCATCAATGCATGTGCATTGTGGATCCAGTGCTCTTGCTTACCTCAGCAATGAGCGTTGTTCCGGCAGTCGGATCAATGTTTATTGATTGCCGCATCGGGAAAACCGTTTTTGGCCTTTGCCATGATTTCTTTCCGTTCCTCTTGTTACCCCTTTTTAACTTCATTTCCCTTGCTCCCCCACCTGCTTGTGAGGACGGCCTGACAGTCTGGGTTGAGGCGTTGGGTGCATGTCATTGTTTTTAAGCGGCATTATTTTGTTCTGTTATTTTGGTAAGTTGCCAGTGAACTGAATAGTTACTTTCCACCTTCCTTGCAAGTCCTACCATATTATCTTTCCTATTTTTGGTCTTTTTATATTTGCAGCTGTCTCTGATTTTTTATAATTTATTTGGTCCTATGTTTTGAGGACCATTCTTTGCCTTACTCAACTATACTGACGAACGACATCAGGTTGTTAAATACGCTCTGCGCCGTCCAATATTTGATGTTGTATATGCATACCCGATGACTACGATCGCCATAATTTACATGGAAAAAGTCTTTCTGCGCAATTGACCTGCCCACAATAACAAATACCCGAGTATAGCCAAGCATCAAATAAAATATTAAAGCAACAGAGCAAGAAAAAGATGGAGGCATTATCTCCCAGATCAACAAATCAAATGATTAAACCTAAAGTTCCCATGGAGCGGAAAGTACTGGACCGAAACGCTGTAGCGGCACACGCAGCACAAAAAACTGCATTGTCAAAAAACCATGCGCCACCACCACCTTCCCTGGTTGTCGAACCGCGAGAGCACGGTGAACGATATTCAACTGGTGCCTTTTTAGGGAAAGGGGGCTTTGCTATTTGTTATGAAGGGACCCTGCACCGGAATGGCAGAGTATTTGCAATGAAGGTGGTCAGATCCGAAATGACACAGAAAAAGATGCAGGAAAAGGTGCTTTTATGATGATCTTACTCACGCTGCTTGTCCCGAAGACAGACCTTATGCTAATGAGATTCGCTGCCAGTTTCGCACCGAACTTCAGATTCACTCCAAGATGCGGCATCCTCACATTGTCTGTTTTCATCGCGCATTCGCTTTCGAGAAGAGCACATACGTGATACTAGAATTGTGCCCCAATGGATCGGTAATGGATATGGTTAGAAGGCGAAAAACTTTGAGCTTGCCGGAGGTCAGGCGCTTTATGATCCAGCTTTGCGGTGCAGTAAAATATCTACATAGGCGAAATGTTGCCCATAGAGATCTGAAAATGGGAAACCTCTTCCTCGACCACAACATGGATATCAAAGTGGGGGATTTCGGACTAGCAGCAATGATAATATCAGAACGTGATGAGAAACGGAGAAGGACCCTCTGTGGAACACCCAACTATATTGCACCAGAAGTTTTGGATAAGAGCAAAGGAGGACACACGCAGAAAGTCGACATCTGGTCGCTAGGGGTTATCTGGTAAGGACCACACTTATGGCCAATTTATTTACTCGCCCTTGAAATTTATAAAACATGACTAATTGCGCGGATCTAGCTTTGCGATGCTTAGCGGCTATCCACCATTTCAGTCAAAGACCCAGGAAGAAATATACAAAAAAGTGAGGAACCTCACATATGTCTGGCCGAAAGGCCCGGAGTGTGCCAACCATATCCCGGATGAAGCGAAGTCCTTGGTCAGCTCGTGTTTGAACCTTGCAGAGAACGAAAGACCTGATCCCGATGATATTGTCGAACACCCCTTCTTTAGTATGTATGATGGGTGCATACCCAGAAGATTGGAACCGGAATGCTGCCTCGCAAAACCGGTGTGGCTTCGAACAGACGAACCGCGCGGTGATCGCATGGTTGTTGGCCACGGCTTGGACTACGACGAGAAACTTTCTAGCTACATAGATAACATCGATGATCACAGCCAGCGGTACCATATATGCAAAGCGGCGTTTTACAGCCTCTGTGGAGTCGGGAGAAAACCAGACGGCACAGCTCGAAAACCTGCCGGCAAGCATTGCTCTAAATCGGCATATGCGGAATGCCTGGTAGAAGAAGAGAAGGGGCTTGAACCAACCATCCCTTTACCAGAGGATATTGTCTACAGCTACCCCCATGATCCTGAAGGAGATTGGAGCAATCCAGAGACGATGTTAACGAAGCGGAGAGACTGCTCCTCGCTAGAAAGTAGTGTGATTTCCTCGAAGAGCGCTACATCAGCTCGCATGATATCGCAGTCGCGGACACAGGCTGCCTTGGCTGCGGCACAACAACGTCGACAAGAGTCACAGAGTCATGCGGCTACCCTTCGACAACAGGCTTTGACAGGCAGAGGCTCTGTGAAGAAGATTCCAGCTCTTTATGATCCACCTGGTTCTCTGCCGCGGCCTCTCCCGGAAGCCGGAGATATGGATGATGACGCAGCCCTTGCATCTGGCGTACCAACTGGCGGACTTGGGGAACGCCCAATTCGGACGCGACGTGGAGTAGCGGCTTCATACACAGACTCCATGCGTGGCTTGGACAAAAACTCAGCGCCACAGATATGCCGAACAAGTAGTGAGGGTGCTATTCTGACAGTTGGAAAGACACGCTCCCAATCTCGACGCCTGGAGGCCGCAGCAATGGGACCTTCTGCTTCAAATGAGCGATCCACATCCACGAACATAGTGAGCGCTTCAACCCGATCTCGACCTACTTCACTCCGGGTTGTACCCAAAACCGAGACGAGTGAAACCCATAAGCCTGCTGAAGGACTCATGCAGAAACCAAGAAATGGGCCAACAGAAGCGAGTCATCGCACACAGACTGAAGCTCGACCTCCGGCCATGAGTCGATCAGAAAGCAAGACGTCCGTGTCGTCTGGCAGTAAACCTCGGTCATCTCTAGGATTGAACCCCCTTTTCCATCGTGATGACCCGTGCGAATCACTGCCAGGAACATCAATTGCCGACGCCAATGCGGACTTCCGACACATGTTTTCGAATTTGGTACCACATTCACCTGTCCGGCGACGAGCAGTGGCGAGGAGAGCACCACATGCTTACGTTATCAAATGGGTCGACTATACCAATCGATACGGCATTGGCTATGTGCTCGACGATGGCAGTGTCGGGTGCGTGTTTAGGGCAGAAAATGGCCAGCCAGCCAGCGGAGTCGTTGTGCGAGATGGGGAAAAGCACATACGTCGGAAGGCCCATTGCCACGAAAACCAAGGAGGCTCGTTCTCCTACTCAGAGGCCGACCAACTTGTACCTCGCCATGGAAAACCGGTAGAGTTCTACGAAAATTGCAATAATGAGACTTTGGATCTCCATGGCGAGATCCGACGAGCATTTGTTTCTCCTTCATTGTTCGAGGTTAAGGCATCCGCTAGTGGTTCTTGCAGCGTAGGCGTCAAGGTCCGCACCAATTCTGGCATTGAATGTGCGCGTGCCGATGCCGAAAAAATCAAACGGGTCAAGCTGGTCGACCAGTTTGGGAAGTATATGATTGGATCTCTGGGCCGACATGGTGACGAGGCGCTTCTGGAAGAGGGACCGGGGAAGGAGCACCATGGACAATTTATGAAGTTTTACCAGCGCCTGGGTAACGTAGGTGTTTGGGGGTTTGGAGATGGCGCCCTGCAGGTTTGTCTGAGCGCATTTTCATCAGATACAGATTTCCGTGCTAACGAGCTTTCCACAGTTCAACTTCCCCGACCACACCAAGCTCGTTATATCGCCGGGTCGCACCAGAAGCTCGTCCCCTTGGGTTGATTTTTATCACCTTTCCCCGTCGGCTGCTCGCTACTTGAGCGCTAAAGGAAAAATGCATCCGTCTGGATTCGACACTCGGACGGTCACTTCCGACGAGGTGGGAACCTTCCTCAGCATTGCGTATGGGAGCACCAGTAGCTCTACGGATGAGCGAGTCCGGGAGATTCTGGAGGCCAATTCATTTCTCCAGAAAATTGGATTCATCAAGGACGTCCTTAAAGGATGGATTAAGCAAGGGCGGATTGGCGGCCGTCCGTCCCAGGACGGATCCGCAGGGGCTGAGGGAGCCCTTAAGTCGCTTGAGATGTTCTGGGAGGGTGCTCAGGAGCGAGCACACGGCGGCAAGTTTGTTTGGGTGACGGTTGGGGCACCCGGAGGAGACGGCGAGTACCGATCAATCTCGCTGAAGGACAAAAAGACGGACACCCTGTATGACCAGGAGATGGAGCATTTGAGGGAGCGGTTGCGGGTGCTGGGGGCACCATCGTAGGGGACGCTCAATGGTTTACGATGTCATGACTGCTACTTGTTTCTTGGTTTTAGAGCCTTGTTTGTGCGATTCTTGTGAATATTCCCACCCATTTTTTGCTTGTTAATCCAGAATGACCTGCGATTCTTACGCTGGTAATAAATAATATTGTGATTGCCCTGCATCGGTACTGTTTACTTGCTTTTTCTTTCTTTTTTGGCGGCATCTTTGTACTTTTGTGAGGTGACAAGTCACCCAAGACGCATGCCATGGCCGTGGCACCTGCCCTCGTATTCCTGACTCAGGCAGACTAAGGTGGTTGGATAAAGGCTAAATAGCATCCACTGTATGCGTTCACCCGTGGAAGGGATCAAAGCCGCACGTCAGAAGAATTGAGTGGTCAGTGACACGTCTTCCTGTGAATCCCTGTCTGCTCGACTTCGTATTCCGAAATGAGGCCGCGTATTAGACGCAAATCAAACAGTTGTGGAAATTCGAATGGCTTATCTGGAGATGAGACTGAGAGTCGTGGGATATAAATAAATCAAGTGCCACCCAACGCGTCTCCTTTTTCAATCCAATCTAAAAACCATCTGAGATTTTGTCACTCGTTTACATTAACTATTCTCCTTAACACTCGTTACAGAATCACAGCATTATGCTCTCTTCACTGCTTCTTCTGACCCCCCTCCTGGCTAGCCAGGTATTAGCTGTTCAGAGTGGTGTTCACATTGCCGGCATGGAGATTTTTAAGCGCCAGAGCGACAGCGAGGCCTTCGTCCCTAACACCACTCCCGGCTGTCCTGATAGCTGGCCTACCTGTGGTACCAGCGGTATCTGCTACAACCCGAATGAGGGACAGACATGCTGTCCGGGAGGAAAGTGTATGATGATTGTCACGAACCGCTCAGTCTGTACTTATCCATATTGACCTGACCTGTTCTAGATGCCTGTCCTTCCGGTTCCTTCTGTCTTCAGGACCCCTACTGCTGTCCGAATGTATGTCTCTTGTGCTCGAGTCAAATTCAACTCACGACTCAGAATGAGAAGATACTAATAAAGAGCTTCTTTCCCAGGGCCTTGATCCCGAAACCTGCGCAAAGAGATACGGGATCACCCTAACTCCTAGCTCCCCTGAGCCGACTGAAACTGATCAGCCTACCGAGCCTACCGCATCGGTCCCCTCTCCTAGCTCCAGCTCGAGCGCATCGATCCCAGTGATCCCGCGCCCGACGTCTTCGACGTCCTCGTCGCCTGTGTCTTCGAGTAGCGCTCACTCGACGGCGCCAACGGCGTCTCCGTCGAGTCCTCTCTTCACTGGTGGTGCTAATGCCCGGGAGATGATCGGTGGTGCTGCTATTGTTCTGGGTGGGTTGGGGTTTTTGGGAAACATGATTTGACGTGATATCTTGTTGGGGATGACTTTGGAGTTGAATTGTCTAACATTGGTGGATTTTATATTAAGGAGAGTATAATTAGAATACATAGTTTTGGGATTGCTATATGGCCTTATTGTTTACTTTACGGACAATCAACAACTTAACACTTGCGTCGCGGTTGTATGTGATCGTTACTGGGTTGTGTTGAGATTATGTCGTGGCCGCAGATCGCTTGGTATCCTTTTTTTGGTGGTGTGGAATGATCTCTTTACACTAAGAGTCCGCCTGGAGCAATGTTTTTGGAGCCATCTCGGACTGGCCCATTCCGTGGCATTGCTATTAGGGTTTGGACGTACCGTCGCAGAGAGTGAATGAATAGTCACTGGGCTGAGCGTAGTAGGTGGCTCTTGACACTTTGAATTTGTTGACCTGGTCATTTTCTGTTTAATTGGCTAGCTCATCTAGCAACCCCTCAACCCGCGACCCTTCAATGACCAAAATGTCGCCTTCTTCTGGATCTGCTAGCTTATCGCCGAACGCGGACCTCTCATACCTTCAATCCGGCTATCGTCGTCTATAGCCTCGTTCTTGATTCTTTCCATGACCGCCTTATGTCTGAACGTCGCGCGAATGAAAGTTGGAAGGTTGTATCACTAGCACCTCCCGAACACTGTCCACTTTTGACACAAACACCGTGAGTGTGGTCGTCGCGGGTCCTAATACTCAGGGCGTTGTGACAAAAACGAGCAGGAGTTCTAGCCGCCAGAAGCCTCCTTTGTAGTACCAGTGGCAGAACGTTCCCTCCCACTGGATTTGGCCTGCTGGCGTTCCTGTCTCTCAGTTTTGGTGTATAGCCGGTTGTGTTTTACACGTATGGGGAGGCTCTGCCCTGAGAAAACTTTGCAATGCCAGGTAGTAAATCCACGCAGAAGACTGGTGTATCCCTCACTGGTAGATATGACGACCAATTGCCACGTCCAAGTACGCAGGGTCGGTCAGATCAAACGGCTCGGCGTGCTTGAAAAGGCCTTCCATTGTCTTTGGGGTATACGGCAACCAGTCTAATTATATGTCCAGGGTTTTCTGATGGATTCCATGGTAGTTGTTATTAACGCCCTTTTCGCTGAGCATGCAGCTGCCCCCGGAGCCCCAGAGAAACTTGTCCTTCAGCCTAGAAGGATCCCCGCGATCATCGTTAAGAAGCGGTACGCGGCTGGATGAAATCTACCAGGCATTACTGGAACTTTCAACCTTGCCTACGGCCGCTACATACCTTCACGACCAGTACCAGACAGAAACAAGGTGGCCACCCAAGACGCAAAAGCCATTGCCGTGATTGCGGGTGTAGGTCATGGCACTGGTGCGTCTCTGGCGCGCAAATTCACCACCACATATCCCGTGGCACTGCTGGCTCACTCGCACCCCAAGGTCGCTTGCCCTGGATCCAGTATAGGACCCCCAAGCAGTTGACCGTGCGGAGTGTAGTTATATTATTGCAGCCAACACACTTCTCTAGTCTATCCGGCGCATGTAGGAGCATTTTCTCCGCCTCTTACAATTTTAGAGCATGCCTAAATTACTCGTCGTACAGAGCATTGGCAGCTTTTTGCGGGTTGACACATCTTCAAGCTGCAATGCACTGTCAAATGTACTCTCGGCTTTCCTGAACCTTCCCTGCTTCATAAAGAGGATTCCTAGGTGGTTCAGTGTAGGAAGGGTGGATTCGCGAGTCGAACTATGGACCTTCTTGAATCCTCTGTAGGCGTGTTGGAACATCTGCTTCTCCTTGTCCCACTTGTCCAAGTTCATATATGCAACACCCTGATTCTCCGCGATGTAAAGGCCAGTTTCAGACATTTTAACGGAGACTTTGTCCTTCTCCAGTGCACTTAATGCAGATTCGAACCGTTTTATAGTTTGCAACGGTTCCCCCTTTTCGAGGTAGAGAATGCCAAGCCTCAGGATGCCTTCTGGCGCGAACTTGTTCTCGGATTCTTGTAAAACACCTTGGAATTGTCTCTGAAGACTATTATTCTGGCCCTGTTTGGAAAGGTGCACTGTGGGAATTTCGGCTGACGTAAGAGCTTGCAAGGGCTTCGACGTTGAGGGTTGTCTCTGCTGAGATTGACGCATCCACCGCAAGGGGTCGTTTAGCTGTCTGTGCTGCGATATGAATTCCATAGTTAGGTGGGGTTGCATGGAGGGCTCTGTTGGTTGAAGTTTTAGGATCTGTCCAAGGAGTTTCTTTGCCTACCGATCTGATCGGGCGGACTGAGCGGGAGATATATGTCGAAGACTGTATGGAAGAGAACTTGCTCATTCTGGAAGAATGATTGGACTTCCGCTCCTTCATGTTTTAGTGAGGGCTGCAGTGGCGTATTATCAGCCGGGAGGAGAAATCTGTAGGGCGTCACAGATAACAATTCTTTCGCCCAACAAGCAGCTGTGGCCGTTGCATATTCCTGCCATTGCTTCGGATTATGCGAACCGGCGTAGTTGCTTATCCCTCGAATAATAAGACAGGGAAATTGGTCCATCAAGCCTGCGGCTTCCATCTCAAAACAGAGAACGCCTAGTTCCCGCGCTATCGAGTCCCCTTGCGGCCATGCTTCATGACTTAATTCCCGGAAGCAACGAGGCTATGATGGACTTTTGGCGCTTGACAAGTGCTATGATTCCGCGTGACCAGCTGGCTCCGATCGATCGCATATATTGTAAGATTTATCTGTGAGGGTATGATCCTACTCCACTTTGAACAAGAGATCATGCTTCTTGCCAGGATAAGTGAAGGGGGATGGGGTTGGATTCCTCGCAACTGCATCTTCCAAAAGTTCCGTGATCTGGGCGTTGCCCTCCATTACCTCGACTGTACTTTAGAGGCTGTTGTAAGAAGCGTTGGCGAGGACTTATTTAGAGCACCTGTTCGCTTAAAGTGGCCCTCCGCTTCAGTTTTACCGTAGTAGTATTGAACGACACCACAGTATGTGTCAGTTGGATTGCTCACCACTGCATCCCCAAGCCGAATATCAATCTACAGGCTTGGAACGCCTCCTCCTATGCCCACGAGTAGAAAGAACCGGATGTTAGGAAAGGTGCAGTTAATCGATGCTGTTACGGTAGTGGCTGACGTGCGGCTGTAGATCCCCATTGGGAGACATGCGATCACCGTGTCTGAGATCGCTCCAAGAGTATAATTGTTATTGACATTAAGTGGTAGCGGCAGGTCCTCATGGACCTCATCCAGAATGGCCTTCGCGGCAGCAAGCTCCAGTGACAGGGCGCATATCCATCCAACGGTATATGCATGGGAGAATGGTTTAGCCACTAGCATTATTGGAGCCAGGTACGAAGCCGAAAATTTTGATAGCTGTTATATGTGGATAAGACGGTTCGTCAGGGGGCCACTAGGTCACTAGCAGCATTGACTGTGTTCACTGCCGGAGTGAACTCTGATTGATCTGCGATGGCATGATCAACCTCAGTCACAATTTGAAGAGACTCCTTATTTCCATCACTAGAAGCCCATTCCCCGAGAACTGCCAACTCGGATGGAACAGAGATCGAAACAGAGATGGAAAGAAATGGACGTCATGAATATCCCCGTCATCAGCTGAACTGAAGCTAATTCTGATCTTGTCCGGTGGCGTCACGTGCATGCTGCTATCAGAAACAAATAAAGATAATGTATTGCTATATTAAAAAGGGGTACTACTATTCAGTATCTTTAGGGTATGCTCTAACCTTTTGGAATCAGGACTTCTAACTTAACTATTATATAATTTGTACTGACAAGGTTCAATAAGCTAGCTCTAGTTTGATTCGAGAAGGAATTAACTTGCTATACAATTAAATTTATCCAATACCCTCTCTACAGAGCATATATTTAGTAATCTATCCCCCGTAGATATGTATATTATAGTCTAATCCCTTTGTAAGTTTGAATTATTCAGGGCATTCTTGGCTCATATCCCGACTGACGGTGCTGGACGTTGAAGTGGACGTGAATGTCGACCCACCCCGCTGGAGTCGACCTGTTATACTGCTGTGGAGATTGATATGCTATTATTTCTTATCCTCGTGCTGTTCTCAGTGTGTATACAAAGGGAGAGCTATTTATTTATTTATTTTTCATGCTTGGATCTAGGAAACCCAACAATGTGGAGATAAATGGTATATTTTCACTTCTCATTGAATGGGGAATGGAGGTAGACTTTAATATCATGTGCTCTTTACCAATGTGGATAGGCGTTTACTATGCTTCATTACGCCAAGTCCCAGCACGTAAGGCTGAGTCATAAATAGTATACGGCTCAGTCGTCTAAGTCGAGCTATGTGGTGCGGATGACCTAGTGAATCTGACAGTGAGTGGACGCAGACTGAAACTAGTAGAAACTAAGACGGCAGACGGATCTAGTGGTGGACATTGTCTAAGGGTCGATTAAAGATTTTGTTCGTAGTGTCGTAAATTATTCTAATTATTCAATCATAGTGTATATTCTACACGTCCATAGGAACCGCTCCGATGCCATATCGAATAGAGTTTGACTTCGAGCCGTCCTGCCGATCGCCAACTGCACGATTTCAACCCAAACAAACAAACGGTACAGTCACACATCGTCGAGCCCCTGAGCCATGGATGTAACGTAGGTCTTCTGTATTTTCTGTACTCGACTTTATTTGCGATGTCCGTCAGGTTTTATTGGTGACCCTCGCCGGCTCTATCTGCTGAAGCTCGATTTTGACCTCCTCGAGAACTTGAATGCCATGTGATGAATGTCGTAGCTCGTCTCGGTCTACCGTGGTGGAGGTTGTCACGTTGCTATGGTTCTGGTGACTGCCGCCGTCGCGGATCAGCCACGAGGGCTGAATCTCATTGTATTCCGTCGATCGGAGCCACGGCTTACTTCCCGAGCTCTGGCGGTTGGGCGTCAAGCTGGAAAATCTGAGAAATCGGCCAATATGGCCATTGAAAGCCGACTTGAGAATAATCCGCATAGTCGGAAGACAGGTGCAGACAATGCCCACGGAAACTTCAATGATGGACCACATGAACCCACGCGCGTAGTCGTAGGTGACGTCCCAGTTCCCTAGAGCCAGCATGGATAAGTTGAGTCGGATGAGCGCGGAGGCGCAATCACTAAGATATAAGTTAGTGTGGATTCTCTCTCTCTTCTATCGGCATCAGGTATATGTACAAGAGACCAAGGGCAAAAATCAACGTTAAAGCCACTTTCCGTCCTAAAGGGAGCTGCAGTTTCCACATCATGGGGATCGGCATAAGCCAGACGGCCAGATCTGTGATAATATTGACGACCGCATACCCAATGGCAAACTGCTTGAAAGGGAGACATTTCCCCTGCCCGGTCCAGAACGCATGGATCGGAGTGCAGTTAAAAATCCCCAGGAAAGTCATGATAATCGCCCACAGGCTGACGACTGCGCCCACGACGTACACAATGGTAATGAACTTGGTCGATACAAAGATTCGTCTGTAGAGGAACAGAAGCGAGAGCTTGACGGTCGGAGGGGCCAGAATATAGACGATTTGGAAATAGTAGAGTAGGTCCAGGAACTTTGGGATGTGGTCTTCTGGGAGCGCAGCCCTGTGTTTGCCGAGTCCGTATTGTCTGCCTGGTAACGATTGTGATCAATTTGCGGTCCGCATGCGTTCATATGGGAATACTTACAGGCAACAAACAAACCATATAACGCCCATAGTAGGAGCTGTCTCGGTCAGCCCTGGCTCCAAATAAAGGAAACACTTCCCTTACCAGGGCAATTAAAATTGTCCAGTCATCGGCGCCAAATGCCAGTTTTCTCAACTTTCTTGCATAGAATCTACCAATGACGGCCAGGGTGGCCAGGCTAATGAGTATGCTATTCACCACCCATAGAGACCGTCCCTGGTCCTGATTCAGCGAGGCATCGTTGGGCGGCATATGTTCTCTCTGCCGCAGCAGCCTCTAGCAGCGTCTGCCAGCCCTGTTGGAAACGCTTTGATAAGAGTATATATCCTGTGTGCATGCCTAGGAAAGACCCGAAACCAGAGCAGTCTCGCAGTGTCTTACTTGGTGGCTGCTGCCGCGCTATATAAAAATTAGAAAATCCAAGAACATAGATCCACATAATTGGGCAACAGGGGCTCTGTGGATTTGCAGGGGCGTGGGAATCTCCCGACTCTAGAATTCGTGCTGACTTATTGGTGGTGTCATGGGGCGGAGTCGGAAATGCGGATTCAGGTTGAGACGATTTGAAAAGATCGGCCTGGGTTTGACAGGGATAGAAATCCTTTTTCTCCTGCTAATGCATGCTATGATTTCGTAGTCCGTCCTGGCGTTACAAATGCCATTGTTCCCCTCTTAACTACTGCACTATCGTTAACAAATTACCAAATTGGGTCCACTGTTGGTCAGCGTAGTTGCATAGCGTGACATTAGCCAACGTTAGGATAAATTGTAAGAGTCGGCGCTGCTGTTGCTGCAATCGTGCAGGGACAAGAATTGGCGCTTGTAGGAACCAACTTCCACTTTTTTTTTTTTTTTTTTTTTCCAAATTTTTGCAACAAAGATCGGCAGTACGTACTCCCCTAGACAAAATGACAGCCTCAAAAACAGAGCCTTCGTGGCAGGATATCGCCAGTGCGGTTCAGGCAACTCGTGATAAGTCCTTCGAGCAAGTACACCCCGAGGTTCCTGTACTACCCGAAGCGCTACCAAGCAGGGTAGTCGATATTCCACGTCAACACCTCTCACAATCAGAGGTGGAAATCACCGAGAGCTCTGCCGAGGTCCTGGTTGCTTCTCTTGCTGCGGGAAAACTGACTGCAACGGCCGTCGCGAACGCCTTCCTTCGACGTGCTATTATCGCCCAGAAGCTGGTGAGCTACTTGTGCAATTATACTTAAAACACTTCCGTCCAATCTAACCGCATCTTTCTCAATTCAGACAAATTGTATCTATGAACTTCTCCCCGACCGTGCCCTCGCGAGGGCTAAGGAACTAGATGATTTCTTCGCACAGCACGGCAAACCGACCGGACCGCTGCACGGATTGCCGATCAGTGTCAAGGCACACATAGGAATTTCGGGAAAGGATAACAGTGCAGGATTCGTTGGCTGGGTGGGACGAACAAGCCCAGATGATGCCAACATTGTCAAGATCCTCTTGGAGGCTGGTGCAGTCGTATATGCAAGGACCACCGAGCCGCAAGGACTAGTAAGTTCGACAGACCCAACACGTGCAACGCGAGCGCCATCGCACTAATACAGAGCTGCTGTAGATGGCGCTTGAAACATGCAGCAACATCACTGGGAATACGCTCAATCCGCATAACACCGCGCTCTCCTCTGGCGGCTCGTCAGGCGGAGAATCAGCGCTACAGGCACTGCATGGCAGCCCCCTGGGGATCGGGTCAGATATAGGTATGTCCCTTACCGACTCAATTTGTTACACGATTAACTGTAAGTGTAGGCGGAAGCATTCGTTCCCCGGCCGCCAACTGCGGTCTCTATGGCCTGAAGCCCACCGCAGGTCGGCTGCCTATCATCGGAGTGTCAGCATATGTGATGGGGTGTGAGACCATTCTTGGCACACTGGGGCCACTATCCCCGACTCTAGAAGGAATTAGTCTCTTCATGAGGACAGTACTCTCTGCCAAACCTTGGCTCAGTGATTCATCGTTACATCAGATTCCGTGGCGCGAAAACGAACCCTTGATCTATCAGAACGAAAGGAAGAAATTGACAATAGGAGTGATGTGGGATGACGGTGTCGTCAAGCCAGCACCTCCAGTAGCCCGAGCTCTACGTGAGACGGTCGACCGATTGAAAATGGTTGACAACATTGAAGTCATTGAGTGGAAGCCATATCAACAAAAGGAGGCTTTGGAAATCCTTGTGAGTGCCCCCATAGCAGTTTTCAGTTGTCAATATATGCTGACTACCTCATCCCAACGAAGACGAGACTGTATGCTCCAGATGGTGGCAAAGCATTTGCCGAAAACCTGAAGCTCTCCGGTGAACCATACCTACCCCTGCTCCAGTGGACACTTCGTGATGCTCCCGGTATTGAGGAGCTCAGTCTGCACGGCGTCTGGGACTGGACTATGAAGCGGGAGGTCTTCCGCTACTCGTATCTACAAGGTTAGCTGTCTCGTCTTGACCCTACTTGTGAACCGATAATGTTGACATTTATTCAGTGTGGAACTCTGTCGCTCCAGAAATGGATGTCATTCTTTGCCCTGCATATCCCACACCTGCACCACTCCTCGACACTTCCCGATACTGGGGATATACGTCTGTCTGGAACCTGCTAAATTATCCGGCTATTGTATTCCCTGTCACACGAGTCGATGTCGAGAAAGATGCAAAGGACCTGACATACACCCCACGGAACGAGTTCGATAGCTGGTGTCACACGCATTACGATCCCAAGAAGCAGAAGGACGCCCCTGTTTCTTTGCAACTCGTGGCTAAGAAATTTGAGGATGAGAAGGTCGTGCAGGCATTGAAGGAAATTAAAGAGCAAATTGGACTGCCATTTATTGACTGCTTGAAGTAGGAGGGTCATTGCTTTTGGAGATGAAAGTATATTCCAAGCAGAATTGATCATATAAAGCTCATCATCAAGCTTGGAGACATGATATAGATGAATGAAAGAGGATATAAAGATGTAAACTTCTCGGCTGATGGAATCCGCCACGAGAGAAAGTGAGAAGGATGTAATTTCCTTTCTTCGCTGGGGCCACAAAACCAGAATCTAACCCCAGGATAAGGTTGTTAACGTCTGGGGTAGAACTCCGCAGCCAGGATCCAGCCTACCAGGCAGTCATAGTGCGAGTTTCTTTCAGCGTAGCAGACCTTACTCACACTGTGATGCTTTGTTGGTAGACAGAAAACCGACACAATTTTGTAATCTATTGGGGAACCATCGAGCGGTCAGAAGGCGTCGATACAGAGCAACTCTATGGTGACCTTAGTCCCAACATAATCGGGCTTTAAACTCTAACTGGTCTGTTTAATCCAGGATCAGGATCTTCTCCAAGATACAGGACTCGGTGTTTTAGCAGTCCAGCAAAAAGTATGGTGACAGAATCAGGATCAATAAGGATCGGTCCATATATTGTGGAAGCACATTTTGTAGGACAGTAATATTTATTAGGCGAGACATAAATCGTTCATTCGTTAAAAGGGTAAGGGCTGCACCCATTACTATGCTAGCATCAATATCGCCGTTAGGAAAGGAATAATTAACAAAGATATGCGTGCGAGGCAAATTAAAGAGTATCAGAAACAGGTGCTGCTATGAGTCGAAGTATTAGTGTCATGGATTCTCCTCCGAGCGGAGTAATGCAGAAAAATTAAACTGCACACTCGGTAGAGTTGATCCTTCTTTGGACTTGTATTTGTCTTCAATCATTGAATACAATCGATTTGCCCACGTTTCAGTGAGACCTGGCTCGAGGTCGGATGTGGCGAAAGATTCAAACTCGACCCCGGTTCGAGTATATAAATCCGGAGTATATGTTATTTTGAACAATTTAGACATCAGTGACATATTTGCAGAATGTTTCAACCCTATACTATGCAATTCTTGGTCCTCTGGGATTGTCTCAAACGGCAATTTATTGGTATTGATATGACGAACACTTGACTTTCGAGATATATCGCCCCGTTGGTGGCTCTGACGACGCATGAGGTATGATCTTGGATCAAATGGGCTCAAGTTGGATTTCGATGTTGCGTTTGAGAAGGCTTGTTGCTTCATTCTGCTATCTGATAAAGGAATCTGCGGATTTTTATCGCCATTGGCAGAGTCTAGTGTCTCAGGTACAGGAGCCAATGCAGCTCGAGCAGCAAGGTACCTGCTGAGGTGTGGGGATTTAAAGCCCTTAGAGAATGAACCATTCTTGACATTCTCTCGTCTTTTCTGGATAGCCTCCTTCTTTCGGTTCTCGAAATCAAGCGCATCTTCTAGTCCAGCCAGGCCAGATTTTGATAGTTGATGCAGCCTAGCTGACCATTGTTCAAGAACAGGCTGTTGCTGCCTCTTTCCTCTTGCCCGTGAGTCAATATTCATTTCCCTAGGTCTCTGTGATTCTAGTTCGGAGGATGACAAGGTATCTTGTCTATTTACTGAAGGATCTGGAGTTGATAAACCCGGCGGTGCATATTCAGTTTCCTTAGATGGTTGTTCAAATTTCTCCCGCGTTAGTTCAGTTAACAATGGCTGATCAGCTTGATCCAGAGGCTCGTCTACCACTGCCCAAGGTAGAGTGGCCTGGGTGATTTTTCCAAACCAAGTATCCAGTGCGCCATTGCCATATCGCTGTTTGTCACGGTCTCTAGATGCGTTATCATAATGCCCATTTCTTCTCTTAGTTGGAGAAACCTTAGATATCTGTGAGGTTGTGGTTGAGGCTGGGGAAATTGAAGAACTGTTTGGGGACTCCGATGGAGTAGGCAAAAAGGAGCTCAGCGAGCTCTTTCGCGGCGCGTCTCGTGACTCCTTTCTCTTTTCTCCGGGGCTCCTAACAGGATGGCACGTTGACAAGCGGGCGCCAGACTTATTCAAAAGATTATGGCTGCCCTGAAGAATTGGGGTGTTCGGTTTTGCCAGCGACCACGGATTTAAGGCCTCTTGATCACTAAGATCTTTTTGCACCCCAGCGTTTATGGCTTCGGGTATTTCCAAATACTCTCGAGACTGAATTGGAGAGTTGGAATGGGCTTGCCGAGTCAACGAGCGAGCGGTTTTAAATGGACCTAAATATGACCCTGTATTCATATCGTTGTATAGCGTGGATTCATTGCCTTCTCTTCGAGCCAGGAGCAGTTCAAATCGATTATCATTTGGCGCCTTCCTATCTTTCGGGGGTAAACGTTTGTCACTGGAATTTCCTTTCTCGCCATACGTAGCTCTAAAGAGATCCTCCACGATGGAAAGGACTCGTTGGGGATTTTCGAACAACACATCGTCTTTGGCTGGTTCTATATTCACATCATAACTTGCTTCAGGACACCGGATTTGCAGGCACAGGAACGGATTCGCTGTTGTCCGGGATGTCTCCCCGGACGCAGCCGTGCGTATATATGATTTGTAGATCTTCACAATATCTTGGCCAATTCCCAGGGTAGAGGATATAGGCCTGCCATCGATACTGAGGTATTGGCCTGTGTTATTCATCTTCGTGAATTCTAGCTTCGTCAGCCAGGCTATCTCAACGTACGAGAGACTATAATTACCAGAATTAGGACCTGGAAGTAGTGAAACCAATCGATAGTCTGAAACAGTATACTCAGTTCGCAGCTGATCAGCATCCATAGATTCTTCAGGGGGCCATTTCTTTTCAATGCAGTTGGAGGCGACATCAGTACCAGCAACCTTCAATGCTGCATCCATAAGTGTTGCGCTCTGCCCCGGAGCATAAACCCAATTATTGTTGTCAGTCCTCGCCTTAAGGATTTTTAAGGAAAGCCTTTTTGATGGATAACACATGGCATATGATTGTATCATTCTCTTAATTTTCGCAATAGTCTTAGCAGGATTTTTCAGAGAAGCTTGTCTCCGAACTGGGATATATCTGAATAGGTCGGTTATTCGAACAGTAGTGCCCACAGGGTGCGATGTACGTTCAGAACTTTGCATAAATGTGTCAATATATGTCACTGGGCCACGGGGGCGTGTGTAAATACCTAATGAGCTCTCCTTTCCTTCCATATTTGATGGACGAGCCAACTAACTCTGTCTCAACCCTGGTGAAGATATTCACACCTCCAGACACTTCAGCAGCACTGGCTAGAGCTTCGCCTCTAAAACCAAGAGTCTTTCCCCCGACCTTCGCTAGATTTTCCAGTGTTTGTATTTTGCTAGTGAAGGTGCGTCTGCACACGAAGGCATGGCCATTGGAGGGAATGCCATGCCCATTATCTTTTACCTGGACCACATCGAGCGTGTTTTGAGAAATTTCAATACCTACAGATGTAGCGAAGGCATCCAAGGCATTGTCTAACAGTTCCTTCACGATTGAACACGGGTCTGAGATGACAGACGTGGAGCCGATAGCTTGGACGGCCGACTGAGGAAGAGCCGTGATCGACATCCTCAAACTCAAGACTGTTGCCGTTTGCTATCTGTTTAGTGAGATGGCTATGATAAATTTATATAAGTAAAATAAAATGAAATAAAGGCGTTATATAAATGTGGCCTGATAGTATTTCCCCAGGATGGTTTGTTGTTGACGGAACAATTTGGCGGCCAAATTATTTCCACGCACTCAATGGCCACATGAGCTGAGTCAGCATTCCGACGTGTTCCTTCCAACAACGGAAAGAAAGAAACTACACCTACTTTTAGTTGACCGACAATTTCCATCCCAGTAATCGACCTGCAGACCAGGATGAAATGAGGCCAAGATGTTATATTCTTCGTTCTCGATATCGCAGCTGGCGATACCTTCAGTCTGTGTGCTGATCTCTTTTCTTGCCTACACTTCGCAATACTTCTTTGTTCATTTCGAAGCTTCGCCTCTCAGGAAAACTGAACTATGGCGTATCAACATCTTCGCTCTATGCATTTGGGTGTGCTACTACCGGTCATGCACCGTAGACCCTGGGCGCATTCCCAAGGACTGGAAGCCCCTAGATAGTAAGCAACTGGAAGCCGACCATTCCAGTGGCCGACAGAGATGGTGTCGTAGATGTGAAACTTTCAAACCACCGCGAGCGCATCACTGCAAGACATGTAGAAGGTCAGCTTACTGGGATTACAGGTAACTCATTATACTGACTCGAAGTTCTAGGTGCATTCCCAAAATGGACCACCATTGCCCTTGGACGTCGAATTGCGTCTCGCATTTCACATTCCCTCATTTTGTACGGTTCCTCTTCTATGCAGTGACGGGAATGAGTTACCTCGAGACATTACTCTTTGAAAGAGCGTCCATTGTTTGGGCTTCGAGGAAGTTACCAAGTGTAAGAAAACAGACCGTCCAGGCTGCGATCCGTGAACTAATGATGCTAAAGTACCTGGGCCCAAGTGTAATGCAGCTGGCACATCTCTTCATTCTTCTTGTATTGAACAGTTTGACGGTCTTTGTGTTGCTCATTCTTTTGGTTCGGACACTGTATAGCTTGGGTTCGAATACAACTACGATCGAATCGTGGGAGATCGAGAGACATGAAACGTTAGTCCGACGAGCACGGCATTTTGGTGGCTACCTGGAAGGACCAGGTGGCACCAGCGTGCGTATAAGGAAACAGGAATTTCCATATGATATTGGAATCTGGGCGAATATCAAAGCTGGAATGGGCGATAGTGGAAATGTCAGTCTACTATGAACTTCCTTCGACCTCCCTCAGATTGATATCTAACATCACTGTATACAGGTCATCAGCTGGTTTTGGCCACTTGCAAGAACACCTGACCGCACAACCGGGCTACAGTACGAGGTGAATGACTTTGAAGGTTGATATTCTCATGATTTCTGTCTCATTTTTAGGCTCGAGTCTAATGTAGAGCAGAACCAGATGTTTCGTGGCCCCCTCCAGATCCAGACCGAATCCCAATACGCTCGGGACGGTACAGGCCTAACGAAATACCCATTGGATCCGGTAGTTTTGGACGCGATGAAATCGAGGCCTTCAAACGTCGAAAAGCGGAAGACTTGAAACGCCCAAGGTTTAACTCTGGAATCCAACGCCGAAAACGTTTCCATAATCGGTTTGGCAAGGATCTGAACGATGTTGATCCATTCCATCAGATAGAGAGAGCTGGGGATGATGACCATGATGATGGCGAAGAAGCCTGGAAAAATGCTGACGGAGAACGGTTACGTGATTTTGGCGTGGACGAAGACATCGAGTTCTATGACGAAGAGGATATTCCATTGGGCATTCTACTGCGACAACGGGCCCAAAGGCATCACTGAGCAACTAACATAGATTGATTATTTATATACGGCGCAAAAGAAGTATACACAGAAAGTGGAATTTCCGCGTCATTATGGTTTTTTAGCGATTCCCCTTAGCCGCACATATCCTAGCCATTGGCTACCGTCCTCATGTCGCGTTACTACAGTCTGAAGGACCTCACATACCTGCTGGACTACTGCCTCACGTTTTTCAGCAGGAAGGACATCCAGGAATGGAGCACCCATAAGTCTGACCCAGCCTGCCAGTCCTCCATTTGCTGCATCGGTAAGCTTTGTTGGTCGATATTCAGTCTCCATCTTTTCCACTTTGAAGCCTATCTCTTGCAATTCATTGGTCATCCATGAGACTGATGGGAAGAACCATGGAGATGTTTTCCTTGCTTTTTCGATTGGGATGCCTTGTTGCACAAGCGCAAAGATAAGTGCAGTGTGCACCTCAGAGACATTTCCATGTCCGCCCATCTCAAACACATATGTTCCACCCTGCTTGAGACAGGCGTATATGGCTTTGAGGGTAGACATGCGTGTGGATTCATTCCGGAGAATCCAATGCAACGCCGCATTCGAGATCCTATAGGAGCGAGATACATGTATTAGTAGTGAATTTTTAAGTTCAGATTTCAATTCTTACACTTTATCCCAGGTTCCGTTGACAATGGACGATTCTCTGTCCAAGTAACAGCAGTCCACCACACGGAACTCCGCCTTTGGGCCGCCATAGTCTTTTGTTGCAGATTCAATCATGGCGGGGGACGAGTCCACGCCTAGTACAGTCTCCACCGCAGGGATAAATGCCTCTGTGAACTTTCCATCACCGCAGCCTACATCCAGGATCTTATCTGTAGGCTGAGGGTCCAGAAACTGTAGGAGTGTTTGAGCCAACTTAGGCACAAACGATGCGGAGGTCGAATACGCCTATCATTACTTAGCACGACGTCAATCTACGTTCTGCAACAATGAGATACCTCAGCGGACCAATGATCTTTCGGTTGGGTCATTGTCAGACAAGAGTAAGAGATAAGCAGTGAATAATCGAGTCTAGAAACTCAGATACGATGAAATATTATTCTTTATTCCTGTCCAGGAAGACTTATATATACCTTTCCTGAGTAGATGCTGATGTAACTAAGTAGTGGTCTGGGAGGGCCGATGTCGGAGCCAGTGTGGAATTCAGCAACAAAGAGTTGCCAATAGCGAGTCGCAGGATTGGATTAATAGCTTAACAACGCTTCGCTGCAAACATAGTTACCAGTAGCTAGTCGGGCGAGTCCGCCACGTATTTTATTTAAGATCTGTTAAATTTTTTTCTAGCCTATAGTGCAGTGTTATTATACAACTAACTGTATTTAAAGTTCTCTCTTTGCAATACAGAGGTGGCCGACTCGCCCGACTAGCTTACCAGTTACGTTTACCTTTACGATCGTATAGAACTAATTAACCAGCCAAAACCAGCCAAAGCTAGCCAGAGATCTAGTTTCTAGTAGAAGCTTGACAGCCCAATCAATGAATATAACAAACTCTACAACCCAAAGAATCCATCACGGAGAGCCACCGTATAACTCAAAGACCCTTAAACTCAACCCAAGTCTTCATCTTCTCCCTAACATGGTCCCCATACACAACCGCATCCTCCTTCCCATCTACATCCCTCACAATACATTTCTCCCCGGGTTCAAAGAAAAACGGGACACTGAAACGGCCTATCCCTCCACCCTCATTCTTTGATGTAGCTTCCGGCCTCCTCACCCGATGCATGGTCGCTACGAATCTTCCCCCGGATACTTTCGCCATGAGGTCGCCGATGTTCACGACGATGGAGTCAGGGATATACGGGGCGGGGACCCATCTTCCTGAGGAATCACGGACCTCGAGACCGCCGGTACTATCTTGGTGAAGTAGGGTTAAGATACCGGAGTCGGTGTGTGGTGTGCAGCTGAGTTTTACGTCCGAGATTGATTGGGAGGAGCATCCAAGCACGGAGTCCAGCTTGGATGATTGATTTGGTTCTTTCTGTGGGTCTGCAACAGTCGAGTGTGTTTCGGGTTGCGTGCCGTCGCCATCGTCGTCATTCACTGATGGAGGAATGGGATAATGTAGTAAGCGAAGCGTACTTAACGACGCGACCAGGTAATCAGTAAAATAATCCTCCGATTTACCCAACGACACAGCAAGCAGCGACAAAAGCCGAGACGATAGACTTTGCAGTTCCGAGTAGAGCTGTTCTAGACTCGAACGGCCTGTGAAACTCCCAGCGTCGGGCCAGATATTCGGCTCTGCAAGGTTGATTTTCACATCCGGACCGGGAACAACATTGAGAAGATGCGGAGGACCGATCTCCAAACCTTCTTTGAGATTGTCTGTGGCAACGTCTGGCTGCGTGGGGAAGTATCTACCTATTATGAGTAAATCCAGTCTTTATGACGTGGTTACATGGACGAATTTTTAACAAAGGTGGGGGGGGAACTACCCGCGATATGTATTTGAATTGTCTTTGTTGAAGCTCCGCTTCGCAATACTCATTTTGGTTTCCGTGGGAAGGGAGAAAAACTCCCTGGCCATGGAAAAGACCTCATCTGGGGTGAAACTCAGTGGAGAGTTTACAAGGTATGCGAAACCGGTGGTTGCGAAGACATGGTAGAGACGGTGGCTTAGGTCATGGAGGGATTGCGCGCCCAGAGAGGACTTGGTTTGAAGCGGGGAAAGGTCGACAATGGGCAGCGAGGAGAATGTAGTTGACATGCTGTATTTCTTTAATATCAAATATAGGTAGGAGGGTTGTATATATATAGTAGTTACTAATAATACCAATAATAATAATAATAATATAAATATACTGTGAAGCAATGTGCCTCTTTTAATTCCACATTCTAAATCTAGGAGCAGGATCAAATGATGCGGGGAATGACAATTTCAGTAAATGCTCGTCTGACACTGCATCAACTTTCCTCTCTGGTGGATTCGGTCCGGTGGATCGGCATGGTTCTGACTGGACTAGCATTTTGGATAATATAATAAAAGATTGAGATAAACTATATCCTGTATCCCTGAGATCAGAGGACTACAGATGATAATTATTTCCACATTGTCAGACTATTGCCACACTTCTATTGTACCCAGTTTGGTATAAAATATTCTAAAATGGAAATACTATGAGTAAAATCACGTAATACATGCACAGCATTAGACAGTGTAGGATGTGGCAATAGCCCCACTGCTGTGGTAGCTGTAGTTGCCAACAAATAAAGAGAAATCAACTGCACAGCTAATCGTGTATGTATTGCTGAATATATAATGGCGATGCATTGTTGTAGGATTATCATGTACCAGACTCAATAGTCCTCTTATAATATGGAGATTATATTTGCAATATTGCAATCAAAATATCACTAGGAGAAATTCTTGGGTATATCGCAGACTATAAAAGAAATTGAACCCAGCCAAAGTAAATCGAGGAGTATAACGGTAAAGAAGCAAGCACATCCGAAGCATACGAAGCTACCTGATGGTTCTGTGATATATCACTGGTACTGTTATTACGGAATACTTCAACATGTATGTACCCCGCTGATGTTTATTTCTAGTAGGAGTTGTAAAAAAAGCAGGAGGAAGTGATGAGATTATCTCCTTGTCACTGTCTGGGGACAATATCGATCTTGGGATAGTCTTTTCAACGAATTATTTCGCCAGCCAGGATGATATCTCCATTGAAGCTCCAAACGGCGTCTTAAGAATATACGACGATACTAAGACAGACTTGGGAAATATTGCTCGGGTAGGGTGCCGATGGATAATACCAAGTACTAACATTAGCAAGCTGATTTATATACCATGTTAGCATCACTTTTGCTCTAAGTGTGGGAGGTAGGTTTTGTGTGTGGTCTAAAAGAAGAGCATCAGGGAGAGAGGGCATGAATAATAAGTGGACAAGCTAGGATGTCCGAGCGCAGCCGATCGGATTCTCGGAGACAAGCATCGATTGCGCCATCGCGTTGGCGTTATGACAGGTCGTTGATTGGCCCTGGGGACGTCAAGCAAGGCAGTAAGGAATTAGGGCAGCCTTATAGAGTATATATAAGTTTATATACATGGTTCAATAGATAGCATCAATGTAGCATTGTCTTCTTGACATCGAAAACCTCGAAGCAATCCCCGCGGGGAGCTATGACACATCGATTACTTTTGTTCGCTGGCGGCGGGACCCCCGACCAGTCGCCAGTCGCCGACTCGCTGCAACCAGACAAACCGAAGTCCCTCACAATGGCGTCTGCCTTAGGTATTCATTTTGTTCCCGCACTAGATCATCTCTATCATCCATCTCTACGGTCGCAAATGAGGCCTGAGTATCGATGTCTTTCTCCTTAGAAAATGGTCGACCGGTCTGATCCTCCTGCTCAATCTGTCGCTGCCAATTCAACCTCATGTTTCCAGTCGGACGATCCTCGGAGTTTCCCGGAGACGAGTCGCCGCGATTTCTACCAAGAGCCCCAACGAGAAGCACTGGAACTGCATGAGATTGAAACCCACGAAGACAGGACCTCGTCCGCTTCCATTTCTTCCGGGGAGTATCGAGTGAGCACGCATCGGACGGGGTCTAGTGCCAGTCAGCGCACGGTGCAGAGTCGCGCGCCACGCAAGGGGTTCGCAGGGAGGATTGAGCGATTCTGGACCCGCAATGTGGTCCTCACGGTGCCCCAGAAGAGCAACAGAGATCATTTTGGTAAGTCTGTATTTTGCCGTATTATTCTTTGCTGGGGGGGGGGTGGTGCTTGGATCGCCAGCACACCGTCTTTGGGATTGTTTTATCTCCATCTTATTGAGTGTCCCGATTCCAACTCCCATCTCCCATCAATAGCATCTCTGATTATGATGTCTACACAGCACTTGAGCGAACGTTCTTAGCGTATATCCGTACATCTGTTATCCTAGCGATGCAGGGCGTCCTGGTTGCACAACTTTTCCGCCTGCAACATCTCTTATCACCAAATACCAATCTAGGATACTACAAGGTGGGCGTTCCACTGTCGGTGGCATGTCACTGCGTTGCGATCGTTGTCGCTCTGATGGGAGCACATCGTTTCTGGAAGCAACAGAATGCTATCGCTCTGGGGACTGTATACAGCGGTGGATGGGAGTTGAATTGTATAGGGGTTTTGATAGGACTGGTACGTTTTTCTTTTTGGTTTGGACCATTTCAGTTTAAGATATATTGAGGACTGATAGTACTAGGTTATTCTAGTGACTTTTATCTTGTCGATTATTATTACAGTGAATATCGAGTCGAATGAGCCATGAGGATAACACACACAGTTGGATATATCATGAATCTCTGTACATATAATGTGCACATAATTAACTAACCTAATGAAGGCGCTTAACTGCTTTTCAAGGACCTCGTGATCGGACTCAGGAGCCGTACAGTCGTCGTGTCTTGTGAAGAGCGATAGAATGGACTAGGATATAAGGAAGATAGCTTAGATCAGTGTCAACGGGCAGTCGAGGATATTTCCTGTACCCAGTAGCCGATTTGGGACTAGCGAATCGAGATTACAAGGACATTGCAGGGACATATTGTATACGTGAACCCACGTGGACTACGTTACCCATTATGTTGTGGAACCGTTTATTTATGGGCGGTATTGTTTGGAGAACTACTCCATTTGATATCACTTATATTCTGCATATAGAAACATTAGTCAACGGAGCATAGTGAGTGTCTACAACTGTGGCACAAGCCACACAGCCAATGGGTCTATGATCTGCCACACATGAACATCCAGACGACTTTGATCAGAATGTTCATGATATTGGTGGACAGTATATTAACGTCCACTCCAGTTGTATACTGAGCTCACACGGTCGGACCTTTCGATAGAATCCCTTGTCAAATATCTAATCTATGGCTGGACACGGAATCGTGATTCCCTAGGTACATTTATATCCCCTGAGGCCTTGCAAAATTTCTAAAGCACTGCCTGGTCTAATCTATAACCTACCCGCCCACCAAAGTACCCTATATTAATCTAGATAGGTCGACTTTTAAACATCAAAAAAGGCGAAAACAAAGGCGTCCCATCCCGAAACAGGGCAAGAAGCATCGGATTAAGCCAGACCGGAGACACCCACAGGAGAAACGCACAGACCCAAATGTACCCTGCTACACGCTGCATAATTGGGCTCACCTTCTTCACATGATCACGGAACACGGATTGAAACGCATTCTCAACAAGAATGCCCACAGCCTGGAGAAAAAAGAACCGCAGGGCACCGCTGTCGTCCAGCGATATCCCGAACGCCACGTCCATACCGGTATGAAAGAGCCCGGAGAGGACGAAGGCAATGACCACCCGCGGATAGCGAGCCCACTTAGAGTCGCGGGGGATACGCAGCAGGGAGGACGTGATTACATCTGCGTTGGATGTTAGGAGCTCACGTAGGGTTTGATGCCATGCGGTTCTACGAGGGTTAGTACCGTTCTTGGGTAAAATATCTGGACGAGGACGACGTACCCCCATAATCGTCGTAACGAGTATGCCTCTGTCAGAGAGCTAGCAATCGGTGGCCATTCTACAGGATCATAGATGCGTCCAGCCACAGCCACGATAGCCATCAAGTTATACCCCGCGACAATAGTCGCTCTACAGACGACACCAAACGAGATGACGAAGCACATTTGGATAATAGCCCTACGAGTAGAAGCCGCATATACCCAAGGCAGAAGCACGGAGTCCCGATGGGCTAGCCCACCAATAGCACCAGGTAGATAGGGATCATTCGCATCGATAATAAAAAGCGACAGAAACACGACGGCGACGCATAATTTCATCACACAGACGAGGAGAAACTTCCCGCGCGTCGGGACATACCGGGGATTCGACTCGTCGAAACGAGGCAGTTTTGCGATCTGCCAGGGGGTGTTTATGCGACGGTAGTTGAACGCGATGGCGAAGGACCAGAGATGTCTGTTCGAGACGGTCCTTGGGCGATTGGTAGTGGAATGAGGTAGATGCGTATTTTGTTCCCATTGTATTTGGTCCTCATATGCGATACGTCTCCATACTAGCAAATCCATGGCATTTAAGACGTTCACCCAGCACATGGCTACCAAGGGACCTCCGGCTCTCGTATCACTCAGCGCCTCGTTGATTCGACATTGAAAAGAGTATGCCAGAGCCACGACGATGACTGCAGCTGCGGATCTCAGAGCTGATTGGGACGGCGTCAGAGCCACGGCTAATGCGGTGACGAGTTGCACGCAACCCCATTGAGTGATGGGGATAAGCCAGACATCCAACCCGGTAGCCATCAGGAATGTGAGGGTGGATGGGAAGGGGAAGAAAATCGTGTTTCGTAGGACACATCTGCTTGAGCTGTTAGTAATCTAGAATACTGCGCTCTGGCTCATGTGTTGATTGGTGGCAGCTGCAATACGAGCTGCGCTATTGGCGCTATTGGCGCTATTGAGGAGCTGGAATGTGGTTGGCCAGGAAGATGTGGATCATCTGTAGTGGATCATTATTCTTATACGTCATATCCTTATTTATTAGCTAGCCTGAAGATTATCCCCAAGATATTGTACAACTTCATAGGGAAATCCACATTGTGCAAATGCTGAAATAACGACCAACAGCCCAATATCAGCCTCAAGTAATACAGATAAAAGGAGAAAACCACGGTTCACTGCTCATCCCAAGGCATTTCATGACCATGGAATAGAACGTGATGACCTCATCTACGATAAATGAAACTCTAGAAAGCCTCGAAGGTTTCTACCAACCCTATAAGTAGAACGATCCGCTCTCTCTACTCAATCTAATTTTACTAATTTCCATACCACTACCCAATGATGAAGAAGCGTCCACCATGCCTAAGGATCTGGTCGGCATCTCTCCCTCCCTCACATCACAAGCAGACAAGCGTCCTCTGTGCTGATACGATCTAGACATTCAACGTCCACTACACGGACGAGTTCTCGCACAATTTCTACGGCGACGGGAAGAAACTCGCCGGCAAGTACGTCCTACCTACTGCACCATGAGATGAGAAGGCGAGGCTAATGGGACAAGTATGCGTGAGATCTACCATGATCAGAATATTGAGTTCCCGGATGATTTCGACTCGACGATGACAGTGCCGCCGGTTCATTTTATGCAGTATGTATTCTTATTATGGTCTTATCTGGGTGGGAGGAAGCTGATGATGTAGGGTTTCGGCATCGGATGATGTGGATGTAGAGAAGTTGAAGGCAGTTCATGTTCCTGCTGGATTGGATGTTGAGATTCATGAGTGGCATATGTGATGTAAAGTGTCATTATTATCTGAGACTGTATATGAGATGAATGTAGAGTTCGATGTATTAACATGTCATTAGTCTGAGTCAACTAGCATAGCTTCATTATAAGATCCATGTGCTCTAGATTGATAGCAATACCTATCGGATACAAAGATACTGAATCCATCATACGATAGATGCAACCTTGTAGATTATCCTAGATATGAGACTATCTAAGACATCAATCAAGTATAGCAATCAAGTATAATACTCCACAGCCTTAAAATCCTCTGCCTGAAGGTTGACGAGGTCGACTTATCGACTATAGGATATGAACCAATTGAGCCATAGCTCGATGTCATACTGCTCTATCAACTTGTCTATGATCAAGTATAGCTCTTGGTTAGACCCTGCACCTCACACAGAATGGTAATAGATATGCGCGGACTAGGTAGGCAGAACAATACTACAAACTCTTTATCTTAATAAGTTCATAATGCTGACCACCCCTACGGATGACCAGCTGATTTTCCAATAGATCAACCCAAAAATATGAAGGCCTTCACCTAACAATTGTCTAATATCGGACAGCTAGATACAAGGATCGCGAAAATATCAGGTATCTCTAGATCATGGAAAGCCCCAGGACGACGACCACAGAGAGACTGGAGGGCTTCTTGATACATGTCCGGTTGTTTCTGCCCAAGTGACAGCCGAGCCATAATGTAAACACACATTTAGGGATTCATTGATATATCTACAGTGATAGGCTGTATAGTCGTAGATAAATGGAAGTAGAATACGTAGCATTCCTGAATCTACACCAGCCATGTACGAGTAACGCGACCGAAAATCTACCTCTAGCCCGTGAGCTAAACAGGCTCTCAACCGGCTGTACACTTAGTATTCTTGAATTTATAGATGTAAGTCATGAGGTCATTGATTGTCCGACGAAGTACGTCATTCCGGAATATCCGTCTATATGATAAACAACCTCCCATTTCCCATGCAATTCAACACCAAGGTCAGAACGAGTAGAAAATCACAGAGACAAAATGGTTCATCTTTCGAAAGTTAGAAAAAGCACGCGACGTCATCCTCGCGCGAGCGCGGTCGTTTCCGACCCCTATGTATATGCCACGCGGTTCGCGGCAGAAGAGCTGCCGGAACATGAGATGGCAGAGAAGGAAATGCCGGCTCAAGTAGTGAAGCGCATGATTAAGGATGAATTGAGTTTAGATGGGAATCCTCTTCTGAAGTAGGCTTCACTACCTATAAACTATCCATTGGATGCTAACGGGCGCAGCCTAGCTAGTTTCGTTACCACCTACATGGTACGTAACTGACCGTCTAAAATATCTATAGCATCCTAATTATATATACATATGTATAGGAGGATGAAGTCCAGGAACTCATGACGGACGCGATGAGCAAAAACTTCATCGACTTCGAACAGTACCCACAGACAGCACATATCCAAAGCCGCTGCGTGAACATGATCGCAGGTCTACTGCACGCGCCGACGACCAACAGCGAGGACAACGACAACGAGCAGGACGCGATTGGCACGTCGACAGTGGGCTCCTCGGAGGCGATCATGCTGGGAATGCTGGCGATGAAGAAACGATGGCAGAGCCAACGCAAGGCACAGGGCAAAGACTCGACGCGGCCGAACATCGTGATGAATAGCGCGGTGCAGGTTTGCTGGGAGAAAGCGGCGCGGTATTTCGATGTCGAGGAGAAGTATGTCTATTGTACGGATACGCGATATGTGATTGATCCGCAGATGGCGGTGGATCTGGTGGATGAGAATACAATTGGTATATGTGCTATCCTGGGAACGACGTATACTGGACAGTATGAAGATGTCAAGGGGATCAATGATCTGCTGAAGGAGAGGAATATCGACTGTCCGATCCATGTCGATGCAGCCAGTGGGGGATTTGTCGCTCCGTTTGTCAATCCTGAGCTGGTTTGGGACTTTCAGCTGGAGAAGGTTGTGTCTATCAACATCTCGGGACATAAATATGGACTGGTAGGGTCTCTCCACGGTAGGGTAATTTCTTTCTAATGTCGACAGGTCTATCCCGGCGTCGGCTGGGTATTTTGGCGCGCACCGGAATATCTCCCGAAAGAGCTGATATTCAACATCAACTATCTAGGCGCTGACCAGGCCAGCTTCACCTTGAATTTCTCCAAGGGCGCGGCCCAAGTCATCGGGCAATACTACCAGTTGCTACGGCTGGGTCGAAACGGATACAGAAACATCATGATGAATCTCACGCACACCGCGGGTTACCTCGCGGAGGAACTTGAAAGGCTCGGCTTCATCATCATAAGCGAAAGTGGAGGCAAGGGTCTCCCTCTGGTTGCGTTTCGACTACCCCCCGATGAGACTCGACTGTTCGATGAGTTCGCTCTGGCTCATTCACTGCGTCAGCGAGGATGGGTGATTCCGGCCTACACGATGGCGCCGCATAGCAACCAGCTGAAGATGATGCGAGTCGTGCTGCGAGAGGACTTCAGTATGCATCGATGTAATCTGTTGGTTGAAGATTTTAAAATGGCGCTGCAGAAACTCGAAGCCATGGATAAGAAAATGGTGGACAAGATTAGCACGTATGTTTATCCTTTGACTGGTTGCAGTATCAAGGTAAGACGATTAATATTATTGCAGATATATTAAGACACATGGGACCAAGATGCCCCATAATCCGTTGTACACAAATGAGAAGCACTCGCTGCAAGGGAAAACGGGAAAGTCGCATCCAGTGTGTTAAGGCATATGTATCTTCAATGATGTAGATGCCATTTACTGCGTAACTCGTGTGTTCGTCTATCAGTGCAGGACAGATCTTACGTACTCTATTCCTAGTTGGTATATTCGATGGCTCATGAATATCAGCGGACTTAGAATGTAGAAAGATGGAGAATACAATGGGACACGCACAGACTGCTGATTATTGCTTTCATGCGATGTTCGGACGATCTTCTGATATATCCGATTCAGGCCGTGACATCAGGATCGCTGGCAATAGTCTGGTTGACGGCACAGTAGCGGTAGGTAACCTTGCAGGCAATAATGTACGCCACGTCTATTAATGCTGGTACATAAACCTTCTATAGCATGTTTCATGGATAACGCAGTGTCCTACCGAAACGAGTTATAGGATGAATCATTTGCCTTGACCGCTCATAACGAATACTCTATACTCCGTACGGAAGAAAAAGTCAACTCAGTCGTCCATAGTTCGGCGTGGCGTACAGATCATATCCACAGTGATATTGATCAATCCGAATGGACGAACAGATTCGTATATCAAGCTGGTCTTCCCTTCCTGTATTTGAAATTCTTGAACCTAGTGTCTCGTCATGCGACTGTTGCCAGTACTGGCCCTACTAGGGCGCTGCCATGTGCAGGCCAAAGGAGTCTTTGCTCACTTCATGGTAAGCCTGCTACATCTCAACCCAGAATTTAATTAATAATACTTCTCAGCTCGGAATTAGCGACAAATACACGCCCGATGACTGGCGTCAGGACATCTCCGCCGCGAAAGCAGCGAAACTAGACGCATTCGCGCTGAACATCGGCTACAGCATGAACGCGCACCGGCTTCTAGACGACGCGTTCACCATCGCAGACGAAGTAGGATTCAAACTATTTCTATCCCTGGACTACTCAGGCGACGGCCACTGGCCGGCAGACAAAGTGATCAGCACACTACTGAGTTTCACAAACAAAACAGCATATTACAAACACCGCGATGACAAGCCATTAGTATCGACCTTCGAGGGCGCCCAAGCAGCAGGCGACTGGGACGACATCAGACGCAAAGTCGACTGTTTCCTAATTCCGGACTGGTCATCGTTAGAGCCAGGAGTGGCGCTATCTCGCGCCAACGTCGACGGGCTCATGAGCTGGAAGGCCTGGCCGGACGGAACGCAGGATCCCAGCATCACTGAGGACAGGAAATACATAGATGCTCTGGCAGACAAGCCGTATATCATGCCAATCTCGCCGTGGTTCTACACCAACATGGTACGGTATGATAAGAATTGGGTGTGGCGCGGCGACGACGTCTGGTACCAGCGGTGGCAGCAGGTTCTGGAGATCGATCCGGAATACGTGGAAATTATCTCGTGGAATGACTACGGCGAGTCGCATTACATTGGACCCGTGCACGAGCGGAGTCTCAATGTGTTTAGTTACAGCCGGGCGCCGTTCGACTATGCAAAGGACATGCCGCATGACGGATGGAGAGCTTTCCTTCCGTACGTGATTGAGCAGTTCAAGAGTGGACGTCGCAAGGACGTCACCATCGAGGAGGAGGGACTAGTGGTGTGGTACCGTGTCAATCCATCGTCTGCGTGCTCGGATGGAAAGACGATGGGGAATACGGCGTCGCAGTCGCAGAAAGAGATACCCCCTGGGGAGGTGTTAGAGGATAAGATCTTCTACTCGGCGTTGTTGGAGTCGCCGGCCGACGTCTCGGTGAGTATCGGCGGGACGAACAAAACCGCGACGTGGAGCAGCACGCCGGATAGAAAAAGGGGCATTTATCATGGGAATATCCCAACAGAGGGGAAAATGGGTGACGTGGTGGTGACTCTGTCACGGGAGAAGACGTTCCTGGCGCAGATGAAAGGACATGCCATTACGAATAAGTGTGAGAGCAACTTGACGAACTGGAATGCGTGGGTGGGAAATACAACCGCCACGGGGGAGATGTCCAAGTCGAAGTCGTCCTCGTCATCTTCATCTGACGACTCGTCGGCGATAAGCATTGGGGTGTCGGGATTGACGCCGATGGCGATACTCTGGGTATTGTTGAGTCTAGTATAAGTCATGACGAGTTGATAGTCCAATATCAGGCGTAATATCTAATGCCTCAGCTGGATTTGAATATGATCTACGGCATCTCGACCAAGCTGAGACTTATATGCTGAGACTTATCTGCGAATCAAAGGCCAGGAAAGCCATCAAATGTCTCTGCAGACATTGGCTGTCTAGAACCTCGGCGGATAGGCTACCTCGAATTGACAATCAACCCACGGTTCATCGGACAGGCTGATCTGGTTCGCCGAAGCCTTGCGAGGGTATTGGTCGATGAGATTTAAGTTTGCCGTGACAGCCTTTGAACTAGGCGATTGAGTGCAGATGAAGCCTGCGTCTGAATTCGGAAATTAGAGTAGATTCGAGGATGCTATTCCTGTCCAGGGGTTATACTCGGATAGCCGTCAATATAGTTTGCACATCAGAGATAAATATCCGACAGAGTCTATACAGGACTGATTCTACGTAGCTCCCACGCAGATGAACTGAATCCCGATGCCCCAATCTCCATTGTCGAGTCACGAAGCAGGATCCCAAGTCAATGACACCTTGAAAGTCAACATTTTCTTGCCACCCTCGATATTGTCCGGGACGAACCAGTCGGGAGAAGCGTCTGTGCCATCTAGATCTGTGCCGAACAGACTTCACCCACCGATTTCTCGGACCTAGCCGGGGCTGTGGCGATGACATGGACCAGTGACAGCGTGGTGGGTCGTGCAGAACCACATCTACTTGAGAAGCAGAACTGGTCTTGCACCAGGAGATATAAGACAGGACAGGAACTGACTTTGGATTTTCTTGACTCTGTAATTGATCACCGCAATCCAGGGCCTAATACTGGTACTGAAGTCATTGAACATTCAGAGACATAGAATATATATAGTCAGAATGCACGGGTCCATCGAAACGCTCTTTCCCACGCTCCTTCGTCAAACCTCACGAACTGCATTATCACGACGATCCTCCTCACCAATGCCCTGTCGAATGGCACTTCTCTCTCGCCAAAAACTCGACAAAGAAACCTCAACCAAAAGTCCTGATCTGCGTCGTTGTCTCGGCCATAACCGGATTCTCCGCCGGTCGATGGAAATCGCCCACGAAGACATGAAGAAAGCGATGATGACGATGCGAGTGGACGACGGCCCTCTCGATGCCAAGATGGAGACGCCGCCGATGTCCATCCTTCGAGACCAGATCGCCAGTGCGCTCAAAGCCGTCGTGCGACGTCGGATGCCGAGTGATCACGACGCAAAAGCAGTGGAGTTGACTCGTGTCGAGTCGAACGGTCCTCAGTCGGGGGAGGCGCCGTCGGTCAAGACAGCCTCGGTTTCTTCCAGATCACGCAGATATGCGGCGAAGTTCACGTTTGGGCGGAAGTGGGAGCCGTCTCCGGTTCAGTTGGTGACTTGATCTTCGATTTCCTGATGTTTCTGCAACTTGATGTTTTGTCTGGATGGAATGTATTCTTGAGCATGGCGTACGGTGTGGGTTATGACTGTATATATGCATTGTCTAGCGTTTGTTATCACAATCTTAGTCCATATCTATGACATATTGTTGGGTATAATCCATACTGTTTACCAGTAAAACTATAGGCTCGGGTGAGCGTAATGTGGTATATCGTAAAGAGAGGATTCCGACATATTATGGCATATCTTGGAACTCGCTATACCAGATAATTAAAGACCTATAATAAGATGCAAAGCCGATAAGAATCATATCCTATTCCAGCATTGACCATTAATAACCTGCGTACTTGCAAATCACTGCCTTGAGACTCCACATATCACTGACTCCGCATAACGTCGCTCAGTCATATCCAACGACTAAGCAACCGCTTAGTTGGTATCCCCTGCCAGACCTACTCCGTACTCCTGCCCTGATGAACGAGGTGAAAACGCTTGCATAAATAGGGTATGGATGACTATAGACATTAAACAACATCGCTTAACCAAGGAAAAAAAAAAACATAATAATAATACGAAAAGTTAAGATCAGCCCGTTATCGGCTTCAAACTCTGCGTCGGTCGCAACTCCCTCGACCGTCGCGTCTTGACGAAGATGATGGCAACGAGGACCACGAAGATGGGAATGATGCACGCGGTGGAGAAGGGCGAACGGGCATGGAATCGTTTTACCGGATCATCTCGGGAGAAGTAGATCTGGGGTTCGGAGAAGGGAGGCCTATCAATTCATCTTATCAGTATTTCCCCTCATATAATAAATAAATAAGCTGTGAACGTACTTGTATTCCAAGGAGGATTCCATCTGGCTGTCGTGACGAACATTGGCGCCGTAGTCTGGTTCCGGGGCGAGTTTGTGCTCTGGATTCGACTCCCGGAGCCAGCGTTCGTAATCCGTATTTGGACGGACGGTGGCGGGCATATTATGTATTGTATGTATTATTGTTTTTTAATTGACCGAAAGATATGGATATGGACGTAGGATGAACTAGTTTTCGGTGGAGGGTGGACAGACGCAGACGCCCGGGTGATGGGTCAGGATATAAATGAGAGAGGCATGACTGAGCCAACAAAAGGCTCCAAAAAAGGCCCCCAAAAAGGCAAAAAAAAAAAAAAAAAAAAAAAGAGGGGAACCTTGCTGCCTACACCATATTGAGCTTGATGAAAATAAACTGACACCAAGCTTTGTCCGGCAAGTTGGGGGTGTCTGACTGTAGACTGATGCCAACAACGCGGTGAAAGGATGCCTGCAGGAGCACTGAACTGTCTCAGACCAGGTCAGTCTCTCTGGCACCACAGTGGATCATGCCCAGCCAGTAATAAATAGCATTTTGTCGGACTTGGGGCTAGAGCGATCGGGGATTGCTGCAGGCAGAATAGTTCTGGACCGTGGATAGGGTCCTGGGGACGGACCCTAATTCTCTCATCCAGAGTCTGTTTCGGGTTAGAGGAAGATAGTCATCTCGTTCCTCATTTCTACTCCCTTCGTACTCGGTGTTAATCCCAAGCGGCAGGCTGTCATCGGCGATTGGTTGCGATCACGCAGTTCGACATGTGGCTGACAGTCACCACCAGATCATGAAATGATGATTTCGTGGTTGTCCTTTCCCGCGGAAACCGAGTAATTAATCTGATGCGATCATCATGAGCCATGGCGATCCGGAGGCCCAATACGGAGTACCCTGTCAAGATCGACCCAGCTGAACCCTTTGATCCGAACCGTGAGATGCAGTGGAGAGATCACACGTGGCTAATTATAGATAGTATTCCCGACGGCCCTACAAGTGCGCAAATTTATTGAGTGAATATGATGGTATAACCGACTGCTGTATAGGCTCTATATGTGCTTATAGTCAATGCTTAGTGTCTCCATCGAATGAAATGCTCGCTTACAGTAGCATTTCTTGCTGCGACAAGGATCTCTGATATTCGAATGCGGTCTGGACCGGTTTATACTGAGCCATGCTGGCTATTGGCTAGGTTTTAGACATTCGTGTTCCTGTTAGATAAGATGTTGTGCTTCCGTGTCTGCAGTCAATTTTTGAATCATGTGCCATCAATTTCACGCTTAAAATTAACCGTATTATACTATCCATGCATGTGTAAGTCTTATTATAAATATATTCCGTATCAAGCTCTACTGCCATAATTTAACCCAATGTTGGATTAGGACTCTCCATGAATGGCTACACTTTATTTTGTGATTTAAATCAAGACCAACAATATCATGCACTTGCTCGTCTTATGTTGCTCTCAAGAATAGACTTAGACAAGAACAACCATCTGCCATACAGCCATACATGTCCTTATGGTTGTAGTTAACTATGATTAGAATTCGTATTAAATGCACCTCTACTCCCCACATAGTGTGTTTGTTACATTGGACATCCTCATCACCCAGTTTTCATACTCATAAATCACCCACCGACCATGTACCAGATTTATTCTCTAACAAATGTAGACAGGTGTCAGAGTAGGCAAATATAATATTACTACATCCAAATTGTAACAGCGCTACTTTTTGTGGTGTAGTGGGATATCTGACAACTGGCTCGATGAAAAGCGCTCGCTTAGATTACCAAGTAGTGTTGACCATCCTTGCACTGCCTGCCACTATCGTAACTTCTAGACTAAATCCGACCAGCCAAGCCCGTATAGCATCCTATCTACGGCTCGTGGCTGTTTCACGGTCCAGGGAGTTTTGTGGACTGGGTTGGTGTTGATTTTGGCTTTTTTTGCCGAGTATTTTCCGGAGCTTTCGCGGCCTCTTGGCGAGGGTTTCAACCTGAGTCTAGCGGCGCTACGGATACAAAAATAAAATATCGGACAGGACAAGATATATTTCTCTCTATTCTATATTTACAGGTCTAATGAATGGATTGTAAGACACGGTTGTTAAAGAGAAGTAGGGTTGTTTTGTATTGCTTGGTATGCTTGTGTATTGCTTGGGTACGGAGTCTACTCCGTGGTGTTGCTAGGATTTGGGACCAGCCAAACGCAGACGCTAGGATACGGAGTACGAAGTGTCCTATTCATCACACGCCATGTTGTCATTGATTGATAGATCAGCAAGCTGGAAAGAATTGCCGGTTCCACTGTAGGCAGCGGAATTCCTTGTTGTGCTGTTGACTTTAGAACGTCAGTTGCTTAGCTTGGCAGCTAATGCTATTAGTACTATTGCCATTTTATTTTTATCAAGTCCACCCCACCTGCTCATCACCTGTAGAGACGATTTTTATGGGTCTAAATTCTACAGGGGTTCATTAAACTTGGTAGGTCATGTTAAGCGCGCTTCACCTGACCATATCAAGCAGACAAAGATGCATCATCATCATCATCGTCATCATCACCCATCAGACATGAACAAACTTGATATTCATACATACACAATACTAACTGGATACTGCTTACGACTACCAGACTACCAGACTGATATAAGGCCGCTCCACTATCTCGCCCGAATGTGTCTGCCTTTCTATCTATCATATTGAGCCGAATCGGTGGGGTGCGTGGCTTCGCGGATCTTTCCTTGTTCTCTGTCAGCCTTGTCCCTGTCAGCCTTGCTCATGAGACCGTTTGATCGAATCAGCGCCGCCGCCTTCCGCACTTGCGATTTCGTCTCCTGTCGATTTGATAGTTTGAGAGTCTCCTTTGAATCTCTCTCGGTTTCTCCATATTCAGCCTCTCTACCAGTGCGAAGCCATTCGATGTGATCAGAATATGACCAACATTGGCAATCCACAGATTATACCACGGGATGCTGTATAAGCAGTTGGGGTGCATGATAGAGACCCGTCACAATCTGATTATGGACTGGTAATAAAGAGACATTATACTTTGAATGGATTGGAATTAGGCAGTGAACTGGTTCTGGTTCAGGTCTAACTACCCTAGTTAGCTGTGCCTTATTGAATAGGATAGAGGTAGGTTTCGCATTGCATTTGATACTGGATTGTTATGGATATGATTGTCGTATTATTTACCTTCGGAATTAACTCTTGCTTTTGGACATACTGTCAACCTATCGAATCTCCAATTATCTCGACAAGGATAGCTGCGAAGAGTGGTGACCAGACTGGGAATGGTTCCGATATTCGGCGTGGGTGCATATCAGTCATGATCGCTTGTAATCAGCAGTGTTGCTAAAATGGAATAAATACCCTGGAACACAATGTTACGATACCAGATGGTCCCCTCCAAAGCCATTTTATAACAGCCATTCTTGAAATTGGATTGACCTTAGTTTATGGTAGGTAAGAATTTATCTCTTTGATTAGCGAGGGATTTAGAGTGGAGGCCAAAATAAACAATTCTATTCACCATAGAATTTATTTTTAACATTGATAAATCTGTACAATAGGTTATATAACTTTATCATCTAGCTTTTCCTATTATGGAGTTATACCAATATTACGCACATTTTTCTGTGGTAAGGGCAAGGAATATGCGCGGTGTATCTCAAGCATTCCACTCCCCATGCAAATTCTAGAAGTCTCGCAGACAATTCTTGTATAGTGGTAATAGAAAAATGAACTATCATCAGCTGCCAATCAATTGGGTTAGTCAAGATCTTCAATATCCTTAGTGGTTCGATAAGCCTTCGATACAGAAGTAGAGGATGAAAGTTAAGGGAGTTGCGCTGGATCAGGGATTGGAGCCTAACTGTTTGAAATAGATCGTCACCAGGGGCTGTGTTTGTTGGTAGGTGCAGCGTAGAGCTCGGCAGGAGAGGCTTATCAGCGAGGCTCTTCGCCGGGATTTAAAATCTGACGTAGATTTGACCGCGTCTGGATGGGTAGGTCCAAGGCACTTTTTCTGTAGTTGAACACAAGTTCCAAGTAAGCTCATAGCTTCCCTATGGCGATGTTGCTCTTCCAGTGCGGGCCAGATTCCACATGCTGGTTAGTGTATAGGGGTGCTCTGGCCTCAGTACCATCTTTAACATTTCTAATACCTGCTCCTCTAGCTCCTCAGCTTCCTTCCACAGTCTGTGATTCCAGTATATTGATGCGATGTCGGCCATGGTAAGTAGAATGTCTGGGCCATTTTTTCAAGACGTGAACTTTGCTCTCGTCACTTCCTCAAACAGTATATGCGCTTCGTCATATCTCCCGTCTGCATCAAGGCAGCTTGCCGTTCTAAGCGAGTTGTTCCCTCGTTTTCGCCTTGGGAGCTTTCCGCTCTGGAGCATAACAGCGCGTGTTATAAGTACACTTACCACAGCGCCCGAATTTTATGTTCAGTCAAAGGGAGAATCGTACACAAACTTTCATCTGTCTTTATAGGCCAGTCTTTGAGAACATTCTTACTTCTAAGCCAGTTTCTGGTCGCCAAATGAACAAGTCGATGCATATTAATACGTTGGCTATCAGCCGATTGTGCGATGAAAAAGTAGCTCTTTAAAATTCCAAGTGCATTATACTGCTCAATTCGCGAAGTACCTGGCGGTAGGAGGAAAAGTGGGATTCCCGAGAGTTAATACATGCTATCCTGACAGATATACTGTTGCCAGAGCGTTCGACTTGCGTATTTGCTGAGAGGAGATCATCTATGTTGCTGCTATAAGATTCTTGATTTCATCATACCGATAATCGTCCTCGAAATCCTGACTGAGTAGCTCTCCCGGTGTTTTTAAGCTCTTTATTAGCTGTATGGGCACATGCGTAAGAATAAAGCAAGTCCATACTAGAACATCGTGTCAAATAATCAAGCGAAGTAGCTGATCCCGACGAATGGGGGCCAACACACAACACAACATATCAACAACATAGAATATCGAAGCTCTCATCCAGTTTAAAGCGCACCTTCCGGGCTACCCCTATACCGTTACATGGTATTCCATCGAGCAACATTGATAATCACTCACATCTGACTAGAATATATTTCTCTGACGAAGTCGGGGGTTATAGACAAGAGTTTGAACTCCTTCTATAATAGAATACGAAGGACATCGAATCCATTACAATCTCTGCGATTCGCTCTCTGAATGACAATAAGCGAGATTAAGGTAGACATTCGAGAATGTATACCGTGTTTATCAGATCATGGCATGATATTACCCTTTAGGGATATTACTCTGTAGGACTTCTGACCTGCAAGACTGAGCACAGCCACGCTGACAGGGGCGATGTTGACAATCTGTGGGGACTAGTACAATTAGTATACTTGTATACTCGTACCAAAATTGACCACATATATCCTCTATGTACTCGGAAGTAAAAGAGAATAAATAGATATATGATTGAAACTATAAATATGAATAAGAATCAATGACCTAACATATAGATATATCGTGGTTTGATATATAATATGAGATAAATTAAAATATACATATCCTGTTTCACGATGATATTGACGGCCCCAGATCTGCATCTGATGGGGCTATTCAACGACCATATACCGACGAGGCTATGCAGCGACCATATATCGCGAGGCTATGCAACGGCTATATAGCACGATCCCACTCCCATCACTGCGGGATCAAGACCAGCTCAATCCAAAATGTCTAAAATGTCAGTCCTTCTCACGCTCCTTCTACCCACTGTGCTAGCCGCACCATGGAAAGTCCTCGATGACAACTTCCCCGATCCGTCAGTGATCCAAACCAAGGACGGATTCTACGCGTTCGGAACGACCGGCAACGGCGTGCACGCGCAGATCGCCCATTCGAAAGATTTCACCTCGTGGGAGAAGCTGTCTCACGATGCTCTACCGGGTCCGTTTCCGTCCTGGGTGAAGAGTGAATCTCCTTCGATCTGGGCTCCGGATGTAATCCAGCGGGTATGTACCATGTCTACCAAAGTGTACATACCAAATACATCAAGATACCCAGTTAATGATAATACAGAACGACGGAACTTTTGTCATGTACTTCTCTGCGATCGCCAAAGACGAAAGGAAACACTGCATCGGAGCAGCAACTTCATCCTCAGTCCGAGGACCGTATAAACCCGCACCGAACGCACTAGCCTGTCCAATAGACCAAGGCGGCGCTATCGATGCCGCGGGATTCAAAGACTCTGACGGGAGTTTCTACGTCGTGTACAAAATCGACGGAAACAGTCTGAACACTCACGGGGGAAAGAAGCATCCGACGCCGATCATGTTGCAGAAACTGCACTCGGACGCGTTGACACCATCCGGCAAGCCGGTGCAGCTCCTCGATCGGGACGATCGTGATGGACCGTTGGTTGAGGCGCCGAGCCTTGTTAAACATGGCGATACGTATCTGCTCTCGTTCTCGTCGAATATGTACAATACAAAGTGGTATGATGTGAGCTATGCGACAGCGAAGAAGGTGACGGGTCCGTATACGAAGTCGACGGCGCCGTTGCTCGAGTCGGGACATCAGAGTGACGTGGGCAAGTTGGTGGCTCCCGGGGGAGCGGACTTCCTGCCAGATGGAAAGAGGATTCTCTTCCATGCGTTTAATAATGGGGAGAATATGAAGAAAGGGAGGGGAGTATGGGCTGCTGATATATCTATTGATGGGGGACAAATTCATATCTAGTATTAGAGCTATCTATGAGGTTGGTAGGGTTTCTCAACAATATATCGTTTCCAGGTGTATGGCTTATGTCCACAGAGAGGACAGAACCGGAAGGTTTGAGAGCAATCCCCATGCCAGACATTCGTGCATTTCTTGCAGCGATATTGTGTCATTCTGCAACGCATCAACCAGCCATTCTCCATGACTCTGGCGAAGAGATCCGCACCAAACTCAGGCGATTCTCTCACCACGGCCACAAACTCTTTATTCTTCCACAGGGTGTAGATCCGATCTAGGGCCACACTGACCACGATATCTCGCAGTTCTTGATGTATTTTCGTTGTCATCGCGTAGACCCTCGTAATCACCGATGGAAGGGAGTTTAGACCTACGGGATACTTCATCCCCAAGTAGAACTTCTCCAACGCATGCTCCTTCACTTTCGGGACCAAGTATTTGTCACTGACTACGTACACGCTGGCGGCTAGGAGGTCATCACCTCTCATATAACCGATTCCGTACATGAACTGAAGCATAGCTTTGACAGCTTGGGGATCGTCTTCGTAGAGCTTGACCACGTTTTTGCGTGTTTCCTATAACATCAGTATATTTCCGAGAGTGAGGAGATGGACATACATTCCAGTCTCCATCGAAGAGTAGAGAAAAGTATTCTGAGTACGCGCAGACGAGCACCTTGTGGACGTAGAATTTTTGGTCCCCAGACAAGATGGTGAGATCTGAGAATCGGGGGTTGTTAAAGTACCTGCAATTAGACAGACATAGCATATCAGTCTCTATCAGTTCATATTATAAGTTGCTACTAACTCTTCCCTACCAGAGAAGGCCCCGGGGGATAATTTGCGTCGTTTACACGCAGTCATGTCTGTATGTTGATTAGGAGGATGTAGAACATGGTGTCTGTAATGCTTTATACATGTGCGTATATGGGGCGGAGAAGTCCGGATTATAAGCATACATTCAAACCATTTAATTTATACTGCTATAAACTACCAAACATAATGTAATCAAACCAACTCCTCCCACCTGCGAATAACGTTAGCCCTCTCCTCCGTCGAAGCAAGACACATCTCCTGATGACCCTGCTCGATCCTTGATCTGAGAATATCCTTAGTTTTAGTCCTGGAGAGCGACCTCCGGAGACTTTTATGCAGTCCGTCGAGAGGATATCCCGCCAATCCCCAGATTCCTACTCCGTTAGATAGATTTAAATTAGATATAATATAGACATACCAGCTGCAGGTTTCAATATCACCCCCCCCATCCCCTTACCCACACCCTTGACGAATCCTCCTAGCCCTCTCTGGAGACCCTGCGCAGGGTGGGTGATTAACCCGGTGATACCGTGATAAAAACCCGATGTGAATTCCTAGTCATTAGCACACTATAAACATAAACATAGATATAGATAATATACCTTCCCCGCAGCTCTCAGTCCACTCCTCATCCCCAGCACGCTAGGGATCTCCTGAACCGTCTGATCATGATACAATTTCGGGGCGTTATGAAACCCCTTGCTCAGACTGAGAGTCACATCGTGCGGGATACGAATCCCCACGTTGAGAAGATACTTCACCGCGTATCCGGTATGATATCTAGTTTCGAAGAGAATATGCTGCATAGAGGTCTTTTCGTTTTGAGTTGTGGTGCTTTCGCGTTCCATGGCCGTGCCGCTGCTATCCTCCTCTTTGTCTTCTGTGTTTATGCCAGTGCTGGTTGTCACATCCGGAGATGATTCGGCCGTGTCGTATGCGGTAGTGGATTCCGAGCTGCGCGCGGCCTGCCTTTCCGAGACGTTCTTGCAGCTCGGGAGGTCCAGATGGGAATGATTATGATGACGAGTAACCATGTCTCCGATATCGTTGGGTAGACCTGCGATGCCCGAGAGAAAGTCTGTGACGACGCCGTAGAGAATCTCCGCACCGGCGGTAAATGGACCGACGGGGTTTCTATTTGTGTCGTATTCTTTTGGGCGGTATCTACTCTAGTTAGCACTCACTATCACTCATCATGACAATAGGAAAGGATGGAGAGGAGAGGAGATACAAAACCAAATCCCTAGGCTGAACCACTCCCGTCTCGACTAACACCGACGCTGCAAACGCACTCAGTCTGATTTTCGACCGTCGAATGCGCCAGACAGCCGGTCTCTCCGGACACACAGCGCAACGCAGTCGACTGATATCTAGATGAGAATGGAAGCTCTTCACGGCGTCTCGCACGCCGTCCTCCTGTCTCATAGACTGACCGAGGGATTCTGCCTTCTGACGCGTTTCGTCGCGTAATGCATCGCGGATAGCGTCTGCCAGTTTCTTCGCCGTCAGCTGTTTATATGGCACCGGGGCTGGGCCGGCGCCGGCGCGCGCCACGATAGAGCCCCAGAAGGGCTGGTCGCCGAAGAAAGGAACGATAACGGTGGGACGACCCAGGAGAAGACCCGCGGCGGTGGTGCCTGCACCGCCGTGGTGGACGACGCACGAGACGTGCCGGAAGAGCCAGTCATGAGGCACTTTGTCGAGGAGGAGTATGTTGTCGTCATCCGGGGATATGTCGGCACCGAGGTTTCCCCATCCCTGCGAGACAAGAGCGCGTTGGCCGGTCTGACGAATGGCGTCAAAGACGATGCGTGTTAGTCGCGACGGATGGTCTACGACGATGGACCCGAAGCCGATGTACACGGGGGGGGAGGCCCGGCGCGCAGGAATGCAGCCAGGTCGTCTGGGGGTTCGTAGTCTGAGGCGAGCGGCAGGATACTGAAGCCGCAGACGTCGAGGTGATCAGCCCAGTCGGGGGGTTTGGGCAGCAACGAGGGTGACCAGAGGTAGGTGTAGGGGATGCGCAGTCGCGGAGCGATGCTGGGGGCGCGTAGGGCATCGAGAGGATCCAGTCCCAGCTGGCGTTTGCGGAATCGGTTGATCAGATCGCCCAGACCCTCCCAGATCAGGATCTCGACGATGGCATAGGAGGCAAAGTTGGCGGCAGAGGGCTTGGTAGAAGATGAGGACTGCAAATTGGCCAGCGGATGGGGAAACGACTGAGTGGCAGACCAGGGCATGGTGAACATGACGTTCAACGGGATGCCCAGTCGCTCTGCGCAGCTAAGATGCGCAAAACTAGGTGGATTGGCGATGATGGCGTCGGCGACGAACGGGCGATGCTGGCCGTCTGGCATAGGACTCCATGGATCATCGGGGACATGATGCAGTCCAGTGCCATCGCCCGTCTCGAAACACGAGCGCCAGCAGCCAGAGAAGATGTTATTCATGTCACGCCGACGTTTCCTGATGGCGCCGCTGCGGATGGTGTTCAGACCGGGCAGAAGGCTGGGGTTCTTCACCATAAAGGCCATCAATTCGGCTGGATCGCCACCGATATCGAAGAACTCGAGTCCTTCGCTGAGAATGGGCTCTCGAAAGGCCCCGTGGGTGGCCAGTCGCACGCGATGACCGCATTTTTGCAGCTGTAGCCCCAGAGCAATGAAGGGCTGCACATCGCCGCGTGAACCGACAACTTGCAGGACGAGGTTCAAATGAGGGATGTCCTGGATGCAGGGAGCAGCACAAGGCGATGGCTGGCGCACATCTAAGACGGTTTGCAGCCAGGGTTTGCGGAATGTGATGTCGACTCGACCGTCATCTGGACAGTTAGTGTATATCTATCTATGACGCGTGGATGTATACCGTTGACTGTGACCTTGCGAGGGATGTCCATTATTTACTGTATATGCATATATACATATATCTGTGCAATGTCTATGAATATACGAAATATGAACGATCGAATAGTCAAATATGAGGATGAATTAATTATACGATGCATGATGTCATGACCGAACCATGGTTGTGGATACAACTTAATTATTGACCTGCCTGATTAGATCATAAACTATATTATTTAGTTATTATCTACAGTTATGAATCAGTTATTATCTGAACAAAAGAAGTCCAGACTCACCGCATGTAGCAACTATCGATGCAAGGATGTATCCCTTGCTTCGTCCACCATTCACCATCCAGCGGTCAGGGAAATGGAATGTGCTGAGTTTGATCTATCATCTGGTTATAAACAACTCTTTTCTCTAGTGTTTGCATCCTCAGTTCTGCCTTTTTCATTCTACCCTCTCTCATTTCTTCCTATCTTTATATATTCTGTTAATCCCGTTATCATATTAGCCATATCCATCATGGGCGAATCTGCCTGTCGCAATACACACTCCTACACCGCCTTTCTGCTGGCTTCATGTCATCGTCTGGACGCCCTGCAGGCTGGCAAGGGGGTTCTGCTGGATGGTTCCTCGCTCGACGTGAGTGCCGTCTATGCCGTTGCTCAGTAAGCCTTCCTTCTATATCTAGACCGTGCAGACCATGCAGGCCATGTAGAATACTAACAATATAGGAATAATGTCTCTGCTTCCCTGAACCAACGTGTCCTGGGCCAGATGAACCGCAGCGTTCAGATCCTCGGCGAGAAACTGGCCCAGGGCGAGATCATCTACGGCGTGAACACCGGATTTGGCGGCAGTGCAGACACACGCACGAATGACTATCCCGCTCTGCAAAAGGCCCTGATCCAGCATCACAATGCCGCCGTGTTGTTGCCTAGCGACCGTGGCGGACCTGCTATTGACGGCCTGGCGTCGCATCGCATGCCCATTCCCGTCGTCAAGGCTGCCATGGTGACCCGTTGCAACTCGCTGCTGCGCGGCCATTCCGCCGTGCGTCCTGAGGTCGTTCAAAATATTCTCTCCCTGTTGGCGAACGGCATGACGCCCATTGTGCCACTACGCGGCAGCATCTCCGCCTCGGGCGATCTGACCCCCCTGGCGTATATCGCTGGCGCGGTAGAAGGGAATCCGGATATCTCCATGTACAAGGATAGTGATAGGTCGATTGTTCCTGCGGACGAGGCACTGCGCGAGATCGGTCTCACTCCGGTGGAGTACGGTCCTAAAGAAGGACTGGGTCTGTTGAACGGGACCGCGTTCAGCGCCGGGGCCGCCAGTCTGGTGCTGGTTGAAACGAACCAGCTACTGCTGCTCTCGCAGGTATTGACAGCTATGGGCACCGAAGCCCTACTGGGTACGCGTCACAATTACCATCCGTTCATCGCGGAGGCACGACCGCATCCAGGTCAGCGCGAAGCAGCGGCCAACATCTTCGGCTTCCTGGACGATTCGCAGCTGGCGACCACCGCTTGTCCCGGGGACGAGAACCACATTGCAGGTCTGGCGCAGGATCGGTACGCGTTACGCACCGCTAGTCAGTGGATCGGACCGCAGATGGAGAACTTGGCGTTGTCACTGCAGCAGGTGGAGATCGAGCTAAACTCGACGACGGATAATCCGTTGCTGGATCCGACGGAGCAGCGCATCCACCATGGGGGCAACTTTCAGGCTGTGGCGGTGACCTCGGCGATGGAGAAGACGCTGGGTGCGCTGCAGATGCTGGGGAAGATGTTCTTCGCACAGTGCTCAGAGATGATCAATCCGATGTTGAGTAATGGATTGCCGCCGAATCTCTGTCTCGATGATCCCAGTCTATCCTTTGCGTTCAAGGGTGTGGACATTAATATGGCCGCGTATCTGTCGGAACTGGGATATCTCAATCACCCTGTTAGTAACCACGTGCAGTCTGCGGAGATGCACAACCAGGCGCTGAACTCGCTGGCGTTCCTAACATGTCGTTATGCGGCCGACGCAGTCGAGGTGCTCTCGCTGATGGCTGCTACCTATCTGTACGTGTTGTGCCAGGCGCTGGATCTACGCGCCCTGCACCGCGAGTTCGAGAGCATCGCTCGTGCATCAATCGATCGTCTAACGGCGGAATCCTGCTCCACCGAGGAAGAGGTATCTATCGTACAGTCAGCGGTATGGGACGAGTTAATGGAGCACTGGGCGCGCACCTGCACGCAGGATCTGAGCGATCGCGCACGTCTGACCGCTAGCTACTCAGTCGGCACGATGCTGGCGCATAGCGACCCTACTGCAGTGGCTAAATGGCAGACCCGCGTGGCGGAGACCTTGCGAGAGAGCTACACCTCAGCGAGGGAGCTGTTCCTGACAGCGCCGACGACCAAGTCGTATCTGTGTCGCGCGTCGCGGAGGATGTACGAATTTGTGCGCGAGGAACTGCAGGTTCCGCTTCACCGGGGGATCGTGGACCACCCGACGTATGAGCCGAGAGAGGAGAAGAAGTGTATTGGGTCGAGGATTAGTGAGGTCTACGTTGCTCTACGGAGGGGGGATGCGAGGGGGGTGCTGGTAGGTTGTTGGTAATTACATATTTAACTTTAATTCACATTTAAATTGCTATAATATATGATATGAAACTAAATAGATATAGCGGTATATTGACATAAATGAGATTTAATGGTCGGAATTGTCACAGTGGTGCCGTCGGTCGTGCAGGCACAGCGCCAGATACCGTCGCCGAGGAGGGAGACACTATACAATTAGTTTTTCTTCTGATTTTCTGACTAGGTGGACGTACGTTGGCTTGCAGATGTATTTTTTTATCGTGGTGAATGTAGTGTGAGGGAAGGTAACGGTGATGATTGTTATGGGTGATGTCGTATATATAGTCGAAGTAGTAGGTGTAGATATAGTAGCAGATGTAGATGTAGTCGATATAGATGTGGTAGATATAGCAGATGTAGGGGTAGGGGTAGGAGTAGAGATAGAGGTAGAAGAGGAGGGGGAGAGAGTCTCCATCTTTAAGAGTATCGACTGCTGCATTTCAAGCCAATTGTGCTGTCCATCCCAGTCCCAGTAATGATATACCGGTGTCTCTTCTGGACTTGAGCTGGAACTGGAACTAGGACTGGATGTTGTTGAGCTGGTGGAATTGATAGAACTTGACTCAGTGGTTCTGGTACTTGATCTTGTGGATTTCTCATTCTCCCCAGCTTCTGGATTAGGATGAGGATGAGGCCCAGGACCAGGTTTTGGATGAGGGTCAGGATGAGGTTTAGGAATAGGACCAGAAAGAGGAATAGGTACAGGTCCGTGAAATGGAGGCCCTCCTGGCGAAGGGATAAATCCCACCGGAACAGGTACAAACCCACAGCACAATCCCCAGGACGCACCAAGATCGGATTTAGTACAAAACGTCGGGATAGTGCAGCCACTGGGGTTGCACACCTCACCGTGGCATTTCCATACACCTGTTGGCTGGCGGTCCACCTCCGTGGTGGTCGCTGTGTAGGTGACCTGCGTGGTTGTGTCCGCGTTGGTGATGGGGATTATCTGAGAAGTTAGTAGATTTCAAGTATTGTACATTAAAGGAGAAGTACCGTGAGCGCATTTAATGAGGAAGTCGAAGATTGTGATATAGACAATGCTGGCGTTAAGAATATTGACGATGGAATTGATAGAGGTGATGTAGACGAGACAGAAAAAGTCTTTCCATTTAGCGAACTCAAGGTTTGAGTGTGCGACATGGATGAAACTGGCACAGCACTCGTAGAACTGGTCGAGGATTTCGAAGGCATACTCAATGGCACCAATGGCACCGATTGCGATCCTCCAGGCGGCCAGCTCCGGGACAGTTTACGAGAATGGATAGAATGGGTAGGAGACTGGACGGGAGACTTGATAGGAGACTGCATAGGAGAACGGGTAGGTGAATGTCTGGGGAATCGACTCGGAGACTGGATAGGAGACAGTCCTTGCGAATGAACAGGTGAGGGCTTGACCTTGAGTACAGTGCCCTTCTTCAGATAAGTCCTCTCAAATAGAGCTTGATGAGGCTCTGGTTGAGGCTGATTTTGTTGATTCTCTAGCAGTGGGCTGATTGATCCATCTTTGTTTGGACAAACAGCTGGCCGGTTATTGTTAGGGCTGACCATCCTAGCTCCTAGGAAAGTTAGTATGTTCGATATATTAGCAGAAGAACCCACCTAAAGCAAAATAGGCATAATTGTCTGCATTATTGATCCCTTTCTCATGGTCCCTAGCGAGCTTCACGCAGCGTTTCCACCCTAACATTGTTAGCCTTTGCATTCTACGCTCAAGCTAGGCCTACCATAGCTGAAATATCCGGAGGTATCCGAAGTTGGAAGCTCGCCAATGGCATGTGTGAGCTCATGTAACAGTGTATGATCGAACAGAGCAGCAGCATCCATCTCGGTGTGCAGCAAAGACGTGCTGTATATTTTATGCAGTGGCCACGCCAATAACGACCTGGATCCCAGGTCCCGCTGTCTAGGTCAGTTACGTCTAGTATACCTGTGGGTATAGACTCTTACATACCCAGTACCTTCTCTCCGATGTCGACATGAACTTTAAATACCAGGCACATAGATCTACTTGCCCAAAGTTGCTAGGGCCGTTTGAGGTAGTCACGGCCTGGACAGTTAGCCATGAATTAACTATAGAGATTATTTGGACTCCCCACCATGACTGGAATGTATCCAGAGGTCGACTTGCACCACTTATACGCTGAGGACATAATAACATCCTCGCTAGTGTCCTTATCACAGGCACGGTTTTTGTCATCGTTGCCATTGCAACGCTTGCCTTCGATATAGCGAGAGTAATCGCAGTAGATGACTACGTCATCTTCTTGTTTCACTTCCTGCGACGGCGCGAATTTAAGGACTACGATTGATATATGCCCAATCTCTTTGGTTAATCCGTCTTTGTCCGTTGACAGTCTCAATGGCAAATCCAAACATGTACTCAAATAGATCCATCTGAGCCTGGTTGTAGGTATTATCTCTCAGGGCCTGCAGAGTGTCCGTTGCTGCCTGTGCTAGATCTATGGCGCTGGTCATCCCCTGGCGAATTATATCTCCATACCCTATTAGCATGTCAATATTTCTATGGCAAAGTCGATATGGTGCGCACAGTAACAGACCTAGGTCTTGACAGGGTCTGTCTAGATGCCATGCACCAACCTGGGAAACAAGAGCGATTGTATGGATTATGCTTATCAAACCGGACTGCATTTCTGGTATTGTAGAAAATAGGACAAGGAATGGCTTGAGGGAAGATAGACGATGGTTGTGTCTACAAGACTAGTGGCCATCTTTATACCTCATCCAGACAACTATAATTAACTTCTAATTTCCCGGCCTCACAGGCCTGCTTCACGAATACATTTCTATGCAGCTAGTAGAACGCTTGTTAACCTTTCAGGATGAAGTAGTAACCGCTGTTGTCAGCTCACAAAGTAAATTATAGCCACGTCGTTCGGTTCCATTGTGTCGGTAGCGCTGTGGTGCCATGGATAGAGGATCGTGGACGTGTACATTATTAGACCGATGTATTTCCAAGGTTACGCTCGCCGGTTCGGATATAGTGGACTACTGTGCTTATATAGTACGTATGTGTTGAAAGAGCACTATTTAACTATGACTGTTTACACATTCATTAAAGTCCTCTTGATATAGCCAACTTGGATAAGTAGGTGAATGTTGCAAAGTAAATTGGCCCTCTTTGGTCCTAATGCTGTATGCTAGAATCACATGGGTTACAATAGCTAGAATGACATGATGCATTGTCCGATGTCTTGGTCTAGTCTCAGTATCGTACTTACCTGCTAGCGCCCAAAATCTCCAATCTCAGCTACTTAAGCGCCAGACTGCAGCGATTCTTGCGGTCAGACTTATCCAGGTTTATGGAACGAGAATAGGCCAGGATCTGACCGCAAGTATGGGTGAGAAAAGCTTCTCGAGTTGGGCTCCCAAATGTTTCGTTTTGGTTTCTTTGTTATATACTGGAGGCTAAATATACGACCTATTAATTCTCTTGATTGGATATCGACTCGTCTCTAAGCGCCGGCGACATGTTTCCGCCCCTCCAAGCCTCCAAACAGATCCTACGCCGCAATTGCTCCTAGTATCCGTCGCATCCCACGTCCTGCGTTCAGGGTTGCTTTCACGATTCCCATTTCTCTTTCCTCCTATTTAGGGCCCATGTTTGACTCATGTGCTTTTGCTGTTGCAAAACTCTTTTTACAACATCTTTGATTTTTCTGCATCTAGGCATACTCAGCTACTATCACGTGTTCAGCCATGCGTATCCCCTCTACCATAGGCGGAATGATTCTCGGGCAATACCTAAATTCAAAGAGTAGCGCTAGAACAATCACCAAAAAGCGAAAGCAATACTCTCCGAAACCGCTGCCGGAGACGCGCCCCCGAAGGCTGAGTGCTTCGTCCGACAGCAACGAAGACAAGTCTTTGATTCCGATTGAACATGAGAGTGAAAAGAAGTCGCCCAAAAGCCAATACTTTTGCAAACAAGAGCAATCTAACCTGCTAACCTCTCTCCCGATTGAGATTCGCATGAAGATATGGGAATATGTTGTCATCTTGGAAGACTTCCATGTCGTTCGAGGCCAAGGGCGGCTATTCACCATCCTCTGCTTGGGGGATAAGATGAGAGATCGGTTGACACCCTGTCAACATAAATGCTGGGGTAGCTCTAGCAAGCCTTTCGGGTGGTACTACGGAGTCGCTCCGTCATGGTCCATTGATACGCGGGGCTGTCCGACTTTGAAAGATGTCGTTCCCCTGCTCCAGACATGTCGTTTAGTGTATGCAGAGTTTCTTAACTAGAGTAACCAACGCGACTAACATGATAATAGGTACTCCGAGGTGGTTCACATCTTATACCGCGATACGGTCTTCCGTTTCAATCATGTCGACACCGTCATCAGCTTTTCTCGCACTGTGCTGTCCTCTCGACTCAATGCTATCCGCATCGTCCATCTCGCTCACACTGTCATCCTCTCCATGTATGGTGAGGACTCGAAGAAAACGGTCGCGCCGTATGATGCAAAGACATGGGAAGAGACCTGTCGGATCCTAGCCAACATGGCAACTCTCAGAGAATTATATATCCATCTAGGTGGGCACAGGCTCGATTCTGAGCTCAAGGATATACTCGCACCTTTATATCAAATTCAACAAACCAAGACGTTTGAAGTTTTCGCTGGTATAGGACGGGACCCGGCACAGGTGTACACAGTAGGCAACAAGCCATTTGTGTTTGTTTCGAAGAAGTATGAGGCACTTGATGAATTTCGTGATTGGATTTGCTGTTAATAGTTTCGCTATTATGCTGGACCACGATCTGTTTCTCTCTGTTACCTGTCACTAGTATGCTTATGTCCAATTTGGCTGAATGTCTTCCTGCCCGTATACAAATCTCCCGTCTCCTCCAACCCTTTTCTAGATGTCTCCGGCAAAAATACCAACGCATAAACACCCCCTAGAATAGACATAGCCGTGAAAAACCAAAACGTTCCCGTCGGCGTAAGCGACCCATGCTCCAGCAACATCGTCGGAACCGCCTATTAATTAGCCACACCCAAAGAAAGACAAGAACGAAAACCCACCTTCGACAACCCCATCCGATTTGCATAATGCCAAACCGTCGCAACACTCGACCCTGCAATCCTCACCGGCAGCGGAAAGATCTCCGCCGTGATGATATACTGGATCGAGTTCCAGCCCAGCGCGTACGAAACCCCAATCAGATAGACCATGACGATAGCGCCGATGGCGCTGCGTTTCGTCGCTGGGGATTGCTGTTTTTCCTCCGAGAGAGTGTAAAAAACAGTCAGAAAGATAGAGATGTAGAGGAAGGCGAGGATCTGCATCGTTACTCCGATGTAGAGGGTTCTTCGTCGACCGATGAAATCAATCATGAAGAGGGCGGAGCCCAGCGCGGAGGCGAACTTCACGGCGCCGAATATCGCGGTTGTGAATAGTTTTTCGGATTCGCCTTTGATTCCGAAGAGGGAGAATAATTTGGGTGCGTAGGCTATGTGTATTAGCAGGCACGTAACTATGCTTGTATGTCGGACTTACTTGTCAGTGACGTCGGACCTGACCTTTGGATCAGACACTGCACGGTGAAGATGAACGCGATCCGTTTGAGATTCTCCTTTGTCGTGAATAGAGTCCTCACCGTCTCCCAGAAGGATCGCGTCGAGTTTCCATTCTCCAGTTCCAGTTGTCTCTGCGCAGCGCGGATCTCGTCCTGCACCTCTGTATGCAGAGCAGGTAGTTGCCAGAGTTTCCCCAGCGCCTGGGCCGCCTGGTCAGCACGGCCTCGTTTGCACAGAAACCGTGGACTCTCCTCGCAGAACAGCGAGAAGAACAGGAGTATTCCGGCCCATATGACTTGGACACTGTGCGGAATGATCCATTGTCTGGAACTGGAATTGGGGATATGGATCGACGCGCCCCAGATGGAGAAATACTGCCCTTGTCAGCTTGGCCTAGCCTGATAGTAGTACTAATCCGCTACACACCCCGATCATGATCCCAACATACTCGGAGATCCCAAACAACCCGATTATGACTCCGCGTATCTGTCGCGGCGATACCTCGCCCAAATATACCGGGGCGACGACTCCAAACTGTCCGATACCGACTCCCATGATCAGACGGCCGGCGTAGACCTGGCCGATTGTGTGTGACGTCAGGAAGATAATACTACCACTCATCCAAACAAGACATGAACCTCGCATGGCCCAGAGCATTCCGATCTTCTCGGTCAGCAGGAAGGCTAGCAATGCGCCTGGGAGACACCCGATGGTGACCATGGTTGTGACATTGGAAAGGCGATTAGCCCGTTCGGAGGGGCTCAGACGGCTAGCGTCGAGGCCGAATCTGTTGATGAACGGTTTATCGGCGACGGTGCTGGCAATTAGGCCTTCGTCGAGACCTGTACATATTAGTTTGAGTCGTTGAGGCTGTCGTTGACAGATTGCATACTGACCTCGCGAAGTTCCCGACAATCCAAAGCAGAGCACAGCACACACTAGTCTTAGGGGGAGTCTACCGGGAAATAGGCAGGATGCGTTGTGACCATGCATTGTGGCCCATGGCAGTCGAAGAGAGTCAGGAATGTCTTGTGGATGAGAGAAGATGGGGAAAGGAGGGGCTCATATTTCCTTCACTGCGGACTGAGGAGTAGACACATACAGCGTCTCCACAGTCAAACAGTCGACCATATTAGCAAGGAGATCTAATCCAATCCCTTAGCTGTCTTTGATTTGCATAGTCTCAGCCCTACCCGTGCCGCGGCGTGGCTATGGGTCCCAATTGGCAGGAGGCGATAGGGCTGACGTGGTGTCTCATTTCCAGTATATGCCGAGCTAGCCGTGTAGATCTCTAGGGTACGCAGAGTTTGACTCATCTGGGGGACATATATCCACTGAGTTACTGCTGGATGCTCGACTGTGACAGAAATCAGAGCATGCCCACTGGAAATATTCAAGAACATGAAAAATAACCAAGACTGCCTTATCAATACATTACAGGTTATAACTCCAGGAACAAGCTTTCCCACTGTCCACCCCCCTGTGGACCATGTTGGAACGTGCCAAAGAAGCATTATTGGCAGAAACGCAGTGGAGACGCCAACTATTTTGGTTCTCTCCCTTGTGGGGCGCTATTGGAATCCTGCTTCAGTATGTTGCAGCCTAGCCTTTCGGCTCTGCATTGGATTATGTGAGCGTGGTGGTGCATTAATTGGTATTACAGATTATATGCATGTAGATACGTCACCAGTCTCTTGGGCGTTATGAGCTCGGGTATATTCGGGCTTAATCGCCAATGAGCCAGTTGCTGACGATGAATATTAAATATTATTTATTTCTTCACTTGTTTAATTGGACAATTAACTGTGATAATGCTGTGGATACAATTCAACCACTTACTATTGTCCTAGAGAGTTGCTGTTATAGCCTCTTATGATCCGAAAGGGTTGAATAATACCTATCGAACTGTCCGTTTCCTAAATTATTATGCACCATGGAAATATTTTATTCTTTTCCTTTCCCCCACCGCATACAATAAATAGCCGTAGTTGTACAGTAGGGAATGCCAGAGCATGTATTCGAATGTTGCCCAATAGGAGCGATGTCAGGGGTTCTCTAAGACCAATCCAAGGTTGATCCAGGAGATGGAAGAGCAATAAGGTTCTGTATCCCATGTTTCTAGCTGACACTACAGAGATATGATTGGTATGTAGCAGATGCGCATATCTATTAGTTGTATCTTAAAGTTTATGGTTACTTATAGTATAGAATATGAATAAAAGTGCTCCTGTAGTACCATGGTTGGTTGAACAACTTATATACATACAACCACCCATGCAGGAGATACAACAGTTAATCATCAGAACAACAGAGATCCAACACCCACTGCATCCACTGAATCAAAACCAACAGGACAAGTGGCAATGCAACCTGTCGTTGATTTTAGTCACTGAAATGCCTAGCTGACATAAGGTCCGACCCCGCATCTCTCCATTCTCTCCACTTCCATCTTCCTAATACCTCCCACCATCTCCTCTTCGTTCAGATCAATGATCATGGATCCAGAAATTCAATACATCCTCAGTCTCCAGGCCGTGCGCGAACGAGCCCATCATGTGTTGAAGCTCGCCCTGGAGAACAAACTAAACCACTTCGACTACCACGCGGACCGTCTCGACGACGCGGTCCGGTATGTCACCGGTATTATCAAGGTATTCTTTCTCAATCAGAGCCCGTATCTTCAGAACTGACACTCAATAGCGGGACTACGGTCCAGACCGATATGGTGAGATCCCTCCTCACGGCCGCTGGCAGCACTTCCAAGTTGGCCCCAGAGACCGCATCGGCGTACTCCTGAGCAACTGGGACTCTGCCAAACACGACAAGAAAGAGCAAGCGCGTGGTCTAGTGGATCTATTCCTTGTTTCTGTTCTGCTGGACGCCGGGGCGGGCGATAAATGGCGCTTTACAGAGCCGGATACTGGTGCCGTTATAGTACGAAGCGAGGGCATCGCGGTCGCAACGTTGCACATGTTTCTTGCAGGTCAATACTCTACTGCAGAGTCTAGCCGGAAGGACATCGTACTAGGTTAGAATCACTCCTGTAACAATATCCACAGTACTGACCGGTTCAGGACAAGCCTTGCAGGACCTCAAAGAAGAGGTCCTTCGTGAGGGGTTCCAGATCACGCACGAGAATCCCTTCGTCGGGGTCCCGTCCAGAGTGGAACTTCTAAACGCGCTGGGTCGCTCCTTGCTACGTCTTCCAGACGTGTTTGGACAATCCGGCCGTCCGGGAAATCTCGTCGGTATGTACATCCCCAAAACACCAGCGGCGCGCAAACTCATATCGTAGATTACCTCTTGTCCAAGACGGATAAATCCAAATCATTAGATTTCAACGTCCTCTGGACAACCCTGCAGGAGGTTCTCCTCCCCGTCTGGCCTTCATCTCGAACCCAACTAGCTGGCCACCCCGTAGGCGACGCCTGGCCTCTTCAAGTCCTATCTAGCAACCCGCCTTCGCAGTCGAAATACCCCTCCATCCAGCCCTTCCACAAACTCACCCAGTGGCTTGCCTACTCGCTCATGGTGCCATTAGAGCGTCTGCTGGGCGTGACCTGGAAAAATGCACACATCGCCACCGGTCTGCCGGAGTATCGCAACGGGGGTCTATTCGTCGACATGGGGGTGTTAACGTTGAAGCCCGAGGCATTGAGCCGCGGACTGGCCAGTTCCGGAACGAGTCTTCCGGCGTTTGATGCAACAGCCGATGAGATTGTCGAGTGGCGTGCATTGACGGTTGCGTTGCTGGACCGGGTGCATGAAGCGATCCAGAAGACGGAGCTGGGTTCGGTGGGACTGACTCTGCCACAGGTCCTGGAGGCTGGGACTTGGAAGGCAGGCAGGGAGTTGGCAGCGGAGAAGAGACCCGAGACTCGGTCAAGTCCTGTTTTGATCCTGGGTGATGGGACGCTATTTTAGTGTATTATGGCATACGGATCTAGTAGATTTTTGACTGATGCAATTACATTGTCCCGTTATTTACTTCGATGTCTATATGGCCTGGATTTACCATTGTTGAACCATTGTTTCCTTTGGCGCTGAATCTGTGTTTCTGCAATAGCATATCATGCGAATATCAAGTCAATATAACAATATAAACTGGAAGGATTGGGTGTCTCCTGGGTGTATATCTCATGTATGTTCAGGTTCCTTATGTCTGAAGAACTCGACCAAACCGGCTATGCATACTTTCGGCGATCTTTCTTAGAATAATACTCAATAATGCATATGATTGTATGGTGTTCTTGTTTCAGAATGTACAGTCTCATATTCCTAACCTATGTCATAGTATCAAATATCTACAAATTCCCTCCTCGCAATACTAGAACATGACCCACACGATTCTCCTGTACCATCGCCTGTCCGACAGCCCCGAGAGTCCGACTGAGATCTGTCCCGATTTCTCCCTCCGTCCCGAACGCCGAATCAGCGTCCACCTTGTTATTGCGCCGTCCGACCACCGTCAGGTTGCCGGCTTCGTGTGGTGCCTGGCTCATCTCCACCTTGACCGCCGTCACCGCCACCTGCACCCTATCACCATCTTCCCCATTCTCCGGGACGATCCGTTTGAACACAACGCGAGATGTCAGTTCTTCCGACAGCGAGTCGCGCATGGCGTTGAAAAAATTCGAGTCCGATTCGGTTTCCTGCACGGTGAAGACCGGCTGCGTCCTGCTACTCTTACCCACTTCACTACCACCCGACGCGGACAGTGGGGACGATGCCACATTGATGTAGATAATGGTAGCGGTCACTTGGTCATTCTGCGCCAGCTGCAATACAAAGCGCAGGGCAAATCGGTCGTCGTCGCCACCAAAAAATGGAAATACAATGTGGTGCGAGCGTGCGGCCGCCGGAGCAGTATTCCATAATGACCCGCGGGTGCTGAGAGCGCCGAGAGATTGCTTGGACCGCAGGGACCGGCGCAATCCTCCCGCGAATGGGCTACGTTCGACGAGGACCCCCACGTTGCAGGAGGTCTGGTCCAGCACCTTGGATACAAAGGCCGTATAGGGTCCGTTGGCGAACCGGTTCGCCTCCTCTAGACCCAACCCACTCTGGTACTCACTCATGGTTCCTGTCTCACTCCACGGCAGCAGAAGCAGATCGCTGGATTCCTGACGAGCCATACCAACGACCGTGTCGGCGAAGGAATATTCGGGAACAACGGACACGCCTGCCATGATGGAAATGTCATGCCATTGGCCAAATGCGCGGAAGGTGTTGACTACGGGGTCCCATAGAGTGTATTCATCGATCTCTGATACTTTCATGACACTCGAGTCTCGGTCGGTCAGTTCGATCAGGCGAACCCCATGCAGCTGCAGGGCGGGGGATTTCTCCACATCCGTTGCGGACTCCTCTGCGGCCGGCTCTGATGATGCCCTGATGGATCTTCTTTTGTCGGGGTGAATCTTCGGAGCCAAGGGTTGTGCGAGATTACTAGGTCCCAATAGTGCTACCAATGTGCAGATGCTAGACAGGCCATCCAATCGTAGATAGACGAGAAGCTTTTGCACTGCATTGCCTTGCTGCCCCTCTTTGGCCACCGCCACACTGTCCACACGGGCATCAGTTTGAATCGGATTGCCATCCCAGTCGATTTCACCCCGACGCCAACGGTCTACCTTATCTTGGTACCATTTGGGATACAACCATGTTGTTAACGGGGTGGTCGCGAATGTTGTCACTAACGCCATTACCACGAACATGGTAAAGGTACGTCTACTGAGGATATGGGCTTGCAGACCAATATTCTTTTGGCTGGTTAGCGGACTCTCCAAATGTAAGCCAGCGGTTACATACCAAGACGATCAGCTCAACTAGACCTTTGCAGCTCATCAACACTCCAATAGAGAAGCTTTCGCGCCAAAGCAGCCCGCACATTCGGGAGGCACCAGCACCACCTACGACCTTGGCAATGAAAGCGATCGCAATGATGCCAAACACGTAGCCCCAGACCTCGCCATTGTCAAGCAGCCCTAGGTTCGTCTGCAGGCCAGAGAGGGTGAAGTAAAGTGGTAGAAAGAGAGTGGCTACCAAATCTTCGATTTTCTCGGTTAGTTTTATGGCAAACCCACCTTCATGAGGACAGAGAAGGCCGATAAGGAATCCGCCAAAAATGGCATGCACACCGATGACCTGCGTGAAGAATGCCGAGGCGAGCGCTATTAGAAGAGTCAGAGCCACCACGGACTGACTGGGCCCTTTTTGCAGACTTCCAGTCTTTCTGAGGAAGCGCAGGAAGAGAGGACGGAACACGAAAGACAGAAACAATACATATCCCACGCAGACAAGGAGCACATAGAGAGCAGTCAACCCGGTGCCGGCATTGACCAAGGCGACACACAGGGCAAGGAGGATCCAACCCACAACGTCATTGCCGACGCCCGCGGACAACACGATAACTCCTACATTGGTGCCAAGCAGTTTCAATTCCGTCAAAATACGACATAGAACGGGAAAGGCCTACTACTGGTTAACCCACGATCCAGCACACTGATGACTGAACGTACTGTAATGGCCATGGCAATACCGATGAAGAGAAGATAGGTACCGAAGTTAATGCTGACGGTGCCGGGCTCATCGCGGAAGCTATTGTACAGACCATAAGAGATGGCGCAGCCAAGACCAAACGGTAAGATCATGCCCGCAGCTGACACACTGACCGCTACCCGCCAATTGCTGACGAGAAACCGAAGATCGGTCTCGAGGCCTACGAGGAAGAGGAAGAGCACCAGACCCAAATTCGCGACAAGATTTAGGTTGGGAATGGACTCGGCCGGAAAGATGGCATCAGTAAAGCCGGGGATACGCCCAAACACAGACGGACCAAGCAGGACACCGGCGATGACCTCCGCTATAACACGAGGCTGACGGATCTTGGACAGAGGCCAATGCAGAAGACGACAGAAGATGATGATGATGGAGGCCTATTGACCGTTGGATCTAGGTTACGTATTACGGCCTCTCAACTTGCTCACCTGAATGATGAAGATGACGATAGGATTCTTGGGATCGTAATGCGATGGATTTCCGCCCTCTAGAATGCCGCCTTGTGGGCTGACCCTACGGTCGGAGGAGTTGGAAGCCATGATGGTGCGATAGATCCAGGCCAGTCCGACCTTAAGGAAAGATTATAACAGCGTAATGATGGAAAAGGCGTATCGACAATGAGATATGGGGGATGTATAAGGAAAGAGAGAAAGCGAGAAAGACGACAGAGAGCACAGTAAAAGCATTACCCAATGCGGATGTGGGGTTCCACGTGGCTGACGTATTAGAATTCTTAGTCATCATTGGATGTACATGTGACTATATAGTCCTCCTATAGTTATTGGTGGATCAGCCCAACCTGCTGCGACGCCACATTAGATCCCGAGAAACGTGCATTGCATACACGAAGACAAAAATGATTCGCCAGGGAACTTCACTCCTATGATTGCATTAGTTGTCCGTCTTAGCGTTGCAAAAATTGTGACTGTTAACAGTTCATCTATACTTCGGTACAAGGAATCCGTGAAACATATATGTATATGTACATCTCTTCTGTCACGCACTTGCTTCTGCTTTAGAGCTGCTAGGTCTTGGTTACTGTTGGGCGGTGCATACCGAGTACATGTAGCCGAAAGCACAGGTGTCTTTGGACATGCCACCTATTTTAGTTACCTATAGGACGAGGTTCATTGCAGTCTAGTTTCACATAGCCAGTGATAAGTGGACGAGCGGCAATATGGAGGAGTCGAGCTGGCACGTCTGTGCGCGGCAAGAAAAGCTCGCTACGATGCGATTTAGGTTGGTGCGACAGGAGGGGGAAATAGGGTCAAAGTTGGCATTCTCGTTGCTAGACTGTAGAATAGTTAGAGGTACACCATGCTCGGTACTGATAGAATGAAAGAGGCGGTACCATATTAGAACTGACCCGAACATTCTAGTCATCCACGGCTTGCTCAAGAAGACTGAAGAACACGTTAGATAGTCGTGATAGTATATTTTAAAAACAGACATACAGACCCATATGTATTTCTAATTTTCTTAGTTTCGACAGACAACGACATGAAGTGTATCTTTTGATGATGCCTGATGAGCTTCGACAATAGAGCTGGTGGCTGGCAATTTCCGGAATAAGGTTTTAGCTAGTTATATGACACGTCCACTTCCCTCTCGCTAATTAATATATCTGTCGTATTCCAAATGACCTTCAGCTCCTGGTGCAGTGAGGGATCGTCCCTATCCCTTCCTCTGCACAAACATGATTGGACCTTCGATCAAGCAATTCCAGCTGCAAACTGACTCCAGTCAACCATTCTATATCCAATTCCACAGGATGTCTGCCACGTATGAGGCGATCTGCACCCTACGTGTATTGCATAGAATGATCACCCAAATGCAGAGTAGAGGTGCGTGAGAGATTATTTAAATGGTTTGCAGCTCTTCGACGGAACGAGGTTTAATATTTCAGCTCTTTATTCTCCCCAAATTTTCTTCACATGTAGTGTTTAAAAAAGGATCTTTAAAGGGAACGAAAAAAATGAATGTCACTACCTCTTGTAACTCGTGGACCATTGTGCACTACATGCTCGAGGAACAATGGCGATGGGTTACTGACCTCCACTGCAAGGCCCGGAAAGACAATGGAGAATGGGTCTCCGCCCAAATCCGACTTGATGACTTTCTCGGAAATGACGATGGTGAGATTCGCTATGCTTTGAAAGGTTATAATAACAACCCTTAGGGAACTTTGTATACAGTGTGAGGTATCCGAGGAGTAACGTTACTTCGTCGATGAGCAATCCCCGACTTGAAGTAACAGGCTATGGTCGACCGATTCTTCATGGTCGTCACAACCCGGAATGCCTATGCGCATGATAAAAGTCTTGATTTTTCTGGAATTCTCTGGAATAGAGATGGTCGTCTATGTTTTAACGGTGAGTTCTCTATCTATTCTGATCATTTACTTTTACCGGACCACTGTAAATAAGAAATATAGAGGATGCAGGTCGCGTAGAGAATGAGAAAAGAATGAAGCTAGTTAGGGAGAAAATGGTTAGATAGCCCTTTTCATTAGTGACCTGAATTGTCGGCTCTAACGGTCCTTGTAGCTCGAAAAAGCCCGCCGTAATCCTCGACTGATGGAACGGTTGAGGCGGCAAGGTAAACTGTAAGAGTTTATTAACATCCATCAGTTTGAATAGGAGGGTCCCGACTCAATGCACAGAAAGGGGAAGTCAACCTGACCTCTTTTATTTATATGCTGCAAAAATATTAATAGGAGCTATAGGGGTGTTTAGAATAACTCTTTGGATACTATCAACCTGGAAGAGCACTATATGAGCTAGAATAGAGTATAACATATCACTACTACTAATATTGTCGCTGTCGATAGCTGTCTCAATTCGTTCCTAGGAACAGGATTTAGGCTCTTCTAGAAAACAATCAAAGGCGTCAGCAAAGAAAATTCTTAGCAAGCTTAGTTCCGCATTTTGCGCTTTCAAAAAGTATGAAATAACCGAGGCTAAGTAGAAGATAGTAGTGTATACTATGGCTCTCCAGCAATATTTAAAAGTAACTGGGGGTGAACATAATAACAGAAAGAGAGTAACGGGCGCGCGTACTAAAATAGTGGTAGTTACAAGCGTCATCAGTTTAGGCTAGGAGCAATGCGTCCACCCAGAATTGCTGCTAATTGGAAAGAGAAATACCTCTAGCAAACAGCACCTCCAGTAACTAGTTATAAAGAGGCCTGCATACCCATTTCATGAGTTGACCGGCTTATAGCCAGTTGTAACTCCTAACTTGTCAATAGAAAATTAAATAGATTATACATGAACACCAAGACGTGGCTCAGTTGCTCCTGGTCAATGGGCCCACAAATGCACTGATTGGCCTAACCCTCACCCGAATACGGAGAAACTTGTCTATCATCAGCAGCATGCTCCTTTTTATAGTTTAATAGTTGTCCGAAGATATGTTAGAGTTTGTGAGAGGTAAGAACAGAGATATATACCTTATTTTCCAATTCTACAAAGAACTACCAAGCTGGATCCCGCACTTTGTCTCTAGATAAAGAACAACTTCTGTGCGAAAATTGTTTTTGAAACCACTCACACAAACCAGGCTCCCACGCCTTCAAATAAGTTTCTCCTAACGCCAGTATCTATGGATTAATATCAATATTATTGGAATTCAACAGTGTCATGTTGAAAATCGGGAAACCGGTGTGACCTACATTCTGGATCGGCGACGATAACATGCCAAGTAGCATCAAAACTCGGAGATTTTTATTAAACATGGAGTGAAAGTTGGTGTTGCCCGTCGTTTTGTTTCTGATATCAGCGATTGGGTTAAACAGGTATGATTAATTTCCTCATGATATCTTGGGTATAAGATCCAGCTAGGAAGGTGTGAACTGTTGGTGCACACTGTTGCATAAGGATTTTCTCTCTTTTTATTTCTTGTTTTCTAAGCATTTACTGTTTTATCTTAGGTTCGATATAGCCGAAGTACAGAGTCGCTATGCTTAATACAGTACAGCAAGAGTTCAATGTTTAAATCTTCATGTGTACGGAGTTTTACATGTTATTATTACATAGTACGAGATACGAATACGGTAATGATTGGCTGAGGCGTAAATCCGAACTGGGTCCCTACATCACATGATCTGATTGCGCCAAGCCTTCAAACAATGGAAAGTCACCACAAATGGTTCCCCTGAAGTATAGTATAGGGTGTTTTTTAAGAAAGAGATTCTAGGATGCCCATAACTAGTTTTGATAGCAGCTCTTCTCCTTCTTGGCGGATCGTTGTTCTATCGGACTACCAGTGGTTGACTGTATGCCATTTTTCTTTGCTTGTTATGGCTTATCTATCCTTGAAACAATGATTGGCTCTATGCGTGAGAGCCTTGCAGCTACAGACAGGTAGGTGTCTAGTAGACCAACCACCCCTCCATTGTCAACCTCATTTATCTGCCTGTCTATACCCATGGAAATTCGACCTACGTTTACACTACTCCAAATTATGTGTTTTGTAACAGGTAGTTAAATTAACCGGCCTACAAAATTCACCGCTGTTTATTATTGAAGACATACAAAAATGACCTTTACCAACGATGACTCCACGGTCGCATGGATCTGTGCTTTGCCGCTGGAAACGGCGGCCGCGAAGGTCATGCTGGATGAAGTCCACATTTCGCTACCTTAGCCAAAAACTGACCACAATGTATATACACTTGGGAGTATTAATGGTCATAATGTGGTGGTGGCCTGCCTACCATCCGGTGTCTACGGAACCATATCTGCCGCAACGGTGCTTGTCCACATGCTGCCGACATTTTCTTCACTTCGGTTTGGGTTAATAGTGGGTATTGGAGGCGGCGAAACCAGCACAAGTGCGGATATACGTCGTGGTGATGTGGTAGTCAGCATGCCAACAGCGGCTTTTGGGGGTATAATTCAATATAACTATGGGAAGACACTTCGGATGGACACTTCCAGCGCACTGGAGTACTTAAGCAAACCTCCCCAGGTTTTGCTGACTGCAGTATCTCAAATACGTAGTGATTATGATTAAAGACACTCCTATCAAAGGAATCATTTCCCCAGAAAAACGAAAAAACCCGAGAACAGTTTTCACAGCCAACTAAAGATTGCTTTTTTAACTCTACATACAACCATCAGAGCAGCAGCCCTGATTGCGCGACGTGTGATCCGACTCAGTTAGTAAATCGTGTACCACGAGCAACAATAGAGCCTCATGTTTATTATGGATTAATTGCTTCTTGGAACCAAGTTATAAAGGATGCCAAGACACGAGACTCCATCGCCCAAGAGATGGAGGCAGCTGGGCTCATGGACCAGCTTCTATGCCTGGTTATCTGAGGCATTTGTGACTATTGTGACTCTCACAAACATAAACAATGGCAAGGATACGCAGCTCTTGTTGCTGCTGCCTACACGAGGACACTTCTTACCGTGGTTCCTACACATGAGAATCGGCCTGATCTGAGAAGGCAAAATTATCAAGAACGCCACTGGATGGTCCCCTTTGGGAAAACTTGCGATTTGTGGGTCGGGAAGATGAAATCGCTGAAATTGAGAGATTAAAAAAAAATACCCACCATCTTACCTTGCTCCCACAGAGCTGAAGTGTACTCTCAAGAACTAGGTTTATTTTCTTAAGAACAGTCGGTGAGCTAAGAGCTATAACAAGGGCTCCTACAAACAATAGCTCGTCTCCCAGGAAGTGAGTTACCTTATGTGGGAGCGCAGCTGCTCCGCGGAGCCGACATAGCTGTCCTGGAAGCCTGAGTCTTCCATCTTATTAAGCATTGAAATTGTGTTAAGTAACGATGGAATAGGCGCCGCAGCGTCCGGATTTATATAAAGCCTCCTGCACTCCAACAGCCTAATCATCTAGTCAGTTAGAATACCCTGTATTAATTATCAATCCCTTAGCAGTAACATATTGAAAAACATCTAAATTATTTATTTTCTGTTTCGTTACTGCTTTCTCTCTTTATTATGGATTACTGGCATTGGAACCCCATTACTGCCTGTGAGATAAGCCACCCTCAAGAGGTCCTTACATGTGTGGGTTATAGGAAAGATAAATTGCCATGCAAAAACCATATCTCACAAAAGGATCAAGATCACACTTATTATTCACTTGAGCTCCTCGCAGTGCAACCAAAAGATCTCCATGCTCTCCGGCAAAAGCTGGAGGAGATCGCGACCCTTCGGCTGTGCAAAAGGTGGCATCAGGACCAAAAAGCAGTGATCACAGAGGAGTGGTATAAAGCAGCTTGCAGGGTAAATATCCAGGGACAACAGCTATTGGCTACAGATTTAAATAAAGTCCAGCCATGGCAAAGCCTAAATAATCCAAATCTCCCTGCGGTGTGCCTTATGTACTAGTGCCAGTGGACAAAATGTGAAATATACTTGTATTGTTAACCTTGGAATCATATGCACAGCCCCAGGCGCAGAATCTGTGATATCAGATCCACTCAGCACAACTTCCTTTGTGCAGGAATCTAAATATATTTCTTTAAGCACGGATGAAGATTTCATCGCATCGGACTTAGGATCATTGTAATATTACTCCGATGGTTCATCCGCAGATAATATGTATACGCATGACCCGATAAGTTGTGACGGAATTTTTTGAGACACATGACAAAAGTCTACGTAATTCCGCGTCACCCGACGCGCCACCCAATATTATGCTTCATCTTTTCACCCACCTGGATCATGCCTCGCACTCCTTTACGGTCTACTAGTTCTAACAGTGCTAGTAATCATGAATTGGAACCATTTCAGCGTGGGGTTACAGTTGGGCGATTTCTTGCAGGCCAGAAAAAGGCTGATATTAAACGCGCAATGAATTTACCCTATACAACAATTCAAACCACCATTGAAACATATCAGACCTCTACTACTGGGACTAGTTCTCCTCGCTCCGGACGGCCAGAGATCCTTTCTGATGCTGACAAGCGATATATTCTTTTACAAATTAAGCGGGATCCCTTTATAAAAACAGAAGATATCTGCAAATTACTGGACAAGCCTGTTTCTGCACGCACTGTTGCGCGTATGTTAAAAGAATCGGGGTATGGCCACTGGAGAGCGCAAAAAAGACCTCAATTAACTGAGGAAATAGCTAGGGACCGGAGAAAAAAAGAAATTATGAGGTCTTCACAACGGAATGCGAGCGTCAGTGATAGACTACGCTATAAATGGGCATATTCGCGCAAGGATTGGACGTACGAGCAGTGGAGAAAGATTATTTGGAGTAATGAATATTCTGTTGAGCTAGGCAAAGAAAAATCAATGGGTATGGCGGCTTAACTACCTCAACGAAAAATAGAAAAAAAAGCATATTGTCTTATATATATAAGGTAAAGGAATATCTATTATAATTTGGGCAGCAATCTGGGGTGATGGCCATACAGAAATCTACCGAATGAGTAGGGATAAGGAATCTGCCCGTGGGGGGTATTCTTCACGCTCCTATTTCAAAATTATTGAAGATTATCTACCTGCTATATGGGAACCTGATATGGAGTTTATGCAAGATAATGCTCCTATTCATACAGCTAATATTATTAAGAATTGGTTTGATGAGCACGGTATTCCTCTTGTTAACTGGCCCCCATACTCACCCGATTTGAACCCTATTGAGCATGGCTGGGCTAAGCTTAAAGAGCGTATCTATATGCTTTATCCAGACCTTGAATTATTTGAGGGAACCAAAAGCGAATTAAAAGAGCAATTTTATAAGGCAATAGAGGATGCATGGGAGAGCTCAGGAGAGGGTTATTTTGATTCCTTGATAAGCTCGGCAAAGGGGTGGTATACACGCTATTAATGTAAAATAAAATATATGTTATTATTTATATGCAATTAGACTATCACATAGATAAATATCTTATAAAAATATTAATATCTTGTTGTTTTGCGTGGGATTGGGATGTTCCGATTATTATATATATTTTGGTGGTTGCGGGAAATTACGTAGACTTTTGTCCAAGAACTGTAATACCTAGGCTGTAGGCCCAGGTGCCCTTAAAACCATCAAAATTAAGTTTTGAATCTCACAAGATTATACAGCAAGTTGGAACAAAGAGAACGCTCAGGAAAGGTATTATATTACAATTTTAATAAAACCATTATTATAGGCACAGCCTCCAAAATTCAAGTTCCATTAGTTCACTAATGGGCTCCATAATCTACTACCTAGCTCGGATTAATATAGACGGTGTAATGGATTATTAGTTATAATAGGGATTCTGGATGCTTGCTGGTGTGATGTTCTAATCGCCACATTCTATAGATAGAACATGCGATCAGTCCAACCAATTACTTGAATACAAGCTGCTGCGCTCTGTCCGAGACATTTAGGGAGCAATAATCCTGCGAGAGTCTGGTCGTCCAGAAGACTGCTTATTAGCTCCCGAAATTTTTTGGCCCTATATATAGTGGTATTTAGCAGCCAATCAAGTAATAACTAATTTCCTGTATCCAATTCACCCACCGCTTTCCCCACTACCCTGTACTATGCTGTTTCCTGGTATTATTTATCACCAAACTAGATAATTGCGAAGCGTAGCAGGGCAATTACTAATTGGTTTCCCCCTCTAGGGCTCTATTTTCTATCACTAAACTAGATAATAGGTACTCTGTACTAAATATTAGTCTAAAATATACCTCTTCTTCAATGTTCCTTCTCCTAGTCCTTGGTAATTTCCTAGTATTCAAAATGTTATTCCTCTTCTAGGATTCGAATATTTAATACACAAGTATTAATTTTAATAACAAAAATCTATATTAAAATTATTTAGTTAAATTTAAAAGGCTAGAATCTGCTAAATAAATTATTAAATTCCTCCAGGGCTCCTATCTTACCCGGAACAGGATTAATACGGGTTTTAATTCCCCGCTGTTTTTAAAATTAGGGAAATCAGCTTTGTCACTTGCCCAGGTGGGTAGCCCTAATTATTACCCCCGCCCCCGGGGCCTATACTTCCATCCAGAAAACGCCACGAGCTTGGGTCTAGAGCTTGGCAAAGGCTTGAATGCAACATGGGGCCAGTTACAACCCTCCCGAGGTGGAAGTCCTCCGTACGCTGAGAGGCCTTAAAACAGTAAGCTCTTCTCGTCCGTTGCTCTGTTTCTTCGACAACAACAAAAATGACCGGAGAAACAACTATGTAAGCCTTTAGTCTCCATTCTAAGATCCGCACGACTGGACCATTAGTAACACCAGCATCTATTTTACTTAGAAACGAGCTCAGCCGCAATGGCAAACTTCGGTCGTGCGAGCCATGTCGCCGTTTGAAAGCGCGATGCGATCACCGGATCCCTGTCTGCGGCCGCTGCAGATCACGATGCATTGCTCACAAGTGCTCGTACCGCTCGACAAAGCCATCAATTACATTTCCAACAGTGACTCCGTTAATGGATATGGGTAATCTCAGTGCCCTGCCAACCCCCACCTTGGACGACAACATCCACCAGCACTATGCATTTGGTTCACCAACCCCTCCGATCGATCCCATACACCAGGCATCTGCTTCTCTTCCTACTCCTGTCCCCTGCTCTATCGATATTCGGCTCCGCCAAGTTCTCGCACACCTACCGCACATCAAGATCATCAGCCGGCTGGTCCGTCGATGGCTGCAAGTCTGCCTAAGCTGTCCTGTACCCAGACCCCTCCTTCTGGACCTGTTAGTTGCTGTTGAATCAGCCGCCCACCGGTGCAATCCAGGTGATGGCAATACCCCAGTTGACGACGCGGACCTCGGCCAGCTAGCAGAAGATATTCATAACGCGAGCTCGCAGCCGCTAGTTGTCCCTCGCGGATTGCAGCCTACCGAGTTTTTTCAGGTGCTCACCGGGCGAAACCTGAGAGCCGAGTCGATTGGTCTTGTTCTGAGCGTGGCCGGAAACGCGGCTTTCGGCCTGCTCGAGTCGGACGTCGTCTTCTCCTCTACGGGCATGTATTAAGACGTCCTCGACCGCAAGGCCTTTGCCGGGAAAATGCTGAGTGCCAGTGATGCGGCGATTGCGTTTGCCAAGGAGCAATACCATGATCCGTCCGATGTGCTCCTTTGGCTACGGTATGAGAACTTTGTCCTAACGAGGAATTGTTGCGGGTACGAAAGTAAGGACACATATATTTATCAGGCTTTGGCACGATATAAGATCAATACCCATACTTACACCACTTTAGGCTACCGTACCTGGGCTCGCTCCGGCAGGTTGATTAACGATTTATTTGCCATGAACATTCACCGAGACCCGGAAAGGCCTCAAGCCTCGGACACCCCATGGTTTTTGCGCGAAATCCAGACCAGGCTGTTCGCGTGCATGTACGAAGCCGATAAGTCACTGTCCAGAGTCCTTGGGAAACTTCCCCGGCTACCCCGACAGTACTGCAGCCGCAGACTGCCGCTCAAGATCAGCGACGAGAACGTCTTAACAGCCGGTTTCACGTCGGACGATGCGATCGTCAATATGCCGCATCTGGGAAGCTGCATTCGCCAGGAATCGTTTCACTCGGACTGGCTTCGCATACGCTATCTGTTTGCGACGTTTAGGGAGGTGGTCCTCGGCGTGAGGCTGGGAGCATCGGGGCAAAGTAGCGAGTCGTTCATCCGGTGAGACCCAGCACTGTTTATGGTGGTATTCATATGGACCTGACGTTCAGATATCCAGACGCACATCGTCACGCATCCAAGCAGCATGGGAAGCTCTTCCCACATATCTTTGCTACAACCCTGTCTGCACCCCAAATACGACATTGTCCACGCCCTATCAGTATCTTGCCCAACTGCTCCTCTACCTTGAATACCTCGACCTACAATTCAGTACCCAGCAGGCCCTTTGCTACACATCTGGAAAAGACGCCGGAGGCGACACAAAGCTACTAAAATTGGGCCTAACCTTGGTAACTACAACGGCCAATGCGGCCCGCGTCTTCTGCAGGCGGTTTGGTGCATCGACGGATACGGCATTGATGGTAAGATTATTTGTCCCCTAACCTTGTACTGGCAGATTATCTACCTACTCAAGTGGAAATTATTAACGCCACGCAGCTCTGGTTCTACGGCCTTCCCAGTGCTCTCGTTCTTGCCGATGCTTTGGCCAACACTACAGAAGGCGGGATGGACACGCCTACCGCCAACAGATCGGTTATGTTGCCACTCTCGTGGCTCGAACTCCACCGCCAGCTCAGCGTACTATCTGCCGAGCTAGAAGTCCTTGTAGATTCCACAGACAGTAACTATGCGCTGTACAGTAAGCAGAAGGAGACACTTTCAAGACAGCTTGACCGCGCGCTACATGCAAGGCTCGAGGTGTCGCCTTCCAAGTCACCGCAATCAGGGGAGACTTCGACCGCGCCACTGAGCGATATCGACAAACTGATCGCCGAAATGACAGAAGACGAAAGCTTTGCTGATGTTCCAACCGGTGATCTGGAGTCGAGTGCGGGCCCTTGGACACTAGACGATATTTTTGATGATAGCCTGTGGAATGGACCGGAGTAGATCGATACAAATACATATGTCTACTGGGAGCATCGAACACAATCGAAGTTGCCAACCTAAGTGTATTCGACTAGCAATATAATTTGAAAGAAGATGTGAATATAAAAAGAATAATAAAGTGCTTGAGAAGAAGATATGTTACGGGCAAGCCGCGACACCTCAAGTGCGGTCAGCCTTCTCGGTCATTGCCGACATCCAATTCTCTAGAAACCTAGTCCCCTCTGAATACTGTCTGGGCAGCAGATTAGTCCTAAGCGCCTTTAACAGCCTGTACAGTCCTGGCATCTCCTGCACAAAGAACGCTTCGCGGCATGACATATTCTCGTAGTGGAAGCGCCATAGCTCAAGAGGGTCGTCTCTGTTGAGCTTCGCCTTGCCATTGGAGGAGAATGACAGGAAACTCGTGCTGTTGCAATAGCCAAACAAGAACGAGCTGAGATAATCCGCGCAAATGCGGTAGCTCAAGTCCAGCCCGTCGAGACGACCGGTGCCACACCCAGCCAAGAGCGCCTCCAGCCTTGGCAACAGTCTCTCGTAGATGATGCAGTCCGTTACCTCGCGTAGATGCTTGGACTGCATCAGCGCAGACTTGGAGTATAGCGCGGCTGTTCTTCTACGGCGGATGCCGTGTTCGGATCTGTCGAGACTCGTAAAAGCGTTGCTTGTCCTAGATAGATAAGATCATATCAGCGTGAAGTCTGCCAGTCTGTCTGGAAAGGTGACCACCCGTAATAGTTGAACATCGAATACCATGAGGCCGGCTTCGGAAACCCGGCGTCGTAGACTTTGCGAATCTCATCTTGGTAGCTGCTCTCACTAATATCTTGGGGGCCCACGAGCACAATTGGCCCGAGTCTGCCGTGGGCGTCGAGTAGGAACTTGAGCTCAGTGCCTGTCCATCTCGCCCACAGGATTCGGGCAGAGCTGAAGCGAGAAGACCAGTGCGCCGCGGGTACCTTGCGTAAGGAGAAGAGGATACGAAGGCTGAAGTACAGAGGATTGCAAGGAGAACAAGCACAAGTAAGGCCATGCTTGCGATGGCGTTTACACGAATTGATCATAGGCGCTAAGCGTCTAAGCCATTATTTACATCTATCCAGCCTGCACATGTATCATGGTTTGGTGACCAGTTGACAGCACTAGATCGGCAATTGCCGGTCCAGCCGGGAGTAACTTCCGTTATGCGATGGTAAACAATCAGTAGGTCACGGCAGTAAACTCCACACGACGGTTTGGGAGGCCTCTACATGTTTACAGGAGGTGGAGCTAAGGAAGCCCCGTCCCACCCACTAATGCAGTCGCCGGTGCTCGGATAGGAGTTCAACGCCGGGGGCGCGCCGGAGCTTAACTGAGCTAAGCCTCTAGGGCTTCGCCTTGGTCAATCCTGACCAATAGCTACGCCTAAACTAAATATGGACACGCCCCTGTCAATATTTTCATTTGCGAGGTGAAGGGTGACAAGGGTCGGAGTTTGAGGTGTGGGTGTTCTGCCGTCTGTCACAACCCAGGCTGTCGACGTTTCGATTTTTCCACGGATCTGCGACCTCCCACAGACAGTCGATCCATCTGTTGACTTGGGTTCAACCATGGCGGCCACTACAGAAAACAATGAGAAAGGGTTGCCCTTAGAAAAAGCAGAGACAAAGGCAGAGACGGTAGCCGAGCAGGAAGACTCTGGACCCGATTTCAGCCTATGGCAGCAAGTCCCTGTCTTCATCGCAATGAGCTTGGGCATCTTCATTCTAGGACTTGTATGTCCCCTCTTCAAGGAGGTCGCAACTTTTTGCTAACAAGTTTGGTGCGCGTTCAGGACAACACGATCGTTGGCACTGCAACACCAACGATAAGCAATGAATTCAACTCTCTTACTGACATCGGCTGGTATGGCTCGGCCTACCAATTAACAACCTGCTCAACGCAGTTTCTGTTTGGCAAACTGTACACCATGTTCCGCGTGAAATGGCTGTTGGTCATCTCGGTTACAATTCTCGAAATCGGATCCATCGTCTCTGCCGCTGCGCCCAATTCGGCTGCCTTCATCGTTGGGCGTGCGATTGCTGGCTGTGGCGCTTCGGGGGTTCTCAATGGTGTTCTGATGTAAGTACAAGCACTCTTACTACAACTTGGTCAGCGGACTAACGTGATGGTGTAGTGCTGGCTCGCAAACGCTGCCGTTGCGCTGGAGACCAATCTTCAATAGCACTGTCGGGGGGCTGGAGTGCATTGCTATGGTCGTAGCTCCTGTGATTGGCGGCGCTCTGACAACCTATGTTACTTGGAGGTGGTGGTAAGTGCTCCTCCGTCCTCATCGCGTTCTCCAGAGCATACTCTTGCTGATGCTCCCTGCTTGCTAGTTTTTGGCTGAACCTCCCGATCGGTGGGTTCACTCTAGCTGCACTAATTTTCGTCTTCAAGCAGCCACCAGATCAAAAGGGCAAGGACGAGTCGTTGTTGTCAAAAGTCAAGCAGCTCAACATCCCAAGTCTGCTCGTCTTTACCGGCAGCGTCGTCTGTTTACTGCTTGCCCTCCAGTGGGGCGGCACAACGTACCCCTGGAGCAGTGGAAAAGTGGTGGCGCCTCTGGTTGTCGCAGGCGTTTCATTTACTGCGTTTCTGGCGTACGAGACTCTCCGCAAAGACGAGGCTATGATTCCGCGCTCGGTTATTCTCAATCGGACGTCAGGGCTGTGTATGCTTTATGCATTTTGCTCTTCCGCGGCGTTTAATGTGATTGACTACTTCGTGAGTGCCCCCTTGACATGACATTCTTCATCGAACAGGTTCGCTCACTCGCCATATCATACGCATAGCTTCCGATCTGGTTTCAAGGAATCAAGGGCGCGACGGCCGCCACATCGGGACAAATGCTGCTCCCCTCAATCATTGGTCTCTCCGTGGTGGCTACAAGCTCGGGCTTCATCCTCTCCGCAATCGGGTACTACACACCGCTGATGTTACTGGGCTCCGCCTTGATGGCAATAGGTTTCGGCTTCTTGACCACATTCCAACCCTCGACCACACATGCCGCCTGGATTGGGTGGCAAGTGATGCTGGGCGCAGGCACTGGGCTGGCGTTCCCACAGCCGTGGTCAGCGACGCAGACAGCACTCCCAGAAAAAGATGTGCCCCTCGGACTGGCAGGCGTGGGCTTTGCGATCAGCTTTTCCGCGGCGGTGTCGATTTCGGTGTCGCAGAATGTGTTTACCAATCTGCTCCGCAAGGGTTTGCAGGCAGGTGCTATCCCCGGCGTGGATGCTAGCGATGTCATCCAGCAGGGTGCGACGGGCTTCTTGCAGCATATCGCGGAAAATGAGAGGGAATCGGTACTGGTGATATATAACTCTGCCGTGACAAGCTGCTTTTGGCTGCCGGTCGCGGCCTCCTGTGTAGCGTTTGTTGCAGCCTTGGGAATGAACTGGAATTCGGTCAAGGAGAAGCAAACGGAGCGCGATGAGGAGAAGAAGGAAACTGGAAGTGAGGGAGAGCCGCTCGCATAGGCGCACACATAGAATGGTCCAGGAATGTTGAGGGATGCTTCAAATGTTCCAGGACGCGTCAGGCACTGGATCAACTGGTATTATCATATCACCTGCGCGGAGCGACTGGAGACAATCAAGTCGGAACATTCGTTCAGGATTCCAGATCATGATGTAGTAATATTTGAAGGCTCGGCATACTTGGCCCAGGTGCCGTCAGTACATATATATTCAATAATTTATATTAGTCATGACCCTCATAATCAAAGATCCATTTCTTCAGTTATTTAAGTTTATTCACATTTATGATGATTATTCTTGTAACAGATAATAACTATTCAATTATGTTTGTAGGTTGAGAAGGTGTTGGTCTTTATTCATATTTATTAGTAAATTTCTAATTTACTAGAATAGAAGCAAATCAAACATTTTTTGAAGCTCTTCATCAGCATTATTAACTAATAGAGATGATTGCCTACTATGAACACCAGGGCAGAATCTATGATAAATGTCAAGACCTTCCTAGGTAGATCTACGGCGGAAATTAGCGGCCACACAACAATACACCTGAGCATACAATTTTCCAGCGTTCAAACCCAAGATATTACTCAAATAACTAAATAACCATATTCTATGTGACGGTTAGCAGTCTGAATGATCTTTTTATATTTCCTGTTTGGAAATCAAGCCTATGAGCAAGTGAGAAGATGGTTGAAAACACGGTTAGAAAGACGGTTAGAAAACTAGTTAGAATGACACATAGGCGACTAATCAGAAAGACGGCTAGCCAAAAGCTAATTTGATGACTTGCATTTGATTTATTAATCATGAAAATTCATGTAACATTTGGATCTTCAAAATGGTTGAATTTTGATAGCATTGTCGTGAGGGTGGCCGCTACTAGTATTTTCCGCCGTAGACTATCCCGAAAATCAGGATGCGAATTGGAACAATTTGGATTTTATATATACTTCAACCTGATCCGAGTCAGATTTAGGTCAGACTCAGATTAGGATAAAACATTTGAAACTCGTAACCTGAATCGTCAGAATTTCCAAATCTAGTAACCTGATATCAATCTTAATTATACACCCGGAATTTTCCAGTACAGTACGTTATCTCCAGTTTGGTCGCTCCACAAATGAGATAGATGGCTCTTGTAGTCTACGCTAACGACAAGTTGCGCCGGCCCTGAAGTGTAGCGTAGTGATATTCAAGTGTCCCAGTGTTGTGAACATCTTCGCCCATCCATTATTCTATGGCACAAGGAATCCTTTCTTCTCGGACCCGCAGTATCGGTTGTTTTGCCTGGGAACATGATGGCCCATTCCTGCAGTTCTAGCCAGGCTCACTTTCTGCCCATTATTCAGCATTTGTGAACCGTCACTACGTGCATTAATAGAATCCACAATCGTTGGAGTATAACTACTTCGAAAGTAGTCGCTGGGAATTTTCTGCAAAATATATAGAAAGAGCACCCTAGCGGCGTCCCATGATAGACTGTCATGGAATAATTTTGATACGCATCCTCCTGAACTCCGGCCGGAGTGAAATATGAATTCCTCAAAATAAGCCCCGCCAGAGACATATTGGGGGTGTCGCTCACGATCTTAACGGATATACCTGCCTGCAGATCCTTGAGGCATCAAACACGAGATTCTGCTGCAGTAAGGCTGTCAACTTCATATGCACTGACCGGCGTCGTAGCATCCACCTCTGCCACTGTGGACGCTGATCTTAGCGAGAGGCTCTCGCCAACTCTGCCCTTCTTGCGGTTCGAGAGTCATGTTTAATTATTTATATTCAGCTTGATTTAGTCCACGCCTCCTTTCCGCTGATTCGATGGACAATGACTTAAACAACAGGATGACGAATGTGGCTACTTTGCTGTAATATGTGAGCTAGGCTAATCTACTTGCATTCTCACTCAAAGCAAGTTATTTTGCACGAAAGAGTCGAGTACGGACTGAATGTAGCCTAGACTAGAACACGAGCGTTCTCCACGCACTCCCGATCTCTCCATTAAGATAACATAGAGCAGGCCCGACATCCTGGATCGCCGCAGAGTTGGTGCATTGGAGTGCATGTCGAGAAACTCCACACAACTCACATATACTCACCGCAATCCTCGCTTGAGTTGCTGCCTGTCTCAGGTTACTGACTCAGTTATTTGACCTTTTAAGATTCCCGGGGGTTCCTTCGCCATGTCCATTGACAGGCAATTACATGTGCTAGCCATCTCCGCTGTAGTGTCCGCCGCGTCTGACGACTTGGAGTTCCTAGCTGCCATGAGAAGGACAGCTACGGCAAAGGCGTTTGCAGTGACTGCTCTAAGAGTAATCTTAGATAGTATCAGACCTCGCAATCCAGGGTCGCATTTCTCTACATATTGGACAACATATACCCGCCAGAGAGCCATTTCCAAGAATCTGATGTCATCGGGGAGAACATTCTTCGAGCGAAGACCATCTAATACATCTGTATAGGAATGCCAGAAGAAACGGAACATGCCATTGGCCAGATGATGTGAGGGGATCATGATATCATCAGCAACAGATTGATTGCAAGGTACAGCTCCTTCCAACACTGGCAATAAATCTGGGCCAAGCAGATAACAGGCTACTAGATACTGTATCGGTCAAAAATATTCGGTTAACCGGCAGTAGTTAGTAGCAGATAATCTGGTATTCCAGATTTGCCTATACATGACAGGCTCTATCTATTATCTCGAGCAGTAACATATCAGTCTACCTGACCTGAAATGTCCCCCCTAGCGATAAGCCAGCCCACATGCATTGTAGACCCCAGTATCCTGTCCGATCTTTGTGTTTCTTTGAGGACAGCTGGCTTACAGTGTACCTGGAATGATATTCGCAGCAACCACAGTTCCCTGCCCTAAAGTTAGAGATCAGGCTTGCATAGGATAAAACCAATATAGAGCCTAAGCCTTCGGTGATTTACATCCAATTATGTCTTCCTGTATATCTTGCATAATAGACAGAGGCAGGCAGATATCTGCCTTAGCTATTCATTAAACTCCATAGTCATATTATAGCTATGTGATTTCCTCTCTTAGTTACATGCAGCATGGTGAAATACAACAGCCTACCCAATAGTATCTTGCGGACAGCATGGACCAATTGTGTAGTACTTCAGGTCTAATCATCGTTGGTTTTCTCTTCACCGGTTTCTGTTGGCAAAGGACGCTCAATGGCTGGAGGGTAGAGAGACCTTCAGATGCATATGATGATGGAGACACCTAGACATCATGGGCTTGAGATATTGTACAAACTACTTACTGTAAGGCTATATCTGGCAACATTTTACCCTCTCTATCTTGGCATGAATTAACCAGTACCATATTCATCGACTTCGCAATCCTCGGTAAAGTTTCCTTGCGTTGCGTTTTATATAGACTTTGCCTACTTGGTGCCTGTCTATCTTAAAAAACTTGCATATCCCCAACAGGCCTGTCTCATACGTGGAAATCAGCCACAATGCGTCTATACTTGAACTCTCTATTCGGGCTGGCCGTCTTCTTAGGCCTTCTCTTCCAAGCTGCCTCCAGACCCCGTACGTACACTATACCCCGAACTTTGACATTGAATATCGTAATTAATACCACTGCAGTACACCCCGATACCTATCAATCCTCTCACCAAGATGGAAGCTGCCAACCTCCAAGAACCCCGTGCACTGGCCAAGCGTACCTGGAACCGTCCCCAATCCTCCAGAAAGTGGTGCAGGTAGTCTCCAGCCTCCACCAGACCCATCCTGCCCCAAAGCCAAAGCCAGAGCCGAACCCAACCCCGATGTACCTCAGCCTCTCCGTTCTTCGCCACGTTATCCAACCGATCAGAATGCAGGAAGAAACATCCCAACTGCAAGGTAGAAAACAACAAAACTTATTGAAATTGCGTATGCTCATTTCATAAATGCTAGTTGAAAGGCCGGTCTTATAATACCGAGAAATTTTGATCAATTCCAATATGGAACGGAGTGAAAGAGCTAGAGAGTCAATTTTGGGAATTTTGCAATGCCCAACGAATCTCATTTGCTATCAGTTCTGGCTCTGTGAGTTGGATATTATGGCCACTTCGTGTCGTTGCAGAGAATCGTGCCAGGCTCGACATATGGAGGAGCTCCCGCTGAAAGGATTCTTCGTTCTGCTCCCACTTTGCCAGATATTCGCGGAACTTGGCTCGCTGGACTTCAGTACCTCTTCCATTAGCCACGCCCGCCTTATACAATCGCTCGAGGTCTTGTTTTGAGTTTCCCATGAGCACACTGAGGGGCTTTCCCTTTAACAAGTCTTGGCCAGGGATTAACTGCTGCTTTTCGGCGATTACGGCGCGGCTAACTTGTAGATATGGCAGCTCTCGGCCTGCCTGTCGAGCATGCTTGCTGCTCGACTCCTCCGCCACAAGATCGTTCCACTCCGACTCCGTTAATTGATGGTCCTTTGTCAACCCAACTGTTTCCATGTAGTCCAGCCCGTCTATAACGGCTTCAATGCTGTCGTCCGGCCATGTTTCAAACTGCATGCGTTCCTGTACTGGGTCGACCAGAACAAGTCCATAAATGTCCTCGACGGGCCGGGCGGCGACGAATTCCCGGGCGAGAATTCCACCCCAGGAATGGCCCACAACGAGGTACGGCGGTTCCAGGGCGACTGCTGTCAACAGACGGGACAGTTCAGCCACAACAGTAATAGAGTCGGGTTCATTTGGAGACTCTTCACTGCGACCGTATCCCGAGCGTTCATATAATAGAACCGACATCTCGGACTCAATATGGCGGCAAACTGCGCTCCAGTCTAATGCGCTGCGTCTGATTCCGGAGAGGATAACCACCAAGGGCGCTCCAGGTTGCCTTGGAATGCCCCGCAGAGCATAGCTCAGAGAGTGGGTGCCGATGTGAGCGGTGTGCCGAAAGTGCTCCATGGCTATAAATTTGACATGCAAAAAACAATAATGTTGTAGTATTCCAAACTGTCAATGGATTGCTGAAATAAGAGGGAGCAGCGTGGAAATGTAGGGAAGACCACCCTATTTCGATCTACGTATCTGTTAGAAACAGAGCTAGTCCATATCAAATATTCGGTTAGTCTCGAATAGGAAATAGAGTACGATTGGTAAAAGGTCTTATTTGAATAATTTGAGCTGGTTGGGCTCTTCCTGATTATACTGATGATTATAATGATTGTTCTGATGGTTGTTCTGATTATTCTCCTTTTTTATGTTCTTTCGCTTGCTGATGGCCTTTTGGACCCCCTCCTTAGTCACATGATCCTTGCCACGTATAGCCATATTATTTGACAGTCCATATTGGGACATTATGTGAAGTAATAAAGAGATGCGGCTATACTATCACAACGAATTCAGAGAATATTCAAGCTCCCATAGAATCATCCATATGTTTCTGACAGTATCAGTTTGGTAATAGGATAGTGTCGGCTCCGTCGAATACAGTACCAACCACAGGGATATGAAAGTCTGATTCTTCTAATCTAATTAAGCAATAATAATGACTAAAACACAAAGAAAATAACTAGTAAACTTACTAAATATGGAATAAAACACGTTAGTTACTATCCGGGAACACGCTGGCACTGATCAAGGTAACTCCTTGGAGTTGAATCAGCGAATGGGGGTAAATTATTCAAAGGTTGATATTATGCTATCCACAAACTGCAATGGGTCACCCAACGTTCACAGCACCTGGCAAGTCCAAGCCCATCAGTATGGCCACTCATGTGCACTCCGGATGATAGATCTGGCACTGAGGAGTTTCGATCAAATCCAGAGCACAACTCTTGCAGCGAAGATTGTAGTTGACCTCGGCTACACGGTAATACATCAACGTCGTCTTTTGCATTTGCGGTAAGGAAATACGGCATCCTGACATCGCAGAAAGGCTGGTAGCTCAAATTGAGATGTAACGCCCGTCGGTATCAATAAACGTCCGATGGTGGTGCCGGCTTATCCGTGGGCTCCAGTAGGTTCTATGGTTCTATAGCGGAGAAAAGTCCCGTGGGTAGAAGTAATCGGATAGGATTGGCCATGTTCTATTTATTTTAGGCTTATCAAAGTTACACTATAGTGGAGAGAGCTATGTTATCGGACCACGTTTGGCAATCTAATTTCCCCACTTTATCCAGGCCCAGCACCTGTCCAAGCGAATGCATGCTTTGCTGAGGACAGGCGAACTAGCATCTTGTCCTCCACCTGCATAGGTTCTCAAATTATTTGAGCCCTGACACCCCTGTATTTTTCGGTTCTGGAGAGACATAATAGACTCCATATTCGCGTACCTCCATTTAGACTTAAGATGCCCTACGTAGAAAATCAGAACTTTAACGGTAGGAGCGGCGAGCGTGAGTGAATCCTCCGAAGAGCGCCCAGTGACAAAGCGCCCACTTTCTAGGATCAGAACCTCCTTCCTATATAGGATTAACTCGGTTTAGACAAATTCAAAAACCGCTTCTTGCTTCAATTATATTATTGATTGCACCATGTAACGTCAATATTGGTGGGTCTGTCCATTGGATGTTGCCTGTTGGCCCCACACGCTAAGCATTGAAGAAAACAAGCATAATACAGGCTAAGCATTTTGGTTATCCTAACTTCCGTTTTCAGCTGCTCCCTTATGCCCGCATACTATTCAGACACTGTTAAGACATTGGCGTACCATTTTTTCTTCCCTTCATTTTTTAAGAAGTAAAGAAATCGGGGGCCGGAGCAGAATGGACGCCGCATTCTGTCAGTCAGATGCACCAGGCCAATTGTAGTCCTACCTGTACACCGGAGAAGGCAAGTTGGGCCGAGCCATAGATAGCATAGATGTGGATCTAGATGGTGCCTCCCATATCTCCATCCCCTACTAATCTGGGGCTAACACGCAATATGAACGAGATGCTGGTATTAGGGCATAGGATAAGGTCTTGCCATTGGACTGCACAAACCCTCTGGGGCAATATCCGGAGGTCCACGCGACATATACACAGATATGGAACACCGTGCGTGATTTAGGGGTGTGATGCCGTAGAGACAACGTGTATCCATCTAGTCCGCGATAATAAACCAAATTACCAACTGATAATGGCATCTTTCGACGCATGTTGGCACGTGCTTCCCCAACAGGACTGCTTCTGGTCGGCTATCTATGGCCAAATTGCGCCGAGGGGGGTATTTCTATTCCTCCACGTTGTTTCATATAAAAGTTTGCCGGCCCTCTCCACTTGTTCCATCCCCTCTTACCTATTCCAAGGTCTATTTCATCTCCCTCTCCTTGTATATCATATGTCCAGTTATCTACCGTATGCCTACTATGAAGACCACGGAGATTGAGCAGGTGGTAGCCCCTCCGGTTTACACAAAGCAGGAAATGGAGGCAGAACCACAGATTCTTCAGCGCACGTGGGGCCTGGCAGCCCGTGTGGATCCCAGCGTTACCTTTGAAGAATATGTCTATTGGGCTCAGGTTGAACGCGCGGAAGAAGAAGAGGCAAACCGGCAGTATATTGAGGAACGCGGTCCCCTGACAGCAGGGAAGATCATAAAGAACCGTTTCTCCAAGGGTATACACCATGAGAAAAAGAAACAGCTGCACGAGGCAAGTGCGCAAATCACCCAGGACTCTAACGATACAAGTGACCCCAATGAGTCGGAAAAGAAAGCCACTATGGCCCTTAGCACAACGGTTTCGTCCTCCACAGTGTCGCAGGAGGAATGGAAGACTGCTTCCAGAGCATTAAGGACGGCTAGCTGGGGAACCATCTTTTATCTAATTACGACGGATATTCTGGGCTGGAGTTCGTGCCCGTGAGTATTGAGTGCTTCCTCTTCCCCATGACAGAGTATTTATATGGCTCACAGACTGACAGATCTCCAGATTTGTCTTCGCTAGTGTAGGTTGGGGACCCTCTGCCGCTCTGTATGTTGTGTTCGGCATAGCCGCTGGCTTCAGCGGCTGGATCCTCTGGAAGGTGTTCCTAGCCCTCGATTCCTCTCGGTATCCTATGATCAGTTTTGGCGACACCTACTTTCGAGTATACGGGCCCAAGTGGCGTCACTTCATCAATGTCGCCCAGTCAATACAGCAGTTCATGACCGTAGCTGTGCTGATTCTCGGAAACGCCCAGAATCTAGCTCAGCTGTCAAACAATAAAATCTGTTTCGTGGTTTGCATGGTCATCTGTATGGTAGTTGGAATGGTCTTTGGAAGCATTCGCAGTCTACAACGTCTTGGGTGGTTGAGCAATGCGGCTGTATGGCTGAATATTGTTAGCTTTATCCTCATGTGAGTTGAAGAATCATGAATCCATACACTTGGCAATGCGGTTAATCGGGAGTATAAAGTATGATTGCGTGCTCCCACTTCGGAATCGACTACCAGGCTGTCATCTCATCCACACGTATCAAGAGCATTGAAGCGATCAAAACATTTGCCGGCCCCCCTCTAGATCAGTACCAGCAACAAGCTACTGGTTTTACGGGACAGTTTAACGGTGTTGACCAGCTTGTTTGTATGTCAACGAACCAATTAATTTTATAGCCTGCTACTGATCACTTGGATAGATAGCTATGGCGGTGCTATCCTTTTCGTTGCCTTCTTGGCTGAAATGCGACACCCTTGGGACTTTTGGAAGGGCCTGCTAGTTGCACAGATATTTATCTGTCTTGTCTACATTTTCTTCGGTGCTTTTGTAAGTCGTACCTTCTCACTCTAGTTCCTACTATGTGACCAGAAGAGAACTCATAGAAGAAGGTATACGGCCACTATGGCCAATACTCTATCTCGAATATCAACAACGTCGTCCAACCTAAGGGTATCCAACTTGCTGGCAATATCCTAAGCTTGGTAGTCAGTTTTATAGCATGCAGTACAGTCTCTCGCGGAACTTAAATTACTGCAAGTTAATATTTGCTAACACATCATCAGTACTCTACTTCAACATTGGCATGAAAACAGTCTATCAGGAAGTCTTTCAAGAAATCCTCCACTTTCCTGTCATCACCACGAAGAAGGGTCGCATCCTCTGGCTTGTTCTGGGCTGTGCCTATTGGATCGTTGCCTTTCTTGTCGCAGCCGCCGTGCCCAACCTGAACGGCATCTCTTCTCTAGTTGGTGCTCTTCTCATTCTTAACTTCACCTACACCTTCCCTGCGTTTCTGTATATCGGGTTCCGATGCCAGATGGACGCCGCTCTACCCGGTGAAGGGTTTGACCCTACAACACGCACTACGACGCGCCACGACAATGGCTGGAAACGCTGGGTAAGAGGGTTCAAAAAGAACTGGCATATTAATATCCTCAGCGTTCTGTACTTCTTGGCTGGGCTTGCGTGCTCGGGAATGGGGTCATGGGCGGCGATTGAGGGCTTGATTGAGATATTTGGGCCGGGAGGTACGGTTGCGACTTCATTTGGGTGTGCAGCTCCAGTTTGATGTGCCGCAAATACTCCTTATATGCTGGTACATGAACGATCCTGTGCCTAGACTCGAGTGTCTTGTCTTCTGATTAGTTGCTTTTTTGTTTTCCTACGTGTTCCTGGCCCTAGTATGCGCGTTGAGGTCCGGCGGCTGAGATTGTATGGTACGTTTGGTGATAACTGCTTCTTCCCATTCCTGAACTGTGGCAAGTAAAATGACATGTATTACCCGCGGGCCGGTGCGCTGTGTATATGGTATCTATCCCTGCACGCTCATCTGTCTGTCTGACAGTATTTGTTGCGGATAGAGCTTGATCGAGTAGAAAAGCTTATACGGAGTATATTCTGTATAGATAGACCCATATTAGCTGGCAATCAATCTGACATTCATCTTATGTATAAGTCCCCAAATTTACAGAGGAGCATAGTAACAGACAACCTTCCTCTGAATTACAAGAAGTTATAAGGTGGGGAGTAGCGCTGTTAATGATTAGACGATTAAGACGATATAAAAATTAATTACGATAGCATGATATCTTAAAAATGAATCACAACCAAGTAGATAAGATAGTCTTAAAGATTTTTAGCTCTAGCTATTTTAAGAATTTTATTCAGCAAGTGCTAATGAAAAGGTATCATATGATAACTATTTTACTATGTAAAGAATCTATCTCTCGAATACCTAGATTTAATATGCCAGGGTAATTTAAGCTTGTATTAATAAGTTACATTAACCAAGGTACGTGTCTTGATGGAGCCAAGGGAGGAGGTCAAAAACCAGGTTCAGTTGGATATTAGACTGGTCCAGCACAACTTAGTCCCGCATTCTCTGGAGAGTATGCTGAAGGCATTCAGCCACCGACACATAGGTGTTGGCCATCCATGATTTTATTCTATATTACGACGGAATGATGTACTCTGGTCTACGAATCTTGCCTACATATGTGTCTGGTAAGGATTCCACTGCGAATTCTAAAGGTTAGTCTAGTAATAATTCTACTGCTACCTTCCTCCGAGATTGTGATTTCTTGCCTAGTTGACAGGCTGATCTATCCTGAATAGTAGAGCTATCATAAAAGGAACTGCACTCAGCTAAAATTGTACAAGTCTAATTCTCGTCGTCCACGATACTTCCGCGCCGCATTCCCCATCGTCCCTGTAACCATCTCGATGGCTCTACCGACCGTCTACTGCGTCCTACTGGGACTGACAGCAATGTATCTCACCAAGCTGATCTTATTCCCCAAGCAGAGAGCGGCACCGTTGCCTCCAGGTCCCAAACCCAGACCAATTATTGGTAATTTAGGCGACCTGCCTCCGCCTGGAAAGCAAGACTGGCAACATTGGTGGGAGTATAAGGAGCGCTATGGTGTGTTTCGACGTTGGCATTTTTGACTCGGATTAAATTAAATAATCGCATACAGGACCCATCAGCTCCATTAATATTTTCGGCAAAATAATCATCATCGTCAATGATTTCCACATCGCTCACGACCTGCTGGAAAAGCACTCGAGCAAATATAACTCGCGACCGCAGTTGGTATTCGCCGGAGAAATGTTGGTCACTCTTCCATGCATTTCACGTCCCGCAGTTAACATCCTGGCAGGCTGGGCCTCAAGCACACCTTCGTGATGCACCCCTACTCTGATCTATACCGGCCGTATCGAAAGATAATGAATCGCCTAATGGGCTCCAGGAATGCAGCCTCGCAGTTCAACCCGCTGCAGCATCTCGAGACACGTCGCTTCCTGCTGCGCGTTCTGGAAGACCCCACTGATATTGGCAAACATGCTCACACGTAGGTATAACCAAACACTGTACCGAGTACATGGCGTAGCTAAACGTGGACCAGCGAGGCCGGCGCAGTAATTCTGAAAATCGCTTATGGATACACGATCGAGCCTCATTCACCCGACCCACTTGTTAATCTGATCGATCTCTCCACGAAGATCTTTTCCCTCGCTGCAACCCCGGGGATGTGGTTGGTGGATACCTTTCCATTCTGTATTTCCCCCCTACTTCGTCCCTATCTGGCTCGTACTAACCAAGATAGTGAGATACGTTCCATCTTGGTTCCCCGGCGCTAAGTTCAAACGCACCAGCCTCGCCTGGCGGAAAATCCTAGTTAGCACAGCGGAGAAACCCTTCAGATTCGTCCAGAACCAGATGAGACATGGTTCATATCCCCCATCCTACGTAGCTAGTCTACTCGAATCCAGTGAGGGAAAGTTCACACCGGACGAAATAAACATAGGCAAATGGACCGCGGCGTCACTGTATGCTGCGGGCGTAGATACTGTATGTCCGACTCACTAGACATATGCTTACATTTCGCTGACTCCATTAGACCACATCTTCAGTAGAATGCTTCTTCCTGGCCATGGCACTATACCCAGAAGTACAGGCCAAAGCTCAAGAGGAACTCGACCGCGTACTAGGACCCAACCGACTACCGACTCTCCAAGACCGCGAAAATCTCCCCTATATCGATGCCCTAGTCCGGGAAACTTTCCGATGGCATCCAGTTACGCCCATGGCCGGCCCACATCTCTGCTCACAGGATGAAATTTATAAAGGCTATCTCATCCCAAAGGGTGCTGTGGTCCTCCCAAATCTCTGGTGTGTCCGTCCTATCCATAGCCCTGTATATATGTAACTAATAGAAGAAGGACCTTCACCCACGACGAAACCATCTACAAGGATCCGATGTCCTTCAATCCCGAACGGTTCCTCGGCTCGGCGCCCGAACTCGACCCGCACTCAGTGGCCTTCGGATTCGGTCGTCGGATGTGTCCCGGTCGGTTGCTCGCGGATAACTCGCTCTTCGGGTACGTTGCACAGTCGCTCACAGTGTTTAATATCTCTCGTGAAAAGGGGAGTGACCCAAAAGCGGAGTTCTTGCCCGGCGTGATAAGCCACCCCGCTCCGTATCCGTTGAAGGTCACGCCGCGCAGTGAGGATCATGAGAAGCTGATTCGGATGGTGGAGTCGGAGCATCCGTGGGAAGAGAGTAATGCAAAGGATGTCGAAGGCATTGTGTGTTAAGTTGAGTGCTGATGGTGCTATTTTTATGACGGATCGGATGGATACGTACTGAAAAAATTGTTTTAATTCTTTTCTGTAGTATGCAAAAACTCCACCAGCGAATTGACTGGTACCACTGAATCTAAGCATGGAGTCGCATCATTTACAGCGGGGAAGCCACGAGCATAATCTATCCTGTGTTTTTCCTCTGGGCCAATAGTGTCTGATTCAAAGTCAAGGTCCACTGCATTGGCTACACTGCCTAAACCTCCTTGCCTCCGTTGCTATCACCAGCACAGTATCCAGTTCAGTATCAACAATTAAGTCTAAAGGTCATATCGACATTGCCCCCTTTGACCTTCACAGACGTTCCAGAAGGTTTTTATGCCATCAATATCCCATCGCCCAGCCCTAATAATACGCTGTCAATAACAACTGAGGATAGCCATCTGTCTATTCTTCCTGTTATTAGTGGCATGGCACTCTATGGTATTAGCATGCCAGGAATATATTCTAATCTCCCTGGAGCTTTGGGGTCTGTCACAATTCCTTTCCTGATTAACTGTAGTGCACCACCCTCGGGCGGCGGCGACGGCAGAGGAGGTGGGGGTAATAATAATAGAAACAACAATAACAACAATAACAATGATGATAATGATGATTCAACAAGAAGCATGTCAAGAACTACAAGTTAGTAATCAGAAACCATTCTTAAACTACGACGCAATCTACGAGAGTCTCATCGTGCACTTCTGCCACAACCACAATATTTATAAGCAAAATCGTGTAGTGTACGCCGGTGGCTACATACCTTGATAAAATATCCACAACCATCACAACCTACACGACATCGGCAGAGATAAAATCTGTTAGTGCATGTGGTAATATTACAGAGACTGCAGCAGCTAACACAACCACTGTTACTGCTACTTGCAAACAACCAACCAGTTGGGCCAACGTGGTGGACAAAAATAACTTTCTTATTTACCAATCCCTTGGGCAGGCAGGTATAGCTGCCCCTGGCAGTATTAGTAGAGCATCGGGTACTGCATCCGCTACTAACAAGTTCTTAGTTCTATTATGGCTAGGCACGAGCTCTCCCATAACTCAAGGATCTGCAGTGGCCTCTTTAGCACATCTGGTACCTGGGCCTTGTTCTGTGCACCAGGGCCTGGAAACGGCTTGTCTATACCCCGGGGAGCTGCTACTTGCACTTCCGTATCCTCGGGAAATGGGCTTGTTGTTGACCTTAATTCACGGATACTAGCTTGGAACCCGTTTAAGTACACTACTTACGGTTAGTGTGCTTGTAACCACCACCAGTTGCATAACAGATGGGGCTCCCTGGTCAGCCCCAGCAGCTGGTGCTAATATGAACCGAGCTTAATCTACCTAACGTTGCTGGCAACCTCTAATAGTATAATTACAACTTGACGCACATCACTGCTGGCATCAACCATGCAAACAGTGACTACAAGCGCGCCGCCAATGAATAACATCCCAGGTAAATGTAGGGTTCCAGGTTGTACGGCAGTTTCGTCCAGTTGCCTACTGCAGCTAAAGTGGCACGCCCGCTTCCACCCTCAGTCCTAAAACAAACAGGCCCCCAAATCATGCCTACACCGTCCAGCCCACCAGCTTTTATAATCCACAGTAATTAATTGCTACTCCCCTACTGCCACCATTACTCATATACACCCCTTGGCGGTGCAATGTGCATATCTGGGAAGCCATTGGGCAGGAAATAAGCGACCCCCAAGTTAGTATCAGCGTTACAATTATAAAAAAGGATAGCAACACTATTGGCAACAACTCCGGCTCCTTGGACAGGGGTAAAACCCTGGAGACTAACAGTGAGGTCCCATGGATCCTGCAGGTAACTCTGTAAAAAAAAGAAAGAAAATATAGCAGCCGGAGGTGCTTGTTTAGGATCTTTTTTAGAAAAATGTAGGTGGACCTACCCACACCGCTACAACGCTGAAAGCGGTGAGTACCGTAGGTGTGCTACGGCTAATTCTATGCGAGTCGGATATCGTCTAGAGATTGATCCTTACTATTAGTCTACAGCGTAGTCTGAGAATAAGTTCGGAATACGAAGAACACGATAAATCTCGCATAGATAAAAAGGCTAGCCCTTGAATGAAGTGTGAACCTTGGTAGCCGCACCAACACTATCAAGGTTCAAGACAACTGATTAGACTCGATCATGATGGGCCTAGGGTTCTCTTGCGGGCCCCTCACGTTGTTGACTTCATTTCTATCTGGTGAACAACCCTATCCAGACTTCCCTTCACTCCGCTGTTTCGCCCAAAATGGCAGACGCAACCTTCCCCTACAAGTACAAAGTAAGGAATGGCAGTGTGTCGAGTCAGACATGGCCAAGTCTTCAACTCCCCACCGTCATTTTCGCCAATATTAATTCATGAACAATACCCGATTTAGAACGCCAGTCACTTCGTCCCGATACGGAAATCAGGACTTTCGTCCAATTCCTTCCTACCACCCGAGAGCTAGGGTTGGCATCGACCTTCTCTACAGACATTCCACCAGTGAGCGTGCACGACAAGCCTGTCCAGGGCGTGATTCGACGGCTAGGTATGCTTGTCTCGATATACCCCTTCTCGATTAGGGATGGGGATTGGAAATTTCCTGGAAAGAAAAAAGTATTTAGACATGTTAAGTTTCACGCTAGACTAATATTAGAACAGCAAAAATATCTAATTAAACAAGGAAGTTCCTATTAGGAGTATATACTTTATTTTTCACTATTTTTATGGTTTTTTATTTATTGTTTGATGCTATATCATAAAATATTACATGGTTAAGTAACTGTAATTGGATTAAACTAGATTCACCCTTTTAGCGTCGTTTCCAGATTTTAAAGAGAAAAAGAGGTGTAAATTTCCCCATACCTACTCTTGATACGGGGGATTCTGCATTATCAGGGAATATTGGGTAAGATGCTCGACCCTTTATTTACACAATCATCCCTGATCTGCTAACCCTTTCCTCCGAGGTAAGTGTATGCTATCTGGATCCCTTACTCCCGTTTCCCATCAAGCCGGTGTTTCAAGTGTTCCAACTCACTTACTCCCTCGCCATCATGGTTGCCTTGTACACTCTCAGCTTGGGTTTGTTGGCCTCGCAGGCTTGGGCTTTACCCGCTGTTCAGTGAGACAGCCGTTGCCTCGTCGCAGCTCGATCAGCTGGCCAACTTCGCTTACAATGTCACCACCCACAGCATAGACGGCGACTCCAAGAACAAGGGCGGGGGTGCAACTTGTGGAATCTGCGTATCCGCCGCGAATGGAGGACTTTCACCACATCCCAGAGGAAAAACTACATCAAGTCCGTGCTGTGTCTGCAGAAATTGCCTTCGCGTACCCCAGCCGACATGGCCCCCGGGCCAAGACTCGGTATGAAGACTTTGTCACGACGCACATCAACCAGACCTCGCAGATTCACTATACGGTATGACTCGTGGCGGGACCCTCTTATATTTGCACACCGACCATGCCACTGACATTGGCACAGGGTACCTTCTTAGCCTGGCATCGCTACTACGTCTTCCAGTTCGAGCAAGCTCTTCGCAACGAATGCGGATACACCGGTGACATCCCGTGACACTCCCATCCAACTGCTATCCCATCCAGTCCTTCGGACCGACTGACAATTCTCTGGCTAGGTACTGGCACTGGGGCGCTGACACCCACAGCTTGGAGGAATCTCCGATATTCGACGGCAGCGACACCTCGATGTCCGGCAACGGGGTACCGATCCCCAACCAGCTGCACATACAGCTCCACCTCGGCGACTACCCCTCCATCGACCTTCCCCCAGGCACCGGAGGAGGCTGCGTCACCAGTGGCCCCTACTACAAAGTGCACCTGTGCCCAGCAGCTCTAGTCCTACCGGGAGGAAACACCTCCGCAGCGGAGAACCCGCTCGCGTACAACCCACGCTGCATGAAACGCTCGCTCACCACCGAGATCCTCCAGCGAGACAGTAGCTACCCGAAGATCGTGCAGTTGATCCTCGGCACCGACTCCATCTGGAATTTCCAGATGACTATGCAGGGGATTCCCGGTAGTGGATCCATCGGCGTGCACGGCAGCGGCCATTACTCCATGGGTGGTGATCCGGGACGCGACGTCTTCGTTAGTCCTGGCGACGTGGCGTTCTGGCATCATCATGGCATGGTCGATCGGGTGTGGTGGATTTGGCAGAACTTGGATCTTAAGAATCGTCGGAATGCCATCTCCGGTACGGGTAGTTACTTGAATAATCCGCCCACGCCGAATACGACGCTCGATACTATTTTTGATCTGGGATATGCAAATGGTGGGCCCATCGCTATGCGGGATCTTATGAGTACCGCCTCGGGACCTTTCTGCTATGCGTATTTATGAGCACTGTCTGAGGATATCTAGATAGAGTGGTTAAAGCTCTGAAACCCGTATGCAGTATACTATACATATTTAGTAGACGCAATTAATCATTTCTCAGTGGTATCCATTAAAAGCAACATGATAGCATAGCATGGATTAGGCTCTTAGCCCTTTTTCTGAGAAGGTTGATTTCTCCTGATTTCCATATCACCTTGTACAATCCACTTACTAGCCTCGATTAACTGGATAACATTCACGTACTGCTTGAGAATCATGAACACCGAGGAGACCGCAAGTAACTTCCGTGGAACAGCACTGTCTATCTTATTGGCACTGACGTATCTCTCAGCATAATATTTCACCGGTACCGTATCTGAACCTACCGTGCTAACTCCATTGCTCCAGCACTCCAGGGCGAACTCCATATTTGCGCAGAGGTTGACTGCGCGCCACTGGCATTCCGGTTTTCCAAGACAGACGGCGTTAAGGTTGGCGATGAGAACGAGAGAAGATACAACGCGATAAAGAAAAGTTCATTCATTGCGCAGAGAGTGCAAAGAACATACTAAGAGCTATTAGCTGTGCCTGTATTTGTTTTTTCTTCTTCTTAAAAAAAAAGGTAGCATACTGTATTCGAGTAATAAACTCGCATAATCCAAGGCCACGTCTCATCCATTTGTTTATGACTCCGTCCGCCTCCCACTACCAAAGTCGCATACATATGGGCATAGTGGCTTGAATAGTCCAAGCTAATCAACCCTTGGAATACAATACTCCATCTGGGGAATGCGCTGGCGAGGAAAACCAGTAGACAGGTTGTTGTACACCGATCAGTAATCATATCTAAAACTGCACCAAATCTTGTAGATTGTCCAAGACGACGAGCCGCAGCTCCATCTAGGGCATCAAGAAGACAGGATATGCTATACAGAAATGAACATGTCCGAGGATGTACGGGCATATAATAGAGGGATGTAATGGCGAAGAGAACACGGGTGTATCCTAGACATGTCAGGGAAACGTCAATCAAGGTAAAGACACAATTTACCGATAAGATTTGGGATGAAGAGGAAAACATTCTCTTGGATGTGTTTCTCGAGGGTTTTGTTGATCGAATGCCTGGCCATAGTAAGTTCTCTATCCATTTGTTATATAAATGTCAATTACTTGCTAGAGACAGTAGTTTGAGAAACAGATTTTTCGAACTAAGTCAGATGATCGGATCCCTGCAATCGGATTCGGATTTACTGGGACCCGTTCAGCTCATTATGCTATGAAAAGAAGACAGCCTCTAACGGATGGTGTAGATCCTGCAGGCATATTTAGAATTGGACAAACAGACGGTTGGCTCAGCGAAAAGCTTTCCTGCATGGCCATGACTTCGTCGACATTAAGGCGACGAAGTAAGAGATATATCCGAACGAAATGTAAGTTCCATAGCGCTTACAAGCATCAACAAGGAGTATGAGGTTATCCTAAGAGACCTGGGGCTGATCCCCGTCTCCAGCAGATCATTATAGCTTCAACAGTATATGCATAACCTTGATCATTATGCAATCCAAACATGCACTTCTGATGTTTGAAGTCGTTGAGAGGGACATAAGCATGGGCTAAAATATAAGTTTGGAACATTGTTTGCATTACTTGGGACTTATAATATAGACCTAAATAGTGGCGTGGCTATAGCGTAGTATGTCCGTATGGTGCAGATAAAGAGAGATTTCTCATTGTCCTTGACACTTTTCACTCCCGGTAAGTCCCACAAATCTAACTCTATATCCAAATTCTGTGTCTCAATGAGCTGGCCCCAGGAGGCGCCAGTGGGAACTCAATCATCACGGAGGAATTTTCAATCCGTCCAAATAACAGCTTCCTGGACGAACGTAGCAACAAGGTTTCCATCCCGGTCAAAGCACGATGCGCGCCCTAACACAGTTCCCCCAGATGCAGCAGGAGAATCGATGCTAAAGAAGTGCCAGTCACTGAAATCGCTCACCCTCATAATCCATGCGCTGTGACTCAGACTAGTTGTGAACAGGTCCGGCGACTGCCAGGACAACCCATGCCTGGAAAGCCCTGCCTCAATAATCGGATAGTCGGAAGCGTAAACGAGCGCCGCAGTCTGCAATGCTGAAGAATTCCCCAGCGCGCAAGTACTCCGCATCCAAAGTATCTCGCTGCCGTTTGGATCGAGGTCTGGGACCCAACGTGCCTCAATCCCCGGCGGTGGCGGCCTGCGCTGCTTACTCTTGGTAGGATACTCCGAGGGAAATGTCATCGTCGGTGTCGGTGGCTGATGCGCGACGCCAGGATGGGGCTCGCGGAACGACAGGCTGGCCGAGAAGATCTCCCGGTCATCTTGGGATGCAGTGACGCGACGCATGGAGAAATTTCTCCCGGTCATGGTCTCGCCAACAGCAAAGTTGGTGGTGACCTGGGGCTGCGCGCGTCGAACGAATGTTGCCTGCAGCGAGTGGCATTGTCTTTTGCCTACATCAGTGGCGGCAACCATGATGGCTCGTGCCATCAACAGGCCGCCATATACTGGATCTGGAATGCGGGACGGACTAGCCTCGAACAGACACGGTGCAATGGGGTAGGTCTGGAAGGCGGAGGCGAGGTCATAGCATTCTCCGTCCGACAGTAGCAGGGAGGTCATTGAGATTGGATCTTGGTGTAATCCGCCTATTGATTTATGTAAGGCCCTGAAAGGTGGGAGTAGACTTGTTAGTACATTTTTTATTATGATAGTCTGCTTTGCAAAATAAGTTAGGGCCATATCAATATTTCGCCCCATAAGCGATCCTTTTGTTCCCTATGGCCTTAGGGGCTCTCTAGGCACTCCCCGGGGCCTCAGGAGGTTCCCCCCCTCCACCCGGGGAAGCTCCTTCCCGAGTACGCCCCAACGCTCCACTAAAGCACAGTGAGACACCCGCCGATCCCAGTTAAAAACCCACAATGGTCTAACTTTCTCATAGGGTGTTGTGCTTCGGTTGTACATTTTGGTGGCTCTCCATGATAAAAATATGTATGTAGTTCCTACTAGCCTCCACTCCATTGGCCCACTAAAATAGGAATTAGAGCCAATTATAGGAAGAATACAGCGTTGAAAACAGGATTTTGAGTAAATGAAAACCACTAAGAAATCCACTCCTTCCATTGCTCCGGAAGGGTTTAGTGGCGGTACATCCATGGTACATCCCCTCTTTTAGGGCGGAGACATTACGCATAAAAAACAAGGATAGGCTAACACGATTCTCGTTCTCCTCGGAGAGTTGGGGCTCCAGGCTCCAGGGGTCTAGCGTATGTAAAGATGTCCAAGACCAGATAACGATATCTATTCCTTGTTTGTGTCAAATAATATGGCTGTACGTGACAAGGATCATGTGATTAAGGAGGGGTCAAAAAGGCCATCAACAAGCGAAAGAACATGATCAAGGAGAAAAACCATCATAATAATCATTATAATCATCAATATAATCAAGAAGAGCCCAACCAGCTCAAATCATTCAAATAAGACCTTTGTACCAATCGTACTCTATTTCCTATTCGGGACGAACCGAATATCTAACAGTTTGGAATACTTGGAATGGGGACATACCGGAATTAGGCAAAGCAAACTTGGCAGAATATGCACGGTACAAAACGGTTAGGCAACGTAAAAGAAAGGTGAATGGTTAGAGAGAAAAGTCGGCTACATGTACCTTTTAGTTGCTCCGTACAAGCCCAAGGAATATTAGTACTACTATTACTCCTACCAGGCAAGGATCAGGCTGCAAACCGGCTGGGGGCTCGTCCACTCTCTCGTTAGTAGTAAAAACAATCGGAACCCTTATAGGTATATGATCACTTCACACGTATTATTTAGAACAATACAACATGCCACAACACTGAAATCTAGATTGACATTATCCAAGAGATCATAGATCAAAATTCGTATGGACCCTTGATGCAACTGCACTGGCTCTCTCCATATTCAAATCTCCCCCCGTGATTACGATCCAAAATCGCCAGGGATCGTTCGATGCGCAATTCATCCTTCAGCGGGTGGGGGAACCTAGACCGGATCTCCAGAGCTGCACGATCTGCCTTTTCAATCCCCTCCAAGTCAAGATATCCGCCCGTGCGGAAATATTGCGAAAAGGAGTTCATCGACTCGACAATCGATACGCAATACTTAACTGGAAGCCGGTACTCTGCGCCATTGCGGAGTTCAATCAGCCAGGCAGTGACGGCGCCGCGCGCCTGGAGATTGCAAATCAACTGAGCTTCCTCGCCCGCCGAGTTGACGTATTCGCAGACAAGGAGTTTCAGGTTCGAACGGGGGTATGCCGCACGACCAACTGCATTGGGATCGCCGGCAGAAATTACCCGTGCTGCCTCCACATACGCGTCTGGAATGCCGAGCCGCGAAGCTAAATTATCGGGCACCCCACACCAACTCGCGATCCAACGCGTCGGGACTGATCGTCCATCCAACTGCATTGGCATCGTGAAGTCGACCATCATCTCGGAGGCATCGGAGTTTGGTGCTGCAGCCTCCTTCGGTGGAAGTGGCACCCCATCGAGCGAGGAGAAGGACAGTCCCCGCGTGCCGTCGTTTTTAGCGAGGAGATCGTACGCAATCTCCTGGATCTGTGGCGTGCCGAACTCTACATCAGTGGGTCCGAGTATCGCACCAGAGATCAACAGATGCAGATCGTGAGACAGCTTGTCGACGAATGCCCCTCCAATGATATCACGTCGGGCATTCGGGTTCCTCAAACGCTCGAGGGAGACTGAATTGACGCGAACGAAGGAGAACGAGCGGATTTCCGATGCGTCGGCTGCCAGTTTGTTCGCCAATGCCCGGACCACAGGGTTGAATGCCTCTGACATGCTCACCGAAGCTTCGCTCTCCCGACCAGCGAGCGACACCTCGACGCCCGGAGAGGAAAGAGGCTTTTCCAATAATACTGGGACGCCTACACGTCGGGCTGCGGCCAGCAGTCTTGCCCGGCCAATGGGTGAGGTGAAGTCTTTGATGAAGGTGGTAGGGCCGGCAAAGACCTCCAATGCTTCCTCAATGTCTGCAAAGCAAGGTATATCTGGATGGCTCGTCTGCGCCATCTGCAGCCGTCCAGGGTCTCGCTCAACGATGGCAACAATGCGGAATGGCACCTCGTCGACCGATTTCCACGTCTTCTGGACCCGACGAGTACCTTCGATCACTCCGGTGATTCTTGAACCAAGGTAGCCAAATCCATGAATAATGCATTGATCGAGCACGACTTGGCCTAAGGAACCCATCGTTGTTTGTGGAGACTATATGCAGCCTTATACTGAGGGAGAAACAAAGATTGTTTTATTATTGAAGATCGGGAGAGGACTGTTTGAGCGAATTCAAAGGAGGGATTGATACGCCCGTACCAAGTACGCCATTCTTATATACCTCGCACTCCACCATATACGTGATCGCTTCTGCGTATACGCGTCAGCTTCAATATGTAACAGGCTTACAGCGCAGGTGGAAAAGTCCCCATGTCAATCTAGGAGTGAATAATTTGTTTAAAACATTGGAGGGATTTACACCCATGATCATCATTCAATATTCGGCTTGGTGATCATTCCTATTAAGATCTATACGCCTGCAGCGATGAACGGAACCCAGGTATTGCTGTATTAGGCCTAGGCTAGCAAGATCTGACGTTATACCCCAGGGCCGGAAGCTGATTTTATATTGTTATAATATTAGCTATCTGATTTAGTCAAACGTGCTGTATGATTCTGTCAAATCTACCACGTTTCATCATGGTACTTGAATCCAACCCTGATAGTAATCCTCTTTTGGCCAGTAGGAAGTTTTTTCCAACATTGTATGAGAATTTTATTGCAGTGGAATGTTGTCTGATTGATTGTATGTTACTATTTTTATTCAACTATATATAGGTGGAGCTATTTCGCAATTCTAATACAGTATTTATCAATCGGTGCTTTACCTGCTTAGGATAAAAAGTAGAACATCTCTGAGTTGTCCACTACGAGGATGTATATTGAATGGGTAAGATTCCCGAGTCGAAATGATCGGGGTACACCTTCCAACCATAGCTACATTACTCTCATTTTGTTTATTTCTTGGCTGCCAGGGCGAATACTCCAAAATCAATCCCGATTCAATTGACAACTTGCTCTTGCTTATGGGTGCTTTGAACCCATTTTAGTTCGAGCCTTCAAATGCAGGGGTAATCCTTCAATGCTCAACTATATGTGCAGTATTTTACAAGGTTTAGAGACGTAAGGCTAGCCCTCTAAGCGAGCATGTGCTTTTGTATGTGTTCTCTATAGGCCATGCAAGTCATAAATTAGCCTATGAGCCACCGGAACGCTCTCCATCCTTCGATTTACGGCCCATGCTGATCATCGACCAGTCGGCTTGCAGAATCTCATAATTGTTGCTTTATTGTGATGTCATTGGTCATCTCCTCGGTAAAGTTGTACTCCGTGCCCTGTTCCGTGAGCCGAGTGAATATGCGTGGTCGCCCTAGTGGGTTGATGATTCCCTGCCGGTTGATCTCTCTCGTCTATCATTTACTGTGGAATAGTAAAGCCAAGCTGACTCGCGCTCAACGGAGTCATAGATTGGCTACTCATGCCGATCGACTCAGAACAGGAATGTATGAAACGGTAGCCCCAGTTTTCCGCTGACTTTTGAGGGTTCAGTTGGTCGTATATTTAGGTAGCATGTCTCTGCGCTCCTTCGCTCTTCGAACGACCTCGCCCTCATGCCATTCTCGTTGTCTTCAGCTTGTTTAGCGTTGCTAAATTTGGGAGACCAACAGCTACTCGTCTGACAGATGCCAGTTGAAGATGTCCATAAGGCACCAGATCTGCAGCTATAGATTCCGAAACGTCCCCTGTTCATCATCAGGGGTGTCCCTACTGAAACCTACCTTTCGAGCTTCGTATACGGGTGTAACCTCGGCTACACAGTGACTGGTTGAATGTCGATCTCCTGCAACCGTGACTATTCTGCATATTTCTCCCCTCCCCATGTCAGAATCAGTTACAATAGTGTTGTTGTTTCTGCACATCTCATATACATACATGTGCACCCGATCTGAACCGCCGAGCATCTCCGGCCGCTCCTGTGCTGACCGACGGTATCAAGAGTGACAGGGACGCCCACGGTGCTCCAACGGGCCCTCCGTGTCTTGATTTTCATGATTTTGGAGACACTGATCGGCGGAGCTGAGTAGTCGAGGTGGCAGAAAGAACCGAACGGCAAACTCTTCATGCGAAATTCAAATCGGCCGCTAATATCCTAGTCTCTGGTGCTAGGCTGGAACTGTGTCCAATGTAACCCGGGCCCCCACATAACATTCGTCAGGTGCCATTTGTACGTCACAGTGTACTAATAGCTAACTCCATATTAAGAGAACCGGGCAGTTGAATACCTCCAACTCTTCGGCCCTCTAAAATATAAACCATATGTAATTAAACCGATAATGCGGACTTTCGCCTGTGATTGGTTCAGGCGCCATATGAGTTTCCCGCTCTTCCAACATCCTATACTTTATATAATTTGCCGCAGCAGAGATTTGGGCTTTAGGACTTAACGACAAAGGAAATCAAAATCGAGAGAAAAGATACGATAGGCCTATAATCTGATACCCGAGACACCCGAGATAGCCGGAATATCCGAGACTTAATCGTGCCTCTTTCCTTCTCGGAGTAATTATATATGCAAAGCCAGGGCCCAACACTAAGGTATTAGCGTGTACCAGCTGGAATGTCAGTTGGGTACTGTACAAATCAACTGCGGATAGCAGTTGGAAAATCCTTGGGCAGTATCTGGATGCCCAAAGTGTAGTACGTTGCTTGTTTCTCGTCAGGATACCTAACTGTCCTGCACGCCCACCAGCCGGGAGCTGCTGTAGGCAAGACTTTGCGCCAGACATTCTCCTATCTTTTCCTGTTTGTTGGTGGATAATCCGGACTGGCTGGACAAATCCAACTCAACTTCGGTACAGAACAGACTGGTCAGATGCAACTAAATTTTGTCATTGTCCCTACAATTGCTTACTACCGGGAGGCTGGTCAATTCAGAGACAACTAGTAGATCAGCAAGCACGTCATCTGTCAAATTTACTGGCATAGTCGCATCGTAGTTGTAGCTTCTGCTTTATTATTTGATCGTCAGTCAATGCACTTTGAAGAGCACAGCCAGTAGTCCTCTTCAAATTATATTAACTTGCTCCCAATTTTTTTTATGTTTTATTCCTTATTTTGAAGGCAAGACATACCAACCTATATCCGCGCACAGTAGGGCCTTGGTGCTGGGTGCACAGAATACACGTATCAACTGAGTATACCTAAGCTGTAACTCGCACTTACAGTGGGGAACCAGGACAAAAATTTTCCTGCGGGGCTGTTGTATTATTAGCCACTTGCATCTGATAGAGACCATAGAATTACTAGGGGACCCACTGAGTAATATCATGTGGGGAAGAAGTGCACGGATGGGCGCAAGGGCTGCAAGGAAAAATGGCAAATTTATACCCAAAACGGGAAGCACTGGGGCTATCCATGATGCTCCATGGATCATCCGGTCGATCTGTATAATCCGTTTGACTTCTCCGATTGTATAATTCATAGATGCTGCAAGTAGATTCTGTTCTGTTCAATTAAATTGTTCGTTCTGCTGGCTAAGTTGGTTTAATGAATCCCAGTACAATCCCTGAATTGTCAATACAATACCTACGTCGTGCTGGCCCTGCGGTTGAGAAGCCCGCACTAGAGAAGAGCATATATCTTCCTTTTGTCTAACGTATTACAAGACACATGGGTCAGGATGGAAAAACCGACGAACTACCGGTTGCACACCCCATAGTGACACAACTGTCTGCTGAATATCACGATAAAACGACTCTGGATCAAACTGCTAACGCCGAAAATGCTGCCCGACATTTCACCGAGGCAGGCAATGCCACGAACAACGCTGTCGAGAAACTCGACCGTGGTCCACTCTCAAGGCTTCAAGCAAAGAGACTTGGTGATTACATCATCATCTCCTTGTACCATTCGGACCCAGAACATCCCAACAACTGGCCTAGGAAAAAGAAGATGTTGATATCGTTTGCGGGAGGGCTCAGCGTCATCAACAGCACAATCGGATCCTCCTTACCCAGCGGCGTCATCGACCAGATCTCGCAGCATTTCGCTGTCACCGATGAACTACAACTCGTGCTCCCTATATCCTGCTATCTGATGGGGTACGTTATCGGTCCCATACTCTTCGGCCCGCTGAGCGAGCATCTCGGACGGAAAACAGTCATGCTTGAAGCGTTCATCATCTACATTCTCTTCTCCATGGCTTGCGCGGTAGCTCCTACCTGGGCCTCCTTTCTCTTTTTCCGACTTATCTGTGGGACAGTGGCATCGGCACCAATAGCCATTGTTGGTGGCCTATTCGCCGACATCTACAGCGATCCTGAGCCTAGAGGATTCGCCATGGCCTGGTTCACGTGCGCCACGTCAACCGGTCCTGTTCTAGCTCCTGTTATATCGGGCTTCATCGGTCAGTCCACATCCTGGCGATGGGTATTTGGGGTCGGAACCTTCATCGCCTTGGCTACGCTTCCTTTACTTCTATTCGCGCCGGAATCGTATCTGCCTGTCATCTTGTCCCGAAAAGCAGCACGACTGCGGAAGGAGACAGGGAACAAAAACATCGTAGCGGCAACGGACAACCAGAAGAAGTCTCTCAGATATATTCTGACTGTTATAATGATGAGGCCGTACCGCATGCTGTTCCAGGAAACCATTGTCGCATGCGTTTGTCTCTACTCGACTTTGGTATACGCCATCTACTACCTATACTTCGAGGTATACCCTATTATATTTCAAGGTCCGGACTCAGTCTATGGCTTTTCACCTGGCATTACCGGTCTTGCCTTTTTGCCTATTGCCCTGGGGTCGGTTTTAACCGCACCAATCTTCCTTTGCTGGGATGCTTATTGTAGGAAAGCAACAGCCCGAGGCCATACCTGGGTCAAGCAAGAGGAGTATCGTCGACTGCCACTTGCTTGCATCGGCGGTCCTCTATACTCCATTGCTATGTTCTGGCTGGGTTGGTCCGCACGGCCGGGCATTAATTTCATGGCTCCGATCATGTCGGGATTTATTTTTGGATTTGGGTATTTCCTCACTTTCACGGCGCTGCTGAACTATGTGAGCGATGCGTATCTCACTTTTGCAGCATCCGCGCAGGGCATGTCGAGTACATGCAGGAGTATAGGCGGGGCTCTTTTGCCTTTAGCTTCAAAACGAATGTACCGTACGCTCGGTAACAGTTGGGCTTGCTCTTTGTTGGGGTTACTGAACCTGGCGGTTGCGATAATTCCTTTTGTGTTTATTCGGTATGGAGACAAGATTCGAGCGAATAGTAGGTTCTGCACTGAACTAAGGCAGTTGCAAGAAGAGGAGATACAGAGACGAGAACATGGCCAGGTCGGCGACAGAGAGGGATGAAGAGGATCAATTAGAGATACAGGAGTCTAGACAGGATTTATCAATCCCAATAGCTTTTCGGAGATTTTGCGTGCTGGTGGACGGCTGCCATTTGTCGCAATGCTAGCGCAGGTATTGTATTGGTGACGATAGATAGAGACGGAATAATTGCTCGGTTTAATAATAATAGCTGTCTTTAGTTTTAAATAGATTATTCTCATTCCTCGTCTCTGTTATCTGCAAAGGCCCAAGCTTGAAAACCAGTAACTATACACACGCAAAAAACCAAGACACACATCCCCTCACTATTCTCCTTAGGATACGGCAGGAACAAATCATGTGCAATCGTCACTTCCTCTCGTGTCGTCTCGAATAACTCAATATCAAGTTCTCTGAAGATCGTCGCAATCGAGAGCAAAATCTCCGCTTTGGCAAGACTATTCACGCGAGTTGCGGCTAACAACACAGACAATGTAAAGCACACTTCATGCCGAGAAATTGGCGTGATCCATTGCTGAATGATACCACGCATTTCTCTAAATTTTTACGTCTGTTGAGATCCATCCATCTCTCGGGTAAAACTGTGCGAGCCGGGGAATATCTGCTCATTGTGGTGCTTGAGAACACTGATCATTTCGATGGGGTCAGGAATGGTTAGCGGCTTCATGAAATCCACTCGCAGTTTCGATAGCTTTGTCCTGGTTCTCCAGAAAGTAGAACGCCCTCCATGCTAACATCTTCGTTGTCGATTCCAATCCCGCTCCTATCAGCCGCGGTGCTGCATTATTAAAGATTCCCTGGTTAGAATGTAGCTGTAACTATGAGGCATACACCTACCAACTTGCCGTTCCCAATGCCGCGCCCAACCATGGCGACGACAAGACTTGTTCTAGAGTGATGCCATGTAGGACAGAACGAGGGGACAGAAAAGGGAGCAAACATCGATGTGTGTAACCTCGGGCACTACCTTCTCACCTGAATCCTTCGCGTGGCGTGGACGCTGATGATCAGAATATAAGCGACCATGAGGCGCATTCCTCGGAATACATTTATCTTATGGTCAGCAGCATTTGATCATTCCGTACTGTCGACGAATATGGACGAGCACCAGCCACAGGCGGATTCGATAATCACTCCAGAGGTCTGTGATTAACTTTCGTTTGAAAACTTGGTGTTCCATTGTCTGATCATCCTCTAGGCGGACGATGATCTGCACAGTGATTGGGAGGAGTACGAGAGCGGGTATGTAGTGCGTTAGGGCTGACGGGTTTTGATTTCCACTGACGCCGGATGTGCATAGAATGGATGCAAGTTCGACTGCGTCTTTGACGTCGAGTATCCTGAATTATCAGTAGGTAATTTACTCATGTCATTGGACAGCGTCTGATGTGAACTCTAGATACGAGGTGCGGCAGTCATGCTCCTGTGTGTGCCGGAACTGATGGAAAGAATCCCAGAATGGTCGGCGATATCATGCATACCACCAAGGGGAATATGTCATCGTAAGTCTACTACGTGCAATCGACCGTTGAGACACTAAATTGTGGTCTCTAATAGCCCAATGATGAACGAGAGCAAGAGCGACTTGACCTGGTACGTTAGTTCCAATGATAAGGAGTATTAATCAGTCAGCTGATGTCGAAAGCACCATCACATTTGCTGTCTTGCTATGGGAGGAGATCTATATCGAGCTCCTCTTCCCCAGGGCATACAGAGGGTATTGGATATTGGAACAGGAACAGGGACATGGGCAATCCACATGGCCGAGTACGATGAGGCCATCTATATTATATGGTGATTGCTAACACGGCAACAGCTCATTTCCCGAAGCAATTGTTATAGGTGCGTTCTCAGTCTCCCAAGAAAAAATTTGAAGACGTATTAATATCGCATAGGCACGGATCTAAGCCCTATTCAACCTTCATGGTATGAATCAACCCAACCCAAGGCCCAGGAACATGTAGTGAATAACGTAGGGTTCCCCCAAACTGTATCTTTGAAATCGACGACTTCGAACTCGACTGGAACTTCTCGCAACCGTTTGACTTCATCCACGCCAGGGCCATCGAGGGATCAGTGAAGGACTTCCCCCGACTATTTAGCCAAGCCTACGAATTCCTTAGACCCGGTGGATGGTTCGAGGTCGTAGATTTCACGGCTGGGGTCTTCTCTGACGACGAAAGCTCTCAGAAATCCACCAGCTTGCTCGAGTGGCGGGACCGACTAACCGAAGCAAGCGAAATGTTCGGCAAACCATTGGGCGTGTCGCCTAATTACCGAGAGTGGATGATCCAGGCGGGGTTTAAGAACGTTCGGGAGAAGATATTCAAGGTCCGTGATTTTTCCCTGGTCAGTGATCCCGGGGCAGATCGTACGCTGACTCGTCCAGGTCCCGTTCTCTCCGTGGGCTAAGAATCCCAAGTTGAAAGAGCTGGGTCGGTACCAGCAGGAAAACATGCTTGAAGCTCTCGATGCGTATTCGTTGGCGCTATGTACGCGGTACCTTGGATGGAGTGTGGAGCAGGTGCAGGCGCTTTTGATAGGCGTTAGAAAAGAACTAAAAGATTGTCGTTTGCATAATTACTCCCGATTGTATGTAGTATACGGACAGAAGGGGGATCTCTAATTGCGATACCTGTCAATGTGTGGTATGTACTATGTCATTTGATCATTGCTCTAGTGTCGCATATTCTGCCTCGATAATATTATAGTTCAATTGGCATCTTAAACGGAATGCTCGTGCCATAGTTCACGTACCACCAAACTTTAATTAGGGCGAATTGATCTTTCAAATCCGTCTTACCATGGCAAAACGTCCCGAGTACCCCATCCCGTGAAACAAGTACTCAGCCAGGTAGAAGATGTGAATAGCAGCAATTGGCTAGGTTCTCTCTTCTAAAATTGGATACAGACAATGGGATGGCCTCACTAAGTTCCGGTGGTCCATATACAGACACCAAAAGGCTGCTGGAATAGTATATGACCGTGTGAGACTGACCAAGCCTCCAATCGATGCTGCTAGAAATAATATGAATATATTCGGCATTGCAACGGGGGAGGGTCGGACACATAAGCAGAAATTGTAGTCACCATACTATTGGCACTTAACATAGGATAGAATATACAGAAAATTGTACACGGCTAACACTCACAATTGGTGTTCCATTCTTGAAGAATTTGGGTTTATCGAATTGAGAGTTTTTCATTTGTATGTGTCGAAAATGGGAATAAATGGATCACTAATCCAGGGCCAAAGGCATATTATTCAAAAGTGAAAGCTGAGGCAGAAAGAACCTGCGCTACTGATTTCATCAAGAGGGTTGAACATGCACTCTGTCCGTCTCATTCTCATCTCCTAGACCGTGAATTTTGGACGCACCAAGAGGACTATAATTTCCTCGAGATGAGCATAGACCACTAAAAACCCATTCAGCTGTAGGTCCATAGTTGAGTCCGGGAGATTCCCGAGATATTCTCTCAATGGCCCACTCTCAGGGCTTGGCTATCTCTTGGCGATAGCGATATGATGCCTTGACAGGTTATAGAGGTTTTGTTCTCTATGGGAAACTGCTGCAATTTCCTCCAGTTCCCTCCAGCTTTTCTCTAGCGAAGGTATAAAAGTTCCTAAACCCAAGCAGCATCTATTAACAAGGGCTATGTACTCACTAAAGAGCTAGTTCCATTGGGCATCTCACGCAGATCATGCACCCGTATCCTAATCCGGTTGGTTGGGCATATTTGGCTATTGAGAATGAAATCAATCCAAAGACAACGATAACTCTGGGGCGTCGAGGTGCGGATTTCATTGAATCGATCCATCGAAGTTGGAACTAATTTACCTGGTTATGAAGAGGAAGATGGTTGATCCGAGTGAGCAGACAGCCCAGCATCCGGAATAACGCCACCTCACGGGCCGATTACGGTGGACCCATCTCGCCGCCTAGAATTCCAGAGCATGGTGGAGATATTTTCATTCCACCCTCTTGGGAAACTCGCCATTCCCCCGTCCTGTTTACAGATATCTTTCTATCTTATACGCGTCCTGCTTGTACACTTTGTCGCACACTATACCTCTGTGTCTACTGCAGGTATTGTCGTTCCTTTCCATTCATCCTTAACCGACTGGTGGGGTTGTCGTCATTCCTTCTTTCCCCTACCTAGCGCCATCGAGCGCGCGCTGAGGGACAATGGGTCTTTCGAAAACACACAGGATTTTGATCCTGTTGGTGATTGATTCAGCATTCTTCCTACTAGAATTGATTACTGGTTTGCCTCTCGTTCTTCTATCGGTCGTCCCCTCCGCTGATTTATCTATTCAGGCTATGCGGTTCACTCGCTTGCCCTGGTTGCCGACTCGTTTCATATGGTATGCAATGCCCTTTCCTCTCAAGTCCAATATTTTACACAACTTCTAACGTTTTGTTGGCATAGTTAAATGATGTCATATCCTTGCTCGTGGGATTATGGGCCGTCAAGGTCGCCAATCGCGAAACGACGTCGAAGATGTACACTTATGGAGTACGATCTCCCATCCCTTCTTAACCAACTTCGAGACAGAACCGGAACTAAATTTTCGTCTCCATTGATAGTGGCAACGCGCAGAAACTCTCGGTGCACTGGTGAATGGCGTTTTCCTTGTCGCTCTGTGCATGTCCATCTTCCTAGAAGCCATACAAAGACTGGTGGAACCTCAGGAGGTGAAGAACCCGAAGCTGGTTTGCGTTGTCGGTTGCATGGGCCTACTGTCCAACATTGTTGGCCTTGTTTTGTTTCATGACCATTCCCATGGCCATGGCCACAGCCATGGAGAGGCTCTCGAGGAAGTCGAAGAGGTCAATGCCGCGGAGCAAGGCTATAGTCCCCATCAGATCAGCGATTTTGCTACCGTTGATAAGCGGCAAGCTGTAGTAAATGTACTGCCATCCACCTATGCCATTCTGGATTAATTGACTAACCTGTTACCAAAGAACGACTCGCAGTCAATTACTGAATCCCTATCTCCCTATTCTCGAAGACGCCGAACTATCGACAGCCAGCACCGTGGCTCCCGTCGATACAGCAACGCTACCCCCCGAGGTTTTGTTGACGTCGAGGATATCCAAGTGCATCCAGCGACCTTGAGGCAAGAAATCATCGCGGCTAGTCGCAACCAGTTTGTGGAGACCGAGGATTCATCCGAATCAGAGTCCGACCAGCAAGAAGCCGGGAGGGGAATTGAGCCGTCAGAACGGTCGTCGCTTCTGCAAAATAAGGATCGGGCCCGTAACTACACCGATGAAGATCACACTCCCATCCGAGTGACAGATCAAGCGGCTGATGACGACATCCACAAATCACACAACCACGCCCAGCCTAAACCAAAGGAGAGTGGTCATGGGCATCACGATCTGAACATGAGAGGCGTTTTCCTCCATGTGATGGGCGATGCTCTAGGCAATATCGGCGTTATTGCTTCGGCTCTCGTGATCTGGCTGACAGACTATTCATGGCGGTTTTATGTAGATCCTGGCATTTCCCTGATCATTACGGTCATCATTCTTGCTTCTGCAATTCCACTCTGCAAAGCCGCGTCGAGGATCCTCTTACAAGCGGCCCCTCCCGGGATGAGCATTGATCACATTAAGGAAGATATTGAAAGATTGCCCGGTGTGATCGGCTCTCATCACCTCCACGTGTGGCAACTAAGTGACACAAAAATTGTCGCGTCGATCCATATCCAGGTTGACACCGAAATCAAGGGTGAGGGCTCCGAGCGATACATGCTCCTTGCGAGACAAGTGCGAAAGTGCTTACATGCCTACGGAATCCACTCCTCCACCATCCAGCCCGAATTCGCTCCGGAGAGTGATGTGGAGGATTCTACGGCTGTTGCATCTAATTCTCGTGGAAGTAGTGCCGCCCCGTCCGCGCCAAATAATGTGCCAAATCGGACCGACAGTATTCGGGATGGGGATCCTCGGGCATGTCTTCTCGAATGCGGCGAAGAGTGTGCCCAGAGAGGCCAGTGCTGTCCCAAGACGTCGACGTAAACTCCCAAGTCGATATTTGTCGCTCACCCTAATACCAAAAATGATATTTTTCGGCGCTCCTATCCATACCTTCTGCCATACCTTCTGGCTGCATGATTGCAACTCATATTTTTCCTATTATTTATTTAATACTGCTGTTCAGCGTGGACATATTGGTTGCTTAAAGAGGTCACTAATAGATACAACATGCTGCAGTATTGATTCGGATAGTTGACCGTTATCGAATTCGTGTTAACGTATGCATTGTTATATATTGCGTATATTCTTAGTACTTCAACTTACTCCTTGCTCCGTAATTGTATATATATAGATTTTAGCTCCTCACTAGTATCGTAGATCCTCCGTTTGAACTTTGGTTGCCCCCCATCGCTCAAGCTGGCACACATGTATCGTTAATATATATGAGGCGAGCCACTCACTTAGTTGGCCGTCGATAAGATATTCCGTACACCGTCAAAAGCTCTGTTCTGAGCCCTGGCCAAAACTCGAGGATTTGCAGTGGATCGAAGGAGGGGGTGTGGCTGTGGATACTGACACGTGATCCTGCGGTGATGTTTGGTTTCGTCAGCAGCCCCTTTCTGGCTGTAGACAATTGTCTTCAAATGTGCATTTTCCAGGAATGACAATTGCTATTCACGTTTACTATACTCCCATATATGTGAGCTGCCAGTGATACCACGCCCTGTGAATTGCCGAGTGTCTGTCCACAGTCCTGTTTCAGCAAGGGCGGAGCGATGCAGCGGACACCGTAGCTTGCCTTTTATCATTGTCGGATTGGCACAAGACCATGAGTTATTCATATCGGCAGGGCGCAAGCACAGACGCCTACCGACCTTCATCTCACGATCCATTTCCCAACCCTTCAGGCGTGATAGAGCGGTCACGGCAGCTTGCACCGACATGGGCAAGGCAACGAATTGCAGATTTTCGAACCCGTTGCCGGTCATTGGCCTCGGGCGGAGTAGAGGGTTCTAGAGCCAGGGCGGAGGCAGGGGGGATGCTGTGGAGAGCTGTGAAGAAACTTTTTACAATCACTAATGCTCTAATATTATTCTGGGTTTGGACATTGTGGTGGGGAGAGCGGACTGTTTTCCAGGATAGTCTGGAGAAATGTACTTGGGGAAGCTGGGAACACTGGGTGAGTTGTTAGATCAACTCACTGCACAATTGTTTGTAAACTAATGTGACCGCCTCTAGCCTCGAGATGCCACGCCACATCACGTCGCTTTTATTGCGGACCCGCAGTTGGTCGACCCTCACACCTATCCCGACCGACCATGGCCTCTCTCAACCTTGACGGTCCTCTTCACAGATCAATACCTTCGACGATCCTTTTCGTCTATCCAGACACACCTCGGCCCCGATTCGGTATTGTTCCTCGGTGACTTGTTTGATGGAGGTAGAGAGTGGGCAACCGCGCATAGTTCTAGTCCGGAGGAACGATACAAGAAATATAAGGACTCGTTCTGGAAGGAGGAATATCATCGTTTCATCAAGGTATTCTCGAACCATTGGAATGAAGGAGATTCATTCTCGAAAAATGCCCGAGGTCGGAGGATGATTGCCAGTTTACCCGGTAACCATGACCTTGGATTTGGATCTGGGGTCCAACTGCCGGTCAGAGACCGATTCCAGATGTTCTTTGGAAATGGCAATCGCGTTGATGTTATTGGGAACCATACATTTGTTTCTATGGATACAGTTTCTCTCAGTGCAATGGACCAACCTGACCCAGCAACTGGGAGCTCAGGTACTGGCTCGGGCGATGGTCATCAGCCAAACGAGCGTATTTGGAAAGAGGCCGAGGACTTCCTCAACAATATGAGCATGCATCGGGCCAGGGCAGAGAGTGAAGAACTTCGCATGCTGAAGAACCAAAGCGAGGGCCATCTCTTCACCCATAATGCTGTCGAGATTTCGGAACCCACAATATATCAAAAACCCCAGCCGGAGATTGTCGGCCTTCCTACAATTCTTCTCACACATGTTCCACTGTATCGCCGACCAGCGACACCTTGCGGGCCATTGCGAGAGCGTTATCCTCCATCCTCCAACGAGCCACTAGAGGAAGATGAGGGGAATGCCATCAGACTTGGGTCGGGATACCAGTATCAGAACGTTCTGACACAAACCATCACCAAGGATCTAGTCAGTAAGATCGGACCGAATCTTGTCCACGTTTACTCGGGAGACGACCACGATTACTGCGAAATCTCCCACCGCGAATTCAGTGGCTCCCCTAAAGAGATTACTGTGAAGAGTTTCTCCTGGGCCATGGGAGTGCGCCACCCAGGGTTTGTGCTCACGAGTCTTTGGAATCCCCTTGATCCTGCCACAGGGAAGTCCACAGCACAAGGAAATCCTGCAGCGACGTTACAAAATCACCTTTGTCTTCTACCAGACCAGCTGTCTATCTTTATATACTACGGCCTTCTGTTTGGGTTCACGATGACAGTGATTCTTGTCCGGGCCGTCGTGTGCGCACTGTACCTCCCTCGGTCCAGCTCTACGAGTCCCATTCTACCTCTCTCTGAGATTCATTCCTCTCCTCCCCCAAATGACTCTCAAGTACCTTCTGCCGGTACGTCCACGTCCAAGTTCCCACCACTGGGTGGCCTAGCCAGTCGTGGCACGAACTATCCACCTCGATATAAGGCATCGCAGCCATACCATGATGCTTACTCGAATGTAGATCGAGACGAAAATAAGCTACACAGCTCCAAGTGGAAACCAGACCGCACCGAGCACCGGCGGAGAGCTGGCAGCCCGTTTCAACTGGCTCGGGGGGAGTTTTCCGAATCATTCTGGTGCATAGCCAAGGTTGTGTTTGCATGGTATTTTTTCTTGATTTGGCGATGGTAAAACATTTAATGAGCGTGTACAGTGTGTATATAAACAATGATACAGGGACACGATGTTTGGTGCATGTACCTGAACCTTGGTTCAGTAGCATGTTTCCATCTCAGTTGATATATACTGATCTAATTGAACACTTGGTGGTGTAGATGAGCCCTGCTCTTAGGCCCTGGGGGCATAATCGCTTGACGTATACGATCAATAAGCGACGAAGGCGAACTTCTAGGCGACACACATGTGATTTCAGCTGCATTTTCTTCTGAGACAGTACATTATTACCATTGCGGACTACAGGGTTTTGGAGAAATCGAATGAACATAAAATGACACAATTATACAAAACGTGGGTTTTACGAATATGATGGGATTTACATACCAACGCTGAAGTAGGCAGTCTGTGTAACCTCGGCTAGGCGTTAAAGGGAGTTGAGTTGGGCATCAGTCAGCATAGATACAACTTCTCCGTTAGCTCTCTCATCTCCCCATGTGAATCGATGTTCAGCCATGTCCTTAAGTGGCTCTCCCTTGCGATCCCAAGTGGTTGCGAACCAGGAATGTGGCCGAACCCGGTATTGGATTCCACGCATTCCGTTGATTCTTGGCCGCTTTTTCCGTGCAACCGCCACGCCTATCTTTATGCCTGCTTGCAGCCGCTCAGTATTTGTTAGCAGTGGCCGTCTGTAGCCGCCCTCAGGATCGCCTCTGAGATGAAGGGACGCAGCAAGGGCTGATATCACAGCCCTGTAGCTCATCTGCACGACAGCGCCATCTTTAACTTTTCACTACCCACCCTCTCGAACTGATTTCCAGAATCATTCGATGTCGCTCAGCCCATGGTTGACGTTTTATTTGGCTATGTCTCACTGGTATACTCATGGCCTAAATAGCTCGTGCAAATTCGCTCCCTTGCGCCGCCTAAGTTTAACTTTTTCCTCAGTGTCAGTTATCCCGTGGTGTGAAAGAGGTCATATGCGTGAGCAAAAATAATGCAGTTATCAGCCCCGATTCCGAGTGGGAACTGCCGGCAGTGGTGCTTGATGCCTGATTGCGGCCATCGGCGGTCTTCAAGATGCCGGATACGGAGATTGCCAACTGTGTCCGTCGCATGTTGGCCACGCACTGGCACGAATACAAATGTTCTTGTCTGTCCTGGATCGGATTGACCATTCTTCTTTCATTGATAGTTGCTGCAGTTTCGTCATCTGTCGTGCGGAACAAAACACTTTACATTCTCTAGATTGGCGTTCCACTCCTTGCTTGTGCTCTGATATCTTATCTTCGCCATCAATATGGGATTTCTATTGAAGAAACCTGACGAGGCAGCTGGATCGGCTTTTCCTGCTATCGCTGTTGGTTTGTTTGTGGCCTTTGGAGGCTTGTTGTTTGGGTAGGTATATTCCATTGCCGTTTCAAGTTATAGCTGTCTGATGAGAATTGTCTTTGTCTAGATATGATACTGGTACCATCAGTGGCATTCTTGCCATGAAACACTGGCGGCAATTATTTTCGACTGGTTATATCAACCCAGTGGACAATTTTCCGGATGTGACCTCTTCGCAGTCTTCGATGATCGTATCCTTGCTTTCTGCAGGGACCTTCTTCGGAGCGCTGACTTCTGCCCCTATCGCTGACTACTTTGGTAGACGCATTGCAATGATTATTGACTCTGGTGTCTTTTGTTTTGGCGTAATTCTCCAAACGGTGGCCACATCTATCCCACTGTTTGCCGCTGGCAGGTCATTCGCCGGCTATGGGGTCGGTTTGCTGTCTGCAACTAGTACGCTATATCCCGTATTCCATCACGATAGTTGAAGCGTGCTGATGTCGCAACAGTTCCTCTTTATCAGTCAGAAACTGCACCCAAGTGGATCCGGGGCACCATTGTTGGCGCATATCAACTAGCTATCACGCTTGGTTTGTTGATTGCCGCTATTGTGAACAATTCGACAAAGGACCGTACAGATACCGGATGCTATCGTATTCCTGTCGCAGTCCAATTCGCCTGGGCCATCATCCTAGTTATCGGAATGCTACTTCTCCCCGAGACACCTCGTTTCTTGATCAAAATGGGTCGTCATGATGCTGCAGCCAAGTCCCTGGCGCGTCTTCGACACATGGACGTTAATGATCCCTATGTTGTTCATGAATTGGCTGAGATCCGAGCCAATCATGAGTACGAACTCAGCGTAGGAAGTGCGAGTTATTTGGAGATCCTTCGGGGAACCTTAGGGAAACGACTGGCCACCGGTTGTGGTATTCAAGCCTTTCAGCAGTTAACTGGCTGCAACTTTATCTGTATGTTCTTGTCACTTGCCATACTCTTCGTCGTATTGGGACTAACCCTCTTCAAGTTTACTATGGGACGACATTCTTCGAGCATTCAGGTATCAAAAACAGCTTTCTTGTCACCTTGATCACCAACATTGTTAATGTGGTATCAACAATCCCCGGCCTATATCTGATTGAAACATGGGGTCGTCGACCGCTGCTCATATTCGGGGCCGTTGGAATGGGGGTAAGCCAGCTCATCGTTGCCATTATGGGCACGGCGGCCTCATCTGAAGTCGCGAACAAAGTTCTGATTGCCTTTGTCTGCTTCTTTATCTTTTTCTTTGCTTGCTCATTTGGGCCCTCGGCCTGGGTGGTCACCGGCGAACTTTTCCCTCTTAAAGCGCGTGCGAAATGTCTCTCCATCACGACCGCAACCAACTGGTTGCTCAACTGGGGCATTGCATATGCAACCCCGTATATGGTGAATGCCGGCCCCGGAAATGCTGACCTGCAGTCCAAAGTGTTCTTCATCTGGGGCAGTTTCTGCTTCGCTGCTGCGGTCTTTGTATATTTCTGCGTCTATGAGACCAAAGGGCTTAGTCTGGAACAGGTCGATGAGCTGTACTCCAAGGTCTCAGTGGCTTGGCGCTCTGCTCGTTTTCAACCTTCTGAGCATTACGCGGAATCCTGGAATGAGAGTGAAGGACAGAGTAATGTCACTCATGTTGAACTGGAGGCTGATACCCAGGAGAAACGCGACTCGGAGCACATTGAGAAGGCATGCCATCTGACTTGATGGGACCAGGCATATCGGTGCGTGGTACATATATGTCTAGCGCTGGTAGACTGTGATGAGATGCATATAAGCGGCTTGATTCATCCTTCATCATGGGTAGATAGAATACAATTATCGGTACTGTTAGCTATTCGTACTATATATGGTTGGTGCCTTAGACATATTTTCTTTCCGAAATGGCATATATCCTGATTGGCTGTATTTTCAGTTCCTGACCCACTTTCACGTGGAGACCCCTTTTCGGCATTTCCAAAAGCGGCAATGTCGTGGATGCTCCATCGCATCGCCCCTTGATCGAGTTTCCATTTCCCTGGTCTTCAGATCTTCTCCTTGCCAGAGCTCGGTTGCATTTTGCCACCAGGTGTATCCCTTCAGTTCCAGTGCAAAATGCAGCCATCGTCCCTTTTCTATCCTGTGGCTGTCTCCTAACCTGCCGTCCTAACCTGCCCCGTCCTGATATACAGTCTGGACGACAATCAGTACGATTCGCATGCCGAGGAACTGCTACTTCCTTTGACCTCAAGAGCCCCACGATCGGCTAGAAACCATGGCCACCGAAGTGGTATTAGCCGACCAGAGTCAGAATTACGACATCAATGGAAAGCACCCTCGATATGTACTCGAGTTAGAGGATCTAAACAGGGTACGAGAAGATGAAAAGCTAGGTGTGTCAACGGTCACTGATGTGTTGTTGGGCGATGAACCGCAGCATCGTGACGAACCGTACCGATCTCAATCACGTCCCTTGACGAGCTTGCCCACCTCGGCTCATCCGCTGTTCCCACCGCTTCCTTCCTACGGCCCCCCCTCGATTGCCTCGTCCCTGAAGTATCTGGTGATTCGATGCGTTTCTTTCGTACTGTCGCTGCTATTCCTGGGCGTTATAGTCGGTGGTGCGCTGGTTACGCAGGCTAGAGCTTGCGTGGGCAATTTTTGTCTATGGTTGAAAGGGAGGGATCCCAATTCGCACCGAGTATTTTACGAGGAAGAACGAACACGAAAAAGAGAGCGACAAAAGGATCAGCAGAAATGGACCCGGCAGCAGAAGAAAAAAGATATTGATGAAGAAGTCCCTGAAGAGTGTCCTCCCCTGGAAGGTGGGAAGGACCCAATCGTATGCGACGTGGCATACTATGCCAGGAGGGTTGGCCTCGATGTGGAGACGTTCAAGGTGCAAACGGAGGACGGGTATATTCTCACTCTGTGGCATGTTTATAATCCACAGGAACACACGCCTTCGTCTGCGATATACAGGCGATATCGTGGACCGGAAGTTTTTACAGAGGTGAAGAATCCGCGTTTGTCTCCAGGTGCGGGTCGGAAATACCCCGTTTTGTTAATCCACGGTCTGCTGCAAAGCGCCGGTGCATACTGTACCAACGATGATGACAGTCTGGCTTTTTATCTGTGCAAGTCGGGATATGATGTCTGGCTTGGGAATAATCGCTGTGGCGTGGAGCCGGAGCATATCTCTCTGTCGCCATCTGATCCCCGTATGTGGACTTGGACTATCCAACAAATGGGGGTCTTTGATCTCGCAGCGTTCATGTCTCGGGTGCTGTACGAGACTGGGTTTGAAAAGCTAGGTCTCGTGTGCCATTCGCAGGGCACTGCGCAGACATTCGTGGCGCTGGCCAAGGAACAGCGACCGGAACTGGGCGAGCGCATATCGGTGTTTTGCGCTTTGGCACCGGCTGCATATGCCGGACCGCTAGTCGACAGGGTGTACTTCCGCATTGTTCGAGCAATGTCGCCATTCTTATTTCGGATGACGTTCGGCATTCACTCTTTTATACCATTCATGATGACCATGCGTGCATACGTGAATCCCTGCCTATATGGCACACTAGGTTACTACGTTTTCTATCATTTGTTTGGTTGGAGCGACACCCGCTGGGACCGAGGTCTCCGCGACCGCATGTTTCAATTTGCCCCTGTGTATGTCAGTGCTGAGACCATCTGGTGGTGGCTTGGTGCGGCCTCGTTTTCGATCCAAAAATGCATTCTAGCTACGCGCGAAACCTGCCTGCTGGAAATGGAGGAGGAAAACCGTGCGGGCCAAAGACTTGATGAAGGGGCCTCGCGCACCGACACTGCATGGTACGGTCCCCAGGTGCCTCCGATGGCGCTTTGGGTTGCAGGATCGGATGATCTTGTGGACGGGCGGCGTCTGTTGCAGCGACTGCAGAACGGTCGCGAGCCGCACGTCCAGGTCGTTCATGCCAAGGTCATTGACGAGTACGAACACCTGGATGTGTTGTGGGCAATGGACGCTGTGGATCAGGTTGGGTGCGAAGTCCGTCAGGTGCTCTGGACTACTATGCCTGAAGACGCGCGGGCATTGTGTCGGGTTCCCCGGGGGGGTCAGTAGACTGCAGAGCGATAAATATCCGAGGGAAATGTGTATATCATGCATAGATTTATATGAATGTATTCTTCTAGTCTATGAGTATTCTTGAAATACTTCATCTATAGTAAATAATTGGTAATACCCCAAAAGACAAGAAGCAGCTGAGCTTACCCGAACAATCGACTCAACCAGAAGTTCCATGCAAGGGAGACACACTATTATCTTACCTACCGTACTACTGTACTCTTGAGTGGACCGACCATGCAAGATGCAGGGCGATAGACAAATAACTGCTTTGGGCGATAGACCAAGCTGAACAATACCCATTGCACATCCGTCTGTTGGGCAGAAATCCGATTTATTGACGCTACGTTTCACCTCGACAGTACATAGATTGACGAATGTGGCCAAGCTACTTCGTACTGGGTAATCTATACTCCATACAGTGGGCATCCAGGAAGTTCCAAGTACCTGTATTCAAAGTAAAGCCACCTAGTCTGTCCCGAGGATATTGCCTATGCATCTTTCAGACCAGCAAGGACTGCTGAATCCATCGACATGGATGCGATAGCTCATATTGAATTAAACCCATCTGACCTGTCAGGTGAGATTCCAATCCGATCCGGAACCGAGAGTCTACTGCCCGTCCAGTCTTGTGGTATAAATCGTGCATCTTTCTGGAAAAGAACTGGGTAGAGACTTGTATGTTCGGAAGCTGGTCACTCGCCGTGTCACCTATTCAACATGGAAGAGATATGGACGCCTGACACAGGTTCGTTACAGATACCCATACTAGGGACATTTATTCCAAGACGAAGCACTTACCTCATTATAGTTCTCACTCATCTCGCCCATCCACCAGAACCATACACCAGTAGCCCGATCCCTTTCTTCCATCTCCTGGAACGACTAAAAACCACGAGACGAGAAGGATGGCGCCAGGTGAAGATTCCCCGGGGGGAGTCCATCTCCGACCACATGTACCGAATGGCAATCATGGTGATGTCTGCACCGCCGAGTCTCGCCTCTGTTCTGGACATCCCACGATGTATCTCGATGGCGTTAGTCCACGACATGGCAGAGTGCCTAGTGGGTGATATCACCCCGCGGAATATCGACATCGAGAAGACGGAAAAAGTCCGTCGAGAGCTCTCCGCCATGCAGTACATTGTCGATACCCTTCTGGGGCGTGTCCCGGGGGGTTCAGGGATCGGCGGTGCTATAATGGAATTGTTCCAGGAGTATGAGGAGAATCGCACGCTAGAGGCGAAGTTCGTGCACGACGTGGACAAAGTAGAGATGTTGTGTCAGATTCTGGAGTACGAGAGACGACATAAAAGACGGCTGGACGAGTTCTACCATGTCGTTGGGGAGATCGTACTTCCTGAGACTAGGATGTGGGCGGGGGTGGTGGTCCATGAGAGAGAGGAGTATCTGCGGAGAGAGCAGAGGAGTAGAAGAAGAGGGGCGAGAAACGCGGTTTGTAGTTGGTTTCTGTTTATTTGGAGGAGGGGCAGGAAGATTATGCTGTAGTTATCCTATCTATGTATGTACAGTATGTTAATTAAGGGTGTATTTGTGTTGCATCTGGTTGTATGGTCAGTTCCACTAACTAGGTGACGGCTAAAAATAACAACTGTGGCGTGGCGAACTACATGTTAACTGAGGTGTTGGACAGCCCGCATTGCCGAGTATAACCCAGCTCCGCTTGGAAGGATTCAGCGTGACCGCTCTTTCGACGCGAGGACGAGAATAGCTGGAGCCTGTGCCCGATCCTGGTGAGGTTCCATTGGAGGATTTAGAACTTCTGGAGGTATCGGGGAAGGCTGTGCGCAATAGCACGATCCTGGACGTACGGTCGCACTGGTTGTCTCCCTAGGCATTGCTAATATTCCGGATTCTACTGTTTGATTCTCCTGGACATTTCATGAGAGGATTCTCGTATCTGTATCTGTATCTGCCTTATGCGGAGATAGAATGTAGAAAGGAGGGAGGTCAAACAGACCAGTCGAATGTGCCACCTGACCTGCCGGACTCCGACAAGAGGTGTATTATTTCTCTCAAGCCCTCGTGCGGGGTTCCTAAAACGTTGCTATCTTTATGCTGGGGAGACTGTTTGGACCACCGGACATCAGATGCCTTGATGGAAGGAGACTAGAGAGTGGTTTGGAGGGAAATTCCTCTCCGACGGTTACACGGGTAGGGCTTGTAGATCAACAGATATAGTACAGCAGCACTGGGTTGGAAGGTTTCACTCCGCATGCGGAGAGGAGATCAAAGGACGATAACGTCGATGAATATGATATCATGGAACGACGTCACTGGTGGACATCAAGAGACTAGCCAGCGTGGATGAGACACAAACAATCCAGTCCACTAGTCGATCCTATCTTGGCTAAAGCTTATGAATATTTAGCGGTTTTGCTGCATATTGGATACGAGTGGGTTTCCAAGAACGAAATTCTAGGACATGCCAACGTTGCACCTGGCCCAACAACAGTAGGCAGCAGCCCTACGGTAGCCCTACTACTAGATTCTCTCATCATATCCTGCGAAGCGGCGATTTGGTCTCTCCCGAACCAACCAGCATCCCCGAGCTTGGTCTGACATAAGACTAAAATTGTCGACATTTGCCCCTCCCCTGTCGAATACTCCAACCGGCTTGGTAATTTAAAATGAAGTGGTTGTCGGCCATATCATATACTACTTGAGCTAGCTGCCTATCTAGCCCAGAAGCATCCTTGCTTCGGCGGATCAAACGGCAATCGGCAGCCCTACTTTCTATAGTAGGCCCCGCATCTTAATGTCCCAGTGGCAATCGATATTTCTCCAAGGATGTATCTGGTACATGAGGGGTTTACCTGGAAATTGTGCCCGCGGTAGACTATAAATAGTCCCTTATGATCTGGTCAATCAGAACTGGAGCAACCAACTTGATTCACTGTATCCTTCGAAGACTACTCAAGATGAAGCCTATTCTCTTCTCCATTTTCTCTCTCCTGCCGAGTATCTATGGGGCCCCGGCCCCCCGAGACTCAGATCCCCCTCTACGAGGCCCGTCCGATCTTCTGGGCTACTCGTCTAACAAACTCACTAAACATACCACCGAGGGGATGAAATACAAACTTGTTACTGGACAGAAGGAAGACCCTGACATTGCTCCCTACCTCGACTTCGAAAAAGTGGACAGCCCGCAGCCCATCCGCGGTGACACCGGCGGTACTGACCCGGGTCCTCGTACGTCTATCTACATCCTATCACAGCACGAATGCCTTACCCCATATCTAACTTCGTAGGCAACACGTGGTACGACCGCATCAACAGCGACAAGTTGGCACCCCCGGGCACCGACAATGGACAGACGATCAATGCTCAATGGCCCATGGGTATGTACTCCTTTACTCAGTCGATGGCGTCACTAACCCTACTCAGGCCTCAGCCGAAACCGGTAAGTCACCAACGAACCATGACACCTAGAGTTACTGAGCGGTCAGACTGGGCAAGAACGGTGCCGGATGGGCCCGTCAAGAGAACACGGTTGTCATGCCTGATGCCACTAAGATGGCCGGTGTGGATATGCGACTGCAGGCAGGGGCGTATCGCGAACTGCATTGGCATGTTGCGGGTGAGTGGTCGTTGGTGTTGAATGGGTCGTGTCGGATTCAGGTATGTATTTCCTATCTGGTATGGGATTAAACTGACAATACTGCATGCTGTGAATGAGAATGGTGAGACCTTTATCGACGACGTGACGGAAGGCGATGTGTGGTTTTTTCCACCGTAAGATTATCCCAGATAAATGATACTCATGTGCTAAGTATATTAGGGGAGTTCCTCATTCCATACAAGCGCTCGATGTAGGAGTCGAGTTTCTTCTCGTCTTCGATGACGGATCCTTCTCCGAAGACAATACCTTCCTTGCATCTGAAGTCTTCGCCCACAATCCAGTAACCTCCCCATTCATCCCAGACATCCAGTCTCAAACTAATGGACCTAGAAATCCGTCCTATCCAGAAACCTCGGCCTCCCCATATCCGCCTTCGACAATATCCCCAAAGAAGAACTCTACATATTTCCCGGCACACGAGCACCCACCAATATCGAAGACCAAAACGTGACGACTTCCGCAGGCATCGTCCCTCGCAACCAGAGCTACTCGTACCATTTCTCCGAGCAGCCCGCGCACGAAGTCGCAGGCGGATCGGTGAAAATCGTTGACCCGCTGACCTTCCCCGTCGCGAAGGATTTCTCCGCCGCCATAGTAACAGTTAAACCTGGCGGGTTGCGCGAAATCCATTGGCATCCCACTAGTGACGAGTGGACGTTCTTTATCCGTGGTCAGGGCCGGGCGACGCTTTTCGAGGCGCCCAGTACCGCTACCACGTTTGATTATCGCGCGGGTGATGTAGGCTATTTTCCACAGTCGCATAGCCACTATATTGAGAATACGGGGGATGAGGAGTTGGTGGTTTTGGAGGTTTTGCAGGCGAAGGAGTTTACAGGTTAGTTTGATCTGATTATCTACAGGGTGACAGGTGTGCTGACGAGTTAGATATTGCTTTGGGTCAATGGATTGGTTCTACCCCGAAGCAGATTGTCGCGGATACATTGAATCTACCAGAGAGTGCGTTGAAAATGTTAAAGACGGAGAAGCAGTTTGTTGTTGCGGGATGAGCTAGATGATTGATAGTAGTAGGAATTGTACGGCTGAACCATGGAACTGACGATCAGTATGGTGCTGCGGGTAAGGCCACCCGTGCCGTAGGCATTAAGGGGAAATTAAAACTTCTCTTTTGTCTTCAATTACGTTTCTTTTATTTGTGTTTCCTTCGGTGGTGGACCTGATTCATTTCTCCCTCCCCCTCCCCTGTTATGACCTTTACCTAGCATGGGCTCGTGTTCCGTATAACGGCGGTTAATTCTACGTAGCATCTGTCCTCGAGGACAGGAGCTCTGGCGCCAGGCTCCTACTGGTCTCAGAATAACAAATATTTTTTATTGTATGTCAACACACCACGAGATCAATGTGCTGCTTATACCTGCGGAAGTGCATTCAGATGAGGCGCGGCTTGAGAAGCAAGAGACCAGGGGCCATCAGTAAGGGAAATATTAAGAGCTGCCCTGCCGTCTGCTAACAACATGTGTGTTAACACTATGCTCCTGCCTGACTAGAGTAGGATGTATGGCAGATTGATGATGGCACTTAATACATGGTTCGTCCCCAACTGCCAGCCTACGTTTTCTGTAACTCATTGTGTTGTACTGGGTGCGCGGCCGTCCACTGCAAATCAGCATTTAGTCGCAGCAGGAGTGAGATTGCATAGGCCTAGCTTTCCAGGACATGCCGCTGGTCGATGGTCATCTCAGTCAGTTACATGTAGTCCTCTAGCTTCTCTGCAGTTCCTGCGTCAGGGAGTCGTGCTGTCAACGCAATTGCTAGCGCTGCGGCTGTTTGTCTCTGGGTACGTACATATATATCTATTTATCCCCTTGTCAATGTATGAATGTAGCTGCTTCAGTATTCACTCGCCATAAGGATACAGACGAACCGACAGGTACGGCAATCTGGGTCCCTAACCACGGTAGTCATCTACATCAGACGGCCCTCTGTATACACAGCAGGCAGTAGCCCGATCACCTTGTCGGAGGTGACTCGCATACGTCGTTGACGCTTCCGTCGGAGCCGACATCACCGGCGATCATCAGCCGCAATATGCCCTGTGTCTGTTGAAGTCAGACCTTGAGAGACAAATATTGACCGATTGAGAAACACCCTCGACTCTCTCAAAAATCCAAAATGTTAAATCGTGCCAAGGGCGAGCCAGCTAAACATGTTGCAAAACACCCAGATCTGTGTGAAGAGCATCTGCTTTCTACAAACAAGACTATTGCTTTGTAGACTGGGTACACACGTTCTAGAAGTGTGCCATGCTTCTCCATGAGTTGCTTCAATCATGAAAGGACGGCCCACACTTGAGAGAAATAAATGAGATTGGGTATCGAGATAGCTAGGTACCTCAGTTTCAATTGATGTACTGTATCATATGTACTTCAGGTAAAGCGTAGATCTAACGGTGATCCAGATTCTTGATCCAAACACAACTGATGGACCAAGGAACTGCCCGTCCTTAAAGTTTTGGCATTTGGGGCAGAAAGACTTGAAGTGTGATCACTTATTATGTCGATTCGGGCAACTGCACCTCTGTGATAAGCACTACAATTAATTAAAAAGAAATTCCTCTTACGTTCCTGCCCATGTCATGGTCATTGTACCTAGATAGACTAGATGACGTTAATAATATTAGTTAACACCATCTGTTTGTAATGACGTGTGGCTCTCTTCGAACACGAAGAGTTCCAGGATGACCCTCTGGAGGCTTTTGCGAAACTACTAGGTCTCGTCCGCAACCCAACTGTCTTTGCTACCCTCAAGGTACTCTTTACGAGCACACATGGAACAATATAGTGGGAGTCTCATCTGAAGCGGATGGTCTGATTCTCGGCGTTGGTAAACTACCACAGATTGAATTGGAGTCAAGCGAAGAACGTGCGATTAGAGAACTAGGGGGAACTTTATAATGCAACTTTTTAGTATTTTTAGTTTTTAATTTAAAAATATTAGATACTTATCCTTTTGTTGTATATTAAGCTTCCTCCTAGCTTTAATGTAAAAGGCAAATTTAGCTCCTATTTAAGTATCATTTATTAATACGTAAAGCTAGATTAAACTCAGTCATATGCAACAATCATACCCGGTTAGATATTTGAGGCTCAATCGTCGAGCCAACCGCACAATTTCACTTTAGCTTCCAAAGGGACTCTTGGTTGGCCTAACGATAATTATTGTCAGGCAAGACATCTGGATGAGAAGAAAAGGACGGAGTATATTCGGTATCCTGATGGTCAGATGTCCAACTACGCCCCATAATAGCCAAGTCAGACAAATTCATCGACTCCGGATAGATTCTCTTATTTATTTGTCGACGGGCATGTGAGGAATTCGGTAGAGAGCCTTTCCCTTGAGATCTCTGCTCTATAACAATAGTATCGGAATCGGTTGTTGTACATATATTGCGCTTAATCCGGATAATAGATTGGTACAACGCTGGTGCAGCAGCGCAGATATGAGCCACCCCTGTCTCGGCGCAGCTGAGGACGTAAACAGGGACCTGACTGTAAGTGGGGTCGTTAAGTGTTCCCACTTCGGAGAGTGTACCCAGACGTGCTGCAGCAATTGCGATGACACTATTTCCTGTTCAGTATATGACTTTAGCTTGTATTAGGAAGAGACAGTCTTACATTACACCGAGGCCAAATATACTGCAGAGTGCTAACTTCTTTTGTCTGGGGACTTGCAGTGTCCGAAGCACTGGCAGGGGGAGAATAAATATCATAATTTCTGTCGCTATATTAACGGCAGCATTGGCGTACGCGATGCTAGATATGCTTAAGCAATGGGCATCTTTAATATCATAGTTCCAGCTGGCTTGCACTGGGTTGCATTGGAAAATAGCCATTAGTACAATGACTAGGAAAGATGAAGTTAAGACACCCATGGAGATATAAACGATCACCTTGAAAGTGCGAATTGGAAAGACGCGGAGATAAAGAAAGAGAATAGACATCTTAATAAAGAAGATTGTACAGGGCCAGAATATTATACAGAGGTACCCTGAACACTAGTTAGGTTTGCAAAGACATTTTCGCATAATATTGTCAAGAACTTACACCAGAAGAGCAGGCGCGATACTTGGGAAATTGATCTGAAGTCGATATCATAGAGATGGTATCCAAATCCATAATTAGAGCCTTTAAAAAAGTCGGGAAGTTAGACGAAGTCAAAGGTCAGTCGGTTACGGGCAGTACTAACAAAGGTTCGCAAAAACTGTTAAAGGTATTGCAAATCCCTTTAATAGTAAATTCTAGGGTCAGCCTAAGAGTTCTGGACCAAACATAGAAAAAATAGATATAGGTGTTGGGGAGTAAGCCTACCCCTGCAATAATATGCATGCAGTCATCCCACCATAGTTTGCGGACTATCCACAACCTGGATATAATACGCAGAAATATCATCATGAATGTGACAACCGGTGTTGCAATTGCAAACCCTACAACTAGATGATGGTGGTTATTCTGGGGTCGATTACATTGTATAGCATCGACTTTAACCATCACTGGAGGAAGATAGTCAGTAGGGCGTTGGAAGGTCTTAAATTATACAGTGTTTACCTACCAAGTGATTCTGCCATAGTACAGTTTGCAACCATGCAGTTTGTTAGGAGGTTAATAAGGTCATTACTTGCGCATTGGCAAGGAATATCGGTTAGATTGCAGGACACTTCCGGGACAGTCTCCTGCAGACATTGTAACTATAACACTGGGTTAATTATTGACAGGGATTATAGTCGCTAATATTGTATCCCTACTGCACATGGTGACAGCTCTTTAATTAAGTCACTGTCTATAGCTGCTTGCGCGCTAGTCACTTTATAGAGGGCGGCGAGTTGCCATAGGCAAATAAGTAAGAAAACACCTTGTCTCATGTTGCCGCTGCTGTTCGTGATTCAGGGCATTATCGCTCGGTGAGTAGTGAACAAAAGAAGCTACAATAAGATATAATATCAGGGTATTTTAAGTTCTAATATTTCCTCAGGCGAGTTTAGCATTAATCAACATGACATAAGGTTTTGATGGTCGAACGACAAATGGAGTCATGGCCTTGGGCTCCACTTATAGATGCCCCAACAAATCATAGGACCGTCGAGAATAGATAAAGTTCGTTAACTTTAAAGAACAACATCCGTACCAAGGGAAAGATGCGGCAAATAGCATGATCTTCATAGGGCGCTCATAGGGTAGAAACTTTACCCGAAACCCCAAAAATGAGCCTCCCCTCCCACAACCGGTTCTGCTCGCTGGCAAGCACAATAAATCTTTAGTTACTCGCAGAAAGGTGTTTCTGGGTGATTGGAAGCAGTATGGATCAGCTTCACCCCTTGCGCTTCACAAATTTAAATCAACCATTAATCTATACAAAGTTAACTCAGAGCAACTTGCCAACTGTAAACACCTGAGAATAAACTTTTCTTCTATTTTATCTTCTGAGAAATCTACTTGTGACTAATTCCAGCAGTTCTACGGCTACAAGCCTGTGCGTTGGCCAGCCCAACCTGATCAAATAGTCTTTAATTGTATGTCCTTTGTAGCTATCAAGGTCCATTCTTAAGTTATTCAACGCGGAGCAGGAGAGCTGCATGGCAAATAGGTATGGAGTAGACAGATACATAAATAGATCATAGCCCACTCGGCACACATGGCATGCAGATCCGGCATTTCGAGCTTCTCCAATTTATTTGCTTCTCCAACAACGATCTTCACCTATTCCAGCCGATCATTAGTTTCGTACCTAGACAGTCTTAGAATACTAGGTATTCTTTTACATACTTTGTGTAGTGAGCACACGCCCTTATTATTATATTGAAAGGGCCCAAAACAATTTTGAGTGTCTTCCCATTGCGTGCAGCAAGATTGAGAGAAGCCAAAATGGGCAAAAATAATACAAGAGCTTGTGTAGTTGTTCGAAACTGTTGAATTGAAGTGCATAGCTCCTAATTTTTAATGTAACTCTCGTTATTTATAGATACAGTATAATAAAACCATATCCGAATCATTAATAGGAAGTCAGACTATGGGTCAATGTAACGATTTCGACTTCTAATATGGAGATATGGAGGTTTAATTATGTCCTACAAGTCAAGCTCACGATTGGCGCTTGGGATGAACGTGGCTTTGGGTTTCACCATAGACATTATAAGCCCCATTGATAAGATACAATCCATGGTCCACTCTTCTTTGTGAGACGATGGAGATTTAATTTCTCTTATTTCTCTTCATCAGTCGAATTGCTGATCCAAGGAACAGACAGTAATACTTCTGTAGAGCAGTCCGCGGTTTATTCAATATCCCGCAATCACGAACGCTTTCGCTCAATATCATATGAGCATAGTTAGACCATATTTCGTCATTAGCGCTTTTTAAGATATGGTTATAAAACATTTATTTGCACATTGCACTGTTTCTTAACGCTCGTTTTTTAATAACAATCTAAATAAAATTGAATAGCAAACTAAGGTGTTCTCGATAATTTGGGTTTCTTGAAAGAAAATAAACGCCAATAGGTTGCCGGGCATGACACAGAGATATGCATTGACATTTTCGGGTTTTTATTCAACTCTTTCTGGCTTATCTTCACCCGGTGGTCCTTCCACGAGGTGCTGAGGCTCTAGTTCCTTCTCTAAGTCTACGATTTCGAGGAGAACGGATTTTTCTGTATCTGACCGATATGCTTTCTATATTCCCTGAAATTGTTGCGTTGAGAATCATCAGCATCAAAAAGGTGCAAACTTCAGACCCTGTGAAGTCTGAACAACTAGGTCGTCTCTCAGTTGGTGCTACAGCTGTGGTAGATGTTGTGGAATTCAGGGGAAGTGATATGTAGGGAGTTATAGATCAGCTACAGGCTAACCCCTGGCCTATCTAGGAAGTAGATGTTATCCGTAGACACACCAGGAATCACAGTATCTCAATGTGGCTGATGCATTCCTATCTAAGGTGCTCAACTAACAAAAGCACTCAGGGGTAAAATGGATCGTCAGATACTCCGCAGCTCCCAGTCGGGCGGATCATATTGTTTCCGTAACAGTAGACATTCTCAATAAAATTGCTGATATCGATTGGTGCCGGAGGTGGGTGCACCAACAATGTTTATAAAGCTTATATTAGCCCGCCCGTTTGGATAGAGTATTTCGACCACCATCTCTCGCATAGGCAAATCATAAAAACACCCATCCCAAAATATCGGCTATCTCCATGGGCATTTATATCTGGGACAAGAACCTTACACAGTTCTAGACAGCGGCCTCCATGTTCGCATTTTCAGGGGTATTTTTTAGGACTGGGCAAAAATGTATTGTCCTTAGACAAGGTTTCAGCTGGGTTAAAGAAACTAATCTAATCAAGCAACAGTTAGTTGGATCCTTGGCTAGGATGTTGAGTCATGTGCGAACATAACTATAAGTTAGTTATCGCCCCTTCTGACCTGAACTCTTAAAAAAGGTCAGCGATTAGCTCTACAATATACGTGGTTCTATCTTCCCTTCTATATATATATATTCTTATTCGTACTACCATAGCGCACCATTCAGTTCGTTAGTGACCCCACGCATAACAGCTGCGGCCAAATCCTGCTCATTGCTCTGCCCACTTAGTCAGCGAACTATTTAAAGTTAACCAAAGAATAGTCACGTGATTTATTTTTATTTTTATTTTTTAAAAAAAGATGACTAAGTAGGCATTCCTCACCACCCAACAAGGAGAAAGGAGGCTGCAACAGTGTACCCTTTATGATCCTGTTTCAGGGATCACCAACTACCTAAAGACGATGAACACCATGGTTCACTTTGCATATTTTTTCACTAATGCCAGTGAGGGCCTATTGTGTAGTGATTTAGCGTACAGGCATGTCGATTGTGTGTATGCATATGTAATTGAGTAGATGGGATAGACATAAATATACCCTTCACAACCTGGAGCTCACTAACAGTCTGTATGGCGTGTATACTCGCGACACATCAAACAATCACTACGAGCGTATCGTCACCAGGGATAACCACGGGATTAGTAGGCTATTGTATCCACCCTGTCCAACCGTGTCTCTCCCAATTCACCATAGGGTTCCACCAACAACAGTCTTGTGCCTGGATTCCTAGGAGGATTGCGACACGCAAGAACGGCGAAACAAACAAACAAACAGACTACCGGCCAATGACGAGGTAAAATTCTGCCGGATTTTTTGCCAAACATTCTCTTTTGCAAAAAATGTCTCCCTTTTACACAGTTTGCTAGTGAGACCGTCAGACTCGGTTTGCCTCCAAGGGATGAGTCTAACTATAGATACTTGGTACTATCCTGAGAGACTTGGTGCTCCATGTATTTACTGCAGAATGCACGAAATTATCAGTTTTGTCTTCTTTTGATTGGGGGGGAACATGAAACTCCCAGAGTTTTTCATACTTTATTTGCTGTTTCTTATTGTTCATGCCCTTCCCAGACCAGAAAAAAGAGTCGCGGTTCTTCCTCCGAGTGCAGATCCTTTCTACAAGGCCCCAGCAGGCTATGAAGCCACCGAGCCAGGAACGATTCTAGCCCATAGAAAGGTTCCCCATCCAATTGCCGCTTTGGGCCCCATACCGCTTCGTCTTGCAGGCGCATACCAAATTCTATATCGATCGAACGACAATTTTGGAAATCCCACAGTTGCAGTAACTACGGTCCTTATTCCCCAAAATGCAGATACTACGAAACTGCTCTCCTACCAGATTCCAGAGGACGCGCCATCGCCTGACTGTGCGCCGTCATATGTTCTGCAAACAGGTCCAGAAAAGGGCGATATTCTATCGAGGCTGGGAATCCAAATCCACACTGTTTTGTTCATAGCCGCGCTGGAGAAGGGTTGGGTCGTGTCTATCCCTGACTTCGAGGGCTTACAGGGAGCTTTCCTGGCAAATCGTCGAGCCGGTTATGCCGTCCTCGATGGGATCCGAGCGGTTCTCAATTCTACGAAGTTCACAAAAGTCTCACCCAATGCTAAAACGTCGATCTGGGGATACTCCGGCGGGAGTCTTGCAACCGGGTTTGCAGCCGAGTTGCAGCCGTTGTATGCCCCCGAATTAGAAATCGCTGGTGCTGCCCTGGGAGGTCTCATCGGTAGCATTGAGAACGTTATCTATACTCTGAACAAGGGGCCTTTCGTGGGATTAGTATTCTCAGGGTTCCATGGCATGTCGCATGAATATCAGGACATCGCCTCGATAATCCGGGAACAGCTCACGGATGATCCTGTTAAGAGAAATAAGTTTCTTCAGGCGGCCGATAACTGCTTCTTGGCGAACGTCTTGCAATTTACATTCGAGGACATCTTTTCGTATTTTAAGGACCCTAATATATTGCAGTATCCCGCTGTCCAGCAGGCGTTTGCTGACAATAACCTTGGACAGTATGCGCCGGAGATTCCCTTGTTTGTTTATAAGGGAAGTTTGGATGAGATCAGCCCTGTACGTGACACGGAAAGCATTGTGTCTGGGTACTGCGCTGCTGGGACGAGCGTCAAATACAATGAGGTCGTGACTCATGCTCATGTGATATTGCAGATGGACGGCTTTGCGGAAGCTTTCGCCTGGTTGGAGAAGAGAATGAATGGTGTCCCCGCAGAGAAGAGATGCAAGCAGACTGAGGAGTTGCTGCCTTTGTCTGAACCTGGGACGCTGGATGCTTTAGGGACGACAGTTGTCGCGGAAATAGAGAATCTTTTAGGTATTTAAGGTGTTCCAGGCTCTGGCCTATTGCCTTGCTGAATATATCCGCATTAGACATGACTACGAGTGGGGGACCTTGTCCAAGTCCTCTGTAGTGCGTAGTCAGGCCGAATGGGAGTGGCGGAGCTTCTTTTTTGATGCTGTATCGTTCTGACATCCTGACCGCACTTATTCGTGCATTAAGATAGACCAGTAACTATAGAACATGACCATGACAGGCTCAGGTGATACACATTAACTTACACAACTATCATACAGTTAAATCAACCAACTACACACCACATCACACCCCCCAATTCTGTATTACGAGGAAGCCGCGGGGTGACAAAACATAGAAGGGCTGTACCATGTTGGGCATCAATTGAGAAGGGCCGTACGCATATGTACCGGAATTGCACAACAGCTCGAACACTCTCTCTTTCCGTTTTAGTGCTCACTGAGCAGGGTAGCCTCAATAAAATGCACCACGCTAAAGACTAACGCTAGTGTCTACTTTCCCTTGTAGCGCTCTTTGACAGTCATCTGGTTTTGCCTACTTAAAGAGATGGCATTATCAGTGGAAAGGGCAATTGTGGCTATCGTTCCTTCTCAAAACTTCAGAGGGGATAAGTCCGATTGACCTTTTTCTTTCTTTTTCATTTTCTTGACCTCTTCGCGGTCTATTTTCACTATCGTAGTCAGTGGGCATCTGCTAAGAATCCATCTAGAACCTGCTATTGAATGGTCAAACTACATGAAGCAGGAGTTAATCTGCTCTATTTGAATTGGTTGTCACTAATCTGCATACCTGCCCAGATATAGCGCATGCTTTCCTGACGATCAGAGATCTAGCCAGCATCGATTCCTACGAAACCGCTTAGACCCATTGTGTAGAACAGGCTACTCAGGCAGTTAACCAGACCCAGCCGCAGGAGACTCATTGGGCAAATCAGAGTGGCTTGTTGAAGCGGTGGACTATGTGGGCTAGACCAAAATGCCAAAGGATTACGAATTTCCCTTGATGAGCATGATGAGCGACTTCACTGCCAGCACAGGAAAATGGCACTTTGGTCGGACTGTGCTTTATGACGACACTGCTTATCATTTCATGTCTCTAGCTATGCCCAGTTGCCAAAATATGTTGACGATCAAAAGGCGTCCCGCTTTCATGGCGAGCCAGCTTATTGAAATATTGGTAGTGATGTATTTGACATCACCTGTGAGCTATGCAGGAGTGACAAAGTTGCACTCGCATCTGATCGCCCCTTTTCTAGATTCTAGCAATTTCAATTCGCTGATCCAAATGGTTATCGACAGCCTGTCAATGGTACAAATTTTGCCACAAACCCTAGGAAGGTGGACTTTTCAACAATGATGGTAGCTGAAAAACATCCGTGTGATATGTTCCTGAATGAATAGGCCAGTAACCTCTTATTCTGTCACTGCCATATACATTAATACATTTCATGATAAAGCCAGTCTGTAATTATTGAAAATAAAGCAAACAAATAAGCATCAAAAAAAAGTGCGTGGCTTTATTTTCCTATCAATCCCTCTGATAGAAAGATCTACGCTTCCTACCATACCAGCTTCTCCACATGGACTGAACTTCTAGCTCCCACGAAGATTCACTTCGCTCCAGAGATCATCCTATGTCCGGAGAGTGTACTCCAAGCTCTCAGGAACAGGCTCGGTCATTCTAGGAGCTCTGGTCCGGCTCTTAGGGGTCCGGATAATCCCGGGAGCAAGCAAACTGTCCAGCTATACACCCAATGACCACAAAGACTGGCTTATCTGATAACGACAGCTGGCCATTATCCGCCGGCAACTGTGTTACTGAACCGACTTTGCCCGTCAACTGGAAATGGCACTGTTTCTTTCTCATGCCAACTTGATTCGTCGGTTGTCTCGTTGCACCTAAATTCCGACAAGCCACACCAAGCCCGTGAGTACTCAATTGACCTTTTTTACCTGTATAATCTAGACAGTCAACATAAAAATCTGTAGACCATGCAATGACGTTCGGTTTCACTTCAGTACCCAAATCCCTCAGTAGGAAAATTCTCTCCATGTCAACACTGCAGAATCTTTACGCATGAGGGATATTAAGGAGTATCCTGCCTTTTGATGGCTGCTCTAGCGGCATCAGACTTGGTTCATTGCTTGCACCGCTTCTCCTCGAACTTTCATCTTCATTGCGCCAGAATTTCCTTCACCCCCTTAGAGATATAGACCGAACGATGCGAAGGCTCGATTCTTGGACTCGAAAGTGTCAAATACTGATCTTGGAACCTCACTCCAGCTTGTTGAACTACGAATAGATCCCTTGCTTACTCCGATCGTCCTAATTTGGAGGTGCAGTTCCTACCTAGAGTCAGAAATTCGGCTATCCCCGAAGAGCAAATAGAGTACGATTGGTAAAATGGTCTTATTTGAATGAATTGAGCTGGTTGGTCTGTTCGAGTGGTGACATGGACAATGTCAGTCAATCCAGACCCGGCGCCATTAGTAGAGTGACGGGTCAATTATTCAATGATTGCGTATGCCACTAAATAGTTAACATTAATTAGGCGAGAATTATATAATTACTGTACTAATAGTTAGGATGTGCTTTTACTTAGTAATACAGTTAGCTGTATAGGGTTATGTACTAAAAATTTATTACTTAGGTTATACAAGAGCCCTGCAAAATATATTATATTATAGTATATATAGTAAATGTATCTACTAATATACCAATTATTATGCTATAGCAGCTTTTACAGTAAGGTTCTTGTAACAATGTAAAGGTAACAGTAATATTAGCTTCTCTTTTCCAGCAACACAAGGCTGGCGGCCGCCCTTAAATCTTGTTCAGTCCTTTAAGCTTATTTTTAAGCTGCTAAGTTTCTATATTTACTTACATACAATTATATACATTTGCAAACTGGCATAGTAGTATTAGTACCCAGCTAACATAAGCATGCACAATAGCGGCATTGGACCAGGATATTTGCTAGGTCCGAAACCTTAACAATCCCGGCCGTGCAAATCCGGTATGTGGATATGCCGCAGAAAGCAGAAGAAATATCTCTCCTTTATAATATAGTTGCATAAGCCGGCACATGCCTGCTAGCCGGATATCTAGTCTTTCCAGTGACCTTCACCTCTTTGCACGATTCTGCAGTGGTTGGAGAAATAGCGACTTATAACCACGCTGGCTCCGTGGTATCTTATGTATTTAGAATCCGCCCCTCCTTGCATTAGCAATAGTGGCTTGAACACTGGGCACTTTAGGATGCGGCTGGCTCTGCTAGTTTTAACTTTTTATGGCTGGCAAAGCTTATTTTCCTGTAAGTGGCCTGATAGTAAGAATCTACCTATACTGTATACTAATTTATAGACCGGTACTTATTTACTCCGCTACTGGCCTGGTTAATATCCTGCTTAATGTCTACGCAGCTCGGCATGGGACATGGTCTGTGATAGTAATTATAACAGTTACTCTGACCGGCCTATTTACAGTACTCGCGGGCATTCTTTTCATGTCTGTTTAGTTAGCAGTGCTCCAGAAGATCAAGCGCGAGCACCAGACCCTGGTTAAGAGTGCTGCTCTAGTTCTTAAGGCAATAAACGTTTATTCCTCTAGTGTTTTTGCAAGACTTGTTAGAGTAGGCTTTTGATAGAAACTACGCAAGAGAAAAAGCCTAATGGAATAGATAATGCACGCCAACTTAACTAAGTCTAACTAACAGGTGGATAATATAGCGTACAAGCTCGAGCACTAAATGCTGCACCGGCACTTTTAGTGTGAGAACAAAGGTAGGGTGAATACTATATCCGTAGCTAAGACGTACCTTGCTATGGGACGTATAAGTATACATATTACAGAGAATGGATCCAATTCGTGACTTACCCTCTACCACCTTGCCCAGGTTCCGTTCAGGCGAATATCATGGATTGTAGCATCCTTGGAATATCCGGCAATAGTCAGAAGCACATGAAACAAAAGCAAAATCTCTTCTTTGTTGAGGGGTATGTCCTGCGGTCTATTGGCCGTGATGTTGGGAAAAACTGGCTTTTCCAAGGCGTCTTCTTTCTATCGTAGTGGGATTTCGGGAATCTGCCCCCCATGGAGGTTGAACTGAGCTAGATCTTCCAAAGTGTTGATGCCAAAGAGAACTTCCTGGGAAAGTGGGAGTATAACAAGAAAAATCCTGGATGCAAACTGGGGGCGGTCATGGTCTCTGATTCCAATTCCAAACCCATGTATCTTTTAGTAAGTTATAATCTAATAACCAGTAGTTATGATCTCACCGATTACTAATATCAAACTGGCAGCCCCATACTGTATACTTGGGGTTTCGGTTCTTCTTTAACCATTTTTGGTTAACCCGCCACCTTATCCTGAAAAAGTTCGTTTTTGGACTAGAATAAAACTAGCTGTGTCCTGTACATCGTCAGCCAGGCTATAAATGAACCATAGAATCTTACCATATACCTAAGGCCTCTTTCCTTTCTATGTTTTGCAGCAGGAATAAACGCTCCAATCCTCGCCCAGGTGAAAAGGTAAACCTGCAAGGCAAAACCAAGAAGGACCTTGAGGAAACCCTGCATAAAACTAGGACTGTCGCGTCTCCACAACGATGCAACAGTGTTTCCGGTGTCATCCTTACCGAGGGGAAACTTTTGTTTCTTGGTGTCCTCATTGAGGTTCTCTTCTGTCAGGGTTCGTTTTATCCACTTGCGTTTTGTTAGCGTGGGCGTTCCTCCCCGAAGCCCGCTACTTACCTGGTATGTTTCCTCACGATCCTCTTTTTTGATCTTGCTTTTGGTGGCATCTTTGAAGCCCCTGAAAAAACTTTTCAGCACATGCTAAAATGGTCCTTACTGTCCCTCTTTTGATTTCACCGAATCTTCCTATTCCTTCAATCGAATGGATGTACCAACGGAACAGCCCTCCTTTACCTCGTAGCCGGGCGGCTCAAGCTCATCTTCTACTAGGAATCTGACACAGAAAAGTGAATTAGGGTAGGCAGAAAAATAAGTTACATTGACTGACTCGTTATACAGTTTCACATATTCGGACGGTAGCTGCTTGGCTTCGTCAGTGCGTTTATGCTTTCCACGTTTAGCATCCCCCTTCCTATGAGCGGTCGGATTATAGCCACTTGCTAGACGCTTTTAGCTCTGTGGCCCGCTGCTTATTTCTGTAATCTATAGCCGTTAGATGGTCTGCTAACTGCGGCATGGCACGGTAGAACAAAAAGAGTCTATTTGGGTTCCTGGATCCTGGCAGGACTCGATCTCTTTAGCGAAGTCCGCATATGCTATGCTGCATGGTGAAACTCTGGATGATTATAGGCCGGGTTGCTTAGGAAAATCTGGCGCAGCGCAACAGAATTTTGCAGAATCACCTCTTGAAGATAGAATAACAGTCTTGTCAGGCCTGCAGCAGCCAAGTCATTAATCTGGTCCGGCTGTGGCCCGAAACATCCCTTCCAGGTATCTAATTTCGGCCAGATAATGGATAAGATCTCATCTGATCGTTTGATATTTGCACGGCTGACTTCGAAGCATCCCATCCAGTATAAGTGACCGGCCATGACCCTCATAAGCCTGCATGGTAATGATACCGAATCATCTGCTCTTAATTCCATCCCGCACGCCGTGCGTCTTCACTGATCCCCCTGAGCTCTGCCGTCTTGTACCCAGCGCTCCGTCCAATATAGGTTTTCTTCTGTGAGAAGATGCCCGCATATGTCGAGGCTTTTGCTACCCAATCCCGCTGTGAATTATAAGAGAAAGCAGCTTTTGGTTCCCCAGTGCTACTTTTGATCAGTCGCGTCCCATACCACAGCGATCACTTGCTGAAATCCGGCAGGGGCTCATCACCAAGATCCCAACGAAAGAGCAGATAGAAGGCAAGGCCACTCAGTATACTAGACGAGACATTTCTTGTTGAGAGCAGCAATAGACTCCAGGCGGCCAAACAGGTTCTGATGAAGGGGCTGGGGCTTAACGCTGATTTCCACAGAGACGACAGGTCGTGTACCAGGGCAGCCTTGCATCAGTTATAGCTAAGATCGACGCCCACAAGTCGACAGTGACAGAAATGAGAGAGGATCAAACACCCCGCATAGTTACCATCACCGGAAGGGCCATCCACCTATCTGTACCGGAGAATCTCGATCCATGTGCCTTGGATGTGGCCGACCTATTGGTGGAGGACGTGACCACTCTGCAACTATGCGGGCTCGCCGCGCAGTCGCCGATGTCGAGTCCTGATTTCATTGTACTTGCCATGTCCCGTATGATCCTCCACGACCAGTTCTGGGGTACTCTTGCCAGCACGTTGAGCCTTCTCGAACAGAGATATTCGGTCACTCAGCGGCCGGCCTCGCTGAGTGGTCCGGAGCAATACGGAGAACGATCCTCCTTGCCCCCCATGCCATGCAAAACCACAGTGGATTGTGATACCTTCGCCGACCTTCCGGTGACCCACCGGTTGGACAGGCAATTGGAAGCTAATACCGAAATACCCTCTTCAGGTCCGGACAGCCCTCACCTGGCTCAATCTGGCTTAGAAGACAAAACGTTTTATGGGCAAAGCCAGAGTACAGGCCCTCCAGGTTGCAACCATCATCTCCTGAATTATTGGGGAATTTTCGAAAGGAAACCAGGACTCAGCCGATCCGCCTGCATTGGTAGTCTAGATAATAGTTAATATTCGTCCTACATGCATTGAGAACTAAGAGACCGCGCACAGTTGTAGTGTTCAAATTCAATATGTACGCAGTAGAATTATACACTCATACGCAAAATAATCAATCGTAACCATAAGACAGCTATGCATGCTCTGTATACGGAGGCGGCGCATCTGCCTCGTCATTCTCTGAATCCGAACTCTCTGAATCCGGCTCCATCTTCATCCACACCTCGGGCTCCTTGGTGACAATTCCCTCTTCTGATAACTCCAGTGGCTAGAGCCGTCAGCGGTGATCCTCACCATAATAGAAAACTGTGAGAACATACCTGTCCACCTCTCCCGAGAGCCACAACCTCCCTATTCCCCATTCTCCCCACCAACCTCCCCTTCTTCCACACCCCATACCTCAGAACCATCCCCTTAAAATCCGACTTAATAATCATACAATCGTTCACATCACAATCAATCAACTGGCTCTTCTTCACCCAACTCCGTGCTAGCCCCGTGCCATCCAGCCTACTTTTTCGCACGAGGCTCTCCTCCACTGCCGAATCGCTCACTTTGCTCCGCGCAACGGAACTGTCGCTGACTGTCGTGTTCTTGACATCACTGCGTCGTGTCACCACGGTCTGCAGCTTAGAGTCCTTCGCGGACAAGTACTTCGCGCCAGAATTGAGAACGATGCTGTTCTTGATGTTTGAGCGACGGGCGTCGGAGTTTGATAAAGTCGAGTGGACGACCCGCGAGCGGTTGATTACCGTTCTCGACTGCGCGTATTTCTTCTTGTGATGCTGCGGAGCGTCGGGTTCCAGGGGTCCGAGGAGCGTCGTCTGGTCGAGTTCGCTGCGGTCGATTGAGTCTGACGGGGTCAGGTTCGAGAATGTGGTTTCGTTGATCGTAGAGCGGGAGATGGATGGTGAGGATATGGGGAGGGTGGTGTTGGTAATCTTGCTGCGGTGGGGCATTTTGATTGTTATTTATATAAATATGTATATACTTTGTGATGATGGTGATGGTGGAGGAAAGGATAAGGGTGACAGATGTTTTTATGGTGAGAGTCAAGTCATATGAGGGGTGTCAACATAGTTTATTTTATGGTCGAAAAGTTGCTGCCTGTTACGTAGACTCGTATTGGTAGATTTCGTATTCACGATGGACTAGTGGATTCATAAGCGAGTTGGCTGTGTTAAAGGTATATGTGATTGGTCTGGGCTTTATTATATTCTAAATAATAGAGGGGTAGAACTTGTTATATGCTTGAATGCTTGGGAGATCCACTGTGGGTTCGGAGGATTGGCATCGATTCACTTACGGGATCTAAAGAGATATCTTAATTTTTATACATTATTTTTTAAAAGTACCGTAAAGTGCGTACTAAGTAAAATATATGTGTGTTTTTGTAGTAGCAGAAATATTTATTCTTGCTGTGGAAGCAGGGCAGATTCGCGAAATATTATATTTTAATACTATTAAGTATCTCAGAAAATAAATATATGACTAGTATATTTACGTTGTACCATGGAAACTAAAATCTACTACAACAGAATCTGGGCAGTGAACTCCTATTCCACTAAAGTATATATTTCACTGTTTTGATTATCTAGGTAGGAAACAGTGCATGTCTATTTTAGCAAATAGTACTACTAGTGAATTTCCGGTGGTTTCTTCTTCCAGTGACAACAATCTTGTATTATGACTAGAACAACTGGGCTTAAATATTATCCGCTAGAATTGTGTCTTCTATTTAATAATAATAATAATAACAATGACCATTATCATGACAAGGCATCGTCCAGGGAGTACTTTCTCGGCTTGCTGGGGATAGAACCGCTTCGTCTTTGAGGTGAACTCGAGCCGCACGAACGTGTTTATAGGCTCCACCACGAGTGGATGATGGAAGCTTACCGAGCATTTATCCCTTTGATCAAGTCATCGCAGACTATCCAGGCACTACCTGCTTTTACCAGGGTGTGGTTCCTTTTCCATCCCGACCCCTGCATTACATAGGGAACATATGCTAACAAGTTTCTCTTTGACTGATTAGGCCCCTTCTGGTGCCCCTCCACGGACGTAGCATCCGCACTGGAGGAGCTGCTCCTCGGGAACTATTATCCCCTATCCCATCTACCACATCATGAATCCCCCGCGGCAGCTGTGGGAAGAGATGACCCGGATCCTGGGCGAGGCACTGGACATTCCGGCTACGAACAGGGTTCCTTACGAAGAATGGGATTGCACGGATGTAGAACTACCCGGGTTCCGTGGGGACCGGGAATCTGGCTGCTTTGATTATTGACTTTTTGGAGACGCATTTTGTGCGCATGTGATATGGGGGCCTGGTTCTTGACACAGCCCATGCCAGAGAGCATTCGCCGACTCAGGCGGGTCAGGGCCCGGTGGACACCAGTATGGTTCAAAAATACATTTCAAGTTAAAAAATATGGGGTTTTTGAAATGAGCTTAATGATGCTTTCTACAGAAATACCAGAAACCCTGGGTAGATGTCGCTGAATGTGGGAGCTTGACTATATAGATTTACAGGTTACACGTCTCCTGCGCTGTCTCGATTTTTGCCAAGTAGTGTTCTATCAGGGTTAGTATGTCAACTATAGTTTGTAAAGTGGGCTTTATACTTGCAGCCACCCATCTCATAGCCAGATACCCCAGTAGGGATTTTAGGGGCCGGATCGACGGCTCCGGGTCAACAGCCCCAGACACTCTGGCATCGCTAAGACTCAATATTGCGGCCTTGTATAGACAATGAGGGAGAAACACGGACAAAGTCGCCCTCTCGATCGGGGTGGTAATGTTCCCGCGCGCAATCTCGTGGACGAGGGACTTGAGAATATTGAGTGAGGTATAGATACAGCACTCATTGTCGTGGATATCCATGTGAGATCCAACCTCGAGGATTTCCAGCATAGCACTAGTTTGTAGCCTAGGGATTAGTCACTCGGTTCCGAACTTGAACTAGGCAGCGTTACCTTCTGCATAGTGCCAGTGCGCTATCTGACAGAGGATGCAGGTTCTCGTCACCACTTTGAAAGGTCATCAGGAACGAGGTCAGGGATTTGAGGATCTGGACCGCCTCGGCTTCATTGAAGAGGGGATGCGATAGTGTCGCATGAACGTGGACCAGCACCTGATCCAAGAGCCGGGATGCGTGGGCCAACTTGGTGAATGAATCCATCTCCACCTGCGCCCAATCTTCAGAGTCCTATTTTCGGAGTCAATTTCTGATGAAGTTGAGTGAGGGCTTGGTAGTCAGTGAGTAAGTCACTCACCCTGTTACCCCCAACCGTGTCTATGCATCGTCCATGGGGAGTATTAGGCGCTTGGCCGCTTTCAAGCGAAGCATATCTATCACAGTTCTTGATTTAGTCTGGATACCATCTGATGTGCATTGTCAGGGGCCTGGTCTAACCTGTCAGTGATGACGATACCGCGCCAGGTCTGCCGTGCCTCCTCGGCTTTCTGTGGATCCGGGAATACCTTGCGTAGGTCCTCGCAGGTAGCTCCGATCCCCAGGGTGACTGCGGCGCGTATATTAGCTGCAGTGGAGATGTATGCGGAGGGGTACATGGCATGACCGATCTCGAAGATCGTCAGGAGGAGTCGACACTGCAGCATTTCCAACGAGATCGTCCCCATCGCCTCCAGAAGAGCTACAAAGCTCTTGAGTAGAGCATACAGCGATTGGGTCGGGAGCGGAATCTCTCTGTCTACAGGCACCTTGCATACGAGGGCCATACAGAGGGTCAAGAGACTAAAGTCGGATGGGGCAGTGACCGTCTGGGCACGCATGTTTGATAACCGGATATTATATGCGGGTTCCGACACGATAGGGAACCAGCTATGCACCGTTCGGAAATAAACGGCTGCAGCGGCTTGTAGCTGCAGTCCATCGCCCACAATTGATGAAACCTGAGCTTCGAGTGTATGACGGAGGTTGGAGGGGGTTAAGTCGGCCCAGTCTGGCACGGGCACCAAACGAGGGGTTTCAGCTGGAAGGGGATAGCAACAAGGTTTATTTAATCTAGATTGATTAGCATGCATCATGTATAGTCCTAGACCAAACTAGCACACCGTTTACAAAGAGTACAGAAGGGGAGAGTCTTGTCACATTTCCGTTTCTGCCTCCGGCAGCAAAGGCAGGCGACGGCCGACATGGTTGCTGCGGGTGCGGAGGCGGAGGCGGAGGCTAAACCCTTTTTAAATCATGGACCGTCGTGGATATAATTGACTCATCAGTGGCATTTAATTCTGAATTAGGTTTAGACTCCGCACCCGCATCCGCATCCGCATCTACTGACCAGGATCATGATCCATAATCCTGGAGGCATGTTAATGATGTTATCTTATATATTATACCTCAAATGCTGTAAAAGACAGACATGTTCTCTTCCAATATCTTTAATTCACCGCCTTTTACTTTTATCAGCAATGGGGGTGATTCGCAACGTTGCCATTGCTGGGGTATGTCGAGTGCTCGTTCTCCTGCTGTAATTAGGACTAATATATGTATTCCATGATGTTTAGGCCTCCGGAGACCTGGGCTCCCATGTTTTCCATGCTCTTATGCAGAGCGAACTTTTCAATGTGACTGTTCTGACGCGCCAGTCATCTCAAGCACAATTCCCGGCTTCCATAAATGTTATCCGCGTGGACTATACCTCGGTCCCGGACCTGACTACGGCTCTGACTGGCCAGGATGCCGTGGTCTCAGTCCTAACAACCAGTGCCACGGAGACACAGCTCCCGCTGATTGAGGCCGCAGTGGCAGCCGGAGTAAGGAGATTCCTTCCCTCCGAGTTCTGTGCGAATATTAGTAATCTCAAGGTGGCCGGCTTGCCCGTCTACCACTCCAAGCTCGCGATACATGACGTTATCAAACAACAGGCTCGGGGCAATTCGCATTTCACATACACCTTGATTCGCAATGGGCCCTTTCTTGACTGGAGCCTGGCCTATGGCTTCTTTTTCAATCTTAACGGAGGATCGACCCCCTTATACGACGGCGGGGACCATCCGTTCAGTACAACTACCTTGGCCACGATCGGCCGGGCCGTAGTGGAGGTCCTGCGTCACTTGGAGGAGACACGAAATCGGGCGGTGTTTGTTCAAGACCTCATGACCACCCAGCGGAAGATGCTGGCTATTGCCCAGAAGGTTGCACCGGATCGTAAATGGACCCCGACAGATGTGAGCACCGCTGACATGGAGACCATGGCGTGGGATAAATATGCCAACGGGATGGTCGATCTGGAGGCCTCGATGGGATTTTTTTGCCGCTCGGTCTTTGGGGAGGGGTACGGGGGAGAGTTCCAGGAGTTGGACAATAATTTGCTCGGCATTCCGTTGAAGACGGACGCTGATCTGGAGGAGTTAATACGGGGAGTGCTGTCCAATGGTATCTAGTGCACGGTGACGGATACCTCGTCCTCGCTGGTGGTGGGGACGCGTAAGAAGTTCAATGAGTACCCATTTATGAAGTTAGTTCCGCGTGCATTATATCGAAAAGCAACCCCCCGCAGACATTCTTCACAGTCAACAAGTTGTTCTGGCCACCAGCTGCATCCATGCCACCCACGACTGGTGCAGTTGACCAGAAACGCCCACGAGGTCCTGCATCACCCCGGGCGCCTTGTGATGCTGGAGGTGACGTGCAGTATGACCTGGATTGGTATGATCTTTGACCTGTTGAAGGGATGGCGGCTGTTTAATGACGGAAGGCATCACGTCCTGGCGAATATCACCCGCTAGGAATCAGCGTTGCACTCGGCTGGATACTGGCAGGTTCCGTGCACCCAAGGCAGGCGTTCCGAAACGACGATCCAACGCGTCATTGTCGCCTTGGCCGAGAGGTACCATGCTCCCTACTCCTCTTCCTCCTCTTCCTCCTCCTCCTCCTCCCCCCTGCAGGAACCCCGGGATGTTGACCCGCTGGCTCGCCAAGTAGTCCTTGACCCATACGTCCAACGCTACATCGAGGACTTTCGAGTACCAGGAGGCCCTACAGCCCTGGTGCCTATGGGCTATACAATTGCGGCCCATCGCAGATTGCGGCACAATCTTATCGAACGGTCGTCTCTTGTCACCAGTGGGGGCATAGATTGGATCTGTAACGGGCGATTTATCTCGGGGGTCGCTACATGCCAACACTACAAATCCAGCTTCGTCCCTATCATGTCCGGTATATTGAGATCTGACCATTCCATTGATAATGAATCTGACTAAATCTTCAATTTTCCTACGGTGGCTTTGCGTCACTCTGTTGATGAGGAAGATTTTAAGGACGAGCCGAAGAAGCCCGGAAGACTGCTAGGACTGACGAAGGAGAAAGGCTGCCTAAACTGAGCGGGGTTAATATTATGAAAAATATTGATCTTAGCCATGAGTAATCTTCATGTACCTAGGATGCTAATCGGCCATGCTATTCCAGAGCTTGGCCTTGGCCGAGACTGAGAGGGAGATGGAATTGTCAAGTACATATTCGGATTCTAAATTTTCTATTTCTGATTCCCATGTGATCCGGGATGTGCAGGCGAGCGAGCCAAGGGTTTCAAATCCAAATAAGTGGTCGACAGTTCTTGCTGAGCTGGGGGGACGCGCATACTTAGGACGATGTATACATTCAACCTCGGTGCCTAACCACACATCCCTTGGTACAACACTTTAATAAGAACTCACTGGACTAAAAAGTACCATGACATATAAATAGCCAGACAACAGGGACAACGGGGACAATAGGGATAATAGGGACATTGGCCCAAGAGGTCAAATGGGCTCTAGCCCTTTACATAAATGTACCCTTTGTTAAGTACATATTCAAGGCTCCATCTTCCACAGCTCCATTTTTAACCTTAGATTGTTCAATATTGCGCACAAACCGCAGCAACGGAAAGACGCCTTTACGTGCTGCTGGGGACAATTTAAAAAACTTAGATCTACCCCCACAATATGAAGACGGTGGTCTTGAAAGATTGGACGCTATTTCAACATTCCATCCAACCTCTACACATCCCTTACAATACCAGCAACCAATACCCAACACAGCCATTTCCCGTCTTGCTTTACTATAATTAATACCCATGGATGATTCTTACACACTTCCTAACTAATTAGGGTTTATGTGTAGTTTGCCGTCTTGCCGGTATACAGGCAATTTATCCCAACACATTCCGCGTCGCACCAGATATACCAACAACAATAAAAAATAATCGACTTTGTCCGGCTCTTCTCGCTATAACTATGCAGCCTTATGTTAAAGTTATGTAAGGCTAGATCCAGCTGGTTAGTTAACTACTTGGACTGTGTTCAATCCTTTACCCCACCATGAGACTCCCTGAGCCACTCTTATTTCATAAGATTTGCCCTAGTGTTTGGCCAAGCTTCATATTTTCAGTTGAAGAACATATGCAGAGAGGCACTGTGAATCACCCACTGTATTCTTTCACAGTATCAACAATCTGGTGTAGAGTTGCATACCCGAATCGAAAAATTCGCCCGCACCCAATCCAGTAGTACTATTCTAGGGATCAGAGACACCCAAATTCATTGTTCATAACTTTCCTTTACTTGGCACTGCAGCATCCAGGCTGAGGACCCTCGCAGCATTACCACCAAAGAAATCCTCTTTAACCTCATCGCGAAGTCTGATGTCTCTATTTGCCGACTCTATGCATTTGGCCCAGCTCAGCTGCGGGAAGTTCGTTCCAAACATAACTTTCTTTCTTCCGGTGGTGTTTGCGAAGTGGATTAATTCCTGAGGTTTGGCATTATCTGTTAGCCAACTGGATAAAACACGCCTCGAGAAATGGACCCATTACAGGTGGATAATATTTTGGCAGATACGCCGAAGTGTCGATGTAGACATTAGGATGTTTCCAAGCCACTCCAATCATTTCCTGTGTCCAGGGAAACCCGATATGTCCGCAGACGATAGATAAGGATGGAAACGCCAACGCCACCTCATCAATATACTGAAATCCGTTAGCTATGCAGTTTGCTTATATAGAGTCCCTCGGGATGTTACAGGGACTGGTCGGCCAACTTCACTAGGGCAAAGGGGCCCAGTATGTCCGACCTGTGTGAGCTAATATCGAACGGTATCAGTCAACATCAACAATGTCACTAAGCGAACAGCTTAACTGGGTACGCACAAAAGGGATTTTAAGTTCAATACACTTGACATAGAGCGGCCAACTGTCCACCAGGTTTAGTCATGTTTTCAACCTTACTATACATGATGTTGAGCCTACTAATGCTTATCAGTTGGCGGTAAGTTCCATAGCCATGGAACCACGCGGACGCCTTTGAACCCTTCGACTTTCACGTAGTGTTCGACTTCCTGCACGTAAGATACCGGGTTATGTAAGTCGACACCGGCAATACCAATTAAACGGTCAGGGTAGGCGCGAGTAAACCCGGCCACTTCTTCGTTGGAAAACACTGCTTGTCCTGGCCGATACCATGCACAGAGGCATATCTTTGAAATACCGGCAGCGTCCATGAGAGCAATAAGCTCATCGGGTGTCCGTCGCTTGGATAGCAAGCTGGTATCCGCATGGGACTGTTCGAATAAGCGGCGGATCTCAGGGACGCCCTCCTGTCACAGGTACAGTTAGCAAGAGAAGATCGAAGGAGGGATACATTTAATTGCTGCATTGTTCAAGGAACAGCTTGATTTACTTACGTCCAAAGGAAGGACAGGGTTTGCCCAAACATCAATAATGGGGAAAGACATTGTCTGTTCCATTTAGATAAAGTATAAGAGAAGTTAACAAATAATACTTTAAAGGGGCTGGCTGGGTTAAAACAGGAACTACCCCACAAAGTAGTTGCGGAGAGCAGAGATATTACAATACAATCCCGTAGTACGAGTGGACGCCGGATCTTTCGGTTCTCCAAAGACCGACTGGGTTAGTCATGATAACGTGCCCTCGCTTCTGCCTCGGCACAGATCACGCTTCTCAGAACAGGATCGGCTCTTTGAGAAGGTAGACTAGACATAGATTGCTGTCAAAATAAGCTAGTCCAGATCGGAACATCATGTGAAATATGTATTCCCAATACCTCCCATGGAGTGGTTGGGCAGAGCATCTTTCTGAATACAATCAATTTAGATCTCCCACTAACTTATATGGAGCAATTGCATAATCACTGTAAGGCACTGGTCAGTTGTCGGACGTCTAACTTTACGGATCACTCACAATACTGGACTGAGGCAATTTCATATTTCATATTTTGCCTGATGTTCAACAAGACTACTTGCTCTCATTGGAGCCGTGAAGAGCTAGTATAAAACTAGGCTTTACGTTAGCCAGAGCTCCAAATAAGATCTATAACACCCTTTTGGTTGGCATCAGCAAAAAACAAAAAGAGAGAGATCGAGTAAAAGGGTTGTAGAAATTGTTGTATTTCTCTTCTACCGTTAAATATTATACGCCCAGTGCTCAACATCAGGCCCTTTCAATATTCGGTTCTGATGGAAAAGCGACCTCAGTCAAGGTTTCGACTTGTATATATGAAGCAATAAAACTATTCATAGAAAGTTGATCCGTATAATAGCCGCATAAGTTTAAGCATCTATTTCTTACACTGTCACTACTATTGGCATGAATGGAATATCTATAAAGGATATATTAAGATAACAAGATTCCGACCTAGAATGTGAATGCGAAGTTCTCGACCTTTTAAGAAGCGTGCCTTGCGAAGAGCTCCAAAATTACTCGCACTCCCACCTCTCTGACATATAATAAATATGTAGAGGCTCATCTTCAGATCTACAGCATCCCAGAATCTAAGCTTCGGTTCTAGAATTCTCTTTTACTCCTATCCTTATTGCTGTGGATTTTTCCTGCTGAAATGGTCTGGAATTTCTTAATGAGCACCATTCAGAAAGTTGCCCTTCCAGATCTAAGCTCTTATCAGGAATAGTATATTGTCTTATATTAATTAACGTCTCTACAGAGAGGTTTTCTTGGATCCGCAATCCTAAAACCACTTCCTTATACTGGATTCACTGTATCGGTTCTTACTCGCTCCCGTACCTCAGTAAACGATGTCCCGTTTGGTTTCGAAGTTGTTGAAGTAGACTATGCCTCTGTTAATCGCCTTGTGCATGAGCTTCGTGGCCAAGACGCCGCTATCTCCGTTGTGACGGCTGCTGTCATCTCCACCCAGAAGCCATTACTTGATGCGAGTGTCCGGACAGTCGTCAAGCGCTTTTGTTCCCGCGGACCACGGGCCCCGACCACTCATATAGATGCGAAACCATTCCCTATTTACGCATGTTTGAGATCCGGAACTACTTGAAATAGAAGTCCGTCTCGAAGGGTTTGGAATACACAATTTTCGCTACAGGCCTTTTCTGGAACACGTTCTGGATTCTCCTGCTGTTATCGAATCTATATAACCGGTCCGTTGTACTATTATGACCATGAGCAGCATCCTTTCAGCACAATCAGTGTGGTCAGTATTGGAAAGGCAGTTGTTGGCAGCACTAGGAATGCCCAGGCTACGAAGAATCGAGTTATTCATATCCACGACATCATGGTAACACAAGCCAAGCTGTTGGAACTGGCGAAGAAGCATACAGCAGGTTGAGGGCAGCAACAGTGGATTGAAACCGTCGTTAGTGAAGCTGAAATTTCAAAGATTTTGGATAGCATCGCAGAAGACGGCATTGACAAGCCAAAAGCAATAACTCTGGTTAGGACAATCATCCTTAGCGGGAAATATGCCGCATAAATATAAGTCCGTGGATTATGAGCTTCTCGGTTTGGGATACCTTAGTTAACAGGAACTGGAAATGAAAATTTCTGCGAAGAGTAAATTAAGAGGCTGATTCTCAATGCTTCAATGTTTAACATGAATTGTTGAGATTCGACAATATTGCTGGAGAGAATCAGATCAGAATGGGTGTAGTAAATAGCAAGTACATTCGGGAGGATATGTACAGTGGATGGATGGATGGATTTCATTTACCCTGACCTCTCGCCAAAGCGATATGCAGGCTACCTCAACTATATATCTCTGTATGTATATGTAGAGAGCACGACTTCCTGAAAAACGAACTTAGAGCCTCGTCAAGGCCTGTCGTGGCCTAATTGCCGCTCCCATTATTAGGCTGCCCTCGTGGCGCGCGACTTCGGAACCGCTGTGACGCCTCTGCGAAGTCCAAGACGGTCTTGACCGTCCGGGCCCGCGAGACGGTGTCTGGTTTACCTTTCTTACCTTCTTTTGAGCCTCCTAGCAGACTCGACGTGCAATTAAACGCGTCCCCAACTCCTCTCCTCAACTCCCTTCGCAATTCCCTTAATTTAGGGCAGTCCACTAGCACATGGGTGACTGTTTCTTGTGCGCTGCACGCGCAGTGATCATTGTCACGAAATCGATGAGCCTTGGCGTAGGTGGACAACCAACTGTGGCCCGTTTGTAGCTGCGTTAGCAGGTATGCACGGTTCCTCGGTAAGGGATATGTACAGTGATATGTGACTTCTACTTCCCACCCAAAGACAAAGAATGCTAGTTCTGAACCCTAATGCGCCAAGATTGATATAGAGCGTTCCTGACTTGTTATGAGACTGAAACATACATTACCGGACGGCTTGAAAGATTATGTGACCGGTAATACGCTGAATTCGAATTACACAAAGGCAACGTGCATGATGTCATCCGACTTGGAAGCGGCAGGCAAGTGACATTGCGCGAGGTATGCGCTATGGTAGGAACTTTCTAGGTTGAACTTTCTAGGTTGAACTTTCTAGAACCTAGAGAATATCGATTATCTTTATTCTGGAATATAATAGTCAAGTTACAGTATGTAGCCACTGGAAAGCTTGTTGACTAGCAAAACATTCAGTCAACTTCGTTTAAGTCCAGTCATGTCCTCGCAGCACAGGTGAATCGCTCTGAGAATCAAGAAGGGGATGGGTGTTAAGAAACGTTCTCAAAGGAGTTGCTGATCGTACAGGACCCTGATAAGACTCAATGCGCTCTTCATTTCTGTTAGGTTTATTAATCGCCGCAGCCGGGTAGCATTCCTGCAGGGCTTCGTCACGAGGTCGATCACTTTCTGCTTGACGCGAAGATTGGTGTTGTTCCTTAGTCAATAAATTGAGACTTTCTTTCCACATCCTGAGAGAACAAGCAGAAGATGTGGCGCTGGGGTGAGAAGGTCCCAGCACCCTGTTCTGAATTTTAACACACTGCTCCATCAAAGTCAGGGCATCATGAATCTTCTTCCTGGAATTCCAAGTGTAGGCCAAGTTGGCCATGCTGGTTAGAGTATCGGGATGCTCTAAGCCTAGTACCCGCTTGCGGATATTTAAGGCCTGCACCTCTAGCTCCTCTGCTTCCTTCCATCGTCCTTGAGCTGCATATAACCGTGCGAGGTTGGCCATGCTGGTTAGAGTATTAGGATGCTCTAGGCCTAGTACCCGCTTGCGGATATTTAAGGCCCGCACCTTTAGCTCCTCTGCTTCCTTCCATCGTCCTTGATCTGCATATGTTGATGCGAGGTTGGCTATACTGGTCAGAGTGTTAGGATGCTCTAGGCCTAGTACCCGCTTGTGGATATCTAAGACCTGCACCTCTAGCTCCTCTGCTTTTTTCCATCGTCCTTGACTTGCATATGACCGTGCGAGGTTGGCCATGCTGGTCAGAGTGTTGGGATGCTCTAGGCCTAGTACCCGCTTGCGGATATCTAAGACCTGCATCTCTAGCTCTTCTGCTTCTTTCCATCGTCCTTGATGCCAGTATGTTGATGCGAGGTCAGCTAGACTGATAAGAGTTGAGATATCTGGATCATTATTTCCGTTTCTTTGCACGCTTACAAGCTTCTCAAATAGGACAGCTGCTTCATTGTATCTTCCGTCTGTCCTGAGGCATCTCCCAATAGCCTTAACCAAGCCTATATATTTCGCCAGGTCTTCTTGAAACTCCATTTCTCCAGTTAAAGAAAGGGCGTGCGGTAGGTAATCTCTCCAGAGCTTTTGATTAGCATGGTTATTGTCCGGAAAGACCTGGTCAAACTGGTCTGCTGTTCTTTGTATTTGCAGATGAAATTGCTGATGCTCCCTTAACCAATTCCGAGTGGAGAGATGGACTAGGCGATGTAGACTGAGAGCATGGTCGTGATCTTGCTCGCTGACAAATGCAAAAGCCTTAAGAAGGCCAATTGCCTCATGTCTCTTCTTCTTAGAAATAGCTGGAGGAAGCAAAGATTGCGGGATATCGCGCGGATTTATGCATGCCATGAATGATAGATAGTCAGCTGCTAGTGGATTTGACTGCTGAATCTGCTGAAAAGAGATCAACCAGGTGGTAGCAACTGGGTTCTGAGTCTCATGATATCGCCAATCATCTCCGAAGTCTTCGCTTAGTAACTCAATCACATCTGGCTCCTGCTCCTTCAAGAGTACGGTATAGTCAGAGAGCTTAATATTATTGGAGTTGATATATGCTGCTGCCTGAGTAATCGCCAGTGGCAGGAACATCAGCTGTTCAAGAAGAGCAATGGTTGCATCACTATTCTCAAGTAGATCGTTCTGCAACAGTGCCTTTTCCAGAATCTTGACACTAGTCTCTATATCCGGCTCGGAGATGTCGACCAAAAAAGGCGATGCCAGTCTCACCGCCAGCTTTCGATTGCGAGTGGTAAACAGGATATGGCCTTCCTCGCTCTGAGGCAAATAGTTTGCAAGTTCTATTACACCAGCCTTACCTCCAACCCACATGTCCATATTATCTGCATTGTCAAATATCAGAAGCCATTTCTGGCCACTGGCCTGACTGAGATGGCCCTTGACACGCTCTTTTGCATCAGCTGGCTTTACTTCCTGGATCCCAATGGTTTGTGCGATACCCATGTAGGCTTGTTCAATACTCGCGTAGCTGGTACACGGAATCCAGAATACAGAGCATGTGGGGTCTCTCTCGCGTACGCGATAAGCTAATTCAAGCGCAATCTGAGTTTTTCCCACTCCACCCAATCCACAGATAGCGACTTTGGACGGCCCATTCATCTTTCCAAACAATTCTTCAACCTTGGCGATTTCTTCTTCTCGGCCCACGAATCCAGGGTTTTTCCGGAAGGGGACCATCCAGTGGTGCTTTGGTTCTTTCAGCTCAGCACTTTGATCGTGTAAGGGGACCTGTAAAAGTAAAGCTTTTGCGTAGGCAGCAGCAACTAGAGCAGCATATGCTTGCCACTCTTTGTGTTTATGGGAGTCGCAATAGTCGCAGACGCCTCGAATAACTAGAGACGGGATCTCATCCATAATTCCAGCAGCCTCCATTTCAAAACAGAGAATGTCCAGATCTTGCGCAATCAAGTCACGAGTCTTGGCATCTTTCATGACCTGATCTCCGGAGGCAATCAAACCATAATGGATATGAGGCGTTTCAGTTGTCCGTTCAGGACGGTCTACTAGCTGGTTCTGATCACATGCTGAACAGTTGGAACTGTCGCTAATATGATTGTATGTTGATTGGAATAGCTGGTCATTTAACGGTCGTTGAAACTGATTTCGTACTTCCTCCTTCTGCAGGGTACTAGACATAATATCGCTAAGTAAGTTTTGCCCTATAATATAGTCACTCTTCATCTTAGCAATCGCCTTTAGCAATATTGAAGGGGGCTTGTTGAGCGATCCTGTGCGATAAAATTGTCCGTTGTGAAGCGTTTTGCCGTAGTCATACTGAACAACACCGCTTGAGGTGTCGGTTGGCTTACTGACCACAATATCACCAAGCCGTATATCAACATTGTCACTCGGAACCCCCCCTCCGATGCCTACCATCAATCCAAATCGAACATTTCGGTAGGTAGACATCAGATGTGACACCACAACAGCAGCAGATATTGTTCCATAGACACCGTCAGGGAGGCAGGCCACCACCACATTGTGACCGCCAACACTCCCAAGTACGTAGGTGTTGTGATCGGACTCTGGCTGAGCGAGTGGAGGATGGACCTCATCGAGTATGGCTTTTGCCGCGGCCATTTCCAGCGGCAACGCGCAGATCCATGCAACCCTATAATCATGTCGCGTGAATGGCATTTTCGCCCGTCATTTATGATAGGAATTTTAGAAGTGAATCTCGGCAGAAATACCGATCTCAGCGAGGGATGCGAAATAGGAAGATTTAGATGTCAGATAACAGCGGGGTAAGGTGCTCAGGTCCTGTAGGCGCAAGGCTGTTTCCTCCTGAAAACCAATCATTTTCTCTGGAATATATCTTGGGTGGAAGCAAGAAAGAAACTGTAGAAAAACCAAAGAAGAATGACATCAATAGCAGCACTCCGAAAATCCAAGTAGCAGGAGGTATCCTGAAGTAACTAACGCTAAATATGATATATCAAATGGACTCAGAAATGGATATCTGAGCAATTCCCCTCCAATTCCCGGCAATCTTCAGTGCTTTGGCACCAAGGTCGATGAGAGAGATGTGACCAGTGAAATTGTTGCCTGAGGCCTGTATTAACGAAATTCGCATACTTGCTTTTGTTTGATAGGTTTGCAAATTCTTGACACCGTGACTGCTAAATTGACAGACTGTCATAGTTTGTCGAGCATTCCTAGAAGATTTTGTTCCTCTGATACCGATACCACTTACCTTGTACGAATTTGGTACATAACAATTATTTACGCTCCCGACTGGCTGTGGGCCCCTAGACTAAACTTGGCTTAGCTTAGGCATGTGATTAACGTTGGAAAACATGATAAGTCTTTGATTGGGAAGCAGAAGGCGCATGCCACTGTATCACAGTTTATCAGATTTCATGGACTAGAGTGCGTTAAATGTTCATTGGTTTAGGGAGACATTAGAGTATACTATAGAATCACAATGGAAGCTACTGTAGCAGTGGCGGGAAGACTTCGCATTAGGGGTATGACACTGAATGCTGGCGACGGCTCCAGGGGTTATCAGATCCCGAATCCCGATATTTCTCTATTGTCGACAGTTATGGTAATATTAATAATAATTCAGCACCTTTCTCAGTCAAATATTGTTGATGATACAACATCATCGGATCACTTATATTTCCTATATTAGTTATTTACACCTTCTTCGTTTCTTTACCTCGCCTTTATAAAGCGAGATGTTTTGGTAGTTTAGTTGAATCAGAGACCTAATTCTATTGAAGATTGATGGTTGCGGATACGCGTATTTTTGGATACACGTATTCTTTTTGTCGACAATTATCATGACTAATGGTCTATTATGTATTATTAATGTCATCATTGTTGTTTTATGGGAAATACGAGGGTTGACTCCACTGGTGAGTTGACTTGTCGTTAATAAGGCGTGTTTAAGTTAAGAAAATGTCAAGACTAACCATTCGAACTAAAAATCCAGGCTCTAGGAAAGCCATAACAGTGAGTCATAGAGTTTCAACTGAAAATACTGAAGATATTGGCATATAAAAGATAAAAAATATGCATCCAATGCCCTAGAGGCTCCAATAATATATTTTATACCTGGAACAACTTTATCCCACCAACAAACAATATAGAAGCATACTGCCCTTATCCTTTATTCTCTTATTACTTTAATGCAAGATGCCCTCGCCAAACCAGCATCAACCAACCAAAGTCTCCATCCCCAACTCTCTCGCCAAAATCTCCAGCCACTGGTCTCCAAAGCTTGTCGCCTCACTCAACAATTCATACGATATCAAGATCGTAAAAGTTTCCGGGGATTTTGTCTGGCACAGCCACCCCGATACAGATGAATTGTTCTATATTTTGTCGGGAAATCTTACAATAAAGCTATGCGAACCCGAGAACAAAGAAACAGAAGATTTGAAGGATGTGAACATGTCTGAAGGGGACATGATCGTTATTCCAAAAGGTGTCAGGCATTGTCCTGCTACCGTGGGCGGTCAGGAGGTCGCGATCATGCTTATTGAACCCTCTGGTGTTGTAAATACCGGGGATGCAGCAGACACAAAAGGGTTGAAGGCTGTGGTCGAGGATTTTCGGTGAGGATGAGCTGTGGACACTAGAGCTCAAGAGAAACCTGTAGAATTCTAAAAGAATTATCGCTCAAATCATCTGCTCTAGTACGACAAAAAAAAAAAAAATGAATAGCATAATATTATGCTACAGAATTTTGGCAGTGGAAGACAGATTACAATGTTGGCATTATTTCTGTGTATTAAATTATTCAATTTTGATAGACTTAATAACAATGCAATCGGTAGCTATTGAAGGCGTATCCGAATAGCGAGGTTATAACGTCTTGTAAATATAATAATAGTTCTAAGTATCTAGATGCTGTCCTTGGCCTGCCTTTTATTAGGTTTCCTATATAGAATAGTCGTAATATCATGGTCTGGTTGTCCCTAGGCAGTAGTCTAGAGGTATAACCATAAAACATAAAACATACAAAGACAACTAATCGAAAAATCAGTTGCTTCTATCGCCCTATATAGGTATAAAGGGTTCAACCCATAACACATAATGATGCTTCTCTGTATTTAAATTATTATTTTCAAGGTAAAATCTACGGTGTTTATTCTACTGTAAAATGGGAGAGCAAAAATAACAAATTAAAGTCCATTAAGTATATTACAAGTACCTCAGAACATAATCATTTTTGGAAATGTAACAAACTGAAGCCACAGACTGCATATTTAACATGTACTCGTCGTCTCGGCCAACTGAGCCTTTACAAGACTTTTAAGACAAAGGGATGGAATACTTACATTAAAGATTATCAATTTTCGTCATGTCAGAACATAAGTCTGATCACAGACCTAGTGGCATGTTCACCTCCATATAAACCTGTCTCCTAGCGTTATGTTCTCCGACTCAGTGAAACTACGATGATACTTGGCGAAGGAATTTGATGATGGCTTCCGCCATTTGCTGAAGTCCCGGATCTTCCAGTGGATAGTGGCCAGCATTTTCAAGCTCGACTGTCTCAACCGGGACTTTTTTCACGCGGGACAAAACCAACTCACTTAGGTGCAGCGGCGTCCACTTGTCGTCGGCCGGTTGTGTCAGAAGGATCGGACAGACATCAAAATCCTCTGGTTCAAGTGCAGGTTGGAAAGATGCGTATGTAGATAGGAAGTGCATTGTCGCCCATGAGCCAGCAGAGGACCGGTCCGCAAGACAAACCTTGAGGGCATCGGGGTTGTTTACTAGAGTCGACATTTTACTGGCGAGCCACATGGGTATAGACAGCGATCTCAGGAGCGGAATGTCGCACAACCGGGCAAGAGGGATCCCAATCCTACTTATCAGGACGTTCCTAGCCGTCTCGTCGCGAACCTGTTGGATGCGTTGGTCCAGGAACGTCATGCCGATAATACCTTTAACTTTCTTATTCAACGCGGCCACGTGATAGGTCAGCATCCCGCCAGCACTGAGACCGTAAAGCACGATGGGACGAGGATCACGCTCCAGCTCGGAATCGATGAAATCATTTGCGATATGTACCCAATCGTCATAGGAGACAGTCGTGCCCCGAGCGGTCTGGGTGCATCCATACCCTGGCATGTCGATGGCCACCAACTCAAACCCTGCGGCATGCAAAGGCACGCCCAGAATCATGGACATTTGGCGCCCATTAGTGCCAACCCCATGGTGAAAAATCACACGTACTTTGGCTGTGGGGTTCCTCCATCGGTCCAAATGAATTTTGTGGCCGCGGTTTTCCCACCATTCCTCGGCGGGAGAGTGGTCTTTGGTGAATGACAGACGCTGAGGGAGGAATCCTTGGATACCTTTCCAGGCTGCTTGATTTTCGTATGTAGATGGGACTCCCATGTTTAGTTCAGAGTACTATTGGGGATCGAGTTGTGTAATCGGTCAAATCAAGAGTTGAAGTAAAATGCCGTGTAACACTAAGGTGATGCAAGATATGAGGAATATTTAAAGGGCCCAAACCTCCGAGAACATGATCTCAGCAAAACTTTAACTTTCTGGAACCGTTGGGGTCCACCTTGGTTGCCGATCTGGATGGCGGTGATTCCGCGGGGCGAACATTCCCCCGTACACCATTCCCCCGCACTATCTAACCAAATAGATGGAAATCCTACCCACAAAGCACTTTTAAGAATTGTACCATCGCTGGTTGTTACGGAAACACTATAATCCGCCCGACTTGGCGGTGCGGAGTATCTGACGATCGATTCAACCCCTGAATCCTTTAGATAGTTGAGCACCAAGATAGGAATGCAAGAGACTCAGTTGGTTGAGATACTGTGATTCCTGGTGTTTCCACTGAACGACATCTACTTCCTAATGTGGCTAGTTGGCCTGTAGTTGATAGAATAGCTCCCTACGCCCCAATTTCCCCTGAGTTCACAACACTGGTAATTAAAGTGAATGTGTGAGTCACATAATGACCTCAATGACGTTCAATATAACCAAGGCAAGGCTAGTTGTGGATATTATTGGGTTCGCAATAAGAGAAACTGCGGTGATGTAACAGGCAACGCCCTGGATGCTGGGAGTTGCCTGAAGGCTGCAACTGTCGGCCAATCAGAGATCGGCCGGAACTTGCCTACTCCCCCCCAACATTACTACCTAGTCCTCCAGAATGAACCTTGGAAAATAATATCAACGAAAAAGATATCACTGCCGAAATCCATGACCTGGCTACATCCTGACTTGGCAGAGCCTTTGGGAGAAAATGGGTAAGACACCTTATTCTACCACATTGGAGCTGTATATTAACCGGGGGCAGGTTATTCTGAGGTACACAATGCCCCATGCGAGGTCTAGTAGAGCACTTGTGATTGCTGACCGATCCAGATACATTGCTATTTCTGTGGGGTGAGCTTTAATATTGCTCGCAGCGCAAAACCCGGTGAGCCACATTCGGCAGGTTGGGGTCCCGTGGGCTCGCCTTGGGGCGAAGGCTCGAAGTTGATACATATTGGAGGAATGGCACACTCCATGGTTGCAGTCTGCTTGTGCTTGCTGGATGCCCGAAGGAAGAGGATAACCCGGTTTATGACCCAAACTATGTCTTCGAAGAGGATGAGACATACGAACCATATGAGTACGACTCAGATTATGAATCCGCCAACGACATGGAGCTCGATGAAACGCCGGTTCAAGATCATGACCCAGAGGTCCAGTGGTATAAGGATTGGCTAGCTACATTTCACACTCAGGAGAAGATGAAAGGAGAGCCTTGGTGGATGTCAGACGACGTCCAGAGCATCAGATCTTCCTGCCAGTACCTGAGAATGTTGAACCCAGCCATATGCCTGGTGGATACGATGATGAAGACCTAGTCCATATTCCTGGTGTCGCCTGCCCCAGTGAGGTGACATATAGTGGACAAAACATCTCCGTAGAGGAAATGAGAGGTAGCCGAACCGCACAAAGCCTAATTCATAAATGCGTCTCTGGAAATTGGGCGCCGGATGGCCTTGAACAAGACTGGGAACTTACAGAAGACTATTTTCTCTCTGGACTCTCTGATGGGACGTCATCGCGGGATGAGCATCCAAGGAGCGTATTCCCAGCACGAGGCAGCGTTGGCCAACCGAACTCAGATAATATTATTCCTAACGTGAGTGCCTTCTACATCTCGTTCTTTACTATCTACATAGGCATTCTGTATTCCTCTCCTATTCTAGGCTTCAGAATTCTACGCCGTCTTTTAAACTTGTTCTTAGCTAATTGCATACGGTCTGGAATAGATCAGCACACCCACCCAAACGACTACCCCATACCCTTCCATCCGTGTTTTGACATTTTCCGCCGTCTATCCAACCTCCACTTTAATCGTATCAATATCACTGGCCTCATGAAGCAGCGCATTGCAGAACAGTCTTGGGATGATTTTTATAATTATAATTATAATTTCTCCCGCGATCCGGCAGTCATAGCTGGACAGGAGTAATTCTTGCGTCATCAAGCTGGAAAGGAATACCTAGTTGCAAACCCGCTCTATGTGCCGAAACTTTTTCCTCTTCTTGTATCTGCGATTAAAGGAGACAGAGAATCTTTGGATGGGGCCTTTGATCTATCTCAACCGATAGAACTTTCACCAATTGAACGCTCCACTGATCCATTGTTACTGCTGCCACGGGGATTACAGATGGTAATTATTAGCTACCTCGGATCTAGCGACATTGCAAACCTAAGGCTGGCTTCAAGAGCATTCCGTCAACTCCCAATCTCTCTTTGGTATCGTCTTATTCGTGAGGAGATGCCCTGGCTGTGGGAAGCATGGGGTGAAAGTGAAACGACCCATACATCTTCATTCTGGACTGCCGTTACCGCCAATGAGATGCGGGTATTATGCAACATAAGGAGTCGATATTTGGATGTCCTCGGAAATGACTATCCAGAGCTAGACCAAGGAGCCATTAATTCTATGCTTCCTTGGCCGCCAACCGTATCGCAGCAGGTGCAAATGAAACTTCCCAGAAGAAACACTAACTGGTATGAGGTGTACTTGGAGATCAAGCGGAACTGGAGTCAGTTGAGGGACTGCAAAATCGCAAACGCATCTGGAAGGATGTTGAGGAGGTTATTCGGCGTATTAAGAAGTTTCAGTAGGGTGCACCCCTACCAAGGGTTCTTCCGGCGTCCTTGTCGACCTCTGCTTCGACCCCATGGATACCCGCCAAGACAATATGCAGGAAGATGAAACGCCCGTTGATTTTGCACCAACTGGTTCACGACATCCTACGCTTGAGGGCTTTCCGCAGGAAGATTTAAGCAAAGATGGCTGTGTGGGGTTTGGTGATGCTGTTTCCTATATTAACAAAATCAAGGTGAGCATTTATCCTGGATTCCTGGCCCTCTACATGCATGCGCTAATGTTCAACAAGGATCATTTTGCTGATACTCCTGATATTTACAAAGAGTTTTTTCTAATCTTGCTGGCGTACAAACACGGATCGCTGCCTCCACGGGACCTGTACGAGCAAGACGCCGAACCTTTTGCAACGGAATCAGATCTAGTAGATGATTTCAAAAAATTCCTGCCCGAGGCCACCCCCTACGACTCATGATATCTAGTGCTCGGTCTGCGAAGCAATACATGTTCAGGTTGTCGCCTCCTAAGCTAGCCATTACTTTTCAGTAATTTACAATTCGCAGGCTATTCTTTGTGAATGTGTGGTGGGTACGATATACTGTCACTTTACAGGGGAAATTATAATTCCACCAAACTACAGTAGATATAATTACTCTACAATTTTCAACTTTTACAGAAAGATAGATTTCATATAAATACTTATATTTTAATTCAGCCACTCAGAATATACATTCAACGGTAGCAGACTAGATATATTTATCCAGATCTCTAGCAAGCAGTACGGCTCTCGTTCCATTAATTTCCAGTGGCCGCCCAACGAACAGAAGAGCCGACACCCAGGAAAATGACCCGTATTAGTAGCGGATATAAATAGCAGTCTGATAGAAATCGATAACGTAGATCACGGGGTCATGCAATACACCATGTAATACAAATAATTTTTAGATTATAGTTCCGTTGATTCTTCAGCTGTTCTTGGAGCGTTATACTACCTACTCTTATCCAACTTGCACAATTGAAATAGTTATAGAACTTAATAGTCCCAGGGGAGTAAATCATTACTAGTAACCATTATACAAATACAGAACTAGTTTTTTTTGTCGAATCTGAGTATCCCTTACAATCATCGATATTACCCATCGATAAAGCACCTCCCCAGGTCAGGCGATATTGCAAAAGCTTTAATAAAACGCGGCCGTGTACTTCGCGTGACGATTCAAATTTTGGGCAAAGCAATGTAACACTCAGGAAACAAACAGATGGCTAATCCGTAAGCGAACCAAGCATAGACTAGCGCTTTCTTGTTTTAAGGTGATTAAAAGCCATAGCACCCTTATTTCGACTGTAGGGACATATGCAAAGCACACCCTATTGCCTCTAACAGAAAGCTACACATACAATTCTGACAATAAGTCACAAGCCCAAGTCCAGACATATGCCTGACATATGCCTGACCTAAATATGAAATGGAATAAACTGTATTAACCTCCTAAGTACACTTAAAGCTTCCAGTATAAAGGTGAGCTGCGCGATCTGTAAATAAGCCAAGGGCTTGTGTACAGGGACACACTTCCACAATTGTAGTACTAAACTGCAGAAATCAGAATGAAGTTACAGAACCCGTTCGGCGAATTAATTGGGTTTGCAAACATGGGGTCTGACACACTAAGTCTCAGTGACGGCAATATTACAAGAAATATACAAACTTCTACCCTGTGTAGTTAAAGAGTTTCAACCTTATAGGCCGCAGCTTACAGGCAATGAGCAGCCTGGTATGTTTGATTTATATAATATTACTTATACAGTTTTCTTCTGCATGATACATTGCTAGTGACGTATGCCTTACAGGGTCCATGAAATGAATCCTGTCCAACCTAAGCCTATTTAGAGACTTCGGGTAGCTAGATAGATTTGTTATTGCCATACTCGCAATCCATGCACAGAAGGGCCAACTCAGTCACATTTTCTCTAAGCAACTGCCAAGGAATAAGATATACCATTATTAAACTTTGTTGCAGAATATGGTTATTATCGAAATTAGAGGGCGGCACATTGCTTGTTATGATAAAAAATGTCCATATAAATAATGTCAGGCAATGAGAGCTAGAAATCATAAGTACGAGGCATTTTTCTGCAGTTTATAATCTTCTACACTTCAATGTACGCGTGCATGGAATAAGGACTTTTATGTAGTATAATATTCCACGATTGATACCCTCTCTTTAATATGGTACATTAAATCTATTATATACAATATGATTGCCAGACTAATGATCTCTTTAATCTAAGTAATTGCTATTATGCTCTTAACCTACAGCTCTCAGCATTATCCAGTCTGTATCTACCAGTCTTCCCTTCATCTGTTAGAACAAAAGTTTAAATAGGACATGGGTGCTATATTAGCCAGACAGAGGGACCATGACAAAGCTAGCAAATCGTGCAAGATATGATCCAGCTGTGCGAGCAATTTGAATGATTGGCCAAATTCTTACCAATCGGAGAAACAAGCACTCAAACATCAGGGAAGCCGTCTAGGACTAGATTTTGTTCTACGGCAATTCCAATAATACCGCAAATTTCTCATCTCACCTATTCCAGCCTGTCACAGCGCAACGTGCAGTCAAACTCCAGCAACAAATAATAGTATGGCTGTCCTTTTTTTCCTTTTTTTTTTTTTTTTTCCAACAACATGCAAAAGGTTAGCACGACTACTGGTAACCCCCCAGCATCCATTCGCTATGCCTCCGTTGGCTTCTGTACGATATGCCTGTAGTGTCGGGGGAGGCGTTTAATGAAGTTGTAGGCTCACTTTTCGCCCACCGGCCGGTTAGACCACTACGCGTCAAAGTTTCATTTGCAGAGCCCTTAATATCCTGCGGAGTTGGAAGAGCATTCGCATTATCAAGTAGGGATATACAGCTAACTAATGCCTGCTCTGGGCCTTATCTAGGCAATTATTCGTGCCAGTGCGCTCAGAACGAGAGTTGCAATCATGGGTGCCAGCTCATCATGGACAGCTGTAAACCCTGTGGAACCAAACATATATACAGACGAAAATGATCACGTAATTATAAAAATTGGACTTAGTAATGTCAGATAAAACAGATATCATTATTATGTGCAAATTGAAACGTAATTATAATGTTTCATGCCACACTAAAAATCGTAGCCACCCTACTTGCAACCACAATTTCTTTGCACTGTTTGCCTCTTCCCAAGTTCCCAACATTCGTCCCCCTTTTCCTTCTCATTCCAACTCAGCCTCAAATCAAAACCACAGAAGTAATGGGCGATGTAGATTACAATGATTATCTCCCGGACTGGGGATAGTTGCCTGTTGAACAATACTTGATCGTATTGCCCCATTTCTATTATTAAAAATCACCAAAAGTGCTAAACTCCTGGTAAATAGAGGTGTTGGGTTTACTCATCCTCCGAAACCACTGAACAACGACGACAGCACCTGATCCAACAATTTATACGGCTGGATGAGATCTCCAAGGAATGGGACCCGGCTAGCTTCACCAGTGAGCCATGGCTCAATTCGGGTTCCCACCTCGGGGGAAGTATCAACGATCCTGCGGCCCTGGAGGTCTGATGACATGCGGAAGAGGGCGTGGAAGATCTGGGGTGGCGCTAATTGCAAGGCCCCCATCATACTCCGAACACACTACAACGTGGATGACGATGGAGAAATAGAGAAGTACGCAAAAGCTTCTGACAACTACTTCAGGGGTGCCGATTGGTCCGTGTTAAATAGCTCCGAGCTCTTTAGCTTTGGTCCAGACTGGCAGCAAGTCTTTTATATTCTGCCGGAAATCGCGGGCTGCAGGAGTGATTATCGACGGTTCCCTACCCAGGTTGAATTAGCAGATGACTATGATGAGCTGAAAGAAGAGATAAGGGCTGCCAAAATGGACCAACTACAGTGGAAGCAGGACCCGAATCTATATTACTCAAGGACAATCTGGTTGCGATATCATTATTGCACTCTATCTCTATAGCCTGGGTTTTTATTGTGGACAAGGAAGCATTCGAGACGCATCAGCTACAGGTCGTTTATCTGGACGGAAAACAGAATGTCACTGTTCAGGGACGTGTCGAGGTTAAAAAGGATATTCTACATGAGATTATGCTCAATTGGGAAGAGGGTGCTCCTCCTGGACCGGTGTTTAACGAGGGGACCCCTGGGAAGAAATATCTGCTGGGCAGTGAGCCGGGCAGAAAGTTCTCCCAGTTGACGCACTCTGACCTGGTGGATGAAGAAGATTCGGATTAAACTACGTTATCTCTAGCCTTGGGCCTTTCAGCTTATATTCGTATAAGACTCGGTTGGATACGGCAAGGTCTCTGCTGCCGAATATGTGATAAACTCTGCGACTTTGGGTATCCTTGTTCGAAAGTTCTAGTTTTCCCCAAAGACTGCAGCATAGCAGCCGATATCTCTTCCACTCCACCCCCTTTGACCGCTGTTTTCCATGCGTTCTCACACTCGTCTAGCAGCAGCCTCTGTTGTGGATCTTAATAACCCACTTCGGCCTTGGTCACTGAGAAAAATCTGCATTAAATAATTCAATGTCTCCTGCAAGAAATGACCATACCTTAATGTTTACTGAGTCCGGCTTGGGAGTTGAGCAAAAATCCGTTGATACTGTATTAGTTACGGGGACTTCACGCCGGCCACTTTTGTTGTTGATCAAGAAATCCTAAAGATCCTCCAGGAATACAGCGCGGTACGTAACTTTAAGGACTTGGTTGTACGTGCGCAGAGTCCGCAAGGCGTCGCACGTGTATCTGTAGAAAAGAAGGCCGTCACTGTACCGCACGGTGTTTTAAACATCCTGAATTTCCCACCCTTTCTTGTACGAAAGTAGACCCAATTGCAGTCCCGCAAGCAAGCTGCTGCATCAGAGAGCCGCGGATCCAGAAATGCAAGCGAGTATGAGGCGTACATGATTCGTGACTAGGAACCGATTGATATTGGCATATGCATCATCCAAGAATACGTTCGTACCAGGTCGTTCAGTTGGCCAGTGTGCGACATGATCCAAAGGAGATTCGCCTCTAGTAAAAGAGATGTCTAATGGGATAATAAGTAGGGAGTAGTTGAGACAGGAGAATATAAGCGGAACATTACAACTTTGATCTCAGGTCATCCAAGAGCTGTAAGGCCATGAGCACAAAAGAGAGCTTCTCATGTTAACATAGTATTCATTGAGTATCTTATCAGTTTCGATCCTCGCAAGCTCGTAATATCCAGCTCGTAGCTAAGGGCCTCCAGCATCCAACAAGAACACTCTTCCAAGCACTTGCCCCGCACACATGCTACCACTTCGTCAGTGTCAATATACTTGTAGACGTTTCCCAACGGGTATTTTGCTACTGTCTACGTTTCAGGAATACCATTTTCTTTGAGTCCAGTGTCCAGCTCTAAGCACCAGTTTAGGTTTTTGACAAATGGGATATCTTATGTACACGAGTATATTCCCTACTCTATAAGTATCCTTTCTCAGATTTGGAGGACCACCCTGTTTGATATATCAGCGAACATTTGGTCTCTAGCAGTACCTTGAAAATTAAGTTCTTAAATAGTTATACTTCAGTGGCTTTCGGGAAAAGACTTTATCAGATTCGTTGTTATGGTCTATTGTCTAGTATTTCTAATCGCGTCTCGACCTGACCGACCGCCATTCTATCAACAAACTCCCAACCATCGTCGCACACGCTAGCCCAACCACAAGATACCATGTCTGGATGAGACTTTTATCGATCGCTACAAGTACCTCGCTAGACTTTGCGGGCGGCACGCTTGTCACAATCTGCGTCAGGCCTATGTTCTCGACATTTGTTCTACTCAGGCGCGGCACGAGACCACTTAGATTAGTCGAGAGCTGATTTACGAACAGGACCTGTGCAATTGCGACCGCCACAGTCGGGCCGAAAGACTGTGCAAACAACATAACAGATGTGCCGAGTGGGACGTCATCCGCGGGTAGCACCGTTTGTACGGCGTTCTGCGGTCCTGAGAAGCCGATGCCGTAGGCAAGGCCGGAGAAGGCGGTGTATATAATCAGTTGCGCAAAGCTAGTGTTGATTTTGAAGGTGGTTATAAGACCCGCGGCAATGGGCATTATAATCGAGGCAAAGAGCATAAATGGCGCGTAGTAGCCGAAGGCGCTCGTCCCGAAGCCGTGGACGAGCGCGCCAATAGTGCCAGCTACGATAATAGGGAGCATCATGTAGCCGCTTTTGGCGGGAGTATATCCACGAACGACTTGGTAATAAGTAGGCAGATAATATTCAAGCACGTTGTCAGTGCTGTTACCGCACATAATGAAAATGCATCCGGCGATAACGCTGCGGCGCTTGATAATGCGTGAAGGGAGTGCAGCCGTGTCTCCTCGACGTATTTGATTGTAGACGAAGGCGGATATAAGGACGGCAAAGGCAACAAAAAGGCCGATCACTGGGCCACTGTCCCAGGAATACTTAGTACCGGCCCACGAGAATGCGAGGAAGAGGCCAGTCAGCGCCGGGATAAAGAGCAGGTTGCTAACCAGGTCGAGTTGCGAGATCTTCTGCTTGAGTACCATGCGAGCAACGTCGCTAGGTTTCGGCGTATCCGAGAAACAGCACATCGTCAACAACAGCGTAACGGCACCGATAGGCGCGTTGATGTAAAAACACCATCGCCAGCCAAGTGACTGCACAAGGGCCCCACCGAGGAGAGGTGCGGATAGCGTAGCCAGGCCTTCGACGGCGCCCATCATGCCGTTGAACATAGGCCGTCTGCGTAGAGGTGTCGATTGCACGAGGATGACGAAGCACCCTGAAAGAAGACCAGCAGAGCCCAGTCCGGCTACAGCTCTCCCAACGATAAGCATGGTCGACGTAGTGGCCGCCCCGCAGAGCAACGAGCCTACTATAGAGATGGCATTGGCAAGCAAGAAGACGCGCTTGATAGAGAAGAGCTTGTACGCCTTGCCGAACACAAACTGGGAGGCGCACTGGCAGAGCCTGAACGCGGAAGAATACCAGCCAACATCCGCGACGGTGTGGAAGTAGTCTGTAATGCTAGGCACGGCCGTGGCGACGATATTCATGTCTATGCTGCTAAGGACAAGGACCGCAGCCAGGGTAAGTATGAGGAGCCAGAACTTCGCGCTGGTCAGGTACTCAGCTTCTCCAGGCAAGCGGGCGGGGTCCGATATCTCGTCGGGGATGGTCTCTTGCGTGACCCGGCCAGTGGTGCTTGTAGAACCGCCAAATCTGTTGCCATCAACATCACCCGTAATCCGGGTTATCGCATGTCCGTTATATTTGACTTCTGTCATCGTTGAAGAGGCCATTGTTGGGGAAGCGGTAATCTCGGTGAACTCATACCCTCTTGACGAGGATTGCCTTGGCGAAGATGGTGTCAATGCCCAAGCTGAATAACTAATCCGAGAAGAGTTAGGTCGCGGTACCGCTCTGTACAAACTGAGGGGATACAGTCTCTGACCTAGGTCTATCTACACAGCATACATCATCTATTGCAATAGTCTTCCACCAGGCTGTATGTAAATTACAATAATCTAGTCATTTATAGAGGTAGTTCAGCAAAGCCCCTTAAGTCCAGCAACGCGGACCACTAGGTGACTTCACATCAAACTATAAGCCCAGAAATGAACGAACCTACTGTTAGTTTAGGGAATTGGCATTAGAACAGAGAGAACTGGGTAGTTGGAAATGAATGAGCGACTCAATTATCATATAAAACAGAAGATATTGACAACGTATATAACAAGACGAGCCCCTGACCAGTGGAATATCGTCATTCCATGCCGAGCGCTCTAGCCACATTCATAACATAATATGCAAATAAGTAGATTTTATATACCCACACTGAACGTGATCGAGCCTCTATTCACAACAATCTTAAGTCATTTGAGCCAAGATCTTGGAGACACCCCTCGTATTCGCAAGGAGTTCTACCTTCTGCGATAAAGAAAACACAGGACAGGAGTAGTAATATTGATTCAGAATATAGATGTCATGTTACCGATATTATACATCAAGAAGTCCTGACTGTCTTGTTCGACAACTAGGAGTCGTATATATTGGTAACATTTTGTTATGCAAAAGTGCGGTTCAAGCTTTCTGAAGCTGAAACAGTGTTGCTCAGAAGAATACTATTCCGCATGCCTATTGAAGCAATCTCTTTCTGGCTTCGAGGGCCCACGGTACGTCCTTACCACCACTCCTGTTGGTGTCCAAGTAGCGCAAAAGGCGAATCATGAGAAGCTATGTCTGCCTTCTTCGTTTTCTGATCACCTTATAATTGACACCACGGGAGACCCTTCCGCTCGAGGCGTCATTCTGTACGCTGGAAGTTTGTGTGTTGCTTGGTGTCGACCATCCGCCGCCATGGATTCCCAGCCTTTCTGGCACAATCGGAGAGCTTTGGCTCTGCGGATTTGCGACGTCCGAAGGTGACAGCGTTCCAGAATTAAAGTAAGACGGTGGCTGAGACTTACTATCCTTTCTTCGGATTAAGCAGATAGCATCAGGACGGTCTCGTTTGAATAGTGGATTCTCATATCCTTGCTCAACTCGGCGGAAACCGTGCGTGTTTAGCTGTTGAGTAAAGGACGCGTAAGTGGTCGTATTGAATGTGGGAAGCAATTTCGTAATTAACTCCTGCTCATCGACGATGAGCACTGTATTTCCGTCTTCCGACCACCGTATCATCCCCTCATTTCGCGGGTCATTTATTGCTCTAGAAGGAAGAATCAGCGTCCGAGGAAAGCCAAGTCTCTTCAAATTGCTTATCTTACTTGATTAATCTCTGGATGAAAATAGGTATCCATCTCCTCTCGCTTGTCTGGGCAAATGATTCCTGATTAGATGTCGGTGTGGTAACATCTCCGTACTTGTTGTTAGCAGTGAAGGCAATTCTCGGCGCTTTCGTTGAAATCAGCATAATGCATTCAGTGTTCAGACTGAGTTGGTAGGGTCGCTTACGTACATGTGTTTGCCCTTGTTATCGTCGGTTTGGAGGGGCTGGGTCTGTCTCCAGAATGAACGCGCGAGTCGGGAAAGCAAGGAAGTTGATCTGCATTATAATCATGAGCTTCGCTGGAAAGCGACTTATCAAGTCGTTCAAGTTGCGCAGGAACCGGGCCCAGTGATGGTTCTTGAAGAGATTGACTGTTTGAATTATTTGAGTGCTCAGGGCCTGAGTCCGTTGAAAAGCGTTGCGTGGGAACATGTAAATGCCCTCCTTTGGCTAGCACTGAGTTTGCAAAACGGGAAGACAGCGTGCCTGCATTGGTGTCGCCCACATCCTGGTTTGCCATAATTTCGGACTCAGGATACGGCTGAATTTCCTCGTCATTAAGGGCGTTGGAGCCACCTTCATTAAGAGTTCTGGTTATTGGGGCAGATTGGGATGCGGTGTATCCTCCACTGTTCTGGTTTTCCGAAAAATGCTCTGTTCGCGCGGAGAGGTACTGCTGAAGAATAGTCGCTTCACTGATAACTAGCGGATCATGCGCCTCTCAGTCCCATACTTAAATGCATAGATGGTGTGAAGGCCTGTACAAACCTTTATTGGCCATATCTTTGACTTTCTCAACATCAGCAAGAGTCTCTTTAACGGCTCGCAACTCTTTTTCCATATCAAGAGGATCTGGCCACGGTGAAAGAAACCTCCATGGCCTACCAGAACATAGAAGTTCACGATCTTTCTCGTGCAGACAGATTTGACTTTCTCCTATAGTAAGCTGTGCTGCCGAGCATACACGTTCTGGGAAAGCTCCTGCCCATAGTACAATTCTAGCCCATGTGGTCGGAGGCTCTAACTTTGTATGATTGGTAAAGAGTCTTCCCACTTGTTCAGACAGCTGTGCGCTAGTCAATGTTTCACCCCTGTGCAAAGCAACACTACCATTCTGCCTTAAGACAGTTGAGTACTTCTGCAACTCCTTCAGCAATCCGCCGAGAGAGAGGTCGTCATGCGCAAATGGCTGCAACTCGTTCTCATATTGACGAACTGTAAAATCCACTTCCCCATTTGAGGCTCTCTGTGGGGCGTGCGAGATCCCTCCTTGTTGATGTCCAGTTAAGGGGTTGTTAATTGGCATGTTCCCCGGCAGGGAAAGTAAATGGCTTCTGGATTCAAAGGTTTCAAGTTTAAGGGGACACTGCGATTAAGAGGTTTAAAGTTAGTTAACACCTTAGTGGAACAGGTTAATTATGTAATAAGTTGGAAGGGGGTGGGGTCTGACGAAGCTGTCCCCACTTACGACTTATAATGCCCCTTATTCAATTACGCGACCGGCTGAAAGACTGAATTTACAACAGAGCAAACGTAAAACTGTGCTAAACTACGTATACAACCGCGGACAGTCTCCACATGCTCAACCCCCCTCTAGAACGATACGGTAATAATTAATGAAGACCGCCAATTGTGTCATCTACGTTCAACTATTATTACGATACTCTGAAAATGGCCCAGAAGGGCCCGCATACTGTGCTCAGCTATCCTATGTCGCCCGCAGAAAACTGCTCGGACAGGAGTTAGCTGTGAACAAAAGACCAGTCTAAATAGGAGACCACTGTAGACAGACTGCTTTAGACAGAAGTATTCTATAGACAGGGGTCAGCTATGGACAGAAGGCTGCTGCTAACAGAATTTATTAGGAGATGCTCAGTCTGTTACATCAGATTATGCCATTAGTTTTTGTGGAATCAGTATTACGGTGAGCCGTCACCACAATGCCAAGAACGCTAGAACAATACTTTAAGGTGTGATTAAGATGCCTGGTTATGTCTTGGTAATAATGCAATAATACAAAAATTTTATGCAACAGGACCACCCTAAATTCTAGGTAAATCAGTCGAGCTGATTGCACAGGTTGATAGTTATTTAAAGCGCAGAATTAAATTTGGGTGATAATAGCAAATGGCTAAATTTCTTGATAATGTCCATGGTGTTTGTTACCAAGAATCTGCTGTATGTATTCCTGTCAATGGCTACCTATCACTATAAATAATATATTTTGTACAGTAAGTTGGTCTTAACTTCCAGTTATAAGTCCGCTTTTATTGAATTTACACTATAATTGCAGGTTTTGGCCTCTTCTCTGCGCATATAAATTTGCATCAAGAAAAGGTCACGTGCAATGTTTGTGATTGGCTAGAGCCCATCTTTTTAACTGCAATACTCCTTTTATTGCAAAGAAATCCTGCGCTGAATTGGTTGCATTTACCCAGGTTTTACTATAGTATCATTATTGTTTAGGCTACCAGAACCATTGCGGTGTTGGCTGGGCTTCGGTTTCAGCTTCCTGAGATGGACTAAGATCCACAGGTTCACAAAGGTTGATTGACTGGCTCTGCCCACTCGCCATTTTAACTTACTTCATGTTACTACGGGCGGCCTCGCCGTGCCCGCGCTGAAGTCTACTGAAAAGTAATTTGCCGTATAACTGTCCTAATATGTAGCTCCTGACGCGTGCTGTAGCAGGTTCTGTGTCTCGTTAATTTCACCTGGTAAGTTATTAGACAGAGCTTAGCAGACTTATGTGTACCACGCACTTACTAGTGCAGTTGACCGCCTCTCCTGCCCCTTTGTCAGAGCTAATACAATGTAATAGGGAGATTAAATCCGGCGAGTTTACTAAGTTACTTCAGCCGAGAGTTTAGCGTACCCACAGATATATGACAGGTATTAGGATGCCAGTTAAAGTAAGTGTAATCCGGTATCTACGGGAACTTTGTGTTAGTATAGCTAGGTCGCGGATTTAATACGCAGGTGGTAAAAAACCAACTTGCTCCGGAGGAGTTCTAAAAGCAGCATCTTTAGACACAGTAGAGGGCACGGTTTACTGGGAATTTTAGGGATACCTAACCTCGGGCTATATAGGGTTATTGTTACTTTTAAACGTAGGAAACTTAGTTTTTACTTACTTTTTCTTCTTCCGCCCACGGTAGTGTTTTGTCTTGTGTTGTTTAGCCTCTAAGACTATAATAGGGTCGCTCCCTTCTGTAGGAAATAACGTCACAGCCACATTATCGTGTGGCATGGTAACCAGCCAGGTAATAACCTGTAATGCTGGCGGGAAGGATAATTAAAGTAAGCTACAATGGGTTCTATATCGTGTAGTAAATATTCCACAGCACCTTTAGCAGTTTCAAAAAAAAAAAGAAAAAGAAAAAGTCAGGTTCATTTTTTTCTCCGTGCGAAGTTTATGCTTTTCTACCAATTGGTCACGCACCTACTCGGTCAATTGGCAAGCGCAATTAAAGACCCGCATTTAAGAGCCTTTTACTTAATTATCTTGTTTTTAACCGGAGGCGGAATTGCGAGTCCACACTTTTCTCGCCGGGATCATTGTTCACATGTTCCAGTGTATTTACAAGCTAAAGGCAGCGTTGATGTATTGTCGATAATTTATAGTTATATATTAGTTAAAAAAGGTCCGAAGCGCTTTTACGTTCGGAGGTTCTCGCTTATAAGTGCTAGGGCATCTCGTCCTGTCTCTCCACGGGGGTCTTTCTCATACTGTCTTCAAAGTTCCCAAACCCGCTTTTGCCTCTGCCTTTATATCTATGTTTTATCCGAATCATTCTCTTCTTAGAGCTAATCACAGGGATTTTCTAATTCGGGTCGGTGACTGAATTAGACAATAAACATATATATTTCTTGCTATTAATATCGGCACTCTCTTAGTGGTTAGGAGTATCCTCTATACCTCAGTGTATCCTCTTTCTTGAACGTGTATTTACGCTTTTTCATCTAGACTTCCGAATTTGTGATACCACACCAACAGCGTTTCTGACACTCCTTGGATGGCACTATGCATGTTGAAGTATGCGAGCACACGCTTTCACTAGGAACACAACAAAACTAAGGCGACTTCGATTGAACATCATGATTGATGATGATGGTGATGATCAGAACAGCTGTGCAATGTACATAACTGTGACAGGGTAGAGAACTCAAATGTGGATGGCCACTATTAGAGAAACTGATCGTGCTAATGGCTTTCAAGCTGACGCTTATCTTAGACAGAGCACAAGGGCGAACTAACAAGGGACATTCACACTAGAGACAGTAGGGACTATGGGTAGGTTAAGGCGTTGGGAGGGAAGGGTGTAGGAGAGCGAGACATTAGCTTAGCTCACGATTCGACTCCAGTACTCTCAGCTGTAATGGATGCCAGCTGGAAACGTCATTCAGGATCGATAAGAAGTGGTCTTGCCTTATATATCAGGGACAGTTTAAGAGATGGCGAAAGACCAGGCACTGGGATTGCACACGATAGGTCGTTAACTTCGTACTTCGGGTATTGGATTTAGCGCCCTAGATCCCCTGGATCGCCAGGGATCCGCGGAACGTCCAGGGAACTTTTAAACACATCCTTGAGTACTTCTTCTCATAGGGTGGAATAATGGGTCCACGAAGTCTGGGTCGGTGGGCCGTCATCTGAAAGTTCGGTGGGGGAACGGGGAATAAAGTTAAAACTTGGTGCTGAAGACCGTAAAGGCGGCTCCGCGACGACCACAAAACAGGCAGTTCTCGCACCGTAGGAGCGTTTAAATGTTTAAATTTGAAGTATAATATTGTCAAGGAAGCTAACTACTCTCTGATCAGAATACACTAATATAGGAAAAGTTTACTCTGCCTTCTCAAGTATTCCTGTTGATCTTGTGTTGTAGGATTTAACGTCAATGGCTCAGTGGTTTACTCTGGATACAGTGAAAGATCTTAAGTAGGCAACACCCATGGTGCTTTTGGTCGACGGACTGAATTTTGATATTCTTATTTAGTTTATAGAAAGTTATTATTCTTTTAGTTCCAGAGGCATTTTCTCTGCTGCATGTATATAAAAATCAACTAATATTCGACCTTCGATTACCTTGGTACCTTTAATAATGTTATCCGAAGATATATCCAAGTCTTTATTATTTCGTATCCAAAATTTCCCCTAAAGACAATATATTAGAGAGAGGAAAAGAAGGAGCTGCTGTGCTTTGTAAACTAATAGATCAATTTAGACTGTGATTTGTGTCTTATCCCATACTGAATCACGCATAATATTGCATGCATTAATCTTGATTAAACTTCATTGGTTGCATAGATTGAAGCAGATTCAAACTTCCACGTCATACAGGCCCGACGTGGCTGAGACGTGTAGAAACATTATTGATCTTATTCCATCCACTGGAAGGTGTTAATGTCCGAACACCTTTATCCCCCTATCGTAATCCACATTATATACATGGCATTATCCATCCTCCTTCCACCCAAGCAGTATAACAGAAAGCAGAATAAAAAGAAAGGAAGAAAGAGTATACACATCACTCATTAAAACATCCAAGGCTACTGAAGCTGTATAGCGAGAACTTCCCCTACTCCAGCAAAGGCTGACCATCTGAAACAGGCTGCAGCAAGTACTCGGGGTTGTCTTGTACATGGTTATAGATCTCACTCAATCGCTGCAAGATCCTCTGTGAACGACTCCGCCGCTGGGGCTCCAGAACGATCATCTCTTCCATGATCAAGTCCAAGAGGTGATGGATGGCCGCGGAGCTATGGTCGTGATTTCGCAGGAAATCAACCCACTCGAAGACCGACAGCCGAATTCCATTAAAATCCGCGGTATAAAAACAATCGGAACTAAACTCGAACTCTGGATCTTCGTCTTCGCTTCCCCGAAGACTGGAGAACTCCTCGATGGCCTCATATCCACACAAGATCCATGTGACGAACTCGAGATACATGCATCCAAGGCTCCATACATCCCAAGCCCGGGAGATACGCCTCCCTCGAAAAGCGTCCGGTGGGGAATACGTGGAAGGAACGATGACTGTGGCCGGGTTTACGTTTGATCGAGATCCCCGGCGATGAATGCTTGCCAGCCCCATATCTGCAATCTGCAGGATGCCGTCTGGATCGTCGCAACCCTGGAACGTTGAGAACCACAGAATGTTGTCTGCTTTAATGTCTCCATGTCGCCCAAACAGGGTGCTATCCGGCGAATCCGCCGGTACGCTAAATTCATGAATCAGGGATAGACCACTGGCAATGCCCACCATTTGCTTGAAAGACCAAAGAAGCGTTTGGCTACTGAATGACGGTGCTGGAGACCTGCGCCAATATTCCCGAAGAGTCCCATCGGCCCATGGGAATACCAGGTGGTATTTCTCTCCCTTCCTATACGTGCACAGAAGATTGATAAGGTGAGAGTGACAATTAGTAGCCCCCAGCGCCTCGTGAAATCTGCGTTCGGTGATGAAAGAAGACTTGTGCGAGGAGTACAGGCGTTTGATGGCGACCAAAGGTCCTTTGTCCTAAGCGGGTGCAGGGAGTAAGCGACGGATGTACAACTGCCAGAAGAGATCTGCTCAGGAGTTACCTCACTCCTCCAGCTTACTCACCTCATCTGTAGGACGTTCCCAGAAATCATGGTGATCGGGGTGGATGCGTGCCTGGAACACTTCGGCATATCCGCCTTCTGCAGTACACCCCCGTTGGTTCTCTGCATCCAGTGAGACATATGGGAGTGTTTGGAACTCGGTGAACTCATGATGTCCTCTGAAGTGAAGCACTGGAGCGAGCATTCTGTACTGCTCAGTCTCAAGGATCCTGAGCGAACCCTGGTCCCAGTTCTCGAGGGTTTTAATGTGCCGGTGGTGACTCGTTTCCAACATCAGCTTTTGCGCGCCCTTGTTCATCTGTCGGATGAACGGAAGGTCCTTGTCTCCTATCCCTTCTTCCAGAAACCCGCTGATATACCTGATCTTATCCTGATCGACCAAGACCGCAAAGAGATTTCGTGCGTGCTGGAGGATTTCCTGCGCCGTTTCCTCCACTCGATCTAGTGGCACGAGCCGACCTCCCACGAGAATATTCCGTACGGTCTCCTCTTTCACCAGTATATCCAGTGACGATTTTGGGACGAACCATGGAAGTCCATCCAAAGGACACATCTCGAGTCTCGCCATTAAATCCGTTTGCAGTTGAGCCAACGCTGGATCTGGGTCACTTAGTTCCGTTTGTACTGATCTAGAGCTGGCCGTCGAGCTTTCCCGGCATAGTCCTGGAGCACAAGGAGGTCGTAACCCATCATCAATACCTTTCACCACCCTTGGTTCAGTTGTTATGCGGGGTTGCCTCTGGTCTCCCGGGTCAGCGTCACTCCCAGGAGGTTCGATTGGCTTTACTTTTTGACGACGGATACACTTAACCAGGCATTGCAGGAAATAGTCGACAATCGATCGCAGATTCATCACGTCACACCAAACGATGGTGAATATTCGATGTTGCGGTGTGCACTACTCTCTCGTGGGTGACCTGACACATGGAATGTCGATGGACCAGGTGCAGGGACGGTACGGGTATTCTGAGACGCAGTGACATCAACAATCGGATAACTGGAAAAGAATTTGGAAACGATTAACTGACAACCACCAATGGGGACGTACTAAGAAATGAAAGGGTATATTCTTCTTGGGTATATTCTTCTTTGTAGGAATAGTAGGACGAAGAGAGTGGAGCTTCGCAGCCAGGAAGATGTGAGGATGGATATCAGGAAGAGAGGGCGGTGGATACTGAGGCCTGCAGACCTCGGAGTACAGTTATTGGCGGGGCGTCCAGTGCGAAGGCTGAGGAAGGTGGCAGTGAGACTGGGGAACTATCTGCCTGGGTCACAAAGGTTCTGCAATGCCTGACGATGAGTTGTTCCTCACTCAACCGGTCGTTCCAAATTTGCCTCAAAAAGGAAATTTGGGACTGCTGTCAACCTCGCTGCACTGTCACCTGTCGTCCTCGAACCGACGGGAGACCGGGTGGATCTCTGGCGAGGCAAATCGAGGGGCAAAGTACACTGTCGAGGCTGGCGACTGGAGAACCATTTACCCTATCTGGCCTAATTAACAGTTATTTCTCGCGCCGTCTAGAGATGGTTGCTGTGGTTCCCCTCTCACTATTACAAGAGTATGTCTACTGACGATCCCTATATTAGGGCTTAGTCCGTGAAACCCGCACCCATCAGCGATATCCATGGGGTCCCCGCTGGTTACGTAGACGTTATCGTATGTTCCAAGACTATATTCAGGTATCTAATAAAGTAGTACTCTTAGTCTGGCTTTGTGGTAGTAGACCAGCGACCAGTAAGCGACCTCATCAGACTGAACAGAGGCGTTGAGGATATGGACTCTTCCTTCACGACTCGACTCCCCCCTGTTCCTCTTTCCAGAGCCCCGTATTCTTCTGTCCTTCGTGGGAGACAAAGATCAACCAGTCCACCTAGCTTCAATCTCAAAGCTGTCCACAGCGAGCCCTCATAGCACACACAGAGCTGCCATATTCCAATAGTCAACAAGGTCAAGGGAACCGCACACACGGCCATTATCCACACCTCGGTCGATATATGCATATGTCCTTGATCATCGACATGTACGAATTGGGTTGAGAAAAAATTCTAATCACTCCTGTTAGTATCTTTTTCCCAGTGAGGAGCGTCCGACCTACAGCTACGATGGTGGTGGGCAGATACACCAAGCCGACAATGGTAAGCCTCTTCACTGCCGCCGCATCTTGGACACTCCGTTTCTGTAACGCACGACATAGTCAGCGATGTATGATTTTATACCTCTTGCTACTCATCTAACGTACTGTAAGTTCGGTGATGTTGTGGCTTTCCTCGTGGGAAATCTCGGCCAGTCGCTTCAACGCCCTTGTCTCTTCATATCCCAGAAGATCGGATAACTGTAGGCGTTGAGCGCGGCCATGAAGCTATCGGCTCGCGGGGGGGGGATCTCACCAGCTGCTCGGTCGATCGGACTCGAGCCTTTAGGACCTCTGCGCGTTGCAGATATAACTGAGCCTCCGCCGCATGTTCTCCAAATTCTTCCACCATGTAGCTGCACGAGCACACATCTCCGCAGCTGATTTCGCAACATCGCTCGCAGATCTTGCCAATACGGCGGACAGTGTCGTACATTGTCTGAAGAATCACGATCAAATCGGTGATGTAGTCTTCGAGCTGTTTGAGTCGCTGTCGATCGTCGGCGTTGAAGTATATTTTCTTGCTGTCGATGTCCGAGACAAGAACGCGGTTGGACTAGAAGGCGCTTGAGGTCAGCTCTGCTCTCGGAAGTAAAAGAAATGGATGAGTAAATACAGAATTCAATCACAGACTTTTTGCTTGGATTCTTCCTCCAGCCAGGCCATGTATTCCATCCACCCTCTCAAGCTGTCCACAACAAGTTGTTCATGCACAGCAAACGATGGTTTCATGATATCGTTCCCCTGCGTGGTCTCTTGAAGGCAACATGCAATATCCTCCTCAGCTGCACGCGACGGTGCAACCAGGATGAACACTGAGGTACTCTGAGATGCATTGTCTCCATATCTCAATTGATGATATACCCCCGTTTGACGGATCGACCATGGGGACACTCCCTGTTCCACATGGCGATTGTTTCGCTCCACGCGTCGAATCACATATGTCAACTCTACCAGCCAGTCAATTTTCACACCCTTAAGAGTTCCGCGGGAATCGAACCGTCAATTTTCCCATGTGCAGTGTGTGAGCTTCGGGCTCGAAATGGTGGAAACGCATACTCGTTTTCTTCTGTCTTCCTTCCAAACGTCAACACAGTCTTCCAAAAATGAGGGAAAACGTTGTGCGTGGCCAGTAGATGCTCGAACAGTTCGCGGGATATATTTAAAGTCGTCCAGGATCGCAGATGCCGAATTGTATAGATATGTGTGCAGGCGTCATTGTCTTCCTAGGGTTACAACAATCAGTCAGCCTACAAGCCCATGAATAAAGGAGATGTCTGAGCTTCTGGGAGCTCACTGTAAAAACTCCCAGCTGCGACAACTCATTGATGCTAGTCTCCCACTTAATTTGTAGCGACCATCGCTGAGTTTCATCTCTCTTCCGGTCATAGGCTGTGACTTCTAATTGGGGCCGATCGGCTCGCGACTTGAAGAGGTCTTCCGTCTTTGACCCGATCTTCTCGGCTAGGTGGTAATCCGTACATGACGGAGCAGAAGAGGGGCCCATGGTGGGATCGTTTTGCGGTTGTCTTGTCTATGGCTAACTCGGCGCATAGAGCTTGATCTCTTATATCATTCTTCGCTGGTAACATCATGTCCCTTCTTCTACACACTCCTTTTCCGACTACCAGGTAGGCTCCTGTCATCGCAGGTGCCTACCCTATACCACGTGAAGCATTCTTGGGGCTTACAAAGGCAACTACATCTTCACGATGGCTACAATGGCTTAGCAAGGCGTTCTCACAATCCCGGGACTATTTCACCGTGCTGACTGGGTTCTGATGGAGCATGGAGCATGGCGATATCAACCACCTGCGGCTGGCGTGTGAAGCTGAATCAAAGCAGCGTGTCGCCGGTATGACCGTCAGATACACTGAACAGCCAATCGGGCAGCTCTCCAAATCGGGGTTCTAGTTGCATCATCTGTCTGCTGACGCGGATCGATGATTCTGACTGGACCGCCTATCCACACTAGTATTATTGCTTAAGCACACACTGTGCATACACGAGATTATGCGACACCACTAAATCATTTCTATGCTAAAAAAGGATATTATATAGGCTCATCATTCTCTCGAACTTTTATTCCGTCCCCTCCCTGCAAAAGATGCGAGTGGTTGGTGTGCTGACCAGCCTCTCAAGCTCATCGTGCTGACGTTAAGCCACTAGGGCAATAGGTGCATATGAAAAGTAATCATTGCCAGAATGATTGGCAAAGGAAAAAAAAGTCGAATCGCAAACGGAAAGCAAACTCGTCACTTCGTCAGAGACCAATGGGGCGTCGAATTATAAAAAGACACGACAGCTGTTGATCTGTTCCTGGTCACCAGTCAAAGTCAGCCCTAAGTCATTCAAGAGCAGCACAGTACAAACACACCTCGGTCAGGCCGGGAGACTTGCTCGTCGTATGATCTGGCAGGTAGATTTTATAGGTATCCAATCGTAACTAATATTCACTCAGCATAGAGCCTCCTCTTGAGGAACCGAATATGGGTTAATAACCTCGACCCGGAAATTACGCTGTCCGTATTCATGTCTCAGGAGGCTCACCAGCCTCTTGGGATCCATATACTTCCCCTCGATGACATGTTGAGGGCTTCTTCCGTAAAAGCGACCTCTGCTCATAGCAGTGCGACCGTGGCGGCCTGGGGAGAGCAAGTACAAATACAGCCAAATTGGAGTCGTAAAGGAACGAAAAGTAAACGTGGCATCACATTCATTCTAGGTACCAAACTCCACTGGGATGGATGTCCTCACAAGGGGTTTTATATACCCCTAGAAGCCCCGCAGCTAAATAAATACCTCTTCCGACGCATGCTCACTCTCTCCGAATAGCCACTATTAGACAGGGCTGGTGTTGTTGTGTTCAGCCGTCGTTCGATACGGAATCTATTTCAGCCTAGGCCGACATCAGACGACTCCAGCGCGTATATCCAAGAACAGTTGGACAAATGAGAACAGCATAGATATGACATTGTACAAATGATTCAGCCATGAGCAAGGAGCTTACAGGCGTAAGTGCGCGAGGCAGAGTTGCATAGACAATCCCCATTCGAATCTGTTATGACAAAAACTTTCGGATCAGCACGGCACTGCCACCGCCACCAACTTGCATCTTCCAATAAAACATGTTCAAGCCTTGTCAGAGCACCCTGGCAGCTGCTGGGATCGTTCGCTATCCGCGACGGACTACCCGACCCCTTGAAGCCGTGCCGGCTCATGACTGCTCTATGACAAAATATACTCTCCACTCACATTAACGGAGTATCCCCCATTGGGGTAAAGGCTCCTCAGTAGTGCGATAAGGCGCTCCTCTTTGATATACCGCAGGACGATGGTCTGGTCGACCATTTCTAAATCTCTGCTTCACCTACGGCGAAGGCGAGGGCGAGGACAAGGCGAGGGCGAAGGCAAGAATGTGGACGGATGGATAGATGTATGTACCGTAAGGCTAGCTGGTCAGATCTTCAAGATGAAAAGTAATGCATTCTTTCATTCAACAATGAATCGAATGGATGAAAGAATTTCAGCCTGATATATCCATGATCATTATGAGCCGCATCGTGACGCATCGCCAGAGTACATGCGTGGCATGCGTTGTATGCGGAGACGTAGGTATCTGCTGCTGCTGCTGCCCAAGGGGAATGGGAATGAATCTATCCATGCAATATGGAATGTGACGGAAAAGGAAAAGAAAGGATATTGAAAAATGGGATTAAGCGGCTGGAGAGAGAATAGTAACCTCGTAATACTAGGGTTCTTCTCTGCAGGATTGGGTGGTCCTTTTGACGTCATAAAAGGGGGAGTCAGTTGGGTTGGTTGTTGGGGCTGACATGATGAGATGAGATGAGGTGGTGGTGTTGCTTCGTATTTGCTTACTGTAGATTTGAATGCTTTCAGGGCTTGGTAAAGAGATGGAATCTGGGAGAATGACAACACTGTAAAAGTTTCAGTACAGGATATTCGATCCAGATTACCATGCTTGAGGTATCTTATTAAGCTGTGGGCAGTGTTTAGTTGGTTGTTCTAGATAACTCTCCAAATGGCTCTAGAGACAGTCTTTGTGGATATTTATTGCCTAAACTATCATGAGAGGATATCGACCGCGGAGGTTATAATAGCGTTATAGACATCCCATTAGAGTTTGTCTCTGTTCCATTTGTTTTGATGTTTGTCGGGATTAAGCATTCAAGCTAAGTTAAACTATCTGGAAGGGTTAGTTCGCTGTCCCATATACATGTAAAATCCACCGAGAGCATTTTTGTTCTCTATATGTACAGTATTAGATGGATGATTCAGTAGCTTCAAAGAGGTCAACTATCGAAATAGTTCTCCAGGGGCCGGACTAAGTAGCCTACTCCTCTACATAGTTTAGTAAAATACTGTACCTGCAGGAACATAGTCCTAAATACGTACTCATTTTTTATTGCTAGCTTTCAGCTCTTGCTTTTCAAGATATCTGTAATGTACTGCTAGAATTATCCAACAGTTTGGGAAGATATACCAATTCCACGTGTTTTCAAGCCGATTTGTCAGGCACCTAATATATATGTTTAATCCAAGTTCTCTCCTACTGTTACAATGACCTCTAGTAGACCTGTTACAGAAGGATGTAAGATGGTACCTATACGGCTATTAGAATTGGGAGATTTCTAGAAATATATGAAATGATCTTGGAACTCTCTATATTCAGAATATAAGTGACATCCGTAGTGGTTGTAAATGATCTAGCTTAAGCTTCTTTTTTGTTGTTCATATAAACGTCTTCTTTTTTTAATCTTCAGGGGATGTCAGACAAATATAAACTCGAGACTCGAGACTTAACAGCTGCAACATTGAGGTGACGACAGACATAATCAGTGTTCCTCTTATTCTTGTTCAGATATACATTTGACTTGTTCGTTACGTTGCAATTCTATATACTATTCTTAACTGATTTATGTTTAGCTACATGGTTAGTAGTTATAGCGAAGTAACTACTCTGTTGTATGATTTATTTAACGTTGTTATTTATTAATAAAGAGATCACATTAATTATATCACAAGAAATTAAATATCTAGAGGTGTCTGTACAAGATTTTATGCTGTTTGGCAAGTCAACCTGCGTGGCATCTTCTAGCAGACCAACCCATCACTGTTTCGAATTATTGTCACGAATCAGAATATTGATGCCATATCTGCAAATATGTTAAGAATAAAAGTATATTACAAGTGATTTGCAATAGATCCAAATGACTGGCAACAAGTTCAGGTCGAGTCTCAGCCTCAGGAGCTCGACGGGAGCTCATGCACCTCATGATTTAAACTCCTACTTGACCCCACTAACTCTGCTGGCAAGCTTCCTTGTAGTTCTTTTGGCTCGTTATTGGTAGAATACTGTGGCGACCGTGGCGTGAGTGTCTGGGAATCTGACTGTTGCTCCTCAACCTGTTGTTCTTTCCATCGACGAATAAAGAAAACCAACAATCCAATAATAACAGCTAGTCCGGCTACACCACCGACAACACCACCGGCTATAGCACCAGTATTGGTATTGGAGCCCGAGTTACCGCCTCCAGCTGTTGTTGTTGGTGCCGTGGTCTTCGAGGTCAATAAGGATGTCGATGATACAGAGGCCGTTGTCGGGGTCGGTGTGGCTAAATAACATACAATCAGCTAAAAGACAACATGATAAGATTATCCTCTCAACTAACCCGTACTGATAGCTTTCAACATCTGATAGTTAGTCTCACCGGGAGAATTTGGACCCGCGCAGCCCACCCACGACATATCGGTGACGAAAAACCCTCGCATATCCTTATGGCAGCAGAAATACCCCTCGTGATCGTACAGAGTCCAGCTCCTATCTGCACATACTGGCGGGTCCAAAATAAGCTCTGTGCAGTTGGATTTGGACGGACAGCATACTGAATTCACGTAGGGGGTGTTTGCTCCCGGACACGTGGAGCCATGGGGACAGCAGGCATGGAAATCACCCCATGTTGGACCACAGGCTGCCTCTCCGTCCTGACAGGATTTGTGTCGACGGATGGCGAATCCAGATTTATCGTCTCGAGACATTTCGAACTGGATCAGGAAAACGAGACTAATTGACAATGGGGAAACTGACAAATCTGGCGATGGACGGTGACAGGGTTCGCGTGGATGTGCCAAATTTTCTTTGCAGCAAGGCTGAAATAGTAGCGAAGTCGTTGGATGCCATAGTGTGGGGGCCAAAATAAAGGTGTATAGGCAGGATGGTGAACTTTATTTAATATACATACGGAGAATTGAAGGCAGTGATAAGAGCAGTATCATACACTCGGTCACTATACAGTCATTTTCTAAATTGACTTGACCAATGAACCTATAATGATTAATTCCCAGCCCCAGGGCCAGGATCCTGGTGGAGGTGGATTATTGAGCTAACAGACTTCACTGGGGGCTGCCGCAAGTTTCATGTGGTATGGAACGTAAAACATACAAGCCCAAGTACAATACATATACTGTAATCATTTAGCTAAGGCTTACTCAGTTTATCCCCACACGCTCAATTTAATGCGTCACTACCGATACACAATCCTAATTAGACCCTGAAAGGTAAGGCAACGATGTGTTTTTACAAAGCGGAATAAGAACCGTCTCGATCTAACAGCAGCAGATTGCAGTGGAGGGAACAATCAAATCCAGTTTTGAGCTATCAGTATGGGAAAAAGCTATTCATGATGTTGTGACACTGAATGTGCGTGGCGTACCTGCAGCTTTCCATATCCAGTGCGAGGTCTATAAATTTTTGAAGTCTCCCAGGCTCTTCTTTTAGAAAAATATTTGAAAATATAAGGTAGAATTACCTAGCGATTTTGTGAATCAGAACATATAACTGATAACTTGACCAGAGGGGTATCCAAGAGCAATGATGTTGTTATGGACACTACTACACGCAAGTATCCTATACTCCGAGGGGAACCCACAGAAAGTTTGAGGCACATAGTATCACCCATGAATCTGTAAAGATACCACGGGAGGAGTGAGTGCTGATTGCTTTCCCGTTCCTCAAGTAGATTTGTATCAAAATGTACAAAGCCCCGGTTCGTGTTCAGGTACGGATAGTTGTTGACAAATGCAGCAGCATTTACCGAAAGATGAAGTCACTACAGGATCTGTAGGCACTGACCGGAGGCAGTATCCCAGAGGCAGATGCCAGCATCTTGCCGTCGGGTCTGAATGCAATAGAATCTACCGAACGATTCCCTCCAGGGTCTGCAGGCACGGGCTCCAATGCTTACCAACTTGACAGATCTGTTTTATCAGCAGGGCTTCTTCTTTGAATTGATTTCTAATGACGCCTTTTGCTTAAAAGGTAGAAAGGTCGTTGGTAGTTTGCAATTATTTCGTGGAGTACAAATTTCCGGCACTCACTTTCCAGGATTTTATTAAATACATGTCGAACAGGAACTTCAGGTCTGCTAGTCAGGAAAAATCGTATCTAAACACATGCATTGGATTAAGCTTCAGCTAGAAGTCGGAGGATTATCATGATATCATTGTTATTATCGCATTCATCAAGGGCATCTATAATAACTAAAAAGGCTGAATATGATTTGTCTTTAAATTTGGAAAGTGGTTTTGTAATTAGGCCATGCCACTAGTTAATCAGCAAAGGACTGGTTAGTAATATCTCTCGTGCTGCTAAACAGTTTCATATATATATTCCCCTAGAATAGGTAACTAGAGAGCTGTCATGTTATACTAGTTACAAATTTATGTGCTGTCCCAATAGCCCTCCGCCTCTTGAAAAGAAGAAACTAGCCCCTAGAACGCCTCTGTTGTTGGATTAAGGCACAAAAGTTCCTGCTATTGTAGATTTCCCTGTGCCTGCCAAGCCATTCAGCCCGAAAAGGGACTGTTGCTCTTGTCGGTAATCCACTTTTATATATTATAAAAAATATTAACTTGAGTGTTGGGAAGACATATAGGATCGTGTCTTTTGTACTAGTGGAAAGGCGCATCAACCGCATACAATAACTGGCTGGGTGTATCTAATCCAGTAAGTTACCAACAAAATAGTAGTATTTCTATTGGATATAACTCACCATCCATCTCTGCTATGACATTTACAGTCACACGCGATTGTGACTATTCGACAGGAGGAATAACAGATAATAACTCCTTCATGTAGGCTGCTGCTATTCTCACAGTATATCGGCCTGCTACCTCTTATTCTTATACAAATCCGAGTAGTCACAGATCCGGCGGATAACAAGACGTGGAAAGTCATTCGACTGGCTGTTTTTACCTTAAAACAAAAAACTCCGCCTAGTTCACGCCTTACTTGGTTCCTTTCAAGGGCATTTTTCACGACTTTGTTCCCGATGCATGGAACTATAATAGATCATGATTTCCTTAACACGCAGCCTCATCTCCACCAAGTTCACTACAGTGCGCTGCGCACATGTACATCCATCAACATGTTTATATTCTGCTTTGAATAGATGTCCGATCGCATTCAGCAATAACTATTGGGGGTTGTTTAAGAAAGTTGTCCATTGAAATCCATTTTTCGTTGCCTTTCCAAGTCATATTATATTACTCTGCCACGTGGCTTATTTGACTGGCTGACTACAACATCTCCAAGCCGAATGTCTTGGTCTGCGCGCGGAATACCTCCTTTTATTCTAACCATGAGTATGAACTGAATAGTAGGAAAGGTACATTTTATTTAGACGGCGACGACTGGGGCTGAATTTGTGCCCATTTGGCCATACGGAAGACAGGCGACGACTACGTTATGCACACCAATCCGGCCAAGCGTGTATATATTCGAGTCGCTAGGATTCGAAAAGGGAGTTCATGATTCATCAAGCATCTCTTGTGCGGCGGCGAGTTCGATGGGGAAGGCGTTTACCTAACTTAAGGTGTATTGGCCGGGTGGAGGTTGTCGTCGTCCTGCCATCTTACAAGATGGTAGAATAAATAAGGAGCATTGATGATCGTGAACAGTGATATTCAGGAAGGTGTCACCCTATTCCTGGTTGTCACCAGGAATCATCCTCAGCTTGTTGGCATCTGCCTCGCCACCTCCTTGGGCAGCGAGAGGAGCACGTGGTTCTGGCGGTATTCAAAGCGTCTAGTCCATCCTAAAGATGACTTCATTGGTGAGTGATCCCATCGATCATAACTAAGCAGCACTTCACACGGAGGATCCGGGTGGAACGGTGGAACTAATCTTTGGTACAGTTATCTAGTATGTGATGGTCCACCGATGGGCTGTGTCAAGGGCTAAAGCCATAGAACCTATAGAAGAGGCTACATACAGAAAGGAATCGTTGAAGGAAAGAACGAGGGAAAGAACATGTGATGTGGGTCTTTGAGGGCTAATGTGGCCAACAGGGGCAACGGGATAACAGGGACAACACGGCCATAGGCCCGAGAAGTCAAACAGCGTCAGCCCTTTACAGGGCTGCCCTGTTTTGTCGTTCAGACTGAGACAATGCATTTTCATATGTTGGCATTGTAGTTGTGAAAAGTCGATCATTGTTCTGTCTTTTACACTCTATTTAGGATTTTGTATATGCCTGATGACACAGAAACTAACAGTGCCGGGAAATAGAATAAAGCTTGAGTTTAATATACCGTATTATAAACAAGCTTGTATGTTTCTTGTACCATACAGAAGAAACTTACAGCAGCCCTCAGAAAAAAGCTGTTGGCTCAATATTCTATCCACACTGCTGTCGTGGCTGTGGTGCTGGAAAAAAGTCATCATATGTTCGTCGGTAAAGACGACTTCGAGAATGGCTGTATCAGGATTGTAAAATTTGTCATCAACTACTAACAGAAATGAAAAGTAGTGGCCCAAGTCCCTAGTCCCTTTAACATCAAACGAAGGGATCCACAGCCCCACACGTATCAGACCCCAGACCTTAGCTGAAGAAGTTGATGTATCCAAAATAAGAGATTAAAGGGATTAGAGAATAATAAGATACTGGTTAGTATCCGATGATGGGAACAGTGTAGTCATCTACCCAATGGCAAAGTGCAACCTGGTTATTCAATAGAATTATGTATGGCAGAACTATAAAAGCCTCAGGATCGACTTCGCATGAATGGCCATCGAGTTAGACATCAATCTCTGCCTGCTTCCAGTACTGAAGCACTATCCATGTAGAGAAATTCAGTCCAAAGTTATAAATGTATTTGGATAAATATATTATTATTCTATCAACATTAGGGAAGAAGTTACTGTCCTCAGGAAGTAGGCCCTCTTATCCATTAAATCTGTCCCTCTCATCTTGTCTAAGCAACAAGCTCGTAGAATACATAGCTTATCATGTTACTTTATTACTTGGACGCGGAGCAGCCCAGAGCAAGTGTTCCACCCTGCATCCGTTAGATCGATCAGAACTACTTTTTGTTGGATAGACTTACCAAAAGATTGGCTTCGGTGCAGCACTGAGGTGCAGAGGAGCAGGTCTCGTCATGAGGGTGACCTACAACCTTGTTAGCAAGACAAAGTATATATTGAAATAGCGCACTTACAAAGGAGACCAACAGAACCAACAATGTTGGCTGCATCGACGCCCACAACTTTCAGAATGGGGTCAAGAGTGGTATCAAGAGGAGTGGTGAGAGTGCCACAGCACAGGAGAGGCCCCTGGCAGCCACCACTTGAGGTCTGGCCTTCACTGCTCTGACTGGAGGGGAGCGCGGACACCATGGCGCTGCCGGCGACCAGGAGAGAGAAAGTAGTAGCGAACTTCATTGTTATAGATGAGATGGTCCTTGAAATGTCCTTGAAAGAGTCCTTCGTGAAGAGAAGATTGAGTGATACTTGAATCTGAGTGATCAAGTGGTTGGAAGGTCTGAACGAAATTCGAGCGGGATTCTTGTCCTCTATATACCCTCAGCGACAAGGATCATGACTAAAAATATCTCCGTCTTCTTGCCAGGGTGACACGTAGAATCCAGGTACCCCGATTACAATTCGAGATTGTTATCTCACCACTATGTATGGAGAGTCACTCTTGTCGGCAAAAAGTCCATACTCATATCAGTACCAATACTTAGACAATAATATCCGGAGGGAGACAATGATCTACAAATCATGCTTTTCTGATAAGAAGCAATCAACTTCCATGGAACCGTACGAGAGGAATGGATGTCTCAATGGAGAAGCACATGCTCAGATGTTGCATGGATCTTAGCACCAGGGCCGATCCGGTTCAGGAACGGCCGATCAGGGGAAATTCTACGGTAGCGAGTCACGGATCGTCGGATGACCTAGAGCAGCTCAAGAATTCTCCTAGTATCTGGGTGAATTGCAGTTTTTTATTCGGGGAGATAGAGGGCAATATTCGGATCTGCTTTCCGTGAGCCGATATTCTAATCACCGAGGCTGCCAAGTCGTCTCTTATCAAGTGGGGCAGATGATCTACAAACTGTGCAAGAACTATGCTGGACATTGAACTTGATAGAGACAGAGAAAGGGGGAGATAGAAAATCAATCAAGACGATCCTGATAAGCTGAATGTGCAGAATTTTACTCCATACTCACCTCCGATATCGCGGTCTGTGGCAATCGCAGGTCGAGTTTGACTTTCCTATTTCTAGGACCCTGGAAAGGCGATAATTTTCATAAAACCCCACATTATTCCTTGATATTCTGGATTTAGGTCCCTTGGTACCTATTGGGATGCTGATAACACCACGCTTGCTGGTCAATGTTGCCTCGGTTAGTTGGCAACGGACTTAACTACCATCTCTAGCCTGCAGATTTTAATTCCTGAAATTCAACGTACTAACATTTCCAGTATATATGAATATGGACAGTGTTTGCTATTGATATTTGTTATGATTCTATAGCATAGCCAGGAGGGCATTCATAAAGGAGTGCAATTAGTTATCATAGATGAATTCATCCGTGGGAGGGACATAAATAAGCGAAGAACTAGCTGATCCTTCGGATAATCCCCCGGACCTGTATCTTTCTAACAATATTAATATACATAGGCAATAGTCATTGAAATACTGGCTGATGGCTGACAATTTGTACCCCTGTATACGTGAGGATACTTTGTGCCCAATGTGGCGTTGTAGTGGCGCAGTGCCAAGCCACCAGCCACATCTCGCGACACAAAAAATGTTCCCGCAATAATAATCCACCGCGATATCATCCACCAACCTCGATCTCCATCCCACCCCATCTTCTTGGGAATTGCAAAGAGCGTCCTCTTCTGCTCCCCATCAAACACCATCACCATGGCGCCTCTTTCTATCGCCGACATCGTGGCGGCCCTCCCCGCTGACGACACCTGGGGTCCCGCTACCTCTGCCGACAACATGTTGGACGGTGTCCCTTATGCTCCCTTCTCCAAGGGTGACAAGTTGGGCCGCATGGCCGATTGGACTTCTGAGTCTAAAGACCGTGATAGGACTGGTCGTCAGGCTTATAACCGTAACTACAGAGGTATAATTGCACATACACCGCTGTTTGAAAAATATGCCTAACGTACTTTTCAATTTATTCCATACAGATCAGCAAGTGTACGGTGCCGGTTCGTCCAGTCTCTTCAACGTTCAGGTCGCCGAGGATGAATCCTCTTTCTCCGTCGTCGACAACACTCGTGCCTCTGCTAAGCGAACTTTTGGCCGCGGCGGTGGCACCGTTTTCCGTGGTCGCGGCCAGCGTGGCGTGGGCCAGAGAGGCGGCCGGGCCGGCTTCCAGCGCGTGGGTGCTGGTCGTGGTGGCCAGGGTGGTGACCGCTACTACGACAACCGCTCCGGTCGTGGCAACCGTGGCCGTCGCTTCGGATGGAAGGACTACGACAAGCCGCAGAGGACCCGTGAGCCCTCGGTCAACGTTCGTCCGGACTGGAATATGCTGGAGGAGGTTGACTTCAGCCGTCTGTCCAAGCTGAACATGGAGACACCGGAAGGCGAGGATATCGACTCGTACGGTTTCCTGTACTACTACGACCGGTCGTACGACAAGGCCCCCGTGAAGAACGCCGAGCGACGACTGCAGTCCCTCGATCGGGCCGCCTACAACGTCACCACCTCGCAAGACCCTGTCATCCAGGAGCTCTCCGAGAAAAACGAGGCCACCGTCTTCGCCAGCTCGGATATCCTGTCCATGCTCATGTGTGCCACCCGCAGTGTTTATTCCTGGGACCTTGTCATCATCCACCAGGGCGACAAGTTCTACTTCGACAAGCGCGATGGTGCCTCTCTGGACCTGGTGACCGTCAACGAAAACGCCGCCGACGCTCCTCTTGAGCTTGCCGACTCCGCCAACAAGCAGGAGTCGATCAACACCCCCAGCGCCCTGGCCCTGGAAGCCACCTTCATCAACCACAACTTTGCTCTGCAGACCGTGGCCGAGTCCGAGAACGCCAAGGTGGCCTTCAACAACCCCAACCCCTTCTACAACGCCGCTGAGGAGACCGAGCCCCTCGCCTCCAAGGGTTACAAGTACCGCCGCTTCGACTTGTCCCTGGAGCGCGATGAGGAGCCTCTGCACATGATCGTCCGGACCGAAGTCGACGCCGTCATGAAGAACCCCGTCAGCGGCGAAGACCAGCAGCTGGTGGTCAAGGCCCTGAACGAGTTCGACAGCAAGGCGCAGGGCTCTGGCGGTGCGCTGGACTGGCGCAGCAAGCTGTGGTCGCAGCGTGGTGCCGTCGTCGCCACCGAGATGAAGAACAACAGCTGCAAGCTCGCCCGCTGGACCACCCAGGCCATCCTAGCCAAAGCCGACGGCATGAAGCTGGGTTTCGTGTCGCGTGCCAGCCCGCGCTCCGCTTCCGCCCATGTCATCCTGGGTGTCGTCAACTACAAGCCCCGGGATCTGGCGGCTCAGATGAACCTGAACCTCGGCAATGGATGGGGTATCGTGCGCACAATCGTCGACCGCATCCGCGCTTTGGATGCCGAGGAGGACGCCGAGAAGCTCAAGAAGTACGTCCTGATCAAGGACCCCAACCGGCCGGTTATCCGTCTGTACAGTGTGCCCCCTACTACTTTCGATGAAGATGAAGAGGTGGAGGCCGCTGAGGAGGAGAAGGCCGAGGAGGATGAGGAGTAATGTTCTGGTTATGATTTACAATTGTTATCGTGTGCATATGTTGAAAAGTTGTTTAGATGAGTATGAAAATCTTATGATAAGTAGTATGTAGTCATGACTCTATTGACCTTGCAACTTGTAGAGTTCCATCACCTTAATACGACTTACTTGAGGAGTCCATTTGAGCTCAGTTAACAATATAACGTCTCTTATCTTGTTCTTTGATCACGTCAAACCTTCACCCCCAATGCACGTAGAATCCTTTGCGTGGTCTCCGAGTCTAGACCCAGTTCAACACATCTAGTAACACAGCGAAAGCACTCTTTCTACTCCATAGAGCAACCCTACAACATAGAGAATTGTATCCCGATACTGAACCCATTCTCTGAATTTGGGTCCGATTATTGATTAATCTACTAAGCTTGTATAAATTTAAACTCTTAGATAACGTATATTTTCACGCTGTTATATCCGGGACTCTGAACCGGGACTCTGAACCAAGGTTCTGACAGCTGCCAGAATATCTATTAATGGTCTTCGAAGGTTAGTGATAAAATATGTAAACTAAGTCACCGAAAATGGAGAGGGAATGAAGAGATGAAGGTTGTTTCTCTCTTCCTCCTTCATTCGTTCATTCTGCGGTCTGGGAGTAGATGCTCCTGCTTTGCTGAGAACTCTGTCTACTTCTGGACATGATTTCATTACCTCTTCCTGATGTATAGACCAGACTAGACTGATAATGTCCTGCAGAGAATAAATCTTTTTGTCCAGTCCAGAACTAACGTATACCTAGTTGACTATGCAAAGATACAAAGGCTTAGTCATTCCATCATTACCCACAAGCGCAACACCACTACTCATCTATCCATCTATCCTCATCTCAACCCCCAGAGAAAGACAGAACGAAGAAAAAATCATACATAATGAATCAACCCACATAATGAACCCAATCAATAAACCCAAACCCCGGCCCGCAGCATCCTGCGCCCCGTGTCGAAACCGAAAAGTCAAGGTCCGTTCAGCCTCCGCCCCCACCCAATACACCACCCCATTCACATGAAATAGTGTGATAGACTCTCCCCCTGCGAAGCCTGCGTCGCACGGGGGATCCCACACGAATGCAAATACGCCATCACGGACGAGGACCGCGAGGCGATAGCGCAGGCAGAAGTGATTGCGCAGCTGCGGGGAAAGTCACAACGACTACGGAGCGATCTGGCTGCCGCGGAGGCGGAGAGACAGGAGCTACGACGACGGGATCGAGATTATCATCACTCGCGGAGTGAGGACGCGGCCATGGAGATGTTGTACTCGGCGCTAAGGTTAGGATCGCAGGATCTGGTAGAGAGGTTAGTAGGACGAATTCGTGAGGGTGAAGCACTCGCGGATGTCATTCGGGAGGTGCAGACGGAGGGGATGGTTCATAGGCCGAAAGTAGGGAGGTAGCGCGAAAGGAGATAAAGTAAATCTTTTTTCTAAGAAAAAAGAGGACATGGCAAACGAAATAAATAGCGTAAAGCATTCATTAGCCTGTATAGCTATAGCTGGCTAGGAGCTCGTAATAAATGTCCAAAAGCCCAAAGAAAAAAAAAAAAATAAAAAAAAAGTAAAAGCTTTTATATACACTTCCCATGACATACTCAAAAACAACCTCGAAATAACTCCGTCCGACTCGTCATTTCATGAGTATAACACGTCGTCTGTCGCCTGAGAAAATCCCACATCAACCTTGGCTCCGATCACGCTACTCAAGCAGTCCATCAATTCGAAGTCCTCCACGACTGCCCCAAATCCATAGCACCGGACCTTAGTGTTCAGCGTCTCTATAATAATCTTGACGTCGTCTCGCGTCAACGTGCGGTATAGCTCGTGATTCTTGAGGCACTGCAGAGCCATGATGGGAGTGATCTGCCCATCGGTCACCAGCTGTCGGCTGAGATTCAGCAGAGTGGTCAGGTTGGCATGCGGCAGATCGTATGTCTTATGCGGATACGTTTGTTCGTGTGTGGTATTTGAAATGTAGCTCGGCGGCGGGCAGGTCGCCATCAGGGCATGCCCCGAGAACGGCATGTCCTCGTCGTCGGCCTCAGCAATAGACCGCCGGCACAGATAATCGGTATGTTCGCGACACGGCCCTTCCAGACTGCGGTGGGTTAGACAATCAATCTCAGCAACATGCCACAGGGTTCCTTACGTCAAAATAAAGTCAATCTGCAGCTGCGGATCCTCTTCGAAGATCCCGTCTGGCTGCCGCGGTTGGCGACTCGAGGGAGCCATCCGGTCCAGCGTCGCCAGGGCATCGCACGGTGCATTGCAGCAGCCCTGGTTCAGTGGTGTAAGCTCTTGGGTGGGCGACGCATCAACGTGCTGCACCCCATTTGTGCCGGGGCTCACAGCCGAGGAAACGGAGACGGCCGTTGGAGGAGTCACTGTAGTCGGAGAAGTTGTGTAAATGTTGCTCGCCGACGGTGCGACGTTGGGCGGCTGGGAGCCGACACTACTGCTGGCAAATGAACCGGACTGAAACCCCGGGCTTTTGCGCTCAGCCTTGCGCCGCTCGAGTTCTGCCTCGTAGTTGATCCCATGGCTCGCGAGGATGTCCTTCAAAATACTATTCTCCTCCGACAAGGATCGGACCATCTCTCGATGTTGGTGTACGGTTAAATTTGACGCCGAAATGTCCTGCGTGTAGGCTTCTCGGAGTCGGGACACCTCCGTCTCCAGAGAGCGCAGGTACTGCTCCTTGCGCTCACGATGCGTCCTAAACCACTGTCGTTAGCAAACAAGCACCCAGCCATCGCCACAGATTCACACCTTTGAGCTTGACGATTCAACTCCTGCCGTCGGGTGAGGGCCGGCCGGCTATCCGGTTTCGGGCCTCTTCGTTTGGCTGGCTGGCCATCTAGGTCGGCGACGTCAATATCCGGGGTTGCTGAGGGTGCATCCTAGCGGAGCCACAAACCTCGAGTGACTTTCTTCTGTCCACTGCCGAAGAATTTAAACCAATCTGTACCCGACGAGGTTTTGCCTGATTGCATGACCATGTTAGCGTTATAGACCAGAAAAACAACACAATCAGATCATAAGAGCGATAAAAGCAATGCCATAAGTACAATGCCGGCCTTCATCCCCAGACTAGTGGACCATCAAAAGCTTATCATCCGTAGCCGGCGCACGGCGTCTCAATCAAGTAAACCTAAATGCACCATTCGCGATGACACTTCGCAGGCCCCTAGCGAGAATGAAACATTGTACAGCCCCCGAACGAACCGATGGAAGACACATGCAGCACGATAGCCATCGTAACTGTGTATCTGTATCCCTCGTCACACCGTGAACTTACCCGGCGAGTCTTGCGTCATACTTTGTCGATAAACTGTTCCCTGGTCCCCAGGCATAATCCCATTATTCATGGAAGCCATGATAGCTGTGGCCGTCTGCAAGGAAGGGAATACGGGATGATGCGACCGGCGCGTTTACAATAGATGCGGAGAGCGGGAAAGGAAAAAGGAGACCAGGAAGCGTTGGGTGCAAGCAAGTGCACCGACGAAGAACGAAGCTCTGGATGGGTCTGGAGGCGGGACAACGGCTGCAAAGGTTGTCCATTATTAGCCTCAACACTAACTACGGACAAATTAAGTAAATTCGGTTTCGTCCAAGCGCCCTCACCGTTGGGATGGATACCATATACCGTGGTTGCTTACGCCGCGGAAACGGACCGGCTGCTCTCCCCGATGTCCCCGAGAACTTGAGCTTTGAATACCACACGAGGGGGATTCTTCAAGGGATTCTTCAAGGGTAAAAGTGTAGCTCTCGTTGATAGGTCTGGGTTGGAACAGGATCACGAGATGAACGATAAAGGAGATGAAGGGAAAGAATTCCCACAAAAAAAAGAAAAAGAAAAAGAAAAAGAAAAGAGAAGGAGGGATAAGCGATGGAGCGTGGGGATAACAAAGAGAAGAGGAGAGAAGGAGAGCGAGTGGAACAGCGAGTCGTATGGAAGTGGGACACTGACAATTTGATAATTTGATGCCAGGAATTAATCCTCGGACTGGGGAGGCGAGATGGCGCTCAAGAGTGACCTGGAGACCCTGTCAAGCGGGCCTTTCTTGTTACATCCACCGATGCACCGGGTGATTCATTGGCTTCTCTTTCCTTGTTCTTCACGGCTTGGTCTTTGCGCAATCAAGCTGGCTGAATCCACAGATCCACGGCGAGTAAAATCGAGACGTGAACTCTCCAGTCAACCTTGAATCTTGATGGGACGGGATGGACACTCGCGTCTTCTGTAGGCCACTAATCTGTTAGTCCATTACAGACCCGATGTTGTTGACAGGGTGGATAAAGGTAAATAACAAAAAGTAACAAAAAACCATAAAGACAAAAAAAAGAGAAACGGGATTAATCGTCAAAATCACCATCAGAATCATAACGAATGTGGCTCCGATCTCCTGTCAAGAGAGTCCGATCTGACCTGGCATGACTTACACCGGGAATGGAATCTATCAGTCTACAAAAATCTACCCCTAGCTATCCGATCGCCAGAATTCATTGGTAGTCTGGTCCCAAGGGCAAAAAAAAGCAAGAATGCAGCCACCCGTGTAGAGGGTGAAACTGGGCTCTCAATGCGCGATCGTCCAGAAATGAGCAGTTTGGTTGAGGCCTTTCGATCCGTTACTTTTTATTTTTATTTTTTGATTTGTTTTCTCTCTCTCTCTCTCTCCCCCCCCCCCCAAATTTTATAGGGGAAAAAAAAAAAAAAAAAAAAAAAAAAAAAAAAAAAAAAAAATTCCATCATTGTCATACTGAATAAGACTGAATTTCAACCACAGAGTTGCCCGTTTCTACATAAATCGGTCCCAATATTTGTTGCTCCCCAGGAACCTAGCTCAAGGCACTTTCATTTTACTCCCTTTAGAGGAGGGACAGTCGTACCAGGTTGTCGGGGTACGTTACTGATGACTGTCAAATTGGTCCCGGGGACCATTCGATATCTCATAAAAGACGTAGGGAACCCTGTAGATGTGTAACGTAAATAATATCCAGGGTCCCATTCTTCCCGGTTGGATTTGAGACAGCAACGGTTGTACTCTGCAGTACAGAGTACGTGTGGACAGATCGGGTCTAGTCTCCCAATCGTGTGTCGCTTGGATCCAAGATTGGGATGGTGCTCAGCTAGTATCAAGAATGAATGGATCCCCTGTTGTGATCCCCAACGCTTTACCCACTGGCCTAGCTGCACCTGTCGTAACACTAATTGGTATGCACACGTAGTAGTACCACAAGGCCAATATACCGAACTCTCAGGTACGGCGTAAGGGGACCAAGTGCCATGTCATTGGATTGTCTGTTTTTACCAACCCAGGATAGAAATAATAGTGGACAAGTAGATAGTAGACAATGACGTTGACGGGAAACTCAGGGGATTTCCCACCCTATTCCTGGAAGTCACTAACTTCTTGTTCTTTGTCTCGTTTTCTTCTCTCTCTCTGTCTTTCTTGTCTTTTATTTTTTATTATTTTTAATTTTGAACCATACTATTTTTCCCCACTGCTACTGTGTAAACAAACCAGTTCAGAAACCTGGAGATCCCGAAACGTAAATGTAGAATCCCCAGCCACTCCAAACCACGATTAGGAATGATCAGAGGCATCAGAAATAGTCTTGCATCATCGTAACAGGACCCCGATCGCAAAGGGCGAAAGGACGAAAGCTAAGCTAAACTAGCGATCGGCTTCCAAATGAAGACTATCGAGGGCGATCTGCGGCCAAGGCGGCCGTCCTACCCGATCCGGGCGACTCCACCTGGGCATGACTCGTTTTCACCACTTTCGTTCCTGTAATAAACTCTCTCTTCCAGCTATCAATCAAATCAATAATAATGGTTATTGTTCCCGGTCCAGCGGACGCTTGAGGCGCTTCACGGATAGATCATTTTGGTTTCGACCAGAGTCATGGTCATGGAATCTTCGGAGATCCTGGTGCACGTCGCTGCTCCTAGCACCATTGCAGACGATGCTCGCTATCGTGCGCAGGTCCAGGCCATTCTCGGCTTCCAGTGTATCTCCCACCAGAGGATCTCCCTCAGTGACTATCAGCAGAACCAGTATGACTGTACTGATGCTGGTCATCTGCCCGATCAGTCTCTCGCTGCCACCTGCGAATCCACTTCCTCCTCTCAGCCTCCCCACGTGATCCCCTCATATACGCACACTTTCCCCTCACGATCAGCGTCGATTCCCACGTCCCAGAACGATCCGCCTCCAAATGGCGCTGAAAAGGACTCCCTTGGTAGTCCACTCAGCGTCATACCGGATTCTCAGCCAGAGAGGCTGTCTCCATGCCATGAACACTTCTTACCTCCCGCCAAGCGATATCGAGTAGACAATCCAGCTTTAAGTCCACGTCCACACCACTCTTCACCTTCTACACCCCTCCTCCATGACAAAAAAAAATCTCCGCCGTTACACGAGACTGAATATGATGACGACGACAACCCTCCCCCAAGCAGTACCAATCCCAGTACCCTGAAACCCAGCCCGAAGAGAATCCATACTACGCACCCACCACCACCATGCCAAATATCCCTCACGATGCTCCCCCTCGAAATCAAACCCCCTCCACCGCCCATCTCAACCGCTCAATTCGTATCCCACATCACACCCACCCTAGCCATGCTCGCCCGCCGTCTGAAAACTCCCCGATATTACACCCCCGTCTATCAAACCCGAGACCTTGACACCCTCGAGCGAGGATACTGGCATCTCCGTTTCGATATCCGCGATTCCGAGGCCGCATCGTCGTCGCCGCCGTCGACATTCACGACTCGCAACGACTCCAAGACCTGGGAAATGGCGCTTTTCAGTCGTTTCTGGTCGTTTTTGTCGGAGTTTATCGCCAAGGAGGGCCGTGCCGGGTGGGGGGTATGGTGTATTCTCGAGGAGGATGTAGATGGTCCTCCGTTGCCGCAGATCAGTCACAGGTTGAAGCTCAGGGTGTATACGTGGGGAGAGATCGCTTCCCATGTCTATCTGCTCTTGTTTCTAGCTAGTGAGCGTCGAATACGGAAGATGGGTGCGCAGTGGTGCGATGGACGGGAAGAGACGGTCATTCAAATGCCGTGATCTATCCACTGTATATAGATATATGCCTAAATAGCTGGGACTTGCAGGCTTGATGAAAAGGATATGTAGTGAGAGGATAATGATACCCGTGTAACTGCTGAGTCGCGTCCATCTCAACGATGCTTATTGATGTATAGCCCCATGGCAAGGCGATTTTCTAAGATGGATTACTGGTATTACGACTGTAGGACACCGGGAAGGCACCCTTACAGGGTGAAGCTGCCTACAAATAGTATGACCTTAGATGACGAGAGTCCATTCATTCCAGGAGAAGAAAACAAAGTATGGTACACGTGAGAAATTCCAATTTTAGATAGCGCCGCATTTGTTTTTGGAACCCCAGGGCAATAACAAGAACCATAAAGAGTACATGCAACAGTTATGATCGAGAACAACATAACAGGCCTCCACTCTGAAAGCATGGCACTGACGGAAGACCATAGCAATAGTAATATCGGAAGATTTTGCAGCGTGGAATGGAGCCAAACAACCAATAAAGGGCAAGTGGCAGACGTTGATCGCGCAATGTTAAACTAAGGTTATGAGAGATGGAAAACAGAACCACCGGACGCCGCACCTGTACATTCGAGCAAAAGCCAGTATTGCGGCGGGGCCTAATAGTTCAATTCCCCGCTTCCAGATCCGCCGACCGCATCAAGATCCTCATAGCTCTTGAGGCTGCGGCCTTGAACGGCTTCACGGGGACCCATTCCCTGGGCAGAACCTGGACCCATGGCATCGGCAAAGCCGCTGGCCCCAGCGAAAGCTGCTGCTGCTGGATGCCCCGGAGGAATGTACGGCGCACCAGTAGTAGCCGATAAACGACCACCAGACCCATACATGTTCGACATGCCCCGAACCGGGCTCAACCGACCGGTTCCCGGACCGGAAGCGCCATGTCGATTGCCACGTCGATCATAGGGTCCTGAACGATTATTATAGCGGCCCCCACGACGCATAACACCGGGGTGGTGTAGGCCATCACTGGGCAATATGCCATTCCCACTCCAGGTGCCCGTTTGATTGTTCACACCCATAAACCCAGGCAAAGCCGCACCCGGCATGGCCTGGAAATTACTGGGCACATTACCACTCGGACCAAGGTACGGAGGCATCGATGCCAGGCTGAACCCGCGAGGTGTGCCAGCTTGGTTCTGGCCGGAGCTGAGGGGGAAATGGCCATTGCTATTTGCATCGGATCGTGAGGGTGCGATCCGGGCGGGATCAAGAACATATGCATTCACCAAGGACAACTATTATTTGAATGTCAGTAGTAGTTCACCTCTGCTAGGGGCGCTATCACAAAAGAGGCTTACGTCGCTCTTGATATTCTCAAACCATTCCGTATGGCGCTTCTCTACATGTTTGCGCCAGAAATAGTCGGCCTTGAACAGCTTGGTGCACTCCGGAACCTTGCAGCGATATTTCGATTCGTCCTCCTGCTTCATGTACTTCGATAATTCCTCCTCTAGAGCTTCGTCCACTGGTTTGCCGCCCAGTTTTCGAATATCCACGTTCTCGGGCTCGAGGATCTGCAGAAGCTTGTCCTCAAATGTTTTCACCCAGTTAAACGCGCGCTGGAGCTGTTGCTCTGATTTGGAGCTGAACCGTTGGGGCCGCTTTTCCTCCGCAGGGGATTGTTGTTCCTCGCCTTCTTCACTGGGCTCCTTTCTCTTGACAGGAAACGGTTGTCCGAGAGCACTGGCTCTGGCCACGGCTTTTGACTGTGTAGTAAGACCAGCGCGTGGTCGACGGAGATGACCACCAGGACATTTCCGGGAAAGCTCATGCACCGAGTCACTTTCAAACACACAGAAAAAGCAGAAGTTGCAGACCCTCCGGAGATATTCAACCATCAAGTCAAGTTTCTTTTTCTTCGCCAAAAGCTCCTCGTCGTCAATTTCATCGTCTCCCCAGCCCTCCTGCTCTTCACCTTCTTCGGCTTCCTCCTCATCAACATCTTCTGCATCAAACTCGGTTTTCCTCTTTTTGACACTAACAGGGCCAGTGACGGGCGGTTGCAGCCACCCCTTACCACGCAGTTCCTCTACTCGCTCTTCGATCTTAGTGAAGCCATCGGCATTTCCACCCATTTCCGAATCGAACTTCAATACAAGCCGACTGGCCAGTTCCAAGTCACGCTCAATGCGTTCAGGTGCGGAAAACAAGTCCCACAGTGCCTTCTTGCGTGGCTGGGAGGGCGGAACATGAACTCCAACATGGCATACAAAGTCTCCGTGGACCGGGTCATGAATAGTCTTGTCATTAACAGCCTCAAGAGCTTTCTCGGCTGCGTTGGCGCTTGAGGTACCATTCGCAAAGTCATCCTGCTCCAATTCCTCGCCCTCTTCTTCTCTTCCATCTCCTCTCTCGACAACGGCAACATCCGCTGCGGGATGTAGCATGATCCACCCCATACGATGGTATTTCTTGGACGGGTTCGGATCGCTGAGGCTGAGCCATTTAAATCCGCCATCTTGTTCCCCCAGATGCTCCTTACTGAACTCCTCGATTTTCTCCCGGCTGACATTCGGAGCCAATGTCTTGATCAGGAGTGCTGGCTGGGACAAAGCCTCGTCACGGAGCTCGCCACCTCTTGCTGGTAGCAGATCTAAAACACTTAGAGTCTCACCCACCGCCGTTGTTTCACCTTCCTCCTTCTCGATGACACCACCAGCGCCATCGCTCTCACTTTTGTAAATCCCTTCAAGTGTAAAATCGTCAAATAAACCACCATCTAAGTCACGCTCCCATTGTTGATAAGCAGCCACTCGAAAATCCATGAGTCGTCGGCGGAGAGGGTCCCTAACTTCAGGAACGTAGCGCTCCTTGAACCACTCTTCAGTTCGATGGTGTTGGACGAACGTTCTAGCCATCTTGATCTGGAGATCCACTTTGTACGCATCGTAAGCCGCTTGAATCTGTGCTCTTTCCCGGTCGCGATCTTCACGCGCCTCGCGTTCTCCCTTAACACGATCCGACGGGCGACGTCCGCCGTGCTTTGCACGCTCTTTCTCCTCCTTGATCGATTGTTCGGAACGCCACCATTCAGCGAACCAGTTGAATCCGACTTGAAAATCAAGGCTTAAAGGATTGGGGAGGGGGTTCGTTGGAATGGGTCGTTTCCCCGAATCTTGTCCCGGGACATAACGATCGATGTTTGCGACGTTCGGAGACGGGGCACGGCGTCGATCATCGCGTTCTCGCGTAGCATGCTCACGAGCAGCGGTGTAATAATCGTCTCGAGCAGGGCGTCGCTCTGTAGGTTCATACCGGTCAATAGCAGCAGGCGAGCGAGAACGGCCACGTCCACGACGGCGATCCTGCGATACTAAAACCAGGTCAGTTAGCCTGCTATTCGCCTGTAGGATAACGCATCGGGTTTGGGGTAATTTTACTGGGGGATCTCCGCCTGTAGGAATCTCCCGGTGCTCTTGCGGAGTATGGGTCCCCATCACGGCTTCTCCCGGGAGACCCATATGTGTCATAGGAGTCCATCGGGATAGTGCACCGAAAGGCTCAACCTTGGGAGGGAGGCGACAATTACGTGCCGTTTCCAGGTCCGCTGAGGGAATGATAGTAAAGCTGCAAGGCAATCACGAGGTCGAACCGAGGGCCGACAAGCAGTCGAGTGAAGTAGTAGACCGTTAACGTGAGCTAATATCCGACATTAATAAAATTAGACTAAGTCTTCTCATCTGAAACGGGTGCCTAGTAAGTTGGACGTTTGACGCAGGGTGCAAGGGATGGGGTGTGCTAAGAAAAGATGAAAATGGAGCTGAAACCCGCAAGGCGGGGAATAAGAAGGGCATAGTCTTGATCTGATGGAGACAAAGATAACCGAAAAGGAGACGCTGAGGCAATGCTCTCGCAAGAGTCAAAGAAATCAAGAGACAAGAAGAATGAGAGAAGGACTTGAGGTCTCGAAGGCCAGTGACAGCGCGACGATATGACCGACAATTTGAAGAATCGGAAAGAAAGGGGGAAGGAAGCAAGAGAGCAGATTTGAAAATAACGGTAAGTAAAAAGGATTAGGATTCAAACGAGGTGGGGACGCTCTTCCTTTATTATTTCTTGGGAACGAGAAAAGATTGAGCTGGGAAAGGGGCAGAGGGGAAGATGAAAGACAAGGGCGGGTGATGGGACGAGAAGAACACGACAATGATGGTAAAAGAGAGTAGTAAACAAGGCAGGCGACCTACAAGAAGCCTTATAAAGAAGGATGGAACTCAATCGGATAAGATCAATCCCTAACCACACCCAGTCCAATAAATTTGGAGGGAGGAGAAAGCTGAGCCGGGGATAGAACGGGAAAGGTTGGTTTGGTTAAGAAGCAGTTGGAGAATCAGAAAGCGACAATGGAAAGAAGACGTGCTGGGATGAGGTAAGCGGGCGGCAGGTGAGTAAGCCCATCTGGAGGAGCCGCTGGCACTAGTCCCCAAGAGGAAGACCCAGGACAGAATTTAGACACGTGACTATCTCGTTGACTCTATTGAATGCACTCAAGCGCGGTCCACAGGCTACTATGCATACAACATCGAAAAGTAGTTAACTATGTCCTGGTATTTGTACACGACTCGCGGGGGAATCATCCTTGAAGAAAAAAGAAAAGAGAGGGGGAAAAAGAAGAAAAAAAAAATTCAACAGACATCACAGAGACAGGAAGCAGACTCAGGGAGGGCAAAGGCAACAAGCTCAGCATTAGCGAAAGTCCAGTCACTGTCCATTTTCAACAGCTTTGGCCGGTGCTTCCCAACACGCCCATTCCGTTCCCATCAGTTTCTGCTTTCTAACACTGGCGCGAGGGACTTGGCCACCGACTCAAATGCGGAGAGGGATCAACAGAGAACCGCAGATATCTAATCAAATAGAAGATCACACATCTTCTATAAGTATATCGGAAATCTCGCCCTGTAAACCCGCCGCTCTGCCCTACAGTGAGTCACAAATCCCATCATACCGTATGATTGCTCCGGTTATATCTGGGGTTTATTTTTACCAGCGATGGGTTCCTCTCTAGTTCCCGGCCAGAAGTCCATTAAAAAAGACGCACAACTGTGAAAACGAAGAATAGAGTGTCGAGGTTAAGTAGGGGTTCGATAAAAAATAATGAGCATGACGAGCGGCTTGGCCGATGACGTATAAGTCTTGTACCGAAGTAACTTTCAGTTAGTACAATTTGCCCAAGGCCAGCCCCCACTGCCTTAAACTGAAGGAACAGTTCAAGGTTGAAATACAGACAGCCTTTCAATGAACCAGTACAAGTTGCGGCGTATCTGCAGTGTATTTGGTACATGACGCCACACCGGAAAACAGGGGGGAAATGAAAGACATCCATGTAAATAACAGGATTAAAAAGAAAAGGATGGAAAAAGAAAAAAAAAAAAAAAAAAAAAAAAAAAAAAAAAAAAAAAAAAAGAAGAAAAAAAAAAAAAAAAAAAAAAAAAAAAAAAAACCAAACAAACACTAGGTAACAGAAACAGGGTAATCATTTCATACACACATTCCTGGGGGTAAGGCATCATCTGATGAAGGGAACAGATCAAACTTCGTACCAACATAACAATATCGACAACCATTGACAGACGTAGAAAAATGAGAGAAAAAGAAATAATAGTAACTAACCCACGTAATCACACATCGCTCGCTACGAAATAGGAAAGGGGGGGGGAACAGCACCCTGATGTCCATCCATAAAAGCCCATGAGAAATAAGTACGGAGAAACAGAGTTCGATCCGCGAGGCACGAAATCGAAGGCATGATGATAGCATCGCTGGACGTAAATCTCGCTCAACCCTCTTCATCAGATGCTTCGGCAGACTCATTTTCACTTTCTTCGGCACTGCTAGCTTTCGGCCCTCCAGTTTTGGCCTTCTTAGCCGATCCAACATTGTCATCATTGACATCACTTGACTTCCGCTTGTGGGTCGATGGAATATTCCCCCCTGTTTGCTTTGTAGCATTACTATCGACATTCTCCTGTCCAGAAACAGAATTCCCTCCCTTCTTTTCCATGGCGGCAACTTCGTCAGCGGTAAGGAATCGACCACCGGGACCACGCGGACGTCGCATGGCATGGTTGTGGCGTGACTCATGCAGGTAAGGCTTGCGACCCTTGGAAGTAAGGCGCAGTTGCTCCTCCAGCTTTTGGCGGGCAACGCGACGCTTCAGAATGCGATGGAACTGCTTCGCATTGACATAAAGAGGCGATTCTTCCTGAGGACCCCCAACCATCTCTGGAGAAGGTTGACTCTGCTGGACTGGAGGCTGAGGAGGGGGCCCCATCGGCGGGGGCACAGATGGACGGCCGACGTGGCTGAGAACAGGCTGGGCACTTTGAACGTGCGGGCTACCAACATGACTCATACGGCGCTGCTGCATCTGAGCATTCCGAGGCATCGGCACTTGAGAAGCCATGGAAGGCATTTGCCCCGGTATTTGAGTTGGCGAACGAGGATTTCGATCGTTTTTTATTTGGACACCTGCCATGCGCGGCGAGCCACGAGGTCCCTGCGGCATTTGACCAGTCATAGAGTCTTGATGAAGCGGATAGAATTGACCTGATGCCGCAGCAGTGGCCATCGCAGCGGCTTGGGTTGGAGAAATACCATAGGTTTGCGGCATCGCTGCCGTTACCCCATATGATTGAGGGAAGTTCATTTGCTGATGTACCGAGCCAGGAGCATTTTGAGTCTGCTGGTAATGCGACTGGGATGGGAGAATGGGTGATGCTTGATGTGTAGGATGGGCTTGTTGCATGTGTGCTTGGGGATTGGTAGGAGAAGTCATAGACCCCACGGTAGAACCAGCGTTCTGTGGAGTGGTTTGGTAAGGGGTAGCGATGTGGGAAGAGGCATGAGGATGCTGGCCATGAGGCTGTTGATATTGTGGAGGGTATTCCATCATAGGTTCGAGACGGCGCTTCCCGTCACACTTCTAATTCCTTCTATGATTGGATCGATTAAAATGTCAGGAACCGGGTGGCCAGGACCAATAACAACGATGCAAGTGAACAATTGGTGGATAGATATCACTTGTTTTAGATATTAGGAATGGCCCCAGTAGATGATAGGACGTTGAAGCGCTGTTGCACTCGAAGATATCACAGTCCCGCACGAAAGAGGGGGGACAGCCGCACTTAGCAACTACTAGCCGCTGTTGATGATTCGACGAGTTAAATGCGTATGTCTGCAGGCCCTTCCTATAGTGTCAGCAGGGTTCGCATCGCCGACCGGTCACTGGATTTCGGGTGGGGTCGAATGGAGACAGAAGAGATGCACTTGCGCCAGGGCGCTTACCGTTGCGTTCTGTTGTGACGATACACACTGGCTTCAACTGTCCGGGACAAGAGAAATCATTAAAGGTCGACGCTTGTTTGTCGGAATGACTTCGAACAGTCTCCTCCGGAGATTCTGGGTCTTTTTGTGGAAACTTTTTTTTTTACGTTCAACTCCGAGTGTAACGTGGTTGGGCTCTGATGCAGCGGGCCAGGGTGCCCTCGACAAGATGTCGCACTTGATGAGTTGTCAGACAAAACACGATCTTCTTGATAACAGATTTTCCATTGCCGGCACGCGTGAAAAAAAAAAAAACACTATATATATAAAGCAACAACTTGGCACCTTACCTTGCTTGACAATGCTCAGACCTTAGAGCAATAAAGGTGCTTGGCTTGGCCAGGTCTGTATAAGGCGAGGATGATGCAATAACTAGTGATATGAGGCGGTGCTAGAAGGGTGGCCTGCCTGTTCCTTCGGGTCCAGATGGATAAGGATACCCCGATCTGCGGTTCCCAGCGCTATAGTGCAACTTGGGAAGGGACTGGTGTCAGGATGCGCCTAGCAAGGGCCTGCTTAGTTAAGTTGACTACAAAAACTATCAGCATCTTCCTTTGCCACCAGTCAAAAGATCCAAGTGCTGATTTGTGCGCTGTCATAACGGGTGAGTCTATCAGGGTGGTGGTGGGGGCAAGGGTGGGAAAGTGATATTGTGGCGGTTAGTCTATTCAGGGCTGAAGGATGTATGCGTTGGCAAGCGGGAATCATAATGCAGCTGGTTACATACCTTGTCCAAGATGCAATGCAATTCACCACCAAATACAAAGTTGGCTTTGGCACCTACAGCAGGACTTGAAGCAAGAAGAGGATTAATAATCCACTCGTAAGAGAACTAGCTTCAAGCTTGCAGCAGTAAAGACAGCCTGCGTGTCTAAAGATAGGAGGATAATGTTAGGGAATTGGGAAAGTAGTTAAGAGATAAACGCGTGGTGATTGGGCAATTGGGGGCGGGGAGTCGGGGAATTGAAGGCAAAACGCGACATTGATGGTAAGCATAACAATGTGGACATAGTATCAAAACCTGCAAAGTGGAAAGTGGAAAAGGGAAAAGGGAAAAGGGAAAAGAAAAATAAGTAATAAAAATAATATAAAAGTAAGAGTAAAAATAAGAGAGGCTAATAAAAGAAATTCTACCTATCTGCAGCACATTAAAGGCTGTAATGAATTGGTAGACATTGTTTTGATCCAAGTAGGTTAAAGGCAAAGGTCCCAATCGCGTGGTCGTGCAGGTCACCGTTCAGGCCAAACACAAACAACACGCTGGAGAATGGATGGAAGGGATAGGGATAAAAAAAAAAAAATGAAAAATGAAGAAAATAGCTAATTACCGGATTAAACTGGAGGTCTTTTCTGCAACAGGCGGAATGTTTCCAAAGGAGAAGCAATCAGATACCAAGCTATGCACTGATTTGACAACAGTCGCAGGAAGAGAAACTGCGAGCTCTGCCAACGAGAAGGCAGCCCGCGCAAACCAATTCTCTGCGACGACGCGACTGTGGGCTGCCGCTGATGTCAGTGAATCAGTCCGGCCCGGGTTGATCCGTGCGATCCCAGAGGCGAGAGCAAATGACACCAACGGATTAATTGAGCTTCGACGGAGTGGAGCGATGCAAAGAAAGGAAACAAACGATGAAGAGTAGATGCCACAGGTCTCAAAGTAATGTGATTTGTGGAGAAGACTTGGGGAGACAGGAACAACTAGTTGGTCGTGACTGAGCGAAGTTTGGAAGCCAACAAGAACGTGGGCAGTGGTTGGAGAACAGCAAACCAAAAGGGGAAGCGCAAGTGATGTGATTGGGAAGAAAGATCGGGATTGGGTACGGACAGAATACAATTACTCAAATCATAAAACAGAGATAAAAATACAAAATGAGCAAGGGGGTAGGAGGGACAGAATCCACGTACCTAAGGCGAAGATGATTCGACCACAGCCGTGGAAATTTTCCCAAGGAGATGACGGGAGTGATCAATCACGAGGGAACTGATGGGGGGGTGGACAAGGACAACAACGATTGGGTTGGACAAAAGGGTCAGTGATCTGATTGATGCCAACCTTCGGTGGAATGTGAAAATAAAATAAAAAAATAAAAAAAAAGAGGAAAAAGCAAATCGAGGTAACTGGGGGATAGCCAATGGGTTCTGTGCAGCCAGGTGAGTCCGACGTCGTTGACTGGAGGGCACGCAAGGACTGGAGAGGCTGGGTGACCAACGAGAGGGAGCAGAGAGAAGAAGCCGCAGCGAAGAGAAGGGCGGGCGATGGGGCATTTGTACCGGACGCGCTCAGAGGGGAGCTGACTGGCCCGGCCGCTCGCCTAGCTATCGAGGCGGCGAGGAAATCAGACCAACCGACGCTGGCACCGTACGCTTCCGTATTGTCCCCAGAGTTTGCCCCACTTGGTGGGAGGCTGGCGCTGGAAGATATGCGGTAGGTTCCAGTATCTAACTACACCGGCGTACCTTATATGTACTCCGTACTGGTAGATACCGGTACTGTATCCCAGGTAATTAATTGTTCTTTGGCTTTCAGTCTCAGAGCCGAGAAGTGCAAGTACCTACCATTGAGGGAACCTTGTATTAGAAAGGCAAGCAGAGATGGAAGGTGACTCCTGCCTAAATAGGGCATGATAGGTAGATGTCTATACAGTAGTGACCGGATGTAAAAGAGGAACTTGGGTATGAAATGGAATAATGATAGTCTTGAATATACTCCGTACATGTACGGAGCAGGCTACGGAGTACATAATAATAAAACAGAAATAATTATTAAGTGTACTATGATATTAGGCTTGAGACAGATGATTTGTTCTCTCCAGAATTTTCTTTTTTTATTTTTCTCTGTCCTCGTCTTCTTTATCACCTTTTATGCAGTGTAATCCCAGCCATCCCGAATTTGCGACGCCTGTCATGTGCTACACAACCTGGCGATAAGTTGTTCTCCGGGCCCAGGATGAGTAAAATTGGCATCGGCATCCACCAGCCACCTTGTTAGTTTCCACGTGTGCAGAATCTGCTTTTACATTTTACTTTGTATCAAAGCTACACTTTTAACATGTAGTAAAGAGAAGAAAGAAAATAAAGGAGAAAGAAAAACACGTATAATTGCATTAATCATCGTGTATTATATCTCAGTTATGAAAAATTACATTTATAATATAACAGTCAAAGAGCAGCTGGATCTTCAAGAGGAACCGTGGCCTGGTCTCGGTTAAATATCTTAGTTAGGCAAGACTTCATCGGGCACCAAACGATACACGTATCACTCAGCAATCATGTATTTATTATTCATCACAGGCCAAGCGTTTACTATGTACAGAGTATACTTTTAGAGTTGTAGGAACCAGATAGTCGCCGTGGGATTATGGCCACAATCTGGTAACGTCACAATGAATTCGGACAGGAACTCAAAACTCAGCTCATATTTATCCTTCAGCTCCTCTTATTCTCAACAAATTCCAATCATCCTTCAGTGGTCTTACCGCGTATAAGGTATACTTTGAGGGGTCCGTATGGAATAATCCAGTCTGTATTCTGTGTCAAGTATAGAATACCTACAGGAGCCCATCTACAAGAAAACGTGGGAGCATAGGCTAGGAATAGTAACAATCACGATGCTCAATCGAAGTTAAAAGTGCCCATTTAAAATATGTCAATACCCGCACATGTGCTTCGTAGTGATAACAGTAGATACAGGTAGGTACTCTGTAATTACTATTAACTGCTACATGAGCCAGCATGATGGCAGAGAAGATCGGATTGCCGATCTGTCCCACACCACGTGTAGAAGCTTGACCTCTTGGGCATGGCATTGATTCGATGTCATTCAAGTATGTGGCATAGAGGCTAAATACCGACTTGACTTGGGCGCTACGGAAGCAGTCCAATTTTGCTTTAGCTTGTCTCATCATATTTTTCGTCCTATTGATGCAACTATATCCCGGGTTAATTTTAATATCCTCTTCTTCAGTATACTTACGTACACTTTCCAAAGGAGCCTACCCTAGTAGGTATTACCCAAGGTATCCATAACCCATGTCATTACAGTACCAAACAAACGTATATGATACCCGGTTGGTGGTATGAGACTCGAAAAGCTTTGACCGCCTGACGTCAAGGTGCGCTAATGCCCCGCTCACACCGCTGTTCACTCCGTATTCAAGTCGTTTTTCTTTGATTGGGGGCAATTTCTCATTTTCTTTTTCTTTTTCTTTTCTTTTTTCCATTTCCCTTTTTTTTTTTTTACCCCCCGGGTTCTCGGCAATAAAAATAATTTAAAATGTATACGGAGGACACCGCACGTGCCAAATGACTAATTTTTACTGCTGTACTCCCTATATGCACAGTTATATATCGCTGGCTTCAGCCTGCGGGTTACTAGATGCTTGTAAGCTACTCTCATTTTTCTTTCTGCTATCTCTCCCTCTTGTTTAAAAGAAGGAGAAAAAATATAGATGTAGTACTCTGACGTCGTTTATTGATAACAAGCCATATTTGAAAACACATAATTATACTATACAGAATTTATTCATAGCATTTGTGCAACCAATAGAATTGCTGTCCAATATACTATCAAAGGATAATCAAAAAGTACTGAAAAACGAATGTGAACGCAGCTGGAAGAGAGGAATATATTCTTTGCCTTCTCTCATCTACGTGTTGAAGTCTACATAACTATATACGCCGATCAGTCACACTTTACGGAGGATCTTGGAGATTAGGCCTCTATTGTTCTTAATCCTGACGCCGAATACTTCCCTGAGACTTCATTTAGGTTGTCTAGTAGAGACATAGCATTGGATATATAGATAAAAACACTTCTCAATTTCTAATAGAGAAGGTTTCACAGCATTTTTTTTATTTTTACCATCCTAGTTTTCGGATTTTAGTTTATTCTTGTATATATATGCTCTTTGCCTCCTACATTTACTCTCCATGGGAAACCTCACTGCCTCCCTCCTTATATTATTACCTATTTTATACATAGTACATATAGTGTGCTTTCTCTTCCTATCTAAAACACACAGTGAACAGGAGACCGGATGTCTGTGTGAATCATCTTAGTTTTAGTAAATTAAAGACGTCCTCTATACAATGGACCGATATGAATGGCTCCCAAGACTCAGGGAATTTTGGTATGCACTAGATTAAGCGCCGCTCCGAGAGTATGATGTCTTGTCTCCAGAAGATGGGGTGGCTGTACGTAATAGTTGCATATTTTATCTGACTACTAGTTACAGGATTATATTTGTTTTTTATAGCTTGTGTCTTTATATGAATATGCATTATGAATTACCTGTACTTTAACCTGCACTTAGTAGATCGCCGAGAACTTAAATTGACATTACTGCGAAATAGCCTGGAGACTACTTGTAATTAAGTTCTTCTAGGATTCCTGCAGCTTCTCTTATAACAAGGGTGTGCATTAAGGCTTTTTCTTTAGCTTTTAAGTATACTACCTAGCCATGTCTAAGGTAGCAAGAACTGACTCGAGAACAAATACTGGAAGCTCAAGAAGAGTAAATTCTTAAGGGTGACTGCCGAGGATTGGTAATTAGACAGAGAAATCTCTATGAGCCAAGGGATCGTAGCAGCAATGTACATACATACTATGTACCTGCATATCACAAGTCATAATAACTAGTAGTAGATGAACTACTGTGTACTTCGCCTTGAACGAATAGTCGATTGGAAGTGGACTGCTGCGGGTGCTTACCTAATCATCATCAATCCCGTTCGGTCGGTCTCATGTGGCTCTTCCCCGTGCCTGAGGGTCGGCTGCACCTCGAGTCGATTGATGATTGCAATAATACTCGGTCTCACTTTTGTCTTTCCTTTAAACCCCCGCATTGAGAAGCCTGATAACTAATCGAACGGTGCGTCTGATTTAGTGGTACCTTGCAAGGCCCGATTCCTACCCCAGCTTAGCCCCTGAAACGCGCCCGATCTCTCATAAACACGGAGCGTATACATGACGTCTTTGTTGACTCTCAACACCGGTTTTCAGTACCCACAAGATTCCACTGAAAAGAGCAGATATAGAACCTTCAACCTGCTTTAATAGCGCCGGAATAATAAATTTGCGCCAACTATAGGGCGACGCTCTTTGAAGCGTTCGCAACTCAGGTTCTCGACCGCCTCGCTTGCGCTGTTTCTTCCGTGAACTCAATTTCCAGCCGGAGGAGGCGGGTGACGGTAATTGAGTGTATGGGTTATAGATCATAATGGCTCCTGGAGGTGGAGGAAATATAAAGGTGGTGGTGCGAGTACGGCCTTTCAACGGCAGAGGTGAGGTTATGCTTCCCCCTTTTTCGGAATTGGACTTACCATGACAATTTGACGTCCATAGAAATCGACCGAGGCGCAAAATGTATTGTGCAAATGAAAGCAAGCCAAACCGTCCTTACCCCGCCACCTGGTGCTATCGATAAATCACGAAAAGCTGCTGGCGGAAAGGGTGCGGTGGAAGAACCAAAAACCTTCGCGTTCGACAGATCTTACTGGTCCTTTGATAAAAACGCCCCGAATTTCGCGACTCAAGATAATCTATTTGAAGACTTGGGTGTGCCGCTTTTGGACAATGCTTTCCAGGGTTACAATAATTGTATCTTTGCTTATGGCCAGACTGGTTCTGGAAAGTCCTATTCCATGATGGGATATGGCAAAGAATACGGTGTTATCCCGAGGATCTGCCAATCAATGTTCGAGCGCATAACTGCCATCCAACGAGATAAGAGCCTAAGCTGTACAGTTGAAGTGTCTTATCTCGAGATTTACAACGAAAGAGTCCGTGATCTGCTCAACCCCTCGAATAAAGGAAATTTGAAAGTTCGTGAGCATCCATCGACCGGGCCTTATGTTGAGGACCTAGCCAAGCTTGTTGTCCGTTCTTTCGAGGAGATTGAGAACTTGATGGATGAAGGTAACAAGGCCAGAACTGTCGCGGCCACTAATATGAACGAGACATCCAGTCGATCCCATGCTGTCTTTACCCTGACTCTTTCTCAAAAGCGCCATGATGCGGAGACGTCGATGGACACGGAGAAGGTATCGAGAATTAGTCTGGTTGATCTCGCGGGATCAGAAAGAGCAAACTCTACCGGAGCGACGGGCGCTCGGTTGAAGGAAGGAGCGGAGATTAACCGTTCACTCTCAACCCTTGGACGAGTCATCGCTGCTCTGGCAGATGTGGCCTCTGGAAAGAAGAAAAACGCGTCCATGGTACCGTATCGTGATTCTATTCTAACATGGCTGCTCAAGGACTCCCTCGGAGGAAATTCCATGACGGCGATGATTGCTGCAATTTCCCCCGCAGATATCAACTTTGATGAAACTCTCAGTACACTACGGTATGCTGACTCGGCGAAGCGTATCAAGAACCACGCAGTCGTGAACGAAGATCCAAATGCTCGTATGATCAGGGAACTTAAAGAAGAGCTAGCACAGCTCAGATCCAAGCTTGGAGGTGGTACGGTAGCTGGAGCAGCAGGTGGTGCCGTGACGGGAGCAGCTGGTGGGGTACCCACTGCGGAATATTACCCCCCAGATACTCCTCTGGAGAAGCAGATGGTTTCTATCCAACAACCTGATGGTACCGTTACTAAGGTCAGTAAGGCAGAGATCATGGAGCAACTCAGTCAAAGTGAGAAGCTCTACAAGGATTTGAACCAGACTTGGGAGGAGAAACTGGTGAAAACAGAACAGATTCACAAAGAGCGGGAGGCCGCATTGGAAGAACTGGGAATTAGTATTGAAAAGGGCTTTATTGGCCTCAGTACGCCAAAGAAGATGCCACACTTGGTTAACCTCAGCGACGATCCACTGCTTGCCGAGTGCCTCGTTTACAACATCAAGCCTGGAACCACTATGGTTGGGAACATGGACCAGGGAAACCATGTGGAGATCCGTTTGAACGGCTCTAAGATCCTAGCCAACCATTGTACATTTGAGAATGTCGATAATGTCGTTACTGTTGTGCCAAGCGAAGGCGCGGCTGTCATGGTGAATGGGTTACGTATAGATAAGCCAAAGCGCCTCAAAAGCGGATTCCGAATAATTTTGGGCGATTTCCATATATTTCGCTTCAATCACCCTCAGGAAGCTCGTGCAGAGCGAGTAGAGCAGAGTTTACTGCGTCATTCCGTTACGACGAGTCAGCTTGGTTCACCGGCACCAAACAAAGCGCATGACCGCAATTTGAGCAAGACTGGCTCAGAAATAGATGGGGATTCGAGTAGGGCTGATTCGCCTCTGCCTTCGCAACCCGGCCGGGAGTCTGATTGGTTGAATGCTCGCCGAGAAGCCGTCAGTGCTGTGCTGGGCCCTGATCATATCTCTCACATGCCCGATGATGAGTTGGATGCTCTCTTCGAAGATGTGCAAAAAGTAAGGGCGACTCGCCGTGGGCTAATGGAGAATGAAGAGGACTCAGATTCTCTTAGTTCATTTCCCGTTAGGGACAAATATATGTCCAACGGCACTATTGATAACTATTCACTTGATACTGCTATAACAATGCCGGGAACCCCTCGCCAACATGATGAAGACGAGGGTCAAACTGGCGATACAACACTGCAGTCAGTACGCCAAGATATGCAACGCCAGTTAGATCGGCAGAAAGAGGAGTACCAGGATAAATTAAGAAACGCAGAGCCTTCTAGCCAAGGTGCTGAAGATTTACGCTCTGAAAAGGCTCGAATGGAAGCAGCTCTTCGGAAAGCGAAGGAGGAGTTTGAAGAACAGTTGAGGAAGCAGAAGGAAGAATTCGAATCTCATATGAAAGACTTGAGGCAACCGGCCCCAAAGATATACGAGAATGGCTTTCCTAAATTGGAGCCAAGGGAGATAGAGATTGCCAATCTTGTCTTCCGCCATTGGACGCAGCAAAATTATGTCCGTATGGCGGAAAATGTGCTCCAACACGCATCGTTGTTGAAGGAGGCCCAGGTGATGAGCCAAATAATGGACAAGAATGTCGTTTTCCAGTTTGCGGTCATTGACCACGGGCACAATATGGCTTCATCGTATGATCTTGTCCTGAACGGTATATCTGGCGATGAAGATGTTGTGTTGGAGGAGACCAAGAAACCGTGCATTGCAGTCCGTGTGATTGATTTTAAACAGGGCGTCATCCATCTTTGGTCCATCGAGAAGCTTCAACGCCGCCTTCAATCTATGCGCCAAATGCACCAGTACATTGACAGACCAGACTATATCCAACATTTCAAGCTTGAGAACCCTTTCTCTGAACCCTGTTCACCACAGTACTCTCTTGTGGGAGATGCTGATATTCCCCTCACCGCGGTCTTTGAGACCCGAGTTCAGGATTTCTCTGTTGAAATTACTTCTCCATACACACAGAACGCCATTGGTATAATTAGATTGTCTTTGGAGCCATCATCAGCCCAGGCTCCGTCATCGACCCTCAAGTTCAATGTCGTAATGCGTGATATGGTTGGTTTCGCCGAATGGGAGGGAACGGATGTCCATGCGCAGCTTTTCGTGCCTGGGATTTCTGAGGAGGGTGGTGCTACTACCACCCAGATGATCAGCGGTTTTGACGAATCCGCTGTTCGGTTTGAAAGTGTTCATAGTATGAGCCTACCGCTATCTAGCTCACGAACTGCAGCTTTGAAGATATGTGTTTATGCACGAGTGACTCATATGCATATGGATAAACTTCTTAGCTGGGATGACATGCGCGACTCGGTAGAGCTGGCCCCACAGAAACGTAAGACACCACGCATTGCAGAGTCCGAGTTTTACTCGGATGAGAGACATGACGTCTTTGCTAGCATGCAGATACTTGAGTTGGCCGAAACAGGGGAGTATCTTCCTGTCGAGGTGGTACAGAACAGCAGCCTTGATGCAGGCACATATCAACTTCATCAAGGGCTCCAACGACGAGTTCTGGTGAACCTTACCTATAGCTCAACTGAGACTCTTCCCTGGGATAACCTTAACAACATGCGAGCGGGCTCTGTGCGGCTGCTGGATCCATGGGGCAAAATTCCCGACCAAGATCTTCAGACCCCTGACGTCCCGCTGAAGTTTGTTCAGGAACCAATGGTGAAGGACAATGCAGATGGAACGACCAATGTCACTTTACTAGCCCAGTGGGACTCAAGCTTACATGGCTCTCTCCTTCTTGACCGGGTCACTGCTGAGAAGTATCGGGTTCAGGTAACGGTGCGGTGGGATCTCCTGTCATCTCGCCTGCAGGATCCTGTTACGTTTGATGTAGACATGACGCTTCAGATCCAAAGCCGAACTTACGTACGCCCGCAGTCAATGTTCAAACAGTTCTTTAACGCGACTCGGATAGTACATTCCACAGTTCGCATGTTTTCATTGGCTGTTCGACCGGTGTCTGCCAAACGCGCGGCCGATCTCTGGCGGATGAACACTCAAAATGATTATGTGAAGGGTGAAGAGCTGCTGACCACCTGGTCCCCGCGAAAAGTTTCACTCGTGCGGGACTATATAGCAGCTCGCAAACGACGTCGACGTGTTGCCGAATTAAACGCTGCCAAGGGAGCCCTCAGCGCCAGCAGCTTGGTGGCATCCCCTCCACGGAGCGGGCGATCAACTCCCCTACGCAGCCAGGAGCTTGCAGAGCGCAGAGTTAACCTTCTCAGGAAGTATGTTGACCTTTGGACCGCACAGACCGATCCTATCGAAGCTATCCTTGTCCGAAGCAATACAGAACCTCCCTCTGGGGGTGCAGCTTTTGCCTCGCAAGCACAGGCATCGTCCGCCGATGACTCCAGCTCTATGTCTGACGAGGCAACGTTGAAGCCGCGGTTCGTTGCGACCATTCAAGCTTTGCCTAAAAATCCATCTTCCATGAAAAACGGATACCTTTTAACACCTGACGATACCAACAGTCACTGGGTGCGACGCTTTGTGGAACTTCGCCGGCCGTACCTTCACATACACTCTGTCCCGGGTGGTGATGAAATCAATGCCATCAATCTGCGCCATTCGCGTGTGGACCATGACCCTGACTTCGCACGGCTGCTTGATGGACCGGGAGCGCGGGCTGATCACGGAGCGTCGTCCAAGGGGCGTCCGAATGTATTTGCGGTGTATGGCGCCCAGAACACCTTCCTATTTGCCGCCCGCACCGAAGCTCAAAAAGTTGAATGGATCCTGAAGATCGATGAAAGCTACTTCAGTAGTAAGGGAGCAAGGCAACCGTGAACGGGGCTGGGTGATGCGCGTCGCGACTTTTGTCGATGTTGCGCTAGTGATGCCTTGACACACGGGCTGCTTTTGCTCTATCGGCTGCATTAGGACACCTGGCATTCTTTCAACGTCATCATAGGCAGAAGAGTCCCGCCTTGTTCTCTCTTTGATATGTTACCTTTATCTTCGCTTCCCAGGCCTGGAGTCTGTGTCTTTTGCTGACTATAAATTTCCTTCTTTGATATACCTTCTGTGATTGATTGATTTAGAGATACCCCTGAAGATATCTGCCCCTTATGACACATGCAACCTCCCTGTACATATTTAGAGTTTTTTCAAGACATAGACGCGTCGGCAAGTGATGATATATACATGGGCCTCTGTGTCCGCAGGCAGCGGTGGCCATTGTTCGTTGACTTCTTCTGAGACAAAAGCTAAATTAATTCAAGTGTTCTATCCACCACGTATACGGTGTCCTGGGACTTCTGGCATTGTCCTAGGCAGATATTTTAGTCGCTTGCTTCGGGAGGATCTTCAGAAAAAAAGGCGCCCGTTGCCATGGGAACGGGCGACATCATCAAGCGCCATGATAGCTGCAAGTCCGACCATGACTATGATACCTTCCACTATTGTCATCTCCTTGGACATTCTTACCCCTCCGCCGAGGATTGCTGAACTGTGGATCGACATGATATCCGGGTAGCCACGAAGTATAGAGCAGCTTGAATATATATGTCCAATATATACCTGCAATAAGAGCTATTGCGGATTCTAATCGATAATAACAGCCTCCACTGTCTTCTAGGGGCCCCTAAACATCTATATATACATATACCGGCATATTACCAATGCGCTGGGCGCAAGGACAAACGCCATGGTTCCGCTTCTTGGCTACAGGTGCGGTGCTATCGCTGGCTCTCATAGCATTCCTCAGTTTAAACGGCCACTACTCAACCAATGCTGCTAAGTATGTTCTAAAATCCTCGGATAAGCAAGCCTCTCTGGATCCCTGGCCCTCTTGTTCAAATAACACCAACTGGGAGTTCGACGTTCAGAGGGATGGAAACGACCATGGGCTGTCGGAGGGGCAGTGTCGGTCTGCCTTTCCCAAGCTATTTGTAGAGTTGGACAAACCTGCCGAATTCAGGAAAAAGAATCCTATCACGTTGAAGGATTTGAATGATATGACGGTGGATGATGGGATGGTTCGAGGAATGATTGTACGCGGCGAGGTAAGTTGTTTCCGCCGTCTTCACTCATCATTCTGTCCTCTTCCCGCCTTGAGTGAATCCGCACAAAGGATGATGTAGCTAATACATGTACCCCATTAGTTGTACATCGTTGATTTCGGTGCAATGCCTGCTACATTTACCCGGGGAAAGGCGACTTTGAACTCTTTACACCGAGCGTTGGCCTCGTTTCCTGGGCGACGGCACCTTCCCAACATCGAGTTCGTGTTGACCACTGAGGATTACAGCACTGGGGAGGGTCCAATGTGGTCCTACTCCAAGCGGGACGAAGATCAACATGTTTGGTTGATGCCGGACTTTGGGTACTGGTCCTGGCCTGAGGTCAGGATAGGCTCGTACAGGGATATCAGACAACGCATCGCTGCCGTGGACGACGGGGAGCAAACACAAGACGGCCACAACGTCGCGGGCCTTCGATTCCAAGATAAAAAGAAACAGCTGGTCTGGCGAGGCAGCGTGGCTACGAATCCCAAGCTACGTGGTAGATTGCTAAAGGCAGCTCAGGGTAAGAGTTGGGCGAGCATACGGGTAATCGACTGGGACAATGAGAATGACATCCGGTACAACCTTTTGCCCATGGAGGAGCACTGTCGATATATGTTCCTGGCCCATGTCGAAGGACGTAGCTTCTCAGGACGTGGCAAGTATCTCCTCAACTGTCGGTCGGTGGTGGTCTCACACAAGCTGGAATGGCGAGAGGCTCACCACGCGGCCCTGATTGCTTCAGGTCCCGAGGCAAATTACGTCGAGGTCGAGCGTGACTTCTCCGACCTCGAGCGCAAAATGGAATTCTTTATCGATAACCCGGAGGCAGCGGAGCGCATTGCAAATAACGCAGTGCGGACATTCCGTGATCGATACCTTACTCCAGCTGCAGAATCTTGCTACTGGAGACATTTGATACGACAGTATGCTTCATCCTGTGACTTTGAGCCGATTCTGTATAGCTCCCAAAAAGACGGGAAAAAGCGACCCCGTGGAACTCCGTTCGAGACGTGGATTCTTACAGGATCTTAGGGGTATTCTGGTGATGGTTTATGACCATATTTCACTGAGCTATATATGAGGAGTTTTGGGAACTAGCATGTACCGGTCATATTGATTTGAGACGATGTTCATGATTTTTGAATGTATATACGATGGCTTTCTATTGTTGGAAATATGATACTATCTCTCCCTCTCTTTTACTGTTGACTTGCACGTCAGCAAAAGTGGTGTTTCCTAAACGGGGCCCAAATCGCACCCTTCTCTCCCAACTCTTCCTGTCTTCCTGCATCCTCGTGCATAATCCTCCGCCTTGACATCATCGTACATGTACATACATCGTCAAAGCTCTAATTTTCTCACATGATGTGTAACAATGGCCCCTTGCTTGAAGTGGTAATCGCTCGGAAGCTATTGCTCTCCTCGCAGCCAGTTGTGTCCGGGTTTGTCCATTCTAACCAAACACGGCACTCTAATATTCTTGATGATTGATGTCGATCAATAGGTGGCTCAAATATGCGTTTCCCTCCTACAGATCCAATGACGATGGAATTAAAGTGTGCACGAGATGGACCGGCTCTGCATCGTGATGCAATGCCGGGAGTTTCTGCCTGGGATGAGATTTTAGCATGCCGTGCATGCCATAGCGCTACTCAATATGCGGGGTAAAACCATATGGAGGACGACCGAGGGAAATCGAGCGCTCACAAGACCCCTCGATTGACCGCTCACCTGATGGAGGTGCGACAAGAGCCTCGAGCCTCGCCGCTGCCCAAGGCTGGATCTAGTCTGCGACGTTTGATCCTGAATCATCATGCCTCAGCTTGGCGTTTGGCTTTATGGTTGAAGTCAGGGATAGAGCACTGCATACAGCCCGCGGAAAGTCCGATCACTTCCGTCTCAGGGAAAGAACAGAATCCGCCGGGAAAATTACAGGGCTGGATGACTACACGAATAGAGGTTGATTGCTCCATTGGCTTCATTCCACTGCAGGCAAGGGATGCAGCCGTGGAAAGATTATCTGCCGAGATCTGCACCTCGGGAGTGATAGGATTCAACTTGACTCCGCCGATAGTCTTCTGGAATATAGGATCTTTCTGCATATCGAAAATTGTCGAGTTATTCGAGTCAACGCTGCAGGGTCTAATGGGGAAGGCTATAGTCGGCCTCTCAATGACGATCGGGCTAGAGCGACCATTTGGGTGCACAATGTGACACCAACAAGTGACCCAAATTCAACTAGAAAACCCGAGCCAAGGAAACATCGCATTTTAGAGTGAACCCTTTCTGCCATGTGTCTTGTGCCTTATGGATGGTACCGTTCCTTGATCCGAGCACTAGGAATAAAGAACTGGTCCACATCGGCCTATTCGCCACCCATTCACGTCTTTCTACATACGGCCTAAGTAGGTAAGGGGGGTATAGGACAAGCGTTAAAGGAAAAGAAGGGGACCAAAAAAAAGGAAAAAATGAGGGGGTCATTGTGACAATCGAGAATCGTGAGTGGTGCATGCATCCCATACCAAGAACAGGAACTCTCTTCCTGCGACCACACGGTTTCCGAAGGCGTCGGACAAGACTATTGGCGTTCAGTCAGATGCCTTGGGTATTTGAAATTCGATTTGTATGTCTGACTTGACTTCGGCTGTGGCTCTAGTCAGCTAGGGGCAAGTTTTTGATCCTATCACTAGGCGGGAAGATTTTTTTTTTTTTTTTTGTTTTTTGTTTTTTGTTTTTTGTGAAAAGCAAAGAGGAAGAACAAAGAAAAAAAAAAGACTCATCGACTCACAACATATACAGTGAGAGAGATGGAGAACGCTCAAGAGGACTAGCTGAGCGGTCTACTCTGCAGTGCCCTTGCGTCGCGGAAGGCTCATTACCCTCAAGGCAAGATGGAGGACGACGGATTCGTTACAGCTCGGCAATATGGCCGTTGGACTTTAATGATATTTTTTGATTTCTTGATCTACTGGAGAAAAGCCGACCAATGATGGACACCCAACGGATCATTAGGCAGCCGACAAATGAATGCCATTCCGCTTTCGGAGATATTCAAACAACTGCAGTCTTTCGCTTTCGCTCCGCCGCCGCTACCGCTACCATTTTGAGGACTACTGGTCACATTGAGTCATTACTCACAGTTAAAATTTTTCCCGTAGCCATGGCCCAGTGACCGAGGGCAGCACGAAGCGGCACCTGCTACTGGGTATAGTGGACGGCCTTACGGGATTGGCATGTACGAGAGTGGCTCAAAGCGTCCAGAGTCTGCCACTCTAGACAAGATATGCCCCAGTATCTTGGACTAGTGTCCCATCCACCATCGATCTGGTCCACTAAGCTCCGAACTATGTCGAATGGCGTTCTGCAAGTGATCATCCACTGTGGCTCATGGCCCAAGGGCTTGGCGATGCGTCCATTTACTTGGTCCAGCAGACCCAGTCGAGGTTTGGATGCCTGGCATCAAATGACTGATGATTTCGTCCAGCAAGAGCAATTGCCCAAGCCAACATCCGTAATGGGACCAAATGCGGTCAATTGGTGTTGCTCGGGGCCGCTTACCGTAAAATCCCTGAGAGTCAGGTATTAAAGGGCGTGGCGTTTCCCTGAGAGTTGCATACCTCTGTAGAATTCCTTTACCGTTCACGGCTATCACACGCGTGCCTCCCAGCCTCCTCTAGTTTTCTGACATTCTCTCCTTTCGGCGATCTTTGTCTGTCTGTGAGAAGGTCTGGCCCGGCACCATGTGGTGGTATTCCCGATTACCCTCTTGGGTGCTTGGCCTCACCCTGATAACTGGAGTCTTAGCCTTCCCCCTACAGAACCAAGCCGCAGGGGTCCGGATGGCCATCGATTCTAATTTCCCGGACCCTGGCTTTGTTCAGGCAGGTGATGGGACTTGGTATGCATTTGGCACCAACGGAAATGGGAAACGTGTCCAGGTTGCTACTTCTCCGGACTTCAGATCGTGGACTCTCACGGATAGGGAAGCCCTGCCCACTCTTGCAGGATGGGAGACGGAAATAGACCATTGGGCTCCTGATGTAGTTCGTCGGGTAAGTTTTCTCAATGTCTATAGCGACCCATAAACTGGGTATCCACTTTCTCTGAACTGACGGTCTCACCAGAACGATGGCAAATATGTCTTGTATTACTCGGGAGAGGCTAAACAGATGCTTAGACACCACTGTGTTGGGGTTGCCGTCTCGGAGGGCACGGATCCTGCCGGACCATATGTGCCTAACGAGGAGCCGCTTTCGTGTCGTTTGGACCTGGGCGGATCGATTGATCCCTCAGGGTTCCTTGACAAGGACGGCAGCCGCTACGTGGTGTTCAAAGTCGACGGCAACAGCGTTGGAAATGGGGGTGACTGCAACAATGGCATTCCTCCGCTTAAACCGACCCCGATTCTTCTGCAGAAAGTGAAGGCGGATGGGTTCACGCCCGACGGTGACGCCGTCCAAATCCTGGACCGGGATGACAGCGACGGACCGCTCGTTGAGGCGCCCAACCTGATCTTGCACGGTGACACATACTTCCTGTTTTACTCCACCCACTGTTTCACCGACCCTAAGTATGATGTGCGATACGCGACCTCGAAGTCCATCACTGGACCCTACGTGAAGACGGGCCAGAAGCTGCTTAAAACAGGAGACTATGGCTTAACATCGCCTGGGGGAGGTACAGTATGCGGCTGCGGTGATAAGATGCTTGTCCACGGGTTCTGTGGAACCGACAAACGGTGTACATATGCTGCAGACCTCTTGATCCAGGGGGAGCAGGTTACGATTCTATGAGTTGGACAGGAGTTCTTGTGGGTTTTGAATTTTTGGCATATTAAGCTTCTATGATATTTTGGCGGATCATTGCTTTGATATTGCGACTACGACTACTATTTCTTCTGTCTCCCATTTCTATCATTTTCTTTATATATACAAGGCTCCTTTTTGTCAATATCCAGCTTCTCGAGCAAAAAAGGTTCATGAGAATTATCTTATGCTACACAAGCCCTGGCACTAGGGCTAAGAAATGATTCCTATCAACTATCGATACAAGGCTACCATGAGAACATATTACGGGTTGAGAAATTATTGAACAAAATAAGATCTTCCTTTGTACGTGGAGTAGAGACGGGTATCTGATTACTTTAAGTTTTGTCTCCCTGCCTTTTCCTTTTATTATCAAACTACACACTCGACGCTGCCAATGGATTCTCCTTCTCCTGGCGCTTGGATCGAGTATTCTGCACCCACTCGTCCGCTCCTCTGATAGCAGCTTCAGGGTCAGCCTTGTGGTTCAAAAGAAAGCCCTGAATTTCAGCCGCCGTGAATTCCCCCGCCGGTACGCACGATGCAAACTCCGAAGCTAGCTCCTGAACTCGCTCGCGTGAGAACTGATTCCATGGCATCCGGCTAGACTCTAGCCCTTTCTGCTTCTTCTCATTCGCCTCTCCCTTCGGCAACCGCACTTCTCCCTCAAGTGAGGAATAGATGGCCGAAAAGAGATCTTGGATGTCGTTCGGCTCAGCGTACCTGAATTCAACGGACATATCCACGCGTCCGGGGCGAAGCAGTGCCGAATCCAGCTTCTCCGGGTGGTTCGTAGTCATCACTAGGATACGACCCTCACTGGCTGCCACACCATCAATAACATTCAGCAGCCCCGACAGAGACACACCGTGCTTGTTGGAAGTTCCCGTCTCGGACGCAGAATTCGGGTCTGCAGCGTGCTTCGTTTTGTCGGGTTCACTGCTGTCCTTGGAGTCTCGGTTCTGCGTGATTCCCGCACAATCCACATCTTCCAAGAGCACAATGCACCGCCGTGGGAGATCATGGAATAAAGACATCAAGTCATCCTCGTCGAAGCTCTTCGAGCTCAAGTTCAGTAGATACAGCCCCAACCCCAGCACGCCAGACGCCGCAAAACACAAACTCGTCTTGCCTGTCCCGGGGGGTCCATGGAAGAGATATCCCCGCCGGTACGGGATCCCTCGATTCGAATACCATCGTCGCGTGCGCGGATGCAAATACTCCTTGATATCGTCGATAAACTCCTGCTTGCGCTCCTCCGCCAGAACCACCGTCGACAGCGGCCGTGGCGCCTTCGCCATACACCGTTCCCATTCCACATACTCGCCAGGGGACTTTTGACCACGGTAGATCAATGTGCTATTCAAGTTCTTAGCCACGTAGGCTCGCTGCGCCTCGCACAACAACTCCTTTAGGATGGTGGGATCCCGTCCCAAACACTTCAAGTACAGCCGTTCGGCCACCAGTCGCGAATACCAACTCGAATTATTATTATTATTGTCGTCACGCACGCGCATAAACGCCAGCAGTCGTCCACGGAACCAGAAATAATGCGTGCCTTCGGCGGGAGTCCAGAGCAATCGCTTATACTTATCGCGGTTCTTGGCTTTCGCCCAGTACTCGTCGAACGAGACTACGACATTACCATCGGAGTCATATTCATCGTCGTCAGATTCATCCTCCTCGTCCGATGAGTCGTAGTACCGACCGCTGCGGGAGGTCTTGGTCCCGGCAACGAAGTGGTTCGTACGTTTCGTGAATGGTTGCTGCGCCAGCCAGAACATCACGTAATTGTAGATTTCGTCGTCGAGACGGATCTCCGCCTTAGAGAGACAGTATTCCTCGATGAAGTAGCGCAGTCGACCAAAGCTGTATTTGAATGCGGCGATGAGGATGACGCCCGTGAGCAAGTACGGCACGTATTGTGCTGGGTCGATGTGGAGGTAAGAGACGAGGAAACGCGAAATGAATGGATAGCCGGGGATGAAGGCTTCCAGCATCGCCGTATCAGAGGGAGAGAGTACGGCGGACGCCACGGTTGAATTTGTGGCATTCGCCATGGCTGTGGTAGATGGATGTCTTGGACATATATCTACAGCACAGAAATAAAATAAAAAGAAAGAAAAGAAAGAAAAAGTAACAAATAAGTAGAAACAAACAAAAAAAGCCCCTCTGCCAGCCCTAAGCAACAAATGATTGACACAGAGAGAGACCGAGGAGGGAGAGAGAAAGCACTCTACAATCCTGCCTGACTATCTAAATCCAAGTAGCAAACTTCACCCTTTTTTATATATTTCCATCGCCCATCCCCAAGGAAGGCTGAAGCCTCCCAGACAAGGCTGCACTAGGCATGTAGAGTCCATTGGAATGACGATGATTCATGAGCCGCAGTGCGGCTGCATTTTGCCGCCAGGGACTTTTCCACAGGGGCAGTGTTGATTGGGCTCACGGGGACTGTTGACTCACGATGTTTGTGTTCGGACTCCTGTTTGGGAGATGATGACTTTGTATTGGTCATAAAAGGATTTAGATTTAATCCTTCAGAGTTATTTTTTCTTCAGCTACTTACTGTCAGGAGAAATAAAAATTTTTTAAAAAAATAAAAAGAATGATTTTCTTGTTGATTTTTTTTTAAAGTTTTATCCGAACTTAGCTTAGATGTAGAGTAATTGGTGAATGATGATGCATGATGAACCAGGATGTAGTACAGGGTATCTGTCTACTAGGCAGCAATAAACAAACCGTTCCTGTCTGTAAGGATCAACAAGCTTCTCCTATGACATCAACATTAATAACTGCGCCCAATCCTGTGGAGTATACCAGAAATCCTACAGAGAATACCGTACTCTGTACCTACGTAGTTCCCATGACGCAAAACATGACCAGTATAATCAAGACGGTTGCTGATCTCTAAACGCTATCTAGTATGTAATTGCAGAACAGAATGGGTATCTAGCTAATATCCCGTCAGCACATACATTAACATGTATAGGCCGCAGGTCAACAGAAATCGTAGTAAACAAGGTACGCCAATATCTAAATCAATCCGAGGTCACAAAGTTCTCCTTCACCGTCTCAAATGCATCACTCGCCCAGCCCTTCAACTCCTTCAACTTGTTCCAGAGTGTTCCCCACCACGTAAGGCCCCATTTGTCATCGCTTTCGGAGTCGGGTTCAGACTGCCCTGCAGCCTCGTTTGTTGGTGTTGTAGGCTGTTGTTCGGGGGCAACAATGGCGGGGGCGAGAGAGGAAGTTGCGTGGGTGGCAGTAATGCTCACAGGAGGGTCGGAAGGATCATCGAAAGGAGGCGTGTCCTCGTCCGAATGAAAGCCCACCGGCTTGAGTGGCAGGCGCAAGGTTCCGTTGTTGGGGAGCGGCGTGATCCCCAGGCTATCGCAAATGATGTTATAGACATTGACATTTTCTGCACCAGTTAGGCTACTGTTTAATAAAATAACAGGTCAATACTTACGGAAAGGTTTTAGCCGGCTGTTGCCTGCATGGGGAAATGCAGGACCCTTGGCGATAAAAATAGCCCGCATCAGAGGATGCTCATGGTCGTAGCCGTGGATACCTCGAGGATGGTACGTTTTCCCCTTCTCTAACGCATGGCCCGCGTCGAAGTCCGGCCGTTCGACAATCGCCCATCCGGTCTTCGGGATAACCCATAGAGGAGCAATACGATCGTTGTTCTTGAAGTGGTAGCGCTCAGGCATCGTCTCACGCGTATAGATCTCCATCGCATGGGAATAATTCTGGGCGACATTCTCCAGCTGGTCCTGTAAGGTCTTTAGATCCTCGGCTTGTTTAGGCCATATCCCACGCAACGGCCATCCGTCGATGCGGTCGACTAGGTTCATGTCTATCAAGTCATCCAGCTGCACTAGACGCTCTGTGGCGGTCGTAGCCATGCCATGATCGGAGACTATCACAATGTTCACAATGTCCGTGAGATTGCGTTCTTCCAGGCCAGAGAAGAGAGTACCAAACATGCCATCCACCTGCGAAATGGTGTCACGGATCTTCGTGCTATTTGGTCCGTACTTATGCCCATGTGCATCGACGTTGGGTACATAGAAAGCGACAAACTGTGGCCGCTCTGGAGTCGAGGTCCCGTCCTCCAGCCCCGGCATATCGAGATACTGCAGGATGCGGTTGACCTTCCGCGGGAGAGCTTCAGAGCCATTGTACTCATCCAAGATGCTAGGCTCCACGCCCCCAATATGCGCCTCAGACCCGGGCCACATGTGGATGGCAGTCCTCAGTCCTCGGTTCTCAGCGGTCATCCACAGGGGTTCGGCATTCCACCATTTAGGCTGCATGCTGACGGAGGGATGCGTGTAATAGAACTCTTCCTGCAACTTCGGATCCCAAAAAGTGTTTCCCACGATCCCATGACTCTCGGGGTACAGACCCGTTACAAGTGTGAAATGGTTTGGAAAGGTGACACTGGGAAAGCTGGGCAACATGTACTGTGGAGAAACACCGTCGGCAATAAATGAATTGAGAGTGGGGGTTAAACCGCGGCTGAGGAAGTCCGCCCTAAAGCCATCGAGCGAAACCAATATGGTAGTCGGAGCAAACAGCGCGGTGCCGTTGGAAAGAAGGGGAGGAGGCCTGGGGTGAGATGCTCGAAATTTCGTTGACGCTTTGTATGCACCTAACAGACATATGAGGAACAGCACAAATATAGCTGCAAAGATCAACGCAAGCTTTCGCCATGAGAGAGGGGAACTCTACACATAAAGAACAGTCAGCTAAAACACAAACAACACCCAACGATGACTGTACCTCAGCATAAGCATATTTCTCCTTGATTGGTTGGTCTAACTCAGACGATGACGAGCTGAGTAGAGAGCTCTCATCCTCTGGGTGGCCTTCCTCCATCTCAAACACCAATTCGCTCGAACTTGACATCTTCTGGTGCTTCCTGCGTGCTTTTCGAGCCTTCCTCCGCTGCTCTCGGCGCTCACGTTTCCCAATCTTGACATCACCGCTACTGGGGCTGAAGATCCGGCGGATACCATGGGCGGCGCCTCTCCTGGTCAACAATTTCTCGGTCTCCTCCTCTTCATCCAAGACGGTGCGATCGTGTTCCGCTAGTTCCAACGTGGAGCGGGAATGGCGGACAAACTCGTCATCTTCCGAGTCAGAGTCCTGCTCTGACGGGGATCGAAACGACTCAGCATCGTCATCGTAGTCGCCGGGGGAGAGAAGGGAATGACCATGGCGTTGACGCTGGGGAGGCATGATGGATGAATGGCCTGGGGTGCAGAAGATAAGGATCGACCAGAGAGTATGGAAGCAACGCGATAGTTAGGGGTAACCTGCTGCTGACTCAGCGGGGCCTTTCTCCACCAGCTATTGACAGTAGAAATAGCTAGATGGCATCATGCTAGTATACATCTCAAGTGAAGGATCTTATGTGCTCTTCTGTAAACCTAGTTCCATGCCGAATGCACTGGTCTTAAATGATAAATCCAGGCGAATAAAATCTCCCAATAAAATTATGCCAATAAGATAATTAAGTCTATACATAATTATCACATGATTCACATCTCTATAATATCTAATCTGTATTATTCTATATTCTAAGCAAACCCAGGGAGGCTCATTTTGTGCACAAATTCTTCCAGGAGCTTCTTCTCCTGATTGATAAACGGCTCGACCACCGTCAACCCACGATCGATTTCCGCCTTCAGACGCTCCCACTCACCAGACCCATTAGAAGTCTCCTTACGCTGGACAGTAGTACCATTGGCATGCCCATTCGCCAACCCCGAAGAATGCCCATTTGCAGTCGTCATGTCGAGAACCGGCATGTATCCTGAAGCTTCAAATGCGTCCTTGGGGGGAACTGTGTAGCGACCCTTCTTGAGCACATATTGACTGATCGATACAGCGAGCAACCTCTTCTTCAGAGCGTTCTCATCCACGGACTGTCCGTTCTTCATCGCCTTGCCCGGCTTGAGGAAGTAAGTGATGATGTAGATCCACTTCTGGTCGAAGCTGGCAACGTGCGATTTGACCTCGTACTTCATGTACGCCGGAATCTCGCGCTTAAAGCTGGTATATACGCTTCCGAGGATAAAGCCGAGTGTACCTTTCTTTCCCAGGGCACCGAGTCGCTTATTCAGGAGAGCTGCTCCCTTCACTACGATACTGGACATAAGAGCCGTCCGGGAAACGTCTAGATCAGAGAAGTAGGTCGAATTGGATTTGTGCATATTGAAGTCGAGTTCCATTATGGGCGCCCGGGAGAAGATGCTGACGGGCTTGAGGAGTTCGGTGCTCGGGCGGACAGGTTGTTCCACAGCAGGGGTGATAAGGTAGCCATGTTTGAAGAAGTAGCGGTAAACTCGGATCTGTCAATGTCAATTGAATTGCGCAAGACCGTGGGGATGGAAGTAGGACAGTACTTACATGCCACACAATCGGGAAAGTCTTGAGGTTAAGCAATGCAAAGAAGATTGCGGCGGCTTTCCAGAAGCCGACAGACTTCCAGAGGGAGGAGACAAAAGACTGAATGGACTCCATCCTGAACGAGAAATACTATGTACAGCTGCAAGTGAAAAGAAACAAAAAGTGAAAATTCCACGGAACAGCAAAGTCTATATATGTTCCAGAAATCCGAAAGAAAAAATTGCAGCAAGACAGATCGGGCCTCGGCATTTCCTATCATGGATCTCCCGTTATTAGTTTGGTATTTTCTAATCAAGTGGCAATGCAGTGCATAGATAAGCTAGAAAAGAAAGCATTTGAATGCACAAAACACAGTAAAGTATAATCTCATTAGTAACATGGGTAGGTTCTGACAAGAGTTGTACCGGTTAGTGAAAAGATAACAAGATACTAGTCAATTTTATTTTAAACCCTATAGTATAAATAGCCAGGATCTCCATAACACCTTGGTGAGGTTGAGGCAACTTCTGGCTGGAGCCATCTAAGAATAATCAATTGTCATCTCAAGTTTCGTCCTCGACCAAAACACCACAGAAGTTAACGTTGTATCAAGTCGTCTGCTGTATATGGCGTCCTAGGACCCAGTCTGGGTGCCCCGATCGCTGTCTACCTATAAGGCTATAATGTATGAATCCCCGGTGGCCTGTAGGGGAGGTGGATCATGACGGAGTTGTGTGTTACTACTATGATGGCCCTCTATTTTTCTTGTCTCGCTGTCGCTTATTTCCCACTGAAGTCATTCTTGGCACAGACTCCAAACGCGATTGCAGAGGGAACCCCGAAGATCCATAACGAAATAAAGCCCACAGAGTTCTTCTAGTTGTTTGTGGTATTTTGGATCAAGGACGTTGTTTCGTGCAGGCGACTTTCAAACTCAATAAGAAACTGGAAGACTTCATATTAGTCCGCATCTGTCAGATATTAGTCAATTAACGGACTCGTACAACTAGTTACATGATGTAACATCCTTATATGTTAAGCGCGGTGTAGAGTAAGATTCCTTCTAATCTTGCCTTCCGCGTTTTGTGATCAACTTCAGGAGAAACCCTCCAAAACCTTATATGACTCCTCATATATACTCGCATAGAGAATGAGGATACATTTGCAACTATGCCACAACTTAACCCTATCTCTTCCACGCACTGCGCATGTTTCTAGCCGGATCGTTTCCCACCACTGTGGCCATTTAGCGAGCAGTGGGATTCGAACGTACAATTCCTTGTTATAGACCTGGATTGGGCCCATTTCCAACAAAGGTCTCTTCGGACTCACCTGGTGACTTGACACTACGTCACTAGCCCGCAGAAACTGGAGATTAACTGGGGAGAACACCTATGGGAGGGTCGGTAGGATTGTCGAATTTCCCAAAGAGAAGTGGCAAAGCGGTTCTGCATTCAAGGTTGAGTTGTGCTTTATATAAGTAACCAGACAGTCCTAAATCGCTGACAAAATATATTATGCCAAGGAAGGATCAGCAGAGAGGCTGTTTGTTTGAATTACCTATTTGCTTTGCTTACCCGCACCAGTATCCGCGAGATATCCTTCCATAATTGCCCTTTATTCTTTCTTATACATCTTTACACTTAATATGGTTGTTGCGGGCACTGAATAGCGTTTTTAATATTGTTCTGACTGTATTCTGTCGGTTATAACAGCACTCGAAGCCCTCCTAACAAGTAACTAAGCCCTGCTGTATATAACACTACACACTGTTACGATTTATTAAATAGCACGTATCACATAAACGGTCTGCGAAATGGCTTCCATCTACCAGAAGTGGTATAATACTACAGGTTTTACCCAAGCCCAGCGGGAAGCAATCAATACAGTTCGGCAGCAACTTTACATAGCTGGTAACCTGATGCCACCACTATAGACGGGTTGCAAGTGCGGTAATCACCTCATTTACCACCAGTGATGTACTGGTGGATCGATGGCCCTATCTATTCGAAAGCTGTTAAACAAACCCACCCTCTATACAACCCAACAGGCTGCAGAATTTGAGCCGTGGGCGCGACCCCGGAATTTGGAGAAGCGAAGACAAGCAGTCTCCGTGTGGATATGATTCTTACGTTTCTTATTTTTCCATAGCATTCCTATGGTGCAGACGGTGCTCTAGAGGCGATGGGGATTAACATTACCTTGGCTAGTTAAGGACATGATCAACAACATCCACAACTACGCGGAGTTGGGATGTGCTCAGAAAGTACTCCAACAGGCCATGAAGAGATTTCTTCTCTAGATAATCATCGATGCCAAGGCAACCCCCCAGACCAAGTGGCTGTGTTGATCTAAACCGAGATGTTAGATAACCAGCCTCGCTGGTACGTAGCACAGCTGCAGGATACGTTGGATTTCCCCCAGAATGCTGAGGCTATTGATCAATATGCCCGAGTTTATGTCTTGGAACATGCCTTTAATTGATGGATCCCTAGATGGTGCAAGTTAAATCCAGAAGGAGCAGGTTGCTTCGTCGCTGGACCAGGTCTCTCTGTCACCAAATGGAAGGCATGTATTTCATATATCCAACCAATCTTAATAGAATGGCTGGCCGACCAGACCGAGGTCTCATGTCCATTGTGATTAAACTGCATCGAGGAAAATCGGTCCTATTCACCCAGAAGAAGCAGTACTGTGTAAAGGTGGTGATTTATGAGGATTATAGAGTGGATCCTTTGGTGGCCGACTGCTACCCAGCATTGGTGGCGACTAAGGCAATAATTAAAAATGCCAACCAGGCGGCTCGCGAATATCTCCAAGAGGAGTTAGGTCCCAAACATGTTGCTCGCAAATGGGATGAAGTGTATGAGACTGGAGAGAAGATTCGGATTAGAGCCGTCTATTAAGATAGGGCTAATAATACCCTAATAATACCAAGGCCATTACTTGGGTGGAAGAACTGTCTAATAACGAAATATGTAACCCTTTGACTATACAGATATAGAAGGCTAAAATGATTTGTCTTTTCGTTTTCTTTTTCTTTTTCTTTTCTTTCTTTTTTTTGGCGGCTTACAGTCGCAGAACATAAAGATGTTTGAAGTTTAATATTATTATTATCTGCAGGTAAAGTTAATATATATAGGCCTTGCAGGACCTGCAGATTACCCGTCGTGGTCCAGGAATTAACCGCCAAGAAACGGGTTTTGGTCCTCGCCCAATTAATATCGAACATAGGGAAGCCCTAAATTGCGCAGCTTTGGTCTGTAATTTGAGTATTTATCTTACAGGCAGTGCAAGGTAAATGACCTAGGTTTAGGATGAATATGTTTATATCTTGAATTGCTTCTTATTCTACAGCTAGCAATATGCAAGTACATCATCCTACCGTCTCGAACGCTTCCGAACGCTTCCTGATAGACGTAGTTCGGTGTTAGGCAAGGGAATAATAGGGTCATCATCATCAGTAACTTAGCAGGCGTGGCAATAATAACTAACTTAAGTTCCCACTTTGAGTAATCACAATTAATTATAATAATTAGGAAAACCTCGCCGCCTATATAGTACCACACTCTCACTCTAAAGTCATATAAAATATGGATTCTAATGCAAATTTATACTATCTCCTACCTTTACCTACGACCAGTTTATTTGAAGCTAAGTTGAGATAGGGAAGGACACAAGCGTTATAAATAATAGGGCGCATACTCGCCTAGTTTATAATAGAGAGGTGTCAAGGGCTGAACCTCTATAACCTAATATCTAGAGTAGATACAAAAAGAATCGTCAGGACAGAGAACGGAAGACAGTGATGAGATGATTGCGAAACCAAAAGGGGGATAAGTCACGTGATACAATGTACTAATCAATCTACTGACCAAGTGACATGCGAAGAGGAAGAAACATGAGGGTCGAGTGGCCCGAGTAGACTTCAGGGCTCTAGCCCCTTACAGGAGGTATAACTTTATAAGATCAGCCAATATAATGCGGTATCTATTAATTATACAGAATCCTTGTATAGTCCTTCTGTTACTACGAGTATGCGAAATTATCGTATATCAAAGCATCAGACGTTCATTAATCCTTCTCAAAGCATACTACAACAACTTTATCAGAAGGCAGAGTCCTTAGGTGAAAAATAAAATTAAGGATTAGGCCTTTTGAAGAATCCTAAGTTAAGACATTATCGATAAGGTATTAGTTTTATTAATTGTTGTGCGAAACCTTCCATTCTCTCGTAGAATGGCCTTGAGTTCCATGCCTTTTGCCAAGTGCTAAATCTAGAACCAAGGAGTGATATTATCACGGCATATAACCTTAAGCCTAAAAGAATTAACGTAATCGGACACTCAGTTAAGTAATTCTAGCAGATTTTAAAAAAATTATATGAAAAAGCTCCAGTCAGCATTATCAAGTGTTTTTATTTTACTAGATTAGTAGATATCTAGACCTCCAAATCTGATTCTTTCCTTGGGATCGATGCATATTTTATTAAGCAGAGTAAGGAGAAGCTATTAAAGGCTCCACTTGCCCTCTTGCCTAGTGACAAAACACAGTGGAGAGGAGTAATTATTACTTTTTTTTTTTTTTTTTTTTTTTTTTTCAGTTTTAACAAACTATGGGATTGTACAAAAGCTTGGGGGTGGTTTTTTTACTATAGCCAAACATCTTAAGGAAAAAGGGATTAAATGGAAACCAACATATCAGCGAATCTTTTATATTAGCTATGTCATGGGTTGAACCCAGCATATTGCTCAGAATAAGGCATTCGCTACGATCAGTCGTCTTTATACCCTTTATAGTCGAATAGTTTAGTCTATACTAGCGCATAAACCAAACCGTTGCCTCCTGCCCTTTCTATCCCCACCTTCCCTCATCTGTCTTCGAAGACAGCAAGGCCACACCCATTTTGCCAGCATATCCTTGGTATCGCACCCTTAGCTTCGCTGCTTCGCAACCACCAGCGCTTAGGAGGCAATTCCTGCACCGTAGTGCGAAATGGTCAGAGCAGTCGGTTAGACAAACTTGTATCTTTTGTGGCGAGCTCTTTCACCGGCATTGCCAGGCTTAATGCCCATCTAAATTTTTGGAAGATACCTGCCAGTGAAATGACGCGACCCGGGTGCTGAAGTATAGAGCGAACAAATGGTTGTTTCTACATCCTCTGTTGCAGTTCTCAACAGCGCTCGCGCCTTGGCTCCTGAGCAACTTAACTCATACGTGTTCTGGAAACGCCAGTTTAGGAGGGCGTTAACGAACCATCCGTATGTGCAGTATGTAGGGTTTTATAAATAAATTTCTGATATGCTACAGTCCATGTTACAACTCATGTGTAGTGACTAATGATACTATCAAAAGCAGTTGACCAAGTTGATCTTTTCAGATATACTTCATGCCGATGCCTAATCGATGAGAAATGCTAAATGGAGCAAAGTTTTGCGAAGTTTAATGTCGACAGCCTTTGTCACCAGCCTGCCTCACTGTTCAGTGATTCGACAAAATGCGTGCGCATTATCAAGATGGAAGAAAATTTTAACAAAGCGTTTTCCCTTACAATGGACGACGGCAACGAAGTTATCGCACAGATCCCTTGTGCGAACGCGGGTACGCCCTCTCAGACGACGGCATCCAAGGTGGCTACGCTAAATTTTTGTGCATACTCATGTGGTCATTAAAGCATAATTTATCCCTGATATTCTACAGTCTTAATCTGCTTGGAGTTTCGCGTGCAGGAGACGGGAGATCACATCAATTCCCAGCCTCCCTGATAACTGATACTCCGGTACTAGTAGTACTATTTCTGTGCTGGATTTCTACTACGGATTGGAAGGCAAGGATTCCAGAACCCCTTTCAAAGGACGGAGTTCGATTCCACAGATGGTTTCATGAATGCCATTGTGCGACGAACAATGGATCGACATGCCATCGCCGGCCTTCCGTTTTTGGCAACCACTTCACCTGCCTATTTCAGAATGCTAGGGCTGCAGGCGTATATCACGTGATATCTCAGCCTTTTGCACGGAGAAATGCGATATCTACATCCGGATGCAGAAGCACTGAAGGCATCATATATCCGATTTCAGGATTCGCCATGAAGAAATGTATTCAAGATTTCAAAACTTTATGCCGGATTGGTAACGGCAAGAACAATATAAGAACATCGAGAGTTTCGTCTCGAGCTCAAGACTGGCCATTCCTTTCTCAATTTCATTTCCATACTTTCTTTGTGCACATCATAGCACGAGACAATTTCAGCAGTGACATAAGCCTTAAGCCGATTCATTTCTATCACAATGCATATCTCCACCCCCGTCGTGACTGCGTTGGCCTTGGCGGCTGGTACAGCATGTGCCATGGACCATATTCAGAAGCAGGGTGACACCATCACAACCACCATTTGCGAGACGGTAAATCATGCCGCTTCCACTTTGCTCAAATTCCATCTAATTCTTGTTTAGGAGATTATCCCTGCCCCTACCGGCCCGGCCGTGATCCCCAGCAAGCCTGAGCATGCTGGGAAACCTAACGTGCCTGCGGGCCCTGCGGCACCCCCCAGTGCTCCAGCAGGTAAACCTGAAGCTCCTGCTGGTCAACCTGAAGCTCCTGCTGGTCAACCTGGAGCTCCTGGGGCACCACCCAGTGCTCCAGCAGGTAAACCTGGAGCCCCTGCTGGCCAACCCGGTGCACCCGCTGGTCAACCAGAAGCTCCTGCCGGTCAACCTGGAGCTCCTGCGCAACCTGCCGCACCTGCCGGCCAGCCTGGTGCCCCAGCAGCCCAGCCCAGCGCTCCTGCCGCTACTCCGAGCCCCCCCCTTATCAATCCCAGCGGCCCCGCTGTTCAGCCTGTTTCTCCCATCTCCCAGGCCCCCCCGAAGTCCACTCCCGGCATTCCTCTGCCCAAGGGCAACTTGACCACTGCCACGCCCAGGTTCCACAACTCCACCTCCTCAGCCCACCCTAAGTCTACCTCATCGACTAGAGAAGGCGGTGGAGGTGGTGCTGGTGGTGGCGGCCAGGAGGCTCCCAAGCCAACTGCTACTGGCGTTCATCCTGCCAACCCCGGCTCCAAGGTACTTGTTCCCGGTCTGGCGGTTGCGGGATGCGTTGTTTTTGGTCTGCTTCTCGTGGCCTAATCTGGTCCTGTCCTGTTGGAATAGACTGTCATCTACTAGCTGTTCTACCTGCTATATATTGACTGATTGATATGAACCGATGGTTAGTGGTGGGACAAGTACTTATGAATGACTATATTCGCTTGCATTGGGTCGTTGGGGCATGATTTCTTATTACTCGAAAATGTTTGGATTACACTATCTTACTACAGAAATTAATCTTAATGGTTTTACTTTAATGCCTCCTTTTGTATCCTCCTTTCGCTAGTATAGGTCACAATTTCATGTCAAGTAGAAAGCTTCAATTCTTGATGTCGCCGCTTTGGAAGTATAATACTGGCTGGGATGTCGACCGGTGAATGCATTCTACGTGCTTACTGATGGAGCAGGAACAGGCTCTAAGCTTTCTGTCTGCCGTATATGCAAATGAAGTGCAGGGATTCCAAGTATTGGCTCATAGAATAGATGTCTGAATATAATTGAGCACATTAAATTATCTCTGCCACCTCCAAAGAATCATGCCACAGCCATAACTAAGATTTATTAATCCAATTCGTCCATTGACATGAACATCCCCCCGTACCACCATCGAAGAAACCCAGGTCAGAATCCGCATCGGACGAAGAACCAGTAATGTTAAATAACCCCGGCGCTGGATTCACCACCTTCCCTCCGAACCCACGGTTCTCGACTTGTAGCTTCTTGTCGGTCGAGTTTATATGCTGATCCGGCTCGAGGCCGTAGCAGTATACCATCTTCTTCTTTGCATCGCCGCCGTGTCGATCCAGTGTGATGGTGATCGGGTACGGGAAGGACCCGGGACGGGTGAAATCCATTGCGGACGAGTTGGAGGAGCGGGCTGTGTCGGTATCGGTGGAAGTAGGAGTGGGTGTAGCACTGGCACTGGAGCTGGTCGACGATGTCTTGCTGTCGAGAAGATTCTTGCCACTGCGCTCGGATTGGGTCCAGATCTGCACGAGGAACCGAGTCTGAGCCCAGGTACATCGCACCCGCGCTTGATCCTTGCTGGATCCGCCGTTGGCGTCATCTGGTGTGTCGTCGGCTTTGCTGCCGTTGAGGGCGCTGGTGGACGCTAGGAAGATTGAGCGGTCGAAGTAGGTGTAGAATCCGTAGTATTCGCTGTCCTTGCCGCGGTTGTATAGTCGTACGGGCTGTGACTTGGGCAGGGGGTAGAGATTCGCTGCGGCGGCTGTTCCATCGGGGTTTACGGCCGGTGAGGGAATTAGGGAATCAATGTCGGGGAATGGGTTGTCGGATCTGCGCACTCGTCGAACGCTGAAAAGGGGAACAGGGGAGAGAAAAGTCATGTAAAATGGTGTCTCTTCGCCAGCGAAGGGGTTGGTGTTGTTATCGGTCGTGTTTCCAAGGAAGGCCAGGTCTTTCACGTCTGGCGGCGATGGGGATGGATCGAACCGTCCTTCATATCTCTTGGATACTGCGCTTTTATGAGAGTCTGATGCAACTGTGGTGCTGTTGGGATATGTTCCATTGCGAAAACGTATTTCCACGCGGAAGTTGGGCTGATTGGCAGAATAGCCCTTGTTGGTGTCCTGCTGTTCCTTCGGTAGGGTACAGCTCCAGAGAGAGGGAGGAGTGATGCATCCTGAATTCTGCACCTTAGCCTCGGGGCCAGCGACTGTTGCGATGCCAGTGGGCATGGGCGGATACCCGGTCAGGTTCAGCCATTGAGACTGGACGGGCATTTCATCACCCTTCCTGGTAAGTACGAGAGCCAGAACAACGGCAACTATGACTATGGTCAGGAAGAATGCAGTAATCGCCATGTACCAACGACGTTTCAATCGTCCTTCACGTCCTGGACGGCCAAAACACCCTTTGTTGCTGATACAGCCTCTGCCGCGCCATAGTCCACCTGCTTTCTTGCCAATCGCGTCCTCCCTCTCGAGCCTCCTTCGCCGAGTTTCAATCCTTTCTCTCTCTGCAAACGGGTTTGTCATTGCGTGTCGCGTAATTGGCTGAGGCTCGATGCGTGGTGGAAGTTCGGCAGGGGGACTGCGAGTATGTGCGGGTTCAGGACCATTTGGCATAACTGACAATGGAATGGATCCGATTCCTTCCATTGTTTGTTGGAGGTCGGGTGAGGGAGGGTCCGAAGGTTGTGGTTGTACTCCATGACCTCCATGGCTAGGAGGGACGACTATGTATTGCGTGATGGCTCGCTCAGTGGAAACTATGGGAGCTGGTGATGGACCAGGCGCAGTCTGGACGTAAACATGCGTAACAGGAGGAGCGGCAGTTGTCTGCTGAATGAAAGGATTATAGGGTTGTCTTTCGGATACGTCAGCTGTCTCTGCCCCCTTGATGCCTCTTCTGGGAGACGGTTCAGATGCAGGCGAATCGAGCTTGGAGGGTTCTGGTGAGTTTACAATGGGAATATGGTTGTCATTCACTATTTTCGGGATCACCCTTTTGGTCTGCGGTTCAGGAGAGCCGGTTCCTGGCGTGTTTGATGTGCTTTCTTTGGGGGAGTTATTGACTTCTGGGCTGTGATTCGATGCTTCTGATCCCTCGGCTACAGCTGATCCGCCGCAAGAGCAACCGTTTGAAACAGATGAACGTATCGGAGTGCTTCTGGGAACTTGATTCTCAGATCGAGGCATATCATCAACATCGACCAGAAGTCCTCTTTCCCCAACATTGCCACTTGGAGCGGCATCGGCGATGTCGGATACCGGTATCTGATCTTGGGGAGTAATTGAACAGACATGATTGATGCATTCAAAGTATGGACGTCGGCTAAACAGCTCATGAGCGCATGCTTGAAAATACTCGGCTGCGGAGCCCTGGATCGCCCGTCCGGGGAACATGAACGATGTAGAATAGCCAAGTTCCACTGAGGGTTCCGCATGGGGGTCAGTGATTGAATTGAAATCGGCAAATGGGTCCTTTTCGCAATTTTGCCAGCTGGCCATGTCTCTCCGGTTGGCTACTGTTGTCTCCGGTGTTTCGGGTGAAAAGCAAGAGACCTCCTTCTCCCACCATTCCTCGCTTGACTCCGACAGATTTGTTTTGAGCGCTGGAACTGGCGGTCGATCTACATCCTTGGGTGGCTTTTTGCTGGAGATTGTACTGGAACGATTAAGGAGTGGCGAGAGAAGATAATTCCACCATCCTTGGGATTGGTGCCTATTAAGTTCCGAGTTGATGCTTAGTCGACTAATTCCATCAAAACCACTCAGTCGCCCAAAGGCCTTCTTGACACTGCTACTGGAGTATGATCGAGATCGTGTTCCAGGTCGTGATATCTCATCTTCCTCAAATACGGTGCCTGCAGAAAACGAACGATGCTTCCTGGTTGAGGCTAGTGATTGTCTTCGAGGGGACCTCGGACTGATGATTTCGTTCTTTTCCGCTGTGTGGTGTGCGGGAATCGCAGGTACTGGTGGTATTGGCGTTTCTCTATTCTCCAAACATGGAGTGGGCTGAGAGTAAATGCTTGATGCCGCTCTTGGTCGCTGATGCTCGGGGGCAATCCTATTCCAGAAAGTATCCTCCTTTGCCGGTGTAACTATAATTGAAGGTGTAAGAGGGCTCCGCAGATTGTCTGCTATTTCAAGTTCCTTTGGTTTTCCGTTTTGTGAGTCTTGAGATCTATCAAATGACATACTAAGTCCAATCATGATGGGACGGTCAGATGGCGATAGGTCATCCTTAAATTTCTTCTTGGGGGAGATTCTAGGTTTTATATCGAACCAAGCTGGTCGTCCCATTGTTGAATTTGAGGAATCGTCTGGGAGGCAGTGAGAGCCTTCCTTGTTACTCTTTTTCAAAATCCCCTTTAATTTCTGCGTGGATCTTTCCTTCTCTCGTTCCTTCGAAAGTATTTTGAGATCTTCTAGATCAACTAGAGAGGGCTCAGACGCCTTTTCATGTGCATTGGAATTCGATGAGAAATCCGTAACCAAATTCAACCCCACAGGTCGTTCGGTATTCTTTTTGGTGACGGCTGTCTCGAGACTGGCATTGCCCTTTCCATAATCGCACTGGGAACAAATCCTATCGCTTTCACCAGCTGCATGTTGGGTACAGTTGACTTTCTGAAGGAAAGGGTTCCGGCTGGTCACTTTGGACAGGAATTCAAACGGACGGCGCCTTTCCATGTCCCGCTCATCGGATGATGAAGATGTCGGACTAGCAACTTCTTCTGTTATTGGGGAGGACAATGGGAAGTTTGGCACTGTAGGGATCCACAGCTCAGCTTGCGGATATTGCCGCCTGGAAGCCATTTCCTCCGCTGGTATAGACGCAAATAAGCTGGAGATAAATTAGAGCAAGATACGACAGATAGCTTTCATAATAAAAAGGGGCAACATACTGCGAGTGTCAAGTTCATCAAGGAGTAGAAATCTACTTCAAATTGAAAGGCAGGGGGAGGGTGTGTATATGTGGTAGATCAATAAAAAATTAACAATGGAGACAGATCATCGAGTTTAAGACAAAAACCAACATCGCTAGGATTGTTTCTATTGTTGTGCAAAAGATTGATGATGAGAACACTGGTGAAAGAATGAAACAAAGCAAGAGAGTTGAAAGGAAGTACAACAGCAGCGCCAGCTCTTATTGTTCACTCATGACGCACAAAAGTCGAGGGGAAAAAACTGCTAATCAGCTTTCCATCTCACAAAACTGAGCCAATAGCCAGGAAATAAACGAGAAGTCCGTGAAACAGTGAATAGGCAGGTACCACCAGGATTCGACGAGTCTGGGTTCAGAGAGGAAAACAAATTGATGGGACGAGAAGCGCCCATTCTGCAGGACGTCTTTTTCGTGCATCTATTATAATTAACCCAGGAGCTTACATCCCCGATGGACCAGCTCCAAGTGGCCCATTGGGTGGTGCTTCTTTCGATTCTCCCGGTCTGCAGAATCCTAAATCTCCGCGTGTCATAGCTCTGATCGCCTCTATTGGGTGGCACGGTGTGATCGGCCATGCATAACGAGACTAGAGACGCAGGTCCCCTCCAAGTATTGGCTCGGAGAGAAGCTCCAACATCTCTGTAGCCGCTGTTCTACCTTGATGTATGTAGTACGGCGCGTAGAGAAACGGTTGGGGATTCTGCGTCGGGTGACAGAACCCAATCAGCTTCGCAGGAAACTTTTCGACAAGAATAGTTATTGCCTCTGGTCCTGGGCGACAATCCGAAACCCGAGAAATCAAGCCAAGCAGCGCCACGAAAACAAACCAGAATAATGCATGGATCCCAAAGCTAAACATAGGTCAAAGTTGAATTGCCTGGACCTACTTCTCTGGAAGGCGTGAGAAAAGAAATTTTTTGGTAGTCAAATTGATCCTAAGAATCATCTCAAGAAGCTGTGTGAACGTAAGAAACAAACAATGAGGATATCAATTGCGCACAGATCACACTCCAGTTCCAAGAGCCGCTGCTAAGGGGTTTTTTTTTGGTACACACAACGCACTCTAAAATCCACCAAGAGCCAGCCTGCAACGGTGAAGACAAACATGGTAATAAACACATTTCCCATATCAAATCCTATTCCAAGATATTCCATTTCCAATGCAGAAGAGAAAAAGGGATAATGATGAAAGGGCAAGTAAAATGGAAAAGGGGCGAATCGTAATGTCCCAAGATAAACAAAAAGAAATACCTCCAGTCATAGAGTCGGACGTCGCATCACATGGCACAAATATGGATTCCCTGGTCCCATTGGGCCGGGGAAAGACGGTGAAAGTATTGTTGACAATATATCTCGCTCAAAAAGACTCATCCACCCGATTCAAATCTACAAGCGAGCTAAAGGAAAAGCCATTTTCCACGTCTAGGGTTGAAGGATGGGGGGAAAGGAATGTGGAGAGAGGGAAAGAGATCAAAAACGTAAATAAAAGTGAAAGTTGCAATGACTGAGGGATATAAACTGGTCATATGCAAGGGTGTTTCAGAAACCTCACAGCCATCACTTGCAGATTCATCGATGTTCGTCTGTATACTGTACACCCTGCATTGGCGCAACGGATCCATTCATAAGAGGAGGCAGCGTTCGAGGTTGCTCTTGCGCCATCCCAGATCCAGGTGCATAGCTAGGGAATAGTGGACCGTGTGTTTGCCCATTTGGTTGGGGTGCCATTGGATGGTGCTCGAAGATAGAGGCAGGTCGAGATTGTCCGTTTGTTTGCTGCTGGTTGAGTTGACTACGCATCTCTTCCATTTCAGATCGAAGTGCATCATTGTCCCGACGAGCAGTGCTGAGCATTTTCTCCAATTGCGTGATGTACTCAATTGCTACTGACATGTTAGTGGATTTTTCCCTAGCAACGTGCATGTGATCCATATTTTACCTCTGGTAAGAGTCTCCCATTTGCTCGACTTATTGTTTTGGCTTTGCGGAAGGCGCACCCGCAAAGCTTCAAAGCAATCTTTCATCTCACTGCGGCGCTTGCGCTCCGCCAGTTTATGGGTTACTCTCAATTCAGGCGTTCGGCTGTATGGAGTACTGCCATTCTGTGAGTCCTGTTCTCCAATAAGACCACGGACTTGTTTATGTTGTAGTGAATGGTGATGAACACTCTGTGGAAGTTCTGAAGCACAGTCAGCACCAGATCAGCACAGATAATGACGCGATTAAACAAAAAGAGTGCGCTGGGTAAAAATATACCATGTTGGCCGCGAGGCAAGCGAGAATCAGAGTAAATACTGCTGGCTAAAGACTCAGCCGTGCTTCCCTTGCGAGCGAACTGATTGCCCGGCTTTTCGTTGGTAGACGAGATCGAATTGGAACGCGCAACGTCCGGGTCAGGGAACGCGTAGGCCAGACCTGCCGTGGGAGCTTCGGCATTATAGATCTCCGAACGAGGATTTGACGAAATTGCTGGTGCAGTGCGGCCAGCCGCAAAGCTCCGATGCTCACCGTGTCGCGGGCCGAGAGGGGATAGAGGTTGGCCCCCGGAGTATCGAGGGCCCCTATAGGAAGGGTTCATATTAACATCCATAGAGATACCCCGTTCTCTTTGTAGGCCCGACACGATCGATGTCTGCGAGGCGTTCGTGCTATGATAAGGGGAGGCGGGGTTAATAGCAAGAGAGCTAATACCCTGATTCATCCTACTGTCGATACTACTCCGTCGCGACTCCGGCGGTTCAGCAATGCTTCCCCGCTGAGAAGCCGCTTCATAGTTTTGATTGATTGATGGAAGAGTTGAATTTGGTTGAGAGGAGCCGAAGTTAGGGGACGGTTGCGCTCCTGCCGAGGAGGGGGTATTGGTATTAGAGTGATCGTTAGGGTACGGGGATCGGTCGGACACGGTAGACACGCGATTGGGAGACGGGTGTGAGGACGTGAGAAACGACAGTGATGGGTAGTTTCCGGTACCATTAGTCGCTGTGGAATAGGTAGAAGACCCTGGTACTCCTAGTCAGCATCTAGCAATACAGAAATCGATGCAATGAGAGACTAACTGGCGCTTTGAGCAATAGACCAGTTCCCCGAATCTCGCTCAATTGTATTCAATGAGACATTTCCTGGCGACTTCTCCGCTGGTGGAGGTGCAGTGCTTGTCATACTTGCAGTAAGAGTTGATATCGAGGGCAGAGTCTGCGACGAGGAGACCGGAGGGGTTTGCGGTCCCGTGCTGGCAGGTTCCCACGGCCGGTGGGCAAGTGTAGCTTCCATGGCTAAAGATAACAGTATATATGCGAATGGGTCAAGTTAGAACTTCAACGGGTGTCCCAGTAGGGAAGAATGGATAATATTGTATATGTCACGCTTCGCACTATCTCATGTTCCACGAATCGGTAAAGGAAGAAGTCGAATAATGGGATCAGGGTGGCAAGTTACTCGGTGACTCCGTCAAACCAACGAGCAAATACCTGTCCGTGTGTAACTGGGCAGTAACTCGTATATGATTCTTTACAGTGCAAATATTGCCTCACGAAGCCAACTTTGCCAAAGGACGATTTGGATTTCATGCACTAGTTGTTCAACTGGGCGATGCGATTCGTAGAATAATCGACAGCGAGCTCGATAATGTATCTCAACGCACGATAATACAACCAGAGCAATATTCACTTGGCAAAAAATCGACTTCCGGTGACAAAAGAGAATGCGACGATTAGCGAAGGTTGCGAGGCTGCGAATGGTAAGGAAATTGTGCAGGTAGGTGGATGGCGAGAAGTGTGGAAATTAACGATGGTGAGTAGTAATGACCGAATCGAATGTATGTCGAGGAACTGCGAAGTAATGACAGGTTCAAGGAAGAAACCAAAAAAAAAAAAAAAAAGGCGGTAAATCTTTTCTGCTAAAGACAACAGGAAAATCTCGTCAGCATGAAAAGGTGGAAATTATGAACGTAGGAATCTAAGCCAATAAACCCGAAGCATGGTTTGCAGTGATGGATCGCACAGGAGCCTACCTTTGGGGCGAGGGCGCAAACGCTCGGGAGGTGTAGAACGTGGCACGAAATTCAGAGGCCGAACAATTGGGTAGAAAGAGTAAGAGAGGAAAGATCCGACCGATGGTTAAGAAGAACTCTAATACGACCGGCAAGATGATGCTGTGGTAAGGAGCGAGGCGGAGAGCAGGAAAGAAAACTAGGGGAAACGATTCGGAGGGGCGGGAAGAGAAAGGGGTGAAACGGAGACTGAAGAAGAGAGCAATGACAAGAGTGAGAGAGTAAAAGAAAGAGAGAGTGGTCTAGGAAAAAAGAAGTTGTAGTAGCAGTCACGGAGTACAGTGCCAATGGTGGTTAGTAGGTACCCAGCCTGCGGAACGAAGAAGTTTGGGACCCAGATCCAGTGGGAAACGCCAGTTTAGTAGCGGGAGCTATCGATCATATTCAGACTAAAGAGTTGGGGCAGGGTAAAAACAAAAAAAATAAAATAAAATAAAAGATATGGATAAGATCTTTTTTTCTTTTCTTTTCTTTTCTTATTTTTCTCGTCTTTTTTTTTTTTTTTCTGGTTTGTCTCTCTCGTTCTATTTTCTTTTTAGGGGGAAACAGATATGAATGGAATCTTCGGAGAAGAGGCGCAGAGTTAGTAACTGGAGTTAGGAAGGCTAGGCAAATCAAATGGCAGTTGAATAAAGTAGACAAAAGGAAGAGCTGGAAGGAATGGATGAATAGGCAAATAACAATACTACCTACTTGATACTCGAAGAGGAAAGCGAAAGAAAAGGAAAAGCGCTGACAAGAACCCTGTAGTTCGAGGAGGGAAACGATGCTACGCAGCGGTTATTAGGCGAATCTAATTAGTAGGACGGAGTAGTCAGTCATAGCTTATGGTAATCCTCATAATAAAAAATTGTAACTATAATTATAATAATGATGTGACCCTAAATCAGTACCCCATTTATTCCAACGGCAAAATGTTCCTAGTAATCGATCGGTACTACAGAGTTGATACAAAATACTGAATATAAACGGTGGTGGATTAGGAGATTCATTTTCCCCAGAAGAGCAATCTGAAAGTTAACCTTGATTTTGATGTCCTGCTACTATTACCAGCTAATTTTTCTTTCTTTCTTTCTTTTTTTTTTTTTTTTTTTTTTTTTAAAAAAAAAAAAAAAAAAAAAAAAAAAAAAAGGTGGAAGTGGAGTGATACACCCCTTCCTCCCGCATCAGTCCGGTGCTGTGTAGGGCAGCTGGGAATATTGCCACGCCTTCTACTTTTTTTTTGGAATAAAAAAAGAAATATTTTCGCTTTGGCGTCCCGACCCTTACACTGAAGAATGCACGCTGATGGTTCGACTTATGCAGCTACCTACTAGGTACTAGGTAGGAGCCCCTCCCATGCAGTATTACTACGTGATAAGAATTAATATTTGGTCATTTTCTCTGACGTTAACTACTAGTTACTGAATAAGGAAATAAGACAAACCAACAAACTCTTACGTATCATACATCTGGGGGAAGGAGAATACGAAGGAAGGAACAGGGTATATACTATTTCTTGGCATTGCGTGTCTAAATCCATCAACAGGTACATGTCAGCAGCAAGTGGACACGGAGGAACCTTTGAAAATTATTATCAAATGCATGCATACTCCGTAAGTACTATGCAAAGTAGAAGGCTGAATTTCTCTCATATGACAGCCACTGGGTAAACTATAGGCGGCCCCAAACGAAGGGGGGGAAAAAAAGGAATGGAAAAAATGCCTTTGGACCATAATATGGCATTATTGGCCAAGCACTAAGCAGATGCGCACTACTGCGCGCAAAAAAAAAAAAAGAACACAGAGCCCACCGCCACGAGGCCACCATTGGAGGGGGGGAAAGAATCAAGGCCGCCCGTCGAGCTTCCTTCCTGTTCCCGAACTCAAGCTTCTATCCATGGTCCACGGTTACTCCCGGCCAAGATAGAATTGTTGGCGGGTGCACGCAAATGTGATCAAAAAAAAAAAAATCTCTCGACCTTGAAGCGTCAAGTAAAATGCTTCCAGTTGATTAGTCCTCCACTTGGCCTACTCCAGACAGGGACAGGGACAGGTCAGGAATCTAGCATGTAACTACCTTGCTGAACGGCAAATTCACATGTCGCATCCGGAGGTTAAATTTATTCAATTATGCGCTCGATCGATCTACTCTGTATAGGTGGCAAAGTTCCAGGTAATTAGGTTCTGAAGTACGGAATATTGTCATCGACTACCTTATCCAGTCGGATCAATATGATCATTTCTGATTTCGCGGTTCTGAAGATCAATTTACAGAGCCCCATGGACATTCCTCCAGCACTGCACTGTTAATCACTATGTTGCTTGAAACAAGTGATGGCTCTAATTACTTCTCTCCATGATACCATCAACAATCCATCTTGGGCATTCCTCTTGTCGATCTGACCAAAGAATTATCTTCCGTTGCATGATCCCCCTTTACGTTGTCCCATTTCTTTCTAGTTTCTAGCCCCACCCCATATGGCTGCGTGTCGAACCGGGGACCGGGCAGAAAGCATCTCATTAATTGGAGAAAGCCTAGCATGGAGGCTTAACTTAAACAGGGTAGCCCTGTCTCCCGACTGACATGGACCACAGCTTTCCCCACTTACGAAACTACGTAAGTAGCAGAGTAGGTCGGATCCATGATCCATACCCTAGTTCCTTCAAACGGAAAAAGTTTCTGTCTACCCTGTTGGAGCCTAGACTGGACAGCGTGAGATGACTGAAAATTAAAAAGGATGCTGAGGGCAGACAAGGCCACCATACTCTTTTAATGGTTTAGTCACTTGGGGAACAAGTCCTCCGTAGCGTAGTAGCAGCTTGGACCAGCCGGGAAGTGGGGCCAGAATGGAAATTGAGTGGCTGAGGAGGTCGATCGAACTTGGATGGACGAATCAAAGCCCTTGACGCGGTCCATGGCAAATGCACCTCCAAGGCTACATAATGTCCCGTGGCTTGAAGAATTTCGGCACTAAACCATGGTGGTGGATGATACAAAAACACGTTGTTGAGCGGGCTCAGACATTCTTGGGGGTGGGGAGGGTTGTGGAGGGGCAAAAACGCGAGGGATGGGAGAGAAGCCACTCACGTTACCTAGGTACCTTCCACATGTGTCTATCCTTGGAGATTACATCATGGACTGGAGTATCTGCATTATTGGTATCTGAACTTTGAGAGTTTTGGTTCTCTAGGACAAAGTACGCCGTACATTGTAGGGTTATATTATTGCATAGTACTCCTATATAAGGAGCTCAGGCCCAGCTGGTGCGTTTGCTTACAGAACAGTCTACTGTAGGCCAAGTGCAATAATGGGTAGTCAACCTACTGCATACCCTTGTCAACCCTCGTCAAGTATACTTACTTACCTCGTCCATCCATCGATCTATGAATCAACCTAGTGCCTCGTAATATTTCGTCAATAGCGCCTCAAATAGGTAAGGTCATACTCACAAAGTTACAAATGGCACTTCTGATGAAATACCTGGCTAAAATACACCCCTTTCCACCATCTACTAAGCCCAATCAATCAAGGAGAAACAGTTATTGACTTCTGAATTTCTCTACCATCCAGATCGACAAGGGCAAGATCTACCCTTCCGAGTCGGATCTAGGATGACTAGCCACATATTTACCACCTTGGGCAGAAAGATGTTATCTATACGGGTAATTACTGGCGTCGTGTGGGTAAACTAAACACCCTTTCAGATTGATAGGGAAAAAAAAAAAAAAAAAGGCACACCATCAAAGAATCAACCCTCGGTCGGCAACGATCTCGATACAGGCTGCCTTCACGTGGCCGAACTAAGCGATCGTCCTCAGGGGTCCCACGGTCTGCGAACACCCGTAAGCGGCGTACGCGTATTGTACTCCGTACTTCGTAGTACGACGAGTTTCCCCCCGGCCTGAAGCGGCATCCGGTCGTCATATTCCCCTGCTTGCGGGAAATGAAACTCGTATCGCTGAGACGTGATTCTATTTGTTTGACTGTTCCCTAAGCAAATCCACCTAGTGTTAGAAGTTTTGTTTCATTCTTGCGGAAGTCTATTTCAGTTGCTTCTAATATTCTTGTCGAAGGCTGTGCTACTCAAGCAGGCAAGGGATAGAATCGCTGTGCGTGTCGAACCATCGGCCGTTATCAGTATCTGGGCAGGCACCTACTCAAGATTCAATCGTAGGTAATTATGAGAATTACACTTGACACATTGCTTTGGAGGTGTCATGAGTATGACAGCTCCGCAGCCGAGCGATGCACTAGCGACCGGGGGAACTTATGCGAGACTGGGCGCCAGGATGGGTCAGGTATGAATTAAATGGACAATAATTTGGGATGAAATTAAAGGTCCACCCATCAGTCTTGTCGGGTGTTCTTTCCCCAGGGAATCTCCCTTGCAACGGAACTACAGAGCTAATAGGTAGGTACAATAATAAGAATGAAAGTTAACTTTACACAATGTACTCCGTACCACGCCAGAGTGGGAATCACGATGGGGGTTGGTTGACTCTCTAGGCTCCAGCAGCAAACACATGGCAACCACGGTGGAATGATCGCCCCTAAGAAATCTCAACCCACGATTTGACTGGTCCAGCCACCCTGCAGCCAAGGATCATTAATGAAATGATCGAATTAATAAACACGTTTCTCAAGGCGTGGGAGATCTATTTCAGATAAACCAGGAAATGTCGGGCAGCTAGGTCAAGATATCTGGATTGCTTCTATATATCAATCGCCTACGTAGATACGCCCTAGGTATCTCCCCATTGTTTGATGGCAGTCATTCCTCCTATCGAACGAACAAATATTTATCCAACCCTCCATGGTGGCCCATGCAGGGAGGCGCTAATAGTCATGAAGTCAGTCAATACACCTAGCCAGTGTTAGATTCTCCCCCGCTTCCATGGAATGTGACCATGGCCAGATATGCGTACATACATACGTATAGGAGTCTGTGCATGTGGACAATGTGCGTGCATATCAGGTCAATCAGAATTTACGATCTACCTGTCTTTCATTCATTCCCTTGCCTGCCACGGCCACCAACCTCTATGGAAGACCTGTGGTTGTCATCTTCCTCAATCCATGATCTCCCCAAGGCTTCTTCTGCAGCGTGCCAAATCGTTTCCACACATGGAGAAACAATGTGGACCCAGGTATCCTTCTCTTTTGTTTTTGGGATATGTTGACGCTTCACCGACTTCCCTGTCAGGGCGACTGGACAGCAAAGCCCTTGCTCTATGAATGGAGTTGATACCAGGATGGGGTGGATGGACAAAAATAGTGAACCAGACCAATCCAATAGATCATCCAGGACAGGGATGAATGCTGAATGGGCCCGTTGCTATGAAATAATATTAGTCAAATTGTTCGATCTTATCTCCCAACGATCCAGCTGGGGATAAGCTCCCTCGGGCTACACCGACCGGGTGATTATCATCTAAGATTGGGTTCTTTTTTATTCCTATTATTTTCTGGCTCATTGTTTAGGGCCATCATTACTCTTGTCTTCAAAACCTTCTTTTTGTTCTTGCTGAGACCAACAGTTGCAGATCTGACGACAGATTCCTCCCCCTGCTAGCGTGGCAGGCAACCTCAAATCACAGCAACCTTCAGACGCCAAGACAGCCTGCACATACCAAAGACCAACTAACTACTGCATCGATTTCGCCCCGAAGTAACCCTAAGACAGCATCTTTACCCCCCCCCCTCTCTCACGGTAACACTAGACCAGACCCCCAAAAAGAAGATCAGAGGAGATCGTCGCTCATGCTCATCACTCATCACTCATCAACACATCAACGACAGTCCCCTCTCCTCCCCTCCCTTGTACGCCCCCAAATCTTACGCAAGTCTACTCAGGGCTATATCGGACAGGATGGAGATGATTTCAACGCATGCAATATACCGCGCAGCAGGGTATTTCTGACCGACCGGGCCTGGATCCGGCTGGTCCATCATGTGTTCCTGCCGAACATAACAATCCGGACGGGCGGGCGGACGGGCCATCTGGTTGACGTTGAAAAATCAGGATCATTAACAATAATGACTGGCGGACGGAGAAGTACATACATAAACACGGAGTGATGTCCGTTACTCCTGCAACTTGCAGCACGAGGGGAGGGGAGGGGTGGCAAGGAATGTGTGACAGACAGGCATATCCAGGGAGAAAGGACTGTTCGGTTACAGTAGTCTATCGATGATCAACCTTAGGTGAGAAACTAAAATAAAATTCCTCATGAGATGTGGAATTATCAGTAGTAGTATCCAGCATTAATGCTCATGCGGACCAGGGAGACCCTAGTCTAGCCCTGGGGCCCTGATGCCCTATTGGATCTGGACCATGTTTTTTTTTTTTTAATTTTTTAATTGTTTATTTTTTAATCTACCTGACACCCCGACACTCTCCGGACCTGCCTGAGAGAGTATGGATCCGTGCCTCCCTGGATCACACATGCTCAGTGTCTCTCCAGGGCACTGGCCATGGGAACAAATCAGTTAATTCACCTGTCTATCCGTCGAATCACCGAAGCGCCTGAGGGGAAAGGGTTTGGGGACTTTCACTTTACATGAAGCCATGAGATGCACGGCGGTCCTACCCGCGGCTGTCACCAACACTTCCTTCTGAATAAATGGATATCAATCATTTCCATCCGGACCTAGACCACAGAGTCGTCGTCAGTCTACTCCTCTGTATGGCCTTGTATGATTGGTTCCCGCCGAATTGAGGAGCAGTGCTACATTACCAGGGCCTGTCAGTTCCCACCGCAGTCAGAGTAGGGTAGTATGTACAGAGGATGGAGTTGACGTGTGAATGGTCAGACCGCGTAGAGGAGGATTATTTTTATTATTTTCATTTCGGAGGAGGATGTATATTTGGGACGTTGAAACCCATCCGACAATCCTTGTGGATAACGGTAGATCTCGGTGACCGCACTGTTCTCTCGCCCGCTAGGTATGGGGTGAGAATTCGCTAGTTACTCCATAAACCAAAACAATTTCTTTTTCAATGGTTAGTGGCATTTACTTCTCCGAAATCACGGCTTACACCTAACGCCGAGTTACCGATATCGAGTACAATTGGCCGTGGCAAAAACAGCCCCGATCGTCCCTCTGTTATATGGAATCTTACTAGCCACATGGCGACAACTGAACGGGGTAAAGCAAGACAAGACCAGTTATAAAAAAACTCTGTTCGGCGTACTTCTTCCGCCGAATGAACTCAATAGCGTTCCACTCGTCAGCCTCAGGATCCAGCGTAATACGAGTGCCCCGTTGTGGAAATATTTGGCTTTGATGGAACCACGTGGTTTAAGTTATTCCAGTTATTTACTTCCATTGCGACTTGCTTAGTGTTCGTTTCGCTCGGAATACTACCTACCGTACTCGGTCTTGTGGATCGGTTCTGCTGATGCAGTTCGGAGTATGACCTACTCTTCTTGAGCATGAGACTATGGCTGACCATGTGGTGTCTCGCGGTGATTAAATTTGTTTGTAAACTGTGCTGGTGCTTCTTGGTTGCAGATGAGAAATAGAGACAAACTGAATTAGGCCATAAGATCCGTTAGTATGATGAATATCGCGATCCACTTCTGTGATCTGAATTGCAGAATGTGGCTGTGTCCTGTGCTCTATACATAGTCGTACGGAGAGGTCTGGTATACCCTCAGCCACCTGGTTACCTACTATAGCTACTTAGTTAGTTAGCTGAGATCTAGTCCTTTGTTTGTGCCTGGTTCAAATGTAGTTTTCTCAGTAGGCGCCGGATGATAGGTCCACGGGGTATCTGATTGATTGATTGACCGCTGCCTGTTGATTGATAGGTCTACTGGATACGAACTCTGCCTTAGTACATACTTACGGGGGAACCAGCCAATATATGCCTTGTAGGCTGCACCGGTATACCTTCTTAGGCAACGATGATTTCGGAATCTGCATATTTGGAAGAATGGTTCCATTTTTGTTTGTCAGAAGATGAAATATAGAGATTTACCAACGCCGCTAGGTCCCAACATGATTATGTACGTATATACAAGGATTTTATGAAAGCAAATAGGCCGTCAAACCTTTTTTTTTTTTTCTTATTCCTCAACCTCAACCTCAACCTCTTCATCTTCGTCGTCCTCGTCTACGTCCTCACCAAACTCCACTCCCAAATCACCAGTAATGTCCCAGCGATCTCCCTGCGCCGCTGCACTAACGTACTTGACGAACTTGAGTGTGCCACTGTCACGCAGAACAATGCTCAATCGGTTCCACCCTGCGGCTGTGCTGAAGAGGATCCCGTCGTCCTCGTCAGCTGCAGCGGACCGATAGATGGCTGCGTCGCCATCGTCCTCATCGTCACCGGCCATGTAGATCTCGTAGCCTCCCACGGCGGGTTCCTCTCGGGTAGGCGAGGTGGTCTTCAGATCCTTGGGCTTTTTCTGCTCCGCCGACCCGCCGCTGGTATCCTCTACGCCGTCCATCTCCTCGTCCACATCCTCGTCGCCTTGTTTTTCCCATCCGGAGGTGGGCGTGAGGCTAAGCGTGAATTCCAACCGCGGCTCCTCGCCGTCGTAGCCGCTGGCCAACGTATAGTCTTGTCCGCGACGGAACCGGCGCGCCAGGAAGTCGTAGCTCGTGATCCGATCCGCGCCAGTAACAAGCGCCAGCCATTTGCGGAAGGCCAGGGAGGGGAACAGATCGTTCAACAACTCCTGGATTGGCGTCGTCTTCTGCTCCTGCACGTCTGTCGTTGAGTGCTGCTGAAACATGTAGCGCTGCTTGTGCGGGGGTCGTGCGACCGTCCATCCAGTCTGGGCGTGAATCTCATCTGAGGACCTGGGCAGCTCGGTCCGCTCCTGTTCGCGGATATATTCGTGCACGCGTGCCGAGAACTTCTCTGACAAAAATCGTTCCAGGTTCAGCGATGACTCGTTGCCGAAGGTTTCAGACATCTCTTCCGTAATATCAGGAGTGAGATACGAGGGCGCAATGTACTGCACTAAGAAATTAAGGTCGGTCTCAGTGAATTCGGAATCACTGGGTACTTCCTCCAACTTCGCCTTACCCTTCCCCTCAACCGGCTGTTCCGACTTATCGTTGCAGACGACGGGATGGGGTTGGGGTAGATCGTAGATGTCGCCTCGGCCCTGGAGCTGAGCTAGACTGCTGCGCTGCGCGAGTTTCTCCTCCAGTCCCTCTTCGTAACCATCTTCACCCTTCTGGGGAATATGGAACCATCCACTGATGGCCATCCGCACCCGCTTCTTGGACTTGTCGTCTCCTTCCTTCGCGTGGTAAACCTCTTCAACGTCATGGAAACTCTCTCCGGGCTGGACGGTGAAGAAGCTCAGCTGGTTGAAAGCAGGCGGGATGCTCAGACTGTGATCCGGGCTGGGAATCTTCACGTCCTCCCCGTTTGCGTCTTTCTTCGTTGTCGTGGGGAATAACCGCAGGGCACCGCCCCACTCCGCCTGCCAGGGAGTGTCGGGATCGGTGAGGTACAGGATGTAGCTGACGCGTCTGCTGCCAATGACATCGTCGTGGCACAGGAGATGGCAGCCTTCGTTGTAAACATTAATAGCCATGTCCGTCTTCTGTCCACTCAATTTCCCCGAGCCAGTCACCGATGACAGGTACTCGCGGAACCGGGCCGAATACATGGCGTCGCGCAGCTTCAGCAACGATGGTAATCGCGACAAAGACGTGTCGTCCAGACCATCCAGGTTGGCTAGATCTCCGGACTGGAAGATCTTGTAGATATCCGTCTCCTTCTCGGTGAAATCCAGATGGGTCTGGATTTCGTCGCGGACTGATCGCAGCAGGGAGGGTTCGATCAGGGGACAGATAACACCATGCTTGTATCTGGAAGGCCATGAGTATTTTCCAATTCGTATTGCGCTTGGTCTAGGGGGTGATTCTGGGGACCTACGGAGCAGATTCGACGTATTTCTTGGCGTAGTCTTGCTGCACGGAGGGCTCGAACAAGCCGTCGCGGAATCGTGCAGCGACCTCTTCGCTGGATAATGCCCTTTTCTTCATTTCGGGCTGGCCATTGGCAGCCTGTGATTCGCTACCGTCCGTCTTGCGCTTCATTCTGCCTGAAAGGGAAAGAGATGGGGATGAGATTCGAGTGAACAGAAATGGGATATTGAAGCTATTGGAATGCGGAGTTTTTTTTTTTTTTTGAAGGCGGTGAGAATGGCACGCGCACTGATCAGGCCACCAGCATCAGGCCATCGTTTATGTCTATAGAACCAATCAATCAACGAATCTAGGAATCTAGGAGAATGTAAAGGGGGATGAAGAGTATCTACGGAGTATCATTATCGGGAATTAATATGTTGGTAAATAGGTCCGATGGGGTAAAATCAGACCTCGAGCTCGCTGTCTCTACGGTGGGCTACATACATAGTAGTATACCTCCTCCATACTCACTTCCTCGACTCTTGATATACCTCCTCTGTATGAAAAGATCAGTGACAGATAAGTAGACGTAAGTATCTCTGGAATCGCTGTAGTGACTAAATTAGGCATTCCTGCATACTGAAATGACCAGCATCGAGGACTCATAAATTTCTACAGCACGAGGTCTCCAGGTCCCGGATTTTGCAGTAGATATCTTTCTTCTGCAGGACAATCTAAATCAAATCAACAGATCATCTCAGTTCGAGCCCATCAAGCCCATATCCAGATGGAAAATGTGTGTCTGATGCGCATTTCTTATATCCCAAAGGAACGACGTCATCTGCCGTCTTGGCGCCATCGATCGTCGAATCTCCGATCGCATTCCATCGCCAACTTCCTCTCCTCCATCATCTTCAGAGCTCCAACCATGCAGCCATCTCAGGAGCACCGAGGCAGTCCAAATGATCGGCCAGGCACGCCTCCTCGTCCTCCTTATTCTCCTGTAACACCCGTCCTCAACCATCTTACTCCCCTTCCAAACAACAGCTTCCCCGCATCGTCGGGTCCGTCGCACTCTATTATTCCTCCTGCTCGATCTCCCTCTCCAACAAGTCAAGTCGCGCCACAAACTTCGACCTCAATTACCTCGAAATTACCACCGCCCCCGGTATTCACCCCCGAACCTCCGCCAGTGCCGATTTCCGAAAGCGAGAATCCCGACGCTATCGCGTTGCGGTCGGCTATCTCCATTCTCCAGCTCCAGAAGCAACAGAGTCTGCGCGACATCCAGTCGCTGGAGAGGTTGAAGAAAGCAGCAGCGGAAGATCCGGAGGGTTTTGCGCGTGAATTGGCGGCGGGAAATCTGTCAGCGAAAGATCCCGGTGGCTATGTCAATTTCACCCATGATGAGGAGGAAAAGGTGGCCGAGGGCGACGGCGAGGACGGGCAAGAGGGAACCCGAACAGGACTGGGAGCGATACCAACGCCGCAGAATGTGGTTCGTATGCCTCCTATCAACTGGGCCAAGTATCAGATAGTGGGTGATCCGCTGGATCGGATGCACGAGGATCAACGTCGACGACCTTTCCCCGGGGAACCTAGACGGGAGGATCATACGCAGAGGGCACCAGAGCATATCCTGGCTTCACCGTATCGCCCATTAGTAGATAAGCTGGAGACTCCAAGCAAAGTAAAAGGTACCAGCAAAAGCAAGAAGACATAGGGGAGCAGAGGGAGTGGTGACTGTGTACGTTTGGAGAAAACTATCTTAGAGCTATGGTACAGTACAGTCGGAAACAATCCTCCATTCAGCCATAGCACGTTAGCGCTCGTCATCCTGCTGCATTATCATGATCAATGAGTGTATCCCCGACAGTCTTCGGACCATCGCCCGCGAAAGGTGAAGACTGAATCAGAAAGAGAACATCACTCGCCTCCATGGGCAGCAGTGCATATCTATCCCCATGTCACCTGACAACACACATAATCAGCCATGCTGAAATGACGCTCACTTGTTGATATGAAACTCCTCAATTGCCTTCTGGAGACGTTCATGCGCCAGTCTCACTCTCTCCATCTGCGCTTCCCTACTATTTTCCTCCTCGCCCTTGCCATCACCTTCCTCCTTGGGCAGCTTTGCAAGAAAAGCTTTAATCTCGTGCCTGGGCGCACCAGACTGTCTGGCGGCCTCGCGGGCCTTGTCACGCAGTTTGTGCGCCACCTTCTTCCTGAGATTCTCTCTCTCGGCCATCTTTGCGTCCATTTTTTCTTTAGCTGCCTTGCTCACCTCATGGGCATGGATCCACCCCTGGGCCTTGGGACACTCCAACTTAGTCTGTTTCAGAATGGCAGCGATGGCATCGTTCGAGAGAGGTGGAGCGTCGATCACATCCTCGTATTTGGGGACCTCCTTAGGTGATGCAGGGCGGACTAGCTATCCAAATAATCAGCGAGAGACTTTCAGTACAAACCGGGCTACTTACGCCGTCGTAGCCAAGTTTGAACGGGGCAGGATTGTTGCGAGGAAGAACAACTTCGAAAGGCTGATTGAGAGACTCTGCTTTCTCCGCCCAATATCTCGCCATCGACAAGTTAGGACATTCCTTTTTGACTCTGGCGTTTGTGCGCTTGGTCTGTTTATGCTGGGTCTTAGTCTTAGCAAGAGCCTCGGAGACGTCCTCCTCGATCGAACGGGCAGCCCGCTTCATATTGGGATCAGAGTTGTTCAGCTCTTCGATCGCCGAGGGCAGGAGCCTGAGGATGATCAGATGGTTAGACAGCATACAAAGGTGTCTGTGATCAAGCCTAGAGAGGGGATAAGGTGAAGGTGACGCGACAGAGCGAACCCGCAACAATATGATTGGGTTATGAGCAGGGAATAAAGAACTAGATCATGGGCTCTCGGCACATTTGACTGATTGCACTCACTCCGGCTTCTTGCGACGAGATGATTTCTTTGGTGCCATTATTACAGTGTGGTGCCGTAGTTCTGTGATAGATAGTGCACAGGTTAAGGTAAAGAAAGAAAATTCTTTAGGCAAAATACAGCAAGAAATAGCTTTTGTTAGGACAGTGAATATAAGAAGTCTGGCTTGCACTAAATTACTATCTATAGGTCCCTATTTTTACTTACCCACTAGAATATAATATAAGTAAGATATATAAATCCATATAAAACTATAAGAATATATTAGTGCTATAATCTACCCTTTACATCCCCGTAACTTATTAGTATCTTTACAGCTGTGTTGTCAGTTCATATACTTCACTAAGAGCCCCTAAATTTGAATTGCAGATTCTAGATAGCTGGTGAATACTAGGCTCTAGTATTCTACTTTAGCTAACCATGGGTCCTATTAGATCTAGTGGATGACAATGAATGCCAAAGTAGTATACATCCTCCTTTCCAACCTAAATATAGTAGTAGAAAACTGCTAAATCCATCATACTTTATGTCTAGATCAGCAATTTATAAGATACATAAAGCAAATATCTACAGCCATATTTGGCAAAATCTAACTAATCATTCAAAGCTTCGCACTTCTTTTCTCCCAAGCCTCCACGGCTTTCAACCCATCTTCCTCTATCTGACTCTTCCTATCCTCCACTTGGTCCCTCCACTCCAGATTCGCCGCATGGCCATCCAGAATCCCCAACGAATGACGATACATCTCCTCCTTCATGGTACCGTAGATCCCTGTGGCCGCTTTCTTCAGTAATCCGCGCTCCCGAATAAACGTGAGCGTCTCCTCCAGACCTCCCAGTCCATCCACAAGGCCTGCACTCACCGATGGAGCGCCGCTGAACCGCTTTGCCTCCAGGACCAGGTCCCGAAAGGAGACTGGCGGTAGCTTTTCCCGGAAAATACACATCATTGGCGATTGCAGCGGCACTCCGAATTCAAGCTCGTTGATGCACAGGTATCCCTTGGAGGGGTTCTGGATCCGGTAGTCATGGTACATGGCCAGCATGCAGCCCCCGGCGAAGGCGTGGCCGTTCAACAGACAAATGGTCGGCATGGGATATCTGGTTCAGTTAGTTTGTATTCTTATTAAGGGACATATATATGTTTGGGTTGGACTTACGTCAAGAGTCGTCGGAACAGCTTCCACAGATAGTTCTCTACGAATCCTTCAGTCGTCTGTGCCAGCTCCAGATCCAGTCCATTGCTGTAGAACTTGGCAATGCCGCTGGTGGTAATCAGCACGCCTTTGGGGTAGCGGTGCTCGACCACGTCCAAGGCGAGTAGGAGCGCATCGATAAATACAGGCGTCAGTCGGTTGTCTTTGGGAGAGGTAAATGTCAACAGGTAGATGTTCTTTTCCTTTTCTGACGACGAAGGATTGCTGCAGACAATGCTGCCACCAGAGGCGATGGGGATGGTGAAAAGAGTGGTCATATTTGCCGAGGCTGTAGTGCTCTAGAGATATGAGAAGTATAGGACTGAGGTATGATGGAGAATCAATGACTGTGAGAGTTTATGTACTTATTCTGGAGGATGTAATTAACTCTGAATATAGCCGACAACAAGAATTTGCACGAATAGAAGAGCAGCAGAGCCGTGTTTCCAAGATTATGGCTTCGATAAATTGTCATCATCGACACCGCGGTATCACATGTTGGCATCGACATCTTGTGATGCTGACTCAGAGATTACATAACCTTGAACCGTCGCCGACTATATCCATCCAACGTCCTTCAGAATACACACCGCAACATCCTTCACGTTTTTCCCATCGGTTGAGATGCGACGGGCCCAGTCGCCGACTTCCTCTTGAAGGATGGATGACATTTTCTGACTGCTATCCAGGTGCTGGTCGAGCAAGCTCCCAATTTCTCTCCTCTGGAGCCTATCCTGAGCCACAGCATCCACTGCAGTCAGGATAACCCCATCTAGGATCAGTTCTTCCTCTTCGGAGGGGCTTCGGACGATCTGTTGTATGGTTTCGCGGATTGGTTCATGCTCGAGCACCATGGCAGTTCCAGAGAGAATCAGCTTCTTGCAGCCCCGTTGACGGTAGTAGTTCCCGCACAGGGCGGCGAGATTGCTGAGCATCATATCGGGTCCGACTTCTTCGGGATAGATGAAATCGAGATTGTCGCTGTCAATGTGTGCATGGGAGATGTTGTGTCGTCGAAGCTCCGCCGACATCTCGTTCGCGACGGAGGTCTTGCCCACGCCGGATCTACCGGACAGGAGAATAACGTGGACGGTCATTCTGTACGATTGGACAAGGGTTCTCTTATCAAGTATAGGCCAGGAGACTATGAGATGTGCTTATAATCCGTTGAGCTGATGTGCGGCTGACTCATTGAGTGACTCATAACTGGGTCTACAGGCAACAGCTCGTCGATCCCTACTGAATGATTATTTTGAAGATGTGCGAACAAAAATAACTAGTGCCTTTAGTCATTGCTTGTCCTACGAGCCTGCTGGTTGAGACGGTGAACTGTGGGGGTTTATAGCGGCGATAGAGTATTTAAATCTGCCAAGACGGGGATTTCCGTATAACTTGTTATGTCCTATGACCAAAATACCAAGTGGCACATGGTCTGGCTCAATATCCAGCTGTTCAGACTCGATCAGAGCAAGTCTACGAACCATTTTGACCATTAAATAGTAAACAAATATAATTCATGATCCCTGCCAACTACTAATCCCTCACCACCTCATCCTGCACAAAGTCTCCGAAATCTCTCCGTACCTCACCGTATAAATTAAATCTTATATACACCACAACTGCATCCAAAAATATGACACTATCCACAAGAAAATGGCAACCATCGCCTTTCCCTCCCTCTCCAAATGCCATACCCTCTCTACTTCCCACACGTACACCTACGTTCACCATCCCGCCTCTCAATCCCATCCTACTCTTCTCTTCCTCCATGGCTTTCCCTCCTCCTGCTTCGACTGGCGACACCAAATCCATTTCTTCGCCAACAAAGGTTACGGAATCCTCGCCCCAGATCTCCTAGGATACGGCGGCACCTCCAAGCCCACATCCCTCGACGCCTACCGATCTAGACCCATGGCATCGGAGATAATCGAGCTGATGGACCACGAGGGGATCGCACGCGTCCACGCCGTGGCTCACGATACGGGCTGTAATCTGCTCTCACGACTGGCGGATTACTTCCCCGGTCGGTTACTGTCGTGTACGTTTCTTGATGTGCCGTATTCGAATCCAGGGGAACGCTTCGATCTCCAGATGGTCAATTCCCTGACTAGGGAGTTTATGGGATTTGAAAGGTTTGGGTATTTGGAGTTTTTTGTCCAGAGTGATGCGGGGAGGGTGTTAGATGAATCGGTATGTCATTCTTTTCTTTTCCTTTCCTTTCTTTTAAAGAGTTTGTTGTCTGGTAGAGACCACGGATTGATATCTGCATACCTAACCAGGGAGACTCATTCTTCACGCTCTTCTACCCTGCTGATCCTGACCTCTGGATCACCGACCTTGGTCCAATAGGCGCACTGAAATCATGGCTCCTTAATGACCGTCGGGGTCCTTTACCCACGTATATCAGCGAAAAGGTAGGAATATATATCTCCATAGATCGACTCACCACTGCACTATAATATAATACTGACTTACTCACCACGCCAGGAAAAAACCACCCATCAAACAATCATGAAGGGGCAGTACAGCCATGCCCTGAAGTGGTATCAAGCTCTAGTGGGAAACATCAACGAGGAAGATGAGATCCGAGCCGGTCTGCGTCCGGTTCTCCCTATGCCGGTGCTGATGGTCAGTCCACAGCCGAGTCGACTGCAGTTCCCCGGGACGATGGAGAAGATGAATCAAGTGGCAGGGGACTTGACGATGAAGACGGTCTCTACTAAGGGTCATTGGGTGCAGTTGGAGGCTGGAGATGAGGTTAATGCTTTTCTAACGGAGTTTTGGGAGCAGGCGAATGCGTAGGTTGTGGTTATGATGTAGATAATAATAACCCGGAACTCCTCTCTCTTCTTGAATAGTTTGTTTTATTAACTGAAACAGAATTACTTATAACGTAAATCGGTAAGCGAGCGCCGCATGAAAAGCGAGCGCCGCGCCTCTGTATTCCATATAAAATGTCACTTTTGAGAGTCTAATATCTCAACAATAAAGCACCTAGAGAGCATAAAATTTAATATACAGTATAATATAATACTGTGTATTTATATATTAAGCAGAGAAATTTCCGGGATGAATATTTCTCCAGGTAAGATAAATTGCAGCTGTATTTTTTATACTTTTAGTTGTCCTAGTATTTAAAGCCAAGAAAACTATTTAAAAACATGAAAATATAAAAATACCCTTTTAGAGTTCATATATATATTATTATCTTATCAAGATGTTTCTATATCTACTGGCGGTTGAGATATTAAGGTTTCAAAGAGTGCCATTTTATATGGAGTACAGAAGTGCGGCGCTCGCCTTCAATGCGGCGCTCGCTTACCGATTACGTTATTTGTCAATGATCCTGGGAGTTTTGAAAGCCCTAAATATAAGCCCCAAAAGATCTATCAAAGAAAAGACCAAGGATAAGAGGCCCTCATCATAATTAACCAGTAAGAAGCAAATAAAACCTCAATCCTAGTGGTATTAAGCGCGACGATTCACCACGCAGCAAGGTCGGAGCAAACACCCATGACGTCATGCGGATGTCAATAAATATTCAACTATTGTGCACGTTCAGATATCAAGTCAATTCTCATGGCAAACCATAAAACACAGACTACACCATGACCACCTCAAACTCCCCATCCCAACCCCTGAAACAGGCCGCGTACAATCAATCCAAGAACCCCGTCACACGCACACCTGCCGGGCAGCGAGTAGCACCTCCGCCACGACAGCGCGGTGACCCCGTACCCTCTATAAATCGTCACACAGCCGACTCCCGCCCATCCGACGATGAATCTCTAGCGCATCTGCAGGAGAAGCGTCAGCGACAGCAGGTGGTCATGTGGGATGCCATAGATGTCGATCTAGAGTATGGTGCCGAACAGCAGCCGGATGAGGGTGATATTGCAGCCGCTGTGAAAGAGAAAGGCCGACGAGCGCAAGCAGGTGCGCATGCCGGTCCGGTGGGCAGTGCCTTCGGACCCGGGTATACAGGGGTTGGAGAAAAACGCGATTTGGCGGCGGATATGGGGCGGGAATGTCAGGAGCATGATCGCGTGTTGGGCGATAGTGTTGGGCAGTCACCCCCGGAGTCAAATGGGGAGACAGCGGAGGGAACGCTTGAGACGGCGGGAGTTGGGGGATAATAGGAAGCTGGATGCTAAAGAAGTTGTGCACGAGGCAACGGGAGACACGGGTGTAGCGTGAAAGTGACCATAGTTATACAACGTATTATAATCCTGTCATGTATGAAAGTGGAAGAGCATAAGTCACAATTAAACAGTACTTCCCATGACATTTAGGTATCAGAAATAGGACCGTTCAACAAAAAGGGAGAACAATCAATCATCTGCATCATCGCCTTCGCCCACAGAAACCTTCTTCAAAGACAAGTCCCGCTTTAAGTCCTGGATCCGCCGGGCCAGTTTGCTCTTCAGGATGTGGTTCTGCATCTTCTCCCATTTCGCCGTTTCAGTTCGGATCAGTGCTTCCAACTCCGTAATTTCCTCCCGCTGCTGTTGCATCTGGCGTTGCTGCTCCAACTGTTCATCGTCCAGTTCTTCTTCCGGCACATCACCTTCCCCATCCGACCCGTCACTGTCATCTCCTGATGTGTCGGCAGCCGGCGTCGATGGCTTAGTCGCGGTAGGCGTACCGGCGTGATATACTGACCCATCGCCAGCAATTGCGCCGCCTGCTGCTCCCACAGCTGCAGTTTGGGCTTCGGCCCCGGCAGCCAAGGCGGCCTCCATTTCGGCAACAAGCGTATCCTCAAAGTCTTCGAACGCTGCTTCGTCTATGCCCTCATCCAATTCACCCTCCGCGTCCTGTTCGTCGTCGTAATACTCTTCTTCCTCATAGGCCCCACTCTGTACGAGTCCCTCGGCACGATTTAAGGATGCGCTATCAACTAATTCATATCGGGGAGGAGACACAGAGGCCTCATCTTGTGCGATCAAATCTTCAACTGCCTTCTCCACCTGTTCGATCGTGCGCGTGCTGATTCGTTCACGGAATCGCCGCTTCCTCACCCACCGCATGGGAGGGGCCAAGCCATGAGGGTACAGGAAATTCTTGTTTTCGTTGTGCTCTACCTCGCTGGGCAGTGGGTACTCCATGGCCTCCATTTCGTGGGAGATAGGACCCAGGACGAGGAGCATTTGGCAGATATCGGCCGACTTGTACCAACCGCGACGGTCCCAACTCTTCATCCCCTCGACGATGGATGGTAAGTCCACTAGGGCCGCAGCATACTGTTTGTCTCGAACTCGGAAGATCGCCCGTCGGCCCTCACGATTTAACGGTTTAAACGAAAACTCCGATCGATCGAACCGCCGCTCTTCAATGGCACGTCGTAAGTACTCGCAGTCTTCTCCGGGAGGCATGCGTAAAATGAACTGTTCTTCAATGGAGGGATCGACTTCCGTGTCCGAGGCCTCTGAGTCGTAGCCAACACCCACTGGTCGGTTAGGGACTAGACCCTTGTTCTTTATACGAATTGACTGCACGCCCGGCTTCTTGGATGGATTCAGCTTCAAGCGTTTGGGTCCAGACGGCTGCTCCTGCTGCTCCAAGTTGATTGCAGTTGAACCTTTCAACACGGGTTCTTCTGCAGGACGCTTCTTTGATGGTCTTTTCTTTTTTGGTTTCTCCTCCTCTACGCCCTCCGTAGGCTTTCGAGCGATCTTTAGGGTGAGCTTACGCTGAGGGGTTTGTGACGACGCAGGAGCAGGAGGGGCATTCTGAGGTGGCTCCTCCGACACTTTTTTCTTGCCAAAGGTGATTTTGAGCGAGGGGCGAGCTTCTGACATGATAGCGAGAGATGATCTCAAGCTGAACCAAGCTGACGTCGAGGATGTGATGTCGAGACGGTTGAGCTGTGCCAGAGGGATGAATGAGAGGGAAGAGGGAAGGCGGAGGGCAGAAGCGCGGCCAACGGCTTTCCGCCTTTTGCTCTCTTGCGGCCTCGCTCCAACACAACCTCAGCGCATTGTCTCTCTCCGTCACGTTGGGCTTGCATTGCCTTCTATTGTCTTCGGTTGAATTACGTTTATTTCATTTCTCTTTGATACTTACCATCATGTCTGGGCCCAACCTACATAACGCCCTTCTACGTCCCCCCATTATCCAGATCCTGCGAGCTGCTGGTTTCCATGCAACGCGTCCATCCGTATTAGATACACTCGCCGATCTCACTGCTCGCTACATGATGATTCTCGCTTCCTCTGCCACTGCTCATGCCTCGAACGCCCATCCGAACGACCCCACGCCCGTGCTGGAAGACATCTACCAGGCGCTACAGGACACTGGCGCCCTACGACCACAACTACGAGGATGGGAGGAGGATTGGCAATGTGATGAAGATATGCGAGGACTAGAGGGATTTCTCTCGTGGTTTACGGGCCCTGCAAACCAGGAAATTCGACGGATTGCAGGGTTTGTGCCTAGTGAAGGCGACGTGGTCGACACCGATTTCCTGGAAAAGGAAGATTTCTTGATGGTTTTGAAGAAGAAACATAGTAAAACGGGGGAGGAATCTCGATACGCGGGCACTGTACTGGGGAAAAGTGCAGAGGAGCATCCAATTGTTATCGAGGGTGGTGCTCCTAGCATTCAAGAATGGGGCACCCAGGTGCGATCGCGTGCTCCGTACTTCGCAGAGAGTGACTCGTCAGGTGTGAGCAGCGCCCCTAGCAATTTGTCAGATGCAGATGGTATGGATGTGTGAAGAGTGTCGGCGAAGAGCAATTAATATTCTCTGACTTCGACGACTCTCACAACAGCGCTACTGAGTGTTTTAATGTCGAGAACGTGATTCACCACATGGCTCCTGCTGGGCCTCCATGCAACTGAGACATCTGATTGAGCTTTATTCGGGCCATTGGAATGATAGATGATCTTGGTGCTCGCTCCGATCCTGGCTTCGATCATGGTAGTACAGTTCTCAAGGCGTTCCTCAGGATTTGATCGATGGGCGACTTTCTGTTGACTCCGTGAGGATGAAACCACTACAATGTAGGCATATGGGCCAACTGATGAAGGAATTAGGCCCAGAGGAGTTTAGAATCCATCTGATAGTGTATGCTATCGTCTAGAGATCTGGAAAGAATCGAGCGTTGTTCTAATTCCTGGCATATCACGGGGGCCCGCGGTATGAGGGAAGAAGACAAATAGATAGGCTTCAGCATGTATCTACCGATTCAATCTATATACCTATTTCGTTCATCGTAAGCTGGCATCTCGTAGGTTGACGTTCGCGACTTCTTGGCTGGCGGTGATATCAACATCCGCCCGATGTTCACCACAACGTCAACCTCCACCATCACCAAGCTGCCCACCATGGTCTACTCCTTCGTCCTCCCAACGACCTCCCATCTGTCCTTCCAGAAATTTATCTCCTCCAGCACTCACCCCTCCTTACCACAGGCAGCCACAACAGCCCGCCATGCCCTGCGAATCGCCCTCAAGACCCACAAGCGTCTACCCCGCGGAACTCAACGCGACTCGCATTTTCCCTCTATCGTGAACGCCGCCTATGCCTATATTCCCTATCTCCAAGCCATCTCGAACGGTCTCAACGGAACCCCTATCCAACCCAATAACTCCTCTGAGGTGATCGAAATCACCCAGCATGCCGAGATCGAATGCGAATGGCGCGCCACCCTCACCTCTGTCGCCCTCATGAAGATATCCCACCCCACGGCCAGCCGAGTCCGTATCCAGGGCATTAATTCCGAACTCGCCTTCGTCCTGACCACCCTAGCATACGCTCTAAGTGGCCTCGCCAGTGTCACCGTCAACCGGACCGTCTACTCCACGACAACCCCCTCTGCTGAACAACGCACCACCGCTATCCAAGAATCCATGAAATATCTCCTCCAAGCTGCATCCGTGCACTCTCTTCTCGGCTCCTCCCCTGCACTGGTCAGTGTCTCCCGCCCCATCCTCGATCTCGACCCCGCTACCCAAGCCTCTCTCTCGTCGCTCGCCCTCGCGGAGGCCACTCTCCTCGCTGTCTTCAAAGATGACTGCTACATCACGGCGTGTATCCAAGCTCGCAACCCAAACGATAAGGACTGGATGGTTCGTGCCCCCGAGATGCCCAAGGTGCGAGCACCACTCTTCGCCCGTCTGTGCATCCGCGCCGCTGAGTATGCGGAGCAAGCCGGCGCAGGGATGTGCGCCGCGGGCGCAGAAGGGAAGTTCCTTGTCAGTGAGGATCTCGTCAACTATACGGATAAGTTGAGGGTGGTAGCGCGCGCACGCGCATGTCGCTTCTTCGGGATCGACGCCGAGTTGGCGGGTAAAATCGGGGAGGGCATTTCTTGGTTGCAGGCGGCGCGGGAATGGTCCGGGTTGACGGGCATAGGATGGACAAGACAGTATGCGCAGCGCATGCGCGTGGGAAAGGAGGGTCCTGGGATGTTGTCCAAGTTAAAGCAGGGATGGATGGACCGACGGGAGGAAATGCACCCGGGATCGGACAAGGCGGAGTTGAGTCTGGGAGACAGTAGTGGGAGGGATGAAGAGGGAAGAGTGATTGAGATGCTGGAGGCGAAGTGGACGAGAATGAATGATACGGTATTTTCCCCCTCCCCCTCTGTAGAGGGTGACTGTAACCAGCAGGGTGAGATACTAATGTGTTCTCAGATCAATACGCAGCTGGTCCCCCCGTTTAACGATCTGGTGAGTAAATTACCATCCGGTCGAGATATTGTTTCTCCACCAGTTCCGTATCAGCTTTCCCCGTTGGACGAGGAAGAATTGGCACATATGCGGGCACCACCAGCCGAGGACGAGTTCAAGTCAAGCAGCGACGTCGATGACAGCGACGACGAACCATCCGCAGCGCGAGATACGCCGGGAACAGTTCCCAGTAGAAGCACCAGCGCTTATTATTAGATATACCCCATGATGGACATCTATGACAGAAATATAAGTTTGATATAGTTTGATAATCTGATATCAACCCAAACCATGCATCTTGTAATATGTACAACACACAAATGCAGAATGAATCACCTAGATGCCTCACAACAAGGCCCTCCTCCTTCCTATATCAATCACCGTAATCTAGCCAGCCGAGCGACCCAAGAGAAAAACAAAACCACAGTGAATTTATTCAAGCTAAAAACAATCGATACCCGCAAAGCACCCAACAAAAGAAATACAGCGGCGAAATCTGAAGACTCTAGGCGGACTTCTCGTTGGAGAAATAGTTCTTCTCCTGGAACAGATAACCCTTGATTTTGCGTTCGGAGAGCAATTCGAAGTATTTTTCTATACGCAGTAAGTTAGATATACATTCCCATATTTCTTCCTTCACAACGGGAAAACAGTAGACGCTAGGCGGCAGAAGTGAAATAACAAATCCATACGACAATGGATAAAATTAAAAGAAAAAGACTCACCCCTCAAAACCCCACACTTCTCAAGATGATTCACCCCCTCACGGGCATAACACTTGCCCAATTCCTCACCCACCAGACGGGACATCATACTGCGCACCCATTGCTCACGAATGATGGCGTCGCGGGCGTTGTGTACCGCGACGTTGTCTTCGAAATCGACACCATCGTAGGTTGGTGCGACAGTAGGCTTTTTGGCCAGGAACGAGGCGGATTCCGGAGTGGGCATTTTCGATTTTCCTTCGTCTAGTTCGGCACAGATGGGAGGGTTGCGAGAAAATAGACTGGTTGATTGATTGACTGGCTGATTGTCTGTTCCTGGTCCTTGTGGAGGAGCAGTTGTGCAGAGCTCGAGTCGTTTTCTGGTCCTCCAGGCCAGTCGGAGTCCGGAGGTTAGGCACAATTGGGGGGTGGTGATTGGTCGTTCGGCGGGCGGTCTGGTAAGGGGATTATTGACACTAAGTGTGCAGTTTGGATTAGTCAGTATCACGTGGTTAACTAGGTATTCCTCTTTGACTATTTGTACGAATTAATGCGATACATTTAAAAGTCGCTCCAAACGCCTTGCCAAACAGAAATCCAATGTGAATGAGTCACGTCGTTCAATATAAGTCACAGAATTACTGCTGTAACTCCTATCCCCCGGTCTGTCCAGTCACCCGCGTATACAGTTCCCTTATAGAGTTACGTATGCGCTCCCACCAGGTACGATTGAGCCAGTCGCTATATGCCCGGTACTGATACATCTCCGCCCAGCAGTCGCGACCGAATTCACAGCCGGCCATATTAACAAGGAAATCCCCTCCACCTTCCACGTAATGCACGTCCGGGTCATCTCCATCACCACATGCTCCTGGAGGAAATGAATTTATGTACCGCTGGGGCAGGAATCCGACCCTGCTGCGGACCCACGGTTGGGTGGTGTACAGATACTCCAACGCATCCTGCTCTTTGTGCTCCCATTCCATGTGGCTCTGTTCGTACATGACGGGATCCCACCAGGCATCCAGTAACCGGTCAGACCACTGCGAGCGTCGGATAAAGAAAGAGCCCAGGTTGAAGCCGCCGCAGTCTTGCGAGAGCAGGAAATGGATCGAGGAAGGGTCCTGATCTCCGTCAGGTGAACGGGAAATGTCGTCAAGATATGCTGCCGTTGGTGGATGGGTGATGTTTAAAGGATTATGCTGATTGATGTCGCGGTAGGCAATCTCACCGAGCCTATTGAATATATGGGCGGGCAGAGAATATGAATATTCCATAATCCATGTGTGGATATCTAACCACCAGAACCTAAGGGTAATAGGTTAGTAGAAACTCAGAGCTTGTGGCGGGAACCCACACCCACCATTCGGCGTCAGGGTACTTCCGCATAGTTTCGCGGAGCAAATCGACCTTTTCCCAGCTTTCGCGCCACTCATGCGAATAACGCTTCTTCGCCAGCATGTTGACAACCTCCAACTCATATCCCCAATGTTTCGTGTACCTCTTCTTATTCCAAATGCTGTTGCGCTCGACGGCCCACTCACTGGCTCCCTTCCATTCCATGACGCCACCTTCGACGTTGGACTCCAGGATCACCACGAATTTGCGACCTCGTCCCAATGGCGACCGCCGATAATGCTCCACGAGAACTGTCGTCAGTTAGTAAGCGGAACACATGGCCCTTAACAAAGTGACAGCCTTACACGTCCGGAAGTACATGTACCCAACAACGACGAAAATCAGCGCCAGGAAGAACCGTGATCTCCGGCGGCGCAGCAGTGCTCTACCATACCGAAAAGAGCGCCAATGAGTACTGGACGAAAAACTTCGGCCACGTTCATAATACTCATCCTTGTCCACGTAACCCTCTGATGTACCAATATTCTTTCGAAAACGAGGCAAGGTGGCGTACAATTGACTTTTCGATCGCGAAAAGAAGCCATTGTTCTTTGTAGAAAACGACGGATATTTTCGAACCTCATCGCTTTTCGCCTTTGCAGCAGCCCATGAGATTCCACCAGGCCCTAAAGAACTCGGAGTCAGGAGACCACTGCGCGGAGTTGAACTGCCGCTGCCCGGGGTGAGGCCCGGGGTGGACCACCCAGCTCCCGGGTGGGGAGAGGGTGATCTAGACACGGACATCGGGCGGAGAAGGGGACCTGAAACCACCGTTCAGCCGCAATTAGTACTCCCCCTGTCAAGTGGATTTGGGACAGGTGATGGTTGTTTCAGCGGAGCGGAAGTAGGCTGGGAAGGAAGTCGAAGAGAACACAAGAAGCAATGAAACGAAAGGGGGCAAAAGTAGCAAGTGTTTAGAAGGGGAACATCGACCCGACGGAACAGGGATAGCAGGAAGCCATGAGATGTCTGTCACCTGGCTGAATGTTAACTTCCAAGTATATAGTTGTATAAATGGATGGGAAAGAGAGAGAGAGAGTTGAAAGGGTCTCAAGGTAGGGGGGGCAAAAAGAGAAAAAAAGGTACCGCAGCCTGTGAAGGATAGCCGTTTTCGTCGATTGAGGTCCAGTCAGAGACATAGAGTGGGACGAACACTAGGGGAGCCAAGAATAATGCAGGTAATAAAAGATCACAGTTGCCATGGACATTCTACAACACCAGGGACGCTGTCCATCACTATCATATCAGAGAGCATCCTAGAAGTTAACCACAGTCAAGAAAAAGCACTTAATTAATCAAAAAAGGATTGCGACACCACCTGAATGAGAGGGCTTTGGTGGCAGATAAGATGAGGACAGGCAGGAAATGAGCTGCCCCACCGCATTTGGAGACTTGGCTTGGTTTCACTCCATATTTAAGCCTGCAGAACGGCTACCAATGCAGGTGCAGGGGCTGTCCAATTAAGTTATTCAGTTAACTAACGTGAATTTTCTGTTACTAAGCGACGATCTTCTGCATCAGTGCAAGGAACAGCAGAGCCGCTGATTTGCAGGACAACTCCCTGTTCTTTTCGCATCGGGTCAATACTTCGTACTCTGTGCAGGTTGACCGAGACCATACTCTTTGTTACCGCAAGGAGCACGTGATCTTCATGTGTACAATTGGTATTTGCATTGTTGCTTCATACTATTTTATTTTTTTGTTCCCCTTTCGATCTTTGCTGCATTCCAATGCTGCCATCACCATTATCTCGATATGTATCATCTAGAAAAGCCCGCCATGAATAACAACTCCAACTTTCCTAGAGTAGAGATGCATAAATACACAATCCCGTTGCAAGAAAACACCCGAACAAGATACAAGTATCCTTAAAAAATCGTCCATTGTCGTCAAGTCTCAGTCCCGTTGATCACTTACTTCTTCTCATGGCGCTCCTTCCGTCCAGGTAGTTGATTCGCTGCGATGTCCTTGGGCATCAAGACCTTCCGTACGGTAAACCCATTCTCGTCCTCCGGCCGGCGACGGGCACTATCGCCATGATAAAACTCACACTCGAATCTCAAGAACTTATTGCGGTGCTGATAGACTGTAATGATATCGCCGGTGTAAAGCTTGCCAAAGTGGAACCCTTGCCGACCATCGTTTCCTTCGGGCCCTCGCCGCAACTCCGTGCCGTTCACCCAGATACATTTGCGTGTCTTCGTGGAGAGAATTGCCATCACATTGGGAACTGACATCCAGGATTCTCCTGCTGCAATTCGAGATTCAATGGCCGGTGCCCAGAAGGTCACCTCAAGAGCGTATGCGGGGATCCGAGTATCCATGGGGTCCGGGTGGCAGATCGTTGCCTGAGGACCTCGCCCCCAGGATGTCAGCCGATCCTCCAGACGGATCGTCAAGTCGAATATTGATCCCGACAATGTCGTCAGCTTGCCCAGGAGAGGCTGCGGCTGGTGCGGCTGGATCACAATCCGAGGGATTCCGGTCAATGCGTGCTCCGGTACGGGTTCAATCAGGAGGTCACTGTCTGTCCGGTCTCTAGGATCCGGTAGTGGCTGGCCAGTCTGAGCATCCATTGTGTTTGCAAGTTCGATATCGAAGATCCCATCCGAGGCTGCTTGGGATCCACTGGGCTTGTTCTTCGTTTCTTGTGCAGTTGTATCAGGGCTTGAACTTGAACGTTCACTGGCCGTATCAGGTATAGGTAATTCAATCCGTCGGCTGAATTTCGATGCTTTGGGTGTGTCGCCACCAGGAACGGCTTGCTGGGGCACCGAGACATTTTTGGGTACGGTTTCATCATTGGCTTGCCGCCCCGGTGCCCCGGTGACTGGGGGAAGGTTGGTCGATGTGCCAGGGTGCCACGTGGAATTCATGTTCAGCTGCCCAACGAGGTTCTCAGTTCCCATCAAGCTTGGCGCGGATCCGGCCACGGGGTTATCCGGGAGGGACAGGACAGAGTTGAGGCTCATGCCGCCGCTGATTATCGACTCACCGGCTGAAGAAATAAAATCATGAATGCTAAAATTGCCATCGCTTTCAAATTCGGCGGCATCATCCCCCAGCGCATGGGAGCTTTGCAGGGCGGAGGGGTTGATCTCCCCGAAAAGACGTTTGGGGGTTGCATCGGCCCCGGCCTGGAACTCTTTGAAGCTTTCAATGTTGGGAAGTGACGGGTAACGAATATCCGCCGGAGGGTTGTCAATCCTGGGCCGTTTGGATTGCGCCAGGTCACTTCCCTCTTCATCTGCATCCTCTGCGTCTACATTGTCGTTTAGAGACAGCTGAGATGCATCTAGCTCATCCTCTAGATCTTCGCCGATGTCTGACAGTAATTCCGCACCACTGAAAACAGCTTCGTCTTCATACTTATCAACATCTTCGACATCAGCAATCCATCGATGCCGGAGGCATTCCCGTTCTTTCGGACGATCGTGAGGATTGCGATTTAACAGTTGGGCAACGAAGTTAATACCCGCTTCGGATACGCCCTCCCTGCGGAGTACATCAAAGTCGGCGTCGGTCGTCATGATAGTTCGCAACATTTGAGCCCCTCTATCATCCCCTCGACCGGTATATGCAGGGACCCCAGCAAGTAGATGGTATAGAACCGCACCTAAGGACCACGTGTCCACAGACTGACCGTACGGAGACGTTTTAGCGGGTCTGACGATCAGCAAAATGTCAAAGAAATTTGGGAGGCAGATGAACTCACGGATCACCTAGTCTTCGCCTCTTCTTGATTTCACCTCGGCGATAGGTTTCGTACTCTGGGTACACTTCAGGAGCACAGTACAGTAATGTACCGCAGAATGTTTTGAGAAAGCTTTCCTCTTGAACTACCTTCGATAGTCCAAAGTCCGATAACTTTACCCTTAACGGGTCAAGCGATGAGATCAAGATGTTGTCTGGCTTGATATCCCGATGTGTAATTTTCCGCTTGTGAAGATACTGCAGTGCGTGGAGCAACTGACGAGCAATGATTTTGACCATGTCCTCAGGAATCTTACCATGGGATTGAAGATATGTCGAAAGCTCCCCGCCAGGAACATACTCCATAATAATGTATATCCATCTGTCATGCTCATGGTGGTCGATATACTGGACAATATTTGGCTGTTGAAATAGGCCGTCAGTAAACTTTCTATCGGGGATAGGACTCAGCAACACGTACATGTTTGAGATCCTTCATGATCTTCATCTCGTTGTCTACTTTGTGATCAAGTACCCCGTTCTTCATAAATCGTCTCTTGTCCAGCTCCTTGGCCGCGTAGATGGACCCATGCTGTTTTGTGGCTAGTTTGTACACAGTTGCAAAAGCCCCCTTGCCAATCTGACCAGTGACGTTATACGTAGAACCGCCGCTCCAGTGCATTCCGTATGAGTTGGAACCCGCCCACTGCAAAACAGGTTGGGCTGAGGTTTGATGGGTTTTTGGCTGCACAGTACCTGTCCGATGTCTTTGGACTCTTTCAATATAGCGGAACATGTTCTCTGTATATTGCATGGCAAATCCTTCCCTAGAGGGTATGCGGACCACGAATCTCACTTCCTCCAGGCCCGGACCACCGTTTGATACTTGAATTACAGAGCCGTTTGTTAGCATCCGACTGCTTTCTTTCTGGTTCTTCCGGAGACGGCAGTTGTCTACAATGGTGCCATTGGTTGATATGTCCTCGAGCATGATAATCCCATCCTCTGTCAGATAAATTCGATAGTGCGCATTAGAGATACGCTTGAAGTTAGGATCTGCAGCAAGGAGAATGTCACAGCAGCTTCTGTTTCGACCAAAACAAAACCCTACAGCCAAGTCACGGACTGGAGATGACAGCCGAAGTGCAATATCATAAGCGGCACCGGTTGAGCTTTCGGGACCTAGCTCATCTCTCTGGAGAATGTGCTGCGAACCCATAGGAACTGTTGCACTCACCGCCTGATGGGCAGGGGGTGAGGTAGGGTGCAAGATACAGATAATGTCTGCTACATCCTGCTCATGAAGGCCGGAGTTGTTGTATCCCATGCGACGAGGGTCGGTGCATGGTTGGGTTGATTCTTGAGTTGCTTCCATTTGGATTGATATGTGAAGGGCTTGTATGCAAAATCAAAGACCAAACCACTAAAATATACAAGGACAGATTATCCTCAGAATGGATGGTTGCCTAGAATATGCCCAAATATGGTATTGATAGGAAAGGGTAGCTGAATAACCAATGTAATCGTCAAGGCGTATCCATATCCTGAGTCTACCCGATTGTCAGCAGCTTCACTCTGGTAAATAAATCAATACCGATAATGAAGACGGCAAAAGTACCTTTCAAAAAACAGGATGGCGAAAGATAGCAGCAACAGTTTATGGATGCGGGGAACCTCCACGGATGCCTGTTCGTGAGTGAATACTCGAGGGGGATCAGGCATAAAATACAAGCGCTAGAGTCCAAAACCATAGAACTGTATTGAGTCAAAGAACAGCAGAAGTTAATCCCAAGATCAACAGGAATCTCCAAATTGCTTCGCTATATCTCGTGATGCCTTGAATTCAGCTAGGATCTTCGGGATATATTCGTAGGACTCATAGACCAGAGTATTCCTACACTTGATAGCCAACGGAACGGTCAATCTAAATCTGTGCAACGCAGGATATCGTAAGGCGAGACCATCGAGTCAGGGAGCGACGATAGGGAAGGAGCTCTGCTCTAGTAAATTAGAGGATAGTATTCTATGTCTGTGAGAAATCATTCGTGATTAGACTTGGTCGAGGTAAAAGTATCGATCAACATCAAACTGCAAGGGACTTTCACTCACACAGTTGGCAAACTCCCCCTCAACCATCCACTGCACAATCAAGGGGTAAGATTGCTGCAATGAGACCTGCTTGACAGGGGAAGCTGGCAACGGGGACGGCACAAGAGGCTGTCTGGATAGGAGTCGTCGACCGAGAAACGGGAGCGAGGCTGAAATAGAACGGTTAGTTCCGCTGTATTTGGAGCTCCTGTGTCCCGGGCATGAATCAGGCACCAATAAGGCATCAAGTACTAGTGCCTGAGGTGTCAGGCGGCGATCGGACCAATGAGAGCGCGAACCGACACAACAAGCGGGAGCCATCCATGGGTCGTACGGGAGTGGGACAATGCACTCTACGAAGCTCTCTCATGGGTGACACAACCTAGTCTATTGAGTCTCTAGGCGTCTTTATTTACTTCCATATGGTTTACTTTCGTTGGTACTACGCTGGAACTTCCCACTCATTGCTACATCAAAAGCCTGTCCCAACCGTGCAATCGCCTCCTCCGACACCTCTGTGACGAGTCAGAAATAATACCCATGCTACATGGCACTTGGCAGTAGACAGAGGTAACTTACGGTAGTGGATAACAACGCGTCCTCCTAGCAATTTCAGCCCCTTTTCTTGTCCAATATCCGCTAAATCATTGGGCCCCAGACCAGATGACTCCAGATCCAACCACACCATGTTTGTCTCTACAGGGTGCGATAGCTTCCCCCCGCGGCTGGTCCACATTTCAGCTACTCGTTTGGCTTTGACATGGGATTCCTGGAGTTTCCCTCCATTTCCGTAGGGATCTGATCCAAACGTTTCTTCAACAGCTACTCGGGCGGCTGCAGCGATCACCCCAGTTTGTCGGACACCTCCGCCAATTGACTTGCGGAACCATCGAGCTTTCCTGATGAACTCCTTGGAACCGACAAGAATGCTCCCAATAGGGGCGCCGAGGCCTTTGGAGAAACACAAGCTAACGCTGTCAAAGAGACTAGCATATTCAGTTAAGCTACCAGCCCCCGACACCACCGCTTCCCATAGCCTAGCACCGTCCAGATGTACCTTGATATTTGTTGCATGGGCCCATTCCGTAATCCGACGCGCCTCTGTCAGAGGCATAACCCTCCCATCCAGGGTATTCTCCAGACAGATGAGTTTCGTAGGGCAATGGTGGATATCATCGTCAAGCACAGCATATTTTTGAATTTCTTCGAGGGTAAGATAAGATCCGTTTTTGGGGATCACTGGTTGAACCATCGCGCCGGTTAACGAACTGGCCCCTCCGGCCTCGTAGTTAATAACATGAGATCGTTGATCGCATATAACCGAGTAAGGGGGCTGCGTCAGATGGGATCGGATGGCAACCTGGTTACCCATTGTTCCAGACATGACCAACAGAGCATCCTCATGGCTAGTACGCTTCGCCAAATAGGCCTGTAGATCATTTGTTACGGGATCCTCGTTGAAGACATCGTCAAGGAGGGTTGTTTGGCAGATTGCTTCCAGCATCGAGGGAGTCGGTTTGGTCATTGTGTCGCCTTGTTTTCCCGCCACGTCTCAGCATGGTTCGCTAAATGCGCGGTAATTGTAGCTGTCAATACTAGTAGAACTCACTCCGTAGATCAAATTCAGCTGCTCCGGCCCCATGCCAGGTGCTGGGCCTGCCACTGGCCCCAGCTGAGGTGGTAGATGTGTTTACCATGATAACTTTCGGGCCGTATCTAAATCTTGACGCAAACGAAGACGACCAAAGTAAAGGGAATGGCCGTAAAAGGGTGCAGACAGAAGAGTTCATTAAGTGGTAGTGGTTAACGCCAATAATTTGGGATGTAGGCGACTGAAGAAAAGGGCCAGGTGCTATACCTGAGTCATACGGAATACTCGAGGATTCCCGCGGAAAAAAGACCGACTCTGCACTAGTACGCAAGTGGTAAGCCTTCTCCGCATAATCCCGGCGATAAATTGTCTCCACTTTTTACTTTCACTGAGACTTGGCGGAAGTATACATCTGCGAACTACTAGAGAGGCAGAGATATTATGAGCTTAGAAGATTCGAGGGTTGAAGGTTTTTTTTCCCTTTTTTTAATCGGAACCCCCAGCCACTGTTTATAATGTTGAGACAATGCTTAAAGCTTTAATTACAACAGTCTTCGATGCCAGTGAATGGGAGCAGGTTGTAATGCTTTTTTTATACACTAAAATTAGAAGCATAATAGACCACCTTTAGTTTTAGCGTGGCTAGCTTGTTTTTGCCTTGTAGTTGTAGCTTTTTCTTTGGAATATGTTTGGTGGCCCTAACGAAAGTAATTACCACCTCTCGATCACGTGTAGACCTTGCTACGAAGAGAGTAGTGCATTTTAACCTCCCATGTCTCAAGAAAGTCTTTTAGTGCGATCTGGTTCACAATCTGAGCACTTATAGGAAGGATGGCACTAACTGTAGAGGCCAACGCTACCGAGGTGCAAATCGCTAATGATGCAGAGGATGAACATGTGCGGGATTCCCTTGACTTGTGTTCTTTGAAATGGACTGTTGGTGAAAAATGGTGGGATCGTTCGAAGTATGTACGACTGTCAGAAACTAGCATCGAGCCCCTCACTAATATTATTATACAGCTACGTGGGAGCCCTTGTCTTCAACGTCTGCGCCTTTTTCCTCCCAGCACTGTATAGCACCCTTCTCAAGCTCTGGGTTGCCAATATCGACTCTTCGCTAGTCGTGACAACCGATATCTATACGTATATTGGAGCAATCGCAGAGATATTCAATGAAGGTCTACCCCGTGCGGTATGGGTGACTATCGCCGATAAAGGGACGCGATCATTAGAATCTCGCCTAGGACTATCATACACACTAATAGTTTTTCAGGTCTTCCTTGGAACCATTTTGAGCCTGGTCTTCGCAGGTGCAGCAGACTCATTCGCTGCGACTTTTGTCCCGCATGAAGTTCAGAAGGCCAGTAAAACATATGTCCGGATTAGTGCCTTTTCAGCTTTGAGCTCTGCCCTCGAAGTTGCAGTTGCAAGTGCCACGAGAGCCCTGGATAAGCCAGATGTTCCTCTTATGATCAACTCTGTCAAAGTGACTGTGAATATTCTGCTCGACTTACTGATTATTTCTAAATTCCATATTGGCCACTGGACTGCGACTATCAACATCCAGGCTGCAATCCGTCTAAGTTGCGATATGCTCGCTGCTAATTCCGGTTTGCTTTACTTCATCTCCACAACCAGCATGAGGAAGGGCCAACGTCACTTTCACTGGCGCTGGATTGGTGAGGTGCCTACCTTGCAAGGGTTTATTATCCTTCTAAAGCCGGGATTTATCACGTTCATCGAGTCAGCGATTCGGAATGCTCTATATCTCTGGCTTATAGCAGGGATTGTCTCTATGTCAGCAGATTATGCCACTGCATGGGGTGTCTTCAACACCATTCGATGGGGGCTGATAATGGTGCCGGTGCAGGCTTTGGAGGCTACAGCATTGGCCTTTGTAGGACATGCTTGGGGAGAATCGAAGCAGTTGAGAGACGAGGACCGTTGGTCCCGGAGGCAACTCTATGGCATGTTCTTCATTCTAAATACCTCTTTTCTGATGCATTAAATTAGAGGCGCTCATAATTTGCAGTGATCGTCCGGCCCGCAATTCTCTCAGCAGTACTCGCCACCATTATTGAACTTCTTCTGTGTATTTTTCTGTCGATATTTGGCTGCAAGCCTTTTGCTTTTTTCTTAACCAAGTCAGAGAGGGTTTCGGAAATTGTATCACACATGTGGCAAACAGTAGACTGGCAAGCTCACTCTATCAAAATCTTTTATCTGTCTGACAGCCTCAGGTGCTACCTCCTCTATGCCATATTGGCCCAACTTGCAACAATTTTGTTGTCCACATGCCCACTCTGGTATCTAGGACAATCTCTCGTTTCGAATCTATGCTATGTTCTCCCATGGGCTGTTGTTTGTCAGGTGATCAATCTAAACCCATCGAACGCATGGACCTATCATAGTCTAGTTTTTGGAGGGAGCTTGGTTTTTTCATTTGTGGAGATCCTGATCATTGATGGAATATGGGTTAGAATGTTTCTGCATCGGAAAGTATCTATAATGCGCTAGTCTCCAAATCCAACTGATGACATGACAGTGGAAATATAGCTGACGTATGTTGCGTAGAGAGAGATTGACTGGTGGTATTGAAAATTAGCTCGTTAAGTATAGCAATGATAACGGGGACAGGTAGAACCATAAAAGTTGTTTCCAACAACATCCACAAATGCGCATCTACACATGAGTGCATATCCTTAGTGAGAGGGGGAGCGTGGTGCGATAAAAATAGCTCGTTGCGTAGAGAGAGAGCTTTTCTCTCATGCTTATTAGCACGTTGTTTCGCCCCTTGACGAGCATTCTCCGAGCTGCTGATATTATACTCCTTTATTACCGCCGGCTCTAGGCACCATCAAGCGGAAAGAAGATCTTCTTCAGCGAGGCTGCATTCTCAGCTGCCTCACGGTCAGCTTTGGTAAGATCAAAGACATCCACGACCCTGAAACTGAGGTGTCAATGTAATTGAAATCATCCGTTGCTCTATCCCCAATAACATCATGCTACTTCTGGATAAGATATCTTTTACTACCGCGTCAATCTCGCTCCAGTTTTGTGCCGCCGTACAGACAGGATAGTAAAACAGTCATGTTTCCTTACTTTCTCAGGAGAAATTGGCTCAGAATAACTGTAGTCCTGTTTCTTCGGATCGACATACAATGCCACTGTGGAGGCTGACGCCATGAAATCTTGAATTAGCTCATAGAAATCTCAATAATGACTGAGATCGGCCCTTCGATCCTTGAACGTGATCTCTCTTTGCTCGGCCTTTACTGATTAACACCCTCACCCCAAAAAGGTCAGGTAACAATGCCATTCGCTAATTTAGAACGGCATATATTTACACAAGACAAGGATTATCGGGTTGGGGGGTGGATGCAAAATGGTTGCACTCTACCTATTGATTGTTTTTGGTGCAATACACAACTTGGCGTCCATCTCCCCAAAAACAGAGAATCTGGGATACGTGCCAGCATCGTGGTCAGCTAGCTTATTTTATTCTGTTTCGTAAGCTTCTTGAAATCCTTTGGAGATAATCAGGACTTGTACGTCAGATAAAGGTAGTATCCTGCTTTATGGAACCTTAAAATTAAGTTCTATTGTGCCCCGGTCACTGAGTCGGCTCTTGAACTTCCTGCTTTAGGAAGGTGAATGGTACCTATGCCATGTGAGTTATGGAGCAACAAATTCAGAACATCCTTCATCATGATTAATGAAACTCCACAGAGCTAAAAAGTGCACCAAGGCTCTAATTTGCCAGATAATCTTCTGGTATATTGACATCATGTAGCAAGATTCATAGTAAGATGAAGGTCTGGCTCATTCTTGGAAAGGTCCACTTTCTTCTACTCATCCTGCAAGAGTCCCCAGCTATGATCCGCTGACCGTGATAAGTATGTCTCTTTTAGTATTTACATCAGTCTTCCTATAGTTTACAAAAAACCACCACCATAGCACACCATCTTCCCTGATATATATCTGTAAAGTTCTGTATTGAAACAGTACCCGTCGGCGTAATACCGGCGCTGGGCTCGCAGCAAATCGGCGAGTGCGGGATGACGAAAGCGAAACGCGTCCAGTGCATTTATGCCAAAACGGGAAAAGTCGATCCATCTGCGCGTGCCCGGATGCAGCTGAGTCAGCAGTCGAGATCCGTCTGGACTTTTGAGGGCGGTGGCTACGGGCGCCGTTAAGCCTTGACCTCATCTTATCCCGTCCACGTCTAGTGGTGTTTTGAAGACAAAGGTGTCCTTGTGGGTTGCAGGCCCCTCGTCTAAGATGGATCTCTCGAAACTCACTCGTCCGGCGATTCTCTGTCAGTGCTCGCGCTGTTCCAGCTCGTTGGCCGCACTTGAAAATGATTGGGCAAAGCTATCCAATTCCTATTCCGTGGCGGCTGGGTGGCTGAGCGTCGAGCTCCATCGCATATCGATCTCTTCGGAAAGAAAACAAATTCCGCAGTCTTCGGATTTGAGTATTCTGCGGGGCCGGATCCTCCAAGAAATTGCCTGCAAGCTCTGTCAGCAGAAGCTGGGAGTGTTGTGCGCGCTGGAAATTGGGTAAGCAGAGCCGGAAATGAATCTCCTTTTTTGCCTCGATTTTTGGTTCCCTATGCTAATGACCACCGAGTAGCCCCAGCATCTTTTGGAAGCTGTCAAAGGTTTCGTTTAGGGAGATTGTCACGATGCGCACGGTGGAGCCTTCATTTAAAGACGGGGCGCTCGAACAGTTGATGAAAACTACACCGAAAGAATCGGCGAGACGAGACCGAAACTCCATTCAGCAAGGGGCTTTGGTATCAGTGGGACAAAATGCAGTGGACCTTCAGAATGGGTCGATGGAACAACAACTTCAACACCAGGGTCTAAGCATCGACCATATCTCGAGTTCTGTCAACAATCTTCATGATACTATGTCCGAGTTAAAACATGCTTTTACGGCCCTTCGCATCGAGCTGAATGGCCCAGGTAGATTTCCTAATATGGAGAGCTCCTCGGGTGGGGATTTCAACATGATCACGACCTTGCTGAAGGAGCTTAAATTAAAGTCAGATGAAATCGAAAGGCTGAAGTTGGAAATCGAGGCATTGAAGCTGAGAAATCGATATGCGGAGGAGCAAACTGCGAAGCAACCAGCACTCATATTAGCGCCCCCTGACGTGCTACCTCAAGTTCAGAGCCCAGGTCTACTTCACGGAAGCAGGAAACGGCCATTACCTGACTCGTTCGATGCTGGCGGTCGAACCAACCCCATTGCAGACTCCTTCGATGATGACGACGACGACGATAGCATCGGTGATTTCTTCCTGGAGGACCACGCCATCCCACCAGTGAAGGTCCCTCTGAAGGCGCCTAAACCCAATCACATGGACGGCACAACGAACGAGCCTGCACCATTCGACTCTCCAAACATTCGCATCGAAGTCAGCCAATTGAGAAAGCACCCTCTGCTTAGTGACAATGATAAACCCAATACGCACCCTCAACTGCACCAGTCACCCAACAAACGGCCTCGTTTGCCCCAGTCTACGGAGCGACCCTCATCGAGTGGACAGGTCGAGAAAAGAAAGGTCGGACGTCCACGTAAATCCACCGGTCAAACCACAAGTCCCGATCTTTCCCAAGTAACGAAACTTACACCCTTGTCCGAACAGAACGGCAATGCTCACAGTGTTACCCAACCGGAATCCCTACCGCCGTATCCAAGCCCTAGCGACCCCTCGAGTTCCAAGGAGAACCGCCGTTCACGGTCACGGAGCTTACGCAGCAGGTCTCGGCCCCCATCAATGGCGCCGAGCAATCGAAGGGGCCAGAACGGGGATAGTGACGCGCAGGATCAAGCGCAGACCCTGAAGGGCTCTATCCAAACTGAAGGGCAGAAAGGTTCCGGAAGAAAGGTCTCATCGTCCAAGTCGAATGGTGAGAATACAGTCGAATCCAACGAGAAACGCAAGGCACAGGTCGCTACGCGAGATGCTATGGCGCGATTAGCGATGCAACGTGAAGAGGCGTTGGAGACGGAGGCTAGGTGATAAGACTACTGGACTTCACTTCTCCCAATGTATAATTTATTTAAAAATTTTTCTTTTTTTGGAGGCCGCCTTTTTTACTTCGAGCTTCTTTCCGCCTGGTAATTAATGTACGGGACACACTTTGCAAAAGTCCATGTTCAAGGCTGTTTTATTTCCTACAACTTTCACGTATTTTAAGGCGAAGCATGCCTAAAAAATTAGGAGGATGGATATCTCTCAAATTGAAACAGTAGCTTTCTATCTAGCATCATGAAAATGGAGAGAAGAGAATAAGAAATATGCAGGCCAATATGCCATTTTTGATTCCCCAATATACCAGATCTATATGTAGACCATGATGCAAAAACCTATTAGATCACCTAGAAAAGATCATAACCAAAATCCAGAATCGATTTATTTCACACACATAAATCCGCATCCCTCTCGGGCCCTCTCACAGGCCTTCTTCAAGGCCTGTTCCTCGGCATCCGTCCACTTCACACTCAACTCATCCCAGGGTTTCCGAGACTGATACTCCTCGCGGAAGGTCTTATGCATACTCTGCAAACGGCTGACCTCACGAGGGTCCCCAGTCCCAGAGTATACGATGAACAAGGTACACGGGGGAAGGGATTCATAGACGCGATGGATATTAGAGGTTGTGCTTGATACAAAATCAGCGAGAGACTTCAGAGCCGTCGCCGAAGTCTCCGAGGGTGAAGTTGGTCCGGTGGGGGTGGTTTCTTCCGGGGGTGGAATCAACGTCGTGGATTCGTTGGCTTTATTCGGGTCCGGCATCCGATTACACCAGCCTCGATGCATTTCAAGTTCTCGCATCCGCGCCCACGTAAAATCGACTCCGCCGCCTGGAATGGATGCATTGTCGTCGTCGCCGTTCACTGCACATGAGATACCTTTCACGACATCGTCGTCGTTGCTGCACCCGATCGCCACGGTCGCCTGTGATCCGAATCCGCGTTCGGGATTACCCCAGTCGACGACGGCGCCGGTACGGCCCCGAGTGTCGGTGGTCAACTTGCCAGGTCGTGGAGAGCGTGATAGACGCTTGAAGATGCTCTCGTTTGAGGATTCACTAGTGCCCCATCGTTCGCCTTTTTCGCACTTCTGCTTCACCAATTCAAGTACGGCTATGGAGTCTTCGATGGAGTCGTGACCCGTCTGGCCCTTTTGGATTTCCTTGCCCAGATACTTCTGGGTAAGCCATTTCAGGCTGCATTTGAGTGGCGGGCCGCGTGGATGAGGGTAGATAAACGTCGTGTCGACAATAAAAGGATGGGCGATCTTAAGAGCTGTCAGATCCGAGTTGAGTGAGTGGCCAACCAGAATCGTACGCGGGGTAAGAATAGAGAGAAGCTTCTGTTGGATGTCTGAGAGGTTGGTCGTGACGGGATCAAGCTTCTCCTTGGTGATACCAGAGAACCGGGTCAGATAATCAATGATAGGAAGCTGCGGTTTCACAAGCTCGTCAAGCACGACTTCACCGTCCCAGCGGACCAAGCTGATACGCGTGAGTTCCGACTTCCCGCCTTCGGTGATGCACATTTCACAGTCCATAGCCAAAACATCGCGACCAGCTGTCATACTCCCCTGTTGGATTTCCGCTTCTGGGACGATGCCGTCTTCCAAGGTGGTAACGTGAGTGTCGACCCATCCGTCCTCAGCGGTCTGCCCGGCTCGCCTGCGACTCTCTGCTAGCTCGGTCTTCTCCTTTTCTGTTGTCATAAGAGCGGGATGGAGAACATAGTCATTTTCGCGAAGGTCCTCGAGGCTACTTATGAAGGCGGTAACAGGAGTTCGTTTTGGGACGAAGCTCTGGTCCGTTTTCGCAGGCCTCGGACCTTTGGAGCTATTGCTTTCTTTGCTCTTTGGTAGAGCAGACAGCAAAATGGCCTGAAGTGGAGAATGTACTTTATTGTATTTCGAATCGCCAGGAGCTTTCACTGGCCAGGCATGAGGGAACATATCTGCCAACGGCTGCAATGGTTCCGGTAGACTGTGGCGGGACAAAGGACGAGGGTTGAACCTATGGGACTTATCCTCAGCAGGGAGTCCCTGTTTCCATCGCAAAAAGTCGGCATGCTTCTCATCCTCCCCGGCCTCATTATCCCCATTACTTTCTTCTCTCGCTTGAGGGCTCGGACTTGATTCATTTGTCTCAGGTATCTGTAAAGGAATTGTCCCATCGAACATGCCTAATTCCAGACCAGGAACCATCAAGACGACAACTTTCCGGACATGACCAGAGTGCTTAATAGAGATCCACTGCGGCGCGATGCCATCGGCGAAACAGTAAAGTAGCAAACTCTGCAGGTCTGCAATTCGAATAGAGGATTGTAGTCGGCCTTCGACATATGTAAGAACAGGATACTTTGTCTTCTCACCGTCTACCCGTTTCCTCTTGGACGCCCTCGTCGCCGGCATATCATTCTGGTTGTTCGTCGAGTCTCCTTCTGTCTGCGCAGCTGCGTCTGTTTCCCCCGTTGTCGGGGAATAATTAGACAATTGAACAAGCGATAGAGTCTGCCCTACCCCAAAACCAGTACTTGCATTAGAGATATCTTTCACCATGCTTTCATCATCGGAGCAGCCGGCTTCGGTGCGTTTGCGCTTTTTCGATCCCCGGGGCATAACTGGACTGAAGGCGATGCTATGATATTTGAAGGAACGATCGGTAGTGCGTGTCAAGTTAAGGGAGATCCGTAATTTCCACTAAAGAATCCAGGAATGAATTGGACCGGCAGTGACAGATCTTGCCTGGCCTTGAATCGACGCCTGGACTTCGATGTCAGGAGATGCAACTTTTGTGGCACGTGATGATAGCGCGTCGATAAGGCATCGTATCTTCTACCATTTTGGGAAATGCCTCAAAGCCTCGCACTCGGCCATGGGCTGGTCTGGAATGCGCTCACCTCTATTGGGCCAGTTCCGTGCCCTGATGAGAGAATCCGATGCTGTTCTCGAGCTTCACAGCTGCACTGGCACGACGTGCTTTTCCCCGGAGCTTAGGCCTGAGTCAGCCGATGGTACAAGTCGGATCAACCATCTTCCCGTCAGCGTCATCGCCGATTTTCGATCTGATAAGCCAAAATTCGCTTTTCCTTCCTGCCCATTGGATCCTAACCCACTGGTCTCTTCCTGGGATTTTTTTGCCTGGTATAGAGATCTCCTTGAATTCTAACTCCCCTAGACTTCTTACACCCCAAAATCTGTCCGGGAATCTCTCCACTCCCTCTCCACCGAGCACTATCACTACTGCAACTGATCTCTCCCCCGCTGCTGCCGCCCACCAAACCCCACCTTACACCGAATCACCACCATGTCGACCCTTGTTGAGGCCACCTCGGAGGCGGAATTCGCAGCCCATTTGAGTTCCCTGCCTCCCACATCGCTGCTTGTGCTCTACTTCCATGCTCCATGGGCCGCACCCTGTGCGCAAATGCACGCTGTCCTCTCCGCGCTCGCATCCCAATACCCTGTCGCCACCCCGCCCTCCATCTCGTTCGTGAGTGTCAACGCCGAAGAACTCCCCGACATCTCAGAAGAATACGACGTCACGGCGGTCCCATTCGTCGTACTTCTTCGCAACGGCAGCGTTCTTGAATCCATCAGCGGCAGTGAAGCCACCAAGGTGCGGGATGCAGTGGAGCGCCACGCCGGGAGCGGAACGGGAGCCGGCGCATCAAAAACTGTCATCCCGCCGCCATTGTCGACTGTCCCTAGGGGGAATGGCCCTGCGACGGCCACACAGCCTCCGGTGAATGAGGACGCTGCTCCCGCCTTGACGCCCGAACAGTCCAAGGAGGCGCTGTTCGCTCGCTTGGCGGAATTGGTCAAGGCCGCACCGGTCATGCTCTTCATGAAGGGAACCCCTAGTGCACCTCAGTGTGGGTTCAGTCGGCAGCTGGTGGGGATCTTGCGTGAGAGGAGCGTCAAGTATGGGTTCTTCAATATCTTGGCTGATGAGGATGTCAGACAGGGACTCAAGGAGTTCGCTGAATGGCCCACGTTCCCGCAGCTGTGGGTAAATGGAGAATTGGTGGGAGGTTTGGATATTGTATGTGTCTTGTTTTTCTTGCTCACACACACACACACATCTGACTTATGCTGACTGGTATATAGGTTCGGGATGAGTTAGACAACGATCCGGACTTCCTTACCGAGTTTTCCGTGAACAAGTCATCCGCTGCGGCATGATTTTATAGATCTTATCGGCAAGCGATGTGGTCTGTCAACACCTTGTCTATCTAGGACTTTTATCCTCTAGCACCGGTTTAGTATTATTGTTAGATTACCACAATCGATGAGGAATGATTCTACTTTGTTTATCTTTTAGCATGTACCTTAAGTTGAAGTCTAACAAAAGAAAGAAAGAAAGAAAGAAAGAAAGCGAAAAAAAGGATCCTGAGATAATACATCCCGTAAAGCGCTCTACACACATTTACACACAAAGTAATGCCTTTGTTGTTCCTTCCACATCATAGATATTTACAAAATTAACATCCTCTGCTGCTGTGGCATTTACCACATGGATTAAGCTTTAGAAGCTGTTTCCGTCTCTAGTTTCTCGACCTTGTTGTCCAAATATGGAGGTCCAGGAAGGGTATACCCAAACCATGAGAAGGGATATTTAGCGCTGAGGGTCTGGAACTTGGACAGCAGAGCATCTTCATCTACATAGGCACCCGCGAGCCAGCGGTGACCACTGCTCGTATTGAATTGGCGACGAGCATGGAGCACCCGACGGTTTTCAAATATGACACATTCTCCGGGGTTCAGTTTCAGCTCGAAAATCCGTCTCTCGTCTTCAAGCTGCTTGGCGAAGTAGTGCAAGGCACGGATGTTCTTCGACGTCGTTTCGTAATCCCTCCATTTTGGAAGCATGTTTCCCTGGAAGGGAGGGGAGTAATTCACATGCAAAAGATGCGGGTCCTGTTTTGAATCCGGTGTACCGGCTTCGAATACAGGCCAGGCATTTGAGTAGACGTGATCCTCGTGGTTGTACTCGTATGTGAGTCGGCACTGGGAGAGCTCCTTGAAGATCTCGGGGTGCCAGTGGTGTATCTGCGAGGCGACAGCAAAGCTGTCCAAGAACAACGACTCGCCACCCTCACACGAATTTTGGAGGCAATGCAGCAGCTGGAACCCGGGAGGGTTCTTCATGTACATCAGATCCATGTGGAAGTCGAGAAACTGGCTCGTGTATGCGACATTTTTGGCCTTCGGGACACTACGAACATCCCAGGTCGACCCATAGAAAGTATCCCGGATGGGACCCATCCTTGTTGCAATCTTCGCGACCATCTCACGAGAGTCAGGGATGTCTTTTACAAAGACCAAGCCGGTGATGGCTAAGTGACGCATAGCAGACGTGAATTTCAACTCATCGTCCATGTAATCGCTGTAAGAGATCCAGTGTTGGACTCTTTGCATAATCTCTTTATCCCAATCAATGCGTCTCCGCTTCAGCCCAGCGCTGCCCCTGTGCGGAATCGCAGAGGGGTACTTTAAGAACCTTAGGCTGTATCGGGAGACGTGCGACTCATCGTAGCCTGGGACGTCATTTGCCCATTTGATCTCAAGATGATCGCCATCCAGTTTGATCGAACGAGGCTTGATTGCGATGGGAATATCGCTGGTCCGGAAATTGCGTTGCTTCGAGAATTGGTCTACGCAACGGGTGCATTGGCAAGAATCACGAAGCATAGAATGTAAATACCAATCATCCATGCCTCCAAACTGCAATCGCATTCCCATCGCATTGACACCAACCGTGCCCGGATCGGGAGGTGGGCTTTCTAGCTCCAAGGGAGGTAGTTTGGGTCCGAGTCTTTTAAGCTTCGCATCAGGGACTGGTTGGATCGGATCAGCAACCGCGGAGTACAAGCGGCGAGAAGGGAGGCGCGATGAGGGTGCTGCTGCCCGTGCAGAGCGAAAGAAAGCCCCCAGGAGGCGCACCATGATGAGACAAATGCCAGAGGACCTTGAAAGAAAGGGTGGAGGTTGCAGGTTTAACACGGAGAGCTTGCCAGGTGGACTGACAGAAGTCACATGACCACTGCCTCGGCCCATCTCTGCTCATACATTTAAAAAAACCAATATTATTGCATACCCCTCCCCCGTATACCCTTCTGGAGTACAATCTACATAGGCTGCCTTAGGAGAAGCCTCAAAATATACTCACAGAGATCAGGCAGGACTTGTGAAAAAAGGTTGCATTTTTGCAACCCGACTGAGCACCATTGTTGTCCAAGCGTCTTAGCCCACTTATCAGTGTGCTAAGACGCACGATATTCTGTCCCATGATTAGCAAGTTAATACCAGAAAGGGGCGAAATGCTGACCTTCTGACTCCCTCCTTCAGTGTCTTCTCCGGGAGACAAAAGACTATAGGAATCGGCCTGGGTTGGGTGCTCGATACTCTTCTCCAGTCGACATTATAGCGCTTGATTCACCGAGGCGCATGGAAAGCAGTTTATGAGTGGCCCATCCATCTCCATTTGTTTCACTGACTGGAAGATGGGTTTTCTAATCAAGCCACATGAACTCTGCATTTCTGGAAGGTTGTTAGAGACGTGAAGTATTTTACAGTGGGCTAAGCGGTTGTGACGCTTGTACAGATATTCAGATATCGACTCTATGTGGATCTGATAGTCCAGCTAGCTAAGTTAACTATTTTCTCTGCTTATGTAAAATCTCTATAGTTAGTTAGTTAATTATAGACTCTAGTAAAGTTCTAATTATCTGTGAGTAATCTATACAAAATAACCATCACTGCAGCTTTTGCATAGACCTTAGTAACCATTTGCTCGGAGTGACGTGCAATGGGTAATCACTCAGAACACTTTCTCACTGGGGGTCAAGGAAAGAGAGAATCTAGCTTCACTTAACCCCCTCTCACCAATAGAAAACGCATCGTATCTCGTTTGGATGGATTCATCTGGGGTAGAACATAGTCGTCCTTCGTCACCTCGACTATATGCCCACACTCCTACCTAGGGACGAATGCATGTGATATTTCCCCCAACCGTCCACACAGCCAACGTGAACTTATTGGATACTCATAGGTTGATTTGCTCTATACTGTCATGTGCTCATGGGATAAAAACATGGTGCGGAATAGCCAGCAAGAATTTAGAACCAAGCCTGTTGACAAGAACCTCCAGCTCTGTACAAGCTTAATGCCAAGGGTACTGCGAAAACCTTATATACTAATGGAAGTCAAGCAGTCCACTTAAATATTCAGCCAAGGTCAAAATTTGTTCCTCATGCAATCGCCTGCCAACCAGTTGCACCGCAATAGGCGAGCCATGGTACAATTCCGCATCATCTATATGTCAAGTATTAGAAAGTAGCCAAAAAATGCTGTTGAAATAACCTACAGTCATCATACACTTGCTGGTCTTGGCTGTTTTCAGGCCTATAAGTTTGGTCTTGTTTGTCAATGGCTTTATCGGCCCGTGTAACCGGTACAGTAACGGAGGGATAATCCAAGATATTCACAAAGAGCGAATAATCCACATATCGTAACTGATGTGGTTTGACGGCCGTGTATGCGATTACAGGGGTAATGAGAGCATCGGCTGTCCTCCCAGTACCGGTTACATTGATAGTCTCATTCCAATAGTCCAGATACGCCTTCTGGAATTCTCGTTTCTCAATATTAATGGCTGCTATTTGGCTGGCATCGGCCTGTTTACCCTGGCCGTGATTGAACGGTTCGAGGACTTGAGGGATTGGGGATTCTCCTGATAAAGAAAGATTCTGAAAACAGTCTCTCCCGCCATCGAGCCCGTATATTTCAAACTATTGTCTTGTTAGCAGCATGTCACATATTTAGATTAACGAGTTCGCGCGTACGGCAAGTTTGGCGGCAAGTTTATGGGAGGGAGGTTCCCATTCAATAACCTAGGTTAGATATCAGCTGTTGCACCTCACTAGAGTTTCAACAAAACTACCTTGTGCCCCAGGCGCTTCAGGAGACCCGTTACGTACTCCATTGCTCGCTGGACAGGTGGTTGTGGCATCACACATCCATCATGCTTTAACACGCCAAACGCAAGCTTCCCGCGCCCATCTGTTGACGATCGAATGAGATCTAAAACTGACTCCTCCATCTCAGTCCTCCAGGGAAGCTCCACCACCAGCGGATCCTGGAGCCACGGTTGTTGGCTGAGAACCGCCTTCATCAGCAATTTGAGAGCCGATGCACTGGTTGCCATAGGTCCCACCACAGACGGCATCACATTCTGGCCATCCATTGAATTCGCAGCCCCCTCGTATGGAGACCTCCCCGACGAGGGCCTCAATCCATAAAGACCATTCAGCGCGGACGGGTGCCGAATACTACCACCGATATCAGTGCCGAACCCAGCAGGTGAGCCCCGAAAACCGATCAATGCGCCCTCGCCGCCTGAGCTGGCTCCTGGAGAAAGCCTTCGGTTTTGTGGAAGGCGTACATATCCAACGATGTTATTGCTCGTCTCCGCGCCCATTAGTGTATGAGGGACACTGGTCTTGCAGTACAGCACCGCTCCGAGCTCGCGCAGTTCACGCACCAACTCACTCTCGTAATTCAATGCTCTCCCATCGTACGGCTTCCCTTGGAACGTTCCGATCCAGCTCACATACCCCATTGTCGTTTCCACGCCTCTTACATGAAACTGGTCTTTCAGACTTATCGGCAATCCATGAAGCGGGCCTTTTGGTTTCCCGTGTCTCGCAAGATACTCATCAAGCAATCGAGCTTCCTCCAAGGCTGCGGAAAAGAAGACTTCGTGCAAGCAATTTGTCTAAGATCTGTCAGCGAAGAGGACATTATTCACATAGAGATAAGAAAAATTAGCCGACCATTTGGTGCGCAAGCGCTGCTCGATGGCAAAATGCCTCCGTCACCTCTACAGCAGTCCATTGGCCTGAGGACGTGTTTTTCGTAATTTTAACTGCATCTGCTTCTGTGATCTTGATCTTTTGTGGTGTGAGATACTGCTGTATGAAATCACCAGTGACATCTGGAACTTCCTGGGGGGAAGGCAAGTGTGCGAGTTGCCATTCTTCTGGTATGGCCGTCAGTATTGCTGCACGTTTTGCGTCGGCCACTGCCTTCCAGGACGCATCTTGGGAGTCCATATATCTTGCACTTTGAATGTATATGCTCGTCCCAGTGGTGGTGGTTACTTAACAAATATTTCTGGCAACAGATGTCGGAGCCAACAACAATAAGATCTAGGTCGTGACAATGCGGGGCAAGTCAAAAATATGAGAAATACGAGCTCGGAACGAAGTGTCCGTGGTGGAGGACGGCCATTTTAGTTCCAGATAGCGGGCCAACAGTTGAATATAATACTGTACATGGTGAGACCTATTGCTAATTGGTTATTGTGGTCGAATAAGAGCTATCAAGCTGTCCGTACATCAGAAGAAATTATGATGCATAATTAGGGCTAGTACCGTTTTTAGTGCATATTGATACAAGCTTAGAACGCCCTCTCAGCCAGTGCGATAGTTTCCCTGCGCGTTATCTAGCGAATACCGACGTCATTGCCAATGTGACTGACAGATAAAAACCTGTGGAAACATGTATATACTGTTGAATTAAGTAGGAAATGAATGAAATGGAGTTATTTCGAATGGCTGATTCGACTAAATCCAACCGCTTAGTTGAATATTGAATGGTTCAATTGATGATCAGAATTACGAGCCATCTAGACACGATTTTATATCTCCCAAGAATTTTGGCCATCATCCCGTAGATTTCAAGCACCACCTTCCCCATCGGACAGTCCTGTGGCCATCCAAACAGCTGTTTTCGTGACTTGAAGCTTTTCCGTGGTGTTTCAGATAGCCGCGAGTGGGTGGAAATGACGAAATGGTCAGGATTTCGGGGGTCGAATCGATCGCCTACCTATATTTATAACCGATTTTCTTCAACATATACAACGATCTGCCTTCTGCATAATGTAGGTAGTGGGAGAAACCGGGGTGAGCTCTTACCTCTGGGCCATCTATACAAATTCGACCACATCGATCCAGCGGACACAGTCTTTCAGGAACTGAGGTTCAATGTAAAGTCTATCTCTGAGTTGGCATAATCGAATTCTATGTTGAAAAACTAGGCTCGTCTCAAATTGAAAGTGTTAACAGGCGATGAAATAGACCCGTCAGAAGGACTTTGTCGATGTTTAGCAGGCAACTCTAGCATAGCACGTTATATAATTGTCTCACTCCGCTCAATTAAGTCGTAAGTTGGAATCTTGAGCGTCTCGAAATCTCCCTCACCATCAAAGCGATGCTAATTTTTCTTCCGTTGGCAATATGCCATCACCTCATCGCGCACAGTTTCTCACTCAACGACACTCATGCCTAAGGCTTTGGCATCATCCTTGACTCTCTCTAAGGCCTCCTTAATCCAAGATATACAGTTCCATCCAGGAGTGCCTTGCCCAATTACGCAGAAGTTCTGCAAGGCGTTCCCTATCCTCTATCTTTCCGATCATAATTCGAACAAGCAACATGTTGGTAGGTATAAGTGGGCATTCGGCGTCATTAAAAAACCATTCCAACCAGCTCCCGTGGCTTCTGCTCTCCTTCGTAGCGCATACCCATTTTACCGCCTATTTCAATCTTTGGGCCGACGATGATGCCCACTGATACCTTAGTAGATAGAGTATAATATCAATTCTTATGCATCGACAAGATCGCACACCATGAACTTGCATATCTTCCTTGCCGGGCATAGAAGAGGCTTCTCTCGGCACATAGAGGCCAATGTAGAGCCGATCTTTATTAGAACATATGCGTAGTGATCTTGACAAATTCTTTGTCTGAACAAATAATTCTACCGGCACCAACTGTATCGGTGTCGGGATATCAGACGGGAAGTGATACAGACACACCACCATGGGCTGAACGGAGCGGGCATAAACCGGTGATTCAAATGCTACTCGACAAGGGCGCTGATGTTGCGGATATTCACGAGTAGTTGTGCCAACAGATCATCCAGTATAGAGCAACCTTCTGTAACTGCCTTCCCTGGAATTTCGAACCACTTCCTGGAGGTTTCAAAACTTATCCCATTCCTCTATTCAGTATACGAATATGCAAAAAGGGTGACCATAAATAGAGACAGTGCAAAAACAAGACCACTATTCTAATATAAACCTCTGGTTGGTCAATTTAATGAATAGGAAACTAATATAACAGACCCCCAATAAGCTGGTAGTATTCCCAATAGAAATACGAATCACGTGAACACCATTAAAGCAGCGACGGAACTACGTCATTTCAGCGTCCCTTCAATGCATAATTTTTAATTTTTAATTTTTTGAAACTATATCATAATAATAAAGTAACAAATTCCAACTTCAAGTTCTTCTTACGTATTACGGAGTCTAAAACCTATTTTATCTTTTCTCCTGAACTAACATCAAGCATCTAGAATATTATCTTCTCTGCCCTGTTTTCACCCTGCATTCAATGCTTCCATCGTGATCATACGATCTCCAACCTTACATACGGAGTATCGTACCCCCGGTATCCTCCGATCTTTCCCATCCAATCTCTTATTTGTCACATGCATGTCGGCCGGGGGAGAACACCTCAAGGATGAGGTGAGTGACTCTATCTGAACTAAAGTCGATCACTTGTGACGACCACGTTGGCTGTGTTTTGTTGCTAACTACTGTGTTATCAGGGCACTCGACGACAGGTTGTCCTCGCCGGTGGGATAGCCGGTTTGGTTTCCCGGTGAGTTATAACGTCTCATGAGTTAAACTTCTTTGTTTCTTGGTCGCTATTGTTCTTGATCAATTCAATTCAACCCAATCCAAAGATCTATCAAAAGAAAAGAAAAGAAAAATCTAATTAAATTCTTGCGGGGATAGATTCTGCATCGCCCCTCTCGATGTCGTCAAGATTCGTCTTCAACTCCAAATCCATTCCCTCTCCGACCCTGCCTCCCATAAAGATGTAAAAGGCCCAGTGTATAAGGGGACTCTCTCCACGATGCGAGCAATCATCCGACAAGAGGGTATAACTGTAAGTTTTTTTTTCCCCCTCTTTTCCCGAACTTCGCGGACGATCACGCTTACTCGTGCCGTGATGAACGAGAACAGGGTCTTTGGAAAGGAAACGTACCTGCAGAATTAATGTATGTCTGCTACGGCGCGGTTCAATTCACCACATACCGTACTGTGAACCAACTTCTCACCCAATTGGACCCTTATCGGCTTCCTGCGACCGCCGAGTCCTTCGTTTCTGGCGCCTTCGCGGGAGGGTTGGCCACGGCCACGACATACCCGTTGGATCTTCTGCGAACGCGTTTCGCCGCCCAAGGGACGGAGCGAGTGTATAAGTCTCTTTTGGACTCCGTGCGGGAGATATCGAGGCGGGAAGGGCGCATGGGATTTTTCCGGGGTTGTAGTGCGGCCGTCGGCCAGATCGTCCCGTACATGGGATTATTTTTTGCGACGTACGAGTCGCTCCGGCCTTCTCTATCAGGCCATTATGATCTGCCTTTTGGGTCTGGAGATGCCGCTGCCGGCATCATTGCCAGTGTGCTGGCCAAAACCGGGGTATTTCCATTAGATCTGGTACGAAAGCGCCTGCAGGTGCAAGGGCCGACGCGCTCGTTGTATGTCCATCGTAACATCCCTGAGTATCGCGGGGTGTTCGCCACGATCGCGCTAATCCTCCGAACCCAGGGCATCCGCGGCCTATACCGAGGCTTGACGGTGAGCCTGTTGAAAGCCGCCCCAGCTAGCGCGGTGACGATGTGGACATACGAGGAGTCGCTGAAGCTACTGCGGAAATGGGACGTGGCTGCGGAGAAGGATTAGTCGACCCGGTGTTTACGAATTCCCCCTTTAGACTGTCCACTATCTAATAGAATTAAAAGACTTGCATTCATATTTCGACCCTGTAGGGCGATCTGACGCACTATCGGACAAGAGCTAAAATTTCAAACAACGCTAGCGAAGCAGGAACAGAGGGGTTGTCGCGAGTTGAAGGACAGGATACACTCAGTTTTGAAGTTTGACAGAAATTAGACATACCAAGAATCAAACCAACGAAAGCGGACAAGGCAGAGGATTTCCTGAGTATCAGTACTCCACTTCCTCCGGCTCAACCTCCAAACTGTCGTTGGCCACTTCTTCGTAGTCCTTCTCCAGAGCAGCCAGATCCTCACGAGCCTCCGAGAACTCACCCTCTTCCATACCTTCACCCACATACCAGTGCACGAAAGCACGCTTAGAGTACATAAGGTCAAACTTGTGGTCCAGGCGGCTCCAGGCCTCGGCAATGGAAGTGGTGTTTGACAACATGCTAACGGAGCGGTCGACAGGAGCGAGCTCACTGCCAGGGACACGCACAGGCTTCTGGTAGTTGATGCCCAGCTTGAACCCTGTAGGGCACCACTCAACCAGGTTAAACGAAGCCTTGGCCTTGAGAGAAGCGATAGCCAGGTTACAGTCACGAGGCACCACATCGCCACGGTACAACAGAGCCACAGCCATGTACTTGCCGTTGCGAGGGTCGCAAACCACCATCTGGTTGTTGGGTTCGAAACCTGCAAGCCGCGGTCAGTGAAACTAAATGACGTGTCGAATTATGGGGGCGCATACACTGGAAAGTAAGGTCCTGCACTCTGAAACTCTCATGAGAGCTGCGGCTAGATCCAACCACAGGCGCATATGAAATCAGGGGGTAGTGGATCCGAGGGAACGGCACCAGGTTGGTCTGGAACTCGGCCAAGTCGACATTGAGGGCGCCGTCGAATCGCAGACTGGAGGTAATGGAACTGACGACCTGGGCGATCAGGCGATTCAGATGGTCATAGCCGGGGCGGGGAATATCCAGGTTGCGGCGGCAGATGTCATAGACGGCTTCGTTGTCCACCAGGAAAGTGCAGTCGGAGTTCTCAATGGTGCTGTGGGTGGACAAAACAGCGTTATATGGCTCGACAACCGCAGTTGACACTCGAGGGGATGGGTAGATGGCGAACTCCAGCTTGGACTTCTTGCCATAATCGGTAGAAAGACGCTCCAGTAGCAGAGCACCGAAGCCGGAGCCGGTACCACCACCAAAAGAGTGGAAGACGAGGAAGCCCTGGAGAGAAGAGCAGTTATCTGGGTGAATTTATTAATACGTCCACCCCATGAAGTCATGCAGCCAAGTGTGGGGACTGTTGGAAACGTACCAGCAACACGGCGGATGCGGTCGATCACATTGTCGACGAGTTCCTTTCCAATGGTGTAGTGGCCACGGGCATCTGCTATGCATGAGTGCTACTCGTCTTCCATGCCGGAACCCCCAAACCTACAGTTGTTGGCAGCATCCTCCTTGCCGCTAATCAGCAATTCGGGATGGAAGAGCTGACGGTAGTCACCAGTGCGGATCTCATCGATTGGCTGTGATAATTCGTTTAGCAGTCGGGACTTCAGAAGTGGATCTACCGGCGTGGGTGACTGCATACCGATGGGTCAAGATCCACGAAGATGGAGCGAGGAACGTATTTTCCGCCACTGGTTTCGGTGAAGAAGGTTTGAAAGGAGCCACCCTGGTTGATTTCCTCGGCTTCCTTGGATGCAAAATGACCATCTGCCTTGAGGCCATGCTCCAGAAGATACCTAAATTCAACCGGAGCACAGTGAGTATTGAATGTTATGTTTACGGCCGAGGGTCGATGGACAAGCGGTGAGGACGTACAGCTCCCAAGCACTGTTACCAAGCTGAGTACCAGCCTGGCCAATGTGGATGTGGCAAACCTAAACTCGGCAAGGGAAATCAATTAGAACGTATTCACCGTAGTTAAATGTGTTCTGCATGGATAGGGGCAGGTATAACCAGCTTCCAGGCTCAGGAGAGGGACCGGTGCGGGGGAGTAAACAGAAATGGGGGGGTTCATACCTCGCCGCGCATGACGCCGAATTAACCTGGGATTGGAACGAGACGCGAGAAGACGTGATTTAACAGTGGGATAGAAGACAGACGAAGATCCAGAGAGAAGAAATTCGATGAGAAGGAAAAGGAGAAAAGAGAAAAGAAAAGAAAGAGGATGGTGATAGCTCGACAGAGCGAACGATCGTTCCTGCCGGGCGCCAATAAACTGGTCTCCCCAGCCAATCAACGCCGCTCTTCCCCCCCTTACCGCAGATCGAGTCCTCAGGCGCCACAGCAGACGCCTAAGGCACCCACCCAACCTTTCAGTTGTTGCCAGCATTTCCTTGGATCTATAAAATAGACTATAGGAGTTAATTGTGCTACGTACATGGACGAAGATCATGACGATATTGTAGCAGTCAGTATATTCAGCTAATCTTTATCTCTATCGTATAGAGGATATACAGTGCATATGTCGATAAGCAAATCATGATAGCAATGCTTGTTTAGCTCAAGATAGTCAATTATGCTCACTCATACATTCGACGATGCAGCAGCGAAGGATCTTCGATACCATGGCGGGGTAAAACACGTCATCGAGCCAGTCCCGCGAAGATTTGACGGTGATGTTGAAGGGTGGTGAGAGTGGCTACAAGGAGTAGAGAGATATCCAATAATTGTGTATTCGTATAGAGTAGAGGGACATCTTTCCCCCGTCCTCTGGTATAGAAACAAACGGGGGCAAAGAAAAGACATGAAACAGAGAGGGGAGAGAGAGTTTTACCAAAGTATGGGAAAAAAAGACATCATGTGACATGAGATGTGTACATATTTTATGCGACAGGCAAGTTATGCAGAAGCCAACATCCCAGAACCTTTTCAGGAAGAATGAAAGACAGCTGACAGCCCATCAACCACGGCTGGGCGTGCTATTAATATCCCTTCCTCATGTCCTGGAGTACTAATTGCTCCTCATCTTGCGTGGGCTCCAGATTAATTGAAACCAGTGGTTCCCACCGTCACCTCGCAGGAATTCGACGGTACGGAAAGGAGGGAAATAGATTGCCTTCAGCGCGTGCCTGAGGTGGCGTTGCTTGGCAGTGGCCAATTTACGCAGGCGTTTTCATCCCCACCCTCATACATGGAATTTACCGGACCTTCTGCACTCTGTATACTCTGTATGTATGTACACGGTACAAAGATGTATGAATGGTGCCGTCCCGAGTACTTTGACAAGGAATTTTCTCTGCATCGACTCCGGACTACTCTCAGTTCGGGCCAAGAATGGGTGAAACAGGCGAAATGACATGCAAGGCATCTAGAACTCTTGGATCGGAACATAGTTATTGGCTGAGGCGTTGCGTACCCAGATATCTCTGTCGGGGTCCTTCAATAATGGCAGCTTACCACGGACCTAGTTGGACTCTTTGAGGGACCACTTGGGACAGACCCGGTAAGGAGACGATTTTGAGCTCTGCATGTGCTTCGCTTAGGTCTCACACTGGTTGGGGGAAATTAGCAAATGATTCATTTCACCACAAATGAGACGGATGTCAGCAGCGGGACGTAGGGCTTGGATCGGATTGGATGAGAGTGTTTTATTGGAACTCTTTCCCATTTCCAACGGTCTGGACTGATGGAAAGCGGCGATTTTCTCCACCGGACCATGATCCTGTGCGATCGGCATCTTCGTGGGCTCGCTTTTCTCCGGGCTGCGATGGAGTGTTCACTGTTGGAATTTGGTGCTATCCTGCTCATGCTACTCCAGTTTTTTTAATTTTTTTTTTTTTGTCCTTTCCTGGCTTTCCCCCTATCATCGCCATTATTGATCTCTTTCCCTCAGTCGTTCGCCCTCGCAGTCTCTAGTCTCTCATTATTCTAACTCTCTCTTTCCTTCCATTTTCTATACAATATTCAATCCTCCGTTGTTTATACTTTTCATATTTTATTTTTCTTTATCGTCAGATTGGGTGATCATTCCGCTCTGTGACAGACCTTTCCCCACCTTTCTTGGTGTCAGATTGGTTACAGAGCAGGGCTTGGAGCATCCATCTATAGAACTCGACATTTTCCCTCTCTTTCTTTGTACTTTCTTCCATTCATACCCCCCACACTCGCTTTTTACTATTGTTATTGTTATTGTTATTGTTATTATTTCCCCCTTCTCTGGCTTCTTAGAATATTTTGTCAATCGTTTTACTTCCAATCAGTCTACCCTGTCACAGATTTTATTGATCGGCCTTTCGCCAAACCTGTGGCTCACACTACTGGCCTGGTGCCAGCATGTCGACTCCTGTGGAGGAGCTTTCGGCTCCCAGATACCCAGAAGACAAGAAGAAGGAGAGAACCGATGAAGTCCCAACCTTCGATGATGGTGTCTATGGCGATGAAACCTGGAATGATAGTAATCGGGTTCACCTCCAAGTCGATACTGCCTCGTACGACGATCTAGACAGGACCGCATTGCGTTCCCCATCAGCCACAAGAGAGCAGGCCAAGCGTCTTGAAGATGACCTGGCTGTTCTCGAGGCAGAGCGTGTGGCATCCCGTTCCGCTCGTGACGAGCGCGAAAGAGAAGACGGAGCAGGAGACAGCCATTCCATCTCGCGAACTCGCTCGCGGCGCTCCCAGACCGTTGATGAATTCGATGAAGCTACCAACCCATTGCACGAAAAGGCCGCTGTCTACAACCCCCCGGAGGACCCCAACACCAGTTTTGCGAAGTTCATCAAAAAGATTCACGAGTCCAGCTTCCTAATTCGATATGTCACGTACATTGTCCCTTTGGTCCTCATTCTGCTAATCCCGTTATTGGTCGGGGCCCTGGCATACCCGGATGCCAACGTTGGAGGTGTCAAATTGCTGTGGTTTTCGGTCTGGTTGGAAATCGTTTGGTTAACTTTGTGGGCCGGTAGAGTATGTGTATCGCGCATCTCCTAGTCGTCTTCTATGGTGGGCTAATTCACTACTTCCATAGATCGTGGCGAAGTGTATACCCATCCCAGTAGGGTTGTTGGCCAGTGTTTTCACCAATAACGCAAAGAAATGGCGCGACTTGGCAAAGCAACTGGAGCTCCATGCCACACTTTTCTTCTGGTGGCTGGGTGTTGAAGTCTCATTCTTGCCCACAATGACAAACCACCACGTCGATGGCAACCGCGGGACGCGTGAATGGGAGAGGACCGTCAACAAAATCATCATTTCTGTCTTCGTTTTCGTGATTCTGAACCTAATCGAGAAATTCATCATCCAGCTGATTGCAATCAGCTTCCATACACGTACCTACGCCGATAGAATTGAGATCAATAAGTTCCAGATTGGCAGCTTGACCAAACTGTATGATTTCTCTCGGAATAAGATCTCAGACAATGATGAGGATTTTGAAGAGAAAGAGAAGAATAATGATAACGGGATGAAGACCCCTCTCCAAATCGCCGGAAAGGCACAGCGAGCTGCCAAGGGCGCTTTGAACAAGGTTGGTGATGTGGCAGGCGCGGTTGCTGCGGACTTCACTGGCCGCAAAGCCACAAACAGTACACAACCCTATCAGGTTGTCCTCACCTTATTACGGACCACGTCCGGTTGTCAAGTTCTCGCCCGTCGGCTGTACCGGACTTTCGTACGTGATGGCTTCGATACTGTCTTCTCGGGCGACTTGAAGGAAGCTTTCGACAATAATGACGAGGCAGACGCTGCATTCGTCATGTTCGACAAAGATATGAATGGCGACATCTCCATGGATGAGCTGGAGGCAGTGTGCGTGGAAATTGGACGCGAACGCAAGTCCATTACCGCTTCTTTGAAGGATCTGGATTCAGTTGTGTCCAGGCTTGACAACGTCCTGGAGTTCTTCGTGGCCGTCATTACCCTCATTGTCTTCCTTTCCCTTATCTCTACGTCGGCGGCAGGTGTGCTCACATCCGCTGGATCCAGTATTCTAGCCTTATCCTGGCTTTTCTCTGCCACCGCGCAAGAGTTCCTCCAGTCGGTTGTCTTCGTTTTCATCAAACATCCCTTTGACGTCGGAGACCGTGTTACAATCTACGGCAACTCGGGCGATGCTGGTCTTGGTGACGACTATTTCGTCAAGCAGATCTCCTTACTCTACACGGAATTCAAGAAGATGCAGGGTCACATTGTCCAGGCGCCGAACAGCTATCTCAATACTCTTTTCATCCTCAATCAGCGCAGATCTGGCGCCCTCGCCGAGGCAATCCCCATCGTCATCAAGTATGGAACAACACTCGAACAGATTGATGCTCTTCGTCAGCGCCTCCTGGAGTTTGTCCGAAGTGAGCGACGTGAGTTCCAGACCAACATCCTCACTGAGATGCGCCAGGTGACCGAAAACTTCTCCGTGACCCTCAACGTTGTCTTCTTCTATAAGTCGAACTGGCAAAATGAAGGGCTGCGTCTGCAGCGCCGCAACAAGTTCATCTGCATGCTCATGATTGCCTTGCAAGAGATTGGTATCGAAGGGCCACGCATGAACCTTCAGGGTGCCAGCGTGGACATTCCGTTCCATGTCGCTGGTTTCCCTCAGCAAACGTCCTCCAACAACGACAGCCGCCCACCAGGAACTCCCTTGAGCGGGCGACACGACCTTCCCGAGAACACCGGCGTCAGCAACTCCAGTGCCATGCGTCACCCGTCGATCCTTCGCAAAGGTGCAACAACCGCCGCTGCCCGCGCTCGCGGCGACACGATGCAATCCCGCAAGCATGTCGACTTCTCTCTGGGTATGCGCGACGTATCTTCTAGCGATGTGATGGGCGATGTTTTTGAAGATCGTGCTCAGCGAGTCGATGATGTCGTACGGTTCACCAACCGAGAAACCGCCGAGCGTCGCATCCAGGAAGAAGAGGAAGAAGAGGCTGAGCGCCGTAGCCACCGCTCCTCTTCCTCCCGGCCACGCGCTAACTCCAACCTAAGCGTACCCTCCGCTCCAGGTGAAGGCCGTCGGTCGACTGAATCCCAAGGCGGCCGTAGCATAGCTTCATCCGTCAGTCGCAACCGATTCTTCCGCCACCGAACCAGTCTCTGCCGAGAACATGAGGATCTTGCCGAGCAAGGACGTTACGACGCACTCACTCAAATCCGTACCGTTTCACCCTCTGGACGAAGCCTCGATCGACCATCAGAACGGTAAAACCAGAGAACACAATCCGAAAAAGAGTTTGAGAGCAGAAACAACAAATCATCTCATATCATACATTTGGAATCATTTCCCATCTACACTCATTCAGTACATACCTTCGATGCACCATTAACCTGTCATTTATGTTATCACGTACATACGTATCTGGGCGGCCTTTTCTATTCCCATCGTTTTACTTTTTCTTTCCTTTTTTTTTTTGTTCTTCCTTCTTTCCTTTACTATTTACTAATAGCTGTTGTTAAGCCAACTGTGCAGAGACCACTATCAATCTGTTCTATTCTTAGCTTTACCGTCTATTCTCAATCTACTACTTCTGGATTGGTTGACAACTTGTCGTCTCTACAAAAATATCATTTAAGTCGATTTTGATATACTTCGTTATCATTTAGACTTCCAATTTCATATATGGTTTCAATGTTGCAGCTGGATCTTGGACATTTAGACTTGTATTGTCTAGAGAAATCGTCGGAATAGATTCTCTCAGGCATATACGTATACCGTCTCATTCGATTTGCAAATTAATATAACGTGGTATATAGAAATTGCGTCTATATTCTGTAGAAAGTCTGAGAAGCTTGGCATTGAAACTTGTAGCACAAGGCAATACCATACAGTCAGACAATATCAAGACACGCACATAGATCAGCAGGAAGTCTACATGATACGCAAAGAATTATAAGAGCTTCAATAGATCGATTTTTTATCATTAAAAACGAAAGAAATAGAGAGAGATTTAACTTCACAAAAGCTTTTAATCCTGCTTTTGCTGCCCTAAAACAATTTATCTCATACATGGTTTTGCTCTCGAGAAGCCTAAAAGAACAGGACAAAAGAAACAGTGGTCTGTGCCACGGACAGAGCATAGAAAAGAAAAGTCCAAAGACAATGAAAGAATGGAAACTCAAACAACCTGGTTGAGACGATGGCGCTCCCAAACGCCCGCTTAGCCGAACATGTGGGAAAATTCGATAAATCAGAATGCAAGACAGGCAAAATGCATATCGAAAAAAAGAGTATTGGATGGAAAATCCGAGGTTACAGAGAACAATAATGTGCATAAGTCAACGAGTATGGAAAAGATATCCAGCCGACGAGCCACAACTGAGAACGCAAATAAACTCCGAGGCAATAAAGACAGCAGCCGTCTATATCTTGTACTCCATCACATGGCAGTAGCTAGTTCTATCGCCCTGGCTGGCGAGGTCTGGCGGTGTCTTCTGGATCTAGACCGAGGGAAGGTGTGTGTATTGGCCGAGGTGTGGCTTCTGCATCAGTGCTTTGGATGATGTCGTTGTCGATATTAAATTCTGTCTCACTATAGTCTTTAATAATCATGACGGATGGAGTGTTCGGATTAGTCGGCGTGGTTTCTAGGCCGTTGTCGCCTTTGGTAGACTCGGCGGGAGGCGTAATGTGCCCACTGTGAGAAGTCTCTATGTTGGGTTCGGTTTCGGACCCTGTAGATTCTCGGGTAGTCGAATGCCTGGGACTGAATTTATCTTCGACTGATGCAGCCTCCTCGGGAATCTGGAGTCCTTCGAAATTGTCTTCCAGCCTCACATCACAAGGCGATCCAGCCAGATCTCCAGAACCACCAGAACATCTAGCTCTAGCTCTCTCCAGTACCTCCCTTTCTTTCTTCAACAGCTCCTCACTACCGCTGACCACGCTCCCTCTGCTGTTTGTCCTCATCATCTCGATCCCTAGTTTAGAGCCGGGACGATTAGCGCGGCTCCGCGGACTCTGTGCACGCAACTGAGTAATTCCAAGCTCCTCATCTTCATCATCTCCAGACTCTACACATTCGTAGCGCTTTTTCTCTAACGATTCTCTCTTGGCACGAATGGCTTCACTAGAACGCTGTTTGCGTGGAACGACTAAGCCAGAGGGGTTCATTTCGGTGGGAACTGAGGCGTGTAGTATCTGTGGAAGAGGTGCCACGTTCGTCTCTGGTTTATTGTTGTGTTCAGGAGTTTTTGGAACTGTAGTTGCACCTTCAGAAATACCTAGTCCGCTTTGACTTTGATCCCAATCATCATTCTGGCGACCCAGAATCATTGGAACATCCTCGGCTTTGACTGACTCTATGTCACCGCATGAGCTACTACCAATTGAGTCCTGGCGACTGGATCCCCGGTAAGAGCTCGAAAGCACTGGCACGAAGCCAGATGAAGTTGTTGAACTAGGGCTATGATCCGTCGGTGCAGCAGAATGGCGCAGTACAGAGGGTGGGAAAGGTAGCGGCTGTGAAGGATGATAATCCTTCGGGGGAGGTTTCCACTGGCAGAACCCGCACAACAACTCCGTAAATTTGGTCAGGGTCGGAGGTTTCTCAACGAGCGTATCAAAATGATGAGTCTCGGGCAGGTCCTTCAAATAGCCGGTAACTGCAATTATTGGTGTATGTCGATTAGCGCTCCGCGTTTCCCGCACCATACGTGCCACATCTGCCCCATTCACCTGGGCCAACTTGTACTCAGTCAAAATGATATCGAATCGGACCTCGCTCAGCGCATAGCGCATAGCCTCTGCACCATTTACGGCTGTAATGGTGCGGCAACGAAGTTTCTCAAACAAGCGTTCCATTACCAATCTAGAAACCGGATGGTCCTCACAAATAAGCACGTCCAGGGGCCGGAAAAATGGCCCCTCGGGGAAATTGATCTGTGAGAGACGCCTTGAGCTGTGACGCCGTCGTTGCACTTTGAGCAAGGCCTTTGCACGATCTTCGTTGTCTGAGGAGGAAGGGGAAATATCGAAAAGCTGGCTACGACGTTTGTAATGGCCTGCAACATATGATTCTTTTGCTAGGGAAGATGATAGATCTCCATCCTGTGATCCAATCGTCTGCGACCTAGTTCTTGTCACTGGGACACTGCCTTGACGTGGTGGAGCAGACGGCGTCTTGTCAGGTGAATTGGTAGTAGGTCTGGTAGTTTTGATCGGCGATGATGCTGTGGAGTTAAATTTCAACGCCGACGCACGATTTTGGTCTGCGCTACTGGGCTGGAAAGAACCACTAGATTGGTAGGAGTTAGTTGAAGAAGACCCGGAGGTCTTTCGGCGCTCATGGTTGTGGTGACCCGTGCTGAATTGCACCAGGAGAGGGGACGATGGTTGCGATGGGCGACTGGGAGACGAGTTGGCTTGGCTTAAACTTGACGGAGAAGACGGTCGGTTGCTGCCCTTACTGTGCGACAATGTCCGCTGCAGCGACATGGGCAATGGGCTTCCCTCCAGAGAAGGCCCGAAGGATGATGGTGCTGGAGGAGGGGGTTGAGATACTTGTCCCTGCGGCGGAGGCGGAGGCGGCGGCTGCTGTTGTGAGCCTGAAGGGGCGATTTGACGTTGCTGTGCCTGCATTGCCTCCTGACGCAGTTTTTGGATCACGTCTTTATTGGCCTTTTCAAGCATTGGAAGGTTCTTGAAAGAGAAATTTCCAAAGTCGTCAGCCAAAGTCGGCTCGCTGAGCCTTCTACTACGTGACTCGCGCACATGAGGCGGAATGTGCAAAGGCATCAGCGGCCGTTTCATCGAATTGACGTGCGAGCGAACCTTGAAAAGAGCGTCATGGGGTCGGTCTGGGTACGGCCCGGTTGTCAACGGATGCGGGGGTGAGCTGCCGTCTTCGTGTTCCTCGGTGAAGGCCTGGAGTGTAGCACCACGGGGATCGAAGTACTCAGTGTCTTCGGGGTTCTCGAGATTGGGAACAAACTGAGCTTTGTCCTCGAGTAACGTATCCCAGTTAATGTCCGAAAACCATGGGTGGTGTCGAATTTCGGCTCCTCCATTGGGGAATTTCTCATCGACATTTGCTCCAATTCGCTCGCGAGGATTGATCGTAATCAGTTTATTCATGAGATCAATAGCGTCTGTAGATGCCAATTCCTCAGCATCCTCCGGCCAATTGATCCTCCGATTTAAAATGTTATCAAATACTTCATCCGGGGTGCCTGCATTGAAAGGTGGATAGCCGAACAAGAATTCAAACATAATGCAGCCAAGAGACCACCAATCACTCATTTCGTCCTGGCCCACGCCATTGATCGTCTCCGGCGCTAGATAGTCTGGAGTGCCAACAAAACGCCTGTTGTGGTCTTCTGGATCGAAGAGCGCCGTCAGCGGAGGCATCATTCCCTGTTGCAGGGGAGTATCGTGTGGAACCGAATTGCCATGGCTTAACGAAAATGGATATAGCTGAGGGGATTCGCCCGGCTCGCTTGGGCCCTCTTCCTCAAGAAAACCACTTGAAGAGTGCCCAGGAACCGGAACAGGCAAAGAACACGTTTCGCTTCCTTCGTTAAGCGACAATGTTTGAAAAATGGCGTTCAAGCTATCACTTCCTCCGCTATCACTACGATAGCCCGATGCTCGGCGCGAAGTCTGTCGGCTAAGCCCGCTGCTCTGATTCAGGTTGAAGTAGGATGGCTGAGACATACTGCCGGCGGCGTCTGGGGTGATCAAGGGCGTAGAGCCTGGCGAGCCGTTGCCTTGAAAGTCAAAGGATGCCGATCGAGAGGACGCTATGGATGTAGCACGAGGGAAGGGTCCCTGTTTCAGCAGATCAGGAGCAGGCTCGTTCAAGCTCTTTAGAACGCGCTTCTGGCGCCCGACCAAACCCATGCGGGACAAGCCGAAATCGGTGAGCTTGAGATGACCGGTTTGATCGATCAGAAAGTTATCCGGTTTGAGATCACGGTGAACAATACCCCTGCCATGGAGGTGCTCGACCCCAAGGACTATTTCTGCAACGTACTTCTTGGCCCAGTCCTCGGGCAGACCACCCAAGACTTTGACAAGCGAAGCACAATCCCCCCCATTCAGATACTCCATTACCAAGTAGAGATATTCTTTGCTGGAAAATGTCCAATACAGTTTCGCAACAAAATCGCTTTCGCCCTGCCACATCATAATCGCCCGCTCAGCCTTCACATTGGTGACCTGGTTCTTGGCGACCATGTCTGCTTTCTTCAAAACCTTGATGGCAAAGTACTCGCCGGTGGTCTTTTTCTTGGACAAATAAACACTCCCAAAAGCACCTTTGCTTATAGGCTTAATAATTTCGAAATCTTTGATAGACTGTGGTGCTGGACGTGGCTGCGGCTGGCTGGCCGAGGTCAAATGGGGAGAGACTGGCGGCCGCGCAACATCAGATGAGGTAGCTGAAGATTGTCGGCGATGATGGCGGTAGTGAGGTTGGATTATTTCGCTTGCATTCGTTAACGGTGACACAACAGGAGAAGGCAAGCTTTCCGCGCCGCCGCTGGAAAGGCGAGGTTTGGGCATCCGCAAGGGAGAGTGTGGCCCTGATATTCTGGCAGGAGAATGCTGCCGGTGAGGGGAGCTGGACAGGCCAGGGAGAACGAGGCTCCTGCGTTTGAGGCTCCGGTCAGACGACGGTGAATCTGTTCGCACGGCACCAGGCAAAGCAGAATAAGGGATGCTGCTATCGCTGTTGTCACCCGCATCGAAATCTGCCGACGAAAGAGCTCGGCGGGAAGGCTGAGACGTCCCCAGCACACTGGCCATGCTCTTGTGAGAGCGGGGAGTGGGACACTCCATTGGACTATTAGATCCAGTAGACACGGCCACCGACGAGGTCTTCCCTTCAGAGAGGTACGGTGACTGGATTCGATCTGGGGAACTGCGCATCGACATCGTGAGGGCGGACATAGTCGGAGGGGGCGGCAGTGGCGCTATCTCTCGAGATAGTTTCGGACTTGGGGCAGCGGCGGTAGTGTCATCTCTGGGAGAATCGTCGTCTGAGGAGCTAGAATCGCTTAATTGACCGGCCGCTATGCGTTCTGCTTTACTGAGAGCCTCTGTGATACACTCTTCTACTAATACCGTGTACTCGACTCGAATCCGCTCTGCATAGTCCACAATCCTGCGATGGCGAATCACCGCATCTACTTTCGACTTGGAAACCCGCTCGGTGTCCATACACAAGGCAGCCAGACCTTGTTCCTGGTCCAAGGTATTGGAACTGGGAGATTGCCACTGGAGGACCTGCGAAATCCGAGATTCTGACTGCGGAGATAGGGTTCGAAAGTCATCCCCCGCGTCCGTTCGGGTTTCCTTAATCATAGGCATATTGATCTCCAGTGCCGTGTCGCACAGGTCCAGGATAAGCTCGACTACCCGAGACAGTGGCCGCCGCACAGCAAAAGACCGACCCCGAGCGTGTCCAATTCCCGAGACCGAGTGGTCCCTGGATCTAGGCGGAGTGCCCGGGGCGGAGCTTGAATTGGAGACCGATCCGGATGACGGAGCAGAAGCAGTGGGAGACGGACCAATAGGCAGGCCTTTATACTCCGCCTGAGGTATCGCGGCCGAGTTGCTATCACCGAGCACGAAGGGCCTGCCTTGTCTGTTCTCCAGAGTATCTAATACCTTCACGATTGCATGACGGTGTTCATTGAGATTCTCTTGAGAAATCTGGACATCCATCTCGGCGCGATGCTCTTGCAGGCATAGGTCTGAATGTTTCTCGAACCACCAGGGTGTGATCTGACGTTCGCAGATGCGACATAGGACGGGGCTAGGGGCGGGATATTTGGAGGGGTCAGGCTCATTCGCAGCTGCTTCCGCCAGCGTCGTCAAGTAGTTGGCCAAGACCTCTGCGCCGACACCCAAAGACTCCACTAGCAATGGAGGGAGGTCGATGGTGACCTCCCTTGGTTGGGTGAAGGGCCGTAACATCCACATGGTCTGTATGCCATCCAACCGTCAGTCAGTCCCTACCAGACATCTAAAAAATTTGGGGCAGACTTACGTGGCCGACACCCTTCGCAGTTCGATCAAACGCCATTATCCCCTGTCCTTCCATGTTCAGGACGTCATTATTGCGCTCGGGTTCAGTAGGAGGCACCTCCTGGTTATCTGAGCCTTCAGTTTGAGCAGCACTCGGAGCCTCCGGCTCGAGGGGTCGTGGCTCCGGCGAATACTTCAAAACCGACTCGGGGCCCATGAACAGTGCGAAGCGAATAAAACGACTGCGAGAGTCGTCCTCCTTCAAGGACTCAATCGCGTTCTGGAAGACATCCCTGTTGTCGACCAAAAGCTCAGAGATCATGCGGCCTTCAACATCCTCCGCACGAGTCCCCACGACCTGTTTCCACGACGGACTAACCCATTTTATGCGACCATCCAGATCCAAATCAACGATGACATTCAAGGTCTGCTCAGCGGCCTCCTTCAAATCCTCGCGTTCTTCTTGCATGTCGTCGGATACCGAGCGCAACGAGGGAGAGCAATTCGGGTCGACGGGGCGGGCCTCCTGCCTCAAGGCAGTCACGGCTGGAGGAGCAAGAAACTGAGCATTTTGAGCGCCATTGTCCGCCATGCTGAACAAACAGTACCACTGAATCGATGGAAAAGTCACCCAGACGAGTAGGCGGGAGGATGGAGGCCACCAGCAATAGCCCAAACGATAAAGGTGAATCAACAATAGACAAATGCTAAACAAAAAGAAAGAAAGTCCTAGCAGAACCGTCTGCTGGGCAGAGCGGATGCCCTTGAAGTCGATGTTATGAATTCATCCGCCGCATCAACTAACTGGCCATGGCTGGAGCGCGGGGAGGGGGGGGAGGGGGGTGAGGCGGAAACACGACAGGAAGAGCAGCCGTCACCAGGAGGGCGCCGCAAAGAGGATCTCTGTAGTTGTTGTCGTCGAAGTACAGACTGGACAGGAAAAAAAGAACCTGCTCCGTCCTTCAAAAAAAAAAAAAAAAAAAAAAAAAAAAAAAAAAAAAACCCCCCCCCCCCTCAAAAAAAAAAAAAAAAAAAAAAAAAAAAAACGGACACTCCCTCACGTAAGGACTAATAGGACTGAAGGACGAACAAGAAGCGGCTATGCGGGGGAACGGCGCGACGGGCGTCAACGCGAATCCAGGGTGATCGACCGAGTCAACCCCAAATGAGGTTGACGGAGGAGTTTGGGAAAGAGTCGAATTCTCGGTTGACGTGTCAAGGGAAGAAGAGACGAAGGGAAAAATGCCAGGTGATTGAGAGAGGAGAGGAGAGGAGAAGAGGGAGGGAAGAAAAGGCGGAAGTGAAGTGGGTAAAAGCCGTTCCAGAGTTCAAAGTGAGGCAGGGAAAAAGCGGGAAAAGCAGCAGCAGAGAAAGGTCTACCGCATCGATAAATTGGTCTGGATTGCGTGGATTTTATCCGGCTGCCAGAGTTCTGGATTGTTTCTCTTATCATATCTACTGGTTCTCTTCTACATCGAACACTACACGTCGAACAGACTCGGCATCGTCATCCATCGATTATAAAATAACGTAGATGATTCGGTGTTTCTAGCTCGGCCGGATTCCCATCGGTCCATCTCATGATCCTGGGTCCAGTATTCATCTTATCCATCTATTCTACCTGTTCCACCACGCCACTTCCGTCCTAACTGTTTCCCTCTCGGGAGGAGAGATAACCTGCATTCACTCCGTACCTCCTCCTCCTCCTCCTTCTCATCTTCCTCCTCATTACTATTGTCTGGATCGTGTCGGCCTGATTCGTGATTCGTTCGTACCTTCGTCCCCAGCGCTGGAAGATCGGTGGAATCCCGGTCTTGTCTTTCCCCTCCTTTCTCTGCTGCATCTCGCCTACACCGTGGCCGCTTTCTCAGGCCACCATTATTTTGTTGTGATATGATATTATCCAACCTTGACTGGCTTGTCTAGCATCGCCATCTAGAACGGCTTAAGAGATCCTCACTACGAGCCATAACGCCATTAGTAGTAGTCTCGTAGTCTCCGTCTCCCTACTCGTTATAACGTCAATTCTGTCTACCTCGAATTAAGACCTTTTTTTTTTTTTTTTCCCTTTTCTTTTCTTTTTCACTGGTTATTCTCTCATGATCAGCTGGTCAAAAAAGTACCACACAAATGCCTCCGGCGGAGCCACCGGGACGTCACCGCCCATGCCAAGGTGCTTTTTCGTTCCATGGAACGGGTTCTATCTTCGAGAAACTCAACGGCAGATTAATCGGCGTTTTCAACTTTCTGTTCCTTTATGTTCTTTTGGTTTTTTTAAATTTATTCGTTTTAACGGACCCGGCCTCGGACGATGTAGGTATGTATGGAGTAGGCACGCTGTAAAAAGACATCATACACCCTCATTGGAGATAAGTAACATGAGGATGGACTAAATGGGGATTTGTTTCAACCATTCACGTCTCTAGGGTCTTGGATGCAGAGGTCGTAGGCCCAATCAACCCTCTAATTTCACCAGGGACACGATCCGGCCGAAACATACCTACTTACATATCCCAGTCCAAACATAACTAATCCCATTCACTAGACAAAGGAACCATATTCTAAGAAGCCTAAAATTGAGACCTGGTCGCTTGATGTACATAGATAGGGTGATGGGATTGGTTTGTTCTAGCGGATATTTTGCACTTTTCCACGGAACCCATCCAGCCAGTCACTGCATCCTTCGATGCTAGGAATGATGTTAGTTGGCGGACTCTGCGGGGTAAGCCCAATGGGTGGGGGAGTCCAAGAGTTTATTAGTAGTTGATCGTATTGAAGAAACTAACATCTGCAACAGACAGGATGACCTTCCTGCTTCCTGCACCGTCCATCTGATTGATGTCTGAGAATGTCTTCAGCACTGAGTCTAGGTTAGTAGATAATAAAGAGTAATGGATGTTAAGTACATAGGTAAGTTTGTATATTTTAAAGATCGACATACCCCTTTGTCATTCCAAGACCTGGCCTAGAATAGCTGGATTCCATTATGTCATTGTGAATTTACTTTGACACGAAAAAGGTAAATAAATAATATATATGTGTGTGTGTGCGTGTGTGTGAGGGAGAAAGAGAGGCAAATCCTTTCCAGTTGATAAATGGTATAGCCTACCCACTATAACTAGACAACCTTTACTATTCATGAAGTAATAATACATATCCACCAACTTCCCCACAATATCCACCAACCTGCATCGTCAATCCTTACCTGACTGGACAACGATAAGACCATGATCGGCTGCTGTTAGCGGAGAAGAAACAACCAGCTGGGATCGAGGGGTGCGGCAACAGTAACAATATTGGATGCTGCAGCCCACCCAACCTACGAAAGTACATACATACATACATACATACATATATCCATCTGCACGTTTTGGTTCAGAGTACAAGAATCATCTGACACGGGGTTGATGATGGTTGATGGCTGATTCCATGGATTGACTCTAGATATCCTACTTCCATAGTTTACTCTTTCCTACAAGGCACAAAAGCCATATATCCGTCCTAACTCTTTTCTCCTTACCTGATCCAATGGACCCTTCATGATAAGCTTCAATGTAATGTCTGTGGTATGGTCACCTGGTCGACCGATCAACGTGGCTCTGGGCGGAGTGAGCCATTTTCCTGTTCGACTCTGAATACATGGGTTGCGCCATGTGTGTCGGCCGAAGTTAGACCTCAGTAAAAGAGAGTTAACTACCTATGCTTTAGGGCATTGATATTGAAAGATAAAATATGAGATTTTGGACATGGATGACTGAACCTGTTACATGTGTCTATATCTTAATAATTACAAACAGAACAATCCGGATAGATACATCCCAACTATGGAATCGTCCTAGGGACATCATAGAGGAGACCCACCCCATGTTGCACAGACTCCACGTCTATCCTTGCAGCAATGCCGGATTTGTTTGTCCCTTGGTTGGTGCAGCATGTGAGGTTATTGGTCCGGCAAGCATCTTGGCGCCGTGATACATTAGCAAGGTGCATTATTGCATCAGCTTACATACCAGCAACACTCCCATCTGAAGTCTAATGTGGGAGAAACATTGGCTAATAGAGTCTCAGATGCTGACTTCTAATTTGTCCATGAACGAGCTAGGTGGATAAGTCTGATTCACAACAGTAGCCCTGAAACATGTAACCAATACATAATGCCATCCGCTCCAAGCAATATATAATACCAAATTAATTCCTCGTGCGTCACCTTCAAACTAGGTCAGAAGGAAATCTGCAGCTCTTTGTAAAGGAGGAAGGACTTCCCCCAGATATCGGCATCAGGGTGGTGGATGATGTCAGCTGCAATTTTCTCGGCAAGCATGTCTGGAGCTGTCAGGGAACTATTTTATCTAGGCGCATGGAGAGTGCACACATACAGACGGTGGATTGAGGATGCCCAGGACCCAAAACTGGCATGGAACTAGCATCCACAACTCTCAACCCCTTAACCCCAAAAACTCTGGCCCGGTTGTCAAGGACGGCCATGGGATCACTGCGAACTCCCATTTTACAAGTGCCGGCAGCGTGGAATATAGTCATCATTGTATCTCGGATGACGTTGAGGATCTCACTGTCAGACTGGAACTGGCTCCCGGGGAAGTACTCGCCCCCAACCACTATGGGAGCCATGGCTTTGCTCTGGAACATGTCGCGGATCCTCCGATATGTCGCCACTGCTATCTGCTGGTCGGTTTCTGTCGAAAGCCAGTTGGGATTGACCACCGGCAGGACATCCGTATCGGTAGATCTTATGGTGACATTTCCGCGAGAAGTCGGTGCAACAAGCGAACCTGCAATTGTCGCATATTGCTTGCCACTCCTAGGTTGGAAGATAGGGTTCGAGAAGTTGCCAACAAAAAGAGGCATGGAAAGGTACTGAGAATTCAAATGTTTAGCGATACGTCACTGAAAGGTGAAGTGTAGCGCCCAATTGCATACCTCTATCTCTGGCCAGTCACTCGGGAACCATGATAGGTCCTTCTGTGCCTGGGCCGAGAGCAAAGATCGCAGGTGGTCTGGTAGCTTCTCAAATGCCAAGTATTCACATCCTGGGTTTGTCAATAGCCCCTGGTGGGCGGTAAAATACTCGAACATTTGTCCTAAAAGATACAGGCCATCGGTAGTGGCCTTGGAATACGTCTCTAGATCTACCTGATAGGTTGGTCCAAAAAATATGTGATCCCACATCTCTTGGCCAACGCCCGGAAGATCGACGATGATGTCTATACCATGTTCCCTGAGAGTGTTGGCTGGTCCAATGCCAGAGACCATCAAGAGTTGGGGAGATTGGAAAGCACCTGCGGATACAATCACCTCCCGTGTTGCATTCAAAGAATATTTCATTCCCTTAGTCCTTACTTGAACTCCCGTCGCTCGTTTACTCGAGTCGAAGAGAATCTTCTTAGCAGTGGTTGTCTTGAATATCGTCAGGGTTCTAAGACGCCGCAGGGGCGACTTGGTAGAACGCAAGAACGAAGACTCGGAGCTGCTCCTCGTTTTGTCGGATGGTCGTACAGTATAGGTAGTATACTGAGAGCCTAGAAGCCATCCGCTGTTGAAATCTCGTGTTTCATTGATCCCAACGGCTTGCAAGCCAAGCTTCATCCAACTTGGAAAGGACGCTACATATATGGGATATGACACGTGGAGAGGCTGACCGTCTTTATCAAATGGATCTTCATCGTAATCCATCGTGGCATTCGAAGGGCGCACATTATCATCAGGAGGAGTGAATTTTACTGTTCGTTGGAAGAACGGCAGGGTGTTTTCAAACGTGTAGCTTTGATCGTTGACGAGGTCAGCCCACAGCTGCATCGATCCCACGTTCGGTCTACCACACTTTCGTTAGCTTAGAGCTCGATAGACTAGCCGAATGCGCAAACCTTTGATATATCATAAAATTTATGGCCGACCTGTATGAAGGCAGAGGACATCAGCATTTGGGGAACAGCATCATTCAAGGAACCAGGAAATATCCATACGATCCTCCCAGGCATTTCCCCCTTTCATAATGGACGTCACGAAAGTTCGTACCAGAGCTACCCTTGATCACAAACCCCCAGTCAATGGACGTCTTTGTGTCCGGATTGGATCCTGTGCTAAGCAAGGCGGCGGCTGGAATCATTGTAATGGGGAATTCAGTCTCATAGAACTCTCCAGCTTCCACCAGGGCCACGCGGAAACTCCGTTCAGCAAGGCGCGCTGCTATTGTCATACCGGCCGTACCACCACCGACAACAACGTAGTCGAAGGAGGCATTAATCCCGGGTATACCGGTTAAGGCACTAGTTTTCTGCTTTCCGGGATATCCTGCACTCGGCCCTGGGAGAATACTCAACAGAAGAAAGAGCAGAAACATTTCATGCAGCAGAGAAGAACAAAGGAGAAAAGCCATGGTCACCGATTGCTGGTAAGCTTCAAGAAATCAGGCTGTAGAAAGGACATGAGTGGATTATGAGGAAAGGAAGTGAGCTGAACTAGTCAGGCATTGTAGGGCCTACATGGTTGAACTGGGACCAGGAAGGAGACTTTTGCTCCCGTTGGAGAAGGTACAATGCACCCACAGAGATGACCGAGATATATTCAACCTATTTGATGTAAAGCGATTGAGCTTGGTCAGTAAGTGACGCTCGCTGTAAGATATGAACTCCGTAGAGGTACTCTGGCGGGGATAATGGCATCCATATTTTCCTTCCCCTAATTCCAACCGTTCTGGCTGTATTAACCATCAACTTCCCATCAATGGTTCAATAAAAATCGTAGTTTTCTACAAAGACATCTAAACCAATTCAAGCAAAAGATATACGAAGCAAACAAATAATCCCCCATTTGCAGAGCCACAGTGAATGACCCATAATACTAGCTCCAAAAAGACCAACTTACCAAATCACTTTTCATACTCTCCAAAGTCTCTCAACCACCTCAGAGCTGATCAAAGTCCATCAAAATGTCTACTACTCATTTCTTCGACGCCTTCCCGAACTTCAGATTCAACCCAAACGCTCCAATAGGCACAGAGTTTCACCGTCTGGCGCAACAAAGGAACTGGAGAAAAGGTTCGAAAACTTGGCGCAGGAACTGGAACTTGTACATCAGTTCAGAGTACGATAGAATCATAGGCCAGGCACTCCCTGCTGGGTTGGAAGATTGGCAGGATTTGTGCGATGAACTTGATCTGCAAGGATCATTCACGTCGATCACCAAGTGTAAACAGGTACGTATTCAATCTCTGGGCTATAGCCGTTACTTGATCAAAAATGTCTGCGGGAACATCCCTGACATGGCCAATTCGGGTTCACAGGCCTTGTCCAGAGTGCATGTGAACATAGTGGACCTTATTGAGTGTCGACAGATAGGCCGGAGGCCACGAAAGTTCCCCAATGTTAGCGCCCTCGCGGATTATACACAAGAGACCCAGAGGTTTTTCAGAAGAGATGTGGCTAAACAGGACAAATTGCTTCGAACGCTCCTGAGGAGGTTGGCGTAGACGTGAGGATGGCTATCTACATCTGATAGTGAAGGACGCATAAATGGGGACTGAACTCTAATCCCATCGATATTTGCGTGGCATCGATGTCAGTCGTATATCGGATACTAGAAATCTTCATGTATCATCAACAATTCTATCCTGTATTTATGCATCAAAAAAATATGACAGATGAATATTAAGGTCTGAAAGTCGGATGATTACTTATTGTACAGTATGTATGAACCATATATTAAGATCAGAGCCACCTCCAGAATCACTGCCCCTTCTTTTCGGCTTCCTGTCGCTCCCGTTCCACCACATATCCAACGGCACGGGCAAGGCCCTCATCCACTGGAACAATGGGCGTGTATCCCAGTCTGAACTTGGCTTTATCGGACGAGTAGTAGCGTGTCATGCAGGAGTATCGGACCACCCGCCTGGTCAACCGAGGAGTCTTACCGAATAGCCCCAGGGCCGTCTCGGCCACGGCGCCAATGGGGCCTAAAAGACCCTCAGGCAGCTCCCACACCTGATGGGGCTCAACCACCTTACCCGCCAACGCCCACGCAGCGCGCGTCATATCCCAGAAATAAACCGGCGAATCGTTGGTAACGTTGAATGCCTCCCCATCGACCCGCTCATGGTCTAGCGGCTCACCCTGCCCCGAATCATACCGGGTTTTGGTAGCAAGCAAACGGTAGGCGGCAAGCATATGGGCATATGCAATGTTTCCCACGTACGTAAAATCAAAAAGGTTGTTATTCTCACCCAGTTGCATCCGCAGAACCGTAGGGGAGGCCTTGGACGAGTGTTCCAGGATCTTGTAGGTAAAGGTAGTGTCTTTCTCGCCGTAGATACCGGCCGGCCGGACAGCGCAAGTCAACATCGACGAGGGGGATTTGCGATTATATTTTAAGACTAGCTCTTCTGCGTCGGCCTGAAATAATCAATTAATTGTCATCAGCATTTTGCCTATGAGGGCAACACACCTTCGTCTCCGAGTAGTACTCGAGTTGTCGCTCTCCTCTGATATAGGGCCATTCCTCGGTTACATTAACCAGGTCGCTTTGCGTATCATGCACCACAGAGCTCGAGCTCGTGTACACAAAAGCCCGGCACTTTCCGCCCCATTCGCCGTGAGCGCCGCCCGCGACCTCCAATAATGTAGTCGTTCCCTCCACATTCACCCTCCGCAGAAGTGGCTTATTTCCTTCCAATACATTTGGTGTGGCAGTATGGATAACGACATCCGGCTTGACGGCGCGGAAAACGGACAGCATGGACTCCACCGACGTGATGTCGCCATCATAGTATTGGGCACCAGGCAGTCGGTTGTTGGATGTTCTCAAGTCAACAACCGCCACCTTCGCAATGCACCTGGGATACCGGTCCTTCAACTGAGGGTAATCGAAACGCGCATCCCCCTTCGGCTTGGGGAGGGCGACGCTGGGGTCGGACTCGGAAGGGAAACCGAGCAATTGATCAACAATGTGCCAGCCTACAAACCCGCAGCCACCGACCACCAGGACGGTCCCCAATTCCATCGTAGGGCGCTTGTTCGACATGACGGTGGTTTCACGATTCGATCTGGTCCAATGACAGGTGTGGTGGAAGAGGCGAGAGAAAATGTCGAGGTCGCCAGGGGAGAACGGAGCGAGTCTTGGGTTTGAGCGCGAACTGAAAGTTTGGGGGGGCGAAGCTGGGGCAAGCTCGGACCACCTTCGTATATTATTACGACTAGAATAAGAGGACCTATGGAATCGAGGCCGAAAATGACCACTTTTGCCGCCGTTTACGGCTGCATTTCCACCTGTAACTTAGCATCGAACCGTCGCTCTCTAGCCCTCTCACCTGCTTTGCACCACACTATTCTGTACCCGCCAAGTCCTGTTTAGTCATGATGTAGACGCCAACCTCAGCGAGTACTCTGTTTCAAGTTCCATTCTGTTCAGGACAACCAGAGAGCGGCCGAAAGTGGCCTCCTTTACAGCCAAATCCAGCTCCCCTCCAATTTGGACCAGTCGGGCGCCGTACAAAATGTCGTTCTTCCTCGCTTCACTCCCTTCCCTCCCTCCCAACTGAGTCATCCCCCCTCAACACCTCTCCTTCCCGAATCCCCCAGTCACTCGGACCGTGAACAGCTGCCAGCAGAGCCCCCTCTCCCTCATATTTGCATTTAATATCCCGGATGCGTCCTTCTCGTGTCCCCCCTGCTAATCATAACCAACACCAACACTGGACCGATCCAATTCTCCATGGCGAACTCGAGCCAGTCTCGAGCATTTCCGCAGCCTTGGATGGCTCCCCTCAAACTTCAAGCCCTTGACACTCAAGGGCCTTGCCGTGGTCGAGCGATACTAGCGGAGGTATGATATCTCCCCGGACTGCACTAGAGACCGCACATCCTTAACGTATTCTTAACACAAACAGATTCTGTGACCATTCGAAAGTGGACTACATGGAGTATCTACTCTTGGAGGGCCAAGCGATCTACATGAATTTCTTCGATTGGATGTACAGGACCTCGCAAGAGAAAAAAAATTCCGTCATATGATGAATACTGGCGACGACTCTGTCAGTATTTTGGCCTGTTTGCTCGACGTCGTCCGAATGATAACATCTATAAACAGATACGACGGGTACGTGTCCATTTTTGGTTCCACATCTACTAGGCTAACCTCGAGGACAGTTTCTTAATCAAGTATTCCCTGCCGAACACATGATCCCAAGGTGTATGAAGGATAAGAACACTCTGGATATGGATATTTTCTGTGTCCTCTATCGTCATCACTGGACACACTCGAGATTTTTCCGCCATGGGAGTATGTTTATTCAATTTGGTACAATCCAGCTCTGGTCCACTATTACCGGGACTCGACCGGTGTACTACTTCCGCAGGATGCCTCCCCGGCCGCCAGACCATCCCTGGGCAAACGGAAACAGGAGGTGTCTTCCCAGAGTGACCTTCCCAAACACGTTTCCGTGGATACTCTTCCGGACCCTGTCTGCTACCGCGACATTGAGCTCTTTTACCTTAAAGACCCAGATGGCAAGCGCGATGTCCTTTGTGCCATCATCGAGTTTCGCAATCTTAACAGTCGGCCAGAAGGTGCGAATGGGTATGGCCCTCCGAGCATACCAAATTATTCTGGCGCTAGTTGTTCTTCTCAGAACCAAGTTCTTTATACACGGTGATTATCAACTAGCATACTACCTAATCACCCAAATTATCTCCTACGCATTTCGTGATGGGGCATTTCTCAACACTGCGTTGACACCGGACCTAATATGGAGGCTGCGAGTTCCAAAACGCCTCCCGTCTCTTCCTCTCCGGTGGAAGCCAGAGATGCTCGATATTCCCCTCCTTCGGTGCGTTGTACGCACCCCTCACGGCGACGAGATCCATAAGTCGTTACCGATGACATATGATTCTAGTACAAGTGCTCCAAAAGTTGGGTCGAGATGCAAGATTCGAGGACGATATTGTCCATTATAATTATCGACGCTGGGTTGCCAATGAAGTTAACCGTACGTTACCTTAACTGAATGCAACTATCTCTGCTTTGACAAACCCTTTTCATCCTGTAACTGACTTGTCGACTATAGGGAACTTTAAACGAGCTAGGAGCGGCAAAGAGTGCTCGGTCAGTCTGGCAATGTAGACTAAGAAGCACTACCAGTCACAGTTTATCGGACGCGGTCTTCTTCGACTCGCCGGAAGCATGCTTAGGAAACGGGATCCCTTAACCACGTCGTCCGAGCTTACCGACGCTCAGCGACGTGCTATCTGTCAAAAACCCGAAATCCTAGTGCTGAGACGAGAGGGAGCTGATGGAGATCACTACATGCAAACAGTGCAAAATAGTGTTTGTTTAGCGTGTCATTTTCCCGCGCTGGACAGGCAGGGCATTTCCATCTAGCGTCCAGAACTCTGTTTTATTGCCCATGACAGTGCATTCTTTGCCTGGAGTGATGGACGAGGCATACCTTCCGCAATGGGGCCAGTTACCCGTCGAGCAGTACTTCATCGTGAGTGTTTTGCGCCACTATTGTTGTTTCTCCTGGTAATAGAAGGCCGAGCGTGGCTAATATCTTATAATGAAGAAACACTGGGATCACTCCTCATCTGAGCCCACTGGAGACCAGCGCCTCCGACTGATCCACCGGTTCTTAGATCTAGATGAGATTCCGGGGGAACTGGACCCTACTTATCATGCCTCGGAGACTTACGAAACACCGTCACGTTTCCCTACGGCCCATGAAATTGACACTATCCTCCGCCCCTGGCGCTCTGACAACCTGCGGAAGATAGCGTGGAGGATTTGGGGGAGTGATAACAATCAGTTGATTTTGTTGCGCACTCACTATAATGCCGATGACAACGACAAGATCACAGAATTAGTAGGGTCCGATGAGCTCGACGAGGAGGATATAGCCTGGTGGGCCCTTCTTGATAATCCCGAACTCTTCAATTTCGGCGACCAGTGGTGGCGAGTCTTCGATATCTTGCCAGAGTTAGCCGGCCCTTTAAATGGTTATAGCCGCCTGCCGAACCCAGAACATATCTCACGGGATAGACAGTCTTTCAAGAATAAACTACCGACCCTCAAACAAAGCGACGAATGGAGGGCGGATCGTGATAATTATATTGAAAGAGAGAGTGCATTCCTTCGGCGAACAGCTTCAAAGGGCTATTTTGCTATTGCGGATCAGGAAGCTTTTGAAACGGATATGCTACGGTTAATCTATTACGACGGGAAGATGAATATTGTCCAAGAGACCCGGATAGAATTCAGTGAGCAGACATTTGCTGATGTTGCTGTTGAATGGGAAGAGTTGTCGCTTCCTTCTCAATTATGGGAGGACGGAATGACTGGTGAGAAGTATCGAGTGAATGGGGAGCTAGGAAGGGAGTTATATCAGCTAGATGAGGCTGATCTGGAATAAGGATGGGTATAAAGAAGTCCGACGGCCATGTGAGCGTTACTAGCGCCAATATGATAGCAGGTTGGAATCAACGTACAAATTCTCCCGGACCCCGGCTAGGATGCGTATTGACGGGTCATAATACATCTGGTAAAGTCGCTCCCTCCAGAACAGTTTACGGTGACCTCCTTCTATATATATAGTGTACCAATCCTCTTAAAAGAGCTCACAACTTATGGTCTCAATTTATAGTCCAAGAATAGAGAATGTGGGGAGTTTTCAGGTGTATAAACAAACTATCCATGGGAGATTTGATCGTGCTTCCTTCGTTTACGTTCTCATCTCCTCTATTCATCTCGGAAGCGCCTCAGAGCGTAAATTGGTCCTGCGACGGGTACGTCGCAACGAGGCAGCCCATGATTATATAGGAGTACGTCCGTCAGCACGGGTAGGAATCTTATAATAGTCTTTAAATTTCTACTAGTAGAATAAGAAGGATTCGAATCCTTCCATTAAAGACTTTTCCCACACCAATTCGGAGGACGACTGAGGACTTCGCTCCCTCGCATGAGACCCAGCACGAGAACCGAGACTCGGAGACGCCTAAAGGCAATATTGGCTCTACATAAACAATATGATGTGAGGGAGAAACTATGGGGACCTCCGGCTGGTGATGATAAAGCGGATAATTATTTAGGCGAATGTAGAAGGTAATGGAATGGCTGAGTCTGTGAAATTTGAGTCGCTTTGTTTGGATGCAATCTGCTGCGCCAAAGTGGGGAAGGAATAGATTTTGTCCAATTATAATCGAGAATTTGAGGAGGATATGATTGGCTGGGTCTGCCTCTCTTTGAAAGACGTCAAGACGCAGTATGCTTTATGCGGTCAGTTAATGAAGTGAAATATATGCTTTTAATCCCAAATCCCATATATTCTGGCGAACAATCCGAAGCTCAAGTCTATCATTCACTTTACGTGACGTAAATGATAACTTGTAGAGGCCTGCAGAAGTAGAGTTACCAAGCATAGAAACATTGCTCTTCAGAACTACCACTGTGGTTTGCAGATGTTTCTTGGGGCTCTCCCGAATAACATTTGAGATCCCAGGAACGAGGATATCGGTATTTGAGAATAGTCAGGTAGCTTCCAAGAGTATCAGTGTTCACAAGCTAGGCATTTTCGGTCTAAGAACATAGCCTACGTCCAGACGCATCGTCAACAAATTCTGAAAGTTTCCTGTGCAGATATCCTTTGGAACAAAGCCATTTTTCGGCTCCTTGTCGATGGTAACGAGCACTATACTAGACTATTTCCGTAACAGTCCATCTTAGGGAGACAGGGTCAGGTCGATTGGATGGAGATTTCTCCGAATCTGCAGAAGTGGCAAGGTGAGCTAAGACACGGGCGCCATTGGCTTCAGTATTCGGGGCCATTGTTGCATGCCCGGAGCGAAGGTAGTGAGGCGGCGGTACGGCTCATTGCCACGGGATCGAGAATACCTACTGATACAAACGCGGTCGTGCCACTCCTGTCTAGCGACATATGGAATGATGTGCGGGTTCCGAGATGATATGGGTGCGGAAGCAGCGCGCAAGAGATCGTGGCCCACGTCTTTGTAGACTGCCCACCGTTAGAGACGCATCCATAGGGGCCCCGGAGGGAAGCCGGGGCGTATTCAACAGAGTGTCCATAACGGTAGTGGCTAGCTACGAAGATAAGATAATGCAACTGATACTGCCTCACGACTCACGAGCCAGAACGGTCAAAGCAGTGCTGAACTTTCTATAGGCATCGCAACGATTGTGAAGTCGCGCGCTACAAAGGCAGATTAACAACGGGTAAGGCAGTTAGGCCAGACTATGACTTGGCGAGACTCTAAATTCGTTTCAGGGATTGGCACAGTTCACATGTACATACAGGGATAAATTTTAGCTGTGAGAGCCTGCATATCCGCTCTTGACAGTAGATGATAAACCCTCACCCTCTAGGCTGGGAAGAGATTCATATTTTGGTCCTCCTACTTGACTACGAAGGTCAGCTTTAAACTCCGGTTGTTCGCCACCTTTTTGTTGGCACTCTATTTTTATTTTTATTTTTATTTTTATTTTTTTTTTTTTCAAATTAAATTATGGTGAAACAAGTCATGTAATGTGCCAGAACCTCTAGGAAGAAGTTGCTTCAAAATATGATTGGTTGATGGTGATACTATCTAAGTTGAGTGGATGCAACAGAGGCGCTAGGCCTAAATTGGAGGCGGTAGCTTCGACATAATGTCTGTAGTAAGAGGATGGTGTCCCTAATTATGAGTTCCTGGACGATACGATTCCTTCGGGATACGCCGTCCAGGTTGCACACCATTCCCCCCCAAGCAAAGGGCAGACTCTTCTACGAAAACATGCCGGGCGTAGATCCGATGATAACAATCGTTAAGATCAGCGGCCCAAAGGCAGGAGACGGGGAGCCCAGTGCGTATATCCAATGGTCGCAGTCTCTGAGCAGGGATCAGTGGCCCGACATCTGGACTGGTTCGAGGACCGTGGCTTTCGATCCCTCTTGGGCCCTCGCACCCCCAACTTGTGGCCATCTGGGCTTACAATCCAGTACGGCCATCGATTCCATGTATTTGGTCTATAGATCAGAAACTGCTTTTTTCGAAGAGCATGACGCGCAAAATAGAAAGTTTAAAGGTAGAAAACTGAAAAATGCTGCCCTAAATCCACAACCCCCGCTGCCGTCCAGTTATTCCCCTCGATTTTGTCTTACTCTCAAGGACCTCCTCACGGGTACCAAGGTTGGATAGGTGTCCTCAGATTTCCTCTTTCGGGGATTCTCGTTAACCTTCAACTTAGACATATCAACTCCGGCTCCATTCTGTCCTGCCTGCGTGCTTGCTACAACCATCAGCCATGTATCATTAAAGTTTGAATATAATACATACAATCAATGTATCTTGCTCTCTCGCCGTATACAGGAGTGTCCGTTTGCACGCTCACTATAATCTATTAGCAATGGCCACAAGTGGAAAGACAAGTGCTCTGCGTACCATCAACGTGAACCGCGACTCCAAGAACATGGATGGCTCGGGAGAGCTAGATGCAGTCCTAGCAGTGCCCTCACTCTGAGGGGCTGAGAACTCCATATGCCAATGCTGCGCTCCTTTTCTGACCCCGAACATTCCCTATTCTCCTCCAAAATGCAGATAGGATTCACTGGAGAGCCATATGGGGATACAGCGACAGTACTAGCCTCCTTTGATCTCTCAGGGATTTCAGACATCGTATCCCCGTCTAGAATATAGATGGGATTGTCGGGGGAGCCACAAAGGCTCCCTGGAATAGTGCTTGCAGCCTTTCCTTGTCTTCAAAATCAATAAGAATTGGGTTATCCAACGAGCCTCCGAGTTCCATGGTGATACCTTTGGTCACATGCAGCCCTTCGGAAGGCAGGGACTGTGTCATTATTGTAAGAACAAGGGATTTTGATGAGAGGCCTGGGAAAGAATAGTTATTGAAAAGACGAGTGCAGTCTAGCTGAGAAGGGGGAGGAGGGGCCTTTTATCTCCTTCTCCTCCTTCTCCTCCTCCTCATACCTAATACGGCCAAAACTCCTTAGTGCTTCCACTGACACCAATATCAGACTCACAAAGGATGGGCCATTGGGTGTGAATCAACTTCGGGCCCAGGGACTGTCGTCATGAGTTGTCAGGCGGTTCTAAATTTGCACACATACAGGTGGCTGCGACAGAATAGCAAGCACGCATAACCTAGACAAGTACTTGGTTGGTTGTTATGCTTCCAAAAGATCGTCGCACGTCAATACCCATGTCCAAGGCAGAATACCTGTGCCGTGACCATGCTTCAGCTTCATGGACAATTCAAACGATTGGTTCACGGCGCTCCCGGTGGTGAAATAGCACTACTGTTTAACTTTTCAGGGGACAATTATATCCATGCTCAAGGCAACAATTGCTTCAGTCAGGATGGAACAGAATCAGCCACAGGTTATTATCATTTCGCGTTCCAACAACGCCATACACTGCTCTTAGTTAGCACCATAACGCTCAATCACTAAATATAGAAGCTAATTATATCCCGTCTTTCTTGGAAACTGCCTGGCCTGCTATATAAAGAGAACCACTTGTCAGGTCATTCTTCTTCACTACTAACCTCTACCACTTAATTCCCCTTGCATCTCTTCAGCCCATTTCATTCTTGATCATGTCTTATACTTTCAACATCTTCAGCGACGTTGTCATTACCTATACTCGAAACAACAAGCAGAGACACATGCTCGTCAAAACTTCCCTCAAGAGGGCAGTGAGCCCGAGAACAAATGCTTCGAGGAAAATCACTCGGAGACGAGCAGAGGTAGGATGAGATTCCCGGATCTATTAAGAAGATATTATTACTTTGATAGCAAGCTCAACGGATATTGAGACCATGCCTAATAGCCTTCCAAGTGGCTCGCATACTTCCAGTGACAGCGTCCAGGACAACGGTAAGTAATAGCCTCGGCAATTGGAGCACAGACGCATTAATATATTGCAGAAAATCTAGCAATCAAGACATACGTCTGCATACTCTGCAGCCACGACAGCATTGAATTAGTCTTAGGCTGTGGTCATGCCTGCTGTTCTGCATGTTTCAGCGAACACTTTCATAAGTACGTTGTTGAAATGAGCCAGGTCAGTGACGAGCGCCGACGCCAGCATCTGAAAAGTCACATGTTGCCTCCACGTTGTCCTATTTGTTCGAAACATCTCCCGGGGTGTTACGAGAGCCAGCATCAATTCGAGATAGAGGGTTTTTACTTTCCTGTTAGATGCCTTGAGGTCTGCCACCAGAACTGTTTTGCGAAAGGATACATGGTGCAGGGAGTTTTCATGAAATTTCCCTCTTTTCAATCACCATAATGGCATTGCGACTAGACTAGGCTTTTAGGTGGAGTGTAATGTTCTTTATAGTTTAACTTACTCGGCCGTTGAAGCTCTTATAAAAGCATAATGATAACCATGTATTCGACAGCCACACTTTTACCAAGCCTGAAATCGTGGTGCTTCACGAGAAATCGGATTTCTCGTGGTGGTGGATACCGCATGAAGGCCACGCTTTTACCATACCTTAGAGAAATCGTGGTGCTTGACGAAAAATCGGATGGAGCTTGCGTGGCTGTAGCAGAAACTCCGAATTGTGGCCTTGTCTCTAGTGAACATAAGCGTCTGAGTATTGAGGCCTGAGGGCTACCTTCCTTGGACTAGCCACCTAGGACTCAGCCCATCCTTGGACGGTCGTCCATGGACAGATACAGCCCTGAGACTATCGGTTAGGGACCTGGAATGTCCATAGACAGCATAGGATGTTGGTCATATGCCTATGGCTCCTGGATGACCAAGGACTAACGTTCAAGGACTTCTTATTATGTGCGTTTTCAACAGATTTACGTTCTTGCTACTTGAATACACTTTTTTTTCCCTCTCCCCTGCTCGTTGTCAGTATTCGGAGCCTCGCTAGGTGCCACCATCTCCTTGTTGACGGATAGCTCTCCCATGTACCTTGAAGGCAGTTGCCCAGCCCTTTTCCGCCCCCTCGAGAGGATATAAAAGAAAAAAGACAAATTTCGGGGAGATACCTTCCTGGCAAATGGTCGAAAGAACAAACACTACCTAATTTCGCTGAAGGCCATTTTCCGCTCGTTCATCGCTCTTCATCCTCTTTTGCCATCCTAGCCAAACAGAGAAAGTCGTTGGAATGCTCCAGGGTGATTAAGGAGCGCAATATCTCGTGCAACTCCTGGACTTGCAGGCTGAATCCATTAATAGGCCTTATCTTTATTAGAGATCCATTCAAGAGCTGTACTTCGATTGCAAGGAGCTTTTGAAAGGAGTTGTCCAGGGGCTTATTCCTAGTATCAATCACATGGTAGAGAAGAACAAGTTGACTCCAAAAAGGATGCAGTGAGAACAGTTGCGTACTTAATAATGTGTGTTTATTTCGAAGGAGAAAGAATTCTCAGAGGGTGGGCAGAAAAATTGGTCAAGAAACTAAATTTGCTGCTTAGGGACGAATCACACTGGTAGAAAGGATGAGAATAAAAAATTAGCTTATAGCAGTAAAAATCACTATTTTAAACAAGATGACAGCAAATGGGCTGCCAAAAACGGCCGCAGTTGCTGCTGTTTTTGGCGTGATTTGCCAGCCTTTTCTTGCATCCACGCACCACCACCTCAGTAACTTATCTATGCTCACAATTTTCGCATTTTGTCTACTGTGCTACAGTTTCAGAAGAGAGCCGAAAATGGCTCTCTCTCGAGGTTTCTAGAAGAAATAGCAGTCATCCACCCAGGCGGCCCAATGCTCCTTCTCCCAGTACTGCAATTCACTTCTGCATACCATGATGCTACTTAAAAGTCAATTACGTGGTCATCTCTTCAGATTTAGAGAGCTCCAAGGCACACTTATCTTGGGCAAATAGGAGAAAACTTGGGTACTAAAAATTGTATAATTGACTTCATAATTATGATATTATTTGAATTAAAAATTGCATTGAGGGACATGCAATCCTTAAGTACATTTTAATACTCCGTACATATACAAGCCATTAGCCATAATTTAGTTCGCCTGTATTATGATCTCAAATTCTGTAAAGACCCCACACATTTCAATTTGTTTATCAGGCACACGAGAACTAGATGCCTTAAACAGCTTCCTAACTATATTTCAATAAAAAAGCAATTTTCTGCGGATTAAATAGCTTTAAATTTCGCCTCTTGTAAGAAAGCGAGTGGTAACTAAGTCACTTACCAGATATGTTAGTGTACAGTAGCAGATAAGTACTGACTGTCCTCACCCAAACCGAAACTGCGCTCATGCAAGTCATAAACTGCCATATCATCGTCGCTGTCATCGTCATCGCTGGGATCCTTAGGCTCAGCACCAGCACACATTGCGGCAATTCTGTTAAGATGCCACTGCATTTTAAGCAATGGAAGACTAGGAAGAGGATAAACAGTTGGATTGTCTGTTTTCAGAACAATATAATCACCGGAGTTGATGGGCTTGTTAGTGCGATGGTGGAAAAACTTAAAGCCATCCTGGCCTTCAGGCTTGTCTGCTGGCAAACAAGGTTTCTCGAGTAGAGAGACAAAGTCTAGTGGCTGCTTCCGCCGCTCTAGCCAGAAAAATTGTAGGCACATAGACAAACCATCAGTTGATACACTGACAGGTTTCAGAGCAAACAAGGCTTTGTCAAATGCACTATGCACATCCTCCCTCATGGTTAAGATATTTGTAATGGACTCAGTTCCTGTTTCCTCCTGTAAGGCGTTGAGCCATTCATTAACCTCTTCCTCGGGCCAGAATAATGCGAGGAGAGACCATAACTGGGACCTAGGTGTGATATGATTTGCCATAGAGAAAGGAAGAATATGTGCACCCACTAGCATACGGGGTGATAGGGTTGCTGTTAAAATACAGTGGTGATCTCGTTCTCGGGCCTGTCTCACACACACACACAAAAAAAAAAAAAAGAAATTAGCTATCAGAGATATGCGAAATGCATATAAAATGAGATGACAAACTTTTTCCGCTAGTTTTCGATTTCGTTTGGATTGAGAACCTGGTGTTCCGGGCGTGCGAGGCGTGCGAGGCGTGCTGGGGGCAACAGCGGGTGTACCAGTGGGTGTGACAGTGGGGGAAACAGCGGCAATAGGGGCGGCAGGGCATCGGCGCTCTGAGGGCGATGAACTTTGGAAAGGACTGCCGCCTTGATTCCGCTTGCATCCCTTTTGCTCGCTGCCAGTCAATGGAGTTGTGTTGTAGGAGGACGGTAATGATGTTGTAGATTTAGAAAGCCCTGTTTTGCTATTAGTACAACCTGCCTTGAAGCATGTGACTACTTACACTTTGACACAACATTTTCCCATAGAAACGGGGAAAAGAAAGACCTGATAGTCATATACTTTGGGCTAGAAGGATCGCCGCGCTTCAATTCATTGATAATATCCTGAAGTTTGTCGATATGGCAAACCCAAAGAAATGCCCATGTTGTGCTTGGGGCATCTGAATACCGCGTACTCAGCTCAGCAAGCTCATTCAACAGCTTCTTGCGGTTCTCATCCCCAAACTCCGCATCTGGCCCGCCTTCGATAATCCCACTTAACACGAAGGTATCTGACATGGAATAAAAGGGTGTGATGTAGCATGTAAAAAGCCGTCTGAGGGGGATGGAAGAGGTATGAGAAGTGCGATGTGAGGTGCTGGTGATGAGGGGGAAACAGCAAGGTAGCGAGGAGGGAAGGACATACCGCCCTGGGCAATACGATATAGCTGTTGACGGTGGGCGGGGTCACCTGTCGTCGACGCATCAGAATACTAAGTATTTTGCAAACGGCAAGCTGGTGGTCGAGAACCGCAAGAGCTGACCGCCTTCCATCCCGATCAATTCTGTCATGCCCAGTCCCATACCTTCCTTCCTAACAACTACTCTTTTCATTGAATTGTAACTACATATCTTCATTTCGATCGACTTTCGCTATAATGCAGTCTTGTGATTCTTTTTGTGATTCTCATGATGTTGCAACCAAGCCTGAGCCTTTGAAGCTTGCTTCAGCGTTGCCTTTACATCCATTTGAGAAGCTTACAGAAGGTATTGAACAACAACCATTCAGCACTCTCCGAGGCTTACAGAAGAGACTCTATGATCGTCGAACTGCACTCGAAAATGATAAGACCCGCGAACAATTTCTTGTTTTTTCAGATGTTCCAGTCTATGAAGTTTTAAAATTAAGTGATGATAGCTGTCGAGTAAGCAAATTTGCTCGTCTTACCTATAATATAGCGACACAGACTCTTATTGTTAAAATTATGCCTGGTCGGGAACATGATGCTGCATCACGATCTTTTTTTTCCTTTATTTATGATGAGATTATTGCAATGCAATTACAAAACGAAATCGACGCTCTCGGGTGTGCTACTATACAGATTGAGAACTGGAAAAAAGAAGCAGATGAATGCTGGGCACTATCTACCAAGGATGCACCATTAACAACTATCCTTGAGATTGGATTATCAGAATCATCTCGAAGACTTGCGCTTGATGCTAGGGGATGGTTAGAAACAAGCGGCACATCAGTACAGGTGGCCTTTACTTTAAATATCTGCCGAAGTAGGCCACAAATTATTATCAAACAGTACGAACTATTTCCTCGACGGTGCTCTATTAGAACTCGAGCGTCACCTAGCTTATCTTCTTGTGTTGAGACAATCAGTATATCTCAACAAAACAATACAACTGATGTCTCTGGAGATCTGAGGATACCGTTCAGGAAATTCACCGGCCGCAATATAAACCCAAATAATCAACTGGAGAGAGATCTGCTTATCCCTGGCCAAAAGCTTCGGGGTCTCGCAGAGAAAGTGTGGAGGTTGCAGGGTTTTATTTAGTGCGCAAAAAATAATCGAGCCAAGGCCTAATGTGTATGGTAGTCAATTGGCTGCTTTCAGCTGTTGGTTTGCCGTCATATTGTTTAATGGAGTATTCTATTGCTGAAGATCTTAAGGTAATTTATATAATAATGTATGCCAATACACACATTCTGTGCCAAAGAATTCACAAGTTGATAGTCAATTGCTAGCATAAACATAATAACAAACCCAAGTTAGGTTGACCAGGCCTAAAATCTATTTTGCATCAAGAAGTACATTATTTACATGGCGTGTATACAGAATAATTCTAAAAAACCACATTTCTGCCTTTGCGTGAAGTATATAAACTGTTAATAAATAGCCTAACAAATACTTCTTCGGCAAAGGGGCTTTTATCTGCTAGGAAAAGAATTTAACTGCGGAATATATTAAATTGCTAGATTCACTAGCCTCACTCGTGCGGCCTATATCTAGATTGGTGTCGGTGCGACATACCCCATCATCCGCGCACCGTTCAACTGGAGGAGAACCTGGGTATTTATAACCCACTGGCTAGTCTAGGCAGCGAACAAAACCTTGGGACACAACTTTTCAAGACTCTGAGAGAACAGAACACAGTGGATTCGACTTTACCATCATCCTGCACAAGCGATCCAACTGACCGCAGTGTTGGATGGTGCTGTGATCTATCCACAGCCTCTAAGCGCCTTAAATTACATCCCTATCGGAGAATGGGACAATTCAATTAACTATCCCAGAGAGGCCATCCTACCAGCTGAAGGGATCGTCCAAGTATTGTCCGTACACGGCAATTGCTGAAGGCGAGGTGTAAATTTGTCGTGCTAGTCAGAAGTGTATAAAAGCACAGCGATAGTTGATTCTGTGCTCCACTTCAGCAAATAAATGTTCTTTGTAGTATTGTTCTTCCCACAATTGTGTATCACAGGGCGCAGCAGACCGAAAAGTGGACGATTGCTCTCCAATCGGTTGTCTGTCGGCAGGAAGACTTGGTTCCAGACCTCGCAGAGCTACATTCCACGGGAATGTGATTGAGGACGGTGGCAAAATCAATCCAATATATCACTGATAAGGCATTTATACTATTAGACTTGTTTCTCCCACATGCAATTTCATTATTATCTGGGCGACCCAACTGCATGCGCAGCACACGGGATCAATATGATTAGGGTGAAAATATAACTTAGGCCGGGCGAGTATGCAAATAGATTAGGAGTGGGGGTAGGCGTAACCTGTAGTCAGCTTGGAACTTGCCATGCGGCGTATCGGGGCTCTAGCCCGGAAAGAGCAAAACTAACCGCAACAGGGAATTCGCAGGTCCTCAGATTACAAAGTACATATGTATCTATAATTCGCCTATCTATATGGACTTGATTTTCTGGAGACACTGAGAATTTCCCCTTTCGGAAACCGCCTCTTTACTGAGTGTACTTAGGGGCTTACTCAGTGAGTATTTCACGTCACAGATCACTACTCCCACCTCTCCCACAGGTTACAGGTGGGGTGGCATCGTTCTAGGGGTGAGACGCGCGCTACTCAATCACATGACCTATTTTACGGCTTCCGGCAAATACACTACAGAGTTTAAATTACACGGCAGCTAACCTATACAAAGCCTTAACTATTACATTTTATTATTTATTGCGTAATTTTTCCGTCTGTTTTATAAGCTCTATCTTATTTTCCTTATTTTGAGGCTCCTTTATCTTTTTGTTTTAATCGAAGCTCAATTCTCGTGGACTTCCAGGACTTCTCGTCGTTGCTCAATATTTAATATATTTTGCGAGGAGATCCGCCAAAGACTTTGTGAGGATGGTGTTTCATCCCGATTTCCATACCCTAAGTCCTCTTTTGTGGCCCTCTGCCAGTTTATCCGCGGCATTCTTAGCCTTCCGCTTCCACCTTTGTCTTTCTTTCTCCGCCTCTTCTATTTCACGAGCCTAGATGAGGTTATTTGTATCTTTAACAGATAAAGGACCTCATGATCGAACCTGGCGACGGGTTTTTCTAGCCTGGAGATGATCCTGGTTTGCAAGAATACGGGTAATATCTGCTTCATGCAGGACGCCAAGTTCTGTATTGGTGAGACTACCCTGCCAAATACGCTCAAAGCGAGCAACAATTTTATTAGTATTTATCCTGACTAAATTGCTATATTCCTTAACTGTATTAGCTTGTGCTTGAAGTAGAGCAAGATCTTTTGTACCTTAATAATACTCCGACGTATCTTGGTAACTGTTGTTGGTGGAGAGTTGGTTGTAGAGCTTGAAGGTGGTGGCGTTTCTGGTTGAGCTCCTAGTTGAGCCTCTTCTTGAGTGTTTTCTTGAGCTTCCTGGCCCCAGATTGGTAGATCTGTTGTCTTATTGCCATTATAGAACAGTTTCTAAATGCATGCCGTATGGTAGAACTCTTAAAAAGTCTGCATCCGAATAGCATGGATACTACGGAGGAAATCTGACTTTTCTTTCACAGAGCCACCCTATTGTATAGTAGCATTGTTAGCCCTCTGATAATAATGCTTATACGCCTGAAATGGGTGTCCATCTAGAGGCTGAAGTAGATGTGTAAGATTTGGTGGGAAATACTAAGGAATAATATAATACTGGTGGCAAAATTAAACAAAATCCTCTGTAAGATGGGACTGGTGGTTGTCCATTAGGATCAGGCGGTCGGATCCACGTTAGACATGATGCTTTGTCTGTTCATGGAAGAATTAAAGCCATTAATAAGCATTAATATTATTTGTCCAGCCATTTGCAGTTGGAGCAACATAATAATTGTCTGGAAGACGAGACTAATTTTTATACTAATTTGTGTAAAGGGCTAGAGCCCGTTTGACCTCTCGGGCCAATGTCCCTATTATCCCTGTTGTCCCTATTGTCCCTATTGTCCCCATTGTCCCTATTGTCCCTATTGTCCCTATTGTCCCTATTGTCCCTACTGTCCCTATTGTCCCTACTGTCCCTACTGTCCCTTTTGGCCCTGTTGACCCCTTTGGTCCATTGGCCCTCGACCCATGTCACGTGACTTCCCACCTTGTTTGTTTACCGCTCACTTTCCTCTTCCTTTCTTCCCTTCTTCAACGATTCCTTCTTGTACATAACCTATCTTGTAGGTTCTATGGGCTCAGCCCTTGACAATTTGTTGAAAACCTCGGGGGAAGAAGCTATGTTGTGAGGTGCTAGGATAGCGGTGACTGGATAGTATATTGAAACATCGTGCGATCTAGTATCGCTTGGTTAGTTCTTCCTCTATCTACGAGGGAGGGCGTAGACAAACGCTTTCTTATGTCTACGTGTCCCTTAGCCCCTTGCGTGTGATATATCAGATCGCTACGGGACTAGAATACACGAAGGTGCCTTGGGCATCCTGATTTCCAACATAATTCTCCATATAATACTGGCCCTTGAAGAGAAAAAAATGGTGGCATTATCCAACCGTCTGCAGCAATACACTTAATTGCTGTAAGTAATTCTCCTAATCCTCCAGTTCCAACATATGCTGTAGTATTCTTGTGTTTTGTAACACTTTTCTGGGATTTCCCAAGCCCAAGCTGGAAGCTAGATTTATTAAAATTGTAGATGTTTCCAAGCCTAATATTATAGCATTCAAACTGCAACGCCAGTTGATCAAACCGGGTTGAAATAGTAGAAATATTCTCTGCTGCTATTCTTTTCTTCTCCTTTGGCTTTTGCTTGACAAATTTGTAGGATTCTGGAAGGCGTTTAATAAAGTTGTAGACCCAGTTTTTACCAACAAGTCTATTTGCACAGCTTTTAATTATCGCAGGTGTTGGTGCAGCACATGCATTATCTAGGACTTTATTGGCGGCAGGGCGTGTCGAGCGAGATTTATAACCATGAACACGTCGAAGAAGCCGGCTATAAGGAACATTAGATTCCCGTTCTAATGCTTTAATTTTAGGCTTGCCACGCTTATAATACGTGCACAGGGCATCAGAGATTCGATTTTCAACCTCAGAATAGTGTTTAGGCATGGTGGTAGTGAGTAAATTGATGAAGAAATTAGTGTAGTGGTAAAAAAATTCCATTGAGCCTATAATACCGTTGAGCTTGGGATCACCCATAAGCGAAATCGGTGTGACGGGTGCCCTGCATAGTGCCCCGATAGGGGATCGCGCCGCGCGGACGGTCGCGGAGACGCAAATTTATATCAAGTAGTAAAATCGATTTGGACACCATGTCCCGTTGCTAATACTGGGGATTTTCTTATATTAAGTGTTGCTTATATCCATGTTTTACTGTATACTGTAGATACTCCATTTCCATTTCTCCCCGCATCTCAGCCATAATTTACTTCGATTCTTCTACACACGTAGCTATGAGGATTTGCTGACCCAGAAGTTTGCTAAGCCTGCTAAGCTCAGAATTCACATTGCTATATCCCTTACTAATATCTTTAGATGATTCAGCCAGTGTATAATCCACAAATTAGAGTCGCAGACGTAGCCGATATAACACGCCTTGGTAGTTTACAATTATGCTGTATCCCCTGTTCCTGTCCCTGTCCCTGTCCCCCCAAGTGCCTGGTCCTCCGGAAGCTCTTCGTCCTCTATCCAATCTATAGATCCCGGACAGTACCCTTCGCATATAACCTCCAGTTTGTGCAGGAGATCAGGCCGCTGCCACACGTAGCGTTCGATGATATCAGAGCTCATAGAATACTCAAAGTATGTACCTTCTGCTTGGCCGCTATCTGATATAAAGAATGGAGTAAGGGGCGAGTATATTGCATTGCTAGTAGGCTCCAAGTCTTTGTGCAACCACTCCGAAGTCTCCCCACTCCAATAATACGTCTGCTTGGTAACATCAAAGCCCTGTTCGGCCGCACGAGTCTCCAGATCACGAAGGTAGAATGGGTTGGGGCTTTGTTTCGCGGCCAGCCAGCAAATATGGTAGTGCGGTGTGACCTGGAGATTACGGTATAGCCTCTCATAATCGCAAAAGACACATGTAATGGCAATCTGATGTTTCATTTTGGGGCACTGCTCAGCTAAATTTTGAAGAGTATATATTGTGGGCTTAAGAGGCCACCAAATCATGTACGGCAGATAGTCTGAGTCGTTGTTTAAGCCTGATATATCATTAACCATCACGCGACGGGCAGTATAGCGTGGTTAATCATCCAGATTGTATCAGAGGTACCCGCACGAGTCCTGATGCGATCCGGATTTACTTTAAGCTGGTCAGCCCACCAGCGCGCAAACATGGTGTTGTGAAAAATCCCACGGACCACGCAGTGTAATTCCTCTATTGTCATATAGCCTGGGCGCATTAGCCGGGAATATCGGTCGAAATTACCCTCGTAGGCCGCCATCTGGATTAACAGATCCTTCTTAAAGGTTGGGAGGTCGGGAGGCAGCGGGGTAAAAAGCAATTTAGCTTCCTCGTATGTATACTGATAACGCCAATGTGGTAGTTCCACTTTCTCCTCGCCTATACCACGGTCCTCCTCAATATCTGGATAGAGAGGAAGCGCATGGCTTGGGTAAGATCGCGCCTCCAACATCCAGTGGACAGCCGTGTCGCCATTTAAAAACGCCGGGGTCTTTGTATGTGGGCACACAGAGCGGTGCAGGTCATCCATCACTGCATACCGGGTTGGAGACGCCATAATAATATTAAAGATCTGTCGGGCCCCGTCTGCACTACTTTCCCGAGACTCTTCCGCGATGGACACGTCGGGAAGAAGGTCCAGCTCCTGATAAAGGCTAATATAGCCAGCAGCGGCACATGCTCTGCCCACCTGGTAGCGTAGATTTGGATACCGACGAGCCACTTCGCGGTAAGTCTCTTCCTGTGCAAAGTCTGGATACCAGATGCAGTAGGGTACATGGTTGGGATCCTCTAGTTGGTGGGGTTCAGGAATTTGGTTACTCATAATTAGGCGGGCATTGCGTGCGCGCGCAAGCTCGGGGTAGACATTAGAGTAGATAGTGCAAGCCTCCTCGACAGCATTGCTCGTAGCAAACTCATAATAACAGCGGATGCCGCGGATAACGGCGCACCGAGACGTTACACAGGCTAAACTGTCGGGCAGCGAGGCTCCCCTCACAGCCGCCTCCCACTGCTCTTGTTGTCGTGATCCACTGTTACTTTGGCTGGAGGATCCGCTGGAAGAGTCGCTAGAAGAGTCGCTTCCCAGATCGATTAATGGCATGGTGTCTGTTGGGGGAAGAGGGAGAAAAGAGGGAAGAAAATTCTGGTGGTGAGGGGATGCAAGGATACAAAGTGGTAGGTAGTAAGGTAGGTAGTATCCAGCCGGAATAATTGCTAGACTTGTTAGGCCCAGCCCAGGAAACCCGGCCCAACCCGCCAAGAAATGGGCTGTCTAGAAAATCAAGCACATATGTACTACAGGACCTCTCACTACAAGACATGCACCAGAGAAAGATTTTTTGTATCATAAAAGATGTGATCTGTAGACATCTCTTTCCTAATTGACCCTTGTATTGCAACTTCGATGCTCCTTAACGCCTAGAACTCCGGCCACGTACGTTGTTTTAGGAGATAAGTATGACCCAAGGAAAGGCAACAATAGAAGCATGGCAGTATAGCGAAAGAGAAAGAAAATCAAAAAAAGAAACAGGAGGACTGATATAGAAGCTGCATTTTTTTATATTATTTTATTTTTGCAAGATCATCATGTCGACAGCTCATACATCGCTCATGAATATGATTCTCTGTACCTTGGTGAGTAAAATCATCCGCACCTACGCTGTGATACACTTACTCAATGCTCTTCTCAACTGACCGTCGTAGGGCTCGGTGATACTGCTTTCGATTTTCTGGACTTCCCCAAAACAACTGGGTGGCTTCAGGGTTCACTGTAGTCCGGGGGTCATAGGGTGGAGATTCTTCTTCCATTGCCGCAACGATCGCTTCAATGTGGAAGCGCATCTCATCAGCCCGTTGAGGAATATAGCAAAGAACACCCAATGGAGACACACGGATATGAAAGAGTGGCGATTCTATGAAAACACGAGGTTCCTCGTCTGGGAATCGTGAGCTTAGATAGATTTTGAACTTGAAGATCCCACCGTCCAAATATGTCATAGGGCGACCAAAATAAGTGAACTCCCATAAGAAGGGATTCCCACCCACAAGGCTCAAACTGATCGTGAAGTTTTTCTGGCGCCTGAAATCCTCGGCACATTGTTCGTATTGCCGCTGCAGGCTGGCTGCGATTCCCAATTCCTGCTTTTTGGAGTATAGTCCTTCCGCCAGCCAACTGTGCGTCTCGTCGATGATCTTGTCTCTGACCTGAACCAACCGTTGTCTTAGGTCTGGATAGTTAAAATGGCCCGCCATCTCATTACCAAGGCCTTCGAATGGCATCGTCTCGAATGCGCGTTTACCCGATGTTTCCTTTTCGGCTGCATTAATGGTGCGTATGTAAGACTCAAAGTACCATAGAAACCGTCGTTTACGGAGATCGCAAAATTTAGTCGAAGTGTCATCGCCCAGATTAAGCTCTTCATTGTCAACTGCATTAGATGAACATGTCTTCGCGCCTGTTCGGATACCCAGTGCTGACTCTAGGGGCTCGATGACTGCAAGTCGGAGACATTCATGGCGAATCTTGATGACATAGAGTCCCGTTAGTCCGTCCAGTGCAAAACAGTTGGATAGTTGAACTACCTTTGCAGCATAGGATTTCATATTAGACTCGTCTTCTTTCGTCTTTCTCTGGTCGTATCCAGGTTCATTCTCGTAAGGGTTATTGGACATCAGGCTCTGAATCGACAGCAAAACGGACTCTAAGCCCTGGGCAGATGACCATTGCTCTCCTTTTTCTCCTTGCCAGGTGCTACGGGAAGATCGCTTGTTAGCTTCATTCCCCCACTGTGTAAAATGGTACTGGTATACCCGAGAATTGACCTGGAAAATGTCAATCCATGAACGGTCTCCAGTCAGGTTCTGCTAGTGTTCAACTCACAGGCAAACCTTGCCACAGGCATAGATGTTGGGATTGAATCGACAGCGTCCTCTATTGGTCGTAAGTGCTCGGACTTTGGGAGGGTTTGCGGGATAGTCTGGAGGAGCAAAAAATCAGAGATCAGTGTACTGAACATGATAGACGGCGATAGTCTTCCTAGGCGACACATATTACCCTGGCCGAATTTGACTTCAAACTATGATCGAGCAGCCACAGTCAATATAGAACCAAGCACCCGATATAGAGCAGAGTCTGCAAAATGAGAAAACGAACCTCAAAAAAACCGAATTGATATGGCGTTTCTGGAGGGCCCAAGATCAGGGCACTGACTTTTCGGATATCAGAATCCTCGTATCTCACAGCAAGAGCTTTTCAATCCAACAGCAGTCAGCTCGTGTCAGGTAGAACTCTCCTTCGTTAGAAGATGGTGGGAATGTACTTACAAAGGTCGGTTTCTTTCTGTATTTGTTTGATCTCCTAATACCCCGCCCGGAGAGAATGCCCTTCGTCAGTTGAAGACCGTACGGCTAGATAGAAGAGCATAAGGAGGAAGGGAGAGTAAAAGAAAGAAAGAAAAAAAAAATATTACTCTGGTGATTCGCAGTAGTGCTTGGTCAGACATACTGGTGCGGGGAGAATGACCGACGATGGAAAGGCTGGAAAATGATGGCGGGTGGCTTCGGTAATTCAGCAGTGACGTATGTGTATAGAAATAGATGATCAAGTAAAGCCTCCCTCTGAGACAGAATATGAGTCCCCAAAGAGTAGAAGGAAGGTGAATGGCTAGGTTCAGCTTGAAGAGCGGGCCATGTCTGCCTGATTTTGGTTGGCTTGACCGAGGAGAATTACCTAGAGGTGACCGAATAAGGGAGGCTACCAATGCTGACAGCGGAAATCCATATATATGGAAGAATGGAAGTAGATTGAAGATTCATAGTAGATCTATATGGTGAGCAGATATCTATGAATTTTCCTGTATCTTCACTGTCTACGTAGATGGTCTAGCTCTCCACAATTCATCCATTGATGTAGTCCCTGAAACAAACTGACATTTCCCAATGGCGTCAGTATGGCCCCAGGGGTTCATGGTTACCTCCGATGAGAAAGATGATCAATCTACTACTTGAAGTTGACCCACGCTACTCCGCAGTAGATCATGCGGCGACATATTTGTCACGCAACAGAAATTTCTTCTCCTAAGCTGCCCAGAGATTAGCGACATCATCCGTCGGTAGGCATTATGGTGTAAGTAGCGACTCAGATGCAGGCCGACGGAAAAGATAGTTTCAGGGTTAGTAATACTGCGCGTGTAATGACACTATACGGAAAATCAGAGAATAGAATACCCAAGTCCAGTATCACCATCGCGAACCCCTGTTTCATCGCCTACGTGGGATGGAGTCGGTGTCCACTTCTTCCTCGACTACTCGTTGCGGCCTAGTCGGTTTAGTTCCCTCCCAAAATTTTTTTATTTTTATTTTTAATTTTTTTTTTTGGATTTTTCGTTCTAATTGCTCTAATTCATCCTCTCCAGGAGGGGCCTGCAGCGGTACGCTGTAGTTCTTCATCGTTGGCTGTCGATTATTCCCTGGTAGACTGTTCTTGAATTTATTATTTTTATCTGGCCCTGTGTAGCACAGTCAATTGGCTCTTTCCGTGCCCCGCCAAAACTTCACTCTTCGATCTTTCAACCCTGTATGGAAATTTCCAGGAGTTGAGGAAATACCAGCGGTTTTAGATACATACATACATACATGCCTTTCCACCTCCTTTGCGCCCATGTTTTCTGCCAGAACAAACACGAGGTATCCGGCTGGTACTTACTTGTCTTAGAAAAGTGCCAGAAGGAAACTAGCAAGGCACTTCTTTCTTACTAAATAGTGATTTTTATTGTGTATAAAATAAATCTGAGATGTAAATATTGGTTCTACACAAATCGCAGTGGGAGCTATCCCAGTAGAATCTGTCTGTGACTGGTCAGAATGATCTTCAGCAAGGCTACCACACTGGACCCTAGGGCACTAATACAATATGCGGGCGGTGTTCCGGGCGGTAAGAAGTTCACACGTGACCATCCCTAGTGGGCAGCCAACGTGAAGCATAGGGGGGCACAGCGAGCCAGCACTCTCCCAAGCACGCGCCTCCTAAACCTCTCCTTCTCGTTCCATATCTGTTGCTGCTATCTGGACTGGTTTTGGCCCCTATTCTTTTGATTTTAAACTGCCGTCTGGTGCCTGAGGGTCAGGCCCATCTACTAGGAATATTTGGAAGGACCAGGAATGATTGTGGTCTCGGGCAGTCTACTCCGCCGCTTGTTGGTCTCGCTTTAAGCTCCAGCCTTTCAATTCCGCTTCCCTCGACTCGGGCGGTTGAGCTCCTTGTCGTTGATCCTTTCAAGTGCATCTCGCTACTGCTTCGGGTGGTTTCTAAACTTTACATCCCATATATCGGTCACGTCCTCCCATCTCTAAATCCTCGAGGTCACTATAAGTTCCCCGCAAGTTTCATCCACATGGCGTGAGGTGAGTTGGTACGGAATAGTGCCCTAGTTCTCCTAAACTGCCCCGCGCAAAGTAGACGAAAGGAGGTTCGGGCCTGACTTTTTTTTCTTCTTTTTCTCTGTTGCCTTTATAAGGATACAGTAGTTACTCGATATCTGATTACTATCGCTCGGTATTATAAAGTCCCCGACAATCCTTTTGTTTATCCCCGTCTGCTTTACCACGTCTTGGCGGCTGTCACCGCGACTCGAGAACGGCTTGAAAGTCAACGAATCTCGACCATAAGCTGAAGAGCATTACCCCCCCGGGATTGTCATTTGAGACGAATTGATTCGAAACCAAAACGGCATAGTTCCCTTCTGGACATGCCTCCCGGCGACGTTCCTTTACCGGACAGCCTTGTGCCGGGCAACGGGGCTGTACGTCCCACATTGAATACTAGTGGCTATGGGGGAGGCTATCAAACACAGACTCCTACATCGCCAGCAGATAACAATGTTCCATTTGACTCACCGCGTACGATTTCTGGAGGTAGGAACGGGTCAGCGAATAGCCCCGTCGATGGGCCTCAGAACCCCGATGGCCGTACGGGTCGAAGATATGAATCAACTAACTCAGGCTCACGGGATCCGTCGACGCCGCGCGATCGAGCTGGCTATTGGGAGATGTCTACACCACATGACAGGTCTCGCCCAAATGGTCGACCCCACACGAAATCGCCAGGTAGTTCGTCAAGGATTTGCAAAAAATGTGGTGAACCGCTTACAGGCCAATTTGTAAGAGCATTAGGTGCGACGTTTCATCTTGAATGTTTTAAATGCGAGGTAATTCCCGATCGTCAAGGGTGAATTATGCTGTGCTGTGACTAACTTATAGCATAGGACTGCGGTCAAATCGTGGCATCTAAGTTCTTTCCGGTTGATGCAGAGGATGGGAGTGGCCAATACCCGCTGTGCGAAACAGACTATTTCCGACGACTCGATCTGTTATGTCACGAATGCGGTGGCGCCCTCCGTGGCTCATATATTACGGCTTTGGAGCGCAAGTACCACATTGAGCATTTCACCTGCTCTGTTTGCCCCACAGTGTTCGGTGCGCAGGACTCCTATTATGAGCACGAAGGCAAGGTTTACTGTCACTTCCATTACTCGACACAATTTGCCCAACGGTGCCATGGTTGTCACACAGCGATTTTGAAACAGTTCGTAGAGATTTTCCGCAATGGTCAAAATCAACATTGGCATCCCGAATGTTATATGATCCACAAATTTTGGAACGTCCGTCTAGCACCAACTGGCCAACCGTTGGAACCCCTCGATGTCGATCTGGATGCTACCGATGAGGAGCGCAACAGGGTACGAATGGAAGAGGACGTAATGGAGGAGAAGGTATATAAGATATGGAGCATCTTGTCGAGTTTTGAAGAATCGTCAGCGGCCTGCATCTCGGACATGCTTCTTCATGTGAGCAACGGTACCTACGTTGACGGCGTTCTCGTTGCCAAAAGATTTATTGGTCATGTTGAGGTGCTTTTTTCCGCTATTGATCAACTTGCCGCATTTATCAAGGTACAAGGCATGAAAGGTGAGTGGCATAATCTCTTATTACTGAGCTAGAATCGACTGGGGGATGTTGATCTAACAATTTCTTACCCAGACATCGCTTATGGCCGCGAAGCAAAGCTCTTGTGTAAAAAGATTGTTGCTTTCTTTGCGCTTCTGTCGAAAACCCAGGAGACTGGCGTTCGCAAGCTAGGAGTCACTCAGGAGCTCCTGTCGTTGGTGACTGGCCTTGCTCACTACCTCAAACTCCTCATTCGTATCGGGTTACAAGGGGCTCTGAAACTGGAGAGAGAGCAGGGCCACCCTGAAGGCTTGCACAATTTCCTAGATCATCTTGGAGATTTAGAGACGCTTAGGCCCCTCGAAGAAGAGGAGACTCCTGCAGATCTGATGGTTGGTGTGGAAGTTCTTGCAGACCAACTCTCCGATTGTTGCGCTGCATGCAAGGAACCGATTGATGATGAATGTGTCAAGTTGGGCGACAACCGGTGGCATGTTAAGCAACCACACTTGACATGTTCAGCATGCCAGAAGGATTTGACCGTGACTCTCCAGGATGCCTTGTGGAGCCCTAAAGATAAGCGACCCTTCTGTAATAGCTGCGTTGCTCAAATGGGACTTGCACATCAGACTCAAGGCGGATTTGTTCGTGTGACCAAGCTTCAGCAGTTCGTCTTTTTGCTGCGAGTTGCTCTTGCAAGACTTCTCACTGTCTTGCAAGCTGGAGGCACTTTGCCGTCAACGTCAGGTGTGTTATCCTCATAGCCTAACCGTTTTGGAACCATTCATTAACAACTCATATGCATTGTAGATGGCACTTCCCTGTCGCAAGATGATAACTCACGAACTCCAGCTGGGGGCATGGTTCGTAGAGCAACCACGAGGTCAAAATCATACACGCATGGAAATAAAGAAGGCTCCGAGGAATCATCCCTTGAGCAAACCATGGGTGAGATGAGGCGCCTGCGTTCCATTCGAAATGAACGGACCTTGTCAACAACCTACAAGAAGGCTCGAGCGTCGCGGATCATCGACGGACCTGAAGGGCGGAGCGTGAGGCCTGGTTCTTCTGGTGGCGAGGGCACTGATCCTCGTGGTCAGGGTTTCCAGATTGTAGAGGAAAAAGACGCCAATGGCGAAACGGTCACTGAGTTAACTTTCGGCAACCAGGATGCTCTGACCTTGGATGATATCCCAAGGATCGTTGCGGCTGAGCAAGCCAAAGAACAGCGACCAAATGCATACAAGCATGCTCGCACTAAACTTGTTGGTACTACAGAGCCGCTTCCTAGATATAATCAAGGCCACCAACGTGGGCTTTCTGACGGTGGGCTGGAACCTCATCTGATCGAACAGGGCGGAAGAACCAAGAAGTACTTTTCCGAACTTTCTGCCTTGGAGTATTTCATCGTTCGCCATGTCGCCGTCTTATCCATGGAACCCTTACTGGATGGCTATTTCACATTGGACGAACTTCTTTCGTTGATAGAATCTCGCAAACCGACCATCTGGAACATTTTTGGCCGCGCCTTTGCTAAAGACAGTAAGAAAGTTGGAAAGAAAAAGGGCATGTTTGGTGTCAGCCTCGACTATCTCGTCGAAAAAGAGGGCACGGAGTCTAGCCACGGTGTCGGGCCCGGTGCTCTTCGTATTCCTACTTTAGTGGATGATGCAGTGTCCGCAATGCGGCAGATGGACATGTCTGTTGAAGGTGTCTTCCGCAAGAATGGCAATATTCGGCGGCTTAGAGACATCTCGGAGATGATCGACAATAAGTACGAGCAAGTGGACTTGACAAAGGAGAACCCAGTTCAAATTGCAGCTCTTTTGAAGAAGTTCCTTCGTGAGATGCCAGACCCCCTTTTGACTTTCAAACTCCACCGTCTATTCGTCGTATCGCAAAGTATGTGTTTGGCCCTTGTCATCTGTTGGCCAATTTTTTGCTAATTGATATTTGTCATAGAGCTCCAAGATCCGGAGAAACAGAAGCGGGTGCTTCATCTGACATGTTGCTTGCTTCCCAAGGCCCATAGGGATACGATGGAGGTCCTATTTGCTTTCCTTAACTGGACATCCTCATTCTCGCATGTTGATGAAGAATCGGGTAGCAAAATGGACATACATAACCTTGCAACTGTTATGACCCCCAATATTCTGTATCCCAACACGAAGAATAGCGCTGTGGATGAGAGCTTTTTGGCGATTGAAGCCATTAATGCGCTTATTACGTACAACGATACGATGTGCGAGGTAGGTTCCCTTGTCCTGTGACGTGCAAATGCCTTTCAGACTGATTTGACCTGTACTCTAGATCCCAGAGGATCTACAATCGGTCCTTACCGACACCAATTTTTTCAGAGATAATTCCGAGGTCACAACGAAAGAGATCCTGAAAAGATACGGGGACATTGCAAGAGGAAGCTTTTCACAGAAATCCAGGAACGGCGGCGAAACAGTCACGATTACCAATTCCAACCGAGGGGCGAACATGCCTACCTCTGCACGCATCGAGACAGATCCAGCTCAAGATGCAGCATGGCAGCAGGCACAGAGCTCCGTACGCCACGTTCAAGTTTCCGGACAGCACTCTCATCCAACCGGTGCCACCACCTATACTGGGATGGAATTAGGCTCTACTCCGCCGGGTGACCACCATGAACGCAGTCCCAGCAATGGTAGTCAACAAATTCCGGTGCAGCCAGAGGGACAACCTCAGCAGCTACCTTACAGAGCTCGACCGGGCGCAGGACCCATGGGAGTTACCAGCTGATCTTTATCCCACTGTACTTTGAGCGATATCAAATACCCCCTTTTTTTTTGCCCCTTCGTCTTCCACAACATTTTTGAATCTTTTGTTCTTCTTCAAGCTCCAACAATATTAGCGGCGTACTATTGGGCTATTCAGCGTTCCTTCAGTCCTCTAAGGCTGGATGGAGTTCTTTCGAAACGCAATGAATTTCGAGCATTGACACATCGGCTGATCTGCTTTAATCCGACAAATGGACACGTTTCGTTCCTACTTGCCTACCACTTAAAAAGTGTAATACATTTGAGAGCGATGTTCGGTATGATTCATTCTTGCTTTTCTTTATATGATGACAATCGGTTGGTTATCCGTGGAGCTGAGTCTATGGCTTCCACATTTCACATCTTCCAAATTTGAGCTTCATCTTTACTCTTCATCTTTTATCGTATCACCGGAAATCCAGGCGTGAATGTCTCGGATCACTCACTGCACTACGCTCTCTTTCTCTCTCCCTTTCTTTTCTCCCCCCCTCTTCTTAGATCATTTTATTCATTCCTCCTCGGAGCCGAGCTTGCCCTTCTAACTTCCCATTGATTGTGAGGTGAAATGCTGAGTATGGTTCAGCTTTCGTTTCTCCTTTACTTCTTCCAGCCTGTCGGTGACTACAGAGATACCTGTGCTGAACATTCTTCTTTTCTTATCCCTTTTTCTTTTCTATCCATACAGCTTACTTTAGCTGCTATTCCCAACTATTTTTTATTTGGTTCTCTTGCATCCTCCCATAATTTCATGAGACGTTGATTCCCGAAATGGATGTGTAATCTTAAACTCTAGCGAACAGCCTTGGGGCTGATTAAATGAAGGGAATTATTATGTCCTGGAGCGGCGTGGCGCTGGCGCCTGTACTTGTAGATCTTTAGCTAGCTGTTACGATAGGATGTCAATCAATTTATTATTGATTAATTATACATAGGACGGGGTGGCTTTAGTCATGGTGGAATTGATACTTCAATAGTGTTGAAAGATCACTGAATTAATTAAACAAGGCCAATAAAGTTTGAAACCAGAACTGAATAAACACAGATGCACATGCAAGACCCATTTGATTTATTTTCAGCCAATACTAAACACCGATATTCAAACCCACTCAAAAAGCACGAAAGCGAAGAATAAATCAACACATTCAGTTCAACCTACCCGAATTCTGCAGAGACGTGTAACTCCATATGCCGTCCAATGCGCCAATGTCTCAACTCCCAAAGTCTAGTCATACAACCCATACTGAGAGCCCAAAATCATGTTCGACAACACACCAGCTGGCATTTCAAGAGCTTATGCTCGTCTTCGTAACACTCGACGTCCCGTTGCTGGAGCATCACCTCCTGCGGGAGCGGTCGCCTTCCTGGTTTCCGAAGCAGAGCTCATTTTCGACGCAGCTGACGGGATCTGATTGCGTGCGGCAGTTTTCTTCGCTGGGGCACTAGCTGTGGATGTGGCGGTTGCTTTCCTGGTGCCAGTACCTGTTCGTGTTTGTTTGGCAACGGTGGTCCCAGACGATGTGGAAGATGAGGCACTACCTCGGCGTTCCAGTTGACGCGTAGCAGGTCGTGGCAAGGGTGATCGGATTGCCCGAGCTCCCGTAGCCACGCGACTTGCTGGCCGTTTGGCTTGCGAAGGTGGTCTGCCAGCAGTAGCTGAGGGTGTGGCTTTGACTGAACGCACATGGGCACCGTCTGTCGGCCCGGCAAGACTAGCAGAAGTCGACTTGAGAGGACTAGAGGGCTTTAACGGCGACATAGGACGTGAGAGATAGGAAGATGCTTGGGCTTTTTCGGGAGATGCACGCAATGGCGACTGGTGATATGTTCTAGAGTTTGAGGACTTGGGCGATAGGATCCTGTAGTCGGCACCTCTAACTTCTTGAGAAACTACACGCGAGGTACCCGCGCCAGCGCCCGTTTTTCCACGTCGTTTGGGGTTTTTCAACACGTCGAGCGATTCCCCTACTGCCGGGGCATTCTCCTTGTCGGAATAGTGACCTTCGTGGCTGGAATCCGACGTCAGCATGGCCTGAGTCCCGGGGTAGTAATATGCCGTTTAGGTGTCACACCTCTGTTTCTTGACCCTATGTGTCTGCGGGCTAGCCACAGCAGCTCTTTGCTTCGCAGGGCTTACAGATATACCTGCAAATCCTCGCGATCCCTTGGAGGGGCTAATCAGCTTTCTGGGCGAGCTATTGTCGTGCGCTACCCGGGGCGCGGTACTATGCTTCTCTAGCAATTCGCCCATATTCGCCTTTCGTAGGGCTATTGGGATGCGATTGACGCGTCGTTCAATTCGAGCCCGGAGGTCATTTGCCTGGAGAGAATACTGGGCGCGAAGTTTGCGAGCTCGTTCGGTGACTACCGCCGTCAGTTAGTGCTAGGTGTAAGGATTTAGCAACATAAATATCTTACTCTCAAGCTGTAAATTATCGATCAAAGCCTGCTTCTGATTGCGCGTGATCCGGAGTTTCTTTCTGGGGGGGCTTGTGGGAGTCCGAGCCTCATTGTTGTCATACGTGTCTTCGTCGGAAGACTTGCGTTTGGTTGCCATGGGTGCCATTAGAAAATTAAAGTGGACCAGCGCAATACAGCGGAGTGAAGAGAGATCAGTCGACTGAAGTAGGGTGATTAAGGCAGTGATGGGGGGTTGAGGAGAAGAGAGAGCGTGTGGAAGAGAAAGGAAAGGAAGGGGTAAACAAGCGCTGACTTAATCCGCCGAGAGTGACATCTCGACCTTACCTTTCGGCTGCCGCTCAGCTCCCTCCTCCATCCATCCATCCATCCATCCACTCTGCCTCATATCTGTCTAATCCACTCAAGCTCTCTGGGCCCTCTCCCCTATATCAGACTATTGAGCTATCCATCACCTTTCATTCTCCGGCAGATCACCCCCGCCAAGATGTCGCTCGAAGCAACCATGATCATGTCCGTCTGCTCCACTGTCATTCCCAAGCTCCATGTACCTTGACTGATGGGATCAATAGTGTGGATAATAGCGAAAGTAGTCGCAACGGAGATTATACGTGAGTCTATTGTGCTATCCGCATATATGCTTTCGTCTGCTAACAACCAGCTACCCAGCTCGACACGATGGCAAGCACAGATCGACGCCGTCAGCGTCATCCACACCGCTAAGATGCGCGTACACCCTCAATCAGCCGTCGGTCTTATGAGCATGGGTGGAAAAGGTCCAGAGGTTCTTTCGACATTTACAACTGAATTTGGTGGTATCCTGTCTGGTCTGCACCGCACGAAGATCCATGGCACAGCCCACCTTAGCTCCAGTATACAAGTTGCCGGGGTATGTCTATTAGTTGCCTTGATGAGGGGGAATAAAAATAAAATCGTCAGATGGAATGGTCGCTAACAGGATACGAATGCTGCAGCTGGCCTTGAAACACCGCTCCGAGAAGTCCCAACGTCAACGTATTATTGTATTCTCGTGCTCTCCTATTGAAGAAGACGAGAAATCTCTGGTGAAGTTGGCTAAGAAAATGAAGAAGAATAACGTATCAATTGACGTGATTGCTTTCGGGGATCTTGAATCGGACCAAACCAAGAAGCTGGAGGCCTTCGTGGAGAACGTCAAGGGTGGCGATGGGTCCCACCTGGCGATCATCCCACCGGGTCCCAATTTGCTGAGTGAGGAACTTCAGGTGACGCCCATTTTGGGTGGTGATAATGCTGCAGACGGGGTTGCAGGGGACGGAGGTGACACCACTGGCTTTGGATTCGAAGATGCGGCCGAGAACGATCCTGAGCTTGCATTTGCCTTGCGTTTGTCCCTGGAAGAGGAGAAGAACCGACAGGAGAAAGAAAAGAAGGAGCGCGAGGAGCAAGAAGGTAAAGCGAACCTGGACAACATTCCCGAGGAAGGACAATCGGGCGAATCAAGCAGCGGCAAAGACAAGAAAGAGGATGGTGACAAGATGGACACCGCGTAAGGAGGGAAACAGAATAATCTGATGACTTTTGATGCATGTCCGGCGTTTTTCTTTTTTTTTTTTTTTGTATTTTTTCGTATGTATTTCTCCTTTGTAATTCTAGAAAGCGTTTTCCAACCTGACGCTTTTGAAAATATGATTTGGTCTATGTCATTCTGATCGTATGCTATTTCTTAATGATTACATAGGCGAAGAAAGGAGAATCAATTGTAATTACATGATAGAAAGACGAAAGAAAAAGGATGGGGAAACGTGTCATCAAATACTATCAATCATGAATCAATCCTGCCTCGAAGAATTGCCATCCAGAGTCCAGCCTGGACAGCCAGCAGCCGCAGCAGCAGTAGGAACAACAGTATTCAAACCCCATTACGCCCTCCCTCTTAACCACCCACTCAGATGTCGATCAAACGCCTCACACCGCACTGGCATCTCCAACTGATAGAACGGATTCTTCATGACATAGTCAGCATACAGCTCGTAGATCTTATTCATAACCGTGTCTATGTTCCCCATAAGCGGATCCGTAAACAGAAGGAACTTGGTCCCTGTTAGCGTCTGGAAACACGTCAACCGGAACTTGTCTGTCTCGAGAGACTCGAGGCCCGTGACAGGAAATCCAGGGTTGGGGTATGAGTGCGCCGACGCGGCAGGGGTAATGGTAGGCGTGGATGTACCGGAGGGAGAAGTGACGGAAGATGAGGACGCAAGGGCGTTGGGTGCGGAGACGGGGATTTTAGGTGTGATGGAGCGGGTGATGGCGTGGACACTGGGAAATTATAAATCGAGTCAGCTTTCTGTCCAACGTTTTATGAGATAAGACACTCAAAAGCTATTAGATGTAGGTGGAGGAGACAGTCAGAGAGAGATCTACCCGTGAAATGTGCCCGCTAGGACGAGGTAATCGTTTGTGGAAAGTTTGCGTAGACCAGGCTGGAATTCACGTTGGTAGATCAGCCCGCCGGCTTTGTTGATGATGATGAGAGAGAAGACGGTCCTGGGGGTTTTGGGTCAGCTATATAATTCCTTTGCGGTTTTGCAGTGTATACGGCTGGCCAACATACATGGTGGATGATGGACTGGACAATTCGTGTCCTGTGGTGGAGAGAGGAGGCTAATGTTATTGCTCGGGTAACATCACTTGCTGTGGACTTGGAGGAATTGAGATGGCTTGGTCTGAGGCTTGAGATGGTTTACATGATGGTTTGGATTATCATCTCCATTCCTATTCTTCATTTGATCGCAAGTCTTTGCTGGTGTTTGTACTGCCCCGAGTCTAACTAGCTCACCGCCTATCTCTTCGGATCGGATCTGACTTATTTTATTCTTTCTTTCCATGATATCTCACGATGGACAGGTGAAATGTTCAGCCTATTATCAATTCTACCCAGAACTACAATCCAAATCATATACATGCTTCAGGATCGGAATCCCGCCCATCCAGTATCCCCATTACTCAATATCAACGACAGTACTAACCATCACAATAGACTAGAGACAAGCACTTAGCATCAACATTCAATAGACCTGCAAGAATGGCTACTCACCGGAAATGGCTTCGGAACCTCTGCCTCAAAAGACTCTGTCTCGTACTGAACAGCACCCTTCTGCTGTCCTCCACTCTGCACGTATTTGATATATTCCGGTGCCCCCGGATAATCAGTATTATCGGCGATGGCCAACGACCCTTTCCGTAGCAATCGCAGTTCCTCACAGATCTTCAAATCCGGCACATAAAACTCCTCCCAGTGGTCGAAAAAGACCACATCGACGCCACCGGGAGTGAGTTTGCCCTCAGTGTAGAGCCTCCTGAGCGAGTCCGAAGACGAACCCTCGACCACATGCACGATTTCTTCCAGGCCCGCAAGCTGAATAAAGTCCCGGGCGATCTGGGCGATGGTAGCGCTCAATTCGAACGTGTAGACATGGCTGTCTTCACCGTGGAGATCGCGCAACATAGCGCCCCAGCCAATGGCGGAGCTGCCTACGTAGGTGCCAAACTCAAGCAGGGTCTTGGGTGCGGCTTGCATACGCTCCAGAAGCTGTTTGGAAAGGCGCATTTTGCCCTCACGGTAGGTCATCATCCGGTTGATTGTGGCGAACTCGTCTATCGCTTCGGTAATAGCCCAGGGTTTGTCTGCGAACTTCTCTCGCGGTTGAGAGAAGATGTGCTTGTGGAGTGCCTGGGCTAGGGCTTCGAACGCCTGGAGGGGTGTGTGTAAGTTTGGGGCCGGATGGTGGAGGGAAGGGAGACTTCACTTCTTTGCCAGACATTGTGAAGGAATGGTCTCTAGAACTTTGAAGTGATAGGTTCTTCTGTTTGGATAGCTGTAATAGCCATGAGGAAGAAGAGAGAGGCGTCTAGAGCGGACATCGAACAATAGCGGGTATTTATACCTGCGACTCGGTAGAGATCCCGATTTCAATCGAAGATCTCTATTCATCTTTTCGTACAATCCACACGAGGACCGAGAACACTGTTACCTGAAGACACTCGATTCCTGTGGGTCTATAGATCCAAACACCTCGGAAACACTTTAGGTAGCTCCGAGAAATAGCATCTAGTACCAATAGATTGAGCATCTGCCTTAGCTAGTAAAATCAATTCTCCGACGCTAATCCTGCCTTAGGAGCCAAAGCCGTGTCCTCGGTCTTTGGCTTCTTTGGAGGCCGAGCTTGGGCTAATCTCCGAGGCCTGGACCGAGCCCTATCGCCGAGTTCGTCGCTGCTTTAGCATGGGTTGCTGCTTACGATTATTGATATTCTGTCGCGGCTGGGATTTGGCTGACTGCCTAGTGGATATAGGAATTGGATAGGTCGATAGTCTCTACATGACCCCAGTTCGTTTAACTCTTTATTCACTGCTCCTCAGCAACAATACCATTGCAGTCGGTGGTATCACATCGAACAAAACGCTCTCATTCTTCCAAAGTCATCGATAGCATTCCTCACAAATCAGTCTAGAGAAAAGACGCACTTCTTGAATCACTAGTCCCTTCCAATAGGTCATAGAGATTCCTGGTGTATAGCGCAACTCTGGCGGCATCTTCGCGTAGGTGTTGAAATAAGAAAAAGAAAAGGACGTCAGAGCATTTACTCTCCCTTACCCTGTAAATGCATTCTCGGTCTAGAGTCTAGGAGTTTCTCTAGGGAATAAGAACAGGCTTTACGCCTTTGCTTCCTGCTTGGCCTCTCCTCCCTTCTTGGATTTCTCTCGCATAGCAAGCTTCTTGGCCGCCTTTTTGGCTGCGGCCTCCTCCTTGGCCTTCTTGGCCTCCTTATCGCCAAACATGTCTCTCCACTCCTTGCCCTTATCCGCCTTGATGTTGCTGAACAGCAGCTGGGCTTTGCCAATCTCGTGGCCCGGCTTGATGGAATCGGCGTTCCATTGGTCGGGAATCAGAAGCGGCTCGGCGCGAAGCTGTTCGTTTATGGACTCGGCAGTGGCAGGCATGTAGGGCGCAAGGAGCGCAGCAAGCAGATGGATGAGGTTGAGGGCAAATCCAATCACAGCGGCACACTTCTCCGGCTCGTTCTCTGCGAGCTTATTATCGAGGCCGTTGGACTGAAGGAACAGGTTGCCCTTCTGAGAAATCGACAGCACCGTGCTCACTCCGCCTCGCAGCTTGACAGCTTCAAGGCTCTGGATGTATTCGGTGAGAAGGGCATTGACTTCCTCCTTTGTAGTGTCGAAGGATGGGTCATGAAACTTGGTGTAGTCTGGAACAATGTTGTCATAGTTCTTTGAGTTGACGAACTTCAGCACACGGCTAACAAAGTTACCAAGGTTCTTAAGAAGCAAGTTGTTGTTGCAGCTAATGAACAAGTCCCAGTTGAACTCGCTGTCGCTGGTTTCTGGTCGATGCGAAACCAAGTAGTAACGCCAGACATCCGCCGGAACACCGGTCTTCTCCGCAGAGTCTCCGAAAACACCGATCCCCCGGGACTTGGAGAACTTGCCACCCTCGTAGGTGAGATATTCAGTGGTCGACAGGTGGTGGACCTTAGTCCAGGTGTCCCGAGTACCGATCTGAGAGCCCGGGAACATGACAGAGTGGTAGGCTACATTGTCCTTTCCAATGAATTGGTACAGCTGGACATCGTCAGGATTGCGCCACCACTTCTCCCACTGATCGGTATAGTTGGCAGTGATAGATGGATACCCAATACAGGCGTCAAACCAGGAATAGATGACCTTCTCCTCATAGTCAGGGAGAGGGACCGAGGTTCCCCATTTGATATCTCGCGTGATGCTTCGTGGTTTCAATCCCTCCTTCAACCACGCGGCCGTGATATCCTTGCCGTTGCTTGACCACCCACCCTTGACCGTCGACTCTTTGATAAAGGTCTCGATTTCCGGCTGCAGCTTGTCCAAGTCCAAAAAGGTGTGCTTCGTGTCTCTGGGAACGGGGGTGGCACCGTCGATCTTGCACTTGGGGTTCTTCAGATCTAGAGGATCCAGAAGTTGACCGCACAGATCACATTGATCACCGTACGCTTCTAGATACTTGCAATTGGGACATTCACCCTGGATGAAACGATCTGCCAGGAAAGACTTATGCTCTTCACAGTACAATTGTGTCGTCATGTCTTCGGACAGGAAGCCGTTCTTATGGAGCTTGAGGAAGATATCGTGCGTGATCTCCGTCTGAAGGTCGGTAGTGGTACGGCCAAAGATATCAAAGTCGATGTTGAACCATTTGTATACGGCTGCATGGATTTCATAGTATTTGTCGCAAAGCTGCTTCGGCGTCATATTTTCCTGCAGCGCTTTGGCCTCTGATGTAGTTCCATATTCATCGGTACCTGGAGGCACACAGAATCGTCAGTTTCTCTTCTCATTCATTCTTTCCCCCTTCGACTTTTTTCGAATTCATGACAGATTGACCAGCATAAACCTACCACACACATATAAAGTATTAAGACCACGGCCTCGGCAGTATCTAGCGAACACGTCGGCAGACAGCACAGAACCTATAAGATTTCCCAGATGCGGGACATTGTTCACATAAGGAAGAGCGCTGGTGATAAGGATGTTGCGCTTCCCCGGTACCGGAAGAACCGGGGCTTTCGATTTCTCGGGTTCTATGGCCATGTTGTTCCAGGACACTTCAGCGGAGATGGAAAGAGCTGCAGCAAGATCTTGACCGTTGTCGAGGCCGCGGTGAAGCTAAGGGGGAGTGCAAAATTGGCGGGAAGAACGTAAGGCCGATGAATGTCGTGCGATAAGCAGTGCCCCGCGGGGGCACATGACTCATCCTTTCACGCCCTTAACTAACTTAGCGTGACCGGTACTCGCTTAGGTAATGTCTATTAAGAGTTAGATGTCACTGGGCCTAAGGGATTCTCTATATTCATGGGAAAGGAGTTAATAAGAACTGGTGAATTGCATTGACTCTGTGTTCAAGACACTAGTCATCTTCCATCAGAGACCACGGCCCTGCTTACTGTCTAAGGTCCAACCATCTATATATACTACCCAAACTAACCTTCACAGCCAGGTGCTATCATTGGAGGATCTTCGGCCGTCCCTAGTATAGTTTCTGCTAGTGACGATCTCTAAGGGGACCCTGTGAGATAGATATACACGGTAAATAACATAGGGAAAAATAAAAATAAAAATAAAGAAACTAGCTTGCGCAAACTGGAATCCCATACCCAGGGATGCCATTGAACCATCTCTTATCAGAGACAATTGGGTACAATGATTATCGATTTCTTTTATTTCTACACAGTTAGCTTGTTCCATCGTTGTGGACTATCTATGAATGTGATTGATATACGAAAGTCGACTATGGAGACAGTGCACCACATGACTACTTAGACTTGCCTAAGCTAGGATGTCCATGTCTAAACTATCCAGTGAAGTACTACGAAGAGGCAAACTAGACTTGAGATTGGGTTCTTCAGAACAAAGACTCGTATTCGATATTTCATTCTTCAAGCTGGAAATGCAAATTTGAGATCCAAAAAGCTACGCTCCAACCAAAACCAACAATCCAAACCCATCTATCATCCAAACCATTCCTTGCCTAGGGGTATTTTGCAGAATCTTAAAGAATTAAAAACAGTAGTTGAAGGGACACAAGCAGAATATCGAATACAGGATATATGTCGTAATTCGTAAATCAACGCGCTCAGGCAGTTGCGGTACCACCGGTGAGAATGCATAGGGATTAGAATGAGATGGGTATAATTCAGTGATCAGAATGTGGCGGGGAAATCAACGGGAAGAAAAGAGATGAAATAAAAAGGGAAATGGATCCAGGTCATTTTTCCACAAGGGAGGATAGCCTCCATTTCCCGTCCACCAAGCGGACAACACCCGCTTCGGCGGCCCATTCACGCAGGGCGACATCCTCGGGCTCGATGTCCACGGACACATCGCCTTTCTCGTAATGCCGGCCCACGTGCTCCATCCGCTCGCACCAGCTGCGAGGCCCGGCAAACTCCTGGCCACAAAACCCGCATTGGCTCTGGAGGGGCGCGGTGCGCTGTTCGTGCCAACAGCGGGCCCGGACGTCGTCGAGAGTCTGCTCGAATTCGTTGCGCTCTTCCTCAGTCACAGGGTGTTTCCGATTCCGTTGCACCCAGGGAGCATGCATGCGACGTTGGTGCTGAGTGAAAAGATCCTTGCGATTGAAGTCATTGACCAGCCGGACCTCGTCACACGAAGAACCACCGTCGTCTGAGACCGGGCTCTTGTCATGGTTGAGATTGTTCAGGTTACAGCGGCCCACGTCACATCGGTAGAATCCCAGTTGGACGTGCTGTGACGCCACATGCCGCTTCCACTCGTTTTTCGAAACAAAAGTGCTCATGCATCCGTAGTGTGAGAAACTGCACACAAACAACCGGTTGTAAGTGGAGGCATTCTTTTTACCGGTAGCCTTCGACTTCGTGGCAGAACGGGGAGCAGAGGTCCGGCCGTGCTTACGGGAGGATTTGCCTCGAGGCGAACGCTTCGTCACACGGTGGGGGGACGTGTTCTTGGAGGTCTGGGGTTGCGCGGATAGAGGGTGAGAGATAACAAGTTCCTGCGGTGCTGCAGACGGCGATGGCGAATTGCACACGTTGCCGCTTGCGTCGGGGGCATCAAGTGGGAGTTGACAGTTGTTGACAATAGGCTGGGGCGTATAGCTGGAGTCATGTTGGAACTCGACCATGGACTCCGGGTCGGGATAGGGCTGCAAGACCTCTGAAGGGGCAACCGAGCGATCGAATTCGGCCGAGGTGCCCGGGGAAGGAGAGTCCCAAAACTCCTGTGGTGGAGACATGTAGCATCCCACACTCCACCAACTATCACTGCTGCTCTGGGGGCTCTCAGAGCCAGAGACAGATGGGACATTGCCACCCCAAGAAGGCGCCGAGAGATCGGTGACAACCGCCGGATAGCTGATGTCCATTGGAAACGGGCTAACTAGGTCCGAGGGGACTGCGGTTTGTGGCCATACTGCGGGTGAGAGCATATAAAGGCCCTTGGACGAATAAGGAGGTTGGTTTTCTGTCATTGGCGTAACATAAGACTCCGAATCGGACGGATAGAGCTGATAATCCTGCTGCATGGGGAGAGAATCTGGATGAGAGATTTGAGGTTGGGAATCCGTAAAAGGTGAGAATTCGCCCATAATTGTGTGAAATTCCAGTAATTCTGCCTATGCGAAGCCAACGGCAGAATGAGTAGTGGTGATCTTCATGCGCTGTGGTGATGGCACGACTTTTTTTTTTTTTTTGGTAGCTGGGGGTGACACTAGTATATAAGTATACTCCGTATGCGCAGGCGCGGTAGAGTCCACGGGGCGAAGCCAGCACCCAACCTCCGATGATCAAAGAATGGGTATTCTTTTGAGCCTCAATCCAAGCGAAGAGTGCCGTGATTCGTCATCGCCACAAGATTTTCTTTTGCCCTTGAACCCGGCGTGTTCGAACCCCTGCAGCTGGAGGGCAATGTTGATTTGGCGCAGTCCGATCGGTGTCTGTGACCCATGCCATTCGAATCCTCCCTCACACAGTCTCCTTTTCTCTCCCGTTTCCTTGTCTTTCCTTTTCTTTTTTGAATCACTGGGGAGCCCGTTGGAACCATGATTTACAGTGGAACCGGCTGGAGGCTTGTCCCGTTGCATAGGCCTGTCTCATGAAGCGGACGCCATTCGGGGCAATGCCCATGATGATTGGGTTGGAGAAAGTCCTCCAATCTCTGGAGAGCCTCAATGATGACCCGTCTGTCCTCGTGGACTGATTTGGCGGTTGCCCAACTGTCCCAAAAGGGAGGAAGGGGGAAAAGTCAGCCGCAAACAGGCAGTGTTGGCGTGCATTAGCTTAGGCCGCCCGTCCAGCCATGACCCATAGGTGATTTTTTTTTTTTTTGGCCCCCAGATGGCGAGCCCATCAGCGCGGAGAATTCGATCCAACACAGCCAGCGGTTAAGTGCAGCATAAACTGGAACGGGTAAGAGCCCCCGTCAATCAGGAATTGATGGCTGGACTAGGGGTCTGGGGGTGATGGGGCGTAGTTTTACCCGCATAAACGAGTGAATGATGCATGGATGGATGGATGGATGGATGGAAGGAGTGAGATCATGGATGACGATTCGTGGCATTGGTTGCTTAGTCAGCCAATGTGCGCTCTAAGCGTCTCGATGTCTGACCGCTACTGCATTTACTGCATTCATTCCTGACGATGAATCTGATTCCGTTTGGTCGTTCAGAGAATGATGATGACGGTCATATCTCTGAATCCTCCATCTCCACTCATCCAAAAGCCCGGGACCCTGTCTCCCTGGAATGTAAAAGGGGTAATGGAAATGGGATCAGCATTTCTCCGTCTCTTTTGTACTCCGAAGGCTTATTTCCAGTCCCACCAACGGTGTCCTGCTAGTTAGGCCCATCCCAATGCCCCAACATGACCGCGTGTTGCGCCGATCAAGGGTTTCATTTTCTGTCAGCATGTGGAATCTTGATAGAACTCTATTTATTCCCTTTATGTATGTATCACGGTACCTATGCATAGATACATTTGCAGTGCAGAAAATAGGAGTGAAGATTCGGGGCCAGGGAAAAAAAAAAAAAACTACAATCCTACAAATCATTCCCTCCACATTCCCAGCTACTCCTCCTTCACCTTTGGGGTCCGCTTCTTCTTGGGCACTCGGATCAGCCAGTACAGGAACAGGGCGGCGACCGCATTGAACACGATATAAATAAACAGCAGGCCCACATTGCGCCATCGGTCCGCAGGGTTGATGTTCACTTGCGCCAGGTATTGGTCCGTTGTTGACATCATACACATGCGGCAGTCGCGAGTATCCTCGGGGTTCAATAGATTCGCGTGAGCGCTATCCGCGTAGGGTTGGAGATAAGTCGAGCAATTCTGACCCTCAGGAGGTGGCAGGCGTAGGAGTTCAATATCCGAACAATTGACATCCGTACCGGACAAGCCCACAGACAGTACCGCACTGACCAAATAGGTGAACGGCGAGACCCGGTACATGAAAATCCAAAATCGGGGAAGGGCGTCCGGCGTTGCAAGGACTCTGTATCAAAAGGTCAGTAGTGCTCCCCCTTGCTTATTCCAGTGCTGCTACCAGAGCCATTGTACCTACCCGTTAAAAATGAGGCACATTGAAAACAACAGTTGGGCGATATTGCTGCCCGTCTCTGGGTGCTCGATTCCTGCGATTATCATCGAACTGAACGTCGAGGTAAGCATCATGAAGATCAGGATGAGCAGGAACATGGTGCCTCCTCGTTCAGTCACCGAGTCGGTAGGATAGGCATTGCGGTAAAGGCCGATCGGGTAGTACCAGCAGAAGTATGCGGGGACTGCCATGAGAATATTCCATGGGAGCTCAACCAAGATGCTCGCCAACATAAAGGCCTTCCATGAATACGCCTTGGAGGGGCGCTCCCGGACCTCGTACAGGGCCCGTTGTGTGCAGAAATATGGCATCATCTGCTGGACGAGATTGGGGAAAATCACAAGCAGCATGAAGATGGCGAACATCTGGTTTTGCATCCCCTGCAAACTTGTTGGCTCCCGCCAAAATGTGAAGCCAATGAACAAAGGCTAACGACAAATATTAGTATCGAGAGTGCCGGAGCCAGTTCGACGAGTTAAGGCTAGCCACTTACCGGAATGATGCACATGGTCGCCTTAGAGTATATATATGATGGGCTGCGCCAGTACTGCTCTAACATTCGTTGGAGGCAGATCAGGAACTGCGACCACAGGGGCATCGCAAACTCCCCATATTCAACCGTTCGAGGAGCTGGCGGTCGCTGCAACAATTCTGCCTTCATATCCGCGAGCTCCTGGCGGACTTGAACCCGCTCAGGGCTTTGGTTCCAAACCTCCGGCCAGTCTTGGTCCGCGCGAGACCCTGGGGCAGCGCCGATAACCTCCAACATCCACTCGGCAGGATTGGCGTTCGGAGGACATTTTTGCGAACCTTTCTTCTCGAAGTACTTAATTAAGGTTTCCATATTGGTACCGAGATCTCCGAAGTAGACAGTCCTTCCCCCTTCGGCCAAAAAGAGTAGTCGATCGAACTGCTGCATCAGGATGGCCGAGGGCTGATGGATGGTGCACAGGATGGCTTGCCCATGGTCTGCCAGCTTCCTCATCAGGGAGCAGATAGACCACGCTGTCTGGCTATCAAGCCCAGAGGTAGGTTCATCGAAAAAGAGCAATAGGCCCGGCTTAGCTGCAATTTCCACCCCAATGGTCAGCCTTTTTCTCTGCTCGACATTCAGGCCTTCACCCAGTACCCCCACGACAGCCTCTGCATATTCTTCCATGTTGAGCATCTTAATAACTTCTTCTACATAAGCCAGCTTCTCCTTACGGGGAGTGCTGGCTGGTTGGCGAAGCATGGCGCTGAAGATAAGCGCCTCGCGTACTGTACTTGTCTCCAGATGTAAGTCCTGCTGCTGCACATAGCCAGTCTTGCGTTGAAAGGAGTCGTCCCGCATACGCCCGTCAACCAGCATATCACCAGTGACGACTCCTATGGTTACACGATTGGCCAAAACATCCAGAAGGGATGTCTTTCCAGCGCCAGTTACTCCCATCAGGGCTGTTAATGTTCCCGGCTTAACCCACCCATCAACACGATCCAAGATGCGTCGATTCTCGCCCTTTATCTTAATATCGTAGCAAACGTCCTCCCACTGGAATATCGATGTCTGTTCAGCAATTGCACCCGTGTGGTCTCGGGGTTCACTTTCTAGGTTCTGCTTCTCCGACGTGGGAGCATTTTCCTCGTCTCGAAGAGATTTCTTCGCAAATGCCGGTATCTTTCCCCGAGGGAAGACCAGAATTTCACCCTTTGAAGGCTTGGCTCGGACCAGTTCACTGCAGACGATGTAGGCTGCCAACGAGAAGAAGAGGAACCCCAGAATAATGCCGTAGTTGCGCCAAAGGTGAGATCGATAGTATCGATAGGTAGAGTTGATAAACGTATCGCCATCAATATAGTCCAGGCCAGCCTGGGCACCATTTCCAGAGCAGATTCTTGACGAGAGAGGGGCATTTTCGTAGCCTGGGCCACTGGGCACATATAAGGCACAAGGGAATTGGCGCCCGCTGTATTCGTTGATCATGAGTGACTCAAAGGCGTACTGTCTCCAGTTTAGTAGGAGTAGTCAGCTCAACGAGAGGACTGATATGATAACATACCGCAATGGGATTAAGATAGTTCAGCCATCGGAACCACGGGTGCATATCCCGAACCGGGATAGTAAAACCCGTATATATCACAAGAATTAGCATGAAAATAGATGCCGGAACCATCGCCTGGGCCATAGACCGGGAGATCGCTCCAATCCACCGAAAAATGTTGGACATAGTCAGCGTCGTCGTCACCGAAAACAGGTAAAACACGAAGAAATGACCGGGCGTACGACGCAGATTGGTCATGAAGTATATAATAAGATTAAACACGACAGAGACAAGAGCCTTGGATGGTAGGTCGACAATCATGGAGCTGATGGCTTCAGCGGATGGATGATACAACGCATACTTGTCATGCTTCTCTACAATCGGTCGCTGCTGCCACAGCGTCAGGATTTCAAGGGAACTGGCAAAAGCATTGAGCAATATAGAGAAGAACAACAATGCGCCGCGGGAGAAGAAGCTGTTTGTGGTTTCGTCCAGGTTATAGAAAACGCTGCCGACAATCAATGCCATTACACTGTTGCCGATAACTGTCGCCAGAGTCATGCTCATATCGCCTTTGAGGCGCAGCCACCCTCTGTAGAGACATATGCGAATTTGCCCTAGATATGACAAGGTGTACGGGGACGCTGCCCGAGTTCCCTTGGCCTTTTCTGCGGCACGGGAGCAGGAGAATTCCTCTTTCTTACTACCTCCTATGGGGTATTCTCTTTGGAAGGTTTCGATATCCCCAAGAAGCTGCTTCCGTTCGAAGCTGTCTCTCCATCGAGCAGCAAACTCGTCTGGCGTGCGAGGAACCAAATCCTCAAACCCTTTCCGAGCCTTGCGCTCCGTAGGGCTGGTAAGTGAAGTCAGGAAATCGGCCGTAGTCTGTCTGTCAGGACACTCGAACCCCATATTAATGAAAAACCACTTTGCATCCCTGGCACTGCCGAAATAGATCTGGCGGCCCTCATAGAGGACAATCGCCTTATCAAAGACATCATAAATAGCCTGGCTGGCCTGGTAAATCGCAACAATGGCAGTCGACCCCGAATATTCTGTTGATAGCCGAAGGTTCTTTACAAACTCAAGAGCCGTCGAACTGTCCAGGCCACGGGTGCTATTATCCCAGCACTGTAGTGGACTCCCACATAAAGTTGTCTCCGCAATACTGACACGTTTTCGCTCTCCCCCTGAAACGCCGCGGATGAATTCATTGCCCACTTGTGTGTTCATAGTGTGGCTCAGACCCAACATGGCCATGACAACATCTCGCATGTGAGTAGCATACTGGTCACGAGATACACCAGGGAACCGGTTGGCAGGAGCCCGGGCATGAGCTGCGAATAGTAGGGTCTCACCTGCGGTGAGTTGTGGGAAATGGATCTCGGTTTCGGCCTGGTAAATGACCTCCCCCCGGAAACGGCTATGCATATCGTCCCAACAGATTCCCTGATACTGTATATCGGTTCCTTGGTCCAGCCATAAACCATGTGTCTCGCCGGCAATTGATTTCAGGAAAGTCGAGCAACCACTGCAATGGTAACAGTCAGAGTTAAGCGAGCTGAGCGTTCTCATAAACGATCACAAAAACAGAGAAATAAGAAAAGATACAATGTTAGTGAAGTTACCTTCCAGGGCGGCCCAGAACAACAAGCATCTCACCACTGCGAACGAAGCCCTCGAAATTGCGCAATATATCGATGCGGACTTTGTTCCTATATCCCAGCAAGCCGCGAAGCCAACCAATTCCCTTGAGCCACATGTTGGCCACGTCTGCTTGATAATCAGCTGCAGTGCCATACCCGAATGCGTTCAGATTGCGAAATGACACGCCTGCCGTACGGCGGGGGTATCGATCTGGGTCGCGGGAGGTGATGTGCAGCATGTTCTTGGTCCATTTACGTGGGCTGAACTGACCCGAGTTCGGGTCGAGTTCAGGGTCGCTGGTGGGATCGAGAAAAGTGTTGGTTCCATCGCCAACGATACTTTCCTGAGAGATGCGTGAAAATCTTCGAGCCAGTGCAGTAATCTTCTTTTGACTTTCGCCTTCAATCACATCTTCTGAGTCTGGCCCTGCTGTATCGGAACTATCTGTCTTTTCGGCCGCGGAAGGTGTAGCACGGTCCGAATGCACGTCTGCTGCATGCGTGTGAAGTGAATTCTCCAGGCTCAAGCCTGTGGCGGCTGAGGTAGCAGACGCTCCAAAGGGAGCCGGAGGCGTCGGCTGGAGACCCATGTCAATACGAGTCTTAGATTGAGTCGGTGTGCAGAGGTCTTTCTCGCATCACACACTAGACAAAGCAGCGAGGAGAAACCGCAAGCACTGGCATTCGACGCAATGATCGTTCAAACGAAAGACTGGAATCAGCAGCAAAAAGTAAACGAATAGAAGAAACGAAGGTTAGGAAGAACTAATCATAACCTAAATTTGTATAGGTCGACAGAAACAAAGCGCGGAAGACGGAATCGAGGCATCCGAGGGCGGCATAATTTGGGCCTCAATGAAAACCTAGGAACACTGTGCAACCGAGCCGATGGATCAACTGGCCAGAAGGTTTACTGGACTGGGATCCGACGAGTGACAGCATCCTGCACAATGAATTAAGTCGGCGAGTCTGACCCTTGGCAGTCAGGTGCGGCCGCGCATTGTCGTATTCGCATCTGGAAAGAACGCGCCAAATTAGGGCAGTTTATCGGCTAAATCCTTCCAGTCTGTTGATACTACAGTATTCCTCAAGTCTACTTTCTTTCTTCAGTACTGTAAGGTACCTGGTGGTAGAACGGCAGGATGTACTAGCAGTCCGTGGACAGGTAAGGAGTTCTAACCCTACAGAGGAAGCAGCTGCTCATGGCAAACGGACATAAGGTATACACGCCTGTCCTGAACCAATAGCGACAAAATCCCCGTAAATGTTAGGCATGAGGTATGGTGTGTTAGTTGGTTGAATGATAGGCTCAAAAAGCCCGATTCCTGTCAAGCCACCTGTAGAAAATCGAGTGCTGATTGGCTACGTATCCAGACCGTATTCTATAGCGTGCCATTGGCTGGCAGCTCCACTTCCATCCCCAGACCGGAGAGGGGGGGGTGGGGCGCCATCCCCAAAGCGAGGCCGGCGTGATGTGACGTGACATGCGTTGAACCTCTCGGGTACAATGCTTCCGACAGGCCCTATGAAAGCATTAGGTTTATAGATCGGACTTATCATATACGGTCTTTGATTATTTGCATACATGCAGCGTGCAGCGGCGATTTTTTGACATCTCACATGGAAATACCGGTGAGCCTGGAAGATTCCGATCTTCCCAGTGTGGGCAGTGTTGCCAACTTTCAGCTTATACTCTGGATATTGGTATATTGTATTCAGTATGTAGATGGCTTTGGACAGTAGAGATAGTTTCAAAATAAAATGGACGTTGTAGCTAGTTTCTCATGCAAAACACATAGATAATTTTGGGGGTTAAAATAAAAATAGGTCAGCCCTATTCAACTTCTAACCAGATAGACCCTAGGCTATTCAATTAGCTAGCAAACTGGGACAGATGGATCCCCATAAGCAAGACCCCACAGAGCTAAGTAATGTTTAATGGGAACGTCCTCTCTTTCTATCCATCTCGCTGGTTCTTTGATATGTAATCTCGGGATCTCCCAAGGCCGAGAATTTGATAATCAAGAGGGAAGCCCCACTGCCCCACTTTGATCGATCGAAGAAGCTTCATCGAAAGCGAATCTTGGTCATCACCACACTTTCGCGGCCTTATGAACAATTGTTCCATAACTCGGAGGCGAATGTCCATGAAGATAAATATGGTCGTCTCGGTCACTGCAACGTATATGGCTATACAAAATATCCACGAACATAGCATCAAATAGTCCAATCGCTTGATTCAATTGATTACTGTCAACCACGCAGATTCCAGCAGTTCCGACAAAACTATTGAACATGTCGAAACTCATCACGGTATTCGGTGCAACGGGTAACCAAGGAGGCTCCGTTATTCGAGCCATCCAAGCCGATCCCGTCCTCAACAAGGAATACAAGATCCGGGGCGTCACCCGCGACGTCAACAAGGCAGCGGCCAAAGCCCTCGCAGAGAAGGGAGTCGAAGTTGTTTCGGTATGTTGCAAAAACTATCCCCTTCATTCCACAAGATATGTCTCTCATATGCATATTTCCAGGCCGACATGTCGTCTGCGACTTCCCTGACCGCCGCCATTGAGGGTTCCCACACCGTGTTCCTCGTCACCAACTTTTGGGAGTCCTTCTCTAAGGACACCGAGGTTCAACAAGGCAAGTCCGTTACGGACGCCAGTAAGGCTGCTGGGGTGCAGCATTTGATCTTCTCATCTCTTCGAAACGTGACTGAGATCAGCGGTGGGCGACTTCGGCATGTCACGCACTTCGATGGCAAGGCCGAGGTCGAGGCGTATATCCGTGCCAGTGGCGTGCCGGCATCCTTTGTACTTGCCGGGCTCTTCATGTCGAACTTTTTCCAGATGCTGCATAAGAAGGATGATACGTATACCTTAGCGTGGCCAGTCGATCCTGAGAACGCACTTATCCCCTTGTTTGATGTCGTGGGTGATACCGGTGAGTGGCTCCTTGCTACTTGGAGGGTGAATGAGCTGACTTGGCACAGGGAATTTTGTCACCGCCGCGATCAAGCGTGGGCCGTCGGCTGAGCGCATCCTAGCTGCCTCCGAATATTATACGCCTGCGCGTGTATTGGCCGAGTTCTCCGAGGTTACTGGACACAAGGTGCAAGCGGTGCAGATACCCGCCGACGTGTTCAAAGGGTTTTTGCCTCCCGCTAAGGCGCAGGAAATGCTCGAGAATATCCTTTTATTGGAGGGACCGGGATACTATGGTGGAGAGAGCTTGGATGCGTCGCATGCATTGTTGGACCGGAAGCCAACAAGTTGGAGGGACTTTGTTGCACAGAACAAGGAACAATGGCCTTGATTGAGGTTCCTGTAAATAGCATATCTGTAGTGGGGATTTTGCAAATGGCAAGATAATAATTATCTATGTGCGGAGACACTAGGTATATAATGCCACTTAGGAAGAATCGGTAGGACGTATTATGGGACAGCAGAGACCGTACCGTACTGTACTCTTGATCCGCATCTACACTTCCATCACTGGGCTCAACGACCTCCACAACTTACACCGACCTCTTAATCCTGTCTCAAGCTCTTCCATATGTGCGTCATATTTGTTTGATCGCAAAGCTACCCCTGCCCGTTTCCCCACATCTCAATTCTGGCGTCTCAGCTTCTCGAATGGGTTCGGATCCGACGCCTTCACAAAGCTGACAACGAATCCTTCACCAACGTCACCACCGCCGCATTCACACCCTCATAGCACTTATAGTTAGTCCGTCGTATCCGACACCAAATATTGCCTCCGCATCCACCATATGAGCGACACGCCGTCCCTGGGCCGCGGCATTAGGTCATGCACGTCGTACTGATGCTCCCATATATTCTGCGCGGCTTCTCACATAGTCTCTGTCATGAATACGCTGGAACAGGTGAATGCAACGCCACCGTATGCCACATATGCGGACGGAAGTGCCCTGCGTGCAGTGGCACGGGATCTTGTCGCGGGTAGGCGTCATTGATGGTTTCCAGCTGGCTGGACATAGCTTAGGATAATTATTTTGAAGGCATACAGAGACTTCCTCCGGATTCGAGGCATTGTATGCGAAATCGGGCCCTTCCTCCATGCTACTCCCGACCAACATTGGGACAAACCGTGTTCGAAGAGCGTGTATAGACGGCCAGGGACGAAAGACCCGTCTACGACGGACAACCAGTACCACAGCAGCAAGGGATTATCCGAGACACCAGGAAATGACGTTGGTGGCCTCGAGAGCGGTGATGTCGATTGATCGTAGACAGGAAAGGATATCCCGTTGTGTTGGCAACTCGGTCGAACTAGATCTCGCTCTCCGCAACAGATTCTTACAGTGGATTACCTTGCATGGAGGATATCTGTACAGGATCTTGCGGCGCATGGAATCTCGCATCTCCCAGAGACGATTCGGCGAAGCGCATACAAGAAATTGGTCTACCCCTGCAGAGAGTCTCACGCCTCGATAGAACGCATATCCCAGATTGACTACGGGGGATCCGTCGGGAAGCGCTAGTGTTAGGATCTTCAGTCATGATTTTGTTTCTCATATTGGATGACTTTCAAGGATGACTGCCTTCTTGAGTGGCACAAGTTCGCGAAAGTGTGATCAGGCAAGTTCGAATAGCGATTAGCTCCGTAATCTGTATGGAATGAGGTTATAGGGGCAAAGTAATTTCTTTGATGACAATAAACCGTGTTGACTCACAGCATTAGAAACCATCCAGTTTACTTCAACTATGTACTATATGTGCCACCATACCCATAGATGAGGCCAAGATGCTCGTAAACCCACAATATAATAAAAACAACCCATGCAAGACACAGTCCAAACTCTCATCTTTGGCAGGAAGAGCCAGAATAAAGACCGCATGGATGGGCAATTGTCGTTGCTCCGTATGGGATGTTGGATACAGTTATATAGCATCTGGATACTGGGTTCAGTCTGCAACGTGGATCATTCTGCTTAGATGTACTGCACGATGATATTACTGTGGACAGGTCCTTGCATAGATCACCTTGCATCATTGTCAATCGTCTAGCCTCCGAAGCCTATCATCTAGACTTCTTTGTCTCATTCAAACCACGTCTTTTCGACCTCTTCCACCTCGGCATATATGTCCTCCCAGCTTAGGCTCTGCCACCTTTCGGGCCGCTCCACCGCATCCACAAAATGCTTTAAAGCCATAATTAACTGCGCCGCCCATCTCTCCTTGGTAACTCGGCCCACGCCCGTCGCCAATGGTGTCATGAGAATACGGCTGATGCGCTCACCGCTGGCCTTCTCGCGCACCTCGCGATTCCACCGTTCCACCTCGCACAACAGACTCCAGACGCACTTATAGACGACCTCACGGTCCCAGGACACGCGGGACGGACACCGCATGGTGGGACAGATAGCGACCCATTTACAGCCCCAGGGATTTTCACCGACGAGCTCCTCTGGAAAGGGGACGAGAGTACACGTACCCGGCGGGGCGAATCCCCTCCATCGGTCATAGAGAGTTTGTTGGGCGGCACGTGTAAGCGTATCGTAGTCATGGTGTGGACGACAGAAGGCGCGTGAGATGGCGTCGTCAAAGGCGCCGTCTAGGCGACCGTAGGAGTTAGCGGGAGAGACGACCAGCTGGAAGGAATGAGTGTCGGGGACAGCGGCGAGACGCTCGTTCAATGTGGTGATGGTGATTGGAGGATTGGAGGCGAAAGCGGGCCAGACAGAAGGTAGCGCGTGGTGAAATTCGGAGCTGTATTGCTCCTCCATGCAAAGGAGCAGGATCTCTGGGAGGTCTTGAAGCGGCATGATTTGGTATTAGAGGCGCAGATAAGGCTAACGAAGGTTGGAGAGGACAAACGTGGAGATCAGATCCATGGCGGCCTCGTTGCAGTGGGGCAGAATCATCCGGGGCTCATCTGGTACAGTCCACCAGACCCAGTCCTTCCTTGAGGAGAACCGAGGGGAGACCACACTTTTGGGTCCTTGAGACTCTCTAGACTCTCTCTAGACTCCTTCCCCGCATTCTGGCGATATGAGGTTAGTTAATTCCGCTCTGGTTCCGCCGAATCCAATGGTTGCAGACACCGACGACTCGGAATTCGATAGGCGTTCCGCTTATCACTGTTGATATCTATCTACCTATATCTATACACAGGTATATATCCACGATGAAATGCAGGTCAAGGCATGAGCACCATTCACTTCTCTTTTTGTGGTCCACGAGTCCTCTACCATGGATACTGATACTTCCAAGTCTCCCTCAAATAAGGCTATTGAGGATGCATCTCCGGTCGAGGTGGCCCATGGCCAGGTCGTGGGTCTCTCTGATATGCCCATGAAGCGGCGATTCAGCATCCTGAGCATCATCGCGGTGGGCTACAACATCTCTAATAGTTGGGTGGCTATTGCAGCGAGTTTTGCCATTGCTATCCAGTCTGGTGGTGCCCCGTCCCTGCTGTACGGCATCATCGCCGTCACCGTCGCCATGCTGGCCACCGGATTGACGCTGGCCGAGCTGGCCAGCGTTTATCCCACCGCGGGCGGACAGTACCATTTCACTTCCATCCTGGCTTCGCCTCGATGGAGTCGCAGTTTGTCGTATTTCAGCGGTCTGGCAGCCGTTGCTGAGTGGCTAATGCTGGCAGCGTCCATCGCTCTGGCGTCCTCGCAGGCTCTCATGGCCGTTGTAATCCGATGGCAGCCAACATATGTGCCCCAGTCGTGGCATTACTTCCTCGTCTACCAGGTGTTCAATGCGGGCATCATCGTATACAATATCTTCTTGACTAACAAGACGCTCTGGGTCTATAACGTCGGCTGTTTGTCTCCCTCCCTGTCTAGACAAAGTGACGATGTTCGGCTAATGTCTCCCAGTCCTCCTCTCCTTAAGTGCCTTCCTGGTAATCACCGTCACCTGTCCTGCCCGCTCATCCGCGTCGATCGACTCGACCCAGGTCTGGTCACACTTCGCCAACGGTTCCGGCGGCTGGCCCGACGGCATCTCCTTCTTGACCGGGCTTTCCACGCCTCAGTTCATGCTCTCCGGACTGGATGCCACCCTGCATCTGGCGGAAGACTGTCTCGAGCCGGAACGCATCGTACCGCGGGCGGTGCTTGTCACCGTGCTGGTGGGATTCTTCACTGCGTTTCCCTTTTCCGTTGCCATGATCTATAGCTATCGTGACGTTGAGAGGTCACTTGGTACCGAGACAGGGTGCGTGCAGTTGTGTTATACTCCTGCCTACACATAGGTCCCCATCACACACCCACCCATACATGCATATATTAACATGACAAGATTCCCCATCTACTTCATCTGGGAAAAAGCCACTCGCTTGCCTGCTGCAGCAACAGTGTTCATGGTGTGTCTGTTCGTCGTCTCCTGTGTGGCACTGAACGCCGTGCACCAGACCGCGTCCCGTCTGACTTGGTCGTTCGCTCGAGACGAAGCATTGTTTTTCTCTCGCAAACTAGCAAGCGTGAGTCCCTCGGTAGGGGTACCTGTTCACGCTCTAGTGTTAAACGGGTTCTGCGTGTTGTTGCTTGGAGTTGTATATGTTGCCTCGACGACTGGTAAGTCTATCCTTTCCTATCGATATTATGCTTGCATAATGAAACATCCGAAAAGAAATGAGGAAATTCATATACGCAAGAGGAGAAACAAAATACTAACAAATAATGATAATAATAAGCATTCAACGCCTTCATCGGCACCACCGTCATTGTCGCCCAAATCTCCTTCGCTGTCCCGGCCGCGCTTCTCCTCTATCGTCGTCGAGACCCATCCTACCTCCCTCCTAACAGACCGTTCCGCGTCCCTGCCGTCATCGGATACATCTCCAATGTGGTCTGTATTATCTGGGCGGTGATTTTGTTGGTATTTTTCTGTTTTCCGACCAGCTTTCCCGTTAAGGCTGGCAACATGAGTATGTCCATCCTCTCATTTATAATTTTCCCAACAGGGCATGATATATGCTAATAGCGAGTAGATTATGCATCCGTAGTGTTGGCGATGATATTGGTGATCGGGGTGGCGAATTGGTTTGCATATGCTAGGAGGCATTATCATGGACCGAGATTGGAGACGTAACTTACTGCCTATTTTGAGGCACTCCATGTTTTGCGCTCATAGGTAGATGCCTGTCTTGCCCTACGGCACCCTTAGTGCACAGCCATGAGGGCCGTATAAACAGAACACTGAGCACTTAGGCCACTACTGCATTGGCTTGATACATCTAGTATATAAATACCGTATTCTAGAACCAATCTCGCGGTGGTATAAGTACATGCAATGGACTGGAAAAGAGATCTGGAATATTGTCGATCTGTCTTTGTCCGCTGCTTTTACATACTATTGTTATTCAAAGCAGGACCGACGCACACACCTACTGCTGCTATTGTTTTGGCAAAATCCATTGAGTCCACAGAGCATACAGTATGGTAGGGACAGTACTGTACGTCTTGTGATATACATTCTGTAGTTTAAACAGGAGCTAGAATGCTATCTAGGTAGCAAGAGATCACTTATATACGGTCCAAGATTGCCTTTGTCAACAAAATAATTTCGAGTACCAATCTCTCTCTCCTATTTTAGAATAAACAAGGAGCCAGATTTACAGTACCCTAATTCTGGATGGGATAACCTAACAAGAAACGAGCACAGCAGTATATATATCCACTGTGCACAGCATTTCAAATAGATTCCCGGAAATAAGGTGTGCTCAGGGTCTGAATCGTATTCCTGTTGCGGGTTTAGCAGAGAAAATGGGATGATTCTGCTGTATGAGTATGGCCGACACAGAAAAAGTTGACAAATCTCGGCCCTTTCCTCCATAAGCCACCTGTTGTTTCTGACCCAGCACGTCCTTTGCTTTCAATGAGTATATGAGGCTGGCTGATCGTCGACCAACCGAAACGGAATGATCTCAGTATCCACCGCATATCCTTCTCGTGCAAGGAGTAGTAGATTCAATATGGAATCCCAACCTTTGTAGCTACGTCTACCGTAGATGCAGTCGTTATAAATCCAAACACAAATTACAAATCAGAATAATTACACGGCAAGGGTCTTCGACCGGACCAGGTGTACGTACTTAACATAGGCACATACTCTTCGCAGCCTCTGTACTAGAGATATTGGGACGGGACTTTCCTTCATTGCCCACCCTCATACCGACCATCCCTCAATCACCATCATTGCAGGACGACGGTTCCCGACGATGGAGAACGAGCGATTGACAGCTTGGCCAGCGTGAAACTTGCCGAGGACAGCTCGTCGAGTCCTACGGGGGACTCCACGACTTCGAGAAGCAGGACCCGCGAATCGATTATGCCCCGAGCGATCAACCGGAGGCGCCCCTGCGCGACATCAGCGGGTGGAAGTGGTACCGGACTCTGCTAGTCATCTTATTCTCTACCTTCCTGGCCCTGGACGCGATGGTGATGACCTGTAGCCCGTCATCGTGGAGGAATTCGGTGACATCCAGAAGCTGTCGTGGCTGAGTGCCGCCTTTCGGCTGTGCGCCCCGACCACTTCAACGTCAAGTGGTTCTACGTCTTCCACGTCGCCGCTCGACCATCTGTGGCGCGATGCCGTCCATGACCGTCATGATCTGGGCCGCGCCATCGCCGCCGCTACCACCACCCTGGCCGAGCGACCGGTGTACGTCTCTTGCACCGGCTTCACCTGGGGCTTCGGCATAGTGCTGGGCCCCGCGATCAGTCCTCAGTGGGCTGGCATGGCCTTCTATATCAGCCGGTTTATCGGCGCCGTCTATGGCCCCTTCTATCTCTTCCTGATCCCCAGCAAAGACCCTCGCCCCGGCGCCTCCATCCGTGAGCGCGTGGCGGAGCTCGACTACCCCGGCATCGTGCTGCAGGGCGGGTGCTGACGGCGTTGATCCTGGCCATCAATCTGGGCGGCATCACGCACCCGTGGGACGCGGGCCGCATCGTGGCGCTGTTTGCTGTGGCCGGCGTGCTGTTCATCCTGCTGTGCGTCCAGCAGGCCTGGAACATCGATACCACGCTGTTGCAGCGTATCATCCCGGTACACACCCGGCGTCTTCGTGGGACTCTCTGCATGGTAAAAAAGCATCAGCTCGCACTTTGAGTGGTCAGCTCCTTCTACCAATGGTTCCTATCGGGATGTTTTAAGCAACGAGCCGTCTGGAGCACTGTCCCTGGCACTCATTGTCCAGGGAGTTGTATCCCGACACTAACTAAACAGTACTAAGGAGTCCTCTAGTGCTGACAGGACCCATACTGCTTGGCTTCTTTGCGCCTGGTGCAGTGCACTGAGAAGCCGGCGTAATTATTGGTGAGGACAGTTACTCTCCACTCTGAATCGGATGGTTCTTTTTCTTTTCTTTTCTTTTCTTTTTACGTACGCCAGAGCAGAGTTGAGACTTGCAGGCTAACAACAGTCGGGGAGAGTTAGAGAAACACAGCGAAGGGACTGACTCTGCCGAACAAAATAAAAGGTTGACGCGTATTGTTTTTACTCTCATTCCTTGTGGTTGGGATCTTTGTGATCTTTGTACTGCTTTCTTCGTTCTCATTTTGTATACCTTCTCTCTACGATCTTAAAATATGGCCTCCAGCAATGCCAATAACCAGGGCGACCTTTCCAAAGATGCGACCCTCGATAATCCCCCCGAAGACAGTATTTCCGAACTCGCCTGGTCGCCTGTCGCTAACCATCTCGCTGTCGCATCCTGGGACAACAGCATCCGTGTTTACGACCTGTCGCATTCGGTCAAAGGTGAAGGCAAGGCACTCTTCTCCTTCCCCAGTCCCGCCCTGAGTTGCGCCTGGTGGCCCGATGGCTCCAAGGTCGTCGGCGCCGGAGCAGATGGCTCTGCGCGCCTCTTGGATCTTGCCAGCGGAAACCTCAATTCGGCACAACAAGTGGCGCAACATGACGCCCCCGTTCGCGCCGTGCGGATGGCTCAGATCCCCAACAGTCAGTGCCCTATCGCCGTCACCGGATCGTGGGATCACGAAGTCAAGTACTGGGACCTGCGACAGTCCACCCCGATCGGCACCCTGCAATGTCCCGAGCGGGTTTACGCCATGGACATCCGTGGCAGCCAGCTGCTGGTTGCCACGGCCGGTCGCCATATCGGCCTAGTTGATCTCAACCGGCCTACCACCTTCGCCGAGGCACTTCAGAGTCCTTTAAAGCACCAGACGAGAACTGTCTGCTGGATCCCGGACGGATCGGGATACGGGGTGGGCAGTATCGAAGGCCGGTGTGGAATTAGCTATATCGACGAATCCAAAAGGTAGTGAGTACCAAACGCATATAACGAAACGATACGTACATATATTTATGCACAACAAAGCTTGAACTTTACCTTCCGCTGTCACCGCAACCCTAAGGATAACGACCCCAAGAGTCAATCGGTATATGCAGTCAATGCCGTTTCCTTCCATCCGCGCTATCATACCTTCAGCACCTCTGGCTCCGATGGAACCTTTTGTTTCTGGGACAAAGACGCCCACCATCGGCTCAAGGCCTTCCCCATCGTCGGAGGTAGCATCACCTCCACAGCCTTTAACATGGATGGGAGCATCTTCGCCTATGGGGTCGGCTATGACTGGAGTAGAGGTTATGCTTACAACACCCGTGATCATCCGAATAAAATTGGGTTGCACCCGGTGTCTGACACCGAATGTAAGCCGAAGGGGGCAACACTCACTCGAAGGTGAGAGTCGGAGATCGGAAGATAGACAAATACAGAATCAACTATGATCTAGTGATGACAGCGCTCTCTCTGATTCTTACCTAGATTATAATATGGGGGAAGTGGAAAGAAGAAATTAATTCTGTTATTTCCAGTCAATATTATAATGTAGCAGATCTATTTTCCATTCAAACTGGTACATAGGTGTATAGCTAACCTTCCTGATCATGTCCCGTATTGCCATGCAAGTAACAAGACAGCCAAATCCGCGAACCTTGAGATTTCTCCCCTGCAGGCATTAGTTTTGGGCGTGCTATTATCCGAGGAAACACCACCGTGACATCGGGGGCATCCATCTTGACTAGATAATCTTTCCACATGAATCTCCACGCAGAGGAACTGCACGGGGCCGCCGGGAGGATTCCATAAGATTGTCTATCAAGTCCAAGGGGGGTGAGCCTTTTCTAGTTACACTTGAAGACCAATGTATCCAGACAGGAATATCAAACATCCGATTCGCCTTTTCGAAGGTATTAGAGTGCTGGTAGTATGTAGATCAGGGCCAAAGCTCTCAAGTCCGGAATTCATCACACACCTCCGCCACCTGCGGTCAAGCTTTACTCTGCTAGACCACGAGGTCACGTGTATGTGAAGACATGAAGCAATTGTATTCAATATAGGTGGTAGAGCAGACTATAGTTAATAGTTAGGAGGGTTATGTAGTACTAATCAAAAAAATCACGTAAAGTGTGGCATCAGAGAGCACGGTGTGGCTGTAGCACCTCCCTTAATACAGTGCCTCCATCAAACCGTCCGCAAAACTGCAACACTCAAATCGGGCAACTTAAACTCAAAAGCTCCCATACTCCCAGCCAGTATCATCGACCGCTTCTGCACTGTATTCTCCTCACCCACCTTATTCATATCGAACGGATCCGACGCCCTCAACACGGTTAATTCAGCCCGTGTACCGGGCGAGACACCCTCAAAGGCCAACGACACCGACACGTCCGCGGTGCTGTTATACACGGCTGCTTTGAAGATGTGCGAGTTGGTGTGGGAGTTTAGTCCCGTGGCGTAGTAGAGAGGTCCGAAGGAAGAGTCGGATCTCGCAGGGAGGGTATGGGTGATGTGGTTGTGGGAGAAGAGCTATATTTATTTCATTCTTGTTAATCGTGGTGATTCTCGATGATGGTGAAGGACGACATGAAATGAAATGAACATACCTCGTAGAGATACCAGCTTGTGGATCGGGCGGTCTGAGCAGTGTCTGCGTTGAAGGCGAGAAAAGTCGGGGACCATTGGTGGTTGTTGAGGTTCATGAAGAAGGGGGCCTACTTAGTACAGGGATAGTGAGTATCATCTCCTAGGTATCTTATCTTATCCTATTTTATTATATTGACTGGATGATTCAGACGGTCACGACTTACATAGGTAGTTCCGATGATTTTGTTGGCATTTCGCTCTGCTCCGAGGAGGAAGACAGCCTCGGCCACGGTTCCAATCCACCATGGATATAGAGAGAAAGTGGTATCGTTCCAGTCAATCCCCTTGCCGTTGTTGAATTCGGTGGCGGCGATTTCACCTGTATTTCAAATCGGTCAGCGGAACTTCACTTTAAGACATGCGGATGGTGCGGAAAGGGGTATTTACCCAGCAAGATGGGGTTCTTAGGATCGAACTGGTCGAAAAAGTTGAACCGGGACACAAAGTTGTCTGGAATATCGTATAGATGATAATCGCCTGCCGCGTCGTCCGGAAGAGTCATATCAATAGTGGAGGCGATGACAGCCATGTCTGGATACTTTGTCTTGATAGCGTCGTAGAATATGCGGAAACGGTACGACGTGTATGATTCCAGTCCGCCGTTCAGATTGTCTTCGTTTCCGACTTCGACGTACCGGAGTGTCCATGGTTCTGGATGGCCCAGGGAAGCACGCAATGCACCATACTTCGTGTTTATAGATCCAGTCAGAAATTCGATTTCATTCAGTGCGTCTTGTACGTAGACATCAAGCTCATCTTCAGGGATTGTGTCTCCGTTCAGGGCGAATCCAGCCCATATGGCGAGGACTAGATTGCAATTTTTAGTTTCTAGGGACTACGATCTAGACGAACGAAACACTTACTAGGCTCAATCCCAAGATCATCACACCACTCCATATACTCGACTAATCCCAGCCCAAGACTTTCCTGATATCCCCAAGTAGTTGCTCGTCCCGGACGGTCTTTCAGCGGACCGATTGTCTCATGCCACTTCCATCGGCCGGCAATAGAGTTGCCCTCGAGGTTGTTACCACCGGGAAATCGAAGGAATTTCTGCTAGATCATTAACTTATTCACGACAGGAACAGCTGATGCGGACTTACAGGCCCGAAATCAGCCATTGCCTGCATCAAATCCTTGCGAAGTCCATTGGGGCGGTCATTCCAGGTTGGAGGAAATAGACTGATGAGGTTAAAGTCGAGCGAACCATCCGCCGTTTTCTGCACACTCAGCGAGCATCATCATTAAGCAATCCAGGTAGCACTCACCGAGGCGTCAAAACTGACGGTAAACGTATTGTTAACATTTGGGGAGGATTTATACGGCGTCAGTGTGAAATTATGCTGAGTCCAGCCATGACGAACACTCCTGGAAGGAACCTTGATACTGGCAAACACCTCACCGGTAATCTTGGACTCCAACGAAGCCGTAAATTCTCCTTCATAGGAACCCTTCACGTAGAAAGAACCAGTATACTTCTGTTCTTTCACATCGATTCCCCACCAGCCCAAGTTGGTGAGACCGGCTAGCCCCCGACCACCCTTGACATTCACTGAGGTAGGCAGTGCAGATGACAGCGGCTGGCTGAGATTCTTTAGAGAGAGCATTGTCCCATTCAGTGGTACCCAAGCATCCAAGGAGGAAGGGTATACAGAACCTCCCTGGAAGGCTCGGTTGCGGATGAGCTCTGCATACAAGCCCCCGTCGCCGCAATGGTTGATTTCCTACCGAGGTGTTAACGCTTGATTTCCACTAGACAGTTGTCCGGGTCGTGCTCATGCCTCCTCCATGATGCCATACTGCAGATTGCTGGTAACATTGCCGCCGGAATTTGCAACGGAGATCTTGACTGCTGCACTACAGGCTGCCAGAACTGATAGTAAAAGGCACTTGAGAAGCATCGTTACTGGATTTTCCGTCAATATGAAGCCCTGATAGATGAGACCCGTCGATCCTCTTCCCTGACACTGATAATATTGTGCTTGCAGCAGTAGACGGCCCCAGCCGAGTTATATATATCTCGCATCTATCTCCGGTTCCATTTGAAATGGGCTCTTCAGGGGTAAATACTAACACTCCACTTTCTAACCTAGTCCGAGACTGAGGAGAAAAGGGCTCCATGATGCGAAAGTGTCTCTCCGGGACAAATACTGAATTTTCCGAAGGTGAAGATCCCAGATTGCCCCTTGTGGTAATATCCCAGGGGGATGAATAGCGGCAACAAAATTCCCACAAAATTGTTCCGACAAGGCATCCGGCGCTGAATATTCCCTGAGAAGGGCATAGTTTCGTAGGCGATTTGAATACATTGTTAGACGGATAAATCGGACCCTGCAATTGCCGTGGAATTGTTGTCGACGGTGAAACGCACTCAGGGCTTCCCCGCATCAACGGGTCCAATTTCTCCGTCATGCCACGTTTAATATATCAGCTTGCTTATCTGTAAAAAGATTACTGTTTAATATAGACTGCTTAGCAAGTAAACTAATATAGCTACTATGAATTCATCTAATAGCGACTGTCAAAACTCAGAAACAATCATTATGGTGCAGTAATCCCCCCGGCCTATCTTTGTGCATAAAATAACCGGCATATAAACAAAGAGCCAAAGGCGAGGCTAGCATAATATATAGTAGACGAAAGAAAATACAAGGCAAACATTGCTTTTCATAGTTTACATAAAACAGCCCTCTCACCTCCTGCGTACTTTTGATGGCTCCTTGTGAATGTTCCAGTTGCAACCGTAGCAGTGGTACAGATTTCCAACACCAGTGCAAAGGATGCTATCATGCCTGAGCGACGACGTTTACCTCCTGGATCTGCACACTCCATCGTAAGCGCTTCTCTCTTGGTCGGATAGGCAGTACCCCCTACTATAACACCAACAGGAAGGGTCGGGAAGTAGATAGAGAGGACCATCTCTACCAGCGAGTCGTACTCGACTGTCAAATAGCTTCCCGAGGCTTCGGCCACACTGGCTGCATTCTGTCCACTGGCAATGGGCATGGCCGCCAAGATGCTAACAACATTGATGCTGAGTCTCACCTGGCCATTTCTCTCGGCCCCGTCCCGGACGTTCATGAAAACATAGTACAGATCTTTAGTACAACACCCAAGAACGTTTTAACAGACTGGATTGGAGAAGCGACCCCAGGCAAATACACGGACACCGTGTGTATGCATCATGTGTCTCCAAGAAACCCCCCACCGTAATAATTTGGATGTTCATCTGCTGGGTTTGTACGCTGGGCGGTGGTCTACCAAGGAAATGTGTAATTAATGTACATATGCAAGCATATGTGATTTTGATCAGCGCATCCCCCCAATCCAATATAAATAGAGGTCAGCTGATCCGGATCGGCTACTTCAGTGTCTGTGAAAATATCCAAATATGTCTCATTTCTTCCATGACAAACATGGATGCCCTCGAACAAATTATATCAAAGCTAGAGCATGTCAGCGCCAACAAGGACAAGGCGGATGACGTGAAAATTGAGAACTTTATCGGATTTACTTTCGTGCCCCTCGGTATTGCCGGCCCTCTCAGGATCACGGGCAGTGAGAATACAGACGGCTGATTCTATGCGACGCTAGCAACCACCGAGGCTACACTTGTGGCAAGTTGCTCGCGTGGATGCAAGGCATTCAGTGCCTGCAGCGGAGTGCAATTCAAAGTTCTTCACTAGAGCTTGTCTCGTGTCCCAGTTTTCTAGTTCCTCAACATCGAAGGCGCTGTACGCTTCTTCGAGATTGTGCCTCGTCTGTGGTCAAAGTTCCAGAAGCCGGTAGAGTCAACGAGCTCACACATCCGTCTGGAAAAGATTACACACGCATGCTGGGATCAACCGTCCATGTCGTCCTCAAATACTTCTGCGGTGAAGGAGCTGGAACACCTTCCGCAGCAATAGCCTAGAGAACTGGAGCCCATCATCTTTGAGGTTGTCTAATTGTCCGTACTTATTTCCTGCTGCCAGCGAACTGTCTCTTATCGAATATAATTTTGTCACTTTATGACACGTTCATTTACATGATGCATTTTGAGTGTCAATAACTTAGGTTTGATCGGGACGGCAAAAGAATCCGTATCACCTCGCTCTAATGATTTGCTGTTAACATTTACTTTTTATCAAGCACTATTCAATTCCGTTCTGGTACCTTAACTCAATGCCGAGGGCCGGGTGATCATGTAGATCTGTCAATATATCAGGAGAATTATCATGCTTAAGTCGGGCCACTACTCTTAGTGCAGTGGAATTTATTGATAAGATAGTACCCTTGGATGACACCATAAACTCCGTGAGGTAAAGAGTATCCCAGTCCATTGAGTTGCTCACTGCTTACTGCTCATATCCACGGGTGACAGTGCAGTGGCAAGCCCATCCATAAAAATAAACATAAAAACGGAAAGACATCATTCGCCTTCTCATAAACGGATACATCCGTAGTACTTCCGTGGTTGCAGTTTCCGTCAGATCAGGTTTCCTCCGGATATCGAACGTGGCTATATAGCGGCCATGCAGGCGTCATTTACTAGACATTTGTACTGCCACAAATTCATCCCCAGTCAGCCATTACAATCGGACCTTCTTCAAAACCGCTATACAATGATTGGCCTTTCGATTCAACAGGCTGAAACTGCCAGCCCCTATGAGCCGCTAATGCAGCCTTCTAGTTGGTGCATAGGACTGGCAAGGCTGCACAAATAACCCCCATCTACCCCAACCACTTTCTCATCCGACCTCATCAAGAAGATGCTGCCATTGCCAAAAGTTATCTCTTTATATGTATTTTTTGTTCGGTTAGAACAGTTGTATATGCTAGACTCTGAGCTGCTATTGTTGGCCCAAAATGCGACCTAGGAGCCGGAAGGATTTTGCGCTCGCGATTATCTGTGCCCTTACGCTGGAAGCCGAAGCTGTCGAAGCACTTTTCGATCAAACCTACGATCGATTCAGCATAAAGTACGGCAAACGATCAGGAGACGCGAATTCCTATATAGCCGGTAGGATTGGCGACCATTATGTTGTTCTCTGCTCTATGCAGGGAATGGGAAAAGAAGTGCAGCAAGCGTGGCATCAAGTCTCCGAGTCAGCTATACGGGAATCCAGCTTGCCCTGGTTGTTGGTGTCTGCGGAGGGACTCCATACCCGTCAAATGGTCAAGAAATCTTTCTAGGCGATGTCATTATCAGTGACTCTGTGATTGAATATGATTTTGGCACACAGTACCGGGGTGGGTTCCAGCGAAAGACCGGTGTCCAGGACACACTAGAGCGGCACAATCGAGAAATTCGGACAATCCTCGCAGGCCTTAAGACAAAACGCGCTCGTAGCGAATTTCAGCACCGGATGTTGCAGCATCTTCGCAAGATCCAGCAATCACAAGCCGAGTGGCAACGGCCAAGCTTTGTTGACGATGTCCTTTTTAGGGCCTCTTATCATCACATGCATTATAAGCAAACCTCTTCAGCAAAGTGCATTTGTGCTAATAATGCCTCACTGGATAATATTTGCAAAGACGCGTCAGCGAAACTGTGTACTAGTATCGGCTGTGACGAGAGTCAAATTATTCGTCGCCGACAACACGACGAAGCTGACAAGCCGTCAGTTCATATTGGAACAGTCGCGTCTGCTGATACAGTGATGAAATCAGGGAAGCACCGTGATGAACTCGTGAAATCAGACCGTATTATTGGCTTTGAAATGGAGGGAGCAGGGGTGTGGGATAATGTCTCTTGCACCATCATTAAAGGTGTGTGTGATTTGCTGATAGCCATAAAAACAACAAATGGCAAGCATATGCTGCAACAGTTAGGGCCTCTGCTATTAAAGCATTCTTAGAATGTTGGAGGCCTATCGCTGACGAAGGTTAGTAAAGAAACATAGCTGAGTCTCATGATAGTAACTAAATATAACGTATACGGATCAACCACGCAACTGGATGATCCCTTTTGGGAAGAATTTGGGATTCGTCGGCCGAGAAGACGAGATCGCCAGAACCGAAGAATTAATCACACAACAAAGTGGTCCAGCCAAAATCGCTATCTGTGGACTAGGTGGAGTTGGAAAGACCCAAATAGCGCTCGAATTGGCTCACCGTATGCGAGAGAGAGACGCCACATGCTCTATTTTCTGGATCTCATGTACCAGCTACGAGAGTGTTGAACAAGCATACATGAATGTGGCACAGATAGTAGGGATCCACGGCATGGGCTTGACTGCAGCAGATGCAAAAGTTCTTGTTAAGACATATCTCAGCCAGGAAAGAGCTGGGAGATGGCTTCTAATTTTCGAGAATGCTGATGATGTGGATATGTGGTTTAAGGGTAGCAACACCGCTCCGTCGCTTAGAACCTTCCTCCCTCAGAGTCCACATGGTCGTGTACTCTTTACCACACGCAACAGGTTGCTAGCCGTGAAACTAGCATCTCCAAATGTGATAACAATCTCTGAGCTTGATGAAAAGACTGGGCTAAGGATGCTTGAAAAAGCACTGCTATTAAACCATGTGCCTGTGGAAAAAAGTGCTGCTGTCAGGCTTCTTGAACAGCTAACGTTTCTTCCATTAGCAATCACCCAAGCTGCAGCCTATATTAATGGGAACGAGATCGGCATCTCTAAATATGTGGAACTTCTACAGAAACACGAGTCACATGTCATAGATCTATTGAGTGAAGACTTTGAGGATGAGTCTATCCAGAACCCCGTGGCTACAACATGGTGGATATCATTCCAACAGATTGGACGCTTGAATCAATTGGCTGCAGAATATTTATCTTTTATGGCTTGCATAAACCCACGCGACATCCCTTGGTCTCTACTTCCTCAAGCTACATCTGAGATTGAGGGCGTTAAAGCAATAGGTCTTCTTAAAGTCTATTCTTTTATTAGTGAGCGGGCCGGAGACAACTCGTTGAGTCTTCATCGACTTGTCTATCTTGCAACTCGGAACTGGATGCGACAGAACCAACAGCTTAGCCAACAAATAACAAAAACAGCTGATCGATTCGAAGAATGTTTTCCAGTTAATAATTCTAATAATAGGAAGCTGTGGCGAGAATATTTACCGCATGTCTTATCTCTAATAGAAGACGACGACTTTCAGAAGGAGCAGAAGAGTTATAGTGGTCTAATTCAGAAGACTGGGCAGTGCCTATATAGTGACGGGAGGTACAATGAAGCAGCTACGTTATTTGACGAAATTATGCGTATGCAAACACAAGGAGATACCAGTATCCCAACACTGTCCAACATGGCCTGGGCAGCATCAACATACTTACTTCAGGGCCTAGGGAAGGAAGCAGAGAAGCTATTTGGACAGGTGGTAAAGACCCACAAACCGGTGCTAGGGCCCGAGCATCCTAATACTCTACTCCACATGAACAGCATGGCATTATTATATGTAAAATCAAGGACGATGGAAGGAAGTAGAAGAGTTGGCATTACAGGTATCGGAGACTTGTCAACAGACGCTAGGGCAAGAAGATCTGTGCAGCTTAGCCACACTAGCATTGGTACATAAGCACCATGGGCGATGGACGAGAGCAAAAAAGCTGGAAATGCAAGTCCTGGAGAGACATAAAGAGATGCTAGGGCCAGAGCATCCCAGCACTCTGGCCATTATGGGTAACCTGGATACAACATCTAGATGTCAGGGACTATTGCGGAAAGCAGAACAGCTGGCAACGCAGGTGCTGGAGATCCACAAGAAGGTTCTTCGGCCTGAGCATCCTGAGACTCTGAAAAGTATGGGCAATCTAGCCTATACCTGGAAATTTCTAAAGGTGCAAGATCCCCTGGCTTTAATGGAAAAATGTGCTCAACTTCAGGATAAAGTCCTGGGCCCCTATCACCCCGCTACTGTGGCCAGCCGTGGCATCCTCAGTAGATGGCAAAAAGAGGAGAACTCGTCACTAAAAATGGCCATTAGACGGGTTCTGAAGAGCACCATAAATACCAGTAAGCCTCGTACTAAGCCTGCGGCTAAAAAGTGAAAACTAGACCCTATTCGTCAAATCTTTACTGCCTCTTTATATTCTTCTCAAGAATTCGAAATGTCACGCAATCGGATTGGAAGGTAAGCGCCTACGCTGAATAGGCAGGTGCCTTTGTTATAGGTGGAGCATTAAACCCCACTTGGGATACAGATGATTGGAATCTGGAAATAGTAAATACGACTCTCGCAACACCACCGTTCAGATAATTCAGGGTGAGAAAAATTGATTGAATGGGCTGGAATATTGTTGAAAGAGTGGGCGGCGACTAGGTGATGGGAGATCCACCACAAGTTAGGCAGCCAGATATCCCAGAAGAGATCCATGGAATGGGCGACGGGATAACCACGCACAAGAATCCGATGAACGCTCTGGAAGAAGAAGATCAATGAGGCCAGGCAATGCTATGGCAAAAGACGAAGGCAACTGAATTAGTTCCCTCTACGGAGTAGAGTTCGTGGGGAATGGACGGGAGTCTTGTTGCCTATCCCGCGCATCCTGCAACCTACTTTTTTGTGGCCCCTGGACATTTCTATTATTATTAATAATAATATTCAGTATCAATCCTTGGCTTGCCAATTAGCAGAAGCAAAAGCTAATTGCCAAGCAACTGGTCGCTTCTGACGATTCGTGGTGCAGTGGTACATGACTGCATGCCACTTGCAATACTCCTCCTTCCTACAGATTAAAAAAGCTTGGTATTCTTATTGACGATACCGAAGAAAACAAGACGTCATCGTTGAAGAGATCTCAGGAAATCGTCTTTGTACTTGCAAAAGCTGTATTCCTAACCTTTAGAAATGACGAGGCGCGCATAAACCCACTCCATGGAACGTGGAGGGAGATAATTAAAATTCAGAGGCAAAAACACCCAGAAAACGAGAATACGCAAAAAAAAAAAAAAAAAAAAAAAAAAAAAAAAAAAAACCCAAAAAAAAAAAAAAAAAAAAAAAAAAAAAAACCAATCCCAGGTACACATCTATCGCCGCCTTCGACTTACGGAGCCTCACAGCATGCGATATATCATATCATCGAGTCATATACCCATCTTAACGCTTGTCGCCCCCTCGGACCGTGTCGCAATCCCTTTAACACATTTCACAACACTCGATACACTCAAAGCAACATTCGCAGGTCTCTTCGCAGAGGAAACAACAGCAGAGGGTGGCCAGACTAAGAGAAAGACATGTATTAGAGTCATATCATCGGACCAGCGGGAGGAACACTCAAGGAACACTCACCAAGCACCAAGGCAGCCGCGGCTCTTTTTCTGAGTGGGTGGCGGTTGGGGAGCAAATGACATCTAAACCACTTTTTGTCAGCGCACTGAATTGTCGCATCACATAGTAGCTCGCATCGTAACATACCGGTGGACCTTGCGGTGGACCTGGCGGCGGGTAGTATCCCTGAGGAGGACCATACTGCTGGGGGTAACCTTGGGGAGGAGGTCCGTAACTATCGTAGAAAGCAGCGAGTTAGCATATTCAACAAACGAAGCCGAATATCTCTCTCCATGCGAAACCGATCCGGTTCACGATCAATTTATTCTTTCCCAACCGTCGCAAGGAGACCAAAAAGATAACGGGATCTGCCAGATCAAGAGCTGGAGAAGACCAGAAAAGTGCACTTACCCTTGACCTTGAGGTGCGTAGTACTGCTGTTGGGACATGGTGTGTGATGCGAGAGAAAAACTGTTGAAGAAAAAAAAAAAAGGCGTTATCGCACGAGTCAGCAAGAAAGTACAATCACCAAAGGGACGACAATCCGGAGAAACATGGAATGGGGAAGCGGTGCTCGTGGAAGGGCCAATAACAAGGTGCAGGCCATACCTAAGAAATGCCAAGTTCTAACGGACGGAAAGGGTGAAAGGTAAGGAGGGGGGGGTGAGGAGGGAAGGTGGAAAGGTGTCTGTCTAGGAATAAAAAGCAACCAGACGATCGTTAGGGGTAGAAAAGCAAAGGGAGTGGAGAAAAGAGAAGAAAGGATCGCTGAGTAGCGGCGTTTGTTGTTGAACGAGGCTAATCCTCTTCCTCCTTGCCGGATTCAAGGTGATCCCTTTTTTTTGGAGACCATCGAACTTCCTTGGATCTTCCTCTTGTTATTAACTGGACCATACTCGGACCTTCGATACCGACCGGCTCCGCGGCAATCCGTACAATACATATCCCATACGGTCCCGTTCCTTGGAGCACTCAAGCCAAAGAACATGGATTCAAAAGAAAAGAATCCCCAGAAAAGAAGAGGCAAAAGGCATCTCAATAAAAATTTGAATATGTTCCTACAATCTATTCACTATTCCTTTCAATGAATACTGGATTCCTTTATTTATTTTCATTTTTTAGGGAAATAGTAAACCACGGCCTCCACGAGACCGAAGATAAGTAAGATCAGTGAGCTGTTCCTGTCATTACAATACAGGGAACAGCACCGCCCCCATCCTCAGCCACAGGCCTGCCCTACTGGACCTGACTTCCCGCCCCTGCCACTCTCCAACTTACCATCACCGTTGCTTGATTTTTGATAGCGTCTGCGCAGACGGTGGCGGAGCCAATTGAGTCAAAGGTTAGCAGGCAACCAGCATTTCATTCCAGCGCCCCATATAATCAGCCTTCGATGGCGTTCATTCAGGGTCCACAGCATGACCCACGCCTTATCAAGTCAAGTCCAAGTGACTTGGTGCCGTCCAGCGGCCTACAGTCCTGGATGGTGAGTAGCAGTAGAGCCAGCTAAGTACCTATTTATCATGGCAATGGCTAGCTGGTTGGTAGCCGTCCCCATTGGGTCCCAGTCAAAGGAGCCCCAAAGAGTGTGCCTTTGCCGCCAAGCAAGACATTCACCAATTCAATATATTCAAAAGCAAATAAAAAGACACTGGAGTCTGGCCGCTTGACTGTCATTCATCACACATTATGTCGTCTCATGTCGCCTAGGGGAGGCGCCAGAGGTCCGATGCATCGGTCCCCCATAAGTTGCGTACGGTAAAAGGGAATTAAAGTATTGAAGTAGGAAGAAGAGGGGAAAGATAAAAAGGAGGTAAACGAAAAAAAGAAAAGAGAAAAGAAAAAGAAAAGAAAAGGGAGTCACGAGTGAGAAGATCACGAGTGAGAAGATGAAAAAAAGGCCAGCTATAACTCACATGGATAGAAAAGGAGAAAAAAGGTAAACTATGTATGGGTTCGAAGGGGAATGGGAAAATAAAAAAAAAAAAAAAAAACCCCTTATATCAACAAGTTCACAGATATCAGAAAACAAAGGACTATATAATCACACATACGAATCGATCTCAGGAGCCAGAGGCTGAGCATCCAAATAACAAGCGTCAAGTGACGAACCCATGTTCATCGATGGAAGTGCAGAAAAGGCATCATACCCAGTCATCAAGGTCGACTCCATCTCATGAGAAGACAGATCGCCGACTGACGCTGACGGTAACCCACCGAACGTCGCATCCTCTGCCGGCACCGACGATGGGGCTGCCGTCAGGTCGTCTCCTAGTATGTCCTGGTCAACATAATTTTGAGCATTCTCGACGACAACCTCTTCTTTCTGCACCATCCAGTGCTTCAGAACATCCATAGGTGGGAGGTTGCCACCTCCTTTACCGCCTCGTTTCTCACTGTCTTTTCCACGTCCACCCCGGCCACGCTGGCAAGGGTTGAAATGGGTACGGCGCAGATGAGCAGCAGCATTGTAATTGGCGCCATATCGCTTCCCATTCCGACAGGCTTTGCAGTTGGCCAGGAAGGTTTTGCCTGGGGAGATGTCGATGCATACCCAAACCTTCCGAACCACAGCATGAACTCGCTCGATATGTCGACGCAGCTCGTGCTCCCCATGGAAGCCATCTGGCTGGTCGTTGCACATCGTGCAATACGTCTTAGGACGCGGGGGGCGCTGTATTGAAGCCTTGGGAATCGCAGCCACCTCCTTAGCCGTCCCATCGGAGGATGAGATGCGTATCATTTTATGCTGCTCTGCCGCTTTTGATGGAGAGCTACTTGGGTCCACTTTGGGAGCAATGGGCCTAGCACCCTGAACAATCTGTTCCTGTGCCCTCCGAACAGCTCTCGACGGCTGGGAAAGAGAGTTGCTGCTCTCGGCAGACATGGAATGTTTCATCTCCACTGCAGGAGATAAAGACAGGGCAGAAACAGGTTGAGCAAAAGATGAGGTGGAAGGGGCAGAACAGGAGAACAGAGGCAGGGCTGAAGACTCGGCAAACGGGAAGGAGACAGGATCTAGATCCTGGTGAACAGATGCGAAGGAGGCAGAGAATGGGGCGTTCATGGGGGGTGTGGATGCCACGAAATCGGAGGAAGGGAATGGAAAAGAGAGTGTAGGGTCAAGAATCGGACCTGACGAATCAAACCTCATCATGCCCAAGCCACCACATAGAGAATCAGTGGTGGTGCTCCTACTCATTTCAACTGCACCCGCAACCGGATGGTCGGCCAACGAAGGATTTCCCAGTCCCGCCAGGCCGGATGTCAAATCGGATTTTCCTTGGTACTGCTGGTCGGGGACAGGCTGGGGATTTTGCCCAAGTCCAGTCGACGTCGAATCCGCAGAAAGTGCCATAGAAAGTGCCGAGACACCGCTTTGGGCAGGGTGGTCATCCAAATGTTGTTTGGCGTATTCGGATGGAGAGTACTCGCTGACGTGGTCAAAGCGACGCTTGGTGCGTGGAGGTCCAAAGGAGTGTCGGTATCCCGTCACGGCGGGGGTAAGTGACGGCCGGTGGGAAGCCGGAGTCTGCTGACTCTGCGAGCGGGCCATGGCCGTATACCGAGAGAACCCAGGACCTGAGAGAGGAGAGGAGCCGTCCTTCCGAGAATTCGACCTAGTCAGGTGCTGAGATGTCTGTGGTGCTGCCGGCGAGGATGCATGCGACAGCTCGCGCGTCAGATCAACGGTCACCGGGGGTTCCGGAGTCTGCCAATTGTCAATCCAGGGACTGTTGGCGGGAGAGCAAAGAAAGGAGGGGATGCAGTAGCTCAGGAACAGGATGGGTGGAATACGCAAGGTGAAGAAGAGGCGGGATCAGAAGACCAAGATGGATCACATACGGTGACTCGTCGTTTTGTCGGAGGGAGACCAGAACCAGGTAAAGTCCGGGGAGTATCCTGCCGAATCCTTTTCCCAGATTTCTCGAGAGTAGAGCCGCCGTTAAGGATGCCAGAACTGGGGACTGGGCGGTAGCTGTTGCTGGAGGAAGCTGTAGCCGGTATGAACTGACTTAACCGTTGACCCCAGAGTTGATTGCGCTCTGCTTCCGAAAGGTGGGAATGCCGATCCAAAAAAGCGTCCCGATACCCAGAGATGGCCCTTGTAAAGAGTTCGTCGTCAGCCATGGTGACAGCCATATTGGCGAGATGCCCGCTAAATGACGCCTTTCCCACGAGGGGCGAGCAAGGGTATAGAGCTGCTATCAGTAACAAATGACTACAGGGGGTTTTGGAAGAGGTGGCTCTCTATATGAACTGAATCAGTATATGTTGTTGCACAAAATCAACCAAACGAACAGAAATAATAGAAAATAGTGGTTTAGAAGAGACCAGGAAGGAGAGACTGACGAAAGAAGCAAGACTATTTCCGCAATGGGTGTTGTGACGATGTCAGCGGGTGCACGGCAGTTAGATAAAGTTGCGCCGTTGACACACCGAAGAAGAGGAGAACGAAAGAGTAGGCTTGAGTGTAGGAGAGAACGGGAAAGAAAAAGCAGAGGCAGAGGGGGTATAAGACTGCGAGGACAGCAACGTGACGAGACGAGATGATGAAAGAGAGATGAATGAACGAGGGAGGGAGGAAAGGGGATATCAATATAATGGGGGCTAATATAGTAGGTAGTTCACAGCCCTTCTTGGTCAAATGGCCCGGCCTGCATAAGGTGAATGAAGGAATTGGGGGAGGGGAGAAAGAGGGGGGTGTGGTGTGTGCTAGGCAGGAAAGTAGGTAGATAGGTAAGTAGTAGTATGTCGGGAGAAAGTCTCTCTGAGTACGAACGAGAACAAAAGATCCGTGGGAAGAGCAGTCAAGCCTGTTAAGTCAGTCAATCAGTCAGAAGGCGCGTAACTAGTGAGATTAGTCGTTGCAGCAGTAGTTCATGGAAGTTGAACTTGGGAAACGACCGGGGTGGGGATACGGTCTGTGAGATGGAGGGAAGGATTGGCCGACAGAGGACCAGCAGTCCATCTTCATCATCACCGGTGGTTCATCAGTGGGCCAGGATGGGATGAGCAGCAGAAGAAGGTCTGGAACGCTTCGTTCTTCCCGTCGGGGGGTGGCCAGTGGTCAGTAATTTTTTTAAAGATTTTATGTTTTTTCTGTTTTAGTTTTTTTTGCCCATACTTTTCGCTATGATTTTCTAATTTGACAGTTGACCTTTTTTTTTTTTTTTTGGCTCCCTCATTGCCTGGCGGTGATAATCAGGGCACTAGCAGGCAGTGTCTGAAGTTAAGTCCAAGCCTGGGGCAACCCCCAAGATAGAAAAGGTCCGAGAGAGGTGTCTGATACAGTAGACAGGTAATATGATTTCAACTGTGCCCCGAGGAAGGTACAGAAATACTACTTTGTACTCGTAGGTATCAATTAAGCCAGCCAAATGAAACTTGTGAATATGAAATTTCGAAATTGGAAAACGGAGGACAAATAATATGGGAAATATGACACCCTGACAGCAGGGAGCTGGAATACAATCTAGATAGTACTCCTCTAACAGGCAAGTTTCGGAACAGAAAATGAGAGAAAAAGAGAAGGAACACGCCCCAAAGTGAGGCAGCGAAACGGATTGCGCGGTCCCGCACCCGCACCAGCTAAAAGAAAGAAAGGACGGATACGTTGAATGCCCTGATCAGTCATCAATCTGTCGCTAACTATATTACCGCAGTAATAATATCGTAAAAAACAAAATGAAAGGATTCCCTTGGCTGTGTCGGTGGTAATATTGATTTCATTATTTTACTGATATACTAGATGCTATTATTAGGTAGGGGCCAGTGGTTAACTAGCCAGTTAACTAGTTAGGCAGTCAGACAGGTACGGAGTACAAATTAATAGTAGATACTAGATTGAATGGTGTATCTCTGAGATACGTCCTCCAAGGGTAGCTAGATACGAGCTAGGTAGAGAGCAATGACCAAGGGCCTCTTTCTCTAGGCGCCTACAGCGGCCCAGCCTTGGGGACTCAAGGCTCCTGGATTTTCTAGGAAAGTTTGAATGCCTTAGGCTAACGATACAGTGTGCTACAAACTACCTCTTAATGGTGCTGGACAACTAAACTATCCCAATTTTCCCACGCCATTCGGGTCTCAGCTGAATCTTCCCCCATCGACTCGAAATCTGCCACGTCGTTTGGACTACACCATTCTGGGTTGTCTCGCCCCCATAGTCACAGTTAGTCTCCTAACTATGTGGATTGGCTATCTTAACTGAGTTGTAAATAATCTTCTATGTTCACAGTAGATGATGAGATGACCATATTTCCTAGATTGTCAACCTTCTTTTGTCAGTTGACGCGTATCTAAGGGTATGGAGGTGAGAAAATTGGTCCTCGGTAAAATCCTCAAGTCTAGTATCCTCATACTTTTTCAAGATCGGACCAGTTTCTTCTCATCAGGCAGCAAGGCGTCCGTTGTGTTCTTTCATCCTTATCTTCCAAGATGATAAGGCTATCAGGTCAACAGTAGAGTTACCTACCCACGGTACGATCCCGCAGTACGGAGTACCACGCGGAAGGCATCCAAGGTTCAGTGTCTGCGACTGGCCGTCCCACCCGATCTGAGAATGGAGCGTACAGCTGCTGCTGTTACCCACTTTCCTTGGGTGAAAGGGTTCTGTCACAGGGAATTTCTGCTGGGATTCCTGATCTGTCATGGCTGTCGCCCATTGCCGGCGGTGGGTGGACGATCTGTACACTATCGACATTGGAATCGATCATTTACAGGTGGGGTGGGGCAACCAAATTGAGGGCAGTGATATCACGTGAATTCCACGTGATTCCTTTCTATTTCCTGAACACAGCGAACAGACGGCTTATTGGCGGGCGCTGCTCCGTATCCTAGTTATTATTACACACCACTTGGCGCAATTAGAATCAGGAAGGAAAGTCTATCTTTCTCTGGTTGTCTGATGATATAATGGGTGCCAAGTTTCCAGCGGTCAATCTTTCATTCCGCCGTTGTTTCATCTATCCAAGGCAAGCATCCACCACCAGCCCACAACTAGGTCACCGCTCTTCTATATTGAATAGGCGATAGTACTTTTCAAGCGGCCCAGATTTAGTTGGTAGCGAAAATGGAGACACCTTTCCAAGATTCAACCATACAGCACCCATTGAAGCGACAATTAACCCAACCCACTCGGGAGAGGTAGGTCATTGTTCTCCGATACCCCTCTTCAACGAACTCGGAGGAAAGTGCGCAACAGACTCCGTTTGCTCTACCACCATTGATAATCATACTCTGTATGTGGGGGAATTGGCTCTCCCATCTGCAAAGTATACATCGTCGAGGAAGAGGTGTGTTTGACAAACTGAAGTCCAGATCCGAAGAAAGTCATCCTCATACTTACACTCCTACGCAACATTGCATCATATCTCTTGCCGACAATCCGAGATATGTTATTCATGCCAACCCAATCATATATATTGGTATAAGGAGTGTGTACATGTAAGGTACAAATACAGACTCTTTGCAACACACCTTTAAAATAGGCGCCATCAGATAATTACAAAAAGCCAGGAATGTCTTCTCAAAAAGTACTGCATTTGACAAATGAGGAGTCAGAATTGCCGGGTGGGACCACTAGAGAATTGTGATCGCTGTGTCCCTGACACGGAAGGATGATAGGCTGAGGATACTCCAGACTTGGGCCGCTAGTACACACTATCTGTGATTCTATGCAACTATGCACATTTGTACGGAGTAGAGATGGGCTAATTGGAGAATGAGAACTCCGTTGGGGGTTGTCTCAAGAAACGGTCTTTAGTACTCCGTATAGACTCTTTTTTTTACAAAAAATGAGCGTAAAGACGGACGCGAAAATTATTGCCTTAAGATATATGTCCTTATATTTCTCCATGTAGGAGAAAATAATTTGAGATTGTAGAGTTCATACGTATGGAATTTCAGACTCCAAAGATCGACTCGGACACCTGATTGGCGACTACTCAGTACATGATCCGAACACGGAGTACGGAATACCAATAGGCAAATTCCATCTTCAAAAAAACGGGGGTGGAGTGAAAACATACATACGGAGTTTCAGTAATAGTCTAAATAGATCTACTCCTCTACGAGTGCCACTCATGATAGATGTAAATACCTCCTGAGGTAAAATGATCATGGCAACAGACACAATGCAAGACAATCCAGCCTTGCCTAATACTTGTGTGTGCCTTACAATCCCAAACCCCTGTCATAGGAAAATGGCTCGGGTCCGGACCGAGCATCTGGTTGTGCTGGATTCAGACAGCCATCATTATCCTTGACAACGGGATAAAAGCCATAGAGTTGCTCTGTACTTCGTACCTACCTCATAATGGAAACAGGCCATAGATCCAAGTAGCCAGGCTGCGTCAATGCCCCAATCTGACCACCATCTTACTTGGACAAATTGATCCATCTGTCCATATGACTAGCCACATGAAACGAAGAGATGGATAGAAACTTAGAAAATATAAAACAGAAGGGCTTGGAAACTCTACCAATCAGACACGGATACCTCTCACCTCCCTCAGCCTCAAACCCACTGTCGGAATAACATGTGTGCCAGGCTAAAGCCAAGTACTCCGTATATTGTCGCGATAAGCCACAGTGATTAAATCGTACTCCCAAGCTCATATGGCTTGGGTATTTTGCCCTCCTGGTTGCAGTCGACTGCGAGGGATACCACTGGTATTGCTGACGCGTTGACAACAATCTTTGAGAAGGAGGGTTTCGTTGCCCGTATTATCGACAAGGGTGGCATTATTGGGGTTCTAATTGGCGCATCCCGCCGGTTGTGCTCAGACCTGGCGCGGAGTCTGGGATCGAATACTTTATGTTTTGGTTTCATATCGGCATTAACGGGGAAATTCGGGCATTCGAGGCTGTATCGTAGCAAACATTTATGACTTGATGGAGTGTCTTGTGATAGATTGAATAGAGCTAGCGACAGGCTGAATATTTCCATAATGGGATGTGATAATGCAGTTGGCAGAGGGGACATTGAAAGGGAAAAAAGATATCTTAATCTGGAGAATACATCTATGGTTTCATCACACTTTTATAGAGGCGTTCAAGCTGTTTGAACGGCAAATATTGACCACTGTACGTGAGACATATCCTATTGGATAATACTCGGTGAATAATAGGACATTGAAAGTGTTTATTGAATATCCATATATTGTGCTTCGTACTTCATAGCTTCTGTTTTGCTTATTACTACTAGATATAGGAGTATATATGGGATACCATGTTTCGCCAGGACCAATATTGATAATTGGTTTTATTATAATTCTTGTTAGTTGTTCATAGAAATGTCGTGTAACTAGGTACTTAGTGATTTAAGAATCGAACCCTTGAATGCCATACAAATCTAAAGCAAATGCCAGTATCAACAATCTCAAATAAACTATTCCGATCCCAACACGATGACAACTAACCTTACGGAGTATTCAAATTTAACTATATACTCTATATTCCACTCAAAGTAACCCCGGAAATAATGCAAGGTTTCTGATTCTGAATAAAGAAAAGTATCAGTAATACTATTTGTGCCAAATGAACAAGACTCATGTCAGATATGGTCAATTATTGACCCCTTCGTAGGATGAATGAAAGGGTGACACATTATGTAGATGCATCTTCAATTATTATGCTGATCTCTAGTCATTATTTCAAGTCTAATATCTTTAACAGCCTCATATTATTTTAAGCATTCGGTATATTGCGATCTGTGTAACAGGCAGATGCGAGATGACTGTACTCCCCGTACGGAGGACTAGAGTAAGAAGTGATGATTGTGATCAGTCAGGAACAGCTCCGAAGACAAGTTACTTCGAAAAGTCTACAATTAAGGAGTACATAGAGTTAAAATAACAGAAAAAGTTCGGGACATAGGGATGACGAGAGGAAACCTGATTTGCTAACTATTTAGAGATAGATAGATGACATCAGAGTAACCTGATAGTAAGCTCGTCCGTTGGAGCAATAATTCCACCCAATTGCAGCAAGTTTCAGTCAGGAGTTTGGAAACCGTGCTCACTGTGAGTGGGTGGAATAACCGACCTGACGTCAGATTGCCACCATGGGTATTCTACCGTTGGGGTAAGACCGCACAGGACAGTGATATAATAATGGAGCGGGGTATATAATTGCAAACGACCTGGCTCCTCTTAGCCGGACATGAGATAGTTAGGTCCGTGAGAGAGATTCATGGCCTTCCCAACCTGCCTTGTTGCTGTCTCTTGAGACACGTGACCTCGCGTGGACCAGCCACGTCATACCCGCGAAGGATTTCCCCCGGGAACAAAAAAGAATAGGACTTGAAGAAGCAACGCAGGCACACTCCATCGCCCAACTCCTGGATGATCATCTCTTCACCGTATTGTTTCTGCTGCCGACCTCGCGTTTCTGCGCTTTTAATTTGTCTCTTTTAATCCACAATGTCCGATTCCACCCTCTATCTATACACCTCCCTTACTGCAGGGTCGTCCCATATCGTCACCGCCACTGCGCGACTGGAGACCATTCTGAAGGCCAACAAACTCCCATTCCGAGCAATTGATGTCGCCACCGATGATGCAGCCCGTAAGCTCTGGGGACGTCGCTCTAAAGGCAAGAAGTTGCCTGGTCTGGTGAAGTTCGGCACGGTGGTTGGCGTACGTTACCCTTAACCACCTTTTCTCTCTGTGGTGGGGGGTTCTGGTGCAGGGAGCACATCGATTCTGCGTCGTCTCCGTTCCTGCTGTAGCTTGTGGGCACTAACGGTCTGAATAACGTAGGACCTAGAGGAAATCGAAGAATGGAACGAATACGGTGAGCTGAGGATGCAAGTTGACAGCGTCGAAGACTTCGATAGTATGCCGGCTACTAGTTATCCAGCTACCACTGCCCAGGCCGACACGACGTCTGCTGCTTCAACACCCACGGCGGGGGTGTCCACCCCAAAGCAGAGCACCATCAAAATCCAGAACCTTCCTTCCAAGGAGACCAAGAAGGACGACTCCATCGCGGTTGCATTGCGCCAAGCCGGTGAAGAGGCGGCTTCCAAGGCCAAAGAGAATGCTCGTGGGGATACCAAGGCCGAGACGACTGCTGCAGCTACAGAAGAGCCCGGCCAGCAGCTGCCTTCTGTCGCCGGCGAAGAGAAAAAGGAAGGAGTTAAAGATTCTGTATGTCAGAAATCGTTAGCTCTGGGGACTGCAGAAAGTCCCAGGCGACCGCCTCTTGTAGTGCCAGATGTTGCCGCAGTTTCCACTGCAGATATCCGTGCTGATAATGCTGAAGCTCTAGGATTAATAGAACACCACCGGCGCTCTGTTGTTTCAGCCACATCCTCGGAGGAGCAAGAAAAGGTAGCACGGGATCTGCGCAAGTCCATCTCCGATGGCCGTGAAGAGATTGTCGTGTCGGAGGAAGAGCGGACGGAAAAGGATAATAAGGCAAAAACCGTCGAGGAAGATTCAGAAATTGGTGAGGGTGACAAGACCAGAGAGAGCACAAGGGTTAAAACACAATGACCGACTTCACTAGTGCGAATTATCATGGGCTGTTAATACCAAGCCTGGTTAGCTGTGCTTCTGGGTTGATGAATACGATCTGGCATCATGTTTGTTACTTTTGGACCATTATTGTTTTGTAGAGATACCTATTAGCTGCAAGTGTTTGGTAATTTGAGGATTCTTCAATTCCGGTGTATAATTATCAAACCTATACCGTGTATTTTGTCCCATCAACATCAAAAATTAAAATAGCAAAGTGCAGACTATCTTTCCATCCCATATCTTTTTGGCTATCACATGCGCGGTCGTATTAAACAATAGGGAATAAATGAAAAGAAAAAAGGGGGCGTGCATGAAAAAAAATATATACTTGAAAAAACATAAATAAAATAAAAGGGCATATATTAAAAGTATCTTTAAAAAATCACAGGAAAAAAAAAAAAAACCGCCGAGTCACATGGAAATACAGCCCTTTTCAAGCCTTTCGGTGCTTGTTGACGGCCTCACGAAGCTTCAATATGACGTCGGCAGGGTCCTGGGCACCAAAAACAGCCGAGCCAGCGACAATCACATTAGCGCCTGCTTCTGCAGCTTGATCTACCGTCCCGAGTCCCAAACCCCCATCAACTTCAATGTTTAGGTTGGGGTATCGTTCACGTAGAGCTGTTACCTTAGGCAACTCAGAAGCCATGAACTTTTGCCCGCCAAAGCCAGGATGTACTGTCATGACGAGGACCATCTGTTGGAAAGGAAAACAAGTCAGTGCATGTACAGAAACAAGAAAGCAAGGAGTAAAAAAAAAAAAAAAATGCTTGGTGCTGTCGCTCACATCAGGACGCTCTTTTTCATCCTTATTCTCCAGAATATCCCACAGTACATCCACTGGTGTGTCAGGTTTGATAGCTATCCCAGCTTGCATTCCCTCCTCGTGAATATATCGGATCAGTTCTTTCGGGCTCGTCCGGCGGGTAGTTGTCGTGTCTGCAGGAGCAGTGGCTGCTACGGACGAGGTGGCCGCTTCGTAATGGAAACAGTACAGATCGCAGCCGGCAGATTTAAAGTCTTTGACCCATTTATGCGGCTAGAAAATATGCATGGGATGATCAGCGGCGGGAATCACCAATTGTTCAGACGGAACGCTCGGATAGCAATTGGGCAGCGAGGGAGCATGCAGCGACTTGCGGGTATCATGGAAGGACGTGTCTCACCTCCATGATCATCATATGGCAGTCGAAGGTACCCTTTCCATTGGGCTGGGTTGGGCGGTCGACATGAGATCGAATCTTGGTGACAACGGGAGCTCCAAAGGTCATGTTGGGGACAAAATGGCCGTCCATGATGTCGACATGCAACCAGTCTGAACCCTGCTCAATTTTGGTCGAACATTCGCTCCCTAGGGTTCCGAAATCTGCACTGAGAATGGAAGGAGCTATAATAGCTGGAGGAGACATGTTGGATGGTAATATTAAAAGGTCCTTGGAGCTATATACGAATGATGGAAAGATGGTCGAAAAGGTAGGGTTTGGGGAACAAGGAAGGGAAGGGAGGCAGGACAGTAGAACACAAGATGACTTATGTACCAACACTGAAACAGGAGTGTGTGAACAAACAACAAAGAGATGGGGTAAAATGTGGATAGGCGCACTCCATCAGAGGGCAAAAATTAAGCGGCCCTTGATATCACCGCCATTCCGGTCTACGTCAGTCCGGACAGCCAGATTAGGAAAGCATATATAAACGATAAGGGCTAGGGCCAAGACCTTCACGTGGAGAGGGCCGGTGGGGCGCATGAATTGGGTCTCGACCTTGTTCCAGAAGGGGTCACGGGAATTGAAATTCCTACTTAAAGGCTTACCGGGCCTCTCGGCTGCAGCCTCATTGGCGTGTTTCCTGCTCACTAAGCACCTAATAATGCCAGTTCATCCGTTCAATATCCGATAGCTGGTCGGCTGACCATATGTACCGTTTGTTGGGCGGCACAAGGGTCGGAATGCCCTTTTTCGTCCTTCCTCGCTGAGCTGACAGGGTCAACAATCGACTAGGGGGTTCTACCATTTACTCACCGTGCGCACCCCTCTCCTCGCCTAATAATACCCCGGCAATTATTCGCGTTCTATTCAAGGGAGTGCGTGTTGAGGGGACAATCATGGTGTTCTCCTAGACCTGCATTTCACTGATCGTCGTCCCTCCCGGAATTTCCTTTCTAAAGATAGAACCACCCGGCGCTTCCAGCCTGCCAATCACCAGTCCATAGCAGGCGGTTCTTTGCAGCCCCCACGCTGATTGGTATCTACACCATGTGAGCTGTGCCTGCTGTCACCTTTCATGAACCTGTTAGAGCCTTGAGACGTTGAGGGCGACGCGCCGGCCATATCACGGCCAATGGCAGCAATTTCAAGGTGTCCATTTCCAAGGATGTTGCCCCACAGTGAGCTTCTGCACCGATAATGGCTGGCGGGTTCAGCGCTTCGATCAATCCAACCCCTCTTCTGTGTTCGTCCTTGGGGATATATACCAGAGCCACGCGCAACTGGTAGAGATGTTCCTCACCTACTCCTCGCGCAAGCTTTCTATTTCCTGTTTTGTCGTTTGGGTGTGTTCTTGTCAGGCCCTACGCTCTGGTAGCTAGGCCATCGTTATTTTGTCTTTCTGTCTTTACTATCGTAGACCCGTTGACCGGTGTCGAACGCAATCGAGATACCCCTAGAAGTTGTTTAGTTTGCAGTTTCTGGTAATTTGTGCGTCTTGCAATCGCGACGAAGGACAAGAGTCTATTCCCTACAGTAACGCCAAGTCAAGATGGCATCGGACACCCCGCGATCAGCAAGATGCCCACCCCTTCGGCAGGCCCGAGGGACAAGACTTAATACGATAATGGAGGACTCTCGTGAAGCTCTGTACGCAGAGAAGACGGACAGCCGCACGTCTCCGTCTAAGCCAAGTGGTCAAACACCATCGTTGAAATTGAAAACCACTGATCTTCAGCCGCCGTCCAAATTGAATCGTCTCTGGTCGCCCTTATCCACGGGATCTCTCTCCTCCTGTTCGGATACTGAATGGCAACATCAAATGCGAAACCTGAATGATTTCTACGATACCACGGATGATGATTCAGACATCAGCGATGAGTGTACATCTTTTGCTAGCACTAGACCGACAAGTCTAGTGACCCCTACGACGAGAGATTCAATGGTTTCACCACTTAGTCGCAATCGCTACCCCAGCCTCACCATTCCATCATCAACAATCTGGCCATCGCTCCATGGTGCCCCCAAGAGTTCACCTGTTCCTCCCACTCCGCCGCCAAAGATACCAGTTTCTCCGGCAGCCTTGTCGATGCTCGCACGCTCGGTACCAGCTGTGCATGCTCCCCCTTCTCTAGATGGCAGTGTCTCCTCCGACCAAGTCTCAAACATCAGCGCCCCGGCAACTCCAGATCTGCAATCTCTTCCAGACACCGACTGGAATGCTCAAGAAATCCATGTCCATCCGGATTTAGAGGAGCCTCAAAAGGTGGACATCCAAGATCCAGAATCAATCTCCGATATGCAGAGCATCGAAATCGCAATCGAGAATCCCGACGAAGACTGGCAGCAGGTTTTGGGGAACTTTCCTCAAATACCCAATCAAACAACGCCGACCTCTCTTCACTTTTCGTCTGAACCCACACGAGAAGACACCCCATCAGATGGAGGCTTGTTTCTACCAGAAGATGCTCTGGCAACCTTGAGACACATTCAGCTGGATGGGTCTCCAGATCCTTGGTCAGAAACGTCTGAGAAGAATGAAGAGATGTGGCAGATTGAGGCACTACCGGAACGGCCTCGCAGCGCCGATGACGCGACACCAGCATCAGATATATCTGGATACAGTTTTAGTAGGCTCAGCATACCTTCTCCCGGTGGTTTCTTTTCCTCCCTGGGCCCCCGAGCACGTCACACCTGGTCGATCCCTAAAGGATATAGACCCCCCACGTCGGCCACTGCTGAAAACTTCTACAATGTACCTTTCGGTCGAACCGAAGGGGAGGTTGTTGAGCAAGTGGTTGAGTGCTTCGAGCAATTGACTGAGGAGCAATTGACAGCTGTGTATGACCCAAGCGGACCACCGACCGCGATCAGGATCCCGCCCGAAGATAGAAATGAAGCGTCGGACCAAGTTGAAAGCCCAGTGAGCGATGGCGAGGATGGTGTACATGAGATCGTGAGGCCCGGTTCTTCCTGTGAGGATGACGAACGAGACGAGAATTACGAGTGTGACTTGCAGAGAAAGTCAATGGCGAGTCTAGACAGGACTAGCGTTTGGCTTGCAGCGCAAGCTTCCTACCTTTCGGCCCTTCATGACACCAACCCCGTCAACACGCTAGACGTCGAGGATGATGACCAGGTTGATACTGCTGAGGATGAGACCCAAGGAATTGGCCAAAAAAAATCTGTCCGTTTCGCTGAGACAGTTCCCGAAGCCCCCAGCTCTGGTCCGTCCGCCCTGGCGAGTAAGGATTCGATCTATTGGCGAGGCTTCCAGTTCATCCGTCAACAATCAAACAACCGGGATACTTTTTTGCATCGCAACACCCGCTTTGACGCTGTCCAGTCCATCAGACTTGGCTTGACAAAGCTACACACGGGCTGCCTATTGGGTAATTACGAGCTAGTTCGTCCGGGACGCCCTCCCTATAAGGGTCCTTTTTCACAGGCTCCCCGCAATTCAGTAATTGGCCCTGTCTTGGCAGAAAAAGCCCAGTTCTCCATGCTTGAGAAAGAACAGTTGGTTCTTTCCCAAATTAGTCAGCCTATGTGGGCCATGGACGCTCTGAGATATCTTAATGGCGGCAACATGATTGCCAGCCCGGCTCTCAAGAGTTTCACGCGATGCCCTGCATCTAATAAACCTTCTCAAAGCCCCGGCAGCCGCCACATTAGAGTTTTAGACCTAGGGGGCCATGCTTCTTGTGAGTGGGCATGGCAGCTTGCACATGACTTTCCCAGCGTCAAGGTCTACACCGCGTTTACGGAGCATCAAGCAGTCAATCATGGCATCAAAGGTCCCTCAAACCATCAGCAGGTGTCTGTTCCATGCCTATGGAAATTGCCGTTCCCTGACAATAAATTTGATGTGATCTCAGCTCGGTCGCTTCCTGCTCTATTGAAAACGGAACATCCCGAAGATGAGGACCGGGACGAATATGACCTCTGCCTGAAGGAATGTTATCGCTGCCTCAAGCCTGGAGGGTACTTGGAATTTTTCGTAATGGATGCAGAGATATCTCATGCAGGGCCATGTGCGTCTGCGGCCTCGACTGAATTTGCGTTCAATCTGAAGACCAGGGGCTATGACCCAACACCGACGAAGAAATTCCTGGGTCGCTTGCGAAATGGAAGGTTTATCGGTACCAAACGTGCCTGGATGTTCTTGCCGATGGGTATCGAGCCTGTAAAGCCTCAAGTACCGAGAGAGACCCCTGAGCCTCGAGTTAAGAGCCAAATCGACGAGTACGAGGCGGTCCATGGGCCAGTTGGCAGTGTGACAGATGTCGCCAGCGTGACAGGTCTACTTGGTGGTTGGATGTGGGAGCAATGGCTTGTCAAGCTTCAAGTTGAGATGGGTCGAGAACCGCAAAATCTTCTTGAAGGTATTGGAAGTGTGTTTGATGAAGGCCGCAAGAACGGTGCAGGCTGGACCTGTTTGACCGGATGGGCCATGAAGCCGAAATTGAAGCGGAAAGCCCAAAGGGGATGCCCGAAAAGTAGCAATCTTTAAGCTTCCGACTTACGGTATGACTTTTGCTTCTGCCTCACCCTCCTTTGCCTTTCCTCTTTTTCTCTTCTCTTTTTATTTTTTTACCCATCTTCATCTCTTTATCTTATTCTTCCATTACCTGGAGTATATGGAGCCACATTCTTGTTGTGATACCCCTGTGCCGCCCTGGAGGTGAGATGTAATGTAATAATTGGACCATCGTATGAGATACCTTGATGATATTAAATGGCATATGTGGGAAACAGTTGATGAGAAGAGGAATCAAATTTGATTTTAAAACAGTTACATAAACATAATAATATACACAGCTTACAGGGTAACAACACCTTAAGATGCTGCTCATAGTGTTAGGCATTTTATTTCTATTCTACGGAGTAGATATGTAGTATAATTTATATATTCACGCTTCTCATTTTACTACTCAGGCCTATCACGGTAAGCCACTCGAATATAGAGCTTGGTTTTATACAAGAGAGCTGCTGTGGTCCTCACGTGACCGAGTTGAGATGCCGACGACAGATGTACCGTACAATATCACATCTCGATATCCCCTCCATTAACTCTCGTCCCTTGTGTATTCCCCCCTCCAGCTGGCGAGGGTCACAGAATAATTATCGGCGTTAATTAAAACAATTATTTACAAGTGTGGACAATAGAAATTGAAGAGGAAAAAATCCCCGACCACTCTACCGTGCGACCATCATCATGCTCTTTTTCAGGTCGGTCCAATTCCGCATATTACACATTGATAGCGTTAGTTTACTGATGATTTCAATTCCTGCAGCTTTTTCAAAACCCTTACCAACCAGACCGTCATAATCGAACTTAAGAATGATATTCGCATCCGAGGGACTCTAAAATCGGTGGATCAATACCTGAATATTAAGCTGGACGATGTGGATGTTTTGGATCTGGACAAATATCCCCACCTCTCCTCGGTAAAGAACATGTTTATCCGTGGAAGTGTGGTGCGATACGTGGTACTTCCACGGTCGGAGGTTGATGTTGGTCTTTTGGAGGATGCTACACGAAGAGGTATGTCATGCCCCTCAGTTTTCCTTTTTCCCCCTTCTTTCGTCCCTTTCTCCTCTATCTGAAGCGATCTTTTTACTTATATATGCTCATACAGAGGCTGCAAACCAAGCCGGAAAGGCTCGATGAACCGAAACCACCTAAGCCTTTTCTTTATCACGATGCGATGTTGCGATTGCGATTGCGTATGCGTATGCGGAACGACCTTTCTACTTGATCAATGGCCCCTAAACCAACCAGTGGAAAATCTAAGTCATAGAGGCGGAATGAATGAATGGGCTTTTACAATATGGGTCAAGAATCGAAGATTGTTAATCGGGCGCGCAGAAAATGGGAAGGGGTTTCTCTCAACCCTGATCCCAGAGTAGATATGGGATTCTACCCATCTGCGGATGACTACGTATACCTCAATGCATGCAGGACTGCCTTTATTTGGACGTGTCTTGAAATTCTACACCAAAGAAGTATCTACCTACGCATTGAAGCTGCTCACACGTAATTCCGTAATTTATTCATTCACGTGACCCCGCGTTGTTGAAAATGGCGATTCGCCGCGCCGCGCCTTGCCCCTAATGTCTTTTCCCCCACTGGCCTCTGTTGCGTCCTGACCAGACAAGATTCTAAGATGAGGATGCACAGGGCTTGCGCATAATGGACATTGAGGACCTATAGAGTATCACACTGGACAGTGCACTATATTCTCTACGGTCGGTTGGTCATCGTTGCCGCTCTTTTACATGTAGGTTCCCTACGTTGGTGGTTACAAAATGTCAGGTTCCTTTTCGAAGAAGGCCCCGACACCATCAAAAGCTCCTTTGGGCTCCAAATCCCGGGGTTCCGTAAAACGAAACAGCAGCCTCCTGAATTTTTTTCAGAAGACGGACGGTCCGCCACAGGCTACTTCACGACAGTCCCGAATCACGCAGTTCGCGACGAAGTTAGACCGTTCTTCCAAGAGTGGAAATACTACGCCCTCTCTCCGGAGAGAGGCTAGTTCTAAGTCAGTCAACAGCGCCGGGGGGTTGTTCCTGGAAGATAAAAGTGGAAGGGGATCACTATTTGGGGGAACTGTGGCTACTGAAGAACTAGAAAGAGCAAGGTCGCGGACGCCAGATGATATCTGGGGAGAAAGGGATATTGGAGAATCAGAGGTGCCAGAGGGTGAGAAGTATATTGAGAATGGATCTGCTGTTAAGAGGCGGAAGATGGATTGTTCGGTTGACCAGAAAGCACATAATGATTCGGATACAGTCTGTACGCCTCTATCCACGAAAGATCGACATGTCAGCGGTCCGTTCATTGATGAATCCGATAGCGAGGACGACCTACAACCATTTGGGGAATTCGAGGAAGGAACAATGGATCCGAGGAAAGAAGACACGGAGGGCAAAGAAAAACTGACCGACATTGATAATAATGAAGACCGGGCAAACAGTAAACGACCTACCACCGTCGTCCCACCATTGGTAAGAGAAGCCATGAGCCATATCGCAGATGATGAATATACGAATTTTGACGATCTAGAAGAGGATGGATTCAGCGGAGAAGATGAATTTTTAGACCAGGAAAGCGAACTTGAAGAGAATGGTGTGGAAGAGGTTATTTGTTGTGGCGATTCCACGGCTTTAGAGAGAGGTGATACGGATTTCAGGGACGAGGTGTCTACATGCCCAATATGCCAGGTTGAGCTGTTTGGCCTGAATGAAGCTGTAAGTTATCAATGGCTCGCATGATGGCCTTTGTTTCTCATGGTTTAGCAGGATGTGTCAGTACATGTGAATGATTGCCTTGATGGAAAGCCTAGCGCCATTCCACCGAACATAAAGCCAGAGGTTTTACAGGAAGATTTACGACCACTGGCACAGCCTTCTGTGGCAAAGCCGGCGCAGAAAGACCCGTACTTCCTGGACAAAAGAAAACCAAAAACAGGGACGGCCTTTTCAAAGCTTATGGCCGGTAATGCCGAAGACACCGCATGGACCACAGCGGCAGCACGGGAGGTTGCGTCCCGTGGGAAACCGGCGCATCAGCGTACTTGTCCATTCTACAAGATTATCCCGGGACTTTCTATCTGCGTGGATGCATTCCGCTATGGGGCAGTTGAAGGGTGTACTGCCTATTTTCTCACCCACTTCCACAGCGATCACTACATGGGTCTGACAGCCTCGTGGCGACATGGTCCCATTTACTGCAGCAGGCCCACCGCCAATCTAGTACGCCAACAACTTAAGGTGGACCCCAAATGGGTGGTAGACCTAGACTTTGAGAAGAAAACGGAAGTACCGGGAACCAATGGTGTGCAAGTGACCTTGATCGAAGCCAACCATTGTCCTGGAAGCGCATTATTTCTGTTTGAGAAACAAATCGGTTCTGGCTCATCTAGAAAGGTCCAACGAATCCTCCATTGCGGTGATTTCCGAGCATCCCCAACACATGTGCAACACTCGCTCCTCCGCCCAGAGACCCTTGACCCCAATACGGGTCGAAGTCGACAGCAATGGATCGACGTTTGCTATCTTGACACCACTTATCTCAACCCCAAATACTCGTTTCCTAGCCAAGAAGACGTGATTAAAGCGTGCGCTGACCTCTGCGTCGGCCTGGACCAAAGCTCGGGCGATGAGTTCGGCCAGATGGTTCGGCAGCCGCAGCCTGTGAAAACAGGGCAAGGGAATATGATGAGTCGGTTTATTTCCTCCGTGACGGGATTGAGCAAGCCGCAGGGCCAGGGCCCTGGCGCAGCTGGTCGACTACTGGTGGTGATTGGGACGTATAGTATTGGCAAGGAACGCATCTGCCTGGGTATTGCACGTGCTTTGAAAAGTAAGATCTATGCCACGGCGGCCAAACAACGGGTGTGCAACTGTTTAGAGGACGGGGAGCTGTCGTCACTGTTAACAGACAACCCTCTTGAGGCACAGGTACATATGCAGACACTGTTTGAGATACGAGCCGAGACGCTGGCAGACTATTTGGACTCGATGAGACCACACTTTTCTCGCGTAGTCGGGTTCCGTCCGACAGGATGGACCTACCGGCCGCCAGCCGGACGAACGATGGACAATCCGCCAGTGTCGACGGTGCTCCATTCATCACATTGGAGGACACCCTTCACGGTCCAGGATCTGGCGGCTCAGCGCGGGAGCACGCGGGAGAGCTCGTGTTATGGAGTGCCCTACAGCGAGCACAGCTCCTTCCGCGAGCTGACTATGTTCTGCTGCGCACTCCGGATCGGACGAGTGATTCCCACGGTCAACGTCGGGAGTCGAAAGACTCGGGAAAGCATGAAGGGGTGGGTTGAGCGGTGGGAAGCGGAAAAGAGAAAGAGCGGATTGTATCGATGGGAGCAACCGCCTTAAACGACATGGTGTATATAAGACAAACAGCTCCTGTATATTGCACATATTTGCATACTGAGAGTGAATGCAACGCAAAGGCGGATTTCCTTGGCCCATGATTCTACTCCATGGTTATAGTCTGGGTGGTTTTATCTCTAAATGCGATCGACAGTCGTGCCCCAGGCTCCTACACCGCTGTCAGCCACCCTTTTCACGAATCGTGCGATAGCCGGGCGGTGAGGGGGTCGGGCACGTATGTCGGCTGCGATAATCTGCTACCCCAACCCCAGACTCCCGATTTCCACACCCGTAGCAAGTGATTGCCTCGGGGACCCCTCACCATCGTCCCCTCATAAATATCAGGCAGGAGGACGGCACACACACTCTCTCTCTTCTGGAGACAACTTGGCAGGGCCAGAAACATGGAATGAGTCGGCCTTTGAAATTGTCACGAACTCTGCAGTCGTCATTACTAAGTGCGCTGGACTGATTGATTCATTTTGGACCCTTCCAGGCAATCCTACTGTAAGTCCCAATCTGGTTAGTTCAAGACGTCACCTGCCCCATATGTTACTGCCTCAGGAACCCATATGGCCATGAATATCCACTTCTGACTGATTAGTCGGTTAGTTACATAGTTAGCCCTGTCCTTTGCTACACAATGATCTCCCAACTCTTCTCTCCCTACGGAGCTTATTTCCTGCTGGCTCTGCTGGCCGCCTATTATGTGGTCCCCTACCTGCAGCTCTGGCGTCTTCGCGATATTCCCTCCCCCAGTGTCGCGGGCTTCACCCACCTCTGGTTGTTCCTACAGGCTCGCAAGGGGCATCGCTTCCTGTCCGTGCATGAAGCCCATAAGGCCAAGGGCAAAGTCGTTCGCATCGCCCCCAGACATGTCTCTATTGCCGATGATGCTGCCATTCCCTTAATCTACGGTCATGGAAATGGCTTCCTGAAGGCGTATGTTTCCTTCTGTTCTCTTTGTCTCGCCGTTCTATCTCTCTGATCGTCGTAGCGATTTCTATGATGCTTTTGTTTCCATCCGTCGTGGTCTATTCAACACTCGCGACCGCGCGGAACACACCCGGAAGCGAAAGACTGTCTCTCATACCTTTAGTACGAAGTCTATTGGGCAGTTCGAGCAGTACATCCATGCGAATGTTGAGCTTTTCGTCAAGCAGTGGAACCGCATCTCCGACACGCAACGGAATCCCAAGAATGGCTATGCGACCATCGACGCTCTTCATTGGTTCAACTACCTCGCCTTTGACATCATCGGTGACCTGGCTTTCGGAGCCCCCTTCGGCATGATCGATAAGGGGCAGGATATCGCCGAGGTGCGCAAGACGCCGGACTCGCCGCCCTCCTACGTTCAAGCTGTCGAGGTCCTCAATCGTCGCGGAGAAGTCTCCGCCACGCTTGGTTGCTTCCCGTCCCTGATCCCCTTCGCTAAGTACTTCCCCGACCGTTTCTTCAAAGACGGCTTGCAGGCTGTCGAGAACCTGGCCGGTATTGCGATCGCCCGCGTCAACGAGCGTCTCCGACCCGAAGTTATTGCCAACAACACCCGCGTGGACCTGCTGGCCCGTCTCATGGAAGGCAAGGACAGAAATGGCAACAAGCTGGGCCGGGAGGAGCTGACCGCTGAGGCCTTGACTCAGTTGATTGCCGGCTCAGATACCACGTCCAACACCTCTTGTGCCATCCTCTACTGGTGTCTGCGCACCCCGGGCGTGATTGACAAGTTACACGAGGTCCTGGACGAGGCCATTCCAAAAGACGTTGACGTTCCCACTCACTCCATGGTGAAGGACATTCCCTAGTATGTCTCCTCTTTCTCCCCTCTCCAATTATTACTGATCCCAGTCCAACTCTCCTTGCGACTCAACCCCAGCTAACCTCTATACAGTCTTCAATGGGTCATTTGGGAAACTATGCGTATCCATAACACCTCCGCCATGGGTCTCCCTCGTGAAATTCCCCCCGGTAGCCCCCCCATCGAAATCTCTGGCCACATCTTCTACCCTGGCGACGTAGTCGCCGTCCCCAGCTACACTATTCACCGCTGCCAGGAGATCTGGGGTCCCGACGCCGAAGAATTCGTCCCTGAACGCTGGGATCCCGCACGTCTCACCGCGCGGGCAAAGGCCGCCTTCATACCCTTCAGCACAGGTCCTCGCGCTTGTGTCGGCCGCAATGTGGCCGAAATGGAACTACTTGTGATCTGTAGCACGGTATTCCGGTTATTCGACTTCGAGTTGCAGCAGAAGGGTCCCATGGAGACAAGAGAGGGCTTCCTGCGTAAACCTGTGAGATTGCAAGTTGGTTTGAAGAGGAGAGCTATCGCTTAGTTTGTCTTTGCTGTTCTCCTCTCTCTATTGTATTCGGTTGATTTCTTGCCGTATATTTAGCTCCCCACGCCCCTTTTTGCATTTCGCGTTCGGAATCCTTACTTAACGAATACTCAGTTTGTGAGGAATATAGGCATGATCTAGGGGAATATTGATGATGATGAGATGAAATGAGATCTCGTCGCGGGGCTGTGAATATTGACAGTCTTGAAGATGTCTGACTCCAGTCTCCCAGGTGGTCTTATTGTCTTATCTAGCAGGGAGCTAAAGACAGCGCTGAAGAGCCACTCCAGTGCCACCCTGAATGTTCCACCACTTGGACTATTGTATTATAAGAGAATCTGTAGAGGACGCGCCACCCCTCTTTGCTGAGGTGTTTTGAGAGAGCGACGGGAGAAGGTTAAAAAGCAACGAGATGGGCGCTTCCGAACAAATGATATCCGTGTCAATCGTGAAAATATGACCCGCTTATACAGCTCATCCTGTTGGCGGCCATATGAAACCATAAGGTTCCGTAGGTGGAAACATTCCGTCGTCCCCTAGAGACTATTCGAAATCTGAGAGGAATTTATCGGCGAAGTGGACCGGATCCTGTCTTTCAACAAAGCCAGCTAGTGAATCGGAAGGTTCGATGCTATCTCGGTTAGAGAAAATAGTTCCAAGGCCACGATTCAGCTTATGTGTAAACAAACAAGATAATATAATGCAGACATACTGTCTGACATGTTACCCTGAGAAGAGCACATGACACGACACTGGGGATCGAACCTCGTCCCGCCACCACCAAAGTGTATCCACTACGAGACTTGCAGCGAGTCGGCTGCGGATTCGACGAGCAGTATATTGGCTGCCATTAGATTTGCAAAGGCAGTCGTGCTATTCCAGAGCTGACTGAACATCGTAGCCATTTTCGCGGCAGGGTTGTTCTGTTCCACTGACATCTGCCGAGATAGATTGATTGCACCAAAAAATGACGTCTTGGCTCTCTGGACATCTAGTCCACTCAGTACGCTGCCTTTGAGTACGCGTAGGAGGCATGCTGAAGCCAGCATCAAGGCGAAGACCGTTTGGACAGGCAGAGTTCCTAAACTGGCAAGCCTCTGGCTTAGAGTCTGTATGCAGCGGACAATGGTACAAACTGTAGCCAATATCTGAGAAAGACAGTCACTAGACAATACAGTATGACTCTTAAAGAAGTGAAATGCTTGAATGTTCAAACGACACGCCGCAACGTAAAACTGGCCATCGTCTGCAGAGTTGTTAGTCAGAATCAAATTAAGCCATGCTACAATCTCACCTGAGTTCGCCGCCTCTGCTTCCAAATCAGTGGCTTGACTCTCGAGGGTACGAAGAAGAACATCCAAGCTTCGTTCCTGGCCTTGGGACATGGACTGTACTCCGAATTCCATCACTGCTGCACCGCATCGTGCAATCAGATCGTGGAGCTTCAGACCGAATACCAGTAATGGCAAAAGTTTTCGAAATAACATTTGACGCTGGGCTGTATCCTGCGGGGAGCTCCTTTTAGTACATACACTAATTCGATTTAATAACATCAACCATCTGTCCAGGAAGAGGGCACTCACAGCTGGTATACAGTAATACGGTGTGCCCAGAGCTCGGAGCGCCGGGTTTCTTATGGGGACGGAATCTTGATTCGAGAGAATTCATGACAGGGCATGGGAATATGAAGTTCATTTTACATCACTAAGTGCAGTTGTAGTTCACCCGACGCAAAAGTCATATCTGGTTTGTGTTACACTTCGGAAAGGGCCACGTCAGAATAATCAGCAATCTCTGGATAATGTGCCACTGCAGCGTTGGTGATGCGATCTAGAGCAGTGCCATCTCCATGATGTTTTGCGAAAGCGCCATCAACAGTGTCGGGTTTGTGTATGTTCTAGATGCGACACCAATCACTGTGCAGAACAGAAATGGAGACTATGTATAATAGGAATTGGGACATGTGTGAGGATCCAGGATTCTCCTGTAGCCATTTCTGACCTTGGCAGAGGCGGGCCCAAGAGACCAGCCGAGGGAGAGAGTCCCTGTTGTAGGCAGGAGAAAGTTGCTGATTATGACTGAGGAGTTGGTTGTGAATCCGTCCCATTGCTTAGATCATGAGCCTCCCTCTGCGCAGCGGCTCTCAACATGGCGATGTCTGAACGAGGGTGATCACTTTGAGAAGACCTCAATTTTCGACGTAGCTCAACTGTCTCCTGCTCTAATTCAGACAACCTCCTTGCTTTCATCAGGCCTTCGCCAGGAGTAAACTGAACGACATACTGGCGTTTGTGCTCTCTCTGAAATGGGTTGGATATCAGGCATCTGGAACATGGCCCTCACGGCGGAGGTAGGCATCACATTTGGCCTGGAAAGAGATATTAGGCGCAGGTCATTACGACATATCGAAATGGTATCCAACTATCTTTTGCTGCCTACACTGTGTGCAGGCTTTTTTGCCACGTTTGGGCGATGGCCTGAGTGGGTTTGTAGTAGTGAAACTCTCATGTCTTGGTACATTCCAAGAAAGACGTATAAGGGATCGACGAGGCATGATTACCTTTCTGAATCATATTCATCCTCTAGCAAGTTCTGGACGTGTATCAGATCACACTGGGGAGGGAATTGGGGAATTCCAACAACACTAACTGTTTAGTGGAGATGGGTAGTAGTGCGGAGATAACACAATCTCTGAGGGTTGTGAGTCGAAGCATTTGCTCATTCCCACTAGTATCATGGGCCAAGGTGTGTTCTCTATTGCACTAGTTTCTAGTATTTTTGTTTAACGCGTACTTTGTGTAGATTTTAAACCATTAGGAGATGTCTTCAGCAGACAGCCTAGCAACCCTGATTAGCCCAATGGCTGACAGCTACAGGCTAGCAGTTCAGCCTGATGCAGACATAATGGGCTACTATATAAAAGATAAATAATGAAATCTCCCTTACCTTAGATCCATTGGATACGTAAGTAAAGTCATGATGTGACACATGAGGATGGAAGGTTATTGGATACGGCATATTATACAGCTGCTTCCACCAAGAACGTTTCAGAATTTGGATCTTTAAGCAGAGGCCGAATGCACTCTTTTACTAGCTAAATTATACTATATGAATAATCCACCATGTCCTGAATAGTATAGCGTCAAAAGCTTCAACCCTACCGTATTCGGCAGTAATCCCTATAACATTTCCCGATGCGGACAACCACCAGCCCATTGGTGGAGATGGAGTGTTTGATATAGCGATTGATGGCTTGGCAGGTTTGAAAGTGAGTCGTAGGATGATTGAATCATCTCAAGACTAGAGCTATGAGCTTGGCCCCCCCACTTCCTATCATTGTCCTCGGGGAATTTTCTGCACGCGTCATTCTCGATTGGTGGAGAATAGCATCTGAGTGTTCGGCCTTGGTATTCTGGCTCTCGGGTTAGAGGTCGCGCTGTATCAGACTTAGTATGACATGATTCAGGACATGAAGTCCAGCACTTGACATGGTATAGCTGGCGATTTGGAATGAATGGTGTCGGGACTCGATGCTATATAAGGTCCTATTTCATCAGCCAAGGCATGAATCCTCTGGCTATCTTTCTTTCTCATACTGAATAGTTTAGGGCCTTCGCGAGCGAAGGCCCGTTTCTTCTATTCTTTTGTATAGCTTCTACGCCAACATGAAGGCCATTCTTTCTCTTGTTGCCGTCCAGCTGCTAGCCAGCTGCTAGCCAGCTACTGTTCCGCACTCCCTACGCAAGACAATGGACTCATGCCGGTCGCCAGCAAGCCATCCTGGTCCACGGCTGGCTTGAAGCGCGCCAGTATCACTAACTCCTGGAATCCTCCCTCGAACTTGGTGACTCCCCTCAATGAGGTAGGGCCGTGGAATATTCCACTTTCGCAGATACGGTGGTATAGCATTAACCATTCCATAAACAGGTATGGCAGCACCAGGTGGATACTTACAGCGACCCTTTTGGCTTCAAAAACTAACGGCTATGACCAGGTAATCGACGGCAAATGAAAGATCAGCTATTGTGTGCGCTGGGATTCCACTCAGTCGGTGTCTCAAGCCCAGCGTTCCGATGTCGAGTCCGCAATACACAAAGGGTTCAACAAATGGATCGAGGAGCTCGCGTGATTCGATAGTTTCCCATACGATACCGTGGACTTCAATGTTGTCGGATGGGCCGTCAAGGACAAGACCCTCCTGGGAGGTGACACATCCGGCATTGACATCTACACCACGACTGACGTCGGTGGGATTCCCGAGTGTGATCCATGATGCGGCAGGTTCTTCCTTCCGAACAGTGATTATAGCACCTGCGAGGCCGGCAAGGATCGTCACTATGGTAAGTTGGCTCATTCGTTATTTGACTGGCATATGATGCTGACTACTTCGCAGACCAAAGTCTCTGGCTCACGGATGGTTTTCAGGGTAGTGCGGGTGGTGATTGGGGCCAGCGTGTCGGACAGGCGTATTTCTTCGAGAACCTGAATGCTGAGAATATGCATATCTATCTGCATGAGATCGGTCACACCTTTGCCTTGGACGGTATGTCTTTTTTCCGTCACTGGAATCCAGTTTGGTCTAACAGTGTCCGCTTTGATCTCTATGACTGGACTCCCGCCGGCCAGAACAGCTTCATAATGCTGGCCGGCAGTGCCACCGAGATCACCGAATTTGAAGCATGGATGGCGCGTGACTGGTGGCGCCATTTGAAGTCTCGCTATAATTTATAGGACAGAAATAGCATAGATCTTCTGCGAAGAGTATATCAGCATATATTTTGCTACGGATGGCAGTATTGCTAAAGAATCAATGCAGAGAAAGCACTAAGTGCATATCAAAGAGTAGATAGAGATATTAAGGTGAAGTAATATAGACGAACAAAAGAGTGGAAAGAGGGAAAGAGAAGATGAAAGAGATAGACAGGAGCAGTGAAAACAGAACAAAATAGTCAATTTTCCGCAGCAAATATGTGATATTAACCAGCTAGACAGATATCTAGATTACTATTCTGCCTTCAAAGTATGTATAACCCATCTCTTTCCAATCATTCAAACATAACCCCCTAATGAAGTCAAGTCCCATATTAACCCGTCCACTGCAGTCTTCCGATCCAGCAAATATCACAAAATCAAATAAACGTCCTACCGAATCACCAGTCCCTAGACAGCTGCGACCTTAGCTACTCCGTTAGAAGGTAGCTCAATTGGATCACCGTCACCGTCAACGGCTACGATTACGGACCGTCGCACAAAACCAGAAGAGTTGTGCTCATCTTGAACAACAATCGGCCGGCATTGTTCGGAGTTCCCGCCGAGAGAAACAACAGGGGAAAAAAGAAAAAAGAAAAAAAAAAGAAAAAGAAAGAAAGAAAGACAAGAAAAGGGTGCCTCCTTGTTTTCCAACCAAGATGGGCCCGGGGACAAGTCATCGGTCCGTGAGGGGCTGATCTGTTCGAGTTAGATGCATGGTTAGTGGGTGGACTAGATATGCATCTGGGTTGTCCTATTGGTTTTTTGAATTTTTTGTATTTTTCGTATTTTTTTTTTTTTTTCTTTGTCTTGATGGGGTGGAGATTGAAGTCTATGTTTCGCTTCAATTCTAGATGCTGCCGGGGGATGGCCCTGGTCGACGGTATCCGTCATGGTGGACAACCCATTCATTCTCCTCCATTCTTATCCCCCGAGCCAGTCAGTGGTATCGTGGCGGGCGCAGTCGAAGCCATCGAAAGCCATCACGGACTAAGCGAGGAGAGTTTGGAATCGCTCGGTTTGAATCCGATCTCTCACGGTCGGAAGACAGCAATCATGCGGGGAAAGAGAGATATCAAATGGAGAGGTCGGGATATTTCCGATACGGAGTCGATGCAAGCAATACGGAGTACTCCGTAGTATTCTCATCTCAGCTCTCTCAGCTGAGATCCCAAACCTAGATGATTCCAAATACTGGATTGCGGCTGGTCGATCCATGGCGACGATTTGGAATCCGGTGAAGTCTGAGTTCGCCATGACGCAACGCCGCATTCCATGACAAATAAATCCCTAGGTTCGACTGGAAGACGGTCGAATTTAAATACCTCGCTGTCGGCCCCAAGGTCCTCGTAAGCACCTTGTTAGTTTTGTGCTTTGTTATCAATCCAGCGATCATGCCTCTGTCCGGTCATTGTCTCTGCAAAGCAGTCACGTACACTGTCGATGTCGATCAACCGATCATCACGGGCTACGATCACTGCGACGATTGTCAACGCCAGAGTGGTTCGACTTATTGTACGTATCCTTCCAGGTATCTTCTATTGTCTATACGTGGAGACATTGTTGACAATGTCCAGCCCTCGTCGCCGTCGTCCCCAAAGATAAACTCGCCATCGACGGTCCAATCAAGAGATACACCGGTAAAGGATCCTCCGGAAAGGCGGTCCATCGCGTCTTCTGCTCCGAATGTGGCTCTCCCATTGCTCATGACCCGGACGCGGCCCCGGAAATCATCGCCCTCAAGGCTGGCACACTGGATACGGAGATCAAGAAGACTCTCAAGCCTGTATGCATCCCATCCCATTTCCCCATGACGTCACCGTGGCTTTCTTTCAAGCTGACACCGGTCGAACTTCTAATAGGATACGGAAATCTGGACGGTGAGCAAGTTGCCCTTCTGTCAGGAGCATCTGGCCAAGCCGTATGCGCATATGCCGGAGTAAAGTGATTCAAGGAGAAATAGCCTAGGCATACCGGGATACAATGGATGGTATGATAAATGGGCAATGACACCACAAGATGAACTTAGATGTTGAATGAATAAGCACTTTCTTTTCTTCCCTTTGCTTTTTTCCTTGATTTTATTTTTCATTGACCTTCTCCTCCAACTGTAAAGTAGTCTAATGATGGTTGCCGCATTAGGCATCAGAGATGCCGATATGGATTCTATATCAGACATCAAGAACAATTCCCTCGAGTAACAGCGGCTGTGTCCAATATTACTGGCCGTAGACGACATATTCCTTTGCAGCTCAATGTCGAATTCCGTCCACCATACAAAACATCACCCCATCCTCCATAGTCGTACAGCTCTGGTTCTCATATCACTCATAATTTTACCACCTACCTTACAACTTCCCTAGACCGAGCGCTAGACCGGAAGCCCACCAGGAAAGCTGCAAATAAACTTCGAACTGACACATACAAACGTCTCACAGCGACGTGGTCGGTCCATGTCGTGCCGGAGGCCAATTCGGCACTATGCCACCGCATGTGAGAGAGTATCCAGAAGGGTGGGAAGCGTGCAATGTAGGACGAACCGCGGGTTAAATGGTTCATTGGGGATCGCTATCAAAGACACTCCACTTATATCTCAGGCTGAGGGAGATCAACGGTTACACCTGGATTTCAAACGGTTTCAACGGGGAGATAGGAATCCCAGGTTCAGTTCTCGGATAGTGGACGATAGGGGCTTATGTCCACCGCTACAAAACTAAAGAAAAGGGGACAACCGGCCGGTTCATGGGAGCTCGGTCGTAGTTGCACTGATCAACGCCGTGCGTACCACCGTCCTTGCCACACCTGCATATCTCTGCCGTGTTTCTATATCTATCCCTGCGTAACGCCCTACAGGTAAAAGGGCCCAGATGGGGACTGAATGTGGGACATAGTCCATGTAACCGCTGAAGACCAAAAAGACTAAAAGGAAAAATAAAAATCATGCAGTGTTATTGCTACCTGTGCGGTGTTTCCGCTGAGCCCGGAATACACTTCGTCTCCGGTGGTGACGAGGACGCGATGGTCCGTGGGTTCAAAAGGGCGTTCATCCACCGTGATCATAGTCGGGTCAGGTAAAGAAAAACCCTTCCACTCGTATCTCTGCCTTGGCCACGGTGCCTCTCTGTATCAGATTGTCTTGCTACGAATTCCTGCGCCATGAACCCAGACAGGCAATCGAGGTCGTCTATGGACCCGCTTCCCAGAAGCGTCAAGGTTCGTTCCACATGCAATGCCTGCCAGCAAGCCAAAATCCGCTGTAGTCATGAAAAGCCATCCTGTCGACGGTGCCAGAAGCATAGGATTGAATGTATCTACAGCATGTCCCGACGACTGGGGAGGCCGGCAAAGAAAAGAGAGTCAACACACGACAGCCAATCTTTAAGCCAGGAGCCGTCGACATTCCCTCGTCACCAGCCGAGTAGAAGGGTCCGAAGTCCCAAGAAGAGCAAGGTGAAAGAAGAGTCGGTACCAGACAGCCTCAATGAGGGACACTTTCATGGTCCCGCGGAGAAGACGGCTCTTGACAAAGGCCTTCTCGATGACAGCATAATTGATGACATTGCTATCGAGGATACAGGGCTGCAAAGCTCCTCTTTTCTAGATCCGGGCGAAGCATCCCCCTTTCCGGGTCCGTCTCATATCCCTTCCTCGTGTGCCTATGACATTGCTAACGTACCACCCCCTAAAGCCTCTGATACCATTGATCTGTCCCCGGATAGCTGGCTACAAGACCTCGTTCCCATCCAGCCACCGGAGATCGGATCGGATCGGAACCTCATGCACGCGATGGGTGCCAACAACATAAACTCAGACGGAGTCTTTCCTGTAATTCCAATGGAAATCAAAGATCTACCCTGCTCGATGGGTGTAACAATTTCCTCCCCTCGGCTCCAAGAGCAACCTATGATGACAGGCTGTGATGCCACTGACAGAGTTCTCCCTTCTCTGAATGGCGATCGGTCGGACTGCACCCAAGCCATGGCTAGTGTGCCCCCATCATACGTGGAAGATCCGCACCATGATCTCCTAGTATGGCCGCAGGCTTTGTCCCCGTCAATGGAAGCATTCCCTGTCAGGCAGCCGGCAAAGATGAAACCAGTGGAGTTTTTGGCCCCGAGTAAAGCTCCAAGGCGTGGCCACGAATACAATCATCAATCCGATGATCACAGGATTGATCCCCATATCTTGATTGCTACTGCAGCCCGTCAATATCAGTGCCAGTGTCACGAACAAGCAGTTCATGAACTCATGCAAATGAACCTACTTGTCTCTCGCACCGGATCGATTGTTACCATTGACTCTATCCTCAGCTGCCAGCGAGTCCTCCAACAACTGACTGACACTGTTCTTCAGTGCGGCGTCTGCTCTAAAACCATGGTAAACCTGCTCATAGTGGTGGTTGTGAGCATTGACAGCTTGGTGACGACACTTGAAGCTATCACTTCTGTCGAGAACGGCTTGGTGGACGGTCTGTTCTGCGAGCACCCCAACTCCCGTATCCAGGAGAACCGTCCCGAAGGCAGTTCTAGTGGTAGGCGGCATAAAGGGGACGGAATGCATTTCAAGGCTCAGGTTGAGGCCTGCCCTCTGTTGGTGGGGGGATTTTGTGTCCCTGCCGACGAAAAATTCACTTTTGTTCAACAGGTGTTGCATGCTAGGTTGTGTGGATTACTGGGCACTGTTCGTCGAATCCAGTTCTTTACTCAAGAGGTTCATACCATTTCGGCGTCACAAGGCAAATTAATCATGATGATGGAGACTGATCGGAAGCTGCGGTTGATCATGATGAAAATGAGGATGCTGACCAGACGATGATGGAGGGATGAATGATGTGAATGCATGTATGCCGATTCTGACTAACTAACATTCTACCATGTGGTCATAACCATATAATTCTTTCCGAAAGACGTAACATTTGCGGACAAGCCCTGTCTGATCACGCTCCTTGGCCCTTCCAGTAGTGTAAAACACAAAACAGCCATGTCTTTCACACCATCTCCCGGTGGCTGGCATGGCATTGCCAGCAGAATGCCCGAATCACCGGACAACGCCGGAACTCAGGCAACACACGCCAGCTGTGACGTCCGATGTGACCACTCTTCCTCCCATTTGCTCTATCAGGTTATGCCAGTCACAGACGATGATCGTCACTATCGACAGCTGTGCAACCTCCTAATGGCTTCCCATGTTCCACGGTGAACTGGCGCCATAAGGAACGGACCAACAGGCCGTGTGTCCTGCATCTAGGACGAGTGTAATGTGAGGCGGCATTCCATGGCTATCCGTTCCCAAGCGCCCAAGGTCTGGGCTCTTATTGGGCTAGGATCAGAAGAGATCAAAGGACACTATGAACATGTTGCAACCTTTAGGTCGAGTTTGCCTGTTCCTAAAGGAGAACATGGCTGCGTGATTGCTGGCTTAGGAGGCAGCTGCCGTCAGTCTTCTGAGATAAGTAATAGCGACATGTATCAAGTCTGTTGATGGACCATGCACCCACCTCTCCTTCATCCGCGGAAAGGGGGGCTTACAGAGTCTGTTCATGTTTTCTCACGCCTATGGAGACCGAAGGTAGCTGCCAGTGTTCGATCAACGCTCTGCAGACCTTGACCGAGCTTCGTAACGTCCACACTGTTGTGGAATTAGGGACTATCCTTGACCTGGTTCATCGCGTTTACAGCCAAGGCCAGGTTATGCTCCAGTGCAAGGAGTGTAGACAAGCCCCTTCGTCGTCCATGGTCACCATTCCGGCACTGGCGGAGCAATGCCTTTCTCTCTTCGAAGCCGTCTGTTTGGCATACAGTATTACCCGCCAGAACACGCTTTTTGACCCCAATGCGCTGGCATTTGAACAGCCTCTGCCGCAATTCATCTGTATTCGCAGCAAGGTCCAGTTGGGAGAGACTGAGATGGATGAAGACGACTCCGGAGTACTGGTGCGGATGCTCTTGAGTCGCAATCTCATCAAGCTTGTCGAGCTCTTAAAAGCCCTGCGGGAGGTCCTGCGATCGCTATCCAAAGAAACTCCGCCGTCGCACCGAACGGGGCCTCTCCGAGCTTGCGAGTCGTCGGTTGAGTCCACTATCCGCCGATTCGCAGTTTTTATGGAGCAAATCGAGCTGGATCCCAGTAAGTCTGTCGTTATTGCCTGGGTAGCGGCAGCTAATTGCTTCAGTGTGTTGAATCAACCAACAAAAACAGAGCAAAAGATGTGCCTGATGGGATCATATTTAACAGTGCCGGGCTGTGTTGATTTGAGGCGACTTTTCAATGTAACCCAGGAAAGAGAAGAAGGCTAGAAGCTGAATGCAACCCCGTAAATAAACAGTATAATTAGTGAATTCTCCACGGTGGCAAGCAATCCTATTCATTGTGCTACCTCCATATCTATTGACACCGTTCAGTCTGTCCAGGATCAACCTGGCCTGGAAGAAACTAAGGTCCTTAAGAGAGGGCGGACTATTCGTCCGGGGAAATCAAGACCACAAATGGCCCCCAAGGTTGCTGGGAAGTTGTAGGCAAGTTGTAGAACCTCCTCGCGGGTGAAGCTGACTGTTGTTTGTATCTCGCTTGGCTACCTAAATAGGAAGGAGTTGCGCCTTACGCTCACCAGAAGCAGCCACAAGGAATCGAACCTACGCTTGCCGCTCTAGGTGTCTACATGCACCTAGGGTATTTATTAGGCGTCGCGAGACCACAGAAGTGCCAGTTGAAGAACTGAAGCCTCGATCGCCAGGTTCTAAGCAGCCGCTCTTGGTAAGAGAAAATGTATCTGGTACCTCAACCGGCCCCTCTTGCGCTATGCCGGATGATGTCACTGGTACAATCTCCCGCCCCGTGATTGGCCCATGCTTCTATAGATCGCAGGAGGCCAATCAGCGACGACAACAGTTCCGCTGCTTCCGTAGATAGCTGAGTCAGGCACTCTTTCCTGAGGCATCCACTGCGTAATATTCCATGGTCGCAACTTTCGTGATGTTTCATTTTCCGCAGCAGATCTACTCCTGCCATGGTGTTGTTGTGAGGATCTGCTCGACTTTGTGGCCCTCATTCCCTCTTTTCTCCCTTTCCGTATTGCCAAATGGCCTTCGCCTCTTCTATACCGGGCTCTCTGCCAGAGGCTGGGCGACGCCCTCCGCGCTATCCTGGCGAGGATACCACACCGACAAGTCGACAAGAGATTTGGGGATGGTATGCCTATGGTATTGCGGCGGAGGTCTTTGCCGTCTGTGGCGTAGGTATGGAGCTCTATCTTTTTTTCTTAATTTTCTTATTATTGTTTTATCCCTCCGTCCACCTCAATACTAATCAAAGCATAGGCTCCTTCCTACCTCTCACCTTGGAACAACTGGCACGCGAACGAGGGACCTTCAAATCCAGCCATCTCCCGTGTATAGGGCCGGGCTCTCCTTCTGCTACTCCTGGAAATGGAACCGCTCCGGCGCTATTCCGGCGCGATGGGACAGACGAGCAATGTGTAGTCGGGTTGTTGGGTCTCCAGATTAACACCGCTAGTTTCGCCATGTACACCTTTTCTCTGGCAGTGCTTGTCCAAGCGCTTACCTTGGTGTCATTTAGCGCTCTGGCAGACTACGGTATGGTCTATATTTGCCCTATTCCATGACCTTTCGGCTGACCGTTGACGATCTCCTTGCTGGTTCTTTTTATTCTTTCAATGCAGAGAATAACCGTAAAACGCTTCTGCTGGCATTCGGGTTCATCGGATCCTTGACCAGCATGTTGTTCATAGTGATCGCGCCTCCGGTCTTCGTCCTGGGAGCGCTGTTGGTGGTGATTGGCGTAACCTGCCTCGGCTCGTCTTTTGTGGTCCTCAATTCCTTTTTGCCTGTTTTGGTGGCCAACGACCCGTCCATTCAAGATGCAACCAAGGAATCGGAGGAGGAGCTGCACCAGCTTGATCCCAACGGAGACTTTTCTCCCCACAGCGATTCGTTCGCTTGGAACGAGACCGAATCCGGAGCTCATGCTTCCTCACGACGGGGGCCGGGAGACACATCGAAGTCATCGCCGGAGCTGCAGCTGTCGACGCGGATTTCGTCCAAGGGAGTAGGTTTGGGCTACTGTGCGGCAGTTTTGGTGCAGATTCTGAGCATCACCCTCCTCTTCACCCTGTCGAAAACGTCCATCCCCAAGGCCTCGGGGACGCTTCCTATGCGACTCGTGTTGCTACTGGTGGGGGTCTGGTGGTTTTCCTTCACCATGGTGACGCGGCAATGGCTGCGCATCCGCCCGGGACCCCCGTTGCATTCGGCCACGGCTGCTGGTGGACACAGCCGTCGCTGGCGCGCGTGGCTGGGACTGGTGGCATTTGCTTGGAAATCGTTGTGGAAAACCGTCAAGGTCGCGGTACAGCTTCGCGAGGTACTAATTTTTCTGGTGGCATGGTTCCTGTTGTCAGACGCAATGGCTACGGTGTCCGGCACGGCGATCCTATTCGCGCGGACGGAGCTGAAGATGAGCACCCCGTTGATCGGATTGTTGTCGGTCACAGTGACTCTCTGCGGTATGGCAGGGGCGTTCCTGTGGCCAGTGGTGTCACGGCGCTTTGGACTCCGGTCCAACCAGACGATCATGGTTTGCATTGCGCTGTTCGAACTCATCCCTCTGTACGGCATGCTGGGTTACATCCCACTCTTCCAGCGATGGGGAGTCATTGGGATCCAGCAGCCGTGGGAGATTTTCCCTCTGGCGGTGGTGCATGGGGTGGTCTCTGGGGGGCTGTCCTCATACTGTAGATCGTTCTTTGGACTGCTGATCCCACCGGGTAGCGAGGCGGCGTTTTATGCACTGTACGCAGCGACGGACAAGGGGAGCTCGTTTATTGGGCCGGCCATCGTGGGGATGCTGGTTGACGCGACGGGCCAGGTGCGGGCCGGGTTTTTCTTCATTGGGCCTTTGATCTTGATGCCAATCCCCTTGATCTGGATGGTGAATGCCGAAAAAGGTCGGCGAGACGCAGTTACCATGGCAGAACACATAGCGAGGGGAGATGGAGGGATTGAGCCGACCGAGGAAGCCGAGAGCTTGCTCTCTCGGCATCTGTGACGTATGCATGATAGATGCAGTGATGAGTCTATATATAGATATCTAGATAGCAAATCAAATATCAAGCACTACATCTTGCACCCACTCCTCCCTGTCTCATCCTTGGGCACTTCCTCGTACGCCGCAAACGTGGACTCGCTCATGAACGGACACCTCCCACGAATCTCAGGGCCCTTCCAGACCAAAACGACAGGGACCAACGACAGGGCCACGCTGATGAAGCCCATCAACGAGCCGGCCCATCCATATCCCAGGTTCTCGAACAGCTGGTACGAGGCCAGCGGCGACGCCGCATACCCCTCATCAGCATCGGTCAAGTAGTTCACCACGGCCATGTAGATGAGTAGATCCCCAGCCCGGTGACTGCTACGCCACAGGTCGGCACGATCCAATGCACATCCGAGAAGCTTACCTAGCCGTACCAGAACAGACCTCCCGCGAAGAGCAGACTCCCCGAGATGGAGGTGTACAGCCGTGCTTCTGGTATCGGACGACCAGGAGATTCAGCATTTCTCCGCGCCTAGCGAAAATAAATCATATCCTAGAGAGGATCAAGATGCCGATGAGTGCCCCCACGGAGATAACCAGCGTAGCGAAATTCTGCGCAAAGGCAGACGGAAAAAGCGAGACGATCAGTATAAAGGAGGCGACTAAGTAGTTAGCCGGGCATGCGACCGGAGGACTCGGTCAGCGACTCAAAGATCAGCGGCCAGAAAGCAGCGCCTATGTTCCACGAGGTGATGGCCCAGGACAGATTAGGGAAGGGAGTGTTTTGTATGTGAAATTGTTTGTTCCATGAATTTATTACCGGCGCTGCAGGAAGCGGCGGGGATGCCAGTGAGGATGGATCTATCATTATGAGTTGATAGAAGTAGAAGGGACGGAGAAAAGAAGGGAAGCAGAAGACACATGATACACACGGTAATGGTCAACGTCCATGTATACAAGGTACTCCAGTTGAATCTAGACAGTCATCAGTCATCAATCATCAATCATCAATTATCAATCAATTATAATCATTCACGCACGGATTACCCGGATCATCTTTCCCTTGCTAGGGATGCAGTTCCAGATCCTCCTATCACGCAGGTCATTGTGACCAACCACTCTGACATGACGATCTCGATGGAAGAACGATCGCACTCTGCATATTTCAGTCCTGAATTATATACATGTATTCATATATCATCCATTTGAGAGGTGCCAACCCAGAAAAGAATCGTCAAAGTCGTTGGATGCGAGGTACCAGCCCGACTAATGGCCGGGCGGTCTGTTGACATGACTTCAGTATACTAGAATGGTATACTACCCAGTATACTATCTATAGTTACTGCTTCGATATTACGGTCTACTCGGTTTATATGCGCGATCGACAACTTTATTGGCCATAACAGGTCTGAAAGCATCTCATGTCGTCATGGATTTAACGCATTCGTCCCATTCAGTCGCCCGGTTTGCTCGGATATCATGACATCATACTCCACCGGCTCACGTATTTATACTCCTGTATACTCCTCTTCATTAATCCCATTCATCCATCCTCCATCACTCCATTCATCAATCCACCATCCATTAGTATTCATCCAACCTTCAGAAATGCCCGTCTCCATCCCCACAGCTAACTCCCTCCTTGAGCTTTTCAGCCTGAAAGGCCGAGTCGTTGTCGTGACCGGCGCTTCCGGTCCACGTGGCATGGGTATCGAAGCCGCCCGGGGCTGCGCCGAGATGGGCGCCAACGTAGCCATCACATACGCCTCTCGCGCCGAGGGGGCCAAGAAGAACGTGGAGGAGTTGATCAAGACCTATGGGGTGAAAGCAAAAGCGTACAAATGCGACGTGGGCGACTACAACAGCGTCGAGGGGGTCGTGCGCGATGTGATCGCGGAATTCGGCCAGATCGATGCTTTCATCGCCAATGCGGGTCGTACTGCCAGCAGTGGTATCCTGGATGGGTCCGTCCAGGACTGGATGGAGGTCATTCAGACCGATTTGACCGGGACTTTCCATTGCGCTAAGGCCGTGGGGCCCCATTTCAAGCAGCGGGGGAAGGGCAGCTTCATCATCACTTCTAGCATGTCTGGTCATATTGCCAATTTTCCCCAGGAGCAGACCTCATATAATGTTGCTAAGGCGGGATGTCTTCATCTGGCGCGCTCGTTGGCTAATGAGTGGAGGGACTTTGCTCGTGTGAATAGTATCTCCCCTGGGTATATTGACACGGGTCTGTCGGACTTTGTGGATCAGAAGATTCAGGATCTCTGGCTGTCGATGATTCCTCTTGGTCGGAATGGTGATGCTAAGGAACTTAAGGGTGCCTATGTCTATCTTGCGAGCGATGCGAGCTCCTACATGACTGGAAATGATATGCGCATTGATGGAGGATACTGCGTACGGTGATCGGGATACTTTGGTTTATGAAATTCGATGTATGAATGAGATAGTACGTATGAATGATATATATGGTTTCTATATCCCATCTTCCTGTCGAGTGTCTATCTGCTATGTTCGTAGCGGACAGATTGGGAGTAGAGAGATACTTGCATACTCGGTCCAGATGCATACAAGATAAACAAGATAGGTGATAAGATAATCATCGTTGATTCAATGTCTACACCGGCACTCAATATGTTTTCAATTGCATGTACAAGAATCAAACACTATCTATAGAGGCAACAGTTTACTATTCCCATAGAACAGACATACGAATAGTCATCGATATAGATTATAGTTGACACTATCAACATCGGCCTACAGCCACCACATCCTCCACTGACCCGCCTATGCATTGTTGGCGCAAGAAAAGCTAGCGCTACTGGGATTGTCGTGGAGCGCCTTTCCAGACACATACAGTCCCAGACCACACTAACATCGTCAATACGGAGACCAAAAGCAAACCGCAGATCGAGTCCTGCACTTACCAGACAACCCCCAATGCCGACGATAATCAAGTTCAGGATCGTCAGGGCGATCTTCCGCCCTGAGGAAGTATATCGTCCGTAGTTCAGGAAGAGCCAGAAAATCCCACTCATTCCATCTGTTCGATATCAGTGTCATTCTCGGGAATGTATATAAATACAAATGTGTACAGAAAGGGAACACACATGTAAACCAACTCGCAAAGAGTGCCGTCTGCAGATTCCGCGTTAGCTTACCGCCAGTCTGGTCAACGAGGGCTCATCTTACGATCAAACTCAAGAGGTTGTTGAATACTGGAATCGCCTCGGCAATGATCCACGCCAGCGTCCAGAGCACAATGCCAATCAGCACCCAGGTGCCCAGCGATACCAGGTTGCGCTTCTGCATACGATCGGTGCCGCGGAAGAGACGCACATAGATGTACTTGCATGCGACGTGTCCATTAATGACGCCGGCAATCACAATCTACTAGCCTGTCAGGTCGGAACAACCACACGAGGTATAGAGATGGATCGCATGTCACTTACAGTCGGAATGGCAATCCCGTAGGCGATCTTCGAGATCAACGGGCTGGTCGATCCCAGCGCCGGGGACTTCACGTCCTTCCCACCGTAGTAGTAGATCACGATGGCCGTGACGGCGTACATGCTCGTGTCGGTAGCTTGCAGCATATACAGCGTCTTGGGGTAATCCGTCGGTATCGCCATCTCCGAGATGAAGCCGAAGAAGGCGACATGGCCGGCTAGATCCGGTTACCATCTCGTTCCCCTAAGGAAACAATAGAAAAGAGTGCAGGCCTACCGTAGGCAAAAACAATGTTCGTCACCGCTAAAAAGCCCTTATACAGGCTGGTATCCACCGTCGTATCGATCTTTCCCTTGCCCGGGCGCTGGATCGCGATGGCGATCATGGTGATCAGCACCGCGGTCAGAATACTGATAAATGCTGTCTCCGCATTAAACCCGACCGTCGAAATCGCAGATCCATCGGAAGATCACTCACATGAGATCGACATCCACGACACTTTTTTCAGCGTGCGCGGCAGGGCCAAGATGAAAGAAATGATCAAACCGACGACACCAAAAACAATAGAACACGTCCCATGGTCCGTCACGGTATTCATCATGACGATGAAGGTGAGGATATGGCTGCCCATGATGAAGACGAGGAAGAGCAGCTGAGCGGTTCCCAGTAACTCACGGCCGAAGCTCCCCATCATGACCTCGCCGGCGTCCGCCATGCTATGTACATGAGGATAGCGTAGCTTGAACTGGCCGATCACATAACCGGTATAAGTCGCAACGATGCCAAGGCCCACAATAAGGACGACAGCCCTATAGGAGATGAAACGTGCCACAAGGCTTGTTATCAGCCACCCAAGACGCCAAATGTCTTGAGACGGGAAGGCAGTGCCAATGGAGAAACTCACGGAGCCAAGCCGAGCGTCGCTACGGCCGACGGGAGCGACAAGATACCCAGGGAAATGGTTTCGGCGATCATAACTATCGCATTAGATTTAGCGAGCTTGGAGGTGCATCTCGATGGCGCTTAAACCTACTCATCCCGCATTGCCTGGTATGGAATAGAACGGTTAACGAGGCTTCCGATCGCCAGGACTGAGTAGTACATTGGAACGAACGGCGGGAGGAAAACCTACCACCAATGCAAGGTGCGATATTTAACCTCAGCAAACTCCTCATTTCCAAATGGATCATCATCATAGTTTGGGACGGGATCCTGGTACTGATGTTTCTCCTGTTTAGCCTCACGGTCGGGGAAGTCATCCGCCCGATAGATGGACGACTGCATGGTTAGTGATGAAGGTAGCCGGGAGGACAAGGAACACAAAACAAAATAAAAGGGGAGACAAGGACGAGAACAAAGTTACCACATGGGGGCATAGCGGAAAGATATGAAAAAAGCCACGTTCAGGCGAAAAAGCGCCTCCACGTCAGCGGCACGTCGAAATGCGACACAACTGCGGAGAAGAACGGAGAAGAATACTACGATGGCCAGTCTGATCCAGCTGAGCGCCTTCCTTCTCCAAGGATTGGTGGCGGTTAGGACCGCTAGTGGATGAGCCATGGATGATAGATGGCCCCATCCTCTTCACGTGGAGAGAGCGAAAGAGAGAAAGTCTGGGGAAGAACTGGAGAAATGAAGACCCGGAATGGGGGCTGCATGTTGGGAAATCGATCGCATTGGTTAATAGAAAAGGACTGGCATTCGCTAGGTTCTAATAACAGGCAGCCAGTTTTCACTTGGCTCATCTGGTCTATGGGGTATTGTGTGACGTCCATCCAAACCAAAGAAAGGGAGGAAGAAAGACAGAAAAAGGGTGAAAGAAAAGAATATCATAGGTCTATCATGTCATATCTCATACCATCGTTGCAGGGCATTCCCGGTCGCGCAGGCGCAGTTGGATCCCAGCCTCGACACATGCGGTGTGCAACGTCTGTGCCATCTCGTAAACCCGCGATTTGATGACCTTCTCGCCGCCAGTAGCCGTGTCCGCCTGGTATCCAGATGCATCCTCGTCCTCCTCGTCATGAAAGAACCCTTCGATATCCAGCTGACGCAGGCCGAGGAACCGGGTTTTCCGCTGGCCGACCACCAACTTCAGTTGTCCAATCAACATCCCCAGCGACTGCTCCTTGCAGCCCTCCACGGCCAGCGATTCTACCGACGGCGGGAGGACATCAGGTAAAGCGGTGGATGGTTCGGGCTGGTACCGGATATCCAGCAGGTTGGGCAGCCGGATGCGGAGGTCCTTCAATACGGTGAATTCCACCAAGGGCCCAAACCACTCGTCATGAGTCTCATTGGCCCCGGTAATCGTGAAGGGCAGGTGTGTCCCGTAGCTGTCCAGCCACAGCGTCTGAAGACTGCCTTTGCTTCCGGCCAGCGACCGCGCAAACGCCGCCGGTTGGTAGGCCTCGGACTGCAGGTGGGAATCCGAGTGCTGGTATTTGAACGACTGGAGGGACGAACAGGAGGCGATCAGTCCTTGCATCCCCTTGGAGCCATTGCTCGATTGCAATGTGATCTCCGAAATCTTCGAGGTCCCCGTGGGTGGCCACTCGCTGCTGGGGGCCTGGGACTCGATCACCGAATCCGCCGTCAACGTTCGCATACACGGTAGTTGGAAGAAGGGGAGGATCTGGGATGGTAGATAGCTGCCGGGGCTATCCCCCTCGGTCTCCATGTGACGTAGCGACACTTCCTGCAGCGCCCCGAAGGCCGGCTGGCTGTCGAAGGGCCTCTCTCCCTTCATGGCCCGCTGCAACGTACGGTCCAGGTACACGCTCTCCTTAGGATACACCAGCCGGAGCTGCCTGACGTTGGCCACGAGCGGCAGGACAAGGGCAATCCACGCCTCCTCGACGCTGTTGGCAAGATCCTGCTCCCATTGCACATGCTCCTCCTCCGAATGGCTGACCGCCTGCGCCCAGTTCTTATATAATGTCCAATCCGCCTCCCAAGACGATGGGAAGGGAGGCGGAGAGACAGACGTCTGCTTCCAGTCTTCAAAGTACATGCTCCGCACAGCCCGAGCCAGCTCGGGTCGACGCAGAATGGCACCTAGGAAAGATCGCGTTTGCGGACCATTCTTCAAGGTCACCATTCGATACACCAGGCGCAGGAAAAGGTCATGAAAGCGACGGCAGACAAAGACCAGACGGTAGCGGTCCCGGTGGTCTTGCAAAAACTCCCCGACCAGGAGGAGGACGTCATCGGGCAGAGGGAAGGACATGGTAAAATAAAGGGACCGTCTACCCCGGTGTCACGGGGAAACAATACAATTGTGACGGCCTTTCGAGGATGGGTCAGTTGATGAATACAATCGCCCAGACGTCACGACGGGCCATTCTTTAATATGGCCACCCGCCAAGCGATAAGCTTAACATCCAGCATGGAAAATTCTTCTGCTTCCATAGCCCTAACAGTTAAGCCCTTCCATTCCCGAGCGATCATTCGAAGAAAAGGGAAAAAGCGGGCCAAATGGGACACCCAGAGCCACTGTGGGCGGATTCGGCGGCAGACTTCGGAATCTTAACTGGAGATCGCTTGACTTGCTTCAATCCACGGTTCCCTCTCACTGCGGACCATGGGGGACAAATACTATAGGGTTAGACCGTTAGAGAATTGAGATTTCAGTCCCGCTGAATTGATGACCCTCTATTCTCCACTGCGGCGCACATTCAATTGCTATTCATACAAAAGAGATATGTAGATAGATGGGCCGCATCCATGGCCAATCCATTTCCGTCATGTCCTGCAGTGGATCTACTCGATTAGAGCGATGAAGTATCAATTAACCCGATCCCATTTGCCACAAAAGCGACCACCAACGTCGGATGGGTCTTCATCACGACTTTCAGGCAGTGGATGTGCGACGATCCTGATTTCACATTTGGGATTAGCCCATAGATGATAGTCGGCCCCTGTAAACTTCGCATACGGGACGAAAAATGCAGACAATTCATTTTTGCCATTGAACCCGCGGGTAGATGGAGATTTTTTAGGTTCTTCCTATCCACATTTGCGGCAAGCTCGGAAGAAACCCGTGGATGCTTATACCGAATTGAGTAGCTGAGACATTGTTCAAACAGTCTGGTCCCGTCAATGGTGACAATTGATTATTAAAGCGGTGTCTCCTCACGTTCTCATATTCTCATGTTCTCATATACTCCGAAGAAGTCTGCAAAGTCGTACGAAAGAAGAGTTCATAGACTCTGAGACAGTAGACCTGACTGTACTCCGTATAACCAACACAACTACTGGGGCGTACACATCTATGAAATTCAACCAAGAGTGGACGATGCATGACGAAAGAGCACAGCTGACGTGCAGTAGTCCAGCTTGAGAAGTGATCTAGGAAAGCATCGCGAAGTGGAAGTTCACCACTGATCGTCGTGGCCCCTGGCCAACTGTATAGATGCCCCGTCTTTTCAATTGTTATTACTCCGTATGATTATTGTCCTTGCCTCTTGCAACAATGTAAAAATCGCCTCGGGTCTTCCAGAGTTTGCAGTCGGTGGATCCGGAGTCGGCAGGCCTGCTTCTTCGGGCGAATAAGTGGACTCTTTTGCCATCTCGGTGGATCTGGCGCCGACCTTCTACAAATAGCAATCTGATAATCTTCAACGCACTGTGCCACCGTGAGTCGCATCTGTCAGAAGGATTTAGTGGGACATTCGATGCTCGAAATTTGAGTCAGCTTCGCCGCGGGGTCCAAAATCGCTACGGGGGGAATCACAGAACTGCCATTTTATCTCATGAGCCGAGGAAGAATGAAGAACTTATCGTCAACGCCAGGACTGTAAGGTATTAGCATTGTTTCCTTATTAGGAGATGATCTGTAGCCTTACCTAGTCATAGAATAAATGCAGGAGAACGCGTCTAGTATTTACTAGAATGGTCGTCTGCTTGACTACCTCTGCGTTATGGGTCATTTCCCGTCGTAAGCTGACCAGTGACACGGTGATTTTCGGAGACTGCAGGAATTTGACAGCAGTTTAATAATGATCTTTGTTAACGAAATTCAAAAACGGTTTTTTTGGGGGGGGTTGACCCTTGACACTCTCTGAGATGTTCGTCATTCTTGGTCCTGGAATAGTGCCTGATATTTGGAGCTGGATCCTCCTAAATCGCAATTAAGACTCCAGGGCACCCCCTCCCATAAAATAAGAATGAAACACCAGAGGGTGACATCATGGACAAAACCACACTTCTGGGGTAGAGCTGAAATGCAAAGTAACCATGAATGTCAAGAGAGAAGCTGCCATGTGAGCGATTTATTTTACATCATGAGTGATTTAAAGGGATTGACGCTGCCTTATTTCAATTTATGCATGCCACTATTAACAAACGTCACGTCACGGTATAGTTTCAGCCACAGGTCAGTTGTTCATTATCAGAGAAACATAGCTCATACCGAACTACACCATTGTTCTGGTCCCATAATGAGTATGAATAAACATGCCTACACTATCTCGGTACTCCGGCGACAAAAACAGGACGAACAAATCGGGACATCAGCCGTTGCTGCCGCCAACTTCAGTTGTTGTTGCACGATGTCTGCCTCGCCGGTCCGGCCAAGCTTCCTCAAACACTCATGGTAGCCATGCAATGCCCAGACATTGTTGGGGTGCTGCAGCGGTCGGGGCAAAGTATCATCCATGCCGAGATCTGCCTTGTACACTGCAGCTGCGTCTTCAACGTGTCCTTGCTCAAGTAGAAGTGCGCCATATGCATGTCGAGTCGGCTGCATCCATCCCCACGGCTCATCGTAGGGTAGCCCATCATCCAAAGCAATCGATTGTCGCAGGTATTCAAAGGCGGCTTGGAAGTTCCCGCGACGATACTCAAGCTCCCCGTCCAACATGGCACTTGCAACCGCAAAAATGTCCACGCATCGATTGTTGAACAACATCCGGCCGGGTCCAACCCGTTTCAGCGCTTCCCGAAACAAGTTCCGTGTGGTGTCCGCCTCATCTACCTTCCCCGTAGCAGCCAGTGCAACTCCCTTTGCGTAATGTATCATTGCCGTCGTCACGCAATAAAGATCGGGATCCTGTGGGAGCTCCAGTTCAAGAATGTCACGCCACCGCCCGAACCGGATAAGTACATGTACTCTCATTGAGAGAAACCCTTCTAGCCAATCAGCCATTGGGGGGGATTCAACACGGAGAAGCTCCTCGGGGATCGACGATTCCAACTCTGCCACGGTGTCCAGTGCAACCCTAGACTGGCCGGCGAACATAGCACCATAGATGCGAAAATGGTAGTTATGTGACCGATAGAGAGTGTAGAAGTTGACAGGGCCTGCACGGGCGAGAAACCTCTCGTCCGCCTTGATGGCTTCAGAGTTGGACGCGACCGCTCGTCGATAGTCACCGCATAGAATATCAAGGTGACTGGGCATATGGTTGAGATGCCCAGCATCAGGCACCAATCCACGCAAATAGTCTGCGGCCGTCAGTGCCGCTTCCGGTGCACCCGACATCTCCATCAGATGGATGTACATGTGCAGAAGGCCTGGGTGGCTTAGAGCTCCCTCTTGCGCCAATGCCCGGTCCAGCACCGTCTTGATCTCGTTGGTGCGGGCGTTGGGAGCTGGCTGCCCAGTCTGCAAGTCCCACAGCTCCCACGGGGTGAGATTCATCAAGGCATCAGCATATAGCGTTGCAACGTCCAAGTCATCCGGGAATCTCTGGTAGACGCCCGTCATCGCATCCGCATAGCCCTGATTCCAAACTGAGCAATCACCTGTCGGCTGACCCTGCGGGTATCGATGCTGAAGAGCTTCGATGAGTGCCGATTCCACGGCCCTCGCTATGACTATATTTTCCTTTGCGTCAGCAACTGCCTGATGAGTGCGCTGTACGGTTATCTCCAGCTCGTGCTGGTCAAAGAATTGCCAAGGTTTGTTGTAATTTGGGCCCAATGTATATGCCAGGCCCCAGTATGCCATGGCGCATTTCCGGTCATGGGCAATGGCTTGCTTGAAACAGTTGGCAGCTTCTTCATGGTTGAATGCATAGGTCCAGATAAGCCCGCGGTCAAACCAGGTTTGAGCCTGAGGGCTTGAGGTGCTCACTGGTCGATGGAAGGACCCGAGGTTGTAGTAAGCGTCCGAGGGGTTGATCGGAACCTGTTCATTGTGGCCGCTCATTTTGACCCAAGTGTCTGCAATAGTCATCTGTCAGACAGAAGCACGTTTATCGTCAAGCATGCCCTGGCGCTGTGGATGTGAGATGGTGAAAGTCGAATGGAAGCCTACCAAAGTGGGGTCAGTTCACGGGATCACGAGAGCAGTGGCGCTACAGTTGCAGCAACATCAGAGACAACACAACTATATCCATATACACACACTTGCAGGGGATATCACAGTAGTTTTCCACTCTATCTATTTGGCTTAGGTGGCTGAGTAGCTAACGAGAACATTTAGATGTGTCCATGCCACACGTAGTTGGGTAGACCGCACAGCATTGTCTTTTCCAGAGCTAGAGGGCGTTTCAAATCAAAGAAGGCCGGGAAAAGACGCGTCTTCTGTTCCTTTCTCTATCGTGGTCTGCAGAATCCGCACCGCCATATCCCCCAAATCATATCCAGAAGCCATCATTGAAAACGCCTCGTGCAAGAAACAAGGAAATAAGATGGAGCTTCGATAATCAGTTCATCAAACTCCTTTAGTGACTTTTCTCTCAACCATCTTCGCATACATATATCTTCCCGGTGAGTAATTAGCTGGTATATGTATCTTCACCCGGCCTTCACTCGGTGTTTCGTAAAGGACATCCACTCGCTCGGCTCTCTACCGCAACCCCAGATCTGTCATCTCGACACTATCTGCTGAGCCCATCCAAAGGATATTATTGCACCTGCTCAAGCATCTCGTTAGCATGAACCTTTGATAGAGTAAACCCGACATGACCGGTCACGGCAGGCAATTGTCAACAGAATTATCCCCGTCCTGGCAAACACAACATCAAACGCACCTAATCAGAACGAGACCCAAGGTACCCGTGTTTTTTCCATCAATGAATTCCTCCGTATCCCGCAGCAGCACGTTCATGTACGAGTCGATGCTCTCCAGCTTGCCCTTATATTCGGTTTGACCCCATTTGAGACGGATTATGAGTTCGGTACCCACCCTGCAACATAGAGTCAGAATAAAAAGTTTCCAACGTTGTTTGCGCACGGTTATGAAATCGGAAGGTCGACATAGCAGCTAATGCAGCTGTTAAAATCCGGAACGGGTTGGAGGGCCTACCTAGCCTGCAAGAAGGGCCGAGGATTGACCGGTTGGAACTGCAGAAAAAATCACATTAGAATATTCTACCAAACCAGCGGGTAGCATAGACTCCCAGTAATAATAGATACAAAGGGAGAGAAGGGATACGAACACTCATTGTTCAGATGTTCTGCTCAATTTCACTCTGCAGGTGCTGGAAGGCGCGATACTTTGTGGTCACTGACAGCAACACAGCCACAAATAGCAATGACCAGCTAGATAGGAAGTATTCCTCCTCCAAGAAAGGCAATGATTCTGGTGGTGTGTTGGACGGGGATGCTCGCAGTCACCAATTGACGGAAGGTTCTCCGTCCGCGAAAATGTGATGTGCCCACAGAAATGGACCAATCACAGCGATGTATACTCTACCGCCTTCATCCCAGCCTTGGAAACATTGCGTTTTATGTGATAGAAAATCTCTTTTCTCCAGAATCAGGTCACTTATTAAAATAATACATAATTGACTTGACCTACCACAAGGGACACTGATGCTGCTCTCTTGTCGCCAAAGACATTGTTGGAGACCTACTGTATTAGTATGGTCACGTGGTATCTCTTAGTCACCCATCTAGATAGTTAACTTAGTCAGCTCGCCCGAGCCCCTTGAATTTAACCTGACCTGACCTGGAGAGACTCAAGAGAATTGTTCCTCGCGACCAGGCATGTGGCATCACGTGATATCCCACATGTGCGGGACGGAAAAATGTGCTGCTCCGGTCTCGGAGGGGCAATAGGTGGAATGTACAGGCCAAATTTGAGTCATTTCAGGAACACTCGACGATCCACGAAACTCTCCGATTTCCTCCTCCAAGATACCTACATTGACAATGGCAGACATGAGCGCAAGCGAAAGGCTCGCCCTTATCACAGAAAACCTGCAAGAGGTGCTCAATCAGCCTCTGATTGAGGATATCCTCGCAGAGGGGGGACACCCAAAGATCTACTGGGGTATAGTGTTTTCCACTATTATTTCTGCCACAAGTTCCAAGCATTATGCTAATATTCTCTTTCACGATAGGAACTAGCTCGACTGGCAAACCCCATTGCGGATACTTCAGTACGGATACCCTTTATGATCACCGACGACAACAACACTGAGTCTAATACGTCTATCTATGCAGTACCGGCAGTGAAAATTGCACAGTTTCTAGCAGCTGGCTGCGATATTACTGTACTTATAGCTGATATTCACGCGTACCTTGATAATCTGAAGGTATTCAGAAGCTGTCCTTGAGACTGAGCTCCTGCTAATATATGTGTGAAAGGCACCACTTGAGCTTGTCGAATACCGGGCGAAATACTATCAGTTCATAATTACCGCCATGCTGCAGGCTGTTGGTGTTGCAACCGAAAAACTCAAGTTTGTACTTGGCAGCTCTTATCAAACGAGTTCTAAATATGTCATGGATGTTTACAAGCTATCCTCCTTGGTTACTGAGCACGAAGTAAGTCACCCGCAAACAGGGTTAAACACATCACTGATTTTTCTTCCAGGCCAAACGAGCCGGTAGTGAGATCGTGAAACAGTCGAATGCTGGCCCTCTGAGCGGCCTTCTCTACCCAATTCTCCAGATTTTAGGTCAGTAGATATATTCAAGAATAGGTGGAACTAGTTTAACCGCGTTCAACAGACGAAGAACACCTAGGCTGTGATGCGCAGTTTGGAGGTGTGTTTGCTCGACAATGCAGTCTTCTTAACCAGGATTGTCAGGAAAGCTGACTCCGAGCAGGAGTTGATCAGAGGAAACTATTTGCAGCATCTATTGATTGGAGCTCAAAAGTGGGCCATAGACGTGTTCGTGAATCAAGTCATTATATTGCTAAGCTGTGATACTTACATATATTTTAGCGCGCACACCTCATGAACCCCATGGCCCCTGGGTTGACTGGTGGTAAAATGAGCTCCAGTGAAGAGGGTATGAACCCCCACCCTCAAGACAAAAGAAACAAGGTCATGGTAACACATATTAGATAGCAAGATCGATCTACTCGAAGCCCCGGAAAGTGTGAGGAAGAAGATTCGCAAAGCCCAAACCGCCCCGCGAGAAGTTGAACACAACGGCATCCTTGCATTCGTACAATACGTCCTTCTTCCGGTTTCCAAATTAAAGAATGGAAGCCCCGAGTTCCGCGTTAGTCGTGAGAGAGATGGTCTAGAGCCCCTCGTCTACACTAACATTGAGAAGATGCATGAAGATTACAAGAATGACGTCGTATGTTTACAGAGCTGTCTTATCGAGACCCTATAAAATTACTCCAATGCTGACATGTTTATAGTTGACACCCCAGCTACTCAAACCTTGCGTAGCGGATGCCTTGATCGAAATCATGGCACCGATGCGGGCAGCATTTGAAGCATCGCCCGAGTGGCAGGAGGTCGCAATAAAAGCGTACCCCCCAGTTCAAAAGCAAAAGAAGGAGAAAAAGCAGAAAGACAAAGGAACTCGTCACCCTGGTGCGATGAAGGAGGAGACACCGAACCCCGCAGAGAATCAATAGATCTTGAAAAAAAAAAAAATAGAGGACTTGGTATTAGTACATAGAGAGTAGAATCAATAGTCGCCTGTACACACAAGACAACCCGGTAAATTCAAAGAATCTTAATTAAACAAGCTAGAAAACTATCGAGTCAAATTTGGATGGCATCAAGCTCGGTCGATTGAGGCGCATGGCATAAAAAAAGCTCATTACGCCCTTCCTAGCTCCCAGCTAATCTCTTTAATGGCAACTTCGTCCCCTGCCTTTTCATCATAATCATACCACTCCCCCTCAGATAAATCAATAGCCGTAAACGGTGTCGAAGACTCGACACCCGTGGCTTCCCATTCACCCTATTTTATCCCAGTTAGTCAGGCCCGGCTTAGAGATTAAGAGTGCACTAACATCGGGTTTGAACTCAGTAAACTCTAGTCCACGACAGTCGATATCGATTACTTTCTGACCTTTACGTTTGTCGGCAGGTTCATAGACATTTGGGCCGGCTACAATTGAGGCCGAATGGGTTTTCTGCATCGTGAGTTAGCGCTGGCAAGTGAATCACATCAACTTGGGAGAGCGGGTTCAAAAACTCACCTGGCAAAGCTTGCATTTCCACACAAAGTTCGCTTCTCCACGGCTTCCAGGGATTTCGTGTTGCTCCTACATCATACAGGGTAAGAAGGCGAAATATCTGAATGAACGACAAACTTACAAAGCGGCTGAAGCTGACCCAGTTGGGGTGAATCTCCCGGCAGCCAGTGCATTGGACCTTAAAAGTATAGTAGTAGGGTTCTTCTTCAGTATCGCGGGGGCGAAGTTCGGTAACTCTACGGAGGATTAATAGTCATTCAAGGGCGATGAGCTGTTCGAACCATGTCCAGATGAGGTGCGGGGAGGACTGGGGAATGTGCATGAGGGAAAGGAAAAGGATATCGCAAGAATTAAAATAGCCATCTTACCCGGTAAGTTCAGCGGAGATGATGAGAGAGAGCATTCTGGCCGTTTGAAGCGATGGTGCGTACCTTGTGGCCGTGGTTTGATGCCGGAATGTTCGAAGAAAGTCTTGTCGGTGCGGGGTGTGAGAGAGATCGCATGTTACCCGATTCTAGGTCCGCGAAGGGCAACAGACATTGAGCCCCAATGATTAGTATGCACATAAAAGGATCTGGATGCAATAAAAGGCTCTAAATTATTAAAAAGCACCTAAGACTAGCTATTTATCTAAATCCCACAGAGTCCTATGGTAGTAGTCAATAGTTAAGCTAGTTAGCTCACATACAATGTAATGTAGCCCGCTAAATTATTATTCTTATTGCTTATAATAGATTCTTCTAGCTTGGGCAAAGAAGACAGGAAGGTAAGACATTATACTTCTGGTAGGAATTAATCTAACTAAATAAGATAGGCATTAAGACCAATTTTCCCAGTCCTCGCCTAAGCCCGCACACCAGTGAGAGTCCTCTATACGGTGTGGTAGTTCTCAGGTCCCTAGTCCCTGTTTTCTTAGCTTCGAAGAAGGCTCCAGGCACGGCGGCCGACTCAAGCGCTTTGCACATAACTTCGTCCTAAAGTCAGTCTTCTTGTGTTGGCTTCGGCCTATGGGCTCACAACCCAGGCACTATAGGTGTCCACGAACGCTAAGGCCTTGCGAGCCACGGTCTGTAATAGGCGCATCGATCAGGTTTGCATTCAAAAAACAAGAACAGAATCGGCAACAGTGGAGTAAGACAATCAGACTACATTTGTATTCTACGTGATGAGAACACCGATCCCAGTGCACCCGCTCCCAACTTTGTCTATCACGACCTCCTCTCATCATAAAATTGATCCGTACATGGTAGAATATGACGAAATAAAATCTGCACACCGCACCTTTGTATTAGCTATTCGGCCTATTAAAGGATAATTTCAGGGGCTAAAGAGTTTATCATATAATTAAATTACTTGCCTGCCTGCGTTCCTACTTGCTTATCTACCTCCTACCAGCCTGCCTGCCTACCTGCCTACTTACTACTGCAAGACTGCGGCTTCATATCACCCAGTTGGAGTACGCGTTCGGGCGCTTACTTTATACCATAGCATGGGGCTTGAGCATATTAAAGCTATTACTAGCATGCATCTGAATATGCTTAGATCTCTTGATAAAATAGCGCCCGAGCGAGGCTCTCAACCAAATATTGATCCCTGAATTCTTGTAGAGTATGTGGAAGATGGTAAACCCACTGGTCGAAATTTTATTGCAGAATTACAAGAAAAAGCTATACTTGAATCTGTACGGAAGGACTGGAATGGCAGAGAGATATCTTGTGAGATCCTTGCTTTGGAAGTTTTTATTTCTTTATCATCAGTTTCGAAAATCCTGCGTAAACGCGGCTTTTATTTAGTTCAACATACTACAGAACCTGGACTTGCTAACGAGCAGAAGAAAAGAGACCAGATTTTTGCCTCGCGACGAAAGACTGGACCTTGGAAGACTTTAAAAATATTATATTTACTAATGAAACCTCTGTATCTGGTATAAGATAGGGCTTAGCAGTCCCGAAGCTGGTCAATGGTTTGGGCCGCTGAAGGTATCTTGAGCGCTTGGCGTCGTCCACTAACCTTGCGCTATTATGAACCAGGTTTCCTATAGGGAAACATGGTAGAGTATCTATAAAGCTATAGTTGCTCAGGTGTCTACCATAAAAACAGCTGTGGCATTTGTGACTATAAAGTCTCTCTTCAGTAGGGAATAAGATTATGTACTCTATCCTTACCGGCAATGACACCCGGCTGAATTAAGCAGAAGGCCAACCAGGAATCTCTGTAAACCAGCGTGATCGATATATGGTGGAACCTACATAAAATGAGGAATAATTTTTAGGCGGACTTAGTAGGTTCACTTGCCGGGCAAGTCCGCTAGATTGCTTCCACGGGGCCTGGGTATAGACTGCACTACCATCCGAGTACAAACTTACACTTTTAATATCAGAACGCGGTAAATGTTCCTTGTTATAGCCTGTGCGGTTTCCCAGCTCACGAAAACCCCTCAAGTACTGCATTTCCAGTTGCGTTCCATTGTGATTGAATACACCCGTTGAAAGGTTAATGGCATGGATGTCGCGGTCCGTTGGAAAAAGAAGTACCCTCTGTGAAGGAACCGGGACAAGATCATGCGGCCCATCCCACCATTTAGCAAAAGGAGTGCCCTCCCATTCTGTCCCAAGCTGTCTAGCAAACGTCATGGTGTAACTGGCTCCCTTAGTCAGCCGATTGCGAATTTGGTCGTACTTATATCCCTGGATTATGCCGTATGAGACGCCACCTGTGCCATCTGCAGCATCTGTGTTGCCAGCTGCCCATAGAGTTTGAGCTGTTTGGTCCCAAAGCATCCCATGGATGGCTCTCACACCTGGTATTATCTGTATTGGCTTTGGGCTGTTTGTCATGCGATTGCTATCGTAAACCCAGATGCCAGCATCCTGTTTTTGGCCGGTTGTAGCTATCGCCAATAAATTTCCAGGTAGCATTTCAACGGTGTGAGCGTTACCCAATTTCCCATTAAGACAGACCGCGAACTCAACCATCTTATCGTCTTGCTCGCGTGGTGTATATTTAATCACAACAGCAGAATATCCGATAATTGCCACGATCTTTGTGCCTTTGGCGACAACCTTCACTTCAGTTGCAGACCAGCCCCCTTGGATGCAGCGCCGAAGGGTACCAGGGACTTTACTCAACCCTGTATTCGCATCCCAAGACCAGGAGGCGTTGCCCTGAGGATCATGTACTTGTATCTTGGGTGGAGACCCATAGAGGCCTGTGATTATTTTTGGGAAATTTCCCGTGAGTGGCTCGAGACCTAGAACTTGCTGCTTGCGCGACGAAGTAGCCCCATCGGCTAAATGGATGAACGACACTAAAAGTAGCGATATTTGACATAGCTGGTGGATGCTAGAGCTTAATATCATATTGGTATATTCACTTTTTAAGTAAAGGCTTTTGATGCGGGTGATAATGTGAGCTAAAGAAGAGGTAACAACAAAATCATCAGGGAGACGGCATATAGAAATTGCAGTGGTTCGCCTAGCTAATATATAATTACAATTGAGCCTAGGACAACAGAGGTTAATAGTTTGCGGCTGAGATATGTTCTTGGCGTTGATCAACCCTTCACATCTACCCCTGTCGTCTATGTTATCTTGTGTTCTTCTCAAGAAATCATTCATGAAAATGTGTGACGGCCAAGCAACTTGATAGAATTGGTGCTATCTAACGAAGATTTCAAGCGTGGGGAGGAGGAAGAAAGGTGGTGAGGACTATGCGGGGAGATAAACAAAGCTAGATACAAACAATGCAAACAGGCTAAGTTCGTCACAAAAATGTAACCCGTTGGATTACATGTTGTAGTCCCCTCCCTTGCTTCCAGGATTCATAGTTCGGGAACCGTTATATTAAGTGGTGAAGTTTGCTACCCTCCTATTCCGCTCAAATCCGGTGCATCACTTATATTTGGATAACAAGGAAACGAAAGGAAGAAAGAAACCCAAAACAAAAGTGGAGGGAACAGCCGAAGATGAATCGATTGACTTCCTCCCTGTATTCTGAAGGGAAGCATCTGGTGCGAAAGCTGTAGGAAATTTAGTTACGTCGAGGTGGCTGACTGGTACGCATGCACGAGCTGCTGCAGGGAATTCTTTCCGGCGACTAGCTTTCCACGTCTCCTTGTCACATTCTTTGCGGATACCTAGTGGGAAGGAAGATCTTATTAATAATGGGCACTTGGCTATACCACCCCTCGAGCTTTCACAATGGTTATCCCCAGTGCTAACTGCGCGCGTCTACAAACACCTTATCTCCCGCCTTGAAGTTAACTGTCCGGCGCCGGCGGTTTGCCTGGCAGTCTGTTGTTCCTAAGCATCTTGTATATTTCCACGGGCGAAGTTCTATGCTTGCCTTATTCTCTCTGCCAGGCTCCGCGCCTGCTTGCGTGTTATTTTTGTTGATCCGGGAGCCTGCAGGGGGCTCCAATCGAATAAAGTACGGGGCTCGTAGCCACGTTCCACCATAAACGGGGACAAGCCAGTAGTCTCGTGTGGCAGGGCCGCCGCGGCGAAATCAATCAGTGGTAGAAGCTCTAACCAGTTATTTTAAAAATAACTAACAATGGGATTAAGCGTTGGGCTGTATATTGGTTGACAATCTTAGTTTAGCCTTTCGCCATTGTCTCTGTCCAGGGCCGGGTTGTCAATCCCACCGCTCCTTTCCTGTCTCCTTGATCTATCAGAAGGTCCGCACCTTGAGTGTCACTGTGGGACTTGATGGCTATTTTGCTGTGACAAGGAATGAGAGCGGTTTGGGATGACTGGCTTTTTCAGGGATGGGGTCGACTGGCCGATGGAGATTGGGCAGTAATTTGGTATAAGGAAAAGCTTTCAGTGCGTACAGCACGGGGGATTAGTAGATGCGTCTTGAATCGTAGCTATACGGTATATAAGACAAAGTCTATTCTCTATCAGTAACATATATTACACTCTACAGGGCTAAGAAGGTATAATGGAAAACCTACCTCTCATATCCTCTGGCAGGTGTATTCGGTAGAGCCAAGCTAGTAGTGACTTCGAAAGTCTTGTTCGCCGTATTGAAACAGGAACGCCTATAATTATAGCTCGAGCGACCGACAGTATGTCTCTGGAAAATCGCTCCTGTCAATGATTATGTTAATAATGCTGCCCAATAGTGATGGAGATTGGAGAGGGAAAAGAGGCAGAAGACGTAGAGGAGGATAGGCATTTTATAGCCCTTTTTGTTGGTGTAAGTAGTGATGACGAGATGTATTTTGTTATTACGAAGAATACCCACGCACTTTGGCTTTTGGTATTGCAAAAAGACTAGGTATGTTTACCACACAAGTTCTACAAATGCCGTCGCTTTTAACATAATACTAGGCAACATAGAACGTCTTGTTTTCTATCGCAAGGTTATACGAATAATGCCAAAAACGCTAGGTCATAATCGCTCAAGTTCAACGAATCAAAAGACCAAGGCATCTAAGATGGTATATACATACATCACAGTGCAGCACTCCAGAACGTTTATCATACATCATAATAAACTCTTCCAGCTTATAGACGGCTCTGTTGCTGGTCGTGGCCCAAACGCTTCGTCGCAAAAGCGTTGAAATACGCATTCAGGGCACCCACCGTGCCACTACCCTCGGTCAACTGCACCAGACAGGCAACATGGCTGTCAGGGCGAGTGACAACAACTCCTCCCTTCTCGGGATCGAAACCAAGCTTTTCATGAGCAGCAAACTTGGCGTTAGGGACCCTCAAGTCGGGGATATTATCGGCATAGATATGGTGGTGGTAGTCACGGAGAATCTTGGGCACCGCCTCCAGGTCAACCTCATTCTTGCTTGCAGCGTAAACCAAACAGAGGGTAAAGAGTTTTGAATGAGGCTGGTGACGCTCGAAGAATGATACATCTGCAATATCGGATCTTCGGTATGCAGAAAGAAACGATCGCTCCTTTTCGAGGTTCGCAGCCAGGTCCGCAATGGCCTTTCTAGTCTTGGCCTGTTTACCCGCAAAGATGAAGATCCGGAATGCACCATTGGCTGGGACTTCCTGTTCTAGGTGCACGGAGTTGGCATCTGCAAGCCGTGTCACCGTCGAGGGTGTAAAAGCGCGACCCGGGGTCAACTTCACACCAGGAATATTAAACAAAGGTGACTGCGCAGGGTGGGTCTTATCCCAATTGAAGACATTGGGTTTGTAAGCAACACCATAACCACTTGTGAACTCGCAGGAGGACTTGAAGGTCTTCACGAATTCATCCTCCTCTTCACCAACGGCGGCAGCTGTGTGGTTCGCAGATCCAACTTCGCAAGCAGATGGTCGGCGTTTGGAGAACAGGGCAGCATACTTGGCGTCGAAATTCAGCAGAGTCTCTGCAATGTCTTTACGTTCACTCTCGTACGTGCTCAGAATAGATCGGTCAGCAAAACCGGATTCGACAACGTGAAGCTTCCAAGCCAGGTTTAGGGCGTCATGAAAAGCAGTATTCATTCCCTGGCCAGCCTTCGGCTAAACAAATGTTAGATCCTACTTAAATTCGTATGTGTGATGTCTTTAACGTACGCTGTGGGTGTGGCAAGCATCCCCGCCCATAAAAACTCGCTCATCCAGAGTATACTTCTCCGAAATGCCCTGCCCGATTGGGTAAAAAGAGTACCATTCCACGCGCTCCCATTCCAGCGAATAAGGCTGGAGGATCTTCTTTGCAGTAGCCTGAACCTCCTCGACAGTTGCTGTCTTCCTCGGGCTGAAATCAGGGTCGGTGGACGAGGCGATTTGGACATAAAGTCGGACCATGTTGTCCTCCCGAGGGATAACCATAATTGAACCGGCATCCGAATGGATAGTACACTTTGTCTATTATTTTTAACACAGGCAGTTAGCTAAGCACAGGAGGCCAGAGAATTTTAGATTATTCACTCACCTCTATGTCAGGGAAATTGGTCCTCACAACGCCGTCCATGACACCCCACACATATGAGATGGGATCCTTGTGCCGAATGTTGATACCAAGCTGTTGCCGAATAAAACTCCGTGCACCCTCACCACTGAAGAGATACTTGGTGCGAACCGTCTCAATGACATTGGTATCAATAGACTTGAGCTGTACCTCCACAGGATATGTCGGATCCAATCCATCATTCTTGAATCCGTGGATAGTCCACGGACGCTCGACGGTCGTACCGGCTTTTTTTATCTCATCCAAAAAAACACGCTCGATCTTCCCCTGGTGGACAAGAGTGGTGAAAGGGTATCTGGTGTCAATGAATCCTGGGCAACTCGGCCAGCTACTGGTCCGGTGGATGCCGTTCCCGTCCGGGCGAGGATCCCAAAACGCGACGTCATATACCTTGGCTGGTTCGTAGGCCATGATCTGACGCTTAAGGCCCAGGTTGCGGAGGATTTCCGTCGAACGGGGCTGGATTCCATCGGCCCGACCTGTGGCAGTGGGCACTGGCCGATTGTCGATGTGTTTTACTTTATACCCCCATCGGGACATGCAGAGTGACAACAGAATGCCGACAGGGCCTGCGCCCACGATGACGATATCATATTTATCCTGGGAAAGGGCCATTTTGGCTGTCATAGGCGATATACAGACAAGCTCCCAGATAGACTCTCATAGGCCTAGCGGGATATGTGATCGACAACAAAGGTTGCACAAATATAATGAAGGTAAACAGGGGTACAGTGAGAACCTCACTCGCAAAATAGGAGAGAAAAAAGAACAGCGGTCAATACGACCAACAAGGGGGACACGAGAGAGAGGTCTAGGATCCGTGAACGGACGCAGGGGAACTCATATATACTTCAAAGGCACTGGCACTGCAGTGGGGGGCCCAGAGAAGCAGACAAACAGCCCCCCAGTGGAGAGCCACGACGGCATTCATATTCGGCTGGATCGAGGGGAAAGTAAGCAGACCTGCACCGGAGCAGCAGTGCAACTGGAGGAGCAAGCGGCTTGGACTGCGGAGAGCTAATGCCGGCGTTGGCTTCCGGTCTTGGAGCTGCAGCGGAAAGAGACTCGGCAAGTGGATGGAAAGTGGAGGGCCCTCACGTGATCCCAGCGTCGACAGAATCGCCGGGATTTCTCTTTTTGTGTTGGCATGGTGGTGGGTCACTTGGCCCGAGCACTCAGCATGACCAACCTGTCAGATATAACTATGGCGTCCCCTGTATGATAGATCCCATGCAGGTCTCTAGAAATATGATCTCCTGAACAAGGAGTATGACTAGTCTGTTGGCTCTGAGATCCTGGCAGTGCGTTCGGATCTGCCTGGTTGCAGAACACGGTGCGGTGAAAGCCTCAAATGCCCCCATCGGATTAGTGGACACACTAACTCTGCGGCCTGTTAGGATCGATCCCACGGCCAATCGAGGTTGGCTCTTAATTATCCCTGGTACTCGTTAGCTTCTCCAGCAATCTCGTCAGAGTAATAGGTCAATATCTACAATACCTCTCGTGAGTCAATGCATGTAGCGAATCTATTCTACTTGTAGGCCCCTATGGTCATCGAAGGCCCCTCTATAAAAGACTGGGACTCAGGAGTTGGCCTCTATCACCAAAGTAATCTGTATAGAGAACAACCAATCTGACTAGACACAATACTACTTATTCTTCACCTTGGGCTTACCCAGCCCTGGTCTCAAGTGCCACGGCATGCCGGACCTTGATCTTCCTGTTACAATGCATGCCGCAATTTAACCCGTAAAGGGTACTACAGGGGATTTACCCTAGATCCGATGTCCTTTAACGGAGTATCATGAACTTTACTAGAGTAGGCGCGATAATAGTAACAGGCATAAACTTGAATTTGACGATTCCTCTCAGTTTAGAGCTATGTCAAAGGTCCATCTTAAGTCTACCTGTCGACAACCAAATGGCATAAAGATCTCTTCCTTTCCTGGGATACTCGTGCGAATCAGGACCACTACCAGTCATTTTACAAAAAATTTGTATCCCGTATTTCCGGAGTCATATCGGTAGATGAATGTGGGTTGGCACAGCTATCTAGTAGTGCAGAAACAACAAAATCCGAATATACTAGGCTATTTCACTACACAAACAATTAATTCAGCTATTGTGGTTGATGAATAGGCAATTGTTGTGATTGAGATTTATCTGATTTTTGTGCTAAAGTTAATGTTGTCAAGTATGAACAACCATGGCTTCGAGGTGAATAAATCCTGGAGTGGTTACACTTCAGTTTACTGGCTATCAAGCTTCTAAGCAGCCAACAATAAGGTGGGGTAAATTAATTAAATGCAAGCACAATAGGCTAGCCCTTTGAATGTGTTCAGTGAAATGGATGACACTATTCATTGATTCCAATCAATGACATTCACTGGTGACAGTGCTACAACCGACCAGAAGCTATGGTCCGATACCTGGGTCTAGTAAATAAGATGGAATTGTCAATAAAACATATAATGGTATTGTTATGAATAGGAGATTATAGCAGGTCAATAGACAATAGATACTATTTGATACTTTAGATGTTAGTGTTGCAAATACCTCTCTTCAACACCAGCTTATATCCTACCTCTCTTCGATACTCTCTCTACTCACCCGCCACAGCCCTCTCACTCTCAAGTTAAAACATCTTCGATATTTAAGAATCCCGATCAACGCTCGTAAAACATTTAGGATCTTCTTTCTTCCAATATGAATGACACCTTCGAAGTTCCCGTCATGCTCAGTCTGGAGTAAGTTGGACGTCTTCATAAAAGTCATCCGATAAGCTGACACTCGCTCGCTGTAGCCATCTCAACTACGAGGATATTGCGAAGCTCAATCCTTTCTATGAAGAATACAGAGCTTTCTGGAACGCGTCACCGAACGCAACTGATTCTTCGCTATCCTCGAATGCATCCTCCAGAAGCTCTTCCTTGCGGTCCCTTCGTTCGGAAATTGACGTTGCGACTCCTACTTCGGAATTGACAACATCATTTTCAATGCATCGTATGCAGTCAAATGTCCGAGCTCCTGTGGCGGAGAAGCTCCATATGAATATCCACAGTGGAAGCCAGTACAAGCCCTCATACAATACATTCAACAAGCCTGCCATGGGCCAAGTCGCCATTGTGGAATATGACGATTGCTTCAACAAGCCACTGCCGCCTGTATATGAGTCCTCCGAGTGTGGCGAGCCGGATCCATTGGACTTTGAGATTGCACGTAATTCTTTGAAGCTAAATACGGTCTCCCACAAGAAACTTTTCGGGGAGAACGGATGGCTTGGAGACACTGCAGACTTAAAAACCCCGTCGAATGAGAAGCAGAAGCCAAAGACATTCAAAGATCTAGGGAAGAAAATCAAGAAACATGTGGACGAGTTTGTAGGTTTTCTCCAACCTTTCTTGATATTTTCCGCTGTCTAACACCTGCAAAAGGCTGAAGATATGGCTAAGGTGTATCCCATTCCCTTTGTTCACGGACATCGTCACATGAAGATTGTATCCGAATCAACTGTCCCCATTTCGCTGGATCCTCCAACTCAAGCCAAAATGTACTCAGAGCTGGAAGTAATGATCTGTGTCACTGCGAACAATTTCCTCGTCAAGCAGCATAAAAACGGCCGGGTTTCTGAGGAATCGATCAGAAAAGTCACCAATTTCTGGGGATCGAAGAACAGACCTCAAGTTGTCGAGTTTCAGTTCGACCAAGCCACTCAACGCCGTCTGATCTTATCCAATATCCGCACTTTGCAGTTCAACGGAGAAAGTTCAACCAACCCAATTCTTCTGCATTCGAATCTCCACAACTGGAAGTCGATTGTCAAGGAAATGAATGTGCGCACTTTCTGTGCCCCCGACAGTGCTATCCGCAAGCATATGCACGATCTTCACAAGCTCCTTGACATGTTGGACGCGCCCCATATAACATTTGTTGCTTTCCAGGAACTTCAAATGAAGACCCTGTCCATGATGAAGAAGCGTTTGGAGGAACAGTACTATAGGGAAACCGGTAGCTGTAGCAGTCTGACATCCGTGTCCACCTTGAGTCGGGCGGACTCCGAGACACGCACTAAACATGACTCCAGTAGGCGCTAGACTAACAAATCCGATGGCCAGGCCGCTTCGGGAGAATTGAGGCCGTTTATGTATATCTAGTTCTTCTATTTCCTCCTGATTTCGTAGCTAGCTATGGTTCGGTTGTTTTTTCTGTTTTCTTTTCGAAACGAAACGGTAAAAGATTCAGGAGGTTGTGACTATTTCGCATTTTATTCACTGCTCAATTTTATATAAGCTGCATTTTCCAATTTGAACATCGTTGGTATTTTTAGCTGATTGAAATGGATGTTTTTTTGTTGCTTACTATTCTGTGGTGAATGCGTCATTGTTTGGCCGAAGCCAGCACGTGGGTCGACGTCATACGCCGAATCACGAGAGAGAATGGTGTCAAAGTCGCGCACACAAAGCGATCATTCTTCTTTCTCTGAGACCTGATAGGCATCCGTCGACTGGTGATTTGCTCGTGTTCTTTGCTCTATATCTTTATTAATATGACATATCCTTCCTGGTCTTCACTTATCAGGCTTTCTAAGCTCCTTAATGTCAATTGCCCCTTGCTGACACGAAATCAACACGCCTCAGAGTAACTTCAAAGCTACAGTAGCCACTCACTGACTGCCATTCAATCTCGCAATGACAGCCCACTGATTACCCTGTTTTACTTCTATCCTTCTAGAGAGCCGTGTATTTCTACCTGGTGTGGAGCGTCTCTCGCATATTATCCACAATGGCCGGCCCTATCCATACTTACGGTTCGACATGTCTTCTTTGCGATGATGATCCTGACCCCTCAACCTGGTATACCTCAGACAAGCCACCCAAAGTTCGCCCACAGTTCTTCTATATGTCGTCACTGCCAATCGATGATCCCTTGAGTTCCTTACCTCCTCCTTCCGGCAGCCAGGATTCGGGAAACGATAGAACACCGCCCCAACCATTTTCGGTCAGAGATAATATCGTGCTGGAAGAGAAATGGCTGTCTTTACTGCGAGCCAGGAAGCAGAAGCAATCTAGGGGGCTACAATTGCAGGGAAGCTCTTTGGGTCTGTTAAATAAAAGGATTTCGGTCCCTGTACCCAGGTCATTGCCAGAGGATCGCAAGAGGCCTACGGATACCTATGGGGAGGGCAGCCTGGTTGAAAGTCAACCAAGCCTCCCTGAACTCTCACTAGATGAACGAGCATCACAATTATTCAGAATACGGCCCAGCGGCGGATCCAGTGGAGTGGAAGCAGATACCAGAGACTCAACAGAGAGAATACTCGCACGCTCTACATCGGAAAACGCTATAAAAAGTAACGATCAATCTGGTCCACTTTGTTACCGGAAGAGGGAATTGTCGCCTAGCAACAGTGTCAGGGCTACCAGGCGCAAGACCAACGAGTCAATACACAGTGAAGACGACGCTATTGACGGAACAGAAAACGCAAGCCCACGTGGTTGTTCTTCGCGTGCTGGAAGCATTTCTGGCTCCCCGTTTGCAAGGGCCGCCTCCACCCAACCACAAAGCCTATTAGGACACTCCATTGAGACCATGTCGTCGAGGGATGACAATGAGGGGCTGCAGACCGAGGTATCGGTCAATGTGTCCAGCCATGTAGCACTGAAACCTTCTGGGCTGAGAATTAGCGCCCATCCAGAAGAATTGTGGGAAGATTCTATAGAAGAAAATGAAGGAGACAAGGAAAGTGAGAAGGCCCAGATGAAAATCCCTGTAGGAGTCTCCCGTCTTCACCTGGTGGAATTGCCAAATTTAAAGGTAAAAAGAAACCGTAACCAATGTCTTTGCCTATCCGGTATTGGAGAATGGGATCTAACCTAAAAGTAGATGAAACCAATATACTGGAGTCCTCTTCATGACATCTCAAGTGTTGTTCGCGCCACATGGTTCTACAAAAATACTATGTTACCTGTGGAAACAGAACTCGCCAATAAGCTCGAGGATGGATACGTATACCTGAAACCATGGACCGAGACATGGCAAGACGAGCTCAACAGCTGTGCGGAGAATGGTGCGGATGCCGAAATGAAAATTGTACACAGGTTGTGGCCGAAGGATGAACGAAAAAGCCAGCGCTCGTCTACAACGACCCAGGATCAAAGGCCGTTCACTCCTGACCCTGGCAAAGGCGAAACATATGCAAATACCAAATTTTACGACGCTGACATAGATGAGAACCGTGCCGCTGGTGGAACAGCCTCTCATTCAGAGGCTGTCAAGCCCTTCTTGCACTCGAGTGTCATCTACGTTGACGGAAAGGATGCACAAATTCTCAGGCCCAGTTTGCTCCCTTCTGTGGCGAGAGGAAGACGACCACTCAGTTCGATTCGCAAAGGTCGTCAAATAGGGATCCCCGTAATTCGAGGTTTTAGCAGAAGACTGTGGGAACAGTTGCATCCGTCCAAGCCAAGTCCAGTTGATGTCAGAAACTATCTTCGAACCACCCAGGCTCGCACCATGGCCAGGACGAGTGGCGGCAGACAGATTTGCTATGCCTGTGCAATGGAAGGCTCACGACCTGCTCCAACTGACCTAATACTTGTCATACATGGAATAGGTCAAAAGCTCTCGGAGCGCATGGAGAGCTTCCATTTCACGCATGCCATCAATGCTTTCCGTAGGAATGTCAATGTGGAGCTGAACAGTGAACCGGTCTGGCCACACGCACGGCAGGGTCATGGTGGGATCATGGTTCTTCCTGTTAATTGGCGCTCGACTCTGTCTTTAGACGATGCTAACCCCGAAACCCAGGCAGCTGAGGATCCTACAGCCAATAACTTCACCCTACAGGACATTACTCCAGATACAATACCCGCAGTTAGGTCCCTAATCAGTGATGTCATGCTTGATATCCCTTACTATCTATCACACCACAAACCGAGGATGGTTCAAGCAGTCGTGAAAGAAGCCAATCGCGTGTATCGACTATGGTGCAAGAACAATCCTGGTTTCCAGCAGAGTGGCCGTGTGCATTTGCTTGCACACTCCCTTGGAAGCATAATGGCACTGGACATCCTCAGCCACCAGCCAACTAAAATACCAGATTTTGACTTTTCGAAAACACAGATTCACGGGAACATCTTCGAATTTGACACTAAGAACTTATTCATTTGTGGAAGTCCAGCGGGGTTCTTCTTACTTCTAAACAAAGGTATACATCACTGACTGTATCTATGAATGTCGAATAGTTCCATTTTAACGCCAGTGGTTTTTAGCGAATCTTTTACCTCGTCGAGGCAGAGACAAACCGGGATGTGAAGGAGAAGACTGCCTCCCAGGAGTTGCAGGGGAAGCGGGCACCTATGGATGTCTAGCTGTGGACAACCTTTACAATATTATGCATACAACAGACCGTATGAAGATTTTCCAACAGCTTGGGCTCACTGTGTTATAATGATACTGATTCCGTACAGCAATTGCATATCGAGTCAACGCCGCAGTCGACAGCGATCTGGCCAATTCCCTGAAAACCGCTGCCATCCCAAGCTCCTCCGCATCATTTTGGCAGTCATTCGGCAGCGTCTTCCGCTGGGGCTCGTCTCCTTCTTATATGTCTTCTGCAGCCCCCTCCCGCCCCGCTGCTGTTTCTAAACTCCCATCCAACGTTGAGCTGGAAACTCACGATTTCACTCGTGAGGAAATCGCAGAGAAGCGCATGCTTCTTCTCAACGACAATGCACAGATCGACTACTTCCTGTCTGGTGGCGGTGGCCCTCTGAACATCCAATATCTCAACATGCTGAGTGCACATAGCAGTTACTGGACTCTAACAGATTTTGTCCGCTTCCTTGTGATTGAAATTGCCCGCAAGCAAGGCAGGGATGCAACCCTCCCAGCTTTACGGGCCGAGAAGAAAAAGGGTTGGAAAATCCACAAGGGATGACCAATAGACGATGCCTGCCTTTGAAGGGTACAGTGCGTCTGTTTCTTTCGCTGAGATATCTTGGTTTCGGCGCTGTACTAGTTTTATGCCCGGAGTTATGAGTTCGATACCCTTTTTAGAATCTTGGAGATTTTGTATTGTTCTCCTTATTTTATTTTTAGCTACATTGTACTTAGCGCTGGGCATGGCTTAGATCTGGGTGACTTTTTATTCCGCCAGTTACTTGGTGTAGATCCTGTGCTAAACTAGGCTCATATTATTAAATCCTCATTTCTCTCATTCTCCAAGCTTTTATACCATTAATGTGAAAACATGTTTCAAGTGCCTTCCTTCGAAATATGAAATCAACACGCACATATATATAGTAGCCCATAAACCACAATGTGCTAGCTTTCGGCAGCGACAGCTCCTAGCATCAATGCCTCCACCAAAGTACCCTTTTCGAGTATCCCGTTCCCAGGCTGAAGTACTAATAGTGCGTTCGCGCTCGCAAGGCTTCCAACCCTCGAGCTTCGCTGGCCAACACCTTCCAGCCCCGTGCTTGAAGCGTACAGCCGTGCGTCAGTCCGAGACCCTGTTATAATGGCACGGTGGTACTCGGTGCGCTTGGGGTCGCGTGGGAACGAATGTGCCAGGCAGACAGATACCAGAGGTAGCCCAAGAGCCGGGTGAACACCAGTAGGGACATCTCTTTGGCCCATTCCCATCAGCTTGTGTAGGGAAGGAAGCACGAACAGATTCAAGGTTACCAAGGCCGAGGCGGGATTTCCGGGGAGGGAGAAAATGAGCTTGCTCTCGCGCTCTTGCTGCTCTGACTGTGTCGATGATGAGGCCTTGAATGGGATCGTCGCGAATGTTGTCGGTTTGCCTGGCTTCATGGAGACTCGACCAAAGTGGATTGTACCGCCGAGGGAACGCTCAATAGTGGGTTTGAGCAGGTCAAGCTCTCCCATCGATACACCCCCCGTGGTGACAATCACATCAACACTGGTGTTGGATTTTCCCACTCCCCGGAGAGCATTTCTTAGATTGTGTTCGAGTTCCCCTACCGGGGTATCCCGAGCGATTCCAAGATCAACTGTGGGAAAGCCCCAGGAACCAAGGCAGGATAGAAGAGATGGCCGGTTAGAGTCCCGGATTTGGCCCCCGTAGAGCTTTCTTAGGTCGTCATGTTCCACCAGCTCGTCCCCAGTGCTCAGAACACCTACGCAGGGCTTTTTGAATATCTTGACTGTCTTGGTCCCTGTCGCTGCTAGAAGACCGATCTCTCCTCCAACAGAGGTGACCAAGTCTCCTTTCCGAAGAATTTTGGATCCCAACACGACATCACTACCTGGTTCGCGTACGTTCTCGTTGGGTTTTATGTCACCAGTGAGGATCTCCACGGTTGCTTCTTCTTTACCATCGGGAGTTGACGAGATCAACACTGTGTCTTCAACCATAACAACGGCGTTGGCATTTGGTGGAAGAGGAGCTCCTGTCGTTATCCTTGCAATAGTTCCTGGCTCAAGTGGCGCCAGGCTACCTCCTGGATTCGCGTGGGTTACTGACGCCACAGGAAAAACCCCTTTTATAGTGGGACCAACATCAGGCGACTCGGGGGCGATCACAGCGTACCCGTCAACAATGCTAGCTCGATACGCTGGCACCGCCTCTCCGGCGTATACATCTTCTGCAATAACGGATCCAACTAAACTGGTAGTAACTGGGGCTTCGACAACCACGGGATCGGGCGTATGTTTACTGATCAATTGGAGTGCTTCATCCACAGAAAGCATCGGGTATGGCGACGAGCGATAGCGCCGATTTGGTCCGGCATTCGGATCATTCGAGTTCGGCCTCTCCGATGGGGAGGTGTGCGCTTTCGGGACGACATGTCCATGACCATGGGAGTGGTCATGATGATGGTGGTGGTGAGCATGGGATTGTCCTGGTTGGGGTTCTATCTGGTTGCTCCCGGAAGAGATGCCTGCATCAATCTCCAGCTTTTTAACACCGCCAGCATGAATCTCCCGGGAGTTCGCGCCAGCCGCTTGGATACACGCGTGGGGAAGCATTTTAATTACTGCCTCGAGGTTTTCCTTGGCTCCTTTGGGTGATCCCGGTAATGTTATTATTAAGGACCTGTGTCTCACACCTGCAACAGGGCGGGACATCATTGCAACTAATAATAGTCGTCAGCAGCTTTTCTTTGGGCCTTGAGATGAAACATGGAGCCTTACATGGAGTGACTTTCAAAGAAGATGCTAACATGCCATGTCTTTTAAAACTCAATCAGTGGATATGGCCCAAAAGAGCTGATAGACAAATAAGGTCTCAAGTCTTACACAAGTCCGGATGCATGACGATGGATGAGAGGAAATACAGCCTGATCCCGCGTTAGGAGCACTGAGATGGATGTAACTTTTGAGGGCCAGTTCAACGAACTTCTGGAGTATTATCCTTCACCGCAAATCCCGTACCACCGCTTACAAGAACCAAATTCGTATAGTCCGGACCATCTGTCCAATTGCAGATGGTTCGTTGGATACTCGACACATCATCAGGCACGATCTTAATGGCGGGTTTCTCCCAGCTGCTCGAACCTTCAGATGAGAACACCGCCGTAAGAGTGTCGGCTACTCGATCCGACGAGGGATTCTGGGAGGCAGTGTCCGACACAATCAGAATTGCTGGTCTGAGGGTCGTCTCTGCCATCATGGACGTTGTTGGAGTGAGGGGCTTATAGGTGGTGCGGGGATCTCCTTATATAGCGCGGCTCCTCGTATCGGTCCCGAATAAATCCCTTGATAAAGAAAGGCATCACACCGCACCACTACTCTCGATCACTGTCTAGCACCCCATATGGTTACGGCTCTAGTGTTGATACGGGACATGATAGGCCTTCATTTGGGTATTTAACATGTCCATTATGCCCGACGCCAGTTACTGTACACCACTTCTTTGGGCCTCATCATGGCAATCAAGCGCGACTATCGAAGCTATTCACGTATACCCAAGTCTCTACAGTCAATTCGAATCCATACGCCCCAATGCGGTATATAAAGAAAACACCAGAAGAAAGTGAAGTTAAAATCGAAATCATACGGATGATTCCCACCCGGGTTCACCGAGCCCTCTCTGGGAGAAGACTTTCCCGTAGAGCATCAAGTTCCGAAATCAGTCGCCTTTCCTGCAATCAGAAGTCCGACAATAAGGCCAAAAAGTCCGAGTACAGAGCTGAAAATCTCGATGACAAGGATCTTCACGAACCTGCAAGGAAGATGGTTAACGCCTGTTTGCACCGAGATACGGGAGAGCAGTCGAACATACAGGGTAGCGTCGGCAGCGTCTGCCAGGGCGGCACCGCTACCATTCATGCCAACAGAGATACCACAGATCAGGTTACATGCACCAACAGTCATTCCACCCCAGAAGAGCGCGTATCCAGTGTAATAGTTGCCGCCCGTAAGAAGCTCCTCGTTGTCCACTAGGTTGAGCTTCGAAGAGAATACAATAGCCATAATAACCCCGTAGATAGCCACAACTTCGCAGAAAATAATCGAAATCAAGTTCTTTGTTCGAATTCTAGGTGCCTTGACACCGCCACCGACGATCGAAGAGCCCGTGAGAAAAATACCCCTAGAGGTCCTGCTGTGAGTTACCGTGCAAATGAATTGTTTGCTATAATGGGGTTATACCATGCTGCTCCCACGACGGACAATCCTATGCACATAGCAATACCAAAGTTTGCCCAAGCATATGGGGACACAGACTCAAGGAATTGGCCGACCTAGAAATAAATCGTATTAACAAAAGTCAGATAGGCATGGCTGACACTGCGGAAAGACACGGGTTCTTACATTGAACTGTTCACCATCTCCGTGAAAGAGCATATCTAGCAGTATACATTAGCTAAGGAATTGGACCCGTGTCGTAAAACGAGATCACTTACAGCCTCCTATCACCAGGAGTGACACGGTTGCAGCACCAGCAGGATAAAGGAGACCCATGATAAGCTGGAGGGTGTGACAGTCCAAAATACGGGCCTCAAGACACTTGAAGGTGGGTGTTCGGAATTGTGGAAGCAAAGCTTCAGGGCGGTCCTCCTCGTCATCTCCTCTGGACTCAACTCGGCGGTCGGCCCGGAATTGATCCGCCCTGGCGGCGGAGTTGCTTGCCAGTTCATATGTACAGTTTCCCCGGACGGCCCCATGGGTCGAGCTCACTCGTCGCCGTTAGGAACACCTCGTGCGCCTGGCCTGGTCGCATTATCCGTCTAATATCCCCCCGATTTCTCCCCTCCCAGGCCATTGTCTCCTTCGCACTCTTCTCAGTCAACCCTCCCACCACCGTTGGTCGAAATATTGTTTTCGCGTCGTGCTCACTGCCTACCCCTGATTCTGTAAGCTTAACCGCTACACGTCCTCAGTCGCCATGGCGTCCGCTGCTGGAGTAGGGTCCTATTCGAACCCACTGAAAAAGTTTAAGTATTTTTCCGTGCCCTTGCGCTGATGTTGATGTACACTGATTGCTAACCCACCTGTAGGTTGGTGTTTTTGGGAGAACAGAGTGGTATGAACACATTTTCTACTCGGCAGTCCACAGCATGCTATGCTATCGGTCTGGGTGATATGTTTTCTAACATCTGAAATGCAGTTGGAAAAACATCATTGATTACGCGATTCATGTACGACTCATTCGACAACACATATCAGGCAACTATTGGGATCGACTTCCTCTCAAAGGTATAACCCCACCACGACCTAAATGTCTGTCATGCCAGACATCTCTCTGCATGACCATACCGCCTAACCAACATGATCATTTAGACTATGTATTTGGAAGACCGAACGGTTCGACTTCAGCTTTGGGATACTGCCGGCCAGGAACGATTTCGGTCTTTAATTCCTTCGTACATTCGTGACTCGAGCGTTGCCGTAGTCGTTTATGACATCTCGAATGCCAAGTCCTTCCAGAATACTAGAAAATGGATTGATGATGTACGGGGAGAGCGCGGAAACGACGTGATCATCGTTCTAGTGGGCAACAAGACTGATCTTAACGACAAGCGAGAAGTCACGACAGCGCAGGGGGAAGAAGAGGCAAAGAAGAATGGACTGATGTTCATTGAAACTAGCGCCAAAGTCGGCCACAATGTCAAGCAACTGTTCAGGAGGATAGCCCAGGCTCTACCCGGGATGGAGGGCGAAGCTAACAAGGGAGAAAACCACAGTTCGTTTTGTACCAACCCTACTCCTCGTGCTTTGCTATGCTAATAACGGTTCTCAGTGATTGACGTTAATATAAACCCCAAAGAGACCACGAGCAATGATGGATGTGCATGCTAGCTGTTTTCGCTTTTACCCGGTCTTTACTACCACCCATGTCGCCATAAGCTTCCCTGAATCTCAATCACGAGGTTTGAGATTGTTCATAATGCTCTGTCATTTTTAAGATGTACATTTTCTTCCCTTACTTTCTCAGGTGAATAGCGTGTTTAGATCAAAGCTTTTCCTTACTCTTCCTGTTTTCCTTTATTTTTTAACATCCCGATTTACCCTGATATTTGGGGTGATATCGAATGTTTTATTGCATCTTGCAGCATCCGGATGCAAGTTCCTGAATGATTGTTACGGTCAACTTTTCCTCCTGGATACTAGCGGACATCATATTAAAAACCTAGACTGAGTCCTTGCAGGAAGTATCGTATAGATTTACAGGTTGTGTGGTGAAGTTATAGCCAGCCTTGATATAGCGTCTCTATAGTCACAATTTCTGACGTACTATCTATAACCAATTTCCAAAATAACGACACAGTAGAAGGGTGAGTATAGGAAACTTCTCTACAGGACATCTATGGGGAGCAATTTCCAGCTGCGGTACAGAGTATTATATACTAGGTGGCTATTTTCCGTCCACCACTGAGTCTTGGATTCATGGTTACTAGAAATGCTCTTATATAGTTACTTGTATCTGTAAAATAGGTTAACAGCATCTAAAACATAAAAGATAAAAAAAAAAATAGCAACAAAAGTTGTCCTTTTTTGTTTTCCTGCATTTCCCTACATACACAGTACGTACTTGATTTTCTTGACAGCTTGATGCCTTTCCCTTTCCGTTTTAGTGCTCACCCCTCGCCGCTTTTCGCTCACTGAGCAGATCTAAGCACGCCCTGAGCGGCCTGAGCTGATCACTGAGCAGGGGCTGAGCAGAGGCTGGCTTGAGCAAGATAGCCTCAATAAAATGCACCACGCTAGTGTCACCAGCGATCATATTCCTTCGCAGCGTCTTTTCACCATTCCCCCCCCTTACCCACCCAAACAGAACAATGGCATTATTAATGGAACAGGCAATTATGGTCATTGTTCCTTCTGCTCCACCTGCAACGTAAAAATTCAGTGGGGAGTAATCCGACTGACTTTTTTGTTTCTCTATGTTCATTATTACAGATTTATGAGTTAATAAGCATCTGGTGAAAACCCATCTAAGCCACAATATTGCCCCTATAAGTATTCTTCCAGACGTCCAAGGAATTACCTACTACGGCGGAGTCCTCCGCTTCTTCTCACACTACATATACTCGCAAGATCAGGAGATGAAATATAGATTTGTGATGTTAGTTCAGGGGAGGGAATGGCTAAAATATATTAGAACATAATTTTAATAATATTCATTCGGTAGCATAGCTAATCGATCTTAAGAAAGAGTAAACATAACGATCTCCCCGTTCCCGGCACTGCTTTGTAATACAACTAATTAGTCTCGATAAAGGTTAAACATACCATCTCCCCATTCCTGACAATGCAGCGTCTACCTCTTGCCGTATCTTGTCCTGCACATTAAATGACAGCTGCTAGATTTGTACGCCCAAGACATCAAATTCACGGGTGAATGATTCGCGCACGGGGTCCGATTTCGGCTACGTAGACAAGACTTGGGCTAGTAATACGGCTGCTTAGTGCTCGTTCTCTGCAGGACAGGTGGCCTCTGCCTGATCTGTGCTGGGGATTTCGACTGGGTTTGGTCAGGAGGCATATTCTCCCCAACGTGGCGCACAAGCGGGGGTTCGTCCTGCTTCTCCTGGAGCCTTTTCTTCGTCAGGAAATTCCCAATCGCCTTTAGAAACATGTGCTTCTTCTGAAAACTCTTCATCATCCGATACCTCAAGTTCTCTGTACCACCCCGGCCCCTGCCAGTCCGTAAATGAGTCGAAATCCTCGTCGGACACGTCTGCAGCTCCGCTAATGGCAATAACCCTAGCAATGATCCACTGCATTTCAAGAAGAGCGGCTGATGGTAAGGGGAGATTGTCAGGGTCATCAGTAGTGAATTCAATAACATCGCCGGAACATATCTTGGTTTCCGTGTTACAGTTAAACAGCTTTGTTCCTCGGGCCAGAAGCGAGGTTATTCGGAAGCAAGGGGCGGGTGTCTATTGGCATAGTCTGCTGGAATGGTGTTAAAGGGAACCAACAAAATTGAACCTTCAATCTTTTTTTATCTGCATCCATCTCTAGTGGCTTAAACGCAAAGCGCGCTTTGGCCCACAGAGCATGCACATGGCTGGATAGGCATATAAGATTCTTAACTGTCTCAGTTCCCTCGGGACCTAGAACAGCGACCTCCCATGCAGCAACCTGTTCCTGGCTCCAGAAACATTTTAATGTATTCCAAAAGTCAACTTGTGCCTGGCTGTTCTTTCGCCTTCCCATAGAGTAGGAATAGATATGAGCAATCTCCAATGGTTCTCCTGCCTTTGTGACCACACAGCTCTCCTGGTCGCGCCTCCTACACTATCTGTTATTAGTAGATGCACAATGTGGACAGCTGCATGGAGGCTTACATCTTTATTTGCAACAACTGATCGTGTGACACAGCCAGATCCCACAGGCTGAGCCGGACTCGCTGTGCCAGACGACACCGAACCACGTACAAGGTGAGGAATCTTGGAGGGCGACAATTCATATGCTTCCGCCGGACGCTTTTTAGGAGTTAGGTCTTGGCCAGAAGTCCTCGCACGTCCAACCCCTAACCGATTAACCTGTCAGCCACTCTTAGTAGAATAGCTAAGTCCTTTAGGTGGTTATATACTACAACTTACATGCTCTGGCCATCTGGACGTTATCGTCCTTGTTAAATACAGCACGAGACACTATACTTGCCTTGCCAGCTTCCGCATCGGAGACAAGGGATTGAAGTCTCGAAGGGTCGGCAAGCCAGAGGCATGCCCACGTAATTGAATCAGTATTTGTTCTCTTGCACGTCTCCATTAGTCTGTCGATAAGGCGTATCCTCTGCGCGTCACTAAACTCTGGGGCTGGGTCCATTGTGACAAGAGAATAAACGCTGGACATAAGACAGGAGAATAAGAGGGGACAAAAAGTCTGCAGGATTCGAGGGTATAAAACACAGGGAGATACAGGAACAACACAACACCGTAGAAGAGGCCAGGATGTAAAGCAGAAAAGCGGCAAAACAGGACTTACAAGGAAAGCACTCCGCATAATGTTGTCATTCGGCTCGTGTGGGTCCATAAACCCTTGCCCTATTGGTAGGCCACCCCTCATCTTACCTCTATATCCTTAGCCGCGTACAAATTAGGAAAGCGGTGACTCGCATGATCTTAGAACTAACGTAATCGGACACCGAGAGGCACACAACGCCTGCACCAGTATTACCACCAACCACCATGATTAGTCTTCAAAACGGGAGAAGAATACGCGTACTTATAATGTACAGTTTGTTTACTAGGCCCGTAATTATACACACTTACTCCAGACAATTTGCTACTTAATGCTTATTCAATTCCCATCAGTTTTCTGCTTGCGTTATCTTGTACGGACATATGAACAGACATGGGTATTTAGAGATGGGTAATCTAGTACCGTTGCCAAACTACCCGTATTAAATAAAGGAGAGATGAGCCTCTCAGGGAGCCACGTGATTGCTCACTGAGCAGGCCCTGAGTGCTCACTGAACAAGCCCCTGAGTACCCTCATTAAAGCGGCGGTGTCCGAAAGGGGAAAGAAAGTCTCAGTATCTCCAGAAAATCAAGTCCGTATAGTGACATATATACATACCATACATACATAGTAGGCGGTGTGATGCGAAGGGAAAACCAGAAAAAAAAAAAATAATGGGATGAACCGGGATTGAACCGGTGACCTCACGATAGCATATGAGAATGCAGATTGAAGTGTACTTCAGTCGTGCGCTCTCCCAACTGAGCTATCACCCCTTGTGTGTTGAAGTCAACTGTTTTCAATATTACATGAGGCTCAGTAAGTATAAATCAGTTGCATAAAATACCATATTTTTCTCTTTGTTTTTCCCTCTCTACTCCCCGATCCCTTTAGACTTCCAACCTTAATTTATAGATTTTGGGACTTAATTTGATATTTTACGTTTAAATAACTTCAAACCGGCGTAGTCTGTACTTTGTAACTGGCGTCAAACAGAACCTTGTTTATATATCCGTCCACACCAATCCCTATCCGGTATGGAGTAGTAGGTCTTTTTTTTTTTTTGGAGCTTTCCCTTCAAAATGTCGCTGTCAATGGTAACTGGTATTACAGACAGATGCTAAATTGGCAATCGATCTAGATTTACGTTTCGTAGATGATATCGTATTCGTATACAAAGATCAGGCCACAGTCAGAAGCTACGACGTAGTACAGAGACAGACGTCATGGCTTGCAGAGAGAAGTGGCAGTGATCAACGGGCGGATCTACCGGAAAATGGCGCCCCTGTGCTACTATGATTGGCCCACTGATCCCCAGCGCCAGCCTCTTTTTTCTCTCTCTCCCCCGTGACCCCTTGCCTTCCATTCCTTTTCCTCTTTCTGCTCCTGTGCCACTATCACCGATAACCCCCCGTCGGCGATACCAGAAAAGATGGGGTTATCAACTCGTTTCCTCCGCATCCCGCGGCCTCAGGTATGTTCAGACACAGAAGAAAAATTTGGACAGCTCGTGATCGCTGGGAATCAAAAGCACTTTTTCCCTCGAGGCTCTCGGTCGCTCGTTTCTGCTAACGACGCTGGTTGATCCGTTCCTTCTACAGACATTCCTTTATGTGATGAGCCTTCGTACCGGCGCTGCTCTAATTACACTTTCCTTACTACTCAATAAAATCAGCGGTCTCTATGGTCTGCTCGCTCTTCTGACCGGCTACGACCTTTCTCCAGTACAACTGTCGATGTACATTTACTCCCTAATCGCCCTCGGTCTCGCGACTTTGCTCTTCCCTCATATCAGGAAACAATCTCCCCTACAATGCCTCGCACTAGCCTACCTCTACCTCTTCGATAGCATTATCAATGCCGCATACACGGCTGCCTTTGGGGTAACATGGTTTCTTGTCGTCTCCCAGCATTATGATAACGGAAACGTGTCCGGCCCGGGTAGTGAGACGATCTCAGAGACCACCGCCTTTACCAGTCCCAATCAGGACGAAACCTACGCCGACTCGGTCGATGGAGCCCACCATGCCAGAAGCTCCGACGGCCTCAGCAACGCCGTATATCAGCCCGAAAGCTTCCAGAGCATCGTTTTTATTTGTACTCTGTGGATAGTCCGTGCCTACTTTGTGTTTGTCATGCTGGCATTTGCTCGTCAGTCATTGCGCCTCTATATTGCCGTGCCTCGCCACACCCAATTGCCAACACACAGCCGCAACGCGTCCATAGCCAGCGTGGCTAGTGTGGCTGATATCGACCGCGAACCCTTCTCGCCGTTTACCCCCGACGGCCAGGGCTGGAGAGGAAAAATTGGTCGTGCTATGATCAGTGTGGGTCGCAATTACTGGCTTGGAGAAGATGAGGAAGGTACAAGCTGGATGAACAACATGGGCCGCAGGTTTCGCGCTCGTGCCGAGAACACCGAGCTTCCGGGCCCCCTTGAAAGAGAGAGAAGGCGTCGGTCAGGCACCGGTCCCCCGCAGCCCTCTCAGTTAGCTGTTCAGGCTGCCGCGTTGCAACGGCCTGTCTATGAAGTTCCAGGGATGAACGTCAAGATGCAGGATTGGAGCGAAGGCAGGTGATTGGTGTCGTTCGAATCTTCCGATTCGGCGTAAACTACGTATTCACGCCCTGGCCGGACGCTGGTCCTAGTGAAAATCCGAGTCCTCTCCCACTGCCAAGACTGCGAGTGTGCTGTAGCTAGCTTTGCAAGAAGTGGGAAGAATCTCTGATACCTTGTCAAACCTAAGGACACATCAGTGAGGTATCGTTGTTTGTTGCCTCTCATTTCTGTGACACATGGCCTGTTTTATTTCCTTTCATTCCTGTTATTGTATATGGCGAGATGATCTATATACACTGGTTACGATTCAGAGGGCGGAAAGTTTGCAGTGGATAGGTGCCTTTGCATATTCTTCCCTCTTTCATATATGAGGCGTTCGCATAGGGGTCAAATGGGTCAGCGCAGAATCCACGATCGTTCGGGAATGGGGTTCTAAAAGGTTTCACTATCCCTCCAGACGAAGCCCCGTATTGGAGCATGTACATTGATACCTATTGATAAGGGTTGGATTTCTTTTTTACGGCGTCACGTGGGATCAGTATTAATTTGCACCATCTCCATCTTTCATAATTATTTTTTATCTTCCCCTTTTATCAGGTTTGATATACAACTACAAGACAATCGGCTAGTCACTGCACAGGCGCAGTATTCCCATAGAAACCTTTTTTTCTTTCTCCCTTTTTATTGAAGTACCAAGGCCCTTCAAATGTCTATTGGCCGAATTTTCTCGCGCGAGAGAGCATGTTCAACCCGAGGTACGGAGTAGTATACGGCTAGATAACCACTAATAGTTGGTACTAAGGCATCCGTTCAGCATAGAGCCCAATGACCGCAGGGTACGCGGACTCGGATGTCATGCCTCAGGCCTAATTACATCCTCTTGCATGTTCACCGCAGACTTTACGGGATTCATCTGGAGACTATCCCGAGCAAAAGCCGCCGATGAAAGTGACGTGCTCGACCTGTCGTCACGGGATCGCCGCACTTGGCTCGATCGGGTAAGTTTGCATTGTCTGCCCGCAGCCGTTTGCATCGATGTCGTGATCGCAGACCAATCAGGGCTCTGCTGATCCAACCCCGATGGCGGAGATTCACCACAGGTTCAATGGAGAACTATCGCGTTGGGCGGATTGCGCCAGGCAGGAGAACGGAAAGACTCATGCTAAAATTTCCATGACTTCGGGGGGGTGTCCTTTTGTTTTCCCTTCCTTCTCCCTCTTCATCTCTTCTATTGAAACTTGAATTGGGCGGGGAGTCACCGTCTGCGGTGATATCCAGTTCTCTACTACATTCATAGTAGAAGTGCCGTCCCACCTTCAGCGGTTTGCGACGCAGTCAGTCATTGTCATCATGGCATCTATTTCAACTGCTGGAGAAGCAGGTATGGCCCCGCCTGTCTCAGTGTATCTTAACATTTTTTTTTTTTTTTTAAATGATTGAACCCGCGTATTGAAAGCTGAAACTGAGAGCTAATCCATTGTTCGATACTCACAGTGGCAAGAGTAGCCTACCTCGCCAGCGATGTTGTCCTTTCCGTCCAACCCTCTCTGCAGGCAGATTCTTGGTTCAGCGAGCCTCTCAAGGCCCTCAAGGCGGGCAATGTCCATAACCTTCTGTCCAAGAATGTTACGAATGTAAGTGTTGCTGAAGTTACAAACACCAAGAGCATCCGTTGACGGTTTCCCATAGGTGTTAGCTGTACGATACAATGAAGACCCTCTTCTCTCTGCCTTTCATCCTCTGCAAAGGGGAAGTGCGGTTTCGGTTGTCACAAGCTCGTCTGCCCTACTCTCATCTATCCCTCACCTCTATCGTCTGGCGAGCCATCCTGTAGTTCTCCATGTTGCCTTGGAGCCTTATCCATTCCCAGATTATTCAGTCATCAGCTCAATACGGCAATGTGGCTTCACCTTTTTGCACTCGGAAACAATTCAGGAAGCGCAGGATATTGCCATTACGGCGCATGCCCTCTCTCGCAAGTCTGGAAGGGGTGTCATCCATTTCTTTGACCCGGCGAATTCAGCCCGTGATGAGGCCATACCACAGGAGAATGTGGATGTCGTGAAGACGCTGTTACGTCTGGGTGGAAATGCTGCTACTCATCCCAATGATGTCGGTGTCCAAACTTTGTATACCGACTCGGGACGTGTTGCTACTGTCACAGATGAGGTCGTGGCAAACACGTCCAGGGAGCAGCCCGACGCTGCCTTTGCTCAAACACAACCCTCTCAAACCCCTTCGAGCTTTAGTGTCGATAACTCTTCTGTTGGATCTTCCAGGAGGGCTAGTAGCACGGACAGCCGTGCTACCAGTTCGGTGGCCACTACTATCGATAACTCGTCTGTGCGGCCAGTCAACTCCGCTGATATCTTCGAATGGACTGCTCAGATTTGGCGCGTGTTGTCGGAGTCCGCAGGACGCAGCTACCGTGCGATAGAATATACTGGCCCGTCTGACGCCAAGGCAGCTATCTTCGTTTTCGGCTCGACAGGAGTGTTCGTGGATGTGCTGGCTAGGGAAGATGTTGCTCCTGAACTCGCAAGTATTGGCCTCATTACTGCACGCCTTTACCGACCTTGGGTGGGAGGCGGAATTGCCAACTCCATTCCGAACTCGATTGAAAAGATTGCTGTTCTGGAGCAGGTCCGAAAAACTACGAAATGGGGACCTTCGTTTATGGATCTTCTGTCGAGTTTGACACCGGCTACTGCTGGAGGACGTAACCTTCAAATAGTGGGTTACAGACTCGGTTACATCGAACCCTCCACCTCGGTGCAGGCGCTTCGTGGTATTGTCCAGAACCTGGGCTCCCCGACTCCCATCCAGAACCTGGAGGTCGGGAGCTCTAGAGCTCCTACCATTCAGACGCCGCTGGAGCAACCTCACATTGAAAACGCCTACCTCAAAATCTTGGACCAGCTTTTCAGTGATCGCCTGCATATCGCGAACCAGCTGAACTCGAAGAATGCTGGGGTTTCTTCCACAATTGCAGCAAGCCCTGAGTATGGGTTTGGCTCGCTGGTTGCAAGGATGGAACACCGTAAGCGCTTTATCCGAGAGGTTGAGGAGGCGATAAAAGCAAACACTTTCGCGACTGAGCGCCCCAAGGCCTGGCTATCGAAATGGGCTCTTGTTGCCAATGACGTTTCCAAGGCAAACAGATTGGCCCCCGACGTTATCGCCCGTCTTTCAAACGATGGCTCCCAACTGTCGAGGCACCTTCTCAAGTCGAAGAAACTCTTCTACAACGAGTCTCAATGGCTTGTCGGCTCGGACGCATGGGCCTATGATCTTGGAAATTCCGGCGTCCATCATGTACTGGCTTCTGGTGCCAACGTGAATATGCTTGTCATTGACTCACAGCCTTACTCGGAACGTGCTGCTGCTGATCCAACTCGTCGTAAGAAGGATATTGGGTTGTATGCCATGAACTTTGGCAATGCCTATGTTGCCTCTGTTGCTGTCTATGGGTCCTACACTCAAGTTCTTCAGGCAATGGCCGAGGCCGAACAATTTAAGGGACCGTCCATTGTTCTTGCCTATCTACCGTATAACCAAGAGAATGACTCCGCCCTCACCGTTCTTCAGGAAACCAAGAGGGCTGTTGATCTAGGGTACTGGCCCCTGTACCGCTGGAATCCCGGGAACGAGGAACATGGTGAGCCGAAATTCGAATTGGACTCGGAGCGCATCAAGCGTGAGCTCGAGGAGTTCCTTCGAAGGGATAACCAGCTGACCCAGCTCATGAACCGCCAACCGAAATTCTCTTCTGTCCTTTCCGAATCTTATGGAACCGAAGTCCGTGCGTTACAGAAGCGTAAGGCCAAGGACTCATACGAGAAACTTCTTGAGGGTCTTTTCGGTGCTCCGTTGACAATTCTTTTCGCCTCGGATAACGGAAATGCAGAGAATCTGGCAAAGCGACTCGGAAATCGTGGCCGTGCAAGGGGCTTGAAGACCATGGTTATGGCTATGGACGATTATCCGATTGAGGATTTGTCTACCGAGGAAAATGTGGTTTTTATCAGCAGCACTGCTGGCCAGGGAGAATTTCCCCAGAACGGCCGTAGCCTTTGGGAGGTTGTGAAGAACTCTGGAGATTTGGACCTGTCTACCATCAACTATTCCGTTTTTGGTCTTGGTGATAGTCACTACTGGCCACGAAAAGAAGATAGGATCTACTACAACAAGCCTGCAAAGGATCTTGATGCCCGCGTTGCCTTCCTCGGAGGCCGCAAACTGACAGACATTGGTCTTGGTGACGATCAGGACCCGGACGCCTACCAGACCGGCTACTCCGAGTGGGAGCCACGTCTCTGGCAAGCACTGGGAGTGGATAAAGTCGAGGGTCTGCCCGAGGAACCAGCACCTTTGACGAATGAAGACATTAAGATTCAGTCCAACTATTTGCGTGGCACTATAGCTGAGGGTTTGTTGGATGAATCCACCGGGGCTATTTCTGCTAGTGACCAGCAATTGACCAAGTTTCATGGCACGTACATGCAAGACGACCGTGATGTTCGTGATGAGCGCAAGGCCCAGGGACTTGAGCCAGCTTACAGCTTTATGATACGTTGCCGACTTCCAGGCGGTATCGCTACTCCGTCTCAGTGGCTTCAGATGGATGCCATCAGTAGCTCATGTGGCAATGAGACCATGAAGCTTACGACAAGACAGACCTTTCAGTTCCACGGCGTCATAAAGCGTAATCTCCGTAGCGCAATGCGCGCTATAAACAGGGCTTTGATGACTACTATTGCTGCCTGCGGTGATGTCAACCGAAATGTTATGTGCAGTTCTCTGCCGGAGCTCTCGGTCTACCACCGTGAAGCGCATGCCGTTGCGAAGAGAATAAGCGATCATCTCCTTCCATCGACAACTGCCTATCATGAGATCTGGCTGAAGGATGAGAATGACAAGAAGGTGCAGGTTGCGGGAGATGCAGTCGTGGACCATGAGCCTCTCTACGGTCCCACGTACCTTCCTCGCAAGTTTAAAATTACAATTGCCATCCCTCCCCACAATGACACGGATGTCTATGCCCATGATATCGGCTTGATTGCAATTAAGGGGTCGGATGGACATCTGGAGGGCTTCAATATCATTGCTGGTGGGGGTATGGGTGCCACCCACAACAATAAAAAGACTTATCCTCAGACTGGCCGCATGTTCGGATATGTGCCTGCTGATCAAGCCCATGTCGCCTGTGAAAAGATCATGCTCGTCCAGCGTGATTTCGGTGACCGCAAGAACCGCAAGCACGCACGTCTAAAGTACACCATCGATGATATGGGAGTCGAAGTTTTCAAGGAGAAGGTCGAAGCCCTTCTCCCCGATGGTCTGCGGTTTGCGGAACCACGTCCGTTTAAGTTCACCTCGAATATCGATACCTTCGGTTGGCAGAACGACGAAAAAGGTCTCAACCACTTTACATTCTTTATCGAGAATGGTCGCATCGAGGACACTGCTGATTTCCACATGCGTACCGGCCTGCGTGAATTGGCGAAACTCGACAAGGGTGAGTTCCGTCTTACTGGAAATCAGCACCTGATCCTGTCCAATGTCAAGGACGAGGACTTACCGCCCATTAAGGAGCTGATGGCCAAATACAAACTCGACAACACCTCCTTTAGTGGTATGCGCCTCTCGTCATCGGCCTGTGTAGCATTCCCGACGTGTGGTCTTGCAATGGCTGAGTCTGAGCGATACTTACCGGTCCTTATCTCTAAGCTGGAGTCTACGCTTGAGGAGGTGGGCCTGGCGAGGGAGAGCATTGTTATGCGTATGACAGGCTGCCCGAACGGCTGTGCCAGGCCATGGCTTGCTGAGGCCGCCTTTGTGGGCAAGGCTTATGGCGCTTACAACATGTACCTCGGCGGTGGCTACCATGGACAGCGCCTGAACAAGCTTTATCGGTCATCCATCATGGAAGATGAAATTCTCGAGATTATGAAAGGCCTCCTCAAGCGATACTCTCTTGAGCGCAACACTGATGGAGAAGTGCCGGAGCGATTCGGAGATTGGTGCATACGTGCAGGTGTGATCAAGGAGACGACTGATGGGCAAAACTTCCACGAAGGAGTAAGTCGAAATCACCACCCTGACGTTTAAGTTTCATATCTAACAGAGCTGTATAGGTTGCGGAAGATGAAAGCGATGAGTAAGGAAAGAAAATGAATACTTTTTTAATCTTGGACATGTCACTTCTGCGCCAACTCGCATTGTCTTACTAGTTTGAACTATTTTATTGGGCCTTTGTTGGTCCAACTGATTATGGATATTTTCCCATCTATTTTGTTTTCTACATATTTTTATGTTGTATATGCTGCAGATACCACAAATATACTTGCATATATGTCATATCAAGGCGGCATCGGCATTCGATTAGCGCAATTGGTTGATTGGCAAGGTATCAAATCTTTAACTTTGATGAACTGTGCCAGCGAATTCGACGTATTAGGGTTTCTCTTTTCTTGAAATTGTCAATTAAAAACTCAATGAGGATATATCAATGAAGTGCCACTGCGCTAGAAAGGTTGCTAGCCATATATGCATGCTGGAAAAATCTTCCAATATTCTGGCAGGTGGGCTGCGCTCTGGAGGGGCGTCTGTCGCAGGGGGCAGGTGGAAAATCAGCAAAGAGCTGTGTCCTTGTAGTGTGGTGGAAAATTCCCTGTGAGGAATCACCCGCGATCATATTGATCAATCCTGCGAGTCTACCATTTCCCACTAAGCAAATTTCGCTTCATAGTAAGAAGATAGTGTAAGTAGCATGACTGTATGCCGGATTAAGCAGGCATCCCGAAGAAAGAAGGCGGTGTGTATCGACTGCTTATCAAACGGTACTCCGCCAGTTTCCCCGATAAAAATAAAAAAGAGGCATGTCAACCAACCAGCTTGATTATTTCTACTGAATCTAGAATGATATGGCTTGATCTGTGGGATACCCTTGATGGCCTATTTTTAATAGTCGAAAAGAATCTACCAAGAACCCATGACTTCCTCCGACCTCGATCCCGTGATTGCATCGTACGATGTGTATCTTACGGACTCTGAGATTTCCCGTTTTGTGTTGCAATATCTCGATCGCCCAGCCGGAGATGCCTACGACGACCGCCATGGCCAGAAACCAGCCGCTTTCCGTATAAAGCCAAAGACGGGCCTTGTGGAAGTGGACGTTCCGATCAACACGCGCGTCAATTATGATGTCAATAAGGGTTTGCGGTACGGAGATGCGTTGAAGAGGAGCCGGAACGCTCGTGAAGGAAGCGCATTTGGTATGGCCGGTGGCTTCAGCTCCGGAGGAGTAGGGGGTAAGGTGAAAATGGAAGGAGCCGGGGACGTAGAAATGAGCGGGATGGGATCCGGAGAGTCAGCTTCGTTGTTACGAATGCAGACCCTGGGTGGGCGTATTAAGAACCCAGAGAATGGCGATCCGGTTTATATGCTGGCTGCGTTCCGTGGAAGTAAGTGTTCCCTCTTTTGATCTTACTCTCTTTATCACCTCCCTGGGTATTGATGATGCTAATGAATACGTAGAGAACCTGCACCTTTCTCCTGTTTCTGCTGTCGTCCAATTGCACCCTCAACTGCACCATCTGGACGCGTTGGATGAGATCCCTGCCAAGGGGAAGGGAGGAAAGGGCCGCAAAGATGGTGACGATGAGCGTCAGGCGGAAAGTGAAGCTCGCGCAATCGATGTTAAGATCAAAGCAGCCGAGGATGGTGAGGGAGCTATGGTTGCAGGCAACCTAGACCTTCTGAAAAAGATGCAGGATGAGAAATGGGATACGTACAATTGGGTCGACGCTGAGGTATGCACACCCCCCTTTCTTCGTTTCCTCTTCTTTTGTTCTTGGGTCTGCTATTCTGTGGCTTATCTCTAATATTTATACTCTTAGACGGAGGAGTCATGGAACGTGTATGAGAGCTACATGATGCACCAGGATCCGGAGAACCTGCCGCAACTTGATTCGGCAATTAATAGTGAGGACTATCTTGACACAATGAGCGCGCCGCGTATTGACCCAGCGCGGCCGGAGATGACTGGGTGGGCGATGAAACAGAATCGGAAGAAGCAAGGTGATCTAGAAGGGTCTGGGGGTCCTACAGAGTTATAAATGAAGTCTACGGAGGAATTGAATACGAGTTTATGCATAACCGTATAATTGGGAATGGCCCAATATTTGCTACCGGTAGTATATAAGATAGTAGAGGGTATGTTTCATCTTTCTGTGATCGAATAGAATAGAGACCTGGTCGCCAACTAGGGAAGCTGATCAATCAGGGACGGTAAAAGCCTGACAGTGGGACTCACGTGCACTCACGTGCATTATCGCCCTTTTGGTTCTTCCGTATTTTTCTCTCGCCGACTTCTCGTCCCCGACAATTTCGATCGCGTTCTCGTCGACGATTCCCATCCTTTTCTTTTGCCTGACCTCTGTAAACGGCCAGAGGAGGGCTGCCGGACGGCTCGTCAGCTTATATTGGCGCCTTCTTGCGACAATCTTTTCCTTGTCGAAGTTTAGCATACCCTAATGATTTTGTTCGATTGTGTCTAGTTTGGCTTTGGTCTTAAAAGTCTCTTTATCGCTATTCTTTTTTTTCACTCTGTTATTTCAGTTTTCTACGTTTATGTTTCTATAATCTCAATCCGGTTATTTTAGCGGTGTTTGCGAATCATGTTGTCCCGAATTGCTTGTCAGAAAAGTGCCGTATCTCACCTCCGGCTGTTAAATGGCCGTCACCTGTCGCCGTGGTTGGCGACCCTCCGGCTTCATTCGAATTCGACTCGGCCAGTTTCCCTAACAAATGCGTCCACTACGATACCTCAGGAGCGTTCTCGTCCTCCGTCCTTTCAATCGAATCGGAATCTTGCCACCGCCACAGATCAGTCTGTAATTGACCATGGGTCGTACTCCTTCGATAAATCCCCTTATGCCACTGAAGCACAATATGACAAGATGGCTTCACTATTTCCTGCCATCGCTAGGGACTTCGATCCTTCGTCTCTAATTATCGTGGAGGACCTCTTGCAGACGAAGCCGAAGGTGCTCAGGCGCGTAAAAGGCATCGGCGGTGATGAAGACGAGCTGCTGGCGAATTTGAATATCTCCTTAAAGGTTGGCAGACTTGATCGTGCTGCTGCCATTGTTTCCCGACTTGGAGAGCATTACCCCGTCGGTTCACCTGAGTATCTAGCTATCCACAACCGCTATTTGGAAGAGATGGTGTCGCATATGGTCGTGACGAGGCAACACAATATGGTCTTACCATTGCAGAGATGGTTTGAGGTTGATATGCCTAGCGGAGGTGTCCAGCCGAACGCAACCACGTATGCGGTTATGATACGGATGGCCTTGCGTATGTTGCACGGCGCAAAACGGGATAGAACAGTGCGAAGATATTGGGATCTGGCGAAGAAGATAGGCGTCGAGGAAGAGGTTTTAGCTGTTCCAGTTCTCTCAGAATTGGAACTTGGCGAGCTTTCAGAGGTTGGTACTCGTATGCTGCCCAGGAATATGCAACGCTAACCGTTCGTTTTTAATCAGATATGCTCCTCCGATCTCCAACAAGTTGCGATTGGTAGTATAACGTCCGATGCAGGGCATAGCGATCTTAGGACCCCTGTATTGGACACGTCAGCAGAAGTGCGACCAGTTGAACAGAGAGGCATAGGCCTTAGCTCTCTAAAGGAATCTCTTTCGTTGTTCTCAGACCCCTCCAAAGTTCCTGTCCCAGAGAATAACGGGTATACTGCGGAGGAGAACAAGGAATTGCATGACCAGCTAAGGCAACGGCAAATCGAATCTGATTCCATACGAGTGTCACTCGAACGCTGGAGACATGAGTTCAGCGAGATGCAAAAAGCAGGAGTGGATGTCACTGGTGGCGGGAAACGATTGGGTTCCATAATAAATCAATGGCATTCCGGGCTAGTCTCCAAAATTAAAGAGGAGCTGAAGCTTGTCGACGAAGCGGAAAAAAACCCTGTCCGAACAATAGATCAAAAAGAACGCTGCGACTACGGGATTTATTTGCGGAGCCTTGATCCGGAGAGATTGGCGGCGCTTACCATCCTTAGTGTTGTATCTACTTTCAGCCGTGGAGGAATGGAAAAAGGCCTCAAGGTGTCTGCGGTTGTCACTACGATTGGAAAGGAGCTCCAAGATGAGCTGATAGCCGAGGCTACACTTCGCAAAGAACCCGAAGCAGACGCTCGGCGCGTGAAGATTTTGAAGGAAATATTCTCTAATCGGAAAAGGAAAGATGGTCGGGCACAATGGCATGGTGTTGTGCATAGTTTACAGCAAGCAGATCCGTCAGTTCTTTGGCCGGCCACTGTGAAGGCTAAAGTTGGCGCTGTTTTGATGACCTTGCTTTTTGATTCCGCGAAAGCACCTGTGGCAATGAGAACCCAGACACCAGAAAACAGGAGATATCTATGCAGCCGGCTTTCCAGCATTCCTACCAAATTACCTGGGGTAGGCGCCTTGGATACATTCACGTAAACCCGGCGATTGTGAAAATTATTGCGAAGGAGCCTCCTGCTGATCTTTTGGGCCGACATCTTCCGATGCTTTGCAAGCCCAAGCCATGGAGGAACTATGACGATGGAGGCTACTTTTTATACCAAAACACGATAGTTCGTACAACACCTGGCGAAAGTCTGCAACCATCCTACCTGAAAGCTGCGCTGGAAGACAATGGACTTGAACAGGTGCGTGCCGGTTTGGACATCCTTGGAAACACTGGATGGAAGGTCAATGGCGAGGTATTTGACGTTATGCTCGAGGCATGGAACTCTGGGGAAGCGATTGGTAATCTTTCTCCTCTGAACCCTGACTTGCCTCACCCGCCAAGGCCGGACCCAGAAGAAGGACACGAGGCTGTCCGGAAATGGGAAACTGCTATGCGCGATATCGAGAACCGACGCTCTGGGATGCATTCGAACCGTTGTTTTCAAAATTTCCAACTTGAGGTTGCTCGAGCCTACCGAAACGAGACATTCTACCTCCCCCATAACATGGACTTCCGGGGCCGTGCTTACCCACTCCCTCCCTATCTTAACCAGATGGGTGCGGACAGTGCTAGAGGCCTTCTACTTTTCAGTGAGGCGAAGTCACTGGGTGCCAATGGTCTGAGGTGGCTGAAGATTCAAATTGCTAATTTGGCGGGTTTCGACAAGGCCAGTCTTTCCGAACGTGAACAATATACTATGGAACACTTGGACGACGTGATCGACTCCGCCAACAAGGGCTTACATGGCAAGCGCTGGTGGCTTGAAGCGGAGGACCCATGGCAATGTTTGGCGGCCTGTCTTGAACTGAGAAACGCTCTTCAGCTCGCAGATCCCACTCAGTATCAGTCGCGCCTGCCAATTCATCAGGATGGTTCTTGCAACGGCTTACAGCACTACGCAGCGCTTGGTGGCGATAAAATTGGCGCTCAGCAGGTCAACCTGGAGCCCTCTGACCGCCCCTCTGATGTGTACACTGGCGTTGCTGAATTCGTCAAGGAAGCCGTTGCGCGTGAAGCTGCCAGGGGCGATCCTTTGGCAAAGATGCTTAATGGGAGAATTACGCGGAAGATCGTTAAGCAGACTGTTATGACGAATGTTTACGGCGTGACGTTTATGGGAGCGATGAAACAAGTGCGCAAACAGCTTGTCGACCATTATCCCGACCTCTCCAATGAAGAGAAGAAGCAAGGATCTCTGTACATTGCCCGAAAAATTTTCGAGGCCCTTGGCACTATGTTCAATGGCGCTCACGAGATCCAGTATTGGCTAGGAGATTGTGCAAGTCGCATCACGCAGTCTCTGTCTCCGGATCAAATCGAGGAAATCGCGAAGGAAGCTTTGATGCCCGTGGAGAAGCCAACCCTTCCTGGACCGAAGCCTTCTGTACCGAAAAAGACCCAGAATGACCCTTCTAAGAAGTTTAGGACTACTGTTATCTGGACAACACCCTTGGGGTTGCCCGTTGTCCAGCCATATCGTGTCCGAAAGGCTCGCCGTATTAACACCACCCTCCAGGACCTGAGTATCGTCGATATGCACTCTGGGGTGACGGTCTCCAAACGCAAGCAGTTGCAGGCGTTCCCTCCTAACTTCATCCATTCCCTTGATGCAACCCACATGATCATGTCCGCTACCGCATGCCATCGATCCGGATTAACCTTTTCCGCTGTCCACGATTCCTTCTGGACCCACGCTTCGGATGTCGACAACATGAATCAGATCCTCCGGGAGGCATTTGTTCGCATGCACTCGGACGACGTAGTTAAGCGACTTGCTGCGGAATTCGAAGTCCGCTACGGCCAGAACCTGTTCCTTGCCAAGATCGATATGACCAGCCGCATTGGAAAAGCGGTTCGGACTTTCCGGAGAAGCAAAAACCAAAAGAATGCCAAGCTGCAGGAACTGCTTGACGAGTACAAGCGGCAGACGCTTCTCAAATCCGACGATCCCGAGCTGCAAGCCCAAGGACGCGCGATGGCCACGGCGGCCAGTGTGTTTGAGGAGGCCGGGGGCACTGACAAAGACTTAAACATTTCCGCTTCGCTCGGCGAAACGGTCGTTGGACATGTGCCGGAGGACCTGGAAGCTGCCGAGCGAAATATCTGGGGATCGGGCACGGACTCGACGGATCCCGCGGTCGAGAGCTTGGTGACTGACTTCGATAATGTCCTTGAGCCGAAGGCCGTGAGTGTCGAAGAGGGTGGCGAAGCTGAAGCCCGGGACGAGGGGGTGGAAGAAGAGCTAAAAAAGACGCGGAAAAAGAAGGTCACTACGTTGTGGCTTTGGCTTCCTCTGCGGATCCGTGAGGTCCCGCAGCGTGGAACGTGGGATCTGACGCGGATCCGTGACAGCAAGTATTTCTTTTCATAATGTTCGGGCGATTGTCTGTTGAACGCATTGGGTTGGCGTTGGCTGTATTAGACGCCCCTGGGGGCTTTCCAGTCATCTTCTGTGACTGATGTCCTTCGTCCCGGGTCACTCATCGGGGTCATTTTCTTTCCTCCCTATTTACTGTATTATTTACCTATATTTCTTTTCATTTTTCGGGATTTGTTCTTCCCCATTTTGGAATATCAGGGATGGATATGGATGGAGATGCGCCATTTGGAGGGAATCTGTACGTTATGATTAGATCTGCCAGGACGCATGGATGCATGGACGCATGGAAGGAGACAAGGGGAGTCAAAAAAATGTCTGTATATATATATACTCTTGTAAATAATCATAATGTGAGATTACGTGATTGAACGTGGGAGTCTGGAGTAATTTAGGCAAAAATGGTACAGCCAACCTGCAGAAGTATTTATTATTATGACATGCCCTTCTTTATACTGTAGCACTAGTGGAATTCTGGAGTATCACTCGATCGCTCGATCAGTCGACCCTCTTCACTTTTGCCTTCTGTCAATTCTCTTTCACTCGATTCGGATGGAGCGCCGACTGACTTCCTGAATCGGTAAGTCAGTGAGTGGAATGCTGGAGGTCTGTGTCACACTTTTAACCTATTTTTTAACTAATAATCCTGACTAAACCTGACTAACGACACCCCTGGCTATACTACTCCGGAGTATATCGCCTGACTAGTCTAATTGTTCTCCACTACTCAGTACTCAACTAAATAACTAATTTTGTCTCCCGAGTCGACGCCGTTAGATCTGACCGGCTCCTCTCTTCTTGGCTTCTTCTGTTCCTTTAAGTTCTTCATTTGCTCTTGTGCCTTTCCATATCTTTCATCTCCGTATCCTTTACCCCCAGGTCGTCACGCCCGTTTGTGTTGAATCTGGGGCCTTACGGGCCTTCCACTTTTCTCAGGAGCTTACTACTTTCTGTCACACCCGTTATCTGCTAGTTAACGTTCTTTCCCTATCCTCTATGCTGGGGTAATTTGATCGTTCTGTTCCCTTCCCCTCTCCCCCCTAACGTGAGGATGTCGGCGACATCTCTTCACCAGTTTGTCAGTCCCTTCTCTCCTTTTTCTTCGGATGCTCAGTCGTCGGGAATGACCCAGTCTCCGACGGTCCGGCTGGATACGCTTGCAGAGGGCTCCCAGTATGCGCTGGAGCAACTGCAGCTGTCGCGAGAAGCTGAAGGCGCTAACGCAGACGGCGGTGCCCCCCTGAGTTCTAAATCGAACAACCAACCGCTTTATGGTAGTGATGAAAACAAGCCCAGCAACAACAATACTATCTCGGGATTTAAGAGTTTGACGCATCGGGATCCGCTCGCAGAGTCGCGCTCTGCGATTCGAAAGAACTCTACCTCAACTCCCATTCGAAGGCGAATTAGTCGAGCGTGTGACCAATGCAACCAACTGCGGACGAAGTGTGACGGGCAGAGCCCGTGTGCACATTGCATTGGTAGTGTTTCCCTCTCGTTCTTTGGTGTTGTGCTGTCCCCATCTCCAGTGCTGACAGGAGTCACTTAGAATTTGGGTTTACTTGTGAATATGCTCGAGAACGAAAGAAACGTGGGAAGGCGTCTAAGAAGGACCTTGCTGCGGCAGCGGCAGCGGCAGCGGCAGGTACTGGTGGTGGTACAGCATCGCTGCCGAACCGTCCTGCGGGCCAGGATGGTGCTTCGTTGGCCAAAGGACAAACTCCTCCAGATGCCCGGTCGTCGCAGGAGGGAGGTGGAGGGTACCACGCGGTTTTAGATGCCACCCGCAGCCTTACCACTCCTACGCAATCACAGTTACAGTACCCCTCAAATGTCCCGGGCATGGTTGGCATACAGAATCGGCAGCAAGCGTCACACTCGCAACCGCCCTTTGGTGCTCCCATGGACTCATTGCAACTGAACCACTTTAGCTCCTTAAATGGGTCGAGTCAGTCATCGCTATCGATTCCTGATCTTCGGTCATTGCAAATACTGCATCAGTCTGGCGCCCCTCGTTCCCCGTCTTCCGGCCTTCCCTCCCACGGGCTGAATTCCGGCTATAATGATAGCACATACCACCTGATGAACCCACAGGATTCGAATAATGCCTCAATCAACCACTTTCGACTTAGTAGTTCGGCAGAGAACTCATCAGCACAATTTTTAGGTCTGTCGCCTCCTGCACAGTCACCGAGCTGGCTACCCTTGCCGTCACCATCTCCTGCAAACTTTCATGCCTTCAATATACCTCCGTTCAGTAGCACGATGCGGTATCCGGTACTGCAACCAGTCCTACCACATATCGCGTCCATTATTCCTCAGTCATTGGCATGTGATCTCCTCGACGTCTATTTCACCAGCCTTTCGCCCTCTCACGTGTCCCCCCAGTCTCCCTACGTAGTAGGCTATATCTTCCGAAAACAATCTTTTCTCCATCCCACCAAGCCAAGGGCCTGCAGTCCCGGCCTCTTGGCGAGTATGCTCTGGGTCGCGGCCCAGACCAGCGACGCGGCCTTCTTGACGTCTTCGCCCTCCGCTCGGGGAAGGATCTGTCAGAAGCTCCTGGAACTGACTATTGGGTTACTTCGACCTTTGATCCATGGCCCTGCCTTGGGGGAGACATCACCCAACTATGCTGCCGACATGGTCATCAACGGTGTGGCTCTGGGTGGATTCGGTGTCTCAATGGACCAACTACGTGCGCAAAGCAACGCCACGGGAGCTGTGGATGATGTTGCGACCTATGTTCATTTGGCGACCGTGGTCTCTGCCAGTGAATACAAAGCTGCGAGCATGCGTTGGTGGACTGCAGCATGGACCCTCGCGCGGGAGTTGCGGCTGGGTCGCGAACTACCGCCCAATGCTGCTCAACCCCAGCCGGATGGGGAGCGTGAGGGTGAGTCGGAAGCCGATTTGTCGAAGCGCAACCAAGCTCTGATTACTTCAGTAGGAAATGGCCCCGGAGGTGCAACTCTAAGTGCCACCGAGGAGGAACGAGAGGAGCGTCGGCGGCTTTGGTGGCTGCTGTATGCGACAGATCGCCACCTGGCGCTCTGCTACAACCGGCCCCTGACGTTACGGGACAGAGAGTGTGAAGGCCTGTTGCAGCCGATGAACGATGATTTGTGGCAGTCAAATAACTTCGCGGCGGCTGGTTACCGCCATGTAGGCCCACCAATGGAATGCACAGGGCACAGCATGTTCGAATATTTCCTGCCACTGATGACTATCCTTGGGGAAATTGTCGACCTGAAGCATGCGAGGGATCACCCTCGATTTGGTCCTGGTTTTCGCAATAGCCCGGAATGGGACCACCGGGTGCTGGAGATCACACGGCAGCTGGATACATATGGGCAAAGCTTGAAGGAGTTCGAAGCCCGCCATACCAGCAGTCTGGCTCTCGGAACTGAGAACGAACCCACCGTGGGAGGGACACACCTGGACCACATGAGCCCCTCGGTCCGGTCGAGTAGCACGGCTGGCTCGCAGGTGAACGAATCGATCGTGCACACTAAGATGGTGGTGGCCTACGGAACTCACATCATGCATGTTCTGCATATTCTTCTGGCAGGCAAGTGGGATCCTATTAACCTGCTTGAGGACCATGATCTCTGGATTTCCTCCGAGTCATTTATCTCCGCGATGAGCCATGCTGTCGGTGCAGCCGAGGCCGCAGCAGGTATCCTTGAATATGACCCAGATCTCAGCCTTATGCCTTTCTTTTTTGGTATCTATCTGTTGCAGGGTAGCTTCTTATTGCTGCTGGCGGCAGACAAGCTGCAGGGAGATGCAAGCCCCAGCGTGGTTCGCGCTTGCGAGACAATTGTGCGTGCCCACGAAGCTTGCGTTGTGACACTGAACACCGAGTACCAGGTAAGTTTGTGCCATCTCCGTCTCTGACTACGTGTGAACTCATCCGAACTAATGACCCTTCCTACAGAGAAAATTCCGCAAAATCATGCGTTCAGCTCTCGCGCAAGTTCGCGGGCGCAGGTTCGAGGACTTTGGCGAGCAGCAGCAGCGCAGGCGGGAGGTACTGTCTCTCTACCGCTGGACCGGGGATGGCAGTGGTCTTGCGTTATGAAGCTGCAAGCTGCATTATAGTAGCTTTGTAAACCAGCCAGACCATTCCGCAAAATATACATAATCTCTTATCATATGATGGGCGTTCATAACGGTTATTATTTGGAAACGGGGGCCAGAGCCGGTCTAAGGGCCCCGAGGTTGGGAGTTCAAAAATGGGATCTGTACGGCTGACAGGAACATCCAATTGTTTCCTACTTCTTTTTCTTCTTTTTTTCCCTTCTCTTTCCCTCTATTTGTCTTGATTCTTCGTCGGAACTCGTCTTGGTTCTGAACTTTTCTTGGCCGGATTCCTTACCGCTGTTACAGTCAAGAATGAGGGAAAAGGAGGAATACGAGCTACTGTGTGTTGAATGACTAGTACATACATATATACCCATGGACATATATACTGGGCTCATCTGCGTCTTTTCTGTTGATAGCTGGCTACTTTATGATATCTACTTGTACACTATGGCCGTCGGATTAACCCATATCCCCTATATTCAACCCTCTGAAGCCAAGCGTATACTCTTAGCAATGTTACCTCTTACTTGATGTATTTGAAAATTTATCATGATGAATTAGTGGATTAATTAACTACTAGTAATTACCCCGGATTTGGCGATGACGCCACCGCTGAGCTAAGCGGCCTTATCGGCAATCAGTTAATTAGCTATTGGTTGTCTTTTCTTCAACGTTTCGTCTTTTCCCTTGAACGTTCAACGCGATGGGGTGACGTTGCTTTCCACTGTTAGCAAAATATGACCAGCATAAGCCGCTCCATCCATCTTCCATTATCCGCGTGTGTTCGGTCATCGCGACCATCAGTTTCCCCCTTCATCCACAGGCGGTTCCTGGGGATTCCCTCCGCATTTTTGCTCGACCATTACATACCTCGGTACCAACTGCTTTCGTCGGTAGATGCAGCCAAGAAGCGCTCCCATGCCTATGCGCACCTTCGGAACTGCAACCTCTGTCCCCGTCGCTGCGGGGTGAACCGATACGAAGAAACAGGCGTTTGTTTGATCGGGGCCGAAACAGCCAAGGTCAATGTGATCGCACCGCATCGCGGCGAGGAACCATGCATCCAAGGATTTCACGGCAGCGGCTCGGTATTCTTCTCGGGATGCAACCTACGCTGTGTATTCTGCCAGAATCATGTAGGTAACCTTGTTTCTACCACTTCGTTGTGCGGGTCCCTGCATAAATCCAATTCGTTAACCGACCCTTGTTCTTGTCTTTTGATCATCTAGGATATCGCCCATCAACGGAATGGCTTCGACCTGACCCCGGATGAGCTTGCAGATTGGTATATGAAACTCCAGACGGAGGGTAACGTCCATAATATCAACCTGATCACGCCGGAACATGTGGTACCGCAGGTTGTACTGTCGATTCTGGCGGCGCGCGATATGGGTCTCAACGTGCCCATCGTTTACAACACGTCCTCGTTTGATTCGCTCGAGTCCCTCGAGCTCCTCGATGGACTCGTGGACATCTACCTGCCGGATTTCAAGGTGTGGAAGAGCAGCACGTCGAAACGGCTGCTGAAAGCGGATGACTACACGGGAACCGCCATGGAGAGTATCCGGGCTATGTACGAGCAGGTGGGTGATCTGTGTTTCACATCCGACGGGATCGCCAAAAAGGGCGTCTTGCTACGACATCTGGTCATGCCGGGGAAAGAGGACGAGGGCCGAGATATTATGCGCTGGCTGGCGGATAATGTCTCCAAGGACCTTTATGTGCATATCATGGAGCAGTATCGTCCTGATGCCCATGTGGGGAAGAAGAAGCGACGCATAACGGAGGGCTCCGGAGCGGATGAGTTACGGTACGCGGAGATCAACCGGGCCGTTCGCGATAAGGAAGTTGGCACGGTCAGGAATGCTGCCGTGGCGGCGGGATTGTGGAGGTTTTGCGAGGCGAATGAAAAGGGCATGTTTCATCTATGAGGATGTTTCGAGGTTGGTTGCTCCTTACCATGGTGCAGGTCGGGCATGTCCCTGCACCGGGTAAGTATGTATGTATGTATGCACATATAATATTTCTGTGGTGCTATCTGTTCAATGATACCCATCTTGAACAGATTCTTTCAGAACTGAAACCTATCTTCCACATCTGCTTGCAAACGAGTAGCCACATCCTGCTGTCAGACCCATGCTGTGTAGAAATTGTGGGTCTACCCGATAGAACCATGGATCTCAATTACAGACTCCCGCAGTGACGGACTGGGAGGACGCTTTAATAGATCGGGCTTGCTAATACGCCAGTTTATTTCTGATTGCCTTCCAGGACATATGCGTAGTTGAAAGAGCTGTTTCCCACTGTAAGTGAGTGCGCAAGTCATGTGACATGAGGGCCACGGGTCTGAGGTCATCACTGTCCCGTGACTAACTACCGAATTGTCGATTCTTCAAAAGTTCCAGTTCTTCCTTGACTTCAATCTTCCGCATACCAACTAAAACTGCATAGTATTATAATAGCAATGAAACCTGTCGTCGCTATTCCCGCCATTTTTGCTCTCCTGTATAGGGCATGGTCACGGAAATCGCTGACTCCACTTGGCCTTCTCGTTGCTGGTCTAACTGCCGGCGCACACGCTGTCCACCCATGGTCAGCTCCGTTTAGTTTGCTGGGGGTGTTCTACCTATCGGGGACGAAGGTGACGAAGGTATGCTTGCTCCGAATCTGACCCGTCTCCTGCGTATGAATGTCAATGGCTGACCTCCGGGCAGGTAAAACACGATGTCAAAGCTCGCCTCACACTATCTGCAACTGGCTCGGAAGGCGGCGAAGGCCAACGTACTCATGTACAGGTGCTGGCCAATTCCATCGTGGCTTCTGTACTGATCCTTCTCCACGCTCGCGCCCTCTCTGTACCCGGACTAGATACGTCGGGATGTTTCAGTAATGGTGGACAGACGGCAGATCTACTGGTTGTCGGGATCGTGGCGTAGCGTCTCTCTCTCCCTATCTGACGGTGATGGATCATACTAACTATGTCCTGTATAATTACAGTAACTACGTCGCTGTAGCAGCTGACACTTTCTCGTCCGAACTCGGTATACTCTCGTCCTCTAAGCCGCGTCTTATCACCTCCCCCACGCTTCGAGTCGTTCCACCGGGTACAAATGGCGGCGTGACGGGTACTGGACTCATGGCAGGGGTATTAGGGTCGTCCATTGTTGCGATCACGTCTGCGGCGCTGTTGCCCTTTTGCTCGGAGAACGATGGGTCTGGGATTGTAAAACGCCTGAAATGGGCTCTTGCATTTACGGTCTGGGGCGCCTTGGGAAGCGTGTTGGATAGTATTTTGGGTGGACTTCTACAGGCGAGTGTAGTAGATAAGAGGACAGGAAAGGTTGTCGAAGGGACGGGTGGAAAGAAGGTACGTCATGAGATTTCTCGACGGATATGCCGTTTCCCTGTATCCGTGGACGATCAAAGCGCGCAGACAAGTTAATAGTGGTTGTCTTCTAGGTTCTAATCCACCCTTCCACTGTTCCTGGAGGATTGGCGGGAGCTTCCAGTTGCTTGCCTGGTTCTACAGGAACAATACGTCAACGAAAATCGGAATCCGAGGAAAAGAAGTCTGATCAGGATACTGGCTTGCAGCACGAAAGCCGACGGATCGAGAGTGGATACGACGTATTGGATAATAACGCAGTGAATGTGTTAATGGCCGCGATGATGAGTGTGGGTGGGATGGGAATAGCTGGTTGGCTTTGGGGGATATCTATTCGTGAAGTTGGTTCGTTTGGACAACAGTTGTTCTTATGATTTGATGGTATCTACCTACAAAGCTGGGAAACAAATATATATGACAAATAAATAATGTGATATGATTAACTATCCGATGGAAACTAGCTAGATACTTTCGAAATAGTACGAAATGGATGTAAAAGACATTTACACTACCTACCTTTGAAAGTAAACGCAAAGTCAAGGGAGATCAGCTCTATGGCAACACTGTAGAGGCCTATGGGCTGACTTCAGCACCTTGGTCTTCCATTCAGCCAGATCCCATTCCTTGGCCAGAAGATCCAATGTAATGGACATTTCACGAGCGTTACGACGAATCGCTTTCCATTCCTTCCTCGAGATATCATCTTCCCAGGGCTGATGTCGGAATATCTTATGTCGACGGACCCTACTCGCCACACCCGTGGGATGCATGGTGAACTTGAATTTACCAGGTGGCGTATCGAATATAATCTGTTGAGGCGTAGTGAGCCAGTGAAAATCCCGGTCCACGATCTTCAGTCCTGAGTATAGGCTCGGCGTCACGGATGACCTTACCGTCCCATCCCCGGGATGCATATGGTGATCGGATTGTTTGATTAACCAGACTCTGGGGCACGTTGATGGGGGTTTTCTCTTCGTGTTGTTCTCACGTCGCATATCCACAGCGAGGAAAGTATCCGGGGCCAACGACCCTCGCTTGCGTTTCAGCGATGGGAAGCTGTATCGATTGTACACGTGAGCCTTTGGATCTGAATTAACAGCGGATTGGCTATTGTTCTTACGAGCTGTTAGCTCATGGGGAGGAACGAATCCTCGTAGGCGAGTCATTTCCTCCCGTCGGGTCTTCCTATCGGGCCCGGGCTTTAGATACTTCATATACAGTGAGATCTCGGCCCGTTCGGGGTCGCGCGGTTTTAGCGATACGCGGGCCATCTCGAAGCACCAGTACGCCTTTAACTCGTTCCGTGCAGACCATGCGATTCGGCCCTCCCAGTACTTACATTTTCCATAATATGATCGCTGGGGTAGCCTCTTGGCTATCTCAAAGGCATGCCGCACCCAGTACTCGGATTCATCGATCTGCCACTCGTCGAGACATTTCCCTGCTTGGATGAATGAATGCATGATCTCTTGCCGGTCGATCAACTGGTCGATTTGAGATACGTCAGCATCAAAGCGAGCGCGGCCACTATCTTCCAGGAGAGTAAAAAGATGCCGTGAGGGTTTTTTGATGGAGGTTTCGGTGCCAGATTCTGTATTTTGGTAGACAAGAACCTCGAATGTGTCCTTATGCTCGCCGTTAGACTGGTCCTCAGGTGTAGTCACCATGGTTATTCTCTCAGCTTGAAAATAGTGTATCAACTGGTATAGCTCGCAGCGAATAATGTGATTAGGGGTGGGAGGTCAAGCTTTAGGGTCAGGGAATAACGAGGAGAGTAGAAGATTCGTGCATCTTTTGGGATTTGGGCTTTATATATAGCAGTGACGCCAAGATTCTGAACTAGTTGCAAACACAAAGCATTTCAGATGTCTTTTAATAGCACATTGGAAGACTCCTGATATATTGTGGACAATGCCATTGTTCTGGTATTGAGATTCTTTGGGTCCAGCCATTATTTGTCTACTCCCGCGTGGAAGAGTCCATTTCTAACATCATATATATCCTACTTTCCATCAAGTTAGAGGATATCTCCGATACAACCATTATCTAAAAGACTAATAACGCTAGGAGATGGACGATCAGAAAGGAGAATCGTCACGGACAAAACAAACAAGATAAACGATACTAATATTGCAAACAAAACAAACTGCAAACAAAACAAACCCGACGTCATCTTTAGGAATTTTCTCCACCCGCGATGACCGAAGCTTCTCCTGTGGTTGGATCAACACCTCTCGTGAAGCCCCCGGTATGCGTTGCTCGAGACAGTGGATTGGAGGGGATTTGATATGGATATGGAAAGCGTGCTCCGCCCCATTACTAGAGCCCACCCTGACCCAGCCAGAGGTGGTCTGCCTAGCAAGGGGCCGGCTGGTTGAAATGCCCTGATGGCAGGCCGTGCGTTGAGGCTAACCCGCCCATGGCGCCAATCTATTTGATATCTTGGATGGCGCTCATCAGCCTCCAGGCCTGGAATAGAATAAGGTGGGGTGCTTGCAACACCTATACGACATGGATTATTCAGGAACGGCCATGGGTAATACCGCCGGTGAGCAGGAGAAGCGTCATGCCATCTTTCCTAGGGATGTTTTGTCAATGGCTCCCGCGAGCTTCCATATAAACTGATCCCACCTCTGCATTGGTTCCCCCCCCTCCCTCCCTACAAATTTACATTTTCTTTCAAGAATTTAATTCCTCGGTGTCATACCATCTGCATGAATTGTATGCACTCCTCTTTTACCCCTCTTTGATCTTCCCGAAAGCCCACTTTATTTTTTGTACTCGCAGGAGCATAAATCTCTACAGGGTCCTCGGAAAAAAGGACCCTTCCAACTCTCATATAAGAGGACCTGCGATATTTTTTTTTTTTGTATCTGCTCTTTTGCCCTCACTGCAACCATGTCTCCCTTGGCAGTCTCTACTAAGAAGGTTGACATCGTCGATATCCGTCAGAATGACGTGGGTTTTTCTCTCACCAACGATATCCACGGAGGGATCGACCCTCCCGCAGGGGTCAGACGTTCTATGCCCACAATGCTTCTATATGATACTAAGGGTCTCAACCTCTTCGAGGAGATCACCTACCTGGACGAGTACTACCCTACTAATGCGGAAATCGAGGTGTTGGAGACCCACGCCAAACGGATTGCGGAGTGGATCCCAAACAACGGCCAGCTACTCGAGCTAGGTAGCGGGTACGGTTTTCTTAACGCTAAGACTACATTCACTCTGGTCCGATTCTAACCGATTCTTTAGAAACCTTCGCAAGATCGAGATTCTACTTCGAGAACTCGAGCGCGTAGGAAAACATGTCGACTACTATGCCCTGGATTTGTCGCTCTCGGAACTGCAGCGCACCTTCTCTGAAGTTTCCATTGAAGGCTATGCCCACGTTGGCTTTCATGGCCTTCACGGGACCTACGATGATGCCGTCGCTTGGCTCAGGAACCCGGAGAATAGGAAACGTCCCGCCGTGATCTTGTCAATGGGTTCCTCTCTGGGAAATTTCAATCGTTCAGATGCATCCGTGTTCCTCTCGCAATTTGCAGATCTTCTGGGCCCGTCGGATCTGATGGTACTAGGGCTTGATGCCTGTAAGGACCCGGACAAAGTGTACAGAGCCTACAACGATTCGAAGGGAATTACAAAGCAATTCTACGAGAATGGTCTACTGCATGCAAACAAGGTTCTTGGATACGAAGCCTTCAAACTGGCGGAGTGGGACGTGGTAACTGGCTATAATGTTGCTGAAGGATATCATGAGGCATTCTATTCTCCCAAACAGGATGTGACCATCAACAGCGTTTTCATCCCCCAGGGAGAAAAACTGATCTTTGAAGAGGCATACAAATATGATGCACAGGAGCGTGAGCAACTGTGGAAGGATGCCAGGTTGATTCATGGCGCTGAGTTTGGCAACAGCTCTGATGACTATCGTGCGTGATGACCCCCCCCTTCTTTTCTAGCTATAAATTGTGTGTGGACTGCATTTTAGATACTCGCCCCGTTCTTGGTCTGGCGCATAACTCCATCCTACCGCTAGCGTGCAAGATGTATGCTGATTCGTAACTATGACAGACATCCATTTGCTGTCATCTGCTGCTTTCAGCTTCCCACTTTCTCGTGCCCAGTATGCAGCCCACCCAATCCCAAGCCTTCAAGAATTTCAGTCACTCTGGGCTGCATGGGATATTACCACCAAAGCAATGGTTCCTCGTGAAGAGCTCCTTTCAAAGCCGATAAAACTCCGTAACGCATTGATTTTCTACCTGGGCCATATTCCCACGTTTATGGGTCAGTTGGACGTATTCAAACTTTAGTGTACTGCAACATTAATGGGAAGGAACAGATATTCATTTAACGCGAGCTCTAGGCGGGAATCCAACGCACCCCAAATCCTACCAACTGATTTTTGAGCGCGGAATAGATCCCGATGTGGATAACCCCGAGAAGTGTCACGCACACAGCGAAATCCCAGCAGAGTGGCCAGCTCTCAGCGATATCCTGGACTACCAAGAAAGGGTCCGAAACAGGGTCAAGTTTATTCTCGAGATGGAAGGCCTTGACAACAATCGATTGATGGCTGAAGCCCTTTGGATCGGATTCGAGCACGAGGCGATGCACCTGGAGACGTTCCTCTACATGTTGCTCCAAAGCGATAAGACCCTTCCCCCACCTGCTGTTCAAAGACCAGATTTCGAGAGAATATTCCATGATGCTAGAAAACATGCGAAGCCCAACGAGTGGTTTACCATTCCGGCACAGACCATGACAATTGGCCTTGAGGACCAAGATGACGGGTCTTTGCCCCAAGCTACGTTCGGTTGGGACAACGAAAAGCCTGAGCGGGTAGTGGCTGCTGAGGCATTCGAGGCACAGGCTCGGCCTATAACCAATGGTGAATATGCCAAATTTTTACAAGCCAAACAGTTACGTCGGTGGCCGGCATCATGGGCTCTTTCCCATTGCGACGAAAACTTCCCAATCTCTTCGGGAGTCAGCCAAAGCAGTCTTCATGCCTCGAGAGATTTTATGTCCAACTTTGCCGTGCGTACTGTGTTTTGTCTGGTTCCACTTGAGCTCGCCCAGGACTGGCCAGTCATGGCATCATATAATGAACTGGCTGAATACGCAGAGTGGATGGGGTGCAGAATCCCGACATTTGAGGAGGTTAAAAGTATTTATTTGCATGCTGAACAACTGCGAAGACCGAACGGCAGTGCGCTCAATGGCCATGGGTTAGCAACTCTTCCAGTCTTGCTGTGCGCGATGGAGCTAATGCTTATAGTAGCGAACCCGAGCGGTTGAATGGGGAAAAGAGCTATCTTAATGGGAACCGACCTCGTACCCCAGATCACCAGCCTGTGCAGCCCCCTTCCCGAGGTGCCTTGCCAGTGTTCGTTGACCTCAACGGCTGTAACGTTGGGTTTACGCACTGGCACCCTACCCCAGTCATCCAGGACGGCAATCGGCTTGCTGGCCATGGAGAACTGGGGGGCGTGTGGGAGTGGTGTAGTACAGCACTGACCCCATATGAAGGCTTCAAGGCCATGGATATTTACCCAGGATATACGGGTAAGTGATGATTTCTGCAGGTGACTGGGTGCTGGTCCAATGCTGACGACTTGTTTTTCTTTTTTTACAGCGGATTTCTTCGACGGCAAACACAATATCGTGCTTGGTGGCTCCTGGGCAACTCATCCTCGGATCGCCGGGCGAACGACAGTGTAAGTGGATACCTTGCCGCAGTCATCCACGGTGAGAATTATGCTAATGCTTTCTGTCTCCAGAGTCAATTGGTACCAGCACAATTACCTCTACCCCTGGGCGGGAGCACGTCTCGTACGTGATCTGTAAGGAGAGAAGGAAGGGGAGATTGGACTGGTTGTTAGCCTGGGAGAGAGGGATCTGAGATGAAACTGATGGGTAGATAACAGAAGGCAATGAAATTGAAGTTTCAGAGTAGGCAATTTCACGACAAAACCATTCGACCGCTAAAAACACCATGAGCTCTAGGGGAGCCGTAATCTAGTATTATCATGGGAAGGCAGGGAGAATTTGTCTCAACAGGTAGTGTATGCCTCTGGCTAAATGGTCGCTCAGGAATCAGGCCCCAATCACCGATTCCCATGTTGTCATATATGTATGTGGTTAACAAAATCTCTGCCACTAGCTAGCCCTTATCTCCCCGATCATAAGGTCAGCCATGTTTCTCTTGTTCCTCCCCCTCTGCTTATTTCAGATTGGATTTGGTGAGTTTCTTTTAGCTGCTGCATACAAGAAAGCCCTAGGCTATGAAAAGTAAGCTTTCCATTATGTTCCCGGCCTGTACGGTAATGATGGATAATAGACGATCCGGTCCTGAGAAAAAGTATTGTTACTGACAATACTTACAGGGACTCGAGGAGTCATATATTTACTTCAGACTGTCTTCGTAGTATGATTTTGTCATTATAGAAAAATACATGAAATACGAGTATTATGTCCAGAGGAGTACTTTTCTTATTTTACCAGGCAGTCGTATTCTATCTGAGTGGGTCTCGCGGATGACATGATGCAACGATTGCCCCTCATTCTTTCCATCGTTCTTCCACTCTCTTTCCGTCCATCTTTCAATAGAATTCAGTAGAGTTCCATCGGACTAAAAAAGGGTATGACCATGTCTGTCGAAACCATCACGACCATCTCTCCCTCCACGAACCGTCCCATCCTCACCCGGACTGGGGTCACGGCGGACGAACTGCAGCGGCTTCCGCAGGTCGCCCAGGAGGCCTACCGATCATTCTCTCGGTCCACCACCCTCGAACAGCGCCAGGAAATCGTCTCCCGTGCATTGGACGTTCTGGAGAAGAAGAAAGATGAGCTGGCACTTGAGATAACAACCCAAATGGGCCGACCGATCTCCTATACCGGTGTCGAGGTGATGACGGCCATCAAACGGAGCCGGTACTTGACCCGCATCAGTAGCTCGATCCTAGGAAAGGACGGGGTTGTCCCCGGTGAGGAAGAGAAAGGATTCAGGCGCTATATCCAACGGAAACCCATTGGGGTAGCATTGATCATATTCGCATGGAACGTAAGTCATTCTTGCAATCTACACGTCTTTCTCTCGCTTCATGATCTACGATACTAACGGCGCACGCGGGTTGGCATCATCAGTACCCTTACTTGATCCTAGTCAATAGCTTAATCCCGGCGATCCTGGCAGGTAATGCCGTGATCTTGAAACCCTCGCCTCAGACCCCGACGATTGTCGAACAATTCGCGAGTGCCTTTGCAGAGGCCGGACTTCCTAAGAACGTCATCCAGTACTTCCATTGCGGTTCTCCGACCCTGCTCGAAACCGTGGTTCGATCGCCGCTTGTGAATCACATCTGCTTTACGGGCTCAGTAGCCGGTGGCCTGGCGGTCCAGAGGGCCGCATCGGATCGAATCGTCAACGTTGGTCTGGAGCTTGGTGGTAACGACCCCGCGTATGTTCGGGATGATGTGGACGCCGCATGGGTGGCGGAGGAGATCGTTGACGGCGCTATCTTCAACAGCGGGCAGAGTTGCTGTGCTATCGAGAGGGTCTACGTGCACGAGAACATCTACGACACTTTCATCGCCGAAGTCAGGAAGGTTCTGAGCAACTACCGCGTCGGGGATCCCCTCGATAGGCAGACACAGATCGGACCGGTGATTTCACGGCGAGCCAAGGAAACGATCAACTCTCACATCTCTGATGCTCTTAAGAAGGGCGCACGAGATGAGACGCCTGCTAACGAGACGTTCGAGAATCCACCTGCTGATGGCAACTACATCAAGCCTACGTTATTGACGGGCGTGAACCACGACATGGTTGTCATGACGGAGGAGACCTTTGGGCCGGTGATTCCTGTAATGAGGGTAGCCAGCGACGAGGAAGCCATCAAGCTCATGAACAGCAGCGAATTCGGATTGACTGCCAGCGTGTGGACCAAGGATGTAACCAAGGCCGAAGATCTCATCGAACAGATCGAGGCTGGGACGGTCTTCATCAACCGATCGGATTATCCTAGCCCGGTGAGTGACGGTTGGCTTCTCCGTTATCCTTGACATTTGCTGACCAATGAACCATGATAGGACCTTGCATGGACAGGCTGGAAGAATTCCGGACGGGGGGTGACTCTCAGCAAGTTCGGATTCGAGCAGTTTGTCAAACTGAAGAGCTACCACGTCAAGGACTATCCGAAATGACCTGCAGATGGAAACGTTCGGATGATCTTCGACGGGAACTAGGAATAGATAAAATAATGAACCCACTTCCTATATGTTAATGCAATATACTCAAAAAAAAATAATCAGAGTAAGACAATTGTCGTGAAGACATTGGCTAGTCAAGACACCACCCACAAACCGAGCGACAACTCATCATTGATGCCCGACTGACTCCCTTATTTGTACTATGCTCACCATGTGGACACCTTCCTTTCATAGAACCAAAACCATCCAATCTCACCGAAACAGCTGTCCAGACGGCCAGAGCAGACTAGACCGGACCGGACCAGACTGAACACATACATAGATTCTTTCGGGACCCGACCAAAAGCCAGATCACGCCAAAATATGAACAGGGGCGGGAGACACATACATAGTTACATAGTTACAGAATCTGTACATATTTTAGCGCATTCTCAGATCATCATATTCAGAAGACAGAATGGGATAGGATGGAATTACCTCGCAGCTACAGTAGTAAGGAGTAAGCAGTAAGTAGTAAAGTTAACCAACCTTATCATCATGGTTACCTCAATCGAAGTTAAGTAAATAGAGTAATTATTTAAATTTATTAAACCCTACTAATGTGTAGAGAAGTGGAACCATGCCACGCCAAGGGGTGGGGGAATGATCGACCCCCCCTTCCTACGTTGACTATTTAGAGAAGAACCTTTTGTATTCGTAAGAATGAAGATCTGAATAAAGTGGTTGATTTTGGATTATTCAGGTATACTTTACGGAGTATAGCTAATTTATCTATCTATTGATTGATTTATAGATTCTGGTGTAGATGGTCTATGCAGGGACATCTATCTATTCACCACTCCGTATGTACTATACCGACCGTGATGGAATGCAGTTCGTAACGAGACGGCATGCTCCCGATGCAAGGGTGACATCTTTCGATTTCTTTCTTATTTTGTTTATTTAATTTGCCGTTCCCCTGGATCTGCGAGAGTGGTGTGTTGTCCTGGATATTAATGAATGATCCATGTATGTAGCTACGGCACATATATGGGAAATCCTTCAATAGTCGGTTGGGTTGGGAACTGGGCTGTATGTGCTAAATAAAGTATATTTATTACAGAGTATTCCGTACACGAATACTATCCTTGATTTGAATAAGCATGTCGAGATATTGGGCTGGCTCCTGTTTCATCTTGTTCACAGTACCATGGAACGGCCTCCTATCGAGTTATGTAGACGCAAAGCCGATGACGTGCCCTTAACATGTGAAATGCACTGCCGTCCCAGACCTTCAAAATTCAGTAGAGGAGGTGGATCGCTCAAAAAAAGGTAAAGGGAACCTGCATGGGGAAAGGAGAAATATTACACATCACGCAGGGATGCAGCCCCATCCATACCGGCATTACATAGTATGTCCGTCCATATGCAATGCGGATGCCAGATTGGGAGCACCTCGGAGACTTGTCCCCCGCTTTAGGCGCCTTATTTGGCGGCTTCAGAAAGATGTATGAGGTCAGGTCTGGAGTCTAGGTATGGAATCTCGTCTCTCGGCGTGAGGCGTCCGATGATGCTTAAATAGGCTCAAACAGATTTCTAGCTATGCATCTTTATCGAGGTCGAGTGGGGAAAGAAGGGAGAGAACGGAGAACGCAAAGCCAATCTTACTCTCAGCCAAGTTGCCCTGGGAATCCGCCAGGGGAAATACATAGTACTCCGTAATAAAACATTTCAAAAAAAAAAAAAAGGACTAAAACGAATGTGTCACATAGCGCGCGGTTCGCAAAAAGAAAGGAAAGTCCTGCAAAGAAGGCTGTCACGGTCCTTCGTGCCACCGAATTGGCCGATCAGGTTAAGCCTGCATTGCACGGGCAAAACCGTTAACCCGTAGGCTTGCAGGGCGGCGCTTCGAGGGATCTCATTTTTGTTCTTATATAGTCTCCATCGGTGGTTTCATTCCTTTCTTTCTTTCTCTTTCTTTCCCGTAGCTTGCGTCTCAATGCCATAGAACATCTGCCCGACTTTCTTTCATTCTGTTTGTTGGTTGGTTGCTTGAGTCCCTTAATTGTCTGTCTTTCGTTTCCAGTATCGTTCTCTTCTCTCTTCAATAGATCTTGCAAAAGCGTTCGTTCGACATATACGAAGATCTTATTCTCGCTCGCCCCTAACTTGCATCGGTCCTAGCTGTAGATACTGACCGACCTGTCATTCATTTGGCCTGGTGACTGGCTTTGAGTCCTCATCTTTTCTTTATATTTTTACGACTTATAATCATCACTCCCCCGACAACTCCTTACATCATGGAATGTTTTCGGCAGATCGTTCGGCTTATCAAGTCCCCGTTTGAGCGTGAATCCCACCGAGTTTTAGAGATTGTGAGTCTTACACTGTCAAAAATAACATCAGTATGGGACTAACGTCTCGATAGGGACCCCCAACCAATTTTCGGAAGGAAGAGCTGCCGGCATTCTTCTCCGATGACGAGTCAGTTATTCCCTGCAGAGCAACCAAGAATATACGGGTTTCTGACTATTTCCAAGCAGCGCGCTGACCGTACATAGCAATGGCTCGACAAATGAGAAGGAGGCCATTATTAAAGAAATGGAACGTCGGCCATCGACCTGTGACAAAATCAAGGACCAAGTCCGAAGGCTAAGCGTCATTGCTCAACGCCCGTCTCCTGACCAAGACTAAGCTTGCTGCCGATTTGACTGAAAGGGGCTCTGTGAAAGGGCCCTCTGAACCACTGGGAGATCCTCCGTATTGTACCATCGGCAGGGATGAGGGAATGGACTTATGGCAGTCTTACATTGAAATGGTGGAACACCTGTGATGCTCAGAGCAAGAACATTGGGACTTCGTTGAGACGCGATTTCTTTTTCGACTTCAGATCGTTATCGCTTTGGTTTTTCTGTTGGGGTTTATTTATAGACGATGTAGCTCCGCTTGGTGTCTGTCTGTATGAGTTATGTGGCTCTGGAAGCTCGTCGAAATCGTCGACAAGCGACCTCTTTTTAGATTTTAGGGCGGCGTGTGTTTTGTATTTAGTACCCATAGACTGCAACGGTTTTGTTTCACGATCATCAATAGAACGAGAGGACAGAGGACAGCTTCCTAACTTTGACACTTTCGAGTCCGAGCCGATAAAACGAGCCCTGGGATGCGGTATTGTTGCAGTTGGTGTCTTGACATCCAAATCCAGGTCATCGTCTTCCGAAGCAGTCTCTTCGCCGCCATTCCCATCAGCACCCTCATGATCTGCCCGAGTCACACCCGCCCCATTATTGGATGCCTGTGAAAACCCGGCCGCCGCTCTAGTGGACGATTTAATCCCCTGCATTCCCACCAAGGACTTCGCCTTCCTAGGACTCATCATGAGATCATGCAGCGAAGTTCCAGCAAAAGTTTCATCAAGGGCCAAATCATCCTCGATATCATCATCACTGGTTTCAGAATCCACCGCCGGTCGCTTGCTCTGAATCTTCTCCAAACCGGCCTTCTGACGCGTTGAAAGCGCATCTGCCGTTTCCCTCCGTTTGGTCGCATCACTAACGGGGGTGACTCCATCCGTGGGTCGAGCCAGGTCCTGAATGGCGGCGGCATTTTGTAGCTTCGCTTCTTTCTTCCGTCTGCGGTATTCTGCGTAGTGTAGGTGCTTCGTGAACGTTTGAGCTACGGCGTAGAATTCATCTTCCACCATCATGTAAATATCGTCGTTGTCGAACCCTTCGATCAGATATCTGATTCACTCCCCGGTATTATTAGTCATGGGTCCAGTTCAACCGACTTCAAATAGGGAGCAGACGCACTCCTCAGACGGGCAGCGGTGAATAGGAGACGACGGAGGAGTCGGCGCTATAGAAGTAATCGATAATCAGTCATCAGGTCAAACCTGACTACATCTACTTACTTACAGGATCTGAAAAAGTCCCGCTTTCCAGAATCAGAAGCAGTCGGTTTCGCTTTGGGAATCACTTCATCGTTGCTTTGCTTGCTGTCTGGTTCTCGTTTCGTCGGTCGTTTTCGCGGTGTGGAATTTCTTGTCGCACGGCTTCCGGTACCAGTTAGCCATGGTAGAGTCCGAGGCATAGCGTGATGACTATTTAGGCAACAGTTGACTGATAGCGATTCTGGATGTGGAATCACTTGGTCTGATCGATCAGTAGATTGCTGTAGAAAGCATACAGGATATCGCTGACGCGAAAGTCGCACGGCGGGACGCGGGAGAGATTCCCCCCCGGCCTCCACATGGAGAGAGCTGATTTACGATCTACAAGAGCTTCAAACGAATGAACAGAACAATAAAACCTTTTTTTTTCACTTTTTAAAAAATGAGGGGAAACAATTAAAATCCTCATCATATTCTCTGGATATCTGATAGCAACCCGGCTAATATGGTCTCATGATTTATAATACAGAACAAAACCCTGAACGCCGACGAATCCCTAATATCAAAGCAACCATGAACCGGCGAAACGTATGCTAAGACCATGCAGAAAAAATAAACAAAAAGAGAAATTCAAAGGTCCAAAACAGAGCCCATGGTACAATACAATCTTAGGCCTCTCCAGGCCGCTTGCTATTGCAGCTCACGATCTTCACTTTGTCCGCTGACACTGTTGTCTGATTATCCAGTTTGAAAGTGACATCCTTGATAAGAAAGGTCCAGACTTCGTCGCAGAAACGGTACGTATCGAGATGGCCCTGAAATGTCGAAAAGCAATCTGAGTTAACCTTCTATCTTGCTCTCTCTTGCCAATACAGACAGATCACCTGTCATAATATCCTCGGGGTCTGGCAGGAAACATAATATATACCTTAAAAGTAAGTCTTGCGCGAACTTTGTCCGCGAGAACTTCAGTGATAATACGGTCAAAGGTCGAGAGGATCTTCATAGCCAACTGAGGCTCGATTCGCCCTTCATTGATGAGATCATCGAGCGTATCGGTAAGGGAAAGGCCGAGACTGTAGCGAGAAATGTCAGTGGACAACCATCGAAACTGTATTAATCACATACCTGCTCCCACGATACAGTTCATAGTAAGCCTGGGCACTCATGGTGGCAGACTTGGAATCGAATGGAGGCGATGGGAGTTACGACCGCTTCCTTCGATGAAGCCGATCGCGGGGGAGCTGTACACGTGATATAAATCATGTGACAACATTTCAAGCCTCTCATCAAAAGACGATGTATGGTGGTGCCGAACTATACACTGAATATATTGATATAATGTACTGTGATGATGTATATTTGCTACCTGAGCATCTCACGACAGGCAATGACTCTGCCCCAATTACACGCCTGCTCATTACCTCTCCGGCCTCGCTCTTCATGTTTCCTTCTCAAGACGTGTGGTCATTTATCTCTCACGTCTCGAAAGCTCTTAACTGCTAACAAAGGTTTGCTTACACCCGGATACAGACTTGCAGTGAATTTGCGGGCTAACCACGGTCTAGCAGACCGAGAATTTTCTAAGTACGACAATTCTTTAGGGAAAGATGAAGATCTGCCAGCATCAGAAAATGTCACACAACCCAAACCCAAAAAAGCAAAAACCGTTGCCCAGGCCGACGAGGAGCTTCGCGAACTGCTGGAGCAGATGTCGGGTGGGGGAGGAGCATCAGGGGTTGAATACGAGGATGGAAAGCCTAATACGATGAAGCGCAGTGTTCGAAATAATATGTTCCGCTATATCTGAGTCCTTGATCAAACGAACAGAAATGTATTCTGCGGATGGACTGCCACCGAGTCGTGGGATTGGTGATGGCTGCGCTTCTTGCAGTTCGGTCGCTGGATTCAAACGCTCAACATCCTGCTTATCCTCGTCGGCCTTGGATCCACTGAGACTTTCACCAAGACACAGATTTAAGGCCTGCGTATCAAGTCTTGCAAACTATCCCAGGCACTCAAGGTCCATTCTCATTTGCACCAGCATATTGAGGAACAGGGTCCATTTACCTCAAGCATAGCATTGCCTGTTAGTCAACGTAATGGCTAGCTTTGCCAGAGAACTCAGATACGAGATACATGATAACGAAAAGAGTAGAAAATAGGGTTTGGATAAACTCTCAACCCGGAATCATATTCACAGTTAACATGTGGAATGAGTACAGTTTGATGTGATAAAATAAGCCATGAGCCATTCTAGAACGCCCTTGACAGGTAAACCGAAAGGAAGGAAAAGTCCCTCTATTGCCCAAAAATTAAAAAGTTGCCAACGCCAATTGCCCAGAGTGCTAAATGTAGATAATATCCAATGCATATCAAATCATCATTTCATGTCAACTCCAACAAGCTAGGTTGGGTCCTTCAGATGGAGGAGACGTTTCCTACCATTCCTGCCAGAACTCCAGCTCCGATGATCCCGCCGTCAGAAGCCTCGCGTAGGAAGACCGATTTTCCGCTCTTCTGCGGACCGGTCCTCATGATGAGGCGATCAATGAATTGCTGACACATCTCCTTGAAATTGGGATAGTGCTGAATGATCCCACCAGTATAGGCGACCACCAGCTCCTCTGGGCCTGACTGCCAGTCTGCCGGGATGGGCGTAGGAGAGAGAACAGGCACAATCGGGCCTTGACTGCCCTGGGCATTGCTGGCAGTCAGAACCGCAGATGCAGGTGATGCTAGATCTTTGGGACCTCCTTTATATACGGGGGAAGCTGCACTGGAATTTTGCGGTGAGTTCTCGTTGCTATCTACTTTCAATTCGATCTCGCGCGCACACGCCAGCAATCCCACGACCGCTGCCGCAGTCAGGCCGGCAGATCTCCTCTGCACGGTCCGGGCGATTTTGCGGAACGCTCCGGCGGTAATAGCATCCCATCGCCATTCACTATTTTCAGGGGGTGACAACGAAAGACTCAGTTCATTGACCAACTCCTCGTCCGATCGTGCACGTGCGATCTTGTCTGATATATATGTAGTGGTAAGTGCATACCCTTGGGTAAGATTTCCGGGGAGGTCTTTTTGTGACAGCCCATAAATACTCGTAAGGTAGTCGACAAGAATGAGCCTGATAAGCTCGCCAATGTAGCGACCACCGGTCATATACTCAAAAGGTTGAAAGCCAGGACGTGCACATGCTCTGTCGAGCTCGGCATCCCATTTGGTTACGATGTTGAGTTCCTTCAAGGGTGGTAAGGAGCCTGAAAGGGTCCACTCCGTATTAACAACAGTCTCTTCTGCCTCGGAATTCCTTAATTTCACATGCTTTGCCTTCGAGTCATGCAGAGAGCTGAGCTTCATGGGGATTGTGGCATTGCACCCCATGCCAACAATGATACCCATTGCAACCCGGCTGTTGGGCAGGGATTTCACCTCATAGGCCAGGGAAGTAAGCGTAGCGACGGCATCGTTAGTGATGGCAGAGATCTTGAGCTTCGGCAAGGCGAAAAGCTTCCGACGCTTAGTCGAAGGCTCTTCGTCATCATCCGGGCGCTTTGTGTGCTTCTCATAGCCAGAGAGTAAAATATTACGAAGATTGAGATCTGACGTGATAGCAAACCCTTTCCCCATCGGCATCAGTGTAGCTTCGGCAAGAGACTCTTGCCTGTGCAGTGTCAGCCATATGCACCAGGTGTATTACGTGTAAACTCGTATTCAGCATGTGAACGATGATAGACAGGGCGGGCTACAGTCACTCACATTATTGGGAAACTAAAGGTAATTCCCATCTCCAGCTCCTCGGGAACATTGCCTTTGGTGGCATCGGAAGTCAAGCTCTCCGCAACCACTTCCGCGATACAGTCCCCGATCCAAGCAAACAAATCTTCGGCTTTATCCTTTTTCAAATGCTCCTGGATTGGCCATGCCTTCTCCAGCGTCCGCTTTACACGCTGTCTCTGTGCCTTCCGGATTGCATCCTTTGATCTCTGCGAAGCATCGGTCGAGCGAATATCCGAACAGGCGGAATCTCCTAGCAATTCGATGAATGCAACGCGCAAGTTGCTCCCGCCAACATCGATGGCCAAATAGCGACCCGTCTCCAATCCCGTGGGCAGATTTGTCACCGGTGTTGGTAAAAACTGCTCTTCGGACTCGAGGGCAAGCTTGCGATACACGCTGGAAAACCGGCGCGCGAGTTTGTATAAAGCCGCTTCATCAGGAGCCAAAGGCGATAGAAACTCGTCAAGTATCCGATGGCGCTCTAGGTACTCCTTTTCCGAAGGGTCTAAGTCGAGGTCTTCCTCTTCCTCTACGTCTTCGTCGATTGGGTCCTCATGAATACGGTCATGCTCCTCATCCTTGCGCTTCTCCGCATTGGCTAGATCGATTGCAGTCATGTCGATTGGGTAGGATCAAGAATGCTAGGGGTATTTCGTCGATCGAAGTAAACGAGAAAATCGTACACCGAGAAAGGTGGTAAAATCGGCCTGTGTGACCCTCAATCACGAAGCGGAAGCCAAAGAGGCGACGATGTGAAAACTGCCTGTTGTAACGGAAAGCGAAGAACTCAGGATCGTGCTTAGTTGCTCTCTGGATCCGAGGAATGTTTATAAGACGAACGGACGATAGGGTTTACGTTGGAATGAAGGCCAACACTCGACCGATAACGTGCATGCGACGCAATACTCAAGGGAGTCACGGGGGGGGGAGATTAACTGCGGCCGGAATTCCAATTCGATGTGATTCAAGGAGGCCAGGGGATGGAACCACAGGTAGGGGCCTGAGAAACTGTAATGGAGAAAGACATCACGAGGTTAGCGACGACGTTGCAACGGAGAAAAAAAAAAAAAAAAAAACAAGGGTGGGCGTTGAGGAGCAATGCTAACTAACTGTAATGACGCGTGTCTGCAGTGGAATTATGGGGGGGCGGAGGGGGAAGAAATCCAGCGGGGGCAAAGAAGAAGACGGACACGATAGTGACGATCAATGCAGGGAGCCTTAGCGCTAGAGAAGGGGGCCAGAACAAGACAGAGGCAATGGTTGACCTCACACAAGTTAGTCAAACCGACCAGGAATAGAGAGATTCGTCGTGACTCGTGAGTGTGGAATCAAGGGACCATATAGACAATAACAGAGGACAGGCTGGATGGTGTCCCCACAAGAAGAGGGGAGACAGACTAAAATAAATAAAAATAAAAAAAGGTCCTAATAATAGAAATCAAAATAAATGAAGAGACAGAGAAGAAAAGGAAAAAACTGAAAGGGAAAAGACGGGCCGTTGTAGTAGTCAAGTAGTAGTTCGTCCCTGAGAAGGTTGAGTTGCACGCTGAACCCATCCATTCATCTATGATGGGTGCATGGCATGGATTGACTCCGACAGAGCCGCTGCAGGGCGGATGCGACCATCGGCCCCGAGGCGATGTGACGCTGCTGGTCAGTCGCATTTCTCTCCACTCTCACACGAAATAATAATGATGATGATATTCAATTCTTCTATTCGTCTCTCTGTAACTACAGTCCCTGCAGGTTTCAGAGGGGTTGGCTCAACGGCCTGGATCCGCTATTTCTCAGCTTCTTTCCCTCACTGTCATTTTTCTGTTCCGCTGGAACTGAAATCGAACACGACTTCCGGTTTCTTCTCGTCCAAGAATCTTACCATCATTCTGATTTCCCATCTCGCCACCCAACACGAATTCCTCTCCATTCAAGAGCCCAGGCACGGGCAAGCTCCATATATCTATATCAAAGCACTCGGGTCAAGTGGGTCTCCTCCTTGTAGTAGGTTGTACGACACGGAGAGACGGAGGAGGTCCTGACTCAAGTCCGGGTCCCTGTGAGCCCGAACACGAACCGCTAAACCAGAACTGAAAGCAGGCTTGAGAATATTCGATTTCGAGAAAAACAATCTTGCACGGGCAAGTCCGACTGTAGCTAAAGACGCCATGTGGAAGACAGTGGGGCAGTTTCAGCCAACGGCTTAGCCCTCAGCATGTATTACTCAGAGCAGTTAGACGCTGCATGCACGGACTGCTTGCTAGTAGCATCAACTTATCAAGTCCAAATGCCGGTGTTTCCAAACCTCCACTGCCTAGCCGCGCTAGTTGTCCACGGTTGCGACCTTGTGAGCACCACCTGATTTGTTCACCTTCCTGCTTGGATCGACCTGCCCTTCCATCTCCCCCCGCCGATGGGATGAAACGTCCGGTACCGGGGCCTCGTCCCTACTTACTCTATATGTACTACCCTGCAGGGACAAACAAGTAAGAGGACTTACTCTGATTCAAATCGGAGTTCCGAACAATCTCGCATCTTTTAACCTGTTCCCTGTTATATCCACTCACCGGGACCACTATTTTGGGGGAATTCAGGTGTAAGAAATTCTTGCATTCAACAGACTTCCTGGAGATACGGAGTTGACTAAGAAGCTGTCAAGAATCTACCATCAAATTGGACCAATGATCGAGTGTGATTATCAACTAATGTAAAATAAAGTGCTTTCTCTTCCTTTAACATAATTACTCTATTTAAGCACATAAATCTAGAGCCTGCCCTGAAACAATCACTGCCACTTATTGTGTCTCTAGTGTAGCCAATCAGACCTTTTTCCAGCAATTTCCTGGATAATAGCTTCATAGAGCTGAATGAACCCTTGTAAACAGAATTAAAATACATTACAGGATGCACAGGTGGCAACACCGTGCTCTAGCAAGTGGACTCCACGTTTCATCCTCTGCATTAAATAATTAAATATTTTGACTTCCTAATAAGGCATCCGTGCCTTGGCATTCAAGCCAGACACTATCAGTTTCTAGGTATTATTGATTCCCTACGGAGTAGCCCTGGCGCTAGCAACGATCCTTATTAAAACATGATAAATGAGTGGATGTTGACGCCAACGCCTTTAACCATATTCGTAGTAAACCTTATCCCGATAAACGAGAAAACAATTTCAAAGCATTAGCACGTCTAATCCGTTCTATATGCTCCCCCGAGAGCCTAGCCTCGTCCGAAACCCCGCTGAAACGCCTGATCGCAGTTTTCAAGAGCATAAGAGAAATAAATTCCGAAAAGCATGTGATACAAATGTGCGAATTCCATAAGAAGCGGCAGTGCAAGCTGGGAATCCACCAGAGCCAAATCGAAGTAGAACATACTCAAGATGCTCGGCAGTCATATTCGACAGACCCATATCTTTACGTACGCATGCGAGCCGCTGGACCAGATACGGCAGGGTGCCTCCGCCATAGGAGAGGATTATTTTGCAATTGTTATACCTGCGGACTGTGTCCGTAGTAATAAGATCAAATACTGTGCGTGTCGTCTTGTGAATAATCGATTAACGGCTACGGTAGCATTTTATTAACAGGGGTGGTGGTGTCGGCCGGGTGCGTAGGGCGGATTAAACAACCGCTCTGACGATGAAGTTCTTCCCAGATTGGCTTGATAGCAGGAAGACCTAAGTCGTGGTTACCCTCGCGGTAGTGAGTAAAGAGGGTGATCCCATCGGCCTGCAGTTCATCGAAGGCATAGGGGATGTCTTCCAGAGCAGCCACGGTGTCGAGCACGTCCGGTCGTGCAGTGAAGAATCCATACCAGTCGGGTAGCAGTCTCTGAGAGAATAGCCAAAGCTGTTGCACTCTCTGGCAAGGCGAGCTGCCTTTGCTCTGGTGAGGATACCTGCACAGGGGGCAGCTACCGATAAAATAGCTGTTTGGATGCCGCACTTACCGCAGATTTGCTGGTCTGCGGAAAGGGACCATGGGGGCATAGGCCATCCTGATGGATCACAGTCTGTTTCATCTAGTGCTACAGAATACATCAGTATTCATGGACAATAGTAAACCATAAAATTGCATACTCACCTTGTAAATAGGCGGAGAGATGTAGTTGTGATAGACATCAATGGGTCTAACAATTGGGATAAAGTACTCTGGCTGAATTAGGAATTTTTCCGCATTCATACACGTGCACCAACGGGACTTCTGGAACCCTTTCGACGGATTATGTCGTGGATGCGTCAGGTAGAAATTGGACATATATGGGATTGATTTCTTCTAAGCTATTGGCTTTTTAGGTGTAGAGAAATCTATATTCTTTATCCATGTTTTCCTGGGGCGAGGAGGATGTGGATAATAAATCAGCGGAGACAGGTCTGACAGCTACCTGGGAATTCCACTGGTAGATATTCCTGTGGCTGGCTCCGCTGCTATTTGATGACTGTTGGTTTCCTTACATATCTTGTTATGGAAGTCTTTGTACGGTCTGTATAGTCTGAATCAATGCTTTCTTAACAATGGCTACCTACACCATGCAAGGACTAGCAAAAATGAAAGGCATAGAGCCCTATACCCAGTTTTCGTAGGATGCAAATTAAATATTTTATTACCGATAAAATTATCTATAAGAGTTGACACAGCACGTGCCTTCCTGCCATGTCTATATTAACTTACTATTCTATATATGAAACCACTTATGTTTCACCCAATGCCTAGAACAGAGCAAGCTTTTTATCAATAGTCTTGGCACGTCAATAAATAGAGATGTACCCACTTAATTTAACCATTTAATTTCAAATCGGGGTCGCTGATATACTGAGATTTGCTGTCTGGAGTAGATTTGTAGGGATCCACACCACGCATCCGGATGTAAATCTCGTCCGGCAATTGTCTCCCTTCTCATTCCCAGTTTGATAAGTATCATATCTTCTCTTGAATTAGACATATTATATACTTTTTTTTTTTCTTTCTTTCTAGAGCGCGATAATATAATGTGATGATGACCACCAAGTCCTGGCAACTTCGTCAACACGGGTAAGATCTTAGGGCCATAGTCTAGATGTAGGCGGTATGTACATGTATTAACTTGGCACCAAATAGTTAACTGTATGTTAGCGGTATTTGTCATGATAGCAGCAAACGACCGCTTCTTTGCGGATATCCATACTGGCTTACCCAATTGGCTAAATATTCACTGCTCGATGACCAATACTTGAAGAGGGGATAGTAGTAAGTAATGCATTAGTTAATAATAATCAAGTTTAAATACTACCCCTCAAGGACAAGGAGTTGGCTGTCCAGAAGTCTACGCTATATCATAGACTGGAAGTACTTCTCTCTTATATACGAAATTGAAGAATGAATCCTCCTTGAGTAATATTTTACCATAATATAGCGTGGATTAAAAGTGTTGATCGTGCTCAGATATATCAGCCAGGTGCTGTCACAGCAGGAAATCCGTGAAGCAAAACCCACTCACTGCTTGCGAGAAAGCAGCAAAAGCCGGTGAACGTAGAAAACGTTTCTTCTACATGAAAACTAAACTCATCGCGGCAACTGCTGTCGCTCTGGGAACGACATCAATATTGTGCGAATCTCGAGCCACTATGGGATGATGAGGTATTTGCCACTGAGGAGTTGATGAATGATACATCTCACAATGCATCCTAGAGTGAATAATCTCTCGTTCAGCTCGACCTCGAGATATCTCGAGCAACGCTGCTATTGCGTCAGGAAGATGTCCCCCAACAGTGGAGAGAGTATTCTTAGGATCTTACCAACAGGTGTACAACTTGTGTGGAGCGTTACGATGAATGATATCTTCCCAGCGTCTGGTCCCATTAGTTCCTCAGAGGGTGTTCCACAACCGGATGGGACAAGGTTCACGGTCGAAGGCACGCCCCGGGCGCCTTACAGCGAGGATCTGGTTGACCTGCTACAGGTTCACTGCAATATGAAGCGACAGTTGGTATTCGTAATGATTTTCTCCTTTTCAAGTGTGACGCTAACCCGTAGAGTCTAGATGAGCTCTTATTTGCAAGTTTCTATCTCCCAATCCGTACCCCATAAAAATAAGCCACTTTCCTGGACTCGGAATACCACGGTCCACACAGCAGTGCACAACTGCAGAGCCGTAAGAGATGCAGATTCCCCACTGTACCATCTAACGGACCCTATGTCACGTTGTTCTCTTTTATTATCACGTCCATATAGCCGCCAGCACAGACGACTAGAGATCTTCCAATATGTATCAGGGCAGATTCACGTCCAATCCCTTCTGTGATACCCCTGCCGCAGGATCTATCTTGATGGGATAATCGGTTTTGCCTACAGCTGCCTGCAGTGCACATTCCAAGCTCAAAATGAAGCCCCGTGGCTGCATGATCTGTTCATTGCGCTAGGCCCAGTTACGCTTGCCCTACCGCAGCCACGCCTATATACAAAGGATATCTGGTCAATACTGATTTGCGATTGGCTCATCTATCAGATTGCTTTGGCGACGCTTGTCCGGAAGGAAGTGAAACAGAATAATGTACGTATCCAAGCCAATCCAACAACACTTGCATGTCTTAATCGTACTCTGCGCAGCAACCACGCGGTTCATGGAACCGGATATATGTCTACTCTGAGAAGCCACCAGGGACAGATAGCATGTGTCCCCTCGACCATTGAAAATGCTTAAAAACAGCTACTCGACGGTGGCATGGATGAGGCCCTTGCGGCGCACTTTGCCTCAATCCTAGCGCGGAAATCACTTGTTATTAATCAAAGATACGTGGAAACGGCCTGTCCTGACGACACTGCCCTTTTTGAAAAGCTACGTCTGCAGGTTTGGCCATACGTCCATTTAAAGCTCCCTATTTCCGGGGCTGGCGCGTGGAATTCTGTCCGATGGAGGTGCAGCTGGCTGATTTTGATAACACCGCCTTCGCAATCTTCACATATCTTACTCATGTCGAGGGCCATTCTTACTTTCCATCTAAATTTCTACGTACCGATGGACAAACTCGGCGAGTCAATGAAAGCTGTACAACAACGGAGTGCTGTAATTAACGACCGGGTCTGGTTTTAGCGCCCAGGATGGTCATCCTCGCTGTACGATTCTGTCAGGATCTGAGAATGTCACGCAGAATCACCATACCCGGAGGTACGCTCCGCTGATGGCCACGATGTTCTAATGACGTTGAACGAGATCATCAACAGGGAACCTCCCACAGTGCCATCTGCATTCCCTGGTCTTCATCAAATTGTCAGAACATATGTGAACCACTACCACCTTGCTTGCGGACTAGCTCAGGTCGCTCCTTATCTGGATCTAGTTAATAAGCGAGCCAGCGGTAATGCCCCTACTCCTGCGCAATGTATGCGCAGCTCTGCCTTCCAGCATCCAGAGGTAAGGCAGGAGCGAATATCTATGACAGAGTGACAAAAACAACTTGTAGTTCTCAGTCGGACAAGGGGCTTGTTTCCTGAATCTGTTTTGGTGGTTGTGAGGGGAAGAAAGTAGAAAAGGAGAGAAGTCGAAGTGCGTTGTCCTCTCAACTGACGCAGCCAAGGCTTTTTATAAATTCACGGTCTGGGGAAGAGGATGGCGCTATTCCCGAGCGGAAGGAAGCACAGTCATGTGCTCTAGACCGGACAGGCAATAGGATTGTGGTATGGGGCAGAGACGGTCGGGGGCAGGCGGTCGGAGGCTGCAAAAGAGCGGTGTACTGGTAGCCGGATCCGGCGCTCCACTCACTGTTGTCGTATATTTAGGGAAATAATAGTAAATTAAAAATATAGAACTGTTGTTATATGGAACTCCTATAATAAATGTTTGCTGCCGATGCCGAGTCAGTCGAGGAGGGGTAGGACACTACCGATGCAAGGACACGCGATATGGTAACGAAGCACGTAATTCGATCGTTATAATATAAATGGAACACTCTGGTTGACGTGACGGTGAGGGCCGTTCCTGAATAGCCCGATCCGGCTTACTTCTATCTGACGACAGTGGCAATCGGTGAGCTCAGTCTCTCCACATTGCCCTCTTCCTAGCCGTTATTTCACTATTTCACTTCCTACCTTAACTAGCACCTAGTAATTGATCAGGCCCCGGCAAGTATGGAAGAAAAACAACCTTTTCTGTCGCAGGCCTATGGCAGCGATGATGATGACAATGATGTCGAGACCCTACCCTCCACCGACTCGAGTCGACGGTGTTCCCGACGCGGTCGTCAAATCATCACCATGCTGCCCATTGCTCTGAACATGATTCCCATGGTGTTGCTAGGCTGGTTATTGATAGCTGCTATTACACCCGGAGTTAATTTCCTGAACTGTCAGAGCCTGGTCAGACGTCTTTTCTATGGCCTCCCGGAGGACGCTGAGTTACTCTCAGAACCAACCAGGGTTCCTCTCGAGGCCCACATCATGAGCAAATGCCCAGACGCTCAATACTGTCTGAAACACCTAGTTGTGCCTGCAATGGAGCAGATTAGCGACAAAGTGGACTTTGACCTGTCCTTCATTGCGAAGTAAGCCGGAAACTGAAACCCGAAAAAGCAAACTAGGTTGCATCCACAGCGATGGGGAACTAACATCCAATTTAGTGTCTCCGATACATCCTCCGACATCCAATGTAAACATGGCCCTGGTGAATGCATCGGAAACATGCTCATTCTCTGCGCCGAGAATCTTCCCTTCCCCGAGGGAAGTGATTTTCGCATGCCCACTATCCGGTCCCTGGGGTTTTCTAATTGTCTGATCGATTCATATCATGACATTCCAGACCGTGCGCTGGTGGAGCACTGCGCTCTGGAGCATGGCATTGATTTCAATGCCTTGAACCGCTGTGCCAGCAAGCAGCAGGACGATCCCGACGCGGGTCTTAGTGGCCTGGCTCTGCTAAGAGAAAGTGCGCTTCATAGCGCCGATCTGGGCGTCAAGACGAGCTGTACTGTGCGACTGGATGAATCCATCTGGTGTGTGCGAGATGGCGGAGTCTGGAAAGACTGTGTCCAGGACGGAGAAGGAAGTAAAGCTTCGGTGCTTGTTGACGAAGTTAAGAAGCTCTGGAAGAGGAGAAATAAATAGGGTTGACTTGGGGTGGATTTTGTTGTTGGGAGGAAAGGAGTTCCAGGTTTCCTTAAGTCGGTTTTACTGGTCTGTCTGATATATTTGCACCGATTTATTGTCTAATTTTTGGCTGAAAATCTAACTTCGAGAGAAAAATATATACCCCCATCTAGACCTTTCTTGATTTGATCTTCGAAAAGTTGCCATGAGAAAATGAGGGGTGCAAAAATGGCTTTAAATAAATATGCTTAAAAAGTGTCGGGAATAGTCTCCTACTTAGCTTTCTATGACAATACTGAATAACAGCTCAGTAGAGCCCATGAATTTTGGTGATTGAATAGTATTATCTGTGTTGATAAAAAGTGTTTGTTAGTGAATTCTTTCTCTTTATTGTTATTATAATGGTGTTTACTATGACTTGGGACTTAGCCACATCCACCAATGCGTCATTTGTTTCATCCCTTCTCCTGTCGCTAGGTAGTACTCTCAATCACTGTTCTATTTAACCTTGAGATTGTCAACATTTTCCTCAACCTCCTAGAGTAAGTTTTTTAATATACATCTCTGGTCGTGGAATATAGCATATGGTGCTGATAGACAATAGACACCTGTTATAGACGCGACAGCTCCATCAAGGCAGTCCGATTCGAACAGCAATTCGTTCACGTTGTTTCAGAATCCCAGGAGGAACAACCTCAGCCCTATGGCATTCGACCCTGACCCCAGTACGGAGTAAAGAAGAACTTGATCGACGCTTTCCTCTCCATCCCTGTTACAGCAAAGAACCCGAGGCTCCTTTCAGAGACGCCCAGGCTTTGGAAAGACAGTGTCCAAGATAGAGAAAGAAGTGTAGCTTTCAATTCCACCATCTTAGAACCTCCTATTAACTATCTATGTAGAAATCGTGTCAAGACAAAACCATTTAACTAACTATAAACCCGGGGCATTACTGAGCTGTAATAGTGAGTTACATAGGGAGTTTCAACAAATTTGGTGATATGATCGTCTTCAGCAGCTTGAGAGCGGCGCCTGATCAGTAAGCAGAATATCTATACCGGCCAGAGACCCATATATTATTTTAGTTATAATTCAGTACAAAGCGTTATTTTCTTAGTAAAAACAGATATCTATACAAATCTTAACTCTGGGCGCATTTCAATACTATTATGGGTGTGGCACTATGCACATGGGTATTCACTCTCTGTAATGTGTCAGGTTGTGTGGCCATTTGTCGTGAAAACTTGAGGAATGATAAGAATAGGAAATGGCTTCCCCATCCTTCTGCGAGGTCTGCGTTTCCCAGACACAGCCTTTGTTTCCTTTTCTCCTCCTGCCCAGGACTCGGTACGCCCATTGCCTTTCCCTTCTATTCCTTTCTGGCCTTCCTCTCCCTCTTTTTGTTTACTTCTCCAGCAAGCTTCGTGTCTAGAAGCAAGTGCTCGACGTGAAAACGTGCTGTCACAAGAAACACAGCGCCTCAAGCCTCCCATTCCTCGACGAGCTTTGTGACTTCACCAACTTCAACTTCATCCAGTCGCGGCCATGTATTTGCCTCGGACCTGCTATCACTCGAGAAAAAATTTCGATAATAGAGTCGACGACCTCGTTCGTAAGTATTATGACGTTTCTGAGCCCAACCCGGCCCTGCAGGATGTCCTCAAGAATCCGGACGGGTCATCTCTCCTTTTCAAAGCGGTCCGTCGCCAGGTCGCACTGATCAGGTGCCGTTCCCACGCTCCTGAAGATGATCAGATCACCATTTACGATAAAGCCTTGCTGCTCCTCACTAGATATGGAGAGGAACCGGAAGACATCTGCGCTCTCGAGCTGTATATGACCGAGTTTCTCGGTATCGTCCCGATTTCGCCTTTACAGCAAAGCAGAGAGGACCTTTCCCAGCACATTGAGCTGCAGAAGATACTGAACAAAGGTTCGCACATCCCAACCCACAGCCGGTTCATCCCTAACGAAGACGTCTTAGGGATTGAACCTGTTGCTGTCCCCGAAGGACATGTTGCTAGCGAAAAGCAGCTCAAACAAGGGTTCACCGCCGAAAAGAACACGCGTACCGACGACAAAAGCAACCCCAGAGTCCATCGATCTGAATCATACTTGCATGAAAAAACCATGCCAGACAAGACCGCCGCTGATACCGGTCAGGATTCACGTAGTCAAGCTGAGAGGATTCTTGGAGTTTATTACAAAGCCAGAGACGATTATTTCCAGGTTATACAAAACGATGGCGTCGCTCATATGAGTGTTATCCGGTTTCTTCGCGATACAGCCGAGAATGCTCTTCTGTATCTTCACAAAAGCGCGATGTTGGGCCATCCTGCCATCCCCGATCTGCAGCAGACTTTCGCATTTGCTAGGGATAAGGCTGCCGAGCTTTCTGGAGGCCGGAAACGCTATTTTGATGAGGGGGCTGGCAGACATGGACACAAGAGGGCCCGTCGACAGGTTGACTCGTATCGTCCTGCGCCATAGTGGTGTCTCTGTCTATAGTTTGGTTTTTGGGACGCTGCGATTTGGGTTGGGTTTGGCTCTTGATATTTCAGGCGTGCTTTTCAAAGCCCCTTTCATGCTCCGATTTTCTTTGTATGTGCGTATCATGCAGGTTATTAACTGAGAGTGATGGATTCCACTGGGTTAGATCTCATGGGTCTGAATGTGTGAAGTTGAAGATCGCTTGTGATGCTTGGCAAATCACACCCTTAATGCAAGCCACGTGCATCCATACACGTGATGACACTTCATTCTTCAACTTGTTAGTTAATGAATGCCAGCCCCTTGCTTCATCAATCTGCTTGCTGCTATCTCTCTCCCACTAGACATGGACATCTAAAGATTACTCAAAGGATCTTGCTAAAATGACGCTCCTGCGGCCTCAGCCGGCCGAGGCCGCAATTTCCACTTCTAGCAACGGATCATCTAGTGCTCAATATACGCCGGTGTCTGAAGGCTCCGAGGAAGAGTGTGTCTTATCAAGTTCAACCCGTCCACCAGCTCGCCCATTGAAACTGCAAACGGATCTTGATTCTGATGGAGACGACATTTCTAGTGCTGTTAGTGACGAGGGCTACGAGTCCTATGAAGAAGCCCGCCGGAATTCGAATCAATCCAGCTTTCCAAAGTACACTACGGCTGAGGAGAGAGAGGTCGTGAAAAAATTCGACCGCAAGCTTGTTCCGTTCTTAGCGTTCCTGTATATGCTTTCATTTTTGGATCGATCTAGTGCGTTGTCAGCTGCCCAGTAAAGCAGCAGCTTCCTTTCTCGTCCCTCCCATGTATCTTCTAGTAAACACTCTAATTTTCGTATCAGATATTGGAAATGCCAAGATTGCAGGTCTCATGGACGATCTCCATCTCTCGTCCTCTCAATATGAGTGGCTGCTTACCTCCTTTTACATCACCTACATCCTGTTCGAATGGATGACCCTTATGTACCGTGTCGTCCCTGCGCACATTTACATTGCACTTTGCGTATGCGGATGGGGTTTAATTGCGACCTTTCAATCTCTAGCTACTTCATTTGGAGCCCTTGTCCTCCTTAGGGCCCTCCTTGGTATCACAGAAGCGGCATTCGGACCCGGCGTGCCGTTTTATCTTTCGCTATTCTACAAGCGTGAAGAACTTGCGTTTCGAAATGGTCTCTTCATTTCCGCGGCCCCTTTGGCCTCTTCATTCGCGAGTAGTCTAGCTTGGCTGATTGTCAATTTCAGCGGTGATGGTCCAATTGCTCCTTGGCGCATGTTATTTCTAGTTGAAGGGTTTCCCAGTGTTATAGTTGCCGTTTTTGCTTGGATACTTATCCCCGATTCACCAGGACGGGCTCGATTCCTTGAACCGCGACAGAGAATCGTGGCTCAATTGCGTACGGAGGAAAATAAACCAACCAGTTATGATGAGCCTGGTCGAAGCCAATTCAACTGGAGCGAGGTCCGAAAGGCACTAGCTGATCCAAAGTCCTACATTACAGCTGTTAGTGCTAATGGAAACTATCCCTTCAGAATTGCATCCCCAGCTAATAGACCACATTCCAATGATGTTGTAGTTCATGTTCTTTAGCTGCAACGTCGCATTCAGCTCGATGCCTGTTTTCCTGCCTACCATCATAGAAGAGTAAGTTGAAATGATCTCACGTGTCCAAAACTAACAAACAACCCCAACTAGCATGGGCTATTCCTCTCTTGCCTCGCAAGCCCTCTCCGCACCTCCCTATCTAATTGCATTCATCGTGGTGCTGGCCACCGCATACATTTCCGACCGCAACCTTTCGCGCAGTCCATACCTAATCGCCCACGCCATTGTCTCCTCAGCCGCGTATCTAGCTATCGCGCTCACAGGCCACTACCACACTCATCTCCCCACAAGCACACACATCCTCATTCGATACCTCTGCGTCTACCCTGCCACCTCGGGCTTCTTCTCCGCCATCACCCTGATCATGACTTGGACGATGGACAACCACGTCGCCAAGGAAGGCAAAGGCACCAGCATCGCCATTCTCAATATCATCGGACAATGCGGTCCGCTTCTCGGCACGCGTCTGTATCCCGGCAGTGATCGACCGTGGTATGTGCGTGGCATGGCTGTCTGTTCGTTTTTCATGATCGTTGTCGCTGTCTTGGCGGTTGTGTTGAGGGTTCTCTTGCAGAGGGCAAATCGTGCAGCGGAGCGGGAAGGGGAGAAAGATACTTTTGAAATGGAAGGAGGTGGCGCTGGCGCTGGCGCTGGGGGTGAAGAGAGGGAGGGACTCATGGGTTCGGATCGGGGTATCACCCTTCGGTATAATGTGGAGGAGCGATCTACCTACATCGTATAGGTTTTTGAATTGAATTTTGAATGCCGCGGATAAACGTTCGGAGCTTTTTTCTCATTTACCTCTTTCAGGAGTATGATTAAGTTAGTTTGGAAAATGGGTATCAAGTATGATGCAAGTTTGTCAAGAGACCAGAAAAATCCAGTCCCATCCCAGTAGGAATTAATATTGAAGCGCTTCACTAACAGAGAATCATCAGGCAAAGAAGGCAAAAACATCGTAAAGGAAAAGAGAAAGAAAAGAGAAAAGAAAAAGAAAAGAAATCAAGAGTATGGTACATCGAGAAGACAAGAAGTCGCAGATACCCTTCCTTGCAGAAAATATGCCACACAAACCACGAATTTTCGCTTCTTTCAGCCTTTCGACTATGCAAATGTCGGGGGACATGCTCAACCTCCAACGGACTATATATGAAGGGTCATTTTCCGGAACGACCCTGTTATGGGCTCGCTGTCGGTATATTTTTTTTACTTAATATTATTTTACTCGTTTACCACGCAGTGTGGCCTCCATCGATGAGCATCGTGCTTCCAGTCATGAAACTGCTAGCATCACTCAGAGCGAAGAGAGCAGCACCTCGGAATTCCTCCGGGTATGCTAGACGGCCAAGCATGTTCTCTGCTTCCCACACGGCTCGGGATGCCGGGTTCTGTTGGAACACCTGCTCGACCATGGGCGTGATAATATGGCCGGGGCAAAGGCTGTTGACACGGATGCCATGGCGGCCCCATTCCATGGCCAGACTGCGAGCTAGCTGGATGACGGCGGCCTTGGATGAATTGTAGACGGGTGAGGTCATGCCCTTGTTCGCAATAAGACCGCTCATGCTAGCGATCAGTAGGATAGAGCCCTTTTGCTGGTAGTTAAACATCTGCCGCGCGGCCGCCGTGGCAGAGTTAAAGACGCCGTTGTAGTTTATCTGCATGACTTCGTTCATGGCCACTTGTGAATGTTCCAGGGCGCTCTGGAGGTGGTTGATTCCAGCGGCAGCGATCATACCGTCGAGGCGTTTGTTCTTACCCGCAATCTCGGCAAAAACGCTGTTGACCTCTGCGTCGTTGCGAACGTCGATTTGGTAGTACTCCAGACTTCCACCGTACTCGTTTTCGGCGTGTTCTTTAGCTTTCATGAAGTCGGGGTGTGGGGAGTCTAAACGGTCCAAACAGCACACTGAATAGAGAGTATTATTAGCATGTAGAAGGATTGGATCCGATGCGAAGATCGAGCACCTTTGGCACCGGCTTCCATCAGCGCTTCTGCCATGGCCAGTCCAAGTCCTCGACCGCCGCCAGTGACGGCGTAGACACGGTCCCCCATATCAAACTCCTTGAACCGATGGCCACCTTTGATAGCTGGCCGTAGCGGCGGCATCCGGGTCTGGATGTGATGGGAGCTATGGGAACTGGCTGTCGTGGAGAACGCTAGCCGCGAGATGGGCCGAAGCGTCGAAGGGGATTGACATGATCGTGTTGCTTGGAACAGCGATCGGGACATAGCAGAGCGCATGGTGGTCCTGGAGGGGGGCCGGAAGTTTTCACGATATTAAGAATTAAGTACTACAGGATGGAAAATGGTAACAGGGAAGAAGAGACAAGAAAGGAAGGATCTCTAGACACGCAAAGGGAGCAACGACCACAAACCGAATGACTTCAACTCATCATTTACTTCCACTGCGTCTTCGTCGGAGGACGAGGGGTTTATAGATCTGGGAGGAACCAGACGGCAGAAGAGCAAGACTGACCGACCGAAAGCGAACATTTTCTGCCACTGTCGCACGGAAGAACCGAAACAAGGATGGGAAGAAAAAAACAGAATGCCGCGTGATTGCCTGGATGGGTCCACGATGTGATCTAGAGCTGGCTGCTTGGACTGGATGACCCAGATCACTTCATCGCCCGGGAACGAACATCCACGGTACATGGGCTAGTCCATGCATCAAGCTACGCCCCATAAAAAGCCTGCCAGTGGGAGAGAGAGGGAAGACAGCCATGGATGCACATTGGGCACATAGACGGTAGGAAGGCCTGGGTGGGCGAAGGCATCGTGACCTGGTGCTAGAGTTGGCTGAGAACGGTAAGCAAGTCCTGGTCACTTGATCGAGGGATGACGATCATTCATTTGTGGAATGGCCCACCGAGAACCGGGATTCCCGAACATGGGGAGGCCGAGAAGCTGGCTGAGATCCAGATTGGTGAAACGTGCGTAATGTATGTATGTTCTTCGTAGCGGTCAAACAAAGGTCGCATCAAAGAAAAAAAAAATAAAGAAAGAATTCCATCTCTCATCAATCCTCAAGCCAGCTCAATTCCTCTCTTCTATACAGCTATGAATATGGTTTGGAAATAAGTATAGGGGAAATGAATATGGGTGGAATTGACGACGCGTAAGAATGGAGCTCTGGTAAAGCTTCGGAAGCCTTGGAATGCACTTCCGCCAATGACGGTCTCGGCATCGCGAGTGGTGGTGTAATCCGCCCTTTCCAGGATGGAGAACACTAAACAATCCTGCAGGAAGAGGTTGATCTCGGTTCATCCTTGCAGCTAGGACCAATCTTCTGGAGGTCATCTATCCTTGATTCCTTCTAGATTTCTCTCTGCCCCATATTACCCCCACGCTTGATGTTTAATATAGCAACGGGGATGACAGATGATGGAATACCCACCGGATGAGGTCAATATCAATGGCTGGAGTAAGCGATTGTTTGTGACTTCCCTTCTCTCATTTTTTTTTTTTTTTTAATTTTTCTACCTACCCCTCTCCACATTTTCAAGGAAAGGGAGGATGCCCTTACAGCTGGCTACCCCTTTCCCCACAAAAAGGGCCGTACTTTTGCGACTTGGTAAAGGTAGCTTCCGAAAATGACATCCCGAGAATGCCATAGACAGCCGATAAGGATGGACGGATAGAGATTAGTTAGAGACACTACCTAAGGTCCGGGCATGCCATATGGGAGAACGATTCCGCAAACCCACCTCCGCGATTCTGGGGTCCTTCAGTCTTCTCTCCAATTAGCATCTCATCTCGCGGCACATTCATTCAGCCTTAATTCCCTTCGCGGTCCCGATGCTGAATCGTCCTGTACTAAAATAAAAATAGAAAGAATGCAACTCCGACAAATCAGAGCCAAGACCGTCCAACCATATCCCCCAGGGAGATTAAGCTATCCTTTTGACTGTGGATCACCATCGGGTTACCCGTTTAGGTAACCCTGAGAGCCTGAGTCATGTGCCTCTTCAGAGATTTTTCTATTAATCTCCGATTCCATAAACCGTCAAAATCCTCGTGATATCGAGGTACAGTAATCCCATCAAATGGGATGACCTGTTTGGGGAAGATGTTCCCGATCCCTCAATCAATCTACCCTTTGTTTCCTCAGTATTTTAATGGTTGGCCGCGAGCATTCCTCATTTGCGGAGAATGTTACGCAACAGCCAAGCTTGCTAGTTCTTGGGTGGGACACTTCATAAGCTTATCAACCGAATGTAAAAATAGTTAACCGTGGGGAGGTAGGAATTCCCCTCATCCGGGGATGTTTTCCGGGAGATTTCTGGAATGCCATTTGAGCAGAATCCAGCTTCTTTCCATGGAATGAACGCCTATTTGAATAGACTACACCATGTGATCAGATCTCGTGATTCTATACGAAGCATTCATTCTATGCTGTAAACCCATGCTAAGCGTACATTCATACATACATTGGCAAATACCGTTTCCATTGGTCATCCGGGTCGTTTCTCATGGTAGGGGTTGGCCCAGGCGCCCTTGTTCAAAGCAAAGTAGCCTCCTCAATGCTCCCGGGGAACAGAGCCCATCCCAGTTATTAAATCCCATCATAGATAAATCCAACGCGTGCAGAGGCTGCAGGTCAGATGCTCCCATTTGCGTTCCCAAAGTCCAGCTTCATAAGTAGTTGGTCGACACCGGCGGCTTTCCGCGGCACGTAATGGCAAACCGTGGACTCGGCACCGGTGTAATTCTGCCGAGGGGCTGGCCAGTGTCCATTTTGTGACTTGGCTACATCAAACATCTTCTGTCCTTCCCCTGATCGGCTGTCGTCGATATCTCGGAGTCGTGCCACGACATTCTTAATTTCTGCATCAACTCGACTGCGTGCAGTGCCCAACGCTTGCCATATTTCCCTCTCTTCCCTAGCGTAGTCCACCAGAGCGTCCACCACGCCTTCATCCGTCTCCAGATCCATGTTCCGTTGAATGCCTTCCAGGCGTACTACAAGTTCAATGAAGTGGTCGACACCTGTAAGCAACAACCTCAGGGCTTTCGTAAATGGGATGTCCGTCAAGAAGAGAGACTGTACCAATGAGAAAATGTATCGCCGATGTGCAAGTGTCAGTGTTTCAGGGTCATGTCGTTGGATCGCAGGTTGACTGGCACCCTCGAAGCCAGTTTCGGCGATCTTTCCTGGGACCCCTGCATCGGCATTTTTGGATGATGACGCAGTCCCGGGCCGGGGGCCAAGGAATAAAGAGGGCGAGGTCGGTCCCTGTTTGATCCACTCCAAGAAGTGTTGCCAGGAACCATTTATGACTTCTCCCTGGAAGAAACTCCCGATCTCAGACAACACAAAGAGCGAAGCGCTGCTTGTTGCCCAGATAGGCCTCATCTGACGAATTCGCGCGTTGTCTCTCTCCCGACCCATTTTGAGCTTATTTTGGCCGAAAGGAGTGCTGCTCCGCGGAGGACCCCATGGGGAAGGATAGTTCTTTCGTAGGAAAGTGTGCTTCCACAGGTCGCCAAGGTGTATTTGAGCACGCCGGATCCCCAGAAGATAAGAGTGCATCTTAGAGTATGTGGAGATGTCGGATACGGAGAGGAACAGGTCAAGGGGCGGGCATACCTGTACTGAAAGAGATGTCGGGACTGGGAAAAGTAGGCCGTCGAAGGAAATACTCGAGATACCTGTTACTTGCTCAGGCTCTGTGGTACCTGAAGATGACCCTATGGCTCCATTGTCCCTTGTGTTGCTGACGGACAACCGTAGAAGATCCCTAGCAAGCTCCAATTCGTCATCCTGGGGGTCTTCTTCGTTCTGGAGTGAATGTAACTCGGCCCAGGTCTGTGATAAAGCAGCCATTACATCACCTTCCTTGATAGCAAGGCCTTGAAGAACTCCAGTGGGTCGATCCTGGGGGCCAAGGAACTCGGGTTTGCGACGCCTATCATGCAGCCGGACATCAGCTTGTGAGACAAGAGCGGTCGCGAATTCGCCCCGTCTTAATAGAAGAAAATCGTGGAGTACAGAGAGAATTTCAAGGATCTTCTGGAGGGGTAGGAGCTTAGAAAAAGTGCTCTGCGACAGTGATAGGCGAATGGAATCGACTGCTGCGGATAGTTTTGAAGTTGATATCGGCGATTCTAACGCAGCAAGATGCTCGATATGGTCCCCGTGAAGAGTAACTGGTGTCGTCGCAAGCCTAGTTGGGGAACCCGCGGTGGAAGCACCCCGCTTGGCTCTGATTAGGTTCAATGTCTTCCCGATGAATAGGATAGACGACGCCGTATGTGGGGAAACAAATTTTGGCAGTAAGCCTGCATGTAAAACAAAGTTTACCATATTTGAAGAGTGCTTGTCGTCGCTTGTATTATCTTCTTGGACGAAGAAATCATCCTTCCCAAGCACAGGAAGATTCCCATATAATAGCCATGTTGACAGTTGTCTCATCCAGGCGGTTTCTGCTGCGCGAACCAGATTCAATGCCATTTCCTCGATGTCAACATAGCCAGTCTGCGATTCTGCCCGAAGGTAGTCGATCAACGATGCGCCTGTACATCGATGTTTTTTGGCTGCTTTTTGATCGGGCCAAATAAACCGAGCTACCTCCCAGAGCCACTCTAACCTCCGTACCCACGGAGAGAACTCCCCAACGATGGTGGATAAAGGCACGATTCCGTACCCACCCACATACCCGCTATCGTCAACTAGGATTGCCTTTTCAACTTCCAGTATTTTCTTTTGAAACCCGCCAAGGTGCTGGGCGCTAATTGCCGTAGATACAGCACGACAAATGACAGAGGAATGGGAGGAAGAGATTAGAGCCGTGTGAGCCCGCAGTCGAGGATGAAGGCGGCTCAGACGGGCAAGGGGCCTGAGGAGGGCTTTCTCCGGAGGAGACAGGAGAGGAAAAGCATCTTCAGCGACGGCACCCTCCTCGGCTGAGGGGTTGAAAAGTGGCGACGGTTGGCCTGATAGGGAGAGGAGGACCTCGTGGAGCATTCTGGCTGGAACTCTCTAAAGGAAGTCAGCTAGTCACCACAATACCGCAACTGACCAAGGAACATGGCAGACTCGTCCGCAGTACCAACCTAGATGACAGATCTATATCCACTCTTGACTTTTGGCGCTGCCAATACAAGAAACCGCGACCAAGAAGCTCGTATCGACACATGTAAATCCGTTTCACAACGCGTCGCGTTGGATAAGGAGGAACACGTAGAGAAAAGGGAGCTCAGTGCTCTCCAGCGCAGTGCAGTCGAGGTCAGTGAAGTGATGGGTCAGCTTCCCTTGTGCATTCCAGGGCCATCAATATGCCATTGCATGCATGGTGTCTGGTACTCTGGGCCTCCGTCATCGCCATCATTGCCCGTCATTCTTTGGCGGTGGACGAAACCCTTTTGGGGTACTCGCGGGGCTGTGGCCAATCACCACTCGTGCGCTGAGTCAGCGACGACAGCTTGTACCTCTTACGTCGCCGACTAGTTGATTATAAGTGTTTGCTCTCCCTACTTCTGCCACTTTCTTCATCACACTAGGAACCTCTTGTGGGAAACCTCTCTTATTTGCACATATACGTACATTCTTCCTCAAGAAGCCTCTATACAGTACCGCCACCACTCACCTTTCGGTAACTACTTGACCGCTTCTACCCCTCCTGCGGTTGTATTTGGAGTTGTAACCCACCTACTGTTGGAAAGTCTTGCTTGGTGGCAAGGCTTTCATTGCATCGTCTTTCACGATTCCTTCGGAACTTCCCGTTCGTGACGCTACGAAGCTGGGAAAGCGGAGAGCGTCTGGGGACAAAACGACCATTCGACCGGAAAAAAAGATCATGACAGTATGTTTAATTATCCTCCCTATCGGAACTCATGTTGGCAGACTTCAGTTTTCTGACACACTGTAGGACAACAAGATGCAGGTGGATACCCCCCAGGAAACAGTGGAAATGATCAAGCAAGGGGAAATCGACGAGTCTTTATACAGTCGACAGCTGTGGGTCTTCTTCCTTGGTCTGATATAAAGTTTCGAGCTATACTGATGTTCGGTCCTTGCTATTTAGGTACGTGCTTGGTCACGAGGCTATGAAGCGTATGGGATCCTCCAACGTTCTCGTTGTTGGATTGAAGGGTCTGGGTGTGGAGATCGGTGAGTTCCGCCGCCGCTTCTGCTCCGCGGATATTGTTAGCTAATTTTTTGTAGCCAAAAACATTGCTCTCGCCGGTGTTAAGTCCCTTACGTTGTACGATCCTGCTCCCGTAGCCATCGCCGATCTCTCCTCTCAGTTCTTCCTTCAACCCCAAGATGTCGGTAAACCGCGTGCTGAGGTTACCGCCCCGAGAGTTGCGGAACTGAATTCATACGTTCCAGTCACAGTCCATGAGGGTGGTAGTATTGTGAACGACCTCCAGCAGTTGAAATGCTATCAGGCAGTGGTCCTCACGCTCACACCGTTGAAAGAACAGCTCGCGATTGCGGACTTTTGCCATAAGAATGGCATCTATTTGACCATCGCGGACACCTTTGGTCTATTTGGATATCTCTTCAATGACTTTGGCAAGAATTTCACCATTGGGGACGCTACGGGCGAGGAGCCTGTGAGTGGAATTGTGGCCGGAATTGATGAGGAAGGCTTGGTTTCCGCTCTAGATGAAACTCGTCATGGACTTGAAGATGGCGATTTTGTGACATTCACCGAAGTTAAGGGTATGGAGGGTTTGAACGACTCCGATCCTCGCAAAGTCACTGTTAAGGGTCCTTACACCTTCTCCATTGGTGATGTCTCTGGTCTCGGGACGTATAAGGAAGGTGGTCTCTTTACGCAAGTCAAGATGCCCAAGTTCGTTGACTTCCAGCCACTCGATGAGCAGCTCAAGAAACCCGAGCTTATGGTGTCGGACTTCGCCAAGTTTGACCGGCCACAGCAGCTACATATCGGCGTTCAAGCGCTCCACAAGTTCACGGATGCCCACGAGGGCCAGCTTCCCCGCCCTCATAATGAGAGCGATGCTCAAGAAGTTCTTAAGGTCGCCAATGACCTCGCCTCGAGCCAAGAAGATAAGGTGGAGCTGGACGAAAAACTCATCAAGGAACTCAGCTACCAAGCGCGCGGTGACCTCAACCCGTTGGCTGCATTCTTTGGTGGTATCGCAGCACAGGAAGTACTGAAAGCTGTTTCTGGAAAATTCAGCCCTGTTCGTCAATGGCTTTACTTGGACTCTTTGGAGTCGCTTCCCACCTCAATTACCAGGTCCGAAGAGAGCTGCCAACCTCTTGGTACCCGCTATGATGGCCAAATCGCCGTCTTTGGAAAGGAGTTCCAGGAGAAGATCTCGAACGTCACCCAATTTCTTGTTGGTGCTGGAGCCATTGGATGTGAGACCCTAAAGAACTGGGCCATGATGGGCTTGGGAACGGGTCCCAAGGGCAAGATTTTTGTCACTGATATGGACCAGATTGAGAAAAGTAATCTCAACAGACAGTTTCTGTTCCGCTCAAAAGACGTCGGTAAGCTCAAGAGTGAGTGTGCCTCTGCTGCGGTTGAGGCCATGAACCCTGAACTAAAGGGCAAGATCGTCACGATGCGCGACCGCGTTGGACCAGATACGGAACACATTTTCAATGAGAATTTCTGGGAAGGGTTGGACGGAGTTACGAATGCTCTGGATAATGTCGATGCCAGAACCTACGTCGATCGCCGTTGTGTTTTCTTCCGAAAGCCTCTCTTGGAGAGCGGCACTCTTGGTACCAAGGGCAACACTCAGGTTGTCCTTCCCCATATCACTGAATCATACTCGAGCTCCCAAGATCCTCCAGAGAAGTCTTTCCCGATGTGCACATTGAAGAGCTTCCCCAACCGAATCGAACATACAATTGCTTGGGCTAGGGATCTCTTCCAAACCTACTTCGTCGGACCCCCAGAAGCTGTCAACATGTACCTATCCCAGCCGAACTATATCGAGCAGACTCTTAAGCAAGCTGGCAATGAGAAACAAACCCTGGAGCAGTTGCATGATTTCTTGGTCGCCGACAAGCCGCTGACCTTTGATGACTGTATCGTCTGGGCTCGTCATCAATTCGAGGCCCAGTATAACAATGCTATCCAACAGTTGCTCTATAACTTCCCGCGGGACTCGAAAACCTCTTCGGGCCAGCTATTCTGGTCTGGACCTAAGCGGGCCCCTACGCCTTTGAAGTTCGATGGCTCAAACCCCACCCACCTTGGGTTTGTCGTCGCCGCAGCGAACCTGCACGCTTTCAACTATGGCATCAAGAACCCCGGCGTGGACAAGGAGCTCTACCGGAAGGTCGTTGATAACATGATCATCCCTGAGTTCACACCGAAGTCCGGTGTGAAGATTCAGGCCAACGAGAACGACCCTGACCCGAATGCCCAGCCTTCGGGGTCGTTCGATGACAACGCAGAAATCCAGAGTTTGATGGACTCTTTGCCCTCACCGAAGTCGCTGGCCGGGTTCCGCCTGAGCCCAGTCGAGTTTGAAAAGGACGATGATACCAATCATCACATTGACTTTATTACTGCAGCCAGTAACCTTCGCGCCGACAACTACGATATCCCCCAAGCGGATCGCCACAAGACGAAGTTTATTGCAGGCAAGATCATTCCTGCTATTGCTACAACGACCGCGCTGGTCACGGGGCTGGTTGCCTTGGAACTGTTCAAAATCATCGACGGCAAAGATAACATCGAGCAATACAAGAACGGTTTTGTGAACCTTGCACTGCCATTCGTTGGGTTCAGTGAGCCTATTGCCAGCCCCAAGGGCAAATACGTAGGCAAGCAGGGAGAAGCGACCATTGATCAACTTTGGGACCGCTTTGAGGTAGATGATATCCCGCTGAAGGACTTCCTGAAGCACTTCTCGGATCTCGGTTTAGAAATTAGCATGGTTAGCTCCGGAGTGAGTCTACTCTACGCGAGCTTCTATCCTCCTGCGAAGGTGAAGGATCGCCTTCCTCTGCCGTACGTAACCCCCATTATCCCTTCCCCTATCTAACAGTTGATCGACTAATCCTCGACTATACAGAATGAGCAAGTTGGTAGAACACATCAGCAAGAAGCCTGTGCCAGATCACCAAAAGAACATCATTTTCGAAGTGACTGCGGAGGATCAAACAGAGGAGGATGTCGAGATCCCATATGTAATGGTGAAGCTGAGGAAGTAAACTGGGGTTTGTGCAGCTAGACAATGTTGCGGGACTCTTCGTGCCTTTTTCTCTTCCTTTTTTTTTGCAGACTATTTAAAACCGTAGACGCCACTGATATATGATTGCGTTGCTTTTCTTCTCTTGGAATGAACTTGTACAAATGGCTTTGTCAGCGGTGACGTGAGCATCCCGTAAGCAGGGGCTGATGTCATCGGCGCAGCCTCCCTATTTATTCCCTGCGCTCTGCAGTCTGCCCATCGTTCATTGTCCTCCATGTTTCCCTCTCTACACCGTCTCCAACAGACATCGCAGCATATATTGCCTCTCAGGGCCACCGCGGGGCTCCCTAACGCTGCAACCGGCAGAATCTCACGATATCTCTCTCTAACTCGCACTATGGCTGTAGGCTTTCCTGTCCCATACGGAATGTATCGCGTACTGACTGAATTCTAGACCGGAAGCCCCAGCAAGATCACTGATTGGGTTCTCCCGAACGACAAGTCGGGGGAATTCAAGCGCCAACCATCCATGTTCCGGAATTGGATATCCAGAGAACCAGGTGCCCAATTTCCCCCAGAGAAGGACAGATATCACCTCTATATTTCCTATGCTTGTCCATGGGGTTAGTTATTCTCTCTCCAAAAGAAAGAAAGAAATAGAAGCAGACCTTCTCTGTAGTTAGATTCCTAAGCTAACCAATCCCGCAGCACACCGGACATTGATCACGCGCAAGCTGAAAGGGCTCGAAGATATGATCTCATTTACTTCGGTGCATTGGCATCTAGGAGAGAAAGGTCTGGTGGCTTGCTTATTTTATAGCTTATGAAGCTGGGAAAATTGGGATTGCTAACATTTGTATGTTGTAGGCTGGCGCTTTGCAACTCCAGATGAGGCAGTACACGGGGAAAATACAACCCCGGACCCACTACATCCGCAGTATACACATCTTCGCGAAATCTATTTTGCCAATGATCCAGAATACACGGGCAGGTTTACCGTGCCTGTTCTGTATGATAAGAAGACTGAGCGGATCGTGAGCAACGAGGTGCGTAAACCACTATCAACCAGCCTTAGTTAATCCATTCGGCACATACAACTTGTTTGCCCCATTTCTATTCATCAGCTCAGATCCGGTGAACAATTATCTAACGTTTGACGAGACAACAGAGCGCCGAAATCATCCGCATGTTGTACTATGAATTCGACGACCTACTCCCCGAAGAATACAAACAGGTTGATCTCTTCCCACGCGCGCTTCGCTCCGAGATCGACGCCACGAACGAATGGACCTACAATGAGGTTAACAACGGCGTCTACAAGTCCGGGTTTGCAACTACTCAAGAAGCCTACGAGAATGCCGTGACGACGCTCTTCGAGTCGCTCGATAAGATCGAAGCCCATCTAGCTGCCGCGCAGAACTCGGGTTCGTCTTTCTATTTTGGTTCGTCTATCACAGAGGCGGATATTCGACTGTTTACCACCATTGTCCGATTTGATCCGGTCTACGTGCAGCACTTCAAATGTAATATTCGTGACATTCGCTCGGGATATCCGGCACTGCATCGGTGGTTGCGTAATCTCTACTGGGATGTGCCGGCTTTTCGCGAGACAACGAATTTCGAACATATCAAGAAACACTACACCAAGAGCCATAAGCAGGTGAACCCGCTCAGCATTACCCCTGTTGGCCCGGTGCCGGATATTCTTCCTAAAGAGGAGGAGGTCAGGGTTGCTGCTACGAGTAAGAAATAACCGTTGAGGATCTTGGCCACATGTGTTGTAGTCAAACACTTTGTACTTATTTTTATTTTTATTTGGCTTATTCCTTTGCACAAATAGTGGTCTTTTAGTGATATGGGGCAACAATGTCCCCGGATATGCACAATAATAAATGCAGAGCAATAATACCTGTGAGGTAGCTCAATGTATATATATATCCCCACTGCCCTATTATATTGCTGTGGAAGCTGTGAAGCAGAATTCTTAGATACAGTTAGACAAAAAAAGTTCTCCAATCCCGTAAACAAATGAGACAGATAAAGAACAGAAAAGCCAACTCCATACATAGTATGCTTTACCGCACGACGCCATGCCATGCTAAAAGAGGTCGGTTTAGACAACCATTCCATACAAAATGGTCTAAGGTCGGTGGTGTTGATCCCAGAAAACAAGACGAACTCAAAACAAGGAAGCCATTAGAAGATTGGATGAGGAAAGGAGGACCAGGAGGAAAAAAAGGAAATCCGCTATCGAAAGATAGCAAGCAAAGAAAAAACTATTGCTTCCCATCCAAAAAGATAACGGCACCAAATGAGGTTGTTGGCTTCGAGGGTATCTTGACAAAATATTCTAAACAAAGAAATAAAAAGAAAAATTCAATAAAATCGGATGAAGACGTAGCGAAAACATGGTGAAAATGAGTGCTTCAAATCAAACAAGCCTCAAGACCGGTTGGTTATACTCAATCCCGGGAACCATTTCTAGGCTTTATTTTAAACCAAGTATTCGTTTGGAGTTCTCATATACGATGTAGCTGATAGAAACCGCAGGCGCAACCTTGAGCAAATTAGGTGTAATCCCTTTGTAAAATCCACGAATGCCTTCAACCTGGATAGTCTTGCGAGCGACATCACCAATGCCCGTATACGTCGCAGGATGGAGAATTGTGCCTTGAGCCTGTAATCTAGTCCGGAGAACGTTAAGCGGGTAGACAACAGAAGCACTCAATCCTCCGCTAATCGCACCAATGGCGCCAGTGGCGAAATTGTTAAGAGGGATGTCATCTTCATGGCAGTGGTGAATACGAGCCTTGCGGGCAAGAAGAGCACGCTTCAGGTATTCGAAAGTAGTCAGATCGATGGCGGCATATGGAAACATGCCAATAAGGCCCAGAGGCAGGCCACGAAAGAATCCAAGCAGGCCATTTTTATTCATAACCTTTCGGGCTGTGGCCACGATAAGTTGGTTGCCTTTTAGGCCACCTTCGACCGTTTCGCACTGCATTCGACTGAAGATACCATAAGTTTCTAATGTACCAAACCAAAAAGAACCTTGCTTGTTTTGGCACTCACAATTTCAGAGTATCAAGAGGATAGACGAAACATCTGCATCGTTAGATTGTAATCAAGTTTGAATTATCGACACGACATACTGAGCCACCATTCCACCACATCCTCCGGACAAAAACTGTGATGTTGGCTTAAGGCGCTTTGGATCGCCGTGGCCTTCCATGCGGGCAAAAAAGCGCTTAGCGGACTATACATGCTTTAAATTAACACTTTCTCAATAAGCCAATTGGCCAAAGGCAAACTGACCTCATATGCTCCGAATTTGATCGCTGATTCGGGCATAACTTTCAAGACGTTCAAGCCGTTCCCTTTCGCCGTTAATACAAACGCGTTGCATTATGGCCAAGAAGACAAACCTGCGAACAGACTCCGCACTCCCCCAGCACGCCACAGCTCCTTAACCGCGTCAACAAGTGTTTTAGATGCTGTTCCTGCTGCTCGTATCGGAGCTCCATCCTTTACAGCACAGACAGCAGCGGTCTTAACGCCAGTTTGCGCAATGAGATAGACTTTGAGTCGGTCCAAGGGGGCTGTGGCTGTTCTTGATACGGCGCCGGCAATTCCGCCTGCAAGAAAATAACCTAATTGAGGAGTGCTTTCTGTCAACTTCCGTTCATAATATCTGAAGGACATCCACATGGCGACGGTCCTAGGTATAGGCAGCCACTCCAAGTCGAAGTCACCGTCTAAGGATACAGAATCATTGTCAAATGCAGCGCCGGCACTGGGTATCCCGCCGGCTTCCGCATGCGTTGACGGGATAATAGTTGCCAAAGCATGCACTGGGAAAATATAGTACAAAAGGTTTTTGATGGCCAAGATATAACGGCTAGGAAACGAGTGGTCTGTACCTAAACCCTGTAGATCATTGATGTGGACATCTCCTTCCGGGTTTAGATTTCCCGTGGCCGTATAATATGACAGGATAGCGTGCAGATCGGAGGACGAGTAGGCAGGCAGAAAAAGAAGAAAATTCCTGAAATCGAGGTCATTAGTCCTGATCAGCAAGTTCCTACCCAAAAAGGAAAACAGCCTATATACCTCCATTCCGCATAAGAAATGACACCGTCATTATTCGTATCAATATCCGCAAAGAACTCGTCCAATTTAGCTTTCGATACTGTTACCTCCGCATTGGCAAACGCGGTCCTTAGCTCGTTCTTGTCGATTTCTCCGTTATGATTACGATCAATGCTCTGGAAAAGCTGCCACAGTCCATTCTCTGTATGGTCGACAAAGGCCCGGAATTCTGGTAACTATTAGGCTTGTAAAAAAACCGGCATTATAGCCAGTCACTCTGGGAAACAAAGTCATGACCAGAAACTTGTGATCTTACCAAAGTAATCAATATACCCATCGCCATTGGTATCGACCGTTTTCATAATATTCTGTAGCATACAATCTGCATTTTTGAGAGCTGTACATTGATAGGGGGAATCAGGAGTAATTGGGTCAGTCGGCCGCACAGCAGGGAAGGCACGGGATCAACAGATGAAGGTCATGCTCACGGTGGTCAATCTTCTTCAGACCCTTCTTTAAACCATTAAAATCCAAGCGACCATCTCTAGGGACACCCAGTTTCTCCCATAATTTCGCAACTCTTAAGTCACGTTCATTTTTCGACTCGTCAGGTGCCATATTCAATTACTATGTTTTTTTTTTTTTTTTTTTTATCGGCCACCCGACATAATTCCACAGAGGGGCCGTCACCGGGTTTGGGGATCAGAATTGATACCCCTGTCACAACAGGGAAGATCTAGCAGTGAGGATATGTTGGGCATCGAATTCACAGGCTGGATTGTGATGGATGACTTAATGAAAGGATCGCAGCAGTTCCGCGGTCATGGCAAACAGTAGCCGTAGTAGCCATGAGAAATCCAGCCGCAATGATTTGCTTCTCTTACGACATTCCGCCGGAAAAAAACTGGACTCCGGCCCGGCTTCACGGGACCCAGGGCCCAGCCCTACTATGCCTGTTCAGGAAGGCCCCAAGTCACCTGCCCCAGTATGCCGCCTGATGTGGAAGAGGCCATGTACATTCAAGACATTAGCTTAGCCTCCCTCAATTCCTGTGTCCCTCTAGGGTGTAGGAGGGGTAAATCTTGATAAATACTGATGACAGTGGCCGCTGTACAGATAACGAACCCGTCAATATATAGTTGCATCTCTACTGTCACATGATTATCATAGCGGACCCTCGCAATGTCAGCCCGGTCAACTTGAAATGCTGAGGACCGGGAAGTTTCACACAACCTTTGCTTCTCGCAACAAAAATTCGACTATGGCGGCCAATTACTGGGCATCGACGCAGAGACGGCATTGGCTGTTTACTAGGGAGAGGCTCACTGAAGTCCGTGAAGGTTTCAAGGAGAGAGACAGGGCTGCACATTCACAATTTCCTTTGCCAGACCAAAGGTTGCTGAATATCTACTTCAGCCAACGTAAGATATGGTGGCCGTGGTGATTTGCAGAAAGTCTCGAGAGCTGAATACCCAGCAGAACTCATTAAACTCGGGAAGAGAATGTCCACTAGGCAGCAAGCACTTGCAACAGCTCAAGTCTACATCAAGAGATTCTACACCAAGAACGAGATAAGGCACACCAATCCTTACCTCGTCGTGACCACGGCATTTTATCTCGCGTGTAAAATGGAGGAATGTCCTCAACATATCCGATTTGTTGTGGCGGAGGCTCGAAATTTCTGGCCAGGTATGACCTGCTCTATGCCTTCTTTCTCATTGCTCCTAATGCCCAAAGCAGAATTCATTGCTCCGGATGTATCCAAACTCGGGGAATGTGAATTCACTCTAATTTCAGAGATGAATTCGCAGCTCATTGTTCATCATCCGTACCGAATATTATCAGAATTGCAACCTGAGTTGTCACTTACTTCGGACGAGGTTGCCCTTGCATGGTCGGTAATCAACGACCATTACTTAACAGACTTGCCACTACTTTATCCGCCCCACGTTATTGCAGTCATGGCCATTATCGTCGCCGTTGTATTCAAGCCGAGCCAAACAAGCTTCCATGGATCTGCAGCTCCTATAGCTTCGGCAATGCGAGATGGGGGTATGAATATTCTTGCCGCATTAGGGGATAAAAACGGCAATGGCCCACCTCCTCGAATTCAGAAACTTATTTCCTGGCTGGCTGAGAGCGAAGTTGATATCCGGGCCGTCGTCGAATGTACCCAGGAGCTAGTGTCATTATACGAGGTTTGGGAGCAATACAGCGAAAAGCATTGTAAAGAACTCCTGGGGCGGATGATCAAAAGCAGGAACTTGGATAAATAGGGTTATATTGGGGCTTTCGGGTCCATTATTGCAGAGTAGGGGACCGTTTTTTGTTGTTCTCCCCAACGGAGTTTATTGCTCAGCCAATTTCCCTTTGGCCGCTGTGGATCAATGGCTCTACGGAGAGCCGAATGCATATAGGCAGTTCACATTGTATGCATAACGTTGAATCAAAAATTTCGGTTGCATACGGGCTCGATTTCAGCATGTCACATTTGTAAGTATGCTAGGTTCTCGATGCACATTTGAGGTGGACTTGCAGTGCAGTCCTTGGCAGTGAGCATATCTACCGAGTCTTGCCATAGAGAGTAACATTCGGGTCAACAATTACAGTACTGAAATGAGTCTAATCCATGAGCACTGCTTGAAGTTCGTCGGAGTTTTTAGGTGGATCCTATTCTCCATACTACAAAACAGATAACGACTATCAAACCAAGCCTGATGCCCCATGATCTGTGCTACTCTCCTTCGTGGAACAAGACTAACGATTGTGTCACTAAAGGTATGATTGCCTTGGTATCAAGTGAGTAGGCGAAACTGTTCGAGTCAAGCATGCTGGACCGAGAGAATACCAGCAGGATTTCAGATAAGGACAGGGGCACACTGTCGGCGGCATCCCGCTCGTGATATACGCGCTTTTGTGTGTACTAGAAGATCTATCACAGGACCTTTTTGTTTTTTTTTTTTTTTTTTTGCTGTTCCCCAAAATAAGATGTTGATGGTAAAGTTACCCTTGTTTGCTTTCTTATAGTTGAGATCCTCCCACTTTCGTAGCAGGCTGTTGTCATGCCGGAGTAACTACGGGCTACCAAGGAGGGGCTAGATCCCTACCCAGGGGCATTGTTTGTATGTACATACATGCGCCGAAGCAAGGGTCTGAAACACAAGATCTATCAGCAAGCGCCCATGCTGACATCCACGGGTCAAGGATGCATCCAATTAAACAGGGTTGACAATATGTAAGACTTATTATGTATGTAGGCGCTCCCCAGGTGAGGGTACTTCTTGAGATCCACCACTTGCAGGTGGGTTTTAACATTCGTCAATCTTGCACCGGATTCTCCGATTGTGGATGCACGCCGGATAATTGATGATTGGCTCTTGTTGTTGCTTTGTCCCTTCTACCGAGTAGGGGTCAAGTGTCTGCAGTCTACACTTTTCACCCACGTTTGACCCCAAATCCATGAGCTCTAGAGCCACGTTTGGCATTTAACGTTTCTCCTTGTGAATATTGGTCTATTTCCTTTAATAAATGTTTGACATGGGGACCTTCTAAATGGTAGATTCTCGTATAGCCCATCGCCTAGCCGCCTACTTTTGATATGCCCTAATTTGTCCAAACATTGCTTGCTGACATTTGCGTATTCAGTCAACTTGCTCTAACGTGTCCCCTATGCATTAATTTGTCCTTCTCTTTCTCCCTCTATCTTTTCTTTTCTTTTCTTTTCTTTTTTTTTCTTTTTTTTTTTTTAATCGAACAAACTCAATTTCCTATTAGAATTTATGGTATCGCTCCTTTGAGCGGTGAAGGCGTAGGAAGGAACGCTAACATCTAAGGTTTAGATTTAATACATAGATAGACCTGGACCAGCCAAGTGGCACACTTATTTAAGTAAAAATCAGAGACCAGGTCAAGGATCGTCAACCATAACGATCGTGTTGGAACGGGATGGTAAAAATGGGTCTAGAGCCTGACAGTGGAGGGAATATCCTAGCTGCATATGGATGTTCATGCATACCGTGCCCTTAGGCCTTCATTTTTTGTTTTTTTTTTAGCGCCTCGTATCAACTTCTAAGTCTGTTTTGTTTCAAGATCCGGACGTCGGAGACCACAAGTGGCAGAAAATTGCGGTCCTCTTCAATCTTGCATCAGTGATTATCGCGAGAGCAGATAACTATTCTTGGTGCCCGACATGTATCTGTATTTTCGAAGGAAATGTGTACATAAGCTAGCCCTACTTGAGAATAATACATGTCATCTATATACATAGATTTTGCATATTATACCCCATACGCCGTAGCTAACAGTAGCCACATTTAGGTGCTGCGTACTAAGGCTGTTGGTAAGTTACCTATTTTTATTTATATTTTGGAAAACTGTCGAAGCCGCAGACCGCACGGAGTCATGGATCCACCCTTGGTAGTGGCAGGATTCGCCAACTATGAATATTATGTATTTGTTATTTGCCTTAGTCAAATCACAGTGCACCATCGTGGATGGTTGGGGAACAAGGATCCTCCTGGTGCTCCTTCGGAGACCAAGTGGCACGGTTCAAGGGAAAGGTACCGAGAATGGGTATGGCCAATGATGCTCCCCTGAGTGTGGGGCCAGCCACCGTCGTTGCAAATCATTTCCTGCACCTGTCATGGTGTGTTTACCTTCAACTTGCCAGCGCATGCCAGTCTTCGGAAATGGAGAGCCACATTCCTCTTCTTTTGAGGAACTCGATGGTAGGTGCCTTAATACTAGGTAGATTAGTACCTCAATTCATGCCATAGAACATGTTGCTCTCCGATGTGCTACCCCCTAGGCATGGGGAGTCATATATAATTGAGAGGACTGATAGTGGGCAAACTGGAATGGTGGTGCCAATGATGACTCCTTTCGTCATCACTCACCTACGCCGGAGTAGCTACTCCGTATTCGTTCCCAAGACCTTCATAAATATTGTAGATCCACTATCCCTAATACCTGTATCCTCTATGTAGTACCCCTAGTCATAGTCAATTGCCATATGCATCATACAACGACCTAACACAATTATCATACCACCTGTGTGGTAGTATCCTACAGAGGAGGCCTACAGGGACCTTACGGGGTACATACAGCCTTAAGAAGCCTGCTAGGCCCTAGTCTACAGCCACCAACACTAATCGGGAATGCCTAGGTCTTTGATATCAAAAGTTGGTGTAGGTCTTTCGCTCAAGATAGATTAGTCTGAAACTTACGACGTCACCCTAGTCGCCCACTAACCGCCTCGAGCCGTTCTGGGACGCTTTCATTGGACTGAAGCAGGGTGGCTGTTACAGCCCCACTCACAGCTTTTATCATGGTTCTTTATTGGCTGATACGAAACAATCTTGCCACTCCCCGTTTGCAGATGGGGGTTCTGGTTGGATCTTCATCCTGCCCTAAAACTGGTGCGTGACCACTTTAGCGCAGGAGAGCCCGGACCGGGTTATTTCGAATGTTACAATACAAGGATGGTAGCGGTTGACTCAAATTACCATAAGAAGGAGGGCATGGCGGTACCGTATGGTACTGCCCTTGCGGAGATCCACCGACTCGCATTCGCTCAGCCCCAGCAGACTACCTACCCTGCAGCCCCTCTTGCTCTCGCCTCCGTCCACTCCGGGCTCTTTTTCTTTTGCTCATGGCCTTCTTTTTCAACTTCTTGTCCCGCCTTCGATCGAAGATTCCCCATCCCACAACCACTAAGCACAAATTCGAACCGACCCTCTCGTTCTCACTGCTTTTCTTTCCATATTCTTCCTTCGTCAATATCATTTTTACTCCCCTGTCATTCTTAATTTCATCTGTGCTCTTTGTCTTCTTCACAGTCCTACATTCCAACTGACCGCTTGTCATTTCATACTGTTTTCCTTTCAAAACCCCCTCTGCTGCTCAGGATTCCAGCGTGCGGGTCCTTCGTTTTTGTGTCAACATTAGCCTGGAGTTCACCAACGATATAACGACCATTGTCTTCTTCGTTATTGCTTTCCACGACTATTCAACATGTCGACATACTTTTACACTCAGCAGCAGCAGCAGCATCATGGGGCCGCCGCACCTATGCCAGCCTCAAGTAACCACCACGGCGGCCGCTCTCGACGAGGTCCTAAAATGGCTGCACAAAATACTCAACGCCAGTTCCGCGGTGTGAAGAGTATGAGGGAGCTCGCTGAGGCCCCTGCCGTCACCGCTTTCCGCGCCAGATTTGAAGCTGGACGGTCCTTTGACCTGGACGATGACTTGGAGTTCTGCCCTGGCCTCCTCACGGAAGACGATGTAGGTTCTCACGCTCGGACCTCGAGTCCCCTCGCCCAACCTCCGTCGTGCTAGATTGAGGCCGATGAGGATGGTAGGACTTTGTATTAACGTTTGGCCTCGGTCTTGCAGCTGCACTCAATTCACTCAGCTTCCTCGGATCGCTCCTCTCTCTCCAGCGGCTCTCCGGACTCGTCTCCTCTTCAGCATCAAATCCAGCCTGTGCAGCAGGTCACTCCGTCTATCTCCCTTTCTCCAGCTTCCAGCAAATCGTATGTTCATTCAGGGGTTACGGGTAATCTTAGTCACGTGAACTTCCAACAGCCATCAGCGGTTCGCACCCGCAAGGTCATCCCTATCATCAATCCTAACACCGGGATGACCTTGACAAGCCCGCCCACGTCAATTTCGCCGGGCTCGATGCAGAATGCTCAGCGTCGGTGGTGAGAAGTGCGCCTGCACAAGTCACCATCTCACTATCCGAAGGGCTTGCGCCCATGACACCTTCTCCAATTCGTTCAGTTTCTGCATCATCGGGTTCCCTAACCGCTGATTTTAATTATTTTGCGTCTGTTTTCCTATCCACACGGCTATCGCATCCTTTACGAACAAAACCGGCCTGTCTTTTGCTTCCCTAGCAAGGGATGCAAAAGGTTAGCCCGGGAATTTCTCTGTATATACACCTTCCTCCAATGACGACCTTCAGCACATTTATCTAGACTGATGCTTTCGACTTTCTGCGAGCGACGGCGCCTGCGATCGAGTTTTGCATTTCACATTTCCAAACGATACCTTATTCTTTATCATTCGGTTAGGGAAAAAAGAAAATTACTTATTTCTGTGGCCTTTAGGTTATTGGCCGCGATGGTGTATAGAAAGCGCGGCGGATTGCCATCTGGGCGCGCATCTGTGAACTGGAGTTGCTTTTAGGTGTGATTTGGCGGCTTTACCATATATCCTTGATATTTTTTTATCTGGTTAATTTTTGGGTGGGTTGAATCTTTTTTACGCTTTTCAGGGATCTAGAAAGGTGGAAACGATAAACGTCTGCATTGATTGGGCTCTGTTGGGCAGTTCGGGACGCTTGTTTGGTCTGTTTTAAGTTCTACTTCGCACATGTGTCTTTACAGCTCTTTTCTTTTCTTTCTGTTCGTGTATATGGATTGGAGATGGGTGATATTCTATGCTTGTTGCTTCTGGACAGCGGCTGTGAAAATAGATCCACGGAGTGGATGTGGAGTTCTTAACTTTGTCTCTCACCCAAGGCGAGACAAATAGACCATTTTGCGGTTTAAATTCGTTTTGTTCCCACGTTGATTCGTTCGGGTGTTTTGACTGTTTTGCTCCTGGGGCCTCTCGGAGAGTATAATGTTGTGTATGATCTTTTGTTTCCATTCTCCTATTGGGCACTCTGACATTTCTCTGGTTTCCTTTGTCTATATGGCATATGCTTCTGCACTACGCAGGGATTCCCTATAAATAGTTGAGATTAGCATTGGATACAACCTGAATGTTAACCACTTCAATATTTAACATTTTACCTGGTTTCTTGACATAGTATACATATCGATAGCTGGCTCTACTCGGTCACATCCCTTACCATGGGAGCAGGCAGCTGAGGACCTAGGTCTACAGATTGCCTAACCAGATTCGAGCTGTGTATCTACTGATCTCTCTACCTATGTGCTTTGGATTGGGCATTGTTGCAGATGTAAACGCCGGGTTGGCGTTTCCACTTCACCGGACATAGCGGATATAGATGAATTTACCTACTACATAGACATTGACCAAAAACAGCAATTTAATAGAAAAAAAATATCTTCAAGATCATTTAAAACCCATTATAGATATCCTAGGGCGATGGAAAAGCGAAGGAAATTATAACGTTTGATATCGTTCATTTCGGCAAACAACCCAAGCAATTTCAACCTTCCACGGCCTCGAAACACAGTCAAACTACCCAAATAAGAGCAGTAAAGAATAAATAAGTCTCCCCATCCCAGTTAGTCCTTGGATTACGAATTCTTCCCCACCCAAGCAACTGTTTATGCATCCAGGGAGGAAGGAACGACGAGTGGATTCGCTGACCACCTATGACGTCACCTGTGACGAGACGGGCATTACCAGAGAGACATCGAATTCATCGACGTTTTAAAAGTCGTCTTACACTTTACTTATTGCAGCTGTTTTATTTAAGGGCATGAAATGCTGGTCTCAGCATTCATTTAATCCTGTGTGTTTTGTACTGTACTTATTTGCTTGCCTTAACCTCCGTCCACTCAGTTACTTTCAACCCCATCTATTTACTACCTGGTCATATACATTTCGACTTCGAAATCCGTCCCAGTCAGTTGGCTCAGAGACAGAGGCAGAGTCCATCATGTCTTTCCTTACCCGCGTCCGCTCATCAATGAAACCTCGTGTGGTTCTTCGACCAGCCTACATCACCACTATCTCTCCCTTCCATACGTGCTCCGTTCGTCAGACACTCAAAGAATCAGACCATAGTTCGTTTCTAACTATCATATTCTCTATTGGATTTAGACGAAGCCAGAAACTAATCATCAATGTAGACCGCGAAGACCTGGCCAATATCTACGAGAGGGAGAAGCAAGAACAATTGAAGCACAGCAAGGAAGGAAAAGCCAAGTGGAAGCAGGAACTCGCTAGCAACAGTGAAGCTTCGGTAAGTTGAGATTGTGAAATTACCTGCAGTTGAGAGGGAGTCGGACATTCGGAAAAGAATGTGAGCTGGTCCTCTACTGGGTGCTGATGATGATTCATGTAGGTCAAGGCAGACCGTGGCGATCTGGACGATGGGAATGACTTTGCAAATATGCAGAAACAGACGAAGGACTTGCTTAATAAAAATGGAAAGAAGTCTCAATAGGCGTTGTGTTTGCGCGGTTGCTGATGGTTTTTTTGCAGATTCCGAAGGGGCTTTTTTTTTTTTTTTTTTTTTTTTGCTTCTTGGGTGTAGCGGATCTGTGAGTTTTCATGATGTTGTGGACGCATTTATTGTCATCTAGGACAAAAGTTCGGTTAAATAATGGCTCGATTTATCAAGGCAAGTGGTTATAGGTATAATGGGCACACCGAACTCCGTAGAAACAAGTAACATGGCGAATAGGGAACTCCGTCAAGTTTGAAGATGAAACAAACGCCGCATGCGCCTCCGAAGGACCTATATTTGCACTTCCGCAAGCCCCTGACATAACAAGAAATGTGATCTATACATTCCCGCCGCTAGAATCACTTCAAAAGGACAATCAAGATAACCAGGACAATAATCAGCCCAATAATGGTCATCATACTCCAGTTATCGCCGGCACTTCTCCGGATCTTGTCGAGTCTCCGCCTCGCTCCGTTCAATCGGCTTTGATGTCTCTCCACATGGCCATCCATATCATCTAAAAGGGCAACATGGCCTTCCAGCTCATCCCCGATCTGAATACTGAGCTGGTGTTGTCGTCCAATGGATTCTCCTAGACGATCCAACTGCTCGTCCTGCTCGCGCATGACCTGAGAATGATGGTCATAGATCTGCTGGTTGGATATTTCTGACTGGTCCACCCCGTCGGGGGAAGGCGCGTCGCGATACGGCTGGAATAGGTTGCGACGGTTCAGATCGTCCTCTTCGGCCGCCGCGTCCATGAAACGAACCGATTTGGAAGGCGGATGCTGTGGAACTGGCTGTTTCAGATCGGGAGAGGACTTCTTGATGGTGGTAAATTGCAGATCGGCGGAGGTGTTGAAGGTATCTTGTCCATGAAACTGAGTAGAGAGGTTGCTGAATTGCGATTGCAAGTGGCCTAGCTGGTCTCTCATGGCAGGGGCCCCTTCGTCGCCGGCATCCTCGAGTCTGGAACATTCCGCTTCCACTCCCTCGATACCTTCCCGAAGAGAGTCCAACGAGCGTGAGATCTCTCCATCCTGACTGTTGGGCTCCAAGTCTAGCGAAATCGCGCGTTGCCGTTCTAGGAGAGAGAGCTTGATGTGATCTGCAAGGAGGAAGAGCTGAGAAGGGTTCGTCATTGTGGAATGATGATACGATAGGCGGCTAGAAGTATGGACTACCTAAGTAGTAGACGACAAGGGGACCTGGGTGTCGATTGATGCTGCAAAAAAGCCCCTCCGAGTCTGTCTAGAAGAGAAGTATCCGGGGATCGATCAAGAACCGGACTGGAGGAGGAGGATGAGGATGGATGGAGGGAGGGAAGGAGGGATGATAGTGGAATGAATGGAGGTCTGTCAGCCTAGCCCAGCCCGTTCTCGGGCGGAGTTCAACCGCCGCTTCCGCGCTTTCGGCCTGAGGCTATGAGCTCCCCGCAGTCCCGTGAATTCGACTCCTCCCCTCATCCTATCCTCCTATCCTTATCCTCATCCTCATTCCATCTCGTCTCACGCAGCGATCACGCTCGGACAACTACATTCCTGACTCAGCTCAGCCACTGTGTAATCCTCATGGGTGCCTCTCGGGGCTATTGTTTCATCTTTCTATCCCTTCGTCGATCCGCGCCTGTCCCGTCCTCTCCTTCCTTTCTTGGGCTGCGACAGATTCGATAGAGAATCTGGTGGCTTGTACATAGGTTCCTTTTATAAACCTGGCCCTTCTGCGAAATTTACGCTCGTTTTTACTTCACGATGAATCTCGAGGAGTTTCTAGCGATGGAGTTAAATCGCGACCGCTACGAAATCGTCGATCTACGGGCGTTGGATTACGTCTCCAGTTACGACGACCACCTTATGTGTCCAATCTGTCACTGCCCCTTTATACGCCCTGTCCGCCTGCAATGCGACCATATTTTTTGCCAGAAATGCCTCAATACTGCCATCACCAGTTTCGGACCCAACCGGGACGACTTCACATGCCCTAGTTGCCGGACACCCACCAAAGGCGTGTACCTTGACGTACCTCGACTTCTAAGCAACATGTGCGATGATATCCGTGTCAAGTGTCCGTTTCTGACAGAAGGCTGCAAGGAAATCATTCCTAGGGGCCATGTCCAGTCCCATGTGGACAAATACTGCGGCTATAAACTTATGGACTGCCCGGCCACCCTCTGCGACAAGAAATCTCGGAAGAAGGACTTGAATCCTGAAAATCGATGCATGCACGAACTTCAGAAATGCTTCGGATGTGAGGGTGAGATCATGGAACAGGATTACGAGGTGCGTTGTGTGACTGCGTACTCCTATGCTCTGTACTGATGACTACTATCTTGCACCCCAGGAGCATGTGAAAGAGCTTTGTCCAAGCCTGAAAACAACATGCCCTGACTGCCAAACGATGGTGTTTCGGAAAGCATTGAGAGAACACATTGATGCCTGTTCCGAAGCGATTCACCCGTGTACTGCGTCGAGATACGGCTGCCCCGTCAAAGTCAAGCGTGCGGAACTAATGGTGCACGAGCAAAGTTGCCCCTTGATCACAATGGGCCCCTACTTCGACGCCCAGAATTCACGGCTCGACTCAATGGAGCTGACTATCCGTCATCTCCAGCAAAGGAACGAGCTCTTTGAGGACGGATTGGCCAATATCCGTTCAACATTGCTGGAATCGACCCGGTCTATTCTGGAAGGGCAGACCCAGCCCCCTTCTGAGGCACACCTTTATAGGCAATTCCCAGGGATGACTGCGAGACACTCGAACGATACCCCGGTTGATAGTTCCAGCGTGTATTCTTCCTATGCCTCGACGTATTTGTTGTCACTCCATGAGTCACTTCGAGAGGAGGTCGTGCAACTATCGCGTGCAATCAGCGACCTGGATGCTCGGGCCAGCATGGCGATCATGAATGAATGTCTCCGACTCAAGGAAGACATGGCCCACACTAATGCTGCCGTCGGTAGCATACGAATGCAAGTACAATGGCTCATGAACCCACGCCTCCACCAAGGTCAACGGACAGGGTTGCGTGCCAATGGTGGCAGTGGTGACCATGACTCAAGGCCGACGCCAGGTCCCAGCAACCTGCCTGGGCCATCTGCCGGCCTGCTTCGGCCCCGCAGGTTAAGTGACAGTGGGCGCGAAGGGACCAAACTATGATGTTCAAAGAACACTGCATGGGCCAACTTAGAGACGAATAATGACCTTGATGTTTTATCTAATTATATAGCATGGGAAGGGTCCCGCTCCGTCGATCCATTCTCGTTTGTCAGCATAAAATCTGATGAGATAGTGAGCGCTATGAGCCTATTAGGGAGTTTGATCTTTATGGCAGGGAAGGCAACGATATTTCTTCCATTGGCCCTCACTCATACCAAGTGTAGTGGTGTCATGATTCCCTATTAGCTCTTTGATACCTCATGGCCCTTTACAGATTCTAGATTTGATTATATTGTGCGCTGTATGCATCCTGGAGTTGTTGGGGATTCGCATTCTACAATCTTTTTAAGATGGAAGTTTTGTTCTAGGGTTGTTTTATTTACGTATTTTACTAGGTTTAATCATATTGAACGTTTAGCAACTGATGCTTTCTACCTGTCAATATGCACTGAGTATAGACACGAATTACTCTTCCAGGATGATGAGTCTTTTCTCTCGTTAAATGACTTTGACAACTTCGTTATGCCCAATTTACTATAACCTCGGCCCTCGGGACATCTTAAAATTAATATTTCCATAGAGATCTATCTATATTTGAGCGATGATATGTCCACAATATAATATAATACGTACGGGCTCTACTCTACTTATTGAATATTGACTTGAAAGTAAAGGAGCATGGGGTACATGTATGAATATATGTATGTACTGATTTACATCTCCCGTCATGTCTCGTGTCATCATGCGAGTCTTTAAAACCAATTGCCAGTCTTGTATGTACCGGCTTGTTCTTCTTCTTCTTCCTCCTCCTCCTCCTTCTCTCTTTCTTGTCTTATATCATAGATTATCTCTTCGCTGCATCATATATATAGTCCAGCTTCCCTGGAACAGGTACTGGACAAGGATATGTTCAAACAACAAACTCACATCTCAACAGAATCAAAAAAAAGACCCAGGAGAGATACGTAATATATGGATCAAAAAAGCGGCATCTTAGCAGTATTCACATAATCGATATTATCCGCAGCAGATTCGATACGCTCATGACAAGTACCGAAGATGCGATCCCAGAGACGTGTCTGTTTCCCGTAGTTATGACTCTTGCGCCACCCCTTCCGATGATGCAGATCATGGTCTTCGATGACGATATCAGCGTCCAGGATTTGGAATACCCAGCTGAGCGTGGACGGTACGGTCAGATGCAAACGGAGACCGCTGTGGCCGAAGACTTCAGCGAAGGCGACGTATTGATGACAGACCCACCATTCGTAGAATCCCATGGGAAGGCCCATGAGACGAAGACTGGCGTAGGTCATGAACGGGACGCCTACCATGTCGAAGAATTCCTGTTCGTGGTCGGCGTAGGCAGCTAGGAGCGGGTTGGGATGTTTGGTGAGATGGTGAGTGCGGTGGAATTTCCATAGGAAGCTGACATCGTGCATGATGCGGTGGTACCAGTAGAACCAGAAGTCGAGGACGATTCCGTACAGACCGATTTCCAGCGGGAGCCAGGCCCAGTTTAGCTCCGAGGGGAGTTGGGTACGGTCGTGGGCGAGCCAAATGGCGAGGGCGATTCGGGAGCCTGTGGTCTTGTAGAGGGAGGTGACGACCTTGCCGATGCCGACGTCGGGGATGCCGTCTCGTTCGTGCTGGTCTCCGTCGAGGAATCCGTAGATGTGGCCGAGACGACGGAGGACGTGCACCTGGTAGATGACGGTGGCGTTGAAGGCGAAGAAGTAGAGGTTGAAGACGGCAAATGGGCCCACGCTCTTGCCCGTGTAGGCTGTATAGGCCTGGTGGACAAGGAGTGGGAAGGCGGCGTAGAAGAGCACCCAGCGATGAAGGGACCACTGAGGCATGAAGGGCACTTTGTCATCTTTGGGGTGCACAGGGACCGCCTTGTCGAGTTCGAGTGGATGAACATTGAGTAACTCAATGGCCCAGTGGTTATGATTCCATTCCTTCCGGTCAGCGCGACGCCAGGTCGACTTCATGGAATCTTTGGGATTGGGCCCAATAGCCATTGCTATGGTGTTGTCGATAAGAATTCTCTATTCTGTTTGTCTGTTCTTCTGAGGTATGGCCTTTATCTATCCCTTTCCGGACATTGCTTTCCTTCCCCACGGGGAGAATTGTTGTCGGGACCATGGTTAAATATCAAGGACCAAAAACAGGCACAGTTAGAGAGCCCTTGGAGTATTTGGGAGCCCAGATACGGGCTCCCCCATGTGAAAACATTATGGCTCGCAATGCAAACCAGGATAGGAATCATCAGTAGATCATTCTGATGTCGATCCTCTGGCTCGTATCTTTCCCGGCAAAACTAAAAGAGCCCCAAAGGCTCTGGAAGCGATGGTTCGCCCATCCCACTAAAGTGGACCGGGCCAAGTCTCAGGGACTCCATATATTTAGCATGTGAGAACCCCGACTGAACGGCAACCCCGCATGGGTTATGCCTCGGACTCGGATGGACTGCCAGGGATGTTCCATCACTGTTCTTCAGACGCATGTCTCATCCATTTTATACCCTAGGGACGTGGCAGACTGAGTCAGTGAAGCGACGTTGAGAGAAGCGCAAAACGAACGACGGGGAAAAATGAGCCGACTGACCGCCTCCTTTTCTGGTCGAGCCTCATCAATGGCATGCATAATAAGATTGCGGAGGGTTGAATAATGTATCACAATGAAAAGAATAGAACTAATAACAACTCCCATAGTATTCATTTCATTCATACTCAATCTGGCTGAGACACAGTCGAAGTGTCCAAAAAAGGAAAGCCCAACGCGGGGCTCGAACCCGCAGCCTTGAGATTAAGAGTCTCACGCTCTACCGATTGAGCTAGCCGGGCTAGCGATGCTGATACGATCCTCTACTTGAGTTTATGAGAGAGAGTATGCGATTCATCGTTGTTCTCACCAAATCCCAACCAAGCCTGTCTCTCTCTGGGGGATATTTCAGTACTGAAGTAACATCATGTTATTAATGCACCTAACCCTACCAAGCATACCATACCCCCCCTCGTCAACAATGAACAATAAAGAAAGAGCAAAGCAACATGGTGTGGATACAAGAGAAAAACATCTGCTGTCCATATCACTCAATACTGGTATCCTCCAGACCCATACCCCCCCGGGCCCATATCTTCCGGATCCATATCCCTCTCCTCTATTCTCCTGTCCGTAGCTTTGCCCATACCCCTGACTGGAGGAACTGCTGTTGTAAGATTGATGACTAGAACCGTGGGGCCGGGAGTGGTAGTCGTTATCATGACTTGATAATTGTTGACCATAGTAGTCTGAACTATGCCCACCATGACTGTGCTGATTGTGACGGCCATGGTCACCACTATGATGACTGCTGTAGTCTCCACCGGACTGGTGTGAATAATGGGACTGGGACTGGTAAGAGGACTGGTGCGACTGATGAGTCTGGTAGTGGTGAGGCTGCTGCTGTTGATGACTCTGATACGGCTGACTCTGATACGGCTGATTCTGATATTGCGACGATGTCTGCTGCTGCCAAGGTTCTTCATTCCGAGATGATCCGCCCAGTCCGAGATTGGAGAAAGTGCTACTCAGTTTGTTGAGATTGGACATTCCTGGGATCGGAAGGCTGGAAAGCTGCCCCAATGGACTGGAAGAACTCTGCTGCTGCTGCTGCGGTGGTCTATTTTGAGCCTGCGCTCCCTGGGAGTGCCCATGGCCGTGTCCGTGGGAATGGCCGGACTCTCCCGAATTGTTCTTTCCTTCCTTCACTCCTTCGGCGCTGAGGATATCATTGAGATTGGCGCCTCGGTCGGATCTCGACTGCACCCACGCCTGAACTGCCTCGTACATAGTTCTATGAGCCTCATTGCGCATGTCCCGCAGAGCGGGATGGTGGAACACCCTCAGGCAGTCCTCCAGCACAGCTTGTTCCGAGACATTGGTGTTCTCCCAGGCATGGAGGACACGAGGCGCCACGTACCGAAGGATGGCAGAGGCGACGTGACCGGCAGGCTCGTTGAGAACGTTGGAGAAATGGTCCTTGGACAGCATTGAGTGGGTGGGATCCGTGCAGGTTGGGTCGGTCCACGGCTCATACTGGTGTTTCCCGGAGGCATCAATGACACCAGCAGACCCAGACTGCAACGATTTGGAGGCGGCCTGGATAATGGGGCGAATGAACGGGGCCAACAGAGACATGACGAAAACTGTTAGGGTTTCAGTGATCTTCTCAACCAGCGCCTCCAGACCGGGGATCTTCTCGATAATCGACGACAGATTCCGGACCACTTTATCCCTGAACTCGAGAATCGGGTAGATCTGGGAGATGGTGTTCTTCGCGTCGAAATCAGACAAGGGACCCGATGCGCCGTCGAAGGAAGGTTTGTAGGATTCAGATGCCCTTGTTGATCGGGGTCGCCCCTCTCCGAATCCGCGACTATGACCCGAGTCGTGCTCGCTGAAGTCCCGCACCATCTCGCGAGCCGCATAGCCTGCACGGGATCCGTTGTTCCTGTTGGCTGATTCCTGGGCCTCCGAGCGACGCTTCAGCTCCTCGGCTTCCGCGACGAGTTCCTTGGTCCCGGGAATCTTCCCCAGCAGCGCCGTCAAAGCCGAGGAAGAGCCGGACGACGAGTTGGATTGAGCATCCCCCAGCGCAATGTCCATTTCGTTGACCTCGGATTGCGTGAAGTGATCAGTCGCTTCTCCCAGGACCGAGTGAAAGAAATCGACCATGCCGAATGTACCTGTCACGAGCGGATAGACTTGGTGGCCGCGGATGTTCATCTGGGTCCTCGTGCCAGTATGCGGGAAAACGTTCTGGAAGCCCATCTCGCGGAGAGCAAGCTCGCAGTAGTTTGTGTGCGCCGCAAAGTCCTCCAGAGTATGAAGGCCCTGTCCTAGACACCGCAGTGCCTCGCAGAGGTCCTCTTCGTTTCTCTCGCGTCTTCCGCCTTGGGCATATTGTCTCCCGTACTGGATGCTGCGAGCCAAACTTTTTTTGATGTACGCAGCGCTCGTGTCCCAGTTTCCTCTTTCATTGGCAATGTAATTCTTCATACCCGTCTCACGATCGATGTCGAGTTCAGGCTGGCGGACTGGGCCCCGCAGTCGAGCGTCGTACTCGCGAGCATCTTGATTGTCGGCGTAGTCTTTGGGGTTGCTGGTAGAAGAATCAACTCGTCAGCTATTTGAAAACCAGGGGGACATCATCCAGACATACTCAATATGCTCCTCTGGGCGGTAGACTCCCAGCCGGTCGGAGGTGACCTCGAACTCCGATGTCGCATAGCCGAAAGTCATGAATGAAAGGATCCAGACAAGGACGCGGATGGTATCGGCCGGCAGACTTTTGAGGGTACCGACGTCCATTGCCTGCGAACTAAGGTCGGGTGTCAGTCAGACATGCATAATCTGCGGTCGAGGGGAACCCACTAATCGCGCAACCAGTTTCCAAAGTAGACACGCTTGATCATGGTGGAGGTCCATTTGTGACCTTTGATGAAAGCGACCGTCTTGAGCATATCCTCGATATCGCCATGACGCCAATTTTTACCTTCCACCGCGGAGATAGAAGCAATATCTGATCACGGTGAGCGGTTGAGATCCAATTAAAATCAAACGAGGAAGAAAAATAGACGTACTGCCGGCGCCAAAGGCATGAACCTGCGACGGCAGCAGGACGAGCAACAGACCCAAGATCAGCAGGGCGTTCCAGCCCGGACTGATTTTCGAGGCCATGGTATGTAAATCCGACCGTGGAAGATCCTTCGTCTTCTTGTTATCTGTGGCTAGAGGGATAGTAACGACGTTAGAGAGCGCGGCGACAACCAAAAGGAAGAGGGGTAGAAGCCAAGGAAAGAAAACAAAAGGCTGCATGCACACCGAAGAGGGGTTGCTTATATTCACCGATTTGGTGGACGGATCTGGAAAGGACGATGGACGAATAACCATAGGGCAGCTGCTTGTCAGACTTCAGATTTCAGGATAGTTGCACAGCCAAATGAGCCCTGAGATTCATCGCGACTGGGGAGAGCACCAAGGCTTAGACCTGGACGATCAGCATGGGCCCCATGCCGAATTGGGGCTGTGTGGTTACTATACAACCATCGGTCTTGGCTGAGACAGTGGAGTGGGCGTCGTCCATGGAACTGATTGAACTGGAATGGAATAGAACTGGACTGGAATTGAATGGAAGTCAGGATTCAGGAGGTTCAAGCAAGTCATCTTGGCGCAGGATGCTAAAGCTTGATGGGCCAAGATATATCTCTTGATCATGTAAGAATCACTATTGTTTTGTAGAGGTTATTCCGGTGACAAGTTGAGAGATACGCGGATTATAGAATATGTGTACTCCATATAAGGACTGATCTTGCCATAGTGAATCAGTTAACCAAATGAACCGATAGGAATATCTCTAACCGATGAAAAATGCAACCATCTGAGGTCGCAACGAAACCCCGCTTGACTGACGACTTTTTACTCGCGGGGTAAAGCGAAGCGATATGGAACCGATTAATTAATCCAATCCACGGTCGATGGACCGAACCGACGTAGTATCTCGTATACCACCTTGAATAATAATATAAATAGAATGTTATATAAATCCATCCCCCTCTTTCTTCTCTCTTCTAATTTTCTATCATCAATACGAGAGTACCCATACAATTATCCCACATACTCCTTTTCCTATAAAAAATGACCGTAACCCCGTACCTCGACGCCCTCCAACGAGATGGGTTCGTCCGGGTCCCCTCGCTCCTCACCCCGGAAGAAATCGCCCAATTCCGCGCCGTTGCCACCGAAGCCACGACACTGACGCGTACGGGCCACTGGCCACACTTCCGTACGGTGCCCAAGCAGTTCCCACCGTGGCCGAAGACGCCGCCGCCCGCCTCGGAGGGCGGGATCTGGGGGGTACAGCATCTCCTGCACCCGGAGATGCCCGGACGGGCGGAATTCGCGCGGTTCTATTTCTCAGAGAAGGTGCTCGCGGTGGCGGAGGAGCTGCTCGGATTGAAAGGGGTGGCCGATCGGAACGGAGAGGAACAGTTGGTGATGGAACTGTTTAATCTGCTGGTCGCGCCGGAGACCAAGGATTTCGAGCTCCGATGGCATCGGGATGATATCCCAGAGACGGCGTCGGAGGAGGAGGAGCTCAAGATGTTGCACGCGAAGAGTCCCAATGGGAAGCAGTCGCATGCGCAGTATAACTTGGCGTTGTGTCCGGATGCGTCGCTGATTGTGGTGCCGGGATCGCATCGGCGTGTGCGCACCGAGACTGAGCGGAACGCCGATCCCTATGAGCCTAACATGCCCGGACAGATGTTCGTGGAGCTGCAGCCCGGTGATGCCGTGTTCTACGATAGCAACATCCTCCATCGTGGAGCGTACAAGGCGAAGCCTGAGGGCGGCGAGGAGTCCCGGTTGACGCTCCATGGAAGTATCGGGTTGAAGGGGCTGGGAGACGAGGCAGATAAGAAGGTCCGTGCCACCGCTGTGCTGCAACACGGCGTGGGAGCTTGGGTTAATACCGAAGGCGCTGCGTTTGGCCTTGGTGACCGTCCCGAGAAGATGAGAGCGAATCTGGTGGCCATGGGAACGGGAGAGGGCGTGGGATACTCACTACAGGGATAAGAAGGGACAGGAAATGAGAGACTGTACATAATTTCCACCAATTTATCTTCCCATTGTTGACCATGATGCTATCTCATATACGCCAAAACGCCGGAATTCAAGGGATGGAGAGAGGAAGCTGACAAAAAAAAAATACGAAACCAATTTATACAACCGTCATCATCATCATCATTATTCGTTTCCCTCGTTGTCGGTCGACTACCCGTCCACCGGCCGTTGTCCATATACATAATGGAACAGGATATAGATATGATAGGAGGCCTTCAGCAGCTCCGCCCGGACTTTATCAACATAGCCCTTGGCCTCCTCGGAAGAGTATCCCAGAACGCGAGTGAACAAGGCCAATGTGTAGGGTTCGACGGCCTCGAAGAGCGTCACTCTACCTACTCGTCCGATCTCTTTGAGTCGGGGATTTTTAGGCCAGGGACCTATAGGACACTGAAGTGATCCGAGCTCAGCATCCAGTCATCAAGGAGGGAGCTGAAAGCACACAATACCTACCTTGTAAGTATCGTCGGTGACATTTATAAACCGTGCGTCCTGCATCCACCCTTGTATTAAAGGAGCGACATGCAAACGCTTGCCGAATCGACGACTGGCAAGGTCCAATTTTTCCTGCCAGTCCTGTAGCATGACGGCGTCCTTGTCGGTCCCGTCATCGGAATGTATCCAGGCCTCGTACTCTTGGACTTCGAACCACCCGCCAGGCTTGAGGTGGTTGTACGCCTGACGTAGGAACCGCGGCCAGTCACCGATGCCGCCGGCTAGGACGCGGCCATGGATGTAGTCAAAGGCCTCGTCCTGAGTGAACGTCCAGTCGCTTTCGGCGTCGTCGATGTGGAAAGTGCAGTTAGGTGGCGCCCAGTTCGGCTGGATGGGACTGAGGTCTGTGCCTACGATCTCTGTGTCGGGGAAGTCTTCGGCCATATCCAGTGCCCAGATCCCGGTGCCGGTACCGATGTCGAGAATGCGCCTAGGGAGTTGGGATTGGAGGATGGGAGCGCGGAAGAGATCGCCTCCGGTAATGAGTTTGAATAGGTGATGCATGAACGTGAGGCGTTCTTGCTCTTCTTCGTCGTTGGGGATGGGATACTGACCCTGCCGGTAGGCGTGATATCGGCGGCCATTTTCATAGGTGTAGTCTCGGACCGACGACGACAGGGTTAGGTTCGAGTCAATAATTGATTGAGCATCGCAGAGGGAGTCTTCATCGCTAGTCTGGGAGAAAGTCAGTCGTCTGTTTCTCTTTCTTTCTTTCTTTTTTTCAGAAGTCCAGGAAATGCTCGACGTATAAGAGGACAGAACAGGTCGAAAGGAGTGATTCAAGAAGATGTAACACCGGTCCAGTGGCAGTGTATTTCCCAAAGCAAGCAACACAAAAATACACCGGATTTTATGATTTTGCTCTGGGAGGGACCGGTACAGACTGGGTTCGCAAGTGTATAAGCCCAATCCATGTAGTATGGAGTACGTCGGAACAAGACATCAAGAACTATAAAATCAAGAGAAACTGGACAGAAAGAAAAGATCTTACATCCACCACAATATGCTCGGAAATATTTGGCAGTGGCATAATCCTAGCGACCTATGGAAATCAAGAAGAGAGAGAAGAATGACCTAGGAGAGAACAAGAGAAAGAGAAGAGGGAGGAGAAAGGAAGAAGTAATCCGCACAATCCAAATAGGTGGACTGCACAGCGTAGAAATAAGGACTCCATCCAGCCAGAGGATTATTTATATAAGAGGGGAAGAGGAGGAGAATGCCTCAGACTGATCTAGGAATCGTCAGGATGCAGCCCAAGTGATAGTATCGACAAGGGTGCCGGTCCCAGCGGAGAGGTCGTTGGGTCGACAGTGGTGTGCACCCAGTGCTCTGGTTCAGTATTGCTCGGTATCGGCCTTGATTCGTCCTTGGGCTGCAAAGGATTAGATTGGCTTGCTATGGGTCCAATTGGCATCCCTGGGTTCCTCTCCAGTTCGAAAATTGACCTATCTAATTCTACGGAGTACGGAGTAGAATTCTAGATAATAGGACAATGCGAGGATTTCTATTAATAGTAAGGTGCTGTCATCCTAGTGGTATATTAATACCTACCGATTTCCTGGGTATGGTAGACAAAAGGAGGTTTAGTATTGTAAAATCATCATCCACCCGAGTACTCCTACCCGGTACGAGGATCCTTTGGTGGTACTGTACTAGGAACGGTCCCAGAACATTCCCAGAACAAACTCTTGCTACAGCCCCGCACGGCTGGACCCATTTGGGATTCCCATAATGGCATCTGTCTAGTCGATCCCCAAGCGTTGCATCGGTTCGGGCCAAGTGCATCCGGCATACACATGTCCATCCATAGGTACCTAATTTCTAAGTAGTAGTGCTTATACGTAAGTTTCTTCTACGACACTGATATGGACAGGGTACGGAGTACTTAAAGCTCAAGTCAGTGCCCCTCCCGACCAATAATTAATTAACTACCCGGTGTGTTTATTCATCCTTCATATGGGAGCGAATGATCCTTCGGATACTACATTATTCAGCGTTAATATCGGGGGGGACTTGTCATTGGTGGTTCTGGATACAGCCCCTCTGACTGACTTTCCTACTACCGTATCAGTGTACTTCGTACGCCGGGTCAAATGGAGGGGCAGCGAGATTGCCAAGCCACGTCAATAATCCCTTCGGTTGCATAAAGCGAAGCGTCCGTGACGTTCTATATCTCCTACCCCTCCCCCCAGAGGTCACGGATACGAGCAATGGGCATAGATGCTTCCCCTGCCTCTGCACAGAGGCATATAGGCACCTTGATCGTCTTCCCCAAGTGTTGCCATCTCTGTGTATGCTCCTTGAATTCTCCCAAAACGGCATTTACGCGTGTTGGGTAATCAGATCTTTGCTCTAGTACATACATAGATGCCAAGTACCAACAGTCGTCTCCCCCACACACTGCCTCCCCTAATCCTGGTCTAAGACTCCGCCAAACTCCCTCTCCCCTCCGTCGCTAGATACATGGATGCGTAGTGTGTACATACTCTGTACACCGACCAGTCTTCTACTGTATTCTTTAATCGCCTGTGTCTCGTGATGTTTCATTCCCCGCACAGACAAGCCCAAGGAACCAATTTATCACAATAATCCTATCCCTGCATCAAAAAAAACCAAGTCTTGCTTTTCCAAATCATCCCAAGCTTTGCAGCTTGTCTTTCTCAGCTGGCGTTAAGGCTGCAAAGAGCTGTTGGAACTCGGGTTTAGCGGATGCATTCCGGAAGAAGTCTAGCAAAAAGGCCTGTGTCTCGTCATCACGTTTGCGCACGCCAAACACTCCTTCAGTGCCGCCTTCGCCAAACGCCATGAGTTCCTGTTTTGTAATCCCCAGGTTCAAGTCGAGGGTATTGCTGGGGATATCTTCCCACTCTCCATCGTCATCGCTGTCTTCTTCCTCCAGGGCAGCTGCAGCAGCCGCATCGACCTCTTTGCTCCCTGATGCCGCTGCGAGCTCCTCGACCAAGACCTTGACGATTTTCAATGGGGCAGCCACTGTAGTGTATTGGTCAGGGTTCTTGCGGGTCTGCGATCGTGTCTTGATGCGACCAGTGTCCTGAACAATGAGGTCACCCTTGACCTGAACCTGAGCTAAGCGAGGGTCTTCAAGGTTGTACAGTGTAGCCAGAGCAATGATGTTCTGCTTGATTTCATCATACCCTGCGAAGTTGACCGAGTTCTCGAGCCATTTGCCCATCACGATCGGTAATCCGCTCTGGCCACCAATATCTACCTGCGCAAGGAAGTCTACAACCTCACGAGCGCTGATGAGCGTTAATCGTGCGAAAACAAGGATCAAGCTCTGGATGAACTGAGCCTGCTCGGCGGTTGCGAGTCGCTGTGCAACGGCTTGCAGAAGCTGTGGCAGGTAAGGCCCAAGCCTTTCTGAGCCCGCTTTCTCCACTAGTTCTGCCGCTAGCTGCCCAACCTCAGTAGCGGCACTGTCGTTGACCGAGGGTCCCAGTAGGCGATCGATAATCACTAGAACAACTTCAGTCGCCTCCTTTCCGCTTTGAGGATCTCGCCATGACACGAACTGGTTGAAATCGTGCGACAGCATGTGCCGAACCGCTTCTGTCGCTGGACGAATCAGTTCCGCATCTGTCGAATCCAGCAATAGTCGGTTCATCTTGGGCATGACAGCTTCTACAAACCCAGTCGGAAGCGGATCAAGGGCTCTTTCCGCAAGGGCTCGTATTTGGTCTGCCGCAAAATTGGTCAGTGCATTCTCTTGGGTGAGATTGCCAACATCAATAGCCCCCGTCAGAGAAGGCAGCACCTTTTCACAGAGGCGGACAAAAGATTCAGGACCCTGATCTGCTATCGATTCCACTATGTCCTCAAATGCCTCGGTAACAATCATCGTAAGCTGGAAGTTAGAAGCGCCATTGCTGGCGATGCTGAATAGTACGTCGATCGCAATAGAAGACAGAACAATAATTGGGTTAACCATTATTGTGTCGCGGAGTGTCTCTGCGAGAGTAACTTTAAGATCATCACTATCGGACGGTTCACGGAGATCATGCGAAGAGACAAACTCCGATATGGCAGAGATGATAGAGGTTTGAAGAGGAGCAGTGGCATGGGGCGAAAGGGAAGGCAGAAGGTCTTGCAGGGTTCGAATGCATGCAACTTTGACCACTTCTGAAGGGTCTTCCGAGATTGCCTTCAGGGTAGCCTCAAGGTAAGAAGTACCAGTTGGCTGGAATGCCTCACCGGCAACTTTTGTTAAAATACCTGCAACTAGATAGCCACGGGCTCTCAGGAATTCATGCTCCTGCCGAATTGAGAACTGGATGAGACCATTGACGCCGTTTGCCAACTCGGAAGAGATCTGTTGATCCACCTCGCTGAAGTCACGGAGTAGCTGGTTAAGGATAAACAAGGTCGATTCACGGGCTTTCCACCTGCCATGCCAAAAACAAGTTAATATCTTCCTTTCCTCCTTGTGTTCGCCCTTTCTGCTTGGACGAGAAAGTTGAGACGGGTGGGGGGCTCTTACGTGGAAGACGAATCAGCAAAAACTGTGTTCAGGTAAACCACCAGGCCTTCCGCAGCGGTTCCCTTAAGCCATTCGCCGAGTTTGATAACTAAATCTCCACTACACGTGCGAGGCGTGTAATTGGCAGTAACTGAAGTTTCTTCCGAAAGAAAAAGGTTTACATCGATGTCCCACAAGCCTTCTTCCTCCGTTGTCATTTGGGCATAAGATCCAGTCAGCTTCAGAATTTCAGGAAGCCAACTAGAGGTGGTCATAGCTTGTCCGGCGTTCTGCAATTGTTGCTGCAGTTCAGCTTTAACTGGAGGTGCTTTCAAAAGAGTTTGGATCAGATCCAATTCTTCTACAACCAAGAAGTCCAGGGTATACGGGAGCCCGTCCACATCTTCCAGGCGACCTTGTCTCTCGTCGTTGATATAGAACCCATAGTAAGCAGTTTGAATATTAGACAGCTCCGTCCAGATCGTAGAGAAGTAGACAGGACTCTGCGCCGATAAGAGGCCGGGAAAAACCATTCGGATCTTCATCAGAGTCTTAAAGGAGTATCATTAGCACACGGGAAGCCGGAATCAGAGAAAGGCAGAGAATAATCACCTTCACCACTTGCAGTTTCAGGCCAATAACCCCCCTCCACTGAGAAGCAATTTCAGTCTCCTTGGACTCTTCTTCTTCCCGGGGAGCTTCGGGTAAGGGAAATTTCAATGTCGAGATGAAGAAAGGAGACCAACCCCCGAGGACTTCATCCATGAATTGCTTTACTGCCACTTTATGTTGCTCTAGTACCATTTCCAAAGTATCGAAACACGCACGGAAAACTGCGACAGCTAATGCTCGCAACATTGGCTTTCTTGATTCGCTCGTCGCAACGTTGAAGAGAGAAGTAACAAGATCCCTGGCGACATTGAAGAACTGCTCCTCATTGAACCCAGTATCCACAAGGTCCAGGAGCACCTTCAAGGCACCATGTAGGGCACCAGCTGTGCTGCTAGTATCATTGATTATTTGGAGGAGAAAAGGAAGAAGCTCCGGCCACTGCTCAGGAAAGTCGGCACTGGCGATTTTGCTGACCGCAAAGCTGGCAGAGGCCTTGACTTTACGCTCCGAAGTCTCTGTCACAGTGGCGAGATCTAATAAAACCCTCCGAATTTGACCCTTATTGACATCATTGATAAGGATTCGACCCTTGAATTCGTCCAAGTTCGGGGACCAGCCGGCAGCGATAAAGGTACGTAGGACGGAAAGGGCAGACTGGCGAAGATTGGTGGGAACAGAATCGTGCGAGGCGATAGCGGCAAGAGAGAGGGGGAAATTCTCGTTGGAATAGAGACGCAGCAGTTGAAGCTCGGCGGCCTTTCTCGTGCCGGCGACCGGCGACTGCGTGTCTGCAAGTAGCGATAGGAGCTCTTGCTCCATAGCTGGGAGCTGTGTGGAGGGGAAAAAAAAGTTGACAGAAAGGACTAATTTGTCGGGTTTGACGTAGACCTTGAATCTCAAGTGCACATTCAATTAGCAGCTGAGGAGAAGGGGCCCGTATAATCCCTAATCTTAAAGGATCACGGTCAATGACACCAAAACGAAGGTGGTCAATTGGTTAGTAGTTGGTTGACGTGACCGCGATTTCGCGCGTCGTAAGGAGGGGCAGTAGATGGGGAGTAGAAAGAGGGAAGCGGTGAGCTGGGTTGCCTACTAGAAGACGAGCCTGTATGTATTAATATTACATACCATGCTTTGAAAGAGGGTACTTCGGGTAAGGTATGGTACTCGTCAAATGCTACCGAAGAAATTCTCTCGAGAAACCATGGTTTCGCCTACCCACGGACCCTTTTTTATTCTTCAAGATACCCGTCTGATTATCTCCCAGAGCATTGATCTAGGGTGGATGAAAAAGATGCAGCCGAGATCCGATATTAGATACAGCAACGAAATTCAAACCAACGCCTATGTAGGGAATCTTTCAGAAGCCATTATTATGCATTGTACTTTTGTGAATTGCAGGATGATATTAACCCCGACTATACCTCTTTGTATTAGGTCTGACGTAATTGTTCGACATATACAGATTGAACTGCAGCCAATACAAAATTCACCAGAGGTTGATCATAGGCTCTAGTGGGGTTGATAAAGAGCAACTTTTATCTAATGGAGGGGTGACAGCCAAAGGCGTACACACAAAAAAAGAAGGGCCCCACTATTAGCGCATACCAAGAGGTGCGGAGCGCCAGGTACCACACTATACATGGTTAGATCCACGAATGTATGGATGTATGGACATAGGTATGTACAATACAGGATATCTACCTTCTAGGTATCTAGATACCAGTCAATTCCTTATTATCTATTGTCGTCATACTAAAGGGTTCGTATATAATAAAAGACAGAGTGATAGAAGAAAATTTCACTTAGAGCTACAAGCTGGAGGCATTGCTGTATAACTAACTTAGGTATTCTAAGTATTAATAAGCAGTATAACTTCACTAGGCAGTAGTTAAGCCACAGTATGCAAGGAGGATGAACCAGCAGGGAAGCAACAGTGAAATTAAGGCTGAAGGCTAGTAATACAGTAATACTGTACTTAACTAGTTAGGGAAGACTAGATGATGTAATGCTGATGTTGTTGGGCGTTTGATTCTCTATTCCTAGTCCTTTAATCTTCCTAATCAATGATTCTGATGATTATTACCACTATAATGACAATGGCATGGACAACTACCATGCCTACATACGTGTCGGGCCATGTTTCGCTTCTACCATAACATAGATGAGATGATCGGCCATGTAAATGCGAGCATCTCATCCCACCCACTACTTGCAGGCAGATAGGTAAGCTGGTGGAGAAGGAAAATATCCTGTAGGGTTAACTAAACGCGAATCTTGACACAGTCAGTGGTAAGTACGTAGGGTATTGTATATATACCTACCTGGTCCAGATTACACAATGATACCAAATTAATTACAGTTCTTGCAGGCATTCCTCATGCCAAATGAAGTGGTAGGCTTTTTTGTCCCTTTCAAGAGACTGCATGATTACTCGAATGAAACCTGGCGGCGATTAGTAGTGTATGAAAGAAATATTTTCTTTCCTTCTTTCAGTCCCTTACACCGTGTGTTTTACCTACATACAGAGTACTTCGTATGTACGTGTTGTAATAGTAATTACTATTTGCTTTACAGTGGTTGTTTTCTTTTTATACTTGATTTCTGCAGCGCATCCACACCCATGACGCAACCACGTGACAGCTTCCCATCGTGACTTGGGCGTCTTTCTAGTTTCCCCACGACTCGTCGCCCAACAAGAAGACAAGCCTTCCCCTCCGACGGTTGTGTGTGTGTGTGTGCCTCTCTTCACTCTCTTCTGTTGTGCTTTTTGTGTGCGTGTTCATCTCGCTCCCTTTTTCTTTCCTTCTCTTTTGCCTGGGGACTTGAGTGGTCTTTACTGGTCGACTCTTTCTCCCGTAGCCAACTTCCAGCAAGCGGCAGTACATAACAGCAGCCCACCTCTCCCTTCCCACCCGCCAAAAAGGGTTGGTTTTCCTGTTGTCTGCCCGGCTGCGATACCACCTCTCACTCTCTTTTCCAGTTCGGAAAGGGAATAAAAGGAATATAGTTTATTTGTTTTTTTAAAGTCCCTGGAGAAGAATTTATTACTCTTTTTATTTTATTTTATTTTTATTTTTATTTTAAGACGAGATAAGAGGGAAGGTTCCAGGAACAAAAACCTCCGAGGGAGAGGGGAGCCAAAAAAAAAAAAGAAATACGACTAAAAGAGAACGTCCAAAACAAGGTCAATACAAAAAAAAAAATCAACCATCGCCTCTCTATCGTCATCATCCCGGATCTACCATCGAACTATATCTACATATTTTCCTAGCGGATCAGCCTGATTACGATCTCAACGATTCCATCCATGCTTTGAGGTTTACTTGCTTCGTCTCGTCCACCCAACGTATGTGCCATCCTAAGTCCTTAAATTACTTTGCACCTTTCCCCTCCTTTCCTCATTTGCTCTCACTCTCTTTTGCTTGAGTCCCTTCCCTCATTTTCCTTCAAACACTCACATTTGCTTGCCACACCTCATTGACTCCTCACTTGGTGTTGGTCCCCTCTCTCTCCCAGATTTGTCCTCTGTTGACTTGGCACGTGCAAGCGAACCTGTTCTGTTGCTTCATTACTCGCTTTATTGTTGTCGATATTTGATATCTGTGTCTTTTTTTTTTACCTACTTAGCTATTCTCTTTCCCCCTTCTGTTTATACCTTTTTTTTTTTTTGTTTCTGTGCTCTCCTTCTATTTTATCTGATTATCACTGTTATTATTTTCAAAATTCATTTTGAGTCAATCTTTTCGTCCTTTTGTCAACTTTTACCCACGTGAAGAAAAAAAAAAACCCTCTATACAACCCCATTTATTCACCCTTCCCTTCTTTCCTCTGGTCGTCGCAGAATATAGCAGAAGAGAAAAGAGAGTCGTCATTTCCCATGTGTGACAAGGACAACAGTTGTTGACCCATCGTCTCAAAAAGGCAGAGCGATGATTAGGCTCAGGGTGGAACAGCACTCAGATTCTCCGAAATCCTGTAAACATCATCTTTACACTGGAAACGACGACACCAGAGCCTTCGACGGCAATGCCAATTGCCAGTGAGAGTACCACCGTCAACTCCGCTACCACCACCATGACAACCTTTTCCGCTCCGGTCACCGCGCCCAAATCGATTCCCAACAACCAGTCCGCGTTGGCAGCATCTTTCACCAATTTCCTCACCGTTTCGATACACCAGATCCTGTTCCTTCGTTCAGTTTACCCACGAGCAACGTTCCTGCCCGTCCGAGCCTATAATTATCCTGTTCGGCAATCCCGTCACCCGAAGGTGTGTGACTACATCAACGATGCATCAATTGCAGTCGGGACGGAGATTTTGAAAGGCACAATCACCGCAGTCAGTATCATCATTTCATCTCTCCGCACAAACCAGCCCCTGGAGCGATATGCCTTTGACCTGTCGGGGTTTCCCCGTGTTCCCAGTGGAGAGGTCAATACTACATTTGAAGATAGAAAGGAAGATTCATCCAAACCAGGTGTCCCTGTATTGGAACGGGGTTCCGCTCCTCCAACAGTCGATCTCGAAGCCCAATTCCGCGCCTGTCTCGCTAGATTGGCCTCTGCTTGTGCGCGATTGACTCCTTTACCTCGGGACGATGAGTTCAGTTTCACCGTCTGTATCGAAGTTCGGGAGGATGCTTTACCCCCCGCGGGAACTACAACAGAAGAGCAGACTTGGATAGTGGCCGAACCAGACAAAGTTCATCTAAGGTCATGTACCGCCCCATATTCTGTTTCTAAACTAAGGAATGGGGAGCCCCAACAGCCGCCCCCGAAAGCGTCGAACGGTCGAGCAAAAACAGTGCCTGTACGCCGTGTAGAAGCCGGAGAGCTTCGTCTAGAGCTATGGGTGGAGGAAGCACGGCAGAAGTTTAACGAACCGGTGGATTCCGAACATCCGCCTTGAATGCACTCCCAGGCCTCTATTTCTTTATCTTTTGACTCCTCTTCCCTCATGGATTACTTTTTCTCTGTTTGTCTAGCTCTTAGTCGCCTCGTCTTTTCCACTCAGCCATGATTTCCTACTCCTTTTGCCACCATCTTTTCTCCCGTTTATCTCATTCCTTGTTTTAGCGTCACCAATGATCGAACATACATGATGGATGAGGGAATTGGGAATTGTCGTCCGAGTGAGCGGCGCATATGTTTAAAATGGGGAGCGGACGATTGGGACTCGCATGGCATTACATAGATTTGGTTCATATCTTTTTTCTTTATCGTGCTTTGCCATTTCACCGCATTTTCCTTGTCACGTTCCTTTCTTTTGAAAATTTCCAAATTCTCCATTATAAATCTTCTTCACCTTTTTCTCTCCCACTCTTCCTGCCATCTATTGACTCATCATTTTCTTTCTCCTCGGACTGCCTCCGCTTTCATACTACTTCCTACTGTATTTCTCATCTCCTATGTTGAGCTCTCTCCCCACGTGATCCTAGAAAATTCAATCAGCATCTAGGTCCCAAAGTGTCGCCAAAACCTAGTCGCTGCCCCATTGTTAGTGGAGATTGCTTTCGAGTCCTGTCCGTAATTGATAATACGATCCCCTTCATCATTCTAGTTTGGCATTTCATTTCACTGTTTGTTTTGTCCCACGGTTGCTTCTTTTCTTGTTTTTGTCTTTCTTTCAGTTTCTGACACTTTCGCATTTTCAGTCTCATCCTGTCCAACTCAAATTTAAAAAGCGTTCCAGGTTATACATACGTGCTGGATGTCCATATACCCTTCCGTTGAACACATCTGATAACGGAATGCAGGACTCCTTACTCTTTTAGCAGATCAGCAATTCCAGGAAGACACCGACACGAATTGTGGCACCGGCGCGGAAAAATACAAAATGCATATGACGTTGAATTGATCAAGGGTTGTATTACCGGAGATCTGTGAATGCTACCGGGTGGGAAGAGAGCGACTAGAAAGTATGCACCTGTCGGTGTTGGTGCTCTTTGGACTTGAAACTGCGCTGCGATGATATTATGCCAGTATTTGATGATTGAGTTGGTGCTGTTTTTTGCTACCATCTTTTTGCTTGCCATCTTTTTTCCCTCTACCTTACCTATTCTTTCCTTATGTCATGAGTGATGGCAGTGGTTTTTCTGAATCTAGACTACGTAGCTCTATAGGCAGATCTTTCTTTGTTTCTTCCCCGTTTCTTATTTGTATTTATGCTTGAGTTTATGGGTAGTTACGAATAGTAGGAACTTGTATATACTTACCTAGTATTCTTATAAATCAAATAGCTCGTATAGAGGTGGGACATAGCAAGTAACATGGTAAATATCGGATCTCTAGCATTTTATCGATATTAAAACTAACCAATTCATTTTTCACTATTGGCTTAGATCGTAGAGGCTGGGGGGAAAACTATCAAGAGAGAAAGGGGGAAGTGCATGAAAAACAATGAAAGCAACACGAAGATGTAGTAGTTTGGGATGAATGATGATGGATGGCCCATGCCAATACTTAGAATTGCTCGGTGGCCGACAAGGGTAAAGCACAGCAGATCGACAAAATGAAGTGACCGTCGGGATTAACAAACAAAAAATATGGCATCAAAATGGGGTATGACTAGTATTATATAATGAATGTGACGGCAAGGGACCCTTGTATATCTTTGAAGTAGTTCATGATAAATTCCAGGTCAATGGTATTGGGACGCTAATGATGAGTGCTCAAAGAATAAGGAATAATGTATGCCAATTGGCATTTTAACCAGGCTAACCGGGGATTACACAATTGCCTTACATTGGAGGTTGGTAATTTGACCGTGGCCATGTAGATGAGCTGTTGATTGGACCAAGTGGCGGTGCCCTTGGATTTCCCGTAATGGGAGCACGTAGAAGTTCGTTTTGTCCAAGATATAACGAGCCCAGCTGTGAACCTGGAGCTATAGCAGCACGAAGGTTTGGGTCAGAGTTAGGGTGGTCCGTTGGATTTAGCCTTGGGACTACATAATCCATGCCACGGTCATGTGCAATAGGCGTCCCATCCAGTAAGTAGGTAAAAGGATTGAGAGCAGCAAAGTCAGGCTGCATCACAGGAGGAGCCCGTGTCACTGGCTCAGCGTGAAATGGCGGTGGGACGGGTAGCCCATATGTGGGAAATTCTTGTATTCGTATATTTTGCTGCGGTGCGGGTTGAATGCGGAAATCTTGAAAGTGGCCAGTAGGGATGTATTGATGCCAAGCGTAAACAGGCAACGGCCGTTGTCTGTTAGCTGAAGCCGGAGCTTTACCCTTTTTGAAGTCATGTACTAGTAAATCCTTCTCAGACAACTGCGGATTTTCTGAAAGAGCTGCCTTAATAGCCGTCTCCTGGGCTTGCTCAACCTCTTGCTGAGAGCGGTGCCCTGTAGTGTCATGCACAGAGCAGAATGTAGGAGGTTTCTCAAAGTGACTGTATAGTGTATTTGTTATATCCTTTTGGCATAGATAGCACATACTGCGCTTGCACTTGGAACAGGACATCCTGTTGCACCCAAATTCTTTAATGATCTTCACTTTGCAGTTGGGGCAGGTTCGGATCAAGGCTTCACTCATTGCTTCTTCAACCGCAAGGCGTGCCGGCAGACCCCTTTCCCTCTGAGCCTCATTACAGGTTTTTGGGATATGGCTTTCTTGTTTGCATAAACGACAACTGGCCACTTCACACGAAGGATTGACACAACGAAATTCGCGGTCCTCTTCCACCGGAGGACAAATTGCCTTGAAGTCACAAAAGGGACAGGATTCTAATCCTTCTAGACATGCTTGTTGAATATCGTCTTCTTGCTGTATAGCATCAAGTTTTTTCATGATCGTCGACCCCAATGCCTGTTCCAGTTGGGAGCGGGGAAATTGTTCCTGACAGCCGCTGGTATCAAAGCAGTGTAGTTGGTGCTTCATGAGCCCGATTTGCGTCTCTGCCAATTTACGAATACAAATAAAGCAGAAGAAATGTGCGTTCACACCATCGCAAGGTATGGCTCTATTCAGCGGGACATCGAGATAGCAGCAGCTACACTCAGTAATGGTACCCGTGTGATGACATTCCTCCTCGTTCAGTCTTTCCATCTCCTCTTCTTCTCTTCGCTTGTGGAAAGCAGCTATAGTTGAATAGCTAATCGTCAGAAAACCACGTACTTAGATTATTAGAATTTGTTGACAATGTTACCCACCGAGATCCTTTTTCACCTTCTTTTGTGCAGCTTCTAGTTCTTGCTGCAAGTTACCAAACATCTGATGTCTTGCTTCATTACATTTCCTTGGCCGTCTTAATCTCGTGAACTTGGCCTCCGATTCCGCACTTAAGTTCTCTTGAGCGAATATGGTAATATAAGCAGGGTATAGAGCTTTCTTCTGGGACACAGCTTGGCGAATATGATTAATGGGAACCCACGGGAACTCCTGTGATAATAATTTGCGTCTTTATATAAATAACAGTCAGCATTTAACTGTGTTACTTGAGAATGATAGATATAGAAGACTCACGCATTCCGATAATACAAACTGTCCTTCGCATCTGTCATAGCAGGGTCCCAATTTTGCTCGTCCTCGTCCATATTTCCTAGGCTCTTTTTCTCCCTTTCTTGTTTGGGATAATGCCCCTTTGTCAGAATATAATCAAGAACGTCCTGCTTCACCGTCAAAGCCCTGTCGCCCCCAAAGTTACCTTCAGTCGATCCCACGAGCCGATGAGGAGTAATTATGTCTTTCACATATTGGTGACTAATATCTGGGAAGATTTCCACTATTCCAGATATCAGTTCGTCGTCAGCGGTGCATATATGGATGGCTGAATTCGCAGGATCTGTTGCTGGCTGTGACAACGTTGTGTGGGGAATAGGGTCTAGGGGGGAAGAGACTTGTCAATTAAAACTGCTGTTCCCACTGTATGATCGGGACCGTGGGTCTTTCGTTTCTTCATGGGCCTCGGAAAAGGCAAATGAGAGATATCTTCATTGCTACCCATGTCACCTTTCTGCCCATCGAGTCCCCAGCGTAGAGAATCAATCTCACCAAGCGGTAGTTTCACATCCAGAGGCGCTCCAACATTACCATTTCTCTTAGTCCATGGGGATTCGGCACCCATATCCAAGAAATCTTGGGTCATTTTTTCTCAGCTAAGGTAACGAACAGAACCTTTCTTAATGGCTTGTGTAGATGATGTTAGGGAAGAGAGGGTGGGGTTTGGGAGAGACAGAATTTTGTATCTGTGTATGGTGCGGTAGGCAGGGAAGATTGCGAAGAACAAGGAAAGTAAATAAGTAGTACGGAGTATAGTTTTCGAAGAAAGGCAAGTGAGTTAGAGGACCCAGACAAGGTTATTATGGCTTCATTATGATGAAACCAACGGAATCATGGTATTATTGCTGTCAAAATGAAACCCTAACGAGGAACTTATCAATCAGTATAGAAAGTAGGCGTCGGAAATATGAAAATAGATAGATGAAGTATCGATAGTTGGTCTCTGATTTTGGAAAGGTGAATTCTAAGAGAACTATCAAGCAACCTGCTTGACCCCACCACTATCGCGTTTAGTAGAGCCTTTCCACGCTGCAGTCACTCAAAGGACTTTCGCTATCCTGATGGATACAGGTTTTTGACAAAATCTTCATATTAATAGAAGAGGGAGTGAAGGAAGTTTCCGTTGCAGAAAAGAACACAAACAGTCTGTACTGGGGTGTTGTACTGTCAAAGTATTGCCTACCTACTGTTTTCAGGTGACTTCAGATCCCCTGAAAGAGAATAGCCTTCCCATTCGGGAAAAGCGCTTAGTAGGTAGGCGCCGTTGTCAACCAGTGATCTCTCCTACTAATAATTGAGCATTCATTCATTGTTTCTAGACTGATCATCCTCAGCCAGGTTTAATGCAATAGTATCAGTCTTATGTACGTATCACTCGTGTCTTCCCGCAGGGGGCTAATTAACTAAATCAAAACGTTAGTCACCTATGGTGCATGACTAGATAGAACCGCATCGTCAATCAACAAATGAAAATGACTTCTTAGCTCTTCATATAGCTCATGATTAGAAATGGACAGGCCAAACAGGCATAGATCCATTGCATAAGTCTTCTCCTGAAGTGAGTTGCAAACTTTCGCATGAACATCACTGGTGGTTCTCGAAAAACTGGTTCACAATGAGAGACTAGTATCGTACTACTGTTATACTCTTCCATAGTCTATAGCTGGAGCTAACCTCTGGGTCTACAGAATCACTCGTCCCTTTCAGATGAATATTCCACCCCAGCCTCTCAAGGCAAGGAGTAGGATACCAGCTCAACAGTCAAAATATACTCCTCGAAGGAAGTGCATTGATCAATCAGCCAAGAGACGCGCTAAACTGCTTCTGATGACCTGATCACGTCCGGTCCCACGTGATCACATCAACCAGGAAGGTAGTACGAGAAAGTATGGATACCGCCTGCTGGTTGGACCCGGGGGAGCCATTGGATTAGTGCGCCGGTTTCCTCTGGACCTCAGTTCGACGACGGTCGAATAGGACAACTTGTCTTACACTCCCCGCATTGGTCTCTACGTCACGAAGGCCAGACATCAGCCCCTAACGGCAGGTACAACCCCAAGAGAGTCAAGTGGCATCAGGACCTACCATCATCTTATCGCTTTCCATCGCTTGTGATCGGAGTCTGTGACAAATAGAAACCGCCCCTGCGGAACATGCATCCACTCAGCGATCCATTATTACGCTTGCCCCCGATTCCGCCGACGGCCGTCTTGTGATTATAGATATCATCGATTGATTCTATATATACCTATTCTACCACCTCGCACTCTCTGTTGTTGTCTCATTTCACTAAGCTATCACCACCTTCGTGTCGAAGAGTCAAGCTGTCATCACATCCATTGACAGGCTATCACGTTGCTTTAGGCAGACAATTGGCAGCATTGGGTTTCCCAACCCTATACAAATCATGATTGCTTCTTACCCTGATGCGACTATCCTCCCACCGGGTGATTCCTCAGATCTCATTCTCGTGCCGGCTTCGCGAGAGGAACGAATTGAAACCATTAAGTTGAACAGTGCAGTCTGGAAAGGCCGATTCGACGTTGACACATATATTGGACGTGAGGAACACCTACACCGGCAGCAATTAAACAAAGATGGATTGACCAGCTGGATTCTGGTCGACCGTCAGGAACCGGCAGGGCAGAGAACCATTTTGAGTTCCTGCGAGACATACAAAAAGAAAGCCATGCTAGCGCGCGACGGGCAGGTGGACGATGTCGCCTGCCATGGTGTCGGCAGTGTTTACTGTCGGCCTGAATTTAGAGGCAAAGGATATGCAAAGAGAATGATACAGGAACTGAGCATACTATTGGACAAGTGGCAAGACAATAAGGCCGCCGACAGATCACAGCTGAGCGTGTTGTACTCTGATATTGGGAAGAAATTCTACGCTCGGTTTGGCTGGAGGCCATTTCCGTCATCCCACTTCGAAATTTCTCCAATTTCCCGGACAGAATATGAGCAAGACATCCCCGGAGCTAACTTGCCTAAGGCCAGGACTTTGCTTGCGCAGGATGTACAACAATATATGTGTAATGACCAGATTCTTCAAAAGGAGCGTGAAATTCTTCGGGCTGCTTCCCAGAAATCTCATGGTGCCAAGGTGGCAATAATCCCCGACTTTGACCACTTCAAGTGGCACTGGGCGAGAGAGGAATACTGCGCAGAGAGGCTCTGCACCGATCGAGATGTACCGCAGATCAAAGGCGCTGGGGAGGAAAACGCTCGGGTTTATTGCACCTGGAACAGAAATTTCGGCTCAACACCAGAGGAAAACACGTTGTATATTCTGCGGTGGGTGTATGATGAACCGACATCGCCGGAAGAGACCGAGACGACAGTGAGGGCCATGGCTGCAATCCTGAGACGCGCTCAATTTGAAGCAAACGAATGGGACATGGCCAAAGTTGAGTTTTGGAACCCGACTCCGTTACTGGAAAAGGCAGTTGCCATCTTGGATCCTGCAGCCAAGGTAGTCCACCGAGAGGAGAGTAGTATTGCATGCTTGAAATTGAATGGCACCAAACAGGGTCTAGACAAAGATGTGGAGTGGTTCTTGAACGAGAAGTATGCTTGGTGCTGAGTGTTGCTTTCATTGTATGGCCAAATGTTTCATGGTGTTGGTGGCTTAATTGGGTGGCATAGATATCCACTTAGAGAAGACACGGAGGACACATCATTTAATGCTTCTGTCGTTTTTGGTTTTTGAACAATTCGTGCCAGTTTCTGGTCTTCTTGGCTGCGGTGGCTGCGCTAGCATCAGTTGCAACATTGTTTTTAGCTTTTTGGCGACCGGCTTCGTTGACGAAACAGATAGTCGTTGGCTCAGGATGTTTATATGAGCCTTCCTGCATAGGAAATTAGAATTCTACACAACTACATAATAGACGCACAAACAAGGCAACAGTATACCAAGACACAAAGAGCACAACAAGAACATGACATTTCCACTTACCGTTAGCTTACTCAACACAACATCATCATGCCACGATTCAGGGAGATGGTTTCTCCAAGCGTTCAAGAAGTCGTTCCGGGCGATGGCAGAAGCAGAAGTCGGCGCCATAGCCTCTAGGTAGGTCTCGCCGGCCCATCGTGTGCAGCTAGCCTTGTCGATGCTTGCCCCTAGACAGTTATTAGAAAATACTTCAAAAAAAAAAAAAAAAGAAAGAAAGAAAGAAAGAAAGACCCAACATATCAAGGGCAAGAAACTCACACTTTAAATCCCCGTCGGTCAGCAGTCCACCTTGCTCAACCCCCAAATCACAAACTCTCCTAACAATTGCTTCAAAAAGCGGCCGTGGAAACGGCTCCTCAGCCCCATCATCAAGCACCGACTTCCACAAATCCGACACCAGAAACTGTTTCCCTAGATCAATCCCCTGTAGAACCGAACCCTCAACAATCCTCCTCCACACATCAACCTTCACGCGTGCTGAAGGCCGCCAGCACCACCCCTTTAAATCATCACTCCCCACCACCCCACGACGCAACACAAATCCACATACCTCTCTCCAGCCCCGTTCACATTCTGCCCTCGACACAGGGACATCTTCAAAAACCCGCTGTACAATCCCCCTTCTCTGGACTAGATCAACTACCCCCTCCTCATCATAATTATCTCCATCCATTCCATGGCCCACTGTGCTGAATAGGTCATATACACTCAGAATCCTCTCCAGGAACGGAACAGCGGAGAATCCTTCCTGCGGCGTGTGCAGTTCCAGCGTTGATCCGCACTTAGAGATGGATGTCATGGTCTCGACGAGATTCAGTTCGGCTTGCTCCACGTCGGCGACGACATTGATATCCCCGCGTTCGACACCACCATCGCTCGGTCGTATCACCAGTAGCGAATTCGATGATTGAACCTGTCGAACTCGATATGTTTGTGTCGACGTGCAGAGGTTGACGTATTCGCGGACCTCGGGCTCAGTAGTCGTCGTAGAGGAATGTGTCGTGTTCGGAGATTTTAGCTCGATCCTGTTCTCGACATTCTCCGGGTGGGATTGAATTAGCCTTTCTTTAGTCCCTTGGAAGGGTAAAGGGACGCAGAAGGAGTGAGAAAGCGTACGTGGGAGGGTCTTTGGAAGAGAGCTGTTTGACCAGTTCGGAGGGCAGTTCTAATAGCCTGAAGCCTTGTTGCGGGGAAGTGTGTGTGAAAAGAATGCTTCGTGCAGCTTGGGTCGACATTATAGGAATTAATGAGAATGCCGTTAATGATTCGATAGGTCGCTTCGGTTTGGGGACACGCCGGCAGGAAGAATCCATCCGATTGAGGTAACTACTTAGTTTGATTAATTGTGGATGCGCTCGACGCGGTACGCGTGCCATGTTAACACGGGCCACTGCTTAATGCTCTCCGGTATATTTGGCTCCATTCTAGATCAAAACAAAATGAATCTTAGTATGTCTTTAGCAATACATCAATACAAAGAAATAAATATAAAGCCTCCAAGGAGCTAACCACTCCTTTTGCCCGATCTAAATTCACCAATACCCAATAAAAGCAACCGATCACTCCCGTAGTTTAGCTCCAAGTCCTCTAACTGGACGCAACATTTTTCCCCTAAAAGTGGACCGCTGCTCTGTGACCAGCACAGAAGGCAGATGAAAAACTCCAACTGAACCAATCATAGCTGTACCCGTTGTCCTGAACAGCTTCGTGTTTGCGTGTTCCTCTAGACAATGGGAGGAGATAGTCAAGTACCATGGTCTGACTTCTCATTGTCGGGCTTGTCTATAGTATCGACATGTCCTATTGCTGGCTTGGCTGCAGAGGCCTCTACCGAACTTTGGATGTCTTCGTTTTTCAAAGCATCCGTACCTTGTTGACCATTGGGGTTCTCTTGTTCTTGTGCTTTCTTAGCGGTAGGAACGTCTTCGGGGGGTTTCGCGTCTCCGTTTGGAACGGACTCTGCGCCTTTCTGCGCCTTTTGCTCCTCTTCGATTGAGTCACGGACAAATGCGTTGTCAATTTCCCATTGAGTTCTACCGTCTTTGAATATATTCTGAACGCGTTCCTTACGTTTGGCCTGTTCCTTTTCTTCCTGTTCGCGCTCTTTCCGTTCTTGTTCCATCTCCTCCATGTGTCGAAGATCGTCCACACTAGGCTCATATAGATGCCAGATTGTGTAATGCGGAAGGCCAATGACCGAGTACCCCATACGTTTAGCCATCTGTATGGTATTAGCATCATGACCATTTGGAGGCAGAATTGTTGTAAAAACCATACCTTGCCAAATCCTTCGGTCTCTGCATGCTTCTCAAAACTGAAAGCCGGAAAATGAACCCCCGCACGAAAAACTCGCGCCTTCGCAAGGATGCTGACGCCTCCAACGCCATCTAACTCCATTTCCATATCGCCATCTCCGTATGGGTCACGAAGGTAGGCCAGGTGAGGCCGCCACGTTGCATACTCAGCATATCCTTCTACAATAACTGCATCTTCATCCAATGTTTCGGCAAGGGCCAATGCGGTTTCCGACTCTTGCCAAGAGTTCAAGTCGTAGGGTTGTTCGCCACCTAGCCAATCGGGGAGGGGTCGCCAAACGTCTGATACAACGTGGTTAGAGACGGAAACTACCGAAGAGGCGATGCTACTACTTACTGGGCACTATAACATCCTTGTCGTGTCTCATAAGATCTTCTATGATAGTAGACGGTGCGGTCTGGACATCCGCGTCTCTCCAATAGACCCAGCTGTGAGTCGGCCGAAGGGTAGCACTCAACAGCCAATTCCTTGCTTGTGCCATCAACTTCCTCCGGTCGGCTTGGGCGGCAAATCCGTGTCTACTCTCCACGTCTTGCTGCACTTTCTGCCCGAAATCCTTCTGAATGACCGAGATCTCGCCATAGGACATCTTGGGATCCGGGTCGTTTTGAATCTCATCCAGCATGCTCGACAACATATTTAGGGTATCATCCTTTGAGTCCGATACTAGAAAGGCCAAGTCGATGAGGTTGTGGGGGTATGTGAGGTTCCGAAGATGCGAAAAGAACATAGGGAGATGAGAGGCGGCATCTCGGAGGGGAGTACACATAAGTACACGCTCTCCATTTTCCCAACCGCTTGCAGAGCCCTGGACTTTGGATAGGTCGTAATATCGGATTGTCTGGATGTGTAGGTCATCGCCAGCAGAGACAAGCCCAAGGGATAACGTCGGAAGAAGTGCAGCTCGCCAGGAAGGAAATATTAGGACGAGGAGTAGGAGACAGACACCTCCCAGAAGACATAGCCGGTGAATGAGTTGTCTTCGGCGTCGCAGGGCAGGTTGTGGGCGCGGCTGAAAGCTAGCAAGAGAAAAAGACAAGTCAGTAAGAGGATAACTTTACGAATGGAAATTTGGAAATTTCAATGAAGCAAGCAAGAGGGATATGATCCATCTCTTCCAGTGCTACGGAACAGACAGATGCTTGATATGCTTACCGGTGGGGAGATATCGAAAAGGCACTGCCTTGCTTCCGGGGGTAGGCAGTGTAACCATTGACAAAGGCGTTATGCCTATTCATCTCGCCGAAGATAGCAGCATATGCTGCTGGTCAATCGAGCCCGAGAAAGACACCTTGCAGTTCCAGGGTCCTGGAGACGGCCCCCGGCTCGGCTCCCACCAAGTCAGCTCCCACTAGGAATGCAATTTCGACGGTGCAGGTGATAAGAGATGGTTATTAAATGAAATCCGGACTTCTGAAGGATCGCGAATCCCCTTGAGAGGCTAGATACAGTGACTGTACTGAAATAAGGGGGAGTGAAACGAGAGAACTGTGTGGATTGTCTCGCAGGATGTAGTGCCAAGTGGAAGTCGCCCACGGGTTCTCGACTCGCCGATGGAGTCCGGTCTCCCACGCACCGAATCCGGAAATGACCGTCACCTCTACCGTTTGCAGCCACGTCCGCGACTTACCAACTCCCTTAATTACATCTCAGACGATCGAGTTATGTGTAATCGTTCCTCGATGATTGGTGGGAGGCTTCACTCCGTGTCAAATACCGTTGATTGATTGTTTATATGCAAGATTCCAAAATAATACACCACAAGTATGCCAAAGAATGACCATGCTAACCCGGGAACAAAAACACAAACTCCCTATGTAGAATACTGAAATTCTTAATTTTCCTCCAGGCCCCGAAAGATGCTTCATCACCGCGCAGTCAACCGAGAAATCCTTGATTGAGGCGACCCCATCCCCTTGACTCCGATCTCGACTTGTCTCATTACCTTCTTGAGCAGTTCGTCCATTTGGGGCGAGTCTCGCAACACCGGAATGACTGATCCGGCTTCGTATTCGCCGTTCAAAATATAATACCGTTCCCTGCCCCAATTCTCCACCGTGTCTCGCTGAAATGCGACTTTCGCAATTACCTTGGCGGGTACGGTGGTCTTATTGACAGCGCTCTTGGAGAACATACGCAGGAACGGACCGAGTCCAGACCGGGTTTGGTGTACCATTCGAACTGATAACGGGGCGGCATTTGTTAAATGGCTCTCTCCTACCATTCCACCTGGGTCTAGGGTATATATATTGAGGGACATGTTACCGGTCTTCGTACCGAGGACTCGTCAGCGATACATTCCGGTGTGGGGGAGAATAATAACTAAGGGTGCGCGAAGGCTCACCAGGACCAAGCTCCGACGCAGCGCGTACATTGCGGCGCTCATTATCAGTTTGCTACTCCCATACCGAATGGCTCCGTCCTTTGCACTCATGGGGGTTCCTGGGGGTTGATTCGCATCGCTGGCGGTGGGATGTTTCTCGAAGTAGTCCAGAGATCCCTTGGACATGGAGGAGCATCCGATATTGATCACCCTCGCCCCACCGTTGGGTGTCCCATCGCCTGCTCGAAAAGCCTCAAGCAAGGTCTCGGTCAATAGGAACGGAGCAATGCAGTTGGTCTGGTAGACGGGATCGTATCCATCTCGTGTGGTTTGGTCCGTCATGTAGGACGAGGTAGCAGCGGAGTTGATCAGCACGGTCACGGGAGGTATCTCTTTACTCTGTACGCGTTCGACGGTGTTTTCGGCGAAGCTCACGACGGAGTTGAAGCTAGCCAGGTCGACCCGTAGCACTTCAACGGACCGGGGCCCAATCAAGCGCAGTCGGGACGTCAGATCCTTCACGCTGTCCGATCGGATATCGCGGGCGAGGAGCATCAAATGCACAAATGGCTGTGCCTTTGCGATGGCGATTGCTATCTCCGACCCGAGGGAACCATTTGCTCCGGTGACGATGGCAGTCCCAACTAGGGCTGTCGCCATGGGAGAGCTGCAATCTTCGACAACAAAGCAGTGGGAACGATAAGGACAAGAATAAGAATAAGAATATAATATGAATGTAAGAATGCCTGATCAACCCGACATACTCCGTATATAGATCGGGGAAGTAGAGAACGATTCTCAGTGTAGCACAAGAAGGTATAGGAATTATTAGTATCGGTATATCCAAGCGATCGCCGAAGAGATAATTATACAAAGCTGAAATACAGAGTCGCTCAGGGCATGATGCTGAAAAGAATACAACCCACAAATCTCCAGCTCGATCGAGACTGACTGCCTTGGGGATGAATAAAAAGAAAAGCCGTCAAAAAAGAACGAGGGAAAAAAGACGATGGAAGAATTGGCAGCCCCAAAGCCAAGACGATCTGAACCAAGATGCACCAGGCCAGTCTAGAGTATTATGCAAAGCCAGCCGGGGCTGAAACGAAGTGGGGGCGTTGAAGCGTGGCCCACCAGGTTAAAAAAAACAAAGGATGATGGGAATCAGCAATTAGAAAACGAGTCAGCTTAGTCGACTTTCAGTATTTCAAGCCCTTCCGAGGGGAGATCCTACATAGGCACCTTATGTATATCCCACTATATATCATCATACCTTAAGATGTATCTCGTCGGGGACAAGGATGAGGCTTCCTTCAGCTTCTGGAAAGTTAAACCACATGAGCGGTGGAATCGAGACATGTCTACTCCGCTTGGATGATCTGTCATGTGGCAAGGATACATATTTTCATTATTTCATTTAATATATATATATATATATATATATATATTTTTTTTTTTTTTTTTTTTTTTTTTTTTTTTTTTACATGTCTCTGTCTTTATTTTTTCAACCCAACGGAAGAAAAAAAAAAAAAAGGGAAATCAGCTTACCTGCCCATCAGCATGATCTCACCATTACTTTCCCATTAACCAACAGACGATACGTCAATTATACAAGAGGAGACTGCCTGCCTCTGCACTATAAGAGCGGCATAGTGTGTACTCCCGTAGTAGGACAAAGTGGAGCCGTCGAGGGGCGAGTTAAAAAGAAATGAACTCCAATGGTCTGCCCACGCTGCGGGCGCAGTTTGTCCACACGTGGCCATCCCTTAGTTCAGCTCGCAGGCATATAGGGACACATTGACCTAGAATTGCAATTGTAAGCGAAAAATGAGCTGTATAACTTTATATGTTATGAGCCTATTTAACCGTGAGGATACAAATGCTGGATCGGAGATATTCTAAATATAGCCAGCACTAATCCATCCACCGCCAAGAAATGCACCCAATTGACAAGGATCAGCCAGGAAGGATCGGTAAGTATAGCCCATTTAGATTTCAAACAAAAGATCCAGGTTAAGCCAGCGTCCCTCAGAGCCTTTTAATCATATACTGGTGATAATCCTATTTCATTAAGCAGGAATATCAACTAGGATCTTAACGTGCTTATCCTGCTCATTAATCAGCGCTTTAAAACCCTTGTCCTCTACCTCTTCCAGACGGATCTTACTGGTCACCATCAGTCGAGGGTCTATTTCCCTTATACCACGATCCCTGAGTTAGTAGAAAGAATATACATCAGTCTCAGAGTCTAAACCTACCAGACCAGATAGCATCAACAACAGCCTCGAATATTCCATCATCGTACACCACAGACCCAATAACATGCTTCTCGTATAAACCCATATCAAAAGCATCAATCACCGGTTTCTCCTCCCACGGCGATACAATCGTTGCGGTTTCCCGGACCTGAATCCCAGCGAGGGCCGTATCCAGTCCCGCCTGCACTCCAGAGCATTCAAACACTATATCTGCCCCCGCGTCACCCGCCATCATGCGCATCCTGGACACAACATCTTCCGTGAGAGGGTCTACAACATCTGCAGCGCCCAGTTTTCGAGCCAACACCCGACGCAGAGGTGACACCTCCGCCACTACGATGGATTCCGCCCCGCGAGCTTTGAACACTTGAACCATCGTGAGACCGATGGGAGCGCCTCCCACCACGAGTACCGTGCGCGTAGTTTGGATGGGGCGGCGACTCGCGGCGTACCAGGCTACAGTCAGGGGCTCCACGAGAGCTAGACTCTGTCGTTAATGCTTCTTGTAGATATTCCAATTCTTCTGAGGATTCATCCGTAACTCACCACCTAGATCCAAGGGAAACTCATCCGGTAAAAGGATGGCATGCTTTTCCTGCACAACCAACCAGATGATCTGATAGTCCCCCTGCATTACCTATCTCCATCCGTCCAGTACACCATGATTAGTCAAATACATAATTCATAGCAGAGAATCTAGTTCCACTCACTTCTATAGCCAAGAAACCCTAAATTTTGACAACAGTTAGCCCTCCCCAGTACACAGCGTGGACATGTCCCGTCTGTAAGATTAGGCTGAATCGCAACCCGGTCCCCGACTTTCATCGCGTCACACCGGACCCGACATCCTTAATTGTGCCGCTGAATTCGTGGCCCCGGGTAATGGGGCTCATTTCCCCGGTGATTGCATGCGGAGATGGGGGTGTAAGGATTGGACCAGCGAGGTACTCGTGTAGATCTGACAGGGTTCAGAGAATGGCATCAGAATGGTGGGTGTGTGTTCGTTCTCAAACCTGCCGCTTCCTCATATTCCTACAAAAGCCGGTGGAAACTAATGTCTCCGTTAGTTTTAATGCCTTTTTTCTTCTATCTGTCTGTTACTGAGGAGGCCTTCTTTTACCTCCGGCTCGTCGATTTCGTTGACAGATATCGCCTCACCCGTGGAATGTGCAGCTCTCATAGTGATCAATGTCAATGGTAGGTGGTTGTTGAACAAACTAGGACAGGGATATTGATAGAAAAGTCCGTAGTGTATGGCCAATCTTCCAACTCCAATGTCAAAGTAATCTGATTTCACGACAGACTTTCCCCGTAACAGGGAATGGCACGGTGAAACCAAGTAAGGCTGGGAGATACTGTCAGCGAAGGGCTAGCAAGCTCCTCTATCGGCGGTGATTTACGTGGTAATGTGCGGAATAGAATGTAATAATCATGCATTGCCAGCATAAGACCAGAGATAGGTTCTCGATGCAAGTCTCAAATATCTAAGGCTAATTTAAAGGCTGTTAGATAGTATTGCTCGCTACAATACACTGATAGGAGAAGATGTAAAGAAAGTAACAATCAAAAATTCCTTCATCGTTTGACACATATGCCTTGTCATCTACACGGTCTCCTTAAATAACAATAGATTCACCGGATTGTCTCGCCGAACTTTTACTTAGCTGCTGTAAAACATATAATTAGAATTATCTACCGAACAGTGGCTCCCTTCAGGCTCTTGACAGTGCAAACCGCACCTCCGGTCAGCAACTTGCCTAGGGCAGGCTTGCCCTCCTGGCCCTGCATAGCTGGAACGGCACCGCTTTCGAATGCAACCTCGAGGTTCTCCGTAGTCGTGAATCCAGGCTGGAATGTTTCCCAGATTTTCTTCTTGGGGTTAAGCACCTTCTCGGGCTCACCCTCACTCCATCCGTCAAAGTACACACGCTGACCAGCAGGGGCATCCGCCGGGGGGCTAACAAGTTCAACGGGACCCGCATGCGAGTCCTCGCCTTCAGCCACACGCGGAGAAGCAGCCAGAACCATAGCGCAAGACTTGATTCCACGCATGGTGACAGGCTTGAGGTTGCAGACGGCGACGATTTTCCGGTCTTGCATTTCCTCGAGCGGAATAAGCCCATTCAAGCCAGAGCACACGGTCCGGACGGTCTTGCCAGTGGCTTCGTCCAGAGAAGTATTCTCGGTGCCAGGGGCATCTCCACAGTCAATAGTCGAAACAAAGAGAGAGTCGGCATTGGGATGATTGACCGCACGGAGGATATGACCCACACGGAGGTCGATAACTGAGGGGGTTGGAGGTGCAGCAGGAGCAGGGGCAGGCTTGGGAGGCTTCTCTTTCTTCTCCTTTTTCTCCTTCTTATTCGTTTTGCCCTCGGGTTTTTCAGCCACGGGTGTTTCACCAGCCTCGTTGTCCTTGGCGGTCTGTTCGGGCTTACTCTGTCCCACGACAAGGGGCTTGTCGCCGACAGCCGCACCGGTACCCTGAGCAGCAGCTTTTTCCTTCTTCTTGCGCTCCTTCTCTTCCTTGGGATCCACAGGCTTGGGCACAAAGCGCACGTCGTTCACGTCAATGGCAACCTTCTCCTCCTCCGGGATCCGTAAGCCGAACAGTCGACTGTTCTGCACAAAGTCAACATGGCGCACGATATGATGGCGTCCCTGCTCCCCCGTGCGTTCCTCTGGTGTCCATTTTTCCACCACCGGGGCCACGAGGGCATACGCCGCAATATCGGCAACGGAAGGTTTGGAGCCAAGCAGGGTTGTACGTGTGGCCAGGTGAGCGTTAAGCTGGGTAAGGATAGTCGACGCCACATCCTTGTTATCCTTGACAAGGGCCGTCTGAAGCCCAGAGATCGTGTGCAGCCATTGCTTGATGTCTGCCTCTTCTGCCACGGAAAAGGTAGTCTGTGGGAAGATCTTGGGAGAGGCCGTCAGAAGATCGGGTTCCGTTGCTTCGGGAGAAACAGCGGTGGGGTAGGAGCGGTAAAGGAGGGAGAGAAGCGAAGACTCAGGCGCAGAGTTGATGGCCATTTTTGCGAATGGGCGGACAGGAAACCAGCGAAAGGACGAGGAGATAGGAAGCGGAAGAGGAGGGGCAGAACTGAAGAATAATGACAAAGGTCGACCACACCGCGGGGTTGGGTGGACGGTTCTGGCGGCCCGCAATACGGTCACGAAGCGGAAGGGCGTCAATTTGTCTGGCTCAGGAAGATCCCGTGGAAATGGGATCCTATAGAAGTAAAGGCAATTGGACTCGTCTGTGATATTTTGAAATTGAACTCGTGCAAAGAATTGATTGCTCGCTGTAGCATTTAATTTGTCCTGCTGGGATTGACTACATGCGGTTAGGCACTTTTTTTTTTTTTCTTCCCTCTCTGCCTTAGGGTTCCATTTCCAGCATGACTCATCATCCTATACCAATAGTTAACTTAGTTACTGTTAAAACTTCATGACTTGACTCACTATATTGGCTTTACTAGCAAGACTGGACTTTTTAGTTTGTCGAATGGTTTGTCTTGACAAACACAGATTTACGGAGTGCAATTAGTAGATTTACACCGGAATTTATGCAAGCCACACTTTGATGTTTCCTGTCAGGAAAGGTTTGGCCCAGCATTACGTTCTGAATCTCTATTTGGTTCACAATTTAAACTTAACAAAGGTTTCCCGACGAGCTCGATGACATGCTTGTTAAGTCTCTCGGGCCAATTGGCATGGTGAAAGAACTTAAACCGGTTGCTTTAGGGAGGCAATCCCAAGTGATGGCCCTCGCAGGTCGAAGATCACAAAGAAGGCCTTGAGGAACACATCACCCAGGATCTGCATCCGACCACCTTGGTTAGACTGGACACCTCCGTAGCAAACTAGAAACATGTTGATGAGCAATCGATTCAATCATCTCCAAGCAGAGTATCGACAAACATACCTTTTTCTCCGGTCGTTATATTGGTGCCGACCACAGAGAATGAAAGAAAGTGGCCGGGTACTGTGGCCAGGTGTTTGGGCCCGACGGCAATTGAAAGGTTTGGCATATCAGCTTTGCAAGGATGAATGTAACCGCTGGCACCTCTTGCAAATACTGCGCCTGGGACTTGCTTATAGTAGGCATCGACCACTTCTTGGTCGAGCAACATGAGGGAGGTTCCGGTGTCCGCAATCGCAGTAGGCTTAGTCTTGGTGCTTCGTACGGTCCCATTCCCGACAGCAAAATGAGCAGCCTCGAATTCCCAGAACCCCCTGGAGGGGTCGACAGTCACGTTCGAGATATCCCCCGTGTATTTACTATGATCAATGGCTCCGAACTCGTACTCTCCCACGCCGGAGCTCTTCAGTGCGGTTGTGAAAACAGGCACGTCAAGATCTTTGGCGACATTTTCAAAGAACGTCTTCTGTCTCTGTGGCCGAACGGTGTTGATAGACGAGAAAGACAAGCCAACGAGCCCATCATCGTAGGTTTCCCCGATAAGCGAATCAGATACCTGGTCTGGAAGACCAATAGCCTGCTTCTTAACAATCGCACCCCCCATATTGACAGTGTCCGTTCCCACGCGACCAAACGCATACGACGAATCGCCGTAAGAGACATCAAAGCTCGCATCCGGCATATCCTCAAATGTAGATGAATTCTCCGGATGAAACAACCGGGTGCGGTCCCTAATAGCCCCTTTTGGAATCCTTGAATTCATCAACCAACTAAGAAATCACCGTTAGCATGTCAGGCCTTAAACAGATGTGTATCGTGAAGGACATACAAATCCGCGGAACCTGTATCAAGATTTAGAACAAGCTTCTGTCCCCCAACAGTAACCGGAGAAACAAATGCAACATCCCCCGCCACAGAAACCGCGCTGACAGACCCCGATTTCTCTGGTTCAGAGACCAGCTTGTTGGCACTTGCAGGCTTGGTGGATAGGGGCTTAAAATCCGGTAGATCCACGCCCAGGTCGGATGGGATAATGTTATATTTGCGGTATGCTTTGCGCAAGGCGACAGGGCCATCCACTGCGCCATTACCAGCTCGGATGCGCCCAACTTTATAGGACCTACCCTTGTGTTGATGGGATGTTGGAGCTGAAATCACTCCAGACGTGAAAAACAGAGCGAATAGAAACGACAGGAGAAGCTCCATGGTGCTGGTCCAATTGCTCTCTGCTTATGATTCAATGAGCGGCGTTGATATAGCTCTTCAATAAGCTGAGGAAGTGACACAAAAGACTGAATATTTCAATTATTTTAGCCTGGCCAGGAGTAAATCGCAGGTAAGAAAATGAATGAATTTGGGCCCAGGTCCCGACCTGGATATCTAAGAAAAGCACTGGAAGAAGGGAAACAGGATAAAAGAGACAAAGAAGCAGCCTCACACGGTAAGTGTGAAAGAAACCATGGAAACATAAAGTAGTGAATGAATTAGAACATGATTAAAGGTAGTACAAAGGTATGCTCTTGTAAAGTACGGATAACAAAAAATCAAGAATCAGAAAAAACCCCTACAGGAACCAGAAAAAAGATATACCACCTGCTCCATCCTAAACTCCAGGACACAAGCAAGATCCACCTCCATAGGAAGAATGAGAATCCCCAAGAACTTGGCGGTAGGTCTCCATGGCACGCGAACTCAGGGTAAACGTTAACAGCCGCCGAGGCAAAGCCATTCAGTGCCAGAAGAGTCCAAGTGCCCCTGAAGCATGAAACATGGCGGCCAGGGAGGCCAATCGGCACCTTTGGTTGCTGTTTGACAGAAGGTTTACAGATTGGCCTTACTCCTAAGTAGCTACCTTAGTAGATTCTTCAGAGCTATATTTTCAGTCCTGCGTGTTGTAGGTTAGTGGCGCTCTCTTTGTACCTATTATGCAAATTCTCCCTATATGCATACAAATACTCCGGAATACTTAGTTCTGGGCTAAATAATTATGAACCCTTACTATGGGAAATACTTCCCACATACTGCCTTGTAATAATACAAACCGACCGCTCTACCTAGGAGATATCGCATCCATAAAGATGCAGGTCTCTAAAGATACAACTGTCCACATACAAAACAGTGGGGCCTTCCAGCGGCAGTCAAAACTCAGACCTGATTATGTTTCAAAAAGTGGCCAATGAATTACTGTAGATCCCCATTGGGAGAGACTTCCTTTGAGTGCTGGGCACAAAAGTCAGTAATACACACCGCACTGATAAGCAAAAAATTGCCTAGGATTACAGAGCGCTTATTTATCTACGTTGTGTGAACTTGGCATCACCGGTTGGAGACAATACAATACTTCTAAATCCGTACAAGAGCAGCGCTTGATCGGGAGGTACTAGCTGTGGCCTAATTATTAAGGTCACTCCATTCCACCCAACTTTCGGCTTATCGGCATTAAAGAAAGTGTTGATAAGGGGATGTTTTTTTAGCGAATTGCATCAACGATCTGGTATCAATAAATATCCATCTCTAAACCATAAAACGCCAAGGAAACCCTGGTCGGCAAAGCTCTCAAATTGCCGCTGGAATGCATCACGCTGGGAAATAGATTGCAAATCATCATTCCATCATGTCATCATTTCATCAGGTAGTACAGAGTTGGGATCTTCACCAACCAGTTGGCCAACTGATCGCACAACCCCCTTAATTGCAGTCGTCGCTGGGCTATCCGGGAAGTTGTCCACAAAACTCTCTCCATAGTCACAAGCCATACCGACCCTAGGGTCGAGAGGGACGGAGCCTAGAAACGGAATGCCCATTTTCTTTGCCAGGCGCTTCCCGCCACCCGTTGTAGCTCGGAAGATTTTGGATTCATGGCCACAGCTGGCGCAAACAAACCCTGACATGTTCTCTACTAGTCCCAGGATTCGAATTCCCGCCTTGCGGCAAAAGTCTATCTCCTTCCGCACATCTAGCAGGGATACTTCCTGGGGGGTTGTGATCACAACAGCTCCATCAACGCCAGACTCCTTCAGTAGCGAGTTAACTGATAGATGCTCATCCGAGGTGCCAGGTGGTGTATCAATAATTAAATAGTCCAGCTCACCCCAATCGACGTCTTTGAGAAACTGCTTTATAAGACCATTCTTCTTGGGCCCTCTCCAGATAACCGCATCATCTCGATTGGGCAGCATGAACTGTACGCTCATCGCTCCCAAGTTATCCGATACCCACACCGGACTCCAACCTGCGTTGCTCACATGAATTGTCTCAGCCTCCACGCCCATCATTTTCGGAACAGAGGGTCCGGTGATATCAGTATCCATTAAGCCGACGGTCGAGTCCGGATTCGCCGCAAATGCGTGGGCAAGAAGAGAGGAGAATGTCGATTTTCCAACACCTCCTTTGCCGGAGAGTATCAGGATTTTGTGTCGGATCTGCGACAAGCGTTCTGTAATTATAGATATATCGGGATCGGGACCTTTGGGAGCGGTGGCGCAAATCGATTGATTGGGGCAGCCAGCGCAGGCATCGCCTTTACCTGCTTGTTCGGACTCAGGTCCAGGGCAATGTTCTACTTTTCAGTTAGCACTTCAAACGAAAAATAATTTCTAGGCTAAGGGTTGTACCTGGTTCCGGAGCAACAAGATTCGGTGCCATCTTCGATGGCGCATCTAGGGAGGCTGCCGTGGGCTCCTCCAAAGAAGGCGCCATGGTCGCTATCGAAATGACCGCTGCCGATCGTGAGCTATAGAAATGGACGCGAAATATTAGAAATGATACGGCTCTAAGCCGCTCAGACAGTTTCTAAGGGAGAAATTTGGACAAGTGGCGGAAGACTCGCGGGGTGGATGCTTGATAATATGCCCGCCGCAAACTGACAAATCAGGTACCAGATGACAAACTCCTTGGGCTGCGGTGTCGGAGTCCGTGATAAGCTTGTATAGATGACAAACTATAATGGTGTCTTGTAACATTTTAACTATTGTCGGTCAGCTGAATACGAGTATGAGCTAGTATCACCGATTATATAAGAATATGGATATGCATTGAAGAAAATGAGGTCTCTAAGGTCCTTAACTATCTGAATCTATCTGGGAGAGCTGGATAAAAAGGTGAAAAAAAGAGGAATAAAGTCGGACCGAGCGGATGCTGAATAATGGGTAATATTGGCCCACTTTGGTCGACAACTAATAGACACTCCTCACAATAACAACAACTCACATATGGCACTAGATATTAAGCTAAATTACCAGATTTGAAGAGTGCTTGAATAGATTGTCTCCTACTTTCTTCTGTGTCTTTTCAGTCTTGTTCAGTTCATACTCCCATACTCATCCTGTATTCCGATAAACACGCAGAGTATAGCTTATATTTTCTTGATCAGTACAACTAAGGGCTTATTTCCTATATCTTTGTGCACATTTTTGCCTATTATCCTTACACAGTAGTGTATACCTAGTAAACAAGTGCTTTCTACCCTATCGACTGCCTTACAGTGAACTTGTATTACTGCAACCAAGAGCGACCTATGATTGCATCAGTTCATCTGTAGAGCAGACAATATATCTTTAAGTAGTAGTTGGTGTCATCACCCAGAAACAAAAGTGTTAAAATTCTAGGGGAAATCTACGAATAGCACATTGTATCTTGAAGCTTGAGTATATATTTTTCCATGAATTGTAGGAGAGCTTTTGGATTTGCAAAAAGGTATCGGAAACCTATTATGACTAGGGAAAGCACATACCAAGGCAGTGCAAATAAAGAAGTAGGACTTCCAATGACCAAGAATCCCGGTTTGATAGTTAGAATCATCAGCATCACCCACTAGCATTTTTATTACCATGGGAGTCAATGGATGCATGTAGCTCCCAGCCGGAAACTTCTAAATTCATCCAGGTACGGCGTAGCAGCATAGAGAGCTAATAGATCCACAAATGCTCTTTCCAGGCAGACTGTCGTTCTCTTCACACACGTCAACAATAATCCGGGTCCTGGTACCAGCACCACTGAAGTGATCTTGACAATTCTGGTCGCTATAGAAAGGATAAAACCACCACTATTCTGCGGAACGCTATGTTTCTTACGTATAAAAAAGGCAAAGAGTTTCAGAGGCAAATTGCTGGACTAGCGCAATAGACCCAACGTAGGGGTACCTTCAGTTCAAGTCAGCCAGTTGTATATGAGATAATTCTGACATCCTGACAGCGCAACGTATTGACAGAATAAATCATGTCCTAGTAAAGTCTCAGATAGCCACTAAAAAAGTCAAGGATTTTTATTTATTGTTCCCACTCATACCCCTTTCTGGAACTTGGAAACAACCATTCCACTGATGAGTGAAAAAAAGAGAGAAACAAGGAGACAAAACCTTGGTAGCTACAGCATGTTGACAAGGTGAAGAGATATGAATTAACCTGAGTGCTTAGTTATTGTTAACGGCTAGCTTGACAATAATAGGAGTTAGTAGGCATAAGAACAGATTTTATCGGAAGGCAGAGTGTAGACTAATAAGAGATACTCAGCTCAGCTGTAGTTAGTGGCGTAGTTGATGTCTTTCTGAAAAATAAGTAAACCTCCGTATACATAAAGTGATGATGTGGATGTAGATCCACACCCACATTAAACATGTCTTGAAGAGCTGATGTATCCACTATTCATTTTAACTATTAGTTGATCTGTTCAGACCAAATACTGTACTAATAGACATCAAATGGATCGTCAGGATTCGGGGATGGTACAGAGCTTTGTGTCCTTCACACGGTTGCTGTACAGAGGAATATTGTGGCGGACCATCTCCTTCATTGGGGCCTCACGGTGTGTGTCTCTCTAGAATTCGAGCCCTTCTGTAGCCTTAGTCATGATGTGTCTTGAGAAGGACATAAATGATGGTCTAGAAGGCAATGGACTACCATTTTATGCTCCGATCAGCTCCTCATGCAGAAATGGGATAGAGATTCCGTCGTAGAAAGTGTGTGATAACCCAATCACCAGGCACCCATGCAGGTGCTGTTGGTCCCTGCTAGTAATTGCTGCTGCTCGCCACACAGGCCTATCCAAAGTAGACAGATTCAGCTACTTCGTGGCTTTTTCAAATAAGACCTGGGCAGCCCTGCATAAGAAAAATAAAAACTATCAATTAAGGTTCCAGAAGAATGCTGTAGATTACAGGGTACAGCGTCAATTCTTCTACACACTTTCCTATTTGGAAATTAAACGCTTTAACTTTCAGTCTCTACATATTCTGACCATGCTATGACGGGAAATTTGTTTAATGTGATTAAAAGTAGCTACTCTGTTTGAGCAATATTTTAATAGTATCAGAATTCTCTATAACATAACATCCTTAAATTTAGTCAATGTCTCTTAAATAAGAGAAGGAGGAAGGTTCACTACGAGTCGATCTATTTGTCACGTCTACAACGAGGCAAGCCTTTGCGTTAACTCTTTGGCCCATTATCTCGCTGATCAGCCATAGGATGATATTCATACACCACGCGATCATTTCCTAACGACCCTGGTCATGTTGGATGAAGGATACTATAATTTCCACCACAAGTCCCCTTCTGATCACTACAGTGGCATTGAGTGGTACCAAGCAGATGTGAACGAATGGATTAGCTGGTTGTGTAGCTGCGTGGGCCTTGCTAGGAATCTGAAACCCTTCCGGTACAATGACATCGCGAAGGGCCGTCTCCAGCAGCGATGTAAACACCTCGACAAGGAACGACAGAAACTAGATTGGGGAATCCCGCTTGCCCGACTCCCCATCATAAACTGGATGGGGTAACAGGCTTGTGTCCCGGGAGGCCCAGATGCTCGTCGCTGTGGAACGACTGGCTCATGACTTTTCAGACTTTGTCAGTGAGCATCCCGGTGGAGTCACAGTTATTCGGACTGGTCTTGAGAAGGATGCCGTTGCCCTATTTAATAGAGGGGTGTATGATTATTCTCGGGTGGCTCGCAATCTGTTGGCAACCATGTGAGTTGCTATACTGAGACACGGTGAAGTGAAGATTCTGAAGGAAAGACATTAACTAATCCCCCTCATTTTTTGTAAAGAGAATATGGTTCAATCCAGTAAATATAGCTCAGTCGCAATATATCACAAATTCAGCTATTCAGACTATATGAGGTATATGTGTGTAAGCTATGTTTCAAGTACATCATGTATTCTTCTATGGAACCAGTTGTCTGGGGTGGTAAGCTGTAGAGAGATGGTGGTTTATTTTCTATCTGAGAGCACAATGGGCTTGCTGAGATGGAATTGAGTAGAGTTATATATAGCTTATGATCAGGTATGTCTGTTTATATCCTGGATATCCTATCAGATATAATCATAGGTGGGTTGTACAATCGTTGTATAGAGAAGCTTATAGTTAGGCACCCATCTCCAATTCTGAAATAATAAAAATTATTAGGGCCCAAGGGAGCATTCAACATAGATACGTCTAGCTGTAGAGCAGATGGTATAGCATCCCATATCGCCTAACTGCTCAACAAAGGGCCGAGACTTACCCTCCAACGACTTAACACCCCCTCTACGACGCAGTGCCAGCAACAACAATGTGGTCTGCACAGCAGTGAAAATAGCATTATTTATAGCAACCCACTGAACAAGCTGGTACCACAAGACGAACGTGCTCAATGTGAGCGGAGTAAACATCTCAACCGGGAAAAACCACCGCCTGACACGCAAGACTGGTGAGACCCAAGGCTGAAGCAGGATGTCGTCTGATTTCGTGGGCTTCTATCGGTAATGCGAGGATCGCGAGGATGCTCACAGTCGGATTCATCAAGATCAGATATACCTTGACAAAATACTCAGCGCCCCAGCTACCGTCCAAACAATCACCTCGAGGACAGTTGACGATCGCATCTCTGACTAGAGGTGCGAGCGAACTGACGATGACGCAGAAGAAGCCGGCCATTCCAGACAGTTTCCGGCGACGTGAGAGGGGCGTACAGTGCGGGTAAACCACTAACCTGGTCACTCACAACATTAATAAATATGTTAGCATTCTACTATAGTAGTTCTCAAGAATCTACAAGGTGAATGATAAGATCCAGACGCTAGCAAGCTGGAATAAATTTATCCAATAGCCTATATCGTGCGGCTTGTTCACAGAAAGCCTGAATTATCCACTTCCGTAACAAAATAGAAAACGCCAAGGGCGAACTGTTCGGTTGCGCTGAGAAGATTGCATAGCAGATAAGCGGGTAAGATGCCGGATGAGTCGTTTTTATGAATGCGTTTCAGCGGCGCATATGATACTAGGACACCATGCGTTACGTCCCGATGGGGACAGTGAGAACCATTTTTGTCGCGGCAGCAGTAATTCGCAAGGGTTAGTAAAAATAAAGTGAACACATTGAGAAGCGATTTGATGTACATTCGTAGTAGCCGACAATACTCCACAGTGGGCACCGTCCAGCTGGAAACCTAGGTCTATTGCCATACGCATATCTCCTGTGATAATATTCTGATATGTAACTGCGCCTATGTGAGATTTTGGAGAGAATAGAGCTTGTTGTTAGTCTGAAGAAATAAGATTTGTCTCTTTCTGTCCCCACGAAGTGAAGGTTAAGAAATACTAGCAATATTTAGGCGCGTAAATATAGATATCTTGTTGTGCGAGACATCAGTCACGTACTGCAAGAGTTACAAGTAATCAAGTAGACAGAAATATTTCCGTCTCTAAAACATCGCTTGGGACAATGCCAGGAAGATATTTAGAACTGTGGAGATTCTCTAAGAAATTAAGGAATACATTCTAGGGCCTACTACACATATAGATGTTAGGCCTGCTTAGCAAATATACTCTAGGCAATCAGAGATTAATCTGTAATTGCTCCAGATTGCTCCAGATTACTCCAGTATGGCCTCTAATTATTTCCGATACTTGGCATATACCCAGTTCGATCACAAACCAAAAGCGGCGCTAAGCAGAAAGAGTAAGACCAAAGTTTCCACAGTCAAACTGGACATAATTACAAAGTTTCTGGATAATGAAAGGAAACAGCGGTTACCGTTTAATCCAAATGCAAAGAGGGGACGTTCCAACCGAGGAGGGGTAAGCCATGCAATGTCAGAACTTTAACCCTGGTGACCCAAGCGCAGGTTGATCGGTCGGGGTAATTAATTACTATGCATAGAGGGGGGTTGCGCTATTATCGACAGTGGCATGTCAACACTGCCCCGATGCTAAACCGCCTCTTCTTCACCTTCCTCAGGCATCAACTGGCAATGGGGGTATTTCAAAAAGACTCCCAACAAGAGGCAAAGACCCGCTCATTAACCACCCATTCCTATTGGACAGAATGGGCGGGAACCCCACTGCATTACGTTACCACGAAATACCATCGGAATGGCATGCAGTCCCGCCAACAGACAACAGGTCCGTTGCGACCATACAGTTTCTTCATTACGACCCTGCATACATAACTTGATGCATGTGCATATGCACCTATATCTTAGAGTAAAGTTAGTAATGATATGTCATAATTCAATTAACAAAAAGGGAAATGTCCAGAAGTCTCGCTGTATGATGGTTGATGAAAACTGCCCGCAATTGCCGCTCCAAGACATCTTTTAGTCGATCCGCCTGTGACGAGGCCAAGAAGATCGGCCATGGCATATTCGAACCTTCCATTGTAACCATCAATGATGGGTTTCGTTATTCCTGACCTATTCCAATACATTACCTATGCAAGGGAGATAATCTGCTACTAGGAAAGGAGAACTAGACGCTAAGGATTTCAAGCACGTTCTTTAATCGATTGTTGGAGACTAACTGACTCTAAGGGTGGTTGGCTCCAACTTCTCCCTCCTTCTGGCCCATTCTTTCCCTGCCCACCGGAACCTCCCCATGATTCGCTTCCCCAATGAACGGGGTTCCACTCCGACAGACTGCGGGAAACTGAGGAGCGACTGCTCTCATTTCCCTTTTATGTTGATAAATACCTGGATATCCTCCCAATTCCTCCAGAAACTCAATCCGTTATATCATGGGCCTCCGACCTTGGATTTCTTGCCCCAACGATCCACCTTAAATCGTATCTATCTTACTACTAGTACTACTTAGTACTTACTACTCTATCGATGCGGTCTGGTAGCATTCCAGTCAAGCCAATCAGGATTGCTGAACTGCTTAAATAAAGCCGCTGTCACATGTTTTCATTCCTACATTGATCTTAAAGCCTCACTGCTCTCTTAACATCTTTCCTTTGTTTCTCTTTTCCCCTCAACTTTTTCCTCGTAGAACCACAATCATGGATCGTGGCCTTTCAACAGGCACCGACTCTGGGAATGAGGGACTCCGTGAGAGGACTGTGCCACCCCAGTCCAATTCCGCGCTCAGTCCAGAGGCTCTCATGGCCACCGGTGACGTGGAGCCTAAGGACGAGATTGGGAGGGACTCAAAGACGTATGGCCGAACGCCAGATGGCACAGGTAAGTGTCCTGATACATTTTGCAAGTCATTCCTTCGGTATACGCCTTGGAGGCTATTTCTCCTGGTTTTGTGAAGTTCGAGTTCGCTAATGCTGGAATAACCCATGTACAGTGTTCACGGTCCCTCAAACCCATGACATGGTCTCTCAACTCCTGTCACCCTCGGAGCCTAAAAATCTTTCCGATATGATCGTTCTGGCTATCCTAGGCGTCCATATCATTCTTCTCCGGTGGCTTCCTGAAGCTGCCAGAGTACCCATCTTTGCGATGATCTATCTTTTCTGGCGTGCCGCTTATAACGCTGGAATTGGATGGCTTCTCCATAACCAGTCGAACCACAATACCCTTGTTCGCTGGGCAGAGAAGACTAAGATCTTCGTGGATCCCACTACGGGCCAGAATCCACACCCCGGCCTGTACAGTTTGATCAAACGAGAGTTGGAAACTAAAATTCCTAGGGACTATTCCTTTGAGAAGGCTCCTATTGAGTACAATACGTGGCTCGTCTTTAGGCGTCTGGTGGATTTGATCTTGATGTGTGACTTCGTGTCATACTGTCTCTTTGCTATAACATGTAGCCACCATCCTGCTAATGAGAGCGTGCTGATGACTGCCCTGCGGTGGTCAGCCGGCGTTGTTCTGGTTCTGTTCAACCTTTGGGTCAAGCTAGATGCTCATCGAGTGGTAAAAGACTTTGCATGGTACTGGGGGGATTTCTTCTATCTAATTGACCAAGAATTAACCTTTGATGGTGTCTTTGAGATGGCTCCTCACCCAATGTATTCGGTCGGCTATGCTGGATACTACGGTATCTCGCTCATGGCAGCAAGTTACAAGGTGCTGTTCATCTCGATTCTCGCCCATGCAGCTCAGTTCGCGTTCCTGGTGCTTGTCGAAAATCCACATATCGACAAGACCTACAATCCTCCTCCCCCTCGGAAACGTATGACGGACCAAGACGCCCAATCCACAACATCACAGTCTGCAGATTCATCCATCGCGCCAGCATCTGTTGATGAGCAAATTCCCCACGCGCCAGTCTATGCAAGCGGCCCACCTCCATCGGTCCACAACATGCTGGGGTTCCGCTATTTCGATCTGCATCGGACGACAGATTCCTCGTCCATGCTGGTCCAATTTCTCGTATTCGCCCTTACTATCCTGACTCCCTCAACCCCGTGGTATCAGTTCCTTTTTGTAGCTAACGCTACAATATGGAGACTCTGGTACTCGATTGGTATTGGGCACCTTCTTAATCGCCAATCGAACCGGAAATCTTGGACCCGGCACTTCGTTAAATATGGGGAAACTCCCCAGGAGGCATGGAGCCAGTGGAAAGGTACATATCATCTCAGCATGATCACGTGTTATACCAGCTTTATTGCTGCCGTATGGAAAATGTATACTTTCCCGGCGGATTGGGGCTACGGCCTTGTCCTGCTCCGGCACATTCTGGGTGCGGGCCTTATAAGTTTGCAGATTTGGACTTCTGTCAGCATCTACGAGTCCCTCGGTGAGTTCGGTTGGTTTTATGGGGACTTCTTCTTTGACGAAGCCCCCAAACTGACATATAACGGCATTTACCGCTTCCTGAACAATCCCGAACGTGTTCTGGGTCTAGCGGGTGTTTGGGGTGCTGTTCTCATTACGAGCAGCGGTGCCATCACTTTCCTTGCCCTCTTGAGTCATATTTTGAGTCTGGCCTTTATTCAACTCGTTGAGCGCCCGCATATGCAAAAGTTGTATGGCCGAAGCCTACGGCAGGATGCGGGTCTTGTTAAGAGCTTGAAGCGGTCTTTACCTCCTTCTCTGCAGCAACTTCATGGCAGCGTCGACAAAATCTTTGATGAGTCGTTCGAGTTTATCGAAGAGATTATTGATACTGCTCGTCCGAAACTCGCAGCTGGTGTCAACACTTTTGTTAAAGACACAACTGCCCTGTTCCAGAGCTATCCAGCACGTGTCACCATCTCTCGCATTGACGAAGACCTGGCTGGATATGACTCTCGTGACTACTCGTTGGAAATCGAAGGTACCGACTCGTCATCTTTGGCTGAATATGACGGAAGTCGCGACAGGGAGGGAGCCAACGCCCGTATGCCTCTCGACAGACGGGGTGACTTAAAAAACCTGGTTTTCGAATATGGTGCACCGGTCAAGGTCAAATGGACTGCGCCTCTCAACCATAGTAAGAAGGATTGGGTTGGACTGTACAGGGTTACCGATAACACCTCTCGGGAGGTGACCCGCGTTTCCTCCCAAGGAAGATGGATTGCCTCAAACGAAGGGTTCTACGATAACACAACGTGTGAGAAAGGGATCGTCACGAGTGACGTCGTTGCCCCTTCACAGCGTCAGGATGGCGACGGTCACGACCTTGCTACAGGAGAAGTAGCCTTTTCCGGTGACAAGCTTTTCTGGACTCAAGGCACCTTTGAGTTCCGCTACCATCACAACGGCAAACACAATGTCATGGCGATTTCGAGGCCTTTTGAGATTCGCATCCGCCGGTTTGACGAAGATCTACTCGAAGACGACCGTGGCATGACCCAGACTTCCGTGGAAAAGAGCTTATTGCCCGTTGTTCGCAACTGCTTCGACCGAGACCCAGAGATTGCACCGGAAACCTCGGAGGAACAATTTGGTTCGCTGGTTGATCGCGATGGTAAATACGCTAAGCGAGTAATCTTTGCCGTTCACCAGATGTGAGTTCTCTAGTCGGTCCTATTAATTTCACACTAACCATATAAAGGTTCGGTGTCGAATTTGCACCGGAGGTTGTTCGAGCTGATGGAACGATTCGCAACCTTGCCTGGAGAATATGCAATGCAAAGAGAGTTCTTGTATGTCCATACGTATTCCCACTCTCCTACCCTAAGACAGGAAATCAATATACACAAAAAATATGTGCTAACGATCTGTCCATCGTAGGCCCCTTACAGCATGTCACGAAATGGTACATCAACACCAACTGAACAAAAAGAGTAAATGATCATGTTGAAATTTGAATACTTGTTTAGTCAGTGATTTGATTTCATGATCATTTTTTCTTATGCTTATGGTGGATCCGAATAACGACAATCTTCATAGACCAGTCAAGATGAGGAACGGCGGTTTTGTCGAGCTTACATCATGCTATTCTTGGTTAACCGCTTCTTTAGGATTGAAGAAATCGCCGAAAGAGATGACATAGGTTGTAGTATTCTATTATAAATATGTAAAATGAATATAAGATTTGAAAATTTTTTGTATATAAACCTGCCCTTCCACATTTATGAAGGTTCCTTGAACAATATTAAAGTCCTTCGTAGTTCGTATCATGTATTAGCAATACTGCAATGGTTTATGAGTATCAATTATTTTTTTTCTATTGTCTTAACAAACAGATATCGTTGAATAGACTCCAGTCCCCTTTTCTGGGCATATTAGTAGAGCTATCCATAGTGATAGCTGGAAGTTGTGAGACCAGGGGCATTTCAAATTTTTACACGTCTAGTATTACGGTCCCAGTACCTAGTTGCAATTAATAGTTATAATCTGTATCTAGAAGGGGTTTGGTTACGATACGAAGGCCTCAGTAATTGATGCACAAGAAACGAACAGAAGTGAAGTAGTGTCATTATATATAATACATAAAGCTACCTAAGGGGTATGTGATCCTGTTCAAAGAGCAAGAAACCTACAATAAACTGTCAGCACATTGCTGCAAGACGTTGCAATTAATGTATTAAGCATGTTGTAATAAATTGATCAGCTAAGCCGGTTAATTCATCCCATCCCCTGCCGACCCAGATCCCTCAACCTGTCATCCAATACGGACGACGGGCCAAAGAAAACAGATCGACACAAGTCAAGCCTAACACCAAAAAACAGGGACAGCGCGAAGATACATGATGTAGCCCGCAGCCCTAACTCCACAACCTTCCTCCCTTCATTCGCCATCATTCGAAAGAAAGAGGTAAATGTAAGGTCCAGTATAAGGGAGCAGGGAATGTGGATCATTGTACTCCATAGCGTTGCTTGTTGATCAATGCAGGCTCGAGGGGCGGTATCTCGTAAAGAGATCATTGAATGGATTGACTTGTTGTCATCATACAGACACTTTGTAGTGGAATGGAGAAGTAGGGAAACTCCATACCTAACGATAACACGAACCCCTTCTTTGGTTACGCTTGAAATACAGAGCATACAGTACCTAAAATCTTCAAGAGCTTAGCAACTCGTTGTCGTGAAATTGCAACAAGTCAAGGGTGATAAAAGCTTCCGGGGAAAAAAAGATCAGGAGTTTTGGTAAGGTATTTTGTTTTCTTCAATGTATTTGCAGAAGCAGAACTGAAAAAAGGTTTCTCATCATAGAAGCATGGGACAGCTTGTGGGAAGCAAATAGAAAGATAAACTAAAAAATAACTCACTCAGATTGTTTACAGCATCCAGTAAGAATGAGATAAGAGAAAGCCTGTCTAATTGCCATCAGCAATAATATCCTAACGCAGTAACAAGACGGTAGCGATGTAAAAGAAAGACAGTATCAGATGGTGATGCATGTTGTTCAATGGCCCATTTGTTTGTCGCCAGAACTGAGATTTGGATCGTTTTCCTCATACGGTATGGATGTGAAATATTAGATTGACAGACTCACAGTAGAAATTTTAGTAGCTAGTTGTTGGTGAAATTATAGCAGTTAGGTGAAGCCCTCCATAATTGAGAAGGTAAGCTGCTTCAACAGCTGAGCATGTCGTGGAAGTGGAAGAAGAAAAAGGAAAGACGAGAATTTAAGTGGGAAGGAAACGAGGAAAAATTGGCGCCGACTCCACCTCGGTCAAACAGAGCAAACATCCCTCCCTCAAAATTGTAGATTTCCGTTTCTGGCTTTCGGCAGCAGCTCGACTTGGTTCGCAGTCTCAGCGACGTACAGGCTCGTCTTTCTTTCCTTGCAAGCTTGGAGAGAATGTCAAGTAATGTGTAATGACTGACAGAAGGAGAATCAATGGACCGCCTAGCGGCACGAGGCCCGCAATCTTTGCCTCCTCTCTCGATGCCTCTACCATTGCAGCTGCAAGACCGCAACGTCAAAGGCAACCAAATGAATTGCGGAAAATCTGTAAGGACTACTCCTTTCACTCTTTCCCTCCAGTGATACGATTGCTCACACCATGCTTTATATCAGTCCTGAAAACCGGCTTGATACCTTCTGCGTCTGGTTCCGCCTACCTTGAGTTTGAACCGTCGGCCTGTCTCTCTTCTGCACGATCATCTCCCAAGTCTCTCATCCCACCATCATCGGCGCTGAAGCTTGCATGCACTGTTCATGGTCCTAAACCACTCCCTCGCTCTGCTACGTTTTCGCCCAATTTGGTTCTCACGACCCATGTCAAATATGCCCCATTCGCTGCGCGGAAGAGGAAAGGACATATTCGCGATGCCAGCGAGCGAGATCTTGGTGTGCATTTAGAGACTGCTCTAAGAGGTGTCATTGTTGCCGAGCGTTGGCCAAAGAGTGGACTGGATATTACGATTACGGTTCTAGAGGCGGAAGATGACCGTTGGTGGGGTGATGCGCCGGACTCGCATGATTCCCCTTGGGGGATGATGAATGTGCTGGCGGGATGTATAACAGCGGCATCTGCAGCTATTAGTGATGCCCGGATTGACTGTCTCGATCTTGTGGCTGGGGGAGTGGCAGCCCTGGTCTCTGAATCGACGAAGGCGGAAGACTCGGCCCCGAGGCTGATGCTTGATATGGACCCAGCAGAGCATCGGTCTATTGTATCAGCATGTGTGGTGGCATATATGCCGTCTCGAGATGAAATTACAGAGCTCTGGCTCAAGGGTGACAGTTCAAAAGCGTCTCTTCGAGCCAATGATAAACGCCTTGGACATGATGCTTTAATAGATGGTGCCGTAGATGCAGCTCGAGGAGCACACACAGTCCTCGCGGAGGCAGTGAAAGAGTCTGCCATGCGCTTTGCTGGTTTAGGTTAGAGGAGGGCAGTTCTATTCAATGAGATTTAGAATCACGGCGCAATATCGTTCTTTGTCCCAATATCCTTTGTCTGTTGTTTTTGTTGTCAGTGAATGCACATGGTCCCTGAGCTTCAGCTGCCTTTTGCATTGGGATTTGCCTAGATGAGGTGACGCTATGAGTGAATGAAACAGAAACAGCTTGTTTGCTCCATACTTCATTTTTCACTTCTGAAAACTTTAGAAGCAGCATAATACTGGCAGACTGCTATCCTTACATTCATCGCTCCTTAACCTTCCCTGATCATCTTCAATTCTCTCCGCAAGCTTTCACTCAGGTTTCAGCTCATCTCCATTCAATTTACATGCATAGTCTTCTCCAGGTTAAAATGGCACCCCGAACCAAAGCAGATGCGAATCTCCTCTTCCTCTTTGTGTGTCTGCAGCACGTAGGCGATGGCTCGGTAAGCTTCTAATCCAGTAAAGGCATTTGTAACTACTTCTATCTCTGCCCACATGTTTCTCTTGAAGGACATTGTTATCTTGTTTATATTGGTACTAATGATCGATTCTTACGGTGTCCTAAAAGATTGACTTTCGGGCCGTAGCTGAAGCTACCAACCTAAACGTTCCAGCCGCACGCATGCGCTACACTCGCCTGAAGAAAGCTCTTGATACCGAGATCATCAACGGAGCTGTCGATCTGACCAAAACTGGCGACTCTGGTGATGCATCTGAGCCCTCGTCGTCTCCAGCCAAGACAGCGACTCCCGTGAAGAAGCAGCGGGCATACAAGCGTAAGAAGACACATTCAAGTTTGATATTTACGGGGGCGAAGACACCATTGCCCAAGAGTGATTGAGGTCAGGAAGGTCTGGGTACTCGGTTGCAGACAACTGTCCAATAGCAACGTGGATTGGGTGTCCGTTGAGGATGAAAGCGGTTCTTTCGACAGGTTGTTTTACAGAGGTTTCGGCGATTGGCGAAAGGGTGGGAATTAGGTTAGGTCATCATCAGGGAGATGAATGGGATTTGTAGCGTTAATTCGGTGCGTTTTTTGCCGTTACAGCATGTCATCTACTGGACTACAGCAGTAGCACCTATAGATAGATATTCTAGGTAGTATTGAACTCAGATATGCACATGCCGGATTAGAGTTTAACGCTGTAGTTCAAGGCGTATACTTACGGAGTACAATCGCGATCGCCTTCCTTTTTGATCACAGCGTCACCCTGTCGATCTCGAGCTCCCTCAAGCTTTTTGGGTATGTCCTTCTTTCTCTCAACCCTTGATCGAGGCGCGTTTGACCCCACCGGGCAGCCCGTGTCGGCGTGTCCAGCGGCGGCGTCTCAATAGTAAGAACAAATGCTACTTACTCCACATTACTCACCTCGGAATGTTCCTACCTGTCATAAGTTTCTTTCAGGGGCAATTTTGATACGCACGGCTTTGGACTGCTAACTGTGAGATCTGCTTGCGAAACGGCATGGAATCACATCGCACTAGCCATATAGGAGGGGCCACGGTTGGACACTAGCTTAGCTGGATGGACAGGGCTCCCTGCATTATATGACATGGCTGGAGGCCATCGCAGATCTAGACTCACGATATATTGATCCTCGAGTGTCTAGTCGCACGTTGGGATTCCCTGGCTCAAAAAACTGCCCATCTTGCATCTGGATCCTGGAGCCGCGGAGATTGGCCCGACAGCCAAGTAAATAGTTTAGACCAGATCGGTTTAGTAAGTTAGCTATCCCGTCCATCTGCTCCGTAATCGATTGGTTCTTTTTTTGATTTCGCTTAGCTCGCCGGACCAGATCCGCCATTGGGTTGGTGATTATGATCGTTGGCGCAAATACCCGATCTTGCTAGTCGTGCGTTGGCGCGGTTCACAAATAGAACAGCGCTTGCTCGACTAGTCAGGAGAACTGCATCCATTGCCTTCTGGTTTTTCGCAAGGATATTAGTATACCCAATTGATAAATCAATATTGTACTCCGTACGGAGTAACCACTCGTTACATGTGCAGCCGTAGCACGTGGCCATTTTTGTATAAGGGTGGAATACATCATTATAGGAAACTTACCAAGACTTCAGTATGAAGTCTTAGTACATACGTACCTAGGTATGTCTGTAGTGTCCAAGAATATGCAGAACAGACCGTACCATCGCTTCACTCGCTGGATTGGCCGAGAACACTATATATGATGCTAGAGTTTATAGACGCCTCTAAAGGTCTAGTCTCCCTATATCTATGCCTTTACCCTGAAAACTTTAGTCTGCGAATCTGCACCGAGGCTGGTCAATGGATGGCGTCTGACTGGAATGAATGATGCAAAGATCTAAAACAAGTGGGGGCACTCTTTGTGAGGACATCGCAGGTTGTCCGGGTCTGGATGATTTAAAGAACTACGCAAGCCGGCAGAGGAGGAGTTCTTGAGTTATGAGATGGCACCATAAATGGGAATGGGAATTGGATGGAACGATAATGGGGAGCACTCTTCTGGATAATACCTTTTTTTACTGTGGTCTTACGATAATGGAATATGCTTGATCTTTGGCCCGTTGATCAGGCCATCTTTTATGTGGTGATATTTTTGCCGTCAGCTACTATGTAATGGGGCTGTAGGTCTTATAGCATTATAAGTTGAATTTTATATTGTCTGCAACTTTCTCTCTATATTTCTTACCCCGGTATACCAGAACCACCCACGGCAAACACAAGCAATATTTTGCTAAATAAACGGTGCTCTGCAGTAGTCAAGACAAAATCTAACACGATAGTCCATTCCAATTAGAAACACAAACTGTTTGTCAAGGAGTAACCAAAGTGTTGATTCCAGACGTCAGAGGTATTGCCGTTGGGTATTGCTCGCATGCAACATAATACAAAAAACGAACTCAAGAATCATATCAGTAAGTGTGACTAAGTAGTAAGGCGCAGCACTTGTGGTTGGCTGTTTTGAGATCGAGTTCATGTGCATAACCTTTTCGATTTTTGACCTATCGATTGCCCTACCTTTTTTAACCCTCATGCTTTCTCTTTGTCCGTTCTTATCACATGCCCAGTACGCTTTGGAGACTGGGTAACTATCTGCCAGATGAATAACGTAATGAAAAATCTTAGATACACACATAGAAGCTGTCCTGTTGCGTCGATTATGGTACCTGTCATATTGGCCGTCGACGCGATGGATGCACGGGGTCTGGTCTTTGCGGCTTGTCCCCATTTACTCCATCTTTGCGTGGAGACACGATGAGGATATCTTCTGGTGCCCAGACACCAGAAGAGGTGGTGGAAATGATCCCATCCTCGTTGAATTGCTTGCCAGTATGATGGAAACATGGAAAGCAAACCACGTTGCCCACGTCGGCTGGGCTACCTGTCTCCCCATCACCTAACAGAACGGTACTAACTACCTGCCAAAGTAGGTATGTACGTACTTTGTCCAAGGACAGTATGCATACCGATAACCCGGTGTTTGGGGACGATCGTCCCTGATGTATACCAATAGGCGCATCGTCTGATACCCGCTATTTTCGTGGATGAACGCGCGCCCTATTACCACTCCATTTCTCGGCTCCTGACTGGCAAAACCCCACCAGACTCTAGGCTAATAACTTTCTTTCTGCCTTTTCTTTCTTTAGAGCGATCCACTGGCTTACGGGGGCGGATTTTACGGTACATCCGGTACAGTGGGCCCACCTGCTATCTGTTCTCATCCCCGCTGGCATTTTGGCCTGACTGCAAGACCTGCAGATCGAATCCAATGCGACCGCTGTCAAGTGGAGTTTGAGCTCTACCTAAGGAGTCCATGCGTGATTGTCACCGCGGCGTGGGACTTTGCTGCATGTTCTACACAACTATCACCTGCGGTCAGTCAACTCCATCCTCGGTTTTTCTTGGGCCTGAACTGTTGATGTCTGTCCCTCCAATGTATGTTGAGCTGAACATCGTGACCAGGGTAATAGAGCCATCCAGACTCCATCGGCTTCTAAAAGAATTTCCCGCCTGTTCCCGTCCGCTCAGCCCCATTTTCTCGTCTGTCATTCCGTCGCAATGGATCATGGAGACTGGACCACTTCTCGCCCCTGATCCAGGAACAGGTATCGGATCTGCAACCCAGGCGAACTTCGATGGTGGGTAAACCTCTTTGTCTTCCTCGTTTTCTCTCAACCGGTTGCCCTCTTTTTTCGCACTCTCTTTCCCCTTCTCTCATATGTCACTTGCTTTGAAATCCCCTCCTTCTACTCATAATGCCTGAGCCAAGGCGCCGTTGAGTCTCGTATACTTAATAATACAGTAAAACTCATACACATTGACTATGACTGCAACCTTAATTTGTATTACCATATCTCAAAATCCTTTCCTTTGCTTCTACTAATCCGCAATTGGCCATTTTATTTTCTGTTGGCTTGACCGTCTGGACTCTCGGAATTCCTCCCATTGTGAGCTCTTTTCTTTTCTTTGTCTCTCTTTCTCTCTCTTTTTTTAAAGACGGCCCTTCATATACAGTCCGTTCCATGCAATTAGCGCAACATGGTCGCCCTGAGGCGATTTTTTCATGTGGAGAGAGGGCCGACGTTGGATCCCGATGAAAACGGCCTTCGCTCAGAATGCCAACCTCACAATGGTGGTCATTATGCAGAAACTTCCCAGCAGCTAAACGTGGAGCACCAATTCCAGCAAATTGAAAAACAATTCGAGATGATGCATGACCAATTGCAGGCACGGCCCTTGTCTTCTCGATCGCAAGCACTACCTTCTCATGCTTCAAGCCGCTCTACAGAACGGAATCCTCGCCATGTGGACTTGCTCGATGCTTTGTTTTCCTCGCACCGATACCATATCCACTCCACAAGCACATTATTGCCCATTACTCCATACAATGAAGATATTGCTGAGCGGAACATGACCCAGTTTCTTCAAGTCCAACCGCGCAAAAAGAATGTGTATTCACGCCTCTTGTCTGCACTCTATCAGGAAGACGTGGCCGATAGAAATATTAGGAATGGCAGACGAAGGAGCCGCTCACTCTCCCGTATGAGGGGCGGTAGCTCTGGGGGTCATCTTCAATCAAATCACGGCAATATCCCTAGGACCGAAGAAGGCAGAATAGTAGGGTCAACTTCTCGAGTTGCAAGCCTCCTGCCCCCGTCTCGCGCCGAGAGACTAGTTCCTCCCTCGCAAGAAACTACTCTAGGTTGTGGAACTTCCATACGTCAGCAGAGATCAGCGCCAAACCTATCCGCTGAGCGAACCAAAGTGCCTCGAGGGACTGGTCCAAACCCTGGTGATCGTCTAGGCGTGCCTCCGGCCTACAAGCAAGGAAATAGGTGGAGCAACACTCCTCTACCAGACAGTCCGACGTTGCCCAGCACAATGAAGCAGGATAAGAATGTCAATGAAAATCGACCAACGCAGAATAGATCATTAAGCTCGAGTTCGGGTAACCGAAATCCACTGATCTCCCCTCGGCCAGGTTGTAGAAGGAACGTGCGAGAGCTTTCCATCAATACGGAATTGGCAGCTCGCGGGCGGCCCGCCACAAAAATCACACATCGTGCTATACAACCACCGACGCCGAATACCCTCGAAACGAGGCAGAACCTGAGTATTGCAGAGGTTATGAATAGCCCTCTACCACTAGGAACCCCAACATCCGTATCTCCCCTACATTCTGACCAGAAAGTGTCGGAGATTATGGATATGTTCAGACAAGCATATATTTCGTCCCAAGCTATCACACCACACCCCACATTTGAGACTCTCCAAGATGCGATTGTCCGGGAAATCAACTCCCATGAGGCTTTTCGACGGGTTCCTGTTCCCGACCCAGGACCTCCTTTCACTCCATCCCCATCGGAAGAATCATTTGACGGGGTTCTGAATGTGAAAAGGTCTCCAGGCTCTGGATCAAATAGGACTGTTTCTCTTAAAGATGGTCAGTTTTCCAAGTTGATTAGACGGAGCTCCTTCAAGAAGCATACGAGAGCCAGGACCTCTGAGACGGGCAAGAGCATTTCCACGAGTGTCCCCTCAAAAGCTTTCCGACGAGCCTCAGAAACGACCAACCGACGAAGGCACACCGATGCCCCACCTCCAACCCCCGGATTCTTCGATACATTGGAAACAAGACCGCAGAGAGGTACAGTGAGACCCGAAGAACAAGTGACCTACATGGACCTGCTCCTCCGGTCGCAGAAGTCTTCTTCAAACCCTGGTCCAAAGAGATACCCCGACTTGGGAAGCCATTTGGATCATGTTCAACGCATGAGTACCGCCTCTCCTGACATGTCGGAGAGGTCAATTCCTGCGCCTTCCGTGCTGCACATGCGTGCACAAACATCCGTTTCGTCTGGCGATAGTCGAACCAGTTTTTCGGCGTATGAGAGTGACGAAGAGGTGATCCAGTTACCTAGCGTTGGAGTCCCGTTCGTTCAGATCCAATGTGTGGACGAACATAACTTGTCTCATGTTGCCGAGAATGCAACGTCGCGAAATGCTTATAGGCTCATGAATTGGCCTCGAAAGTCAAACAGGAGTATCAGTCTCCGAGGAAATGCCATTAAAAATGGTAGCAGCCCATCCCAACCGACTCCGAGGATCGAGCGTTGGGTGCGAGGAATGCGCTCTGTCGAGTCTTATTGATTCCTTATGCGGCAGATCTAATTGATGAAAGTGCCCCTTATACTACCTTACCAACTATGTTCATACTTTGTAGTTTTTCTTTATCTTCTTGTCTCTCACTCTGACTTTCACTCACTCTGTTTTATTAATATCCATGGACATACGTACCGGCATGTCGGAAGTCAGCTATATGTGACTGCGACATATTTTGTCTTATATGTCAACTCCTATCCTTTCTCCCTCCGCCACTCGGAGGGTATTCTTCTACAGTTCATTGGGAGTTTCTCGTTCACTTTATGTATTGCATAGTCTTTCTGCATCCTTTACTGTCCCTGTTTGCATCTTAGCGCCATCAGCATTTCTTCCAATTCAAATCTTAGCAAAGAGAAATACAGTAAGATCTGGATAACAAAACACCTCAAAACAAAGGAATATTCATAGAGATCGCATCCGCTCGTAATTATTCAACCCGTTAACTACAGAAACAGTTATAACTACTCCCTTGCTAACCCGAACAACCCCTTTTTCACTCACACCCACAATGCATCAAAACGATTCTTTCATTTTCTAAATGCCTGCATCTGTTCTTCGGTTACGTCTTAGATAATCTCTGCCATTTACTTTATCAAGCACACCATAGGCGTCTTTTATCGACAGTAATAATGGCCATAGAGGCTATAGGAACCATACAACACAATTCGTAAGGGCAGCTAACTTCCTATGCTTAGTAGGAACCTGTTGGATAGGAGTTAGCAGGAATGTGAATGTTCTAATGTGGACTTCCACTTACGTCCAAACATGCACCATTTCTCAGCCAGTCGGCTGCACTGCGGGTTAGTGCACTTAGTCACTCCAGGGGTAATACCCTCCGGCTGGTCGAAGGGAATGCAAAGGGACTTGGCTCCCATGCTGGGGGCCCGCGCATCTTGGGGCTCATCCGAGTCTTCCTCCGCCTTGCGTGCGCTCATGTCCTTGATTTGGTCTTCGCACTCCTCGGTAAGACAGTGGGGTATGATACAGATGTTCTTGTCATTGAGGGCAGGGACGAAATCATCCCAGTTGGTAATAAGCTTTCTGTGGGAGCGGTATTCGTCATCCGCACGCTTGAAAAGGTCATTGTGGATGGTTTCGAGCATAGCCGGCACAGCCGTCGCAAAATCGGGAATGGGAATAGTGGTCTTGCCATCCTTGCCCGGGACATCACGGCGAGCAGCAGTGACAAAGTGGCCCGCAGACTCACCGGGGCCGAACTCAATACGCAGTGGCACACCGCGAAGCTCCCAATCGTTGAACTTCCAGCCAGGGGAATATCCTTCTCTCTTGTCGCTAATCGCTCTGACACCGGCGGCCTCAAGAACGGCGACAAGGCCATCGATTTCAGCGTACAACTTTTCGCGGTCCTCGTCTGAGGTCTTGGCAGTAATGCCGACAGGAACGATGACGGTTTGGGTCTCTGCAACGCGAGGAGGGAGAACCAATCCGCGGTTATCACTGTGGATCATTACCATGACACCCAAAGTACGAGTAGAGAGACCCCAGGAGTTTTGCCAGACATGGATAGGAGGCTTCTTCTCGTCACCCTTGACAGAGGGATCCTCAACGGTGATGTTGAACATCTTGCTGAAGTTCTGACCAAGACCGTGAGATGTTCCGCCCTGGATACCACGACCAGTGGACGGGATGTACCCCTCAACGGTAGTCGTGTACAGTCCACCGGCGAACTTCTCTTTCTCTGTCTTTCGACCCTTGATAACGGGAACAGCTAAGAGTTCCTCGTAGATCTGGGCATAGTAGTCAAGAATTTGCATCACTTCTTCGTGAGCACCCTCTTGGGTCAGATGAGCGGTGTGTCCTTCCTGCCAGAGGAACTCTCTGGTTCTAAGAAAAGGCTGGGGATGCTTGAACTCCCACCGGACGACCGAGTTCCATTGATTGAGCTTGAGGGGCAGGTCTCGATGGCTCCTGATCCACTTCGAGTAGTAAGGGTACATCACAGTTTCCGAGGTCGGGCGGATGGCAATCTTTTTCTCAAGGGGAGTCGAGCCTCTAAATACATGGAAAGAAAAGGGAATCAGTTAGTCTAGAAACCGGGTATAGAGATTCAAGAGAACATACGCATGAGTCACCCAGGCTACTTCGGCAGCAAAGCCCTCAATATGGTCTTTCTCCCGCTTCAAAACATCTTCCGACACAAACAGAGGGAAGGAACAGTTCCTGACTCCCATCTTTTTGATCCGCGTATTGAACCAATTTTGGATTTCCTCCCAGATATAGAACGAAGCGGGCTGAGTCATATCAGTCTATGCGACGGGAAAAGAACTAATAAACACAGTAAGGGTCGACGCGAAGGAGAGAAAAAAAAAAATAATGTATATATATACCTTGAGAATGAAGCATCCGGAAACATCGTAGTAGTCTAGCATGTCTCCCTTTGTAAGAACCTGTTGGTACCACCCGGGGAAATCCTCCTCCTTGGAGACATCAATGCCAATGAGAGCAGCGCCATCGATCTTCTTCTTAGGGGCCTTTGGCGCCTGCTTTGCAGCACCTTTGTTAGCAGCCTTGTCTGCCTTCTCGGATGCCAGCTTAGCAGCCTTTGCGGCCTTTTTGGCGGCGTTCTTGGATACTTCGCCCTGAGGAGCATTGTTATCGGCGGGGTTTTGGGTGCGATCAGGAAGAGTCTGAGAGGCCGCCGAGTCAGTAGCGACTGGAGGATCAGCAGGAGACTGACTAGCCATGTTGCGGGATACTCAATTGGAAACCAGTCAGCGGAGCGACACGACGGGGAGAGGGGGGGAGGAAACGACGGAGAGGATATGCCGAATAGAGAGAGAGACTGGCGCCCCTCGTTAAAGTGGGATGCTTTGAGGCGCACTCACCGCCAGTGCCCGGCAGAATTCTTAGCGCGAACGACGACCAAAAGACGACGAAGCCCGATCAGCAGTCGAATTCTCTGCCACGCACCTCTCCTCCTTCTCTTCGGTAATCATGGCAGGCATCTTTGAGCAGCCGCGGAATGCGGACACTCTTTGTGAGATCCTTCTTCTTCCCCGTCGACCGCTTTACCCTGAACCCGTCCACTGACCAAGCTCGCACAGTCCTGGGAGGCCAGAAAATCACCGGTGCTGATGTCCGGGAGCAGAACGGTATGTGATAATGATGAGGAGGATGATAAAGATCGTCTCCTTTCGATTCGGTGGTCCTGTACAGCCATACTAATGATCCCCATGCATGCAGTCCTTGCAACGCAGGCTATTTCAAATGTGGTCAAGAGCTCCTTTGGCCCCTCAGGCTTGGACAAGATGATGGTGGATGATATCGGCGTACGAACTATTCTTCAACCTGCGTTCCTCCCAAACAGTCTTTCTGATAATATCTAGGATGTAACGGTCACGAACGACGGTGCAACCATCCTGAGCCTACTTGACATTGAGCATCCCGCCGGCAAGATCCTGGTCGACCTGGCTCAACAGCAGGATAAGGAGGTGGGTGACCTTCATGTGTTTGAGGCCTCCGTAAGGACGGTGACTGATATTCTTCAACTAGGTGGGAGATGGAACGACTTCCGTGGTTTTGATTGCTGCCGAACTTTTGCGACGAGCCAACGAATTGATGAAGAACCGTATCCACCCCACGACCATCATCACCGGCTACAGACTAGCCCTCAGAGAAGCTGTTAAGTACATGAACGAAAACATCACTACAAAGGTGGAATCGCTTGGGAAGGATAGTTTGGTGAACATCGCCAAGACATCGATGTCCAGCAAGATCATTGGTTCCGATGCCGACTTCTTCGCCAACATGGTTGTGGATGCGATGCTGTTGGTGAAAACCACAAATCAGAGGAACGAGGTCAAGTACCCCGTCAAGGCTGTAAATCTGTTGAAGGCTCACGGTAAGAGTGGGACGGAATCTATGCTGGTCAACGGCTACGCCCTTAACTGCACCGTTGCTTCTCAGGCTATGAATACCCGGGTAACGGATGCGAAGATCGCTTGTCTGGACATGAACCTGCAGAAGGAGAGAATGAAGCTTGGCGTCCAGATCACAGTCGAAGATCCCGACCAGTTGGAGAAAATCCGTCAGAGGGAAGCTGGAATTGTCCTGGAGCGGGTCGAGATGATTATCAAGTCTGGAGCCAATGTCGTTTTCACTACGAAGGGTATCGATGACATGGTCCTCAAGCTGTTCGTGGAAAAGGGTGCTATGGCTGTCCGGCGTTGCAAGAAGGAGGATTTGAGGCGTATTGCCAAAGCCACCGGTGCAACTCTAGTCAGTTCGCTATCGGATCTCAATGGAGATGAGAAGTTCGAGGCTTCGTACCTGGGACACGCGGAGGAAGTCGTGCAGGAACGGATATCGGATGACGAGTGCATTCTCGTTAAGGGAACTAAGGTCCATACCTCGGCTTCGATTATCCTACGTGGAGCCAATGATTTCAGCTTGGATGAGATGGAGCGTTCGGTCCACGATTCTCTGTGTGCTGTCAAGCGAACCTTGGAGAGTGGCAGCATCGTCCCCGGAGGTGGTGCTGTCGAAACAGCCCTTCACATCTACCTTGAAGAATTTGCTGTCACGGTGGTATGTATCAATTCAAATCTTCTTGGGTCGGGGGGGTCACTAACAACATTTTCCAACGGACAGGGCTCCCGGGAACAACTCGCTATTGGTGAATTTGCCCAGTCCCTGCTGGTGGTCCCCAAAACCCTGGCTGTCAATGCGGCGAAGGATTCGTCTGAACTTGTTGCGCAGCTCCGAGTCCGCCACGCTCTTTCCCAACGGGTGCAGGACGGCGATGCCAACGAAGAAGAAAAGGCCATTGCCAAGAAAAAGACGTACCGGAACTACGGTCTTGACCTGACCAAGGGACGGGTCCATGATGCCCTTAAGGCCGGAGTGCTGGAGCCTAGTATGGGCAAGGTCAAGCAGCTTAAGAGTGCCGTTGAAGCCTGTATCGCCATCATGCGTATCGACACCATGATTAAGCTGGATCCGGAAAGGAAGGAGGATGATGGACATGGTCACTAAAGCCCAACTGACAGTCAAAGACATATGGCCTCTTTTTTTTTGGATCTTTAGACTTAGGGTGAAGAAGAAAAAGTATAATAAGATGTTATGAGTACAAATTCTATACCGTGACAATGCCCACCTTCGTACGCTTAGCGGCTATAACCATGAATAATAACTTGTACATTTGTAAAATATCCTCCCAACTGGACCCAAACACTCCGTACGGCCTCAAGGGGATTTAAAGCAAATAACTCATCGCAGCAATTGGTTTGTATCGACGCTGTTGACCAGAGACAGAATGTAAACCTACAAGATCAAGTTCATAAACTTCCTCCAATCCCATTGAACCCAAACAATAGACCAGATGATTAAGTCCCATTTTGCATATGAATCTCTTGCTATGCAGTGTTCGTTGTAACAGAAAATCAACAAGAGGCGGAAGCCTTCTAAAAAAAAAAGAAAAAAAAAACCGCCCGCTAAATGAAAACAAACTATGCATCGACGCCTTGAAAATGCTTGCAAGCGCGAACCAAAAGCAACGAAAAGGGATTTCACCTTTGGTAGATCAATCATTGATCTTCATCATTATTTGAATCCTTCGTATCAGCCCAGCCGCATCGCCACCTTCTACCATCGGCCTCACCACCTGCTCGAAGTTCTCTAGCGTCAGGTCCTTCACGCCAGCATCTAGCACTGTAGTCATCGCTGACCGTAATGAGATCACCATCTACAGTCCACGAAACAGCAGAGACCTCTTTTCTGTGGCCTTCAACGAGAGGGGCTCCAGATTGGTATATTGGCACGGTGTCCTCCAATCGCCCAGACAAGCCAACTCCGGAGTTCACGCGCCGTAGGCCAGAACGAGTGGAAGGAAACGAGGCTCGATGAGCTGACTGCGCCGCCCCAGCCGCCGACTTTTTTGCAGAATGAAGGAATCGTTCATCGGTAGGAAATAGGACGGCACATTGATCTGTACTCCCCAAAGCCAGCATTTCTGGCTTGTCCCCAGCGGCCTTTCGAATACCAGCCTTGACGTAGAATGAGGCAACCTGTAGGCGAGGGTGGCGAAAGCCATACAAAGGGCCAAGGCCTTCTTTATCAGAGCCCCCGGACCGGCGTGGACGGTGATTGTTCAATGAAAGCTCAGGGGCATGGCCAAGAATCAGATGTGAGGTTGAATATGCGTAAACCGTGCCATCCCGACATAACGTGTAAAGCCTTGAACCGTCTCCGCCTAGCGTCATTGAAGTTAGGCCGAAGCGCCTATATCGGACGTGGCTATCTGGTTCTCGAGTGGTGGAAAGAGGAAGAACAGGCCGTCCACGACGGTTGTTATGCGCCGTGCGAAGATCCCATAACCTCACACATGCATTTGCTTCAGAAGCTGTGACGAAAAGGTTTTCACGCCCAGGGGGGAGAAAGGCTAAGGAGGTCACGGTAATGTCGGAGCGTCCAATTTGAGGTTCTAACTTATCCGATGCGGATACCTGAGGCATCCAAGCATGGGCACCATGTATCGTGTTTAAAACTTGAGGGTACGTCATTTTGGAGGCGATAGGCGCGGTAGAGTAATCGGATTCGGATTCGAGCGAGCACCTAACCTGCAAGGAAGGCTTCTCGAAACCCTTGCACCGAAGGTCCCAAATATTGACATTACCGTCACGGCTACAGGTCGCAAGGACTTTATTATTTGCTGCAGGTTGAAACTGCACTCGCTTCACCGAAGAGACGTGGTTTGCAAGACAATATATCGGCTTCTGTGTGGCCATGTCAATCACCACGGCCGTTTGGTCCCCTGAAGCCGTTGCCAACAGCATATCGTCCGAAGAAAACTCCAAGTCCATAATGGCGTTCATGTGGGGACGGAAGGAAAGGTAAGCTTTTGAGAAACCATTCTTGTCGTCCTTTGCAGAGTCCAATAACCGAATACCACCTTCCTCGTCGCCTACCGCAACGAGAGTGTTGGCTATTCGCTCGTCAGCTAGTATCCTAAAAGAGGACCCGATAGGTCCCATGCTACTTACTATTGCATGAGGCAGTGCAGAACGGGAGAGCAAGACGATCTCCGGTGGAGCTGGTGCAAGTATGACTGTCCGTTGGCCGGGAATAAAATGATGATGTTAGATCTTGCCAGCCTAGGCTATGGTGAGCATGTAGCATGAACACGTATATGTAGATTGTTACCAACCTGCCCCAGAGTTGGCCCGCGTAGTAACTCGGTTTGCCCCCGCACCCAGCACACTTCGCATGAAAAATCCCCCTGATGTCTGTAGCGCCTCTGAACGTCGAATGGGTAAAACTTGGCGAAATGGCCTAGGGGCAGCAAGTGGTTTTGGCGGACTGAACTGGATCTTATTGCTGGCTTCCACATCACGAACTGGAACATGCAACTCGTCCGTATCGTGGTTTGGGGACCGAACGCGAACTTTTCGTAGTGGCGACGACTGTAAGGGAGAGCCAATGGATGAAAAAGAAAGCTTCCGTTTCCTGCTCGGCGTCCGCATAAGATCTGAAGGGTCGGGCCTGGTCCCAACAGCTTTCAATGTCCTTGTGAACGCCGGCCCTAGGCGATTAACAGCGGGCGAGCTGAGGGCCTTCAGGGCTTGCCGATTGGTCCTCACGGTGCCTACATTGCTTCCACTATCAAGTAAAGAACGAGGTGTGAAAAAGCGTCGAAATGATCGTGGAGTCACAGGGGGAGGTTTTTTTGGCTTGCGTCGGACGCCAGCATCAGATGCTATGGACGGCGGCGAGGAAGGGATCTCCTCGCAGGAGAGAGGGAAAACTGGTTCTGATCGTGGTACCTCTGGAAGATCATGACTGCCATCCATTGTGCCCCAAGGACAAGCAACTGCACAAAGACATTCTACAGAAACGAGGGGATGGAAAAGAGGGTGCTGGGGCTAAGTGGCCACGCTGAAGCATGGTGGAGCTGGCTAGTAAGACTTCAGCAATCCGCGGAGCGAGACTCGTGTCGACGTGCTTTTTTCGTGACGCGAGGGACCCGAGACAGCAGGCGGTGAGAGTCCAATTTAAGAGAGCAGGTAGCTGCCTGATGCGGCAGGCGGTCGAGATGGATTTTACTATCGAGAAATTTTAATTTTTTTTCCGCAAATTTGTATTCCGGATCTAGAGCGCTGCGCTTGAGCCCCAGACTACATTCAGTTTCAGCGGTCATGGCTCCAGTAAAGCGCAAAGGTGCCTCCGCGGAAGAGGTCGTCACCCGTCAACCTCAAAAACGAGTACGGGTTGGAGCTGAAGATCGCAAAAACGACCAAAAGAGACAGAGTGCTGGCTCTTCGGGAAACAGCAAGACCAAACATGAGACCAGCGCTGCTGCGAAGGCATCCGAGCTTACAGTTTTGCGTGACGATGAACCATCGTTTCCTCGGGGTGGAGGAAGCGTTTTGACGCCTCTCGAGCGCAAACAAATTCAAATTCAAGCAACGAAAGATGTCCTGTTCGAGCAGAAAGGTGCTAAACGGTCTACCGGTGATTTTGAAACTGGAGATGATGATGAGGGTGAGGATGTGCAGATGGAAGATGTGGGCGACAGTACGGCCAAAAAATCCCGGAAACGAAAGATCAAAGGCAGAAACCGTGCTGAACAGGAGGCTCAAGATAAGCAAACGGTGCGAATTGAAGGCCTCAATTTCAAGGTATATTTAACCACATTTTGACATATTGGTGGCTAGTAACAAATACTAACAACGTCCAGCGAATTGTGCCAGGAACGATGGTATTAGGTCAGGTTTCAAGTATTAATGCTCACGATATCGGCCTTTCTTTGCCCAATAACCTCACCGGCTACGTCCCTCTGACCGCTGTCTCGAAGGTGCTGGAAGATAAACTTGAGAGTATATTAAAGGAAGACGCTAGTGACGACTCTGGCTCCGACTCAGATGAGGAATCTTTCGACCTGAAAGATTACTTCTATCTGGGCCAGTATCTGCGTGCATATGTTGTGTCTGTGGGGAGCAATGCGGCAGATGCTAGTTCCAAGAGTAAAAAGCGCATTGAGCTTACAGTCGACCCAAGACAAGCTAACACTGGCCTTTTGAAATCCAACCTTGTCAATGATGCCACCGTTCAAGCATCAGTGGTCAGCGTTGAGGACCACGGTTTGGTCATGGATTTGGGAATCGAAGGTTCCGATGTCAAGGGATTTATGTCTTCGAAGGAAATTGACCCCAAGATCAATTATTCAAACATAAAGCAAGGATCTGTGTTTTTGTGCATGGTCACGGGCCAAAATGTCAATGGCAGCGTCATCAAATTGTCCGCTAACCTCCAGTCTTCCGGGTCAATAAAAAAGTCACATTACCTCACTTCGGCGCCCACTATTAATGCTTTCCTTCCTGGTACTGCAGCAGAAATTCTTTTGACTGAAGTTTCCTCGAATGGGATTAGTGGAAAAATTATGGGCATGCTGGATGCAACAGTGGATCTCGTGCAGTCTGGTGGTACTTCAGGTAAAGACGACTTGACGAAGAAGTACAACATCGGGGCTAAAATTAAGGGACGTCTTGTCTGCACTTTTCCTGCCTCTGAACCATACAAGGTCGGCTTCTCAATGCTTGATCAAGTTCTTAAATTTTCGTCTGGCAGCAATGGGCCAGACTCCTCCTCTGATGCTCCTGCTATTTCTGCAATTGTACCTGAGGCTAAGGTTATCAAAGTTGATCCTGGGCTCGGTGTTTACGTACAACTCGGATCGACTAAACACATTGGATTTATTCATGTGTCAAGGTTAGCAGACGGTCAGGTTGAAAACATCTCGGAGGATCACGGGCCGTTCCGAACCGAGTCTGTCCATGAGGCACGCGTTATAGGCTATAGTGCACTCGACAGCTTATACCTGTTGTCTTTTGAAAGAAAAGTAATTGACCAGCCTTTCCTTCGTATCGAGGATGTGACTGTAGGCGCCGTGGTCAAAGGGAGGGTTGAAAAACTTGTGATTGGTCCGTCAGGTGTTGAAGGTCTGATTGTGTCTCTAGCTGACGGTATTTCTGGACTCGTTCCATCTATGCACTTTGCCGACACACCTCTTCAGTTCCCCGAAAAGAAGTTCCGGGAGGGCATGAATGTCTCTGCTAGGATCTTGTCAGTGAGTTTGGAAAAGCGCCAAATACGGCTGACCCTGAAGAAGAGCCTCCTGAATAGCGAATCTGCAATTTGGAAGGACTATCAGGACATAAATCCGGGGACACAGTCCCCGGGAACAATTGTGAATATCAAATCAAATGGTGCTGTGGTTCAGTTCTATGGCTTCGTCCGTGGTTTCCTTCCGGTCTCGGAAATGAGCGAGGCCTACATCAAGGACCCCTCTCAGCACTTCAGACAAGGACAGGTGGTCAATGTCCATGCTCTAAGTGTAGATGCTTCTCTTGGGAAACTTGTAGTGTCTTGCAAGGACCCTTCGACATTTACTGAGACTTATAAAAAGGCGTTTGAAAAGGTTCATCCTGGCTTGCTTGTCACTGGTACAGTTTTTGAAAAGTCCGACGACGATCTACTTCTCAAGCTGGACGACTTTGGTCTTGTGGCTCGATTAAATCTGGAGCATATTACTGATGGTAGTCCTTCAAAACAAAGCTCGACTCTTTCGAAAATCCGTGTTGGCCAGAAGCTCAATGAGCTCCTTGTGCTCGATATTCAGCGAGCCCGCAGGCTCATTAAGGTGTCTGGCAGAGCAAGCCTCAAAAAGCCTGCTAAACAAGGGCTTATGCCAGGGAAATTCGAAGATGTCCAAGAAGGGACTGAAGTTTCTGGGTTTATCAGAAACATTACACAGGATGGGATCTTTGTTGAATTCTTGGGTGGTGTCATCGGCCTTGTTCCCAAGCGTCTTGTTGCCGATGAAAACACAGACAAACCGGGTTTCAACATGACGAAGTCACAAGTGGTTTCTGCTACAGTACATTCTATTGACGCCGATTTCCGAAGGTTCATCCTAAGCATGAAACCTTCAGAGGCAACTCGTAAGGGTCCTAAGATACCTAAATCCCAGTCCACCACCAAGACTACCAATTCTGATGACACCGTTGCAAATGCTATCGATGAGGGCATCGCTTCAATGTCAGATTTCACTTTCGGCAGGGTTGTCAAGTGCAAAATCGTTTCCATTAAGTCAACTCAAGTCAACGTTCAGCTTGCGGACAACATCCAGGGCCGTATTGATGTTTCTGAAGTATTTGACAAGTGGGAGGATATCAAAGACCGCAAACAACCTTTGCGGTTCTTCCGACCAAAGCAGCTGATTTTGGCGAGAATCCTAGGTGTCCATGATGCCCGCAGTCATAAATTCCTCCCCATAAGCCATCGCACCGGGAAATACCCTGTTTTTGAACTTTCCATCAAGCCGAGCTTCGTACAGGCTGCCAATCCTAGCCCCTTGAACCTGGAACAAGTACAAGCTGGTTCTTCGTGGTTGGGCTTTGTTAATAACATTTCTGATGACTGCCTCTGGGTGAACTTGTCTCCTAACGTTCGAGGGAGATTGCGTTTCATGGATGCATCTGATGACTTGTCCCTCCTTGCCGATGTAGAGAAGCACTTCCCGATTGGCTCTGCACTGAAGATTCATGTTACGGCGGTTGACACTGAGAAAGGTCGCCTGGATCTCTCAGCCAGACAACGTTCCGATAAACTTTCATTTGCGGATATTTCTACAGGCATGGTCTTACCTGGGAGAGTCACGAAAGTCACTGAGAGACAACTTGTTATGCAGCTTAGCGATACTATTGTTGGCGCGGTTGACTTGGTTGACATGGCGGACGATTATTCGAAGGCAAATCCAACGATCTACCAAAAGAACGAAGTTCTCCGCGCATGCGTTGTTGCTGTTGATAAAGCTAACAAGAAGATCTCCTTGTCACTTCGGCCATCGAAGGTTCTAAGCTCATCGTTGCCGGTGCAGGACCCCGAAATCTCGTCAGCAAAGCAGCTAAAGGTGAATGATATTGTACGAGGATTCGTACGGAGGGTGGCTGATAATGGTCTCTTTGTAACGCTGGGCCATGGTGTCACGGCCTACGTCCGGGTCTCTGACCTTTCGGACTCCTACCTCAAGGAGTGGAAAGACTCTTTCCAGGCTGATCAATTGGTTAAGGGCCGAATTTCTGTGGTTGATGTGGAACAGGGCAAACTCCAGATGAGCCTGAAAGAATCCGTTTTGGATCCAAACTACAAAGCTCCAATCACACTTAATGATCTCAAACAGGGTCAAGTTGTCACCGGCAAAGTCCGCAAGGTTGAGGAATTTGGTGCCTTCATTGTTATTGACGGGTCTAAGAATATTAGTGGACTCTGCCATCGTAGTGAAATGGCTGAGACCCGCGTGGAAGATGCCAGATCTCTCTACGAAGAAGGCGATTCCGTCAAAGCCAAGATTATAAAAATCGACCGCAACCAGGGAAAGATCTCATTTGGACTTAAAGCCTCTTATTTCAATGATGACGATGTCGAAAGCAACGAAGACGACGACGATTCGGAGGGTGTCAGCGTATATGGGTTTAATGGAATCGATGGGGAAGGAAGTGATAGTGAAGGGGAGGGTGACGACGATGAAGGCGATGACAGCGACGCCTCTATGGGAGGAGTGGATATCGAAGACAACAGTGAAGATGAATCGGAGCAGGATAAGGATGAGCCCATGGCCGACGTACCCTCCAGGCGCAAGGAGGGAGGTCTTGGTGGTCTTGGTGCAAATGCCTTTGATTGGAGTGGTAACATCCAGGATGAAGATGCTGCTGTTGCATCAGACTCGGATGATGAGGACGAGTCACGCAAGAAGAGGAAGAAGCACCGCAGGCCCGAGATCCAAGTTGATCGGACTGGCGAGTTGGACGCTCATGGCCCGCAATCCGTAGCCGACTACGAAAGACTCTTACTCGGCGAGCCTGACTCTTCAACGCTTTGGCTTCAGTATATGGCCTTCCAGCTAGAACTGGGCGAGGTTGACAAAACAAGAGAAATTGCTGAACGTGCCCTCCGCACCATCGCCATTGGGCAAGACACCGAAAAGTTGAACATTTGGGTGGCCCTCCTTAACCTGGAGAACACTTATGGAGACGATGACACTCTGGACGAAGTTTTCAAGCGCGCTTGTCAGTACAACGATCCGCAGGAGATTTACGAGCGAATGATCAGCATTTACATCCAGTCGGGCAAAATCGAGGTATGTGATTAATTCTCTGGCAGAGCCGATTTTTGTCTAGATACTAAGACAGTGTTTTTTTTTTTTTTTACGCACAGAAAGCGGATGAGCTTTTCCAAACCGCTCTGAAGAAGAAAGTTTCTTCAACGCCTAAATTCTTCCTCAACTATGCCAGTTTCCTGTTTGATAACATGGCTGCTCCCGACCGTGGCCGTGCCTTGCTTCCCCGTGCCCTCCAGTCTCTGCCTTCTCATACCCACGTAGAGACGACGTCGAAATTTGGACAGCTGGAATTCCGTTCGTCGAATGGTGATGTTGAGCGCGGACGTACTGTCTTTGAAGGCCTCCTCTCCTCGTTCCCTAAGCGGGTCGACCTCTGGAATATCCTCCTGGATTTGGAGATCAAGACCGGTGACGCGGAGCAAGTCCGACGTCTCTTCGAGCGGGTGCTTGGAATTCGAGACACCAAAAAGGGCACTATTTTGGTGGACGATGACAAGAAGGTCCGGCCCAAGCAAGCCCGGTTCTTCTTCAAGAAATGGTTGGCCTTTGAGGAGAAGCTGGCCGCTGGGGACAGTGGGAACAGCAAGATGGTCGAGGAGATCAAAGCGAAGGCCGCCGAGTATGTGAAGTCCCTACAAAAGGAGTGAGAGAATTTTTCGGGCCTACTGAGATATCCCGGTTGTGATGACCTTTGTATCCACGAACCAACCCTTGTATATATGAAAATCTAAAAAGCGTTTAGTACTGCGGTGATGTGTTTGAACCCCTCACAGGATTTGTTATAGAGCATGTATTTAAGCGTAAAAGTGGATAGATTACATATGCGTTCTAAAGTTCTGGATGTACACTCCGTCATTGCCTCTTCTCTGCCATCAATTTCCGGTACTGGTCCACGATATTTCTTCTCTCAGCGGCGAGTTCCTCTCGCGTCCTCAAGCTTCCTGCGGCCGCTGGCACATTAGCGACGTCAACTTTCGCGCCGCCTCGGACCCTAAAAATCTCCCTTGGTTTCGTCAATTGCGGTGGTGCCTCAGCCACCTCGAATGGGTTTGCCTTTCTCATCCGGTCACGCTTGGCCAACTTCGCCCAGGGATCCGGATTGTCATCGCCCGAATCGCCGCCATCCTGGTCGCTACTCTTCTTCTTCCTCTTGCTGGGAGCGTTCTTCTTCTTCGCCTTGCCTTTCCCTGCCTCCTGCTCCCATTCCTTCCAGAGTCGCAGCTCATCCTCCATTTCCGCTTCACGCTCTTCCCGCTCCGCTGCCTCGCGCTCCCGAATCGCGACATCATCCTCGCGCCATTGCCGTTGGAGCCGGCGCAGATGTTTCTCATGCTTCGTCTGTCGCTTCTCCTCGGACCCCGGAATATCTGACGACGCAGGCCGACTGGACTTCTTTATCGCATTGAGCGGCAACTCGCGATCGACCCGCGCCGCGAAATCCGACAGTTTCTCCCCCGGTAGGATTTTCGGCATCGACAATGTCGTCTCACTCGGGGCATTGTCTTTCGGTGACTCGGTTGCAGTTTGTTTCTGCTTTAGTTTCTGTTTCTGTTTCCGCCCTGTGGAATCGGACTCTTCCGCGTTTCCTCGCTTTCGCTTCTTGCTCTGCCCGGCGTCGGGTTTCGAAGACATCGAGGTGGCTTGGCTTTGGAGCTGCATCAGTCGGCGGAAGGATTTCGGGGTATCATCTTCTGCGGTGGATTTGCGGTGAAATTCGGGTTTTCGAGCGGGCTGGGTGGGTTTCTTTGCATCTTTGCCTTTCTTCTTGCGGGAGGGTTTGGAATGGGGATCTCGGACGGGAAGCGACTTTGCGATCAACGTTGGTGGGAGGTCGTAGATGCTAGGGAGATGTGAGTTGGGATGATCTCTTGCATGAATTCTTTTTATAGACTTACTCTGCATCATTTTGACGTCTTTTATGCTTGTGAGGCATTGTGGAGGGGTTTACAGATGTTGATGTAGCTGTCTACTTTTTTTGGTGGAGAGTTTTTGATGTTCGGCGGGTGATTTTTTTTTTTTTTTTTTTTTTTTTTTTTGCCTGCCGTCTCTATCTAATCGCCCGTGATAAAGCTACCTCTCCTTGTATTACTTACTTCTAGAAGAGAGGGATCAATGATTCACTGATTCAACATTCTCAGGATGGTTGATCCAGTTCGCTGTGAATTGCATTGCATTACATCGTGAGATCAATAAAACGTCCGGTGCGCTGCGAAGATCTTTATCTGTCTACAGAGTACTATATTGTTGGATGTGGCCAGGGTAGATGATCCTCTTCTGTCATTATTCTAAGCACAGTATTGAACAGTCCACATGCCCAGGCAGCATCAATCCAGTATTTTAAATATATATGTACTCTGGAATACCCTGGGATACTGTGTACCACAGACAAATCTAGCCTAAAGGGGCTCCAGTCTCACTGCTGGATCGTGGATGCCTGGCCGCAGTACGTAACCTAACCGACCAACTGTTAACTAACTTGTGGCGGCTGTTGCTTGCTTGCTAACGAAATTGATGTTGGATCGAAGCTTTGTTGTGTTACTAGCAGGAGCCAAATTAGGAGAATCATCCAGGCTGCCATATTTCCCGGCTTATGCGCCCACCGAAGGCTACCAGACATGACTCCAATCGCCTATTCTATCCAAAGTTCAGTTTTCCTTACTATGGCTCATGAGGCTAGATGGTCCGATGGCCACGAACTAACTAATGAACGAACAAACTAACGAACACACGAACAAACGAGGTCGGAGTTCCGGTGCCACCAGGACTGCGCTTTCCCCTATAAAATAAATCAAAATGGATCAATTCATAATTCCGTTGGTGCCAAGCAACCTGGCCAACCAGGACAAGACTTGTCACCATGCAATTACAGTCAAGGTTCCCCCATGTGCAGGGTCTTGTAGCTTTCTACGACCCGTTCCTCTTTCTTCTTGGTTCTTTCCTTCCCACAGTCCCATGATAATCCCTCAGGGTGATCTACAGGTCAATCATGAAACCGTGCCTCCGTGTCTAGATCCAACCATCCAATAATGGGCTGTACTGCTGCACATGGTTGACTGGGCCGTGGAGAAGAACGGCGCATGTATTACCTGAATTGCTCATTTGTTATTTTCCTGTGGGTCGGAAAAGCTTATAAACTAGGCTGTCTCATTCTTTTAAACATTTAAGAGCGAAGAGAAAATAAAAACAAGAAGAAGAAAACAAGCAGAGATAAAGAGGGACGGGGGGCACTGCTTCTATGGGCTGAATTATGTCTCCCTTTTCCCCGCATCGCTTCCCCTCGCCTGTCAACAAATTGGAGTTTTGCATTGACGTGAACGATTACCCCCCTATTGAGAACAGCATACATAGCTCAAGCCGTTGCACTTCATTATGGCGTCGTGGTTTAGCAGCTCTTTCCCCGTTCTCTACATCGCCTTCTTCTGTTGTTACCGAGACGCATGATGCTCGTCCACTGCTCTATCCGTGTAGCTCGCCATCCAAACCCTCGCCGAGGTCCTGCAGGATATCCAAAATAAACCGCTGCTTCCTGTTTCCTTTATTGGGCTTGCTTGTCATGCTGTGAGTTTCTCCTGTCACGCGCAAGGGTCACTCGCTTGACATCCAGCTCACTTCTATTCTAGAGGGATTGTGCAGTTCATCGCCATTGTCTGTGGCATTGTAGTGTCGTTTTTCCCTGACGACTTTGATCGCGCAACGGACCGCTGGCGCTTCCGAGAGAAGGACGTTGGCCCGGATGTTTCGCATTGGCCCACGGATATTTCAAGAGACATTATGCCTGTCGGATGTCACTCGCACAACGACTACTGGCGGCCGATACCTCTGTACTCAGCTCTACAGGCGGGTTGCATTGGCGTCGAGGCCGATGTCTGGCTCATTGAAGAGGAGCTCTACGTGGGCCATACTACCTCGTCACTCACACCGAAGCGGACACTAAAGAGCATGTACATTGATCCTTTACTCAAAATCCTCGATCAACAGAACCCTCGAACGCAATTCCACCCCACCGATGATCGGCCGCTTCAAGGGGTTTTCGATACCAACCCATCCCAAACCCTGATTCTACTGATTGATTTCAAGACCGATGGAGAGGCCACCTGGAGAAGCGTGGTCACGCAACTAATGCCTCTGCGCGAGCGTGGATATCTGAGCTATTTCAATGGGACTGACGTGGTCAATGGCCCCATCACCGTTGTCGGAACGGGGAACACTCCGTTCAATATGGTGATGAAGAGCGCTGTCTGCCGGGATATCTTCTTCGATGCACCTCTGGAACGACTAGCCGAGAATGACAGCGCAGATGATCATCTGGGTCTAGAGACCGACCAGCCTAAGCCACAAGAACAAGTCGTGCAGATAGAGAGTTCCACCGAGAATGTCGGTCAAGGCTTGTCGGGCATACCCGCTGTAGATATTCACCCCAACACATTCAATAGCACCAACAGTTACTACGCCTCGGTTTCTTTCAGGAAATCCATTGGGTTCCCCTGGTCCTTCCGTCTCACCGAAGGACAGATGGCCAAAATCAGAGCGCAAATCCAAGCGGCTCATCGCCGCGGACTCAAGGTGCGGTACTGGGGCTTGCCGAGCTGGCCGCGGAGTCTCAGGAATCATCTCTGGAGCGTCCTGGTTCGCGAAGGGGTGGATATCCTAAATGTGGATGATTTGCAAAGCGCCACCAGGAAGGACTGGAGACCCAAGTTCTCCGATTGGTGGTCTTGATGTTTGTTTGCACCCCGAAGTTCCGTCTCAACGTACCTTCCGGGTGTCTAGCTATCCTGATCGCGTAACCAAACTTTTTCTTTCTTTCTTTCTTTTTCATTCCTTTCTCTTAAATAGGGCGGCTTCTGGTGATACAATTGGCGTTGAGGTTTCTTGTCGTCTCAATACCCTACGGATGTTTTGTTTAGCAGTTTTGTCTTTTCATAGAATCGCCGAGTCCTAACATAGACCATGTTAGTTCGCTTATGAATAGATGCAATATGCCTCATGATGAGTGATGAGTGATAGATCCATGATACATAGTACTCCCAAAAAAAAGAAAGAAAAAAACAGCAATCGAACGTCCGTGTAATAAGTAGTTTGTGGGTATCATCTGGATGAGTTTTCAACCACGTTTCTTTTGTTGTTCCCGGCCCCTTTCCTTGTAGTTGACTGTCCTCAATGCGGCCAAAATGCAAAGTTTAACCCTCGACCGGTTAAAACTGAACAAGAAAGATAGGTCCATGTACATGCACCCAAAAATAGAGAAAAAAAAAATTCATGAGTTCACAGACAGAACAAAGCCTCCTCTCCAAACTCATTGAAAACCGTCCCCTCTTCGCGTAAGATGTTCCCTAGCCAATCCTTGGCCGTTTCAAAGTCATTTGCCCCGAACTTGACAAGAACGAAGCCCGCACGCACACGCGCCGCTGTAAAAGTGACCTGGGTGTCGTAATTTGGGGGAGACTCCATAGCGGCAGGACAGGACGAGGACCAATTACGGGCCCCGATCCGCGGCAATGATGTAAATCGGTCCATGAAGAATGAAGCCAGGTGCTCGAAGACGGGTCCGTACAAGATCAGCGTGCCCACGATCCCGTGGGGCCGGGTTCGTTCCCGGATCAATTGACTGCGATTGAAGGTCTCTTTGTCGTCCTCAAGAAATAGCTCGTTGACTTCGTCGTCCAGGATAAGTGAGTCGCGGAGAAGTAATTTCTTTTTCCCCGTTGCATCTACCGTCCAGAACTCGTTTTTTCCTCGCCAAAGATGGAAGTCCCAATTTTCTCCTCGTGACCTACGACCCTGCGTCACCCAGTCCAGAACGCATAGGCTGCTCCGCTTGGACTCCGTCGCTGTGCTGTCGACTGAGAATGTCTGTACTTGTTCGTATCGGCTGTCCCTGTATGGAACGGCAGGATCTGGTAGGTAGCAGAGGGCGGCTTCGCGGCCAATTTGGACGTTTATCGACTGACGGCTCTTATCCGATAGCTGATGCGCTGGAGTTCCTCTCTGTCCCTTGATGCTTGCGTTGGGCTCTGTCTTGAATATTTTGGTGCTCCCCTGGGGTGTCGTTACGACGAGCCTTGTCTGCGGATCTAGTTTGATCGAGACATCGATGTGGTCTCCTGGGAGGAGACCTCCGCCATAGGTGAGGAGGTATAGATGAACAGGTCGAGAGGTCGGACAAGACAAGGCGGAGGATTGCGGTACGTACCCCGGGGCACGTGTAAGTAGTTTGAGAGGGTATTTATACGTCAAGGTCGTCAAGGTAGGATTCGAGGGAGGAAGCAGAGAGAGGACGACGGTGCCTTGTCCAGGCTTAGCAATGGACGATTCAAAAGGCGATTTTATTGGCATTGTGATAACTTATATTTACGGGGAAGACGATCTCCGTAGACAGAGAAGAAAAAGGGAAAAGAGGGTTCAGAAAAGTGGATTTTAAAGGGCATGATATTGAATAGATCATCTCCGGGCCAAAGGGGAACGGATGCTGCATGGCGTCATGAGAAATGGCCGTCTTATTTTTCCTTTTTGGAGCCGTGTCTTGGCCCTGTTGAGGTGGCCAGAAAATGGTCGGCCTGGCCAATTGATTGCCCGCCTAAGCCTCCAGGATCATCAGGTTAAAGCGGGGTTTGGTGAGCCAGAATTGATGCAGTCTTGGCCTTCCAGTGCTGAGCTGCAGAAACATGAAACGTGCAAGGGCGATGGAGCAGCGGAGGTTTCCATTACGGCATGATAATTCGGTCTCCGCATCTGCCCAGGGCTAGGGCTTGCCCGGTCAGATGAGATTTACCATGCGAGCTGACAGCAAAGATACGTGCTGGTAATTCCGGCGTTTTGGAACGCTGTTTTACCGCGTCTCCGTACGGGCCGAGAAGGGCAATTTTGTGGCCTAAGGCAGAAGTACCTCCCGTCATCGCCAGGCACCAAGGCCCCAGGCGCGTTGTTTCTCCGTCAAACGCCAGAACTTGTTCCAACTCCCCTCATCATACTCGGTCGAGTCCCACCCTCGACGGCCCCCGACCGCATCGTCAATATACCTGTTTCGCATTTTCGCTTGAATAGATCGTCTTCTTGCTCTCTTGTTTGTCTCATTCATCCGGTCGCGTGAATCGGTAGAACGCGCGCAGTGGACTGACCTAAGTTCTTGCGAAACCCGAGGTCGCGTTCACGCCCGATAACCAGAAATTCCCCCCACCCACGCACGTCTAAGTATGATATTCTCATGGAACTACAGTCATGTCGATAGAAAGTGGCTAGTATTCGTTCAGATTTACTAACTAGGCTCCAACCCTACAGTGCTTAATACGACCGACGAAAATGGAGAATGATTCGCGCCCCTCCAGCCCGCAACCTGGGCAGGACGCTGCTTCCCCACAAACAGACAGAAGGAAGTCCGGCCGGATGACGCGAAAGCCTGAATTATTCTCTCAGAGTTATGGCGCCAATGAGGGAGCCGCCGCAGGTGGCTCTAAACGCAAGCGTACTACCCCTGGTGACGATGAGGATGAGAACGAGAACGCGTCTGAGTCCGGAAGTGACGAGTCCAACGATGATGAACCCGACGAAGAAGAACTAAAGGAAAAAAGACGTGCTGCGCGCAAGGCGTCCTCCAAGAAAGCAACGTCTGGAACCAAAGGAAAGCTCAAATCCCGGAGTTCAAAGAAACCGAAGGTAGCAAGCAATGGAATCGGGAGTCAGTTGGCTTTCCGGCCTGCTACAACCAATGGAAAGAAGACTGTTTCGCGCTCACGAAAATTACAAACACGACCCAGCCTGGCTGCTGGGGAAAAGGGTCTCTACGGTATGTTCCCGTTATCTCCGAACCGATTCTTGCATGTTGACTAATACTGTTTACTTAGCGGAGGTCTTCAGTAAAAGTCGTAGTGCCGACACCACCGCAGCGGAATGGCTTACTTCGTATCAGAATGACCAAAGCGCGGCTGTGCGTGAGATGGTTATCTTTATCCTTCGATGCGCAGGAACAACCCTCCAGATAGATGATGCCGATATTCAAAATGTCGACCATGCACCAAGGCGAGTGGAGGATCTGGCTTTTCAATATCACTCTTTGGGATTTTCTGAATACCCCCTGATATCAAAGTCACGGACTTTCAGGAATTTCAAACCTGTTCTGGAGGACTTCTTCAGCACCTTGATCCAAACCTTGCATCATTCTTCGGTCCTGTACAGAGACCAGAATCTCTTCGAGAATATCCAGATATGGCTCTCTGCCTTCTCAATTTCGAATTGTCGCCCTTTCAGGCATACCTCGACCGTCATTGCCTTAGCAATGATGAGCACTTTCTGTGATGTTGCTCGGGAGCTAATGACTTCCGTTTCTACCTCCCGGAAACAACTTGAGAGTGAGAAGAGGAAAAAATCTGTCAATAAAGGAAGAGTTGATGCTATCCAGTCGGCTATTCAAGAGGGTGACAAAAAGCTGGAACTCGTAGACGACATCCTCAAAGACGGCGTCAATATATTCTTTGTCCATCGCTATCGAGACGTCGACCCCACTATACGTGCTCTGTGCATGTCTGCTCTAGGCCAATGGATGCGCACCTATCGTGATTATTTTTTTGAAGGACAGTTTCTCCGATACTTCGGCTGGATCCTCTCCGATCCTGTAGCTCATACGCGCGCTGTTGTCATCGAACAACTTCGCCACCTATATGAGAACAAGGATAATCTTGCTGTCTTACGCACGTTCGATGATCGTTTCCGCCCAAGAGTGGTGGAAATGGCTGCTCAAGATGCCGACCTTGGAGTTCGTGCCTCGGCAATTGAATTGGTCGACCTCATTCGGAATGCCGGCTTAATTAAGCCCGAAGATATTGATGTTGTTGGGAGACTAATATTCGACCTGGAACCCAAGGTCCGAAAAGCAGCTGGTCGTTTCTTTGTCGCCAACGTCCAAGACTCGTTCGACTCCGCAATTGAGGAGGTTGCCGATGAAGTAAATGAAATGTTTGGTGACGAAGACGAAGACGATTTCGAGTCTCCCAAGCGCTCTTGGATTAAATTTAAATGTTTGACTGATATGCTTCAAGCATACGACGAGCCAGAGAATGAGTTCGACCCTGATCGTCCGGTCACCGCAACCCGAGATGCTCTTTCGGGTGCGTCTGTAGATTCGCGATTTGTCCTGGCTACAGAGTCAATATACCCACATTTCAAGGAACTGTCTCAATGGCAGTCTCTGGCTGGGTATATTCTTTACGATCACTCTCAGACTGCCGATGACCCCAGTGAGGACGATACCGCGGGTGTGGTCAGAAAGCTATACAAGATGGAAGAAGGGCAGGAAGTAATCCTCCTGGAGGTGCTATGCTGCGCCGTTAAACTGCGTATTCTCGAAGTAGCCAAGTCCGATATTGACAGAAGGGGCCGAAAAGTTAAGGCATTGACCGACAAGGTCCCCGAACTCCAAGAGGAAATTGCGCATAGTCTTGCGCAGATCATACCGCAGCTGCTGAATAAGTTCGGCTCTGTCCCAGAAGCCGCGTCGTCCGTCCTGCGACTGGAACATCTGGTCGATCTTGACAAGATCCAGGATATGCAGAAGGATGCTACTGCCTACACGTCGCTGTTGAATGACATCAATAAACAGTTCCTGACGCATTCTGACCAAGACGTGCTGGCCGAGGCGAGTGTGGCGTTCCTCCATGCGAAGAGCTCTGATGACATGCGGGAAGCATTGGAAAACAAGGTCCAAGAGCTGTGGGATGACATGATGGATACACTCAAGACGCTCTCCCAAAAGAAAGAAGCCGTGGAGGGCAGCTCAATACCCACCGCGACTCTCAATGAGCTTACCAATACGGTAACAAGGATTTCCAACCTCGCAAGTGTAACCGACTGCGTGCAGGTCTTGGAGAGTACACCTTCTCGACCAAAAGGCAAAACGAAAGATATCTCGGAGATCCCTTTTAACACCCTCATGCATCTAGCAAAGCGAGGCCTGCGAGAGGACGAGGACGATGAAGATACTGCAAGTGCTGAAAGCGAGCTAGTTATCAGCAGCATCAGGACGCTACTATTCTACTTTATGTGGAAGGTTCAGTCTTTGACGACATCCCTGAGCGCCGGGAAAGCGGCTTTCAACACTGCCTACTTCGAGGTCCTAACTAAGAGCCGCGAGACATTCGTCGCAACCCTTGTTGCTATCATGCAACAGCGTCCGAGCTTAGATGATGTACAGTTTGCAGCGACTACAACTCTTCTGGATCTGCAGACATTATTTGGGACTCTGCGCCATGCGGGACAGAATACAAGCAATGATGAAGACGTCATCCTCCAAACCCAGAGTTTGGTCCACGAAATTGGGCCAGATGCGCAGACGCTAATCACAAAAATCCATGGCACAGCCGAGCGTACCTATGCCAAACTGCGCAAATCAATGGATCCTGAAGAAGGGGATGAACCTGCTTCCGACTCTGATGTGGAAAGAGAGCCTTCGGATGATGAGGACGAAGAGTCCGACAGTGAAACGGCAGCCCATGAGCGCCTGCGATCCAGCATCATCGCCGAACAACGGTTGTGCGAGTTGACAGGCAAAATCGTCCTCGCCATCATCGGACGTATTATTGACGCCTCTGGGTCACAGCAGGGCCGATTGAAGAAAGCATTATTGAGACGCAAGGGTCGTTTGGGCCCCAACTATCGCGAGGTCGTGTCCTTCCTTGTGGATCGTAAGGCTAAAGGTAGTACTCGGAGCGCCCAGCCCAGACAAAAGCAATCCACTGCTAAGAGCATGCCCAAAAATCAATCCCGTGGAAGCAAGCGTTCAGGTGCTTCCAAGTCGTCCGAACTTGTAGATTTGGAGGATGACGAAGGTGAAAATGGACATTCCCCTATCGAGGATGATGACGACGAAGATCTACGAGCCAGGGACCTTCTCGAGGATGATATCGTTGATCCAGAAAACGACGAAGCAGAGAATCATGCAGCGCCCGATCCCGACGATGATGAAGTGATGGGCGATTGATTCGTCCTATGATGCTAGGATAAACGGATATGGATTCGCTTTGCCTCTGGTAGCTGGATTATTTCCTTTCCCCCCTTTTCAAAAATTTTCTTTTTCAATTCGGTCCGAATGTATGCGAATCTCCTCCATTTTAATTAACGGTTTTAGTTGACATTTGCTTTTTTTATGACTTGATTGCTCTGGATCAGCTGTGAGTTCAGAATCCTTTGATTACTGAAACATTGCAATAATTTTACCTTCTTTTCGTTCTCTCTTTCCCACGCCCTGTTTCGCATTTCCGTTTTCTGATTCTTTTTTAACAGTGTAAGAGTCGTGGCCATGGGTGTAAACTGCAATCAATGTATGTAACCTATTCCTTGTACATATTCCTGACGTTCTCCGTTCTCGCTCCTCAGCAATAACATCTACTGGTCGGTCACTTGCAAAATGTAGCATGAACGCGATGGACGACTAGAATTCCGGCGGCTATATATGATGACTTAAAAGGTAGAACTGAAGGGAATTTGGCATTTTCTGGCTATCAGAACTATCCATCATGGAATCTATGGGACTGGTAATCTCTTCAATCCATCCCCATCCGACGTCTAAGTCTCTGGAGCGATGCTGCGCTCCTATGGCTTTAAATGGAAAGAGGATAGCCACAGCCACACTAACAGCCATGAAAGACGTCACGCCCAAAGGAAATAGTCTGATTGGGTAATCAAGAAGCAAAAATCAACGGATAACGCAAGCCGAATCAAAGAACAGTACGCCTGTGTATGGGATGCTACGGGTGGACATTGTGAGGAACATATAGAAAGGGATACATGATGGTGAATCTTGTTTATCATAAACTATAAAACCGGGGGAGGAAATCATATCAGAGTGTGGGGTAGCAAAGCGATGGGACAATAAAAGGATCAAGTAAACAGGGGACGCTCAGACGGCAGAAGCCACAAAACTGGAATGAGCCGAAATGAACTGGCCGCCGGGGGTCCGGGTAGTCTTTTTTTCTTTTTCTTTTTGGGGCCTTGAACACGGTGGGGTCGACAGCCGCAGGGCTGTAAATCGAGGACCAACGTTTCCACGGACATGAAAAGCAGAACTGGTTTCTTTTGTGTTTCCAATATGACGGCATTATACCGCCACGTAGGCATCTAGTACGCAGTACGGAGCAGAGGCCCCGTAACCCTGAGTGTCATAAATGGTTGCAAATATTATTGCATTTTTACATATCCATAGAGTCACCACCGTTGGCGAAAGTAAACCCACCTGGTTGTTGCTGGGTGGTGCCAAGGGAGAAACCAGTCTGGGTCTGCTGAGGAGCAAGTTCATCGATATCTCCACCGGCCTCGTCCTCGTCGGAGAAGTACTTCTCAATAATGTTGTAGGCCTTCATGTAGATCTCCTCGTTGGCATTGTTCTGGCAGTCGTGAATCTTCTCCATACCGCCGGCCTCTTCAATGAACAGGGCATAACGGTTGACGCGGGCCTCGCCAGGCTGTGCTGTCTCCTTGTCCATATCACCGACCTTGAGAATGTTCTCCAAACCATCCAAAGCAACCTGAATGATCTTGTTGTCGGGGCAAGCCAAAAGGTCACAGAGGGGCTTGATGCATCCTTGAGAGACCAAATAACGGATCTGATCAGGTTTCTGCAGTCCACCGGAAGTAGCATTGGAGATAGCCCAGCAGGCTTCCTTGCGGGTCTTGAAGTCTCCGTTGGCGAGCAAGTTGATCAAAGGAGGGATGATGCCAGCGTCCACCACGGCTTGGATCTGGCTAGAGTTACCCGCAGTGATGTTGGAAATAGTCCAGCACGCCTCCTTCCGGATGCCATCCTTGGTAGAGCCCAAAAGTGAAAGTAGGGCTGGGAGGGAGCCGCAGTTGATGATGACCTGAGTTTGAACATCGTCGCCAGTCACGATGTTTCCAACGGACCGGAGAGCTGGAGTCTGGACTGACGTGGATGCGTGCATGAGAAGCTCGACCAGACGACGGGGAATGCCTGCTTCAATGACAGCCTGGATTTTGTCATTGGCACCATCGGACAGATATGAGATAGCCCAGCAGGCATCGATCAAGACCTCATCATCGAGCATATAGATGAGCTTGGCGAGGACAGGAAGAGCAGGAGCAATCTTAAAAACATTGTTAGTTAAGTTCTAGTAATCGCAGGAGCATCTAAGAGGTACTAACGGTATTCCAATCAGGCTGTGGCGTCTTGCCACGGCAGAAGTTGCTCAACGTCCACGTAGCATTGCGAAGCATGCTCAGCTTCCGACCATCATTGATGAGGTTCAGCAGGGGGCGGAGAGCACCCGCGTTCAGCACGAAGTCACGGCACTGGGGACTATCACCAGCAATGTTTCCCAGAGCCCAAACTGCCTGTTCACGGACATCAGGTTCAGGGCTGCTCAAGAGCTCGACGAAAATTGGCACAGCACCAGCTTCAATGACAACCTGGGTTTGCTGAGCAGATCCAGAGGCGATATTGGTCAAAGCCCAAGCAGCTTCGAACTGAACCAAAGTATGGGGGGATCTAAGGAACTCCACGAAGCGGCTAACCACGCCAGTCTCGATAACACGCTCAATGGGAGGGTTACGCTCCTTGGAGAGCAGCTTCCTAAATTTGGTTGTAGCTTGGATCTGCGACTCAATCTGTTCAGAGAAAACGCCTTTGACCATCTCCGGCAATTCCACATTGAGCTATAAGTAATGAGAAGAACGTTAGCCATTTGTACTTTAGCTACTAAGGCATATACTGGGGTAAAAGCGATTGGATAGTCTTGTGTGCCCTAGGATAGCAACTGGGCGGTGAAAAGTTCGTTGCTGGGCTCGAGATAAGTAGGGACGGCAAAATAAAACAAAGCGGCCTAGTACGAAGGAACAAAAACAAAGAAAAATTGGGGGGGGGGGGACTGGTAAAAAAAAAAAAAAAATTTGAACCAGGCAAAAAAAGGGAAAAAGGACCACAATAACAGATGTACAATAGAACGTACCTCACTTTCTATGGCACTGGCTTCATCATCACTCTCGGCAGCTGGCATGCCACCTTCGACACCAATTCCACCATCTCGGGTCTGGATGCCTCGTCTCTTGGCCAAGTTTTCTTCTCTTTTTTGCTTTCGAATCTCCACCTGCTGTTCCTCACGACGACGACGAAGCTCATCAGGCCGGAACTGGTTTCTGGCCTTGTACTGAGTGCGGCGATGTTCGGGGATGTAGCGCTCCGCCATGGTTGTTGCTTGGGACACTTGAGGGAGAAAACAAAGCGCCCGGGTTTACCGAATCTTTTTTTAAAAAAATAAAGGTAATGAAAAGATACTAGTAGAGTGATGGGGACGAAGGATAGAAGGTAAATGATTTGGCAGGAAGATCCCGAAATGCAGCAAAGCAAAGCGCAGAGGCCAACAGCCGGGGAAGAGGGAAGGAGGGGAAAAAAGTGTTGATGTCGGAGGTGGGATTGCCCAGTCACGGGATCCCGCCCATTCTCTGTTTTCAGCAACCCCCCGCCAAGCGCCGTACCCGCCTAAGCGACTTTGCCGCCAACACGCGTCGGTGTATCCATCCAGGTAAATGCATACATGGTACGCGCACCAAATCTCCGCTCTGAGACTGAACTTCGGATCATGGCGAATGGACTGGGCTCCTCGAAATTGGTTGACATCTCTACGGCTCTCTCCACGCAGGGAGTTGTATCTGTAATTGGGGTGGTGGTTGATGTCTTCCAGGGGCCCTGGAGATCCAAAGGCACATCTAGTTGTACCACGTTCACCCTTAAAGACTCAAACCTGAACAATGGTCACACATGGGATGGACTGAAGGTTAAATATTTTAGAGATAATGAAAGTCAGCTACCCCCTGTACGGGAAGGCGATGTAATTCTCCTGAGGAATCTCTGGGTTGGTGACCAAGAGCTCAGTTGTCCGCATCTTGCCCGAACTGACGTCTATCGCAGGTAAAGAAATTTAACGGAAAGCCATTGGGAGTGGCTGCTCAGGCCGATGATATCCCATGGGCTGTATTCCGTCGTGACTCCGATCCAAATTCTAGTGCCGCGCCAATGTGTGGCCCGACGCCTTTTGAGCCATCAGCGATTGAGAAAAGACTTTCGTTGTCTCTGTTAGAGCTTAGTTTTAACATCAAGAGGTTCCGGATCTCTTCCTCCGAGACGTTGCCTCCGCAGTCCTACTCGGCCGGGCCATCGGCTTCAAAGACCAAACATACATGGAACAAATTCACGCTTATCCAGGATGCCCAGTATGAAACATACGTGAACCTTGTAGGAGAAGTTGTCAAGCTTTATCCTCATGGCGGTGATAAAGCGCTCATGTACGTTACTGATTACACAACCAACAAAAATCTACCTGATCATACGTACGATGATGAAAAAGACTGTGGATTGGATTCCTACAGCTTTGAACGTTTCAGCAAAAGACGGTGGACTGGGCCGTCCGGCCAAATGTCCCTCTCAGTAACAACCTGGGAACCGCATGCAACCTTTGTCCATCAAAATGTCAAAGAAGGGGATATTGTCCAGCTGATGAATGTTCACATCAAAAGAAGTAATTTGAGAGACAATATGGAGGCTGTCATTCACGGCGGCAATTATAATAACCGTACATTCAAGGTTCGCATAGTGAATGTTGAAAAAGATGATCGAGCTAAGGAGCTCTTGCGTCGGAAGGAAGAATACTGGAACAAGAAGAAACGCTCGAAGAGAAAGAGCCAAGCAGGAAACGAGGCTACGAAAGCTCCCAAAAAGTCCAATAAGAAACAGAAGCAGAAACCAGAAGCAAAACAAGAGGAGAGCCAAACGTCGCTCGCCATCAAAAAACGATACGCTACCAATAAAACCAGTAAGATCTATTCCTTACACTACATTGAATGGGACATTCATTAACCTATAGAAATAGTCGTAGCTGGCAATCCTGGCTGCAGTAACCGATCCATCGAGGACATCATTACCAACAAATCTCATAACAATATCGCTCCGTACAACATTGAATACCGCTTTCCATTTCAAAATCTTTGCTACCGATCCACTGTCCGTGTCGTTGATTATTTCCCTCCAAGTCTTGAAGACTTCGCTGTTCCAAACCAAGAGGACACCAAGCGCCGAGTTTCGAACAATTACGAAGACTTCGACGAGGGCTTCACCGGATGGGAGTGGCGATTTTGCCTTCTTGTCGAAAGCTCTCCCCCACCCGCTCCTGGACAGCCGAAAGAGCAAATGAAACTTTTTGTTTCTAGTCACGATGCAGAATATCTGCTGCACATGGACGCAACCGAGTGAGTAGTAGACCCTTAATCAGCGTCGCTGTGAGCCCAGATGAAAGCAAGAAAGTGTATGGAATGCTAATATGCCCAATTTATCCTTATAAGCCTGCGCAAAAATTCAGTACGATTAGCACAACTCAGAGAAAAGCTCTTTCTCCTATGGGGCAACCTGGAAGAGGAGAAGCGAAAGTCTGCCGAACAGACTACTCTGGTCCCACATAATCCTAGTACTCTCTCGTCGCGGCCTTTCACCTGCTGCATAAAGGAGTATGGAGTTATTTGTTCTCACCGTGCGAACACGAAGACGGACCCCGACAATATGTCGAGTGATGATGACGAATCGTCTTCTTGTAGCCACGATGGCTGTTTTGGCTGGGATAGACGGTTCGCGATGTTTTACACGAGTATACAACAGTGACCACATTGCTTCTATATTTACTTTTACTTTTTCTCAGGACTATACCCCTTAATGTTTGTGATTAAATTGGGCTCCCTTTTTTTCATTTTTGTTGATCAACTTGTACTATTTGGTACTACCGCTAGTTGAATAAAGGCCCTGTTTATTACTAGGGTTTACATTGCATGGTGTCCGTGCCACTAAAATATCAGGATAAGTGTATGAATTAACTCAAAATCGATGAGTACGGAACGAGAGTCTAAACGCTATGAGGGACGTAGAGTAGAGGTATACGAAGTGCATCCTCACAGATGATCTGATGGCTGTAAAGGGAATGCGAAATTGAAAATGCCAAGAACAGGGAAAGAGAGCAAATTAGAGAAGCCTCGCGTACCCTGAGATATGAGAAGGAGACGAAGAACTGGGATCATTACAATAGTTTAGAAGCAAAACCAAGTTCACCTAGACTTTGGTAACCTTGACGATATTGATATCAACACCGTGCGCCGCGCGGCTGAATCGACAATTTGACCCCCAGTAACAACCCGTTCTACCGGGTTCGCTCTGTGGACAGCGATGTCCATAGATACATTCTGGATCATCACAGTCCAGTCCATAACGACAGGGGGTCATGCGAGCAATGGCTTTCAGGATATGAAGCTCACTCTTGGTTAGTTTGCGCGAATGGTCATGGCTGCAGGAGCCATTTGGGCATTCGCCCTGTAGAAAGTGGTAGTTGCAAAGCTTCAGCTTCTTCAAGCGGGTCACTTCCTCGCGTGGGAGGTCCCTAAAATCAATTCGATCTACGCGTTGGCCGTATTTATTCCGTTCCACGATTTTAGGAGTCGGGGTTTTAGGAGATGATCTGGTACGTACAATCTGGAATTCTCCAGAAGTCGAGGAAGCGGCGGAAGTACACGTAGCCGAGAATGGTACACTATCGCTTGTGGACGAGGTATTGGTTGAAGTCCGCGAAAGAGAAACACTTTGGGGTACTGGTGATGACGTGAGGAGAGAGCGCGGTTTGCTAGCCACTGCAGCTTTCCAAGGGGCCCACACGGTTATATTTGTATTTCTGAATAGATCGGAGAATCTAGTTACTCTGTACGACGCTTTGATTGAGTCCAGGCCCGTTTCAAATGGAAGCCCTTCGATCAGGGACACCCGTCCTCTAAGATCCGTATCACGCAGGATATCTTCTAGCATCCGGGCGTAGGCGCTATCTTGCGAACACCCTAGGAATATCTGGTGGCAGTGACAGTTGTACAGATTCAATTTAAACGCCTCTAGAGAGAAGAGAAACAACAAGTTAGCCTCTAGGGGGGTTTCCCAAGGGGGGTGGATCCGCAGGGCATATGTAGTGTACATACCTGCAATCTTATCATGAGCGCTTCCCTTTCCAGTTCCGATGTCCAGCATCTCAAAGAGTGGAAAGCTAGTATTGAAGCCTCGGACAAAATCTTCGATCAAAGAAAGCTCGGTGGTAACACCACCACGAACACAGAGCTCACCTAATCCCTTCACGTTGACCAGGATTTTTGTTATTATCTTGGGTGATTTGATGCCTGGAAAGTTACCCGCGACATAGTCATACAAGGCAGAATGAAGCTTCGCTGCCGCATTCAGTCCACCTTGTTCTCCTTGTTGTAGAAACTCGTCCTTGAATATCATCCCAGCTCCGTCTAAGAGTGCCACGATAAAAGGTTCGCGATCCTGCAAAGCCAACCGAAAGTCAGTCGCCTGGGTGGGACAGAGGTAGTAAGAAAGGCCCACCATAACGTTTTTCATTCTGGTTATCTGGTCCATCAACTCCATTTCATGAATCTGGATATCACGATTAAAGCGAGTCTCGCGATCATGGTCAAGCTTCTCTCGCTGATACGCTTCTTCCAGCTCGGATACACGTTGGAGAAGCTCCTAGTCCGGGGATGGAGGTTAATGTAGGTGATCCAGTTTATAACACAAAAGCGGGCAATTACCTCAATAAGTACATTTTTTCTCTGGTCTATGGACGACAGTTGGCTATACTGATCGAAATAGCCCCGAGTCATGATGGCTAGCTATTATCAGGTAATAACTAACTAGATTGATGGAATAGGTACCTAGAAGCAGACAGAATAGAAAAGAAACAGAAACTGGGAGAGAGGACGTGGAATTATAGAAGAAAATTGAAGAGATGGGGTGAATTTACGCGCGAGCGCTCCATTCACTTGTTATAAGGTGATCTACATTAGTATGATGTATGTACATGATGTCCAATGTTCTTTTAATATCCATCCACCCTTCGTTGTCCAGCGGCAAGAGGCACCCAGTCAGCTGTCCCGGCGCGCTGAGTCAGCGCCCGCGTGGAGAGAGGTCGTCTAAATCGTTAAACGCCTACGTGGAGAAAATCAATTCCGTCGCTTCCCCATCACATTTGTCCTCCTCCTATTCTTTCCCTTCCTTTGTTTTTTTCTTTCTCTCTCTCTCTCTCTCTCTCTTTGCCCTTCTTCCAGACTGATTGTCTGCTCCGGTTGTATCGCAATGGCTCGTTTTGGTCTCCTGTCTTTGGCTCTATTTGTTCAGGCCTTGATTGGTGGTGGTCTCGCGGCAGTATGTTCCCTATCCTTATGTGGTCTTACTCAAAGCCAATTGAGTTGCTCATGATTTGTTTCTTTTTCAAACGATTAGGACACTACTGGAAAGGCAGAAGAGACTGTGGAGACACCACAGTTGGCAGTAACCGCCCAGGCCTCTTTCCCAGCGTCTGAGATCTTTGGCGTGAAGATCGTCAACGGTCTTCCTACCGAGGCGCTGATCACCTTCACCAACGATGAACCTGCTCCAGTGAATGTGAACTTCATTGGCGGTACTCTGTCAACCCTGGATAACGAATCCAGCCAAGTGGTTCGGAACCTGTCCACAACCTCGTACGCTGTGGAGATCCCGGCGGGTCAGAAGGAGACCGTGAGCTACAGCTTCGCCACGGAAATGCACCCTCAGGATCTGAGACTCGCCATTGCGTCCATTATCTCCGATACTGAGGGAAGATATTTCACCGTCTCTACCTACAACGGAACTGTCAGCATCGTAGAGCCGGAAACTAGTATCTTCGACCCCCAGATGTAAAAGCTCCCTACCTGTGCCTCCCCTGGGGTCATTGACTAACAGGTTTTTTGCAGTATCTTCCTTTACTTCTTCCTCCTGGCTTGTTTTGTTGGCGTGGTTTACTTCTTCTACACCGTTTGGGTTGCGCCTTACTTCCCCCAGAAGCGCAAGCCTGGAAAGGCTGTCGAGTTCTCCAAGAAGACCCCCGGTTCATCGAAGAAGGCCGACACTTCGGTCGAAGGATCCAGCAGGCCGGCCGTCTCCTCCGCGACTACTTACAATGCGGAATGGATTCCCGCTCACCATATTAATCGCCCGGAGGCTCGGAAGGTGAAGGGTAGCACCCGGACTAAGAGCCGTGCCTAAATAGGCACCGTGGTGAATAGTCTATATAGGATTAGTAGTCAAGGGGTTGGTAGCATTTGTTGGTTTTGGAAATTTACAAGCTACTGTCAACAAGTCTCATGTGTGCTTGGCAACTTTGGGCAACGATATTACTGAGAATGTGATCCGCCGAGAGTTATCTGCTATCCGTGGTTGGAACATGTATACTTATGACAAGTTGAACTTGGTCATTGTAGCTCTTAGAAAGTCGAACTTAAGAATATATAGAATCACTTAATCCCTAGGCTCCGATGAAGTTAGCCCGGGTTAGAGCACAGCCATCCCATTCACAACTGTCTCCACTCGAGGAATTCTTTTTCGAGATGCAACTTTAGCTCTGCGAATTTGTTTCCAAAATCCTCCCCACATCGCCAACATATAAAATTGTTCCGCAGATAGCCCTGTTTATCGGGGTTTCTTCGAACATCGTCCTGCGCCAGCGGGAAGTCTTCAAGGTCGATGAAGAACGGCGTGGAGAAGCTATTGTAGTGTTTCCTATGCTTCAGGCGATCGCTATAACGATCCACAGAGATCACATGGATATGCAGATGGTTCATGGATGGGTGCGCATGAATCCCACACATTATATCCTGCCCCCAGTCTCTTCCCGGTGGCAGCTCATCCAATGGAGGTTCCATATTCAGCGCATCCCGCCGTTCCTTGTCCTGAGCCGAATATTTCCCGTGTATACGCCTCATCTCTCCTGCAGCTAGGGAGCGAAGCCTTTTCGCTTCTTCTTTCACTTTGTTAAGAAACTCGAGGTCGTCGAATGCGTCGATTGGGTGGAGGCGGGTCTTTTGCGGGTCTCGAGGAAGTAGGAGTAAATGCAGAGTCGCTTTGGGGAAGAGGTCATGAAGGATGACGAAATCATCGTTGTAGTAGACCACGATGTTGGCGGGATAGGACTCTGGTCTTGCGATGTAGGCGCCCAGAGCATCTCGCGGGCCACCTACCGCTCTCTTGGCTCGTGAATCACGGTGGTTGGCATGCTTAGAGTGCTTGGGTTTAGGAGCAAGAAGTTCCGCAACTGAATTACATCGCCTGTTAATGAAGCCTGGATCATCGCGTGACAGAAGAGGGGTTGCATACATGCGTCTCGTTTTGCCGATTTTTCTCCTTGCGGCTGCGGCTGCGATGAGTCCGTGTCGTTATCCACTTCCACACTGAATAATTCCTTTTCGGGAGTCGACATCATGAAGATCTCGCTGGTGGTTACTCATGGTTGAGTCTGTAAAACATGCAGAGAAAAGGAGCTGTCTGCCGTCTGCCTTACCGATCCGTTCCCCGCAGTCCTGCTAGTGAAGACAATTGCAAAAATGCGGTCTAGTGCGGGGCAGCCAACTTCTCCCCGACCAGCAACGCTGCCTATGCCTCTGACAAGATCCTGACTCCACGGGCGTCTGGTCTAGCAAGTATAACCGTGATTTGAAAAAATGGGCCCCAAGAAGAAGGCTGACGCCCGTGGAGGCCCCAAACCGGGGACCAAGCAAGCCAAAGCGGCTGCTGAGCGATCCGCAGAAACAGCGAAAGTGCCTCCAACGGAGGAGCAGAAGAAACCGTCTGTGAAGCAGGTCATTGGCGGTGCATCATGGACGGGCAAGTTGCCAGTCAATATGCTCTCCGAACACTGTCAAAAGCAGAAATGGGAGAAGCCGGAGTATACGATGGTGAGTGACGTGCCAACACCTTGACCGGCGCAGTTTCCCTCCGTTCCCTGGTGCCAACAGATTGGACTGACAGAACGTCGATCGAGCAGGCCAAAACTCCAGAAGGATACATGTCATCTGTCATATTGAAGCGAGTTGACCCCAAAACCCGAGAAACGACTACACTCCCTCCCATGCGACCGCCTCCATCTCACAAGCATCTGGCCGTACAGGCTACCGCGTTGGAGGCCCGCCATTTCGCTGCAGTGTATGCCTTATTCCGCGTGTGCAATATGAAGAATCTTCATATGATGCTCCCGCCCACCTACAAGAAACTTTGGAAAGAAGACTTCGCCGCCATAAAGACTGCAGATACCAAAGAGGGCAAAGGATGGATGTATGAGGCCGATCCCTTCTTGGCCAAACAGGAACGAGAGAGTGCAGCCGCCGACTTGGAGAAGAAACGAAAAGAGAAAGAAAAGAACCAGGCAAAAGCGACGAATAACAACTTGGTAGATTTAGGGTTACGCTCGAGTGATAATAATAAAGGCAAGAGGCTATGGTCGCAAGCCCCGAAAGTCGACTTGGGAAGTAAAGTCCGCCGCGAGATCGAGGGATTACTCCGCCAGCACGCCATTTGGAATCCCTACAATGTGCAAATCGCGGAAGGTGAGCGTCGAGCTATTATCGAAGAGTTCGCCCGCTTGGGGTTCCGGCGCAGCCACGTAGAAGAGGCTGCGGCCACATGCAAAGACCGGGAAGAAGTTCTTGAATGGCTTCTTATATACGTTCCGGAAGATGACCTGCCTCCCTGGTGTCTGCCGGAGAAGTATATGGCAGGCGTGAGTTTAGCGACCGATGACCTTGCAAGGGAAGCGAAGATAAAACGACTTGCCTCTGTCGGCTATCCTACTGATCTTTGCTCGCGCACGCTAGACAGCAAGCAAGGCGATGAGCTGGCAGCTGCGGAGTTCCTGCAGCGAACTTTGGTGCACGGCGAAACGGCCCCTGCTGACTTCTCATCACCAGAGGATGAGGATTTCTGGACCGAGGAACAAGAGACCTTGGAGGCCATCTTCGGGGAGCGATACCGTCGGATATCGTCCAAGGTTTGCGAGATCAAGGGTGAATCTCCCATGGAAAATATATCGTTTCGCTTTCAAAAGCCTTCTGGCCATTACCCATCGTCAGTGCCAGTCGTTTCAATCCAGGCCAACGATATTCCTGCCTACATACGCCTGAGTGTTATTCGTCAGACAGTGCAATACTCAGAGAAAAATTTCTCGGGCGAGCTGATGATATATAATATACTAGACTGGCTTGAAGTCCATCTACCAGCGATCATTGAAAATCCAGGCAGGCTACGCGACATCTCTACGGTCACAGCAGCGCCGTCTGCAACAGCAACTGCTGTAGAACTACCTACACGCCAGTCGCACAAGAAGACAAAGACTATTACATGGCAGTCAGGCTCCCCTCAGAGCCTTTCTATTCGCGAGGCATGGGAGGCTAGACAGTCGACTAAAGCCCAGCAGGAAATGACACGGAAGCGAGAATCGCTTCCAGCCTGGAATACCCAGGAGGCTATCATACGTGCTGTCAACTCGCATCAAGTTACTATTATCTCCGGTGAGACAGGCAGTGGTAAAAGTACACAGTCAGTCCAGTTCATGCTGGATGATATGATCAAGCGCGACTTGGGCGCTATCGCGAATATCATTTGCACGCAGCCCCGAAGGATCTCTGCTTTAAGTCTTGCAGATCGAGTCAGTGACGAGCGGTGCGCTTCCATCGGTGAGGAAGTTGGATACGTGATCCGAGGTGACTCCAAGGTCAAACAGGGTGTGACCAAGGTTACTTTTGTTACAACCGGTGTCTTACTCCGTCGTATACAATCAAGCAGCGGTGCGGATGGTAATGTCGCAGCCTCTCTGGCCGACGTCACCCACGTTGTTGTGGATGAGGTTCACGAGCGCAGTCTCGATACTGACTTCTTGCTGGCTCTCTTGAGAGACATTTGCCTTCATCGCAAGGATATCAAGGTGATTTTGATGAGTGCCACCCTCGATGCCGACATATTCATCAACTATTTTGGCGGCCGTGACTGTGTTGGACTGGTTAACATCCCCGGACGGACCTTTCCGGTGAGCGACTATTACCTGGATGATATCGTTCGCGACATTGGATTTTCCCCAGAGTTGTCGGAACGGGATTTAGACGAAGATATTGTCTCTACGACACAAACTGAAGAGTCGTTTGGCAAGATGCTTCGTAGTGTCGGGATGGGAATCAACTACGAGCTAATTGCGTCTACTGTCCGGTACATCGACTCTCAACTTCAGGATCAGCCGGGGGGTATATTGATCTTCTTGCCCGGCACGATGGAGATTGACCGATGCCTGAATGCCGTGAAGAATATCCCCAATGTCCATCCGTTGCCGTTGCATGCATCTCTCCTGCCTAACGAGCAACGACGCATCTTCCTGAGTCCTCCAAGGGGGAAGCGGAAGGTGATTGCAGCAACCAATGTTGCCGAGACTTCCATCACAATCGAGGATGTCGTTGCCGTGATCGACACCGGCCGCGTCAAGGAAACGAGCTACGATCCTAAGGACAACATGGTTCGGCTGCAAGAAGTGTGGGCATCCCAAGCCGCCTGCAAACAACGCCGAGGACGTGCCGGTCGAGTCCGGGCTGGATTGTGCTACAAACTTTACACGCGCAAGGCAGAAGCAAGCATGGCACCCCGTCCAGACCCCGAGATTCGCCGCGTACCTTTGGAGCAACTGTGTCTCTCAGTCAAATCCATGCAGGGAGTCGACGACGTCGCCGCCTTCCTGGCAAACACTATCACGCCACCGGAAAGTGTCGCCGTCGAAGGTGCCCTGAGCTTCCTGCACAGAGTGGGTGCCCTGGACCACGACAGGATGACAGCTCTGGGACGATATCTCTCCATGATCCCCGCCGATCTCCGGTGCGCGAAGCTGATGGTCTACGGATCCATCTTCAGCTGCATCGACTCCTGCGTCACCATCTCCGCCATTCTCACCGTCAAGAGCCCTTTCATCTCCCCGCGAGACCGCCGCGAGGAAGCCGATTTCGCACGATCCTCCTTCTCCAAGGGAGACGGGGACCTTCTCACTGACTTGTCCGCCTATCAGCAATGGTCCGAACGAGCCAAATCCCAAGGCTACTGGCAGACACAATCTTGGTGTAGCAGCAATTTTCTCTCGCACCAAACCCTGCGCGACATCTTATCCAACAAGGCCCAATTCCTCACCTCCCTAAAAGACGCCGGCCTCCTCCCAGTGGACTACTCAGACGTTCATTCTACCACCGATCCTCGCTGGAACCGCAACTCAGGCAACCGAGCTCTCCTGCGCGCCCTCGTCGCCGGCGCCTTCCAACCACAGATCGCTCAGATCTGCTTCCCCGACAAGAAATTCGCCAGCTCCGTTACTGGAACCGTGGAGATCGACCCGGACGCCCGAACAATCAAATACTTCAACCAGGAGAATGGTCGCATCTTTATCCATCCTAGTTCTCTCCTCTTCTCTGCTCAAGGGTACTCCGGAGCTGCCGCGTATCTCAGCTATTTCACCAAGATGGCCACCAGTAAGGTGTTTATCCGTGACTTGACCCGTGAGTTCTCCCTCTTCCAGTATCTCTTTACCACACAGAAAAGGAGAGAAACACACACAACATATATGTAAAGAAATCAGCTAACCTATGGATATTATAGCATTCAACGCTTTCTCCCTCCTTCTATTCTGCGGTTCCATCGACCTCGACACCATGGGTCGTGGACTCGTCGTCGACGGCTGGCTACGACTACGCGGATGGGCTCGAATCGGCGTCCTCATCTCCCGACTCAGAATGATGCTCGATGAGATCATTGCGTCGAAAATCGACAATCCCAATACCAGCGTCACTGGTGCGTCAGAGTCCCTGGGCTCCGCTGGTAATGACACGTCCGGTCAGGTGATCGACGTGGTGAAAAAGTTGATCGAATTTAATGGATTGGATAAATAGATTTTGACCATTTTCTCTGGCAGGCATGTTCTGCGTTGGGTATGTTTCCTCTCTCGTTGGAATTGGCTTTTGATTTGTTTCGATATAGAAAGAGTATATAGACGCATAAAAGTGAACTTACATGTTACTGTAAGGTGGTTTGAGCCCATACTACAATCTCATCTATGACAAGAGAAGGATGAATAAATCCAATTCGATTAGTTTCTGCGCCATAATCCTGGATAATAACCCATGTTAAATAAAGAAAAGCGAGGCCAAAAAGAGGTTAAAAAGACTGGGAAAGAAAAGCAACAAAGGAAAAAAGGAAGGGCAAAGATGAGATTCAATGCTGAAAGCTTGTGCATGAAACGAAATCAACATAACCGGGAGCGTGAGGTCATGACACTTGGGCAGATGGTGCGCAAAAAAAAAAAAAAAAAAAAAGAGAGAGAGAGAAAGAAGAAAATACTAGATGAACAAAGGAAACAAAAAGGGTATGCAGGAAGAAGTGAAAAAGGTATCCATCGTCCCATTAACTCCCCAGCCCGGATTGATTGCATGTTTGGCTTTCATGACCCCCGATTTCATTAAGTAGATTTGAAAAGAAAACTCCGCCCATCCGCAACCTGATTGATTCTCCAGCCAGTCACCTCATTTATTACGTGGCATAATGTTGAACCCAAAGCTGTGAAAAGGAAACAGATGCATGTGTTGGGATCGTAAGAAAGCATAAAACGATGAGCTTGAAGAAGTCGTGAAAAGAGTGAGTGAAGAAGCTGCTGTCTGAATACCTCGCGTTGGATCTCCCACTTTCCATTTCCATCTCTCTACTTGCATTATTCGTTTGTTTCTTTGTCAAGACACTTTGGAGTACCCAAGGAAGCATTGATCTCTTTAGAAGCGCCATTTGGGTAGTGCAGAAGAACAGCTGGACAGTCTCAATATTGTAGTGCAATGGGCACTGCAAGGGCATCTAGAGATAAGGATAGACAGAGAACGTCTATGGCGAATTATGCGCGCTTCAAATACTGGACTGCGTCAGGATGGTGCCGATCGACATTATCCCTGGAAGTATCCGGCAGACGGAAACCCTTCCTCATCTCAGCCTCGGCGAAGAGTGACGCTCTCTTGAATTTTCTGTCTGCATACTTCTCGTAGATAGCTGCATGGTGCTTCCGAGGAATCTCGCAGCATTCCATCATGAGCAAAAGAAGTGGTATAAGTTGCGAATAAGTGTATCCCGCGTAGTGAGCGTGCCCTGGTGTCTATTGAATGGTTAGATTCAGGTCAATGGAAGGTGCTTTTAAGACATACCCAGGGCCCCTTTCTTAGCATCATTCTCGCCAGACAATGGGCTCCAGCAGCAACGAAGCTCGGAGGGCTTCCCACGAACCGTTCATCCATGATGGTGATCTCTAAAAAGTATTTCGCGAGAGTTCTAGTTTCTAGATCATAATCATCGGCTTTGCTAACTCTTCGCAGGAAGCTCATAGGACCAGGCCAGCCCAGTTCAAACTGCAGCATGCTCAGCATGAAGCGTTCCGCTTTGAGGATTTCGTCGGCGGAATAGCCTCCATCAACCATATAGACAATCTCTCCCACGGACGGGCAATTGATCTCTTCGTATTTGGCAGCAATAAAGATCGCAGTAGCCCCCACAAGCTGCAGCTTGCCCAGAGAGACTATCTTGCAGGAGAGGAAACGATCGATGTAGTTGACGCACAAGAAAAGCGTTTCGGGAAGCAGGCCGAATCGATGGTGAACCTGCACAAGCCAGTCCATCAGGACCGACCGCATAGACCATTGGATCTCTGCTTGATTATCCATGTAATGGGCATTCGGCAGCATTTTGATCTGAAGATCAGTTAGTGACGGTTCTCGGATGGCTCCATATACGCCGCCAGGAACATACCTCCTGCTCTCTCATATACTCGAAGATCTCTTCATTGTAGTCAGCAACCATGCTTGTGTCCCAGATTTCTTCTTCAATATCCTCCTGTGTTCGATTCTCTTCGACGATCTGCTTTGCGCGAGCTAGCTCCCGCCTCACCTTTTGGTTGAACCGAGGAAAGAGCATCGTCATCCCACCAGTGGTGTTGTCGCCCCGAGAACGACAGGAACGAGCCGCGTTATACCCATCGTCCTCTTCATTTTCTTCTTCCTCTTCATCCCAGTACTCTTCTGGCTCAGAATTAACGGGAACAGTTTCCGTCAGGTTGTGAGATGCGGGAGCACTATCGCGAGACTTTGTCACGCGATCGGAGGCACCAGTCTCGGCTGCAGGGTAATGCTCGTCGACCTTGCTGCTCTCCTCGACATTTTGGACCTTACAGTCATCATCATCAAGTTTCGAGACGTAATTCTCTTCCTCGGTAAGCTCGGAGACAGCAAGCGAGAGTTCTTGTGCTTTGTGCAGTGGATACTCCAATCCCTCCTGCAATACACCTTTTTCTCTGCGACCGTCCAGCAGAGAAGGTGCCGTCGACAGGTGCGAGGGAAGGGCCTCATGATTGGCTTCCTTTGATTCGGTAATAGTTTCCTTGGATGTGAGTTCTATCGTCTCCGCTAGTGGCTCCAATGCGTCTTTGAAGACCGTTCCTCTCTGGCCGAGAGCCTTGCGGGGATTTGCAGTTTGTTGTGCGGTGCTCCATTGTTTCCCAGAGGGCTCGAGGGGTTTCGGGTTCGAGGAGTTGTTCAAAATGCCCTTGATCCCCGTCATCGACATGGGACGTTGTGCCGGCTGGGACAACACGGCGGGCTTCTTCTCCACAACCAATGTGGTGGGCTTTTCTGACACCTTGAGATTTTTCTTGCCGGCAAGAGAGGCGTCGTCTCGAGTTCCTTGGACCAAGTTCACGGTATTGCTCACATCTCCAAAGGCGGCCCTTCTAGGACCATTCTTGGCGGCACCATTTTGGAACATTGTCGACAAAGCAGGTGTGGATTTGTTTCTCTGATGTACGGTTTTGCCGGCAGCCTGGAGAACGGGCGCATTTTCGTCCCCACGGACACGAATTCGTTGGGGCTGCGATAAATAACTTGGGTCAGTAAAAGTGAACAAATTATTGCGACAACAGCAAAAGAAAAATACAAAGAGCTAGGGATCAGTCGCTTGTCGAAACTAGTTGACATCCCGAGGGCTTTCGTCTCTGCCGACAGACCGGATGCAGAGGAAGGAAAGAGCGATAATAGAGCAGAAGAGAGGGGAAACAAAATGAACATACCTTTGCGTCCATTTTGCACCGGAAGAGGTGGTAGCCTTCACCGGACCGGGTGTGCTGAGGATTGGAGAGGCTTTCAGGATGATTGTTTACCTCTTTGCAACCTACGCAGGCGAGGTCGTCGTAGTGGCAGCGGAACTTATACTAAGCCCGACCCAAACAAACAACAGAAACCGCGCCAAGAAAGTGCCTGAACAAGGCCGAGGAACCGAATCTCGAGTGGAATCCCCAAGAGGTACAACAATATGGTTCAAACGCGCACCGGAACCCAAGGGCATCCACACAAGCATTGAGCGAGGGAGAGATGGAGGCGAGAAGGAGGAAGAAAGTGACTACAATGGGTGTAGCGACCAGAGCGTTCAGCGTTGTCCGTCTCACTGGTGATGGATGGCGAATTGCCCAAATCGGTTACTTCCTTACTTGGTTACTGTCAACAACGGAGGCGCTAGGCCGCTTCCGGCTCCTTGTGACATGCTTATGTCATGCCATGTTTGTCTGGTTTGCAGTCAATCTGGGCCCATGACATCATCTGTCGCGTCTTCTCCCTACGGCCATGGGTGACTCCACGACAAGTATCTCAACAAAATGGAAGCAGGATTCTCAGTAAAAATGTGACAATGTTCTGGCACTTCATGCGACAGGTTTCCGTGCAATTGTTATTTCATTGACCCTTGGAAAGAGGTGTTTGTGTGACTTACTCGTTCAGAGACCCTTTACGCGCCCCAGAACACGAGCCTGCAGGCAATTAAACGCGAGAGCACGTGAGCTTACCACGGCCCCTACAGTACGTCGTTCGCTATGCGATTCAACAACTTTTGGCCTGCTGAAGGACTGGGTCCTACCATATGAGTCAATCTGACCAATATTATGCATGTTCTTGCTTGCTTGCCGTCAATCTGACTTCTCGGGTGGTACTCCCAGGCATGATGGGCTGGCTCATCAAGACCATCGCCGATGGCAGTGTCCACAATTTTAGTGCAAGGAAGTTCTCCAACTTAAAACTAGGGGCCGATAAGCCAGGAAGGAAGATGCGCATGCCATCAAAAGTTGGGGGGAACTTGTCTTCATATTTTTCCTTCATGTCGCCTTCTTCTCCGTTGGCGCCCGTATCGCCGGAAAGCCACAACTCTGTCCAATGTGGGACGCGGATCCGGCGGTACCTATCATGACGCCTGCCTTTTGGCTTGTCGGTATGACTGGCATCCACTTTGCGACAAGACAAGACAATATCCGAAATGGAATCAATCCATCCTGCTCAAGGCTCTGGCTTTGGCGGAGGATTGATTCTGGGCGCAAAAAATCATCGCTCTTGTGTGTGAACCAAAACCAGAACGAGTACCGTGCGAGTTTCCCGATCAATGGCGAACCATTGAATTGGATCGACCCGAAATTCTGGCAGGAAAAACCAGGGTGATTAAGATAGATGAATCACCACCAGAATCATGCCAATTATCGGCGTCGCAAACTTTCGGTGTGCGGACTCTCCATAAGAACGCCCCGCTCAAAGAAACTGTTCCATTTCCCAGTCTCTCTTTTTTTCGCCGCTCGCTTTGCGAGGACTTTTTTATTTTTAATTTTATTATTCCGACCTTTTAATCTTCCTCGAAATGGTCCATTTAAGTACAGACCCCGTCATCATCGATCCCAGATGATCTATAATCCGTCTCCATATCGGGTCACTTGCAAACGCATGTCTCCAATCCGTTTCTTCTCCCCCCACCCGGCTAACGGCATCTTTGCGCCAGCTGGTTCTGCCTGACTGGGAGGAAACGATCTTTCACCGTCCTTGTTCGCATCCTTCGTCATCCTTTCTCGTCCCCTTTTCGTATGCGACAAGCATGCCGAACTGGGTTGGTAAATGCGACCCTCCCTCTCCCCTCCCTAATCTTAATCTTCTGGGGACCCTGGGAAGACGGTCGCACGCGCACGTAGTGGAAGCACAGGCGATAGGCGCTGATGATGGAGTAAGTCGTAGGATGATCTTCCGAAGGGGAGAGCAATTCCTTACGTAGCCCCAAGGAGGGGTAACGATCGAGTCTGGACAGGCGCAGATCATGAAACGAGGCAACAATAGGATGCGGTCGCTGGATTGGCTCGGGCATGAAAGCAAAGAAAGGATCCATTCAATGCATTCCTTATAGTCCCTCGGTGCTTCGATGTCTGTCTACGATGGGTGAGGGTCAAGGGTCTCTACATTGTGTGGGGTTGCACAGTTGAAATCCCACCCAGTGAACCACCAACTATAAGATAAAATAATACTCATTGAGGGAACTAAAAAAGGAACTAGAAACATGAATCAATGCGCCACTTCAAAATAACAGGAGAAGCGAGTTATATATATAACCGATCCCCATCGACAACCCTATGACATGCCATGGCAGCAGAATGGATGGATGATGACTTGGTCGCAAGGACCTCTTTCTCTCCCACCAGGAGAGCTTGCTACGGCCTGGGTCACGTCTCAGGGTGCGAATGGATGGATGAAGGAATGAATTAATGAAAGAGTGAATGGACAAACCAAACCATCGAATCTGGGATGATGACGGAATGAAACTGGGCCTGAAATAACCGGGATGTGAACGGGGGTGTCATTCGACGTGGCCGCGCTGAGGATGTGCCCAATTAATCCGCCACTCTTGCGCTCGTTCACAGGGGCCGCGAATAATCCGGTCGGGGGAAATGAAGCTATCGATAATTTCCTTTGTCAACGTTGATAGAAATTAGAGAAGTGACTTCGACTTCTAGGACGAGGAGCAGTTTATTCTCGTTCCGGGATTTGCGCCGGAGCCATTGACAGTGAGAGGATGAGATGATCGCACTGGAATCAACCTCGACATAAAAAACTGGCCAGCATTTATTTCTGGGAATCCGGTCGCAATCCCTCTCCAAGTGTATATCTCGATCACAGTCGAGTTTAGATTGCATTGTGGGAATGCGACCCGAGTGAAAGTCGATCGGGAACTGAAGGCGCAAAATGCGACATGGCGGATCCGGATATACACATAGTCTCTTGGACGAGAGCAAGGAAAAAATAAAGAAAGAAAAAAGAAAGAAAGAAAATGAAAAAGAAAAAGAAACAAATCTGTAGAATCTAGATTACTAGGCTGTCCATGTAATTAATTCTACACTTAGAATCTCGAGGGTCTTTTGTTGAGTCGAACGAGGCCATTGTCACCAACCCTCTTTAGGTGAAACCCGTCCATCCGCTCTCCTCTTCGTCTTCCTCTTCGTCTTCTTCTTCTTTCCTCCCCCCAAAGCCGGCCCTGTCGACTGCCATTTCCACTTCACCAGTCCATCAATCTTCCCAGGTAAATGATCTCTCTGTCTTGGTCCTCATCCTAGTCTCTCTCCCCTGCTATTCCCCTCCTCCCCTGACTCGTCGTTTCGGCTCTGCATCGTCTGCTGTGAAGGCATCGCTGACCAAGCCCAGGCGCTTGCTTTGTAGACGTCCCCCACCGCTACGACCTCGACCATCGCCATCGCCTGACTCCTACCTTCCTTCCCTGCCTGCGTGTATGACTGCGACTCCGGGTGAGTAGGTTTTATTTGCCATAGGTGCGTCTTTTGATGTTCTCCATCGTCTTCCGAAAGATTCGGGTCGCTTTGCCCACAACCCCCCAAGCCTGCAAGTCATCCAGCAAACGACTCCTCCCTCATCCACACCTCCTCTCCATCCCAGCATCCTCCCAGCCCATCCCTCAGTTCCATTGAAGCCATGGACGATAAGTTGTGCTGACCGGGCTTGAGCATTTTACCTAGATTTTCCACGGCAATTTCTTCCCTTCTGCCCTTTTCCGTCGCTCTCGGCTCTTGCGACTTGGGTTGCTCTCATTCCATCCACAACCCTTCGACATCGGTCCTTGGTGTAGAACAATCGCAGGTGATCCATCTACCAATTGATCCCTTTGACTCTCCTTGTTGTGGTAGGTTTGGATGGATTTTCCCTCTACCTTGCCCTTCCTTCCTCACTGCCTCTGCCGTCTGCCTCTCTCTCATTCCCCACTCCCCCTCCCCCCTCTTCCACTCCTTCTCGTCGCTTGGCCCTTTATCCCTCTTCTATAGTTGGAACACTCGATTGATCCTGTCATCAATGTAGCAGCGGTGTGGTAGTCTACCCTGCACCTTTCCATGATGCAGGCTGTCCACTATGAAGGGCAGTGTGCTCCGGGAGAGTCGCCCGTCTATCCGAGCCACCACCCGCCCCAAGACTCCCCCCACAGAAACCCTGTCCCCAAGAACGTCGCCTTCGAGCTACTCCTTGATGAGAACTCCAAAGTGCGTGCTCGCATTCCGATGCGAGTCCAGATCTATCCTCATGATACTACGGATTCAATCGTGACCACCGTCAAGAACTTTTACGGGATCTACGATGGCGCTGCTAGCGGTGTCAGCTTTGAGGATGAGCATGGCACCACCCTCATTGCTAGGTATGAGAATCTAAGAAACAACATGACTGTCTACGTACGGGTCATCCCGGTTCAGGCTTACGCAGATGGCTACGGAGAGCAGCTCTATGGTCATGTGTCTGTAGACGCTCGCAAGCGTCCGAGTCTTGGCGAGCCCTTCCAGATGCCGCCGGCAATGCAACCGACACCGATGCTGGATCATGGCCGGCCGCCATCTCGCCCGGGCTCTCGAGTCGCTCGGAAGCGTAGCATGTCGCCATCTGCGAGAAGCTGTCGGAGCGCGTCCCAGCACAAGCAGCTGTCGAAGGCGGGCAACAAGAGCCGGGGTTCAAGCGCTCACGGCAGCTTCCAGGATGAAGGAACTCCTGGCTATAGTGACAGCGAGGGTGGCTATGGATCAGTCTCGGGGGCAAAGAAATCCCGGAGTGAGCAGCTGGGCAGCTCGGATATCAGTATGGAAAATATCCTGCAGGATGGCCGTCGCAAACGGCCCAAATTTGAGAGTTCGGTTCGTTTGGTCACCGGTCGTCTCCAGTGCTACTCTGCGGTGCATACGAGTGCTAACAATGCCATGTTCTCTTTCTTTAGGAATTGCCGTTGTTTGTCCCTCCTCAAGTTCCTCTCACCACCTCGACCTCCTCGATCTCCCCCCAGCGCCGGTCTGTCGGACAAGAAGGGGTTGTCTCGCCATTCGCTCGTCCTGCTCAGCGACCATACAACTACCAACAGCCGCTGCCCTCGCCACAGAGCTATGGGAACAGCGAGCAAGTATATGCCTATAACCCCCCGCGCAATTCTGTATATGCGACTCCCACAGTCCCCGAGCATGGGCATCGCCTGCGTGACCGGACTGTGACTCAGTCGTCGGGCCAGTTGAGCAACCCGGCGGGTCGGATCAACGGGCCGGGCGTCCTCCCAACCCCGGACCCAACCATTGCAAGCTGTATATCGGATGAGGATGTTGCCATGCAACTCATCCGTCTCGGAGATGCTTCCAATTTCTCACATGGTCGCACCTCCGCTTCGACGCTGGACGACGCCTTCAGTGGTGCTGCAGACGCGGCCTCTTCGACCGGCGCGACGAGTGACGGAGAAGATTTCAGCGAGGAAGATGATGACCTGCCCACGCGCAGCCGACAGAGGCTGGAATCAAGCCCAATGCTTCCCCCAGGAGCCACCAAACGCACTCACAAGCGATTGGACGATATTCTGCCCAGTTTTGACAGCTCCGATGGCAGTTGTGATGGGTACGATGATGAGTACAAGCAGGAGGAGCCAGAAGACGGCCTGATCAAGCACGAGGTGGACGATGACCCGTTCTACAAAGAATCGACACCCAAGCCAAAGAAGGCCAAGACACGAGCAAATAGCACGGCCTCGAATAAACCGCGCACATCGAAGCCTGCCCCGGCGCGCCAAAGCAAAGGAGGCAAGAATGCTTCGACGGCCGGGCCCCGGAAGGTCAAGTCGACCTCCAATGCCACCACACAGAAAGTTGCCATGTCACCGCAGATGGTGAGCCCCGCTCCAACCCGGAAAGCTTCCACCTCTTCTGTCAACTTCCAGCCTCCGCTGGCCGCGGACGAGGAGGACCTGTCGACGAAGCCGCGTTGTCAGCGATGCCGAAAGAGTAAGAAAGGCTGCGATCGGCAGCGCCCTTGCGGGAGATGCAAGGATGCGGGCATTGGTCTGGAGGGGTGCATCAGTGAAGATGAAGGAAACGGTCGCAAAGGCCGCTATGGACGGCATATGGGGGTCCCGGTCAAGAAAGTCCTGGAGCCCCCCGCAGCAAACAGCGAAGCATTACCGGTGGCGGCCGCAAGCCCGCTGTTCTCTGCCACGGTTGAAAAGAACAAGAAACGCAAGCGTTAGTGTACTGATCCCTTTGGATTCTTCCTCACTTCGTCACTGCGTAGGTTGGAGCCCGCCTGTTTCAAGCCGGGGCCGGGGCCAATGATGGAATATTGGGTTGCTAGCGCTTTTATTGTGCTACACCGACCCTCGTCAGACCTGTTTGAAATCATCTCCTCATCCATCGTATTTTTGCTTTACACTTTTCTCTCCATATTTGACAACTTTGACTGCGTACATTTGGCTTCTTCTTGAAAATACCGTGTCCATTTACCGTCAATGCTCTTTGCCTGGCTGTCCTGAAGATGTACCGCGTTTGAGGCTGACGGACCATTCATGGCGAGTCGACCCCTGCCAGGTGAGCGGGCGCGATCCTCTCCTGCTTCCTCTCCCTCCCGAGCCTACTAAAGCTCCTTACACTCCTTCCTTCCGAGCGCAGTGTTCCTCTTGCTACACTCTGCATCGTACTTGTTTATCATGGATAGTCTAGCGATTGAACTGAGCGGGTTGAACATCTTTGTTGTGTCTTTTGGCGTTCATGCTGTTGCCGCTTACGGACTACTGTTTCAGTGTCACATACATTCATTTATTATTATTAGCCTATGTTTGAAGCAGTGGATTTCCTTTTTTTTTTTTTGGTCCTGCTTTTGGTGCACTGAACTCCTGGGATGGGCGATGTCCTGAGGCATTTTGCTCATCGAGTAAGGATTATAGTATATATCTTGCCTTTCAGAGATAGGGCAGCAGTCTTCCCCTAGAGAGCTGAAGGCTCCGTATATAACATAGCAAAAGACACCACATATCTATTGGTGCCTTATTGCAGCCTTAATGGTGTATTGCCGCATGCAGTTTAGCGCTATTATGTATGCCGGGAGGATTAAGCGCGCGCTTCTTTTTTTCGGCCAAATTCATGATCAGAGAGTATTCCGCAATGATCATCTTTTTTTGCACTCTGGATAATCTCTCATACACTCTATTGCTCTATAGGACTTGTCTTTTTCTGTCAAGATATATCCCTCTTTACTGGCCTCGGCCAACCGAGCATTTCCTTCCCCTTAAGAGCTGGGTTACATACGCCGAACGACACGTTTAGGACATCTTAGAACTCGGCATTAAGTCTCTGTCTCTATCTCTGTGGATTTCTTCTCTACCTGATCCCGTCACATATATTAGGCCAAACACCTTGCATTCAGAGCAGGAGCCATCTGAGCCAAATCACCATGCCACCCAAAGCAGCACCCCGCCGAGGGGCGGCCGCTGCAGCCACCACCCGACAAAACGATGCAGTTGAAGGCACACCCGCGAGTTCTGTCTCGACATCGACGGCGGCTGCACGGGCGCCCGTGCAGCGACTTCAATCGCTGAAGAAACGTGCCCCCTCGGGCAGCATCAAGCCGACAGCCGGCGTGGGGGACGGAGAGACAGCGAAGCCGGCACTGAAATACAAGCCTCGCGCGGTGGGGCGGCGAAGTAAGGAGGAACGAGAAGCAATTGAGAAACTCGAGGCGGAACGGCATCGGGAGCGATTGGCGGAGGCAGCGGCCATTCAGCGCTCTCAGGGCAATACCGGACCTGGAGGGAGAGGGGGGTTTGGAAGAGGACGGGGAGGACCAATGGGATCCGCTGGACCGTTGGGGTCTGGAATGGCAGGTCGCAGGGGACGCGGGGGTGGCAGATTTGGGAATCAGGATTCGAGACATTCGTCCATGTCGCGGCGCAGTCGGTCGGTCATTGACGTGGCGAGTGGCGCTGTGAGTCGGGATGTATCGTCAGATGAGAGTGATACGGAAGTGCGGATCAGCATTGACCAGATTAATCTCGATGGCGACGAGGATGAATCCAACGAAGTCGTCGTGGATAAGAAGGGTAAGGCCGTGGTGAAACATGTCGACAGTCATGGTGAAAAGGGTTTGCGGCCCATTCGGGTTGAACGACATGAGCACGAGGAGCGTGTGGTCAGCGTGAATATGGAATCCAGCTCGAGTAAATCGGCTGAGCTCCGTCAGCAGGCACAAGCCAAGACCACTGAGGATAATGCTCTATTCGTGCCCGAGGATGGAGCAGCTTCACAAGAGACGGAATCCCGTGTGAAGCAAGAGCCTACAGACGGGGAGGACCAGGCCATGGAAGACGTTGCCCCCCACCAGGATGAAGCGGTGACGACGGATGATGGACTTCTACCGGTACAGAAGGTCAAGGTGCGCAGGAATTTGGGCTCGAGGGAGGCCTCTACAGTCCACGAGACGCCGACGCCGACGCCTGCACCTATACCCGTGGTCAAGGACCCCAAGAGTTTACTACGCACAAAGGAGGATGTTGAAGAATACGATCGCCATATCAATGATCTCGAGATGATCAAGGATCTCTTGTGGAGGGAGGAAAAAGAGCCGGGTGCAGAGAAGAGTTCCGGACCGGACACCATTGCCACAGCCACAGACCAGGAGAAGGATGACGCAGAAGACGAGGGAGAAGACGAATCGACCAAAGACAAGCTAGCCGGTCAGCTATTCTTGATGCAATTCCCTCCCATGACGCCTAATTTGATTGTTCCGGGCGAAGGTGGGGAGGATGTCGATGCAGAGGCGGCCAACACCTCGCAACACGCTGCCGCGGAGAACACAGCCCTGAACGGCCGGGGCATTAAGCGGGAAGATGGCGTGGAAGTCCTAGATGGGGCCGATGATATCACGACCAGCCAACGGTCGAAGATCGTCACCGCGTCCGACTGGCAGCTCCCGGCTGGTAGGGTGGGCAAGTTGAATGTGCATGCCTCGGGTCGAGTGTCGATGGAATGGGGTGGGATCAGCTTCGAACTCGACCGCGCCACTGCGGTCGACTTCCTTCAAGAAGCTTTGATTGTGTCAGAGAACAACGAGGATGATGTCGAAGTGCCGGAGGAGAACAAGGTGTGGGCGATGGGACAGCTTAGCGGCAAGTTCACGGTGTCGCCCGATTGGGGGAAGATGCTATGATGCATGACATCTGCTCCTACGTACTTACAGCACGCGAGTCACCGGATGTGTCGATCGATGGATGTTGACAGACTGAGATGTGGGATGATCGGCATCACCTTGTCAAGGGTGATGATGATGTCCTATTATTAGCACACATCGCAGGTGGCTGTTCGGAGCAAATGGCGGTTTACCTTGCAGGATGTACCTCATCTTGTCCCTCTGCCTCGTGCGGTACCAACTAACCCTAGGACGACAACATCGTCCCCTGTATATATTTGTCTTCTAGGTACCTCCTTAGTACTCCGCAGGTAAGGTACAGAAATAATATGTACGCAACCGCCAAGCATTGCATAAATAGTACAGTACATCACAATACTCGTCATCCAACAGTAAAAACTGGAAATTACGGCCTCCAGCGGATGACCCTCTCGTGGTTCTTAGACAGTCTCTGATTGGCCAGTGGACCCTCGACCAAGATCCCAATCGGGAAAAGGCTGGGGTCGATTATTCCAGGGGGGAGACCCTGCTCCACCACTGCGGATTGGCCTCGATTTCCTGACAAGCTTCTGTGGGTGGCACGAGACACCGATCGTCTTGCACTAGTGCCAGGCCACGCTAACACGGCTGGACAACAGCCAATCCGGACGATGCAGATGGCGCCTTGGCCCCGCAGTGGAGACAACCGAAACACTAACTGCCATTAAATTTCACTATTTCCAGGGCCAATGGGCCTGTCAGCGTCTGGCCGTTTTTCTCTTCCCCTTTGCCAAACCACTCACTCGTTTTTGTTTTTCCTTCTTGCAGTTCTCCCTCGTGCATTGATCTAGTTTGCTTCTTGTCCCTGGACCCTTGTTGTTGCCGTGTTGTTGTTGTTTCTGCTTATCATTCTGAATTGCATCGACCCTCTTTACCACAGCGGTTGAATTCTATTCTGGTTGTCATTGTTTCCGATTCCCTCGTCTTAACTCCTCAGGAGTTGAACCAAGTCGCTCGTTTTTGTTCGGGATCCCTTGCGACGCGATATCTGAATCAACTCCCCCGTTCGGTAGTTGGCTGTGATCGCTCCATCGCCCCAAAGAAATCCAGATTGCTTAGTGGAGCTACCTATATTGGGCAAGGCTTGCTTCTTTCTCTTCTTTTGTCCTCATCCTACAACAATGAAGCCCTCGACGGTTCTCCTCTGCCTCGTCCCTACGATAGCCTTCGCCGTCGACACTGAACATGTACCACCAGCCGTCGATCCTATTCTGCCGTTGCCCAATACCACTCCTCCCGTTCCGTTGCCTGAAGTACAGATCCCGTCGACTCGAGAAGATGAATTCAGCTCACTCTTGGAACCCCGCCACATGGTCCGTATGGCACGCCCTGCTCCGGTCAAGCAAACAGACGGGACCATCACAGTTGCTCCAGAAGACACCGTTCCGACAACAATACTGGATCAATGGCCAGAACTCTCTCAGGGGCGCATCGGGCTTCGGCGCTTGGACACATCGCCAGGAGGCACAAAGGCCCTACGTGCGCGAAGCGAAGGCACACTGGGCCAAACCCCGTGGATTGGAATGGCTATTGGGCTCACCTGTACGGGACTGACTGCTGTTATGCTGGGGTGATCACGGTGACCGATTCGCATGGTACTGTTCCTCGATCGCAGGATATTCGAGCACTATTTCGCAGTTCATCACACACGCGACTCTTGCATGGATCTATTGTTTGCCCGTTTGGCGTGGAATTTGCATTCGGAGTTCTTTTTCTTCGCTTCCATCACATTTTTATGACAGACTTTGGCAATCATGAGTTAGTTGGTTGCTATTTGCCACATGAGTATTCCATACATTGGGAGCATATTGATTCATTATTCATCGAAGGATAGATATCTGCACACTGATATCTATCTTTCTATTTATCTTTGATACCTTTGATGGTTTTTCTGTCCTTGGTCAATCCTGAGGACTGACTTCTTTTCTTCATGCCCACCTGATACATAGATTGGGTTGGTGACGTTTGGTGTTACGTGTACATGATACCTTTCTGTATCCTTTTTCACTTTTTTGTCTCCTTTCTATGGTCAAGACTTGGACTTATATACCACTGTTACTATTATATATTTTAACCAATGTATGTACTGAACTTTGCATGACGATCCAATCCAATCGAATTTCTTTGATCTTGATGTGTGAAGTTCGAACCGCCACCAATCATGCCGTGGGGACGATGTCTTTGTGGTCTCTTTGTGCCCCTTACTCTTCCGGTTTAGTTTAGCTTAGCCTGTCTTGCAAACAAACCTGAATACGAGCCCAGCCCAGCCAAGTTGGCCGTTTTCCTCCGCATTATTTTCTTTCTTCTAGTTCTTTGTCTGTCTCATCTTCAGTTGATATATGGTGTAAACCCCGTCGGATCTACATCCAGTCCGTACATTATCTTATCATCCATTGCCACAATAAAAGAACTCAAACGAGGAAGGAGAAAGCGAAAAGAAGGGGAAGTAATACAATGAACGACGCCGACCACCTCCCTAAGAATATTCCCCCGTACACACCTATGTCGTCTCTCGGTCACGAACTCGGTATTCTATTTGGGTTTCTGGCGGCTTGTTTCGTCGTGATCGCTGTTTATATCGTTTTATGGCGGGGTACATTCCTTCTTCTTCTACTTCTACTTCCCTGCTGCTTTTCTTTTCTAGTGTTCTCCCTGCTGTCTCGTGCCTGTATCACCCTTTGACTAGTCCCATTCCCTTTGGGTTTCGCATATTGAAAACCACGACGCTAACCACCAAGAGGGAAAAACAGTTATCGAGCGTCGCGAAGAACAAAGAGAGCGCCTACGAAAAGAACAGTTAACCGCAAAGGGAATCCATCATGGTCGCGGCGGGGTACATGAGAAGATGATGGATCGGGATCGGATTGCTCCGTTCGAGCGGGTGGAGCTACCCGGTGGTCAATATCCACATTCCAGTGGCGACGTTGGCATCGGCGTTGGTGGAAGCAGCAGGGCTAATGTGACTATGAGGAATCTGGAGAGACGGTTGGAACGGGAGATGGAGATGGAGATATTGGGGGTGGGATCTCGTTGATGGGATTATCGTATTACTATTTGGAACTGGGAATTTCCATGTATATGGGGAATTATGTTGATATGACATGCTATGATTTAATGCGATATGATATGATATGATAGGCATATGCCAGATCTGGTTATTCTACTCCGAATACGTAATCTATATTCATTTCCCCATCGCTACAAACAACCGATCACCAATATCACCCAATCCCGGTATGATCATTCCACGGTCATCGCATTGCTTATCGACAGCGCCCACCCACAGCTCCACGCCCTCCGGCCAGGCAGCGACGGCGCGACGCACCCCGGGCTCGGACGCCAGGACACCCAGCATCAGCACGCGCTTGACGCCCCACTCGCGCAGCAGATGAATGGCCGCTTCGGCGGTAGCGCCGGTGGCGATGACGGGATCGAGCAAGATGGCGACCTCGGCCGCTGCCGAGTTGGTGTCTTGCGTCGGTCGGTGAAAGGGCAGGTTGTTGTAGTATTCGACCGGTTGGAGGGAGAGTTTCTCGCGGAAGAGACCAAGATGGTAGATGGGGACGGGATATGGGAGGAGGCTATTAACGGCTGCTTGGGTGTCAGTCAATCAGTCAGGTAAGGTGGTGGAGAAGCTGCACGGCACAAAAATGGCAGATACATACACTCAATCATGCCCAATCCCGAACGAAGGATAGGCACCAGGGCCACGTTGGTGGGGTCGATATCTTGGGTCTCATATTCGAATCCCAACGGAGTTTGATCCTACACAGAATACGGGTTTGTTTAGTCCATAGAGGTACAACCTAAGCCAGATAGATAGATGGATAGGCATACAGTCCCACAAGGGGTGGTCTTCAGGCCAACAGCCAGGGCCTCAACGGCCATGATGGTCGCGATCTCATGGACGAGACCGCGGGTGTCCCGAGTGGAAGTGGATTTGGAGCGCAACTGGGAGAGCTTTGCTTGGAGACAGGGATGAGAGGAGACATGGACATTGGGAGGGAGAGACATGATCGAAAATGGATGAGACAAAGGACTGAATCAAAGAGAATGGAATTGGTTGAATTGTTAAGAAGAGAGAGAGTCTGTAATGAGGGGAAAAGAGGGGGTGGGAGGTCACCTGCTTGCTTAGTCTTCAGCTCACATTTTCTTTCTCTCCTGTTCTTTTTCTCTTCTTTCCTGTTTTTTTTCTCTTCTTTCCTCCCTCTTTCTTCCTCCCACTTCTGCATCCCAATCCTATCCCTCCATCTCTTTACTGTGATCATTCAATGGATCACTGACTCCACTTGGGACCTGACCCGACCCACTTTCCACCCTATATATCCACCGCCAAGTTTCTCCCAATATGAATCATCGTCATTCCCCAAAAACAGGCCATGTCTTCCTCCGACGCAAACCTCGACACCAATGCGCCTCAAACAAACAATAACGCCTCCTCTCGCACGTACGAGGAATCCCCCCTTACCCAGCGACTTGCCAAACATGCCACTAGTCTCTACACCCTCTCGTACCTCGTCTTCTTCTCCATATTTGGCACATTGGCGCGTCTCGGCCTCCAGGCCCTCACCGTCTATCCCAGCGTCCCTGTCTTAACGGGAGTTCTCTGGGCCAATGTGGGTGGATGTCTCCTGATGGGCTTCTTCTTAGAAGACCAGAATATCTTCCGCGAAGAATGGGGCTCCCATGACACCTCCGCCAACCACTCAGGGGGGGCGACTGAAAAGGCCAAGCGACACAAGTCCGTCAAGAAGTCCATCCCGCTGTATATTGGCCTCACCACCGGCTTCTGTGGCTCCTTTACCTCTTTCTCCTCGTTCATCCGGGATATTTTTCTCGCCCTCTCCAATGACCTGCCCAATCCATCCAACCCTACCGTCTCGCGCAATGGCGGATACAGCTTCATGGCCCTCGTCGCCGTCATCCTGGTGACCGTCTCTCTCAGCCTAAGCGCTCTCATATTCGGTGCGCATCTCGCCCTCGCTCTCGACCCCGTCGTCCCTACGCTACCGTTCCGCTTCATCCGCCGATTTCTAGACCCCCTTTTCGTTATTCTCGGTTGGGGATGCTGGCTGAGCGCTGTTTTCCTAGCCATCTGGCCGCCCGATCGGCACAATCCCCCGCCAGAGGTCTGGCGCGGACGTGCCGTCTTCGCCATCGTCTTTGCCCCCTTGGGCTGTTTCCTGCGCTACTACGTTTCCTTAGCCCTGAATGCTCGAATTCCTGCTTTTCCCCTGGGTACGTTTACCGTCAATATTGTTGGCACCATCGTTCTCGCCATGTGCTTTGACTTGCAGCGCGTCGACGGCTTGGGTTCTGCGCTCGCATCGAGCGCGGGCTCCTCTGCTATCCTCACCAGCTGTCAGGTACTTCAGGGCGTCATGGACGGTTTCTGTGGCTGCGCCACCACCGTAAGTACCTGGGTCGCGGAGCTGAATGGACTCAGCCGTCGTCGGCAGGCCTATGTTTACGGCATTAGTAGCATCGCAGTGGCTCTGGCGTTTGTTATCGTCATCGTAGGTTCCTTACGATGGACCCTTGGCTTCGTGGAACCCATGTGTGCATGATACAATTCATTAGTGTGTAATATGTAGAATAGATGAAGCTACCAAATGTGTAATATACCCAGCAAGTGGAGACACATGTGACTACGACTTGAAAAACATGAGTGAAATCAGCTATCCCCGCCAAACCAACTTGTATTTTGTGCTAGAATTACTTATAGTACAGGGTACTACAATGCAAACCATGTGCAATCAGTAAGCAGAGCAGATCAACATTATCAACGCAAAGAATCTCAAACAACAGCGACAATGAACAAAACAAAACGTCAAGGACACGCAGGAAAAAGATGCTTAAATCAAAATGGTAGAGAGGAGACAAAAACTCAACAACACAAACAGCGGGGATGACATAAGCGCATAAAATCAGAACGGTTCTAAATCACATACATTAAAAAGAAAGAAAAAAAATAATAAAAAAGTAGGGCGAAAGAAGGACGTGAAGAAAAGACTAAAAACGGGCAAAATGAATAAGTATATAACGGCGAGGTATCAAGACGGTCTGGGACAAATCGACTGGCACATTAACCAAGTACGCTGATGCGCACTGGAGAAAGAGCACTAATGATTAATAGGGTAGAAATGAATATTGAAAAAGCAACAACTCCACCGAGTGCTAAAGTGAAGAACACACAGGACCAGCCGGGTGTCGAGAAGTTGCTTTGGGAAAACAACCCAGAAAAACATGGAAAAGGACCACACCGGACTCCTGTGAGCTCTTGCAAAATGAAAACCGCCGGAAGAACCAGGAGAACGCAAGGAAAGACGTCGCAAAAAAAAAAAAAAAAAGGTCGGACAACACTGGCACAAAGCATTATGCGGCAGTTCAGTTCATAGCATTCCATGAAGGGAAGAAAGCACTTTGCCGCCCAATTGCTTGCTCCGTTGTTCCCGACCCTGAATTCCGAAAATCTGCCAATGTCCCAGTAGAGAGGTAAATGCTAAAAAAAAAAGGAAAGTGAGTAAATCCAAAAAATAAAATACGATCAATGTGAGAGAATGGGCTCGAAGAGACCATAAAAGGCCGAATTTGTATCCCGTAGCAGGCGGCCCTATACAAAACTAGTAGGCCGTTCCTACGCTTGCAAGTGTCTTGGTGGGCATTGGGTGAATAGGTTGATCCTTGGCAACGCGCAGAGAGTCTTCGTAGCCAACCAAGGCCTGAGAATGAAGTTTGAACGATTCACCCATCAACTTAGTGATTCTGTACAAATCGATTAGTCACCTATTCACTCCGATCTTATCCACAGGTATCAGGGAAAACTTACCCCCAAACAACGACGCCGTCTAGGATGTTACCCCATACACGTGCCACGGTGGAGCTGAGTTTCCCAAAGGCATCGACGGCGTCATCATCAAACAAATTCCGCACCTTGTTGTAAATGGCCATCTCAGCCTCAGTGGCGGGCTCTTCGTCATGTTCCAGGCGATAGAGCCAGAGACTCAGAATAACCATCAAATCCAGACCACAAAGTGGATGCTCAATACTCCAGTTCGTGGCAGATGTCTTAGCAACCCAGTTGATTCCCTGAATGGCGGCGATTTCAATGCATTCAAAGCAAGACTGAATGACTTTGTTCATTTCCTGGGACCGCTTCACCTTTTCGCGAGCAACAGTCATGGCAGCAGCAACTTCGTAAGACGAGTGATAGCGTAATGCCTCCTGTATCGACTTCAAGTCAACCTCCAGACGAGCACGTGTGTTACGATAGACAGCCATCGAGTTGAAGATCAACGGGTGGCCATTATGCGGAGTGCTTAGAGGCACCACGATCGTCTCGGGCTCACAAACTTCGAGCGAGCTTTCCCACGTCTCCAACGCCAGTCGGAGCTTATATTCTGTAACCACGTCCTGAAGGGCTTCGAAGCTCCTCTTGTGGTTCCAAACCTGTAAAAACAAGGCATTGATCATGACACGGGTAGCAAACGCACTGTAACGGGTCTGCTCGCCTTGGAAAAGGCAATCGTGAGCTTCCCGAACGGTCAGTGAAGTCGAGGAAGCCAAGTTGCGTCGCCATGCCTCGTCGTCTTTGGCGTCCAGGTTCCATAGCGATTCAGAGGATGGGAGCTCAAGATTGTCAAACTCATCAAAACTCATCGCCGGTGTGTGGTTGAACGTCAGCGTGAGCATGCCGAAGAAAATATACACAGCGTAGTAGGTGCGGCGGCATGACTCGTCCTCGATCCACTCCTCCTTAGTGGGCTGGGCTCCTTCGCGAGCCTCGGTGCGGAGTTTCAGCTGATAGCGGTTCCCAGCAACCATGTTGGCGAGCAGACTCTTGATCGAACATGTCCACTCGAGGCCCTTGGGATCACCACTCCAACTTTCAAAAATCATGTTCAGAAGGGTACTCTGCATGGCCCACAGGGGGCATTTCCTCGAATCGAAGTTGTCCTTATGTTGCAGGAACTGAGTAACAAGCATCTTCGACCCGACGTGAAGCATGAAGGCATGCTGCCGCTCAAAGGTATACAAAGCACCGATTGAAAGAACTGCAAGCAGTAGCGGCGGGGAAGTAACCGTTGGTTTGAAGGATTCCTGGTGTAGAAACGGGAGATGGTGATGGTAGAGATTGAAATACGTTGAGAGGTATTTGTTCAAGGCCACTGACGACGGAAGTTGGAAGGTATCAGGAAGTGAACCGAGGGCATCTGCATTCCGAATGCGCTCCAAGATCATACACCGCTCTACTTCGTTCGCGACTTGAGGGGCCTTTGGCAATGTAAGGGCCTGGCTGGGACCAGGTGACTTTCGGTAATTTACCGGGCTAATCGGGCCCGTCATCGAGGGATAAGGGGACAATGTATTCGGCGTAGAGTTTCCTGACACTGGCAACGAGTTGACGAGGGAGTTAAGCGAGGGGGCAAGTGTATCACTATGGCGTTCCATCCCCGACGTAAGTGAGTCTGGTCCACTTTCATGGGATCCAAAATGTTTTGTATCGGCGGGAGAGACAAGGGTGTCCCACGGCATTTGAGGAAGAGTTGCGTTGCCTGAAAGATACGACACTGGGGGTTCTAGAAGAGGACCACGTCCAGGAGAGAAAGAGCGATCCGACTCAGCACGATCGTTGACCTGACCAGTAGCAGCGGCTGCGGCTTTATGTTGGAAATCTGTCATCAACATAGCTGCAGTTTCAAGGTCGACCATACCGTCACTGCTTGCCTCGATCTGCTCTAACGTAGCAGGATCAATTGTGATTGAGGGCTTGGATGGCGCAGGTGCAGGGGAGGACTTCTGAACACCGCCACCACGTCGGCGGCCCTCAGATACAAGCGGTATCCCACCATCTTTCGCATGGACAGTGCGATCATGACGAAGGAGGAGATCTCGACGGACAAAGGTACTCCGGCACTTCAAGCATTTAAACGGCCTCTCCTTCGTATCTGCGAAAACACCCACGTCAGTGATAATATTCCTTATGCGGATATGGCACGCAGTAGCACAAGAGAGAAAAAACGAAAAGCAAATCCGAATATAAAAATGGTTCCACTCGAAGCTGTGAAGGAAAGGATGGGCGGCGAGCAGTCAAGCACTTACGCGAACGTTCATGCCGGCTTCTATGTTCACTTCGGCTAAAGGCGCGATTGCAAAATTGGCACTTGTACTTCTTCTCTGGCGCAGATGTCTTTTTGGCAGGCGAACTGCTTGCCGTGGTGGGTGCGCTCGGAGCCATATCTTAGGGAAGTCACAGCGAAAGTAGGGCCACGGTTCTTCTCAGCAAGACAACGGCGAGGAAGATTGCGGTATCGTCCCTTTTGTGACTTCACACCGGTTTTGGAGGCGGGCTGATGACAGAAATTCGTTTTGATGTCTGATCATTCCTTGAGCGGGGAAATATTGGGGGAAATGGTGGTTCCTAGAAGGGGGGTCCAGCCACAGGCGGAGAGGGGAGAAACGAGAAGCGAAGTGGCTTGCGAACCACAAGGAGGAATAGAATGAAACACGAGACGACACCCAAACCCGAAAAACAGAAAAAAAGAGGTGGATGAGGATGATGTTGAATAATAGAAGAGAAAGAGAGGGGGGGAAGGGAAGGAAGAGAAAGAAGAAACAAGAGGAGGGGATGTTGAATGGATGAGGAGAAGAAAGAAAGTCGCGAAGAGAAGTAAAGTGGGAGTTTGGGAAGTTCTGGTCGAAGGGGGAAGGGAGCGAGGGGGTGGGTAGGAGGAGCCAGTGAGACGAGTCGCGCCAGGGCGTGGCCAGAAGCCCAGCACAGATTTGGGCGATCGCTGGATCGCGACAGTGAGGCGGTCGTGTCCAGCGTCCAGGGTCCGTGTTAGCGATTTAGGCGGCGAGAAGCGCAGCAACAGGGAACTGTACCGAAAGAAAGAGGGGCTTGCAGGCGGGACTCACGGAGGGGAAAACAGCAAACTGCTCAGCTGGTCAGCCACTACCACGCACTCCACCCCATAATGCCACCCACCCGTATCCCCGCGGCCAATGATAAGCCTTATCCGCCCTTCTGACTAACGGGAGGACCATACTAAACGGTACCCAGTTAGACCACGTACTCCGTCGCATACGGACTAATACCTTACCGCCCGTACGGATGGTCTGTATGGGTCGATTTGTATGTATAAACAAACTAGCCCAGCCCACATGGACTTAACTTATCGCTTCCTACACTTCCAAACCGTCAAGCCGGGTCAACCGGGGTCTAGAAAATGACATTCCAATGGTCGTTTTTTTTTTCTTGTTTGGCTCTTACCGTGATCAACTTTTTTTTCTTTAGGTATTCACATACCCACCGCGCACAAAAAAAATAAAAATAAATAAATTGGGACCTAGTAAACTCCTATATTCAGAAATATTTCCTCTACACATAATAGTTACACGCATAGACATTGGGCACCACCGTATCTGTGTTTTCTCATCCTAAATATGATTGTTGCTAGTACGATTTCCAGACCATTATTAATAATATTATTGCTTCCTACAAACAATGAATATCATTTCCTTACAACAATTAGGGTCATCAAAAGCATGCCTGCTTCCTGCTAGGGTTTGATGGGTAGATAATATACCCACTCTATATCCCACTAACTTACACTTTATAGATACTAGTTGTCCTATCCCTGCCTAGCAACCCTTCGCTCGGCTTCCAAAGTACACGAGCGACTGTGGTTGTACTCTGTGCAAGGTGAATCCGCTTTGATAATTATGATTCTGATTCCTTTGATCTATGTTATTATCATCATTACCATTGTGGGGTGAATCCAGGTATGAGGGCAACTTCTTCCGGGTATGGTATGTAACTCTGTTCGATAGATCGGTGGCCAGCAATATCCACTATCCCTATGCCCATCGGCAGATGATGCTCCATACTTGACCCATCTTGACCCATCTAAGAACAAATGGCCTCTGATCTTTTCCTAGGTACTTTGGGCACCATATCGGAGGTGTCTTTATATCCCTAGCCCATCCCTAGAGTATCTGATAGCGCAGAGCTAGAATCTTCGGACACAGCAGGTAGCTGCGGGGGCGATCTTAAGGCCATCCTCCTTCTAGTATCTATCCTCCAGTCAACTAGGTACTCCGTAGTATACATCCAGATACCTGATATGCTAATAGAAACTACGGTAGAACCTGACACATCTACTGATATAGAGGGCATGAGAAGATTTGGGATAGGCCAGATACCGGGGAACAATCAATCACACGCACTTCAGGAGCCGCTCCGAAGAGTCTCCGGTCCTTTATTTTTTTGTTTCTGATTATTTTTTCAAAAAAGAAAAATAATTTCTTTTCTTTTTCCTTTTTTTTTTTTTTTTTCGCCCCTCGTCAGCCCCCCTTGCCCCTCCAACAAGGATCCAACAGCATCAAATGCCACGCAAAAGTAGTCACAGTAGCATGATTCATGAAATTGGCCCTTTGTTTCCACAGATTCCTCCCACCTACGGAGTACGTACATCTTCATTCCATGCAATCATTCTTGACCTTGACCATCATTCCGCCTTCTGCCACCTAGAGCCCTCATTCGTAGTCTTCATTTATTCTTCTTCTTCTTCTTCTAGTTCTCTCTCCCCTTTAATTCGGGAAGGGAGGGGAAATCACCTAAGCTTAATAATCATCACTCACCAGCCTCCCCCTCCTACACGCCACCCACTTTTTCCTCTATCAAGCACAATTTCCATGGAAAGCGACTAATTTACCCCTCGGTCCCCTCCTGTCCTCTCCCTCTCTCGTATCCACCCCCCCGACCCCTCCTCTCTTTCCCTTGTCTAGAAGGTCCGTTGGTAATCCTACGTAATTAACCCCCAGTCCTTGGTAATTAGCGAATCCATCACCTGTCATTGAGGGGCCTTGCATACAATCAAAATCGTACGAACAAGATTGTCTCCAACTCTACTGCTACTAGTTCTGGGCTGGGGATCACCCATCAAGCTTGACCATTGTTCCAGATTTTTGCATCTGTCGGGTGATGAGAGTTAATCTCAACTTGCGAAAATGAGCAATCATCACCAGCTGCTGAGTATGCTATGCTACAGTATCATCGTCATCCATAGCCTCCTTGCCAAGGACAGTTTTCTAATGTATCTCAAACACCCTTGGCCGAGAAGCCACATGTCAGCAGCATTACGAGAAGAGAATACTTACTACTTACTGATGTGATATCTCACTGTGTTGGACAGATCATCATCTCCCCCTCCTTCCCAGGATAGATACTCGCGTCGGGATATATATACCCTAATTTTGAGATCCGTTTGATACCAACTCGATAATCTCCATTCTTGGAATTTGTCTCATAAATTCATTCCCTCAAAAAAGGTACAAGCTTCAAAGGTCCAGGCACAGGAAAATGGCATTTTATTCCCTGGTGCACTACGTAGGCACTCTGCGACATTGAGTCGACTGCTCAAAACAAACTCTTATCGCATCCTTATTCCAGGATTATATTGTGTACCTATACACAGAGATCACGTAACCGACGCACTGGTGCACAAGCTGGTTTGGAATAACTTCAGAGTGTCAGTTAGTTTTTCTTTTTTTCATATGTAAGACTGCATCAGCGTCTTCATTTTTTTGGCTATTCTGCATCCAAGTCGGAGATGCATCAGCCGAACATCGACTGCCTGATCCTATATGCATAAGTGGCATGGGATGGTCCATCCATGACTAGCCATTCATAGGGTTAGGACGTGTGTGGCTGGCTGCAGCCCAGCAATCGCAGACGAGCCTACCCAGCCTCACTCGGAGACGCGCCTCCATTCCGCGTCCACAGGTTAGCGTCCACATCTCAAGGAAAGATTACAGCCTGGGTCAGATGAGTCTGATCCTGTGGCCATGACGAAGTTGGCCCAGTCCAGTGGTTGATTTGGACCCTTTTTAAAGTTACCCTTCTACCCTTCAGTTCATGCTGCGAAACAGTCTGCCCATGTCAACCCGGTCTAGACGTCCTATCGGCAGTTCTCTTCATATCGAAGAGGGCATTCAAAAGTCAACACATCGTACCGCATGGTTACCTGTGGTCTTCCCGCTCAGAAGTAAAATCAAAAAGAAGACTGTAAAATCCCGGCATCCCCAGTGGGGCGTATTGTTGTATGGATTCCCGAGAAACCCGTCAGACGCGGTCAGTTTCTAGGGAAACACACATGACCTTAGATAAGTACAGAGTACTCCTGGTATCTGCTTGGTAAATGATGGTGCCCAGGTATGTACATACATATCTACAACGGAAGATGGCACTTAGTAACAGTTTGTTCAAAGCTACGCATGTATGTGAGGACGGAGTGCTTCGCTCAAGGAGGATTATTATCATGATCTCATCTACTCCGTATACAATCTGGTGCTCCCACAACCCAACCGACAATCAATTGGGATGGCCTTATCCCCATCGGGCTCTTGCCCTAATATGGCGAACCTCCACTGAGATGCAGGACCCAGTCTCTCCCTCACGCCACTAGGCAGCCTAGTATTACGTACTTTGGCCTCACCGCTTTGAAACTGCTAGACGATGAGAGAGAGTGATGCCCTTACTTTTTTCAGTCTTTTCAGTGTCGACTGATGATAACGAAAGGGGCAGGAGTCCATTGATTTGTCCAGCCTTTGACTTTCTTTTCCTTTCCCGCTCCTCCGACAAAAAATTTTAGCCCTAGCAGAAGAGGATTTCCTTCTCGATCCACTTACCGACTATGCAGCGGTCCGACCCAGTAACGTTGAAGGATGGGAAGGTCAGCTCTTCTGAGATAGGTGAGTGATAGTGCCCATTGTCCTGCGGTACGGAGTAATTAGTATTTGCAACCATCGCGATTCCATAAACATTGAACACTAGATTCCGGCATATGGGAGATCGGGCGAAGCCACTTTTAGCACTGACATCTGGGCTCCATTCTTATTATGCCTGGCGCACAGGGTTAGAGAGAGAGAGAGGGGGAGGAGATTGTAATAATGCAAAATCCTCCGTGCATACCGATCCATCTATCCGATCGATCATTTCCCATCCAGTGCACATTTTCTCCGCGCGGGTTGACCTCTATCGATAATTCGGTGGGTTTCTCCGTATATATGTATCAATTCTCCCAGTCGTTCATTTCCCGTAGTCTGTAGGCGCCTATGAAGTATGTATACTGAATTATCGGCATTTGGATTAACTGTGCCTTGAATAGGGGTAACCCCGAAACCTAAAATGAAACTCTTAAAACGACTTGACGAATCTCCTGCAACTACCCGTTCAAGACAACCTGGAGTACGGGATAACGAATACAAAAACGAGAAATTGTAAGAAAAAACCAACGTTGCATAACAATACAAGTGTGTCGAGAAATGGAATCATGGCCTGCCATCCGAGACCCGATTCTATGATCCAATCATCCCTACTAGGTACCGTTGCAGGATTCCAGGAACCTCTTCCCCGAGGCCCGGGGCCTACACTAGTGACCATCGGCAGCAAGCAACCCGCCTTGGCTGCCGTCTATCGTCAAGACAACCTTGAACCATTTTTTGTGCCACTGCCTACTGCCTATAGCGGTAGAGCCTGTAAGTGTAATGTGGTGTGGTATTCCCCGTATATTGTAGGAATAGGTAGTGCGATCCTTGAGCTGGCAGGATGCTCAACGCTGGAGTCGGTGAAGGGTCGAATGAGTTCTGGTCCCATCTCGTCTCTGAAATGATTCGATTCCTTAAGTCTTGACCGCTTCTATGTGTTTACACATGGCATTGAAAAACTGGACTGTTTGCGTTCAGGACCCCACTGGTTTAGCTAGGGCTACCGAGGATAAATGATTAATTGTCTAATGAATACGATGCGAAGTACGGAAGACGAAACAGAGAAAGCGGATAGAATAATATCCGCAGTGATTTGTCGAGATTTTCCATTCTTTTCAATTCCCTTTTTTCTCTTTTTTTTTTTTTTTTTTTTTTTTTTTTTGGAGGGGCAATAACCCCTCGACATCAAAAATATCAATTTCACTTATTGGCTTGTGCGTAGCTTTCGCTAAACCACAATCAAACCTAAGCACATCTCGAGATGTTTAATTTGCTTAATTCAACTGTTTGTTGCATAGTATGCAAGTCCGTACGATGAACTCTCCAGCTAAAGGTGTTTCTGACAATTACCTTAGTTGCTTGTCTTTGAATCTCAGATTCGTCGTATGAATATATCGAGTCATTCAATGAAACCCGGAGTCTGGGTCGAACCACGGAAACTACCCGTTCCATAAGACCAGTAATCTTTTGGCTTTGGGGTTTTGTTGCTCGTTCCATGGTTCATTCCCGCTGTCAGAGGCATGGAGTTCAATCTATAGATTCGTCGGCCTTCTTCTCGGTAGGTACTGAGTATTTGAAATAGACCATTCGTAACCTTTTTTTTCTTGGGCTTTGATAGTGGACTGTTCTAAGGTCAACTCCAGGATTCAAAACTTGTACATGTTGGATTATTTATTGACCGCAACACGGGTATATGGATATATATTCCCACTAGCATCGTGCACCAAAGTCCTGAAGCCATTTCCGATACTTAAATACCGACTGTATTATTATCCCTACGCTCTTAAACATTGTGATAATATGGATGTCGCATTTAAATAGATATCTCGAGAATGGTAGTTTTAAGAAAAATAAAAAAAATCTGATGACCGAAGACTATTAAGATGGACGGCTAGAGTGATTGGGAAAATTAGTAAATACAAGCCACAGAAGTAGTCAGTCCATGTCTACAAAATCATGTTAAATTCATCTACTGAATTGATCAAAGTGGCATATCCTTCATGTCTCAATCACAAGTCCTAGTACATTGTGCCTGGATACATAGCTCTCCCGTATATCTTCTGGCTATCCCGCCTGCCCTACTGGATCAACCAATCCCCTTACCCATGCATCTGTCTCTCTTACTCAGAGCGCTACGGATTCCGTACAAAGAATGGAGTATTACTCACGTATCGTAACAATTAAATCAAGACAAACAATTAGAAGGAACAAGTAAATACTCCTAGTTATCCAGAGTTCCTACAAAGGAAGTAACATCAACCAGCCGGATTGCCCGAATCGCGAGGCATCCTCAAACCGCGGATGTACTTGCATACGACCCCCACATCATCTCCATAGCGCACGATGAATTGATTGGGTCTACTCGCCGCAGAAACCTTCTCGAAGGAAATCGGGACCGATTTTGCGACATCCGCGCAATCTTGAATCCACCATCATTTACCAGAGACACTAACTTAGTCCAGTGGGGAAAAAAAGGGGCCCTAGTGAGGTATGCCGTGAAGGTGGAAAAGGGGGAGGGGCAAAGGACTTCCGGAGTAAGGTTCTGGGCTTTCAGATATGGAATTGAAAACTTCCGGGGGCATTCGTAAGTTCGTACTACCCACCGACTAAGAAGGAAGAAGGAAAGGAGGATCGGGGATCATCATCCTGGGGCCACCAGGGTCCGAGGGGCTGGTCCAATTGCTTGCCTGCCTTTTTTGTTACGGAGTAGTACAGTGGAAAATGCGTCCATGTCGAGTAGAATGGATACTTCGAATTGAAGACTGGGTTATGACCTGACTGCTTGTACTCCGTAGATGCCGCGAGTATCTACACAGTACTCCATGCTCGATGTACTAGTGATTGAGACGATCTCTTGCTGTCCGGTCTCACCTAGCTTTTATCGACCGGGTCTTTGAAACCAGGCCACAGCTATAATTATTGCCCTTTGAGCAACCACTTTAGCATCAGTTCTTTGCTGTTCTTACCTTTTAAACACTCATGAGCGGTGATAGACTTGCAGGATAGCTAATGATGATAAACATGCAAAGCAGAATAAATGCACGCATATCTGTGAGGGGTTATCCCATCTCCCCTTACAGATGCCCCTCAGCACGGCCTAGTTGCCAATTATCATCAATATTCAAACCGAATAGGGTACGTAAGGAGTGATATTGCGGTGTTTCCTCTGTCCCTGCGTTTGAGTTCAATGGGGATATCGATCTTTTTAACAAGCGTTTGGGCTATCTCTTAGCTTACTCTGTAGAATATGTGATGGTATCGGACTTGACTTGAATTGCTGGGATTCTATACCTGTGGCCCTTTGTGTATAGGGGCTGTAAAGCAGCACTGAAATACTATTGATGCGGATATACAGCGTCTAGAGCAAGTGTGAAAGTAAAGGGCAATGGTGTAATGCATGCCTTGAGGCAACTATAGTACTCATTCCATCTATAATATTAAAGACCTTCATGGAGTATGCCAAAGCAAGACCAGGTGAGAACTTTTCATGTTTCTTGGATATACCTACCGGGCTGGTAGATGATGCACTCAGAAGACGTATGAACAAAATATAAAGATATGAATCTAAGTTCATTGTCATTATCGCTGTCTTATATTTCAATAAGATATAGAAAAATAATCTCTGCGATCATCATGTACTGGTAGTACAATTGATCTAGGGAGCTAATTAAACAATAAGATAACACACTAAGAAACCTATCTTTATATCCATCGCCTATACAAGGTACAAAAATAAAATCACCGCCTGGACCATCTGTAACGTCGGAAATGCTATAAAAATAAAACCCTCGATATTTCTACCAGAACATAATATGTCGAATTGCATTTATTTGAGAATCTATGTAATATCAAATGATTATTCCTCATGGCTATGCATGATATTGGGATAGTATATCTGGTTTCTTAAAACACTCTGCTTCATGGTTGACTATATTATATCTTTTTCTCTTTACATGCGCTTGCATAACGAGGGATATAATCTAAACTCTAAGTTCCTCATAATATAGCATGAATGACTCGCGGAGAGAAACGCAGTACAGCATGTGCGAATATCACAAGTACAAGTTAAAAGGTACAGGGTCCCAAGAAAGATGAATTGAGCCTGTACGACTACAGTCGTACATCTATATAGTTACGAGAGTATGGTCTTTAGGTTCACAGTCAGGCGTTTGATGAGCCACAATGATGGGGTGATATGGAAATAGCATATGGACAAAGCTTTAAAATCGTGCACGATTCCATTTTGGAAAACCAGCATATTCAAGTAGTGTTTGCTTATAACTAATTAAACACAAGCCTATCGAAGACATTTCGTTGATATAGACCTGCAAATAATACTTCAGGGGGATTCCTCATAAAATCTTGCTATTCTTCTCCCTCTAAAGTAAATAGTCCCAACCCAAAATGCCGTGGTGCATACAGTCTAGGGCACTCAAGGTCATAGCGTTGAAGAAGGGTTTGTTAACATATTTAGACACATATATTCGATCTATATGATAATAAGAAATATGTATGGCCTCTTAGGAGGTCGGATTTAGTTGAGTACATACCATATTGCTTGGTGCGTGAAGCTCCTGTTATACTAGGTGAAGAGTGTAGGTTAGCATTATAGAAGGTCATAAATAGCCTCTAAGTATATGACATAACTTTTAGAACTCGTTAGGGTTCACTAGAGCCACTGGCCAAACAAAAACATGCCTTATAATCGCCTATACGCTTTTACGCTTGAGCTGTTTTATTATCTTCTAAATGATGTTGGTTTTCTAGCTCTGCAGGCCAGAATGATTGCCTTCATTAGTAGCACTTGCAGGCAAGTAGGGAAATGCTGTTGATACTCTATATGTAACAGACTCCACCGTGACACTGGGGCTGGACCCCAGGTAGGTACCTGGGTAGCTGGTATCCAACAACTGCTAAGTCCGGAGTATATGAAAGTCGCAATGGTCATAGCAGCAAAGATCGAGGTGAACATCAGCAGTTGGTACGGAGTACTCGTACCGTCGCTAGGTAATCTGCATGCAAGTAATACTCTTCTGTTGTGAGCATGAAGAACATGGACTAACATAGGATATGGATGATGGAGCATAGCCCGTGACCCACATTCTGATTATGTCTTGTTGGGAAGGAATTCTCAAACGAAACGGTTGTTTCATCGGGTTTTACTGGAATGGCATGGTAGTGAATATGAGTAAGCGAACAGAAAGTGGTGGAATGGGATATTTGGGGGTAATATTCATATAAGGTGGTATTGGAGTAGGATTAGGAATTCTGGTGGGATATATGCACGAGTGTACGAAGCACACACATGCAGTAATTTAAAACTAAGTATGAAGTAATGTAGATAACTCTCATCCCTTGTGCTTCTGTTATTTGTTTATTTAAGCGCATTGTGTAGAATAAATTGGGTTGGCGGAAATACTGTTATCTAGATAGATCAAACTCCGTACACCTGATAGATAACCACAGATATAGCTCTCCTGCAGCGTAGTGTGAATTCCATTATGGTGGGATGTGATGAACAATCATCTATCAAATAACTTGGACCTTTGATCGCAAGGATTCAACCCTAACAGGGGTCCTGTAAACCCGTCAACGATGTTCAGTATCCCACATCGTTGATTGGCAGGCTATCTGTCATGTGCTCGTACGGCCGCAATCGGAAGGCAACCCAATGCAAAAAGCCCAGGACAATTGGTCAACGTCCTAGATTTAGGATGGGTCAAACAAAGTTAACCAAGACGTGCTATATATGAAAAGCTGTGCCTTTGTTGATAACATCAACCACCAGGTCGCGCGACCGAGGATGTGGGGCTGGTGAGTGGGGTGCGGTGGGAGACCGTCGGTGCTGTCTGTGTTGGATGCTCTATATTCATTCATGCCTCAACTAGCTGATGTATGAGAAATCGAAATGGTGAAAATCCCTCTGGCTACTCCGTACATTCAATACACTTATGCAGTGACTCATAGGACTCGGGATAAAGGGTCATAATTCCAGCAGCAACATAGAAATAATCATTGGTGCCTGGGTCCCGATTCGCCGTAATATTTTCCCTCTTAACATGATGACGACTGTATACCGATTTACCTAGAGTGGGGTTTCTCCTATTGGCGAGGGAAGAGGAAGTCGACATGCATAGAGCTGCTATAATGGCGAGTGAAAAGCTGCAAATAGAACCTATCGGCTGTGTCAATGTCTTGTTAGATGGTGGATATGTAAGCACCGTAGCTGGTTAAATAGTTAGCTGTCCTTCAGCATCTTACAATTTCCTAGTTGAAGCTGTATTGATAGTTTCTCACGAGACAGAATACTCCATATATTGACCAACGCCATGCAGTTATATAGGACATAAAATTCAAAATGGTCCCAAGACAATCAAACATTTGGTTCAGACGCAGGGTTGCCTGGTACCGGCTCGGCGAAGTACTGCATACTGATCTGCTCTGTGTTCTGCATGATCCCTGGTTCCTGTAATAACTTTGGCGACAATATCACTTCTACATCTGAGCACGCACCAAGAATGGGGCTTTCCCGGAGTTTTGTCGAACCCCAGGATGCCCCTTCAAAGTCACGACAAGCGATCTCTAAGTATCATTCGACTCGTCTACTGATTTTTCGGGACACGGTGCCAGAAGAGTAGCGATATTTCCAGACAATGGAAAGACGAATGAAGCTCGTTTTAGCGAGATCAAGACTTTTGCGGGACCCGTTTCTCCGTCGTGTTTTATCCTGCAGCGCGTGCAGTCTTGTGTCCAGTTGCTATTTAAATCCTTGGGGATACAGACTGCTGTTGACCTCCATTTCACCGTCTAATATGCCACTAAGCGGGTGTACTGTCTGGGTGATCTGGGTGACCTGGGCTGCTGAGACAATTCCCGATAATGCACCTTTCGATGTGTGAAAAAGTAGGACCCAGAGAATACTGACGTCAGATCCACAGCCGCTCCTTTTGTTAGTGGTGCTTGGGATTCGAGCAATCTCGACTGTATTATGCAGCTTGGCGTTGGGGAGTGAGGAAGCTTTAACAGTCTCGGCCTGTCTATATGTCAAGATAAAAAAGGATAGAATGCAGTGGATCCGGCGGATGGATTTGTTTGACCCTGCTGCCTGTTTACATCCAACCAAAAAAAGCCCTCATTATTATCTATTACTCTAGGACTAGCGCGTACGTTGGAGCCTCCGGGGAACTTTGGTACCCGGTATATAGTATTTCTGCCGCGCGACTGACCTGTCGTGGCTTTGCTGGTCTAGAGGTAGGTAATTTATATCTTTACCTCGTACGGTCGATACGGACGTGGAGGAACGTGACAGGTGTTTGCGACCCACGAGAGAGGAAATAATAATAATAATAGCAGGTAATAAGGTAGTAGGACCTCTAGCCCTGTAGTACTAAGTAATGGTCACCAGATGAATTGTTGGTTAGATTAGCTAAGCATTTTCTTTTTTAAAAAGAAGCAAAAATGGAAACTATGGAAAAAAGAAATATATCTGCAAAAGAAGGTAAAAAGTAGGCAGTGGCAAGAAAAAAAAGTAAAAATAGCCTACCAGCAAGAGGGGCGCAAATTCCTCAAGACTGTCAGCTCTCATTAGGTCTTACTAGTAGGTAAGTATTAAGTGGCATCTGGGTAAGTTGGTTGTAATAAGTGGCACTGTATCTTCCATAGGCGACTCTAGCACAAGTGGTAGACTCTAAGCTAAGAATAATAAGCCTGTGAATCATACCTTTGGTTGGTATTGTGTCTTCTTATTCTGTCACATAGATACTGGACTTGCGGAGTGGGTATTGGCCCCGTTGTAATTGTTGCGCCTCTCCGCGTTAAAACGCCTCCACGGCTGTATTGGCGCGGTACGAATGATACTTGGAGGCATGTACTCTGTACATGTACGTAAGGAAACCCAAGTAATGGTCACCTCCACCGTCCAAAGATTCAGTCCAGTCCAGTCTGCCCACCACCAAATTCAAACTCCCTAAAACTCCCTAAAACCTCCCTGATCTGCTCTTTGGTCCTCTTTCTCTCTTTCCGTTTTCCTTACCTTTCTTCCCCAGACTCGCTCCATTATTCCTTTACTTTTGTCTCGTGTATGTACCCACTGATTGATATCCCCCGACCGGAGTGTGCTCTATCTATAGCTATACTACTGTTTGTTCTTGCCACCCACACTGACCGACCCGTGCACTACCACCTTTCCGCCCGCAGCTGAATCTGCAACCCACCGGCCTCCCCCTCTCTTTCGTACCGGCTTGTCCGTCTCAGTCATGAGCAACGCCTTTCGTTAAGCTCGTCCAGCCATTCGCCGCGGGGAGGACGTAGCGAGCTGAATCTTCTACATTATTATTATTATTTTTTTTATCCCATTACTATTACAATTCTTCGAGCTTACTTTCGCTTATTCTCCTCTTCTTCGGTATTTCTCTAGCACGCAAATTCCCGTGATAACTCCCCCGATGTACGAGACGCGGGTGCCAGAGCCATTAGCCGTCGATAGCAGATCTGCATTGGCAACCAAATCCCAGACTTTTGCGACGGCCTTTGAGTACACTGAGGAGCAGGTGTCTACGCCCACGACTACTCCCCCGAGTCGCAGTCGTGGAAGTAGCATATCCTTCCAGAAAAAAGAAGTCGTCGACCAGTCGCCCAAGCGACACCTATCCCCCATGAAGCTGGCCTGTGATGGGCGTTACACGCCTAGTCCCGAACCTCCTCCCGCGCTGTTCGTGCGAGCCATGTATGATTACGATGCGGACGACCATACTAGTCTTAGTTTTCGGAGGGGCGACATCATCCAAGTCCTTAATCAGCTTGAAACAGGCTGGTGGGATGGGGTTATCAACAATAACGTTCGGGGCTGGTTCCCTAGCAACTACTGTGTCGTCATTACGGACCCCAGTGAGCTGGAGGAGATGGATCAAATTACGCCCAGCCCTGAGGATGGGGATATCAGCGCGGACTCGGGGCTAGGAGAAGAATATGAGGAGGACCACGAGGGTGATGAGGTTGACTCGTCTGGCAATCCGCGGGATTCCCAGCCCGTCCTGCCTATCGAGGGTACAGGACCTCCCAAGGAACAAGAAGAGGCCGCTTTTTGGATCCCGCAAGCGACCCCCGATGGCCGCCTGTTCTATTTTAATACCCTTACCGGGTACAGTACCATGGAGCTGCCGTTTGAGAACCCGTCTGCGAATGAATCCGGCCCTTACGACCGCAATAATTTCTTTGTGCCCGACCAGACTCGCCCGCCGCCGGAAATGATGGCCCGTGGTTTTGAACGGGACGAGGATGACTACGATGGTTCGGCATCGGAAGCGGAGGGCGAGTCGTTGATGCTTGCATCTCATGATTCTATGTCTCGGAGACGGCGGTCTTTCATCGATGGGGTCTCCCCCGCAACCTCTATGGACTCATTGCACCCACCGTCTGCCACTAAGTCTGTTAGCGACGGGATCGCCTCGTATCAATCTAACCGAAATCTACAAAAGCCTTATGGATCGGCCTCCACTGCTGCCAGCAGCAGCGCCTCCCTCGCTGAGAACTTCCATAGGCCGTCGGTCTCTTCAGTAGCTCCGTCGCAATTTGTCGACGACGGAGCCTCGGCTCCTTTAACCTGGCCCATGCTCATCGACAATATGCGCAACGCTATTGAACTCTATCGCCAAACACTATTGAACGGTGATCGCTCGGAATACGTGAGGAGAGCTGAAGATATCTCTGATCATTTGCGCATGCTCCTGGCCGCGGGCTCTGATACTACAGACAATCATTCTGGAAACCCGTCGATCATTTCTACCAACAAGGCATTGTACCCCCATTTTAGGGATATGATGTCTAAATTTTCTAAATTGGTACTATCCTCGCACATCGCTGCGGCTGATTGGCCAGGCCCAGATTCCGTTAATAAGTGTCTGCAAGAGGCCGATGGCGTCATGCATGGGGTGTATGGATACGTTGACGTTGCAAGACAGCAACGTGGTGAGTCAATCCCCCGCGTCATTCCAGGCTTTGTCATGGGCAGCTATGCGGGCGGCTGCTGGCAGAACAATGGCGTTTCCCTGAATGATTCTGGACCTACATCGTTCTTGGACCAGGATCCGAGCGATTCTCGAGCTGAGCCGTCTGTCCCTCTGGATGCGGCCCTTCTGGACCATGTCGATATTTTGCGGAGATCTTTCGTTGGGAGCATTCGGCGGCTAGAGGAGCGATTGACACTCAACCAGAAGAAGATTGTCACGGTGGCCGAGCATCGTGCGATCGGCGATGCCGTTTCCACTGCTGCTATTAGGGTCGTTGAACAGTTCCGGCCTTGGGTTTCTGCTGTTGAGTCCATCAATTTGGCGCCCCTTGGGACCAGCTTTCAGAATCCTCAATTGGTTGATTTTAGTCTACAAAAGCAGAGAGTCTACGATGCAATTGCCGATTTTGTCCTCGGCTGTCAGGCAGTTTCGGCACCGTTGGGCGATGAATGGGCTGAGTTGCGTGGTGATTCACTTGATGACCGTTTGAACGCTGTGCGGGGTGTTGCCAGGCAACTCGAGAATTACGTTTCTCAGATTGGGTTCTCTCTTTCACTTCTTCTGGAACAGGTTCCTGAACCAAACTCGGTGCTACGTAGCGAAAGTCGCCTGGGTGGAGATAACGAGATCTTCGATGGTGTGCATAGCCGCGCAGAATCCCAGCCCACGATGGCCACTGAGTCGATTGGAATTCCGTCATCACACTCTGTCGACAAGGCCTCCGAAAAAGTACGACGCAACATGGACAAGGCTCAAAGATTTTTCGGACAAGCTCCCCCTGCTGCGATTACTCGGGAGCCACCCATTAGGGAACCAGTTCGGGAGCCCGAAGAAACGCCATGGTTCTTGAAGATGACGCATGAGGGCGAAGTGTTTTACGACACCAAGAACGATGTACCCACTTTGAAGTGCGGAACTCTTGCTGGACTGGTGGAGCACTTGACACGCCATGATAAGCTCGATGCTTCTTTCAATAACACTTTTCTCCTTACATACCGCTCCTTTACCACTGCGTCTGAATTGTTTGAGATGCTCACTCAGCGCTTCAATATCCAACCCCCATTTGGCCTGACACCAGATGAAATGCAGATGTGGATTGACAGGAAGCAAAAGCCCATTCGATTCCGCGTAGTCAATATCCTAAAGAGTTGGTTCGAAAATTTCTGGATGGAACCCAATGACGAAGCACACATGCAGCTCCTTGAACGCGTCCATGCTTTCACCAGAGACTCCATCGCCACCACGAAGACCCCCGGTTCGCCCCAACTGCTTGCAGTTATTGAACAGCGCCTGCGTGGCCAAGATACCACCGTTAAGCGACTTGTCCCAACACAAGCAGTTGCTATGCCAACGCCCATCACACCGAAGAATATGAAAAAGCTGAAGTTTCTGGATATCGATGCGACGGAGTTCGCCCGTCAGCTTACGATCATAGAATCGCGTCTTTATTCTAAGATTCGACCCATCGAGTGTCTGAACAAGACATGGCAGAAGAAGGTTGGCCCCGATGAAGCGGAGCCTGCCGCCAATGTGAAAGCCCTGATCCTCCACTCAAATCAACTGACGAACTGGGTTGCGGAGATGATCCTCAATCAATCTGACGTTAAGAAACGTGTGGTAGTTATCAAGCACTTTGTCAATGTGGCCGACGTATGAAATTCCTACCACCTACAAGCTGGAAAGCTGCTAATTATGCCTGTAGAAATGCCGTGCTCTCAACAATTATTCTACGCTGACGTCTATTATTTCTGCTCTGGGTACCGCACCCATCCACCGGCTTGGTCGGACGTGGGCGCAAGCTAGCGGACGTACATCCACGATCCTGGAGCAGATGCGCCGACTTATGGCGAGTACAAAGAACTTTGGCGAGTATCGTGAAACTCTTCATCTTGCAAATCCGCCTTGCATTCCATTCTTTGGTATGAAGCTATGATCGGACCCTTGCTGCAAATTATATTTTTTTTTAATATTTTTTTTTTTTCTTTTTGGTGGGGTGGTGTCACTAATCGCTATCCCAGGCGTTTACTTGACGGACTTGACGTTCATTGAAGACGGTATTCCATCCCTTACGCCATCTGAATTGATCAACTTCAATAAACGAGCCAAAACCGCCGAGGTGATCAGAGATATTCAGCAGTACCAAAATGTCCCCTATCTGCTCCAGCCTGTTCATGAATTGCAAGAATACATCCTCAGTAACTTACAGGCGGCGGGCGACGTACATGACATGTACGACCGGAGCTTAGAGGTGGAGCCTAGAGAACGCGAGGATGAGAAAATTGCGAGGTATGCAGAAGGCAGTAGAGACGACACCTTCTCTTTCGAAACCCTTTTTCTGTCATTACGTTAATTTCTTTTTTAATGAGCCCCTTACGATTTAATATTTCTGCCCTTTTTTCTTCACATGCACCCTTCCAACACCCTCTTCCCCCCCTTACATGGGATACCCAATTTTCGAGAGACGTTGATTTTGATCTTCATATGAAATTTTGGAATGATCGACTAACTGGTTTCATTTTTGTTTTTGCGTAGACTGCTGTCTGAATCGGGCTTCTTGTAGATTGCCTGAACCAGTGCTTCCCCGTCTGGGGCTCCGACATGATCCCTGCCTGTGTGTTGCGGTCACTACGACGATGGCGCCGGACTGAACGCCACCTCATTTACACGGCAAACCGACGGCGTTGGCGTCCCAATCTATGAGCGGCCTATCAGCGATGCTGGCGAGGGACGATCTCGATCCTCAACACGAACGGCCGACCTTTTTTTTTTTTTTTTTGCTAACTAACCAGTTCTCAAGGACTTTTTCACGCGAGAACACGACCCTGGACTGACTAAGGACACGACGTGGCTGCTCCATAGCTGCCTGTGGCTATCTCTTGGTTCTGGGATTGACCACTTTCGTTACGTGTTGTCTGGGATGTTTTTTGTGCCTGCGATGACTAGGCCAATTTTCTCTGGCTCGAGGTATAATGAGAGCCCCTTGGATGACAATGAATGGTCAGACGTTGCTTTGACCCGCTGCTAATAAAAACCACGCGTCCGAGCGCTCAATAAGGCATGTTAGCGTGCCACGCGGCACATGGAAAGTGGAACTGAAGTCCATCCGATGTGACCCTATGCCACCCCAGTCCATACGATACCCTGGCATTTCCTTCCGATTTCTTTTCTCAACATGCGACTATCCCTGGATCCTCGTCACTCCCTCGATACCACTTCCTTCTCTTTTAGCCGACATACTCCGCATGACCCTCGTCATCTCCTTTGTTCGCAATCTACCTCGACGGTCTCCATTTCCTTGGATCTTCCTGTCTATCTTGCTATATACCTGCACATGTTCCTGTTCACTTCGATGGTATATTAGCTTAGCCTTTTTCTCTTTTTTCTGTACAAAATATGTTGCTGGGGCTTCTATGAGATTGTCATCTCGCTCATGAATGGATAATGATATGTCACGATAAAGGATTCGCCAGCATTGGATGTGTGATCTTCGTTCTTCCCGTTTCGTTTGTTTCTCTGTATCTATTACTTGTGCTACAAGAAGTATATATCCTTAAGTACTGTTCAATGTTACATCTACAGGAATATGTCTTTCAAACTGATTTGTCTCTAAACGCGATTCTGTAGATCTGTGCTCATCAGGCTTTAAATTATCCCCTCTATATATCTGTCGCTATGAATTTATTCTTCATTTCGACGGGAACAAATGCAGGAGAAATATTTAAAAAGGTAATGGTAAGGGGTATCTGGATAGCGTGCTTACGAACTCGGCCACGCTTGGTCTTGAAGGCACATAGCGCAGGGAAAGGAAGAATTCGCTGAGAAAATCACCGGAGGGAACTGTGGTTTTATGCTTTGGAGATGAAAGATTGAAAAAGGGGGTGTAGTTAAACATAGCTAACTCACCCTGGTGGCAGGGTGGGATATAACCGCTGATCAACCACGCGGGGGGAGGGCACACTACGGCGACACGGGGTGATTATTGGATGTCATTGGACAAATGATGGTACCTATCATGCTGGCCACCAATAATGGTATAAAATGGTAGTCAGGAACAGGAACGGCACTAAACTAAGTACCATGTATTAGAGTTGTACGCAGAAAGGAAGACAGTATTGACCCGTAACGCCAATGATACCCCACGTTAAGAGGGCATAACCGTCATGCATGTATATTGATCGAAATAGAAGTCAGTCATGTTTCTGTTTTGCCCTTCTCTCCGATTCCCTGGAAGAGCTTCATCTTGATCTCCGCAGCCAGTAGGCCTTTCACTTCCTCGGAAACGATCCGCTGTCCATCCCGGACCACCTTATCCAGCTGTTGATCCTTCATGGTGCTGGGAGCGCCACCCCGCGAACCATTGCTCTCGATGCCTCGCGCAGCCCTTCGGACTTTCTGACTAAGGTCCATCATCTGCTTGCTGCCATAGTCACGGGTCGTAAATAGGGGGCTTTGGCTGAGGGTGGCGACCCAGTATTTGTTCCAGAGGAGGGACAAGATCTCCGTATCGAGGGCGCTCTTGAAATGAGACACCTCGAGAGAATAGTAATGAGACGCGTGTGCGCCAAAATCCTCGGCCTTGTTGAGAGGGACCGTCTGATACTCATCATCCTCTTGTTCCTCCTTGGGTGGGGTATAATCCTTAGGATATGTCCTGAATGCACCGATATCGACCTTCCCAGCTGAAATGGTGCGCTCTGGATCAATGACCACGGCAACGAACGGCCCGCCGAGTTGCTGCATATCCTGCGTCGTCACATCAATTCCAGATAGCCAGCATCCATATCCCGGATGACTGTGGTACCATCCAACCGCGTTTTCCATCCTCCCCGCATCCCGACATGCTTGGAGATACGATACCATGTACTCGTTGGCTTCGTCCTGGGCGTTCACTCGGGTCTCGGTTCCTTCGACCGGAAGTCGGAAGGCGTCTGTCACTACGAACGTGTTTGGGAGAATATAGCCCTGCATGAGCCCCATAACCTCGTAGGAGCCTCCCGAGCGAGCATGCATAACCATCTTCAATAGAGCAACGGCGGAGATCCGTATTGACTTGAAATAATGCGGGTCTCTCGCCCATGGTCGCTCGGCATTGAGTGTCTTGTGTGTTTCCTCATCGTACTGATATAGCGCGTCTCGTTGAGGGTCGATGAGACTGACGGCGTTTTCCAGCTCTGAAACAGTAAATCACTTGCGTCAGTCATGTCTCGTGGTGATGATGTTAGGACGAAGGGAACGAACCCCACGACCGCTGCGCAGTCTGCATTGTGATGGGTGTGTCTGCGTGTGCAGCAGGAGTGACCACAAGCCAGTGATACTAATGATAGAGTTGTATCCCGAGGGTCAAGCTTAATAGATAAGATGTGAATCAACGAGAGCTGCTGCGAGGTTCATTCATCGTGAGCCACCAAAAACGCCGGCAGGCGTGGAGAAGGCGGTGGGCGGGAGAGCGGCAGGTTGGGCGGTGGAGGCTGAGTCATCTGTTGCCTGAGTAACCGGGCACCATCAACAGAAGCCACGATGAATCTCGATTGTGGCTGCATCTCAACAGGCTCAAGATTGTTGTTTCCCCTCCTTCCTATCCCTCTTCGCTCCCCATTGCGGCTCCTTCCCACTCGCCCTTGCATATATCCGCATTGGTTGCTCTGTATAAATTCTGCGGGTCTTCCCCTTTATTCTCGCAGATGACATTTGCCTTCGGATCAGCTGTTTGCTGTTGATTGCAGATTCGCGTTGCAACAATCTGCCTGTTGCGGGTTCTGCAGCTGCCACCTTCAAGCCGCAAAGCCGCCATCTGTTGCATGACGACAAACTTGCCGTTCAGTTAAAGTCAATTACAACAAGGCTTTGTTCCTCCCTGTCGTGGGGGTTGGATGCTCAATGGCCGTCGATACAAGTTATTTGACCACGCAGGTCAACAATATTGTTACTCAGCTTCATGGTATCTTTGATGAGATTGGAGTCCCGAACCATGAGAGAGATACTAGAGAAGCCGAGGTGGGTTCTCCTGAGTGTCACAGTTGATGTTTTCTAAGAGTACCAAGGCTAAAATATGACTTGCAGCTTTTCAGTGCTCTGTCTGAAACATTAAATAACCACCTTAAGATGGTAGATGAGTAAGACTCGCGACCAACTTCCAACATACTGGGCCGTTTCCAAAGTACTAACTGTCTTCTTAGTGAAAAGAATGAAATGACTGAGGAGGCGCAGCGGCTCGTTACTGCGATCCAGCAGATGGAACGGTCCTTGGTGGATGAGAAAGCAAATGGACAGTATAATCTAAATCATGATGATTTGCGCATTACTTTCCCCCTTAATCGCTGCCTCAACTTCCTCAGGGAGAAGCATAACGCTCTCCGGAAATTACACCAGGAGCGTTTTGAGCAGGTCAAGAGTATGCTTTACTTTCCAGCACTGTGTGTACAGGAATTTATTGTTAACCTTTAGCAGAACTTGTTGAAGCGCTTGAATCATACTCTTCTCATCTTGAACCATCTTTTCTGTCCATCGAACTTCCCCCAACGGCACCAGGGTCGTCGATCGCACCCAGTTTTGATCTGTCCCCATCATACGTTACGGCCCTTGATAATGAGTTTACGCGAGTTTACGAAGAATACCACCGACGCCTTGAATATGTTCAAACAACATGTGAAGATATTATCAAACTCTGGGCCGAACTCGGAACGCCCCAGGTGCAAACAGATTCCAATATCGTGAAGTATTATCGCGAGTCTGCCGAGCAACTAGGACTTCACGAATCCGATCTGGCAAACATGATGGGGAAGCGTGAAAAGCTTCTCGAAGAAAAGCGCGGCCGTGAGCGCAAGTTGAAAGAGCTTAGACATGCAGTGGAGAATCTGTGGGAGCGATTCGGAGTCGAGGAAGGTGACCGGAAGGCATTTCTCGCAGCAAATCGTGGCTGTGGACTACGAACGATAAATGAGTTTGAAGAAGAATTGGCTCGTCTCAATGAGCTTAAGCGACAGAACCTACACCTTTTCGTTGAGGACGCAAGGTGCCGTCTGCAAGAGCTTTGGGATAGCCTTTATTATTCGGAAGAAGAAATGCTCGACTTTACCCCTGCCTTTTCTGATGTTTACAGTGACGCATTGCTGGAGGCACACGAAGCAGAAATATCACGGCTGGAGACCCTCAAGGAGCAGCGTGCTCCTACTTTGCAGCTTATCGAAAGGCATCGCAGCTTGCTGTCGGAGCAGAAAGCTTTGGCTGTTTCAAGCCAGGATGCGTCCCGTCTCATGGCACGTGGCAACAAGGGAGAAAAACGTGACCCAGGAAAGCTTTTGAGAGAGGAGAAGATGAGAAAGAGAATTGCTAAAGAGTTGCCTAAAGTGGAGGCCGATCTGAGAAAAGAGCTGGAGAGATGGGAGGATGAATATGGTCGACCGTTCCTCGTTCATGGGGAGAGATATCTGGACGAACTCGCTCCGGCTGTTATGAAACCTCCGCCACGCTCGAAGACACCGTCAGCACCACCCAGCAGTGTGAGGGGAGGTAGTGTTAGGTCCCAGCCGCCTTCTCGCCCTGCCAGTGTGATGAGAGGTCCTCCACCTCCTCGCTCCGCTACTAAAACACCCACTGGAGCTGGTTCAACCAAATATAACACCATTGGACCATCCAGAGCCGGTGCCAAATCCCCATCTAAGATCCCTGCTCGCGTACCTCTGGGCAACATGCCTCATGGGAGCAACTCGCCTGATCGCCGTGGAACTCCCGGCGCTTACGCTTCTAATACAATAAACGGCAAGATGCCCACAACTCGAGCCCCACCCCCTAGAATGCGAGCGTTGACAGGAGGCGAGTCGCGAGACGAGAGATCAAGCTATCTGTTTGAACCCCCGCGTTGTGTCAGCGCTCTCTCCAATACGTTCGTGCGTCCTGTGAGCCCGGAGGATGTTTACGATGATCGAAACCAGCGCTCCTTTATGAGCTCATCCATCTTCTCTCAGAGATCTGCAGGACAGTCATCTCAGTCATCGGCTTCCTCAGTGTCCCTGAGTTCGTCCACCCAGGGCTTCCCACGGCCAAATCCTTATCTACAACACGCTCCTCCTCCCCCGGCGCCCAGGCAAGTGTCGAATTCATCTACTGTCCATACTACCAACTCCGGGTCGGAGAACTGGGAGACATTTGATGATGGGTCAGGCTCCGAGGCAGATGTTAGCGACGTCTATTATGCGAAACTTCGGGGTGCTCCTGGTAAGCGCTTGGCGCCGGAGGAACAGTCGACTATCTCCCTGGCGGGGAAGAAGGCTAAAGGCATCCGAAGCGTTAGTCCAGATGAGCCAGCAGATCATCGGAGTGGCCGTATGGTCCGAGGCAGTGACGCCGAGTGGACCGATGACATGGAGGCCTACTAACTCTGCGTACTGATTTGAAATCGGTGATCTTTCGTTTCGTTTTCTTTATTATTTGTATGCTTGGACCTTCAGGCGCTTGCGGGAGGACGTGATTGCGAGACCTCTCGGTATTAACGACTCTACGACTGACCTTGGGAATGTATAATTCGACCTCCACCTCAGGTCAGACCTTTGCAGATGACGGCTGAGATTTCCTGGTAATTTCCCAGACATAAGCGACTTGAATGATGGTGCTGAGCCAGCCGCCTTTAATTTCTCTGTCCAAAATTTGGGATTATACCCTGTTTGTTATTGTTTTTCTGGTTCTGGTGCTCTGCTTATCGATGCTTCATTCCCGCCTCCAATTTCTAGCAGAGTGGGATGAAGCGTGAGATGCCTTTCTTGTGTCACTTCCCTACTGTTGAAAGAAGAGGCCGGGTGACTTGTATTATGTTTTGTGTATACGATTGAATAATTGGCATTGGTTTTCGTACAATGGGGAGGTTGATGGACCGTTTCCCGCTGTTGCTTTACTTTACGTTTCTTTTTATTTTTTAATTTTTGTCTTGGAATTTTCCGATCTGATTCTTTTCCAGGCTTATTATGCTTTGTTCTTCGTTTCGTCTCCTTTGTTATGACGCAGCCCATTTGGCTGAAGTGTTGTACACGTTCATAGCACACTTTTCTTCTTCTTTTCTCGTCTGTTTTGATAATCAGCGACAGCGCAATTGTTTCTTTGGTCAACTAGGAATGGATTCTTCAAAAGCTACTGTGAAGCTCCCTGGACACTTCGTATTGTCTCTACGTTAAACGTACTGTCTATGGTAGTGATACTGTTGCAAGAAATTGGCTTTTACTAGATATACTATACAGATGGATGGATAGATAACCGGTCCGAGACTTGACCCGCCCAAACAACTTGATTTCACGACCCTGGAGCCAGCGAGCCCATCCAGGATCTATCTTGCTCAGCGCCAGAGTCTGATTGCGTCGTCGACTTCGCTTGTACTCTGGGTCTCGAAGCAGACTTATCATCCATGACCAATTGTCTCACCTCCTGTAATCGTTGCAGCGTCTCCGCACGACCTAAGATGGTCATGGTCTCGGGGATACCCGGGCCGGGCGCAGAGGCAGACAAGGCCCATCGGAGATAATGGTAGAGTTCCTTCTTGAATGCCTTGTCGGCGGCGACGCGGGCTTTACGTACGTCTTCTTCGTTTTCTTCTTTCTCAAGAAGTCCTAGAGGATGGGGTTGCTGGTGGAGAAGGGCAGATGCGCCGTCGTAGGAGGAGATGTTGAATCGGTGGGTTTCGATGGTCCAGTGGGAGTCGGGGACAAGGCTGAGCGCTGCGGCGGCGGTGTGTAGGGCCGAGATGGGGATGGTTGGGGAAGACTGCTTCCCCTCGGAGGATGGTGGTTTGGTTGTGGAGGATGTGGGCGTATATGGGGGTCTGGAGAGGGCGGTGGTGAAGAAGGTGGAGTTGCGGTGGACGAATTCCTCGGCGTTGGTGAAGGATTTGGCGTCGGCGTGCAGAAGAGGACGAACGTACTCGGATACAGAGCGGGATTTGAGTATGGGATCACTGGGAGGGTTGTTAGTTTGGAGAATTGGAAGTACAAGATGGGGCTGGATCGGGAGTGGAGCTTATGTACAGTTGGGCTATAGGATAGGTACTTTCGACGACCTGGGAGACTCTCGAGACCGTTTCTTCGAATTCGGGGGCGTTGGTGGCCGCGAATCGTTGGGCGTGTGCCTTTTGTAGGAACCAGAGTTTCTCGAAGGCAACGACGGTGTTGCCGCGGGTGATTTTGAGGTTGAACTGGGCGGGGCGTTAGGGTCAGTGATGATGATGATGATGATGGATGGATGGATGGATGGAAAGGTACGTACGATTTGTTCCAATTCTTCCAGACTGAAAATATCCGACTTTTGCGTGTGAGACCAGCCCAATAGAGCGGCGAAGTTCACCAGCGTTGCAGCGAAGATGTCCTGTTTGTCCTTGAAGTACGTCAGGTCGATATCGGCATTGCGTTTGCTGAGCTTCTGACCGGACTTGTCGACGAGGAGAGGCACATGGCCGAAAACAGGCGGAGTCCATTGAAAGGCGTTATACAGAGCGACATGCAGCGGCGTCGAGGGCATCCATTCCTGTCCAACTGCGTGAGTGGCTTTGCTGCATGAGGTTCTGGTTCCTCCAGACTCACCGTGCCTCGAATAACATGTGTGATGTTCATGTAATGGTCGTCGACCACATTGGCAAGATGATAGGTGGGGTGTCCATCTGACTTGAGCAAGATGGGATCATCGTACACCCGCTCGATCAGATCCAGTTTGTTGGGCGAACGATTCTGTCCGGTCTTGCCATAGACCAGATCGTGGAACATGGGGTATCTTTCCACCTTCAGCCTGACCACATGGGCCTCTCCCTTGGCGGCGCGATCTTCGGATTCGTCGGCGGAGATGTCTGTGCATTTCCTATCGTAGCCCAGAGGCAGTCCGGCTTGACTGCGATGTCGTGCGAAGGCGTCCAGGCGGTCCGCAGAACAGAAGCATCGGTACGCGTGGCCGTTTCGGACGAGATCGTGCGTATGGGTGCGGTAGATGGCGGTTCGCTCGGACTGCGCAGCGTCTTAGCACTTCGATTCTCATGTCTTGTCAAGCCATCGACTGCCTCTCACCTGTCTATAGGGACCATAGGGACCTCCGACTGTTGGGCCTGCATCGAACAGGAAGGGCATCATGTTAGCATGTCGCACTCAGTCCGGGATGTCATCGCGCCCTGCTCACCTTCATCCCACTGCAATCCGGCCCATTGCAGGTCTTCGTAGAGCCTCTGTTCGGCGTCCGGAATCGTACGTTTCTGCCATTTTTGTAATTCGGTCAGCAAGAGTCTCGTACACCTTAGAATGGTCCACCAAACCTGATCCGTATCCTCGATTCGGAGTAGAAATTGCCCACCGGTTCGTTTCGCCAGGAGATAATTAAACAAGGCCGTGCGCAGAGACCCCAGGTGGAGGTATCCAGTAGGTGAGGGAGCAAATCTAGTCCTGGCGGGCGTGTCGGGGAGATGAGACTTTTTGCTACCGCGGAGAGTCGACACAGTCCGGGACGAGACGACGGGGAATGATCTGGTACTGCATCGCGTGCAAATCCACGGACGACGGGCCCAAATCCCAGGATGTCGCATGTCGAATTATTAAAGGGCAGAGACTGCGAGTTGGCGAGGGACAGCGAAGAAGGAAAAGAAGTCGATCGGCGGCTCTGCCGCGATTCGGCGCCAAAAAGGCGGACTGAGTTTTCCCCGACTCTTACTGTCGTCGTTCTTTCTCCATCTTTTCTTGGAATTTTTGTTTGTTATTTTTTTTTCTCTTCTTCACTTTTGATTAAGCAGATTTTGTTTCTGCAATCGGGAAGAGAACAACCATCACAGTTCTCAGTATGCTTGTCCACCTCCCAGACGCAGAACGCAGCTAATGCCCGATGATCTAGTGTCGAAAGTCGAAGTCGACCTCTATGGTACTTGTTCCCTGTCTGCTTTCTTATGTGATTCCGTCGTCTTATTTATAATCGATACCAGCGACTGACATTATTCTGTGATGACAGAGGTCCTAGAAATACCCCGAGACGCATCCAAAGAAGAGATCCGAAAGGCATATCGCAAGGTACGACACCCCAAATCTCGTGAAAGACTCGCTGACGGTGGAATTCCACTCGCCTAATAGTCTGCGCTTGCCAGCCATCCTGATAAAGTCCCTGAGGGCGAACGAGAAGCTGCCGAGGTCAAGTTCAAGGCCGTCCAAGAAGCTTACGATATCCTCTACGATGATGACAAACGTCATCTGTACGACACACATGGCATGGGCGCCTTCAACGGCTCCGGAGAACCTGGTATGGGCGCCGCCCCGGATCTAGATGACCTTTTGGCGCAGATGTTCGGCGGCATGGGAGGCATGGGAGGCATGGGAGGTATGGGAGGTATGGGCGGAATGCCAGGGATGCCAGGAGGCAGTAGATCACGAAAGAGTCCCAACGAAGAACAGAAGTACAACGTGCGTTTGGAGGATCTCTACAAAGGGAAGACGGTCAAGTTTGCTAGCACCAAGAATGTCATCTGCAGTCTGTGCAATGGCAAAGGTGGCAAGGAAAAGGCAAAGGCCAAAAAGTGCTCGACTTGCGACGGAGAAGGTATGGATGGATTGACCCCCCTCCCCAAAATAACGCCGTATGCATTGCTCATGGTTCATTCCCATAGGTATGCGGCAGATCTTAACTCAGAGGGGTCAGTTTCTGACGCCTTCCTGGGTGGCCTGTTCCACGTGCAACGGACAAGGACAGTTTTTCAGCCCCAAGGACAAGTGCAAGAAGTGTAAGGGAGCGAAGACCACGGAAGCCAAGAAGATGCTGGAGATCTACATCCCCCCAGGAGCGAGGGAGGGGGATAGGATCGTGCTTGAGGGCGAAGCAGACCAAGTGCCCGACAAGGAGCCTGGAGATATCGTGTTTCACATCGTGGAGGAGGAACACGCGACTTTCCGCAGGGCCGGCGCCGACCTGACCGCCACCATCGACGTTACCTTAGCTGAATCGCTGACGGGGTTCTCACGCGTCGTCATCCAGCACCTGGACGGGCGCGGAATCGAGCTTCAACACCCGCAGAAACCCGGACAGGTTCTCTCACCGGGACAGTTGCTGAAGATCACCGGGGAGGGGATGCCGATCAAGCGCAGCGATGCCCGTGGGGATCTCTACCTGGAAGTGAATGTTAAGTTCCCGGAGGAGACGTGGACCCCCAGTCCGTCGGTGCTGGAACGACTCAAGGAGGTGCTACCCCCACCAGATCCGCCCATCGCAGCTGACACGGTGGACGTGGTCGCGTACGATCGCAAGGGCAACCTGGATGATTTCGGGGCTAACGATCCCCAGGGAGGTAGTGCCTGGGAGGATGACGAGGAGGAGGGAGAGACGGCGCAGTGCGCGACGCAGTGATGGATGGGATGATAGACCTTTTTTGCTTGATACCATTTGGAGCTGTTTCTGTAGAATTGGATCGATTGAGTCTGCATTTGGGGGGCGTCATACTTTTAGATGGCGGTGGAGCCTGCGTGGGGAGCGAGTGGGATATTTTCCTCCGCTCCTGTCGATAGCGTGGGGTCTCCATCGTTTTATGATGTATATTATTATTTCTTCCTTTCTTTTTAGACTATTTAATGGATCGATCACTGTGTCGGAAATGTTCCGTTGCGAGGATTCTACTTGGGAGTCATTCCATCGCGTCGGGAATTCTACCCGTTGCCACACACGCTCTCTCTCTCTTCCCTCCATCTCCATTTCTATCCTTTCTCTCGATCTTATCCTTCGATGAATCGTCATGCCGTGCCAATCCCAGGAATCATGTCAGGGTTGTGCCTGCGACAGTCCTTCCCCTGTGAATATCGAAGACTGTGAAGCCGAACTGCAGGCGCTTCGGAAACGCACCGCAGAGCTCGAGACGACCTTGAAGAGCGCCCAAGATGGCTCGTCGAGGACCTGCAGGCCCCGAAAGAAACTGCGATCGACCCACTGGTTCAACTGCGAAAGCGATCCCGGAATGACGGCTCTGTATATCGAACGGTATCTCAACTACGGTCTCACCCGGGAGGAGCTGATGGCCGGCAAGCCGATCATTGGCATCGCGCAGTCCGGATCGGACCTCTCCCCCTGCAATCGCCATCACTTGGAACTAGTGAAACGAGTACGAGAAGGGATCCGTATGGCTGGGGGCATTGCCTTGGAGTTTCCCACCCATCCCATCCAGGAGAGTAGTCGACGGCCGACCGCCTGCATCGATCGGAATCTGTCGTATCTAGGTCTGGTCGAGATCCTGCACGGTTATCCCTTGGATGGTGTGGTGCTGCTGACGGGCTGCGATAAAACCACCCCGGCGGCTCTGATGGCTGCTGCTACGGTGGTACGTCCTCCCTACTTCTATCCCTTCCTTTCTCTCTCGCTCGGCACACTGACGTTGATAGAACATCCCTGCGATCTGTCTCAACGTGGGCCCTATGCTTAATGGATATGTGAAGAACGAGCGGGCTGGATCCGGCATGGTGGTCTGGAAGGGTCGAGAGATGTATGCCGCCGGGGAGATCACTCGAGAGGAGTTTATTGACTATGTGTCGAGAGGGTATGTCCGGACAACTTGTCACCCTCGGCCTCCTTGTCTGACTACTTTCAAGCGCCCCGTCCGTGGGACATTGCAACACGATGGGAACCGCTTCGACGATGAACGCTTTGGCCGAGGCGCTGGGAATGGCTCTCCCTGGATCGGCTGCAATTCCCGCCCCGTACCGCGAACGCGGACAATGCGCCTACGAGACGGGGAGACAGATCGTCGAGATGGTACACGTCGATCGCAAACCCAGCGATATTATGACGCGCGCAGCCTTCGAGAACGTCATCGCGACGAATACTGCCATCGGCGGAAGCACCAACGCCCCGATCCACATCAACGCCATCGCCAAGCACATGGGGGTGGAGATGTCGCTGGATGATTGGGACCGGCTGGGATTCCACATTCCCCTGCTCCTCAACATGCAACCGGCCGGCGAGCTGCTGGGCGAGGAATACTACCGCGCCGGGGGTCTTCCTGCGATCATGGCGGAGTTGCTGAGCGCCGGGAAATTAAACCAAGATGCGATGACCTGCAACGGCCGCACGGTGGCTGAAAATGTGCGAGGAAAACACTCCTGGGACCGTCGCACGATTCGCGCATACGGGAAGCCTCTCCTGGAAAATGCCGGGTTCCTGCACCTGCAGGGAACGCTCTTCCAGTCGGCCATCATGAAGACCTGCGTGATCTCGCCACAATTCCGCGCCAAGTTTCTGGAGGACCCGGACGATCCGAACGCATTCGAAGGCACGGTGGTTGTCTTCGATGGTCCCGAGGATTATCATCGTCGACTCGACGACCCGACCACCCCCATCAGCGACAGCAGTATCTTGGTCATGCGCGGCGCCGGTCCGCTGGGCTATCCCGGCGCTGCAGAGGTGGTCAACATGCACCCGCCGGGCCGACTGCTGCGTCAGGGGATCAAGTCACTGCCGTGTATCGGCGATGGACGACAGTCAGGCACGTCAGGATCGCCGTCGATTCTCAACGCCAGCCCGGAAGCAGCGGCTGGAGGCAACCTGGCGGTTTTGCGAGACGGGGACAGGCTCCGGGTTGATCTCACCCGACGACGTGTCGATATCCTGGTGTCTGCAGGGGAGCTCGAGGCGAGACGAGCCGCACTGGACGCTCGAGGTGGTTACGAGGTGCCGGGAAGTCAGACGCCCTGGCAAGATCTGTTCCGCAGGGAGACTACGCAGCTGAGCGAGGGAATGGTGCTGCGAGAGGCTGTGAAATATCAACGGTTGGCGCAGAAGTACGAGGAACCAAGGCATAATCATTGATGCCTAGATGTTGATTATGTACATATTATTCTGAGTATATATTGATAGACATGAAATTTTAATTACATGATTGATATTCGTTGCCAGTCTCCTCTCATGTGGCTCAGGTCTCTCGATTCAATTTATCCCACGTATCAGATTCCTCCTGACTTCTTCAATCATTCAAAGGTTTGGATTCATACTATGAAACTATAGTTTAGCTGTGCCACCTAAGTACCCACTCAAACCAGACTTGCGTCCCTTTTCACCAGGATAGTCCATAGTGGCAGTGCTATAGATGCAGATCAACCTCGTATTCCCAATTTTGCCCCGTTGGGCTACGCTTGTCAACCGAGTACGAGTAGCCCAAAAACAAGAATCGAGGCTCTGCTAGTGCTAGAGGTACCAGGTATAAATACAGATATCAATCTTCAAGATGGACTCTCATACAGCAAGCCAATTCAATTCAAGATGTTCTGGTCTCTTATCTTCTTAGCTGCGACGGCCGCCGCCGCAGCCATCGACACTCCATCATGTCGCTGCACACCATCCCAACCATGCTGGCCCTCCGATCAGAAATGGCAAACGCTGAACGAGTCCGTCTCAGGCCATCTGATCACAGTCCGACCAGTGGCATGGCCATGCCACGATCCGACGCTGGACCCGGAACGATGCCAAGCCCTGAGCGCCTTCAAAATCTACTCTTCCTGGCGACGAGAACAGCCAGGTGCCCTGCAGTATCCGAACTGGGAGGCGTTGCCATCCGCTAACCAAAGCTGTTACTTTGATACCGATCCCTCGGTGCCCTGCGGTCAGGGGAGAATCTCCGAGTACTCCGTAGTCGCGGAGACTGTCGAGGATATCCAGGCCGCTGTCAGATTTGCCAGAGATCATGGTCTTCGTCTGGTGGTTAAGAATACGGGTCACGATTTTCTAGGTCGTTCGGCTGCGCCGCATTCGTTGCAGATTGCTACCTACAAGATGAGAGGCATCTCGTTTTCTGAGAATTTCGTGCCCAAGGGTGCCCCCCGTCAGAATCAGGGGGTGGGATCAACGGTGACTATCCAAGCTGGCGCTGTGTTGAATGAGATCTACCAAGCCGTGCAGAAGAAGGGGAAAATGGCTGTGTTAGGGGGAGCTCATACCGTCGGTGCTGCAGGAGGGTATATTCAGGGAGGAGGACATTCGCCCATCGGGGCGTGGAAGGGCATGGCGTCCGATAATGCGGTGGAGTTTGAGGTGATCACCGCTGATGTAGGTCACTTATACCCCAAACGCTTTTATATGAATCATGACTGGAGTGAAGCTGATCAGAGCAGGGAGAGAGAGTCATCGCCAACCAATACCAACATCGCGACCTGTTTTGGGCCCTGCGTGGCGGCGGCGGAGGCACATTTGGCATCGTCACCAGAGTCACTCTGCGCACCTTTGACGAGAAGCCCGCAGTCGCTGTCAACATGACCGTGGCAATGCCGTGGAGTCCGAATTCCAGCTACTGGGACATCGTGGCGGAGTTCAGCTCGCAGGTCCCCCGTCTCAACGACGAGCTCTGCTCGGGGTACTTGTTCATGCTGCCCAAGGATGAGGCTAATGGACTCAATATCTCCGTGCTGCAGGGCACAATTGCCTGTCTGGATCAGTCAACTGCGAAGCCTGTCGACCAGCTGTTCGACTCGATTCTCGCTCCCATCCGCAGTCACCCCGGGGTCACCGTCTTGTACAACGCAACGGCCTACCCGACGACGTACGGGGCCCTGAACAGTCTGATCATGTTGGGTGCTGAATCCGATATCACCGGTGGCCCGGTCATTCTGGGTTCTCGTCTCATCTCTCGCGACTTTCTCCGGTCGTCGGACGGGAGCAAACAGTTCGCTCATACCCTGTCCCAGCTCCCGATGGATAATGGGGCCGCGATCCTGGCCCATCTGATTGCTGGAGGACAAGTCCAGAAGAATGCGCACATCGAGAGTGCTCTCAATCCTGTCTGGCGCAAGACCGGTCTGCATATTGTCTGGACGCGGTCCTGGACTCCCAGGGCCTCGGAGAAGGAGATCCACGCCGTGAAGCAGCAGGTCTCCAGGGAAGTTGAGGTCTTTCGGGCATTAGAGCCGGAGATGGGGGCATATCTCAACGAGGCATATCCTTATGAAGAAGACTTTCAACGGTCCTTCTGGGGGGAGAATTATGGGCGATTGTATGCCATCAAGCAGACGGTGGATCCTCGGGGATTGTTTATTGCGAGAAAGGGGGTGGGGAGTGAAGATTGGGATGAGGAGGGATTCTGTCGGGTTTGATTACAGTAATATCATTTTTGATTTTTTTTTTTTTTTTTTTTAGTATTTACTTTGTCTTAGAATCTTAGAGTTCAGACTGACGTTTTAAATTTTGGTCGTTGAAACGTGGTTCAGGCGGGCGGCATTTCTTTTTGGATTTCTCGAAGACTTCCAATAGTTTCATCATTCATTCATCCAGCAAGTATCCTTCGCAATGCAAAAGTATTTGTCTGTGTATTGTTATTGCTATAGGATGAGTATGATACGAACATGAGATGAATATGAAGAGTCATATTTTCGAATAACGATACGACATGGACCGCAATGAAGAATTCCAAAAAGAATCCCCCAAAGCATATAAAATCTCCCTCTGGGAAAAACTTCAAGCGCAATTCAATCCCAGACCTCCTGACGATGACGAACCCCAAGACTGGTGGTTCGCATCAACCGCCATTCCCTTGTTTGCGGCCACCACTGGTCCCTTTGCCAATGTCATGTCCGTCGTCGCCCTCGCGATGCCGTGGAAAAGCGAACTCCATCCGGACCAGCTGGATGCCGACGGGAATCCTCTGCAAGTGATGTTGACGGATCCTAGATGGTAGAAACCTATCCTATAATACCTTGGTTATATCACTGTCCTCTGTGCTAATGGTGCAGGTGCATCGGTCTCAATGCCACCTCCCTCGCTTTTGGTCTGCTAGGAAACCTCTTCCTGTTGTTTAACTTCACCCGGATCATCCGGTATATCGTCGCCCTGCCCGCTTCCATCATTCTGTGGTCCCTGGCGACGGCGATTGTAAGTGGCGCGGTTGGATGGCCTGAGACGATGGTCTAATGGATCTAGTTGATTGGAGCCACCAGCTCCGTCCATATCTACGCCGGCCCGATCCCCCCAAACCAGACCTACTCGCAGGCATACTGGTATGCCGTCATTGCGGCCGTGCTCTATTTCATCCTCACGGTCATCCTCATGATCAACATGGTGGGATATTTTCTGGGCCACTATCCGCAATATTTTGCTCTCACCGATGGACAACGCACCCTGATCCTCCAGACCACCGCCCTCGGAATCTGGTTGCTCGTGGGGGCCGCCGTTTTCCAGAAAGTCATAGGCATATCCATCGCAGAAGCCCTCTACTTCTGTGATATCACCATTCTCACTATTGGTTTTGGCGACGTGACGCCGAAGACCGCGGCCGGCAGGGGTCTAGTCTTCCCGTACGCCGTGGTTGGAATTATCATCTTGGGTCTTGTAGTAGGGAGTATTAGCAACATCGTCCGAGACCTCCAAGACACTAATGTAGTGCGAAAGCACATCGAGCGACGGCGGGAAGCGACCATCGAACACTCTCTCATAGACGAAGACGCTCAAAAACGATCCAACGCGACCCCCGACGCATCCCAAATCGCTTATCGTCCCAAGCACACCAGGAAAAACCCCGTTATCAGCAAAGTCACGGCGTTCTACCGGGGATCGCTCGGTCGACCCAAGACCATCGTCATGAAGGAAGAAAAGGATCGATTCAACGCGATGCGCGACATCCAGTACGAAACGGCCCTCTTCAGTCGATGGTATCACCTTATCCTCAGTCTAATTGCTTTTGGACTTCTGTGGGCCTGTGGTGCGCTTGTTTTCTGGGCCATGGAAAAAGAAATCTCGTATTTCGAAGCGTTATATTTTGGTTTCGTCTCCCTGTTGACCATCGGATACGGGGATGTCGCTCCGACAACGAACGCCGCGAAACCTTTCTTCGTGGTCTGGTCGATCATCGCCATTCCAACCATGACTTCGCTGATCTCCGAAATGAGCAACACCATCGTGTCAGTCTTCAAACACGGTACCAGTCAGGTCGCGGATTGGACCGTCCTGCCGCATTACGGGAAGTATAAAGCCTTCTGGCGAAAGTTCCCCCCTATCCACGCGTATCTCGAGAAACGCGAGGAAAATAAACGGATTGCCCAAGGTTTCCCTGTCGGCCTTGATAATGGGGAAGAGGGCCCAGATGGGGAGTCGGGACCCGCGCGATCGATCGAAGAATTAACAAGTGATCTACTCTCGTCGGACTTTGAGCTTGCGCAGCGTCTTGCATTCGCGATTCGCCGGACGGCCAGAGACGCAGTGAATGGACATCCGAAACGATACAGCTACGAAGAATGGGCGGAGTTTACTCGAATGATCCGATTCACCAACCCGAGTCCCGATGATACGGTCCTCTATGAAGATGAATACGGGATCCTCAACTGGGACTGGATCGGCGAGGATAGTCCAATGCTGGCGCCGCAGACGGAGCCCGAATGGGTTCTTGATCGTCTCTGTGAGAGTATGATTCGGTTTATTTCCACGCAGGCACAGAGAAACCGGAGAACTACCGACGTAGATGAGGATGAGCCTACGATAAGGAAAGAAAGGGATATATAGGCCAGAATGGCCTCATGCCTTTGGTTGAAACCACTAGGGGACTGGATCCAGAGAATGCGACGGGCTCCGCCATTGCTGCCGTGCTATAGACTGACGTACTTAGGCTCCGGGGACAGAGGCAGAGCACGAGATGTGAAACCGGGTCCCGCGGGCGAGGGAGTGGGCTAACTTGGCTAGTCCTACATACGTCATGTACGTTCTGTTCCTCCATCCTGGAAGGATCTCATACGGAAAGTCCAGGGTATTGAGACTAGCATATGCGGCTGCAAGAAGTCCATAGAAACATGGAGATTCTCCATGTATCCACAGAAGACGGGTCAGGTGAAGAAGGGATGTACTGTAGAAGAAAGGTTCTACGTACTCTCACCATGGCTCCGTTCATCATTCTATACCTTAAGCATCCACTAGCTATGCTATCCTATCCTAATGATCTCTAGCCACTGCACATTGAATAGACAGTCCCGGTCCTATTACCATATCACTGCCCTTTCCCCGAGCAATCCACCTTATTGCAGCACTGACCCCCATTAGTCCAAATACAATTATTCGCATCGGACTTGATATCACACAGGATATCAGTCAACTCAAACGGAGTATACAGAGGCAGATCCTGCGAATAGAACGTCATCCCGGCAGCTCCGCTGGACAGGCCGGTCCCACGCTGTGTTCAAATCCACCCAGACATTACTTCCCGCAGGACTACTTGCTCAGGGAGATCCCAGCGTTGGCAAAGTTCATCGGGTCTTGGAATTAGTTCTTAGGAGGAGAGATTCAGTATGCAAAATATTATCCTGTCATTGTAAGCTAGGATATACTCAGAGCATGCCTTAAAATTGCCTAGATGTAGGTATATACATAGTCGTTCTAGGACCTCAGAGACCGGCAACGCCATCTTTGGAAAGTACCGTGTACATCATGGATCAGTGGACGATATTCAGCTGCCACTTGTCCTCCTGGCTGATTTGGCTGAGAAGTTAATAACTACTACGGCCAATTATCAGTCATGGTTCAGGCTAGGAATCATTTGCCTTGGGTGACAGACGTGATCAGCTTGCAGAGGATTGTGGGTCTGTACTTCTTGCAGCCACGATGCTACCCTTCTGCATCTAATACAAAGAAAAAAAAGAAAACATCACTGGAACCACTCCTAGAGCGGTCAAGGCTTGCAAGCCCTAAGACCTATGAAGAACTCTAGAGCAGATAGCAGAATAAGAATATTTATAGATACCTGTCAAATCTATCTATATATATGTATTTATAGTATGAAAGTAAATTGTAGGTATATATAATCCTGCAGGTGGATTTGAGATAGGAAACTAACTATAAGAAGCTGTTACTATTATATGGGTGGTATTTACAGTGGGCGTATTCCACCTCTCTCCTCAAAGTGGGTTGTCTCGCAAACGCATTTCTGCATATTCGTAATGATTGGTGTTGTCTAGGGTGACAAAACTGAGATATGTACTCCATAGTGCCAAGAGGCCAAGGCAGTCAATTGGTAATATCACTCATTCTAGGACTGTACCAGGCACATGGTGGTCCGTTTGGCCAAGGACTTAGTAAGGAGGCGACGACGACAAGAAATCCAATGATTCTGACCACGAGAAGATGAACCGCCAAGGCATTGAGTCAGAGTGCAGACTCAGGAATCAGACGACTAAAGGAAACAAAAATATCTTCCGGTGGATCACGGGAGGGCCCCACCCCTACTAGGGTCTGGCCCGTCCCATGATATCAAAATTTTCTCTTCGGGACACTTCAGACCGCCTCAGGACTCAAGTCTTTCAAGGCAGCCACTATCTCTCTCTTTATTTATTCCACTGTCAGACTTTATCTATTCCCTGATCCATCATGCTGCCACTCGTCCAGTCAGATGCTCAATTGCCACCATGCGCTCCTGACGAGCTCTAACATTGATCTTCTCTTTCTCTGTCGGCGTACTTGCTGCACCTCTCCTGATCCCCTAGCTCTTTGAACCGGTGCCATTGAATCACCCCATCGGTGTGGTGTTATTCGGTCTCGATCGCAACCGCCCCCAAGATATTCTACCACTCATTGCTGGCCAAGATCACCTCCAGCAGATTCATATCAACACGGCTGCACACCGCATTGTCCCAGGGCGTTGTATGCACTGGAAACAACCAAGCAGTGCCGTTGAAATCTCCCAGCGAATCCTATCCCGTCCTGGACGCATTGGAGTACAGAATCCTCAGTGATTGACCATTCGTGTCTTGACCGTTTGGACTTGTCTTTGATTTTAGGCTGTACTTTTGTGCTGGTCAAGATGGACGTCGACCTATAACTTCGCCGTGTTTCCTCCTTTGACCGTACCTCCTCCTTTCGTCAGCAATTCAGCGTTTTGTATCCCCACTTTCACTATTAGACGACCGGTAATTCTCGAATTCTCCGACTCTTGTATCCGATATCTTGACTATGGCCCCCAATCTCTTCCTCTGTCTGCGAAAGGCTTTCTGCCCGATCTACTGGTTCCAACGCGGGGAACGCATCCAAGGATCCATCCACAAAGAAGAACATTGGGAATCTCCTGTCCCAGGCATCTACAAGTACATTCCGGCCCGCGGATGGCACCTGATCTACAGGGATGGCAACGAGTACGAGGAGAAAGTTCCCGTTCCCCTGGTTTATTGTCGCATCCTACACCGCCACATATTCGAACATGAAATGGAAGAACGATGTTCCTGGCACTCGGTGACCGTGCATGAAGGGGCCGAATCTGAAAAGTTTCTCTTTTTCCTTCTCGATGACGGCTGTACCTGGGTAGCAGGATGGGACTCCAAGGGCAAGTTCATCCCCGGGCCGTATCAAAAATGGTATCTGGATGCGGAAACGAACACCATGCGTCGTACCTTGTTTCCTGATAGTGCCAACGTCTCTCGCTGCAGCATTCTTGCAACCAAGCTGAATTAGTTGTCAACCGACTGAGTTTTATTGAACGCAACGGTGTTCATACTTGTGATTATTATGGATTCTCCATGTATAGAAGTCGAAGGGGTACAATCCTTCGATGGCCATGTGTTGGCGCTACAGCTGGTATCTGTGGAGCCTTCCAAAAAGTGATTTGAGCGATCGATCCTACTGAGCGTATGAGCGGGTTTTTTACGGAATGCGATTTTCTTTTCCTCCTTTTGTTCGGATGATTCGTTTACTGACTGCGCGGCGCCGGTTAGAGATTGAAACGGAAAGATAACCTTGTTTCGTTTCTTTGTTTGTGTTTTTTACGTCGAAGGGTTGTTTATCAGGAAGATGTTACGGTAATGATAGGACATAGAAGGACATAATTATAGAATTGATTTGAATACAACAATTGTTCAGTATATATCAAGTACATCCAGAAATAATTGCTCTAGACAGATCATATCGGCTGATGCAGGCTCTCCGTGCACATCGCATAATAATACCATCCTCTGGAAGACAGAAAGTGTGATTGTCTAGACAATGGATGGGATACTGCATATCCTGTATACTTCTATGCTTCGATGTCACCAGGACACCTTCCCTTACTTATCTTTATCTAGCCATATCCTTCCAACCCATCCATAGGGTAATTACAGCCTCGCTTTCGGCTGCACCATCAACTTCTCCAACTCCCGTCGAATCTTCTCCTCCATCCCCGATTTAGTTGGTCTCATCGTCTCCCTCGCCACAAATACATGTGTATACCCTCCCACCGTCTTGACAGCTTCCTCGCCCCGCTTAAACACTCCGACTTCGTAGGTCACGCTGGAAGAACCCAGTTTCGCAACGCGGAGTCCCAGGTCCAGGACGTCCGGGAAGGAGACTGACGCGAAGTAGTCGCAGTAGGAGTTGACCATGATAGCGACCTGGTTGGAGGAGGCCGTGGTTTTATCGCTGCTGCTGTTGTTGTTCATGGAAAAGGGATCCATCCCGCAGTGGGTGATCAGGTATGAATTGACGATGGAATCAAAGAGCATGGCATAGACAGTGTTGTTGAGGTGGGCGTACATGTCATTGTCGAACCTATTAATTAATATATTAATATTGATATTGATTGATAAACCTAGGGAGGGAAGGAATGGGAGGAGGACCATCGCGTTCGGTACTCTTGGTGGAAGACATAGTCGCTTCGAGTGCGACGCTTTTTGGCATCGATTACTTGGGACATGGTGTGGATTGGATCAGAGAGAGATGAACAGGGACAAGAGGATGGAGACGAGAGGACGTTGTTGATGTTCATACTCTCTTTACTTGTTCAGCCGAGGTTGTTGTATTTTCCGGATGGGGTTTAGTCGGTGGGGTGGAGTGGAGTCATCAATTCCACTATTCTGTATATCTCAGTATATACTCTGCATTCCATCTGGGGTACTTCATATTCCCAGTCGAGCCTATCTGCAGTGACAATTATCGTGGAAGTAGTTGCTACTCTCGGTGCCTGGGCACTAGGCAAATTTAACATCTCCCTGCCATGGATCACCCCCAGCATGGCCTGCACGGACAAGATTGTCTGGGTCTAGGAAGCAAATCTCAAAACCGGTGTGCAGATCCTCCTTCCAAGGTCCTCCGCATTTGACGTGGCCACAGATCGATGGTCCAACTACCGTGCCTCCGATATCACAGTGGTGGTGAGCGTGGCGGAGAAGGAAGATGTGGTCGAACCGTAGGCTTCATCGAAGACGGGACAACCCAATAACTGAACTGATCACTTGGAAGGCGAAAACGCCAATGCCAACGAAATTCCGTTCCTCGCAGTGAGTGGTTCCCACGGGAATACTGCCGGATTGGGAGACATACAGCATGGGATCCAGATCTGGCTGGACAAGCTGGACTCGGTGGTCATCGCGGATAACGGCCAGACCAATGCTTTCGGGGGCGGAGTCCGTTCCAAAAAGTGACGGATGCGCTGTGGGAAGCCGGTAAACAAACCGGTGGTATAACCAGGGCTTCATTTATACAGGACTGAAATATATCTTCTTGTCCGTAGTGACAGGATTCTGCGAATGCACCAGCCTCCTGGGTACGGGACACGGCGGTGGTCATAGCTTCCTGCAGGGCAGATATTGTCTCATCTCGGATCAGTTTGTCTCCATGCGACTAGTAACGGCCGATGGGACCCTGCACACAGTGTCGGCGTTCAGTCCAGAAGCAGGTTTATGGTGGGCCGTGGAGGGTGCAGGGCACAATTTTGGGATTGTGATATCGGTCACTTCCAAGATCTACGATGTGACTGTGGTGTTTTTTGATCCTACGAGAGCTTTATTTTCACCCATGACAAAGTCGAGGGTGTCTGACCACATCAAGAAGTTCTCGGCAAACCAACCGGTGGATCTGGTTCATCTTTCGACTTTCCTTCGCAATCCAGATGGTGATCCAGAAAATGTACGCCCTCTCGATTCACCTCTTTCGCTCGCACTGACAGAAATGATTTTGCTGACAGTCTGATTGCAGCCGATCATCGTATTCTTTATTTTTCAAGAAGGTGTTTCCGCCATTGAATCGACATACGCGGCTCTATTAAGAGACCTCGGTCCCGTTCGTAGGCTCTCTAGCTCTGGAACTTACAAGGATATCCCAGGACGGGCCGGCTTTTTCAAACCGTCAGAAGAACGGCGCGAGCCGTGTGGGATTCCCCGTGAATCTCTAATCCTACGACATAGCCCAGCGCGATGCCTTCGACTTTTTTTCCAAAGGCACCTCTGAGATTCCACAGCTCAACAGTGCCATCTTTCTCCTTGAGGGGTACCCCGTGCAAGCAGTTCAAGCTGTGCCGTTTGATTTCTCAGCGATTCCTCAGGGGGTGATCCCATGCTCGTCTCGCTGGTTGCGGCTTACACCGAACCTGCGCTGGAAGAAAAGGCGGTTGCGTTTGGGGAGAGTCTACGGCAGATCTGTTCCGAGCGAGCGGATAGAAGGAACTGTATGCATATGTCAACTCTGCGTCGCGGCTCGGAGAGCCAGAGATTTGGGATTCTTGTCTTCAAGAAATTTATGTGAAGTTATTCAATTTGTCTCGATATAGAATCTGCTCTATATGTTCGTTCCATAATTAACTAAATTGTTGTGCTTATCTCAGATAAGATCATCCCCGCAAATTTTTTTTTTTTTTTTTTGGCCCTTCAATTCCCCTCTCCCACCAACAACATAGCACTATATTATTACCTAAACTCAACATCTCGACTCTAGTGCGGTTTATTCTCCACGAGTTCGCATACCCACTGCGACAAGGCGGTTTCTGGTCTAACATGGCCCTCCCTATCGACGCTACTCTGAAAGTCCCGCCACCCGACCCGGTCAAGGAACCGTCCAAGGAGACCACCACGCCTTGTGAAGAGCCTGCCCCTTATTACTATGAAGGGGGTCTGCGTCGCGTGAAACCATACCATTTCACCTACAACACGTACTGCAAGGAGCGGTGGCGGAATCGTGAGTTGGTGGATATTTTCACCTCAGAGTTTCGCGATCGGCCGCCTGAGTATTATGTACGATTCCTACTTTTCTATCTATCTATATTTCTGAGCTGACATTGAGAATAGAAACAAGCCCTTATTGACGGCAAAGTCACCGTGAATGGAAATACCGTCGGTCCTCACTACATTGTCAAAAACGGCGAGATCATCTCGCACACGCTCCATCGTCATGAACCCCCCGTCACGGCCAACAAGATCGGCATCATCCACGAGAACGATGACCTTCTCGTCATTGACAAACCCGCCGGAGTCCCAGTGCACGCCGCTGGTCGGTACTACTACAACTCTATCATCGAGATCCTGCGTCACCAACACAAGGTCGGATTTCTGCCACGGCCGTGTAATCGCCTAGACCGGTTGACTTCCGGCGTGATGTTCATCGGGAAACATCCCAAGGGAGCAGAAATGATGTCCGCCAAGTTGAAACAACGCACCGTGCAGAAGGAGTATGTCGCTCGTGTCAAGGGGAAATTCCCCGACGGGGTCGTCGTCTGCGATCAACCCATCATGTCTGTTAGCCCAAAGGTCGGTCTGAATCGTGTGCGTGCTACAGGGAAGGAGGCGAAGACGAAATTCCGTCGTTTGGCGTATTATCCGCCAGTCTCGACACCCGGCCCGACGGGACAGAAAGTGGAAGAAGAGAGAGGAGAGCGTCCCGCGACACCACCGCCGACCCTATCCAACGAGATGGAAGGATACAGCGTGGTGCATTGTCTGCCGTTGACGGGACGCACGCATCAGATCCGCGTGCATCTGCAGTTCCTGGGCCATCCGATATCCAATGACCCGATCTATTCGAACAGGCGGGTCTTCGGCCCGGATCTTGGGAAAATGGAGACAGGCGCGGAGCGAGACGCGGAACTCATCGAGAAGTTGAACTCGATGGGTAAGACTGAAGTCGCGGATAGCGTAACCTACCGGACACATATCACGGCGGCGCCGTTGGTGCCACCAGGCACGGATTCCTCCGTGGTCGAGGCGATCATGTCGCGAGAGCACGAGGCGGCGGTGGAGCATTACCATCAGAGGAAGGGGGAGCGACTTTCCGGTGAGACCTGCGATGTCTGTGGCACGGAGCTCTACTGTGACCCCGGGGTGCATGAGCTGGGTATCTTCCTGCATGCGGTGGCGTACGCGGATAACGAGGGGGAGTGGAAATATCGCAGTAAGATGCCGCAGTGGGGGATGCCTCCGCCGGGCTTTGATGGCCCCCGTGAAGCTCCGGATTGGGTCTCGGTGCCTGAGGAGGAAGAGGTGGTGATAGGACATGGCACGATCCCGCAGTTGGATGGGGATGAGACCAATGTGCCGGCTTTGGTTCGCGGCGTGGGCTTGGTGGATATTTCGGAGGCAAGGCAGAGGATGGAGCAGGGATTGATATAATACCTTCATAGATAGCAGTCAAGTTGACTGTATAGCGCATTTTAAATAAACTAGACAGATTACATCTACACCGTTGCAGGAAGTTGTTTTATTCCCATAGCCAGCCAACATTACGAAGGTCAAAGACAGACCAAATACTCATACTCATGCATGCACATATTGAAATTCGTAATCGCCACGAGGCTGATTCAATTCACGACCATACAGAAACCGAAGCGACACCCGCAACTGCCAGAGCGTATCCCCATGTCCCCCAGGTATAAGAGTTTATGGCATAATTTTTCTTTTCATTGAATAGATGAAATGTGGGTAGGAATTAAATTTAAGCCTCGGTGGTGACACGGCCACGAGGGTTGGTGACCTTGACACCAAGAGCCTTGGCCTTGGCGATGATATCGACACGCTTGCGGGAGGAGACGGCGTGGCCGATCCTATTTTTGTTAGCCATTAGCATATCCCGGAGATATTTAAGCCACCATTGTGGATGAGGTGAGGGGATCGTACTCAGCGGCGTAGGTGCGGTTGTGCATGAGAAGGAGCTCAACGTCCTTGGGGTTGTGGACGAGGAAGGCCTTGTGACCCGAGGGCATCATGTGGCGGGTCTTCTTGTTGCTGCCGTAACCGATCTAATCATATATCATTAGTATCTCTCCGATGCGGGTGAGAGGATCAGATCCTGTGGCCTAGACGTACCGAGGGCATGGGAATGTTGCTCTTGAAGCGTCTACGGACGCGGTTGTCGATACCCTTGGGCTTGCGCCATGACTCCGGCACGCACTTGAAGCGGTCGGACTGGTGGCGCCAGAAACGCTTGGTGCCTGTATTCCGTCAGTTAAATGATCGAAGATTCGTTTGGTGTAATCTCAAGGTATCATCGCAATCCGTATATCACCCAGCAAAGCAATACTTCTTTTTTTTTTTTTTTTTTCCCTTCCCCCCCCAAAAAAAACCTCCCTTCCATTCTGGTTCATTCCATTGTAGATTATTCCCCCACAATTTCTCCCCTTATTCCCCCATAGTTCATTCCTTCTGATTTGCTTGCTGAGGATACACGGATTGGACTGCACTGGACCAGACTGGACTGGGCTGGGTTGGCAGGGAACATACGCTTCTTGACGATGGGGACGTGCTTCTTTGCGAGGACCATCTGGTTGAGTCAGTACGAGAGACGCCCAGGGATCAATATCAATCGCCGGGGAGCGCTCACCTTGTCGGTGTCGTAGGTCCGTGGCTGGCGCTCAGAGTTGTCGTGACGATTCGAATTCAGTCTCAGAAATCGTCGCTGAGGTTGGGCCGACTCGGCGCTAGTGGCTCGCTAAGCGAGTCTTGCTTAGGGCGTTTAGGGTTGCCAACCCTGCCAAGAGATTATGTCACATTATTACTAACAGGATATATACTGGCTAACTAATTAGGCTAGGCTAGGTTAATTTGGTTGCTCTAGTTATCTGCAGCTGTAGGCGCTTCTTCGCCCCGTCCTCCGCACTGCTAGTGAATATCCCCTCCATTACCTCCAGATCTGCAAGCGCTTCTTCCGGTCGCAATGACTGGGCAATACCCGTGTCTTCGACAATGCATCTCCCGAACTCCTCGATCTCCCTGCTGACGCCGCGGCCCTCGAATGGGATCTCATATCCATCTCCGTTGACCATTATTCGATCCCCGTTCAGCATCACCACGCCCTCAGCGCAGGTGAATTCAAATGTCGACTCGTTAAACACCGACCCATACGATAGTGATACTACTCCCGTTGCGCCCGATTGCGTCCGAACCACGGCATCTACCGTGTCCACAGGAGCAAGGTGCTGTTGTTGCAGGCACGACTGTGCCGACAGTGTAGCAAGGGGATCTTTCGAGCCAAGAATCAGTCGCAGGCCAGCCACTATGTGAATGCCACCGTCGAGGACGAAACCGCCCTGATATGCGGGCGTTTGGCGCCATTCCGTTTCTGCCGATTGTCAGTATCTCTCCGAAGTATAATAGACGGGGAACAAAACGGCCTTAAAAAAAAAAAAAAAAAAAGGGCGGATTCCGTCGGAAATGACCTACTGTAATACTTCGAGTCTGTCTTGACCAAGTTGCGCACGTTGACGCGGAAATTCTTGATCCCGCCCAGCTTGCGCACTTCCTCGGCCGCTCGCACAAATTTACCCATGTAGCGAAAGTTCTCTGCCACAGCCCACAGCGTCTTTGTGCGGCCAACATTGGCCTCATACCAACTCAGCAGGTCTTGCGCCGTAGCCATGTCCTTGGCGATCGGTTTCTCCGAGAGGACATGCTTTCCGGCTGCTATGGCCTGTCGAATAAAGGCTGGCTGAACGAGGATGGGGAGCCTGTCGGTGGAAGCCGCACATTAGCATTTCGTTCAGTATACCGTAGGCCCTCAAGTGCAATACGCACGCAATAATGACCGCCGCAATATCCTGGCGTGTCAGTAGGTCGCTGTAGCTTTTACCAGGGCTTGAGTCATCGGAATACAGGTCGACTCCCGCAACACCCGATGCCAGATTCTGTGCCGACTTGAGCGATCGCGAATAGATGGCCTTTAATTCAAGGCCTTTCGCATCTTGAATGCCGGGCTGGCGATAGTTAAACCCTTAGAAGATGTCATTGCTAATTGTAGGACAGTGGAGACCTACTAGATGTTCTTCCCGTGCAAATATTCCTGATGGTGGTTAGTGCAAAGCAATCGATTACCTATGATACTAATCTTCGTTGACGACATACCACTTCCAATGATGGCGACGCCCACAGACATGGTGGTTGGAGTTATAATAAACAATTCACAGACCAATAAAAATCACTCGTCTCATTTGTACCGATAGGTATGTAGAAAATACAGCAATTGGTCCATTCAAGTGTATGGATCAGAGAGCAAGTCAGACCTGGTCGGATATAACACTTATTCATCGTGAGCCGGTGGGTCGGCCATGAAATTCGTTCCAGACTCTGTTGGTGGGGTAGACGGGACGAGCAAAGGCCCTGGTGGATATCTAGATATTAACCCCAGTGCCATCTTGGTGTCGTAGAGAAATGATAAGGGATATATAGATGGATTCATAGACTGCTAAGGTATAACCACGCCACGACAAGAGGCAAAAACATGTAACGATTCAAACCAAGCGCCATGCTAATATAATATGCTGCTCGTAAACCTCATGGGCAATGACCCCAAATCCATCAATCAGGTCATGTCTCATGTCAAGTCAAGTCAAAAAAATACAAACAAACCAGAGGGGTGGATGTCGCCCAAAGGGTATAAATAACCAAACCAGGATTGAGCAATGCCAAAAACGAACGAGAAAAGCTGAGGTGTCCAAAAAAGAAAAAATCAATAACTGCAGGGGAATTGTCATAGATCAGAACCCCTAACCAGGGCTCGGATCCGTTCCACTCTCTCCACGGCCTTCTCCAGTCTTTCGAGACGCTGTCTTTTCTCAACATCTCGTCGTTCCAACACCACGACTCGCTCCTCTAGTTTCGCCCTTGCCCTCCGCTCCTGCGCAACCATCTCATTAGCCTGACTGAATAGTTGCGCGGTCAATTCCTCCAGCTCGGTGCTGGCCTGTGAGAGCTGCGTTTCCGCTTCTCGACGCAAGTTCTGCTCCCGGCTGAGTGCATTCTGCCACTCGACCCTCTCATCAGGCTGGGGCGGAGGTGGCGGAGGCGGCGTCTGCACGACGGGTTGCGCGGGTGCTTGCGGCGGCGATGAGGTACTCGGTCGGCCATAATGGAGAAGAGAGGTCAGGGTGGAAAGGCGGCCCTGTTGCTGGGACTGCGGGGGTTGAGGAGGCGACAATGAGGGGTCGGCGTGATTCGACTGGGCAGAGGAAGCGGACGACGAGACGGAGGAACCATTCCGGGACTTGTGTATAGCGGCCTGGGCGCGGAGACGGCGCATTTGCTCTTCGTACTCGACCAGTTTTTCAGCTGTTCGGACATTAGGGGCGGATTAGCATGGCTCATAGACAGTAGAGAAACCGTGTCCTTGCCTACCCATATGTGCTGCCTGCACGTTCAGGCACTCCACCTGGTTTTCCAACTCATTGACCCTTTTCCGAGCATCTGCCTGGTACTGCGACGGAAGACTCTCCTGGCCACAGGTTGGACAGTTCTTTCCCGAAACTAAGGGCGTCGCGGTAATGGTGGGGAGCATTCCGACCAGTGTAGTCGACGCAAGAGCAGTGGTCGTAGTCGTAGTCGACATTATTCATTAGACATGGAGAAAGGAAGTTAATGGACGAGAGACGACCAGAGAGAAAGGGAGGGTCAGAGTGTCAGAATTGGGGGGATTGCAAGGATCTCAAACGATGGATCCGCGGAAATCCAAGGAATTCGTTTCGGGCACGGAAGCGTTGGCGGTTATTAAAGGCGAGGGATAAAGAAAGCGACCAGCAGGCTGGATAATAAAGAAGGAGAAGAGAAAAGGAGTCTGGCTGGATAAAGATAGAAGAAATAGGAGATGAAAGAATGAATCCAGTCGGGGAAGAGAGAAAGGCGATTAATTACGTGTATTCGACGGTATTGGTTACTGGGGATGCCTTCATAAAATGCTGCATCTGTATCTTGCATCCTCTCCTTCGTATCTCCAGAGATCATCCTTATATCCTAACCCTCTAACCATGACTTCTCACTGATCATCCTGCCATCCCCAGATCTCGCTTCCACACGTGTGGATCGTCTCCGCCACTCGTTAGTGTCCTGACTCGTCATTTCCGAGATGCAATGAAGTACTCACTGGGCAAGTCAGTGCTACAAAGCATGTCACTGAACTTCTCTACTCGGATACTATCTGATCAAGTATCTATCGCATGTCCAGCCTTCTGTTCAACCCCTTGCGACTCTCAGTCGCACTACGATCCACCCAGCCAGACCCGGTCTCCAGGGAAACACCAGCCTTAGACACCACTGCACAATGATGTAGTTCATGGCAATCGATGAATGATCGCTCTCCCTTGCTCGGAGATAGGGGGTTTGTTCCGGTTTGCTATGTGATATGGCCCCTTGCAGGGATCTTCATGATGCCATGATATGACGACATGTAAATAAACAAATATACTCAGTAGATAGATACTCCAACCAGAAGGAGCACTATGGATCTTCAGTCTGACCAGCACACTCCATATCAAGGTATTCGCTACATACACTTTCAGTGGACCCATATGCTAATGAGAACCTTATCGCCAACCCCACGTTGATCCGCATAAGCCCTGGTCGTTCGTTATGCATCTGCCCTCTTGTCTGCAACCTCCCTTCCCCTCAAAGATTCGCCCATATGTCTTGCCATCTATCGCCCCCCCCAAATACTCCGCAAAATTGACCGATCCGTAAGAGCAATAGCCACTGCAGTTCCACCGCATATCCCACCGAAAACGTTGACCATAGTCGTCCATCCGCCCAGGTCAACCAACAAACCGGCTACTAACGGCCCCAACACTTGGCCGCCAGACCAGGCCACATTGAACAGTCCGTACGCTTGCGCCGTCCCTCCCTGGTTTCCGAAGATCCCAGGATGTTTCTTTTCCTGGGCCTCCACGAAATTGCCCACTTCGGTCATCAAAGGAACCATTTGCAGAGTCTCGGCTACCCCGGCAATGAAAAGGAACATATAAAGGAGAACCTGGTCTCGAATCGTGTTTTCGGCGATAAGGCGTAGCAGGATGTAGACGGGACAGCCTAGTAGAAACCCCAGAAATGCAATGGGCCGAGGGCTGCAGCGGTCGACGGCGTCGCCTGTAGGACTTGATCAGTACAATCACGGTGCTTGTCTTGGGCCTACCTAGCTGACAGGACGTACCGATTTGAGGCGAAGAGAAGGCCGGGATACACAACGGCAGAAAACACAAGCCTATCATAAAGGGATCCCATTTGAAGGTTCTCATGACGTAGAGCGGAAGAACCTGTGCAGAGTGAAAGGGCTCAGTAGATAGCCCCAGGATTGTCCTGAAGGTGAGTCGGGGAGATATACGCACAGTATCAAAAGACGCATACACCATGGCGCTGACGATTGTCGCCCAAAGAATGACCAATACTGTGCCCGAACACATCAGTCGCAGCATTACGGGCACTGAGGATACTCTACTATTCGCTATCGCCTCGTCAATATTGTCGGATAACTGAGTCGAAGTAGGAGGGCTTCCAGCTGGTGGATCAGATGAAACTGATCTTGTAGTAGCATAATGAATGCTATCTGTGACTGACTCGCTATGCAATAGGCTTTCCCTTTCGTCATTGCCTTGTGGCTGCGTCCACCTAGACGCGGTCTTTCGTTCAATCATGACAAGACGGAGGATGATATCTAGGACCACGAGCGCGATAGCTATCACAAACACTGCATGGTATCCCAAACGAGATAGGCTGTGTTTGGTAAGCGCAGGGAAAGATGGCCAGATGCGCCGGATCTGAAGAACTCACACAATTCCTCCGATGAAAGGCCCGATCACTGTCCCCACTGTCATCGCCATAGAGACGTATCCCATGGCCGCACCAACTTCATCTTTCCCCACGGTGTCGACGACGAGCGCCATGCCCACCGTCCAAACCACGGCCGCGGAGAGACCCTGTAGAGCCCGCGCGACTACCAGCCCCGACATAGTCGACGCTACCCAAAACATCACCGTTGAGCCGCCCAGTGCGAGCAGTCCCATAATAAACGGTCCCTGTCGGGAGGTGCTTCTGTCGGCAAAGTAGCCGAATATCGCTATACGCAGTCAGACGACGTCATCGTTTGTGATAACATGGGCCGCAGAACGGCGCCAAACAGAAAGGAAAACCCACGAGAACCTACAAATATGGCACCTCCGAACGCAGCCAGCAGGATCGACATCCATTGTTGTACTACGGGGCTCCTCATCAGCGGTATTCTTTCCCCCACATCAGTCAGGCCATGGATACACACATTCATCATCCGGTACAGCAACACGCGTTTTCAAAACCACCGGAAGGATAGGAACAATCTGGCAACATTTCCATCAGAGATACCGCGCCTGGTGAGTGACCAGCGATGAGCAAGGGCGTACCATGCCATATATAAAAACATCCTATAATTGTCCATGTTAGCAAGCGGATAATCGCCTTGACCGCACTACCCACCGTAAAGACGGCTATGGACACCACCGAGATCACAAACCGCTTCGAAGAGCGGAATTCGAGTTTCCACGGTGGAGACGGAGCGGACGCTTTGGCATCGTGAAGTCCATTGGAGTGCATTCTTTCTCCTTATTCTAGCGGAGGAAATGGCAGACTGGACTCGAGTGCGAATGCACGGAGAATGAAATACTCCTGCAGGATAAATATGAGTGTGAAATTGAGAACTGACCCTGGAATTGAGAGCTTTTACCCAATGCTTGTGGTATGCAGAGAGCTAAAAGCTGCCGATGCTCAGCTCGGCGGGGAAAGGATCCACGCCAAAAGCAGGTCAGACGGTATGCTGGGAGCCTCCGATAGGGCGTGAGAGAGACCTAGGAAAGGACCCGGTGTATATTGGTCCTTTGTACTTATTTACTACAGTTTAATAGAACCTTGATTAACAGGAAAGTCTACAGTTAGGATAGAACAAGGGGCACATCTTATAGCATACAACTTTGGGGGCTACTGAGAAGAAAGCAAGACGGAGATTTTTTCTAGATTCGGGACTACCGGCAGTTTTGGTTCTTTCTCATGGGTTTGGCATTACCTCTTCACGCGTCGCTGAGTCGTTATCTTAATCGCATGGCTGTTTCGTCGACTAGGAAGGGACATGACTCCGTTAGAAAGAGGACTCCGCACACGCCATTCCCCGATCCCAAACAAGACAAGGAGAGATGGGGAATCATTCGACAACGAATAAAACAAGGCCAATCAAGTAAGCAAGGAACCCATCAATTGCAGATAACACGTGGTCCTCTCCTCTCCATATCGGCCGTAATGGTCATGGGTGTATCACCGTCCATCCACATAAAAGGGAATAACACAGGTCGAAACGAAGCGAAGCGAGCAAGAGAAAACAGGTAAAACAGAACAGTAAACTTTTCGACATGCCGACAATGGTGGCAGTGACTAGGCGAGAGCCAGAGACCTTGCCTGACGAAAGAGATCGTAAACCAAAGGGAGAGTCGGAGTAGAGAGAAGAAGTGACGATTGTAGCGTTGAAGAACAAATGGCCATCGAAATAACCAAAAACATGAAAAAAGGGACATGAGAGAAAGCATGCAGGGAAAAAAGAAAAAAAGAATAATCATGTCAGCTAGAACAAGAGCAAACAATTGAGACCCATTCTGTCACTAGGAGACGACTCGAGAAACTACGAGCGGCATCCTATGCTGTGCGGGATGTCTCAAACATACTCCCTTCTACAGACAGCGAGACATTCCGATCAAGTGATGGCTGGCATCGGGGTATCGATAGAATCTATGCGAATGTGCGACCAGACTGTCCACGGCGGTTGTTGCGCTGCCTTGAGCCCACTGTGCTCCAGCCTTCATCGTCGGCAGCCTCGGTGGACTGGGCAGGGCCACTCCTCCACTTACCATTTGTTTTGGTAGCAGTGGCATCCTTTGCAGCATCGGCAACAGCGGCTGAGGCTTTAGTCTCTTCCGTCTGATCCTGATCGACGGTCATACCGCTCTCATCCTCGCCGGCCCGCCGGAGGATCTCGAAATTCGCGCCACCTTGGGGTGTCTCCGTCGTGTCCTTGCCATTCGGGTCGGCCCCGGGTCCTTGATGTTCAGCCTTAGCCTGCTCCTTGGAGACCCGCTGCTTCTCTGCCTTGTCTGCCTTTGCCTTTTCATCCGCCTCCTTCTTTTGACGAATGGCTAATTGGCGGCGTTCCTCGACTTCCCTCTCGCGAGCAGCAGTATCGATGGGACGTGCGCCGCCAAATGGGCTAGATTTAGATTCAGTAGCGGGAGCAGCGCTTGAAACGGCCTCCTTAACCGTCCGTTTTTGTAGGTTCAACTTGGGGCGTGTGGCGGGGGCGGGGGCGGGAGCAGCGACGGCGGGGGTTGCAGGAACGGCGGAAGGAGAAGTAGGGGTGTTGCTAGGTTCCTTAGCAGGGGGCTGATCCGGTCGCATTCTGGCTCTCCAAGAATTATCCAGCTCGGCCGCAGTCGGGGCACGTTCCTGGAACTCACGTCGAGGAGGCCGAGAGCCATCCTGGGAGCGTCCCTCACCCCAAGCAGGTGAGCTTCTTCTAAAACTAGATCCTTCATTGGTTTGTGGGCGGCCACCCTCCCTCATCGGTCCGCTTGTCGGGGAAAGAGGGCCCTTGCGTTCCCAGTTGCCAAAGTCGCGGACTTTTCCATCCGACTCGAAATTGCGGCGTCCGCCTGCACGTTCACTACCTGCGTCGGAAAGGTTGTCGAGACCACGGCCAAAAGCGGAGCGATCAGGCACGCGACGCTGAGGTGCATCAGGAAGGGGGCCTTTGCGAGTCCAATCAAATTCCTTGACATCCCGTTCCTTGGCTGCAATTATGGTCAGCTGCGTCTGATGATTATGCAAAATAAAAACAGGGAAACTTACGCGGTTCCGCGATACTGACTCGGATTGCTCTTCCCTGGAGAGTAGCGCCTGAGAGGTCGAGAGCCTTTTTCAGACCATCGATAGTGGCAAATTCTACGTATCCAAAGCCCTTTGGACTCCGGGTCAACTTGTCTTCCACAATACGGACATTCGTCACACTGCAGTCGGCAAACAGGTCAGAGATATCCGCCGAAGTGGCGTCGAAGGACAGGTTTCCGACATGGGCGGTGTAGGGAGGTTCCGTAGGAAGGGGAAGGGGTTCCCTGATAGCGTAGCCACGATCTTTACTCTCCGCCGTCAGAGAGACATTCCAAATCGAGATATCATGCGTATGATAGGAGCGGGTTCCTTACCACCAAAGCCATTTCCGAAACCCGAGGTAGGAGGACCACCAGGGCGACGGTCACCCCCAAAGCCGGACTGCATAGAAGGAGCTACTGCATGTTAAGATCCAGGCTATCACAATGGGAAGGTAGAACTTGTCGGGGATAATGTCGGTTTACGCACCAGCTATAAACCATCCGTATCAGTAAAAGACCATCGAGTTTGTCAACAGCGACTTGCTACTTACCAGGCAAAGGCATGTCATCCATCTCATCAGCCCATGAGCCAAAGTCTGGTTAAATTAGCACCGATCAACCCCGCGGGGAACGGGCGGAAACCTACTCTCTCATCGGCCAAGAAGGTGCTTATGGACATCTTCTGGGCTTTCTGTTTTGCGGGCGCTAGATAACAATAATGTCAATAACCATCTTTCAACAAGTGTAAATGACGACAAAATCAACCCTGACAGCAAACAAGCTGCAGAGGGGCTGAAACGTACCCATGATTGCGGTTTGATGGACGTCCAGAAACGCGCCAAGGGAATAACTTGTGCGCGTCTCACACAAAAGGAAGAGTTATGAAGAAGATAAAGAGACTTCCAACAAGGAAGACTGTAGCGACTGAAAAATGACGTTTTATTGTATGTTTAAAGTGATGTGCGATGGGGGTTGCAGGAAAGCTCCGCAGTGAAGAGCAGAGGGGGAAAGTAGGTTAATCCGTGATGATAATTTTTAGTGATGACGCTAGAAAAGTCAGCCTCCAAAAACTGTTGGTGCGGCCTTTCGCTCTGGCGCCTCGACCCAATTCCGAGGGCTATTTTTGATTTTTTCCTAATTATTTTTTTCAGTTTTCCCCGTCTTGATTCTGTCACAATTGTGTTTTATATTTTCTTTTAATATTTCTGCATCTTTCAAAAACCCACAGATCGATCGAATAAAAGATCCAACGTAAAAATTAAGTAGCCATTTCTAGCGATAAACCCTTTCGTTGGCCCAGTCCGAATAATACACCTAAACGACTAGCCGATAACTAATACACGGTACATTCCAAATTCTCTGGTCCATCTCCCACTGCAGCCATGAGAGAGGTCTTTGACTGATCCAATTCAAGGTCGGAATTAACGAGCTATGAATGCTGGCAATGGTATTACATAGAGGATTTATCTACCTATCTGTCAAGAGCAATGCGATTTATTATTGGCGAGTAGTTCCTGTATTGTTCCTTGGTCTTGGCAGGGATTAACTCTCACCCAACATGAAGCACAAAGATTTTATCCCCCATATAGAATATGGACATCCACGTAGTTCCCTTCATTTGTGATACTGTGAGTTCTTGTCCCCATGAGAAGTTTTAAAACTTTTCGGGGTCAAAAAAGAAAGGGAAGGAGAGAGAAGAGCCGACAATTATTATTATATAAGCAATACACGTGATCTGATCACATGTTATTTCCGCCGCGAATATCCAGATATGAGAGACCAATTTGTAAACCAAGCTTCCGGAAGATATATCAGTGGAGTTACAGATTACAAGATGACTCGACCAGATTCTCAATGGCCTCCTAACTTTGAATTACATCCATGGTTGTCTTCTGTGAAAGTGGGAAGCATGGCAGGTTAGTACTTACTTCCCTGACAATTCAAGTCCAACTCTGGAGGAGTTGACCAACAACGAATGAAATTTTTTCAAAACATCCTGTCTAAGGCAGCATTAATTATACACTTTGCTTATTTCTATGCAATACAGCTCCGGTTGGGCTCATCACCGGAGGAATTGTAGGTGTTCTTCGAAATAAGCACCCAATGATCCATTCTCTTTCCATGGGTATCTACACGTTTACCTGGGGAACCTCCTTTTGGTGTGAGTTTCTCCTTGATTTCTGATGGACCCAGCTATGAACAATCCTAATGCTTCGTTTAAGGGATAAGGGGTAATATCCTAAACATTCACTACCAAGGCAATGCGACTCCAAACCAGCGCGCTTATGTCAGCGGCCTTTCCAGCGGCTTGACTGGCGCTATTGTCGCTAAACTTTGCGGTATAAGATTCCCGTTGAAAATGGTAGATGGTTAAAGGTTGGGGTGTTTAGCTGACGTGTGTCGATGAAAGGAGGCCGAGTCGTTCCATCGATCGTGGTTTTTTCGCTACTAGGCTATCTCGGGCAAGGCTCGTACAATATGATCGACGCATGGCAGATGAAACATGCAAATAGCCCATCTAAGCCAATCATGCAGCGAATAGCTGACTCTAAATGGATGCCCCTCAAGTCTCTTTCCGATGATGATTATCGGGACATGCTGAATGAAAAACTGCTGAGCATCGAGGCAGAAATGGCCATCATCGATGAGAAGATCGAAGAACTTGAAAAAGCAAAATCCAATAATGACCCAGGATCAGCGTTTCCCAAATCTACTTAAACATGACGGTAATATACGGAGAGCAGAATATCACTTTCTTAATAATGAGCCAGTTCGACACGTCCGTCTGATCATTGCGAAGCAAAAATCGATGATTGGTCGAAGTTGAAGATAGCCTCCACCCTTCTGTTTGGGAATGGGTTTGTTGAGCCAAGTGCTTTACAAGCAATGTGGACATCTGTCATGCATTGCAGTGGAAAGGGTTCTCGGTGCCCCTGAGTGGCCGCTCTAAGGGTTGAAAGGAGAACGATTTACAGTGTAGAACAACTGGCTGCTGAAAAGGGGCCGCAAGAACTTATATCCTTTCCACCTTGTACATTTACGTTATTATGATACATCATTGAGGAGGAATGGGTCCTGTTCTATATGTGAAAGATGTGATTATTTACCCGGGAACTATGACACTCATCCCTTGGTTGGTACCTTTGGTACCGAGTTGCTGTAATCGACCTGGGAAAAGAAGCTGATAAAGCCTTCTCAGCAGGAGAATTAACATAACGTAGTAGTTGTAGTAGATAACTATGATACATAATTTGCCAGTAAGAGTGTCTCCATTTATTTCTAAGCAAATGCCGAGACAGCCGATTCGGCCAGACTGTCTGGAGACCAAGTGGGCGGCTTTCCGCTTCTAATTCTGTCCGCGACTGGTTCAACCAGTACCACCAACCGAACTGCGTACATGGTTGATGGACCTGTGGTTCGTCTGGCCCGCTATCCCGTCATACTCTTTGCTCCCAGACACTAACTTATACCTTTCCAGTTGCCCCTCCTCGTGAAAAGCATGACTGACGTGCTATCTCGACCGTTTTGCTGCGACGCTTCTTCGGTTGCTGTGGAGTGTAGGTCCTAAATTCAGATCTGGCCTTCGCCGCATTCGAGCCCTCTAGACGGTAGATCGATCCGTCCGAGCCCAGCTGCTCAAAGGAGGTGAAGTCCACGCAACGCACTCGGAGACTGACATTCATTTTTCACGATCATTATCTTAGGAAACGCCTCTCGATGGTTCCAGCCTTGACCTCTGCCTTGTCCTTTCGACGCATCAGTACTCCTGATCGCGAGCCACGATGACGCTCTTCAACCCGACCACTATCCTCGTCGGTTTCCTCCTCCTCTACCTCTCCTCGTTCCTTATTTTCGCCATCGTTCGCATCGCGACAGGCATTTCCATCCAACGGATCGGATACCTCTCCCTGCGCCGCATTGCCTACGCCCCGAAGGAAGGAGTACAGATCGAGCTTCGCGGGCTCGGATTGTCTTTACACCCTCCTTCATTTGCTCAACCGACTTGGTTCAGTTTGCGGTTGACTGATTTGAAGGTGACGCTGGATCCTGCCGTTCTAGTGAAAAGTCAAAGGGCAGCAGACAAATCAGATGTATCGGAACCTCAAAGCTCGGAGGAGCTCGGTGGGCCACAGGATGAAGAGGATCATTCTTCTCTTCCTCCTCGGAGCAAGACATGGAAGACGTTGACCAGAATGAAGGAACACGTAAAACGACTCCATCGGAAAATTCACTGGCTAAAGTTGGTGGATGTTGTGGCCGTCAATACCACCATCAATTTCGTCGATGCTGGTCAGATACAAGTGGGATCTCTGTCCCTAGCGGTGGATACCAGACGCAAAATGGTGAACAGGGGAAAGTTATTCCGTCGCAAAAAGAAAGGGAGCGGGGAACAACGACCGATAGAATGGATAATGACGGTGCATAATGTCCTTCTTGCGATTGACGGCGGAGAGTCAACAGAGCTGCTGGATAATGTCGTGATTAACATACATGGCCTTCTCCACAAAGATTTGGAAGGACTTCGGGATTCATCCATTGCCTTTAAGATTGGGAGAATGCAGATCCCATATGATGACATGACAGCACTTATGCAACGGATTAAGCAATTTCGGCCGCCCTCTAAAGAAGCTACGAACAGTGATTTGGATGATGAAGTTTCCTTTGCTGATTTCGTAGAGGAACTGGATAGGCCTGGGAGTCGGGATGATGTGATCGTTCAGACTGTTGCGGACTCGAAGGAGTTTGCAAGCTCGCTTCTGCGCGGGATACAAGAAATACAGGTAGTTTTGAGTTTCTTCCGACTGTCTCGTGCCATCCAACCCCCTTCAGCGAAGGAAAGTTCCGTATACCTGAATGTTGTGACTCGTGAGCTTGGAATTGACCTCAATCGAATGGATCAAAACAGTCCCGCTCATCGCATGTACTTTCAGCGCAACGACGTTGCTCATCAGGCTCTTCTCGCTGCCCTCTCCCTTTCGGTCAGCTTGGACGATAGCTCGGGCGAGACAGATAACATCCTTTACATCCCTATGGCGACTACTACAGTGAAGACGACGCTCCCTTCAAAGACACTGAGCTCTTTTGACGAGTGTAATCCAGAAGATCGCAACACCAATATCTTGTTCGCGAATTTGGTGATCACATCCCCTTCGCTGGATTTGGAACCAAGACACGTATCCAGGCTTCTGGAATTGGCCCAAAATGGAGCACCGACTTCTCGTGGGAAGAAGAGAAATAAGCACCGGTTGATTTCCCGGCTACTCCCAAAAGCGAGCATAAAGCTCTCGGTCCATGAGCCTGTGGTTCGATTCGTGCTTCCCATATCTGAATTTCCACCTGGTGCTACAGAGGATGAATATAACTTACTCATATCTTCTATATCATCGGTCTCAGTTGAAATTGAGTCATCCCATTCTACCGAGGGTGTGGTCCACTACTCATTGTCGTCTATCTACCGGATCGCGTCTCACCAATTGTACTATCAAACGCCGTCAGGGGTCAAATACAACTTACTGACAACGGAAAACCTGGAGTTGAAGGGCTATTTGAGTGCATCTCCGGAAGTGCGCGTTATTGCCTCGGGAACTCTGAATGCGTGCTCCGCTCATATGGTTAATAGAGAGGTCAATCTTGGAATCAAGCAGCTTATCGAAGAATTCCAAGCCCAGGTACGACCAAAGAAAGGAATTTCTATGCCATTAGAGGAGCGAAACCCCAGCGCTCTACGGCAGGTTCCGTCTTGGCTGCTTCGCTTCCAGTTTGAGGCAACAAATATGAGCTTGGAAATTGCTGGTGTTGATGAAACCGTATCAAAGATTTCCCGAGGTGTCTCATTACAGCTCCAATCGTGGACCGCAGATTACAAGGCCCAGAAGAATGAGCCCAGTAACATTAGCTTCGCCCGTCGGCGCACTCCAAGCCATTCAACAATTGGCGACGAATCGCCATTCAGATTTCCCCCGACCTCGCCTCCCAGACAAACACAACACGGTGCTGCGGATGGGAGACGGCTCGCTCTACACATTCGCGGCTTTGAAGGATTTGTTATAGAATCAGAAGACTACCTGGAATCCGACCCATTCTTTTCATTGCCTAGATTTGAGGTTGCTCTCAGCACATCAAGTGACCGCCTTGGTCCTATCTTTCATATAAACTCCGTCCTGAAAGGTGTTTACCTTCAATACTCCCTATATCGCTTATACTGTCTCGGCATTGCCGTTTCCGTTCTCCAACATGCGTTCGTGCGTCACTCGCCAGAATCTGCGAGCGCAAGCCAATCTCCATGGAATGCAAAGCACCCTGCTCCATCCTCACCACTCCGTAGTGGTCCACAGCGGAATGAGCTTGTAACAGTCGACGTGAGAGCTACCGTTATTCAAATCAAGACTTTCATGCCGGCAGATCCTCCAATGCTATTCCAAGTTTATGGACTGTCCGCTGGCTCTCATCGATTCTCCCCCCCATTTTTAAAGGCTCATTTGGTCCGGTTGCACGCCGAGGCGCCAAAACTCAAGGGCGTTTGGGCAAGGATAATTAGCTTGAATAACTTCCGACTTGACTTGCGGACACTGAAGCTGAAGCAAGCTGCCGGTTTGATCGAAGAAAAGTCGATAGATATATGTGCCGATTTTATTCGCTTTGGTATCCCCCACCACATGGTTATGCATCGTATATTTGACAACATCATCAATACAGCGAAAGCGCTGAAGCAGCTTCATTACCGTTTCAAAACTCGCAGCCCGGAGTTTCACGCGGACAGAGACCCAGAGGAACCCAAGAAAGTGCCTAGGGTGTCTGTGCGAAGTAAAGCGCTGCTCTTCGCATTGGAGGATGATGCATTTGAGTGGAAACTAGGGTGCATATACCGGACTGGTCTTCTTGAGCAACGACAACGCCTGGCCCAGGAAGAAGCTTTCGAATTGAAAGTTCAAAAGATCAAGGATTCCGAACAGCGACGCGCCTCGTCTAGAATCCGAGCAAAATCTAGCCACAGGACTCTCCGCAGTGAACGGGCCAGTCAAGACACAAGACGGAGCAAAAGCGCCGACGCAAAGCCGCGGAACGATGCCGACAACAGCAAGGGCGGACGGGGGAGGAAGTTTCGATATGATGCTGAAGGCGCAGCCTGTCTTTCCTCCGAGTGTAAAGTGTCTGTAGAACACGCTTGGTATCGCCTTCAAGAGCATCATGCTCGGAGCTGGAAGAAGAAAATCGATGCTGCCCTGCGCTTCCAGGGTAGCTCTATCAAGGAGGTGAGAAATCTTTTCTCCGGAGCCGATGAGCCTCCCGAGGACGTGCAGGAAACGGAGACCGTGCTTGCTCTTCCCAATAGACCTCCTCTTCTGTCAGCCTTGATAAGCGACGTCAACCTGGTTATAGACAAACCTTTTTTCCCACTGGAAGAGTATCCTTCATTTCTCCATAAGATTGGGAAGGGCATGCCTCTGTCGATGACATATGCGTTGCTTATTCCAATGAGTTTCAATCTAGAAATGGGCGAAGCTCGCGCCAACTTGAGAGACTACCCGCTCGACTTGTTGCATATTCCGGCTTTGCGCCCCGGTCAATCTCCAAGGCTACCAAGCTGGTCACTGCGGACGAATTTTGTGATTGCCGAAGAGTACCGTGCTGTCAGTTCATCCAGACAAGTAGAAGTGGAACTTGTTCCCTCTACAGAACTTCCGGACGGATCCACGAGCCCTCCTTTCTCAATTAAAGTCTGGCGATCTGTCTCTCCTGTCAAGACGTACTCTGATCCCGTCTTCGAAATTAACACCAGTCTCCCAACAAGCATTTCATGGGGCATGTCCTATCAGCCTGTGATACAGGATATGATGAAAATTATAGAGGGATTCACTAAGCCGGATATTGATCCCTCTGACAGGGTCGGATTCTGGGACAAGATTAGACTGAGTTTCCACTCTCGAATCAGGGTCGTGTGGAAGGAAGACGGTGATGTTCATCTGCGACTGAAGGGCTCCCGCGATCCATACGTGGTAACAGGATTTGGCGCTGGGTTTGTAATGTGCTGGCGCAAAGATGTCACGTGGAATCTTCACACCAGCGATAACCCAATGGAATTCATGAGTGTCACGAGTGGAGAGTATGTGCTGGCAATTCCAGACTACAGCCATGAAGCCCGATACATAGCCGAGGCTACGGCGCAGGATTTGGAAACCATCTCGACATCAAGCGAGTTGAAGAACGCGGTCCACTTCAAGAAAGTCGTGGTGAAATTGTCTGGAGATGTCAGATGGGCGGCTGGACTTGTCTTTGAGCGCAATGCCGATGAGAGCAGACGGTCCTTTGAATTCCGACCGCATTATGACATTGTCCTCAAGAACCCCATCCATATTGATTCTACTGAACTAAAGGTATTTTAACAAGCTTGAACTATGATAAGAGCATGTCTGGCTAATCTTCGTATACAACAGGACTATGATGCTTATCGAGGCTTTCGGAGTAACCATATCCATTTGTCTATTGCCGTCGTCGCACCGGAAGGTAGGAACTGGACAGTTGACGATGTTCAACCGTCCACGAGCTATAACACATTTCACCTTTCTCCACGGGTTTTTACACATTTCTACAGCTGGTGGTCGCTCTTCTCTGGCGTCATGTCACTTCCTGTTCGCCAGGGACCACTCTGGCCTGGTATCACGACGACGAGTAAAAAATTCGGCCGCCATCTTGCCACTGTCAAATATAAACTGCTTTTTGCTCCCCTCTTTGTGGCACATATTTATAAACATAAGGACCGTGAGGATTATAACGAGGATGTTGTCACAGCAACTGGCATAAAGGTTCGCCTGGATAGTTTCAAGCTTGATCTTCATCAGCGACGTGAACAAATCAAAACCCAGGCCAAGGGGCGACTGGGACAGATACAAGCGAGTGCAATGCGGATCAACCAGACCCAGTTAGATCTTCAGGCTGCGGACTTCAGAGCTGTTTCGGCTTGTATCGAAGGAACCACCCTGGCTGATGTTGAGAAGAACAAGGATGACATTATATCTTCGTTCCAGCAGCCTGTCGCCTCTGTAGATCTTTCTCGCTTCACTATCCCTGACCAAAACCTTGATTGGGTTGATATGGATGACTTCGTGGAGTTGGATTGGATACTCCCGCAAGAGTCAAATCCTCAAACGCAGATCTTACCTCTGGCATTTACGCCACGCTTCACCTATTTCCGCCAGACAGATCATGGCAATATACGTCCGGATGAAACGGGTTATAGTACATTTGGAAATGAGCCCACTCATGAATGTGTCATGTCTGAGAGTAATGACCCGCGTCGGGTGCAGATGGAGCTTATCAGGGATCGTCTCGCTACTGTGGAAGCACAGATCCGGGTGTGTAGCCATACTATGGACGAACAGGAACTTCGGATGACCAAAGAAGTCAACCCCGATCCAAAGCTGAAGACTCAGCATAATGACTACGTCAAACAATCGGAGTCTTTGGCAAGGCGGCGGGCATTCCTCTCCGGCGGACTTCAGCGCCTCGAAAGGCAGCTTGTGCGAGATGAAAGGTCATCTACAGAGAAGACTCCCGAAATGATAGCCAGCGACACCGCCGCCAGAATCCAGGGAGACTCCGAATCAACCATCGATGGCAAAGATGCCGATCTTGCCGGGCTCTATTCCTCACCAAATGATGAATTTACTAGCGACTTTAACAACCGGTTTATGATCCATAATCCGCAGCTTAAATGGAACAATTCTCTCAGGAACATCATCCTTCGCTATAGCCACCAGGTCAGCCAGCGACGTGGGTTCGTATATTACATGTCTCAGAGAGCCGTCAAATTCATCCTGGATATTGTCGAAGAGCAGAACAAGAACAAGCAGAGACATTCCAAGCTGTTTCGAAACGCATCGAGACGGCCTTCCGATGCCCGGTGTCTTGAGGCCGATGACGACACTGTGGAGGATCGGATTGAGCAATTACTCAACGATGCGAAGCGGTTTGTAAATGCAGACACGCAGGAAGGGTTGGGCCAAAACGGGCAAAGCAAGCCCAAATCCGATGGCTCCAGTGAAAACATATCACCAGAATTCACGGCCCAAAATAGTTACCACCTTCGGCTCATTGCGCCCCAGATCCAGCTTCAGAGCGAGAAAAACCAGAAATCTGTCGTGCTCGTCGCGGCCAAGGGCATGCAGCTCAAGGTTGTGTCAATTATGGACAAGGAGCGTGTGTCTGACGATGTCAGCGGCCTGGTACAGCGTCGCTTCACCCTCGAAATGGATGGAGCCCAGTTCTTCGTTGCAACACAAAAGAACCTCATGGCCCACCTTCACTTCTATGCCGGCAACAAGTATGGCAACTCTCCAGGTTCAGCTTGGCCACCCTGGTTGACTCTCGAAGCGATGTTTGATTTCGAGCTGAATCCATTTGGCTTTTCGAGAATTATACAGAAGACATCGGCCTGCCTGCGGTATGACAAGTACAACAACCTTCGTCTGAAGTATAACGAGGAGGTAGCCAAGGGACAGAGCGAATCGGGCCAAAAAAATGTTCCTGACGGTCAAGAGACACGAATGGATCACATCAGCGTGGATTTCCCACATTTCCGCGCCATCTGTGACTCGGCTGAGTACTACACCATGTTCATCATCGTAGTCGACTTGCTTCTCTACAGCGAACCCCTAGAAAAGGTCCGGAACGAACGTCTCGAAAGGATCATGCTGGGCGCCGATTTCAGCGATCTTCGCGGCGCTCCGGAGATGGTCTTCAAGCTGCAGTCTCGTATTCGGCAATTGGGAGAAATCAAGGAGCATTTCCAGATTAATGCAAAATATCTGGACAAACAAGGCTGGGAAGATCGTCTGGTACTTGAAGATGATTTGGCTCAGTGTGAAGATGAGCTCTTCTTTTTGATGAAAGCCATTACGACGTCGCAGCGCAGGGTCGAGCCAACAATGTCCGGTGCGACGGGGATCCTGCGCTGGAACATATCCGCCAGTGAAGTAGTGTGGCATCTAATGAGGGACGAGTCCGAACCGCTGGTTGAGTTCCAGCTGAGAAATGCCGAGTATGACCGCACCGATAACAGCGATGGTTCAAATCGCAACTTGGTGGCTGTCGAACGACTGTACGGGTTGAATCTGCTCTCAGAAGCCATATATCCTCAAATCATCGTGCCGTACCTCGACGAATCTAAGAACCTGCATACCCCGGACGATCATATGATCCGAGTCAGCTGGCGCATGCTGGAGGCTGTTGCGGGCATTCCGGTTTTGGACGACTTTGAGGTTTCATTATTCCCCCTCAAGATCCAACTGGAACACGAGCTCGGCCAAAAAGTATTCGAGTACGTATTCCCGAATGTCGGAGCAAGCGGCTTCGAGAATGGTGGATTTTCGCCCTTCATGATCAAAAATATGAAGCCGCTGGACAGTTCAGATTCGGAAGAAGAAGAGGATGGCAGTCCAACCTCACCTCCCACAGAGCATCGTGAGACCGGTGATACATCGACCGACGACTCGCAGCTATTGAAAGGGCCTGGCGCTATTGAGCTACGGCTGCAGCCAACCCTTTCGTTGTCCGAAGAGGGCAGACCCCGATCCCATCGTTCCAATCAACTTAAGGGTCTTGCAATGACACCCTTACCTAAGGAAAGTAGTCGGGCTAGTTCATCTCGTCACCTCGCACGCCCTGCAACTAGCGGCGCGTTAACGAAGAAGAGATCGGCGGATAGCATGCGTCTTCTGGCAAGGCAAGGCACTGATAAGATTCTCACAAATGGTTCAACGACCAACCTTGGCGAGGACAAAGGAAAGAAATTCAGCCTGGCTAAGATACCTAGCAGAAATGTCAAGTCGAAAGAGGTCACCGATGATCTATCGCAGATGATGTCTCGCGCATCGAACTACATGACACTGGCCCATATCAAGGTCCACGATGTGGTGCTCTGCATGAGCTATAAGGGCAAATCCGAGCACAATCTGGAGGACATTCACGATTTTGTCTTCCGGTTACCCGTCCTAGAATATCGGAACAAAACGTGGTCGAACTTGGATCTCGCCTTGCGATTGAAGAAAGATGTGGTCAAGGCCCTCATTTCCCACGCGCCTGCAATACTTGGGAATAAGTTCTCGCACCATCGGCCCACCAAACAACAACTGAAGCGACAGCGCGAGCTTGCGACCTCGTACCAGGTCTTGCATAATTCAGACACCAACATAATGTCCGACAAGACCCGCAGTCTCGCCAGTCAAGACTCCAACAGCGAATATTCCGAGTCTCGCTCGCAACGATCTATCCACTCGGGGACCTCTCCACTCGCACGATCCAACTCTCTAGGCTCCAGCATGCTCAGCGCCCCAGAGCAGGGCGGGATGGCATTCGATGCTCGTTCAGCTAGCGAAGTGGACGTGGATGCTCGCTGGGAGGTATGTAATTCATTCCTGACACCGTTGTTGAATGGTTAAAAGTGGATTGGCTAACGTGATGTTTTGTACAGCAATCTCGTCGGATCGTGAACCCTTCCACACGGCCAATGACTTCGGGCGCCACCATTTCCCGTTCTCAAACTGCCAAACGTTGGGACGGACCGGATGAGAGGTGAGTTTCATTCCCTGAAACTAGTGCTCATCATCGTATACTATCTAACCGGGTGTCTAGTAACAACAAGATGACGCTTCGCAGCTTCGGCCGGAAGTTGGTGCCATCACGAAAAGGCGGATAATTTCACTTGCGAGAATATGGATCGTTCCTCCTCCCTTCTCTTCTTTCTTTCTAATTTTCTCTATATTTCCTGGCTCTCCTGCAGCCTTGTTGGACATCGCGACCTGGCAGTTTCTGCCACTAGATACCCCGGTGTAATATGGGTGTATATAGGCGTCCCTCTTTCTTCCGTATATAACTTTTCTTTCCCACTGGGTTCCCCACCATTTTATTTTTATTTTTTTTTTTTTTTTTTTTTTTTTTTTTTTTTGGATACTCCGTGTTCTGTTACTTCTGTCATTCTTTGATTCTTGGTTATTTATTATTCTAGCCGTGGGCTTCGTCTTGGATACCTTTTTTTTTTTTTTTTTTTTTTTTTTTTTGAACTGTATAGTTTCTTCCACCCGTCCACTGATTCCACATGTTCAATTCGCAGAGCATGAAAGTGAGGATGATCCTTCAGATTTGGGAGATGGCGGTATGCATGCAAAACTTGGGTGTATAAGATCAAAACAGCTGCGGTAGATGACAAGGAAGAATTGACTAGCCATCGACTGCAATCAGCCAGTTGCCCAGCCCCAGACTTCGTAATATCTTCTGTCTAATGATGGCAATGCCTGTTAATGGCCACATCACTGCCATCATCTGCGGGCCTTTACTTCCCCTTTGCACATTGCCATCGTTGACCAAGCCCGCCATACTAGACGGTAGATTGCTAGCGAGAGTACGACGGCTGAAAACTGCTAAGACCATATATAAGTTATTTAGACATCACCCACCGTCTCTGGTTCCCCCGTCTGTATCGAAAGGAAGCAAAATTGTCACTTTCCTTGGATGCCTATGCCTGGGCCAAAGGATGAATACATAGGGAGAGGAGGAACGATAGAGATAAAGACGAAAGAAGGGAGAAGGATTGGATATACTCCGTAGATGGCTGTCTTTTCTCTCAATTAGTATGCAATGAGCTGCAAATTGGTCGAATTGATTCAAAGCCATAATGTTGGTAAGGGCTGCACCTCGCATGGAACTGAGGGGTTCGAGAGCACTCCAGGATCGAACTAGAGGTTGGAGGCATCGTCAGTAGAGAAAGAGATATCTTGAGATCTATCATATGAGGGAATAATATTGTTTGGTTCTCGGGCTCCAGGATTGCAGAAGCCTGTCCGCGGCGTGGGCCTGCGCCGCACTAGTCCGTCTATAGTGCAAATAGAGATGGCGGCCAGGAAAGGACGGCCCAGGACCTATATCGGGCGTATCAAGTACTTCAAATCGCGTTATTACTCTCGGTACACTGAAGATAGTATGTATGTACTGTACCTAGTAGTATTGCGTACTTTAACTATGCTATCTATTGGATTGTCGGATTCAAGTATGTCCCCAAATGAGGAGGTTGATTCACAATGAGCCGATGACTCTATTCATTCTCGCAATAGTACTATCACAGCACAGTTGCTCCTTCAGCTCCTCCCGGACGACAGCCGTACCCAATATTGATGAGTGAATTTATTCCATAGAAAAATATGGTAACAGCCATGTCAAGGGGTAGGTAGGTAGTTGGTGAAACCACTTTGATCTTGACAGAATGAGCAATGGAGCAGCAAACCTATCTCCGAAGGTAGCAGTCGACATATCATAACAGTTTGGTTCCCAGAACTATAATTAACGAAGTAGACAGATACAACCCTTGGTTATAGCTTAAAAAATGGACTGCCGATCTGATTCGTCTCTGTAATCTCATAACTAATATATATTGCCTCCGTGGTCTCTGTCTCTCCGCAGAAGATGGAATTACCTTTGCATAACGCATCGGCCAACGTTGAACTTCCTTAAAGCACAAAGATTAATCACTGTACTTGATTCCATGCTATGGAAATCACGTTGAAATCATATCACATACTCTCTGGGACCGGTCCAGTCTATTATGCTGAGGTTGGTCCTACGCTCTTCAGTGCTTTGCCACACAAATGTCGAATTTGAATCCATCTCCCAAGAACCATATTCAGTCGTTCCCTTTCCTGCTTGGCCGAAATGGCAGCGTTGCCACTCGCAACGGGCATGTTGTCCATGGCATTCTGGATACTTTTGATCGTCACCTCGCTCTCCGTTAGGTAGGTACGGATCCAGTCACAGATTATCCCCGCGGTCTTTTGAGGATCGACGTTCCGATCAGACTGACCAAGAATGTATTTTCGCCAATCCCTGAGAGACATATACTTCAAACATGCGACGAGCTCCACATTGGAGCTGACGCCTTCTGCCGTTACTTCGTAGTTGCTATTAATCAAAAAATGAGAGACAATCCGACTATAGAGATCCATCGTGGAGATATACCCACCCAAAATATTCGCGAAGCACCAGCTCCTTCTTCTGCTCAGCTGTGAGGCTCTGGAAGATTATATCATCTAAGTATATGGAATCTGACGCGTTCACGTCGAGGTAAAAGCCATCTGGAGCTCGTCAGTAAATGCTAGCTACCAATAATTAGGGCAGACTGACATTCAACCAGGAGAAAGTCATTAGAATGTGGTCCGTAACTCATATATACTTCTTCACCTGGCTCTGCATCTGGCATCAGCTATCACCCATTGGTACGATAAGTACAACTCCACAATTACCGTATCTTCTCGTCGCTGTGAACGTATATGTCCTTCCGTCAAAATTGACACCACAAGCCTATATGATCCGTGCGTAAGCGAAGACCCATTACTGATGGAGACATGCACCAACCGCATCATCCTCATGGTTAAAGTAATCTGCAAAAGGAACCAACGCTATGGCATCATTCCAATCCTCCGGCTCGCCCTTACCAGGCGAGGTATAATAAAAACTACGCGAGTTCACAATGAGCCAATTATACGTAAACGTCTTCCAATCCGTATTGGGAAACGCCGAGAGAACATCCCCCCACGCGTCATTGAAACGTTTCTCCTGCTGCGCAAGTAGATCCTGATATCTCGTTTCATAGCCCATGTTCACCGGGATTTTCTTGAATGTATTCCACATCCCTGAGATAGAAGGAGGAAGGACGCTCCGACGCGACGAGCTTTTGGGAACCGAGTGCGATGCCCGAAGGTGCTCCGGCCATAGCATAGGCATGTTGTCTTCGAATTCCTGCAAGCTGGGCCAAGTCTTCTGCCAGGCCTCTAGCCGTTCACGGGTATCCCCATCGCCGTGTGTGAGAAACGCCGCAAGGATCCCATGGATGGAGGATCCCCCCAGGAACCGATCCACGAACCGTGGTGGGATTGAGTCGATAGTCAGCATTACAGCTAGAGGAACCGAGAGCATGACTTCACCCTCCTTGGCGCAGATAACAAGTTAACCATTGAAAGTATTCGGGCACTGTGAAGCACTTGTGGCCGGCATTACTAGCACTTACTTCTATTGTTCTAGTAACGATCATCCCCAATCGTCGACCGGGGAACCTAGCTGGTGCCACACCGTTGATCTTGACCCCGTTGGAAACAGCCCATTGCATAAAATTCAGGTGCTCTTCACCCAGTGCGCCATCCATCTTTGATGATTTAGAGATTTTTAGCTGCTCCAGGGAGAGACATGTCGTTCTGGACGTTCATGAAGTCCCGCCAATCATATAGACCCAATGTTGATCTTGCTTATATAATCCCATCCATGCAGAAACAGAAAAATATTAGGAAAAAAGGTCCAGCTCCGATGCGACAGCAAGACATACTCCCTCGCGTTGCAATTCCCGACCATGCCTTCGGAACGTGCCACTGGTGCGCTCGCCGAGTCCTCCAGTCAATCAACGAATGCTGCCGCCGACTCCAATATCGACCATGCGGCCTCGATCAGATATTGGAATAGTGTGCCGGCCACTTCCAACGCTATGTTAGCCATGCTCGGCAACTACCCCTGGTACTCGCGCATTGATCTCCGAGGATCCAAAACCTTCCTGGCCAAGGTCCGACGGATGATTCCGTCCTGTCCGACGGAGGGCAAGCTCAAGCTGGCGGTGGATTGCGGAGCGGGTGTCGGACGCGTGACGGAAGGGTTTCTCAGCCATGTCTGTGAAGTGACAGACGTGGTAGAGCCGGTTGCGAAATTCACCCAGGTTTTGCACGACGGAGCATTGAAGCGATCCGGCGTCGTCGGGGATATCTATACCCTGGGCATTGAGAGCTGGAATCCCGACAAAAAATATGACCTGATCTGGACTCAGTTTTGTGTTGGGCATTTGACAGATATTCAGCTGTTGCAGTATTTTATACGCTGCCGGGGGGCCCTGACCGAGACGGGGATTGTTGTGGTCAAGGAGAATATGTCGACTGATCCTCATGGTGATGATATGTATGATGATGAGGATAGCAGTGTGACTAGGACGGATGAGAAATTCAGATCCATATTCAACGAAGCTGGCATGACGGTGATTACATCTGAGCTGCAGTTGGGATTCCCGAAGAATTTCAAGCTTTTACCCGTTCGATTCTATGCTTTGCGACCAAAGAGCTGAAGTACTTACCGCTGGTTACTTCGCTTCATGACTATGTGAAGGGACCTCAGATTTGTCTACGTTTGCTGAAGCCCTGTGAATGACAACGCCATACCGATTGAGACAAACGTTGAAAATCCTCGACTCCTCCCTTATCTGCCACGCAACCGGCTGATCGGACGCACACGTCCCAGACGCGCTCTTCATCCTCACTTCGTGCGGCTGCCGTCTCTAGCCGTAAGTGTTACACTGCGCAGTACCTATTACGCAGCTTCCCTCTAGTTTTAGGGTTATCGTATATTATCCATTTACCCCTCATACGGAAAGCTCCTACACGAGTCAACCAATATAGATATTCAAATCAGTGCTTGTGGCATCCTGCAGGTAGAAAGTGCATTGTGCTTCTGTATTCATACATTCTAAAAAGGTTAACACAAGGGTATCTATATACGGCACATTAGAGTACATCACGTATGGAACATGTCATCGTCAATCCTTTCCTGCTGTAGAACAAATTCCGATGGAGGAATACGGCTATCTTCGTCCTCATACTATTGAGCGGTTGAATAGTTTATGAAATATGCCTCTTAAGGGCGGAGCGTTGTTGTATAGGAAGAACATTTGTGTTCAAAAGCAAGTTGTAAGGATATATCTAGAAAATGGTTAATGAAAATCTCCGTGATTACAGATTCGACTGGCCATCGCACGGCGTTGGCGGTGCTGATGCCTTTTCTCGAACCCACGGCAAGTATTGGGGTAGTGTCTCAAGTCGGGTTTGATCGCTGGGTGCACTGATGTCATCTGTATATGGTATGCCTCCTTGCCCACGGTTCTCCTGCCAAGCCTGCTTTTCGCGACGGAGGTCGCTCTGGACCCAGGGAATCGTGATTAGTGTCCAAATGCCGGCCCATACGAAGGGTAATGACCACCCCAACTGTGAAAGCATGTTAGTGCTCCACCATTTCTAATTTTGCTCTACTCAAGTGAGAAAAGCCTTGGGACTTACGGTAAACGCAACTGGCTGAGACGTGGTGAAGATTATTGCAGTAATAGCGGCAGCAAAAATAATAGACCCCCCAGCCCAGAAGCAATTCATTTGAAAGAGCATCCGTCGAAAGTAAGGACTCGACAGATAACGAATCCGAAGCGCATAGCGATAGATCTGACCACCGCCTCCGTCGACAGCGACAACATCTTCAATGAGGACATACAAGGCGGTAGGCATCACGGAGCCCTTTGGCGTCGAGGATATTCGGAAAGGAGCTTTGAAACCGCATATTCGGAGCATATCCAAGGCCAAGTAAACACCGCCGAAGTAGAACATTACAGTGGGCAGTACCATAGCCACGAGTCGCACTGTATGGGGTATCTGATGGTTAGAGACGATTTACTATGAGACGGGCACGATGAAAGGTCGTACCGTACGGCTCTTCAACCACCGTTCCGCTGAATTGTCGTTAGCTGCCAACCGCGAAAAGAACAATGGTTGTACCACTTACACTATCAGTTCCACTGCCAGAATTAACCAGACGATGGTGAAATTGATGTGAAAGAAATCCAGCTATGGCCACCAATTAGCCCCCACTATGTTTGAGCAAAAATTATTCGAATTTAACCTTACCCATGATTTCCTTGCATTCAGTGGTCGGGCTCGGGAGTCTTTCCGGAAGAGATTGTATAGTCGGTAGAAGTACTCGAATACCGAAATACCTCCCAACGACGCAGTGACAATGCTAAACACTGTCGGAAGAATTGTGATTAGTGTACATCCCCATTGAAACGACAGATGTACAATACAAGACAAATAAAGAAACGTACCGATGTTATGGGAGAGGTTGGTGCCAAACCAGAGCCCCCAGTACAAGGCTATAGGTTGAGCCGCCGCATCGAGAATGAACAATGTCCAGAAAATCGCAATGGATTTTTTTCGGGTGCGCAGCGAATAAGGTAGCGGAGGAGGCTCTGAGGTCGATGTGTTGGCCGTTCCTTCTTCCTCCATCTGCGTGGCCATGTAGTAGTTGGCGGTATTCGGGATGGGATGGATGGAGTGAAATGCTATGAGTTCGAAGTCATACAGGGGGGTAATTCATATTGCGGTTGGTGAGGAATAATAGCCGTGGCGAGTCTGGACCTTTCATACTCGTTTTACTGCAGAAAAAAAATTCCAGCCGGAAATGACGGCTTCTTGTTGGTTCCAGTTTGAGTTTGTCGATTCCTCCTTTGGGCGATCACGGGTCAGGGCTTGACGTAACGTACATGATGTCATCGGCCTGCACAGCCTGGATTCCACGGACTCTCCACGAATGTTGGCACTGTTCCACGTCGCATTGACTTTAGAGATGTTAGTAATGTATACGGGTATATTCTTCTATTTTCTAGATTCTGTCAGTGCGAAATTGGGGAGTGTTCTGCTGTGGCGGGAGCAGGGAAATACATAATTGGGTCATGCAATGGAACTCGCCACTGATGCGTCGAAAAACTTAATGGTTTCCCATAGGTGGGGTGGATGATCTATACAGAGTAGATACTTTAATTCATTCCATTTTTACCAAAAAGAATTATTAGCTATCATTCGAAGTAGTCATTCATGCCGAGCACATACATAAATTATGCATTATGACATAAATATGGAACGACAAATCGGGTTGAAAATCACCACGAACGGCAAGATCAGCAGTGGGTTCTACATACAGTTAGTTCCCCATTAGGCTTAGTCTATAGAGCTGACAAAAGAAAAGAGTATAGTTAATCACGTGCCACCACGCCACCCCACCTCAGATTTTCTCTCACCTCGAATTTCTGCTCCACGACGATAGTTCGAACCGCGCTATTGTCTCTTGACCGTGAACAAGCAATTATTCTTGCAAGCAACTCTCCGGTTGTCTAGGCAATGGTTTGAAGCCTTTTCCTAGTTGGAAAAATTTCTCGCTTCATTATCTAGTGGCATGGTTCCCGCCATGGAGATACAATGGCCCCTAGTTTACGAGATCTGATTGATTTTCTGCTGGGGGAGATTGCGCTTTGCGGCGATCAAGGTCAGTTGATTTTATGTCCCTGCATCCTGTGCAGCATCCAACTTTTAGCGCCATGACACCACGCGAGAGCCTACTTTATCCACCCCCAGCCAGATTCATTCGCAGGGTGTCATGCAGGAGGCTCAGCCTCTTGTTCCACACAGCGGCTTTTGTATCGCAGATTAACGAATCCCAGGTGCCTCTCCAGCGGATATCTTGAATTTCATTCATGCATTCTATGCCAAGGCTGCTCAAGATGGGTCGTCTCATCGCAAGCACACCGTTGACCGACGGTTCCAGGAAAAGGTGTGGTCTTGGCTGACAAGAAACCCAGAGGTCTCTGTTGGCAAGAACAGAGAGGGAAATCACCTCACCCTTGCCGACGTAGAGCATTCTATGCAACATGACCAGGGAAATGATAAGTCGCCCGAGGTTTCATCTCAAACTCCGATGCGTGTTTTCGTATCGGAGGAGAGGACATGGCTTGCAATCACTGGCCATGAACGGGACGAAAATAAGGTCTTCTTGACAGAGTTTGCTCTTCTATCCATTATTGCGTCTCGGAAGTCCGCCGGTATCGTGCAGACTGAGCTGGTCAAACTGAGTGGCCAGGACAAGCGGTCCGTTCCTAAACGGACGGACATGTTGCAGCAGAAAGGATACATCGACAAAAGAGCGATTCAGATAAAAGCTGCCCGGACTAGCCTATGCACATTGCGCAGGTTTCGAAAGACAGATAATGCACCGGTTGCAGGTAGCTCTGATCAGCAACCGGAAGGGAGACAAGGTGTTGATGTGATTGACTTTAAGGAATTCACCGACAAGCTTTTCCAGATTCTTCGGCAATACAAGATCGTTTCTCGCAACGACCTCAAGAACCTACTTGGCTTTGCTGACCACTGGCGGTGGAGAGTCCTCTCACGCTCGGTGCGCAAGTTTGAGCGCATAGGTGTCCTAAAACGAGTCAAGGCTTTGTCACAGTATGCCGACACTATGAACAAATACCACCCTTGTGTAATGCTCATACGAGAACCGACACAACGGGATTTTGAAATGTTCAATGAATTCAGTCTGAACCTCACGACTGATCTGGGACAAGAGGATAGTGTGGAGCTTGATGAAGATGTGGAACCCAACGATGCAGGGAGGGAGTCTTCGTCTCTCAGTGGCCCTCAAACAATGGTTAAGAGAGAAGAGGACGTGGAGGAGGCTGGTAGAATGGTCCCTGCATGGAATCCCGAGCAGAATATTCACAATCTGATATTTGACACGGTGGACAGAGCAGGGACTTCTGGTATTACTAACGTCGTGAGTCATATCATACATGAATGGTGAAGCTGGTGCAAGCTTGAGCTTATCGAATTCATCTAGGATATTCTCAGAACGTGCTTTGGGGGTTTCTTCCGCAGGCCACTGGAGAATGCTCTTACTCGCCTAGTGGCATGTTGGCAGTTGTCCCAACCTTTACATCTACGTCAACTGGCGATTGTACGAGACACAGCCCTCAGCCGAACGATTACTCACTATGTCCACTACTCTGCAAACAATTTCCGCCAGATTGTCGATGCAGGGGGATCGACATGGGAGGCTGTGGAATTTGTCCCTAAAACCACCAAGTCGAATCATGTCAAAGTACCACCGGTCGACGCTGTACCTAAGCTCAACGAACATGGATTTTCTGTAGCTGTTCCTGCCAAGGAGTTACTAAAGAATGGGAACGCTACGCTTTTAGAGTGCATTTTGGTTGTTAGACCAGCCAGTTACAGTTGCACTAATACCGATCCCGTAGCTGTGCAGCTGGAAGGGAATACTTACGGTAAGTCTAAGAGAAATTCAACCTTATGTTAGTGACATTGATTTCTGATGCCTTCCCGATCCCGCTTTAGGAATCCGGTTTGGGGACAGAAAAAGTAACCTGGAGGTGTCTCGGCGAGATAAATACGCTACACCGAGCAGACCGAAAGTCAAACATCAGGATATATCTGATATTGAAATGGAAGATGTTCCACCTAGCAGACGTTACAGAAAGCCAAAGGATGACCCAGATCGCTTTCGTGGAATGTCCGAGAAAGAGAAACTCGAGGCACTTGGGTTGGACGAAACCTGGACTGAGTACAGCGTCTTACTTATAGACCGTTCTCAACCTGGGGTGTATATTACTCCACGTGGGCGACGGAGACCGGCTGGGAAGAGACAAGGCCGCCCAAGGATTAGTCGAATTGCTGTCTTCAAATCGCCGGGATTGGCATCTTTTCCCTGGTTTTTGCAGGAGAAGAGGGCAGAGGAAGACCATGAGACCATTAGTACTCCGCGTGAGACTCCACAAGCGCAGAGCATTGAGAGCATTGAGCCAAAACCCGGAGCAGAGACTATATTGAAACCATCAACAGCCCGTTCTGAACTCCCAGAAGCCACTCCTACCAGAGGGACCAAACGAAACTTACGACAACGTGCATCGATCAATGCGGAATCCGATTCAGCAGCAGGAAGGACACACAAGCAGCGACGCCTGATGGAGGCTAACGTCGATCCACCTGAAGTTATTGCGAGTGATGTTCAGGGGTCTGAAAACCTGAACCATAAGAGGAATGTGCATGAAGTGCGAGATCAGAGTTCATCAATGAGGCGATCAAAACGTAGAAAAATCGAGTCTCCAACATCAGCCGTCCCAAAAATGCCAACTACTGCATCGAAGATGCCTGGTTACATTGAACAAGCAGACAGCTCAGCCGTCATGGAAGAGCCGCGTGAAAGTTTGCAGCCATCCGGGATGGATCTTGATAATTACACCCCCAGCGAACATGTTAATGGACTGTCCGGACAGTCTTCTAGTATCGAACGTGCAAACGGAGCTGTACCGGAGAACTTCCTGGAGCCAGGTGATTCAGCGTTGGAGACTCCAGTAGCGGTAAATAATCTCGATGGGCTTCACGACGCAGGCGAGAAGCACCCTCTTGCTGCGCACACCTCGGAAGGCCCGCAACAAAATCCCAAAAAACAGGAGAAAGGGGGATCAGTGTATTTTCTGCGAAGAAAGATTATTATGGACATCATTGAGCAGGCCGGGGGTGCGTTTCCTCTCGGCAAAGAGCTGTGGTACCCATTTGCTACCGCGTGGTTGAAGATGAAATACAAAGAAAGGCCTGACCTACGGACGATCAAGACGACGGTAAAACACATGGTGGATGCTGGCAAGCTCCGTCAGCATACTTTCAGTGGCAAAGACAGTAAAGGGATCATGGTGACAAAGGCCATAGTCAGCAAGACCGACTTGGATCCGGACGCCCCTCTTCTCAAAGAGATGCAGAAGAACATACTCGCTTCCGACCCTCGGCAGATTTACATTCCATCCAGTGTTGAATACGATCGGGCATTGACCAAGAGAGGACGAAAAGCCATGCCGAGCGATGATCTCAAACCCATCCCTCAGATCCCGGTCGAACCGGGAGTCACCGTCCAACTGCACCGAAAACCAGCCCAAGTTGTGGCTCAGGAGAGAAGAAAAGGCCTCAGTATTCAGAGGCGACTGCTGCAGAGACTGGAGCCCGAAACCGACAGCCCAAGGAAGCCCATGCGACTCATGACGATCCAACGTCCCTCCACGGACGACTCTGCTATGTATGGCTTGACTTCGATCTCTCGACCCGGCCCCGGCGGCAGCAGTGAGGTTTCAGGGCGTCTTCCACGACGACACCGGACTACTGCTCCTGGCGGTTTAATTCCTCGCCGCCAAGTGAAGCGGCTCTGGATCCCAATCTCCTCCATGACTCCTTATGCAATGCTCATGAACCCAAAACAGGTCTTTCATGAAGGCTCGGGGACGTTCTCGACCTATGCCGGGCTTATGTCATTGCATATGCCCCAGTCTCTGAAGGAAAAGAAGAAAAAGAAGGAGAAGGAGGAGGTTGAAGTCAGACCCGGACTGCCCAAGTCTCTGGATGAACTATTCAAGAAGGCACGACGACGCACGGTGAACTATTCAGACAGGACCGATCCTCGGTCGCGTAAATTCTTCCTGGATACCAACGTCATTCTCCGATGGGAGCTCCAGAATGAAGAGCTACTTCAGAACCAGACACCCGAGGATGCGTCGTATATAAACCAGACGGTGGCGAACTTGTTTAGTGCGCCGATCGAGGGTGATATACGGTTCGATCGTGACCAGGCCGAGCCTCCAGTTGCGTCACCCCCCGAGCCGAAGACCACAAGACGGCGAGCGCAACAGCAGCAGCGTCAGGAAGAGCATCAGGAACCAGCCGAGCCCCCAACGCTCCAGCCCTCGGTTCCAGAATCTGCAGCTTCAACGACACCCGAAGAGACACCCCAACTAGAAATAGCACGACGGAACCGCCGCCTGAACCAACTGATACAGCGCGAGGCAGCTGGGCCTCAGACACCTGCACCGTCTGGCTCACGGCAGCTCATTCGTCGAAACCGGATGGCTGGTCAATTGCCGGACCAGCTTGTACAGAGAGTGATGGTGGCGATTGCCGTTGTCCGTAGCCTCGCAAGTGGTTACGACGCGCGGCTGGTCGACTGGAACCTGGTATCCCGTTGCTTCCCTGACGATGATCCGGAATTCATCCAAGACCGTGCCAAGATGATCCTTAGTCGGAATCGGTTGCAGATCTCTAAGATGCTAAGCGACTTCGAGGAGCGGTTTATCGAAGCGTACGCCAACGACCAGGTACCTCCTATTAACTACGACGACCTGGACAGCTACAACTGGGAATGGGTTGTGAATTGGGCATACGAACAGCTAGATACTCCCCGGTCCGGAAGGCTCCCCGACCTTCCTGCCACCCGAGAGCAATTCGACAGTGTATTCGAGATCCGGGAGGAGCCGATCACATCGCTGGACGATATCTACCAAAGCAGCCACGGAATCACCATCAACCGACGGCGCACGCTCTTCGCGGGGGTACCTTTCGCCACCCCGCTGGCTGACCAGCCGGTCAGGACCACCGCGCGACAGATGGAACTGGCACGCCTGGAGGTGGCCAAGACGTGGGTCCGGGCCAATGTCGTCACACCTGAAGGGACATATCGTCCAGCTGCGGCGCGAGATGCCCTCGAACAATTAGGGGACGACCTTGTGGGCAAGGCGTTGCAGTCGCTCATCACGGAACGAGTGCTGTACATGGTCAACAAGGGCCGGGACGCCCCCGGCCGCAACTACGACATTAGCGAACATTTCCTGCAAGTGCTGGGACGAAAACGGTCCATCGAGGCTGCGGAGCTACGACGGGCTGCGCAGTTCAAAACCCAGGTACTCGACCAAGCGCTACAACAGCACGGCACGTTCGACGTCCCATACAACGCCGAGGACGGCGACATCCTCGCCATGATCAATCTCTTTGCCGAGGGGCGAATCATCCTCACGCCGCGCGATCCCCCTCGCGACAAGTATGGCCTCACCGACGGCGGATATCTAACGCGGCTGATAGACAAGGACAAACTGCGGTTCTCCGTCGAAGTGCGGCCGACCCGGGAAAGGTATGTGTATGGGGATCCGATCCAGGAAAAGACGGCGAGCATCCCACCGCCGTGCGTGCCCAACCTTCGCGTCGACTCGGCGGACGACGTCCCGGAAAAGATCCCTCTCTGGTACGACATCCACGGGCAACTGGTGCCGGTGCTATGGGAGCTGGCGCTGGTTGCCGTGGTGGGCTGTGTAGCGACGCGACCGGGGATCAACGCGTTGGGAATTGCCAACATGATGAAACCGTGTCTGGGAGCGTGGGAGGTCGAACGTGTGTTGGAGTGGACGAGGACAGTAGGAGTGATGCAACAAATGGGGGAAGGATGGATGGTAAAAGAATGGTGGTGGATGGTCAGTCATGCTTGTTCATAGTACAATTGATCTTCATCTTTCATTCTCATTTTTCTCTTTGTTCTTTCATGATCGTTTTTGTTCCTGGATTATGAGGACTTGGGGGTTGATCATGTCTATCTATCTATCTATTTTATCTACTTATGTCCATTACAGGATTGTAGATAATCTCTGCTGGATAAACTTTGTCGTAATTCAAACCTAGCTTGCTAGGTACATAACTATCCAAACTTGACCGTACAACGCCAGAATTAAATAAACTACTCTATTCTGCATTCGCAATCCGACGAAGAATCATAATCACCAGTGCAACCAACACCCCAACTATCGCTCGATCCAGCCAGGGATCGTATGATCGCTGCATCGGTAAGTCAGGATGAGAAGTCGGTGTCGGTGTCGGTGTTGGTGTTTGTGACGGTGACAGTGCTGAAGTCTGGGTCGAGGACTCTGGTGTTGTTGACACAGGAGGCGTCGGTGCAGGTACAGGTGTAGACACACCTATTGGAGAGACAGGCAGTTGCTGTCTATTATCAGATACCTGCTCTGATGTCGGTATTGAATCCGGTTCAACTTGTGGTAGAACCTCTGATTGGACCTCTGGTTGATCATCATTCAACTTCTCATCTTTATTTTCATCATTCTGATCATTCTCATCATCCAGAGAAACCCCCTTAAGGCGACACGTCTCCCTCCACTTATTCAAGACCTCCTCATTGGACTTCCCACCACCATCACCGACACAAACATCACAACACCACCCCCGACTCCGTCGAGCATAATCCCTTCGAATCTCATCCGACACATCCAACCCACCCAATTGACCCTTCGCGTCACCATCCATGAAGCTCCGGAGAGCAATCAGGGCCGTCCGGATCCCCCACGCGGGCTGCCACGTTTCTTCATGATGACCCGAGATGCTGAGACAGATCTCTCGATTGACTTCGAAGCGGCCGGAGGGGGTGAGGAAGCGGAACGAAGGGGGACGAAGCGGATACGTTGCCGGGAGGACGATACGGCCGTGGTAGATCCCGTCAGCGTAGGGGGAGGGTGCAGGGGGTCCGGCCAGTGTGAAGTGCCAGTCGTATAGGTTTGTGTCATCGACGGGGTGGGCGCAGAAATGCGGAGATGGTGAAGTGGTGAGTTCTGAGGCCTCTTTCATGAGGCGGCGGAGGGAGGGGGTCATATTCCTCTTTCTCTTTTTTTCTCTTAGATATTGGTTGGGCTGGAAGTCTAGTAGAGACACATGGGCTTCAGATGTAGATGACTGAGATGAAGAGAGGTGATCGAGATAAGATGATCGACAAAGTTGTCCGTTTCGATGATGTCTTTATATGCCTGGAATTTCAGGCACATCTCGCAATCCTCATTCATTCTCCGAAATAGCCTTAAGAATAACTAAGAATACATAACTACATACATAATCATATACAACGCCTAATACAGTCAAGGACACGCCCCACACGTCTATCAATACGATGAGATATAGAACGAAATACGAATCATTCATTCCCAGTCCCGCCATTCGTCAGGTTTGCTGATGGCATCCTGACTCCGGTCACCCGCCTGGTAGGCACGTCTCGTACTGCCCTGGCTGGGTAGCAGATTCTGTATCTCCTCAACCTGGTCTTCGTCATCGCTTTCCCCCGGTCGAGGTCGCGGGGACATCGGAGCCAGCGTCTTCATCGAGACTCCTGTGTCCGGTCGCTCTGGTTCCCGGTAGATATTCAGTGGTTGACTCGGCTGGGCGTCGACTCCCCACGCCTGGCTGTTGTTCATGTTGCGCTGGTACAGCTCCCGATGGCACTCCTGCTGTTCTGTTTCCTCCTCCCCCCTGCGTCGTCGGATTTCCTCTCGCGCCTGGATGAATTTGGCACTCGGTTCCCAGTGCCAACCATCCCCGGTGGTCGTGCGTACCGGAACCAGCCAGAGAAGTGGTCGCGGTCCGAATAGATGGAGGAGATTCCGGCGCCAGCCTAGGTCGAATGCGTTGGGCATTTTCTCATTATCCTGCTCGTGCAGGTAGGCCTGGTATCGGTCATGTTCACGTTCTCTTTCCAGTTCCGCGTAGGACCGGGAGAGCGCTTGTTGGGCCGGTGTACGGCCGTCGTCCCCTGCGGACCGCAAAGTAGGTGGAGAGGCCCGCTCCTCCCCTTCCTCCGGCCGTGTCACTCCCGGGATCGCATTGGCATGGGCGTCGAGGATCTGGTTTCCATAATCCTGAAGACGGTGGGTCAAGCTGTTGGGGTCGTCCCCCGAACCACTGCTATGATGCGGGAATCGGTGGCGGTCCAGCGCTTTTCGCAAGGGTGAAACATATCGTGTCTTTTCCAAGCACTCGATCGTCGTCAGACCACGAACGGCGAGACTGATATGCCAAGCGGTAAATCCCGACAATACCAGCCCGATGATGCCGCCCAGGATAGCCAGCAGGACGACATTCACCGGCAGAATTGTATCTATATACCGGGTGTCATTGATCACTTCGGTCCATATCCACATCGATGCCACGAAGAAATCCACCCAGCAGAACAGCGATGTGTAGATAAGGAATAAGAGGAAGGCTTTGTAGTTGTAGAGCCCGACGCAGGTCGCCAACCACGGACAGTGGTGGTCCATTTTCAGAACGCATCGTTTGCACGTAGAGCAGTGGTGGGTGCGATCCGGCTTGGGAGACTGGCATTTCTTGCAATATCGGGACCCGCCCGTCGAACTCACGGTATATGCGGTAAATTCGGGAAGTTCGGTCACAGGTAGGGCGCTATATTGATGCCGACTATTTCCTTTGGCAGACGAGGAGGGGGATCCGGGATCTGTGAAAACAGCAACTGTATACGAAGCATTAAGACATATGTAGAGAAATATGCCGAGGATCGAAGTTGGCAAACCTAGAGAGCCACCGGAAGTAATCAATATCCAGCCAGAGCAGTCAACGGATCCATCAAAGACGGAGACACCTACCGATCCAAGAGCTTTGCGAAGGCTTCAGGCTTATACTAGCTTCCACATAAGCCGCCCATGTCGTGAGACTATAAACAAATGCGAGGGGAAAGTAGGATGCGGCTGCACAGCAGTAGCGCTCACATCGGAGAGCCCAGGCTCGGGGTCTTCGTTTCGGCCAGGACGAGGATGATGGAGGAGACGCGGCCAGCGTTGCCATTGTTATTGAGCGGTCAGTGCAGATAATGGCCACTCGAGAGCTAGGATAGGACCCTAGATCATTGCTCCATGTACCATATCCTCGATATGCTCAGGTTGGGTTGTGTTCGAGGAAAGGCTCCAAGGCAGGATGGGACGAAGGGAGAGGCTCTGCAGAGTGGAATCCAAACGATAGAGGACCGCAGGCAACAGTCAAGCGGAAATAAGCGCCGATAATGCAAGTCCGACTTATGAATCTAGCAACTAGGAAAGACGAGGAGAAAGTGAGACTGAAACTGACGTTCGAGGACGAAGTCGATCGTTCATCTCATCGGCGATGATTACGATACAGGCGCCACACGAATTACGCCCGCACCCCAACTATATTTAGGACGTGGCTGTGCAGGACTTTTGCACCTTCAGTATTAGGTAAAAAAAAAAAAAAAAAATTAAATAAATCAACTGGAAGATTAAGAACAATATCAATAAATTCACTGATCCATTCTAAACCGAGAAACCTATATACTAAAGGGGGTTATCAAATAATGCAACATGTGTGTGGTATGCAAGATACAAAGGACATGGTCGTCAAGGTGATAATAAACATGAAAATGACTCCATCCCAGGCGTGCTCCCAAAGAAACGAATAATTCAACGCTAGTTATTATGAGTCGTAGTCGTGTTTTTGATTTCAAAAGGCTTCATGCCCTGTTCGCACCACCCATTTACTGGCTGCAAGAGAAGTGTTGACGTTAGCAAAAGGACAACAATCAAAGAGCAAGGAACCTTACCAGGCAGCTGAGTCGATTGCACCATGAACAAGTCGACGAATGATACTTGTAAAAGTCCACAATTAGAAAGATAAACCCTATCAGAACGGCTACCAGAGCTCCTGCCCGCACCAACCACCATCCCCACCACAAAGGCTTCCGGCCCTTGAAGAAGTGCAAAGGACTGAAGTGTTCGGACGATGAACCGCTCTGTTTGCCCTTGAAGAAGGTGGCGAAGCTAGTGCCACTGGCCGTGGGTTTGTTCTCCCCAGCCGGTACCGAGCCAGCACCACCACTCATGGCCACATATGGATTGCGAGCGAGCCCGATGCGCTCACGGAGAGCGTTGGGGGATCTCATGATACACAGCCCTAGGGCCAGACCCATCACAAAGCCCCCAATGTGGGAGAAGTTATCGAGTCCGGGGAGCAAGCCTAGGACGAAAGAAACAGCCACCCCGAGCACCATGACGATGAGTTCCACCCACGGGGATTGCCGCTCGTTCCACGTGTACAGCAGATCCAAGACGAAGAGCGCAAGGATACCGAAGAGTGCCCCAGAGCAACCACAAGAGCTCATGAACGGCGCCGAATAGTTGCCACCGAGTACAAAGCCCCAGATCCCGCTGGCCACGTACACCAAACTATATCTCCACCATCCGATCATTCTCTCCATATCGACTCCCATGGTCATTTGCACCAGCAAGTTGAAGCCGATGTGCACAAATCCACTGTGAAGGAACATGGGGATGATAAACCGGTACCATTGGTTGGGTTGAGGCTCGTCCTCGAGAGATCCATTTAGTTTTGGGTTCGGAACCCCACTGAAGCCGCATAACTCGGACAACGTGCACTGCACCTCGTTTGTCGTGGTGTTTGGGCAGGGCATCTTGAACTCAATCGGGGAATTCTGCACTAAATTGACGTTTTTCATACACGGTGTGTACCGCGAACCCATGCTGATCTGAAGATATGCTGACGGACCGATCATCGGATTAATCTGAGGCTTCGTCTGAATCGGCGAACCGGTCAGTTGCGCTACATCTCGAGTCAGCTCAACGCATCTAAGAATGTAATATTTTCGCTCGCATGCCACCTACCGCTTTTCACCAACTCCACGATAAAAACCACGACCTGGACCAACGTGAGTAGGTATGTCACCCACGGAATCTTCTTCTTGAACATCCCCATTCTCTTCTTTTTGCGCCCTGCTCGACCAGCTGGCGGTTCAATCATCTCAGGCGGCGGATATTGCGTCGGCTGGTGCATCCACCCCGCCGGCGGAGGGCCGTTCGTATACTGGTTGTTTTCCTTCAAGGGGATATTCTCTGCATATTGATCATGGTCGTTCAGTCTCCCACCAGCCACATAGGGTCCTTGATCCGAGCTGAGTGACTGTTGGCTGTAGCGGAGGTGGTTCGGATCGGAGTCGGGCGCGGTATACGGATTCACACTGGCGCCGGAGTACTCGGGCGCTGGTGATCGTCGACTAAAGGGATCTATCGGCGGATAGGTCTGGTCGTATGTAGGTGGGTGGTTGCCATATCCACTGTCGTAGTAGCCATGGGCTGCCATCTTGAATGGACAGCCGGTGTGGTGAAAAAGGGGACAGAACGGGAGGGGGAAGGAAAAGGAGTGGCTTTGTATGTTTGGAGGGAAGGGAAGGGTGATAATTGAGATGATGAAACAAGATTAATAAAGTCAGTCTCTTGCTGGTGGGGTATCGAACCACCGGGGTCGACGATTCTTAATTAAAACGAGCGACACGACAGTTAAATCTTAGCAGCGCTTTGCAATTTGCACGGCCACGTTGAGGCGGGAGACGGCTGACACAAAGGGGTGCCGAAGTGGGCACTAATTGAAACACAATCAAGAAAGAGACTGACAAAATGTCCGAAGTGGTAGGGTACGTCTAGTTCATCCGTCGAGCAAACCAAGACGGTCCGAATTTAAAGACAGTCGGAAAGAACGAGAGAACTAGACCAAGGAAGCCTGAGAGAAAGAGATGGCTGATGTGAACTTATGAAGATGGTTTGGTTGGGTTTAGGCAGGCGTTTTTGCGGGCCACGAAAACTAGTTATTTTTGGGCGCCGATCGTCGTCAGCCGCGATCTGGTCGACTTGTCACTCGGCACTTCAGTGCATACTAGCAGTAGTATTTAGTATGTGGGCTGTGGTTCGATTCACGACGATTGCTTATTACTCCTTGCCTGCTACGGTAGACTTTTCCTGTTCTTGGTTCAACCATTACGGAGTACTGGTTCGAATCGACTCTTTACTTTGGTGCCTGGCAATGAGACATGACTCAACCACGCAATCGGCCCATTCCCATGAGCAGTCAATGGGGCTCGTATTTGGCTTTAAGCATTCATTAACGTGTACCTATCCCATGGGCCTAAGCCACGCCGTATCAAGTCCATCCCATACATCGACCCGATTACAGGGAAATGGAATGGACAAAATACAACAGCCGAAGACCCTGTATCTCCAAATCACAATCACAATTCCAGACCACCAAATTATACAGTTAAAAATATGAATAAGAATAAAAATAAAAATAAAGCACCAAAAAAAGCCGAAGAGAGGAATCTTCAATCCAAAGAGCCAAGCATTACTCCCGGCTGGAGCATTCCAAGCTTCCAGCACATTATGCGTCGCTTGATATATAGTACCCATACTCCCATTGAAACCGGTTCTTTGTCCCATTCAAGTCATTAAATTGGCATGGTAGGCTGCCATCCAATGTATTGTAAAACCCAAAAACACCCCGTGTGAACCCCTGTGTCGAAGTAGATGAGGTAGTAGTCTGATTGAGAATCCACCGTTAGTATGACTTCGGACAGGAGAGGGAAGGGCAATGCCAACAAAAAAAAAAAAAAGGACTGCGCACATCGCTAAAATTGGCTTTGGGGAAAGCCTTCGGAACTCCAAGGCCGGAATATAAACCAAGAAAGACAATTATAGAACGAACGGAACTGCGATCTCCTGACATTTTATGATCGTGCATGCTCCGTCGGAAAGGATGCCGATATAGAGCTGACATGGTTATCCAAAATCCCCAGAGCGGCACCCATCTCCGCGCTGCTATGACCCGTCAGGAGCCACACAAGACGACTCAGCTTCTGATACAGCAGCGAGGGAAAGTAGAGTAGCAGGGCCCAGAGCAGAAGAGACAAGACTACCATCACAAACGTGTTGGCCACTAGCTTCTCGGCCGGCGTCATGACGTATAGCCCAAAGGTCACCTCGTAGCGGTAATACTCCAGACGGACCCGATCAACGGCCCGTCGCAGAATACCTCGATGAGGATTCCCGGCCATGATTTGGCTGACCCCGGGGGCATTTGCGGAGGCAGACATGGTGGAAGAGTACTTATTGATCAGCTCATCCACCGTTGCCGACGCATGGGAGGAATTGTGCGTCGACGTCGACGGGGAGTAGAAAGATTGCATCTCGGTGGCCATGGCGGTGCCCGAATTAAAAAGTAAATATAGCTCGTGTCGACGGTGTATTTATAAGCTGGGTCAAAGCTTCCAGGTTCTGGTTGGAATTCTCTGCTAAGCGTCGGCACGAGGAGCTGCGATTGTTTGTTTTACAGATTGCCGTATAATTATGTTTAAATGTCGTACAACCGTGGGTGGGCGGGTGTCCCCGACAGCTTCAATGTATGGGCAGCGGATTCACGAGGAGTCCTGTTAGGTGCCGTTCATCGAAAGACAAAGGAGTGATGTCGCAACGCACGGGTAAGGATATTGAAGTACAGACAGACCAGGGAACCAAAAAAAAAAAATAAAAATAAAAATAACAATAAAAAAGACACACGTAAGGGCTAAATTGGCTATTTTTTGGGAGGTTTGCTGACACCGGATGAAACACAACCAAGGACGAAGATACTAGAGAGAGACTACAGCCCCGGGGGGAGTGTCAGGAAGGAAGTAACGAAAAGAAGAAGTGAAGAAAGAAAAGGATCGCCCGGTAAGGCGCGGATGCAAAAAAAAAAAAAAAAAAAGATAAGGGAAATGACTGGCTGACAGGGATTACGGTACGGGACGCTGCACTTCCGCCAACCAGACGAAGGTTCTCGAGGTTCCGTACGGCACTTTTACGATACACGGCCGCAAACAGGAAGAGAGTTATCATGGACATACGGAGTAGTTGCTAGGGGCTAGAAGGGATTAAATGCCATCTAATGCTTGCTTTCCGGAAGTCCTTGCCGACCTCAAATCCCGTCTCCCACCGTCTCTCTTCCCAATGCGTCGATTTCCTCGCACAAATTTATGAACGTCTTAGTCATCGATGTCATCGGACCTTGAGATCAGGTGACCACATCGAACTCATTCGGCCTCTGTCTAGATATACTACACGACACTATACTGTACTCTACCCTACGCTACTACTATGATCGGATTATACCCAGAGACAGTCCTTTCTGTGACTCGTCGTCAATACTATCATGCTGCTGGCCCAGATTCCCACCGTGGATGGACTTCACGATGACCTCACCAGTGATGTCATGCCGTCCGTGCCTGTGCCGTCCCGCTGACGCACTCCCTCCGTTCAATCTCCTTTCCCCGCGACATCTCAAAGTCATCTCAGCATCGTGCATTGGTGCAACTCTCTCCCATAACCATGGCTGAGGAAGATGATAATCCCCTTATCAAGGCTCTTCCACCTGCCACCGACTATCTCACCTACCTCACCCTCCTCGAATATCAACTGACGCCTGCCCGTCTCCCTACCCTCCACAGGCTTCTCCAGGATGAGAACCTAACGACCAATATTGGCTGGGATTTGGTGCAGTTGCTCCTGCCCTTGCTTCCGCAGTCTCAAGAATGTCTGCAGGATGTCGCTAGATTGGGGAACCCGAGAGAGGTCATTTTGCGAGTGTCGGACGCTCTCATGCAATTGCAACCGATCAATGAGGACGAGGACGAGGACGAGGCGCACGACGTTGGGGATTTGAATGCTCGGATCCCCCTAAGCTCCACGGGAGGGATAGAGACCAAGATGGGAAATGCCACGGTGGACGGCGAGTGCCTGTTCAAGGACGAGACTAGTCACCTTCCCCGACATATCTTGCAGTTTAACTCGTTGGTTGCGATGCTCTCCGTCCTCCATTCGCGTATCCAGACAAGATCGCCCAGTCGTTTTCTTGCTACTTCACTACAGGCTGCCTTAGAGGCTTATACGTCGATGCCGACTAATGAGACCACCATTGCGCTGCTGGAATTCTTTCGAGACGTGTCGCCTTCCAAGAGACCTGCTCCACCACCGCGGGTAGCAAGCGAACCGAGAGTGTTACGGGTTGCGGAGGCTTCGGCCCCCGACCCGGAGGCGGAGACACAGTCCCCCAACCCAGGTCAGCACAATGAGAAGATGCTCGTTCGACGGTTTCTTCAATTTGGGCTGATCGAGCTTCTTAAATCGTACCTGTTGAGTTTCTCGGACCCCACTGACCCCGGGATGTCTTGGACCATTCGATTGCAAGAGAAGTTCCATCCGGAGACATGCTTGCCTGGCCGGTCATCGAAAACCGCAGTATACACCAATGATACGCATCTGAAAGAAAGAGATATGATCATGGCGAAGATAATTGTAAGCGAATCCGTTGTGATCAGAATCCCCGTTTACTGACTCCTTAGGCATTATCCCGAGACTTTTGTCTTGATGACAATCAGCTTCACGGCATTGTTTCCCAGACAGCTGAGAGTCTGCCGCCCCCGCTTGACTTCGACGAACCGCCGCGACAGGTGCATGAGATCCCGCTAGAACGGCATGGAGCGCTGCTTCTACTGGCGGCGCGAGCGGCAATGTCAGAGTTGTTTTCGTCCGGACAGTCGACCCCGATGCCCATCTTCCCTGACCTGGCGCGAGTATTCTCCAACTTTGTGGGTGGATACAACATGCCGGAAGACGTCGCTTTTGGGCAGCCGGAGGTTCTCTTAGACTCCCTCCTGACATTGACCGTGGTCTCCATGCAGCGACCGATCGGACTACCTGCCACCAGCAAGGAGTTTAGGGAGTTCGTCCTCTCATTGGCGGCATGCACAACACGGCAGAACTACAACACTGTTCGGCGGATCCCGGGAGCCATTGTCCACAGCCACTCGTCTCATCTCGACCGGTTCAAGCTTATCCGGTACATCCTGGAGGAGCAGCAGTTCCAGGCCGTAAAAGGCGATGCGATTGGATGGTTGAAGCAAGAAATCCTCGCTGCAGCCGCACATCCCAACGAATCCAACCTTTTCCTTAGCCCACACTACTTTTCCGTCCTGTTCCCGCTGCTCTTTAATTCCCCAACCCTCCTGATGGACGTCTCCGATATCGTGGCGTCGTGGATCAAATTCTCGCAGATGCTGGCGCCTTCCATCCATGCGGCTGTGAATCTGTACTATATACTAGTGTCCTCACCGCATTTGCGTGTCCAGCTCCAGCTGGAAAAGATGTACATCCCCTTCCGCGACCAGTTCGTCAAGCCACTACGGTCCATCCTGCGCGCCTTTGAAGGGGACCTGACAAGGATGGGTGGTGATGGGCACATCGAAGCCGGCGTCGGCCAGGATATCTGTGAGATGGGGATGGCACGGTCTGTAGGCATGGTCTCGCATGCGCTGGAGCAGGTTGAGAATGTGGTCAGCGAGGTATTCGTCGGGGCTGATACGGAGTTCCCGCAGCCAAGTGCTGATGATATTGCTCGTGTGGATCGCATCCGCAAGGATACGGAAACCTAGATGTATATACGAGGAATATGACTCACAAGGACACCATAATATATAAGTAAATTGAGATATCCTGCCATTCATGACCAAGTTCAAACAAAAGTCGAGCCCAGTCCAGTTCAGTTCAGTCCAGTCCAGTCCAGTCCCATGAGCAAGATCGATAGTGGATTCCGACCACTAAAAGAGCGGATTGACAGGATAGCTGATACATAAACAAAAACAATAAAATCATATATACTTATTTCATTCCCTTCATACACCATCTTCTTTTTTTCCTTTTCCCCTTTTTTATTTTTTTGTCTTTTTTTCTCTTTTTCTACGTATTTTGTATTTTATAATTTTTTTCCCTCACCCAGTAGACGAGTACATCGAGATCAGTAAATATGTAAATACACAAATAAACAAAAAAAAAGACACATTTATGAATGGCGATTGAATCCCAGCGATAATCTCATCGACTCGATACGCATTAACGCTGAACTGGAGCTGAACTGGAACTGAACTGGAACTGAACTAGAAGTGGGTGGTTTACATGATGACGCAGCCACCTCCGGCAGACGCTATCAATCATTAATTAATTAGCATACATTATGACTTATATAAGATAGTAGATAGAAGACATATGGGATGTACCCTTAATGGCAGCAGCGTTCTGAGCTATTTCAGAGGGTGTCATTGGATTTGTTTTTAACCAGACAGGTATGGATTGATTTGGATTGGATGGGATTGTTTGTTGCACAGCAACTTCGTATAGTAGTAGTATATGATATAATGGTGTAGATAATGATCAGAATGATCATTAGGAGAGGCGAGGACCGCGAGGATGATGCGGGTTTTTTATATTTTTTTTTTCCCGTCTTTTTTTTTATTTCTGTTTTTGTGTGGACGCATATTGGATCATTGAGGACGATGGAACAAAGATTGTATTGACAATATTCTATTCTGGACTTGATATTGTTCTTGAGGTGTTCAATTGGGGTCTATAGATGGCCATTCATCTGATGTTGGGATGGTTCTATGGAAAAGAAACTAAGTATTGTTGTTCAAGAACAATACCATCGGATCTTACGTCATATCTTTAAGACTGTGTATTCAACTGGCTGTCATTGGCTCAATCCATACTCACATCACGTATAGATCGCTTCCGTCAAATCGTTAAGCATCAATCCCTCCTTCGCCACATCCTCCTCGATCAAAAACATCAACGGCATCTCCACCAATGTGCCCTTCACCTGACTGAGCAGCTCCTTAACTTGCTGCACTCCCTCCGGTCCCGCGGGGAAGTCATCCCGCACCACATGCCCATACCGGTACCGAGCCCGCGGCCCGTCATGCTCTGCACCGAACGCCTGCTTGTCCGCATGGTGGAAGTAATATCCATAGAACTCCTTGTACGTCGCCCAGTTGCGAATATGGTCGTCCGGAACCGAGTGGAACACCTTACGGAAGACGTCCGTGTTGGTTCGCGCCCGCGTATTCCACAGACTCTGCATCGTGTCCGCCAGGGGATCCGCCACGAGTTTGCTCTCGGGCGCGTCGAAGTCAAACTGGTTGGGGACCCCGGCGGGCTCGAAATTCGCGTCCGGTTGCTGGTGGTTCTGCACGGGCAGAAGACCGAGATGCTTGCGGAAGAGCTGTCGTCGCAACGATGACGCGAAGCGACTCGCCGTCCAGGGCTTGCCGTTCATGCTGGACTGCACCGGGGTAAAGTCCTCGATAATGATGGCGAGTTCCGAGTCGTGATCCCCAAGCTGGGACCGATCGTTCAGATTAGCGGATCCGCAGATCACCACACGGTCGTCGGCAATCATGACCTGCGTCGTCAGTATCATCCCTGTGAGTATAGAAGGACACGGTAATATACCTTGGAATGAACGTAGAGCTCCTCGGTCACAAAGGCATCAATCTCAGCGTCACTTGGGCCGTCCCAGGGCACGTTGCGGATGTCGGGTCCATTCAGCATGTAGCACTCGCTCACACTGTCCCAGCGACCAGAGCCGGATTTAGCACCACCAATCTCGCGGGCTGCATGCTGGTATTGCTGGAAGGGGGCGCTGGTATCGAATGCAGTGCGAAGAGCCCCTGGACCGTAACCGCCTTGTCCAACGGCCGTCATGTCATGCTGCTTGCGAGCATCTTCGTAGTTGACGCCGCTCTGTTGTTCGGCCTGCACCAACGACCCACTGATGTTGATGCGGTCGTAATTGCGCAGGTTGTAGAATCGGATATATTCCATGGGGTTGTAGCCCTCTTTGGCGATGAGCTCCATGATGCTGTTCCCTCCCCGATTGATAGAGTTGTACTGAAATTCCATAATGGCCCGGGTTCCCAGGCTCGACTCGTCAGACAGATCACCGGCGAAACAGGGCACGGATGGGATGACAACGATGACTTTGTATTTCTGGCCTGCCCGCGCTGCACGCAGGATTCGCTCCACAATGGCTGCGCCGATCTTGTTTTGGACTGGTTTCTGCGCGTCGCCGGTCGCCGTGATGAAGAATTGATTCTCGATATAGATGAAGTGCTCGCTGTTGCGGATGATCGCCTCGTAGGCATCGGCAATCGAATGTTCGGTGGGGGTTCCGTGGCTCCATTTGGCACAGCTGCGCACGATTTGGCAACACATGTTTCCTCGGGGCTGAGAATTGGACCCCCCCCAATGGCTGTCAGCCGATCCTGATACTGGTGGATCTGACCGGCCAGTTGACCGCGAAGCACGTTTCCATACTGGGTCAGCTCCTCACGGAAACGCTGGGGCGCAAAGCCCCGGTCCTGGTCACCGTAGCCTCGTGTGCCTTGATAGTAATCATCGACACCGCGGGTTTGTGTTTGTGGCGTTGATTGACTGGCTTGAGTTGGCGGAGGCGCATAGTAGGGAGTCTGGTATTGGCCCGGCGACTGGGCATGAGCCTGGGGCGATGCTTGACCTGCCTGGACTCCTTGAGTAGGAGGAGGGGAGAAGTAAGGCACCTGGGTTTGGCCTTGCTGGGTCTGGGTCTGACTCTGAGCCGGTTCGGATTGAGTCGGTGGTGGTCCGGGAGGTGGCGGTGGGAAGGAACCCCCAGAATAACTGTAGGCAGGAGGAGGATCTGGCGATGGCGATTGTCCTGCTGGGGACGGCTGGTAGCTCGGTGGAATGGGCTTGCTAGATACTGGTGGAGTAGGGGGGGATCATCGACAGCCCTCCACCAGCCTGCGGCGAGAAAGCCGGTTGCTGAAATCCCTGCTGTTGACTGCCCACCTGCTGAGCATCCACCTGCTGAGTGCCCGTCTGCTGAGCGGCCTGCTGAACCGCCGGTTGCTGCTGAGTCGGTGGTTGTTGGGGCGCCTGCTGGGGCGCTTGATGCGGGCCAGTCGATGAGCTCGGTCGGCTGGGTCGACCGTACAGTGCCAGTCGGGCGTATTTTGGGTTCTGACGAGAGTGGTATTTCGTATCGTAGATGAAGTTCCACCGTTCCATAAAATGCCGCCGCAGGTCCTCGACGACGTGGCCGTGCAGGCTGACGGCCACGTCGGACCAGCCCATGCGAGACGCATTCTTCCGATCCAACTGGTTCTTCTCCCATTGAGCCACATCCTGGAAATCCAGAATGCGGGCATTGTTGTAATCCTGGCCGGGGAATACAATTTCGTCCAAGTTCTCGGGGTGCACATCTGTCAATGTGTGCTGGTTGGTATCCCAGCGCCCGAAACACAAATCCAGACCACCCATGAACGCCGTCCGACCATCGATCAGACAGAGCTTCTCATGGTGTGCCCAGTAGAGAATCATGTCTTCATGCATGCCGTAGAGGCCCTTGAGGGCTTCACCCGACATCTTGGCGAGATTTTTGGCATCCAAGGAGAAATTCTGAAGCGACGACGTGATCGAGGAAGCCAGCTCCTGGCCGTCGGGTAGATGGTCGGGGTGCCGGAACACGGCAATATTGGGATGCAGTTCTTCAAGATGGTGCTTCGTATGAGCGGAGGAGACTTTTATGTGTTAGTATACTTTCTTTCACTAGCTGCATCTTCTAACGACGACTACTTACGAGTCAATGCTTGAGTGACCTCCTTGTAGACGATGATGTTTACTCGCACGCCCCGCTGTGCTGCTGCCTGCAACATCCGATCCAGCCGGTATTGCTCATTCTTAGCCGCGGGTCGTCGCAGGTACAGTTCTGGAGACAGCCACCCTGACGACTGTTAGCGGACAGATCAACTCCATATGGGTACAAGCAAACCTACAGTCCAGAATCCAAATAGACTCTCGGGCACTTTCCAACGCCTTGGAAACGGCCCAGAAATAGGAGCACCCGTCTACGTACCACTTCACCTCGTTACCCTGGCGATCGGGTGCAAAGCTGTTGAACCGATGCTGGGTCTGGGGCCTCCCATATTCGGCGTATGCCTGGGGATCGAGAGCCGTTCCCAAACGCTGTGCAAATTCGTTCCCATAACCGGTGACGGTGCCCTGAAGTTTCCCCAGCAATCCGTGAACCTTATCTTGTGTTCTTGGTTTACTGGGTCTTCCTTGCTGGTTTCCTTGGTACGGAGGTTCCTGGTAGGCGGCGGAACTACCGGTCGGAGGATAGTTTTGTGAGGAGCCCTGGGACTGGTAGCTCTGGGGCTGGTAATTCTGCGGCTGCTGACTCTGGGCCTGGTAACCCTGCGACTGGTGATGTTAGTCTCCAAGGACAAGGAAACAAATAGGACGACGTTGGGTTCACTTACCCCGTAGGATCCCGGGTTGGACTGCGGTGGTGGTGCCTGGCCTTGAGGGGGATGATGGGCTTTGTAGGTTTCCTTCAGTTTCTTGAAGGTGTCACCAACGAAACCCCGAGCGCTGTCATTTCCTGCACCTCGCGATGATTCCTTAGAGTAGTAATGGCCATAGGCCAGAGGGTCCTCACGCTGCGACATGGATAGACTACATGCAACACAGAAATACAATGAGAATCAAAAATAACAATAGGATCGATGAAAGAAGATAAATTGAGATAGAGTACGGACAAAATAGAGATTAATAGAGATTAAATAAAAGAGAAAGAGAAAAGAAACAGATGACGGCACGTTGCCCGATTGCCCCGCTATCTGCGGCGCCATTTTTTAGGCTGCACCGTTTGTGGCGGAGCATTCATTCATGTACATTACAGCAGGATCTTATGGCCTTCTATTAATAACTATTCGTCGGATCTTTGCTGGATATCCTCCAACAAGACTGGATGGTCCTCTGCACGTCATCTTGTGTGGAACGTTCACCCAAGGATTCGCAGTGGTGGCATGCAGTCCCGTTTCTTGCGGAAAATGTGCTCGTCCCTTGCGAAATCTGCAAAGGCTCTCCTGGCCTCACTTTCGGCCTTGAAGGGCAGGGGACATGCGAAGGGCTCCTCGCCCACGCATAAATCCAGAAATTGCTGTATCTGGGACTTGGATAGCTGGAATACGCGAAATCTTCGGGTGTAGATAGACATCCCGACTAAAGGGTCAACCGACGCATTATAGATTAAACAATGAATACGGAGTATAGAAAGAAGCTCACCATCTCTGACTCTCCACGGTCGAAAGCCAACGACCCTCCGAGAATCTGGCTTTCTGCCCAGTATCCCAGTATATCGGGGATACCCAAGGGTTATTGGTCGGAGTTGGTGTAGTGGAAGTGTTGTAGGTAGGTGGGTATCGCAGTCATCTTACATATTGAGGTTCAATCTCGATGAGGATCTTTGTACGTGTGTATTGTTGAAGAGATGTGCAGCGATATCATGCAACATGACTCCCACCATTTCGAAGAGTCGCAGCTGGAAATCCAAAGTGCTGATGGCAGCATTCTGATACTCTTGAACCACCTATGAAGTTGTTAGGTGTTGTATTGCATCAATGGTACAGCCACTCACGTCCGCGTCGATCTGGAGACCCGGTGTTGGTGTCTTTTAAATCTTGACTATCTTGAATGTTTCTGCGGTAGGTTGAACACGCTGTTCAATTTCGAAGCCATACTCTCTTCGAAGTCTTTACGTGTGGGGAGACAGTCGACAATCTGCGCGCAAGCGTAGCCTGCGAATAGGGAGTCCAGGATGCAATAAAGGGCTCTCTGAAAAATTGTTACGTGTTTGGGGTGTAAATCATGAACGACAGCCTGCATCATCATGATTACTGACAGGAAACTGTCAGCTCAAGAAAAGAAAGAAAAGGTCTGCTTGATGAGTTGGACGGGTTGTAACTTGGCTACACAGATAGCTACATGTGCAACGACTAGCTGACTAAACCCTCATGCGAGAGTACTGGTCGTATATGAAAACATATAGTTGGTTAATATCTTGGAAGCAACCACATAGTCATCTCATCAGAAATAACTATCCTGGCTATGATGTACTGTACATCGGGATTTTGGAAGTTAAACTTTTAGATGCACAAAATGTGGATAAGAGACCTGGGATTTTCTAGACCTTATGAGACTGCCCAGAGAAAGTTCACTAGAGTTTTCATTCATTTATTGGTCCTTCTTTATTCTATCTAATTTATTGTTGGTTTTTTGGTTCTTGTCATAGTACAGCTCTGTCTCATGCTTTATACTGCACGCTACATTATCTATTTCATGCCTTGGTGAATAACTTATATTCGGCAATAGCGGTATATATCACTAGAATATCATTATTGTATATCTTTTACTACTTCATCTACGGATACATAAGAATGGGTGACTCAAAATAACCTCGTATTACGCAACTCCTGCCGCAATGACACAATCCACGCTAAGAACAATAGTATCCCTATATGCCCACCTTCCGATATATTCTTATTTAACACTGTACTATTTAAACAATTAATACATAGACCATGGACCGCAATCCCACAGAATCCTACACCACCCATCTATCCACCAAAACGTGGTACGCATTCGACCTCGACGACACGCTGCATGAATTCCGCAACGCCTCAACCACCGCCTCCACCGCCGTATTCCAAACCATCCACCAGGAAACCGGGGTCAGCATTGGCGCCCTTAAAACCACCTACAGAGACATTCTTGCCCGTACGGCCGATGTATCGGCATTCACCGACGGGAAAACCTCTCTCGAGTATCGACGGGATCGATTCTCTCGTTTGCTTCACCGTCACGTAATCCCCTCGTCGGATGAGAAGGTTGATTCTCTTGTCCGTATCTACCAGACTCGTCTGAAGGAAGCGTTGCGGTTAAAACCGGGGGCGTTTCAACTCCTCCAGACGATTAAACGACTCGGAAAATATGTCCTGGTCATCACGGAGGGGCCGCAGGATTCCCAGGAATGGACTCTGAATGAACTCGGACTACTGCCGTATGTCGATCTTCTGGTGACTTCTAATGGAATGGGGGTATCCAAGGTAGACGGGTTGTTTCCTCTCGTGTTGCGGAGATTTGCTATTTCAGCGCAGGATATGCTGTACATGGGGGATAACGAATCTCGCGATGTGCTTCCCGCTCGCGAGGTTGGTATTTTGGCAGTGCTGTATGATCAAAGCGGCCCGTCTCAATTGCATGATCCGTTGGATTTGCGTGTGAATTCTTTGACCACGTTGAGTCTGATGCTAGAGAGTCCTTGAGTTCGGTTTTTGATAGAAGAAAGAATACCCCTTTAAGCCAGGGTTGAATATCCGGCTTGATGGATTTTGGCGAATGAGCAGAATCTTGATTTCGATCACCATTCCTGGCTTCGACCGGAATACAGGCTGAACAGTCACTATGGCAGATACTGGAGGATTGTGGCAGATACCTACCAAGTTCTGTTCATGTCAACGTTTTAAACAATGAATCAACCATTCACATTGACTATTATGGTCAACTACAGTGATCCGGGGGAATGACTTCCTTCGACGTAAATGTGTAATATCTCAACTCCGTCAAGCTCTGGTCCAGCTTGGATTCAGCCACAGCTCCCCACATTACCGGCTTCAGCGCTGAGTCCTTATCATCTTGAGGAGGATGGCAAGCTGCACTGATCTCCACACTACTATACAGAGGCAACGGCATATTCGACTTGTACTTTCGCAACCCCAGCACCAGAAAAGCGATGGTAGCGATCGCACCAACAATAATGGTAGTAAGCAAGGCGACAAGCGAATACCCGCAGCGTGTGGTGCTCCAACGATCAATGACAGTGCCATCGATATCAAAAACTCGAACCTGGAGAAAGAAAAGACTCTGAGATATCAGCCAGTGCAGCGCAACCGCCACCACGACGAACGGTCCCCGGTACCGGTAAGGCAGACTGAGGTAGCGCGTCGACCGCTGTTGGGCCCGGGGCCAGGAGACGCGCAGCGGCTTCCGATGGATGGCGTAGTCATTGTATTCGGCTGCCACGAGCATGTTGGTTAAGATGCTATTGCTGAGAAAATATATGATGGAGAGTAAGAGCTGCGGGGTGTTGCTAAGCAGCACGGCTTGCATGACACTCTGGGCGGCCTGGCCGATCATGGCGACAGAGCTGGGTTTTCCAAAACCGACTTCCCAGGAGGTTTTCAGGGTGACTTCGTTATGATAGCGTGTGCCGCTTCCGATATAGAAGAGAATGGTAGAAGCAGTAAAGGAAGAAATAATACTAACATCGTTCAGAACGGAGGGTTGCAATGGGATAAGATGACTTACATGAAGAGGAGGATCGTCCAGTGTTCCGGACTAGCTGCCTGGTACCATCTCTTTCGCCGCGATGGAATTGGGCGAGATGAAGAGTCTGTTGCAATGAGGAATGAGGAACGTGTGCGTCCATGGCTGCACAGGTTTCGGGAAACCCAGGAGGTCACTCTACGGCCCATGGACATGTGTTCCTGTGAGCAACGATCAACATCGACCTGGGACTGAACATAGAGCAGATGTCTGGTGGCTGGGTCGGGTTCAGCGAGGAAAGACGCTATCGCATCGCCAACAGTCAAGAATATCTCTTTTCTCTTCGTGTTGACTGCCAGGCAAATAAATACCAGCTTGATCACGTTGCACATGATGACGACTAGACCGATTGGCAGGCTGAACAGCAGCTGGCACCGTTCATCGACCTCCTTGCTCATGCAATGGGAAATGGGGATGTTGATAACAGGGGCTGGTCCCACTCCAGCAATGTACCTTGTGTAGTTCTCCCACCGGTACGAAACCTGAGACGCCCATGAGCCATTCCTCCAGTGCGCAGGAGTGGACAGGTACGCGTCCAACTGCTCTTGATTGGGATTCTGTAGGGCAACATAGTAGCAGAGTGTTTTCAGATCGTTGCCTAACGACGTCTCCATGGGGTCCAGGTTCTTGTCATAGACAGCCCCTAACTCGTTATACTGACATGAGAATATTCTCATTGTCCCATCCCAGGCGGGTGCATCAAAGATCCAGTTTCGATATTCCCAATGCTGAGCGAAAACAGTCCATTGGCTTTGATCGATCAGCCCCATCACACCGTCTTTTGTGCAGGAAGGTGGATGTTCGGAGCACATCCACGAGTATCGGTAGGAATTGTAGGCGTAATAGCTCTGGCTGGAGTCTTCATAGTACGACCGTAGACTGGAGAAATTACGGAAATACTTGCGGTCGGCGACCAACACGAGGGTTTTTCGATGGGTGTTGTACTCGACTGCGTATGCGTCCACGCAATCCTGCAGGGTCAGGTTTCTCAAGGTACCGTTGAATATCTCCATTTGCAACTCCTGTGCCCTGTAGCCCAGAGCATCGCCAATTAGACCTGCGGTTCTATTGTCGGCATATATGGGCTCGTTGATTCCTAGGTCGTCGGGAATGAAAACGATTCCATACAGGTTTGTGGCCATGGATGAGAAGACAACCGAGTTATACCTATTCATCGTTATTTCCCATCGGACACCAGGATAACTAAGACATGAGTGACTAACATCAAATGAATTGGTATCGAGGTCAACAGAAGGACCAACCAGATCACCTTGCGTCGGATATCCATGGCGGCGACGTTCCGGTAGCTGAAAGTCCCAACGTCCAGCCACTCCCCCTTCGCATGGGCCTTGTCAATATCCTCGCGTGATGGCGCACTCAAACACTGCATGGTGTAACTACTGGTTGCCAGCAGAGCGGTGCTGAGGATATTGATCAGCGCATGCAGTCCTGTAGCCCAGCCTCCTGATACCGAACACCTCCCGTCGTAAATCGCCGTAGACATCGTGGATTTATCGTTGGAGGATCTGGAACCCGAGTAGCCCATGACGACTGCAACGATGAACAGAATCACGTTTATGATGAGGACTAGACCGACCCATCGTGTGGAGAAGACTACGCCTTTGACCCATTCTTCTCCTTCTGGGAAATGCATCCGCTTCATCCATGGCAATGGGGTTGATGGACGGGTTCGATTCTGAAACCAGCAGAATCGACGGTCTCTCTGAAGAGGCGCTTTCTCCAAAGCGTCAGATGTCACTTCTGTATCGCTTGAGTCCGTTGACGGCTCAGTGAGTGTTCTCTGCTGCATCTTCGGACATTGCAATTGCTTGTTGTCCGCCGCGTCCTGAGGCAGCATGTTATCTGTAAAAGGTTCAATCGCCATTACTGATCATTTGTCTGCGATTAATTGTGATCAGAACTCAAAGGTGAGAGACGACAAGCACGATGGTTCCTGTCTTTCCAGATCCTCCTTAGCGCGAGTTGCCTTGCTGATCCAAAGTCCGACTCCGTTCCATCACAGCCTGACAGAAACCCGTTCACGTTCCCACAGTTACGATAACAAGGTCTAACTATGGAGTATATAATGCTGTGTCAGAACATATAGTTTTGGGAACGTCCATGGAGTGGATATGCCAGACGAATAGGGGAGTGGGAGCCTTCACATCGTCGCCAATAACACGATGGAATCGGCCCCACGAAGCCAGCCATCAATACGAAGATAAAAACTCTCTTTGACCTCTTTGGCCCCCTTTGCGTGCTTTGATCCAGTTGGGTTACCTTTTCTTGCTGAGCCGTGAATCAGTTTGGATATTTTGATCTGTTGACGATTAGCAGACTATATAGTATAGTAATGTGCATTGAAAGTATACTAAATATTATTATTCTCATTGCCTCCGCTTATTGGTTTGCATATCAGTTCAATTACTACCCCTTTATCGGAAACTTTTATGAATATACATCTACCTCTTTAATACCGTTTCAATCTATTCTAGCATCCCAATCTCACCACTTGAACCCTTATATACTCAATCCCTTCTAGTTTCAGGACATGCATGCTTAAACTAGTTGGCATATCGACTCCAAGACCGAAGTCTCTTCCCATACTATAAAACATTAGCCCAGCTCCTCAACCTGCAGATGAAACAACCTGCCCTTTCCAAGATAAACGGCAATGGGACCATTGCAATAGAAAGAAACCCCAGCGTACTCGACGCCCATCCAATTCCAAGAGATTGCAGCATCCTCGGCGCCGCCAAAGGAAGTGCGCCTCCAAACGAACTCCGAAAGAACGTGTTTCCAGCAAACGCGCTAGCCACATACCTGGGGTACGATTCTCCCACGTAATTGAGAATGGACTGAAAAGTGAGATAAAACCCCGGCGCGAAGAGTGCAGTGGCGATGATGGGAACAATCCAGTGTACACTGTCTTTATATAAGCTTCTGTACCAACCATTTTCATGCAATACCTGGAGGGAAAACGTGCCTTTCGCGGGATGTCCATGCGAACATAAATAAGCAGATCGGGATGCAGATGGCGCCGATTTGGCCCGGAATGAGTCGTGCTTCTGGCTCGACGATGGCGTCTGCTGTGAGTTTTCGGGGTTGGTAGGAGAATTTTAGCCAGAGAATGTAGGCAATGACAGATATGACTGCGCCGACCATGATGCCGAAGAATGCGACTTGAGGAGGGTTAAAATCGTGCGGACGTACGTAAATAGCTGGGCATGACATACGTGCTTGGTGAATTTCAGAGAAATGGTAGGTCCCATCGAAAACTATGCAGCTTGTTAGATAGGACATATTGGAATTCGATTGTAGAATACTTACCAAAGGGAAAGAACTCGAACCACAGATATAAAACTCCGTAGATCAGCATCGTGTGGAGATTAACAAAAAGAATAACCGGATCCGTACATGCCAATGTGAGATCAGCCAGGGTCCCTTTGATAAGCTCAACGACAAAGTGGGAGTCTGACGAATCGATTTCAGCTTGGATTCGGTACGCTGGGTCTCCAGTCTGCGCTCGAAGTCGTTGCGCGCGACGAAGAAGAATGTTTGATGCCAGAGTCTCGGGCAGGGTAAAGAAGATCAATACTGTTGTGAAGGCAGTAATCCCAGCCAGAAGCCAGAGGGTAGCCGACCATATATGCCATCGACCGCTACGATTTGGTTAGTGACTAGCTGCTTGGGGATGCTAAATGGGACTATACAAACATCACCAATGTCCCAAGGATCTGAATGAGAAATGTATTAGCCCTGACAATCCAAATCCACCTAATATGCATGTGAAACTACTTACCGGTCCCAGAACTGGCCCACAAATCCCGCTGACGGCGTACAGAGCAATAGCGTAGGGAACTTCTGCTGGACCGTATACCTCCATGAGAGAGGCACCTCCTACGCTGATGGGAGTACTTCCAACCAAGCCACCGAAGAATCGAAGAATCAATATTGTGTGTAAGTTTTTTGCAAGAGCAGTGCCGATGTTGACCAGGCAGAAAGCCAGACATCCAAGGAGATAGACCGGCGAACGCCCAACACCAGGGAGATTAGACAGAGGAGAAAGCTAATGAATACCATCGTATTAGTTTCATTGTGATTCAGTCAAAGTTAAAGAAAAACGTACAATCAGTGGTCCAATACCATAGGCGATAACAAAGAGCGACAACCCTAAAGTTCCCTCTGCAGTAGTCGCACCAAACTTCTTTTTAATCTCCGGTATACTCGGGGTGAAGACCGCCGATGCGGCATAAAAGCTAAAGTTCAAAAACATGACATCCACCATGACCGCTGTTTTTGCTATCGTGGGCCAATTTCTCGGGATGTCAGGGTCGCCAGGTCCGACGAAATCCACCGTATCTGTCTGAGTCTGCTCCAGCGTTTTCAATGATATGGATGTATTTGAAGCTGGCATAGCTTCAACTTTTGCAAAGTCTGGCGGAGGATATGGGAAGACTCTACCGCCAGACATGTAGTTGAGCAAACGCCCGAATACGCTTTCGCGAAGTATGATATCCATTCAGCTGCTGGCACGCAGTAGCGAATCGATAATCTGACCGGGAAAATTGTATGAATAAAGAACTTGATAGTAGAGTTAGCTACATATATAGCCATATTTATAATAAATCCACGTTCTCCAGTCTCCTGTTGCCATATTGACTTCAATGCTTGCTTTATGCCCTCGGAATTCCGAGAAATTTGGCAGATCCGCCAATCAGACTACACTATTACACTATTCCATCTTTAACTACCTTAGTCTGTTCGGAATTCCGTGGCAACGGCGATAGCCAGGATTCATCATTCCATTCATTCCAACTCAGTCTTGCCCCTTATAATATCTTTCCGTACTGGCAAAATAATCTCTTTATACTAACAAACGACCCTTTCATTCTAATATCCCTATGTCTACCAAAATATCATCCTGATTCCTGGCAAATATAGAGTTCAAAACAATGGACATCCATCTCAGATCTGTCAGTTAGCACCCTACAATAACATCGCTCTGTTGGAAACAGTCGAAAATATATCTACATGACAGTATGGTTTAGATTTATAGCATATAGGATAGGATGCTGGATAATCAGATTGAACCGATGTTGGTGCGATTCTGTGACCCGGAACATCCCACTTCCGGCTGGCGCGATACCAACATTCAAGTCACTACTAACAGCAACAATCCTCTTTCTTCCACAACAAAACATGGCTTCTCGTGCTGTCACAAAGTACGAGTTTGGCGGACCGTACGTTGATGTCCACATAATTTTATCGATTGATTCTAGAATCACTGACAACACTCCAGCTTGGGTGCCGCCGCGATCACATTCGGCCTTCCTGTGCTTTTATATGTCTTTGCGTTTGCCTGCAACGATGTCTCTGGCTGTCCGGCACCACCCCTTCTGAATTTTCGCACTCTTACTTGGGAGACACTGAGGGTCGGGATCGGATGGCCTGAAGGCGGCCTGTGGCATCTCGGAAGTTGGGAGGTGACTGGCGTTGTGCTGGCCTATTATCTCCTTAGCTTGATTCTGTGGAGAGTTCTTCCTGCTCAAGAAGTCCATGGCACAAAGTTGGTACAGCATGGACGTCCGCTAAGTTATCGACTGAATGGTTCGCTTTGACCGATCCGATCCATTATTTGTTATTACTAAACTGATGTCTGTCGCAAGCATTTTCATCCACTCTGGTTCATCTGGCCATATGTGCGGTTGGGACATACTTCCAGGGTGCCAGCTTCTTCGTCTGGCGCTACATATCAGATAATTACGTGCAGATCCTGACAGCGAACATCCTAATTGCTTATGCAATCTCAATTTTCGTCTACGCCCGAAGCTTCGGTGTCAATACGGATTACCCTACTGCCGAGCTCCGCGAATTAGCCGCTGGGGGTAACACTGGGAATATCATTTATGACTTTTATATTGGTCGCGAGCTGAATCCGCGTATCACAATTCCCCTGTTCGGCGAGATTGACATCAAGACTTGGTTGGAGATGCGTCCCGGGTTAACTGGATGGATTTTGCTTGACCTTGCATTCATAGCTAAACAATATCGCACCTACGGCTATCTCACGGATAGCATCGTTTTCACAGCTGCATTGCAAACATTTTACGTTCTCGATGGCCAGTACATGGAGTCCGGCATTTTGACCATGATGGATATCACCACGGATGGCCTGGGGTTTATGCTTTCGTTTGGTGACGTTGCCTGGGTGCCTTTCTTGTACTCAACTCAGTGCCGGTACCTCTCTGTCTATCCTTCCTCCCTAGGATGGATTGGCGTAGGCTCTATAATCGCCGTGTTTACGTTGGGGCTATATATATTCCGAGCCGCCAATACGCAGAAAAACGTCTTTCGCAGACAACCTGACCACCCAAGCGTCAGGAGTCTTTCTTACATTCAGACCAAACGCGGAACCAGACTCCTCACGGCTGGATGGTGGGGTATGTCGCGTCATATCAATTATTTAGGTGACTGGCTTCAAGCTCTGCCATTCAGTCTTCCCACGGGATTCGCCGGATACGCGATTTTCCCTGCAGGAAGCGCGGCGACAACGTCTCAAGTCTTCAAAATGCTTGATGGACGAGAGGTTGTGCAGGATGAGGCCACTGGCTGGGGCGTCTTTTTTACCTATTTCTACGTGCTTTATTTTGCTATATTGCTGATGCACCGTGAACGGAGGGATGATGCCATGTGTTCGGAGAAATATGGCGAAGACTGGGAGAAATATAGGAGAATTGTGAAATGGAGAATTGTACCTTGGATTTATTAACTTGTGATGGGATACGGGATACCATTTTTGGATACCTGAGATGGGGTTCAATCAATTGATGCAGAAAAGAGAATACAATAGCTCATTCTTTCTAATTCCTAAATTCAGAGAGCCATTATTCATCAAGATGAAATGACTATTATATTCTTGAAGAGTATCTCCATGTGGAACTTCTATTACTCAAGACCACGAGTAGTAGGCTGGGATGAGCGATATACATGGCAGCCCTACTGCTCCATTTCGAAATAAATTGATACAAGAGTTTATATTCTACGTAAATTAAATATTAGTTCTGTAGCCTGTATATTCGGTTTCGTATATTCCTAGTCATAGACGCGCTGTATCCATTAATTTATCATCAACTCCCACCCTTCTCTCATCATCAAAGTATATCAAGATACAAGTCTTTACTATGCAATGTAATTCAATGCAATCAGTGCTTATTGAAAATGATGTACATTATTCCATGGAATACCCCTCATGGGTCTACCCCACGACATCTTACTTGGCATTGCAGGACACCCCGCATGGGGTTGGAGAGACGTAGCTATTTAAAAATGACATCGGCCATCTCAACACAATCACCATTCCAATTCTATCTCCAATCTGATTACAAGATCGCCTACCAATAAGACTCCTTGATCATCTACTATGTCTCTTGCAACCCTCGACGTGAGCCACCACCCTGTCCGATCTATCTATCAGCTAACCACACCAGACAACCCAACACCCCAATCTCCCTGCTTCATCGACAACACTTTTTCAAGCCAAAGCAGCGAAAAAGCTCAGCTTTGAGCAAATAGCCTCGTACATCGGGCGCAATGAAGTCGCCACCGCAGCCCTCTTCTACGGCCAAGCCAAAGCCTCCGAGGAAGACGTTACCAAACTCTCCTCCCTCCTGGATATCCCCAGGGAAGTGCTGGAGGAGCAACTCAGCGGATTCCCGGATCGTGGCCGATCCGTGGAAATGCCACCCAGGGAACCGCTGATCTATCGGTTGTATGAGATTGTGCAGAACTATGGGTATGCGTATAAGGCAGTGCTAAACGAGAAGCTGGGAGATGGGATCATGAGTGCGATTTCGTTCTCGACCAAGGTGGACAAGGAGACAGATGAGAATGGGAATACCTGGGCGGTGATTACCTTGAGAGGGAAATGGTAAGTTGCAGGTCTTTGTTGTTTTGCTTCTGTCGAGGTGCTGGTGCTGACTGGGTCTCTGTAGGTTGCCATTTTCGAGGTTCTGAGGGTGGATCTTCAAGCGTATTGCTATATGTGAAAATTAGGATATAGGGACTGTGGATAGGATAGCTTTAGTGAAATCATATATTTTTTTCTCGTGAGAAATTGGGTCTGGTGAAGAGCTTGTGACGTTGCCATTGAGCAATGATGATGGGGTCTTCCTTTTATTCACTTATTTCTCCCTCTCTTTTCTTACCTCAGTGAATTGGGTCTTCCTCCCCACCATAGACAGTATTTATTCTCTCACTGCTTACGTTTTTTCTCTTTCCATTATTCCTTCCTCACAGATCCACGACCACGCAATATGACTGCAGACACCCACAGCAGAGTCGCCTGCACCTATACCAACTGTGACCGTTTCTTCAGCTCCGTCAAGGAGATGAAAAGACACAAGGCCTCAGATCCACTGCATGAATACTGCAAGCGCTGTGACGAAGACTTCGAAGATGAGGAACGACTCCTCATCCACAAGATCAAAAGCGACAAGCACATCGTCTGTCCCATCTGTGGAGTCGAGTTTGGTAGCGAAGGTGGTCGTGACGGTCATATTCGACAGGTAAGACCCTTCAAGGCATCGACATTCTCCATTATTTGCATACACCTTGGCTACCTATTTACTTTTACTAATGCGTCTACCTGCATGGATAGAACCACCGATCGGAACAAGCCCTCGTCTGCCGTGGCTGCGGCGACCAATACAAAAGCGCCAGTGGTCTTATGCGCCACATCGAAGAGAACGAGTGTTCCGAGATCACCAGGACTCGTCTTCTACAGGAGCAGTCCAAGAAACTGATGATCAAAGAAGCGCTCCAAGGCGGCGAAGGATTGCCCATGCCTGTGATCCCCGAGCCAGCGGACGTCGACGATATCGACGGAGGCGTCAAGATAGACCTTCTCACGGCAGAAAACCAAGAAGCGATGCAGAATCAGCCCGGGATGTCAGATTCGGATGATCTGCCTGCCCAGTTCTCAGCCAATCTGGCTCTGAAGCACTGGCCTCGTCTGGGCAAGGGGTCCGCCGATCGAGACGCCCCAATGGACTTGTTGAGTTTCCCTGATCTGTCTGTTGCTTCGTCTTCCAAAGGAAATTCAGCCTGGAAAGGAAAGGGCAAGGCAGTTGTTGGATCAGTCAAGGGATCCAAATCACAGAAGGGAGGAGAAGTTCGTCCATTTGGAGCCGGGGTGCCTGATGCTGGACAGACCCTTCGTATCTTGGATGAGCGCTGGGATGCAACCAACTTCTTCAACTCGTTTAGTGGGAAATACGTTTGTCCCTGTAACGCGGCGTTCAAGCACAAGATCGACTTTGAGAAACATGTCCTGTTGAAGAGCAAAAACAACCGTGATGTGCAGTATGTGTCTACCCCAGCGGACGAGATATAGATTATTACACTAATCTATGCAATCACAGGTGTCCACGTTGTCTTCGCCATTTCAAGACCACAGCAGCACTCATTGCGCATTGCGAATCACCCAGCACCCGTTGTGACATCAATGATGGCGAGAAATATAGCCAGATTATCGATGAGCTGACCGGGGGAATGATCCAAGCGGTGGGATACAATACCGACGGCACTGTCAAGTACGAGGCTGGGAAATTGGAGTTGCCCAAGACTACCACCGTGGGTGTCAATTTGCAACAAGTGACCAGGAAGTAGTCATGCTTAGTTTATTTTTATATTGCCTCATTTCCCTTGCTTTTATCTAGTATCTTTTCAAATGTCATCTATTGGTTCTGCCCTCATATTCATGCTTTTAGACTTCTACACAAACAACAGTAATCCCAGAGGCTAAATGAAACATGCAGGGTGAAGTGCATAATATCAATGAGAATATTTACGCCCAAGGAATACTTTAAATATATGTGCAAATCATGTTCATTGAAGATAGTATAAATAGTAAAGTGAATAAATCAGACCAGCCAAACCACCCCTATCAACACCTAGTACATGCCACGATAATAAGTACTACCAAAGAACCTAGCAGCATTCTTCACAGCATGCAAAACAGAGAAGACCGGTACACCTAGTAAGCCAATTAGTTAGGCTCATACCCAGATGAACAAGGAAAGTCAAAATAAGGGAAGGAAAGGGAAAAGAGAGAAAGAGGAAAAACAAAGACATACACTCCACAGCAAACCTCACCACCTTCACCACCACCACGCAGTTTCATATTGTCCTGTGAGCTCTACATTCAGTTAGTCTTCTTGTCCAAATTCATTATTACCACGATTTAAAAGGGAGCATACAGGCTGTTCGGTGACAACTCGCTCTGCTGTCGGCGCAGCAGGACGAGAGGGTTGCTGCATAGTCAGGGTGTTTGCATCCCATGTAGCATCCTGCGTATTCTCCTGTTTAGAGGACTTGAGGAAATCGAAGAGGCCCATTTTGATATCTAGTAGTGGGGGTGAATTGATTGCGGGAGAGAGACGAAGTGAGACAAGGGAGAGAACGGCTATTTATTAACAACACGATTCCCGAACACTAGGCTGCCATATGCGATTTGTTTTAACCAGGGACGGCATGTCGGGTCGGAAATCATGATTAGACCGACAAGCTTTGTGTGAAATCCATGTGGGCCGTCGGGCGGTCCGTCGTTCACCAACCTGCCTGGCTGGGATTAGTGGTGTTGCGTAACTTTCACTCGGCTGTACGACGGCATCTTCCAAGGCACGGCGATTGGGAGTCGACGCCATGTCTCAGCTCTGTGGTGGGAAAGCCACTTTCTGCGGTCCGAGATTTCATAGTTAAGTTGGATGGGTGAGAAGGCCTTCGCCTAAGTAACGCACATGTGCCGGGGGTCTAATAGAAATCCAGATGAATTGCCCCCAGAAATCCCTCAATCCATCAACCGATGAGTATCAACAACAGGCAGCACCATTTCTCACAGCTAGGTTTTGGTCAAGCTTTTCTGACCCAATCAGCGGACCACTAGTCCGAGCTGGTCCCTTAACAGTGGGTCTAGACCATTGCTTAGCCAACGCAAGAACAGGCCTAAAATTGGCAACACTGGTTTCCGGCCCATGTGGTACTAGTACCATCCTCGAAACCCAGGATCTCGTTTCGAAGTCCGTGCCACCAAAACGTATCATCGTCCACCGGGTCCTCCAAGTCAATGTTTTAAAGTCTTAGGATCTGAGGAGCAGAGTACTACACAAGTAAAGCAATGAGGTTAACAAGTTTCGGGTAAGAGTCCCTTACCTCACTAGCCATGATCGGACAGTTCGTGATGTAATTTTGCTAGACGTGTTGAAAGAGAAGGATATAAAATGAAGCGAAGGATAGAATTCCTCGTCTTCTGCTGTATGAGAGTTAAAATTAGAAATAAAAAGTATGTTTGAATACGCATGTTGTAGAGCAGAACGAGTCAGGCGCGATGGTAGCGTTGAGAAACGCGAGAATTCGAGCGATAGACGACACGCTCGACCTTGGATGTCGACATGGTGGCGGCTTCAAGTCTTATCATTGATGTTGACGTGAGGATTGATAGTTTGGTCTTGCAACAACGAAACCCACAGTCTTGTGTGCCGATTTAATACACAGGGCCTAGTGTTCTCTGAGGAGGCAAAAGAAGACGCCAAATTCGAATAACAGTCTAGTGTTGAGTTGAGATGGCCCAGTACGATTGGCAAACTGGAATTCAATCACAAATGCAGACTCCCCCGGCCTCTCCCGGGCCGGAAAGACCCTTCCTCGAATCATCACCCTAGGCGGAGACCACACCATCACTCTACCTCTCCTGCGGAGTATCAACAAGGCGTATGGGCCTGTAACGGTGATCCATTTCGATAGCCATTACATACTTCTACCATGCGGCGATGGAGGGTCTCCTCAAGAATGATACAAACATCCACGCGGGTATCCGTACGACGTTATCTGGCCCTTCAGATTACGATAATGATGGGTATTGTGGATTTCAGATCGTAGAGGCCAGAGAGGTTGATACAGTTGGTATGTGTCAATATTAAGCATACAACAACAGATCCCCCCCGGCCAAAAAAAGGACAATGAAGAGAGAGAACTAATCAAACCAAGGGACCGATGGTATAATCCAGAAAATCCGCGAAAGAGTCGGTACCGACAATCCTGTCTACTTATCCATTGACATTGATACTCTCGATCCCGCATGTAAGTTCTTTTTTGCCCTTTCTCCACATCTAACTGTGGGACAGTCTGACGGCAATATAATATGTGATAGTCGCCCCTGCAACTGGAACTCCCGAAACAGGCGGCTGGTCGACGCGCGAACTCCACACGATCATTCGCGGCTTGGACGGGCTGAATCTCATTGGGGCGGATATCGTGGAGGTTGCCCCTGCGTATGATACCAATGCCGAGCTGTCGACCATGTAAGCTTCGTTATACTGGGTTGGTTTAAAGCTTATGCTGATGTGTTGAGTAGGGCTGCCGCAGATGTTCTCTATGAGATTTTGACGATCATGGTGAAGAACGGGCCGTTGTCAGTTTCCAATTCACATGCACATGAATTGTGAATTTATTTTTAATATCTAGCAAACATATATTGTGACAGATCCTAGTAGGCAGGTTAGCGTCCTAGGGCTCAATTATAAGCGGATATTAAGTAAAAGCATAATCGACAATCAAATTATCCTACGCACATCGGTAGTACAACAAAAACAAACATGCAAATACCACAAATTTCTTTGTTTATCAAATCCAGTCCAATCCAAAGCTCTATTCCCGCTGTAACTCACTTTTGAACCGTTTAGCAATGCAGGTTAACAAGGCAGGAACCTGAAAACTGAATGCTGTGTGTACCCACAAGGTCTCATAATACATCCTAGACGTAGCACCCCTACCCACAACGCTGAAAGCCACAACGCTGAAAGCGCGTTGTGGGCAGGTGTGGTACGGCTACGTTCTATATAGAAAAAGCGGAGCGGGTTGGCCTGGCCTAATTGGGCACTGCTACATGACACGAAGATAGAAGGATCGGGGACTGTCTACAGAATTGTCTACTATCGTTTCTCAGGACATCTATTGCAGACTTGCGACTATATAATCGTCACCTTCTTTGGACAGTCCAAATTCAGTCTCAATAGCCTCATCGATAAATGTGTTGCGACATAGGCACTCAAGGTTGGATTGATGTCTCTGGCAGATTCTGGGTCCAGATTTGCTGGAGGGTCCATAGAGCTTCACGAAATGTTTATTTCACCCTTGCGCCTGGCTTCAAGTTACGCCAGAGCTCATTCCATTACCTACAGCATCAGGACGTGGCATCCACGTATGCGGTAGTTGGTGACCAGAAAATAACAGTCAGCTGTTTCCCAGAAGATCTCGTGTGTACTGGAATATTTGGGCGAGCTGCTCTGTGACCTCGGCCCATTTTTGACCTCTCCTAGTTCAGATTTCAGCTCCTCGAGTATAGGACTGGACGTTTGGTTGGCTGGAACAGACTCTCGAACGAACAAGGCATAAACAGAGTGAGATCCCAGGTATATGTTGATGGAAACTTTAATCCGCAATAGCTCTGGAATTCGTGGACTGTGGATTGATCTAGCTGATATTTGCCCTCTCCGGACGAGCGTTGGTTTTCCTGGTTCAGAAAATGGATGAGGGATTGCAGGGCATTTTGGTTGAGAATCTTCCATTTGCACCTCCGGTCCAGCTGGTTCCGCGCATCGATCATCCCTTTGTCAATCATCAGTAAGCCAGGCAGAGACAGCACGGCAAAATCAAGAGCCCTGGCCCTTACGTCGGGAAATGAATGGCATGCGGTATCAAGGGTATCTAGGTCAGTGTCCTGTAGGGAGAGCCCAAGTATTCTCGAGTCAAATGCACTCATTTCATACTCTTCCTGTATTTTAAGCTTTGATATTTTGACCGTGTCTTCCATTGAATACGGCATCTCTCTGCTCTTGTCCTATGGCAAAAGTGCCACTATAGATGGTCTATATGACAGCGCATACAGAAACAAGCGAATATTATGTATTTCTGCTATGGTTTGGTTCGGCCCGAAGTATAACAGGATAATCCTACTAATTAAAAAGACAAAGTCCTGACCAATCCGGTAATTTTTATCTAGTAGACTTACTGTCACGGTTCCATATCTCCCCCTAGACATGATGATGTGGGTATATTGTTCCGTTAAGTGGATTCTGCCGTCGACTGGCACAATTTATTGGCAGCGTACTTGTATTGCCCGGTTATCGGCTTTAACAAGTATCTCAGAACTATCTCCAATCTTACGGAACGTGGGGCTGAGCATCTGACACGTTACGATCCGAATCTTGAATAACTTCATTTGACCATATAAGGCCTTCGGGAAACTTCAAGGTTTGCCTTTGGACCCAGTCCGGTACCCAAGAAGGGACAAGTAAATGCCTTTTTGCTGTACCGCAACGCTAAAAGTTCTCATTTTCTTGGCACACGTGTAGTAGATGTGCAGCAATACCAGTGTAAACGGTCTGCACGGAAAGCATACAGTTCTGACAGAGCTTGTCGTAGACTAAACTCAGTACTCCGAATATCTTGTCACGGGGGTCCAGAAAATCATATCTGGATGATTGGAGCAGGACGTCAAAAAGCTTCCGTGGTGCAAGATCTTTTGAGTCATGATCCATTAACGGTGCTGGAATAGGGCCCCGAGGCAAGGCCTGAATTGCCAAAAACAAATTCAATTTGTCGGGCAAGTGAAAGCCCTTGATAGACCCAACTCTAGAGAAATAACGTCTATGGAAGAAGGACGTCCACGCTCTTCGTGAGTCTTAGTAACCGCTCGTTTGGTTTAATTAACTCAACAGCTTGCGGCACCATATCGGTTTCTGTCCAAGGTACTCCTACATATGCTATCAAGGCTGACGCAGACAGTATAATCTCGCATATCGGACCGACTTGGTGACTTTTTCATTTTCACTGCCATGGCCAATGCAAAGGCAGTGTATTAAAACAAGCCGGTCAGCGTCAACAAGTCTGATCTTTGGCAGTGCCGCCTCACAATTCCTTTGAACATAGGTGACATCCCATAATTTACCAACAAAAATCGGTTCCAGTGGTAACCGGTCACCGGCTTCGCCCACACCTGTATATGATAGTCTGTCATATTTTCGAACGGGAGAGGTCCTCAGGCGCGTCATTTTTAGGTGAAGATGAATCGGTACGTTGTGATCGTTGCTCTATATCAAATGCACTATTCGGATCTCGTCTTCTAACAAAACCTCCGGAAGAGTGGGCGTCTCTTCGAGACTAGGATGCTCATGTGGATTAGGGGCTTTGCTGCGAGACGATGGAGTCCCGATCTGTTGTGGGTCTTCTCCTGAGAGTTTGCCTTGGGTATAGTTTACAGTCTGTGGCCATTCGAGAGACTGAATTTTGGCATCGTCTCCAGGGATTGGAATGGACAATAGGTTTTGGACGACAGTTTCCGCTCTCGAGTGATGCCAAAGCAAGGCAATCAGGCCCACATCTGGCCGTCAGCAACTAGGATCATGCCAACGTTGCATTATGCTACGACAAATACAGACTAAAATCATCTTCGAGCGTTGTGATAAGGACAAAGCGACACGTTCATCTCCCCGCACGCGCCAACAAAGTGCGGCGGCGGGGAAGTCAGATCAGTGGAAGAAACATCGAAAAGGAAAAGCGGCAGGATGAGGCAAATAAGAGCACAAGATGCTGTCCGAAATACGCACTTTATAATGATCTCCCCTCGCCAAGCGGCCAGTATAATTCTCCCAAATATTGGTATACCATGCCAATCATGTATCCCAATACGGTATAGTGTCTATACAAAATCACCTGACTGCCATCCTGGCCTGTCGAACCCGCCGTAAATTTTCATCTACAGTCCGATCGAATTCATACAACAGCACAATAATATTAAATAAATAAATCTTCTATCCTCCCTAAATCCTCTGATCCTTCCTTCTTTCGGAACCATCATGTCCCAACCAAACAAAGACCTCCAAGCCCGCCGCGAAGCCGACTACGAGCGCTTCAAACACTACGCGGCGATGACATTTCTCGTCGCCTCGCCCGTCCTGATTGCCCTTCCACCACGAAAACTCGACCCCCTGACTGTCCTCCTCTCTACCGCTTGGTGCGTCTCCGCTAACCATGTGACGCGCGAACGTACGGGCCGGAGTATCGTGGAGCGCATTGAATCGCGGATCGCTTCCACGTCGTCCGTGGCAGGGGAGCTGCCAAGTGACCGGGCGCAGGAGATTCAGGCAACGCTGCGAGCAGCGCGGGATGCGCGGGTCCACGAGGGGAGTCTCGTGGGTGAAGAGTTGGAGAAGTTGAAGGCGAGACAGAGGCAGGAGAAAAGCATTTTGGAGCAGGTGTGGATGGGGAAGGAGACGGAGGGGTGGAAGGAGAGGAGACTGCGGGAGGAGCAGCAGGCATTGGATGAGGGGAAAGGGTATGGTGATTTGATTAAGGAGCATATCTGGGATGTGTGGACTTGGGGACAGAAGGATCAGGGTCAAGATCAGGGCCAGGATAAGAGCAGTGGGAAGGAGGACTGAAGGAGAACTGATGACTTCGTGGGGTCAGTTGGATGTGTATAGTATGTATGTTCATCATGTTGGCATTGTATATTATGAAGTTCATGTATATAGATAGGAATCAAGACCGAGCTGCGAATCCGCAACAAATTTCCGTCCAAGAGACGTATCACTTGGATCTTTCCCAGCTCATTGGTACCAGTCCAAGAAATTAGTATCTGCCAGCAGACTCGCCGCAGCCCCAATGCTGGGTGGGCTTTTGGGTAGAATATGATTAGTATCCACGAGGACAGAACCGAGGATCTCCAAAATAGTAATGGATGCAAGTAGAGCCTCCAAGATTCTTGTCGATGTTTTGAATCTAGTGAAGACGGTTATAAGAGTGATGTTTCTGGGTAATAAAGCCATCGAGCGAAGCTCCAACAGCCAGCCCATCTGCACAATCCCTTCCGGCCAGTATCTATTGCCCTGGCCCAGGATCAGAATAAGTCCCACCAGCGGCACGGGTTTAATATTCTTGGGATTAATATTCTCCTGGTACTTGACTTTTTCGAAAGTGGCGCTCAGTGAAACAAATTATTGAAAGGATTAGGTATCAAACCTCATTATGATGGCATTGGAATGGTTATCTGTCGACCAATACGGGTCAATATTACTGTTAGGAGATGAGATGAGATGTAAATATTCATTACCCGTCCCAGCCAATCTTTAATCTATGGCTATGCGGGAACCGCCCCGCCGCTATTGAGCAGCCCGGGCAATTATTGAGGCTTATTTGCATCTGTGGTTTTATAACAGGTCCATTACCTACTGCGCCCCCGGTATTCTGGAAAGACCACTAACATGAGTTCCCAGCACTTGCTAGTCTTGCACAGGATATTCTCTCAATTCCTGCCATTGGTGCTGGTGTTGAGAGGCTCGTTGATTCAGCGTGTGATGCTGTCATTACCGCCGCGGCTCCCTGAATCCTCGACTATTCAGGAACTTATGATGTTTATGTGCACAACTAAGTTTGATGTAGAAGAGGCACAGCTTGCATATTTACAGGAGTTTCTTACACGGCAAGAGCGGCACAGCAGATACGGGATAATATTGATCCAATTAGTGATAATGAGGAAGATAGCTCACCTGTTAATGTACAGCTTGTAGCACTAAGCAAGCGTGCATTAGGGAAACGGCGTAAAATCTGTGATTCTGAGCCAGAAGGTGAGGTAGATCATGAACTTGATGATGATAGTGATCACCCTTTGCCTGCAATGTCACAGGGAGAGAGTACGCAACTATGGGGCTCAGGGAGGAACCGTAAGAGGTCTCGCAGCGAGGATATGGCTTTGGGTACTATTAGTTATGTAAATAGAGCAATGTCAAGCAAAACATTATTTCCAGGTCTACATGCTGTAAGGAAAATACTGTAAATTACTAAATATTAGTAGTAAAATTGTAAGTTATGCAGGTCACGGGTGTTTCTATTTCGATTAGGGTTTGGGTCAAATGGGTACCCACTAGGTACCCATTATCGGCGTCTGCTTCGGAATACTCACCCATGAGTATCCAAAGACTACCCATTACCGGGCGGGTATGGGCCTGCCGAAGTCTACGACTTGACGAGAGAGAAGGGTGGATACGGATAGACGTGAAAGGCGAGGCAAGAGAAACAAGTAACCAAAAACAACAGAAGTTTAAACCAGTTAGCTAGTTGAGACCGTTCTGAGTCTAACTGACCTCGGACAAAAGGGGAAGGGAATCTAGTTGCACCTGATTCCATGTGCAGGCTCACATGCATTAACCAAAATGTGGAAGGTTCTGCAGTTAGGTCGACGGGAAATTTGGCTAGGACAAGTAGGGAGGATAGGAACTTAAAATTTTGGATAATATTAAGACACGTATCAGTGTGATTACTTCACGGATGAAATTCACGCCATCAGGGGAAAATGTTACCTTAATATGGAATCACATCTGGGTAATCCAAAGAACTGCACCAGCAACACTTGTTTCTATTCCAAGACAGACATACATCCATGTCAAATTTGGATCCACGGTCATAGGCGAAAACCCTACCGTGATCAAGGCACCTCCTGACACAGTTGAAAGATATACGGCCATAATTAATGATTTCATAGACTTGCGTGCTTTCTTGTACGCATACTCCACACCTGCTACCGATGCAAGGACTTCAGAAACAGCAAGTAATGCATGTGCAGGAACCTGAAGAAAGGTAGAGACTTGGTTAGGGCGTTTCCCATCCATGCAGTTCAGTGCTCGCGGGTGATCAAAGCAAGGAGGTGCAGCGTAAATAGCATTTTGAACGTAGGCGCCATATAGCATAGAAATCCCACAAATAAGGAACCCCACCGTCATTCTGCTCACATGGCTTATAGACGCTCCAAGGCACCGAAAGAAAGGGAAAATGACACGATCAAGTATCGGCAAAAGCATGAGGTTCGTCACAGGATTAATGGCTGTTAATATGTCATTCGAAATTCCGTGCGTTTCCATCGTAGCAGCTTGCGAGATAAAATTTGTTAGAAGCTGAGAATAAGCAGCCCAATAGAAATGATACAAGAATGGAACTATTCCCCATGCTAGAGGCAGAACTGATTGTCGCCATCCATAGCTGCTGCAATAAGAATTGTAACGTTCCAACGAGTCTTCCAAAAGGTTCCATCCAGGGCAATAAATGGCCTACACCAACGAAAGGCTTCTTGAGTAGGCCCTGGTGCAATAAACAGGAGACAAAAGGTTTCATTTTGCATCTCCAGTCGCCAGTAAGCTTGAGGGTCCACCTGTGAAAGATGATTAAGAAAAGAAGGTATTTTCTTAAATGATTCTCCCTCATCACCAAAAACCTGATTTTCAATCTTCTTTAGGGCACGCCAGGATTGTTTGTAGCTGATTTTATTACCATCCTGAAGCTCAGCATTGCGGATTTGACTTGGCTTTATCATATTGTATTTTTAGTTTTCGGAAAAGTCCTGATCCACTTTATCAACTCCTCCAACTCCTGAGTACCCTGGTGAATGTTTCTCGGATACAGATGGAAAAAGTGGCCGAAAAGCTAGGATAATTCGTCCTTGGAATTGATGTACAGGGTGGAAGTATGATTGATCCTGTCCCAAGCTTTGCGGCGTTGCCTAGCGCTGCAGGAAAGGAAGTATGATTGACCGTTGATAGATATAATAGGGTAAGGAAAGGGAACATTTTTGGAAAGCTCGACTGCTTAGTTAGTGCCTAGTAAAATTATAGATAGCCTTAGGAACCCAAGCCGTCCTAACCTTGCATTTCCTGTCTGCAATCGATAAGTGTAGGAGTAGCCCCTAATCGGTCTCTCAATCTGATCCGGGGTATTCACCTACGTCCATCTTCACAGAGTTCAGTCGAGCACGAAGATTAGGTGATTTGAATTGCGTTTCCCCTCAGAGGGGATTTGAATAAACTGCTATAAGAGCACAGTGACCAGGGCTGTCCATTTCCTCATAGAGAAAGAGGGCTCCACAATATGGGTTAGCTTGTAGTATTATCTCATCCAACTGAACGGGAATCTCGTCGATTCTGGAGATAAGACAACTGAGATGGAGAAAGGTCACTCAAGGTTAAAAGGCCCTTATTCGTTCTATCCATCTACTTGGAATGATAAGAAGTGGAAAAGTACCTCCTTATCCATTTGCCTTAGCATTTAATGTCCCTACTTTATAAGCCTTATCATGGCTACTTTGTTGGTCTCTTGTCTGCGATGTACTTCTTAGTACGCAAACTAGCATTGCAGAATTAGCATTGGTATCGAGTTTTTCTCTATACGGCCTTAATGATAAATCTTGCTGGCGCTTTTACAAGACGTATTATCCTAAAGTCTCTGTCTCTTTTTCCGGTAGGAGGATTTTACCCAGGACAGGAGTCAGCAGACACTTCATCAATAAAATTCACTGCACTAAAATGGTACCGACCTGGTTAGGCTAGGTAAATCTTCTGACATTCTGACATTTTTGTGTTTGAACGAGGGCATGCTGTTGCTCTGCAATATGTAAGAGACAAAAAAGACAACGCACGAAACCAGCTCAGTAATGCAATGCTAAATGATAAAGGATGCACCTGAAACTGGACTAGGTTCTTTTGTAGATGGCCCTAGTTTCATGTTGGATCCATATATTTCCTCTGGATAATGTACTCTAACGCGGATGCGAAAGTGTCAATGGATCCGCGAAGTGGTCGCCTGCCAGGCTCATTCAGGAATCTGGCATTACATCTCGCACTCCTGTCCAGACCTAGACTATTGGATATCAAGCCCGACCAAGCGCCAATTGGTATTTTGATTTTGATACAGTGTGAAATGCTATTGGTGGTAAGTCTGCTGGGGGTGTCAGATACACCTTTACGTTAACAAGGTTGTCTACATCCCGTATCGGAAGATTGAGAGTCTCCGTTGTAGGAGGGGACCGTTGATTCTAATTAACGTATATTAGTTATAGCACATCAGGAGAAACCGGTACATGCTTACATTCGCTGCCAGTGTCCTTCCAGCCATATAAAGTCGTTGATATTTGAGCCTTATGCGGCCTAACAGGACCACTTCTCTTGTTGCGGTTCTAAAACATGTATAGTGTAGTATTTGTTTCGGGGCCTGTGAGGTATCAAAATTGACAAATTATATACCTGTTGATCATGGTGCCCAATAAATCAGTAGGAAAAAGATTACCAGTAATGAAGATCGTCGAAGAGAACTCTAACCACTTATCTCTAGTATGACTTGGAGAAAAAGATGTTCGGCGGATGTTGGATGGGACAATAAATAGTGTAGAATATTTGCTAAAGTGGCTCTTTCCATGATATTAATTGAGTTACGATGGTGTTAGGTAATAAAAAAATTTATTAATAGAATGATGAAGGGGAATAAATAATGATATGATGATGAATAATGGGAAGCTGTAGATGAATATTGGAAGTCACGAGGATCGAGAAAGGCAGGCGTCTGTCGGCGTACTAACAGAACTATAAGACGATACTAATGAGTTGCTCCTGATATAAATACCTCATGAGAACCAAGTCTGTATTTCGTTTAGTTCGATTTGAAGTGAATCAGGGAGGTGACTGGATCTTATGAATATAGCTATTACCTACCTGAAGAGTGATACGAATACAATTACGCTTGTTGCTATAATGCCGTCTACATTTCAACGATGTGAGAGGCGAAAGACACTTCATTCATAGCACATGATGAATCAAACTAGTCGATGCAACTAATTCTGGGTATCATTCAAACACAAAAATGCGGTCCCCCCATTCGGGCTAAATGAAGATGATCAAGGGAAACTTCCTGGCCACATCCTTTTGTCTTATGTGTGCGAGGTAAAAACCTTAATCAGGACGGCAGAATACAGGAAATTTCAAGTAGTCCCTTTTTGGACGACAATATTTTGAGTGGCTCTTTTCGTCCGACTCTTTTTCTCAAACCTCAGTTTTCTTTGTTCCCGATATACCTACCAAGCGACCGTAGGCATTTCCAAGTTCAATCCCTCCACGAGATATCCTGAGCCCGGAGGCTTTACCAAATTTCTTTCCTCCACTGCATACCCTGAGCCCGAAGGCTGAACAGCATATCTGATGAAGCTGTTTAATGAGGAGCATCGGCCATGATAACGTCATGGTCGGCATCCAACGCCGGGTGTTTGGCCCGTTTCTGGGAAAGTGATCTTGCGAGTGCCTCGATAATCGAGATCATTGGATGTTCACTAGGGGGATATGCATCACGCATTTCCACCTCAGGGACGGGAGATGATTCGATGGTAGCGTCTGCAGAAACGTCTGTCTTGTCAGTACCGTCATTGCGGGGCCCAGTTGGAGCATATGTCTCTCGTCGGTCGATAGGAATGTCCACAGGTCTCTTGGCCTAAGAAATCGTTAGCACGTAGACATGCTAGGAGAGAAAGAGGAACCCACGATATTTGTTGTGGGGTCGTTTCGCCGGATGAAGTGGGATGGTTCACGAGGGCGTTTATTCACTCCTCGTGACATTGGTGGTTGCGATGGCAGACGAGGCTGCCTTTCGGTCTAGACAGAATGTTAACTGTGTCTCTACTAGTTATAGTGAGGGGTTATTTGTATACTTACTTGTTTGCGGCCGGAGCCACCAGTGCAGGATTTCACACCCTGAGGTTTCATAGTGGACGTTTTTCGAGAGAGTTTGTGGACACCGTTGCCCGAGATGGAGTTTCTCGGGCTGATTTTTTTGAACGAAGGCATGCTCTTCCTTCGAAGGAGAAAGAGGGGCAGAGAGAGATGCTTGTTTGAATGGGAAGGTTGAAATATGATATGTTTGGTTTTGAGGTTTGTATGCAATGGTTTTGTTTGGTTTTTAAAAATGCAGTTTGGCCCCTTTTTGAGACCAGGGAGAAAGAGAAAAAGAGAATTGACGGATGTTGAGGGCTATTTCATAGGTCACTCTGAACCTCAACGACATAATGACCGAACGTGTCAAAATGATCTGTTATCGAGTATTGATTTCGTAGTATATGTCAGGCGAGAGGAGTGTATAATTCAAGGCATATTGAGCCCGCAGTCTCTGTTGGGCCGGAACCACTGTTCCTGGTCCACGGACGTTTGACTTTAAATTGACTGCGGCGGATCAACGCATTACATGTGTGACCGTTATTGTGCATGTGTGACTCCCTCGGAAAGCCATATTTTCTATAGAGGGCATATCAAGACGGTCATCCGAATGGTCACAGGGCTTTCCTGCCATACTTGATGTAAAAGTTATCCTCTCACTCCAGCTCGTCCTCTTTGCCCTTCTCTTTCCTCCAGACATCGGACTTCCGGATATATATATACATATATCAAAAAGGTGTATTATAGCCTAGAGTTGCATCCCAAACTCCTCCCTTTGAAATGCAAACCTTGGCTTTCTTCCGTGGCTTTGAGGGACTTCCTGGAGAAGCGTTCCATTTGACAGAAGATGTCAAAACGGCGTATTTTCACCTAAGACTGCATTCCAAACACCCCATGCGAAATGTCAACTTTAGCTTTCTTGCGCGGTTTTGACACATTTCCGGGAGAAGTGCTTCCATTTGACGTGAGACTGCCCCGTTTCCTCTTCTCTGGCTTGGAATGTCGCTTTTTGCGCTGCTCTTCTTTGAGCTTCAAACGGCGCTGGACCTCTGCAGAGATGTCTTCAGTTTCCATTGAAACTGGCGTTACATTTCTCACATCCTCATCACCTCCCGGTAGTGAAACGTCAAGCCTTTTCTGTTTATGAGCACGTAGCATTTCAGCGGATGACATGTCATCATCGTAGCGGGATGCCGCTTCGTTTGATTCTACTAACACTCGTTTCCTCCGTTTCGGCCGGACCGGTGCAGGGGCCTCACCCATTCGGCATGATGATGTCGCCGTTGCCGATGGGGAATCGGAAGAGTTAGTAGGGGATAGATCGGGCGCCGTCCCAAACGCACCACTACTTCCTATTCCAGCATTAGCCCCGTCTAGGTACTAAGGTCTCCGTTCCCCTGCCTTTTTCTCTCTCTCTTGGCGCGTATTGAAAGAGACAGGGTGCCTTAAACTTACTTGATCTTTGCTAATGAAAACGAACAGATCAGCACATTAAACAACACACACCACCGTTAAATATTAACAGATCAACTTACCATCTGAGTCTTCAGAACCTTAAATTGAGTGATCATTTTATTTGTTTTCTCAACCATCGTAGAAATCATCCGAAAGGTCTCCCCCTCCCTCGCGAGATTACTCTTTACCGTAGACAACATTTCCAAGTGCGATGTAAGAACGGAATCATGTCGCGAGCAAAGCTATTGGCAACAAGGCCAATTAGCAATCGATTCGGTAGTGTAGTATACCTCTACATCGCCTGACTCGTGTAGCTACCAAACTCACCTCGGGCCATGAATACTGCGTCCCACCTGCAGTATCCATAGGATTCGTATTACGCTCGTTTCCCTCATCATCTTCCACGGTCGCATTCAGCGACGGCCGGACACCGGTGGGGAGCATTGCGAGAAGAGTTGTTGTAGTAGAACTTGCGGTTGGAATTAGGACGGGAAGCTCTGTGATCGGCGGACACGTCAAGTGCCACCATGCCAAGAAAAGCTAATGAACGCCTTGGCCAACAATATTCAGGAGGCTTTTTCTGAGTAGCGCCACTGCATACATAATACAGTGTCGTTCCGGCCTAATAACTAATCCTTGCCAACTGGAAACTCTCACTATTAATCTTTATTCAAGTTCTACCTACGCAAACTAGATGACATAATGCCGTTAAACAGGATGCCCGTGACCAATCCGTGCATCTTCTCCAGTACGCCATGCAAGAAATGTCCCAGAGAATCTCAAACTGTGGTTGTTATACAATATCCGTCCCAAAGACGCCATTTAGTTACCACGCACCAGCGTCAAAATCGAATCTGGACACTTCCTTCTGTGCATCCTCGACGTCTTTTTTGGCTTTCATGCGCATATAGAAAATGGGGCAGTCTCTCGACGAGCAAATCACCTCGCAATGCAAACTACCTTGACATCGCTGGCATTGGGTCCACAGCCGTCCAAAACGGACCTCCAAATCCGATACTTTGTTCAAAGATCGAGTATATAACTCGCCAAGGCGAGGTCGACAGTGCTCACAGACAGCCCCAGCCATTTCCTCCTTGCTAGATAGGGGCTTTTTGCATCCCAGACATGTCTCTGTCTTTTTGGCGAACTTCATAAGTCCACCCATAGTCGGTGCTGCCACAGAGATGGATCTAGTGTGTTCACCGGTGAGGAGCTGGCTGGCTTTCTTCTCTCCAAGTATGGGCTCGAAGATCCGACCAAGGGGATTCGCAAGTTGGTTATCCAAGTAGTACTTGGTATCGATGGGGATGTTATTCTCGAGGACATATATCGGATCCTCTGACTTCTCATAGTTCTTCGATCCTCCAGCGCCTTTGACGATGACGTATGCAACGCGGTCACCAAGGGTAGGTGCAGAGCCTGCATCACGTTTTCGCATGCGCTCTGCAAGCTCGACGTGGGCTTGCTTGGCTGTATAGTCGGACTTGGAAAGGGCTTTAGTGATGACCAACTTTGACATATCAATTCTGTTTTGCAACAGGTCTGATATCGTGTCCTTAACGTAACTACATGCAATTCGTTAGGAATCCTGTAAGAAATTAGAAAAAGGGGAGATACATACTCTTGGGCACCATCCAGGTCCCTGTCAATCAAGATTCGATTCAGTACCGTCTCAATGACATTCTGTACCAGCAAGCAGTTGTCTCGGCGCACAGTCTCAATACCCTTGGTGTCCATCTTATCGAACTTTTTCGGATTGGTCCAGTACAGACCTGCATATCTCTTTTTGTTAATCAGGAGATACGGGAAGTAAACCTTTTCGAACTCCAGTTTAATCGGCTTAATGAATTTTGAGGATACATATCCTGCAGCTTCTTGGCCTAGCTTCATAGCCTCCTCGAGTTCAGTAACGCCAAATTTCACCATGACTGAATCCGTGTCGCCATATATGACTTTGGCGTCATGGGAGTAGCCGTTCGCAATGGTGTACCTTGCTTCCACCTCCTGCTTCGTTTTTTCAATCATTTGGCGCCCATAACTAGTCGTGCTACTGGCAATGGGAAGACAAGGTAATTTCCCAACTGTTGCACCAGTAAGACCGTAGACACTGTTAGCACTAATTTTCAGAGCAAGCTGTCTTCCATTTAAAACGGCTTTTTTGAATGGATCGGTTTCGACCGCCAGCTCTTTCTTTGCTCGTTTTCTCGCCATGAGGAGCTCTTCCAGAATCTGTGACAAAAGGCCCTTGCGAACTTTCGTTGTACAAAACATATCTCCATTTGGTGTGACAATGTAGTCCTCATCTTTTTTCAACTGAAGCTTCTCGACCTTAGCTTTATTCAGTAATGTTGTGTAACATAGGTTATGAGCCTGAATGATAGAAGGGTACAGAGATGCGAAATCGAGAGTAGCAATAGGTACACCATAGTACCCACGTATCGGCTCAATGACCGTTGCACCCTCATAGTCTTGCTCGTCTGTCGCTTTTGCGTTTGGTATGACAAGCTGCTGTTCCAGAGCCTTGCGGAACAGTTGGCTGAGGAATTTGACTTGCTGTCCACGTGAGAGCAGGAAATTGAACGGAACCCCGGTGACTCTTGCCATTTCGGTATAATTGACAAGACACATGAGCTTATCCATTAGGCGTTGTGGCAAATAAGCATCTTTCAAGCAATAAACTGCTAAACGTCGCCTCGAGTCTGGCGTTCCATTATACAGTTCAGTGATCATGGTGTGGTGGACATCCTCCTTCTGCTCTCCTAAAAATTCGTAAGAAACAGAGTTAAGGGTATAGCTCCGCAAATGGTAGTCTCTCTGCACCAGTTGGAGAAGATCCAATTGGATTCTTCCATTTGTGTTCGTTGCTTTGGATTCGCGGTTGCCCATTTGCTTACTGGAAAAGTTCGCGTCTTTGGCCTGCGACTGAAGTCCATTCACCCTGGTCCAGTAAGGAAACCCACTGCACTTCAAGTATTTCGCCCGTTCTAAGAGGTAGGGGAAATCAAAGTTCGCAATATTGTACCCAATGATCACATCGGGGTCAACCTTTTCAACGAAGTCGCGCCATGCCATAAGCATTTTCTCTTCCTTTTGAAATTCCAGGATTTGGGTATTGACAATCAGGCTACACGTGTCCAACACAAAGACGTTCCGGATAAATGGTTTTGACTCTCCATAACGCGTCACCACGTTGGCGATTTGAATGACGGGGTCTTCGTTTGGCTCAGGGAATATACCCTTACGCCCGGCACACTCAATGTCAAAGGACAGAATACGCAACGGTGCCATTTTAGCCCAATCCCCGTTAGGAGGATGAGAAACCAAGCCATGGTAATCCACGCTCGCCTCTATCTGGCAATTCGAGACCTTCTCTTGAGGATTAAACAGTCGGTAGTCTCCCGCTTTAGCCTCAACCCACGACATACCAGAAATGTCCGTGTCAATCATAAATCTCAACAGGTATTGAATGTTGTCAAAGGTAGGAATTGAATCGGTTGAAATGTCCCACAGTCCTTTGTAATTGAAGCTTGAAGCCGTATTTTCGAGGGCGCTTCGAACTTTAGAGATATACCTCGGCTCGGTAACTGTAATCTTCAAGTACCAGCTCTTCTGGTTGCCTTGGAATCCGTATATATTCTCTCTCATAGCAAGCTGAACCGACTGGATAGTTGGTTGGAATTGGCCGAGCTTGCTTTCCAGAAAGGCCCGATAAGGTTCGCAGTCATCCTTTGTGAAATTCACCGGTGCAGCAATATAGAGGTAGTGCTGAAATCCTGTAACATGAAGCAGGACCGATTGGCCAGTCTATTTCAAATGTTAGATACCGACCACAGATGGCTCAGATAGTACGAGCAATACCTCAGTGACGCCAAAAAGTCTGACAGCTGTCTTCCCCATTAATGTTCCCTCTTCAGCATCGATCTGTTGAAAGCAGATGTTTTCTTTCGTTGGGTCGAATTCACCCAAAGGTGGTCGTTCCCATTGTTGATCCTTTTCCGAATTGCTGTCCTTTAACCCGCTAATGTCTTGGGTTAACTTCTCCAGGACCTCCTCCTCGAACTGGCTCTTCTGCGGCTGGCTTGATCCAACCACTCTTCGCTGGCTATTCTGCGATGAAGGGTTCGTTTTAACAGGAGGTCCGGTGTCTAGTTTCCGCTTCTTCATTGAACTAGGCGTCGCCAGGATACTGCGGGCGTTATTTGTTGCATCGCTCAAAACCCGCTTCTGCGGTACAGCTTCAGTCATGGCGAGGACTCATTAAATACAAGGCAGAATAATCGAATAGCAAAGATGCAGCTAACAAACAAGCTATGAAAAGAAAACGTATAGGTTCAGTGGGCAGAAGTTGACCACTGTACATCGAAGATGCTATCGCGCAAATGCAGCTGTGTCGCGGCCCCGGCGCCTGATGCCTGCAAGTTCGTGTCTCGTTCGCGCCTTCCGTGACGCCTCTTTACGCGTTGTCCGAAATCACGTGATAACGCGCTTCGACCTCAGATACGCTTGAATAACCCCACTGGGCAGGGAAATAATATATCAGACACACTGATCTTACTTTTTTCGTAACTGCAGAGCATATCCTATGTGTGAGGGAACTACTACGTAGTGGACAATCCACCAAATTCTGCGCCTTGGAGCTTCCGAATATGACGCCATCTCTTTCTCGGCCCAAAAAGGTTAGATCACTACTACCACCCATATCTTCGTAATTAAGATAAGCAGTTCAAACAATGCTGGAGAGCTGAATTGGAAGGCAAAGGCATGTCTGAAGCGAGATATTCTTGCGTTCTGCCTGGACAGAGGGAGATATATAAAGTAGAACCACCCCACCCCCCCCGGCCCCAAAAAAAAAAGTGAACTGGACTTGAACCCCCATTGCAACTTTTGAGCTAGGCTAGGTAGTTGCATTTGGTGGCATGTGTAACCGGACCTCCTGCCAGCAATTACCGCCAGACTCGTCGCCGAATGGTCTCCATAAGCAAAAATAAGGAGATCGGAAAATTTCATTTTTCTGCCATTGTTCGGTGCCAAACTCCTTATTAAATATTGAACACGCGAGCTGTTGTTCTCCTACCAATTCCTCTACAGTATCCGTACCCATAATCATGGTTAATTTGCAGGACCTCCCTGCAGAACTCCTGTCACATATCATCTCGTTTTTGCCGAAGTAAATGAGATCGATACCCTGACCAAGGGCCTAGATGAAAATCTAAAAACCAAGAACAGCAAAGCAGAAGATGAAAGTAAAGATGCTCTTCTTAATGTCGATGACTTTGTCAGAAGCGATGACTTTGTACAATATTTGTTTGGTCTGCCATAAGTTCCGTGAACTTGCACAACCTGTGCTATTTCAATTCTTTGAGGAAAATAGTCTCTATGCTGATTTCAATGACACTAGAGTGTTGAAGAGACAAGATGGCTTGCAGCAGTGAAGGCACGAGACCTCAACGTCTTTGTAGCTTTATTGCTGAGCTGAACGCCTAACGTTCGCTTACTATCTGTTAAGGGAGGCGAATTCATGACGACACCTGTCGATCATCTTTTAGGTCGCAATCCCTCATTCTTGTCTAAAGTCGACCGACTGCATATTGTTGGAGATGACATGCATGCGGGCTATCCATTGGCAGACTTCCAGAAGCTGCGACCGAGCATATCACGAAAGAATGTCAGGAAGGGCTCTTACCTGCTTTGAGGCCAATTAGACTGCTTGCGTTCGACATCACTCAGCCCATCAAACTTCCTGGGCAACGTATCCCAGAAGGTCTGACGCCAGAACAGTGTTTCCTGAGCCTCAGGAATCTGTTCAAGGACACACGGATTGATTACCAAATTCTGCCCTATAGTCTACTAGAAGTGGACGACGAAGACGATAACTACGAGGATTATGAGGACGAGTATGATCTTGACGATCTAATAGCTATGAGTACAACTATGATTCTGATACACTGCCATTGAATATGATTTCATGGGACGGGGCTCTTTCCCAAGGGATGAGCTAATGGCCATGACAATACTGCAATCTCTGAGGGACGCGATGCATGAGGGTGATGAAAGTACAGATCTATAACTATAGGCTATTAACGTCTTTCTCTAGGCATATGTGACATCCCGCCTAATAATTTTGTAATCTCCTGTCCCCGCTTTATTTATTTTTTTTTTCTATTTTCTAAACATGTCTCGGTTATACTTTTGTTTAATATCTTTTTAAGTTGAGTTAATTGTACTATCAGTGGGACTGTGTTTAGGATGGATGACCATGTACAAGTACGCAATCCAAAGCCACATCGGAACGTTGGATAGAAAATGCGGGCAAGAAAGACTAATATATTTCCTATCTTGTCACGTTCCCTGGATGGCTCAGTTTATGAAGACATTGTTGGGCACGTATTGAGGCATACATAGCGCTCACACTAGTCAAAGAGCATATTAGTACTCTTATTGCGGCTAACTCTGCTGAGTCTTATAAATTTCATTATAAGCATCCAACGACTCCCGTTTCAAGCGCCCCATATCTTTACCCTGAAACCTACTGGGATCCAACGCCTTTCGGATATTCTCATCAACTTTCTCTCCTTTCATCAGCTGCGCCAAAAATTTGGCAGAGCCAGCCGCATGAGTAACCCATACTGCAGCTGCCATGAAAAGACCACCTATGGAAGGGATGTTTCCCACTATTGGCATGTTATCAGGCGTCATGGAGAAGATGCCATTGAATTTTCGTTTTGGCACCAAGTTCGTCTTCTCGGGTATAAAATTCAGAGCATTCTTCAGGGTTGTATCAAATTCCTCAATCCAATCTCCAATAGCGGCGGCTGTCGGCTCCTGCGAGACCGGCTGATGATCGTATGAACCTAATCCGTAGAATGGGCCATGGTCGCGAGCATAGACATGATGCTCAGGCCATCTGACAAAGGGCATCTTGCGTGGGTTGGGTTCATGGTTCTCACCATACATATACGGGTGCGCAACGGGTACAATTGGGATCGGGATATCGAGTTCGCAGAGCTCTGGGGCCCAGATCCCGGTTGCAATAACCACCGTTTTGGCTGCGATGAGTCCGGACATGGTCATGACCCCTTGCACTTGGCCATTGACTTGACAGATACTGGAAACATTTGTCTGAAGGAGTTGGACTCCGCTTGCCTGGGCCTTTTCTTGATAGAAAGATGATATTTTTGTGGCGTTTGCCGTTCCATCACTAGGGAAATGAAGAGCTATCTGGTTGTATCCCTTGACCAGGTCAGGGGCCATACGCACTGCTTCCTCCGAGGAGATCAATTCTGCGGTAAGTCCGACCTTTCGTGCTGCTTCATATCTTGATTTCAAGCGATTGGCCCCTTCATCGCTGGTGGCAATCTCAAGACCCCCGACGGTGTCGAACCCCCCGGGAATTTTGGTATATTCCTTCACTGTATCAATCGCCAGAAGGGTGAGGGCTTCCGATTCATTGAATTGACCAACAAAACCGGGGGCATAGCCCGTGGAGCCCTGTAATGGTGCGAAAGAGCGATCAATTAAAATGATCTTCTTGCCTTGCTCCGAGGTAGACAAGAAATAGGCGAGGGCTGAGCCCACGATACCGCCACCGATGATGGCAATGTCGGATGTGAACTTGGGAGTAGTCATTTTTCTGTATGCTTGTGTTTAATTAAATTAGAGTTCAAATTCCTACAGTTACATAGCCCACGGTTTTATATGTCATTCTGAGTCTTTCAACCCCCCGCTGATGTCACTGCCTCGTATTTGATAGTCAGCCTATATATAGCATTGTCACAATCAGCAAAGGGCAAGACGCGAGTAGCCGCCGATCGCCGGCTTCTAGGCCTTTTAAATGCCCAAGATTCCATCTATCCAGAGAGAAGATCTTCGTGACTCAACGAGGGGCGGTGGGGTGTTGTGGCCTGAGGCGGAATGATGAGGTCAGCGGAAACTTTTTTTTGCCGCAACGAAAAACCTCCCCCATGAAGGCAAACGACGCCTTCATTCATTCACTCCCATCCATTAGAATGATGTCGCCGTTCTGAGCTGAGATCACCATCTAGACTGGCAAGTATTGTGATTGACTCGCGATTGCCCAGTCTCTATCCCATAACAACAGCCTAGTGTGCGCCCTGTCGATGGCATCCGCCTTTAGAATCCGATAGAAGCTCAGAAGGCTACTGGGCCATGTTTACTGCATCCCTCAACCACCAGCAGAAACCGTGGCTTTTTCCATTCTGACACATTGGCACGTTCTTCACAACAGATAAGCCTGCGTTTATTTAAACTCGGCTCAGCGGTTGGAATTGACCAAGTAATTACCCGTCTTACATAGGTTGTTTGCACTTTTCTGCAGAATATATGGCCTCACGTGATTTCTGACTTCTTTTTCTCTGCATTGTATATTTCCCACGCGGCATTGTCGGGTGACAGACTGATAGATGGCCGGGTTTATGCCCGTTCGTATGGCTTTAATGTAGCCGTGGAACTGATCTTTACCTTGATTTCAATTTTGTTATCTTCAACACCCTCGATATGTCCATGTTCAAATCAGCTGCAGATATTTCCTCTTCTGATTCACAATCCAGTGACAGTGAGAGTGAAGATGTGGCCATTGCAACCACAACCTGTTCTTCGACGGAGAAGACTTCGCCCCACGGGAAGGGTACTGCGACTGCTCCAGTTTTGACCGGGGAGAGCCGTGGAACTAGCAATCAAGCCCCCATAGATGGACTTGATATTAATACGGAGGGACATGCCAACATCATGACAGCTGCCCTCCTTGAATTTTACTGCCTTAGTCGTGCTGCCGATATCCTTAATTCCCAGGGAGGCTCGCATAAGCGGTTCACGCGGGACTCTCCGGAAGTACAATTCTTGGGGAAAAAGATGTACACTTATAAATCACAGTTCCTGTCATCACACGGTGTTTTGGCCAGTGGTGCCGATAACGATGAATTGGGGTCCACTCGGCAGTACTACCGGGATAATCTGGATATGCTCGGCGTCTCTGCCTTAGAAGATCTTGATTTAGAAGATGCTCAAGGACAACCTCCACTTGATGGTGCGGGAAATCTTGTCCTGGCATCGACTACGGCAAGCTTGCAGATTCGTTCAAATAAGGACGTTGCAAGTTTGCCGTCACAACAGCTCCCCGATCCTCCTGGATTTATGGACGTGGGTTCAGGTGCAGTGAGGAATTTTCGACTTGACTTGAGTAGCCTGCCAACTCGGCCATTGCCGCTTTCCGGAAGCTCGCCTGTGAGTTTTCCATTGTTCGATCAGAACCCACGGACGCCGACTGAGCATATGTCTCGGTATTCAATGGAGTTCTCAGAAGTCAAAATCCTGGGGCGTGGATCCTTTGGCGAAGTATACCATGTACGGAACCACATCGACGGACAGAGTTATGCGGTAAAGAAAATCCCTATTAGCCAGAAACGACTGGAGCAGCTGCAGTGTGGAAGCGAAAACCAACTCGAAAACATCATGAAGGAGATAAGAACCCTCGCTCGGCTTGAGCACACAAACGTGGTGCGCTATTACGGCGCCTGGGTGGAAAAAGTGCATATGCCGGCTTACCTACCATCAGGACCACCGGCTTCTGTCAAATTCGAAACCGAACAAGCCGCAGATGAATCTATATGCCATGAATCCCATGAGGAACAGAGCTTTGGAATCGTCTTTGAACATTCCGAAAGTTCAACTACTGAGACTAACACGGATTATTTGACAGAACAGAGATCGATGACCTCCAGTCGGTCTCGACGTCGGAGCAGCCATGCCAGCCATGCCACGGTGACTTCACGTTCTTCAAAAAAGAGCTCCGCGCATAGCTTTGGAGAGGAGGATGAGGAGATTGAATCGATCCCTCGCGATTTTACTGGACCCTCGATCGGCCAAATGTCGACGTTCGGTGGCACTGACAATGACGTCTTCACGGATGGATTCAGCCATGACCCGTCAAAATTACAGGTGCAACGGAGGCATCGAAGCGAGGCTCAGATTCCCGCAGTGGTCCTTCATATTCAGATGTCGCTTCACCCCATTTCTCTTAGCTCTTACTTAAGTCCCGAGCCATATAGAGGAATAGGGGATCATCAAGATGTGCCACGACGCCATTGCTTTCATTTGGTGCCGTCTTTGAAAATGATGCTTCGCATTATCTCGGGCGTTGACTATCTCCACGCTAAGGGGATCGTCCATCGGGATCTTAAACCAGCCAATATCTTCCTTTCATCTCCTGAAACCAGACACTTTGATGGATGCCCTCCATGTCAGCTAGTACATAATCATCCTTCGCGGTACTGTCATCCCCGAATCGGGGACTTTGGACTTGTCGCCGACATCTCACATCTCAAGGAAAGCTCCCCGACGAGTCCTGGTCCGTCTATCCACAATGGTGGGAAGGTGCACCGTGTCGTTGGTACGGAATTCTACCGTCCACCCTTAGTGGACAAGAGAGGAGTCACCATGGACTTGGAACACAATTGGGTGAACGACTATTATGCGATTGACGAAACCCTTGATATTTACGCTCTTGGGGTGATCCTATTTGAGCTGGTCTATCGCCTGAATACCAAAATGGAGCGACAATTGGTCTTATCCGAGTTGACCAGAGTTCCACACGACCACGGGTGCGTCGGGCCGTTGTTCCCCGCTGATTTTGCCCGGAAGGTGGATCAAGGAGATGTGATGCTCGATGACCAGCAATCAGTCGCGGAATCATTGATGACTTGCATCAAGGGCATGCTGGACCCTATGCCTCATCGACGCTGGAACTGTGTGGATACGGTGAAACATTTGCAGAGGATTTTAAGCGTTGCGGAGAAGGCTTGCTCGTCGGTTGCGCATACAGAATAGATATATGGTTATTTAGAGGATATGATGGAGTGGCGTTAGATATACCTTGCCTTGTACTATTAATTCTCGCATCTCTAATCTTACATATGAATGATTATGCATCTACTGGAGTATTTATTCCAGATCATGTGTACTATATGAGGTCGATAGACATCACAATATCAACGCTATAACGCTAACATCAATCAGACTCCTTTGTCCATGCTCTTTCGAAGACCACCGAAGAACAAGCCAATCTTCAAGTGACTGATCCCAGCCCCGGTCATTAGATTCCATCAACTACTACAGGTCGTCTCTCCTAGTTCCCTATACTATACCATAAATATGCGACCCAGCTGGATCCAAGATGCCAGCACCAAGACAAAACATGAGATTATTCACTTCCTCGCCATCACATACTCCGTCCCAATCTCATTAATAGCTTTTGGCATGACCTGCACAGGCAAGTATACTATAGTCCTGGGTGTTCTATCGACCAGAGTGATAATCCGATATACTAGGCATCTCCTACTCCTACGCCCCCGAATGGCCATCCCCAAACCTCTCCAACACTGGCCGGGTCTCATAGGCGCCGAGATGGCCAATAAAGTTCCCAGTCGACTGCGATATGACCCAATGTCCGGCCATGTCCAGAGCTGGGGATTTCAATGCGATGCCGCCAGTGATGTCAAAGAGCTCTTCAAGTTGAATCTGGATCCGCATTTCGTGGATCCCCGACCAGAGGCTCCTACTCGCATTGAGTCCATGAAGTGGTTCACCGATTACATTCATTGCGTCTATCGTTACGTAGTCTCGCATTGCTCTCGCTCATTTCCGCGCTTCGACTCGCGTCAGGTCGAGTTTGTCTTTAGTGTGCCGACGACGTGGAAGGATCCGCGTATGGTCGCTGAATTGAGAAGCTCCGTCCGTTTGGATTCATCGGCTCATCGTGCTATTATTGGGTTGACTGAGGCGGAGTCTGCCGCGGTTTATGCTAGTGGACAGCGTTATCAGGTATAAATCCGTGATATGCTTTGCTTTCTGGGCTAATGCAGGAGTTGTAGAAAGGCGATGTGATCCTAGTCTGTGACACTGGCGGAGGCACGACCGATGTCAATGTCCTCAAAACTCATGTCAACACCAGGGGAGCCGACGCTACTCCATACATTGAGCTGTGTTGAGGGTACCAGACACTTTTCACGACAGTATAAAAGCCGATGGATGTGCTAACTCTGTCCAGCAAAGTCGGTGGGCTCATCTATGATTGATTCCGACGCCTGCCATCTTCTATCGAGACGACTTGAGCATATCCAAGATTCCCTTTCTCGAACACCCTATGAAATTGCCCGCGAACTGGTCTCGCAACGATTTCAGCGCTTCAAATGCAACTTTGGCTCGGAGCTGATGGACGGCTCATTGCTGAGACTCGGCATTCCGGGACTCATCGGGGGGATTTTCCTGCTGTGGGGACCATCAATGGGCAAATTACCATCAGTCCGTTCGTATACTTCTTCTAGTAGTTTTGGATCATTTCTGATGTTTCTATTCAGGGAAGAACTACAGCATCTCTTTGACGCAAAGATCGACGAGGTCCATACTTTACTGGACGAGCAGATTCGCTCATTACAGTCGACTTACCCACAGGAGCAAATAGTTCGTGTCTTATTTCTCATCCATCTACACACAGACTAACAGCAAAAGTCATTTTTAGTACTATCCGGAGGCTTCGGAAGCTCACCCTACGTGAGGAAGAGACTGAAGGAGAGGTATCAAAGGGGTATCTTACCGAGCCTCGTGGAGATACTCACGGTGGATGAACCGTATGTGACAGACTAATGCTAACACATTCTTTCCCTTCTCCATCTAATAACTATACGTGATATACGTTCTAGACAGCTGGCTGTTGTCCAAGGTCAGACCCTGAACCGCATCCAACAAATCAAGCTGGGTGTCTCAGCGTTCGACTCTCTCTGCAGTCGGGTCAGCTACGGCGTAATCTGCGACCAACTCTACGACCCGAGTCGTCATGCAAGTGAGCCCGTCCGATACGACGACGAGACGGGAAAAAGTACGCGGTGGGACAGATCGACTGGCTTGTTATGCAGGTGGGTATTCCGTCACTTTGTCCGTCCGTCCGCTCCTGTCCCTAATCCAGCCCATTGACTGTTCCGTTGATGACAGGGCGACGCCGTTCCCCGCACAGGGGTATCCAAAGGATTCCGATGAAAGATCTATCCCCAGGATATGGCCCGACCCTGGGTGGCCCAGATAGTCATGTCAACGCTACGTCCACACAGGTACCCCAGAGCATGGCGCATTCCGGGGCCACCTTGATCTGCAACATCGAGGTGGATATGGCCAGTGTGGATCGGAAACCGCAGAATCATCGCTGGTATCATCGGAATCCGGCGCATTTCCTGGCTACTTTCACGATCAAGATGGTTGTAGGGCCCAATGATCTCGAGTTCGAATTATGGAATAAGAGCGGTGGGAGAATCCGTAGTCAGAACAAGGATCCTATTGCTATAAAATGGAATCCTACGGTGGAGAAAATGGATGAGACTATGCGAGGACCGAGAGAATTGTTTGCTGACGATAAGCCGCGGCGGAGATACTGTTAAGTATCCTGAACTTCCTGCGGATGGGAGTAAATATATCCGATACGAACTGCCGTGATTTACTATCTAGCGAATGATACACCGGAGATAAATGGCAGGGTATCCACAAGTTCTATGACCTGTACTGGTTACTCAACACATGAATTCAAGCCATCCTTGTATAACAGCCCATATCCGTAGGCGAAGTCATGATTCATGAGCATGATTCATGGTCATATGCCATCCCCCGCGGACCTCGGTCGTAGACCACCTCAACCGACGATAAGTTAAAACATATACAATAGTCCATGGTGGACAAGCCAGACAAGACATCAACAAGCCAGACAAGACATCAACAAACCATACCATCATGTCCCACAGACCCCCTCCTCCAACAGCCCCATACAGCGAACCTCTCCTCCCACAACTTGACATCCAAAACCCCTACTACACCTCCCTCCATCACCACCTCCGATCTTACGTCCGAGAATACGTCAACACACACATCGCTCCTTACGCGCACGAATGGGAATCAACAGGCCAAGTCCCGGAGGAAGTCCGACGCCATCATTGCTCCCTCGGGTTCGGAATCGTGCATCCCCTGACGACGGTGGAGGATTCCGCGGGCCTCTCGCTCCCTGGGAATGTGCCGCGCACGAAATGGGATACCTGGTGTAGTCTTATTGTCGCAGATGAGATGATTCGCGTTGGATATGTCGGGGTGGCGTGGGGATTGGGAGGGGGAAATAGCATTGGATGTCCGTCGATTGCGAGATTCGGGAGTTTAGAGCAGAGACGGAGATGGCTTCCTAAAGTTGCGAAGGGGGATATAAGGTTCTGCTTGGGGGTTACGGAGCCGGATGGTTAGTAGACGGATAATCTGTTTGGAGGTGGACGTACTGATTGATTGATTGACTAACTGACTTGTGTAGCTGGATCAGACGTGGCGAATATCAAAACGACCGCGAAGAGGGAAGGGGATCATTACGTCGTCAACGGGGCAAAGAAATGGATCACGAATGGTATTTGGGCGGATTATTGCACGACTGCTGTGAGAACTGGAGGACCAGGGAGAGATGGCATTAGTCTGCTGGTGATTCCTCTCGCAGCGTCGGGGGTAACTCGTCGTCGGATGTACAACTCCGGTGTACATGCTAGTGGTGAGTATTATTTTCCCAGCCTACCTTACTGCTTTGCTTGTCTTACGGTGAATGTACCAGGATCAACGTACATCGAATTAGACGGCGTCCACGTCCCAGTTGACCATCTCATCGGAGAAGAGAACAAAGGGTTCCCTCTCATCATGTCCAGTCAGTCTATCAATTACCAGTATACAATTCATTAATTATCACGAAGTTGATCAGATATAGACTTTAATCCCGAACGTCTATCCCTGGCTTGCGCTTCACTCCGTCTCGCTCGCGTCTGCGCCGAAGATGCCTTCCACTATGCCGTGCAACGCGAGACTTTCGGTTCCCCCTTGATCCAGAGACAGGCGATCCAGGCAAAGATCTTCAAATTCGGATTGATGATTGAGCCTGCATATGCCTTTATGGAGCAGCTGGTTCATATTCTGGAGTTGACTAAGGATCGACCCCAGGATGATTTCCGGATCGGAGGAATGACCGCCTTGCTCAAGGTGATGTCTACCCGGGCCCTTGAGAAGAGTGTTCGAGAGGCGCAGCAAATTCTAGGAGGTGCTGGATATAATAAATCAGGAAAGGGGGCACGGATCGAACAGATCAGTCGCGATGCGAGAGTCCATGTGGTTGGTGGTGGAAGTGAGGAGATCATGATGGGTCTGGCGTTGCAGGAGGAGACCAAGGCACTTCGTACGAGACGAAAGGCATTGGAGAAGTCGAGCCTGTAGGTATAAAAGAAATTCTAAGTCTTTCTAGTTTCTATAGCCTAAGATGGTATACCGCATTTGTTGTACTGGGTATCTAAGGAGTGACATTGTCGGTAATTGTTTGCTAAAAATTATCCCAAGCAGCATGAACGACCGAGAATAGAGTCAAGGTCCGCATTAGCAACCACGAGCTCCATAACTAGTACCTAATACAGAATTAAACTAGAAAATAATAAAGACCGCTGGATATCTTACCGGGAGAAGTTATCAGGAGCCTCACAGACAGAGATAATAGATAGATTGCCGAATGACCTGTAAAATTTTTGACGTCAGTTCTTCCAAAGGACCGCTCCTGCGCACAGTTAGCACAACCTGCCAATAATATACTGTCTATCCTACCTGGATCTTTGCCAACGCCGTCCATATCTAGACTAAATGTCTTGCTGTATATATACCTTGCTCAGCCAAGAATACAAGTACCGAGAGTACTTGCTTTTCTTGTGCTGCTCAGTCTCGAGCATCGCCACGGGTTGGATTCACCCGAGTCAAGTCAGAGCCTGTATCAAATAACACTCGAACGTGTTGAGCATGGGGCCCTATGGCAAGGTCCACAGTATATTGTTCCAATGGATGGGCGCCCGTGCAAGTCAGTATAAATCTGTCTCTTTCTGAGACCGTGAGCCTCCGGTTTGAGCTAAATTGCAGTAAGTGCCATGAGTAATATACCTTTGTTTGGCAAAAGAGGTTGTTGCAAGTGTTGCCAAGCGAAAGGTGATCGTTAAGTTTATTCACTATTCACACAAGATATTGGGGGTTGTTCTGAGCCATTTAGATATACATCTTGGTCTGAAGCCCTGTACTCTTGAATTGTTGAGCCCACGGAGCCATGCTTCAGAGATATCTGGTCGTCTGCTACTCAGCCAGCCGCAGTCCAACTCTCAGTACGACTGCGTCGCTCTGGGGGTCGTACTGACATCCGGACGATGACTCTGCTTAATATTGCGGGTGGATTATAGATCCTTCCCGCTGCCTGTGATAACAGGATGGATAGCGTAGATAGCTGAGGTATGGTGGCCTGCTGCGTAGCACCCTGCATTATGACAGCACCAGAAGAACAGTGGCCTATTTGGCCCAGCCCCGGCAAGATGCATCTATGTGTCGACTGGAGAGCAGTGTGATTCCTCCTTGACTGAAGGGGAAGAGGATCAAAGGCCGGTGAATGGGTGGGCCGCATGGAAGACCAGAAATATTGTGCTTGGGAAGTTAAAACGTAGACAAGTGGTGGGAAGCCATTAAGTCTATCTTAGCATATATCGATAGTATTCACTTTTACTGTAGAAGGGTTACTCTACAATAGTGATTGCTAAACATGTTCTCAGGAGCATTGCATACCCCTAGCGGAATATTATGGATACGCGGCATTAATTCCTGGCTTATATACACATCAATATCTGACTAAGTTGTAGAGTCGAGATTAGCACCTTAGATACCTTTTGATAGAATCCTGCAGCAAAGGCAAGGCTGATATGTATTATTAGTTAAGCTCTACTAAAATCAGAGGAAAGCAGATTAGAAAATCCACCTAACAACTATTCTACCTACCTTATACGCTAAAACTAGGCTTAGATACAGAGCACAGTAGACTACTCGGTCCAAGACCACATACGATCTATCTCCAGTGCTCAGATAGAGCCCCATGGATTGATCGACTGTCGCCGATTCTTCCGCCTCGAGATCCCCAGCTCTCTTCTTCATTCCGTCAAGGTGCTTCGTTATGCCTTGAATTGCCTGTCTTAGTAACTCCACAGCGAGGACTATGCCTCGGGGCCCAAAGGAAATGGCCGAATCATTCCATACAGACGAGATTTCAAATTTCCCCGGGGGTGGGCGTAACGAGTCCCTTCTGGGCTCTCTTGCTTGACGACAGCACCCTATGACTTGTTACTTTCCTCCGAAACTGGAATGTCCTCATGTCCGACAGCACAAGGTGTTTCTGTATCAGAACTGTCCAAGTCTGGGAATGGCGAAACGAAGAGCGACATGTTTTTTGCACGAGTAAGTCAATGGTAGGTCTCAAGCCACCAGCAGATAGTTCACATCCAATATTGTTATCTACCTGCGATTCATTATCCCGTCTCTGATCGTCAAATGAACTGTCCGAAGAGTTCTTGGAACAAATGATGATCTGCTTAATTTAGTATCGTCCTCAATCCACTTATCCTCCGACTCCTCGATCTTGATGGCGCCTACATCTCCTAGGGTTGGCGAGTTGACTCCGTTAAAATAAAAGAGGTATATATACTGACAAAAACTGGCAATTTGCGCAAGTCCTAGAAAGTGGAGTCCTCCGTTTCCGCCACTACAGCGCAGGTTTTCCAAGGTCTTGTGCCCTTTCGACAGTTGGTGCATGGCTCAGGAATCTCATATCCGCGGCTTTGAGCGAACGCAGCGGTATGAGAGATCTTATTGTTCAAAGAGAGCCTGAGAGAATTTCCATTTTGCACAGTCTTTCAGTTTAGCTTCAGGGCTTCTGGCATGTTCTCGTATTTCTTTAATGCACGCTGGTATATGGGGTCGCGATTGGAAGATCATCGTCGTCAAGGCCTGGCATAAGTTGCAACCAGTTAGACAATCATGCTAGATATGTATAGCGGGTAAGGACCTACGCTCCGCTGGTGCTGTAGGACTGGTTCGGGACGCGGAGGTCCCTTTCGCAGTCGCGTTGTCGCCATGGATCCGCTTCGCTGTCAGCTAGACTGGCTAGAATTCTCTTACAAGAAAATATCCTCCCCTTGAACATGGGAGTTCTGTGTATGAAGTAGATGTGTTCCTGTCTTAGAAATAACCGACAACACCTGGCTGCCATCGATGTTTGGGACAGTGTGATTGTGGGGTAGAGGAAAGGTGGTTGTCTACCGATGTACTAACCAACGCCGAGACGTGGTCAAAGCAGAATACCCCAGCGCATCTCAGACAGAGAACAAGCGAGGTTGATCTCTTCTTTGTCAACCGAAGTGTTTCGGTGTTATATTAAACTGCCTTTCTGGCAGAGCAGCGTAAAGTTTGAAAAGCAATATTATCTATAGAAATACATTCTATATATTATACAGAGTTGATGAGAGATTACCCATGCTCTATGCTTAAAACCTCTTTTCTAACCTTCTACTGCCCACTATCGATATGAATAGGTAGTTAAGACAGGCTGCATAATGACGTCATTGACACGCTAAGCTCTTTGGGGAGTCACGGGTAGTCCCGAATCCAGTATGGTAGGTAAGTCGTCGTGCCTGACTTCTCACGACTTCAATCACTTTCTCTAACCTCCACCATCCAAACGCATGCTTCTCCCTCGTACCTGATAGGACCTGCTGGCAGATCTTACTCCTGAGCAGCCGGTGCTGGGCTCTCGCCAGCTGTCTCGGTCATGGAGAGTCTTGAAGAAATGTCTTGGCCCCGAGAAAACGCAGAAGAGTGGGTTGCGGCCTCCGTCGACAATTATTCCTCCAGAACTCCGTCGGTGGCCGAGAATAGCTCGTCAAATTCGGTGTCGGACCCTAATGTGGCAAACAAAGACTCGTTCATATCTAGCTCCAGTTCTAAACCCTTCGACGAGCAGGAGGAAGCGGCTCCCCGACTCAGTGACGATCAAAACAATAGTACTTCGATCCCTCAGCGGGTCCTATCGCCATTTGCTCCAGTCCCCTATAACCCGCCAGCTCCGATGGGTGGTGACGATGGTGAAGAAGAAGACGAGGAACCTCACGTTGCGACCTCCTTTGAACGAGATTCTACACCCACTTCGACGCAGAAACGTCGGTCGGTGTTCTTTGACGCTGAAGAAGAGGGTTTTAACCGTATGCATAAATTCTCCTTGTATGAGACGGCAACTCGTTTCTATATGGTCGGCATGGATTTATCAGACACCCGCTTCAAAATTTTGAAGATCGATCGAACCTCGGAATCGGGAGATTTGAGTGTTGCGGAGGATGATATCGTGTACTCGAAAAGGGAGATGAGCCGGTTACTGGATGCCATCGATGATGGTAACAAAATTTCCGGCGGGTTGAAGCTGCGATGCAGTGCGTGGGCCCTGCTGGGTTTTATTAGGCTGACTGGGGCCTACTACATGCTGCTCGTGACCAAGAGAAGCCAGGTAGCTATGCTAGGAGGCCATTATGTCTATCAGATCGACGGGACTGAACTTATCTCCCTGACGCCATCGAGCTCCGCTCGCTTAAAACCGGAAAAGAATCCTGAGGAGGCAAGGTATATCGCGATTCTCAATAACCTCGACCTCACCCGGTCCTTCTACTTCAGTTACTCCTACGACATTACACAGACATTACAGCGCAATATCTGTCGCGAACGCAAAGCCCATCAAGATAGTCCTCCAAAGCCGTTTCATCCGGACTATAACACCATGTTCATATGGAATCATCATCTTCTTGGTCCTGCTATCGCCACCCTCAGAAGCCCTTATCAGTGGTGTTTACCTATTATTCATGGCTATGTCGAGCAGGCAAAAGTATCCGTCTATGGCCGATTGGTCTACATAACGATTATTGCTCGCCGGTCTCGGTATTTCGCCGGTGCACGTTTCTTGAAGCGAGGTGCCAATGATCTGGGTTATGTGGCCAACGATGTTGAAACCGAACAGATTGTATCGGAAATGGCAGCAACGTCGTTCCACGCTGCTGGTCCGGATCTGTACGCCAATCCTCTGTACACTTCTTACGTTCAGCATCGAGGGAGTATTCCTCTTTATTGGATGCAGGGAAACTCAGGGGTTTCTCCAAAACCAGACATTGAACTCAACTTAGTGGACCCATTCTATTCCGCCGCAGCTCTCCATTTTGACAACCTGTTCGAGAGATATGGTGCTCCAATCTATGTTTTGAATCTGATAAAGTCTAGAGAAAGAACACCACGGGAGTCCAAGCTCTTGAGTGAATACACGAATGCTATCAATTACCTTAACCAGTTCTTACCCGAAAATAAGAAGATTATATATCAGCCCTGGGATATGAGTCGCGCGGCTAAAAGTCGTGATCAGGATGTGATTGGAACGCTAGAACGTATTGCGGGCGAGATAATACCAAAAACGGGATTCTTCCAGAATGGCTACGATGCAAATTCTGGCCTCAGACTACAAAACGGTATTGCCCGAACAAATTGCATTGATTGCCTTGACCGCACGAATGCAGCGCAGTTTGTGATCGGGAAGAGGGCATTGGGCCACCAACTCCACGCCCTTGGCATCATCGAAGGCACAACAGTAGACTACGACACCGATTGTGTCAATCTTTTCACAGACCTGTGGCATGACCATGGTGACACAATTGCAATCCAATACGGGGGCTCACACCTAGTTAACACCATGGCGACCTATCGCAAAATCAACCAATGGAGCAGTCATTCTCGCGATATGGTGGAGAGCTTCAAGAGATACTACAACAATTCATTCCTGGACGCTCAGCGTCAAGAGGCGTATAACCTCTTTCTGGGCAATTACATATTCTCCCAGGGACAACCGATGCTGTGGGATCTGTCCACCGACTACTACTTGCATCACGCTGATCCCAGATCCTGGTCCGATAAAACGAAGCCGAATTACATTTGCTGGTACACCCCAGACAACTTGAAAGAGAAAGAGCTGCCGCCGCCTCCTCGGCCGCCTCAGGAGTCTTTGTCTCGATATGACGATTACTGGATGGAATATTATCGGCCTCTGGCTATCTCATCGTTCTCTAAGATTTTCTCGTACAAGATGAATTCGAGCCTTCGCTACCTCCCGTTTCGGCCCACGTCCGCGCTACCCGGTGATCTCAGCCCATTTATCACCCGAAACGCACATGATCAGATGAACAGAGACCGCCCCCAGCGCACGGTCAAGATCCAGGAACCAGATCGTACTTCCAATGACGCTTCCGACCGCTTGCGCATGAACACAGGCCCTACGCAGGACAGGCAGTATCCGTCCGTGGGTATTATGAAAGAGCAATCCATCAAGTTCTCCCAACGCGATAATTCACACCAGCCCTTCCGGCCACTCTCTGATCACGCCACGCCTAGCAAAGCGCAGATCGCCCAATGGACCCTAGGCCAATTGGTCACGGATTCATTAAACCCATCCATCACAGCCGCCGAGGCCGAAGAATACGAACATTACATCAATCACCCACTCAAGGTGCCCCTCGTCGTGACGTCCGAGAACGAAGTAACGGCTGCCTCAATCCATGAACACGAATCCAACCACGACCTCCTCGAGTACGCTAATAAATGCAACGTGGAGGAATCTACATTGGAAGCCAACGCGGAAGAAAATTACGCCGATTATGCGGAATTCTTGAACGTATCGGACGTGGGACTGACGGTTGTGGTTGAGGACTATGAAATGAAGCGTTACAAGCGGTATCGACAATGGTTGAGAGGGAAGAGCCTATTCAAGCAACGTGTTGATACATAATATGCTCTATGATTTGATTAGATATTTGAATGATACCCACTCCCTTTTTCATCACTTGAAGAAGCGCATACCACGAGCCATTTATGATACTCAACTCATTAGGCCCAACAACTTTATACAGACAGACATTTATTAGCTAGATCCAAAATACGCAACATCAGTCGTATCAAAATCAACAGTAAAAAGGTCCTCCAAGACACTATCCGCCTCAATCAACATCTGCAACTCCTTTTCAATATTCTCCTTGGCATCTAACTGCCCAGGATCATGCGTAGTAGTAGTCGGAGTAGCAGCAGCAGTAGCAGCTTGGGCTGGATTCTGCAGAGCAAACTTCAACAAATACGACGCGCCCTTTAACTCCCGTTTCAATTTCCCCATAGTCACAGCAGAAGCCTCGTCCGAATCTGAGGCCTTATTCCTTCTCTTTCGATCTGCGATCTCGCCTTCCTCGTCAATCACGTGCAGCCAGCAAGCGCAGAACGCGCCTAGGATCTCGCCGCGCCAGCGCCACAGACGCGGATGCGCGTTCATGATGACTGCTCTGATGAGGGAAATAGCACCAAGAAGTAGTGGCGGGTGAGCGGTGCCGAAGGGGTTGGAAAGCGTGCTGTACAAAAGGGGGATAATTTCTTGGAGGTATTTGGTGGTGTGGATGCCAAGGTCGAGGAGGATGTGGGACATGTGGTTGAGGAGGACGGTGGAAAGACGCGGATAAGGGAAGGAGGAGAAGGAGGCAGATGAAAAGGTAGTGTTCGTGGAGCTGATGTGATGGAATGAGGGGATGAGGTTCTCGCGAAGCGTCTTGGTGATTCTGGAGATATACAACTCTTTGGAGATCTGGGGAGGGATGGTGAAGGAATTTTGAGCGTTGGTTTTAAGAATTGAGAGGAGAGCCGGATATGCTGCGCTTAGGAGACTGATGGAGTCGTCTTCAGGCGTGATTGTGGGAAGAGAAAGAAGACATGGTCTGATGGCATCTTCGAAGACGGAGGAAAGGTTGGTGCGTCGGAGGATGTCGGATTTGCTGTCTTGGATGGGAATGAGGAGTCGGGAGACAAGATTGCAACCGCGTGTTTTAAATGGTAGACTGTCATCATCGATTAATGTCAGGATGGCTGGGACTAGAAGCGGGAAATGCTCTTCGAGATGAACTCGATCTGTGGCCTGTGGAGTATTCGTTAGTTATGTCGTGGGTGGATGATCGAAGGCTGCTAGACGAACCCGGTACTGGGAGATAATCCATGAAAGGACCGTAGTGGCGTAAACATCCTGGAATTTCCATGGCTTTGTCTCCAGGTCCAAAACGCTGGTATCAAACCGAGGCAAAGGAACGGGGTGGAAATCCTTGCGGCCGGTTGCTGTGATCGCAGGGTTCCTGGTCTTTGCAAAAAGAGGTCTGATCTTTTGCTTCAGGATCTCTTCAACGGTACTCCAGAATATGGAATCCGAATTGGAATGCACGGCATCCACGTATGTCTCAAGTAAGGCAGCTGAGCATGTATGGGTCCGCGGTGAGGTCCAGGGATCACTCTCAGAGGTGAAGCTGGCCAGCGCAATGACAACATCCGGTGCACTGGCTGCATCGCAGATGGGGAGCAACACAGCCAGCGATGAAATAACTGAAATAGCAATGGCTGACCTCAGCTTATCCTCTTCGATTAGATGTCTTTGCTCTATTCAGGCTATCAGAAATCTGGAGTAGAACCGAACAGGAGAGCCAAGCCTTCGATCATACCATCGGTCAATTTTTGTGTCTCTGTGAAGACAGGCGATGGAAGTGCAGAATTGCTTGCCCAGTCATAGAGATTGTTAACGGCAATTTTATCTCCATTTGCTAAGGTCCTTGGTCCCCAGATGCTTAAGAAACCCAAGGCAAAAAGAAGGGCTTCACATCTCTAAGTCATCATCAGTGAGATATCCATGCAGACCAGTAGCTTGCATCCGCCCACCTCTATATTACTCGCATCATTCTGGGATGATATATGGTCCCATAGAGGGACTAAACTATCAGGAACCGCGACATTGGCGAGCGATGATTCTCGCAGTTCTGAATGTCGTTCTTGGATGGCGTCACGTGCCGCCCTGCGCAACTGCTCCATGGAATTGACGTCCATCGTGGACTCAGTTGGACGATGACAATGATCTCACGGTCAAACAAAAAGAATCAGGTACAACATGCGTAAAACCATCGATATACAATGGAGTTCGACATGTCAACGAGCTGATGAACACAGGTGTCGAGAGTGTGGTTTGGATAGGCAAGCGGTAAGAAAAAAATATGGGGAAAAAAAATAAAAGCAGTCTATAGTGGAGTAAAATACAGTCGTCACAAGATTCTCATTTATTAGGGACTAAGGCCTAGCTCTGCCCTTTTGCTAGATAAATACTCTAATGCTATCTCCTTGTCGGTGATCTCCGGGTGCAGCAGCTGCCACCGAATGACCATCTCCTGGGCTCTGCTCATCCACGGCCCCTTCTTGGCTCCCATACGGCGCATAATTTCCTCTCCATTTACGATGGGTTTCATTTCACATGCGTCTTCCAGGCCATGCTCTACGATATATGACAAGAATGAATGGTATGTTTTAATAACTGCGAGGAAGTTCATGTCAGCATCTGGGGTCTGTGGTCGCCAATGAAGAGAAATTAGGAACCCACCTTGAGTGAACTCGCCTCCCTGCATGACCTCTTGGAGAATGGATAGTAGAACACAAAGTCTCCAGTCCTTTTTCCACAACCGAATACTCAGCCCAATCTGCTGTCGAATTTCTGCAGGTGTGCCACCCACGCGGCCTTCTAGAAGTGATGATTTGACATCGATGATCGACCGCCAATTATTGGACGCATCGCAAAGGATTGAGATAGTCTTATTATCGGAGCGAAGACTGTCTCTGGCAACTTCCGCCGCCCGAGGAGGTAATGGCTTCGCATTAGGGCCGTCTGCAACGCGTTTGGGTACCGTAGACCAGGGAGCAAATGCCGTAATCAGCCATGCATAGTAGGCCTCTGATTCATCTCGAATAAGCCGATTGCGTACGCTATCAACTGGGGCCGAGTCTTTGGGAGTCTGCAATAAGGATTCCATAGCATTGTAAGCAAGGGGCCAAGACAGCGTATCGGCACGGACATCATCATGAAGGCTAGCAAGAATCGTTCGGTAAAGGTCAAGTCGGTCGATAAACTGCAGGGAACGTCTGGGATCAGGACCTAGAGGGGGTGAGTGTAAAGTCCATTGGGAACGACAGTAGGAAATCACCGACCTCGAATCATCTTGTCGATTTCAGCCCCTACACGTTCTTTACTAATCTTTAGCTTGAGAGCTTCGCCGATATCGCTATTTTGCATCGCCTTCTCAGTGTCCTCGTCAATGCGATAGCCGAGCCGACTGGCAAAGCGGATTAGGCGCAGGACTCGCAACGGATCATCCTTAAACGTTTGATACGGTTCTAGGGGCGTGCGGATGATTTGCTTTTGCATATCCTCGAGGCCCTTTTGGGTAAGATCTTCCACCTTGGACTCGTTCAGATTGTAGAAAAGCGCATTGATTGTAGCATCCCGGCGCATTGCATCCTCCTCAGCAGTTCCGAACTCCATCTGAGGATTCCGGCTATCCTCCGAGTATACCTCCTTCCGCAAGTTCACCAGGTCTATATCTAGCCCAAAAATCTTTGTCGTGGCTGTTTCTAGGTGCTTTGACTTCTCTGGGTTAGCCTCGATTTTATGAAGGCTGACAATGGTGTCCTTCATTTGCCCATTTGGGAGATTTTTTTTGTATTTCTCCAGTTTGCCCGGGTTATCCAGATATTCCTTCAGTAGCATTCCAAATTGAAACCCTGTCATCGTATTAATGCCCACATCAATATCGTGACTGTCAACACCTAATAACTTGTCGCGCACCCAGCCTCCAGTGAACCGGAGCACTGTGCGCGGGGTATCAGCGGCACTCGACCCTCGTGCAATCGCCCGTTCTCGCGCATATTCTGCGACATCTAGAAGGAGAGCCTTCAGGGTTTTCTCGATGGGGGTGAGTTGTATTATAGGAAGCGCTTGTTCAGTTGTAGTGGTCATAGTGCTTAATGTAGTCTCGTGCAGGCCCGGGGCAAGGTGAGAAATACGTCGTCTCTTGTTAGGTCGCTTAGGGGAGGACGTGAGAGATTTGTGACGGGTCATGGAAGAGTTGTATAATAGTAGCGAACGAGAGCTTAAGCCGTGACTCGGTGGACTTGCTAACAGTGAGAAGCTTCTAGGACGAAACGGAGGTACTGAGGGGCTAGGAGAAACATGAACAATGCGGGACAGGCGATGTTTAAAAAGAATACGACGAGAGATAGATTCGAACATGAATCACGGCCATGCCCGCTGACTCAACGACCCCAGGAAGTTGGTATACAAAGAACTCAGTTGAATATTGATCGAGAGCTGCGATGGAGTCACAATGTGGGCGGATTACCGCCTTCCCTTCTGCCGATCATAAAGACAGTACGGAGTACCAGTACTGTCCTGTCATTTACACCGAAATACAAACAGCAGAACGAAGCACAATTCCATTTTGCATCATCTTCAAAACCAGCTCCAGCCTCTACATCCAGATTGTATATCCTCGAGATTGTCAGACTCTGTGGTTCTTTCGTCATTGTGAACGACCGAAATCTGGACCTGCAGGGGCAGAGCATTTGGGCGAATCACGTCCGGCGTCCATGTGAAATGCACCACGTTGATGATTCTGCCGCGGTGACTTAGCTTTCATTCAACTAACGGCCCATTGATCCAACTCATCCTTCTTGATTCTCTTGCCATCCCCCCGATCGCCTCGATCTCGCTTTTCCTGTACTACTCTTCCGCCCTGTCTTTCTTTGCCACCGGTTCATGGACGATCAGCACTTCTGATCTTTGTTAGTCCAGCCTCGGAATCCAATCGGTGTCCATGACATCGTCCGGAGATGGTACTCCGATCAGACCTCCGCCGTCCTTCGTGCCGGGCGTTCCTCGTGTCGCATCGAAATCAAGATATCCAGATCAGCGGTGCGACTCGGCTCCGGCTTTAGATGCGGACCTGGTGGAGTCAAGACTTGGTTCATCCCCTCCCCCTCCCCTCTCAGCGACAACGGCAGAGCTTCCGATCAGATCCGTATCACCCAATTCACAGTCATTGAGATCTTCCACGCCGCAATTGGCCCGTTCATCGTTAGGTTCGCCCGTTGGCGGACGAGGGGAAGGAGCGGAGGACATACGATCTTTAATTTTACGGTCGTTCTCGCCTGTGGTCGGAGTGTACGCTTCCGTGGATACTGATGAGCTGGTCCGGCAAAAGGGATTCAAGGGTGGATTTTGGGATCTAATTCGACCTTTCGGGGAAAATGTCCCGGGAAAAATCGTCATCCGGGACAGTGTAGGTGCAAGCCGTGGCTGGGAGGATTATGGCGTTCGGTTTGTTGATTTGGGGAGCAGCGTCTGGACTTCCTCCGACTCGAACGCGGAGCGAGTTTCCCCTCTTGCTCAGGTGGAGGAAGTTTTGGAAAGGCACCTAGATTCAGATGGTGGTCCACTGAGCGGAATACTGCCCTCGAAGAATCTCCTAAACAGCTCTACGACATCCCCGCTATATAAGACATTTCTCCGCCAGCTACTATCCGTGGCGTCTGCGACACCACATGAGACATTCCGCCATCCGGTCGCCAGTATTATTGTTATTAGCTCACGCAACACATCTCCTCTTGAGTCACTGAGAAGACTATATGCAGACACCAGCAACGGCGACAGGAGCTTACCAGGATGGATAAATCCCGAGTATCTCCGTTACTATGTCCTTGTGCATGACGAGGACAGGGACGATATTACCGAATCAACAAAGCTATACGACCAGATGAAGCGGCATTTTGGGCTCCATTGCCATCTTCTGCGACTCCGGAGTTATCAATGTGTCGTGACCGATGATGATAGCGTTCAAGTGCCTGAATGTGAGTGGCTGTCGCCCTCGGAACGTCTATCGGACAGCGTAGGTAAGCGCAAATCATCTTCCAATTCCGCGTACTTGCCTTCCATTTGGGCTCTAATATGTTGCAGCTCCCCTTGTTGACCTGGACACCGATGGACTGCCTTACTTATTTGACTCTGATGTGATGGCTATTAAAGCTTTTATTCGAGAGCTAGTAGCCCAGTCTATAATCCCTTATATGGAAAACAGGGTGTCCGTATGGAACGACCAGGTGGCCTCTCGGAGGCGTGGAATTAGTGGCCGCTTTATGTCAATGTCACGGCGATGGACAGGCTTCGGGTCGGGGTCTCGGTCCAGTTTGACGGGGTCTGGAGGCGGCGCTAGTGGCAACTATGACACTATCCATGGCTTTTATAGGCCCGACGTACCGGAAGCCATCCTGCGTAGGATGGCCGACTTCGCCTTCATGCTTAGGGACTGGAAACTAGCCACATCAACCTACGAGCTGATCCGCTCAGACTATGGAAACGACAAAGCATGGAGATATCATGCTGGCGCACATGAGATGTGTGCCATAAGCACGCTTCTTAACCCCATCGCAGTTTCGGCCAAGGGAAAACTTGCCGGGATCGACCAAATGCTCGAAACTGCCTGTTACTCCTATCTCACAAGATGCTCTGATGGACCAAGCGCTTTACGTTGCCTCTGTTTAGCGATGGAGCTTCTAAAAGTGCGAGGAGGGTCGGCCGTGGAGAGCGCAGCGAAATGGGCCATGCGGGCTATGGACCTCGGGTTAGTCGGCTCGATAGGCCAAGGACTCTTCAGCGAGAGGATTTCCTCCTGTTATGCTACCAAAAATCCCATTCCCGGTGTGACATGGGGTTCGCGCCGTAGGAAAGCTGGGATGTGGTGCGTTCTCGCGGCAGACGCGTGGCTCAAGCTCGGCAAGCCATTGTTGGCATCTGCATGTCTCGAGGAAGCAGAACGCCTTTATGCAGGTGTCTTGGATGGCGATGGTGTGTTTCCAATGCCAGAAATCCAAGAGTTCATCGACAGCCTACGACACGATGTGAAAGTGGAATATCTTGAGAACGGGGAATTGGATACTCAAGATCAAGCAATTCCGGCGGATCCTCTTGAGACTGAAGAAATCAGTGAGAAGCTGGATAAACGGATGAACCGCAAGTCCCTAATCAATAGTCCCTTAGAGTCCGCTGGTGGTCTCAACCTTGGGCAGGGAATGAGAGATAATGACAACCCAGTCAGTGACGACTTTGAACGAGCATAGGCACTAAGATCGACGGGCGTATGAAAGGGCATTCGATAATTAATAGACGTTTGTGAACAATGAAGATTCCGTCCATGTATAAATCTGTTCTGGTTCTACTCCTTGCTGCGTAGTTAATTGCAAAGAGCATCCCTCGATGATATCACGTGATGCTATCTTATCGATAGCGGATGATCACCGCCAATGCTCAGCAACCATCATCATTCATTGTTGACACTCCCAGGGCCGAAGGCCTCACAGGCATAGCACGACACCAGTCATTACTGTGTATCCCACACCCTCGCAAACGATACTAAACTCAATCCTCAGCGACACTAACAGCAACGCACAACTGCCATCCAGTCGACATGAACGACCTACTCAATTTCATCCTGGCCCAGGATGCCTTTCGAAAGTCAGCTACCTTCCCACTCTCCCACTAGGACCAACTCAGTACTACGAACCCCGCGATAATCTAACCAGGTCTCTAGAAATCGCCTCCCCTCCCTCTACTCCGACTTCGCTATACACAGAAAGACCAACCCAGACGGGTACACCGTCAATGTCTCCGCATGGGAACAAGCTCTACTGAAGGCCGCACGAAATGGATACATACCAGCGTCACATGGGAGTAGCGGTGAGCCGAGTATCTCGACAAGTTCTCAAGCTATAAAGCCGAAAAAAGACCATTTGGTACTTCGAGCGGACGAGTCGCTATTACGTGCGCTCGAGCTCCCCGAATGGGGTCGGCCCATTGCGCTTGCTGCTGTCTTTGTATGTGATGTCGATACCGGTTTGTATGGCACGTTTAGACTGATTTGGGAACTGGTTTAGGATGAAGCGATTCGGAGTCGTATTATGGTCCCCTTGCAGATGTACCGGGCTAGTTCGTCAAGTTTGAATAAACCACAGTGGAGTCTGATTGAGCCAGGGGTGCTGAATCCATGGAGTGTCATGAGTTGGGGATTGAAGCAGTTGAAGGGTGTTGTAGTCGGTTTAGACAGAGAGTCTACTCCGCCCTTACAGGCCCAGGAGCTGGTGTTGGTGGAAAACTTGAAGGTGAGAGGTCTAGCATAGATGATGTTGTTGATAGGACATTTGACAATGTGCCTGCTGACTGTTACGCTGTAGGAGGCGGCTGGTCTGATCGTGAAGCAGGCGATGAGCCGAAATTCATCTAAGACTGATCTCATATACTCCAAAGAAAACTTTGTACAAGAGTTTGCGTCGGTGTTTACCGAAGAAAACGATTTATCTCATACGGATTTTAATGTGCTACTGATGTATTTATCTCGCGACAGCGGTGCTATTGCATATGACGGCAAGGTATGTACTTCTGTATTCCCATCAAAATGCAACTCAATGCTCATATTGCCTAGACGATCAAATTCCGATCTTCAAATGACGCCCCTAAGGAGATCACCGAACAAGATACAGCCATTTGCTCTATTAAGTCGGCCATGTCGGCTATGACGAAACAAGTGGAAAACTTGGAAAACAAGATTATAGAGCTGAATTTGACAGCAAAAGCGACCCTGCACAATAAGAATAAGATCTCGGCGCTGGCCGCGGTGCGCTCTAAGAAGCTTGCGGAACATAATCTGAAACAAAGATTAAACACCCTGGCGCAGTTGGAAGAAGTTTACTCCAAGATTGAACAGGCCACAAGTCATGTTGAATTCGTACAGGTGATGGAGACAAGCACTGGTGTTCTGCGCGGGCTGAATACCCAAATTGGTGACTCCACGAAGATCGAAGATATCGTTGACGAGCTGCGCGAAGAGATTTCCAAGGTAGACGAGGTGGGTAACATCTTGAACGAAGCCGGTCCCCAGATCGACGAGGCCGAAATAGATGACGAGCTTCAAGAGATGGAGAACAAAGAGCAGCACGACCAGGAGGAAGAGGAAACACGCAGGAGGCTCGCGGAGCTTCACGACCTAAAACAGCGTGCCAAAGAGCCACGTACAGCATCTAATCAGGGAGTGGATTCCGCACTAGAAGAGAGCATTGGCAGGCTGTCTCGCATGTCTGTAGAGGAGGGGCGCGAAGCCACAGCCCAATGAGACAAGAGATCCACAGCCAGAATAATGCTTGTATCTAAGATTTTGGGGCCTTATCAACTACTATGTGGAAGGGGCGTTGAGCACCTGGCTGTTACTGGGCTCTTGGACTTCGTTCTCAGCGACTTTGACGTCTGTGAGATCTACCGTTAACCCGTCCGGCTTCGGCACCTCCACCGGAATAGAAAGTTCGGTCGGCTGCGCAGAGTCTGATGCATTTGGCTCATCATCTGATGTTGCGGAAGCTTGGGGTATCGTTGTGCGAACTAACGCATCGCTTCGTTTTCGGGCATTTGCAATTAATTGCTTGAAATCGCTGTCATAGTTTGCAGACCATGCGTCTGAATCGAAGTCTTTGCGCATGACCGTATTCGCCGACTCAGCTGACGACGACGTCTGGCCACCTTGCGTTCGCTCCCAGATCTCTAATTCGTGCAACAATTCTCTTTTGGATTTGGGAGTTCTGGAGTCACAGTTCGCATTCCATAGATTCATCCATTCAGTATGACGTCTTTGCAAGAGGGGCCGCGGTCCCCAGTTCGGTATACCCAGATCTTTGAGCTTTCTTCGCAGAACAGCCTCCTTTAGAATAGAATAGTTTATAATCGGAAGTCTTTCGGGTTGTTTGCCTGTAGTTGGCTGCTTGAGCGAGGCTGGTGACTTGGGTTGTAGAGACCTAGTTATGCTGTCAGCACACAATAAATGAGGTTGAGTCCTCATGTAAGCTGAAATATTACCCAAAGGAGATCTGATTCTGGGGTGTAGGATTCCCCGGGCAACTATCGAGGTGTCGAAATACTGCCTCGTTCTTCATCCTCCGATTACAAACGGGGCATGCAACCAATCCATCGTCTATTTAAGTTAGGTTCTAGCCGCACCCGATTCGAGCTGAAATATAATGGACATACCAGGAACATATTCCTCATCCTGGCTATCCTCAATAATTTCCACTGCAGCTGGCTCCGGCGCATGGTCAACGCCTTTACTTTGCGACCGGGTCTGTCTTACAACCATCTCAGGCTCTTCCTGCTCAGCAATCTTACGTTTTTTTGACGCAGGCTGTTCCACCTCTTCCGTGTCGCCTGTGCGATCCGCAGCAGCGGCCTTCCTCGCTAGTTGTAGCACGCTCGGTCTTGCATTCTGGAACGCCTCCACAAGCTCCTGAACCGCCCAATTACGCCGCAACTTGAGCTCTTGATCCGAGCACCGACACGCGGGGCATTTTCCTTCAGTACTAAGACAACGTCGAATGCATAGCGAACAAAACGTATGACTGCACGAGGTGATGACGGGGTTATCGAAAAAGTCCTTACACACTTGGCAACGGAGGGAAGACTCCAGCGGAGTGAGGAGAGACAATGGCGTGTCGAGCCAGTCGGTGGAGTCGGGGAGATTAAACGTCTGCTCCATAGGGTACGCCGGAGCAATTCATGGGGAGAGAGTAGGTATGTCTATCATGCAACGGCGTCATGCGGGCGGAACGAGGTATTTTGAAGACGAGTCGACAGCTATGCCAAGACCCGCTGACTGATACGCGTTAAGTGGTTTGGCACGCGTCGTCATCATCTTCCGTCCTCGACAATCGAGCTTGCCCCCTCTGCAAGTAACATGGCTGTCGCAGATTATAAGAAATACTTGGCGGAGAATGTTCTCAATGAGCACCGCACGGTAGGTGATTGTCTCCCCGCTTCAGTGTTTCCCAATGCTTATTTTGTCTTCAACGTACAGGTCACGTATCGCTCGTTGAGTCGAGCTCTCCGGATCCACTGCACGGTAGCGAAGCAGTAAGTTGATCTATCGATCTTTTTATCATGGATTATTGGTGTCTAATTGGGGATAAGAATGTTGTATGACTTCCACCACAGCGAGAACAACAAAACACCGCATAATGTGAATGCCACGTACCTTGTCGCGGGCATTCTGAAACCCCGCACCGCTATGAATGGCGCGCATGCCAATGAAACCACCAACGGAGATGAGGTGATGCCGAGTAGCCCACACTTGCCCAGTTCAATGCCTAACCAAGACATGGAATCCGACAATATCACGACAGCCTCTATCCTTCTTGTGCGGGAGGAGGACCTGGAAGGTAAGTACCGTATATGGTCAACCAGATCGCGCGCATTAACGCCTTGGAGCAGATGCGAAGTCCACCTTCCAGTCAATATCGTCAATTCATGTTTATAGTCTACAGCCTACGGTTCTCCAGGATCTCAATGTGTTGACAGATGTCAGTCGGGAAATGATGACAAACCATGCTCAGGAGGACCCGCTGGAATATGGCAAGCAATGGGGTATGATCCAAAATAAGAACGTGAAGGTGGTTATACATCTATATCCTGATACATGACTTAATACTAAAATATTCTCACAGCGGCGTAAGGGAACGCGGCCGCCGGCCCCAGCTCCAGCCCCAGCTCCTCCGTCTTCCAAACCTGTCGTTCCCTCGAAGAGACCGAGCGAAACATCGCACTCCGAGCCTAAAAAGGAGGCCCGCTCAGGTTCCGCTCAACCATCACAGAATGACAGTGCTCCCTCGAAGCCTGTGGAAAAGCCAGCTCCGAAACGAGAAGCGAGTAACCTTTTCAGTTCTTTTGCCAAAGCCAAGCAGAGAAAAGACTCTACAGCACCAGCTGCTGCCAGAGTGGAATCGGTCAGTGCAGCCTTTCTCTTCTGGCCCCGAGATTTGGGATTCTTATGCTAACAATTCATTAGGCCGAGCCAAGTGGCCCTGAAGAAGGTGAGCTGAGCTGACGTTCAGCATTTCTTCCTATGGCCCATACTAACTGACGACTGCAGTCATTCTGGATGATGCCTCAGAAGAAGAACCAGAGGAGCTGTTCCCCGAAACTGGCCAGACATCATCCACCAGCCCACGAGAGACCAGGAAAGAACGAGAAGAGAAATTGAAACGAATGATGGAGGATGACGGTAGGATTATCTAGACCTAGATCAACACATATTTTGCATGACGACGCTAACCGTTTTCAGACGATGAAGAAATGCCCGATGCTGCGGAACCCGAAGAGGAATCCAACCCTATCGACGAAACGCCTCCAAAGCCCCCTTCACCTAAAGAAGAAGTCACCGTCCGAGGAGGTCGTCGACGGGGAAGGCGCAAGGTCATGCAGAAGAAGACCATCAAGGACGAGGAAGGGTATTTAGGTAAGAGGCTCTACTGGCGATCCGATAAGCCATGTACCGGCTAACATATCTCTCTCTTTTCAGTCACCATCGAGGAGCCTTCATGGGAATCATTTTCCGAGGATGAACCGGCACCACTACCCAAGAAGAAGACCACCGCGATTGCGCCGAAGGGTAAGGCAGGGGGGAAACCGGGACAGGGCAACATCATGTCGTTTTTCTCTAAGAAGTGAACTCCAAGTGGGTTATTTCGGGGGGTCGTGGTAGTTGCGACTGGTGCAGTGTCCCTCTGTTCTTGTAATGTAGCCAAGTCTTTTGATTTCCAGCTTATAGGACATGGAGATGAATTGGATCGAGCATTTCTAGCGTCTTTGTGAATGTTTACTTCCCCGCTTCTCCGCATTCCTCGCCTTGGCATCCAACAACAATTTGAAACATCGTCACTCCCCCAATCGTCCCTTCCATTCCTTGATTTACGAGCATCAATCAGCTTCTGATTGATGGTGACTCATATGCACTAGTGACCTTGCATCGCGCACTCCACCATCATGATATGCTCATTGGCCACGCTACTCCTCGCTCTAGCATATGGTGCAGGCGCAAGGGGCACCGCAGGACATCCTGAATCGGCCATTCTTCGACGAGCCTGTCCGGAATATACCTCGTATGCCTCCTTCAGACATCCTCCATACAGCGAGGGTCCGCTGAGTCTACCCTTCCAGCGACCAGCTCAAGAGTGTCGGACCTTCAGTTCCCCAGCAGTGGAGCAAGTCATTGAAGATATCACCTCGCGCATGAAGGACAAGGATCTCGCCCAACTGTTCCGTAATGCCTTTCCTAACACTCTGGACACGACCATCCAGTGGCATGTGGATGGCTCGTCCTCAGTAGCGGCGACCAGGAGAAGGGATGGCTCTCAATGGGAAGGGCCGCAGACCTTTGTCGTGACGGGCGATATCAACGCCGAATGGCTGCGCGACTCAACCAATCAATTATCCCAGTATCAGGCCCTGGCAAAGAAGGACAAACAGCTCTACAATCTTATCTTAGGCGCCATCAACACCCAGGCCGAGTTTGTCATTCAGTCCCCATACTGCAATGCGTTCCAGCCACCACCGCCAAGCAAGCTCGCTCCCACCAACAACGGACAGGATGACAAGGTCCATCCGGCCTATGAGCCATCCGTGGTGTTCGAATGCAAGTACGAACTCGATTCGCTGGCGCATTTTCTCGCCCTTGGAACGGAATTCCACGAAAGCACCGGATCGACAGACTTCCTTACCAATCGTTGGTATATCGCACTAGACACCCTCCTGAAGGTCCTAGACGCCCAGTCACAGCCAACCTTCAGCGACAATGGCCAGCATGTCGTCAACCAGTACACCTTCCAGCGCAAGACCACCTTGGGCACGGAGACTCTGAATCTTGCCGGCATCGGCAATCCTCTAAACCACGGTACTGGGCTCATCCGCAGCGCGTTCCGTCCCAGCGACGACGCGACAATTCTCGGATTCTTCATTCCACCCAATGCCATGATGGCCGTTCAACTCAAGAAGATTGCGAAGGTTCTCCGCGCCGCGGGAGGCAAAGCCGACCTGGCGAACGAACTGGAACAGCGCGGCGAGCGACTCGACCGAGCCGTTCGGGAACATGGCGTAGTGCATCACGCCAAATATGGCGATGTCTTCGCCTTCGAAGTCGACGGTTATGGCTCGCGTATCCTCATGGATGATGCCAATGTTCCGTCGCTGCTCTCCCTGCCGCTCCTGGGCTACGTCAACCAGGATGACCAGGTCTACCAGAACACCCGGAAAATGCTGCTCTCCAAAGACGGCAACCCCTACTACCTCATGGGTTCTGCGTTCCATGGCATTGGCGGTCCTCACAGTAAGCTAAGCTAAGCCAATCACCCTGCCCCTTCTTACTAGTATGCCCGTCTAATAAAAGCAGTTGGTCTCCAAAACGCCTGGCCAATGTCCCTCCTCGTACAGGCCTTGACCTCGGACTCGGACGCCGAAATCACTGCGTCTATTAACCTCGTGCGGGACTCCAGTCTTCTTGGCCTCATCCATGAGTCGGTCAACGTCGACAATATCAAGGATTATACACGCTCGTGGTTCGCTTGGGCCAATTCGGTCTTTGCGCAGACAATCTTTAAGATTGCCGCCGAGAGGCCTCATTTGATTTTTGGTGAAGGTGCGGATCCGTATATCATTGAATAAGTCATCGTGCGGTTCCCTTAGGGATGGATTTAGGTGGATGCTGTGCATAGAGTTTATGTAGTTGTCAACTGTATCTTCAGTGGACACGATAGATGCATATACTAGCAACCCGTCTCTAGTTACATACAACCCGAACTGGTTTAATAATACCGATTGCTCATGCACCATGCATGCTACATACTATATACAAAAGTCCCTTCGATTCTTGATTCTCCTAAATCAACACACGTCTTAGCCCCTCCGTTCCACCCAACACCCTCCGACCTGTCACCGGACATCTCCCCTTGCCACTCTCCCATTTCCCCTGGCGACTTTGGCCGGGCTTCCCCTCGGAGGTTCCCTCGGCGTCCTCACCGCCTTCTTCCCATGCAGCCCCAGCACCCTCGCCATTCATGAAATCAATCTGTCTCTGATGCTCGCCGTTCAACCAATGGAAGACACAGACGTAGCAGAATACGTATCCCGTCTGGCACGCCGTCGGGCTAGTCAGCGAATTCAAGCACACCGGACACGTCGAGGCGACGTCGGAGTCCGCAGGAGGAAGGGGCACGGTGAAAATAGGAAGATACGAGGTGGCGGAGATGGGCGGCTGGATACGGCGGCGCGGGGATTTGAAGGCGGATTTCGGCGAAGAGGGGTTCGATTCTTGTTTTTGGGCCTCCTTCCTTTTCTTCTTTTCTTCGAGGGCTTGCCGCTTCTCCGACGGGGAGATCATCCCGTTTGCGACGGGGGCGGGTAGGTCCAGGACGTCGGTGGCTTTGCGGGTAAGCTGTCGCGAGAAGTCGCTGGCGTGCCACCATTCGAGGAATTTCAGGGCGAAGATGGACGCAGGGAGGAAGTAGCGCAGGGAGGTGAGGAGTTGAGGGTAGAGGTTCTGTGGGCTGAACATGCCCAGGAGGCCAGAACCCGGGCGGGATCGAGCGCCTGCGCCGGGGCCTGTGGCTGGCTTGGGATCCAGCACTGCCGCAATGGCTTGGTGGTCGGCGGCGCCGAGACGACGGATGCGGGTGCCGATGAGCCAGAGGAACGGCGAGGAGTACTTGGTGTTGTCGAATAGGTAGGCCAGGTTGAAGGCCAGGATGGAGAAGTAGTAGGCGGCGTTGAAGGACGGGTAGACGTTCCGAAGGAACCACTTGTAGAAGCGCAGGAGTCGCTGGCGGATGGTTGGGTTGGGAGGGAGGTCCTCGCTAGGATTGTAGCGGGGACCACCGCTCATGATCAACGAGGCCTGCGGAGCGGCGTGCACCTCGTAACCTTCATCGAGCTTGCATTTCAAATAGGGAATGCCGACCATAACAATGAGGTTCTTCCAGACGTCGGAGGAGCGTAGCTTAAGGGATTCCCGAACGTGACCAGAGGCACCGAGTTGGGCTCGAGGGATCTCACCATTCTTGGTCAGGAGCACACGTTCCCGCTTCAGGGAATAGAAGTTCTCGGTGAAGGAGCCACCAAAAGTGCGCAGATAGTAGCGTTCGACCACGAAAGACAAGAGGGCGTATATTTCATCGTAGGAGTTCAGGATTCGCAACAAGTACCGAGGATGACGGTGAGTAGCGACCGCGAGGATGTATCGAATGGAGGGAGGGAGGAGGGAGGAGAGCTGTTGTTCGGCGAGGAGTTCTACCGAGAGATGTTAGATGGAGATTGGAATGAACTGTTGACGAGCCAATTACATACCAAAGAGAGACGGCTTGAGCTCATCAAACTCCTGCTGTAGACTTGGGAGGTATTCCATGATGGCGATGGAAGCCAGGCAAATCCCAACGCATCTCAAGCGCAGCGATGGTGTTGGATGACAAGGGAATGCGGAGTTGCGACTTCCTAAATAGGCGAAGCTGAAGTCGAACTGAGCCGAGGCAGGGAATGCTGAGTCATTCGCCTGATTTGCCATCTAGTTAACTAGATATAAAGCGATGATGACACCTGTTTCCCTGTTTTTGAGGAATACCTATTCCAGGGAAGACCCTACTATCTTAATAATACATCTCTATCTGCTGTTAAAAATATCGATGGAGGTTACATAGTACTTATCTGACAACTAGCTAGTTCAGCTGAAGCTATGCCAGACCACAAAAGCAGATAGAAAAAACGACGAAGAGTAAGCTATTCCCTCCCGCAGAATGATGCCACATTGTATATTCCATGTAGACCCGAGCCTCATGTTCAAGTCAGTCATTGTCATGGTCAAATTCATTTTTCCTACGAAGTCTCATCATACTGTGCAGCTCTGACAAACTGAAAGATGGCCGATGATACTCAGCAAAACAGAATAGATGAATATCGAGGAAACGCGGTGTTGATATTCACTGGGATCTTTCCTCCCCGCCAGATATTCTATGTTGCATTGCGACTTGTCGTCGGTATAAGCGCAACGCACCATGAGGCTTCGACGACACGATGGACTTGCTTGCGATTGCTGGACAGGTTGCCATAGCAGGCATTGCAATTAGCATTATTTTCCAACCTGGTTCCACAATTCAAGTGCTGATTGTTGTCCATCGTTGAAGGCGCTGTCAATTTGCCTATCTCCTGGCTAAAGATCCGTCTCTGGTAACTGCAGTGTCGAAATACTTCGTGGTCATACGTATCCTGTATGCTGTCAATGCGAATTTCCCAAAATCTCCATTCTCCTCCTTTATCAATGTTTGTTCCCGACAAAGGCATATCAGGTGGATACTTTATCACCATGGGACTCATGTGGCCGGCGTCATTGTCTACTTACTAGCCTGCCTACCGTTTGCTGCGTACTGGGATGAAACCACCCCGGGAGCCCATCGCTTGGATAATCCCTGTATTCCCAGGGTAGCCTTCCACATATTGTCACAGATATGATCATGCTTCTTCTCCCCATACCAGTGCTGTAGTTGCTACAAATGAATTGGGGATGAAGCTCGGCTTAACAGTCATTATTGGAATAGGCAACCAATAAGACACAACCTGTCATCATTGCCAAACTTTTACTTTCAAAGTTCAGAGACTAAAGATATCTTTGTACATAGGGCCTGGTCATAGCTATAATCCGCTTCCATGCATTCTTCGAAATCCACTCACTAGTCGATGCTACCTAGGATAGTTCCTACATGAATATCTGGACGCAAGCTGAGTCAGGTGCTTATCTGATATTTGCCTGCGTGATCACATATAGACTCCTGTTAGAGCATGTAGGGTTTGCGGGTCAGCTTTTCCGACTCACCCAGCCATCATCGAGCCACTCGGGAGAACGGTCAGCTCCGATGCAGTCCTCAGATACCCAGAAGGCGCATAAATTGTTTTTAAGTCATCGAATCCGATACTGAGCGTGCATCAGTTTCGTAATAGGGACGAACAGAGGTTTTAGAAAAGTGCCTTCAGCCAAATTTATTTATATTAGCTAAGTCGATAATACTTACCTGGATAGAGTGACTAAAACTCAGTCCGGAATACTCTTAGAGTACAATCTCGCCACACCGTCTTCTAATAGCAATCTTTGCAGATGGGTTTGCTTGGAGACCGAACCCCCTAGGACGCGGCTCACGATGTGACCCATCGACAGGTCGGAAGTCATAGTGTAGGAGAAGATGGCACATGATAATTTTGATCTGGTTTCTCGCAAAGAACCGACCCGGGCACGCATGCTGCCCATACCCAAACCCAATGTGTCTGTCACTCGCTGAAGCAAACTGCGTCCAGAGTTCCTGGTTCCCAACTTGGTTCCCAAACTCACGGATATTGTAGAAACGATAGCCATCAAAACTCCGCGCGTTGGGGTAAATCTCTGGGTCGTACATGTGATGACCAGACACAATGGTAAAAGTGCCTCGGGGAATTATGATCCCATCGGACAGGACAATCTCCTTTTCTGCGTATCGTTGAAGGCCTGGAGCGATTCTTGTCAGTAGACAGTTTCAATCAGACGGGTTGAAATTGTCGCGGTCCTTGGCCGTAGCAATCTAACTAGCTAACTCACCAGTGACTACAGGCTTCAACCGCTGGCTCTCTTTCATAACGCTGTCAAGAAGTCGGAGCTTATACAACGTTGCCTTGCCCCAACCATTCTCACTAAGTACGGAGACGATCTCGTGACGCAGATTCTGGACCAGCTCTTCGCGGCCACAGAGATCGTATATCAACTGAGTGATCATGTCTGAAATACTGGAGATGGAAACGAATGCGAGGTTCAACTGCGCGGAGGCAACGTCATATTCACAGCCGTTGGCGCGCTCTTCGAACCAGTCTGTAATACCGAGACTCGCCTTGGGTACTTCCCCCGGTTCGATTGATGTCCTTGCTCGCATACGCTTCCTCTCCAGAAGAGGGTTGATCCAATCCCTCGTTTTTTGAAGACGCGTACGCAGTCTTCGTACGTCCGGGGAGAAGTGAGCAGCAATGGGTCTTAGAACTCGTGGCCAAAGTCGTAAGGAATCCGCAGCATCCGCTGCGCCGACGATGTAATTGATAATATTGTCAAGCCACTCTGGGCATCGTGAAAGTTCCTCGCCGACGAAAACTCTCGAAGAAAGCCGACCAACGATCCTGAGAATTTGATCTGCTAGGCAAACTTGGTGCCATTCTGGCCCAAATAGTCAACAGTATTAGAGCCAGCTGTACTGTATTTTTTGCATTTGGACTTTCTCACCTGGGTTATCGGTCAAGACATTTGTGATCACCGAATTGGCGTCTTGGATCATCGGGTCGACAATGTTCCCTGAATTTGATATCAGATATCCGTCGTGACGTCCAAGGCGGACGACAAACATACCGAGAGCTCGCACCATTTTCTTCCTGATCGTGTCTTTGAAAATCGGCCCGGTCAATGAAGAGTACCCAAAGGCCTCAAACCCAGGAATATGGCTGTGGAATTTCTACAGACTGGTCAGTTTTTGATTGAACGCCACATCTACTGGGCTACCTTTACATTCTTGACCACAGGTTCAAAACGAAGACTAGGGTTCGTGCGGATCTCAGTGAGATATTTTGGGGCGAGGATGAGCTGGATTCCGCCATCGGTCACCAGACGGAATGCGTTGCTAGACTTTTTGAACCCGATCTGGCAGAGGTGCCCGGCATTTTTATAGAATCGCTTCTTTGTGTTGGTCCACGTGAATTCCAATGCCTTTCTCGAATTGACCAACGGCAAACTATGTTTGTGATATGCTGGTGAAAAATATACAGCGGCAAACAGGGCACCGACGGTCAAGATAGTGATATACACAGATAGATCGTTTGAAGGAGAGTGATATAGAAGCTTAAGCTTAAGCGTTATATCCGACTGCATCCTGGTCTTCATTCAGTGCCTTGGGGTTTACAGTGGCCACTGGCCAGGTATTATGCACGGCAGGCAACAGAGAGTGGACCAATAGGGGGGAGAGCTCCTGATGGATTTGCAAACGGACAGTTGCTATCCCTTGTTTTCCTGCTGTAATTATCGCCGAACCCTCCTCTATGACCTGAAGATTGTCGAAGAATGTGGGTCGTCCTGCATACCACTCACTCTTCTACCACCGACGATACTGCCGGAAGCAGACAGAGGTCCCTGCACACGTCCACTGGGCTAATAAAGCAGGTTTAAAAGGAAGAACCCCCACCTGTGCATTGCCAATGGGCCTTACATCGTTCCAATTAATTGTCATAACCTGAGATATAACGCACCCATCGGTGACTATATTGGTTGCCGAACAACAAGGACCAAGTCGCCTGTCTATGGCTAAGTCAGAAATCACATCTTCTATAAATATCATCGATATTCGCTCGGAGCCAACGGATGGAGTTATTCAGAAGTCCCTTCATGACAGCATTCGCCAACTACACCAAGAACAGGCATCCCTTCCGAACTTACTTCTCTGGAATGAGGAAGGCCTACGTTGCTTCGAAAAGATCACCTACTCGGACGACTATTATCTCACTAGTGAGGAGATCGATATTCTCAGGCAGTCGTGTCACAAAATTGCGGCTCGAATCCCCAGTGGGAGCATACTAGTAGAGTTGGGGAGTGGGTAAGCAGTTCGTTTACTTCGAATGCCTTTTCTTATATATTCTTTGACGGTAATATAGAAACCTACGCAAAATCAAAGTCCTTCTCGATGCACTGGACAGCCAAGGGCGTGACGTGGATTATTTTGCACTCGACCTTTCTCTGCCCGAGCTTCGACGGACCCTGTCGCTAGTATCTACGAACAATTTCGCCCACGTCCGCTGCTTTGGTTTGTTGGGAACGTATGACGACGGCAGGAAATGGCTCCAGAGGCCCGAACAGCAGAATCGGTCGAAGGTGATTGCGTCCCTAGGGTCTACACTTGGTAGTATGCAGCGAGACGCTGCAGCAGAGTTTTTGGCCAGCTTCACCGGCCAGCTAGGTGGAGCGAGCTGTCCTGCGGCCTTCCTACTGGGACTTGACGGCTGCACTGACGGGAAGAGGGTCCACAGTGCCTACAACGATCCGGCTGGGTTGAATCGCAAGTTCATCAAAAACGGTCTGGTCAAGGCCAACCATCTCCTGGGCTACGAAGCGTTCAGGCTCCAGGACTGGGGGATCGTTGGTGAATGGGATGCCAGCAAGCGGTCCCACAACCAGTACTATCACGCGTTGACGGACACCCGAGTGGGTAGCCAGGCTGTCCAAGCGAGGACCAAGGTCCTTGCGGTCCATAGCCTCAAGTATGATGATGACGATAAGCGCGCTTTGTGGAACAGGGCTGGCGTTATGGAGACTGAGAGATGGACCTCGTCATCGGGACAATACCGTAGGTCCCATAACAATTCCTTTTCTGCATTGAGATTTGCTAATATAGAATTTGTGTCTGTAGACATTCACCTCCTAGAAATGCCTCGCAATTGAAGAAGACCACAGCTACTACGAACGTGTGTTTAATCTATAATCTATATTTATATACTTTGAGTTCTAGACGAGTTATCTGTCCTACAGATAGATCCTATTAAACTCTAATTTGGATTTAAAAACAATATAATATAAATGTATCCCATATTACGATATCTAAAGAACGAAGTTACCAAAATTATAAGATAGGTAAAAATAGGAAACATCCAAGTATACGGTCTCTCACTAAGTTCGAGTCCTTTTCAAGGTACATTAACTCGTGCCCTTATGCTAATTTTTTATCACTCCGTTCTTAAAGACAGAGAATCCTGTAATGCAGTCTTCCATTGAGACGCGTCAACCGACTCCCTTCGCAGATCGATCCTGGATGCGGAATCTGCAAAGAAGGAAGGCTCGCATGTATGTACATGCGGTAGTATGTTTGAATCCAGCCTATGCCAATTAGACTCTTACGAATATCTGCATAACGATCTGGAAATATGCATAGCAATAGGTTTGCAAGTTCGAAGACTAAGTTACACAGACCTGAGTTCCAAGCTTTAGGGCAGCCATGTTAGATTCTCGACAAATATGTCTGTGCTCGTAACTGCAGAACTTCCTCCTAAGTGTCTGGCGGTTATGGCGTACAGGAGGTCAATACAGACGTATCTAGATTATCGAAGACGAGAGGGCTAAACTTGTTTCTTTTTCACGCATATTTATGTAAGTGTGCAGATAGTATGTACATATTGTGGAGTGGTTCGCCCCGGCGGAAGGCATTATTTAGTTAAGAGTCCACCGGAACAGGCGGCGTTACGGCACAATCTAAGATGGCTTGAGCTTTCTCTTGCATACATGTGGTCCACTTAATTAAGTCTTTCACCAAGAGGGATATTGAAAGATTCAAAATAATATACAGAAGGATCCCAAATCTGGAGCAAGACGTTCATGATGCAAAGATCGACTGGCTGCCAACCGTAAGCGGACCGTCAACAAATAGCAGCTTTAGTATCATCTTTTAGGCTTTTCAGTCCCCGGATTTATCTAAATCGGTGTTCCCATAATAATCCATAAAGATATGGTTCCAGAAAATTCGGTACGTATGGATACATAGTTATATAAAATACAGAGAAATACACTCATCCAATCCAGACCCACTCAGGCAGCCCTCGTCCTTTCGCATTCCCTCCAAATCCGCGCCAGGTGGCAAGTAGATCCATCTGCCACCTTGTCCTCAATCTCCGGATCCGCCAGTATAATACAGTACCGGATATCCTGTAGGAGCTGTCCTTGCAAAGGAATCGGCGGGTCTTCCCGACTCATCATAGGAAACCAAGTTGACAGGCATTGGTGCGCGCGGGATTGGTCTCCGAGGTCAATATGGAGCCGAAAGAGAAGCTCATAGTCAGCCACAGTACGAGGACTATCATTGAGCGGAAGCTTGCGCCACAGTTTCCAGAATCCCTCGTAGTCTTGATTCTGGAATAGACGGACCATCAAGATACGGGCTTGCTCGGGGTCAAAGGGAACTTGAAGCATGTCGATCATCCGCAAAATCCGGAGTCCTGCGGCCTTATTGGATGCTAGTCTTTCTTGTGCATCTTCCGGCGACGTGACATCGGAGACTCGAGTTGTGACTTTATAGATCATGTTGAACACTTTCATGTTCAACACATCTGTGCCCTGAAATGACAGGTACTCTAGAATGTCAAGAGCCGTTTCTTTATCCTTGTCCGGTAGTAACCCCGTGGGCCGCTCGGTCAACAAGGTAGAAACAACCTGAAAGCCCAACTCATCGGAGATAGAATAGCCCATTGCGGTACAATAGTCAAAAGCCTCCAGCAAGCCCTCCTTGCTATATGCCGGATGTTGCCGAGAAATCGCCACGCACAATAATTTGATGTTGGATATAGCCTTTTCCTCTGCGGATACACCTGTTAGCTGTTCAAGAAACTGCCGCAAAAACAATGTTGAGGCATCGCCCGGGCCCTGACCCAGTTCATATCTAAAATCCTCGTCTGGCAATCCCGATAAATGTCGCAATAAAGAATCTGTAGACACACTAAAAAACGAATTGGGATGGGTCTGGGTGAAAGCAGAATCTAAGTTTGATGAGGGGTTGGGCGTACTACCGAGGCCCTGCCCGGTTGGGAGAATGCGGAGAGTGAGGCTGCTGTGGAATCGCCTCCTCTGTTCGACTGGAAGGCTCGCTGGAGACCTGGGGCAATGTCCATAATGATGGTCAGAAGTTGATGGGTGTACCGATATGGAAGCACGAACCTCTTCAAGAGGTGCGGTAGAAGTGACCTCGGCACGCTTCTGTTTCTCGCGTTTATCTCGATCTAAGGTTTTTTGCCATAGGACTTCAAGATCGACCTCGGCTCGCTTCTCCTCCGTGAACATCTGTACCACGACGCGAGTGTCTCCCGTAATGTGACCGAATCCTTCAAAGTTTTGCATTTCTTGTTGCGGGACAGGGCCCTTTTCAACAACGCCTGCATTGACACAAATCCACCCCGTGGTGATTCCGTCATCTTTGTCATCGACCATTGCTCCCGTCTGGCTTGCAATCCTGGCCCGGCGGGCTTTGCGTCGGAGCTTGATTTTAAGCTCATTCCGCCCCAGCAATCCATCTGCATATGGCGACAGCTTCCAGGTACTTCTCAGCCATCGACAAAGGCGATCTGCCGAAACATTCAAGTGTTTCACACTCCGTGCCGTCCCGATGATCATGATCACATTGGCACCTAGGGGAGGCGGGCTCTCCAAGGGCCGTAAATCAATCAATTTCAAATTGTCCAACCCAAGATCTTTAAAAACATAGTCTAGAAGAACGGGAAGAATTTCTGGGGGATTCTCTGGTAGATCTGGAATTTGATCTCGAGATGACATCTGCTGCGACTCGGAAATGGGCGGCGATTCTTGAAGATACCATGGTACATGGCTAGACGAAGTCAACTTCTCATTCCCTGACAATGTTTTACTACCTTCGTCCGATCCAGAAGCCGAATTAGGGGGAGTCACAGGCGACTGTTCAGAGTGGAAGCGAGACTTTGACGAAAAGCTGCGGTCATTGGCATTGCAAATCGAATGAGCAGAGAGTGTCCGACGAGACTTGGAGGTGCTAGGGAATGAAAGTGAGCGAATCACCTGCGGGCGACACCAAGACCCCCGTAATATCGCTCTATTCATGATTGCCCGAATCCCGAGAAGGTAGATTAGTAGTTTGGACACTGAGAAGAATTGCATCTACGCAGCAGCTTTGTACCAGATTCTGGTGACGTTTGACGCCAAACAGTTCAAACAGATGACTCAGCGTATCAGCAAACAGTGCAAACACAAAGTTCTCGGCGGGGCAAAAAAGTGACAAATCCGAAATTCAGCTGCTGCTTCATCATCCCCTCAAGAGTCTCGGACTCTCATATCTTCTGCCCTTTTGCTTACCATTATCTCCCGCGAACAGACTTCCTACCGCAGATATGTCGATGGATCTGGATGCGCCGGTGCCTTTCGCACCTGCACAGCAGGAGCAGGTCGCCCCGACGTATGTTTGACCCCTCATTAAAAAAAAAAAAAAATCGACAAAAACTGACGGTTCTTGCAGGATTCTATGTTGCAACTGTGGCGCCCCTATCGATGGGATGACGTCTGCAGGTGCACTGTGCCAGGACTGTGTCAAGCTCACGGTCGATATTTCCCAAGGAATTCAAAGAGAAGGCGTGCTTCACTGCTGTAGGGACTGTGAGCGATGGTTACAGCCCCCAAGTAGCTGGCTCAGTGCGGCATTGGAATCAAAAGAACTGCTAGCACTCTGTCTGCGCAAACTCCGTGGGTTGGCAAAGGTCCGCATCATCGATGCCGGGTTCATCTGGACCGAGCCGCATTCGAGACGTGTGAAGGTCAAAATCACAATTCAGCAAGAGGCGTTTGAGGGTACTATTGTCCAACAGACATTTGAGGTGGAGTTTGTTGTCGCCAGCCAGCAGTGTCCCGATTGCTCTCGCTCTTACACACATCATGCTACGCGCTGCACACTGCAGGTACGTGCTAGCTACTAATCTCTATACATTTCGTACCACCTTGGCATGTTTACTAAGAGTTTCCAAATAGGTACGACAAAAAGTGCCCCACAAACGGACATTCCTACATCTCGAGCAGGTGATCCTTGCAAACAACGCGCACCGGGATACGGTGAATATCAAGGAAGCAAACGAGGGTCTAGACTTTTTCTTCGCTGAACGGAATCAGTGTGAGAAAATGGTCGACTTCTTATCATCTATCGCTCCAGTTAAAGTAAAGAAGTCGCAGCAGCTGATCTCACACGATGTTCACACCAGCGCAAAAAGCTACAAGTTCACATTTTCTATGGAGTTGATACCAATTTGCAAGGATGACCTAGTTGCGCTCCCAATCAAGCTGGCTCGGTCTCTGGGCAACATCTCGCCATTAACTCTTTGCTACCGTGTCGGTACCACTGTCAACCTCATTGATCCTAGCACCCTTCAAACCGCCGACGTTCCTACCGGGACATACTGGAGGTCGCCCTTCACCAACCTGGCCGATATTACCGAACTGGTGGAATTCATTGTTATGGATATTGAGCCGATGGGCCGGTCAAACGGACGATACCACCTTGCCGAGGCAACTGTTGCCCGCGCATCAGACCTGGGCTCGAACGATCAGACGTACTTTACCCGGACTCACTTAGGGGGTATTCTCCATGTTGGCGACTCCGTACTCGGGTACCATTTGACCAAGACCAATTTCAATAACTCCAACTTTGAAGCCCTCGAGGCCAGCAGCCAGTATAGCTCCACAATCCCAGACGTCGTTCTTGTCAAGAAACACTATGCGCGCAAGAAGAAGAACAAGACACGTAACTGGCGTCTCAAGCGCATGGCTCGCGAGTATGAAGAGGAGGCGCAGCAGGGCCGCAAGCAAGACCAGGAGCGTGATCGCCTCGAAGCCGACTTTGAAATGTTCCTCCGGGATGTGGAAGAAGACCAAGAGCTACGGAGCACTCTTCAGCTTTACAAAGCCAACAACAATCGTCAAAATGCCGGTGGTAATATGGAGATGGAGGAAGACAGTGACGATGAAGTACCCAAGATCAGCATGGACGAGCTGCTTGACGACTTTGATGATCTGAACATGGAGGACAAATGAGTCCCCGGAGACTATTTTTCATGACTGCACATAGGGTTTGGCGTTCAATGGGCAATTGCAGAATACCTGAGACTTGAAAAGTTCAACCGTTCAAAAGTAGATATAGGAAGTAAAAGTGACGAAATGGTGTTTTGACTGAAACTATACACATTGGGATATCTGTTAGAAAATTACAATCGTACATAGCATATCAACCTCGTTAGAAGATCTTGCCCAAGACTCTCTTTGTATCCTCCCCCAGATCACCAGTATCTTTGATCTTGTCACGTCCCAACTTGACCTCACTCTGCTTGAACAGCCTTCTCACCTTCACCTCCTCCCCATGGTCACCATCAAGCTGCAATTTCCTCTTCCTCTTTTCAGCATTCTTCTTCTGTATCCCATCCACCACCTTCCCTGTCTCCACCCCCTGCAAAAACACCTTATCTTCCTTGCGGGCCCTCGAATCTTCAATCCGCTGTTTGGCCTCCCTCTCCGACCTCTCCCTCTGCACCTGCTCCATGAGATCCGCCCACTTAAACCCTTTCAGATACTTCATATTCCACACATCATCATGATACCACCCGCCTTTCCGCCCCCCGACAATCGACGCATTCAGCGTCTCCGCACAGATCTTCGCCGTCTTCTTCGACGCAAACTCCACCCATCCATCCGAATATGTCTTCCGCTTATTCGACCGTCTCCGCGGCGCGGAGGCGGACTTCACTGCAGGGGAGAGAAACACCTTCGTGATGGGTCCGAATCCGCGCGTCTCCAGGAGTGATTTCAGCGCAAACGGCTTCAAATACGGCGGTAGAGAGGAAAAATAGATCACCCCGGTTTTGTTCTTCTTCGGTGGTTTGAGTTTCGAGGAGGATTTCTTCTTCTTATTCTTGTTGCTGCGGTTGATGATGCTCGTCTGCGAGCCCGCAGTCACGTCGAGATATCGATCACTCTCTTCGTCAGTTTCTTCGTTATCACTATCGTCATCGTCGTCGTGGCGGGAAGTGCGTTTCGCTTTTCCATTCGTCTTCTTGATGGATGAGGCATCCCGTTCGTTGGTTTCTGCTTCTGCTTCTACTTCTACTTCGCCGGAAGACCCCTCCACATCTGACGCTTCGGATTCGTAATCATCACCATCACCATCACCATCACCATCACCATCACCATCGGTAAGCTGGATTCTCTGCGGTTGGGTCCGTCTCCGCTTCACTGTCCGTCCTTTGCTCTCTTCCGCCGCCTCAGAGTCGTATCCGCGATCACTGACTTCACCGTCGCTGGAGGCGATGTCGAGAAACTCGTTTCTTTTACGACTCGACATCGCGGTCGTACCGAATATATACCAGGCCCAAAACCAGGACGAAATAAAAAGAGCAGTTTCGTTTTGCGGGTGGTTTCTGTGCTAAAAGATCGCGGATGCTTTGATCTGACAACTTTTTTTTTGTCCTGGTGGTCTGTGCGCGGTGGCCAATCAGACTTTGGATCTCTGTATGTCTTTTTGTACCACAGAGTGTTATGAATAATGGCTATTTTACTTGATAGATTTTGGAATGGACTATTTAGTCGCTAGGAGAAGAAAAGTAATGTGAAGTTGTGGTATTTATATAAAACATGCAGCTAAACCAACCCATGTATGTACTGACCACAGATTCCCTTAGCTTTCAAGATAAGAATGGGTATGAACAATATTGAACAGCAGAAAAACCGAGAGACATTGATCTTCCCGGAGTCTAGATGAGGCGATGATAAATAGAAGACACAGAAACAGCAAATAGGACCAGTCTAACGTCTCGCTTCAATGCAAAAAGAAGCAAATACGTAAGAGAGAAATGTGCAGGAGAGAGTCAATATCGCATCGTTATCATCATACTGATTGCCTTTTATATTCCCAGTGACCACTTTAGTCGTTCGTAGACAAAGAAACCAGTCGCAACCATGGGCATCACCTTGACATAACCGATCGTCAACCCGACCCAGTATCCTCGGAAACCTTTCTCCAACCAAATCATACGAGCGGTCTCGACCATACCGAGTCGACGGCCATCGCCCACAACTCCACCTACTTGCATCCGCCGTCGGATCACCTCCAGTGGATACGATGACGTTTGAGATACCAAGCCGGCTAGAGCTCCAGCAAATAGCTCTGCGGCGGCCGTTAGTTGCAGCCGTCGTCCTTTCCTGGGCCGTTCCTGAGAGGAAAGTTCGGAGTCTGGGATGGTGGTGTAAGGAGCGAGGCGGGGTGATCGGAGCCAGTCGCCAACAGTGTCATGAGTGAGGAAGGACATCCCGGCGTACGGGAGCATTCCCAAGAGGGTTGGCGCAAACCCTCGGTAGAAGTTGGCCAGCCCGAAGCTGGGCACGGCTTTGTTTACAGCAGATGATACATTTTTAGCTGTGGTGGTGGCAGCAGCGGCGGTGGTGGTAGCTGAGGATGCATTTGCCCTAGAGACTTTACTTGATGCGGAGGGCGGCGAAACCCGCTCGTTGTAGATCTGCCGGAAGATGTCGACGAAGGATGAGCGTGAGGATTTCTTAGTCTCAAATGCTAATCGCACTCGGATTAACTCCAGTGGATAGGTGAAGAAGACCGAAGTGATCCCCGCCAGGCTGCCGGAAACAAGTCGGCGAAACGGCGTCTCCTTGTCGCGTGACGGAATTACCACCGCTCGGATCTGCTCATATGCGAGGAATTTGATAGCGGCATAAGGAAAGATGCGGAGAAGCGTTGCGGAATGCCCTTTAAAGAGGCCCCGGGCCCCTTCATATCGTCTGATATCCCGAACCGCCGCCACCAGGCCTATCCAGCTACCGGAATATTTGGCAAACTGAGGATTCGATGCCTGGAAAAGGATTTTGACCCGATCTAGGGGCGCCACAACTGTTTTGGCCTACAGGTGCCAGGTCAGTCTTTTTCTCTCTCTCTTCTTTTTCTTTTTTTTTTTTTTTTTTAACTTACTGCACATCCCGCTAGACCCCCCGCTAATCCACTCCTTGCGATGTAGTCCACACTCCGCTTATCCACCGGTTTGACTCCCTCCCGGTCATTCTGTCTATGTTGTCCGGTTGAAGGGTCATCGACCGCAACCTTTGGAGCGGTAGCCACCGCGGCACTGTTACGAGGGTCGCCTGCTGCTGGCCTCCGCGCTGGGCTCGACTGTGCGACCTGTTCCATCTGAGAATCGGACTGCGAGACAGTATCTGCTGCTACGCTATGAAAATGATGAGAAGTGGTGGCTATCGAGAAAGAACCCACATGTGCACGATTTGAAACGGCGCGTTCATCAGCGTAGGTGAAGCAGAGAAGCCTGGGTCGGTCACACAGACTACCGGAGAATCGAGGCCATGGATATCACCGAGGAATAGACACCGAGACCAGTCAATCTCCTATGTGCAGCAGGAGACAAATTGTAAGTGATTGATGCAGGAGAAGCGGCGATGATGGCGGAAACACCGCGGAAGTGACGTTACGGCCCTGACATGCCGATACGTGCCGTGGGCGCCAAGTTTTGAGGTGCATACGGTCTCGATACGCAACGGTATCCGAGTGGCGGGCGGATGTGGCCAACGGGGCTGCAGCCTTTGTCAGCGGTCACATGCACTCTCCGTGGCCAACCGTCGCCAACCTTTTGAGTATCTATAGTGAACGTATATATTTTCTATATATAGGTAGATTGAGTAAAACAACTCATCATGGTCCCATCGCTCATGCAATCCAAGAATAAATACCCTTTCTCTTCAAACCAATTGCTCCCTCTTCCCAAATGTACACACACCACCCTCCCCCGTCTCCCACATATACATACAAGTACCGTAGAACGCCAGTAATTTCCTATATAGACAAATAAACAGGATGGCGAAATCTAGAAATTGTATCTGGTCCCCTGTCTCGTCAATGGCTTCCCTTGCCGATTTGTCGCCTTGATTTCCTTGGGTTCGTCGGTGGCTCGTTTGGCCCGTTTGGATGGGCGCGAAGCATCGACGTGGAGATGCCCATTCTCTGACAAGGCCGTCGCGTTGCGCCATTTCAAACAACGATGCGTACTGCCTTCCACATACGTCTTCGTTCTCGTGGTCACCCTCTTGGTTGGCATTTCCTCGGACTCGGCCCTTTCCGCCGTTTGCGCCAGGTACTCCTTGCGGCGGGTCATATACTTCACGATGGTGTCGCGTTGCAGCTGCAGCTCCTTGCGCAGTTTCAATTCCCGGTTGCCCCGTGAGTCCAGCCAGTCGATCAGCTTGTCAACTGCCTCCGGTTCGTCGTAATAAGCCCATTCTTGGGCATTTGAAACCTGGGTGGAGCCTTCCTCAGCTTTCTTGCGATCCGCTGGTGTCATCCCAAACTCTTTCTGATACTGCTTTTTCTGATCGTCAGGCACATTGATGAAGCCCACCCGCTCCATTTCGTCGGGACCTTGAACCCACAGACGACCGTTGGCGTACTGAGCCTCTGCTGTCGAGCTATTGGGCATCCCACCGTAGGGCATGGCATTCCGTTCAAACCACCAATACCGGTTGCAGAAGCGGTCCTTGCCGAGACATCTCGTCCGTGGGCAGTCGGCTTCTCTTAAGTCATTATCGACCACTTCAATCTTTTCCTCAAGTTTCGCGATGTTCGCTTTCTGCTCTTCGATCTTTTTGAGCACTCGCTGGTACTGCTTGGACCCCTTCGGTTGCTTAGCCAACTGCTCCTTTCTCTCCCGTTCTTCTTCCTGCTTTCTTTTTCGCTCTAGAACTCTATCCAGGCCTCCACGTAGCGATCGTTCTTTAGGTCCATCGTCCTCATCAGAATCCCCACCTTGGTCAGACTCCCCATCCACCCCGGTCATTTTGGAGTCTTCCAGCGCTTCCAGTTCTGGAGCGGGTGTAGGCGATTTCTCCGGCTCAGGTTGAAGCGCTTTTCGTTCTTGGTGCAATCGTCGAAGCTCTTCGAGACTAAGAAAAGGTGAAGAAGTCAGCAGGCTAGTACAAAGCAAATCCCCGAGTGATCACACTTACGCCACTTTGCGGGCTTTTTGGTATTCGATCTTCTCCTTGCGGAATTCTGTCATCTGATTGCTGCATTCCTCCAAGTAATTGCGGATAGCTTTGGTTTCCAAACTGAGCAAACAAATGATCTGAAGAGCCTGGATGCGTAGGTTGACATCAAGAGTAGAGTACTGGCGTTGAACTGTCGCCTTCGTTGGTTCTGCATCAAGCGGAGCTAGATGCTTGAGAATTTCGTTGCAAACTTTCTCCATACGTGGACGGACCGACAACCGATGCAAAAGGCCTGCCATGACCAACTCCCACCCACCGTTCCGAAAATCTCGTCTTCGTAGCCGGTTAATCCAACTATAGTCTCCGAAGAGCTCGGAGGCACGGTGGACTTTGGCTTCTATCGAGTCGGAACGACTTTGATTGGCCTTGAGGTTTTCCGCTTCGGCTTTCGCCAAGCTACTACGAGTGGTCATTCTTGTCACGACAGGCTCGGGCTCAGGGGGGTGGCTTCCTCCTCTTCATCCTCTTCCTCTTCGCCCTCGCCATCAGATCCAGAGCCCTCTGAGTCCTCCTCAGGAAGATCAGGAAGTGAGATTTGGACAGCACCCTCTTCGTCTTTCTCCGCATTCACCAGCTTCTTCAGCACAGCACAATGCACTTCGACAAAAAGCTCACAATCAACATCCTCCGAGGAAAATCGCATTGCCTGGAAGAAATCGTCAAAAGTGAAAGAATCGAGTTGGAAAACTTCGCAATACACGTTCAGAGTATTCCACGTTTCCAGAAGCAAGCCGACTGATTTCTCCTCGAGTTCGTCATATAGCAAATCCGCGTCATCTTCAACCTCATCAGTTTCATCGATAGACACAAATTGAAGGGGCGGTCGCTGCTTCTTCTTTTCGCGGTCCGGAGCGATGTCTAGATCCTCGATAGGGTACTTGATAGGTGGTGGAGACGGCGGTTGGGGGGGGGCTCGTTTTTAATGACAACTGCGGGAACAGATTGCGGTTTCTTTTCAGCATCCTGTAACTTAGACGAACGAGAGGCATCGGAAGGTTTACTGTTGACGACAAAGGTTGGGTTACCATTAAGAGAGCGTTGGTACTCGAGAAACTGTGCCTCCTTTGACCGAGCCATGTCATTTGCTGACGGTTTCGACTTCTGCGCCTTCAACGCAGGCTTCAGTTCAGGTAGTTGCTGTGATGCAAAGAAGCCGAAGAACCCTTCTTGGTCTGCCTTTTTCATTGCCTTCTTCTCAGCAACCTTGGCTCCATACTGAAGATGCTTCGGCACTTCGGTTGATATCCTATATTCTTCTGCGACGGATGACTTTACCAGCCAAGGAGCACCGCTCCAAGACTCCCTAGTCACATTGTTCTTAATGAAAGCACGCAGCATCTGCTTAGTAAAGGTTTTCCGATCTCGGGTGATGTGCTCTTGGTCGAGAAGCGCCTCCTCATTTGGGCGATCCAAGACCTTCACGAGATATGTGGCATAGGCCGGAGTTTTGACCGTTCCATCAGGATGTAGTTGTTCGGCAAAATTTGCCTTGTCGCGTATAATTCCATGAAGGCGCGTGTTGTCATCGAGTAAAATAAGAACAGGCTCGCCTGGGTAGAAATCCTGTTTGAATTCCTGCACTTTTTTTTAGTTCTGTTTACACGAAAAAAATACCAGGGTGAGCGCAAGTTCGTCAACGGCCCATGTACTCACCTCGTAAACTTCATCCACTGGAAGCACAAAGTTAGCTCCAGGTATTAATGAGCAAGACTAATTGTACTCACCAAGATTATCGACCCGCGACACCGTGGAAAATTGAATCCTGCGCAAGATAGGTTCCTTCAACGCATCTTGGAAAGCACTATTCACTTCTCGTGACTCCTCAGTCTGGCAATTCCAATATCAGCAAAAAGTAGTCATTGACACTATTGGAAAAGCAATCTGTCGCATACCTCACTTCTGAGCGCCTCGAAGAACGTAAGTCCAGAATGACCCGTGATCTCGCAAATAAATCTTCTTTGTTTGTAAAAGTCCATCCGCTGGAGATAGGGCTCATAATTTGTGAAGACCTCGTTAGTCTCCGGAATAACCCAGACCTATACAATCCATTGTAAGCAGAAAGGCTCCTGCCATCGTCCTTGGTTGCATGTACGTGCCTCGGAGCTATCATCCTCGATAACGGGTCGTGGAAGGTACTGGACGGGTTTTCGTTTAAACAACACCTAGGCGAGTAGTAAGTCTCCGTGGATCCTCAGAGGCCCTTAACAACTCCGCGAGCAACGGGTGTATCTAACGTACCATAGTCCTCCAAACAGTATGACACACGCCAATCTATCATAGATAACCAGTAAAAATACTGACCATATATAACTGCGATCATGGAAGACCGTCAATATAAATATCTCGACATAAAAAGGTGCGCTAGGAACAAAGAGAGAGAAACATATGGAATGCAAAAGGCAGCTCTGACTTGAATTGGAAATATTGCGGAATTAGGTCGGGGATGGGTGCACCGAAGAGGGCCCGGAATATCACGGGAGAAGCGCGAAAGCTCAGAGGTATAGATATAAGACGATCCACACTCGTGAAATCGCTAACTGCAGGACGTGTCATGAAGTTGGATGAGTAGACTCACCGAACAAACGCGTCACAACTCGCGCGGAGCACCACTGCGCGGGTGAATGGGGGCCACCACACGAGGACAAAGGTTCAGAGGACCGTGTATATCCAAGAAGCGGAAATTATATCCTCCAAAAAACCCGGGGATGCCGTGCGGGGAATAGAGGGTGAGGGTTTGGGGGGGCGCGATATACGAGGCAGAGAAAAGATCGAGAGAAAGAAGAAAACGAAGGAGAAAGAGAAAGGAGAAGCGGTCGCCGCACAAGACAGGCAGAACCCATGAGGATCATTGCGGCAAGTGGTGGGAGGGCCGCCGAGGCACGGCGCACGGTGATTGGTCGAGAGGAGGAGGACGACGTTCGGGCGGACACTCTGCGGCTATTCCCGATTTAGAGTAATCAACTCTTGCAGTCCACCTGCGACCTACCCTTCGTCTTCCCCATTCTTCTCGCTCGCTGTTCGCTACCCATACTCCCTTTCCCCTGTGTTTTTGCACTCGTTCTGCTCCTTAGCTTTGGGCGATTCTTAATGCAGGTAAATTTCAGGTAAATATTCCCTCCCCGTCCATTTATCTGCTAGTATAAGTATCTGACTCGCGAAATGACCGCGGAGACTATCTAAACTGGGGTCCATGTGAGCAACTACAGCCACATCAATTTACTACGAGCAACAATTTCTGAGAATGCTCGCGTCCACTCTCCGCCACCATTCCATACACTTATTTTTGCCACAGTAGCATTGGTGAACAGAAATAATACTCCCCTCTTATGGTCTCTTCTTATTTTTATATGTGCCCATAAGACTTCACACCTCACAATACATCCCTTCTATCTCTGATCTTTATATGTTCCTACGCCACTTCATCATATAATCTTTACCTCTTCGCTCCTCTTCCGGCTCCTACAGCGCTGTACAGAATTGTTCCCCAGGACATCTTAGCGTACAAACCAACCTTAACTTGGTCAAGCTATTGGAACTACAAGACTACGAGCCATTGGTATATACACATAATTGCTGCTCTACGCTCCACAATAACTGCCAAGCTCTTCTCGTAATCATATATATGTAACCCCGAAGGGTTATGTATGCTTATATTACATATTGCCGTTGTCTAGTACCTAGTAAAAAGTTACCATATTTGTAGCACCTTAGACCTATGACAGCATACCGTTTTCTCATGTCATAATCCAATACATTATTTTAAGTCGTTATACAAATGAAAGTACTTTATCTACAGAGTTAAATTATTTAAAATTTGGGAGCACAGAGGATTATATTAATCCAGGTAAAAAACTCTCGCATTATATTATTTCTTTACTACTTCCGGCCGGCCATGGTTTCTTGACAGGAAGTAAATTCTAATACTAGTTCCATACCAAGTCCAAATAGTTACTAAATATCTTTGTACGTGTGTCTTTACCATTAAAATTAAAATTCAAAACGAACCCAGTACTCCGTCCTTAAGGATTAATTCGCATCTAGCTAAGTTTACTTGACCAAATTTCTATGCATATAGTCCAAATTGTAATAATATAGTCTATATGTATTACTCTCTCCATATACATACGTTATTATTTACCTTGTACTCTGCTTAATTAGAAAATATTATAAGTATATATATACAAAGCCGAAAGCTGCAAAACTGACACTCTGCTTACAGTTCTATAGTGCTTAGACTTTGTAACAGACGATGCGAATCAGAAATGTAGGATAAAAAAAGTATTGGATCCAATATTTTAGCTAACAAATAAAGCGAGAATAAGTCTGGCACTGAATGGCAGGAATATAGTATTTAAGGACGATGCTTGGGTGGAGATAACTACAATCATCTAGCAAAATATGCATCCTATTCCTGAACAATAAGAGACATTTACTTTTCATGCACCCGAGAGCAATATAATATGAATAATAAGTGTGGCCTACACTTTCGACCTTCCAATTATTACTTAAATTAGAAAAATCCATCTCAGCCGGTTGACAGGCCCCGAGATCTCTGTGTTCCTTCTGCAGTGTCACATCCATGGGAGAGATCAGGTTTAAAGGTTGACACTAGCCGTTTTGGGCTTGATACCTGATTAACTTTTCAATGTAGGATGATCAAGTGGGTCTCAAGCACATGGGTGAGGCAAACACGCCAAACACACTGGGCTCAGGAATTACATCATTCCCGCACTGTAGCTTGCAATTGCTCTGTACACTGTAGAGCTCTTGAGAAAAATGAACTTTTAAATAAAGAAATCTATATAAATATCCGATCATGCAGTAAAGTATACAACCATGAACCCTACCCAGCTACCTACTACCCCCAGAGCAGAGTAACTGCTCATGAACATTAGAGGCAAAAATTCAAACCGATTCAGACCAAAAATAAGCTGATGGATGAGTGAGCAGTAGACAATCAGAGGAATGGCCACAGTCAAATATAGCAGGGAGAATCGATCGACAAGAAAGATCCGAGGTCGCTCTGGGACGGGTGCGACCTGGTCGAATGCGTAGAGGAACAGAACCAGCCATAAGATAGTGTAGACAGTCTTAATAGGGAACTCTGCTGCCGTAAAGAGCAAAGGAAAGAGCGAGACATGACCAGCCACCGCAAGAGGCCGGAATGCGCTGAAATACCGCCGGTCTTTGAGCGCTATTAGACTGAACGGTATGATAATCAAGAGGACAGCCTTTTCGTGAACATGCCAACCAACCAAGAAAGAGGCATATCCACAGAGGGTAATAGCGCCAACAAAGGTGTCCCAGTCTGGACGAAGCCAGAGTTTAGCTAAGGGAAGCTGCTTTTGAATGAGTGAAAGATCAGGGAATCGATTTGATGGCAGTCTATACATACTAGCTGAAATACAAGCGTAAGCATAAATGTTTGTTCCTTAGTCACCTCCGGAAGAACCGCGAAGGAGGTATCTCCGACAAGGCCACGCGTGACACTGGTCAAAGCATCGTGGTTGATGGGGAGACCTAGGCGTGGAGCAACTGCAACAAATATTAGTACGAAGACTATGAGAATATAAGAAGCTCGCACGTACGTTGGATAAGGATGCGATCCGCAAATGAGTACATAGCCCAGATATTCGGTGCCCAATAGGCATGGCATAGCCCCCTTGAAAATGGAAACAGCCTGTCCTTCAACTGAAGCAGTTGACCCCACTTAGCAAATGGGCCAAAAGCCAAGCTGAATACGCCGACGATACTCAAGCCGAGTTTGAAAATGCTTGCAAAATTAGGCCGAAAGACAGACTTGGGATCCAGACAGTATGCTCTCAGCAAATATACGAAATAGGCCAGAGCCAAGTACAAATAAATATGTTTCAGACACAGCAAGATGGCAAATGCAATGCCACTGTAGAGCATTGTTGATTGCTTTCGGGCCAGAACGATTGACAAGATTAGGACTCCATAGAGGAAGCCATTATATTGAAAATGGATATGGTCGATGATAAGGAGGCCGGGGGAGAGCAGAATGGATAGACTGGCGATATGCGCAAGCTGCTTATTTGAGGGATGTACAGACTTGGTATACCTGGGTGAACCCGTTAGCCCTATTATTTTATCCCAAACGTGTCATGAATAATGAAACTATACCGGTTCAGTGCATAAAACAGAGCGAGCTCACTCAGAATGACAGTTGCCCGCTGGAAGTAGACTGTCTGCCATGAATCGTAATCAAGGTTGCTGACAATCAGCATTGCAGGGTCTGCATAGTGCGCAGCTTGGGACAGTAGCCACTCGAATGCCGCGAAAAAGGGAGGGTAGTCGAGCGTCCATTCCGATGTTTTCTATTGCAAAATGACCTCGATTAGTAGGCGACGCATAGGGATGGCAACACGGGCGACGCACCTCATAGTACCATTCCTTCACCGGTAATGAGTGAGTGATAGCAAGCCAATTCCGATGGACTTCAAAGTCCGTTGATTTACTAGATGGGAATATACCAATTAGTACCAATGACAGGTGGGGAAAGCTGGGGAGGTAATTTTTTGCCTGTCGATCTGCGATGAACGGACTTACTAGGCGGGAAATAGAAGAATCTTGAAAGCGGTCGCGACAATCGCGCATTGCGCCAATGAAGGGTACAACTCAGCCATTGGGCCTGCTGCGCATGACGTGCTGTCAGAGAAACGTGGAGTCGAGAGAAGCGACTCATCCCATGGAACGCAGTAGGAAACAGCTCCGACGGGGGAGGGGCGCACGTGACGGGGGCCGTCTCGGAAGAAAGGCCAGTGTGTCCCTTCGCCGTCCTTCAGCGCATCCCAGCATTCATGGACTTTGCCTCGGACGTAGGAGTCCGCCATTCTGTCGTTCTCTCCAATCTCAACATTCAGCACTCGGTCGACTTCTCCCCGGCTACGGTTTCCATCGTTCGAGAGATCCGCTTTTGTGTGATCGCCATTGTGCTTGGGTGGACCACCACGCGCTTTGTCTCCGCGTTTTTGAATCGGAGACTTTCTGATGATCGCTCTTAATATATAGAATTGCTACCTCCATTCTGGCTGCATGCTGCCTTTTCTCTGCATTTTCTTTTGGGTAAATTCCAGGGGCTGAAACCTTTTGCATCTGTGGATATTTCTTTTCTTTTCTTTTTTTTCTCCCTCCAACAAACCCTCTGAACTATTTCATTTCGACAAGTCTCCTATTGCATAGACATAATGAAGTTCCATGTTTCCCTTCCCTTTTTTGCAGCCATGGCTGCAGCGCAGTCAGTGATTGAAAGTTCCAGCTTTGGATGGGGTCAAACGTACTGGAGAATCTCCCCCGCGCATTCTACATGCCTCATATTCTGACTGCTTCCTAGTATATCTCCGAACAGGGATTCCATCCCGGGATGGCACGTTGGGGGAGAAGGCCATAGTCCTCAGATTGTACGTTCCTGTCTGGTAAACTGGGAATATTGGTCCTTTCAGAATACTAACGGCATATTAGCTTTCTAACAAAATGATCCTAACACCTCCTTATCCGGGGAATACGAGAGGGTTTGCTTGGTCACAGACTCCGTAAGTCCCTCGTCGCGACTACGTTTGCTTTTTATCCTTCCGGGGTAAATCACTGAGTGAATGCAGTGTATCGCAGCAGTGGTGGGATGCCGAATTCCAGTTCCGAGCCAGCGGTAGTGAGAGGGGAGGTGGTAACCTCCAGATATGGTATGCAAAGGATGGGCAGAGTAAAATTGGCTCCTCTAGCATATACACTGTGGGTCAGTTCGACGGTCTTGCGATTGTTATTGATACCCATGGCGGCAGAGTGCGTGGATCTTCGTCCGAAGAACAATACTTTAAACGGAACTAACTGGCATGTTATTCAGGGAGGCAGTGTCAGAGGGTTCCTCAATGACGGTACAACGGACTATAAAAGCCACAAAAGTGTGGACAGCTTGGCTTTTGGCCATTGTAGCTATGCTTATCGCAATCTTGGGCGCCCTTCTGTTCTCCATGTCAAACATACCACATCTGGTCTTCAAGTCACCGTTGACGATAAGCTATGTTTCTCCACCAACAAGGTGAGCATTTTCAATACCCTCTCACAGAGATCAGTGGCTTACTCGAAAATAGGTTGTACTGCCTTCCGGTAACAACTTTGGTGTGACAGCAGCGACTCCGGAAAACCCGGACTCTTTTGAAGTCTTCAAATTTGTCCTACAGAGCAGCTCGTCCGGGTCGAGCAAATCCGCTCCTCCAGTCCAGGAACGGGGTAACCAAAAGCCCGTTGGACTAGGCAAACCACAGCAACAACCAGCCCGTGCAGAGACCAAGTCCCCCAACTTGATAGATCAACAATTCGCTGATCTCGGTGCCCGTCTCCAGCTCCTCAACCACGCCACCAGCAACATCATCCGTGAGATCGGCATGATTAACACCAAGAGTGACAAGCGCCACACGGAGCTGACCCAACAGTTGGCCAGCAAAAGCGAGCTCTCCTCTCTCGACGTCCGGCTTCAGAGAATAGAGCAGGCGCTGCAGAATATCCAGCGGGACCTCGAAGGCAAGGACTACCGCGACCAATTCAACAAGCTCCAGGATATCCTCCGGTCCTCCCATGTGACACTGACCAACAGTCTGCAAGGCCACCTTCTCAACGGTACGCTCACCCATCCATACAGGAAACCCCTAACCCTATTATACATATAATAGCAATAGAACCTCTTTAACCAACATCAAACAGTTGTTACCGCATCGTCACCTCGCATGGGCTTCTTCATCTGCCTCATCATTGCCTTCCAGGTGTTCCTCGCCGTCTCATACATCATCTACAAGCGTCGTCGTGCCAACATGCCCAAGAAATTCCTCTAGACTATTTTTCCCCTTCCTGCATGCTTTCCGTACGAGGTTTTTATTACAGATCACGAATTCTAAGATGACTTTCCCTATTCATACAAAACTTGATCCCCCGGCCCCTCTTCTCTCTCTCTCGCGCGCGCGCGCGTGCGCAGATATTGAAATCTAGAAATATCTTGCTTGCCCTAGCAATAATCTAGATCTAGATAGAACTTGTGCTTGCGCACCTAACTAGGCCTATTGTTGTGATGTATCGACTACATTTTTATCCTTGTTTCTTGTATATTGTAAGAGCTCAACTAAAGGTATGATTCAATCCAATCTAATATATGGAAGAAAGAATTGCTTTACCTAGGTAGCTAAGCTGTAGAGGCCCAGTTCAAGTACTGTATAGTTTAGATAACACAAAAACAAGGCGAAAGACGAAAGACGAAATTAGAAATGTGGCCAATATGCAAGCACAAACAGAAGATGAAGAAAAAGAGAAAGAAAACGATACACTTGGAAATGCCATGCTCTTGCTCTGTATTGCGCCCGATCGTTTTGTGTCTCGCCTAAAACAGGAGCCGAAAATAAATAAGTATTAAAATCAAGAAGTTGTCTCTTTCTCACATTCCATATGCATGTGCCATCTAAACCTGATTAAACTGACTTTGAGACAGATCCCAACGCCAAACTTCCGAAATATTCGACACAGAACGAAGATGCAACGGTCATGATTGCGCTTGGGAAAAGGGAAAATATACCAAAAAAGGAAATGCAAATGAACAAACTTCACGACAGAGATGAACTCGGTGGAAAAGACAAGAAAAGAAGAAAAATAAGGGAATAATTAAAAGAAGAGAACAAGAAACAAGAAAAAGAATAAAAGTCGTAACGTCCACGTAAAATTCACCTCTGTATGGGACAACATTGTCATTTATGTATCCTGAGCATCGTTCGCAGGCTCCATATTCACACACTGAACTATGCTGGCAGGCTGTGTATTCAATGGTGACTGAGAGGTCAGCATCTGGATACGCTGGTCAATAATCAACTGTAAAGAGCGCAATGATTCAAGCTCCGTCTCCGCCGTAGGGAGATTGTTTGGAGCGTTGGCCCTCAGTTGATCAATCAGGAGGGAGATTCGGCCGTTTTCGATCGCCGTGCTAATCCGGTGATTCTGAGCAAACTCCATCAGGTTCACGGCAGCCTCCCGATCAGCCACCGTCCGCGAGTTCAGGATTGCCGTTGTTGTATCCTCTTCTGCCACAGCCAGCTGTTGCGATGAATAAAAGGCGTGGGCCTGGGCTGTCAGTTCGTCAAATTTGGCGCTAGCGTATTCAAAATATCTGTCCGCTGCCGCTTTTTTCATGGCTATTTCCTCGTTTTCTCTGGTTTGTCAGTCAGCAAGGGCTTTCTGGAGCTTTTCAGTTAAGCGAAAGTGATATTTGTGCCAACTGACCGTCTGACACGCTTTACGAAATCGAGTTTAAGACCTTTCTCTGAGACACGGTACAGGATGCCTTCAGATTCCTGGTCCTCGATCCGCTCGAATTCATCTTCGTCGGGGAGGACCTCCACATCAATTAAGCGAGGGTTTTTGGGCCGGCGAATACGTTTCACGGTGTCGTAACCTTCTTCGTCCTGGACAACGTAAGATAGATCATGATGAACGTGGTTGGGGCACATCCAGTTATAGTAGGGGCGGTCGCTGCCAGGTCGTTGGTTAGGTGGATTGGCCAGAGGGGGGTCAACACAATCCATATGGAATGCGCAGGGACAGAAATCGCACTGAATGATGGGCCGGCGACCGTTACTAGTGCGTCCACAAGCTGTGCAGAAAATGAGGTTTCCCTTTGAATCCATGGTTCTCAGGAGATATGGGTCGTCATAAAGGCCGGTGCGGTTTCCTCGTCCACCCCGAGGATTGAGTCTGGGAAGTGGTACGATCTCTTCGTACCTTCCAGCTTCGCCAGTCCGTACCCCGGTGAAGAAATCTCGGAGCCTGCTGGGCAGAGCGAAGTCCTTCCTGGGGGTCTTGTTGAAAGCGTTAAGCAAGGCCCCCATAGGCCTCGAAACCGAGCACTTTGGACAATACCAATCCCCTTCGGGGGGGTTCGCAGGGTCCAGGGGAGGATTGAGACATGAAAAATGAAATGAGTCCACGCATCCATCGCAGCATAGGAGCTGGCCATTGCCGTTGCACTCCCGGCAGAAATCGTTGTTTTCCGAGCGTTCGTCCCTACTAGATAGGACAGGGGTGAGGCGTCTATTATCCCCAGCGTCACTGCTAGCGGAGCTCTCAGACCGGACTCCGCGGTTTCGGAGAACATCACTGGGAGTTATCTGAGATCTATTAAGCGCTGTAGGACCAGGTGTCGAGGCATTGGACGGGGGCAAAGAGGTCAACGAAGAGCGGAGCCTGCTTTCAGGAGCGGAAAGCCTCGGAAGCGATCTCTGCAAGCGAGTGCGTTTCGTCCTCAACGACTCCGCCGAGAATTCAGAGTTTTCTTCCATCTCACGCCTTCGTTTGAGAACTACTTCGCTGAGAGGGAAAGAAGAATGGTGCGCCGGGGGCGCAAGGGTTGCCTTGGCCTTTTGAGCCGCAGCTTTGGCTTGTTTGCCCTTGGCCCGGGAGCGAGAATTGACTGCCCCAGGTGCCATTCCCGGAGCAAAGGTTTCCACATCGAGGGACTTCGCAGATGAGAGCGACGAAACGCTGCTGGCAGATCGAGTGCGGGCCATTGTCGTTGCTGGAGTGGGCTCCGGTTCTGCAACCTCCGACCGCACTTCTTTCCAGGCAGCGCGCATTACCGACTGGAACGCAGACCTCTCGCGAGGCCCAGGGTTCTCCCCACAAATTCCCTCTAGCACGGATAGCGCGAAGGAATCTTTTCCGCATTTTTCCCAAAGACGGAGTAATCCGCGAATGACTGGGCGATTGTCTGTCTCTGACGCCATGGTCAAGGCGTTCTCAACTGCGACTTTGATCTTCTCAACATTGATTTTAGTAGACGCCGGGACCGGAATCGCCGTAAAAGCCAGTAGATCATCCTCAGGCCGAACTTTCAGAGGCGCAGGTTCAGGCATTGGCTCGGCCGCTGGAGTCAGTGGGGTTTGAAGCTTGCCGTCATCACTCTCGCCGTTCAACGCGACCTGCGGCTCGTTCTTGGCAGGGATGTTCTGAGCACTGGGCTTTGCCGGTGTCAGCCCGGCTTTACGCAGGTCGGCAGCAGTCGGCATAGCACCTAGAGGACGCATGGTTGCGAGCACTGGGTTCAGGTCACTCGACACTGCTGACCATGGCGTGTCTGCGTAACTCGGCAACGGAGGTCGGACCGGAGGCTCTTCCCAAACTGGACCATCCCCAAATGCATACGAAGCACTGACAGTATTCACATTCTCTGTCTCAGGCTGTGCCTGCTGCGACTGATCCTGAGAAAGAGTCTCGTCCGGCGGGTCAGTAGCTACACGACTGTGTCTACCTGTCCGTCGCTGTTTCCGGGGTCGTGTAGATTCAGTAAAAGAAGAAGCTGTGCTCGCTGCAGCTTGCGCGTCGGCAGGAGTGGACGGACGGGAATTATTCGACCTCGCATGGGACGAAAAACGGAGATTCGGAGCCATCTTTGTAGAGCCCGGACTCGAAAAGTTGCAACGCCTGGCACCCGCTAGATTAGCCCACCGACCAATTCGACAAGGCAAATAGGACTTCATTGGAAATTTGAATTCAAAAGAGGGAAAGAAAGAGACTTACTAATTCACGGATTCCAGAGCAGAGTGCCCAGCGGTGCCGGTGGGAATCGTGGCCAGCCCGCGCGCGGTCTGCGGGTTGATGGGAGGAAGGAAGATTGCGGAGTGGAAGCGACGGGAGTTTTTCCCAGTCACGCCTCGTAGGGGGTTTATTCGCCGCAGTCGCTGGCAACCACACCAACACTGGAACACGTGGACTGGACACCTGTACAAGAGAATTAAGGGTTTAGCACATTCGAAATTTGGTAGAATATTTCATCGTGGATGAACTCGAGGAAGTGGTCTCTCACCAGGTGATGTCTCGCAGCAGGTCTCAGAGCTCGTTGCGACAGGGAGGCAACAGATCCACTGAGACGACCGCGTGATGGATGTTCAACACAAGTTTGTAGGGTAACCAAATCATGCGAGTTGAGGATCCTGCAGTCTCCTCTACTTTTGATCACTAGTCACAGTTATGTGAGGAAGTCTTTCTTTTCTTATGTGGGTGTATGTTAGCAAGAAGCCCACAAGCCCGTGGCAAGACGCTGCAAGACCTCTGACTTGCAGGAATCAGTGCCGTAGAACCACAAGTGCGATAGAAATGCAGGGACCAATAGTGTATCAGAAGAGGAGGAACTGGACACATAGTCCCTTTGCAGAGGTCTTCTCAGGCCTGACATGGATGATATGCAACTAGTACGTGAAAAGGGGGCGAGGATGCAGATATACTAGGAACAGAATGAGTGCAGAAACAGAGAGCAGAGACTCACCGAGTATCACAGAAAGACCCTCAGAACCATCCACAGGCGTAGTCAAGGGTAAATTAAGAGGAGAAAGATTTGTTTTCCCTCGTTGCGCGACAACTAAAGAGAGACGGAGATGGGTAAGCGTGGGAAGCGACTTGCAGAACGAGGAGCACTGAGAAATGAAAGGCAAGGGGAAAGAAAAGCGAGGGCCTGTAGAATGTAGAAGAAGACAGGTATTGCTAAATGTTTGAAAACAGGGTGCGCTGGGCGATGATGATGGGTAAAAGCTTTGGAAGACGTGAGAGAAAACAAGCTGAGGATACGAAAGATAAGGTAGAAGGAAAATGAGGACAAGGAGAAAGAGAGATTTCCTGTCGGAAAGTCCCTCAATGTGATACAGGAGCTACAAGGTGAATAACGCGAAGAACGAGTCTCTTACAATACTTTTCCTAGAGCAGGAAGCCGGAGGGGCTGGAGAGCAAAACAGAATCAATAACGTTGGAGCCCTTTTACCGAGGATGACAATCAGCCTTATGAGACATCAGCTGCACAGGCAATAAAGACCCCCAATGCAACAGACAATGCCCGTCGAGACGATGGCTTCTGGAGTGGTGGCTTCTGGAGTGTGCAAAGACTGCTTAGAGCCGAGTAAATAATTTTAGGCGTCAAGGCAGGCCTGGGGGGACGGAACAGCCACACCCCCAAGAAACACAGGATCCTTGTCCTCTAGAGTGGACGATAGCTGATCAGCACCCCAAGTGGGCAATAAGAGATAATCCGTCCCTGTAAGAGTCCAAGAGGTATAGTGGGAATGGGGAGGCGGAGAGAGAGGGAAGAGCGCTGGAGATCAGGTCGGGAAGATTGGGCCAATGTTGGCTCATATCCACATCTACGTCCTTCATGGCGCCAACCAGCTCGACCACCAGTCTCTGTACATCCCCCAGGAGATGGCCTCAGGGATGAGAGCTCTCTTGAAGTCATCTGACTCATTTTTATCTCACGGCTCTGTCCTACTACCTAGGGACTACATAAGCGCCGTCTCAGTCTACTACAAATTTGTCCTGTAAAGAGCCAGCTGTACGCCTTGTTTCCGAAAGCAACGCTGGTCAATAGACATCCTGGTCCTTATTCACTGGAGAGTAAACTAAGACTGGACAGGACGCTGTCTCAGACAGATGGAAAGGGTTGGTCATGGTGCACGATATCAATTAGGATAACACAAGCCAAGGTACGTCCAAGTGTTCCTAAGAAACAATTGCGTTGGGCTAGCAAAGAGGATAAACATTCCCAGACACTAGAAATCCCCTTGTTCAATTAGAGAATCAAGGACGGTTTGGCTATAAAGAACCTCAATTACGATTGCAGAGAGATAAACGACAACTGTCAGTCAAAGAGCAGCTAACGATCATGTCGTTGAAATGATCGGTCTCCAACATTGTACACAGGAAGAAAGAGGTTCCAGAAATGAATAGGCAATATCATTGTAGGTCTCTCTATTAAGTCATAATCACCACTTGATCATGTAGTCTTTTATATTCGGCTCATACGTAACTCTCTCCTCTTTTTTTTTTTTTTTGTATCTTTCAACTAGTAAATACGTGACAAGGGTTTCAGAATAGATCACTGTTACGATTAGACGCTGACATTTGTCCTCCCTATGCCTTCAAGTATCGGACACCATGCATTCGCGGAACTTAGCTCTTCATTCAGATGATCAAGGATACTGCAATTCCAGGTAGGGCCCATCTGACCCCTCGAGGCAACTCGTGAGCCAGTCCCAACAGTGGCCAGAGACACTGCGTATTCACTATCCTATTCATAATGCAGTAGACAAGGTTGGTCCTGTCAAGAGGCAAATTTACTCGTCGCTCTGACCACCCGCCTTCTTGGCGGTCTTCTTCTTGTTATTCTTGTTCTTCTTAGAGCCAGTCGACTTGGACAACGGACGGTCAAGAATCTTGAGGATTTCCTCATCCTCGATCTTCTTGTCCGTCTGGTACTTGGAGAGATCAAGAGCGGGTGCAGCGAGTTTGGTAAGGCCATTCTTCGTTATGGCTATAACGACCGGTTAGCTGAGGGAAAACAAAACAGACCAAGGACGACCCAGCCTTCGATGCGACTCGGACAGGCCAGTGAGAACAGAAATGTAACATACCAACGGTAGTCAATAACCGGGAAACCGGAGAGTTGTCGGCATCACCCGCCGGCTCATACTGACGCAGGACGCCGCCACGGACACATTCCACGACACCAACCTTGGCGGACTTCTCGTCATCCAGCTGTCGCAAGCTGAAGGGGAATTGGCCAAACTTCTTAACAATCTCCGACAGCGTCTGTCGGGAGCTGGGTCGCTTGAGAATGTAGGTGGTAGTGGTACGGCGGTGCAGGGTGGCGCGGAGGGGTAGGTTCTTGACCTTACCGGATCCGAGAGAGAGACCGATCTCGACGCCCCAGACTTCACCAACGTCGGGGACACCCTCGCCTCGGACGCCAGAGCCGGGGGAGAGGATAATCTTCTTCTCGGCTTCAATTTCGTTGCGCTCGAAGAGCCAGCTAGTAGTGTTCTCAACCACGTTGCAGTCGTAGGTCTTAGCGACCTTCTCGATCAGCTGGGAAATCTGGGCCTGAGTAGGAGGCTTCTCGGCAGCGGCCTTCTTCTTCTCTTCCTCTGAGCCACTGGCCAGAAGGCCGGGGGGTACCATGAGTCTCAGCAGAAGCTCGTTGGCGTAGTGGGTGGCATGAACAAGGTCGGCCTCGCGGCCGGTCACCACACCAGAGGCACCGACGACGACCATGTCACAGACAATGGTTCCGAAGCCATCAATCTGAGCACCAAGCTGGATCTTCACGAGCTCGTTGGCCTTCAGGGTAGTCTCTGCCTCCTGGGCATCGGAAACCAGCGGGGTGTATGGGGTAACATGAGAGCTGGGAGAGATCGTCGTCGGATGAGAAATACCTTTTCCAGAACACCGTGTCAATATACCACGCGCAAAGAGTCTCTGGCTCGTCGGGAACAGCCTAAGATGAAAACGGAAAATAAGTAAAAGAGGGACGCACCCTTGGTGATCTTCTTGCCCTTGTAAACCTTGCTGATTTCTTCCTCAAGCAATGCGTCGCCCTTCTGGCAAATCTCAACAATCTTGCTTCCCTCTTGACACAAGGCTGAAGAATAAAGTTAGAGCTCCAGTCCTGGTCATTTGACTAAAGGAAGTTGAGCAGAAGATTTGACGAACATACCTGACACGGCCTCAAGGACCTTGTGAGAGATCTGCGCGGCAGTCTTGTACTTGGTCAATGTGTCCGGGTTGTTAAGGGTGTAGTCTAGAAATAGTAGTTAGGAAAACGAACGAGAACAGATTCAACAGACACCCCGAGGGGCTCAGAAAAAAAAGCCTCGCGTTGCTATCTCCCTGTCAAGCTCCAAGAATCGGCTACCATGGCCCCCAATACAATCCACGTCTACTGGACAGGAAACCCACAAACGACGGAGCTTTTTTCAAATTGTAGAGAGGGCGACAGGAGAGGAGAGGAGGGGTAAGGGTCGACACTTACCAACCTCGGGGGCTTGGGTAGTGGTCTCCGCCATTGTGAATTAGGATAGATGCACCTCACGGCGATGCAAGGCGGCGATACAATTGAGGAGGTTCGTTCAGCAGCGGGGGAGAGGGGAGAAGGGAAGAGCGAAAAGAGGCTGATGAGCGAGTCGTGTGCTTTCAAAAGCTTTCCGTACCGCACCAGTACGGGCTGGTGGGGTTACTGCGCTCTCTGTATGGTAGGGCTCAGTATGGTATTTACCGGCCGCAGTTGAGTTGTTCGTGTTGTAGTTTCGGCGGTGTCGGTCGTCCATTGTAGCCTCGTTGCAGGGTGGGTGATTTGGATGGGGATTTGATCTTTACATTCTGCTGGCAATTCCAGCAATCCTGGCGGCGCCTATCACCATTCGGTGAGCCTGCTCTTTGCTATTCGCATTGCAATGTTTCTGTGTGTGTGTATGTGTATGTGTGTGACTTATGTAATAATAATGACGCCTGAGCATGACATCACCGGTCTCCCTGCAGATGTCAGCAAGATAGACAGCTCTGAATATGTTTTATATAGCTGCTGCATCTGTGTCTACGTCGAAAAATATATGTAAGGGGTCATAGCTTTTCATAGTCTCGTTGATGCTTCTGGAGTCCACCGATTATCCATAACATGGCTCTTTATTCTATGTCTCACCCAGGCGCCCACACTATATATATTAAGCTACCACTTTATAATAACATTCACTGTAACTCTAGATTCCCTAGCGGGTTGTATACACTATTATAAAGATTAGCAGACCTGTACTATTCAAAGTCATGTTCGTCTATTTCCGAAAGAACCATATAAGACTGAAGACTAACTAGCTCGGTTCATCCAGAGATTGCCTACTACCGGGCAAGCCGGTAGTCATAATAATTAACTCTCTGAGCAGTAAGAATTGCCCCTAACCAAGATTCTCCTTCCAACATCCTCGTAGTTACATTTCATTCCCTACATCCGTCCACCTGTAGATTGCTTTCTTCTTGTGCTGAACGAAACCTCTGACCGTCCTATCCTGAAAATCTCCTGGACTGGGTTCTACTTCCGCAATGAGAGTCTCTACAGGACTGCCACTCCGCATCTTGACACATAACATTCGATATGCAACCAACTCTCCGTTCAAAGGTGAGCGACCCTGGGCGGAACGGAAGCAACCTCTCTTGAATGAGCTGCTGTTCAACACACGCCACCAAGATGCCTTCATTTGCCTACAGGAAGTTCTTCACAATCAGATCCTCGACATCCACTCCGGACTCAATGCAAAGCAGTCTACGACGCCCACAACCGCAGCAGACCCCACCTGGGCATACATAGGGGTGGGACGAGATGACGGGAAGCAAGCGGGGGAGTACTCTCCCATTTTCTATCAACCATCGGTCTGGCAGCTGCAGCATTGGAAAACTGTTTGGCTCTCTAAGACGCCCGATCGACCATCAAAAGACTGGGACGCAGCGTCCATTCGCATCGTCACGATCGGGATGTTCAGGCACTATGTAAGTCGGCAGACGATCCTGGCTTTGAACACCCATCTGGATGATCAGGGTTCTCGCTCGCGGTATGAAGCAGCCCACATCATCCTCCGGAAAATCCAGGAGTACCGGACGGGGATGTATGGGAAATCTATCTCTGGCATCTTCCTTTGCGGTGACTTCAACAGCGAAGAACACCAAGAGGCGTACAAAGTGTTGACGGCGCCCGAGTCTGGACTGGCAGACGCGGGGAAGCTGATCGATCCCGCCGAGCACTATGGGAACCAGATAACCTGGACAGGGTTCGGCTACGAGAAAGAGGGACCATCACGTATCGATTACATCCTGCTGGATCTGGAGTCGGACAAGGTTCTGAGCAACGGTGGACAGCCATGGAAGGTGGAGGGCTATGCAACATTGGCCAATCGATTTGACGATGGCGTGTTTAACTCGGACCATCGGGCGGTTATCAGTGACGTGAGGTTGTACAGCTAAGGGACTAAAGGTCCTAGGAACCTTGGGACCTGGGCTGTTCTATGGTCTGGCTTCGGAGAAGGCTTGAATATATACTTCCTTCTGATAGTTTATATATGTATTCTGGGAGTGTTATAGTATATATAGTATAGTCTACGGGATGGAGGGTCAATGGGAGGGCCATGAGGGAGTGCCAATTGCGGTCGATACCCCCGATGGAATGAATACCTCGTAATACTGTGGTTTACAGCAAAGACCTCCACCGCTCCGGACCGCCAAGACGCCCAAGGACCCAAGGAAGTGCCATATCGGGTTAAGCGTTCATCACATGATCGCCATATCGGGGATGGCGCGCGGGAACGTACGGATACAGTACGGAAACGTCGCTGGCGTTACCGTGGCCATACGGTCATGGGAGTAGTGAGCCTAAGGATTCTTCAAGAAAGCAGCAGGCAAAAGAAGAATCCGGATAGCTTCAAGAGGATCCCAGATGAAAGATGGAGAGATGTCCGCTTCAGCGTTCTCTCACTCAGTGCGGCTTGCTCACCCGCGGATGTCCAGCCAGCTTTGGAGGAGGGGGCGAACGAACAGGCACTTGTAACGGGTTCTGCCCGCCAGTCCGCCGCTGGGGGTTTTTCTGCTCTTCCCTTCTCTCTTCTCTCTCTTTTCTCTTTTCTCCCAAATCATAGCAATCCTGAGCAGAGCAGAGACGTCGCAGTCCGACCGACATCAGGCGCCACGCACCGGGGAAACTCTGGATGATCGAATAGATTCTATCTTTCCGGGGGAGATAAGCAACAGAATCCGAATCCGAACCTCTCCTCACAGGGAAAACAAGCAGAAAAAAAAAGAGCTAAAGTTCTAGTCGTCAGCTGATTAGCCGTTCTCTTCCGTTTCTCTCCTCGAGCAAGACCCAGACCGACCGGCACGCAGACCCATCCATCCACTGTGTCGTCTTGCCCTGGAACCGTCTTCGCTCTGGCTTTTCCTCGTGGTTAGTAGCTCGTTGATTCGTCCCCCCTCCCATTTTGTGACTATTTTATTACATGATTCTCGTCCCCTCTTTCCCCTCTCGTTGGTGTTGGTGGTGTGTTCCTCCTCTCCTTTCCTACCCCCAATCCTCTCCCGTTGTCGCCCCCTTTTCCCCTTGTTCCTCCTTCCGTGTCCCCCTATCGCGAATGGCGACGCCGGTGGCGGCCTTTCGACAGACCGTGCGCGTACCTGTCCCGTACGCTGTCGGCTACCTATGCGGGGATTTTGTGCGGGTTTGGCTGACCGAGATGCGTTTGTGTCGCAGATAGATCCCTATCAAGGATGCTGCCATAACCTACGTGTTCACGCTCTTTTTGGTTGCAATTCTTGTCGGTTGACTGGTACTGCGAATGTCCATCCCTTTCCGCGAGTGATACGCGCTCTCCCTCGCCTATACACCAGAATCACGACTCATACGTGGGTCAATTTTGACCATGCCATCCCCTGACGCTCCTCAAATGGGGCAGCTCCCCGGCGATGTCCAGACGGACGGCGTTCAGAATGGCTCCGGTGCACCAGGTACTAGCGGCAGCCACGGCGATCTCGCTGCGGAGTTTTTGGCAGACCCGGGTACGAATGGTTCCAATGCGATCGCCGAGGGGAAACAGAACGCAAAGGCTGTTCTAGCTGCTTCAGGTGTGCCATTTACCTCTGCCGAGGCTAGTCAAGACCCATCTGATGGTGACCCGCCCTCTGGGTCTCAGTCGAATAACCCAAATGGCTTCGCGTCGGGCAAGAAACGGTCGCGTAACGGCTCCATGGTCAAGTTGTCCTCTCTGACTGAAGGGTTACCCGTACGTGTACGTGAAACGCCGGCGGACAAGCTCCTCCTGGAGCAGTATGTCAACCGCGAATTCCAACATTCCGCTTTGACAGCATGGCACAACCCGAGCCAAGAGATCATGCAGCAGAAGCGCGCCGAACGAGATTACTTCCTGACGTTACGACGGGAAAATCATATGAACCCGGCTGCCCTATATGGGGTTGGATACGAAGGCTTTGGAAACCCCCGTACAGACCTGCGGGGGCAGCATCCGCAGCTATTGTATCCGTCTAACCGCCGTCGACCGGGAAATCGACGGACGAGGGAATTACGGGTTTCACGAAAAGATCTCAAGACCCAGAACGAGCAAATTGAAAACTTGGTCCCTATTCGGTTGGACATCGACTGGGATAAGATCAAAATTCGGGATACCTTTACCTGGAACCTCCACGACCGCGTTGTCTCCCCCGACCTGTTTGCGGAAAAACTGGCCGAGGATTTGGGCCTTCCCCTCGAGTCTTGTGGCCCATTAATTCGCATGATCTCGCAAAGTATCCAAGAGCAACTTTGCAACTATTACCCTCAGATATATATGGAAGAGGAGCCCCTCGACCCCCATCTGCCGTACACTGCCTACAAAAACGACGAAATGCGCGTCCTGGTAAAATTAAACATCACCATCGGCCAGCATACGTTGATAGACCAGTTCGAATGGGATATCAATGATCCTCTCAACTCTCCCGAAGAATTCGCCGCGCGTATGACCGACGATCTCTCCCTCTCCGGCGAGTTTACGACTGCGATCGCACACTCAATCCGTGAACAGGCGCAACTCTTCACCAAATCACTCTACATCCTTTCTCATCCATTCGATGGACGCCCCATCGATGACCCTGATCTGAAAACCGCACTCCTACCTTCTCCACTCCTCTCTCCTTTCAGACCTTTCCAGGCGGCCAAGGAGTATACGCCGTACCTGTATGAATTGAACGAAACGGAACTAGAACGCACCGAGGTGTCAATATCGAGAGACCAGCGTAGGCAGAAACGGTCGGTCAATCGGCGTGGTGGGCCGGCGCTGCCGGACCTGAAAGATCGCCAACGAACTATCCGGACGATGATTGTCTCGTCTGTTATACCCAATACCGCTCCATCGCTTGATGAAAGCAACGTATTCAAGCGATCTGGCTCCAGTCGACACAGGCGCGCTGCTATCGGGTTGCGTGAAGGTGGAGATGATTCGGACGAGTCGGACAGCGATGAATCGTCGATAACGGGCTCTCCAGCGATCGGTCCTCATCTGGCCCAAGGCACTGCACGCACAAGGGGCATGCGAGGAGCCGCTAGCGCCGCTCACGCAGCCCTTCGGGCGAATATGGGCCAATCCGCCACCCCGGAACCTCACCATGAAGCCAGGGTTTCGTCACGAAGGCGCGACTATCGAGAAGAGAGCGTCGAGGAGACAGACGCGCTAATTGTAAAGTTGAAGATAAATCGGGAAAAACTCCGTCAATATCTTACCCATGGTCCGCGGCCGATTTCCGGCGTCTCCGCATCAACTCCAGGTGCTCAGCTACCGTCTCAGCAAAGCACTCCTGGTGTCCAGACTCCGGTCCAGAGTTCCATGGCGCCTCCATCGCAGCCTCAAGTTCAAGCCCGATTACCAAGTGTCGGTACTCCCACACAACGACCCGCTCCGGCGCAGCAGATTGGAGCTATAGATGCTGTCCAACCCCCTCAGCCGGGTGTCCCTGGGGTGAGTTACAAATAAAAAATCTATCAATCTTTGATGATATCACCTGGAACGGACCGGATTATCTGGCTGTGGTGGGTGTATCAGAAAAAAGGGGGGGAACACGAGAGAAAGAAATTTTCTTCTCGGAACAGAAATATCTACGAAAGCAATGGTTCCTTGCTAACATTGCCTGAATTAGCCTCCGCCTCCAAGTTGGCTTGCAGCGGGACTCGCGAGGTTAAACCGCTCTTACCCCAACGACTCCTTCGAAGGTGTTATGCGGTACACCGCTGTTGATACGGAAACGATGCTCCCGGTAGCAAATTCGACCTCTCAGCTGGGAAACAAACTGAAGTATCAATATCTCCCTCGCATCCGATGCCACGATTGCCCAGGCAAGTTGTATACGCCCGGACCGGGCACAACGGTCGAGAATTTCGAAGTACATCTCAGGAACCGGCAACATAAGGAGCGCGTGGAAGAGAGACTGGCCCGGAACGCTACCGCCGGAGGCAATGCATCATAGTTATGAGTCAACGATGAATCGTTTCTTTCCCTCGACGCCTTTTTCAATTTCCTTTCCTCTTTCCCACCAATGTACACTTTTACTCATATTATTTTCCCTTTTTCTGTGTTTTGCCACGGAGGATGCAATTTATTTGTAACCTCCTGATGTATATGATTGAAGCGGATTAAATGGTTTTGGAAGCCTTTCTTGTCTGAATTCTGTTTGATACTGTCTATCTACCTCCACCTACTACCTACCTATTTGAGTTCCACTTGAAGGAACGGTTTGGTATGTTGATGCCATTTTTGTGCTGTCTTTTCCATGGTCGGCGTACATACATTGATTGGCTCGTTAGCATACTTCTGACGCCTGACTTGACATACTACTGCCCTCTATACAATAAAACCGATCTATCATTGTTCACCTGATATCTAGTTTACTACTTTTACATTTCAGTTGACTAATGAAAGTAGGATACTCTTCTTGTATTGCTTTCTACCTCGTACTTTCCTACGGATAGGGGAGGGAGAAAGGAAAGATATTTATTCTGTCATTGATGGAACAGGATTGACTGAATCAAGGAAAGAATTGGGTATACATTTGGAGCTGACACTGGGATAAGAACAGCAATAACAACATTGGAATTACCATTCAGTCAAGTACAATCACTCCCTCACTTAACACAGATCAGATAGGTAGGAGACGCAAGAACAAAGAAACAGACAAACAAATGAATAAATAATAAAAAAAGACATACAGAACAACTTGCTCCCCATCCATAATAAAAGGACATGGTAGAATAATGAACAACGAAGGGTAGTCAGACAATTCAAGGGTAAGAGATTGAATGTGTTTTGTAAGACATTCTCACCTATTATAGACGGAAGATGTATGTATGGGCAGACAGACAGACCAGTAGTCTGATTTGTTGTTCTCTTTACACAAACAAGTTAACAAGCCGTTAGGCGTTCCAAGTTAGTTGTCTAGATAATTCTAGCCTTATCCTCTCCGAGAGGATCGTCGCGTGGGTAGTGAGGTGGTGGTTGGTTTCCAGGCATGTTTTCCTGTGGTCTTTTTTGTTGCTGCTGGTGGCGGTGGTGGCGATGAAGGTTCGCCTGCAGCTTCGGATTCTTCTTTGTCCTCTTCCTCGCTATCGGATTGGTCCGCGGGAGCCTCGTCCATGTTGTTGTCGTCGTCATCGTCTGCTTCGCTTTTCTCGTCTCCTTCGTCTCCCTCCTCCTCTTCGCTGTTTTCAGGCCCCTCGTTCTCATTTTTGTCTTGATCCCATTCGTCCATTTCCATATCATCCTCCTCGCTATCCCGGTCTGCGTAGCTGATTCTCCGCGAGGCGTTACCCCTGCTACTACGTCTCCTGGCAGAAGAGTCTTTTTCGCCAGCAGCTCCACCATCTGAGGACCAGTCATCCTCAGCCTTCTTCTTTTTCTTGGGTGTTTTCGAGGTTGCGCCTGTGGACAACTTCCGGCTGCGAGGAGCCTTCTCCTTTTTGACCTTCTTTGCTGAACCAGCACCTCCGCTGGGTCCGTTGGAGTTTGTCTTTCTCTTTTTAGTGGTCCCCAGACTCTGGGACCCTCCTTTAGTCTTTAATATAGATCGTACAAGACGATCAAGTAGTTCATCCGCATCGTCAGGAAGGAAATTCTTCTCCGCCACTTCTTGCGCTTCCTGATGGCTGCCCATTGCAGCGAATATCGAGCTTGGGATGCCCATCTTCCCCGGGTACGTCTGTAGGATGCTAGTGGCACCGGCCGACCCCCCGCCGAACTTGCGTTGTTGCGAGTAAATATCAGCGAACCGACGGATGGTCGCTTGTGCCAGATCAGAAAGCGTATGGAGACGGGTGGTGATTTCATTTGACTTGGTAATGCCATCCCGTGCCTGTTTGACACGTTGGGCGATATGAAATATTAGAGACAAGTTATGCTCATTGGCGACAGCGGAGAGATAGAAAAGGATATAGCGCGCGAAGTCGGTCAGATCGGCCAACTTAGTGGCCTGGTCAAGCTCGGCTGGTGGGTAGTCCGGGTGGTAAGCAAGAAGAGATAACAAACGAGAGAAAACGGCTTCCATGGCTGTCTGATCGGCTTTCTTGCTACTGCCCTGCTGAGCAAAGAATGCTGCTCGAGATCGTAGCCAAGTGAGTGTGCTGTCCTTCAAGCTCGGAGTGGGCTCGAACGCTAGCAGGAACGGGATAGTATACCACCGATAGCTTAAAGAAGTGTTCTGCACTAGCTGTTTTTTCAGCTGGTTGATGAATCCTTCTCGTACAGCTAGAATGGGGTCTTGGGCCACTAGCGCAATTGCATTGAAGTCGCGAGGTGCATATAGCCTATCACAGAGAGTGTGGGACGCGCACAATTTGAGTATTGACTTGGACGCTTGAAGGCGTAGTCGAGGTTTTTGTGCCGCTGGGGTGTCCTTTTTCTTCGACAACTCGCCTTGATTAGCTACAAGCTTATTCAAGGTATCGTAGACAGGCTCTGCATGAGCGCGGAAGTCTTCCTCCCCATCTGCGCCTCCCTTAGCACGCAAACGGTTGACAACTATCTTGAGTGCCCATTCCTTGGCAGACGTCTCGTCATCCACGTTGTCTGACCAGACATAATCTGCATTTGACTGAGGAGACCGGTTTGATAGCAAGATCTGATTCACAGCAATTGAGATTATAGAGTCGCTTTCGCCATCCGCTTCGTCTGGGGCCAGAAGGCTCAATTGAGACAGGGTAGCGAGCTTGGTGAGAAACTTGTCTGATCCAAAGGTCCACTTCGAAACACATTTCCGGATTAGATCCCTGGCGTACATCTCCTTCTTATCTGCGGTGGCCATCAAGATCGAGACAGCATGTTTGGCAGCCCGCGGGGATGGGCTGTAAAGGGCGTAGTCGACAAGAGACTGGTAAAATTTGCGCTCCTTGGGGAGTTTTGCCGGGAGTTTCTTCGCAAAACCTGAGCAGGCCTTGAGAATCTCCTCAGTCCCGGCGGCGTTTGTCGTTGAGGCCTTCGGCGCCTGCGATTCAATATCTTTGCACATTTCTTGGACCTGGGCCTCTAGCACTTCAGGATTTCGAGAAGAAATTTCTCGCAGCAGTTCATGCGCAGGGCTCGCTAGACCATTCTCGTCTGTCCTTGAAAGGTTAATGATCGCTGGTATGTGACTCCGATTGAACACAAGCGAGCTGCATCGATACAGCAGTGGCGTGAGTGTTTCGAGTAGAGGAGCGTTATTGGCGCCCTGTGTTCTCTTCACAAATTCCCTGATCGCCTTGACGACTGTGCGATAGTCACTGACCGCAGCCATTGCAAAGCGAATGAGCTGGTAGCTTCGTCGGTCATGCACCTTGGCAAATTTCCACAGATCCGCAGACGCACGCGACGCATCAGGGAAGATTTTAGACAGACCGTCAATAACGCGGGTGACTTGGGCCTTGATTCGTTGTTCGTCTTTTTCCATTACGCCGCCCTGTCTCGCATTAGTGCCTGACACCTCCCGTAGAGTATTCAGTATAAACTTACATTATACTCCTCACAGGCTTGGAGGTATATAGTGACCGCTGTCCTCATCTGTAATTGTCGGGCCTGCATTGCGAAGAAAACCTTCTTTGCTTTATCATCCAATCCCCTGGTTAGAGTGAGAATGCGACGGACGCGGACCTTGTCCACATCGATCTCTCCATCGCCATCTGTAGTCTGTGAATCCTTCTGCTTTTGTGAATGGCTTGAGCCTGAGCGTGACAACTTCGGTTTGATCGGAGGGTAATTAAGCGGAAGGAGAATTTCAAAGAGAACACGATCGATTAATACATGTATATCCGGGTCATTCGTGTAAAACGCGTCCAAGATTTTTGACGGTCCGTCCCCAAGAAGGGAGACAACTTGATCATTGTCCTGCTCAATTTCGCCTGCCGCGACAGCCCAGATCCGGGCCAGAGTCCGCATTGCACGCTCTCGCACATGAGGTTTTCGATCCTTGACACGCTCTGCCAGGATATAAAGTATTGAATCTGAAGACGAAAAGCCGCCACCGGCTCCCAATTTTAGTACAATATGAGACAAACCAAAATTTGCAACCGCATCTACTGCCGCCACCCGAACCTTCTCGTCCGCGTCCCGCAGCAGAGACGCCAGATGCTTGATGAGCACTTGCTCCTCATTGTCACTCAAGCCAGAGCCACCGGCCGACGTCAGCAGGATCCGGCCCACGACAGTCGCCCATGCCGCCCGCACGGAAGCGGACCTATCAAGACGTCGACTTAGAAAGCTCTCATAGGTCGAGCTGTGCGCCTGAGAGAATGGTTTGGGAGAAAATGGCGTCAGGACAACGGTTGGCTGAGGGACCGTTTGCGCATATTCTGCCAATTTCACAGGGGGGTAGATGGCGGGATCCATGGGGGGAGAGGGAGGTGGCCCGGAAACACCAATTCCAGAGGTTAAGTCACCAATTGTTTGCGTAGCGAGTAGACGCAGGGAAACTGATTCGGCCGACAGCTCGGCCTCGAGCTGGGGGACCACATTCTGCAAAACCTCTGGGCAGGCCTTCCAAAGTTCGCGGATGAGACGATGGGCTTTGCCTAACTCCTTAATATCATCTCCCTCCTCTTCCGACTCATCAAGGGTATATCGGCGATTAGGATTCTTCGATGCCTCTTTCTTAGAAGCGGAGGCATCGATGATAACATTGTTAAAATACTGACTGATGTGACTGGTCATTCTCTCAGGGCACGCTTGACAAATCGCCTTGGACATATTGTACGCGGGAGGATAGTCCTTCAGAAGCAGTGTCCCTTGACTCGCATCAAGCGGCGTATTGGTCTTCTTCCCTTTCTTAGCACCAGGTAACTCCAGAATGCGAGGGTCAACGCGCAAAAATTGAGCCACGATAACATCTACTACTTCGGTAGCAAGTGCCGGCGTTTCATCGATTACCGTGACCAGTAGGCGAGTCATGTCAAACTCAACGTTCTTGGCGATTTCCTCACCCGAAGAAGATTTCGAAGATCCCGAGACGATGTCAAAGCAGCTAGTGAATAGTGGGATGATCAACGAGTCTGGCTGATCTAAATCTGTCATAAGGACGATACTCTTGACCTCCGCAAGGGAGTTTAGCACATAAATGTGTTGAGCATTGTATGTGTTAGAGGGGTCCCCGAGAGCGGGAATGATCGAGGTCACGATGCAAGTAAAACAATCCTGAATCCCGAAACAGAATCAGCATCATCAAAAGCACAGCAGAAACAGCACGAACGAGCAGTACAGCTCCGTTTTACTTTCGAAAAGAGTCGGTTCAACGCACCTTGAGCTGGTTGGCCGTAAATGGCGCGTCAGGAGCGCAGAGTCGAAGAACATCAACAATACAGCACGTCGCCCAAGCTCGAACACCCTTATCCTTGTGTCCGAGGAGCTGAGCGGTCGCTAGCTCCTGCGAGACCTTTTTCAGCGAATCCTTCTCTACCTCCTCTTGTTCGAGCTTGCGAAGTTCCTGCGCAAGGGTCTGTAGGCGTTGGAGCAGATCTGCTATAGGAATGGCCCCTCGTCCAACGCGCCACGATAATGGTTCATTGAATCGGAGGCGACGAAGACCACTGGTGATTTCTTCAGGCTCCGCGTCCTCCGTAGCGACGGGGGGGCCTTGACGAGTGCGCGCAGGCATCGTGGACAAAGCGCGGGGAAGCCGAGGAGGGAAGGGAGGAAGCTTCAAGGAACCATGCGCTAGGCGGGAGGAATGGTATATGATAGAATGGACGTGGTCGGAAGTGTCGGGAGGAGTGATATCAAATGTCGAAGAACAGAGGATAAGAGGACATCGACTCGGAATGCAGAGCGAGATGAGAGGGGATGGACGGACGATGGTAAACGGGGATCGCCAGTTGCGGCTGACCGCCTTCGCCAGGAACGCGTCGCGTGTTTTTTTTTTTTTTTTTTTCTTCTTCTTAGGCTCCTCTGTATTACTGCTATAATAACAGTGTTATCAATCGAGGATTGATTTTCTCCATCTCAGGAGATGATAGAAATGTGCTGGCCTACGAATCTCTATGTTCAATCAGAACTTCCGCATCAACGATGCGTTGCTGAGCGCAACATGACAGTTCTCGATTTCCTGAAAAGGAAAGGGCTTCCCCAGACACAACGCTCAATTAGAAGCAGTGATACGTCGAAAATTGTCTATAGATTGACTGAGAATATTATCTATTTTCATCTCCGCTTTCGGGTTTCCGTATGCGATATGAAAGTAAGTTTGAAGGTTGCTACCTCAGCCTACTGTCGCTCATGATCATGGCCGTGACACCTGTATACAGTGAGTCATCCGTAGAAGATCCCATCCCGTCATTGCCATGGCCTCTGTAGCTTTGATGATAAGTTCATGAGCCTCTGTCTCCCCCGCAGCAGCACAAAAATCATAAGAATGCGGAAATACATCACTGGGCACCGGAATGCCAATGATAGCGTGTACTCCCAGAACGGCATAGGAAACGTTGCCTTGGTCGGTGGAGCCAGCCAGGCACGGGGCTGCTGTGTCTTTCGAGGACATTTTATCCCTGTTCCCCTATGCATTTACAGAATTCTTCACAAAGAGGCTTGTTAACCCAAATCAGCATAAATTTGATTCTCCTGGACGTCAAATTCACAACCTGTCGCGGGTGATCCTGCTTCCAAACACCGACAGACGCGCTCTCCAAGAGCCAGTCCTTTTCATGCTCCGACAGTGTACTTGACCATTGTTTTTTCGGCTATGGTATTGGTATTTTTTGGTTCTTCCGTAATCGCTCCGTGGATTCTCTCCCCTGGTTCAATCTGCTGCCGTAGCATCAAGAATATTGTTGTACGCGGAAACAGTGGCATCCAAGGCATTGAGCCCTCCCACGGATTGGCACTAGCATAAGCAACTGACTCCCTTGTAGGTACGGATCAGATCGAAGCAGGATACGCATGTATGTCCCGCTAATCCGCAAGGGTTATGATCACGGAGTAGTCGCTCTGACGTTGCATGGCTAGACCTTTCATCAAAACTCGAGTTAGGAGAAAAGGCTCACATAGCTCGCATCGTCGTGGAATATCGGCTTTATCATATGCACCGCCCGTCGCAAATGATCAATCTTTCCACCTTCGTCTTCTCAGCAGTTGAGCCGGCCAGATATCCCAAACTGTTAAATCAAATGCGACAACGCGAGAAACCCAGCCAGACCCGCGGTTGCGATGAGATTATGTCCACATGCATGTCCAATATTGGGAAGAGCATCGTACTCAGCATTGAAATTAATGCATCTCCCACCCGACACACTGACAGCGTCAAAGGCCGTAGCCAGTCCGTAAGCCTTCCAAGTAATTAGGATATTGAGACTTTCGAGATATGTGCATAATGTATCATGCACAAAGTATTCTTCATATACCAGTTCAGGATTGTCGTGGACCTAAGAGAGAAATGGTCACTCCAGAGTTCGAACATGCATACAGGTCTGCATTGCTCACACTTTGGTTTAGATGTCGTAGGCTCTTCCCTAAGCCTGAAATATATTCGTCAATTGTACGAATTTTCTCTCCTCTACCATACCTCTACCATACACCATATCATCTCTGTCTGATGGTGGCCGAACTGCAAGGTAGGTTGATCTCAATCCTAGTGTACCTGATACAAGTGAACTGAGTTTAAAAGAGCTTCCAGATCTGACCACCTTGATTCGTATATGCGGGGATTACAAAGTTAATGTTGGAGTTGCGGCGCAAAATCATATTATTGGACAGGCATCGACATGGATCTAACCGAGCGGAACCAGGGCCGCAGGAACGCAGTAAAATATTAGGGGGCAGACGATGTATTGAGGCGGCTCGCATATTCTTGGCAGGTGGCATAACCCCTCAGGAAGAAAAGCTATACCGCCGCAATTCGCATAAACACAACTCCTATTATTTTTGAGCCTTAAAACATGACTACCTCAACCTGGCAAGAGAAGGCTGCTCTCAAGGCGTCACAGGCCGCGGAGAAGATCCCCGAGAAGTGGAGACTACCAGTCAGTCTTGTACAGTCCTTGAAGGATGCCACTAGTGTTCTGGATATCCCCTCAAAATGTGGTATTTTGACCGAGAGGGAGAGCCATATCACCGAGAATTATGATGCCACCGCTCTACTCGCAAAGCTTGCCAGTCGGGAGTTCAGCTCAGCCGAGGTTACTACGGCGTTTTCCAAACGCGCTGCAATTGCCCAGCAGCTAACAGGCTGTTTAACTGAGACCTTCTTCGATATGGCGCTCAGCAGGGCACAGGAGCTGGATGATCATTTAGCGAAAACAGGACAAATTGTTGGCCCTTTGCATGGGCTTCCTGTCAGTCTCAAAGAGTCATTCAGCGTCACCGGGATTCATACTTCACTTGGATATGTTTCCTTCCTTGATCAACCACCCAAATCGGAAAATTCGACCTTGGTCGAGATCCTTATTTCTGCCGGAGCCGTCCTTTACGTCAAGACCAATATTCCACAGACGATGATGACGGCAGACTCTCACAACAATGTCTTTGGTCGTGTGCTCAATCCACATCGCCTGAATCTCACGGCCGGTGGGAGCAGTGGAGGCGAAGGAGCATTGCTAGCCTTGCGAGGGTCCGTGCTAGGGATCGGAACCGATATTGGAGGATCTATCCGAATCCCAGCTCTCTGTTGCGGTGTGTTTGGTTTTAAACCTTCTAGCAGTCGAGTGCCTTATGGTGGCCAAACCGCAGCAGGACATACGGGGATGACTAGCATTCTTCCAGTTGCCGGACCACTGTGTCACTCGATTAGAGACGCGGAGCTCCTTCTCAAACTGGTGTTCAATTCGAACGCTGCAGACCTTGATGACGTATTGGGTGTGCCGTGGGCTAGCCCTCAGCAAAAGTCGGCTCTCACAATTGGCATAATGCCGGAGGATCCACTGTTTCCATTACATCCGCCAATGCAGCGAACTATGAAAAATGTGATAAGCAAATTGGAGGCGTGTGGTCACTACGTTGTTGATTTATCGAGTCAGATGCCGTCCTTGACTGAGGTAGCAAACGTGTCTTTCCGCTATTTCGCCATGGATCCCGACCAAGTCGCGTTGAATAATATTAGGAGGAGTGGTGAACCATTCGTTCCGTCACTCAAATCCACTTATGACCTAGCGGCTGATCTCCCGGAGCCGGACTTGCGTCAACTTCTAGAGTTGAATGTAGTTCGTAAAGCGCTAATTGCGCAAATGCGTCGTGTGTTTACTGAAAAGAAACTGGACCTTATTGTGGGACCAGGCTACCAAAGCCCTGCAGTTCCTCATGATAAATATGGTATGCCCATATACACGGTCATCTGCAATCTATTTAACGTAAGTGGATACTGTAAACAACCCGCAGAAATTTGCTATTGACTTGCTCAGAATCCTGCCTGTGTACTTCCATATGGCCATGCAGATCAAGCTGCAGATGCGGACTTTGTCCGAGATGTACACTATAAGCCGGAGTGTAAGTTCAAAAAGGACCCCCGGTTACAATTTACTAATAGATTGCAGATTTACCACAGGAAATTGAAGGTGCACCATGCCATGTACAGCTGTTCGGTAGGCCAATGAAGGACGAACAGCTTCTCCAGGACACAATGATCATAGAAAAAGCGCTAAGAGACTGATTGAGAAAAGCACGGGGCTGTCATGGTAATCTAACAAGAAGCTGTCAATTTGCAAGCAGCCCTTGTGTGCTAACCCACTCCTCTTTCTATGCGAGAGAAGCGTATTTTAGTTTGATTGACAAAACGAATTATGCAAAAATAAGGTTCATTCACCGTGTAGTAGTCTCGCTAAGTGCATATGCATCGTACTTCGAGGAGGGTGCATCCGGCATTCTAGACGGTATTTCGCCAATACGCTGGGGATTCCATGCCCCCAACTAGCCATAATCGACAGTTTGTTTGAAATTATCTGCTTGCTTCTCACTGGTCTCAACAGCAAGAGACCTGATCACAACGACGGGCCATAAGCGGTGAAAGGCAAACCATGTATCGAAATCCGCTAGTTCAATCAAATTCAAGCCATGCTGCAGGGATAATTCCAGTAATGTAACTGTCTCATGCTTTGGTAAATTGGGGTCTGCTTTTATGAGCATCAATCGGATTGCTTCGGCATGGAGGCTGGTAATATGATTGCCAGACTGATTGCCGCAGACAGTTTTCTCCCATTGGCAAAATTCCTCCTGTCGACGGGCCCAGAACATGCAGTCGACAAAGGTTACTGAAATGGAGAGCCTTATTAGTCGCGTCACATCGGCGACTAACGAGTAAAATTGGTCTAGTGTTTCAAGAACCGGATGCGTGAACACAGCAGATCTTAAATCATTGTCATTGAGGTGAGCAGGATCAGAGAAAATCACCCAGATTTAGACTATATCTGAGAGCACAGATACGATCCAACAACCGGCCAAGAAGAGTTACGCAAGCAGCATGATATAGAAATAACTCGGCACAGATCCGCTCAAATGCAATTGCATCTTGAGAACAATTCCGTATTCTCGGGAACCGAAGGTTCAACAACGGGCTGGAAGCAAGAATGTGGGATCCCGGGTCTGGGACTGTATCCTAGCGTGAGCTCTAATTTGGTCAACCAGTAAATTCCATAGTTGGATGGGGCTATGGAGAGGATAAAGGTTACCTCCAGAAGCATGGAAGGACCATTGTAGCCAAGCGCCAATCCTTACTCACTGTGTATTTGGCCCTTGCGACACTCTTACGAAAGTTGCTAACGGTAAATAAACAGCACTCAATGGCCAAAGTATTAAAACGAGAGAACTTCTCCTTGGCCTCAGTGCCGTGTACCAATTGCTGCATTCATCAAAGGAGAGGGCTCAAGAGCAAGCCGAAGCGCATGCCGTTGCCGTGAGTACCTGGCTAGCGAAGTCTGTCGAACCAAGCTTGGGAGAACAACACTTGCAAAATAATTATATAGCTGCCGATGCTCTTTCAACGGAAACGGTGCAGGCATAGTGATTGGCGGCGAGAACAGTTCGGTGGTGATGGACAGAGGTAACATGTACGGCAGAGTCGCTTACGATCTGGGGTCGCAAGTTCGATGTTCAACGTTGGTACTCGAAAATCGAGCACGTAGAGCCCCTTAGTTGTTGGAAGTCTTGAAGTTTCTCCCTCGATCCATCAAGAGTTGTCAGCCAGCCAAGCGCAAGTGAGTTCATTCCGAGAGCAACCCCCGCATCGTGGGCCCTTTTCACCACATTTTTGCGACGCCTGCGGCCTGTAAAGAAATCAGTATTACAACTGCTGACAACGCTGAAACCCTTGAGATAATCCTCCGTTGAGAAATGCATCCGTGATGCTCATATGAGAGACAGGGGAAAGAGGAATTTACATTCAGCGCATCCAGTTCGCGTTCGAACCCTTGCGGTGGTTGCTAACGTGGTCAAGGGTCACTGACATAATGACCTATGTGAATATTAATCGAGATGAAACACAAAAGAGTAGAGATAGAAGGTGAAGTATATGATGGAAGTAGCAAGTGGGTGATAACAAGGTAGACTAGATCGAGGAGTTGCTTAGCGCCTGAGGAAGACCATAATTTTTAGTTCGATACAAATCAAATGTATATAAATGTATATGGAATGAACTCTTCAATAGCAATTATTCGACCACTTATCTTATTAAGTCACTTTGCTAGTAGATACAGCAGAATAAAAAAAAATCGCCTTTCATTAATGTCCAAGACGCTATGCAAGCATATCACAGTGCTATGAGTAAACGTTATATCGCCTATAGATCTAATTCCCCGGAATACACCAACGCCCGCAGAAGATGCGAATATTGTCCAAGAAAGACAGTGCTCTTTTTCTTTTCTTTTCTTTTCTTTTCTTTTTTTTTCTTTTTTTTTTTTTGCAACTTTATAACTTGGGTGAAAACTTACTCATGGCCCGGATCCTCTTGCCATAGAAGTAGAAAACAATCGGAATTGGAATCATCGCCACGGTGATAAATCCAAGCAGACTAGAAGCCCAGTCAACGCCTAACTTGTGGTACATTTGCACTGCGAAGAGTGGGAAGGCACCACCAAAACTACTCCGGATCAGAGTATTGGCAGCAATGGCGGAATTGGCGAACATCATATAGACATCAATAATGTAGTTGAGACCTTGCATGAAAATAACCAGGATTCCCATTCCAATGGGAATGCCTGCGATAACCTGGGGTACCCACGAGACGTGGCGGCTAGAAGTCCATCCGAACCAGAAGAGACCGGCAGGTAGCATGAATGATGCCACAATCATAGGGACCAGACGTTCTTCAGGAACAACACGACCATGCTTTTCCAGCTTCCGAGCAAAGCGCGTTTTCGTCTGCCAGATGATAAATGCCACGCCGCAGTATACGCCAATCATGATCCCAAGGAAAGGCAATCCGGCCACACCTAGATGCTTCCACCCTCGGACTTCGTGGAAGGACACGGGGTACGCTTCAAAGAACAGGTACAAAATTCCGTAAACCAAAGCTAGGTATAAGGTGATCAACAGCAGAATCGGTTCCAGGAAAAGCATCTGAATCGGACGCAGAATATACTTGCTGACAATTTCCGACGCAGTGGGGCGATGCTCATCCAGCATCGAATGCAACGCCCAGTTTCCAGTCTGCCGACGAAGATGTTGAGCGCGCTTCTGAAGAATAAGTGGGGCATAGGTCTCCGGGACAATGACCACGGCAGCGAGGCCAAAAGCTGCCGACGCAATCAATGTAATCCAAGCGGTCCACCGCCATCCAAGATATGAATCCGTGATGAAGCCACCCACAATGGGACCTGAGAAGCATGTTAGGGGGCAATTGCAAGTATTCGATAGGGTAGCGCTGCACATACCAAGCACAGGACCAATAAAAGTAGCAGAAGAGAACATTGCAATAGCCACAGCACGGTCAACGGGGTTCCAAAAGTCCGCCATAGCGCCGCCAATGACGGCTAGAGGAGAGCATCCAAAAACGCCTATAAAGAAACGACAGACCAGGATGGTTTCGACATTCTGGGCTACTGCGACTGGAATCTGGAAGATTGCAAATAAGGTGTAGCCAAAGAACAGTGGCAATCGACGCCCATATAATTCCGATAAAGGTGACCACATAAGAGGGCCTACTGCAAATCCAAAAATTACCAAGCTAGTCCCCAAGGTCATAATTTCGGTTGATACATTGAACTCCTTGGCCGTCACTAGGGTTGCAGTCGAAAAGACACTGCTTGCGAACGTAACCCACATGGTCATGAAAGAGAGTGTCATGGTCACCACCCACTTCTTCCAGTAAAGCATATTATGTGGATTTTCGGGATCGTCTGGTCCATCGAATTCCACCAAGTTAGGATCTTTCTTAGGTACATCTGGTTTTTCATCTCCCATGGGCTGGACATTGGCTCCATCCTCCAGGTCTCTTTCGGCATCGTTCTCAGGGTCTCCCGTGGAGAAAAGAGACTTCGAATGTAATGTGACATCCAATGACTGTGGTACCTCGTTTGTACGAGCATGGCGTGAGCCCATGTCATCTGTATGGGCTTGATTGGCAACAGCCATAATTCCGAATCACTCGAGTACGTATATTCGTAGGTATCCTGTTTTGGTTCATATGCCGTAATCTGAGTAAGGGAGAGGGAGGCACATCGATAGTACTTTAAATCTTGGAAATTCAGTAAAACGGGAGATGCATAGTATAGTAGGGACTATGTACATACATGGATGTCAACACAGATGTAGAACTGATGGCTAGGGACAGCGCCACCAAGGGATTATAAGTCATCGCGCAATATCAAGAGTGGGCCTCGAACAGCCAATTCACATTCGAGCTAGAAAAGAATCGAAGGACAATATCCGTGTTGTGAACGTGAATATGGCCCTCTGCTACAAGAATCTTAAGTCCAAAGAGTCGAGTCGGCACAGAGTTCCGATCACTGCTGTGAGGATCAGAGAACGAAAGGAACCAAAAATAAATAATTAATAAAAATAAGAATAAGAATAAAACATTAAAACATAAGATAAGCCTAACGTTGATTGCATAGCTACTGCATAAAGTAAGTAAGTAGCTCGGCAAATAGCCCAAACCCCCTATCAGAATGTGATCACTTATAGGGTTCAGAAAGTCGGACTGTTAAACCCGAGACCGAGAGTTGAGTATATCATATGGCATCAAAACAATATAGAAGCCTATGTTAATCCAGGCTGTTTTCGGCAAACCCAAGTTGTGGATATCAGGGGGATCCCATGAATCAGACCATTTCCCCCTCCCCGTTCCAGTGGTCCGGAAACAGTGGATTCACGATTGAGGATTAGCAAAACAGAAATTGTTCGCGCTTTGGGTACTCCGAAGTCCGACACCAGTCACATAAGCTATGGAGTCACTCTGCTGACTCTTGGTTACTAGCTTCTCCGACTACATTTATTCAGCGGGTATCGGGGACGTCGGCAGATGTTCAGACCACACATCCCGAGTTGGGCTGATTGTTTAATAAAGGGCCTGTTGGATGTCTCTAAAGAGTATTTATAGCAGCCGGACTTTGGTTTAAATTCTCGCTCCGTTTTGCTTCCTGGAGATATCGCAGGATGGAAATATCATTTCTCCCTCTCGTCCTGAAACGTTCTGCTTATGCGATTAGCGACAAGTTGTAGCTAGTTAGTAGGGGTATGAACCTCGTTAATAAGCAAACTTCCATCTAGTTAACCTAATCAGATCTTCGATTACGTCTTTTTTTTTTTTTTTTTTTTTTTTTTTTTTTTTTTTTTTGCCATCCGGACCTCTTAGTAATATGATGCGCGCCCCATGACGCGTTGCCTCTACTTAGGAGACGGTCTTGTCATCCACAGTTGACATGTCGCACATACACCTGCCAAATCTCAGTATTAATGCGAATGACGGGATCTTGAAGAAAATAGTAAGAGTTGAGGAGCGATTCTTTGGAGCTACCCGTTCGGAAATCGGCGTTAATTACTACAGTGGCATTCGAAATTGCCTTCCACCCAAATCACTCTGTTTTCTGGGAGCCCCACTGCCAATACTAGAGTCTCGCAGTCTAACCTTTCCTGGCAAGACCATTACAGTGAGAGAACGAGTAGCGGAATCATTCGCCGTCTTGACCTGACGTCATACGATCGTTCCAAGACGCCTCCATGATACCAAAGGTAAAGAATTCAATAGACCATTCTCTGCTATTACAACCACCTTTGCTATATAAGCATCATCCCACCAGACCCCCCTTTTTAGAAAGATATATGAAAAAAAAAAAATGAAAGAGAAGTTTTATCTTATATAACCATCCAATGACCTTGTTGGCGTCATAGATACACATGATTATTATTATTTGGAGGTCCCTCTCCAATCATGTCACCATATTGAAAACCACCACCAGTTCGCCAACTATTCCTAATTAGGATGGCTTAACTCCGCCGAGTAAGGAAGCAAAGTGTTGACCTAATCAAACAAGGTGCCAAGGAGCATAGTGCTCTGAAGTGTCAGGGCTGAGCCCGTAGAACCTATATGATAGGTTATGTACAAAATGGAATCGTTGAAGAAGGGAAGAAAGGAAGAAAGGAAGAAAGAAAGAGGGAAATGAGCGGTAAACAAACAGGGTAGAAAGTCACGTGACATACACTGCATCGAGGGCCGATGGGCCAACAGGGCCAAAAGGGCCAGTAGGGACAGTAGGGGCAGTAGGGACAATAGGGACAACAGGGATAATAGGGACATTGGCCCGAGAGGTCAAATGGGCTCCAGCTCTTTACATGAAGTGCAGGCTGAAGGCCAGGTCGAGCCTTGATACATAAATCATATTTAGTACTATATGTTTAATCTAGCCGTAGTAAAAAGCTTAATATAGATTATCGTCTCCGGAAAAACCATATCAATGCCCGTCGTTTGCCGCCTGTGACAGGTTCGGAGTCTGATTTCATGTGTTTGGGAGGATGATTGTGGATGGGCAAGGTAGGAGAGGCTTCGGGTGAAGTTTGCTGCGTTGGCTTCTTTAATGGGGAATTCACTGCTATTTCCGAGTTGCTAAGAGCATTAGAGGAGGATATGGGATGCGCGTGATCTGGGCCCAGTAATTTACAGCGGAGCTCTGCACACTTTTTTATCAGGGCTAAGGCGTCTTCAACCTTCCCTAATAGTTTCCATGTGTAGGCCAAATTGTTCATGCTTGTTAGAGGTCTGGATGCTCTGGCCCCAGTACTTGCTTGCGGAGCTCCATTACCTGCACTGCCAGCTCTTCTGCTTGCTTCCATTGTCCCTGATTCCAGTATGTTGACGCCAGGCCGGCCATGCTAGTAAGAGTGTCTGGATGCTTAGGCCCCAATACTTACTTGCGGAGCCTTATTACCTGCACCGCCAGCTCTTCTGCTTCCTTCCATCGTCCCCGACTCGTGTATATTGATGCCAGGATGTCTATGCTGGTAAGACTGTCTGGATGCTTAGGCCCTAGTACTTGCTTGCGGAGCTCCACCACCTGCACCCCTAGCTCTTCTGCTTTCTTCTATCTGCTGTCACTATACAGACACCTCCTAATACTCACAATAAAATTAATGTATTTCTCCTGCTCCTTTTAAAAGTTAGCCTCTGCTATTAGTAAAAACACATGCGGTAGATATTCCCGCCACAACTTCCGATTGGTGTGGTTATTGTTCGGGAAAGCTTTGATTAATTAGTCTGCAGTTTTTAATATTTGCAGGCTAAACTGTTGGCTTTTTCTTATCCAGTTCCAAGTTGCAAGATAGACTAGTCGGTGTAGATTTAGAGAATAGTCCCTATCCTCCTCGCTAACAAAGGAGAACACCTTGAGAAGGCCAATGGCATCAATTCTTGGTCGAGTTTGGCTAAGGAAGTAAGGACTGTGGAATATCGCGAGGATTAATACAGGCCATAAATAATAGATAGTTCGCCGCGAGTTCATTTAATTGCTGAGTCTGCTAAAAGGAGATAAACCAGGTTAAAGCCACAGGATTCTAGGTGTCTTTGTATCGCCTTTTATCCCCGAAGTTTTTACTTAGCAATTCAATCACATTTGGTTCCTGGTCCTGTAAAAGTATAATATAGTCAGAGAGGCTAATGTTATTTTTATTAATGTACACTGCTGCCTGGGTAATCACTAACGGGAGAAAGGCCAGCTGCTTAAGAAGAGTAATGGCTATATCACGATCATTAAGGAAGGTTTTGTTAAGGGCGATGCTTAATCGACACCCCCATAAGATAAACGTGACCCACTAGTGTAAATATGGTATAGCACTATGCCAAAAATGTGGATTAGGGCTAAATATTAGGGCAAAATGTAAACACTATGCTAATATAATACGTTAGCTATACAGAATACACCACCCCAGTTAACCCCAGTGGCATTAAATCAGTCATTAGTATCTTATCTCCAGGGCTATAAAAGCTTTGAAGATAAACCAAAGCCTTAAGAGGATTATAATACTAATCTCCACAAAATCCCCTTGCCTCCATATCTCGAGGAGGAATCCTTTGACACTGAATATGCAGTAATTAAATTTATTTGTAATATTGCTTATTACACAGCTGGTATGTAGGGGACTGGACGAGAGTGTATAGCACTATAAGCTGTAGGGACCGTCGAATATAGGAAGGGAGGCCCCAGGGGCCGCCTTTGATGGCGGCCCTGGGGAGGACTTAGGGGATTCTCTTAAGTCTTGCGAAGGAGTGTATTGCCTAAGCTATTTTTTTAAAGTCCTCCTCCCTGGTCTGCTACTTAAGGTAGCAGACCGCTATTTAACCTAGTGTCTACCAAGGTCTTCCAGTGCGCAGCCGTGGGATTGTATAATATGGGATCGTGTCTTCGGAGTACCTATGTGTTGGGGCCATATTCGTCAGGCACTATATATATTAGTTAGCCCCGGGATAACATATTAATAAATTTGGTAAACAGAATAGCTTCGCGGTGACTATTAAGACCTCCAAGACTAAAAAAAAAACAATCGCTCGGTCAAGCAGGCTGTTTATTTAAAAATAGCTTGTAAAGCGCTGAAGGCTGAAACCCCTATTTGCACTAGTGGGTCACGTGGGGGTGTCGATCTATCTTATGGGGGTGTGCTTATATTAAGGCAGAAAGTCCGTTAGTACTGGAGTATTAGTGTTATCCTTGCTCCACATCCCCATATTATCTGCGTTATTAAAAAAAAGAAGCCACTTCCCAGAACTCTCCTGGCTAAGATAAGCCTTGACTTTTTCTTTTACCTCTACCGGCTTGATGTTAGTTATTCCTAGGGTTAATATAATACTTATATAGGATTGTTCCACGCTTTTGTAACTAGTATATATAATCCAGAAAATTAAGTACTCAGGGTCTTGATTTTACATGCGGTATGCTAGTTTAAGTGCAATCTAGGTTTTTCTAACTCTACCTAGTCTGCAGATAGCAACTTTGCCAGGTCTATTCTGTTGTACAATTAATCCTTTAGTTCTGGTAATTTCTTCTTCCCGACCTATAAATCGCGGGTTTTTTCTAAAAGGAACCATTTAAACTAGTTCCCTTGATTTATGTGATTCCTTCTTATAGCAGTAAATAGGAAACACTAACAGGAGAGCCTTTATATAGGCAGCAGCAGCAAGGGCGGCATATCCTTGCCACTGCTTATTTTTGTGGGAATCACAGTAGTTATAGATGCCTCGAATAGCAAGTGATAAAAGTTTGTTTATAAGCCCAGCAGCCTCTATTTTAAAATAGATTATGACTAGATCTTTAGTAATAGAATCTCGAGTCTTGGCATTTTTTATAACCTGATCTCCAGAAGCGATCAAGCCATAATAAAAATAAGGATTATTAGTTATCTGCTTGGGATAGTTTACTAACTGGGTTGGATTACATGCCGAACAGTTATATTCGCTATCCTTATAATTATGTAATCACAGCTAATTTAGTGTGACCGCGGAGACGGTAGATAAGTGAATTGGGAACCAGACTTGGTATTACCAAGTCTAGTTGACCTTTTTGCAGTGGCGTGGCAATTGGGTGTACCCTGTAACCTAGTCTTACCCTTTTCGGACTAAGGAGATTACAATTATATATTGGTCGGAATAGCTAGTTATTTTTTAGTCGTGAAAACTGTTCTCTTATCTTTTGATATTTGTGCAGTACATTAATTAATATTTTGCTAATTAGCCTTTTTCCTGTTATATAATCACTCTTTAATTAGTTAGTTAAGACACAGCCTTCAACGACACTGGAGGAGGTTTATTAAGCGAACCGGTGTGCTGGAATCGTCCGTCGCGAAGTGTCTTTCCTTAGTCATATTAAATAACACCACTTAAAGTGGCAGTTGGCTTGCTAATTACAACATTACCAAGGCGAATGTCAGCACTTTGGCTTGGGACTCCGCCTCCAATACCCACCATTAATCCGAACTGGATACTTCGAAATGTAGAGACCATATATAAATAAGTGAAAAGCAAACATAGAAAGTAATGTGTATTAACAGCTCTCAAGCAACAACCCCGGTTTCTTAAGATAGCCTCCCAAGGTCCCATCAACAGGCCGAGACAGGTAAGTTGCTAGTCATAGTAATTAAAAATAAAATTAGAAGTCTAAGATACAGTATAATTGTTTTAAGAGTTTTCGAGAGGGCGTACATGCTCTATGCCGTCTTTGGAATCGGAATAAATGCCTCCGACGCCTTGACACGCAGAGGTTTATCATAATTAGTTAGGAAAATTTAGGCATCAACAAATCGGGGCTTTGGCCACTGTGGCAGTTTCGATTGTTTGCTTGTGGGAAGCTATATTTCTTCGAGTAATTCCAGCATGACGAAAACGACCCTCTGCACTATGCGTTCTTGCGCCCACAATGTTAATGCACTATTCTAAAAATACAACCCTTGCTCTGGGTCCTCTTCATATACCTTCCAGTTGCGCTTAATAAAGGCTTTAACTCCGCAAACATCTCTTTAATGGGATTGAGGTCTGGTGAGTATGGGGACAGGTATATTAACTTTATCCCAGCATCGCTGCACATCTGTTTTAAGTGCTTAGTATGATTAAACGACGCATTGTTTATTATTAGCACAGATTTGGGCTCTGGCTACCTCCTGCAGTGATAAAGCAGCTGCTCCATAAAATCTTCAAATATTGATGTATCAGTAGATCCCTGGAAGACACATGCAAGAACAACGCCGTCCTGTGCATATGCAGGGAGTATTTAATATTGTTGTTCGCGATGAAACCGAGAGATTTGCACCGGTGTTACTCCAACCGGGGACCAAGCTGTGTGCCTAAATCCAATCCGCTTGTCACATCCCGACTCATCGACATAAACAAGGTGATACGAACGAAAATCGGACAGGGCTGTGAAGGTAGTGTAGTCCCGCAAATCTGCATTACTTTCTTGGGCAATCCAACGAGCTGCTTTTTGAGACCATCCCCATGATATAAGTGCCCTCCTAAAACTGGCGGTTGTTACTAAAGTATCGAACTTATCCCAGGGAAAATTGCCATTTCATCTAGGTACAGATCTGGTTTTGCGAGGAGATGCTTACGAAGTGCGTCCAGCATAGGTGGGGTCACTATTCGTGGTTTTGTTTGGAGGTGCCTTGACACTGCCGAAAAGTCGCAGGTTAGAACGGATGTATCGAATGCTGCGCTCACTGCAGCCAGCTACATCAGCTATTTGAGCAGTAGTCAATGACCTGCTTAGGATCATGTCGCGAATGAGATGCCGCCAGATTCGGGGCCATTTGGAACACATGAACAGCTTGTTTGCAAGCCAGATTGTGGAAGAGGAAGTGAGGACAGGAGTTCTGCAGGAGATCATTGTAATTTGTAGTAACCGTAAACAATCAAAAGTTCCAGAATTAAACAGTGCTGGTAAAGTTCAAAACACAGCTGCTGGGTACTACAGTTTTGGAAGTGGGGCTGCAAAACAATTGATGAGTGAGGCGGAAGCCAATTTCGATGTCACTGTATTAACGCCGAGAAATATATATACGTGGATTTATGCAGCACAATCGAGGCCCATGTTACTCGTCAACATAACTAAAGCTCCATAAAATGTTTTACAGTAGTTTTGACGCTAGTACACCTGGACAGATATTGGTCATGAGTATACCCGCCATCAGGACAGGCTAGCTGGCATTTGCGATCGGCAAGGCTGTGTACTAAACACCGCCACTCACGAAGTGCAGCCATAACATCAAATATAGCCATAATCTAAGATAGCAAGCCTGTTACCTCTCGTCCCTGAACAAGGAGTATCTTCATAAGGTATCCTGTTCGTAGGCCACGAACAAACGCCTCAATAGATGCATTCCCTCCAACCAAAACCAGATAAATCGCTTTGAAAAAAAGAATTAAAAAAAGAAAAAAAACGCCGGCTAATGTCACATGCGATTCAAGAACTGTCGTTATGATCATGGTCACTTGTTTGCTTCTGTTTTAGGGCATCAATAGCCCCCGACACCTCTTCCTTCGCTACGTTTTCCAAAGCTATCTTCGCATCCGTCTCAAGGGTGTCGACACCCCCAGCACGTTCATATAACATCCGAGATATACTTCGATTAATGTCAGTGTATTCATCTTTCGATATGATTTTCGCGCGATAGTAGGGTTTCAACGCGGTCCCAACCAATTTTTGGATCTCAGATTTGACGGCCAACGACAAACCGGCACGACTTGGAGAGCTATCATTTGACCGCACACCTGCTGACCTTGACGATTCTCTGGGCACCCGGCACCGTGAGTGGTTTGCAGCAATGTGGGTTGGTGTGCCCTCTCTCGCATCTCTGTTGGTGTTAGCCGGCGACACTTCTGGGGAGAATGGGGGCGACGATGGGTCCGTAGGAAACGCCAGCTGCATCGGAGAGATTGGCCTGCTTCTAGGGTGTGGTGGAGGTGTTGAAGAGGCCAGGGAAGGGGAGGAGTGGCTGGAGGGCACAGGCGAGATCATGGGAGATGACGGCCCAGGCGTGGCATGATCAGTCGCGGCCACCGAGGCTTGTGCGGAAGGGCCTTGGGAATTTGTGCCATTTGGGTTGGATGACTCTTCTACTTCTTTAAGTAAAGACTGGAGAAAGCTCGGTTCACTCGAGACCTCAGTATTAATTCGAGCAGAAACTTGGGCACTAGCAGTTCGCGACGACTCCCCATTCTGCGAAGCTAACGCTGCCAGGTCTTCCGCTCTTCTGGTTCGCGGGCGTTTCAGCTTCCGTTGGGGCTCAGAGGGCTCCGGCGACGGAGACAAAGTTGGCTCTTTCCTTTTCCTTGCTGCGCTTGGATCATTTTCAATCTCACGAGCACGTTCGAAAGCATTCCACGCCCTCATTTCCTCGAGTGACTCGGGTTCAGGGGTCGGTTCCCTCGGTACGCGAGGCCGTGATGGCCGTGGCGCTTCGATGTCGAGCAGAGCAGCAGTGTCTCTAAACCTATTGCTACCACCCTGCCTCTCTGCAATCTCAAACCGACGCTGCCAGGCTCTGAATTCTCGCTGGTTTGCTTCTTCACGCCGTTGTTGTTGTCGGGCACGCTCTGCAGCCCTGTCATCATCAAACGGGAAATCCAAATCAAGATTGAGATGATCCCAAACGGATTGCCATACCCGTGCCCAATGAAGAGAATTCATTTGATTCCTGCTCTGCAGTCTCCGCTGCTGTGCCCTCGTACGACGACCGCGTCGGTCCGGGGTCCAAGAGGACCTATCAGGCGGAGCCGTAAACGATCCGGAAGCACGCTGGATTACGCATCGCGAGCAGTACCAAGATCCCGACGGCACGGCATCGAGCCCGACACAGTAGGTATGTGAGGGGGCATCGCACCCATCGCAGAGTAGCAGTAGCTCTTCATTATCTGAATCTCCACAAACGAGACACGGTTGAAACTCGGCTAGATCGTCATCTATATATTCTATTACCATGGACGGATCAACATCCGCCACTTGTATTCGATCTTCCACGGAATAGGATGAGAGCACGGGACCTATATAGGGAGGCACTTCACAGTCAGTATACGTTAATCTGAGCCATGTAGCAAGTATGCAGAATTTTGTGGAATTTGAAAAAAAGGGCAGGAAAAGCACATGCCTCCGAGTCGCTCACTTAGCTCCACAACGTTGAAGCTGCGGCGGCATATTGGACAACTATTGGCCCGTTCGACCCAAGGTTTTAGGCAATTGTTATGCAAGATATGACCACAGGGGAGCAACTGGGCGATTTGACCAAAATCCTCACTGTCACCGACACCATTTGTCCCGATAGGAATGCCGTTCGATTTGCCATTTGGTACCAAGTCAGGTCTTGGCGCGGCCTCGGCGGTGACGGCAAGAGGATCGTTGGCGCTTTCGCCAAGGTCTCCTAAACACACAATACAAGTGTCGGACATTAACAGAAGGGTCTGTGCCAGGATTGTCTGCAGGGGAGCTAAGAGAAGGCATGAAGAGCAGCTGGCAAAAAGGGATAGAGAGGCAGAGACGTGAAAGGAGAAGGGAGAGAGAAGCAGGTCGAGTGATGTGGGGAGAAAGCAGCCGGCCTTTTGAAGGTGGACCTACAACCCGGTCTAACGCAAAGGAGTCTGGCCCGCAACGTGACCTGCGCTAGACGAATCAGCGGCGACGAAAGCCATGAACGAAGCCGCCTCCTGATAGCTGGCTTTGGTTGCCTCAGGCGGGAAACCGGCGTTTTCAGCAGAATTGCCATCCCAGCTCTTGCATCTCAGTAGGATCTTCCCCAAAGCCCCTCTTTTCATATTTGTCGGTTGGTGTAACATGTCCCTTGTTTTCCAACTGGATAATCAACGTGTTCACATTAGAATAAGTAGACAAGTATCACGCTCCTTAGGTAGAGATCATGGGAACGTCTACAATTACTCGCCATCGGTCCTAAAAACCCTTGGGTGTCGAAGGACTACTTGGTGACGGGTCGTCAATCTGAAACAATTCCTCTCAGGGGGACTCAAAAAAAAAAAAAGCCTTTTTGGAGGGGAGCTGGCTCACCCAGAAGGTAGAGCAAGCCTGCAGTCAGAAGACATGATCACAAGAGCCTTCAGCCAACCAAGACACCGTGGTGGGCAATATTGTTCCTAGTGCGGTACATATAATCAACAGGCTGCAGATTGGCAGTCCTGCTACGACTATTTAAATAGAACGGCCCGAAATCACAGGTTATATTAAGATCTATTGACACGGCGGTATTCGGTCAAGCGCTGGGCGCTATTGATAGCGAAGTGGTAATCGTATCATAAAATGCACTCATTTAAGCTCTTCAGATCTTTGAATTTCGCTATTTTTTAATTTGAAACGTAAAAAGGAAATCCCATCATCACACTTAAACCTCCGCAATTTCTCTGAGACGGCGGATGGTGGAGCGAGTGGCAGCGGCAGCAGGGGTGCTGTAGGACGATCGCATCAATCAGTATTTGTGTCACATTTCCTACATTTCTGTGCACAGCCCAGGTTTGAACTATCCCGGGATCCGCAGTGGCATTCAAAGAAACTGGCGCTCGACTTACGAGACGGTGTAGGCACCACCGGCAACGGTCTTGTTGCAGCCCTTGCATTCCCAGATACCAACAGCCTTGCGCTTAACGGTGTTCTTGCCGCAGAAAGTGCAAACATAACGGGCGTGCTGGGATACTTCCATCTTCTTCACCTGCTTACGCAGGGAGGCACCGTATCTGTGCAATCACGTCAACAAACCGTACTGTCTTGTCGATGCGGGTTTCGATTTTGAATCCGTATTTCAATCACTCGGGCGAGGAACGCGACCGAATTCAAACCGGATCTTAGGATGGAGGGCGCAGAGCAAAAGCATACCTGGTACCATATTTACCTGTGATGCCGACCTCTGGAATTTAAAGTCAATATTTATTTCCCTCGAGATCAGTATAGTTTTCAAAAGAATAGGCTTACTCTTGGTGCGCTTCGTCATCTTGGCTGTATGGCTGTTGAAGTCGAAGATAGATACAGTAGGTCGAAATCGAGACTGAGGCTTTCTAGGTAGTTGGGAGTGGTTGTGGGCTCGCTTAGGGCTCGAACTCTTGGCACCAGTCACGTGAAGTATAACTTTTCATTACAGAATCTGGTGATGCGAAGTATAGCAACAAAAAATAGATTAATTAAATTAGAATATATTAATTCAAACCACTACAAGAATGTCTAGGTAGGTTACTTTTAAACAGAATGCATTCTGAACGACAAGTCTTTGCAACAAGATCATCGCACGCTTTGTGTTTCAAGTATTGGGCGTCTCAACTCCCTGTTACCTAAGAACGCTTCTCAAAAACAAAGAAACCGTTCAAAATTTTCTAGATTCAATATATTGATATTACAACAGCGTTACTTTCTGCCCCCAGAAATATCTATACATATTACGTGGCAAGAGAGAATAGACGATAAAATCTCAAGGACTCTTTCGTCCCATATGTCACATGATCAAGTGATGTCACCTGCACGTAGCACCAGTATCTGACATCGGTAGATTCACGATTTTTAATTTTTCTTCTACCATTTTACGCGCCCCAATATTCATATATTGTGTATTGTATATACATAGTATTTGTTAATGTTGTGTCTTGGCTAGCACTTTTAAATATCAGCTATACGAACTGCTATGGAATCCAACAAAGAATTTGATATTGCCGTTCTCGGTCCTACGGGCTACACAGGCAAGTTTTGCGCAGAATATATTGTCAAGAATCTCCCAACAAACTTAAAATGGGCTCTGGCGGGCCGGTCTCTCTCGAAGATCGAGAATGTTGCTAAGGAACTCAAAGCATTGAACCCTGATCGCAGTCCACCAGGTATATCCGTGACTCGGGCTCACAATGCGACTGTTAATGTGCAGTAGACACCATTGCTGTTCAGCTTAACCAGGAAGAACTATACTCCCTTGCTCAGAGAACGAAGCTCATCATCAATTGCGTGGGCCCGTATTATTTGTATTCGATTCCAGTAGTTGAAGCTTGCGCTAGGACTGGGACAAACTATATTGATGCGTAAGTGCGTCATTGGCATTGTAGACTGTCATTAAACTTCGCAGCACTGGAGAGCCTCCATTCGTGAAGAGCATTATTGAGAAATACCACGAGTCTGCAAAAGCAAGCGGGGCTATTGTGAGGCATCCCCCCTTTTTTTCGCTCACTTATTGATGTCCTAATTCGATTCCAGATCATTCCGTCTGTAGGTTTTGAAAGTGTGCCTGCAGATATACTGTCCTGGATACTCGTAAAGCGCGTACGGGAGGAATTTTCATGCCATACCAGGGAAATCACTTGCGCCATTGACGAGCTCAAGTAAGCCAGTATTGCGATCATATCACAGTTCCATTCATTCTGATCTCTATGACAGGAGCTCCGGCGCAAGTGGAGGCACTCTGAGCACGATTTTGAGCATTTTCGACTCCCTTTCGATTTCAGACATGTTCAAGTCGATACATCCCTTCGCAATTGCTGCCTCCGCACCAAAGTCTATACCTAGCGAGCCATTCATCAACACGCTTCTGGGAGTCCGCTCTGTGCGAGATATGGGTGTTCTTACCACAGCCCCTATAACAATTGCTGATCGTCTAATTGTTCACCGCAGCAGTACGTTAATGCCAGAGTTCTATGGACCCCAATTCTATTTCAGAGAGTTCATTCGCGTACGAAACGTATTCATCGGTGTTGCTCTGCATATTGCATTTGTTATCGGGCTGCTCCTTTTGACGTTGCCTCCGGTTCGATTCCTGCTGAGACGGATCATATATACACCGGGAAGTGGACCGCGCAGGGAAGATTCAACTACTGAATGGTTTCGGTATCGTGCTGTGGCGACTGTCGATCAGACCTCACAGACGCCGAAGCGTGTGCTCGGTATACTGAAGTATCAAGGATCGCTGTATGCCCTGACAGGGCTGTTGATGGCTGAGGCCGCAATGGTTGTCTTGGAAAACGAGGCGAAGGTTAAAAAAGTGTCGCGAGCTGGTATTGTGACTTCAGCCACTCTGGGCCAGGAATATGCGGATCGACTGGAGAAGGCGGGTTGCAGGATTGAAACGCGGCTGTTAGAGTACTAATAAATCAAGAAAAGCATGTATATTATGCTCAGATAGCTTGTCTATATTGTATTCGGCCTGCAAAATTGATATAAGTATCATCTGTTATGGCTTTATCTTGGAAGTTTATAGCGGTACGTCTACTGAATATGACGAGGGTACACCCAGAAAGCATATTTGAACGAGCAACACTCAATCCTACACTATACCAGTGGGCTTTACACCAATGTGCAGTAAAACTCAGGCTATAAATATCAAGTTACATAAAAACAATACAACAATTATAATTTTATCGCTCGGGGGCCCGTGAAAACAACCTCTTCCAGCCACCAAGCTATCATCTCATTGACTTCCTTTGGACGCTCCCACAGCGCCCAGTGGGAGGTATTGATTTGTTTGAAGGTCAAATGTGGGATTGTCTTTGTCATTCCCCGACCGTAATGAGGTGGGAGGGCCGCATCTTTGAGTGCCTGGATGAAGAGCACAGGTGCTGTTATACGTCGATCGAGGATGGCGAGTTCTTCTTTGTAATTGATTTCGCGGGTTCGATACCAATTGCCTGCCTAAATTAGTATATTGCTTTGCCTAATACAACTGTAAATGAAATTAAACGGATGGAGGAGGCCGTACATGGACCACGGAGGCCATGTCTTGCAAATTCCGTGGCATAGTATTCAAGCTCCTATTAGTCTCGGTCAGCACATACGAAGGATGGAAATAATCGTATGTATGTACCTCTTCACTCAACAGCTTTGAAGGGAGTATACGCTCCATTTTATCAAGCAATATTCCCAATTCAGCATCCCACGCGACTTCTCTTTCTGCAGTTCGTCCGCCATACAAAGCAGACAGGAATTTCTTAATGCCCTCCTTGGTCCGGGTGGGCGCCTCCAATTCTCCGCTACTAAGCTGCAATTGATAAGCGAAGTGAGGTGCGACTTTTTGCACCATCTCCTCAATTGAAAAGTATTTCGTTGTCGGTGCTGCGTAGGGTACGCAGACCGTAAAGAGGTAGGAGACTAGATCGGGATGCCAAAGAGCAACACGATATGCCAACGCAGCGCCCCTGCATTAGGTATTTGTCAGTTTAAGGGTCAAAATATATTTCCCTTAATTATGGATACAGCTCACCAGTCATGTCCGCCAAGAATGATGGTGGAAGCTCCAAGTTGGGATGCTAATTCCTTGATGTCATCGGCGCAGCTTTTATGGGAATATAACGCCAGGTTCTCCGGTGCATCCTATATCTTTTCATTAGTATTTTTCAGTCTTGATCATTCGAGAGAATAGTAGAAATCGAAATACCGTTCTTCCATATCCCAAGCAATCCGGAGCAACGACTCGCAGACCCATCTTCCTCAACATGGGGATCTGATACCGCCATCCCATTGACAAATCAGGGAACCCATGAAGCTATGTGAAAATAAGCCTGATGCCTTGTCGTATTTAAAATCTTAACTCGAAGACTTGTATGGATATGTATCTCATAACAACCCATGGAGATTCGTGGGAGATCCACGCACAAGAAAGATAGTTGCTTTGTATTTGCCAGACTCGGGCTCGCTATAGAGATAACCTGCAGTTATATCACCAAGTCAGCTCTTTGGTTCATGCCGAATAGTTCAGCTACTATGTCTCATTCTGCAATATTAGGAGGAGAGAGAGAGACATCTGTATATATATTCTTGTAGCGTCGCAGATTTATCAATTCATCGTATGCATACCGTAAGTTTTGCCATTGACGTTAGCGGAATGTCGCTCGACCCTTGGGTCACCAACTACAGAGAGTTTGTCGACAGACATGGCTGCGGTGCTGAGCTAGATGCGGTGTCAAGTCGACAACAAGTAATAAGGCTGGAATCGAGTATTATTCGATAGATCGACAGTTATTCCCTGAAGGAGGCAGGACGCATACCGACTTTCTTTTATTTATAGAGGCCCTGCCAGCTGTTCATCACGTGAATCCTACGATGTCATGGAAATCTTGGAAATAGGTTACAGCTAGAAGATTGCGCACTAGTGTCATTAAAACTGCAGGAGCTTACACCCCACAAGATCTGGAATTTTATCTTGTTCATACCATAATTGATTTGTAGTGTCATCAACGTCAACGATTTGCTGGCTTACCACATCCGCCGAAATGCCTCGGCCCCGGTTAATGCAATATCCTCCCCTCAATAGTACCGAGTACTTACTCCTACATACATGCATTCATCCAATCCTCGAAAGTATTGGGATCTGTCAGATGACAGCAATAAATTAAAGAGCATAAAAGAAATAAAGAGAGGAAGTTCTCAGCAAGGCGCATGCACTAATAAATCACCGTATCTTCTTGGTCTTCAACGACCTCACCGCCGTCATCGTCATGGCCTCGGTGAACGTCTGACTGGCCATTATCGTCGGGTACATTGTGATCTTCCGTAGATGTGTCTTCAGTCTTTGTCGTTTCAAGGCTCTTTTCATGGTTGGTTGCAGCACCAGGCGTGTCCGAAACAACATGCATGGGTTCCTGGATTTCTTCTTTGACACCTATCTCAGGCACCGGTCCCAATTCAAAATTCTCCCCTGGCGGTGCTTCGTCTTTGTCTTTATGGTTTTCTTCCTCAGGTAGATAACGCGTCTTAAACTCCGCCACTTCTCGAGTGATAGTAGCCTCCGCATCCTCAATTTGCTTTTGTATGATCGAATGGTCATCTGAACGAAGTTGCCATGGCTTGTAGTACTGTTCAAACGTTATGTTAGGCCACCATAAGGCGAAAGCCATAGTAAGTAGAAGTCAACATACTAATACAGGTTCGCTTTTCGTCTTCAGGAATTGAGCCATTGCCAGTAAGTTCGAGTGGCGTGTTCGCATCTATCATTCAATAAGCGTCAGCACCGTCGCTTCATTCGCCACAATACCCCTGGAAAAATAAAATAAAATAAAGTCCTACCGCTTCCTCATCGTAAATTATTTGCTCCTTTTTTCGGATCGCTGCCCTTTCATCTCGCCTCTTCCGTTTCAGCTCGTCGTACTCTTCATCCTGTAGCTTCAGCTTATCCTGCTGTCGTTTTTCTATATCTGCGCGTCGTTTCTGAGCCGCCGAGTTTGAGCTCTGGGAAAGTGTTCCGAGCAAAGCACCAAATAATCGTTGTCCACGTTTGCGTTCCTCATCGCGCCTACCAGTTTGTCGGCTAGGCCTTCGATCCGGTTTTTGATCTGCTCCATCGGGAGAAGTCTGTTTCCCGTTCGCGACGGAGCGACGTTCGTCGTTATCGTCTCGGAAGCTAAGTCGACGACGTTTGTTATCTGGGTCGGGGTCTGAGATAGAGGACTGTCTCCGCTTCAGTCCAGCAGCATCCGGAGAGGGGGCTGTATTCTCCTGATCAGGTAATGCGACGGCGGAAGCGAGTGACCTATGTATAATTAGTATAGCAGCCTAAAAATTGTATAAGATGTTTCATAGTACTCTTCCGCCATATCTGTTAGGTAGTTAGGGAACCTCGAAGCGCGCCCCTAGATTCAGGTGCAGGGAACAAGAATGAACGAAGGCGAGTAGACGAATTCAATGAAAGGAATGATCTGCCGATGGGTGATATGCTGATGCCCCCGACAAGCACCGAACGTCCAAATCTTTGTTCTGTAGAAACCGAGGATTCGATATCCCGATATGGAGGAGACTTGAGAGTTCCACGCACGGACCATTTCCCGATCTGGGGCTGGAAGTTGGCTGTGGATGGAATCTTCTGTCCTTTCTTGCCATCGTCTTTTCAACGACTTCTACCAGCCTTTCGTGACTGACTGACCAAAACGACAGAAGACTCTTACAAATACTAAGCCCCCATTTTTGTCAGCTTTGCCTCCTGATCGGAGCTGGTAGATTTTTCCTTTCCCATCTTCGCAGCGACAACTTGAGCTGCCAGTTGCACCCAGATTATTATCCTCCGTATCTTCCAACGTCCACTATAAGAAAACATGTCTCGCCATCACCCCGATCTCGTTATGTGCCGCAAGCAGCCAGGCATTTCTATCGGTCGACTGTGTGATAAGTGTGATGGGAAATGCCCCGTATGCGATTCCTACGTTCGTCCTACGACATTGGTCCGAATCTGCGATGAGTGTTCCTTCGGTAACTACCAGAACAAGTGCATCGTTTGTGGCGGCGAGGGAATTAGTGATGCGTTTTACTGCTTCGAATGTACACGCCTGGAAAAGGATCGAGACGGGTGTCCGAAGATTATAAACTTGGGAAGTTCGAGGACAGATTTGTTTTACCAAAAGAAAAGTTTTCGAAATCATTGACCCCGGCATGGAGCTATTTTACATGTTTGCCTGCGTGCTGGTCGTGTCATATTGGAGCTTTCGCAAAAACGACTGGTTTGCATTTCTACGGTCCCGTCTCCGAGCTCGAGTCGGGTGTAAAGGCTCGGCTGTCGGGAAGGCTTGAATGGAGAAGTGAGCTACAATGATGAGCTATATATGATGAAGAATGTACGGTGATCTGAAAATCGTCGCGGATTTACCTTCCTGGTCGTCTCGGTCTTGCAAATCCTCGCTGTGGTCCGTTGGTTTGTGATGGATTGACTTCCTCCTGCAACTGTTCTCCCGAGACTTCGTCTGGCGACGACGCTTCGATCTACGTGTTTCACCATTAAAAATTCGAGCCTCAAGTAAAACAAACTCAGGATATGAATTCGTACCTTCTTCATAATCTTCAAACCCTGATCTTCCGCCAATTGGAGGGCATACAGTCGAGAACTTGCATATAGCATGCGCTCCTTGATCGATGAACTAGACGGACATGTATAAATGAAAATTACGGCCTCGGAGTCGGGGTAATGATAAAATGTGTACCGTGGCGAAGAAGACGAGATATGTTTCTGAACGGAGTTTGCATTAACGCCGGATTCTGCGGCAGCCAGTCTGACGGTCTCCTTGGGAATATCGATGACCTGTATTTTAAGACAACAAATTTAGAATTAGCAGACTTAATTAATCAATATCAAAGTTTTGTGGAGGAATATTCCACTATCTCAGTCCTTAAGAGGTCAAAGGAGCATACCAGTTGTACTAGCCCGCCCTGTTGTAGCGATTTCAAAGCGTCCTTCGCATCTTCGTCCACTGGCATCTGGAACCGCGCATTGTTACTGGGTCCGAAAAGACCCCCACCATTTCCGCGAATGAAGGAGCCCCCAATGCCAATATCTCTGCCCGGTGTACCACTTCTGGCCTCCTCTTCCGCTCTCCGCACTGCTTCTAACTCACGCTCTTTCTCACCCATAAGATCTTCCCGTTGGAAGCCTCCTCGGCTAGAGGAGCCATTCTTCTCAGCCTCCCTCTCCCGCCACGCCTGCTCACCCATGACCTCATCTTCTTCTGTTGCAAAGATCGATGACGCAAATTTCTCGGTACCGAGTTCCCTCGCCAATGTTGCCCGAGTCGAAGCGAAGAGTGTCTTGGCCCGCACCCCAGCATTAGAGGGAATATATGTCAGCGCGACGAGAGACGACAATGCGCCTTGTGGCTGTCGAATAAGAAGATAGATAGGGGTTTTAGGCTCGAGAACGGAGGATAACTGGGAGAGAGATGGGTAGAACGCATTAGGGGCGGAGAAGGGAACCGGCGTAAGAGGGGCCAAGCTCTCCGATGAGATTGTCACGGGAAGACAGAAGATGGAAGAGTCGGAGACAAAGTTGTTAAAAGCATCGTGTAGCTCCGGGGAGACTATCAAGTGACTGTTGTAAGTATGGGGATCACCCTTCGCAATGTATGTAAAAGGGGAGGCATTGGAGGGGTCATCATCGTGTGTTCCTGCAGGAAGAACCATACTAAAACATACCTGAGATTCCCGACTGCATTTTGAAGTATGCACCTGCGGGAGATTGGAACCCTGAAGATGTGACTTGTCAACAGGGCGGAAGTGTGGTTGTTGTTGAGGAAAGACAGAGTGCGGAGGGGAGACGGGAAGCGGTCTGTTTAGCGGGGCTTGCGGAAACGTACGCCTCAGGCTACAACAGGGGTTGTCCGAGCACAAGTCCTCAAGATAATTTGTCTTCAGATATTTTAACTATTTAAACCAAAAGAAAATGGTATTCGAGGTCCACATAAGACAAAAGAAAAATATATACATACAATCCACCCGATAATGGATCCGTTCTGAATGCTCTTCCAAGAGAAAATGAGCCCTAAAATAATATACCAAACAATAACAGTCATATGTACTACTCATGATGCAGAGATCGCATAGCAATCGAAAACGCCACCATGCTCATGGTATCAAATGCTTTCGAGAACACGCAGCGGCTGTTCCTTTAATGCATGTTTCCGGCATTTACTCCTCATATGTCCCTCCGACGAAACTCCATTTGGAGCTCTCCAGTTTCCCTTTCAAGTACTCGTACACAGTGAAGGTGACGGCCTGACCGGGGGCCACTCTCATCACACGGGGCGTGATACCTTTATAGAATGCGCGTGCACCTTCCTGCTTGAACATATCCTTGGCGATGACCAAGATACGCGAGACGGCCGACTGACCGGGCTCAGCGCGTGTCTTTTGCAGTCTAGTCTTGATCGTGTCGATAGGGGCATTGGAGAAGGGACCGACGGCGCCGGAAATCAAACCGATCACAGTCGTCTGGTATGACGGGAGCTGGCTGTTACTGTATTCAGGCTGATGCCGCTGGAGCAGACCCTTCAATTCCGTGTACGCGGTGAAATTGGCGGCCTGGTTGGTTCCTTGGCGGAGTGCGGTCAGAGAGACACCACGGTACAGGGCGCTGAAACCTTCTTCTCTGATAACAGTGAAAAGGGCGTGGGGGGCGCTGCGGTACTTGGGCGTATCAAGTGGATCTGCCAGACTGTGATGTTGTGCTTGCAAACGGATTTTGACGACTTCCATAGGATTCACCACTGCCACAGCTTCTGTTACACCAGCAGCAAGACCGGCTATTTCAAGGAGAGTTTCGTTAGTATGCCTGGGGGAAAATTGTCTGAAGTGATAACCTACCTAGGAAAGTCGCCTTGCTTGAGACAGCTCCAGACTCGTCTGCAAGAAGCTGCTTGTATTGTTCATAGGAAGTAAACCGAATGGCCATCTTGGGGATGATACCACCTAGGACAGCTCCCAGACCCTTATACAGGCCCAATGCGGTTTCTTTCTTGACAATATCGACACCGGTGGTGATAAAGCCACGGGGTTTCATCTAACAAGAAAATGCTATTAGCCGGAGCAGAAATCGATAAGGCACTAATCTCACTTACACCCGGGGCTCTGGCCCGTCGCGAGAGCTGCATTCGAACTTTAATGGTATCTAACGGATGGCAGACGAGTGCCTCCATCATTCCGGCACCACCACCGGCTGTTTTGCACCTGTCAGCAATGTATGCAAGTTGTTAATACGGCGAATCTGAAGTGTCTACCTATCAAGTTTACAGCCGGGGAAGTTGTCCTCTTGCCATTGCCGTTGCCTCCTTTAGCGGACATGGTGATCAATTGTGATTATTTCGAGCAATGAAGAATCGTGTGAGTCAACTAAAGCGCCGGGGGTTCTCCGGTGACGATATAGACCAGATCGGCGGGGCGTTCTGCAACAATCCAAAGTGAAGCAAGAGACGGGAGGGAGAGTGAGTGAGGCAGAAAGGGGAAGAAAAACGTCTATGACAAGACAACTTCAAAAGTCAGAAGGGATAAGCCATTTCTTAATTAAGAGGAAGTAATGGGCGACGATATCGGACCTTCACAAGGTGTTCCAGAAGCACGGGGAGATACGGAAGTATAACAATGATGTCCCTCGGCTGACCTAAAGGTATTTAAACCGGCAGCGGGCTCAGGTCAGCCGCGCTCTGGGAGCATAAAAATTAGGGTGAATAAATTCTCGGGAAGAGGGTCATCGAATCAATGGCTCGGTTCAAGTGGCGGCTTTGATTTTACGGTTGAGGGGTGAATTAATATTGCACTACCACGGTCGTGGAGAAGCTATTACGGGGAAGCGGAGGAAGCTATCCTGGACGAGCGGAAGTACCACTGTATGCGCATCCTAGCTACAAAAAGGAAGGAATGTCAGGGACTGAGTATATTGGATGAGCGCCCGATAATTCACAGGCTTGGACCCTGCATTAAATAGCACCTATTATTCCGTACTCCGTACGTCTGTTGGTAAACTGTTCTGGGGGACTACACCTGGATCACTAGAAATGCTCCCGAGGTATCGACTCTTAACAGTATTCACTCGTTCAGCTACAGTTCTAGGTAATCGGGCCACATGACCTTATCGACCGATAGCAGTAACAGTCCGAAAATAGGGAGAGAGGGTTAGACCTTCACATGCTAGAGATGTTCCTTTCTCCCTGTCCCTATTTCTTCGATGCGCTTAATCGTCGGAGGCCCTGTGAGCCAAGACTCGCATGGAATGGCTAACCACGGAAGAAGCCGGGCTAAGACTGCGTGCATTTTCAACCGAGGTGTTTCCTTTTTGGGCGGTGCCGCGGATATCCTTTATATCAGTCAACAGGGAGGTCATTCATTACTAGTTATTATTTCGCATCTGTCTGACGCATTCCTTCTTTCTCCTTAAGATGTATCAATATGGATGGGTTATGGCTTATCCATCCCTGATCTTTTTGAGTCAGCACAGGTCACATAAAGAACGGTCTTCACATGGAAATTAGTGAAGCACATGATGGTATCCAACTTAGTATGAATGAATATACTGTATGGAGTAATTACGTGGCGTGGAGGATCCTGTGGATGCTCAAATACTAGATCCAATAGACGGTTGCCTACATTTTCTCCAGTGATTGCAGAGCCACGATCGATATACTCCGGATTACGGACTGACTGATGATCACTCCGATGGTCCATGCCAAGCATTCTGCCTGTTCTGTAAGGCCAGTAACTCGGTGCATTTTAGACATCTTACACGTACCGAGTGCATTTTAGATCCATGGGGAAATAAATAGCCTGATGGAACTGCCGTATATCATGTCGGTCTACATTCCCTGTTGGCGATGTTGTCTATCATTCGCCACATCACTAGTCTATCATCACATCGGACGAGGTCCGAATCTCTTTTAGCCCATTACCCTGCGGCCATGTCAAGGTCGGTCGAGCCATCTGCAAGAATGCACTGCTTCCCTGCCAGTGACCTCTCGGATCGCGCAAGTCTCCATCGCAGCTTCTACATACGATGAAACATATGAGCATATTCATGTCTAAATCCTTGACAAGTAAATAGCCATATGTTCGACGTGAAGCCATGGGCCAAAGTGCCACGGACACCAACCATACAAGGCACCACGAAATCCCACCCGCAAAGCTGCAAATCCGGCTGAAAAGGATCCTGAAAGCCACATTCGTATTCATTCTGCATCAATGGCTTCTCATCGGACAAGGAGTCGTCTGCATCCTGGCGTACTATTTCCCCGACGTGGCCAAACACGGCGGCGTAATCCGGTCCGAATACAGCATCCTGTACGGCGCCATGGCACTCATCTTCTTCATCTCGGGACTGAGCATCCCTCGTCAGAAGCTATTCCTGCACCTGCTGAACTGGCGTCTTCATGTTCTCGTCCAGGTCTTCTCATTCCTCTTCATTCCCACCGTGATGCTTGCCATCGTGCATATCATTCTGGCTGGAGATCCGCATGGCCGGATCGACCGCGCCCTGCTCGCCGGGTATATCTTTACGGCGTGCATACCTACCACAATTGCTTCGAATGTGGTAATGACACGATCGGCTAGTGGGGATGAAGCAGCCGCGCTGGTGGAGGTCTTGATTGCGAATCTCCTGGGCCCATTTATCACCGCCGCTTGGACCGTCACGGTCCTCCCCGATACCCCCGAGTTCGCACCATGGAGGAATGGCGATGGTGACCTTAAGGACATGTATCGCAATGTCTTCAAACAGTTAGGTTTGAGCGTCTTGTTACCCCTGGTAGTGGGACAGTTGGTCCGGTGGACATGCCCCGAGAGGACGGCGCAAGTGCTCCAGAAATACCACATCCCGAAGATCGGAACAGTATGTATGCTGTTACTGGTATGGTGAGTCTATCATCCCAACCAGGTCCACTACCTGCCTAGCTAGGAAGTTAGGTAGCTAGGTAAGTAGGTACTAACCTCAACAGGTCAACCTTCTCATCATGCTTCGCAACAGGGGCACTACAAACCCTATCAGCAACGAGTATTGTATTCGTCGTCTGTTTCAACATTGCCCTGTATATATTCCTCACCATCGTATGCTTCTACATTTCTCGACCGCCGAGGTTCCTTTCCGCGGGATTCGCTGGCGCGCAACAGATTTTCAAGCGCATTTCTCCCGAGGAAACCATCGCTGTGTGTTTCTGCGGTCCGGCGAAGAGTACGGCGCTCGGAATCCCGCTCTTGTATGCGATGTGGACGCAGGTGGACCTGTTCACCAAGGCGAAGACCTCTGTGCCGGTGTTGCTGTATACCACAGAGCAGATCTGTGTTGCACATTTCTTTGTACATGTGTTCCTGCGGTGGCATAGGAGCGTTCATGAAAAGAGTGAGGTTGGAGGTGATGATGGGCAAGTAAATGGGGTGGTTTAAGGGATCTCATTATACCTTCTTTGTTTATTTATTAATTTCATAATTAATAAATCATACATGGTGCTTGAGTACATGTCGAGCATATGAATTACCACTCCTTTAATAGAGTATTGAAACCAGGGGTTTGTACAGTTTAATTGATACTTATATGGCTGCTCTTTTGGACCGCTCCTCCTGTCGTTCGCATGGATACGTAAATTGTACACTGAATATGGAAATAAACTCCTATATGACATGTTGACCTGCACATCCAGTCTACATAATTCGCAAGATGAAGTGGGATAAATTTAATACCAAAGTTTCGGACTTAATGTGTTGGGGCCAGCTCCGGAGTTCAAGAATACAAGAAAAAGAAAAGACCTTTAAATATAGCTCACCTTCACACCCATCCCAACCGTCCCCTTAATCTTCTGCCATCCAGCCCCTGTGATTCTCTGGATGCGTTCCCGCACATTCCGCCGGGATAGTGCCACGATAATTCCGAGTATGAATAACAGGGTGCGGGCAAATGACAGGGGATTACCGGCGATGGTTTTAGAAATGTACCGAAGAAGATTACGAAGGACATTCGTCAACGCCCGACTCTGTTTGGCATGGGCCTCAGGCTTTTCAGGCCTTTTGGCGTTCTTCGGACCTGGTGGGGAAAATGCGGTGCGTGATGAAGCACTCAGTCCCTTCGTGCTATGTTGCTTCTCGCTAGCTTTCCCTCGTCCTTTGGAGCTGCTGCCGTTCGCGTTGATTTTCTCGATGCCGTAATCCACCTCGCTTTTGTTGCGTCCGTGGCTTTTCTTCTGAGCGCTTTCCGCAGACGCAGCTTCTTCCGCTCGTTGGCGTTCGGCCTCACGCATCTGTCTCTCCATTTCGGCGTCTTTCTCCCGCTGGAGCGCCGCAGCGCGCAATTCACCCTGCTCCTTTTCCTCCTTCAAACCATCGAGTGTTTGCAAGAACAGCTCCCTACGTTCATCGTCCAGAACTTCGTTGAGATTGATGAATTCACTGGCAAAATCCCACTCCTCATTACGGGGAAGGACGTGGAGGGTAAAGAGTTCGATAATCCGGACCCGAGCGGCAAGATCTTTCGGTGTATCTGTGCCACCGTTGGGCCTGGGCCTAGATCGATGGGAACCATTTAGAGAGTTATCCATGTGTTCTGCTACATCGAGGTTTGGTTGACCATATGAGGAGAGATAGGTTTCGAGTCGTTGCTGATTGATCTTTTGAGAGGGGGAGTGATTTAACAATAGAGTTGCCCTGTAGAAGCAAAATGTCAGTTGTTGAGAGCACCAAAGACAATAAGGACGGGATATCTACTGACAAATTATATACGACCTCTGCATCGACTGATCCCTCAAGCCCTTTGTAGCCGGTTTGGACGACAGTCTCCCAGATCCCCCCGTCGCGGACTTTGGACGAAATAGCCTTCCACTCTTTGTGACCGAACAGCTTCTTCCCCTCTTCTGGCCCCAAGTCGAGTATAGAACTTAGGAGGGTAATGTATAGATTCCACACCTTGATCCTCCATGTGGCCTGGGCCGTAGCAATCGGGGCCATTGAATTGTCGCCATTGGCAGACGGGTGTTCCTCGAATGGTCGGTTGACGGTAATGACCGGTTCCAAGGCTGTCAGGGATTCTTGTAGCCGACGTGTTAGATAAAGTTGTGAAGCTTTCTTGTATGTTTTCGAGCAGAGTTTCGAGGGCGAAAAGGATGATGTGGAGGAAGAGAGCTGGGACTGAGAGGTTGACATATTGTCCACCATTGTTCGCCGCCAGCGAGCGCTAGATAAATGTAGGTAATGAATCGAATTGAAGCGAAAGCGGATTGGGGATACAATGATCGGTCGGAGTCAAATTCGCTACCTCGACGAGAAATACATGAGCAGCTTGGACGCCAGTGCGGAGGTGAGAGGATTGACTAGTAGTTGGCCGCGCAGCTCGGTCTTTCCCTCGGCTCAGCCGCTCTCCAATCTGGGGTCTGATGTCACGGGACATGTCGCGTTACTCATCTTCCAATGTCAATAGCTGTTGCACTTTTCTCTTCTCCTTCCGTCACAGGCCGAAGGACAGTACATACAATTATTCCGGTTGTCACGATTTGAACTCATATTATCTCTCGTTTCTGGCGATTTGACCCCTCTTACAGGCACATTAAAATTTACATACTATTCACTCCATAAATAGCATCCATAGATAGCATTGATTACAGACCAGGAACCTACTTACGCTGAACTCACCTGTAGCCCTGAGCTGATCTCAGTGCTAGCGCTCTCATTCCATAATCTCCAGCAGAAAATGGATATCACCTATGAAACATTTTCTTTCCACCTTCCTAGAATCCTAGATGATCTAGCCACCTGCTGCTTTGTATCTATAGATTGTGAATTCTCTGGGATTCCTACTATTCCTTCTCATCCAACTAACGGACGAAACACACTTCAAGAGCGCTATGAGGAGACCAAGGCATGCGCTGATAAGTACCAGATAGTACAAATGGGCTTCACAATTTGCCATGAAGACACAGAGAAAGGTGTGTTTATTTATTGTTGTAGTTTACTCTAGTCACTAACGCCGATGTCTCTAGCAATTTACACTCTGAAGCCTTACAATGTGTATTTGAGCCCGCTTGTTGAACGCAAGCTGGAGGTGGAGCGGGACTCGTGCTTTCAAAGCAGCGGTATGTAACCAGGTGGCTTGCTTTCATGTCGTGTACAAGCTGAGCTCTCCAATAGCAGTCACATTTCTCCTCGAAAATCAATTTTCCATGGCGGCCCTGTACAAAGATGGTGTCCGCTATTTATCTCGGGAGGAAGAGGCCCATGCCATGGCTAGAGCTTCCCAGAAATATAACCGCTCAGCACCGCGTGCAGTTTTAGATATCAAAGAAACAGAACATGAATCAATTGCGTTCATAGCTGCGGTTCGACATTTGGTCAACGATTGGGTTGCTCATGGTGATGTATGTGGCCGATCTATGTTCCATAAGACTAGTCTAATTGTTCCAGAATCGTGAACCATATCTTAATATTCCACCACCTAGTCATCCTGCCGTGGGCGTAAGCTCCAATCCCATGCCATCAGAATTGAATAATTTCCAGAAGAGACTTGTGCACCAAGTTATAGAAGTGGAATATCCTTCTTTGGTAACAATCTCGCAGCCTGCATTCATTCAGATTATCAACTACGATGAGGCCCGCGAGAAAGCGGTTCAGGATCAGCGAATCAAACGGGCAAGGGAGCGAGTATCAAAGCAAATTGGCTTCAGATGGGTGGCAGAAGCGTTGGCTGGAGGTGACCTCTCGCATCTTGATCCCTACTGTTTCCGTAGCATCATGTCGAGATCAACAGCTGTAGAGCCCCAGGCTTCGCTCTGGGAATTTTCGGACAAACTGAAGCGGAAACTTCAATCTCATAGACCTATCCTGGTAGGCCACAATATTTTTATCGATTTGATTTACTTCTGTCGGTGCTTCTTTGGACCACTGCCGGACCGCATGGAGGATTTCCAGACCATGGCCCATAGCATGTTTCCAGTTTTGGTAGATACGAAATACATGGCTACACATGAATGCGGATCCATCAATCCGCGATCTTCGTTAAGTGAGATTAATGCGGACTTGTTGCAAATATCGACTCCGACAATAAGTCTGCAGTATCCACTCTTTTTTTTAAGTCGTCATATGAGCTGACGTTTGTTCAGGGTTACATTACCAGCACAATAAATACAATTTTCGAAAGATCGAGCACGAAGCTGGCTATGATAGTTTGCTTACTGCCCAGGTTTTCATTAAGCTTTCAGCTCAACTTCGTGATGGTGGAATCCAGCCTGACGGGATAGCCTCGAGCTCACTACAGGGGCAATCGAGCAAAAATGAGCCATTAAAGTGGGGAGCAAAACAAAGCAGTGGTAGGGCGGCCGGTCGTCTTAACCTTCGCACGCATTTTGATGCGCATGAATTTGAAACGCCTGATGTCGATAGCAAGAATTCCAGTAAACCGGCTCAGATGACCTTAAAAACTAGCCACCATGAGACTGTAATAGTCAAAACGAACAATGGCGGATTGATCCCCCGGAATAATGAAGGGTTTTGGCATGTCTACAGCAACAAGTTGCGGGTCTTTGGCACAGAGGAGAGGGTTTGTTGTATTGGCTAGGCAACATGCTTTCTGTATAACATTCAGCATAGCGCCTACTTTTTTTTAATCATTCTTTTTTTATAGGCCAGATGAGAACTAACATGGTTGAAGGCCAATCTTGTCCAGTCATCTGCAGAACGCAAAATGAAAGGAATGTATGCAGCATCTATCTAACAGTACACCTTGGATTTATGAAGGTACTGCTAGCGAAATAGCCGCGAAAGTACTCATTCTGAGCACCGGTAAATGATCAACTGGTCGTGGGAGTAGCGTAACGCAGTGACGATAAGGAAAAGGTGCGGTGAAGAAGAAAAGGGTTAAAAGTCGGAAAAATTTTGAAGAAAAGGGCTTTGGTCACCTGAACAGCTAGCCTGTTGGGGACTAGCGGCTACCCAATGCTCTCGCCGCGGACAGGTGACCGCCAACTTTTCTTGCAATATTGGCGAAGCATTATTGACAGGCACACCAGCAACGACTCAGTCAACGTATTCGGGGCGATGTCTTCGGGATACAATGGTGCCAGGCGCATAGCCTCGGCATTGTGTATGTTATCGCTTGATAGAAATAGTTGAATTGACCATCGTACTGACTCTGTCTTAGGGCCTTCAATCGCCGAGCCCAGCGTGTGCAGAAGCTGTCGCCGCAACTATGCCGCCATGGCTTCAACCGAAGCTTCTTCTGCGACAACGACTCCCTTCCCCGTTATGAAGCCTACGTATACCATTAATGCTGGCGTACTTCTTTCTCGTCCACCCCAGATCACCCGCGACCTGACCCAGTTCGAGAAAGCCTATTACTTCTACCAGCGACGACTGAACGAGCGTTTGGCGTTGCCCTTCACCAAGTATTTCTACTTCAAGCGAGGCACCCCGGCAGATGAGGAGTGGAAGCGTAAAATTCGCGAACGCCAGACGCCCGCGCGGGATATCGGCAAGTACAATGCTTACGCCAAAGATGCGTGGAATGACGAACTTCTCGTTGGATCGGTGGAGTCGGAACCGGAGCACCAAGTGGAAATGCTTGTGCAGGATGCAGAAGCTACAGCGAACGCCACGTCTCAAGATACCAGCAAGAAAGAGGAAATCCCAAGACCTTTCTCCCGAGTAACAGAGGCGGATCTGAAGAATGATCAAACCAGCCTGAACCGGGCGCTTCAGCGGACACTTTATCTTCTTGTCCAGTCTAAGGACGGATACTGGAAGCTCCCAACTTCTCCTATTGAGGCAGAGGAGACTCTTCGGATGGTGTGTATCTTCCCCATGCCCATTGTCTTTTCTTAGGATATGGTTGGTCAAGTATATGCTAACTCTGCGACCTACAGGCTGCCGAACGTACCCTCGCCCAATCGGCTGGTGTAAACATGAACACCTGGATGGTTGGTTTCCACCCAGTCGGTCACTACGTCTACAATAACCGCAAGCCGAAGATCAACGAGGCAACTGGCACGGAACATCTGGGCGAGAAGACCTTTTTTATGAAAGCGCGTATCATGGCTGGTCAGGCGGACCTGTCTGCCAACGACCAGGATCTCAAGGACTTCAAGTGGCTGACTAAGGAGGAGATTGCGAAGTACGTTCGCGATCAGTACTACAGCAGCATCAAGAACATGCTGGCTGAGAGGTAGATAAATAGGACGGGGATGGGTGTACCGATAGTGTTGAGTTTTATTTTAAGGGAGAAGAAGAGTCTGTGTCTGAACAGTATTGCATATATTATAGTATGCCATGTATAACTACCTAGCTTTTGAGTCTGATATTATTATTTGCAATCGATACTTGGTTATCCTAGACTAGTAAATACCAACAGAACGACCTCAACGCCATGCCATGAAATGTTTCTCCGACCCTACAACCCGCACGGAGTATACCTATAAACCGACACAATCCCAAGCGTCCTATTTATTTCAAATTAAACTTCTGTCCCTGAACAACAGGCTGATCCTTAGAAGTCTTGGTAGCCAAACTCTTTCCACACATCGGACAAGCTACAATAACCATTAGCATGGATACGATAGTGAAATTTTATCAGACTGATGAAATGAAACTGAACTTAACCTACTGACCATTCTTCTGATAAGCACATCGCTGACAATACTTCCTCCCTTGCTCTGTCTTGGTCTTACACATCTCACAAGAAGATGCATATGCCGCGTAGGGATTCTTAGCCTTGGAGCTGAGCAGTTTACTCTGGATGCGAGCATTAGCATTCATTTTTCCATCTATCCATATCAGACTGTATAAACTCCTTGTCAAGTAAACTAGAACCCAAGCACCCACCCATACACACACATAAACAAAAGGTAAAAAAACAGACCTTCCCGATACCTGTATTCCCCAACGTCGGTTTAGACTTATTACCAACTTCTCCCACTTTGGAACTGCTGCCGCTGCCGCCGCCTAACGAGCTGGACGGGGAACCATAGTACATCTCAGATTTGCGCTTTACCCCGGGAGTGGCTAGTTCGGTCGATTTGAGTTTCTTTTGGCATTTTGAACAGACCATATTTATTAACAGGTGGTTATTGTATGTACTCTTATGGGATATGGTACTTTGATTCGATGTTTTGTCTTGTATCCGGTTGTTGATAAGAGTTAAAGTTATGGATGGGTACATGCGATGGATAAGGAAGGTTTTTGCCACCGCTTTGCACGGTTGCATCAATTTAATTAGTATCTATTTGTTCCGTTCCGTGTGGGTTTGGGCTAAGAAACAGAATAGAGAATGGGGCAAAAAAACTCCAACACCAGTGACTATCGTCCTCTCTCAAGACATTATTCAGCATTTTTAAGATGCCATACCAGTTGTTTATTAGAGTGCTCGTCCTAAATTGTAAAATTTTTATGCTACCTACCTGGAAACACCAGACAGAATCATATATATAATTTTAGGATTATTCACGTAAAGATTTAAAGCACAGCAGTAATCAATTATCTTACCAACCTCTGATTTCCTTGGTCAGAAACCCGCAGCAAAATAAAAACGGTTCAAAGCTCGAACACTGTCGAGGCTCTTACTTCAGATCGCCGCTGAATTCTATGCTTGATCCTAAGCAGAGAATCCTACCCTACTGGCCCTTGACCTTGTGCCTGAGTATGCACTGGTCTGTTGAGGGGCGGACCCCTCCCTCCCGACATGACTGCATTTATCGTCTGCTGGTTAACAGGGATACCCTTCCAATCACCAGCAGCCTGCCCAAATGTTATAGAGGGACTTGACTGCTGACTGAGCACTTCTCCTATGGATGGTCGGTAAGGTATATACGGGCTCATTCTCGGAGGATATATGATTCGAGGACGGGCCTGTGTCGATGAAATATCGTCATTTTGCAATTGCATGCAGTGGACGATGATCCCGGTGTAGATGCTGACTACGCTGAAGAATTCGACCACTGCGCAGGCTGCATTCACGTACTGTGGTTCTGGGATCCGAAGCTGCATGTATAGGATCGTTCTGATGGCGGTGGTAAAGTTTAGAACAAGGTAGAATAAGCTCGCGGTTGCGAAGGAGATGGCTCTGATCTGATACCGGTGAGCCTGCGTGAAAACGAGACAAACACTCTCATGATCATACCTTGACCTTGCTGCCTAATGGTCGAGAGGTTCGTTTGATGACAGGGAGTACTGCCCACAAGAATATCTCTAATGATCCGACCATGAAGAGGATGGCACGAGCTGTGGCAACTCGGTTGTCATAGTGTGTCATATGCAAGGCATCGGAGCTTCTGTCCACCGACTTGACAATGGCAGCAATTTGAACGGCGCAATTGGCCACCGCAAGAAGCGACAGTGTCCCCAGGATGCCCCAGTGGATTGTTGTAACGATTGTAGAGATTTTTGCCGGGATTGGAGATTGATCGAGGGATCTCTGCAGTGTCCGACACAATGCAAAATAGAGAAACAAGAGTGCAAGAAGATATAATATCATCTGTAGGATCATCATAACGACATAGCTTTGTTTCACGGTGGCTTCCAAGTAAGCAAGTAGCAGAAATGTAATGGACAGTACTTGCGAACTGAATATCGACTGGTTAGTCTATCCATCGTGATATACAAGTCCCACAACAACCCTCACAGGATATATGAAGAGATGGACACGATCAATGCCATCGACAAAAGCCTCGTAGGCGTGCCTTTCAGCGGTTTGATCACGTATGCTCCGACAAGGAAAAGAATCAAGGCTAGCAGGGTATGAAAGTCTGAGACCAACCACAGAGTGATGTACGCGTTCGGGCCCAGACTGGATCTAAATAGACGGACCTCCTTATTCCATGGCGACTCACTCTGATGGACAACTTCTCTCCCCCACAGAGCCATGGTGGCCTCGAAGCGGGTGTAGGCAGATTCGATGGAATGACAACTTTCAGGGATGGGATTCTATCGCGCCATCCTCACGAAGAGCCGCGTGCGCTAACCGATGTCAATCAACCATGAGAACGGAAGGATCGACACGGATAGTCACGTTTCTTGTTCAAAGCGAGGGAAGGACTCCGTTGGCGGGTTTGTGCGACTCGAACATGGAAGTCTACTCGCTGATGCGGGTGCTCTCTCGTAGACATTGTCAATGGACTCCGGAAATCTCCAAAAATAATCAACGGGATAATAAATCTGAAGTCGTGGTGAATTGCGTGCGTTGTGGTCGCCAAACGGGCTCCGTAATGCACGAAGTGAAGGGCATTGGGGATTGGCTGGATGCGGGTGGGTTGGAGATGTTGGGTGTGTGAACGGGGAACTTCCATGTGATGGATATATGGGGTTCTGCAGCTCACCATTGAAGAATCAGTCATCCATGTGGATCATTTCGTTTGATAGACCAACACTGCCTGGCCTCACCCTAGAACAGTACAACGTTGGATGCAGATACCCACAGAGAGACGCACTAAAGCAGGGAGGATACTCGACAGCCGACAGACGTCCGATGTGGGTACCCTTGCTATCCCAGAGACCCGGCTTGATGGTATACATATATGTACATCGGGAGGAAGTTGCAATCCCGACCAGGTCGGATTCTTCAGCTGCAGGTTGAACCTGTCATATTCCCGGTCTGGATGGTGGTAGTCCACCTATCCAGATTTGATATGCATGCGACGGTGAGGATGAATTTCTTGATTCGCTGTGGAACGATCCGTGGGTAAGCCTGTCGAGAACTGTGGACTGATTAATATAGAACGTGCACTGCCCGGTCAGCCAGCGAAGTATCGACGGCAACTTCCAGCTGGTAGCACAGCATAGCTACGGAGGATCATCGACAGTGGCGAACGACGAAGAATCCTTTCCATTCCATCCCACTTTTCCTCATCCTCAGCTCGTCGGGACAACCAATACTTTACATACGAGATCTCACTTTCTTTGCCGGGCTCAGCTGTCTGGGCCAAAACCCCCCGCGTTTGTTGTCTCCCAACAATGATGCAGCATGACCCGCCACTCCTGAACTGGACTGCATTGCTGCAGAACCAACCCTGAACAACAAATTAGTCCTCCAATACCACCGAAGCATCGTCGGTAGCAAATGCACTTTCCCATGTCAGAATAAAAAAAAAAAAAAAAAAAAAAAAAAAAAAAAAAAGAAAAAGACAAAAAAAAAAAGAAACTGAGTCAAGAAAAAAAAAAAAAAAATCAATAATACAGGAACACTAATAAAATGCATAAGAACTGCCAAATGCCTATGGGCTCGCAGTCAGCATGATTCCAGCGTACTGGTTCGTTCGGTTGCATATCGTCGACTCCTGACTTCGTGCCTAGATTAGGGGTAAAAAGACTGGCTCCCCTGTTTACAGGATTATAAATTCGCACCTGGGGCTTAATTGCCACGGGCCTGTTTTATCTATCGCCTGAATATCTTGCTGCTGCTGCTACATTTACCGTCAATTGTCGTGTGTTTGACAATCCTTCCCCTGCCTGTTTTCAGCCATCGATCGAGTACGATTGATGCATGGTATTGTACATCCACACTGCCATACACACCTAGGTCTGCCGATTGTGCTCTTCTTGCCTTTTCCCATTTTTCCTTGCTTTCCCGCTTTCTATTTCCGGATCCTGGTGTGGACTAATCTATAGTCTTGACTGGATCTACACCTGTGTTACCCGATTCATTTCAGAGATTATGGGCCGTTGAAACTGAATCGTACGTTGGAAGTTCTATCTCCCTTGCTTCTGAGGCCTTAATTCAGAGGCATATCTACCGTTCGCACATTTTATCTGTCTGTTCCTTGGCCATCTCTGCTCGCCAACGGGGGTTTGCTTCGCGGTCAAGGATAGTCGGATGGTTGCATAGCACAGGTTACAGAGACTTAATAGCACGAAACTAGAGTCGGAGGAAAGCAATAAGATTTTGAGTCGGATAAGATCCAACTGTGATTCTAATCAAGCATTGAACAGGGGAAGATCCGTATTATACCGCGAGAAAGCCACTTTTCTTCGTTCTTCCAGTTTCTGGCGTCTTATTTCATGGGTGGTGCATCTGTGGATTAGATTGACTTTATCTAGCGAAGATAAGAATGCCACCGGACAGATCTTCATTCACGGCATTGAATTTGCCGGCCACTTTCTCACTCCCTCGATGCATGGAATATTTCACCCTCACTGCCGGCCCCAACACTGATCTTTGGCGTAAGCCGCCGAACGGGGATACCTCCACGGCACCGATTGTGTTCACCTCGCTGCGAGGTCCGTTTGTGGTTGCAGAAGTGACCGTCAGTGCAGAATGGGAGATGGAGTGGGATCAAGGCGGGTTGGTTATTTTCGCCGGTGCCACACCCCAGTCTTTCTCCTCGGAAAGTGTTCCGCTGACACCGGAGACACGATCAAGTTGTCCTGGTCTCCCCTCGCCCACACGACCTTGTAAATGGGTCAAGGCGGGAATGGAGTTCTGCTCAGGGACCATGAATGCCTCGTCGGTCAGCGCCACGGCAGATGGAGCGGACTGGTGCCTGTCGCCGCTGGACTTGTCGGATAGGGGTCCGGCAGGTATGAATCCCTTGCGTATCAAGATGGAACGCGTTGGACATTCGCTCTGGATCTGGTATCAGGTTCCTTCGGCGTCTCCGTACGCAAGAACCCCGAGTGTGGTCAGTAGCACGTGGAAAAAGCTGCGCGAAGTAACCTGGTTCTTCTATGGTGTCGAGGACAAGTTCATCCATGTGGGGGTATATGCTAGTCGACCCAACAGTCTCACTCGCAGCGATACGATGTGGGAGATCATGAACAGACCGGCCCTTGAGAGAGCGGCCGGTGTGGGTGAAGGGCTGGTGGTGGAATTTGAAGATTTGGAGATATTCTAGCACGATTTTTCTGGGCTCTTGCACGTGTGCTTCTACCCTATCCGCCCACTAATTCTCGCTCTCTCTCTGTCTTTTTCTTTTTTTTGTTCTCTCGTAAAGCCACCCTACGAGCCACACGACATGTTACGAATTGACGACCTCACCTAAGAGTTTCCTATGTGGACTGGTTCTGCGGAGTTGGAGTCGAGCTGATTACCTACCAGGAATTCGTTTAGTTGGCGTGGTTTAATGAGGTTTCCGCTCTCATATGTTATACCTTATTCTATTGATATTACTAGAATTAATATTCTTCCTTCGATATGTCCAAACATACAATGATTGTATCCAATAACGCGATGATCAACGACGCTAACTTCAGCGCAGTTAACCCAGACATTTTGAGGTGGACGGTGCAGGAATGCAACTTAGTGCTAAATGTTGAGTGTTGACGTTGACTCCTTTGAATGATTGATTGCTAGGGACACCATTTCCGAGGGCAACCATGGTTCCCTGGAAATGCCAACATTATGCTCCACAGCATTACCAGGGCCAACAGACAATGTATGACCCTTGGTCCTGGTGGGGATAGTTATGAAATGGACATAGCTTCTGTATGTTTTTTTTTTTATTATTATTATTATTATTAAAAATGACTCACTTCCACCCCTTCAAAAGTAGTTATCGCTCAGACCTAGTGGCAGACGGGTATGTATGATGATCTCATCGACAAAGAAGTCGCTATAGGTGTATCGTGAATTGGAGATAAGTATACCGAGGATGCCGAGGATAGATAACACCTGACTTCACTAAGTACGCCGTCGAAGAGAATTTGAGTCGCTAACCAAGTCGTACCAGGAGAGGAAGTAAATAAATGATGAATGGTGCCACTCCTGCACTAAATACTACTAATGGACCCTCATCGGGCGTCCCCACTTGGACCTCCATCCTCCGTCGTGTCGAACAGAATTTTATCATCAGCCGATGTTCTCGTGCTTTACAGAGTATGCAGTCGACGGAGCAGAGAAGAGACTACGTACTACCAGATAGGTTACTACTACTATAATCGAACTATTTCTAGACAGCCACGCCCTCAAGGTTTTGAGCCCTGCCGTGATTGGCGATGTCGATGGCGCCAACTCACCGCATTTTCCCAGATTTCGGCCAGAATACGCCCAGGATCTGCATATAATATGAATTGGGCATAATCATATGCGAACGCCGCTCAGGCTTTACAGATGGCTTGCAGGTGATGGATTCCATCGATCGGCTCCTGCTGGTGTACGTACATATGGGACACACTTCATAGATTTACTTGTACATACAAGGATTTTTCCACCCCTATCCTACCCTACGGAGTATACCCTTGAATCCGTATCAAACAAATAGTCCGTCGTAGTCGAGGATAGCTTGGATTCAATGTGACCAGGAGAGAAGAGAACCTCTGCATCAGCACCATAAACAGCACTAAGCTCCATCACTGTGACAACTGCTGCTGCCCCGCCTCACTAACTGTCACTAGCTTCCCTCTCTCTGTCTTGGAGTCTGAACGGATTTCCTCCTGTGGGCACTTCAGCAGGCTTCCGTGGGGACCGCTGTGTTTTTTTTTTTTTTTTTCCCATCTCCCTCGCGCCTGAACCTGTCCTCTTCAGTCTCCTTTTCTACGGACCTATCTCTGCAATAATCGTCATTGTCCTGACACCTCCCACGTTCATCTCCCTTACCCGCACAATCCCATCCCATTATCATCTTCCTTGTCATTACCCTACTTGTGATTATCAGTTTGGGAGGCCTCTCTTCTCAATACTCTGTGTGTACATTATTATCTCGTCAGTCGATTCTCGAGTTTTGTTTGTCAGTTTTATCTGGAACTTTCAGATTTTCAATTCTTTGTTTAAAATCCTGTTGTCCTTGATCCTCCCTCTTTCGTCTTTTTTCTGAGTCTTTTCTTATCCTTTAACGACCGTTACGACTTTACGAACATCATGGCTGAATCCATTGGCGAGTCGGTTACTTTCTCCATCCGTCGTCCCTGTGATACCCCGGTCATCTTTGTTGCGGGAACGTTTTCCGATCCCAAATGGGAGCCTCTCGAGCTGAACGTTAAGGCGGTGGATGTCCTCACGGAGGAGAATCTGATCTCAACCGAGTATCTATTCTTTCGTGATGTCAAGTTGTCTCCGGGGCAATATCAGTATAGGTTCCGAGATGGTGCCGAGGGCCGGTGGTTCCATGATGAGACGGTAAAAAATGGTACAGTTCGATTCTCTTCGGTCCTGATGACAGGATCCTTGCCGGAAGGCCTTAACTGACTTAGAGCTTTGGAATTCTAGCTCCAGGGGACGACGGCATCGTGAGTAATATTCTCTCCGTCGAACCCGCCGCAGCCACTATTTCAGAGGAGAAGTCCTCTCTTAAGAAAGAAGACAACCCCGTTGAAAATGGTACAAGTGACAAGGCGGAGGAAACAGCAAAGGAATCTGAGGTAAAAGCGACCACTACTGAGTCTGTGGAAGCTGCCTCGTATAAACAGAATGATACCAATGGTGTGGCAGAAAAGGATATAGTCTCAGCTCAGGAGGCCACTGCCGAGGAACAGAATCCGGCAGTGTCTGAGCTACCGACGAAGGCTGCTGATGAGAAGGAAATCGATTCAGAACATGAAGAGCCTCAGTCAAACGGGACGTCGGAAACCGTGGTGAACGGTTCAGAACCTCCTATTGAGAGCTCTAAGATGGAGCAGGCCAGTGAAACAGCGGACAAGCAGGGGACGGCAGAAGAAAAGTCGCCCCAACCCCAGCCCGAGCCAGAAAAAGAAGTTCCCCAACAGAAGGAGGAGAAGGAGGAAGCCCCGTCTTCTTCTACCCAGGCCGAGACAACTCCCGCTGCGAAGGTAGAAGAAACTTCGACCGAGACCAATGGCACAGCTGTTATCGTGGAGAGCACAGTTGACGAGCCTCAGCCAGAAATGCAGTCCGATAAGCCAGCTCCTAAACCCAACGAACCAATTTCGGAGAAAGAATCTTCGGAACCGGTCAAAGAGGAAACAACCAACAAGCAACCGACCATAGATACGCCTGCTCCTGAATCTGATGCCCCCATAGTTTCAGCAGCCACTGAAGAAACTGTCAAGTCTAGCGATGGGGACAAATCTGTGGAAGTTCGTGCTGCTGAAGAGCCAGCAAAAGAGGAACCAAAGGAGGAACTTAAAGAAGAGACTAAGGACGAACAGGAGGAACCTAAGGAGGCAACTAAGGAAGAACCCAAGGAGGAAACCAAAGAAGAGCTCAAAGAAACGCCTATCAAAGAAAAGACCGTCGAGTCTGTAACAGAGACTGCCCAGGAACCGACTCCGACTGCGAATGAGACGACTTCAAGTGAACCCAGCAAAGAAACAGACGCGGTCACTGAGGAGCCAGCCAATAAGCAAACTTCAACTGAGAACGTTTCTGTGGAGCAGCCAGTCGAGCAGCTCTCAAAGGAGGAGCCTTCTGCGGAGGAGACCGTGACAAAAGAGTCAACTGAGGCAGCCGCATCTGAAGAACCCGTGAAGGATGATGTTACAGAAACTATCCAGGCTAACGAAGAGCCTCCTGCAAAGTCAACTGAAGAGCCGGCTTTTGAGGATCCCGCTAAACTGATTGCCGAGGAAGAAAAAGCAGTTGTCGAAGAATCCGCTGAAAAGGCTTCTGCTGAAGATGTCAAGGAGGCCGATCAGGATCCAGTCCCTTCAGAGGAGTCAGTTATTCAAGGGCAAACAGAGACCGTCACTCCCGCCGAAGCTGACAAGGAGGCCTTTGAAGAGGTATTCGAAGGCAAGGCCGCTGCCGAATCCTCTAAAGAGGAACAATTTCTCGAGGAAACTATGAAAGAGCAGTCCGTTGCTGAGAAAGCTACTACCAGAGCACTTGTCCAGGAGACTGCACAGATTGCTAAGAACGTGGAAGAGCCAGAAACTGTGAACGATACAAAGGCCCCTGCCGCTGAAGAGCATATTGTCGAGGAACCTCGTCAGGAATCGAAGACGGAGGTGTCTGTACAGGAACAGGCGCCGGAGGCACCCGCTGCAGAACTTTCGTTCTCCAAGGAAACGGCTGAGGAGCCTGCTTCTAAGGAAATTGTTCCTGAACAGAGCGTTTCCCACGAGTCTAGAGGACCTGTTACTGAAAAACCTAAGGAGCCTACCACCGAAGATTTCGACGCAGCCAATCCGACCGCTGAGGAATCTACTCCCGAGAAGTCAGTTGAAGAATCTCCAGTTGCTGAAGCCGCAGTCCCACAAGAGGCTCCCAAGGACACCCAAACCGAGACGGCTGCTATTGTAGAGTCGGTGAAGGAAGAGACTGCTCTCGAACAGCCTAGCGAGGAATCACATCTCAAGGAAAAACCTGGAATTGACAATCCCGTCACAGATGTTCCTTCAGAGACACAGCTTGCTAGGGATGTTGAGCTTTCCGAAGCACCTCAGGCTGAGGAACCGAAGGTTGAAGAAACGAAAGTAGAGGAGCTTAAGGCAGAGGAAGCTACAGCTAAGAACGCCAAGGTCGATGAAACTCCAGCTGAAGAAACAAAGATCGAGGAGCCTACAGCTGCGGGACCTGAAGTTAAGGAACGTACACCTGAGGAACTCGTGACCGATGTGTCTCTCGTAGAGCAGCCCAAGGTTGAAGAGCCTAAGGTCGAAGAAGCTGCGGTTGAGCAGCCGAAAGCCATAGAGGCAAAGGCTGATGAAACCAGGACTACGGATTCTACTGTTGCCAAGATGGAAGAAAAAGAGTCCGCTCAAGAAATGCCGGCAACAGAACGGGAAACAAATATTGAGAAGTCTGCCGAGGCCACTTCTGCCAAGGTAGAAAGAGACGAAGTGATTGTTAAAACCCACGAGGAACCTGTCGCTGAAGAACTTGTCGCCGAGACTTCAGTGGCCGATAACACGGATGATGTACCTAAGGGCGGAGAACCAGAGGAGCATGCTCCCGAGACAACAGTCAGTGATGTATTTTCGGGACAATCTGTCGCTGAAGTCCTGGCCGTGCAGGCGGAAACAGAAGAGCCAGCAAAACAGCCCGAAGTGAATGAGTCCCAAGAACAGCTGACTACGGAAATTGCCCATACTCCTTCCCAGAATGCAGAAGAAGACCGGGGCCCAGAAGTTACTGAGAGTTCCAAGAAGGTGCAAGCCGCTGAGGACAAGGCACCTGCTGAAACTCCAGAAGCTGCGGCCCCTATTGCAGAGAAAATACCGGAAGTTCAAAGCACTGATGTTGTGGAAGAGACCAAAGCTGCTGAGGAGACCATTGCCCCCAAGGACGGACCGATTCCAGCTGTTTCTGCAGTTGAGACAGAGGCTGCCCCTGTTAGTGATGCACCTGTCAAGCAAAAGACCACTCCTGATACTACTGAACATACGCCTGAGCAACTGGAAGTCTTGGAATCTGCAAAGGAGATCACCCCGCAGAAGAAAGAAAATGCTTCTGAACTTAAGGATAGCATTTTGACTCATGGGGAGATTGGTGCAGGTGCGGCTGCGGCTATTGCTGTTGGCGCTGTTGCTGTTGGAGTGGCCGCTGCTTCTGACAAGAAGCCAGAGAATACTACCGCGTCAACTGACAAAAAGGACCACAAAGCGGCACAGGAATCAGAATCCGCGAAAGGTAGAGAAGCTCCCGGGTTGAATGACGTATTATATCCTGAGTCTGTAGCTGACCCAATCCTAGCTCACCCTATCGACAGCACAACAGAGGTGGCTTCTAGGGAGCCTTTGACCACGGAAGCTGGCCAGCAATCATCAACCGCGAAAATGCCACATCAGGAAGCACCCGCTGCTTCGACGAACAAACCTTCGACTTCGGCTTCTGCCGAACCTACTCCTTCCACCGAGCCGGAAGGCGACAAGTCACGTTCTACGAGCCAGAATCGTTCTGTCGCAGCTGTCTCTCGGAATTCCCAGAATGACGGTTGGCTAAAGGCCATCCTGCGCGCCGTCTTCGTCAACTTCTTTGGCTCAATTTTCTCACCATTCCGCCGCCGTGGAAGGTCCAACCAGTAAAAAAAAAAAAAAAAAAAAAAAAACAATTACTCTATTTCCCCTTAACACAGAATGTTATTATTTCTATTATTGCTAAACCGTTATCATCCACAAACCCGGCTATCCCAGTAGATTTAACTACAGGGTGGCTCTGGTTGGCATGCATATACCCTCTCCCCGTCCTGATTAGTTACTTTATTGTCCAAACATTTCGTCTGTCACTCATTTTATTTGATTAATTGATTGATTCCCCTGTATTTGATATTTGTTGTCATCAATTCAGGTTACTTGCTTTCTGATCTGCTTCGATATGCCTCTCCTCTCCAGACTGGGATTGTTATTTTCAAGTCCATCTCCGTTCAATTTGTATTTGCACCGGTCTACCACGACTGTGAGATTGATTGGCAGTCAGTGTATTATCTGCAGGGCCTATTGATGGTCCGATAATGTTGTCTGGCTGCATGCAGTATGTAATGATGTTATTGATTATGACTGATGATAATAAAGATTTCTCGATATTCTTTATGCAAGTTGTAATTGTCTTAGTAGATAGTTTTGTAAGACTAGGCAGTAAGTAAACTAACTACTTGGTTTGGAATTCAAACCCATTTAGGTAATTACCAGCTTCTTTCCCTACTCCAACACCAAACCACGGCATTCTTCCATGATGGAATCCTACGTTATAGTATCTAATTATCTATAGTCTTAACTGGCCCCAACGTCGTAAGGGCATTTCCACATCTGGAAAAGAACATCCATGAATGTAATACACCATGACCCTCGAAACATCTAGAACAGGCCAGACAAAGCATATCCCAATTAAATTCATGGCTTTGTTTACCTACATTCACTAAAAAGAATATATCCAAGTATACATTACTAAAGTAACTATCCATCTACCATATACTAGTGGAAAAAGCCATATCCAAAGGTCTAGAATATTGCTAGTTAATAGGAACCTGGTGTATAATGTATCTACCTACACAGCGCGCCAATAGTATCGTCTAGTCTATACAGGTAGTATATAGTGAATGTCTACCTGGCTACCTACTTGGGTTCGCTTGGAGGCAAGCGAAATATCGCTTGATTTGGGAATTATTGTCTTGCTAAACTTGGATATTTCTTGGTTTTAGGTTCTCCGTTTACCTATCTGTCTACCTAGTCACTTCTTTGCTTTGTTTATGCACGTTGCATGTTAAGTATTGCACACTGCACACTGCACACTGTTTCAAGGTATATTTCACGGTCTTTCATCCTTTGCATCTCCTTGTGAGACTAAACAGACGCGAGATCGTAATCCTCCTGAGCTTTTTAAATCACCTTGCCCACTTGTTCATTTTCCTCCATGTCTCATCTACAGGGAAATGCGTTTGCACAGATGAAGGCTCGCGAAAAAGAAAGGCAGCAGATTGGTGAGGTCAAGAAAAGTACGTTGCTTCTTTGTCGATATGGATCATTTTTTGGTCCACATCTCTCTATGTCTCTTCCGTTCCATATTGTGCCCTTTACTCAAGAAGAGAAAGAGTATCGAATGAATGCTGATTCTGGCTGTTTATCTTATGCAACAGAGCCAGAGCCATCTCAGAAACCTAGCACTGGTTGCAAGTCAAACGGTTTGGATTATGATCAGGACCTTGCTCTCCCCATGCCAAAACCACGCCATCCTCCTTTGCCGGACCCTGAGCCTGCTCAGGTGCAAACCCCAAAGAAAAGATCCACAAGCAGGGCACGACTGGCAAAGCGTTCCTGTACTGATGCTTCTGCTGCTGAAGCACAATCGGGTGAAAGTCGGAGCAGTCCAGCTACTGACAGCGAGAAGAAGAAATCCAAACTCGCATCGCTTCGTTCCAAGTTCAGCCTGAAGGACATTGGAAAGGAGTTTCGTAAAGACTCGCCTCCTCTATCCGCTTTGCCCAGCCTGCGTAAGTTTAGCAGCAGCAGCGGTCAATCAGATGAAGCAAAGAAGTCTCATGCTTCTAATGTTCGAAACCTTAGCTTTGACGAGGAAAGGTTGTACATCCCCAGAGCAAGAGACGCTGTCATGCACCATCCTTCATCTGCTCCTCCGTTGACATCGACTTTCCGTGAGGCGTTCATTAGGGGCAAAAACTCTCAGAGTAGCACATCTTCCTCTCTTCGTGAGCAGATGTTGAATAGAAAGGATGAGGAATCGGTCGACAAACCCAAGATTTCACATGTCCACGATAACAACGACCTCAAAATGAGCAACTCCGAGACTGCAAAATATCGTCAGATTGCACCCCTTGACGGCTCGTCTCCCCCAGTTTTCACAGGCGTATACTCTAACACCACACACCCAGAGTCCAAAACCAGTAAGCATAGAGGCGGTAACATGGAAGTCGACAGTAACCATGCAACTCCGACCCCTGTCGTACCAAAGACATCGCCTGCTCCTGTGGCTGATATTTGCCGCTCATATTCTCCGTCCATCTATGGCACCGAAGACGACATCAACGGCAAGCCTAAGTCTTCGCTTCACGATCAGAAGCCTGACAACAACGATCAACATCCCTTGATTGTGTCGTCCGACCAAGCAAGTCAAAAGACGGTTAAGAAGGAGAATCAATCGTCTGATGTAATGCCTACCGCCCCTGATCTTGAGGCAGCGCAGGCTCAGTCTTTTGACCATAATCTTAACTATCAAATGTCAATGGACGAGGCACGGTTCTTTGCTGGTGTTACAAGCCATGGAGGCTTTGCTCCTCCTCCCCCTCATCCTGAGTATCAAAACACGGTTACCTTAGAGCAGCTTGTTGATTCGCACGCGCACTCCATTCACATCCACATGGACACTGCCCTTAGCAAACTTGGTAGACAGCTCGAGAATAACAATAACTGGTCGACCGATCAAGTGATAAGACAGGTTGACTCGATGACCGATGTCTCTCGTCTGTTGAATTCAAGAACTGGGAACCAGATTGAGATGATGAAAGAGCTGCACCAGCTTCTGGTTGATCTGCATCTCAAGGTCATTGATATGCAGCACGAGTCGCGTCAGAGGGAACGCAGACTTGTTGAATTATTTCACACCGAAATCGCCAAAATGAGAGCTGAGTTCAACAAGTTGACCATGAATGTCTCGTGCAACCCATTTGTGGGACCGCGTCCCTCGAACACCGAGCTACAGGGCCCTCCGAGTCACACAAAGGCCACCAAAGAGTTTGACAAGCGGAATAAAAGAAAAGCTCGTTCCAACAAAAAGGAAGAGGGGGTTGAAAAACAGCCAGAGAGTAGAACTGGAAAGGAACACGATCAGGAAGGTGAATGTGTTGCTAGTTGCAGTTTGTTAGAACAAGACAAACGCGCCGAGGAACAACCATCTGGTGACAACAACTCAACACCTACAGTATCCTTTCGCAATCCCCCAACTGATGAGCACAAGGATGATCCAGTGTCTACTCAATCTCAACTTAGAAAGCCCATCCTGAAAAATCCTACACTAGAATCTTCTGGTAGCCCTGAGCAGAAAGCGACGAAGATGAGCAGCTCTGCCCAGCTTATAGGTGCACCAGAAGAGGGCCAAATTGGGACTCAAACAGCAGAGCCTGGAAATAAGACTGACAATGAGGAGGCAAAGAATTCGCACAAAAAAGGCATGTTTGGGTTCCACCGTCGACGAGATGATGACAGCCAATCTTCTAGCCGTTTCCTGCGTACACCTCAGCGCAACAAAGAGCGCAAGACTCCTGCCAAAGAATGCAATCCAACTCCATCAACTCCCCCCATGCAAACAGCTCGCTTAAGCACTGCGAATGATGAGCGCTGCCAAGATCATTTAGAGGAAAGCCCAAGCTCTGTCCACCCGGCTTTGCGCAATCCCCGTCAGAAGCAGATCATGGCTGAGCGTGAGTGTCAGAGATATGAGAATCAGGGCCGTCAGCCAACTGGAACTCAGCCAGTGCAGAACCCCATGCAACAACACTCACAGCGTCAACAAAGCCTATCCCATCAGAGCTATAGTCCCAGAGTAATTATGCCACTCAATTTGGTGCCCAATAATCAATACGGAACTTCTCCAATAGTCTTGCAGCAGGGCCAGAGCGGACACAAGCTCGCCGCAAACTACCCCCATCCTCACCCATCTTCGTTAGGACAAGCTCCCCAGGCGGTTATCCCTGTCCCATATTACGGTGCTCATGCCAGTGCTAGCGCTGGTGCAGGGGCACCCAATGTCGTCATGCCACCTCATTGTCCTCAGCCCGCCGGCTCCAACACATATGGCAGAAACGACACGGTGGACATGCGCAGGTGGTACCAAGAAACACGCCGACGTGGTTCTATGGAGAATGACCATTCTTATCATGCAAAATAATCCTTTTTTATTTAACGCATATGGATTTCGAGCCATAATGACTGAAGACGTCCTTTATCATATGGTCGACGGAGAAGGGTATTAGGATCAAGCTGTATTTGAATTCCATGTTACAACTGAGGAAGTCGAGTTGAGGGATTGGAAATTGGCTGAATTTAGCTTGGGATGTGATCAGGATGGTTTTCGGATTTGAATAATCAGAATTAAGGATTGAAGAAGTTAGATAAGAAGCAAATTCGGTTGGAGTGGGAAAGTTGAATTGCTCACGTGTTCATTTACTGGGTATCTTACAAGGCCAGCCACAAAACGATGGAAGAGAGAAAAAAAAAAAGGAGGGGTCGCCGAAGATGACTGAATGACTTTATGGAACCAAGAGAAAGAAAAAAAAAAAATATTAAAAGGGATACAATAATACGGTAACCGTGATCACGTCGTAGGTATGACAACAAGCCTATTTTCCTGAAATCATCTTCTCCATATCTAAAACAGCATCCCGCACTTGAGGACAGTAGTGTAGTCGTAATAGCTCCCCTTCCCAGACTGTCCCAGCAAATACATTCGTCGCTTCTATATCCAGCGCGTACGGGTTGTATACACCGTCACCCTTACGCTCTTCACTATGCCACAATGGCGAAATCCGACGTGCGTGGTATTTGGCGACCTGGTTCAATAGTGACAACGTTGCAATGGCAGATTTCTCAGGAAATTGAAGGGACGTCGTCATGAGACGTTTGGTAAAACTGCCCAGCCGAACTGGTGGAGGAGTTCCATGGGCACGAGACAATAATGTGGAATGGATGCAGCGGAGGAGCAGCACAGTGGGAGTTTGGAAGTTGACTTTGTTTCGCGATCGGTGGGATGCACTTTCGGGAAAGTTCGGATCTGGAAGTCGAAGCGATTTGTTTGGGTTATATTCAACGTCGGGATTGATGGAGAGAGAGTAGAGACAGCTGTAGAGGTGCCTAATGAAGAAACTGAGGTCCAGATGGAGCGCCGCTGCTGCTTTGCTGGCGTCTTGTCCTTCCAAGAGGGCAAAGGCAGTGACAGTGCAAAGGAGAGCCTCACGCTGAGAATCTCGTGCGGTCGTCTCAGATTCGATATTTGCCTCGTCCGCATCCTCGTCCCATACTTCCGTCTGGTCGGCATGTCCTATTAGTTCCTTCAAGGCCTCAAGTAAATCTCCGAAGAAATCTTGGTTGATCAGATGGGCATATTTGGCAAGACCCTCAAGCACTGGTCCCATCAGAATAGGGATTCGGAGCTTCAGAATACGGAAGTACGTTCCAAACACCAGCTTCAATGTCTCCGCCTGGTTTTTCTCCCTTTCTTCATGTGAGACTAAGGCGTCTGCTTCTTTCATATCTTTCTCCACTGCCTTTCGTTCCTTATCGAGCTTACGATCCCGTTTGGTGCGGAATTCCCGCTTTTGCTTGAGCTTTTTGCCACCGAGGGTGTCATTTCCTGGCTCGTTGCGATCAACTCGGTGCCTTGATGCCTTGGATGAAAATTCGGACAGCAAGCGTAGATGGAGGAACGCATCCAAGATGCTTTCATGAATCCTGTAATCCTTTGCCTTCATCATCTTGGACAACAAACGGACCGCTTCGAGGGAAACAACACCATCGTCATCACGTGAAAATACCTCTTCAAGGGTTTCCCGGCATTTAATGAAGTCCGCATCAATCTGTCTCCGGGCAAGGCGGTTGATAAGAATCTTCAGTAGCTCCCCTCGAAAGTTGAAATGAGGTACGGAGAGGAGGAGAATACAGGCACAGTTGATCGCGACGCTCTTCAGGCCAGCGTCAACACTTGTCCCTTTATCTTTAGAAGGTTTTGTGAGCTCCGACAGCTTCTGAACGTAATGTTTGTATCCTGAAAGAAGCGTTTGCTCGTATGTCCGCAGCTTGCGCACCTCCTTCGAGATCTTGCCGGAAATTTCATCGTCACCAAGAGGACGAATCCTGTATCCAGGAATCACATCCTTGTAGATTGCCGCTTGCGAGGCAAGAGCCAGTTTCTGAATCGCAACATGCGAGCCCTTCTCAACCATTTCGGCCATCGTCTTAAATGATGAGAGGTGTTCCTCAGGGTCCTCGTTGATCAATGTTGCAGCCTTTGCAAGATCCTCCTTTGCCTGGATAATTTGCAATTTTAATGGGATTTTTGGTGGTTGGTCTTCGACAGCATTCTCCTCATCCTCCATATTTTTCTCACCATCTGAATTTCCATCCTTTTCATCATTATCGGTCCCCAGAAAGCTGTCAGATTCTTCAGCCTCGGCATCAGGCTCTTCTACATTCTGCAGCCCTTCCGCAGTTTTTATGGGTAGCCGCGTCCTCTCCTTTTCTTTTTTACCCAGTTTGCGTGGCCGGCGCTCATAGTCTTGCTCTAGGTCCCATTCGGCTGCGTTGTTAAAGAAGTCCTTGGTAGCCTGTGAAGGGCCATTTCCCTCATCACCAGGAGGACTCAGGCGTCTCCTCTTTGTTGTTCGACTTGGAGCCATTTTTAGCTCCGGAAGGTGTGGAAGGCGGTGGTGATAGATAAGTTGAATTGGAATTTTCGTTAGCCGTCTGAAACTTTTTTTTCTCATCGCCGGCGTGCCGGCGCCAAGACCTCCGACGCTAAAACTCCACTTGTCTAGAATTTTTGTCCGCGGAGCTTTCTCCCGACAACAACAAGTTTGTCAAAACTCGCATCTCAAGCCAGTATCATACAAAATGCGGCAATTAACAGAAGAGGAGCTGAAAACAATGCTGGGCAAACTGGCCGGCTATACTGGTCGTTCACTGAATAACCTCATTACAGCATCTGAGGATGACGATCGATACGTATTTCGACTTCACGGCTCCCGAGCCTACTATCTGAAGTTATCACTGGCAAATATGGCGACTTCGATTCCTCGCTCAAACCTCCTTTCGCTTGGAACCTGCATGGGAAAATTCACCAAGACCGGAAAGTTCCGTGTACAACTCACGGCGCTGGACGTCATTGCGCCGCACGCAAGATACAAGGTGTGGATTCGCGAGAATGGACAGATGCCTTTTCTGTACGGCTCGAACATCGTTCGTACCCACGTTGCTCGTTGGAGTGAGGATATTCCTGAACATCAAGGTGTGGTGGTATACAACATGGACGATACTCCGTTAGGATTGTATGTATCTCGAGTCTTTATGGCCATATCAAAGCTGACAGCTTTCTCAGCGGAATCACGGCAAGGAGCACCCAAGAACTACGAAAATTAGATCCCTCTGCGATTGCCGTTTTCCGCCAGACAGATCTCGGAGAATATTTACGCGAGGTAGGTGTCTTTTTACTCTGCAGACGTGTCTATAATAGTGGCTAGCTGCTAACTGCCCTCTAGGAAGATACTCTTTTCACAGCATAGAAGAAAGGTTCTGCATTTGCGGGATTGTTCATAGGATTCGAAGACTAGATACCTGGGGATTCTCGCAGGAGTTTTGGAGTCGCCTATCTGTTCAAATAGAAAAGTTCTTGCTCTGGATATATTCATGGATTTTTTTTAATAGATACCACAACTTTCCGGTTGAATGAAGTTGTTCTAGGTAAAATTTCAGTGGAGTGATGAAGCGACACCTCTCCACTATCCCTATTAATTACATTTTTTTGGTTATATAGTTATATCTGCTCTAGACTGGAAGCCCGGGGGGGTAACGACAAGTAGGACGCGGTGTTGCGTGTGCAGAAAATTGGCCTCTTTCGCCATAAGGGGTATTTTAATTATATATTTATACAGCTGACTAGTATAGCTAGATCTGAAGAGTAAATTATAACTAGAATTATATTTTCCCTATTTCATAGGTCTAAAGTTTCCCTTGTAATTAATTTGGTCAATCAAAATATTACCCAATTTGGAATTTGGGGATACATCTTGTCGGAGAAAATGAGGGGCACGTGCACGGTGGCCGATCGATCAGTCAGCGCGTAGGGTCAACTTTCCTCCATCCAAGCCAGACATACAGGACTGCTCTATCACTATTCTACTTCTTTTTTAGGATATCTCCTTGAATATCCAAAGAGTAGCTCCTTTGCTAGTATTTTATTTCCCGAGGGTGGCTTCGCCTTTTCCATTTAATCCTTCAAATATAACAGCGTTATATCATAGGCACCCGCCTATTCTCAACCCACCATGCCACCATACTCCAGCGCTCAAAAGCAACAGATAGCCCAATTTGTGAATTTCACACAGACTAAGGATACAGTGGCTGCTAAGGTATGGGCTTTCTTCTTTGTTTAGCACCCGAGGTTCCAATATTTCAGCAATCCAGTTAATCCCGCAAATGCATCCGAGGTCACGTGTACATTACAAGATTAAGGCTGACTATTATTTTGCTTTAGTTTCTAAGGGCATCTAGGTGGAATGTACAGGAAGCAATTGATACGTGAGTAACAGAGATTTTTGCTTTTATCCTAGACTACCTTTTCACCCCTACTAGCCTTGATCCCAGGACTTGTTGGTCCACATACCCCATTTTCAATGGCATCCTTAAAGGACAATAAAAGACCTAAGGCATTTCTTGTTCTGGCATTTGCGGGCTGGTGCTGGCCTTTCAATCTTTTACGGCTGTTTTCAATCCGTTACTTTTGTACCTTGCGGGACATGCATTGTCAGTTTGAGTGCTAGTGGCGTTCTATTTAGATGTCTCATTCTCTTTCCCACTGAGACTACACAGGCATCGAGAACTGGCTTACCGTTGAATCCTACATTTTTATCTATCTATTATACAACCATCATATGCAAACTATGGCATTTGAACTGTGTTTGAGTTCGGCTCTAAGAAGCCCGTGAGGCTCTCTTTCGCTGAACTATGTGTCAATCACCATGGGGAAATCTGATCTTGACTTGGTTATGATATATTACCATCATCGCGTTGCTTCTACAGAGAGTTTTATATTGGGACTGTATCTAAGTCCTTGTTTGTCTTGTGTCGGACTCCATGCAACTCTTCCGGCCCGAGCCGAGGCTTGAACTGCTTATGCCATCACTCCCAAGATCAAGTTATCTAGGCGCTTCGTACTTTAGGAGGGGGAAAGAGGGGATATGATAGCGAATGTGACCATGGATTGATACGCAACATCATTGGCTCGTGTTTACAATATCAAATTGCCCACCTGACTTACAATAATGACAATAATGACAGCCACACAAACACGTGTCCATTCAGTTACTGATGTGATGGTCCAGGTACTTTCAAAGCCCCAAAGGGGCAGGGGGTAGCACATCTGCTCTCAACAAGATCTTTGACAGCTATCAAGGTACATACATACTCAACACACGATTGGATCCATACTTATCTAGCTAACCGACCACAAACAGACTCACCGGCAAACAATCCCGATGGCATCGGCATCGAAGGCGCGATGAAGTACTTTGGAGATCTCCAAGTCCAACTGGACGAGGTGACGTGCCTTGGAATAGCGGAACTGCTTCAATCGCCCTCGATGGGTGAATTCACTCGAGAAGGTTTCCTGAATGGATGGAGATCGGCCGGGTAAGTATCATAAATCCTAGCTTCCCTCATATCTTTTTTTTCCTTCTAACACACGGAGCACGGGTATCCAGATGCGATTCCCTGGACAAGATGATCACGCACGCCAAGGACATCCGGGGACGCATCCCGACGCAACCAGATCTCTTCCGTCGGATCTACCGCTACACGTTCCCACTGTGCCGCATGCAAGGCCAGCGTAATCTGACATTTGAGATCGCAGCCGAACAATGGAAGTTGTTCTTCACGCCAGACAACGGCGGAATCCAATGGAATACGTCGACGACGCCCTGGCTGGATTGGTGGATTGAGTTTCTGGAGGGACGCGGAAAGCGGCCGGTGAATAAGGACCTGTGGGAGCAGGTTGAGGTGTTCATGCGAAAGACCCACGAAGACGAGTATTTTGGATGGTGGAGTGAGGACGGGGCATGGCCTGGCGCATTGGATGATTTTGTAAGCTGGGTGCAGGAGAAGAGAGGAGGGATGGACGTTGAATGATCACACTTACTAGGCGAGTAGCTTAAGTATAACAGTCGTCTTGTCCATTCTTCCATAGTACTTTACTGTGAACGCGTATGGTGGCGTGTACGGGTGTGTACATCTACAGAAACTAAAATATGGGATTGAGGACTCGAAGGCGACATTATAAACAATAATGACAAATACGTATATCGCCGAGGTAAGATAGGTAAGAAGGTGGGGGGGAAAACATTCATCATAACAGTAAAACATATCTTCATCTCGATACAAGACGAAAGAAAGGGATAAATCGGGGTAGTAGAGGAGATCACCCGAACAGGTTCAGCAGAACGTGAAACAAGATAAATGTCATAAGATCCAACCACATTTATATCTTCAATATACCAAGTGAGCCTGAGCATATTTCTTTGACTTTTGGGTGTTGAATATCAGAGGAAATATAGCAAGTTGGATATCGTAGGTCGACCGGCTCTGTGGGCATGGGACAATATGCATATCCTCTACCGGTATTCCTTGTCGTACTCACTGCCTGGGGCACGGCGTTGGTCGTAACGCTATTGGGGGGCGGGGGGAAACGCGTTAGTTGTGTCCGGTGGAAAGGAGCCGGAATTTAGACGCGACTTACCCTTCTCAGGGCCTCCAAACGCTTCTTCTTGGTGTGGGTGTTGACGTAGGTTCCGATCACGAAACCAATGATGTTAAAGAATGGCACCCAGGTGTGCTCGGGGAGGAACTTCTGCGCGAAAGCCAGGGCAATGGGCGAAGTCACCCAGCTGACTTTCATGACGGGCATAAACCCGGCGCGAACGGTGGCGCGGACCTGGTGGAAGGTGCGCGCGCCAGCGATAATCGCCATTGAACACAGGTAGACTCCATTTTGAATAGGGGAGACCTATGGTGTCATTAGTCAATCGCGCAGTGCTCTGGGAGTCAGAGACACGAATGGGGTTAAACAGGAACATACAACGAGATTGCTGACGAGAATCTGCAAGATCTTCGCCTTCAGACTTGTCCGGCCGGCGAAGATCTTTTGAAGAATGCCCACGAGGAAATGACCCAAGGGGGCACTGATGAACATTCCGTAGAGAAGCATCTTCGGCACGCGGGCGCTGAAGTAGTGTCCGTTTTTGCTGACATCATGTGCAATCCAGGAGGCCAGGAATTCTTGCAGACCGGAGAGAACACCCGACGTCAACATCTTGGTGCGCAACGGGTTCGACTGAAGTTGACGGAGATACAGCTGCAATGAGGTTCAATTTCTCGATCAGCGAAAGTTGTACGCGCATCCAGGGCATGTCCACCTCCCATGACAATAGGTAAACATACAGCCAGATAACCGGTCTCGGACTTTCCTCCAGTCAACCGTTCGCCGACCTTATGCGCCAACTCCTTGGTGTCTTTACGAAGCGATCGAGACACCTCATCTTCAAATTTGACGGACATGATGGCTGACGATGGGGTGAAAGAAGAGATCGGATGCGCGCGATACGGTTAATCGATACCAGCGGATAATGCCTAAGGACAACACAATCAGTAACCGACTTACGGGAGGAAACAACAAAGTTTCAATGACCGACCAACAAAAGCTAAGTTAGAAAGTAATGGCAGTTGACAGGTAATGGAATGGAAGAGTTCTGGATGGGTTGGATGGGATGAGTTAGAAAAGAGTCCCGCGCGAAAGAGACCGGAACAGGGGGGAAGCGATGTTTGTTTATGAAGCGAGGAGGTTGGACTGCGGCCCAGGAAGCTTACCGAGGTAGGAGAATCGCGGATTGAGGGGAGGATGGCGTTGGATGAAGATTGTTTGGTGGATGGATAAATCGGATAGGGGTCCAATTCAATTAATATATGCAGAATGCCAGCACAATACCTGTTATTGTTATCTACCCAAGATCGGATCGCTCAGAAACGATGTGGAGGAAGTCCGGATCGCTCAGGGCGACAGCGAGAGGGACTAGTTAGTCGGCCACGAGGTCGGCAGTGGGCGCATCGTCTCGGCATCGGTCACCTCCGACGGGACTCTTGACAGGAACTCTGCTTCTACCTCTCAAAGGTCCTCACAATAGGCATGGCTGCTCTGCTGGGACGCTTCGTATTTCTTCTCTCTTTCGACGTTCGAGTCTCAACTTAGTCCTGGTGGATTTGATGGCCTAGGCTGTGGGGAAGAGAACTTGGTAGGTAAATAAATAAAGATGGGGAATGCTTTTATGGGGAAAACAAAGTAAAATAAAATAAAAAGAGCAGTCCTATAAGATGGATAAGATGAAACTAGATTCCAACGGTTATCATTTCTACTACATCCTATCTCCTGGTCCAACCACCATAACAACAGGTCACAAACCGGTGTTGAATTTATACCTACAGTCCAGAACCAGAGACTACAGCCCTCTATAGTAGGCTAAGTTATCCCTGCTGTGCTATTCGCTGCCATAAAATCATCTCGAAGTATTCCTTCAAATTACCATGGCAGTTGATTTAACGAGCTCTTTCATTCACCCACACATTCACTGTTCTGATCGCCAGGCCAGCCCATGCTACCCAGAGCCGGACCTCAAGAAACATTCATTTGATTTTATTTCCAATTTACCATGTGGTATTCCTCTTTCCCATCATACAGTTCACCCTCATTGACGCTTCAGTCGGATTCCACAAACCATGGCAGACAAAGAGGATGAAAACGCATGGGATTCCAGAGACCCTCTTCCTATTTCATATGGCGGATCACCAGACTTCCCTTTTTTGAAACCTTACCAGGAGCAGGAATTGACCTCAGACAGCTGCCTACTCTCTATATCTAAACCCCAGCATCCCTCATCAGAGGAGGAACCATCTTCCAGCAGTGATACACCCCTTCAATCCGCGCCCACCATTCGCCAGCCAACTGTGCGTCCTCCAGTTTGTACACACAGTGTGGTAGAACGTCAGTACTGTGTTCACGAGTTCGAGCTATGCGAATCGTGCGGTAGAATACCCTTTCTTGGATGGTTCTTCGCTTGCGTGGAAGACACATCCGGTTTTTCGGACCCGTTAGATCCCATCCGGGGCCCATTTCTCAGCCCCTGGATTCTGAAAGCGATAGAAAATGGGAATTACACCGTGGAAGAGAGAGAGGTTCTGATCCAACAAAAACTGGGCGTCATGAGAATGGCGGCGCTGGAAAAACATCCTTCGAGTCCTGCTCTCTCACTACTGGAAGTCGAGAATGAGCCCGGAGAATACATAACTCAGTACAATCAGAGTCCCTTCAGGGTCAACCAATCTATCGGTCACACGCAGCAAACTAGCAGCTCAACCTCGTATACGTCTTCTCGTCCACTTCCACCTCCGCCGTGCACGCTCAGAGCCTGTCGTCACTGTGAGCGTCGATTTGCTAATCTCGAAGAGCGCTCATGGTCCAGCATTAACGAAATCTGCAGTGATCCCACCATTACAGTCCCTGCTGCGTGGGAGCTAGCTGGTAGACCTGTCTCCGATTCCAATACGGTTCGTAATTTGGGGTTGCGACAAGTCACGATGCCTTATCCGAATGCCCAGTCAGCCAGCTGCTGGACCACGAGGAGCCATGAAAAGGTCGCAGATGCGAAGCTGTATATTCAAAAGAGCATAGCCAGCCACGAACTTCCCCATCTAGTCAATCAGTCGTTAACCATCTCGGGACAAAGTGCCAGCAAATCAAACCATCAAGCGGTTAATGCTCATCCTAATGAGTCAATCCAACCATCACCTTTGAAATGAATGCATTCCTAACTTGTGATAGTGATGAATCAGACCACGATACTCGCCAACGTGACTGTGGAGCGTCATGAGACGGGGTCATAACACACCACTAACCATAAGTATATCCACCTATTAGGTTTGTCTGGAGGTTAGACGATGAAATTGTATTTAGCAGCAGGTCCAGTCGAGCAATTTGGTAGGATGGATGTCAGGCTTGGAGACAGCGATTGGATCCATGGAACAGCGCATGTAATTATCGTTCTCGGTCCTAATAGTTAGCTTAAACTGGTTCAGGGGTTTAAGATGAAGAATCCATTCCAAGGCTTGATATACAACTTGTAACGGTTCCAATTGAATCTCCTAGCAAGCGAAAGCCTATATCAGAAAAATACTTCCATCCAATTGCTGAGTATGACATTGAAGCAATCTTAGTCTTTGCAAAAACTCCGCTTTTTTGGGATCCGCTAGATCCTTGAAATCATTACTATTGAGTCTCCAGAGCAAACGTACAGTAAACAACCCCAGGCATGCTCTCAGGAACCCATTCCATACAGCAAAGAACCAACCTTCCATAGCAACCACAATATTTCATACATATAGCGCACAAGATAAATAGATGACGTTGTCATCTACGTTTGTCCGCACCACTACCCGTGTCACTCCGGTACCTCGGCATCTTCGCCAAGCGTAATGTGGATCAAATGCGCTGGATGATTTCCCCTTAAATACCCAGTAGGCATCAGTCGTACATCTCTCGCCAGTTCGTCGGCAACGCCCGCGAGGTTTTTCACAGCATCCACGATGGACGCTGAGCGCCCCCCCGATTCTTCTGTGCCCGCTGCCGCTGAACAGGAATCACCAAGGGGGACATGGGCCACCCCCGCGGGAACTTCACCACGACCGTCCGCACCACCGCAGGTTGCTAGGCGACAGATGCTGGCGGCTTTCAGGGCGACGGATATTGTTATCAGTCGCTTGGATAAGTGAGTTGTCCCTAGCCAAAGTTGTAGTTTGATTGCGCGACTCACTCATCAAATGCACTCACATATAGTTTGATGTCCACGGCCGCCGGTCAGGAACGAATCTTCGCAGTAACCGGCTATCTCACCCATGTGCTTCATCATCTCCTTGCTTCTGCGCCATGGATAGCCGTGCAGACACGTTTAAGCCTCCTTGCTCGGCTGAACTCCCGAGCAAAACCCACCCCGTCTAAGGATTCCTCGTCACAGTCCCGCCTTCTCGCTTTGTCATCTCTGATGTCCGAGACCCGTTATACGATCCGGCTCCTGGGCCTCATTCCCCTGTGGACATGGGGCTCGGCAACGATCAAATCGCCGCCCTCAGACCGCGTTATGTACACTTTGACGTTGCTACAAGTGTTCGTGAACGTGATCTACCAAGCTCTCGAGAACGGGGCCTACCTCGCGTCAAAGGGAATCATCTCAAAACGGTTTATCGACAGATGGGGCGGTCCCGCCAAATGGGATCTGTGGAGTATTCGGGCCTGGTTTGGACATATTTTCCTACAGTTCTTCGTACTGTGGAGAAAGCGCGTGTGGCTTAAGAAGAAAATGGCCGATCCCTCGACGGAAACAAAAGAGAGCCAGGACGTCGTCAGAGCGGAGATGCGGGCCTGGAAGAAAAGTTTGGTCAACAATGTTTGTTGGGCTCCGGTGTGTCTTCACTGGTGCTTTGAGAACGGTATCGGATTCCCGAATAACTTGACGGGACTCGTTAGTTTCATGGCGGGGGCTTGGGGCGTTGCTGATATGTGGGCTGCAACTGCACAGCCCTGATCACAATTACGTGCATGTGGTAGGTTTCGATTTGTACATATATGGATTTTTTGATAGTAAATCGGTTTGGGGGTTTATGAGGTTAAGCCAGGATATCCACTTTTTTTTTTATAAGCATGGTCCTTGAAGTGATCTGAATTGAATAGGCCAGTACTAAGACAGACACTTAGTTAACTGCTGCATGGCTTAATGCTGATTTTGGAATAAATCTGCATCTGCGCTCTACCCACCACGCTCCCGTATTCTCTGCCAAAAACTAACTGTCGGCTCAAAACCGCTTCAGTTCAGACCCTTTCTTCTGCTGAAGGCTCCTTGGCATCACGAGAATCCTCCGATGATTGTGCCAGAGAATCTAGAGCCTGTCGATGCTGGGATTGTGCGATCAGATCATAGAAGGGACTCTTCAGAAATCCATCTATCGACCAAGCCGAACTGTGTACAGGTATCAAACCATCTGCGCATTCCTTCCACGCAAATGCACCGGCATCGACGGTCCGCACACTCCGCATATCGTGATCGTCGATTCTATCGCTCTGAAATATTCGTGCCTGCACACTCACCAGATTCATCAAGCCGCCCTCTGCTTCGTACATTGCGTTGCGTTGGTGTTCGTTCAGACCGAAAACCAGGATTCCCTCTACAACTGCATGTGGCTCTCTCGATGGGACAATCACCGGTGTGCTGCTGCTTGAGAAATTGGTATAGTTTATATCCGGAGATTGTTGCGAACGTCATCCTCCTGTCAATTTTGACGGTTTGGTCCATCCCTATGAAGTATTTGAGGATTGTGGGGAGCATGAGAACCCCGTAGACGAAGCGCGGGGAGCAGTTCGGCTTCTGAAGGAGGAGAGTCACCTCTTCCTCGGGAAGGGTATTGTTCAAGGTCCGTTCGAAGTCCTTTGGGTACCATGGCTGGCACTTCATGTTTGGAGGTCATCGGAGAAGCTGTAATAAGAAGGAACGACGGCTACTTGGCTCAATGTTGTGTATGACTGGTTGTAGATCTCGTAACTTTGGACCGTGTTGTCGTGGTGTTATTGCTAGGATATGGTAGACATAACTAATAAACGAGGGATAAAGATAGATACACGTAGCTAGCAGTCTGGTTGGAGATTCAAAGGTATATGGAGTGCGATCTGCTCCTCCTCTGCCTTCTATGCCAGGCACAACAAGCAAGCTAAGGAAGGTTCATGTCATCGGCCAAATGGGCTATACAATTCTCGGGTAGTAAGATAATGAAGAGAACGAGTCGCAGAACGTCGCGGATAAAATCTCTATCAGACAGAACAAGGCCTTTAAGAAAAGAGGTTCAGGTGTCTGAGGACTGAAGTTCATTGGCGTGGAGAAGTATATACAGAGTTCTTGTTTGTCATCAAAATAACTTCCTAGTGACGATCAACTTACTTCACTCCCACAGAATCTTCTTTGTCTGCTTATATGACACCATTCGCCTCATGTTCTATTGTGAATTTTCAAGTGGCTACTTTACAGACACTTCACCTACCTGACAATTACTCTGTATTCCTGCGAAATCCGTACATTTTCTATCTTCCATCAAAGAACCGGTCTGTTGAGCCTGAAAAGATATCTCTATCTATTCGTTCTTCGACAGCCTACGAGCAGTGCAATTGGACTTGGAAAAAGGCTCAAGGTGTACTGTGATGGTCCAAGTTTGCGATTCAATATTAGGCTCCATGTCGTTTGGCTAAGCTACCAAAATTATTAGCCGTAGAATTGAGACAACTTTCAATACCATGTGTCTTTCTTTAATTGGTGTCCGTATCCAAGAGCTCTTAGATATGAGTTTGTAAATTCGTGATGGGGCAGGATAGCGGTGGGCTCAAGAAACAAAAAATAGTCATTTTTGAATTCCTGTCATCTTGTACTGCACTAAGATATAGACAGATAGCTTTTCAACCATACATTGCATAGGTAAGCCGGGAACCTTGAATGCAGGAAGACAGGTTACTATAGGCTGGTGGCCGACCAAAACATAGGGAAATGCTGCCTAAGGCAATAAGGGACTGAAGGTGCCGTCCCTGGCTGGTGAAACGACTTGCATACAGCATTTCCTATCAGGATGAACGAGAAAAGTAAAACCCCGATTTTATAGTGCAAGGTGGAATCCGCAGGCTTGATCGAATCGATGGGTTAATTCATGGCTTGGCATGGTTATTATATCTGGAGCACCAACTGGTGGATACGAACGGTTTCCATGCGCTTCTCCCCGCTGGGCGGTGGCGCAAACCCATTGAGTGATTGATCAACCTTCAGGCAGAGCGCTTAAGTCATCAGCACCGGGGCACTATCGTCACCTCTTAACGGGAGCTGTTTCTGTCACCCTCCAATCTCACTTCCAATTCCCTCTCTCTGCTTCCACCACCCTCATCCTCGTAATTTGCTTTGTTCTTCAGACACTTCATCTTGTCTGCTGGACTTTGCATCCCCTTTCCAACTTTCACGTTCATTTTCCTGTTTCCTCCACCCATCTCTCCAGGCCAGTCAAGATCGACTCCGACGTTCTTGGCACCTTTTTAAGTCTACGTTGCTTGAAGAGCTTGTTCGATCTGTGATTCATCTTACCCAACCATCAAAATGAGCGCGGAGCCGGATCACACTCACGACAAGAAGAGGGTGAACCTCAGGTACGCTGAATACCCTTGCTACGGGTAGAATCCGTGTGCTAACCCACAGTAGTGATGCATCTGGCGCCGAGAAGAAAGAGGTGAATATTTGCCATCGCCCGCAACACATTCCTGGCTGTAATACTGATCCTCTTTTGCTACAGGAGCTTGACACCGCGACAGCTATCCTCAAGAAAAAGAAGAAGCCTAACTCTCTGATGTAAGTAGCCTCTTTGATCAAAGTGGGCCTCTCGTGGGATGATTTCTCGGTACTGACCTGGTGAACCTTATAGTGTCACTGATGCCGTCAACGATGACAACTCCGTTATTGCCCTTTCCAACAACACCATGGATACTCTCCAGCTCTTCCGAGGTGACACAGTCTTGGTCAAGGGCAAGAAGCGGAAAGACACTGTTTTGATTGTTTTGGCGGATGACGATCTTGATGACGGAAGTGCTCGTATCAACCGCGTTGTTAGACACAACCTCCGCGTCAAGCACGGCGATATTATCACAGTCCACCCTTGCCCTGATATTAAATATGTAAGTGTCCATGTGCAAGGTTCAAGTATTCACTCTCTGGATTAGACGGCTAATCTCTTCTCGACACCATAGGCCAAGCGTATCGCCGTTCTCCCCATTGCGGATACCATTGAGGGTCTCACTGGGTCTCTCTTTGATGTCTACCTCGCCCCATACTTCCGCGAAGCCTACAGGCCAGTGAGACAGGGCGACCTGTTCACAGTAAGAGGAGGTATGAGACAAGTAGAGTTCAAGGTCGTTGAGGTGGATCCTCCAGAGTACGGTATCGTCGCACAGGACACCATCATCCACTGTGAAGGCGAGCCCATCCAACGAGAGGATGAGGAAGGTAACCTCAATGAGGTCGGCTACGATGACATTGGTGGTTGTAGGAAGCAGATGGCACAGATCCGTGAGTTGGTCGAGTTGCCCCTGCGTCACCCTCAGCTTTTCAAGTCCATCGGTATCAAACCCCCTCGTGGTATTCTCATGTACGGACCTCCTGGTACCGGTAAGACTCTGATGGCCCGTGCTGTGGCCAACGAGACCGGTGCTTTCTTCTTCTTGATCAACGGCCCCGAGATCATGTCCAAGATGGCGGGTGAATCTGAGTCGAACCTTCGCAAGGCCTTTGAGGAGGCGGAGAAGAATTCCCCTGCTATCATTTTCATTGACGAAATCGACTCCATCGCCCCCAAGCGCGAGAAGACCAATGGAGAAGTTGAGCGTCGTGTCGTGTCTCAGCTCCTGACCCTGATGGACGGCATGAAGGCTCGCTCCAACGTTGTCGTGATGGCAGCCACCAACCGCCCCAACTCCATCGACCCTGCTCTGCGTCGATTCGGTCGATTCGATCGTGAGGTTGATATCGGTATTCCTGACCCCACTGGCCGTCTTGAGATCCTGCAGATCCACACCAAGAACATGAAACTCGGAGAGGATGTCGACCTGGAGACCATCGCTGCTGAGACTCACGGTTACGTTGGTTCTGATCTTGCTTCTTTGTGCTCCGAGGCTGCTATGCAGCAGATCCGTGAGAAGATGGATCTGATTGACCTTGACGAGGACACTATTGAGGCCGAGGTGCTCGACTCGCTCGGTGTCACCATGGAGAACTTCCGCTATGCCCTTGGTGTCTCCAACCCCTCCGCCCTGCGCGAGGTGGCTGTGGTCGAGGTCCCCAACGTTCGCTGGGAGGACATTGGTGGTTTGGAAGAGGTCAAGCGCGAACTTATCGAGAGTGTACAGTATCCAGTGGACCACCCCGAGAAGTTCCAGAAATTCGGTCTCTCGCCTTCTCGCGGTGTCCTGTTCTATGGCCCGCCTGGTACTGGTAAGACCATGCTCGCCAAGGCTGTTGCCAACGAGTGTGCTGCCAATTTCATTTCCGTTAAGGGTCCTGAGTTGTTGAGCATGTGGTTTGGCGAGTCTGAAAGCAACATTCGAGATATTTTCGACAAGGCTCGTGCTGCCGCTCCTTGCGTCGTTTTCCTCGATGAGTTGGATTCGATTGCCAAGTCCCGTGGTGGCTCCGTTGGCGATGCTGGCGGTGCCTCGGACCGTGTTGTCAATCAGCTCCTGACCGGTAAGTTTGGAAGTTAGTTGGAGTATACTTTCAACTATGCTAATTAAGTTGTTAGAAATGGATGGTATGACATCCAAGAAGAACGTTTTCGTCATCGGCGCGACGAATCGACCTGAGCAGTTGGACGCTGCTCTTGTCCGTCCTGGTCGTCTTGACACTCTGGTCTACGTTCCCCTGCCCGATCAGTCATCGCGTGAGGGAATTCTGAAGGCCCAGCTCCGGAAGACTCCCGTCGCTACCGATGTCGACATGGCCTTCATCGCCAGCAAGACCCACGGATTCTCGGGTGCTGATCTTGGATTCGTCACTCAGCGTGCCGTCAAGCTCGCTATCAAGCAGTCTATCACTGCTGATATCGAACGCCAAAAGCAACGCGAGGCTAATGGCGAGGATGTCACTATGGATGAAGATGAGGACATCGATGAGGAAGACCCTGTGCCGGAGCTCACCCGTGCACACTTCGAGGAGGCGATGAAGTCGGCCCGCCGGTCTGTCAGCGACGTGGAGATCCGTCGTTACGAGGCATTCGCGCAGAGCCTGAAGAACTCGGGAGCCAGCAGCTTCTTCCGCTTCCCGTCTGCCGGGGAAGTGACGGACAACAACACGTTCGGTGAAGCCGGCAATGATGACAGCCTCTACGATTAAGTTTGACCACGTTTCTTTTGTTATTTCCTAGTCTTTCATGTCTCTTATGTTCCAGAATTTTGTTATCTACGGGCACTAGTTAGATCCAGCGAGGCCTAAGGAGATGCACAGCTGGGAATGTTATTCATGTTGGTTCTGATTCATCTTTTCTGATGAGATGTTCAATCGTCTACGACCTCGCCTACAAGGTGTCGTGCCGTAATAGTCCATACGAGCAATAGAAATACGTATGGGTTGTATGTGGATGTCCGTGAGGCATGTATGTATATGCAGTGGTATATTTCATCGAAGCTGCTGCAATGTAGTCGTCATTGTCTAGACCACAAGCAGATGTTGTACAGGCAGTTTGGTATCAAAAGTAGACTAACAAAACCAAAAAAAAAAGATAGAGAGTAAGAAAAAACAAGTCCATCTAAACGCCTGTGTCACATGAAATCGCAGATTCGATAACAACAGTCATGATTCCCAACAGGGGTTGAAATCCAGTAGAAGGAAAGTAACAGAAAACCAGCCGTAACCAACAAAAATCCACACCAACAAACCCTTCCCGTCTAACGGACTTGCGTTATTTAGATTGCTTACCAGGTTTAGGCTTCTTCTCTAGTTTCTTAACCGGACTTGTATCACCATTTTTGAGTGGCGGGTCTCCTCCCGACTTGGACGACGAGGACTTTTTATCTTTGTCTTTCTCTGTGGCGCCGACACCCCCCTGTTTCTCTGCAGCGCTGGCATTCTGATTCAGATTCGGGTTTAGATTCTGAGTTGAGCCATCCCTCCCTGTGGTATCCGCATCATCTTCCAAGATAACGACCTCTCTCAAGACCTCCTTGATGGCGCGAACACCCTGCTCCACCACCGCTTCGGGGATGCGCACATCGACGTTATCGAACAGACCACCCTCACCGCCATCATCGTCAGGCTTCCCTTCCTCCATCAGCAAGACTGGATGTTTCCTCCCCTCCGCTGAGGCGACCACCGCCTCGACTACCTCGTCGAATCGCTCACAGCGCCCAGCGCGCAGTAACTCCTGCGATAACGAGCGGATTTTCTCGGTCCAGCCTAGGCGCTGTAGCGAGCAGAGGAGGGTCGCGTGGAGGTCTTCCAATGCGGAGGTGGAGGCGAGGTGAGTGAGGAGGTCGGACTCGAGGGTTTCGGGCGCAATGGTAGACGCGGAGGTGGACGTCGGGGAGGTTGATGATGATGAGGGCATATTTGTGAATGTGTATTTTCTTTTTCTTTTTCTTTTGTGTATATCTTGCGGTGGTTGGAGTTGCGATTTTCACTAGCGTGTGCTTTGGTTATAGAATGTTCTTTTGGAATCTGATTCTGGGGAAGGTCGGTACCAGGTCGGGGATCTAAATCTAGATTTTATTCTGGCGGATGGTGCTCGTTGGAGAGGGGGACGATTTGTCCGAAATCGACTTGGGAGATCAATGTAAATGTTTCTGGAGGGAGTCTTCCATTTATTCTGTGAAAATGAGTCAAGAAAATAAGAAAGACAAGAATCGGTTTGTTGTAAGAACTGGGGATGGAGATCGCTATAGCGCGCGGAGAAGGTCGGGCGGGATGGATGACGACTGCTCCACGAAGGATCGCGAGAGATTAAATTCATACATTCATTGGGTGGGATTCTCTATGTGGAATGAAGTTAGAAGAGAGACTTACTGAGTTTATTTGGGGTACGAATTTTGAGGGAGCAAGTGTGGATTGACGAGGTTGTCCGATCAGAAGAGAGAGAGATCGGAAGCTCAGCCAGCGGAATTGAGCGCGGAGGAAAAAAAAAGAAAAGAAAGCCCCGACTGGTCGGAATGCTTGGGAAACACGCAGCTGTGCCAAGAGAAAAAAACAACTATGAGAATAAAAGAATCCTCAATACTAATTGATGCGCAGAGGGGAAAGGATATGCTGGTGAAGTTCAATTGTAGGGAGGTTTTCGAAGTGATCGACCGAGGATCGAAGAAGTTGGTAACCTATGGAGATGTTGAATAGGTCGATTGGTCGCAAGAAAGACAATGGGATCTTTCACCGTCAATAAAAACGCTGATACTTGATGGGTCTACCGAATCGTCGTAGATATGACACAGTACTTGGATCAATCGCCATCAACCTGTCTTCTACGCTTACGGGTAGTCTACCTAGATCTACTACTCCATAGCCATTCTTCATTGACCAATCCATTGTTTAGTATTCATATTAATCCCCCTGTGTAATGACCCGACGGCAGATATTCCTTACAGGGCATCAGACCGTTGGAGAACTACTGACGTAGACATTCATGATACACTCTGGTGAATTTCTACAATGATTCCCCTTTCGAAGAGATCCATTTTCTAGTCATCGTAAACAGGATAGTCTCTCCCTCGACCCCATAACGCCCCATTGCGACAAGGTTTTCTGCGAGCCGCCGGTGCTCCTAAGCCCATCGAGCACGATGTCCTGATCAGCCTTGGATCCAGGCTTCTCGCGTGGCGTTTGGAGAATGCAAGGGCTTTGGGGGTTAGAGAGACAAGAGTGCAGAGGAAAGAAAGGCTGGTTACGAAATCGGGATCTTTATAATATTCGACAGCCATTTTCATCGTGTCATCCGAGTGATTACTGACTCCATACTTCATTAGGGGATTTACATACCATGATATGCCCACGGTCAATGCCATTTAAGGGTATATACACTCCGGAGTGTGACCACCTTGTGAGTTCATCCAACAAAGCCGTTGAAGCGGCGGAAGGAAATATAATACTACCAGAACGAACGTGCGCTTAGGGCACAGAAAGTGGCGACGGCCACATATTTAGTGCAACGGCCCTACTGAAAAGATGGTCACTATCCATGCACGCCGTACTCCGTACAGACGACGGAGGCACTCGGTAAGGAAGGAGTTCCTGGAAAGGAAGAAATTCGGATGCACTGCAGGCTGCGGCCGAAAATAGTGGAGGCAGTGGTTGGATTGTCTGATACAGTACCGCAAAGATTAGTTCGTCAATTGTGGACTCAGTCAAAAAATAAATCAGTGAAAAGGGGATAGTGAAGGAATGATTTCTACGCCCGATGGGACATCATGACCGAGACAAGGCATGCTAGCCAGGAAACCAACTTTTCGATAGGGGGCAACTGCATTTTACGATTGTATCTTGGATAGCGGATTATTGGCACGATGACAGCGGAGTATTTGGACCTTCTTAGCTAAAATAATAAAGGCCCCGGCACTATTGGAAGCTGACAGCGCCTGTCGTGAATGATACACAATATGGTCTGCAGGTCCGATCAAGACTAGCAGCGGGTGTTCACTATCCACGGTAAGTAATAAATAATAATAGTTTCGGTCGCTAGGAGGGGTGGCTCGATAGCCCCGTTCACTATCTTATTCTAGGCTTTGGAAGGTATCCGATAATTCGACTACGGTCCTCGAGACTCCCCTGAATTATACAGAAATGGTGGTTGATATTGTTCGTGATCTCCTGATTAGGGAAGAGGAGGGTCGACCGAATGGGGGTAGTAAATCAATTAATAAATAGAAATGGAATATTCATAATAATCATGAAATGAATAATGCATGAGAATAATAATAGTAAGAGTAATAGTAGCAGTAATAATGTCGGAAAAAAAAAAAAAATCAAAAATCTCTCGAGTGGAGGAGCACTATTGCCGCCGTCCCTTACGAATCGTGTCGGGCTGGGAAAATGCAAGGATCCCCACACTGCGAGAGGAAGAGAAAGAGACCGATAAAATGAGAAAAGAGAGAGATTATCACTCAGATATATTCAGATATTAAGACGTATAGTATAGGCTGGTATTCTTTTCCTGTCCATTCCAGTCCAGCTTCGAGTCGAGACCGGCGTCACGTGCGGAGATCCAACCATCGAAGCGCCTCATTTCCCTTTTGGCCGCCATCGACTCCATGCCCTCATCGTCCGTCAAGCGCTCTTGTTTGCTTCGTCTGGGCTTTCTTGTCGGTTGTCGCCCTTCTTGCTCCTTGCCCTCCGGTTACTTTCCATTTACCATTCTCCATTTCCTTCTCCCCTTCCAGGAGAAACACGGTCGTCTCCTCTTCCTACTCGGGGTTGCCCAGAGCTTTCCCCGCTCCCCGGCTCGTTGGAATTGCTGTCCTGAGTACCTGTTGATTTGACCACGGTCTTGTCGATTCTCTACTCCTGCTGTCTCTCTTCGCCTTCCCTCGCCTCCCGAGTCATTCCTGGGACTGGGTTTGGTGCCATCTCCGCATTGAAATTGATCTCGGTCTGCTCAACCGCCTTCCTCCTGTTCATGCAACACAACCGCTTGGCGGAGACTGCTTGGTAGCCCTAGTCTAATCTAGTTTAATTTCAATTATAGATGGGGTATTCTTTTATCGCCATCATCAGCTACCGATATTCGATCGATTGCACCCATTTCACTTCCTGCCGTGTGCCTTGAACTTTGACACTCGTACCGTGCCGGTGCTGCTTCTACCGGACCGGCCACTCCAGCCAACCCCCTCTTCCTTCATTTCTTGTGGTTGTCGGGTTCTGCCTCTCCACCATCCACCATGTCGCTCCATACCTCTTACCATGCCGATTCCGATGCCGATGACGAGTACGAGCGCAGTGTAATCACCTCCCCCCATCTGGCCACCGACTCTGAGGCCTCCCCCTCAGAATCCGACTTTCCGTCCGCGGAACATACACCGACCACCTTGGCAAATGCTGAGGAGAATCCCAAATCACCCAGGACAATAATCACGGATTGGACCACCGAGGAGTGTGCGAATTTCCTCGCCGCTCTAGGTCTTCGTCAATACTGTTCAGCGTTTCTAGGTGAGTGTGGCTGAAACCCGCCGATTCATCGGTACTTGCTGCTGACGAATGTATGTGATGGCCAGAGAACGAAATCGTCGGGGAAGCGCTCATTGCGTTGAAACATGATGAGCTAAAGGAGATGGGAATCCTCAGCGTGGGACACCGGTTAACCATCCTGAAAAGCGTGTATGAGACCAAAGTCAAACAAGACATCCCTCTCGATGCAGACCATTACATTCCTCTCTGTAGGTCCTCCCCCCAACGAGAAACCCCCATCCAGCGTGCTTACTCTTCGGCAGCGGCGGACCAAAGCATGAATGAAACCGCGTCACAAGATGATGTCGCTCGCTTGATCCAGTCCATTCGTTTGCGAGATGAGCGTATATCCACTGTGGAGACGGAGCTGCGACGGATCGCCGACGAATACCGACGACTCAGGGAAGAGCTGCTTCCTGTGTTCAAGATGGCCAAGGACCGGTCACAACCGTTACCCCCTCCTTCATCAGCTCCAGGACAAGGAACGGAAGGTCATCATGACAACCAACCGGCCACATCGCCCTCTGGGATCAACCTCCTCGAGCGGTCCATGTCTGGAATTTCTCGATCATTTTCCAAGAGGTTGCACACAGGAGGGACCACCCCTAAGAATAATTCTCCAACCCATATTCCACCGTCCATTCACGAAGGACGCGCGTATAATGACGGTGGAGCCCTGGATCCTTCGACGGCAGCGATGTCTACCTCTCACTTGAATGCCATTAATGGAAAGTCTCAGCTGTCTCCGGGCATCCCCTCTCCAACGTCACCGGGCGCCCATTACGCCAGCACACAAACCCTGGCTTCGCGGTCCTACTCGCAGCCGAATTCCAATACCGTCCGCAATATCCACGACCACTATGAAGAGAGTACGCAAACACAGTCCCGGCCCGATCGCTCGAATCCCACCCCCACTCAAGCAACACGTCCAGACATCCCCACACGCACGGAATCCCGATCTGGTGGGGACCCTCCCAGTGTGGAGATATTTAAGTCGTTCCGCGTTTCCATGGATGATCCTTGCCATAAGGTTCTCCCGGCTGCTCTTAAGAAGTACAACATTAATGCAGATTGGAAGCAGTACGCCCTGTACATTGTGTACGGCGACCAAGAACGATGTCTGGCGTTGGACGAACGGCCTCTCATTTTGTTCAAGCAGCTGGAAAAAGAGGGACGCAAACCCATGTTCATGCTGCGAAAACACCTGCACCCTTACGAAAACACCATGTATGCTGCTGGACCCGGAGGGAGCTCTGCCCCAAATAGTGCGGGTTTCGAAGGACGACAAGCTCAGATCAATTTACCCGGCGGCGTTCTCTGACCTGACAAGATGAAAAGGCCAATATAGAAAAGCCGTCGTGCTTTCGCTGTCTGTTGTTTGAGATACCCAACTTTTTCATGTTGAATTTTTAACCATGCATGTGAGGCCTATTACGAACCTTTGGTCGTTACCTCTTGGAATAGTCTATATAAGTGGTGTTTGGTGTTCTAGTAGTATTTTCGGACTAGAAAAGCAACGATTTCAGCGTCGATTTAATATTACATATTCTTTCCCTTCTCTTCTATTTTGGATAAATTTGCCTTTACATACTATTTGTGTCTGTCGGTTTGGTTTCACTTTTGGCTTCTTTTTTCAGTCTGTGGTTCGACCAGTATGATGATATGGATGCATGTATGGATTGAGTTTGGCCATATTCTGCACTGGAATAAGGTTGATACAATAATTAAATGGACTTGACAGCTTTTTGGAGTATATAGATTTTTTTGACTGACCAGTGTAGGAATATTAAGTGTAGCTGTTCTAACTAGTAGATGAAATAAATTCCAGAGGGCCGAATCGAAGACATTTATTCAACATGAAACTAAAGTAGACTACTAAATAGGATGCTGGCCACTGTTACAGAGGACAGTACATTCATGACTGCTAATAGTGGACGCATCCATGTGTTACTTAGGTAGGAAAAAGATAGATACACTTTGAATCCACATAATCAATCTCCATACTTCTACACAGGTTTATGTACATCTAGGACGCAAACCTCGATGGACTCTTTTTGGATCAGAGAATAAAGAACACCTATCCTGTCGGATCTTCTAGTCTGCCTGCTTCATGAGTCGGGTTCATGGGATAGGAAGGGCTTCCTGAGAGAAAATGCACCGACGGAGACATGCTTATATCCGACATCTAGATCAACATCTGTACCACGTTAACATAGAAATACCAAATGATCCTGTCTATTACAAACACAAAGGCAAAGTAGCAAATGGATATTCAAGCAAAACAAACTAATTACATGAAGACACATTCAACCCAGGCAACAGGGTTTTATGAGCCTTCCAGGTTAACCGACCTTAGTCACACAGAGACCGAGAAAGAAAATATATATAAATATATATGCAAAACATGCATGCAACGAAGCGCTTAATCAAAGGGATGGGCCAGAACAGCCAAACAGAATCAAGACGCAATGTCATGCCACTTCAGCAAGACTTCTCACACCGCCGCATCTAACTTGTCGCCCCCTTTTCTATTTCCCAGTTCTGCTCCGGATGATTGTGCGTTTCTCAGTCTATTCTGTTTCTTCGTCTCTGCCTCAGGTCTGCCGGCCCTTTTCGCCTCCCCATGATATTCGAGGTCGATGTGCGCCACTAGATTTGGAGTTTGAGGTACCAGGAGCATTATCCTCGCTCGAGCTTCCTGCAGGCTTCGTGCCGTCCGCGAACTGAACTCTGTTCGCGGCCTGGAGACTCTCGCCATTATCATCACTGCCAGAGTCATGCACTGCAGCATCTGGATCGTCAGATTCGTCCGGGTTGTCTGAGTTGTCCAATTCACCAAGAGCAGCCAGGCGGCGGCGACGTTCAGCCGGCGTTTCGCCAGTGTCGTCCAGACTTGCTTGCTGATGAGGGCATGACAGACCCGCTGCTTCTCTTAACTGCGATGGTGGAACCCGCTCCGTACCATCGTCCTCAGAGTCTCTGCGCGACCGATGCCGAGTGGCTGGACTAATAGCGGTGGTGCGGCGTTCGTCGGCGGCAGATCCTCGGGTAAAGCGAGCCAAAGAAGCAGCTACATTGTCGCCTGGAACTACCCTGTCTGATCCGTCATCGCTGAACTCGCTCTCGGAAGTGAATTCGTCGTCGTCCCGTTCGGTAACCCGTACTTGCTGCGCAGGCTCTCCACCAAGAGACCTCTGGCGCTCTTGTTGTTCAGCCTCCTTGGCCTTGCCTTGTACAACGTGCTTGACTCTCTCAGTAGCAACGGCCTCCTCAACTAAATCGCGACGAGCCTTGGGACCGAGATTGCGAAGTTGCTGGACAAACTCGTGCTTGTTCATCCTATGACCCTTGTGACGGAAACCGTTCTTGCCGACGTCATCGTCATCAGCCACCGTGAAACGAAGGCCATCATCAGCAAGCCATTCGTCTTCCTCTGCTTTCTTAGCTCGGGCGGCCTGGGAGGACTCGCCTTCCTCAACGCCAAACCAGGTTCCCATGCGCGTAATACCACGCCGCACTGGTGCATGAGTACCAGCATCGGGTTTGTCTGAGGTGGAAGGAATGGAATATTTCTTAATAACCTCTCCATCCTCGTCCTCGACAATGATGGTGTTTCCAAACTGGTACGCATGAGCCGAGCGAGCTTTTGGCTTCGGTGGTTTGGGAGCTGCTGGTCCTTCTCCCTTCCCGACAGCAACCTGTCCGGTATCTTTGCCCTCATCAGCAGTGCGACTCTTGCCAAAGCCCATCCATTCGCCGAACCGTTTGCGCGCCTTTTCAAGCGCAGACTTATCCTCGCCTGCTTCTGGGACGTCGCTCCCCTTCGTCTTGCCATTGGGTGGGCTCGTGGACTTGGCAAGCTCGGCTAACTTCTCTTGCTGCAACTTTCTTCGTTCTTCTTCAATATGTTGCTGCTGTTCTTCGGGAGACTGGTGACTGATATCTTCGGTCCTGAGGACATTTCCCTCCTCGTCTTCCACAATCATATGGTGTCCTTCCAGATACACTCTGATGGCCGGCTCACGTCCGAACTTCTTGCGTTCTTTAGAGAGCGGGTACACACCATGCTCAATCTTGTCTCGTTCGGCCTGTTCTTCCTCATCCTTTGTCTTGTCTTCTTCTGCATCGTAAGAGCGTTGAGGTGCAATAGCGGATTGGGTGATAAGACCACCGGCCCCGGCATCGCGACGTCTACGGCGGCGGCGGGGTCTGCGGCTAGACATCCTTCCTGTCGGTGATTCGCTATCTTCATCCTGCACTCGGCGCAGGAAATTACCAGGGACACCAACGGGAGGCAGAGTGCCGGGGGCATATTCCGGCTCCTTGGAAGAGTCTTCCAGCTCATCTGCTTTGCGAAAGGACATGGAGCCTTTCGCCAGTGACTGCACTCGAGGCAGACGGTTCATCCAAGATGGTCCCTCCTCGTTGGCTGTTGTGTAGGATAGCGTGATAGTCAAGGTGTTGATGCGTTTTCCGAGAGTGAACACCGCAATGGACGATCCGTGCACCAAGATGGATGAGATTACCATGAAGGTGGTGATCGGCCAAATGAGTTGCACAACATAATAATTAGCCGTTCCGGCTTTGGGCAGTTGGTCGGCTGAGAGGGGTTGAGTGCTGTCGTTTTCCAGCTCGGCTCTAGCCAAGATGGCGGCAAAAATTGCCCCGACACCGATGGGCCCAAAGTGGCCCGCAAATAGGGCCTCGCGCCATGTTTTCACGTCTGGTATGATGGGCTTCAAAAGCAGCATGATGGGAATCCGGCGGAAAAAAATGACGAGGAGGGCGATCACTACCAGCCTCCAGGGGGTAAGGCCAATGGCGGGGTTGTTGAAGTCCGCCCAGGGAATAATGGACCCAAAGTAGACAAAGTAGGCCAAATTGAGTAAAAGGTCAATCACGTTGGAGACGTGAGATTCTTCCGTCTTCTCCGTAAACCAGCCGTCGTTACTGAAGCCGACGCCGCATGCGAAGCCGATCAACAGGTCATCCATGCCCAGCAAGGCCCCGGAGCCCGCACAAAAGACGGCCAGCACGAAATAAAACACCAAAAAGCTTTCGCGGTCAATAAGCTGCTTGCGCTCGGCAAATTTGATGGCATGCCGGGCGGCATATCCAATGGTAAACCCGAAGATCGCGCCCAGGATGCACTCGTATAAAATGGTGACACAGATCCAGTTTAGAGCCACCTTGTTCGCATCGGGACGGTACCGTAGAATGTAGTATGACAGGTATATAAATGGGAAAGCCATGCCGTCATTGCAGCCGGACTCGGCGGAGAGCAGATCTCGCAAATGCTTAGGGACCCGCTTGGAAAATTTACCCTTACCGACGACGGAGGACGCCAGTACAGGGTCAGTGGCCGTTACGCAGGCGGCACAGACTAAAGCCTCGATCCAAGAAAGAGGCACCATCCACCAGATAAACAAGCTTGTGATCAACCAACCCCAGGTCATGACTGGCACCAACAGAAGGAAAACAGATCTCCAGTGACGTTCCATGTAAGCCTTGGGCAATTCGACACCGACGGCAAAACATTGCACGACCAAAACGATACGAGAGCATTCGAGTGTGATCTTATCGACATTTCCCCATTCCAAGGGATTGAAAAGATTCGCTGCATGGGGCCCAAAAATAATACCACAGAGTGTCGCCACTGTTGCCTCACCGATGTACAGCTTCTCCTTGACAAACAGGGAGCAGAGCATAAAGAGACCGGTGAAGCCCCCCAGGATCATGTACGCCAGGTGAGGCTTATCGATATCCAAATGATGCCATGCCATTATCGAAGTGGGACCAAGCGGATCGGTAACCTCCTATCTAGAACCTCAGAGTGCTCCTGTGAAATACCCTACGTGCCTCTCTCTGTGTCCTTTTTCCTTAGTTTCTCTTCTTCTCTTTACACGAGAGGTTGGCTATCCCGAAGGTCATTCGGTCGATCGGGCAACGGAATATGCAAGTCCGACGTGGATCTCGGCATGCCTTGGAGGAAAGATATGATATGTCCGAACGGATGACGAGGATGTGGTCGGGAGAGTAAGGGTGGAGAAACAAGCCTTACTCCTTGCTGTTTTCGTCGAAAATTTCCCTGCAAAGAGATCTATGACTGCTTAGCGAGAGGACTCATGAGATGGGTAGAAAATACGAATACAAAAAGAGGAAAAGCATGAATAGACGCTTTTTGGATTCAAGGTCGCGGATACAGAACGGGGAATGGGGCAGGTGCACCTACCTTACTGAACCGAGCTATCTGGATAACTAGTTAGATGGATCGATTAATTGATCGCACCTTGGAATGCCAGTTTAACGCGAACCAGAGAGGATGCCAGGAAACCTAGGAAACAAGAAAAACAAGCACAGCACAAGAGAAAGACAAGAATCTGGGCAGCTGAGAGAGGAGAGAAGGGTAAGGCGAAAGCAAGGAAAGTTCAGGAAACGACGACCAAGAAACCCAAGACTGGGGCCAAGAGCGATATAATGGCGATGGGACGTGGGATTCGGAAGCGATGCGCAGCGATGAAGGAATCACAGGCGCTGCCAAGCAGTGCCCAGCGGGGATTCGCCATCGCCCGTACCGTGGTCGGTCTTGGCGCGGCGGGCGTCCCCGTAAGGCTGCCCTAGTCGGTTGCCCTGTTCGGCTTGCATCCGTCCTGTCGGTACACAGTCTGATTATTACTATTAATAATAATAGTAATACTAATTAGTATAATAAATGCATAAGAATAAACAGGCATGTAAAAGAAAAGAAAAGAAAGAAAAAATGAGATATGCATTATGACGTGAAAAGTAAGACTAGAAAGCAGTCAATTTCCTGGATAGCGGGTGCCTCAGGCACCAACATGTAGGACGGTGCGTATTTTTCATGGATAGTGTTTAGCAAGACACGAAGACACTTAGCTACGTGACCAAATGTGCTGGAAGAGTACTATGTAATTTATTTTCAATGCTAAAAAAACAATTTGTTATCTGCAAGGTTATCTATCTATATTAGTATAAGAAGCCACCTGAAAACGCACGAGCCTGTTTGGTCCAGCCAGAAAGCGCACTTACCTCGGAGGCCTGAATGGAAGAGAAAAGGAGAGGGAAAGGAGAGGGAAAAGAAGAGGAGAGAGATATCATGGTGGGCGATGGGGGGAATCAAACGTTCACTGGTAACAGCCATCTCCCAGCAACAACGTTATTCACAACGACGCTCAGAAACGCCTTGGCGCGGAAACGGGCGAAGCAAAATTCAACCGCGCTCCGTATGACCTATATGCCACACACCAATTTACAAACCCCATCATTGCGACCTTGAATACGTCCTGGCCCCTGTGAATTATCACGGCCAGTCAATTTGCATGGATGAGTTGCCGGCCGACTTCCGGCGCCTTGGCATATATAATTATCAATAAAATTCCACTGCACTAAAGAGGGTACCGGCTCTAGGGGTATGATAATTCTTCTGATGTATTGACAATAACATATGCGGCATAAGCGTCGAACGACTCATCGTACGGCTCAGACATGGCTTTTAAGTCGACAATGTTGGCAAGCTTCTTGTCAATATAAAACGGAGATCGTCAGAAATATACATGATAGGTATGATACTACCAAGATCGAGCTCACAAAGAACCGTGGTTCTTCTTGTGGCCGAGGTATTATTCATATTGATAGAGATCGTGCTTTGAATCTCCATCGACACCAACCCAATCATGAAGAATCATGGCCGCCTGGTTCCCCCTTGCATGCTGCCCACTGCAGAAATTTCAATTATGCCTGGGAATTGGGTTCGTTCAAGCCTTGTTTTCCATCGTTGTACTCTGGAGGAGAGGATTAGAAATAATCTTATACTTGGGTAACTAAACCATCTATCACTTACCTGATCATCATAAGAACCTCACTGCTGGTGGACCATTTGTTGGTTAGTAGCCATATGCTGTTGTCGGTGTTATACTGATAGATATCAAGTATAGCGCCAGGAACCTCGTTATCATGCCCCCCAGAACCCCACTTTTACTGTTATGATGGTGCCAATGGTCCTTCCAGTCCGTAAAAGTAACATTCCTGCGTCTCCGCGTAGCTGATGGATAGGCTCCGTGTATCCTACATCCAATGCTAGAGTTGGATATACTCAACTGGGAACCTTCCTCCGATAGTCCCTATAACAATTTCTTTCAACATGAATAATACCGTTCGGCTAGCAAGAAACCATGGGCTCTTTGCACACTCTATTCTGGTATTATATTTTAGTTGAGTCTGGGTTATTGCTTCCATGTTTTGGGTCGGTGCTTTGGCTGTGAGATATTGGACGACAAGGTAGGCATTGCGCAGGTCTTGCTCGTCTGGAGTAGTGGTATTAATCTCGTGCATGTCCGCTCATCTTGGTGTAGTCTCCTACTGTTTTCAATGTCTGTAAAACATAGGCATGCCCATGTGGCCGAAGTGATCCGGGATATTACCAATGATGCATTGCAGCGACGGTATCTTCAGCTATATAATAGTTATGTTAGTCTATTTAATCTTGTAATAATATAACAACTAACCCGTGCTTCAGAGAATCCCTCTGGCTTAATAACCTTAAAATCATTATGTAAATACTAAGAAGACTAAAAAACACTGTCTAATAATTGACTAGTTGCCTGCTCGTTCGTAGGCCAAGATACTAATTTGATATGTTAGTGGCATTGTATTATGTCAACATACCTAGATGAGCCAGGAGAGGTGCCAGTGTCATATATCCTTTCCTGATTGGGCTTTCTCCTAGATATGTTTCGTATTAGGGAAGAAGAGAGAAATAACAAATCGCAGAAGCATAGAAAGGACATAGTGTGTAAGTAGAAAAAATATTGTTCATCCAGTAGATTATAAGGAGAGGAACGGTCTATTTATACCTATAAAGTTAGGAGGTAAGAGAAAGACATATAAAGAGAGTGGCTGCATACTTTTAATTAATGAATAAAAAGGTAATGCACTGAACATGCTAGCCAATGCCCTATTTATTCTATATTAGTATCTACGCTGCTAAATTATACCCGGGTGAATGGATGTTGTTCCAGTCACTTACCTGGGCCCTTATCATGGTAACTTCCAAGGCCAAAGCCACGAGTAAACCAAGCAGACTACCCGACGAGATCCGGAACAAGCGGTGACATCATCAGCAAAGTGAAGAAAGGCAATGTGCGGCTAGGAATACAAGTACCTTTTAACCATTCACATCGAGATCTGCGCTATTCATATAAAGCTGTGGCGTCGAGGACTTCCTGAACTATAACAACTTTAAGTAGGGTGACTATCTAGTATGCCATTCCCCCTTTTCACTAAGATATTGTGAAAGAGGAACATAGTATCTGAAACAATTATTCATAATATAAACACGACCAGGGAATGCGGAATATGTTGGATAGAAATAAACTGAAATTCAACCTACTCTAGCAGCTACGGTATCAGGGAAGCATCCATGCTACTTATAGGTGAATGGTAAAGATATAGAACTTGACCTCTATGTATTCCACTTAGATATAGAAAGCAATTAATCAACTACAAAACCATATTAAAACTATTAGTAGTAGCCTGTATTAATCTATCATTTCCCAGCCATCTCTCTCACCACTCGAACAATGTCATTCGGCGCCAACCCCTGGGAATTAACCTGCTGATACAAACCACCACAGCCCTCCTTGACGGCACCCATAGTGCGGTATTTAGGAGTAAGCTTACGCTCGAGGAGCTGACTACCGAGACGCGAGCCAAGACCAGTCTTCTGAGCAATGGATTCTATAACGACGACAAACGGTGTTTTACCGTAAACCCTGATGGCGTCCTCGTCGACAATATTCAGCGTCGGTTTATTGATAAGACCAACATCGAGGCCCTCTTGTTGAAGACGTTCGACAGCATCAAGCGAGCGGTAGAGCATGTCCCCGTAGGAAACAATATACCCAGCTGTGCCACGACGGATGAATTCCTCCTTTCCCGGGACGAATTCGTAGTTTTCGTCGTAGAGCTTCTCGTCGCTGGATTCCTTCAGGATATACGGTACCTTGGAACGAGTGGAGAAAACAAATCGCAGGCCCTTGTGGAAGAATATCTTCCGAACGACAGCCTTCATCTGTTCACCATCGGCAGGGAAGTACAGAGCCGTACTCGCGGCGTCCATGAGCCCATTGTCCGCGAAAAAGTGATTCAGTCCAAAATGGCACGTGTTGTCTGCAATCTCGTCGACTCCGCTGTGCGAAAAATGCGAGAGAACGGTGCACCCGTTCAGTCGAGCCATGGTGATCTCGGAGATACACATTTCCAGAAAAGCAGAGAAGGTCGAGAACACGCCCTGACGCTCGCCGTTACTGCCGAATCCGAACCCGGCGGCAGCAGAGAAGTTACTTCTTTCCATGACGCCGGAAGAAACAAATACCTCCGGGTGGTCTTTGTGAATCGCTTTCAACCCCGTAGATCCCTCCAGGTCGGAGTCAATGACCATAACCCGACGTATGGCATCCTCTTTGCTCAGACCGTCGAGGACGGAGTTCACGGCCTCGCCGAAAATGACCCGGTTGGAACCTTTGTCTTTCGACGAGCCTATGTACTGATGTGGGTTCGACTGAGCTTTGAGGTCGTCGTAGATAGCGAGCTGTTCCGGGCTGTACCCGCGTTTTGTGAGGTATTTGCGCGCGATGTCAACAGGAACGACATCGTGGGCGTGAATCTCCCCCTCGATACCTTCAATCCCAGGCGCCATTTTCCGATCCACCACGACAGCCGCAGGGCCAGTACTGGAAACGACCTCGCACATCGCACCGAACAGCGAATCAATATCCTCTCCCTTGGCACGCACGACCTTCAGTCCATGACCCTGGAGCGTGCGTGCAATGTCGTAGCCCTTGAGGTACTGCGAAGGATGACCGGCAATTGTGACGTCGTTGTTATCGATGAATAACTTGACGTTCAGACGATTGGCGACGGCAATACGAGCCGCCTCGGCGTCGTTTCCTTCTTGTTGAGATCCATCCGAACCCAAAAGGAACACGGTTTTGCCCTTGCTGGCCATGGCTATCCCGTTCACCATCGCCCACATGTGGCCGAGTCGACCGGAGCTGAACTTCACGCCTGGCGTAAGACCCAGCTCGGGATGTCCGGGTAGCTTAGAATCAGCATCGCGGTAGTTAAGAAGATGATCGGGGTCGATCTTTCCGTCCAACGCAGCAAGCAGATATTGAGTGGCGACTCTGTGACCAGCCTCGTCAAAAAAAGGGCATCAACGAAACTTTCGGGATTGGCATTTATAAACGCAAGCAGGATACAGACTTCCGGAGCGGTGTCGAAAGGACCACCGGTATGGCCGGCTAATCCACGAGCGGACCCGGTCGCTGTAAATGCCACGATTGCATCCCGAAAGATGTTAATATTCTGTAGAAGGTTTTGCTTCTGACCAGGCGAGAGTTTTGGATGCTTGGGGTCGAGCTGGAGTTTCTTGAATTGCTCGAGGGCGACTGGGAATCGATGGCCCGCTGGCATCTTCTGTTGAATGGCTTCAATCCTTTTCGGTGTATGCAATATAGAATCGCAGAGTGTGTTGGCACTGAGCTGAACGTCGTGGATGATATACCACACACAGTACAGAGTGGGGGTCTATATGACGTCAAAGGCTGATGTCACTGTGATACCACGAATCTGGTTTCAATTGTTCCATAATGTCACAGTTGATATTTAGGAATTGGATTACCGACTCGCTTTAAAAAAATTATTTATCAGGCTGCATGACATTGTCCATTGCACCGAATCAAGCCATCGAAAAGTATACCTCAATCTCCAAAACAAAGATAACATAAAAAAAAAAAAAAAAGGCCGAACGATGAGATGCGATGTAGATCAGGCTAAAGAGTCAGACAATTCAGACAAGTGATGAAATAGACAAGCAAAAATGATTCCTCAGATGAGGCTCGATCAATTAATCTCCCAAAGGCATACCCTCCACTTGGTCACTCAATGACCGCCAATTGTCCGCCTGCAGTTCCGCATACTTCACCCGCTCCTGGCTCCAGTCCTGGTGCAATCGGCTGATGTGATATTGGCTTTGTTGGAAATACGTTAGTTCATCCCGGAGACACTCTCTAATAAACACTCCACGTGCGTGTTGCTGTACAATCGATTCCTTATCCTGTCGCCAGCATGTTATGTCAACAAATGAAACCATCTCTCCCAATTGTGGAAGCATCATACCTTGAAAATTGACTCTTCAACCTTCTCAATCTCCCCAGGCTTGACAGTGCCCTGCGGTCGGGCCCTCAAGTCCTGGAGCTTCCTCTCGTTGTTCTCGATCCGTCGTTCCAGTTGAGGAATATTACTGCGCGCATATCGATCCCGACGATCGAACATTTCGCGTACACTAACAAGACAGTCCCGTTGGCGCTTTAGATCCTCCAACATACCACTCCCCCAGGCACGCGCCTCGTCTTCCAGCAAGCTTTGACTGGCAGAGAGATGATTGGCGGTGGCCTTGATGCCTTCGTTGAGGAGAGGGACATCGTCAGTGTCGATTGCATAGGTATCTCGAGTCACTTCGGTGAGTGATTGAAGGGCGAGGGAGAACCGTAGATGATCCGCAGCAAGCCCTTCGTTGCGCTTGGCCAACCGCTCAAGCAGGGTGCAGAGATTAATGTAGATCTCTGCGGACCGCTTGACACCTCTCCGAACAGTCTCAAAAGTATCCGTCAAGCTGGCCGGCAGCGAGTCCTCCAAGTCGGGAGGAAGGACTTTGCCGGCAAATTCATCCTGAACTGAGATCGTAGCTTGTTTCCGCCACACGGAAAGTTCCTAGGACGATGTCAGACCATTAATCCGTGCTGGAAAAATTCCAGGAATTTGAAGCATAGAAAACACATACGGTAGGCACCGTCAAGAACATAATTACAAGTTGCTCCTGGCTAAGAACCGGATGACGTACAAGGGCGTTGGTGAATCGAACGAGCCCTCGGCGACGTTTCTCGAGAAATGAAGTAGAATCCGCTGCAAGGTGAGTGCCATTGACTTATATGAATATGAGAGGTGAGTAAGCTTATTAGAGCAAGCCTTTGCCTGAACATACCTGCTAGTCTCTTCGGTGGAAGTAGTGGTAATTGTCGGAACGGATATCGCTTGTGAAGACAGTCTAGTAGCCAAACAAAGTCACTGTAACGTCGAACGACGGTGCTGCCTCTCCGAGCGGATTTTATTTCGTAGTTGCGATGCTGGAACATAAACATTCCCTCCTTCTCTGGTAGTAGTGTGATAGTTATCAGCTCCTCCAAATGTGGACTCGCAACACGGCCAACCCCCAGAGACCGGCGGCGGGAACCAGGCTCCTCACTGCCATTGTTCGAAGGGCCTAAGCCAATAATCCCAGATTGGACAGGCCCCCCAAGTCCACCCGCATCAGATGAACCGCCAAAGCCTTCCCCCCATCCATGTCCCGAGCCGCTAGTAGCAGCAGGTTCCGTATCCGTTTGGCCATTTGTGCGATGGCCAGTTGTCCCTTCAGTGCGATTACCTTCATCGCCAGTGCGGCTCGCCCAGGCACTCGTCGCTGACCGCACGCTTCCATATCCGTTCAACACAGGATGGTCGGATTCAGTCTGTGCATGAGCGTGACCACGATGAAGTTGGGGGCTGCCCCACGGATCAGACTCTAAGCCACCTGATAATTCCTGTCTCGATCTGTGAGAGTTGACGGAGTTCGGCACTTGGACTGAAGTTGTTTGGGTAGGGGGTGTAGTCGGACGTTCATTTGCTTGAGCTGGGGTAGTGGATTGTTCTTTTGTGCGTAGGGTATCGAGGTATGAACTCTTTGGTATCGGTGGTTCTGCGTCTCTATTAGCCTAAAATTGCAAGGGATAGCAAGACGAAACTATTCACTCTTTCGCCGATCATCCACCGCGTCAAGTGTCAAATCCTCACCCTCCTGCGCCAGCCCCACGAGCGCTAAGAGGACATTGAACTCGCCACGACCGAGTCCACTCGCGTCATCTCCGTCCCCCAGAACAACAAGGTTGAGTATCTTCGCCTGATCATTGGCGCTAATTCCACTGCCTGATAGAATTTCCCGAATGGAGGTCAAGCCCACTCCGCCTCCAACGCGATCTCCACTGCTTAGGACCAGGTCGTAGGCATTGATGTAACTCTCGGGGACATCCGAATCCGGCAACAAGGTTTGCACGAGCTCATGCCTAGCAGCTCGTTTGTTGGTGCCGCTATTCCACGGTGAGCTGGTGCTCAGACCGTCGTCGTCAGCGAAGAGGGAGGACGAGCCTAGCGCGGGATTACCTCCCGAGGGTTCATCCGCGAAAAGGGAGGACTTGGACCTCTGCGCGGAGCTAGACCTTGGGGAATCCTCTGGAGATGTGCCGAACAGCGACATTGAGGATGCAATTTCGATGGGGGTGTTAGAAGGGAGAGGATGACCCAACAGTTCGTTGGAGAGATAATCGAGGGTGATGGACGGGGACGGATCAATCAGGACAGCGATAGCAACGGCAACAACAATCAAACCCTTCCCATCCAACGAAGGGGCACAGGACTTGGACTGTCGATTGGCGACACAGATAAAATAGATGGATCACAGCACGCGAGAGGGAAAAAAGTCCGCCTCTTTCGGCCGGTGATATGAGAGCTGGCGGTGTTTGCCTTGGGATCGGCGGTGGGCCACGCTAGGCCGCCATTGGACAGCTATGACGATATGGTGTTGATATTGTCCACGTGAATATACAGACTCATATACAGAGGTTTACTTGGAACTAATGGTGAATCGAGTCTAATAGATAAATTCCCTACACTAGCAATAGGTACTATATAGAGCTATGTCAGTGTAGGTATGAGATTCATTCATCCAGAGTAGATTTATAACACTATATACATCATCATGCATAGGAATGCAACCCGAGTGGCATATTAATACAGGTCCTATATACCTCCCTCGCTAGAACTTTCGGTAGCAGGTTCGCTGCTCCCCCGACTAACTTCCTCGACTGAGGGCATGTTAAAGTATCCACTCTGATATAGGAGATCTTGCCACTGTTTCATACCGGTAGCGAGAATCGGAGTCGGATTGGTCCCTTCAGGAAACCATCGCTCCTTTCGCGTCTGAGCTTTGCTGCCTCCCTCCAATGCTGCCCGACTCGCTCTCGTCTTTCGTACTCGCTTTGCCACTTGTCCCTGCTGAGAGAGTAATCCACTCAGCTTCAGCCGGTGTTGCTCGAGACGGAGATCAAATGCCACAATGGCTCGGATATACGGTCCTAGATCTTCGGTGATAGGACCAAGACCGTTTTCAAACGATGGGGCCAATCGGCCCCCAGGGAGGGGAAAGACATAATTAGGTCGCATGATTGGCTCAAAAGCTCTGGTGAAATCGGCTGGCATTGGCCTAGCCGCCTTTGGTCTGGTGATATTCGCTGCTACTTTGGTAGCATACGAGACCTCGACATCTACACGATTTTGGGGTCGAGAAATACTGGCCAGAAGCACTCTGTATGTGCTTCCTATGGTTTCTGGAAGGGAAGAGTAGTCGGGGATGAGTTCAGTGCTCAACAGTGGATAGCCTTCAACATAGTTTGCTCTTTGCTTCTCCGAGAGTACCGGAATGAAAGTATTAACGGGGTCCTGCGAGTATTAGAATGCGTGGTCAAGAGCCAACGAGCTAGGCCCACAACTTACTCTGCGGGGGTCAGGTAAGCAATTGGACCCCAGGATATCTAGAACACTTCTCATTTCATAAAGGTCATCTTGATGCCGTATTTGGTCAAGTCGCTCCGAATTAGATGTATGGGCTGACGCATGCGATGAAGATCTACTCAAGTCCTCTAGCCACTCAGAATCCTGAAGACTGAGTTGCCACCAACCAAGGGACTCCCGCTGAGGCTCCACCTCACGGTCTAAGTTGTTGCTCATTAACATGTCACGACTGAACCAGCCCATAAATCTTTCGTATGTATTCAGGCTGATTACTCTGAGCGGATCTCCGTCCCGGTCGAGATCAGAACCCGGAGGCCATCTGTCAATCATCCAGTCAAGACCAGATTTCTCACTACCGACTGCCATCTGACACCAGAAATTCAGCTCCATAATTGACCGACGAATATCCTTCCCTGCGCCGATGTAGAGGCTTTCTACAGCGTCGCGTTTTAGCATGTGGCCCTCATTAGCCGCCAGAAGAAGAAGGTAGTCAACTGCCAGATGTTGTGGGGGAGCCCGGTATCGGAGAATGGCATGGAGAGAGATATCATCGAGGGGAATGAGACTCTCGTCATTACAGGTTATGATAATTGGACGTTTTGATTGTTGAATCAATGTGAGGGCACCAGACCAAAATTGCCTATCCTCCTCAAAAAGGATGTCTGCTTCCTCTAGCAGGATCAACGACTGCTTCTGATGGCGGGCGCGCTTCGGGTCTGGTTCTCTTTCAGCATTTCTTTTGGGAGGCTTTCCGTTTTCTTTCTTTTCTTTTGTTGACATCGATTTCATGAAGCCTGTCAGTTTGTTTTGCTTGACATCCTCCGACCAAGGGTCCCGACATTGGGCATCGGCAAATTGTTGACTGAATCGTTGCTCGCCCTTATTCACGTTGTGCACAAGATGGTTCCGGGTCATGTCCCCAACACGTTCGACAATATCTCTAGCACTACGGCGGTTGCCAGGGTTTATCTCGAAGACTTCAAAGTCGAGTTCCTTTGCTGCCGCATATACCGATGCAGTTTTCCCGCACCCTGAAGGGCCACTGAGCAATATCGCATTCGACACGTGGCCTTTACTGGTGCCAGATTTGGAGCAACTGATAGCTAGGTCGCCAGATCTTATCATAGTTTTCTTGCTCGAAACAGTCACATCGCAAGCTAATTCATCGTCGGAGCCAGAGATCTCGTCCATTTCAGAGGCTTCATCATCACTCGAAACAATGAACCCGTCCAGCTTGTCGGGATTCTTGCGCTTCTTTCGCTTCTTATCTTCTGACCTTTGCCTAGCTTTATCCGTATCTTTTGAGGGCTTTCCTGTGTCTACAGCAGACACCATGAGAAATCTCAGCCAATCTCGGAGCATAGAAGCTTCTCTGGTCGCTTGAAGAACATCGTCCGAGGAGCTGGGAGAGTATTTCTGTATCCAGAGCAAGCTATCAAACTGCCCAAGGTCGAAAGCCGTCATGGAAGACTGAAGGGAGGAGTGCAGTTTTCGAATGGCAGGATGGCAAGTATCGTTTAGAGAGCGTTTATCCGCACCAGACAAACTGGACTGAGACAACTGCTTGGTCACTGCCTTTTGAAGTCCAGCTCCACTGACTACATGCCTTTTCGGTATCCGTAAAACCTGCACGGGATCGTGAGAATAACCCTGTACATCTGAAGAAAGCACATTTTCTTTGTCATGTATACGGATAGCAGGCATCTTTGCCTTTTTCTTTTGCATGTTTAGAGAAGCATACGGTGTCCATGTTCGAGGTGTTAGAGTGCTTCGCACGTGGGTGAAGCCTTGCGGAGGCCACACTGGGTGAATAGGTTCCAGAACCTTGGGGTGTCTTTGCCTGGAATTGAACGATTTCGTGTATGTACTTGGCCAGCTCAATCTTGAAACTGAGTGATGGCTGGCTTGACGTGACAAGTCCTGGGGCTCTTTTGGTTTGGAGTCGGTTGTTTCAGCATCTCCACCTGATGTTTGAGCTGGCAGGGTATCTGCCTTGCTCGATCTTTTCAAAAAGAAAGGATGGGTAGGTTTCGCCGGTAGTTCTTTCTTCACAGAAGGTGCTGGATTGGGGCTCCCGCTAGGCACACCATGCTTTTTCTTACCACAGATAATCTCGTCGATTAACAACCCAATGCGTTGCCTGGCTTCATCATCTTTGGCGTATCTGATGATCGCCAATTTACTCCTACCACCATCTTTCTCTGTGCCAGGTTTTGCACATTTATTTCCTTTATTCTTTTTGGGCTTTTCGTTCACTTGCTCTCTCACTGGGGAACCCAGGAGCTTTCCATTGGGGTTTATTTTAATAGTTTTCTGCCTCGGCGACTTCTTCGTTGTCACGCCATTTGCTACCTCTAAGTCACTTAATACGTCTGACGTAGAAGTATTTGGATTTTCTTCGCACTGATGTCCGTCGTTAGAATTGGTCTGGGCCTTACTTGAAGGTTCGTCATGATTGCCAGAGTCGGCTTGAAAACTTTCATTCGCAGCAGAATCAGGCGAGCGTATGGTTGAGTCATGGTCTCTGCCAGAGCATTTAGGCGTCACAAAGCTTGTTAATGGGCCACCAAGCTGATCCTTATTGCTATATTTATTTGTCTTCCTCCTTTTCTTCCGGCTTGAGTTGGGATCCTGCTCTAGCGTATCAACAGGGGTGGGCTGCGAGACAGGAGGATCAGAGGATACAGTGTCGCAAACATCATGGCTTGCAGAGGGTCGTCCATTTATAGGGTGCTGGCTTTCGTATATCGCACTGCCATTAGGAGGGAGGTCACGTTGAGGGAGTATATTCGCTGATACATTGATATCTGCTAGAAATGAGTAATGAACAAGATAAAGGTGAAAAGAAAAAAGCACCTCTCCGGAAAAAAGGATGGATGTCGCGCTGCTCTCCCTGTTCCATGGCCATAGATCCTAGCAGTGTACCCATACGATGAGCCAAAGCTCACCGCCCGTATCACGGTAAAAAGATGGAGTGGTTTGACATGGAATATAAAGGGATAAAATTTGAGAGTACAAAAGGAACAATATGAGCCATATAATTGATTTCACTGGGGGTGAGGCAATAATTTGGGGGAGGGAGTTGTTGGCTCAGATAGGTATCATTGAGGAAGCGACACGCTTGGCCAACAGACGCGAGGAAGCGCGTCTTGGATCACTTTAGCAGCCGAGACTGATGCCTGGACACCTGAATACACGGGCTTGTAGCTCGGCGTGGTCTAAAAAAACCTCGGCGTGGGCTAAAATTCTGCCCCGAGACTCACCGCTCTTTTTAGACCACGCTGAGCTTATGCCAAGAATAAACTCATCATGGCCTAAATGATTAGTCAGTATTCTTAGGCCACGATGAGATTTTCAAAAGATTTTTAGACCACGCTGAGCATATGCACTAGGGCTTAATTACTATAATTGGTAAGGTGTAGCCCTAAGAATATTTTATACTACACAATACAGGGTATCCACTCTGCATATACTCTGTATAGGTTGACCAAACCACAACAATGGCTGGTACCGAAGTTCGGGAAAGAGTGGTAGAATGGATCAACAATATCCCAATCCAGGTATGTGTATATATATTTATTATATACTGGGTATATACAAACCCTATACTAATATACCCAATTATCAGAACGAGGTGCAGGAATCTCATAGAGATGATTCTAGTAGGACAATTTGTATTTACCAGAGCGCCGCCGTTTTCGGCAACCCCCCTTGTTGGGTATAGCGCCCCTCCGTCGTTATCCAGGTGCGGTTTAGCGCTGACCCGATCGGGGTTGGCCTGTTGCGCCATACCGTAACGGGAACTGCCGCTGGTCTCCGCCTTCACGGTCCGTCGTCGACTATATAAGACTGCCGGTGCGTCGCTCGACGACTTCTCCCTCCTACGTCCCTACTGCCCTCGCAGATCTGCTGGTTGGGGGCTATTCGCGAGGCTCGGACTTGACTGCTCCGACCCCTGTCTCCTCGGAAATGAACGCCTAAAAATGAGCGCTCAGCCCCTTTCCCTCCCCACTCATGACGTGGACCGCTGAAACCGCCAGGCGTACACTGATCCAGTCGACATTGCGAAGCATCGATCTTACTGGAAGGCGCGAGACGATCGTTGGGAGGTGCTTGCCTGACCGAATTGCCCAGTCCCCGAAGAATTCCTGTTGGGCAACTTGGCGTGTCTCACCCATGTGCCCCCACCGTCCGCAGCATTCCCTCCAATTTGAGAGCTCCCACAGGACCCGTTTCTCATTTCCGAGAGAAGCCAATGGTGTGTCGACAAGTGGTATCCAGACCTGCTCAGCGAGATCTAAACACCAATGGCAGAAATGCCTCATGTGCTCTGCCCGTCTTTGGTGGTGAGGTGACAGTAGCGTTGCTAACCTAGGATCATATGCGAAATGACGGTGCAATGGGCCGCATGACTGCCTTGAATTCACAGAGGAAAGATCCGGTTGGTGGGATATGATGTGGTTACATTGCGGCTGTGGCCTGGGCGAGGGATCTCCGCCATGAGATTGTGACAATTGGGACTGGAGGCTATGCGGGATTTGCGTTGGTGTCGTGTGACTTCACATCCCTATCCGTCAGAAGTCGTTCATACTGAACAGATTGGTCAATTCAAGCTGGCACTCGGAAGGCGTCTGCGTTTCAGCTGCGTTCGACGATCGTACAGCCCCTAACCACGTTCGCTTTGACCTTCTGAAAATCTGGAATCTTTCCATATTGTCTCTTGTTGGGTGGAGACCGGTGATCGTCACTGGAAGGGACCATGGCGCTGAACGACTGCTCATTCCCGTATGGAATGATACTATTTCCTTGCTTGCAACTCCGAAAGTCTGCGGATCCTGGCAGTATACGATCTACGCTGATAATCGTGCAAGTCTCGACCGTGACATCTGATGATGAATGTGGGCACTATGTGGCAATGTGGCGATGCTGAGATGCAGTAGTGCTGCTTGGCTTTGTTTTTGAAGTGCTTGAATGGATTTCGGAAAGAATCGGTGATATGGCGGTATAAACCATTGATGTACTTATAAAGCACTTCTCCCCCCTTCTCCCTTTCTTTCTCCTAGGACTCTTTATTCCCATTAAAAACTTGAAGCCATGCATATCAGCCTTGATAATATCAGCTTCTACCATCAACCCCCTCCTGCGAAATCTCCTCCATGTGCCTTCCCTGTTTCCTGTTGGAAGCCGTACCAGGCTCCTCCAACTCCACAATCCCTTTCACATCTCCCGCCCAGGCCACCTGCCCCTAGCACAACGACCATCCCAGCTTCCGGTGGTAGACCAGATGCTGCCCCGCAATTTCGGGTTCCTGCGAGGGAAGATTACGATTTGCCTGCAGTTCACAATGAATTTGATATCGAAATCGAGAGGATAGCTATGGCGGAAAACAGCCGGGTTATGCGTGAGGCAGATCTCGAGATGCACCTCGACCGTGAGCTCCAAAAAGGAAATGTTATAGATGTACCTCAAAGTCAGCGCATATCTTTGACTACTGGTATGTCGGACGACTAATAAAAATTTTCTCAGTGGGCTTAACTAATGTTCTACACTTCCATTATTCAGTGACCTCAAAGCCGGCACTAATACAGACGAGCGCCAGCGACAGTGATGAAAACGTGTCTGAAACTGCCGTCGAACAGCATATTTTGCAAGAGCAGCCGGACCAATGGGTATGCCCTTCGGTGGAGGCTGTCCGTGATTTAAGTCCAACCTTCACACCAGCGGGAGTAGAGCCGGAATTTTCAAGTAGGCACGGCCGACATCTCTCTCCAGGAATCAATGCTGCTTGCGCGTGTACCTCTCCGTCACCTTCACCAGGCTTGCTGGATAACGTGCCGCACCCCCGAAGTGGACTTTGCGCTGAAACCATTCAGTACAATGAAACCATTGTTGAGAACGCCAGGACTGAGCTAGCAAGCCGTGGAGATCAGGCGGGAGACCTGGGGGAACGAGCTGCCACTATGCAGAGCATCCAGAACAACAGCCCCTTCGTTAGGGAGGCTAGTCCAGACAATTGCGAGAAAGGCCAAGCACCTGCACTCTCTCACTCCATTCAGCAAAACCGCCCTATTAGACACTCAAAAATACCCCCGACGCACACACGTTCCCTCCGCCCTCGACGAAATGCAAAGTCCACCAGGCTAGAACAACTGCCTTCCGTTTCTAAGGTCATTCCAGTCCGTCGATCTAATAGATTAATGGCAAGTAGCAGCAAGAATCCTTTAACCCGAGCACGACGTCGTGGCAACCGGGACAGCAGCGACAGCGACGATGGCAACAATAACCCGGCAGAGCATGACTTGATTAATAAGGCGAGGGAACGTCCACGGAAAAGATGCAGGCATGCACTCCGGCCGAAGAAGGCAACGGAAAGCAACTCAGGCCCGACCACTCATATCGTTGGGGAATGCACGAGTCCGTCCCAAAAACCATCAGATGGAGGTTTCTCTGTCGCTCTGGGTGAGACGCAAGAGATCTTTGGTCGCGGAATTCTACGTATTCAAGCTCACGGTCCTCGACATGCTTATTTCATGACATTTCTGCCAGATGTTGTTCACTGTCCGCCCATACCATCACCGTCCGAGGTGCCTCCTGATCAGTCGTCATGCTCTGACGGTCACTCTCAGAATCAGACTCTACAACAAGTAGCACGCAGGAGGCGTCATAAACGAATTGTGTCTACAACATGTGAAGATGGAGATGTGTGGTTAACCAGTCGCTCGACGAAACCGCATCGAACCTCGCAAACTCGGGATGATCGCAGCGAGGCTCAAGGGAACTCCAGGAAGGGCATGCGATGGTCTACTGAAGAGGCGGATCTTCTGCTGAAGTTGAGAAGGGACGAGCAACGACCTTGGTCAGAGGTGATAAGGTTATTCTCGGATCAGTATCCGGGAAGAGGCCTGGGTTCAATCCAAGTATACTGGAGTACGACCCTTAAAAAAAGGTAAAACTGAATAGGGTTGCACGGGGTGCAGGCTAAAACGAAGCATATTAAGTGGATGGCTCATGAGGGACTGGTGTCAATAACTTTGGTAATAGTGATGTTTGCTTTCTCCCTCAAGCGGCCAGGATAATCAAAGATGTCGCTCCTTTCACAGCACCCAAGATGACTCGTTATTCTCTAATGCTCGCAGCGAGAGTTTTCAGCGGGGCGAACCGCCAAAACCGCGCAAGCGAAGAAGACAACAATCAACCTTGCGGCCTTCGAAAAGACCACGAGCTCCATCTTCATCACCTTCAAGTGCAAATGGCTTCACCACCCTTTGTTCTCAGTTCACATGTGTGTCACTTGATGAGCGTTTGCAATTTCTTTCTTGGCTGTTCGAAGGTGCACTGCCACGTGTGTCTGACCCTGTCTCCCTAACCTGTGGAGATGTGTGGCCAAACAATCGCTAGACAAAACAGCATCAGTCTTCGCAAACTCCGCATATCCTAAGCGAGGCCAAAGGAACTCCAGGAAGGGCATGCCATGGTCACCCAAGGAGATAGACCTTCTGCTGAAGTTAAGGAGAGATGAGAGGCGGCCTTGGTCAGAAGTAACAAAATTATTCTCGGACAAATATCCAGGAAGGAGCTCTGGTTCAATCCAAGTATACTGGAGTACGAGCCTTAAAAAAGCAGGGCAGAATAGCATTGCACATAAGGCGGGCTAAAGGGAATGACAGGCTCATGGGAGCAGGAAATTGATGTTGGTCTCGATAGGGCTATACAGGGAATTACTGGTGGTTTCTGTCGAGCCCAACATAGCAGTTGGCTCAGGGCCCATCATCATGGGCTAGTGGTAGTGGATTATGAACGACTATAATAACTACGTTTAACACATACGACCATAGGGTGTGGAAAGCAGGGCTTCCCGTCCGCTCAGCCGTACTTAAACCGCACGCCGGTCTGTTAGTAGTTGGGTGGGTGACCACCAGCGAATTCCGACTGTTGTATGTCTGTCTTCAACTTTTTTTATTTTAAGTAGATTAACGGATTACCTAAAACGGAAAAGATGAGGTCATGGGGGAAGGTATCAACAAAGTATATGTCGCTTCTGATAGATATCTATTGGTTGTGTATCGGTCCCAATGAGCCAATCCCGACCTGTTAGTCTTGGCATTACTCAGGCGCATAATTATTAAAAAATGATGAGTACAATCTGAAAGGACGGGAAATCGTAGATAATCTCAGTATCTAATATCCCGCCATTCTCCCTGATATATCTTCAACTAAAATGCATCTGCATTTGTTCCAAACCTATAAATATTAGCTTGAAATGAGCCCAAAAAAGGTACCGACTTTGCGATCGACTGTTGTGGTAGTTTATATCCCTTCTTTGGCCCCTCCAAAAGTCCACGTGGCACTAATTGGTCATGTGATAAGTTGACATTTGCTCTTCCGTTCGCAAAGAGAGCATGACCCCTCTACCCCACCATAGCCTTTATATGGTATATTTAATGTTGACAACGTGTCTATATATTGCTTCTGATCCTTATATCGCGCCGTTAGCACATCAGATGTCTTGACGATTGCACCTATATTGGAGGAAAGAAAGGGTAAGCTAGTGTTCTTCCTGCCAACCTGACAGATACTAAGTCCTGCCTCGGATAAAAACAGGCCAGAAATCTCCACAGGCGCGCACCATACATCCTTCCAATAATCAATATCCTACTCCTTTCCATCTTCGGCACATGGATAAGCTAGGACAATTTCTGCGCACGGCGACGTGGCAACAGATTGGGCAAAACACCTTCTATTGTAATGATAATGGGTTGGACGGGATATGGATTGATATAGCCGAGCTGCTACCGAAATCACTCAAGGGTCATGGACTTCAGGCGTGGAAAATACATGGCACTACAAAAATACTTGAGCCACATGGATATATACAGCCGGTTTCCAGTACTTCTGATGAAACAGCTACAAGTCCGCTTAAAGTCTTGGGGGGTCCTGCGCTTTACTCCACATCCGAACCATACCATTTCACATCTGGAGTTACTATTACAGGATCACACTATTTCATAGTGGCCCTTCCTCCAAAAGGGCGAGATCCTTCTTGATCTATCCAACAATTGTTTCATACATTGAAAGAAGAGGAGATAAGCTCAACCGTAGAGTCCGGTGGGATAAATTGTCGATTTTCCGAGAATATCACGGTATCGGGAGGGAAAAATTGAGGGTAAAGGGAAAAGACTGTTGTGTCCAATGAGGTTGGCGGGACAAACAGTGGATTATGAGATGGCACAATGGTGTCTACTGGAGAAGGTGGAGCAAACTGGGGATATGAGCACGGTGTCGTAGTCTCTGTCATTGCTTGTTGGAAGGAGCCTAAATCCCGGTCCAGATACCTGTCAGGGGTTGTAGTATGAAAGTTGACAAGTTCGTCGCTCGAGAATGTTTCTGGTTGTCTGCTCTGTACGTCCCCGAAGGGTGCCAGCATCGGAGGCCTTTCTTGCTTGTCTGGTATATTATTAGGACATCGTCGCTTTTCGGGTCCTGGGTTGGACGGATTCGATAATATGTCTCTCACGATGTGCGTATCTTGTGTATCTGTTGTAGAATTGTCTTTCGAACCTTGGGGTTCATTCGCACGTTTACGCTTCTTGCGATGAGACTTTGAGGGATAATGGTAATCAATGCTGGGTGCGCTTGCTGCTCTGTTTGGTGATTTTCCTGACTGCAGTAGTAGGCAATTATCGAATCCAGGGCACTCCGGAGGTCTTCCTTGATCTTGAACTGACGGAGGGTTCTTATAAATGCATTCAGGCTTGGATCTCAGTTGTCTTCCACCCATGCTCTTCATAACTAATAAAACTTAGCCCTGTTCTTTCAAGCTTGCGGATTCTTACCTTTTGATAGGGCACTGGATTAGGGACAGAATCATCTCAACGTCTTCAATTAGCTCCCATTTTGCGCCACCAAGAGAATAACTAGACAGCCATTCCCTCTTGTTCAACCACTCCTCCTTGCTTAAGTCAGGCCATAGTTGATCGTCAATCTGTCAAGAGTATATGAAAGGTGATGGCCGGTCCGGGAGGCAAATTTACGGACGGTGGTGTCGACCTTGAAGCGTTAACACGCTGCTGTTCAATCTGGACAGTCCGATTAATGATAACAGCCAAAACTTTGTGATGTGACGGAATGACCTCTCGAATCTTTGTGAGGTTAGTGAAGCAACTTCGAATAATATTTCCATCGTTTTTGTTGATTAACCAAAAAAGAGCTGGTATTTTAGTCCATATACGACAGCAAAGTTTCAGAGCTTCAACACTTTGGTCTTCAAGTTCCCAATGTTTTGTGATAACCCAAGGAATCTGATGCTGGAGGTGACAGCCTATTCCCATCGACCGATATGAAGTTCGCAAAGAATGTCTCATGATTTCGAAGTTGCGTGGAGCGCCCGATTTGCCGAAGGATTTTGCGGAGTGAGCTGAGTTCTCCAGATCTTATTAAGTCTTCCGGTGCTCACGAACATCCTATTAAAATCAGAATAAACCTAAGATACTGAGAGTTGTCACGAACATTACCAGCAGTGCGAACAAGTTGGTCCAACTCCTGAAGATTGGACCGTATTGCTTGCTTCATCTACAGACAACTTAGCAATAGTCACGGCGTTTGGGAAGATTCCCACCTCTTCATCCATTATTGCCTCATCCTGGAACAAAAGGAGATTCAGAAAAGCGGGGAAGCCATCCGGAAAAAGATGCCTTTTAGGAGCGAGGTGAACTTTCTTTTTTAGTAAGATGCTCTTGTAAGCGCTAATGCAACAGGGGTGAAATATCTCTCCCAGAAGAGATATTTCACCCCTGTTGCATTAGCGCTTACACGATGGTAGATGTCTGGTTTTCGAGAGGGGTTTTGGCTGAGAATCGAGACGAGGCCCAAGCTGCTATTCGAGATATAACGTTCAAGTGTGTCCACCAAATTTCCTTCACCAAAAGAATAACAAGTTGAACTCATTTTATTTCATTATCGGTATTAAGGTGCGCTCTTTTTTTCAGGGCCTGTCCTATGTACACTACTAAGTTCCCACAGATGTGTCGTTGGCGTGAAATTCTCTACGCTTGTGGTCACCTTCAGAGAGCTGAACTTGTCGAACGACATGCACCCGATGCGACTTGCCAACCAAATACACAGAGCCCCCGTCAAACCTTAGCTGGGGCTACTATTCTCCAACAAATTTGCCCTGAATGTTCATATTTGACACCCTCGAGCAGCGAATAAGGTTAGCATGTCCTCTGGCCCGCTCTTCCTGCTGCACTAACAAATTAGCTGAATGGGGCACGTCTTAGCTTAAGTACTTTAAGGTGGAGACATTAGTTCGCCTTAGTATAAGTACATTGTCTCGTTCCAAGTAGGATAAATTTATATAAGAGAATGTGAAATTGTCTGTCGTTTAATTTAAATTCACTTATTATATTATATAATTAATCACATGACTTGTTCCGAGATCGTCTCTCCTTCCCACTCCCCTTTTTCGCTCCACTTAACACACACTTAATTTCCAGAATGGATGACTTCGACCTTCAAGTATCTGCCGCATTTGACGGTGGGTACGCTATCCGCATACTCGGCATCCTACACACCCGTTTGTTAAACGAAGCGAACTTCTTGGCTTCCATACGTGACATTACTGAACCACTGGTGGCCAAGTGGAAAGACTCCCAATTGACACAACTCCTTGCTGTTGATGTTTACCCACAACATACCTTTTTCGTGCTTGACGTCAATAATAAAACCTATGACTACCATACGGCTCATGAAACAGCCGTTTGTATTCCTGTCTACGTCTTGCGACTGTCTCGAGGCGGTAGATGGAAGTTTTATCGACGTGAGGCGGAGGATTTGCGGGTTGCTCAGAGGATTGCAGATTTACACTACTGCAACGATCAAAATCCGCTTCCCTTTCTGGAAAACCACATTTCTAATGGGCCCGTATATGTATCTCATCGCTGATACCAGTTTGAGAAGACCGAGAAAAATCATACGCCAGGTGCGATTAAATCCTACGCTGTCTACAACGACAGTTTAGCTACGCATGTGATAAATAACCTCAGTTCCAACATTGTTAGGGCGTCGAAACTGGCCTGTTCCTTATGTACAATAATACAGCTATGAAGAGATGGGGCCGAGATGAGCACCATATGTTCTTTCGAATACAAAATAGGTCCAGCCCCACAACGGTGCTTTTTAACTTGTAATTTTTGTGACACCTGGCTTCTTTAGGCGTAGAGTGAAGAAATAGCAGTAGACAAGCTGTCTGGAGGTTGTTTGTACCTACTACAGTAATAAGGCTCAGGTGTGAATGCTTTCTAGATCCCGCGGCAAAAAGCAACAATACAATCCTATGAGGTTATTACAAGCCTTATTCGGTTCAAACACGCATATCAACTTTCATGTCTCTTTCGATGGCTCTCTCAAAGGATTTATTTCCCTGTTTAGCTATCCTATCCTAATCTTGGTCTCATGCGAAGGAGCAAGACGTAGTCTATAAACAGCCTCATCCCAAATGCTCACCGCAATTTTTATTCACTGATCTAGAAATTTTCCAAATTTTTTGAAAATTTTTTGGTATTGATCATATATGGCTCGACGTAACTTATCTTTGCCTCACAAGATAAAAATCGTTCTTTCAAAACTCCAAGGGTCAAACAGAGAACGCCGTTACTCCGGTACATTCTCGTGGGGTGAAGATATAGAACTCCAAGATCCATCTCCTGCCCTGCTCCAGGACACGCGTGGGTACCGGAACCCAAATAGAGAGGCTAGTGTATTAGAGTATCAATATCCCCAGACCATATCGACATCTCTTAGCACTCACGCAAGCAAAGAGATCATCGTTTTGCCATACCCAGGCATATCATATAATACGACGCCTCCCCTCCCTCAACCCGTGTGAACGACGGAAGTGTGTGGACAACTGCAATATTGGACTCTCATTGGATTATTTTCTTCATCTCTTTTATATCTTTTAACCGAGTCTAACAAAATGAACACCCTTGAGCTTGCGGTCCGTCCTGGTGATGACATTCCTATTAGTTCCATTGAGCTTTGGTGTATACATGGAGATTGTGACTACCACTGGCTAATTACCTATACTCATCCTTCCGGGAACACGACAAGTGTGAGCCGGGAGAAGAACGTCTCAATAAAGTGGATCAAAGACATTCCACGTGAGAAAGCTATCGCCACCATCAGCTTCCCGGTCACGTATTGGTGCCCGGACCTTAGAACTCTTGCGTCTCACACATGGAATTCATTCGAACAACGTGACTACAAGTGTACCGATTTCGTGTAAGTTCAAACCAGGACTAGCCTACTTAACACAACACCGACTCTAACATCCCATAGGTATTTTTTGCTCTGGGAATACAAGCGCCGGGAATTCATTCAAGATGCAGAAGATCAAATGCAAAGTCTCCTGCGTCGAATGGCTGCAGTCCAGGAAGAACTGTCGGCGTTTTATGTCCCTGGACACCTTGAACAATTCCAAGCTCCCCTTTCTAAAGTACAGTCTGACTTGAAAGTTGGGGTCCTCATCTTTTCGCCTCTGAAGGATCGTGTGCTTCTTGTTAAGCGGTCCGAGAGAGACAGCCACGGAAACATCTGGGAATGTCCTGGTGGGGGCATAGAGCAGAACGACAAGTCTATTGTGCAAGGTGCTGTTCGTGAGTGTCGTGAAGAGACCCAACTTCATATTTCTGCTTTTATCGACGTCGTGCATGAGAATTGGCTGAAAGGAGACCGGCAAGTGCGCAAGTTCATATTTATCGCGGATGTGCATGAGAGCAAAGAGCCCGAGCAAATGTTAACAAAGGTGGTACTAAATCCTGCCGAGCACCAACAATTCCAGTGGGCGAAGCGAACGGAGATAGAAAATATGGACGAGGCTATGTTTTTTCCAAAACAAAAGGGCATTATACTGGATGCTTTTGCATTCCTAGGTACTCCAGGCTGGTAAAATGCAATCAAGTGCTGTTTAGTGGCATAGTCTTTTATTTATTTTTTTTTTTAGTTTTTGTTTTAGTTAATGCAAATGGATTACTTTAACCTTATAGGTGGAACACAAAGCACTGGCGAGGAGACCAGGGGTGACTAGATTCAAACTCGTCGCGCTTAGCGCTCGCTAGCCACCAACTCTTCTCCTACTAGGTCTTTCTGGAGCGAGAATGGCCAATTAGCTAGTCCTCTTTCATACACCTTCTAGCCAATCACTGCGCAATATTGCTATAAATAGCCCGACGAATTGCTGATCGGCCCTTTTGTGCCCAACACAGATAGGGGATTATTGGAGCAACGGCTGAGGGGAGATCGGGTAACAAGTATTTTTAGCATCACATTCATTCTTTTTATTTTAGATTTCCTGGCCTCTAAATGAGTTGGGTTTGGCCATATTCAGAATACTATCTTGCAAAGACCCAATTGAAATGAAGTGTTTAGTATTATCCCTGTCCTCTAATACAGCTTTGGATGCATGACGATCTGCGTATCGGCGCGAAACCATTTAACTGATACCAACGTATAAGCATCCGTGTACTTCTTCTCAGACAGTAGTCAGGAGCAGGAACTAATGAAGGGAAGTTATTTTGGCGCTGAATAGAAGTCCCAATTCAGGAGCCTTCCCTCAAGTTGGTGCATGCTTTATTGTGTCGTGACTGCCCGAGTATGCCAATAAGAAATATAAATATGGACCTAAAGGCCCGCGAGAATTAATTTACATCCGCAACCTCAAAAGCATTCTTCTAGCTGTACTACATTCCAAATCTGTTCAACTAAAATTAACGTACCCACTTTAGGTAAGGCGCTCGTTGCTGCCATTAAAATTAATGTTGACTTTACCATAGAAACCATATACAATGCCATACCAAGTTTGCACTCAAGAGCAAGTACGCTATGCCTGCGGGCATTCAAAGGATGGTCAATTCGTGAAATGCGAGATGCACGCCAACAAAGAGGAGCTGAGATGCTCGAGTACACAGATACAGTATAAGGAAGTCAAAGTTTCAACCCACAGATGCAGGGCGTGTCTGCAGAGCGCTTGAAAGGCTAGGAAACCAACAAGTAGGTTCTCTCTTACCATTAAGGCGCTCGATAAGTAACCAGACCAGGAACTTAACGCTTGCCAATACCTGATTTGTCCTCCAATTTGACTGCAAGGGCTTTTATTTCCTCCTCAGCTACCGCTGGATCCACATTTCCTTGAACAGCGGAGTTTTCAAAATCAAAGACCTTCACACCGTGCTCTGTTATCAGGAAGTTGTATTTATTGAGGTCCCCATGAACGATTCCAAATGTATGCAGCAGATGGACAGCTTCCGTGCAATCTTTAAGATTTTGTATATCTGGGGGTTTCCCCGAAATTTCCTCCATTAAGAAGCCAACTATTCGAGCCTTTGTTTCCTCGTAGACGAAGCCAATAAATCTCGGCGCATGTGGAAAGCCAGACAATGTTAGAGTAGAGTATACCGAAACCTCTCGCTGTAAGGCCGGAATTTCATGTTTAAATCGTGCAACCTTTAGTATCCACGTCCCATCACCACACCTTACACGAGAGATACGATCACTGATACGAGAAATTGTTGTCAGGTCTAAAAGGTTAATAAAGATGGTAGAAGGAATATTAATCTGTCCGAGGTCCAGTCCGTGTGGCGAAAATTCGTCTGGGGTGCTCTCGATGCCCTGGAAGCTCCTTCGAACAGTAAGCGTTTCCCATTTATCCTCCCACCTCGGAATTTTTCGCAGCTTCGAAAGAACTCGGTAGCCATCTGTTCTGCAATCAGGCGGAAGGATATCTTCATCAAGGATCGAAACATATACGATCCGCGAATTTCTCCTTATCCGATACAGAAAATCATTTTCCTCCAGATCTAGGGACAATAATTCCTCCTTAACTCTTTAGTAGAAGTCCTGCTGCAGTGGTTAAATTCAGGATATATCTCACATTATTCGGTGTTGCCGTGGCTGGCTGGCCAAGCAGAGGTAGCAGTGAGCTGATGCCTCTAGCTAGGGATGCCATTAAGAACCAGAGAGTAGGCCAAATCTGCAATCGAAATGGGTGAGAGATGCCAAGCATACCAATAAAGCGCTCAAGGTGCATGAGACGACGATGTCAAGAGCATCGATGCTGGGCTCGAGTCATGACTATTTATCCCTAGGGGCGCTTAATAAGCACTCCTAGCTAAGTAAGTGTCAAATAATAGTTATGACCGTGGGTGGACCAGAATCATGTGACTAGATCGGGGTAAAGACCCCGCGGAGCACACAACTAAAACAACAACCAAGAAGAATAATCAAGAAGAGCCCAACCCAGCTTAATTTATTCAAATAAGACCTTTTTACCAATCGTACTCTATTTCCTCTTCGGGACTAGCCATATATCTGACAGCAAGTTAACTAACGTAACTAGTTAACTGGTAATAAGTGGTGATTCCTCGGGAGAAAGGGGACGCTGATTGGTCTGTTTAGTACCCACCAATCAAAGTGGTACGTAGCGGATTACTGGAGCAACGGATAAGGTCCAGGCGGCAGAACAAACAAAATTATTGGCTCACATAATTACCACTCCAATTAAGGATTTCTGGCAAGCAGCCACGCCAAAATAAATATCACACCAGTTCCCAGGTTGATGATGGCCGCTTATCCAACAGCGGCCAGAATGTCCCTTCAGGAAATACAGGAGTTGCGCCGGCGCCTTGAAGAAGAGCAGCGACTACGGGAAGAAGCCGAAAAACAACTAAAGCTCCAAACTCAAGAAACGACACTTCCCGAATTTCTCGACGCCTGCCATGAACACTTATTTCTCGGTCTCTCCGTACAGAAAGACAAAGACTCGTCAACAAAGGGCGACCCCGCGAACGCCGACCGTAAACTTCGACCGGCTAAGATCCGAGAGTGGACCAACTTTCCAAACGAACAGACTTCAATATGGGAGGACCTGATGAATACTGAGTTCGTGACCGAACGCCATTTTACACCACTTTTGGCGTTGAAGGAATATGGGAAAGAAGCACGAGAGAGGATGGTAAGCTCAGAGTTGGATTTGGGTTACTTTCAACGACAGACTGTTGAGTCACGCGTCGCTTCAATCGTCAAGCAGCTACACGCGAATCCGCGACTTCGACAAACCTTTTGTCTGAATGGAGACGTCACCTTTGAAAACCACGCCAATACCCTAACGGACGAGTCGAACATCATAGCGGATATGGGTTCTCTGAGCCTAACTCAAAATCAGCCACGTCGCTCCGGTCGCTTGGCCGCAAAATCGGGCAGTGCTGGGCTCTCAGCTCAGCTGCCAGGAAGAAGCCAGAACGCTACACAGCCAAGGAATTCCCGACCCCGAGCCGACCAGTTTTGTGTTTATAATAAGGGCCCGGAGGGAAAGGTCCCGGCGTTTATTATCGAATACAAGGCGCCCCATAAAGTTTCTCTCGCCCATGTTAAATCTGGACTTCAAGACATGGACCTTGATGAAGTACTCCGCTTACAAAGAGAGGAATCACCAGAAGACATCTGCCGACGTGTTGTAGCGGCAGTGATCACCCAAACGTTTTCCTACATGATTCATGGAGGTCTGGAGTATGGCTATGTGTGTACTGGTGAAGTGTTTATATTTCTTCGTGTACTTCATAATGACCCTTCCACCGTATATTACTACTTGTCAGTACCAGAAGAAGATGTTGGACAAACAACAGGATGGACAGGTGATCTGAACGGCGATAACCGGCTACATTTAACTGCGCTCGGTCAGGTACTTGCTTTCACTCTCCGCGCTTTACGAGTACCGACACGGGACATCGCTTGGACAACCTCGGCAGTACGCAGACTCAAGACCTGGGAGATGGTATACGACGATCTTTTGGATGAAATCGCAGAGAAGGACATTCCTTCTTCCGACTTTAAACCATCGACACAGAGTCGGAACGAATACTGTCGTGCATCCCCAGTAAAGACCAGGTCAAATCTGCTACCGTTGCGTCCTGTAGTTCTTCGCAAAACGAGGTTGTTTAGTCATGATGATGACGCCGGGGATGGCTTTGATCCTAACACGCCTAGTCGACGACCCCGAAAACCCCGCCTTCCTCAACCGTCGGCTTCCTCGTCATTACGGCAGTGGAAAAATCGCAAGGTTCACGCTCCAAAGGCAAGTCTCGGCAGTATTGCACACAGCAGTGCCTCCTGGGCCTGATCAAGGGAGGAGAATTGGACCGGAAATGTCCCAATGTGTCAGACCACGGGATTGATCGGCACCGACTGAATCGGACAACTCTTATTCGTCGGCTAGACCGTCAGCTCTCCAGCAATAATCTGCAGCTTGATTCGCAGCTGGGGTGCGAATCGTTGCACGTTCACGGGAGTCGCGGGGCGCTGTTTAAAATCACACTGTGGTCACATGGATATACCTTTGTAGGAAAAGGTGTGCCAATCGAGTTTGTGAAGGGCTCGAAGTACGAGGAGCTTATATATTCATATCTCACTCCAATCCAAGGGGTATCCGTGCCAGTGCTACTTGGCAGCCTGCGACTCCGCTGCCCATTCTTTTATGACGGTATTGCCGAGATTGTTCATCTAATGTTTATGGGTTTTGCCGGAAGAACCCTTGCAAGCCTGCATGATCTCGATCGCGATCGACTAATTCAACAAGCCGAGAAATCCTTGCAGGCGATTCACGATCTACGCGTGCTTCAGGGTGATCCAATATCCGGCAACATGGTCGAGGAAAATGGACGGGTGATGTTCATTGATTTTGAGCGGGCAACTTTGCAAACCCGACGAATACCACTGGATGGCATTTCACCTAATCAGAAACGCAAGCGAGAGTTCTGCTCAGAGAAGAGCCCAAACAAGCATCTTTGCTGTTTTGAGCGCGAGAAGCAACGCATGCGACATGGACTATGATGGGGCCGTATTATACTCGGAAATTAATACTCGAAGATGACTATTCAGTTGTGCTGTGTGGCTAAGAACTCAATGGTTCCCTCTGGAAGTACCCTCAAATCAACAGACAATACGCCGAAAAATAAGACGGAAAAGGGGGGGAATGAAGGCGTCGATCAATTCCAAAAAGCGCATTCTTCCAGGTTAAAATTCGCTTTTTGTCTTGCTGAGTCGTTGGCGCTTTAACTCCCTGCGCTAATGTATAAAAGATTAGTCTCATCCTTCCGCCAATTAACATGGCCTTTCTGAGGAGAGGTGAACTATTTTTAAGATCACCCAATACGGAAAAGAGCCGCCCTCGTGAGCGCTACGTGCAAAACCATGGCCAGCATCACCCAATTTTATACATACTGGCCATTTCCCGCCTCAAACACTTCGCCTCTTTTGTTCTGATTAGTGGCATTGTGTTGCGAGGTTTTCCTTATCAACAGGCGACCTAACATTACTAATGGCCTCACCCGGTTGTCATGGTTCCGTATCGACACGTTGTATTTGATCTACGAACGAATGGACGTCACGCTCGATCGACTTCAGGCGTTTCATAAATTTACCGAAGAGCACATTTCAATTGTCTGTCGGGAGGCTAGTAAATAGGATCACAGTTATTTGCGCTCGACTGACTGGCGTACGATAGGTACTGAATGCTCTGAGATTTGTTCACTACGAACTCGATATCAACTATGTCGGACCTGTCTACGAGAATTTATACTTTTCATATGATGGAGCCATCAAGCTCGGTATAAGCAATCAAATTTTTAATGAGGAAATTACTAAGAACACGAATAGGAAATATTGGGGCCTCTCTGATCTGCAACTCTAAAATGTCTATGTGTGCATGTGCGTGTTTCTTCTCTTCTTTGTTCCGTTCTTGGCAAATTAGTGAGGAACTGGTGGATAAACAATACAATTTATGCATTCTTCTCAATGTGGTAGCTATCACGATCAACGTGGATATAGCTCTTGGCTGAACACAAGAGTAATGTCGGGAAGGTACTGTAGTGTTGTAGTTCAGAGGAAAGGTTAATTGTTCTGGATCCTGTTCCGACCTAATTACCATCGACCAGCAAACGCGACGGTGGGTTTCATGCTGCTTGAGAAAAGGGGACCGAATTGGTCTGTTGTGGTATCCACCAATCAAAGCAGATTACATGAGCAACTGGATACGATCCAAGCAAACAAAGAAAGTCCATTGGCTGTAGCCTACAATCACTCCTATTCAGGTTAGATACAACCAGAATGTCCCTCCAGGAGCTGTGCCGGCTCCTTGAGCAACGACTCCGAGAAGAGCAGCGCCAACAGCGTTTTGCTTGCATCAAATATGATTTTCTAAAATACGCTGATGTGAAAACGTCGCGTTGCACCTTGAGCGCCTGGACACTTCTGGTGGCTGAACACTTCCGGTGGCTGAACACTTCTGGTGGCTGAACACTTCTGGTGCCTGGACACTTCTGGTGTCTGAACACTTCTGGTGCCTGGAAACTTCTGGTGTTCCCGCCAATTAGTCTGGATTTCTCCGAGAGCAATGTGACGGCGCTGTACGACCTGACTATATAAAGCGAGAACAGGTCAAGGACGCTGTCCTTGAATCGTAGTCTTTTGCTCCTGGCGCAGCGGGTTTCTCAATCGAATGTTCCCGATTGGGCAGACCAACAAGCAAGCCGAATGATCGCAGGTAGAAGAACAAGCGTCGATAATATTAAAGGTGTTCAATATTCGGGTGGTCATAAAAGTATGCGGCGATAATCTTACTGTTGGTTTAATATTCTTGATGCTCAAATATTAAACAGCCATAAGATTAAGGCAGTTTATTATTAGGGCTGCGGGAAGATTTTATGCTTTAAAAATTAAGCCAGCGGGAATATTATCGCCTCGCAAATATTAAAACTGTCTAATCTTCCCTTTACTCTAATATTAGAATGCGATAATATTCTGGACGCTCGGTGTTATCGCAGGTTTAAGACCGAACGAACAACCCGGTCATTTAGGCGGTTGGTTCAGCGAGCTGATTGGCGCGCATCGAGTTGCATTTTGGGCGCTAAAGCCTGGTCTACAACGGGTATGATATAGAGAGGACATAGAAGGTCAATAAACGCAGTATATGACTAAACATAAAGGTTCTACGTAGAAGGGTTTATACCCCTGTTGTGGGGATATCTAAAGCCATTACGATTTCAGGAAGCCTCTCCTTGCATAGACTGGTGATCGGTGCAGAAGCAACTGTTCCTTCTGAGAAGCCTCTCGGATGATCTCCTCGAAAGGCATAACTGTCCTGGTCGCCCTAACTGAGACTCTCCACGACATGCTTGAGTCGCTGTCATACTGCTCATCGACAAGTTCCCAGTGAAGACGCACATTTGCGTCACCACCAGGTTGTGACACCTGCATCAAATTCAGTGTTCCAGTAACCTGAGAGTAGTCTAGCCAAAGGTTCTCCACAGGCCCGCGGAGACCGTGCACTCTGTTGAAATTTTCCGAGAACCGGATTGTCCCGGCAAATACACCCAAAAAGTCACCTTTGTATAGTGGAATTATGGGACAAACAGAAAGGAAGCTCTCATCCTTGGGCTGAAGGGTTATGAAGTCAGACTTGTCCCGTCCACCTTCCGATATCGATCCACTATCGAATGTAACACCCAGGTAGTCAGCTAAAACCAACGTTGGCTGTGCTGTCAGCTTGAATTTAGCTTCTTCATCATTGGAGAGCCACTTATTGGTGATACTGTTCCATGAAGACCCTTCGACCTGCAACCTCTGCGCCACGTCTGGAAGATCCAAATATGATCTCCGTGTGACGTCTCCATCACTTAGCTTAAGAATTCGGTTCTCAAGCTGTTCGATTTGAGTTGCGTAAACCTTTTCCCACTTCACAACTGTATCTACCAGGGAGACCTCTGAGTTCTTAGGGTATCCCTTGCAGTAGCTGTCGAAGTCTTTTGTTCGATAAAGAAGGATTTTATCAACACCGGCTTTCCGCATTTCAAACAGGCTCTTCCAAAAATTGCGACACTGCCGCTGATTTTCTGTACCCAGTCTATATCCAGTTTCCTCCATGAATTTCTTGGTTGCGACCTTCTCCGCCACAGTAAATCCATCTGCAGGTCCTTTGGCTGTCGGTAATGTCGCAGAATCAAGGAGTTTTGCTCCTTTCAAAATGATTTCCCAGTATATAGATTCATTATACCGAGCTTGCATCTCCTTACCTGCAAACAGAGCGATGTCCCTCTTTACTACCCGGACGGCCCTATTATAGTCATACCCAGAAATCTCATCAACATATTGTCGAATCTTGTGAGGCTCTGATGTAGCATTGACTGTCTTTGTCTGATGACCGCACTTCCCTATGGTCCAGTTGACTCTGACGCATTCCATCAATATAGTTGTCATGGTTTTCATCGCGTAGGCAGAATCTAGCCAGGACGGTAAAGAAGGTAGCGCTTTCGAGTTTGGCGTCGATGAAGGGTCGGCACCACCGGGGCTGGATACAGACTAAATGCTCGCGTCATTAGATGCAGCAATAGAAAGCTCAAAAATCCAGAAAGATCACCTACTTGGGTACATTGTTCTGACCGGGGGGGCTTCTCCGCATCAACTCGAGATGATGCCGAGCTTGCAACATCCTGATGAGCTGTCCCATTCGTGGTGGCTGCTGATGTTTCAGCAACCCTCTGCTCGCCTAGGTTAAACACCATACTGGTTGTCGCAGCTCCCTCATTTTTCCCGGAGTCGGGTGTCTCGCTAAGCTTGTTAATAATAGTCGAGCACTTTTGTCTCCTTTTCCTTTTCTTCCTGGCAGGACGGGTCAACCCCTTAAAATCATTCCGGTCGGCGTGCGAGAGGAGCCGATACGATCCACGAATTTCGCGCGGCGGGGTGAGGGGAGTTTGAGGAGCAGAGACATTTTCCAGCGGCAGAGGCGACGTTTCCTCAGAACCAGTCTCAAGTCGAGTTTTATGGACCAGGGTAGGTGTCAGCTTATAGCGATGTAGGTAGCCTAAGCTCGTATACTTACCGGAAATCTGTGTAACAAGGGATTGTAGCAGCTCCTCACTACTCTGACGGATGCCACAGAGTGTAAGAAGTTCTCGGAGCTTTTGAGTTGCCAGAATCTGGATTTCTTCCTCCATAATACTGCATCTGTTGGGTATTGGCTGGAATGCAAAGGCCTTGATCAGTTTATAATCTGCAACCACATTTCTAGAGCTTTCCATCGCGGAATGCCATCTCTCACACCACCATAGGTAGGGTGGAGAAAGTGCAACCAGCCAAGTCACGGCATAAATGCGTCATAGCTTTTCAGGGGCAGAATGTCACTCCAAAGTGGAGAAAGGAGTGGCATTGACCCAATCATGGTTGATGACTGGCGCAAGTCGTGATCAGGATCACTATTGGTCGATGTGCGGAGCCGTAGTATGTGGAATATTTTGTCTATTACAATAACTTAGATTCTGTGGTATGGTACTGTAGATCCTATTCTGATTAGTCTTTAAACAAGGACATGAGTTTTCAGTTATGTGGATAAATATTAGGAATACGTTGGATATACTTTGTAACCTTTAGGCTATCTAAGAACAAGGGTCTTGGTTGTCGAGACGAATCGGTGACGTGATTACAGATCATCTAGGAAAACACACATGTACTCCTATAGCCAACTTCTCTCATAAGATCATATGATCAACTCTTGGGAGTAGCGCTGATGGTCCTAGGAGCGACATCACTTTTATAGAGAGCCCCAAAGCTCCCATGGCCTAGCCAGTTCTTCACAGGAACCTGGTTCTTTCCTGCAGGAAGAGCGGCACCCCTGTCCCCTTCGACTCTACCCATGGCTTCAATCAGGTTCCTACTTAGAAGATTTTACGGTAAAGCAACAAAAAGAAAAAGAAAAGAAAAGAAATCGAATGATAGTTCCTAATATCCTATTCGTGACTCTGTACATACTGTAACTAACTAATACTCAGGCTTTGCACAAATACCAATTTCCTAGCCCCACATTCTTTCATACTCACTCCTGTCTTCTGAAATCGGATTCAAACTCTTCTATTGTTGTTCGAATTGGCCGTGGATAGTAGGTGGCCTGTTTTTTGTTTAGTGTATGGAAGCCTCGTACTGTGTCCGTAAGGTGTATCTTACCAGATGGGAGTCGAAACCGGACCAGAATCCCGTAGAATCGGCCAGAAATGTATAGACTCGGCCAGAATCTCTCAGTCGGATTCCCAAACAAACATCGGCATCGCACATCTTGCTGTATTCGCATACTTTCTTCATGATGCTCGCCCTCCGTCTATCTCTCCTCTGCCGGAGGGATTTCTTCCACGACTCTGAAGCCCTCCGTACCCTCCGTCCGTCAAAAGTTTCCGTCGACATTATCTTGAAGGGCTGGACAAAAAAAACAAGAAAGAACGGTACTTCGAAGGTAATTTGATATCTCTAGCATCCTACGTCCTAAGAAACAAAGTATATATACTTGTTTTATAGATGGCTTAGTGGTAAAATAGCAATTGATTGTTCTTATTGAGGCCATGTAAACTGTAGTAATGAGTGATCAGTAAAGTAAGATGCATTTTCATGTTCAAAAACAAGGGTATGTTCATACAAGCCTAGGCCGCCTTTTACCTTCATCTTCTTTTAGGGTATCATAAAGTAGAGGGTGAACTAAAAATGAACCCTCCAAAAAGTGTTGATTGTTTATACTCGGGACCACACTGATTAAACTTCCCAAGGGATCAATGACGAAAGCACTTGACGTTCAACACCGATCACTACCAGATAAGGAGGGGCAGTTGGTTAAACCAGTCTCTTTATTTCTGGCCCCAGGACATTATGGAGGGCAAGTCTTCCGAGGTCCTTTACCAAATGGGGAAGATAAGGTATTTTTACTCTCCTCCAGTACCGACAGATAACACAACTACAAAATGATCTAAACATTCAACTGATGCCAAATATTCAGTTATGAACTTGCAAGGAAGATTTGTTCGGGCAGCACCAGCAATTTTCTGCTATGGCTTGTCTTTTCAACATTTTTCCCTAAATCAACTATCGAGTCTGGACAGCCGAAGGAATCTGAAGGCCTCAATTGCCCACCTCATTTAACCTGGGTAATTGTCTGTTAAACATCCACTCGATGGGGATCCATAATTATTTACCACTAAATTACAAGGCATAACATTCCCGGTTGGTGAAGTTCATTTCATTCAGCTTGTACTGAATACTTTTCTCTTCTTTTGAACACTACAATCAACCAGATTTGCTTTCCTGATATCTAATCTTATATTGTTACAGGCTCCTTAGCTCCTTCTAACATGGTGAAATCTCATCTGGGCAATTAATTTCCCCCCTGGTATTCAAGTATTATGTAGATTCTAAATAGTATGGGAGTAATCCGAGTAAAATGGCCTTGTAGAAATACATTCTGTATTCCCAATTATCGTTCTGCTGTGTGAAGAGATCCAAGGAAACAAAAATAATCTGGAGGTGAACTGCATCTGGTTGAACGTTTATTGGTGATATTAAGAATGGGTATCATTGCCTGCACTTACTGGGAGAAGGGGGTTGGCGGTGACGGGTATGGGTTGGGTCGATCTAGAGAGGCTAGACACTGTTCATTATGGAGGGCAAGTCTTACGGGGGGTCCTTACCCAATAGGGAGCATCAATTTGGAACGGTCAACATACCAAATAGTTCGGTGATAAACCAGTGCAGGGAAATTTGTTGGGGGCAGTACTAGTCCTTCTATGTATTTTCTTGTCGGACCCTAAATCAATAACCGATTTAAGGCCTCAATATCCCACCTCATTTAACATGGGCAATTGGCTGTTGAGCATCCCTTCGACAGGGGGTCTATAATTATCTACAGCTTAAATACAATGCTCAGTCGGTGAAGCTCACTTTGTTCAACCTGTATTGTATACTTTTATTTAGAACATTACATCCAACAGACCAGCTAATTTTACCGGGTCACGATTAGCTTAGCTCCTTTCAACAATATGTTGAAAGAGCATCTGAGCAGTTGATCCTTTCCCTTGAATTCTACCATATTACGAATCCATCTCTCTTCTAGCATAGACCGATTTTCTGATACTCTTGAGAGCCTCGGCTACCCTCTTGGGAGGTAAAGCTAAGGTCTCAGGAGCACAACAACTCCCAGGGACATACTCATTAATCTTGGGAGTAGCGGACGTGCCCATGGGAGGTCAAACCATGCTCCTGGGAAATACAACTATCCCAAGAACTTGGGTTGCTCTCCCCGTATACACTTATTTAATACCCGTTGCTGTGACCAAACGCCATCTTCGTGCCAAAACAATGTCCAAGAAATTTAAGAAATAGTGGGAGGAGGCGGTGCGACGGGTATCCTTTTTTGTAACCAAAGAATAAGAGCCCAGAACCAGCAGGCTTCCAAGTTAGATACAAAATCCTGGTTGACAAGAGAAGACCAACTTTGTGCTTCTATTCTCTAAAAGTACTAGATGTACCCCAAAGTGGAGAAAGGAGTAGTGCTGAGCCAATTACAGCGAGTGTTAAGTCAAGTTTGATATTCTCTTACTATTGGCCAAAACAAAGATTTAAATAGACACATAGAGAATGGATACGTTGTAGCATGCTAAAGTGAACAGCATACTTTTATGATTAGGAGGAAATAAGAAACTATGCAGCAGATGGAATGATTGCCCTTTTTATAGGTCTTAAGAGGCTTAATTTCCCTCATTTCCCTCATTTTCTCCCAATCACAAGGGTATGAAATTGTCAAAACCGGACCGTGCCCCTGGCTGCTCAGATAGCAGCTTTAGGGACCGGTGACCTGTTTGTTCATCATCCCTGCTATGTTCATGCTCAACTTTCAAGGGCGGATGTTGGTGTTATTCCAAAGTGGAGACAGGAGTAAAATTGGCCCAATTATAGTTCAACGAAGGCACAACGCCGGAAGGACCCTTGCAAGCAGACATGATATCGATCGCGGTCGACTAATTCAACAAGCCGAGAAATCCTTGCAGGCGATTCACGATCTACGCATGCTTCACTCGGCTTTCGCCGCGGCGACCTTGAAGATCGAGAATAGTGAAGTGTGCATGATACTATTCCTAAGGAAGAGAAGAGTACTACTTCAGCAGGGGCTGCACCCTCTGGGGTCTCTGCTGCTCCGCTTCCGGAGCTGCAGCTCCTGGCGTCACTTCCGGAGCTCCCGTGTTTCTTTTGAAGGCTGCTGAGACGGTGTTTCCAAATACTCGCTGGGATAATATTGCTCAGTTGGGTGTGGAAACTGGGTAAGATGCTTTTCGGCTTGGGTTGAGTTCATTGTGTTCATGCCTCTGGAGTACTGTACTGAAAGTGCCCAATGTCTTGGGATCCATTTATCGGGCCACGCAGAGTCATTATATATGCCAGCGGCAAGAAGCTGGGAACGCGCTAGCTTCCTGCGGTACGAGCCCTGCTATTGGGCCTACTGAAGCTGGGCGCTAAGGGAGCATTGTAACCTTGAAAAGCGGATTTTGCACGCGCAAAATAGAAAACGTCTTTTACCCACTAAATCCGAAAGTGTGGCATCTGAACGAATAATCGTGGCCTTCAGCGATAATATAATAGATCTTTGGTCTTTTGCACATATGTAGACTTTCTCAACTTTTTCCAACATAAATACCGACATCCTCCTTTCAGACAGTTAGTTCGACCCAAGAGCCTCAAAATATGAACTTCATCGCATGGGTAACCAACCACGTTGCAAACCAAAGGAAGTATGCCGCACTCGAAACAACCAAAGCACTTGAGGACAAGCAGGAAGTCTGCCCGCCAGAAACGAGACCGTCGCAGAACCAGTCTGATAAAGAAATCATCCGAATATAGCCGGATGTGCGGGGCAGATGTTTGTTTAGGTATACGTATCAGGGAGACAGGGCGGGTTTATATATTTTCTGCGGATGCTTCGGGATTTTGGGCATTCGTAGGGTCACAATTAGTATACTTCCCAGACATGCATATGTGCTCCAGTGGCTGATTCCTTAGGACTCCTATTATCCAACCCCAAGCCAGATAACTGATCAAGACTCCATCAGTTTATGAGACCAAGACTTGTTGGCGGATCAACAGACGATCGATGTAAAGGGATGGAACCCATTTGACCTCTCGGGCCACTGTCCCTATTGTCCCTATTGTCCCTACTGTCCCTTTTGGCCCTGTTGGCACCTTTGGCCCATCGGCGCTCGATCCATATCACGTGACTTTCCACCCTGTTTGTTTACCGCTCATCTTCCTGTTCCTTTCTTCCCTTCAACGATTCCTTTTTGTACATAGCCTATCTTATAGGTTCTACGGGTTCAGCCCCTGACAGTCGAAACGGAAGTCCTGGAGTCCGACTAAAGTGCATTAGGTTAGACAGTTACGATAGATCTTGGAGGAGGGCTGGTTTGTATTTAACCTAGGTCCGTCATACCCCGGGTCCGTTACGCTGTAGGACGAGTGCCAATCCGATTCGAATCCCTATAATACAACCCCTGCCAAGACTACATTGGCCCCACTGTATCAGGATGCTGACTCAGCCCCTAATGACCAACTTGATCTGCATTCAGTTCCCACCCCTGTAGAAAAATGTGGTGACTTTCGATCGGGTCAATGTCGGAAGAATATCGGACCTCAAACCATGATTAATCCAGGCCAAACAATGAAGCTGATGGTTATGAGCCGTGTTGGACAACGAGACAAAGGATATGGGGTTTGTACTGTGATCACACCCCCTTCTGAAAATGTGGCCTCCGAGAATCGTGGCCTCCGAGAATCGTGGTCTCCGAGAATTGTGGCCTCCGAGAATCGTTGTCTCCGAAAATCGTGGTCTCTGAGAATCGTGGCCTCCGAGAATCGTGGCCTCCCGAAAATCGTGGCGCCCGGCGCTAATATAATAAAGCTTTGGTCTGTGGTGGAGGCTACCAATTTACGTCTTCTGACCAGTGGACATTTTACTACATTTGGCCGGCAGCTATTTCACGGCTTTTAACCTCCAATTTTCTCACTCATCTTAGTGGCTAGTGGCTCTCCCATCCGCCAACTATACCGCCCAGCGCTCCGTGGGGAGCCCTAGGGCATACTATTCCCTGAGGGGAACTTTCCCTAAGGCGAACTATACTCTGGGGCGTACTATCCCCTGAGGAGTACCATCCCTGGGGCGTACTATGCCCTGAGGCATACTATTCCCTAAGGGGAGCTTTCCCTAAGGCGAACTATACTCTGGGGCGTACTATCCCCTGAGGCATACTATTCCCTAAGGGGAGCTTTCCCTAAGGCGAACTATTCTCTGGGGCGTACCATCCCTGGGGCGTACTATCCCCCGAGGCGTGCTTCCTCTGGGGCGTACTATGCCCTGAGGCATACTATTCCCTAAGGGGAGATTTCCCTAAGGCGAACTATTCTCTGGGGCGTACTATCCCCTGAGGCGTACCTTCCCTGGGGCGCAATATCCCCTGAGCCATACTATAGGCTGAGGAGAACTTGTAAAGCGGAAGCTCGCATTCTCCCCCGGGATCCGTTAGGAGACTTACAACCCAACTTGGACAATCTTCCCGCAGTGGGCGTATATATGTAGTGGCTATATCACTGCACCGGCACAACCCCCCCAGAGCCGATTATAGCTCCTACATTGCCTGCTGGCTAGCTTGTGTGGCGATGATTTCGGGACCCTGGCGTACCAGGCCTCATCGTTCAGCTGGAAATTGGAAGGCAACCGCCTCACCCCCCTTTTCCTGTGGAACATGGATGGGCAATGCATGCGTTGCTGCCTTCGGCTCGTAGCCCCTGTGATACTCTGATCTGACAGTTTGCCCCATATGCAAAGGGGGGATCTCTCCAATACCTAATTCCTTTGAACTAATTCCTTTAGGACTCCTATTATCCAACTCCAAGCCAGATAACTGATAAGGACATTATCAGTTCACGAGACCAAGACCAGTCTATGGCTTAAGAAGGGATCAAACTAAAAGATGTTGATCTATACTATAACCTTGGCAAATACTAAACTGCATTTGGTTAAACCACTTTGGCTTAGATGTAACAAAAATCTGTGGCTGATCAATCCCGTGCAGTGTTTTGATGCGGCGGTTAAGCTGTCGGCGAATTATTGACAAGAAGCAAGGACACAGCAGGCCAGCAGCCCAGGAGGATGCTTGTACCTCGCACTGTTGCAAAACCATCGCGTCCAACTGGATCTAGTAAATATCACCTTCAAGTGCCGCAACGAGCAGGGCAATTGGAAAACTATAAATGACATGGTCATTGATCCAGCCGATCCGTCTGGAGTGGAGCAGCTAAGAAATATGCTCGCAACTGGCAAGCAACCTTCTATGATAAAAATCTGCGGCTGATTAAATGCGGCGGTTGAGGATGGGACAAACACTATTTTCGTGGCATATGGAGGAGAGCTAACCGTCAACAAGGAGATGGTGGCATCTGTCAAGGAGGCGCTAGATACAGACAAAGAGTAGGGAAGAGGGACAAAACGACGGAATCAAGAACCGAGTGAACTGAGTGACTAGATTTGTCAAGCATGCCCATACCAACTTCGTATGCACTGTATCTGTCTATGGACTGTATTTGTCCAAGGACTATATCTGTCCAAGGACTATATCTGTCCAAGGACTATATCTGTCCAAGGACTATATCTGTCCAAGGACTATATCTGTCCAAGGACTATATCTGTCCAAGGACTATATCTGTCCAAGGAATGTATCTGTCCGAGGACGGCTGTCCGAGGACGACTGTTCAAGGACGACTGTTCAAGGACGACTGTCCAAGGACGGCTGTCCAAGGACTGTATCTGTCCAGGGACTGCATCTGTCCATGGACAACTGTCCAAGGCTAGGCTGAGACCTGAAACACCTGGTCTTAATGCAGTAGCCGTGGTTACTCACCCTCGGCGGCGGCTAATTCAAGGGAAATGTCAGATATTCGGACAGTCCCGAATAGGAAATAGGATTCTAATTGTAAACGGGTCTTAAATCGATGGTTTTAGGTATAAATTATTTCTTAAAGACCAAGTTAAAAGGGTTAAATGGAAACTAAAGACAAAAACTAAATAAGTTGGTACTGTACTAAATACACGAATCCGCAAATATCCAGTTACTATTATGCCCTTTAATTTGCTCTCACCCTTAGTCGCCACTTAAGCGGTACGGAGGTTCGAGGGGTGACCACACGCTTCCTCTTCCGGGGATTCTCGTCACTCTTCAACTTGTTAGGCGTCTCGTCTCCAACTCCATTCTGTCCCAGTGTTTCGTGAGGAGCTGTCTGCGTGCTTGCTACGATCATTAGCCAGGCGCATTAAGTCAGAATATAATACGTACCATCCACGTAGCTTGGCCTCTTGTCGCATGTAGGGGTGGCTGTTGCACGCTCGCTGTGATCTATTAGTAATGGCCACAAGTAGGAAGGCAAAAGTGCTGTACGTACCATCGACAAGAACTGCGCCTCCAGGGGCAGGAACATGAATAGGGGGCTCGGGTGACCCAGGTTCAGTGCTTTGTCTCTTAGGGTATCCATAAATCGCCTCCCAGTCTACAATGTAGATAGGGTTCTCACGAGAACCATATGGACTATCTCCACAATCAATAAGAACTGGGTTATACTTTGAGCTCCCGAGACCTTGAACCAGAGAGGGTATTAGCAACAGTTTAGTTATCTTTAGCAGCAAGTAGGTGATACCTTGGCTCGCATCCACGACTTTAGATGGCGGGGACATTGTTATTGTTGCAAAGAGGGATTTCAGTGAGTGGTTCGCGAAAGAGGAGTGCAGTCTAGTTGAGAGGGATCAGGAGACCCTTTTATATCCCATTTATACCAGAGACAATCAAAGCCCCTTATCCCAACAGTTTAGTGCTTCTGCAATATCGGGCTCACAAAGAAAGAGCAATTGGATATGAATCAACCCTGGGGCCTGGGAATGTCGTCATCAGCGTTATCTTAAGCTCTAGTCAGTTCTAAATTTGCACACATATAGGTGGCTGAGACAGTATAGCCAGTGCACGCATGGCCTAGATAGCACTTGGTTGGCTATCATTGCTCCCAAAGGCCGTCGCATGCCAGTCACCCCATGTCCAAGGCAGAATATCTGTGCCGGCGTCGTATTTCAACTCCATAGATAATTCAAACGGTTGGTTCTCGGTGCTTCCGGTGCCCCCGGTGGTGAAATGGCACTGTTGTTTAACTTTCAGGGGCTTGTTGCATCCATATTCAAGGCAACAATGGCTTCAATCGGGATGGGAACAGGACTAACCACTGGTTATCATCATTCCGCGTGATCCAACAACGGCACGCACTGCTCTTGGTTGACATCATAATGCTCAATACTAAATATAGATGTTAATTATATAGGCCTGTCTGTCTTGGAGAAGGTTGGTCCGCTATATAAAGCAGAGAACCTACTAGTCAAGTAATTCTTCTTCAATCCTCAACTCTACCACTCGATTTCCCTTGTGTCTCTTCAGTCCATCTCATCCTTAATCATGTCTTATACTTTCAACATCTTCAGTGACATTGTCATTTACCTATGCCCAGAACAGCCAGCAAAGGCAGATGTTCGTCAAAACTCCGCTCAAGATAGAAGTGAGCCCGAGAACCAGCACTTCGAGGGAAATTATTCGGAAACGAGCAGAGGTAGGATGAGCTTTTAGATCTATTAAGGTATTAATAGCTTGATAGCAAGCTCAACGGAGACTGAGACTATGTATAATGGCCTTCCAAGTGACTCGCATACTTACTGTGAAGACCTCCAAGATAATGGTAAGAGATGTTCCCTGCAATCGAAGCACAGATGCTAATATATTTTAGCAAATATTGCAATCAAGACATACCTCTGCACTCTCTGCGGCCACGACTCCGTTGAATTAGTACTAGGTTGTGGCCATGCCTGCTGTTCTGCTTGTTTCAGCGAACATTTTCATAAGTATGTAGTTGAGATGAGTCAGGTTAGTGAGGAACAGCATCGGCGCCAGCATCTGACAAGCCATATGTTGCTTCCACGTTGTCCTCTTTGTTCGAAGCATCTTCCAGGATGTTACGAGAGCGAGCATCAATTTGACCTGGAGGGCTTTTACTTTCCTGTTAGATGCCTTGGCGTTTGCCATCAGAATTGTTTTGCCCAAGGGTACATGGTGCAGGGAGTGCGGATAAAATTCCCCCCTTTTCATCATCTTAATAGCAGTGTAATTAGGCAAAGTGTTGTTTATAATGTTCCTCCCTCTCTCGGCGTCACAGTAGGTACGCTAATCTATATCGAACAAATCGTTCCACCTTCAGCCATACAAATAGAAGGACTAGACTCCTGGTAGTCGCTCCAGGAGAAAACCAACAAGTGTAGTACTGTGTCATTTCAATCACAAAATTATCCCCGCCTGTTTTGGTTCATGAATCATATTTCGCCGCCAGCTCTTGCCAGGTTATCCACCGGGGCGTGGGGTAGTAAAGTATCTAAAATTTTATTAGTCTCGTTTAGAAAACTTCATCTTAACACCTACTAATTCTTCTTGGGAAGGAATCCATCGTTCATTCGAATTAAACACGTAAATCTGGCCGCTATCTTTTAGCCGGACCAGCATCGAGATATCCGCGTTGCACTCCTGGCAGAATTCAAACGCCTTCCTGAATAAAGTTCCTCCTCGTCGATAATGTTGTTGGCGTCTTGCCTTCGAGTTGTTGGACTGACGGCCACGGATCTTTCTTGGCTTTGCCATTTTTGGGAGATTTCTAGAATATTTACAGCAAAGGACATAAAAGGGAAGTGGCTACTTAACTTCAAAGCTTTGGGAAGTTCATGCCTTTATATTATTCCTATGCTCACCCTCTCCGCGCGACCGAAGGCTATATAGGTAAAGACTAAAGATCATCCCGAAACACAAGGTTGTAGTCAAGTAGAGACTATACCCAGTTTATGATAGCCAGCATTTACCCATCCTCGCCTCTGGAGGTGAGCTGTGGTGAGCCGGGTGAGCTTTAACTGTTGCTCTGACTTAAGTAGGGTGCGGTCCATTTTGGTACCGGCTGGCCCCCCTCGGTCTGTTCCAAATCAGTAAATCCCTCGCTCACCCACAACAGAGGGCTGCAGGTGATAGAAGGCGGCCGGTCATAGAGGGCCGTGGGTGAGCGAGGGCTGCTGGTCATAGTGGGCTGCCGGTCACAGAGGGCTGCAGGTGATAGAAGGCGGCCGGTCATAGAAGGCCGTGGGTGAGCGAGGGCTGCTGGTCATAGTGGGCTGCCGGTCACAGAGGGCTGCAGGTCATAGAAGGCGGTGGGCCATTGAGGGCCGTGGGTGAGCGAGGGCTGCTGGTCGTAGAGGGCGGCCGCCTTCTATGACCTGCAGCCTTCTATGGCCGGCCGCCTTCTAGGAATAAGTTCACAGGCCGTGGTAGACTCAGTGGTGCAAACAGACTCAGTGGTCGGGACAGACTCAGTAGTGCGAAGAGACTCAATAGTGCGGGCAGACTCACTGGTGCGAAGAGACTTAGTAGCGCGGACAGACTCAGTAGTGGGGACAGACTCACTGGTGCGGAAGGACTCAGTGGTGCGGACGGACTCTGTAGTGAGGACAGACTCCGTAGTACGAACAGACTCAGTAGTGGGGACAGACTCTCTGGTGCGGAAGGACTCAGTGGTGCGGACGGACTCAGTAGTATGAACAGACTCGGTGGTGCGGACAGACTCGGGGTTTGCCGGTACCAAAACGGGCCGCACCTACTAGTATACTATGGCTTTACCCCTAACCAAACACAAATGTCTGAGAATTGAGGCCGTGGTGTCATAGCCTTTGCAGAAGGCATAGACTAACCAAAGTCTCTTACCACATCACTGTTTTCTGTCGCCCTCGAAAATATGAGCACCCTCCTAGGTCTGATCTGAGAATATGTGGCTCAGCTTAAGAGGTTCTTATAAATATGAGCTATGTCGGCTGGAGAGAAACGTCTCAGAGCAGTTAACCACTTGAGAATCATTTCTTATTCTGTTGTCTGAGACATGTAGACTCTTTTGTGTGTTACATCATAAATATGCATTCATGATGACACGTTTATAGTTAGACCATCATATGAAGTAGCCAGACATGGAAAGCTCGATTCAGAAGGCCTCTCTTGAGAGGGAAGCCTTCTTGTGAATTTCCTCTTGTGAGGAAAGCAGTCACATGAGAATTCCCATGAAAGCAATGGCGAGACAAGAGGGGATAGATCATGTGAACCTGCTCATCGAGCGGTATACCTTCTAGAACAGCCGTCTCGTACCCTATTCAATCATAAGATATGGGTGTATGGTAAGGACACTGGTCTTATTGGTCGCAGCTGACCAAACCTATAGTTAGTGGGACCACTCCGCTTGGTAATCCGCACAAAAAGAAAAGGAATTTCTATTGGTGGCTGTGAAAATATTCAGCAGGCACGCGGCTGTTTCGCCGCCCAAAAACTCCAGAGTAGGATTCCGTCCAATACTTAGTTAGCCCTTCCGCAGCGGTAGTCCCACTGCCACCAGGAGTCGGAGTAACGGACCAATGAAACCCCATTTTGGAACCGCAGAAAGGATGGCTGCGGGAGTCACTGCGGCACTAAGCTTTCGTTACTCCGTAGCTTCTGCAGCGTTGTCAGCCTGAGGCGCTAGCAACGCAAGCCAGCGATGAATTTATTAACCCGATCGAAAATCATCACTTTTTTTTTTGTTTTTACAGGGCATGCAAAGGGGTGGGAACAACTAAATCGAATCAAATTGCCTCCTCAAGGAACCAAGTCAGCACCTGATACGGTGGGGCCAACTTAGTCTTGCCGTCCCCCATTTAAATCTACCCAAGTACTGTTGTGGAACTACAGTAGGTCTGAGGAATTGGCATTGAATAGAGTGAACTAAGCCATTGAATTGGATGAGCGAACTTAGTTAGTATACAGGAATTTCGTCTGTGGGAAGACATATATAAGCGAGGACTTCGCCGATCTTTCGGGTAATCCTTCGGGCCGATCCCATATTCATAACAAGTACCATCCAGCACCAATATCATAGCCTAAGTCTGTTTATCTTATTTCGTGGTCTCCGTGACGTCCCCAACAATGACCACCCCCGTCTTCGAGCGGTCATAGAACTTATCCTCGTCCGCCGCAATCTGCGCACTGATTTCGGGGCATAGGCCTTCGCCACGCAGGCCTCCCAGCTCGCCTGATCCGCGAACGTCATCTCGGCCAGACAGTCATAATCGTAGTCGGATTGTTGGCCGACAACCACGGTTGCTGGAGTTGTCGCGTTGCGTGCCGAGGCACCGTCTGGCGCCGCTTCGACGGCCGTGCGAGCAATGTAGACGCGCCTGTGGGAGAGCGGGAAGTCGTCGCCGACCAGGCGCTTGAAGAGCTCGATGTGTGCTTCGTAGTGCTGCTTGAAATCTTCTGGGGAGATTCCTGGGAGGCGGTGGGCGTAGACGAGGACTTTGAATGTCATTTTGTTTTAAGAAGAGAAAAAATTGTGGAGAGACGGTGATGATTTTGGATTCGATAGTGGCCGAAGTTTCCCATTTAAAATCCGCTTGACTCAATCCACATGCTGGGATTTTGCTTGGTATGGCGGCTATTTCTAGAACAGACTCGAAATCCCTCGAAGGATCCAGAGTAAGCCAGCACCGGGCTGTTCGACCTCCCGTTCTCTTTCTTTCCTCACTTCATCCCCTCTATCTTGCACTCAATACCGCGCCCCTGCAATTCCGCCTGCCCAACCGGACTCCCCATCTGCTGCCCACCCGCTCCCTTTCTTTTCCGTCGGCTTCCATCAGGCGACCAAGCAATCGAGTAGACCAACCCACTATGCCCTTCAAGAGTTGTGCACTAACTGGTGACCAGATTCCAAATCCTGATCGTCTTATTCAATACACTCAATTGCAAAACCGCCGCAAGAGTCTTATACTCTCCGATTGTATTTCAAACCCTAGTGCCAAGGCAGACTAAACTATATTAGGGATATTTAAGGGAAAAGTTATTTTCCGGAAGTATAACATGTATTGTACTAAACTGTTAGATGACAGTAAATTACGGTAGTTGTGTATGGTGCTTGTATTTGGAAACCATGGTATCTAGAAGCTTCTTTGATGCAAACTAGCCAAACCCCCAGAAGTAGGCGCCTCGAGGATCTGGCAATCTGTCAACATAACCTCTCTTTGTCTCCTACAGAATCTGTCACGGTCGACGTGGCAATTTGGAGCTTTGTCCCAGGTTACTTGATACAGATAGTGCTCTGCAATACCTGTTTTAGTGGTGCAATATCCATGACCCTGCTTATTATTTTACTCGGCCTGTTAGCTGCAGCTTCCCTCCCCTAGACTCCTTGGTAGACACCACATGGTGCTGGCTAACATCCGATGTCTCACATACTAGACTCCTCTGTGGCATTGATTGCCTTGGGGATGATGTTCCGTTTTTACAACGATAATAATAACTCTTAAATTAACCCGCCTGATTTATGGACTCAAACTCCATTGTATGCCCCACCCCTGGCGACTTCGGCCCTGAACGTACGCCATCCGTATTTTGCCCATCTCCTAAGCATGTACTTGATAAACCTTATACCCCTTGCATTAATCCCAGCCCGACCAGCCCGGCTTCTTCCAGGAGCCTGAAAGAAATCCGGGACCACATAGAGAACAGCCATATATTTATTATATGATTGAGTGGAAGGTAACTCTAAACAACCGAACTATGTCAAAGGACACAGAACAAGACCTGGTTGTAGCTCCCAGTTCGAAATGGCAGCAGATACAGGAAGATGCAGATAATATTCTGCGTCGGAAAATACGCCGCAACCAACGGGTGAGATCAGACAATACTGCGGTCAAAGTATCTGTAAATGACCGTTCGCAATCTGACTTAAATAAGCGCTATAACGGCACTAACGTTAATTAGAAACCCATAGAAAAGCAGCTTTTGATGTGGGGAAATCTGTTTTGTCTTGGGAAGAAGCTCAGACTCTATATATCTATAAATTATATTGAGGACACAGACCCCCTCCTTCGCGGAAGGGGAGATAAGAGAGGAAAATTATTAGTGACCAAGAGAATACTTACAGAACAAGATATTCGGGTTGATACTAAGCATGTTTCTAGGGTACCCTTAGTTTAATAAGATATGTATAAGACAATGCGTTGTCCTGGGCCACTATATTACCACGATAGACAGTGGTGTTGGCAGGACCCTTTGGGGAAAAAAGCACTACAGACTTACAACACTTTATATGAGGAGACTTGTCCAATATGTTAAAGAAGGAGGTATTTTAGAGACCCACAATAATCTTCCGGACGATGTTCGTGAAGATCTATACGCAAAGGAGAAACAGCGATAAAAAAAAACAAAAAAAATAACAATCAACTAAGTGGATTAATGGGTTAACTAATTAATATTAATATTCTCCCGGCACAGCCATCCCAATCTGTTACACCTGTAACAGCAAGCACAGCGGGGCTCGTTTTAAGTACAACGTCCACCGAGTCTATTAATATTTCCGGACTCCTCGATGTAGCAGTGGATAAATATACCAACTGGCAACTATCACGGGTGAGCAGCAGAGACCTACAGGGACGATATTATAAAAGCACGTGATATGGCGTTGAAAAACTGTCTCGACCTTAAACAAATTCTAAGGGATTAAGACCCAGATTTCTTTATTAAGCAGGGTGTGACGATTGGTGTCGCGCGCCGGTTCGTTAGTGATATTATTAACTGGGTCAAGTGGTGTGGACAGAACAAATAATGATAAGGCGCATCGAATTGTTGGCTAGGCTTTATACTGTTTATTAGATACTGTAAACTGCTCCATTAGAAATACAGAATTTCCGGAAACTGGCGTCACCACTACATACTCTCTTCTTCTTTCTGAATCCTTGGCGCCGAGATAAAGCCATTTCTAAAATGGAAAGGAATAACAATCTTCCAGAATCATTTCTTGTATGGTGGTGAAGCAACAGAAACATTACATTAAGCTTGTATTAACCCTGTACGGGCGGTCGGTGGTATGCATATTAGCGCCATGGCGGGAAATTTAACAAATCATAAACCAGAGGCAATTACTGGAACGTTTCGCCACAAACTGAAAAAAAAGTATATAAGGTTCAGCTATCCCAGACCCTCCTTTTAAGCAGAGATTAGAAAATATGTGTGCGCATGAAACGCGGACGGCTAGTCCATAGGTACAGAGAACCCAATAAAAGAAACACGCCCATCACTATAGCCAAGAGCAAGGATACCATCTTTAATAGCGGAACAGCTAGTCTGACGATACTTAGAAGGCAGCCACAGTGCTTTTTCGCCTCCAACAATCACCCAGTTGTTTAGAGATATTTGAGGGACACGGGTATGTGAAGTTGGGGTGCATTTATCTCCCTGGCCCTCATCGCTGGAGACCACCGACGCAACCGAAGATAAATGGCCCTTGGGCGTCTGGCGTTCCAGGCCGGTCTTGGCATCCCAGAGCTTGACGGTCTGGTCGCGGGAGCCTGAGGCCACCGTCTGACCGTCGGGCGAGAAGGCCACCGATTGAACCGAAGCTGAATGGCCCTTGAGCATCTTGCGTTCCAGGCCGGTCTTGGCATCCCAGAGCTTGACGGTCTGGTCGTAGGAGCCTGAGGCCACCGTCTGACCGTCGGGCGAGAAGGCCACCGATTGAACTGAATCTGAATGGCCCTCGAGCGTCTGGCGTTCCAGGCCGGTCTTGGCATCCCAGAGCTTGATGGTCTGATCGTAGGAGCCTGAGGCCACCGTCTGACCGTCGGGCGAGAAGGCCACCGATTAAACCGAAAAATAAATGGCCCTTGAGCATCTGGCGTTCCAGGCCGGTCTTGGCATCCCAGAGCTTGACGGTCTGGTCGCGGGAGCCTGAGGCCACCGTCTGACCGTCGGGCGAGAAGGCCACCGATTGAACCGAAGCTGAATGGCCCTTAAGCGTCTGGCGTTCCAGGCCGGTCTTGGCATCCCAGAGCTTGACGGTCTGGTCGCGGGAGCCTGAGGCCACCGTCTGACCGTCGGGCGAGAAGGCCACCGACGTAACCGAAAATAAATGGCCCTTGAGCGTCTTGCGTTCCAGGCCGGTCTTGGCATCCCAGAGCTTGACAGTCTGGTCGCGGGAGCCTGAGGCCACCGTCTGACCGTCGGGCGAGAAGGCCACCGATTGAACCGAAGCTGAATGGCCCTTGAGCGTCTGGTGTTCCAGGCCGGTCTTGGCATCCCAGAGCTTGACGGTCTGGTCGCGGGAGCCTGAGGCCACCGTCTGACCGTCGGGGTCTGACCGTCGGGCGAGAAGGCCACCGATTGAACCCAAGATGAATGGCCCTCGAGCGTTTGTAAATCTGCACTCCAGAAGTCGTCCATTCGTGGTGCTACACATATCCACCTAGGAATCTCTTTTTCAAAATTTCTTCTAATAATAGACTTTCTGGGAGAGAATATTAGTCCAGAACAATAAAGTTAAAGTGGAGCAGCATTTGCAATTTGCATGTTTTTAAGAATAAATTGTTTGGCGTCGTGTAAAAAGTCCACTATGTCCGATGATGTTTTGCTCTAAAATTTCTATTTTAGTGTATAGAAGTAGTAGATTTCCCAGGCATTACCCCTATGGCTGACTGCAAAGTGTTTATAATACTAATAGTCTCTGGGATCAACTCCATTAGACTCATTGCTTCCAACCAATGGAGAAAATGGATTTTTAAGAAAGAAAGAACCTCAGTAGTAGTAAGCAACTTGCTTTGTTCCAGATGAGTCACCCAGTAGCGACAGGAGTATTGCAGTTCTTCCGGGAGGTATTGGTTAATAGCCTGACGGGTGATATCTGCACGCTGCATTCCATAACTTGGTAGGCCGCATAGATTTTGTTTCAGGCAACTGTTCATAATGCGAAGGCAATGTAAGGTTATACGTGTATGCATGTCCTCCTCGTTTATATAAAACCCGCTTTTTGTGTTAACAAGAAAGTCTCGAAATAATAAATGTAAAATGCGGACTGGGGCATCTTCTTTCTCTGGCACACTAAGAACTAAGTGTAGCATGCTTAACAGGTTGCCGATATCTTTTTTTGGCATATCAAGAAGCTGCCCAAGTGCATTGATTGAGAGTGGAGTAGCAAGGATAATAATAGTCCCAATAATATCCTGAAACTGCTTCCCAAGTTCCATTGACTCATCCTCGTCATCAGTATCAAGAAGCTGATGTAGTACAGGTAAGTATATCTTCCCCATCTGTGATGCAGATGTGGCTGCTTTTAATTTGAGAAAATTTTCAAGACGCTTTTCTAGAGATAGCTTTCCTTTTCCAACAAAGCGACACACTGTGGCGGCAAAGATAAACAAGGGGACAGCCATTCCAACCAGTCTTTCTATAACAGCATCTCCAGGCCAGTCCGAAGGAAGTGAGCGCTCGTCTCTTATCTTTAAAAGTCTGTCTTTTAGAAAGAGACGTATATATGTTCTATCACTGGTTTGGAAGCTGTGGAGGACTAGATCCTGATGGTTATCATACTTCTTAAAGCCAAGGCGGATGGAAGTTCAGGCCTGCTGGTAGAAATATTCGCAGTGCATGAGTAGATTGCTGGATCCGGGGTAAAAGTTGAAGTATAACTTAATGTCGCTTTCTTGTTCGCACTCATCCAAAGCGTCGATCACAATTACAGTGATATGGGCTGATTTAGATTAAGCTTAAAGTGGTTGAAGAAGAAGTTTTCAATTGTCCTAAGAGATTTGTGAAATATTTGGATCATTCTTAATCGCTTTTGAGACAAGGGGTGCTAGATCCCCATGGCTGGTTACCAACTGTCTTGTAATAGTTGATATTAGTCGTTTTGCATTGCCACGGTCTGCTTCGCCCCTTTTGAAGAAGAAGCTCGCGCCTAGCTGCCCATTCTCCTTAAAGGACTTTGCGACTGTTCGGGCGATGGTAGACTTTCCTGTTCCTGCCATGCCATTTAACCAAAATATACATTTTCCATGTGGCGAAACAGCCCATTCTGCAATTGTTTCACGAAGCTCGGTTCTAGTGCCCGGAAGACAATTATCTTCATGCTGGTCCGCATACGAGCTGAACTCGGCTCCACACGCAATTGGTAGCTTGTCCAGAGGGTCTGCACTTGGTTAATAAATCCCCCAACTTATAAGCCTATATAATCTACCTTCACTGAACGTATTAATAACCGTGCCAGGATTACTCCCTATTTGCACTCCATAATTATGACCAGAAAATGAATTTGTAGATGCCATGATTATGATAGTAGCATATCATTCAGAAATCGTACGCGATTATTAAGTGTTTTGGGTGGTTTGGTTTTCTTTTTGCTAGAAAGATAAGAGATGTCCTTCTTTCTTCACCCGCAATAAATACTCAACCAACCCCTCTTTGATGTGTTGGCGCGGCTGAATAACCCGGATATGGCGCCAAACCATACCAGCTACCCAATCATATTATGAAAATACCATTACACCACTCAGCTAAATGCAGTCAAATTTGATTATTCTCTTTTTCTGTTACTATGCTATTTAACAAGAGGATACAACTTAGATAAATGCCTTCCCAAATCCAGAAGGATTCTTGTTTATGTACTTGTCTCAGTGGAACCTTATGTTCGGTCCTGTGACGGATATGCGTGACTGTTTGTTTGCATTGTTTGTACTTCTTATTTACTTCGCATCGTCCCCCACATCTCCTTCCTCTCCACGCTTGAAATTCTTGTTAAGATAGCACCAATCCATCAAGTTGTTTGGCCGTCACAGGTCAGCCACAGTGACATGCTGACATGGAGATCTTCCACAGTTGGATGGGGCCACCGCCGGGTCAGTGTCGGCCCGTCGAAAAGGGTTCTTGCATAATTGGCGTGATATTTCGTGACTGCCCACCTTTATTCGGCGGTGCTTGATATTTCCGAACAAACATAAATCAGAGCGAATTCTGAGGATAGTACGCTTGCTGCAGCCGACAGCTTCAGCCATCTGGGATGTAGTTAGCTCACCGCTGATAATCATATCATGGATAAATTGGAGTGTTGATCGAGCTAGACTGCATGCCATCTTTGAAGCTCCTGGGTAGATGGTGGGTGGTCAAGCGAAGACCTTCAGCTGTAGCGTCAGAAACGTGATTCAACAAAAATATATCGGGTATGGTATGCTACGGAACCAGATAATACAATATAAAGGACAGCAATACTACTATGCTAGTCCCAGAATGGTTTAGTGCAGCTTGGCGCCAAGTCTTTAAAGACAACAAAAGTGTGTATAGTGGTAACACTCGTATCTGGGATCGTCTGTACATCATCATTCTAAGTATCGCTGAAAAGACGGTAGACCAGCTGGTTCTAATAAGCAGGGCTGGGAGAATTGGACAGTAAGCACGAAGCGGATAATATCTATCGGGGCGACCTAACCGGAGTGTTCTGCCCGACAGCACACCTGAAAATATATTAGTAAGCTCTTGAGCACGTGATATTCAGAATTGTACCAAACTTAGTGGAGTCCCTGTTAAGTCTACCTTACACTATTGTCTATAATGCATTTACATCAACACCAGCATCAACATCGACATCAGTCGTCTTTGGAGGAGGTATTAAACTTCTCGCAACCTTTCTTTTTAAAGCATTAACAAAGCGAGACGGCAGCAACCCTCCTTAATACCCTTGTCAAGCATCATGGTCTGGAACAAGCCATATAGAAAGGCTACAAACCTGCGGCGCTTATCCAGGCCATATTTAAACATGTTGCATCCAGGGATGCATTTTTAATGTTCTTTTTTATATATATCTACGGTTATCTATGTCCAGAAGCAGAATATCCAGATAGCTCCGATCTTAGAGTCGCTTTATCCTACTTCGATAATTTCCCTTGTTGGAGTTTAGATTAAAAGACTAATATTAAGGTTGCTATTAAAGAATTTGCAGAGTATATTATTAAGAACTTCCTTCTTCCACGTATATCAGCAGTTTTAATTTTAATACCTAGAAAAACTAACTAACTGTAACACTTTAGTTAGAGCTTTGTCTATCAAGACACCCCAACCCACACCTGCGCTGTTATCCGCGATATAAATATCTACACCTACCGGTACACCACAACGCCTATCTATTCTACGACAAAGTTGCCTTTTGCGTGATTGACATCGGTGTGTAGTTTCTTAAAATTTAATAAAAACAAGCTAGAAAGCATTTCGAGCAGGAAGGCGAGAATTGCAAGGATGATAATAGAATACTACTAAAGAACAAATTAAACAACCGGTTTTAATTCCTGGAAGTTGCCCATATTCTGCCGCACAGTCTAACAACAGTTGCCTCTGGAGATGCGGACCTGGTGCGTTGGCTTGGGACGTATTCGCTTTTGCTTTACTAACATAGATCCCTAGCTCAAAGAAGAATATACTCCGGATATTGGATAATTCATCTAATTGATGGACCAAAGATTGATAGCCCACTTAATGCTGTGACATTGACTCTTGACTATCATCGCTTGTTCGGTGAATTCCAGATATATTTCGAACCAACAGGCGTACCGTATCAGTATAGAATTGATTCGATGGAAAGAAGCCCTTTTCTGCGTGATCTGTTATTTCTAGTTACTCGCACACTGACCCTTAGCCCGAGCTGTACTATTAATCCTCCTTATTCTCGACTTCTTGGTGTCTATCGTGCCATCGCACGTATTATATATATTAGCGGTGCAGGCGAATATATAGAGACTATTATTCAAGATATAGAGGAGGTTGACGTGAGAGTAGACAGGTTAACAAATTTAGGACATTTAATAAGCTTATAACTTGGCGGATGGTTAAACACTTTAGCTGTATTTTAATTCTAATCTTATGTGCTTTATTATATATGCGTTCTTTTATTCTTCTTCTAGTATTTATATCACAGATTCAGTGGCCTGTAGTTTGAACTCCAGCTTCTTACTATCTTATCCTAAGGTCGAACCACTTCAGCTAGCAGTAATTGTAAAGTTGCTATATTCAAGTACTGTACCTACGCGCAGGACTCTTTAACAGTCAGGCCGGCGTTTTGGAAATGCCCTTTTGTACTTTTCTCCCTTGCGCCCACAGTTTTGATACACCACTCAAGAAAGGAATCAAATCCTTGGTCAGGTTTGTCTTCATAAAATTGCCAATGCCGTTAAACAAAGGCCTTCAGCTCAGCAAAAACTCCTCGATCGGGTTCAAGTCTGGTAAGTACGGAGGCAAATAAACTAATTTAACCCTTAATTCTGAGCATAATTGTTTTATTCTCTCGGAGTGGTGAAAGGAGGCATTGTCTATAATAAGGACAGATTTTAGCTCAGGCCATTTTCCACAATGCTGAAGAAGCTCCTTGATAAAATCTTCAAAGACAGAAGCATCGGTTAGTCCTTGGAAGATGCGAAAGAGAATAATTCCATCCTAAGTATATACTGGGAGTATCTAATACTGCTAATCGCGATAGAACTTTGTCACCTGGGAGGGTGCTATGCCAAGAGGAGACTAGCCTGTTTTTTAAATCCTATTCTTTTATTACATCCAGATTCATCCACATAGACAAGGTGGTATGAGCTAAAATCTAAAATAAAGTAAAGATATTTATTATGTAAATCTGCATTCCGCTTTTTTTTTTTTTGCTTGGCAGTCTTTTTCGACCAACCATTATATTTAAGGGCACGGCTAATGCTGCAGGTTGTGACTTGTTCCTGGAACTCATCCCATAGAAATATTGCCATTTCGTCAAGATATAAATGAGGTTTTTCAAGTAGGTGATCACAAAGAGCTTGAATTATAAGTGGCATGAGACGTCGCGGTCTTCCGCCTCTATTTAAAGGTGCCTTAATACAACCAAACAAGCGCATGTTTAAGCGATGCCTACTAGTAGTACTTGGATAGCAGCCAGCAGCTTTAGCAATCTGTGAATCTGTAAGCTCATTGCTTATTAGCATATCCTGGATAAATTCCAGGGTTGACTGTGCTAGATTGGGTGCCATTGTGCAATTATAATTAACAGGATCCGGGAGGATCTCCCGGTAGGGTGACAGGAATACATGGCGGGGTAAAAAATGTAGCGGCTGTATATCCGGTACAAATAATATAAAACAGCTAGAAGTATGACAGTCAAGTACAATACAATACCGGATCCATAATCTTAATGTAGTTTAGCTTATCTTGGCATTAGGGTTCGAAATACAATCGGAGAGTATAAGACTCTTGCGGCGGTATTGCAATTTAGTGTACAACATTATACTTGATTCAACAAAGCCTCAGCCACTTCAGGCCAGCCAAGTGAATCATCACCCTACCTATCCACGGGAAGCCTTTGAGACTATCGCTTCTCCTTCCAGAGCTCACTAGCTGAGGTGCCCAAGATTTCCCATCACTCAGCATCATGGACAGCGCTTGCTTCAGCTGGGACGCCTAAGGCCCATCTTCACCAAGCCACTGTAAGGAGCGATTTCGGACCTCTAGACACTATAGACCCTAGATCGATTGAGTGAAGCATGGATCAACGCTGTAGAGTAACGTAATTCACGTCCGACCGGGCCACCCAAAGCACCATACTAAATGCGATTTTTCAGATCACAATATATAACAACCAGAAGATGTTTTTACTTGATTTTTAGTAGGCTATGATTTCCTAGCATTAGAAATGTATAGACAACTGACATACTAGAAATGATTATATCCTTGCATTACCAAAAATACGCTCCGATCGAGATGTAGATATATATATCTACATTGTCACACCCCGAAATATTTCTCGAGCTCAGAAAAATACCTAGTATGATATATTCAAGACCAAGATACCCTAAGTCCATATATTTAGCCTTGAGCGTTGAAATATGATGTTGTGAAATATTGCATTTAGTATGGTGTTTTGGGGTGGCCTGGTCGGCCGTGAATTACGTTACCAGGGACCCTCAAGAGACACAGCTTTTAAGAGACCTGGGCTCTTCAAAAGGCAGTCATGTGAAGACATTCTTAAGACCAGTCCATTTTCGGATATGCCGTCTCAAGACTGATTGGCCCTTGGCCTCTCAGCATAACGGACGCGGGGTCTGACTGACCTGGGTTAACTTTGAAATGGATTGAATAATCTCGTTTATTAATACATCTGAGCCCTCCATGGTTAAATACAAACCAGTCCGACGAAGATTTATCATAACTGTCTAGCCTAATGCAGTTTAGTCGGACTCTAGGCCTTCCGTTTCTTTCGTCTGTTTATCCGCCAACAAATCTGGGTCTCTTGAATTGATAACGTCCATATCAGTTATCTGGCTTGGAGTTGGATAATAGGAGTCCTAAAGGAATCAGCTATTGGAGCACATATGCATAACCAGGGAGTATACCAATTGTGACCCTACGAATGCCCAAAATCCCGAAGCATCCGCAGAAAAGATATACACTCGGCCCGTCTCCCTGATGCGTATGCCTAAACAAACATCGGCCCCGCACATCCGGCTATATTCGGACGATTTCTTTATTAGGCTGGTTCTGCGACGGTCTCGTTTCTGGCGGACGGACTTCCTGCTTGTCCTCGAGTGCTTTAATGTTTCGGATGCGCATACCTCCTTGGTCTGCAGCATGTTAGTCATGCGGTGAAGTTACTTCATATTTTGAGCCTCTTGGGTCGAACTAACTTTCTGAAAGGAGGATGGGTATTTATATTGGAAAAAGTTGAGAAAATCTACATATGTACAAAGACCAAAGCTACATTATATTGGCGCCGACGCCACGATTCTCGTCCAGAGGCCACATTTTCACAAATAGTGGCCATGGCACCTGCCCCAATCTTCTTTCATTAACGCCTTTCCATGTGGCCCCATAGTTATCGTAGTGGTCTTGGCAGCGGTACAATCATGAATTTGGGATAATTATAGAAAGATTCAAACTAGCTCAACTGTCCTATTGAAAAACGCTGTTGAACATCTCGTGATGCCACCATCTAGAGCATGCATTTTACTGTTAAGGATACCGCACCATTTCATCTACTACGTGGTTTGGCGATCCCTACAGGCTGCTCATTCTTGCCGAGACACAATTCAAGGGTGAGACTCTCTTATATCCACACATTCCACTTACAAAGCCAAATTCGTGGTCATTTTGGCATTCAGGAAGCCGCTGAATCTTGGCCTCGAAAGCCTCCATGTGCAAGGGATCTCCAGATAATTCGTCACTTTCCACGGCCCTCTGAAAAAGCATGGTGGCAACTGCACCAACGCTCCCACCACGCTGTAAGAAGTTTCTAGAAGACGACCTCTCTCTTGCATCACGCAATACCATCTTCACATTTTGTTCGTTTGGGATCATATTTCTTTGGAGGCAAGCTGCGATATGGTCGCAGAGTTTCATAAACTCTTTCCTCATATACTGATTAGTCTTGAGCTTGTTTCGAACCTCACGTGGGAGGAAAGTGAGAAAAGTACAGTTAGATCGAATCCAGAATTTTCCGTCGTTAATATCTTCAAGAAGGAGATCAGACCACATTTCTGCTTGACATTCCAGGGCGAAACGCATCCAAGGACCCAGAAATCCCGAGATACATTGTCCACATAAGCATCCGTACTTAAAGCGCTGCCAGTCGACATCTGTCGCTATGACACCGCCATTCAGAGAAGCAAGGCATGAAACAGCAGCATCGCTAAATCCAATAAATTTATCCGACATCTTCGGTCAACAAATTTATGCGACGTGTTGTCCTCCTGTTCTCCAGTTTTACCCGCAGAGCATCTAACGGAGTTTCACCTTGGCTGTTGCGCTGCTGGAGGAGCTCGTTGGTTCTGCTCAGGATCCACCGGGTACTAGTCGGCTTGATTTCGGTCGCAGCAATGCGCAATACTGTGTTGCCATGTGCGTCTGTCGATTTCTATCGAGAATCATCGGTAGCGGCATTATCAAAGGTTTGGCGAAGCATTCGAACATAGTCACTGTCATTGGAATTTAGTGTATTCATCAGAAGATGTCCCACCGCAGAGTCCAATGTCCTGAAAGACAGTGCTGGAAGCTCATAATCGTCAACAGCTGCCAGGTGATAACTTGGATGTTCTGGGTCGGATGCGAGTCCAAACCACGAAGATGAGCCTATTCTTCGGAAGCCCAAGGATCGCCAGAAGCATCTTCTGCCTGGAGAAACCTCTCTTTATACCTCTTTATACCCCTCAACCATTGTCGACGGCTGCCATTAGCTCAGTTTGACTGAAAATGGGGGTGTGGAGAAAAATATTTAACCTTGATTGGTCCTAGAATTAGATCTCATGTGCGTCTGGCGGCTACATCCCGAGTGCTGAGCCCTCAGGCTTCAGCTCGTAATGACGACTTAGTGCCGCAGCCAGCTCTGCCGAGCATCAAAGATGAGATATCATTGGCCCATTATATCCATCGTCTGGGAAAGTGGACCGCCACTGCGGACGTCGGGGGTACCGCAGCCACCTTCCATTTGGTGGTTTAGCTTGTCTGGTTTGAACCGCTGCGGACAGAAAGACGCGGAGTGAATCGTCGAACATGATAAGACCCATCGGTCGAAGATCTGGTCGCTGCATTGAACTGCTCTGAAGATGCCTTGCTCAGACAGCCTCTTTCGGCCGAACTTTTGAATATGTTCGGTCCCAACAGTAGATAATAACCCTGCCATTGAACTCGTCCCCTGCCAATCTTCTCGAGACATGGTCACAAAAGGACTTTTATTGGTTTATTGCACTTGTCAATGGGCCCTCATTGCGGAATATGGGAACTCTAGTGCTATGCGAATGATTCAACTATAATCCTCACTGATGATTCGATGGTTGAGTTCCCAAGGAAAGTTGGTTGGTCGACACTCATTCTCTAGCGGGAGTGTGCGGAGAGTCGAGACATGTCCTCTGCAGGTGCTAGCGCCGCAGTCGCTCCTCCGGCGCTGAAAAATGGGGTTTCATTGGCTCATTGCCCTCCACCGCTGCGCCCAAGGACTGATGGATATTTTAGGCGGAACAGGTCCAAGTAACCTGGAGCGTTCTTGCTCACGCGAGACTTTATAGAAAGGAGAGCACGGTTAATAATGAAAAAGAGAGGATCACGGACAGTTAAACCGATAATTAGACTATAGGATAGGCCATGCCTCCGCCGATGTATTACGTGGTCTAAGTAGTTCATTGCAGTAGTCGTGATGACAGTCATCCCGATCCAACATTCCAACCACAGAACGGAACGAAAATTAGTCCAAAAAATTGAAAGAAAATAGGAAGAATCTTCTATAACTTTGCCCACCTCGTGACCAATAATGATATCTCCCAACTTAACTCTATCCACTACCTCTAACCACCACTGAAATAGAATCTCGATGAAAGAGACAAAGAAAGATACAGGCAACGCCGAAAACAAGCTTGCCTATAATACGTCTGTATTCGACGGGCTCATATAGCAAGATCGTTTCTTACTTTTTGGTTCATTCCGTAGCATAGCGGCTAACATGGGTAGCTGATTGGCTCGAACCTACCCACCAAATATGAGCTAAAAATGGCTTTTGAAGGGAAGATAGCACAGAGTTGTATATACGCAAAAGAACAGACCAGCATTATACACCTAAGTGTCTGAACACCCTGAGTGTCTGGACGCCTAAGTGTCTGAACGCCTAAATGTAGCTTCTCCAGCTGACTAAAAATCATTCAAGGCAAGAAGTCCTGCCATCATGTCCGAGGGCTGTTCGTTATTGGCCTGCTCAAAATTTGCCAGGATTCGCCGGATCTAGACAACGCCAGCGACTGCGCACCCGATGTTCATCGATAGCGTGGCGCTGGAACGCCATTTTATGCAACAAGGTCACTTCGCACCAATTGCACTTGAGCGGCTCTTCGTTTAGATGAATAGCATCAAAGTGGCGCGTAACACACCCGGCGTCGTGAAACATCCGACAGCGAACGGCATCAGGCAGCCTCTCATTTGCAAAGCATTGAAAGCAAGCCTCTGGCAGTTCAGAACCCTCGATGTATTCCTTGGTAGCACGCAACGGCTTGCCATTTTTAGAAACAGGCACCACTTCGCATGCGCTGACGCCGTCTTCGACTTGGAGTGTAGCCTGGGGTTTAGCTATAGGCGTGTCGGATGCAGCGGGTTTGGAAGTCTCCCGTCTGGGCCTGCCCTTCAGCGGACCTCCTTCGGGAACATCACAATACTGCACGACCGCTTCCGCGCCCGCATCACGCCGATTCCACTCATCCTCCAGCGAGTTGGAGATTGGGTAGGAAAGAAGACTCTGCACTAGACGCAACTGGAGCGGATGCATATTGTCCGAGGTCGATTCATCCTCGCTCTCTTCCTCGACCGCGGTGCCAGCCAGCTGTGCCTCAATATCCAGAAATGCTTGTTCTTCATCAAAGTCCTCTCGGATCTGATGTCGTAAGGCTCTTAGCAACCGTTTTCGCGTGTTCTTCACCTCTTTCTCTTGCTGCTGGATCCGGGGGAGCAGGCCGAGCTGCCGGGTCTCCTCATACTGGGCTCGGGTCTTGCTTAGATTGCGCCGGGATTCTTCTAACTCGGGATGATCCTCAATCTGTGCCCTCTGTTGCTCGGTCAGATACCGTGGGCGTCGCGTGTCTCGCCAACGACTCTGCCGCGTGACGGCCCGCATTAGTTCCACATCAGGATCGAGGCCACAGATGATTCGGATTGTATCCGTGTCGAGCTGCAGTGGATGGTAATGGTCAAGAAAGGTCCTTGGGTTGGCATGCTTCATAATTAACATATGTTGTTCCTTGCTCACCCATCCTACCAACCATCATCAGCAACCAACCAGACGGGAAGAATTAAAGATTTCTTAGCGCAAATGCAGTCACTTACCACTCTCATTGATCACCTTCCCACTTCCATACCGGAACTGATGTGCATGAAACGCCCCTTTCCACCCGCGGATCTCCCCAAATGTAACCAGCATGCTGGACATCGTCGACTTCGACATTGATTGGGTCCGCTGGATGGTCGGAACACCTTTGACTACTTCAGTCTTACAAAAGATATACCAGTCCGCCTTCTCCCGGTCCAAGGGCACCAGGAGCTGCTCGCAGCCTTTGCTAATAAAGAGCTTTCGGAGCTGAGCCTTCGAGGTCAACTTGGGATTCCGGAACGCCTTGGCATGGAACAAAATCCCAAATAATAATGTATGCGGGCACAGCGCCAACGACGGACCATAGACTATTTCGGGGAGTGCGAAGGTAGTCCTGTGCATTGGTTAATGGTACGGCCCCATGGTGGATTCCTAGAACCTTGAGAAAATCATAGGCAAGGGGGAGGAAGAAAATATGGCCACTTTACAATTTGGTAAGCCCGAGGAACTTTTTCGTTCCCTCTGGCGTCAGTTCGATCAAAGGAATCGGAGGCCCACCGCGAGGATCCTTCTGAAGGGAGATCTGCAGATCCTTAAACTGCAGACTCAACAGGGCGTTCCTCCGATGCACGGTGAACAGACCGAGGGAATTAAAGAGGCACACCTGGATGCGTTGGAATCCCAGGTGGAACTTTTTTTCCAGTGTGGACAGAATGGTTTCATTAAACGGGGTGATATCTTCGATATAAACTGGCGTCTTCTTTCCCGGTTGTGTATCTAGGCCATGCTCTTTGACCAAGAACTTCATACCCTGTAAATGAGATGGTTAGGCGGGACAGTTAAACTAACTAAAAAAAAAAAAAATATTAAGACTTAGGTTACTAACTCTCCTGACTTCGGAGCCATCCTCATCGTTGATTTTATTCTTGGTCAGCTTTTGGTAGTAACCACGAAGGTTCTTCCAGTCCGTCTCCAACGAGCTAGACTTGTGGATGCCTTTTAACCGTCGACCATTCTTCCCTCGCTCGAGCTTGAGGCACCAGCCCAAGAACCGGTACAGATCATTGTTCGAAGCCACGCGCAAGGCCTCCTCGGGCTCCCGCCATTTTGGTTCCTTGGGTTCCAGTCGTGTTTTGCTGCGACAGTACCTATACCCACTTTAGTAGAGGTCAAACAAGGTAAAACTCCGGTGGCATCACTAACCGTTTCCAACGGATTTCTATCCGCTCTCGCCGCACGATTGTGCCACCCGCTTTGTCAAAATCTTCGGGGATCTCGGAGAGGTCGACTCCAGTATCATCAAGGGGATCATCGTATAATTCTCCAGCCTCGACGAATAGTGTTGGCTCCAACTCAGTGTGGTTCTTATCATCTGATCGGCGACGTTTTCGTGGGGTCTGGATATCGTCCGGCTCCGACTCGGTCAGGTCCGTCTCATACGTGGCATCACACTGCTCGTCTGTTTCGGTGCTGCTGCAAGTGACCCCATCATCACTAGAGTCACTTTCCAGATGTCTATTCCGCCGGGACCGGGAACGCTTCATCGTTGGGATTGGAGGAAATCAAGCGACAGGAGGAAATCAAGCGACAGGAGGAGAGCGGCGATAGGAATAAGGCCGATACAGCTAAAACTGGCGATCGAGCACTAAGCAGGTGGCAGGGCGTCTTGCCGATGCAGTGAGATGGAAAAATAAGCCTCGTAAGTGCGGCACGCAAGATATATATACCATCGATCGAATCAACGTGGAAGTGTCTGGATAAATGAAGAACATGGAAGAAAGGGGCCACGGTAAACGGGTTGGCGCCATCGTGACCTGGCCGGCCGGGCCCGTTTTGATGGGGTGAAGTGAGGCCATTTTCGGCGCGTTCATCAAACATCTGGTTGGAGGGTCGGTCATACTGAGGCCTGCTGAGGCAGACAGGGGATGAAGCGCCGACAATGGTGGGGCCCGTGAGAGCGCTCGAGTGAGACAGGTGCGTGGTGGTAGCTGGACGGGTTCGTGTCGGAAGGACAAGATCACGTGTTACCAAATGGCGGCCGAAAAAGGCGTCGAGTGCGGCCGAAATTGGCAGCCATTTGGTAAAACCAAATTGTTATCTAGTATAATTAGTACTAGGTCTACTCCGTTAGATCCAGGAGATAATATACAGGAACAAGAATCTTTTACACCAATAGTAATGGGCCTACAGCGGGTTAGTGTATATCTAATATATGCATAATATATACTAAGTCTATGTTAGGAAGCAGCTACTTTAGATGTGTTGTTTGCGCGAAATCTAGTTATAAGATTAAGGTTAAAAGATTAAGAAATTTTTAATACCTAAATATCCAGCAACAGCAGCAGAAGGTATTCTTTATTTTATTTATAACTACAATCCATTTCCATCCTCAAGGAATCCAAATGATTTCTCTGAGAAAGAAATAAATAATATTTTTACACGGCTTATGTTTAGACTTCATCAGAGCCCACAAATGGGCCTGAATCTCGGGCCCACGGCCCAACCCACTGTGGGCTGATGGCCCGGATTTCAGGCCCAAGCCCAACCATCAGGCCCACGATGGGCCCCCAATGGGCCCCCGCAAAAGCCCATTTTTGCATAAAATTTTGGTCTTGGCATTCATAAAGCTGCTAAATAATCAAAATAAAATACTGTTTTTTACACCTGTTCCAGTTCATCAACTGAGCTTCGTTGTAACCTCGCCTAAAATAGTAAGAAATTCTAGGAAATCTTCTTGGAATTAAAGAAAGTAAGGCTTGTTTTAAGTTAATTACTTATAAAAATCCCATATTCTGATTGTTATGGTGGTGTTTTGATGGCTTATGGATAAATTCACTGCAAACTTGTTTAGATATATATTTTATATATACGAGAGTGTGCGCATCTTTTTAATAAGAGACAGAAGTAAAAATTAACCACTTCTGCCTGCTCTGATTTATTCATTCTTTACATGAAATAAAAGCTTATCTTCTCTACTTTGGAATTCTAATCCTAAACGATAGTATAAAGAAGTGAATTTAAAGGAATTCAGCTCTTTCTACCTGTCAAGGGCTAAACCTCTATAACCTAATAACTAGGGTGGATACAAAAGGAATCGTCGAAGAGGAAAGAGAAGAGGAAACAGCGATGAGACGATTGCGAAGTAAGTAGGGGAAGTCACATGATAGAGTGTACTAATCAATATACTAATCATGTGGCAGGCGAGGAGAAAGGAAACACGAGGGCTGAGGGCCCGAGTAGGCTGAGGGGCTCTAGCCCCTTACACTACTCCCCCTTCCTATATAAGGCCTCCGAAGGAGGCCTAATAGCGAGGCGGGTTGCTGGCGCGGGCTGTAAGCTTTTCGGAGGTTTCTCGGAAGTATCAGACAAAGTAGAGCGGGCATCGCAGTCTGCGATCCAATGATCATTAGAACCGCAGTAAAGGCATAAATTATTCGCAAGTCGGAAACGGCGGCGGTCAGAGGTGGTGGATTCATGAGAAGAATCAGATAAAACAGGCGAAGCAGCTCGGGCTACTCTCACAGAGCCAACATGAACAGGATTGGGGTTTATTTTAACTGAGTTGACTCGGACCGGATCAGTATCCATTGGGTCTGTATTCGGGGTCAAAGCTGGTTTCGGGGCTGATTTTGGACTAGGACGGGTACGCCGATCGGTACTCTGGACAAGTTCAATATATTCATTATAGGGAAGATCAAAGAGAGAATTATTCGAGTCTTCTAGTATTCGACGGAGATTAGGCCGTAGCCCCCGGTGTAGCGTGGTAACACGTGATATATCTGGCCATGAGTTTACATTGGCTTCATATGAAAGTCGTTCAAAACGAGCAAGGTAGGCGATAAGCGATTCGTCATCCCTCTGTTGTATAGAAGTAAAGCGCTGAATAGCCTCCTGCTGTTCCCGTGGGTTATGGCATAGACGCTGAAAAAAGAGAAAATAACTTCAGGATCCCATAGCTGGTTTTCTTCGGCAGATTGGCGGAGGTGCAGGACAGAAGCTTGCTGAGACTGTTCTAGTCGATCCCATACATAGTCAAAAGCATCAGCTCCTACGAGCTGGTCTGATCGAAGTTTTGCTTTTAATTGACGGGAGCCATGTGCGAAGCGTGTATGGTTTACCGTTAAAGCGAGGCGGATCTGGCAGGCGGGATCTGGGTGTCTGGACGGAAAGAAGCTGCGTACGAAGCTGGTGGACATCTGTTCGGGAAGCATCAAGGTCCGCACGTAGTTGCTGTATTTCATTACGCTGGTTTTGAATATCAAGGCGCTGGTTTTGGAGCTCTTGCTGGAGCTGCTGCACAAGCAGGAGGAGTGGATTCGGGTCGGACATCGTAAAGATATTCCCATAGACTGGCGGACAGGCAGGCAAGCGGGCGGGCGAGCAGGCAGGCAGGCGAGCGGGCGGACAAGCGGGCAGGCGAGCGGGCAGACAGGCAGACAAGGACGATTCCTAATGTCAAGGGCTAAACCTCTATAACCTAATAACTAGGGTGGATACAAAAGGAATCGTCGAAGAGGAAAGAGAAGAGGAAACAGCGATGAGACGATTGCGAAGTAAGGGGGGGAAGTCACATGATAGAGTGTACTAATCAATATACTAATCATGTGGCAGGCGAGGAGAAAGGAAACACGAGGGCTGAGGGCCCGAGTAGGCTGAGGGGCTCTAGCCCCTTACACTACCAGTATTCTGTCTCTGTATCTGACCAGGTGAAAATTTTTTGAGGGTATCTAAGGTCGAGTTGGGCTGGGAATGGGCTATTAATGGGCTCTCATGGGCTATTCGTGGGCTTTATGGGCTATTCGTGGGCTCTTGTGGGCTTTTCATGGGCTTTGTTGGGCTATTCATGGGCCCTTATGGGCTTTGTTGGGCCTCGTTGGGCCAAACACACTTCACTTGTGATATCTATCCAATTAGCAACTAGCTGAATATTTTCTTTTGATATGTAGACTTGTTTGTTTGACTCACAGTCCATAGCTAAGTAAATCAGAAATCCTTCTCCTAGTAATGTATCCATCTCCTTTTTTTACCCTTCTCTTATTTTTTATCCATGTGTTGTATACTTACTTCATTATATCCCAAAGCCAGCAATCTGACTTTGCATCATCTCTTTATGATGCAGAGATAGATAATCTAACATTTCTAACTTCTTCAAATCACCCAGCCACTCCATCTGGCAGCCAGCATACATTTGATGCCCTTGACACTTCGGTCCCTTTATTTATTCGACCAGCTATTCCTCTTACAATTCCATCCTCTCTTGAACGTGTCGGGCCCGATAGAAGAAAGGCATATGTGCTTTATAACGAAATGACTCATAGTGAATAGGTAGACTGGTGGTTACATACTGATTATGGGTCCCAAAGTAAGATACATTGGGACTCAAACCACCTTTCAGATATTTGGAAGCACTATGATCAGGTCGCATCTAGTATAGACGGCGCACCAAAGGTCATGTGTAAACGCTGCAGCCAGATCCTTGAACATCCTTACTCTACAAAAAAAGGATGCTAAAGGGAAGGAAGGGCGTCATGGTTTATCAACAATGACAAGGCACCTAAAGACTGCTGCGTGCCAACGGTTTGAGAACAGACAGAAGGATGAAATCACTAAATTCCTCCAAAACAGTATATCTAATGTTCTATTACTATGCTTTATTAACTAATTAATAATTATTTTACTAGAAATCTGCTCCGACTGATGTTCCTTTCTCACAACCAGCCTGGGAGGAGAAGATCTTATTATTTCTCTCAATTAATCGGCTTCCTTTTACCTAATCGAGCATCCAACATTTATAAGCTTAATTCAGATGGCCCATAATGCACCAACTGCTCCACAAATCCCATCTGCAATGACGATACGTCGTCGGCTAGAAGTGCTTGTCAAAGATCGGCAACAAAGTGTTCTTAGGATGCTTCCTTCAGGTTCGAAGATATCAATTGCGCTTGACAGTTGGACATCTCCGTTTTCCCAGGCATTTCTAGCTATAACTGGCTACTTTATTGATGCTGATTGGGTATATCGGGAAGTACTTCTTGGCTTTAAACCTCTTCACGGAGCGCATACTGGTTCGAACATAAGTGGTGTTGTTCTAGAAACACTAAACAGCCATCAGATTCAAGACCAAGTCTTTGGATTAACCAGTGATAATGCATCGAATAATAAGACATTGGCTGATTCCCTCCAGCAGGCTTTATCTAATAATGTTAATATTATCCGAACTCCCTGTCTTGCTCATGTTATCCAACTTAGCCTGAACCAGCTTCTTGACCGTCTCAAGGCAGTTCCACTAAATAATACCGAGGAAACAAAGTGGACTGACCGGCTGTCAACTTTAGCCAAGGCAAATACACAACACCAGAAGCATGAGATTTCTTATACCTTAAACAAGGTCCGCTCTCTTGCAATTTATATCCACGGAAGCCCTTCACGTCGAGAGGCATTTAACAATCTTCAAACAGATGATCCAAAGCTTACACCAATCCAAGATGTGAGAACTCGATGGAATTCAACCTTTCTCATGCTTCGTCGCGCGAAACGACTCCGTGATATCTTTACACGATTTTGTGCCGACTATGATTGTGAAGAGATGTTGCTAAATAATGAGGAGTGGCGCCAAATTGACTATCTTCTTTATATTACTGAGCCGTTCTTTCTCTATACAACCGAGCTATCAAAGACTCGAGAGGTAACAATACATCTTGTTTTCAAGATTTACAATGCACTCTTCGAGCATCTAGAAAAATCAATGAAGCAGCTTCGGCGGAAGTGTGTTCCATGGAAAAAGCAGATGCTTGATTCTCTTGAAGCTGGTCGATTAAAACTTGATGAGTACTACTCGCAGACAGATAGGGTTAAACCACATATCTATGCAATTAGTACAATGCTTGCCCCCGATAATAAGTTCCAATTCTTCCTATCTGATGACTGGGATAAACAATGGCGCGACCTCTACCGGAAATCCTTCCAAGAAGCCCTGGTTCCTTATCAAGAACGTCTCTCTACTCTTCAAGGCTCTGCAACCACCCCTACCGCAGCAAGACCAAGCTCAAGGCTTAATAAGATGTTGAATGGGCACAAACCACAGGCAAAGCCAGTTAGGGATGAAATAACTCAATATCTTAACAGCGGTATGTTAAACACCTTATTGTGCTTTAGTCTAATCCTAACTTCCTAAAAGATACTATCGATGTGGAGCCCCTTCAATTCTGGAGAGACAATGAATATCGATTTCCAGCTATTGCAGCCCTTGCACGGGATATTCTCTCTATTCCAGCAACAGGCGCTGGTGTTGAACGACTTTTAATACTGCTCGAGATATCTGTCATTACCGCCGCGGTCGGATGAAGTCTGAGACAATTGAGGAGATTATGATGTTTCTTTGTACATCAAGATTTGATCTTGAAGAACAAGAGGCAAAATTTCTCAAGGAATTCTTTTCTATCTATGAGATAGAGGCTGCAAAGGAAGAGAGAGACGAGAAATTAGAGGAGATTGAGATAGAGTCGATTAGTGATACTGAGGAACAAGAAGATGATGAGGCAGTAGCAGTGATACAGGATTATACAGAGCCTGAATTGCCAGAGAATATCACGCAAACACGGGTTTCAGGAAGAAAGCGGAAAAGTAGGGAGGATAATGAGTTTGAGTATCATTAATATATTCAATTACTGCCTTTTTGAATAATATCTTGTTAACCAAACTCTGCACGATGCTGAACGCTTCAGCGAGTAAGAATGTAAAATATAACCAGGCGGAGTAGACATTACAAAGAGCAATTTTTAAGAGAAATAATGTAAGAGAAATACTCAATATTACAGCTAAAAGAAGCACAAGTTATGCAGTCATAAGATCGGGGCATGTTTGCACTGTTTAGCCTAGTTTGGGGCCCATTTGGGCCCCATCTGTGGGCCGTGGGCCCCTGGGCTCAGCCTATAGCCTATCATGGGCCCTAGAACCTGGCCCAAAGCCCAGCCCACAAGTGGGTTGGGTTGGGTTGGGCTTGGGCTTTCGTGGGCTCTGATGAAGTCTACTTATGTTAAAGGTATGTAGAGTATATATCAGTTCTATACTATACTAATACTTTAAATAGATTCAGTTTGCAAAAAACCATACAGGGGCTGCAAAGCTCGTCAAAATGGATCTTTTAAACAAGCTTGATGATAACGGACAACACAAGGCTTGGCATAGATCTTATATATGTGGTTCGGTAAAGGCCTGTGAGCGGGTCTATAATTATATACTAAGTATATCACGGGCATATGACTGGGTTAATCTTGATTTACTTAATAAACAGCGCTTACGTTACGCCGAACCCTTTTATCCTCAAGCAATTGATTAACTAATTAAAAAGAAACTGAAGATGTCTTCTATGCTTTTATGAAATGTTGGTGGCAGGATGGAGGTCCTTGTGAATATCAAGATATTAAGACATGTGGTGAAACACCACCGGTAATGTTTTATTAAAATCAGGTATGCTTTAGGTACATATACTGCATATATTAAATATATACTAATTAACCCAGAATTATTTTCTTGGTTGCCCCAAGAATTCAGATATTAAACCTTGGCATTATGCTCATCCAGTTCGACGATTTGCTCAGATTGATAAGACTTATCTTTAAGTTCTTATGGAACATGGAACAGGCCTAAAAATAGAAGAATATAATTTTATTGCTCAGCCAACATCCTGAAGAAGATGGTGTAGTAAGTATATTTCTAGTTTTATATATTTATATGCTAAGTATAGGATTAATCTAGCTCGAGCATATACTCACCATACCGGCAGGCTTTACATTCCAAAGTGTAAGGTTAAATTTGACTTGTATATTCCAACATCCTGGCAACGGTTTCCTTTCTTAATTTTGATTTGTTAATTAAATTATATTTATTTTCCACCACCTCCAACACGATTACCTAAAGATATTGCAGATGAGGTGGTCCAAATAATCTCCCAGCATAATATCCTTAACCTAACTGCAAGTAAGTATATTTACTCTATATATACAGCATATACTAAGTATCTACTCTATTTAGGACGGTTCATAATCTCTCCACAGTTCACTGATATATATAATCGATTTGGTCCCTTAACACTACGTGTATTACATCAAAGTCTTAATATTCAAGATAGAGTTCAAGCTTTGATCCGAAAAAACAGAGACTTTTAACTTATCCTGAAGGAACTGATATTGCTGGTATGATAATAGCTACTGCTTTTAGGTATATGCTCAGCTAATACTAGGGGTATTATATAAATACGCCTTCGACCAATTAAAAGGGACGACCAGCAATGGATACGTGATGTCTATTTCTTTGATCCACGGTATTTTCTTATTATATGCTGTACATATGCTCAGGCGAAGGCGTTTATTAATATCAAGCATATTAAGATGGACCTCTCATTCAAAATGGTTAATGGCAAGACGAATGTCTTCTCAATTTCTGGGTGGAATCTATATATGCGAAGTATGTATCTAGTATATTTTTTTAATATTGCTCACTAACTTGCAAGTTACTAGGAATCAATACCTTTGCATATGCTTTTCTTAATCTCGAAACACGCGATGCATATGCTGTAATGTTCTCAAAGCTATTTAAGATACTTGGAAATGTGGCTCGCTCACCTATACGGTTTCCCCATATTTAACATGGTGGTGAGAATAAGATCTGGACTATAACTATCGATATGTGTAAGAAGCAAGCACTAGGTATGTAATAAACAAAATATATGCCCGGTATTTGCACCCTGTTAAGTATATTAGGTCTTGGAGATTATTTGCATACGCTAGATATATCCCGAGAGTGGTCTGAGCACCTTCCCTATGTGATCATATTCTGCCAAACTCACTTAAAGCATAATTTTTTTGCTTAAAGTATAAGGACCACCCTGCAGAGCACCTACTTAACAGCCTTTTAGAAGCACCGTCCAAACCTGATTTGCTTAAGTGTATGGACTACATATGCAATACATATCCTAAGACTAAATCCTGGCTAGAGGGAAAAAAAACGGCCGTGGATCTTAAGTGCACTGACCCCGGAATAATTAAAGATACAGATTGAACACTGGACATATGCTCGGAAACATACCGGAATTAGTAAAAATAGTTATTTTTAAAATAATTAAGGTGTTGGCCGGAAGCAGTCACTCCTGGTAGCTGTTTTAAAGTAAAGTATATCCAAGGTAGATGCAGAGCATAGTTAATAATATACTAACTATATACTTAGATTGCGAAGGTTTACATTTGAGGCCTTTACTTAGAATAAGATACAGATTAAGGAGGGTATTCCACCTTTATGGAAAATCCAAACGAACGTTTAAAGGCGCACTAAGATTATTCGAAAGCAAAGTATGTTAAACTAAAGGGCTGGAGCCTGTTTAATTTCTCTAGCTAATTACTATATTATCCCTATTGCCCTTATTGTCCCTACTGTCCCTACTGTCCCTATTGTCCCTATTGTCCCTATTGTCCCTATTGTCCCTATTGTCCCTATTGCCCCTATGGTTTAACATGAACAGTGTATATGCTATTTACATACCAGGCTAATACTATGCATAGATCAACAGCAAAAAAAAGGCAGCGAACTGCCGGCAGAAGAAGCCACACTTGCCATGGAATCCAGGGAATCCATATGATACACCTCTTTAAAATACAGACGGAGTGGCCATGCAGGACACTAATTCCCTATTAGTATCTAGCCTTAACACATGCTCGTCTTATGCCAGGCATGTACCTGCAAGTCAACGAACACACCCACTTAGCACTGTACAGAGTGTTGGTGAAGATAGTGTTATCGAGACCCCTGTTAGATCACCCGCTGTGTATATGCTAAACATAGACCCTTTAGAAAAGTGTTTAAAAGGAGCTTAAGGGACTTAAGCGACGAAGAGATATAGTTGAGCGAATTAAGGAGCTTGAGGAAGAGGTAGAGGGGGAAAGAAGAAGAAAAAGGGAAACCCCTGCAAGTGCAGAGCATACACCTAGTAGATGTATAGTATGTTAAAAAAGCTATTTTAATTCCCTAAATAATAGCTAGACTAGTATTTGCTCTACTTATTCCTAGACTCTATAATTTATCTCTAAAACCAACCGTGTATATACCCTACGCAGTCTCCGGCACCGACTCGGCAGCATCCTTCTTGGCGCGCGCCGGCTGCTTCCGGCTACCGGTGGCTACAAGTTCTTAGCAGATGCTTAGTATAAGGGGGATGTGCTATACTTACCCTTGTGACCCTTCTTCGGTGGAGCACGCTTGCGCTTGGGGGCAGACAGTGGGGTAGGTGGCTTAGAGGGTAGTGGGGAAGATTTGTGCTGCATATACTTAGTATATTATAAAGAGCTTAGTTTCCAGGGGCACATGCCTTGTGACCAGAGACCTTACCCAGCCTCTAGGAAATATTAGCATACGCAGGGAATACGTAGAGTAAATACCCGGATCATATACAGGACGATGGAACTCAGTCCCAAACTGCTGAGCAAAGTTGTTATCTTCCTGGCTAGTGGTTCTTAGTTATATACTATGCATATAATACAGATATGCTCTACTCACGCCAGCTGCTTGAGGAAGTTACAGTAATCCTGAATAATACTGTACATAGGACCCTCACTAGCATACGTTAGCCCTACGCCCAATGTATATATATATATATGCGGAGGGGAGGACATACCCAGGCTCCTTCACGTAACGGGCAGTTCTCCACGTCTGCTAAGGATCCATCGCTTTAAAGCGCTGTCAATTATTAGCATATGCTCAAGAGAAGCTATGTATTTACTAATTTTTTACCTGCAATGCACTCAGCCTGGGGAATGTTGGTGCGGAAGGGATTAAGAGCTATGAATCCTTAGCATCTACTAGACCTATACAAGGAATAGACAACTCACTGGCACCGGGATGGGTGTTCCAGATGTGGCGGCAAAGCTATGGAATAGGTAGCATATACCAACAATGTGCTAAAAAACGCGACCTATAGTAATCTAAGAATAAACAGGCTGGCCACATATTTGGTTGCCATTAACTGCAATATCGCATCTGCGAGGTTGTCAGCCCATGCTTAGTATATACCAGGCATGTTAATTACTTACACCATGCTATTAATACCTGATAGTCTTGAACCAGGAGTTAGGGCATCTGTAAATAATTAGCATATGCTGCACATCTGTGGGGGCCTTATACTTTTATTGTCCGCGGTGGTCACAGGTGTGCGGGGGTCCGGGTGTGGGCGCCAAGTAGGGTTTGGGTTCGGGATAGGACCTGCATATGTTAAGCACATGTTGTGAATATATTAAGTAGATACTCACTGTGGAAGTAACTGTAGTCGGGGTGGGGGTTTACCGCCCCAGCGACCTTTGGATTGTCAAAGTCTTTACACGAAAGCTGCATTCTCTGCATATTAATGTATATGCTAGAACAAGGCCCCTAAATAAAACTAAAATTATTAGTGTATTCTGACATGCAAAAAAAAAAAATTGGTCACAGATTGGTAGTATATGCACTGGGTATCAGAAAAGAAAGGGTCATATAAATGGTTGTAATTATATACTCTGGGCATACAGAAAGGAAAGGGGAGAAGGAGAGGTTTCAAGTCTTCCGGTCAAGGTATATATGCGGTATATGCCAAGAAGGGATATGCGATACTTATTTAAGAAGGGGAGTTTAAAGAGAGAAGAAGAGAGAAAGAATGAAGAGAAAAAAAAAAATTAGGTCTTCTAGTTCAAAATAAATGCAAACGCGGCCAACATTTTTATTACCCAATTTGGGTGTAGGATATTCACAGTGTTTGCAAAATCTGCCTCTATTTTTATATAGTGAATATGTTGATTATATATATTATATGCAATGAATAATCTCACGCAGTTTAATTTTTGAGCATATGCTCAGATATGCACCGACCGGGGACTGACGCTAGGCCAAAAAGGTCAGCGTGGTCAAGCTACGCTGAAGGGATTCAACATGGTCTAAAAAGTACGGAAAATTTAATTTTAGACCACGCTGAGCCCATGCCAAGAAAAGGCTCACCGTGGTCTAAAAAGGCGGTGGCGGAGGTGGCAGAATTTTAGCCCACGCCGAGGTTTTTTTAGACCACGGCGAGCTGGCACCCGTGAATACACGTGACGATACATGTGGGCAAACTATTAGTCAGCTGAGCCTTTAAGCCACTGCAATCACTGCACGATCCAGAAGGGGAATAGGCCCGGTTCTCGGAGGAACGTAGACCCAGAAATTTTTCGGGATGCCATCAAATTGGATTTCTTTCATACGGCTGTGTTTCGCTCAGCTCTACGGCGACAACTGTCGCGCAAGTTGGTATTTTTCCCTTCGGGTTTCGCGGTGATGGATTTGCAACCGCCGTCTGTTTTGGCTCAATTGCCTCGCCCTTTACATGCTTCTAAGGGCAAAACACGCATTGGTGAAGTGTATGGATTGGCCGACACCAAGAAGCGGAAGAGGTATGAAGTGGCTGTTGCGGTGGATGGAGAGGCTGTGAATATTTATAATGTATGCATCACGATCCTTATGGCCTTTGAGGACAGAAAAGCTAAATACAGGTCTAATAGGTTCAAACACCCAAGCTGGTGACCTCCTACGCCGTTCCGCCGCAATCCTTCTTCTCCTGCCAGCCATGCTCCGTGCGCAGGAAGCTATCGAACAAGCCCCTTGTGAAGCGGCAGACGTACGTCGCAGTCAACCCTCAGGGAGAAATTAAGTCTTTCATTGAAGAAAGTGTTGGAAATGGATCGACAGCGCCCGTCATCTCTTCCTTGTCCTTCTCTGTGAAGGATTCTGACAGCCCGGCGATTTTTGTCGGCCTTGTGCCAACTGTCTCAGGGCAGGATGAAGAAGACACATTTGATGTCTTAGTGGTCCACGAAGATGGGCGTGTGCGTCGACTGGCAGCTGATCTCCAAACCCAGCGGTGGAGCATCCGACACAGTGAGCTAGCGCAAGACTCCTCGGCTCATACAATTCGTGCGTGCTTCCTTGTTGAATTCGACGACGCAAAGAAGGCTCTCTTCAAGAAAAGACAAGACCTGGCGTCTTTGGCCTTAGGAGACTTGATAAACAGCGAGGGGAACGAACCGTCGATAATGCTGGTCGTGTCGCATCCGACTGGACCTGAACGCGTCAAACTGAGCAATGTGAAAGTGTCTATGTTTTCCGTCCCTGGGAAAATTCAACCTCAAGGAAAGAACCTAGATGAGAGTCAAAAGTTGAGACACCTTCTCACCGTTAGCATTCCCGATGTCGATGAGTATGAACCCTTTGACAGTGATGGCGTGGAATGGGACTTCCACGCCGTATCTGCAAGACTGAACCTCTCATTCAAAAAAGGGTTCGTCAGTTTCGACCTTTCCCAATACAAACCGATGGTGACTTCGACATTCATTCTCAATGATGAGGAATTCTCTTCGGTAATGCGAATCTCGCCGCAATCAGTAATCGGGGCAGGGAAATCAGTCATTGCATTGTTTGACACGCAGTACAAGTCCATACAGCGCAGCATCGCCCTTAGTGATGTTCCTGGCACCTCTTCCGGTCCCAAGGCAAGAGCGATCTTTATCAGCTATTTTGCGAAGCTCGGCATCGCTGTTGCGACAAAGGGGAACACACTGTATGCTTTCGACCTGAGCAGCTCCAACACATCTCTGGCATCTTCTCTTAAGCGGCCGAGAGATGGCCTGCTGATCGATGCTATCGGCCGCGGTATTGGATCATCATACTCGCAATGGGATGTGGCCGCAAAGAAGCCTCGGGTAGAGCAGGTGACCTCGCTGGATCTCACCTCTAAGGAGCAAATCGAACGATGGAATCGACTGGTGCAAGATTTACGCGAGTCTTCTAAATCTAAGGACACAGATGCGTTCGATCGCGCAGTGCAAAGTTACTTCAAGACGGATAATTCGATAAATCTGCCAACGCTGGATCAACATGTTAACATAGAAGTGACTTTGTTCCTTTTGACATTTATCTTCTCCGTCCAGAATGTCGGCAATACTCAGGACAAGCTGTCCGCTTCGTCATCCGTCCGATTGACTATTGACTTTTGGCCCTCCAAGACATGTGAATGGCTCATCCAGCTTGGTCGCCTGTCTCCCGACAATGTTGAGATTGCTCTTCGACGATCTTTCAAGCCACGCGTCCTTCCATCCTTGCCAACAGGCTCCTTCATGCAAGCGCTGATCGACTCCGATCCGACCTTCCGGCATCTTCTGGACGTCATTCAAGGCCCTACTATCTTTAGCCCCAACGAGCTAGCCTACGCGCTCAAGACATTCCTAAACACAGCCCTTGCGCTCTCCTTAGCCCTCGAAGAGGAAACCGCCAGAGCCCTCGCCAATGGCGAAGGCGAAGGCGACCAACCCTCCTCTACCACCCAGGACAGCCTCAAGGATATCTTCCTGGGTCTCAACACCACCCTGCAGAAGATCCACGCTCACCCGTCCCCCGCCATCACCAAATCCATCCGTTCCATGCTGTCCCGAACCGACATCCTCTCCATGGTTCACCACCTGCGTCTCTCTCTTGCTACAGGAGGCTACACCACACGCTTCACAGAGAACCCCCCGACTCCTATCTCTCCACACCAAACCACCCCTGCGCTCTCCCTGGATACAATCTCGACTCTTTTAAACGCCTCCGTGGACGCTATTGGCCCTTCGGGCTGGATCTCCGCCGCAGACGTCAGCGACGCGTCGACCCGTGAAATGGACCTCATCGCTGACATGAAATCCGAGATTTCTGCTGCCCTCGCTGGCGTAGAAGAAGCCAGCTATCTCAAAGGCATCCTGCGCGAATACCTCCGGTATACGGAAAGTGTGCATCGTAGCACCACCACCTCGGGTAAAGAAGTCCCGAGATCCGAAGTGGAGCAGGGATCTGCGCTTGTTCGGCACGAGAAACTCAATGGCGCCGATCTGATGGTGTATGCGACTGCGGAAGGAGACGATACGCTGGATGGCGACGTTGGTGGTAAGTTGTTACCGTTGTCGTTGAAGGCAGGCTCCGCGGATGTGGGTCGCACCAAGGTCAAGAGATCCACTGGTGAAGTCAAGATGAGGAGTAATCGGGAGATTGGGTATTTGCGGCGTAAGGCTGCTGGGAAGTACTCATTTGAAAGGCTTATTGTATAGATTATTCACTCTAATGGCGTCTTGTATGTATCTGTCCATATCAAAAATCGAATAATTCTCTCGTTAGATCTCTGCTCTCTTCCTTTCACAGTAGCTTTAATCGGATGGGTCTTTTTCTAAATTGTGAATCTTACAATGGGAGGAGACGATTCTCAACATTTGTGATGCCTTTTCTCTAGTCTTGGTCCACCCACTAGACACCACACTCATTTCAATATGTACACTGATGGTAGATGCCAGCCACTATATGCACACAAAAATATGTCAAGGCCCACCAGTCAACAGCAGCACATATATGCCGCTCCTAGATGATGCAGATTCTCTGGATGGTGGGCTCACGTATATCGTATCATGCGTCATCATCCACTTCGTGTCGAGAAATAATCAAAACATATCAGAATCAGGGTATTTGCGAAGCTGCCACATTCACCCCATGGATGGCAGTGTTAAGGTCCCGCCTACCCCTAATATCAAACCAAGTAATCCGATGCAGGTAAAACAGAAGTATAATAATCATCATAACCAAAGGAAGAATATAAAACGTACAAAGCATTGAAACATGTACATCGCGTGTCATAGCAACAGTAAGGATTACAAAGGGGGAAGCCAACTTCAGGTGGTGCCACATGGTCGTATGTCAGTCTTCATGTAATAACAAAAACAAATGCAGGTATGACTGCGACCACAAGGTGTAAGTGATACAAATCAGCTTCGTGGAATAAGGTTAGCTGAAAGTCCCCGGCTACTCACTCACCAAGGCATGTATGAGGAATTCGTAAAAACGCAACAAAATAATGATGAGGACCAAAAAAGAAGAAAAAGACATTCACCTCCCCCAAAACACCGGCATGTTATTTGTTGTCCCAGTGAATCCCTTCAGTAAACCACACAAAGTCTTGCATAATCCCTGTCAAACGTACTGCAAGGAACCTCCAAACTAGTGTAACAGGTTGAAATCATCGTATGTTGGACAAGCACAAAGGTTTTGCTCAGGCAGGTGCCAAACCTCTAGTTGGCTACTATAAGCTGAGCCTCATTGGAAGAGAATGGCAAAACTAGCAAGGCAAGCTGGTGAATTCATGTAACTATACCGCAGTTTGTTGTGGAACCCTCATAGAACTGTTGGAAAGAGTCCGTGGTCTAGTTTCTGTCAACTAGTACCAATAGTTGAATTTTCCGACCGCTCCTTTAGACAGATAGCTTGCGCTTCGAGCGATCGAGCCATCAATTTAATGACTAAGCGGAGATAAGTTAGCTGGCATCGCCAGATTGAAGCTTAGCGGGTAAATTATAACTAACCTGGCCAGACAGCAGCCCTGTCCAGAAGGCTTGCTGTGGCGATGAGTATCTTGCATCCATAACCCCCTTCCACAACACTGGGAAGCCTTTTCAATACGCTCAATGCGGACACAGTGGCACTGCTCTGTACTTCTTTTTGCATCTTGGTCTCAATACTCGTCAGGATTTCTTTGATCTTGTCTAACAATTTATAGTCTTCTTCCTCCAGCAGCATAGAGTCAGAGGCCTGTATCAAATCGACGTCGTCACGACCTAGGAGTCCTAGGTAAGGGCCGACGCGCTCTTGCACAGTCGTAATCCATTCCGCCAGAACCTGAGCACAGTCAAAAGCACACATGGCACATTGAATAGGGAGATCTCTACACGTGAATTCGGCAAAAGTGTTTCCAAGTCGATCAGACATGGATATGGAGTCTGCTGCGTAGAACGCGGCTTTCCGTAAATGTCTCTCTCGTTTAGATTGTCTGGGACGGTGAACACCCATAAAAGTCTGCATAGGGTTTTCCTGGGTCGGAGTTCTAGAGATGGCAAGGTCTGAGACCCCAAGGTCCGCGACAGAGTGGCGGCGATTGCCAGCTTGTTGAGCGGCCTCGGTAATTGACGGGTCTAACATATCGGACGGAATCTCATCAATGGGTTGTACGATTTCCGTGCCTCGCGCAAGCTCGTCCGACATTGCGCTCCAATCTCTCTGCCAGAATGCTTCCTTGCATCTCCCTAAATTAACGAACAGCCTCACGTAGGCAAGGTCCAATAGAGGAATGCTGTCAGCAGACAGAGGACCCGCTCCAAATGGGTTGGGGCGTTCTAAACTGTGGACAGGGTTGTTGGCCCAGGCTGCCTGCCATGCCCTTAAAGCAGGCTCAATATGAGCCTGCATGGCATCGGTTTCACGAGATGTCCATTGCCGACCCATGTGACGCTGGCGAGTTTCCCAGATGTAATTATGTAGGGCGTAAATGAGTACCAGACAACCGAAGGTACTCGGCTTCAAATCGCTACCTGAAAGATCCTCGGCGGGAAGGGAGCCGTCCATAGAGAAGGGAGAAGTGGACTTGGCTTGACGCTGCTCTCGTTGGCTGGCCGTTAGAAGTGTTGTCAATGCCGAGGAAAACGAAGGGTTATTCTTTGGGATCAGATGCCCTCCAATTTTCTTCCATGCTTGCGGGGACTCTGCAGACCAAAGATCCTCCTCACATGGTAAGTTCAGGCGAATTTCCGAGTTGGTAATAGCAGGGGCGTGGTTATACGCTGACACTAGGAAGCAGGAAAGAGAGAAGATAGCATAGAGGGTTCGTTTTCGTTCTTCGACTACCTTCCAATCCAGCCAATCTTTTCGCTCTTTTCGCGGCCCGAAGGGTGCTGATCGCCAACCATCGCTCTCTGTGTCCGTCTCCTCTACACCGGATCCACCAGCAAGTCCGGTGTTTAAATAATCTTGAGGCAGATCCTTGGCGTCTAAGTCATGCGTCAACTCGGCTGCGCGTGCTAGGCTCACTAATGCCGCACAATGTGTGCTGGCAATGTCGGCCGATGTTTTGTCCCCGCAGGTGTGACCGTAGATGACATTAAGGAGCATCGCTTGGACTAGCCAAAGAGGAGTGTTGTGGACGGAATTATCACGACCTGCGTGTCCCCGACCTAGAGCAGCAGACATATCGGCTTTACGGCGCTCCTCAAGGTAAAGTTGAATCATCTTTTTCGCGGCTTCAAATAGTTCTTTTGAAGCTACAGTGTCGAATTCATAGAGCGCGCCAATTGCCGCCATAGAAAGGATTAAACACCCGCCGCCTCCAGTAACCCCAGTGGAGCTTAAGTTCAAGTGCCCACTCGGAGTCCGAAGGTTATTAGTGTACTCGGGTGCTTGGAAGTTGAGGGTCGGAATATGTAGAAACGGCATGTGGGGATGGAAATAGGTAATGTAGGCCGAAATGTAACGCTGCATGTCGGGCGTGCTGGGTAGTTGACCGGAACTGTTGAAAAAAGAGCGGGAAAAGAGCTCGCGACAATGTATCATGCCGGTTGAGGGCTGGGAGTACTTGCGGTGATTAATGCCGGAAGGGGTGGCCATGCTGGCTAAAAGAGCCTGTCGGGTGGAGTCTGTAAAGGTATCCGTGGAGGTTGCGGAATGGTGTATTCGTGGGGCACTATTCGCGAAAGGCAGGTTGAGAGGATTAGGAGATTCTCCGCTTGTTGCCATAGAGGATGAAAACATACTCTGCGAATGTCCACCCAATATGGGTTGGCTCACCGACGTCATGGAAGGAGGCGTGGCATATGTTTCACCAAACGGGTTCTGCGCCATCAAAGATTTCGGAGACACAGTTTCCGGGGGGATTCCTAGATCGTTAAAAGTGGGTGAGGTAGTATAATCAACAGCAAACTGGTTCGATGAAGCTCCAGTGTGGGGTGGGAATGAATTGTGCCAGCTAGCTGAAGACATAGAGAAACGATTCGATCCTTCCATCATCGCCTCACTAATACCGCTCTGGCTGCCAGTGCTCATCGCCGAAGGAGACGACTCATCGATTGCCGATTCGTTACCTTTACCCATCGGTACCGACGGGTCGAATCCGTTCATCCACTCAAACGCATATTCGTCCTCCATCATCGGTTCGGTGTTCGGCGGCATGTGATGAGCAGGATGAGAGTATGGGGAAGACGGCGAGTCATTGCCGTAGTTTTGGGGAGAGCCACCGAAATGAAGCTGAGCCGGGTTGATAGTGCTTCCATGACCCATGAACATCTCATTAAAATGAACGTCGAAATGGCCAACAGGAGCTGTACGGAGACCACCGGAGAGATCCACAGGTAACCCATGAGTTTCTAATTTTGCAAGACCATTTACTGGAGGGTGACATGAGCTGAATCCCCGATAGTCCAAATTGGAGCCTATTGGGGCCGAGCCGAAGCTGGGATGGTAGGCATGGCTAGCCGCAGATGGCGGTGGATTGGTGGCATTCATAACGCCTAGCGAAGCCCCGTCGATGTGACTGATAGTATTTGCGCGGGGTCGCATGGTACTGGAATTGCTGACAATAGAATTCTTGCGAACGCGATTGGTTCCTGTACCGGCACCGCCGGTGCTTTCCCGACGGGCATTTCTAGGTCGTGATGACGGTGTCGTAGTCATATGCAGCTTCTGTTGATGCCTTAGAAGCAGATCGCGCCGAGCGAAACAACGTGAGCAGTCTGGGCACTCAAACGGTTTTTCCTTGGTGTGTGAACGTTCATGGCGTTTCAAATGCTCCAGACGAGCGAAGGACCGACCGCAGGTTGTACAACCGTGTGGACGTGGCTTATCGGTCTTGGGAGGCGGTATATTGCCACTGGTATTGGCCTGCCCGTTGGCACTGTCGACTTTCTTCGCGGTTTCTTTAGATGCTAGAAACAGGGCTGTCAGACATAAAAAAAAAAAAGACATAATGAGAGCAGAATCGCTAGACTCACCAGACATATCGGCAGGGACTTCACTTATACTTGCAAGATCCTCAACTTTCGGGCTATTACCCAGGTCCTGACCCACCATTGAGTCAACTAGCATGCTAATTTCCCTCCTCTGTATAGAAACAGGAGCTGAAGCACCAGTTTCGGAGCTGTACGCCTCTGTCGTAAACTTGACTATATAAGGCCGCCGACAAATAAACTTTCCGTATTGATTGTGCAAAGATAAAGCTAGTCAAAAGGACGACCGCGAAAGCCCGACATTGACCGTATTCCTGCTCGAAGGGAACTAGTAAGCAGATAATCGCTTCAGATTCAAAAAATAGGGAAAAGAATAAATATGGGATCTGGACGACCCAGATAACATAGATGGCGTTCGTGATGATGCCGATGACGATAGGAATAATATAATACTGCCGTCATTGACGTTCCAGCGGAACGTGGAGAGATAAGAATCGGGAAATGCTAGGGAGACCAACCAGAGTACGAAGCAACCCAAGGCACGCGGAAAGTGAGAATATTCAGGAAAGGCGCAGTGTTCCGGCCACTGAGCAACCGAGAGTAGAATTCGACGTAATGGCCAAATGGAGGAACAGGGCTGTTAAAAGGAACGTTGGAGCAGGGTGGATTGTGGCGAAGTGGTTCCTGGGGAACTCGATCTTTGGGTGCTTCGACAATCGGGAGCAATCAGCAGGGGCTAAGGTTCCAACGATCCAGGGGAATATTCACGGAGTTTAGCTTTACAGAGAAACGCTGAGAGACGCAAAATAGGGGTCTAGAAATAGCCCAATAGACCTGATCAGAGGAAGGGAAATAGAACGTCTAGTGACAAATGCTATGCGCGTTTCAATAAAAATGGTGTGAGGCGATGGGTAGGGAAGCCGGAGATAGCCGAATGGGGAATGGAGAGCGGAATTGATAAGTGCGACAATGAAGGGGTGGCAGGTGGGCTGCTAGTCAATTGCTGATAAGCAGGGGAGGATCGCAAGGAGGAAAGAGATAGATGAGAATGGCAGATGCCGTGGATGGTAGAGAGACTGGAGGAGAAGGGAGAAGGAGAGAAGTTGGTGTTGGATAGAAACAAAAGGAAAGGGAATGAGAAAGAGAAGAAAAGAGGAAGAGAAAGGTTGCTCAAGATGTAGAAGGAGTTGACAAGTACCTCTCTACTATAGTAGGCGGCAGGTAGGGAAGTCAGTACTGGCACTACGTACCTTAGCTCAGTTAGTGAGCAGGAACTAATCTCGTACAGCTCTTAGTCAGGTCGCACGGCGAATCTTAATGGATAATCCCTCGTACAATCGACACAGAGGGACCGTAGGGATGATGACAATAATACTCCGTACATAGGAAAAATATTATTTTATTTTTATTTTTGGATATATATATATATATATATATATATATTTCTTTTTCTCTCCCGGCTGTGATTGCTTACCACGGCCTAACCGCCTTCTAACAGCGTACTACCAGCCAAGTTACTTTCATCCGGTCTACCCCAGCAACTGTTGCGGGATAACCCACGAAACAGCAGACGCCATTAGTAACGCCACCCGCCAATGACAGACGTAACTCGGGGCCCGAAGTGGGTCCACATGCCCTAGTGCGACCACTGTTGCAGGGGAAGCATGGGCCCAGAGCCAAGGCTGCCCCACCACCCAGTCACGGGGAAATGTGGTACTGTACGGTCACATCGGTCATCGGGTACATCGCTCATTGTGTATGGTATAAATCGTTACAGCTTGGTCTGGTGGGGGTACGTAACTAGGTAGATAAGCCTGGGTGTCTAGGATATATTTCTTGAAGTGAAGGAAAATACCTAAACTGTATAATGCTGATAAAAATAAATAGACGATAGCAATTGAAATAATACAAGAATTCAATGCGACAGTAAACTAGAGCCGAGATAGATAGCCTAGATCGCTGTAGGAAGTGCTCTTCATAATTCCAATTAGTATTCGGGGGGCAATGCCGCGCGTGGAAGTTGGTCCTTAATTCCTATTTAAGTTCATCCAACGCATTGGTAGCCTCGAATCACAGTACAGCGACGTTTGCACAGGAGTCACCAACGTCTAACTCCAAGGGCCGGTTGACTAATTTGCTTCGCTTGTACATATACTCACTTTTTAGTACTAGAACCGGTTGGTCCGTGGAATATATCCTGAGCTTCTTGATATTTACCACTTTACTATATCTTTATAGCTCCGTCCGGCTCCGGGGGTCTCCAATAATTTTATGACATTTCCAGTGATAGGCTGAGGTCAGATAGACGTACAGGGATCCGTAGCCGAAACCTATCGTGAGAGCTGTTGGTGATCAATAATTCTCTGTACCTAGGTACTTCTGAGATAGTGCCAAGATGATAATATTACCAGATTACAGCGTACTTCTACCTAGTATTATGTACTTAGAATACACAGAACCAATCTCGAACATCGAGTACTGTACATACATAGTGGATGCATGGATGCTGCAGTCGCCCCTTGGCTAGGTAGGTACTGCTAAACTTACATGCTAGCCCATTCTGACTGTTGCCTACTATTGTCTTGATCCGAGCCTGGAAGGTGGGTTGTAACTTGCAGGCGGCATTGGTTGAATGCCTATCTTACTTAGGCTGGAACCTTAGATTCCCTGTACACCTGGCCATGTAACAGGATTATCCCTGCGCACTTGGAGAGGTACAACATAGCAATACATTTGTATGTCCCTAAACATCAGCGAAAGCTTAAATACAATTGTGAGAAAAAGATAACCTCAATCGAAGTTACCAGAGAATCCAGTATCCGTAGTTAGATTACCGGTGAGAAAGAAGCAAGAGCGAACTTAAGGTATGGCGAGTACACCGGCGGTATGGAGGCCGTGGATTCTGCTAAAGGGGTATGGTATTGTAACGGGCCATGGATCGTCGGGAGTCGAACGTGGAATCCAACCCCAGACCTCGTGACTGGCCCCGATCGGCTGCCCACGTAGTGCTTCATTTTGCTTCTGTTGACAGATGATTTGGGGTTCTTATATATTCTGGGGTTAATTATTGGAGTCTATCTGAAAAATATTCCTGGCATGGAAATTCAACAAGGAACTGAGAATATGAATTAACTAGGCTGGGGGGACAGTGGCTACGCTACTACTGATGGGAGTGGCAGTTAGCGCCGCATTGGTTGCCTCCTAAAGGCCTCAGTCTCACTAATTATCCGTAATCCATAGTCATGCACTCATATTAATAGGAATCCTGGCAGGAACAGCACGGAACTCACGGCCACGACTAATCCCAAGGGGGCAAACCAACCTTGCCCCAAGCAGGAAGAAAACGAGCTTGCGCCATTTTGTGGGGAGAGCAAATGAGCAACAGTGAGGTTCGTGTGGGGGATTTGCTAGGATCCAGCAGACTGTTTGCCAATTGCAGCCACCAGATCCGGCAGTGGTGGATCCTGAGGTCATTAACCAGCGGACTCCGTCCTATTGCATGGATTTAGATTTACTTCTTCCCTTGTCATCCAATCGCCTCGAACCAATTCCAACTGCCCAACAAATGAAATGTCTTTGTTTCAGGCCTTGGAGTGCACTCCCTGCCAACCACCACTGGGTCTGTTCTCCATCCACTGAAGACTTGGCGACACCGAAATAAAATCGGAGACTAGTAGCACCGTCTTCTCCAGACTTTCTTGCTGTATCATTGGCTGCGTTCCCCGATTTGGATGATCATGCTGCCCTTCCCCATCCATGCGTCCCCTGGAACGGATGCCGTTCCTTACTCTGTAGACACTGCTGAAGTCACGGCTCGAATTTCTAGAATATCCAAGCAAGACGGAGGCCATTTGGCTTTTCTTTTCTTCGCCTTCTTATCCCCCCCCCCCTTTTTTTTTTTTTTTTTTTTTTTTTTTCCTCTTTCTTTCTTTCTTTTCTTTTATTCAAATTTGGTCGAATCGGATAGGCTTCGGGAAGTTTCAAGTTCAACGTATTTTGTTTAATACCCAGTAATTGGGATGCGACAGACCAGGGAGACGTTAAGTTCTAGTGGCAATTCTGGCAACAAAGGACCTCAGATCGAAATAAAACAAGATGGAAGAGCTCGAGGTTTGTCCAGCTCTGACTATCCACCAATTCCACCATCATTCCTTGTAGATTTGAAGAATAGTAAGTAGGGATCTTGATTGCACTCCTTCGGCTACCTAGAAGCCGGTTGATAAAGTGAGTAGCAGCAACAGTGGCTGCAGACAGGTTCAATGTCAATTATGGGTGACTGTATTCAGCTTCCCAGTCTATGATTTGCGGAGAGTGAATTCTATTTCCAGTGGCTCTCAATGGCCCGGCAAGCAGACGTGGATGATTATCCGACACAGGTGAATAATGCCGCATATTATGCATGAGGCCCGCGGGATAGTATAGGATTAGCCGCCATCCTTCGCATGATGGGGCAACGTTCCATCCCACGCTATGACGTTAAATTTCCGGGACTCGGCAAGATGCATCAAGGTTCGACTCTCTCTTGTCGTTCTTTTTGTGTCGTTTTCTTTCTGTGGTTCGTAGGATACTTAGCAATCTTGGGTCTGGTAGCGAGATTGAACCTGGGGGATGAATTGGTTAGCATCTTCTGATTAACTGGTTTTCATCGCCGCCACGTATGGATTCGCACGGTCCTCGAGATGGTGGACTCAGACCCTTGACACCTCAGGCCACCATGCAGGACAAGTTTAGTTACGGCCGTAGTCAGGTGGCCCCAGTTAGCACAACAAAATATATCCCTGTCATTTCTGGTCTGCTTTGATAGGACCACCTTGGATGCATGGATACTAGGCGATACTAGCTATGGCTCCAAAAAAGGCTCTTAGGCGGGCAATAGTCCGCATTGTCATGCTTCTATACATAGTAGTAGTGGTATGTATGGCAATACGATCTTTATCTTGAGTACGTGATGATCCGTCTCTGGCGGCTATAGGCCGCTTCATGATATTGTCTTGGTAAGTTTCATTAGGGATTATCCTGTGGTATACTCTGGGAATCCAATGATTTTAGCACTCACTGTCGTGTCACTCGCGTTGCGGACCGGCTCCAGGATAAACCAATAACACGAAGCCTATCCAGTACCCCTGCCAAAATCAAACGTTTCTATTAGGTGGGTTGGCACGGAGTATACAGAGAAGGGCTGCATTTACTTAAGTGAAAGCATCTAGAACAGCAAATACAGCCAAGGAAGGGCGGTTACACCCGATCGCCCACAACGATCTCGCAAGCTTCGATTGGTAAGGCGACAGGACCACATCAGGAACACGGACCAACAATTTGCATGCGGTAGCCGATCGAGTCGCATCCCGCGCTCCTGTCTGATAATTGCATTGTCGATCTGGGTATCCCAGCTGGTCATGGACAGAAAATCTCCGACGGGACTGGTGTAATGTGTACTATTGATAGGCAAGTCATGCAAGATTGTGTCATTTGGGCACTGGCATTCTCTACCCTGACTATATTGAGCCATCCATAACTATAATATGGATCGTAAATATCCTCTGGATGGAGTGGGAGGCACGCCGGGTCCGAAACTTTGCTACGCGCAGACAACACATTCAGCTAGCTAATATTTCTGATTCAGGATTAGGTGCTATCAATAGCGGAAACTATTCCCTACGACTGCTCTTGTAGCACGCTAATCTGATGGGGTTTATCAGACGTGTGCAGGTGCACATTACTTACTAAAGAGCGAGGTTGTATACAACCTGCTGCATTACGGGGCCCTCTGAATGTACTAACCCACCGAGCCGTTAGATACGATTATCTGAGCGACTGGAAGGCTCAATCAATTCTAACAGTCCTCACAGCCCAGTTTCAAGTAAAACGGTGTTCCGTTGATCGATATAATCCTTATCAACCCATCGAGTCCTATCGAAAGGATTGTACCGGTCGGGCCCATTTCCCAACCGCTTGTATCATGCATACAACGCTAGGCACTAGTTCCTGAATAGCGCCTACCGGGGTGGAGACTGTGTGTCTAGCCACTGCACCATCGTAACACTTCTACAGAAGTGCGGACTCCAACATCGCTAAATTAGATTAGCCCAGACACCAGTGCACATGGGCCACCCATCCAAACCGTTCCTGGTGCTTCCGCATCGACTATAGAGAGCACACTACTCCGTATACAGGTGAAATCTACAGAGTACACCTCGGTCGCTGCGGAAGTGACAAATAGATGACAGCGACATTGCCTGCTTTCTTTGTGGCCCTGACGAAGTGGAGCGTGCTGCGGCTGAGCCTTGACGATCCCGCCGCTAAAGCCAGGAGGTTGGATCTGGCTGGGAGTTATAATTGGCAATATGATTGCAACGTCGGTTAGGCTAGGAGGAGGTTGGTTATTCGCCCCAGTGGATGGTGGGTTTTGTGGATGCTCTTTCTCTACGGGGTTCTATAACTTTAGATAGGATCATTCGAAGTGACTGCTATCAGGCTGTTACGGCCCGTTGTGCAGAATTGACTGACTAGTTTCTTGCTAACTCTAGGAAAATAACGCACAAGCCTATCTATGGTCCCTGCAGCTCGATTGAAGACGGAGCCGATGGAACCCACTGACATATTGGAACAACGGAGCTTGTCTCCTGCTACTACTCCTGCTACTGCTGTCACAGCGACTGTGCATCCACCATACAGGCCAGTTACCTCCTACCGGAGAAAAGCCGATCACGCTCTGACAGTGACGAGGCATGATTAGCGACAGCAGACATACATTAGCGGTATTGCTCCAGACCAAAGCCGGTTAGCATTGCGCATGTATGTAAGATTTGGTATGCATATGGAACGCCGCCACGGACTTCCTAGCGAGTCGAGGCGCGTCCGGTGTGATGTACTCCGTGGTTATCTAAGCAAGTCAATTAATTCCGTCGTTTAATGCATCGCGTAACTGTGCCACTCGTGACGATGATACAAGGATAGGGATAGATGAATATCGGATGAAATCGTAAGGGAGACATCCATGACTCCAACCTAGTCCGTTTTATCCCATGCAGTGTTACTCTGATTTTCCCTCCCCACCCTTCCCACCTTGCTGTCTCAGTGTCAAATTTCAGGATTTCTCCTGACGGGGTTTAATCTGCAGAACCATCATCCAAGTAAACCAAACCACCCACGTCGTTGTCCCGCATAAGGCTTGGCCAGACCACGACCACTCATCAACCATTTCCAGATGTCTCGAAGAGACGGATGCAGGACACCAAAATAAGTACTCCGTAAAATATTGTAAGTTGGACTCTTATCAAGTCAGCGAGATACACATGATGAGTCGATGACCAGGTACGCAAGGAATAACCCTTCGTCACTGACACCGTGTACGACCGGAGCTTTCGCGACTGCGGTTGGGATTTGTCAAACCTACGGTTGTTGTATTAGAGTCCGAGGAAGTCGTACAAGCATTCTGGGTTGTAGATCCTAACGGCGAGACTTATGGTTTCGAGTACAATCCCGAGTGGGATGTGTATGTGATGTACCTTGTACTCCTTGTGTCTATATTGACAACCCGATTGTTTAGAACCAGTTCGAGATAAAGTCTCCAAGGTGCATTTGGACCAGACCGTTCTTAGTCACTGTAGCATGTATATGATGGCAGTACGGTGTTACCTGGTCACATGGTGGATTTCGAATGCAGCGTCGAGGATAATGTTTGCTCATCAGTCGCGTCTGTGTCGGCTGTTGTGGCGAGACTGGTTTGAAATTGCGATTGTTTACGATTGTGTCTGTGGATGTTTTCGAGGCGTAGAATGCAGAGTACGGCGAAAAGAGTGAAGAATGTCAAGTGGGATGACATTTGCCTATGTAGCAAGGCGCGTCCGGCGTCCACACTAATATCTACATCAAAGGGATAGTAATTTAAATTATGACCGAATTAAGCAATTAGACTATCTTATACGGAGAAATAGTATTAAAAACTTGAGCTTATCTTCCTGCTTAGTTCCTTAGCTGGGTCTATACGAAACGTAACCAGGATATCAGCATTCATATAAAAATGTCCATCTAGCCCCTTTCTTTTTTATACACCGAAAGTGTACTAGAAAAGGTGCAAATAAATGGAATCCATGATACCTAGATTATATTGTGTCAACTAGGACTATATGCAGATGCCCTTAACATCTGCACTCTAAATTTTCAGTCCCATCATTAGTCTGCCTATCTATGTAGCAATGGTTAATGGCACGACAGATTCCGTTTACATTGCAAGATTGAGATTATTCTGTCTACAGAGCATGATCATCTTTAAGGAGAATATCATCTCCGAGATATCGATGCACGTATCAAGATATAGTAGAAGTCGAATATACTTGGACCTATGACTAAATGATTACCTTATAACCGACGCTCCCACTTTCGCCTCCGGGGAACGATGACGCGAGTACTTGTTTGGATCGGTTCTTGGAATCGCTGGTAAATAATCTATTGAGCGATAGAGTCTTACTGGAGAGTGCCGGGATGTCTCCCCGTAGTTTGAATGATTGACCTCAGGGTATGAGTATCAATATCGATAGTATGTAGAAGCAGTATTTTAATGTTTACGTCAGCCAGTATCCAAAATCGATATCTGAACCTGCATATTGGAAGCAGAAGAATAGACAGTCCAAAATAGGACGAAACTACTTTTTACTTAGATCTCCTGGCTTATAATTTTTACTTCCCGTTGAATTACAATTCCAATTCAAGTTTCTAAGCCTCAGCTTTTTCTCTGAGAAGTTGCCGTCTTTCAATTGCAAATTCGACCTCACGATTTTCAAATTGAAGTTGGTATTTTTCTAGTTCAAGAAGTTGATGTTCGTAATCAATCTTCCGAGCTTGTTCATCCAAGTCCTCCGCTGCGGATGACGAGTACTATAGTTATATTAATTTACAGTTAACTAGTTGTTAACTGTTAGATATACGACTAGTCCCGAAGAGGAAATAGAGTACGATTGGTGAAAAGGTCTTATTTGAATGAATTGAGCTGGTTGTGCTCTTCTTGGTTATCCTCGATCGACCACTTTGCTGCGCGCTCCACGGGGGGTTTCAGCCCGATCCAGCCACACGATTCCGGTCCACCAACGGCCATTATTTGACAATAACAAGTTTAACGCACGCGATTTAGTCCTCGTTAGCCTGCGATTAGATTTCGAAGGCCTATGTGATCGTTGTATTTCTCGAGATGGACTGATATAGCCATCTGAGTTTGCTTTAACTAGGATTCGATCCTCCTCATCGATCTTAAAAAATTCTGACTCAGCGCTCTTCCTTTTTCTTGCTATATCCAGTTAACAACTGGGTAAAATATAGGTGGTTATAATACTGGTAATACTCACCTTCACGTGCCATCCAATTATTAAGTCGAGTTTCCAGATTATTAGTTCTTCAACGACGAGAAGTACCAAATGGCTCTCATGCGAGAGCATGAGTTATATCTTGCTGATACATAGTACTCAGTATATATATAAATAGTGAATTAAATTACGAGCTAGGGATTAGGCAGAGTTGCGATCTTCTAAATGGGTTGAGCTAATGAGTATAGTATATTGATGACCATATACAGGATGACTGTGGGATGGGCTTCACTACGCGAGCTCGTGTGGTCCGATCACTAGGGCAGAATCAACAATTGATAGAGTTGACATCTGCTATATAAACTAGTTCTTGCTCCTAGAAGAGACTGATATGCCCGGCGAAATGTGACTTACAATAAGAGTCCTTAAACACTGATAAAACTTTGTACTGATCAAACAAATCTATGGTCTATTAAAAAGCAAGCTTTGTTTAAGTTTCTAGCAAAAGGGATTTTGTTTTTTTACTGGTTTATATTTAGTAATGCCAGATACATTGGTATGCCAGGTATACACTATTCTACGATCTCCTAAAAAGAGCTGCATAGATAACCTTATTGAAGCTCCCTTTAGCTCTTCATAGACATGGGAATTTAAGAGCCGAGTCTTCCATTTCTCATGTTGTGTCTACTCATCATTAGACACGGAACAGGGATCACAAGGCAGGATTTCTTACCCAGTACAATGTTCGTAATCTCCCATCCCCAATGGTTAGGGCTTAAATTGTGAGCATGAAGCAAGCAAGATGATGGGCCAAGTATCGGCTAACTTCAATTAATAGGATCTGCTTCGTAGGTCAATTGCTGCGACTGGTAAGATGAGCAATGCTAGCTTGTGTATCAGGCTGTTCTGGTCCAAGCACATTCTGTCCTTTCCTGGTCACTTCCTCATAGAGGGAGGGCTTAGGCAAACCTCCATCAACCCTGCATTCATAGGTTGCCGCTATCAGGAATATAGCATCAACAAATGTATATGTCCATTGTGGCTCTGAACGAGGGGTCCCGCAGAACCTGTGTTGCGGTCAGATATTCTTCTGGGCAGTAAGTAAATACTATAGACGTGATGGAGTGCATATGTTTTCGCTCAATTAGATCAGCACCCAGGACAGGCCAGAACGGACTAGATAGCAAATAAAATGGGCCTTACTCTAGTATTAAGAGATTAGAAACCTGCGAGACGTGTATACGAGTAAAAAGTATAAAAAAGCAGAACCATAAGGCGGTTCCTAGGGCATTGGGGCCTTTAAAGAGAGTATATATAGATTTCTAAGATCCATACGGCAGAATAAAGACGCATAGAGATTTATATCTTCCTAACCAACGACTGTACCCTTTTTTTATAGATTTATTTAACAAATAATCGGTAGGCTGCAACCGTTCAGACTACTCTAGAGATATAGTTAGCACAAACAGAGCGGGGGAAGTAGTTAAATAATTTATTATTTGAACAGATAATAAAAAGGAATTTACGGCACTAGAACCATGGGCTTTAATACAAGGAAGTAGGATTAAATTTATCGACTCTAATACACCCCAATAGAATGGTGTAGCAGAAAGATTAACACCTCCTGAAGGTAAGCAGAGCAATCCCAAACATGGTATTGGCACAAGGATAACTGACTGCTAGGACGTTAAAGGGGCCATCAACAGGTTGCGTTGAAAATATTAGAAGCAGATGCATCGCAAAACAACAGAGAGCTTTCCATTCTTCTTAACCTGTCAGCTTCTGACATGGACCGTCCTGGAAAGCGACGTTTAATTAAACCGCTCGATCACTTTTATTGTACAGGTCTAAATGGGACTCACTTGTGCCTTGTTTTGATATTTGATGAAGAAATAACGACCAGTAGGATTTCGCACGAAGTAGGATATGTGCGGGGTATTTCTCGTCAGGTTTTGCTAGGTCTTGACTTTCTTCACTAGTAGGGCATCATCCATTGCAGAACGTCAGGTCTCCCAAGTAGTATAAGCGGCTGTCTAATAGCATAATACAGGTCTTCAACCGGCAAATATTATGCTTTCGGTTGCTGGAACTACAAATATGGAGGGCTTTTTGCAGCCTCCTGAGTTCAGTCTTGTTAAGTGGCTAAAAGGAATAATGGAAGATAATAGCACCCCCAAATATTTGATGCCTACGCAAATTTCCGGGGCGAGTTGGACAATTTATATTTCTCAGTATTTAAGGTTAGAGTTGGGGACTTGGGCAGTGGTAAAAGACACCTATTATTATGTCTTATCTGGACAGCATTGTTCACAGCTCATATATACTCTTAGCTCAGTGGATTTGACAGTGCGATTAGCAACCAGTAACACTGCTAGCCTTATATGCACCTGAGCTAATACACCGACGTTCCTGGGATACTACCATAGATATCTGGAGCTTGGGTTGCTTGGTATGTCGAATGTCTCTCTGTATTAAAGCCTAGCTTTACAATTTTTTAAATTGGCTATCAATAAACCACTGTTCTTCTAGATGCTTTTGGACTTACACGGGAGGAAATAAATAAGGACCATGATTCTTTTATTAACTAAAGACTTTGTCCTCACAGTCAGAGGGTTGAGGATTTTATTGGATACCTAAAAAATAGATTACCAAATAACTTCGGTGCTAAAAAAAGTAAAAAGCCTCGCGTTATTCTTTTTGCTTATACTACAGATAAGCCCTCGCAGATGACTATCGGCGAGAAATCTACTTGAGACCCCCTTTGTGCTAGATAAATCTCACTACTAAGGACGTTCATTAGTCGCGCAAGAAAAGATTGCTAAAAAGAGTTCTAATTTTATCCCAGGGCTGTCTCGCGCTCGCCCACCCTCTATCTATGTGCTTTTAGTTAATCGGCAAGAGACTATTAATATAGGTCTATCCTAAAGATACTAGGCGGCAAAAGAGCATGGTTGCTAATATGTATTATCAGAATTGATTGGTGCTCTTTACCAGGATATTTATTGCTTGGGGAACGGTCATGAGACACATTTCCCGCAAAGGAGTTTTATGCATTAAAGGCATGGGCAGAAAAGTTGGTGATTCAGTTAGAATTTATAGAGCCTGATACCACGCAACAAAACGGGGTTGCTGAGAGGATAAATAGGCTGCTATTGGAGATGGTGCGGGCAATACTAACTGGGGCGGACATTCCGGGGAAATATCGGCCATACGCGGTTTAGATGGTAAACCACCTACGGAATAGGACCATACGGGTTAGAGATACCAGAAAGACCCCATTTGAGCTGTGGAAAAGGCACCTATCAGATATCTCGAAGTTTCGAACCCCATTCTGCAGTGTTTGGTTCCACCGAAAGTCCAAGGACGGTGATAAGCTTGAACCAAGAGCAATATAGGGAGTCTTTAACGGTTATGAACCAAGCAGGAGTCATTATATGGTCATGACTCGAAGGGATAGAAAGGTCTATCGTGTGACGAACCCCATTTTCCTGGAAGATAAAAGAGGTTTTATCAGCAAAGAGTCGGAACGCAGAGATATCGGGGAAGAGTCAGTATACCAGAAGGCCTTTGGAGAAGGCCAAAGTAGTTCTCAAGAAGACCGGTTGAGGCAACGGTTGCCCCAATCTAGAAACATGCCTGGTTCCTCTGAACCAGAGGGAGGCACTCAGATGCCTCATCCTGATCAACCTGGACCTGCAGTGGCTGCAGAGGTTGAAGAGGCTGAAGATCAGCAAGTAGATAGGGACCGCCACAGATCACTTAACCAACTGACCGTGTTGATTGGCGGGCAGGTGTCCAGCAATCGGCTCAGCCAATTCAACACCAACACCTGCATCAATAGACCCCCGAAACCACCTCTAATCTGCGCTGATCGAGCAGAATTCAAAAGCTTCGGCAAGAAGCTACCGAACCTAAGCAGACAGAGGACCTTAATGGACGCAAATCGCCCAAAAGCTCAGAGAAGAGAGGGAGGCAGCTAAGGAGCCTTCTCCGCGCAGAAAACTGCAACAACTTCATGAAGTAGCTATACCAGTCAAAGATTCGCAGCAGATTCATGAAATAGCTAATTTATCCGTCGCGTTAGAGCTTTATCTTGGTGGTCACGATGAGTTTTACTTTTAAAACCAAGGATAGTGGTAAGTTTGACGGGCAAACCCCAATTCCAAAGACTTATCAAGAAGCAATATCTGATCGTGCCTACGGAAGCCAGTGGAAGGAAGCAATTAAGATTGACTTAGGCAACTTAACCCGCTTTGGAACGCGGAGATATATTAAGAAACCAAAAAACCAGAAGGCTTTCCACTAAATGGGTATTTGATGCATTAGAAGTTGATAAAAAACTCTACATAGAGGACCCAGAAGGGATTAACCCAAATTCGCATAATCCTTAATGTCCGCGAGCTCCTAAAATCTTTATACGGGCTACAACAATCCGCATACCTTTGGAACCAAAGGGTTAAGGAATTCGTAACGTCTACTTGATTCAAACAAAGCACGGCAGACTCAGGAGTCTTTATTAATAACTGAAGGTTTATTATAGCTCTTTATGAGGATGATATCTTAGTCATTAGCAAAGATCCAAAGGATCTAGAGGCTACTAGAAGAAACTAAAAGAGTTTCATCCTATACAAAATTCCGGTCTAGTACAAAAGATATCGGGAATTCGAATAACCTGGTGAAAAGACTTTATTTAACTTGACCAAGAGTTCTATGCACACTTAATTTTAGATGAATTTGGAATAACTGATTCTACAGATTAAGATATCCTATTAAGCTTAAGTATTGATCTAAATGATGAAATTTCTCGTTATATAAAAATTTAGGCAAATAATCGGCCGCTTGACATACCTTGCTGGTGGAACTAAACCAACATTTAATTTCCAGTCAACCGATTAAGCCAACACTTTGCAGAACCTAGAGATATTTATCTACGAGCATCAAAAAACATTCTCCGATATGTAAAGAAGACTATAAGCTATAGCAACCGGCATAGCTTAAAGGGGAGTGGGAAAATAGAGCTTATAGGATACTCCGGTTCATCATATGGAAGCGTAATAAAATATCGCTCAACCAGTGTGTACATATTTTGCATGGTAGAGGACCAATCAGTTGGTGTAGTAGAAAGCAGACTATAACTGCTACACTAAAGCCGAATATATTGCTGCTGAAGAAGCTGCTCAGCATGCGATTTGGATTAGACACTCTCTTACAGCTATCCACAAGCGTGCGGTGCAGTGAAACTAGGTGTTAATAAGCAAGGGGCTTTAGCACTCACAAATAATCCAGTTAGCCACCTGCGAAGCATATTCGTGTTCGATATCATGAAATCAGGGATTTCATTGAATATGTTGACATCGAGGCTATCTATATTCCTACACCTGAAATGCTTGCAGATGGGCTCACGAAGGCCATGCAACAAAAGTCGTTTTCATATACGACTTTATATTACCAAAAAAATATATACAAATTTATCTATGAAAATTTCTAGACTTAGAAAGAGCAAGCAAAGTTGGGAGATAAGGTCTAAAGGTATAGAAATTACCTTTACTGTTTAGTCATTGGTGTGACAAATTGGTAACATACGTGGAGTCGCCTTTAAGTAATGACTAGCTGTTAGCTTAGTATTCTGGCCTTTTGCCCTTTTGGCAATGCAGTTAAGTCTCTAGAATCTTACCTAGATATACGGCCGTGACACCCAGGCCAGAAATAATTACTATGCACAGGGTAAGGCCCCTGAAAGCGGGCCATAATACTGGCCCTCGATAATGTTTAAATTCAAATGAATACTATGCAATGGCCCTTGATCAGAGGAAGTAGCGCTCTCTGTTTACGCCTCTGAACCGCCCCTCACATGTCTCTTTCAATACCAAATCACCAGAATATTGAATGTGTATGCAAGCAATCAACGTCAGATCAACAGGGAATATACACAGTTGTGGTTGATGTGTTGCCCTGCTAACACCACCAAATTCCAATGCTACGAGGATCTTGAAGCTCCATTTCGACTCGTGTGACGAGGAATGCTACAGATACCGCGTGCAGCTCCATCGAAAATTATCACGGGGACTCAAGAGAGGATTAAGTAAACGACGAGTCTCAAATTTCAATGTTCAAGAGTCCTCTCACCGCTGCGGCCACTAACTCTTAACATATTTTATATTTTCGGGACAGGGATTTGGGCAGAAGCAGTAATATCCTGAGGCCTTGCTGTCTGATTTGTACTGTCAACAGGAATCTTGGTAAAACTATTGTGGCCCACAGCGTAATCATGGGCCGGTCCAGTTACTTCTTTCCAACCACTCCTCAAAAGAAGTAGCCTTTACTCCCAGGTCATGAAAAGACGTGTCAGCTCCAACGTCCATTGTACCATAACAGACTTTTTCATCTGGTGCCGCCGAAATCCACTCCATCATCTCCATGATGTCTCGCTTATAACCAACACCTGCTTGCGCAGCGACCGTATCTCCCCATTCTTCGATTGTGCTTGGTTGGTATATCGACTTCTGCGAAGTAATCGATTTAAAGATAACAGCCATTTCAGCAAAGGAGATTTTAGGGCCGACCACGGGATATGTTTTTGATGCAGTTTTGTCCGGTCCCAAGGCAAAGATCTCTGTAATAATATTGTGAGACATGTGAAACCAATGGATAGTCATGGGAAGAAGGTGCGCCAAACCTGCCACATAGATGCCAATGTCATGGCCAGGGTCAACCCAGTCGGCCCTTTTCTCGCCGGAAACTGGAGGGCAGAATCGGACCACATCACCTGCTTGTCGGTTAGAGTGCGTATTTATATGCGGGGACTCTTACCTTCTCGTTTGCAATACTGAGGTCGGTGTAAATTGGTGTAGAATAGGCCTATAATTCTCAGCGCGCGTCATGGACAACATCGTTGTACCTACCAGGATGCACAAATGTAGCATTCAGCTCCTGTCTGGCGAGCTTCTCAACTTCATTCTTATAATCAAAGTGGTATACATTGGAGAAACGACCGCCGCTTGCTTCTGTGATGTTGGGGAGGCTGCTCATTACAAAATGTTGCACGTGGCACGCCTGCTTCCGTCAGATGAGTTGTTTGACTCAGTTATCTTTACTGACACCAAGGACTGCTTCCTCACCTTTGCAGCTGCTACAATGTTTTGACCCGCATCTAATTCTCGTTTGATGTCCTCCTCGGTCTGGATTTTTTTGCCTTCAATATGAGTATTTGTGACGGCAAAAACCCCATAGGCTCCTTCAAGGGCACGATATAAGGATTCCTGGTTGTATACATCTGCACAGGTGAATTTGAGTCGATGGTTGCCAGCATGCTCATCTTGAAGGCGCCGAGCAGCTTCGGACCGGATATTGCGTGTTAGAGCAAGGACATGGAATGCGGGAGAATCCTTTCTCAGTAAGGCTGCGACCACGCCTCGACCCTGGCATCCGGTCGCTCCGAAGACAGCAATGACTTTGGAAGTCTCCGTCACGTTGCACATCATGCAATGGCCATTTACTTAACACTGTTTTAAGCATTTGCTGCCAGTTTAAAATAGTCTGACGATGGCGAATCGATATCGGACACTGAGCGGCATAGCATGTAACCTTATTTCCGCATTTCCGCATTTCCGCATTTCCGCATGTCTGTCTTCTCTTGGTCGAAATGCTCAGGATTGGTTGGCGTTAACTTAGCGGGGCTCCCCAGCCAGACGACAGAGCCGTATTTCCGGAGGATAATCTCAAAAGTAACTAGGGATGAGGACTGCCACTAGCCTTTTCTAATATTATAATACGAGTGGTAATACTAGTTTATGTTCCCTACAGCGAAAAGGCCGAGATTCTATATCCGCTTCCATGGCAGTAGCTACCATTTCCCAGTGTCAAGCCGGCTGGTGTACTCTTGTTACACTAGTTCATCCCACCACCAACTAAATGACTGAACCTGAATTGAACGATACGACTTTATTGCCTCGGTTTTGAGTAGGCGTCGGAACCACCCCGCGGCCCCAATTGCCTTGCGCGATCTAGTGAATTGGTAGTTGCTCATGCCATGTATGGGAATCAGTCAAGATTGTAGCTTAACTTTTGTGTGAAAAACTGCCGTCGGTAACATCGCTTATTAAATTGCTTAACCGTAGAAGCAATGATTAAGAACCCGCACTTGCCTAACAGTGCAGATCCAAAACGCCAGGACGTGGGTCTTCAAAGTATTGCCGTATTTCCGTCCCTATGTTACCCTTCAGGCTAGTATTCGACATCGCGCGCAGGAGTATCAATGGAGGTTAGTACAATTTAAGAATACAATATGAACCTCACCCTTAGTGTACTTGGGTGATCCATAAACACACAGATACTGTAGTTACTGAGTGTTGGTCTGCGCAGTCATGGCATGTTAAGTCCAGTCTATGTCCGAAATTTCGGCATGCCGGGGTTCGTCAGGAATTTTTTTCTCTAACCCCTGCGAAGACAAGCATAGATTGAATCTTGGCTGCATTCTCAAATGTGACTACGGCAGTAACATCAAGTGTCTATTTGTAAGCCATTATCAATGTAAGAAGTGGAGATCATTCCCCCCAGCGAGAATTAGTCTACTGGGGACGAGATAGAGAAATCCCGCCAGGCAGACTAACATTCAACTACTTAATCTGCTGGCACCCCTATGGAAGCAATTGACTTGACCTTGAAGACAGACAATCCACGGTAAATTATCCCTCAAAGAATGGATTTGAAAGCAGTCTTTGCGACTCTCTTGCTTTGGGCTTTCTCCTCTGGTCTGTATATCTCGTCCACCTCCTCAGAGGAGGTCCCCCAAACAACAACAATAACAACAAAACGAAGACGGCATTTGTTAACTGAATTAAAGCACATCCTAGCAAAGCTCCTGATGCTTCTTCAATCGCGGCTCATCACCGTGTCCTCAAAAATTGCGGACCCAAAGTTGCAGATATGAAAGCTCGTCGAGCCCTCCATCGTCGTGACCTGTCCGTCGATACCAACGCTGATGAGACTCTATATACTATTCATGCTGAAGCCCCAAAGTATGACTTCATTAAAAATTGGACCAATATTCTCACTCCAGAAACTAGCAACGGACCATATTTCTATCCTCGAAGCCAGACCCTTCGACAAGACATTCGCGAGAATCAGCCAGGTGTACCTTTATCTTTGGAGATTGGCGTCATTGACATTGACACTTGTGAGGCGTTGGGCGATGTCCTAGTTGACATTTGGGTGGGTGTCCTGCAAGAGTCTGCCTCTCAAGGATATGAGCTGACTCGGCCCTTGGCCATGTTAGCATTGCAATGCTACGGGCTCTTACAGTTCTTTTACAGGTCTCTCTCCTAACACGCAGTTCTTGGACCTATATGCTGAAAGAACGGGAGGCGAGACCATTGATCTTCATGCTGGACTTCCAGATCTTTCTGTATGTACTGGTTGAGACCCCCCTTCCCATAGAGCTGTTTAAGCAAGGCTGACAAGAGAACCAGTGGCTTGCTACCGATAATACAACTTTCCTTCGGGGGATGTGGCCCACCGACAAGCATGGTGTCACATCTTTCACCACTATCTTCCCCGGGTTCTATGTACGCCAAGACTTACATTATATCCCTTGTTCGCATCCAGTCAGGAACAGAAGGTTGACTGCTTTTAGGTCCAACGTGCCATCCATATCCACGTTCAAGTCCACACGAACTGGACTGTACAATCTAATGGTACTATCGTCCGTGGACCGATTGTCAGCACTGGACAAATCTTTGTCGACGAAGCTCTCGAAGAGCGGATCATGAGCCTTGAACCTTATTCGAGCCACACTCAGATCGAGCGTGTCAAGAATGACGATGACGGAATCTACACTCATGAGTCTGAAAGTAAGTCTGGATCCATACTGTTGGAAGCATTCCATCAAGATCCCATTGGAACATTGTCTACTAGACCGGGATGTTCCGTGTAGAACAGAGCCGAAACAGAGCTGACCGACTCCTACAGCGGGAGCAATGACGCTGCTAGATACTGAGCCTCTTGATGGCGACAACTATGAGAATGGCGTTATAGGATACATTACACTCGTGTGTATTATATTCCCAATCGCTAGGCCACAAGCTCTAACTATACTGGCAGGGAATTCAAACGAATAATATCAGGAATGGGTCCACGATTGATGCCAGTATGTGATGAATACTAACAAACCATCCTTCCCACTCCGATACTAATACTGTTGACAGTGCCTGACGCTATTGACCTATGACCTGGCTCATCTCATCACACTAGTAGAATCTGATGTAGTTAAAGATTCACAGCGCAACGCAGCTTTGCACTACTATAGAGTATAAAAAGGACTAGGGATCTCAATCGCGGTCAACGCATAGAATTTTGTATTTATCATTGTTGGGGGGAGAAAATCTGACTTTCTTTTAAGGTGGTTTTCAAGATCCGCTCGTTGGTGGATTATGTTAGCTAGAGCACGTTTCAATGAATATTCAAGGCAGCATAATACGGCACTTAGACTGCGTATTTGAGCCGGTGGCGTCTGGAGGTTACGTTATTATGCTAGAGCGATTGCATTAGTTATCTCGGCAAAGGGACGAGCCGTACTATCCTTCCTGGCGGTATGCCCTGGGCTATTTGCTTCGGCCTCTATCATGGAATACTACAATTTTCCTGACTTGCTCCCCGCAAGCATCTCGTGTATTTCTTTTTTCTTTTTTTTGTCCTTGATACTACTACAGACCTATTCTTGCAGCTATATTCGCGCAACTTGAGAGGTATTTCAATGGCTAACAATGGTTTAATATTAATCATACTTGTATTAGGAGAATCGGACTGGAGACATACCTATTCACTCATCGGCATCGGGACAAGCCGACCGATGCAGACACCGAGGCTAACGGATCCGACAATCTTCTTCAACTGCCGATTTCCCCCAGCCCTGAGTCGTTAATTGAGGGGATTTCCCCAACTTCTGTGGAGAACCTGTTGGCGATCCCAGACTGGGCCGTCGGAAACCCTCCTGCCCCCAGATTAAGGATCGCCGCGAAATTCACCTCTGCACTAACTAGTGCCTAATAGCCAATTAACTTCGCCCTGACACTTACCGTACCGCTTTAGAGTCCTCAATCCCATGTGCTTGGACCGTGCCCCAAATGGAAGCGTCAACGTTGCCCTGATTCATTGTCAAACACGAGAGGTAAGGCGATGAGGTTAAATAGAGGGCGGCGTCCGGCTCCCAACCCCACCATGTATCCGGCAGCACTACATTGAGCAGGCTGCCTGTCAATATGGCTATGCTTAGCTCTCTTCTATCTCTCTTCACACTGGGAGCGGCGGTCCTAGCACGCCAGGACGCCTTTCAGGATCGTTGCGCAAACTTTAAGGACAAAATCAACTTGCCCAACGTCAAGGTGAATTTGGTCGGCTATGTCCCTGGCGGCACGAACCTCTCTTTGACAGACAATGCACCCAGCTGCGGAGCATCGTCTCAGTTGGTGAACGCAGATATGTGCCGGGTCGCCATGGCTGTCGCTACTTCGAACAGTAGTGAGATCACCCTCGAAGCATGGTTCCCACGGGACTACTCTGGTCGATTTTTGAGTACGGGGAATGGTGCTCTTTCTGGCTGTATGTTTGACACTCGTGCCTATAAACTTCCCACCACGATTGACCCTGATCCCAGGTATCCAATACTATGACCTGGCGTATACAACTGGTCTCGGTTTTGCGAGCGTCGGTGCCAACAACGGTCACAACGGAACGTCGGGCAAGCCCTTCTACAAACAACCTGAGGTTATTAAAGATTTCGCCTATCGATCCCTCCACACGGGCGTTGTGGTTGGCAAGGAGCTCACCAAGCTATTCTACGATGAAGGGTTCGACAAATCCTACTACTTTGGCTGCTCAACAGGCGGCCGTCAGGGATTCAAGTCCATCCAAAAGTACCCCACCGACTTTGACGGCGTAGTGGCAGGAGCCCCTGCCATGAATTTCGTCAACTTAAACTCCTGGAGCGCCCACTTCCGGCCAATCACCGGATCGCCGCTGTCAAAGACGTATCTCTCGCCGGCTTTGTGGAAGGCAGTCCACGAGGAGATCCTGCGGCAATGTGACACCATGGACGGCGCAAAAGATGGGATAATCGAAGACCCTGATCTCTGCCGTCCGGTTCTCGAGACAATCATCTGCAAGCCCGGCTCCTCGTCGAAGAATTGTCTCTCCGCAGCCCAGGCCAAAACAGTCCGCGAGGTTTTCTCCCCATTGTACGGTGTGAACGGAACCCTCCTCTACCCACGCATGCAGCCTGGCTCCGAGATCATGGCTTGGTTTTCGTATTACAGTGGTCAGCCCTTCGGGGCCAGCGAGGACTGGTTCCGTTACGTAGTTTACAACAACCCTAACTGGGATGCTGCGACGTTCAACGTCCACGACGCGGCCGTAGCCCTGGAGCAGAACCCATATGACATCCAGACCTGGGACGCGGACCTCTCCCCTTTCCGCAACGCCGGCGGCAAGGTCCTCACCTACCACGGCCTCCAGGATCAAATTATCAGCTCCGAGAACTCCAAGTTGTACTACGCACGCGTGGCCGAGGCCATGAATCTTCCTCCGGAGGAACTTGACAAGTTCTACCGCTTCTTCCAGATCAGTGGAATGGCTCACTGCAGGGGCGGTGACGGTGCTTATGGCATCGGCAACGGCCTCACATCATACAACGGCAAGGAACCCGAGAACAATGTATTGATGGCTCTGGTCCAGTGGGTCGAGAAGGACATTGCTCCGGAGACCGTTCGAGGTGCGAAGTTTGCCAATGGAGTTGGCACACCTGTGGCATATACGCGCAAGCACTGTCGCTACCCTCGCAGGAATGTGTTCATCGGCCCCGGGAACTACACTGATGAAAATGCGTGGCAGTGTGTTTAAGCGTATAGCTATGATGTATATAGACGCACCGTGTGCGGTGGTTCATGTCCAACCATCCTTACCAGCATCTCCGGTGCTTCTGTAAAATTATTTCCTGGTTCTACTATGGATAGATGACTCGTAACGTATACTCTAAATCCTTGCATCCATGGCCCGCAGGTCCCTGATCTGGAGTAGATTAATAAAAATACTGTCGACCGTAAAAAATACGCGTATTCGCAAGTATCGATCCTCCATAGAAAATTAGGTCTCAGATTCAACTAAACTACCAAAACATCTCGCTTTCATAAGCCCTCTAAGAAGGGGGTTAAAAGGCCTCTCTTTTATTTTATCTGCCTTAGTTAGCAGGATTTGGATATTGGAAAGCGGACGTACAAATTCTCCAGCCATGGAGATGTTACCAAGTATATTAAGCGAAAACATCTTCGTCATATCTCCACGCAATCTGAGATAAGGTGTAATGTCTGCGACGAGATCTTCTTGTGTAAAATACACCTCCAGCGGCACGCATTTAATATGCATTCAACTGTGACATAGCTTCGGCCTCTGCGACGATGACGTCGGCATCTGGATGGATGTCGAATTCTTGCCTCACAGCTGTTTTATATTTTTCTTCTCCCTTCATAATGGATGTTGTATATTATTCTCCGGTCGCGGGGCAGTTGGGATACATAGATTGTGTGTACAATCCTTTTATTTAGATATTCTACCAGGAAGAGAACTGCAGGCCCGTGGGAGACCGACCTATTTGAATGAGAGTTGATCACTCACATCATGTTATTTTCCTGAATCTTAAGGCGATCTCTTCCTATCACCTCGATGGTTTGATTATTCCCGTTAGTCGTCTTTACTATCAATCCGCCAGCTATTTTTGCTTTTCTCCTTTTCCTCGGCAGCGTATTAGAGAAAGCCCATAGGGCTCTAATTGGTGCACTTGTATCGCCTACCAGACACTAGCGCCGCAGCCTTGCTACTCACACATGCTATGGGACCGCATTTGAGGGGATATGTATCCAAAAACAGTCTACCCCAACACCTGACACCAGAATTGTAGCTCCGACACCAGCTCAGCTATAACCATCACATGGCCCATCGCAGTAATAGGCTGTCCTGCAGAGCCTACGCACTGGTGTCACTGCACCATGTACTCACTTGCCTGGACTTAACTGTCCTTCTAGCAAAGCATCCGACTCACGTGCGAACGGTGTGGCCTTTGGCCACTTGTGGTGGTGGTCATGTGCGCTTGAGGCAGCCAGCAATGGGCGGGTCTCTTTGCGGTCAGACTAGTATGACCGCAGCCATTCAATTCGCCATTATGGCGAATAACAACAGAGAAGGCAATGATCTCTAATCTCATTGCTTGTGCGCTTGTGTTAGCATGCCAGCTCTAAGCTCTTTGATTAGGCAGATCTTACCGTCAATCATAATTTTGAGTTACTGTCGGTGCAGACAAAGTGGCACTTGTTAGTCCATCCATTAGTTTTGGCTTTTACTCTTGCCTACTGTCAGAGAATCCTAATTCTAACTGAGACGCCGGCTTTGCACCCATTGACAGAGGAAACAGCTACATTCATACTCGCGAAAGATATATTAAGAGTTGTATTCTCAAAATTGTGACTTCTGAACCGCCTAGGGTGCCGCTTCAGCTGCCTCTAGGATGATTTCAGCCACCTTCTCACCCTGGCTAATCAACCCTGCATGGCTAGCACTCTTCAGCGTGTATGTCTTTGCTCTCATACGCTCGGCAAACCACGCCTCCAAGCCGGGGTGGATGATTTGATCGTTCTCGCCCACTATATAGTAAAGACTTTTGATTTGCTTCCACGACGGTTTTCCGGAAACAAAATTGAATCGAGCAGCGTCACAGGGCCCTTGAGTGGCGGCCAGCACTCGAGCCTCCCGTGGGGTCACGTCCGGGGCGAAATAGGCAAGGAAATCAGCCTCGGGGAGTATGAGCCGACCAGATCCCTCTGGCACAAAGCGCTTGGCCGACTCAAGGCCTGGGTAGTTGCTTGCCAACTGCCCGACAACTTCGCCCTCATCGGGAGCGAAGGCCTGCACATAGACCAACGCTTTGATGTTTGGGATATCGGTGGCGGCGTTGGTAATTACCAGTCCTCCAAAAGAATGGCCAACGACGACAATTGGCTCCGAGCTGGCATCATTCAATCCCTTCAGAGCAGCCCTCACTACCTTGACATCATCATTGATGCTTGTGAGCGGCTGCTGAACAGCGGTGACTCCGAATCCTTTATCCTGGAGATGTGGAATGACTCGGGACCACGAGGAGCCGTCGGCTAGTGCGCCATGAACAAGTAGGATTCGCGTCATTGTAGGCAATAGAACACGGTTAATCACACTTATGCTGAACTTATCGGACGTCTTGCCATTCACGAATGGGACATGTCTTAATATATACACCGATGTGGGCTAACCCAGTGACTCACTAGCTCCAGCATGACATCATCTGCGTCGTCCGGCAATTTCTCTCTCTCAATTGACTACAGAGGTTATAGTCTGAACGACTAACCAGAGGACCAAGAAAGGCCATCTACCAGATTCAACGTTCGTCATGGCGGCGTTCTGGACGTACGAAACCAAGTAAATGCTTCAAAGACTATTATTGTCCAAGGAGGGGGAGGACGGATAATGCCGAATTCGGTGCTCCGCGGGAGCATAATTATGGCAAACAGTCCAATTAAAGCCGTTGGCGAACTTCTCCGAGATCTGGCGGAGATCCATAGTTCGTCGAAGGGGCCCGGAATGCGGATGCACGGGTGTGGTGCATGTGGAGAGTGCTACCCCTGGGTGGCCAATCAATGCCTCATAGAACCCGATAGAGAGCATACCCTAGCGGCAGAGTTATCATATTGCTGCGTGTCCCTGGGAAAGCATGTCGAAAAGACCATCCCTTACCTCGTTAATGACCTCATGCTCCATCTAATTCTGAGCATAGCTCTAACTTCGACGCATGTTGATGAACCCCACTAAAGCTGTGCGACAGGGAAATAGGCCGATAACGGTCTCCCAAGTCTCGCAGAACCATGAGACTATGAGCCAAGTGCCACATGTTGGACAGCTTAACGACTTAACGAAATTTGAACCTTCATCTCCATGTGACCGTGTGACCTTGGCGATGTCGATGTGTGAGTGGCTCAGTATGACCAGTGTATCCGCAACTCTAGCGGCGAAGTGGTGCCAACATATCCAACTCACATGTATGACACAAACGAACGTCATCACCTAACCATGTTCTCCATGAAAGAGTATAATTATTGAGTAGTGTGGACTCATCTGCTGAGACAGGCACAAGATTATCTGGCAAGAATATCTGTTATTTTATCTTCAGAGTCAGCAGAGAGATCCTCCAGTCCAACATGAAGCTTAGGGATATTGTCTCTGTACTTGTCGCTGTCTTTGTTCACTTTGCCAGCAGCACGCCTACCACCTCAACTCGAATTCTTCTCGTCCACGGTGCACTTGCTGACGGGTCATCCTGGTCGAAAGTCATTCCCTATCTCCAGGACGCTGGGCATTCAGTTACCGCCGTTCAAGAGCCACTCACCAGCATTGATGACGATGTCAATGTGGTTAGAACTGCGTTAGAGACGCTAAATAACGCCAGCTCTGACCCAATTGTCGTTGTTGGCCATTCGTTTGGAGGTCTCGTCATCACAAACGCTGTTACCGACACTCCTAATGTCAAAGCACTGGTTTACGTCCAAGCGTTTGCTCCAGACAAGGGCGAAACAGTCACCGGCTTAGCTCATAATTTCCCTGAGCTACCATCGGCCAAACAATTCGTTCCTGATGCCTCTGGTCGACTTGTACTCCCAGAGGATGATTACCTTGAGTTCTTCGCTCCTGATGTGAATCATCGCGATGCTAGAGCCTTAGCGGCTACCCAAGGCCCGTCAGATGCCGCACGCTTTAAGTTTGTCTCTGGAAATCCGTCGTGGAAGCAAATTACAAACCTCTATTATATCGTCGGTGAAAATGACCAGATAATTCACCCTGAGCTGGAGGCTTGGTTTGCACAGCGAATGGGAGCGAAGACGTACACACTGAAGGGTGCTAGTCATGCTGGATTAATCAGTCAGGGCGAGAACGTGGCTCATATTGTCCTAGAGGCAGCGGGGAGCTAGCTCTGTCCTATCAAGAAGATGATTGGTGTATACGATGAGTTGGTTTCGCGCACACATTTTCGAATTTATATCTGCTGCCAATTTGGACTCACGCCTTCCGAGTATTTAACTTGTAATGGAACTCACGTTTATTTTAATTTCTCTCAAATCATTTACTGGAAATGTACACTTGTAGAAGTTGATGTAACCAGAGAAAATTCCCATAGAGAATACGTCCCTCTCCAGGAAATTATGACTAACTGCTAGTTCAGGCTTCGCAAATACTTTCTCTAGAATGGATGGAATCTTTTTGACATCGATAAGGTGTGCCTCTAGGTGATCGATATCCTCGTAAATGCATGCTTTGCCTACTTGGGAAAGGCAATCATGCTGGTGGATAAAGTGTCTCAACTCTGATCTGAGGTCTGTGGTGGCTGCGCACCCCAGTGCTCTGCAGTGCTCTGCAGTGCACCGCAGCGCACCGCAGACGCCGATTTCTCCGCCAGCGAGTCCAACCGATGACTGTGTGAGAGAATGTGAGCACCACGATTAGACTTCCGCATAACCCAACTTGGGTCGAAGGTCTCGACCCAAAACCTAATGCTGGGGCCCCGATAGAACCTATTAAGACCCAACTTGACCCAACTTTTGCATAATTTTGATTATAAAACTACTTAGTTATTAAAATAATATACTGTTTTTTATATCTGTTCTAGTTTATACTAACCATCACCATATGTTCGTAGTATAAATCTCTTGAAAATTTATAAAATAACTTTATATTTTTTAGGCTAGATCTAGTCCGAGCCCACACACTTGAGCAATGGGAACAAGATTGGAAAACATCAGACAAAGGGGGGCATCACCGCAAGATAGATACTATGCTTCCTTCTATACATACCCGACGGATGTATGGCTCACTGCTGTGGAACCGGGCTTATTTGCTCACGCAACTACGCACTAGCCACTCAAGGTTGGCAACTTGTGAGAAATTGCGGCGCTTTCGGGAAGATGAGGAATGTGAATGTGGCGCGAAAGATACAGTAGTCCATATTCTAGTTAACAGCCCAAGGCTGAAGAGCTGCGCCAGGAATTGCGAAAGAAAGTTGGGGATGCATCTAATAACGTCTCAGGCATGCTAGTAGAACGAGGACGGCCAAGGTAAAAAAGGTAGGTTAAGTAGCTCTGCCCGAGCACGATCAGTGCTGTACTGGATTTTGCAGAAGCATCCAAAGGTTCCAAAGCAGCGCGCCAAGAAGGCCGCAAAACAGAGCACCAGGCACATAGGCCACCACCGGCCTTGACGAGGAACCAAATTCGTTACCAAAGTAATGGAAAAATGTAACTAGAGATAGAAGGATAGATAGAGTTGTCGTAGCCTGCATATCGCTTACGGCGAGGGACCAGGGTAAATGAATTCACCACCACTACTGTAGTTGTGGGCCTGTCACAAAATAGAGAACCAGAAATAAAATGCTAGAACATGTTGGATGCTCGCTAGGCTTAGAACCAAGTACTTTGTATAGAGCCCACAGCTATAGTAAAGGTCATTTTCAGGCTTTTCAGCATCGATTCATAGACTCTCACTGTCTATTTGTAAATTCTTCTATACTACTCGCTCGACATACACAATAATAAGCATCCTATCAATCGTACCAAATCATATCACTTCCCCTTCATCGCAATCTTCTCCCTCTCCAGCACACATTGAGCCATCTCTTTGCCTGTCTCCGTACCCAGATTCTGAAATCCCTGGGCGACACCCGCACGATCACCCGCACCCATCTCCTGACTCATCTTAAACTTCCCCTCGAGTCTCGTAAGATCAATACGGATCCCCACAATCGCCTTCTGCAAGAGGGCAATATACCTATCTGGCGCGTCATCCACCGTCCAGGGGCCTTGTTGACCGTCCTGTCCAGTGTACCCCATGATAGACGATTCCGCATGACGAGACAGAGCATCGATCTGGCTCGACAAGAACTGCGTGGCCTCCTCGCCACCATCAAAATAGATAGTCGCCTTGCCGTACGCCTGCACAGCGGAGTAATCCCAAGTGGGGACGACCTTGCCGGTGGCCGGCTTCGTCTCGGTGTAGAATTTCGGAGTGACGTAGTGGTGGGCTGGTCCGTTGAACAGCACCAGGACTTCATCTTCGAGTTGCACGCCGCCAGAGGCACCAGGGTTCGTGCTCTTGACGGACTCGATTATCGCTTTGGCTTGGGGGTTCTGCTTGGCGATGTGGCCGCGGAGAACACCAGGGGAGTCATTACTGGATTCAGATACATCGAGCACCCAGGGGATGTGGCTTGATTGAATGAATGGGTAGGTGGATGATGGAATGGCAGTTGTGAAGATCCCGAGAGGGTTGTTCTCGATGAATGAGTGGAGGGTTGGGATGTTAGATTCCGCGTGGACACCACGGAGATACATTTTGATGGAAGTTGATCAAGAAGAGTAATGAATCAATGTTTGATCTGAATGTAAGATGATTAATAGATGGGAGTCATTCAGGACTGAGTAGTTGGATATCGTTGCGATTTAATACGGGAATAGTTCCATAGTCGGCGTTACGGACGAATAGAATCATAGACAGTAGACTGAGTCAAGGTCTTGGCAAAAATTCCGAATCATGGGCTGCTGCCAATGGAGGAAAATTACATTGACTCACGTTTTCTTTTCTTCAGCATTAAGATCGTTCCAGACTCGGGTCTATGTCCGATTCCGGTTCGGCTTAATGGTTGTACCGTTGTTCTTTGATCCGAGACTCATCAGAGCAGACAAAGGCAGCTGAACCTAACGGCCTGCTAGTCAAGGAATGGAAGCGTAGATAAATTAATGTATTTAATAAATAAAGGTCTAACTAGCTACGGAGTACCATAACTATATCAAAACCTTAACAGTATTTAAGGCACGTCCCTGGTTCCTTTCGACACCTAACTTCCTAAATAAGCCTAGCTTACAAAATAGAGCATCCATAGTGTGTTGATAGAATAACTGACCATTTGTTGATAAGCCTTTGGAAACTTGGCTGAGGGCAATGTGGCCTCTCCATGGGAGCGACTGGAATACGGGAATGCATTTTGATTTGAAATGTCTTTGCCTATCGACCACAAGACAACGAGCTCGACCATCAGACGTTATTTTTTAGCCTTCTCTGTGTTTGCATCAAAGGATTTCAGGTTTATTGGGCCACAGGGCTTCTCTGAGGCCCAGGTTAGTTTTACGTCATCCATAGATACTTAACTAAGTTAACTATCATATCGGACTTACGTAACTGTTGCGTATTGCTGAAGATACCATCGCAGCCATATGCGTAAGCATTCACCCGCCCTTCACTTCGAGATCAAGTAGTGTGCAAAGACCATACATCTGGCGAGACCATCGGCGCGAAACCTATCATATTTAGTGGTGCTAAAGGCATCGCACGGAGCTTGTAAATTGCAAAAGACTTATCCAGGAATCAGGTGGTAGGCTGTCTACGAGATCATGTGGGATGGAAAGCCAGCAATTGTAAAATGCTGGTCTCAGTCTCGCTATGAACGGTATCTATTAGTAGCTGGCCTATGTCTATTATAGTTACACACATGATGCAACTACGTACGAAATGATACACGCGAAACGACCTCAAGGCAATGAATGCTTCCCATCGATGCTCAGCCATGACAAGATTTGTTGCTCATCTATCTTTCCCAACGGCTACATATGGATAATGACCAAGGTTGAGGGTGAATCGCTGGACAGGCAATGGAATGAATCCCCGAAAATATGTAAGAGTACGTAAGCTCCAAGATCTACAAGGATATCAAGGACATGAGCAGTATTTCACCTATTCAAATTGGCTGTGGGCCACAGTGTTCTGTATCACCCAGAAACACACTCTGTGGTGTTGACCGACTTCGGACTTATGCAGACCTGTGAGGACGATACTATGAGCCTAGACCTGCCGGAGATATTATGGGTATTTAGCGACAAGAGCTTACCTGGTAGAGTTCATTATGATGGTAGGTAGCGGGCTATCCATTGACGTAGTGCTATAGTGAGCGAGATGTTTGGGAGCTTACATCTCGGGGTTTACTCTTGGTTTGGGAAATATTTTGAATTAGGTATACTGGAGTACACCCTGAAGGCAATGTTCTAAAAGAATTTATAAGGTTTTGGTACTTGGTAATTATAGAAGTATGCTATAGGTCGAGGTATCATATAGAACTATCGCATACATGCACGCAAGGCTCTTTGAGTCTATAAGAGAGGGTCAAATTAAGTCATCAATATACAACAAGAGACCGAGCGATCCTGGAAGTTAACACACAGTTTCTAATGTGGTTTTCTGTAACAGCTACGAGGAAGCATCCCGTTTTGCTGGAAGTCGTGTCTCCTAACCATCATTGTAAGATGGATGGATATAGGAGGAAGGATTCATTGGTTGACTGAACGTAACCAACTGATAGGGAGGATGAGGGAAAAATAATATATATCTTATACTAAAATATATAGTTGGTAAACAAAAATAATATTGTGAACGTTATTCAATGTATCTCATGAGGGAATTGTGCCGATTGATCAGACCGACGGCCATATGTGATGCGCGATTTTAGCGTTACCGACAATCCCGCCATAGTTAAATATTCCTACTAAATCTGTACTACAATTAATTGTACCACCTCATTCACCCACAGTCACCATGATCCGTACACACTCTCTCCATTTCCTCTTTAAACCAAGATATGTCTCATATCCTGTTCAAGCTATCCGACTCTTTTCATCCCATCCCTCCAGTCAAGCCTGTCAGAAAGCCACTCGCAATGACTCCAGAAATAACCTTCCATCTCTCTCCGCCCTGGATCTCTCCTTCTGGACCTGTCGTTCCACCTGGAAAAGAGCGGGAATCAACACCCTCCGCTGTCTAATCGGTTGCACAATTGGCGACTTTTCCTCCCTCTGGTTCCTCCAAACATATTATCCTTTTCTCGGGATGGGAACTACCATGGCATTATCCAGTACCTTCACCCTTCATCTCTAATCAAACTACTGTTGCGTGTATATGTATACTGACAAGGGGAAGTGACATGTGGAATCACCACCTCCATCATCCTCGAAACTGTACTGCTGAAACGCGGCAAAGATCAGCTCTCGTGGTCCGTCGCGACGCGCACCGCAATGGGCATGAGCATGGTGTCCATGCTCGCGATGGAAACGGTGGAGAATCTCGTCGATTATCATCTCACGGGGGGAGTGGTGGCGATTGACGATCCGGGGTTTTGGATCGCGGCGGCGATGTCAGTCGCGGCGGGGTTTTTGGCCCCGTTGCCGTATAATTATTTGCGGTTGAGGAAGTATGGGAGGGCTTGTCATTGATCTGTATTAGATATTAGTATATTGTGTATTTAGCTGTATAATAGCCGTCTCTTGTGGGTATTAGTGTCTTACAGTGCCCCCCCACCACCTTTGGCTAGGGGGTGCACACAACGGTTGAACAAAATTTCATCCATCTATGTTCTTGAGGTTATTCCCATCCACCTAGTATGCCTAAACGATCGGAGAACTTGAGCAACGTATAATCGAGGACTATGAAGCGGCAACTTTGAAAAACCCCGAATTTAGCGAAGATCGCGCGGAAATGTGGCGTTCCGTAAAACTTCGTGGCCGAGGCCGCCAATGAAACAGGATCGCAGCGCCCACACACCTCTAAATAGGGCCCTTAATAGTATCAGGAGGAAGCTCTAATTCGGTAGATTACTTGCATACGTGATTTGCCTCTTCTGTTACCCATGAGATGCTTGCGAGTAGGCGAATCGAGTGCTTATACGTGCTGGATCGTTCGAGGAGAGACTACTGGTGCACTTAAAATTAGGCACTGTGGTACAGAAAACAAAGGATAAGAATATTGGATGTCTACAGCATTGGTATAATCAGCTTGCGAATATGGTTAAAGATTTCCCGTCGTACCTAGTATATAACTTTGACAGATACAGCTTCCAACCTGGTCAGGGAAAAGCTCGTAAAGTCATTGGTACAAAGGCAAGAGGCCCCCATCTTACTAAGTTTAACTATACCAAAAATATCTCTATAGTTAATATATCACTACTAATAGGTAGATAATACAGCCATTATTTATTTTCAAGGGTGAAAAATTTATGGAAAGTTAATATAATTACCCTAACATACCAGACTTTTAGACTGGCGTTTCTCTGAAGGGATATATCAACGATCAACTCCCTACTAGTTGGCTTCAAAAATTTTATAAGGCAACAAAAGATTGCACGAAATAAGGCGAAAAAAGGGTGTTAACATTTAACAGCTATAAGTCCTATAAAACTGTTAGATTTCTATAACTCCGCAAGGCGTATAATATTATGCCTTTTTGTTTTTGGCCTTATACAACTTATATTTGCCAGCCTCTTAACGGTAGGCCTTTTCTTGCCCATAAACAGTATTTTCACAAGCAAATAACCATATACCCGCCGGGCGGGGCTACCCGCAAGTTAGGCGGATTTTCTCGCGGATATTGTTAACATGCGAAACAAGACTTTTAACCAGAGAATTATCCGATTCTTTCAAAAAATGTCGTATATTCCCTTCAGATAGCTCTACAATTCTACAGAAGCTTTAAGAGGTACTTCCTCCGGTGCCAGAGCTCTCTACGCCCGATCTTCGCGCATACAGGGCGACCACAACATCTCTCCTCTTCCAGGGTGGAAAAAACCCCCCCAAAGAGTGCCCAAGACCTTAAAAAAAAAGAGAAAGCTCTCAAATATATTTTATACCGAGAGCCTCACTCCTAAGCTCCAGCATGACCTACAGCGTGCATTTTACCACTATATACTTGCCATAATAAGCGATACAGTCAGCCGAATAAGAGAGATACAAGTCCCTCGGAGGTACCAAATCACCAAGAGGGAGATTCCAAAGCACAGTGACTATGGTATACTTAGTACAAAAGATGCCAATCGATCAGTAAAGGCCAGGAGAGAGAAAGAGGCTATGCAAAAGAAGAGATTGGATAAGCAGTGTAAAAAATTATATGGCAAACCGCCACCCAGGGTGCCTACAGAGGAGAATTCCATATCGTCCAATGCAGCAGTGGCAGCGCTACAAGATAATCAGGTTTTTTGGGTAGACTCAGCGGGAAAGGTGATACATAATAAGAATAGCATCAAATTTGTTCTACTGGTATGGTGCACTGTAAGGCACCAATACTTGCATGACCGTGTACCTACTAGTTTCCAATCTTTCAATTTCTGGTTTCTGTCTGGATTTGACTCTCCTCAAAAGCTACCAAAGGAGTCAAGCTAGAGCAGTCCCATAACAGTCATTGACATTCAGAAACATTCAATCATGTAATTAATCTGCATATCTCAAGGGCTTATTTGCCCTTAGGTTGGCCACCACCACTCTTGGCTCCACCAGCAGAAGAATCCGGACCTGTCATCCTATATACACGTAAGCAACTGCGATGAAGAAGAATTGTTGGAGAATACCTCACTTGATATAAAAGGTGTGGCTTCGGTAGCTATATATATATATCTCAGTGGTTTTCTAAAATATTTTGGTAAGTGTATTTTTCGTGGCAAGTATTGCAGTCCTTGAATACGTACTCCGGGGGATATGTGAAGTGCTGCTTTCTAGGATTCTTTACTTGATCTCGGTTTGTCTGGGGGTAAGAAGGTATTTATCTTCAATGGGGTGCTCCGGCCACCTTTGTGCTATTGGCTCAAAAAATATCTCTACGGATATCTTGTGTGAGGGGTTGTTATAATAATATATACAATATGCTGATCACCTGCACCTAAATCGCAATATTATGTGGCATCTATTCTCTGGTTCCCTACCATTGGCACAACCCCGCAAGTTGCGATTTTGGAGTAAAGAACAGCGCCTGGCTAAGCAAGCCATGAAGGGTTCCCCTCAAGCCAGCTAACATTCCTCACATGTAAAGTGGGTTATTGTACACTCCATTACACCGCCAAGAACTTTCAGAGATGGTGGCTGAATTCAAGGCGTCTGTGCGCTATCTCTTGCATTTATTTGACAGCTGTGAGATAGCCACTGCAGCCGTTACCAAGTTTTGCATATTTCTTCCTTTATATTCAGTGCATTAACCTGTAAAAAATTGGACCTATTAGGATTTCAGCAAGTTTCTGTGCTACCTCGGAAAATCGAAGAGAAAAGAGCGGCCAGATATAACCCTAACCACCATATATCATGGATGCCACTCTGCTCTCCCGCCTAATGGAAACAACACCTATTATTGAAGAGGTGAGGCGTATATGCCATGTCCCTTCAATTTCGCTAGGAGTGTTACATCACGGAGAAGTAATATATTGCAAAAGTACTGGCTATCGCGATGTAGAGAATCAGCTGCCTGCAATGTCCGATACACAGTATCTGATTGGCTCTGTCTCCAAGTCATTTCTGTCTGCGGCGGTTGGCATCCTTGTTGATCAGGGAAAGTTGCAATGGCTAGATCCAATTCAAAAATATATCCCTGAGTTCGATCCGATTGGCGATCCGAACATCGGCCAAAAGGCTGACTTGATCGATGCACTGCGGCATTCCACAGGACTTGGTGTGCCAAACCTTCTGTGCCTGGGCCCACGATCAACACTTCTAAATGACGAGAAAGACTATATTAAATTGCTTAATTCCATGCCCACGGCCAACCATGAAGGACATCGATTTAACTCTTGGTGGATGTACAACAACTATGCTTATTCGCTAATTGCGAAAGTGGTCGAAGTAGCCAGCGGACAGAAGTATGCAGACTATGTTAAAGAGCATATTCTAAAGCCTCTTCAAATGCATTCTACGACTATGTCCCGTGACGATTTCAAGGACAATCTCGCCTACCCTTATGTATCTCCCAAAGCCGGGGAATATGTTAGGCTTCAACCGCTACCATGTGAGGAACATGCGCCATTGCTGGCTGGAATGGGAATGCGTAGCAGTATAAATGACATGCTTACCTGGTCAAAGGCGGTTCTATCAGCTGAAAGGTGGGAGGCAGGAAAAGGGAACGGCAGCGCCTTACGAGAAAATCCGTTAAGGCAAATGGAGAAGATTCGACAAGGTTACTGGACTAGGCCTGTGGAAGATGACCTTCAAAATGAAACTGCGTACTGTATGGGATGGTTGCGAGTGGAGATGCCCTCTTCTATGTTGGGCTACCTAAGTTGCAACACTGAGACGCGTGACGATTCAAGGATGGATCATGTGCATTATATCCTTGGAACCCGGTCAAAACATATGCTGACTATTGGCCATAATGGAGTCATGAGAGGATCAACAGCAGCCGTTTATACATTCCCAGACACGCAGAGTGCAGTTGTGGTCATGGCAAATGGGCTCCAGTGTGGTGATGCGAGCGACTATGCTGCACAAATTATAATCCAGGCTCTTTTTAATCTTCAACCTCCGGTGGACTTACTTCCACTGGTTAGAATGGAGAAAGAGCTATGGCGCGAGTGGTATCCTACTAGACTTGCAGGCCCATGGCAAGCCAACAGAAATACCACTGACAAAGAACGGAACCAGCAATTATATACAGGTGTCTACTATGGATTTAATGGTGCATTCAGCTTGAGTATCGTGCTAAATCCCGACAGCAGGTCTTCTCTGGCTGTAATTTTCAACCAACACCCTGCTTCAATTTGTAATCTGCAGTTTTATAAAAAGGACACATACAGCTTTTTCCCATCCTCCTATGAGGATTACATGTTAATAATGTTTCCACTTTGGTCAGATTACAGGGTAACACTTTTGGAATTTTACCTGGACGAGTCAGAATCGGAGGTGGTAAGTCTTCGCTGGCTTTGGAATGACGATGAGGAACCAGCTATTCTGCTCAAGGATCGATCTGCAAGGCTTCCAAATTAACGACTTTGCGTGCCCTGAGATTTCGGAGCGAATATTGTGAAAGAGAATTGTTAGTCGTAGCACACCTACCCACAATGCTGAAGTTGTGCTACGGCTATTTAGTTAGCCTTGTCCTTGGTAATTATCTTCCTATTCTCTTTATCTATAGAAGTAATGCCAACAGAACAAGTCCCGTAAATCTTTATAGCCAATTATGTCCTTAAGGAAGTCTCTATACACCGGAATCACACTTATTCTTTGGGGTTGCTCGCCTCCATGATTATTTTCGCTATTAAAGACTACAACACATACCAGTTCCCCTGTCAGTTTCAACAGCATTTAATGTAGTGCAGAATTCCCGTGAGAACAAATTGCTCTAAACAAAAATATATATGTCTGGTGCCTAACTGGAGTTGCTTAGTTTGCACTGTTGCTCCGCGAGTTCCCGAGTATGCAGAAAGGTTGCTGCCACTCACAGCGTTGACTTGACACCTGCTAGTTAATTAATATCGTTGGGACTAATGATTGCATTATTCGTTAGCATGCGCAATATTCGGCCCAATACTGTTCTCCAATTGGTTTATCTTTTGCCCATGCCCGACGAAGTTGATGGGCTTCGGAGATACACCATCTCCGGAACGACAGTCCCAAAGAATCTGCAAAACATCTTAATCCTAGTAAGGGTTTTTCTTATTCGAATTCGAAATATATTGCAAGCTTTGCAGAAAATATTGGGAGGTTGGTGATGGGTACTGCTTAACTCATAATAATTAGCGTTCTTCCGCAGTGCTGCAAATGAGGTCCGAAGAAACTGTTGAGACTTCTTTCTACCTAGCTAGGTGCGTAGAATAGTTATTCATTTTATTCGAATAGGAAGTACCGGATTTTTAAAATACTGGAGGACAGAGCTAGGGATTCATGATGTATCGTTCTGAGTATTGCTCGGCGACTACCTACAGTAAATCCCTGGGAAAAACTCGAACATATATTTGAATGTCATAGGCAATCCATCAATCGCCTCTCTTTCGCTTTGAGCATCTCGCCAATGGAGTTGTAAACTTGAAGGTTCTCGACCAACGCACCTGCAGCTATCTCAAACACTTTCTCAATCTGTCCCCACGGAAGCTATCTAGCCACTAATTTCCGTAGCAGCTCGTCTTCGGCCGCAGGATAAGACTGGAACTTGTGGGACGTAGGAAAGAAATGGGATGCTTCGGCTTTAGCTCTAGCCCTTCTCCGGGGACCGCTTGTTCTCTTAATTCTAGTGTCCAAGGCAGCACTCGCCAGCCTCTTTCGGCTGGCCAGGGAAACTGGGAAGTGGAGGCGACGAGGGAGGGCGCAGCCGCAATTATCGGCAGGGGAGATTGAAAAGAAAAAGGGGTAACGGACATACGGATGCGGCCGATTCAGTGCAGAATATCGGAGAGGGGATTGAGAAAGAAGGAGTTGGGAGGGAGGAAGGCTAGAGTAGCGAGGACGGACCCTATATACTTTGGAGACGATATATCGGGAAGCCATGCTGTAAAAGGCAAAACTAATCCCAAAAGGAAATCTACCCGTCCTCGCTTTACACTGGTCAGATATTCGGCTAGTCCTGAAGAGGAAATAGTGTACGATTGGTAAAAAGCGGTAAAAACGTCCTATTTGAATGGTTTGAGCTGGTTGGGCTTTTCGATTATCTTGGTCATTATTTTTGTTGTGTGCTCCGCGGGGGTTTTACCTTGATCTAGTCACATGATTCTGGTTCACTGTTCGCGAGGCACAATTCAATTCAGGGGGCTCGGGCGAGCTGACTAACGTGGTCGATCACCGAGCTGCGCGGTCCCCACCAAACTGCGCGCTTACCATGTAGATTTTCAAATTAAAGGTCGTAATAGACTCAAGTGCCCTATTAAATAATGCTGGCTTAATTATATAATAAAATCGCTTTATTTCGTTGAGATATTAGTCAATTTATAGGGCTGCTTTGTGTGGGTGCGCAGCTCGGTGATCCGCGCAGCTCGGTGATCGATCACGTTATCTAGATGGGTGACTAAGTGAGGCCACGTGACCATACCGAGTATGGTAGATCCCTAACATTCACCAACGACGATTATTTAACAACACTCTATAAATCTGACTTGAATGTATTAACTCACTAATATCAGGATTGAAGCCCTACTACAAAAGAATAGAACCTGGTGTATACACCTATGTGTCCTAGCCTAGACAAGAAGCAATCGCACCAGCTATGCCAAAGATATACAGATAAACAGGGCTGCCTATTCTACATCATAGCTGTATATCCAAAGTCTGCTGCTTTTTAGGAGCGGTGAGCATAAACTGGACGGAATCAAAACATCCAGGTTTACAGATAGGTAGATAACCTAGACACGTCACCTTCCGCACATCATCAGTTATTGACTCCTTGCAGATAAACTACGTATACGTGTAGAATGCACAGATCAGCAAGGTTACGCAATGTAGTAAACGCAAGAAGAATCAGAAGGATGATTTGTCTTCACCGACGGTATTACTTAAAAACCTCTCTCTATCCGCACCTCTATCTTCTATCTTTCACTCTAACATTCATTCACCAATGAATAATTAAATATTCGAAAGGATCAAAATGAAACCCTCTGTCATCACAATCGCAATGGCTGTCTCTGCCCTGGCCGCGCCGCATACACGTATAGCAAAGTCCGACGGCGCTATGATTCCTTCTGAAAGACTGGCTCGGAATTTCAATCGTGCTATTGCTTCCGAGGGAGTGCTACCCATGAAGCTCGATGAACAAACAGATAACGCCTTCGTTGATAAGGACAAGGAGGATGACTCGAATAATCAGGATGATAAGTCGCATTCAGTAGATACTGAAGATGGACATGTCAATGTCCAAGGCTCTGTACCTGGATCTGGTGCCAATACCAATGTTTCTGAGGGTCCAAAAGGCAGTAACGATCCGTACCGATTGAATGGGCCTAATGCTCCGAACGAACCAAACCTACATGATCCGAATATAAACGGTGCAAATATCCCTACTCCTGTTCATAATCCCGACAATACCCCAACTCAAAACATACATGTCCCGAATGGAAATAATCCAAATACGCCTGGTATTCCAAATGGAAATAATCCTAATGCCTATGGAGTTCCAAATACATGTGGACCAAATGTGCCTGGAATCCCTAATGACAATACTCAACCCCCGGCGCCTAACACAAGCAACGACAACGATTGTATCCCCCAGGAAAGGAAAACGGAATACTAACGTCGATGATGTGCCTAATGTATCTAATGCCCCGCCTATGATAGACGAGCTGTTAATGATGATGATATTGTGATGAGACAATAGGATGATATCCTAGGATGGGATAGAGGATTATTTTGTGAGGTGGATGGATGGATTGATGGATTGGATTGATGGCTATGGAGATTGGAGTTGATGGATGATTCTGTATTTGGTTTTGTGGGTATCTCTTCCAGAGTCTGCCCTATTTAGAAGAGTAGAGCTGTAGAACAAATCCCTACTGGACTTTTTCTATTACACATAATGGATCTCCAACTCGGGCCCTAGCTCTTGGTATGAGCCATCCTCTAGGAACGACATTCGGCATTATTTTCAGTCGTGTTAGCGGATGTCAGTCGAGCATTCTCCGTGGTTGTGGCACCTAGTTGCACTGGTTCTATATGATTGTCTGAGTATTCATGAAAAATGCATGAAGCTGACAAAGTTATCTCTGCTCATGCGCTATAAAGGCAAGATGCCATGCCCAAGTATAAAATTAGTGTCTGACTAATATTTAATTTAGAGTTACTAGATATGGACAGATCATAACACATAGACAGCAAGAACAAACACCACAATGCACGGTGGGATATCAATAAAAATATTAGCATCATATCTAAGCTCACTTCCACTTCATATTATCGAGAATCAGAATCACCTCCCATCATGATGCGGCGGATTCTCCGGGATCTGCGTCAGGAGCTCATTCGCCTCCAACTCCGTCGGAGCAAACTGGGCATACGACCCCCGTCCCATAGGACCCATCTGGGTCATCTGAGGCTGCTGTTGCTGGAACGAAGAGGCATCCCAGCTCCAATGTCCACTTGCCGGGTGCGGCGGCGGCGAGAACGCACGCACCGTCGGATCCGGACTGGACACAAACGTAGCTTGATCGCCATGAGGTGCGGCCGTGCTACTGGCCAATTCGCTCTTGCGCTCGCCACCGTGGCTATTGAATAGGGCCCAGTGAGCGGTTCGCTCGGTGCGACCGTCCTCCGAGGACATCCATTTCTTATATATGCGGTTGCGACCAAGGACGAAGAACAGTGCCCCGAGCAGAGCGACAAAGGCTACGACGCCCACGACGATCCCGGCGATGGCGCCTCCGCTTAATTGAGAGGAGCTGCCGCCACCACCGCCGGAGGATCCGGTCGAGTTGGGAGACGAGGTCGAGGTCGAAGATGGCGAACCGGGGGTGTCACCTTCCGCGGGGGGGGATTGGCCCGGTTCGAGCATGTATGGATATTCTTTGGCCTTTTTGTATTGCGCTTCCCAGGTCATACTGGCGTTCTGCAATTGTTAGACGGTGGACGATAGGACGTTAGGATTGTCTTACAGGGTTGATAACGCCGACCATGCCATTGCCGATACACGAGTCGAGAGCGGTGCAATAGAAGAAGACGGGCTTGGCGAGTTAGAATTTTCTTTTTCTAAAGGGAAATAAAAGACAAACCTCCGTGTCATTCACAACCAAGGACCAGGTCGGCGGCTACGGACAGTCAGTACAAGAAACAAACCCCATAGCGCTCCATCTCACGCACCGGACCCACGAGCTGGCCATTTTGCTCATTGAAACTGTTAAAGCGCCCCGAGTTGAAGATCGTCCCTGAAGCTGGTACACATGGCGCCAGGTAATCGGCCTTGACGACAGAGTGATTGCGCGGATAGAACTCGAAGACGATCACGTCGCCGACCTCTGCGGTGATATTATGCGGGACATACTGATGCGGATCCTCTTTAGCGCCGACCTTGACCGTGTGCGTTGCAGCCGCGGTGGGCGAGGACTTCGTGTCGGAGGCGGAGGTAGTTTTCGGTTCCACCGTCTTTGTCGTTTTAGTGGACGATTCGGTGGTAGAGTGAGTTTCAGCTGCGGCGATACAAGGCGTCAGGGCCAACAGCAGCCAGGCCATCAAGTGGACTAGCGACAACATTTTTGCAGAAGTCTGCGTTTCACAACTCGGAGGCCACCGGCATACGGGAGACGAAGAAGTTAAAAGGAAGAAGAAAAAAAAAACAAAGAAAAAAAAAAAACAAAGACGGCAAGAAAGAAAGAACAAGAGGGGAAAAGGGCCAGCGTCACAGGCTGGCTGATGGGGATTTCCCCCCGTTCAGATTAATAAAAGAATCATAATAGCCGTGGCGCAGACCCTGGGCAGCAATGAGCATCACGCCAGTTAGAAATTAGACGAGCCAGCTGGCCATGATCCTGGCGAGTGGGCGGGACAAAGACGTATCCTGGCCATTCATCTGGAATTGGGGCCGTCGCCAGCCTCAGTCGAACTAATTGCTTGGCGCTGACAATGGGTTTCCAGGGTAGAACGAGGAGAAGTAAAACTCTTTGTCTGGAAGTGCGGTAAATTCAAGATTTAAGCATCGTATGTTGTCTTACAATTTCCGCCCGAAACGTGGTGGGAACTCTGCTGATTTTTCCAGTCTACTACTGAAAAAACGAGTACTTTTGAAGCTCAAGAACTCAAGAAGCGGTCCATCCCCGCACTAGTGATGCACTAGAGATGCACTAGAGCATCATTTAATTAATTACTATTATGTAGTAATCTCACCGACCCTGCTGGCTCCACTGTGCCCTACGGAGCACAGCATTTACGCTGGACCAAGGCGATGGATACGTCCAGGGATTTTAGCTCATCCAACGGCTGTTGGTTCCTTTCAAGATTGACCTGAATGTCACACATGGCAGTCATCCCCACATGGATAGGTTATAGAGCCTCCTGGAATTCCCACGGTACATAATTCGGATACTCGGATACCTAACCCAGATATTCAGATTTCGGACGAATAGACGTGACGAGGCTGCATCGTACTTACATCCTGGTTGTCCCCGCGCGCATTCATCCATCTCCGACTGGCTCGATAATAGCTTCATCACCACCTCTCTCCACCACGGCGCCAACTGAACGACACAGCTGTTAGTTCCGTGATACTTCAGAGTAGCTGCATGTCATGGCAAAAATCAAATCAGGAACACAGGTCAACCGTAGAACCGCGAAATGGCGGAATCCACCCGCAGTCGGGGGCGGTTTTTACGCTCTTCGGGGATTTTCCGATGGATTGAGCCAGCTCGTATTTCTAAACGACGAGAATAACTAATATGATTAATCAGACGCTGCCAGAACTGCCCTTTTTGGCAGGTTGCCCACTGTTTTCCGACATCGCCGGACATACAAAGAGTCGACGACACGATCAACACAACTTCCCTTCCTCAAAACATCTGCATCGTCGTCAATACCATGGAGACAGAGACGCAGGTCCAAGAGAGCGAATCGCCGCCCCGTCTACTCCTGAAGCTCATCAGTGCCGGTTTCGCTTTCTTCGTGGCCGGTATCAACGATGGCAGTCTGGGCGCCCTAATCCCCTATATACGCGAGGCCTACCAGATCGACACCAACCTTGTCGCCGTCGTGTAGGTCCGCTCCTTCACCCCAGCAGGCTTCACCTAACCAGTCTGTCAGATACGGCACCACCTTCGCCGGCTGGTTTGTCGCTGCCCTCAGCAACAGCCACCTGGGCCAATATCTGCATCTCGGCGTGTTCCTCGTGCTCGGAGCCGCTATGCAGGTGCTTGCCCACGCGCTGCGAACCTGGATGCCCCCGTTCGGTTTATTCGCCGTGACCTTCTTCTTCGCCGCCCTCGGCCAAGCCTACCAGGATACCTACGCCAACACGTTCGTCGCGTCCGTCAAAGCCGCCCATCGATGGCTGGGCTTCATCCACGCCATGTACATGGCCGGGTGCCTGGTTGGACCGTTTGTGTCGACCGCGGTCGCGTCGGCGGGAACGCAGTCGCGGTGGAATTTATTCTATACGGCGCCGTTGGGACTCGGTGTGGTGAATCTGGTGCTGGTGCTGGTGGCGTTCCGGGACTCTCTAGCTTTCAAACACGGCGTGAATACTGGTCAAGAAGCGCGGTCGGGAAAGATCGCATTGCAGGAGATATGGCAGACGTTGTCGCTGCCGAGCGTCTGGGTGTTAAGTTTGTATTTCTTTTTCTTCCTGGGGGCTGTGATTACGGCGGGAGGTGAGATACTCAATGTTTATGATCGCATTCAGTAAAGTCAGCTAATATGCACAGGGTGGATCGTCGAATATCTGGTTCATGTGCGCGATGGAGACCTCAAGCAGATGGGCTATGTCCCTGCTGGCTTCTATGGCGGTGCCTTCATCGGCCGATTGGTACTAGCAGAGCCGACGTATCGACTGGGCGAGCGACGCATGATAATCGTCTACGTGTTGCTTTGTCTGGCCTTGGAGCTAGTGTTCTGGCTGTGTGTATCCCAGTTCTCAGAGTGAGCATAGCTAATCCACCAGTGTACCAAATATCATCACCGAAGCGGTCGCCGTCAGTCTATTGGGATTCTTCTCAGGCCCCTTCTTCGCAACGGTTCGTCATCTTATTGTTCACTTGCATCCTTGTGCTCATTACTGTAGGGGATATCCGTGGCGTCGAAATTATTCAGCGTGGAGATCCGATCCTCGGCTTTGGGTATGTCTTGTCATCCCAGAATACTGCGGCTGCTAACTGCGCAGCGTTTATCTTCGTCCTGGGTCAAGTGGGCGGGGCAATCTTCCCGGCCATTACGGGAGTTCTTGCGGCGCGTTCGGGAGTCAAGGTGTTACAGCCGATTCTGGTGGGATTATTAGGTGCTACGGGGGTGACGTGGTTGATGCTGCCAAAGGGAAGACTTCACCATGATTGATAGATTCCAACTGCCATCCAACCTACAGACCAGCTATCTACAGCATCGCCACTCCAAATGAAAAACCAATTACAAAACCTGTACCCTGGGTCCAGTCACGCCAATATCCCACCTAATAGCCACCTCATCATAGACCCCGACAAACTCAAACCCGGCCATAGTCCCGGCAGGACAATCAAACTCGGGATACCCATCATAAGAAAGAACCCACTCCGCCTGGCCAGGGGCCGTCACCTTTATTCTGCCCGTGTGCACATCACGCGATTGGACGACCATCTCCGCGGTCTCCCTGGATAGTGCCTGCACGGCGGCCTTGTCCTTGCTCTGCAGACTCGCGCCCGTCGGCTTAGTAGCGGTGAAAACGTCCGTCTGGTTAGAGCCAGTGGATACGTCACGCTCCCACAAGTCGAAGAGCAGCTTGCATCGCTTGCCCTGCAGATCGGGGGTGACGTCGAAGGTGACGATGGTGGTAGTTTCGTCAGCCGGGTTGCCGTTTTTCACGACCAGCAGTTGATCCTGCGGATCTTCTTTGAACTGTCCGGTTTGGACCCAGTAGCGGTATGTGGCGTAGGGGTATAGCAGGTTGTCCTGAGGGATGCTAGACCGAGGGATGCTAGCAGCGAGTGTGGTTGCGCTCACAGCAAGGAGGAGGATGATTGATTTCATTTTGCGAGGTGGCGTAGTGTGAGGTTGATATCTTCTAGTTGATTCTGTCGGATATTCCGTGATGAGTATTCTGATTTGAACGAGAGAGGAAGATCCTTATATACTACTCACGATAACCACCCACCTCACCGACAATCATATCATACCAAAGAACAATATACCCAAACCCAAGATAAGAAATCGACTGATTGCTCCAGTTTCACCAAGCCTCGTATCCAACGTCTCTGCCTAACAATGAAGAACACGACAGAACCGATTATCCGAGCTATCCTATCCTATCCAATACATCGAAACGACAAGATATGACGTATGTCTGAGACATGATCTTGGCAAGTCGACTTGTCTCGTATTGGGGATGAATCAGAGTTCCTCCCCGCTTGGACGAGTCAGATCTCCGTAGCGTGGCGATCCGGGGTAGGATTTGTTATTGGCGTGTATATATAGATTGGGTTTGAATATATCTGTCATCGGTCATCTGGAGTGCTTTACTGTGTTGGGTTCAGTAGTCTCAGACTATTCAGGCAATTATAGTGTATCTATAAAATTAATGACGTTGACATGCTTCTGATCTGCAATTATCGCCTGTGTTCCTTCGCTGACGTGTGTTCAGTAGGCTGCGCTGCACCATTCTCTGGATTCGGTCTGTCACTAACGGTAGCTTTAAAATAATTCTATAGAAGACTTTCTACTCCTAGATAGCTTAAGCGCCCTTCGTTGTATATTATGTGCACGACTGAAATTAAATCACTTCTACGCTGCCGAGGGACTTAAGATGAGCAGCCAAAGACAGAAGACAATATCTATTAGCCTATATAGAAGGACACAAATATCCTCTCACCTAGAAAAGCACCTGCCAAAAGTCCAGTCATTTCGCCAACTTTCAAGATCAATGAAATATAAGTCATTATTCTAACAAACACAACCAGACACTCATACAGATGGCCATATAGCCCATACATATGTATTTCCTGAAACTCCCGGGCTCTTCTCACATAAGGCCTAGGTTCGGGTACCTGCTCATCTAAGACTCCACAGAGCCTCCAGCCTTCAACATGGTAATTAGAAGTCTGCTGGCGGCTTTTGCCTGGATGGACCCAGACTATGACGCTACTAAATTCATTGTGAAGTGTTTACAGTTGCCACGGTCGATTGATGCTATCAACAAGCGTGCGGGCACCAGCAGGGGGGTTTATTATCAGGTATAGGTTTAACCGTAGAACATTCAAAACGCCTCCATAATACCAACAGCTAACCCTGGATAAAAGAATGCCGATATTTTGTGCAAGCTCTACAAATTAGGCTACGTCCTTACCACTTATAAGCTACTAGTATATGGTACTTAAAAATATCACAAAATAAGTAATCAATGATGTATTGGCGTAAAATAGTATCCAGAGGCAATTCATCTCCTCTCTAGAGACGACTCGAGCTATGATATCTAACCATAACACCATCTGGAATATTACTCCTGATTCTCACCCCATGAGCAAGGGATGGATAGATTTATCGGCAGCGTATCATCACAGTGAATGTCCCTTGAATCCCGGCAGGACCGCTTCAACAACCGCATGTTTTGGACCATCCTCGTTGAGCCAGATCTTTTGCAGGACCAGACCTGCAGACTCCAGCAGCTGTCGCCATTCTGACGTCGACCGCTCCGTGCCGCCTAAACTCATCATATTCAAGTCTTGCATCGCAAGATCCCGCGGGCAGTCGGTATCTGGCAGCACCATGTCGGCGATGAGCAGACGCGAGTAATCATCCATGGCCTGACGAGTGTTTTCCAAGATCTGCTGCGATTTTGCTTGCGACCAGCAGTGGAAAATTCGGCGGAAATAGTATATGCGAGCGCCTATTTGCAACTAATCAGCCCAGTCTCTGTAGGTGCAGGGAAGGGAGATAAAAGACCCACCTTTTACTGGTTGCTCATTGAAGAAGGACGATGGCATGGGTTCAATGCCAGCCGGTATTCCCTTCGTCTTTGTGTCTTGAATCACATCAGGCAAGTCCTGCAACACGAACCGGCCCTTTATCTCTGGCCAGTCTTTTCGAATTGCTTCAAGGGATTGACCACGGCCGCCGCCAACGTCAACAATAGCCACGCCGTTCTCCGCGCAGGGGTCACACGCGAGAGCCACGCCGAATGGGAATGCGGATGTGAGACATCCTATCTTGCCCAGACGCATGCCAGTGTTGAATGAGCTCATCCTCCCCGGGTGGGCGGCGAGGTACTCCCAGTAGCCCAGATCGGTCCCCAAGGCCAGCTGGAAGGGCCCCTTGTAGTAATCGCCTGCTGTCTTCCAGTGGACGGATTCACCAAACCGCGGGATTGCCAGAACTCCCTCGCCGGTAAAATCATACATCTGGGCAAATAGTGCCCGATTGTCTGGGGACATAAAGGCTCGTGACAGCGCGTTATGCGCATAGTGGTTTACAGCCGGTGACGTGAAGAAATGCGTGCTGGCGCATGCGCGGAGAAAACGACCTGGCGCTCATTTGTCAGAGAATGAGTGGCTGGAAAGTGAGTACGATGTGAGAGAGGGCACCATACCGACAAGCTCTGTATTGACATTCAATTGAGCTGCTACGTCATTGACAGAGATTGCGCTTCCGTCCTCGGGAATTACGTCCAATACTCCCATGGAGACGATGCTTCGGATGGCGGCATTGTGTGAGAGCTATTTATGGCGCATATGCACCGTCAGCTTCAGCTGTTTTTCCGGTATGGGCAGGGTTTCACACTTGGCCCGCAAGATAGTACATGTTCTCATCGGGCCCTCTTGCCGCGATGGCAAGCTGCTCTGCCATCCATACCAGCTCGTCCTGGTATTCTTTCTCTGGAACAGTGCCATTATCGAAGTGTTTCGCCAACGAGGCGATCGAGCGGCTGAGATCGACAATTGCGTGTATATCAGTAGACATGCTGAAGGAGCGGTTGGTCCGGTTCTGGGTGATTCAGGCTGACAGGATGCCTGGAGTCTGGGTAGGGGCGTCATTAAGAACGAGGTTTTCATTAAAGATGGTATCAATAATGTTCGTATCGTTGTGGCACCTTGCTTACAATGGCGGGTCTGCATCCCGGGAGGCGATCAGAGGCCGGGGTCCGAGCCACCATGTCAGCTTTTAGGTTTTATTTCAATGGCCAAAGTCGGGGCTCGGGATAAACCTCTTTCGTCTGAGTGGATGATGATCGAGGTCCACGGGCTGATGATAGACTACTCGCTCGGAGTCCGAGTAAGAGACTTACGAGATCACAGTTAGCCCTCAGTCTGAGATGGGTAGGTTTTACATCACTTATATTTTATGGGGATCGTTCAAACGTCGCAAGAGGACAAGGGTATGCCAAAATGTTCCGTCTAGACGTCCAACTTCCCGGTATTTCGCGCATAATCGACCTGGGCGTCTCAGTGCTAGCCACACTGGGAAAAAACGGCTCGACAGCTCCTACAGAAGGCTGCATCCATTCACCAACGAGTCGGGACTGTTGGAAAGATGGGTTTGATCTGTACACTGACTACGAAAGCGCAATTCCCACTGGGAAACTGGTCCAGGTAGGTAGAACCTACCTAAGAAAGACGCTTTGAGGGAACCGAGGGGATTGATGGACAGCCTTCTAGTATGATCTGACGATCTCCAACGCCGTCATGGCGGCCGACGGATACTTGACAAACATGACTGTGGTTAATGGGCAATTTCCTGGTCCTACAATTGAGGCGACTGGGGTGATACATCCGTGGGTGGACCAACCTCCGCATATCTGTGTGGAATGTTAATATAGATATGGCACCCAGGAATTAGGTGCATAATAATCTACCAACTGAATGGCACATCGATTCACTGGCATGGAATCCGTCAATTTCAAACAAACTGGCTTGATGGAGTTCCCGGAGTCACCCAGTGCCCATCTAAGGTAAGCAATCCTTAGAGGCTGCGATGAGAAATATTGCTAAGTCAATTAGCCGGGTGAACCCAGGTAGTTGAGTTCCGAGCGATGCAATATGGCACGGCATGGTATCATTCACACTATAGTTTGCAGTGTTAGTATTTTTATATTGTCTATTCTTCTTCCAATGGTCCTACTAACGAAAATATAGACACGAATGGTGTGCTTGGTAGGTATCCTGCACAACTTGTATTTCCAGACCAAGAGACGACGCTTATTATGATGTAGGCCCTATTCATATCAAAGGCCCTTCCAGCATGAATTACGACGTTGATTGGGCCCGCTTCTAATAAGCGACTGGTACCACCATGACGCTTTTGGCTTGTTCACTATGAAATTGCCTCAGAGCACGCACCCCTGCCATTGACAACCATTTTGAATGGCAAGGGAGTTTTGACTGTGATCCGGATACGATTCCCGGTGTACAGGAAAGCATGAGCGCCATGAGATTGTTTTCAAGAGGGGAAAGAAGTACAAGCTGGGTCTGATTAATACGGGTAGTTTGCTGACGTATAAGTTCTGGATCGACGGGCACAACTTTACTGTTATTCAAAATGATTTTGTGCCGATCAAGCCGTACGTCACGGACGTTTTGATTGTTGGAATTGGTACGCTGTCCACCCAGAGGTCCCTCCCAGGTCGCCATGCAAAAGTCTGACCATGTCGTGCAGCGCAGCGCTACGAGATTATCATCGAGGCGAATGCGACGTTCACCCACAGCTCCAACTTCTGGATCCACGGGACTTACTGTGACGACGACAGTATGTTAGACTCGAGGGTTGGGATTATTCGATATGATGCGTATGATCGGCAGGATCCATTCACGTTGCCGCCCAGCGCGCGTGTCGTCGACTATGGCTGTGAGGATCCCAAGCCCACCGACCTAGTCCCCATCGTCCCACGTACCGTGGGCAAGGAGGTAAACGGATTCACCCCGGCAGACTACCTCCGGATCGGGCTGCAGAACTGGCCCAATGTCTCGGACCCAAACAGCCTCATCCACAAGTGGGTTCTGGTGAACCGTACGCAGTATATCGACTGGCGCGATCCTAGCCTCTTGCGGCTGGCGACGGCAGACGACGAGCCGCGGCCTTTGTTCCATCCGGATACAGTCCCTATATACCTGGACTACGAAACAGACGACTGGGTGTACTTTGTCATAGAAAATAACTACACCCTTAGCGAGGCGCACACGCCGCGTACCATCCCTCGCTCCGTGCACCCCATCCACCTCCACGGCCACGACTTCCTCATTCTCGCCCAGGGCACGGGCGAGTTTACCAAGGACGTAGTTCCGAAGTTGGATAACCCGGCGCGGAGAGACGTGGTTAATTGTCCAATCGGGGGGTATGTGTGGATCGCCTTCCAGGTTAATAATCCCGGAGCATGGCTGATGCACTGCCATATTGCGTGGCACGCGAGCGCCGGGCTCTCCCTGCAGTTTATTGAGCAGCCTAAGCGCATTCCCGAATTGGTGAACATCTCAGGGGCGTTGCCAGACCTGAAGCAGCGGTGCCAGGACTGGACGGAGCATTATAACACGACAAACGTGCCGAAGGGGGCGTTGCAGGACGATTCGGGGATTTGAGGCGATGCGTTGGGCTTGGATTGAATTGTATAGTCCTGCTGTATGCATTATTCCCGTCCATAGACACGTGTGAACCTAATGTTCATTCATCGAGGTGCATGATGCTTTCGCCGTATCGGCCTAAGTGGAGGTAAAAAAAATGGCCCGAACACTAAGGAATCGGCATCCGAAATGTGGTCGTCTTTAGGTGTCCGATGTACCTGCAGCTCAACCACGTGTAATTCCTAGGGAAATACGAGATCCACAGAGAGCTAGATGCATTTGGACTAGATCCTAAAGAGCACTATGCCATTTCTTGCCGATCATACATAAATCAACGCATCAACGCCCTTACGGTTTGACAATGATTGAGTGGTACGAACTCGCACGCATTCTGAAGTCGCGATGGGTTTTCCGCTTTCCTTCTTCCGACTTTTTATCATTGCAGTCGCCTCAACTGTGGCTGCAAAGAGCCCGACGAGCACAGCAGATGCAGACTATGTAATTATTGGTGGCGGGCCAGCCGGATTGGTGCTTGCAGAACAACTGTCCCGAAATCCACACATCCATGTGGTACTTCTTGAGGCCGGTCCAGATGGCATCAATTCCAGTTTAATCAATAGTGAATCCCCCCATCCCTCCATTCGTCCCCCCTTTCGTCTCTCCTTGCACCTCCGTCGCATTGTGGCTGACCATGATCTCATGTTAGCTCCTGCATCCTACCCCCTCATTACTGAATTCTACTGGAACTACACGGCCGAACCGGATGCCAACCTGAACGGCAAGGCGATCAACCTCGCTCAGGGCCGCGTGCTGGGGGGCGGAACGGCCGTCAATGGCATGGCCTATTGTCGAGGCGCAGCGTCGCTCTTCAACGAGTGGGCCGACCTCTCAGGCAATCGTGGTCTCGCCTGGGATTCCCTCCTGGACGACTTCAAGGCCACAGCGCATTATCAATACCAACCCGCCGACTACTGCCAGGTGACCAACCGAAGTGCCTATGGAGGGGGCCCGTTGGACGTCAGCCAGTCCAGTGGACTGACCGGCTTCGACGTACCGTTCGCCACGGCGGTGATGGAGGCCCTGGGCCTGCCCGAAGTGGATTTGACCGACGGCACAGGCATCGGCATGGATTATGGATTGTCTTCCATCTCAGCTGTGGAACGCACGCGGTCCTATGCGCGGAACACCTTCGGGGCCATGATGGAATACCGGCCCAACGTCGAGGTTATCCACGACGCATGGGCCCACCACATCGGGTTTCAGGGCTCTACCGCCGTCAATGTCACGTATCTTCACATGGCCAGCAACGAGACGCGCACTGTGTCTGCGTCGGAGATCATCGTCAGCGGCGGCGCCATCAACACCCCCAAGTTGTTGATGCTGTCGGGAGTCGGTCCCCAGGACCGGCTGCAATCGCTGGGGGTGCCCGTGGTGGCCGATATGCCTGCCATCGGCCAGAACCTGTACGACCACGCTTTCGCCATCTTCGAGCTGCAGGTCACCCCCGACGTGAAGACCTTTTGGCAGTGGAGCATGAACCAGACGGCCAATGCCATCGCGACGGAGGCGTATGCGCGCAACCGCTCTGGTCCACTGGGTTGGAATAATGGCTACCTCTACGCCGCGTACAGGCTACCGGACGCGGCGTGGCAGGAGGCCGGCGTCGATGGATCGCACTACACCTCGCTGCCGGCAGATCGGCCGCATGTCCTGATTGAATATAGCACAGTGCCCTTTATGGCGGCAGCGGCCAACTTCAGCGCCGTTACTGCGTGGACCAGCCTTGTTCAGCCCGAGGACCCCGGCTCGGTGACCTTGCGCTCCAGCAACTACCGAGAGGACCCGGTCATCCATACAAACTACTATGGCTCCGCTGCCGACAAAGTCGCCGTTCAGTACTCCTTCAAACAGCTGCGACAAATCTTGCACGCGGACCAGCTCAAGCCCCTCATCCTGGACGAGTTCTACCCCGGGGCGAATGTGACTACGGATCAGGAGATCTGGGCCGCCATTCAGAATCAGACGTACTCGTTCCGCCATCCTGTCGGGACGGTGGCACTCGGGAAGGCACTGGATAAGGACTGGCGGCTCAAGGGACTCAAGGGTATCCGGGTGGTGGATTCGAGTACATTCCCATATCCCACGACGTGTCATCCCCAAGCCGTCGTCTATGCGCTGGCACATCGCGCGGCACGGGATATCCGAGTTGCTGATCGGGGTTAAGTGTAACCTGTAGATGTAGTTGGGGAATTGAATCATTCCCATTTTATCTTTGGCTCTCTAGACCTCGAGACAAGCAAGTCGCACTCATGGCATCAGACTTTATATTGCGCGGATAGTTTGGGTGAAAGAAAATATTTGTGAATTTCCCCCGGCCTAACGAATTCCATTTTTTATATATCGGAGGTCCATTTTATGTTGACAGTTTGAATCTTGTAACAGGAGCGCTACTAAAAGACTATTGTTCTGCTATATCCGATTACACATTGATGCCATTATCCTATATAATCTACGAGTGCAATCTTGACATCGGGATCATTCCCTCCCTGGTCCTCAATATCCAGATTCTAGAAATAGATCGATCCATACTACGAGGACGATGAATTAAAAAAAAAAAGAAAAAAACCTTCTGCAACACTGCTTTCCATTTAACTGGCTCTGTGCTATGCTATCATTGCATTGCAGTCTGCGTCGCTGAACCCAGTCCTCCAGCATATCTATCCTTTGTGAGGCCGAATGGGCAACGTCGGAGCCACATAATCAAAGTGGCCCATTCCTCCGAGGAAAGCAACATCTTGTGGTCCCCGAGGAGCATATCCAAATGGACACAGGAAGTTGTGTGGGAACCCCAGATCGAAGTCATAACCAGTCTCGATCTCTGCCACGTCCTCGGGGCTCAGTTCTAGGCTCAAAGCCTCGACATTCGCCTTCAGATGCTCGACTTTGCGCCCACCTACGATCGGGAAGAAGTAGGGAGTCTGGTGTGCCGCAGTTTTTTTACTATATTAGCTGGCAAAAGCCTCGGAATAGCGGCTGGCATTCAATTCCTCACCTTCTGCAGTGCGTATGCAAGCGCCACGGATGTCAGAGGCACGTTGTGACGCTGGGCGACCTTGTCCAGCACGGCGGAGACCTTCTCCTCGCGGCCCAGTGTCATATGGGGAGTGTTGCGCCCACCTTCCTTTGCCGGGGCGGTGGGGGACTTGAAATAGCCTGTGGATGCGGTGTTAGTCTCATGGTTCTTGCTCTGCTCAAAAGGGCGCGCGAAGAATGGACCGAGAGAGAGAGAGAAATCATACCGCTGCCCAAAACCCCGAAGGCATGGATGGCCATGCCCTCATCACGACACATGGGCATGACATCCCGCTCAAGATCCCGCGCCTGCGCCGAGTACCTCCCCTGATAGACAGAGAAGGGACGCAACCCATGGGCGCGGGCATAGGCATTGGCCTTAGTCACAACCCAGGCGGGAGCGTCACTGATGCCGAGATAGAGGACCTTGCCCTGGGCCACCAGGTGGTTGAGAGACTGCATGAGCTCGGGAATTCCGGTGGAGAAGTCCCAGGCATGCACATAATACAGGTCGATGTAGTCGGTCTGCAGGTTCCGCAGGCTATTCTGGATGGAAACATGCATGCTCTTGGTGCTGTTGCCCCCATAGTTGCTCTCCTGTACCTGTTGCCCGGTCATGGGTGACAGCGTATATTTGGTCGCGATGACCATCTCCGAACGGCGGCCGGTCTTCGCTAGCCACTCGCCCGTCCACACCTCACTCTGACCTCCATGGTAGGCATTGGCCAGGTCGATAAAGTTGCCGCCCAGCTCGTAGTAAGTGTCGAGCAGCTCGAAGGCCGTTTCCTTGCTGCAGTCGCCCATCATGCCCGCCCAGGCATTTCCCAGGCTCATGCCCCCCAGGGAAATGGGACTGACCCGGACCGATGCCGAGGGTGCCAGCAGTCGGTGTCTGCCCAGCAGACTCTTTGGGGGAGGGGCCGAGATGGCTGCCATGGTGGTTGGTGCTTGGGAATTGATGTTCTTGCCAAATAGGATAGGCTACTGGGTTCTGGTTCACGAGAGCCGTTCAGGGTGCCGTCGGAATCTTGGAATTGGGATCACAATGCGACGAGAGAGCTCTCCTGCCAACCAATATATAACCTATTAATTGTCATCAGCCATGTTTTACACGATTCCCCTTGATTGGCCTACAGAATGCAACCGCAGCAGACAATGGTTGATTCATAATCAAGCAGCGTGTGGCGCTCGGGGATAACCTATCGCCGGAATATGCGCTTCGCAGTTCACTTCAGCCATCGGAGTCCGACCACCTCTTCGCTGTCCGACGATGACAGCAGCCATCCTGCGTGGGAAAGGTTGCTGGAGGGTTCAGGGATTAATACGAAGAGGCAGCCTTCGACCGGCTTCATTGGCCCGACGTCAGCCCCCACGGCTGACGTCAAACCGGACGTCAGAGAACTTATAAGCGCACACAAAACATCCCGATGTGTTCTGCACCTGTGGTTTGCTCGTTGTCTGCATCAAGCATGATGGTCGCATCCCGCCATCTCGTCCTTGTCACCGGTGGTAATGTAACCCCCCGCATTCCCAGAGGGAAGCTCGCTGAAACCGGGCACATGGCTGACAGCTGCCACAGCCACTAGCGGCATCGGCTTTGAGCTGGTCGCCCAGCTGATGGCCAAAGCCTCCTATCATGTGCTCCTGGGCGCCCGGTCTCATGAGAAAGGCCATGCGGCCGTGCAAGCCCTGCGCTCGCGAGGCCTCCCGGGGTCCGTGGAGATGCTCCACATCGACGTGACTGATGACTCTGTGATTGAGTCCGCTGTCCGGAGCGTGGAGCAATCCTTCGGGTACCTCGACGTTCTGGTCAACAATGCCGCCGTCTCGGCCATGACCCTGCCGCGCCTGCGAGACCAGATGCGGGATGCGTTCGATACGAATGCCACCGGGCCTGCGGTAGTGACGAGCGTATTTGCACCGCTCCTGCAGCGCTCCACGGCCGCATCGCGGCGCATTATCAATATTACTAGCGGTGCGGGTTCCATTGCACGGCGGCTGGACCCCTCCTCACCAATCTATAAGGTCCAGCAAGTGCAGTACCGTGCGAGCAAGGCGGCGTTACATATGGTGACAGCTTGTCAGGTCGCGGAGTATGAGCCCCAAGGCATCAAGGTATTTCTCTATGACCCAGGGTTTACCCAGAGCAATCTCGGACCTCACAATACGGCGGCAAACGGGGCAAGGACCGCGGAAGACTCGGTTCGGCCCTTGATGGCGGTGTTGGAAGGGGAGAGGGATCACGAGTCGGGTCAGATATTGCATAATACTGGTGTCTATCCCTGGTAGCGGACGCAGCTGGAGCTTGTAGGCTAGCAAAGAGAAATCAAACCATTGCCTTAATTTTCTAGAACTCTCAAACCCTCGACTTCCGACTGGAGCTCGCACTCCCAAACCGACAATGTTCATCTCGTCCTTGCTCCCCGGCCTCCTAGCAGTAGCCACTATCGTCTCCGCCACCCCAGCCAACAATCAGCGCGTTCACTATGTCATCATCGGTGCAGGGCCGGCGGGATATGTGACGGCGGAAAAGCTGACGCAGAACCCTCGGGTGATGGTGACTCTGCTGGAAGCCGGCCCTGATGGCAGCACGGATCCTCTGATCACCACTCCGGCGAAGTTCTTCGATACACAGGAGTACATGTGGCCGTACAATACCCAGCCAGAGCCCAACCTTGGGGGACTGACGCCGAATCTGTGGCAGGGTCGGATGTTGGGGGGAGGTTCCGGTGTCAATGGCATGCTATACTGTCGGGGCTCTGCATCGGTCTTCGATGAATGGGCGGAGATCTCGGGAAATAAAGGACTGGCATGGCGGTCCCTTCTGGAGGACTTCAAGAAGACGGCCCACTACCGGTCTGATCCGACCGATTCTGATTATGCACAAGTGGTGGACCAGCAGGCGTTTGGCGACGGGCCTCTAGAGATCACCCGCGCGCGGAAGCTCGTGTCGTTCGACGAGCCCTTTGCCAATGCGCTCAAGAACACGCTGCACCTGGACGAGATCGACATGATCTCCGGCACCGGGATCGGGGTCAGTCTGGGACTCGAGACCATTCGCGCCTCCAATCGCACCCGGTCCTACGCTGTCAACGCATATGGCGATCGCATGGCAGGTCGACCCAATTTTCGACTGATCCATGACGCCTGGGTGCAACATATCGGCTTCCACCGGCAGACGGCTCAGAATGTCGTGTACACCAACCGTAGGAACCAGACCTTGACCATCCAAGCCGACGAGGTCATTGTGGCGGCCGGCGCCATCAACTCTCCGCAGCTGCTGATGTTGTCTGGCATCGGGCCCAAGGAGAAGCTCGCCGCGTTGAAGATCCCCCTCGTCGCCGACATTCCGGAGGTGGGAGGCAACCTCTATGACCACCACTACTCCGTGATGCAGTTCCAGGCCGCCGCCAGCGTTGAGACTGCCTGGCAGTGGTCAGAGAATGCCACCGGGGCAGCCATCGCGCAGGCTCAGTATACTCGGCATGGAGGGGGCCCTCTCGGACGCAACAACGGCGACGTATACGGTGCCCTGCGGCTGCCGGACGCGGTCTTCGAGGCCGTCAACAGCTCGCATTATCTTCAATTGCCCCGGGGACCGACCCCATGTGATCTATGAATACGCTAGCACGCCGTTCCTGCCGTCGTCACCCAACGTCAGCATCATGGCCGCCTTTGTCGCGGTGGTGCAACCCGAGGCCACAGGATACGTCACGCTCAACACGTCGGACTATCGCGACGCACCGCTGATCCGCTCCAACTACTACGGATCTGCGGGGGATAAGGCGGCCATCCAGTATGGATACAAGCAGCTGCGGGAGATCATGCATTCCGACGCCCTAAGTCCATTCCTCGGAGAGGAGTTGTTCCCGGGAAAGAATGTTACATTGGATTTGGATATCTGGGCGGCCATCCAACAGGGTGCGCAGTCGTTCCATCATGCGCTGGGGACCGTGGCCCTGGGGACGGTCCTCGATCGCGACTGGAGGGTGAAAGGACTGAAGGGGATACGTGTGGTGGGCTCTGCCGCGATGCCTCGACCTCCGACATGCATGACCCAGGCGCCTTCATACGCAGTGGCACATCGTGCAGCCTTGGATATTATCCGGGCAGACAGTCTTGCGCATCGGTGAGTCTGTTGCGGATCGATATAGCTGCATGGGCAGCTGGAACGGAAACCGATTTGGCCGATGCAGTCTGAAGTCCAAGAGAGCTGGGGTAATGGTCACGTCATGGAATATAGGGCCATCTATCTCGTATTGCTAGATCTATAGAACTTTTTTATAGATTCCAGAAATGCTATTCATAGCCCTGGGTTATATATGTGGCAAATACTAGCATACAGCCTCCTTGATGACAGGAAAGGGAAGATTGTGCTGGGGTAATTCACCGGCCACTTCCCGAATCATTGGGGAATTGTAAATTGAATAGAACCACCTACTGGTCTCCGGGTACTGACTTTCCATCACTTGATGCCATGCGAGAAACGCACCGCTGAGCAACCCGGTGACGAACACATCCGCCACCGTCATCTGGTGGCCAACGAGGAATGCCTTCCCTCCTCGCAGATGCTCCTCCAGTCGACCACATCGGGCTTTCAGAGCACGCACACTGTCATCATGGTCCTGGCGGATAATCTGGCGACGTCCGATGAGTGGTAACAGACAACCCCCGATCGCGGGCAGAAGGTCTCCGTTAGCGAATGACATCCAGCGCAGGATATCGTAGTAGTCGCGACGAGTGGAACCCAGCAAAGTGGTCGTGTCACTCTGAGAAGCCACTATAGCAGGAGCCAAGTCTCTGGTCAACAGAGATGATGCCTAATAAGAAGCAAAAACGGAGTTTCATCACAGACATACCGTAAAGCGTGATGGGGATGCACTCGGTCAGCACGTACCCATCAGCTCCCACGAACGTTGGCACCTGGCCCAACGGGTTCACCTGTAGGAGTTCCTGATAGCCTTCCGGGCTGTTCTCTCTCTCGGCGTAGACAATGCTTAATTCTAGACCGTGTTTTTTAGCCAGGGCTAAGATGGCCATCGACCTAGGATTGGGCTGGTGGGACGATGTTAGTGTCTTGTTTCTTTATTTTTCTTTTTTTCTTTTTTCATTCTGTTGGAAAATGACGAGACAAGGGTTCTAACGCTGTGGGTATAGAGAGTACCGAACGACATCCTGACTTTCGATGGTGTAGCGGTGATGTGCATCAAAGGTCCTATTGTGACGGTTTGAATAAAGGCCTGGGTTTAAGTCGCAACGGTTCGACGTTTTCATATGCTCCGGGGATTTTTTGTCCGTCTTAGAAGAAGCACCATCTGAGTCGGGCCCCGACGTTCTGTCCGTTCTTGAGTGTAATTGACATGTCCGACCCTCGGCCTCATTCGGGGACTCATCCGCCCCCGACATATAATCCTCCCATGGAGGCAATATCCTCACGAAAGCACCTTCATATTCCCCTCCATTCTACTCAGGGGCTTGTACATCCCGATCGACATCGTCATGGCTATCTACGCTGTCCTCGGGGCGACCGGAAATACCGGGACTGCGCTAATCCAGAACATCCTTCAAACGCCCCAGGGGACAATCCACGCATACTGCCGCAACAAGGCCAAACTGCTTCGCCTTCTTCCCGAAGTGGCAGACAACAAGCGCGTGCATGTCTTTGACGGCGGGGTTCATGATGTCGATCTCATGGTCCGTTGCCTCCGGGGCACCCACACTGTCTTTCTCACTGTCACGACCAACGACAACATCCCCGGCTGTCGACTCAGCCAGGACTCGGCGCAGACGGTGCTCGCCGCGCTGCGAAAGATTCAGGAAGAGGAAGCGACCATCCAAATGCCCAAGCTCGTTCTCCTCTCGTCCGCTACGATTGACGAGCATCTCAATCGCGAGATGCCGGCGTGGTTCAAACCAATCATGAAATCGGCCGCTTCCCATGTGTATGAGGACTTGAAAATTACGGAGCGCCTCCTGCGCGAGCAGTCTGACTGGGTGTCCACCATCTTCATCAAACCGGGCGGGCTCTCGGTCGACCGACAGCGAGGACATCAGCTGAGTCTCGACACGCAGGAGTCGTTTATCTCCTACCTCGACCTCGCTGCGGCCATGATCGAGGCGGCCGATGACCCCGATGGTCGGTATGACTTCCAGAATGTCAGTGTCGTGAATACCGGGGGCAAGGCCAAGTTCCCCCGGGGCACCCCCTTGTGTATTGTGGTTGGGCTGTTGCGCCATTTTTTCCCTTCACTGCATCCGTATTTGCCCTCTACGGGTCCGTCTTAATTTGAAGCCGTGGGTTCAGGTAGTTTGCTCACGTGGGAGTATCCAGCATTCTCCAATAGATGCAGACAAAATAAAAACAAAAATAAAAAAAAAAATTATGTGTAAATAAACACGGCAAATATAATTTGGTGGGACGTATGATGCGCATTGCTGAGGCATCGGGAACGAATGTATATCGGAGACCGAAGATTGTCTCTACAAAACCCGAACTATATTAGATCTATATATCCATTTCTCTCTCCACATATGTGTATGTTGCAAAGACAGATTGATCATACCCATTCAAACTTGAGCTCAACCATGACAAACGCCTCGCAGCTTCACCTATCCAACCTCCACCTCGGCATCTGTCACAGCGAGGATGTTCCCGAAGCAGCAGCCGTGGAAATCACCAACCAGTTGCTTCAGCGGAACCACAACGAGCTGCACATCTTCTTCCGAGATATGAACGGACACAACCACTTGGTGCATAACCTCCTGACCCGGCTTGCGCTCGGGGCCTCGCCCGCCCAGCTGCAGACGGCCTACGACGACGACTTGCCCACCCAGAGGGCAATCCCGCTGCGCGACGAGGAGGTAATCCGTAAACTGGCGGACGAGGCGTATTTCGCGGAACGGATCACTCAGATCAACCAGTACGCCAATTTCCTTCGTTTCTTCGAACATCAGATTGACGCCAGAGGCTGGAAAGACGTCGTGCAACAGTACGTATTCAGTCGCAGCCGGATTGCCGAGAAGATCCTACCTCTCATGTATGATGGAGCTTACCACTCCATCATCCACCTGGGCCTCGGGGTTGAATTCGAACAGCCGAGTATTATCGCGGAGGCGCTGGCTCAAGCTGCTGCGCACGATTCCTTTGATACCGACTGGTTCTTTCACACCGTGGAGAAGAAGGCGGACCGGCTGGAAGAGAGCACCGAGTCACCGCCCCTCTGGGAGCTGCTGGGCCATGCCCGCAAAAGTGATGCCCTCGCACGCGCGGCACAGACGGAGGGATTCATTGGCACTATGAAGATGAAGAGGTGCGTCTTTGTCGCCCCCGCCGGGGAGGAGATCACCTCTCTGGCTGCACAGTTCCGTGTCACCGAGCAGACCCTTGAGCTCCGCACAGCCGAGATGATCAGTGTTTGTGCCTACCTCGCAGGGGCCTCCCAGCGTGCCGGCCGTGCCCACAAGATTGACTTCTTCTTCATGCATTGCGTGACCAGTGCCCTCCTCGTCAGTGTCCTGGCCCGACAACCGTGGATTACCACTACCGACAGGATCCGCTTGGTCGAGTGGAAGGGCCGACTCGACCTGGCCTGGTATGTGGTGTGTGGCATGCCGACCCTGGACATTTCGCCTGTGCAGAGCTACCACGGCAGTCCCAGTGGTGAGATGACCTGGGCCGAGCTCTTTCATGCGGTCAATGAGCAACACGACGACGGACATGTTGCCAAGTTTGTGCGCGCGTTGAAGCATGGCCAAGAGGTTTCAGAACCGTTGGTTGGAATACCATGGGCCTCCGCGGCCTTCCCCGTGCAAGGGGACATCTGGCTGAAAATTGCGCGCATGGCGTATGATACGACCTTGGGCTTGCCAGCGCCAGCTAAGTGGGTTGTGATGACGGGAATGGACAAGGCCTGGGCTCAGGTCCCATCCATGAAGGATTGATCCGTCAGTCAGCTACGGGTAACTAACATCTCTGATGATATCTTATAGCTTGAACCGGAGTAGCTCCTGTTGTCAATTTTATTTGTGCACCTAAGGACAAGTATCATATATGAGACAGGTGGTCAAGGTTATCATTTACATATAATCCTACGTTTCTCAGCCCTTTTAGGGATGGTCCCTATGAACATCAAGTAGTGGGCTTAATAGACGATCTATCAGATCCCATATTAGACACGCAGATGAGCTCGCACTGCTGCCTCGAGCTCGTGCTTAACAAGCTTATGCGTTGCGTTCACTGGAAACTGGTCCAGCCCAATCTCCTGCAACGATAAAATTGTCCCCCGAGCATAGTCGCGTCCAAACCTCTGCTCTACATGACGCTGGATATCTTCCCTATCCAGAACACCGTCGAAGTCCCGAACCACAACGACAGGTTCCTGTCCCATCGTCGGATGTGGTGCAGAGACTACGGACGCCTTTACAGAATTAGCAAACCGTTCTCGCATTACCATGGAATGGATCATGGAGTGTACCGCACCTGCTGTCCTGTCAATTTTTCCACGCAGCTCTCCAGAGCTGCGGGCATGATAGCCACCCCATTACAGGTGATCATATCCTTGCGTCGGCCTAAGATAAATACCAGTCCATCCGCGTTCATCATGGCGATATCTCCGGTATTGAACCACCTCCCTTTCGTGTCCTCATAAAAGGAAGATGCGGATACTCCGTGGAGATAGCCCGGTATAACACTCCCGCAGCAAACATGCAGCTCTCCAGACTGGCCTCGGAGCACCGCCTGTCTTCTGTCCGCGTCCCAGATCCGTACAATCGCCCCCGGGGCTACTATTCCGACCGGACAGGTTTCACCAAAGAAGGGGATCTGTTCCAGAGGGGTATTCAGAAAGGGCTGCCAGGTGAAGGCACCCCCGCCTTCTGTCATGCCGTGGTTGACACATATCCGAGCCATCGGAAAGAGGGCAGCGCACCTACTCAGACTATCCTTCGTCACTGCATCGCCTCCTATCTGGACAGTCTGGACGCAGTCAACGGGGAAGGGAGAGACGGACAGCCGATGTGCCATGCCATGCACCATGGCCGGCGTCAGGACAATGAACGTGACCCGGTAGTGTGAGATGGCTGTCGCCATGTCGTCCACGGAAAATCCTCCGTCGCTGGACAGGACGACGGCGCCGCCTTCGCGCCAGGTCTGTAGCGTCTGCGCCGGTGCAATTCCTCGAGAGTTGTGCGCCTGCTGTAGAGCACGTATGGAGCAATTCTCCTGATTGATCAGCCACGCCTGCGAGTGTAGGACGTGTGTCATGCCTCGGACTGGCTGAGGGCAACCCTTGGGGCGACCGGACGTGCCGGACGTGAACATGATTGAGTGGATGCGATCCGGATTGTCGTTCCGCGCCGCTTCTTCCAGCAGACGCTGCTCCGGTAAGGACGGTGTTCTTGTTGAAGCGTTGAGAGCTAGATCGACCAGACTGATCCAGCCCGGCAGGGAGCTATCGAGAGCAATGCGGAGGAGCGGCTTTGCAAGACGGGGCAGTTGTCCCAGGGCAGCGTCCACGGCATTGCTCCCTAACGGATCATGTACAACAACCAGGGATGGTGCGACGGCACCCAGGGTTGCCTTCAGGTACTCCCGGCTGGATTCCTGGAGCAGTGCGGGGTCCACCGAGACGAATGTTAGGCGCAGAAGTTCACAGGCCCAGAGAAGCAGGGCATACTCCACGCCATTGGGGATTAGAACCAGCATAGTGGACTCGGCCTCCACGTTGTTTGCCGTCATACCAGCGACCAGCTTGTGAGCGGCGCCATGTAACTGTGTATACGTCCATGACAGACAGTCCGCTCGATGCGGTCCAACCTCTGCCTCTTCGTCTGCGGGGACAAGATGGCCCAGGTGATCTGCAGACTGGTGCATGCATACAACAGCGGCTCCATGGGGATTGTTTTGCAGGCCTTGTTCTATGTGCGCAAAGACCGACGTTTTGTTCTCCAGGGGACCACCATCCATTTCCGATACAGTGTCGTGGACATGGTGAATGCCGGTTCTCCTCCGAACAAGGTTGGACGGAAGAAGAAATCGGATTCGGTGGAGGAGTTGGTATAGTAGTCTGATGATAAAAAGCTTCATGTCAGATAGTATGATGTCGGTCGATCCTGATTTATTTTTTCTACGGAAAGATGGGCTCCTGTGTATGTTTACTGCATATTGTCCCTCCATTTAGGGTTCCCTTCGGGCTATAACAGCATACCGCATTGATCCACTAGCATTGACTCCGAATAGAACTTAGTGCTACAAAGACGCTTGTAATCCACTGTTCCGTATCGCCATCGGGGTTCGGACCATTCTTGACTCTTGTCAGATCCGTCCTGCCAATTCAACCCCGACGAAAACTAAGCGACCAGGATCTGCACCATTCCAATCACCGCCCCAGCCAAAGGGAAAAGGCTCCTTGCCAGATGCATCCAACACCATTTCGTCACCAGTGCCCTTGCTTCCTCCATCGTCGCCACCGCCCCAGAAGCTCGGCTACTCGCCTCCAGTGCAAAGAGTATATTATTCGTAGGGACCATCACCAACCAGGTGAAAGGAAGCATGGCGACAGTGGTGAGACCCGCCAGGACCAGCGCACCCCACGACTTCTTCGCCTTTCGTCGGCGCCAGGCCGAATAGCCGTACAGGGAAAAGGTGACCACTGCTAGAGTTGGGAGGACCTGATGCCCATAGTGATACAGACGGACCCACTGGTGGAAGAGCTGCCCCGGGACAGTCGTGGTGTCCAGGAAGACAGGGACAGCCATCAGAGATAGGCTCGTCATTGCACCTGACGGTTCGTGTGAGAGCGAATTAATTGTGCACAAGCATCAATCATCTTACCGGAAAGAAACATGCCCGTCAGAACGGCCGTAGCCTGAAAATCCTTCCTCGACGATGAGGCCTCGATTCCATCCACCACCACGCCATGGTCAACAAACTGAGAGATCCATCCAATGGTCATCCTGCATCAACAATTTCCCAGTCAGATTGGAAGAACCGAACGTCAAGGGTCAGGGGAGACGCACATGCTTCTTTTGGTATCGGCGAATTGCTCATGATCCCCCAGTAAATGCTGCTGATACCACGGGTCCTGCTTCATCCGCTTGTAATCCTCCAGGCGGCGAAAAACTACCTGGCTGAAGCAGTCAAAGTCAGCGATATTGGCCATCTGCGAGTCGAAGAGCTGGCCCATCAGCGCCCGCGTGGCATGCGGGTTATGGATCTGTAGGAATGTCAGCAACGGTCCCCGGGCTGGTTCGCGCGACGAGAGGGGAAGGCCATCCCTGCGTCCATCGCACCACTCCATATTTCACCATCAGGTCCTGGGTCATGGGAGCAGAGATTTTAGTCATATGGTGCTTGTAGTCCTCCTCGCTCATACCGGGCTTGCGGTAGCCGCAGATGGTGAGGCAGAGGAGCTTATCGGAAGAGCCAGCCATTCCCTCAGAAGACTTGAAAATTGTCATTGTAGTTCTGCCTCCCTGAAGCATCAAATACGGGTGAATAAATGTGTGATCGTTACCAGCACTATTGTCTGGTACCTATGTATGCATCCTGCGATGTATTTATAAATTGTCGGGCATTCAGCCCGGAAAGCAGACCGAGGACATGCTTAACACCGGAGAGCGAAGACCAAAGGTGATCTTTAGTGTCAACCATCGGGAGTTTATACTCTACAATACGATTTTTCCACGCATGGCTGAGGATGAGTCCTCAGTGAGTTCCTTGATGGAGAGAAACAAAATAAAATAAAAAGCTGGAAGCAGCTAAATTGTAGAACATACGCGAGGGTACAAACGCCGTAGAAAAGAAAATCACGAGACTCGGAGCAATCTAATTCTAGTTATAGTATTCGAGGAGCCATGCCCGTAAATCGCCTATTGTCGGATATTCCAAGAATAGACTGCCACTCACAGACACCCCAAGCTCCTCCCGAAACTTCTCGGAAATAACCAGGCTCATCAGGCTGTCTACACCAAGGGACGCAAAGGAGGCATCGTCCGTGAGGTCGGAGTGTTCCAGAGCCGCTTCCTTGGCGATCAGTGCAATGGCCTTTGCTGCGACACTGTCCGAAGACTCCCCTGCAGCCGTAGGAGCTGGAGCCTGGCCCGGCTCTGGGGCTGGTGCTGGAGCAGCCGCTTTGGGTGCTGGCAACGGTGACGAAGTCACCGGCAGAGCTGCAGGAGTGGGCTTCGGGGCCAATGCAGCGGGAGCAGCAACTGCGGCAGCAGCAGGGGGACTGTCAAGATCTGGGGGGGAGAAGAAGCGGTTGAGTAGGATGCGGGGATACCGACGGAACTGGATGCCCTGGACCAAGCCAATAATCTCCGCGTCGTGGAGGATATAAACATCACCCAGATACACCGTGGCGTCGGCCGCGGTTGGGATCATCTTGACATAGGAGCGATACTGCGCCCCGGCGACAAGCGGCCGGGCAAAACGCATGCTGCGCCAGCCGGGGGTGACGCAATAGTTAGCCTTGGTATCGATGGCGTCCGAGACGTTCATCACAAATCCCGCCAGGTGAGCCACGCTGTCGATGAAATACGGTGGGACAGTCCACACGCCGCCTTTTTGGGTCGTCAGGGTCACCGCGGCCGTGGCCTCGAGCTCGTGGAGAATGACGGACTGCATGCCACGGTACTTGTCGGCATAATCCACCAAGTTGTTGGCAAATAGCAGATATGCCATGCGGTGGGAGAATCGGTTGGCGATACCTTCGTCCGCCAGGCGCTCGAGGGCGTCGATTCTCCCTTGCACGAGATGCTTCTGTGGGATCCATGACTCCAGCCAGGCGGCGGCATCTCCGTACTGGATCTCTGCACTGGCAAACGGTTCCTCAATGTCCCCGTTGGCCAGGACGTTGCGCCAGAACAAACTGGCCTGGCCGGAGGAGATGTCACCGGTCTCCACCGAAACCCGGATGCACTGTGGTCGGCCAGTATCCTGCTGCGCCACGAGCCCTTTGACGACGTGGAAGTTGGCGATGTTCATATGCACCGCGTTGGCCCCCCCGGAACGAGATTCTGATACAGGTATTTTCCTAAGGTATAGGCAATGTCTGCATGAATTGACTAATTGCGTGGTTAGTACATCTGTACGCAGGACGCAGAGTAGAAGTAGTAGGAAACAAAGGGTGGACTCACTGATGTGACCACGCCACAGTTATTCATCCGGTGCCCGTTAGCCGCGGCGAGGAATTCCGGTTGCATGAGATCCGACTGCATCACCACCTTTCCAGCCGGTTTGCGGAAACTCTCCTCGATAATCCGCTGCACTGTCGATGTCTGCAGATTGGACTGCACCCCCGTCGACGGGGCCAGACCCGCCTTGGCCGCTTTCTCGGCGTCATAGAAGGTATTGCCCTTGGTCAACGCCCAGTCACCATTGTACATAATCCAATAGTTCTTGTCATTCCACGCATACGTGGGCAGATCCAAGAGACGTAAGGCGGTTCGAACGGTCGGTGGAACTCATTCCAGTCCAAAGGCACCCCTGCGCTGTGAAGACTTGTCAGACTCTGAGCCAGGGTGGTCCAGTTGTCCTCGGTCCGATTCAACGAAGGGACGGCTGCGTTCAGAGTGGGGATGGTCGCCTTGACGAAGCCGGTGCAGACAGGATGTGGTCCAAGTTCGACCCAGACTGTCTCCTCGTCGACGGTCGAAATCCTTTGGGCCGCTTGGAGTGCTGCCAGGAAATTGACCGTCTCCCGTGTCGCTCGGCGGACATACTGAGCGTTCACGGTCTTGTCAGCAAAGATGACCTTGCCTAGTAAAGGCGAGATGACCGGGAGCCGGGGCGGCTGGAAGAGGATTCCGCTTTGTGCCAGCGACTCGAAGTCGTCGAGGATGAGGTCCGTCTGGGCCGAATGGAAGGCAAAGGCCACGTCCAGGCGGTAGCAACGGTAGCCCATGGCTTCCAGCGGGGGGAACAATGGCATCCATCTCAGCCCGGGAGCCACTCAGGACAGTTTCCTTGGGCCCGTTGATGCAGGCTACCTCGAAGGCAAGGCCACCGGCAGATTGCTCAATTTCGGGCAGCGACGCCCTCACTGCCACCATTTGATGACTGCCGGCCTGGCACTTCTGCTCCAGAAGCTTCGCCCGGTAACCGACCAGCGCGAGTGCATCACTGGCCGACAGAACTCCGGCCACGTAGAGCGCAGCATACTCGCCCAAGCTGTGACCAACCACCACACTGGGCCTGACGCCCAGAGAGTCCCAGTAGCGAGCCAGGGCCATCTCCAATGCCACCAGCGCCATTTGGGTGACCACAGGTGAGTGTGCATGGTCCTTGTGGAAGCTCCCATCGATGGCCGGAACAAAGGACGGGAAGCCTTGTCTCTGGGCAAGGGAGTCGAGGTACAAGATCTGGGATCTGAAGACGGGGGCCTGGTGAAATAGCTCCAGGTTCATGGATTTATGGGATGCACCTTGGCCGGTAAAGGCGAATGCCACCGGTGGGGGACCCGTAGCAGGGATGGGCTTGTGCGAGTCCACCGACTCAAGAGAACTGCCCAGCTTCTTCCGGGCCTGCGTAACGTCAGAGATGGCAATGGCCACGCGGTGGTTATGATGGTACCGCCGCGCCGTCGTGGTATAGGAGAGGTCAGCCAGCGAGACTTCCGGATGGGCATCCAGATACGCCAGGAGCCGTTCCAGATTGCCCTTGAGGGATATTTTGCTCTTGGCCGAGACAAGCACAGCATGGGTCCGCCGTGGGTCCGTCGTGACGGGGGTTTCTCGCTGGGGCGCATCTTCCAGGACCAACGTGGTATTCCCCCCAGCGGCGCTGAAGTTATTGACAACTGCATACCGAGACTTGGCCTCCAGACGCGGCCATGCCGTCTTCTCAAACGGAATGTGCACATTGCGCCGGTCGAGGTCCTTCGGGAAAGTCGGGTTCAGGCTATTCTTAATGCCGATATGTGGCGGGATGGCGTTGTTCTGGTACATCAGAAGGACCTTCAGCAGCGCAGTCACACCGGCGACCGCCTCTCCGTGGCCGACATTCGCTTTGACGGCTCCAATATGCAGCGGCTGCTTGGCCGTGCGGCGCTTGGTGCTGTTCGGGGCAAAGACATCGGTGATAGACTTGATCTCCACCGCATCGCCCGCCTGCGTCCCGGTACCGTGCATCTCCACGTAGCTGACGTCCAGCGGGTCCACGCCCGCGGAGCGGAGAACCTGTTGGTACAGGTAGGATTGCGCTCCGGCATGGGGATGTGTGATAGAGACCGCTTCCGCCGAGTGATTCGTTGCGGTCCCCAAGATCACCCCGAGGATATTATCATTATCGCCCACAGCGTCGTCGAAGCGTTTCAGCACAATGGAAGCCACCCCGTCGGCACGGCAGTATCCATCTGCTTCACAGTCCCAGGTCTTACAGGCATTCGGAGTCTTGGATAGGAAGTGGCCGTTGCTGAGACCCGCAAAGGCATCGGAGTTGGTCAGGACGTTCATCCCGCCGGCAACCACCATATCCGTATCTCCATTCCAGAGCGACGTGCATGCGGCCTGGATAGTGGCCAGGCTGGACGAGCAGGCAGTATCACAGCTGAAGCTGGGTCCGGAGAACTTGAAGAAATAATTGATGCGGCCGGGCCCGAACGCACGACATCCGCCGGGGATGAAGTAGGTGCTGATCTCCTGGGCGGTATTGACTTCGCGATAGTCGTCACTAGCCTGACCGTAGAAAGTCCCAATGCGATGCAGGTTGGTAGAGGCCGTGCGGTTGGCCACATACCCAGCTCTTTCGAGGGCTTCATACGCCGTCACCAACGCAAGGCGCTGCATCGGATCGGTTTGCTGGGCCTCGCGCGGCGACATGTTAAAGAAGGGCGCGTCAAAGAGCCCCGGCTCCTCGATGAAGCAGCCATAGGGTGTCATGCTGGTATTCACCCGTTTGCCAGTCGGGTCATAGTGCGAGTCGACGTCGAAGCGATCGGCTGGGATCTTCCGGTGCACGTCAAGGCCCTGTTCTAGAAGCTGCCAGAACTTCTCCGTGTCGGTGGCGCCAGCGGGCATGCGGCAGGACATGCCAACGATGGCAAGCTTAGACTGCTTGGTCCCGCGGGCAGCCGTTGAGCCGATTCCGGTCTTGCTCACCCATGGAATCAGCTCCTCCGTGGCCATCGCCGTGTCCGGTATGACGGCGGCGGATGTGCTGAGAAGGTCGTGAATAGGGAGCGAGAGGCGGAAGACGAATATCTGACACTCGGGCGCACTGAGACTTTGGGCGCATTCTATTACTCCCTGAACGACCCGGTCCCACTCGATCTTCTGCGTCATGATCTCGATGATTATCTGCTTGAACAGCTCTCGTGCCGATCCCACGACATAGGGACGCCCGGTGGATGTAGAGAAGATCGGTATGCCCGGTACCAGCCGTTCATTCAATTGACGCATGGATTGGGTGCTGATGACTTCATCCACATGTTTCTCGTTGTAGATGTGCTCTGCATGACACAGTCCCCCGTATACAGGAAGGCTGACAATTTTGCGGCCGCGGAAGAACTCGGACAGCCGAAAGATACGCTTGAGTCGCGACGGGGGCCCGCTGACGGTCACGGATGTTTGGCTCAAGGCGCTGATGAAGACCTGGCTGGCACGGGGGGTATTCTGTTGTATGTTGTATCAGCAAATCGAAATCTGAAGGTTCGTTCTCTCGAGCGCTTTGGTCCCCAACTCACTTCTGTTTTGTGAATCGAATCCAATTCAGCCTGGACATCTTCCACGGCAACACCCGTAACAACGGACGCCCACGTTTCTGGGGAGCTGTTGGGATCTCGCTGCTCCAGGTTCTGGGAGATCTCGTCAACCACAACCCCCAGGCGGAAGGCAACACGCACGACCTCTGCACCCGCTATGGGGAGGTCTGTAAGGACTTGGGAGAGAGAGACCGCCGCAGTGGCCAGGAGACCAATGCCCAGCCCGGCAAGATATGTGTTTCCCAATGGGAGATCGTACCCACCCGAGGAGATCTCGTAGTATCTATTGCCGGGAGTTAGAAAGCCTGGGGCGCAACGGATCCCCGCTCAGGAGTAATACGCACCGGATCAAAGTCCCCAATTCCAACATGCAGAGCAATACTCCATCGATGGATCCACCAAGCGGACCCTTTCGTAGTGCCGGGTGATCCGCCAGGTCCAGCACCGTGTCCAGTGGGGGCATCAATCTCTTCAGTGAAGCTGGGAGCTGGCGAATCTCCTCACGAATGGCGATGGTGGCATCATCAATAAACTGGGCCAGGATCGGGTGGCTTCGAGAGTTGCTATGCTTGTACAGCCGACGGAGAAGATCCTGCAAGTCATCATGTGGAAACTCATTGCTGAAGTAGACCAGTTTCATTTTAGACGCCTCGATCTGGGAATCAGATGCAGGAGTATAGATCGTCATTGCTTTGATATATGGGTATGTGTGTACCGCTATCTATCTCAAGGCACGCACGCAAGAGTGCCCACCGGGTATACAAAGGAAAGGATAATGGCTGGGACATAAATGCACAGGAGGGTAAAAAAGGAGTTTATCTACCTCTTTTGGGCAACCCACGTCCGTATGCCGGCATGAGAACAAGGCTGGACATGCCTGCTTACGGCCGGTAAGTCGCCACGTGGGCCACGTTTGGCGAGCTACATGGAAGAGTCCCAATAGGCCGTATCTCCCCTTCTTCGGTGAATAGGAAATATCGGACTAGGTCAGAGACTCCGATCCGGTTGCAACGTCCCGGCTCCAGGCTGACTCCTGCCTGACAACGAGTCGAAAGTTTTATTCCACCCTGGCCCTCAAGGGTAGCGCTCAGCCCAAATTTCTCTCCACGGCTGTCCAGTATGAGTCGAGGTGGGTATCAACAGATCAACAAGGCACTCAACGCGTGTGCATTTGAAGACTATCTCTGCACGCAGCTGCAACGCCTGCCGCAGTTGGAGGATATCGAGCAGATCAGCCCGCGGGTCCTCCGAGTGCTTGGTCAGAACGCCGGGAAGGTAGTCCTCGACTATATGAAACGAAGAGTCCCATTGGCTGGCGCCGCTACTGACCATGTCTATCCTTAGTTTACCCTGCAGGGAACAAATACATACATCGTTGGCACAGGACCCTCACGGCTCATTATCGACACGGGGCAAGGCATCCCTGAATGGGCAGACCTGATCTCGTCGACACTCACCGGGGCATCAATCTCGCTCTCCCAGGTGCTCCTGACCCATTGGCACGGAGACCACACTGGCGGTGTCCCTGATCTGCTCCGCCTGTATCCATCGCTCTCCACCGCGATCTACAAGAACTCGCCTTCCAAGGATCAGCAGCCCATAGTGGACGGGCAAGTATTTTCCGTCGAGGGCGCAACTCTCCGCGCCGTCCACAGCCCCGGTCATTCTCATGATCATATGTGCTTTATTCTGGAGGAGGAAAACGCCATGTTTACTGGAGACAATATCCTAGGCCACGGCACCAGCGCTGTCGAAGAGCTTGGGGTTTATATCTCAACACTACAGGCGATGCAGTCACAGAATTGCACTACTGGATATCCTGCTCATGGCGCAGTCATCCCAAATCTCCCTGAGAAAATCGCTGCTGAGCTAGCGCAGAAGGCGAGACGGGAGCGACAGGTCTTGCAGATCCTGGCAAACCTTCAAAAAGAACAAGGCGCGAGAAAGAAAGGAAAATCTGCCAGCGTTACGGTGCAGCAGCTGGTAGGTTTGATGCATGGGAGTGGGCTGGATGAGGATGTGAGAACCCTCGCCCTGGAGCCGTTCATCGATGAAGTGCTACAAAAATTGGCCGAAGATGGCCGGGTTGGGTTCGAGATGAGGTCCGGGGAGAAGAGGTGGTTTGGTGTTGGAGATTTGGCATGACTTGTCTTTTTGCAATCGGTATCTAGTCTCTAGATGTTCGGGGTTTCAATACTACAGTTATCTTTCTTCGCTTGATTCTATTCTTCGTCGACCCTATCTATGTTCCTTCCTGATCTGGGCCCACAAAGGTAGGGCTCGTAATAGCACGTGCCCTGTACCATACGTAGTTCAGGCTTACGACAAAAGGGTTGCTCAACCACAGATCAGCGCATTCAGAAGCTACTGACTGTTCAGACCCCGGTAATTTTCTTGGATCGGACTCCGATATTACCATTAGGTCCTTGGGCCGACAGGAAGAGGATGGTCGGATTCCGATCCTCGGGTTTCAATTAGCGTCCTCCTTGGCGATGATCGATGTCTCAGCCACATAATGTCGTTCTTCGGTCTTACAGTATTTTAGAATGGTTAATGGATTATCAAAAGTGCAAGATCTATGGCTTCTGTTTCACATGATACGTCTTGAAACTGGAAGTAGGGACTAAACTGGGATACGTTAGGATATATCCTGATCCGGACTAATTACACAAGTAGATGCAAAATGAACCCAACAAGAGCTACAAAGACCCTAGATAGAAGGTCCTTAATTATGTAGAATAAGCCTCATCATTGCTGAAGTTTTAACGTTTCCGGCACGTTCTACCATGTGGAATATTCACTTGTAGTAGCCCCTCTTCTGAGCCAGGGTTGTCAAACCTTTCCTATCACCAGCACTTTCAAGCATGATCTACTCCATTCTGAGGCTGGTTAAAATGTTCCTTTGTATCCAAGAACACCTTATCGTAGTCATATTCAAACCACCGGGCATGTGGGCATAACCCGGCAAACTTCCACACCCCTTCCACCTTTTTATATCTCATTGTCCCAGCACCGTGTGAGTGACCCTTGACAGCCACCGTCGTGAACGTCCTATCGGTATACTTCTGGTGCGGCACGCGCACCTGATGTCGGCCGATGATCTCGTCGTCACCTACCTTTTCCCATCGTGAGGCTCCGATAAAGTGCTGTGTCCTGAGAAGTGGGTTGCCCAGGAACTTTGGATCCGAGGCCATGGCAATGAATTGTTCCGCGGGCATGGCTTCCCAGATCTTGTCCAAGAAGGACCGGTAGTCTACCTGTACCGTCACCATAGATGTCAGATGCAATTCCCACCACGAATCTATATATAGTATATATTTAATATATAGACCGAACAGAAGGGGTGTCTGACTCTGAGTGTTGGAGCAATGCATTGGCGTAAACGATCCCAGTCCTATTATCAGGTCAGATTCACTGGTCTGCATGCAAATACGTATACGGTTCATACTTTTGTATCGTAGCTCTCTGCCCACTCGAAAAGAGCTGCCTGACAGCCGGTAATCTCTGCAGGCCGGTAAGCAGCTAAAGTTGATCAAGTATCTAGATTTACTCGCCCTCAAACGTAGGAGTTGCAGCCATAGTTTCTAGCAGATATCAAGCGGATAGAAAAGATAGAGTCCTGAAATTGTGAAAGGCGACTATTCACCTGCGGGTCAAGGGATCAAGGACGGGATACCTTTATTTTTATTGTGTTGACAGGTCCCAGGGCACTAGAGCTCTGTAATCGTGAGTGACCTTGCTAGCGGTTATTGGGGGCGTGTCGGTTTCCGAACGTCAGACCTACAACACTGCCGAGATCTGTAAGTCGGCCCTAATCGGTTGCTACAAAGATCGGCATATTGAGGGTTCACAGTTCCGCAAGGTGACCCATTGTGTAGTTTGGTAGTTACTCACCGGCCATTTCTATGCCGCACAGTGGATATTATTTTCATAAATACCACTCGATAGATGAACTTTTACATCCCATAGACTATCATTCTACCTGGCACATCTTCAGATCCTGCAATCTTAAATATCCACTCCTTGTTTATAGCCTGTGTTCACTGAATAGGACAAAAATGGGCTCTATCCACGGTGAAACTCCCCCCTATCTACCATTCCGCTTGGATGGCAAGGTTGCCCTCGTCACCGGCTCTGGCCGGGGTATTGGGGCAGCCATGGCAGTTGAGCTTGGGCGTGCGGGTGCCAAAGTCATAGTCAACTATGCCAACTCCCGTGAGCCAGCAGAAAGCATCGTGCAGGAGATCAAATCCTTGGGATCAGACGCCATTGCACTGCAGGCGGATGTACGAGACGTCTCCCAGACAATTCGACTCTTCGATGAAGCTGTGGCGCACTACGGTGCCCTCGATATTGTGTGCTCAAATGCCGGAGTTGTCTCTTTTGGACATCTTGCAGAAGTGACAGAGGTAAGGAAGGAACCCCCCATGCTATAGGAGAGATGACGAGAGCATCCCAAACGACAGTGACTGAGAATGTTATTTCCATTGACAGGAAGAGTTTGACCGCGTGTTCGTGATCAATACCCGGGGTCAGTTCTTTGTCGCCCGTGAGGCCTACAAGCACCTCAATGAGGGCGGCCGCATCATTTTGATGAGCTCCAACACGAGCAAGGATTTCACCGTTCCCAACCACTCGGTGTATTCCGGTTCCAAGGGAGCCATTGAATCTTTTGTACGGGTGTTCGCCGTCGACTGTGGCAAGAAAAAGATCACCGTCAATGCTGTTGCGCCCGGGGGCACTGTCACTGACATGTTCTACTCGGTTGCTAAACACTACATCCCAAACAGCGAGGAAATGTCTGATGCCCAGTTAAAAGATGTAGGTTCTGGTCCCCATGGTTGGTGCTCGCCAGTTCAGCTGACATTTTTTGCTAGATGGCTGCCCATGCGTCACCCCTTGTCCGCAACGGGTACCCAGTTGACATTGCACGGGTCGTTGTCTTCCTGGCGAGTAAGGAGGGTGAGTGGGTGAATGGAAAGACGATCGGGATTGATGGTGGCTGTCCATAATATGGACATGCAGCTGGACTGGGAAATATGACGCTGTCGAATTGTTTCAATATGTCGAGTCCACAGAAGGGTGTTCATTCATGCCAGAGTTGTCAACTGGCCTTAATGCAATACAATCTCCCGCCTAGCTACCCTAGATAATGTATATCGCAGGTAGTACCAGTATTAAGTCATGGGGCTTCCGCTGTTAGATAATGAGGTCCAGAACGCTCTAAAAGCGATGTTCTTCTACGTATTTCTTGTCGACCTGTAATCTGTTGCTGTTATAAAGATATACACAAATCCCCCTTGACATTTCCTGCAACCGAGTGTTCATGGCTCTTGTAGGGTTGCCTATGACATGTAATACTTAAACCGAGACGAGTTGTTTCGGTGCTGATAGTACACAAACAGAGGCTCTTCCTCGTAGTCCACATATATATGAAGTCCCCTTGGAAACATATATTGGTTCTAGAATGCTCCATTGATACTACCAATTCTGGATGATCTCGTAGCAGATTTAGTACGCTAACATAGTATAACTTTAACCATTATCTATCTTTGGTCAGTGATATACTTCCACAGTTTGAGTACTAGCCTGGGTCCTACGCTTGAAATACACTGTAGTCAAGTGTCGCAGATAGATTTTTAATTGCAGGATATGAGTTCAGACACTCTACAGTGCCCAGTACTGCCTAGATAAGATATACCCGCGGGTTTCTGAATTTCCCATAGTACTATACAGACGGTTGAGATTCAGTCTTGTCCTTTGCACCCTTACTGATCGACGTCCACGGCATTCCAAGGCTCAACACTGTTGCACAGCCCGCCAAAACCAGAATGATCAGAAACGCGACCTTCAGTCCGTCCATATAGCTATGTAGTATGGCATCCAGGTCAGGGCCATGGAATGCTTGACGAAGCTTGGTTGCGCCTGCCGCAATCACCGCTTGTGGATCGACGCCGGGCGCACGTTCAGCCAACCGCTTAAGCAACGTGTTCGTGAACCCTGCCTGTGCACTGGACACCATGAATGCCCCGCCCATCGTCTGAAAGAAGAGCATCATGGCCGTTGTCGGTGACACGTCTTCAGGGTCCGCCAGCGCCTGTCCTGCCATGATGGGTGCCTGGAAGCAAAGGCCGATGCCGATCCCAGTGAGCACTTGGTAGCCGATCCAGCCCCCGGCTGGGGTTGTTTGCGACCAGGTGTAGATTAGACCAGTGCCGACAGTGGTGAGAACAGCACCAATGAGCACCAAGGGGGTGAAGTATCCCGTCGCAGTGATTGCACCGCCGGAGATGACGGTAAAGATAGCTGCCGGGACGACGGTGAGCACATTATGAGGACAGGGGCTCCCTGATGGGCTAATAAGACTCACTGACGGCAATGATGAATGCGAGATTGCGGACTCCGCTGTCCTGAGCTGTCGTGCCTAGGATGGACTGAAAATAGATGGGGATGTAGTAGATGAGGGTGAATTCTGCGCCTCCAAGACTGGTGATAATGACAGAAGATGAGAATGCTCCATCCGAATGGGGTTTTGTAGGGGCGGCATATCATCCGGAATCACACTTACAAGAAGCTTACGATACATCCCATGTACACGACTCGTTTTTTTAGGATATGAGGGACCAGTAGTGCACGGTCTCCCTGGAGATACTCGATGACCAGGAAGGCAAGAGTAATTAGGCCGAACCCAATCAATGTCCCAATGACAGGGGCTGATGACCAGTTTTTGGCGACGCCCCCCCATTGCAGGGCCAGCAGGAGGCAGACAACGCCCGCCATGATTGTGAAGGTTCCGACGAGATCCATCTGGCGGACCTTCTCCAGCCACGGCGCATTGGCGTCCTTCTCTGTGCGTGACATGCGCGGTGTCTTGAAGGTCAACAAGATAATGGCCGCCGACAACCCCCCAATGGGAAGATTAATGAAAAAACTGCAAGTTATGGGCATAGACAGGGCACACGGTTATTCTTAATTTTCCCGAGACGGCCGATCAGGAAGGGGACACCTACCACCATCTCCAGGAGACACGATCCGTCAAGGCCCCTCCGATCACAGGGCCGATGCTGGAGGCGACTCCATACGTGGCCGCTAACACCCCTGCGAATGCGGGTCGCTTCTCGGGTCGAACCGCAAAGGCCACGATCGTGTAGCAGCCAGCGAGCACACCTGCAGCGCCGTAGCCGGTCACAGCTCGACCGGCAATCAATGTAGCACTGTTCTTCGCGACGCCTGGAAGTAAACCAACCCAGTTAGAAATGGAGGATTAGTATCGTATCATCATCGGTGGGAGAAAGGGAACATACCGCAGATCAGACTGCCTAGTTCGAACACAAATATCGTAAGGAGGAATACGGTTTTGAGGTCAAAGTATTTGTATGCTTTCCCCCAAGTGGATTGTGACGACGCCACCGTCATGAAGAACGCCGATGCGTACCAGCCCACATCGTCTAGGCTATGGAACTCGTCCGTGATCGGGGGGATGGCGGTTGCTAGAATTGTCATATCCATGACAGCTAGAAGCATCGTCAAGACGAGGCCAAGGATGATAGTGAACAAGTGAACACCGTGGGGATATTCCTCCTCCTGTGGCCGAGGGATATCATCATCGGGATGGGCAATCGCTTTCTTCTCCGGCTCCCCCAATGCTGATGGGGCGGTTTGAGGACAGGAAGTCTCCTGGGATGCGTCATCACGAGGTGTGTCTGGGAGGGACATAGCGAGGCCAACAGATGCCGTCGTGGATGGATTGACAACATGAAGGACTGGGAATACATAGGCCCCCTCCCATTTTTAACAACCTTAAACGGTATTCCCATCCAATATCCCGATAGCCCCGCTTCAGAGTTAGGGTGTGGTCAAAGTCTGCTGAAGCCGTTCTCCTAGTGCTTATCTGACACTTCGGCACATGACAAGGTGTCTTTTTTTTTTTGTGGTCTTTTTTTTTTTTTTGGCCCCTGGTTTGTTTCACTCGGTGTCCGGTACGGGCAACAGGCTGACCACTATGAGTGCGGAACATTACATTCTAACGGGGAAAGAAAAAGAAAAGAAAAAAGAATACCCCGGATGCGTGACGCACATCTTATTGGGGGTGAAGAGAAACGATGTTACGGTGGCGTGGCAATAAGCTTAACACCACCTCCATGCTGCTTGTCTACTAGAGTTACATTGCTATTTTCAGACACCATAGGGAAAGTGATTGGTGAATCCGGGCCATTTATTCATTAGAATTATGCACAGAGCCATGTGCCAATTCAATCTCATCTGCCGATGGGAGGATCATCTATGCCGTAGTATATCCACGATTTCGGCGGATAAAGCCCGCAGTCGCTGGCGCAGGTCTACTGCGAACTGCTCTAATATTGTTGAAGGAAATTGAAATGTACCCTCTCTATCTAGAAGGAGATCCGACCTAGTTGTAGATGCGCTCGTAGGTGGACTACTACTCCCACCCCGCGTCCCCTTGGCTTTCAAGTGCTGCGACAAGGTATTAACGAGTTGCTGCACCCGATGCAGCTCGCTCAGGACCAGCTGAGCAGCCATGCGACCCTGGTCCTCATCATCAGCGGTATCGCTACCCCCCAGCCCGGGGGTGTGCTGAACCTCCTCAGAATGCTCTCGGTGCTGGTGACTACTGCCGTTGAGTATCGGGCTACGGTCATTCAAAAGGACGGGACGCCTGGAGGCTGCCGCATACCACGCCATGACTTTGAAGACGATCAAAGACATGAGAGAGAGCAGGTAGCCGTCCTGCGAGCATGAGCACTGGAGCATATTGCTGATGGTATCGATGGTTTTCCTATTGTTGCTAATGACAGACTGGTTGGTTGGGAGAGGATGCAGGCCGTGCTCCCTGACTGGTTTCTTGGGGGGTTGGCAGCATCCCACACCGGGAGGGAAGAGCTGCTTCAAGAGCCCCAGAGCCTGAGTCAAACAAGAACAGGGTGTATTCTGTGGTGGAAATTCCTCGACGGTTGGTGGCCGACTGTTCGGTGGGCTCTGAGGCTTGAAGGATGAGAAGTCACCGAGGGATTGTTCAAGTGTTGTCAAGGCATTGTCCGACAACCCATGCAGCGACATTCCGCCAGAGTTGAGGAAGTTATATCCATCCGTTGTATTAATCATGGTGGAGTCAGACAAACCGTTGACATCACTGGGGTCAAGCATCGAGAAGCACATGGGAGAGGCCAGAAAGTCGTCCAACTGGGCATTTAGTACAGCCGGGGTCGATACCGTCGTGTGATTTGCAGGGGAAAGCAGGTCAGGTGCAAAGTCCAAGTCATTGGCCAGTTGGGAATTTGGAGAGGCGGATGTAAGGCCCCCCGTTGAGGCCATCATCCTGGATGCGGCGATAGCAGGCCAGCTCGGTGTTGGTAATGTCTGGGTGGTAGTGGTAGTGGTAGGAGCAGGGGCATTGTTGGAGCGGCTCCCTTGCTTTCTGCCTGCCCTCTTCGTGGCGAAGTATTCGCAGACGACCCCTCGCTTTGCACAACGGGCACAGGTAGGTTTCTCTTTGCTGCACCGAAGCTTCGACGCTGCGCACCCGTGGCAACTGTCCCTCAGTTTGGGTCCAGCTTGGGACATGGCATTCTGGCGGCCCGAAGACTCGGAGGGCTGCGTGGTGACCATGGATGATCGGACAGGAAGTAATATATCAATCGATCTGCACGCAGATTTCAGAACCTGGAATTAAATGGGCACCAAAATAGTGCATACTTGCTGTGGGGGGAGGACGAACCCCTTCATATATATACTGAGTATGGTTTGTCTGTTCTAATTACATGTGCCAATGGAGATTGATCAGAACTAGTGCTCATGGCTTCCACGTTGATGGAGTTTTAGAGCCCTATAATGATTCCCATTCGTCTCCAATATTAAGTGTTTAGTGCTCACCTCCTGAGCGCGGAGAAGATCGGGGCTGCGTCCGTGTCATTGTTGTGTTGTGTTTCGCCCTCACAACAGCAGTAGTATCCAATCCGAAAATCTCACATCATCTCTTCCACCCCCTCTTCCACCTTCCTGCTACGCAATTATTGCTGTGTCGCGGTTTTCACTCGTCTATGGTAAAGAGAACAAGACACTGGATGCTATCGGTCTCCTTTTTGGGATATTATCACATTGGATGCCGAGGCAGACAGGCCAAGAAGCCCATTGGAAGCGAATCGACATGGAGCTGTTACATGCAAGATATAGGCCTCGTAAACGGTCGTATTAGAGCGGCAGGCCTAGGGCGGACTTTAATTTAGTGCCGTGCCCCGAGGACCTGTGGCTTGCTACTTCGTATCTACGGCGGACTGAATGGAGCAGTGTGGACAAATATATATAGATATATCACATGTGTGTAAGGAAATGTGGCTGTTTTAACTTTAAACACCGCCCGATTCAGTCCGCCGTACTACCATCACTTCTCTAATGCTGCGCCCGAATTCTGCATGGCGCACGGCGTGTCGATGTCGATCGTGGGACCGTGCCACAGTCCGACTATGGCCAGCAACGTGGCGTTTGTCAGTCATGAAATGGAACACGGTGCTCGTATTCGCATGAGCATTGAAGGGACGTCGTTATTAATTATCTGAATAACGAACTACCTGGTAATGTACCAAACCTCGCTTGCGATAAGTGTTACGGTAGCACTATAATCCGCCCGACCTGACGGTGCGGAGTACTAACGATCCAATGCTACACCTGAATCTTTTAGATAGTTGAACACAATGAGAATATAGGGAACCGCTTAGAAGGCTCAGTTATAGAATAGCTCCCTGGGCATCACTTCCCCTGAATTCCACAACAATAAGAATATAGTAAGTGCTACGCATGGAGTAATATGTTCCCTGATCAGCCTGCCGTAGTCCATAGAGTAGAGAACTCGGAGTCACAGCAATTCCCGTGTCAAGTTTCCTGCCACATCGCCACAATTATGGATGCTACCGGTATACGCCTGGTACACAACCTCCAATGCCACCGCCCCCGTACTGGACGACTGGACTTTGTTCGCCAATACTAATCGGCCCGTGCTGTCACTGATGTTGTTCAGGATACTCATAAACCCCGACATCTCCATCTCTCCATCGTTAGTTAGTTGTAGCCACGCAAGATCTCGCGTCCGCGCCAGGGCCTCTACTTCAGGGCCGACAGTTCGGCTTTCTGGCAGCAGACGCGGCGTGAGCACGAGCGTGGCAGAGCGATTTATTCTCAAGACATCCATATGGGCCCGGAGCTCAGCACTGATTTGGGCAGCCAGGCAGTCTGATGACAGACGGGGTGAGGGTGATGGCAGGTGGACAAGATAAATGGCCGCATCACGGACAGGTTGGACTGTCCCCGGGGTACGCGTTTGCAACACGACGCGGGGGTGCTGTTCGCCTTTATATCGCTTGTCTCCCAGTTGGGAACTTATCATGGCAGACTGGTCTATCTGCGCCGTAAACTGTAGTGTGGGATACTGGTTTGCCAGCGCGATACATCGGGCGGTGGATTTCACTCCTACCTATGAATGAATCATCAACATGTTAGCTCCCGTTGGCGAATGCTGGATACATCTCGACTTGCAAAGCAGCATATTAAGTTTCAATATTTTTCTTCTTTTTTTGCTTCATACCTCAACTACATGTGCGTTGCTCCCACGGAGCCGCTCAAGACAGGTCAGAATGTCTGTTCCTGTGGCGCTTGCGTCTCCCGTTGCGTACCGCAAATAGGCCATGCACTGGCGCTGCAGCCGGGGTTGTTGCTCGTAGTGGCTCGCAAAGGAACTAGTTTTGGGGTGTTCAGACCATTCGAGGTGTTTTGTTGTGTCTGCCATCTGCAAGGCTGCTGGGGAAAGGGTGCCGGCGAGAAACATGGCTGCGTCGAGATGGGATGGCTTGGTGAAGAAAAGTGCTGACAGCGCTGTATGGGCAACGGAGCCTGGTTCAGGCTCCTGAAGGAATCCTGCAGTCGCCGTCATGCGCACCACGCGCCAGAGCCGGGCTTCAGGAACATCTGCGAGGTCGGAAACATCCTTCATCGGAACACTGCCATGGAGAGGGATGCAGGCAAGGACCTGGAATTCCCCGAGCCATTGTACGCACGCGAGCAGTTGATTCTATGGCAACCATCCACCCAATTCATCAGCAGAGAGAAAGGCCACCTACAAACCTCAGTCCCCTCCTTGTAGCTTACCTGGATGGCGAGGCGCTGAAGGAAGTCAGTAGGCTCCCCAAGTAGAACCTCTAACTGATGAATCGCCGCCAGGGTTGACTTGCGAGCACGATGGGCTTCAGGCGGTGCCTCCGGGGGTATCAAGATTCCTGGGGTAATGTCATGCCTAGAGCCTGCCACGGAATCCCCATTGTGAGGAATGTGATGTGTGAGCTCTTTAACGGCGCCTGTCAAGTCGCGGAGACACGCCTTCAGCCGGGTAAAGTCAGTCATGATCTGCGACCCACAGGATCCTTGAGGGGAGCGGGGGTATTTTATGTCCGGTTTTTGAGTCCTCGACGAATATGGCAAGGGTAGTGGGGAAATTCAATAATGGGGCACTATAAAAGCGATCGACATGTACAGGCATCGGTTTGTCTATATATATAGATAAAATAAAACATGTCAGGGATTGATGTGATGTCGGGCTAAATCCGCCATCCCTGATGACAGTTATGTCTGTTAGTTTCGGGAGCTTGTTTCGGCACAGAAAGGAGGTCCATGGCAAATGACTATCCGTGGCTGTTTGCTGCGGTTGTTGTTGGGAAATGCTACGCTGGACACATGAGAAGAGGGGGCTTATTCGCTCGTCGGACCTCGACCCTGGACCCAAAACCCGCCAAGAAAAATATATGATGGTAATATATGCTCTATTCCACTACTGTTCATAGTCATTTTATGGTATTTCATATGTCATTCCGTAATATATGTGCCTTTCGGCTCTTGGCAGGTCGTTGGGTTACTGTCAGATATACCAGTACTACGTATATATTGAAACAGCGCTTCTTTTTGTGGTGTAGTGGTATATTTGACAGTTACCCATGGGTACCCAAAAAACCAATACGGCAAGGTCGCCGCCCGAAAGGTGGTCATCAGAATAGACCTATGCACCTCATGGATGTACTTTCTTCGTGTCTGAACTTATCTCTCAGCCGGCGTCCGAAGCCACTACACAGTAGACACGAGACAGCATGTTGTAATAATGGAATCCCCCGGTTGCCAAGAGAAAGACTACTTGGCTTCTGTTCCGATAACAACGAAGGCTGGGAAGTTTCATCTCGCGGAGCGTGAAAGATACAAGGCTGAGGACACTAGTCCGGGGAGTCTGTCGGGCCAGAGCAGCAGCAACTGCCTAATAAAATATGTAGACTCGGTATCTTGCTATTTACTGCAACGTCTCCACCAACTATGCACGGGCAACTAATTAACTACACAGCAGGCTGACGGAACCGGGCTACTCCCAGCATCTACCGACTCATGTGTCAATACCTGAGATACGAACCCGGCTAACCAATATAGTCTAGGTAACATAATAAATAAAAATCTTCCAGATACATGGCCAAGAGCAAGGACACCACCGTTTGTTGCTAAGCGGATGGGGCGGTACTCCAAGGAAGCCATAAAATCCTTTCACCGTGTAAGCAAATGCGCTGACTTTCTTGTATGGATACCTCAACATTGGGTTCTGCAGACCCACAAAGTATCTGATATTTGACTAGTCCCAAAGAGGAAATAGAGTGCGATTTGTGAAAAATTCTTATTTGAATGAATTGAGCTGGTTCGGGCTCTCCTTGATTATATTCTTCTTGATTTTTTTGTTGTGTGCTCCGCGGGGCCCGATCTTGTCACCTGATTCTGGTCCACCAACGGCCATATTATTTGACAGAATGGCCCTCCAGAGTGCGTTGCAGCTGGCTTGTGGTGGGATCCCGTAGCTTGATGGTCTCGCATCAGAGTTGGCCCAGTGTTCGCCAATCAGGTGAGAAGGTATCTGACCGAACCGAATCAGAATTTCCCTTTAGAGTGTGCTGCAGCTAGTGGGATCCCATAGCTTGATGGTATTGTCATCAGAGCCGAATGCCGGTGTTCCCATCGGGCGAGGAGGCAACAACTAAACAAAATCAGAATGGCCTCCAGGTCTATATATCGGCACTCCAAGTCTCGTCGACTTTTGGCAATTGACCTAACTAGTTAAGCACATGTTTTGTCAAAATTCTTCTAATTATCGAGGTTTCTGAAGTAAATATAAGTCCTCAAAAGCTGAAGGAGTGCTGTGTCAGCTATATGTTGATCTTTAAGTATAAACTGCCTAGTATCATGCAGAAATTCTGATATTTCAGAATGTTTGTATTTCTATGGTCTATTTTTTAGTATGTGTACCCCCAGTGAGATTCCTTATAGTAACTTGCATGACTGGGTGTAATATCCTTATTGCTCGCACAACTTTACATACAATTCCCAAAACACCCATTGCTTCCACCTAGTGAAGAAAGTGCACTTTGAGGAACGATAAAGCCTTGTAACTAGGTCATGATACTGTACCAGGTGATTCACCTTCGGAAGTTTTGTTCGCAGGGGACTCTGCTGGTGTGAATTTGTGCTTAGCAATTTTGTCGCACCTATCGTATCATTCTAAGATGTGCATAACCTTGTCGTCCGCGAATCTATCAAGGGTGCCATACTTTTGCCGCCGTGGGCATCCTTTGACTATAAATGGCCGAGTGTAGAAAGCAACGAACCGAAAGACATCGAAGCCCGAGATGTCACGACTAGGTTTGTGCAGGCGTACCTGAAAGGGCGTCCTTCGAACAACTATATTGAAGCTGTGGAAGCACCGGAGTGGTGGTATAACGCACCAGTGCGGCAGACACTTTTACTTGCTGGGGCTGATGAGCATTTATTGGACCGATTCAAGCTTGGGTTGGGAAGTTCAGAGTCTGCCAGCAAAGGACAGAATGGGCTCAGAGATTAGCTAACTCTATACAGAAATCAAATCCTAGCACGACCATCGTAACCGGAGAAAATGAGTGTCATGTTGCAACTCTTATCGGGCACATGTTCGGCAACTTTCATGAAACCCAACAAGAACGGGCATTGAGGTATTGGTTAACTGCGTGAGTGCATTAATAAGAAGGCAGGGGTAAAATTATGTTGTCAAAAAAACCTCGAATTGATCAGATTTCCCTCTCGCTAAAACAGTTTTCTCCTTACCAAAGCAACCTTTGTGGCAAGAGCAATGATAGTTTACGTTGCCAATATAGGTCTTTAAACTAAGAGACTACTAGACAATGAAGAACATAAATTTGTATCCCGGATATCAAGGTTAAATGCACCAACTTCGTATACGTGAAGTCCTAATCTGGTTAAGATCACCTATAATCCTATCCTACCATTCCTTTCAACACAGGGAGTATTCGCTCCACCCACCACTATCCCACAATCAGAGCCCCATTTTGGCGAGTCGCCCCTGGCCCTCATCCGTGAACAAGAGAAGTCCATTAGAGTAACCGACGGCCCAAATCATTGGATAGCGCCAGTGAAACCACATCGGATGCTCAGCTGCTCCAAACCATCCGAAATGTCGATCGAGGCTGTAACAGAGATAATTGTAGGTGCTGAGAATAAGCAGCAATAGGACTCCTGTGAAATGAGCTGCCTTGTTTCCGTAGTAATGATCGACGATGAAGCAGTTGATAAGACCTCCCATTGTTCCACCCATACCCAGAGGACAGAAAACCAAAGTCCACATTATTTTATAGAAGAGGTCCCGTGTACTAGTCATGATAAAAACGCCAACGGCCAGGACAAAGAGTGAATTGAGCCAAAATAGTAGGAATGGTCGGAGACAAACCTTGCGTCGTCTCTGGGCAACCTTTCGCGTCTTTCTCTCCGGTGATTAATACTTGGTAGGGCCTTGAATCCATGATGATGGTGTAGGTGTAGAGTACAGAGATCTGTGAGTGTAAACGTACAAGCACCAGGTCTTCATTACAGTAAAATTTTATATTGAACATGCTACGGAAATATTGATCATGTTTGCCTCCGCGTGCGAGTTCCTTGTTTACTAATCGGGCGTGCATGTATTAACTAAGTCCAGCCGAGGGATGGTACTGTGGCCAAGTCTCAACCGACAACATAGTTTAAAAGTTGATAACGTCATCCTAGTGCTCTCATACCGAAACTAAGACAAATATTACTGTAATTATCGCATGGAAAATTATAGGATGATCCTGGTTCGACGCGCAGGTCAAATATTTAAGCAATTCAACCACAAACCATACCACCAAAAGCGCTTAAAAGTTCAAAAAAAAAAATAATAATAATAATAATAATAATAATAAAGCAGGATAGCAGGATCTTATTAGCTATTTCTACTTAAAGCGTCAAGAAAGTTACAATAATCGTGAAGCTGCACGCGTATAAATTGTACACTGTATATCACTTCAACGGCGAATAAATGGACATGTTTTTCGAGCTAAATCACTTGTGAACGGTCATAGATAGACTCAAAACAAAGACTGCATCTTATCTTTAGATCCTCGTGGAGGACTGCCTCCGCCTGAATATGTGCGATAAATGGCCAATATTCTACTTTCAAGCGCGGTTCTACTACTCCTACTTCTGTTGGCTTGCCAAATGTCTAGTTCCCAACTATGTATCCTAGTATGTTTGCTCTACTTTTCTACGTCGTTTGGCATATACGATTTCAAGAATCGCCAATTGAATGTGCTACATACAATGGTGAGATAGACTAAGATGTGAAATTCTTAATGCTGCTTGTCTCGATGCTTCAAACCTGCCGTACATTGGGTAGCTTTGGGGGCTCATGGCTTTGAAAACCCCTCCTTTGCAGATATTTCACAAATCTTGTAAAACATATCTGCCGGCTTCTTTACTTCGAACCCGTCCTCAAGATCTTCAATCATTCAGGAAGTACACGGTTTAGATCCGACGTGAAAGTGGCATTGGCTAGTCTCTGCGTAAACCGCGTTTTTTTTAAAGCTAGAATCTTCCGTAAGTGCTCTGTAGCTAACTGGAGGAAACATGAATGATGAGAACACAAGCATTAAGAATGAATTACCTCCATCCAAATCTGGCTTCTGCAAAGCATCATTGGATGGAGTCTGCCAGGGAAATAGATCATCACCGTGGGTTGAAATCTGGCTCAAAGAGAATTAAGTCTATGTTATTGGCTTTCTTTGAATTATATATTCTTACCGGTAAACAAAAGTCGACAGTAGACTCCATGGTAAGAAATTAAGATTTCTGAGGAAAGTAAAACAATGTGTACAAAAGACTCTTTAACGTTAGCGGACTGACTTTAATAGCTTTGATTTGATCTCAATTGCGAAGTATGGAAAAACTAGGTCTGGAGATTGCAGTTCAACATGGGACAAGTGGTATTTAAGCTCAGGGTACCTAAAATGGTTTTCGTACTAAGGTAAATAATATTCTCCGGTTTCGCTAGATGGCGATCAAGTTTGCGATGTAGCGACCACAGAACAGTGTGCCGGATCTCAGAATCTGATTCAGACCAAGAAATAATTATACTAAGCACAAACAAAACACGCGCGCATAAGGACTGAGAAGCTAAGCAATAGATCCCAGCGCGATACAGGGTAGCGCAAGTCCCACTCCGGAGTTCTATTTTGTTAATCTGTTATTATGTGCTACTTATAGTGGTACAGCATTTTACTTACTTCAGCTGAACTCCCTGTCGTCTGGCAACACACGACATTCTGCTTACACTGCTGTTTGAGCAAATCCTGTAAGCTAATGGCGATGATATTGACTTTTCGTGCACATTAGTAAACCTGTAACACCAATATATCATATCATGGCTTAGAACTTACTGTTAATAGGTAGTTTAGAACACTGCGAAAACAGACTTGCGCCCTCGCTGCCTGACCCTGCTCCTAACAAATCGCTGAGAACACCACCACTGTGGCTCGTATCGCCAGCTACAGTGGCCTTATTACAGCAAGAGAGCTGAGCCTGAGTGCCACATTTGTCCACACCCTCTTTGATTGTCATGCCTTCTGGGGCAGGGAATTTCACACTTGGATCCTGATGGTGGAATTCCGTAGTGGGAATTGCAACTGCTGCTGCTGCGAAGAAAAGGGCGAGGCCAATATTGAACTTCATTTTGTTTTATGTAAGCTCTGTTGAGAAATAAAACAAAGTGTCCGAGAGGAAGAGGAGGGAAGAGAATAATGTTATAAAAAGGGAAGCTGTTGTGTGGAATGTTATTTGTGGAATGTTAAACTGCATTCCAGTTCCAGATATGGCATTTTTCTCTGCAGTGCATGCCCTTAGAGAAGTTATATTCCATTCTACCGAAGTTGTCGCGCAGGGATGAGCTGACATATTTATCAGGAGCTAGGGGCAGTTGTGCAAGTGGTATTCTTGTCTGGTACCACTTAAAGAAACCAGGTAGGTTAGTGTAAAATATAGTCTCTCTGTATTAAAACCGAAATATAGAATACCCGGCGAGGAAATTTCCACGAAAGCCGTAACGATGATCTACTCAAGACGTCAATCAAAAATGCACGACACAACTTTAAGCACCGGCAACGCACGATGATTGTTCACGCCTTAAAAGACATATTTTTGACCTTTATCTTTACTTACCTGTACAAATGCCTATTAAATACCAATTCTGATTTCGCTCTGGCTTTCTCTACTTTAGTGACTAGGGATAAGCCGGGCAACGCAACATCCTAGGTACTGTTGAAGAATTTGCACGCTGAGGATCTAAAACAATGAGAATCAAAGTAATGGGAGACATCTAGATTTGGACTAAATGTTTATTGAGAGATATGCCCGAACCAGGGGGTTGACCCAGTCGAACAGGATGCGAAGATAGGAACCATGTCGACCAAAAGGATAAGCTTGGCAATCTGCAGGAACTACCTAATATCTTAATGAAAATTCTCCAGCCAATTGGCATTAGCGTGGTTATGGTAGGAATTTTAAATTTGACATGTGCATTTAGGGATTGGAAACCAGGCAAGGATATGTGTCTCCACTGAATGGCTCTTTGACACCCGGACCATCGGAATACTTAATCAACTTCTTGTAAGTTGTGATTTCGCGGCACAGGTGAACTGCTCCTGGAAGCTATGAGAAGGGGATAATTTTCAAGAATTTGTTTTATAGGGCCTGTTGATCGTGTCTGTCTTTGATGCGGGGCAATGCGTTCTTCATCTTCATCTTCATCAGGAGGTTTAGTAATTACCACAGTTAGCGAGCATTCTGCCGAGGTTCCTTGATAAGGTTGATCATATTCTGCTTGAGCAGGGTCTTGGTGTCTAATGGCCAACAAATTAAGTCTTTCTTTCCACTTCTTGAGTGAACGAGAGGAGGATGTGGCATCTAGGTGGGCAGGCCCTAATACTTTGTTTCGGAGCTCCATGCATTTTGCCATTAAAACCAAGGCACCTTAATCTTTTCTTGGGATTCCCAAGTATAGGCCAGGTTGGCCATGCTGGTCAGAGTGTCGGGATGCTCTGGCTCCGGCGCCTGTTTCCGGGTCTCCAACACCTAAACACATAGTTCTTCTGCTTCTTTCCATCGTCCCTGCACATTGTATGTCCATTCTAAGTCTCCCATGCTGCTTAGTGTTGAGGAATCAGGATCACTTTTTCCCCTCTGTTGCACGCTCACAATGTTTTCAATATCGCAGATGAGATATATATTTATTGAGTTAATTGGAATATGACTACTTTGTCCTAACGAAACTTGGGTCAAACTAGCCTGTAAATTTTATTATACAACAGCCTTAATACAGTCAGCCGAACAAGAAAGAAGGAAACAAGTAAATTTGTTTTCTTCCTTCCCTCTACTTTTCTACACTGCTGACTCTATCCTTTCGTTTGGACTTCCCGCCTCCGCTCGTGTCACTTACCAAGAAACAAAGAATTTATTATGACAGGGAAAAAAAAAAAAAAAAATCCTTGTCCTGCGGAAACAAAACTTAGCAGGATGTTTCTAAAGCGAGCAGATTTAACTACTGGGATATGTCTAGGAGAAGTTGCCAATGCAGCAATGGCCAGTATACATACACTTTAGGGCAGGGGAGGGGTCTTCTACCCAATCAGGATAACTGGGTATATACCTTTATTAAACGCTACGAGGGGCTTAAAACAATATATTCTTGCCGATACAATCACCAACGGATTAAATGTTAAGATCCTAAGCTTCTACGCGAAACCACGTTGATAAGCTTGATTTTCTAGAGGCTTTTCAGCAAGCACGCACCAAAACTTTTACTAGTAGCAAAATTAGTAGTGGCTTTGCAGCAACTGACTTGCTCCTTTCAATCCTGAGCGTGTGCTTTCGTAGCTCAGTATAGTGCTTAAAATACCTACAGGCAACAGACCGGGCAGTAGATCTACAGCTACTTCAGCACCAAAAACACCTTATAATACCAGACAATTAACAACCAAGAAACAGCAATTGAGAAACTACTACGAGCTTGTACACAGAGCCCTGAATCGCCTGTTGACGTCAGACTAAATCAGCTTGTAATAGGGTCTGAGTACAGGGTAAAAGGCCAAATACAGTCAGAATCATTTGCCTCAAAAAAAAAAAAAAAAAAAAAGAAAGAAAGAAAGAAAGAAATCCGCTTCATTCGATTGAATTTCTCCAAAAACGCCTTGGTCTCATGGATAGCATCTGGGCTAAACGACCAGTTTGGGTTACTGTGCACCTAACGACCAAAGGGACTCGAGCCTATCCAATGCTGCAATCCATGCCAGCCGTGACTTTTTCGTGACTCACCCAGATATTGGTGCGTGTTATTGTAGATGGAGTCCCCCGTAATGGTGAGATCGATGGCACCCAGATACAGTTGTCCTATTGGAATCAGTGTGGCCAGCTCTCACCACAATTAACTTTTCTCATTCCAGTTCAACTTCGCCACCAGCCAGTGGCTCAACGGTTGCGAAGTTCTTCGGGATTTGTCCGGGAAAGAGCTTTCCCAGAGACTCTGCACCCTCGCTGGAGAAGATCTTTTACCTACCATTTTAGATACAACTTCAGGGGTCCACAACACTTTAGCGTGCGGGAAACGTTCCAGAATGATCGTACATCCAAAAATTTGGTCGCTCATGGGTATGGTGGCCTATATAGAGGTCAGGTTCTTTTCACTTGCAGGGACCCAGTCAGTGAGTTCCCTTGCAGCTTGGATAGTCCACTGGGAATCGACAAGAATGGCATCCCTCATGCCGTAGATCAAGGTGGACCTCGTGAGAATTCATTTGAAGTGGTCGTGGCCAGCGGGGGCAGAACGAGTCACACCAGAGCCTTTAGTGAAGAAGACCCTGTATCCAAGCCCATCGTTCCGAGCCGGCATATAGATAGAGATCAGTGCATAATATAATGGCTAAGATTCTCTCCCGTTTATTGAATCTCTAGAGTCACTAAGAGAAAGTTATAATCCGCCGCACAAACAGGCTCTTCCTTGTGAAAAACGTTACATCACGTCCTCTCTACATGTGATGATTGACTTCTAAGCACTTGGAGTCTGTCCCCAGTACCAAAGAGAGAGCACTGTCTGAGTGATCGGCTTATAAGGAAGGTCACACGAGTCAGTCACAATTTCCCTAGCTCTAAAAAGAGATCGCTGCTTAGCTGCGATTACTTTGGGAACGTCGAGGAAGGCGGAGTAAAAGTGACTATTCTTACTTGATAATTAGCATTACCCAGCATATTTATAAACGCTACGCTACGCTCTGCCATCAGCATAGCTAACTACACCATCCATTCATCATCCAATCTACATACCAAGCACATTCCATTCACATACCAACACATACCAACCATCGCCTAAATGCCGCAAGTTATAAATACTACGATCCCCTCAACTTTCCGAGATTCCGTCTTAACCACACAAATATAACATAATACTATGAAATGAAATTCTCCCTCCTCGCCCTAGTGATATTTTCATTCTCCACCACGCTGGCTGAAAAAACATGCACTCCGAGTTTCGATTATTGCGCTGACGAGCTCCTCCAATCAAGGGGTATGTTCTATGCATTTCCATTGAATAAACACAGCTAATACAGCACAGGCTTCACGGAAGTTGATCTCAAAGATGCGTTGAAAGATAGTGAGTTTGAAAACGAGGATTTCAGGAACATTCTCTTCCATTGCAAGAACCCCGGAATCGTGGGCCATCCCAAGGTGTGTGCCAGTGGGTGTACGCCGTTACAGGGAGGCGGGAGTCATAATTGTTAGTTAGCACATTGTCATATTAAATGCAATATGCCATATTCTTTATAAATAAATCCTTTCTTACTATGCCATATCTTCTACAGAACAGCTAACCAGTACAATTACCTCTTACTAAGAACATTCCAATTATTCAACACCCTATATTCAACTAAATCGTAAACTAGTCCTATGGAACAAGCCGCGGCATGTTGACCTATTCCAGCATGGTTCTAGCTTCGCTGACGGCAACTTTGTGGCTAGCGAGCTCATTGGCGCGTAGAACAAGGCCCAGATAGGAGTGAAGATCATCCATTACGAAGGGGAGAGAGGAAAGGAGGTGGGTTAAGGAGTGGTATTTATTGTTTTTTTCTTTGGTTCTGTTTATGTTAGATAGAATAAATGGATAGAATATATGATATAGATAATATGGATGATATGGATGAACCATTGACAAATACCCCACGAGTGAACCGCCAGCTATGGGCAGCGCGACGGATAGAATGGACGAGACGAAAATGGTCTGCGGGAGTGTGATCGACTAAGCCATGATGGTAGAATTCTTTTGTAGATAAGATTGGTGTCGACCATAACAAATACACGTATTCGCAAGTGTCGTTCCTCCATAGAGTTAGGGCTCTGATTCAACTAAACTACCAAAATATCTCGCTTTATAAAGGTGAGGTAAACAAACGAAGAATGCAAACTAACTAATATAGGAAATTTAACTCCGTAAACAAGACCAGTTTATGGCTTTAATCTTCGTTGTGTTGCTATCGGATCGTCTGCAGGACCCTTTATAAGGGGAGCGTTAACCCAACATGTTACCCCAGCGATGGCATTCTACATCAGTCTCCTGATTACAGGGCTGCATTGCTTCTAAAGCTGTTTCTTCTACAAGTTAAGTATCAAAAGAAGACTACTTAAGCTCAGAAGTTAAACGGATTAACTAACTGGTAACCCGTTTCTAGTCGCATCAGTCGTAGCAATACTCATCGCGTTCAGCTTTAAAGGTATAATATACCCGTCATCCCGGCATGTTAACACACTTGTTCTTAGGCTTTTGGGACTTGTCGCTTTCACGTTCTACAAACTACATGCCTCTGTCCCAAACCAACCATACCCCCAAAACTCTTCATGAACCCTGCCTCAGTCGCTGCATGCTTCTGCATGTATTCTCAGCTTTCTGAACAATATGCTACTAAACTAGATGCTGTACTTCTTGCTGTTTTCCTTTCAAGTATTCAAATTAAGCACACCAACTCGCTCGCAAATCCTTCCTACGGTCATTGTTACTGTACCTACGATTATCCTAGCCGGTGCAGTTATCAAAACGAGTCGGTATATGTGGGTATAAGTTGCCGGGTTTGCTTTATAGGCTCTGACTGGGACTGTTTACTTTGCTCGACAAAGACTCCAGGACCAGTACATGGGCCCAGTTCCAAGTTCTGGCAGCCATCGGATCATGGTTTATCGTTACGTTCACATTACCGGCTGCCCAAGTCAAGCTTGCAGAAACCGACGTGGCAGTATCGACAGCAGCCTGGGCGTTTCTTCGATCCTTTGTAAAATAGATATTAAATGTAAGCAATAGGCCAGGAGCGCAAGAAACCGTTGTGGTGGGGATATAATCGCCATAGAATTTATGTACAGACATTAGAGAGCTATGCAACCTCAATATCGTACCGCTGCGCCAACAGTTCTAACACTTTTTGATGCCCACGCGCAGCTGCTAATGATAACGCCGTGTAACCTTGGGGATTTTTAAAGTCAGCATTAACACTGTCCTGTTGCGCTAGCAGCTCCACCACTGCCAAATGTCCGCGCTCGGCTGCTAATAACAACGGCGTGTTTCCTCCACCACATAATGCGTTAACATCAACATCATCTCGTTATATTAGCAACTCTGTCACAGCTAAATTTCCGTGTTCAGCTGCGACTGACAGCGATGTCTTGCCGCAAGAATCTCGTGAATTAGCGTAAACAACATCCCACTGTGTTAACAGCTCCACCACCGCAAGATGTCCGTTCTTTGCTGCCCACCACATTGGTGTGCGATGGCTATCATCTTGTAAATCAGACTCAACGTCGTCCCGTTTTAGTAACAACTCCACTACTGCAAGATGTCCGTGCTCAGCAGCAAATGACAGTGGTGTACGGCCTCCCTCTTCGGGCGGATAATATCTACCCCCTGCGTAAATGTCATAATCACATACATCAGCCTCAACATCGTCTCGCTGTAGTAATAACTCCACCACTGCAAGATAACCATACTCAACTGCAAATGACAATGGTGTACGATCTCCGTAATTATGTGAATTGGCCTCAACATCGTCTCGCTGTAGTAATAGCTCCACCACTGCAAGATGTCCATGTCCAGCTGCAAATGAAAGTGGTGTACGATCTTTGTGATCACTTAAGTCAGCTTTAACATCGTCTCGCTGTAGCAACAACTCCACGCTGCAAGATGTCCGTGCTCTGCTGCGAATGACAGTGGTGTACGTCCTTTATAATCTTGTAAATCAGACTTAATATCATCTCGGTCCAGTAGTAATTTCACCGGAATCATGCCCTTGCTTAGCAGCCCAATGCAAAGGGGTTTGCTTATAGCAATCAGATTCATTAATGTTGACTCCATTGTATATAGGGAGCGTGGCTGCTGATTTCTCTTTGTATATAACCAATTGGGACGGTGGTACTGTATTGTCATGACTAGCTGCAAGCAACTCCATTTCTTTTATAAGAAGCATTCTTATCCACCTATCGTCTCCATCACCTGCAACAACATGCAGTATTGTTTCGCCCTTTTTGCCTTTAATTTTTCTGGCTTATTGAGTTGTAAGTAGCTGATCCAGATCTTTCACTGCTCGTGTAAGTTGTATGAGGTCATTAGGTTCCAATGCTTGGCAATACAAATAATCAATTCAATAGGAATAGAAACCGAGTCTCTAGATAATACAGGCATATTTGATCGGCGAAGCTGCATGGAACTGCCCAGTTCAATAAAGAAAAGAGATATTGTATGGAATAACAAAAGGAAAACTTATTTTAACTACAATTTTAATAGAACTTTGTGAGTCATCACAGCAACCGAATAACTAGGTGAATCTACTGGCAGTTTGACTGGTTCGCATCATACATGAAACATTGAAAAGATATGAGGAACGTAATATTATTTGTCCTTAAAATTGCCCTGACTAAATCGTCACGCAACACATCACAATGAGAGAATTGCTCCTAAAGAGTAATGACAAATTAAGATATCTAGCTGTAGTGCAAATGAATTTTTATTCGGGCAGAGAAAATAGACGGTGCGAGTGACTTATATTTATGTACATAGTCAGGATTCACAAATTTATGCATTTGTTTACCGTGTTTGCCTTGGCTTCTACATTTGCAAATCCGTTAGCCAGCTCGAAATAACTAGTAAATAGTTGGGCCTAGGTAAGCCCGCAGTAAACAAACTGCGAAAAGTTATTATCAGTGTTGTTAGAGGGCCCTAACTTCGGGCCTTCGGCGATAGACTGCGAAGCTTGAGTTTTAATTAAAGGAAACTTATATTCCCTTATTACTGGCCAGCTCTTGCGAGGACGTGATATTCCCTTAAAGTGTTTACTAGCCAGAAAAGCCCATCGCAGTACACAATTATGCTATTAGGATAATAAAGAAATATTCGCACCTAGACACTCCGCATTGTCTGGTTACTAATAAAAATTACAAAGTTAGACGTACGCAGTGTTTTAATAGAAAAAATAAAGTACACAAAGAATATCCTAGTAGTCCTACAAGAAAAACTACACTATACTTATCTTGTTATTATTTTACTTTATTAATTCTAATATTTAATATATATATCTTCACCAAACTATAAAAAATTGCATTGTTAATTATAGAATTAGACTTACCTAACTCGCCTGCCGGAAACTGTGGTCTATAACCCCTTATTATACCAGTTCTAGAAACAACAACACCTGTATTAAACGCGACCTCGCAGGTTCGATCCAACTATAATAAGAATAATATTAAAAGGCCTTTTATAATTAATACTTTACCTCTTCGAACAATATTTGATAGCGTGAACCTAAATAATATTGAAGTGGAGGAATTCGGGGGATTGGCACGTGACATTTGTATGGATAGCTATTATCTTAAGTCCTCGTTCGAAGAGGTAATAGACAATCAACAACCTTCTCACAGACCACGGAACGCAGTTGCGTAGAAGGAATGTTGTCTTCTCTTTGGTTGCCAGGAACTTGTGGGCTCGGGGCCCACAACTTCTGAACTGTCTAAAAGTGTCTCCTTGACCTACTCTTTCGGAGTTCTACCATTTCCCTCTCATTCAGTAGAAAGCTATTAAAAAATTTTCCACGATAATATCTAATTTACATGCTTGTAGGGCTTCATTTCTATGGCGGTTATTAAATAGAAAATAGAGCGTCAGGTGGGACTGAGCTCAGGTGATCAGCCACGGTAGTGCGTCAACGCGAAGAATGACAGAAATACATGGAGATTAAAATAGACCGACAAGGATGTTCGGAAGGTAGAAAAACCCGGACCGGCCTGCGGGAATTAAAAGCCTCGGATGTGCGATCCCCGCTGTCCGATGTCTAACAGAATGACTTTATTTTGAAGGCTCAGGAATTCCGCATACTCCCACTCTGCCCTTGGATATGTCCGGGAGCCGCCGGAAGTAATGTCAGCACAGAAAACTCCAGCTAAAATCCCGCCAGGAGCTCCCTCCGCGCGGCCCTCAACAAGATACGCACGGGCCATGGCATGTATCCTGTGTCAGCAGCGCAAGGTCAGGTGTGACCGTGAATTCCCCTGCGTCAACTGCATGAGGGCCGGCGTTCAGTGCGTGCCCGCTGTAGCACGACCACGGCGTCGCCGATTTCCCGAGCGGGAGCTACTTGAGCGTGTTCGGCGGTACGAAAGCCTGCTTCGGGAGCATCATATCCTGTTCGAACCACTTCATCCATCAGGCGTGGAGACGCCATCCCAAAGCGATAATGGCAAAGACTCAGATACTATAACCGAGACAACTCCAGGCTTGTCTGCTATGGGGCCACATTCATCTCCCAGCGAGATATCCAGCGTCAAGTGTGAAACATCATACGAAGCCAAGTTACGCGTGCCCTAGAAACACATGGTTATATTGTCTCCTATATAACTGACTGAGCTAAAGGAACTTCTGGGACCTTATGAACCAAATGGTACGCGCTAGTTCTAGAGAGTCTGGAGACTTCTTACTTACATTAAATGTTCGGGCAGACTTTAGACCGTGTGGATGAAGATAAGAATAATAACCTCGCTATCGAGGGCGATGAAGTCAATTTCTCTCATAATAATGCACGTGAGACTGTTATCAAGAAAACATGGGACCAGGTGTACCAAGGTAATGACCAGAACTTTCTGTTTGGTTCTTCCAAGACAAACAAGGAGCTTTCAGCACTGCACCCAGAACAGCTCCATATCTTTAAGCTCTGGCAAATTTACTTGAATAATGTAAACCCTATCCTAAAGGTAACACACACCCCCACGCTACAGCCATCTATCATTGATGCAGCTGGAGATATCGCCAACATTAGTCCCGCATTGGAAGCCTTGATGTTCGGTATTTATGCTGTCTCCATCCTAAGTCTGGATAAAGAGGGGTGTTACACGATATTTAAGGCATCAAAAGAGGAACTTCTCAAGGCTTATCAATTTGGATGTCAGCAAGCTCTCCTTAACTGTAAGGTATTACAGACGGGAAATCGGGACTGCTTGACGGCATTATACCTATACCTTGTAAGGATATTCCAGGGATTGAAGCCACCATACTTGGTATTCTCATATTAACTCTGCTCTGCCAGATTTCGGTCCGACCAGTTATGGACCCCCGGTCTCTCTACTCAATGCTTGGTTCTGCTATTCGCATTGCACAGCGGATGGGTCTAGATAACAAGGCTGCATATGCTCAATACACTGCTCTTGAGGGTGAGATGCGCCGTCGACTGTGGTGGTCACTGGTTATTTTCGATAATCGCATCTGCGAGATGTCTCATCATAAAACCACGTCATTAATTCCAACGTGGGACTGTCCTACACCACTCAATCTTAATGATTTCGATATACAACCAGAGATGAAGAGTCCTCCCCCAAGTCATAATAAACCTACCGAAGCGCTATTCGCTGTCATACGTAGCGAAGTGGCCGAGTTTATTCGTCACAGTGCATTCCATCTTGACTTTACAAGCCCGTCTCTAAAAAAAATTGCAAATCTACATCATGGCACCAGTACTAAGATTGAGAAGCTGGAAGCATTTGAAAATATGTTGGAGGATAAATATCTTAAATTCTGCAACCTAGAGAACCCGCTGCACTTTATGACTATCTGGACAGCGCGAGGGCAGCTGGCGAAAAACCGCCTGATGGATCACTATTCTAAGTTTGCTTCCATGGAACAAACAGATGACCAGCGCAACAGCGCTAATGCTTACGCTTTGAGGATCCTCGAATGCGACACAAAAATTATGGATTCACCGCTAACAAAGGGCTACCTCTGGCTGGCCCACTTCTATCTTCCTTTTCCTGCCTATATTCACATTCTGAAGGACTTGAAAAACCGTCCTATGGCGAGCCTTACTGAAATGGCTTGGGAGATCATAAGCAATAATTACAAGGCTCGCTTTGCGGATACACAAGCGAATCCGTTCTTTGAATTCCTGTGTACAATTGTCCTGCAGGCCTGGGAGGCGTATGAGGCGGCGTGTGAGGCAACCTCCAGACCACTCCACACGCCGCTGCCTACCCCACGAATAGTGACAGACATCAAGCAGAAGATGGCACAGTCTATGTCCCGGGCTTTGTCCGATACCAGCCAACCTAAATATTCTCTAGACGTGACCATTGATGATTTTCTCATGTCTATGCCCATGGACTTTGTTGGCACTGGACTTGGGTACGAAATTGAAGGGCAGGGCTTGCCTGGTGAGGTACCTGCGGGCTACCCCGATATGCCAGGAGTACATGCGAAGATGAATCAATCAGATTGGACGACTATAGATTGGTGTCCAGGGCATGGTCCAAACTCGTGAGAGCATCACATTAATAACAGCTGGGGTGTTTCCTATGGGAGGACGGACGACTGAATTTAGGATGATGGGTCTAAGAGGTGATGATCTGTTTATTGCGCACTACTAAAATAGGTGAATGGTTTCTTCTAAATATAAAGCTGCTTAGTCGAACACACTTCTTACATGTTGAATTCCTAGATTTAGACTTCTCTACCAAATAACCTAACCCCAAATTTATGGGCATTCTTGCTGTCTGAATATAACGCCAAAAGTCAAGCTGAAATATGACATCTAGCTGACCCCGTTGGATAAAAGAAGTTACGCAATATACACTTATGGCGCTTTTATAGAGAGTGGCTGTTAATTAGACATTGCAAGTACGTGATTAGGGCACTTGGGGTCTCAGAAGACACAAGGAGTGTAAGGGTATAAGGAATCAGCATGGCAGTGTGAATGGGGGTCCCTTTATCGCGGTTTATTATCTAGCCCTAATATACCTAGAAAAGATTGGATCATTGATGCTGTTGTCTTTTCTGTTCAGCCAAAGTGTCGAGAAAACTAGTTGCCTCGAACGTCAACGGCCCATTCTGATGAATCCACTGCTCCAAACTCAATTTCTTCCCAGCCTCCTGAACTAGCCATTTGTCATATATTGTCTGGTTTTGTTCCTCATTGCGCCCGGAGACTCTGAACTCGCCCACAACTCTCAGCGTCTCTGTCAGCTCCGCCGCAATGTTCTCGGGAACTCCCTCGCAAAGGTTTCCGGATCTACAATCTCCAAGGCAACATTGCGCCCGGAATCCTTGGTCAAGGCTGATGCGAGCTCCTTTGGAGTTGTCCAACAGCTAACTGCATTGACCTGAACGCGGTAGGTTGCTGATCCGCCTTCGAAGAGCCCTAGAACGTACTTGCCACCATCCTGAGGGGGATCAATGAAGGGCCAGGAGATGGAATCAGACGGGAATGGCAAGATCATCGTTGGCGTCCCGTCTCGCTTGCGGATCAAATTTGGAAGAAAGCTCAAAAACATGGCTGAGCATCGCGGTTAGCAGTGGAAATTAAATATTATTGACCAAAGCAAAGAAGGATCGCTGGAGCGTCTCTTACCCGGCCGGAAATACGACGCAATCATATCCCCTTTGTTAGCCTCAATGAATTCCTGCACCATCGCCTTGCTATCAAAATGTTCTACGTGACGCAGGACACCGTTTGGCCGGGTTGAGATGTCCACCGCTAACCCCACCGGTAAGGTAGATGCCCACCGTGATCGCCAGCCCCCATGCCCAGTACAGGGTGAGTTTGTTGCCCGCATTACCTCTAGTGGATATGGCTAGGGTAGCGCACAGGCCGATTAGCATAGCCACCGTTGTCTGTCAAACCCCCCCCCCCCCTCTGTCAGCGTTTCTACATGGTGATAGACAGTTTCTTACCCCCAGCCATCCGGCAAATGGCTCACGCAATCTGTGCCGTACCATGGACCACCGATTAAAGTACTCCGACTGGCCTCCATACGGCTTGTTATCATCCTCATTTACTTCATCCTCGACTGAACGCGACACTCGGTCGCGAGAGTCCATATCCGACATCTCCTGATGCATACCACCGTCACCCCGGCTGGCTGTGGCCGGACTCAAGACGCCCGGGTTATCCCTTCCGTGCTCGTCTCCCTGTCTGGAGTCACATCCAACTCTGGCACCGGCACTGACTCTCACTTTGCCCCGTCGGATAAGCCGACGTGATCCCACCACCATCGTGGCTGCGCATACCGGCCAGGACCACGCGTGGAAGCGGTTTCGCTAAGCCCCAGAGCGGCTCTTCATGGGTCTTCCCATAGGCGGAGTTCATCTCCTGATAACCCAGCTCGGAAGTGTGTCACGTGGGCAGACAGCGTCCCCCACAGATGTTGATCCACGCTTCGCATTCTAGTCAATGGGAACACCATTATTGGATGAGCTATCCAACATGGGTGTACCCTGTAACCTAGTCTTACCCTTTTCGGACTAAGGAGATTACATATATAAACCACCCGCGGGGCCCACAACTGTAGATTATTGCCTTATATAGTAATAATCTATATTCTTAATAAAATACAGTATCTAAAAACAATAATATATTTATATTTTAATAGGTAAGTAATTTACTTACTGTATTTTATCTCTTGGCAACCCGCCGGGCTAGCCCGTTAACTCGTGGGCCACCCAGTGAAGTTTATTGCATTGGACAACCCAGCCCATTTCTTGGCGGGTTGGGCCGGGGTTGGGCCGGGTTTCGTGGGCTGGGCCTAACAAGTCTAAATACAGCGCAGTCCACTGTACATAGACCAAGTAAATATTCTTTAGGCAAGCGTCGACGAAGTCCTGGGTCTGAATTGGATAAAGAACCAGCTAATTAACCAGAGGATTATAATAATAGCAATGTTTATAATAATAATAATAATAAGCATCCACTACCTGAAACCTAATTCCGAATATGGGGCAGGGCTCGCAAGAAACCTACCCTTTTAAAGGGATTTAAGGTTAATAATGCATAGCTTTGTAAGTAGATTAAATTTTAAAATGCAGTTGTGTTTTAAATATATTTTTTTATTTATTTCTACTTTCTAATTCCTGTCGAACCTGACGTGAAGAGAGACAGTTCGGAAGTTATGGGCCCAGAGCCCACAACTTCCTGGCAGGAGAAAAGGCAGCATTCCCTTTAAGCAGCTGCGCTCTGTAAGAACGTCGTTAATATTTCTATTATCCTCTCCAAAGGAGGACTTGCAATAAAGGCTATTTATACAGCCGTTACGTGTCAATCCCCCAATTCTTTTACTATAATATGTAAAGCAAATACTGAATCTTACAGCGCCAAACTATAAATTATGCAAGTTAGTAGCTTCCTACGTTTGTTTAGTTTGTCCACCCGTCCGAGGCCTAGCCGTGTATACCGAATCTTGGAGAACCATGCGACAGAGATCAGGTTCCTTTTGTTATCCCCCCGGAGGAGACGTTTCTCCCCATACGCTGTCCAGCTATCATTGTTGCGATTCCATCCCTTTTATTGGTTTTCCCGTTCTATCTTCCATCTGTTGATTCGGGAGAAACAGTTTCGATGTCGGGATTTACTAGCATCCGGTGATCAACTGCCGCCTCGGGACGTAGTACGGCCCGAACAAATCAAGGGCATTCGTTACATTTTAGGGTTTCAGGAGCTCAAGGTCTTTTAAAAGCTCTCACTTAATCTTAGTCCGTTGTCTATGTATGCTCTTTTAGAATTAACGTATACCGCGTCCGCATTTCCTACTTCCCTTTGCTCAAAAGATATATTGATTCCTCCACACCAAGGATAGCAGTTTATTATCATCAGACATCCTTCAGACCCCATCTTCCCTCACCGTGTCCAGAGCGATCACAATATGACGGTCAGAAATGATAATGATGAAAGCCCTCCGCCTGACACATATCAGGCCCAGTCGGCAACGAAAATATGGCTCTTGCTTATCTCACTTATGATAACAATGTTTTTAGTGGCCTTGGACCGGACAGTTATTTCAACGGTAGGCACACATACGGACTCCCCCAGCCGGGCGCTCGGGGATAAAATCGGATGATGCCGGTCGTACTGACTATTATATTAACTAGGCCATACCTCGCATCACCAACGAGTTCCACTCCCTTGACGACGTCGGCTGGTATGGAAGCTCGTATTTGTTGACATGCTGTGCGTTCCAGCTGTTATATGGGAAGGTTTACACGTTGTATGCCGTTAAAGCTGTCTTTCTTGCAAGTATATTTTTGTTTGAACTTGGCTCTGCTGTTTGCGGGGCTGCTCCTACCTCGACAGCTTTTATCATTGGGCGAGCAATCTCTGGAGTTGGCGCTGCAGGTATCTTCGCCGGATCTGTACGTCGCCTGTTCTTCTGCCCAGTCTTACCAACCTCATTCTCTGACCGTGGTTCTTATAGGTCGTATGTATCGTCTACGCGGTTCCCCTGGAGAAGCGCCCCAAGATTCAGGGTCTGTATGGTGCCCTCTTTGGTCTCGCTTCAATCGTCGGTCCTCTGATTGGTGGCGCTTTTACCTCCAATTTAAGTTGGAGGTGGTGTTTTTATATTAATCTGCCCGTTGGGGCCGTCGCGATGCTGACTATTCTTTTCTGTCTCAAGATCCCTGACAGACCGAGCACACGTGTTCCCTGGACAGAGAAGCTCACGCAACTGGATATCCCGGGAACCCTGTGCTTGGTTCCGGGGATTGTCTGTCTTGTATTGGCACTCCAGTGGGGCGGACAGACATATGCTGTAAGTGAAGCTTGCCGGAGGCTTTAAGATAGTTCGACCTAGCGCAAAACTGACAATCTCCAGTGGAGTAATGGCCGTATCATCGCCCTGTTTACCGTCATGGGCATTTTACTTCTGGCATTTGTCGGAATCCAAGTATTCTGGACAAGAACTGCAACCATCCCTCCCCGCATTTTCAAGCAGCGGAGTATCATCTCCGGCTTCTGGGCCACCCTGTGTGTTGGTTCTTCGCAATATATTATTGGTAAGATAAAACAAGTCCCCCATCCCCAGACCTCTTATGCTACTAGTCAGACAGGCTAACCTTAGCGATATAGTATATTTCTTGCCCATCTGGTTCCAATCCATCAAAGTAGTTTCAGCCGTCAACTCTGGCATCCAGCTACTCCCTACGATGCTCTCGCTAGTTGTAGGCTCCCTTGCTAGCGGGTTAACTACCCCGAAAATCGGTTACTATACTCCCTTTGCCATTTCTGGATCCTGCATTATGAGCATCGGCGCCGGCCTTCTTACCATGCTCCAAGTCCACACCGTTGAGGCTAAATGCATCGGCTATCAGATCCTCTATGGTTTTGGCATGGGTCTATGCTTTCAGCAGCCAAATCTCGCGGCCCAGGCGGTTCTCTCAACACTCGATGTGCCGATTGGGCTGGCCATTATCTTTTTCAGTCAGCTACTGGGCGCTGCGGTTCTTGTCCCCGTTGGGGAAAATGTGTTGGCGAATCAACTATTAAAAAGACTATCTGGCATTGATGGCATCGATCCTAGCCTTATTACCTCAACTGGTGCAACATCCTTACTGGATTCAGTTCCCGCGGGCCTGAGGGACACGGTCCTTGACGCTTACAACGAGTCACTGCGGACAGTATTCCAGGTTGGATTGATTCTTTCTTGTTTGTCGATCCTGGGAAATGCTACACTCGAGTGGGTAAGCGTGCTAAAGGATAAACAGGCTTCAGCGGCCACTGCCACTGCTGGCACCTCAGAACAAGACAAGACAGAGATTGATGAAGAAAAGATTGTTGGTGGAGGAGCAAAATAATTAATAAAAGGTGTTATTAGAGCATAAAAAACGTGGCCAAGAAGTTGTTTCCCTGGGTATAACTAGGGTTGTATTGTTTAAGTGAAATTTAATAAGAGCTAAACAAGATCTCCCTTCTCTTTTCCACCTGTTTCCCTATATGGGGATAATTGAACTAGGTCGCTAGTTCCCTTTCTCCCTCCGGTAAGAAATACAACGGCCGGGGATTTCCCCACATATCACAATGATTAAATCTCCAGGCTCCCTGATGCTTTCTTGCAAACCAATATTTAACTACAAAGTTGACCACTTTCGGCACCGGCGGAAACTTATGCTGTCCCGCTTCAAACCCGTTATCAATACAGCCAAATGCGAGAGGAAACATCTCATCGAAGCTGCCAACCTTATTGATATGTTTTTCAGCCCGGGTCCAGAGCAACTTGAGATCCTGGCTTGGGAAGCTCTTCAGCGCGAGAATGGTCCCTATCTCCTCACTGAGATGTTGGAAGAGTGGTGTCACAAATGAATCGATAATCCCCTGGAACGCCTAGTGCGAGTAATCGGCGGGAGATGTGGTTACGCAGCACTCGAGGAGGTTTGCACCCTCCCATGGAACTGCGCATGTTGAGCTTGGTTGACGGCCATAATATCCGGGTCTTTGGTGTATTCGATAAGCCTGGGGAAGAGGTATTTCTCCTCCCTGTCATGATGGGCGTTGATGCAGTCGACAAGACATTTGGTGTAGAACAAAAGATCCGCAACGTCGGCTGGTTTGGTGACGTAGGGTGACTGTCGATAGATACTATTCATTGAACGAATAAAAAGGTTGTGGACGTGACACATGTCGGTAGCCATGAAAACGGAGAAGTGAGAGTGCTATAACGGTTAGTTGGAGCGTTAGTAGTGAAGACTATACTACCGTTGGAGAAGCTTACGATATCGTGGCCCTGACATTGGGGGGTGGTGATGAGAGGCCATGGTTTGTCCGCCCATTCCTTAGGGATCGCGCTCGTTGTAATCATGATGGTAATTCGATATCTGGTGTTGATTGGACGGTCGGTCCAGAGTATAGTTTCCTCATTGAAAAAAAAAAAAAAAAAAAAAAAAAAAAAAAAAAAAAAAAAAAAGAAAAAGGAAAAAAAAAAAGACAACAAAGAGGAAGAGAAGATAGAGCTCGTCGTTCTTAGACAGAGCATGTAGTCTCAACATGCAGCGGACGTTTGGAGTGAATCGGAAATCCGGCCATTGGAGACTCGGAGCTTTGTAGCATATCTCCCGAAGCCCTAGAAATTCTATGCTTGGCGTCGTAGTTTATATGGTAGGGAAATCGGGGTCCAATTAGTAGGGTCTTTCGAAGTTTAAGAGGAGTGCTTGCAAGTGCCAGGTATATATTTATTAAGAACGACAACAGACTGAGGCAGGCAACTTGGTACCTTGCACAATTACACACTCTCGAATCCTGGTTTTTTAGTCTCTCCTTGCTAGCAAGCTTACACTCCCCATATCCATCCAAAATGGCACCAGTTTCTCCTGTGATCCTGATTCTTGCTCGTTCGCTAGTCATAGTCCAACTCTATTCGTTACTTGACAGTGAAATATAACGTCATTAGGCAAGTATCATCGTAATAGTCATAAGAAGGAAAAGAGAGAGAGCGTGTGTGCGCGTGTGATTTGACTGCCGCGGCTCCTTGCAGTCTTGGACACAAACGCATTAGCCATATTGTAGTGGTTCTAAAATCTATATACCGAGGGAAGGTCGTCAAAGCTATTACAGTTATCTAGCCCTCTGTATACGCCCGATACCTGACCTCTAAAGCAATTACGCCGCTATCTCCCACTGGCCGAACTTTATTTACCAAAGCCAGCCTCCCCTCACCGTCACTAACGCCGTGCAGCATGTTCATCACCTCGGATATCTCCAGCTCACGCTCATTCGCTAACTGTAGTAATGACAGATCTCGGATCTGGGCCAGGACTTCGCCTTCGGTAGTATCCAATAAGCAGGGAGCGGTAAGCATCATCGTGGTCAAACGATTTATCCGCAGCGTGTTCACGTGTGCACTGAGCTCAGCATTGATCTGGGCTGCAAGGGAGATGGATGGTTCACCTTGCGCCAGCAAGGGGAAGTTAATAATGTAGACCGCGGCATCCAGGATGGTCTGAAGAGTTCCTGGAACTCGGTGCTCCTTTTCGGAGCGTTACTGTAGTTGATGTTTGGAAGTGTTAAGGATTGTGGCCTGCCCTCTCACATACTTGGAAGATATTGTACGGAATTTATTACTATTTCCACATCCATAAACAGTCTCTCCCAGTGCCACCTTAGTAAACGGTTTATAAGTACCGGTATTGATTAATATCTGTAGAGAAGCGGCTCCTGATATAGGGAAACCTATTTCGCCTTGGCAAGAAGCTCAGATTTATTATCCTTTTTAACTGTATAAAGCACAGCCACTGGTCCTTATCTATAGAAATATATAGTACATTTGGAACTAATTCGCGCAAACACGAAATCACTGCTATTGTCTTTTTCAGAATAGAATCGATTATTGGACTGGGAAATATTCAGCTCGTCTATGGGTGGTGTAGGGCATCCATGGCAGGATTGGAGAAACAGAAGGTGAGCTAATAAGAGAGACTCTTTAAGTTCTCGCTTAATAAATCAGGAACTAGTCCCGCTCTCACCCCTACCTCTGTTGGTTGGCATCCAGAAAAATCTTCCTCTCACAGTAATAATAGGCAGCATGGAGGTATAAAATCCACTGAAAATCTCTACTTGTGCTCTCAATGTCCAAAGTACTGGCTGACTGCAATCAGCGTCTATACTCCGTACATTAGATCATCAGGAAAAGGTAAAATGCAAACGCTCCATTTCATATAAAATCTATACGGCCTTTTATCCTGCTCGTCCCATAATCGTCCATACAAACTACGCCTCTGGGTACCGGAGTCAGGTCGTGGAGTGCGGGTGTGGATCGGAAAACACTTCCAAAGGCACCACAGGCCAGCCAGATTTTGGTGTTTCTACGGCTTTGTGGGAGATTTTGTGCAGTTCCAATGGCAGTAAACTCCGAATAGTTGCTTCGTCCGAATCTACATTTCTTAAGAAACACCACGATTATCCTCGCTTTCCCTAATTATAGTCTTCTCAAGATCACTCGAGAGTTGGCCATTGTACATGCCCCCAAGTGTAGATATGTATAACTTAACATCACGCTCTCCGAAGCAATCTGGCTTTCTAGCCGGCATTGATCCTTTTTCCATCAAGTTGCTTAATCTTTAATGTGCTGATATCAACATCCTTCAGGGTTCGTGCCTGCTCTCCTATAAGCCAACGAAATACTAGCACTTTGGTACCTACAAAACTTACGTTGACAGCCGCAATACCATTATATTCCCCTCCTTCAGCTCGAGCATAAACACTAGTCCCGCAGTTGGGACAAAAGCCGTGGGGATATTTCATGGTTCCGAAACGGTACTCCTGTCCCCAGTTGTTAGTTATCAGAAGAATGGGATAATAACACACAAGAGAGGCGGGGAGATATAATCCAACCTTGATAGCATTATCGCTATTACGGAAAGTAATATTGGCTTTTTGAGTATAAACCAGGAGATAGCCGTTGATGCTACAGATCGAGCCTGTATGGGAAAGAGTGTTTTAGCGCTGCTTAATGGTCTACTCTTTGATTCTCCCCGTTTGTCTGTCTCCCCGAGAGGAGATCTGTACAATTGCATAAGTTGACGGTCTGCATTTCTATAGTCAAAGAGAGCTGCGCCGTGAAGCTAACTTGTCTGCAGTGGAAACTGCCATTATATAAGCTCAAGTTGGCTGGAGTTTCCGACATTGTGAGTGTAAATAATCTTTGAAGTTCCTGGAGAGTAGTGTATAAGGTGAGATTTACAGAAATGTTAAGTTACAGCTCCGTTTATAGTGGCATGTCTTGGGCCCCTTTAATAAACTGCGCCAGTGACTCGCCAAGTACACATGTTTTTTAAACACCTGGAACAATCCTGTTGGTAGAGGCCCCGTGCTATAATTGAATACCAAAAAGCTACCGACTTATCTGCTTTGCCCAATGGAATTGCAAGATTGTCGAGAATCCCTTGTATTTAAATCAGGTGGATGTTTGCCGCATCTTACGCAATACAATCACGGTACCATCTGGAGACGACACAGGGGTAAGTCAACTGGGACTATTGTGCTGGGTAAAGGTGGGCCAGTGCGTACCATCCATCAATGTAATAATAGTTGAATAGTCAGGGCAGTGATAGTCTGCAATAAATTGTTGATGTTTAATGGGGTGGTGAAAGTAGGATCAACGGAAGAAATAGTCTCGGTGAAAAAATTAACCAATTTTCCAGCAATACAAAAGGAAAAGGGGGGCAGTGAATAAGAAATTGAATTACTAAAATTCAAGTTCTCAAAAACAGAGGGCAGAAAAGTAGTTATGCTGCTGTTCAACACCCTTCTTGAGGTAGGGTGGGGATTAAAAATATTAATCAGATAACCCCTTCTCCGGGCGCCACTATTTGCACAGGTCGAAATTCTGACTGCACAGGTCACTAACCCGATTAAGAAACATCTATTCAAAGAGGTCAAACTATAATATACAATTTTCCGATACGAACCCGTCTTGCTCGAATAGGAAAGATCAGTGTCACCACGATAATCCCTCCCGTATAGAGAAGACCTGTAATCTATTAATATATATTGTTGCAGGACTTAGCTGCAGACCACCCTTTAGGCCTCGTGTTTGGGATACTGTTACCTGTAAAGTCCTCTGCAATCTCAGGTATATCAAGAGACATAAGCCGTATATTTTCCTTAACCTGCTTCTTGTAACACAAACACGCTTGCACTCTGCAACTTCCCACACAATCTTACCCAATTACCCTCACCCCTACTTCGAAATCTCCAAAGCACCATCCTTGAACCAAAATGAAGCTCCTTAATATCCTTACCCTCCTCACCTCTACCACCCTCGCCCTCGCCCAAGACCTAGACACCCGAGAGGCCAACGAAGCCACCCTCGAAGCCCGCGCAACAACCATCTGCGGCTCAGGCTATAAACTCACCCAAGCCATCCCTCTCCCCAAGGGTACAGATCCTAAAATGCGACTAGCAACCCTCTACTCCTACATTGGGAAGGATAAGGGCTGTGTCTTCCTCGATAATAATGTCGGGACATCGCGCTACATGTACGTCAACGTGTGCCAGTGGGATAAGAAGAACTGCGACAAGGACTCGGGAACCTTTAGTCAGTATGCTGGACCGATCTATATTAAAGACTTTGCTTGCGCGCCTGTTACGGCGAAGATGGGGAAGAGCTCGAAGGATTTATTTATTAATTATAAGTCGGAGTACGTATTTCCTTGTAATTAAGGGCTGGGGAGGTTGGCATTTGGGAGGGGATGAGTGGATTGGAGTTATGGGAGGTAATCGTGGTTAGGGTGGGGTTGGAGAGAGGGTTGCGATCTATAGCAGAATTTATATCGAGTATTGGTGCTGGGTTATGTTCGTGTCTAGGGCTTACCCTGCGTTTTCCAGGTACTATATTTAGTATGTAGGCATTGGTAGGTATTTTTAAACATACTCTTGTCCTGTAGCAACGATGAAAACATGCCGACCGTCTTATCTATGGTAGCGAGGACTAATACGACCAGGTGTAAGTTGAAGGAGCTCATATATAGGCACATAATAATGCAAATTCCCGCTGTGGCTGAAGACATCGTCTTACCACTATCGAGTTAACAACGTTTTTGTGGTGTTAAAGACCTATGTGGATTGAAATAGCTTTATAGCTTTTTCCGAAAAGGGCAATAGAGCGGCTCGGGCAGATAGAGTTTTCAAGAGGGGTAAAGCCAAGGAACTAGCATCTTAGCGCGCAATCTCTTTGTTTTTCCTTCCAGAAAGACATGCCGCAGCCAGGTGGGGACGCGTTTTTTGCCCCCTGAATGGGAGTGAATAATACAAAGGGTCTTTCGCATGTTTTCCAATTGACACTTACTCCACTAGGGTAGAACTTGTATATTAAATGAAGCTAGAAGCACTAGTGGGCACGGGTATTTCTATTATTGTTGCATTCTAGCCCCACCAAGGCTGCACATAAAAGACCCCTCACTCCCTAAGTTCTGTTAGATATTCGGCTAGTCCTGGGGAGGAAATAGAGTACGATTGGTAATAAGGTCATATCTGAACGATTTGAGCTGGTTGGGCTCTTCTTGCTGTGTTTCTCTGTTCTTTTGATGATCACTCTGGTAGAGGGTTTGACCCCTATTCTAATCACATGATTTGGCCTAGATAGGTTGAAATGCAGAACTATTGCCAGAGATGTCAACTGACTTGTTTATCATTGCAAGTAGGTCGTATGTGGACTGTGGAACCGTCCTCGAAAACAGGAAACCCATCTTAAACATAGGCATTGTTCCATGCGGCCACATGGGCACCTCCGCCAGCACCTTCCATATCCGATTTGGGATGGCATCAGGGGCAGGGGCTTTGTCTGGAGGTGCGCGGTTAATCGCCTTGTGTGCCTTTGTTTCAGTAATCGGTGGGAATTCGATCTGGCCTTCAAGAAGAGGTGTGTTGATCGGTGGTGACTGCTTGTTAGTAATTGTCGCCGTTAGGTATTCGGGAGCGATAGTGATATCCAAGAGATCTGCAGGAGGTGGTTGCGGGAAAAACACCCCCTGGAAGACCTCTGCCTTCTGTGTCATGGTTGTGGCAGGGCCATCCTGGCCTTGCAGTGTCGGGATAACCCCTCCACGGGCTTCCCGGTTGCGGGCCCATTTAGCTACCTGCCAGAGCCTCCGCGGTCCGCGCTCCATTGTGCCTCTAACCTATGTGCGGTGACCAACGCACAATGCCTTGGACACCACCTTGCCCTTTCTATTGCGCGCCACCGTGTATTCGATCTATTCGATTTCTCCATGTGTTTTTAGGTATTCGCGGTACAACTGTCGGGTTATCTTAATCGCTTCGGCGCATTCGGGGGTAAAGGATGAGTTAGCCCACTTGCTCGGTTTTGCCCAAGGGGTTAAAAGAGCTATGGCTTGTTGGATTGTCTTAATAAAACAGTCGGTTGTATTGTCGATGCTGGTAGGTGTTGTAAGATGCTAATAGCCGCGCTGGGGTATGTTAGCTACCACAAACTGCTGCAGCTTCTTAGTATCCATGACTTTCCAGTTGCGTCTCCGAGCCGGCTCCAGTGCGGGTGTTTGGATGTCGATAAGGGTACATATTAAAAGGTGGTCAGAGTCAGCATGGCACTTTAGGTCCAGCTCACAAGCCACAAAGCGCTCGGACAGGGTCTGTGAGCCCCAGACTAGGTCAATCGTGCTTCGACTGCCAAGTTTCTCCCAGGTGGTGGTGCCAGGCTCTAACTAAAGGTCCAGGAGCTTCAGGTCGGTAATTTCCAGCAAGTCCTTGGCCGCTGCGTCCGCAGGGGCATGGTCACCGCCCCAGACAGGATAATATAGTTAAAGTCTCCTAGAAGAACTATTTCTCCAGTGCAGTTACTTAAGAGTTGTGCTAGTCAAGCTATGGTGCCTGGCTCTTTGTTATATATATTAAAAATGGTAAGTTCTCCGTGGTTGTGTTGTAGGTTTAGTTCTTAAATATCTCGTGTGTGAGCTGTATGGCGCTATCTTGTTAAATTAACTTGTCAGGATATATAAAGATATACACGGGCTTGTTCTGGCCTGACCTCTGCTGATACTGGATATAACAATTGGTGCGTCTTGTTGGCTGGATAGTAGGTGGTCTCCTAGTACGGATTCCACCATGGCTCTTGCACTGCGATTACGTCGGCTTCGAGAACCTTGGGGTCACGCAGGAATTATACCATAACTACGTCTCTTGACTTATTCGTGTTGTATTGCAAAATTTGAAGTGGTTTATAATTCATAAATGGTCTTGTTAGTATTGGTTCGTGGCTGGGATAACTTGGTGAGACGTTAAGAATATATTTTCTTGTTACTTTGGTTTATAGTATAGATACTCCTTGGTAAGGACGCCTCTAGTTGATTCCTTGCGCTTCGGGGTTTGTTTCGCCGGGATCTTGTCTTTTGCCGTACCGGCAGAGTTGGGGTCGCGGCTTGATAAAGGCTTTCAATTGGGTTGGCTCAGCTGGTAACTACTGGTGGTTAGCGATAAGTCTGTTAGAGAGCTGCTATTAGCTAATTTAATCTCTGGTTCGTTAACTGCGGTATCTCTGTATATCCTTGGAGTTTGAATCCCACGGTTTCTGGCGGTGGACTCGTTTTGTGGTTGCTTAGAGGGCCGGTTGTTATCTGTGGTCTCTAAGATTTGTTTCGTGAGTCGTGCAGATTGCTGTTTAGTAATTATACTTGCTGTAACATTGCTGGCTTTGCTGCTTTGGCTGGTAAAGGCAACTGGTATTTTTACACTAATTTCTGGTTTTATAGCATATGGTATCGGCGTTGGGTTTGTTTCTTGTGGGAGATTAAATATACGCGTTAAGGCGTTCTACGCAGCTCCCCAGGAAGACTGCGTGGCTCCCTGGGTGTTATCTATGTCCCTCTCTTTGTGCGGCTTCTCCGGGAGTTGCCTTAGCTCCCCGAGAGTTGGATGAGCCTGCCACTGATCTGGTGGTTGTGGCAGGCCTGGTGCTTTTTAAAGACGAGCGAGGCTGCTCGCTGCGAGCCTCGCTGCTCCCACTGGTAGTGGGCTCCGGGCTGCTACTCCCGCAGTCCTCTGTCCCTCTGGAGGCGTCCTGGGACCCCTCCTGGGATAATTCCTCCATACTCAGCCACGCGGGGATCCGGTGGTATCACTGGCGTACTGCGGCCATCTGCTGCACCCGTTCGACCTGCTCGAGGTGTTTGGGGCAGTGTTTGGACCACACGGCATGTGTGCCCCCACAATTAGTTCACTAGTTGTTGCTTGGTTCGCCGGTCTGCCTGCGTGGACAGTCCGAGTCTGGTGGTTGTCCGCGCAGTGTGCGCAGGCTGTCTTGTTAGAATAAATGCTTCCTATGTGACTATATTGTTGGCAATTGTAGCATTAACGGATGCGTGCAAATCGGTCGTAGAGGACTGTGGTAAGCACTGTTGAGTCCCAGATCGTGTTGCTGTTGATAGCTTGGTTGGCCGCATGTGGCAAGGTAAACACTATAATCACAGTGTGGTTCTTGCCAATCTGGGGGTTAGTAAGCCAGCCGACGTGGTTAATCTCTGCCTCGTTGTTCCAGCTAAACGCGTTTTCAGACAGCAGTTATTTAGCCACGCGCTCCCAGTTGGGGGTCTTGGTTAGGTCACCCATGGCCTTGACCGGGACCTTGTGGACTACCAACTCCCCACGTCGGAACGCGTAGGATAGCTGTCTTCTAGAGGCCTTTTACCCAGTCGCGGTGACATCGCGCGAGCTCGGCTTCCTTAGCGGACCGCAGGCTTAGACAGAGATTATCTGACTTGAGCTGCCGAGCTACAACGAATTTGATCGAGGCGAGCATGGGAATCGAGGCCAGGCACGCGGCCTTGATCCGTGCCTTTTCGGCGCGGTTTTTGATCTCTCCGGTGGTATAGCGGCGGAAACTCTGCACGGCAGCTGGCTCACCTAGTTTCAGGACAACTTCGCGGTCCTTGGAGAGGTCCGTCGCGGTGGCCGCCGGACTCCTGCACCAGTTATCCTTGGGTTGTTGCAGTATGCCATTGCCCACCGAGACGGCAAACCGGATGTAGTTAATAATAGGACTCGGGACCCTCACATTCTGCTCTTTTATATATTCCAAAAGTCGCAAGCCGTCGTGGTGTAGAGACAGAGCGCTTTCATGGTGTTAACATGGCGCGTTCTCGCGACCGGCCGAGGGGGCCGGCCATGTAGGTTTTCCACCTACTCGCGACGACGACATCGCGACACCAAAGAGATTGGTATCTGACGATAGCCGCCGGCGCAAAGAGAAGCTTGCCTAAATTGAGAGCTTTGGAGCGTAGTTTGGGGACGTGATTTCAAGAATTGATTCTGCGCGGAAGTTGTTTTTTTTTTTTGATAAGGACTTTCTCCTGCGAGAAGCATCTTATGAGATCTTTCTTGACAATGTAGAAAATATGCATTATTCCATCTTCTCAAAATCGTTACAAGCCATTACAAAGGCATTGCGCCGTGATATCTGCAGGCTAGCTGCCCCCGGATATCCGATTGAACAGGTCAACCAGCCAGACCCAGATCCGCTAGCCATAACACGATACGCGTGTGTCTTCTGGGTTGATCACCTAAACGAGTGCTTCCCTAGCAAAAATGCGAAGGAAGACATCCAGGATAGTGGCTATGTTCTTGCGCCAGGACTACCTTCATTGTCTCGAGGCTCTTAGTCTGTTAAGAAGTTTACCAGAAGGAGTAGCTTCGATGTTGAGGCTTGAGGGTTTGCTGAAGGTCTGTTTACACGAGAGCGAACATGGAACTCTTTTAACATAATTACTTTAGATAACAACGGAGAGCTCACAACTGATCAACAGAGTCCGAGATACTTGCCGATTTATCTTATACCATATAACAGCGATCCAGAATCAACCGCTTCAAGTGTACATTTCAGGATTAATATTTAGCCCGACCAGCAGCATCACAAGGATTCAATTTAAAACACAGGCACCATTTTGGATAATTGGAAAACCAACTATGGAAGAGAATTGGAGTGCATGTCTACAGACACTGGAGGGCCATAGCGACTGGGTCGAATCGGTCGTCTTCTCCCATGATGCCAAACTCCTTGCCTCGGCCTCATTGGATAAGACTTTCAAGATCTGGGATACCAGCAATGGGAAATGCCTACGGATGCTCGAGGGCCATAGCAATTGGGTCCAATCGGTTGTCTTCTCCCATGATGCCAAGCTCCTCGCCTCGGCCTCGCTGGACAATATTATTAAGATCTGGGATGCCAGCGACGGGAAATACCTACGGACTCTTGAGGGTCATAGCGACTCGGTCCAGTCACTTGTCTTCTCCAATGATACAAAGCTCCTTGCCTCAGCCTTGTTGGACAGGACTGTCAAGATCTGGGATACCAGCAGTGGGCAATGCCTACAGACGCTCAAGCTTAAAAGACTCGTCTCTGTGAAATCATTCGACATTACTAACTCATATCTTGAAACTGATAATGGTACTATTCGTTTATCTTTAGTTTTAGATAGAGGGCCAATCACGACAGATCCAGAAGAATCGCGACTTCAAGGATATGGTGTAAGCTCCGATAGTACTTGCATCACTTGGAACTCGGAGAATCTGATATGGCTGCCACCAGAGTACCGGCCAAGTACTTTTGCTGTGTCAATGTCCACAGTATGTCTTGGTTGTAATTCGGGACGAGTGTTAATATTCAGATTTGATTCCCAGAGACTATTACATTTTCTTGCTGGGCACTGAGTCCTTTTTAGAAAGAGCATGTTCTACACAAGGTCATCTTTTTGCAAAAGGAGGGACGGGGAGCACTGGGGAATTTATAGGACAATACATTGGCACCTCATGCCTACTGATGGATTCCATAATTTCCATTACATAAGTCACGGCCTTAGGGTTTCTCGATCAGCGATCCAGCTAATAGTAGCCAGACTGTCGCTTAATCTATCCAGCCTTATAAATACAGTGGTATCGAGAACTAATACTAAGTCGAGCGAATCTTCGTGTGGCTTAAAGTTGCTCAACAAAACCTACAGGACCCGCTTCAACTCGCTCATCCTCCGGTCCAGCCCTCGGGCTGGTTTGGGGAACTATAAATTACCACGATTTACTCGGGTAAAAGCATCCCTGCTACAAACTCTGACCTTACAGGGTCGAGGGTCAAGTTAAAGTTACTAAATCTGGTAGTAATAAATAGCTAATCCACACGGGAATGGTCCTTATAGACCAGAGAGGCATTCTCGGATTATTATCCTAGAATAGTAATAATTATATACGGTGAGGGCGAGAAGGACTAAACAACTAGTTGCTAAGAGTTGCAGTGCCGTAATACCCAGAAATTCCCCTGGAGAGTAACTACCTAACCATCTAATTAAATTGCTAGTTATATCAGTGGAAAGAGGTTTGTAAGGGCCCTGGTAATTGATTAAAGAGTTCATGCTCTAGCTATTTCAAGAAACTCGGCCTAAAAGCATTGGCAAGTATACTTATAACTGTGCACTGTGCTGTACGCACATGCGTTAAGTAATAAAGTAGGGGAAATAATATAGAAGCTACCAGATTATTTCCTTAAGGAATGGGAGAGTATCACCTGATACTCGCTGAGGTGTTGACCCTAATATATTCCCAGATTTGATAACCCCGTCCTGGTTCAGCGTGGCTCTAGGGGTCACCAGTCTCTTGTTATTTGCTAATGAGTCTCTGCAAAGCTGACATTTAGACAGCATGCCAGCCCAGGTTCTTATAGTAAAGACACATTCCCATCGCGCTGCAGCATTGCATGACCTAACTCCACCAGCTGGTCAGTATATCACATCTACTAGTTCGAGCGCTGCCTGCATTGTTACAGGAATTTTCCCTCTATAATAAAGGCGACGATTTAAACTTCCTTTACTGTAAAGGGGCTAAATGTCTTGCTATCTAATAACTAGATATACACAAAGAGGAATTGCTGGGAGGAAGAAAGTAAAGGGAAGTAGCGTGCGTTCTCATACTACGAGGGATTATGTGATCGAATAAGCAGACCAGTCATATGCGCCGATTGCGGCGAAAGCGAAGCCGAGCAATATACGGGCGTAGCCTGCGACATTTATCGCATTTACTATTCCTGCACTTCATATGATACTGATTGGATAAACCTGCCAAGGTCGACAGTATATATAGCTGCTGCTAAGGCTATAAACATACGAAATTAGGTGGTGGCCCGATGGTGCACTTGATGCTGCTGATATCTGTTCCGTGTCCGGGCAGATACACCAGTATCTGGTAAATAGATATGGAACTACTAATAAAATAGTACCCCTGTTCGCCCGATCAGGCATGGCCACTGTCGGTCTCTACTTCGGCAACGGCCTGTAGAAAAATTGGCTTGTATATTTTTATACCAGTCCGGCCTTCTCACCACTCCACTCAAGGCTTTGACAAACGCAAACCTACATTGTTATAAAGTGCAAACAAGTTTTGGCCCAGTGGCTTTCAGCTCGGGCTGAATGCACCACTGTCAGGGCTATGAAGGGGATAGCTGGGCTTCTTTAGCTAAAAAGTGCGGCATCTCTGGCGCTGACTTTACCAAATATAACCCCGGTTCCACGTTCTGTTCCTCTCTCACACTGTTTCAGCATGTTTGCTGCTGTCCAGGACTCATAACTTCACTACAAAACCCGAGCCAGATAGATCTTGTGCTATATACACAGTTCCGCCCAACAATAATTGCATAGATATCGCCACTGCAAACAGTCCTACAGTTACACAAATGGATCAATATAACCATCACACCTGGGCTGGAACCGATGCTCTAATATATGGCCCAATACCATTATCTATTTAAGCAGCGGGGCCTGCCCATGCCGGCTATTGCGGCTAACGCGGTATACAGTCCACAGGTGCCAGACACTAAAGCGCCAACAATAGGACTATATCGCCAGTCTTAATCCCTGCCCGCTAAATACATGCTGTGATGTCTGGGGCTAGGTAAGTTCCATCCCTTTGGTATCTAAAAGTAGACAAACAAGTTCTCCCTAACAAATAGCACTAATATAGGATCAGGGCCGAGTTCTGCACCGATACTAGTACTGGTGCACCGGGGGCTGCCAACAGGGCACCAATGGCTGTATCTCAAACCGCAGTACCTAAATTATTCGCAGTAATACACCCGCCGCCTTTCCAAATATCGCCTACCCCGGGGGTTACGGGTTTGGTCGCCCATGTCTTTACCAGTATGTCCACCAGATCGACTCTAAGCAGTACACGCATTTACCCTTTACCTTTATTTCACTCACACCTGACTACCAGGCGGTGATGCAGTAAGCACATATAAATTTAAGAACTTTAAATATATCCGAGGATTTCTCAACACATCCGGAGACGTACACAGTCTTCCACCAGGGCGTCACAGCCGCCAGCAGACTAATGTTGGCCACGAACATTGCAAAATTTATGAAGGAATATAACATTGATGGCGTCTACACTGACTGGGAGTATTCTGGGGTAAATGAAAGAGGGAGGCTAGAATTACTTCCCCTTATTTTTAACATGCCCCATCCAGGCACTGACCATCCCGATATTCCTCCCGGTGATAAATATGAGGGTAAAAACTAAGTTATCTGGCTTTCCTTGCCATTCTAAAATACTTGCTTCCCGGTAAATCCGTCTCAATTGCGGTTCCCGCCTCGTACTGGTATTTGAATGGTTTCCCCATCGCCCAGATGTGGATTATATCGATTCTACAACCTATAACCTACATAGTCAAGCATGCCTGATTCTTCCCACCTTAAAGTATTTAGTACTAACATCTGTCCCACAGTGGGATGCAAATAACAAGAATGCACAGAACGATTGCCCGTCGGGAATGTGTATTCGCAGTTCAGGTCAACCTAACTGAGACAGTTAATTCGTTGGTTATGGTAAGTGAGTGCCTGAATACTGGCCGGTTTGCCGCCCGTTTGTCTCTCTGCAAGCTAATAAAACCCCACGTATATCTAGATTACCAAGGCGGATGTGCCTTCGAACAAAGTTGCCGTTGGCATTACCAGTTACGGACGATTTTATGCAATCGCTAACCCTAGTTAACAAGAACTACATTGATGGGACTAGCAACAGGAATATTCTCGTCTACGATGATAATTACTGGGTCCGCTGGAAGTTAGAGCATTAGTAAAATCTATTATCTGTATCCGTGGATCCTTGTGACTGGGTGTCCGAAAATAAGCGATCGTCAGCGCAAGATTAGGATCACACATCTTTTCTCCTGGCGCCTTTCCGTATTAGGCAGGTCGTCAACGGAGATATCGTATCGCATCATCATCATTACTATCAATTGCACTCTATTAAAGAAACAACCTCCCCAAAGAGAATAATGCAGGGACCGTTACTCCTGCATGTATCCGGCACTATCGAGCAACAATTTCCAGGATGACCTTGTGTATCCTGAATCCTCACACCTTCAAGCGGGGTAATGAGACCAGCAGGAATGCCGGACTCCGATGGACCGCCGATCAGGCTGTTTAGGTGATCACTATCGGACTACTATTTATTTAATCCCCACAATCCCTGGGATATATTCTCAGACCTCCCGGACTGCAATACGATGTATCTGTCAGCGCGGCTGGTGTCCCTTCTGGGGACCTTGTTTCTTCCCTCAATTACCCAAGCATTCGAACTTACCCCCCTAGAGCTGGCAATCCCTCGCCTGCACGAGATCAAGCAGCGTCAGAAGGCCGCCTCTCAGCTCGAGTCGCGCGCCTTGAAGGGCCCGTATCCAGAATACACCCTCTCTGTCCCTGTGGACCATTTCCACAATGAATCACGATATGAACCCCACACCGACGAGCATTTCGCCCTGCGCTATTGGTTCGATGCCAGCCACTATGAGAAGGGAGGCCCTGTCATTGTCATCGCAGCCGGAGAAACCGATGCGACCGAACGTTTCCCCTTTCTCTCGCAGGGAATTGTCACGCAATTGGCAAAAGCGTACCACGGAATCGGAGTCATCCTCGAACACCGGTACTACGGAAACAGCTATCCCTTCAAGAATCTGGACACGGAGAACATCCGATTCCTGACAACCGATCAGGCTCTGGCAGACTACGCGTACTTCGCGCAGCATGTCAAATTCCCCGGTCTGGAGCATGTCGACCTGACGGCCAAGTCTACCCCGTGGCTGGCGTATGGCGGATCCTACGCCGGGGCCTTCGTCGCCTTCCTCCGTAAGCTGTACCCCGATGTATACTGGGGATCGGTGTCCTCGTCGGGGGTCACGGCAGCGATCGTGGATTATTGGCAGTACTACGAGCCCATTCGGCAGTATGCGCCCGCCGACTGTATCTGGGCGACGCAGGTGTTCACGGACATCGTTGACCGCGTGCTCATCGACCACGCCGATAACAAGACGCTAAACAAGCAGTTGAAGACCACCTTCGGCGCATCAGCCAGTCTCGACGATGTCTCCTTCGCCGGGCAACTGTCGTACGGTCTGGATGACTTCCAGGGCCGCAATTGGGATCCCGCCGTAGGAAGCTTTGGATTCCGCCAGTACTGCGACAATGTCACCAGCACAGACTTGTTGTATCCCGACACTCGAAAAATCGAGGCATCAATCAAGGAACTCATTGACATTGCCGGCTACGACGCCTCCAACGCCACGTTTGTCACGCAGATCCTGAACCACGTTGGGTTTCTCAGGGGTCCCATCTTCTCAGACATCGATACCGAATCCAAGGCCTCCTCCAAGAGGACCAAGACCGCCCCCTCCTCCAACTCCAGCCGACCGCTGGCCAAAAGCTCCGACACCAGCTGGAGCTACCAGGTCTGCACCGAATGGGGCTATTTCACTACCGGCTCGGGCGTCCCCTCCGACATCCTCCCGTTAATTTCGCGCGTGCTGACCGTCCCGGCGCTGTCTAAGTTCTGCCCCGAAAAGTTCGGAATCACCACGCCCCCGGACGTAGACCGTATCAACAAGCATGGCGGACATGATTTCTCGTATCCCCGCGTCGCTATCATCGACGGTCTCTCGGATCCCTGGCGGGAAGCGACGCCGCACGCCGACGGAACAACTCCGCGGAAGTCCACTGATCAGGAGCCCTACATTTTGATCGATGTCCCCGCCGAGGATGTCTGGGATAAGGTGCGAGGCGCCGTGCATCACTGGGATCAGAACGGGGTTTTGGGTAATGAATCCACCGCGGATATCCCCCCGAAACAGATCGTGGATGTCCAGAAGGAAGTGGTCCGGTTTGTGGGCGTGTGGTTGAAGCAATGGAAGGGGGATGCTACCGCCATGGATCATAGGCTGCGTGTCTGGCTTAGTTTACATACATAGTTGTAATTACATACATGGAGTGTACATGATTATTGACTGTCAGTCAGCTGAATATGCGTATGAGCTAGTATCACCGATCATATAATAATATGGATCTGGATTGAAAAGGGTAAGGTCTCTAAGGGTCTCTAACTATCTGAATCTATCTGGGAGAGTTGGATAAAAGGTGAAGACAAACAAAGGAACAAAGTCGGGCCGAGCAGATGCTGAATAATGCGTAATATTGGCCCACTTTGGTCGACATTGACCTGTGGAGTTTGTCGATCCAGACTCGAGTTATTGGATGTCTTGAATTGCTGTTTAACTATTTTCACCCTGATTATTGCGTTTAGCTGTCAAATTTGTGTAAAAAATACGTATGTGCACGATAGTGGACAAGAAATTTAGATTCTTGAGCCCTGCAGTACAACAATTAGATCACGCAATCTGATAAGTGAAGCAGACATACTGTGCTCAATATGGCACCTACCAGTCAATTAGGATGATGTTCCACTCAAGAAAACTAGCCTGCCACAAGCTCGGATGTCGCCATTAACGGCGGATGATTGCGCCATTGCATCGCCAAGAACGCGGACTTGGTGACGGAGACTCGAGCTAAGGATGGCGCTGGTCGGCTATGATTTCAGGAGACAAGGCAATCTGTTGGAGACCTACCGTATGAGGTTACAGGTGGGGTGGCATCCTCACCAAAAGATGTAGCTTAGTCAACAGCAATATTCTCAACCTATACTCAGACATATCACATGACATCACGTGATCAATCAGTCTAGACCAAACCCGGGTAGGCTCCACCACAGGTGACTTTCCTAGTGCGGAGATCGTGATAAGCTCTGCATTGGTCGATAATCATCCACAATAAAACTCTTGCCAACGACAGCTCCGCATGGGGCACCACCATCGCAGTGGGATGCTCCCAAGACCTTGGCACGGGTCTTCCATCCTGCAGACCTCGATTCTGATGAACCAGGATGAGGATGACTTTCTAAGCTCCTTGGCATGGGTCTGGTATGGTGACATCGACCATGGCAAGACGAGGAGACATTTTGGATGGCCCTTGGCGTCGGTCGGGGATCGTACAAAAGTCTCTGACCTGCCAAGCAGTACATTGCTGCATTCGTCCTGTCTCTCTGTCTCTCTGTCTCTCTGTCTCCCTCGTTTTTTTTTTTTTTTTTTTTTTTTGCCCTCTTCCTCACCTGCTATCTCGCAATAAGACCTGATTCTGTCCGCATGCAGCCGCAAAATCTCAACAGTTCGAGCTTTTTCCAACATATTCAGTGCCATCATGGTGCTCGTCCAGTACCTGAAGAAGATCGGCGGTTGGATAGCTCCCCCTCCACAAAAGTCAGAAGATGGACGTGATCAATGGCCCTCGCGAGCGGCCTTCCTCCTTGCCGCCATGGGAGGTTGCGCTGGACAAGGAAACCTACTGCGATATCCCTCGGTCGTCTACAATAACTACGGCTTGCAATGGTTTATCCCCTACTTACTAGCAATATTCGCTGTTGCAATTCCCTCCCTCATCCTCGAGATCGCGATCGGACAGGCATATCGAGGTGGGACGGTCATCGCGTTCAACAATATCAATAAGCGGCTGAATGGCGTCGGAATAGGTCCGATCTTGGTCAGCTTCATTGTCACACAATATTTCACGGTCAACCTGGCATGGATCATGAACTATTTCCGAAACTCTTTCCAAAGTCCCTTACCTTGGGAAGGTAGAATCGAAGAGTTCTACATGGGTGATGTTGTAGCAAATGTTGACCCGATCGAGGGTAGTCTAACCCCAGGGAATGGCGCAGTGGCCAAGTATACCAAATATCCCGGCGTTAGTCTGCTTGGGGAAACAGTCGGCTGGAGCGCCTTTATCTGGTTCTTGATCTGGATTTCCATCTTTCGTGGAGTGGGCCTGACTGGCCGCGTGGTTTACTTCACGATGGGTTTGCCCATCGTTACCACAATTATCCTCGTAGCTCGCTCCGTGTCGCTCGAGAATGCCGGCCAGGGCGTCCGGCTTCTCTGGGCTACTTGGCGAGGCGGACAGCTCGCCTCGGGGACGGTCTGGCAAACGGCTGTGGGACAGGTCTTCTTCTCGACTGGCATTGGTTTCGGCTACTTCACTTCTTACGCATCCTACAATGCCAAGCACTCTAATGCCGTGATGGATGCGGCCCTTATCTGCGGTAGCAACGTGCTTTTCGAAAACTTTGCTGCCTTTGCTGTATTTGGGGTGGTTGGGTACCTTCGACGGTGGCCTCAAGATGGTGAGAGATTGGGTGCCTTCGTCGTTGGGTTTCTGACGCTCCCCGAGGCAGTCATTCACATGCCCGGATCAAATTGGTGGGCCATTCTGTTGTTTTTCACTTTGGTAGTGCTCGGGTTCAGTTCGGCGTTTGTGATGCTCGACGCCGTGGCTACATTGGCCGTAGATGCTGGAGTCAAATACTCGCGGCCGGTCATTGTTACTGTCCTAACTCTGATCTCATTCCTCATGTGTCTACCGTACTGCACCGAGTTTGGCTTCTACCTCCTTGATGGAATCGACCGGTGGATCAACAATGTTGCACTGATTTTCGTCGTGTGGTCGGAGCTTATCGGCGCAACCGTGGTCTATCGCTGGCACGACACTGTCAGCCAAACGGGGCTGCCAGCTTTTCTTATTTACAATTTCGGATACTTTGGCGGTCAGATAGTCGGTGTCTCTGTTGCCCACGGTGTTCAGAATCCGTCCGTCGGTGCCGGTGCCGGCTTTGGTCTGTATATCGTTTGTACAGTTATGTCTGTTCTGATCGCCAAGACCCCTGGTACCAGAGCGTCCAGCTTCTGGGGCAGTAACGCTCCTCTCAGCCGATTCTGGTATCTAGCATTCTACTCAGTATGAACCCATTTCCCCATCTCTAATTACCGATCAACTAATATGCATTACAGGGCAACCAACTAAGACGAGACCTAAACGACATTGTCGGCGGCGGCGGAAACTGGAAAATCCCTCGCTTCTGGCCTCTTCTCCTCCGCTATATCAGCGCTCCTGTGCTGGCCATCGTCTTCAGCTTCGCGTACCCTGAATTCTATGGTCTACGATATGACCCAATGATGATTGCGGGGTTTATCCTGGCACATCTCTGTCTGCTTGTTATTCTTCTGGGCGTTGTGCTGCCGCGATACTACAACATCTTTATCCCTGCTCATCGCCAAGAAGAGGGAACCGAGATCACCATACCTAACCAGCCAAAGGGACAGGGTATTGAATACACACCGGATATTTCTGGATTGGACTTCGACGCTGGTCTGTCGAAGTCATTCCCTAGGACGAGATTCGATGGGGTTGATGCTGAACGTGCGATTCCGAAGCCTTAGTTTATAGCTTTGATAAATGGATTGTTATGAATACTCTGATTTAGCTGCCGCAGATGACGTTGCTAATGACACTTCTCATTGAAAGTGTATCTTTCTTTGAATAGTAAGCTGTAGAGATATACCTTTGTCAGATGTTTAACCAGAGTAATGTATTCCATGTCAGTAGTGGCTATAATAGTAAACGAACAGATATTACATTTATGTTTTACAAGAAGTTGATTCAATGCGAGACGACTTCATATATTTTGTAAGAATATAGAGAAAGTAAGGTATTTTATTGACTTCCCAGATACGTCCAATAACAATCTACTGACTTCTTTACCGAGTAACCATATTATCCAATCCAAACAACCTATACATCCACAGCTTTCAACCATATAACTGCCGATTATGTCTATTCCAAGGCCTTGTAGCGAGTCTCCCATTAGGAACAATGTGCTCGCCCCGATTCACAGGCTGCAATTCAAACGCACTTATCAAAGTAGCCACATCATCACCCTTAGTTCTGCTGGGGCATATCCCGGTCCCATACATCTATGCGGTCGTGCAAAAACGCCAGGCTGCAATAAATGCTCTCCGCACCGCCCTCATCAATTTTTCCCGTGGTCTGGTCGATCCAGCGATCAGGGATAAATTGCTCAGCTGTCGGTCCCCATAGATGGGGAGACTAGTTAATCGCGCAAGGCGCGATCATCACCCGGGGCGGGACGCCTTTTGGGGCCGCACAGTTGAGGACCGAGATATCCTGTGTTGCAACTCGTGTGGTGATAGGGAAAGACAATTATAGGCGGATGTTTTCGTTGCATACGCGTTGAGAAGAGGGAGGGTTTCCTGTCGGTTGGCGAGCTCGGGGCCCTTTGTAGCCCATAGTTCGGGAGATATGTAGGAGCGGATCTCGGGTTGGAGACGAGATTGGATGTGCGGATTGGTAGCGAGGAGGTAGATAGTCCAGCTGAATGTAGCAGCTACTATTTCATAGCTAAAGGGGTCAAAATGTTTTCTACAGCAAAAACGAATGGTCACTCACATGCTGGCAGAAGCATCAAGAACTGATCGACAATCTTATCATCTGTAAATCTCCCTGACTGGATAATTTTCGATAGCAAATCCGGGAAGTCGTCATCGCAGGACTTACCCTGTTGTCTGCTCCCCTGCATCGAACCCCAGCAAAATCTCCTCAATAGCATGCCCTGACTTCGCTTGCGTTTTAAAATCCTGACCTAATCCGGCAATGCCGAACATGTCCAATGTGATGGTAGCCCAGTCATTCATGTCCAGTACACCAGAAGAATCTTCTTGAGAAACAAGCTCTGCCGCAATTTCCTTCGCCAGGCTGATATTCTCATTCTATAATGTACGAGTGAGCCTTACTGTATGACGGAGTGTGAAGTCCGGGGTGACGCTTTCCACCGATATCGGTGGACATCACCCTCGGCGGTAAAGTGTCCGCCTTTCAAAATACATTTCTCGTGGTTTTTCAAAACTGTAGGGCTTTGTAGATACTACTTCTTCAAGGTCCTCAAGGTTGGTGAGTAGGAGGTGGTCGGAGTTTGAATAAGTCTCCGAATAGAATGACCCCGTTATTGGGTACCTCGATGAATCGAAAGTAGTCTTGGCCCAGTGGCTGTTTGAACCGCGCCAGTGCATAGCCGATGAGAGAGTATCCAACCTACAGATCTGTTAGAGCAATCGTAGGTGCAAAATAGAGCCACGGATATGGGGGAATTGTGTGCAGCACGTGAAAAGAAATGAAACACGCTGAGCGTTTGAGGGTAGATGAACAGTTTGTATAGGGCCCATATGCCTATAAAAATGGATAATCCATCCGATCTTCTGTTATGAATCTATAGAATTAACAAAGGTATGATTGCTCACTGTTGATCATGTATGTGAACTTAAGACATTAATATGGATATTCTAGTTTAAAAAATGGCCAACAAACAAATACTATATTCGATCAATAACATCATGTCGTGTATTCCCCCGAGAAGTCCATCATTTATTTACTATCAAGCAGCAGGAAAGTCTCAAATCTCATGCGGTCCTCCACTATTCGTGAGGCCCGGACTGCGTCACTAACATTGGACGATACTGACGTCCATCCGCCCCGCAGGGAACGCCAGTAGCAAGCCTCCGCAGCCGGCGTCAAATAATGATCGCGAAAGGTGGCTACGCTATTGTTGGTCCGCTCTGCCAGTGCTGGATCTTCCAGCAAGGTTTGCACTTTATCCGGTAAATCTAAAAAGTCGCGCTCTACCCTACAAAGTTCTGGTCTGGACCAGATGATACTAGCAGGTAATGGCGGTGCTGAATATATTGCAATTTATGTGCAATAACCACAGACATGCATGCTTGTCGATACTACAGCGATGCCGAATACGATCGTCCTATTCTCATATCAGTCTTGATGAAGATAAGCAGAGGGTGTACGGGAAAACACCTTCGACATCAGCAATCAGCCGATAACGGCAATGATCCATCATGGCCATGAAATCGTCCTTCCTCCCCCAGTCCAGCTCCTTGACATCTCCCCAAGGCTGATTCTTCGCTGCCTCTAGCAATCCTCGTCGCATCTTTGCTGCAAAACTTAGCTTGCCTCTCCACAGAAGTTTCGATTTTTTCTCGTTCCAGGGTGCTTCCTTTTCCTCCTGGCGGCGAATCCGGCCCACTACCAGACTGTATGGTCCAATTGGGCTATCTGTGTGATCATTATTCCAGGACCAAAAACCAAAGTCAGGCATCAGCCAGACTGACTCTTCGTTAGCTTTTCTGGCTAAAATCCAGAGAGAATGGCCAGGGCCTGCCACGCCATCGAGCCTGTCTTCTACCGAGAAAATGAACTCCGTTGGAGGACGAGACTGAATGGGGTTGGTGACGAGTGCCTTGTAGATGGAGCTCAGGATCACTAAGATCTTGCGACAGTGGTCACCGTTACGAGCTCGCGCCGCTCTCACGTACAGCTGACCATTGACGATCACAGCGAGGGCCATACCCTCAACTAACTCAATGGCCTCCAGATCCTCAATTACGATATCACCTCGACTGTCCCAAATGTTGTGAGCCCGTGTGATGTCTTCGAACAGGCCGGGGAAAAACAGCTGACATTGAGAGTCGCTCAGCGACAGGTTCTGCGCATCGTAGACAGGATTATACCTCCCTGTCTCGTGGTGAGAAGTTGTTGCCACAGCAGAGCAATAAAGACATGTATCGCATTTAAAATCCAAAGTCGATTGACATGCGCAATGACCAGCGGGGATCAGATGGTTCAGCAGCGATGGAATGTTGTCTCGATCCGAATTGACCCCAATCAGAGTCCCCAAATGCATAGTCCGATGAAGGCACACAGAAACAGGCATATGGCGAATTGATACCGGCTTGCTGGGGGGATATTATTTGCGACCCTAGACGAGACCAAAGGACAGTTTTTGTTTGCCCCTATCCATATCAAGAATTAAGGGCAACGCCAAATCGTGTAACGCAAAAAGCAAAAAAAAAAAAAAAAAAAAAAAAAAAAAAAAAAAAAAAAAAAGGCTTCTATATACGTGATGACGCAACCATTTTTGAGCAAGGATGCTTCGATCAACGTCGACTTTGGAGCTCATTCGCCCAGGACACCATGAGGGTTTGTTCTGGTTGGAATTCTCCCGACCGGGAAAGTATTACACCTGAATATGTACCCTCAAACCACGATGGAGTCGCTCTCTACTTGATGAGGCATTGATTGACCAGACTGGGCATTTGTTGACGTTGGTCTTAGGAAATGATAATCATCCTGTTAAAGGTTGTGTAGGGCTTAAGCGGTCAGAGAGGTAATGCACTATTCTTCTTGACGATCCTCGTGTTTCGACTTTCCACATTGCCTGATTGGGTCCTCCACACTGTTCGTCTGTTTTTGTTGGTTGGGGTCGAAAGCACGGGCGAAATTGTTTTTAATCATGTCGTCGCTTTCCAGGCTTCCACAAGGTGAGCATTGGGGACTCCAAAGTTTACACCCCATAGTAATACCACGTAAAGTGTATCGTCTACACCGCCACGGTCTGGTATAATGTTGATCAGTCCATCCAAGAATTACCCAAGTCCAATAGGTATAACAAGATTAGGCTCCAAAATCTTAGACTGCTAAAGCAGGAACTGTAGCATTCATTTGCTCAGTACTCCCTACATTCTGAAGGTTTATTTTGCCTTAACTTCGGTGACCCTGTTACTAGTGTTTGTATCTATATATAAATTAGATCCACGTACTGTGGCCGTGCTTAGTTGCCTTATTATTTAGGGAGTATTTACAGTTAGTTCGTTGGGAATATATACGTATTACCGAATGGTGTAGGTGTATCAGGGAAGTATGTATTGCATTGCAATGGTGTTGAATCAAGAAAGACGGGAGATACCTCCAGCTCAAAAAATTGTTAGAGACCTACTGTATTCAGTACGGTCACGTGGTATCTCTCTGTCACCGATCTACGCCGGAGTAGATAACTAGTCAGTAACCTGACTAGGGCAGCTCGCCCTAGCCCAGCCTAACCCCTTGGATTCAAGAGAAATTGAGCCTTGGGACAGAAATCCCTTGGCACGTGACGAAGGTGGTGATCTTATTTGCTCAGTTCTGAGTTCCTTGTCCACGCACCTCCAAGTCACCAATTTTTGTTGAAACCTCCTTTATGACTCAGTATATTGGCTTCACTAAGAAGCCTAGGCTTTTAGTTGGTCAAATGGTTTGTCTTGACAAATTTCATCCCTAACGTAACTGGTGCACTCATCCTCGGACTTCCAAAGACTTTATTCCGAATAAATAAATAATGTTGTGGAATTCAGGGGAAGTGATGCGCAGGGAGCTATTCTATCAGCTACAGGCCAACTAGCCTAATTAGGAAGTAGATGTCATTCAGTGGAAACACCAGGAATCGCAGTATCTCAACCAACTGAGCCTACTATGCGGTTCCCTATATTCTCATTGAGGTGTTCGCTATCTAAAGGATTCAGGGGTTGAATCGATCGTTAGATACTCCGCACCGCCAAGTCGGGCGGATATAGTGTTTCCGTAACAAATAATAGTAGGTCTCTATAGCCTTATGGGCTGTGGGTGAGCTGTATTTTTGGTGCTACTATGGAAAAGGGAGACTCACGACACATTATGACGGCCTCGGTGCTTGAAGCGATGTCGACATGATGACTATAATTCAGGGGAAAGGGGACAGAAGAACAGTATATCAGCTACACACAATAGCCTACTATGGACCGTATTTATAGTTTATATATTGCCTTTATTACCATCCAATGGACGCACACACTATCTATGAATAGGGGCAGGTCAGGGGAAATACCCCGCAGTGTGCCGAGGCGCTAGGCTCCCAGTCTATGTACTTATCAGTGCCAATTTTCCCCAGAGAGTTGTCAGAGTAGGCACATATACCAATACTACGCACAAATTGTAACAGCGCTACTTTTTGCGGTGTCGTGGTATATCTGACAAGAGTATGGATTTCTCGCTGCCTTGGACTCCAGAGGACAGTCGAATGCGTGAATCTTATTCAACACGCTGATTGAGCACTATACTGCCGGAAACTATAGCTCCTGTATCAAAAGGGAAACCATTCGGCCGGTATACCGAAGAAACCCCTTCCGAAATTTACTAAGGTTCGTGGTATATCATGGAAATCGCTTGGGCTGCTTTTAAATTATGTAGAGGAGAGAAAGAGCAGGATAGAGTAAACAGAATAGCTTTGCGAAAATTGTATATAGGAACACCACAGCACGATAATAGTCTATCAGGCCACAAATATGGAGGAATATTTCCCCGTGTAGAAACTGCTGGGAGCTTATCAGAATTTGGAAGGATAGCCCCGATCACTTACATCAAAAATATGGGGAGGAGGTAACTCCTCCATGTTGAGATGAAAAAGGAGACATGCCAGCACAACATAAAAGTGTAAGTAATAAGTTGTTATGTTAGTTTCGAGAGTCAGAGTGCCTGAGTTGGAGGTACACCCATTCTTGCTGGTGGCTATCATTATGGTTCGAAACACGATTGTGTTTAAACTGCAAGGGGTAAGGGTGGCACGTGGACTGTTAGCCTACGTTTCTGTCTCCACTCTCTAGACTTTTTATTAAAATTTACGTCTTAGGAGCAACAGGCTGTTGGCTATGGCTTTTGACGGGCACTAGGATCTGATAGACTGAATCCTTGAAATTATATTTCGCTAAATTTTGTCATTTATCCTCTGTATCTTCTGTATGGGCTTATTCGGCCCTTACGCGTGATATGTTTCGAATCTGTATGGTATAATCCATTCATAGCTAGATGGAATATAATTAACCTGACGTGTGGTATATCTATCCCTTCGATTCTGCCTGTTCACTGCTACAAATGTCTACAATGCACTCTACTGCGCCGTAAACCCTCCATCCACAGGCACACACGTCCCAGTCATCCAATTCGCGTCCTCGCTTGCTAGTACCACCGCCATCCGGGCAATATCATCCGGTGCCCCAGGTGCCCCGAGAGGATGAACGCTTTGTAGAACATCTAAACTAGCCACATTGGTCGTGAAATCGTGCAGAATCGCCGTTTTGGTAACTGGATTCGTCAGCACAGCCTCTCCACCCAAAAGCTGGTAAATAAACCTACACCCAGGACAAATGGCATTCACATGGATGCGATCCGGCGCATAATCCAAAGCCACCTGGCGAGTCAAATTGCTGACTGCTCCTTTCGAGGCGCAATAGGACGCTAGATGGTCATCAGCAAGCAACTGCGCAATACAGTATCATCACAGTGACATACGTGATTGCGTTGCCCCAACAATTCCGCAAATCGACGACATATTGATGATCCATCCCCGATCACCCGATTCATGCGCCTCTTGCTTCAGCATCTGCGCCACCGCGTACTTGCATCCGAGGAACATAGACTTGGTGTTGACGCGCATCGTCTTGTCCCATGTTTCTTCGTCGGTCTCATGGACCCTTGTCGGTTTCTGGGCTTCCAACGCAATGCCTGCATTGTTCACCAGACTGCGGATAGTCTATAGTTATGGATCATCCATCGCAGGTAGGGGAGAAGAGATAAGGTCTGACGTACATATCTAGACGACCAAACTCCGCAACCGCACTCTGTACTAGATTCTCCATCCGCACCGCATCTCCCACGTCCACGGTTACGAAAATAGCCTGTCCTCCAGCTTGGTGGATGGCTTCATGAGTAGTGATCTTCGTTTCCTCGGTGACCTCAGAACGCGCAGTGAGCGAGAGGTCTGCGCAAACAACACGGGCGCCTTCCCGTGCATATCGCAGTGCGATTGCTCTGCCCAGGCCAGAGGATGAACCAGTGACGATAGCGACTTTGTTCTGGAGACGCATTTTGGTGTCCTACTGTAATAGGTCGAGGGGATTACAGGATATGATCTCATATACTTGTTTCCATGTGGTGTCTATGAAGAATGGGACTGCAGCTGACGTGAGACAATGGCCTTGGCCGGCCGTTGGTGCGGGGAAGTGAGTTGGCACATGTGGTACATCCCATTGCTCTTTGTACACATGTGAGAGGGTTGTTGTTACACATGTAAGGGGGCTGCTGTTGTGGAAGGTGTGTTTTTATATAGAATAGTTATATGTATACAATTAAGTGGCGCTAAAGTAATATGGACGCGTGAATATGCAGAGTAGTCAACTATATTTTTAATCTATATCGGTCGCAAATATATTCCAGTCAAGGATTTTTATAATTGGAATATCGAAAGCCATGAAGAGTGGCGCTGTAAACTGCATAAATGCTACAAATTATAACGGTTACTCGAAACACGCCCCCAATTTGTTGTCTCCACCGTGGTGACCTGCAAGGAAGCCTGAAGCTAGGAACTTCTTACTCCGAAGTAGTTCCGAATTCTATATTTTTGGATTTCTGAGTACTCCTGGAGAATCTGTTAGTTAGATTTGTGGCTTACTGAATTTTATAAATGTTCTAAATGGCCACATACTATGGTGAGCATATACCAGACGGAGGTTGTCTTCCTCTGTATGAGTTATTTTACACACTCAACACCCCACACTACTGACTATGCTCTCCACTCCGCCAATCCCCAACATACCCCGGAAAATATAGGAGCACTATAGCCGAGCTGCGGATGACACGACAGATATAACCGAGCGCTGTTCATTCTTGTTGGTTGATGTAGTAAAATACAGACACAAATGCATAGATTGACTACTATATGTGGTAGTTGGATAATCGGCTTGGAATCATGTAATCACGAAATAGTGGCATCTATTGAGATCCCCGTACTGTAGGATGTCAAAGCCTGGAATTTCCCGAATCCCTAGAGAAGGAAATCGGCTTCAGGAACCCGACCTTTCTGGACCTGAAGTTGTTGGTCTGGATCAGGCGTTTGCATTACTAAAATATTCAGGGATCGGCAATGCCCCGCACAGTTCATGAATAATTAGATTGTATAGCTTGGCCAATGATAGCATTCGATGGGCTAATAGTTAGTTGCCACGTCACAAATGGGATTGAACAGAATGTGCATCTAGATTTAGATATTTTTACTAGAGAGAGTCAGGATTGTTTGTAATTCTCTAGAATTGTTAACCAGACTAATAGGTTTTAATAGCCGGCAGCACTCTGTAATTATTCTACTGCTGCGAAATTCAACATACGCTGTACTAAAATAAGAAAAATCCACGATGCCCCGCCGCGAGTTTAACCTGAGGCATCCCCGAAGTATGCCAATTACCAATCAGCACCACGCGACCACTCGTCTGTGGACGGATGGCGAACAAAGCTTTTTCAAGTGGGTCAATCTATTACTAAATTGCAAAGGAGGAGCATTCCTATTGGCCCCGGGCGGGCCGCAGAGCTTGACTTTTATGTTTGTCGCCGCCGAGACCGTTTCCCGTTCGGGCGAGTTGAGGCCGGCATCCCGCATCTGTCGATCTAAATGTCTCGCGGCTTGCCATGTCTTGCAGCTTTTGATGACTTGTTCGTGGTCTCTGCGGGAAATCTTGTTTCATCGGGGAAAAATTGAGGCTTTATACATATCTGGAGAATCCCCTGTGTAGACCGATCGTTCCCCAGACATCTCTCCTCCATCCCACACCCCGGAGACAAGAGCCGCCACGACCCCGACCCACCGGAAAAATCTCTGCACCTACGGGTCCGACCTTTTCTCTCTGTCAACAATCCACTGTCGACGCGAGACCCTTCTACGGATATTCCCCTTTGTCCTGTGCTGGTGCCAAGATGTTGCAAGGCGTCAATCCTATCCCAGATCCTATTGACACAAAGCACGATGACAAGACGTATGACCCGGAAGAAGACCTGAAGCGTGTAGACAACACGTATGAGGACCCGTTTGGTAATGAAGAGACTGCTGAGGTCAAGTACAAGACCTTGAAGTGGTGGTATGTTCAATATCTCTTCATACCGAGACCAATGCTGACGAGACAGGCAATGCGGAATGTGTATGTCCACCGAACAAGCAACGCGGTCACAAGCTCACGAAGAACAGTTATGATTGCCGAATCGGTGTCTCTGGGTGTCCTCTCTCTCCCAGCCACGTTATCCGCCTTGGGAATCGTCCCGTATGTCCATCTTCCCCATTGTGCAGGCATATAGGAATCTAACCATCCATCAGTGCAGTTATCCTCATCGTCGGCCTCGGTATTCTTGCTCTGTACACCGGATATGTCATCGGCCAATTCCGCCAACGGTACCCATTTATTCATAATCTGGCGGACGCAGGCGAGATCCTCCTGGGACGGTTTGGTCGTGAACTGTTCGGTCTGGGCCAGATTCTGTTCTCGATTTTCATCATGGGTAGCCATATCGTCACATTCACTGTGATGATGAATACCATCACCGAGCATGGCACCTGCTCGATTGTGTTTAGCGTCGTGGGAATGATCATCTGCATGGTTCTTTCGCTTCCTCGCACGATCAAAAACATGACCTATGTCTCTATAGCCTGTACGTCCCTGTCTACGTCTTAAAGTCGTCTGGCGAAATTAAAACTGATGATTTATAATAGCCTTCCTAAGCATCTTCTCTGCCGTCATGATTACCATGATCGGCGTCGGTGTCCAATACAAAGGCGGCGAGAATATTAGCGTCACGCACGAAACGAATCTATACCACGCTTTCTCGGCAGTCACCAACATTGTTTTCGCCTACTGCGCCCACGTCGCCTTCTTCGGTCTCATAGCCGAAATGGAAGAACCCAAGGACTTCCCCAAGGCTCTGTGTCTGCTCCAGGGCTTTGAAATTGCTCTGTACGTCACGGCCGCCGTCGTCATCTACTACTACGTCGGTGACGGAGTGGGGTCTCCTGCTTTGGGATCTGCTGGTCCGTTGCTGAAGAAGGTAGCCTATGGCGTTGCTATTCCGACGGTATGTCCATTTCTATATTACTAGGCTCTTCGTAGTATCATCCTGACAGATATAGATCGTCGGAGCAGGTGTGGTCAACGGCCACGTTGGGTTGAAATATATCTACGTGCGCATGTTCCGTCGCAACCCAACACGCATGCATAAGCGGGATCTCGTCTCGGTGGGATCCTGGGTCGCTATCGGGTTGACTTGTTGGATTATTGCATTTATTATTGCACAGGGGATTCCGACTTTCAACAATATCGTCTCTTTGATTGTACGTCCCCTTTTTTATGCTGGAGTATAAGATACTAATGGAAGCAGAGTTCGCTCTTCGCGAGTTGGTTCACTTGTAAGATTATCATAATATCATATAATGAACGCCATTGATTGATGCTGACTTACTGTTGCAGACGGTCTGAGCGGCGTCTACTGGCTCCACCTGAACTATGGAAGATGGTTCTCGTCTAAGCGCAAGATCGCCCTCTTCGTGATCAATATTTTAATCGTGGGTGTTGGTGCTGTTATTGTATGTCCTCCTCTCTGTGTTTTTCTCCGCCCGCCAAAGCACTTTATACGTGTCTTAAAGAGTACTAATAAGACTAGTGCGGCCTCGGTCTGTACGTTTCCGGGAAAGCTATCCACGACGATAGCTCCAAGATGAGCTTTTCTTGTGCCAATACCGCAAATTAGGCTTTATCGGTACAGTTGTCTCTTTGAATTGATAGATTCATGGTTATATGATATACGGTACATGGTACATGGTATATACGTTCTGTTTTGCATAGCATGCTTGATTTATACAGCGTAGATGGCGAGTTGTTTTTGTTTACTTTGTATATAGATAGAATTTCGTGATATATACATATTCTATTTCTCCCACTTCTATAGGTATTATCTGTGTAACATCTATACCGAAACCATACTCCTGGCAATCACGTCGAATCGAGATCCGAAGCTGAACGGTAAGAATTAGGTATGCTTGTCCGACCCACCGTGCTAGGCAACTGTCTGTCGTCTTGAAGTCTTTCTCACTGCACGTTCCCGCATCACGACAAAAACGTTCCGCGCAGTCGATCTAGCCGTGTCTATTTCTCTGGCACAGACGGCGATCGAGACACAAAACGAGGCGGAAATAGCGCGAGAACTTTGGGCATCGTCGGAGTAGTTGTTCTCAGTGGCGAGTACCTACCTACTTGTCATATTGGTTGGAGGATTTCCAGGGCTGAGGTGAAAGTCAAGCTACAGTCACTGGCTGGATATTGTAAATTTCCGAAATCACCATGCAGCCTTTAGCAATAGTCTTCTTACTATTAGGCTGTATTTAAATTACCAGCACCTACATATTCATCACAGTGCCCATAGTAGTTTGCTGTTTGAGAATATATAATAACAAAATACAGTCAAGAGTAAATTATATTGGAAATGGCTTTGGCACATTGGATTTTGAAAAATTACAGCTATTTTTAATATATTTTAAACTGTATTTACAATTTTACACAATATTTATTATATTCACATAGAATAAGTTACTCCCCCGGCTTCCAAAATTTAGGTCGCATGTGGCTCTATTGATTAGAGGCTATTGCATGCCTCGGCTGATGCCAGAATGGGAGTGGGCATATATAATTAATACATTTCTGATTAGTCTAAGGTAATGACGGGGTGATTCAATTCAGAATTAATTCAATGTCTGGTTAATTCATTGATGTCGATCCTCTGAATACGCGTATGAGCTAGTATCGCCACTCTTATAAATAATCATGGATCTGTATTGAAAAAGTATACGGGTCTCTAACTATCTGAATCTATCTGGGAGAACTGAATTAAACAAGTGAAAGCAAAGGAACAAAATTGGACCGAGTAAATGCTGAGTAATGAGTAATATTGGCCCTGCATCTCTGTCACTGATAGCCTCGGATAGATCGACCATGATCTTCAGCCGGGTGGAGCTGAGGTCCGGCATGTGGACCGGACTTTGTAATTGTTGGACTCTGTCGTATGTGTCCCATCACCTATCAGCCGTTCTGCAAGCATCTCGCATTGCGATCCTTTCAGTTCTTTTAATAAGCTGCTCATCCTCCCTCCCTCTGACAGAATACATTTGCACATTCACATGCAATTATCATGACGTCGCCGTTCCCTACGATCGACATACCCTCCATCGACCTCTGGAGCTTTCTCTTTGAGCGTCCCGACCGACCCTACGCGGAGCACAAAGGTATGCGACCTGGGTCGACTCTCATTTTCTTGCGCTAAATTGGAAGTGCTCTTCGCCGATGCCGAAACCGGTCGCTCGCTCAGTTATACGGAAATCCGCCAGACGGCTCTGACCTTTGGCCATGCACTACGACGTAAATGGAACTGGCAGACCGGTGACGTGCTGACCACCTTTGCCTCTAACTCCATCGACCTGCCGCCTCTGATTTGGGGCACTCTGGCGATTGGCGGCGTTGTCTGTCCCCTCAACCCGAATTACCCCGTGGAGGAGCTACTACACCCGCTTAAGGATGCCGGGACAAAGGCCCTGCTCACGCAACGTGAGCAATACCCCGTGGCGATAGAAGCCGCAAAACGTGTGGGAATCCCTCCAGATCGTGTGCTTATCCTGAAGGAGTTGCCGCGTGATATGGCCGACGATGGCATGGTGTATGGAACACATAAGCCTCCGGTGAAGCGGCCGGACACTGATCTGGCGTTCCTGGTGTACTCTTCCGGTACAACGGGGATTCCCAAGGGCGTCATGCTGTCTCATCGAAACTTGGTGGCCAATATCCTGCAGGTGATGTCTGTGGATCGCGGCATACTGTCCTGGAGTCAAGGGCTCAACGGCGAGGGTGATCGGACAGTGGCTCCATTACCTTTCTTCCATATCTATGGTGCGTTGTTTTCCTATCACATAGTTACCAGCAGACGGTTCTGTCTAACTATTACATCCAGGCTTAAACTGCATCCTGAGCCACACGATATACGCCGGTTTACATACTTTTGTCATGTCCCGATATGACCTCCATGCTTTCTGCCGTACCGTGCAAAACGAGCGCATCACCTACGCTTACGTCGTCCCTCCGATTATCCTGGATCTCGTGTCCCAGCCGCAGGTAGCCCAATACGACCTGCGGTCTCTGCGCATGATGCTATCCGCCGCAGCGCCATTAGCGACCGGGTTAATCCACACTCTGCACAAGAAACTCGGTCTGTCTGTTCGTCAGGCGTACGGATTGAGCGAATGTGCTCCCTGTACGCATATACAGGTACGTGTCTCTCAAGCCACCCTCAAGCCACCCTCTCCTCTGTCGTTCCCATTCCCGAACTAACGCAAAGAACAGACATGGGAAGAAGCCCGCACCCACCCCGGCTCGGTCGGTCGACTTCTCCCCAACATGACAGCCAAGTACGTCCCCGTTGAAGGCGAAGCCGACCGGTCTAAGGAACTCTGGGTAAAGGGCCCGAATGTGTTTCTCGGGTACTTGAACAACTCCCAGGCCAACGCTGAATCTTTCTCCGAAGATGGATACTACAAGACCGGCGACGTGGGGTTCGAAGACGATGACGGCCGGTTCTTCATCTCTGACCGTGTTAAAGAACTCATTAAGTATAACGGGTTCCAAGTGGCACCGGCAGAACTCGAGTCCATCGCGCTGGGTCATCCGGCTGTGGCTGACGTGGCGGTCACAGGGATCATGAACGGGCAGTCAGGGACGGAACTGCCTCGTGCGTATGTCGTCGCTGCTCAGGGAATGCAGGCGGACAGGGCCTTGGCCCAGGAGATTGCGGGTTTTGTGGCGGATCGGGTGATCAACTATAAGCGTCTACGAGGTGGGGTGCATTTTGTCGATAGTATTCCAAGAAATCCGTCGGGGAAAATCTTGAGAAGGGAGTTGAAGAAGTTGGATAGAGAGGCGAAATTATAACTGACACATGCTGGTTGCAGGAGCGTATAGAATTACAGCTCTCTTATAGCCCTGGATGATGTTATTCATGCTGCTTTGCTGTTCTTGTGGATGTACTTTGAATGCCTATTTTGTTGCTCTCTTATTTACTGTACACTATCTTTCGGTATTTATCTTTTAGTGTATTTTTTTTTTATTATTGTTTTTTTTTCCCCTCTTCTTCTGGGAATACTGTGAAAATTAAGAGAGGGCTGGCACATGTCGACATATCCTGCTATACAGTGCCCACTAGCGGGGCCAAAGACAACATAGTAATCGATGGCCAGGTGAACCAGTCCAATTTAGCCAATCTGATAATTTCGGTGAGTAAAGATAACCGAACTCGGCACTAGGGACAATTTGGTTCTTGTCAAACAGTATACGTATATGCTCTGTAGATATAATTGTGACGTATCACTCTATTGGCTCGGTTGCTATGGCGCCGTCGAAAGGGGTCCCGTCATGAGATCACACTTGGCGTTGGGGGCAGCACGGAGTATATCGGAATATACTGGACAGATTCTGTTGCATTTTAATGTTGATTCACCCCGTCATCACATTCACCCACGAATACTATACCAGGTGCCAGGTGCCCCTCGGTAGCAACCGATCCCCACCCTTCTGACCCCTCTCGATCATCTCCGCATCAAACTCAATTTAACCGAAGGGTAACGAAAGGCATCGATATGCCGCGAGGTTTGCTGCCGTCTTTCACCACTTGTCAAATACGATCGTTTCTCGAGTCACAATGCCTGACCGACGCATAACACGCCATGTCGATAATAAGAACTTTGCCCGCTCGACGGTCGTGATCATTGGGGCCGGGGTTGCAGGTTCTCGTTTCTACGGTTACTTCCTATCACGTGTAATGTGCTAATCGGGTCCAGGTCTATGCGTTGCAATCGATCTCCTTCGTCGAACACCCTGTCGGAACTTCGTTATCCTAGAAAAAGGAAGTCAAGTGGGAGGTACCTGGAATGACAATAAATATCCGGGCTGCGCATGTGATGGTATGCTGCTATTCGTGTTGTTCTTGGCCTGTATGCTGATTCTGCCGGATTCACAGTTCGGAGTTCGCTGTATAGCTATTCTTTTGCGCAAAGAACTGACTGGTCGAGAGAATATCCAGGTCAAGAAGAGATTCTTGTACGTCTCCCGCTGTTGCAACAAACGTGATCCTGACTCCAGCCTCAGGAATATGTCATCCACATCGCCGAAGAGTACGGTCTATACAAATACATTCGGTTCAACTCAGTCGTGCAAGAGGCCCGTTGGGATGATGCGCAAATGCAATGGACTGTTGGTGTTGCTGTCTCTGGTGGCAAAGACAGTGAGTTCGTACAATCATACGAGCTAACGACCGACTTCCTGGTCTCCGCAGTGGGTCAACTTAACCTACCCCGATGGCCCACTATTGCCGGTCTGGACAATTTCACCGGCAAGATGATGCACTCGGCGCGCTGGGACTGGACGTATGATTTTAGCGGGAAGCGCGTCGCAATAATCGGAAACGGTGGGTTCCTTGCCAGGATATACTTGACAGGTCTAATAATATGATCAGGGGCGACTGCCGTTCAGATTATTCCCGAGCTTGCCAACTCCGTCTTGCATCTCTCTGTATACCAACGAACTCCCAACTGGACCATCCCGCGCTATGACTGGCGGGTTTCTTCATTCCAGAAGTTCCTGTTGTCCCGCTTCCCACCGTTCCGATGGCTCAAGCGGTCTCTCTGCATGCTGTACTGTGAGGCAACACACACACCAGTCACAAACAGCCAGTCGATGTTTTCGCAGCAAGTGCGCAGAATGACGATGCTGGCCATTCAAGCCCAGCTACCTGATAAACCGGACCTCTGGGAAAAGCTGATTCCGAATTATCCCCCCGGATGTAAGCGGATTCTGATCACGGATGACTACTACCCAGCACTGAATCAGAAACACGTCGATCTCGACACCAGACCCATCCGAAGTATAACCAAGACGGGCATCGAGACTGAAGACGGACAAATCGAGGAATTCGATCTGATTGTTCTTGCAACGGGATTCCGTACCGTCGAATTCATGTCCCCGATCCGGGTATTTGGACGCCAGGGTCGTCCATTGGCAGAGCTATGGAAGGACGGGGCGCAGGCGTACCGCGGAGTCACGGTGGAAGACATGCCGAATTTCGGCATGCTGTATGGTCCGAATACCAACCTAGGTGGGTGATCTCGTTTCAGTATATGCCGGATGAAGGATAACATAATACGAACAGGTCACAACTCAATCATCCTCATGATTGAAGCTCAGAGTCGATACCTAAGCGTACTGATCAACGAGGTTCTACGTGCCCGCAAGTCGGGGAAAACCCTCTCCCTCGTCCCCCGTCCGGAGGTTGTTCACAGCTACAACGAGGATCTCCAAGCACGGCTGGCTAAAAGCAGCTTCGCGGACCCGAACTGTCAGAGCTGGTACAAGACGGAGAGCGGTCGGATTACCAATAACTGGCCTAGTCGGGTTGTTCGGTACCAGAAGGATATGGACCGGGTGTATTTAGATGAGTATCTGGCCGAGGGAACGGGGAAGGAGTTGGTAAAAGGAAAGAAGGTGTATCTTGGGCGAGTGGTGGAGGAGAGTCCTGTAAGCTATGCGACTTTGATGCTGGGGCTGGTGGGTGTAGTGGTTGGAGGAGCTTATATGAATGGTTATATGAGTGGGATTGGCCCTGGGAGGCAGAAGATGAGAGATTTGTTTGGTTTTGTCGAGGGGTATTTTAGGAGGTAATTTCGTCCTGGCTATAGCTACTGCGTGCATTTATAAACAGCAAGTTATCTTGATATTAACAAGTCTAGCTTTTATTTTTAAAAATTTCATCCTCACTCTCTATTATGGGCAGGATTTTGGTCATTAGGATCTCAGTTCTAGCTCTACAGCTAATCCCCCTGCTGAAAATGTCATAAAATTCTCATGCATATCTCAATTGCTCCGGAATCATGTAGCATAGAATACTATGGCCCAGACTGAAACCGTACATGACGAAAATTAAATCATAGAACAAAAATGAACTGAACAAGACATTACATACAATATATCCACCCTTCTAACTTCGGATTTTTTTTTAATAACATTGTTAGTGTAAAATTCCCAATTGCAAGGGATAAATATGCAGGTTGCGTCTAAGACTCGCCTGGACTGAACCTCCCGTGCTGGTAATACTCTACCTTAATTTTGATGTAGTCGGGCTGTCGTGAATATGCCATTGCCATGAAGTATGACTGATAGACAGTTCTCTATAGACTCTCGAATTGTCTGAGTTTACGGAGTCGACTGTTTAAGTCGAAGGTGCTATCTGTTTAATGATAGAATTTATCTTCGGAAATATTGGTAAACCATCTTGCGACAGAGCGTTGGACACAACCTGACTTTGAATATGTTGCGTCTCAAAAAAGGGCACAGCTCCTCCGAAATGACTGAGACAAATCCTCCTGTGGGTCATGCCCCTGGTGATGGTAATATGGTTAACGCTGCTTTAGAAGATATCCCTGGTGCTGACATAGACTCGTTTTCGCTTGATCTTGGCACTGTTTATGGGAGCATGATTGACCCTCAGCGAGCCCAGCAAGATGTTTCAGGTCTAAATAAGACTATCAATTGTCGAACAACGAACTCTTTATGCATGATGTGGTGAATATTATTCAAGCCCTCAGCAAAACTTAGAAAGGCCCTAACCCCGCTCTAGTTGCCATATACCAAATGAGCATAAGCATTGCTGTAGGATGTATATGTATATAGGCCCTGCTACCATGGTAGACATAGTCTTCCACCCACTATTTCCTGCATTATTTGGTCAGCATTTACCGTCAATTCCTGAGCGAATTGATTTTTACTGTGTTTTCAAGATGTTATGATCGCATGATAGGTTACAAAGCTTAAATATTGTATTCAAATGTAGTACGAAGGCAGCATGTTGATTGTCACGCTTGCTCTAATATTATGTCTAAGCCTTTTGGATTTTAAGAACTCGTAGTCCAACATCGCGCTCGCACATATTTCTCTATGACCTGGCCATCGTCTCTCCAAACTCCTCCCCCCATTCTTTCCGTCCTCATCGAGGTCAGTATCGCCGGCATACTTTGTGGTAATAATTGTAGCGGAGCTGTCGAGTGTCGTTCTAAATTCTTGGGCCCAGAGAGGTGGAGATTGAGTCGCAGGTGCCCACTTGTGGGCAGTGTATAGCTGTCTGGCCCAATGGTGTTGTAGAGCTTGACGAGCACCACAGGCTCAGCCATGATGTCAACTGTGTCCAGTACTATGGGCCAGGTGGGCTCCGCCTTTCCCTGTTTAGCTTGAATATTGCATTCGTTGAATTGTTCAACATAGAAGTCGTGCAATTTGCGTGTCCATCGCATGGTCAGCACCATCTGGCAGCTCCGACGTGCCGGAATTGACGTTGTAAATTTCTCACCGTCAGCCCTAACCGAAGCGCAATAAAATGAAGGGAAAGATAGTGCTGGATGTCTGATGAGAAAACCCGGTCATATCTGTATATAGTGTTACCCGAGTTAGGGATTATTTACTCTAAATTTATTCGAGGTCATGCTGGTTGGGCAATGATGACTTGAGCACCAGCTGTGCTGGCTAGCACGTCTGGTGCGCCATTATTGCTATCGCTGGGTAAATGGATCGGTCAACTTGCTCAATACCGCGTGAGCTACCTATGTAAGTACAGTAACAAGAAAGCAACGCACGCTATGCTTCATCGATTCCAGGGCGATGACAAATGTGAGGGTAGCGCAAAGGAGACAGTGGCCCATGTGTTAGTGGAATGCTCAAGGCCTCGGGAACCATAACAGCAACCATGGAGGAAGATTGGGGGCACATTTGGCAATATATCAGCCATATCAGCCATACTTGGGGCGAAAGTCAAACTGCCCAAGGACAAGGACAAGTGGAACCACACCTCAGAGGTTTCAAAGCCGTACTGGAAAAAACGCGACGCTCAGTTCCAAGGCAATCCTACCAACACAGTCTCTGACGAGGTTCTAATTCGCCTGCATGTAATGGAAAATTTGTAGTCGTCATATAACGATAGCTTTAGTTGTGGTAGCCTGCAGGGAGAGGTCAGGGTAAAATAAATCCACACACGTACATACTCTAATGAGAAAGCGAGCAAAGCTCCAGTGTTTGCTATTTGCGTGTGGGTGCCCGCCCTGAGAGATTTCTGTAACATCAGACTGCCATATTTAAGACGAGAAACCTTATTTCAAGGACATATTGGCTGCATTCATAAGTCAATTTTGATTCTGGTAGAGCTACAGTCTGCAGACTCTCTAGTCTGTAGTAGAATTCACTTAAAATAAAGAATTCATCACGCAGAAATATTAATTTTAGGTTCTAGGGTCCATTCTTCATGCTTTGACGTTCCCAAACAAGCTGGCACTAATAACAGCTCTGTTTGTCATATACCACTCTTGTGCATATAGTTGTAACCTTCGTCGGTCTGTCTTATTCGACTTGGTGCGAGGTATTGTGTCGACTAGCAAAAACAAGGATGGAACCATGTGCGCTGGCAAATGGTCTCGGATGGTGTTTGTCATTCTCTCCACCAGAGGTCTCATAATATGGGTCTTGGTGACTTGCTGAAAGCTAATGCCTTCCAATACATTGCTGGTTACGTCCATGCGACACTCTGGCAAATACAAAAACGCAGTCAAGACTGGTTCCTCCTCACCATCAAGAATGCCGAGCAAATTTACGACAGCCGCATCGTTGGTTGACAAACAGGTCCTCAGAAAATACTCCACTTCGACTGCCTCCACTCGATAGCCGTTCAGTTTAAGTAGAGTATCTTTACGACCCATATGCTCCACTGTCCCGTCATGGCGGTATCTCCCCAGATCTCCTGACCGGTAAACACGAGCTGTCGCCCTCTGGGGGTGCAGATCTGCCAGCCATTTAGGTGTTGTTTTGAGAAATCCCACATCGGTCTTGTCGCATTGACTGTCGAGGTATCCTCGGGCCAGATGAGGGCCCTCGATCAGAATCTCACCAACGGCACCAACCGGCATGAGGTGCTCGAGAGACGCAGTATTAACCACCCAGATCGCCCCGCTCCCTGGCCGTCCAATAACGGATCCACTATCACGCTGCACGTTGTCATTGTAGGCACAGAATGTTGCAGCCTCTCCCATTCCGTACTGATTCACAAGTTTAACGTGCTTGCACCACTTCTCCAAGAGGTCATTGGACGGTGATTCTCCGCCGATGCAGAGAACCTTAAGATTGGGGACATCCTCTGGCTGCAGCTGGATGGCGATAGTTGGAGTTAGGAAAGTTATGTTAGCATTCAAAACATTGATGTTCTCTTTCAAAGCAGCAATGGTCGGCTCAGGCGTAGGCACACAACAGCATCCGCCAGCAACCAGGGCAGTCATATAATCATTGTTGCTGATATCACATGCATAATCATCAAACTGGAATACTCGGCTGTTGGGACCCATTTCGAGAAGTCGAACGTAGTCGCAGATTGCGGTGGCATAAGAACGATGCTCCTGGATGATGCCTTTAGGTTTACCAGTACTTCCAGATGTGAATAAAACGAGGCAAGCATTGTCAGGTTGGACTGCCTGACATGCTTGGGGCTGCCACAAGCGTAGCGGCTCCACCGATTCAGAGTCCACCTCCACTATATTCTTAACTGAATGCTTGAATTTGGCGGAAAATACGGAAGTCGTCAGCATTATGGAGGCTTTGGAACGCTGAATCACAGAATCAAGGTATGCTGGCGGGTATTGTGCGTCAATCGAAATGTACGCTCCTCCAGCCTTGAGAATTGATAGCCGACTGACAATGGCCCACATTGATTTCGCGAAACAGCTGAAGACAAACACCTCAGGCCCGACACCCAAGCCTACCAGCCGATGGGCTAGTCTTGTGGTCACGTCGTCCAGCTCCCTGTAGGTTAGCTTGCCATCCCAAGAACAGACGGCCGGCGCGTCTGGAGTGGTTCTTGCGTGTTGCATACATAGCTCGTGCACCAAAAAATTATTCGCTGGAGAAACTCTCGCCGTAAAATCTCTTATATATTCCATGTCGTGCGGCGAACAAAGTCCAATTTCCTGCAAAGTTTGTGTAGGTGAGTGGGAGATTGAAATAACCGCTTCATTGAGGGTGTGCAGCAAACTCAGCGCGAATCGCTTGTCAAGCCTGGTCGGCTGGAAGTAGAGCTTACAATGCAAGTGATCGTCAGGACTAGTTCTGATGTTTAAATGGATAGGAGTCTTCTGCGGTCTGTTAAATATAGTTCGCAAGAAATAACATGAAAGTGCAGTGAGCTACTAACCTCAGGGTCTACTTCTAACGACCCTTTCTGATTTGGTCCACACTCCTGACTATAGGAGATAACTGTGTCATATTCTCCTTCTCTTTGGCTGCACACGATACTGGTACTGCTCGTAATCCTTTTGGGCTCTGACTGATGGCTTGCAACAACTTGTCGGATGAGACTCTGTACTGTAGTCTCTGGAGATATGTCTTCTTGAACAATGGATCTAGATCCTCGGATTGGGCATTCGCTGACATGGAATAGATCGGGATCATCACTACCGATATAGAGGGTGGAAGAAGACGTAAAAGCATAAACTGTCACAATCCAAGCTGTCTGCAACATATACTGAACCTGCGCTTTCTTATTCTCTCCATCGAGCAAAACACCACTGTTAAGCTTCAGGAGATGTATTAGCTGATCCACCGGTGTCGCTAGGACCAGATCGACATGAATTGCAGTATTTCCCGAGTGATCATGATCCCTGTATTCCGTCTGCCCATTCGGCCATCCGTGGATGCCAGGAACAAGACGGTTGCCGTCGGATTCCTTGAGAGGAGCAGCCATTATAGGTAGCAGGGAGTCCACGTGCAAAATCGGGAACAAAGAAGCTAAATAGGTACTAATTTGCACGTATTGTGAGGAAGTATGCTATGAGGTAATATTTGTCTGTTATCCCAATGTCCCAGACTAGATTTACCTTTTTTCGGATAATAACGATGATGCAATTACAAAGAAGAGTTGGCATTTATGGGTACCTCCATGGACGGTGGGCAGAATAGAGCATCCTAGGAGGAAAATACAGGTCCTCCGATCATCGGAATTGCTATTTCAGCTGACTTGCCTCTAAAATAATTAGGCTTTGATTATCCACAACTGAGGCTAGACAGCTGGGCTACTCTGTACCGTATTCTTGATGAGGTACGGCTATTGCGCGAGCTAGCATATTTCTACTCACTTAATAGGTCCATTTTTATGTGATGCACCTTGTGTAAGTTATAACTATGCATTAACGAGTGAGCTTCCAAAGGTACTGCAGCAGTCCCTTTACCTGGTCCCTTTACCTGGGTAACTGTCACGTATTTAAAGAATATACGATGGAGTAGGACCTCGAGACAGTAACTAGTGATTTCTTGTGTGAAATTATTAGCTAGTCCAGCTCCGTTCCGTTCATTTCCTTTAGTAATATCCGTAGATCGTAACTAGACGGTAAAGGATCTTCGTACTGTGGAGAATAATTAGGGAAAAGGTTAATTAAGTATGACTGTCATATCTCTTGTCAATTCACCTGTATAATATTGACACGTATGGGGGATGTGGCATTCAATAAACATATCTGAGGGGGGAAAAAAAAAAAAACAAGGTTTACCGCCAGGTCCTCCACTTTACCGAGCGAAGTCACCGGGGTGGTTTGTTTTATGTCGAAAAGTGGCTTTAATATTGTTGCTAAGTACTGATTTATGGTCCCTGGGTCTGAAAACTGTACGGGTATGATTGAACTGGTGAGCATTTCCAGGATTAAATATTATATGGAGGATAGAAACTACACATCTCTGAGACGAGTTTACATTCATGTATTTGAAAATCAATATAAGGATTCAGACCTGCCAAGGAGGATGGTTGTAGTGTATGAGGTGTCGTGATGGGCATGATTCCAGGAATGTAGTACTATACCAAACACCGGATATAAGGAACATCTAATATAAGAAAAACTCCAATATAAGGAAGCTGCCACGCCATCCATTTTAATTCCCATATAAAATCACTTAATCGTCCAATAATCGGAATTTGCTTAAATTTTTGCCCTTTCCCATATAAATTTCCTTATATTCAAACCCCCATAAAAGCCAATTTGTACGTCATTCTTAGAACTTGAAAAAATGAAGCGAACACGTCAAAAGATTAGAAATAGCCAGAAAGCTACACTGCGCGCACAATACCGTTTAAAGCCATTCTTATCATATCAAGGGCTCAAGGCCTTATTAAGTGGCTTGAAGAGAAATATAGCTATAGACTTACTCCCTCCTTTATCTCACGGATTCTCTCGTCAGACTTTGGCTTCCTTGACTCCATTGAAAAACATCAACTAAACGATCAACAACGCCGTACAGAACAGTGGCCAGAGCTAGAAAGTGCACTTTTTGAGTAGATACAACATGCACAGAGGAATATTACAATTTCGCAGGAGATTATTCGGCAAAAAGCAAAGGATTACTGGCCGACAGTACATCCTTCAAAGACAATGCCTCAATGTAGCAACGGTTGGCTACGTGGCTTCCAGTCACGTAGAAATGTTAAAAACTATACATACCACGATGAAGCGGGCTTGGAGCAAATATAGAAACAGAGATGGTTACAGTTCGTCAAGCTTTAGAGCTATTTGCCCGTTAAGATATTTTTTTTAACTGTGATGAGGCTGGTTTATATTGGAGAATGCCTCCAGACTGTGGATTGGCAACACAAGCACTTCCTGGACGAAAAAAAGGAAAGACTCAGATAACTATACATCTTTGCTGCAATGCTGATGCCTCCGAACGGTTTCCTATATAGTTTATTGAAACGGCTGTGATGGTTTGATTGTCTCTGCGCTAGGAGAGATAAAACCACTTGACCATATAAAAAAGGTACAGGACGACTGATCTTCGATCAGTCGCATCTAGCGCCCTATATAGGAGCGAAGCCCATGCCACTGGGTTCAGCACTTGACAACAGCAAAGCAACCAAAGGCTTTCACTGCTGCAAATATTAAACTAGGGTATCTTAACTATGTGTGGAGGAGTACGGATGGCAAGTGATATCTTTAAGGAATAGCTACTTTTGTTTGATAAAAAAATGACTGCCCATGGCCGAAAAGTTACATTATTAATGGACATTTTCTCTACTCACGAAGCAGCACATGAAGGTACACAACACAAAATCGAATACAATTATAATATAGCTTCCAACTAACTCCACCATCGCGGTATCAACCTCTTGATCAAGGCATTATTCGTACCGGAAGGCCTATTGGAAACGGCAGTGGATTCTTTATATTGTAACAGAATATGATCACGGCTATTATCTCATGTCAACCATAACAATTCTACAAGCTGTCCGGTGGGCATTTCTGCGTGGAATATGGATATAGAAAGCAACAAAATTCGTCATTGCTTCAACCGCGTGCTTTCGGTCGAGCAAATCAATGAATCTCATGATAGTGAGGCACTTCAAGGACTTGAGCAAAGCCTGCAGCAACTTCACTGTTCCAATAATACTGTCAAGGGCTGAACCCGTAGAACATATAAGATAGGTTATTATGTACAAAAAGGAATCGTTGAAGAGGGGAAGAAAGGAAGAAAGGAAGAAAGGAAGAGGAAAATGAGCGGTAAACAAATGAGGTGCACGTGACATGGATCGAGGGCCGGGCCAAAGGTCCCAACAGGGCTAAAAGGGACAGTACGGACAGTACGGACAGTAGGGACAATAGGGACAGTAGGGACAATAGGGACAGTAGGGACAATAGGGACAGTAGGGACAATAGGGACAATTGGGACATTGGACCGAGAGGTCAAATGGGCTCCAGCCCTTTACAAATACAAGCAATATTATAAATATTAGCCACTTCCTAAATCCTGAAGAGGAAGAGATCAATGATAGTACTATGACTATTAATAATATTGTCCTTAGTCAATATGCCGCAGATTCTGCAGAAAATGATGATAATAAGGATGAAATAGTACCAGCTTTACCTCATATTCCAATATCTAAGGCGCTGGACGGTCGACAAAGCCTAGGCTTGTATGAGGAACAGCAAGAATCTGCAAATATAGGACTTATTGAGCAGCTATTGCTTCATGAGCGTGTATTATTGCAGAGACAGGCCAACAATGCGCAGCAGAGCGATACCCGGAGCTTTTTTGCATAGAATTGTATATATATTCAATATAAGGGGATTTTCGATATAAGGAACCAGCTAAAATATCACCTTATATCCAGTATTTAGTGTATCGGCCTAAGGGATCCGTTAAACGAAACCGGGGGCACTTGATACGTAGTTTGAGAGATGTATCTGTTTCAATATTGTGGATGGATACTTTGAAAGACGAAATTTCAATATAGTACGTCGTTGTCTTGCGAATACAAGCAAATGACACGTATTGGGTGCTCCTACAGCGGAGACCCCACATCCACTACACTGGCCTCTTTATATCCAGCTAACAGTACGGAGACTCGGAAGCGCTTAACAGCTTGTAAATGCCAAGTGTTGATCCTCTCGGCAGCTCGTATTCCATAGATCTGCGTTGATATGCCCTGTCAAGGAAGTAGGCTGGTCTAGCTTTGTCTGCTGTATTTCACTAGATTCTAACAAACTTCTCTGGAGGAAAGTGTGTACGTGTACTAACAGATTAGGTATTTCATTCCATGTGCCCATCAGGTGATGGAGATCTTATCTTATTGTCCTAGGAGGACTTCCAAATCGATAAATATACCTAGGTCTTTCATGTCAACTCGATATGGAACAGGCCCATACAGACTGACGCTGTGCTGTTTGCTGTAATACTGCAAAGGATAAACATGAATTTCCTGATCTGAGTGCTCCTCTCCCAGCTGTAGATGATCTGCACGCCAGGAACCAATCACATCCTCATTCAAATGCCTCGACGCAGATCGCGGGGATTCCCGAAAGATGAAGAATTCTATAAACCAGTAAGACATACCTGTGGAAACCCTATTATGAGACAACAATAACTTTCCAACTTATTTCTCCCCTCACCGACGGTCTAGAAGATAGCCCTGACTGTAACCGCGTCATTGATGTGGAGCTGACCTATAAGCTCTCCGATGGCCGGACGGTTTCCATGGGACCCCATTTCGGCGGCTTACACCGCCCATGGATGCAGCCACTACGCCAGGAGTACTAATAACGCGAACTCTGAGCCTGGCTTTTCCATCTCCTGCTCGCGTCAATTTTGGCATACTCCTCTTCGGGAGATCCTCAGTGTCACACATGAGCCTATGATCCTCCGATGCGATTCCCCCGTCGAGACGGCACTGGCACCGCAGCCGGCCATGAAGCCGCCAGTGACCCGACCCAACGATACATGATCTCCATCTTCGCTGCCCTTGCGTGGTGCAATTCCATTGAGCTGATTGTGCTGTGCTTTACCACCTTCAAGCGATACCGCGGATGGTATTTCTGGAGCCTGTTGTTCGCCTCCTGCAGTCTTATCCCCCATTGCCTGGGTTATATCTTCTATATTTTCCCACTAGGCATATCGACCTATATCTCCGTGACGCTGATCATTCTCAGCTGGTGTGTCATGGTAACAGGCCATTCGCTGGTCCTGTGGTCGCGACTGAGTCTTGTCCTGCAGGCACATAGGGTTCTCTCCGCTATCCTGATAATGATCATCATTGATGCCATCATATTCCACATCCCCACGACTGTTCTTATGTACGGGTCGCTCTCGTCTCAGGTCTTTGCTTCTGGGTACAACGTCATGGAACGTATCCAGCTTGTCGGTTTCTGCATCCAGGAATGCATCATCTCCGGTACTTATATCTGGGAAACAGCCAAGACAATGCGTCTACGTCCCGATAGCCACCACCATAAGATCCTGGCCCATTTGCTGGCGGCAAATGTTGTCATTCTCGTGCTTGATGTAGCGGTCGTGGGCTTCGAATATGCCGGGTACTATGCGCTGCAGGTCATGTTCAAACCGCTGGCGTATAGCATTAAATTTAAGCTCGAGTATGCTATTCTTGGACGTTTGATTCAAATCGCAAAGGGTTCGTGCTCCAACAATAGTCCCTTGTCGTGTACCGCTCAGAACCAGTTATCCGGTTCACATCCGTCGCGTCAGCGAGGTTCGGGAAGTTACGATGTGGGTGACATTGATCGCGATGTTCGTGTCTACATGTCCCCGGTGGTGTGCGGGGAGGTTTATGAACGGTCGTCTGCTGCAGCCTAGGAAGGCATTAGTTGTAGCTTGTTCGGCGACCCCCAGGGGGAAATATAGATATCTCTTAAAAGGCAAATTAGTAAAAAATAATGATAAAAGGCTAAACCAGATCCGCAGGACTTACTGTACTACCTCCGTAAGCTTGGCCACCGGGAACGACAGAGTAGAGCATTCCCCCTCTTAAGGTCTCTGTCCTGCCCCTGCCGTGCTGGTCTGAAGGAGCAGATTCTACCCTGGTCTAGTGGCCGAGGTTGACAGGTCTATTGTCTGTTATAATACTATATACTATGTTTCGTAGGGTTAGGAAGGTACTTTGGAAACTTACTACTCGGGACCTCGAACACAGTTCCTGCAGAGGAAAACCATTTCTGTAGCCCGCCCGCTCGAGGCCCTGTCACGGACCAGATAAACGAGGAGGGTAACAAATACGAAGGGGGGAGCTGGTGCAATGGACATACTTTTAGCAATAGTGCTATGGATGGAAAGAAGAAGACGAGGGTTTTCTTCGTCCAAATACTTTTATGCTATATTTGAAGCCATCCTCGTAACTTCCTTTTGTTTTAGTCAACTTCTTCAAAGGTCAAATCAAGCTGGAAGGTGATCGCAGATAAATTTTACTATGGAAAGGGTAACCAGGGTGTAGCATTCCATACTCTAGCCTATTCACTAGAGAGGATGACCAACAAGACCTATAAAAGTCTCTTTATCGAGGACTTAATCAAATCCTCACTGAACCTATGAAACCTACAGTGCACTTGTAAAAAATAGGGTATCATCATGGTCTTGATCTCTTAGTGCGAGTGATGAAGCTCTGTGAGTAGTCTCTATGCTTGGAGATATAATATTTAGATCGCGTGGATAGCTCGCATTCTGCCGTCCTTTACCTACATGAGAGTAACTTCCGAATGCGTCTCTCGTATCACACAATGAGATTAATATTCCTTGTGTTAAAAGCACCCGACTACATCCTTCAGCAGCAAATGGTATATACCAAGATACAGAACCGCTGCATTGAAGAAATACTAGCGGGCCATGGTATTTGGCATTGGCTGGTCCCATTCTGGACCACAGCATGATAATGTATCCGACGCTGTGAGACTAGGAGCAGGACCGGCCCGGAGCGAGGAGGTGTATAGGGGGCTATGGCAAATACCACGGCTCGAAAGATGAAGGTATACCTAGATCTTCAACTGGTATGAGATAGAAAATCCACTATAGCATTCAATTGAGTCCGGGATCACTGCCATCCTGTTTATTTTTGATATTTAAAAAAGAACCAACTAGATCGGAGATAACCTTGGAAATGTGATTCACCGGCTGCTGCTGTAGTCAGCTTTCTTTCACTTCGCCCAGAATATGTTCTATGGCTGTCGTGCTAAGAAATATTTATAGACTACCAGGATCAATGCAAGTCAAAACAAGGGTCATTTTTGCCCTCCCAGCGGACAAGACAAGATGGAACCCATTTATAATATATTTAGGTCGTAGGTTAGCAAATTCCTTGGAGCAAATTAGAGGTCAACAAGTACTCTGTATTTGATATGTAATTAAGGGTGATTCATGGGTGAGGAAGGATCGTTGCGAGATTGGCTATTAGTAATGCTAGTGGTTTTAATTAGTTAACTAGTTATAGTATACTATGACTAACAGCTACTTCCTGTGCAGCTCTTTTGGCCTGGTGATGGGCAAAATAGCACCCAAATTTGTAGCGTGTGCCTGAGGCGCGATAGCCGGGACACAGGCCGTGACATGGCCACGCGTGGGATGGCCGGTCGCGATAAGGAAACAAGGCAGCAGCACGAAGGGGCTCATGTGGCTCAAACACGCGTCTCTTGGAAGCTTAAAGCCAAAGTACGGAGTAGATTGCAGCTCAACAGCAAGACGTTTCACATCCAAAAAGCTCGTTTTTGGACCTACTCGCGCCATTCATATGATATCAACATATTAATCGGAGCAGCCTATTCAAACGCTCTACATGCGTACGACGAAAGAAACGACTCCGAGACACTCCCCAGTATAGCAAAATTTGCGCGAGAATTTGGAGTCAGCTACCGACGCCTCTGGGCCAGGATCAACGGTCGAGACAGTAAAAGTACGCGTCAGCCCGTGAATCTACAACTTGACTTTGCTCAATATCAAAAATTATTCGACTATATCGACCGACAGTATGACTCTGATGGACTAGTGAGCGCCAACGCGACTCGGAAGGCAGCCAATACAGTCTACAGGAGAGTGATACAGGTGCTTCAACGCCACCACCAAAAGACCAAGTAATTGGCCATAGTGTTGAAGAAGCAAAACAAAGCATACATTGAGCGAAAACGCCGAGCGATGGACGTGGATCATAGCGAGAGATATTCCGCGGATAGACAACAGTTGTCAACTCCAATGGACCAGGTCGTCCGTAGGGCCATGTTCGCTGCTACGTAGAGCAGATTCGATGATATATTGAATCCTAAACAAAACAGAGACGCGCAGAAAGAAAGACGGAGAATCTGCCGGGCGGTGACGCAAGCGACAGCCGGTGAGCCGGGTACCTGGGGGGGGGCTTTCACATGTCAGACATCAAGAGAATCGAATCCACCCCCAACAAATTCCCCCCCGGTGGAGCATCGATATTCGTATCCAGTCCAGCTTTCACAACGATCTCACTGGCCGCCCATCGCGATATCACGGCTGGCGGAGACCACGCCCGATCCATTGGCCCAGAATGGGTGGGATAGGATAACCCGATCGAGCAACCAAGCCCCTGCCTTCCGATGGTTGAGGACTTTACTAGAACTCGTTTTGGCCTGGATGCACCGAGTCAGAATCAGGGGGCCCCCAATCTATCGGTCGAACTCACTTCCCAGAGGTTCACCACCCCACTATACGGTCTACTATCCAAGCCTGTCCTGTTCAGATTCTGGGACCTTCTGGAGCCACTCACTCGCTAGGCAACGGGTGCCAAAAATGCCATCTTCTGCCCTCTCCGAAATGTTTTGCTTTGCTCCCCAAAAAAATCTCCGGGTGGCAGGTCGTAAGTTTGTTTCCTCTTCCTGCGTTCATTCACTCTGGGGAACTTCACCATCTAATAATTCGCTCATTACCGCCTCCAGCGCCGTCAAAAATTGTCTCAATCCTCCATCCACCTTAAATTCGGGGTTCCCCGACTGGATTGAGCTCCCCATCTTCCCACCAAACCCCTTTTCCTGTGTAACAAAACCATGCCCACCATCGATGTCACTAAAGACCTCTCGGCGCTCTTCACCAAACAGGCCTCTGCAACACCAAATGCCATTGCTCTCGAGGACACTTCAGGCACATACACTTATGCGGAGTTAGATCGCGAGGTTGAGTCTCTTGCACGTCGCCTTCGCGCGTACGGAGTTGGTCGAGACCGTCTGGTTGGTGTGCTCCTGCCGCGCAGTGCTCATTATGTGATTGCCTGCCTGGCTGCTCTGCGCGCTGGAGGAGCATTCCTTGTTCTTGAGCTTGCGTACCCTCCAGATTTACTCTCGGAAGTGATTGATGATGGCAATCCAGCTGTTGTAATCACTTACAGGGCCGAGGTTGGTAAGATCCAAGGTGGTGCTCCCTTGATTATTCTCGACGAGCCCCCGACGGATAGCAATGGACATACTCAACAACCGCCTCCACTCCCGGCTGATGATGACCTGGATCGACTGGCCTTTGTGTCATATTCATCGGGAACAACCGGCAAACCCAAAGGCATTGCAAATCCTCACCTGGCGGCAGTCCTATCTTACAATCTGCGATTCGGTGTGCAAGATGTTGGCCCTGGTGACCGTGTGGCTTGCAATGTCTTCTTTATCTGGGAAATCCTGCGCCCGCTGCTGCGAGGCGCGACGGTCGTGGCTGTTCCAGACGAAGCGAGCTACGACCCTGCTGCGCTCGTCGATCTGCTCTCTTCCAAAAACGTCACCGAAACTCTCATGACACCCACCTTGCTGGCAACGGTCCTCTCCCGCCATCCACACCTCGGGGAGCGCCTGCCAAGTCTGCGCACCTTGTGGCTGAATGGCGAGGTCGTGACCACCGATCTGGCTCATCGAGCCATCCAGGTTCTCCCGAACACACGCCTGCTCAATTGCTACAGTGCCTGTGAAACTCACGAGATCGCCTGCGGAGATATTCGGGACATGCTCGATGAGGAGGCTCTCTACTGTCCTGTTGGGCCTCCGCTGGACCCAAAACACACCTATATTCTTGACGAGAACAGTCAAAAGGTGGATACTGGGGTCAGTGGGGAGCTGTTTGTGGCCGGTCCTCTGCTGGCTCGGGGGTACCTGAACCTCCCGGAGACTACGGCAAAAGCGTTCATATCAAATCCGTTCGATCAACAATCAGGCTCTCGCCTGTATAGGACAGGGGATCTCGCTCGAATTCTTCCGTCGGGGCTTCTTGAGATTACCGGTCGCGTTGGGTCGATGATCAAGCTGCGCGGGTATTCAGTCGTGCCAGCCAAAGTTGAAAGTGATATTGTCAGGAATCTGGCAGTCCGCCACTGCGCCGTCATTGCTCATGGAGACGGCCTGGATCGGCAGTTAGTCGCATATATTGTCCCCGATAACGATGACCCTGCGGACCGGCCCGCTGTCGAGATTAATGAATCCGGCCACAGCCCCTCAGCCCGTCGTACCCTCGCTCCATTCCTTGCTCACTATATGATCCCAGCTCTGTGGGTTTGCCTTGACCAATTACCAACTCACGAGGTCACCGGTAAGGTTGACCACTCTCGCCTTCCTCCACCACGGAAGCCGGATTTAGTCAACGGAAACGGACAGAAAGCGCAACAGGATCCAATTGGCATTAATCATGTGGCGGCTATCTGGGCGGCTGCCCTGAAGACCTCGAAAACCCTCTTGAAACCCGATGATGACTTTTTTGATCTTGGTGGACATTCATTGTCTCTCGCTGATTTGTCCTCAAGACTATCGAGACACTTTGGCTTCCGTGTTCCTATAGCTCGCCTTGCAGAGAATGCAACCCTCAAGGGGCATCTAGAGACGGTGCGTGCGGTGAGGGATGGACACACGGAGGCAGTTCAAGCCGATCTCCCGGCTGTCTTGCGGGCCGACTGCATTTTAGACGACGATATCAAATCGTCAAATGCGACCATCTGCTCCGCCAGTAAGGCCGATACTATACTTTTGACCGGTGTCACGGGATTCCTGGGTGCTTTTCTTCTCCATGACCTGTTGGAAACCACCTCCGCTCATATAATCTGTCTGGTGCGCTTCAATGAACCGGCCGATGATGATCAGCCAGGAGGTGTCGCAAGGCTCCGTCGTAACCTCCTGGATCTGGGATTGTGGCGAGACTCGATAATGGAGCGAATTGAGATTATTCCGGGAAATCTCTCGCGAACTCGGTTCGGACTTCCGCAAGAAGCGTTTAATGACCTCGCTGCACGAGTCCAGGTCATAGTACATGCCGCGGCCACAGTCAACCTCGTTTATCCGTATGCTGCATTGCGCGGGCCGAATGTGGGAGGCACGCGAGAGATTCTTCGTCTAGCAAGCAAGGGAGGTGCAACAGTGCAATATGTCTCAACAAATGGCGTTTTGCCCCCATCTCCGGACCAAGGATGGCCTGAAGATGCCATACTCGATGTCAACGATGTTCCAGAAAAGCTTTTGGATGGGTATGGGCAGACGAAATGGGTGGCTGAGCAGCTCGTCCTTGAGGCTGGGCGTCGTGGGTTGCCGGTTAAAATCCATCGCGCAGGCACAATCAGCGGCCATAGCAAGACTGGTTCCGCAAACGCGTGGGATCTCTTCTCCGCATTGATTGTTGAGTCTATCAACATGGGCTATGCCCCTAATGTAGAGGGTTGGCGGGCTGAGATGACTCCTGTGGACTTTGTTAGCAAGGCCATCGTTCATCTGGCAACTCAGACTCAGACTGAACAAACAGTCTTACATCTGGGAGATCCAAATCCTGTCCACACCCAAGCCGTCTTCGATGCCCTGGAGGAACTCGGTTACCCCACGCAGCGGCTTGGATGGGACGAGTGGGTCGCCCTGTGGACCCAGACTAGAGCCGGCGTGAAGGGTGGCGACGGTGCCTTCACTGTTGACATCCTCCGCAGTGGAATGCCGACAGTCGACTTTCTGCAGGGCATTGTGGTGCTCAACAATGCCGCGACACGACCATTCCGCGCAGAGGTGGAACGACCTAAGGTAGACCAGGCGTTGCTGGAGACTTACACACGCCACTGGTTCGCCAGAGGGTGGCTTCCGCGAGCCCCTATCCGCAAACATAGCCTGTGCAGATCAAGTAATACGATCAAGGGTCCACTGAGCGGACGCGTGGCTGTCGTCACAGGTGCATCGTCTGGTATCGGTGCCGCTGTGGCTACGGCTTTGGTCAAAGAAGGGTGCCACGTCGCCCTGGCTGCTCGTCGCCTGGATGCCCTGGAGGCTGTCCGGGCCAAATTCACAACCGGCGGAGGGAAGGTCATTATTCGAAAGACTGATGTTACGAATAGGAGCCAGGTTGAAGCGCTACTCCGGGACGCAAACGATGAGCTGGGTCCGGTCGACATCCTTGTCTCCTGTGCAGGTGTCATGTACTTTACGATGATGGCCAACACACAGATGGAGGAGTGGGAGCGCACTGTCGACGTCAACTGCAAGGGACTCCTGCATTGTCTATCCTCTACCGTACCGGGCATGCTCTCCCGAGGCGGTGGCCACATTGTGGCTATTTCCTCCGATGCCGGACGCAAGGTCTTTCCTGGGTTGGGCGTCTACTCGGCCAGCAAGTTCTTCGTCGAGGCTACGTTGCAATCCCTACGTCTTGAGACAGCCGGAACGGGTCTACGTGTCACCAGTGTGCAGCCGGGTAACACGGCCACGGACTTGTTGGGGATGTCCACTGATGAAGAGGCTGTGAAGAAATATGGAGAACCGTCCGGAGCGAAGATCCTGGATCCAGAGGATGTTGCAAGATCGATTATTTACGCATTGCGTCAGCCTGCCCACGTCTCCGTCAACGAAGTGTTGATTGAGCCGAGAGACGAGCCGATTTAGTAGACATTCTGTCTTTTTTGCTTCTGTGCGAAACAGTTTAACTTATGTTTGTCAGACTTAGAATAGAATTATGATAATCTCACAATTGGAGTATCACTTACAGCTGTGTTGTCTTGGATCCTCTCATAGGACGCTGGTAGCACAATCCCACGTCGTATATGATCCTTGGATCCGGATCACTCAATACATTTACTCTCAGCAGACGGAATCTCCAGTGGAAGCTTTCCGCGTCGCAGGTGGGCGGATCGAATGAATACAGTATTCTCGCAAAATCGTCATCGAATGTCTCTCTCCCACGCGCACGTCGAACAGATCATCGGAGAACTGGACCAGTAGTCGATTCGCGAGCACCCCTTCATGCAGCGTCCGGAGCCGCCTCATCCATGTCGATAGTCTGATCCGTATGAATGCTTCGGTGTAGTGTTCGGAGGAACAGGTTTGGAGGTCCGAGTCAAGAACTATCACCCTGTATGCCAATTCATGCACGCGCTTCATGCTCGGGATGGCCTGGGTAGCGGGTCAGGGTATTCGTTGATGGATTCCCCAAGACATCCGACCTGAGATGCGAGGAGGCAATATATAGCATCCCACTCCGCCATGGTTCCACACGCAATTCGACACATAGGTCGATATGTCTTGGAACGACGGAGATGCTAACACTCGCAGCTTTCCTGTACATGGTGTGTATGGTATGTCGTCTCATCTAGCTGCAGAACCCTGCATAGACTCTGCAAACACTAAGAATGGCCGTTCTCTTCCGCAACAGTTGAACTTCTCATCTGCGATATGTAATGCTCCGTCGCCGACACCCCCTCCACCATGGCTATCTCACTCGCACACCAGCCAGCTTTGCGCATCCGTGCCAACGGAAGATGTTTACATGGGATGTCTAATTCGCCGGAACTCGATTGAAAGATCCGCAGATGAATACCAACAGATAGAGCCCACGACAATCGCTGTCCCAGCGCGCCCACCGAGAGGTCGACTTCGGCGAAGAAAGGCCAAACATAACCAGCAAATCCAGGTTGCTTGAGATGCATCTTCAGCTGCAAGATAAGGTCGTCCAAGTGGGCAATATTTCGCGCTTCGTGGGGGAGGATTCATGAGAAAAGACATATAATGATTTTCGCCTCATCGAATCGACTGAACAGTTCCCATAGAACTCCAAAGTAGAGCCAGTTCTGTAAAAAGGCCGCCGTGTCTTCGGCGAATCGTTGCAAGACGTCCCCTGCGAACAGGCGCGATTTTTCCCACCCGACGCGTTAGGGATACGATGGGAAGTCGAGGCGATCTATGTTGTGGGACTGACACAGGGTAACGATACGAAGATAGGGAGAGTTGGGAAGTTGTTCTACGTTCTCCATGCAACATACACTGGGCTCTATATTATCTGTGTATTTTGATATTGACAGTTGATGATATATGCGAACAATGGTCTCGTATTGTTGAGTCAGCTGACTACTGTACCGGACAATTGTTTTTAAATGATTGGATCAACAAGTACTATATTTGATTTATTCTATTATTTTATTGGTAGTAAAATATAGAATGGCTTAGGAGATACCCATCAAATCCTCGCCTCCCCGCTGATTCTTTAATTACGTCATTAGCGATACGAGTTTTAAGATAGACTCAACTTTATCTGTGCTATAGATACTTTCATGAGCCAGTCTATCTAATCATAGTTTAAGGAGTCAGTCAATCGCTCTATTTTTCCTATTGCAGAAATACACAGCAGGCTCGTTCTAATAATAGTCCATCTATACTGCCTACCAACACCACATGTAAGGCCTCCATCTGCATGTATCAGCCAGTCGGACGTGATTCGTCGTCTCATTCTATTTATGGCCTCGTATGCAGAAACCTTCCCAATCATCTTGATCTTGCATAATTGTTGGACATATACTACATATCATTATAGAACGTATCCGCCCTTGGGTTGTGTATAAATATCTATCCTCGTCCATCCGCATCATGATCATCCTAATCACTTATCCATCTATAACCACATAATATTATATTATAATACTATAATAAATAATATCACCATGCATCTCTCTCATATTCTAACCCTCTCCCTCACAACCACCGTCCTGGGGAGCGTGATCTCCCGCCCAGCAATCAAAGACTCTACCATCCTACGCTCCACCGTCTCCTGTGTCAACTGCCCAGACAAAAACTGCAACAAATGCACCCTCGGACACGAAAAAACACTCAAAGCCAACACAGGTGGCCACGCCTACCTCCGCTGGCTCGTCGGGTTCTGTCTCCCTGAATCTTTATCCTCTACATCAGTTACAAAATGTAACGTGCAGTTTCCTGGTTTCACGCAACATGGTGGATATCCTGCCCCTGTGAACGTGACTGTCTCGCGCGCTGTCAGTTCCAAGTGGAATGAGGAAGACGTTACGGCGGGGAATGCTCCGGATGAAGATAATGTGTCTACATCTGTGGTGAATGTCCCGGCTTATTCGAATCTGGAGGCGTTGGATGTTACCGAGGCGTGTAAGAGGGCGGATGAGAATGGCGAGTTCTCGATATATGTTGGGACGCAGTCGGGAACGATGGAGGTTTGGTCGTTGGATTCGGGGAATGCGGCGATTTTGCATGTTACGACTGAGTAATGGTATGAGTATGGATGGGATGGGTGCCGATTTGAGTTGAGTTGGTAATGTTTAAGATGGATATTATGCCTAATGGTGAATACGTGGATCTAATGTTATGGTTTCTGATGAAATTATGTTACTTTCAGGCTAGAAAGTACTCTATGTCTGTCTAGTTTTATGCTCTAAGATAACGGACCCTATAGGCTCATCTGACACGGACTGAAGTAGAAGGAATGGTCATGTATACCAACAGAGAAGGATAGTTTCGCACCTTTAAATCCCAGCCTCCCTTCTTCACGCGCACCACAATACAGCACGGCTCTCCCAGAGCCATAATAGCACCCGACATCCAGATCAGCGAGGTCCAATCGCCCGTATCATCCAGATGCCCACAAGAGCACTGAATAAAATCGCTAACTTCCTAGTAGAGAGAAACTCACTCAAGCGCCAGACTAATACAAGCAAAGCGAAATTTCCACCCCAAGTCGACCACCCGGCCGTCCACCAGTGCCACCACATGGTGAAAGCAGACTGGTGTACGAACCCGTAGAACGCAGCGAAGATAATCCTGCCGGAAGTGGGTATATGATACACGGATAGCCAGATAGCCAGCAGTGCGATGGCGGCCAGCACCGTCACGTTGAACTGGCCCAGATGATCTGATAGGATCCCGCTACCACGCGTCTAACTATGGAGCCTACGCTGAGAATTGCCAGGTGATCTGCCAGGAGCAATCGTACATCGCCTAACAGCGATTCATCCTATATTTCAGCACCCTTTCGCCTCTCTGCTAGCTGCATCTCAACGACCTGTATGTTTACTTGCACGAGACAGGCCTGCCCTCCGCCTGCATGGTGCTGCGACGTCTTACGGACGACACAGTCCCGCTGGTCAAGTGTCAATCCCTCTCCTCTATTGTCCATCATGGAACATGTTTTCCATCCTGCTATTCTGCTGCGTTGGATATCACTGCTCTCCAAGCTGAGATCCAGGGGGCGTCTCGCTTGCTTAAATGGTCTGCACCGCACGTGCAGGGCATTCCCCGTAAGCCTGTACATGAAATGTCGATGTCGACTAGAACATCAACGTCAATAATATCTCCATGCCTCTTTCAACCGCATCGTCGCGCCCAGAGGCTGGCAGTCGCAGTGAGATCCGCGGTCAACAGTAAGTGATGAAGGAAGACAGGAGGTCGGAAATACGAGATGGAGCCAACTATGGTCCGAGTTCGTCCAGACAGTGGACGACGCTGTTGGATGATATCTATTCTGCACGGTCAGGAGAAAGCCAAGCCCTATCCCGGCACTGAAGACGTGCTGCGCTTCTGTCACGCTCGGAATTTCGCCATGGCTATTATCAGTAATGGGAGTGGCTACAGCCACACCCTACCATGTGATGCGGTTATTAATATATATATATTTCCAACTAACTTTTACGGCAATCATCTACAATCTATACAGAATATAATGGCTTTCATGTCTTGGCATAAACGTGACCTGCTGGCCCAGTCGTAATGTTTGGCCATAAATGGTGAAGGTGCGTGATGATTATCCAAATTTAAGAATCTTTAGCTCGAATCTGGCACTCTGATACCTCTAATCGTGTATATTTTTGATACGTACGGAGGTATCTCCTGTTAGTGGGCGCCTGGGGCTTGGTATGCGCGCATTCATCTTCAATATCATCAGAAATGTCATCATCATCAGGCCAGAGGAAGGCCTCTGGGTTCTACTTCCCCGCCAGCTTAGCCAGACAGTTAAGCGCTGTAATTGTTGGTGACGGTGGCGGCCCAATTGGTGGTGATGATAGTAGGTATGGTAGTAGTGTAAAGAAACAAAAAGTGCTCATAAGGAGTAGAGCCGAGACTACAGACGAGGTGAAAGTGGGCTCGCCTAGCCGCTGGGAAGCTAAACCACTTTCAGATGATCAGGTGACGACCCGCCTACACACCCACAATTTTGGCTTAGCGGTCATTTTATAAGTATTTGAATACTGGTATAAAACTGGTTATCAAGATTCAAAATGTTTTGAAAGATGGTAAGAGGAATGAAAGAGAAAAGCACCACTAGAGAGGTTCAGCACAATATAATTATATAAAATTATATAAATATTCGACTAAAATAGTTTAGCGCTTCCGCAGTTGGAAAGCGGTCTATTTTATTACTTAAGCAACCACGCTAAAATAATATAATCATTGTGTACACTCATTATAGTGTACACAGCTCGCATGAGCTCCATCATTATATTGACAATATAATCATTATATTATTTTAGCGTGGTGGAAAAAACAATATTCCGGCCCTGGCCGAACGCCTTTAGCGGGCCCGAAGGGCCGCGGAGGCCTTCCACAGCCAGGTCATATAATTATGTAAATATATATATATATTGCAATATGAATTCAACATATTTTGCATGGTCAGAATCGCCTACTCCAACACCTTATCTAGGCGTGTCAAATTCTACCGAGCGGTTATCTCCTACAACCCCGGTGCCACGGCGAAATCAGATTCGTACGGCGACCCCCGCCTCCCTATTTATGTACGATGAGGCCCCTAATTCGTAGCTAAATACGCAATTATCTGAACATGTTGATCAAAATACTGGACGAGATCGGAATACAAGGCCCCTGAGGCATGAATATGGGCCGCGCGCAAAGAGACTACAGCGTGGCCAGGAGGTTTCTTGGTAGAGACGTGTAATCGTCTGAAGGATGATTATAAAACCTCACGTGGAAATATTAGTTGGTGGTCACGGGTTGCAGAGGCATTCCGCCTTGAATATGGCCTTGATTCATATAATTGGCAGACAGCTCGGAATAAGGTCACGAGATTAGCCAACGAGAGACGTTAAACGAGACATATTATTATTACCGGTCAGGCAGTTGATCACGATCAGGCGCTTTATGAGGCCGTAGATGAATGGCTGAGTCATATTGATAAAATACGGGAGAAAGAAGCCGCTCGAAAACGCGCGGCCAACGAGGAGGCAAGTCATATTAAGGCAACTCAGCGTCATCGTGATGATCTGTCAGTTCGATACGCCTAAAAGCGTCAAAGGAGGTCCGAATCGGAAGGTGATAATAATATTTTACCCTCTGATTTAGAATCATATACTAGTATGTGCAGATTTTTATAAACTTTGGTTTTATATGCTAATTTATATGTAAAAAATAATAGATTCAAATTCAAGCACTACACGTCGTCAACGATTTAAAACGCCGCAGCAAAGGGCCTTTGAAAATATTGCCAATTTTTTTGAAAACACCGCTAAATCAGTAGTCGAAAACGATGATATAAATACTCGATTTGGAAATATTGAATCTCGCCTATCTATAGTGGAATCCAATATTGACACTCGATTTAATAATATTAATATAAAGCTTGATCTCCTACTCCGTCATATAACTCGGGATGGAGATATCTAGATACCGAAGGTGGTGACATCTTATATCGGTTAGATATCTGATTACCACGCCGAATACACGTATGAATATTAGTGAAAAACACTGCTATTTTATACTCCGCGGCGGCAGGGCGCAGCCCTGATTTCTGCAGTGATTTTAACAATATTGAATGCCAGAGGTTTAGTACACGGCCAAATGACTGCTCAATCGTAATTCGATCACGGGAAAGCGCTATATTAGACGCTCTTTTATTAGCAGACAATGTATGATGGTCCTCATAAGGTGTAATCACATAAAACTTTCCTTTATAGGCAGTATCTCCATATAAATATAAAGATTCTCGTTCGCCTTGAATTGCACGGAGTCTCCGCTTAATTACAGTTAAATTCCACATTTTCGCGTTATTTATACGGCCCTTAAAAGGGCCCTATAATAAGCTTATCAAGCCGTCAGGTGTAGTAATACCCTGAAACTTGATTGTATAAATTTTCTTATATCCAGTATAGTATATCTGTTAATCATGTGTTGGCCGGCATATTTAACGGAGAGTTCCGTTAATAAAGCCCCATACACGTGTAGCCGGGTTAATATAATCTGCAAATAGCATCATATTTTCATATGTCAAGGATAGGTGCCACTCAATTATATAACCAAATTGATTACCTAAAAATAGTAAAATATCTGCCGAGATCGTGGCCTGGCTAAGCTTAAATATCATATTCAACTCTGCAAGGCGCCGGGGATATAATAAGCGTGTTAAAAGGATGCAGATAGCTGTTTCGGCGTTGCAGGAATAACGATATCGCCATTGAATTTCATTGATTCGAAGGAGTGGAATGATCTCGCGGAGCTTATTCTTTGTAAATCGTTATAATTATATATAAGTTAGTATGTTAATTTAAATTTATATAATATAGGGTCACCTTGTATAACTAACAGTTGTTTAATCATCCCAATTATCAAGGATAAAAGCTCTATTCAAGCGTTGATCACCGCATATTGCGCGCCCACTGTCATCTTCGGTTAGCAATATTAATGCAAGACTGCAATTGCCAAAAGCTTCAATTTTTCCCGTTTTGGAAGGCGATAGAATGACGTAGTCATCTTGATTGTGGCCTTGAAGTGCTTGGTCAACCTTGATCAACGATATCGAGGTTCAATATTAAAGAAATCTGCCAAGAATCGCGGTATTTTACTAAGTTCAATATGGTATGGCCAAATATTAGTCGGAGATCGCTTATTTTACCTAATTGGGTTCTGCCTGGCAGAAAAAATAATATAATTTTATATAATTATATTGTGCCCAACCTACACTAAACCCAAAAATATTTTTCGCATAGGTGGGTCCTCACATGACCTCTAAAAATGGTTTAGCCTACTAGAGGCTTGGCAGACCCACCTTCATCTGAGTAGGACCCTACAATTTAGCCCTATATCACATGATTAATACCTAAATAGGAATGGTGGGTTGCTGTAGCCGCTCCTTTAGCAATAAGTCGTCTTGGGACAAGCGCAGTTGCTTCGTTATTTCACCGAGGAGTGTATCCTAGGAGATGAGACCCCTGGCCTTAAAAGGAAGTCGGATAACTCCAATTTCTCGGTTTTGTGGCCCAGGGTGAAGGTGCGGTGTGCAGCTCTCGGCGAGGGAGACGGGGATACCGGGACTGATATCCTCTTCGCTAATAATATCGGCGCCAAGGTTGTCTGTTGTCGCTATAGCCAGGGTGATCCGGACGAATGTGCTCGTCTGCGACCGGATTTTGTCATCAATGAGATGTATGATGTGTTACGGATTCTGAATGGAGATTCACTTGTATCTAGTCCATGCAACAGACAGACCTACAGAACTTATACTTGGGGTAATATCATTGCCTTCCTGACCAGGTAGAATTCCCAGCCCAGCTTTGAGTTCATGCACTTCGACATGACCACTGGGATGTCATGAAGCAAAAGTCAAAGCGTCAATTTGCGATCGTTTGGAGTCTCTCTGTCGCACTGGCTCAGAGCTTGAACCGGTATTGGGTAATTATCCGAACGACTAATGCACGTCGGTGGATCAGGTGGATAACCTTGTTATGGAGTACAGTAGCTACAGTCCCTATTTTGCATATTAATAACAGGTAACTACTGCATCGAAGTATAACACATGGATTAAGGAGTGTGACTTACAGAATGGACTTGCAGCTCCCTGTCGTAATGCAGCGCATACATACGTACTTTGTACAAGTGGGCTATAGGACAGCGCTCCGGGCGCCACGGAATTCCGCCATCTTGGCTATAGGGGTATCTCGCAGCTGCAGAGTGGGCATTCATGCAGACTTCAGGAGTACTCTGTTTTGCGAACCTAGTCGCCTCCAGGTTTGTTGGTATTCGTCCATCAACTCGTGCTGACCAATGCAATCACACTAAGCCTCGTCCTATAAGCCGCCACTACCCCCCTCCTCACCACGAGCACGAACTCTCCCTCCCCTCTGCATCGCTTTAGTTTGCCCATGGGAAGGATGACGATCAACGATCGATTGAAACCAAGGAAGAGACAGAAGAGGATGAAAGGCGCAGCTGAACCGAGAGGCGAGCTGGGATCAGCCCCAGGCAGCGATCCTCCAGATCATCTATGCATCGGGTTGTGGACTTGCCCGAATGTGTCCCTTCGGGCTGCACGGTTATACAAGTAATGCCAACCCCTGGGGATTTCTCACAAGAAGCTGGAGAAAAAGTAAATATGTACGTGGCACTCCTGCATCTCGCTCTGACTAGTAAAAACGTGCATCGCTAGAACTCGAGCTGACGTGATAACCCTTACCAGGTAGGGAGATTTGCACCGAATTGTGGCTTGTCATATCTCCTGCCTTTCTCGGCCTGTCTGTCCATCTGTCCCTTGTTCGGTGCATTATTCTGTTTTATAAACTCCGGGCTTCCATTCAGATATTCTCCTGAATTGCGGGCTGTCCACGCATTCCATACCTATGTCCTAATCTGCCCTATCCGCTCTTGCATACTGACTCCTCTGCGGTGGTTTGGTTCCAACTTGCGCTTATAATATTATATTCAAAATGACAGTAGACGAAGAATCTCCTCTTCTGCAGAATGAGAACCCTCCGATTCAGGAAACCAGCTTGACCCTGAATGAATTGAAGCAGAGGACCGACTACACCAATAAATTGGTCGTCTGGAGCTGCTTCATCGGTATGTCTTCCCACTTTTTTGTCTAATCTTGTTTTAGGAGTCTTCGTTGCTGCGGCAGACGTTATCTCGACATGGAGCTCGATCGCATCTCAGTTCAAACGATTATCCGAGGGCTCATGGCTCATCGTGGCGTATAATTTTAGTTTCTGTCTCGCGCTACCGGTGGTAAGCAATTAGATTTAATATTCTTAGTATGCACGTCAAGCTTATACACGCTCTAGCATAGAACCCTAAGTAGCATGTATGGAAGGAAGAATATCCTGCTGGCGGCTTATATACTCTTTGCAATAGGGTGTCTCGCATGGTAAGGTGTCGCCTGATTGTCGTCGATAATAAATACTAACAATCGATAGTTGTCTGAGTGGTTCCTTGCAACAGCTGGTCTTTGCGAGGGTGTTAGCTGGGATCAGTGGCGGCGGGATGATTTCTTTGGTGTCGATAATCATCACTGGTACGGTGGCCGTTCTTGTCTATGTTTATTCTAATCAATCACAGACCTCGTCCCTGCCGGCGAGGTGGCTCTCTTCCGAAGCTATGCGAACGTGGTTAACGTCCTTGGACAAACCATGGGTGCTTCGGTTGGCGGGTTTCTGATCCAGACGGTCGGATGGCGATGGTCAGTTGGATACCTGCATTGAAAGAGTACTGTGCATTGACTGATACATCTCAGGTCATTCCTAGGTCAGATTCCGCTCGTCATCATCTGTAACCTGGTGGCACTATATGGTCTTCCGTCTTGGTTGAACGAACGGAAAACAGAAGATGACTATGTGAATTTCCCCTCCGACCAGACTCTCTCAGCTTGACTTTGCCGGCCTTTTTACCCTCGCCTTTTCTGTCGTTATCCTACTCTTTATACTCCAGAATGCAAGCGTCACAACACATGGTGATTCAAAAATGCTGGCCCTCTTGGTGCCTTCTCTTGTTCTATCTCTAGGTTTATTCCTCTTAGTCGAAGGATACTGGGCGAAGAGGTCTCTTATACCCCTTAATCTCGTAGCTGGCCCGCTGGGCGGGTACTCTTTGATCCAGGTGTTAATAAGCGCCGGTCATATGGCAGTAAGTTCTCTAGACTATTCGACCACCACTTACCCGGATGAATTAGTATAGCTAGTCAGCAATTTGGTTCCGTACTTCATTCGAGTCGATAACGCCCCTGATGTGGTCGCCTCGTCGACCTATGTCATCAGCGCCGTTGGTATCTCTATCGGGGTGTCATTGCCGGAGCCATCATTAAGAGGTATATTCTAGTACGCTTTCCAGCGCCAATCAACTCATATAGGCAGAGCAAAACGCTACAAAAGAATAACGATCTTCTCCGTCGGCGCCACCCTAGTCGTGTATTTTCTTATTTTTGTCCGCTGGCGTCTCGGCAGCTCGATCCAGGAGATGTCCTATCTCCTCCTAAACGGCCTGGTCACTGGTATACTCCTATCGAGCAGTTCATCGGTATGTCATTTGGCGCGCCAAGAGGATCTCTGGAAACTTGCATCACGACATACTGTCTATCTCAGCAGCTATGGTTGATCATTGGTTCTGTGTCTGGAATAGCTGTCGTCCAGCGAGTTTTCGGAAACAAACTTTCCCAAAATATGGAGGACTTTCCGGAGAGAAAGGTAGGATTGTAATCCTAATTGAGATGTAGAAGCTAATGGATTTAAGTTTATCGGTCGCATTCTCGATGACGCAAGGTTTGATCGCTGGCAAGTCCCGTTCAGGACATTGTGCGCTCGAGCTATTTATACGCGTTTCAATTCTTGCCACGTGAGCTTCCATCTTTCTTATTCGATGCCAATGCTAACTATGGTTCAGTCATCGCTGCAGGCTGAGTAGGTGAAATAAATCCCCCTGCGTATTTCAAATTGGGCTTAATTGGTCGTTATCGAATTGCTTTAAAAGCTTGCCTTTAATTACTTGTATTATATGCGAGGATATATATACCCTTCCACAAAAATAAGAAGACTTAATAAAATATTCATTCTATTGTATAGAATGGTGTATGCTTATAAGCACAGTACTTGTCTCCAGTCTAGTTTATTAAGGCTGTTCTATAAAGATAGTAGACAGAACCATTGGCCGGCTCGTGTGACTCATATTAACATTATCCTGACTGAGACTACGGAGGTGGTTTAAGCTCGGTTCATGTGTTTTATCACGGAATTGAGTTTCCGGTACGCACGTGGAACAAGTCCAAACTTAGCGGGATATTACATGTACTCTAGACCGTCTCTAGGAGGACAGAATACACAGTAGATGGTGTTCCGTACAAGGTAGATTTCATCCTCAGCAGACCAGTCAGATAATATCTCGAGATGAATGTGTGTACCTAGGTCTAGGCTGTAGGGTAAAGTTGAGTCTAGGGAGTAGCCGACAGAAAAAGAATACAAGGCTGAAGTGTTCTCTGCAAGGCCTCCAACACAACCTATAGAAACTTGAACTTGACCATCTTTCCAAGATATTGAGCGAGTTAATTAGAGCAACTCACAAGAAAAAACGGACTTTTTGTTTGTGTTTGAGTTTATCCTTGGATAATGTACATAAAAAATTGTACACATCTAGATCGACAATGTGTTGGCGAGGCTTTGCTATAATCCTCTAGCAAGGATCTAATGCGGGGGTTTCGATATCTGTACTCCGTACGTTCTACAATACAACAAAGGGCTACAACCAGATAGAGTTCTTGAATGAAATACTAGTGCATATTGGAGACAAACAGCACCGACTGACATCCTTGAATCTGACTCATCTTTGTGGTTTCACTTCTTCATGTTGCTGGATTGCATCACCGGAACGGAAAGTTTCAAGTCTGAAAGCAGGATATATTTGGAATCCGGCAGCTTCGGCCTTGTTTCTGATACACTACTTATCTACATACACAATAGTCGGAGTACGTATAAATCCTTCTCAGATACCCAGCATACTTTAAAATGACTGCGAATCAAAATGACAGTTCCCTTCACCTACCCTACTACCAGTCGCACTCCGAGTAAGGATGTTTTATAATGGATACATGTCCAAGGACAGATTTCCATTGCATATTGTTATGCAATTCAAGGATATCCATTGGCTTGCTAGTAAATGTGAGTATATTATGTCTGCTGGAATTGTCAGGTTTGCGTATGAAATATTTACATTGTAAATATATATTTCTGTATACCTTTACCAACATTTCAGTTGGCTGGGGGGATCATCTTAAAACATTATGATTTCCAATAAACCTTACTACGAAGTCTGCTGTTGTACCGAAGGAATCCTATAAGGATTTAAGAAAATTCTACCTATCATCGCGCCAGTAGGAGGATAATTACGGTTTTGCGGATCCATGAAGCTCCACATGTGGAAAACTTTATTACCTTATTTAACATGCCCATTGTACCGTCTGTTTTACCTCCTCTACCCAGCTCGTCAATTTTGCTAAATTTGTATCTATAAACCGCTGAGTTGTAAATGAATGTTCTGAGAGTGTTAAGACTAACAACTTTAACATGTCATTTCAATACATAGATACTAATTTTAGTTTCCGTGTTTTAATTTGTCTTTCCCAACACGAATTAACTGGTTGGGGGCGGAAACGCCGTGCCCTTTGCGGCTGGTAAGCCTTGCATGCTCGCTACTAGGTGAGCCTCTCGGAGACACTTGGGAAGCCTCACCCTTGGGGTCCAAGATGTATGCCGTTACTGGAGAAGACACCAGACAATAATAAAGCAGACACAGGATCATCGCGAAAACAGGCAGCTGGACGCGTGAGTGGTATTGAACTGGAATCTACATTCATACGATGGATCGCACCCTTCTTCCCGGTCGCCACGTGATTCCTCTCGTATGGCAAATCCCTTATAATTTTAGTTGACGAGGAATATTCTATTTGTGCATGGATTACTCCTTGGGCTACACGTAGGCTACCCCGGAGTACACGTCCAGTGCGTGAATTTTTCTCCTCCTATCGCTTCGACAGACCTAGAGGCACTAAGGCTGCTAAGCTTGAATGGGAGGACCTCTCCACCATTCCTGAGCTTAACTGAAAAGAACACGAGGACTAGTTGGCGGGGCCGTAAATGCCCAGGCCTATGAGTATGGGTAACGGAGTAAGGTCATGATCCGTTTTCTCTTGTAATAGACTAGAATGGGGGTGAGGGCGAGTTGGTCGTGGCAGTTCGTACAAAAGTACCAAGCTTACAAGTTCCTTTTATGGCCACTTAGGGGTGAGTTGGCGTTTTAAGCAAGTGGTCGAGTGACGCGGAACCAAACCCAATGTGGTTCCTGAGCATGCGACCATTTGAAATTTGCCGTCTAGGATTCTAAACTTATGTCTATCTCACCCTCCAATATTCCGTACATCGTGAGGGTCAGTCAGATCGGTTGGTTCGCTAGCGAGATCATTGCAGGACTGGTGAGGCAGTGAGGGAAATTTCCCTAGCCCACCTACCTAAGTTGCATACCCCCAACCGTTACCACGGAGCATGTTTCTTACGGAGATCAGGAATAATGCAGGCCGCTGTTCGTATGGAAGTACTAGCGGAAAGTCAGGATGCATGATGGGTGGATGATGTAACCACAGATAGGAGTCAGGGTTTCCTATGTACTCCAAAGGGGATCATCGAGAGTGGTTGGGAAGGATGATCCTTAAGTGCTATCTCATAGTCTATCTAGCTAACCTTCATACTGAGACCAGTGGATAAACATTTCCAGAAACCATTTAACACACTTCCTTCCTTCGCCACTATAACAACGGCCGAAATCCTTCTGGAAAATTTCATTGCTATTAATAAGAACGAAATTTGCTCAGAAGAGGGGAACCAGAGTCACTGCGGCTGTGGACATCTAGCCAACCACGGAACGCAGTATCTGCCTCTTTGAACAACAATGGCACCGATTGGTTCTTCTGGAGGCCTCTTGTGGAGCCGTGGACTGTGGTCTAGTCCGATAGAGGAAGGTGATCACCTGCCCGACTGGCTGTCAAGGGCTAGCGATCCCATGGAATGGACACACAAAAACCAGAGGGAATACACAGTACAACAAGGTACTCTGAGGTACTCTAGATACTGGCGAAATACTCCGCACTCCCATGGATCCATGAGAAAACCTTCAGTACATGTGCTTCCTCTAGTACCTCTTATCAGCTTTATGGTTCCTGCACCACGAATCTTTTTCCTTCAAAGAAAGACTGCGACTCCGTACCTATATTCACACTCCTGTTTCACCCGGGCGCTGCGGGCCCCGAAGATGTCTTAAAAGTCTTAATAGACAGAGGGGCTAATTGGTACGAAGGCAGAACCCTGCAGCCTTCAAGTTCTAAATATGGGCGGGACTGGGTAGTGTAGCCAATCATGGAGCCCCATAGTGGAGACCCTGTGCCATTCTGGCGCCAATCCAGCCAAGGAGAAACAAACAAGGTATTGATACACTGCGCCCCCAATGGATGCCATACGACCCACGGCCGCTGGCCACTGCGACTCAGAGCTCCGTACAATTCAGTACAGGATCTGGTGGGGCGGCGTTTCAGTCCCTGCGGCTCCTAGTGGCTCTTTTTTTTTGGACTAACAGAAAGGCAGGGTTCAAGCTTATTCCCCGTTTCCTTTCCTTATATGAGTCGCATGGGCTGCTCGGTCATCGTTTTCGATGACTGAGGATGAGGTTAGCGATGGCGATGCTGGTTGATTATTTTCTGCATGCCCATTAGTTTTACTTGTCTATTCTCATCGGCTTCCTCCGCTACTACGTATCATCATTGCTGCTATTACATTCATTAATTCCCCCTTTCCCCCCAACTTAACAGTCCACAGTTCATCTCTCTCGGTCTTTTTCTCCTAGTGCCATGCTGTTCATCTGACTGATATAATTCTTTCCTCGGTCGTGCTGCCATGAAACTGATTAACTGCGTGCACGCCCTCGTGCGGCACTGCGTACCCTTGGTCCAGCGACTTCGCACTTCACCTGGCCACGTTTTCGACGTCTGCTGGGATTCTTCGCGTCGTTATTTCTTCACCGTTGCCCTTTTCGCTCTTTTGGGTGCGAAAATTTTACATCTATATGCCCACATTTATTCCTTACCACCCTCCAAATTCTTTTGCTGGGGCATCACATTTTTCTTTCAAGATGTCTGCGTTTTGATCCTCATCCGTATTTTTACACAAACCATTCCGTGGCGACCGGTAGCTATACTGGCCGCTCTCGTGATTATCCCATTCAGGTATGTCGATTTTTTTTGTAAAGGAATGCCAATAAAGATCCAACTCACTGATCCACTGCAGTTTACTTATGTCAGGAATGGCCTCCGCGAATACCTCATTTTACGTTGTCACCGGTGCCGAGATCCACTGGCGTCAGGCCAAGACCTTTCACGGCGATGCAGCGGCAATTCGCACCCTTTTGACTGGCTTGACAGGCTTTCTGGTTGTGGAAGGGATTCTGTTGACGGCTGCATGGTTTACAGCGAGACCGATCCATCGGGGGGCTGGTGGCGTCTTGAAGGTACTGGCGTGGCCATTCCGACTACTGGTGACCTTGATCCGGAACGTTGTCAATCGGGTGCGCGGTGGGCGACCGTTATTGCCAGATCCTCAAGTATACGAGCAGATTGCAGTCGACGATTATCGGGATGATAAGAGTGATGACGAAGAGTCGGTCTATCTGATGGACTCGGGCAGTGCGGGGTCTGCTCAGAAGAAGGATTCGGTGCTAAAGAGGGTAGGCGTTCTCCTGCCGTTCAGTATCCTGCTGTTCCTGCGAGCCATTCGACCCTGGGATCCTGCGCTCTGGTTCCTTTCCGGAGCGCTGCCGTTTACACCGTTCACCGAAAGTCATCGCGCGTCGCCCGTTGATACCTTCGGGTTGCCGGGTGATTACAGATGGCTGGAGGACCGCACTGCACTAGCGAAAACGCCAGTCTGGGACTGGATGCCCGAGAAGGGTCTTCCCGGTTTTGAGGACTGGGATCAGACGGAACACCCGGAATTTCATTACAGCGCCCACGAGGATCCACTGCATATTTCTAACTTGACAGCCCTATTTTGGAGCCGATTCGTAAGGTCATCGCTGATGGAGATGTTAAGATCAAACATGTCTTTCTTCTGAAGCTGGAAAGTACACGTGGCGACCTGTTCCCGATTCGGAAGGATAGCTTTATGTGGAACCGTATCGCTGAATCCTATAAGGATAAGAAACTGCCCGCCGAAGTACAGGATCGAATTGCGAACCTCACCCGGACTGCCGAGTTTTTGACAGGATTCTCGACTGGGTTCGAGCATAATGACACGTTGTTCGGGGGGAAAAGGTCGTACGGAGGCATTGCTGCTAGTAATGGGTTTACCACAGGCACGTACACGCTGAAGAGTGTGACCGGCACGGTCTGCGGTATCACGCCCTTGGTGGCGGATTTCAACCGCGAATATCTACACCACATCTACCAACCGTGCTTGCCTCATGTCTTGAATGCCTTCAATCACCAGGCAGACATCACAAACAAGACCGATGACTTTAGGACCTGGCCCTGGCATTCCAAGTGGATGCAGTCAGTTACCGACACCTATGACAAGCAGGATAAACTCACACCCGCTTTGGGATTCCATGACATTCTGACCAAGGAGAAGATTGCGGATCCGGATGCCAAGCATTACCCTCCCAAGGATAGGGAAGTGAACTACTACGGCTACGCCGACACGGAACTCCGCGAGTATATCCGCGACGCCATTGACGAGGCGGAAAGTACCCACACTCGTCTGTTCCTCACCCACCTTACCGGAACCACCCACCACCCTTGGGGCCTGCCGCATGATGACGATTTTAAGGAGATCATGTCGTCAAATCTACTGAGTGGATCCAATGGCGACCTCAACCGATATCTGAACACCATTCATTTCGTAGATAACTGGCTGGCAGAGATCTTAGGGATCCTGGAAGAGAAAGGAATTGCCAAAGAAACCCTAATTGTCATGTCGGGTGACCAGTTAGTAACCTGAAATTTGATTTCTGTACCTTGAGCAGTAACTGATGATATCTAGTGGTCTCTCTCTGCCCAATGACGGTGGTGCAACTCCTTACGACAACCCACATCGTGGCAGCTTTCACATTCCCATCCTCTTTGCCCATCCTGATATCCCCCAGGTTGAAGTTACAACCCCCGTCATCTCCCAGCAGATTGTCCCGACGATCATCGATTTGTTGATTGAGACGGGATCCCTGGGCCCGAACAGCACGCATGCGGCGAAAGATATTCGATCGCTATACGAAGGACAGTCCATGATCCGCGATCTGGTCCCAGAGAAAGATGGCAAACAAGATTGGCAATTCACTGTCATGAACACTGGTGGTTCCTGGCTGGCTGTGCGATCGGCGGCTCGACCGGCGTTTCGCCTGGTGATCCCGTTGATCGACGATCTTGAGTGGCGCTTTACCGATTTGGAAAAGGACCCTAACGAGAAAAATCCGTATAAGGACTTCGGTTTGGTGGACCTGGCAGAGAAGCTGGACACGGAGTATGGCAAGGAAGTAGTGGACTGGCTCCGCGATGCGGCCCATGTGGCGCAGTGGTGGGTGGTAGAAAACTGGCATCTCTACCAATATAAGCCAAAACTCAAGTCCGGGAAGAGGTGAGGGGGAAGGATCCCTGGTTGGTTATTTTTTTTTTTTTTCGGCCTGCGTAACAGCGGCTCTCGCCGTCCGGCCCATGGTGTTGCCTTGAATCAATATCGATTCCTCGCGCCCTGTACACCCCTTCACATTGCATGGGTAAAGGGTCTCCCTTTGTCCGGACACATGGGGCTCACCGAGTCCTTGTACTATACCCATCTATCCATTCTTGTGTATAGAATTTCATTTTTGTTCATAATTCCATGGAATATGCGTGACGATGCGCCAGATTTTGGTTATACGTATGATTTTGGATACAAACGCTGCTATTTATGTAGACTGACGCGGGAATGGTCATTCAGCTGGTGACGGTGGCCAAAGGCATGGTGAGAGAAGCAGTGAACGTGAGGGCAAGTGCTAACGTTTTGTAGTTTCTTTCTTGTATGGACTAATGTATAAGGCAATTCGGTCTTGCTTCACCAAGGCTGCGCCTGTACAGCCCAACGCTCAAGAGCTTGGCCGCGGCAGATCTCTGACAAGATCTAGATGCATTTGCTATTGTCAGAGCAAACTTCCATATCCAGGGCAAATGACAGTCTGCAGGATTCTGGGAGATGACCATCTGCAGCTGCTCATTGGGATGAGGCAGAATACTTTGTTTATACATATGTTAAACGTTTCTCCGATGTTCCTTATGCAACTAACAAGGGGCACATCCCGGCCAAAGATTCAATACTTGGTATGTCTTCAACTACGACACCATGTCTACCAAGAAGAGTGGGGGACGGCCGTACCTGGCTTATCCGTGACACTACTTCTAATTATTAGCCCAATCGGGGCCATCTTGATCGTGAATAATCCAACGACGTATTGGCAGAGTGAATAACCTGTTGACACCTTTTGCATCAAGAAAGCCCAAAGCAGATATCTCTTCAGTCTGTCAAGGCGGCATTGAGATGATATACAGTGGAAGCTAGGGAGAGTATTGAGATAAAAGCACCTGTGCAGGTAGCTCCTCCACCAGCCCGGTAATCCATCAGGTATCATAGCGTTATACAGCTGACATTATTTGTTCTGGATAAAGGAGTTCCTTTTATGGCGGTACCGCCGTTAATGCTGATTTGTAGTGTCACATCATCTAGCCGAAGGCACTTCTCTCAGCAACCCATTTCTCACAACTGTCCTGGGATCCACCGGAATTATATCGCTTATGCGGCCAGCGCCTTTAGCCATCTGAGAACAAGAACGATCCATGTCCATATGTGCGGTTCTTCAGGACTAAGTTAAAACTGTCAACTGCCATCCAACATCGGCCAGTCCCTTGCAATCACATTTGGCCCTTGCCTCGTCGATAATACAATTTCCTATCCGTCGACGGATGGTCCGATCCCGGCATACGCGAAAAGAGCCGGTCAGCGGCTGACTGCATATCCGATGGGTTCCATCCGTCGGGAAAAGTCCTGTCCCAGTCCAGGAAGTACGGCTAGCTGGCAATAATTAGTGTACCGCTATGTTTAGGATAGACTTACCCTCCCACGAGATTGCCGATGGCAGAGCGCAGCAGCGGGGATAGTCGTGGTGTTAAGTGCTTGGTCATTATCTACTCGGTTAGATATGTCTTGAAAACCGAGGGCTTTTAAATTCCAAAAAGTTGGCATTCATGAGCACCCTGGGAATTACCGACCATTTACTGCGCACCTAAAAGGACTAGACTTCATTCACGTAAATTCATTAACCTATCTCAGTCCCGACAAATGTTCCATCGTGTTTCATGTCCGATCCCAACACTAATACGTACGGACTTGCATTGGTACTGCTTACACCCAACCATCTGCAGCAACCACTATGAGAACTGCGCAAGCGCACTTTCAAATGCGGCATCCAAGTCCTTCGTCTTCGATGCCAGGGTGTCCTTGTCCGTTGCTGTCGCCTTGGCCTGCAGCTCAGTGGACATCGAATCAGTCTTAGACTTGAGTTTCTGCAGATCGCCCTTCACGATGTCCGTCACTCCAGCGGAAACGATCAGTTGTTTCTAAACCCATTAGCGTGGGCAAGGTCCCAATGAGAAAATAATATCCATACCTTTTGTACCAACGTATCAAGCGAGGTCTTGATATCCGGCTCCAATCCTAGCACCGACTTCGTGATAGTCGAGCTTTCGCTCTCTGTGAATGTACTCGCCGCTTTGGCATCGGTAGTCACCTTGTCGAGATCACCCTCCACAGTCTGCTCCTTATTCTGAATCTCCAGTGCGCCGCTCACACCGCCAGTGTAGGAGGTGATCGCGCTGGTGAGGGCCTTTACGTCCGTGGAGAGTTTGTCGAGGTCCTGCTGGACCGCAGTTGCATCGCGGGGAAGGACAGAAGAGGTGCCGACGAGGGTGAAGAGGAGGGCGAGGATAAGAGTGAAGACAGAATGGAAATGCATTTTGCTCTTGTTTGTACTGGATCTACCTTTGGTTCTGTGTGCTGTGTTGGGAGTGATATAGATGGTCTAGTCGGAGACAGAGGGGTTTATATATGATAGATCCTATGCTGTGTTTTGTTCTGAAGCGTGACACGACATCGACGATCGGAAGCAAATCTACCCCGTAATTAATTGACTTTGGCCACCGTCGGCATCCGTCCGCGCATCAGTATCACCGTGACATTTCCCGCATTACATGATGGACGCAAGACGGACATCCATACTGCATCTGTATCCCGTTGACATGTGAGTCCGCTAGATCTCAACCTAGGTAAATAAGGCATGCATACAGTCCATTATCACAAAGGATTTTTTCTTCATCGATACTCCGGTCCCGGTGCGATCGATCCAATCGACGCCTGGTTACCCCACACGCAGGACTTTCTTCACGGCAGCCAAGCAATATAGCGTCAAGTACTTCGGCTCAGATGAGGGGGATGTAACATCTCCGGGATCTTGGATCGGGAGCCGATGGCCCTTTAGCTAAGGGTCGTGGTCATGGGGATGTCGTCTATTGGCCTGGGAGTCCGAAGTTTCTATCTCATTTTTATATGAAAGTTTCTATATTTTATTGTCTGTATACACAGGGATTCCCTCAAGTTGCCAGTTTTGTGGTTATTCAGAATGTATCTACAGAATGGTCCATCGCAGCGTTCAATACATAATGTCATATTGAAATTTGTTTCTTTCTATATTTTCACTATTTTTATTCATTCATGTTTCTCCCAACCTAGTGCAATCTGATCTAATAACAGCGAGCATTTCATATCCAATGAGATATATAACACAACCTCGGCTACAATCCTATCCCGTCATTGAAACTGTACGGAGTAGACCCCTTGACCAAAAGGCTGCCCTGCATTCAGACATCCTTGTCACCATCGTGCCCTGCATCCAGCCACATCATTTGCTCACGGCATTCCCAGGCCGAAGAGAGCGATGCCTAAGTCATCTAGGCTATACTCATTCCAGACACGCACATGACAGACAAAAATCAACAAACAAAAGTCCATCCTAACTATGCGTCTTTATCACTGACAAGATCTGTCACCATCTCGATTCACATTTTGCATCAAAGTTCTTATAGATGGATCACATTTCTGGCCAATGTAGTGGCTGTCAAAAAGATGATAGGATTGAACCGAGTGAAGTGTAAGCGATCTTCCGCAATTCACACATTGCTGAGATACTTAGTATGCGAAGCGATCTCGACACGGTCACTATAATTCAGGGGAAAAGGTGGCAAAATAACACTATACCATCTACACGCACGTAGCCTACTAAAGACTGTATTTAATAGGATCTATATTGCCTTAATTACTATCTGATAAACGCACATACTATCTGTGAGTAGGGGCAGGTCCTGAATGAAATACCTCTCAGTGGCCGAGGTACTAGGCGCTCGGATCCATATATTTCCATAACAGCATAGAAGAAGCAAGAAGCTCTTAGAATCCGTTCACGGTGCCGTCTAGCCTGCGCCAGAGAACCGCGAAACATCGAGCAATTAATAATCCGGCCAGTTCGGCCTCAGCCAAGCATCGTCACACAATGCTTGATCTACTGTTAGTTCCTCGGCTGACCCACACAATCCTTCGTCTCAGGCTTTATTGACAATCCCGATGGAGTGCCAAAGTGCCAACCCTGGTGGTTTCGGATGGCCAACTCGACGTCACCCTACCAGGGACCATTCAATCAAGTCAATCATGCTAGCCGAGCGTGGTTAGACTATAATAGACTACTAGCAGAATGGGTTGTAGCTATCATGACGGTAGTTGCAACGACGATGTCCATAATGCTGGTTTAACTAACTAGATAAATGGATGCAGTCGGTTGTCCGTATGCAGATCAAGACATGGGTTAAATATTATACGACTCAGCCTAGCTGGAGTATGGCGTACATATCAACTTATGCTTGGCCAAACTCATGTGCCCAACACTCCATACTGATATCACTGTAGGCTAACCCTCTAAGCCGGCCGAACACGCCGATGCTGCTCTGCTTATTATCAGCAGATATATTGTAATATTTAGTTAACATTATAAATTAATAAGCGTTTTGTTTTCCTGGTGACATTCTGCAATGGCATAATTTCGCTTGTTCGAATAATTCAATCGTGTAGGTCCGCTAACCAATTTCCAAAGAGTTATAGAGGATTTGAAAGTGAAATAAAACAATTGTTACGCACCCACGCACTTGAGAGCAGCATACATGTATACCTACTCCCTACGTTTATAGGGCGTCCTTGTGCACCAGAACACAAAGAACAAAAAACGAGCACATACACACCCCTTGCCTGTCGCACTAATCTATATCATTCAGACCTGCCTAACTTGCAAGCGACCCTGGTCTACACTAAAGATACAAACGGACTAAGGTTGGACCGATAAGCTCTGTTGATGGTGTTGATGCAAGGGGCTTCATCAGACACCTCAATATATGATCCCCGCGTTGTCCCTCTTTCCGACCATACTGATATCTCACCATATCGAACCTGTTCCAATCCAACAATCCCTTATGGACCGATCCAACCTCGTGGGTCGCGCAGTAGAGATCGCTGATGTGGCTCGCAACCTCGCAGACGAGTTAGCGCAGCGCGCACTGCCAGAGCCTTCGTTTGAGCACGGCCTGCCTCATCCCTTGCGGGGTGATGCACCCGACTCGAATGTGCTGGCAGCTCGCGTGAAGCTACTGGGTCTGTTGGATGAATTCCGTGATCTGCTGACGGAGCCGTCCCTGCTGGGTAGCCAAGAATTGGTGCGTGAAAATATTTTTTTGTGTATGGGAGATTGATATGTGCTGATTGCAACAGCGGAGTCCGTCTATGAGTATGCTGGTATTGGTCCGTCTCGGGGTTTTCACCTCCTTCCCAAGCGAGGGAACCTACGTCCAGGATCTTGCATCTCGACTAAACCTGGGGGAGCATTTAGTTCGTCGGCTTCTTTCGCATGCGGCTACGTATCATGTCTTTTTCCAAGCGAAGCCCGATTTTTTCGTACACACAGCCGGCTCTCGCGTATTGGCTGAGAACGAAGGCTTGCGTGCTTGGATCCTGATTGGCCTAAATGAGACAATGCCGGCTACCTTTCGCGTATGCTTGGATCGACGTCAATCTCCTTAGAAACAATCTCGGTAGCTGAATGTGCCAGATCGCCGATGCCCTAATGCGGTACCCTAACTCGGAAGAACCACAACACAGTGTGAGTCTGCTTCCGATACCATATTTTACAAAAATATATGACACCAGCCAAGTCACATAGATCTAATGACAACAGGGCTGGAACGTGCAGAATAGCACAGATCTCCCTATCTTCCAGGCCTTTGCCAACATGCCGCAATATGCCAGCGTCTTCTCCAATGCCATGACATGGTATGCCCAGCTCCCCGGCTACTCACCACAATACTTGATCGAGTATTTCCCCTGGGTATCAGCTGCAGAACAGATCGTGGTCGACGTGGGCGGTGGGATTGGGCATATCGCGTGCGCACTGGTTTCTCACAACCCGACCGTTCAATGCATCGTGCAGGACCGCGCTGAGGTGATCTCACCGGCTGAAGTGGCCCATCACTTTGAAGAAATCCCAGCGGAGCAGCGCCGTCGCATTCGCTTCGAGGTACATGATTTCTTCCAGGCGCAGCCTATCCACGGGGCAGATGTGTATCTGCTGCGACAGGTGCTGCATAACTGGTCCGATAAATATGCGCGCAGGATCTTGCAGGCTTTAATCCCGGCGCTGAAGCCCGGAGCCAAAGTCGTGCTGAATGAACGTGTCGTCCCAGGCTATGGAGAGGCGCATTATCTAGAGGAGCGCGAAGTTAGGGATTATGATATGTATATGTTGGGCTGGCAGAATTCTCAGGAGCGCACCCGAGATGATTGGAATGCTCTATTGCAAGAGGCGGACTCGCGATTTAAGCTGACGCGCGTGTGTAAATCGCCAAAGTCGTACCTGGCAGTTCTCGAGGTGATTTGGGATGGTTGATGTATTCTGACTAGATTGTGAGCTGAATGCAGATACCCTGGAATTAATAAATGTCTACTGGTATGAAACCTTCCTATGATGATGCCATATATTATTACCTTGAAGGAATCCGGATTACAGTGACAGACGTCGTCCACTCCTAAAGCAGCAGTTATTTATAACAACAGCACTATACCACTATCACTGTGTAGCCGGCAAGCTTCATATCAAACGCACTATTTTACCAAGGATACACCCCATCCTTATGAACAATCTTTCCAACATCAGCATCTCTCTCCCCCTGCACAATACTTAGCACCGTTTCGCCAGAGACATCTGGATCCCCCGCATGGCCCCATCCGCTCCTCGCCTCCTCACTATGTCCACGGAGGTTCGACCGCACGAAACCAGGACACATCATGAAGATCTTCAACGGGGTATTAGTATCCTGCACATGGACCCATTCCTGCAATGCAACCATATTCAACGCCGACTTGCTAGATCGATAGGCCTCTCCATTCGCAGGTCCACGGTAGGTGAATGACGTCGGATCCGCCGCTAGTGTCAACGAACCAACCCCACTGGTGATGTAGATAGAGTACGCGTTGGGCGATTTCACCAGCAGAGGTCGGAACGTCTCAGATACCACGGCTGGTCCGATCACGTTTGTATCCATGCACATGCGCATACGACGTGTGAGATCATCCAGTGCGTTTAAACCCGCTACAGCTGCGTTGTTGACGAGGATGTCGAGCTGACCGAATCGTTGAGACACTTGCGAGGCAGCTTCGCGGATGGATTCGTGGTCCGTTACGTCGAGATGGACGGTGGAGAGATGCGCCGGGTTAATGCCGGATTGTTCAAGTTCGGTTTTGGCATTGTTGGCACTGTCAAGAGACCGACACGCCATGATAACATGGAAGGCGTCAGTGCGGGCAAGTACTTTGGTCGTGGCGAGGCCGACGCCCGAGTTGGCACCTGAGATGTTAGCTCGATAAACGTGTAGTAAGGTGAAGGCAGTACCGGTGATGAGGGCAATGCGTTGAGCCATTTTCGTGCGTGTTTATTGATGGATGGTTGATGTCTCTCTCGTAGCCGCTCTATGTATATAGATTGGAATGATATGTAGACAGATTTAAGCAGTCGCTACCGACAGAATTACGAGCGCAGAGTTTTAGAATTTGGAAATATCAGGGAAACTCCCACCTCGTATTCCGTTGACTCATTCTGAAGGATTAGAAATCTTGGTTGGGGGTTTGCTCTTGTTGGGCTTCATGCAACGTCTCTATCCTCAATTGGCCCAAATAGGAAACGCTAGACGGCTTAGGGAGAAAACCGTGAGGGCTACGAAATGGAGCCATATTACCATTAATTCTCATGACACGAATCCTTTCCACTACTAAAAATCCGGGCCACTAGTGAGCCGTAATAGTGTATGGAAGCTGGTAGAATTTTGTCTCTCCATTAATAATAGAGAACTGGAGAAATTGACATACACAGTCTATATTAACCGTGTTAGGCCACCCGAATTTAATTCATATCCACAAAACAAACTTGTTTACTAAGCTAATCAAACTCTGCGGAAAATCTGGCCCCAATCTCCTCAAGGTCGAAATTATACTGGAGGTTAATCTACCCTATGAAACCACCCCTATCCCATTTTTGATATCAAGAAACCCGAATATCTGGCGTTGAATCCCAATGGTCAACATCCTACCTTAGAGGACCCAAATACGAGTATCACGCTGTGAGAGTTCGGCGCGATCATTGAGTACCTCATTGACTATCTCATTGAGTGATACAACCTACACCACCGACTGAGCTTCCAGCCCGGAAGCCGGAACAATATTACACTGAACAGTGGTTGTTCTTCCAGACAACAGGCCAAGGATCATACTATGGTCAGATGACCTGGTTCAAACAGTTTCATCCGGAGAATATGCATTCCAGAGAAGATAAATCGATTGTGCTCGAAGGTTTAGACCAATTCAAGATCGTTTCACTCGGCCTCGGCGAATTGACCGACTACCCCAAGTTTCCTTTCAAGGTATAATAGATTCGTCTCATTTATAGTCTAATTTGTGGATACCGCATCTTCCAAGACACGGTAATTTGAGAATCAACTCTCTCCTACCGTCCCAGCCTTCCAGGGCTTTTGAACCGCTGACCAATATTGGCTTCGGAGGTCCAAGATGCCTGCTTCTCGGGTCCTTGACAAGGTTCCGCTCCACATGGCATCCGATCCTCACCCTCCTCCTCTGATGGAAAATCTGTGCTCTTCGGCTCTAGCGGTGGCTGCGGGAAGTCTTTTTTTTGCCAGCGGCTCGAAGGAGGAACGTATCAACCGAATCGGTATTTTAGAAGACAATCGGAGATACCACCTAGCAATCGGCCTGGGTGGCTTGCAGGTCTTTTCAACGTATTTTATAAGCATCCGTGTGCGATGCTAACTTTGGCTCGGGTCTCAACAAACTATGGACGAACTGCCACTTTTGCTCCTCTCCACTAGCGACTCAACGAAGCTGTTGAGATAATACCGATTTCGACGCCCGGCAATACCATCACGGGATTTGTTGCCCTTAAACTAGTATGTAGCAATGCCTTAAGCAGATCCGAACGGTAGCTGAACGGACCCAGGCAAACCAAACCGCTTTATCCGAGTCGGTGTTCAGTCCCAACAATATGACTAACAAATTATGACACCAGATATTCTGGATCGTGAATGCCATCAAATACCTGATGATCAGCTACAATACGAGGAAAAATTCTAGCATTTCATAGACAGTTCAAAGCGGTAACTATCAGATCTATGCATCACTAAGAGTGTCCGGAAAATCCAGGGATCCACAGGCATCCGTGGCCCCTCCAGATCCCCAAGTCGCATATCGGATTTGAAGATCGAGTATTAGAACCACCCAGGTCCGGTATAGTAGGACAATGGATGAATGAGATTGATAAAGGTTTTGAAATCTCTCCAGACAAGGAAGTCCAATCATTAACTACCTGGCTTACTCCAATGTGTTTCTCTACTGAGTGACGGGGGATAGAAGTAGGTCAAGTTGCAGCAATACACATTGAGACTACTGTGACATTTCGCTCCCCGGACTTTACTCCCTTCCCCACCAAAAGCTGCAACACCAGTACCAGAGCGACTCTGACGAGAAACTGACAGCTATCTCATGGATATTGAATGTATTTTCTGATTGCGTCCGAGCAGTCGTTTATGAGGACGGAAGTTAGAGAGCTCAGATATTGGTCCCAGAATAACATACTCTATTTGACCAGGTACAGAAACTTTACTTCGAGATGCGGGACGACTGTAGAGAGACCATAGTCACAGCCGAGGTCTACTTTCGAGACCGGGTGATTATTGGCTTTGTCTTCGTATGCACTTCAGGTAGAAAATCGAGAATTGGTGATTTCGATACCGAAGCGAGTCAAACAATTCATTTTGCGCGGGACGCTGGGATTGTTGGCTTGTCCGTTGTGTCATAGAGCCCGAACTTATGGAAATCGAGTTTAAGGTTGAACGGAATGTGCAGCCTCGGTACAAGAAGCTTAGGCTCTCCATCAATTAGCCTGATGTCCTGTCCCATACCGTCGGATATGACTGGCGAGATGTATGCTGTAAAGATGGGACGTCTGTGGAAAGCCACCAGCGTCTCTCGATGCGTGATAATGTATATGAACCCCTAAGCAAGTCGAGGCTAGTTGGTATTTATGTGAGCTGTCAGGAGTTCTCCCTTGTTGGGGCATTATACGAGCCTGAGATTACAATAGGTATGAAGAGGACTTTCAAGCGATTGCTTGGGTTTACTTGATCAACGGATCCTCGAGGCCTGTGAAGATACACGCAGTCACGAAAAGCCAAATTTATCGCGTATTATTGTCGAATGTGAAAGTGTATTTAGTACTGGAGGCCGAGAAATTGGCATTTATGCCCGCAGCTTGTGCATTAGTTAAATTAGGTTCATTACGTACAGTATCATGAATAAGTTATTAGGAATTAGGAACGTAACCGGAAAGATAGCTGAAAAAAAGCATTATCTTAGGACATTAAATAAATCGAATAATACTGTAAATCTTTATTGTTGGGGTGTTCAGGTTACAAAGGACGGTTTTAGATGGCATATAGAGGTGGAGCGCTCGCTTTCCGGTTATGTTATTGATTTTATTTATTTATTTATTTTTTTTTTTTTGAAATTCTTTGCTCACCCATGAGTATGCTAGACGTTAAGACATGTAGAGGTAGTCAGGTGAAGAAATGGAGGCTGAAAGAAGTGTCTACGCCCTATTTCGAGGTAATTAACATCATTTAGAGTAATCTCCATTGATTTCAACCCATAAATCTAGAGTAAGGAAAACATTCAGACGATTGTATACTGATTCTCGTGGACAGGCAACATTACGAAAGAGCAATTTGAACCTTTCTCCAGAAAACATTTGCCACCTCGTTCATTCTCTCCTCATCAAACAGTCTCGCGTCAAACTCTATCGAAGGCCGAATAATGTTATCATCCATGATATGTAAGATCCGCACCAAGACATCGAACTATTAGAACCAATTTAGCACCACCACCAGAGTCAATAGGGTATAAGAAACTTACATGCCAAGGATCATTTGATCGCTTCAAATGATCATAGACCTTCAAGCTATCGGTTTGCACGCCAAGAGGTCGTCGTTGGAAATTCAACGCCGTGTTGAACGGCAACCCCATCTTCAAATCGTTCTGGACCACCTCACGCAAATTGGCCCCGGTATGGCCTCCATCCTGCAGTCTCTGGTCTTGGATTTGGTGAGCCAGTTTGGCCAATTCTTCGGCACTATCCTCCGTTGAAACGTCGCGGAGATGGTAAGCGAGGAGATTCATCACTGGACCGACGATCTCGAATATCCCGTCCACTTCCTGGTCGCGCCCGGAGACGACATATTCGTAGGTCACATCGGGTGAGCCGGAGAACATGCTGAGGGTCTGCGCCCATGCGGCATCGAAGATGCTGGCGGCAGTGATGCTATATTGGGAGCTAAATGCTGATAGCGCTGCAATGTCGAAAGTGGGAAGGTAGATCTTAGTCTTTCTGAGACTCGGAGAACGCTCAGATCCTGGTAGGGTTACTGGGAAGGATAGCAGTGATGGTCGTTGGTCACGTAGAATAGGAGCCCAGTATTTTCTGTCCTCGTCAACACGGCTAGGCTGATGAGCGTTCACAACGGACTTGAAAGTGAACAGGGGCGGGGAGAGATTTGCGTCGGCGGAGTCGTATGCCTCTAACAGATCCTCTTTGATGAGTCTAAATGACCATCCGTCGATAACGAGATGGTCCAGTTCGATATGGCCGAAGAAGGCGTCCCCACGTCGCGAGAAGTGAGCCCGGTGCGGCAAGAAGCAGTCGTCCAGGGCGGGTAATAGCTCGTCCGTGGTCGGCTCATGCTCCCCGGGGTTGGATGACGATATGGCAATGGAAGGTTCTGCGTTTTGCAGCACAACTTGCAATGATGGTAGCTTTCCTTCAGGGTCCTTGATAAATATGGATCGCAAAATATGGTTCTTCTGCACAACCGAGTTCCATGCTCTTGCGAGGCGCTCTAGGGAAATTGGTTGCGACTTCAGGGAAGTGAATTCCATCTTCCACGAAAGGACGAAAATGGCTGGGTTGATTTCTCTTTGTCTCAATATCTCTCGCTGGATAGGAGTGAACAGATACGAGTCCTCGATTTTCACTTCTGGTTTGCCTTCGAGGCGAGACTGTAGAATATGCGAATAAGCGAGAGTTCCATCCACGCCCTGAGGGCCAACAGCCTTCTCGACAGCCCGCGGTTCAGATTGTTGATTCTGGTCTACTAGAATGGCCAAATTTCCTAGCGTCTTTTGGGTTAAAATGCCGCGGGTGGTGATAGGCAGTCCTACCTGCTTGGCTTTGGACACCACCTGGATCGCGGCGATGGAATCTCCGCCAAGAGAAAAGAAAGAAGTCTTCAAGCCGATCTGCTCCGGGGACACTTTCAGTACATCTCCCCAGATCTGCCGGATAGCATCTGCGGTGGTCCCTGGAGTGACTTCGGTCGGCCCTCCAACGTCCACGTCTCCTACCACCTCTCTGTGTGTCTCCGGATCCATCTGCTCAATCCACGTCTTGAGAAGCCGTCGATCGATCTTCCCAGACAGTAGTAGAGGCATTTTTTTCCAGAGTTACCCAAATGGAAGGGATCATATAATCCGGAAGGGTGAGCGAAATGCGGGCTTTGACTTGTTCCAGGACCTCATTCTGTTGCTTCTCTGCCAAAAGGATCGTATCAGGTCTGCTGCCGTGGTTCCCCAGGTCGGAGCGATTCAAGCATACTACCGCCACGATTTGGCGTGCACAGGGGCCTTTAGATGGAAGGGTGGCGAGAGCAGTAACGACCTTGCCATCTTCCTTAATCCGGTTCTCAATCTCACCCAATTCAATTCGGAATCCACGCAACTTGACTTGCGTGTCGCTGCGGCCGACAATGCGGAATGTCCCATCTGGGTTGTATCGCGCCAGATCGCCGGTTTTATACAGCATTTTGTATGGACTGGACGGATTGAAATTCTCCAACCATGCTGGTGCAGGTACAAAGGCCTTATTGGTGGTAACAGGGTCTCCAAAGTACCCACTTCCAAGAAGCGCGCCAGAGATGACAATCTCACCAACGCAACCGATTGCAGTGAGTTGGTGGTAGTTGTCGGCATTGGCGATCCACATTGTCCCTCCGATGCACCGACCAATGTCAGCCGGGTGGGCGTCTGCCGACACGTTCAGATTGCCCGAGCAGTACACTGCTGTTTCGGATGGACCATAGCCAGCAGTGAGATCGACATGGTTGGCCCATCTTGTGATTGTCTCCCTCGTGACAGGCTCTCCTCCCAGGACCAATGTCTTTAGTGTCGGAACTTGCTCTGGGGAAATCAAATTGGCGACAGTGGGGACGACCAGCGCTACGTTTACTTTCAACGCCGTCATGGCCCCGGCGAGATCATTCATACGATCATGCTCGGATGGTACGCAGATACAGCCTCCGAAGGCTAGAGTGGTAAAGAACTCAGTCATGGAAATGTCAAAGGTGTGGGCGGCAAACTGAAGTGTTCTCCACTGTGGGCTGGCGCCAAATGCCGGTCCATGGTGAATAATGGAGGTCGCAAATGCAGAATGCGACATCAGCACTCCTTTCGGTTTTCCAGTACTACCAGAGGTGAATAGAAGATAAGCAGTGTTGGATGGCTGCACCCTCGTCCGTACATGTTCCGGAACCTGTATCTTGGCAGATGAGGTCGGTGGGTTATCGATCGTGATGATGGAGCCACAGAGGCCATCCAACACCCCGGCTCCCTCTTTCGAAGTTATAGCCACCTTGATTTGCACTGTCTGGATCACTTCGACAATGCGACCTCGAGGGTGAGCGGGATCGATGGGAACATATATCCCCCCAGCCTTAAAAACTGACATTATGGCTACCACTGTCCAAATGGATTTCTCAAAGCACACGGCTACCGGTGTTTCCAGGTCCACACCAAGTTCAACCAGGCGCAACGCGAGTACCGACGAGAGATTGTCCACTTCGGCATAAGACAGAGATCGCTCTAGGGAGCGAACTGCTTCCGCATCGGGGTTTTCCTGTACCTGCTTCTCAAAAAGGTGGTGGATGCATGCATGATTGGTGGGTGGGGTAGATTGATTCCATTGCCGGATCTGGGCAATATCGTTCTCACTCAGTGAGGAGACAGATTCCAGCAATGTATTGGCTGTGGCGTTGCTCAGATTCAAGGTCAAGGCTTGAAATTGATGGATAAGATTAAGAGCCTGCTGTGTTGAAACAACGCGCTCATCATACTGGATCTTGAATGTGGCAGTTGTATCAGTAGACAGTGTTAAAGAAACCACCATTGGATAAGAGTGTTGCTCAGTCTTCCCTAGGTGGTCCACATACTCGACCCCCAGCTTCTGCAGCGCAGGCGCTCCAGCCTCGCCAAAATCGGCAGGATGCACAACAAAGACGGTCTGGAAGTCGGTCGCTGTAGATTCTTTCCCTGCCAAATAGCTACGAATCTTGGACACGCCAGTTTGCTCAAAGGGCATCAATTCTGCCGCCTGGGCTCGAACCGAGCTGAGAAACGAGGCAACGGTCTGTTTTGGGTCAATTTGCAGAACAATGGGAAGTAGATTGATAGTTGGGCCTGTTATTTGCGATATACCCGGTACGGCGGATGAGTTTCGCCTACAAGACATTAGCTGGCTTCTGAATAGGTTGAGAATACCGAAGGTGCAATATCCCCAAAGCTCGCTAATAGGAAATACATGGTCTTACCCATTGTTAATAGCCCCAAACACTACATTTTCTGTTCCAGTATGGTGTGACAACAACATGCCCCATGCAGCTCGCAGCAACAGAGCTTTGGTGATGCCAAATGGTGCACGTTCCGTGAGGGCAATCGGCCGTTCGAGTGTACTGGATGGATTGGCATGAAAATCAATTGCTTGCGGGAGCGTAGGGAATGTAGTCACGTCAATGCCAGATAGAGTGCGCTCCCAGAACTCCTGCTCCTGGCTTGGATCTCTTCTGATAGTTGATTCGATAAACTGCTCAAAGGGGGCACGCTGTATAGTTTTCTCGTTGCAGAATCGTGTTGAAACTTCTTCGAGGATTTCTATTAGTGATGCACCATCGCATAAGGCATGATGTACCGTCCAGACAAAATACCATTTCTCGCTGTCTACGACAATGGTGTAACGGAAAAACCGGTCCCCCAACTTCATTAGATGATTTGCATCTTCTTCCAGAAATCGAGACAAATCCGTGGCCGAGGTATTCCACAGCATGTCTTCATCTATCACTGCCTGGATAAATCTCAGCTCTCCCTCCAGTTGACAGATTCGGGTGCGTAGAACCGGATTCGCGCGGACGGTGGCGACCCATGCTTGTTGAAATCGGTCCAGAAGAAAGTCGTCATCCAACTTGTAGACGAGCTGTCGCACTGACAGGTTCTCACTTCCTTCGGATAGCGTCACCAGCGACTCCTGCATCGGCGTGCAGGGATAGGCATTTTTGACTCGATCCGCAGCCACGCCGCATGCGTTGCCAATCGCCTGAGTCAGGTCGGGCACAGAAATATCGGCACGCAGTAATCCAAATGGTTCGACTGGTTTAGATACTGTGACCTTATGTTCTTGTGTGGGCCTACTGGAAAGTGCTTCTCGAGCCATTTCTTCCAAGGTGGCATTCATAAAGATTTGTTCCACAGTGAGAAGGATCCCCTGGGCCTGGGCAGCGGTCGCCAGGTCCAGGGCTGTAATGGAGTCGCCTCCAACCTCAAAAAATACATCTTCTTCTGAAAAGTCGGTCGCATCTTGCTGGAGAATTTGGGCCCATAGTGCTCGGAGTTGGCTCTTGGTCGGGCCGGTATCAACAGTGGAAGCCTACGTAAAGTGATTAGCCGGACTGATAATTGTGGTGAGATCATTATCTCTTTACACACCTGGTGGATATTACTTCCCGCCGGGGGAAGCACTGAAACTGACATCTTGCGATTAGAGATGTATTATGGATTTATTGGAACACCAGGATTGGCTGTTGACGCAGATGGACCACCTGTGTTTAAAGGTATTTCTACACAGATCGACGGCCTAGGATTGTCGGCCATGATGGAGCTACCTTTTTATGATCATATGCATAACTGATTTACCCTTTCCAGTGTCGATGTCCCCATTCTGGGTATTTCCAAAGAGCGCAGATCGTCCTGACGAAGTTGGCATGAATATGCCGGGTACTTCCTAAAAGGGTAATCAAAAACCCGAGGCGAACAAAGTACATCCAACATCATCGGTATTTTGCATTCCAGGAAGAATCGAACCATCTGCGTCAGATCAACATGAATGCAATAAATCTGGGTCCTGGACTGTCCGGGTTCAGGATCCAACGAATTTTCATGCATAGGTCCCCCGGTTGATTCGCAGTCAGCCGAGTCGTTATGGCAGCACCAAATCCTGCGGTACAGGCGAGTGCTATTTCCCCACAGGGAGGGATACAGGTTGGAGAAAGTGGCGAATTCATCGTGAATGGACCAACTGTGCCGTCTCTGCAGGAGTTGTCGATGGGGAAAATGCTGCAACAGCAGGTCGATCGACGGCCGGAGAAACTCGCGGTGGTATCGCGATGGCAGAAAACAAGCTTGACGTACCAGTCGTTATTCGACACCAGCCGAGACATAGCGCAAGCTCTGCTCATGCATGGGGTCCGCCCGACGGACCGTGTGATAGTGCTGGCCGGAAACTCCATTGAATACGTCCAGCTGCTCTTCGCAGTGGCTGGGATTGGGTCCGTTTTTACCATCATCAACCCCACATTTACAGCGGAGGAGGTGGTTTCTACGGTTGATTTCATAGGTAACATAGGCTTCTCGTTTAGCGCACACTGATTGCGCAATGTCCAAAATCCAACGGATGCCAGTTTGCTAATTGGTTATACGCCACAGACCCAAAGGCGATTTTCATGGCTGAGAGGATTGGATATCGCAATAACAAGAATCTTCTAAAAGAACTTGCAGCTAAACAGCAACGCACGTCGCTCATTGTACAGTTAGGAACGTCTGAAAAGGTATCTAGCAATGTTCTCTCATGGGACGAGTTTCGCCAGATAGAGCCAAATGGCACTCAACCTGGCCTGCATTCTGTGGACCAATATTGGGTGGAGGAAAATCCGCATGCCCCTCTGTGCATCCAGTTCACTAGCGGTACGACTGGTCCCCGTAAGGCTGCAATAGTCACACACCAGTATGTATACCAATCTCACACTTGTTGAGTATGATTCCCTTATTCAGTGTAATATTTGACTGACTGTGTGCAAAGTAACGTCGTTAACAATGCCTACCTTATCGGATCATGGCTTAGCTTCACAACCGATGATATTCTATGCTGTTCCCCCCCTTTGTTTCATTGCTTTGGGTTAGTAAGCGGGCTCCTAGCAATTCTAGCACACGGGGGTACAACAATTATCCCTTCGGACGTCTTCAACGCGGATTCAAGTCTTCGAGCTTGTTCTGAGGATGGGTGTACTGTGATCCACGCAGTGCCAACAATGTTTCAAGCTATGCTGGATCATTCGAAAACTCAGGCCCTTCCGCTTAGGCTTCGCCTGAGAACTGGCATCATCGCTGGCGCAAGCCTTTCTGAAATTTTAATACAAAGACTGTGTGACGAGTTTGGACTAAGAGGCTTAGCTTACGCTTTTGGTATTTCCCTCCCGATATCATACATCTATTTAGGAAACGCCTGGTTGACACAGATTAGGCATGACGGAGCTCTCTTGTGTCAGCTTTATGACGAATCCTGCCAAGGTTTGCTTATTGGACGATCGATCATCAGTCGGCACTCCCCTCCCCCATACATCTGTCAAGGTGGTGGATAGTGACTTGAAGACTGTTCCACCCGGAACCCGAGGAGAACTTCTTGTATCCGGATATCTTGTGTTTAGTGAATATTACAAGAACCCACAGAAGACAGAGGAAGCTATTGTAAAAGATGCCCAGGGGCGACGGTGGCTACGAACCGGGGATCTTGTAACATTGAGCGATTCCGGTGCCTGCGTTATTGTCGGGAGAGTAAAGGATATGATCAAGAAGGGTATGTACAGTATCCATCCAACAGGATATTTAGACCCAATTACTCTGACGCTTCTCGTTCATTTTAGGAGGAGAGAACATCGCCCCAGCAGACATAGAGAAAGTCCTTGAGCAACATCCAGACATTGCCGCAGCTGCTGTAATTGGCATTCCTGATACTCGCTGGGGAGAGACAATCGGTGCATATATTCAACGCGGACAAAATGCCCAGAGCGAACTCAATGCCAAAGACATTAAAATCTGGCTGAGAAACCGAATTGCTCCCCATAAGATTCCCGATCATGTGTTTTGGATTGGCGAAGAGGCAGGGGTTCCACAAGAGTTGCCTGTGAACGCTACCGGGAAAGTTCTCAAGACCGAGCTCAGCGCCATTGCAAGGGATTTGCTGAAAGGAAGAAGCGTACTTGTAGCTTAAATTTGTGAGAACCTGTGAAATTGACACTGAAAATGAACGCGGCTTAGGCCCAGTATCTATGTTGCCTCCCTCCCCAGCACATCAAACTTAGCGATAGGAATGTGTCGCCAATTATGGTAATATTGATTATTCATCATCGGATCGCGTACTCTCCTATATGGGTTAGTTTACATTTTTGGTTTGTTTACCTCGCCTTTATAAAAGCAAGATGTTTTGGTAGTTTAGTTGAATCAGAGACCTTATTCAATGAAGGATCGATACTTGCGAATACGCGTAATTTTATGGTTGACAAAATGTAAGGGAAGACCATCACGTACTCCCCGTCTGTATAGAGATGAGGCGTTGTTTGACTGAGACTATTTCACGTAGCCCCCTTTGTTCTGCCTTCTGCACGTGTTGTAACTCCTATCGCAAAGACTTCTTTGGCCAGTAAACCAGCTGGAAACGCAGGTATCCGCGATGCATATAGCAAATGCTGCGCTCCCGTATGTATATGCTTGGCACTTAGTGTCAACTATGCTATATGCTGGTAGTAACGTTACTACTCTTGGAGCTTTTGGGAACACAATTATTAATGCGGGTGTAGTCTGGTATCTGATTTGCACAGGTTACTAGGCGCGCCATGGAATTAACTTTTTTGTCTAATAGATTAGCTAAATCCTTAGCCTGCTTGTTTTATTTTACTCAGAGCAACATGTGCAGTGGTGTTTCTAAAATTATTATTTCCGAATAACACTTTGTTCTATTCTTCAGGTATTCTAGCTATTGGAAACTATATTATTACAGTTCGGGGCCGCGCTGGTACTTGTACACCCCAAGAGCCGAGGTAAAGAAGATGAGTTTAGTGAACTAAATTATTTTATTTTCCACCAGTTGGTGGACTGTTCTAAGGACTAAAGGTCTGCGCTAATTCTTGAGCCTTCTAAGCATAATTAACTTTCCACCTCCTCCGGTGTGTTGTTGTTATGCTCAGCTTAGGGCCAGAACTTCCATTAGCCAAAAAGACCACTACATTTGAGCTCTCTGGGACCTTTGGGTTTCAAACATACCTAAGCACTTTATAGTATCGCACTGGGTAGGTGACGCAGGCCGCATATAACACTTGTTTAATATCTCCGCCAGATGATTAATTGTAATAATCACGGATCTGAACTTGTTGACAGTCAACTTCGCAGTGGGTTGGCCTTGCTAAGCATAGGCGAGGTCTGCCCTACTTGTATTCGTTGCTTCAATATTCCCTAGTCTAGCGTTCTGGAGGATCATGATACCTACAAGCACCTGCCTGGATGGTGGTCACCCGACGGTCTATTAGTTGATTTCATCTTTCGCACTATAAGTTGAGAAGGCATGGAATTGTTGTAGTTGTCAAATTCGTACGAGATTGACTCCCTGGCTGCACTGTTTTTGCTGATATAACCCATTGTGAAAGGGATAGGCCAGGAAGGGGGAAGTGTGATTAGAAAAGTTCACGCATTTCTGGACTGAACTTCCGACCCGCCAGAGCTATTTATGTGATAGCTACTGAAGCTTTGTTCTTCGAGCCAGGATGGTAGGCACGCGAGCGCCTCTAAGGCAGTGCGAAATCCCTATTATACGGCGGCTGTCAACCAAAGCAACGCCACACATGATCTTACCCAGAAGGAAGCGGCTTAAAAACAAGCCCTGGTTTAAACACGTTTGCTTCATACTAGGAAACTATCCATAAACTGGAGGGTTCTCTCTAGCACATCGTGAAAGATAAACTTCGACAGCTTTACTCCATACTCTCTCTCCTATTGCTGTATCTGTCATAATAGTAGTAAAACCTATTATCCGTGATTGGACAGAAGTGGACTATTGTCATGTGACTTGATTAGGAGATACATCAGTTCGGGAAATTGATTGCCTAAAAAGGCAATGTTTTGGTCGAATTTCCGGTGTTAGCTTACAAAACCCCTGATCAAAATGCAAGTATTTAATAAAGCTGGTACTCAGAATTGTGGGAGCGTTTATGCCGCTAGGAATAAACGATATGGCTGACGAAAAGAGGGATGGGCTCCACAGCGAGCAACAGGTGCGTGTCCGGCAGGTTTTTATAGCATACAGGCCGCTAACTCAGCTACTATAACGGGAAGGGTATCTCTGTGCGCCCAGCGACGAACGAGAATACCGCTAGCAGCGACAGTGACCGAACAGATGACATCGAAAGAAATACGCCGCCGCCTACCGCAGAGGGAGAAAAAGTCGAACACCCCGATCCCAATGAGGTGGACTGGGATGGGCCAGACGACCCTAAAAATCCTCGCAATTGGCCGCGCTGGAGACGAGCCATGCTTGTCGGTATAATTACCTGTGTTGTGTTCTCGACGTGAGTGGGAGAAGTCTAGTACTTAATCGGTAATTTCTAATGCGAACTGGGTTTTAGATCTATCGCGTCTTCAGCAATTGCGCCCGCAGTACCACAGATTCTGAGGGAGTTTCATTCGACCAATGAAGTGGTTGGGACTTTGGTGGTTACTATTGAGGTTGGTTACTTGTCAATCTCTTCGAGATTTCGGTCCCTGAATGGACGTTAATATACTGCTTAGCTCCTGGGCACCGGTGTGGGCCCTATTCTTATGGGCCCTATGTCCGAAGTCGTCGGTCGGCGAGTGATCTACAACTGTGCGAATATTGGATTCAGCGCATTCTCGCTTGGATGTGCCTTGACACCTTCTTTGCCTGGATTGGTGATAATGCGCTTTCTACAGGGATGCTCCGCATCCTGCTCCCTTAACAATGCCGGCGGAACTATCTCGGACCTGGTGCCAATTCATCGCAGGGGTTTTGCCATGTCGATGTATTCCGTAGGCTTCCTGCTCGGCCCTGCCGTTGGTCCTATTGCCGGCAGCTTTCTGGCCGCAGCAGCGGGGTGGAGATGGGTATTTTGGTTGCTGCTTATTCTGGTGAGTCGATCAAGCATACACTTTACCGGTAAAACTACTAACATTGCTAGAACGGCACAATGGGAATAATCTGCGCCCTTACATACTCCGAAACATATGCGCCCGTCATTCTTGAGTGGAAGGCTAAGAAACTCCGCAAACAAACGGGAAACCAGGCGTTATATGCCAAGGGACAGCGACAGCTGCCCGTGAGCAGTGTTCTAAAACGCGCCATCAGTCGCCCGGTAAAGATGTTTCTCTTCTGCCCCGTCGTCACTGGCTTGGCCATCTACAATGCTGTCGTTTACGGCTTCACTTATCTCCTCTTCTCCACTTTTTCTGTGGTCTTCGAGGGCCAATACAATTTCAGCGAGGCAAAGCTCGGCCTGGTGTATCTCGGTCTGGCGATCGGTTTCTTGATCTCTCTGAGTATTGCTAGCTTCGCCAACGATAGGACCCACGCTCGTCTAACTAGAAAGCATGGAGAAGCAAAGCCGGAGTAAGTTTTACCGGACTGGTAAATACGCAGCTCATTATGCTGATCAGAGTGGAATGTAGATACCGCCTGGACTCCTTGATATACGGCGCAATCGCAATTCCCGTTGGGCTTATCATTTATGGATGGACAACCCAAGAGCGTGTACACCCTGCCGTTCCTATCGTGGCAACAGGTCTGGTTGGGTTTGGAGTCATGTTCACTTTCGTAAGTAGTATCTCCCAACGGAAATTCGGGGGCTGACTTCTTGAAGATCCCTTTCAATGTATACATGATCGATGCCTATACAAAATATGCAGCTAGTGCGATCGCTGCCGGAAATATTCTTCGAAGCTTGTCTGCTGCTCTGCTACCCCTGGTTGGTGTTCCCATGTATAATAGGCTGGGGTATGGCTGGGGGAATACTCTTCTTGCATTTATTTCACTCGGGTTGGGAGGAATGTTTATAGTGTTCCGCAAGTATGGCGAAGATTGGCGGAAGAGGTTCTCGATTCAGTTCGATTGAGCGAGTAAAATCGTTTAGAGGTGAAGAGAAACAGCCAGGTTTCCTTAATGCTGCGTCAAAAAGTGGAGCTGCAATAATTTTATATAGAAAAGACTAATGATTTCGGTTTTCCATTCCAATTCATAGGAAATATTGACATCCTCTTTATCAAAATGTATTATGCGTATGTATAGATGTGTGCTTTTATATACTTGTGGAGTGTATATCTAGGCTGCATTGATGCAATATATATGCCATAAATAAACGTTTAAATCCTCAACATAATCCATTCCTACTACAACATATTCTCCTCTGCAGACGAAACTAAAGACATACTCACAATCTGGTGACCACAAACCTCATCTCCTTCGTCTCCTCCCCCTCCCACCCCCTATGCTGGCTATCCCACCCCTCAGACCGATACGGCATTAACTCAGAATTAACGCCCCATTCCCCCTCAGGTGCCTGGTCCCACAGCAACTGCATTGTATCGGGGCTATGCCGAAACAAGTCCCAATCGAAAGACTCCATACGATAATCACCGCCCTTCTCCGCCGCAATATTACGCCCAAATACCAGAGATCCAGGCCTCTTCCGAAGCAACTTTACCAGCTGTCCCATGATCTTCTTCTGTTTTTCGAAGTCAAACAGGTGCAGGAACGCTCCGATGTAGATCATGTCGACTTTGCCGTGCCATTCGGACAGGAAATCTTCGTCGAAGATGCTCTGCGTGTAGAAGTGCGCTTTCAGTGTGTCTCTATCTTTGAACAGCTCGTAGCCTAGCTCGATAAACCGTCCTTCGGAGTCCGCGCCGATGATGTTCTCCGACGGCGCCCCATCGCTGACTAGCTTGCGGATATCCTGTCCGAAGCAGCACCCAAGGTCAAGAAAGGTTTGTCCATTGCGCATGCGCTGAACTACCTCGGGGTATATCGGAGAGAGGTTGGCGCCAAAGTCAAGGAATCGGAATACCCCGATGCAGGGATATGGCAGACTGGAAGTAAGTAATAAGGGTTAGTTTTAGACCATACAGCTCGGGAACAGCGACTTACATATCCCATGCTTTGTCCCTTACTCGGTAGATATGGTTGAGGATCTCGTCTTCAGGAATCAATGAGTAGTCCCTGAAAATATGTCTGGCCGTGTCGGGTAGCCGAGGTAACGTAGGCTGGTACCGTCCTGGATGGTACTTGTAATTTGACTTAGGGCCAGTTGGAGGAAGCTGAGGGAGAGGTGCGGCTTGGATAGACATTTTGACGTGACGTTCAATGGATGAGAAAATATAACTGATCTCGTTTGGTCTGCTGAGAGTGCCAGGATTCCAAATTCATCGAGCATGCGAAGTGGCTTTTCTATGTGATATGCTTCCGTCACTTGGGGCTGCTGAATCTACCAAATTCGTATGTCCGAGATTGGCTGCCATGCACGTACCAGACTGGCAGGTCGGACATATTTCCCAATTGGAACTCTTCGGAGTAACGATTACGATATTGAGACAGTATACATATCTGGAAGAAGAAAGCCTAAACGAGAAAATCCTCTATTCCTTCTGCTACAGCTTACTTGCGGATCGCAAACTACTTGTAATGTATCCATTATGATCATAGATCATAACCCTCACTCTGGAGGTCATGCATTCTGCACTGGTCTATTATGCTTTTCACTTTGCTTGCCAAAGATGAAACGTCATCATTACTTATGTCTTTGAATCCTTCTCTCCAAAGAAATCTGTGATCAAGCGAAAAAGCTTCTTGAAGCTAGCAATGGCTTCCCGCACATAATCTAGGTTAAGCTGGTTCAGGCAGGCTGGTGATCGGTTCATAGTTTTGACACCGGGCTCACTCTGTGCCACAAACATGTTCTGTGCGAGAGCGCTGATCGAGTCCAGCAGTTCATTGGCCTGCTTGACCAGATCTAGAACCAGCATCCGCTTCAACGAAGCGTCATCAGTTAGCGACACACAGTAGTTGCCAATGCCCACCTTGACGGTTCCGTCAAAGCCGGACTTTGCAATGTAGTCAAAGCAGGCGGCTGTTTGCTCAAAGACGGTCATAATGCACACCAGATCTACGGGCCCCACATAACAGCCACAGCGCGTCGACTCTTGACAGCTGCGAATGACATCGCCCGTGACCTTGAACATCTTGTCTAGCTGCGGCTTGGGTTTTTCCTGAATAGCACATTCAAGCTTCGGTACATGCAGCATCATGTTTGCACGGCACTGACAGTTCTGTGGCGACGGATGCGTTTGCGGGGACATGCCCGTGGAATCCGTCATCGGCTCTGAGACAGTGCTGTGGCTGTCATGTGCGGCGTGAGTAATTCCCTCGGTCGGGTTTTGGAAGAAATCGAAGCCATTGCGGCTCGGAGTCTGAGAGGACTTGGAACATCCTTTGTTACCACAGGAGGCTCAACATTGCACACGTGATAGGTGGCTTACATTAAGGCTGAGATCTGATTCTGGAAACACCCAATCGAATTGTTCGAGCGCCTGGTTAAACGTCTCCTCCCGCCACTGCTCCATTGCATTACTAGTATGTGTCGATGGGACGCTTCCGCCAGCAATAGAAAAGATATCGCCAGTCAAGTCAACTGACATCGGATCAGGTGCTGTCTGGCTCGTGGGAAGCGACGCTATAGACATTGGCTGGCTATTTGACGGAGACGTTGTCGTTGCTGTCGCTATTTCAACACTAACATTCCCATTTGTATTCCCGTTTCCGTTCCCGTGCCCGCTATGTGAATTCGGTGGTGGAGCATATGTGCAGCGAAGCCCACGGTTCCTACACCGCTCGCAGCTTCGCTGACCGTTACACTTGACCTTGGCAGAGCGGCACGCTTCACATGCGGTCATAGGACGACGTATCAATGGCTTCGATGCCTGGGTCTCGGGCGGTTGCCAGTTTAGTACCAGCGTACCGGGAATCTGCTTCCTCCGGGAGGGGGGGGAAATACAAGCGCCGGCAGACTGGGATGGCGACATGGTGATCGAGGAGACCTTTGTTCGGACTGATCGATATGAGTCGACTCGAAGCCTCTATGGATTATCCTCATGAGGACAGACCGGCTGTACTGAGTATTTCTTTAAAATCGGGCGAGGGGAGGGGAGTAAGTGTGAGGGATTGCTTTAGCAAAACAAGACGTGGAGGTTCTCGTATCCGTGGCGGGGCAGGGGCCCGCCAGACTAAATTAGAGCGGCGATCCTGCGGGCCCGGAATTGTTCCAGACACACAAGAAAAGTGTCGCCGCCTTTACAGCTCAGAACAGAAGTTCGGTCGATCTCTACTAATTCCAGGCTGCGATACAATGTGGTGTGATTCGGTCAGGCTGATCTCGTCATGCATGCGAGTTGATTACCCAGACATGATCTTGCGCAACGTGACTCGGAAGAGGGGTAAAACCTGCGTTTGGCCTGGAATTGGATCTCCGGTGGCAGGGGACAGATGCAGGCGTGTCTGAATTGTGGTTGAAAAAAGAGAAAAAAGAAAAAAAAAAAAAAAAACGGTGGCCGAGCTAAACTAATTTAGTGTGAATATACCCCTAGCGATAGGTAGGGCGTAAGGCCGACGTAGATTAGCCTCAACATCCATGGCTCCCTCAGGGGTGCATATCCAAGTTCTGAGCGTAGAAAAGTCACATTTAGAACATTGCATCACATCGGTTAGATGTTTACAACATATATCCAGAGAAAAGATGCAGCACCCATCAGGCATTCACATTAGATAGTATATTTGGCTTACGGGAGGGTGACGTCCATGATGGGGGTCCGCTCCATATACCGAGAAACTCCGGCAAGCACTTATCTACGCTTCCACCAATCCTCATTGTTCTAGTAGGAATGCGAGCAAATGATTGGTATACTAGAGCCAACTGGACGCATCGTAGAAGCGAACTCATGCCAAGGTCCTTTGGATTTTAGCGAGCGCTTCGGCACAGTGGCATCCGGGCATATTCCGCATCGCAGCCGAATGCAGGTCAGATTAACATCTTCAGTCGACAACATTAGTAGTGATTTATTGGTAATCAGACAAGCATGTGGACAAAAGACGGAACGGAACAGGCCGCCGGGGCCCCGGCTTGACACGACCCAAAATCTCACTGCAGGATCTGCATCCGCGCTTCTCCAAGCTGATGAAACCATACCCATTAACGTGCTGCGAATGTGGCAAGACGCAATATCATACTAATTCGTTTCTCCTGCCAATGCCCTAAAAAAGTGTCGGGTTGAGCCGTCAGTCTCGGAGCACTTGTTTCCAATTTCGCCAACGATGAACACTTCATCGACCTGGCTTTGCTCTCGTAGGCGATGGAATACTCCGTCTCTATCGGAGTAAGAATTTCCACTTTGGGTAATCATTGAATACCTATTCATGACATGGAGACTCTTAAGGAAAGGTTCAATGGCCTCGGTTTAGTGGTTATAGAGGACTTGGCCAGCAATTACGATAACTCATCTCGCATAAAATCTATTCTGCGATTCGGTGAACTCTTGGAACAATGTAAGTTTCTTGGTATGGGGACTCTACTTAAATTAACCATAGTATCTCGGTAAGGCTTGAGAACGCGGCGCAAAAATATGATGCTTTTCCTCTATTGCATGTTCCCGGTAGAAAATGGCCCGATAGAGCCTTGAAGAAACCACCGCGATGGCTAGCCACTGATCTGAGAGATGGAAATCAGTCTTTACCAGAGGTATCTTGCCCAGCTAGTTAATTCCATGCGTGGTTTAGGAGTTAATTTTGGGAACAGCCTATGGATGGTGATGCCAAATTTTACTACTTCCAGTCCCTTGTGCGGCTTGGATACAAGGAAATCGAGATATCATATCCCTCATCATCCCAAACCGATTTTGACTTCACCAGACGTCTCTCTACCAGTCCTGGAGAGGTGCCGGATGATGTCTGGATTCAGGTCATGGCTCCATGCCGAGAAGAGCTGATTCGCAGGACGGTTGAATCGGTACGAGGCGCTAACAAAGTCATTGTCCATCTCCATTTATCCACTTCCGAATGCTTCCGACGGATCGTTTTCAACAAGACAGAGGAGGAAATGATAGATCTCGCGGTTCGCTGCACGCGGCTGCTCCGAGAGTTGACTAAAGATTCTCCTGATCCTGAGGTTCGACAGACTGAATGGACTTACGAGTTTACGCCCGAGAACTTTCAACACACATCTGTGGAATTTGCGGTTGAAATCTGCGAGGCAGTGAAAGCAGTTTGGGAACCAACAGAGCAGAATCAGATTATATTTAACTTGCCTTCCACGATAGAAGTGGCAATGCCAAACGTCTTCGCGGACCAGATAGAGACTTTCTGCGACAGCATCACAGAGCGAGAAAAGGTGTGTGTCTCTTTACACACCCACAATGATCGTGGCTGCGCCGTAGCTGCCGCAGAGATGGCCCAGTTGGCCGGGGCAGATCGAGTAGAGGGATGTCTTTTCGGGAACGGCGAACGCACCGGAAATGTGGACTTGGTAACCCTGGCCTTAAACCTGTATACACAAGGTGTCCATCCTGGGATCGACTTTAGCGATATAAATCAGGTGGTAACCATGGTTGAGGAATTGACCAAGGTACCGGTGCCCTTACGAGCTCCGTACGCCGGGAAATACGTATTTTGCACCTTCACAGGTACCCACCAAGATGCTATCCGGAAAGGATACAAACGCCGACGTCTTGAGAACAAGGAAGGAGAGCTCCAGAAATGGGAAATGCCGTATCTTCCAATGGACCCGGAGGACCTTGGCAGGAAGCACGAAGCGATCATCCGTGTCAACTCGCAGAGTGGAAAGAGTGGTATTGCCTGGCTTGTCAAGGAGGTTTTCGATATTGACATGCCTCTGGAGCTCGAGCTCTTATTCACCCGAGTTGTGCAAGACCATGCTAATAAGACTGGCCTTGAAGTCACTACCAAGATGATCAAGGACCATTTCGAAACGAACTACATGCTCGTGAACTCATCTGAACTCCAACTTCTGAGCTGTAATGTCGACCAGGGTGATACTGATTCCAATGTAACTCAACCCGTCACGAACAGACATGCCGCAAATGGACATAGCACACATGGAAAGTCCACGAATGGAGAGAATGTGAATGGGTATGCCACAAATGGCCATGCCAATGGTAATACTTCCATGAATGGAAACAGCACCAACGGGACTGCCAAGAAGCGGAAAATCACAAACGGGGGTTTCCATGAAAGCGCCACGAATAAAAAAGCAAATGAAAACACCAAAAATGGAAATTACTCTGTATCCCTGCAAGCCAGCGTCGCGATAAACGGTGCTCGGCATAATATTCGGGGCTCGGGTCCCGAGCTGATCACAAGTATAACGGATGCTGCATCCGACCTCGGCTTTAGTTTTGACTTGTTGGACCATAAGACCCAGATCCTTGACAGTAAACCAAATACTCCTAGACAGACTGTGAGCTTTGTCAAGTTGGGTTCGGGGAAAATGCCCGTTGCGTGGGGCGTTGGTATCCATGAGGACCCTGTGTGGGCTTCCATGCAGGCGGTGAGTCGCACTGTCATACATCCAATATCTACCTATTATAAGCAGAACTGACCTAAAAGACTTCAGGTTTTGAAGGCGGGTGAGAATCTGAGAGTAGCTGATAGCATTTGATAATTGGTGGAGAGCTAAGCATACTTGCGAAGAATTCTACTGTTATGAAATCCGAAATAGGAAATGATATAGGCAATGATATATTCCCTAGTTCTATAGAAGACAAGGCACCTTCAGCATGATTCATTCTCAGGGCTCGGCCTAGAGCCCTAGGGGTTACACCTAAATGATTCAGTTAGTCTACCTGCTCAACTCCATGCAGTTGGCCATCAATTTTTTACCCAGGATTATATTAGTCACATCTAAATAGGCTGGAATGAGCATGCTTTGCCAGTAGCAGTGAAATCTCGCGTATCTTTTACCTTTCTGATCAGGCTGCTGCAGGGTGCATGTAATGCCTAGGGGTTACAGCAGTACTTACTATGTAGTGTAACATTACATAGGCAGGTTGATGCAGCAAAGTAGTTCGACACCAGATTTAGAATAGTGGAGACAGAAGAATTGTGTCAAGTGGATTTGTAAGTCAAACTGAATATTAGCGTCTTTTTAGCCCCGTGAGTCATGCAGATCTATATAATTGTACAGGGCATATTGTGGTTTGTTGACTCCAGTGTGGCCTATCAAGTACGGTTGTGTGGAGAATGGTCATCCATTAGCCAATGCAATTAATATACGGAGTAGTTATTGCATGTGTTGCGCGTTTCAGCTTTCAAGAAAATAGTTAGAATTTTTTTTTTTTTTTTGTCGAAATACGCTTAACTTACGCTTGTTAATGTAGTTATCAGCACTTTCCTTTCCTTGGTCACGATGGAAGATCTGACGTCAATATCTACTACCTGTGAGTCTAGAAATAGAACTCTCTATGTGAAACTTAATAGGATGATATATGTCGTAGTATCTTATAACTCTGCAATTTTACTTCCCTTTCCCAGTGGATTCCCCTAATGCCATGTCAGAGGACAGTCAACCGTTAAGCCGTCCATTTGTGTGACGTTGAATCTACAAGTTGGAGTAGCTAGTAGCTGTCAGGGAATAGAGATAATATTGCCACTAGTCTTAAAGACTCAACTTCTTTCTCCTTGTACCTCGCACCACTGACTTTGAGACATATCTATCTCCTTCAGTCTCTAGATGAAGACTTTTAGAACTTTTCGGATCAGTGTTGTTAACTTCGGTCCCCTTTAGTCGGCTGCGAAAATATCTGCTCGTGAGCTTCTACAGAGCCTGTCTTGCTTAGGCTAATATACTATTCTGCTTAGGCGAGACCGAAACTCCTCTTGCTGAAACCAGTGTTTAGATTCTTCTTGCTACGTCTCGTTTAAATAATGCTGCTTCTGCCCTGCGCTTGCCCAATGTTCAAGATGTGTCGCCTACTTTTTCCGTCTATGAGAATTTGTCCACTGGCCATTTGGCTTTAGAAGACACCATTTCTGCTGTGAAAGTTGCGCTTGCCTTGCCCACCTCCGGCAGGCGGAGGGTCGGATGACCGGGGCTTGGCTGGTGGTTTTTCGGTTTCGCTCTCTGTGTCCTCTTCCTAGGAAAAGTGTTCTCCTTGTCCTGTTAATAATAGCAATGGAACTTCTCTTTTCCTCTTCCTGATCTATTGTCTCCACAGTAGCGTAGCATCTGTAGTGTCAGCAAAGTTGTACTCCAGTGATATGTAACCTCCAAGTCTTGGCTAAATGCCTCAGTTCGTCTAGAGTTACTTGGAGGTTAGCAGGGAGGAAAAAAACTTATTGTGGATACTGTCTCACAGTGGTTCCCCCCCCCCTCCCCCCCCCTCTTTTTTTTTATATGGAGGTAGCGCTTAAAGCTGAAAAGCTCCAACATGAGGAAAAAGCTGCTGAAAAAGATTATATCCCAAGAAGACGGTACCGCCCAAGTTGGCACTTACATCAATGATCACTTGGATTTTCCTTGTTTCTTTGCTTCTCTCAGAAACGTCTGGGTCAGATTTTGGAATTCCTGCTGAGCAGCGCTCGCAGAACTCTCGTCCACCTCTACAAAGCTGGGAATGCTCAGTATAGCCACATCGACGTAAGCCTTTTCGTCCAGAAAATAAACCCCCCACAAAATTTTGAGAATGCCGAGAAAAGAGGTTCAAAATTCCCGGGGTTGGAGTCGCTGACGGTCTGCCATAGGCGGGAATACTGCTTGTTGCGTTGGGCTTCATGGGCAAAAGATCATTTTCTTTTGTGTCTGGCACAGATTCTTCTCCTTCCGAGGGTGTCACGAAGTGTGTGCGATACAAGTCTTCACCGCTGGCCATACCATCGAATGGCTTGTAGATTTCCCCGTAATATTTAAAGGTGGCGTTAGTTCTATTTGCATACGTCAGCTCTGTCGTAGGCTCAGTGTATAAAATCCCCCAACACCAACACCGCCACCACCGCCACCACCGAAAAAGCCCACAACCTGTGAAACCCTGTCCGAACATAGTCGCAAACGCAATTGTTTAGTGGTGGTACACACTTGGCCAGCAGACGCTAGACTGACTTGAGCGAGGTTATGAAAAAGATAGTACCATTGAGCATCTTGATCTTGAAATAATGCATAACCGCCCAGGTTGAGAAGGAAGTCGATAGCATTGATGCCGTTGGTCGTATGCATGGCAGATGGGTTGGAATTTGCACCCGCAGAAAGCAAATCGCGTAGGGATATATCTTTTTGTTCGTGGATGGCCGTCTTTAGAAGCGTAGACAAGCACTAGAGGAAGCCCCAATTGAACACTCCACCAACAACCTTCAGGGACGTATCGAAGGTGAGTATCATGGGCCCGCTGAAATACCCGGTACAAGTGCCATCCAAATTATTACTCGTTTGCGTATCTACAGTTTGTTATTAGCCGGGAGGTTAGAGGTTCGACAAACTGCAACATGAGGAGCTCCGCCATGGCTGCAGGGTCGAAATTACTTACTGATCCGTCTTCAGGTTATTCGGCATCCTCGAGGGCTCCCCAGAGGTCATAGGTTGGTTGAATGTGGTCGGCATATTCCAACGGATAGTCCTTCAGATACACGGTGGCTGTCTGCCAATCTATATATGGCGGGACGGCCTGAACCAAAGCTTGAGCAGCGCTTTTATTCAATGGAACCAAGCTGATACAATCTCATGCCATTTGGGCAGGGACAAAAAGATATCCCGCACATTTATCTCCGGGAGCTGAGACCGAGAAGGCAACCTGTGCACAGGCCGAGCCATTCAACTTGGTCTCTCTCGGAGGGAGGGCCCTTGCACCGAACCAACCACAATGGTGGTGAGCAAGAGCAAGTCTTAAAAAAGGCTATTGTCTTTATTGAAATGGCCGGATTGCTGTTTGTCACTTACTGCCTAGACAGAACTGGCTGCTTTGTAGTACCTAGTCAGTAAGACTGGGAGGAAATCTCTTGCGTCATTCAGCGGGATCACTCGACGCTCCATTTTGTTGCCGCCTTCTTCGATCCAATCTGTTAGCACTAAGTGGGTTTAATTTAATGATACCTATTGCGTGTCGAGGTAAATGGCCCTCTACGAGTCAAATCGGAGGCTCTGCTAGGCAAGACCAGGGGATGCCATTTTAGACCTCGCCAAAACCGCGGGTCAGGTTTCGACCCTGAACTTCCGTATTGTATTTGCTTCTTGAGCTCTTGGTAGGTCGTGGCACTAGAACGAAGCATCAGGTCCACTGGGTTTACATCAGGCATTATTTCTTGGGCGTACATGGCGAATGCGTGGTGCCGTGTTCTAGAACAATCTTAATTAGGTTCTCGAAATATATGTTAGGCGGGTTTATATTTACATGTTGATTTTGGGTGGTTCAAATTGTGCATAAGAACACTAGCGATTAAGAATGGGACAGTCCTAGTCCGTATCTACTTCCTGGTAAGTTCTCTGCCAGGAGCCGAGAAATGGCCGAAAGGACGTAACACAGAGGTACCTCTGGGGGATTGGCTTCAACTGTAGTGTAATATGGAGCCATCTTCCGCTTTTTAATCTGCTTACAACTGTAAGTTGTTGGAAAATCTGCAGCTGAGGGCGGTTTGTCTATCACAATATTCAATTTGTCTTACTACTGTATCAGTCTTAAATTAATATATACTACACCTATATATTTTCTTCCCTTATCTTCCCTCTCGCAACTACAGAACATGAACAGATTCAAGGCATTAAATCCCGACGGGGAACATTTCGAGTCCTCTGCACGAGGGGCTTAGGAGATCATATGTCCAACACCTGCTCCAGCTAAAGTGCCGTTGGAGTCGGGGTTGGAACTGCTGCTAGAACAGTTGCTGGTTTGCCACCAATATTGCTAGTCTTGCCCATCTCAGCATCAGCCCCCGCAATGAATGCAAACAGCTATCCAAAGTTAAGGTTTGTGAAGATCTTAAGAGTGGGAATACAGCCCTTGTAAGGAGTCATGCGCATCTCAAGCTGAGTTAATTAATCTACAACTAATGTATATAACTCTTGCTTTCCAGTCATGGGTAGTATACCTATGTACATACAGCTGTCTACCTGGGCAGTTCCATAGACAAGCACATGCCAGACGCCGGTCTACTCGACCTTTGCCGTGGACATAAATTCATCCATTTTGGCATTCAAATCGCCCACACTTTTGCTCAGCTTATCAGCCTTCTTATCTGATTGGTCCAGCTCTTCCAATTTATTCTCCAATTGCGAACCTCGTCGTGATTTTGAAATAGAAACCATACTCATCTGGATCGAACAGACCCCATAACCCTCACAATAGCAAGTAGTTTCCGAGGGAAAAAACTTCTGCACCGTAAATAACCAATGCCAGACATATTCCCAGGCGCGCCCGACAAACTATCCTACAGCTCAGTGTGGAGCATAAGAAACGGATTCTAATCCCAGGAGAGTATCTAATACACAACGAGCACCCCAGCTTCGGTCCCATATGAACGCACTTGCTCTGAAACGGAAATCACGGGTACGAGGATTCTATCGACCACATTGTGAGTAACATGTGCCAGATCCTGATAAATTGAACAAGTGGCTAGGTGGTTACAGTGCTGTGTGTCATCTACGATTGAGATCCAGGATCTATAGGGATATTTCACATAAAAGGTAAATACACCGGGAAGGATCCCGGTGAGAAATAGAGGGATGGAAGGTAGCATCGAGATTAAATTAGTTGTCGGTCGTAGAGCGCATAAGACTCTACTATACATGAGACTATGGCTGCATACTATGAGGTAGGTCTGGTTAACTATCGGAAGAGCCGAAGGGAGAGAATGGCTCAAGTGCATCCGGAAGATTCTTCCCTTCCGATGTACTCTGCATATGCTGAAACACACCTAGACCGGGCCATCTGTTTATATGGAACGAGCTAACATGCATCCCATTAGAACATCAAGAAGCGGGCTCTGCAGGTTGTAGCACTGTGTGAAATTGCGCAATTCGTATCAAACCAAGCCAAGGAGCACTCTTCGAGACGATTCTAATGGAATATCCAGAAAACAAATCTGCAAAAATACATCCACGGGAATGTACCGTCATAGCTGGCAGGGATCTCAAACGTGGTTGGAGTAAATATTCACACGAATTAAATACACAGACATTATTATAATAGCGAATTATATACATTATCTATAGCGGTCGTCTAACCCAAGCTTAATAGCCTCATTCGTGCTGGTTGGGTTTCCATCAGGGCATCCCACCAGCCATGTTGTACAGCTTTGTCAAATGGATGGCTGTGAATCCAGCTGAACAAACTCGAAATGCAGGATATCACAGCGCAGATATTCTACACATTGTTAGTGCCGTGCTCTATTCATTTAGCAGAGACACATAAAACTTACCCCTTTGTTGCGTGTGCGGATACTATTCAATCGCTCATACAGGATTTCGGTCTTCTCAGAGTACCCCGACGTCAGCGCTGCAATGAAGCAGCACCAGAGAGGGTACGCGGCAGTGTACAGCATTCCGTCGATCGGTAATCGCATGACCAGATCATAGAGTTTCGCATGTAGACTAGCTACTTGTGAATGTAATGGTGTCGCCCTACTGCATGTTAGTGGGCTGGAATAAGGGACGAAGATGGATGTTGCATACCCCAGGACCCGACAGAGGAGGTAGATGCGCGCAGCTAATTGATAAGCCTGCGCCGTCTGTAATGCCACCTCGAGCGCTTCTCCCGGAGCTTGGTAGCACCATTGATTCATCATTGCTATCTCATCGTCGAGAGACTCTGCCGTCGATACTCGCTCTTCATCAGACACCTGTGCCGTACCAAGCATCGTAATGCGCGAGATCATGCTCAGCATGCGACGAGACATGCCTAAAATGCCACAAATTCGTTGCGACTCGCGACCCGAACACTGCAGCAGCCAATCTGAAGAGCCAAAGCGCTGCGCCTGGATTTGCGCAGACGTCTGCGCCGTCAACGCCAGCGTCAACTGATAGTTCATGAACAGGGCTGGCTCCGAGGAGGGATCAAACCCTCCCCTGGCTTGCTGAAAGCCGTCAATCATCCGGACGTGCCATGACCAGCACATCTCTGTCTCGTTTTCGTTGACAACCCCATGGTGCACCAGCAACATACCGGCCGCTAAGCAGCTATCCGTGGCGCCATGTCCCTCACTAAGATCGCGTTGCAGCGCCTGCGCTGCCAGGACCATGTAGTTATGGTTCATGTACCCGTATTTCATCGCGTCGGACAGGGCGTATTCCCGCATGTATGACGCACTGACACTAAACAGTGCATTCCGCGTGCTCTCGGAATGCAGTGCAAGTGGGAGAATAGTCAAGTAGGCGTTTTCTTCGGCGAATAGTGTCTGACTCGGGGCAAACATGTTGATATCTAGAGGTCCAAAAGGGATGATCAGTCTGTGTGCATCTTCCCGAGAACGGTCGTCTTCACATACAAAAGTCCAAGAGATCTCGCTCCATCTCATTGCTCCAAAGTCCGCGGTAGTTTATTGTGGCCGGCCTCAATTTGATCAATCCATTGTAGGAGAGAACAGGGTCCCACGACAGTGGTTCAGAATTAGTACTGGCCGAATCAGAGATCACTGAACCGCAGTCCGCAGAGTATGGTCGTTCAATCTCAGACGCTGCGGACGACGCATCGGAGTGCGCAGAATCCGTGGAGAACCCTACCAAGAAAAATCCATTAGCCTTGTGTTCCTGCCATCGATTCGAACTGTTGACTGTGAAGAAGTGAACTGACCAACAAGACTGGCTCGCAAATCCATACACGCTTTCTCCTTATGTAGCCGGACCCGTTCCAATCGTTGGAGTACAAGTTGAGCCGAGCATGGGTCATAGATAAGCGCATGGTACCGTGGCTGCGCATGCAATTCGGATCGCAGACATTCCAACTGTTCACTGTTCATATCTACCACCCGCCATAGGAGCTGTCCCAGGATCTCTAGTAGTGCAACTCCTGGCCCATCCTCCACCATCCACTGCCGGATCACCGCAATACCCCGGCGTCCATTTTTCTGCTTGCCTTGGGACGGCGGTTCTACCACCGCGGAAAGCAGTCGGTCCACGTAAGTAAAGTCTAAAGTATTGGAGCCAGTTGCTGGTCGTGCTAGGTATCCCAGGGCATCAATGGCGGCACCCAGTGCTCGTTGGACCTTGTCGGGTCGGGCAGAATCCACTTTGCCGCTCATTCTGCGTGTTAATGCGAGTGCAACTTTCGAGCGAAGACGGCAGGAAGGGGAAAAAACACCAGTGAAGATTTGACGTGCGACCGGCTTATATTCATATCAGACTACCGGCTTGGTGCGACCGGTCGGAGGACGAACAGACTCGACTGGGTAAATATGCGAGGCTGCGTTAGGGGACCCAGCTTGCGGGAATTAGATTAGATGGTCTGGGGGCACCAGAAGCCAGAGAAAACCGTCTTATCCTATTGAGTCTGGCGAAGCCGTCATCCAGCTCCCTGGGAGATTGACAAATCCACGTGCGGGCTGCAGGGCCCCATAGCACGACAGGAAGGACTGTCGCACACGGATCGGAGAGCGGACGTGGGCTAAAGTGTCATCCATGCAACTCTTCACAACCCCTGCAGTTGCTATTCATGGATTGTTCAATCCGCCCAGCGTCGATCCACGAACCTCAGTGGTGGAATTGGTCCAAGCCTCAGGCCCGCTGCCACGAGGGATTCGCTTCTATGCAGCCTCCGTAACATAGGCAAGGGACAGTCAGAACAGGCGCAGCAAACGGGTAGTTCATTCTGAAACACGGTTTGGCCCCCGGACATCCCAATCCCAGCACAGGTGAAACCAACCTCTGTCACTGAGCAATGGTTTACTGCATTCAGTCCTGATAGGAACCTCGTAACGTCGGTCCTCGAGTGCGGAAAATCCCCGACCACCGTGTTTGCCTATGTGTCAGTCTCCACGCGGTTCGTGGCTCCGTTTTGGCCCCCGCACTGCGGACTTTCATCTCAGATCGTCATCCTCCATGCTTCGATTTTGAAACGCAGTGGAGTCCATATCCGCCCGGGAATAGCGTAGTGGTCAAGTGACTTTGTCTAGAAAGGAAAACCCTAGACTGGCATGTCTATCCCTACATCCTAGTATGGCCCCCAACAGCGCTAGGCCCCTTAGGCCCGTTAGGCCCGTTAGGCCCATCATAGCGCTACATTTGATTTGACAGGACGTTCTCGCGTATGAAAATTGCAGAAGCAGATGACCATCCCAGGCTGTTGTCGCACAATCACAGCCGCCGATTGGAAGCCAGTTCTGGTGTGTTGGCCTATCGAGAACTTTGTCCTCCTTTTGGATTGTTGATGTGATACTATGTAATGGTTCTTACTGTTCCTACTGCCCCGTCAACTAACCTTCTTAGTTGTTGGCTCTGGTTTCGCCAACACAGAGAACAAATGACGAACCCTTATAGGCGTGATCCTGATCAGCCGTACGAGGCAGGACACAAAAAAAATAAAAATAAAATAAAATAAAATAAAAAATTATCTGAATATAGTACATACAAGACTATCCTTAGTTCACCCGGCTAACATCCATGTTTGTGGAATAGCGCAGAAATATCTACAAAGTACGACTCTCGTCTGAGGGCCTTATTCCGCTCTCAGCGGCCTGCCGCAACAAACACCGGGCGGCCTTTGAAGCTCTCGATATTTTGCAATCTAAGACATCGAGGTCTCCAGTTCATATCCCTCACTTGAGTCAATTGAGCTGGCCATAATGGTGCCATACCTTCGACCACGGTAACATGCACCGACCGAAGTCCGAGGTGAAACATAACCATGTTAAGACGGCGAGGGCCGCCACATAAATCTTCCGTGCACATCGGAGGAGCACTGGGCTGTGATAGCTAAATCTCCAGACTTGCGAGCAGATCTAACCCCCCCCCCTCTCTCCCCCCTTTCGGCGCTCTCAGCATCGAAAAAGTACCAGGAACCTCTCTAATTCAGGCTGTGTTGTACTTAATTTCTGTCCGGGGCTGTGTACCGGTCCGGTCGCGCATACAAAATTACTGTAAGTGCAGGATTTAGTATGCACAGTGTGTTTCGACCGGCAAGGACACGAACCCGACCATGTGGCCACCAGTCTAGCTCAGCTTTGGCAACGCACTACTTTCTCCCCGGCGCGCATCCGGTGGGGGGAAAAGGTCGGGCGTCGCTGGCAGATTGAATTCCGTCGCGCTAATTCGTTCATAACGAATAAATCTCCGACTACCGATCAACCCTGCTGAGAAGCCAATTTTCCGTTCTCGTATCAGTGCTTTCTGAAAAGTACGGATACACGGCAATTGTCATATTGCTGAGCGCTAGCTATTGTCAATCACACCCAGAGACTGGAGTAAGCGGAGCCCATCCTGACGCGATTTCCCTTGGTCCAAGCTGCTAGTAGAATGCTATGTCTCCTGCTTAGAAGGTCAAAAAACGGCCGTCCATCGGAGCAACATCTCCAGGCAAAAAGGATTAGATCTGCTGGTAACAGCCGTCGGGAAAAATAGTGACATTTTCGGGGCATATGGAAAGTCCGACCACCGTAGGCTATGGCACTGTCGTCGCAATCTAGACAATTCACTACACTTCCTACACGAACAGACCCATACTTTTGTCAAAATGCATAATGAGGCTACGTTGTGAGCTGAGGAATTCCCTCGATTCCCCCGTGCAATCTCCTTTGTATCCGAAAACTGTAAACCGAGGGTCCGTTAGAGTATATCACGCAAATAAACTATATCGTTCTCCGCGGAATATACCGGCCAGGTAATCTTTTGTTTGGTTGGTATATTCTCGAGCTTTGGTGGATGCAGCACGCAGATAAAGACAGAAAATATTCTCGGCATCAATATATTGTATTCACAGCATATCCCTATCTTTAGATGGATAGTTCTGCAGATTCTCGTATGTCAGCCAATGGCAACTAGTGGTTTAACGGTTCCAGAGCACCAGGATTGCTAAGGGCCCTCCGCAATTTGTTCTTGTCGTCCCTCACCCATTAAAGATCCGCTCGAGCTAGGCCTAGACTCTGCTTGCTCCATCTAGTTCTATGTAAGGTGACGGCACTTGATATGGAACGTGTCCCGATATACACCTCTGTTTACCATGCCAAGTAGACCTGAGTGAAGTCACACCGTCAATGATATCACCTAGTTAATGTTCATATCTCAGCCTACCTTTGCTTGTCAGCAATGCAAATTCGGTGTCCTAATCTACTTAAATTTGGTGGACAGTGCAATTCTAAATAGTTAGCACCCTCCGACCACGCCTATTAAAACATGGCATTGTATAGAATCCACAGCGAAAGCAAAAGTCCAGTCGGTAACGTTGCTCCATGAACATACTACCGCAGCTAATAAGGTATGCTATCATCTTCTGCATTGGTTCTATAAAGGAGCTATTCCTGTGCATAAGAAGCAAATTTATTCTCCTCACAAAGACATCAGTATGCTATTTTCCCATCAACTGACTTCGTTGCTGCGCGACATATCTTCAGACAGTTTGTATTGAACATAAATCATTTGCAAGTACAATGCGGTAACGAATAAACTGTTCGCATTCTACCAATTCGTTGATAACCGACAGACAATACTAACAAGCAGTAGTAAGGCTCACCATATTGTTCACTAGGGCTGTAGCCAACAGGGATAACCCAGTTGGTTATGAAGAAAACGTGTACACCCTAAGCGAAATTAGAGCTCGGTCAGGAGGGCTGCACTGGGATTGACAGAGATTGCGTCCTAGCGACACGCATGGAGGATTCGTCGGCATGAGATACATTGCATGGGTGCCAGGCTTCTCGCCAGTCTCCTGGCTCAGCAGCTTTTGCAAATTCTCATATGCTGGAACCTGAAGAAGTAGCGAGGCTCATGCAGCTAAGCCTAAACCGTCAAATTCGAGGGTCCTACTCCACATCACCTCACTAGTTATGGGTCAGGTCTATCAAGAATATCGTACAAGTGTTCTGAAGATGTTTGAGACCAAACGGCACGAATACTGCTGGCATGCATGGTTATCATCCACATATCGAGCGTAAGGATACCAGATCACAAGCCAAATCGAAGCGAATGGTCAGTTCATTATCAAGGGCTGAACACATAGGACCTATAGAATAGGCTACATATAGAAAGGAATCGTTGAAGAAGGAAAGAAAGAGGGATAAGTACGGGCAAACAAATACGAGGAAATTCACGTGATGCGGGTCTTCGAGGGCCAATCGGGCCAACACGTAAAACGGGGAGAACGGGGACAGCAGAGACCGTAGGCCCAAGTCAAACGGGCCCTGCCCTGGCCCTGTAAACTCACGTCCAATTTGTTGTTAGGCTCATTAACACTTGTTTGGCGTAAATATACTTGGGGTCTCATTTATTGTGTGGCTGGCATTCTGTCCCATCCGTCCTTCACGAAGACAGCATGAAGAAACTAATGTCTTTATTTAAACCCACGTATAAGTTCTGTCTGGATTGACTTGGCGCGGACCGCTGACCTTGGGGCCATTAAGTGCGGCACATTGACGTGGACAACAATAAGTGGACTGTGCTGCGGTATTGTTAGAGATAGTCATATCCAAGGAACTCGAAACACCTCTGTAACATACTATAATGTTGCCTAAATTGCAAGTGTCCAATCAAAATGTAATCCTAGCCTTGCAAATTCTTACGAGCCATCGATTATCCCCTAGCTGGGGCCAGGTTGGCAAATCCTAGGCAGTTAGCCCCCATGATACAGGGTTGACAAGCTCAGCCATGATACCGGGCAGCACCCAGCTTCCTCGGATGGACTAACGAAAGAGGCTGCAAAATAGCAGTCTTTGTACTTTAAAAGACGAAAGATCCTGGAATGAGAAGAAGGATCACCCACCGGGAGAAAAAAAATCGCCGTTCTCACTACCTCAATCATTCTCAGCATGGCTGTCTTGTTTACTCCGGAGCCTATAGAGGGCATTGGTAGGGGTCTTACCTTTTTGTGTTCTATTGACCGATCTCTAAGGGCTCTGAACAGATTGGAACAAGTTAGAGTCATCTTTGATGAACGGTGGGAGATGATAACTCTCTTCCCGGCCCTGCTCACATTTTGACCAACAAGCTATTAGCCAGTGCCCATATCGAAACGCACTATAACACCGAGTCTTGCCAGTGGTCAGTACCGGCGTTGTTGGTGGATGCCGACGCTCAGATTCAAGATCCTGGTCCAGCATTAAACTATGGTATGAATGTGGCACACAATAGATCGACAACTGCCCATCTCACTAACCTCGTTGTAACAGATCAACAAGACTTTGATGGCGTCAAAGGTATAGTGTTGGCGTTCGTGACGTCTCTTTCAGTGTTCACGGTTACTGAAAATGGCCAGTGTACCGAAATCCAAACGGCGAGATCCATATCTTCCGGCCAGACTTTCATGCCACATGCTTCCAGCAGTCATGCATCGCTCATTCGATTGACCCAATGTCGCAAGAACATTTTATTCGTTGTGTTGAGCTAGCCGTCTCGCGCAACGCGGAATATGTCCCTCCCCATGAGAGCGAGGCCCTCCTCTATATCCAGCCTATCAGAAGGGCAAACGAGTCGCATAATATGTTGGGCAACAGGCCGTCTCACAGTTTCATTTTTTGCGCACACCTTATTCCTGAGAGCATTTCGAATGACAGTCAGCCGCTCACTGCCTTGGTTGTCGATGAACTGGACAAAGCTACACCTAGGGAACGCTCTTATCACCAGGCTGCTGTGACGGGATACGATCTTGCTCTTTATTTTGATAGTGAGACACATACAGTGATTAAAGGGTTCTCATCGGCGGCATTTATCGGTATCATGGGAGGAGGCGAAAACAAACCCGTCCGCGTCATAGGATCAGACAGCTGCAGAGACAGACAAAACGTCACCAGGGAGAGTTGTATGGCCATTGCTCAGTCATTAGGCTGGATCACAGAGAAACAACGAGTGAGCAATCCACGCGTGCGAATATTGGATTATGAAAGCTTACCCGATGACTAGATCCACAGCGCAATGCTGTCAGAATTCAGTGAAGTTGTCGCCGCTGGAGCGAGGGAGGGCCTGATTCCTGTCAAGTCAGTTACTCGTCTTCATGACAGTAGTCGGGTCCAAGTTACCTACGGTGCAACCGATGACGGCACGGCTTCACCGGCTGCCATGGAGCTGTGTCAACGTCTGAAGGATATCCAGAAGGGGAAAGTGCCAAACGAGTTTGGATGGTGTCATAAGCTGCGAATATTATAGGAGTCGTGGTTTCTTTTCCGTTCATGTCATAGTTCTATTAATATCTTCTGTTAGACCTCTTTGTTCAATGAAATTCTTAGAGACGAAAACCCAAAAGTGAGAACAGGATGAAGAGCATAGAATCAACATCGGGAACAATCAAGGTAATAAGTCAGTCGATCGCGAAGGGCATGTGACTTCCTTCGACCATACTGTGCCAGGGCCTATAGGTAAACACCGATATAGGTTACTTTAAGTAGCATATATTATCTTTATAAAGACCGCACGTTGACGTTCAGATATAGATCCGTTCCAGTACCCTTATACTATGTGGTGGATGCCTCCGCCTTGTAGCCCCTATTCAGACCCCTGTTGGTATACTTTCTACCACTCCCAATGACGATTCAGGAATACTCAGGCCAATGTTGCTAATTACTGGTACTAGGTACGTGAGACGTAGGATAAGACGTAAGAAAAACAAATGAAGTGCTTACAATTTTAACAACTTGTGCACGATGAAGTGGAAGATATCATTAGGAATCTATAATTTTATACAAGAACAGGACATCCGAAGGAACAGGATCTAAGAGTATTTTAAATAGTCGAAGATTTTCGAAACGCTCAATTTACTGCAGCGCTGCAACTACGGAACCTTAATACTGACCAGAACCAAGGGAGATCCCAAGCATTGTCAATATTTAATAAAGTTTTTGACATTACAACTGTCATAGAAAGTTAGGAGAAAACTCCAAGACAAGTGGATAAATTGTCACTTAGCAGATATAAAAAATCTGTTCCTGTACTACTTGTATAGGGAAAAGTTTTACACGTAAACCTGTAGCAAACACTCAACAGTGAATATTCAAATACTCAGGACTTTAGGTTTTGCTTTACGTGGATAAATATGTCTCCACGACATGTGGAGAATCCTAATATAGATAAATTATCCATAATAGAAACAATAAACACTAGTAGGGATTGTGAAAGTGAATCTCTCTAGTTGTAATCCTGGTTGCAATAGGTGTCCCTAGATGCGTTACCATTAACCACCACATAAGGAGCTCTGAACAACCTCAAACTGTATACCAGCAAGAACAGAATCAGCCCTTCAAGAAATAAGAAGAGTAACGAGGCCACTGCTGAAGAAAAAACAAGTTCGATAGGACGCGCCCAAGACTTTCGCCCCACACAAGGCTTTGATGGCGTCCGAGAGGGATTTTGGACCCACTGCCACGCCGTGTGTCATGAATCCTTTGAGTGTTGGATTATTGATAGGCTAACCAACGTTTCAGAATGAATGTAGACACATGCATGTTAGATCCCGCGTGGGCGCCGGTGTCTGCCGCGGTTACTCGGGAATCGGGACAACGTATTTTATACGCTTATGATGAAAGATGATTGCCAATTTGGTATGTATGGTATACGTTGTAGTTGGGGCTATTCTATATAGTAAAACATCGTCTCCATAAGCCGGCAGATAAATGGCAGGTGATGTGACTCGGGGGAGAAGAAGGCAGTAAGCTCATCGAACAGCTAGCTTCATGCAACCAGTTGCCTATTTTAGGGAACGATATATCATTGATATCCTAGACCACGATAACTACCATACTTCCTTGGTTGACTCGCTCTCTCTAGAATACAGGAAAGAGGTTAAGTACTTGGGGGTGTGAACCCCGCACCTTAGACAACCACTTAAGTTGCAGATCATTACTTTATCAGCAGGGAATCATGCATGTCAAATCACCATGAGGAATCCAGGGTTACCCGACACATACTGCACTGTCCAGTTCAGGTGAAAGGTTCCTCTGCCAAGGAGTAACCGGTACCCAAATTGACAGAATAGATGAAGATACCCTCCAGAGCGCAAGGCCCTGCGGATACCTATCTGTCGGCGTTGGCGCAAGGATCCTTCCGCTGAAGAGTTCAATCGTGGAGAAACCATGCTCCAAAAGCTCATCTACAAGATCGACATGGGCTGAGAAGTGGCATAATGGCTAATATCTGACATCCCACTGCTCTGCAGTATGTATGTCTTGTCAAATTTGCCGCTTTCACATCGGTGGGAGGGGTCTCAAATAAAATATGTTGACGCAAGTTTCAGTGCTGAATTTTCAAAATTTATACATCGTTGTACTGGCGTTGCGTGCCCTTGCGATATCAATTGTTGACAGTAGGAAATCGGAATATGAAGTAAGATCCCATCCTGCTTGATCCATTTAGATAAATTAGCCCTAGTGCCTACGGATGAAAACTGAAGATAAATATGCGCTATAATTTAGCTATACTTTAAGGCCGGTATTTGCCTCAGTATCGTGCCATTTCTACGGAGCACGTGAAGAGTATGGATTGGCCTGGTCCACCATAGACGCCCTACGCTGATTTCAGAATGAATGAAAAAAGCGGACAGTTGGAAGCTCCGATTGGGGGCCAGAATGTAACATACCTAGAGAACGGAGCAACTAATGGTCCGCTCTCCGTCCAATGGTACTGTTGTCAGACCGTTGGTAATATATTAGAGTTCACGGTCAAATGTTCGTGCATACTGTGTTCGTCGTAGCGGGCTATTAAGTCTTCGCGGATGCAAAAGGACTTGAAGTAAAATATCATCATCCATTAATTCCGTACATCAAAGAACTAGCCTGGCTCTATATACAATGGAAGAAAAGTGGATATAGTCTCAAACTAGAGTGGGGCTCTTGACGATTTTTTTTTTCCCGGCTAGATCCAATGATAGCAATGTGTGGCCCCATACCAATCATAGCCCATCTGGTCTATGTAATAGTAATATCGCTCCGCACCACAATCCCCGTATCAGGTGGTTGTGAAGAATTTTTGGACGCAGTAACATGGGATTCGGCGGATGCCATAGTTGCTGTGAAGGAGCACTTCTGTGGAGGATTGAATAATTTCGCGTCCATCTCGGTCTCCTCTTCCCCGTGTGTGATCCTGCTGAAATATGTCCTTCCGATGTCCGACTTGACGAATCTGGATTTCGGGCGTTGGTGTCGGATGGATCCGACTAAGGAGTTCATACCATCATGGTAGAGACGTCGACTAAAGACGAAAATACTGGGCAGACACACGCTGACCACCGAGATGGCGATTTCCGATGATAGCCAAAAAGTCGGCTTCATGATTTCCCCTGTTATTGTTAGGAAATTGAAACAAGACAAAAAGATTCTGGTATTGACAAGGGTAGCGCACATGTAAAGTCTTTATCAAGGTTATCACTGACTTCAATTATCGTAACTAGACGTCCTATTGAGACCACAACTACCCTGATAAATAAGAGTTAGAACCGGATGTCATGAGGATATCATTAGAGCTTCTTACATATATCCGCACAGAAAGACTCCGATAATAAGTAGTTTGCGGACCATCTGCATCTGCAGCCGCCAGAGTAATGGCAGCGGCAGGACAAGAATGAAGATATTGATAATCAGACTTGAGATTCCACTTCCCAGGAAAAGTGTTCGCATCCCAATGCATCTTCCCGGGATAAGGGGCTTCCAGACCTTCTCAATGGGATCACATTGTATACCGACGACAATATGCAAACCGACCATCCAAGCAAGGTTCATTACATGGAGTATCCATAGAGCGTACTTGAAGTGGGACTGGACCTGGGTAAATACTCGCGAGTAGAAGAGAAGCGCGGACGCTCGAGCAACTGAAGTTCCAGTATCAAAAATAAAATATTCCGTCCAGAGAAGCTTCATGATCTGAGAGAAGTTCTCTACTGGCACCGCTTGTGCATGCTTCCCAAGCCCTAGTTTTGCCATTTCGAGGCCAATTCCGCACATGGTAATATTAAGCATCTGTTTTCGGTTATATGGGATCCGATAAAACACGGTGTATATCAGGTAAACCAACCGCGGCCAGGAGTGCAGTCCAGTCATCCCACCAGAATCGAATTGGTGTTGACGAAAACCCGGGTAATATCGCCCTTGACCAGAAACGTAGACTAACTGCCACAGTTGGAACGGTCAACATAGCAATCATCAGTGCCTTCAGAGTGGGGCCTTGGTCGTCATTGAGGTCGACAGATGAGGACATCATGCGTTAGCAACGGGAAGGTAGAAAGGGAGTCGACGAGATAAGCATGGGACGGCAGAAGAATTTGTTGTCGGGTGCTTCTAGATACTCATTAATATGCATGATGTTTGAAGAATGGGTTAAACCAGCTTTCTATGTAGCATTTCGGGGTCACTATCAGTAGTCTGCAAGTGCAGGGTATGTGGCCTGAGGGGGCCAAGATGGATTGACAGCCCGGTTAGTCCTGCCACAACAAATATAGTGTGCGGGTGTGTGGAATAGCATGACATGTAATTAACATACCCTCAGTCATCCATCCGGGTCTGAATCTGCACGGAATGTGTAACTCCTTTTAGTCCACGACTGATTGTGCTTTGTGACTGCCGAGATCTTACCCTATTTTTCCAACTGCATTTGGTATACTAGCTCCCTGAGCGTCAGCCACGTTAGCCTGTACCTGGTCACTCCTATAAACTGAGAAGACTGTATCCAACGCATCCTTCGGCCCTAGGTCTCACCTCAGCGGGCAGAGAGTCCACCTCTACAGGGTGCACTGATACGCTACGAGAATAATGACCATAAGATTCACCTGGGAGCCACACCATGGGCACTATTTAGTGGAAGTATTAATGTAAGAGCCCACAATAATAGGTATCCAAGTCCCAGCCATCCGTCCAACGGGCTTGGGTAGAAGACCTCAGCCTCTTATCAAAGTTTCTACGCTCAGGGCAGTTTTTCTCATGAAAGGAACAGAAATATTTAGTACCACGACTTTAATAAACAGGTAGTTAATTTGAGAAATTAACAGTGTATATCGCGTCAATTAGGCGCCATTAGGCTGTGGCCAGAGACACTTCTATTCAATTGAGCGAGAGATTGGACTATTACTTCGATGATATTCAGTCCTGAATTAGCCCTAGTTATTCGGCTCAAATTTTGAAATTCTGAAACGAAGAAGTTCCATGGATATGCCAGAAACAAGAGGATAAGTTAACAGGAGTAAGCCCAGAAAAGGCAGATATTCTATCAACTGCGTGCATGCCAATCGAACTAGCTATGTATTTGATCCCGAGTGGATATATTCAAGGGATTCCCTCAATTTATATATTAGATATACAGAGATCCAGTATACTTAGAGGGATTACATGCGTCTGTTTTTTTTCTGCCCAGCCGAGATGGGATATTGAGGATGTTTAGTCCGCTAATTGTTCTACTGCAGTTGTGTTTTTTTTATTGGAACCACATCTCTTCTTATATAATTCTTTTGTGAAAAGGACTATATTAAACATAATAAATGTAGTTCGCCGTGGTGGTCCATTTTTCTATATGCATTCACGCACTTTATATTCTTGCGCCATTACTAACGAGGTCATAGCAAGGGAAGCATGCTCTTATGTGGGCCTAGGGTACTAAGGTGGGCACACTTTCTCCTGGGCATAAGATATGTGCCAAGCTAGAAGACAGGTAGAGAATGACTCGTCTCTGATATATAAACTAAAACGGGCAGCCAGAGCAGTACCCTCGATCAGGATCGCTGTTTAGGAAAATTTATTAGACAATTACTGTTAAGTCCTCAGGTCCGGTAAACTGTGAGGTTGTTTCATGGAACCGGTTCAGTATCCCTTCTGGGGGTTGTGTGGCATGGTGGATTGCAAACCCTGAATTTGGGCAATTGTTGCATAGTAATCAGCAGGCTGGTCATCGATTAATCGATAAGTACTAAGTGTTAAATAATATGGCCGTTGGTGGACCAGAATCATGTGACTAGATCGGGGTAAAACCCCGCGGAGCACACAACAAAATAGTCATCAAGAATAACCAAGAATAATCAAGAAGAGCCCAGCCAGCTCTATTCATTCTAATAAAACCATTTTACCAATCGTACTCTATTTCCTCTCCGGGACTAGCCGTATATCTGACACTAAGTACTAAAGCTAAAGTTAGACTGTCGAAAAATCGCTGAGTCAGCGGAAGAGGGATTTTCGGTCTGGACCACCTTGGCTAGCGGGTAGTTACGGAGCGGCTCGTCGCTCCATGTATCTTTACTGTAAGATCCGACCTCCAATGCGTTTCTGTATGGACTATTCATATTCAAGCTTGATCCAACGTACGCGCAACATAAAAATCAGACACCAGCAATTATTCAAGTTAAACGATTACCTTTCCCTCCCAGACTCAGCTGTCGGCACTGTCAGTCAGCCATGGAACGAGAACAAGACACCGGAATCTCCATTCTTGTTGTCGGCGGTGGCATTGCGGGTTTAACCTTTGCTATTGAGGCTCATCGAAAGGGCCACAATGTCCGGGTTATCGAACAGCGACTCCGCGGGGAGAGACAGAGTAGACGCGAAGAGCTCTTCGACTCCCTCACCTCTTAATATGCACAAATCACCAGAGAATAAATAACCGCAACCATGCTGTATAAACTAGCTACTGAGTGGCACATAAACGCTTGATGCAGGAGAAATAATTGTGATCACGACTCCTGCCCTCTATACCCCAAAGAAATGGCCAGGCTTCATGGAACGGGCGAGGCAAGAGGCAGTTGCTCCGGTGCTTACTTGAAAAGTTCGACGGGACGCTGATCGGATCTTTCCCCATTGTGACCCGAACGACCCATCTCTGGCCATCTACCGATCAAAGCTGCATAACGTGCTCTACGAGCACGCCTCTCAGCTTGGCATCCCAGTCGAGTTCTCCGCGACTGCTTCAGAGTTCTTCGAAGCAGACGACCATGCTGGTGTGGTCCTGTCTGACGGCCGCAGTCTCACGGCGGATGTAGTGGTGGCTGCCGACGGGGTTGGCTCCAAATAATGGGCATTGGTCGTGGGCAACAAAGAACCCCCCATCAGCTCGGGATTCGTCCTATATAGAGTAACCTTCCCGGTGACACGGGCCCTCGAAAACCCAGTCATCGCGGCGGAGCTTGAAAGATTTAAGGACCGTGCATTCCTACACGCCGGTCCGGGGGCACACATGGTTAGTTGCAAATCTGCGAAAGATATTTGTTGGCTGCTTACTCGCAGGGTATATTTCCCCACGTGTCAAAGCCTGTGTTGTGAGGTTGCATAAAAGGTGTTATTCGCCTATTCGCGGCCTAGGTGGCGTTCGCACCTTAGCCCTGCCCGACCATGGACAAGGGCGAGGACGCACCTACAGCTTCAAAGTTTCCAAAGCAGCAACGGGAAGATGTCTTCTCACCAAAAGAGCAAATTCGACGGTTTCGAGAGGACGGATCTGGTCTATATCACAGTTGCTGACCATAAAGTGGCCGAGGAGCGACGCGGAGGTGCCCACATCAATGTTCCCGTCCTAGTCTATCATGGAGGAGGCTTCGTCGGAGATCGCCTGTACGAGCCATGGTGGTCGGATTGGCTACTCGAGCTCGCCTTAGCGCAGAGCGCCATGATCGTGGCGCCTGACTATCGTCTCCTCCCAGAGGCCACCGGCGCCGACATCATGGACGACATGGACGCATTCTGGACATGGTTTCTCAGGAGTCTGCCCAGCGTGGCCGAGTCCCAGTCATGGAATGTGCGGCCCAACGCCGACCGCGCTATTTGTGCTAGACACAGCGCCAAGCGCCGGAGGAACGATTGCGTCGCATTCCGCTCTTGAACGCCCTGACGCGGCTGTTAAAGCTGTCGTGTCGCTCTATGGGCCGCTCTACGGCAATGTTCCAGGGCTCAAGATGTCGCGGCCAAGAAAGATTCTAGGATCGATGCCTCCTCCGCCACGACAAGCAGAAGCCAATAATATTCGATCGTATATTCAGCGTACCAAGGTTGCGGTTCGAACGCATGGAGACGTACTGGAGATGTGGGGGTTGTTCGCATGTATTTTACAACAGGGTCGGCTGCCATGAATGATAAACCAGAGGCCCGATTCGCGTCTTGATACCATTGCTAGCATCGAGATGAAATGTTGCCTGCGAATTTGGGTGATTCATGGAGAAAACGACTCGGTGGTAAGCAAGAACATGTGACTGCTGTTAGCTGTCCACGAGGGTACTTGCTAAATATTATGATCCAATAGATTCCGACGGCTTGCTCTACAAAATTCGTCAAACGCATAGAAGAGATTGTACCCAACGTGCAGAAGATACTATCAGTGCTGCCTGGCGAGCACAACTTTGATGCTTCGTTAACCATGCAAGAACCTTGGATAGCAGACGGCTGTAGTTTCCTTCGTGAACGTTGGTAGACGTAGATGTTATCAGGCGAAGCCTGCGAAGCCTGCGAAGGGAACGAGGATGCGAAGCGTGGATGACTGTTATATGATAGAAATACGGACTTTTATCCAAACTCCGACATGTGCCTTAACATTAAATTAATATTAATATCACGCGCAATATACCATCATTACCTGCAGCCCCGTCATGCCCGCACAATTTATCGTTTCGCCGTTGCCGAACAATATCGCCAAAAATTGCGAAACCATCATCACATCTAGACCCTCATTGACCAAGGTAAAGCTGCGAGCAGATTCAGGGTAGGAAGACAAACAATACTAAAGCGCCTCAGTTTTCCTAACCCTTAGGGGCATAGACCACTGGCTGCATCCCTATAATGCTCATAATCATCCTCCGGATGTCCTTTCTACTGGTCGTGAACGTACCAAATATGACATCCTGCACCTGTACCAATACCCCTGATCCAGAAAATGGGCTCAAACCCTACTGGCAGCCACGGGTTGGCGCTACGTGGCAGATTGTGCTCTCAGCCCCTATTCAAGACTCATCGCTAGAAGTCGACGTCTACGATAGAGATTTGTGGATAAACGAGGAAGCAATCATAGACTACTACCTGCATCACAAAGGGTCTAAAGTGACATGTAACTTCTCTGCAGGTAGCTATGAAAGCTGGCGACCTGATAGAGGGAGATATGAAGACTCAAACCTAGGCCAAGACTTGGATGGTTGGCCAGACGAAAGATGGGTCGATATTCGCTCCAAAAACACCCGCAATATTATGATATCCCGTCTGGACAAAGCACAGCGCATGGGTTGTGATGGTGTTGATCCTGACAACGTTGACGGATTCGAGAATGAGAGCGGACTGGACCTCACACAGCAGGACTCCATTGAGTTCGTTAACTGGCTTGCGGACGAGAGTCACTCCCGTAGCATGTCAATCGGTCTTAAGAATACAATGCCAATTCTTTCTGCCGTGATGGGTAGCATCCAGTGGGCTCTTAACGAACAATGCATCGAATACAAGGAATGCATGGATTACACCGAGCTTACGCGCAGTGGGGAGCCTATCTTCCACATTGAATACGCAACAAACCAAATTACCGACAAGGAAGTCTGTAGTTTCAAGCAATCGGAGAACTTCTCAACCATTGTTAAAAATGCTCATCTGGATGAGTGGGTGAAATCTGCTAATTCAATGACCCTATGGTTGAGTTAGATCGTAACACAAGTATATACAGAACTTGAAATGAAACAGACAAGAACCAAGTTCGCCTGCGATGTCATTGTTCGATATCATCAAAAAGCACAGCTACCTCAATCCCCACGCCTCACATCCTGTTCCAGACACCGCTCAATTACCTAGCTGCCGTCATGGCTCATCATCTTGCTGCGCGAGCTGGTTCGCCATACGATCCAAGCGGAGGAATTCAGTGCTGCCCAAATTGCCGATGCTGCTGAATAACCTGGAGTTGTGGATTTTGTTTTCTTTTGGAATTCTTTTTGTACCAGTCGAATTGATTTCACTTGACCGAAGCCATGTTCGAAAGGATGTCTCCGTCGCAGTCACCAACAACCTTCGAACTCTTCGCTGGGAGTAGTACATAGTATTTTGGTTGGGGCGTCGTAGATCGGTTCACGACGCAGACCGCTGATCTTACCCAGATTGCTTGTGCGATAGCTAATGTTCGACCCCGCTGGCGGCGATGATTCTCTTCCTAGCCCAAAGACCAAGGGCTCACTGGTTCCGAATCTCCATCTGTGTTTACTGATCACCACCTGTGAGGTTGAGAGACTTATCTCAATACTCTACCCTGCTTCCGCGCTGTATCATACATAATTGGATCGCTGCTACTTCTTCGCGGAGTAGCATGCTTTTGTGCCATGAGGCGTGTTTTCTGCCAGAGAACGATCCTCGCTGCCTAATTTTGCTGCCCGTTATTCGGTTCGTTATAGGGCCTTACGTTGGCTTCGCATGTGTGAAGTGGCAATATCCTACTGGTGGGTTCATACGAAGTCCCCTCAGTAGTGACATACAAATCAGCTATTTAGCACATGCAAACCCCAAGCCTGCTCCAAGGTTTCCAGCATATGCGATACAGATCACTAGGTCAGAGACATTCATAACTGGAAAATTTCAAAGTGTACGATCGCCGTTCATTGAGAAATCAGTTACTAACAGACAACCGAAGACTCATTCGATCTCCGCAATTTCACTTTCTTATTGGAGATGATCAACGGAAGCTGACAATCCACACCGCTCTTGTTCATAACTTATCAGTGCCTTTAGATGCTCTAATGAACAACGATTGCATGAAAGAGTCGGTGTCCAGAACCGCTACTATAGATGACGTGGAAGAGGAAACTTTTATTGCTTTTTGTGAATTTGGTTACAAAGGCAATTATACTACGCCTTGCCGCAATTACACAGACAATGAGAACCATTTTGGTCCAGAGAGTAAGCACTCGTTGATGCATCACAGGGAAAATTACTTATATTCATAGATCGAGTGAAATCGAAAGATAGAAATCCACAACAAGCATCAGAACCCGGGCCAGAACCAGGCCCGGGACCGGAGCCAGAGGAACCAGAAGCTGTATACTCCCTGGAGGAAGGCCCTGGAAAGATAGAGCCCAAAGATAAGAATCGTGTTCACGGTGCATATGCAGGGCTTCTTCGCCTATGTATCCTAGAGGCACCCGAAAGAACACTAAAGCTCAACAAAATATATACCTGGTTCGAGCAACACACTACAAATGCAAGGCTGGGTCATTCAAACATAATATCTGCCAGACTCTCTGCTTAAATCCTGTACGTTCCCCAAGGTCTATACACTTGTTCAGTCTCCACCGACATGTTTTTTATAGAATAATAGTTAACAAGCCTTCTAGGCATTCAAACAGGCTCCAGAAAAATCGTCAACAGGAAAAAAGGTGGCATGCTGGCGCTTGACCAACGAAGCAGCAAAGAATGGTGTGAAGCCAACACCTAAGTATGCTCCTAGAGTCAATCGAAGACGGCTGTATGACAAGCGACAAGAAGAGCAGGATAAGGAAGATGATGAGTTAGAAACTGTCTCGATGGAAACATAGGCGGCCGAGTTCGGCAACTGATGTTGTAATATAGAGGAAGACTGTTGTTATTACTGGGAAATGGGACCTCTGCAACGCTTCTGCAAAGTCCGAACGGAAAATGTGGGAGGCCGTATAGGCCACCGATTATGTAGATAGTCCACACTCCATAAAGTGCTCTATTTTGAATGTATACATCTTCCAGTGACGCCAGAAAAATTTATACCCGCAAGCTACCAAGTGAGAGGAGACGGCCGCCTCCGAATTGCTGCAAAATTGGCCTGCCGCATGAAACTCGGGTTAATTCTCGGCTATGAACAAAGATATGTATACACTGGACATATGCTCGGAAACATACCGGAATTAGTGAAAGTAGTCATTTTCAAGATAATCAAGGTGTTGGCCGGAAGCAGTCACTCCTGGCAGCTGTTTTAAAGTAAAGTATATCCAAGGTAGATGCGGAGCATAGTTAATAATATACTAACTATATACTTAGATTGCGAAGGTTTACATTTAAGGCCTTTACTTAGAATAAAATACAGATTAAAAAAGGAATTTTACCTTTATAAAAAATCCAAACGAACGTTTAAAGGCGCACTAAGATTATTTAAAAGCAAAGTATGTTAAACTAAAGGGCTGGAGCCTATTTAATTTCTCTAGCTAATTACTATATTATCCCTATTGCCCCTATAGTTTAATATAAACAGTGTATATGCTGTTTACATACCAGGCTAATACTATATATAGATTAACAGCAAAAAAAAGGCAGCGAACCGCCGGCAGAAGAAACTATACTTGCTATAAAATCTATAGAATCCATATAATACACCTTTTTAAAATACAGACAGAGTGGCCATGCAGGACACTAATTCCCTATTAGTATCTAGCCTTAACACATGCTTGTCTTATACTGGGTATATACCTGCAAGTCAACAAACACACCCACTTAGCACTGTATAGAGTGTTGGTGAAGACCCCTGTTAAATCACCCGCTGTGTATATGCTAAACATAGACCCTTTAAATGTCAAGGGCTAAACCTCTATAACCTAATAACTAGGGTGGATACAAAAGGAATCGTCGAAGAGGAAAGAGAAGAGGAAACAGCGATGAGACGATTGCGAAGTAAGGGGGGGGAAGTCACATGATAGAGTGTACTAATCAATATACTAATCATGTGGCAGGCGAGGAGAAAGGAAACACGAGGGCTGAGGGCCCGAGTAGGCTGAGGGGCTCTAGCCCCTTACACTACTAAAAGAGTATTTAAAGGAGCTTGAGGGACTTAAGCAACGAAGAGATATGGTTAAGCAAATTAAGGAGCTTAAGAAAGAGGTAGAGGGGAAAAAAAAAAAAAAAAAAAACCCCTGCAAGTACAGAGCATACACCTAGTAAATATATAGTATGTTAAAAAAGCTATTTTAATTTATTAAATAATAGCTAGACTATGTTACGGAAACACTATAATCCGCCCGACTTGGCGGTGCGGAGTATCTGACGATCGATTCAACCCCTGAATCCTTTAGATAGTTGAACACCTCGATGAGAATATAGGGAACCGCTTAGTACGAGTAGTGGTTGAGATACTACGATTCCTGGTGTTTCCACTGAATGACATCTACTTCCTAATTGGGCTAGTTGGCCTGTAGTTGATAGAATAGCTCCCTACGCCCCATTTCCCCTGAGTCCACAACATTGGTTATGAGCCCGGGTTTGCAGCGTCTGCTTAACAACCAGGCCTTTGCACCCCGGGGAGCTTATATAGGCTTACAAACCCTATCTAAGCACGCAGGTGAAGCTATTCATCAACGTGTGTATCCTCAACGTCCAGGACAGTGGCTAGGACCGATCAACCTACCTACCAGTCGGAGTTGGGTAATATTACCACGCCTTCTTAGTGCCGAACGGAACGATCGAAGACAGGACAATCAGAGATCGATAGATGTCAGAGAGGGCTCGGGATCCCCGGACAGGACGATTTATATCAAGCCGGGAGAACACTGAGGGACCAAATACCGAACCGAGCGCCGCATCGAGTGAGGATCCCGTGGCGATCTCACTACCAGGTGAATTCTTAGAAGAAGAGGAACCTGAAGAGTCTGAGCAAGAGTCTAGAATAGAAGTCAGCGAGGCAGCTGAGCGAGGGAATTCTAGTGAGCAGGAACAGACTGAGCAAGGATCTTGGATTGAAGCCAGCAGGGAAACTGAGCGAGGGAATCCTGGTGGATCCGAAGAATATAGGATTGAAGTCAGCGAGGCAACTGAGCTAGGAGAGCCAGACGTGCCAGACGTGCCAGGCAGGGAAACGCCTGAAGGGGATAGAGACCCTAGTGAACAACTGCAAGCGGAACTAGCAGTTGAAATGGCCGGACCAAGTGGAAATGGCCAGGGAGGCCAAGAAGGTCAGCGGAGAGTGATTCCAAAGCTTGAAACCACCAAGGAGGTGAAACTAGTGACGTGTGGAATTGAAAAACTCAATCGGAGTAATTATCGAAGCTGGAAGTCAGAGATGATAAACTTCCTAAAGATGCAGAATTGCTGGAAGATAGTGGATCTAACCAATGAGTGGAGAGATGATCCTGAAGCTATCAAGGAACTGCTAGAGGATACCGATTGGAGTATTGCAAATGCAAAAGCACGGCACTATATTGGAACAGCACTGGAAAAGGAAGATAAACTTGCAGTCCAAAACTTTGAAGATGTTGGAAAGGTATGGAGATACCTGGTTGAATTCTATGGTCGACGAAATGAAGTGGATAGGCTGGGAGCCTTGCGGAAGGTTCTAAGATGGAAAAAGGACCCCTCCATAAACTTGGAGAAATCACTTCAACAGTTGGAAGCATGGAATGCAGACCTGAAGGATATCAGCAATAATTCAATGGGATTTGATGAGTTGGTCTTATTGAATATCTTCTTAGATGGTTTACCTCAGGAGTATGAGTCCATGGTGGATTCTATTATTGCCAGTGGAAAAATAGATCGAGGAATGATGCTATCAAGACTCCAACAAAGGGAAAGCCGGGAAAAGACTGCAGATACCAGTGAGGCAGCTGAGGAATTCGCCAACCGGATTAAGCAAATGGAATGCTTTAATTGCGGAAAGAAGGGCCATTTTGCAAGAGATTGCAGAGCTCCGAAGAAGGACCGAGAGC